AATATTTTTAGTAAAAATATATTTATCTGTAATAAATATTATTTATAATATAGCACCCGTCCCGCCCAACCCAAAGTCGGAATTCCATAAAACTGAATTGCTAGTTCGGTCCCTCGTCCCTTTTATCCTTGCTGTCTCGCCTTGTTCCTCAAGTCAAACCCGCCAAGAACCTTTTTTTCTGCAAATTTTCTTGTAAAAATTTTCATTGTTGAACATTCCGAAAAATCTCTTCAATGAAATTTATCTCCATTTTTTGGGATTCTCAATAAATAAGACTATTCATTCATTTATATTATAAATAATATTTATTACAGATAAATATATTTTTAACTAAAAATATTAATTTTTTTTTTGTGAACATTTATTATTTTTTTTAAACCTAATTAATATTTTTATATTTTAAACAGTATATATTTATTATTTTTATTCTTTGATTCGTCTAAAAACTACTATATACATGCCAACTTTTTTCCCTATTTTGAACTTTTTTTGATTTTGGTTCGACTCATGCCATGACCACTTTTTTTTAAAAAATAAGCTCATGGACCACAATTTTTTGTTTTTAGTATTATAGACAATTGAGAAGTTTAACCTTAAAAGTATTAAATTTTTTTGAATGAATTTTGTTTAATCTTTTAATTAAATGTTGCCATAATGTTTGAAATAATAATATATAGATAATACCAAACTTTCATATTAAGTTGAGTTGAATTTAAAGTTTTGGAAAAACTATGACCAATAACTTTAAAATTTTAGATAAAGGTTATTTTGTGGAATACTTTAAACTCAATATCATTTAATAATAATAATTTTAAAAATAGAATTTAAAGTTTCAAATCAAAAGAGTGAAAATATATCGTTTGTAAATGTTTTTTTAAAATTTACAAAAAACCAAGAGCACACACATAAAATTATGAAAAAGGTTTTTTTAAAAATTTAAAATAGTTTAGTATCTTACAAAAACAAAGTCCAATGGTGAATATCAAAGTTTGAAGTTAATTGAGCTAAAATATACAATTTTGAAAATCAAAAACATAACAACAAAATCACTAATTTTTAATTTAAAAAATAAAAACTTTTTTAATATTTTGATACCTTTTCAAAATTCAGATCATTTCCAATGTTATAGTAAAGGTTTCAAGTCAAGAGAGCTAAACTATAAAATTCAGAAAAAATACATTTGACAAAAAAACCAGTCCTTTTTGGTTAAAGACAATTTCGATGTATTTGTAACAAAGATCATTTTTGTTGGATTCTTTAATGTAAAATAGTGATAATAATTTTGACAAGTGGTACAACCAATATTTCCAATGAAAAAAGTGTAAAAAGATAAAACTAGTATTTAATTTACTTCAAAAAAAAACATCTTGGAACGATCAATCATTGATCATCAATATTTTAAAGGGGACAAATCATTTGATCCTTTTGATGAATTCAGCTTTGTTGTTTGTAGCTTCTCCCCTCACAATGGAAACAAGTTGAGTCTTTCACCTCCTGTTGACAATCGAAGTAGAACAAAAAAAAAAAAAAAAAAAAAAACAAAAGATGCGTTTCCACCAAAAGATCTCCGACTCTTTGATTAATCAAACTAGATTAGACTCAACAAACATATATAAAAGTGAAACAGTAACAATAATAGTGAAACAGTAACAATAATAGTGATCGAGAAAAGTTCACAACTCTCAACCGAGTCACAGTTAAAGTAAAGATACTTGTGCAACAAAACTTTTATCAAACTCTTGTACATTATGAAACATCACAATAATTTTACATTGTTGAATGGATATAATGGCACAGATGATGGTACATATGTTGTAGGATGGGGAAGATTATTTAAAAACAATAATGTAAATCATTTAGATGCCACAAGTAGAAACGAAAGTAGTAGTAGTTTACATTCTTCACTATCATCAAATTCGCTTTTAAATAGTAGCATTGGTAGTGGTATTAGTAGTCATCACGATGAAGAAGAACAAGGTGATGGCACTTTAGGACCTGATACAATATATCAATTCATTGGTAAAAATCCTCAACAATTATCAAGTGGTCATAATCATCAACTTTTAATTACTAGTAGGTAGAAAGAAAGAGGAGAGAGATATTATATACCTATAGCAATCACTAATCATTCATTCTTTTATATTTTTATTTAGGTGGAGGAGATATATATAGTTGGGGATCAAATAGTAAAGGTCAATTGGGTCATGGAGATATTTCACATAATCATCAAATTGAGCCAATCCGTAAATTCTCATTATTAAAAGCATTGTATGGCATTGTTCCAATACAAGTAGCAGCTGGTAATGAGTTTTCAATGGTTTTAACAAGCGAAGGAACAGTGTATAGTTTTGGTGTATCAAACGAGGGTCAACTTGGTAATTTATATGACTCTTATAATACATCGTCTACTGTCATTAATAATAATAATAATAATCTCAACAACTGTAATAATATATCAACAAACAAAGATTTGGATCCAACAAACAACAATAATAATAATACATCAGTAAATGTTTTATTATTTAATTCTCCATTTGGGAATTTACTAAATAATCCATCTGATACTAGTAATAATAGTAATGAATCATCGCCATCTTCATCTTCTCCATCCCTAACATCTAGTAATGCTCAAGCACCAAGAAACAATCCAACCATAACACAAACATTGATTGGGTCAACATCAGTGACTGACAATTTATGGAATCATACACAACCTATTCCACGTCGGATAGGAACATTGGACGGTGTACAAATTACAATGGTTGCTTGCGGATCAAAACACACATTGTCATTGACTTGTGATGGTGCAGTATACGCATGGGGATCAAACAGAAATGGTCAATGTGGTTTACCACTTGATTACCCAATACTTCATCAACCAACTAGAGTAAAAATTGAATATAACCAAACAAATAATAATAGTAATAATAATACAAGTACATTTGTAATTATTGGTAGTATATCATGTGGATATTCACATTCAGTTGCAGTACAGGCACACTCATCTCAACTATATTCATGGGGAAAAGGTTCAGACGGACAATTGGGACTTGGATCAAGATCTGACCATTCATCTCCAACAGCTATTCCATTGTTTACCAGTGATCCTATCGTCCGAATTTGTTGCGGACACTACCACACTGTTGCTCTTACCTCTCAATCAAAACTTTATTCTTGGGGTATGGGTTTTGCACTAGGACATGGCCAAGCCAAGGACAAACTGGTCCCAACCTTGATAGAAGCCTTTTCTCCATGCACAAAGGTCGTCAATATTGCATGTGGGTTCTCCCATACTGCCGTGCTCACGGAAAAGGGAAAATGTTTAACCTTTGGACATGGTGACCATGGCCAGCTTGGATACTTTAACAAAAAGAATGAAAGCACATCTTCTTTGGTCCCCATCACTCCAAACGGCATAGATCAACTACAAATATCAAGTATATCATGTGGTTGGTTTAACACCTTTTTAATAGTCAAAGATTTGAATATAAATAATATTCAACAATCTTTTTCATCCTCCTCCTCCTCCTCCTCCAACCACAATCAACCGCCACAATCTGCTGAAATATTACAATCAAGAGTTAAAAGAGCTAGTATACCAAATGTTACAACTTCACCATTGGATCTTACAGAATCAATGCTACAATTGGAAAGGTTATTGATCGAGTTTGATGTTCAACAATCTTTAGAAATGATTAGCTCTTTTGATTTTGTTGAAGAAAAACTATTGGATCAAGTCCAAGACCAAAACATATCACAAAACAATCCTGGATTACCGACAGATAATTCGCTGGCATTGTCATCTCTTGCAAGATTAAATATGATACTGCAACCAAAAACAAAACCAAAAGAAAAAAAAAAAAACTCCAATTCATTTTATAATTTAATGTATGTAGAAAAAAAAAAAGGAATCAAAAATTATATAACAAAATATTTATTTATATTTTTTTTATTTTTCATAGTTCAAGTATATTATTTAGATCAAATAATAACAATAATAATTATATCAAACCTTCATTGGCATTTGATCAAGAGGATTTATCAAGAATTTGGACAGATCGATTTATCCCAAAATGGGACAAGCGCATAAAGAACAAAGATGAATGGTCGTTTATGTGGAGAAAGGGTGGCATCCCCCCATCTATCAGGTCAACCGTATGGAAGTTGGCAGCAGGCAACAAATTAAACATCTCTGAAGAAATGTATCAATTCTATATTGATATTGTTGAAAAATTCTTAAAAAAGAGAAACCCTGCTCGATACAACAGAGGATACCAACCACCACAAAAACAACAACAACAACAACCATCACAACAAGCAACCCATTCTCAACAATATAATTATATTGATAGTGATGATGATGAAAATGATGATCACTATCATAGGCGTGACAGTCATGGAAGGCATGTCGATAATATAATTGATGGTGATGGAAATGAAATCCAATACGATGAGACAGACATGCTTTTAGAGCAAACCTATCTCATGCTCGAATTGGATCTACCTCGTTCATTTCCTCATCTTTTTCTATTTCATCGAACAGCACCTTACCACGATGAACTAATGAAAGTCTTGTTGGTATGGTCACTCTATCGTCCAGAGATCGGATACGTTCAAGGAATGTCCTATCTCTGCGGTCTCTTGTTGCTCCACATGAACAATGGTTTAGAGTGTTTTATAGTGTTTTCCAATATGCTAAACAGCCACTATTTCAAGAGTCTCTACAATTTTGATATCCAACAGATGGTTAGACATATCAAAATTTACGATGTTCTCTTTCAAAAGAATCTTCCCGATCTCTACCGTTGCTTTAAACAAGTCGGTCTAGTATCGGAGCACTACCTATTGGAATGGCTCATGACTCTCTTTACCAAACAAATGTCTCTTCCCATTGTCACTCGTATATGGGATGGCTTCTTGCTTGAAGGTGAGGGCTATATATACGCAGCTGCTTTGGGTGCTCTAAAACTCCTCCAAAAACTACTCCTCCAATCCCCAACCTTTGACGAATGTATTTTAACTCTACGAAGTGCTCCCCAAGACTTTAAAGAAGAATCTTTATTTATTTCAATTGATACAATTCATATTCCAAAGTTTTGTAAAAATTTAATCGATTCTTTAAATAAAACTTAAAATAAGAATCATTTTTCATGAACCAAAGAAGAAGATGTTTGAATAACAACTTCAACTTGACAAGATACTCCACCAATAATATTAGGAGGAGAATCATTTTCTAAAATGGCTAAAACCAAAACACATTCATTTATATGAATAAGATAATCCCAAAATCGACTTTGAATTGATCTATCTTGATGATTTGATAATTTCTCCAATGAAAATCCAATTCCTTGTTGATTATACCTTGTTGTTAATTTTAATAATAAATCTTTAACATATTTATCAATCTAACAGAAAAAAAAAAAAAAAAAAAAAAAAAAAAAGAAAAATTAGATAACAACCAGTTATTATTTTTTTTTAATTATTTTTTGTTTACCTTTTTGTTTGAAAAAAATATGACAAGGAAAGAAATTATAAAATGTAATACTAAACCAGCAATTGCAATATAAAATTGAATTTTTTCTTGGAGAATATAAAATACTGTAAAGGGTATAAAAGATATAATATTTCCAATGGCCAGTTTAATAATATTTCTTTTGTAAAACATAAAGTTGCTGTTGAGTTTGAAAATAAAAAATTCATAATCCAATATATCAATCTTTCCAATTGTTTCCTCTGGTTGTTTATAATCAAAACCATTTAAATTGTTGACTTTGACAAAAACTACTTTTCTATTCTCTCTCTCTCTCTCTCTCTATAATTGATTAATGATATTACTAAACAGAGATTATCATAAAAATAAGTAATAATTGTAACTTTTTTTTTTTGGTGTTTGTCTTGATGATTAGCATTTAGGGAGAGGGGTAGTGGTAAGGTAAATCTGTAAAACTTGGAACCAATCAAAATCATAAACGATCGAAATTTTTGTAATCTATAATGTTTATACCACCTTGATGATGATTAATAAAAGATAAATAGATAATATGATATCATTGTTTTTTTTTTTATATGCTCTAGATACGAAACAAGTTACCATCAAAACCCACCAAAAGAGAGATCTGGTTCAGAGAAAAAAAAAATTAAAAAAAATTAAAATTAATTTCACTACAACAGGACAGACTTTTGTTTAGAAGCATTCTCTTATCTTTTCAACACCAACAAATATCAACATAGAATGAGAATCATTTTTACATTTGTATTATTGGCTATTTGTCACATATTAGCATTTGAGCAGAAAATACAACCAGATGTCATTCAACAAATTAGCATTACATCACTGAGTGACCAAGCCACTCTAGAACTAGCACCTTTATCGACCGATACAAGTTTTAAACTTCAAGGAAAGGTTATTCCATGTTGGGGTGCATTTGATACCTATGTAGGATTAGGCAATGTACCAACTCCAACCGACAATGCCTTTTCTAAGAATTGGTCATCTATTGGTCAAACAGAAACTGAAGTTGCCTTTGAATTTAAAAATGTTGTAAGCAATACTACTGTGTAAGTGTAATAAATTACTAACAAAAAAAAAAAAATAAAAAAAAACCAACCTCTCTTTTTTATCTCTCTTTATATTTTAGATATCTTCAATTAAATGCATTGGATAAAACCTATATAGTTGGAAAACCATTTGCCAGTTTTGAAGTTTACCTAGGATCAAATGTATTTGGTGCTCAATGGCCAACACCAGGTGACAATGGTCAAATATCGATTACACTTGATGATGGAGGCAAGAGTGCCTTTATTACATTGACAGCCACCGACAATGATACTGATACCTATGAAGTATACACCTATGCCGGTGAGTTACCAGAAGGTGCATTTACCTTTTCATCATGTGGTGTTAGAGCATATGCCACCAAACAAAATAATATATTGGTAGAATCATCTGGAAATCAAAAGAAAATTTCATTCTCTGGACTTGATCCAAGTGTTCCAACCTATGCAACAGTCATCGTAACTAGAGCCAATTATTCTTCAAATTATGGTTCCGCTATTTTTAATTGTATGTAGAGAGAGAGAGATATATATGATGGATGATTTATAGTTTTTCTAACATTTCATTTATTCTTTTATCAAGCATCCAACATTTTGAAATCATCTATTTCCCTCTTACTATTATCAGTATTATTGGTTTTCCTATTCATTTAAATGAATTATTTTATCAATTCAACCTTTAAATTGTACAATAAACCCATTGCTCTCAATTGAAGTCTTTTTAGCTAAAGGACTGCTGTGATTCCAAGAAAAAATTAAAATAAATTAAAATTAAATTAAAAAAAACTCGACTATGTCTTTTTCAAAAACACTCAAAGCTGAAACTATTCATTATCAATCAAATGGTCAGAAAAGGATCAAATACTACTACTACAACAACAGCAAAGAGTGCACCTGCCACAAAACAAGCAGAAAGCGTAAGAGTATACACATACAACCAAGGTTTATAAACCTATACTTATTAATCTTCCCTTCTTTTATCTACTATCATATATATATATAGAAAAAGAGAAAGAATGATGAAGATAAAGTACAACCTCATATAAAGAAATCATCATCTCCATTTACTAGTCTACAGATGATGTTTGAAAAGTACAAAGATGAAGATAATTTGATGGGTCCAGATGCAATTTGCAAGTTTTGTTTTGATTTGGGTTTGGCTCCCGAAAGTGTAAGTCTTATATATCTCTTAAGTCAATATTTATATATTAACTTACGTTCTCTATATTAAAGATACAAGTGTTAGTGTTGGCATGGCAAATGAATGCAGACAAAATGGGATACTTTCAAAAAGAAGAATTTGTTGTAGGATTGGAAAAATTAAAGTATGTCATCATGTAGAGAGGCCTCTCTCTTTCCTCTCTCTTTCTTTACTATATCATTCTAATATCTCTTCCTTTTTATTTAGGAGTTATGATCTAGTAACACTCAAGAAAGAATTGATACAATTAACTGCACAGGTACTTGGTGATCCCAATAAATTCCTAGAGTTGTACAAGTTTTCTTTTGGATACTCTAGCGAGTTGGTAAACAAGAAACTATTGGATGTAAACACTGCTGCAGAGCTTTTAGAGTTGGTACTTCCTCAAAGTGTACATACTCCAAACTTTGTTTCTTTTCTTCGAAGTGACAAACACAATCTAAAGGTTATCAACAAGGATCATTGGTTATGTTATAATGAATTTTCAAAAACTGTAAAGAGAGATTTATCAAATTATGATCAACAAGATGCATGTAGGTTTATAAGGAGAGAAAAGATATATTTTTAGCAATATATCCCTATAATATTAACTTTTTTTCCAAATTTATAGGGCCACTATTATTTGATACATTTGTCGAATTTGTACAGGAACAAGATAGATAATAACCCACCCTTCATCAATAACGATTTCACAGCAAAAGTAAAAAAAAAAAGAAAAAAGAAAAAGAGAACCATAAAAAGTTCTTTTTGTCAACAAACCAAACAACATGTAATTTGGTTCAACATATATGTAAATATTAATAAAACAAACGAATAAAAAGCTACTGATAAATTTAATCACAAAAAATTGATTTAATATTTTGTGATTACTTTTTTTTAATTAGGTTGGTATACTATCGCTATTAAGTGTATTATTACTATTATTATTATTATTATTATTATTATTATTATTATTATTATTATTATTATTATTATTATTATTATTTACATCTTCTTCTTCTTCATTATTGGATTTTGTCGATGGCGGTGGTGGTGAGGATAATTTTAAACTAGAGAATATTATTGTATTGTTTGTTGGACTGGATTGTGAGATATCATTACACAAGTCCTTGTTGTTAGTACTTTCAGTTGACAAGAGTGATGGAAAAGGTATTGGATTGGTATTAAATGGTGTAGACATTGACTTTAGTGAAGGTGATGCCGAGGGAGATTGCGGAGGAGATGAGCTGGTATTGCTATTGATTGATCTACTTCTAAAATAGGTAATCTTATTTTCCAAATCCTTAAAAAAAATAATAATTAATACTTTTAAATATTGCTTTTTTTTTTTTTTTTGTACCTACTGATACTAAATTAATCAGTTCATTGACAACAGAAATTGAACTAGTGGCACTTGAAGATGGAGTGTCCTCTGCACGTTGTCTTTGAGATTTGTGAGGCCTTGGTATATGAAATGACATTGGATTTTCTCTTTTGGCTTTCTGCTCAAACAAGAACGAGCAACAACAAAATACAATTCATTACAATGGTCCATTGATGATTTAAATAGTTTTGAATGGATTCCAAGTGAATTTAGATGATGATCGAAAGAATTGATAGAATTTTATAAATGGATGAAAAAGGATAGTTAGAAATATGAATATCATATTATTATTATTATTATTATTCGGTTGTTGATCGATTATTGTTATTATTGTATTATCTAATTTACTAACCTCTGTTGGTATTGGTTTGATTAATATTTTTTTGTTATCTTTGACCGATATATCTTGTTTTAATTCTCTCATTTCTTCTCTTAGTCTTTGAATAGTTTCATCTGCATTTTGTTTTGATTCTTCTAGCTCGCTTTGCATCCAAACGTTTTCCTCCATGACACGATCCAATTTCTCAGACAAGTCTTGAACAGAAGCTGATGAAGCACGTTCACGTCTCTCTAATGTATCATTTTCTTGTTCTAGTTTTCTTTTATCACCCAAAAGTGATTGTTTGAAATGTTTAAGTTTATCTACTTCGTCTTGTAAACTTGCTATTAAACTAGAAGACTCCCTACTAACACCATTCAATTTATCTTGTATATTTTCATAATCGTTTTTTAGTCGTCTAAAGTATAGATTATTAGAGTATAGAGTAGAGTAGAGTTAACACCTACTATATGTGATGATTATCTATCTCTCTTCTTTTTTTCCTTCTTTGTTGTTGTTAAACACACATACGCATGTTGAGATACCAAATCTGTATGTTTCTTTTCACAAGCTCTTAGTTCAGTCTCCATTTCTTCTTCCAATTGCTTTGAAAACTCTTGATATTCATTAAAGTTTTGCTCCAAGTCATCTACTTCTTGTTGTTTATCTTCTAAGCATTTCTTCCAATACATTACCTCTTCTTGAGGTGTTGCAAAAGAAGGTGTATCTGACATTCGAATATTGTTGATGTTGTTATTGTTGTTCCAACGTTAACTTTAGTAACTTTTGATCGAAATGTATGATATACTCTTTTTTAACTTTAGTGGTTTAAACTACTAATTTAATAAATAAATAAATAATATTAAATAAAATTCAAAAGCAGATCTGGTAGAAAAGTAATTAAAAAAAAAAACAATTATTTAAAAAAATCTAAAAAAAAATGAAGATGAAGGAAATTTCTTTCTTCTTCTCCTGTCTGATCAAAACTAGTCATAAAATATTTACATAATCTGTAATACTATCAGATCAAAGAAGAATCATGATGAATAGACAATCGGTACTATTTTCCATGGTCATCATGATAATGATGATAATAATGGTAAATGGTGTAATACATACACCATTCTTTAAAAAGAGACAACAATACAAGAGACAACAACTTGAACAACTGCACATTGATGAATACAACATGGATAGTGACAAAATATTCGATAGAGAAGAGCAGAGATTATTGTTTGAAGTATCTAGTAATCAAACGTTTTGGTTTGATCAACAACAAGATCATTTCGATCAAACCAATAATATCACTTGGAAACAACAATATCAAGTCATTGACGATTGGTTTGATCCATCTCAACCCAATGCTCCTGTCTTTATCTTTTTAGCTGGTGAAGCTCCAATGGGGTAGGTTATATATATATACAAAGATAAATTAAAAGTTATATATCTCTCTCTCTCATCATTCATTCTAATCACTTTTTATTTTTTTTTTTTATATTTATATTTTTAGATTCTTTAACTTTCAAGAAGTACAAATAAGAGCATGGGCTCAAGAATTTAAGGCTTTATATGTTATTTTGGAACATCGTTTCTATGGTCAATCATACCCAACCAATGATTTGTCAACTCATAATCTAAAGTATCTCACTTCACAACAAGCACTTGCCGATGCTGCCAACTTTCTCACTACATTCAAGTCAGAAAGAGGTATTGCCGACAATCAAGCAGTTGTCTTTGGTTGTTCCTATTCTGGTGCATTGAGTGCATGGTTCCGTCTCAAATATCCACAACTAGTTGTTGGATCCGTAGCTCCTTCTGGACCAGTACTTGCTCAATTAAACTATACCGGCTACTATGCCCAATTCACAAACTCTGCACCAACTAGCTGTGTCAATGCTGCCCAACAAGCATCTGACCAAGTCATGCAATTAATCAAACAGGGCGACAAAGGAATCAAACAACTCGAAAAAACTTTCAACTCTTGTAGCTCTCTCAAAAATGGACGTGATCTCTACTATTTCGTCTACTCTATCGTTGAGGCTTTGGGTGGTGCCGATCAAATGAATAATCCACCAACATGGACCCTCAACTCTACCTGTAACACTTTGTCTCAAAACTCTGACTTGCTAGTCAATTGGGCAGAGATTTTCAACCAAGGCTTGGATGACAAGTGTAATGATTTCACTCTTAGATCCTTTATAGATCAAGCTAGAAAGACTAGAATTAATGATCAAGATGGTACAAGAGTAAGTAACAGACCTTCCAAACCTTTTTTTTTTCTTTATTAACATTTACTTTATAGTCTTGGGTATTCCAAACTTGTGCAGAATTTGGTTATTTCTCAACAACTTACCCAGGAAGTAGTGTATTCCCAGGTTTATTAAACGTTGAAGAACAAGTGAAATGGTGCCAAGAAATTTATGATGTTCCAGGAATGACTCCAAATATTGATTGGACAAATAGTTATTATGGAGGTCAAGAAATTAAGGGTTCCAATATCATGTTTAGTAATGGTCTATTAGAGTAAGATTTTAAAAAAAAAAAAAAAAAAAAAACCCAAAAAAGATAAAAGAGAATATTTATCAACTAATCATCTATTTTTTTTTTTTTTTAGTCCATGGCATTTGTTGAGCGTCAACCAAGATAATATTGATGGTACTGTGAAAGCTGTTACCTATGAAGCAGGTCACTGTGGAACATTAATTGCTTCAACTACCATTGATCCACCCTCCTTGGTTGATGCAAGACAAGGTATTATTGGTTTCCTCAAGGAAATATTGTCAGCCTAAATGGATAGTAATAAATAAACAAATAAAAAAAATCGAGATTTTTTTTTTTCCGTATCTCGTTTGAGTGTCTCTTTGCAACCAAACCATCATAGTACTATTCACTTTCCCTTTTATTAAAATATATATATATTGTAACTATACTATCACTACGTAGCTCTAGAATCTAGACTTGTAACATTAATTTTTAGTCACACTAGTCATCATTATTTATTAATACAACAAACAGAAAAGAAACAACAGAATATATTTTATTGTACATATCGGTAAGAATTCACACCTAGTTGATTCAGAAATAGTTTCAATCCTTCACATTCACATTATATCTCGAATCGAATCGAATCGACGAGAGATCTTGAATCACATATAATATTCAACAACAAGCAAGAAGAAATTACTCAAGATACACCTCTCACCTCCACATTTTCAAAGGTACACAAACAAGTACACACTTTAGTTTTTAAACCCCTTCTCTCTCTCTCTCTCTTGGTTTATTAATTTGGGTGGAGTTGGTGGGTTGTGATGGATTGATGTGATTTAAATCAATCAATCCATTATTTTCTCTTTTCTCTCTCTTTTTTATTTGTTTATTTATTTGATTCACACACACACACACACACATAAATATATCAAACCCAAATTTAGAGGAGGGAAGCAACGAACGAGTGAATCATTGTTGTATTCATTTCGATAAAAATAGTAATTATTTATTTGATTTCAAGAGAGGTGCTCTTGCTATAGCAATGAACAATTGTGGTGATAATAGTTACATTAACAACAACAAAAATACATACTCTAATGATACAACTACTAGTTGTGATGCTGCTGCTGGTGGTGGTGGGCTGATTGCAATTACCATCAAATCCTCCTCCTCCTCCTCTGCTATTAAATTGAATGATCCTCACCAAACAACGACGACCACCATCACCACTGTTTCAAACAACAATAATAATAATACCATTAAAAATATCAAGACAAGTAGTAGTGGCGCCAACAATAATATTTCGTCATCCAATCATCATCTCCTTTATCAAAACCTTCAAAATCCGATTCGGAATTATAATAATAATAATAATAATAATAATCATAACAATCATCTTAATACTTGTCCAACAGCAACAACCATCATTAATACTTGTTCCGGAACAGTTCAGAGTCACAAAAAAAGAAAACCATCAAGACAAAAAAGTACTCATCATTTTATATTGAATCCATTTCTAATCTGTTTATTTAATCGCACCAACAGCAACCGTTCACTCCAAAACATTAATATTACCAATCGTACGAAAAGCATTCACAGTAGTTGGAAATCAAAAAATAATAACAAGTGCAATATCAAATCAAAGAACTATTTCAACAAGAAGCAATTACAAAAAAAGAAACAACAAAAGAAAAAGAAATACATGGTCCTATCAAATAACCTAAACATGTCAATGACACCCATCAAGAATGGGTATATGTATAGATTAGGAGGAGGTGTATTTAGGATGCGAAAAAAATATTGGTTTGTCCTTACCAAAAGCCATCTCATTTTTTATAATTCTCCTGAAAAGGTAAATAACAAAAGGTAAAACACATAAAAATATTAATATCAATATTAATATATATCACTTTACTTACCTATATAGGTTACCAATTCAATTGAAAGTATATCAATTTTTGATATTCGTAATATTACATTAACATATAAAGAAGTACACCAACAACAACAACAACAACAACAACAACAACACCAACAAAATTCACAACTATTACAAACCTCTTTATCCTCTTCTTCTTCTTCCTCTTTGCAACCACAAATCGATAGTTGCACAGGATTTATCATAGAGGTACAGAATGCTAGCAAGATTGTTATTCAAGTTGCCCCACTTTCGATATTGGCAGATTGGGTTGTCAAATTAAATGGTTTGATACACAATAGTTTTGCATCACATCTTTCAGAGTTTGAACACAAGAAGTTGCTCTCTATACTCTTTAAAAATAATATAAAAGGTGGAATTATAAAATCCGCACCCGATGACGATGAATCGACTTATTTACCAAATGGTAGCATTACCATTCAACAACAACAAAACCAAAACCCTCTCCTTATTAATTCATCTTCTTCCTCTTCCTCATCCTCCTCCTCCTCCTCCTCTTTACCATCCACAAGCTTTAAAATTCCTATACCAACTGGACCAATTGAGTATTTTTGGGATGGTGAATGGTTTACTCCAACCAACTCTGCAATTAGAGGCTCTATTGGGTATGGTAGATTTAATGGTATCTATCTAGCATGGCACATTGACGATTCTGGATCCAACAATATCAATTTAGCGTCATCCATGACCTCATCAGTTTCATCAACATCCTCTGGTTCATCCAAAACCAAATATAATAACCAAGCACCATCACTTCCAATTCTTGTTTATTATTGGGATGAAGGAGAAAGAGAGTACCAATTAATGGACAATCGAAAAGAATTTACTTTTAAATGGACAAGACACTTTTTGGCCAGCAAGTATCGACCAGATACTTATTCAACAGTTGAGGGTATGATACCAGAGCCAGTTGTCATGTTCCTCCAACTCGTTAAATACAGTGTAATCAAAGACCACCCATCTTCCCCATTCAACCATTTATTGTCTAAAATTCAATCCAATATTCGAAATATTTGCATCAACAACACCACCACCACAATCACTGACAATGCAAATGAAAAGGATAAAGAACAACAACCACTTTATACACCTGTACAGAAATTAATACCTTTTAAAGAAGAAGAAGAAGAAGAGTCCACCCCACTGCCACCACCGCCACCAACACAACAAGAAATTTTAAACACAACCGAATTCAATACAGCACCAACCACATCAACAACAACCATTGCATTGAGCTCCTCACCCATACCAATTCCCGAAGAATCCTCCATTGATTTGGAACAAACAAATGTTGATCCATTAAATGATGAGATTGAACATACCACCATCACCACCACCACCACCACCGATAAACCAAATATTATGTCAATCAAGAAGTTGGTAATACCACAACAACCAACAAATAATAATCAACAACCATACCCCGATAGTGCTGTGCTTTTAACTCCATACACCAGAGGACAGGCTTTAATCAATGTCACACATCACCTCTTTACCTCTGACTTTACGAATCATGATGCCTCGAAAATTGTCCTTTTAGCACATTCTCCTCCATCCTCTCCGTCTTCATCCCCATTAACAGATAGTCCTAGTCTTTCCAAGGACAGTAGCACCCTTGGTACTTTGACTAGTGCCAATCCAATTTTGGTTGAAAAAACCCAAGTAGTCATCCCCAACCCCGTTTCAACTGATTTGGGATTCGCTCTAGATGACAGCTCTCTAAAGGAATCATTTGATTCCTTGTCAAAAATGTTTAGCAAGATGGAATCCAAAAAAGATGGTGAAAAGAAAAGTACAATCAAACTTTTAAACGATACAATCTTTGAATCTCAAAAGATACAAAACAGAACATCGGTCAATCTACAAGTAGAGTCATCAACTTTTGTGTCTAAAGAACAACAAAATGGAACTACTATTGTTGTTGCTGCCGATCAATTCATATCTCCTACCTCCACTTCATTGCCATCAAGCTCAATCTTAAAGCCAGTCGATTCTCAACTGGCCAGCGATTTGATTGGAAAATTTGTAATTGATGATTATTTTGATCAGCAACCGATAGACAATGAGAACTCTATTAAACCTATTACCAACACTACAATCTCTATCTCAAATAGATCAACTCGCTCATCATCGGTTTCATCTCCATCGACAGGCTCAACCACTAAATTATTCAACTATAGTCCCTCTAATCAACAAACAACTCCAATAACAATGAATAGAGTAGGGAACTTTACCACCAGACAACAACAACAACAAATCAATGCAAACTTTATTAAATTGAATGCAAACAATGTACAATTCACCTCGACGCCATCCAATTCACCAAATCTTCACGTTTGTACTGCATCACCATTGTCAACCCTTGAAATAACAGAACCACTTGGGTCAGTTATAGGACCAACGAGTGACCTAGAAAAGAAGAATTATAGAAAACCATTATCAAAAACTAAGAGTAGTGACAAGGTTGTCAATATTATCGATAAAATTGCCTCAACAAAGCAAACAAGACAATCATTTTGCCTGGCATGTAGTCTTCCAATCAATGGCCACATGATGATTGCTCTTGGCAATAGTTTCCATAAAGATTGTTGGAAGTGTTCCAAATGCTCAAAAGAATTGGGAACCAAGACATTTTACCGACAATTGGCTCAGTCAAATTCAAACAATGACCTAAATTACCAACCACAATTGTCATTGCAATCCCCACCTGCCATTCAAACATCATCAACCGACTCGAATGGAAAGAGCACACCAAAGCTATCAAACTCACCATCATCCTCACCTCGTTCATGTAGAACAACTTCGTCCATCACAAATTCATTGTCCTCTTCTCCATCTACTACATCACCAACCTTACAAGGCCACAGTGGCACAATCAATGTTTATCAACAATTGTCTGGTGGAGGAGGAGGAGGAGGAGGAGCATTAAAATACCTTTGTGAAAGTTGCTACAATGATACTTGTCCAATATGTCCAACATGCAATGAGTCTGTAATGTATAGATGTGTCAGTGCTCTTGGGAGAAAATACCATGTCGACCATTTTACCTGTCACTCTTGTTCGACACCTCTCCTAAGCAAACCATTTGTCGAAATAGATGGAAAACCATATTGTTCTTCACATTTTAACAACGAAACCATTGCCATTCCCAACAGCAACAACAACAACAATAATAGTACAATCAGTACGGGTCATTCAAGTAATGTTGGATCATCAGCATTACCAATTTTTAGCTAAACCTTTTTTTTTTGTAATATTAACACTTTATATTAATAATTATAATAAAACTTTTTTAAAAAGGCCTTGAGTGTTTCAACTATTTAAACTATTTGCTTCTTTTTATATATATTTACAACAACCAAATTTTATCTCTTCTTTTCAAAATAAGCACCTTGTTCACCTCTCCATGCTGCAACTGCAAACACAATGGCTGCTATTGAAAGAGTTGCTCCACCCAAAAGAGTTGGTACTTCAAAATAAGATATTACCGATAAACTAGTAAGTAGGTTGTATGGTGGTTAGTATGAACAAGTTGTTATCTTTTTTTCAGAATGATTCAAACAATACATACAGAGCACAAAGAACCGATGATAACCAATAATGTCCATGAAAGATTGCTTTTAAAGGTCCAATAAATTTAAATGGCCATAACAATGGGATTAATAGTCCTCCTATACATCTAGATACAAAAGATAAAAAGCACATATGCTATCGTTTAGAAAAGATTAAAAAGACTCTTGTAAAAAGGTTTCTTACATTGAATATATTCCAATCCAATCTCTGTCGTATCCCAAGGCCATGATTCCTCCAGCTATCAATACTATATTAGATAAAATAGAGAAAGAAAGAGAGAGAGAGCATTGAGATAAGTAAGTACACTTGTTGTGTAAATCAAAGTTACATACTCCAAGCAGCTGCTAGACCAATCATCGCCCCCCAATTTGCTAATTTCATATTCGCCATTCTAGTTGTATATTATTATTATTATTATTATTATCTATCTTGTTATCTATCTTTCTCCATCCAACTTTATTATAATAATTGTTTTTTTTTTTTCATTCTTTTGTTTGATATGAATATTTTATTATATAATATTAATTAATAAGTAATTGTACTATAAGATCATTATGGGCGATTTCATTGACATGTCTTCAGATTCTTCATCTGACTATTCTTCAGATGAATCATCTGATGACATTGACTTTACAAACTATCATCGTTATTCTCCTTTTCCTTCACCACATCCTCCTTCAACATCATCAACACCAGCAGCAACAGCAATAACAACGCCAACAACATCATCAACACCAGCAGCAACAACAACAACAACAACAACAACCACAACAACATATGCACATCCTACCAACCAACACTATCCATCATCCAATAGTAGTACTATTGGTAATACTACACCTCCTTTGCAATCAACCATACCTCAACCAACAGTAACAACAGCAATTACCTCCAAAAACCATGTTAATAAATCTAAAGCAAATGTTGCACAGTCGACTGCCGCTGCCGTTGCTGTTGCTGCTGGTGGTTCTGGGTTAACAAGGAGCTATTCAGTTGGGGAACACATGTATAGTCCCATTCCACAAGAAACTATCTATGGTCAACTCAAAGACCATGAAAAAACAAACCACCACGGCATCGTTAGAAGATGTTGTCACGTAACAATATCGAGGGTGGAGTTTATTGCAGAGGATCGTGACAAGATTCCGACACATATTAGAATAGCAGTTGGCTTGGACCATCTTAGACGATATCTTATTACCAATCCAATTGAACTTTACTCATCTCTTGAGGAAGTTATCCATCCCCAGCAGCAGCAGCAGCAGCAGCAGCAGCAGCAGCAGCAGCAGCAGCAGCAGCAGCAGCAGCAGCAGCAGCAGCAGCATCAGCCTAGTAGTGTATCAATGAATAGCACAACAAAAACGACTGCCACCCTCGACAATGACTTTGGCGAACTGTTATCTCACTCCCCACCGTCATCATGCATCGATTCTACAAATCTATCTGTAAATTTTACTAACCAAGCCTCGATTACAACAACTACACCATCTACTTTGAGTGGTGGTAGATTATCACCAAGTTCTCCAGAACAACCTAACCATCCTAGTATTAATAATAATAATAATAATAATAATAATAATAATAATAATAATAATAATATTTCAACAACAAAGAAGATTTATTGTTATCCAATGAATATCAAAATTAGTTTCCACTATGAACACAGTCTCAAGGATTACAACCAAGCTGTCAAAATAACACTATATCGAAATATTATTCCCATTCCTTTACTCTCACTACCACCTCCATCAATCATGCAAACCAATAATTTACCATCAATTAGCTCTCCTACTGTTGGTTCAAATCTACCCTCCTCTTTTGCTCAAAATCCCTCTACCCAAGCTCCTTCAAACCCAAACACCACATCAAATAATAATATTCCATCCAAACATAATAGAATTGTTCGCCACCGGGAATACTTTTCTCCTTTTGCCTCTTGCCAAAATAATTTGTCCCAGATTGTATGTATATACAAACAATCTATTATACCTTTTTTCTATTGAAAAATACATATTAATCGTTCAACTATCATCATCTTCATCATCATCATAGCTTCAACAAGGTGATTTTAGTGGAGATATTGACATGTCAATTGTAAATAACTCTAAAAAAAAATCAAACAGTAGTACGACTCATTCCTCTATTGCGTCATCATCGGCTTTATCGGCACAATTGACTCCAAATGGCAACAATGATATGTTGGTATCAGCTGCACCTTTGATGATATCATCAAACGTTATGTCCTCTGGAATTTCGATCAATGTTAATATTTGTACAGTGCCAAAAGAAATACAAAAAATTGGCGAGGCTCAAGAATACCAATTGAATGATATTGCTCTATCTGATGAGGAAAAGTAAGTGAAAGCGTAAAAAAACTAAATTTGTACCTACACTTTCTAGTTACTAAGTTCTGCTTCTCTTTAGTTTATTTTTTGACTCTGACTCCTACGATGAAGATGATGATGACGAAGAAATATTTGAATCTACACCAGTAGTAATGCCAATAATGAAAAAGGAAGGAACAATTAACTTGTCAACTTATACGGGAACAACACCTACCAACAACAATAAGTTGTCTCAAAGATTGATAGAGGAAAAGAAAAAGAGAGAAGACAAAGAGAAAAGGTCGGTTTCAAAGCTACAAAAACTATCGTCCCTTATAAAGCCTACTTCAACACCAAAGCAACAACCACAAGAAGATGATTCATCCTCTTTTCATACACACAACATAGTTGTTGGACTAAAGTCCGACCAAACCAGCAAAGACTGATATCTCAAGCCATCGACCGATTTAATAAATAATGGCTATTAATAGGGACTATTTTTTTTGGGGGTCGAAAATCTTTGAATCGACAAGACAAAATATCTTCGCCAACGACGATTTTTTTTTATTTATTATTTTTTTTTTCTAAAGCAACCTTTGTCTTCATGACCAAGATCTTTATGCGAAAGAAAGTAGTAGCAGTAGTGATAAAAGTTGTAAAATAGAAACATGGGTATATTTTTTAGTACCGAGACAAAGTCTCCACAAGATGAAAAGAGCACATCTGTCGCTGTTCAACCAAAACAAACTGAAGTAAAGGATTATAAGATCTTATTATTGGGTATGTTTTTTTTTTTTACGATCTTTTAACAGGTATCAATAACAGTCAATAACAACAACATTTTAAAATTACACAGGCGCAGGTGATTCAGGTAAATCAACAATCGCAAGACAAACAAGATACATTTATTTGAATGGGTACACAGATGACGAAGCAAAAGATTCTTTTCACGATAGCTGTCAACACAACATCTTACTTTGTATTCAGCTATTATGCAGAAACTTGGAAAAATATGGTTTGAAACCAGCTGAAGATATTCAAGTGGGTTCACGATAACAAAAGCAAATAGTAGTACTTTTTGATTAATAGACTTTTTTTTTTTTTCAACAGAAAGATGTAGATTATTATAAAAATATTAATCCATATGAATTACCATTGGAAAATTCATTGGTACCAGTAATTACCGCAATATGGAAAGATCCAGCTGTTCAACAATTATATAGTATTCACAGAAATGAAATTCAGTTGCCAGACGTTGCTAAATAGTAAGAAAAACAAAACATTCAAAAAAAAAAAAAAAACTATCTAGTCTATCAATCATTTTTCTAATCTATTATTTAATTTATAAGTTGTTTGGAAAATGTTGATCGTATAGCATCAGACTCTTATGTCCCATCAAAGCAAGATATTTTAAATTGTTTACAAAGAACTACTAGTACCAAGGAGTCTGAATTCATTGTTGACAGCGCAAAGTTGAATTTATTCGATTTTGGAGGAAAGAGAAAGGAGCGTAGACAATGGTTCCAACACTTTGAAGGAACAAAGGCAGTTGTTTTTTGTGCTGCTCTTAGTGATTATAATATCACCCTTATTGAAGATCAAGCCATCAACCGCTTGGAAGATACTATCCAACTGTGGAAAGAGGTTCTCGTCAACCCAGCTTTCAAGCATGTCCCAATTTTCCTTTTACTCACCAAACAAGATATCTTTAGAGAAAAACTTGGAAGAGATCCACTCGAAAAATATTTCTCTGATTATACAGGTAAAATTTTTTTTATAACCATAGAATAATTCTTTTTACAAATCATTAATTTTTTTTTTTTTTTTTAATAGGAGGAGATGATTTCCAAAAAGGTGTGGAGCATATTAGAAATTTATTCTTTAGAGAAACACCAAAGGGATTACTTGTTGTGGCTCACGTTTGCACAGCTACCAGCACTGAAAATATCAAAACTGTTTTCGATTCCATTCGAAAATCGATTGTCAACATCAACAATCAACGTGCTGCTCGATTAAGTACAGGTTCTACAAGTTCATCTTCGACGTCAGCAGCTCCTGCAAGCCCTGTGACCAATGCCACCACAAACACACCAATTGCTCAACCACAACAATAAATAAATACTAACCAACAAATAAATCATAATAGGCTGAGAGAGGAGAGCAGGAGAGTGCAATAGAGAGAAATCTTTATTATAAGATTCTTTTATTCAAAGTTTAAGTATTTTGAAAGAGATAACAAGCAAAATGCATGGGTTAGAGGTGTTGAAGACCAATAGGGAAAAGCTTCTGGGTTGAATCCAGTCCATGTGGTTGGAGTACTGGTATTTGCCCAGAGTTGACCAATCATATCTTGATACGTGTAAGCATCGACAACACCTGAAAAGGGTGAAACAATCGCATATTGTTCTTGATTATTGAGATGAGGGTCACATTCTGTACCGTTTATATAAAAGCATCTATTGGATGGATAAGCAAGAGTGTAGGTCGAGCTCCCCTTCATTGACCCAGAGAAGAATGCATTGTATGTTTGTTCCTTGTCTTTTAGCGCACGGTCGTTGATAAAATCAATAGCGCCATCGACCATGGTTTTAATCAGTGTGGGGGTATTGGCCAACCATGTATTGCTGTTTCCACTACGAGTAGTCCAAGTATCGATTAATGTCATCACCGCCAAACTAGTACTGAATAGTCTATCGTCGCCATTTAGAACCTTTTGACCTATTAAATCAGTGTCAGCATCGCCAAGGAAATCGTCCCAAAAGTAATATGTTTTTTGTCCAACCGTTTCTGACATGGCCGCTTGTAAGAGATGGTCAGTTACTGGCCCTTGAAGTGATTCGAGAAGAGTATCGAGAGCATACTCTAGACTGGATGGAGGTTGTTGGAATTCTTGCAAGAGGGCCACCAAACGAGAGATGAACCAAGAAAAGTCATATGTCGATGGGTAATACAAAAGGGTAATATCAGTGCGATTATAGACACGACCTGATGTGATTGCCCAAGAGACGGTGCTGGCTATGCTTTGACAGAGATTTTCAATATCTTGAGTGAAAAAGTCTGGGAGCTGACCATTATTTTCTAGGATGTATTGTCTTGTGGCAGAGGCAATACCAAAAAGTGAATTGATAGAAACGCTGAGGTCGATATTATTGACATTAAAAGGCATTTGAAGGTAGGGGAATGTTTGTTTTTGCTCAGAGATTGACATCATCCAAGTGGTTGGGAGGAGGAAGGAATCTTGTAAATCGGATGAGAGGGATTCCAAAAACTCGTGCATCATAAAATAGGATCTTGGGTCAATGGAATTTGAATCACTGGATTCATTGGTGAATGGGCGATAGGCATACTCGAGATAGGTTGAAAAAACGTTGGATGTGTTGGGATTGGCCAATTGCCAGGTCTGATATGTTTGTGGGTACATGTGTTTTATGGTTGAGAGTTGGTAACCAAGTGCAAGATTCACACCAGAATCATCACTGTCGGGTGGAATTTCAAATGCAACTTTGAAGGTGTCCATCATTTGTGCAATTAGTTTCATATCTTCCAATATTCCGTGCCACTTGAATAGCTGAGCAACCTTGTCTACAGCATTCTCAAAACTACCAAATGTATTCATCAAATTCAACAAATTGACAGGAAAGATTGTATAAATTCCTTTGGTTTGGTTATAGATTTGTGGCCAAAAGGTGTAAATTCCACTACCATCTGGTCTATTATGATCTTTATAGCTCAGTATCGCCTCCACAGCTGATTCCATTAAATCATTTGAAATGTTGACATTGCCCATTTTCTCTGCCTACAGATAAAACTGGTTGTTAATAAATAATAATAATAATATTTTTTGAAAAACATACTTCAATTAAGCTATATAGAATAAAGTTGGTTACAAACATATTAGAATCTGGGATCGCGAACTTTCTTCGTGCCTCTGTTTTCAAAGGGTTACCACAAAAGTTTACATGTACTTGACTTTTTATTATCACACAAAGACAGAGAGATAGATAAAAAAAAAGGTTAAGACTAGTCTGTTACTCAATAATAATAGTGATCACTTATACGATACCTTGGGAATAGTCCTTTTTGTTCTTGCCATGAAAGCTTTGTGATATCAAAAATAGTCGATTCTCTGTAACGAAAAGATTGTAAGAAGATGATGAGGATGAGGATTCTTTCAATTTCTTCTGCTTTGCTTCTTACTTGAACTGCGATTCTTGAATTAGATTGTATAAGCTAGTGATCGTATTTTGAATAGAATCCTGTCTTTCTATTTTATTTGAATGGGTGTCATCTGAAAACGGAATCTTATTAAAGGTGGCAACCTTTTGTTCAGTTGTTGCTGCTGCTGCTGCTGCTTTTGTTGTTATAAAAGTTGCACATAAACAAAGTAGTATGCTACTGATAACTATAATTGTACAATTATGATATTTCATTCTTTAGATATAAATATATAATACAACTATTAAAAACAGAACTATTCAGTGCGCGAAAAAAATTTTAAAACATTTTAAAAAAACGCCCTTAACTTTTCCGATTGGTTGTTGGAAAAACAAAAAAATATCTTTGAGCACATAAAATAGAATAAAATATTTTATTTCTATCTTGGGGTATCCATTTTAAAAAAGGAGATACGATTATTTATTATAATAAGAATAATAATAATTTTAGATATCAATAGTTTTTTTGTTTTTTTTTTTTTTTGTTGAATTTCTATTTAAACAAACCATAAAAAAAAGTACATCCTGAAAAGTTTCAATTCAACAACAATGATAAAATATTTGGATTTTAAAAGATTAATGTTTAATAGAATTGGTTTTAATGGCATTGGAAAAATAACATTTGATCATTTACCAGAAATATTGGAATCATTTTCAAACAAGGTGCCTTATAATAATTTTCATTTTTTCGAAAATCATATAAAAGGTACTGCAAGAAACGATCTAATAGACAAGATACTCATTCAAGGAACTGGAGGACTTAGCTATCAACTTAATGGATTAATGTTTTACTTTTTAAAAGAATCTGGCTTTGATGTCAATTTAATCTCTTGCCGTTTAAAGATACTAAAACAATGGACAAAGGAGAGTATTCATTTATCTTTAATATTAAATGATAGAGGAAAAAGATATATGGTAGAAGTTGGGACTGGAAGTTTATTGCCCCAAAAACCTGTATTGTTGGTTGAAAATCACAAGGATTGTAATTCTTCTGTCATTGAAAACCAAATTGGTGTCAAATTTAGGTTCCATGGCAACAATAATCTCTTTGGTCATCAATATTTATTGGAATCAAAAAAACCAGAATCTGAAAAATGGGAACCTTTATTGTCCACTGACATGCTTTATAGAAAAGATATTGCAGGGGCAATAAGAGAATCTCATGAATATTCCCTTGATATGGATCTGACCATCATTTTTGTACAAAAATATTCACTCCAACAACAAACAAAAAATTACCAATTTCACTGGAAAATGAACCTTGCTATATCTACCTATCAGGTGTCAACAATACTAGTGTTTTTGACAAATTCAATGACAAAAAACAAAGAGAGAATAATGTTAGATTTAAAGAGCCTAGATTTAATGAAATCATTACCAAATACATGGAGTATGGCAACAAAATAGTTTAAAAATAAATAATACAACATAAAAATTTCCAATCATTTATTATTATGATTGCCCATGATGAAAAGATCGCCACTGAGAGTAATATTCTTTCCACAATTTAAGATCGGATGTATCTATGACAAACTGAGTGATGTCTTCAGTTGGTTGATAGTCATTATTTCTCCAGAGGGTAGAGTGCTGGTTGATGTGACCCCAAAGACTATTGGATCTCTCTTTTAACTTTTCCGTCTCTCTTTCACGCATGTTATCGTAGAGGAATGTACCATAACGACACGAATAGAGGTGGTGCATAATCTCGAGCAAAAACTTTTGATTAAATTCAAATATGTTTGGATATTGCATGACCATCTGTGCAACACAGTCCATAAACTGAAGGAATATTGGAGATTGTTCACTTGTTCGAATGGCGCGGTCTCCTTTGACATGCCCGATACGTGATTCGAATTTGTGGCCAAAAGACAACCACTCTTTTTCGATAAGAATTTGGAATCCATGAATAGTACGGTAGTATCCATCGAGTATCAATTCAGCCAATGCACATAGCTGACTCGTTCTATCCCAGCCATCAGAACAGTGAACAATGACACTTGATTTGTAATAGCGAATGATATCAACAATTTCAACGACACCATATAAAATCGTTCTAATATGACCCAGCCACACATCTGTTGCCTTTGTCAGCTTGTCCTTTTCTTCGAAACTGCTACTGGTATCAGTATGATGTTGGTGTGATTGTTGGTGTTGTTGTTGTTGTTGTTGTTGTTGGTCACTCATATCATATCGTTCTTTTGTAATGGCTTTGAACAATTTTTTTTGAGATTCTCTCATTTTGTGAATATTTTCAATGCCAAGGAATTTTAAAATACAATTTGAGTAGGAATTCTTGTTGGTCGACTCGTATCCCATACCCATAACCTGATTGGCTACAGCATTAATTTGTGGTCTTGCGTCCATGATATAGACCTTTTCCGACAAGAGATTGGCCAAACGTATTGATTCTACCAATTTTTCATCTTCTATGCATCTTTTACCCATCACACCAATGACGGGTTGACTGCAACGAACCAATACAGAATATTCTTTAGGGTGTTTCCAAACCAAAACTGGAATACGTCCTTTGCTTCTAAAAGAGGCAACCTGTACCAAATCTTGGTCAGTTATCTTTTTAGGTACCACCAATACCTTTGGATAGGTTGGTGAAATATAATAGTCGTTGTTGAAATTGGTGACTCTCCAACTTTCATTTGGCACAAACATTCTATTGAATTCGTCAAGTGGTTTATAAATATCCCACCCCAAATTGACAGATTCTAAAAATAAATAGAGAAAAATGATCGATTAATATTTCTGAATATATACATGTTGATATTAAATAATTTACCTTTTAATGCAAAACAAAATAAATTTGAATAGTCATTACAAAATACAAGGGATTCAAAAATTTCATAAAGTCTACTGTTGGCCTTTTGTTGGGAGGATCCTGGGAGATGCATAAATTTGGCAGAGTGAAAATCTTTGCTACGTACTTCGAATGCATAATACTTGAGCTTGTCTGGAGTTTGTCCGGTGCACTTGACAATGTTGTTGATCATTGTCAATGGAATGGTTATCGGCTCGCTCTCGCATCGCTTTGAATGCTTGGATGAGGCCTGGACATATGGAATAAAATACAGTCGGTAATTGGTTACAGTAATAGATCCGATCGTACCAGAATTGCTATGGACATGTATGATGCTTTCCGAATGATATGTTACAGTTTCAAAAGGGAATAATTGAATTTCATTTGTTCGGGTGGTAGCACTGCTTGACGAGGATTTGGTAGATGCTGCTAGTGATTGTGGAAGGGAGGATTGGGTGTTTGATCTACTTATCGATAAAATAGGAGTAGATGAACCACTAGTTGATGGAATGGTTGCTTGGAGAAATGGTTGTTGTTGTTGTTGGCTAACATTTTCAGTGGCGGTAGTTAAGGAGGTATCTATACAATCTTTGTATGTCAAGGTCGCCTCTAGTAGCTCTAAACAATCCTTATCGATTTTACCCTTTTCATTTTTTGTAATGTCATCAACTAGCCATTCCTTGTCGTTTATGCAAACTTTGTAGGTGTGATCCTCCATCATCCCAACTTGGAAGTTTCTTTTTGGTACTTTTGTTTGAGAAAAATTCAAATTATTATTATTATTATTATTGGTTGATGATTTGTCTGTTGGTGACCTTGACATTGGTGGTGGAGGTGGTTGGTCCATTTTATAAAAATTGGTAGGAGAAGAATGGTTATTCTCATCAAGTTTGCTATTTGTAATATTGTGACTTTCTTTTTTTATAATATCTAGCCATTGAGTTTGTTTAGACTCTGACTCTGAATGAATAAAATATTTTGAGTCATCTTCCTCATTGATTGCATTGTTGTTGTTGTTGTTGTTGTTGTGGTTGTTGAGTGCTGCTGGTTTTAGTAGGTTTTCTACTTTTCGAGGTCCGCCTGCATTGCCAGTATTTTTTGTTGGGGTAGATGTTAAAACCTTGATCTCGATGCAACTTTTTTCATGTCTTGTAACAACATTTGCTTCACAAGCACGTAAGAGAATTACCCCCTTTGCAGTTGCATATACTTGTTCTCTGTTCTTCCAAAAGAATAGATTTGAATTGATGATGACACAATAAACTTTTTTCCAAATCTTTTTCTTTGACAAGGTCGATAACTTTCTTCCAGACTGTGACCATAGGTACATATATCCCTCAATTGATGGATTGGTAATTGTTTTCAGAGATGGCTAAATTGAAATTAAATAAATAAATTAATAATGAGGAAATAAATGAATTCTAAAAGAGGAGCTATACTATACAGAAAAATTAGGGTCAAGAAATACTTTAAGATTTCTAGATTGTTTTGCCTTGGGAGATTCTGAAATTGCATTAAAAAATGCTTGTAATTGTTCTTTACGTTGTTTAATAAAAGAAGGATTCATATTTCCTAATAGTTTCTTTGATGGAAATTCGAATGATGACAATCCTGGTACCTCTGTTTGAATCTATGAAAACAAATATAATAAAAATAATAATGTAGTTAGTATTAAGGCTATCATATGTCATATGATGGTGTAGGTGCTTTCATACTTTTTGTGAAAAAGCTCTGACATGTTTATAACGTCTAACGATTGTCCAAACGTTTTGATCACTTTTAACCTTTATAACATAGACAGTATAACCTTTTTGGTTTGAATAAACAGTCTCTGTAGACATGATAGCAAGGCTAAATTTAGAAGACTTGTCAACTGGTACCATCACACTGCTCGAGTAAAATGCAGGGCTAACAAAATTCTTTGAACTAGCAACACCTCCTCTACTTATTGTACCAGTAAATAATTTTCCATGTCCACTTTTTGGTCTACTACTACTATTGGTGCTTGTTGGAGATGTTGATTTTGTGTTTTGTTCATTATTATTATTATTATTATTATTATTATTATTATTATTATTATTATTATTATTATTATTATTATTAGTGGTTGTTGGAGATACCTTTCCCTCTGTCCAATTTGAAGCTACAGGTTGCCGACTAGTAGACATGGCTGATGTCAAAGACACATTATCGCATTGACCATTTAAAAGAGGAGACCTCTTTGTACCAATAAGTGCATTATTATTATAATTATTATTATTTAATACTATGGTTGTTGGTGGACCTTCTGTTGAATAGGTCGGTGCTGTATAGTTATTACTAGTGTCAAACATATTATCACCGTCATCAGAGTTGTACATGTCATTGTCATAACCATATGAATCATCTTCATCTGAACTTGAACTATCCTCTTCAACTTGTCTGTTATTGTTATTGTTATTGTTGTTGTTGTTGTTATTGTTGGATATTGTTGTTGATGTTGTTGTTGTTGTTGTTGTTGTAGATATTACTTCTACTTGGTCATTATTACTAACCATTCTCGATCTGAGTTGTTTCTTTGCTTCATCTGACAATTGCTCCATTGCTGTGGTTGTAGATTTTGTTTTGTCTCTCTTCTTTAAAGATTAGAGTTCAGGTCAACAATAATTATTGGCATAATAAATATTTCTCTTACTCTCTCTACTCTTCTTTTCTCTCTCTGTCTATATTTTTTATACTGCAAGGAAAAGATATGTTTTGGGGTTTCAAAAAAAAAAAAAAATCTTTTAAAAATATATATATAAATCTTTATTGGTTTATTTATTTTTTTTATCTAATCATAAATCTATTCTTTGATGGCTCCTCTTCCTTTCTCATCTTTGTCATTTCGTCTCTGATACCATCTTTGTTCTCTTTAAAGAATTTTTGAATCTCTGATGCATTCTTTGGAATTTCTTTACCAAGTTTCTTGTATCTAGATAAAACATCAAAGATAACCTTGGCATTGCCAAATGTAGTCAACATACTAATGCATAGGGAAAAGAGAATGATTGTTGGTCAATCCGCTCGATCAGAGAATTAATATATATCGATATCTATATCTATACATACGATGATAGTTGAGACGAAGATACTGCAGCATCAGCACAAATTCTTTGTTTAATCTTGAAAGCATATTTCTCAAAAACCTTTGGGTTTGCTTTCTCCTCTGCCTTCATATTATCGATGATTTTCATGTACACTTTGAATTCCTCTACTTGGTCTGATGACTTTCCAGCTTTTGTTAATGGTTCTATTGCCTTTTCCAAGTAGACTCTAAAATCTTCAAAGTCATATTTTCCGGCCTAAAGTTGGTTGTTTGTTTGTTTGTGTTGAATGTTGTTAATAGATTGTAAATAAAAAGAATATTTTTCCTCCTCCTCCTCCTCCTCTGCTACATATGTATGTTTGGTGGACACAAACATTTAACATTCTATTGAATTCTTGGTCGTCAGCTTCTAATTGTTGTCTTTTGATTGCCTCTGCTTCTGGTGATAATTTTTCAGCTGTTTGTTGTTGCAATTGTTGTTGTTTTGGGCCACCCTGTTGTTGTTGTTGTTGTTGTTGTTGGAATTGTTGTTTATCTTCTCTCTTGATTGGTTGTTCTTTTTTCTAATAGATTGTTTGAGAGATTTTTGTTAATGAAATACATTATTGATAAACTATAAAACAGATACACATACATCTCCTGTAAACACATTCTTTATCTTTCCGAAAACATCAAACAATGAATGATTTGGGTTTGATTGCTTAAAGTAAAATCGGTTGTTGATTTTACTGTCATTGTTATTATTATTGGTGAGATATAGTGATGACGATGAGTGGGGAGAGGCTGCAAAAGTATTGCGAATAGATCTAATACTACTAATGCGGGTCAATCTAGATGTAATCATGGTTAGGTTAAAATGATAAGATAAATATGCACGACCATTTAATCACACCTAATTTTTTTTTTTTTTTTTTTTTTTTTTAATATTTATTATTTAATTTTTTAAAAAAGGTATCAAACCGGTCCATCAGGGATAGTAGTTGTTTGGATTAGACTGTGATTGTTGGTGTTGTTGTTGTTGGTGTGGTTGCTGTCGTTGGTGTGATTGTTGTTGTGGTTGTTGTGGCGGTTGTTGTTGTTGTTGTTGGCCATACATTGGTGTTTCATAGATTACTCCTTGTTGTGGCGGTTGGTTGGTATAATACTGGGATGTATGTTGTGGTGGCGTTGAAACTGGTTGTTGTTGTTGTTGTTGTTGGGGAGGTTGATATTGGCTAACTGGAGGACCCCCAAATGATTGAGGAGGAGTTTGATATGGGTTATATGGTGGAGGTGTATATTGATTCGTTGGTGGTCCATAGGAATGATTGGAAGGATAAGAGTATGTATATTGATGGGGTGGGGGTGATGTCAGTGTATGACTTTGTGAACCATTACTATTATTATTATTATGAATATTATGATTATTATGGTTATTAATATTATTATTATTGCTTAAATTATTATTTTCATTGTAGTGTAGTGAGTATTGATTGTTGGGTGGAGATGTGTTTGAAATGTAGCGCATATCCGATGACGGTTGTTGTCCTTGATGTTGTTGGTATTGATATTGTTGTTGATGTTGTAATTGTTGTTGTTGTGGTTGCTGTTGAAATTGTTGTTGTGGTTGTGGTTGAAATTGTTGTTGTGGTTGTTGTTGAAATTGCTGTTGTGGTTGTTGTTGAAATTGTTGATGCTGATGTAGTTGTTGTTGATGTTGTGGTTGTTGTTGCTGATGTTGTCGATCTTGTAGTTGTGGTGGTGGTGGTTGTTGATAATTTAGCCTAGAGTCTACATTTTCCATAGAACTATTTGTGTCTTGTCGTCTGTTTCCGTGATATCCAGTTTCCCTATCGTTGTATTTTCTAGGGCTTTGTCCGCGATCCACATTTCTACCTCTTTCCATACTTCTAGAACGACGGTCCATACTTCTAGAACGACGGTCCATACTTGACCGGTTCCTGTATGATGATCTAGACGGACTCATTCCTCTATTTGAGCCTCCTCGATTCATTCTTCTTTCTCTCTCTGGGCTCATACGACGAGTGGGGCTTCTTCCCCTTGATTCTCTAATTGGACTCGAATCACGGGTCATACTTGACCTGCGATTCGATCGATCACGGGTAGGACTTGGACTCTTGCGAGTGTCTTTGATTCGAACTTGTGGAGGCAGGTATTTGTGGCCAAATATCTCTTTGTTTCTCTCTTCTATGACCCATCTTTCGACTTTAATCTTTTCTCTGGCCAATTGGTTAGTGCAAGCCTTGTAGTTGTGTCCATAGATACCACACTTTACACATATTTTATACTTTTCGCGAAACCAAAGGATAGATGGATCCAAAGAACGAATTTCTTCCGTATATTTGTCTTTAGCCTTTTTCTTTGGTCGCAAAGGGAAGCGTATAGGAGAGCGAGATCTTAGGGGAGACGAGTCCTCATTTTTTCTTTTTCTATCTCTTTGATCATTTCTTTCGGGTGATCTATCCCTGTAACCGGATTTACCACCACGTGATGGCGACAATGATCGTCGAGATGGCCTGGTTGAATCTTTATCGTTGTAACTATGTTTGTCATTGAATGGCTCCCATTTAACAAGGTCAAGATATTGACCATCTATTTTCTTTTCTCTTGATAATTTAAATGCAGCTTCGCAATCTCTAACATCGTAGAAATCAACCATACTATAGAGGTAGAGGTGTTTTGATTAGTACCAAAAAAAATAAATGATGGAAATCAATCTTGTACATACTATTGATTGTTTGCATTTTTTGAAATTTCTTTTAGCTCACCGTAACGATTAAAATGTGATTTCAATTTACTAAGAGATATATCACCATTTCTTACAAGAATGATGCTCGATATTTCAGGCGAGCTTTTAGAAAAGCTTATATGGATCTGTTGGAAAAAAATGGCTTTAGTATCAACATGTTGAGGAATAAATGAAAATACATACTGGTCTGTTTCTAATTTTTAGGCCTTCTGCTTTGATCTTTGCGGTTTCTGCATCTCTGATATCATACTATAGTAAATATTTAGAGTACCATATTTAATAATAATGGTTAATAAGGAATGGGACTAGATTATTATTTTTGTTTGATAGACTTACATAGGCAATAAAACAAATACCTCTTGAGATTTGGGAGAATTTTCTTCTAATCTCACCATATTGCTCAAAGATTGATACAACCTCCTCTTCATCAGATCCAATTAATATATTTCTAACAAATAGGGTTCTGCATGGTGTGTCTTTTTTTTAAAAAAAACAATAATAAATTACACTGTCGATAATATCTATAGTAATGTCTTTAAAGATTAGGTTTACTTACTATCACCAGATTCGATGTCATTGTTGAAATCATTTTCGGTTGAAGCAGTCGTAGTATGGTTATCTTGTTTTTGGTTGGTTACTTCATTTTGTATATTGTTTGTCGTTGTCGTCGTTGATGATGATGATGAATGTGGTGGTTGTTGTTGTTGTTGTTGTTGTTGTTGTTGTTGTTGTTGTGGTGGGAGATCTTGCTTTGTTTGTCTATAAGATTTTAAGTTATTCAACAGGTCATTGACTGCGTCGATCTTTTGCTCGTCATTTTGATTCTGTTTGTCCCAATTTATCTCTAATTGATATTTAAAGTCATTCCATTGATATACTGTATCAGTTACAGTCCATGTACGATCGAGCATTCTTGGTGGAAATGCCTTATAGATGAGAATGACCCAACTCTTTAATTCTTCCTCTACATGATGCATCGCACATATCTCTTCAAATGCATCACTCCATTGCTGAAATGTGATGTCGCTTTTGAACATATTCTTTGATAGTCTGTGTAGCAAAATATCAGAGTCATTATCATCTAGAATACTCTTTAAACCGTTAGGGAGTGACTGTGGTTTGATAGAGTATCTAAGCAGGGATTGTTCGCATAATTGCCCTAAAGTTGTTTTCTTTGTTGTTATTGTTGGCGGAGGTGGTGTTGTAATTCTTGTTTCTGTCATTGTTTACAGCTGCAGAGAGAGAAATTATCTTGTATGATGATCTTTTATTTTATAAACTAGTCGGTCGATTCGCGCAAACTCTATATGTATTCTCATATATGAAGATGAGCAAGTTGTTTGCACTATTTTTCTTTGGTTTTAATTTTGAGTGTAATTAAATGAATAAATATTTGGTGAAGTTGATTAATCCTTAATTGTAGAGACCAATGATTCTTTGAGTCAATGGTGTAGTGTACGTTCAACTAGTTAATAGTAATTTAATAAATATTATTATTTTTTGTGAATTTAAAAAAAAAAAAAAAAAAAAAAAGGTTTCAACCCCAGCCCAAAAGTTGTAGGTGTTTAATAATGAAACATCACTAAGAAGAAACATGTCACAAACTTATGTAAATCATAATCAACAACAAAAAAAATATCTATTCAAGATTATTCTCATTGGCTCCAGTGGTGTAGGAAAGACAAGTCTTCTTAGCCAATATGTCCACAAAAGATACATTCAACAACATAAAGCAACGATTGGTGTAGACTTTCTTACTAAAGATCTACAACTTAAAGATAGCAAAGGTGAAACTTGTTCTGTAACATTACAAATATGGGATACGGTAGGTTTGAATGAATCAATCAATCGATCTTAATCAATCAGCTCAATATCTAATCAACTAACTTAACTTTAATCAAAACATTCAAAATTGTTGTTGTTGTTATGTTATATAGGCAGGACAAGAAAGATTCCAAAGTTTAGGAAGTGCATTCTACAGAGGAGCAGATTGTTGTGTATTAACCTATGATGTCAACGACCAAACCAGCTTTGAAAACCTTGACCGATGGAAAAATGATTTTATTCACCAGGCAGCACCATCATCACCATCATCCTCTCCGATTCCATACCAACTAGTTGTCATTGGAAACAAGATAGATATGGAGAATCAAAGATGTGTTTCACAGAAAAGAGCACAAGCATGGTGCACAGAAAACTCTGTAATATCCTACTTTGAAACATCGGCAAAAGACCATCAATTGGTTGAACAGACATTTGAAAGTATTGCTAGACAGATAGTTTTGGCAATAGAAAAACAGTTGTAAGTATTACTTGTTGTTCTCAACCTTTCCTGCTATTATTAACCTTTCATTCTTTTTTCAAAAAGTATCATTCCATACCAAAACGCTGACCCAAATAAGGTGGACATAAAGAAATCAGCCAACAATGAAAAGGAAAAGAAATAATCATAATGTAAATAATGGATGATCTTTATACTTACCAATACATACATACATACATACATACATACATACATACATACATACATACATACATACATACATACATACATACATACATATATATTTATATTTATATTCACTCTGCAGGTATTGGTCTTGACGATTGGTAGACCAATATCTGCATAGATCTTTGTACATAACCATTTAATCGATCGAAAACAAATAAATTTATTTATTTATTTTGTAATGCTACGCAATTCCAACATTGAGATAAAATATTCCAAAATATATAGGCTGGTGGCTATTTGTTCTTTCTTTTATTTTTACAACCAATATCATTATCATTGTGGCTGTTGTTATTGTTTTCATTGTTATTTAACAGTCTATCAATATCTTCATCAGTAAAGTTGTGATTAATTAGATCCAATATATTTGAAGAATTTGATACTCGAGAAAACCTTTCCATCTCTTTAATGTCATCCTCGTCTATATCTATTTGACCGGTTCTCTTATTTTTAAATAATTCTTTATAGAGGTCCTCTATTTTCATTGATGCCAATCTTTCCATCTCTCTGCTCAACTCTACATGTTTCTCTTCCTCCTTTTCGACGTCATAATTATTTAAATCCAACGAAATGGGGTCGTCACTACTACTACTGACGATAGTAGGTTTTTCTTGTTCGACAAGAGTTGATGTTGTTATTTGTGGTTGAATATTATTAGATGGTGATTCCAAACTAGGTCGAGCAAATTCGTCTTCGATAAAGAAATCACGAACAGGTTTGGGAGGGTTGTGTATTTTGTCATGTTCATGCTTTTCGCTGCAACGCACAACAAATTAAATTTAGTATTAGTTTGAAACATAGATTGATGCACATCTATCTTGCAACATACATTGATTTAATTTCATCTTTGGAAAATGTTAAAGGAATCGGTTTAACATGAGGATAGTGATGAAGTTGCCTTGAAGTCATTCTAAGCATTTCTTTGTTCTTGTCTATTGCTTTGATTTGTTGTGATTGTATTTGCATTCTCTTTCTGTTGAATTCTTTATCTATTTGTTGTTGTTGTCGTTGTTGTCGTTGTTGTTGTTGTTGTTGCTCGCCATCGTCATCATCATCATCATCTTCTTCTTCTTGAAATATGTTTCTTGTTTTCTTATTTTTTGGTTTAGTATTGGAAGCATGCTTGTTTGTTGTTGCTTTTCTAAATACGCTATTCAGATCGTCATCTTGATCTAAATCAAAATCTTGAATACTTGAATCATCTTCAACTATATTATCGTTTTCCCTTTTAAACAACCTATTTAATTCATTTTCATCATCTAGATTGACTTGAGATATGTATTGGTTTTCTTCTTGTTCTTCTTCTTTTTCTTCTTCCTGTTCTTCTTGTTGATTTAATATATTTCTACTTGTAAAAGAGTGAGATGATTCTAAAAAGAGGTTATCTGATTTCTTTTTAAACATTGCATTTATATCTTTGAGCGACATATTGGTATCGTCACTATGATTAAGATGATCATCGTGTGGTGCTGATGAGGATGCAAATGAAGCAGTAGTAGTAGAGTATTTGGTTCCATATGATTTTGTTGTTGAAATAAATAACCTTATGGTACATGGTTCTATTCTATACAAATGACAGTGAGAATAACGATAAAGATTATTCATCATAAATGCATTTATAATCAAAAATAAAGATAATAAGCTTTAAAGTTTTAGCACTTGTTGCAAAAACGAAACCAAAATAAAATTAAATTAATTAATTTTAATAGTAGAACCAAGAGTGGGGGGTCATCGATCATTAAGAAAAGAGTATGTCGTCACCTTCATTGAACAACAACAACAACAACAACAACAATAACAACAATAACAACAATGAAAATGTAAACAACAAGACAAATAAGAAGAAGGTTTCATCGTTTCTACCAACTCTACCACTGCTCGATGACCTGGTTGAAAAGATAACGCTAACATCGATACCAGCATACTCTATGGGTGCTCTATTCATGGGTACATCGTTATACTATAGGTTTCATCTAAAGTCAATGATATCAAAAATATCACTCCTATCGAGTGTCCTTTTTCTTTCATCAGCCGTAATGATTGATAAACCAACCTATCAATATCAAGGTACCATTTTAGCTGGTGGTAAGTATATAGATCAAAATGAATGACTACTACTACTATAGTAGTATGATTTATTGTTGTTGCTAATGACAGTTGTATGTTTAATAGGTACATCGGCATTGATTGCAGCATCTACCACTGCAAATGCATTCAAAAGTAAAAAAGTATTACCACTGGCCTTGGGGACTGCTTCATTTGCTAGCATGGCTTATCATGCATTCTTTCAACTATATAATGATTTGACGCCTGTTCAGAAATTGATTAACCAACGACATGAAATTCTACTCGATACTAAAAAACAACAAAACCAAGAGAGAAAAGATCAATTATAAATGTAAATTAATTTTATTTAATATATATATATATATATATGATTGTAACTAGTTGGTTATTGTTTTGTTTTGTGTTGTTGTTGTTGTTGTTCATATGAATGTTGTGTTGGTTGTTCAAGCTTGAGATTGTGGTTTTGTTTTTGGTTTTAGACTTCCCTCACTTCTTAGTACCTCCAAGAGACCTTTGTAAGTATAGTCTGTATTGGGTGTAAATCTATCGAGCTTTTGAGTAGCATCATCCAAGTAGTCAAAGTACTCGTAGTGTTGGACATCATCGGAAGCATAACGATAACATTGGATGGTGGCTGTAAAGTCGTTGGTAATGTTTATGAGTTGATGTGTTTGGAAGATATTAGGTGCTAGGTATGTGACTTGATCTTGGTTGAAATTAGCTTCCAAAAAGGGTAATTTTATGCTAGGGTTGAGGTCACTAAAATACTTGCAGTGTATGGAATTGTGGAGCACCTTGATCACGGCAAATGCATCGGCATGCTTGTGGATTGGCGATCTATGTCCAGCTGGCCATAACTCCAAAACAAATGGTTTACCAGGAGAGTAACCATAGTTCTCTCCCAAAGTGACTCGAAGATAGGTCTCATCTAGCTTGGAATGATGAACCTCTTTCTTTTCGAGCAGCTTGTTGTAGAGTGCCTTACCTGGTTTGAGACTCGCTCTAATAGCATCTTGAACATCCTTTTCCAAAACGATTGATGGACCAGCTACAACACTATAGAGTGCTTGGCATTCTTTTGGAAGGTTACCAATGGTAGTGATAAATCCCTCTTCAATTTGTTCGAGTGTAATCTTTTCCTGGTGAACAACAAAAGGTGGGGTTGGTACTACAACTGGATCAATGTAATACTTGGCCTTTAAAATAGATAAAACATCAAGAGATGTACCAACATATTTTAAATCATCTAAAAATCTAAATAAATAATAAATAATAAATAAAAGAAATAGTGTTGTTTAATATTTTCCTTCCTTTTCTAATAATAATAATAATAATAATAATAATAATAATAATAATAATAATAATAATATATTCATAGTTGATACCTACTTTACATTTTCAGGTGATTTGTACTTTAAAAGTGTCAGATTCTCAATTGCTTCTCCTTTTCCAAATTTTAGGGATCGATTGTTACGATCGATTGAAATCCAATAATTGATTTCATTTCCCTTCTCCAACAATGCCTTGGGATTGGTTGTTTTGGCCAAAATGGTTTCTGGGTTGTTGTCATTACGGGAACGGAACAATACTTGGCTCTCAGAGACTTCCAATACATAGATATTCTTTTGGCCTTTGGTATCAATCTTTTCAGAGTTGAGATAGATTCTAAAAGATGAATTTGCCTTGATTCTCAATCTGATACTGCCTTGACTCAACACAAAGCATTCTAGATCCTTGATGTAGTTTTCAACTGGCACTGGATTGGCAGATGGTGGTGAGTTCACATTTGAAATTTGACTTAGAGCAGCACCAACGATGGCTTGGGCAAGATGTAAATCAAATCCAATCTTTGATTTATCAAGCTTTGTAAAAGCAAAATACTTTGCATCAAAATCTAATATTGGTTGTGACATCTAGAGATTAAATAGATTTCAAAGTTTGGTTTAGTATTTGATTTTTTATTCACAGATAAGCTCTTGTATTATCTACCTTTGTTTTAATTGTTTGTTGAATGATAATGTATGAATAAACCAAAACACAAATTTTTGTTTTATATACCTTCATTTTAAATATCTCATTGATTGATTGGGATGAACTCCCCCACGACGGTTGATCGAGATTGTTTTTTTTTTTTTTTTTGGCAAAACCAATCCAATTTTCATTGGGCAGATTAGAGGCTGGCTGATTTAAATCAACTGTCTTGTTGTGTGTCTTCTTGTAATTTGGCAATGAGAGCCGGCAAGTGCTCGATTGAAAGTGCAAGGAATAGTGGTGTTCTTCCAAAGTCATAATGGGTTTGACGATGATAAAATAAAATATACTTGTATTCCAGTGGTTGTTGTTGTTGTTGGGGCATCCCATTATTATTATTATTATTATTATTATTATTATTATTATTATTATTATTATTATTATTATTATTATTATTATTATTATTATTATAGGTTGATGGTATTTTTGATAATGCATCTATATTTGTATTATAATAAGGAGTTGGAATGAATGGATATGGATTATCCAATGATCTGATTGATGAAGTTGTTTCTGATAATTTGTCACATTTCCAAAAGAATCTAAACTCTGTCTCTGCATCATAATACATGTATCCTTTCCAACACAATACATCAAGTACATGATAAACCTTTTCAATAGGATCAAAGAGACAATCGAGTATACAATATCTACTGTTATTTCCACCACCTCCTCCTTGATCGGATCTGTTGCTAGCAGGTGATCCATATGGAAGAGCTGATGGAAAATTGGCAAGTAAATGTCCGTTTAAATCACGGGCAGCAGTATTTCCTTTTTGCGATATCAACAAACATCTTGTTCCATTTGGTACTGGCACGGCATACCAATCATATTCAAACGATGATGGAATATCGTTCATTTGCTCTGCCAACATCATATTATTCGAATAATAGAGCATATCCTCTTGTTTTTTTCTTTCCTCGTTTTGTTTCTTGTTGAATTGTCTCTTTTCTCTCAATTTTTCTTTCTTTTGTTGTTGTTGTTGTTGAAATTGATCATCTATTACCATATCATTTTCATCTTGTTGATCTTTCTTTGTTGTTGTTGTTGTTGTTGTTGTTTCAACATCATTATTGTTATTGTTATTGTTTGTGATTTCATCAATAGTTGTTGGAGCTTTTAATATATATCTAATTTGATTTATAATATCTCTTCTCTTTAATTGTTGTCTCTCTAGATAATATTCTCTACGCTTTTCAGATTCAGGTTCAGAGATGATTGCTTTATAGGTTGATGGTGATCTTTGGTTATGAGCAGATACCGTTGGTAATGATGATGTTATTGTTGATGGGAATAAAAGAGAGTCTTGAAAAAATGATGATGATGGAGTTGTTTTGGTAAATGATGTTTCATTGTTGTTGTTGTTGTTGTTGTTTGTTGTATCATTTATATTGTTTGAGGGTGATGACCAATCAGAACGACCAAGTAGAGTTGCCAACAAATTTGCTTCCTCTTCATTCTTTGCTTTGTTTAATGATTTCATCTTGTATTCTGTCATGTTATTCTTATCTATCTATCTACGATGTTTACTATTATAAATAGATCTGGACCCAGAGAAGAATAAAATACAAAAGATTTTGTGTTTTTTTTTCTCAACAAAAGATTTATTTTGAGGATTTTTCTTTTATTATTATTATTATTGTAATACAATGAAAAGGTTTTAAAAATAAATATATGATGACCTGTTCTTAAATTTTATGAATGATCATGTGGTTGACTTATTATTGTTGACCTTCTTCTTGTTGTTGTTGTTGTTGTTGTTCTTTGAGAAGGTTTGGATGAATGGTCAAGACGAGTGGCTTGCCAAGGATTCTTTCAAAGAGGTTCATTACATCGAGACAAGTAGTTTCAAAGTGAGAAGTAGCATCATAAGAGGTGGACAAGAAAGTCTTGTCTTGACGACCATCGGCGATTGGTTCGAAATAGTCCGAGACTGAAGTAAACTTTTCGACGATTGGACCAATCAAGTCATAGGCTGCTTGTAATTCCTTTTCTGGTTCGTTGGTTTCAACGTTTGTAGAAACGATAGCAACATACTTGCCCTTGGCACAAACCATGTGTGGTGATGAAATGACACCAATGTAAATATCACTCTTGCGACCAACTTGCTTTTGTGGAATGATGATTTGGCATGATTCATTGTTGTTGGAGTTTGGTACTGGGGCGTTGAGGATACAGATGGAACGGACAACACGACCAGTCAACTTTACCTTGTCTGGGAAGTAGGATGGATCGGCAACAACATAGTCGGCAGTGACAGTCTCTCCTTCAGAGGTGACCTTGATCTTACCATCTTCAGATACAATCTTTTCGATTGGCTTGTTCAACATATAGGTACCACCATAGATGGCAGACAAACGGGCAAATGCTTGTGGTAACTCTCCCAAACCGTACATTGGGTAAATGTATGGTGATTTACCGTATCTAGCCAATGAATCAACATATAACTTCATTCTTTGGAATGATTCAATAGCTGGCTTATCTAAATATCTAATAAAATAATAATAAATATATCATGTCTATAGGATCTCTCTATCTATCTATTTATCTATTTACTTACTCATCATTGAGGTAAAGACACAAAGCATGACCAATGAAATCGATTGGATCAGCCTTGAGACCAAACTTGGCAAAGACAGCTCTCATTGTGGTAGTTTTGAGATTCAAACCATCATGAGTCTTGGGGTCTTCCTCATCATAGTTTTGGACAAAACTAAAGAATTTCTTGCAAGAGAATTTTTCAAAGAAACCCAACAATGACGATGAGAGAGCTTCAGAATCGGAAGCAGGTACCTTTTGGATCTTTGGCTTTTGGTAGACATAGGAACCATCAACAACCTTAAAGTCTAGGTAACGGGTGACATCGGTGTGCAACAACATCTTGACAAGCAAACCAGAAGAGAGAATAAACTTTGGAATAAGATCAATGTTGTAGTCACGAGAAGCTCCCAAAGTTGGTGGTGGTTTGGCACCAGCACGGAACTTTTCAAACAATTGATTCAAATTAAGTGAAGCTGATTCACCTCCATAATATCCATTTCTATCCATATGCAATACCTAAATAATAATAATAATAATAATAATAATAATAATAATAATAATAATAATAATAATAATAATAATAATAATAATAATAAAGAAAAGGGGTTTAGATAGTGCAACCATATGGTATACCATCACACACAACACACACAAACACAAAATGTGTGGGTTTGTTGCTCTAAAAATTACCTTTTTGCCTTCAACAGAAAGTAACCCTATAAAAGAGAGAGTGATAGAAATTGATACAGATATCTTATATTAGTAACCTATTGACAGATATTCTCTCTCTTTTTTATTCTCTCTCTCTCTCTCTAAATAATTGATCAAAATTGAAATCTATTTAGATGAATATCTATAAACTCTATGTGTATATATATGTGTGTATATATAAATTTATAGATAGATAAACACCTGTAGATCTACTCTTTTGCTAGTTTTTGCTTTCTACTTACCAGAAATGATACATTCTTTCAAGCCTGTTCCCAAGACAATACAATCATAGTGTTCATCCATTTTTTATGTGTAATATTAATATATATAAAGTGATAATAATAATTTTAAACTGTGAAAAAAATGGGTGAACTGCTTCAAAAAATTCAAAACAAAAAAATAAATTTGAAAAAAAAGAAGTTTGGATTTTGTGTGGAGAGAAACCTATATTGTTATTGTCCTTGTGATTCTCATTTTTTTGTGGATGAATCAAGTATTATTATTTATTGCAATATAATTTATTAGGATTGTCTATATAGCTGATTATTATTATTATTATTATTATTATTATTATTATTATTATTATTATTATTATTATTATTATTATTATTAGGATAAATCACCATTAAATCAAAAATTAAAATAAATAAAATTCAAATAATTTTTTCAACCCAACACAGAAGATTTTTGTTAGGCAACATACGGATAAGAAAGAGAGAGAGAGATCGATTGGTATATATTTATAAATATCACAATATAGTATAAATCCAACATGGTTACAACAACGACGACTGCAACAACAACAACAGCAACAAACAATATTGAAGGATTACCATCAAACGATGTCGATCTATTCAACATTGACTATAGTGATCTTTTGATTCTAGAAGATCAAACAGAGGTTGGAAGAGGTTCATTTGGCAAGGTATTAAAAGCATCTTATTTCGGTACTACCGTTGCTGTAAAGGTATTACACTCTCTAGTCACTTCTGATCCTGATTATAATAAATTTATGCAACGTGAAATAAGAATATTAAAGTATGAATCAATCAATCAATCATACATATATATATATATAGATTCACCTTACTAATTTTGAATATATATTTATATTTATCTAATATTTAGGGGAATGAGACATCCAAATATTGTAATGTACATTGGAGGATGTATACATCAAGACAGACATATGATTGTAACAGAGTACATTGGTGGAGGTGATTTGCATCAAGTTTTAAAGACACGACCACAAGATTTGACATGGCAAACAAAAATAAAGATTGCTCTAGATATTGCATCGGCATTCTCTTATCTACACTCCAAACAGATCATCTTTAGAGACCTCAAAGCCAAGAATATTTTGATAGAAGAGGCTGGTGGCTCAATCATACGTGCAAAGATTTGTGATTTTGGTTTTGCTCGTCACCTCGAGACTAAACAAAGTCGTAATCTCACCCTATGTGGAACTGAAATAACAATGGCTCCTGAAGTTATTGTAGGTGATACTTATGATGAAACTGTATGTATATATAATAAAAAAAAAAGAAAAAAAAAAAAAAGAAAACTAATAATAATAATAATAATCCCTATAATTCCTACCTACCTTAGTGTGATATTTATAGTTATGGTATATTATTATATGAATTAATTTGTGGAACTAGAACAGTAAAGAATGAACTAAAGAGAACACCTGAAAAGTCATTTGATTTGGATTTGGATTTAGCTGATTCCTATGCTTCTTCGACATGTCCAAAAGCATTACTTGAATTGGCTAGAATCTGTTGTTCATATGATCCCAAAAAGAGACCAAACTTTAAAACAATTACAATGGGTCTAACGGATTTGTCATCAAAACCATTGGCTTCACTCCCTGTCAAAGGTGGACAATCACCAAGAACTAGCAACAACAATAACAACAACAAGAGTTTAAATAATATTAAATTTGAAAACACAGATTCTGTAATATATAATGGACCAAGTGGAACTATCAATTCAATGACAAATATTGGTGGCGATGGACAAGGGACTGTACAATACAACTCTGTCATTATTAATCACGATGTTGAAACTAAAAAGTTCCCACAAGAGGCACTTGTTGATTATGGTGGCAAGAGAAACAAGATTATGAATCCATCATTCTTTTCACCACCATCCTCCTCAACAACAACCTCTACTTCTTCATCTACCACTAACACCTCCACAACAACAACAACCTCTACTGACTCTTCTTCTAATGAATCGACAACATCTGTTGTTGTTCAGCCACCAAACAACACGACCATACCAAACAACAAACAGGAAAAAAAATTGTTATTTGCCGACGATTGTTCGACTGAAAGTGGATCACCCCCATCAACCCTGTTTACATCGATGACCATTAGCGAAATCAGATACCGTGAGCCATCTGTTTTTGAAAATCCAGATGATATCATCCAAATGAAAAGAAGATTCTTGTCATCACCAAATCTTCCTAGTCTTGGACAACAAGATACTACACAGACTTCTACCGACAGCTCGACTGCTACAAGTGGTCTAGCAAACAGTTGGCATCCAACTACTGGTAACTCAACACCAAATAATAATAATATTAATAATGGAAAGAAAAAAAAAGGGAGGAAACAGAAAAAAAAAAGGGGGCAATAGAAAGAAATAAATAATTTATTTATGAATAAAAGAAATTAATCTTCAAAATTGGGTTTGGTTTTCTTCTTAGTCTGACAAAACTCTTGGAATTAAAAGATAAGAATGATTTTTGGGTGCACTGAATATCTTGACTTGTTCGGCTTCATCCAAAAATTGGTATTCTCCATTTGGACCAGTTACTTTAAAACCAAGGATAATGTTGGAAATAGCGGTGTATAAGGTGTCCATTGCCAAATTGGCACCGAGACACATTCTAGGTCCAACACCGAAATGACAAAGATTGTCTTTGTTATTTAATTCACCTATGGGAGGATTTACAAATCTTTGAGGATCAAAGGTAAATGGATCATCAAAATAATCTGGATCATGGTTAATAGAGTCAATATTGCCACCAACCAAGCTCTTTTTTTTAAGAGAAAAAATAATTGGTTTTTAGTATTTATCTTTTTGAAATAAAGAAATAAAAGATACATACATCTTTTGGATAAAAGAAATCACCAATAATAGTATCTTGTGTACACCTTCTAGGAAATGAAAGAATAGCTGTTGGTCTATACCTAAAAACTTCTAGAATGAATGCATTGAGATTTGGAGACTTGTTGTTGTTGTTGTCCACCAACAATTTCATAGATTTCTTTAAATAGATTATCTTGTACAATGGGATAATTATTTAACATTAAAAGTGACCATTCTAATGTATGAAGAATTGTATCCAAACCAGTATACATATCATAACAAGTGTTTATAATAAATTCTTTTTCATAATTTGATACAATCATCAGGTCACATAAATCCCTTGGACTTTTTAAAAAAGAAAAGGTTTAAAAATTTAGCCACAAGCAATAATAACAATATTATTTATGGGTACTTACTTTTCTGGATCCAATGTAGATAAATGTTCATTATAGATTGAATTTAATTGTTGTAAAAGAGTATCATAATCTCTTTGAAGTGCCAATTTAATCAAATAGGAAATGGGAGCTAAAATATTTGATAGAGAAGTAGCAAATGATATTGCCATCAATTGGTTGATTCTATGAATAGGATAATAAACATTTGAAAAGAAACCAACATCTTTTAAAGTTTCATCATAATCTGTCTCTTTTGAAAATGCATGTTTTGATATAATATTTAAAACATATCTCATTAAAATATCTTTAGGATTAAGCTTTTAGATATTAAATTAGAATAAATTAGAATAAATAATAATAGTTTGATATATATATTTAGATAGTTACAGGAATATTTTTAAATTGATTCAATTTTCTTATTAATTGAGCAGTTTGTAAGCCAATGGCAGTAAAGTTTTTAATCTTTGTCTTTGCAAAGTAGGCAGACAATAGCTTTCTTGAGTCTCTCCACTTTGAATCATATGACATTATTAATGAATTCTCACTAGCATGAAGTAATAGATGTCGAGTAGAAGAAGGTCTTGCATCAAAATACTCTGCATTCTTTAAAGAATAAACCTCCTTTAATATCTTTGGATTAGCAATCAAGATACTATATTGATCAAATATCAATGCCCTAACCACTTTTGCACCTTTTCCATAGGTCTTTACATAGTATCTAAATGCTAAATGTAATTGATTGATTTGATAAACACCTATAATTCCAATAAATGGAAATAGAATAGGTGCTGGTGCTTCTTTTTCATGTATTCTTTGATTCCTTTTAATCTAAAATAAATAAATAAATAAATATTAATATATATCGATGATAGTACAAATACTAGTACCTACAAAGATTAAAAGGAATAAAACAAAAAATAATATAATTATTATCATTTAAAAGAGTTGTTGGTGAATAATAGTAATAATAATAATAATGATAATTGTTTTTTAAATCTCCTCCACATTACACATCTATGATGATGATGATGATGATGATGATGATGATGATGATGTTGTTGTTGTTGTTGGACATTATTTTATTATTCTCTTATCATGATTGGATGGACAGATGGTGGTTGTAAATTACATTTAATATTAATATTTTCTTTTTTTTTACTTTTTTTATCGTCTTTTTGAAAATGCAATGCATAAATTTTTTGTTAATCATTCCATCATCAAAAGCATCATCAGATTGTTCTTCTTTAGCTTGAAAGGTACCTTACAATAGATAGATAGAATAGATATAATAGAACAGTGATCATTAATAGTATCAAATTACCTCTTTGTTACCTATATTTAGTGTTTCAAGTCAATATTGAAGAAAGATAATCGATCGAGAATGAACAATCTTCAACGTATCATATCTAGACCACTTCAAAGTGCATATACTGCAGGTCTACAGATATTTGGATTTAGACCAGAAGGTAGCATAAATTTGGGTCTAAAGTATCTTCGTAAACCACTCATCGGTCAATACCTCGATGACTACTATCCAACCAAACCTCTAACAATGGAATTGTTAGGTAATAGCAATGACAAGGCATACTATAAGGCTGATCGTGTACAAAGAAGATCAGAAAGAGGAAAGGTAAAGGTAAAGAAGGGTAGTGGTAAGATGGCTCTCAAACGTGCCAAGGATGCTTCAAAGAAGAGTGGATAAATACATGTATTCCTCCAATCAATCCCTCCTATATATATCAACACATCTTATTATCTTGTTTGTTAACAAGCAGCGGCACCAACATAACTTTATAAATAAATAAATAAAACATTAATATTAATAATAATAATAAATGAGTCTGTCCGACGATGATGACTCATTCAAACACCACCATATACCTAGACATTTTATTTCTTTTTCTTTTTCATAATTAATTACTTCAATTTATACTAGATTGTTATTAATATTATCAATAATAATAATAATAATATGAACAGAAACATGGATAAATAGTATGTTTGTTTGTTTGTTTACAACTACACAAACCTATTCAACTTACTCTCTTACTCTCACTCTCTCTCTCTCTCTCTGCTCTTCCTATCATTACTATAGTAAAAAGAATTCAAGGAATAGAAATCTATTAGGATTGGATGATATAAATGATGATGATACTCAAGCAGGTGCATCCTCTTTTAGCTCTGAACAGATGGTTGAACAAAGAAATGATGATTCAGGGCAGTTACTAAAAGAAAAGGTCGAAACATTAAAGAGAGTATGTGTTTTGTTTTTTATTTACACAAGAAAGAAGCAACTGTATGTTGAACTAACTGTTGAACTCATTTTCCCTTTAGATTAGTATAGATATAGAATCACAAGTTAGAGAAAGTAATAGTTTATTGGATGATTTGGTAAGATTATAGAAATTTATATATGTGTGACTTTTAAGCGATCTCACCAATTCAATTTAATAATTAACATCATGATGATCTCATAGAATTTAGATTTAAATAATGCAAGAGCACTTTTATCAAATACGATGAAGAAACTAAGTGATTTGGCACAAACAGCAACAAGTCGTCATATGCTTTACTTGGTGGCTTTTGTTGTTTTGGTGTTTATTCTCTTGTATTTTATTATAACCTATTCAGGTGGAAAGAAGACGTCATATTAGTCCATCTTCAAAGATGAACGACCGATAATTAATTATTGGTCGATTATCAATTATTATTTATTATTACGAATCTCCCAACTGGAAATTAAATTGGTAATTTGCCGATTATGATATCATACCGCCCCAACAACAAACACTTCACAGGCCTGTTTGGAACAATCCATGAACAAAAGAGAAAATCAAAATACATTGTCATATTTACAATCAATCAAATGCTATCATCATCATCACATTCAATAAATCGTGATCACCTGCAAACTTTAAATCTCTTTTGATCACAACTATATATAGTTGTCATTAAATGTTTATGTTTTATAGGTTAAAAATTGTTTTTGATATCTCTCTTTTTATTTTTTTAAAATTGAATAGTAATAATACAAATGATAATGAGGATTGATAATAAATAAATGTTTGTAATAACTGAATAATTTCCTTGGGATACGATTTCAAAAGGTTGAGTCCAATTTGAGAAAATTTCGATACCAGCAAGTGAAATATTGTGGGATTGTGTATATCCCCATTCCACTACCAAAGGGAATGTGCTACTGTTGTAATTATTGAAATAGTATTGGTTTGTTACTAAAAATTGTTGGGATGGAGGTGTTTGATAGATCATGGGCAATCCAAGTTGTAATTGACCATTCATCTTTACTTGGAAAAATGGTTGAGAAGAGGAGGCATTTGAAGAGAGGACATCATGCGAATTGACAAAGTAGAGGTAGAATGTGTATTCACCAGGCTTCAACATGATCTCCAATCTAGATACAGAGTCAAATTCTTGTGTCGTCGAATAATAGGACGACAAAATCTCTATTAAGTCACTGTCATTGGTTGTGGTACCATCACTACTGTTGGTCATTGATGTTGGGGTAGTGACCAAAGAACCAAATGCACCACCAGTCAATGTGCAAACATCTGGGAGATGTTGACATTTAGTCCATCTTCCGTTGAATCCTTCAAGAGACACTGGTGTATCTGATTCTACAAGTGCAATTCCCAAATAAAAGTTGGAGGGATGTGCACTTTTAATCAAAGCCGTAGTATATACAGATGTATAGGATTTAGGTGTGATATAAATACCATCGGAATTGGTTGGGTTGTTGGTTGCCAACACTTTATGGAATCCTGGTGACGTTGAGGAAAACATTAACTCATCCTCGGCCGAGGAGATCAATTCCGTTGAACCATTGAGTTGGAAAAATAATTGATCGTCGAGGAAAATGGATCGATTAAATTGAAACGACGAGGTGGTTGGGATTGGGAGAAAAGTTTGGTGTAGTGTAATGTTACCACCTGTACTGATGACGATTGGTCTTGGAGTGTAGACTGTTGTGATGGGGAGTCTCTGTACCAAAAAAACACTTGCAATAGTCACATCGTCATAGAATGACAATGGAATGATGGTAGATACAAATTCTGTTGGAAATATGTTGCCTTGCATAATAACATTGGTCATACCCAAGTAACCGATATCACCTGACTGCACCTTGTCAAAGAGTCCAGTTACCTTGTTGACAGTCGAGTTTTTAATGGACACTCCAACATAGGATCCTTTGAAAATTGGTGAAGTACAAGAAGCAGAGTATGGAGCCTCTTGCATAAATGAAATAAAATTACAGTTGTCAAAGGATAAATGAACATTGTACAATGACTCTTGTGATGGTGCAGTCGATTGGACACGAACAAAAGTTGATGATCTCTGTTGGAGGACTAGGGCAGGTTGCGAAGAATAATTGACACGGACATCAGAATAATAGGTAAACAGGTTGTCGACAAGCCCATTAGCAAGGAGTGGTTGCCATTGTGCATTTAATTGGTAGTTGTCTCTATTGTCTTGTGTTTGACCGGCAAGGTTTCCTACCAATAGATCTACATTTACACCTGTCAATGCTGATCGATTTTGAAGTGGTTCCAACAAGACAGCACCACCAAGGAATCCTCCTTCGAAAGCGCATTGCTTCAAACCATCAACAAAATAGGGTGATGTCGAGTAGATGGCACAGTTGATACAACCAATATCTGGATAGGAGGTATTTCTAACGGGTGGTGTCCATAGGTCACTGGTAAAGGTGGTTTGGTTCCAAAGACTAATGAAACCATTGTTTTGAATGTCAAAGCTTTCAGTACCGTACAAAAGACCGATACCAGAGCTAGTGTGTGTAGTGAGTAGGAAAGCATTGTTGGTGATCTTTCCAAACGATCTCTTTGCTCCAATCATAAATCTAGTGCTACTGCCAGTGTCATCAAAAATACAATTATCAATAACCACTGGATTGAGAACGTGAAGCAGAGTAATACCGTAACGATCCTCTTGATTCCATCCATAATGATTGTAGTTCAATGTGGTATTGGACTGTTTGGTATTGTCAAATGGATTGTTACTTGTCCAACCGATTCCTCTAAATAGGGCAGATTTAAAGTTTACATTGGCAGGACCAGTAATGACTATTGGTGCATTACTCGTAGATGAAAAGATTACATTCTTGGCAGATGGATAGAGATTGACATAACCGGTACTTCTACTTGATGGAATGGTAATGGTCTTTGTGGTATTGTCATAGTTGGCTGTTACGTTTGATGCCGATGAAAGAGCTATATCATTGACACCATTCTCTATAGGTCTGTTGATACGAACCAATGGTGTACCATTCTTGTATCCACTGGCATCGTTTAATAGTGGTACTGCTACTGTGCTAGTATTTGTATCACCCTTTACACCGATCCAAGATGGAGGTGAAGTATCACCTTGAATGTCTATAGTACATCCCAGACATAAAAACGATAGACATCCAAAAGGGTCAAAAAGAGCGATCGATGACACTGGATTTTGACTGCCTGGTTGGTAGTGACTTGCCTGAAGTGTTATTTCATGCTTGATAGATGGACTTGATGGACGTACTTGTAGTGTACCAGTTGGATAGATCACCATTTCATAGAGAGAAAGTGTGACATTTTCTGCTGGATTGGTTTTAAATACACCATGAACAACAAATGTGTGTCTTAGTTTGTTGGATAATGAAAACGATGAACTTATAAGTGTCATACCCGCTGGAATGATCAACGACAATGAAAGTGTATTGGTGAGGTTGATTGGAGGAGACCAATCAGATGGATTGAGATCAGGTGCCCATCTACTATTGTCTTTGATCAATGTATGTTTGCTGTAGATTGGATTGAATTGTGGTGCTGGAAAGTATGTATAGACTGGTGATTCAATGATCTCTGGGAAAAAGTTTACTTTATGTTGATAAACTTGGTTTATTCCTATAGGTGTTGCTGTTGATACATCAAAATCATATTCTATTTGTGCTATTATATATAAGTGTAATTTAATAATGTTTAGTATTAATAGTTGATTGTGGTTGGGAGTCATCATGGGGGTTAGGGGTGAGGTCAATCTTACATTGTGATAAATCAATCATCATCATCATATGACATATTAATAAAACAAAACAAACATAGAGTTTGAATGACATGTTTCGATACACTGTAGCTGTCATTGTGAATGACGAGATAAACTAGTGATGATGATTGCTACTTTTATATTTAAATAAAATAGATAGATAGATATCTATTTACTTTGCAATAAAAAATACGCCCATCGAGGCTTTTTTCAAAATATTTTAATTAAAATATTGGTCTATCCCCCATTGTCTCTCGTTCATATCTTTATTTGGTGCAGGGTTGCCTTTTTTTTTTTTATCATCTTTATTATTAATATACAAAAAAAAAAAAGATAATTTTTGTATCTTTATAAAAAATAAAGTTGTTTTTTTAGATATCATTTAATTGCGTATTTTTGGTCGCGGTTTAGAATCATGAAAGGTCAGGGGTTCCATTTGGGTGTCGATCTTGATCAACGATTCTCTTCCCAAAAAACACCTTTTTGTGTGGGTTGACACGCTTTTTTGTGCCCCTTTGGAAAAAAAGAATTTTTTTGATAGATATTTTTCTTTATCCTCGTGTTGCCGACACATCCCTCCTCATAAGGCTGTGTGTAAAAGAAAGATAGAGTAAAGAAAAAGAACAAGTCAGTTTGTTGTTCATCTTTCGCACCCCACTCTCTTTTGTACTCACGCACTCTGTGCTGATTCACTCATCTATTATTACAGATATATTCAAAAGAGATAATATAGGAGAGAGAAGAGAGAGAGAGAAACAATTAATGAACTCATTATTGATATAGTACTACAAGCAACTTGGAAAGATAGTTACTCAATCCCCCCCCCCTCCCCACCCTCTTTTTCATCACTATCCCCTCAACCTCTTTTAGTAGACTAGCAACAAACTTTTTTGATTCGGGGGTGACCGAACCAAACAAGTATTAGTATTAGTAGAAGATGAGAGTGTTAATTGAATTAACTACAAAATCATCATCTTCATCTTCATCATCATCGTCGTCATTGTCATCATCATCATTTCAGAATTCATCTAAACATGATCACCACCCTACACCTTCTTCATCACTAGTCGATCCCAAAGGAAAGAAATTCATAGAGATACATCCCAACCAATCGATATGGATGCTAAAGACATTCATTTTTGGTAGCTTTGGTATTCCTCCAGCAAGACAACAAGCATTTGTTAGAGTAGTAGATGATTACGATACAAAAGAAAGAACACAAGTGAGTATAGTGGTTGATGAGGGAAGAGGAAGAAGAAGAAGAAGAAGAAGAAGAGGAGGGTTGTACCAAAAACCAAAAAAAAGCAAGATATTAATATCTTTTTTTTCAATAATAGGCATATTTAAAAGAGTTTCATAATTATAGATTGGTTAAAGATTACAAGATATTTGATGGATCAGAGATTCAAGTTGAAGTGCTCGACAAAGAGAATCCAACTGAATTCATTGTAGCACCAAAAAAGACAATTAGCAGTGGCAGTGGTATCGCGCTGTCAAATAGTCCAAACACAAGTAACAGTGACCTTTCAGTGCATTTGCAACGTGCAGGTATACCATCATCACCATCACAACATCAAATTAACCCTACACTTCCTACAAGTGGTTCGAACAAGGTACATGTATTGACCTCTAAGAAGGTATCATGTCCTGCACTTTGTTTTGCACTTGGAAAGGGATTGTATCGTGGCATTTCTGGATGTAGATACGAGATTAAACTATATCGTGTCAATTCAAAGGGAATGTTGATCAATTCCACTTCAAACTCACCTTTTCAAATAGAAATCACAAAGAATATATCATCGGTAGACTCGAGAATGCCTTTTAGCTATGAACAAAGAAAGACTGATTATTCATTGTTGATTCTATCACCACAATCCTATGGTGATTATAATATTTCAATTAAAATTGATGAAACTCATATTTGTGGTAGTCCATTTCAATGTACAATTATTGATGGTAAATATTAAATATATATATATATAAAATATAAAATATAAATAGATATTCTAATACTAATTAATTAATTAATCAATCAATCAATCAATCAATCAATTATTTATTTATTTAGAATTAAATCCACAAATTAAAGAATTGGCATTTTCAAATGAATGGGTAGAAGAAGTAGTAGAACTAATTACAATGATATCTAAAAAGGAATCTACATTGGACAATTTATTTTCATTTGGTATTGAAGGTTTAATTAATTTATCTGCTTATCCAGACCCAAATATTCAATTTCATATCACTGGTGTCATTGCAAGATTAATGGAAAAAGGTAAAATTAATTTAAAAAAAAATTATTTTAGCTTTGTTTATTCATTTTTTGATATTAATATCTTTTTATTCATTTTCTCTCTCTCTCTCTCTCTCTCTCTCTCTTACAAAAAAGATAAAAACAAAGAAAGAATTCTAAGAGAATATGGAATGGAAATATTTTTCAAAATTGTATCATTGGAAACTTGGATATCCTTTATTGAACTAAGAAGATTCATTGCTAGTTCTCTTAGTATATTAATAGGAAATAGGGTATTTTTAAATAGATTTTTTGATCAATGTGATATCAGTATCATATTGGAATTGGCACAATCCGAACATATTGATTGTCTCAGATATTGTTCCATTGTACTCTGCCAACTTTCAGAGAATTATGAATTTTCTGAAAGAGTTTGTGTCGATGAAATTAAAGAGATTTTAATTACAATGCTTCAATCTAAAGATAGTATTACAAAAAAGTGTTCACTTCGTGCCATTTCAAACTTTTCTCTTTCAAGTAGGTAGACATATATTTATTAACTATTACATTATATTATATTAACCATGTTTTTCATTTCTAATAGTTGACTCTAAAAAGGAAATTAATTTGAAATTGATTCAAAATCTTTTGGATTGTTGTAGAAATACTATAGATATATCAACCAAAGTATTGATATATAAATCATTTTCAAATTTTTGTAGATATGGTATGAAAGGAAATGTCTAAAAAAAAAAAAAAAAAAAAAAAAAAAAAGTAATTTTTTACTTTTTGATACTAACAATTATATTATTATTATAATTATTATTATTATTATTATTATTAGATTCATTATGTACTTATTTATTAAATAATGGAATATTGGATTTAATATGTTTAAATGATCCAAATAATCATTTTGAATTGCCAATGTTTTACCAATGGGAGTACAACATTAAGCAATTATTTGCAAGTGACCAACAACAATCCATAGAATACTCTGTTCCTTATACCCAAATCTTTAAAGACGAAAGTGATCACACATTTTTCCTCTCACTCACCATCTCCAACATGTTGTACACATCAAACTCACCAAAAATCCATGAAAGATTTTCAAACAATAATGGTTTGGGATTACTTAAACAATTTGTATTATGTTATAATTGCTCTGCAAGAGTTGAATCATTTAGAAGTTTTATGTTAATTACAAATTCTCCAAATGGTAAATAATAATAACAACAAAAAACAACATTTTAAAAATTATTAATATTTATTTTTATTCTTTTTTAGATATTTGTAAAAAACATTTAATTAATAATGGAATTATTTCATTTTTAATGTCATCGCTATTTGATTCTTCTGGTGTCGAGAATCCATTTATTATCAATACCATTGCAAATCTATGTGAATTTGATCCATTCTGTGTTGACACTATTGGTGCAGAAGGAATAGATAAATTAATTTCATTATTGCACCAGTACAGCCACAGTGGTAGTAACCACCACAACACATTCGATTCTCACAATGGTGAATCGGGTACTAGTGAAAAATCGCTTAGTAACAGTGGAGGTAATAACAATGCCATTTTATTATCAATTTCTATTGTCCTATCAAATATTGCAAGTCTCAATGACAAATACAAGACAAAGATTGTAAATGGAGGCGGAAAACTATTTTTACATCATCTTATGGAGTTGGTCATACAAAAAAAGGTTTCGCTCCTCAAACCAATTCCATCTCAAGATCTCGTATTGGGTGCAATACTAGGAAGTGGAGTTAGTGGAATTGTCTATCGTTCCACTTGGAATGATCATCCCGTTGCCGTCAAGTCGTTCAACGAGGAATCGTTGGGATTCGAAGAAAAACAATTTCACATGGAGGCTACCATCACAAGCATCTTGAACCACGAAAATATATTGCACTGCGTCGGTGGTAACAGAAACCCAGAAAAGCTATATTTAGTGTTTGACTGCATGTCACGTGGTTCACTATTTGACATTATCCATTCTAAAGAGATACCTCTCTCCCACTTTAAGATTGTACATATTTTATTGCAAACTGCAAAAGGAATGCAATATCTTCATCATCTAGGAATCATCCATCGTGATTTAAAGAGTCGTAATGTACTCATTGACAATGATTGGAATGTTAGAATCTGTGACTTTGGCGTCAGTCGTGTCGTTGACTCTCGTCGTATGACCAGAGGAGCTGGTACCGCATGCAACATGGCCGTCGAAATTTTATCCGGCTCCACCGAATACAATCTAAAAGCAGACGTCTTTTCATTTGGCGTACTCATTTGGGAGTGTGTTTCTCGTCTCGAACCCTATCACGATATGAATCGTCTCGATTGGATCAGAGCCGTATTAGAGGATGGCTTTAGACTCTCCATTCCAAGTTCGTGTCCACAAGAACTTTCACAATTGACCAAGCATTGCTGGACTACCAGTCCAGACAGCCGTCCTTCGTTTGACCAGATCGTCGCCACTTTACAAAGCATTAAAGACTCTATGATCGACAGAGGGACATTTGAAGACTTTGGACGCAACAACACCCCTTCTCCAATCTCGGCATCATCGTTCCACCTCAACAAGAGATATTCTATCTTTTTGAATGAAAACAAGGTCAGTATCGATCTATCGTCACATCCAACCGAGATTATGAAAAACCTTGTCCTCGATGACCAAGAAACAGGTAGTATGTCAACCTCTTCATCGCCAACCTTGACCAAGACATCATCTCCTCCACCAGGTGGCTTTTCACCAGACAGTAGTCGCGACAACTCTGACAGTAGTCGTGGCAATAGTCCAACAAACAACAACAACAACATCAGTAAAAGATCAGCCACTAGTCCACCCGCCAATGTGGGATGGAAAAAGTGGGAAGCCAAACCAAACGACAAGCCAACCTCGAAACGTATTTCTGCTTTTAGAACCATTACAAAAGCAGACCTCAATGCCATTGCCGAAATGGAAACCAACAAGAGCGTAACAGATAGTGAAAGTGTTTCATCTAGCCCTGATACATCGACTGTAACTACATCATCACCAATATCACCAAGACCATCAACCACAACAACAACTACTACTACAACACCAATCCCAATTCGACACTCCAACGAAGACAACCAAACCCCTTCAAACAGTGGTGGTCACAATGAAAACAGTGGCAGTACCGATACCAACAATTTAATCATTTCACCAAACACCTTTTCATCGATGCATTCAAACATGTCCTCAGAGATATCTGGTGTTTTAACGTCATCAACCAACTCTGTATCAACCACTTGTGCCGAGTCATACTCTGATCCATATGGATTCTCACTTCCCTCATCTCTCTATAACCATATTCGTGAGCAACAAAGTGTCAGTGGTAGAAGTCATACCACCTCGATGGTAGAGTCAACAAATACATCGCGTTCCAACTCGTCTCTTTCCATTAGTGACAATTACCATCCAACTTTTAATGCAGCAGAATTTGAAGATTTATTGAGTCATGACAAACAACTTCAATCTCAACAACCACCACCACAATCTATAGCTTTACAACCATCATCAAACATTGTAATAACTCATACTACCGCCAACACCAACACCAACACCACCATCTCTCCAAGTAATAATAATAACCGTCAACAACAATACCAAAGACCAAGTACCATTTCAGTATCACCGACATCAGCAACCTCACCACCATCACCTTTGCCACCACCCAAAAAGGCAGGTATCTACTCTCATCATCCAATGAAAGCTCCTGCCGTTCCACCAGTCATTTCAAAAGCATCAACTACACCAAAGAAACCAATCCCCCTCAACAGAACACCACCAACTACAAACTCTAATACTCAATAAACAAACCATAAACATTTAACAGATTAATGATCAATAAATATTTAAATTGTTAATAATAATAATAAGAAAGAGTTTTTTAAATTTATTGATTTATAAAGTGTCACTTGTAGCGGCATCAGTTGAGGATTCATTTTTTGGGGATTCAGTTGTTGGGGATTCAGTTGATGAATTTGGTACTCTGTAGTTCTTTGGATTGACGTCACCTTTTCTGTGCTCAATGGTAACCTTAAAGATATTGGCCATCAATTGGAGCTCTTGTTTTTGTACCAATAGATGAATGGATCTCTTTCCACGCCATGATGCAAAGACCATACCGTTGGATTGAGCTATTATATCGTCTTGATCAGTCTGCATTGGTGTTTCAACCTGTTTGTCCTTGTTGGCATCTTCCAACGACGTCTTTAATGAAGTGTCAATTTTAATAATAAAGCAACCGTGTTCCAAGGCTTCCAATTGATCTTCAATGCTTTTTGGGAATTGAGTAAACAATGGTTCGGTGGTACGAAGAAGAGTGAAAAGGTCATTTGGTGACATGATGACTGTACGGGTGTTGTGAACGGTCATATATGGTGTAATCCATTGGGAAGCAGATTGACAGATACGGTAGTTGCACTTGCTTTCTCCAAACTCGTCATGCTTTTTGAGGATTTCCAAACCGGCGTTGATAATCTTTAATCTACGATTACGATCACCTTCAACGATATTGACAATTGGCTTGGAAGCAAAGTAAAGTACCTTTGATCCTTGACTTCTTGTCAACATTTGCTCTCTTAGAGGGAATTCCTTGTTGATACCATAAAATGCCTCTGCAACATCCAAGTCCTTTTTACATTCTTCATTGATTGTTCCAAATGGTTCTTCAAAGAATTTATGTACAGCGCTCTTTTTCTCTTTGACTTGGGTTGTAGTAGTGGTGGTGGTGGTAGTTGATGTCGATTCATCATTTAATGGTGGAGTGGTTGAAGATTCATCATTTAATGGTGGTGTAGTTGTATCTTGATCTTGTTTGTTTTGTCCAAACTCTTGTTCGTATTTGATTCTCTTTCCGATTTGATCTGGTAATTCAGCTACCTTTTCCAAAACGGTGATAAAGAAACCACCAGTATCTTGCATGTGTGGATAGACTCTCATACAATGCTTGAGGCCAGCCTTTTGAGCTTGTTCTTCGGTTGGTGGGAAAAAGGATGGGAAGATGGTCTTCTTTTTGGTCTCTGGTACTTGAGAAAAGTCTTGGTAGATTTCTCTATCCTTGTCAATGACTGGCCAGGTGTGGAGTCCATTGGCACGAATCAAAGTTGGATACTGAGCAGAAACATCGACGATACGGACAGCACCTTGACAACGATTGACGAGTTCCATAATGACAGCCTCATTTTCAATTGGATTGAGTGAACATGTAGAGTAGACCATACGACCTCCAACCTTGAGGAGATTGGCAGCACGATAGGCAATGTGAGATTGTAGACGATGCAAACCGGCACCATCTCTTGCCTTCCATCTCTTCCAGAGGTCTGGGTTCTTTCTAAGAGTTCCATCACCAGAGCATGGAACATCGGCGAGAATACGATCGAAAAGCATTGGTCTTCTTTCGGTTTCACCCTCCTTTTGGAGATAGAGCAATGGGAATATTTGAGCTTCGTGGTTGGTAATGACAATGGTTGGTGAACCAAGACGAGCAGTTTGATGAACCAACATATAACATCTCTTGACATCGGCATCGTTGGCAATGATCATACCCTCTGGAATGGTGGTATTTGAATTGGAACGATTGGCGTGTAAAGCTTCAATGATCTGAGTGGTCTTTGATCCTGGGGCAGCACACATATCGAGTACAAGATGGTGTGGCTCAACGTCGAGGAAGATTGGTGGGATCATTGAGACTGCTTCTTGACGAGTAAGATTACCTTCATTGTTGTGATGCATAAGGAACTTGTGGAAAGCTTCCAATTGGTCATTCTTTCTAAAAGATCTCTTGGTGAGTGTTGAATGCCATGCCAATTCATCTGGATACCATGACAATGGTTTTGGTGGTTCTACGACATCTCCATCTACAATCATTTTCTCTGGTAATTGGTCAATGATATTGTGTAATTGTTTTTTTACTACATTGGTCAATGATTCACCAATAGCTCTATTGATACGGAATGTTGTTGGTAATGGCTTACCCAACCATTCCATAAACTTTTTAAAATCTTCTTCATTTGGTAATAAATTCATTTTCTAAAAAGATAAAGATAAAGAGAAAAGATAAAGAGAAAGAGAAAGAGAAAGAGTGGGAGATTAGTTAATCAAACTACTTATTTGTCTGATAAAATATCATTCATTCTTCATACCTTGTAATAGAATTCAAAGTCATCATTCTTTGCAATCGATGTGTACCAATCTTTTGTACCCTGTGGATGTTCATTTGTCATTGTATTTGGACCCCAAACATTTTTACTATCGTCTGTAATAGCTTTGCTCTTCTTTAATACTTTGTCATCTACATTGTCATTGTTGTTATTATTATTGTTATCATTACCTGTTGTTGTTGCGTTGGTAGATTTCTTTGATGTCTTGGCAAACTTCTTTCTTTTTCCTGCCATTTCTCTTTCTTCTTCTTCTCTTGTCTTGTTGTTGTTGTTTTACTTTTATAAATATAGAATAATAAAACACTAATAGTTGCTTTTTGTGTCAGGTGCTTTAGGAGATAGATTGTTAAAACGAGCGAGGAAACCGAAGCTCCAAGGAACTTCCTTTTTTCTCATTTTTTTTTTAATTTTTTTTCAAAGAGAGACAGGAGGATGTTGGTACTTCAACTAAAAAGTTGCAAGTTGTATTGAATCATTTCAACCTACAATATATACTCGTTTATTAATTATTTCAATCAATAAACAGATAGAAACAGAGAGAGATACAAATGTCAGCCACAGAAGAATTACCAACTTTTGACGTTAGTCAAAAGAAAAAGAAAAAGACCTCCTCCTCTACCAAAGATGGTGGTATGTTGTTGTTGTTGTTGTTGTTGTTGTTGTTCTTTTTGTATCTATATATATATATTTATAGATTGATAAATTCTATAGAATTTAACTAACCCTTTTCTTTACATTGACATTTTTGATATATTGATGTCCTTTCTTATTAATAGAGGAAAAGAAAGAGAGAAAGAGCAAAAAGACAGTAACTGAAGAACCTGCAACTGAAGAAAAAGAAAAGAAAAAGAAAAAGAAGTCATCATCAGCCGATGCTCCAGCAGCTGGAGAAGAAGCTGAAGCAGGCGATGCTATAGATTTTGGAAAAAAGAAGAAAAAGAGATCATCAAAGTCATCGTCGTCTGATGCTACTACCGAAGCAGACAATACCGAAGATACAGCACAAGAAGAGACATCAACCACAAGCACTGGTCAAGAAAAGCAAGTTGCTCAAGAGGCTGAAGATATCAATGAAGAAGTAACTGGAACTCCATGGGTTGGAACAGATCGTGATTATAAATACTCTGAATTGACATACAGAATCTACCATCTCCTCCAAGCTGGAAATCCAGAACTCATTTCCGATCAAAAACGTGCCATGAAGACTCCAAAGGTCTTTAGAGAAGGTAGCAGAAAGACTGTTTGGGCAAACTTTGCAGAGATTTGTCAAATCCTTAATCGTAAGACTGATCACGTTTTATCCTATGTATTTGCTGAATTGGGTACCAATGGTTCAGTCGATGGTAATCAAAATCTTGTCATCAAGGGACGTTTCCAACAACAACAAATGGAAGTTGTTATTCGTCATTATATTGGTATGTCATAAAGATAGATTATAATCATTGTTTTTTGAAAAAACACTATAGTTTATTAACTTTTCAACAATCTTATCAACTATCTTTTCAATTTCTATCTCTCTAGCTGAATACGTCGCTTGTCGTAATTGTAAAAGTCCAAATACCACACTTGATAGAAACAACCGTCTCTACTTTTTGTGTTGCAACGTCTGTAACTCAAAGAGATCTGTAGCCGTCATCAAGAAGGGTTTGGAAGTCGGAAAGAAACAACCAAAGGACAATTAAATATAAATTATTCTATCTATTTTTTTTTAATCACAAAACAACAATAAGATTATCCCTATAATATTTATTCTTAATTTGATTGTTTATCGTTGTCGATTTGGACATCATCACCGCCATTTTTAACCTCTCCTTCTTCACTTTCTTTTGTCTTTACGTCAACTGCTTGTGGTGGAAGAGTTGAATCGTTATCATTGCTTGTTGATGTTGTTGTATCTTTTTGATCGTCTTGATTTTTATTATCACCGTCGTCATCATAATCGTCATCATCTTGGTCGTCATCTTCATCATTGTCGTCTTGATCATCTGAACGCTTTCTATTACGTCTGTTGTCTTTGGATAAATTTTCATCTTCATCCTCGACATTATCCTTGTTTATGGTTGATGATCCATCATCATCGGTAGAAGATAAAGGTGGAGCTCTTGGATTAAAGCAATAATAAATATTTGGTTTACTTGTAGTCTTGTATTTGAATTTTGATAGTATTCTTTTATGTAACTCCCATTTTTGTGTCTAATAACATTAGAAGATAAATATGAATAAGTATGTGGAACCTATAAAAATAAATTATCATAATTAATATCGCGGTTTGAAACATACCAATAGTTTATGTTGTAACTCTTCTTGTTTCTTTATAATCTCTTCATGTAATTTTAATTCTTTTTCCTTTTGCTCCACGATATTCTTTTTCTCCTCCTCTAGTACTCTTTCATTGTTCTTGTCAATGGTTTCATTGATTTTCTCTTCAGTCTCTATTCTTTTAATATCCGATTGTGACTTTGCTTCAATATTCTTTTGGAAATCTTGTAACGTACGATTGAGCATACCAAACATCATTCTATTTCTTTTTTGACCTTCAACTGTTGTTGTTGTTGTTGGTAGTGGTGCTGGTGACTTGGTTACAGTTGGTAATGTTGTTGATGATGATGATGGTGTTGAAACATCATTTCCATCTTTATTATTATTATAGTTATAGTTATTATTATGGTTATTATTATTATTTACAAACTAAAATTAGAAAAAGAGTTAATCACATGACCAATACTATGTCTGTCTAGGATAGATATTACATACTTTTTTGGGATATTGTTGGTATTTATTAAATCGATAATCATGTTGATTCAGATGATGATGTTGTTGTTGATCATTATCATTGATAATAAGCTTTCTTTGGTATTTAGTTGGTTGGTTGTTATCTTGTTGTTGATGATGATGATGATGATTATGTTGGTTGTTGTTATCTTGATAATGATGAGGATGATCTTTTCTTTTTCCACTACCACCACCACCACTACTATTACTACTACTTGCGCCACCAATAGTTGAAGTATATATTGGATCCTTTTCTCTCTTGTCCAATAGATCTAATTTATTCTCTACTCTTTGTCTTTGGAATTCCAATTGTTTTAGTTCAGAGTATATACCACTTCTATAACCTCCTCGACCAACTCCTCCTCCTCCTCCTCCTCCTCCTCTAGTAAAAGGTCTTGACATTTTATAACTGCAAATCAATCTATCTATCTATTTATCAGTAAATGTTGATGAACTTTACTTTAATCAATATTGATTAAAAGACACATGTTGTTTTTTAAATATTATTATTTTTTTTAAATTTTTAGGGTTTTTTTTTATTACAAAAAACGAACGATGAGCTATCCAAATTAGTTTTGTCAAAAAAAAAGAAAGGTGGATTAGATAGATTGTATACAACGCAGAGTATATCTTTTAAAAAGAGAGTTAAAAGAAATGACAAACAAGAACAACAACAACAATAATAATAATAGTAATAGTAAAAGAATAACAGATAGAGTAAAAAAAGGACAGAAAAAAGGAGGAGCACCAACCAAATTGTTATCATTTGAACAATTGGTAGCACAAGCAGAGAAATATGCAGAGGAATACGAACTAGAAAAGGCTATCGATTCATTTGAACGTGCACTTAAAATGCAACCAAAGGATACTACCATTATGGATGCACTCGGTGAATTGTGCATAGAGATTGGTCTGTTTGACAAGGCTACCAAACACTTTGTCAACTCTATAAAGACTAATCCAAATGACAGTTATACTAAATATATGAATCTTGGTCAACTATTGGGTGGTCAAGAAGCAATTAAATCATACACAAAGGCAATAGAATTGATGGAGCTTCAATTACAATCTATAATGTCTCAAATGACACCAGAACAATTAAAGAAATTGGAGGAAAGTTATCAAAAATTACATAATCAAAAGAAACAACAACAACAAGAAGAAGAAGAAGAGGGACAAGAAGAAGAGGGAGATGAGGAACAAGAGGATATGATGGATGATGAAGAGGAAGTAGTAGAAGAAGAACAAGAAGAAGAAGAGCCTGTATTATTTTTAAAAGACCAATTATCATCTGCTTTGTGTTCACTTGCAGAATTATATTTAACCGATGAATGGTAATGTAATCGATGATGATTATTATTATTATTATGCATATAATAGATATTAATCTTTTATTTTACCATTTCTTTTAGTTTTGATGATAATGCAGAGATGGAGTGTGAGAAGAATCTAAGAAAAGCAATTGGATATGCACCTTATTCACCAGAGCCATATAGTTTGTTGGGTAGTATGAAGATTAGTCAATGCAAGAATGAAGAGGCTCTTGAACTCATCTCGCACTCTTATACTATTTGGGCTGATTATGAGATTGAAGATTTGCCATCACTCGAATATCGTTTTGGTATCGCTCAAATGTTTGTCGAATTGGATCAAAATAGAATCGCTGTTGTCATTCTCGAATCGATCGTTAATCAACAAGATAATATCGCTGAGATTTGGTACACTCTTGGTATGGTCTATCATAATCTAAAGGAAGACAGATCGGCCCAAGATTGTTTGGAAACAGCTCTCAAATTATTGACCATCGTAGCAAAGGGAGGTCAAGACAAGGAACTAGAAGACCAAATCAAATCATTGTTGGTTACTGTCAATGAAATAGTTGCTACTCTTCCACCTGAAGAAGATGAAGTTGAAGAAGAAGAGGAACAACAAATGGATGATGATCAATAAAGAATAATAATAAATTAAACATTAAAGATAACTTATATATATATATTATCTCTACACACACACAAACACATTGGAATAAATCCAACTTTTACAGATAGATATATATCTTTCACAAACAATTATAATTTATTGTTGATGTTGGGAGTTAAAAAGCTATTTTCCGAAAATATACAGATTTATATAGATAGATGGATGGATGGATGGATGGATGTTTAGAGATCAGATTGACGACCAATCAAACCACAGCTGACTCTGGAACCAGCGTTACCAGTGACGAGGGAGTCCTTGTGACCACCCTTGCCAAGATCATCAACATCGGCATGAACAATCATGGTTCTACCAATGATGCTGTGCTCACCAAAGAGTGAGATAATCTTATCAGTGATTGTACCCTTGGCAACTCCATCAGCACCAGCCTTGATGTTACCTAAATCACCAACATGACGTTCCTATTAATAGTAATAATAATAATAATAATAATTCAATTTTGATTAATATCTTGTAAGGTATTTCTTCACTTGTCTTTCCTCTTCTTCTTCTTCTTCTACTTGTTGATATTTACATCATCAGTTGGAGCACCATGGTTCTTCTTGTGTGGGTTGAAATGTGGACCAGCTGACAAACAACTATAATTATTAATTAATTATCATAATTGATTAGTACACTGAGAGGTTGAGATGATGTATTGTTGTTATTATGTTTTAAATACATACCCATTGGTGGTATCACCAAATTGATGGACATGGAAACCATGGTCACCTTCCTTGAGACCAGTGACTTCATATTCAACAGAGACTGGAGCATCCTTTCCATCTTGAGTGAATCTAACTACACCCTTGACGGCTTCACCTTGTAAAACACAGACAGCTTTTAATGACATTTTATCTTGATTATTACTGGTAGGAGTAGAAGAAGAAGAAGAAGTAGTAACAATAGTAGTAGGAGGAGGAGAGGAAGATGAAGAGAAATTATATAATACAAATAATACAATGACAGCTATTAGTATGAATGCTTTGGATTTGTTATCAAAGATAAAAGAAGAAGAAGAAGAAGAAGAAGAAGGCATTGTTGGCAGATGCAGTATGACTGACTCTAATATATATTGTTGTTGTTGTTGAACAAATAAAGACAATTTGTTGCTTACATTTAATTAACGCAATGATGATGTTTTAATAAAAGGATTCTTCTTTTGACGTCCACAGAACTGATGTTCAGCAAGAAAAAAAAAAAAAACAAAAAATAATAATAATAAATTATCGAAATGTGGTATTATGATACATAGGTAGAAAGAAGAAAAAGAAACCATTTATTTTTAACAATTGTTATATGTTTATTTTATTTTTAAATATTAAAAAATGTGGCCTATTTTTTTTGTTTGTTTGTTTGGTTTGTTTCTATTTCTTTTTCTTTTTTGTTGTTGTTGTTTTTTTTTTTATATAATTTACAATATATATATTATTATTATTATTGAGCACCTGATCCAGTTACCTTACTATATCTCTTTGTTGTAGCTGATGAATAAGATTCTTGGGTACGAACCTTTGCAGGTGGACGACCTTCGATTGGAACATAGTTTCTAAACCATTCACCTTTGTAGACTTGACGTGGACGATAGATCTTTGTCTCTGGATCTTCGTGATGTTCGATCCAGTGAGCCAACCAACCGACAGCACGTGGAATGGTAAAGAGAACTGGGAACATATCAGTTGGGAAACCCATAGCCTTGTAGATGAGACCAGAGTAAAAGTCAACGTTTGGATAGAGTTTACGTGTGACAAAGTATTCGTCGTTGAGTGCTTGACGTTCGAGTTCAGTGGCAACTTCGATGAGTGGTTCCTTGCCGAGACTCTCAAACACTTCATAGGCGACACGACGAACAATCTTGGCACGTGGATCGTAGTTTTTGTAGATACGATGACCAAAGCCCATCAATTTCTTCTTCTTGGCCTTGACGTCTGCGACAAACTGACCGACATTCTCCTTGGTACCGATCTGTTGCAACATGTCGAGTACGGCTTCGTTGGCACCACCGTGGAGTGGACCATACAAGGCACCGGCAGCACCGGCAACGGCAGTGTATGGGTCAGTGTTGGACGATGAGATGTGACGCATGGCAGCAGTTGAGCAATTCAATTCGTGATCGGCGTGCAAGATGAAAAGAATTTCGAGTGCACGACAGAGAACTGGATTTGGCTTATAGTCTTGCTCGGATAACTTGTCCAACATGTACAAAAAGTTTTCAGTATAACCTAGATGGTTGACTGGAGTGTTGTATGGACGACCAATACGATGACGCCATGCACAGGCAGCAATGGTTGGTAGTTTACCAATGATACGGAACATTTGCTTGTTACGAACATTCTCACTCTTAAAGATATCTTGTCCGGCCAAGGCAGGGTTTGCCTCTGGATAGAATGTACCGAGTGCAGCTACAGTACTAATGAGCATACCCATTGGATGTGCATCATATCTAAATGACTTCATCAAACCAACCAAGTTTTCATGAAGAAAGGTATGTGTCATAATCTTGTGTGACCATCCATCGAGTTGTGATTTGTTTGGCAAGTTACCATTGATCAAAAGATAGGCAACCTCTAAAAAGCTTGATCTCTCTGCCAACTCTTCAATTGGGAATCCACGATAACGTAAAATACCCTTGTCACCATCGATATAGGTAATCGTAGATGTTACAACTGCTGTATTTTGGAATGCTGGATCATAAACTCTATATATTAAAATAAAAAAAAAAAAAAAAAAAAAAAAAAAAAAAGAAAAAGTAAGAGATCAAGAGATGTACATATGTGTAGGTTGGTCGTTGTTGTTGTTGTTGTTGTTGTTGTTGTTGTTACTTACACTAAACCATTGTCACCTTTTTGTTCAGAGATTTCTCTAAAAGCTAAAGCACTAATAGTTTGATTCTTAATTTTAATGTTATATTGCTTTCCTGTTCTATTATCGATAACTGTTAAAGTTTCTTTCCTATAGATAAAAAAAAGAGTGTCGTATAATAGAATGTTAGGTCATTGTTGTTGTTGTTGTTGATAGATTTATTCTTCCTCTTCTTCCTTCTTTGTTAACATACTTTGCATCAGCATTTACATTGTTTGATGTTAATTCATCAACATATTCCTCTTCTTGTTCATCCTTTAAATGACCAGAGATAACATTTAATCTGGAAATATGTGACATTCTTATCTTTTCTTTTCTTTTCTATCTAATTATATTTACAACTATTTACTAGTACTACTACTACTTTTACTATTTAGTGCGCAACAGATTCCAACAACAAAGAATGAAATTAGTAGGTGTTCATTTAACTTTTCGAAAAAAAATACACACAAACCACACAGAGAGAGCTAATGCTATGATACAAATATAATAGATGTTGTTCTCGGGGTTAATGAATTGTTTCAGCGGAAGAAGATTAATTCTTTTATAAATAATAATTTAATGATCCAAATTTCAGCAGCTTTGCTCATGCATCACTGTTCACCTGTTGCAGTGAAAGCGACCAGTAAATTTACCACAAAAATTTTTGTCGTCTTCTTTGCCCAAATTTGGACAGATGTGGCAATTTATTCGGGCTAAAGGTTGAATTGACCTCCGCTACGATTTTATTATATTACCACCAATTGATTGAATAGAATAATCATTATTGATTATTTGATCGATAAATAATTTGATCAATTTTTAATATTGATACTACAATCTCTGTTGCCATCCTACATTTTGTGAGATAGAGAGATATGATCAGTTTGATAAAGTAATGATAAAAAAAAAGTGTATAAATACATACGTTATTTGAGACAATTTATTCGAAAGTGTTTCCAATATACCACTGTTTATCATGTCACATATTATTTGTTCCTCTTCTTCTTGATCATTGTTAATGTCCAATTTTGAAACCAAATCAAGACCCATGAAACATTTTTGATTTTCTTTGATTTGTTGACGATGTAATACCTTTAATCTTTCAACCAACAATAAATCAGCACCTGCATTTTTGCACAAAACCACTGGTATCTCTTCCAATGCCTCTGAAAATGCCAACATTGAAGTATATTCTATATCTGTGCAGATCCCTCCTCCAATACTTGTCTGTCTCTTTTGGTCAATAGAATGGATGATATCGACAGATGATGCAATTTCACATGCTCCACCACCTGGAACAACAATTGGTCGCCTCGTTAAATTACAAAGAACACAAAGTGCATCGTGAAGCGCTCTTTCTGTTTCTTCCAACTCTATAGCACTAGTACCTCTAAGTATAATCGTTGGTAATGCTACCAATGTATTATTATTATTATTATTATTATTACCATTGTCAGGTATAGATTGTCTATTTTTTAGGAATAATAATTGTGTTGAACCATTGCTATTGTTATGATGAATAGTATCATATTGACAACTTTCAAATTGTACCAAACGACTAGAAGCAGATACCGACTTTAATTCTTGAATATCTGAAAATGATATAATATTTAATTCCTCGCATATTCCCTAATGAAACATAATAATAATAATAATTGATTAATTATTCTCATATATTATTAATATTAACAATATTTACATCTATTATTTCCTTTGACAATGGAGATATTACGGTTATCTTTGCTTTTTCAAAATAGGATAATGCCATATTTGAAATGGAAATATCACCAGAACTAGATTGATCTTGTATAAACAACATTGTAACACCCAATCTCTTTAATAAAACTACCATCGATTTAATTTGTGATTCTTGTTGATCGACAATGGTTCGTAAACTATACTCATCCCCAAATGATTGATCCTAAATGTAAAATATATTGATGAGTAAGAGGCAAATTGATCTTTTGATTGATTGATTGATTGTGATTGATTGTTTAAAAGTACCTTGATATTAATGTTTGAAGTAGAAAATGACAATACTGTAACCTTTATGTTTTTTGTTGTATGTAACCTATTCAACAATGTCACTCTATATACCCTATCATTTGTAACAAATGAATCATTTATAGATGCTCCTTGAATGGACAATACTCTAATCATTGATACCGTTAGTGTCCTATTATTATTATTATTATTTGATCCAGAGCCCAAAGAAGAAGCAGCCATTGCGATTGAATCTACAGCCAAACTTGCGAGAGTTGGATAGAGATGAGAAAGTAATTTTGAATTGAGAGTTGTATTTGCAGTCTCTAACATGTATCTTTTAGCAATATCACTCTTTAAATCAAAAGGTATAGACAGTCGATTGATTGTATCTATTGCAACTTTAGATGCCATCATAAATCCTTTGATAATTCTCATTGGACTAATACGACCAATCGTCGTTGTACTTGTGCCAAGTGTATTTGTATTATAATATTTTCCTTCAAATAATTTTAATGCTTTTCTTAATCTATATATATAAAACGGATGTGACTTGTGAGTATATAAACTATACTAGAGTAGAGAGTGGTAGCTATAATAAATAGTCGAATAGGCGACCATACAATAAAGAAGCCAATATTACAACAGATGTTGTTCCATCACCATTTTGATCGTCCATTGATTTACTCAACTCTACCATCATACGACATGCAGGATGTTCTACATTTATCGAATTGAGTAATGTAATACCATCATTGGTTACAATGATCTCACCATATTGATTCACCAACAATTTATCTCTACTCTTTGGTCCTAGTAGTGATGACATTACATCTCCAACTGCCAAACATGCTAAAATATCTAACAATTTGTGTAATTATTGTGTTGTTAGACAAGCAAGTACTATTATTATTATAGACTACTTTCACAAAGCGTAGTGTACTACATACTCGAATATATCGATGATGAAGACGATGATCGATTTAAAGTATCATCATCATTAATTTTCCAATTGTGTTGTGTTATTGTTGTTGTTGAATCCATCCAACCAATCAATCAGTCAATCAATCCAAAACAAACAAACTAAACTAAATCAAACATACAAAAGGGTATTTTAAAATTTTTTTTATTTAATATTTTTTTTCTATTTTTTTTAATTTTTTTGTTTTAAAAGTAAACATGATGTATTGTTGTGGCCGACTGTGCTCGCCCGTTTTGTTGACACAGTACTGATTAATAATAAAACAACAACAATAATTAATTAAAAGTTTAGTGGGAATTTTGACTAATATTATTATGAAACAATGAATTCAAAGTATGGTTGTTGTTTTGTTGTAATTGGTTTTGGTTTGGTTGGTTTGGTTCGTTGGAATAATAATAATAATATTGTTATTATTATTATTATTACATATTGTTATTGTGTTTGTTGGGGTTTTGTTGGTGAGAAGTAAATAATGGATGAATGGGGGGGATGGGTGAAGGATGAAGACGCCTCTTTACAATATAATACAACTTTTCTTTTTTGTTGGTGGTTGTTCTTCATTCTCTGGATTGGCAGACCACTTTTTGATTTCTCTGACGAGTGTGAAAAAGGCTTCTTCGACGTTGAGACGAGACTTGGCACTAGATTCGAGGAATGGTGCACCGAAACTCTTTGACAATTCCTTGCCTTCAAGAGTGCTGACCTTACGTTCCTTGTCTGGCAAATCAACCTTGTTTCCGACAATTACCATCGGATAGGTGCTAAGGTCCTTGACACGAAGAATTTGATCACGGAATGAGGTGACTGCTTCAAATGATGGTCTAGATCCAATACTGTAAACAATAAGAAATCCTCTACCACTTCTAATATATTGATCACGCATTGCTGAATATTCTTCTTGTCCTGCTGTATCTAAAATACTAAATAAATAGATAATAATAATAATAATGTTACAATCAATGATTGATTTATAAATTAGTAGATGTTTAATTTCAATTCCAACTACAATTTCTCTACATACTCTAACATATAAACATCTTCATCTATAATAACTTGTTTTCTATAAGAGTTTTCAATGGTTGGATCGTATTCAGCAATGAATTGATTCTGTGTCAATTGAATGGTAAGCGCACTCTTACCGACACCTCCATCACCGACGATTACTAATTTTAATAACTTTGACATCTTCTTCTGTTTTACTTTTTTGTTAATATATATATATTATTCTATGTATTATTGTTATTGTATTGGTGTTTAGTATGTTGTTGCTATTGTTTGTTTTTAATATTATTATTGTTGTTGTTGTTGTTGATTGTACGTAGAGTTGTATTGAGTTGAAAGAAGAAGAAGAAGAAGGAAGAAGAAATAGTTGAATGGGTTATTGTTGCCTAAAGGATTAAAGTAGTGATACAAAAAGGAGTGGATTTAAATCTAAGATGAAAAGATAGTACAATAAAGGGTATTAATATGATGTAGTCTGTAGTTAGGCAAAGCAAGAGAGAGAGAGAGGAGTAGGAGGAGGATAAAAAAGAAATTAAAAAAAGGGTACAAACAAACAATAAAAAAAAAATTAAAATTAACAGTTTTGTGCGGGTGGTGATTTTGATTCTTCTTGTGTGGATTTTATGAGCGTTCAATAATGATGTTGATAATTATATATTGTATTTCTATGATTCTAATAACTCTCTTATCTCTTTTTTGATGATATCTATCTTTTAAAAATATAAAGGTTGATTAAATGAATGTCATGTATCGGAGGAGGAAGAGGAAGAAGAAGAAGAAGAAGAAGAAGAAGAGGACTGATCGATATTTCACTCTCTCACTACATAGATAAATCTAATGGAAAAGAGAAGGGGAGGAGGGGTGGAAGTTTTTGTGGTGCTGAGAGAGAGAAAGAGAGAGAGAGAGAGAGAGGGTATAGTAGGCGCACGTTGTTTCTGTCTGTTAATTCGGTTGGGTTGGTTGGGATTGTTGTTTTAACACTGTTGTTTGTTGGTTGTTGGTTGTTTGATGATAACTAGTTGACGGAGGGAGGAAGAGGAGGAGGAGGTTGATAAATCTATTTGTGTTGTTGAATGGCTAATATTGAATTCAAACTTTAATTTATTTTCTGTATGTCTGTCTGTCTGTCTCGTCTGCTAATTTCAAACATTCTTATTTATCTATCTATTGATCAATCTTTGTATCTTTTTTGTAACTGCAATTAAAACAAACTAGACATCGATGCATTCAATAACAACGACAAGACAGTAGACACAATTATTGTGAAACAAAAAGGGGATGGAAAAGAAATAATAAAGTCATACTGGACAATATATATATATTATTACTATTATTCCTGAAAGGCGTAGAAATAGAAAAGGATACTAGCTATCAAGGAACAAATCCAATAATAATAATGAACAAGAGAGAAAGAAGGAGAAAGAGTATCACATGATCCACTAGCTAGCTAGCTATCTGCTGGAGATCACAGAACATTCGCTCTCTCTCCGTTCGTTCATACACTAAATCTTCACGATCACAGCGCTCTCGTCATAAAATTGATTGAACGATTGTCAAGCTATTTTTTGCGATCTCAATAGGTGCGTGATTGATATTTGAATGGCTAGTGTTTTGTTCAAAATAATAATAATAGCATTACACTTACATTTTACAAAGGATGTTTTAAAAAAGAGATATTGGCGTTTTAGCTGTGTGTCGTGTCGTGTACTTTAAATATAAATATAAAGTAAGTAGAATATAGAGAGAGAGAGAGAGAGAGATTATAGATTAGAGTTAAGTAATATATGTATGAGAAAAAAAGAGGGGATGGGGGTTAACAATAGTTCTAAGACCTGTCTTTACTACTAGAGACGTATTGAAATAATTATAATTATTTATATTGGTAATTAATGGTTGTCAAGAATGAAAATGAAATTGGTGGTTTTTTTTTATGTCTTTAAAGATTGGTCTCTGCTTTGGTTTGAAACCTTGTTGTTGTTTGTTACTGTTGTACTGATATATATTACCTACTTGAGTGTGATCGTAGCGAATGCGAATAAGAATAAGAATAAAATTCCCCTAATATTTTTATTAATCAAACTAGGATGAGTACCATTGTAAAAAAAAAAAAAAAAAAAAAAAAAAACAAAGGGTGCACCCTATTTTTAGTTGCATGCAAGGCAGCTGATCATCGAAAACAAACAGTTAAAAAAAAAGTTCAGCCGAACCTGTTGTTGTAGTTGCTTGTCTGTGTTTGAGGGAGGGGGATCCCTTCTTGTGGCCGCTATCACCCGGTTGATACAGCCCCCAAACTGTTTGTTTAGACTCCAATCGAATAGGTTCTATTTATTCATTCGTCTATCTTGCTCTTTATCGAATATCACTGACGATGATGATCGGGTTGTACTTTATCGCCCATCGATGGTGACAAACTAGAGGAGCCTTAATTAATTGTCTCCCTCCTCTTCCTGATTAATTTGTCGTCGACCTTTATTAACGTGAAGGAAGATCACTATCTTTGAGAATTTAGCTTCTCAACCTTCGTCAACGACAAATTTATAGGCCCTCCTCCTCCACCTTTGGACTTGATGATGATGGTTTATCTGATCAATTATCTTGGTCATTGACTTTGTTGGCCCACTTTATGATTCCAGTTTACTCTCACAGACACCCGAACAATTTCTGCGTTCAGTCGCCAAGTTGATATCATCACACACAGTTCGATTCGAAAATCATCTACACTCTCTAGTCGCCTGATCCACTTATCCCCCCCTCCCCACACTCCACCCAAAATCCACCAATGCGTTTAATTACACCCTGGCTGGCAGCACAGCGATGGGAGGACGTTTCAAATTGAATTTATCTCTTCAACTAATAAGGTGCTAAACTCTATTGTAGATTGTGTGTTTTATTATCATTATTATTATTATCATTAACATTATCATTATTATTATTATTATTATTATTATTATTATTATTATTATTATTATTATTATTATTATTATTTTTGTTGTTGTTGTTGTTGTTGTTGTTTATTGCAAATATTACCCTACAACAATTAAAAAGGTACCTACCATTTAATTAATTTATTTATTAATATTATTTTTTTATATCAAACTTGGTTGGATTTTAAATTAAGAGCCTTTAAAATATATATATATATATATATATTAGATGGATTTAGCATTTACAGTTAGGGTAAATTAGAACAAAATAAACAGATATTTCACATTACCATTATCATTTTTGTAAAAGCTCCACTGTCAATCTAAACCCCCAGCAGTTGGCAAGTTGGATGGATACTACTAGTATGTTTATCAGGTATACTACAGACTAAAGTCTATTATTTTTAATTTTCAAGGGAAGGGCGCCAACATATTGAAGTGGTAAAGCAGCCAGCCCCACCCAGTTTACTTTAGGTTTGATGATGGCGTCAACCTCTTAGAAGAAATTTTTTAATTTTTCTTTGATTGAAAACAATTTTAAACAAAAGAGACCCTCTAACTTGTACTTTACAACATTCACCATTATCTATCTATCTATCTTTTTATTGTACTAGTACTAGTAGTCAACAGAGAATAAAAACCAATCAATCCAACACTACAAACAACCAAGTACAAAGGATACATAATATATATACCCATTACATACAATCTCAATATTGTCAGTGAACATCGACAGTCGAAGGTACATTAATAGTTTTATAGTTTATTGTGGTTAGATATCTATAGGTACAGTTATAGTTATCATCATTATCATCATCATTATCATCATCATCATCATTTGTGTTGCAGGTGATCTATCATCTACTATACAGCAGTAAAATCAATAGTCAGTCATTACAGAGAGAGAGAAGTCACTATTACCCTTTTATAAGTTTTTCATCAACAATCAACCAACCAACCAACCAACCAATCAATCAATCAATCAATCAAAAGCGGATAGATATAAACTTGGGAATATTGTCTGATGCTTGGCAACAAACTTGCAAGTTGCATCATATTTGTATTACCAAATCAATATCACCAAATTTTTATTAGATCGACTTTATACTTGGCGATACATTTTAAACCACTTCTTCAAGACATATTTATTATTATTATTTATTATTATTTATATTAGGTGGTATTCCCACCTTTCCAAACAACATTACACCCACACATGTTTAAACAACAACAACAAACACACAGATATCTTTTATTTTATTTTATTTTTTTCTCTAGCATTTTTTTATTTGTTCTTTACTTTTTCGTTTATTTGATGAACCCAAGAAGGATCATACTCATTTTTTGTAAGACTTGTTCCACGTAACCAACCATCCATCCAAAACACAGTACCAACAATAAAGGTTCGTAACGATCCATACCCTTTTTTTTGGTCAGAAAATCGTCATCACTAAGTCCAAGTAGGATCCCCACCCGTAAAATCTAGATAGATTACATATATATATATATATATATCAGTCTATGATTTATGATTTGGTTGGTGAAGAAGAAAGAATCTCAACTAATCTTGGACAACCCGCCAAACATTTAAAAAGAGTTTGTGCCCCCAAAAAAAAAAAAAAAAAAAAAACACATTAATCAATCAACGAGAACATCTTCACACACCTAATAATAATATTAATCTCAACACCAACCATATTATTATTATTATTATTATTATTGTCATTATTATTTGTTTGTAATAATAATATCCAACATTTTTATTAATATTAGATTGCTCTTATCTTCATCATCGTCATATATAACACACACTCACACTCTCTCACACAGACAGACAGACAAACAGATATCTCATTTATTCATTATACTGGTCTCAAAAAGGAGATGACAATAGAAACAACTATTTGGATGAACCATTATCAATTTTATTATTGTCATTATTAAAAAAGTCAATCCTAGCAACAACGATCGTCATATTCTCAAACCTACAAATAAGAAAATAGATCAACAACAACAAGAACAACAACATTTTTTTATATATACATACATTTGAACACAATGACAACAACTAGAGCAAGATCTAAAAAACAACAAGAGTTGGAGCTCCAACAACAATCGACGGAAAGAGAAAGCAATAATAAAACCTCTCCTCCAATGACCAGGGCAAGAACAAAGGCAATTCAACAACAACAAAAACAACAAAAACAACAAAACACACGTCAACCACAGAAACAACAACAACAAAAGAAAAAGCCCAATCGCAGAGACATTGTTAGTGACCAAGAAGAAGAAGAGGAAGAAGAAAACTCTGATCTCGATGTTGATGAAGTTACCCTTCGAATAGAATACTCTCCTGAAAATGGCAATGACTCTGATGAGGAAGAAGAGGAAGAAGAGGAAGATGAAAAGACAAAGAAAACTAAAGAGGTGAATACAAAGAAAAAGAAACAAGTCGAGCCACCAACAAGACGAAATGGTGGTAGCAAGAAAAAGGTTTCAACAACAACAACAACAACAAAGAGAAATCATATCCCATCATCAGACGAAGAAGAAGAAGAGTCAGAGGAAGAAGAATATTCTGGATCAGAAGAAGAGGATGATGATGATGAAGACTACTCTGAAGAGGAAGAAGAAAACAAAACAAACCGAGGCAAAATGAACAATAATGGAAAGAGAGTGCAAAAGACTCAACAAAAGCCCAATAGACAAACAAAGAGATCTAAAAACTCTGAAATTCTATCTTCTTCAGAGGATGAAGAGGTAGAGGATGATGATGATGATGATGATGAAGTGGATGAACAAGAACAAGAACAAGAACAGGAGGAAGAAGAAGAAGAAATGGAAAAAGATTCAGATCAAGAAGATATTGTTTCAATGGAATTTGATCAAGATGATGAAGAAGAGGAAAAGAAAGATTTTAGTGAAGAGACTATAGAAAAGATTTTGGCTGTCAAGAGTTTTAAAGGAAAATTCAAGACACTCCCATTTACACTTCCAAAATACATCAATCTCTCTTCATCAACCTTGTTATCACCATCGACACAACAACAACAGCAGTCAATCACAGATATAGTCACCACACCATTGACATCAGAGCAAGACGAACTTATGACACTGTCTTCACCTTTGTTAGCCTCTTCAAATCAATCAATACCACCACCACCTCTATCAACATCTGAACAAACCACCGACAATGTAGATTCCAAACAACAACAACAACAACAACCGATCGTCGCAACACCAACACCAACATCTACAACACCACTACCATCATCTTCATCACCACCACTTTTATCTGTACAGGACAACATTAACAACAACGCCACAAATACCAACAACACACCAATGGAGATTGGAGAGGATGATCAAGTTAGATTTTTAACACTTTTCAAAGAACGATCATATCGATCGGTTAGATGGATGACATTAAAGGATCTAGAGACGACAAATATTCAAATTAATCCAAAACTGCAACTTCAAATCAAGAAATCAATCCCTACACCCATCAAGGATGAATCCGAGGCCAACCCACTTCACTACTTTAAACAAGATTATATTCAAGTCGACAAAATTCTCGCCAAAGAGATCAAGAGAAAAGGTAGAGGACCAGGTGTCGTTAACTATTTGGTCAAATGGAAAGATCTTCTCCACGAAAAAAGTACATGGGAAACAGAGTCCATGTTGCGGTCGCCACAAGATAAGGAGGCCATCAAGATATACGAAGCATCACAATTGGGATACTCGAAAAAGATTGTTGCTCGTCCCAGTAAACTCCCAGCATTTGGACCATCTCTTGTTCCAAAGTTTAAGGGGTCTCTGTCACTCAAAGAATTTCAGGTAGAGGGATTTCTTTGGTTGTCTTATAATTGGTATCACGAAAGATCATCTCTATTGGCCGATGAAATGGGTCTGGGCAAGACTATTCAATCGATTGCTTTTCTCACCTATCTGAGTCAGTCAGTTGGTATAAAGGGACCATTTATGGTTGTTGCACCTCTTTCAACACTAGGCAATTGGCAAAAGGAAATTCTAAAGTGGACAGATATGAGAGTTTTGGTGTTCTATGGTACGCAAGAGACTAGAGCTTTTCAAAAGAAATACGAGTGGAAACGAAAAGATAAAGGTGTCTATCAATTTGAAATCCTTCTTACAACCTATGAAACTGTCATGGCCGAACATCAGGATCTTGTCAAAATAAATTGGAGAGCTCTTGTTTTGGATGAAGGTCATAGAATTAAAAATACACAATCAAAGGTTTTATCAAAATTAAAATCAATTAAAGTATGTCAAAAAACAAAACAAAACTTTATATTTAATCATTGAAAATATATATATCTAATTTATTCTTTTTTTTTTTTCTAGACTGAACATTCAGTAATTTTAACAGGAACACCATTACAAAATGATATGAAGGAATTGTGGACAATGTTGAATTTTTTGGATCCCGATAAATTTGCTAGTAGCACTCAATTTTTGGATGAATTTAGTGACCTAAAGGAAGAATCTCAAGTACAAAGACTTCACCAAATACTTGCACCATATCTATTGCGTAGAATGAAGGAAGATGTCGAGTTGTCAATCCCAATCAAGGAGGAGACAGTGATTCAAGTAGAGTTATCATCCATCCAAAAGACATACTATCGTGCTATTCTCGAAAAGAATAGAGAGTTTTTGGCCAGAGGTGTAAAGTCAAAATCGAATCTGCCAAAGTTGACCAATATTATGATTCAAATTCGAAAGGTTTGCAACCATCCATTCCTCATTCCAGGTGCCGAGGATACCATCATTCGTCAGGAAAAGCTCACAACCGACGAACAAATCGCAGAATTGTTGATTCGTTCTAGTTCCAAATTAGTCTTGGTCGACAAGCTCCTTCAACGTCTCAAAAAGGAAGGTCATCGTGTTCTCATTTTCAGTCAGATGGTCGAATCACTCAATATTTTAGAAGATTATTTGCACTATAGAGAATACTCTTACGAACGTCTAGATGGTTCAGTGTCATCGGTATTGAGACAAGCTTCCATCGAAAGATTTATGGACCAGGAATCTGATCGTTTTGTATTTCTTTTATCAACTCGTTCTGGTGGTGTTGGTATCAATCTTACCTCTGCCGATACTGTCATTCTCTTTGACAGTGATTGGAATCCTCAGAGTGATCTTCAAGCACAAGCCCGTTGTCATCGTATCGGTCAAACCTCTAACGTCAAGGTATACAGACTCATCACAAGAAACACCTATGAACAATATCTCTTTGAGGTGGCTACCAAAAAGCTATTGTTGGATCACATTGTTTTAAATAATGCTAAAAATAATTCAATGAAAAAACAACAAGAAGCAGATGAAGTAGAAAAGTCAAAAAAGGAAGAGGTGGGTGCAGTTGAAAGTGAAACAACAACAACAACAACAACAACTGACGATCAAGAAACAGAACAAGATGGAAAAGAGGATGGAAAAGAGTCACCCAAGACCTCTGCAGACAAAGATACACCGAGTGAAATTAGTCAAATGTTGAAATATGGTGCAGCCTATTTATTTACCGAAAACTCAAAGGATGCATCAGAACAAGATAATGTAATGTTTAACGAAGATATTGATAAGATCTTGGAGAGATCGACGACTATTAGCTTTGACAGCAAGAACAAACCATCAAATTTGTCTGGATTCTCAAAGGCTACATTTGCATCAAGTGAAACCGATTTCAATGTCGACTTGGACGATGAAAACTTTTGGGAAAAGGTTTTACCAGACTACAAAACGGTGAAACAGTTGGAGGAGAAACTTTCAAATGGATCCATTTTCAATAGCGACGAGGCCCGATCCAAATACATTGACGACATTGTAGAGTTGGCACAATCGAAAAAGGATGATATTGTCGATCCAGTTTCAATAGAGTTTATTTCCGATCTACTAAAGTTGATCATGCGTGTCGAGTTTAACACCAAATTCACTGTCGAAGAAAGAGAAAAGGTTCAAACAATGCGTCTCTTGCTCGAACGTCCAAGAACAAGAAAACGTGTCATCCCAGAGGTTGTCCAAACTGGTCCCGCCGTAGTCGATTCAAAGCAAAAGGGTAAAAAGACCAACATCATTGCCTCCATACCAGACTCGGATAGCTCCAGTGACGAACACAACAGCGACCCAGACTTTGTTCACGACGAAAATTCAGTTGAAAGTGATGACAGCAATATCATTGACACTAGAAAGAAATCAAAGATGAATGGTCCCCCTGTTGTACCGGTTTGGAATAAAACCAACAAGGATAAACTCAAAGCCATTGTCCTTAAATATGGTCTCCATCGTTGGAAAAAGATTCAAAAAGAACTAGCTTCCATTGGTGTCGTCAAAACACCAGGCGAAATTCAATCAATTACTGAATCTTTTGTCGAAGTTGGCTACAAATCAAACCAGGAGCAAATGAAAGAGTCTTTTGATCATTTTGTCGAAGACACTTCCTACTTTAATTGGCAAAAACTTGGTTTTGATGTAGATTCTCCAAATCCAATCACATTAGTCGAAGACAACAACAACAACACCAACTTGGACAAGTTTACCATCACCGATCTCCCATCTGTTCAAATGATTTCAAGTCAATCCATTGTTATTCATTTTGAAAAGAATCAACCAGAATCATCAGAACCATCAACAATCGAAAAATCCTCAACGGAACAAGACAAAATCGAAACGACAAGTGAAACCACCACTACCACTATGGATGAAAAACAAGATAGTATTGTAAATAGTAAAAACGATAGCATGAATACAGATAATGCAACCACGACAACCACCACAACAACCTCAACTAGCATAAGTACTTCCCCCAAACTTGAACCATTACCATTGTTAACCAATCGAATCCCCCAACAAACCGATGGATACTATCTTGCCATATTTATGGACGGTGAAAGGGATCAATTGATTAGAGTATACCCTATCAACTCGGGCATGACTCTTTGCGATTTCTTTTTCCCCGGTTTAAGTTCTGGTTATTTTATTAATATTATTTATACAAATATTTCACAGTATGTAGAAAGAAGAAAAAGAAGAAGAAGAAGAAGTAAAAAAATCCAACAATCGGTTCATTTTATTAATAATCTTTTTTTTTTTTTTTTTTTTTTAGAAATCAATATGTAAAATGTAGTAATGACATTAAAGTTCAAACTGTACCAAACATTATATGGCAACAAGGAGATTTCCCAGGAGCCAATCGAATCCAAGCTACTTTGGCAAGATTATCATTGATGAGAATTCTCAAGAGATGCATAGTCAGATATGGAAAGAACCTTGGCTATTTGAAACTACAGCACCTAACCAGAGGGCCTACCACATCGTGGACAGCAGAAAATGATCGCAGTCTAATTATCGGTATATACAAGTATGGTCACGGTAAATTTAACGAATGCTTTGCTGATCCCTCACTGGATCTTGCATCGGCCGTCAAAAAGGGATCCCTCTCTGCAAGTAGTGGCGCTGTTGGAAACCAAATGTTGGATGAGGAGGATGAACAACAGCAGCAGCAACAACAACAGCAAGGTCCAAAGATACCATCGTCAGAGTCTTTGAGAAGAAGATTGGGACGTGTCACTGAAAATATTACAAGACAAGAGATGAACCAAAAGAATTTGAAGCAACAACAGCAACAACAACAACAATTCCAGCAATCACAACAACAACAACAACAACAACAACAACAACAACAACAACAATTCCACCAAAAACTCCACAGTGATGATCACGAAGAATCTTCATTGTCTTTCCCAAAGAGAGAAAGACCATTTTCTCCTGACGGGGAGTTATCAGAAGAAGAAGAGTATCGTCAACAACAACATCAACAACATTTTAGAAACCCACGATACCCACAACAACAACAACAACAACAACAAGTCTATCAACCACAACAACAGTTTAGAAACCCACGATATCCACAACAAACTTCACCACCAAATTCTACATCACCAACATCTTATAAAAATGGATCGTTTGGAGCGATTGGTACTCGTTATGTACATCTAACTTTTGGATGGGATTCAAAAGTTTTACCTATGGGAGTTCCAGATCAAGCAACTTTGGAGATGGCCAAAAAAATGTTTTATGTCAAATTTAACCTTAAAAACTCGCCAGACTACGCCGAGAATCAAGATCAACACTTTAAATTTTACTATAAAGACCAACCAATCCAACCACACTCCAAGTTTGTCCAAGAATTGGATCTCCAAGATGGATTCTTTATTCGAGCCGAGTGGGAATCAAAGTGGAAAACCATGCAAGTTCAAGGTTTTGAAATGGACACACTCTTTATGAAGGTCCAAGACGACACTGTGCTCGAAGACATTGTCAAGGCCTATTTCCAAAGCAACCCACCACCATATGAATACAAAAACTTACGCGTAGAACACAACGGTGCTCGATTGGATCTTACTGGTGACATTGGTGGCAACCAAATCAAAAACGACTCGTTCCTCAAAATTGTATCTTCCTCTGACATTATCCACGTGCATGTTATACCATCGTGGAATATTGAGGAAAAAGAAATCTATGCACTCCACAAACGGACAACATTCCTTTCGAAATTGGTAGACTCTTTTCTCAAAAAGCACCAACTCCAACCCAAACAAATCAACTTTACAAGTGCTTCGACAGGTGCTATGATTGATCCAAACAAACCACCACTCGACCAAGGTCTTGAAATGGACTCTATCATCCATGCCAATCTTTTACTCTCAAGAATAGATGTAACCTACCAAAACCATACAGTACCATACTTGCTCAGCACCAATACTTCTTTTGAGTCTTTGATTCATCGATTCTGCGAGAGACTCAAAATCAACAGACACTCGGTACAATTTATCTATGACAGTAAGAAATTGGTACCAGAAGAAACACCAGAACAGATCAAGATGGGTCCACAGGCAAACATACAGGTGACAGCAAACGGTACCGTTCAACAAGGCATTATCGAAGTTGAAGTAAGACTCATTGGAGAAGATGCAGGAAGCTATATAAAGATGCACACTCACAACCCTTTCCCACTTGAAATTCTCATGGACAAGTTTTGTGAGGAACACAAGCTCAACAAACATGGTGTCCTCTTTACTTTTAATGGTATTAAAATAGAACCGCATGATACTCTAGTAAGCATTGGCCTGCGTGACTCTGACGTTATTGAAGCGAGAAAAATCAATTCTTCTTTTGGTAATTGAAACAATTTAAACAATAATAAACCTACTACCTGATTATTTATTCACAACAACAAAGAAAAAATACAAACCTAAAAGAATGAACCAAGGTCTTTTTAAACAAATTAGGGTTAAGATACAACATTTATTTTGTTTTTGATTAAATTTTCTAACAGGTTCTATGATTATTATTATTATTACTATTATTATTGAATAAAAAGATATTTAAATCTTCTTTTTTCTTTGTTTTGATTTTTTTAAGCCATGTACTCGTATTTTCTTTGGTTTGGATTATCATCGGCAGTTCTTCTAATATATTCTTGTTCAATGAGATACTCGATAGCCTTTTTGATTGTGGCAATCTTTGGAGCAAACCACTTGGAGACTTGGTTGGTGGTCTCGACGACGAGATCGTTGTGAGAGAGTACCTTCTTTGACTTCATAATACGTACAATGGCGGCCTGTAACTTGAAATAACGTTCCTTTTCAATTTCGCTATTTGATACGGTTTGGGCACCTTCAGATGTCTTGGTTTCACCAATTTGGACGGCAACATTGCAGTTGACCTTCATCTTCTTTGATGCAAACTTGGCATTGATAGAGAAGGAGGTATCATTGTTCCACTCCTTGTAGTCTGGCTTGTCACTTTCGATAATTCCAGTCTTCATTAAAGCGAGCAATGGTAATCTGATCGAGTTTTCATCCAAACCAATAGAGTCGAGGATTTGGAATCTGGTAACCTTGTCTTGAGTGTTGAGCAACAAGAGGATAGCCATTTGGTAGGCAGTTGTGGCCAACTTGTAAATCTTACCACGTACTTGACGTGAGTCAACATCAGCTCTTGAGAAATCGTACAAGAATGTTAAAACTCTACCCTTGAAACTAGATTTGTAATATTTTTCAAAATAGGTAATGGATGAAAGCATCTAAGAGAGTAATAAACAAAATAAAAAATTAGCTACTAAACATAATTATATTATTCAATTCTTTTTTTTTTAATACATACTTCACTAGGTGGTTTAAATGGATTGCTGCTAGTCTTGTTTGTCAAAGACCATGAACCATTGGTGAGTACATAAAAGTTAAATGTGTCTTTAGAAGAAAAAAAAAATTTATTAGTAAACAACCTTTTTTTTTTTTTTTTTTTTGTTTTCTACATACAAGGTAAAGTCAAACTGTTTTCATTAAGATAAGTTTGGAAATTGGCATTGATATCCTTGCAAAGTCTCATATCGTTAATCATTCTAGTTAACTTTGTGCAATAATCGAAACCTTGATGAGTCTTGAGTTTGTTGATCATGGATGCTTCGGCATCTTCAGAGGCAGAGAGATCTTCGACCAAACGCTTTGACAACATCTTTTGGTAATTGAGCATGAAAATATCCTTGTCTGGGAGGTACTTGAAGAGGCAGACGGCTTCGGCCAACTTCTTTTCCAACTCTCCTTCATCACTGATGTGATATGGACCCTTACGGAGGATTTGATCACAAAACTTGGCAAGGACGACTGGGATGGTAGATTCCTTCTTCTTTTGGTCGTAGGAAGCTGGGTTTTCATTGATGACGTGGGCAAATGAACGATCCATGGCAGCAAGGAAGGTGGTGTCATTGGAGAAAGATTCACGGATAAGACGATTGAATCTGTTGTAGGTCTCTAACAAATGGCCAATAAGAACTTGTGGCTTTTCTTGCGATTCTTTGAGATCGTTTTCAATCTCTTTGATACCCTCCTTTTTGATGAAATCTTGGAGATTCTTGCGGAGTGATTCAAGATGGTTGACTCTAAAGAGGAGATTGTACATCATAGTCAATTCATCATTCTTGTTTTCACTCAAGAGATCCAAGAACTTTTCGGCAAATTGATCCTTAAAGTTGACGATCAATGTTTCGTTGAGACGAATGTTGAGCTTGTCCAATGTGGTGATTGGCATAAACTTTTGGACACGAGTGGTTTCTTGTTCAATTCTGACAGAAATGTGCTTCATATATTGTGGAATACCATTCTTGGCAACAAATTCAGCAGATTCGATTCTGTAGAAATCCTCGGTCGACTTGAGGAAGGTGGTTTCGAAATGGTCAATGTACACTTGCAATTTATTTTTATCTTGTCCAAGTTGTACTAAAAGAAGTATTGAAAAAAATAAAATAAAAAATAAGTATTAAAACAAAAGAGAAATAATATAGGTTGACATACCATAACATTCCAAAGTGTCACTTAAAACTTGTAAATTGGTTGAATCACCATTTCTGTCCTTCAAGATAATGGTTTCCAAAGCAGTCAACAATCTGCTATTGAGTGGTTTGAAGGCAGCATCTCTCCATGCATTCAAAGAATCAATTAAGATCTTTGAAGTATTTGTTTGATCGCTTGAAGATTGTTGTTGTTGGGTTTTACCTCCATCTGAAGTATAGATTTTGTTCTATTAATAAATAAAAAGTAGGTAGGTAGTATGAAAAAGAACTAGGTGTTAGTCATTGTTTTAAATCGTTGATCTTGGTAATATTTGTATGTATACATACGACTGGCTCTAATAAATTCTTTAAGACTCTGCTTGAAAACTTCCAATCGTTCCATTTATTTCTAAAGAATAATAAAAGGTCATCATTTGGTAAACCGTCTGCTTTCTGTAGGTGTGTGTGTGTGAAAGAACAAACAAAGAGTTAGATTTTTAAAAAGTTTTTTTTTTTCCAAGATTTTTGATTGAAGAGATAATGAACTCTTCTCTCTCAAAGCTATATGTTTACATACCTCCATAATCTCCTTGGCCTTTTGTTTGATTAAATTTGAAATTCGAGGATAGAAATCTTTGAGAACACCTTCATTTTGTGTTGAACAGTAGTTATAAACATTACTAAAAAAGATACAACAAAAAGAAGAGATTGCAATAAGTAAAAAGTAATAAAGGGAAATAAAGCTTTAATGAATATCATTTACTTAGATAGATAGAAGGGAATGGGGGGGAGGGTAGAAGATAAAACTTACGTGTATAACTTAATATATTTTTCCTTTGTGAGACCCTCCTTTAAATGAATAAAGAGATCTTGGAATGGTTTCTCACATTCCTTCCAAAGCTCGTCCAATGTAAGAGGTTGATTTGCCATTCTTTTCTGCTTTCTCTTTGTTTAATATATATATATATATAATACTGTGCTATGCTATGCTATGAATTAAAAAATCAAGTCCACCACTAATTACTACTACTATCTACTACTGTTATACTATTCTTTCTATAAATTTGTTCAACTGATCGATGTTTTAGAGACAAAAAGTTGAGAGTATATATATAGGTATAAATATTAAATATTAACAAACTAAAAAGATAATAACAAGAGATCCACAATTTGGGCTTGTCACAACTTCCTCAGACCAATAAAAAAATTAAAAAAAAATTGCGCTTTTGAGAATCAAAGGGGAATTTTGAATCGATTCAAAAAATTACTTCCCTATTATTATTATTATTATTATGTATAATATTTATTACTAGCCATTATGATAGTATCGAATATTACTTTATTCCTATTCTTCTTCCTTCTTCCTCCTACTTTTAGACCAACTAAAATATTGTAAATCTTTCACATACGATACGAATTTGGGGACCAAGAAAGAAAAGAGTTTCAATTAAATTAATTTTTTTAAAACAATGATGGTGAAATAAGAATATCTCAAAAGGTTTTCCATTTGTGCTCACAACTTCTTTGAATGAGGATGATGATGTATTTGAGAGGTGCGCAGGTGTTTTTTCCTCATTGAGAAAATAAACGATCAAAAAAATTGATCGAATTTGATCGATTTCGAAGCACGTGGAGGACAAAGATCAACGACTTTAAAAGCTGACCTTTCATTATTCAATAGTTAGCAGTTGCGTAGCTAACCAACAATAATAATCGCTTGACAATAATAATAGTAGTAGTAGTAGTAGTAGTAGTAGCGATAACTTTTAAATATTTTCAAAAGAGATACACGACATGTTACAACAACCACCACTTATCGTCATATTGTTGTTGTCACTGCTGTCGCTGACAATGACGATAGTACTAGTGTATTCACAAACAACATATGAATATCCAATTGATATGGGTGCAAAGTGTGAAGCATTCATTGGAGATCCAATAGACAGAATAGTATGCGCACCCTATCTTACAGCATACAATACATCGATCTATGTAGCAACAGGTGCATCACAAGATCAAATGATATTAGATGCAGATTACTATGTTAAATTCTTAAATAGTTATGGCAATGATGCCTGTAAAATTCAATCTAGTTATAGAACTCTATGTTCTTTTGTAAGTATAGTAGTTTAGTTTATTTATATCCATTCGTTATTCTACGCACGCACACACACACGGTTTTTTTTTTATTTTTACTTTATAGTGCATTTAATAGCGCAAACTATTAATAATATTATTTATTTTTATTTTTAGTTTTTTATTAAATGTGTAAACATCAATGTAACATTGGGACAACCTCCAAATGATACATTACCTACGGCTACTACCAATGTAACAGTAGCATTTCCACAGTTTACATGTAGAGAGAGTTGTCAAAAGAGTATGGATCTGTGTAGTGTAACACCTGATCTATACAACTGTGCCGACAATACAACGACATCACTTGGCAGTCGACCACTCTATCCACCAGAGCTATCGATAGAGTTGTTCAATCTAACATCACTCAATTATAGTCACTATCAATACGATCAAGGTACAAATCAAAGTATTTGGTCTTATATCTATGATCAACTCTATTGTTTCAATAGTACCGACTTGAGTCTCAATATCAATGAGACCATCGATACTTCTGTTTGTCAATCTCCTTTGGTTTATAGAAAGAGTCCTGATCGTTGGTACGATGAAAATATTGCTGGTTATACTTGGGTTACTGCTACTTCTGATTGTTTAGTTGTATGTTAATTAATTAAAACAAACAAACAAAATATATAGAGAGAATCAATTAATAATTAATCATTCATCTTTATTTATTTTCTTATTTAGCCATGTCCAGCACCAGCATTTTCAATGGATCAATGGAATAGTTTTTATCACTTGGTAGATACACTCAGTATGATGTCTGCTCTATCTGCTCTATTTATGATCATCACCTATGGAATATTGAATAGAGAACATACAAATTATGAAAAGATCCTTTTATTCCAATTTACTAGTTTATTCGTATGTTTTATATTTAATATGAATCATTTTATTATTTTATTTTAACTAATCATCGATTTCTATTTTTAAAAGATTCGATCATTGTCAGGTGTTGTAATGGTATTTTCAGGTGGAACTAAAAACAATGTATGTCCAGACCCAGGTAGATCAATGACATCTCTTGATACTCTATGTGTTGTATATGGAGTTTTGTTTTATGGCTTTTCTCTAAATGCTATCATGTGGTGGAGCTTTTTGGTGTTTGATTTGTGGTGTGTCGTAAGAAAATGTATGTAAACATTTACTAATTAGATAAACAACCTCCTTTACAACAATGTATTAACCAAACTTGATTTATTTATTTATAAAGTCCGTCAATTAAAATTATTATACTTTTTAATTGGTTCAACTATTATTACAATAGTTATGACTGTATTTGCTACAATTAAAGGAAAATATATCGCCGATAAAGGAAATGTTGTGTATGTAGTAGAAAATAGGAATGTGACAGACAGACAGACAGATTGATTAATTTTCTTTTAATTTAATTTAGATGTTGGATTTCTGACAATGATTATGTTGACGAATTATTCTGGGGACCTGTAGGTGCTTTAATTGGTGTTTGTTCTATTTTAATCGTTTGGATTATAGTTGATGTTTATAGAGTAAGATTCAACACATTTATATATACTATTGATAAAAAACCTACCTACCTAAATGTTAACCATTTTTTTATTATTTTAGTTAATTAATAGAACAAATGTTGGCTGGCAACTTGGAAAAAAGTTTGTTTATGCACAAATAGGACCTTTGGGTTATATTATTGTGTTTTATGTTGCCTATGTTTACATTTTCGTTTATAATCGTACCTATCATCTTTCATATCTCGAACTCAAAAAGAAGTCAGCTGTTGCCTATTTTGACTGCATTTTAAATTCTCAAGCAGGTGGATATGACCCAAATACGTGTTTGGTGGCAGGTCCAGAGATTGCAGCCTACACTATATTCATTACTCTGCTTCAGATATTTGGCATGTTTACACTCTTTTATGCATTCAACTCTAAATTTGTGGCCATTTGGAAGGAAACTTTGCTCAAGCTAAGAGCTTGGTTCTACTACAGAGTATTGGGTAAAAAAGTACAACTTGACTATAACCCTTCAACAGCTATCAATACGGCTACTACTGCCACAAAATTATCTTCAGTTGGTTCAACCGATGGAATGTCATCACTTTCTATAAGTCCACCAATTGCATCGGCATCACAAAAGAAATCAAAAAAAAATAGGCAATCAAAATTAATATTATCACCAACCTTTGATCAATTGCCTCCAATGAATGATAATGATAATAACAACAACAATAATAATAATGTAGATATTCAACTTGAAACATTCAATAATCATTCCGATAATAATAATAATAATGTAGATATTCAACTTGAAACTCTCAACAATCAACAGTCCGAGAGTAATAATATTAATAGTAACGATAATAATCAAAATGTTGGCAACTCTGAATCCAACAATAATGGAGGAGAAATAGCTACATTTGAATCAAAAGAATAAATAAATACTAATAAATTGGCAATACAATTTTTTCATTCATTAATTATTTACAGTTTATTATTACCTCTATATACTTCATCCAACATTTGACAATATTTAGAGTTGAGTGAAAATGTATAATTTCTCTAGAGTTGATTTCAATATTAATTTATTATTATTGTTGCTGCTGTTGTTGTTGTTGTTGTTGTTTGAATATGATTATTAAATTTAGTCTGACCAATTTACAGAAATCTTTTCTTCGATACCCTCTTGGTTACCAATCATTAATATAAATTCATCAAACGATATTTTTCCATCCTTGTCCAAATCACCTTCAATAATAGTCTTGTCTACGATTTGTTGTAATTGAACATCATTCAAATTGGTTCCAACCATCATTTTTAATACTTGAAATAATTCACCATTACCAATAAATCCATCAGCATCCATATCATATACATTAAATAAAACTGTAAAAAGAGAAAGAGTGATGTATTAGAAAGGTGATAAAAGAGGGGGGAGGAGAGATGGGAACGGTACAACAACAACAACAACAATAACATACATTTTAATTTTTCCTCTTTAGAACCTTTATGAGAGAGTGTGCTGAGAGCAGAAACAAACTCTGAGAACTCTATTTCATTATCATGATTCTTATCAAATATTTGAAGTACACGCTCCAACAATGGATTGAGAGCTAGGTCGGGAATGGAAAGGAACTCATCAGTCGTTAAAGTTCCAGAGCCATCCTTGTCTAACATTTGAAATCTTCTATATAATTTTTTTAATTCAGTCTCTGAAACTATATATAGTTTAGTTATCATCACAAGTTTAGTTAGTATCTATATATATATAAACGATAGACATATCTGTTATCTCCTCTCTTGTGTGGCTTGTACTTACAAGAACTCATTTCTTTTAACTGATCAAGATGTTCCTTGCTTACACCTGAATGTTGATTACCCATTTTATTCTTTTTATCCGTTGTTATTGATGCTGGTCTCTTCTCCACTCTTTATATTAATAGTAATAATATTAGTTTGTTTTAATATTAAGGTTAGGTTTATTAATAATAATCAGCTGAGTTCTAAAGTTAGGGTTGAAGGATCGACACAAAATCATATAAAAAATAAATTTAATAATATTGTGTGCACGTGACACTCTACTTTAATAGTTCTGACTTTTAGAAATTCATTTAAATGATAGAGAGATAAATGGATACATTAGTTAATAAAAGAGGAGGAGGAGCAGGAGGAGGTGTAGGTGTTGGGTCAGATATAAATATGGATAACATCAACATAGATGATAGTGATTGTTCAGACCTCGATGATGAACAATACAGACAAAGTATTAGAAAGCATTTGGCATGGTATGAAAAGATAGGTGTCGATGCTTGTCTATTGTCAAGAGTTATCATTTTCCTCATTGTCATATTTTGGATATTATTCGTTATCTATGCTGCGCTAACAATGTAAACTAGCTAGCTCTACCCCAAAACAAACCACGTGACATCAGCACAATCATTACACTTTAATAATGGTATGAATAATAATTGTTTATTGATTTAAACATCATTCAGTAATTCTTTTACTGACAATAGATATTAAATGATAGGTATCATCATAAAAGTGAAATGATACGATATTATCATCATCTTTGGTTTGGTGATGAATCAGATCCGATGATATGCAATATCTATTGGTAAAGGACTTTCCCAACCATTTATCATTCAAATATACCATTGTAAATGATGCTGCTGCTGTTGCTGTCGATACATTCCAATGACAAAGTATATCATATATATCCTGACCATTATACATTGATTTCTTGTTCCATATCTTTTCAAACTTGATACTATCATTTTCAACAATAAATGCTTTAGAAGTTTCCTCTTCCTTCCATTGTAGATTTAATTCTCCTAAATTTAAATCAAATCGACTATTATTACTATTATCATTATTATTGTTGTAAATTAATAATTGAATTGATTTAATGGTCAATTGGTTGGTTAAAAGATCTTTTGAAACACTAAATGATCTAGTTGTCCAATTATTAGTGTTGTAGTCTGAGTTTTGATTTAAAATCATCATTCTATTGTTTCCAAATATATGATTGAATTGAGAAGAGTTGTTTTGTTGTTGTTGGTTATTATTATCATTATTATCATTATTATTGTCTGTAAGAATATTAACAGGGCCATTTTCTAGTTTAATAACCAAAGCCACATTGATTGAATGATTTAATTGTTGTTGGTTGTGAATCCATTTAAAAGTATATGATATCATCAAATCCTTGTTGTTGAGACACTTTACATCTAAATTAAACAATGTGAAAAGGAAATAATTGAATGGTTCAATCAATTTTCCTTTTACATTTAAACAACTTCCTCCAAAATAAGAATCATCATAGATGACACTATTTGAAACAAGAGGAGAACCACACCAATATCCATATTCGTAACATCCCATTACATCCATATCTGAAAGATTAATCCATTCCTTGTTGTTGTTCATAACTTGTTTACCATTTATAAAGTATCCACCATTTGATTTTCCAACATTAAAGTGGTTGATAAATGGTAACTCTGTCTTTGACACTCTCTCACCCATTTCTGCCAAGATACAATTGGTTTCCGTTGTTGTTTTGGTGGTTGTCTTTACATTTAAATGTAGATGAATAGATGTAATTCTTGGACCAAAATGACCAGCCCAATGCTCTATATCCCTTCCAATAAACTCTATATAGATGTATCTTACACCCTCAAGTGGACTCTCAATTTCAGTTGAATACTTTTTAAATTGATTGGTTGTAATAATTTCTTGTTCTAATTTATCAGTGTATAATGATTTATGATTTTCATCTCTCAATTCAATCCTTAAAGTACGTAATAATAATAACTTGTTAGTGTATTGAATTTGTTTGTTTGAATAGTTTTGATGATACATACTGGTAAGATATAAAATCATTAAATTTTGGACCAGTACCACAATGATAGAATTCAAAGTAGATGATTGGCATTAAATCCAACTCTTGTTTGGAATATCCCTTTTTTAAAAGATCTATTTCTTGTGACATTACACTATGATATGATGATTTAAAACAATTACCTCTATTCATTCCTTCATTCTTTGCTGTCACCCATACATCACCTTTTTCTAAAGTATGATTATTCCAACCATCCAAATTATTATCAAAAACACATCCATTTTCAATTAAATCTAAAAGAGAGAATACAGGTTAGTTTGGTCCATTAATATTATTATTATTATTTTAATTATTATTATAATTTTAAATTTACTTACTATTAAATAAAGGACCAACCCATAAATTTGATTCTTTTAATTGGAATTGAAGATGAGATGATTGGTTAGCTTCCCATGTCCAAGCTGGAGCAAATATAGCACTAGATAGTTTATGTTTATAGGCTTTTTGAACACCAATGTAGCTATTTAATTTACCACCACCAAATGTACCTCTACCAAATACATCGGTTCCAACATACACTTGGTGTTCTCTATCGGTTGCCAATTGGCTAGAAGATTTGATCATATCCTCATTCCATTTATAGTTTAAGAATATTCCGTCACATGCATCAAAGTAGATCTTATTTTTTTGGTTTAATTCATTTTGCCATACCAATGTACCATCATCCAAAACACTATCATACCAAATAACCAATGATCCATTGACAGCTCTATGCATAGTCTCTGTAAAATATTCCAACATTTGTTTATATTTTATGGCATAGTTTTTGTTGGGTAGATCCGATTCAATATTAATAAACCAACCATCGAATCCACAGTGAACAGCAATATCAACCAAACGATCTATAAATACATGTCCTTTAAACTCTTGAGAGTTTAGATCAATATCAATACCATCAACCAATCTACAAGCATCATTGACACCACCTTCCCATTCAGTAATAATAGTACCCAATATCTTTACACCATTTTTGTGTGAACTATTTATCCATCCAATTGCTAATATTAATAAAAAAAGGTTAGATCTTATTAAAAAAAAGAAGAGTTATTTTAATGACATACGAGGAATAGATATTCTTTGATGAGTAAAATAGATAAAAGTATCAACAAGTTGCCAATACTTGAATGTATAATTATAAAATACATTATCTTTTTCATCATTGTCACCACGGTTATTGTCCTTTCTGGAACCTTGATAACCTTGTTCGTCTGTTTCATAAGGTAAATAACCACCCATCATATCATGACAATGAATAATTTGTTGATTATTTGATCTACCATTGTTTTTTTCTAGTTTAAATGTATTTACTTTGGTGTTGTCAAATCTCCAGTCTAAAAGATGAATTAAACTTGGTAATGCTTTGAATTGATTTGATGTTGCAATAGACATTTGTTCTTTATAAAGGAATAAAAGGATTGTTAATAACAATTATCTCTTTTTTGATTGCAGTTTCAATAACTTACTATCAGGGTATGAGGGAGGTGATGAATATATATTTAAATGACTCGATTCATCGTATCTGAGAGTTGATACTACCAAGTTGTTTATCAATGCAGAGAATAATGTACAACGGTCTTTTGTATTGTTATCTCCAATTCTTATTGGGTATTTTGACTTTTGATTGTGTTGGTGAGAGCAGTCATTGTCTTCCTCTTTTCGTTGTTGTTTATGATAAAGTACATTATTGACATGAATAGATGTATCTAGACTATTGTAAACAATCTTTATATGTAACCATTCACCAATCTTGATTGGATCTGGTTTTAATAGTACTTTGTTATGATTATCATTTTGATGACTATAGTAATGCTCATAATCATATTTTGGTGTTGTGAATAATCGATTTAATGAATCAATGTATAATCCTTCTTTCTTTGGTGACGACGACGACGATGGTGGTTGTTCTATTTCAAATATAGTATGACATACAGCACCCTCCAAAGGTTTATTCTTTACAATAATATAAACATATGTTTAGTAAATAGTAGTAGTAGTAGTAGGTCTCAATCAATCAATCAATCTCCCCCATCTTACTTACAACGAATAACCAACAAGAGATAGAATCAATATCATGTTTGACAGTATTGAATGTTGGTATAGTGAATGATGATGAAACTGAATTTGTATCAATCAAAAATGATGACAAAAGAAACGTACTGTTACTGCAATCCATAATTAATCTTTCATGAATAATTATTATTATTATTAAATCGACAATGAAGATCGTGTCGATCAATAAATTTTCGAAAATTCAATCAAAAAAAAAAAAAAAAAAAGAATATTTTTGGCTTTTTTTTTTTGCAAAAAGCTTGAAAAGAATCTTTGTCTTGGTTTCCGTCTCTGCACGGTTCGTTGAGCTAACCCTTTCACACACACTAGTTGATACGATTCGTTCTTTGAGGCATAGTTAACAGCCCACAAAGATAAAAACTGTTTATTTTTTTTTTTGCAGGAGAGAGAGGCTAGAAAGAAAGTCGTCGTTCATAGTTGTTTACAAACAAACAAACAATCGATAAAGTAGTAATCATTATATATACATACACACACATACACATTATACATATAAATATACAACTCTGTACAAGTAGAAAAACACACAAAGGCTCCGAGGATACGATCGTATCCTCCATCATTTTTTTTTTTTTCACACACACGCATTTTATTTTATTTTATTTAATTTTATTTATTTATTATAATAAAAATGATGATGATGATGATGCAAAGAAGAATATTTTTTGCAGCATCAATATTATTATTATTATTGAGTTATAGTACAACTACTACGACGGCACAAACAAACGAAGCAAGCAAGACATTTGTAAATCTTCAAGGCACAGGTCAATATCCAGCGTTTACACAACACTTTTGGTCCAATGAAACCACACCAACCATGAAAGCATCTTGGGATGTTGATTCAGAGGTAACAGCATCCTACTATACCGATCTATGTAGATTTGGAAAGGTTGGACAATCCGATGCTTCATTTTTTACTTTAAGTTCATTTGTAACTAGTCCAGTCTACAATGGATCATTAGAGGATATCTATGTAATAGAAGCAGGTATGAATCAACAACAATCAACAACAACAACAACACATTGATAAAGATCACAATTTCTTACATTTGTATTTTTCAAAAAAAAAAAAAAAAAAAAAAAATAGGATCATCGTATGCTATCGACACTAACCTTCTTACGATTTCAAACGTTGCTCTACTTTGTGTTTATGGCACTTTTGAATTCGAATATGTCGCTCAATTCGTAATGGCATTCCATAGTGTTGTTGTTTTTCCAGGAGGATCTTTAGAAATGAAGGATGTTCTAGATTTTGTCACTCCAGTAGATTCACCCGCTCTGAGCACATTGGAGCAATACGATGTTTTTAACAGTTTCCCTGGCATTATATCATTTGGTAGAGTTCTTATACCGTCAATTCCTGGTGTCTCCTCTCAATACCCATCGATTAGCGTCAACGAGACCACTGTCAAATTCCCATCGTCGATGACCATTGATTTTTCATCAAACAATTACAATATGGCCAGCTCAACTGGCTCGGTGTTGTTGGACAGCTCATCGCTTACAAAAGTAGGTTCAGAGTATTTCTACAACTTTGGTGTACAGGGTGCTCCTGCTGATTTTACGGCAACCATTTATGCGCTTCCAAAGAATATCAAAAACTATGATTTTAAAGCTTCCATGCCCATTCAGTTGTATGGTAGTGCCGCCTCTTTTGTGGCTGGTTCATCTTCAAAATCTGCCGTCCTTTCCAACTTGTTTGGTCGTACTACCAACGGTCCTCTTTCAGATACCGTCTACAACAACAACCGTGCACTCCAGACAACAGGAACCAACCAACGTCTTAGATACGGTGTCAGTGCTTCGTTTGGTGCCAAGATTATCTTGGAGAATGTCTTTATCAAAGATTCTTCTTCAGTCCCTTCCTCTAGACGTGCAGTCTTTGGTCTTCATCATGCAACGCTTAACATCAAAAACTCATACGTCAACCGTTTATCGTGTGGTTCGGTCATCTATGCCGACTATGGCACAGAGGTTATTGAGTCTCTAAACACTGTCTATATCGGAAAGGCTCCACTTGGTGCAATTGCTACCGATGACCCAGAAACTGTTGACTTTGGAAGTGGAGGTAGTGCCATCACTTCGCTTTCTCCTCATCTCACTGCCACATCGAATCGATTCTATGGTCAGTTCCCAGGTGGTGCCATTAATATGGTACAACTTCCAAACAGAACAGCCGTCACTGGAATGTACTATGATCTCCATCTCAACGACGAACTGTATCACGATGCCAGAACCAATGGTTTTTTAATCGATCAGATGGTTCTCGATGATACTGTGTTCCAATTGGCCGGTAATGACAACCCTGCCATATCCATCATCGGTTATGCATCCTCGATGAGCACACCACCCTCGATTACCATTCAAAAGATTGCCACCTCTAATCCGTTTGTCTTTAACTATCCAACTGCCACCATTGTCGTATTAAACTGCACCACCGTCACTAGTGTACCACTCATCCAAGTTGTATCAGGTCCCGTTTCCGTTATCGTTCAAGATACAAATGTTTTTGGATCTGCCACCCAGATCACCGGATCGTTACCATCGTCCACTTTAATTAAAATCTCGTTTACTGGAAGCACAGTGGTTGGCTCGGGCATTGTCATTGACCCAGCACATTTCCAATCAAATGGATACCTATCGCCCATTATCACAAGCGGCGGCGGTGGTGGACAGCAGCAACCGCAGCAGACCTATGTCCTATTCCAAATCAATACTGGTGTTGGTGGAATTGACAAAACAGGTCCATTCCCAGTCGTCACTAGAATGTCTCCATCGTCGTATCAAGCTTTGGTACCTGCAGGCAATGGCACAATCAACTTGGATTTGGGATTTACCTACGCTTTTCTGCCAGCTTTGGACTTTAAGAACTGTAGAATTCTCTTTGCCAACAACAATTCAGTGGCTGTCAACTCGACTTCTTTGGCTACTGATGGAAGCGGTTCTTTTAACTGTACCACTACTTGGACACCACCAGCCGACACTGCAAGAACACCGGTATTGCTCAAGGCTGAGATCTACGACTCTGCAGATAGAATGTTATTTTCAGTCTCTTATCCACTCATCTATATTGTCAACACTCCATTCGAGTTTAAACGTGGATGGGATATGGCAACCAACGCAACCACCAACTCTACAACATCAATCGATGGCGTCAACATTTACGATGGATGTTCCACATCTACCTACTGTCAACTAGACAATGTACTTTTAAATTACAACCTTACCGTTCCCACCACCACCGTCCCTGCTAATACTAGCAATGCTACACTGGCCCTCTTGGAAACAGGAGCATCCTCCAACTTTCCTCTTTCCTCTAGTCCAATACTCACACTCTCTGCAATGGAACTTGGTCTTTACAAGTTGAATCTCTTGTTTGTCTACGAGAGACCAAGTAATCTTCCAAACCCACGTCCAGATGAAGTGATTGATATCAATCCCTATCTTCAAATCAATATTGACGACCAAGTCTATTCAAGTTCCTTGGCCGTCGACACTAGTCTTGCTGGCAGTCAATTGGTCAATGCTACCATCTTTTTTGAACACTCCACCACTCAAGATGTCAAGGTTCAATTCCCATCGACCTACTTTTACCTCGCTTCAGCATCGCTCCACTACACCTTTTATGCACCCGTTGTTCCATCCGACCAAGGAGACAGTGACTCAACCAACCTTGTCGTCATTATTGTTCCTATTGTCGTCGGTGCACTCGTTATTGGCGCTCTCATTGCCGGCTTTATCATTTATCGTCGTCGCAACAAACCAGCCATGTCCAGAAAGGTCAATGACATTGAACTCGGATCATCCAACGGCAGCAAGAACAAATCATCGCCTACCTCGTCGATGGGTAATCTCAGCTCTTCACTATCGGGCAATATGATGATGAACAGCAACATTAGTGGTTCAGTGACACCAAGATCGGTACCCAATTCACCATCACGCACTGCCCTCAAGACTTCGACAGCCAACATCAACCAAGAAAAGTATCGTCTCCATCCTTCCATCTACGATATCATCCAAAACACTTCCAACTATACTCACGAGAATCCAGATTTCCCATTGACCTTTACCTCGACACGTCTTGATTTTGGTATGGGAGGTATGAAGTGCCAGATTGACCAAGTCATTCAAGACTCTATCACCATTGTCAACAAGAGTCAACATACTGTCGCCTTTGACGTTCTCGTGCCACCATCATCGTCGGCAGCTCTCTTCCAAACCGATGCTCAAGAGACCATCTCTTTGAAGCCAGGACGTAATGTAACAGTCACCTTCCAAGCCAAACTGCTTTGTACCACCAAGTTGATGGAGCGTATTTCCATCAACATTCCAGAGTTTGGACATACCTTTGTCTACATGGCAGTCGAATCGGTTCTCTCTACTCAACTCGATTACGATGAATTGGTATTCTTTGAACCACCTATTGGTGAAGGTTCATTTGGTGTCGTTTATCGTGGACAATGGAGAGGTCAAGATGTCGCCATCAAGAAGCTCAAGATTGGTCATCTCATGGGTGGCTCTTCGGATTTGATCAACGACGTCTACCGTGAAATGGATCTTATGAACAAATTGCGTCATCCCAATATTGTCAGTTATGTAGGTGCCGTCAAAACCTCTGACAAGCTTTGTCTCGTCTCTGAATACATTCCAATGGGTTCATTGGCCAAAGTACTCTACAAGGAGAAACAAGCGCTTACAATGAAAGAAAAGGTTAGAATCGCTTTGGATACTGCCAAGGGATGTAACTTCCTTCATCAATGTGGAATTATGCATCGTGATCTCAAACCAGATAATATTCTAGTCGTCACCTTGGCCACCGACGCTCAAGTTTGTGTTAAATTGACAGATTTTGGTACTAGCAAGGAAGTAACAGATTTTGATTTATCTTCTTATACTAGTGGTATTGGTACTCCTATTTATATGGCAAATGTAAGAAATATTGGATTCATATTAAAAAGCTAAAATGAATTTACACCTTTTATTAATACAATTTATTTTTTATTTTTAGGAAATTCTTGAAAAACAACCATATGATAATTCAGCTGATGTTTATTCATATGCTATTATGTTTTATGAACTTATCCTTGGTGAAGTTCCATTTGGAGAATTTAAGAATGTATGGGAGATTCCAAGATTCATTCTTTCAGGTAGTCGTCCAACTCGTGGTTTGGAAGGTGTATATCCTCCCATCGTAGAGTTGATCAATGAATGTTGGTTACATGATCCATCAAAACGTCCAACATTTGCTGCTATCATACCAAGACTTGAAGCCATTTTGGAATCAATTCCAAAATAAATGGAAATCAAGAAATATTGTAAATTCACAAAAACGTAACAAGAAGAAGAAGAATCATTCTTCACAAATAGGAACAACATATAAAAAAAAGAAAAAGAAAAAAAAAGAAAAAAACCCTCAAGACATTTTTTTTGTAACACCAAACAACAACAACAACACAACATTAACAAGACCGGAAAATGTATAATATAAATAAACCAAATAATATTATTATCTTTTATAAATATATATAAAAATATCTATCTATCTTTTCTACCACTATCCATTAGTTGATGTGGCGATAAATCAACGAAAATTCGATTTAATTAATTTTTTTTTTTTTTTTTTTTTTTGGGGGGGTTGACGCTGTCAAACAGTTCGCTTTCAGTCGAAAACAGTTACATTAAGATCTTCAAGTGCAATATAGAAACTCAAGCTTTTTAGTAGTAAAGTTTATTTCTCTCTATCTATCTATCTACTATCTATCTATCAATCTCTTTGTATAGTACAAACACTTTATTTGTAGAATAGTATTAAAATAATGGCAAAAGTAGGAGAAGGAGATCCAAGATGGGTAGTTGAAAACAGACAAGATGGTCGTAACGTAAACAATTGGCATTGGAGTGAGTTTGATTGTATGTCATGGAGCAAAACAAAGCTTGCTACCTTGATTGGTGATCAAACACTTCTCGACAATGACGTTGCCTCTATCAAAACATTGCCAACCGTCACTGTCACTGGTGAATGTTCATCGATGAATAGAAAGGGAAAAACAATCTTTCTCTTTGAATTGACTATCAAGGCAAACTGGGAAGGAAAGTTAAAGGATCAACCTGATGATAAACCTGTAAAGGGTGAGTTCATATTGACCGAATATGAAGATGAATCGGAAACTAAACCAACCGTCGGTGTTACTGTTTCAGGTGAATCAAACAACAGTGCCGATAAATTAAAGATGTTGGCTAGAGCTCACGGTATCCCTTTCATTCATTCCGCTCTTCAACAATATATTAAAGAATTAAAAGAAAGTATGTTAAATTAAAGAATATATATATATTCCACAAACCTCTAATTAGTTTTTACTAAAATTAATTTAATTTTCTCCAATCATGTTATATAACAGCGTATATAAGAAATGCTCCTCCACCTGTACAAAATGAAAATAATAATAATAATAATAATAATAACAACAACAATAATAACAATAATAATAATAATACAACTACAACCACTGCAAAAAAACCAACAGAAGAAAGTGTACCAACACCAAATTTAAAATTAACACCAAAGAATGTCAATACAAAGACACTAACAATTAGAGAAGAGTTCCAAGCCTCTCCAATGGATGCATACGATATCTTTGTTAATCCAGACAAGATTCGTGCATTTACACAATCAGACTGTGTATTTGAAAACAAAGAGGGAGGCAAGTTCTCACTCTATGGTGGATTCATCACAGGTACCAATGAAAAGTTGACACCCGGTGCCACTATCCAACAAAAGTGGAAACTCAATGATTGGGCCAGTCACCAATATTCTACTGTTACAATCAATTTCACTGTCGGTGATAAACCAGTCACCAATGTTGAAATTGTTCAAACTGGTATTCCAGCTGAAGAATATGAAAAGACCCAAGAAGGTTGGAGAAGAAACATTCTCGAAAGAATTAAAATGACATTTGGGTATGGTTCAAAGATTTATTAAAATCAACACTTCCATAACAGGATGGATGGATGGATGGATTGATTCCAACCTACATTTTAATATTTAAATATTACCTACAGACCTCCCTATAGAGAGAGAGAGAGAGCTAGATAGCTTCACATTGATAATAATAAAATTAAATTGGTTTTAAAATTCAAACCTAAACTTCAAACCTACCATTCTTTTTTTTCGTTTGAATTGAAGATCTAAAATTCTAAAAAAGGGCAAAAAAATAAAATTTAATTTTTGTTTTTTGGTCGGTGCCAATTAAAACAATTATTTTCATTAGGTCCTTATCCCTAAAGTAGGGTCCCTTAAAGACCTTTTGAATTATGAATCAGAATTGAAAAATATTTATCATAATGTTTTTGGATTCTATTAAAAAGTTGGACTAACTGAAACATTCCTTTTTAAGTTTTTTACAGAGTATCTTGAAAACTATAAATTAAAATACTCTGTTCATCAAAAATATCTCTAAATATATCAACAAATCTTTAAATATATATATATCTATCTCTAAAATTACATGAAAAATGAAGTTAAATATCAAATCATTAGGATTGGTCCTGATTTTAATTATTAATCAATCATATGGACAAACTGTATCATTTGACGCTACCTATCAGTTATCTTTGGTCAATGCGATTAGAGCCCAGGCTGGTAAAGCAGCTCTATCATTAAGCCCTTGTCTTGTACAATCTGCACAATTCCAATCAAACTACCAAGCCAATTCCAATCAAATGACTCATGATAACCCAGCTGGTGATGCCCTGGTAAGAATGAGTTCTTTTACTGCCAATTCACTCACTTCTGCAGGAGAGTATGTATATAGAATTATGAAATATAAATATTTAAAAAATTAATAAATTCTAACTAGTCTTGATTATTATCTTCTTCTTCTTCTTCTTCTTCTTCTTCTTCTTCTTCTTCTTCTTCTTCTTCTTCTTCTTCTTCTTTAATCTAGAAATGTTGCAGCTGGATACTATAATGACGATGATGTTGTTGCTGCTTGGAGACAATCGCCAGGACATTATGCAAATATGATTGGAGATTTTCTATATTTTGGTTGTGGAATGGCTGCTTCGAGTACCAACCAAGTGGTGTACTGGACCCAAAATTTTGCAATCTATTCATCTTGTAGCTCTCAAACCACTGGCGGTTCGACATCAACTACGTCTTCAACCTCTGCAACTGGGACATCTTCAACAACCACTTCTCCCACTAGCGCAACTTCTAGTACTACTACTGGAGCAACTTCTGATCCAATCACATCAACCTCTGCTACCACAACTGATTCTATTTCCACTACTGGACCTGGAGTAACCTCCACAACAACTGGCTCTGTCACCTCTGCAACTGGGACATCTTCAACAACCACTTCTCCCACTAGTGCAACTTCTAGTACTACTGGAGCAACTTCTGATCCAATCACATCAACCTCTGCTACAACCGGATCTTTATCAACAGACCAATCCACCACCACTACTACTACTATCGCCGCTGACACTACCACCCAAGGTTCAACCACGACTGGAACTGGGACAACATCTGATCCAATCTCTACTACTAGTGGTACATCTACTTCTTCTTCTTCTTCTTCTTCCGAGGATCCAATCATATCAACAACGGGATCTACCACTGGATCTTCGTCAGCCGATCAACCGACCACATCTAGTGATTCTACGACCACACCTGATGACTCTACGACTACATCTGATGAAGATAGCAGCTCGGCCACCAAGATGGGTTCTTCAGCTGAGAAGAGTGGCAGTAATACAGATACAGACTCGAGCACATCTATTGAATCTAGTGGCAGCACTGATGACAATGTCGATAGTAATTCTGCTTCTGTCGATAGTAGCAGTATTGATTCATCATCATCATCATCATCAACAACCAACAATGACAGCAACAGCGATAGTAGTACTTTGGGAAGTAGCAATAATGATGACCAAAATGCAGACAGCCAACAGAGAGGAACATCATCTGCCGAAACAGCAGGCAGCTTGGATAATAATAATATGGGTGAAGATGGTGGTAACTCTTCGATGGGAGCACAGTTGTACAAACCATATATGATCATTGCAACTTTAATGATCGTATCTGTCGGTGTTCGTTTTATGTAAATTAAACTAAAAATTAAAAAATAAACTAAATTTCTTGTAAATAATAATCATTCGAACCTATTCACATTAAAGTTGATAATTATCAACAACAACAACACCCTATTATCATCAATGATCTTATCTAGATCAGTGTACAAGAATCTATCAACTTCCTACTACTCTTCTTTTATATTTCAATCTATTGTAGGCAGCAGTAATAGTAATAGTAATAGTAGTGGTATCAGAAGATCACTAAACAACAACAACAACAACACCACCAACGTTATAAGTAATAATAATAATAATGATTTATCGTGTTTTAATTATAATAGAGTCATTGTTCAACCAACTTCACTAAGTATCACTAATCAACATCATAGATTATATTGTACAAATAACAACAACGACAACAATAGTAGTAGTAATAAAACAACACCAAGAAAGTATACTATCAAAGGTAATTTGATATCATCATCATCTTTATCGAATTCAATACCACCATCAGTTGATAATTCAGAACCAACAGCAACAACAACAACAAAGAAAAAGAAAGTAGTAAATATTAGAATCAAGTCAAAAGACCCTTTTATAGATATCGGAGGTAATAATAAAGTATACCTCAGGAAACCAAAGAATACTACAACACCAGTACTAGACACCACTCAACTCAATATCGATAATAATAACAATACAGATAATCTTCAACAAGTAAATAGTAGTAGTATTATTACAGATTTATTAGAAATCGAAAATAATAATCCAAGAAATTTAAAAAGCATAGAGGAAGATATTTCACTTTCCACTTCACCACAGCCACTTTCATCGTCACCATCTTCATTTATCTCTGCATCAGAGAGTAGTAATAGTATTGAACCAATAAAAGAAGAACAACAAGTAATTGGTCAACAACAGCAAGAAGAGGAAGAAATGAAAAATAGTATATTGAGATTAAAAGAAATTAATATCAGTCAAGATTTCAAAGCTACACCAACACAAGTAGCAGAAGCACAACAAAAGAAAAAGGCTGCAATTGCTAAAAGTAAAAGAAAGAAAGATGAAGACAAGGATGATTTTATAGATGACTCTGAGGAGCTTATGGAACAACTAGATGATGACATCACCACTTCAACTTTAACTACCTCATCGACTACAACAACAACCAACAACAACAAGAATGAAGAAAAACAAAAGTTAAATTTGGATCAAAATAATAATCATGTTGTCATTATTGATGGTACACCATTGGCATACAAAGCATATAATACCATTTCAGGACTCACACACAATGGTGAACCAATTGGTGCATTGTTTGGCTTTACCAAGGCATTACTCAAAATACTCAAAGAATTGAAACCAGACTATGTTTTGGTTTGTTTCGATCCAACTGATGGTGCCGGTAATTTTAGACATGACATTTATGAAAAATACAAAGCCAATAGACCATCCACTCCTTTGGACCTCAAACAACAATTACCTCTATTGCCACAGGTTTGCACTGCTCTCGGAATCGAATATGCCAAACAATCAAGATTCGAATCTGATGATTTGATTGCTACCTATGCCAACATTGTAGAACAAGCAAACAAAAAGTTGGCAGCTGGAAATGATAATCTTGTTGTCGATGGTCAACAACAGCAGCAACAAAAATATAGAGCTACGATCGTATCAGACGATAAAGACATGTTGCAATTGGTTAGTGACGATGTTCATATTTATAATACTAGAACAAACTCTATCTTTTGTCATCAAGATGTTATTGATAAAATGGGTGTCCCAAGTCATTTAATTACATCATTCCAAGCATTGGCTGGTGATTCTGTTGATAATAGTATGTAAAAAAACTAAAAAAAAACTAAAAACATACATATATGTTTCTGACAATTATTTATTTAGTTCCAGGTGTACCATCATTGGGTCCAAAAAGTGCAAGTGCTATCATCAACTCTCTTGGTCATATTGATAATGTACTAGCAAATATTGAACAAATTCCATTAAAGTTTAGAGAAAAGTAAATTTATACAATCATTATAAATGATTAAACATGTTATGGATAACTAACATTATTATTATTATTATTTAAATTTTTTAGGGTTAGAAATAATTCAGAACAAATTAAAATTTCTTATCAATTGGCAACACTAAGTAAACAAGCAGAGACAAAAGTACCTTTGGAAGGATTAAAATGGAATCCTGTCAACAAACTTCAGGTACCTATAATACTTTTTTTTTTTTTTTTAGCGTACCAAAAAACATTTTTGATTAATTTATTTTATTTTTTTTATTTTAGTTTGTAGAATTTTTAGATAAATATAATTTTAATAATATTAAAGGGAAATTGGATAATCTAGGATTAGTTTACGAGGGAGAAGAAAATAAGGAAATTTCACAATCGTCGTCATCATCATCATCATCATCGTCAGCCTATACTATCGATCCAGATTATGTATTGACAGACGAAGAGGTAAAGGACTATTTACCAAATGATGTGACATGTGTCAATACAGTAGAACATGCAAGAGAAATTGTAAATAGATTACTTACATTAAAGGATGTATATCATGCATGTGATACTGAAGTCATTGACATTGATGTAAAGGAACAATCACCTATTGGACATGGAAAGATTATTTGTTTCTCTATTTACTGTGGTCCCGACATTGATTTTGGAACAGGATCACGTATTTGGGTAGACATTTTAGGAAGCAATGGTGATGAAATACTGCAAATATTTAAAGAATACTTTGAAGATGAATCGATTTTCAAAGTATGGCACAACTATGCATTTGACAGACATGTTTTCTACAACCACAACATTGATGTTGTTGGATTTGGAGGTGATACCATGCTGATGGCACGTCTATGGGACGCCTCTAGAATGATGCGTGGTGGTTATTCACTCGAAGGTCTAACAAAGGATCTGTTGGACAAACACAAAACCAACATGGACGATCTATTTGGCCAACCAAAGCTAAAGTCTGATGGTACACCAGGCAAAGGTATCATATTACCACCACTCGAACATCTCCAAAGAAGTTCAAAACATTTGACCAAATGGATTGAATACTCGAGTCGTGATGCCGAAGTGACATGGATGCTCAGAGAGAATCTTCACAAAAAGCTCATGACCATGGAATGGATTGGTCCCAATTCAAACATGTGGGACTTTTACTATATGATGTGGCGACCATTTGGACAGTTGCTCACAGACATGGAACGTCGTGGTATGAAGGTAGATTTGGAGCATCTCAAAGGAGTTGAGGTCATTGCCCAAAGAGATATCACCGAACACAATGAAAACTTTCGTCGATGGGCATTGGGCTACTGTGAAAATGTCAAGCATATGAACATTGACAGTGATGCTCAAGTTCAACAGTTTTTGTTTGCACCATGTCGCAATGTAAAGACCAAAGAAGAGATGGCACGCGAAGAAGAGTTTGAACGTGAAAATGTCGATGGCATCATCGAGGAAGGTGCTAAAAAGGCAAAGAAAAAGATTGGATTTAAATTGGCTGGTCTGGGACTCCCAGTTCCAGGTGTCACCAATTCAGGATGGCCAAGTGTAGATGCTGCCTCGCTTAGATTACTCTCTGGCAAGGATCCAGCCAACGGAAAGTATGGAACTGCTTATAATCATTTTGCAGTTGACCGTCTGCCTCCCAATGCCACCGAAGAGGAAATTGAAAAAGCCAAGGAAGAAGGTCGACAGGCTTGTCTTGCTATTGCTTCGTTGCTCGAAGTGGGTAGTATCGGCACGCTTATCAGCTCGTTTATTATTCCACTGCAGCGATTGGCCGACTCCAATCATAGACTTCACACTTCGGTCAATGTCAATACGGAAACAGGTCGTCTCTCTTCTCGACGTCCCAATCTACAAAATCAACCGGCACTCGAAAAAGATCGTTACAAAATCAGAAAAGCATTTACCTGTGAACCTGGCAACACATTGGTCGTAGCCGATTATGGACAACTCGAACTTCGATTATTGGGACACATCACCAACTGCAAGAGTATGCTCGATGCTTTTCGTGTCGGTGGCGATTTCCATTCTCGTACGGCTATGGGCATGTATCCACATGTTCGTGCAGCTGTAGACGCCGGTGAAGTTTTACTAGAGTGGGACGGTGAAGGAGCACCACCCAAACCACTGCTCAAGGACAAGTTTGCATCGGAACGTCGTAAAGCCAAAACACTCAATTTCTCGATTGCCTATGGCAAGACTGCTCACGGTCTCTCCAAGGATTGGAATGTCACCCTCAGTGAAGCACAAAACACTCTCAATCGTTGGTACGAGGATCGTCCCGAAGTACTCTTGTGGCAACGCAGCACCATCCAAATAGCCCATCAAAAGAAATGGACTAGAACATTGATGGGTCGTTACAGACTCTTGCCCGATATCGACAGCAAGGCAAGAGGATTTGTTGGACACAGCGAAAGAGCATCCATCAACACACCACTACAAGGTGGTGCAGCAGACATTGTTATGAAGGCAATGCTCATCATTGAACAAGACGCAAGATTAAAGGAACTTGGATATCGTCTCATCATGCAAATTCATGATGAACTCATTCTCGAAGGACCCGAAGAACATGCACCAGAAGCAAGAGATATTGTTATCAAATTGATGGGTAATCCTTTAAACAAACCTCTTTTGGTTGATTTGGTTGTTGATTGTCGTTTTGCTAAAACTTGGTATGAAGCTAAATAAATAAACTTGAATAAATAATATTATTTCTATGCTTGAAATATTTAAAAAAATAAAAGCGCGAAATGAGGGAATAGTTTTTTCATTCCGAGAAAACGAATTGTCTGTTGGGGTATTACATTTACATCTTTCTTGTTGACAAAGAGAATAGATATATTTATTTATATATATATATTTATATTAATAAATATGGTCAAAAAACAAATACATAATGTCGACGATGAAGACCCAATATTAGCAGAGGATTCATTCGACGAAGAGTCTTTAAACAATAAAGAGGTTATGATGGCATTCTCACCACCGAAAAGCACAAAGAGAGAACGAAAACCTCCTTCTTGGTTACAACAAAATAATAATAATAATAATAATAATAATCATAACAATCGTCATCAACAACAAGCAACAGATTCAGACAGTCATAATGATGATGATGATGATGATGATCAAGATATGAGTGACATTGAAGAAGAAGAGGAAGAAGTGACAGAGTCTGATGAAGATTGGAATGGAGATGATCATGTTAGTGAAACAGACTATGAAGATGATCCAAAAAAGAATACAAAGAAAAAGAAGAATCAAGATAAAAAGAAGAATGGTTCCAAACAACAACAACAACAACAAGACAAAAAGAAGAAAAAGTCAACAACAAATAATAATAACAAAACATTTAAGAAACAATCTTCATCACCAGCTACGGATACTTCAGGTTGGACTATAAAACCAACAAAGTCTTCCAATCTCAATATCTCTTCTTCGTCCATTTCACAATACCTCATACCAAAAAAATCATTATTAGAAACATCTTCCGTCGTTGCTTCGTCTGCCACTGACTCGTCTTCTAAAAACTACTCGTTTGAACGAAGAAATGTTCGTGCTGGAAGACTTCCTTCGATTGATTCAATTGGCGGCAACTCCCAACCAAGAGATTATTTTGACCGTTACCTATACATGGGTCATAAACCAAAACAAATCCTATCACAAGAAATTGAAAATGATATTGATATCTTGGATGACAAAGGAACAACAACCAATGGTAACAAGAAAAAGAATGAAAATGAAATCAAAGTAGAGAAAAAAGAAAAGGAACAAGAAGAGGAGGAACAAGAGGAAGAAGAATTGGTTATCAACAAAAAGAGACAACCAAATTTGAATGATATTTCATTTGAAGGACCATCATCAAATGGAGGAAAAAAGAAATCATACTTTGATTTAAAAGAGGAAAAACGGTTGGAAGAACTCAAAGATAAACAAAAAAAGGAAAAAGATTTAGATGTTGTCCTCATTTTAAACGATTTGGATGAATCAACAGAAGAAGATGAAGAGGAAGAAGAAGTCATTGTTAGAAAACCTGTCATTACATTGGACGACGATGACACTGAACCAGAAGATGTAGATACATCTATTAGAAAGAGAATAATCAAGATACAAGACAGTAGTGACGACGATGATATTATTATATCCTCTACTACTACTACTACCACTACTACTACTACAACTACTACCACCAAAAAACAACAACAAAAACAACAACAACAACAAATAAGTTCAGATGAAGATGAAAGTGAAGAACCAGATGATAGTGATAGTGATTATGAAGCACCAAGTTTGGATAACCTAGTAGATGCATGTGAAAGATTTTCACAAAGAATGTTAAAGATTTTGGCAAGTTGCGATCCAAAGAATCAACAACAAACACCGATGGATGGATCTGCAGAAGAGGATGATGTGATTGATTCACATCAAATCATTCCTCAACCAAGTGTTATCCAAAAATCAATGCGATCCTATCAATTAATTGGTTTGAATTGGATGGCAATCATGTATAAAGAAAAAATCAATGGTATTTTGGCAGACGAAATGGGTCTTGGAAAAACAGTCCAAAGCATCTCGTTGTTGGGACACATTTACGAGCAATTTAATGATAAGGGACCACATTTAATTATTGTTCCTGCAACCACATTAAGTAATTGGCAAAGAGAACTCGAGTCTTGGTGTCCAACGTTAAAGGTGTACACTTATTATGGCACAGCAAAAGAAAGAGAAATGTGTCGATATGAACTCAGAAAAATGGCCCCAGGAAAGGATTTTAATATTATCATTACCACTTATAATATTATGTTTGCTCCAATTGATAGAGGGTAAATAGAAAAAGAAAAAAAGAATATATTATTGTTATTTAATAATTATATAATGCTAATAATTTTTATTTAATTTTAATTTTTTTTTAGATTTTTAAAAAAATATAACTTTTCTTATTTATTGTTGGATGAAGCACAAAATATAAAAAATAGTGATTCAAAGAGATATAAAAATCTATTCAAGATTGTTTCAAAACATAAATTATTGTTGACAGGAACACCTCTTCAAAACAATCTCAACGAATTGTGGTCATTGCTCAACTTTATCATGCCCCATATTTTTGGAGAAAATAATAACAAATTCTTGCAAGAGTTGATCACTTCGGCAAAGGAAGATGAGAATGGAGAAACCCAAATCATCACTAGAATGAAAAAGATCCTTTCTCCATTCATCCTAAGAAGATTAAAGTCAGAGGTATCACACGAATTGATGCCCAAGGTGGAGAAACTAGAGCTTGTTGAAATGGTTGGAAAGCAACAAGAATTTTACAAACAAGTTTTGGCTCTCTCTAAAATGGAATGGGAGAAACAAAAAGATCAAGGGCAAGAAAAACAACAAGAAGAAGACAACAACCACAACAACAAAAAGAGATCAAGATCTAAAAAGAAACAAGCAGATGAACAAGATGATGATCAAGATGAACAACTTTTGGGAATGTTAGAGAATGATGCGTCGATGGAAAAAGGAAAAGGAAAAAAGAATCAAAAAAAAGTTACAACTGGGTCTCTAGTTTCCAACATTCTTATGCAACTTCGTAAAACCGTCAACCATCCTCTTTTGTGTAAACGATTTTACTATACACCAGAAACAGTCAAAGAGATTATAGGTTTGTTGATCAAACGAGACCAAGAATATGTTGGAGCTTCGGTGCAGGTGGTCGAGGAGGAATTTGAATTATTGTCAGACTATGACATTCACTCTATCTGCAAGACTCGAGATGCCAAGATACAACATTTATTTGACAAGTTTATTATCCCCGAAGAATTCATTTCCCAATCCTCTGCAAAGTGTCAGAAATTGGTCGAACTGATCAACCAACACAAGGACAAATCAAAAATATTAGTCTTTTCTCAGATGACTAGAGTATTGGACATCTTGGAGGATGTATTCGATCATGTAGGACTTGAATTTACACGTTTGGATGGATCTACCCCGGTCACAGAGAGACAAGATATTATCGACCACTTTACCAATACCGATGACATTAGGGTCTTTTTACTCTCGACTTTGGCAGGTGGCCTTGGTATTAATTTGATCAGTGCCAATATTGTTATATTTTATGACATGTCGTTCAATCCACAAGTCGATCGTCAAGCAGAAGATCGTGCACATAGATTAGGTCAAACCAAAGAGGTCACTGTTTACAAACTTATTACCAATGGATCGGTAGACAACTATATGTTGGATCTATCAAACTCTAAAAAACGTTTAAATGATTCAATGTTGGAAGAAGGATCATATGAACATTCCACCAAATTAGAATCAAAGAATATATTAAAATTATTGACAACTATTCTCTATTCAGATAATAATAATAATAATAATAATAATAATAATAATAATAATAATAAAGTCCAACCATGATCATCTGATCGATCAAAAATTGAACTTCTTTTATTTCGGTCAAGCCATAGTACTAGCGTGTGTTTGTGTGTGTGTTTGTGTGTATGTGTGAATGAATTAAAATAATTATTTATTTAATTTTATAGTTGATGGTTGTGTGAATTTCAAAGCTTTAACCATACCATATTTTTAATATTTTAATTATTTAATACAAATAACTTAGCACATTGTGTCACGTAAACATGTTTATTGGATTAATATTAGCAGCTTTCTATTCGATTTTGATCACAATACTCAGTGGTATCACTTTACATCTCTCATATAAATGTGTATTTAACTTATCTGTCGTATGTATCTCTCTATCTATCTATCTATCTATATCGATCCTCAAATCTAATATTTTACTTACTTTTTCTTCTTCTTATTTCTTCTCTATAGTTTTTGAGAGATTATGGACCTCAACTTCCAGGATATGTTTATTGGTCAGACTTTCTAGATATGATTCCTCCACCAAATAAGTTTGTTGGTTTCAATCTGACACATACTCTTTTATTTGCTTTGATCATTTGTTTACTTGCTGCCACTATGAAGTTGGCTCCTTCAAACTCTTCATCCTCTTCTTCCTCTTCGACTTCTGCCAATAAACAAAAGGTTAGATAAATAATAATATATAAATAATGATCATCGCTCATCCTAGTCCCGATTAGGCAAAACAACTCAATAAAACTCAAACCTTGGGAATATTAATAATATATTAAATTAATGTGGTGGGTTAAACTCAAAGCTTTTAACATTATCTTTTTTTTTTTTATTGTTGTTGTTGTTGTTTTGTTATTGAACAAATATCAAGAAGAAGAAGAAGAAGTATAGTAATATGATATCAATAATAATTATAGGTAGTATTATCTTTTGGTATACAGTCATTCATTATGTTCTTTCAAAGATTCTGTACAACTTTAAATACCAAAGTCCTTTCTTTGTGTTTGATGAAATCGTTTGTATTTTGTTGAAAGATCGATTTGTACAGTGTTGCAGAGATTATTAATACTCTCTTTCTCTCTGTCTGTCAATTTTGAAAAGAAATTAGCCAAAACGGTAAGAGAAGTCATTGATTATAGTAGTAGTGCTGCTGGTACTCTTGATGACATTGTTGTTGAAAGTTCACCATCAACATCATTATTACAACCCGATGAAACGATAGAGTCAACAAAAAATACACCTACTCTTGATACATCATCATCAGCTGAAACAACAATGCCATCACAATTCCCAAAAGAGATTGTCAATTCCTTGATAAAAGAGCTTAAAAAAGACAACCGTTCTGGCCAACATGTAGCCAACACTTTACAATTCCAGTGGTTCAATGGATTTGGTAGCTCTACCACAAGAATATCGGTACTCCACTCTAGTCTTTCTGAATTTCTTGCCGTCGTTACCTTTCCACTTGATCACTCACAACTCTTTGTGCCACCACAACCAGTTGAATCCTATCTCTATGTTGTCGGTGGTGAATGTTGGACATGTATAGACAACACCAACAACAGTATACTCAGACAGAGTAAAGATCATATCTATACTCCAACAATGAATAGTTTGGCCTTGTCCACTCAGAGAAATTGTACGATGCTCCTTTACAGTAGAGGTTTACTTTTCTTTGTTTTACCAAAAATCATTCTAAATTCGGGTTTAGATTTTGTTCAATCAATCAAGTATGTTTTAAATATTCCCACAAAAAAAATACTGTGACTAATTAACTCCTTTTCTCTATTTTATTATAGGTTCCTATATACAATTACCAAATTATCGATTTTAGAATTTATAAAGTTTCAAAAGATATAAATAGATAGTTTTAAACAAATTATAGTTTTTTTTATTCTACCTTCCTCCTGCAACCAGAAAAATAAAACATAGTGATAAATATTTAAACATGAATGCAATCCGTGGCTCATCCCCCTTATATATCTGAAAATTCGTACCCTTTTTTCGACATCCGCGAATAGGTAAGAGCCTAAAAAGGTCGTTTTTCATGAGAGAGAAACACATCCTCTCCACCATTTCATCACGCGAATTTGAATGAATTAAATGTTTTAATTGGAAGGAGAAAGTGATCACTTGGGCTTGAGTTTATTGTTTTGAAAAAATACATAATTTAACAAACAACTTCAAATGGGTAGCACAAAAAGCGCAAAGTTCTATTGAAAACGACAAAGGTCTCTGTTATTGTACAACATCGAAATCGATTTTACTTTTTTAATTAATTAAAATACTTTTTGAAATTGTTTTCTCTAGCTCAAATATTGAGCCATTCTATTTCCATTTTGTTAGAATTACTTCAACCTCGGGACCTGATATTTGGAATGCAAGAGTAGAGTCACCATCTTCCACACTCGTCTATGATGGAAAGACCTATCCGATGCCTCGTTCTGGTGAATCATTCACCAATACTAGAGGCGTTGGTCAATTCCCCAGTGAGCAAGTAAATGTACCCCATGTCTAAGAGAGAGTAGATTAGATGGGGGGGGGACATTTACCAATTTATAAATAAATAAATAATAAAAACTAATTAATTAATTTATAATAATAAAAAAAAATTGTGATCCTAATACAATTTGTTTATTAGATAATGATTAGTAAATAAATATTTTTAAATATCTATGGGTAATAGAGTACAAGTTGGTTGGTTTTAGAAAATAATTGTGAAAAGGATTGAAGAGATGAAAAGAATGGAACTGAGAGTAACGGTTGAAGCCGAAGAATGACCAGAGGTATGAGTCGAAGTGGTGGTTGTAGTAGTGCTTGCTTGACTTTCACCAGTGGTGGTGCCACCAGAAACACCAGTAGTGGTGGTAGTAGTAGTGGTAGTGGTTGGTGCAGCGGTGGTGGTAGGGGCGGCCGAGGTATTGCTAGTCGAGGGATCGGTGGTGGCGGTTGTGGCTGGGACACCGGTGGTAGTGGTGGTGGTAGATGGGAGAACGGTTGGAGCTGGATCAAATGGAATGACCATTGGAGTAGCAATATTAGAATAGACAGCAACACCAGAGAGTGCAACATCGACACCGGTGAAACCCCATTCAATGACGACATTTTGTGGAGTGCTTTGAGTGTTGGTGTAGTAGTACTTTTTGGTGGATAGATAGTTAAGGGATGGGGCAGCTTGGTAGATGAGTGGAGAACGTTGGAGAGATCCATCGATACGAACTTGGAAGTACAATCTAGAATTGTCAAACTTGGTGGAGCCTGGGACGACTGGGTTGGAAAAGTAGAGGACAAAGTAGAATTCACCTGTTGGAAGGGTCAAAGTGACGGATGGGGTACTGCTGGCACCACCAATGTAGTAGTCATTAAGAATAGTTAACTGCGACTCGGTCTTGGCGGGGAGCTTGGTGTAATCGTCGGTCATCGAAGCTGGGAACGAACCGAATTGACCATATTGACCACCAGATACACTGCAGGTAGTGTTGATGTATTGACACTTGGTCCATTCACCGCCAAAGCCAGTGGCTGGTACACGACGAGTAGAAACGTTGCCAGTGAAATCGATACCGAGGTAAAAGTTGCTGGTTTTAATGGCAACTTCGACGGTGGTGGCGGCAGACATCCAAGTTTGTGGTGAGAGATTGGTGATTAATCCTTTTCTGTTGTTATTGTTGGCAGACAATAGACGGTGGAAGCCTGGAGTCGATGGAAAGGTGATAGTGTCAAGGGCCGAGGTAATGTTTGCGGTTGAACCATTGTCTACCTTGAACAATTGCTCGTTGATAAAGATTGAACGGTTGAGGTTATAGTTCAAGACAAATGGTGGGTCGATGGTAAAGGTTTGGCTCAAGTCGAACGAAGGGTTGTCAGTGAAAAGGGTTTGTGGGTCATTGTATTCGACTCTGATGGCGCTGCCTTGGACATAATCGGCCGAGGTGATGGTAGTGTTTTTAAAGTATCTCTCTTGGGATGAATCGATAAACTTGATGGGTTTGAACTCGGCTTGGATGACGGTGTTTTCCATTGAAAAGTATTGGATATCTTGGATGTATTGGAAGAGGAAGGAAACCTTGTTCACGACCATACCCTTGAGAGACAAGCCCTTGAATGAGCCGGCAAAAAAGTAAGCGAATCTTCCATTATAATAGGAGAGGATATCGATCGACGTAGAGATCAAACACAATTCATATTCATAGTGAACGTTGCGAGCTGGGGCATTGGCGGCCAAGGTGTTAATCATACGGAAGAAGTAACTGTTGTATTGTCTGAAAAAGAGCGATGGCTGTGCCGACATGGGATATTCAATCTTGACGTCAGAGTAAAAGGTAAAGTAGTTGCCATAGAATCCCGAAGAAAGGAGTGGTTGCCATGCAGAGTTGCACTCAAAGCTGTTGGCATTGTTTTGTACCTTGCCGGAAAAGTTTCCAATGAGTTGATCGGTTTGGAGGTTGGCGAGGGCAACACGATTTTGGACGGGTGCCAAGTTGATGGCACCGTTTAAGAAACCACCTTCAAAGACATTGTTTCTAATGTCACCCAAGAATGGAGAAGTAGAGTAGATACCACAATTGATACAGCCAATATCTGGATAGGATGTATTTCTAACTGGAACGGCCCAGACTTCGTTGGCAAAGTTGGTTTGGTTCCAAGTAGAGATGAAACCATTGTTTTGAATGTCAAAGTTTTCGGTACCATACAAGAGACCGATACCAGAGGTTTGGTGTCCTTTAAAGAGGAAGGCATTGTTGGTGATCTTTCCAAACGATCTCTTTGCCATAATTTGGAATCTAGAAAGACTTGTTCCATTGTCGTCAAAAATACAATTGTTGATGATGACTGGGTTGAGAACGTGGAGCAAGTTGATGGCATGACGATCGTCTTGGTTTCTACCAATCTTGGGCACAAAAACGTAGATGGATCCAGGAGATCCATTTCTCAAACTAGTATTATTGAGCGGTGCATTGGTGGTCCAACCGAGTCCTCTAAAGATGGCACCGTCAAAGGTGACCTTGGCAGGACCGGTAATGACAATCGAGGAACGAGTGTTTGATGAAAAGATGACATTCTTTCCAAAGGGATAAATATTGACATAGCCAGAGCTTCTCGACGAGGCGATGGTTATTTTTGGTTTGCTTGGGTCGGTTACACGATCAATGACACCTGTTGACTCGCGAACTGTAGAAAGACCATCAAGAAGGATGACGTTACCGTCCGCGGATTTGTTGATTCTGATCAATGGAGTGTTGTCAACATAGCCGGTCGAGTCGATAAAGTCCATCAGTGGAGCAGAGACATTGGTGTAGGTGTCACCATGAATACCGATCCATGCTGGTGCTTGCTTGCCTTTTACATCAATAGTACATCCCAAACAGAGGAAACCAGCACCATAGGGATCTACACTCATATCATTAAAATTTGCTGACGAGCCTTCACCATAACGATTCGAGAGCAGAGTAATGTTATGTCTGACATTGGCATCGGGACGAGAGATAAAGGAACTAGTTGGGTGCAAAACGACGTTCCAGAGTACAAGATCTACGTTTTCGTTGGGGATGACAATCAATTTGCCACGGACAACCAAAGTACACTTGTGGCTAAACGTTCCCAAATAGAGAACCATACCTTCTGGGACAATGACCAAGATACTTTCAAGGACACCAAGAGGAGTCTTGTCAAAGGGTGGAGTGTAATGACTGTTAATGAGATTGTTTTCAAATCTGCTTCCATTGGTATTCAATGTAAAGATTCTCTGCGTCATAAAATATGGACTGGCTTGATCGGGTGCTGGATAATAGGTAACGGGTGATCCTGGGACATCGGGGAAATATTGAACCTTGTACATTGGTATATTGTAAACTTCTGTTGTCAGCAATGATGGTAAATTGAAATCATAACTAATTTGTGATTCAACTAAAAAAAATAATAAAAAAAAGATAATAGAAAAAAAAAAAGATATATTATTAGAATCAAATATAGGAGATGAGAGGATAAAATAGGATATATATATTATAAATTATATCTATGTACTACATACCACAAAGAGTTGAAATTAAAATTAACACTAAACATAGCATCTGGTTGCTAAGAGATCTAGTTGTAAAGGTGGTCATCTTGGTAAAAGATGGATTGTAAAGGTTTTTATCTGAATAAAGAGGACCGAGGTTTTGTTTTTTTCAATTGTACAAAAGAAGATGTGTGTGTGTGTGTGAGGCGAGTGGGTTTGTTGTTGACTACTAATCTTGATTTAGATAGATAGATAGATATTATTTTACAAAGTAATAGTACAAATAATTAATATAGTTGTAATAATAAGATTATTATTATAATAGTTGTGGAGGGAGTATGATTAAATTAAAAAGTTGACAACTTGCTAAAATAGAGGAGGATCAACAGAAGAAGGTTGTTGTTAAAAAAACAAAAAAAATCGAAAACACATCAACCTTTGGAAAGATATTTTTCCGCATGCCGCAATTGGGCTCAGAAAACCTCTCAAAAAATCGGTGTTGGGGCGCATTCCTTGAATGGCGAGCTATAAACAACCAATGAAAACACACTTCAAGTGTTGGTGCACATTGCAAGTGCCCGTTTTCGCATAATGTCTCCGTTGATTGGTTCAAGATCTTCTAGAGGAAGAATCGTTGCGAAACTGTCACGATTTTTTAATAGTAAAGTGGCGAGCGTAACCAAACAGTCTACGATGATTGGTTCCTTAAGGAGCACTCAGGTGGTTGTGACCATAGTCTCTGATGATTGATTGGTTCAAGATCTTCTTGAAAGGAAGATTCATTTGTCTTGTAGAAGTGGTGTAGTTGTTGTTGACTGCAAGGGTCTCTTCCCTATGATTCTTTATCTTATTTATTTAAAATATGTATCTTTGCCAACAGCAGCAGCAGCGTTATGATGATGGTGGTGATGATGATCGATGGTAGTGTGAGTGCAATGACATACCCACTCTGCATATTTAAGAGATGAAAATGATTGGCAGTCGCAATGTCTACACTTGGTATCTGATGATGGTGTTTTAGACACTTCTTCCTGAAGTTGGAGAAGCGGTTTGATATTTTGTATCGTATTTCTGCGTACCAAACTTCCTTTTCTTGTCCTACTACTATTACTATTTTTAATATTATCTATCTTATTATTATTATTATTATTATTATTTATATTATTATTATTAGTACATTGATTATTATCTGTATTTGGGGGATTTATTACTACATTATTATTATTATTATTATTATTATTATTATTATTATTATTATTATTTTTAAAAGGATTTACAAGAGATGGATGAGGGTTGTGATGATTATGACTGTGGATTATAGGTGGTAAATCTAAATATTTTCCGTTTAAAGTGATGCTGTTTGTAGGAGGTGAGGACTGGAATATATTTGTATCCATCTTTATCTTTTCCTCACCATTTTGATTATTATTATTATTATCTATGTTTTTAGAAATGGTAGGTAATTGAACATCCATTTGTTGTTGTTGTTGTTGTTGTTGAATCAAGTTGTTTATATTTTCGTTACATATACAGTTTTCTATATTATCGATATTGTTTTCAATACCACATTCGGATGATGATGATTCATGATTCATTGATGAACGAAGTGACAGATAGGATATTGAATTAAAAAGTATTGGTTGTGTAGGAGGTGTTTGTACAGCTCTATTATTACTATTATTAATATTATTATTATTATTATTATTATTATTATTATTATTATTATTATTATTATTATTATTATTATTATTATTATTATTATTATTATTATTATTATTATTATTATTATTATTATTATTATTATTATTATTTTGATTTTGATTTTGATTTTGATTTTGATTTTGATTATTAATTCCACAAATAATGGGAGATGAAATGGAAAGGGCAGGATTGAGAGAAGGATGATTTTTAAAGATGGAGGGGTTTTCAGTTGATATTAGTTTGAGATAGTTTATCGATTGTAATAGTTGTTGTTGAAGATCCAAAATGATTTCTTCTGCCTTTGCTTCAGACTCTCTATGCAACTGTATTTGATGATCCAACTTTAGCATCAAATCATTTTCAGTCTTTTTAAGAGCACTAACCTCCTTTCGTAGTGTATTGATAGTGTCTTGATCGTTTGTTATACGCTCTTGAAAGGAGAGCAGTGATTCTGTAGCTCGTTGTAGTTGTGAATAAAAATAAACATTCTGTTGATAGATCCATTCTACACTCTCCATTGAAAACTCTAGAAAAATTATGATGATGATTGATGTTAACAGAGTTTGCAATGAAATGTCGATCCTATTCTTTATCTATAGATAGTGATAACATACTAGAATCCTTTATAATCATGCCTATTCTATCATTATTGATTGGTATGAATTCCAAATCTTCGATGCCAATATTCGATCGACACAGTTTAATGATTTCACTCCTCTGGTATGTAGATGGGAAATGAAAGGCAGGTGTGAGTATATCCACACTAATGCTAGACATTTGTTACTATATTTGTTGTTGTTGCTGTTGCTGTTGTTGTTGTTGTTGTTGTTGTTTATGATTCTCTCTTTTGATGAACATTAAAAGTAAAAGTATTTAAAAGAGAGGAGAGAAAGAGAGAGAGAGAGAAGAGAAGAGAAGAGATCAAATTTGATGTTACCAAGGTGTTATTATTATTACTATTATGTTATTGTTGTGTGTTTTAAAAGTTGCGACGATAAAGTGAGTGTTTTGAGTGTCAATCGATCGATGCTGGGTTGTCTTCTTTTAGTTTGTTTGATTGATCTATTGATTGATTGTGTCTATCTATCTTTTAATGTTGTTTATATATATATATATATCAACTCTTTTAGTTTATCAATGTACAAAAGAAGAGGTGAGAAAAGGAAGGTATGATGAGATGTGCTGGGAAAGGTCCCTATATTCATAAACAAGACAAGTTCAGGGGGTTTTTTTTTCTGCAAAAGACAAAATGTTTTAAATAATTTTTAAAAATAATATTAATTTATTTATTATAATTATAAAGTGATTAGATTTACATTGATTGTACTAAAACACTAAATAATATTACAGATATAGATGACATTATTACAAATGATACTGGATTTATATGTTCTGGTATATTTGAATCTTCTTGATTATTATTGTTGTTATTGTTGTTTGTCGTTGCTGATTCATGTTGATCTGTTTGTTGTTGTCTATAACTTTTGGTTTGATCTTTAGAATTTTCATTATTATTATTATTATTATTATTATTATTATTATTATTATTATTATTATTATTATTAATATTATTATTATTTAAATTGGTTTTAGAATTATCTATAATATTATTATTATTATTATTATTATTATCTATATTATTATCTATATTATTATTATTAATATTATTATTAATAATAATATTATTATTATTAATTAATTTATCATGAGAGGAAGGAGGAGAAGAATGAACTTGTCTTTCTTTAAAAAATGTTATATTTTCTTTTGATATTAATTTTCTTAAAAATGAGGCATCTTGTGTTTTCAAAGGTCTATCAAATATTTTATACTGAAATTCTTTTTGTTCAAGATAATATTTTGATTCTAAAAATAAATTAATTTCTTTTTAAATAAGAATAATATTAGAAATATTTTTCAAAAATAATAATAATAATAATAATAAAGTATGTTTACCATTTGCTTTTTTCAAATTAAAAGTAATAATTAATAATCCTACAATGATAATAATTTTTTTTTTCATTCTTGATTATTCTCTTGTGGTATGATTTTGATTATTCTATATAGATATATTTGTATAAGATATTTCTTCTTTAACAGAATAATAGTAGTAAGATGAAATCAAATAGTGGCTTGTGTTTCAACAAGCTTTTAAACTTGATTTTAAAAAGTCAAGACAAAATGGTGCAAATTGGTGATGTTATATTTTTATCCAGACAGAGAATAGAGTTGGTATTCGCGTGATACATTCTTTTTCAGTAGGTAGTGATAGTTCACTGAGTGGTGGTGGTGGTTTGGGGTATTGGATCTTCTATAGAAGCAGAATTTAAGAAAATTAAGAATCAAGCTCCTCCTGGCTTGAGAAATTGCAAATCTCAAAAAGGTAATTTCCTTTTTTACAAAATGGTTAATTAAAATCTTCCAGTCGAAATTGACTTTGACCCCCCATAACAACAAAAGTTGAAATTAAAAAGTCAGTTCTTTTTCATTTTAATTTGGAAATATTGCCCTCTTTATTGTGTTTTTGGGTAGTCTCTCCCTATTTAATTAAAAAAGATTGAATTTAATCTTTAAAAAAACATCGTCAGCACAATTGAGTTTTTTTTTTATTTTTTATTTTTTTTAATCTCTTCTCTCTCACTTGATCATCAAACCAAAGAAGAAGAAGATGGATAGACAAACATATCACACTTCGACTACTAATCAACAAAAGTCTTATCAAACAGTCATGAAAGTTATCTTTGCACTCGCCATCATCGGCATTTTAGCCTTTGTATTATATACCCCAACTGAAGCCGTATGTGCTACTACCTTTAACAAAAAAGAAGATAAGAGAGAGATCTCCTCTTCTCTTTTATTTATATACTATACTAATATATTGTATCTTCTGCCAATATGCAAATGCATTCTATTCTTTAGAAAAAGGGCCCAACCATTACCGACAAGGTTTACTTTGATATTGGTATGTAGTTTAGATATCAGCATGAAGAAGATATTATTATTATTATTATTATTATTATTATATCTTTTATCATACTAACTTTTTTTATTATATATATAAGAAATCGGAGGAGAAGAAGTTGGAAGAGTAGTAATGGGATTATACGGAAAGACAGTACCAAAGACAGCAGAAAACTTTAAGCAATTATGTACTGGTGAAAAGGGTATCGGACAATCAGGAAAAGCACTTCACTATCAAGGATCAAAGTTCCATCGTATCATTCCAAACTTTATGATTCAAGGTGGTGACTTTACAAGAGGAGACGGTACTGGTGGTGAATCAATCTATGGCAAGAAGTTTGACGACGAATCGTTCAAGTTAAAGCACACCAAGCCAGGTCTTTTGTCAATGGCCAACAGTGGACCAAACACCAATGGATCACAATTCTTTATCACCACCGTTGTCACCTCTTGGTTGGATGGTCGTCATGTTGTATTTGGTGAAATTCTTGAAGGTATGGAAATCATCAAAAAGATCGAAGCTGTCGGTTCCCAAAGTGGTACTCCATCAAAGACTGTTGTCATTTCTGCTTCTGGTGTATTATCAGAGTAAAACAAAAAAAAAAGAAAATAATAATAGTAAAAACAACAATACAAAACATTAGAGTACTCTAATTTGGTAAAAAAATGGATTTTAGTACAACAACAACAAGAAGGAAAAACTATTATTTTTTAATTTCCTTTTTTGGATTTTTTTTTTTTTTTTTAATGAAACTATATATAATTATTTCCTTTCCATTAATATACATATCTAAAAAAAAAAAGACTATTCTTTTATTATTTCTATTTTTTTTTTTTTTTGAAATAGAGAAAGAGAGAAAAAAATGATAACAAATAATATAAACTCATTCTTTAAAAATACAAAAGTAAATGAATCAATTAAACAAAAACTAATAGTGACTGTCAATGCTAACATGCCTCTTGATGAGATACTTGTAGAGTTTGAAAAAAACTCTATTGTATCGGCTCCAGTGTTTGACATTTCAAGAGAAAAAGTAATAGCTGTGATTGATATGATAGACATTGGTAAATACAATTAAATTCAAATATATTTTTGTAATAAATTCGACTAACTCTATGTTTTTTCATAATTCATGTAGTTAATTTTATTCTAAAGATATCAGGACTATCACAAAAAGAAAATCAAATGTTATTGAATATGAACCCAAGAGAATTTTCAAAGATATTGAAAGAATCTGGAATTCTTTTTTCAAAGTATCCAGCTTCACTAATCATTCGTAAGTAGAGATCTCTACTTTCTTGTTCAACCAATTATTAAAATCAACATTTTTATTTTAAAAGAAAATAGACCAAACAAATTATTTTCAATTTCAAAAGATGATTCACTATGGAATGCAATTTCATATATGGATAGTTCATCAAGTAGATTATTTGTTCTAGATCATCATCAAACAATCATTAATTTATTAAGTGAATCAGATATTATTAATTTGGTTGCTCAAAATATTCATCTATTAGGGTATGACAAACAAACAAAACCATTAATTATTTTAGGGTAACTAATAATTTAAATTAAATTATAGTGAGATAAGATCAAAAACAATTCAACAAATTGGTTTATGTAGCGCACCTGTTAAAGTATACAACAAAGACATGAGAGTAATAACAGTTTTAGAATTATTATTACAAAAAAATGTTTCTGCTGTTCCAATTATCGATCAAACTGATAATAAATTGGTATGTCTCAAAGACAAACAGGAGATTAGAGTTGATTTATAAATTTTATTAATTATATTATGAATTAATTTATTTTTTAGATTGCCAATTTCTCAGTATCAAATTTAAAAGGATTAGGAGAGAATAATTTCTCAGAGTTAATGTTACCGGTTTATGAATACCTTCAATTCCAAAGTATCAAAGAAATGAACAAAAAGCAATCTTCATTGGAAAAATCATTCCATCCATTGGTTCTTCATGAATGGGATACTTTTGAGAATGCAATCTTTAAATTGGCAGCAACCAAGGTTCATCAACTTTGGGTTGTCAATATTGATTACGTCCCAATATCAGTGGTAACCATTAATAGTATTTTAAAGTTATTAACTGTTCAAAGAATGGATTTAAGACCTTAAACTAACTAAATAAATACAAAAAAATCCCATCTAATATTTTTGATTGATTGTTATTTTGTTAATTTGTTATATTTTATTTATTTTAGTATTTATTGTGGTTGATTAAAATTTGAAAGTTCAAATGGAATGATAACCAAAGAGCCATCATTTAAACCGACCATTAAATATTTTTCATGAGCTACCAAGGCAATCGTACGAATGGTTGTGCTACTTTCAAAACTATGTACAATGGAGAGATCGGGAAGACTTCTAACTTTGACTCCTCGTGTGCCACCTGTGACCAGGAATTGAGTGCTGTCTCCTACTCCCAATACTCCTCCCTTTTTGGTTGTTGATTCTCCCGTCAGCTTGATGTCGTACAATCTTTCGTCACATTGTTCCATTCTAAGTAATTTTCCATTAAACGAGTAGACATAGACATAGGACATGGAACAATAGGAGATGATCCATTGACCGACGGTACTAATCTTGACAATCTCGACGGCACCACGATGCATGAGTGTTCTGACATATTGTCCGGTTCGAAGAGTATGCAAGATACACTTTCTATCTTGAGAACCACTAGCTATAATATCCCACTCTTCATTGATATCGATGCAATGTACAGAATCGTCGTGACTAGTCAATCGATAGACTGGTTTGACACGTTCAGATTTGATGAGCGATGGAACATCGTCCCAAACCACTATACTAGTGTCGGTGGAAGCAGTGGCGAGAGTCTTTCCACTGGATCCCATGGCGATACACGTTACCATACCACGATGATAGTCACGATACATACGATGAACCTTTCCGCTTTGAATGTTGCAACATTTAAAGATACTGTCCCAATTGGCGCAACTGAATAGCATCTTTCCATCGGGTGTCATGGCAAAGCAATTAGATATACAAGTGACACTATCTGACATGAACAAAGTGTCTATTTGCTTTTCCTTGTAGGTTGATAGTGTCTTGTCAATATCAAAGGTGAATGGCAGATTGCCGCTAGGTTGGGTCAAAAATTGGTTGACTGCCAACACACCATCTCTATACACTAAAACGATGGCATCGGTTTCCGAACATCCAATATGTACCAAAGGTAAACAACTATTGGTTTTAAGTATTTTAAATGGATATTGTTGTTGTTGACCACCAACCAATGGTGAACTACTACTATTATTGTTATTATTATTGTTGTTGTTGCTATTTTCGAGATCTTGAATTAAATTTACAGAGGAAGGGAATAGATTGGTGATTTTACTAAATATATCGGCACGTTGTGGACGATTGAGTTCTGAAAGTGTTTTTCTAGTGGGATGAGGTTTGGTAAAGAGCTGTGGAGGTGTTTGACCAAATTCCTTGATTTGGGATTCGATAGACGAACGTTCTTCTGGATCATCTCTTTGGAGAGCTTGGTTGTTTTCATAGGTGAGATAAAAGAATACATTGTTGGCGTCAATGGCAGCCTGTCCCTTTTGTTTGTTTCCAAAGATGAGGTCGATCCAATGATGGATGTTCATAGAGACGTATTCACTTTCGAGTGCTTCACGATTCTTTGAGATGAATGTTTCCGGTGACCCAGCAGCCCATTTTGGCAGTACGAGGTTGCCTTCGGGATGGTTGGCAAATCCAAAAGAGAATCCTTCGGCGTTTGAGATAAACTCTGGCATGTAAAAGAACTCTGGTGTCAACTCTTTGACATCGGCCAGATTGTTGCTTACAACACCATCCCACATTTTCTCCATCGATTCAAACATACGTTGGGGATGATCCCAAACTCCACTCTGAAGTGAAAGATGGTAGCTTGTGAATGGCTCCAAACGAACGAGGTAATAGGCAATGATACCAAAGTTACTGTAATGCGAACCATAGAGGAACGGAGGGATCTGTGGGTCTTTGAAAGCTTCGTATCTCTTGAGCAAAGTGTCGAGACGTTGTTGGTTCAAGGCGCCGATTGGTTTGGAAAAGTCACGGTAGCTTTCGTTGGAGGTGAGATCGAGCTTGTCGCTCTTGTAGTCGGCAATGACGTGTGGAAAGATTGGATACTGAGAGATATCATTGTAGGTACGGCCTGCAATGGTATTGAGGGCCATGAGGTATTCGAAATTGGATATCTCTCGATTCTTCCATTTTTGGGTCAACTTTGAACGTTTCATGATCTTGTCTGGGGGATCGGACCACTTTACCTTGAGAAGGGGTGGGTGAAGATTGACAATCTTGTTGAATGCTTGGACAGATTCACTCTCTGATGAAAAGGTAAACATATAACTCTTGTGGTTGATAAACAACTCGATCGAGTTCCAACGAAGAAGATAACGAAGTCTATGTATTTCTACCAGATCCTTTATCTTTAGGATATAATGATTTTTGATTGCAACACAACCATGGTCAACTTCCAATTGTTTTCTACCATAGTTGTTGTATACTACTTGTTTGTCAAAATAAATATATTGATTGGTGAGAATAAATCTACCCGGGATGACGCCAATAGGAGTAACCATTTGACAAGAGTAGGAAGCAAATACTTTTTCACGTTCCTCCCCAGTTCCACTTTGGTTTCCTCCCAAAGAGTTTGTTCCTGCTCCATCTTTAAACATGGAAGCAATATTGGCACCGCTAGAAGAACTAATTGAACCAAATCCAGAAATACTTGGAGAAGATGTATTAATTGGAACTTGAGCAGCTGATTGGTTTGGCATATATGGGTTTGAAATATTTTGATTTGTTGTGGTGGTGGTTGTTGTTGTACTAGAAGGAGATGATAGTTGAACTGAACTTCTATTGGAAGAGGGGGATTTGGTTGATATAGTACTATTACTATAATTATCACTTGTTCTATCTTTGGATGGAGACAATAAACCATTTGATAAATTAATTAGAGTTTGTGAAACAAATGATATTTCTCTTGCTGCTGGTTGTTGTGCCTGTTGTTGCTGCTGCTGCTGTTGTTGTAATCTTTGTTGTTGTTGATGGATTCCAAATTCTCTTTCCTTAAACATTGGACACATTGGACTTAGAGGAGCATCACCAGCAATACGAACGATAATATGACCCAAACCATCACCACAGTCTTGATCGATATAAAATGTTTCCTTTTCAGTTTGATAAATATCGATAATGGCTCTTCTATTTCTTCCAAACTTGTTTTGTTTAGAAACTCCTTTGTAATCTGATCCCAAATAGTTTCTCTTTAATTTACGACGCATTCTACATGGACCTTCACTTCTATCTAATTTCCAATGAACCATTGTCGTATCTTCTGGTTCAATTAAATTATTATTATTATTATTATTAATATTAATATTAATATTATTATTATTATTATTATTATTTGGATCTTGTTTAATTAAAGTAGAGTTGTTTAAAATGGAAGGATTTTTTGGAGGAGATGAGGAGGGAGACATTGGAGGAGAGGATATTGGACTTTGAGTGGTTGGTGAAAGAGAGTTTCCTGTACTAGATCTTGGAGACATGGTAGTGGTTGTCATGGAGAGAGATGCAGATGAATTGATGACACTGCTATGAGGAATACCCAATTCTTTGAGACGATAGAGAATTGAAATGGGTGGAGGTGGAGGAGACTCGACAGATCTTTTCACTCTTGCTCCATTTAGATTGCCTGCACGTTTTCTACGTTGTTTGATCCAATGTTTGAACAAGAGATAGTATAGCTTTTCTTCGATGATTTGTTCCTCTCGCTTCTTTGTAATCTCTTCCATACAATCCACATCCCACAGATAAGAGATATGGGATGGCAATGGCAACTGGGTTGGCAAAAGAGTACGAGCCTTGATAGAGTCATCAATTAATTCACCAAATAAAATGTCACGAGCACCTCCAATGTGAATGGGTGGAATCATATCTTCTAGCATCTTTGTTACATCTTCTTGATTCTCGACTGTAGACTCTTTCAAATAGAGTGCAATCCATCTAGTTTCTTGCAAAGTAAATTGAGGATGACAACTCTCTCTCATAATGACAATAATCTGTGATCTTGCTCGTTTTGTTCTTTCAATCGATGATATATCTGGTTGTCTTTTGGATGATGACGCCGATGCCTCTTCAATGGCTCTATTGAAATCATTTTCATAGTTCATTGTATAGAAACGTTTCATAATGGTCAACCATTGATCAATACGAATGTTGGTTCTCCAAAAATGAATATTATTTTGTACTCTTTGTCTAACCATTTCAAACAATGATAATTGTGTCAATGAATGTGTTTTACACCATAATTGAAAACTATTTATAATTAAATGTTGAATTGTTAATCCCCATAATTGATCTAATAAAAAAATAAATTAAAAAATAAAAAAGGTTAATAATCAAATAGAATCATATTATTTGTATATATATATATATCTTTTTTTCTCTTACTATTTGAACTACAAAAAGAAAGTAATCTACCTAAAGATTCAATATCATCAGGAGCCCAATAAGGAGCAGAAGAGATGGTTGAACGAAGTAGGAAAGATATAATTTGGAAACCTTGAGTTTCGATGATCTGATCTCTAAAGGTTGGATTGTTTTCCAAGATGGTTAACAATAGTCTGAGGAGACATGATGGGTGACCAAGATAGGCCGGTTTGGGGAAAATGGCTGGAGGAGCATGTTGAAACATTGGAATGGGAATAAAGTTGATGTAGCCAGAGGAAATGGTTGTATGTTCACCAATCTCTGATGGTTTTGTTTCCATTCCCGAAACTGGATGACCTAGTTGATTAAAGAGAGGATAGATCATGGTCAATCCTCCAATAAATACCAATTGTTCTATAGGTGGTGTTGTTTTTATAATGTTGACACCTTCCATAATGGTCGCAGCATTTGGTAATTCCCCACTTGAAACTTCAAAACATAATGCTCTGTCTGTAGCCTTTGGATTATATATAAACATGATTTTTATATTCTTTTTGTTTTCCAAATATAATTCTCCATTATAAATACCAATTAATCCATCTTTACTAAAAAAAATAAAAATAAATAAATAAATTAAATAAATAAATATTTAAAAAAGATTGTTTTGTTTTGTTTTGTTTTGTTTTGACATACGGTATTTTTTCATATAATAATAAATTATAATCCTTTCCAAGATTATATAAACTTTGAATATCTTGTTGATTGAGAGCATCATTTACCATTAATATTGATCCCATTCGACCGATGAAACCATTACTAAGAGATGAAGAGTTTCCAATATGACATCTCGTGTAGGGTTTGTCTGTTTTGGGATAGAGTAGTGGGATCTTTTCCTCGAGCTTTCCATTGACATGAATCGATATTTGAGACTTTCTCAACAAAAAGTATTCATGAGAGATACAGATATAATACCATTTCTTTGGTTGCATAACAAACTGTGATTTCTGTAATGCCACCTTGTTCTTTGTCTTTACTGTAAAAACCAAATTCTGTTGTTGGTAGTAACATTCTACACCAGTCTCATCGTCTGTGAAAAAACTATACAATATAGGACTATATTTCAAATTTGTAAAATCATCTCTACTAATCCAAAAACATATACTATATCCTCCATCAAATGGTTGTCTTTCTGGTATCATTAATCCCTAAAAAAATAAAATAAATAAAAAACGAATTAGTATATCTATGATTAATTCATATCCCTTTTTAAAAACTTACAGCATTTGAATTACTAAAATTAAAATATAAATCTGGTCCTTCTCTTTGTTTAAAAATATATTCCAATACTTCAACTAATACACTCCAATAAAATGGCTAAATTGCAAAAGAATAAAGAGTCAATATGGATTGATTAATTAATTAATTAAATTAAAATTTGTAGCATACTCTTTCATCATTAACACTTTCCAATAATCTAATTAAATATTTTAATTCCTTTGGACTAATATTGAAAAATGATAATATTTGAAGGGTGATTGATATTTCACCAATGACATCACTGTCTTTTGAGCATCCAATTAAAAAGTTCAATAGTTTGATGATCCATCTATCACTACAACAATAGGTTTGTACCAATATACTCGAATAAATGATTCCATTTAGCTTCTTGAGTAACATCATGTGAAGTTCTGGACTTTCCTCCAAAGTCAAACATGGAATCTCCAACAATATATTCATAAACATGTGAAAGAAATCAAAATTATTCTTTTTTAATGATAATACATCTATTTGTGCCAATTCAATCAACTAATTAGAAAAAGATAGAAATATTTGAAAGTTTGATGATTAGTAAAGTTAATTAAACTTTGTTTTATAAAGAAAGATGTTTTGTTTGTCTACAAACCTTATCAAATACACAAACAACATCATGGAATTGCAATTTATCAGGATTCTTTGCTTGTGATATGATTTGTTTGACATATTGTTCCTCTGTACGAAATACTGGATTGAGAGACAATTGATAGAGTTGTTGTTGTTGAATCTGAAATGCTGCATGATTCTTGTTACTATTAATACCAACTCCAACACTCTCTGTAAGAGAAAATGGTGGTGATACTGGTAATTGTTGTTGTTGTTGTTGTTCAATAGTAGTAGAAGGAGAAACAGGAGGAGGAAGAGATGATGTGGAAGATGAAGATGAAGAAGAAGATGAAGTTTGAGAAGGTGATAAATCACCTCTACTATCACCAATGACTATACCAGTGATTGAAGAGGATGATGTATTGATAGACCGAGAGGCTGGTACATGATGTTGTTGTTGTTGTTGTTGTTGTTGTTGTTGTTGTTGTTGTTGTTGACTCATTTTTTCAAACTATCTCTAATAGATCTATCAAAAAGCAGGTCAGGTGATATCACTGACTACAACACTGCTTAAATGATTTAATAATCTATCTATTAATCAATTAATCTCTCTATTTTCTATTCTCTTTCTCTCTCTTTCTCTCTCTATATATATTTGTATAATATACAAAATGTCTTTAGTATAATAATAATAAACAATATTAAATTTTTGGACAAAGAAGTTCTCTCTTTTTTTTTCTTGTGATCAGCTGAATAAAAACCCTTCAAAATAGTATTATGTTTGTTTGTTTGTTTAATTATTTATTACAAGTTTATTATTTATTTGTGTGAATAGTATTTGTTTGTTTATATATATATTTGTTTATAATTTCATAGAGATTAAAGCTTCAAGACAAGCTCTACCACCATCCAATTCTAATTGTGCTTTTTCGTCATTTCCCAAAAAGCTGTTACTGACTCTGTTGGCGAGGATGATGGTTGCAGCGGCTGCTTTGATTGGTTCGACAGTTGATCTTTCGGCGAGATGGTAGAGTTGGAAGGTTTCCATTTCGAGTGTGGCAGCATCGGGGTGTGTTTGAATGATCGATGGGATTAGTTCTTGGTTGTGGTCATCGAAATTAGAGTCTTGACGTCCTTGACTACTGTAAAAAGAGTCGGCAGTGGCATTTAAACCTTGAATAACTTGTCTACGACCATTGAATTCGGTTGTGAAAGCGTTGGTCAACTTTTCAACCATCTCTGTATCACCCTTTACAGCCTTTGAAATATCGTATGGCTTGACCTGGTTGGAAGAGTCTGCGTGCCAGTGATCAGGGTTTCTACGAATCAATACACATTCTTTGGCAATAGCCAACGTTCCAACAGGTACATCACGAAGTGAACCACAAGTACCATATCTTACAATTGCCATTGTACCCTCGGTCACATAACGACCTTCTCTCACAAGGAAATCCATCATTGGTGTACCCATACCAATAGAGACAATAGACACTGGTACATTTTTGTATTCTCCAGTGTGAATATGGAATCCACGGTGTTCAGATGTAACTACCTTTTTACCTGTATCAAATAAATGATCACGAAGTTTAATAGCTCTACCATAATCTCCAACTGTAAGTATACGTTGTGAAACTAAATAGATAGATAGATAGAGAATGATTAAATATATGTTAATACTATATATATATAGAGAGAGAGTATATGACATATATATATATATTATGTGAAACATACGTTGGCCTTTCTTTACACCCAAATGATAGACAACTCCATCAGCATCGACTGGGAAGTTTGCATTTCCTATATTACCAACATCACCTATCTTCTTATCTGTAGACATGTTTATATTATTATTAATGTGATATATAAATAAATAAATAAATAACTTGTTATATATATGTTATGTAAAGATATTATTAATTGAAATGAAATTGAAGAAGATATCTTGTTCTTTTTGGTTGTTCGATTGATGATCAGTCCCAGCTCATTTTTTAATTAAATTTTATATATTTTTGGTGGTGCAGAGAGAACTTTCCTTTTTCAAAAGAACTCTGATCTGAGTTGTGCTTCTTCTTCGTCTTCTTTTTTAGATCATTCCATTTTATAGAATTGGTTGGTTGGTTGATTGATTGGTCGTTGCTGATTCAACTGTTGTTCTATGTCGACTTTAACAGATAATAATAATAATAATACTGCTGCTGCTGCTGCTGCTGCTGCTGCTGCTGCTGCAAATAGCAACAACAACAACAACAATCATGGTGGGACATTTGCAACATTAAAGATTGATGGTGGCAACAACAACGGTCATGATGATGATGACCCTATTCTAATCAATAGTAATGCTTCTGATATTAAAGATGAGGAATTGATCAAAGAGTATCAAGAGGATTCAATCAATGGTCCATACATTCACATCATAAAAGAGATACTCTCTATTCAACGAAACACGAATCAAGTGTTGACTGAATTTGTAAATAAAGAAAAAGGTATGTAAAGTCAGATACCACTCTAACAATCTAAATAAAGCCAAAGATTTAACTAATCAACTTCAAATTGATTTTAGCTAGCAATCCACCAAAAGATACTACAACCAACAACAACAGTAAAAGACAACAAAAAAAACAAGCACCTTCAAAAAAAGATCAACAAACCTTAAAGGAACAAAAAATAAACTAGGAACAGGCCTAGTCGATATATATATATTGTACAGTAACAAAAAAAAAAAAAAGGATCGATCAATCAATCATTCTTTTTGTTATGGAATATCTTTATCGAAAGTTTTATCAGCTATGATTAATACCTATTATTACTCAATAGGTTATAGATGTGATTGGAATATGCTAAACTTTTAAAGAATAGTCCTTTTAAAAGATCGTTGGTCAATTCATATTGATCATCATCATTATTGTTGTTCGTTGGTGTTGTTGTGTTGTATCGATAGAATCTAACAATATCAATGTATCCATGTTGTAATGATCGTTTGTGACTGTTTTCAAATGGATATCCATCCTCGTATTGCCAAATAATACTATCCAACATATCTTTGTGATCATTATCTTTGGTACAATGTGATTTGATAAAGTATTCTGTTTTGATTGGTCTGATATCATAGTTATGAAGTAGCACGACTTGATCTTTGTATTTTCTGTCAATTATTGATGTTCTGTTGGTATTAAAGTTCTTCATTGGATGATCTCTTTCCATTTCATCCTCGCTCGTCAATTCCCATTCCCTAAAAGGATCATTATCTTTGCCAACTACCGACACATAATATTGATGACAATGCTCAAATTCTTCTTTCCTTGCCTCTGTACTCGATATATATTCATCGACGAGGTATGGTACCAATGATAGATGTTCATATAATGGCAAACGCCATATGATATATCCGAGATAGATATTTCTATCTATAATGTGTAGTTGATCCAAAAGATATTTCAATGTATCATATTGAAAGTGTGTGTAGAAATATTCTATCCAACTTTTTAAAATGATTGTTCTTGCTATTATTTGATCGGCAGTGTCTGCATATTCTTGTTGATTTGGTTCAAGAGGTGCATTATAGTTGTATTTATAGTATTTGAAAAGTATTTGATAGAAAAATGTTACATCTTCCAATTTGGGTTCATTGTCTTGGACAAATCTTTTAAAATAATGCCTTGAAGAATGTAAATGGCAAAATTCTTGTTTTACTGGTACAAATAAAAATTGAATCATCTCTTTGTTGTGTGATCTAACTGAGTAATCTTTCAAACGGTAAAACTTTATATCATGACTCTTGAACCAATGATACACTTCCACCGAGTTGATGCATTTTGATATATTTTCCCAAACACAAGGAGGAGGAAATAGTTGATAAATTAATTCGATCATTTCGATATCAACATTGCTCCCTTCCAAATCTATCCTTTCTTCTTCCTTTGGATTGTATATTGATATTCCAATTGATTTGTATTCTATTGCTTTGTTTAATAAATAGATCATTGTTTTTTTGTTGCACTTATTAAACTTAATCCGAACCCAATCTTTTATGACATAAATATTATTATTATTATTTTGATTATTATTATTATTAAATTCGAAATTTGATATTAAAAGTTTAGCAATCTCCATCGAGTGATCTTTAGCATGAACTGATTGCCAGAGAAAGAAATAGAATGGGTGTGTTGGAAATTGATTGATTAGATATTCCAATAGATCTATTCGTGATCTTGATATTATATTCTCTATAAACTCTTTTGGGATGGAATTTCGGGGCTCCAATACTATTTTAAAGTACTCTAGTGTTATAAATGGAAATATCTTGTCGTCTTGTTGATCAATCACAGATTCCTGATAAAATGAATTTAGGTATTTGTATGTTTCAAAGTTATTAAGTTCTGCTGCGTCAGAGACTGCACTATAATGAGCCTTCCCAATGCTTTGTATATATTGAGCTACATCCACTCGATATGTGCCAATGTTGTATATTGTATTATAATTATTATTATTATTATTATTATTATTATTATTATTTTGGCTACTATTATTTCGATTATTATCAAGAGATTGGCAAGTATCAATGATGATATCAGATATTGTAATATTATCAACATCATAACTAGGTGATGTATAATACCAACTAGGAGGTTGGTGATCATATCTATATACTCCTTGTTGATCACCAAAAGAAGGTATACCAAAATTAGATAAACAATACAACAACACATCTTGATCGATAAATCTTGCATAGTTGGTTATCTCTCGAATGTATGATTGATCGGGATGAAGGTGATAGATGAATAGAAATGATTTCAATGGTCCGTGAATGATCGATGATTGATAAATGTACATTATTACCTCTGGAAGGTGTCGATGGTATCTGTGATAGATGTATTCAACTATATCTACTCGTTCACCAATACATGCATTCTCTATTATCTTGAATAGATTTGGTACAAATCCAATCACTTTATAATTATTATTACTATCACCACTTTCTTGTTGTTGTTGTTGTTGAAGATTATCATTATTCTTTTTATCAAACCAAATATAACGACTATATTGTTGCTCCAATTTCAACAAACTATCGATAAGAGTTGATTTGAAACCGAATCTAGCTTGCAGATAGATATTATCTTTGATGCCATCCAACCATCGATACGATTGAATACTATTCTTTGCACTCGACGGTGTTATTCTATCCAATGCTATGTGTTTGATGTTGTATGGTTTTCTGTATAGTCTTTGTCTTGCTTTATCCGAGACGGTTCCATCTTTTAATTCATCTTTCACAAAGTCATAGTTATCCAATCTATAGTGAGGATAATAAATACAATCTAGTTGATGTCTATTCAACCGATATACATAATTGAATATCAATCTACTTGTTACTATGTTTCGACACAAAACTATTGAAATTAATCGGTGCAGAGCTGTCATAGTTTAACAAACTTGAAAAAGAAAGATGAGTTTCGCAAAGATACTAAAATTAAAAAAAAAGAATGTTATGTTAAATAATATATCCATAACAATAAACTCAATCAAATAATAATAATAAAAGTGGGATGGATGACCCCTCTTTAATATTACAAATTAATCACACTAATTATTATTTGAAATACCCCCAAAAATCAAAATTATCCGGTGGTAATCAATGAAATAGCTATTATGGGCGTGTAATGGTGATAAATAGAAAAAATAAATTGATTAAATTTGAATTAAATAATATAGAAAATAAATATCTCTGTTCATTCTGAGAGCGACTTTTTATATTACAGTTTACAGAATATAAAAGGAAATCCACTCATATTTATAACAGTACGAAATTATCGTCCCCTCTCTCATTGTGGGGTTCGTTTTTGTTAAAAATGAATTCCTAATGACAACTACTGTCATTTCCATGCGACGGTTATTGTTTGTTATTACTCTCAGAATGCATTAAAAAAATACATTTTATTTTGTTACCATCCATTCATTTTTTTTTCAATATGTTTAAAATTTTAATTTTCCTCTATCTTTTATTGGTTATTATACCTCTTCATTCCTCAGAAAAATTCCCATTTGAAAAATATTTAGCAGACAAAATTTTATTCAGACAATCATTTTTTGATCACGATAGTGAAACTGTCTTGAATTTTTGCGAAATCAATGGCAAAAGAAGAGGCAAAGGCATCCAAAGAGGTTTTGTTTTTTTGTCAAAGGGGAGTAATATATATGTTCAAGATCAAATTGGTCTCAAAGATCAAGGATTTAAGAAGAGGTATAGGGAAGATTTTAAAACTGGACAAGATAAGTTCAAAATTTATAATTATGATCCAACAAAACCAATGGATGATAAAATAGATTTCAAAAACGGTAAGTTAATAGTTGACTTTGTAAAAATTAATATTTTAAAATTAATAACCTCTTTCTATAAAACAAAGAAAAAGTAAACAAAATCTTATTGTTGTCAGGTATTCATGACACAGGTAGAACAAAAGAAGACATCAATAAACCAGTTTTTGATCATTCAGAGAGCACTTTGATATCATTTATCGAAAATAGTTTGGAATTGGTTCAATCAATCTTGATTTTTTAAAAACAAAAAAAATAGAGAAACCAGATAGTGCAGACAAAACCAATTATGAATATTGGCAATATTGACATATAAAGTCCTTTAGCACCAACATGTCACTTTGCCAAATATTTATATAAAAGGTGAAATAAAATCACTGAAATACAATACTATTGAAAAAATAAAGAAAGAATCGATAGCGAGATTGAAAGATTATAATGAAACCATATCATTTAAAAAATTTCAGTCTACAACAAAGTAGCATTAAATTATTTTTCCAATCCCCCTTTCGAAAACTTCCACACCCCACTCCACGACCTCAGATTAATTCATTCTAACTATCATCTATTAATTCCCTTTTTCAGCAACAATTTAATTTTTTAATTTTGCAATTTGTATTTTATTTTTTTCCTATATACAATTTGTCTATTACTACAAAGATATAACAAAGATAGATGTTGACAAAACTATAGAAAAATAGTTATAGTTAATTTCTCCTTTGGTATAACCTCTATCAATTTATTAATCTCTCCATGTGGTTCTAAAAAATTAAATCAATCATACATTATGATATTTATAATAAGATAAAATATCTCTATCCAAACAAAACCATCTTGTTTTCCAACCTTTCATTAAACCATTTTCCTTTGATAGGAAACCTTTTTTTGTTGGAAGGGTGTCTGCCTTTTCCTTGAGGGAACAAATCTGCTTGGTGTTTAAAGTTTTCTTTGTATTAATATGAATCTCTTTTAGGTGTTTTGTATAAATTATACAATTCTTGTTTTAATAAATACTCTTTATCTGCTTTTTCTAGTCCAAATGTCTTGCATGTAATATCTCTTATTGTTATTTGTTGACATCTTTTTAAAGATAATGGACTTATTCATGAAAAAACAAATGAATCGTCTCGTGTCGTGGCATCACCAAAACAAGATGGTATCTTGGCCCATGATGACAGCCGCTACGACCAACGTAATGATCGAGGAGGCCTCTAGATTGTAGCCGATAATGGTTGTACGATTTGCTCTTAGAGATGGCATTGTGGTTGCAGCAACAGTGACAGGTGTGTACACCGAACACTAAATAGATGCAATAGAGGTGTTTTGAATGCCAATGGCCACTATACTAGCGATCAAATTTAAGGTTTCTCTCCCAAATCGGACATATATGTACAATTCATCCACCAGGCCACACTCCAACGCACCACTGGCTCCAACCATCCGGACTCTTGTATATCTCTGTAGTCGGCTCTAGGGCTGAATGTTTTCAACAAAAGGTTCATTGTAATGGTATTTTGGTTGGTCGATGGGCGTCGTCTCTTGAGTGCAATTATTGTTGATTTGGTGGTCATTCCAACACCACTAGACACTGATAGGTGGAAGAGGAGTGATAGTTGATACTGTTGAGTCTCTAGATGTTCTTCTCCACTCTTTCTATTAGTGTTGTCAACCTAATCCTTTCCATTTTGATCAATTGTCACCCAACCATCGATACGATTGAATACTATTCTTTGCACTCGACGGTGTTATTCTATCCAATGCTATGTGTTTGATGTTGTATGGTTCTTGGTATAGTCTATCTCTCAGGCAATAATCTTTCACACAGCCATAGTTATTTAAATGAGGATAATAAATACAATCTAGTTGATATCTATTCAACCGATATACATAATTGAATATCAATCTACTTGTTACTATGTTACGACACAAAACTATTGAAATTAATTGGTGCAGAGGTGATGTCATTTTGTTAAAAAATACTATATTTTAATGGCTATGTTCTAGATGATCCTCTGTTTATGCTTCTTGCCTCCAATCATCATCTTACAATATAATTATATTTAAAACTTCATTACCATTTTATTCTTTATAATATCTGATTCTACTAGGTTGTTGTTTTCATTAACAATGAAATTATTTTTTTATTCATTTGTTCAATGCCTTTTTTGTTATTATCTATTACAATTCTATACAATGCATTGTGTCATTAAATTTACCACAATCCTTGATTATTTTATGAGACACTCAAGATGGGGGTAAATATTAGTATGATATAGTAGTGGTTGGTTTGATGAGGGATCAGTTCGCTTGAATGTCATCATTGATTGGTAATTTGTTGGTAAACATCAATCATTCAGATTAAAAAGAGATAAAATGAGGACGATACATACAACATGGAGTAGATAGAGTTTACATTAGATCAAAAAAGAATGATAAAAAGTTGATTAGAAAGTTGATTAGAGAACCCTTCGAGGATGAGAACAACAACAGCAAAAACAGCAACTCTCTAAAGAAAGTCCTGTATTGGCTTGGTCAAATGATTAAATCAATACATGACACCAACTTTAGAGAGTTTTTACTAAAGAATCAACAAGAATTGGATAAAGAAACAAAGAAAAATATTATTGATTTAACAAAAGATGATCAGCAGCAAGAGATACCAATAGTAAAAAAAGAAAATGATAGATTCGATCAATTGGAAAAGAGGGTGTAAATGTTATTTGAAGCAAAGGAGGAGAAATTAAAGAGAAGACAAGAAAAAGATGATAGATCATGAAGTGTGAAGGATGCTAACTATTCAAGCAAATCAAACAGAAAAACAACAACAACAAATAATGGTTGACCAAATTTTATCAAATGAATTAATAGGAATGATTCTAAAAGGTAGTCTAAATGCTACAAATGATTTGGTAAAGAATATTTAAATTCAACAATGTCCTCTTCTAAGCTATCGACAAATTTAGGTCATGAATTAAAAGGAATGGTAAAGAATCAAAGGAGTAGTGAATTGTAATTGTATCATTTGCTCATGAAAAAAGAATGATCCCAAGATTGGTAGATGGAAGAAATCAAGGTCTTTATGATAGCGAGAAAGAATAATGAAACCATATCATAAAAAAGGATTTGAAAGAGTAATAGCAAGTGATCAATTTATTGGAACTAAAAGACGAGATGTCATTTATTATGAATTTGGATCACACAACAAACCAAGAAGTCATTGAGTTGTTTATCAAAAGAGGAAAAGAAAGCAAAAAAGATGAGAGATGATTGGAACAAGTTTGGTCTAATTTAATAATATTAAACTTTCAATTATTAAAGTTCCTACTTCCAATTAAGAATTCGTGGAGATTCCATTTTTAATATTATATTTATATATATTTATTTATTTATTTGGTTTTATAGTTTTGGTTGAAAAGAAACTTGACTTGCATTACAAAACGTTTGGATAACAGCAACCAAAGGAATGTATCGACCAAGCATGTCTTTTGCATATAATAAAGTCTAATTAATCAATTATTTTTATTTTAATTATTTTATGTTTTAATTAGTTAAATTAGAAGCCAACTTGAGGGTATACGTATGCCCTCAAAAAAACCTAACCAGTATTTGGATACATAGTATAGGTAACTCCATTATCAAATGGTGAAGAAGCAGAATTTGTTCCATTGATTGCAGACGAGAACATTTTAATGTAAAGAAGGGATAGATTTTCACCTCCAATATTTTCAGTGCAATCAATGCTTTGTGGTCTACAAAATCTGAGAATCAGTATGGGATCGGAGGACCTTGGTCGGTCGAATCCACTAGAACTTGGTGCAGAATTGACTATAGAAAAAGATTGGATTGATCCAACATCAAAATCCAAGATGTGGTGAAAGGATTTTAGTCGAGATCCATCCATTGAGCCACCAATAAGCTGGGACCGAATACCGCTGGTCCCACTCACAACCACAAAGTGGTCCATACCTGCGCTTCCACCTACCAATGTGTAGTAGACATGCAAATGACCACTATTTGAAGCATTATTGAGGGGTTGGAGGGGTTGTAGGGTATCGTGAGTGGTAAAGTTACTCAACGCCAATGAGGTGTTGGTCTGTAGAGCATCAGAAATTGTAGTGTTGGTAATATTTAAGTTGGTGACTGTGTATTTTGTTGGTGGTTTGGTACTATTTGTTGTGGTGGTTGTTATTACAACGGTATTAATAGTTGTTGAATTAATAGGATGTGATATGGTAGTGTTGATTTCAATCCACGTAGTAGTTTCGGTAATGTTGGGGACAAAAACATATCCTCTCGAGTAAGCTGTTGTGATGGTATGAATGATGATTTTATCGAAATAATTTGTAACATTTAAAGGTACCATATTTTGATTTTTGTCGAGATACGATATATTCAAGCGTCCAATTTCCCAAACCTGTACCCAAGGTATGGAAAATGTCTTTAAACATTTGTTGTTTGCACAGTTGACAGCTCCACTTAGATCGAATGGTCCCATGTCCAACTTGACAGACGAGTTTGAATGGCAAGTAAGAGTCCAAAATAATTGACCAAGCATTTGACGCTCAGTGTCATTGAGTGTTCGTTTGTGTGATGTGCTGGCCAAGAAATGTATATTCATTCTCTCATAATTTGGATCTGGAAGAGGGACTGGATCCTTGGTGACATAGAGATGATACCCAGCAAACCAAAGTTCTTGATATGTTGTATAATTTTCAATTGGCTTGGGAAGTATCCAAGAGCTTGGAATGATATTTCCAATTATATCTAAATCGTATTTGATTGGTTGAGGTCTTTGGTCAATTGACTCTGCCCACTCGTTAAATGAGCTGGGTGAGGTTGTGTCGGGACCAAAAGATCCAGGTGACCCACCATTAACAAACAATTTACTTTTTGTCGTTGAGCGTTCAAACTCCTCGTTGGTGTCTTGCACATCTTGACTTTCATCGTCTTGGGAATAAGATCCACCACCGCCGCCATAGGGCGTACTAATTTGAGCCGAGAAAGAAGCTTGAGCTTGTTTTTTGACATCCAGATGGTTGTTGGTCTTCAATGACGACGTTTGAGTTGTTGTGATTGATTCCAAACTACCACCCAAAACAGCAGATTTATAGTACAATGATCCAAACTTTTCTATAAAATAAATCATTTCCTGAGAAGATGTAATCTCTGCAAGCTCTTGGATAAAAGATACATGGAATCGAATGGCATTTCGAGAGACTGAGGAGATAGAGCATTTTATTGAGGTGGATAAGGTGGTTCCACCACTCTTGGTCTCTTGGTTGGACGTGGTCTGAACTTCTTGGCTACTAGAGTAGGCAGCATCCAGCGAGGCAGAATACGATTTTGCTCCACCACCAATTGAGAATGACGCGCTCATGCCACTTTGTGTTGCCAAATCACGTTGGTGTTGGCGAGATGATTGGTACATTTTAGAACTGCTCTCACTCTCACAGAATGGGACAAGCTCAACGTCAAACTCTGGTGGCACACTATAAATCACACCCCTTGCAACATCTTGAATAACTTTAAAACTCGAGTTGTTGCAATAGCCAAAGTCAAATACAACATTTTCAGTTTCGTCACCAGTTTTAAGGTCAACTCCATGTGCTAAATGAATTAGGCCTGGTAAAGAAAAAAAATATTGGTTGTCCCTTTAAAATAAAAAAAATTAACAAAAAGAAAATAGATAAATAGGTATAACATTTGTTTAAACTTACATTAAATATGATAATGTATCCAATTTAGGTAGATGAGATACTTTCAAAGGATCGACTTGGGAAGGGCAATTTGTTCCGATTTGGTCAAAGCAATTGAGAATACAATCACTTGGTATACCACTACAAACACGATCCCCTTGACCACATTCAGATGGTTTATCAATTTCTTAAAAATAATTAATAAATATATTAGTTTGTTAATTTAAATTAAAATGTCCATCAACTCTATAATAATTACCATTTGAGTAAATGTGGGAAAAATCTACTGGATCAATGAACTCAAAATGAAGTGATGCTTTTGATGGTGTCTCCATTGTCCTAAATTCCAAAAATATTTCTGTGTGGTGTCTGTTTGACAATGGAATTTGTATCATATGGTCAAAATCTTGATTGGGGGTGAGAGAATCTATAATGGTTTGGTTTTGATTGATTTTGAGACCAACCCCAAGATTGTGTCCAAATATCTTGACTCTAATTGGTTTGACTGAGAATGATGACAAGGGTTCAATAAATGTCTTTATGAACCCATAATGAGTTGCTGAGGTGATCAACTGGTCAAATCCTAATAAAAAGAAAAAAAAAAAAAAAAAAAGAATTAAATTAGACTTTCATTAATTAAAGTAATAATCTGTATAGTACCAATATTTTGAAGAGGTTTTGGGAAACCTTCGACTGGACAATGTTGAATATTATTCGCCGCAAATGGGCAGAGATTAAAAAGATAGATGTAGGAACCAGAAAAGTGACACTTTTTGTTGAGACAATTATTGTTATTGTTGTTTGCAAATTGAGTGTTGCGAAGGATGGATGAAAATGAACAAGATGACACCGTGTTGCAGATAGGGATCAATTGCTTTTCCTCCCTTACAAGCATTTTTGAATCACTGGTGCATCTTACTCCAAATTGTGATTTCGATAAAGGATTGTAAATGACCCCTTGTGATTGAGAAAGGTATATATCATTTGCTGAACCCAATTTTGAGTTGCACCCTTTGGGGGCTTTCAAGTTGATGCTTGAGTTGAAGGCAAAAATCATCTTTCCACTTGACAGAGAACAATCATTGTTTTCAAATGTACAATCTGTACAAATCAGAGATGAATCCATTAGTTGTATTGCACCTCCAGATGTAAATGCCAAATTTAAAGAGAAATCCATATTCTCCCCAATTATTGATGATTGGTACGAGTAGATGGCTCCTCCAACCAATGAAATGCATTCCTTGATGCCAACGTTGATAAATTTAACTTTGGATTTTGTTAGTTTGAAACCATATGTCACCTTGCTACAATCAATATAACTATAGTCGATTGATCTATATTAAAAAATTAATGATAAATTTGTTAATATATTTAACAAAAAAAAATAATCCAATTTGTTTTATATAATGAAAGCTTACCTAATGACCAAGTTCAAGTGATTAATATCTAATTCGGTGTTTTCATATTGATTGTAAAATTGATTCATAAGGATGATTTCCAATTCTTGTTCCTGTCCAATTGCCTTGGCAGAGGAGATTGCCTCCTTGAGGTTGTTGCATTTGTTGGTTAGGTCACCACAAATTTGTAGACCAGAAGAAGAAGAAGAAGATGATGATGATGATGATGATGAGAAATGTTGTTTGATCACATCCAACGAATCGACATAAATTGTATTTGAAGTTCCAATTGAAATTGAAACTTTCAATAGGACGAGTACTAGTAGTTTTAAAAGTATAAACATTTGTTGCATGGGTGTATATAACATTTGTGTTGATGATAATATTATTTGGTTGTTTTCTTTTTAAGTGTAACTAATAGTTTTAATAATAGATGGTGATTGGTGTTGTATAAATTATATAATATAATAATAAATTGTTGTATAGTCTATATTATAGTCAATTATTATTATATTATGTGATGATGGTGTATACTACTATAGTGATTATTACTATAATAATGAGATGATGGTTATGATGTATATCAATAATCGATCATGTCATTTTGTTATTGACCATAAATCTTGCCGTCGACTGACTGATTAGATCATGCAATATATATATATATTTATCCCCACCCACGATTGCGTGTAATATATATATCAGCTGATAAAACGTATACATGAATGTGTATGTTGAGCTACTGATGAGTGCGTATTGATAGATACTAGATATATCTAATTTTATGTGTGTTCGAAGAACCAATCACCTTTTTTTACTCTTCTTTTTCTATTTTTATTTGAAACGAAAATAAAAAAAATGGGGATCTTTTTTAGGGATGCAAAACTACTATTAACCCTTTTAGTGTCTACACTCTAATTATAACCATCACGATTGTGCTGCGCTGACCATGGTAAGAAAAACACTATAGCGAAATGTATCCATCTATTGATGGTTGAATTATAATCACTATAGTATATATGCTAAAATAATATACCTCTTTAATATTACAACAACAATATGAAAATCTATAATCTTAATCTTTTTTTAGTTTTGTACATAATAACAACACTAGTATCAGGCAAAATCTATTATTACTCACCAAACAATGTGGAGACAGCACCGCTCATTGACATCCTCCACACTGATGGCATCAAGGATATGATCTCCCAAATGGACAAGAGAGCTGCCAACATCCTCTACCTTCACCCTGGACAATACCTTGGTGAAAATGATATTGTTATCGAGGGACTAAACTTGGTAATTGAGTATGCATGCTACATATGTAGATTGATCGATAGAACAATATAATAATAATAATTTTTATTTTTTATTTTTTATATTTTTATTTAGACCCTACGATCCTTATGCCATGAACAATCATGACCACCAAATGTTAAATATGCCTCTGTTTAGTCGTGCCAACATTTCTGAACACAAAATTACAATTGATTGTAGGGGCTTTGGAAGAGGCATCTCCATTGTCAATAGTCAGGTCGAACTGCGCAGTGTCACCCTTTTAAACTGCTCGGCCTCATATGGCAGTGCCATCTTTATCGTCAACTCCAACGTCATTCTTGAAGATGTTGACATCAACTCTTGTAGATCACATTATGGTTCTATTTTTGTCAATGATTCGTCTCTTGTTTCAAACAAATGCTCTTTTGTTGACAACAAAGTTGCCAATCATGGCGAAGGGTTAGTATTCCTAAATTCCAAGGCCACAATAGAAAATATCAAATTGTCCAATTCAACTCATCGTCATGTAATCGCCACTACCTCCTCCACCATTCAAATCAATGGAAACATATCAAGATCAATGATAATGTGCGACAAGCTATCAACAGTCGAAAACAAAGATAGAGTGGATCTGTGTGATGACACCAAACAACATTGTGGCGACGGTCACTGTTCCCCACATTTGGAAGATCACTTCTCTTGCCCTTTAGACTGTCGATCCACTATTTTTTCTGGATTCCTCATGGAATCAAAGAGGTGTCCAACATGTCCAACAACCTTATCACCACACTACTCTTCATCCATCAACTCCAACAAACAATATCTAAACATTAAATTGTCATCATATTTTATAAATCCATTTGATGGAAAAATATCATTTTTATTTGAATTAACAAATATAGATATAATCGTTCAAATCAACAACAATCAAATTATAAATTATATCAACTCTGGTCCACATTTACAAAAAATCAAACACACCATTTATCTTCCAAAAACAAAAACAAATCATCTAAAAATAATAATAATAAGCCAAAACAACCTTAAAAAATCACTTTCCATCAAATACAGTCCCCACCACAACAACAATACCTTCATTCCATTCACAATTGCAAGGTACTCCAAAAATATTTGTGGTGATGGTGTAAAAGATAACAATGAAACATGTGACCCTTTTGGCATTAAAAGTCATGAATTTCCAGATATTTTTTGTGGCAATGGGATTTGCGATGAAAAAAACTACAATCAATGTTTCCAAGATTGCAACGAGTACTTATACCAAAGATGCCCACCACTGACTGTCAGACCTGGCGGTCTCCCACCATCCATTCGTAAGACCTCTGACACTATTGGTATGCTCATCTTCAATCAGCACACCTGGCGTCTGCCAGGATACCAACACCTATCATTTGGTGTTGATATTGTAACCGGAGAGTTGGTATCCCATCCTATATTTCATTTTGGCTTTTGCTCTGACATGGAGACGAACATTATCGAGGATCCATATAGAAATATATTTTATGAATCACCAAGGTAATTACCAATGTATTTTATTTTATTATTATTTAAAATAATTCACTTACAGTTTTTTTATTTATTCTTATTTAGAGAAATGTCTGTGGTACCAAGACCACAATGTAAATACCATGGTTCAAATGAAGTATTTTCATCGTCTACTGAGATGAAAACAGACAAACAAAAGAAGAGCAAACTTGACACGTCTGCCAATGCTGGTGCAAACATTGCTGGAATTGTTCAAGTGTCAATAGAGGCTGCTTTCTCCAAAGAGTCATCTGTCAAGAAGGCTAGATCGTTGGAACAAAAGTCGAAAGGAACAATTATTGAGTCGTCAATTGTTTGCCAAACATCGGCTATCAAATTAAACAAATTCCCATTCAACCCAACATTTATTAACGATTTGAAAAGTGCCGATAATGAAGCAGACTTTTATCGTTTGGTCAAAAAGTTTGGCACACATTTCATGAAAAAGGTGGTTCTTGGTGGAAAATTATCTGTTGTACAGTCAATTAATGAAAAGTTAACCAAGTCCCAAGTTGAGTCAAACTATCAAGAACAGATTGACATGTCTGTAAAGGCATCGGTGACTTCAGAAGTAGTGTCTGCCAGTGCCTCATACAGTTCAAGTAATGGAAAGCAAGAGGAAAACAAAGATGAAAGTGAAAGTAGCAACAAGTTCCAAAAGACATCGTTGACTTCTCGTGGAGGAAAATTAGGTATGAAAGCAATACAAAAACAAACTTTTTATATCATTATTTAATATTTATTTAATTTTTTTTTATTTACAAAAAAAAGGTTCATATGGAAATGATGGTGAACCTACCTATTTTGGTACATGGGCCTCGTCAGTGGATTTAAATCCTGTAAGTATATACCCGATACATTTCTAATAAACTTTTATATTTATTCATTTTTATACCTATTCAGGTTCCAATTGAATACGAATTGTCTCCAATAGAATCTCTCATACATTTGGATTGGATGACAAAAAGCAATAGAAGTGTAAAGGAAATGTGGAAGAATGCCTACAACACCTATATGTTATATGCAAGCAAGGAATCTGACTATCAAGAGGCTGTACCTGACTTTGCCATCAAAGAGAAATGGATCTGGTTCATCTCAAAATCTTTACCAAACCACTCATTCAACCATTTTTCTATTCAAATCAAAGAAAACAACAAGATTACATCATCGTTGGATGCTCGACTATTTCCCTCTGTAGACATCTATAACAAGGCGGATTTATATCAACTCCCAAATCTACTTGATTATTTGGTGTTTTCATCTGATTTCAAAACCAGCTTTGTTTCCCAATTGGAGAACAAACAAAGAAGTACAACAATATATAGTCGAGACGCAATCAATTCCAACCTGATCCCAACAAAAGAAATGGATGATAAGCAACAAGAAGGTTTTGGAGTGGAAAATATCATTTTTAGAGAAACAGGGGAGAAGGTATTGTTTCCTAAATGGATGATTGGACTGTATCCAAATTGCACAACCACAAATCTTGGGGAGTTTCCAATATACTCTATTCATACATTGGATCAGGGAGAGATTATTAATCATCCACCAGAAAATTACTTCAAATCATATTTGTTGATACCACCTATATTACCTATCAAAAATAGTGACCAGTAAGTAAAGTTTGACACAACCTCATCACCCCAACGCACTTTATATTATATAGTATAGTATTTTTTAAATACTAAATATTAATTTGGTTTTTATAATTTATAATAGTCATTCTTATTTCGAAAGCATCAGAGTAAAGGTTTGGACCAAAAAGTACGATGGTGAGAAAAAAGGGTTTTTCGATACCAGAAACAGTTCTTCCCGCCATTGGCGAATCATTCAACTCTCTGACACTCAAACATCTATGGTCATGGCTGCTCGCCAAATCAGACTCGAATTTAATGATAAGAAATTTAATGAAACACTGATGGATCAATTATATTTTCTTGTCAACAATGGAAAGAACAAATTCCTACCTATCAAACTTATTTATGGGTTCGACAAGGATACGGAACCTGGTATTCAGATGGTGATTAGAGACCCATTAACCCAATTCTTTTCAAACACCCCCATAAAATCAAATTTAAATCCCTCAAATCAAGCCTTGGTTAAATTTGATGTCGATACTGAAGACGAATCCAAAATTTTACCAAACTTACCAGCACCCTATTGGATACCAAAAGATTTCCTACAAAATACTTTATCCCAAAGCGATTTTAATAGATTAAAGAAATTTATTGATAATATGAAAAGTGACTAGGATAATAATTAATAAAAAAGTTTAGCCAACTATCTTAACACAACTTATTTTAATTTTAATTATTAGTTTATTATGATTAATACCTATTAATACTCAACAGGTTATATATGTGATTGGAATATGCTAAACTTTTAATGAATAGTCCTTTTAAAAGGTCATTGGTCAATTCATATTGATCTGATTTATCATCGTTGTTTGTTGTTGTGTTGTATCGATAGAATCTAACAATATCAATGTATCCATGTTGTAATGATCGTTTGTGACTGTTTTCAAATGGATATCCATCCTCGTATTGCCAAATAATACTATCCAACATATCTTTGTGATCGTTATCTTTGGTACAATGTGATTTGATAAAGTATTCTGTTTTGATTTGTCTGACTATTGAATCATGAAGTAGCACGACTTGATCTTTGTATTTGTTGTCAATTATTGATGTTTTGTTGGTATTAAAGTTGTTGATTGGATGATCTCTTTCAATTTCATCCTTACTCGTTAAATATGGGCCTCCAAAAGGATTATTATAATTGCCAACTACCGACTTAAAATGATCATTATATGGAACACCTTCTTTCCTTGCCTCTGTACTCGATATATATTCATCAGCGAGGTATGGTACCAATGATAGATGTTCATACAATGGCAAACGCCATATGATATATCCGAGATAGATATTTCTATCTATAATGTGTAGTTGATCCAAAAGATATTTCAATGTATCGTATTGAAAGTGTGTGTAGAAATATTCTATCCAACTTTTTAAAATGATTGTTCTTGCTATTATTTGATCGGCAGTGTCTGCATATTCTTGTTGATTTGGTTCAAGAGGTGCATTATAGTTGTATTTATAACATTTGAAAAGTATTTGATAGAAAAATGTTACATCTTCCAATTTGGGTTCCTTGTCTTGTACAAATCTTGTAAAGTAATAGTTTGAAGTATTTGTATCACAGTCTTCTTGTTGTAGTTTTCCTGGTACAAAAAAAAATTGAATCATCTCTTTGTTGTGTGATCTAACTGAGTAATCTTTCAAACATTGAATATCCAACTCTTGGATATTATGACTCTTGAACCAATGATACATTTCCACCGAGTTGATGCATTCTGATATATTCACCCAAACACAAGGAGGAGAAGGAAATAGTTGATAAATTAATTCTATAATTTCCATATCAACATTGCTCCTTTTCAAATCCATTATTTCTTCTTCCTTTGGATTGTATATTGATATTCCAATTGATTTGTATTCTATTGCTTTGTTTAATAAATAGATCATTGTTTCTTTGTTGCAATTATTAAACTTAATCCGAACCCAATCTTTTATGAAATCTATATTACTATTATTATTATTGTTGTTGTGTCTATTAAATTCGAAATTTGATATTAAAAGTTTAGCAATCTCCATCGAGTGATCTTTAGCACGAACTGATTGCCAAAGATAGAAATAGAATGGGTGTGTTGGTAATTGATTGATTAGATATTCCAATAGGTCTATTCGTGATTTTGATATTATTTTCTTTATATATTCTTGTCGTGGGACTAAGCCAACTTCTAAATATGACTCCAATACCATTTTAAAACACTCTAGTGTTATAAATCGAAACATCTTGTAGAGATAGTCGCAGACCCTTCCTCGATGTACTGAATATAGGTATTTGTATGTTTCAAAGTTATATAGCTGTGCTGCGTCACGGACTGCACTAAAACAAGCCTTTCTGATGCTGTGTAAATAATGAACAACATCCACTCGATATGTGTCAATGTTGTAAAAAATGTTCAAATTATTATAATTATTTTGATTATTATTATTAACAAGAGATTGACAAGTATCAATGATGATATCAGATATTGTAATATTATCAACATCATAACTAGGTGATGTATAATACCAACTAGGTGGAAGGTGTTGATTTCTATAGCTTCTATAGTTTTCTTCTTCATCACCAAAAGAAGGTATACCAAAATTAGATAAATAATACAACAATACATCTTGATCGATAAATCTTGCATAGTTGGTTATCTCTCGAATGTATGATTGATCGGGATGAAGTTGATAGATGAATAGAAATGATTTCAATGGTCCGTGAATGATCGATGATTGATAAATGTACATTATTACCTCTGGAAGGTGTCGATGGTATCTGTGATAGATGTATTCAACTATATCTACTCGTTCACCAATACATGCATTCTCTATTATCTTGAATAGATTTGGTACAAATCCAATCTTCTCCACTTTATCATTATTATCATCATTATAATTATTATTATCACCACTTTCTTGTTGTTGTTGAAGATTATCATTATTCTTTCTATCAAACCAAATATAACGACTATATTGTTGCTCCAATTTCAACAAACTATCGATAAGAGTTGATTTGAAACCGAATCTAGCTTGCAGATAGATATTATCTTTGATGTCATCCAACCATCGATACGATTGAATACTATTCTTTGCACTCGACGGTGTTATTCTATCCAATGCTATGTGTTTGATGTTGTATGGTTCTTGGTATAGTATTTCTCTCAGGCGAGGACATGAATATTGTAATTTATCTTTCACAAAGTCATAGTTATCCAATCTATAGTGAGGATAATAAATACAATCTAGTTGATATCTATTCAACCGATATACATAATTGAATATCAATCTACTTGTTACTATGTTACGACACAAAACTATTGAAATTAATCGGTGCAGAGCTGTCATTGCAAAAAGAAAAGGAAAAAATAAAAAGAATATTACAGGGTGCCGTATTATTATTATATTAATCAAAAATCGAAATATAAATTTTGTGTTTTGTTTTTTTTTTTCTTTTTTAGTTGTTAACAAACAATTGCTGTTGCATGGAAATGACAGTGGTTGTAATTAGGAATTCATTTTTATGTCATTCTGAGAGTGACTACCGTTGCAGTTTTTATATGACAGAATATAAAAGGAAATCCCACTCATGTACGATAATGTATTATTTTATTATCATATCAAAAAATTTTTCCTTGATAGGGTGTAATTACCACAGTTGTAAAATATCCTTTTTCGCCCTATTCTTTTATTATTAAATTTATTTGTTTCCCAAAAATTCTTTTGTTCATTTGCACTGATATTAATCTGTACAAAATTATCATTTCATATTTTGTGAATTGACAATATACAATTTTAAAATGCATAAAAAAATAATAATTATCATTTTTTTTTTAATTTTAATCAAATTACTTTACTCAACTCCCGAAGATGTGTTTTATCAACAATTTGGAGAGATTTATTCCTTCCGGAAATCATTTTTATGTTTCGAATGTAAAACCGTTTTGAATTTAATGTATGGAAGAGGAACACAAAGAGGATTTGTTTTTATTATAAAATCTCAAGATAAGAATCCTGATAATTCTAAATCCCTTGTAAAGGAGAATATTCCTTTACAGGAACGAAATTTTATCAATAAGTATATCCAATTTCATACGGTTGATGATATGACCACAATTTATCAAGATGGAGAAATGAACAATATTATTTTGTACAAAGGTAAATACTATGAATTTTGGACTTTTCCTTTATTAACCACCTCTTTCTTGAATAGAAAAAAAAATCCAATTAAAAGATCAAATATTAATTATATCAGGGATTAAAACAACAAGAGATTTCAACACTGCAGGGGGTAACACAACAACAAAAAACCCCTCAAATCAAAATGACAATTCATTTCATTCAGAGTACCGTTTGTTATCTGTTATTAAAGAATCATTGGATATAAATGGAAACAACAATTATGTGTTTTATACACTTCACTTCCCTTGTTCAAGTTGCTTTACAGATATTGAAAATTTTTATAAACAATTTCAACAACAATCAGAAAGCAAAGAACTAGACATATCTGCAAAGAAACCTAGCTATATACACTCTAATTTTCCTCCATTGGATCAACCTAAAAAAAAATATTTAGATATTAATCATCCTTCCAATCCTCTCACACCTAGAAATTTTAAAATGGGAGTTTGGGGTACTTCAAATTTGGAATTCATCCCTAAAGAAAAGAACCATATTCAAGATCTATTGTTGTTATTTTCTTTTCAATGGGATCAAGACTGGGAGCATTTTAAATTGATAAAACAAGCTGATTCTAATAATTTTAAAGTAGAAATAGTTGGTGGAAAAGTGTCAAGAGATGGTAAATCAATAGAACCAATCTTGTCCTTTCAAGAATTTTTATTAAATGCAATGATTGAGAAAAAGTTTTTGTCGACCCGAAACCTGGCAGACCCAATTAATATGTACAAATCTTTGATTGATGGAGCCATTAATAATTTTTTTTGAAATTAATATTAAAGATTTTCGATCAATTGAACCATGGTAAGAGACAATATTTGGTAATTTACTTTCCCAATTAACTAATTAAAATTAATTTTTAGGAATGCTTTTTTGAAAGATAAAACAACCCCAGAAGAAACAAAAGAATTTGGGGAAATATTAAGTAGTAGCCGAGTTTATGACGAAGAGTATGTTGAATAGTTTTAAACCCCATTTTTCGCGATGAAACAACTCATTTTTATTTATTTTAGAACTATTTTCAAACCGTCAACAAACATATCCCCCACTGAAGCATCAAAAAACTGTTTTCAATTTCGATGGAGATGTATAGCCCCAATCGGACCTGCTTTTTTCAAAATCAGAAATTATTTGTATAGAAATCTAAAGGGATAGAAAACATTCGCATGTTCTGCTGTGGCATTTTAAACGAAAAGATCCTCAATAAATTGTGAACGTTTAAATTTATTGACATCTATAGATCTTCAAGTATACTCCCAACCAACCACCTGGTCTGTCCAAATTATAAAGAAAGTGACATGTTTGAATTCCAATCCTCCCAATATTGTTTAGCTCGATTCAAAACGGCAACCCATTCATTCATGACATCTGAACTTTCGGCACCCAACACTAGTGTATGTTTTGGATGCACCAATTGGAAACAATGCAACTGTGTCTTTAATTTCTTTTCCTTTGGTATAACCTCTATCAATTTAATCTCTAATACATTAATCTCTCCATGTGGTTTTGGATCCTAAAAATTAAATCAAAAGTAAAATAATTTAAATTAATATTATTATTATTATTATTAACAATTATTATCAATTATTTGTTTCATCCATGCAATCATACATTATGATATTTATAATAAGATAAAATATCTCTATCCAAACAAAACCATCTTGTTTTCCAACCTTTCATTAAACCATTTTCCTTTGATAGGAAACCTTGTTTTGTTGGAAGGGTGTCTGCCTTTTCCTTGAGGGCATCTTCGGCGATAAAGTCTGGATAGAGATATTTGAGTAACCAGTTTTGAGATTTACTGGCGTTTAATAGAAAATCGTTTGTTGTCACTTGCAGCATTCTTTCGACCATGTTGGCGACGTCCTCGGGTTTGAGCGGACGATTGTTAAAGAGTATCGTCTCGACCTTTTCTCTTAATTTTTTTTGTGCGACCGCTGGCGAATCCTCACCGACGGTGACACCTCCAACCTCTCTTGATATTTTTACTGTACAAATATAGTATCGCAGTGCATCGACCAAATCACACAGTCGTGTAGGTGATGCTCTATCCGACTGCTCCTCCATGACTTTGGCACAAAACCACAACACCGACGATGCATCAACCGATGGGATCTTGTAATACTTGGTGGCCATTTGTATAAACTGTGACACACTATTCTTTACCTCTTCATATTTATTCATTTTTACATATGCTTGTATTATTGATTCATATGCTAATCTTTCTTCCCTAAAGCGTAAATAAATAAATAAATTAATAAATATTCTATTTATACTTATTATTATTATTATTATTATTATTATTATTATTATTATTATTATTATTATTATTATTATTATTATTATTATTATTATTATTTACATACTTTGAACCTTGATGTATATTATTTAAAATGATTCTATGACAATCAACAGAAGATTGATAATCTCTTTGTTCTTCATGAACCTTTCCCTTTTCCGTGCATAGAGTGATGATTGATTTCTTCAAATCGTAGAATCGTTCAGTCTCTAGTTTGGACGCCTCGTTATTCTGTACAAATTTGACCAAGACATCGATGGCTTGTCCGAAAAGGTCAGTGATATGAGTGACACCTTCACCGTGTCCGCGATCATTGATTTGCAGTGCAAAGCGATTAATGTCAATGACTAGTTGCGAGTATGTCGTAAACGAGCCAACAGCCTTGCGTTGAAACGAACGGATAAACAATTTGATTGCACCTTCAAACTCGCCACGTTCAAGCGACGTCGATGCCAACAAATCCAAACATATGCACACTTCATTTGAATCGACACCATAGAGAACCTCACGAATCGACAATGACTCGCTACCATACTTGTACGACTCTTCAAACAAACCAACCTTTCTACAACAATCCGATAATATATACATAGTGTAACCACATATTGGTGAGTCTTTTTGTACTACCACATCCAAATCTGGTAAAAGTTTCTTTAATGATTCTACTTTGATTAAACTATGTTCATCTAAACATATTTTAATCACTACAATGTTATTAATCGAAGAATTGGTAAAAAAAGGTTAGAATTTTCCAGTCATACTTCCTCGCTGGTTGATATGAAAATTAAAAAATATGAGAGAAAGAAATGTTCATCATCATCATTCCTTAGCTTTAAAGAATAGTTTATAGTATTATGGTATAGTAATACTAAAACTAAATAACACCAATAATACTACTACTATTTTTGAATAAGATTATTATTATTATTTACCTTTTGTTATAATGTCGTTGAATTCATTCTTTGATTTGCCTGGTTTTTGAAACCTTTGATTTGTTTCAAGTGTCTTGTTTATAAAGATTTCAGACATCTCTCTCTCTCTCTCTCTCTATCCTTTTGTTTAAATAATGATGATTATGATGAGAGTTTGTCTTTGTGTTTGTATGTTACTATTACTATTACTATTACTATTACTTGATCAGTTGCTATACTACTAAATATTTATATGTATGATGATTATTATTATTAAATGTAATTGTATTAATTGTTGATGAAACTGTTTGATTGATTGATTGATTGATTAAAACTGTGTTTGTTGTTGTTGGTGGGGGGGTTTTTCTATTGCAACAACAACAATGGTGTGTTTGTTGACAAAAAAAGGGGGGAGAACTAGTAGTAGTAATTGCTTGAATTGCCTAATCAATCAAATTTGATACAATTAATTGAATGCAATGTAATGTGTCTTGGCAATGATGATGAACGGTGTTGAGATAATTGAGGGAGGCCTTTGCTGCAAGACTCCTTCTTGCTTGGATTCACACCCCCCGATTTTTATCAATTTTATTTTTGAGGGGTTTTTTGATCCGCGCCATCGATGATCCTTCACTGAAAAACAAGATCACAACAAAAAGAAAAGAAAATACCCTCCCCCATAGTTTTTATTTATTAGTTCTTTGTTTCTTTCTTTCTCTTTTGATTCTTTTTAAAAAAAGAAAAGAAATATAATTTATTTATTATTTACAACTATATATTTTGTAGGTTACTATGATCATATATATTGTGTGTTTTGGTGCACCAAATGCTCTATTGTTATTATTAATTATTATTATTATTATTGATTATTATATGATTGTTTTTAATCAGATTCTTGAAATCTCATTTTGAGATGATGATTATTTTTAACCAGTAGTACTTCGGGTACTTTTTGTAGTCGACCAAGATGGAATTCCTTGACACCTCCATAGAATTGTAAATGTGGATAGGTGAGCAATAGATTCTTAATCTTGAATTTAATATTATTTTTTACAAGTTTCTTATTGATGTCGTCAACCTTTTCTGGTACTCCTCCTGCTCCAACTTGATTCTTTTTAGTTTTTGCTTTAATATTGAATGCTAAAAATAAATAATAATGTTAATATTTATGATATATATATATATATATTGTCTCTATTTACCTTCATATAAAGCTAAATAACTTTTTTCGATTGGTAAATTTTTAGTTTGATGTAAAACTGTGTAAAGATTGAGTAGATTGATTTTGCTTGTATCTGTTTTAGTTTCCATCTTCATTCTATCAATGTCTGCGAGGTCTGGCCATAGACCAGCTTCTCTCAATTCTCTTTGTACTGGATCCTCGATAATTAATCTTGGTGAGTTTCCATCGACAGTGGTCGTCTTGGTGTTTCTCTTGTAGCAAACATAGTGTTGGTTGCAAAGGCCATAAACCTTTTCGGTAGAGTAATTGTGTGGATATTGTACGTTAAAGTGTGCACAGTGTTCCATGGTGAGACTGTGAACCTTGTTGTCTGAACTCTTTGGTCGAATAAATGAAATGGTCTCACAAATGTAACATGGCTTTGGTGGTGACGATGGTGGTTGTTGAGAAAAAGGCGAGGATGAAGAGGTCATGTTGTTGTTGGTGGTACTCGTAGTGCTAGTTGAAAAATGTTGGTCATCGGTATTTATCGATACAAGTGTTGGTAAATGTAAATCTCCATCATGATCATTCATATTTGTTTGTTGTTGTTGTTGTTGTTGTTGTTGAAATTGTTGTAATTGATCAAAAGATTGAATCTTTGGAATAATCATTGTTGTTGTTGTGGTTGTTGTTTGTGATGTTAGTGGTATTTGTTGTTGTTGTTGTTGTTGATCAGATGATTGTCTGGGAGTATTTGGTTGTCGTGTTGATGGTCTTGGAGATTTGATAGTATTATTATTATTGTTACTAGAGTTTGAAACTGCAACAATAAGAGGAGTTACTTTCTTTTTAGATGCCGATTCATTTTTAATTGCTTCGATGGTACTAGAGTCTACATTGATCAATGTCAAGTCATATTGATTCTTTGTAATCTTTCTCTTCATGGTCGAGTTCCAATGATTCTTGATGGCGCAGTTGGTACGACCTGGCAAGAGTTTGGAGATCTCTGCCCACTTGTTGCCGTGTTTGGCATGAGCCTCTAAAATAATTCTATCTTCGTTGAGCGTCCAGGCATCACGTTTGATGGTTGGATCCAATTGGTTGGACCAACGCTCACGACATTGACGACCGTTTCGAAGGGTGAGCAACGATGCAATGTATTTCCATTTTTTGGTTCCGTGGATATCGACCAAATTCTTAAGCAACTCATCTTCTTCCTTTGACCAGTGACCTTTGGACGATCCTCTTGGTGTTGAGGCGGGAGAGTTGGTTGTCATTACCTCTTCCTCTTCATCGTCGTCTTCATCATCATCATCTTCATCTTCTTCATCTTCATCACTTGTCTTGTCCATTTTCTCTTCCTCTTCTTCATCTTCATCGTCGTCGTCATCGTCTTGTTCGTCGTCGTCGCTATTATTATCGTTAACTGAATGATGATCATGATCCTTTGGTAGTAGTACAATGGCTTGTTGAGATGTTACCATAGTAGTAGGTGTTTGTGAAACAACTGGAGATATCAATTGTTGCATTGTAGTATCTTGTAGTTGTTGTTGTGGCATGATCATATGATTTGGTGGAGGCGGAAGAGAAGAGGTAATGTGAAGTGGTGATGATGACATTTGGTCGTTCCAATTAAACTGCAATTGCTGCATAAGATGTACTTGAGGGTCGGTTTGTATTTGGTTACAATAAGTACATTGCCATTGTTGACCGGAATGCGATACAACACAGACATGATGGAAGAGATGTGCACAAGAGTAACAGGCAATAGCTTGGTCGTTGGTAGTGACACTATTTCCACATCTTCCACATGGAGTGAGGATGGGAAGTGTTTGCATCTGTAGTGGTACACTGCCAGTTGACATGGCAGTAGATACAGCACCACCCATCGTATTTTGAAGATGATGTGCTAGTTGTCCGACCATATTCGTGTCATCGGCATTCAACTGAACTGGCGAACTCGTCATTGGACAATACTCATCCAACGATGAATTGGATGTATTATCAGACACACTAATTGGTTGGTATCCAAGGAATGATCCATTATTATTATTAATAATAGTTGGCTGTTGTTGTTGTTGTTGTTGTTGTAATGGTAATGATGGAGCAATCTGACCAGAATTGGATAAATAAGTAGCTGCAGGACAAATGTTGGAGGTAGTTGATTCAGAAAGAATCTGTTGATGTTGTTTTGGTGTTAGTGGTAGATTTGGTTGTTGTTGTTGATAAAACATTTGTTGTTGTTGCTGTGGAGTTAGTGGATCAGAGATGGTCATTGTAGTTGCCATCTTGTCTGTGATTTCACCAGAGGAATTGATGAGATTGAATTGTGCGCTGGTAAGGATACTGTTCATGGTGATTGGTGATGACGAGAGTGGTGAGGTGGCAGCTGAAGAGATACGAGGAGAGTTGAAGGCATTCGAGTCGGCAACCAACGATCCATCGACCATACGTGGTGTTCGGTTGTATTGTCGTGGCGATGTTTGTCCGCCTGCTGGGTAAGTGGGGAGCGATGAAATACCTGCTTTGATGGCCGATGGCGAGAGGGGGAGTTGATGTGAGTGCAGTTGTTGTTGTGGTGATGGCTTGGCCTTTGTGTTTCTTGGAGAATATGGCTTTTGTTTTGGTGTGGTCGATGCCGATCTTGGTGAACTGGCTCCTCCCGAAGATGACGTCGAATTACTATTCAGATTTGATAACGTATGAAGTGGTAATGGGTTGATCAAAATACGATTCTTTGTCATAATTTGTGATGTACCAGTATTACCACTATTATTGTTGTTATTGTTTGGAGAAGATGTAACATTGTTATTATTATTATTATTATTGCCAATTGAAAGTGATGAAGAATTGGGTGAAGTATTTTGTATCATCGTTGTTGGTGTTGATGCAATCTCCATCGCTGTATTATTATTATTATTACTATTAGAGAGTTGTTGTTGTGTAGGATTATTATTAACAATTTGTTGAGGATGTGAATAAAATAGAGGTGATGGAATTGGTGAAATCAATGGTTGTTGTTGAACATAATACCCAAATTGTGGCATTTGTTGTTGTTGTTGTTGAAGTATAGGTATATTTTGTTGTTGATGTTGTATGTTTTGATGTATAGGTATTGGTTGTTGTTGTTGTTGTTGATGGGAATTATCAATCATTGATGATGGTGCCAATGCATAGGTTGATGCCGAATTTGAAGTATATATAGAGGATGTAGTATTGTTATTGTTGTTGTTGTTATTGGTTGTAGTTGGATTCATAAACATTGATGGTGAAGGGACTGATGGCATTACATAGGAGGTATTTTGCATCATTCCTTGGGGCATTTGTTGTATTTGTTGCTGTGGTTGTATTTGGTGTTGATGATGTTGTTGTGGCATGTGAGATTGGCCATAATAGTTGTAAATTGGTTGTGGAGCTGTGGCTGTCAGCATTGGCTGGTAGAGTTGTGCCATAGCAGGACCGGTAGCATTATTAACAAGGTGTGGTTGCCCAATAAAGGTGGGATGATAAATATTATTATCGCTATACTCCATTATTTATTATATATCTTAGAAAAAAAAAAAAAGAAAAAAAAGAATTAATAATCATCATTCATCAATTCGTTTAGAAAGAGTTTGTGTACGCAACATACTTTTTGGTAATTACAATTTGCAAATATTAGAGTATTGGGATGGATTGGATTGATTGATTGATTGGTGATGGATGTGATGGATGTATACAAGAACTTATATAGTAGTAGTAGTAGTAATAGTAATAGTAATAGTAAAAGTAATGGAAGGATTAAGATAAAGTAAAGTAAAGTAATAAATTATGTGTATATTTTGGTTGGAGAGGGTGGTGGTTATATGATGATGAGTATATGAGGGTAAGGGTATTATATATGGTGAGAAGTGTAATATTACAGGCTATGATATTTAAAAAAAAGGGATTAAAAAAAGAGTAAGTATAAGATTCGACTGGAAAAATAGATAGATTGATTGATTGATAGATAGATTGATTGATATTAAATATTTTTATAATGAAGAAGAGATTGGAAAATTAAAACTACAAAAAAAGAGAAAACAATTAATTAATTATAAAAATGGATTTTAAAAAAAAAAATACAATTGTGTGACAATTATAAATAAGAGTGTGTAGCAGGCAAGCAAGCAAGAAAGCACAACACAACCAACCACAAACAAACAAGAAATGATGACTACTAAATTATTTTTATATAAATATTATTATTATTATTATTATTATTATTATTATTATTATTATTATTATTATTATTATTATTATTATGTGGACACCACTTTCCTAGGAATATATGAAGTGTAGTTGATGTTGATACCAATAATGTTGGCAACTAATGCGTGAAAATATTATATATAATGGCAGATGTGATCACACTCTTTTTCTCTCTCTCTTTCTTTCTTTCTTTGTCTGGGTGTGATCAGTGCCCCACCGCGTTGTTGTTGTTGTTGTTGTGTTGTAGATGGCGATGTTGTTGAGTGAATTTTAAAAAAAAAAAAAGGTAAACAACAATTGTATATTTGGTGAAGATCTTGTTTTGGTCTTTTATAGAGGAGGAGGAGCAGCACAACAGAGCAGAGCAAGCATACATTGCATAAATAATGATTTATGAATATTTAAATTAATTAGTTTTAGCTGCGTCTTGACAAGGATCAGCAACACAAATTTCCATCAGAAAACCAACAACAGAGAAGCAAGTAGTAGCAACACAAAAACACAAACTATGCAATCATGTGTTCTTGTTTGATGTGAGCTTGATTATGTGATGATTGTTGTACAACTCACACTCTTTTTCTCTACTTGTCAACACAGAGTAAGTGAGTGAGTGAATGACTCTACTTTTAAAAAGGATGGTGTGTGGTGTGGTATGGGTGGGCATAGATATTGGTGTGTAGTGATGATTAGGGGGGATTGACGGTTCTGAAACAGTGTGGTGGGTGGGTGGTAGTGTAGGAAATCTCACATTCAAGCACATATATGCAGTAGCGCACTCGCTAGCTTGGCTCACTCTGCCAATAATATTATTTGCAGAATGATGGTGTGGTGGTGGTGGTGGTGGTGGTGGTGACCGCCAACCAGCCAACCAGCCAACCAACTAACCAACCAACTTTTGTGCTTAAGATATATGGTGGAAAATGAATGTGTACATTGTTGTTGACCAGTACTGCTTGTGATTCAATCACGCGTAGGGAGGTTGTTCGTTACATATTATATGTATGTATGCATACACATGTTGTTTTGTTGTTATTGTCGTCGTCGTCGTCGCTGTTGCAACACACAGACACATAATTATATAATTGTAATATTATATTGCAATTTAAAGAAGAATTGTGATTGACAGTATTGGAATTTGACTCGGCTCATGAAGTATGATGAGTAGTAGTAGTAGTAGTAGTAGTGTGATTAAAAGGAGAAGGTGGTGGTCTGTTTTTCTTCTTTCTTCTTCTTCTTCTTCTTCTTCTGCTGCCTCTTTCAACTTTGATGATTTAAAGTTTGTGCTCTGCGATATCTCGGCGTTGTGATAACTACTACCTTGTACTCTTATAGTAGGTTGTAGAGCAGAGCAGAGGAGAGGAGAGGAGAGGAAGCAGAATGGGTGCTTGGTGGTTGGTCTAGTTGGTTGGATAGTTGGTTGGTGTACAGAGACTTTGTCCATTCGTTTACGACTGTCATCTATCTTGTCATCTATCACTATACTAGTATGATATGATATGATATGATATGATATGATATGATATGATATGATATGATATGATATGATATGATGGCTGTGTTCTTATTCTTCTTCTTGCTCGATTTTGTTTGGTTTTGGTTTATTTGAAACTTGACTGTGGGGAGGTCAAAAGAGTATAATCATTGTGCTACTCAAAACTAGAGAGAGAGAGAGAGAGAAGACAAGACAGACTACCATACATTATAATACTAATAATGAATGAATCTGATGATCACATGTGCACTACCTCTTCCTCTCTCTCTCTCTACTACAAACAATATTGGGATGAGATGGCAAATATATGAATGTATGTATGATTTTGATGATGATAGTGATGGTGGGTGGGTGGGTTGGTGGGTATGTGATGATTCTTGATCGGAAGTAGTCCTTATCCATCTTTCATCTCATCTTATCCTATCTATTCCTTATATATAACATATCTATCCTAACCTATCTTATCTATCTATCTATCATCTATTTATAATTACTTACATTATGTATTGTACAAATGAGCTAGCTAAAACAAATAATAATATGGAGTATTGATTGATTGATATGGTATTACCTCCTATTGTTTGGTTTAGTATTGTTGTTATTATATATAGATATAGGTATGACTAGATTATATAAATAAATAATATAAATAATTAAGTTGTTGTTGTTGTTGTTGTTGAAATAATGAAGATGATGAATATGAAAAAGAAGTATTTCTTTAAAGGTTAGTAGTATTCTTTAATTAGTAATTGTGTGGATGGATGAGATGTATGAAAACAACCAAGGAAGAAAGTAGGAGTAGGAGTAGGGAGGGAGGAAGTGCGAGCGGATAGGATAGTGTAGAGTAGTGGAATGGATGTGCTGCGTTTATTGTCGATTCGAGAGAGAGAAAAAGATAGAGAGGAATAAGGAGAATTTGATGATTGATCTCTTTGTGTATCTCTTTAGATGAGTATTCTTAAAAATAGTTTGAAAGAGAGAAAAAAGAACTTTAGCAGCCAAGAGGGAACCGTGATAATAGGTGGTGATTTGTGTTACTCTCTCACTCACTCTTTGCATCGAGAAACCTTATTGGGTGGGTGCCCCCATGTCAGTTAATGTCAACAAAGTTGTTGGTGTGTGAGTTAGTGTGAGTGTGTTGTTGACAATGGTGATGATAATGATGATTTCAGGAGGATCATATGATGAGTTCTGCCCCTTTTTAAAAGAGTGTGTGAGAGATCCAAAGATTGATTGATTGATTGATTGATGTCATCAAACATTGTTTGTGACGCAAGAGGAGGAGAGGTAATTAATGATTGGTTGGATAAAGATACTAACAATTATGATTATTATATTTTATATATATTATATATTATTCTGTTTTCTCTTTGCTGATATGATACTAGTACTAGTATAGGTGTGCAATGATCTCTTTTATTTTCTCTGTGTCTCTCTAGAGAGTGAGTAAATATATAAACAAATAATAATAATAATAGGGAAGAGGTGTGCTACTCAACAGACTGGCTTGCTAGCTAGTAGTAGAGAGTGAGTGACAGTGTTGCTCTACGAATATAGTACTCTCTATCCAGACATAAAGCAGGCAAATAATAATAATAATGACAATAATAATGGGTGGGAGAGGTAGTAGGTAGGGTGGGGGGGTAGGTAGTGCAGGGTATGGCGGTACTAATAGTGATCAAAAAGAAAACAAGAAGAATCTCACCGTTGTTGCTTGAGACAGAAAGTTTCCGCTGGCCCCACACAAAGCAGGGCACAGCCCCTCCTATCAACTATTTTTTTTTTTTTTTTTTTTTTTTTTCGCCATCACAATCGAGTTTTCTCAACTGACCAATGGCATTTCGAAAGTACAATAAAATAGAATTCACCAGAATGACCGTTAGGTTTCAATGGAGGAGAGAGGAGAAATGATTGGGTTGGATTTGGCTATCTATCTATGGGGTGTATAGAGTTATTTGGCTATGGATATGGGGTTTGTCTAAAACCGACCACATCACCTCTTGCATGGGTTTGGCCCTCTCAATCAAATCGACAACGAATTCTGTTTTTCGCGACGACTATTCGCTGCAAATCAAACGCGAGTCACAAGTCAACGAGCATGCCCCATTGAACCCAACCGACTCGTTAACTATAAAGAGTTATAATAGACTGCAAATAAAGAAAGAGAAGACTGTTCTGAGTTTTGGGTTCTAGTCTCTCACTTGGGAATTTATAATAACAAACAAATAGAAAAGGTAAATGAATGGTTGATCATTGCACCCTATGCAGCAAAGCAAGCAAAAGTCACACCATTCAATGAGTCACCAACCATAAATTTAGTGAACATCGCCAGCGCCTGTTGTCATCAATTTCGAAAATAGTCATAGACCAACTATTGGCGCCAACCAAATCCAGAATGCCGCAATAGGCATGGATGCGAGACGTGTTCTCCCGGCAAAAAGATAATCGAGATTGAATGTTCACAATCGACCAATCAAATCATTTGTTTTTTTTTTGAAAACGAAAAATGTAAAGATAAGAACTTATCAATTGGATGAATTCACAAGAGAGGGTGGATTTTCAACTTGAACATCTCAATCAGTCTAAATTCAAGGATCACTACACACCAATACCTTGTAATGATCACAGCCAAGGTAAAAACGTTGATATGTTGTACAAATGCGTCGTTTGTAATGAAATTAGAAATGGTACAACACCCAAGAACTTGGTACATAATTGCCAAGTAGCTTCTGATCAACCATCGACAAAGAAAGAATTTTATAATTCATTGTCGAAGTTTATCATTCAAAACAACCTCGCATTTCATGTCGTTGATGGAGACAGCCTGTGGATATTATTGGATGTGGTTAACAGGTATATAGGTGGCACAAATGGTTTGAGAATCACTTCTGTCACTATGAAAACAAAGATAAATGAGATATATTCCGATACCAAAACACATATTAGTGAATTGGTAAAGAATTTGCACAATATTACAATCACATTGGATGGATGGGAAGCAAACAACAATGATAGATTCTTGGGGATCACAGTCCATGGTCTTTTATTTGACATGACGCAAAAGGCTCATGTAAGTACTTATCCTCATAGAATCATGACTGTTTCTATTATACTAATAGTTTCTTATCCTCTCTAGAGATTTTATGCTACCCTTGGTTGTAATCATTTCACTAGCAACCACACTGCTGTCAACACTGTCGAAAAGATCAAACAAGTTGTGAAAGAATTCAATCTTGATCTTACTAAGGTAGACATGGTTGTAACAGACAACGCATCTGTTATGAACAAAACAAGGGAGTTGCTAATCGCTGACTTCCCCCAAGCCAAACATCAAGGTTGTCTTGCCCACTCCCATCAACTTATTGTTGGTGAGTTTCTAAAGCTCAAGCAAGTTGAAGATATCAAATCAATCTATTCTGGAATTTCCAAACACTTCAAGCACTCTGGGCTGGCATACGAATCTCTTTGGGGTATGACCAAGGAAGATGAACCATTGGTCAGATTTCCTAAACCTACCGTGGTTAGGTGGGGATCATGGTATGATAACCTTGAAAAATTGAAAAAGTCTATTCCTTCTTTGAATAGATATATTCAAAAGAAACAATTAGAACCAACAAAATCTCAAGGACTAGTCATTATCACACCTGCAATAGAGACTCAAATTGATCTCATATTGGGCCAATTAAAGACTGCAAGAGAAATAACAACCCAAATTCAGGGTCGATCAATTTCAGTCTCGGATGCTTTACCGTTCTTGAAGAGGCTAGAAGATAGTTTCTTTAAACATACCAAGTTAAATCAAAATGAATGAGATCTTACACCAACAAGATCAAAGTTTGACGAGGTATTCGCTCAATACAATACCAACTTTTATAAATTGGCACCACAATACGCACATACCTTTAGATGATGATATTGATGGCTTTATCCAAGAAATTAACCAGTGGCACATCAAGCGTGGCGTTTCTTTTGGCAACCAGCTCGAGAGAAACAATCATATTCGAGCTTGTCTGATTAGACTCAACTCAATTTCAGATGGTCGTGATTTTAAAGATAGACCTGATCCTCTTGACTGGTGGAACGATCAAAAGAACGCAAACTGGGTGGAACCACTCAAAGAATATGCACTATATGTCCTTGCCCTTTGTTGCACTTCAGTCGAGTCTGAGAGGCTGTTTTCGTTTGGTGGTAAAATAGTGAACAAATCAAGATCCTCCCTTTCGCCTTCAGCAACACATCAACTCTCTTTATGTAAATCAAATCAACACTTATGTATCTATGATCAATTTATACACAATAAACCTCCTTAACAGATCGTGTTCATTGACCCACACCAACTTTTTTTATATTTTTTTATTCATTTTTTCCAAAAGTACCTCACACCCACTATCTTTTGTTTGCAAAATTGGTTTTTTTTGCAATGAGTAATTTAATTTCTTTAAGTCAAACATCTACTATGGCAGTTACGGGTAGTAGTTGGAGTACAAGATTAAAATAAATAATAGAAAAGTTTTTTACAACAAACGAATGTCATTATTATATTCAGCACATATATATAGATATTATTGGTATAAGATAAAGTCAAAATGGAGGAATTAGCAAGCACAAAGCAAGATCAGAAACAGGTGTATGGAGAGATTTTAGGTGTTTTAACAGTCTTTTGGGAATGTAAATCAAGGCTAACATTACAAAAGGTCTTGGTGAGAGAACAAAAGGAGCGATTGGAAGCAGCTGTGATGCTTAGACTAGAGCACGGGGAGATTAGCAACAAAAATATTAGCTTCGTTTTGGGATTAGAAGAATATGAAGTATCAAGGGCACTAAAGAAGAAATCTATAGTACCTCGCCAAAAGACACTTACACAAGAGGAAGAGGAAAAGATAATAGCCAAGATCAAGATATCTATTCAGCAGAATAGACCTATGACAAAGACAGATGTCAAGATTTTGGCACTCAATCTCTGGAAAGAGCGAACGGGCACAAAGAGAGAAAAGATGCTGTCAGACTCTTGGTGGAGAGGTTTTAGATCGAGATACGTAGATCTCAAGCTTAGATATGTTCGCTCTCAAGATTATAAAAGGTGGTTCTGACGCATGGATCAAGGAAACTAGAGATTTCATAGTAAAACATGGTATCAAACAAGAAAATATATTCAACATTGATGAAAAGGGAGTTCTCTTCACAGATACTAAACAAAAGGTAACTATAGACAGTAGTGATTATACACATGCAATTGATTAGAGTTTACTAATAATTCAATGTCTTTGTCACAGGTTGTCATGTTTGTTTATAAAAATGCAAGGGAGACACTCAAACCAAAAGTTTTTAAACAAACTCAGTCCCAACACTTTACATTGGTAGGAGGAATAACAGGATTAGGTGGTAGTCTAAAGCCTTATTACGTTTTGCAGTTTCCAATCAAAAAGAATTGGTCCATTACTAGTAAAAATGAATATGGCTATCTGGAAGTTAATAAGAGTGGCTATGTAAGATGATTTTTTAAAAATTTTCTTTTTCTACAAAATCTAAATATTATAATTAATTAACACACTCTTGTCTATAACTAATCGTATATAGGTAGATGAGTCAATCAAGCTAGACTGTGTCCAATTTTTTGTTAAACAGCTGACAACACCTGGCGACAAGTTACTTTTGGTCGACAATCATGGAAGTAATTTTAGTCCTGAATTACTTCAATGGGCCAATGAAAACAAGGTTCACATTAAGAGCTTTCCATCCAATATGACACATATCTTACAACCTTTGGATCTTGTCATTTTTTCATCATTCTCTCAATCACTAAAGAATATGATACTAAAACAACTTCAAGACAAACCCAACTTTAAAATCGCACCCGAACACTACCAACAGTTTTCATACTTTGCATGGGTCGAAGCAACAAAGCCAACCAACGTAATGGCTGCTTGGAACAAGTCAGGTATCATTAATTGTTCGCCACTCTCACCACAAGATCAGGGATTGATACCAAAACCACCCAAGGCAACAAAAAAATCTTCAAAGGCTCTTGCTCTTGTTCAAACCACTTCTAATGCATTGGTAACGACAGATTCTTTACCACACAAGCAAAGATCAATGATGATGAGAGATAAGATGAGTACAGGCACTGTCTGGACCGACGACACAAATCGGTATGTTTAAACGATAACAACTACTACCCATTTTTTACTAACCTAATTTTCATTTAAATCAAAGAGACTTGGTTATTCATTATAAAAAAGAGACACGAAAGAGAAGACAGCCAAAAAAATCAGACCCTGGAGATGTTAACCTGAGCCAAGTTAACAATTATAACACCTTTAACCAAATTAATGTGGCTACCGGCGAAATGCGAGATGAAAATAATAGACCAGCTAAAAGAATAGCCTATGAAAGCAATACCAACTCATCATCCCAACTGTCAACCACTATTCAAAATCCTTCCTTGTCTCTTCCGTCAAATCCCTATTTAATAAATTCTTGCATTGAACTGTCTTCCCCCATATTCCCCATATAAATTGGGTCACCCCAAACTTTTTATTTTCCTCTTTGCAAAAAAAACCAATTTTGCAAACAAAAACAAGTGGGTATCAGGGTATGCAAACTTCCTGCGTACCTCAGCAATTTGAGGGTACCCTCAAAAAATATTATTATTTTATTAGAAGTTCGGTTTTTGAATTTTTTTTTCAACCCAAGGTATGCCGCGGTATGGGGTCACACCTTAAGGTACCGTTTTTATGGTTTGATTTGGGTTGCGATTATTATTTTATTATGACTTTTTTTTTTTTTTAATTATTATTATTATTAAATAAATATTATTGTCAACTAGGAATACAATGTTGTTGTGATTGATTGATTGTGTTTTTTGAATAAATTAAATAAATTAAATTAGTAAGGTGATTGGTTGGTTGGTTGGTTGGTTGGGTGATTAGTGATGACAGGTGGTTGGTTGGTTGGTGCGGTGATGTTTGGATTATCAATATATTATTAATTAGAGTAAAGATTTATCTCTCTTTTTTTGATCTTGTTTCCATTTTGGTAATTTTCTAAATTGATCAATGTCCATGGCAAATACTTTTGAAAATTCTTCATCTGTCAAATAACTCTCTAGTTTGAGTTGATCTAAATCTGATTTCCTTGATTTAACTTGTTCCAATGTTAATTGTTTGAAAAGTTCATCATTATTTATGCTGCTTTCCTGTTGTTGTTGTTGTTGTTGTTGTTGTTGTTGTTGTTGTTGTTGTTGTTGTTGTTGTTGTTGTTGTTCGTCAACAGTGACAGTGGAGGTGGGGGTAGTTGTCGAAGAAGAAGAAGATAGTGAATTGGAGTTGGTTGGTTGAGTTGTATTTGTTTGTTGTTGTTGTTTGTTAATGAGAGGACTATCTGGAGGTGTAACTTGAGTGGTTGGAGTAATTGAACCAGATGGACTATTTCTATTACTTGCACCATTAACTGATGTTTGTGGTGGTGATGAAACAACATCAATTGAAATGGTTGGTGTATCTGCTGCTGCTGCTGCTACTACTTGAGGAGTAGTAATCTTTTCTTCCTTTGTTGTAGTTACTGTCGTAGTAGTATCATCATCAACTTGTTTATCTTTACTACTCTTCTTTCCAAATAGACGTTTGAGTGTAGAATGTGATCGACCACGAGTTTCAGTTTCCGATGGCTTTTTAGTACCCACTTCAATGTCATCGACCGATGTTTTTCTTGATGTTGATTTCTTGCGTGATGTCGGTCTGTTGGCCTTGGAATTGGGTGACGTAGCAGTATCTGATACTACTGAATCAACATGATCATCTAGACCGACAACTGTGGTGGTGGTGGTGTTGGCAGTGGTACTTGTAGTTGAAAGAGTACTATCATTACTCTTTGATCTTTGAAGGTCTGATTCAGAGTCTGTATTTTCATTATCACTATCGGTCGCAGAGTGTGGAGCATTTGCTCCATTATTAGATCCTCTCATAAACCCAAAGAATGATGCAAATAGTGACTTGTTTTGGGCTTGTGGAGATGAAGTGTGATTGGCGGTGGTAGTGGCAGTGGTCGTGTTTTCTTTACTTGGTGATCCAACTGGTTGATCCAAACCACTTGTAGCGGTAGTGGTAGTACTAGTAGTACTCGTACTAGAAGTAAGATGACCATTTGGAGAAGATGGAGTGGAACCTGATCCAGACCCAGACCCAGAAGAAACAGATTTACTTTCATTTCTACGTTTAATAAGTTCCTTGTCTGCAGTTGGTTGTTGTAGATTGTCAGTTTCTTCTAGTGACTTTGGTTTGTTCAAGTGGAGTGGATTTGATTTGTTTTCTTTGGTTTGTATTTCCTTGTCGACCAATTCTTTTGAGAGTCGTTTGACGTGTTGACACCACTCTTCCTTTTCTTCGGGTGTCTTTGCCAGCAGACTGAGAGAGTGTTCAGGTGACTTGATTGAGAATTGGAGTGGATTGCCATTGACGCTAGACTCAACGGTACCGTTGGTCAACTCGATGGTACCATGATACTTGACCTTTTTATTGCTACCACCACCGATGATTTGTTTGACTGGACGACCATACACAACAATATCGTTAAAGAGGTAGATGACAACCTCATCCTTTTTAGTGTTGGTAAATGTATTGCATTGGATGTACTTTCGAGTGGGCACAAATAGTTGTGGTACCTTGCCCACCAAATTCGATTGAATCTCTGTGAATTTTTGAAAGTTTTCACCTTCACGTTTACGTTCGTTGAGGAAATGTGCTGTTTGTTTCATTTTTTCGGTGGCTTGGCACAGTGATTGGTAGTCTGGGTGGTCGGTCCAAGTACGTTTGACGAGATCGGCCAAGAGAAGGTTGTAACGCGGTACTCTTTGAATGGGCATAATGAGGAATGCTGTCAGGTCAAATCCACGACATATCGGGTTGGTAAAGCATTCCTGTAGTGCTTGTACAACCTTTTCCTTTTTTTTAACCTCGTCTATCGTCTGCAAAGCATTGTTGTAGTTTTGAATATACGAAGTGTATACCTTTAGGAAATCTGAAATCTCTAAAAAGATGTCACCCAATCTCGATATAGGACTCCAAGAATCCAATCTAACCTTTAACTTTTCAACCAATTTATTTCCAAATGCATGTATAATATGAATATCTGAAAAGATTGATTTAATTTGATCTTTTGTTAATAATTCATTTAATGATCCCATATATGTCTAAATATACAATTAAAAGAAATTAATTAATTAATACTCTGATCAGATAGAGTATATATATATATATGTTGGATATAATTTTTAACATACAGTAATACAAATATTTAATTTTAAAACATAATCCTTTTCAGTTTGGAAAATTTCTTGAATGATTTTATCTCTATATGCACAATCTCTCTCTTTACAAAATGGAGATGGATAAAATGTAATTAATAAAATGTGATATATATATTTAAATATTTAAATATAAATTTAAACATACTTAATTTATGATATAATCTTCTTGCTTTGAAACCTCTCCATATTTTTTGAAATGCAACTACACCTTTTTCAAATTTTATCACTTGAAAATAATAATAATAAATTAATAATTGTTGTTGGGTGGATATATATATATATATATATATATATATTATATTATTTTGTGTTTTTTTTTTGAACATACTATCCATTTGATTTCCAGATAATAAAGCCATTTGAGTTTTTAATACAACAGCACCTTTTCTTGAACCCTTTAATGCTTTGGCAGGTTCTTTAATTTGAACCAATAATGATTTTAATGTTATTAATTGTTCTCCAGTTGGCATTACAACTGGTGTCTAAAAAAGGGGGGGGGGGGGGGGGGTTAATCAATATAGTTGATATTTAATATTATTTCTTCTTTCATTACCTTTGGATCAATTGGTTTCATTGTAGTATGAAAACCTTTTGATTGAGCAATAGAAGCAAGTGAAGAAAGACATTCAACCACTTTAACCATATTCTCTCCATGCCATAAATCATTCAATTGGAATCTTTTATGTTTTGGTACACCCAATTCTTCCATTGCTTCTAAAAAAAAGATAATATTTTCTTGTAATTTAAAGTCCTAAAAATAATACAATATTGTATTAATAATCTATTCTATTCTATTCTCTCTCTCTAGTTTAGTTTGTGTTTTTACTTACAACAGTTGTACTTTCTTGAACTTTTGGAACACTGTCTGCCTGCAGGGAATTGGCCAAAAAACACAACACAATTCCACTCTTTAGGTTTAGTCGCAGATCACCTTTTAATTGAATCTGTAGGACAGACTCTATCCATTGTATTACATTTTGTTCTGTACGTAGATAACTCTTTACTCGTTCATCTGTTATTTGATTGTAGTTGATTGCCAATGCAAAGTTGGATTTGGTTCCTTTTAATGCTGGTCTACTCATCTCTCTCTCTCTCTCTCTCTTTTGATTGTTTTTTTTTTGTTTTAGAGTTAAGGGGGGGAGGGGGGAATGATGAATTAAGCAACTATAACTAATATATATATCTTGATTGATCTGATTGTTATCTATCTATTTATTATTTCTCCTCCTATTATTATTATTATTATTATTATTATTATTCTCTGTACACTGATTATTGATCAAAGTATTTTGTGAGGATGATGTTGATTCTCTCTCTCTCTCTTTCTTTCTTAATTACAGATGTATAAATCTCTTTATGATAATAAGACAACCTGTTGTTATAATAGTCTCTCACTCTTTCGCACAAAAAAACATACAATACACACACACAACACTATTTGGGGTTTTGTTTAAATCATTCAAAAATTGGATGGTGATGAGATCGTCCTGCGATTATAATTTTTCACAAGAAAAGAAATGGGTTTTGATCAAAAAAAACAAAGTTGTTGTGTTTGTGTACAACAATCACCCGATTGGGTGTGGTGGTGTACGATGGATGATCCATAGTCATCTTGACCATCCCAATTCGTCACCACTCAGTGTCTTTTACAACATTCGATGGTTATTATTATTAACCATTCCCCCGATCTTTTCAAGAGGATTTTCAAGATGTGCGAAACTAACAATCAAAAGTCGAATTGCAGATGCTACCCATTATTATTATTACTATGTACTATTTATATATCTATATTTATAATTTATCGAATTTTGTTTTTAAAGTGACTTTGCAATCTCATCGGCGTCAGTCTTTAAAACAGATGGTGGAACGACGGCAATGGAAGGAGATGAAGTGGATGGAGCGGCAACAGCAGCTGGAGCAGCAGTAGTTGTTGTTCTCTTTGGTACTGGACAAGTACCAGTCTTACAATCTGAAGTTGATGATGATGATGAAGAAGAAGAGGTTGAAGGGATAAATGATTTGGTATGACATGATCCAGTTGTAGTATTGTTGCAATCCTTGACTGATAAACCCAAACCAACACCAGCACCAAAAATCATACATGTTCCAATAAATTTAAGCTTGCTGGCTGTTGTTGATTGTATCATGATAATTATGACAATGATGATGATGATGATGATGATGAGGATGACGATGATAGTTAGTATAATAAACATATGATGTTGTGTCTCTCCCTTTTTCTCTCGTTATCTCTTCTCTCTCTCTCTATCTCTATCTTCTCTTTGTATATGATACAAACTAACTAATAATAAACCCAAAGGAGCCAAAGCACCGATAGTAGTCTTCTTTAATACATTTTCGACACATTGTTCAGTTCTTTCGATAAACTTTACATCATCCTTTGAACGAATGACAGGTGTCTTTTCTACAACCTTTTCAGCAGCAGTAGTTGGTGGTTTCTTATTATCTGACATCTTTGTCTTCTCTTTTAATCTCTATATATTTATGTGTTAAATTAATGCAAAGAGTGATGATCAATATGACCGTCAGACCAATGAAAAAAAAAAATAAAAATAATGAAAAAAAAATTGAACAAGCCCAATTCAAACCAAAACCTGGAGATAGATGCAATTGGATTGATTGATTGATTGATTGGACTTTTTGAATGGAATGGGATTGGTATTTATAATTTAATTTAATTAATTAATTATCATTTCTTCACAACTTTTTATTATTTCCATTTTTCGATATAATACTACTATACTTTCCTTTCTTTTGTTTTATTATTAAATGATTTGATTTCTCTTTTTCTTTTTTCCTTTTTTTTTTTTTTTATATATTATTATGAGAATGAATAAAGTGCTTTATGAAATCAGCCTTCTTTTTAACAATGGTAGCATCAGTTGATTGTTGTACTAGAGCTGAATTGGTTGGGGATGGTCTAAGGAGAACAGTTGAAAATACAATGGCTAGCTTGTCGGCAGAGAGAGAGTTTTGGTCGTGGTGTGACAAGACCTCTGTCAGGAATGAAATTAAATAGAAAAATACGTTGTAGTTTACAGATGGCAGGTGAGATACGAGAGTTTTACAGGAGAGAACGGCAGAGGAACCATCTAGTGCTTGTTGGTAGAGAGTGAATGGAATGACGGGGTCGCACAATGCTTCGAGGAAGCGAATGATTACCTCGGCCATCGAGTGATTGCTAAATGCTGGGAACGGTGTGCCAGTGTCGAGACACTCTTTGATCTGTTCAATCTCTTTAGAGACACCCGACACGATAAACAAGTTCTCTTCGGCCATACCGTTGTTTGAGTAGAGCGAGTCGACCATTCTCCACAGTTCCTTGGGTATCGATAGTTTCTTTTGTTCGACGGGCATGGGTTGGGTGCCGACGAGTGGACCTTGGTATCGCACGAGGTTCTCGAGGGTGTTGCCAAAACATGTTGGTTTCCAAGACCCCATAATCGAGATAAAGTAGTCTTTACCATTCTCGAGATGGAGGATGAGAATGTCGTCCATTGTTTCATTGGCCACATTGAATGCATACGAGGTGGTGCTGTCGACATAGACAGTCAACTCGATCGTAATCTTTTCCTTGGGCAACATGATCCCCGCAAACGGCGATATCTTGAGCCACGGCTTGCATAGAATCTTTTCGTTGAGTTTGGGGATAAACTTGAATCGCGCAATCACCTGACCGACATTTTCGAGCACAATCGTTCTCGTAACAGGTACCATAAACTTGACGCTCTCAAAGTCAATCAAATTAGTCGAAATGGTTGCGTCGGGCATACTGTCATTCTCCTTTTTATCGAGTTCTTTGACAATCTCTTGATAGATGCGATTCTTTACTTCGGGAATGACAGCTCTCACCTTGATGATAAACGATCCCGACACTGGACGATGGTCAGATGAAAGTAGCTCGTGACGACGATACGTCAAAATACCCACATTCTCAGCCGTCTTTGATGTCTTCCAGAGCACACGATCACACCATGCCGGTGTACGTTTCTTTTCGCTAGAGTCGTATACATCAGTGCCTGCATCGTATTTATAGGTTGGTGCAAAGCTAATTGGAGGTTCTTGGAATCCTTCAAATGCTGCACCCGATTTCATTTGTTGATACAATTGATCGTGTAAAAATAAACTATAAAAATCTTTCTTTTTAATCTTTTCCTTTACTTCTGCATCTGGTAAAGGTATACGATAATTTAAATCTCCTATCCAAAATAATTGACTGTAAAATAGAAACAGAAAAAAGTTAATAAATAAATAAATCAATAAATAAATTCTATCTCTTCTTTTTTCTTTTTTTTTCTTTTTTTCTATTTCTTACTCATGATCAAACATTGTAATAATATTATTATCTTCAACAACAAATTTAATATTTTTGGCGATATCTTTCATATCTTGATTTCTTCTAAGTATATTTTCGAGATGAGCATTGAGATGACTATTTAATATACAGATGGAAGTGTTGTAGAATTTGAAACGAATAGCAACACCACCCTTATTTCCCATCATACCCATGATACCGACGGTTGCAATATCACTTCTTTCCATTGTTATATGTTGACGATGTTCCTTTTTGACATAGACACATAGCAGGATACCCACTAGTTGTCTACTCATAATCTTTACGTATTCATTTGAAATGGATTCCAATATTTTCTGTTCCCATGGCAGTGATCGAGTAGTGTCACCAAGCAAGAGTGCTTCTGCAGTCAAATCCAGCTCTTGGAATCCAATTGCATATATATCTGGTTGAAGAGGCATGGCAGGATCACATAACCATGGATCCAATGGTTCCTGTGGTTTCTTGCCATTGACATTCCACGTTCCCAAAAAGATGGTCATGTTTTTCTTTTCCGTATATAAGTGTTCTCTCTCTTTGAGTTTGTTTGCAATCCATTGTCCGTTGACATCAACCGATCTATATGAACCGTCAGGTATACCTTGTTTATGATGTGATAATCCTGCCAATGATTCATTCACTGATGCATTTGATACTCCTACATCTAAATGAAGGAGGAGGAGGAAGAGGAGGAGGATTAAAAAAAAAAAAACAAAAAAGTTAATAAATGTTATGATGTTGTCTCCTCTTGTTTGTATCATTTTTTTTGTTTTTACCTTCTTGGTCATTGGTAGCTCCACCACTACTGACAGTTGATGGTGCAGCATTAGTTGTAGCTGTAGTAGCTGCAGCAGTTGTAGCTGTAGTTGTAGTAGAGGTGGTCGAAGTAGAAGTTGTTGTTATAACTGGTGGGACGATATTATTGTTATCTGTACTATCCATGACATGAATATATATATATATTGTATGATGCTATTCCTTTGCTGTTGTTGTTGTTGTTGTTGTTGTTGTTGTTGTTGTTGTTGTTGTTCGTTGTTGTTAATATATTGTTGCTATTATTTGTTATTGTTGATCAGAAATATCAAATAGTATAGTATTACAGTATAGTATAACAAAGAAGTTGTTGTTGAACAATCACTCTTGATTTACTCGTTGTTGTAGTTGTTGTTGTTGTACTATTTATCTATTCCTCTTGTTTCAATATATGTATAATGAATGAATGATACCACTCCTATTAAAAGTGATATACTACACAAATAATAAGAGAGAGAGAGGGAGAGAGAGAAGGGTATGAAAATTAAATGATTGCAATGTAATAACTTTTACTTTTACTGCCGACCCAGTTGGTGAGGTAGGTCATAGTGACAAAAAAAAAAAATAAAAAAAAAAAGAAAAATCGCTGGAATCATTATAGATCAATCAACCAATTTTATATATATATTATTAATATAAACAATAATATTTATAACTAGTTTAATTTATCTAAAAATTTCAAAATGTATTTTTAGAAATCAAAAAAAAAAATAACATAGTTTTTTGTGAAATAATAATAAAAAAAATGACCAATTAATACAGATATTTGTTATCATTGAAAGATTGGAACTTTTAAAAAATATTGGATATGTTCCCCTTTTATATAAAAATATATATTAACACCAAATTTTTGATTAATATAATAATAATACGGCACCCTGTAATATTCTTTTTATTTTTTCCTTTTCTTTTTGCAATGACAGCTCTGCACCGATTAATTTCAATAGTTTTGTGTCGTAACATAGTAACAAGTAGATTGATATTCAATTATGTATATCGGTTGAATAGATATCAACTAGATTGTATTTATTATCCTCACTATAGATTGGATAACTATGACTTTGTGAAAGATGACTTCAAATATTTCGCAAGAGAGACACTATACAGAAAACCATACAACATCAAACACATAGCATTGGATAGAATAACACCGTCGAGTGCAAAGAATAGTATTCAATCGTATCGATGGTTGGATGGCATCAAAGATAATATCTATCTGCAAGCTAGATTCGGTTTCAAATCAACTCTTATCGATAGTTTGTTGAAATTGGAGCAACAATATAGTCGTTATATTTGGTTTGATAAAAAGAATAATGATAATCTTCAACAACAACAACAACAACAACAAGAAAGTGGTGATAATAATAATAATTATAATAATAATAATAATGATAAAGTGGAGAAGATTGGATTTGTACCAAATCTATTCAAGATAATAGAGAATGCATGTATTGGTGAACGAGTAGATATAGTTGAATACATCTATCACAGATACCATCGACACCTTCCAGAGGTAATAATGTACATCTATCAATCATCGATCATTCACGGACCACTGAAATCATTTCTGTTCATCTATCACCTTCATCCCGATCAATCATACATTCGAGAGATAACCAACTATGCAAGATTTATCGATCAAGATGTATTGTTGTATTGTTTATCTAATTTTGGTATACCTTCTTTTGGTGATCAACAAGGAGTATATAGATACAAACACCAACCTCCTAGTTGGTATTATACATCACCTAGTTATGATGTTGATAATATTAAAATATCTGATATCATCATTGATACTTGTCAATCTCTTCATAATAATAATAATTATAATGATATTTACAACATTGACACATATCGAGTGGATGTTGTTCAATATTTACACAGCATTGGAAAGTCTAATTTTTGGGCAGTCCGTGACGCAGCAAAACTAAATAACTTTGAAACATACAAATACCTAAATTCTGTTCATCGAGAACAGGTCTGTGACTCACTCGACACGATATTTCCATTTATAACACTCGAGTGTTTTAAAATAGTATTGGAAGCTCATTTAAAAGATTCAATCCGACCCAGTTTAATTGGTAATTCCATCCCAAAAGAATTTATCAAGAATATAATATCAAGATAGATCTATTGGAATATCTAATCAATCAATTTCCAAGACACCCATTCTATTTCGATCTTTGGCAATCAGTTCGTGCTCAAGATCACTCGATGGAGATTGCTAAACTTTTAATATCAAATTTCGAATTTAATAATAATATAAATAATAATAATAATAATAATAATAATCATAATCAAAATAATAACAATAATATAAATGATCTTCATTTCATAATAGATTGGGCTCGGATTAACTTTAAGGATTTCAACAAAGAAACAATGATCTATTTATTAAAAAAAGCAATAGAATACAAATCAATTGGAATATCAATATACAACCCATTAGAAGAGGAAAGGATATATTTGAAAAGGGGCTGATATCGAAATGATAGAATTAATTTATCAACTATTTCCTTCTCCTCCTTGTGTTTGGAAACATATATCAAAATGCATCAACTCGGTGGAAATGTATCATTGGTTCAAGAGTCATGATATAAAGTTGAATGGTTGGTAAACAATGCACTGAGATCACACAACAAAGAGATGATTCAGTTTTTATTTGCGCCAGATATACAAAATGTACATTGTGATACAAATACTTCAAATTGCTACTTTGCAAGATTTGTCCAAGACAAGGAACCCAAATTGGAAGATGTAACATTTTTCTATCAAATACTTTTCAAATGTTATAAATACAACTATAATGCACCTCTCGAACCAAATCAACAAGAATATGCAGACACTGCCGATCAAATAATAGCAAGAACAATCATTTTAAAAAGTTGGATAGAATATTTCTACACACACTTTCAATACGATACATTGAAATATCTTTTGGATCAACTACACATTATAGATAGAAATATCTATCTCGGATATATCATATGGCGTTTGCCATTGTATGAACATCTATCATTGGTACCATACCTCGCTGATGAATATATATCGAGTTCAGAGGCAAGGAAAGAAGGTGTTCCATATAATGATCATTTTAAGTCGGTAGTTGGCAAAGATAATAATCCTTTTGAAGGCCGACATTTAACGAGTAAGGATGAAATGGAAAGAGATCATCCAATGAAGAACTTTAATACCAACAAAACATCAATAATTGACAACAAATACAAAGATCAAGTCGTGCTACTTCATGATTCAATAGTCAGACAAATCAAAACAGAATACTTTATCAAATCACATTGTACCAAAGATAATGATCACAAAGATATGTTGGATAGTATTATTTGGCAATACGAGGATGGATATCCATTTGAAAACAGTCACAAACGATCATTACAACATGGATACTTGTTAGATTCTATCGATACAACACAACAACACCAACAAACAACAACAACAACAATGATGATCAATATGAATTGACCAACGATCTTTTAAAAGGACTATTCTTTAAAAGTTTAGCATATTCCAATCACATCTATAACCTATTGAGTAATAATAAGTAATAATAATGATAATAAACTATAAAACTTGCAACAATATTTCATATTATTGCTTATAATATTATTCTATTCTCCTAGTTATTAATCCCTATAGCTTTGAAGTTAAATTTTCAATACTTTGTCAAATTGGATATCTTTACTTTTCCTAACTAGTTTGTCATTCAATAGAATCTGAGGGTAGAAAAGATAACCATGACAAAGAATACCCCAATGAGGTACATATTGTTGATAGTCTCCATAAGGGTACTGGTTAACATTTACTTGAATTGTTTGAAGATTAAATGTATTTGTATCATTAGCAGTGTCACCTTTTATCTCTTCTCCTTCCTCTCTCTAATCCAAATCGATTTACCATTCTTTGATATATCTTCTTTTTCCTGTTCTTTGATTAGATCTAGGAATGTTCAAGTATTTCATTACTTATTCTTGATGGATGATTACCCAATAATTCTTTTTTAATTTTAGAAAGAAATATTAATACTATCTGTATCACCCTATAATTATCTGAATAAAGTAAAGTAAAGTAAAGTAAAGTGGCTTGTCTCTCTGCTCTGTGCAGACTAAAGTTGCGAAATAAAAAATTATTATTTATTATTATTTTATTATTATAATTATAATTATTATTAAAATTGTTATGGTTACTACTGTCAACTATTTTGTTTATTATTATTATTAATTGGATTAATAGTATTATTATTAAAATTTGTTGAAATGGTGAAATGTTTATAGGTTTCAAGATCATTTTGAATCGATTGTGTCTTTGAATTGAATAGATCGATGGTTTCACTACCGAGGAATAGGTGGAGAGGTGGAGAGGGTTGTTTCGATATGTCGATAAGTATGTTCATTGCCTTTTCAGGGTCACCTGGGAACTCCCAGTTTGGTATGTTGTTGATTGCCTCTTGCACGTTGCTATAGACACTTGGAGGTGCATCATCCTTGGTCTTTGTGACACAAGTAGAACTCTTTAGCGATGTTAAAAAGTATCCTGGTTTGACACAGGTTACGTATACACCGAGTGGTTTCATCTCGAGGTACAATGATTCACTAACTGCTTCCATTGCAAATTTAGTGGCACTGTATGGTGAACTGCCAGCCGACAGATTCAATATACCAGCAATCGATGATATATTGTATACTCTAGATCCATATCTACTAGATTTCGTATACTCTCTTAGATGAGGTAATGTCGCTCTCAATACATTCAACATACCAAAGAAATTAATATCAAATATCTTTCTATATTCATCGTCACTTGTTTCTTCCTAAATATGAATTATAGGTGGTTAGGGAGGGTTAGTCAGATGATGATGATGATGATGATGATGATGATGATGATGATGATGATGATGATGATGATGTTGATGATTGCTATTTTAAGTTATAACTTGGGTTACATACAACTGAACCAATATGAAGATAACCAGCATTATTTACAACTACATCTAATCTACCAAATTGTTGGATGGTTTGTGATACCGATGATGCTACCGATGCTTCATTACCAAGGTCTACTTCAACAATCAATAGTTGGTTATTGATAATGTCATCAGTAATTGGTGATAGTAGAGTGGTTTGATGATCATTTTGAATCTTTTCTTTGAGTGATTGACTGTTACGAGTGGTGACTGCGACACAATCACCTTGTCTTAGTAATAGTCTTGTCAAAACATATCCAAATCCTGTTGATCCTCCTGTTATATACCATACTCTTTTATCACTCATTCTTCTCTCTATTTTCTGATATAGTTTTAAATGTGAAGATGAACAGCAGTAAGGACCTGTCATAATTGAATTAATTTAACAATTGTGTGTTGCTGCGACTTCATTTTCGAATTGTTTGGTGGAAGGTGTTCTATGGAAGAATATAACAAATTCTTCCTGAATGAATGAAGTCCATCATATAGTATATTACAACAAATATCTTTCTCTTGAATTTTGTTAATGACGACCAACATCCAAACAGCGCTGTTGATCGACCAATCCTGTGATCAAGATCTAATTCTAATAATAGCAATGTGGCGCCTTGGATTTTTTCTTTCGGCTTGACTTTTGACCTCTTCAAAGAGTTTGTAGGTCATTCACTCTAGTCAATGAAAATGAAGATAATAACATCGAGTATTGTAGTATTACTACTTGTCTGCCTGTCGTCATTTGTACATTCAGAGGAATGTAAAAATGCATACAATGAATATGTTTGTGTAGAGATTGATCAATTTTGTGGAAACTCAACCTCAACAATCAATTATAATTGGTAAGTAGTATTAAAAGAGATAGATGAATGATTTATTAATTGACTCTTCTCTCTCTCTCTCTCTCTATAGTAAATACGGATTATATTGTGATGATGAAACATCAACATGTCAGAGAACAGTTGCACTTAATGGTAGTTGTACTACATCGGAACAATGTTCTAGTCAATACGAATGTTATGACGGTGAATGCATAGAGATTGATTATCTTCAATTTGGTGAAACTTGTAAAGAGTCATTTGAATGCAATGGAAAGTTGGAATGCAATAATGGTACATGTACAAACATTTATGGTTTAAACAATTGTACATTTAATAGTGATTGTCCATACGAACAATATTGTTTGTCTGGCAAGTGTGCTGTTCGTACTGCTGATGGATCAACATGCACAGACACATTACAGTGTATGCCACAATCATCTTGTTTCAATGCAACTGTTGGTGTAGATACACCGATATGCAAACCATTCTATTCACAAGCACTCGATTCACCATGCAGCCTCGATATGGAGTGTGACGAATCATTGGGTCTAAAGTGTATCAACGATACCTGTCAAATAGACCCAATTCAACTCAGCCCGGCCAGCTTTAATTGCAATTCCACTGCATCGGTCGCTCAAAATGAAACTTGTTTCTACTATGAAATGTGTGTTTGTTCGGCCGAGGCTACAGCCACATGTCAAGTGCAATCACCAGTCACTACAGACCAAGTCAAAAAGTGTGGTGCCCCCTCCAAGGCTCATTACCAATGCATGGCCACCAACAAGTGTCTTTCTACAGGACAGATGCCATCATCTTGCGAAATTTCAAAGTGTGGTCAAACCTATTGTGATCTCAAAGTTAATTGCGATCAATATTCACTCTTTTACTCCTCTCCGTCATGTAGCGGAGAACCAAACTCATATCCAAACTATATTGCTCAAATGTGTATCGAACTTGGATATGGATATGGTAATTTTACACCTCCAGCATCGTCTATTGCCAATTCTCTCTCCTCATCTATTACAATTAAATTAACTTTTGTACTATTCTCATTAATAGTATTCTTACTTTAAAAAATAAATAAAATCAATTAATTAAATAATTTATATTTATTAAGCAGCATTCAACATTGCAATTGGATTGGACCAGGTTCTAGGGGAAAATAGATATTGATGTGAAAGTGGGTGCATGGTGGCATGGATGATTTCAGTTTCATCCAATTTCTTTCCATCTGGAGAACATAATTTAAAGTTTAAAAGAATATTGGTTATTGCCAACCATACTTCATCCATTGCTATATGCATTCCCATACATGCTCCTTTTATAAAATTAAACAGGATTAGATTTTAATATTTTAAAACAAAAATTCTTTGTATAAAACATACTTGGTCCTGATCCAAATGGAACAAATAAATCATGATTTAAATCTTGTTTCAAGAATCTATCAGGGTCAAATGAATTTGGATTATCATATTCTTGGTTTCTATGAATTCCATAATTATTTGCTAAAATGATTGCCTATATATATTAATATTAAATAATAATATTTAAAATTAGAATAAATTATATTGAATTTTAATTTTTCTAGATTTACATTTTTTGGTATAAAATAATCTTGAATTAAAATATCATCATTTGCTTTTTTAAAGAAAGGTCCAAGTGGAGTTATTTGTTTAAATCTAAGTACTTCTTTGATTAAAGCATGTATATAAGGAGTTGATGATTTATGACCAAGATTTGCAGTGGTTCCACCATTTCCAATCACACTTTTAATTTCATTATAAGCTTTTTCTTGTACGTCTGGGTGATTCACCATTAACAACATCCACCATTCCAATAAAGATGATGAAGTTTCAGTTCCAGCTACCAATAATTCAAAACAAACATTAATGACTACCTTTTCATCGAAACCACCCATTATTAAAACATCCATAATATCTCTACTATTTTCGCTATCAAATGTCTCTACATGATGTTTATAAAATACTTCAATTTCTTTTCTAATCTTGTCACCATCCCAAACTGATTTTTTAAAAAGTAATGGATAGTATATTGATCCAAGCCAATGAAACATATCATATATTTGACGATACATTAAATTGGCAACAAGATTATCAATTGGTGTAATAATCTTTGCCATTAATCCTTGGCTTACATCCTCATCATACCCAATTTCTTGTGAAAATGCTAATTTTAAAATAACATTTATAGTATATTTTTTTATAAATAATCTTGGTTCAAACTTGAAATAAAAAAAAATATTAATAAAAATGATTGATATTATCTCTTATTTCTTTTCTAAATTTAGTTACGGGTTGATTATTTTTTGATAAAACATTTAATTTTTCAATTAAATGATTTGATTGAATTTCCAAGGTAGAGTTTAATAATTTTAATTTTGATCTCGTAAAATTAATGGTAAGATAATCTTTAATTGGTTTCCATTGTTTTTTATTTCCAAATATAAGTCCATCGATTCCTCTTGTTACAAAACCAATTGATTTTAAATCAGCTCTATCAAAATAATCAAAATATTTGTTATATATTTTCTTAAATAATTTTGGATCTGATATTACTATTGTTAAATTATCACCCATCTAAATAAAAGATTAATGGTTAATCAAAATAATTCATTCTATCTTTTTATAAGTTCATACCCAAATTTTAAAAACCTTTCCATATTTTTCGGATAAGTTTGTTAAAGATAAATGAGGTGATAATGGATTGATCTTGTATAAACCACCAATGATTGGAAGTGATATTGGTCCATCAGGATCATGAGTACTATATTTTGTATTTTTTCTTATAAAAGAAAAAAGAAAGATTGATAATAGAAAATAAAAAAATAAAGAAATATAGTTTACATCTAGCATGCTGGTGGAAATCTAAATGAAGACAGTTTCATACCATGCATAAACTATAAAAAGGAATTCGTATTATCCAAAAAAGGAAAAAGAATTTACTCACACCACATCAAATTCACTTGAAAAAAAAAAACAATCCACACCAACTAATGTTTGATTGGTGGATTGAAACAAAAGTGTAGATCACACAACAAATATTTATTTATTTATTATTTCCACCATTTTTATGGGGATGTGAGAGATGGCAGTACTTCTGGTTTTGGTTCGATAGAGTAGGATTGATGAAACAGTAGATTGTCGAGTTGATCATCAAAGAATGGCATTTCATATAGGAATTGAAGTACATTGCTATTTGGAGGATAGTTGTAGCCTAGTTGCTGATATTGTTGAATTTCACGTATTACACCAAATATTAATTCTCTCTTTTTAAAATTAATCAATTCTCTAATTGTATTTACATTTCCTTCTTCAATCTACGATTTTGACAAAAAAAAACAAAACATATAATTAGAACCTAATATTATTATTATTATTATATTACTCTTTTTTTTTTAACTTACAAAAGTTAAATCTTGAAGATGAATTCCTAAATAGGGAATAAGTGGAGGAGTACAATTGCGAATAGTATCGCGATATGCTTTGTAAGATCTCTTGTTGTCAGATAGTCTACGTAAATGCTCTAGTCGTTTACAATATTTGGAAGGAAGTAATGCTTTGGTTTTTGATAGTCTGTGTACTGGTTGTCTATCCAATCCAGAGAAACAAGCAAACAAACCGTTAAAGTTGGACATGGCATAGAGTGCTTTGGCGAGCTTGATAAATTTAATCATCATCTTTACACGCACTTTAATGTCGACTTCTCTGAGAATAGACCATGCAATAAAAGCACTGAGCGAATTGAATCGATTGGTCATCTCGACGACATTGGGACTCTTGTCTTTGAGATCTTGCTTTCTCCACTGTTGATCCAACAACTCGACCGATTGCATCGACTGGAAGTTATGGAAATCCAACAAGGTTATTTGTTGTGCCATCTCATCAACGTCGAGTGACAAGACATACTCTGTAGAATACTTCATCCAAAATATCTTTGGTTTTGGTCTTGTCTGTTGCGCAGAATTGGAACGTGGTGGAAATACAAGACGTAGAGGTTCTTGAAAGTTGAATCGTTTGAGTATCATATCTGAAATCTTTCCATGACCGTTTTTTCTTGTTGCCGTGACAAACAGATTCATCGTTTGAATCATATCTGCTGTGAAATCCTTTGGTTTGTGAGTTACCCACATCTTTAATACATTTAATACACGTAATTGAATGGGAAGTTGGATTCTATTTCTATAGGCATACGGTGGATACTCTCCAAAATTTGGTATATAATATCTCATTATTAATTTTTCCAATAATAATTCTGCTCTTGTAAATGATTGATATGTTGATATAAATGTTTTTACAAAATTTAATTCTAAAATATTAAATAAAAGTTAATAAATATAGTTTAATTGTTTTCTAAATATTTGTATAATTGTTATACATTACCAGTATTAAATTCATTTGTTAATTTAATAACCAATTGATTTAAAGTTGCCAATTTAATAGGTTTAAAATGAATATTTAAATTATTACTTGTATTATTATTAATATTATTATTACTACTATTATTATTATTGATTGTTGGACTATTTGGTGTACTATTACTATTATTACTATTACTACTATTACTACTATTAATATTATTATTTTGTTGATTATAAATAGTACCAATTGATGAAGTCAAAGTATTATTATTAGTTGTTTGATTACTTTTTATAGCATTAATTTCTTCATAGATAACATTTGCACCTTCTTCTTTACGTTCCATCCAAATTGATTTATCAACTTGAGATGCCATTTTTTGAGGGTATGATTGTAAAAACAATAAGACATTTTGTTGAATGGATAGTTCTGGAAGATTTAAACTACCAGTTGACATGGTACCATTGAAAAAGGTATGTGATCGGGTAACTACATTGTTTAGACTTTCCATTGATGAAAATTGTCTTATCTGCTTGAGAGCATGATTGACATTATTACACGATCTTGTATTCTCCAAATTGTTTAATAGACTATTTCCAATTTCATCAAAGGTTGTAGCAAATGATTGATCTCCACTTGTAGAAAATCCAGAAGTATCTGCAAATGTTTCATCTCCACTTTCAATTAGCGAGTCGCTTCTATCTTGTGTAGGTGGTAGAAGAGTGATTGGTTGTGGTGCAGTCGATGAAGTTGGAGTGATAGAAGATGAGGAGGATGAATTGATACTTTGTCCACCGGCATTACAGTTGTCAGCAGCAGTTGCTGGATACGATAGATGATTTAATAACTCCATTGTATGATTGAGTTGTTCACCAGTACTTATTCTATTGATAACATGGTGTTCGATAATAGGTGAATCACAAACAATATAATTTGAAGGTAATAATGGTCTTTTCTTTAGTGGTAGATGACCTCCTCTCATTGTCATACTTTGTTGTTGTTGTTGTTGTTGTGTTTGTTGTTGTTGTTGATGTTGCATTAATTTAATTGGTGAAAGGTTAGCTATTAAATTGCCGGTACTTGCAAACGGACCTTTTCTACGAGACATGGTCGGTGAATCAATGGCAGAGGTGGCTCTAGGACTAGACATGCTTCCACTGCCACCTGTAGCAGCAAAAGGAGGAGGAGGACTAGTACACAATGGGGGTGGTGGAGTTACCATGAGTAATCGAGCAATTGAAGTAATATATTCCAACAGTCTAGACACCATATCAATATAGTTTCTCTCTCCTCCTTTGAAAATTCTCTTGACCACACCTAAAATGGCACTTGACAGCTCGTTGATTTCAGATGCACATCTTGCACTCTCCCCACCACCATTAATATTCATACCAGATGTATACTCTCTACACAAATGTGATAGTGATATACACTTGTCATGAACATTTGAGTCTTGTAATATAGATTCAACTTTTTCAGTAAATTGATATGGTGGTGGTGATTGTTGTACAACTGGTTCACAGCTACCAGAACCAGTTGGACTAGTAGAAGAGGAAGAAGAGGAAGAAGAAGAATAATAAGAGGATAGTGGAATGGGAAGTTGTTTGAGGAATGTCATCAACTCTTTGATACGATTAACAATATCAATGTAGAGAGTATTTTGATCTTGATAAATAAATGATGAAGAGATGGATGGTGGTGGAGATGATGCAACTGAATAGGATGATCTTTGGTGATGGTGGTGATGGTGATGGTGATAGCCATATGCAGATGGAGTCGTACTTCCATCCAATGTACTGGTTGGAGATGATTCAGTTGCAGCAGCAATATAGTCTCTTAGACATTCTACACTTCCACGTTTATCATCTATTCCATTGATTCTATGTGGTGATTGTTCAACAACAACCAGAGGTGGTAGAGATTGTGTTGATGGTGGTGGTAATATTTGTTGTTGATGTCTTGGAGAGGGAGGTGACAATTGACAAGGAGATGATGTAGTAGATGATTGTTGATCAACAATGAAACATGTTGGAGTGGTTGTAATGGAATTGTCATTTAACACTAATGACAATGATGAAGATGATGGAGATGGTGAATGTTCCCAAAAGAATATCGATATGATCCTCTTAAAATGATTATAATGTTTACCTTGATCAAATAATGTATAAACTATTAAACAAAAAATAAACTAATAAGTACAATGTATAAAATATATTCTATTTGATTACATACTATTATCAACACTTATAGTATTATTATTTATAGTTGAAATGAATCTATCAACTTCATTTAAAATAAAAGATTGAATGGTATCATTGTTGAAATGATTAAGTCTCGATACAATGTGATTACATTCCTTTTCGAGTAATTGAACGGTATCTTTATAATCATCAAGTGTACTTGCAATGATTCTATGTAATTGACTTGGTGATGTTGATCTATGTTTTAGTGTATTTTGTTGTTGTTGACGACCTTGTTGTTGTTGATTTACTTGTTGTTGATGATTTACTTGTTGTTGATTTATTTGTTGTTGAAGAGGAGGTAAGATGTGAATACATTGTTGATAGAGAAAATTAAACTTCTTGTCAATAGTCTCTATGATATTTAGTATTGACTTTGAATTGAATTTATCTTGTTCGACGACTATGTCTTGTTGAAGGAGGAATGATGGATTGATGAAATGGTCGATTGTCTTGTCCAATGTATTGATGATCAAGTCCCCGCCAGGACTTGTTGAAGATGTTTGTGTTAGACTATCATCAATCTTTTGATGTCTCATCATGAGAGCACCTAGATTATTATTACTACGTGCATTTGTCAATTGTTGTTGACTATTGTTATTATTATTATTATTATTGTTATTATTATTATTATTAGTAATTACTGATGGTTTATGATTCACCAGAATATATATATTATCAGTACTACATGACAGCACTGATTGTTGTCGATGTATTATTCTATCATTCTTTGATAAAGTGAATGTCTTGATGATGAATGAGAAAAAAAAAAAATAAAAAATAAGTAATGGAGGCAACAACGACTTTGCTTCATGTCTAATCTAGCATTACATATTGTATTCATACCTTTCCAGTTGACAATTTAATTTGACATTTATCATTTTGATAAATAGATTCATCTATCTTTGTAATTAACCATTTCATCATTTCATGTTCCTGTTCTGCATTATCATCAACTATATCAAATATAGTTTTTTCAATATCCAACAATAATATTGTATTTTCCATTTTCTCTGTTTTAATAGTTTGTTGGAATAATATTATTATTTTGTAATTATTATTATTATTATACTTATTATTTTGTAATTATTATTATTATTATACTTATTATTATTATTATTATTATTATTATTATTATTGGAGTCTGTATTGTCTAAAGATCTATTATTTATTATAGTTATTAGTTGTATAATTATTATTATTAATATTCCTAGATGAAAAGTTGGGAAATTACAATTTAATGATAATTATTATTATTATTATTATTATTGTTAATATTATTGATCAACTCTTTTTGTATTTATCAAGCTTATCAGATATCACTCCAGACTTGCCAATTATTCTTGTCTCACTATGTTAATATTAATATTATTATTATTATTATTTGTTATTATTAATTTGATTATTTGGGTTGATTGATATTTAATACTGCAACCGTTACGTTTTTTCACTGGTGGTAGTGGTAGTAGAGGAATGAGAAAGAGGGGGGGGGGGGGGTGGTACAAGTATGAATTATGATATTTTTTATTTGATATGATATGAAAGAATATCCCAGTAAAGGTAATGATTGAATTTGGATGGGTTTGGATGATGCAAAGGGGGTAAAAGAGTGTGATTGATGAAAGAGGTAGATAAAAGATGATGTTTTTGCAAATTAATAGATATATTTAAATCATCCTATTGTTATTGGATAAATGTAGGTTGTTGTTGTGTTATTAATGCTAATTGGATGATATTAAAATATATATTTGTTTGTTTGTTTGCCTATATTTTATTTTTGATATGAATATTATTATTATTATTTCTATTTGGTTCTATATGATGATGATGATGGATGGCAGTGGCAGAGAGTGAGAAAGAGAGATGGTTGCTCAACTAGTAGTATTAATACCAACATGTAGCTACTATTATTACTCTTGTTGGTGATAATAATAATAATATTAATTTAAAATTTAAATGAATTGTTTGGTCGGAGCAAATAAGAGGAAAAAGTGTATGTTGTGTTGGTGATGGATGAGAATGGTAGTATAAAAGGGAGGGTGAGTTGAGTTGGTAGCAGGAAAGAGTGGTTGATGGAATGTCATCCTTTTAATCCTCCAACAAATGTTTCTTTTTTTTTTTAAACACCACTCAGTGGTGAAGTGTATGTACTAAAAAACCCCTCCACCCTCATCAATCAATCAATCAATCAAAAAAAACCACCACAAACAATGTTAAACACGTGATGTGGTTCTGTTGATGGGTGTTTATCTGTTAGTTCAGTTATATCAATCAATCAATCAATCAATCAATCCCAAACCTTAAAGTGAGAGTTTGTGAATGTAGTGTTTACCTACACTAAAATATTTCCTAATCAAAGCAACTCCACATCACCATCATCATCATCATAATCATCATCATTATATCAACATCATCCAATTTAAATATTGGTTCAAATCTCATCTCATTCCATATAGTAGCATGGAGCCTGTTCCCCCCCCTACCCAAAGAGATTACATCTATTTTTCCATATGGTGGTTTGTCTGTAGTAGTAGTAGTAGTAGTATATGTCTACAAACATACTTCTACTACTACCACTACTACTACTACTGTTGATTTTTGTTAGATGCTAGATGTTTTTAGCTTTGAACTAATTAGTTCTGATGATCTTGATCCATGGAAGGTTAGGTTAAATCGATTTAACCTAGTTCCTATTTTTAAAAATAACCAAAATTGGAACATGATACCCCCCATGTTATTATCAACCAATCAATATTTGGATTTTTAAATAAACATTCTAGTTTCAAAATATTAATAGAAAAATAAAATTGTTAAAGTAAACTATTGATTTAGAAATTTTTTTAAATTTTATTTTGTTTTCTTTTTTTTAGTTGCAAGTTTAAAAGTAAAATTGATTGGTTGGTTACTAAGCTTAGTATTTTTTATAGATATGAGTAGTATTGTGTGTTAAGAGTATTTGTTACTATAGTTATTGATTTGATTGTGATTCTTGTATTATTATTATTATTATTATTATTATTATTATTATATTGATAAAAGGTTTCTTGATATTGTTGGTTGGAAAAAAAAAATTATTATTGGTAACTCGATCACCCATCATCTTTATAAAGTGGTAGTGGCTATAGTAGAGGCTGTTGAGGCAGTGGTCGAGACGGCAGCGGTTGCAGTGGTTACTGCGGCAGTGGTAGTGACTGTAGTAGAGGCTGTTGTGGCAGTGGTCGAGACGGCAATACCGGTTGTGGTGGTGGTGGTTGGGGCTGCGGTGGTTGTACCGGTTGTGGTGGTGGTGGTTGGTGCTGCGGTGGTGGTTAGTCCGGCAGTGGTAGTGACTGTAGTAGAGGCTGTTGTGGCAGTGGTCGAGACGGCAGCGGTTGCAGTGGTTACTGCGGCAGTGGTAGTGGCTGTAGTAGACGCTGTTGTGGCAGTGGTCGAGACGGCAATACCAGTTGTGGTGGTGGTGGTTGGGGCACCAGTGGTGGTGGTAGTTGGGGCACCAGTGGTGGTGGTAGTTGGGGCACCAGTGGTGGTGGTAGTTGGGGCACCAGTGGTGGTGGTAGTTGGGGCACCAGTGGTGGTGGTAGTTGGGGCACCAGTGGTGGTGGTAGTTGGGGCACCAGTTGTTGTGGTGGTTGGAGCACCAGTGGTGGTGGTGGTTGGAGCACCAGTTGTTGTGGTGGTTGGAGCACCAGTTGTTGTGGTGGTTGGAGCACCGGTAGTAGTTGGGGCACCAGTTGTTGTGGTGGTTGGAGCACCAGTGGTGGTGGTGGTTGGAGCACCAGTTGTTGTGGTGGTTGGAGCACCAGTTGTTGTGGTGGTTGGAGCACCAGTTGTTGTGGTGGTTGGAGCACCAGTGGTGGTGGTGGTTGGAGCACCAGTTGTTGTGGTGGTTGGAGCACCAGTGGTGGTGGTGGTTGGAGCACCAGTAGTTGTGGTGGTTGGGACTGCGGTAGTAGCGCCGGTTGTAGTAGTTGTAGTGGTAGCAGAGCCATCAGTAGTGGTACCAGTGGTAGTGGTAGTGGTTGGGGCTGCGGTAGTGCTGGTAGTTGGTGGAACACCTGTGGTTAGTTGGGCAGTGGTCGAGGCAGTTGTACTAGCAGTGGTAGCAGTGGTCGAGATGGGACCAAGGGTCTGTGGCGAGGTGGTGGTGGCCGTGGTAGTGGCAGTGGTAGTGGCGGTGGTAGTGGCAGTGGTGGTAATACGCGCTGTCATGGGAGTAGTCACACCAGTGGTAGCAGTAGTACTAGCAGTGGTCGTGGCAGTGGTACTGGCAGTGGTTGTAATTGGACCAAATCCAATGGTGCCAAAAGTGGTAGTACCGAGGGACGAGGCAGTTGTGGTGGCAGTGGTAGTGGCGGTGGTGGTGCAGGTAGTAGTGGCCAAAGTGGAGCCAGAGGTGGTGATAGCGTCACATCTCTTGGGTACGCAGTGGGCAGACAATGGACAACACTTGGTACCGACACATGGGGTGACTTGACCATAGACACACTCGAGACCCTTGCTTTCACATCTGAGATCGCGACATGTAAAGTTTCTTGGATGGTGTTCCTTGAAGCCGTGGGTGGGTACACCGCACTTGCCCCAGACTTCGTAGACCTTGTGGTCCTTGAGGTCGATGACGCACTCTGGGTGTCTCTTGTGAACGTTCTCGGTACAGACTCCCTTGACTTCGCCGCAACAGCCCTTCAAGATGGTCCATGAACAACGGTGGTCAGACCAGCATTGATCCTTGTGGTGGTGATACGAGCATCCGTGGACTGGAGGTGGCTTGTTGTCGTGAACACAGGTTGGGAGGTTTTGGAGAATCTCGCAGTGGTGCTTGGGTGGGCAGTTGACGCCGTTGCACGATGGGCCGTTGGTGGGTGGTGGAGTTGGGTGGGTAATGGGTGTGCAGACTGGAACGTTTTGTTGCATGTTGCAATAGTAGCCTGGTGGGCATTGGGTGTTGCCACAGTTAGTATTGCCTCCCGACGATCCAGATGGTGGGTGACAGACTGGGTATCCTTGTTCCATGGTGCAATAGTATCCGTGTGGACATTGGGTGTTGCCACAGTGAGTATTGCCTCCCGACGATCCAGATGGTGGGTGACAGACTGGGTATCCTTGTTCCATGGTGCAATAGTATCCGTGTGGACATTGGGTGTTGCCACAGTTAGTATTGCCTCCCGACGATCCAGATGGTGGGTGACAGACTGGGTATCCTTGTTCCATGGTGCAAGAGTATCCGTGTGGACAACCGGCATTGGAGCATGTTTGTTCTTGACCTCCATGTGGGATACATACTGGAATACCAGACATCATTTGACAGGTGTTGTATGGTGGACATTTAATGGTGTAACATGAACGTTCACCACCCGATGTCGATGATGCACTGGTACCTCCAAAGGTGGATGATGCAGTGGTTGTTGATCCTCCACTTGATCCTCCACTTGTTGATCCTCCACTTGATCCTCCAGTTGAACCGGCTAAAGTTAATTAAAAAAAAAAAGAAAAAAAAAATTTTGAATCAATTAATATTTGTGATGATATACTATATATTGTTTTGTTTTTTTGTAAAAAAAGAGGATACTTACTACAAGCAGCATAAACTGGACAACATGAAGTTTGGGAACATGGAGCGGTATCAACCCATTGACATTGACCCAATCCCTTTTCCTCGCATTTCAAGTCGGCACAAGTGGCATTCTTTGGATAGTAGGTTTCCCAGCCTCCACTCTTTGGACGACAACTGTTCCAGAATTCGGCAGTGTCTCCGTGGTGGTTCTTCATACAACCCAAATTGGCGGCACAGTTATTATTGCTGGTACAATAATACTTTTGTTGACCACAACATGATTTGTAACTCAGATATACACAGTTATTTCCGGCATTACAGCTTTGTTCATCTGCACAACTATCACAATCTATAGAAAGCAAAAAAAAAGAAAAAAAAGAAAAAGAAAAAAAAAAAAATAGATTAATTTTATCTTGTTTGTTGGAGAATGAAACAATTTTTGTTTAATAACATACCAAATGAGTTATCTGCTCTGGACAAGCTTAATGAAACTATTAGTACTAGTAGTAATAAGGAAATACGCATTCCCATTTTATTATTATTATTTTTACTTGATGTTGCAGTAGATTTATTATTTTCCCAATTATTATTATTATTTGATTATTATTATTCTGTTAGTTATTATTATTATAATATATTTTCCTTTGTTATTCCTTTTTTATCTTGTATATAAATTTATATATATATATCTCTCTCAAAAGTTGTATAATTTAATAATGAATTTTAGAATGATGATTAAATAATCCTACTAGTAGTTTTGGTTATTGATAATAATGTAATAATGAAAAATATAATACTGATTTATGATGATTGATGATGATGATGATGTTGGATAAACACTGATTGATATCAATCCAGCATTCATCCAAATTAAATTAAAAAAGGAATTAAGAGGAGGGAATAGAGGAGTGAGTGAGTGAGTGAGTGAGTGAGTGAGTACTATACTACTACTATACTACTACTTGTATTGGATTCATTTCCAACAGCAACAGCAACAACAATCGAGTGAGAGAGGAATGGATGAATGCATTGGATACATTGCAATGCAACAATATCCACTACGAACGATCATAACATCTGATGGTACCCCCACCATATTGTTGCAGTTGTTGTTGTTGTTGTTGTTGTTATCGATATCATTGTTGTTGTTGTTGTTGTTGAGAGCAACAGCAAAGCAACCAAAAATATTATTTGTATAATGAAATGAATGGAATCCTCCTTGTTACTCTTCTTCTTAGTGATTAGTGTACTCTGTATAGTGAGTGCGTGGTACAATGCAATTGCAGCAGATATATATTGGCAGTGGGGGTTTATACATTTTCATCTGAAACCCCCCGTTGCATCTATATCTCACAGACACCACACATACAATACCTTTTGATCATCAACACCACTGTGTGTGTGTTCCATCACATTACCATTGTCTTTCTAATTTATGGTTTTCATATGCAGCATCAATTGAAAAAGTAGTGTGATCGATGGTGTGTGTATACGGTGAGCAGTTTGATTGATTGCAATGTTCGGGTATGTTCACACCTCCCCTATGAAAAAACAACAAATAAAAAATATATTTTTTAAAAATAGCACAAGGAGAGAAAAGGAATTTGGTTGTGTTAATTACTTGTATGTTTGTTTCATTGTTTTTTTGGCAGATTTACAAATAAACAAATGAATGGTTGGTGGTTTGTGGGCGGTTCATATGCAATTTCATTCTATTTAACTCACACTCACTCTTACCTTTATCACTATAATCTTCTTGTTTGATGATGTTTATTGTTTGTTGATGCTGTGGGTCACAACCGGTTCACTCCTCTCTTCCTTCCTACACCCATTGCATTAATCATCGAATGTTACCATCACAACGAGAAGAATGAAAATACGAAGAGAGAGAGAGAGAGAGAGAGAGAGAGAGAGAGAGAGAGAGAGAGAGAGAGAGAGAGAGAGAGAGAGAGAGAGAGAGAGAGAAAGAAAGAGAGAAGGAGAGATTTACAACCACCAACACACATCTATCAATATATGAGTATTTTGGAACAACGATGAATCATATTCAAAAAAAAAAAAAAGATAGAGATAGATACAATATTAGGGTGGGATATATATATATATATAAATATAATGAGTCCAAAGAAGTTTATATGGTTTGGAAAGAATATGAAAAATTGGAACTCCTCCTACTATTCTTTCTCTGATTTTTCATTTAATCTTCCAGTTTCAGTCTTGCCAATTCCATTCATTCTTCATATAGTAGTAGTTGTAGTGTATTTTTGTGGTTTACAGTGTGATACAAAAGGTTGTAATTAAAAACCTTATCATCCAGAATAAAAATTAATTATCTAATAAATATATTTCTCATATACTGATAAACAATAATAGATCTACAAATTTAAAAAAGACTGGTAAATAAATAACCATTTCCAGAAATCGACTGAAACAAAAAAAAAAAAAAGAAATGTATACTTTTGGGGGTTTGCTCAAATTCATGATACAAAAAATTTAATTAATTATATAATAACACGCAAGCATACATACAGAGAGCAGAGATATCTTTGTATAAATCTATCTATCCTATCCTTATCCTAGACAATCACAATTTTAATAAAGGATTGTAACAACACACTACAACACGCTACAACACAATTATATTTTATTTACCAAGAGATAGATATAGATATAGAAAGAAAGAGATGAACAACAAGATTATCTGTATTTTAATATTTGCTCTATTAGCAATTGCATTCACATCGGCTGTATGTTGATAGATAGGATAGATTGATTAGTCTAATAACAGCAACACAACAAAAGATACTAATATCATCTGTTTATAATACTATATAACAATATATATATATATAGCAAGGAAACTGGTGTTCAACAAACTGTAAAACACCATGTGTAGGAGATAGTGGAGTATGTTGCGGTGGTGATGTTGCAGATCAAGAGACTGGTGAAAAGTCAATGATATGCGAGACCTATTGTTTGCCAAAGGGATACACATGCTGTGGATGCAATTATCAAGGTGGTATTTGGACTTGTGGTGGATGTCCACAAGGTAGCTCTTGTAAACTAATGAATTCAACTATACCTTCACCAACTATTCAAATGGGTGGTTACTATTGCGAAAGATCTTCCTTTGAAAAATTATTACCTTCTATTATCCTTTCAATCTCTTTGGTTTTATTGGCAATCATCTTACAATAAGTTGAAATAGATAAATAATAATAATAAGATATATAATAACAATGGACACTCACATAATAATAATATCAACAAAAATAATAACAGTCAATCTATTTATTTATACGCTTCCCAATAACAAACACAACCAACCAAACTCCAAACAAACAAACAAACAAACAAACGCCCAAGTACTAACAAATAATAAGTAATAATAATAAGTAATTATTATTATTATTATTTACACACAATGCAATAGATTGAAAAGTTTAAAGACTAAGGTATTAATTATTTAAATAAATGGCCTTTTCTTTTTTTTTGAAAATGATCTCTTTGAGAATTGATTTGTTCGTGTTCATTGTTTCAACTAAATTTATATATTTTATATTCTAATCGAAAGAGATAACAAACTATATAGAATGTCTAGTAAAGCATCACAAACACCACTTACAAATGAACAAATAGTAGCTCAATACAAAGAGATGAAGCAACAACAACAAGCTATCATCACAAAGTTGTCTGAAATCGAATCAGATGCAAGCGAATATAGGTGAATATTGGATTGATTGATCGAGATGATATGATCCATATAAAAAAACTAACTAGTTGTATCATCAAACATATCATTATAGTTTGGTTATTAGTGCGATTGAAAACCTTGAACCATCAAGAAAGTGTTTTAGAATGGTTGGAGGTGTTTTGGTAGAAAGAACTGTTGGAGAAGTATTGCCATCTGTAAAAGCAAATAGAGACGGAGTATATATCGAGATTATCATTACACACACACACTATCACATCTATCTATATGTATCTAGTTTTAGTACTAATGTTTTAAATCAATCAATCAATTATAGATTAAAGATGTTGTAAAGAAGCTTGAAGAACAATTACAACAACAAACTAAAGAATTAACAAACTACGCTACCAAATATAATATTAAATTCCAACCTTCCTCTTAATCGAATAAATATCAACCATAATAATAATAATAATGAAAAGCAACAAACAGAAAAGAAAGAAGAAGAAAGAAGGTCTTCTTCTTTATACATGACGATAATACAAAGTGAATCAATTTATTCAGTCATCTTCATCAAGAAAACAATCAAATTTAGTTGGTGGAGATGATAATGGTGGATGAGAATGTTGATTCGTATGATGATGGTTCATTGGATTGATACTGTTGGTGCTGTTGTTGGTAGTGTTTTGATTGGCGTTGACGTTGTTATTGTTGTTGGAAGTATTTAAAAGAGAGATTCCTAGCGATCTTAATAATCCTCTTTGACAATTATTGGTGTGTAGACAAAAGATACAACCAATTTCATCCATGGCAGCACCCATCATTTCATCCTTGTCCTTTTGGTCACCACAGTTTGGACATTGTGGTTGATTGATTGCATTTTCAACAATCTCTTCAAATTTATCAAATATGTCACTACATGCTCCTGTTCCACCTTCATTACTATCAATCAAGTAGATTGATTCATCATCTTGTTGTTGGTTGTTCTTTTCATTTAATTTTAAACTTGCATTACTTCTTCCAAATGTATCTGTATCGGGATTAGAGTTGTGGTTGTGACTTTGGTTGTTATTAGAGATAAATTCTTCTACATCATTTTTTGAAAATAATAAAATGTTTGAAGAGGATACTAATATTTGATGAACAATGGTATGAAGAGAAGTCATGTTTGCACCCAATGTAACCAATTCTTCCTTGTTTTTTTCATATTCTTTACGTTCCATTGTCAAACTACATTGCATTTGAACAGTCACTGTTTCCAAAGTTTTATCATACAATCTTTTCAACATCATTCCACCACCACCACCATTGATCTTGTTATTATTATTATTATTATTGTTGTTATTATTATTAAATGTGAATGAGAATTGAATACAAGGAGCATCATAGTGAATTTCATAAGGTTTTTCAAAAGTAATTCTGTCACTTTCAGATAGAGCCATTGATTTTTGATCAGATTGATTTGACTGGTGGTAGTGTGGATTTGGAGTATACAATTTCTTTTCATAACCATAAACAGATGTACTATAAGTTGCCAATCCAAATACCAGTTGTAATGAAATGTTTTGGTTGATATTGGTAGCAATTGTTTTTGATTTTAGAATATTCTTGATTGTAATTCTATTTGATTTTAATGGCGAAACTATTGTTTTCTTGAATCCACCTCCACCGCTGCTATTATTATTATTGTTGTTGTATTGATTATTTCTACTGTTACCAAAATTTGAAGAAAAGTTATTTTCAAATTGATTTCTAAATGGTTTGACATAGGCAATTGATTTATCCAAATCTAAACTTGTAACTTCATATGTCATTGTTGAATCACCATTGTGTGAAACAAATATATTTCCAGGAAAGAGACGAGTTATAGCTTGTTGTTTGGAAACTTGTTCCAAATAACTATCCTTTTTAGAGTTTTCAATCATCACTCTCACATTTTCATTTGATACTCCACTTCCACCTCTGAACGAAAAATTTGAATGAGCACGTTCATTTGATTTCCAAACATTAACTTTTATATTTTCAATTGTCAATGTTGATTGATATATTTTCTTTTCATTTATCAATTCATTTAATACATTTTTTGCTAAAATCAAATAAATAAATAAAAAAATTAATATTGGTTTGTTAATTTGTTTTTTTTAATGGTATACCATTAACACCAAAATATTGATCAAGATAATAATAAATATTATCATTTGAATGAATTGGAATTCCAATCTCTGATGCAGCACATCTAAAAATTAATTAGTATTAGTATTACTTGGTTTAATTTTTATATTTTTTTTACATACAAAATATGATGAGATAATAAAGTAGGGAAATCACCATTGAAAGATAAAGATTCAATATTATTATCATTCAATAGAGATTTAAAGTTTTCAGAATAAAATTTATCGATTGGACTATAAGATAGTGGAACATAGATAACCATACCCATTTTTGAACGACCTACTCTACCAATACGTTGTTTCCAACTCATTTTTGAACCTGGGTATCCAATAACCATACATGCATCCAATTGTGAAATATCTACACCAGCTTCCAAAGCATTGGTAGAAATAATGACTCTAGTCTGACCAGTTTGCAATTGATTGATCGTTTCTTGTTTAATGTTGGATGTAATCGATGAATAGTATGCTTTGACATATTTAGAGGATGCACTGTATTTACCATCCGATTGGATAGTCTGAATCAAAGAGTTTACACTCTTTATACTATTACAAAAAACAATACCCTTTATATTGTTTGCAACCCATTGATGAATGACCATGGCAACAGTTGAATTTAAAGAATCTATTGGTTTCAATTTTAAAAATACTTTTCCATGTGATCCTGATCCATTTTTATCGATTACTTTAATATTATCATCACTAAATTAGAAATAAATATTAATATAATTTTATCTGGATGATAATTTATGAATAATATTTACCCAATTAATTTAAAAGCCATTTGTTTTGGATTACCAATTGTAGCAGATGCCAACATAAATTGAAGTGTTGGTTTGATTTGTTGATCCATATTTAAAATATTGTGATAATTTTGTAATCTTCTAATTAAATTGACAAAATGACATCCCATTACACCAGTATATGTATGTGCTTCATCGAGTACTATAAATTTCAACTTTGATACCCAATTTCTCCATCCTGACCATTGTCCACTACCTCCTCTAAATAACTAAAATTAAAGTAAATATATAGAATGTATATATATAGTATCTCTCTCGCTCTCTACTCTCTCTATCTTACTTGATAATGTAACCAATCAGGATTTGTTAAAATAATATCAGGAAGAGATGATGGTTTATCAAATAATCTTTGAACTGTTTCTTTTGGAGTATCACCATTGATGGATTGAATTGATAGTCTAAAAGATGGATCAATATTTTGATTGAGACTAGTAATAGATTGTAGTTGATTGATTGCCAATGCATTGAGGGGAAAGAGAAAGAGGGCAGTATTTGCTTTTTGACCTTTAATCTTTCTAGAGATGATTTGTTCGAAAATGGGTAATGTCAAACATAATGACTTTCCACTAGATGTTGGTGTAGTCACAATGATATGGTTTCCTTGACTGATTGCAGCTCTTGATTCCAATTGATGACTGTACAATGTTTTATATTTCATCTTTGAGAGTGCATCAAAGAGTGGTTGTGGTAGATCTGGTGGCAAAGGGAAATACTCTGCTTGGTATCCTTCTTGACTATAGATATCCGATACATTCTCTTGTAATGCCATTGTAATGGCTCTGAATGGTTTGTTTGTACCAACATTACTTTCAATATCTTGCATTGTAATCTCCTTTTTAACATTTTGGTTTCTTGCTTTTGGTTTGATGATTCCTTTGGCTTCTTGTACAAATTTTTCAAATTGATCATTAAATAATTTTCCTTTTACTCCTCCTCCTCCTCCTCCTTGTTGACTATTACTATTGCTTTGTTGACTATTATTAAAACTTGAATTATTATTATTATTATTTTTAGGATGATCTTGACTTGAAATAAAAGGTATATCATTTATACTTTTATAAATTTTTGTTGGTGAAATATTATTAGAGTTATTATTATTATTATTATTATTATTATTAGTATTTTGTTGATTCTTATTTACATTATTATTGTTATTATTAACTTGAATATTAGTGATATTGTTTTTATAATTATTATTATTGAAATTATTTACAGAATTATTATTATTATTATTATTATTATTGTGGTAATTATTAGTCGTATTATTATTATGTGAATTATTATTATTATTTGTATTTTGTAAAGGAAAGTCATCATCAGCAAAATCAAATTCAAAATCATCGTCTATTGGAGGAGGAGGGGGAGGAGAATGAACAGTTGTAGTTGTAGTTGATGATTTTGGTTTGATGATGACAGGATTACTAAAATTTGAAGATTTTGGGTTGATCATTGGATTATTAAAAGTAGTACTATCATTGTCAAGTTTCTTCTTTTTCCAATCTGGTTCATTTGTATTGGTACTCTTTTTAGTGATTGTCAATGTTGCTGTTGTTGGTAGAGATGGGGTACGAGTAGGAGCAGGAACAGGAACAGGAACAGGAACAGGTTGTTGAGTTTTGGTTGAAGTATTCACAAATGACAATGGTTTAGTTGTTGTAGAATTATTATTATTAGTTGGAGTATTTGATTTGTAGTTGTTTTGCTTGTATGGTGACGTTCCAGAAGTATTATTATTATGATTATGATTATTATGGTTGTTGCTACTACCACCAAATGTACCAAACATATTCATTACTTGTTGTCTCATATTTGTATCTAATCCATTGATCAATTCTTGATTACTCATTAATCTCTTGTTTTGGTTTGGATTGATTGGTGGTGGTGGTTGGTGTTGTTGATTTAAAGTTGTTGCTTTAGGTGGAGGTGGAGGTTTATTGTTGTTCATATTACTACCACCTCCACTCGCATTTTGTTTGCTCCACATACTCATCAATCTAATCTAATCTAATCTAATCTACCCGAAAGATATGATCGATTGTATGTAGGTAGCCAGGGATTAGGGAATATCGATCGATATAGAGAGATAATAGATTATACTATAGATTGACACGTAAAATAATAATCATTGAATCTCTGTCGAGAGAAAGTCATTTCATGAGCTCAAGAAATTGTTTCGTGGAAATTTTAAGTAAAAATTATATCTATATATTTTAGATAATTATAAACCTTCATTAATGATCGATGAAGTGAAGAGAAGAGAGAGAGTGAGTTCAACTAACTTACTTACTTTATTCAAATAGAAATACAATACAACAAAGAAAGATAAAAAGAAATAATATTATTATTATTTATTTCGCAGCGATGGATAATTTAGCAAAGCATCAAGGACTTGTCGCAGCAGCTGCATCGGTCATCTTGACAACTTCAATCATACTTTATAAATATTTAAAGACAAATAAAAGTAATAATAATAGTAACAATAATAATAATAATAATAATCAACAACAACAACAAGGAGAAGAAGAAGAAGGAGTAACAAAGTTCCCAGAAGATTGGAATGATTTATTGAAAGCATGTTATTTAGAGTCATATGGTGATACAATCACTTCACTTGCAAATGATTTAAAGAATTTAAAAGATTATTTGGAGTCTTTTCAATCATCTTCTTCATCATCCTCTTCATCTTTAGCATCATTTGAATCAAATATAATTTATAAAGATAATAACAAATGGAATGCATTTCATGTCATTACATCAAAGGGAAACCAACCAATACTTGAACTATTACTCGAACATGTAATAACTTGTTCAAATACAATTAAAAATGAAATAGAATTATTATTATTAGTTCAAAATAATAATAGTAATAGTAATAATAATAATAATAATTTACAACAAAAAAAGTTAATTAAATTAGAACAATTACTTGATAAATTAAAAGAATTATTAAATGGTGTAAATGATAAAGGGTATACACCACTTCATATTGCATCGTGTAATGGATATGAAGATATTGTTAAACTGTTGATTGATAATGGTAGTTCAATTGACTCGATATCTGATACGATGGAGACACCTCTCTATCTTGCATGTGCCAATCAATTCGAATCGATTGTCAGAGCCTTGTTATTGGTGTTTGACAACAATGAAAAGAGAAAAGAGTATATCAACCAATTCACTACACATGGTTCAACTGCCCTCCACGTTGCCGTTCTCAGAAGAAATGAATCAATTGTCCAACTATTACTTGCCAACGGTGCAGATGTACATGCCATTAAAAAGGATGGTAGTACTCCACTTCATGTAGCTGCTACAATCGATTATCATGAAATCATTCCAATCCTTTTAGAATTTGGGTCAAGTTTAACTTCTGTCAATAGATTTGGTAGTACTCCTATTCATGAAGCTTGTATAAAGTATGTAAAAAACAAAATTAAATAATAATAATATATTTATATTTTATTTGTTTGATTTAGAGGAAACTATAAAAGTTTAAAAGTATTATTATTAAATCAACCAGAATTGGTTAATTTCAAGGATAAAGATTCATCAACTCCATTACATTTGGCATGTAATATTGTTAACAAGGAGGTGTCAAATTATAGACAAGTGATCAAAGTATTGATAGAGTATGGTGTTGATTTGGATGCAGTAGATGATGGTAATGCTACTGCTCTTCACGTGTTGGCGTGTACAGGTGAACAAGGAAATGAATTGGTTCAATATCTTTTGGATAGTGGTGCTAATCCAACCATTGAAAATGCAACCGGTTGGACACCTCTACACCATGCTCACAACCAAAACAATCAACCTCTATTTGATATGTTATTGTTACACTGCAAGAATTTCTATCCAGATTCTTTAATTAATTTCGATAAACATAAACCAAGACAATTTAAAGATAAATCATCAAAAGACAATAATAATAATAATAACAGCAAAACAGAAAAGATATTTTTGGAAAGTGGAGAAGAAAGATTAAAGAGAATTGGGAATGAAATAAGACAAGGTAAAATCAAGAATATTGTTTTATTGACTGGAGCTGGTATTAGTACCAATGCGGGTATTCCAGCTTATAGAACAGAAGATGGTATCTATAATCGAAACAAACAATTTTCATTCTCAATGCAAAGTATTCAAGAGCAACCAACCGTGTTTTTCGAATCGATTAAAAACTACTTTTATCCAGTCGTCACTGGTCAAATACCACCAACCAAGACACACGAATTTATATTTGACCTCTATGAAAAGAATGTACTCTTGCGCAACTTTACTCAAAATGTAGATGGTCTTGATGAAATGGTTGGTTTACCAGACGACAAAATTGTACATGCTCATGGGTCACTCAGATCTTGGCGTTGTAGTAACTGTCAACAAGCAGTCCCACAAGAATTGGTCAATGAACAAGTTTGGAATATTATTGCCAATGGTGGTATACCATATTGTCAAAAGAGTCAATGTCAGCAATCCTCTGAACCACAGAGTATCCTAAGACCAGATGTTATATTCTTTGGTGAATCTCTTCCAGTTCGTTATCACCAACAATCGATCAAGGATTTGAGAAAGTGTGACTTGTTGATTATCATTGGTACTTCACTCTCTGTCTATCCTTTTGCATCACTTGTCAACGACGTACAAAGTCATGTACCAAGAATTCTTATCAACAAAGATGCTGTTGGACCATTTAGAGGTGTATCTGATTTTGATAGATCGAATCAATCGTCTTCTTTACCAACAACAACAACAACAACAGATTTGGTGATTGAAAGTAGAGGTAACAGAGACTTGGTAATTCTTGGGAATTGTGATCAAGCAGTTTCACATATTCAAACTATTTTTAATTAATGGAAAATAAATAAATAAATAAATATCAAGCTCTGGAAAGTTGATTTTAAAAAAACATTCGACCAATCAATTAAAATCAATATTAATTAGTATCTAATTTAATATTCCAGTATTAGTAGTAGTAACATCAAACTTGGATAATTCTAAATTAATTAAAAAAAAATATCTCCTCAAAAACAAAAAAACATTGGAAAATAAATTAAATATTAAATACTCCGATTGGACAATGAAAATATTTTTTTACTTTACTTCGCCAACGCCTCAGCAGTTCAAAGATATAATTATATGGTCGAGCTTTCCTACTTGTTGAAATCGAACCAAAGGACACTCTAATGAACATGTTGAGGAGAACAACAACAAGTGATTGGTATCTATCACAACCTCGCGCGAGGAGATAGACAACAATGAAAACGGATAATGATTACCGTCGTTCGTTTGTTTGCTTGTTGTTTAATAGGTAGGAGTTGGCTGGCTTACTTGTCATTGATGTTGAAAATGGAAGAAACCAATTTGCTTAAATAGAAGAAAGAAACAACAACAACAACAACAACATTACTTTAAACATCTATCTCATTTCAATATATATAACAAACAAAGAAACAATGACAATTACACTTGTAAATGTAATTTTATATATCATTTTATTCTATTGTATCTATTCATTTGTAAGTAATCAATGTCAGCAGTCTGTTATAATCTATATGTGTTAGAATCAAGTTTTCTAATATTATATCTTATCTATCTATCTTTCTATGTAGGCCAAAAAGAATAAAGCATTCTCAACCAATGATCCACCTGGACCAAAGATTGAATTACCAATCATTGGTAGTTTACATTTATTGAGTAGTAAACCTCATTTAGGATTTACTAAACTTGCACAAAAGGTAAACCATTAATATAAAATATATAATATACTATAATATGATATCATATTTAATTGTTGTTATTAATACATTTAATTGATTATGTAGTTTGGTGGAATTTATAAATTATGGGTAGGTGATCATTATACGATTGTAGTTAGTGATCCACATTATATTAGAGAGATATGGTTAAAGAACAATGATAATTTCATTAATCGACCCAAATCACCAACCTTTACTGTACTCTCTGGTAACTTTACCAATCTAGTATGTGCTAGTGAAAAGATATGGCGTCATAGAAGAGATTTGGTAGCTGGTGCATTCACAAAGACAAAACTTAAAACTACTCAAACTATTGTTGCAAAACAATGTCAAAGAATTATGAAACAAATGATGTTATCTGCTGAAAAGAAAACTCTTGTATGTTAAATATAGATAGATAGATATAATATAATATAATATAATATAAATATGTCTAGACAATTTTATTAAACTTTTATCATTTATTTATATAGTTTAATCCAAAGATGAATTTTAAGAAATATTCAATGAATATAATTTCGAGTATGGTATTTTCAAGAGAGATTGCCTATGATGATGGAGAAGTATTGTTTGGAAAGGATTTTGGAAATATATTAAAACAAATTGAATATGTATTTGGTTTGGGAAAGGCTGGTAATCCAGGCGATGCAATCTCTTTGTTACAACCATTCTTTTATTATCAAATGAAGGTGATGGGTACTGAATTGGATAAATTATTAGAATTTATGAAAGAGATTTATGATGATCATATCTTAAATCTTGATCCTGAAAAGTATGTAATATATAATCATAAAAAGAAAAAGATAATATATTAATATTTTTTTATTTATTGTTTTAGCCCAAAAGATTTATTTGATCATATTATAATAGATGCAGATGGAAAAGATTTGAATGGTATACTTAGAGTAGGAGTTGATTTATTGTTGGGTGGTACTGATACAAGTTCCAATACGATTGAATGGTTTACATTGATGATGGCCAATTATCCAGAGGTGCAAGACAAGGCCTATCAAGAGTTACAGTATAGAATTGGACAACGTGGAGGAGAGACTATAGAAGACCAAGAGAATTGTGGCAATCGTATATTGGTATCTGATAGATTAGAGACACCCTATGTCAATGCAATCATCAAGGAGATTATGAGACTGCATCCTATTGGACCATTGGGTATTCCTCGTATGGCCAAAGAAGATATTATGATTGGTGAATACTTTATACCCGCCGGTACACACATGATCCAAAACATACATGGTCTTCATCACGACCCGTCTCACTATGACCAACCAGAATCATTCATTCCAGAGAGATTTGTCCATGATAATCATACTAGTCACTATCTACCATTCTCTATTGGTGCTCGTAACTGTCTTGGTATGCAAGTTGCCGAGATGGAAATCTACACCATCTGTGCCAACATTCTCATCAACTTTAAGATCAAGTCTGTCGATGGCAAACAAATTGATGATACCGAATTGTTTGGTTTGGCTGTTCATCCAATCGATTATAATATTCTTTTAGAAAAGAGATCAATATAGGTCAATCACATCTAAAATCTAATTAGAAATTGTACTTTTAATAATAATAAATAATGTAAATGTAAATGTAAATGTATTTGTAAAATTAAATGATAGTTAACATACACACATTGGTTGATATTTCAACAAAGCTCGAGAGAGAGAGAGAACATCCAATAAAATTGATATTGTGATTAAGAACAACCTATTAATTAGACATGCTATGATGATCATGATGATTCTCAATCATAATATCAATTTCATTTTCTGTTTCATCTTGTTCTAAAAACTATAGAGCAAAGTAAAAAATTTGGAGAATCAATAAATTAGTTAAACATCTATATTGTTTACCTTTATGTGTATTGTTGAACAACATGTGGGTTATCCATCACTGTTGATGATGGTGTATTGCAAATATTTTCACAATAGAGGTAGGTAAGTTGTTAAAATCGAGTCTTTGAAACACTATGTTTGTATCTCCTTTAATATATCTAATCTCCACGCGTACCACAAACATCGGAATCGAATCCAGAAGAAAGTTAATATGAGAGCTACTGGGAATTGATTCATACATACATACAATACTGAATAATATCATGAAACAAATCTATTCAATAAAAATAACTATTGATGTGATGCAACCCTTTTCAGCAATAATAACTCTGTAATTCAACCAAACTCGGAACGTATTTTATTTTATTATTATTTATTTATTCATGCAATACCAAAAGAGAGAGAGAGAGATGGGGGTGGAAAGATCAAAATATTTTGATTTGGAGTATAATTATAATTATAATTACACATCAGTTATTATTATTATTATACTACATTTCACTGTACAATTGAGAGACTAATCTAATGGGACTCGAAAGGTTTCCAAGGCTTTAAAAAAAAGAGGTTTGTTTCATTCCCAGGGCCCTGGACGATGAACAAGCTCGATTTCTTTTTACAATTAATAGAATTGCACTTTTGTACTTTACTATGATCATGTTCACTAACAACAACAGATATTAATATCTATTCATCCATCCAATAGACACTTACGACGACGACGACGCGATCGTTGATGACGACAATCACCTATTATAGTAGAGGGGGGTTATACTACACAGGTACAGGTGGGGGTGGTTGTAGTCCAGATCGTCAACAAATGCAACTTGGCCACCTCCCTCCACATTGAGAACATCGAGTCGAGTTAGTCTGTCGATCCTTGTAACCCTAACCACCACTACGCTCCTCCTTCTTTTATTATAACCCTCACATACAAAGACATCGTCTCGACCCCCTCCTCTACTACTAAATTAAAACTAAAATAATTCATTCAAAGCCTAACCCCTGACCAGATGAGGAACTGATAAATACGTACACACACAAGTCCATTTATTCATTCATTCATTCATTCTCTAGAGATACAGATTAGTATTATAATAAGATGATTCTATTAGTTGTCAAGTATCTGGCAATTGCTTTTTTACTCTATTGTATCTATTCTTTTGTAAGTAATCAATGTCAGCAGTGTTATCTTCATTATTGGTAAATCAAATCAACAACAATCCATATATTAATTAATTTATTATCTATTTATCTATCAATCTATCTATCTATCTATGTAGGCCAAAAAGAATAAAGCATTCTCAACCAATGATCCACCTGGACCAAAGATTGAATTACCAATCATTGGTAGTTTACATTTATTGGGTGAAAAGCCTCATCACAGTCTAGCACAATTACACAAAAAGGTATGGTTATGGTTGTTATTAGTATAATAATAATAATAATTAAATTATATTTATTAATTCTTTTTAATTGACCTATATATATATATTTAGTTTGGTGGAATTTATAAATTATGGATGGGAGATTATTATACGGTTGTAGTTAGTGATCCACATTATATTAGAGAGATATGGTTAAAGAATAATGATAATTTCATTAATCGTCCACATACTCCATCCTATACCATTATGTCTGGAAACTTTACTGATTTGGCAACTGCCGATGAAAAGGTGTGGCGTCACAACCGTGGTCTTGTAGCTGGTGCTTTCACAAAATCAAAACTTGGAGGTACTCAAACTATTATTGCTCGTCAATGTAAAAGATTGATTGATATGATGAATTTATGTGCTACTCAAGGTCAATCTGTATGTATCTATATATCTAATTTAAATTAAAACAACTCGTCCTAACAATTAAATAATTTATAAATTAAATTATAGTTTGATCCAAAGATAAATTCAAAGAAATATTCAATGAATATTATATCGAGTATGGTATTTTCAAGAGAGATTGCTTATGGAAATGATAACAGTGAAATATTGTATGGTAAAGATTTTGGTCAAATATTAAAACAAATGGAAGAAGTATTTAGAGTAAGTGGTACTGGTAACCCTGGTGATTTCATCTCCATCCTTGAACCATTCTACTATTATCAATTAAAGATGATTGGACAAGAGGTTGATAAATTATTAGAATTTATAAAGAATATTTATGATGATCATATTTCTACTCTTGACCCTGAAAAGTATGTAGTATATATACTCATATAAAGAAAGAAAAAGAAAGAATAATATATTAATATTTTATATTTTATTTTATTTTCTATGTTTAGTCCAAAAGATTTATTTGATCATATTATAATAGATGGTGGAGATGATGTTAATGGAGTGCTTCGTATTGGTGGTGATTTATTGTTGGCTGGTACAGATACTAGTTCAAATACAATCCAATGGTTTGTATTGATGATGGCCAATCATCCAGAGATTCAAGAAAAGGTATTTGCAGAGCTGAAGAATAGAATCATTGAACGTGGTCATATTGAAGAAACCAATGAGAATGCTGGTAATAGAATGGTACACTCTGATAGATTAGAGACACCCTATCTCAACGCAGTCATCAAAGAAACAATGAGAATTCATCCAATTGGTCCATTATCTATTCCTAGATCGGCCAAGAATGATATTGTTATTGGTGATTACTTTATACCTGCCAACACTCAAATGATCCTAAATATCTATGCACTACATCACGATGAATCCTATTATGACCAACCACATCTATTCAACCCTGATAGATTCATCAATGAAAACAACACTAGTCACTATCTACCATTCTCAATTGGTGCACGTAATTGTGTTGGTATGGCAGTTGCCGAGATGGAAATCTATCTTGCAGTTGCCAATATTATGGCCAACTTTAAGATCAAGTCTGTCGATGGTAAACAAATTGATGATACCGAAGTATTTGGTTTGGCTGTATTCCCAAATGACTTTAATATTCTTTTGGAAAAGAGATCAATTTTCTAAACCAAATCAAATAATCAAACCAATCAATCCACCACCCACCCTCCACCGAGATTATTTATATATATATTATATATTATATAATATTAATCGATATTAATTAGGATGATTTTTAAAAAAAATGTTTTGTTATCTAATCATTCATTCATTCATTTCTCTTTCACCACCTACCTTGTATTCCATTTATATTTATATTTATATATTCTATCTATATTTTAATTAATTAGGTCACTCTCTATATATTTCTTTTTTTTTTTTCCAAAAATAATAATAAACAAAAAAAAATCATCATCATTATCATTTAATCATATTATATTAATTATTATAAAATAGCGGATATTTTAAAAAAAAAGATATTTTAAAAGGACTATGAGTCTCTTTGAAGGTCCTTGCATTATTGAAACTATCTTTTGTGAAACGAAAACTATATAACTACAAGAATGGATGGAGAATTATCATCAAGTCTATCAATACCAGAAGATTTGGAACCAAAAACTACTAGTCAAGATGACAGTCATCCTATTGTTGTTGGAACAATATGTGATAACAAACAAGTGAATGAGGTGGAGAAGAAGAGTGGCAGCTCACTCAACAACAATGCTTTTGATAAACTGATGGAATCACTTGAACAGTTGTCAATTGAAAAGAAAGATGAAAATATAAAGGAGAACAATAATAATAATAATAATAATAATACAAACGCAAATACAAATACAAATACCGAGGAAGAGGAAGAAGAAGAAGAAGAAGAAGAAAAGGATCCAAAACTTCAATGCCCAGTTTGTAGTGATCGTATAAAGGATCATAAGCTTATCAAATGTTCTCATGTCTTTTGTAAAGAGTGTATAGACTCTTATATTAAAAGAAGAATGAGAAAATGTCCTGTTTGTATGGCTCCATTCACTGTAGACGATATAGTAGATCTTAACCAACCTTTTCAAATCAGATGGATACAATATTGTCATCATATATATCTAAATAATAGAGATAATAAAATAATTATATTTAGTGACATAACTATATATTAGTTTATGAATTATTAGGCCAAAAATAGATAGATTGACCAGCACCGTTGAGGTCGATATCCCCTCGATCCCTCCATCTTGTTTGCAATAAAAAAAAAGAATTAATATGACTCGACCCAAATCATTAATCACAAATCATTATTCAATTCAAATTATTCACAAAAGATAGAAATAAATCTATCTATATCAAGCAAGAAATAATGATGGAGATAGTATATCCTCAATTGGGAGGATCAGAATCGATACTATTATCAATCTTTTTCACAGTTCTCTTTGTTGGTAGCATCTATGTCATCGGACCTGGTCATAGAGATGATCCTCAAGTCATCAAGAATAGATTTAAAAGTGTATTCTCTTCTTCGTTTATTGCCTATCTTGTATTATATTTTATCATTCCTCAACAATCAAATGTAATTAATTAATAATAATAATCGAGTCAATCAATCATTGATTAAATCATCAATAACAATACAATAATTTACTTACACAAATTTGTTTGAATAGAAACTATCTGTATTTTTAAAGATCATTGGTGTCAATGTCGAATCGATGTTATTAGGTATTCTACAACCACTGTTGTTGACAGTGATACTATTTTTTGGGCCATTGGTTATGTTGTATGTCGATTATGATTTGGAGGATCCACCTTTTACATTTAAAGATTTCAATATCTATTGGCTTCGTAACTTTGTTGTTGTAAGTTAATAAGACGATATCTCTATCTTACATATTAGTTATTAATTCGTTCATTTCTATTGATTATTTAGGGACCATCAGCAGAAGAGATGGTATTTAGATCAGTGATATGTCCAATACTATACTTTGCAGGATTTTCATCGACATCTATCATATTATGTTCTCCATTGTTATTTGGATTAGCACATGTACATCATATCTACCCTTGGAAGGGTAAGAAACTATCACACTTTATTGTTGTCATCTTTCAAGTGGTCTATACCAGTTTGTTTGGCATGTACTCTTCGTTTATCTTTATGCGTACAGGTAATCTATTTTCATGTATCATTGCTCATTGCTTTTGTAATATGATGGGATTACCTAATTTCTCTGATGTACCAGATCATGATAAAAAGATTTGTATGTATTAATTAAATATTAAAAATATTAATTATTTATTTATTAATAATTCTATTTTTTTTTTAGTATTATCAATTTGTTTTATAGTTGGATTGGTTGGATTTATTTTTTTGATTCCAATCTTGGTAGACCCAACATCTTTTAATAGTATATACCAATAGTAGTGTTGTATAGTTAGTTATGTACACAGAGAGAGAGAGAGAGGAGATAAAGAATCTAGATACTTTTTAATAAATCTCTTTTTCTATAGATTCAGGTCGGTTTGTTACCTCGCAAACAAGAGGAATACGAGTAATATTATAAACCAAACAGTTTGAAGACAGCTCAAGAGTCTGACGACTCTCGAATCACTTCGTCAATAATGAAGGAATCTGATTACAATCGATTCAGATTCGAAGGAAACTTCACCTATTTTTGACAAGATATTTTGCATTAATTTTTATTCTCCTATCTTCTCTTGCTCCATTGATGGAATTGAAGGATGATATAAAAGGAATGAATGATCATACATTGCCTACTAATTAGTTTTATACTCTTTTCATATTTATATCTTCAATGAAATCTATATTTGTAGCTCTACTTTTATTTGTTGTTGCAAGTGTATGTAATATAATAGTTATTAAAAAAATGTAAACAGCCTATCTTGTGACTTTTAGTTATTTACCCATTTACATTCTCATTTAGTATTGCCAACCTGAATCACTTCAATTCTTTTATCAATGGCCAAATGTTGACTATATCACATTTCAAGTTTTAAGATTACAAGATGGAGAGACTCTTCAAAACATGACAAATATCAATGAAGGTCGTTTTGGTATTTGGGCATTCCTAACAACCAATGATACAAATGAAATCTTATTGGTTGGATCATCATCAAATGGTATTCAAGTAAAATCATTCTGGCCAATCGTATGTATCAATTAATCAGCTGATCAAAAAATGATATCATTTTTAACCCTCTCTTTTTTAAACAGGATGGTGAATTACAACCAGAATGGATTGGATATGCACAATTTAATTATGTTTTTGCTCTCCAACCAGTACTTTGGGATCAATGGACATTGTTTGTATACGTTCCAGGTTTGACCTATGCTGGTTCAAGTCAATTAGGAACTTTGGCTCTTCTTGAATTCAATTTTGAAGATTCTCAAAAGTAGTAGAAATATGAAAATTCTCTCTTTGTCTATTTTAGATATATCTAACAATTTTATTTATTTTTTTTTGTTTGTTTTAATTTAGTTCACCAATAATTTTGGGTATTTCAGAAACTACAACAAATAGATTTAATAGTAATCCAATTGGAGCCTATGATGGTACAAACAATTACTATGTTTATTACTCGATTGGTTCAGAGTTGGGTATTGTTCAGTACTCTTTTTCACAACAAAGCACCAACAAGGTTGTATTGGCTGATCAAGCCCAGGCATTCACTGGTAATGATCAACTCTTTTATTATAACGGATTATTATACTATTGCAAGTATGTCAAACAAGTTGGTGTTACCATTTCAAGCATCAACGTTCAATCGGGTGGTACCACCAACATTGTATACAAGGACAACAGTTCCAATAAGGGATTCCAACAAAATATTCAACCATTTGTTTTCGATCCATTGTCTGGAAGCATTCTTATTCTAAACACCAACGGAAATATTCTTTATATCGATACCTTTATCATCTCTTCACAAAAAACTATTTCAACAACCCTTCCAAACACAATTCCATCTGGAACTAATATTATCGCCCCTTCCTTGTTAAATGCTTAAGAAACTGGTAAATAAAATCAAACTATCAAAATGATTAAATTAAATAAAAATAAAAAATTGTTTCTTTTGTTATATTTTAAATTTGATTAATTTTTTATTTATTTAATTTTTTATTTATTTAATTTATTTATGGTTTCAAACCCAAATCGATGATACGTTTCAAACCAACCATTTGTTTTGAACCAACTTCATTCCAAATTGGGGTGGAAGTGATTTGAATGTATTTATCACTTGCCGATTTGTATTCATTTTCAGAGATACTCTTGGCAACACCGCTGAGAGCTTGAACGGCGACTTGTGAAAGATCGAAACGGTTGAGTTTGGCAATGAGCAATTGGAGACGAGAGTCAACATCTTCAATCTTTTGTTGGTTGACTCCACGAGCCTTCATCGATGACAAGCCATTGGATAAGAGTTCGATAATCTTGGCAACTTCTTGCTTGGTTTCCTCGGAAACGTTGGCACTTGAATGAGCGTGACCTGGGTTGTGTACGTTGGCTCTTGGTGGGGTGGCAAAGCCTGCAGAGGGTGAGGTGGCATTGTCACGGTGATTAACGTTTGAAGATGAGATGGGTGGTGGGCCAATTGGTGCAGGGGCTGGTGCTACTGGATTGGCGCTGGTAAATGTGTGTGGTGCAACTGGATTGATGTTGGTAAATGGTTGGTTGATTGGGTTGGATGCGGTAAATTGAGGTGGTTGTGAGTGACTTGGAGAGAATGGTAACGTGGACGAGGTGATAACAGGTGATGGATGAGAGACACTGTGAGTCACTGGTGGAATATTACTATAGTTGGTGTTGACTGGGTTGACGGGTGGTAGTACATTGTGGTGGTGTTGTTGTGGTGGTGGTTGAATAGAGTGACCCATTGGTGGTTGAATGTTGTGTGATGGGATCGATTGTGGTGGTTGGATATTATGTGACACAACTGGTGGTTGGATGTTATGTCCCATTATTGGTTGTGGTGGAACGATGCTATGTGAGGAGATTGGTGGTTGTTGTTGTTGTTGGATATTATGTCCCATCGGTGGGAATCCAGTATTTCCAATTGGCATACCAGCAGTACTACCAAATGCTCCAATTGGTGGTTGTTGACGATGTGGTTGTTGTTGTTGTTGTTGTGGTTTAACACCGGCAGCATAAACTTCGACTGGTTGGAATGGGAATGGGGGTGGAGCAACACCTTGGGTGTATGGAGTGGCACGGTAGACACGGTCGAGCAAGACGAGTGATGCGGGGTCTTGATTGTTGAGCAACGAGAGGTAACGGAGTGAGCTGGTGAGGTTACCTTGTGCGGCGAGTAATTCAGCGTAACGCGAATACTTGTGGGCGAGCAACTCGCTTGGACGGAGTGCTTGGGCGTGGTGTGAGCTACGCAACACTGAAACCTTTTCAATGAGGTTGACGAGTTCTTGTGGTGATGGGTTCTTTGACTCGTGAGCATCGTCGGTCCAAATATCGACAGTCTTGTCAATATCGCCAGCACAAATATAGCAGAGTGTAGCCGAACGAGTGTCGTTGAGTTCGGTGCACAAACGGTCTCCGAGTTGGCCAGACAACTGCTTAAAGGTGGTGGCAGAGGCATAGGTGCAGAGAACGGCCAGAGTAGACTTCCAGTCGGCAAGATCACACGATTGCACAAGAGTGGCGAGATCGTCACGGGCAATACATGCAACAACACGTGCAAACGACTTGTCGGCGTTAGCGTCAAAGTAGGCACGCATAGTACTCTTCCACAACTCTTGTCCACCACAACTAGCCAATACCAAGGCGTCGGCCATACGTCCTAGACGCAAACAGCAGTCTACTGCAGTAGCATAGTCACCAATCAACAATGCCTTGGTGATCATATTCTCATCACCGTCGCCTGGGAACTGGATGGGCTTGACAGGAGCAGCTGCCTTGATGGGGAACTCTTCGGTCGAGTTGGACAACAAATTAGAGACATCTCCTCCCTCTTGTGGGGCGCTGCTAGTGCCATTCTGGACGACGGCGGCGTTATTGTCGGTTGGTGTAGACTTTTTCAATTCTGGCAACGTTTGGAGGAAACGGGCGAGTTCAGTCTTGGTCGACTCAACATCGAATCCCAAGTAGTTGAGGATGTTCTTCTTGCCATTTTGGTCAAATGACACTCTGAGGAAACCCCAGATAGCCTTGTCCTCGTCAGACGAAGAGCCTTGGATCTTTTGCTCACAAAACTCGTCAAACTTGCCGTCTTGCAAGACACTCTCGAGCAGGCTGGAACGGTCCAACAACTCTGCGTCCGAGACGACCTTGACAACCTTGACGACACGTTGTTGTTGCACCATCTGTTGGTGTTGCTGTGCTTGGATTTGTTGTGCTTGGAGACCGGCTGGTGGAGATGGGCTGGTAGCAGGAGCCTTTTTACGTCCAAATACGGCCAAACGTCCGCCAAAACCAAAAGATGCACCGACTGGACGCATCAACCATGATGGGGGATGACGCAAGCTGTTGGCGCTTGGTTGTGGCTGGCTGCTTGGTTCGACGACACCCAATGCGTTGACGGTGGGTGCAGTGATACGTGGGTTGACGTCTTGCAACGAGTAGGTCGAGATTGAGCCGCCAAAGGAGCTGGTTGCGAGCAATGCTGGGATACGTGGAGACCATTGCACGTCGAAATTCCATTGGTTTGGATCGGAACTGGCCTCAATCTCGCAGAGTACCTCGCCACGATCGACATTCCAACACAATGTACGGTTATCCTTGCCGCAAGACAAAAGAAGTGATGCGTCGGTTGGACACCATGACAAACCCCAAATACCACGACGGTGACCTTCGAGTGTGCGAAGTGGTGCTAATGCATTACGCAAATCCCATGTTTGGATGACTGGGAAATCGTCGTCTTCCGATGCAGTCACCAATTGTGTCGATTCTGTTGGATTCCACAAAATAGAACGTGTCTTGCATCTGCGTGTACGATCACTAAATTGAATAATCGATTTCTTTGCTTTTAAATCCCATACTGATGTAATTCCATTATAAAATGATGATGCTATAATCTAAAAAATGGAAATGATAAAAAAGAGAAATAATATTATAAATTAATAAATATAAAGAGTATTCTTTATGTTTGTTTGTTTGATTGTTTGTTTGATTAAACTTACATGTTGAACTTTTTTGTTCCATGAAATACTTGTACAGTCTGATGATTGAGGTGGTTTAGTTCCTGGTGTATAGGCAGATGGTGAAGCAGGGTTGTTTAAATCCCAAACGAAAATCTCTGAATCTGGCCCACCTGATGCAATCAAGTTTGGTTGTTGTGGATTAAAGTCCAACGCTTGAACAGCACCAGTATGTTTTTGTGCGCTACCAATCATTGAATTGGCATTTTCTTCATTATCATTTATTAAACTTGGATTCCAAATGCCAATTGATCCATTCTCCAAACCACCAACAATGATTCCACTACCTTGATCTGTATTGGTTGGTAACCAAACAATCTTGTTGAATCTAAATCATAAATAAATAAATGGGTGTTAATCATCATATATACATATAGTAGTAGTAATAAATAGTAGTTTCATACCTATTTGCTGAAGTTGTTGAACCCTTTAATACCATTTGATTCGATGGATTGGTAATGTCTAAAGAGTATATTTCCAATTTTGAACTAGTATCAAAATCTAGACCAATCGTACCAGATACAGTACCGACAGCCATCAATGATGATTGCCCTACAACTGGACACCATGCAAATGTTGCTTGTTTATTTAATTCTTTTAATTTTGACATTTCTATATCTATATTCTAATTTGATTGTAAATATGATGATGATGATGATGATGATGGATTGGTGTCATGATTAGTTTCTCTTCTATTTATATATCTATAGACGACATATGTCGTTTGTATATATATATACATATCTACTGATCAATCATACCTATATATATCTATCTACAACAACAATGATGGATTCAAATTAAAAGTACAAGTTTCGTCGTCAATCTTGTAGTTTATATTTATCTCTTTCTCTTTCTCTTTCTTCTACTTCTTTCCTACTATTATTTGTCTATTCTAGTTTAACTTTTTTACTATGGTGAATATCGGATGCAGCAAGTAAGAGAGTAATATGACTTTTAGAAGAGAATGACTCACTTTTCTTGTAGTAGGCCAATGTTATTATGATGGGGGTTGGGTGAGACAGAGATTGAGGAGGGAGAAGGAAGTGTGATGATCATCACCATTAAAAATTAAAAAAATTATTTTTTTGAAAGTTCAAAGTCAAAGGGGTCAAAGAAATGAGTCGACGATTATTATTAAAACTTACCTCTTTGTAATGCAAGAAATACAATAATTAATAGCTTAATATACTAGTATAATTCATGTATCAAAAAGTAATTACTCATTATCTTTTTCACTTCACTTTTATTATTATTATTATGACTCTTTATATAATTTACAAAAATGGTTGGGGGTGGTGAGTCAGAGTCGTCTCTGACTGTTGATACTATAGTCGACTATTCCATTAGTTTAGAATCATCCTTTGGATTGTCACCATCACCTTCTTTTGACAGCCAAGTCATTAGTTTGTGTTTGGTATAAACAACAACAAAATATCTGAATTTTTTTGGGTGATTAATCTATTATTATTATTATTATCAAAAGGTGACCTCTCCAATCTTAGGCTTGTCTATTCTATATCTATGTACATATTGGTTTGTGTTGTATTTGTTTGGTTGGTTAGTTTAAAGTGTTGGAACATTTGATTTGATATGTTTGGCAAATTGTTGTGAAGAATAGAGCAGTTGTCCATTTGGCATATAACTATTTAATAGTACCAATATCTCATCACTTCTTGAAAATATCTCTTGTGGCGATGACTTTGATAATATACTCTTGTAATAGTCTACCAATATATTACTAAATGATGTAAGGAAACTTGCTGCCAATAATCTATTCTCATCTTGATCACAAATCATTGTAAAGCATACCCTATATATATATGTTTTAAGTTAGTGAGTGCGAATAAAAATAACATTGCAATGTTGTTACATGTACATACCCTAATAGATTTTTCCAAACTACATATTTTGGAGTAGTGAATAGATTAGGATAGTCATTTGAGAGGAGTGATAGCGGATCATTTGGTGAAGAGATGGTAGGTGTACTTTGAGATGGGTTGATTTTAAAGATACCTTCACGATATGAACTATCGGCTCTAGAGAGTATACTAGATGCTGCTGGTGAAGTGGAAGATGATGATGATGAGCTGCCACTGTAGCCACCAGGTTGCATTGACATTTGAGTGATGAGTTGTTGTTCCTTTTGTCTTTGGATATAGGATACTGCCCAATCGGGGTGCAACCGTTCATCAGGTTTTGTATTCTCACACCCATATCTAAATTGATAGTCGTACAATACTCTAGCCAATATAATACTCTGTCTCTTTATAGTATTGTCATCGTTACCCTCTGATGTATAGTATTGTGATAGATAAACGGTTGGTACTGAAAACTGTTGTTGTTGTTGTTGTTGTTGAGCAGCAGCACTCTTTTTATCTGCTGTTATTGAATGTATAATGAATCCATATACCATATCTATCTATCTATCTGAATATTATATTATCGATGATGATGATGTAGGGCGAAACTTAATAAAAAACAACCTTAAATGAACTTTTATTATTAAATTGGTTTGGATGAGTACGCCGACCTTTCCTTCTTTTTTTTTTATTGTATTCTTTCACACACCTATTATCTATCTGTTCTATTTATTTGTTTACATTTTATTTGATAGTTTCTTCATCCTTCCTCTTCTTCCTGTTATGAAATCATCATTTATTTATTCTTTATTTATTCTCAACTAGATAGAAAGGTCGCCGACACCACCAACACTTTCACATCATGACCATGACATTTATATAAATATCTATTTATAAATTGACAGATACGCAATGACCATTATTATTTTAAAATGTAGATGGTGTTGGTGCTAGAACCGAAGATCGCACAAGCGTCGAATTGAATTTCCCGCTCAACCAACCGAACTCGCACACCGACTTGTTTTTTTTTTTTTTGGTAAAAGTTCAACCATGGTAAACGATGTATTTTCAGAGGGGTAGACTGTCCTTGATGGTCAACTGATAAACAACCATGATAAGGGATAGTATTATCAAGTTTTTCTCAACTTTGGAATCTACCATACATCCTTCAACATTACTTTATTTTTGTTTGGCTCGACATGCATGTTGTCGATTCAAACTTGCATTTGGTATCTCGTAGCTCTTTCGTTGTGCTTATAAGGGTAGAATCATCTTTTTTTAAAAAAATATTCTTACCGTTATCCCAGTTAGATTGGATAGATAGATAGATCTTGCCAACTATTCCATCCTACTCTTCTTCTTCGTTGACCCCCCTCGGATCGGATCGAATTTTCAAACAAACTATAGTATAGTAAATTTCATTCATCCATTTCAAAGTCACTCGGTTTGTGTGTGTTGGATTTTCCAACCCCCTACACAATCGTAACCCACCAACAACAAACATTATTGGTTATACTCGAGAGGAGAGCGTTCTTGGAAATATAGCAAAATAAGTTCTGCCTATCTTTGGTTTAAATCATGTCCTGTTCTATACGGTCTCTAATGCGCTGTGCCCCTCTATTTTTGACGGGGTTTACTTGTGCGATGGAGACAAGATTTTGATCTCAACTTTTGACCAATTGTTGGAGGCAGGCATTCATTTTTGGCATAGATAGAAGGATATTTAAACAACATTATTTTTCCAGTTTAGTTCTTCTTTAAAAAATAACATCATTACATTTCAACCTCCTCTCAAGAGAGAATAGTAGTAATTAATTTTATATATTTTTTTTATGTAAACTTTTAGTTTTCATTAGTCCCCTCGCCCCGCCCCTCCCGTTCACCCGCCCCTTAACCCGCCCCCCTACCCACCCCTCCCGTTCACCCGCCCCTACCCTACCCTATTTTATATTTATATATTTATTTGATCACTCTTTATAAATATATTTATAAAACTAAAAAAAAAAAAAGAAAAAAAAAACAACAAAAACACAATCCATTCCTCCCCTCCTCCCCTCACAGCCATGGCATTGGATAATAACCATCTTATTGATGAAAATGGTATAGATAATACTCATTTAGACAATAATAACAACAATAATAATAATCAAGAAAATAATAATAATAATTTTGAGGAATCAACAAGTCAAGTAAATGTTGATAAAGGAATTCAAGATTTTAAAACAATGGCAGCTCATTTGGAAATGGAAAGTGAAAGACTTCGTTTGGAAAGTCCTTCAATTGATCTTGAAGGTAGACCAGCCGAAACTGATGAAGATTTCAAGCTTAGGAAGTATTTTGAAGATTCCAAAAGACAATCTGAATCAAATGGTTCAAAACCAAAAAAGATGGGTGTTTGCATTCGTAACTTAACCGTAGTTGGAAAAGGTAAAATCAATCTAAAAAAAAAAAAAAAGAGATCAAAAACTAATACTATTGCTTTTACTTTTACTTTAATAATTAGGTGCCGATGCTTCAGTCATCCCGGACATGTTATCACCAATTAAATCATTTTTTAATTTTTTTAACCCCGATTCATGGTATGTTTATAAACATAAAAAGATTTTATAGAATCTCTCTCTCTCATTTATTTATTTATTTATTTTTATTTTTATTTTTATTTAGGAAAAAATCAAATGGTACAACATTTGATATTCTTCATAATGTTAATGCATTTTGTAAAGATGGTGAGATGTTGTTGGTATTGGGTCGTCCAGGATCTGGATGCAGCACACTTTTACGTGTTATTTCCAATCAAAGAGACTCTTATGTCCAAGTTAAAGGAGATGTTAGTTATGGAGGTATGCCAGCTAGCAAGTGGTCCAAGTATCGTGGTGAAGCTATTTACACACCCGAGGAGGACTGCCATTTCCCCATTTTGACCGTTCAAGAGACACTCAACTTTACTCTTAAATGCAAGACCCCAGGTCACAATGTTCGTCTCCCAGAAGAGACCAAACGAACATTCCGTGACAAAATCTCGAATCTGTTGCTCAACATGTTTGGCATTGTCCATCAAGCCGACACCATGGTTGGTAATGAATGGATTCGTGGCCTGTCTGGTGGTGAACGTAAACGTATGACCATTACCGAAGCAATGGTCTCTGCCGCCCCCATCACATGTTGGGACAGCTCTACACGTGGTCTCGATAGTGCTAGTGCTCTCGACTATGCCAAATCTCTTCGTATCATGTCTGACACACTCGACAAGACCACTATTGCTTCGTTTTACCAAGCTTCCGACTCGATCTTTTACCAATTTGATAATATCTTGTTACTTGAAAAGGGAAGATGTATCTACTTTGGTCCAGTTGGTGAAGCCAAGCAATACTTTTTGGACATGGGATTTGAATGTGAACCTAGAAAGTCTATTCCCGACTTTTTAACTGGTATTACCAATGCACAAGAACGTCGTGTCAATGCCGCCTACACTGGTGTCCCTCCGCCAGAGACTTCTGCTGAATTTGAAGCACGTTGGTTGCAGTCCCCCAACTACCAACGTTCTATCCAACGTCAACAAGAGTTTGAACAACAGGTCGAGCAGCAACAACCACACATTGAATTTGCCGAGCAGGTTCGTGCCGAAAAGTCTGGTACCACACCCAAAAACAGACCATACATCACATCGTTTGTGACTCAAGTCATGGCTCTCACCGTACGTCAATTCCAACTATTTGGAGGAGACAAGGTCGGTCTCTTTTCAAGATACTTTTCACTGATTGTCCAATCTGTCATTTATGGATCGATCTTTCTCCAACTTGGCAGTGGTCTCAATGGTATCTTTACTAGAGGTGGTGCTATTTTTGCCAGTATCGGTTTGAATGCCTTTGTCTCTCAAGGTGAACTTGCAGCCACATTCACCGGTCGTAGAATCCTCCAAAAGCACCGTTCTTATGCTCTCTACCGTCCATCAGCCTTTTACGTTGCACAAGTTGTCAATGATGTGCCCGTTCAAGCCTTACAAATCTTCCTCTACTCGATCATTGCCTACTTTATGTTTGGACTCCAATACTCTGCCGATCAATTCTTTATCTTTTGTTTTGGTTTACTCGGTGTCTCCCTTGCCATAACTAGTCTATTTCGTTTAGTTGGTAATTGTAATGGTTCAATGTTCTTTTCTCAAAATTTAATTTCAATTATTATTAATATGGTAAATATATAAAAAGATAGATAGAAACAAATAATAATATACTTTATATTTATATTAATTTATTTTTTAATTTTAATTTTCTTTATTTTTAGATGTTTACATTTGTTGGATATTCTATACCATATCCAAAGATTAAAGAAGTAATGTGGTATGGATGGTTTTATTGGGTTAATCCAATATCTTATACATTCAAAGCATTAATGTCAAATGAATTTAGAGATTTGACATTTGATTGTACAGAGTCTGCTATACCCGCCGGACAATCCTACAACAACTCAAATTATCGTATTTGTCCAATCCCTGGAGCTGTCCAAGGACAAATGTTTATTACTGGTGAAGAGTATCTAGACTATTCACTTGGTTTCAAGATTGATGATCGTGCCTACAATATGGTCATCATTTATTTGTTTTGGTTGCTGTTTGTAGTATTGAATATGGTTGCTATCGAAGTTTTGGAATGGACCAGTGGAGGTTACACTCACAAGGTCTATAAAGCTGGAAAGGCACCCAAGATCAACGACTCTGAAGAAGAACTCAAACAAATTCGTATGGTGCAAGAAGCTACTGGCAAGATGAAGGATACTCTCAAGATGTTTGGTGGTGAATTTACTTGGCAACATATTAGATACTCTGTAACACTGCCCGACAAGACTGACAAGTTGTTGTTGGACGATGTTGAGGGTTGGATCAAACCAGGTCAAATGACTGCGTTGATGGGTAGTTCAGGTGCCGGCAAGACCACACTACTCGATGTTTTGGCCAAAAGAAAGACTATGGGCAAGACCCAAGGTACATCACTTTTGAATGGTAGACCTTTGGAAATTGATTTTGAACGTATCACTGGATACGTCGAACAAATGGACGTCCACAACCCTCACTTGACAGTTCGTGAAGCTCTTTGTTTCTCTGCAAAGATGCGTCAAGAACCCACCGTCCCATTGGAAGAAAAGTATGAATACGTCGAACATATCCTCGAAATGATGGAAATGAAACATCTTGGTGATGCTCTCATCGGTGATTTGGAATCTGGTGTTGGTATCTCTGTTGAAGAACGTAAACGTCTAACTATTGGTATTGAACTAGTTGCTAAACCTCATATCCTTTTCTTGGATGAACCGACATCTGGCCTAGGTATGTTAGTCAAAGATAGATTTAAACAATCAAATTAATTATATTATATTTCAAAACAAATTAATTAATTTCTTTTTCTATTTATTTTTCTAATTATTTCTATTTAGATTCACAATCTTCATATAATATTATTAAATTTATTCGTAAACTTGCAGATGCTGGTATGCCATTGGTTTGTACCATTCATCAACCATCATCTGTATTGTTTGAATATTTTGATCGTTTATTATTGTTGGCAAAGGGTGGCAAGACAGCCTACTTTGGTGACATTGGAGAGAATAGTAAGATTTTGACATCTTATTTCGAAAGACATGGTGTTCGTCCATGCACTCCAAATGAAAACCCAGCAGAGTATATGCTCGAAGCAATTGGTGCTGGTGTCTATGGAAAGACTGATGTGGATTGGCCAGCTGTTTGGAAGGAATCATCGGAATACAAAGATGTTGCTCAACATTTGGATGAACTACTCAACACAGTTCAAATCATCGACGATGATAGTAACAAAGAAAAACCAAGAGAATTTGCTACATCGAAATGGTATCAAATGGTAGAGGTCTATAAACGTTTGAATGTAATTTGGTGGCGTAATCCATCCTATTCATTTGGTCGTTTCTTCCAATCGGTTGCTTCTGGACTCATGTTGGCATTTAGTTTCTACAATCTTGACAACTCCTCGTCTGATATGTTGCAACGTCTCTTTTTCATGTTACAGGCTATTGTCATTGGTATGATGCTCATCTTTATCTCGTTGCCACAGTTTTACATTCAACGAGAGTATTTCAGACGTGACTATTCAAGCAAGATCTATTCTTGGGAACCTTTTGCACTGGGTATTGTTCTCGTCGAGCTGCCATATGTCATTGTCACCAACACCATCTTCTTTTTCATCACCTATTGGACGGTCGGACTGGACTTTAGCGCATCCACTGGTATCTACTATTGGATGATCAATAATCTCAATCTCTTTGTCATGATTTCACTTGGACAAGCCATCGCAGCCATTTCAACCAACACCTTTTTCGCCATGCTCCTCACACCGGTGATTGTCATCTTTCTCTGGTTGTTTGCTGGTATTGTCGTGCCTCCAAGCGACATACCAACCTTTTGGTACTACACTGCCTACACCCTCAATCCAACTCGTTACTATCTCGAAGGTATCATCACCAATGTCTTAAAGGATATCACGGTTGTTTGCACGGATCGTGATCTCATCAAGTTTGATCCACCCACTGGTATGACTTGTGGTCAATACACTGAACAGTTTTTCGCCAATGGTGCCTCGGGTGCTATTGTCAACCCTGACGATACTGCTCAATGTGGATACTGCCAATACACAAGTGGTGCCCAATACTATGAAAACTTGGGATGGTCAGAACAAAATCGTTGGAGATCATTCTATCTTTTGATTTTATATTGGTTATTCAACACTGGTCTTGTTTTGACATTTGTCTATATTACAAGAAAAGCTAATAGATAAATCACAATTTGGAATTCAATAAAAGTTGACCATGGATCAATCTAATTTTTTTTTTTTTACAAAACACCTAAATGTTGGCTTGGATCCTTTTTGAAGCTTGTTTGTACAAATATTATAATTATAATTTCTATTAATTTATTTATTACTTTCGATGTAATATAGCATGATGATAGAGATATCATGGTTTGGTACTATTGGGATATTATTATTTTATTATTTATTTATTATTACTATTTATTAATTACTTTCGATGTAATATAACATGATGATAGAGATATCATGGTTTGGTACTATACCTGGGTTGGGTGCAGATTTTGGGTCATAAGAATCAAACTCGAATCTAGTTCCAGAGATTGTTGGGTATGCAAAGTTATAGGCTTGACCTTCTTCCATTTGTTCAGAGTGATGATACAAAACATCGCCTATGTTTACCCAATCGTCTATTGAATATAAATCGACAGTGATGGCAGGCTCAACTGGAATGTCAAACTTGTTGTTGAGGAATCGTGGAACAGCCATGGCTCAAAGAATACCTGATACGCTTGGAACCAAGTGGCCTTAAAGTAGTATTCTCCGAATGGTATTTCTGAATACAACCAAGATAAACTATCTGGCTGTGCATCACTACCAAGAGTTGCACCATTAATATCCACCGCCAAAGTGTCAGTTGTAGCGTCATACAACTCAATTCTTGGTGTCCATGGCATCATTCCTCTCCATCTTGATTATTTATTATCAACAAACCCAGAGAGATTGATGAGATAGGTAACAGAGATACATTTTGAAGACCAGCATAGATGGGTACAATGGCATGTTTGTAGACAATACAATTGACAAAATCTTCAGTGATAATTAGGAATGGTCCACTAATATTGGCATAGGCAGTTGCTCCATTCTGGTCCACTTCACTGACAGATACTCCTCCACTGGATTGTTGACCATTCGAGATTGGGGAATGGATTGGTAATGAATAGTTCAATCTGTTCACAACTTCCAATAGTTTTAGAGTGATGGTGTAATGATGGATTTGAAGAGGTGATGCATCCAATACTACATATCATCACCTCAGTATTCCTAATAGTATTTTAAATTTTGATTTCATCTTTTACTAGTCTCTATCGTTCCAAAACTAAAAAAAGACCGATCTATCTATCTATTTACTAAAGTAAAATACTGTTATTGGTTTTGTAAATTGATCTTTCTCTTTCTCTTTTGTGATTGTGATACACATATCGATATCGCAGCAGAGAATATCAATTCTACTGATGAGATTGATTACATTGTATCAACCACCCTATATCTATAGTGTTCATCATATGATATATACACACCCAACAATGCAATTGCCAACCACACTGATCATCTTCTCCCACACCATTGCATTCGCCAAAAATAAATAAATAAATCAAAAAAATAACCCTCCCCATGGTGAAGTGAAATGATCAACCAAGTAGGTGGAGTATGAATAAATGGTGGGGGTATATATATCTACTGTGGAATTTGGTGCAAATATTATTATATTATTATTATTATTTATTCACAAGTTTGCGCGTGAAATTTCATAATCAAGAAGTCTATGATAAAATATACCAACAATTTCTACAGGTAGTTGCTTCTCTTCTAACTAATCTCTTTTTGTCATCGAGTGCTGGCTTTATACCATTGATAACACTTTGTTTGTATGGATAAAGTTTTTGATATGGTAATGATTTTGATAAATAGGTCAAAACTTCTAAACTTGATTGACGTAATGTCTTTTTTAAATAAATGGATAGATAAAAGGACTTGTTAATAATGGGGAAAAAAAAAGTTTAAAACATTTTTACTAATGTACTACATACCAATAATTGACCAGTAGTTGAAATGGTAATAAGAGAAGGAATAAGAGATCCAAGATAAGGTGAAATCGAGTTTGGTACATCTTTTACCAACATTAATAAAGTTTCCAAACTACTACCAAGTAATTGACTTTGATTTTGACTTTGATCTGCTTGTTGTTGTTGTTGTTGTAAAGATTGTAATACGATTGGTAATACTTCGCCCAATTCACTCAACAATACTTCCTTTGAAACATTTCTTAAGAGGTTGGTAATAGCAACCAAATATTGTGACAATTTACTTTGCTTGAATGCCTCTAATAGAATAGGGAACATTAAAGTAAAGAATTTTTGTTGATGTAATACTTTGATCACTGCACCAGACTTGCTTGAAAGAATTGGTAAATTGGTGATGGTCGAGATAATAATTGATTCATTGCTATTACTTGTTGTTGATGGCTGTTTAGTTTCTGAAAGTTCAACTTCATTTAATAAAATATCAAATGATTGAGCTGCTCTGTTTGAAATGTCTTGGTCTGGTGATGAAACCATATCGCTCAATACACGACCAAGTTGAATACTTTGACTATTACCATTAATCAAATATGCCTTTGTAATCCAAACTAAAAGATTCAATGCGTTTAATTTCTCCTTTTTGTTTGTGTTATTGCTATTGTCATTAATGATTGGTAAGATCTTTTCGATTAGATTATTATTAGAGTTGCCAGTGCTTTTGTTTACAATGGCCGATAAACATTGTGCACATGAAATGGAAGCAATTGAAATATCAGATTTGATAACCTTTTCAAATAATGATTGTTGGATTTGTTGAACCTTTTCAACACTAATCAAATCTGTTGCATTGGTAATATCAAATTTGGCTTGTGATAAAATAATCGAAAAAATTGGAATCAATAATTGTTGTTGTTGTGTTGATGATATGAATGGTTCCCAAGATGAAATATGTTGTAATCCATTCAACAAGTTGATATTATTATTAATATAAATATCAATTATTTTTTCAATTATTTGTTTTTGATTCCTGAATTTAATAAAAATAATTATTATTAATACACATACACATATATATATTATGATTATTGTTTATATGTTTAAACATACGATTGATTAATATTTTGAATAATAGAATGAATAATAATAATTGAAATTGGTAATAATTTTGAATTATAAAGTGAATTACTATTATTATCCAATATCATAATAAATAGTTGTGAAATTAAACCAAATAATAAATGATCATAATTGTTTTGAATGACAGATTCATCAATTGATTTCATAAATATACTTTCCAATGATTCTAAAATTAATAAACTTTTTGTAAATTCATCTAAATCGAAAAGAATATAGAAAATATTAATATTAATATTTTTATATAATGTATCAGTTTCTTCCTTTCACTCTCTTACCATTTGAAATATATTTTGATTTAATATTATTTAATAATAATGATTGAATATGTGGCATTACACTTGCTAATAATGGTTTAATCGTACACAAGGATGTAAATGCATTTAAATAATTTTTGGTTTCTTTCAATGTTGTCGATGATGATGATGAATCTCCATTATTATTGTTAATGTTGTTGGTATTAATCATTTGTAATAAAGTTGGGATTGCATATTCATTTAATATTTCAATTTGTTCATTTTTAGCAATTGTCATTAAACAATCCAATGATTTAGTTCTACAAAAAAAAAATAGAAAATATTAATATTATTATTATTTCATTTCTTTTTTTTTTTAATACAAACCTTAAACTATCATCAAAATCATTTAATAATGAAATAAATGATTTAATAATGGTTTGTCTTTTATCTTTTTCCAAAATAAGTTCTTCATCATTCTTTGATGATCCAGAATCAGTTTCCTTGTGAGATCTAATTGAAATGTAAAGATTTGATAAACATTCAAGTGATAATGATCTAACTAGAATTGATTGATTTGATAATAATCCAAGGAATAAATCATATAATCTATTTGAAAATGATAAAATTGGATTTTCTTCATCTAAACATAATAATAATAATAAGATTAGCCAAGTTATACTCTATATTACTTTCTTTCTTTTTTACCTTGATGATTTTTATAAAATGTTTGGAATGATAAAATATTTGCCTTTAATAAATCATTTAATAAACCAACAATTGAAATTTGTTCATTTGATTTGTGAACTGGATCTTGTTCAATTTCCAATACCAATTGATTATAAAATTCGAGTAAATGTGGTAGAATATATGATAAAACAATTCTTGAAGATACAACTAAAATAAATAATAAATAATTGTTAATAATGAGTGAATATTATTTCTTATTAATTCTTTACAAACCTGAAGCACTAATAGTTTGAACTAAAATTGAAGCACAACTAACAGCCAATTTTGAATCTTGAGATGTTTTAATATGATGAATACATTCTTTGTTGATAAGATTTAAAAATGATTCTAGGATTGGTTTATCGGCAGGTAAAGTAGACAGTTGTCTAGTGATTTGAAAGATTGTCTTTTTAGATTCTTCAATGACTTGACTATTTTTGTGTGTCAAGATTTGGTTACTCAAAGTACCCCAAACATCCTCTAAAAGTGGAGCCATTGCTTTGGCACCATAGGCCAATGAACATGTCACCAATGTTTGCATCGATTCAATCTTTGTATCAACAACATTGGCACTAATCTTTTCAAGTAAGAATGGTACAGAGTGTTCTGCAAATAATGGTGTTGATGCAAAACATTTTCTAAACAAATAAATGAAACATATCATAATGTCAATAAAGAATGTTTAAGAATATATCTACTTTTGATTATTATTATACATACAATAAAGAACTAGTTAAATCAACTCTAGTAATAGCATTGGGATCAGATTGTTTTGGATTGAATGAAATTGGATAATAACAAGATAGAATTTCAAAGAGTGAATCTGCAAAACTTGCATATTGTGGGATACAACGAACGACGGTTGGTAAAAGGTTGAATGAGAACATCAAGTTGCGTGGATCCTTTTCACCATCGATGAATTGTAGATAACCGACCATAAAGTCATTACCCATTGCTTGTATCTCTGCGAGATGTCTTGCAAAGAGAATATCGATGATTTGGAGTACCATCTTTCTGTGTGTCTGTGGTAGTGATGAAGGATGAACCTCTGAAAATAGAGTACGGAGCATCTTTTGATTGTACGGGTATTCGAGTTTATGGTGTGCCACCAATGCATAGATACCCTTGACCACTTCACTTGAACAGGCATAGTCTTTGAGTCGATCGATATAAAACTCTCCAAAGAATGATAATTGTTGTTCGTTTAGTTGTAGGTTGGGTAGTCTACACAACACCTCTGTCAATAATAATGTACCTCTTGATCTAAGTAGATTATCTCTATTCTGTAAATAGTCTCCCAACATTTTAACAAATTGATGTAATTCTAATCTTTTTGAATTAACATCTAAATATTGCATATAAATGAATGAGTCATTAATACATAAATAAATCATCATCATCATCATCATATCTCCTCTCTTTTTTTGTCTGACTCTGTACATACCCATCAAGATTACATTGAGAGCATCACTTCTTTCAGTCTCTGGTAATTGAATATTGACATATGTGTCTATTGTCTTGCTAGTTGTCATCATCTTCTTGTAATTCTCTCTCTATAGATATAAAAGTATATAGATAGATAGATTAACAATAAATGAAATGAATCTGTTAATCGTTGATCGCTTTTCTCGAACTGTGGACACACCCATTTTTAAAATTTTGGGTACTTTTTTTTAAACTCTTTGCTGCAAATATAAATATATTTACATTCATTGTACAGTATAAATATATCTAGATAAAGAAAGAAGAGAAGAGAATGGAGAGTGAAAGATTTGATGAAGTTTGTGAAAGGATAGAGTTAAAGTTAGAATCAAGATTAAATCCAAATGAGTTGATTGAAAAGGGTATTATAAAGTGTATGTAGTAAATATGGACAATTTACTAGATTCTAGTAATATACTAACTTTAGTTTGTGTGTTTGTCATGACATGTATATGTATGTTACATAGCAAGCTTATTGGTATCACCAAGTATACATGACAAACAATCAAAGATCAAGTTTCAACAAACCGGTCATAAAATCGATAGGATGTTAAATAATAGACCTGATATGAATCGATTAATTGATACCAATATAATGGTTGATTCACCAGAGAATCTAGCACCATCACTTCAATCAAGTAAAAAATCATTTACATTTAATCAAACTCAAAATAGTCTACGTGATAAGTTTGATAATATAATAATGATTCAAAATACATCATCATCATTTGATGATGACTCTAGTTCAACAACTGGAACTGGAACCGGAAGTTTAAATAGAAGTGGAGGTATAAGTAGAAGTGGAAGTAGTTATTCTATAAGTGGTGGAAGTCTAAGTAGAAGTGGTAGTAGTTATTCTATTAGTGGAGGAATTGGTGGAGATCTGATGATAATGTCAGAGACTTCATCATTGTTGGAATCAAAGTTGGTGTGTCGAAGTGATAGAGAATCGCTGATCAAGAATAATATTATAAAGAGTGGTGTTGATGTTGCACCTTCGATACAGGCACTTCAAGGATCACTCAAATTTGCACAAACTCATCATCAGCTGACTCCAAAATTAAATCAAAGACCTCCAACTCAAACTTTAATCAATAGTAATATAATTAAATCTTCATCTATAAATAATTTAAGTGATTTCACAAATAACAATAATAATAATAATAATAATAATGATCATGATGACAATAATAATGAAAATATTAATAATAATAATAATAATAATAATAATAATAATATTAATAATAATAATAATAATAATAATAATAATAATAATAATATAAACAGTTTTGAAACTTGTACAGATCTGAATTCACAAAGAATAGTAAATCATCTTGACCTTCATCTTGTAAATAGACCAACCATGGAAAATTTAATTAATCAAAATATTTTAAAAGGTATGAATGCAGATGATGATGATGATGATGATGATATGAATAGGATGATGTACTTATTTCATTCATTCATTTATTTATTTAGAATCAACCAATGAATCATCACCATCAATTCAATATAAAAAGAATAGATTACAATTTGAACAAAGAAGGAAACAACTTGGATCAATGGTTGAAAGTCGACCTAGTAAAGCATCGCTTTTAAATAATAATATTTTACATCCTGATCATTTGGGCAGCACTGATAACAATGCCAACAACAACGATGATGGCAATATTAGTGATGATGACGATGGTGATGATAATAATAATGATGATGATGGTAATCAAACTATATATAAACTACACCGTCACCAACAAGAGTTAACTTTGAAATTAAATAATCGACCGAATATCAATCATTTAATAGATCATAATATTTTAACGCCATCCATTGACAGAAACATTGACAATAATAATAATAATATTCATGAAAATGATAAAGAAGAAGAAGAGGAAGAAGAAGAAGAAATGGATCAATATATTCAAGATCATCCATTAAATTCTATTCCAACAAACTCGAATAATAATCATTAACATTCATGTTTCAATTCACCGATTAACCAATTTAAAAATGTACAGCTAATATATAACCTTTTATTATCTATTTATTTATTTATTTATTTATTTAAAAGTTGAATAAACAATATACGACAATGATTATTCAAAAGTAGAGTAAATTATAATATTGACCTGGTTAGTCTACATTATTATTATTATTTTATAACAAATTTTATAAAAATAATTAAAAAATCGGACTGAGTGTACTCACTGACACACTTTAATTCAACTAAAATGAGGGGTGCCGAGTAGAGTGAGAGAAGAATCATCCACAAGTTTTATTTTATTGGGGGTTTCAGACATCAAGAGAAAAAGGATAAAAAAAAAACTAACAATAGATCAAAGGTTGGTGGAATGTAACTCTGTACTAGTACTAGTACCTGCGACACAGTAAATTTTAATCATTTAAATATAAAAAGTTGAAAGAGTAGCAATCAACAACACAAGCAAAGTAGTTAGTTATTCATTTTTAAAAAAAGTGTCATACTCATTCACACACGCATTAGTCCAAGTTTACAAAGTCATTTCATTCTATTTATATCTTTTATCTTTATTCAACAAATAACATTGTACATATATATATATAATATAAAAGTCAGAACAGTAAATAATAACAACTCTAAAAGGTTGTTTTAGAGAACAAACAAACTATGTCAACAAATGATACATCATCAACATCATCAACATCGTCAGATGATAGTGCAAACTTAACATCAGGATGGAAAGGATTTGCTAGTAATCTCTTTACCAATGCTATAATAGGAACAGTCATCTTGGTGTTGTTTTATTTCTTGCGTATCTTTTATAGAAACTTTTATAATGCTCGTATCATCAAGAGTAATGGTGCGACGAGTCAACTTGTCATCAATCCGATCGAATGGATTAAATACACATTTGCATTCCCTTTGGAATCAATCTTTGAATCTAGAGGAATCGATGCCTACATGCATCTACGATTCCTTGTACTCTGTATACAACTCACATCGATATTCCTAGTGTTTGGTGTAGGAATCCTATTGCCAATCAATTACACTGCCCACAATGGTGACCTTACAACACACAATGTAACACTAAATGATTTGGATTCAGTCTCTATTGCTTCCATCCCCGAAGGTTCTAATAGACTGTGGGCTCATACCATCTCTATACCATTCTTTACTATTATTGCTTGTATATTATTTAAAAGAACTTATGCAGTTGTATGTAAACTAAAGATAACCTAGTAATATAAAGTAAACTAATCTTTATTTATTTTTATTTTAGTATTTAGAAAAAAGAATTAGATGGATGTCAAAACATCATGAAAGAAATTATACAGTATTGGTTAGAGAAATGAGTAAATCGATAAAGACTGCAGATGATATGCGTAGTTTTTTCCAAAGTTTCTTTTCTCCCAAAGAGATTGTTTCCTGTCACATGGTATACAAGGAGCCAGAGTTGAGAAAGCTTTGGAACCAACACAGAGACACTCAACGCAAGTTGGATCGTGTCCTTTCAGAGATGGAAATCAAAGGGTCAAAACCTGTACGTGCCAAGGGATGGGTACCGGCAACTCTTGGTGGCGACTTTGAAGACTCTAGAGAATACTATGAGAAAAAGCTGTTGGATATTGATTTCCGATTAAAACAGGCTCAACGAGACGCCTGTCAACCCTCTGGTAATCCTTCGTCATCCTCTATCATCAACAGCCAAGATAAGCTCGATAGTGCATCGGCCATGGAAAATGATCAATGGAGAATCACAAACATCACCCCCTCAAATCTCATGAAATGGGCAAACAAAACTTCTTCCTCTGGTTTTATCACTTTTAATCGTATGGCCTATGCCTCTGAAAGTGCTAGTAGTATTTATTCAAAAAATACTAATAAATTTATTGTTACTCCTGCTCCTGAACTTGTAAGTAAAATATAAAGTAAATAACAACCTTCAATATTAACTATTATTATTATTATTCTTTTGTTTTTTTTTTTTAGAAAAATATAAAATGGAAAAATTTATCAGTACCAAAAAGAGAAAGAACAGCAAGAAGAGTGATTGTATCATTTATATTCTTTGTATTGTTTTGTTTCTATACTATTCCAGTTACTGCTATCAGTGCTATTTCTAAATTAGAGAATCTTGCCAAGGTGCCAGTGTTGGCATGGTTGGTGAGTGCAGTCGAGTTGAATGACTATTTACAAGGTTTGGTCGAAGGTTATCTTCCATCGTTGGCTTTGGTTGCCTTTATGGGTCTATTGCCACTCATTATCCGTCTCTTGGTCATCATCAACAAGGAGCATTCAAAGACTATGCTCTATCACAAAATATTTACCACTTATTGGGCATTCCTTGTGGTCAATGTCTTTTTGATCGTCACTATCTCTGGTTCAGTCATGTCGGTGCTTTTTAGAGTGTTGGAGAATCTTACACTCAAAGAGATTATCACTCTGTTTGGTAGTTCACTTCCCACTCAATCCTCATTCTTTATCAACTATATTCTTGTACAGTCTCTCACCTCTGTACCATTTGATATTGTTAGACCTATCGAACTCTTCATTGGTATCATTAGAGCTGCTCGTGAATCTTCACCAGGTGAAAAGATTAAAGCTCTTTCTCGTGATGATCCAACTGCTCTTACAAGTATTAAAGTAAGATAAAAAAAAAAAAAACAAAAAAAAAAAGAAAAATATTGATAGATAGAAAGATATTAACATCACCTCTTTTTTTTTCTATAGTATGCAAGAGAATTACTTATTTTAGTTATTACATTGTCATATAGTACATTGTCACCATTTATTTTACCATTTGGATTAATGTATTTTTTGATTGATTATTTTGTATCAAAATACAATCATATCTATTCATTCTGTCCAAAGTATCAATCGGGTGGTACCATCTTTCCACTCGTTTTTAATCGTCTTTGCATTGGTTTGGTCATCTATCAAATGACAGCAATTGGTATCTTTATCCTCAAAGCATTCATTCCAGGTATTGTGATTAGTTTCCCTCTTCCATTTATCACTCTGTTCTATTGGTGGAGAAATGTCGATCACTTTAAACGTCCTTCTAGTGTTCTTCCTTTAAATATTTGTCCTGAAGAAGATTTTGTTGGTACCGATTTTATTGTAAGTTATATAAAACCAATATATATAGATTTATATAAAGTACTAATATTAACTCTACTCCTCCTTTTCTAGAAATCATATGAAGATCCAGTACTAAGTGTAAATGATTTGGAATTATCAAGAGTTTAAAAAAAATAAATTTAAAAGATTATAGGAATATTTACATTACATACATACATATATATATATATATATATACCAGAATACTTTTTGACGGACAATGGCCATCTTGATTTCGTGGATGAGAGTGACAATGAAACGTTGATCAAAAGGGAACGCCTCACAATCAGTCTCATCCACGCAAAAAAGATACCACCCTGGTTGTGCTCACAGGTTAACCCCACAACTGATAGGAAAAGGTGTTGACAGTAAATATACTTACAAAGTATTAATGTAACTGAAATTGAATTAATATATGGTTTTCTCTTAGCTAATTATAAATAAAGAAATAATAACAAAACAATCAGTGAGAGCTCCACCCGAGTTTATTTTAAATGATCTTCACCCAATTAAAGTGTTTTTTTTTGTTTTTTTTAACAACCATCTAACAAAAGAATTAATTTAGTTTAACCACATACATATATATATAACAACCATGTCGGCGTCATCATTGATCAAAGCAATAGCTATTGCTGTTATATCGATCTTTGTGTACCACAATCTCCTTCTTGGAGTACTACATAATGATAATCTATCATCATTCATTAATCATTATTTCGAGTACAATAACTTTAAATATCATTCTTCATCTCCTTCATCATCATCTCATCAAGAAATACTAGTACCAAATAATAATAATAATAATAATAATAATAATAATAATAATAATAATAATCTTCAAAAGAATATATACAATAATCATTTAATAGTAATCAATCAACAAGTTAAACAAGCACTATTAAATGGAAGAGCAGTGGTTGCATTAGAGTCTACCATCATTACTCATGGTATGCCATACCCACAAAACTATGAGACTGCCAAACAAGTTGAATCTATCGTAAGAGAGAATGGAGCTGTACCAGCGACCATTGCAATCATCAATGGAAAGATTCACGTTGGTTTGGATGACTCTCAACTGTTACTCTTGTCAAAGGTTGGTAAGAGTGCAATCAAGACATCTCGTCGTGATCTTGCTATTCTCCTATCAAACACTATTTCATCAAAGAATGATCAAGGTAATATAGTCATTGGTGCTACCACTGTATCCTCTACTATTTTAATTTCAAATCTAGTTGGTATTAAATTATTTGTATGTTTAAAGACAAGAGAGAGAGAGAGTTATAGATGAATGTTTAAACTAACATTTAACATTTAATTTGTTTTATTTTAGGTAACAGGAGGAATTGGTGGAGTACATCGTAAAGCAGAAGAGACAATGGATATATCTGCAGATTTGACAGAATTGTCAAGAAATAATGTTGCGGTAGTGTGTGCAGGTGTAAAATCAATATTGGATATTGGAAAGACGTTGGAGTATCTAGAGACAGAAGGTGTGACTGTATTGTCCTATCAATCCGATACATTCCCATCGTTTTTTACACCAACCAGTGCATTTAAAACACCTAATCGTGTAGAGTCGGTCGAGAGTATTGCCAAGATCATCAATGCAAACCACCAAGTTCAATTAAAGAGTGGTGTTGTTGTTGCAGTACCAAATACATACAAACTACCAGACAATGTCAATATCGACAAGGCTATTGAAGATGCTGTCAAAGAGGCTGAACAAACTGGTGTCACTGGTAAAGACATTACTCCATTCCTCCTAAAACGTGTCAATGAAATCACTAAAGGTGAATCTCTTAAAGCAAATATACACCTAATCAAACATAATGCTAAAATTGGTTCACAAATTGCCGTCTATTTATCTCAACAAGGACAACAACAACAACAACAACAACAAAAAGGAAAATCATCATCGCAAGAAGATGAAAAATTTAAAGTAACAGTAGTTGGAGGAGCAGTTGTTGATATGATATCACATGCATTTATTGATAGTGGATTCCAATTGGGTACTAGTAACCCAGGTACTATTGCCTATCGTATGGGTGGTGTTGGAAGAAATGTGGCAGAGACAATGATCAGATTAGGTCTTTCTACATTGTTTGTTAGTTTGGTTGGCGATGATCATCAATCCTCGATGCTTGTCAACCATTTGCAGGCACTAAACGCATCGACCAAGGCTGTTGTTCAACAAAGCAATATTCCAACAGCCACCTATAACGCAATCATGAACAAGGGTGATTTGGTGGTTGCTATTGCCGTCATGAACATCTTTGACAGAATCACACCATCCTATATCGACAAGTTCAAGAGTGATATTGTCGCATCCGAGATGATTGTATTTGACGGTAACATTCCAATCGACACTATGATCTCTTTGGTTGATATTGCCAATCAACATTCAATGGCCACCTTTTTCGAACCAACCAGTGTATACAAATCGACAAAGCTCATCAACACACCCATCGATATGGATCTACTTCCTTCCATCACATTTACATCTCCCAATCTTGATGAATTGGAAAGAATGTCAAGTGAAATTTGTCTTAGATGGCAATCAAAATGGAAAGGACAAGATGACAATAATAATGATAATAATAACAAAAATAATAATAATGATAATAATGATTATAGTAATATTGGTAAAGAATCAAAGGTATTACTTTGTAATAGTATTACATCTCTACAACTTCAAATCGAACAAAAACGTCAAGATGGTGAAATTATCAACAATGGAAATCATTTACATTCGGTTGAAATGATTAGAAAGCAAGCAAATGTATTGGTCATGTCTGGTATTAAAGTGATCATTGTCAAGGCTGGTAGTGGAGGTGTATATATTGTTAGAATTAGCAAGGACAATCATGACAAGATTCTCTTTAAGCACTATGAAGCTCCAAAGCTCCAAGACAGCATGATCATCGATTCGACAGGTGCTGGTGATTCTTTTGTTGGATGTTTTATTTGGAGTATTATCAATCAACAACAAGGTGGTAGTAATGGTCGAAAGATGACCAATCATATTGACCAACAATTAACAGATAGTATGATTGATAAGGCTGTACATCAAGCAACTCTTTGTTCAAAATCAACCCTACAATCATCTCATCCCGTATCACCATTAATACAACCATCTCTATTTGTTTAAATTTTAAATGACAGAAAGAAAACAATTTATTTTGGATTAATAAAATATAAAAGCTCAAAATAACTATCAAAGGGCGATCTTAATAAATAAATAAATCTCTTGTTTAAATTTTATATATCAAAACTGTTGAGAAAGTTGGCGAGTAGATGTTGGCGTGGATTAATATTAATATATTAGTTTGTATTATTACTATTAGGTGTCCGTGTTGTTGGTTGTTGTTTTGATTTTTTAATAATGGGCTTGATGATTGGGTTATTATTATTATTATTAGTCGGGTTGGAGTGGTTGTTGTTTGTTGTTGAAATTAAAGGTGGTTTAGTTGAATTACCATTAGTAGTAGTAGTCGCCGCTATTGTTGTATCAATTGATTTCTTTTTCATTTTAACTATAGTTGTATTATTATTATTATTATTATTATTTACATTATTATTATTATTATTTGTTATTGTTGTATCATTTTTTTGAATAAATTCATCAATTGTATCATTACTATTACTACGAATTAATAAAGGTGGGGTACTACCAATATTAATGGAGTCCTCCATGATTTGGAAATCTTGTATTCCCTTGATGAGCATTGATTTGAATTTACTATGTTCCTTTTTCGATCTTTTCAATTCCTCTTGGAGATCAGCAATCTTTTTAGCTTCCATCAATTGACATCTCTTTTTCCAATTATGTAATTCACTATTGAGCATATCCTTTTCACTAGATAATAATTCATGTGAAATGGTTTGATTTTCAATATCTTCTTTTGATAAACTAATTTCTTGTTGTTTTCTAAAAATAAAAATATTATATTAACTTAACAGTTGTAAATAATATTAATCTATATATCTTACTCTTCATATAATTTATGTAAACTATTAACTTGACGATTTAAAGTTTCAATCATTTCTTTTAATTTCAAATTCTCATTTTCTAAATTATATTTCTCTTGTTCTGTCATTTCACAATAATAAATAAATTTTTCTTTTTCTTTTTCAATCTTTGTTATATAATCTTTTTGAATCTAAATAATTAAAAATAAATGGTAAGTTGTTGTTGTTGTTAAAACATGATATCAATCTGCTGCCGCTGCTTTTGACTTACAAAATCAATTTTAGAATTTAATCTATTATGAATATGTTCAATTTCTTGATGATGTTTAACATCTTTTTCCTCGAGGATTGACATTGTATCTTGAAGTTGTTTTGAATTTCTTTGGAGTATATCTTCAAAATGTGAGAGTTTCTTTTTGAGTGAATGAGTTTCCTTTTCCTCTTTGATCTTTTCGTTTTGCAATCTGATGATTTCAGAATTCTTTTCGTCTATTTGTTGGTCGAGTGATGCTTTGTTTCTCTCCAATGCACTTGCCTTTAGTGAAATACCAATCAAATCGGTTTGCAAGTGACTTTTATCTTCTTCCAATTTCCCATTTGTCTGAAGTGCAATTTGTACTCGTCTCTCCAACTCTTTGGCACGTGTCGACGATAATGTATATTTCTCCTTGAGCAATGAAATGACTTCATGTAAATCATCTATATTACTTAGATCTGGATCATAATAAAATTCTTCTGTCGCCCATCCAATACCTTCAAATTCATCACCATCATCTTCATCGTTATCACTGTCTTTGTCGTCTTGATCGTCATCTTGATCACTACCACTACTACTATCGCTAGAAATAGTTGGTGATCCAGTTGGACTAGTTGATTGTATCTTGTAAGAGAATGATTGTTTGATAGGTGGTTCCTTTTTCTTTTTCTTTTTCTTTTTTGATTGTATTGATTTTCGAGTTTCACCTCCAGGGATTGGTAATTTTTTAGATGGTTTACTTGTATTCTTTTTAACCCATTCCTGGTCAAATTGAAATTGCATATCTGATTCACCTGCACCTCCCAATCTACGCCTGGAATGATGATCGTCATCACTGTCGTCAGAGTTGTCATAGGCTGATTTCCGTCTCCTACGACTTGAAAATGTCTCTGGATTCAAAGACAATAGAGTACTAAAGAGATCCTTGTCACTGGTTTGTTTAACCAGTCCGTGTCCAACTCCCATTACCTTTTTTTGTAAATTGGTATGACTTGTTGGTGGGTATTGTACATGTTGTTGTTGTTGTTGATGATTATTATTATTATTACTAATATGACTATTGTTGACATTAACAGTCGTAGTAGTAGTAGTATTATTACTACTGTTATTACTATTACTGTTATTATTATTACTATGATGATTAGGAGATGAAGGATTAGACTTGCTAATTAGATGTGATATTGTTTGATGTAATGTCATATTTCCACTTCCATTGGTACCATTGCTACCAGTACTACCTTCATCATCGGAACTTCTTGGAGCAGGTAAATTTGAATCATCAAATGATGATGATGTAGACATTGCCCTTGCTCTTTGATTAGTATGTGTATTGGTATTTGTGTTGTTGTTGTTTAAGTGGTTATGGTTGTTGGAAGACGACGAAGATCCAGGAAGAGAAGGAGATGTAGATGAATAAGTTGAAAATATACTATTGAGATTTGAATTACCACCACTTGTTCCAATTGGACTGGTCGATCCAGACCCAGACCCAGACCCAGATCCAGCACTAGCAGTACTACCAGTTGATAGATTGAGAGAGTTTGAACGTGGTCTAGATGATCCATTTAAACGACGCGGTGAAATGGGATTGGGTTTTACATAGTATGGGTAGATGGGTGTGATGATGGGAGGCGATGATGAAATGGGTGACCCTCCACCACTGCCACCACTACTGCCACCACCATTGCCGCCACCACCACCATAACGTCGTGGTGTAGGAGGTGGTGATATGAGACGAGTGGGTGTGCGCACTGGTGACATGGATCGAGATCGACACGGTGAAGGAGGAGGCGATGGAGGGTTAGATATCTCTCGACTACAATTGACCGATGGGTTGTTGGGATAGAGGGACCGAGTCATTGCAAGAAACGAGTCACGAAACTCTTCAAAATCAATCTCTTGATCTCCATACTCTGCCAACTGCTTTTGCATCATCATAATAAACTCGTCACTCACCGTCGTACCGGTAAATGACTTGATCGCTCTCTTTAAATCATCTTTATCAAACATTTTCAAATCTTCTCTATTGTTATTACTGTTACTATTGTTATTACTACTTTTTACTATGTTTGTTACTTAGTATTATTACTATATACAAAAAAGAAGTAGTTAAACTCCTTGAAGAGTTATTTCTCATCTATCTTTTCCTCTCTCAAAACCTCTCTTTCTTGTATATCTCTATTAATCTATCTATCTATCTGTATGTTATCTATCTATGTTATAATAATAATAATAATAATTGGTTGAGGAGGATTAAGTAATTGAAGTGATGATTGCGAGAGTAGGTAGTATGTATTTATATGTTATAGTCGACTATAAAGTTGAGTGTTGTGTTGTGTCTTTGCAAAGCCAAGCCTGTGAACTTAAATGGATTATTTGTTGTTTATTTGTTTGGGATTTCTTTAATGGTTTTGTCCCTCGAAAATGGTAGAAGTTTGTTTGGTTGATTTTCCAACCAGCACTTTACTTTTAGTGTAATATTTTTTCGCATTTGTTGTAATAGTTTAGTTCATTGAACTATAATGTAATTTAATGTTATTGTATTACTTACTACTCACACAACAACAACAGTAGTCTAGAGACAACTATGAATCAACCATCTACTGAACAATAACTTAAATGGTGATATTGTAAGACGATTGAAAGGACAGCGCTAGATAGATCGGTATAGAACAAAAAGGTAGTAACCCGAGAGAGATAGAGACTACGGTCGTAGTCATCGATAATGGTGTAGGACTACTACTACTACTACGAATATTAATCGACAACAACAACAACATCAACAACAATAATACATAGTAGGCAGTGGTATAAAAGAAGACAAAGTCTTGTGTGACAGACATCTCTCAATTAATATTTTGGCTAGCCATAATTAACAACAACCACCCAACAACATGTTTTAATTTAAATTTTATTTTTATTTTTAAATACCTGGAACATCAGATTGCAGAATGATGATGATAAAGTTGCGTATTATTGTTTCTAAAGAGAGGAGAGAGAGAGAGAGTAGATTTTATTTGTTTGTTAATTTAGTTAATAATTAAATTAATATTATTTATATTGAAATGACGAGACACAGTAAATCAGTCAATCAACTTGGTATGCTTTACAAACTACTGTTACCCACTACCTACTAATACTAACTACTTTTATACTTTATATATACCAAAAAAGATCTTAAATTGGTAGAATTCAATCAAGACAATGTAATAGCACTACTTCATCATTGTGGACTTGGTTATGACTGGGCTACAGAGATTTGGAAAAGATTGGATAATAATGGAGTTGGTTGTTTTGATCATGTATCAGTTATCTTTTACCATGCTGAACACCTCGACCTCAAAAGAGCCATATTTCAAGGAATATTAAATCTTGGACACCAACTAGAGTTGGCCAAGTTACTCCCTCAACCTTCTTTTAAACCTGTTATTACACATGGTAAGAAAGAAAAACTAACATAACTTGGTTTATAAACCTCATATCTTTTGTACTTACCATGTTTCATTCCCCTTTTCTTTTTTCTGTTTTTTTCTTTTTTTATTTTGTGAAACTTTAGAATTTACTATTCCATTTATTTCAAAATATGTAACACAACCAAGAAGATTAGAAAATTTTATAGATAGAAAATATATTCTTGCTGTAATTGAGGATCATATCGATTCAAATATTCAAAACTCCAAGAGTATGATGAGACAGGATCATCACTTTTTGTATATAGTCAATGGACGTGGAATGGGTAAAACAATGACTGGATTTCGTACTTCCAACTTTATGTTAGAGTCTCCAAAGTATCAACAATTTACAAGATATAGTATTTATATTGATTTATCAAATGAATTTAGGTTTGTATTTTATTCAAAAAAAAAAAAAAAAAAAACAATCAATCAATAGAAATGTTTTGAAACAAAATGTTTTCTTACTTTTTTTCTTTTTCTTTTTCTTTTTCTTTTTCTCAGATATGATGAAAATATGGATAAAAATATATCAATAGAAATGTCATTAGGAGTAAGAATTGCTTCATGTATTACAGGTGTAAATTGGAAAAGTTTATGTTTAAAATTTAAAGATAGAATGGAACAATTAACCTTTTCAGTTGTTATGAAAAGATTGGCAACATTGAGATCACAACAACAACAAAATCCTCTTCCTCCTTGTTTGATTTCAATTCATCTAGATGAGATTCAAGTAAACACCAAGTTTACTCGTGAAATTCTAAATCTTATTGGTTGTTTTATGTGCTCATCATCGTCGACGATGACTTCTTCTTCCAATCAACAATCAATGTCTGACGGACAAATACTCAATATCATCATTATACCAATTCTTACTGGTACCTCTTCAAAGGGATTGAGACCACAAGCCAATGATTCATATGGATTAAAATCAATCACCTTGTTACCATTCACCACCAAAGAAAGTTGGGATTTTATGTATATGCATATTCCTCTTCTCAATACCGACTATCTACCAGAGAATTGTTTCGATCATATACTAAATAGTATGGGAGGGATACCACGTATCCTTGATGTCTTTAGAACCAACATTGGATTGGATGTTGAACTTGACCACTTGACCGACCACTTTGTCAATACAATGGCCACAATCGACGAACAATACCATGTTTCATCTCAATGGATCAAGGCCTCTGGCTCCAAGGAAAACTTGTTAAAGATGATTTCATGGGTTATCAACTCAACCCCAATAGATCTCTCAACTATTGTCGATGAAAAGACTACCATTGAAGATATCATGAAATATGGTATCATCTTTATCAAAGGTGATCCAAAAGACCCAGACAACAACTATCTTTCTTATCCTCTCATCATTCTCGAAATTCTCAATAGATTTCTTCACTTTGCCAATATCAATATAATTGAGCACGCAACTGCAATAACAACAACATCATTCACTGGAAATAGTTCAAACAACAACAAGAACACCAGAACCAACAAATTTAAATGGAGATGAACAACCATACATTTTGAATTCAAAAGTATTCTATAATAATAATATTAATAATAATACAAAATGTACACTTCCATATTTTTGATCTATTAATACAAGCAAACAAGCAAACAAATAATTAATTAAATAAAAAGATAGTAATTATTTAATAGGGACATTTTGGCGCCAAAACTATACAAATTTGAAAATTATGAGAGTACTAAAACTATATTGTTAACAAAACAATTAATTAATCAAATATATATATATATCAATAATGTCAATTAATTACGTACATCCAATTGACAATGTTAAACAAATTGTATGTAGTAATTGTTCATGTTTTAAATTGATTGATGGATTGGGATTTATATCTAATGACATGCACTGATCATTTTTTATATTATATTATATATAGTTTATCGAATCAGATCAAGAACTAAATACTATTCAACATCAATTAAATCATGATTTCTATCAACTCTATGATCAAAGTGCATCTTGTAATCCAATTAAAATAGGAGAGAGAATTAAAAGATTACAAGATGAGATGGTGTCGATGATGAAAGATATAGAATACATACGAAATACAAAAGAAAGAATGGTCGATAGATGTTCAACACAATTAATCAACAATAGAACAATGATTCAACAATTGAGGAAATCAACTGATCCTACCTACACTCAAATATCAAATGAAGAAGATTATATCTTTTCAAATTTTAAAAAGATTATTAGCAGTAATAATGGTAATGGAAGCGGTGATCAACAACCTTCATCATCCATATCATCCACATCGTCAGTATCAAATAATTTCACAACAACAACAACAGCATCGAAATACATGTTAAAAAATAGTGATCAATTAAACCTGGAACTACAAAAAACTACTCAAATGTTGGCTGATAATAATATCCATGTTGTTTCTATTCAACAACAACAACAACAGCAACAACAACAACAGACAATGAATCAACAACCATTACCATCGGTGGTACCAAGTGAACTAGAAAAACAAACTACCTCTTCAACAACAACCTCTTCAACTACAACTACTACACATCCAGTTGTTGAAAAGAAGAGATCTAAAAATGTGTATAGACCAATGTATGTAGTTTCCAACAAAGTGAATGATAGAGTAATATATTAATATTTAATATTTATTTAATTGATTATAGAAGTGAAAAAGAATTTAATTCAATAAGTGAATCAATAAGAGGAAGATGTAAATTAGATGATGTAAATAAGATATATGAAAAGGTAGTATTGTTTTACAAGGATAAAGCAAATGCCAAGGTAATTTTAACAAAACAACAATTGGCAATGCAAGGTTGTAAAGTATTGGGATTGTCTGGTGACCAAGCAATACTTTGTCTCAAAGCATTAAAAATAATTGATATTAATAAACATGGTATCATTATTAAATCATTGTAAATCTTTTCTTTAATTATTATTATTGTTTTATTATTTATTTATTTCGTTTAAATTAAATATTGAAAAAGGAAATTAAATATTGAATGGAATGGATAGGGAACTAGGTTGAGTTGAGTTTTGGGGGGTGGGGATAAGTTAAAAGACCGGATAAATTATTAATTAATGAATTATTTATAAAAGTTGATTATACACTGTTGCTATTGGATTGAGGGGTGAGAAGGTGAGGGTGATAGGTGATAGGTGATAGATGATTTGATTAGATTTGTTTGAATTTGCCTTAAGATGAAGAAGTAGTAGTAGTTGTTGAAGTTGTAGATGAGGTTTTAGATTTTTTGGTTACTTTCTTCTTGCTCTTTGGTACCTTGCCCTTTTTGTTTACGTCTTCTCCCTTTAGATAGTTGAGGATTTTAGTGATGAGTTTTTGTTTGTTGAGACTGCTGGTGCCGGTCATGCCCTCCTTTTTACAAAACTCTGACAATGGCTCAATGTTGAAGCAGTTGTGGAGCGTGTCTCTGTCTACACCCTTGGCAATCTTGCTGATGGGTGGATTAACGTATTTGCCATCGTGGTAGTATCCTCCGAGCTTGTTGGGGTTGGATTTGGTGGGACGGGCGGTATCGACCTGGTCTTCTGAATCACTGTCCGAGTCAGAATCCGAGTCACGGTCATCTTGCTTACGCTTTGGTGCGGCAGCAGCCTTCTTCTTGCCGTTGGTTGCAGCAACCTCGGTCTCTAGCTTGGTCACTGGTTTCTTGACACGCTTTCCAGCTGCAGAGTCTGAGGACTTGGCAGCAGCAGCTGGTTTGGCAGGAACACGTTTGGAAGCAGCACGAGCTTGTCTCTTGACTGCTTCAGCTGGCTTCTTGGCGTCTTTGGCGGCAGCAGCCTTGGCAGCTGGTTTCTTGGAGTCTTTGGCAGCTGGTTTCTTGTCCTTGGCAGCTGGTTTCTTTGGTGCGGCAGCGGCGGTCTCCTCTTCTTCTTGCTCCTCTTCATCTTCGTCTTCTTTGGTTTCACCACCTTCGAGGTCGTACATGGCCTTCATCAATTGGTCAGTGTCCTTGGCAGTGTCGCCCGAGTGGGTGACCTTGAGGTCGGTGCAGTAGCACTTGAGCACGTCCTTGTTGAGCTTAAAGAACATCTTGTTGACGCCCTGCAAAAACGATTCCTCCTCGATACGACTGATACGCTCGGCCTTGGTCTCGGCCTCATTGTCGTCGCCGAGCTTGAGCTGTTCGACAACACTCTTGAGTGAGTCGGCGCTGAGACGGTCGAGTGCGGCCGACAGCCCGTGTGTCTCAAACTCCTTGGGCACCTGATCGACGTCGATCTTGAGGTCACCGGCAAAGATGGGCTTGAAAGCCATATCCTCGAGCAAAAAGGCATATGTCTGACCAGACACCAATGTCTTGATCATCGAAAGCAACTCTGGCTTCTTTGGTGCAGATGGAACCTCCTTACCAAATGTTACCAATGTTTGTTTCAACGAGTCTGCTTTCAATCGATCAAATTGCTTGATCACGTTTTGAAGTTGTTGTGATATCATTCTCTCTCTATTATATATTTAATAATATTCCACTTGATCTATTTGGATTGTATGATGATGATGATGATGATGATGATAATAATAATAATACTTTTGTATATTGTGTATTATAATTATAATCCTTTGTCTTGTTTTTAATAAATTTGTTTCTTGTTTAGTTTACCTACAACAAATAAAGAAACAGACAGACAGCAGACAGTGTTTATGTATTAGTATATATGATTGACTAGTATTATATAACTATATACTATACTATACGATACTATATCAATTTCTAGAAATGCATCTCTAATCTAAACTTTCTTCTTCTTTCCTCAAAGTTGTTTGTCGAGCCAAGAGATTTGAAAGATAGTTTTTCCAAGAATGCAATGATTATCGATGAGATAGTAGTATGTATGAGAGGGGGAGATGAAGGGGATGATATACCTACAAAGAAAGAAAGAGTATGTATAATACTTTGGGTAAGACAGTCTAGGTGACGTTAGTGTACGGTACTACTATGAAAATGAGAGAGGAGGTGAGGAGCGACACTGTGAAGATCCCAAAACACAAAAAGTGACCGTTGCAAAAATAAATTCAATTTTTTTATCTTTTTCCCGCCACTTTTAAACCCACAAAGCAGCTTTTGAGCAAACCACCAATCCAATCTTTCGCAGTTCAATTTTACGGTCGGCCATTATTGTGTTCAATGAATATATGACATTAACTTACTATCAATGATATGAGGAATCAGAATCTTTATACTTTAGAATATATATATATATATATATAAATATATAATTTATTGGATAAATAATATTAATAATATAGTTTATATTTAATTAAAGTTGCTGACTTCGAAAAAAATGGGAAAGCTAGTTTGAAATTTCATTCATCCATTATTATTATTATCCCATTCATTTCAACAATCATGTCAAAGAAAGTAATACTTCAATATAATGGTGCATTACATGATATCGTTATAGAGAGTGATATGATTGTAGAACAATTAAAAGCACACATCTACTCGATCACTAGTATTCCACCATCTAATCAAAAGATACTTGGATTGGTCAAGAGTGCTCTAGTCAAAGATGATACTATACTTTCATCATTGGATATTAAAGATGTATGTGTATAAATAACAAACTATGATGATGATTTATGATGATTGTTAATATTCTTTGTTTGTTTGTTTGTAAAGGGTCAAAAGATTATGGTGTTGGGTCAAAAGGAAGAGGTTGGTGTAACAACAACAACTCCTGTTACTCCTGCTGCTGCTGCTAATACTACTACCACCACAACTACAACTAGTAGTAGTAGTACCGAGGGGGATGGGGAATACTTTGAACCAAGTATATGGACACAAGAATGTACAAGAGTCTATTTAGGTAAAAATGATCAAATGCAACCAAGATATGAAGATCAACAAGGTAGAACCGTTTGTTTTGCTTGTTCAACTACATGTTATGCAGCCAACACAATCAAGTGTGTACCAAAAGTAACACCTTTTCATTGTCAGTGCTCTGAACATGACCATGTGGCTGGCCACGAATGTCTATTTGGACCACGTATAGACTCTTACAAAAATCCAAACAAATCATCATTACAAAAAATGAAAGAACAATTAATATCAAATTTAAAACAATCTTTATCAAAATCATTACAACAACAACAACAACAACAACAGCAACAACAGTCACCACAAATTAATAATAATAATTTAGGTGGTCCATATAATGGACCAATGCCAACACCAGATCAACAAGAAAGAATGATAAGCACAATTGAATCAAATTACAAATGTATATTACATTATGAAAACAAGGATCTTCAACAAAAAGCATTATCATTGGTACCAAAGGAAATATTACAAAATCGTAAAGGGTTACCTTTAAAAAAGGGACCTGAACAAATGAGAGAATTATTAAATTGGTTTAAACATTCTTTCTTTAAATGGGTTGATGCTCCTCCATGTGATTATTGTATGGTATGTAATAGAGATATAAATATATATAAATATAAAATATACATATACATAAATATTTATCAAACTTTTTATTTTAGTCACAAACAAGAGGAGTTGGAACAACCACACCATCAGCACAAGAAAAGTTATATAGAGCCGGTGTAGTTGAATTGTATCAATGTGCCTATCAACATCAAACTAGATTTCCTAGATACAATGATACTGGAAAGTTGATGGAGACTAGAAGAGGTAGATGTGGTGAATGGGCAAATACATTTACTTTGTTTTGTAGAGCTCTTGGGTACAGATCACGTTATGTTCATGATTCAACAGATCATGTTTGGACAGAGGTTTGGATTGAAGAGGAGAATAGATGGGTTCATTGTGACAGTTGTGAACCACTCTATGACGCACCTCTGACATACGAAGCTGGATGGGGAAAAAAGTTGGCATACATCTTTGCCTATGAAGTTGACGGTTGTTTTGATGTCAGTCGTCGATACACTGCCAAATACAACGAACTACTTGGACGACGTGACCGTGTGCCAGAACAATGGCTTGAAAACTATTTGACACGTGTCAACCAAAAGATATTGGACCGTATCAAAGACAATGACCAGAAAACCCATCGATCTCATCGTTTAGAGTGTGAAGCCAAGGATTTGGCAGGTTCTAAAAGACAACTTACAAGTGATGAGTTACAACCACGTGCATCTGGATCTGAAGAATGGAAATCTGGTAGAGGTGAAATGGGTGATGGTCAATCAACAAGATTACAACAACAAAAATCAATCTTTCCACCATCATCAATGAAACCTAGTGAAAGACCAGTCATCAAGGAATCAATTATCAAATTTGACAAGAATAACATTTCCTCTCAACTAACGAATCAAATCAACATGATTGGACATTGTAATATATCTTCATCGTCATCTGATAAATGTATTCAATTAACCAATAGAGCCAATGATCAATGTGGAGCATTTTGGGTAAAAGAAACACAAAATGTAGATAGAGATTGGATTGTTAATATTGGTTTTAGAATTGATGGAAAGGGTGCTGATGGTATGGCATTTGTTCTTCAGAACCATGCGATCAATATCATTGGAAAAAGAGGTGATGGTCTTGGTTATGATGGTATTGAAAACTCGATGGCTGTTGAATTTGACATGTATGAGTCAAAGGGATCGTGTGCCGATCCAAATGGTAATCATATTAGTGTACATTGTAATGGTGACAATAAGAATACATCACATCATCGTTGTTCATTGGCTTGCTCGGCTCCCTTTGGTGATCGTTCCATCAATGACGGGTCTGTTCATCAAGCATCGATTGTCTACTCTGCCGAGAAAAAGACTCTCAGTGTATGGTACGATAACTACTATATCATCTCTGACGTTTCAATTAATCTATCCAACAAATTGGATTTAATTGATGGTAAAAAAGCATGGATTGGAATGACTGCATCAACAGGTGGTATAAATCAATCTCATAACATTCTTGAATTTGAATTTGGTTATCTTTAAAAAACACAAATAGACTTAATATATAATGTACAACAAACAAATAAATAAATAAATAATGTGTAAATAAATAAATAATTGTTTTTAAATTTATTATATTATATTAAATTTTCTTTTTTCTCCTTTTCTTTCTTTGTGCTGCTCCACTATCACTAGCACTTGTATCAAATTCACTTGAACTTGTAGTAGATGTAGAAGTAGTTGAAGTTGTACTTGTTGATTCGTTATTTTTGTTATTAGTATTTTTAAAAGGTGTTGAAAAGTAATCATCAGCAGCAACCTTTTTCTTAAAGGGTGATGGTGTTGGTAAAGGTGAATAGGACCCAGTAATCGATCCAAGTGTTTGTGTAGGATCGGTAGTATTATTTAAATTCCAAGGAATACCCGATGATGATTCCCTAGCAGGTGTTGAAAATAGAGAAGATGATGGTTTGGATGCCGACATTTTTGGTGTTGAAGATAATTTCATACTTGCAATAAATGCTTCCTCCTCTTCACTAACCTTTCTTTTACTTGGAGTTGAATCTGAACTTGATGATCTTAAATTATTATTAATATTATTTTGATTATTTGCAGGTCTTTTTCTTGCAACTGGTCTTGGTTTTTTGGGAGGTTCATCAATCTTTGATGGAGATGGTCTATATGATGATGAATATTCATCATCACTGTTGTTGTTGTTGTTGTCGCTATGTACACTATAAGTATCACTGTCACTTGATATTCCACTTGCACTACTTTCAGTTGGTGCACTTGTCCATGATGTCTTTTTAAAGGTTTTCGATTGCATTGGTTTCTTTCCAGCAGCACTGCTAGCACGTTTCTTGGCAACTGATCGTTGTGGTTTGGGTGGTGGTGTCTTTGGTTCTTTTTCTTTTTCCTTTTCCTTTTCTTTCATCTCTTTTTCCTTTAATTTTCTAGTTCTTGAAGTAACTCCAAATTGTCTTGCAACCTCTCTTTGTAATTCCTCCTCTGACGAGTCATTCATCAATGAAATGGATATTTTCATTGGACTATCATCATTTTCAATCTCTGTCTCTGTATCTGTATCAGAGTCTGACGTATCTTGATGATTCTTTGATGCTTTTTTCATCACTGGATGATGTGTTGGTTTCTTTGGTGATCGTTTTTTCTTTTTTGGTGATGGTTTTCTTGTTGGTTTATCATCATCATCATCCATCCTAATAACAATATCATCTCCTCCAAATTCCATATCCATTTCTTCATCTTCATCTCTTTCATCAGCACTAACTTTTTTTCTTGAAGCTGTTGGTTTTTTCTTTTTAGTTTTCTTTGTCGATAATGTTGATGATTTCTTGTTTTTGGTTGGTGATATAATGATTTCTTCTTCTGTTTCTTGGTCGTCGTCGTCGTCGTCTTCATCTTCATCATGATCTACATCAACATCTATATTTGGACCAATATTATTTCCATTTTCATCCAAGTCTCCATCCAAATCTGCTTTCTTTGTTGCTTTCTTTTTTCTTGGTGCTGGTTTCTTCTTTTTAGCGGGTGTAGGTTTCTTTTTCTTTTCCTTTTCCTTTTTCTTTTCATCTTTATCCTTTTCTTCATCTTGTTCACTTTCTTCTTCTTCCTCATCTTCTTCATCTTCATCACTACTATCAGATTTCTTTTTCTTCTTTCTTCTAGTTGATGCAGGTGGTTTCTTTTTTCTACTCCATTTATAAGTTTCATCGACATCTGGAAATTCAGTTGCCATTTCAATAGGGGCAATTGCTTCATCATCATCTTGATCGACGACTACTTTCTTTTTTCTAGATTTGGGAAGATTTTCTTTTAATTTCATTCCGGCAATGTTTAACTTTCTCACTGCTCTGTCTGATCTTCTCTTTTCGTTTCTCTTTTCTCTCTTTTGTTCCTTTTTCTCCTCCTTTTCCTTTTCCTTGGCTTCCTTGTCCTTTTCCTTTGCCTCTTTGTCTTTTTCCCTTTGTTCTTTTTTCTCTGCCTTTTCCTTTTCCTTTTGTTCCTTTTTGTCCAAAGCGTCTTGAGAAAACTTTGGTTTCCTTTGAGACATGACCATCGAGTCAATGATGGGCACATAGAGATTTGGTATGGTTTTACCCGTCTTTTCGCATATATACAAACACAATTCCCGGTGTCCCTTTTCATTGGCCACATCTGCGCTATCCTTGGCATCGACATATCTCATCAACGTAGTATCACATTGAGCATCTATTAAAGTTTGAACCATCTCTCTATTACCTTGAAATGCTGCTAAAATAAGTGCACTATATCCGTCTAAACAAAAAATAAATAAAAAGTAAGTATATATATATATTCCTTCTATCATACTATTGTTATTATTATTCTATATTTCTTTCATACTATTATCTTGAATATCTAAAATATCAGGTTTAGTAGCAAAATATTGGATGACTGGCATATTATTTGCTTGAATGGCACGATGTAGAGCAGACTTTCCTTGTGTATTTACTTTGATCAATGATACACCTGCTTCTACAAGGAATTGTACCATATCACGATTTGATTTTGAAGCAGCAACGTGCAATAGAGTGTTTTCAGATTCATCGACTAGTTCATCCAAATCAACTTCTTCAGTATCGATGAGTGCCTTGACAATCATCATATCACCGGCGAGAATGGCATGATGTATCATTGTCAGGCCACTGCCTTCTTTGTATTGAACGTCACCACCAAGTGCTATCACCAATTTGACAGTGTTGAGTAGTCCCTGTTTGACAGCAATACCCAACGGTGACGTTTGATGTGTCGCAGCCATTAAATTAACATTGGCACCTCCAATTTGTACCAACCATCTAACAACATCATTGTGACCATAGAAAGTAGCCAATGACAATGCAGTATTACCACATGAACTATAATCTACAAACATTCCATCTTGAATACATTTTAATACTCCAATCACTGATCCTGCTCTTGCATACTAAATATAGAAATCAAATAGAAAAGAGTTAATAATAAAGTGTGGTTGATGATTATGATGATAATAATAATAATCTCAGACATGTACTTGATGTAGTCTTAAACCTAAAGCCAAATACTCTTTTTGTTGGTCTTTTGTAAAATATTCGTTGTCTTTGATGGTTAGATCGTCTTTAAAGTCTTTGCTAGCTACAGTTTTACGAGTATTAGAAGAAGAGGAGGTAGAAGCAGCTGTAGCTTGTGGTTGGTTTCCTCCGTCATTCTCGTCTTCACTTCCTCCACTATCCATAGTATTACTACTACTACTAGTATATTATTACACACACTTGAACCGTCGTTGGTACCTTCTTATCTGAATCTATCTAAAAGTTGATATTACTACTACTTCCTATTTACATATATCTATCTATCTCAAACTACTAGTACTAGAGTATTGAACGAAACTTTGATTTTAATGCAGTGGCACACAGAAAACTGGTAAATTAAATTTTTTTGTTTCCCTCGCATTTTCCAACGGTTGCATTTTCGTTGTATTACATTGCCTAGTATTAATACTGGCAATATTAAATTTAAAGAGGATTTATTTATTTATTTATTGACTGGAGTGGTGGAGAGTATCTTGATCAGATTGGGATTGCGATGCGATGCGATGCAATGTGATGTGATGGAAGGATGGATCTGGTGACCAGGACAGTACAAGAGTACATTCTGCCATTGTCATAGCCCGCATTGAGATAGTAATAATATAACCCAATGTGTGTAAGGTATGACAATGACGGAATGTACACGTTGTATCTCGGACAAGGAGCAGCTTACGATGGAACACACATCTGGAGGCTCCAATGACTAGGAGGGAGTGTCTCCAGATCTTGATTACGAGGAGACACAGCGATCACTTCTACGTACCAACATCCGTCCTTATATCGATGATTGCTAAGAAAATGTTTGTCTTTTGTTCTAAAACATTGGTTGGTGTGATGATACATACTCTAGAGATAGACACCTTGGACCACAAATACAGAAATGATAAAGAACTAGGTATGTAATATATTGTACAAGCTAACTATTGCTGAAACGATTGGGAATGGTAAAAAATAAAAGATTGAGGGAACCCAATATTAACAAATAAATAAACTTTATAACTATTATTAATAATAGTAAATGTTTGACCTAATAATGTTAACACATACAGCAAACTCCATCCAAAAAAAAAAAACAAAAATAAAATAAAATAAAAACACCAAGTGGATGATGTCTTTCCCCAACGTTTTTGTCACAGTTGTTAACACAAGTCACAAAAGTAGCCATATTTATATATCTCTCTCATCATCATCTCGTTGTAATATTATATTATAATTGTATCATAGTAGTAGTCATTTGTAGTCATCAAGCTGTATTAGCGACAACAATAACAACAAATAAATAGTATAATAGTCATCACCTGATCGATCAATCATCATCATTATCAATGGGATTCACAAGTTTCTTTTCAAAAGATAAGAAAAAGGATCAAGAAAAGGATAAAGAAAAGGAAAAGGAAAAGGATACCAAGGAGAACAAGAGACATACTATCGCACCATCAAAATCAACAACAACAACAAAGTCGACGCCTACGACAACTCCTCCTCAATCAAATAATAATAATAATGTTACTCCACCACCTCCAACAACAGCACATAGAAATACTATTGTAGGTGTATCTACTACTCCTCCAAACAACTCATCACCTGTTTCATCATCTCCTGTATCATCATCTCCTGCTGTAGTATCTCCTGTAAAGGTTGCTTCGACTTCAAATACTGCTGCTGCTGCTGCTGCCACTTCATCAGATAACACAGCACCATCAACTTCTACTTCTACTACGACTAGTACTACTTCCACAGTACCAATCTCAACCACTAACAACAACAATGTATCAACACCCTCTTCATCTTCACCCAGTACTGGAACATCTCCAAGTAAGACAACTACGACACCAGTTCTAGAGACTACTACCACTACCACTACTACTAGAACGTCACCATCTAAATCTGTTTCTTCACATACTGCTTCTCCTGCAGTCACTAGTACATCACCAAACAAGACAAATACAACTACGACACCAACACCAACACCAACACCAGTTTCAGAGACGACTAGAACATCACCATCTAAATCTGTTTCACATCCTGCACCTGCAGTAACTACAGAGACAACCAACCCTAGGGTACAACCATCTAAATCAGTCTCAAAACCAGCTCCTGTTGTTTCGAAACCAGTTGTTTCTCAACCACCAACTGCAACAGCTACAACAACCCCGACAACGTCAGTAGTAAATAACAAACCAACCTCTATCACTGCATCCACTTCAACTTCTGGATCAAAATTAGCAACCTCTGCTCCACCAGTCGTAGTCACTACCAATACTGGTGTATCTAAACCTGCACCAAAGGTTGCTCCTCAATTATCACAATCAGCACCTGCTAAAGAATCTACAACAACAACAACAACAACAACAACAACTACAACAAATACTACTGCTCCAGTTGTTGTTACTCCTCCTGTACCATTAAATAATAATAATAATCATACGATTAAATCATCAACAACTACCACAACTGCACCACCTACTACAATTGATGCACCAAAACCAAATAGTTCACAAATTACTCCATCCAATTCAAGTACAAGTTTAATCAATAGTAATGGAAGTGGTAACAACAACGGTGGTAGTAATAGTGGATTTAGAAAACATCCAACTGTGAATGTACTAACACCACAATCAAGTCCACTACAACAATCTGCATCATCTTCACCTGCCAAAGCACCATCTGTACCAAATTTAAATGATACAATTGAACAAAAGAAATTGGCCAAACAAGGTGCCATTGCGACTATGGAGACACAGGCACGAGCCTGGGTATGCGATGTACTCAAGATTGAGTTGGACGAATCACAATCATTCTTTGAACATTTTAAGAATGGTGTGTTGTTGTGTAAACTGATCAACACTATCAAACCAAACAGTGTCAGACGTATCAATGAATCTGCCATTGCCTTTAAGCAATTAGAGAATGTTCAAAATTATTTAAAGGCATGTCAGACTGTAGGAATGTTGGATGTTCATTTATTCAACTCGATCGATTTGCACGAGAACAAGGATATTGGATTGGTTATCACCAACGTGTTGGTACTTGGCAAGTTTGCAGCTAGAGTTGAGGGATACGAAGGCCCTCATCTTGCAGGCGAGCGTAAAAACATCAAAATCACAACTACACCTGCCTCTCCTCTATTTGGAGAGAGTCTCCAATTGAGTAAGGGAGGAGACAAGATATTGGCAGTCGACGAGAATGGAAAGAAAAAGTGGAGAAAATCAGTCAAACGTGTTGCACCAATGGTCACTCCACTCAACCTCGATATCTCTGCCAAAGAGGCTTTCAAATATTCACCCGAACTAGAATCATCTGCTTCACAATGGATTCAAGATGTTTTGAATCAAAAATTACCTTATCCATCTCTAAGACAATCTTTAAAAGATGGTGTTTTACTTTGCAAGTATGAACTAAAAGAAAAAAGAAAAAAAAATTAAATAATTATATTATAATGATATTAATTTTAATATTGATTGATTTAATTTTTTTAGGGTTATAAATAGAATTAAAGAAAATACTATTGCATATATTAATACTGGAAAATCAGGATTTAAACAAATGGAGAATATAGCCAATTATTTATGGGGATGTCAACAATTGGGATTAAAGAAATTGGATTTGTTTGACACTACTGATTTGTACGAAGAAAAGAACTTTAACTTGGTTATTTCCAACGTGCATGTGTTGGCCAACCACGTAGCCAAGATGCATCCAGAGGCCAAGGTGCCGGCGATTGCACAGAGCCAGTCGGGTCAGGTCTACAGCTCATTGGTACACTCGCGGTTCGGTATGCCGGGCAGCTCGTGCAACGGCGCGGGTGGCGAGCTCACCGACGAGGCCAAAGACCTCATCGCATGGATCAACGGTCACCTCGAACACGACCGTCAAGGCATCGAGCCGTGCAAAAACATTGGACATGATCTCAATAATGGTGTGGTGCTGATTCTTTTGTTGGAAGAACTGACGAGTCTCCGCGTTGGTATTTACACTCGCGACCCATCTCTACCATGGCACTTTATGCAAAACATCTCGCTTGTACTAAACTTTATGCGTGAGAATGCCACCAACTTTAATAACGGTAGTGTCAGTGCCCACGATATCTTTAATGGCAATGTCACTTCGATTGTCAACCTGCTCAGAATGATCAGAGAAAACTTTGACCGTGAACACTTTTTCAAGACCGTCCCCATTGACACGCGTCGTCACAAGGTTGTCGAGGAGATTGTTGTCACTGAGCAAACCTATGTCAAGAACCTCTCTGTCCTCTTTCAAACTCTTATCGTCCCATTGGAAGCTTTGGCCGACAGCAATGCTGGTGGTGGTATCACCCGTGACGACATTTACTCAATCTTTGGTAATTGGGAGAAAATCCTCAAACATCATGCTCTATTATTAAAAGAATTTGAAGATAGAATGGAAAATTGGATTGAATCTTCAACTTTTGGTGATATCTTTATTAAAAAAGTAAGAAAAAAATAGAAAAAAAAAGAAAAGAAAAAAGAAAAAAAATATATTAATATATTCTTCTTTTATTTTGATTTATTTTTATTTAGTGTGATTTCTTAAAAGATACATATTCACAATATATTAATAATTATGATAATTCATATTCAAGAATTAAAAGATTAAGAAAGGCAAACAAAATATTTGATGATTCTGTCAAAAACTTTGAAGTCTATCAAGACTCTACAAATGGATTGGATTTGTATAGTTATTTGATTATGCCTATTCAACGTATTCCAAGATACCTCTTATTGTTAAAAGAAGCTATAAAGTATACATCAAATTCTCATCAAGATCATAAAATGTTATCAGATGCCAAAGATAGTATTCATCAAGTTGCCAATCATGTCAATGAAAGTAAATTAATGTCTGATAATTCAAGAAAAATTGCTTCTATTCAAGATTCTATATCAAATTTGGAATTTGTAAGTAGAAATTATTAATATTATAAAATAGAATATAATTATTAATTAATTTCTTTTTTTTTTTCAGAATTTGGATGAAAATGATAGAAGATATATTAGAGAAGGATTTTTAGAAATTGAAGATACATTTAATAAGAATTCTTATTTCTTTTTGTTTAGCGACATCTTATTGTTTGTTAGATACAAACCATCAGAGGAAACTGGAAAGGAATTCAAGTTTAAGGAATCATTCCAATTGACTGAATTTAATGATGTTTGTGATATTTTATCGGATGATGAAGATGACGATGAAGACGAAGAAGAAGAAGAACTAGTACAAAAGAAAAAGAGAGTAACATTTGCAAAACCACCAAAATTCGAGATTGAAACAGAAGAGTTTAGTTTGGTTCTAATAGCAGAATCAGAAGATGAAAAGTTTGCTTGGATGGAAGATATTAGAAAATGTTTACAAGAAAATTTAATCAAAGATGAAGATCAAGTATCTGATCTTTCACTCAATGGCGACGGTCAAGGAACAAGTAGTGAAAGTGATGAACAAGAAAATTAACAAGAAAAATCAAAATGAATGACTAATAATATGTAATCCACCATTCAAAATATTACATTTAATTAAATGTGTAATCATTTTGGATGAAATGGATTTATTTATTTATTTATTAATGTACTATAATATAATATATTTAAAGAAAATAAAAAAAAACAAAACAATTTAAAAATTATTTATAAAGGGAGGGAGGGAGGGAGGGAGGGGAAGGATTGATTGTGATTATGGATTAATCCATAATTTGTTCATATTGATTTCTATGATTACTACGATTTAATCTAGATTTGATTAAATAGAATAGGAAACAAAAAATAATAGAGGCAGCAATAAAAATACTGACACCTCCAAATATCCATTCAATAGTCTTGTCATTTGGTTGTTCCAAAGTTAGAATTTGTTGAAATACATCACCACTCTTTAATGGTGTATCACTAAATATTGTCTTTACTTTACATCTACCAATATTATAATGATATGACATTGCATTTCTAAATAAAAAGAAAAATAATCATTAATTAATTATCTTTTAAAAATATTTCTTTCTAGGTCCAATACATACATGTAAATAAACTTATCAACATAACTTCTCAAATAAACTTGAATTCCTCTAATATATTGACCTGGACTTTCAAGTTCAGTGACACATGAACAATCTAAATAGGCCTTTTGGTTGTTGGTAGTTATTCTAATTGGTCGGTTGAATAGATTGTGAAAATATTGTTCATCCATTACAGTACAACTGTAATTGTAATTGAAATCATCATTTTTAAATGATGGAGTTTGATATTGTCCAACTGATTTATCAATTGGGTCACATATTATTGATGATCTCTAAAAATAGAAAATGTAAAAGAATTGAAGAAAGAAAAGAAAATGAAGAAGGAAATTAAAAGAATTAATATAGGAATAGAAGAAGAAGAAGAGTGGAGAAGAAGAAAGTTATAGTTATGGTTATGGTTCACGTGAATAATCTTTACCAATTTGCCAGTTGATAAACGAGTATTTGGTAGGTCAACTTTTGACATTAAAAAGCCTGGATATTCTATTTGTTTTGTTGTCTCATCTTCAACTATGAGGTATAGATCACTGACTAAATTTGAATGCAACCCTTTATAGGAACAAAATGTAGATGCTTCAACAAGAATGAAACCGCCGCCGCCACCACCACCTCTGTCACTACATAATATTGCACATGTCAAGTAGATGATGATGACACCAATCAGAGTATTGGTTGAGCTAGAAGAGGATGAAGAGGTCACATGACACATCGTTGGTGTTGTTGCAACCTCACCAAAACAGTCATTGGTGGTAGTAGTCTTGTTGGTGCACTTGCTCCAGTTTCCCAAACTATCGATTCTAATTCTTTTTCTAAAATTCATAGCTTTTTTAACCTAAACCTAAACTTTGACCCTAAATAAAGAAGAAGAATAAACTGTGAACAACCTATGTGATTGGCTGGCTCGAGCTTGTTTGAGGAAAAGAATCTAATGCCTGTACTATTCTTCTTGTATTCTTTTCTTTTCTTTTTTTTTTTTAAATTTTAAAATAATAAGTCGACTATGTGTGGGTGCTACCCCGACCCCGACCCACCCCAATATATTCTTCCATCATATAGTACTATGATGGCGTAGGGTGTGGTGACGACTGATACTAGTATCAGCTGCAACTCAACTTCCGACTAAAATAATAATAAAAAAATGAAAATAAAAACTGGATCCAATAAAAGTCGACCATGATTGATTTACCAATAAACCGACGACCCCCTAAAAAGTTCATTTCCTATGTTGGACAGCACAGACTTGTATGATTGGTTGTTTGTTTTTCAATTCATTTCAAAATGGGTTATATTGATCTACTATGTTATCTATTTTTGTATACTGTGTAGTCGGAACCATTGTTTGTTGTAGTCAAGATGTAATGCGGTTGGCCACCTGTGTGTCCGGTGTCTGTGGGTGTGGGTGTGGGTGTGTGGGTGTGAGTGTGTGTGTGTGTGTCATATCTTATCATCTATGTTGCATATGCTCAGTGGCCACGCATACGAATGGACACTTACATGCATTACAAGAACATTAGAACTTTCGGGTAATATGTATATGGTGCACCAATCGTCATCATAGAAGCAGAATATGAGCCAGATGCCAATTATAGATCAACAACAAACAAGTATTGACAAACCATGTCCTATTTAAACCGTCGACTACTCTTGATCTTGTTGTCATCGACTTTAACTAATAATAATAATTTATATATATATACACAAACACTACTGCTTTATTATATTTATTATATATATATATATATATATATATTCATTCACTCATAATAATAATAATCTTTTCTTTGCATTATTTGTTTTATTTTTTTTAAAAAAAGATAATTAAAACAAACAAACCAAAAAAAATAAAATGAACTCATCAACAAATCAAGACATAACATTCATAACTATTTTTAGATCAATTTATTTAAAAAGAGTTATATTTAATCATGTAGAAGAGATATCAAGACAAATAACATCATCAACATGTAAAAGATCTTGTAAAGGAAAACAATTCATTCTCCAACAACAACAACAACAAGACGTTCATTCATCACTTGACCAAATGTTAAGGGTTTATGCAATGCCCTATGACTTTATCAAACACTATTTACCAAGAGAGATTGATCAACTTGATCAAAGTAAGAGATTAAAGCATTTAAATGATTATTGTTGTCATCCCAATGCTTCGCTCCATACATTCCAACACCTCTTGCAATGGTCTCCAGATTTTGTACCAAATGCTCAATTAATGAATCGTGTTGCCGAGGTTGGTCACTTGGATATTCTAGAGTACATTCATTCATCCTATGACACCAATGTTGTCGCCTGTACCGTCGATGCTATGGATACCGCCGCTCGTTCCGGTCACATCAATGTAGTCAAGTTTTTACACAACACTCGTCAAGAAGGTGCTACTGCCAAGGCTATGAATAGAGCTGCGGCAAATGGCCACTTAGATATTGTCAAGGTATGTTGTATTAAAAAAAATACATTAAAGAGTATCCCTAGATACTAACAGTACCCATTTATTATTATTATTAGTTTTTACACCAACATCGTAGTGAAGGATGTACAAAAGATGCAATGGATTTTGCCTGTGCCAATGGTCATTTGGATGTTGTCAAGGTATGTTGTCATTCAATCAATACAATATTTTTTGAATTTATTTATTAATTTAATTATTCATTATTTCTTATTTTTATAGTTTCTAAATGAAAATCGTAGTGAAGGATGTACAACTGATGCCATGGACTTTGCCTGTGAGAATGGTCATCTTGATGTTTTATCATACCTACATTATTCTCTGTCAAGACAAGAAGGGTGTACAAAGGATGCAATGGATAATGCTTCTCAAAATGGTCACCTTGAATGTGTAAAGGTATGTAAAACTAAACCTATTTATTTATTTAACCAAATGGATGTAATTGTTTATTAATTATTTAATTTAATTATTTAATTTTAGTTTTTACATCAACATAGAAGTGAAGGAGCAACAACCAATGCAATGAATTATGCAAGTGAGAATGGTCACTTTGAAATTGTTTCCTTTTTGAATCTTAACAGATCAGAAGGATGCAGTTCAAACGCAATTTATTGGGCTCGTGAAAATGGACATGAAAAAATTGTATCATTCCTTGAACAACATGACGATCATCATTCTGGGAGTTTAAAATCATCAAAGGATTCAACTCAGCGTCGTGATAACTTTCCAATCATAACTGATCCAACCATGTTGTTACAATCATCATAATAACAATTGGATCCACCTATTCTTTTCTTTTTCAACCAAAACTTTTCACCAAAGGCGAATGATTCATATATATATAACAAAATGTATTTGAATCGATTATTGACAATACATACACATACAACAAATAATTTAATATATTTATATATCAACAACTCATCTTTCAAAAATCGGTACACCATACACATACATTTTTCATTTTTTTCCTTTCCACCACTTAATAATAATAATAAATCTATATTATTTATTTATTTTTAATCATAAATGAATGGTACAGGTATCATTGACATTGCAACAGTAATAGACATTTGAATTCTTGATTGATACATTTTAACTTGTAATTCTGGATCATCTAATGCAATATCTGGTAGGTCTGGTTCAATTCTATGGTATTTAATCTTTCCAGCTCCAACTCTATTGATCCAAGCTTGAAACCTTAGATGTGGTACCATGATTAATCTATATAAATCATCAATGGTTCCATTCATCTCTTGTGGACCTTCAACAGAGTCAGAGTATGTCTCTAGTGCATTTTTTTCGTGTGGTGGTTTTCTTCCAGTGCCAAGTGAATAAATGTAGAGTGGATTATTTGGAAACATTAACTTTGCTTCATGCAATGCTATTTCCAAAGGATTGGCAGCGATGATTGAACCTTCGATAATGTCTGATCCATTGATAGCCAAGATTGGTTTCCTGTAGCTTGGAATCGACCAACATGCCTCCAATGCAAACCTCATTGATGAGTGGGTACCTTGAATCAATGGGGTCTTCCCATCGTCAGACATTGGTTGTTCATGATAATTTTTGAAAAGAAATGGTCTGATTATTTTATCTCTTTTGTCTTTTGTAGCTGCTACTATAGCAACTTTGATTTTTGATTGTTGGCCTGGTAAAGATCGATCCAAAATATTCTCGGGTATTGGTGATGTGTCTAGGTTGAATGGTTCGTTTATATTTGAGTATTTTCTTGTATTCCACATACCAAACAGTGGACCTAGGTTCTGTGAGATATGTATTATATTCTTTTCATAGCAATGACCAACTAAATCTAAAATGGGTATCGTTCCACCAACCGATGTAGCAACGACCATATCAATCTTGAGATTATTGTGTCTTTGTAAATGTTCTTTTAATTGTTTATACATCCAAAAGAGAAGAATTGATCTTGGACCAGCTTCCATCACCACAATAATCTTTGGTTTTTGTAAGGGATCGATCGTATCTGCATAATGCTTGAAATAATCCGAGTCCAAACCACCAGCAACCTTTGGTGAAAAGTATTTTTTGAATGGATGGTCTAGTAAAACAAGACAACTACATAAAAAGGTTAACAAAATAGCTGGTAGCAGTGCGGTAATGATGTATGAAACAATAGATGAAATGGCAAAAGTTTTAAAGAAACAAAGTAAAATGAATGGTATGGCTGGTCGAAATCGTTGATATGAAGCAATGATGTAAAGGGCGAAACAATTAGCACCCAATACGATTAAAAAAGATAGTATGGGTACCAAGTATCCAAGTAGATGATTGACTATCACAACGGGTGGAATTATTACATATTTAAAAAGTAATGGGAGTACAGTAAAAATACATAATCCATAGAGTAAAACTACAATTGGGATAGATTTACGTCTACCACTTACTAGTACATCTTGTGCAGACAATATAGTTTTAAATATGAATTGTGGATCTGACATTATATATATATATAATAAATAAATTTACAAAAAGTATCTTTTCTTACTTTGATTTTTATCAATACTTTTTTTAAAAGAAGAGGTTTGTTATGATATGTTCAGATGAACATCATCATCATTATTAACCACCATCTCAACATTGCCCAATAATCTTAAAAATCTTTAGAATTGATTTTCATCGAATTTTCCCAATTGAACACGATAATTGATTTGATATAATTGGGATCTTTTTTTTTTCAATCAGGTGGGATAGATCATCAATCAAATCAGAACTTATTAACTATAATCATAATTAAATATTTATAACTATGTATTACGATATAATAACAGGAATAATAGGAATAATCATTTTAGTTTTCTTTTATATGAAAACAAAATCGGTTGATTCAAATCAACAACAGCCACTATTGATCAATGAAACTAGTACAACAACAAGTTTTGGTCCAAAAGAATTTAAAAAAAAGAAACCAACTATTCTAATAGTTACGATGGATGGTGGAGGTATGAGAGGAATCATCACAATAGGTATCCTCCAAAAATTAAAAGAATTACTTGGTACTGATATTACCAATGACTGTCACATGATGTGTGGTACTAGTACTGGGGGTCTACTATCTATTGCGAGAGCCATTGACTTGGAGTATAGTTATCTACGTGATTTCTATATTCGACTAGGTGCCAATATTTTTGGCAACCCTTTAGAAAACCTATTCAATCATGGAACCCTAGCCAATCAAGTTGAATTAAAAAAGGAACTTGAACAAATTCAATTATTAACAGGAAAAAATTTAAGCCAATTTGTTCAAAATGTATGTAATTTATATCAATTATATTAAAATCATATCAAAATCTTATAAATATTTTTTAATTTTTTCTAGAAAAAATTATTTGTTGTAGCATGTGGAAAAGAAATAGATTCAAATAGTGGATTTGAATCAGTATTAATTAAAAATTATGGTACCGAACATCAACAAATGTCAGTGGTTCAATCTTTATTGGCCACATCGGCAGCACCTTGTTACTTTCCAAGTGTCAAGATTGGTACTCAAAAGTTTATCGATGGTGGAGCCATTAACAACAATCCAACCTTTTTGGCATATATTGAAGCCAAAGAACTGTATCCACTCAAAGACTACAATTATGTGATAGTGTCACTTGGAACTGGTGGCATCGATTCAAAGGCGCCATCATTACCAAAAAAACCAAAAACCAACTCCACTCCTAAACCACCAAAGTCATTGGGAGATTCGAGTTTGGGTACTATTAATAACGTTATCGACAATGTTGGAAATGCTTCCAATAATATATCTGATAGTTCAAATGACATTCTAAAGATTGGAAATGATGTAATGAAGGGTATTGCAAACTCTCATAAACAACATTGCCATTTTATGAATTATATATCTGGTAATAATGATGGTGTTCAATACTATAGATTCAATCCGGAATTAAAAAAGTCAATCAAACTTCAAGATACTTCAAAAGAAGCATTAAAAGCAATGGATGAAGCTGTTGATAATTTCATGAAAGACCAAAAGGTTAAAGAAATGATCATTGATTTAAAGAAATCACTTTCAAAAGTTTCTCCAACTCCTGCTTAGATTTTTAAATAAATAAATAAATAAAATAAAATAAATAAACAATTCATTTAAATTCAAAGATATACAAACTATACTATACTATATTTATTCAAAAGGTGTTTCCTCTGAAGATAAATGAGAAGCAGCCACTGTTCTACCAAAGATACGTTTTTTAGTTTGGTCAAACAAATAGTTTACTCCAAAAGCTATTACACCTGGGGTATCAGGGGTTTCAACATTTCTAAAATCCTTTTTGACACCTTTTCTCCAACGCTTTACCATGGTGTGACAATTGAATAATAGTAGGTGATACCCAATTTTACCTCCTCTTCTTTTACACTCTACATAATCAGTAATGGCATGACTAATAGTCGATTCTATTTCTTGATTATTTCCTGATCTTATATCACCTCTATAAAGCTAAATAAATAAATAAATATTATTTATTTAAAAAAGAATAGTGCATACTGTGTTATAAATACCTTTGATCTACTTTTTAAAATAATATTAGCATTTGTAATTCTGATGGTTCCAAAGTTGTTCAATAGACCTTGAGATAGATCATATTTGACCCTTACAAAATCGATAAATGTATTATTCTCCTTGTTGTAGAGATAGTAATGTTCACCAGATTCAAAGGTTTCAAAATAAGTTACAATCTCGCCATGTGTTAAATCTTGTCCCAACATTATTAACTACAAAAACAAAAAGTTAGTAGTAGTAATTTGTGGTTTTTGATAAGAAAGAATATAATTACAGGTTTAGTATAAATATGTTGAAAAGAAGGTAGAGGAATAGTTTTTTTAAACAATGATTTCATTTGTACTTGAAAATGAGCTACTTTGTATAATAGGTTGTGAGCCAACAATGTTGCAATGAGTGATGCAATCAGATAGTGCAAATAGTAGAATGAGAGAGCACTAATCGATAGACACATAAACAGAGTCCTTTCAATACCAACCTTTGATTCGGAATAGGTTGGTACTCCTGATGATGATGATGATGATGATGCACCATGTCGTGGTAACCTCAAGTGACGTCCTGCCACCTGATAACTATCCTCTCTTTGTAACTCTGTACTGTAATTGTTTTGGTAAAATATATCCATTTCTATCAATATTATTCATTATATAGATATTTGATTAGGTTGATTGATCCCTATACGTCCATTGTTGTTCACCTAAATTATTGATAACAAAAAGAAAAATGATTGGGGAAAAAAACCAGACAAGATGATTGTATCGTACGCTCAAGCTGTTCTCTCCCCTTTGATATTTATATGTGTATAGTACTATACATATATATACACAATTGTTTTTGGCTCTTCTCTACATTTGGAATAAATAGTTTCTCACATAGATAGGAAGATAGTAACTACTACTACTAATAAAAATCTGCGCGTTTATATACCCAATCTGGAATGGTGGGGGATTTTATCCGAACCACTACCTGGCTCATTGACCAAGTGGTTCATACATACTCTTTAAAGTTGAGGTCTTTTTTTTTTTTAATCACAACAAAAAGAGAGAATCATGTACAACAACAAACAAATAACATTATTCACTTTATTACTTTCATTGTGTAAGATTGATCATTACTCTAGCTAAATGTCGAGGTGACAACGAGATGATGATCGATGATCTGGTCAAAAAACTAACTAAAATTTTGTTTATCTCTCTCTCTATTTGCTATGTAGTACTAGTGACAGTCTCAGTCCAGTTGGTCTCAGGACAACAATGTGAATCACAATTAAATAGTAATTCATTCTTTATTCAACCTAATCTATGTGCATGGACTGTTAGAACGGGACTAGTTGAACCACGTACCATCCGTGTCATGTCGAATGGAGATATCTTGGTGTTGGAGAAACCACCTGCCAGTCAAATAACTGTCATGTTTGATTCAAACAAGAACGGTGTGATTGATGGCAATGAGATTGCAGTACTTGCCAAACAAGCAAATTTGAACCACGGTCTAACAGTTCAAGGTGCCTATTTGTATGCTACCACTCCAACCACTGTCTATAGATGGAAGTATACACCAGGCAATAGAACTAATCTAGGTACACCAGAGACTGTAATGACTGGTGTACCTGCCAACTCTCCCAATATTATGAATGGACATTCCACTCGTACCATTGAATTTGTCAACAGTACCTCTGACGGTTTCTATCTAAGTATTGGTAGTGCAGAAAATCTTGACGCTACATCTATTCGTTCACGTGTTGTCAAATGCTCTTTTGACCTATCTGCCATTCCACAAGGTGGCTATACGTACAGTCAATGCACAGTATTTGCCGACGGATGTAGAAATGAAGTTGGTCTACGTGTAGACTCTAAAGGTAGATTATGGGGTGTTGAAAATGGTATGGATAATCTAAATAGAGCTGATATTGGTGGTGACATTCATATGGATAATCCATGTGAAGAAGTTAACATATTTACAAATGAAGGAGGTGTAAGTAGTAAAACATAAAACCAAAAAAAAAAAAAAGATATCTCTATTTAATCAAAATACTTATTCTACCTTCTTCTTCTTCTTATTCTTATTCTTTTAGTTTTATGGATACCCATATTGTTTTAGTGAAGGTAAATTAGCAGCTCCTTACGGAAAAGGTAATAGAACTCAATGGGCCGTGAGTCTGACCGACACAACTCACACGGATGTATGGTGTGACAACTCTACCAATGTTGGCAAACCAGTGTTTTGTATGCCAGCCCATGCTGCACCTCTTGACATTATGTTTAATGATCTTTCCACATTCCCACCTCCACTCAACAGAGGTGTCTTGGTTTCACATCATGGATCATGGAATAGAAAACCAACTGCTGGTTATCAAGTATGTAAATTAGATAATAATATATATATAGGCAGTTAATATTAATATTTATTTATTTCATAGGTAGTTGCAATTGATACTGATCCAACTAGTGGACTTCCTATTCAAGGAAGTTTAACCAAAGTGATTGGAGTTCCAACTGATGGAAATGAATGGAATATTAGACCTGTCAGTCTTGCCATCCTTAGACCATGTGGTGCCTATACCGAATGTTTATTATTCTCTGATGATAATACTAATTCAGTTTATGCTGTTAGGTATGTATTTAAATTAAAAGAATACATGTTAAATACATGTGATTCAATGTTATTAATTAATTAATTATTTTAAATATTTAGATCAACATTAAATGATAATACTACAACTGGATCAACAACAGGATCATCATCTATTACTACTCCATCATTATCATCATCATTGTTTATTATTATGATTGTATTATCTTGTTTGATTTTCATCAATTAAAAAAGTGTAAATAATTAAAAAAACAAATAAAGTAAATATTTATTAAAAATATTATTTAATATTGAAACTATAATAAATCGAATATATAGTACATATTTTGAACCATCCATCTAGATTACGTTGATTGAATTAATTTAATTTAATATCATGAATTGATTTGGTCAAACAACTATCAAGTTTTAAACCCTTGAGAACATCATATTGACGTTCAGATACATGTGATGCATATACATTGATCTCCTTGTCAATCCTTTGAATATCTCTTGTAAATCTTTCTTCAAAGTCTAAGTACATGAGAAATGAATAATTAAATTAATATTAATATATTTTGGTTAGATTTAAAGTATTATTTTCTTTTTATAAATCATTTGGTACATACGTTTCCAACAACTATTACCACCAGTAATGACAACATTATTTAATAAACTTGCATGTTCTGGAATGGACTTAATCAATGATAAAGTAGATTCAACAATACCAGCTGATTTAATTTGATTCAATGCTGGATCAAACAAAATTTCTGGTGCTCTAAATGAAATAAATAAATAAATAAATAAATATTAATTTGATTAAATATTTCTATTTTCTATTTTCTATTTTTTGAACATACGAAAATCTTAAAGAATCGGAAACTGAACCCTTTGAAGCATCAGCTTTATAGTCCATTGAAACTTGACACAATTCATAATATCTTTCCTTGAGTGGTTCACGTCTTGATTGGAGGAAGATCTTGGCTTCGGTACCATACTCTTGGGCACGAGCTGTGGTATAGTGAGCAATGGTACTACCAGTGACTGGGAAGGATACAACCTTGACATGCTTGCGATTAACAATACAAACAATAGAGGTAGCACCATGACCCATCATAACAACAGTTCCACTCTCGAGACCGTGTACTTGGAGCACCAAGAGAGCAGCATCCTTTACAATAAAAGAAGTACTAAACAACTTGCCGTGGAGTTGCTTCAAAAATGGAAGCTGGGTCATTTGTCCTGGACTGAGAGCCATGTGGATGGGTGAAGAGATGTTGTAACGCTCATTGAAACCTGCTGTCAAAATATGACGAATGATTTGGTAATTGGTTGTCAAACGACCAATATCAAAACAACCACCGATAACTGGAGTCTGTATTGTTCCGTGTGCCGATCTACCAATATTCCATGTCTCACGATCCATTGAACTCATAACATAATGTGGTGAATAATCTTGATGTAAACTAGCTCTTGATAAATCAGATAAATATGCTGATGAATAATTTGAATACTAAAAATCAAAATAAATCAAAATAGAATATTAATTAATTAATTAAATTTTTAAAATATTATATGTTTGTTTTTTTTTGACATACTTTGATATATTCAGAACCAAAATCAATATAGATAAACTTTCCTTTTGTAAAACTTTGAATATTCTTGACTGTTAGATACCAACATTTAGTTGGTTCAGAGGCTGGAGCAACGGTCATCTTTTTAAATCTTTGGGCAAGTGTTCCGAGGATACCCTTTTTCTTTTCAAGACGTTCTTCTTGGACATGGACATTTGGTTCTTCAAACTTAAAGGCAGAGTAAGAGTAATTCTTAATGTAGACATTCTTCCACAATGCATCCTTGGTCAATGTCTTGAAATAAGATTTGCTGGTCGATCTGAATCGTCCAATATCCGTAATAGACAACATGTTGAGAATACTAAAGAACAAGTATTCTGGTACCTTTGTAAAGTAATCATCTTCAGGTTGGAATCCTCTAATAATGATTTTAGCAGAAGTAGAGGAAGTGGCAGTTGATAGGTCATCATTTGACTTTTTAAGTTCAGTTGATGGATATTGAGCCAACATCATTTGAGCTTTGACATAGGTACTGATAGCAGTCTCCAAATCACCTTTATCCTTTTCAAAACTATCGGCGAGGAAGAAGATCTCTTTGGCCAGTTTCATATCGGCCTTTTGTTGATCGGTGAGGTTGAGACCTTGGTGAATACGCAAAAACATCATGTCGACACGCATAATGTACTTTCTGCCCGACAAGACCTCAGCACCTTCGTGGAGAGTGTCGTGGTTGAATAGGATGGCCGATCCCTTGCGTGGCTTGACCGACTCTGTCAATACATGAGTATCAAGCTCGAGAGGATTAGCTGGCAAGTAAAAGTTGGTGTGACCACCTTCAAACTCGTCGTTCAAGTAGATTTGCATCGTATAAATACTACGCTTGTTTTGTTCACTTGCATAGACAGCGTCGAGATGTGGTTTGAATCTACCTCCAGGTTCATAACGCCCAAATGTAAAACAATCATCCAATTCCAATGGAATCCAAATACCATCTTGATCGAATCCATATGGTCTAACTCCTTCAATCTCTTCTTTTTTAAAATGTTGTCTAAAAAATATTAAATATTAAAATATTAATATATTTATATTAAATCTCTATCTCTATCTCTATCTCTCTTTTTCTATTTACATACTCTAATCTCTTCCACAAGATATTTGAAAGATCTTTATTCTTTCCAATATAACGTAAATTGTTTCTGTATTCCTTTGGGAACTCCTTTTCAATTGTACGGTATCCTTTTGATTCACTTTCTTTTACATAGAAACTATAGAATAGATATAGTTAGATAGAAAGAAAGATTAATATTAAGAACTAGTGTATGTATGTGTGGTGTGTATGAGTGATAGGTTTAAAAACAACATACTCGCATTCTTCAGCTGACAACATATCATGTACCAAGAAACCATGTGATGTTTGAAGATTTAAGTCTTGTCTTGAAGTAGTACTATTGTTGTTGTTGTTGTTATCAGATGCTGAGAATAACCCAAAGTCGTTAAAGTCACTACCCGTAATGATACGGCCTTCAGGTACACTGACTGTAGCCTCTTCAACAGGTGAAGAGGTCGATGTTGTTGATGTCTCCATTTTATTTTATATAAATATATAAATATATAAATAGATATATAGATATATAGATAGATAGATAAAAAGAATATATGCACACAGCAACAATTGTATGAGGAAATGGTTAAGTTGGTTACATTGATTTTCTTGCTAATTTCTTTGCGGACCTTTCGATGAAAAGCAGATCTTATGAATTTTTGGTGGTTCACAGTTTAGGTCGAGTTCATGAAACTAGAAAGTTTATCATTAAATATTTATCACATTCCAAGTAATAATAATATTATTTTTTAATGTCAACTATAACTGATTTTGATAACAGCCTACTAAATCATATTAAACAATCAATCATCGAGTTATCATCATCATCATCAACAAGTACTTCTACAACAACAAATAGTGTTAAAAAAGATGTTCTTCTAATTATTGATGACAACCCAATCATAAAAGTAATAAGAAATAGATATTTATTATCTTGTATATTATCTAGAATACATTATGTAACACTGAAGAGTATTGAATTTGGGAGTACTACTACAACAACTGCCACAATACACGTCAACAATCATCCAACCATTTACAAATACAATCAAATCATAGATGTATGGTGGATGCTTGATAATGGGTATATCAACCTACTACACTATCGATTAGATAGAAATGACTATATACAAATGTATGGGAGAACGGAAAGAGAAGAATCGGAACTCTTGGAAAGGATCTTTCAAACAAAAGACTATGCTCTAGTTGCCAAGATGGTAGATCGATACCGACTAGTCTTTCTCACCAACAATAGTGTTGACTTGTCATGCTATAGCGGTCGTCTAGATGTATTCAAGTTAATATTGTCAATTCAGGATCCAGATAATATACCCATATCAGTTGCGGCCGTAGAGAATGCAATTAAATCTGGGTCACTTGAATTGGTTCAGTTCCTAGACACCACATTTCACGAATCATGTTCCCTATCTTGTATTAATACACGTCCGTTTTGTGAATCACACAATCAACAAATCATATCTTATTTCTTGTCCAAGATGGCTGCCAACGACACAGACAAAGAGACTACTCGTAGAAAACAAAAATCATTAGATGGATTGACTATACTTTGTACATTGGATTTTGATCTAATCAATCAATACCTTTATTGTGATGAAAGTAATTTGGAACAATCGACACTTACCAACTTTGTAATGTCTACTGTTTTCTTTTTCCTCAATTTTCACGAAAAGATTAAAGGGTATCCACATGGTGCAGTTCACTCTAGCAATCTATTGGAATATTTGGGAAATAGTCAAGAGTATATTGTCAATGTTTCCAAAATCATTCCAATCATATTTAAACGTACACCACAACAAATGCAAGTGTTGCACAACAAAATATTCAAGATTATGGAAAATATTGATAGTCAAGGACCGTTATATCAACCACTTTACAATATGCTGGTAGTCTATGAAATATTGGTCGAGAGTTTACCCGAATCATCGAGGAATGGGTCAGAGGAGAGACTGTTACACAACTTTTCAACAAGAGGAATCATCAGACTGGGTGTGACTGACAAATCGGTCTTGGCATATATTGTCGACAAGTGCCAACCGGGTCTACGACTAAAAGAACATTATAGTGTGTTTGTTGTCACACAATACACTGCACTGGACCAACTCGATGCCATCATTGCTATTGACCCAACGTTTTTACAGTATCGACTCACTCGACTACGCGTAGCCTATCATCAAGAGGTATTTGATCGTCTTGTTGAAATTGGTGTGCTTGGTAAACAGCTTATACTTCAGTATTGGGGTAATCGTGTAGGATCGTTTTGGGATTCTGCATGGATACGGTATTTAACGAAAAATGCTACCGACCAAATCAAAGGTGGTAGTTGGAAATTGGAAGGACATTCCTATGTCGATGCAAATACCATCGATATAGTCGCTCGTCTTTTAATTGAAGCTGGGGTCTCTCTTGAACCCGTCCAACAGATGCCAGGTATCCAAAATCTTTGTCAATCCAATGACAATTATCTAATCAAATATATGGTCGCAACCAACAAATGTTGTGATGTATTTGCATTGGGTGGTGCCATACTCGGTGGTAATTTCCAACTATTCGATCATCTTGCATCGATAAAAGATGTCAAACCATACAATGTAGACAAAGACATTCACTTTAACCAAACCTATATTTTATTCGCCATTGAACATCTCATTTCTCTAAATGATTTTGAAAGATTCAAAATATTTAGGAATCGTATCAATCATACAAAATTCGATGGTGAAATTCCAACTATGTGTATCAAATACTCCAACACCGAATTCTTTTCTCAACTTGTTGCCATTGACTCGTCTTGTCAAACAGAAAAGCCAAACATGATGGCATTTGCAAAACGGGTTATCAAAAAACACAACATACCATTCTTGAAGTTTATCCTCGATCGTGATGACAAAACTTATTCAACGCTAGACTTGAACCAACTATTCAGGGAAGCACTATTAAATGGCTGTGTCGAATCAATGTATAGACTAGTACATCATTCCAATACTATATTCAAAAAAGATATTGGTAAAGTTTCATCTGGTGATATTATTAATTCAATCAAACTAGGTCATCTCCCTAGTTTAGTTTATCTTTATTCTTTAAACAAATTTATCTTAAAAGACAATAATAACACAAGACATGTTGACACCAAATTACCTTTCAACAAAACATTAACTTTATTCCTAAATGAAATTTGAAATAAATGAATAAAAGATATATTATATTATATTATATTTATTATTATTATTAAATGGGAAATCCAGTTAAAAAGAGAGAAGCCCAATGACGTGGATGATTTCTTTTTTGTTCTATACCAAGTATTTGTGCTCGTTGTAGTGATTGAGCATTTGTTAATCTCTTATTGATCAAACAATCATAAAAACATTCTACAATCTTGTTTGTCAAATCCGAATCTGAATCTGTTGGTAATTCCCAATGACCTGAAACCACAGATGCACCAGTACACAAAAGAGACCATATCAGCCCAATTCCTCCCTTGTCTCCATTTCCTTGACCATTATTACATCTACTAATAAATATTGTTTTGATAGATGATTGATTTGCCCAATCCAACATATCCTCCATAAATAAATATTCAAATGTATCTGCATCTGTTGGTTGTTTAGATAATTGTATTGATCCTTTGACAAGTGATTGTTCCTCTTTTCCAATTGAATCCCCGTTACTTGATATATGAATATGATCTACTATCCCATCAACTAATAATTCTTTAATATTTTGATTATTTACATGTTTTCCTATTAATACATTTGTCTAGAAATAAAATAAATAAAAAATTAATTTAATAAATTTTAATATTTAATATATAAATAATTATAACTTACTTTTAAACCTGATTTTTTAAATAATCTTTGATAACATTTAATTTGATTTTCTGTATAGTCTAATCCACTACCAAATGGATTTCCAATTAATACTACTTTAGGTTCAACTTTTAGAATATCTTCATTATTATTATTTTCAATCATATTGTGTTGTTGTTGTTGTTGATATTGTTTTAAAGTTGATAAAATTTTTAATATTGATAATGATGGTAGATGAGATATTGGAAATCTTTCAACAAGATAATTTCTATTGTTATCAATGAGAGCTGGGAATGGAACATTTGCAAGAACATCGTCAGTAACAAAACATAATGTTCTTTGACTAGGTAGTTTTGCTAGAATATCATCTATTGGTTGAAGCAACTCTTGATACCATAACCTTAGTTTCAAAAGTAATTCACTATTATTGGTATTCTTGAAAAAATTGGAACCTTTAAAACTATAATGATTTTTTGTTGTTGTCTCTTGTTGATTATAATTATTATTATTAATATTTAATTTTCTTGTTGATTTATGTTTTGTTTCTCTAGTTGTAATTATTTTATCATCAATAATAAAACAAAAATGTTCAATGTAAATGATAAAGGTTGAGTCGGTAGATGTTGACATTTGTTGTATTTCTTGAAAAGTAATTTGGTGTTGGTGAAATGAATCGAATGGTAATATTTGAGGATAAAGATTTGATATAATATTGTACATTGCTATTGATCTTCTTTCATCAAAATATTTAAATGCTTCTACATGTTGTTCCAATTTTAAGTGACAATATTCTAATTGTGAATAGATAAAAGAAGAGGAGGGGGAGGAATCATTTGCCAATTTCTCTTGATCAAAATATTTTATAGCTTCTTGATAATTTTCTATATTCATCAACCAAGTTGCAATTTTCAATGATAATTTATGGTAGAGGTGATTGTTTTCCAATAGTATTTTCATTTCTTGACAATTAAAAGTATTGAATAGGTTATAGATTTCTTTCATCTTGTTTGCCTCTAAACTTTGATTTAATACAAATTCTATAAATTCCCTTTCTTGTTTAAATTGATCTTGATCTTGATCTTGATCTTTGTTGTAAGAAAGTAATAAATCCTTGCACATTAAAATGAATTTAGAATCCAATTCAACTTGTCTAATTGGTGTATCTTGAATATAGAAAAAGTCATCATTGTCCAAATCATCATCTTGATTTTCAACCAATTGATTGGGTTGTGGTGACACTGGCAATACTATTATTTCCTCTTGTAAATCTTGTTGTTTATCAACCTGTGTAACTACTCGCTCCATTGCCAATGTTGCCCTTGACAATAATATTTGAGCGCTATCCTCTAATAAATGAAGTCCAATGACATCCTGACATGACTTAATTGCCTTTTCAAATTGACGAGTATTTATAAAATATTCTGCCTCTACCAAATAACAGTCTCCCAAATGCTTAGACTCTTGTTCCACTACTCCAGTCAACTTTTTGAGCATGTCTAGAATATTTTCTATTCTCGAATCTTGATTTAATGTTGGAGGAAGATTAAATAAGATAGTGCCTATAATATCATCGTCAAATGGGAACCTTTTCTTTTCCAAATCATCCAAAACTAGTAGTACTCTATTGATTGCAGTGTCAAAGTCTTGTGCTTCCAATGACAGCAAAATGACCTGAAATTCAATCTCTGGTCCAAGTGACTCTTTAGAGTTGGATACCACTAGCAACATCTCTTCTCTATACCATTTGATTCTCTCCATATCCAACATTGTTTGAGATGATGACAAATGTGAAAGGCATTTAATTAAACCCAAGTAGATTTTGATGACTTGATTCTTTGCAATGGTATGTTGACAGGGTTTAGCACACTGATAGGCTCGTTCAAAATACTCTAATGCTCTTACAGAGTTTCCAAAGTTTTCCAAAACATGGGCAGCCACTGCCATTAAACATTCTATTTTTTCAAAACCAATACAAGCTCTGTCAACAACCATGTTGAATCTATCCAAATAATTATCACACACCATAATTGTATTAGAGTCACAACCACCACTGCTGTTCAAATCCCTAATTGAATGTGCCAAATATTTTGTTGCAGCGTTGTAATTACCATCGGCTTGCTTTAAAATGGAAAGTGCATCAAACCACTCTTCATCCTTTTCCATCATAAAAATATCCAATTTCTTTTCAATGTCTACTATTATTTTTAATTCCTTTAGTGTCAGCGGTGTTGTTGTTGTATCTTCTTTTTCTTGTTGTTTTCTATTTACAAAATATCGATAATTATCAATGAGAATACCAATTGTCTTGATTCTTCTTTTTATCGATTCATGTACACAGATCTTTGAATCAACTTCAAGATCTTGCCGAGTATCTTCCAATAGGCCAATATACATTTCATATTCTCCTTGAATTATTTTATACAATGATTTAATTTCCTCTTCCATTCTGTCTTGGATCAATTGTCTTTCTAATTTTTTTGATTGTTTCTTATCTATACTCGACGGAATGATTTTAAAAGAGTTTAAAATATCATTCTCTCCCAACTCTTTTGCACATTTACAAATCTTGTCAATAATACTAGTCAATTGTTTTTGATGTGCCGTTGGAGAAGAAGAGGATGAGGATGATGAGGATGATGAGGATGAGGAGGGATATGTTTCTAGGAGTGAATAAACATATGCGTATAGATTAAATGCCGTTTTATATTCACATGACTCTACCAATATTTCACCTGCACGTTGAAGAGAATTGATATAATCAACCACTTTGTTGGGATTTGTAATGATTAGATTAGAGTCAATTACAATATTATGACTTTGATATAGGTCTACTAATTCTTTAACCAACCTACCACTACAAAGACTATTGATTAAAGTTGGTAATAAATTGATCAATTGTTGTTGTTGTCTTGGGCAGAGATCATATGCTTTTAAAAGATATGATAATCCTCTATCTTTATGATTAGTGGTTGATTCCAATAACATTCCAACTCTATAAAGATATTTAAATTTTAAATCTGTGTCTACCAATCCACCACTAATGTCTATCAACTTGTCAAATCGTTCTAAATAATTTAAAATTAATTTAGATTCTTGATCATGATGACCATCATCATCATTTTTCGAAACCATTTCTATAATGTGTACCAATTTTAAAGATGCTTTGACAAAATTACAATCTTTGATTGATAGAATGACATCAATATCCAATCTTTCAATTATTTTTTGTTGTTGTTGACCACCATTCTTTAATACCTCCAACTCTAAGTGACCCAATGCAACCACCATATCGTATCCAGCCATTTCATTCATCTCTTGTACGCTTAATATATCCGTTGTTACATCTTGATATTTAGATTGATCAATTAATTGATAAAATGTAGATATCTTTTTTCTGATTGATTCGAAACCAATTGAAATGCTTTCTTCCAAGGCACCAGCTAATTTACATAAATATTGTACATTATTATTATTATTATTATTATTTTGAGGAGAAGAGTTGACACTATTATTAATAATATATTTTAGTGTATTTGCAGTATCCTCTAAATACAAATAATATAAATGAATTAAATTCCATTCAGAGGGTATACACCTAGAAATAATAAATAAATAAAGGTGTAAATAAATAAATAAAATGTATGTATTTGTATTGTATTGTATTGTATTGTATTACTACATACCTAGTTAATAATTTAATTCTTTTAATATCTACAATATTATTATTATTATTAATATCACTTTCATCATCATTATCATTATTATCATTATCATTTAAATGTTGATATAAATCATTATAAAATGACCATATTAATGATGCATATTCTTTGGCAATATCATAATAATGTAATTTGATTGAACAAATAAAGATCATTTGATATAGTTCCATTTCATCATAGGCCATTCCAAATGTTTCACACAATGATTGAATAAATGTGAGAATGATAAAAGATGAATCATAGTATGATGATGATGATGATGAATGACAAATGAATGCTCTTGCTATATCTAGTAATGCGACCATATACGATTCTACATGGTCACTGTGATAAAGTACAAAGTCTGAATCGATAATGATCAATCGATCATTAAGAGATTGGTGAATCTCATCTAAATGGTATGATAAATAGACATCTCGATGATTGATAGATTGATATACTAATCTATTCACTATACCTAATTTACTCGTAGTCATCGATCGCATCTCTAGTTTGAAAAAGATGATTTATGTTAGTTTTCTTTTGTCTCCTCTCTCTCTCTCTCTCTCTCTCTTCTTATAATGATACCATTTAATAATGTAAATAATTAGTGTACGAATGAGTAGTAATAAGTAGTGTGCACCTTGAATAAATACATCTATTTCATTGTCTCTCTCAATAAGTTGGGTGATTCTTTGTGCAGCGCAATCCGCTTTCAGATATTCAAAGCTTCACAAAACCGCGAATAAATATTAATATCCCAAAGATCTTTGCATAATATATAATATATAATATATATGCTATACAATAAATTTATATAAAAATGAGGAAGAGGAGTACAAAGAATTCTTTTTTGTTTGAATTAACATGATGGGTGATTTGTGTTTCTTTGTTTCATATTGTGTTTCTTCAAAGAGATTATTAAAAAATAATCATTAGAAAACAAATCTAGAAAATCAGAATATAATTATATTGTTGTTGTTGTTAACAATTGATGATGATGATGATGTAATATATTTATTTAATAGTATACTATTCATGAAGGAATTAAATTAAATTAGAATTATTATTATTATTAATAATCAAGTTTTCTATTTTGTTTTGTTTTTGTTTTTAGAATGAACGATATTTGATTGAATTATGGTGTCTCTTGTAAATAATGAAAATGAGAAGTCCGACGATTGCAATACCGACAATAAATCCAAGAACAATAGCTGCAATTGCGCCTTTGCTTAATCAACGACCACCATTGTTGTTGTTGTTGTTGTTTGAACTATCATCAATACAAAGATTATAGTCACTGCTGCCATAGAAGAGACAGCCATTAAACTGATTACACTGTACAAGTGGTGGTTCTTGATTATTAACTGAGGTGGTATCAATGTTTCCAGTTCCATTTACATTGATTCCAAAGAAAATATTGATTATTATATATATATTACATACAAAGGGAGAATCAGGGGAAGTATTATTACTTATGGTAACATTGTAAATATTCATTTCACAGCCGTCTAAAAGGAATACACTGGCCAGCGTCAAAATATAGGAATTGAGCATGATGGCAGACCCTCCATTGTAGAGTCTGTTATTAGCAAGGTGCCAACTCCATCGTACTACCACATTCTGTCACATTGGTATTAGTACTAGCTTGATCAACGTATACAGTATCGCCAGCCGAGCATAACCCAATAACTGATAATAATAATAAACTAATAATTAGAGAGAGAGAACACAAAAGAAAACTAACCATCTTTTGATCATTCTTACTTACGATTATACCATTTATATAATAATGTAAAATAAGAGCAGTGGGTGTACTATTTTGTGTTGAACATTTTTAATAGTTACTATTAATAATAACAGAAGTGAAAATGAGTATGTTTTGTATTTATTTAATGAATTTTGTATTTTTGTGTTTCTTGGCTTGAAATAATTTAAATTAAATATTTATTAATTATTAACTGGATATTAATGATTAATTTAAAAATTGTTAGTACTGAAAATTTCTCAGAGAAAACTATGAAAGATAAGATGAGAAGATTGAAATAATATTTGATCAAATTTGATTAAAATAAGATTGGATGGTGTTAAGAAACACCTTTTTGATTAAACAACCATGCATGATTGAATTGAATAAACAATTACAAGGAGCATTTGGAAGAAAAGTATCATCGAGCACTTTAGTTCTTGGCGTCTTGTGGGTTGTACTTGGTGACAGCAGCCATACCTTGGACGATAGCATGCTTGGCCAATTCACCAGACAAGATGATACGGACGGCGATTTGAATATCACGAGAGTGGAGGGTAGATCTCTTCTTCTTACGAGCAAGGAGACCGGCTTCAGTGGCGATACGTTCAAAGATATCGTGGACGAAAGAGTTCATAACGTCCATAGCCTTTGAAGAAATAGTGATCTTTCCGGATCCCTTGCCTCCTTCGGTGGCACCAGAGGATGGGGAGATTTGACGGAGGAGCTTGTGGATGTAGATCGAGAAGGAAGTGTAATCGGCCTTCTTCTTCTTCTTCTTTGGCTTTTCACCATCGGCGGCTGGGGTCTTGGCGACCTTTGGGGTAGTGGCTTTGTCCTTTGAGGCGGCGGAACCTTCCTTCTTGGCAACTGATGATCCTTTTGGTGGCATTTTAAAGTTGATTGAGAGTGTAATTAAAACTAGTTACAAGTAATTGATTTGTGATGATTGTTGTTTAAAGTAAAAAGTAGCTAAAAGAATCAAATGAAATGTTAGAAATTATATATTTCTACTTTTCAATGTTTTTGAAGTTGTTTAAGATGTTGATATATATCTGTTGTTGTTGAATAAGATAGATTGATAGATAGATAGATAGATATGTATAATATGATGTATGTTTGTTTATTTGATGATCTTACTTTTTTTGAATTGTCTACTGTTTGTTAATTTGATGAATTGAAAAATGATGACTTTTTGAATTTAAATCATCTTGTTCACCCTGCGTTGTTGTGAAAAATCATCCCTTTTTTTGGATTTTGCTAGGATTTTGTAAAAAAAATGAAACCTGTCACCCGCCAAAACTTCAAATCTCAGTACATTTGAAAATTTGAATTTTTCATTCCGTTCATTTTTGGAGACTTAACCGTTGTGAAGATCTTCACCCTTCGTCATCAATGAAGAAGTAGATGCGTAAAATAATAATCTAAACTAAACTTAGAGAGTATCCAACCCAAAACAACAACAACACATAGAGTCATCCATTTTTTTTAAAATTCTCTCTCATTATTATTTTATTTGTTAACTTCACCTACATTGTTTATATTACATACTGTGTTGTTGATGATCCTTCTTCTTGTTCTATTTTACCATTTCTTCTTTTCTCTTTCTTCTTCTTTTTGCAATTGTTTTATATTTATAAATTACAATTGGTATTGCCAATACAAACATAATGGCAAATACAATGAATCCAATGTACTGTGGTACATCTTTATGATTGTAATCACCTGAATCATCAATATGTCTAGTATCAATAGTTTTAATCGAAAAGTCATAAGTATAAAATTGTTTAATATCAAATTGTTCTTCATCATCATCGTATCTTGTTATAGTTTTAGTTTGTCGTTCACCACTTCCAACCTTAAAAAAAAAATTGTATTAATAATTATTTAATTTCAATTTTGGATGGGAGCTATAGCTATATTATAACTTACAAGATTATTATATTTTATACCATTATTATTTTGTGTAGTAGGATCAGGAGGAGGAGTTTGAGTTGATGACAGTGCATTAAATTTCAAATTTAAAATATAATTATTAATTTCAAGAGGTTGGATAGTGATAACAGTAACATCTGTACTACTACTACTACTATTATTGTCAGAGTTAAATATTTTTAAAAGTGTTAGTGGAGGTTGATAAAGTGATTTGGAAGAGGGAGATGAGGAGGATGATGACTCTGATTCACCGGTACATCGATCATTTAAACTAAATTCACCATTGATCATAATGTCTTTGACATTTAATCTCGACTGTGATTTTTTAGTTTTGATAGCTTGTACCGTTGAAATATAGTCTTGTTGTAAATCTTGTTGAGAAATATCATTTAGACCATTTAACATTGTCTCTTTTACATTTGTCACTTTTAGATAGTCAGAATTAAATAATTTAGATAATGATAGTTGGATAGGTGGAGATTGATCAACTGACGATAAATGTTGAATTCTAAGATGAAGAGTTGGATTAGATGAAGAAGAAGGATCTTCATCTTGATGATTTTTTAGTGTCAACAAATGTAGATTTACAGGTAATTCACCAGAATTTCCTTCATCTTCATTATTATTCAAATATCCAATATTATTTGTTTGGTATTGTTGATTATAATTTTCAATCGATTCTATTCTTTTTGTTGCAACTCTACAATATTAAAAAAAATAAATAAATATTAAAAATAAATTAATAATTTATTCATATCTTGTCTCTTGTCTCCTCTCCTTGTCTTTATAATACTTACATTAAAGGATTATTTAATAAAATTGAATATTTTCTTTGTAATAATTTTGATTGACTAATTGTATCAATATTCAAGTATAGTTTACCTTGAATTTCGGTATTGTCTCTTGGTGGTGCAGCCAGACCACGATGATCATCTTGGTGAAGATTACGGTGGATCATAATTTCTATTTCTCCGATCTTTGGGACGGTAGCTCCATGTGATCGATCTGAAAACACAGTAAATTGATTCTTTTGATCTTTTAGATCGATTGTATTGAGCAGTGGGTAATATCTCTCACCAATTGGAATGGATTCATTACAACACAATCTTGTTCTACTTTCCAATCCATTATCCATATAAAACTTTTTGTTGGTATTGTTGATATTGGTAGAGAGGTTGATTACAGTCTCTCTATTTTTCTCTCCCACGACACTATACCCATACTCGATGAGATCCACAACAGTCATTGAAAGATTCTTGTATAATCTTATATATTGACTTGTATCAGGTCCACATTGTTTTAAATTATCACCATCACCGTTGGTGGAATACCGATAATGAATGATTGAATCAAATATAGGACCATTAATTCGTATGATTTTTATAGTTGATTTGTCAAGATTGTAATTATCTTGACCAAATATAAATGATTTTGGTTCATCATCTGGTTTAAATATATATGCTCCACTATTACTTGATTTGTATTGACTCATCTAAAATAATAATAATAATTAATCAATAAATATTAATTAATTTGGTTTTTTTTTTTTTTTGATATTGATTAAACTTACACTATTTGTTAGATTGATAGTAGAGTTATTTTTAGTTATTGATTTTATCATACCATTAGAGTTGAATTTAATTTGGTAGAGTGAATTATCTAGTGTCAGTTGACCAATGTTTTCGGGATTAGAGATGATTTGGTGAATATTTGATTCAACATGGTTGAGTAGTGGAGTTGGAGATAATGATAAAAAGTATGTTGAAAATCCCAATGCTTTTATACTACTAGCCAAAAAATATATATTATATTGATGAATAACATTATTATTATTATTATTATTATTATTATTATTATTTTTATCTTTGTTATTAATATTATTCTTATCGTTGTTGTAACAAGGTTCTGGTAATAAAACAATTGGTACTAATTGAATGATTTGTTGGTGTCCAATATGATCACTAATTATGATTCTATCGAGTAGTGATGTATCGTTACATACTATTCTAATAGATACAATTTCATTTCTAATCCATCCCAATGAATTAAATAATACTATTGATTCTTTTTTACCACTATCACCATTTAATTGATCAATATCGATTATTGATTGTAATTTAAAATTATTATTATTATTATTTTGATTTTGATTTGAATTTGCTTGAAGTAATAATTCCATTGATTTTGATATTATATTATTACATTGTTCTCTTGTTTTCATTAATTTTAATAAATAATCATGCATTACATAACTTCTTGCAGTTCCAGTTACTGCATCATGATGTTGTGATATTGCCAATAACTACAAATATATAAATAAACAATAAGTATAATATTTATAATTGATTGTTGTTTTGTTAACTATTCAATTTCATACCCTTCTTGAACTTTGAATTAAAGGATAAATATTTGATATGTCAATTGATGATGATTTACTAGATGCCAAACTATAAATAAATTCAGTACTTCTAACCAATGATGATACATCTCTTACTTGTCTTTTAAATAATGGTCTGGATGAATAAAATCCCTAATAATATAATTGATTGATTCCAGATTGGTTAGTTGATTGTTGGTTGTTTGGTTATTTTTTAAAATTTACTACATACAGTCCAAGGAAATGAAGTTTCAGTAATATAGGGGAAAAAATCCTTTTTAAAGATTGGTAGTTTGATTTGTCTCTTTTTCGATTGAATGTGAAGATGATTATAATAGTCTGTTAATGTACCATATCTTAATACCATTTCATCACCGTACTGATTGTTGATTCGCCGCATGATACAATCTGCCTTGTTGAAATGATCGTCAGCTTCGAAATATTGAAAGTCGTCGCCGAGTGGGATGAGGATGACGTTTGTGCGATAGGCATGTTTCATTGGTCGAATCGAATCGACAAACCTTTTAGCATAGAGTCCAATATTGTTTTCAACTCGACCAAGTGGAATGGCGGAGGGGTAGTTGCCCGCATCACCGTAGGGACGATACAATGTATTGACAAAGATATGCGACCGATTCGATAGTGATGGGGACCCCTCCCAAATAAATTGTAGTTCCTGTGATCCCACCATTGAATCTTTCAACGTCTCTGTCAATCTACTCGTCACCAACGTGTCAAAACCAAGTCGTGGATAGAGGGTCGATGTTTGACTACTATGACCAAATGGGTCGATTTGCCAACCGTGTCGAACCGTCGTATTCAAATGTCTCTGTACCCATTTATGTCCCTCTGTCATTTGATCCAACATGTCTATTGGTGACACGACCGCTTCATCATTCATAACCCATCCTCCACCAACAATTTCCAATTGTCCATTATCTACCAGTCTCCTCAATAGTTGTCTCTTTTCATTTGTCTGTTCATCCCACCACATTTTTAAATAGGATCTAAGAGGAAAGAGTAAGTACATTGATTCATTATACCTACCTTCTTTTTCTTGATAGATAACATACATTTCAGTCCATATGAATTTTCTATTTTGGTTTAATGATAATTGTTTGAGGACACGATTGATAATAGTGCCAACTCTTTTATGATAGTATTCTTCAAAGGTTGATAACCATCCAACATCGCAATGTGAGAATGGTACCATATAGATTTGTAATTTTGAATTATCGTTGTAATCTATATCACTACTACTGCCATTGCTGCTACTCGTACTTTGTAATATTATAATTAAAACAATTAAATAATAAATATATTTTAGTCTCACCATTATTCATTATAATATATTATTATTATGCTTTGGTACTCTCTCTCTTTTTTCTATTCGTTTAAATAATAATAATAATAATAATAATAAGGACAAGAATAAATGTTGTTGTTTTAAATATTCATTCATTCTCTAAGAACTTATGTGTTCAGGTGCATGTATTATTAGTACTCTCACAGTGACACTGTTCGTGTGTGTGAGTGAACCTCAGATATCATTCTTTCATTGAACTCTCTCTCCTGAAGCTACCATAATAATCTACTACTACTACTACTGCTGCTTTGAAAACAAATAGATACATAATAACATTATTATCTCTTTTCAAAAAAATAAAATGAGAGAGAAGAGAGTGTGGTTGTGTATTTAAAAATGGAAAAATAATTAATTAATAAATATTTATTGATTTGTATACATGTTTATGTATACACACACACAAGTTGATAAGAGATATCTCTGTTAAAGTTTTTAAACAAATAAATTAAATTAAGCTAAAGTAACCAGGGGGATTTAATTTAAGTTCTTTGTCAAAAGATTTTTCTGATCGGAAATGCTTACGTAGTCTTTTCGATCACTCTTTGTTATTGCCGAATTCACTAGTATAATAATATCATAACAATTCAACAATGTCGCTCTCTTTAAAGATTCAAGAATCTTTATCGATCTATCTACCTCTATCTTTCTATTATTTATTTTAACACTTTATATATAACTTATAACTCTCTCTGTCTTCAAAATTTAATGATCATGACTGATGTTACACCCGTTGATGAGAAGAGGAGTTGTACTATATATATTCTTTCTAGTTCTCTATCAATCATTTATGATAGCAACTTGTACCACCACTACTTTTATATCTTCATCTTCATCTTCATCATCATCATCATCAACCAATAACAATACTCTAGTAACCAATTTTTATGTATCAAACAATAACAGTAGTAATAGTAATAATAATAATGGTACATGTTGTTGTGGGTTTGATCTATTAAATACATGTAGTGATATACAAAGTGCTTTGGATTCATTCTATCAACAACCGATGGCACAAACATATTCACATCAAGAGTTGATTGATTTCCAAGTGACTATTATTTTGTTAACGGTAAACACGACTGCTGCTGGATCAACAGCACCAACTATTTATAGTAGTCCGAGGAATGGTAATTTAACCATTGAACAAAGATTGGTCACCATTACAACACAGTCACTATCTGACAAGGTGGTGATTGATATTGGCCCGTTTGCAGAGTTGCCATGGTTTGCCACACTTACCAGTAGCTCTGGCCTGAGCTTGGTCGGTATCACTTTTAGTGGTTCGTTGGCAACCCAAACGTTTTCCCGGTTAATAGTGTATGAGTCCCATACGTTCATCGCAGCCAGCTATCTTGGATTGGAGAGTTGCACGTTTGAAAACATTTACCTTGGTGATGCAAGTCTTATATACATATGGGCGCAAGTGGTCACTATCACTGGTTGCACGTTAAACAACATCACTTCACATCATCCCAACTACTTGATCGACGTATTGTACAGCACATCGACAATCACCAATACCGAGATGACCGATATCAACATGACATCGGGGGATACGGCACCCTCTCTGGTATATGTGAGCGGGGGCGATGTCACACTACAAGGCAACTATTTTGCCAACAACACTTGTCAGGAGGTGTTAAGTTTGTCAAACTTGGCATTGAACATGACTAGTACCAAGTTTGTTGGAAACACTTGTGGCTATGTAGTGTATGGCCGGGGCATCAGCACCTTTATATCTAGTTCCGAGTTTATCCAGAATAATCAGACTTTTTCTACGATCAGTCTGTTGGGCTATTTCAACCTTAAGAATGACGCTGTCATTGACCAATCTTTCTTTGTCCAAAACACGGGACCAAATATTATCAGTGCCAATAGTCAGATCGTATTGTCAATGAATGGGACTGTGATGCAGAATAATAGCGCAACGGCCAATGGTGGAGCCATCACGGCGTCACATGCCACTATTAATCTCGACAGAGTATCGATTCTCAATAATGTCGCCAGGTTCTTTGGAGGTGGAATCTATGCCGAATCGTCACTCATCAATATTACGAGTTCGATGGTATTTGCAAACTCGGCCACGGAAAGTGGCGCCATTGCTCTCGTGGCTGGCTCCACTTTGGTTCTATCCAATACTTCGATACAACAAAACCGAGCGTCTCTAGATGGTGGATCTATCACCTGTTTGTATTCATCGGTTCTCTTGGACACTGGTAATCAGATCATCTTGAATACCGCTAGCAATGGGTTAGAGTATGATAACTTTGGATGTACTTACCAAGCCAATGGTCCATCATCAACGTGTGTCATTGGAGGGACAAGTTGTCCGGCTAGAAATAGTAGTAGTAGCAGCGATGGCAGCACAATACCTGGAGGTAATAATAGTGATACAGAGGATGACAGTAATAGTTCTGATAATACAAAGATTGTTATTATTGTCATGGTGGTTGGGCTGATATTTATCATTGCAGTTATATTTAAAGTGGGGTACAGACATAATAATAATAATAGTAAAGGTAGGAGTTGTCTTTATACAGCAACAGACCATGACAATGAGAACATTCCCATTTTATCTCCTCCTCCTCCTCCTCGACCAGAGTCTCCAACTCTCTCCTACTCGAGTATTTATAATAATAATAAACAACTTTTACATAATGGTAGTATTCCAATAGACGAATAAGTACAGCAACAATAATAAATAAATAAATAAATAATAATACATATAAAATAATACATACAAAAAAAAAGAAAAAGTAAAGAAAGTATAGTTTAATATTATTCACATGTCCCCCCCCTAAGACACTACCCCAGTGAATGATAGGAATTCTTTGGTCATATCTCTGATAATATGTTCCATCCATGAGGATGGGATTAAAAATGGTTGGGTTGTTTATAATTTAAATTATTATTATTATTGTTATTGTTATTGTTGTAAATATGTTGCTGTTGTTGATTATGGTGAACAAGAGACAGTGATTAAACCATTACCATTACCACATGTGCTTGCCAAAGAGTAGGTGTTGCAATGCTTTTCATAGCAACTGTATTGTTGTGGTTGATCGTTGTGGTCGCAGTAGTAGAGCATTGGGATATCAGTGTTGGGACCAATGACAGTGCCGTTGGTGATGTAATAGTAGCTTTCGACATTCTTGCACTTCTTGTCGTACACTTGGTAGTAGATCGAGTTGGAGGGGATCTTGGGGAGCACAGTCTCGTTGAGTGCGATGTATCTCCAGTCGGTCTCGTCATACTTGCCTTCCGCGGAATCGTAGGTACAGTCCCCAAAGTTGTATACAAACTGGCTGGTTGGGTTGCCCGAGCAATCAGCCTTCCACAACACATCGATGTACGTGTACAACATGACGGCAGTAGAGTTCCATGTTCTTCCGAAATAGCTGCCTGGGATATCGGCCAAGTCAGCGTTGCCTGCACATGTATCCGATTCTATTCCAAATCCAAATCCACTAATTACGCTACACTCAGTGTCCTATATAACATACATATATGTATTGTTAGATGTGTATCATCGATCGTGTGCTATCTCTATATGTGTAGTAACAACTAGATACATACTTGTGGTTGGAATGGTACAAAGTGAACAAGAGCTTGAATGCAACTGACAAGTAACAACAGTAACAATGATGATGATACTATAAACTTCATGTTGTTGGCTATAATAATAATAATGACTAGTATACTAAAAGATATCTGAGTGAATAAGAATCCTTCAATCGATCATTATTCTCCTCTAGATATTTTGAACCATTGAAAATTTAATTAATTTAATCCAAATTAGTTTTAAGGTCAATAATGTTGTTGGGATTGATCAGTTTAACCTACTTTGTAATAGAAAGATTAATCAAAGAGGAAATACCTACAACTAACTATAGTTGGAAAGAAATACTCAAGAGTTAAAAATGATCAATAGAGAGAAGAGAAAGTAAACTATTTCTCGCTCTCTCTCAAAAGCATATATTGGTAGATATCTATTTTTAGAAAGAGCAATTGATATATAAATATAATATGAAAGATGTAAAGGATTGATGTTGATGGGTAAATTCATCAACAACCCAAAGACAGGATGTGTAATCACAAAAGTAAGTAGTCGTAGTATGTTTTTATCATTTGTATATGCGCACGCGATCATCGTGATGATCATCAACAACGCATTTGGCAGTACTTCTAGGTAGAATGGTTGGAGGTTGAATAAATCACCTAATTTAATCATGTGGGTATTGGAACACGAGGATGAGGAAAGAGGAGAGAGAGAGATGTATATTTTTAAAAATCATGACTCTATCGAATTTGGATTGATGGATGGATGGATGGATGGTAGCACACGATACTGATGGAATTGGAATTGAGAACTTGGATGACTAAATACGCGCAAAGTATACTTTCTATCCAATTGTAATCACCCTCACACACATACACTAAACACACAACACAATACGGAAAATCGATTTCAATAGATTTTAATTAATTATGATAATACCCATCAATCCATCTCTTGTGCCCCCTTTTCCCCACCCTCCCACCCCCTTTATCCACCACCACCTCCAACACCCTTTTGATTGAAAACTTGTTTGTTACTATATAGTATCCAAGCAGCTGTTTTTGGAAATGACGTCAATCAACTTTCTCTCTCTCTCCCACGCTCTTTTTGTTGTTATTAGTGTGGAATTTAATTTAAATCTGCATTGCCTGTATTCCAACTGGATAATATGTGTGGGGTATGGTATAGAGACAAGATGGATGGATGGATGAATGGATCTCTTTGCATTCTCTATTTTATACATTCGTCGAATTCTCAATCAAAGATACATCTTATTCTCATCGCCAACGTATATACGTATTTTAGATGTGTGTGTGTGTGTGTGTGTGTGCGTGTATTGTATACGTGTGCGTGTTATTGGTTGATTGATTGATTGATTGATTTGATGGGTAATTAATAATGTATATTGCTAACCAACTGCTACACCGTTAATGCTAGTGTATACCCTCTTTTTTTAATTAATATTCCTTTAATTGTATTTATTGTTATTATAATACGGTCGTTTTTTCAACCGTATTTTAATATGGTACCATCCCTCAAATCTTTCTACTAGACTTGGAAATGGAAAAAAAGGTGGATAATGGGGGGTGGTGACTGACTGACTCACAATACAATATATATATATTATAGTAGTAACACCGACCAAATGATTGGATGATTAGATTATTCACTCCTACCCTACCATCTTGTCCATGGACGAATAGATGGAAAATAGAAAAAAAAGATAAATATATCATTTTATAATATACATCTGGATGATGATTAATTTAGATGGATTGTAGTTTGGGAATAATTTAAATTGATTCCAATCCCAGACAGTGATTTATTACGAGTAGTAGTAGTAGTAGTAGAAGCGCGACCCACCAACCCACCCACTTTTGTCTTGTTGGTGGACCAACTCATACCTCCCTCTTGCTCACCAAATAGGGATGATGCAATAGATGGATAGATGACCAATACCACCACCACCACTAACAGTGCTTGCTATTTGCTGTTTGCTGACATGTCCGATGGTAAGCCAATCATATTTATGGAATAGTCATCCATCTAATGGGGAGGGGGTGAAACCAACATGCACTATAGTCCTCCTCGTCCGTCTAGAAAAAGTTTTGCTACTACTCTTGGTCAATTTTGATGGATTTACAGACAGAACCCAAGACTATTTAAACAAGCAAGTTTTGACTATTTCAAATCATTCAAATCAACTTGTCTCTTCTCAATAATAATTAACAGTATCATTACTTTTCTGTACCAACTACCCTTTTAAAATGTCCATCTTAAGTAATTATCATTCTATTCAACAACAAAACAAACAAAACCAACAACAAGACTATTCCCAATTGCCAATATTAATATTTAATTTCCTTTCTTTTTTCTTTTTCTCTTTTCCACCCATTCTAGAATCAATCTCTCAACTCGGTTCATTCAAGGCCTCATCCGTCCAAAACCAATCATTCAACAGCAACTCCATCATGACTGGTCAATCTGCCATCAAGTCTGCCTCACTTGTCAACTTGTGTGTTGATAACCTCCACTTGAATGCCCTTAATCTCGTCGTACTCGATGTCGACCACCTCTCCCTCAATGCTCTCTAAAGATGTCATTTGTGCACAAAATAACATCAATAGCAGTAGTGTGTTTTAGTATTAGCAGTAGTAGTAGTTTGCCAATCAATCCTGTCCACCCCACCAACCAATCGTATTTTTGTAAATATCACCAATCGATTCCGGTGCCCCTCCCTTCTTCATTCCTTCTTCTTTCTCCTTGCTGCTAGTGATGTTATTTGTTAAATTATTCTTCTATTCCAAAAACAATAGAGAATCATTCCTTTTTTAAAATAAATCAATAATAATATTTCCTTAAAAAATGATTCTTTGCCTCTTGTATTTGATGAGTTTAATATATCGTCATCATCCAATGTTCTTCTTGTTATACTTACCATGCAATGCTTGGTCATCTTTTGTTCTCGCTTATCATCCAATTCCTTTGGAATTTAAAATGAAAGATGACAAAGCATTGGATGGTAAATAAAACAAGAACAAGAACATTGGCCCCTTACTTCTTCTTTACTTTTATGTTTGTCTTGATCGATTTGTTCTTGATAGCAACATGGACAGATATCTTGTTTAATCATCACAACATTCCTTAACGTTCATTGAACAACAAAGAAAATATGAATATCTATCTATCTATCTATCTATCTTTGACCAACCATCAACATATTACTAATATAAATGTTCATATATGTATATATGATTTTTGTAACAAAAAAGAGAGCGAGAGAGAGTCGATAATAAAAAGAGTGAAACTACAAACAAGTGAGTTGGCCAGTAGTTTTTTTTATTTTTATTTTTTTTTTATTTAATTTCGAAAAGGGGGTGTTCACAAAACGAACAAATTTCACTTTATTAAAAATTCAAACTAAATTTTATATATATAAATCTATCTATTTAGAGTAGGGTATATATTAGCAACACTACAAAAAGTAAGAAAAGGATGCAGAGAAGAAGAAGAAGAAGAAGAGGAAGAGGACATCACACTACTTTGACTATTACTACGATAGTAACAAACAACTCAAAAACATAATCTATAAATATACAAGACTACTATTTATCATCAAATTGGTATAAAAAAAAGACCAGTAGTTTGGTTTTATAACCCTTTTTTGTTTGTTGAAATTTCAATAATACTTTACAAGATAAACAAAAAGATATATCTATCATCTCTTTGAAACAAATCAATAGATATAATCATACTAGCTACCAACACACACATGCCATACATACTAGTATGACCTTTTGTAGACGAGACAAACAGAAAAAGGTCATCACAGCAAATGACCAATACCTCGTTTAGTGTAGTTGTAGAGTGCATGTCATGTGACGGTGTAATATGTTTTTTGTCGTGAATTTGTTGTGTGAAGTTAAGGGTGTTATCGTTCATCATTCATCATTCATTTCATTATTAGTTTGGATTGGTAGACCTAGGATATGCATACATTCATTGAACTTGAGAAAATAAGAAGTGGTTTATAATCTTGCGCTTTGCTTTTGTGCTGTATTGTGCAAGTGTCGTCGTCGAACTTCGATCAACGCCAACTGTCAACTTTCCTTTTTTTTTTTTTTTTTTAATTTTTTTGACGTTCACGTGTTGCAGGTTCCCAATCCTCTCTCTCGCACTCAAACTGACTCTATCAACAACAACAAACAACTATACAAACACACTATACAATTCTACATATATCTATCTTTTATATTATATTAATATTATATAAATACTTTTTTTTTTATTGAAACAATATATAATAGTATATCAACATATATAGAGATACAAAATGGTAAAGGAAAACAGCAGCACTAAGAAACAATCCACCACATCGGCAGCAAGTGGTGGTGGCGGTAAGAAGACACAGGTCAGTGGTGGAGGCTCTAGCCCAGCAGATAACAACAATACTCAAGATACAAAGTTCAACCTCCAAGATATGATCAAGACTATCAAAGAGGTGACCACTTGGAGAGACGATGACGATATCAAAACTGCATTGGAACAAAATAGTTTTAATCTTGATAGAACCATCACCTTGATTCTTGAAGAACTTATCAAGCCAGAGCAAAAGTGGACTGAAGTCAAGAGAAGAGTAAGTATGATAAATATGACATGTGATCAACAACAAACAATGCGAGAGAAATTATAAAGATATACAAGGAGAACAATAATAAGATGCTAATATATATATATGTAATCTATTTAAAATTTAGAATGACGGAAATAAGAGTAAGAAAGAAGAAGGACAAAAGTCGGTAGAAAGAGGTTTACAAACAGGCAAGCCAAAGAAGGAGTTTAGAGGTATGTAAATGAGTTAATATTATTTATTTTTAGATTTGTATTATGTATCTCTAACAATATTGTAATTTTTGTTTTGTTGATTTAATAGAAGGTGAAAAGAATGATCGTGGTGATCGTCCAAAGAAGGAATATAACAATAACATTAACAGAGATAACAACAACAACAATAACAGAGATAACAACAATAGAGACAACAACAATGTCAACAATAGAGACAATAGAGACAAAAACTTAAAGACTAATGGATATAACAAACAACAAGATCATATTTCAAGAAGACCACACACATTTGGTGCACAAAGAGAACAATCCCAATCTACCGCAATTCCATTGCAAGACGAGCCATTGGCTGCTTCATCACCAGCCGCTCCAGCAGTCGTTGCCGCTCCACCAACCTCATCCTCATCCTCATCCTCTGCTTCATCATCACAATCATCCTCTTCTGCGGCTGCTCCTTCAACCTCGAGCACAAATAGCATCCCTGTCGATTTGGTTCACCCAACCATTTCCTCCACCAAGACTGGTGGCATGACCATGAGTCAAATTTTGGCTCAGATCAAGGAGCGCGAGCTTGCCACCCAACAAAAGCAGCATCAACAAAAGGAGGTCGTCACTGCCGTCGCCACCCCAACCCCATCCGTTGCTCCATCCACCACCACTTCTTCTTCCGCTGCCACCACTGCCTCTTCTTCATCTGTTGCTCCATCCACCACCTCTGCCGCCACCACCAACAACAATACCGCCACCCCTGCCACCGCCACCACTACCACCGCCATCACCGCCACCCCTGCCTCTACCGGCACATCCTATGCAGCCATGATCTCTGCTGCTCAAAACAAGCAAAATGCCAAGCCAGCCGCCACCCCATCTGCAGCTGCCGCCAACCCAATCCCACTCGACCCAGAGCCCACCCCAGTTCAACCAGCTGTTGTCGCTGCTCCAGTCGTTGCTGCTCCAGCTCCAGCTCCAGTTGCTGTCCAACAACCAACTCCAGTCGTTGCCACTCCAGCCGTTGCCGCTCCAGTCCAACAACAACAACCAGCCGTTGTCTCTGCTCCAGCTCCAGTACAACAACAACAACCAACTGCTCCAGTTGTTGCTGCTTCTGCTCAAGCTCAACCAACCCAACAACGTACCAACTTTGGTCAAAAGCCAGGTTCTACCCATGCATGGAAGCCAAAAGAGTCACCATCCAACTCGCCTCTCACCAACCCAGCTCGTCAACCAATCGGACACCCAACCAAGCAAGTCAACCCAGTTGCCATGCCAGACGCCCTCAACTTTGACCCAACCTCGAGCTTTGACGTCCAATTTGGCAAGAGCACCATCGAGTCGGCTCCAGTAGTACAAGCTGCTCCAGTCCAACAAGCTGCTCCAGTGCAAACTGCTCCAGTCCAAGCTGCTCCAGTTCAAACTGCTCCTGTCCAACAAGCTGCTCCAGTGCAACACGTACAACACCAACAAGTCCACAAGCAATCGCCAGTCAACCAACAACACAACATGAACCAATACCAAGCATTCCAAACCATGCCATCGATGGATCCACAACACATGATGCCAGAGTCTGATCTCCAACACATGTCTGCCTATGCCCAATACCCATACATGATGCCAATGCAATGGTTTGACGAGTTTGGTGCCCGTCAACAATTCTACGAGCAATCCTACTCGCAACAAAACGCATACAACCGTACCACCTCTCCAGTTGCCGACAACCAAACTCCACAACAACCACAACAACCACAACAACAACAACCAAACAAGTTTGCTGGTCGTCAACAAAACACCAACCAATCATTCCGTGGATCCAATGATAATACCAACAAGTTCCATAACCAACAACAACAAGTGCAACAACAACAAGTTCAACAACAACAGGGACAAGAGCCACAACAACAAGCTGGCGCCAACCAACACCCATCTTCACAATCCCCACCACTCCCACAATCCCACTTCCAACCGTACGGTGGTTACTATTATGGCGGCTACTCGCAATACAGCCCATACCCCAACCAAAACACTCAATTCCTTCCATACGGCTACCCACCAAAGCCATACATGAACATGAGTCGTTACCCATCACACCCAGGTCAAAACCAAGGTTACCCCGATGAACAAGACTTTAAGTCTGCCTACCCAGGTTACAACTCGTACTTCCCATCTTCTGGTGTCGACCAATCCAAGATCTCTGCCACTGGATCTCCAACTGGTTCAAAGCAATTCCAACAACAAAACAACCAACACTCAACTAACCCAAACACTCAACCACAACAACAACAACAAGGTGACATTACCTCTCAATACAATAACCAAAAGAACCAATACTCTCGTGGAAATGATCAACAACAACAACAACAACAACAACAACAAAATAACTATTACAACCAACAACCAGCCCAATACATGCCACATTTCCAATCTTTTCCACAAAATAATCAACAGATGAACCAAAATAGAAACCAATACCCATTATCCTAATTCCATTTATAAACCCTCCTATATTAAATAATAATAATACAATACGGTAATAAAAACCTCCCTTCCCTCTTTTCTCTTATCTTTAAAAAAAAATAAGAAAAAGGGGAATTTATATATATATAAAAACTAAAAAGTATAAAAGTATAGATGAATCTAAAAATGCTGATAAGTTACAAAAAATGGGGGTTTCACAAAACTATTGCTTTTTATTGTGGTCATCAAAAAAAGTAATCGAGATCGAGATACAAAACCATGTAAAAAACACGAATTTCGTTCAAACCGATCAGCAAACCTCTTGTCTTTTTTGTTCTTGTTTGCACTATAACTCTCAGAGCTTACATTCATTCATTAACCCTTAACATTCATCCTTTCCCGCCTTTTCTATTCTATTGTATCATATATCTGTAATTTTATTCATTCATCTCATTCATTCATTCTTTTGTACCATACTATCTATCTATATATCTCTCTCAAATCTCTCTCGATATGGCATCTATTACAAAAGATGACTTTAATGTAGTTATCTCTCATCTATCGGTTAGTCATACTCGAAAGAATAGAAATCTATACGCTACACTCGATTTTGATGGTTTCAAACAAATGAAAACTGATATAACTACTTCAACAAAAGGTAAGAGACAAAGAGAGAGAGAGAGAGAAGAAGAAGAGAGAAACAGTTTCTAATATACATGTCAATATTGATTTATATAGAGGGAAAAGCAGCATGGAGTCAAAGATTTGATTTTCAATATGAAACAAAGTATATACACAAGTTGAATATGAAACATTTCAAGTTGAATCTGTATAAAAAGAAATCATTGTCTGCTGATTCATTGGTTGGATCAGTGTTGGTAGATCTCTATACTCTGGCAACCGGTCCAATCGATCATGATATACTACTGACAAAAGCATCGATGGGTGTTGGTAGAGCTAGATTCAAATTACAAATGGTACATGTATCACGTATTCGAATCAATGTCGATCATATTGCAATCACAAATCTCCATAAATCAATTACTTCTGGTAGTTCTGATTGTACAAATTATTTGGAGTATTCTTTAAAGTATGGATAAAATAGAAAAAGAAACAAAGAAACATTTTATTAATATTATTATTATTATTATTTATTTAGTAATAATCATATAAATTCATCACCAAAAATAGAAGGATCATTATGTCCAACTTGGATGAATCTACCACCAATCAGTCAAATCATTTCACTCAAGGATTTGGTAGACAGTCAATTACATTTTACATTTAAAGAAAAATCACTTAAAGATAAAACTCTTGGTCAATTGGTTGTATGTATAAACATATATATATATATATATATATATATATATATATATATATATTGATATGTTTGGAATTGACTGGACTGACTCATTGATTTATTTTCATTTTCTTGTAGTTACCAATTAAAAATATATTTTCATTTATTGAAGGTGATACAAAACATATTAATACATGGTTGGTTAGTATGGACAATGAAAAGATTGCCGATTTATTTGTAAAGATCCAGTTTAATGAGATTCCCCAGTTGGCTCAAATGTTGGAGGGTATACACACCGAGACTGGTATACAAAACGGTCAACCTTTCTTCTCGGGTGTACCACTACCAAAACTACTCGGTGATATCACCAACCCTGTACCACAAGACATTAAACTGCCACAGGGATGGGAGAGCAAGATGGACCAGTTTGGCAGAACCTACTATGTCAACCACAACACACGTCAAACAACTTGGACCAATCCTCTCATGTCTGCACCAGTCGAGAAAAAGAGTGGATCATTTTTATTACAACAACATGGTAGTAGTAATAATAGTAATGGTAATCTTGCATCTCACAATGATGCAGTTAGAAAGAATTCAAAGAGTAAGAGTAATATGAGTAGTAGCAATGGAGGGGAAAAGACCAAAGAAGAAAAGGCAGCTATTTTAATTCAAAGAACATTCCGTCGTCACAGAAAGGATGTCTATACTAAAACCATTCGTAATCCAAGTCAGTACCGTCAACCTTCCCAAAGACCACAATTACCATCTGGTTGGGAATGTCGTATCGATGATTACGGTCGTCCTTATTATCTAGATCATATGAATCGTACTACTACTTGGACTCCTCCCAAACCAAACAAAAAATAAATAGAATAGAAATAGATCTAACCTTTTTTTAAATAGTTTTTGAAATCCAAATCACATATGTATATATTGTCCTGTCTTTTAATTATTATTATTATTATTATTTATTTTGATTTTTAAATATATTCCTCTGATTAATCAAATGGAATGGTTATTTAATGTTCAGTTCCAAAGTATCTATAATTTAAAAAAAAAAAAAAAAAAGTTAATATTTTCCATAAACTCTCAAATTGATCATTCTTGTTTGTTTGTTACATACCTATCACCAAAATCACCAATACCTGGGATAATATATTTCTTGTCATTGAGATTAGAGTCAATTTCTCCAGTGACAATGGATACCTTTGGGAATTTAGCGGTAAAGAAACGGATACCTTCTGGAGCAGCAACCAAATTGATGAAAATAATGTTTTCCTCCTTGACACCTCTTTCCAACAACACCTCGACGGCTTGTGCAACGGTACCACCAGTTGCAAGCATTGGGTCAAGTAATAATACATGTCTATTGGCAATATCAGCTGGTAACTTGCTATATAATAACTATAGATAGATAGATAGATAGATAGATATTGTGAGATTAGTTATATTACTCTTCTTCTTCTTCTTTAGATATATATATTTGATTTCTAGGATAGGTTACTTTTGGTCTGGCAGTTTCTTCGTCTCTTTGAATCAAGATCTTTCCAATTTTGATTTGCTTGCAAACGGCACGAAGACCAGCTTCCATTGATTCACCGGCACGAACGATCGATACACCACAGATCTTTGAGGCAAATGATACACCATTGTAAGTAGCACCGGTTGGAGTGGTGACATTGGTTTCGCTGAATGGCAAACAGTTGAGACCCTCTTCAATCAACAATCTAATCAAACGATCAGAGTAAAAGATGAAATCTTCACGTTTGGTCTCTCTGTCTCTGATCAATGTGAATAATCCTTTAACTTGATGATTGCTCTTTAAAACTACAATCTCCTAATAATATCATGTTACAAACAAGAGTAATAGTTAATAATCAATCACAATTCACTTTGATATGTGATATTAATCTTCACTTCATTTCATTTCATTGTATAGTCATCATATGACATATGAACTGACGGTTGTTTAAACAACATCATTCATTCATTCATTCATTCGCTTTTGTTCATTCGTTCATTCAAGATATCTGTATGTACCTACTTTTTGTGGTGTTGATGTTGATGTTGTTGACGATGACATTATTGGTATGTATTACTACTTGTAATGTATTATTATCAATCAATTGCTCCTGAGAATAATGATCACACGAAACTTTAGTTCGATGGTTTCGTGGTTCACTCTGAGTGGAAAAAAATCGAATGTTCTTTGGTTGGTCGTCGAACCACCCACACATTCTTTATTCATCGTTTGTTGTGAATGTATTGAAAAGGATAATATATATTATCATATTTCAAAGGAATAGAAGAGAGAGAGAGAGAGAGAAAGAGAAAGAGGGAGAGAGGAGATTCCGACAAATTGAATAGTTTGTTAAATTTCCTTTACTTTATTACTTTAAATGTCGATGTTTGTTTGTTGAGACAGATGCAATATGAAACGGTACAGTTCTCTCACCACAAAACAACCCTAACCCATTTAGAGCAATGCTAACTCTTAAGACATCTCTCTTATCATATGATATCTAAAGTGTTAACCACCACCTCATCAATACCGGTATTCCCGTACCTCTGCCAATCATAAATCTTGATGACAATCACCCCACTCTTTTTTGATATTAAAAGGGTCAGTGGTAATATTAATACACTTGTGGGTGGTGTAAGAATGTCATTATCTTAAATTGCTAACCAACAATACACACACTCGCATTATCAAAGAACAAGCAGAAGCAGAAGCAGAAGTTAAAGTAAAGATTGTTGCCAGCAGCAGCAGCAACATAGAATGAATGCATGCTGCCAATGCCAACTTACTAGATCAACGCAAACTCTCCTTCCTAATGGGGATCGGTTCATTTGGTTGTTTACTAAAACTCATTTTGTTGTTGTTGTTGCTGATGACAAGTTAGTTGTTATTTACCCAATCGGTCACAATCAAACAACACGACCATCTTTATCTTTAACAATCACATCCCTTATCTTATACTCCTCTTTTGTTTTGACCTACTAAAGATCAAAGAAGAATAAGATTATGTGTTGGTGTGATTTAATGTACTACTAAAGTTAACAAAAGGTAATAATGACAATAATAATAATATTAATATTAATAATAATGAACTGTGATTCATGAACTGAACATATTAATCTAATCAAATCATTTCTTTCTAACATTATATAGATAATTATTATTATTATTATTATCTTTTTAATTTTATTTATTTATTTTATTATTATTATACATATACGTATACATTATACGACGATACAACTTAATTAGTTATGATTACCAACACTCGTTTTTCTAATAATATTGGTCAAGATCAAGAAGATGATCGAGATAATGACATTGCTATTGTTGGTATGGGGTGTAGACTACCAGGTGGATCGAGAACACCACAACAATTCTATGAGCAATTGCTCGGTGGTTTGGATGGTATCTCAAAGATGACTGATGATAGGTGGTCAAGATCATACGTCGATCAAGGTTACATTGCTACTGATCGTGCTGGCTTCTTGGACATGAAAGAATGGATGCACTTTGATAAACATTTCTTTGGTGTACTTGGAAAGGAAGCTGCTGCACTTGACCCTCAAATACGTCTCTATCTCTCGGTGCTGTGGGAAGCTTTAGAAGATTCACATATCGATCCTGCATCGATAAGAGGTTCAAATACATCGGTATTTCTCGGTCAAATGTTTGATGCCAATCACCATATGCTTACACACGATCTTGTAACTATGACACCTCAGGTTAAAACGGGTAGATCAGACTCATCAATCAGAGCATCGTATTGTTATGACTTCCGTGGCCAATCACTTTCAATTGACACTGCATGTTCATCATCACTTGTTGCAGTACTTCAAGGAATAGATACTATTCTAAAAGGTGAAAGTGATATATCAATATGTGGTGGAGTCAATGCTTTCATTGAACCTACTTCATCTATTCAATTCACCGGTGCAGGTATGCTTGGAAAGGCAGGAAAGTGTGCAACATTTGATGAATCAGCCGACGGCTATGTTCGTGGTGAAGGTGTTGGTGTCGTTGTTCTCAAGAGACTGTCAAAAGCAATCGAGGACAATGATAATATTTATTGTGTCATCAAAGGTGGAAGTAGTAACTTGGATGGTAACTTTGAAAAACAATCACAAACATCTCCTTCGGCAGCTGCACAACAAATTAATACACAAAATGCACTTAAAAGAGCTGGACTATCACCATCAGATATTTATTACGTTGAATGTCATGGTACTGGAACACCGACAGGAGACCCACTGGAAATTGAATCAATATCTCGAGTATTTGCAGGATCACACAGTCAATCGAACCCACTTCGAATTGGATCGGTTAAAAGTAACATTGGACACACTGAAAGTACAGCAGGTGTTGCATCACTCATCAAATGTGCAATGATGCTCAAGAATAGAATGTTGATAAAGAATATCAATTTCAACAAACTCAACCCAAAGATCAACCTATTAAACGGAGAGATCTAGATTGTATTGGAGAATGAAGCATTCCCAGATGATGGAGGAATCATTCGAATGGGTATTAACTCATTTGGATTGACTGGTTCAAATGCTCATATTATTCTTCAAGAGTATAAGACTGACACCAATCATCATAACAACTTTGTGACGAATGGTAAATACATTAATGATTTTTTAAATTAGTTGATTCTAACATTATTTTTTTTCCTGAAAACTAGGTAACCAAGCACCACCAGTCCCAGGATATTTAATTCCATTTTCATCAAACAGTCAAAAATCCATTGATTCATATATCAATATGATCAAGAGTAATGTTGAATCGTATCGCAACAAGATGACATTTGAAGATTTCGTTAGATATCAATCACAATCCAAAACCAACCATCCAACTTGTAAAAAGGTTATCATTGCCAAAGATTGGGAATCATTCTCATCTGAATCAACATTGACCTTTGATAAACAACAAAGCTATATTTCAAGTATGGCACAATTGAACAGCACACCAAAGACATCGATTGTGATGGTATTTTGTGGACAAGGAGCACAATGGAGTGGAATGGGTGATAGATTGTATCAACAATGTCCAATATTCCGTAAATCAGTTGATACTGTCGATAGATTACTATCTCATCACTATCAATATTCAATCATTGATCGACTAAGAAAGAGTAATGATAAAGAGATACATCATCCAATACTTGCACAACCAGCAACATTTATCATTCAAGTTGCATTGGTTCAATTATATCATCATTTTGGAATCACTCCATCAATCGTTGTTGGTCATAGGTATTTATTATAATTGTATTTTATAATTGTTATTATTTTGTACTAATTTAAATATTATTTTTTATTTAGTTTTGGAGATATAACAGCAGCATGGTGTTCAGGAATATTATCATTGGAAGAAGCTGTTAGAATTGTATATTTGAGAAGTGTTGCTCAAAATGAAACCATTGGAAGTGGTAGAATGTTGGCTGTATCATTATCATATGATAAATTCAAAGAGAGATTTCATCAATCAGAGTATGACTCAATCGAGTTGGCATGTTACAACTCAGCTGAATCAATTGTATTGGCTGGAAATGAAGATCAACTCAAATTAATCGACCAGGAATTAAAAGACGATAATATATTCAGTGCATTCCTTGGTACACCATGTGCATTCCATTCATCATCACAAATTGAAACAAAGGAATTCATATTCAACAATTTAAACAAAATTAAATATGAAACATACAAGCCAACGATGCCATACTTTTCAACAACAACCTCCCAACAAATCATTTTATCATCTCAACTCAATGCCCAATACATTTATGATAATCTCAGACAACCAGTATTATTCCAACAAACAATCAATAATATAGTTGATTTCACAAAGAATCAGAATAATAATAATAATAACAATCAATATATTTATTTAGAGATTGCACCACATTCAACACTATCATTCTATTTGAAGTCGTTACTGCAACAAGGAAGCAATATTCAATCACCACTCAACAAAAAGAAAGATGAAGTTGAATCAATTCAATCATGTCTCTCTCAACTATACTTTGGTGGTGTTTGTGTTGATTTTTCAAATCAACTCCCATTAGAAAACAACAGTGAATGGAAGAATAGAACAAGATATCTTCCAAGATATCAATGGGATACTGAATATTTGTTAGATGAACAAGAACAGTATAAAAAGATTAGACTTGGTGGATTGTCAACGACTCTACTTGGTCATTGTGACAGTGAATCACTCAATAGCTATCAAACATCGATTGATGTCAACCGACCATCATATCAATATTTAAAAGGTCACAAAGTAAAAGGGAAATATTTATTCCCAGGGACAGGCTATATTGAAAACATAATCAATGCATTCCCAAACAAAGACATACACATCCACCATCTCCAATTTATTGCACCATTCTTCCTCAAAGAAGGAGCTCCATGTCAACTCAAATCAACATTTTCACAATCATCATCGATTGAATACCAAGCAACATTCCAATACTATGATGATAAACTTGGAAAGTGGATTAAATCTGCTGTTGGTCGTCTATCAATCAACAATCCAATTAATCCAATCAACGACTATTCAAGTGTTGATAAATTAAGACAACAAACATTCAATATTGCAACGATGAATACAACTGAAGTTTACCAAAAGTTAACAAGAGTTGGGTTATTGTATGGAGAAACATTTAAAAGAATCAACAAAATATCATTCAACAAAGATGGTGCAATCTTGTCAGAGATTGAATGCAAATCAAGAAACCATTTTGAAGAATCAAATACAGTTTTAAATGCGTCAGTTCTGGATTGCCTATTACATTCTTGTATTGTAACATTTAGAGGTGAACATCCAAGATGTGAAGTTGTATTTGATAGAGTAGAAGATTTCCACATCTACTCTAATAATATTCCAAAACATCCATGTGATGTGTTGTTTGCCGCCACCGGTGCAACATCAGCCAGCCAACAAAAAGGAAATGAATTTAAAGGATCAATGGATATTATTGATCGAGATGGAAATACAGTGGTTAAATGTGGAAATGTAGTTTGTATATCGTTGACCAAAGTATTGGCAGTGCACCACGCCAAACACCCAACCAAATACATCAAACAGATGATTTGGCAACCTAAAAATGCACCATCAACAACGATCGTTTCACAACTCCCTCTTGCTGAACAAGACATCTTTGGGTATTTTGAAAGTTATATGAAATCAGCATCGACCTCTCACAGAGTCATCAGAATACTCGATTTTGGACGCAACGACTTAATTACATTCGATCTCCTCCGAAAAGTATTTGTAATGATGGAGTCTAGTCCAGGTACCATCACTGACTTTACTACACAAGATGGTATTATATCGGTAGACCATCTTCAAAAAGATAATCTATTTATTAGATTCTATCCAGAAGAAATCAATACGACCAGATCATTGACAGATCAAGGATTCCTTTCAACTAGTTTTGATTTAATTCTATCAACTATGGAATACATCACTGAAAACAATCAAATGGTTGGTGAATTTGAAAGATTACTAAATCCAAATGGTCAACTTGTCATCATCAACACTACATCAAATAATGAATCAACACTCATCATCGATGATAATATGATGGAACCAATCAATAATATTTTCAAAGATCAACAACTCAATATTACTCATAGTAATTATAATATACAATCACCTGATGAAATTGTATTGATTGGAAGAAAACCAAGTGTTGAAGAAGTCAATATTGCCAAGTTTGATAATTTATTATTTATCACTCCATCCTCTTCTTCTTCCCCATCCTCCTCATCATTAGCAGCAACAAGCTTAATTCAACAATCATCATCAATGGGATCAGTTGCCAAGAAAATCAGTTTCTTTTCAAATGATGATATAATGGATGAATGTAAATATCAATCATTATTAGAATCTATATCATATGATAGTGTAGATGGTTGTAACAAAGTTGGAATAATCTATTTGGAATCATTGGAAGAAATGAACTCATCGAATCTTGAACTCAAATCGATGCAACTCATCAGATTACATCAAATCATCAGAAAGGAACAACTACCAATCAAATTAATAACATTGATAGCTGGTCAATTAAATCATTGTCTCAGAGTGATTCCAAGAGAATATGGTTCAAAATCAAGAGGTGAAACCGTCCACTTTGACTCTGTGACAATCATTTTAGATGACAATGATAGTTGTAATCAAGTATCACTTGAACATATATTGCAATGTTCAAACTCTGAATATCTTGGAGAAAGTGATCTTAAACTCTGTCAAAACAATATATTGGTGGAAAGAATAATTGATGCTCCTCAATTATTGGATGTTGATCCAAAATTTGTCATTACAAATCAACAAGATATGAAAGCTCATTTTGAAATAGACCAAAAATATCATATCAGACAAAAGAATGAAATGTTATTGGATGACGAGGTAGAATTCCAAGTCAAAGCAGCATCTATCAATTTTAAAGATTTAATGATTTTAGAAGGTATGTTTTTAGTCGTATCTATTATTTTATTTATTATCATATAATTAAAAAAAAATTTATAAATTTATCAAATACTAATATTGAAATTAATTGCATATTTAATAGGCAAAGTTGATCAAAGATTATTCCCAATTGGTGATATATATCGTCCACCACTTGGTCAAGATTGTTCAGGTATTGTGACAAGAATAGGATCAAAGGTTACAAAATTCAAAGTTGGTGATGAGGTTTATGGTATTTCTGCTGGTTTTGCTTCATCAACAGTGACATTTGAAGATATGATTGTTTCAAAACCAAAAGAACTATCATTTGCCGAAGCAGCATCATTACCATTATCAATGGGAACTGCTTGTTTGGTACTATTCAAAAAGGCAAATATTTATCCAACGGAATCTATTCTCATTCACAGTGCAACAGGTGGTGTTGGATTGGGAATGTTAAACCTTTTAAAATTCAAAAAACATACTGGAAATATATTTGTAACTGTTGGATCAGAAGAAAAGAAATCATATCTTGAAAAACATTATGGTGGTTCATTTATCACTGCTATTTTAGAGTATGATAACTTTACCAAAAGGGTCTTGGAGTGTACAAATAATGAAGGAGTCAACTATGTCATCAACACATTAGATTATACAAGAATGCAAGATAATTTTAAATGTCTTTCAAAGAATGGAGTGGTTATCGACTTGTCAGTCGATCAATTCTTCCAAGTTCGAGATATCGATATGGGATCACTCAACTATGACAAAGGTTACCTAACATACCACTTTTCACACAAGCAAATGTATATCAATGACCAAATCAAAGAATATATTGGAAGCGGATTAGAAATCCCTCCAATTACAGTATTCCCAAGTCATCAAATCCTTCAAGCATTTGACCATGTCCGATCAAGAAAACATATTGGAAAGGTGGTTGTCAGTTATGAAAACGTTCAAGAGGATTTAGTTGATCCAATGATATCACAACCATATAAACCAGTCGAGAGAATACACTATAATTTGGAAGGTATTGGAGAAACACTTTTAATATCTGGTCAGACTGGTATTGCAGTAGAATCACTTGGTTATTTAATGAAACATTCATCTAAACTAAGAGATATCATTGTTGTAACTTATTCATCTGCCAAATTTGAAATTCAATTATTGGTCAATGAAATTAGAAAGATTTACAGTCATATCACACTACACTTTGTTCAATGTGATATTGGAGATTATGATCAACTCAAATCATCGATATTGGATCTTTACCAAAGAATACCAACCATCAAACCAGTATCTGTCGTTATTCATTGTGCCAATACATATATGACCATTAAAGCTGATGATATTGATATGGAGAGACATCATACAGCGATGTCAGGTAAAGCAACAGGTGCATTTAATCTTCACAATCTATTTGTAGAACTAGATTGGAAACTAAACCATTTCCACATGTTATCATCGATTGCTCAATATATTCCAGTCGATGGTTTGAGTTATTCAATTGGAAATGCATTCCTTGATGGATTGGCAAGACATAGAAGAGATCGTGGTTTGGAGGCAACATCAATTGATTGGGGAAGTATTGGACAAGCTGGAAAAGTAGCATCTGATAGAGGTGTTGGTTTGGTGTTACATTCATTCGGTTTGACCATGATGCCATTGTCAGCAATCTATGGTATATTTAGAAGTTCATTTATCAACAAAACCACACCAATCACCAATCTAATTTGTGCAGATGTTCAACCTAAAAGTCTTGTCTCTGAATTACCATATCTAGAACATGTCTATGCTCACTATTTAAATATCTCTAGTAACAACAATGGTAACCAATTAGATGCAAGTGCAGGATCAATAGACAACAAGATATTAGACTTTATTTCAGAGACACTATCAATCGAGAAACATTTACTCAACGGTGACACCAAACTCAAAGATTATGGTGTCGATTCAATGACTGCCATTCAAATCAAAGGTCAAATTGAAGTAGAGTTTAACAAACCACACATCCTCAACCAATCACATATTTCTAATGGAACTATTAATTCAATTATTGAAAGTGTTAAAAAGAGTTTGAAATAAATTAATTAATGATATTCATTCATTACGAATTATTACAGATAGATAGATATTGATAAAGATAATATTAAAATAAATATATTTGAATTAATTTATTTGATTTTTTTAAAGTGGTCGATTTGGAAAATACAAATTAGATGTGTGCACAGACACACTCATTCATTGACAGGGAGATAGATACTACAAAAGAGGGAGAGATATATATACGCACAATTAATGGGATAATTTAATTATATAAATAACAACACAGATATAATACTTTTGTCATTCATTCGTATCTAGTTGTTTAGATTCATAAGATACACAAGATCGAGGATGGGGAAGAGGAAGAGAATGAGTATTCGAAATAGCATATTGAAGGGTTGTCAACCTTCAACATTTGAATCATTCTATCATTATTACTTTAATAGTTTCATTATTATTATTAAAACTACTACTATTATTATTATGGACACTGATAATACATCTATCAACGAACAACAAGACATTGCAATCGTCGGTATCGGTTGCAGACTACCAGGTGGATCAAGAACACCACAACAATTCTATGACCAATTGCTCGGTGGTTTGGATGGTATCTCAGAGATGACTAATGATAGGTGGTCAAGATCATACATAGATCAAGGTTACATTGCTACTGATCGTGCTGGCTTCTTGGACATGAAAGAGTGGACTCACTTTGACAACCATTTCTTTGGTATGCTTGGTAAAGAAGCCGCTTCAATCGATCCTCAAGTACGTCTCTATCTTTCTGTGCTGTGGGAAGCTTTGGAAGATTCACATATCGATCCTGCATCTATAAGAGGTTCAAATACATCTGTATTTCTCGGTCAAATGTTTGATGCCAATCACCATATGCTTGCCCAAGATCTCGCTACAATGATTCCTCAAGTCAAGTCAATGAGATCAGACTCATCAATCAAAGCATCGTATTGTTATGACTTCCGTGGTCAATCACTTTCAATTGACACTGCATGTTCATCGTCACTCATTGCAGTACTTCAAGGTATTGATACTATTCTTAAAGGTGAAAGTGATTTATCAATATGTGGTGGAGTCAATGCTTTCATTGAACCAAAGTCATCCATCCAATTCACTGGAATGAATATGATTGGAAAGGCAGGAAAGTGTGCAACATTTGATGAATCAGCCGACGGCTATGTTCGTGGTGAAGGTGTTGGTGTCGTTGTTCTCAAGAGACTGTCAAAAGCAATAGAGGACAATGATAATATTTATTGTGTAATTAAAGGTGGTAGCAGTAACGTGGATGGTAACTGGGAAAAGAGTTCACCAACTGCTCCTTCCTCGGCCGCTCAACATCTAAACACCCTCAACGCACTAAACAAAGTATGTCTATCACCATCAGATATTTACTATGTTGAATGCCATGGTACTGGAACACCAACAGGAGACCCACTGGAGATTGAATCGATATCTCGGGTATTTGCAGGATCACACAGTCAATCGAATCCACTTCGAATTGGATCGGTTAAAAGTAACATTGGACACACTGAAAGTACAGCAGGTGTTGCATCACTCATCAAATGTGCAATGATGCTCAAGAATAGAATGTTGATCAAGAATATCAATTTCAACAAACTCAACCCAAAGATCAACCTATTAAATGGAGAAATCAAGATTGTATTGGAGAATGAAGCATTCCCAGATGATGGAAGAATCATTCGAATGGGTATTAACTCATTTGGACTGACTGGTTCAAATGCTCATATCATACTTCAAGAGTATAAAACTGACATTATTGATGATCTGTATATTAATGGTAAATATTATTTTAATTAATTAATTTTTAATTAATACAATTAAATAATATTAATTCATTATTTTAAAATACTAGGTACCCAACCACCAGGGCCAGGATATTTAATTCCATTCTCATCAAACAGTCAAAAATCCATTGATTCATATATCAATATGATCAAGAGTAATGTTGAATCGTATCGCAACAAGATGACGTTTGAAGATTTCGTTAGATATCAATCACAATCCAAAACCAACCATCCAACTTGTAAAAAGGTTATCATTGCCAAAGATTGGGAATCATTCTCATCTGAACCAACATTGACCTTTGATAAACAGCAAAGCTATGTTTCAAGTATGGCACAATTGAACAGTACACCAAAGACATCGATTGTGATGGTATTCTGTGGACAAGGAGCACAATGGAGTGGAATGGGTGATAGATTGTATCAACAATGTCCAATATTCCGTAAATCAGTTGACACTGTCGATAGATTACTATCTCATCACTATCAATATTCAATCATTGATCGATTAAGAAAGAGTAATGATAAAGAGATACACCACCCAATACTTGCACAACCAGCAACATTTATCATTCAAGTTGCATTGGTTCAATTATATCATCATTTTGGAATCACTCCATCAATCGTTGTTGGTCATAGGTATTTATTATTAATTTATTTATAATTGTTATTTTTTTGTACTAATTTAATTATTATTTTTAATTTAGTTTTGGAGATATAACAGCAGCATGGTGTTCAGGAATATTATCATTGGAAGAAGCTGTTAGAATTGTATATTTGAGAAGTGTTGCTCAAAATGAAACTATTGGAAGTGGTAGAATGTTGGCTGTATCATTATCATATGATAAATTCAAAGAGAGATTCCAACAATATGATACAATCGAGTTGGCATGTTACAACTCAGCTGAATCAATTGTATTGGCTGGAAATGAAGATCAACTCAAATTAATCGACCAACAACTCAAGAATGATAATATATTCAGTGCATTCCTTGGTACACCATGTGCATTCCATTCATCATCACAAATTGAAACAAAGGAATTCATATTCAAAAACCTTAACAACATTGAATACCAAACATACAAACCAACGATGCCATACTTTTCAACAACAACCTCACAACAAATCATTATATCATCACAGTTGGATGCTCAATACATTTATGATAATCTCAGACAACCAGTATTATTCCAACAAACAATCAATAATATAGTTGATTTCACAAAGAATGATGGCAATCAATATATTTATTTAGAGATTGCACCACATTCAACACTATCATTCTATTTGAAATCATTACTGCCACAAGGAAGCAATATTCAATCACCACTCAACAAAAAGAAAGATGAAATTGAATCAATTCAATCATGTCTCTCTCAACTCTACTTTGGTGGTGTTGGTGTTGATTTTTCAAATCAATTACCTTTGGAAAACAACAGTGAATGGAAGAATAGAACAAGATATCTCCCAAGATATCAATGGGATACTGAGTATTTGTTGGAAGAGCAGGAAGCATACAGAAAGATTAGACTTGGTGGAGTTACAACGACTCTACTTGGTCATTGTGACAGTGAATCACTCAATAGCTATCAAACATCGATTGATGTCAACCGACCATCATATCAATATTTAAAAGGTCACAAAGTAAAAGGGAAATATTTATTCCCAGGAGCTGGATACATTGAAAACATAATCAATGCATTCCCAAACAAAGACATACACATCCACCACCTCCAATTTATTGCACCATTCTTCCTCAAAGAAGGAGCTCCATGTCAACTCAAATCAACATTTTCACAATCATCATCGATTGAATACCAAGCAACATTCCAATACTATGATGATAAACTTGGAAAGTGGATTAAATCTGCTGTTGGTCGTCTATCAATCAACAAGTCCAATTAATCCTAAAATTAATCATCAAAGCGTGGATCAATTAAGACAACAAACATTCAATATTGCAACGATGAATACAACTGAAGTTTATCAAAAGTTAACTAAATTGGGGTTATTGTATGGAGAAACGTTCAGAAGAACCAACAAAATATCATTCAACAAAGATGGTAAAATCTTGTCAGAGATTGAATGCAAATCAAGAAACCATTTTGAAGAATCAAATACAGTTTTAAATGCATCAGTTTTGGATTGCCTATTACATTCTTGTATTGTAACATTTAGAGGTGAACATCAAAAGTGTGAAGTTGTATTTGATAGAGTCAAAGATTTCCACATCTACTCTAATAATATTCCAAACCATCCATGTCACTCATTGTTTATTACAACCAAACATGAAACCGTCAATCCTCAAAAAGGAAATGAATTTAAACAATCAATGGATATTATTGATCGAGATGGAAATACAGTGATCAAATGTGGAGAAATGGTATGCACATCGTTGACAAAAGTATTAAAAGTACATCATGCCAAACATCCATCTAAATTTGTCAAACAAGCTATTTGGCAACCCAAAAATGCACCATCAACAATTGCTTTACCTCTAGACACTATCAAATATTTTGGAACATTCTTGGAATCAGCATCGACCTCTCACAGAATCATCAGAATACTCGATTTTGGATTCCACTATGGTATCACAATAGATCTCGTCAATAGTATTCATTCATTTTTAGAGTCCAATCCCAACACGATCATTGATTTTATCACACATGATAGCACTCTATCGATTTATCTTCAAAAAGATAATCTGTTGATTAAATCGTATCCAGAAATCAATACGACCAGATCATTAACGGATCAAGGATTCCTTTCAACTAGTTTTGATTTAATTCTATCAACTTTGGAATACATCACTGAAAACAATCAAATGGTTGGTGAATTTGAAAGATTATTAAATCCAAATGGTCAACTTGTCATCATCAACACTACATCAAATAATGAATCAACACTCATCATCGATGATAATATGATGGAACCAATCAATAATATTTTCAAAGATCAACAACTCAATATTACTCATAGTAATTATAATATACAATCACCTGATGAAATTGTATTGATTGGAAGAAAACCAAGTGTTGAAGAAGTCAATATTGCCAAGTTTGATAATTTATTATTTATCACTCCATCTTCCCCATCCTCTTCATCAATTGCAACAAGATTAATTCAACAATCATCAACAACATTTGTTGCCAAGAAAATCAGTTTCTTTTCAAATGATGATATAATGGATGAATGTAAATATCAATCATTATTAGAATCTATATCATATGATAGTGTAGATGGTTGTAACAAAGTTGGAATAATCTATTTGGAATCATTGGAAGAAATGAACTCATCGAATCTTGAACTCAAATCGATGCAACTCATCAGATTACATCAAATCATCAGAAAGGAACAACTACCAATCAAATTAATAACATTGATAGCTGGTCAATTAAATCATTGTCTCAGAGTGATTCCAAGAGAATATGGCTCAAAATCAAGAGGTGAAACCTTCCACTTTGACTCTGTGACAATCATTTTAGATGGCAATGATAGTTTTAATCAAGTATCACTTGAACATATTCTACAATGTTCAAACTCTGAATACATTGGAGAGAGTGATCTTAAACTATGTCAAAATAATCAAGATATTCAACTATTGGTTGAAAGAATAATTGAATCTCCTCAATTATTAGAATTGGATCCAAAACTTTCGACTAACACCCAAGATATGAAATTAATATTTGAAATGGACAACAAGTATCATATCAGACAAAAGAATGAAATGTTATTGGATGACGAGGTAGAATTCCAAGTCAAAGCAGCATCTATCAATTTTAAAGATTTAATGATTTTAGAAGGTATGTTTTTAGTCGTATTAAAAAAAAAAATTAATTTTAAAATATCAAATACTAATATTGAAATTAATCATATTTAATAGGCAAAGTAGATCAAAGATTATTCCCAATTGGTGATACATACAATCCACCACTTGGTACAGATTCATCAGGTATTGTAACAAGAATAGGATCAAAAGTTACAAAATTCAAAGTTGGTGATGAGGTTTATGGTAATTCTGTTGGTTTTGCTTCATCAACAGTAACCTTTGAAGATATGATTGTTTCAAAACCAAAAGAACTATCATTTGTTGAAGCAGCATCATTACCATTGTCAATGGGAACTGCTTGTTTGGTACTATTCAAAAAGGCAAATATTGAATGCTCAGAATCTATTCTCATTCACAGTGCAACAGGTGGTGTTGGATTGGGAATGTTAAACCTTTTAAAATTCAAAAAACATACTGGAAATATATTTGTAACTGTTGGATCAGAAGAAAAGAAATCATACCTTGAAAAACATTATGGTTCATTTATCACTGCTATTTTAGAGTATGACAGCTTCTCTGAAACTATCATGGAACTTACCAAAGGTAATGGAGTCAATTATGTCATCAACACATTAGACTATACAAGAATGCAAGATAATTTCAAATGCCTTTCAGAAAATGGTGTGGTTATTGACTTGTCAGTCGATCAATTCTTCCAAGTTCGAGATATCGATATGGGATCACTCAACTATGACAAAGGTTACCTAACATACCACTTTTCACGTAAACAAATGAATATCCACAACAAGATTAAAAAAATGGTAGGAGAAGGATTACAACTACCTCCGATCACCATTTTCCAGAGCAACCAAATTGTTCAAGCATTTGACCATGTCCGTTCAAGAAAACATATTGGAAAGGTTGTTATTGACTTTGAAAATGTTCAAACAGATGTCATTGATCCAATGTTATCACAACCACATAAACCATTGGAAAAAAGTCATTACAATTTGGAAGGTATTGGAGAAACACTTTTAATATCTGGTCAGACTGGTATTGCAGTAGAATCACTTGGATATCTCGTTAAACATTCAACGCAACTAAGAGATATTATTGTTGTCACATATTCATCTGCCAAATTTGAAATTCAATTATTGGTCAATGAAATTAGAAAGAATTACAGTCATATTACACTACACTTTGTTCAATGTGATATTGGAGATTATGATCAACTCAAATCATCGATATTGGATCTTTACCAAAGAATACCAACCATCAAGCCAGTGTCTGTAGTCATTCATTGTGCCAATACATATATGACCATTAAAGCTGATGATATTGATATGGAGAGACATCATACAGCGATGTCAGGTAAAGCAACAGGTGCATTTAATCTTCACAATCTATTTGTAGAACTAGATTGGAAACTAAACCATTTCCACATGTTATCATCGATTGCTCAATATATTCCAGTCGATGGTTTGAGTTATTCAATTGGAAATGCATTCCTTGATGGATTGGCAAGACATAGAAGAGAACGCGGACTGAATTCAACCTCTGTCAATTGGGGAAGTATTGGACAAACTGGAAAAGTAGCATCTGATAGAGGTGTTGGTTTGGTGTTACATTCATTTGGTCTAGCAATGATGCCATTGTCAGCAATCTATGGTATATTTAGAAGTTCATTTATCAACAAAACCACACCAATCACCAATCTAATTTGTGCAGATGTTCAACCTAAAAGTCTTGTCTCTGAATTACCATATCTAGAACATGTCTATGCTCACTATTTAAATATCTCTAGTAACAACAATGGTAACCAATTAGATGCAAGTGCAGGATCAATAGACAACAAGATATTAGACTTTATTTCAGAGACACTATCAATCGAGAAACATTTACTCAACGGTGACACCAAACTCAAAGATTATGGTGTCGATTCAATGACTGCCATTCAAATCAAAGGTCAAATTGAAGTAGAGTTTAACAAACCACACATCCTCAACCAATCACATATTTCTAATGGAACTATTAATTCAATTATTGAAAGTGTTAAAAAGAGTTTGAAATAAATTAATTAATGATATTCATTCATTACGAATTATTACAGATAGATAGATATTATTGATAAAGATAATATTAAAATAAATAAATATTTGAATTAATTAGTCATTTGTCATATGGTAATTGATACATAGTTTTCATAAACAATTATTGTGCAAGAAAGTGGTTTGAGATTGTACAGCAAATCGACAACTAATAAAAAACAGTGTATTCTTTTGATAATTTTTGAGTTATTTATCATTCATAAATTATTATTTAAATTATTACAACTATTATGATAGACACTCAAACTATTCCTTTGAAGGACCAAGGCATTGCAATCGTCGGTATCGGTTGCAGACTACCAGGTGGATCGAGAACACCACAACAATTCTATGAGCAGTTACTCGGTGGTTTGGATGGTATCTCAAAGATGACTGATGATAGGTGGTCAAGATCATATGTCGATCAAGGTTACATTGCTACTGATCGTGCTGGCTTCTTGGACATGAAAGAGTGGACTCACTTTGACAACCATTTCTTTGGTATGCTTGGTAAAGAAGCCGCTTCAATCGATCCTCAAGTACGTCTCTATCTCTCGGTACTTTGGGAAGCTTTAGAAGATTCACATATCGATCCTGCATCGATAAGAGGTTCAAATACATCAGTATTTCTCGGTCAAATGTTTGATGCCAATCACCACATGCTGGCTCAAGATCTCGCTACAATGATTCCTCAAGTCAAGTCAATGAGATCAGACTCATCAATCAAAGCATCGTATTGTTATGACTTCCGTGGTCAATCACTTTCAATTGACACTGCATGTTCATCGTCACTCATTGCAGTACTACAAGGTATTGATACCATCCTTAAAGGTGAAAGTGATTTATCAATATGTGGTGGAGTCAATGCTTTCATTGAACCAAAGTCATCCATTCAATTCACTGGAATGAATATGATTGGAAAGGCAGGAAAGTGTGCAACATTTGATGAATCAGCCGACGGCTATGTTCGTGGTGAAGGTGTTGGTGTCGTTGTTCTCAAGAGACTGTCAAAAGCAATCGAGGACAATGATAATATTTATTGTGTCATCAAAGGTGGAAGTAGCAACGTAGATGGTAACTGGGAAAAGAATTCACCAACTGCTCCCTCCTCGGCAGCTCAACATGCAAACACACTCAATGCACTCAACAAAACCGGACTATCACCATCAGATATCTATTACGTTGAATGTCATGGTACTGGGACACCGACAGGAGACCCACTGGAAATTGAATCAATATCTCGAGTATTTGCAGGATCACACAGCCAATGCAACCCGCTTCGAATTGGATCAGTCAAAAGTAATATTGGACACATTGAAAGTACAGCAGGTGTTGCATCACTCATCAAATGTGCAATGATGCTCAAGAATAGAATGTTGATCAAGAATATCAATTTCAACAAACTCAACCCAAAGATCAACCTATTAAACGGAGAGATCAAGATTGTATTGGAGAATGAAGCATTCCCAGATGATGGAAGAATCATTCGAATGGGTATTAACTCGTTTGGACTGACTGGTTCAAATGCTCATATCATACTTCAAGAATATATAGCTCCAGATAATAATATTGTCGATATGGATACCAAACAAAGTATGTTATTAAAATTTCATTTATTTATAATTTTTATTTATTATATCTCTTTTTATTTTAGGTCATCAAACACCACCAGTCCCAGGCTATTTAATTCCATTCTCATCAAACAGTCAAAAATCAATTGATTCATATATCAATATGATCAAGAGTAATGTTGAATCGTATCGCAACAAGATGACATTTGAAGATTTTGTTAGATATCAATCACAATCCAAAACCAACCATCCAACTTGTAAAAAGGTTATCATTGCCAAAGATTGGGAATCATTCTCATCAGAATCAACGTTGACCTTTGATAAACAACAAAGTTATGTTTCAAGTATGGCACAATTGAACAGCACACCAAAGACATCGATAGTGATGGTATTTTGTGGACAAGGAGCACAATGGAGTGGAATGGGTGATAGATTGTATCAACAATGTCCAATATTCCGTAAATCAGTTGACACTGTCGATAGATTACTATCTCATCACTATCAATATTCAATCATTGATCGATTAAGAAAGAGTAATGATAAAGAGATACACCACCCAATACTTGCACAACCAGCAACATTTATCATTCAAGTTGCATTGGTTCAATTATATCATCATTTTGGAATCACTCCATCAATCGTTGTTGGTCATAGGTATTTATTATTAATTTATTTATAATTGTTATTTTTTTGTACTAATTTAATTATTATTTTTAATTTAGTTTTGGAGATATAACAGCAGCATGGTGTTCAGGAATATTATCATTGGAAGAAGCTGTTAGAATTGTATATTTGAGAAGTGTTGCTCAAAATGAAACTATTGGAAGTGGAAGAATGTTGGCTGTATCCCTGTCTTATGATAAATTCAAAGAGAGATTCCAACAATCATCATCACAATATGATTCAATCGAGTTGGCATGTTACAACTCAGCTGAATCAATTGTATTGGCTGGAAATGAAGATCAACTCAAATTAATCGACCAACAACTCAAGAATGATAATATATTCAGTGCATTCCTTGGTACACCATGTGCATTCCATTCATCATCACAAATTGAAACAAAGGAATTCATATTCAAAACCCTTAACAACATTGAATACCAATCATACAAACCAACGATGCCATACTTTTCAACAACAACCTCACAACGAATCATTATATCATCACAGTTGGATGCTCAATACATTTATGATAATCTCAGACAACCAGTATTATTCCAACAAACAATCAATAATATAGTTGATTTCACAAAGAATGATGGCAATCAATATATTTATTTAGAGATTGCACCACATTCAACACTATCATTCTATTTGAAATCATTACTGCCACAAGGAAGCAATATTCAATCACCACTCAACAAAAAGAAAGATGAAATTGAATCAATTCAATCATGTCTCTCTCAACTCTACTTTGGTGGTGTTGGTGTTGATTTTTCAAATCAACTCCCATTGGAAAACAACAGTGAATGGAAGAATAGAACAAGATATCTTCCAAGATATCAATGGGATACTGAATATTTGTTGGAAGAGCAGGAAGCATACAGAAAGATTAGACTTGGAGGACTGTCAACGACTCTACTTGGTCATTGTGACAGTGAATCACTCAATAGCTATCAAACATCGACCCCTCATACCTCGCAGATTTTGAGTTTTTTTTTTTTTATTTCCTTAATACTTTAAATAAAGATTGTAAAGTATCAATGAACAAGTAAATCAAGTAAGATGAACTTATAATACTCGGAGTGGTCTATGTTAATGTTTAATGGTTGGGGAGAAATTCTTTAAATGTCGAAGATATTCGTCTCACAAAATTTTGTAGGGTGGTTTTGAAAGATGCATATCTTTATATGGGATAGATGTATCAAACAAACAAAACTGAACAATGTATCATATACTACAGTTGAAGGACTATATTTTTTCTAGGATAGATTTTTAAACTTGAAATAAAAGAGATATTAATGATATTTAAAAGTACAAAAAATTTGAGATAGAGAAAAGGCTATTTCAGGGTAAGATTATGTGAGACCCAAATATATCTAAAGCATTAAAGATCGGTTATATTATTTGTTATTTACATTTATACATCAAGAAAGGTTGGTTTTAGTGAAAAATATGGTGTGGAGAAGGTTTTTACAATTTGGTGTGAGATTTTACGCGGCAGCTTATAAATGGTATGCTTTACTTGGGTAAACGATATTCTTTGACTAAAGACGTAGCAAGTGTTCTAATGAACTCCCTGTGATCCAGGTGACTCTCTACATTAAATATACATAATATATGCATTTGTGACAGCATACATAAGAAGTCCAAGGAATTGGCTTTGGTCAGTGGACGAGTGTGGATGGTTGTGCCAAAAGTAGGTAGCCAACTGGTTGAATTGATCGAGCGCTCTCTTGGTATCATCATAGCGATTAAGTATAAGACTTCTACCTACTGACGTTACCCTGGTTTTGGACGACTTCATCTTAAAAGAATTTGTCGCTAATCTCATCACCTTGTTTCTGTGATAGCCAGCGGCGATAGTGGCACCCTTGAAAGCAAATCTTGACTTCCATTGGGGCAGCCCAACAATGATTCCTACTTTCCATACTTCCGATGGGAGTCTATCTGCTTTAATACAAAGCGTTCCATACATTCCATTTCTTTCCAAGTAACTTATTTGGTTTAGTGTGGAGAACTTGCTGTCAGCTGTTATATGATAGTCCTTTTTGGTGTCTAGTTTAACAGATTCAACTAGTTTTTGAAAACTTGTCTCTCCATTGTATTCCTTGCTTGGTATCATAGCTAACAAGTACCTTGTCTTGGTATCTGAAAGGGTGTTGTACTCTATGGCCCACTTCTCTGGTTTGTCTTTGTTAAAACTGAGTAGATCTTTATCTCTAGGCTATGCTTTGATCCTTGATTCGTCGACTGTGAGAAAAGTACCAGGGTCTATGTGTCTTTTGAAGTTGGCTTGAAGCATATTAACAAATATGTCGATGGGGATGTAGATGTTGGGGTGAATAAGCTCCCATCTGGACTTGGGAAGAGATTCTCCCTTGAATGGGTAATTGTATGACCATGTTCCAGTAGTAAACAGTTCTGTGTTATTATCTATTCCAAGGGTTATAGATGTAAACACCAAAGCAAAGTAATTGTATACTTCAAATACGTTAAGCTTTGGTTTATCTTGACAAAATGCATCTGTACGGTTGCTGAAAAGCACAATTTCCTTGACAATGCTCTTTGTAATCATGCTCCTGAAATAATCGAGAGGTTCAGATGATGTTGGAACACGCTTCCACCTATGTCGATGTATATTCATCCTCTCTTCAAACCTGTTGACTAAAGTTAGTGATTTTTATAAGATGAAAATGTTACTATCATGCTTACTCTATAAATTCTTCTCCTCTTGGTACCTTAGTATGCTTGATTGGCTGTCCATCTGTACCATCTACTTGTTGTTGAATTGGTTTTCTCTTATTCGGCATTGTATAGATAAAAAGCTGAGTAATAATAAGTAAAAAAATCTATACAAAACTTTGTGTATATGTATTTAAATTTTAAACTAAGTTTTTTTTGGCGGGTTTGCAAGTAGTTACTTTCAGCTTATTATCGTACAACAAGGTTTTTATTTTATTTTGATAGAAATATACCAATCGATGGATCTATTTGTCTAGTGATACACAAAGAAAGTTTTAATAAAAAAAAATAAAATATGACCTATTTTTATCTCTCATAACGATCACCTATCTAAGTCTCGTTTTTAGGTATATTTCACCATTTCTCGAAAAAAGAATATTCCTACATTTGTAGAATCATAATCCTTTTGTTCCCTTCTTCCAGCACCTAATCTATTTAAAATAACATTGATGTAAAAAAACCTAGTATACTATTTTTTATGAAATAAAATACTATCACAATTTCTTTTGATTTGAACAAATATTTTACGCTCAACCAAGTTTAATCTGAGCACTATCATGTAAAGTAATCAGATTTGGTATATACTTGTTCCTTTCCTACATTTTATTAATTTAATTAAAAAATATTAAAGTAAAAATCGAAAATTGTGCGAGGTCTGGGGAGTCGATTGATGCAACCGACCATCATATCAATATTTAAAAGGTCACAAAGTAAAAGGGAAATATTTATTCCCAGGAGCTGGATACATTGAAAACATAATCAATGCATTCCCAAACAAAGACATACACATCCACCACCTCCAATTTATTGCACCATTCTTCCTCAAAGAAGGAGCTCCATGTCAACTCAAATCAACATTTTCACAATCATCATCGATTGAATACCAAGCAACATTCCAATACTATGATGATAAACTTGGAAAGTGGATTAAATCTGCTGTTGGTCGTCTATCAATCAACAATCCAATTAATCCAACCAACGACTATTCAAGTGTTGATAAATTAAGACAACAAACATTCAATATTGCAACGATGAATACAACTGAAGTTTATCAAAAATTGACCAAATTGGGATTAATGTATGGAGAAACATTCAGAAGAACCAAACAAATATCATTTAGCGAAGATGGTAAAATCTTGTCAGAGATTGAATGCAAACCAAGAAACCATTTTGAAGAATCAAATACAGTTTTAAATGCATCAGTTTTGGATTGTCTTGTTCACTCCTCCATTGTAACATTTAGAGGTGAACATCAAAAATGTGAAGTTGTATTTGACAGAGTTAAAGATTTCCATATCTACTCTAATAACATTCCAAAACATCCATGTCACTCATTGTTTATGGCGACCAAACACAAACTTGCCAATCCACAGAGAGGAAATGAATTTAATCAATCAATGGATATTATTGATCGAGATGGAAATACTGTGATCAAATGTGGAGAAATGGTATGCACATCTTTGACTAAAGTATTAAAAGACCACCATGCCAAGGATCCAGCCAAACATATCAAACAAGCTATTTGGCAACCCAAAAATGCACCATCAACAACAATTGCTTCACCCCTGGCAGAAATAATTGGATATTTCGAAGCATTCTTGAAGTCAGGATCGGCATCTCACAGAATAATTAGAATAATCGATTTTGGATTCAATTATCGTCTTACCATTGACCTTGTCGATAAGATGTATTCACTTTTGGATTCAAATCCCAACACGATCATTGATTTTATCACACATGACGATACTCTATCGATTTATCTTCAAAAAGATAATCTGTTGATTAAATCGTATCCAGAAATCAACAAATCTCGATCATTAACGGATCAAGGATTCCTTTCGACCAGTTTTGATTTAATTCTATCAACTTTGGAATACATCACTGAAAACAATCAAATGGTTAGGTGAATTTGAAAGATTATTAAATCCAAATGGTCAACTTGTCATCATCAACACTACATCAAATAATGAATCAACACTCATCATCGATGATAATATGATGGAACCAATCAATAATATTTTCAAAGATCAACAACTCAATATTACTCATAACACAAATAATATTGGATCGCAAGATGAAATTGTATTGCTTGGAAGAAAACCAAGTGTCTTTGAATCTAATATTTAAAAGTTTGATAATTTATTATTTATCACTCCATCCCCTTCCCTTTCCTCTTCATCAATAGCAACAAGATTAATCCAACAATCATCAATGGGCTCAGTTGCCAAGAAAATCAGTTTCTTTTCAAATGATGATATAATGGATGAATGTAAATATCAATCATTAATAGAATCTATATCATATGATAGTATAGATGGTTGTAACAAAGTTGGAATAATCTATTTGGAATCATTGGAAGAAATGAATTCATCGAATCTCGAGCTTAAATCGATGCAACTGATCAGATTACATCAAATCATCAGAAAAGAACAATTACCAATCAAATTAATAACATTGATAGCTGGTCAATTAAATCATTGTCTTGGTACCATTGCCAAGGAATATGGTAAAAAAGTAAGAGGTGAAATGTTCCACTTTGACTCTGTGACAATCATCTTGGACAATGATAGTTGTAATCAAGTATCACTTGAACAGATATTACAATGTTCCAACTCTGAATATCTTGGAGAGAGTGATCTTAAACTCTGTCAAAATAATATATTGGTGGAAAGAATAGTTGTAACTCCTCAATTATTAAAGTTGGATCCAAAGTTTATAGTTTCAGATTCAAAGGATATGAAAGTTAATTTCCAAGTTGACAACAAGTATCATTTCAAGCAAAAGAATGAAATATTATTGGATGACGAGGTAGAATTCCAAGTCAAAGCAGCATCTATCAATTTTAAAGATTTAATGATTTTAGAAGGTATGTTTTTAGTCTTTTTTGTTTAATTTTCAAAAAAATTAATATTTTCTTTCATATCTAGGTAAAGTTGATCAAAAAATAATTCCACTTGGTAATAATCCACCAATCGGTCAAGATTCATCAGGTATTGTGACGAGAATAGGATCAAAAGTTACAAAATTCAAAGTTGGCGATGAGGTTTATGGTATTTCTGCTGGTTTTGCTTCGTCGACAGTAACCTTTGAAGATATGATTGTTTTAAAACCAAAAGAATTATCATTTGTTGAAGCAGCATCATTGCCACTATCAATGGGAACCGCCTACACTGTATTATTCAAAAAGGCAAATATTGAATACTCAGAATCTATTCTCATTCACAGTGCAACAGGTGGTGTTGGATTGGGAATGTTAAACCTTTTAAAATTCAAAAAACATACTGGAAATATATTTGTAACTGTTGGATCAGAAGAAAAGAAATCATACCTTGAAAAACATTATGGTGGTTCATTTATCACTGCTATTTTAGAATATGATAACTTTACTGAAACTATCATGGAACTTACCAAAGGCAAAGGAGTCAATTATGTCATCAACACATTAGACTATACAAGAATGCAAGATAATTTCAAATGCCTCTCAAAGAATGGTGTGGTTATTGACTTGTCAGTCGATCAATTCTCCCAAACTCGAGATATCGATATGGGATCACTCAACTATGACAAAGGTTACCTAACATATCAGTATTCACAAAACCAAATCAGTATCCCCAACAAGATTAAAAAAATGGTAGGAGAAGGATTAGAGCTACCTCCAATTACAGTGTTCCCAAGTCATCAAATCCTTCAAGCATTTGACCATTTCCGATCAAGAAAACACATTGGAAAGGTGGTTATCGATTATGAAAATGTTCAAACAGATGTCATTGATCCAATGATATTACAACCACATAAACCAGTCGAAAGAAGTCATTACAATTTGGAAGGTATTGGAGAAACACTTTTAATATCTGGTCAGACTGGTATTGCAGTAGAATCACTTGGTTACATCATGAGACATTCAAACCAACTAAGAGATATTATTGTTATCACTTATTCATCTGCCAAATTTGAAATTCAATTATTGGTCAATGAAATTAGAAAGAATTACAGTCATATTACACTACACTTTGTTCAATGTGATATTGGAGATTATGATCAACTCAAATCATCGATATTGGATCTTTACCAAAGAATACCAACCATCAAACCAGTGTCATCTGTTATTCACTTTGCAAATGCATACTTGGCAATTGCAGCTGATGACATTGATATGGAGAGACATCATACAGCAATGTCAGGTAAAGCAACAGGTGCATTTAATCTTCACAATCTATTTGAAGAATTGGATTGGAAACTGAACCACTTCCATATGTTATCGTCTTTTGCTCAGTATGTGACAGTGGATGGTTTAGGCTATTCAATTGGAAATGCATTCCTCGACAGTTTGGCAAGACACAGAAGAGATCGTGGATTGGAAGCGACATCAATTGCATGGGGTAGCATTGGACAGGCTGGAAAAGCAGCTGTTGAAAAGGGTATTGGAATGGTATTACTTTCCTATGGTATGACCATGATGCCATTGTCTGTAGTCAATGGTTTCTTTAGAAGTGCATTTGCCAAAACAACCACACCAATCACCAATCTAATGTGTGCAGACCTTCAAATCAATCTTGTTGTCTCTGAACTACCATACCTCGAACACCTCTATTCCCATTTCTTGAATATCTCAAATAACAATAGTAGTTTATTAGATGCAAGTGCAGGATCAATAGACAACAAGATATTGGACTTTATTTCAGAGACATTGTCAATCGAGAAACATTTATTAAATGGTGACACCAAACTCAAAGATTATGGTGTCGATTCAATGACTGCCATTCAAATCAAAGGTCAAATTGATGTTGAATTCAACAAACCACATATCAACCAATCACAAATTTCAAATGGCACCATCAACAATCTAATTGAAAATGTTAAAAAGAGTTTGAAATAATTAAATAATAAATTAATAAAGAAATAAATAATAAATTAAATTTGTTTTATAAAATGATGATATATTGTTTGTTTTATTTTTAGATTGATCGACTTCCAAAAAGGAAGAAAAAGGTTAGTGAATGGGTCGGCAAATTCGCGTTGGATGGTGTCGAGTGGGTAGGTTGTAATATAATATTATTATTTACAAAAAGGTAAAAAGGGAGGAAAAATGGATTGGATGATTTCGTGTTGCATATTCGTGTTGTGCATATATATATTGGTTGGCTTTTTTATATGAATTATTGACAATGTGATTGATGTGATTACCAAGAGCTGTTACCACCATCAAAACCACCACCGCCATTACGATTGTTGTTGAAACCACCACGACCTCCACCACGGCCTCCACCTCTACCTCTGAAACTACCGCTACGTCCTGGGTGGAAACCTCCTTCACCACCTCCGTTGTTGTTGTTGTAACCACCACCGTAAGAGTCACCTCCTCCGTTGTTGTTGTAGCCACCGCTGTTTCCGCTGTCGTTTCCACCGTAGCTTCCACCACCTCCACCGAATCTGCTTCCACCTCTACCTCCACCACGGCCTCCACCGAAACCTCTTCCACGACCACCACGGCCTCCGCCAGCACCACCGCTAAAGTCCCAACGGTTTCTGCCAGTCTTGGAGAACTTGGCCATTTCCATGAGGTTTTGTGGAACGGTTTGACCGGCACGCAACATGATTTGGACGAGAGCGCCCAAGTTGTCGTCGGTTTGCGAGATGTAAGTGTAGGCATCACCCTTGGCACCAGCACGACCGGTACGACCAATACGATGGACGTAATCTTCAATGCCGAGTGGGAAATCGAGATTGATGACAGCCTTGACCTTTGGAATATCGAGACCACGAGCAGCAACGTCGGTAGCGACGAGGACGTTGATTTCATGGTGACGGAATTGACGGAGCGAACGCTCACGTTGTGGTTGTTCACGACCAGAATGCAAGACACCGCAGGTGATTTGGAGCTTCATGTCGAGGAAGTTGGAGACTTGGTCACACTTGCGCTTGGTGTTGCAGAAAATAATGAGGAGATCCTCACGTGACTTGAGCATGTCTTGGACACGCTTGCCGAGATCTTCAAACATCTCGTTTGGCGAGAAGGCACCATTGTCAATGACGTGTTGAGTGACGTTGACGTTGGCTTGCAATTCACCGGTACCGACAGTGAGCTTGAGTGGGTTACGGAGGAACTTGGACGAGAGACCTTGGACTTCCTTGGGCCAGGTGGCAGAAAACATCATAGTTTGATGTTGCTCTGGGATTTGACGGATGATACGCTCGATTTGTGGCATGAAACCCATATCCAACATACGATCGGCTTCATCGAGAACGAGGAACTTGACGGTAGAGAGATGACGTGGGGTGAGGATATCATTGAGACGACCTGGGGTACCGACGATCAAATCGACACCGCTACGGAGGACAGAGTTTTGTTGACCCTTGCCAGCACCACCATAGACACAGAGCATACGGATGCTGGTGCCCTTGGTGACGGTACGGGCGACGTCTTCGATTTGCTTGGCCAACTCACGGGTTGGAGCCATGACGAGGGCGAGTGGGGTGGCACCGTAACCACGCTTGGGGACCTTGATAATCTCCATCAACGATGGCAAGATGAAAGCGAGGGTCTTTCCGGAACCAGTGGCAGCGACACCGACCATATCATTGCCGCTCAATACGATTGGCCATGATTGGGCTTGGATGACGGTTGGATTGGTGAAACCGGTAAAGGCGTGAGCAAAGATACGTGGGATTTCAATGTCGGCAAAGGTTTGGTATGGGTCTGGCTTGCTGGCACCTTCGACACGGACCTTGTTGAGACGTCTCCATTCTTCTGGGTTGGCAGCTACAATGTTGACCAAAAGCTTCTTCTTTTCTTCATCTTCTTCTTCAACTGGGGCAGAAGATGGCTTGGAGGCAGAGGATTCTTCTTCTTCAGAGTCATCATCATTTTTGTTGTTGGCAATGTTGGCAAAACGTTGCTTCTTGATGTTGGATTGTTCGTACTCGAGCTCGTCAACTTGCTCTTCTTCGTCTTCATCGTCAACCTTTCTTTTCTTTTGCATGTTGTTGTTCTTTGGTTGGTTGTTATAGGCGGTTGCTGGGGAAGGCATTTTGATTGATTTCTTGATTTTCAGATTGGGAAAAAAAAACAATAAATGTTACACTAATAGGTTGTGGGGAAAGTAATTATATAGGTTTTGAAATTTAGAAGTATATTGTTGGAATAATAACTACTAAAAATCTTTTTTAAATGATTATTTGTTTTTTTTGTCTAAATTATTTAATTAATTGTTCCATTTGAATTGGGGAAATAAATAATTAATTAAATAGATATATGAACAATAAAAGATCAATTTAATGTTTGTTTTGAATAAAACATAAATTGATGAATAAATAATAACATTTAAATATATATAATAATAATAATAATAAAACAAATATATTTTCGTGTATTGTAGAAAATACAAGAATAAAAAAAAAAGATACCAATCGTTGCAACAAAACCAAATGATCAACAACATTTTGTTTAAAATGGATGGAAGAGTAAATTCCAGATTGTAAACATAAGTGCGATTTTAAGGGTGCAAGGGGGTCATTCATAAAAGTGAATTATAAACAGACGATAATTCAAATTGAATGATAGAGGATACAAACAAATAAAAAGTAAAACAACAACAGCAACAGCAGAGCAATCAAACAACAACATATCAATCAATGATCGATCATGACACATACGATGATGGTGTACAATGATGATGATGATAGAGAATGTGTTGTGATGAGAGATGTGTATGTGTGTATGTTTTGTGTTTGTCGATGATGTATCGTGTCACGTCAATATGATAATCATTTCAATCATAGAAGAGTATGTAATAAAAAAACGACCGCCGACAGCCGATAAATAAATAGGAGCATAAAATGGTAGTAATAATGCATATTATTTGTTTTTTTATTCATATGTGACCGATGCATACATGCATTCAAACAACAAAGAAGTTATTTGTTTGTTTTGGTAAATATAATTTTTTTTTGTTATTATTATTAATAATATTTTAGGGTTAAATAATTATATAAATAAAAGAAAAAGAAAAAGAGAAAGAGAAAAGAAAGAAAGAAAGAGAGTAGAGAGAAAAGGGATAGAAAAGAAGTAAAAGGAACGAGAGAATGTTAGTTTTCAAAAATAGAAAAAAGATATGATAAGGATAGATAATAGAGCTGCTGATGGTGTGATTTGTTGTTGTTGTTGTTGTTGTTATTATTGTTAAATCTACGTTGAGTAGAACAATAAAAACATACCTAAAAATAAAATACTACTATAAATAAATATAATAGTTGAGAGCGAGAGTATTTGGAGAGAATCAAACTAATACAAAAACCGAGAAGACCTTTTTGTCGTTGTTGGCGAAAAAAAAAAAGAATGAAAAAATAAAAAAAAATAAAAAAATCGGAATGCGAAAAAGGAATCAAAAAACATGGTGCAAACACTCATTTCTGTCGGTCAAAACAAGACAATATGTATAGTTTGCTCGATCGATTAGTTTGTAAATAAAAGCACGACGAGCCTTGCGACAACAATTTATTATTATTATTATTATCACATCGACCAAACAAAATAATATTATGTTGAACAAACACAAACAACAACCCAACTTTTCTTTTATTCATCTTTTTAATTAAAGTGTAAATTTAAAAGTTAAAAGTTAAAAGTTAGCTCGCTATTCGTATTCATGAAACTGTTAACAAGCACCAATCAGCTGATTTTGAGTTGCAACTCAAATATTTGCTTCTATCTCTATCACATTCAGGGGGTTACAACCCATCATACCTACCCTTTTTGATCGGGGGCAGTAGGGGGGGGGGGGGCTGTCAATCTTAAATATTTAGTAGCTAAAATTGCAATGAACAACAACTACAAATATAACAAGTCTTCAGTTCATTATTAATTAATTCAAAAGAGTGTAGAGGTAGTAATATTAGTAGTATTAGTAGTATTAGTTATAATAGTAATAGTATTAGTTGTAGTAGGTTAATTATTAATATCTTATTTACTTGTGGCACAGCCAATCAAAGAAGAAAGAAAATAAATGTCGAGACTGGTAATCAACGTTCCCCCAAACAATCCATTGTTTATCACCGAGGGTGATTTGGGAACAGGTTTTAGTATTGATGAAACTAAATCTAAAAAGGGTCGAGTCTATCATTTGGAAGATCAATCGTATGTATTATTATTATGATTAAGACAGACGATTAATAAATTTAATGTTCAATTGTTAATTATTCTTTTAAAAGTAAAATCAAGACTTCTTACAGTCAATCTGATGATTCACAATACGAAATACTCGATAACGAACACAAAGTGAAAAAGAAATTACAACTAGACACTGAATTGGGATTGTCAAATGGTTTCGCATCGGCAAGTGTTATTGGTGATTATTCAAGTTCAAACAATGATCATAAATTGACTATCGTCATGACTCGTAAAGTGACACATAAAGTGATTGAAGTGTACTTGTCGCCACCAATGACAAAGGAAACACAAGCCATACAAGACATTGAAACACTACGTCAACAATTTGGTCTTTATTATATTCACAAAATTGAGCTTGGTGGATTATTGGAAATCAAAGTAACACTTGAATCATCGTATGTACAGTCTAATCAATTAATTGATTGAAAAAAAGAGTGAGTAGTATTTATTAATTTGTATTTCTATTTTTTTCTTTATTACAAACTAGTAATATAGATTTATTAAAATCAATTAAAGGAGAGATTGGAGGAGACTTTTCTTTTAAACTATTTTCAGCTATCATGAAAAATAATACAAGTAAGCATGAAACAAATAACAACTTGGAATTAACTACATCGGTCGTAGCAACGGGTTGTTCTCAAAGGAATAGTGGTATCAATACTCAAACAATCGAAGGGATTAATGCTATTATCGATGGTTTCAAGTTGGATGAACAAAACTTGGTACCTTTGAGAATGGAGATTTGTCCCATTCCACACACTTCATTTTCTCACTTGGATCATGTTAATTTCGCACTTTACAAGAGCAAATTGGCAATGGTTGGATCAAACTATTGTGAATTTGAAAAGATGATTGTTAGATTGGCTAGATTCCGTGAAGATGTAATTGAGAAAAATTTGGGAGACCCCGACCAAACAATGTATTATGATAGTCTCTCTGCCCTCGCTGGCAAGGTATTACTACTAAGTGGAAGAATGAAAAACCTTCAAAATATTACTGCCAAATTTATGAAAAATACATTGGAATATATCATATCGTATGTATTTATATTAATAATATTAAAAAAGAGTACAATGAATCTAACAATCACTTTTATTTACTAGTAAAGAAGTTCAACCTTTAATGGCAGTTGTTGAAGAGGAGATATCGGCAGTAAAGAGATTGATTGGTGATATACCAACGACCATTGAAAAGGATGTATGGTTTGGCCCAGTAGTAGACAATCTTCCAACCTATTACGGTACCTATACATACAATATCAATGGATCAGTTTACAAAGGCCATTGTTTAAAAGGAAAGAAACATGGTCAAGGTAGAATAGACTATCCCCCCGGAAACAAAAACCACTTTAAATCAATTGATGGATTATGGAAGGATGATCAAGTTAGTTATCCATCAACTATTTGTTATTCAGATGTATGTATTAAACTATTTAATAATATAAATGTGATTGTATTGTTTATTAATATTAATATTATTTTTTAATGTTTTTAGGGAACATCAATTACATTAAATACAGAGCAAGAATGTGATCGTTGGAATGATGATTATAAAACAATGTCAATTTCAAATTGCGTAGAGTTTGTCAATCGATCTACTGCACAAGAGTATATTTTCAATTATCAAGTCAATGTTGATGATATCCAAGAGCCATTGTTTCAAAGTTTGTATAATGGTCTCAAAAAATCGGTAAAGCCAGGCAGAGACAGATACTATTTTTTGTTCCTGGGTATAACAGGCGGTGGTAAAACGACGATGATGGAGTATCTACTCAACATTCTCACTGGCCAACTCGACTCTCCCAAGAATCTTCGTGCAATGGACCTAGAGTCGACTGGCATTGGTGAGAGTAAAACAAAGACGGTGTGTCGATACGATATCGAATACAATCAAGGCGACTTTTACAAATTTGGTATTACTCTTATTGATACACCTGGATTCGCCGATGTCGAGGGACTCACCAAAGACAGTGCTCACATGACATCTATTCTAAAGTCCGTTGGTAGCGTTCCTAGGATAGATGGTGTCATGTATGTTGTGAGTGGAACATTGACACGAGCAACTACTGATGTCCTCAAGGTTTTATGCAGTGTCTTTTCAATCCTTCCCCAAGATTCCTTTAAATGTGTATCCACCATTTTTACATTTTGTGATAGTGCAAATCAAGCTGCCGAAGCTCGTGCAGTCATCAATAGCGTCATTTCTGGAATGGGCAAAAGACCAGACTTTTTTTTAGATAATCCATGGTATGTTATATTAAACAAATCAATTATTATTAATCGATTAATAATAATAATAATAATAATAATAATAATATTAATACATATATTATTATTATTATTATTATAGGTCACAACATTCAAATAACAAGGTTTCAGCCGGAGTCAAGGCAAATACGGAAGGATTATGCGGAGTTGATAACTCTGCAAACCTTTCAACGAGAATGGAAGCGACCACTAAAAGTGTCACAGACTTTTTAATTGAAAGAATCAGAAACAATGAGCCATTTTCATCACAGGCAATGGGCAATCTTGGTAATATCAGAAAACAACTATTGGAAACACTAAATCAAATTGACAAGTTGATGAAACTCATTAAAGACAACAACGGGATATTGGATAGATTGACAGTTGAACATTTGGATGAAGCTATTGTTAAGGCTCGATTGTTGACCATGGAGGAATGGATCAAAGACAAGGGATTCGCAATCATCGATGGGAAAGCAAAGGCAAAGATGTCCTCTCGTACTGAATGGCCTGGAGGTGTCTATGCAACTGTTTGTTTGGCACCCAACTGTCAGAATATGGTGTGTCATCAAGGTTGTAATCTCGACTTTACACCTGACAAGCAGAGCAACATGTTTACCAACTGCAAAGCATTTAGAAATTTTAAATCAAAAGTACTTTCAATTGCTACAGACACTTCAAAGGAATGTCAAAAGTGTCTTGTTTGTCCTCTAGGTTGCTCTCATCAATACCATATCCATTCCAAATTCCAATTAGAATGGATTGAAAATAATAATATTTTAGATGAATATGATGCTCTTCGTCAGGGTGTAGATTCAGTATCAATTAAAGCCAAAGAAATTCAAGAAAATAGTAAGTTTTGGCAATAATTATTATTTATTATTATATATTATATATTATTATATATTATTATTATTATATATTATATAAAGATAAATAACCAACATCATTTTTATTTTTTTATCAATCTAGATGATGTTCTCCAAAAACAATTGATTGAACGATTAGAGGAGATGAAAAAGTTGAAAGACAAGTTTGCGACACTTGCAGTGTTGGGTGATATCAAGGCCATTCTCAATGTATCGATCAAGACATACGAGGATATGCGAAAGTTGTTGATTGAAAAAAAAGGCACCAAGGACGAGGTCGACAGTGTCAATGATATCATCGAGACACTCCAAACATTTGTCAGTCTGGTCGATAACTCTGATGTTGAAAAATCGATCAATGATCAAATCAACTTGGGAAGACAGAGATTCAACAAGGCTTGGGATTTAGTACAAGAAAAGATTAAACTTGTTGTACCATAAATAAAAAGGTGATTGTACAATTTTAAAATAAAATACTTTTATTTATTTTATTTTAAGAGTATAAAAATTTAATGAAAGCTTGCATGTGCACATGTCATACTTACCAAAGTGATCACTTATGTCAGCGATAGAAACAAATAACAAGACACCAATATATTATTATTACATTGCTCGCTTCGCTATCGCTTCGCTATCGCTTCGCTATCGCTTCGCTATCGCTTCGCTATCGCTTCGCTATCGCTTCGCTATCGCTTCGCTATCGCTTCGCTATCGCTTCGCTATCGCTTCGCTATCGCTTCGCTTCTACTCTTCTGCTGGCTGAGCACTAGTTTAACACTATAGAGCTGCTATTATCAAAAAAATACGTCTATCTATGTTTAATTAAACAATTGTTTATTGTTGGCTGCTGATTGGTTCAATGTTGTGAACACTATGGTGCAAACATCATCATTTATTATAAATCAAAATATCTATATAGATTCTATATAACTATATGACTATATAGATATCTATTTCCATACCTACAATATATATATATATATATCTACTATATATCAATCTCTATTTAAATAATTAAATTATTCGTTACGTGATAAGAAATGTCATTCGTAATAGACATACCAACAGACAATCCTCTATTTATTACCAGAGGTGATTTGGGTAAAGGTTTGGAAGGAAACTTTTCAGATCCATCGTCGATCACCAAAAAAAGCCAAGTATTTAGTCAATCTGATCCATTGCAAGTATCCTAATACTATTTCTATATTCTCTATATATATATTTATCTAAACTGATTGTTCTAACATTATTATTATTTATTCTTTTTTATTTTGTAGTAAAATTAAAACAACAAATCCACATACTGATCGATCAAAGATTGAAAGGAGTGATGGAGAAAAAAAGACATTACAAACAGATGCTGGTGATTCCTATGATGGTAAAATAGGGTACAAGTCTAAATTCCGTTTTTTCAAACAAATGGGTCACACTTGTATCGAGCTATATGACTCTCCTCCATTCACCGATGAAGTCAAAAAGGTAAAAGATATCGAGTCTCTAAGAGCTCAATTTGGATTTCATTACATTGGTAAAATTGAATTTGGTGCAGTTATGGATATTACAATTACATTGGAATCAGAGTAAGTGTAGAAATAGATAGAACAACAACCTAGAATAATATTCAAAATACAAATATAAATTTTTTTTTTTTTTTTTTTTACAATTAGGAATAAAGACTCTATAAAATCTATACAATTACAAACCAGTTCAGACCTTTCTTTGGATTCATTGACCAATGCGATCAATCAATATACTAGAGAGGATTCAATGGGTATGGTCAGTTTTAATAGCAAGGTGTCATTGTTTGGATGTGTTCAAAAGAAGAATTTTGTTACTGTAAATGAACTCAAGAATATTTTCGAGTTGATTCAAGTGGATGCGAGTAATTTGGTTCCAATTAGAATGGAGATTTGTCCGATTCAACACAAATTAATTGATTCATTGGGTCTTCTTGGTTTTGAACACTATAAGAGAAAGTTGGTCATGATTGGAGAAAATAATTGTCAATTCGATCAGATGATTGCCAGGTTGAAGCAATTTCAAGCCATGATCGATCCAATCGTTGGAGAAGAGGAGCAATCATCTTTGGTCATGGACCTTTTTGTAAAGGCTCCAATTTTAATTAGAAGAGTGACTGTAATGAAAAATCAATCCATCTCTTTTATAAAAAACACAGTAGAATATATAATAGGGTATGTAATCAATTAAAATCAAGATTAAGATCATTTAAAATGAAACATGTTACTTTGAAAATATATATTAACTAGAATCATATTTTTTTTTGTAAAGTAATAGTATTCCACATTCTGAAGAGTATGTGGCAGAGGAAATGTTGGTGGTAAAGAGATTTGTTGGAGAAACTCTAACCGTTACTGATAGAGGGTCATGGTATGGTTCAAGTATTGACAAAGTACCAGTCTATTATGGCAAATATTGTTATACAAACGGACAAACTTACAATGGGTTTTGTCTCAATGGAAAAAAAAATGGTCAAGGTACACTTGAATATCCTGCTGGAAACATTAGCCATATCAAATCAATTAAAGGAGTATGGGAATGACAATGTTAGGTTTCCATCAACCATTCAATATGTAGATGTAAGTAAAAGTAAAGGGTAAAAGTGAAATATTAAATATTAATATTAATATATTTAAATATATTTATTTTAATTTTTTTTCCATTTCATTTTTAGGGAACAACAGAGAAATTAGTACAGGCAAGGGATTTGATTCGTTGGAATGAAAAAAACAAATCAAAAATGTTAGCTTCACATGTTGTCAAATTTGATCAATATCAAGGAGAACCAGTCATAAAGTTTCGGGTCAATATGGATTTGATAGAGGAACATCTTTTCTTTTTTTTCGGTTTTCGATCAACTCCAAAATTCAATCAGTACGGACAGAGACAGATACTACTTTTTATTGATGGGTATAACTGGCAGTGGCAAAACAACGATGGTCGAGTATCTACTCAACATTCTCACTGGCCAACTCGACTCTCCCGACAATCTTCGTGCAACGGACCTAGAGTCGACTGGCATTGGCGAGAGTAAAACAAAGTGTGTGCCGATACGATATCGAGTATACTCGCCGTGGAGTATATCTATTTGGTATTACTCTTATTGATACACCGGGTTTTGCCGATGTTGAAGGATTCACCAAAGACACCCAACACATAGAGTCTATTCTCAGATCGGTAGGCACCATTCCGAGGATTGTTGGCGTATGGTATGTGGTCGGTGGGTGACCACTAACAAGAAAAACACACGAGTCTCTAAATGTTATCTGTAATGTATTTTCCATTCTTCCTCGAGAGTCTATGCAATGTGTTTCAACGATTGTTACATTTTGTGAAACTCTTATTGTGGCATCCGATACTAGACGTATTATCAATGAAATGATTAATGGAATTGGATCAAGACCTGTTTTATTTTTGGATAATCCATGGTATGTGTAGAGGTGGAACCTGAAAATCCTAATACATTTAGTATGTTGTTAATTATTTTTTTAATTTATTATTTACAGGTCACAACACAGAAACAACACAATCAAATCTCAATCAATTGATTCAGAGGGAGTGTATGGGTTTGACAATACAGGAGTTTTGCCCAAGAAAATAGAAGAGACAACCAGAAGAGTCGTTCAGTTTATGGTTGACAGAATCAGATCAAATGTGCCATTTGCCACGGCGGAAATGAAAAGTCTTGGAGCAATTAGAAACCAATTAATGAAAAACATTCCAGAGATTGGAAAGACCATCAAGCTGATAGGAGACAACACCAAGATTAGCGATAAATTGGCATCACAACAAAACCTTGAAGCATATATCACCCAAACCAAGGATTTGACAATGGAAGAATGGGTCAAAGATAAAGGATATGCTTTAATCGATGGGGTACCCCATGCAAAGATAATGTCTGGGGAGAGATGGCCAGATGGAGGTCATGCAACTGTGTGTTTGGGTCCAGAATGCAAGACTATGGTTTGTCACCAAGGCTGCTCTCTTGCGTTTACCTCTCAGCGACATAGTTCCATTTTCACCGGGTGTAGGGCATTCAGAGACACCCTTTCCAAAATCAAATCACAGTTTGTTGATAATGCCAGTGATTGCCTACATTGTCTAGAGTGCGAACTCAATTGTTCTCATCAACATCATATCCACACTGAATTTAAACTCGAGTGGTTTCCAAACAATGAAATTGTAAAGGCCTACTATGAGATTGTAAAAGGATCAGATTCTGCATTGAAAATGGCAAATAAACTTAATCAAGATAGTAAGTAGGAGTAGGAGGAGGAGTAGAGCGAAACAGAACAAAGTATTAATTCAAATATTGACACATTCTCTTTTTTTTTAGATTTAGATTTACAAACAAAGTTTACTCTTCAATTGGGAGAGATAAAGAAACTAGAGAAGCAATTTCATGAACTGTCAGTGTTGGGTGACATAAAAAAGTATATAGAGTCGACAATCGCCGTTTACAGGCAACAATTGGAAAATGGAGGACAGGTTCTTGAAATCAGAGGGCTTTTGGAACAACTGGAAGCATTTTTAACGATTTTAAAAGACTCACCTTCTATTGAAGCAAACATACAGAATCAAGTTAGAGAGGGTAAAGCCCGATATTTCCATGCATGGAATGTAGTTAAAAAAATTATAGCCTTGCCATATGGCCTAACCCCACTTTCTATCAAATCTTCTGGTGGAGAAAAGAAACTTATTAATGATATCGTCGATGAAGATGCATCCTCTGAAACAATACCAACTCGCTCTTTTAAACAATTTTAAAGTTTAAACACTGTAATTTATAAAATTACAATGTTAATTATTTATATATATATTAAGATCTTGTTTAATTTTTTATAACAATTATTATTACATATTCCAAACTATAGTAAAAAAAGAAAAAGAAAAATAAATTAATAAATTAATAAATTTGATTCCTACTTTTTTTTTAAATAAATATTTTGTTTTTCTTTTTCTTCTTACCTTGTTTCTTATAATCATCCCAATCACCTTCAAATTGTAAGACTTGTTTTGGTTGATCATCATCACCATCGAAATACCAAATTTCATCACAAACAAGATTGATAAGACGCTCGTCGTGACTAACCATGAGAATACCACCTTGGAATTCATTGAGAGCTTGAATGAGGGCGTCGACAGTATCGATATCAAGATGATTCGAAGGTTCATCGAGCAAGAGAATATGTGGTTTGGTGAATGCAATTTGACAGAGTACTACTCTACTCTTTTGACCACCAGACAAGGTGTTGACAGTACGGAGAGCTAAATCACCTGAGAGACCAAATCTACCAAGGTGTGAACGTGCTACCTGAGGACTAGTGCCTGGGTATTTTGCCAAAAAGTTGTCAAGTGGACTCTTGCTAAGATCCAATTGATCGACAAAATGTTGTGAAAAACGTGCAAACTTTAATTTACCATGTCTAATAACATTACCTGAAGTTTCTTCCAATTCTCCTGATAATAATCTAAGTAATGTTGTCTATAAAAAAAATAAAAATAAATTAATTAATAAATTAAATATTAAATATTATTATTATCTTTTTTTTTTTTGTTTCATTCTATTTTCTTTTTCTACTTACTTTACCAACACCATTAGCACCAACAAGAGCAACTCTACTATTCATATCAATACCAAGATTAAGATTTTTAAGTAAGAGATTTTCAGGTTTGTAGCCAAAAGCGACATCTTGAAGTTGAAGGATGGGAGGGGTGAGAGGATCGACTTCGAGGAAGGAGAGGGTGACGGTTGGATCGTCGAGTACTTCGGATATGACGTCCATCTTTTCCAATTGTTTGATTCTGGATTGAGCCATCTTGGCACGCTTGGCATTGTATCTGAAACGATCGATAAAGGTTTGGATGTGTTTACGTTGTTGTTGTTGTGCGTCAAATGCCTTTTGTTGTGAACGGAGACGGTCGTGACGGGTTTGCTCAAACGTCGAGTAGTTACCCTTGTAGTAGTCGAGCTTCTTGTTGTTGAGATGAATAATATCGGTACACACCGAGTTGAGGAAGTCACGGTGATGAGACACAATGACGAGGGTACGACCCCAGTTGATGAGGTAGCTCTCGAGCCACAAACAGGCAAACAGATCGAGATGGTTAGTGGGTTCATCCAACATGAGTACATCGGGTTGGATAAAGAGGGCACGGGCGAGCGAGACACGCATACGCCAGCCACCGGAAAATTGCTTGGTGGCTTGTTGCTGCATTTCGTCGGTGAAACCGAGACCGGCGAGAATGGCGGCTGCTCTGCTCTCGGCAGTGTGTGCGTCAATCACATTGAGACGCTCGTAGATGTCACGGATCTTTTCAGAGTAGTTGGCACGCTCATTGTCGGGCAGTGCGTTGAGACGTTTCTCCTCCTTGAGCAAACGCTCACGTTCAATGTCGGCTTCGAGCACACAGTCAATGACAGTCTGCTCGGTACCGTTGACTTCCTGCTCGACGTGGAGGATCGACAGGTTGTTCTTAATGTCAATCTCACGCGATGCAATGTGACGCAACAACGTGGTCTTACCTGTACCGTTACGCCCGATCAAACCATACTTGCGACCAAAGTTGAGATGCAAGTCTCCGTTGATAATGAGATCCATCTTGCCGTACGACAGCGAAAAGTTTTCAACGTGGATGTCTCTGCTCTGCAATGTACCACGTGCGAGTGACATCTCCATAGTCTGTTGCTTTTGCAATGCTTGCAGTGCTTGCAAAGCCTGGTTTGCCCTAACCTTTTTACGCTCTTCCTTGGCGACACGTGCTTCCTTTCTTGCGTTGTATCTCTTCTCGTTGGCCTCGAGCTGCTCTCTGTTGACGATCGAGATGTTGTCATCGGGCTTCATCCAGGCGACCGCAGCGTCCAAACGATCGTCCAGACGCAACAAACTGACCGGTTGCAGCAGCTGTTGCACTGCTCCGCCCGTCTGGTCAATACGCACGATCCCCTCGGCCACCAAACTGTCGATGACCTTGCGCACAAGCTCGCCGGCCTTGTCCTCGCATCCACCAGCAAAGTCTTGCAAAAAAGGAGTCAGCATCTCGATCAATTCGTCACGGTCACTGTTCATCGAGTCGTCTTCAAACACACCGGTAATGTAGTCGATGATCGTCTCGTCAATCTCCTCCACTGCCTTGGCTCCCAATGTCTTGTGGATCGACTCTTTAATCTCTACAGCCTTTGATGCTTTTGATGATGTATTTCCTTTCTTTACTGCCATGACTACTGTTTTTGATTGATTGATACTGTATTTTATAGTTAATGTTGTTTGTTGTTTGTTGTTTGTTGTTTGTTGTTTGTTGTTGTTATAGTACTACTACTATAGTACTTTGATACAAAGATGTGGATGCAATCTAATGAGTTGATGATAATATGGATTGACAAAACTGACTTTTGTTCTTTCCTTTCTCTCTTCTCTTCTCTGACAACAATAAGCAATATTAAACTACTCTTCTCCTTCTCTACTACAAATACTAATACTATTAATAATCTCTTGAGTAAAAAATACAAACAGACAGATTCATCGCATGAGCGCACTACTATTCGTTTTTCAACTTCAGTGTGAGATTTTTGGGTTTTTTTATTTATTTTTTTTTCCTCCTTTCTTCTCTTCTTTTGTATCTATGATAATAAAAATATATTTTCTCATTTCTCTTTTTTTGTACAGATAATGTAACAAATAATAATAATAAAATAATAATCGTATTTTCTTTTTTTTATTTATTTTTTTTTTTTTTTTAAAAGGTTCCGATCGATTAAAATCGGAATGAACGCACTTTAGCTTGCTGACAGTCTCATTAGAAATAATATTAATTAATTAGAAATACTCAATTTAAATGTGGTTTAAGTATCATAAAAGTATTATAATAACTTGGAGCAAACATTCAAACCCAACAATCTATCTGATCTCCTTTCCTTTTCTCTCCCAATTAGATATCTTAAATCATTTCAAAATTCTGGGAATTTTTTATTATTTTAAGATATACTTATATTAGACTTTATAAATATATTAGATCTACTTTTTTTACACACGGATTTTACATCTTTGTGTAGATCACCAAATTAGATCTAATTCATCATTCTCTTTTGGATTCCTTAAATTTTTTTGATGTAATTTTGAGTTTCCAGTTCAGTATGTCAGCCAACAACATCAAAAAAAAAAAGGGAAAGGCCTTTTCATTTAAAATTAAAGAGTAAGAAAGAGATAATATACAACATATAAGCAACTATTAATAATAATAATCAAAATGATATCTGTATCATTAGGTTTTTGACAGCCCAATCAATTTCGAAACAATTCTCAGCACCCAATATTAAAGAGGGTCCTATAATTTTTGGTTGTGATAAAGTCAGTCTTCTATCAATTATTGATGAAGAGTTTAAAAAGAGAGATATCCAAACGCTAAGTTGGACATTTCAAGAGGGTAGTCAATGCACATGTCTAGTTTGCTGACACCGAAAATGTGGTTGGCAGTTTGTCATTGTAAAACTATTACCAGTTTATCATTGATTGAATTTACCATAAATAGATGTGAAATGGAACCATCTCTAGTTCATTTAATTTCTACCAATTCCACCATTACCTCTCTTTCAATTAAAGGCAACAGTTTGGAATGGACCAATGACTTGGAACAAGCATTCTAATCCAACAAAACCATGTTGGATGCAGACGGTAATCAATTTAGTCAAAGTCTCCTTTCCTTTTTAACAGCATTGATGGACACCAACATTCAATATCTTGATATTCAAGCCAATATTGTTCCTTATTTTCTCTCAATCTAAATCTGTAAAAATGATTAAATATTAATATTAATATATATTGTACCAACTTTGATATATATGAAGATGATGAAAAAGTTTGTAAAACAATGAATAAATTATCTACTTTCTCTTTTTTTTTTGTTTTTTCAAAGACCTTCTCAAGGCAGGTTTGGGTTACTTGGTTCTTCGATCATCAATAACAAATATTAAAGATACAACGAATAAATAATAATAATAATAATAATGGCATCTAGTATAAATCAATATATTCAAGGGTGTATCATTAGATTGCTGATAGAATCTAAGCAAGTCATTACTTGTTTGACTGGTAGTAGCAAACCTAGAGATATTAGTAGGATTAGTAGTCAATCAATGATTGATGGAGTTATCAAGAGGGAGATGATCACTTTGACTGTACAAGATATACTCGATATTGCATTAGTTTCAAAGTGGTGGTTCACAGTAGTTAGACAGAGGTCAAAGATTGTATTTAATGGTCACTTGAACATGATCAAGATACTTGAATCAATACAATCAAGTAACATATACTCTCTCTGCTCTTCACAATATATTCAAACTTTGAAATGGTCATTTAAAGATAATCATCATAAACAATCATCATCATCATTTATAGATGGGAATGAGTTGATTAGACAATTACCCAATTTGAAAACAATCAATTTTAAATGTCAAAGTTATATCAATTTACCTGCAATGCAAGCATTAAAGACTATACAAAAAGAGTATCCACATATGAATATTCATATAGACACCAAATTTGTACTAAAAGATATAAGAGGGTTTCCAATAGACAGTTTAGAGATATCAAAATGGTCAAAATATTTTAATGGAGGGTTTACACCCAACTCTGTGTCACTGTCAACCAATGTATTTAAAAGTATCAGGTCTGATGGTGGATATGAAGAATCGTTTATTGAAATGGTTAAAGATCTTCAACCACATACTCTTAGACTGAGTATTGATACTTGGAAAGGTCAAATACACCTCAATCAAGACACCCTACTTCAACACATCTCACCAACCATCAGACATCTGGAAATTAGACAAGATTATATAGAATTTTTTTATTTAAAAAGGATTGTACGATCGGATCTATACAGATGCTTGGAATCACTCAAAGTAATTATCGATCCAAGTAAATTACAAGTACAAATAAATCTAGGTGGAGGTTTGGGTAATGGACCATTCAACAAAGTTTTAATGGATGATTGGATAGAATCATGTAATAATATCAGAAATAATACAACTCTTAAAAGATTACATCTAACCTTGGGATGTGACCCAAGTCAACTAGAAAATGTAGAGATATTCCAAATGGCATTTGATTCAATTTGGAGTGGTAGAAACAAGACACAACCGGTATCATCAGTAAACATTGACTATCTATGTTTGGAAAACATGTCAGTTATGATGACACCAAAACTATGGGATACATTTAGTCATTGTAAAAGTATAACTAAATTATTATTGGAAGATTCACTATTTGATGAAATGGTTCCATATCTATCCAATTTGATATCAACCAACTCCACTATCACAGTTCTCTCAATCAATGGTAACTATTTGAAATGGAGTATTGAATTGGAACAAGCATTCAAATCAAACCAAACTATTACCATGTTGGATGTTGGATACAATCAATTTCATAAAGATGCCTATTCTTTTTTATCGTCGTTGATAGATACCAACATCCAATATCTGTTCCTCAGTGACGGATTTAATTTTGAAGATGATATTGCTCCTTTTTTGACTGAATCAAAATCTACAAAAGAAATTTATTGGTAATATATATATCTTAAACAATCAATTGAGTGTGATATATATATATTTATTAATAATAAAACCAAATTTGTTTTTGAAAAGCAAATTTGTGAAGCTCAGTAAGCCAACTTTTGTTCAGTTTCCCTCACTTGATAATCCTTTCGTAATTTTTTTTTTGTTTCAAAAAGAGATAATTTATATATACAACAATTAAATAGAAATATAATAATAATTAATAATAATGACATCTCGTTACTTGACACCATATGTACAAGGTGATATCATAAGAATGCTAGTTGAAGCTAAGGATGGTTGTATTTTGGGAAATAGAGTCGCAAAATTCGATCCATCTTCATGATCATCCGTGAAAAATGGGCTTATAATCACATTGATCGATTCCAAACAATATGGAACGGTCAACAGATTAATCAAGTCACCAAATCAACATAGTCATTTTGAATTTCCAGATGTTTGATTACTGGTTGTTGTGTAAGATGTTGGAGTATTCCATCGTGTTTCAAGTCCTTACAACTCTCTCTCTCTTTGGTAACCATTTGCTATATGGACCAATGACTTGGACCGAGCATTTAAACACAACCAAACTATCACCATCTTGGATATTGGTAACAATCTATTTCATCAATGTGCCTATTCTTTTTTCTCTACTATGATGTACACCAACATCCAAAACTTGTTCCTAGGTGGTAGTGGTGATGGTTTTAATTTTCAAGATGATATTGTTCCTTTTTTAACTACGTCCATTGTGTTGGCACTGTCATTCTTTTTAAAATCTTCTTTGTTCAATATCAAATACCCTTTGGAAGTTTAACATATATATATATATATATATATGTTTAAAATATTTAGAACTTCAATTTGGTTTGTAAAATATGAATCTTGCCAGGATCAAATGGTTTCCTTTTTAGGATCGAGAAAAAAAAAGGGTGGGTTCAAAAAATTCAGCTGCTCACAAGCATCACTCTGAGTGAATTCCTTCTGCTCATTCATGATCTTTTCGATGATCCGTTTCGCACAACAAGAGTTTCATTCGTCTACAGCATAAAAGATATTAAACAACAAATACTAAAATAGATATAGATAATAATTAATTGTAGTAAAGATAATAATAATAATAATAATAACAATCAACTATCGTAATCATAATTTAATATCAAGCCTGGTCACCCAAGAAATAAAAGAAAAAGTAGAAGTTGAAGTTGAAGTTTTGTTTATATATATTTGTTATAGCAGATATATAATAGTAGTAGTAGTAGTAGATAAGATATATATATATAGTAGATCGAGGAGATTCTTTTGAATCATACAAATAATATAAAATGGCATCACCAGATGAAATGGATCCCAGTAAGTACTTATAGGGATGGAGTTGACTTGCTAGGCAATATTGAACGTATTATTAGAGTATACTAATAGTTAATACCTACTCTTTTTACATTACATTACAGAATTTGTTGAAGAGAGTTTGGGAACGATAGGTGGCCTGTTTGGTGAAGAGAATACACATCAAGTATGGGTAGATGCAAACAAATCACCAACACCCTCTGGATCAGGTTTCAATAAACGTTTGATCGTTGTTGGTAAATACAAATTAATGTCTTTAAAGAAAGGTGCTTTTGGTAAATCTGTATGTTTAAAAGAAAAGAAAAGGGAATGAAAAGTAAAGATAGTTATTATATATATTCACTATAATTGTTTATTTTTATTCAATATAGATTGAAATAGAATGTCATCTTTATAATATATCAGAGATTATGTATCTTGATAATGATGAAACCATTGTCATTAAATACATTAATCCAGAGACACCAAATGATCTCGGTTTGGGAATTACTTGCAAGGCATCGTTGGAGAAACTTCAAAACTTGGTACTCGCCATTAGAAAGAGTTATCGTCAAATTACTTGTGGATTCCCTCAAGAACATAGTTTTAAATTAACATTCCCAGATAACAAATTATTACCATATGATACTCCTTTGGGTATGAAACTATCAAATCAAATCAAATCAAATCAATCAATTAATCAATCATCTATTTACACTCTCTTTTTATTTTTATTTTCTCTTTCTAGTAATGTCACCAGCCAATGGATTTATTGATACATATATTGCACATAGTTATTTCTACAAGACTGTTAGTACATTGGATTTTATTAGATATGTAGAATCTATTGTTCAAAATGGTAGTACTGAATTGGATTTTACTCAGTGTCCAGGTATTGATCCAACCTCTGAAATTAGTTTTAATCTTTTCACTGCTATTGTTTCATTACGTCATAATACCTATTTCAGATCAGTTGATTTATCTGGTTTACCACATGCCAACAGTAAGTATATAAATAATAATAATAATAATAATTATATATATATATTAATGATAATATTACATTTTAGTTATATCTGCATTAGGAATGTGTTTAGAGACAAATAGAACATTGACTAAATTAAATATATCAAATCTACGTATTGAACAATCATTCCAACCAATTGCAACATCATTGGTTAGAAATAGTAGCAATAGAATTCAAATGTTGGATATCTCTAAAAACTCAATCATCTATCCAGTCATGATTACCCTCACCGAATGTTTTTCAAGAATTCAACATGGTCTAGTTAGTCTTGATTTATCAAAATGTGAATTACAACCAAGGTATGTACAACTTACACATAATCAAAAAAAAAAACAAGTCTTTATATTTACAATTTATTTATTTTTAGAACTGTAGTAATATTATTTGAATCATTTGAAAGAAATTTTGGAATGTCATTGGCAATGAGATATTTGAATTTATCAAATAATAAGATGGGAGATTTAGGATCGAGTGCGTTGGCGTCGTGGATGAGTAAAATCAAGGGGTATCACAACTTGGAGAATTTGGTATTATCCAAATGCTCACTCAACTTTTCGATTATGGGTCCACCACTACGTGTCATTGATGTGCCCAGATTGGATCTGTCGGGCAATCCCATCACAAGAGCATCGTCCAAGTTGTTGGGTAGCGAGGTGTTTGATTCGGTCACCACGTTGACCAATTTGAACCTGTCGCAGTGCTCTCTCAACAGCGACGCGTTGGAAGACATCTTTGTGGCGTTGAACCGTAATCGCAAGATTGCCCACTTTACCTTGAACTTGTCCAACAATGCTTTGGGTGCCCGCGAGGCAACCGTGTTGGCCAAGTCTATCTCGGGATGCCGTTATCTCGAGAGCTTGGACATTTCCAACAACAAGTTGACATGTCGATCGTTGATGGAGCTGGTGCACGCACTCAAAAACATTGACAACTTTAACTTGCACGAGCTCAATATCGGCAACAACTACTTTGCACAGGGTCCGGACGGCGACCAGCTCGCTGCCCTGCTCGCACAGTTTATTTCAGCGTTCCCGGCCGTACGCACACTCAACGTCGCTGGAGGTCGCTACCCACTCGGCAAGTCGTTGTTCCCGCTGCTCGAACAGTTGGTCAAGAACCAGTCGTTGCGCGAGATTGACATTTCAGAGAATGGTATGACCGACGCCATGTCGTCGATTATCGGTGAGATGTTGCGTGCCAACTCGACCCTGGTCTACCTCAACATTGACGAGAACCAGTTTGGTTTGTCGGGATGGAGCGCCATTGCACAGCCACTGTTGTTTGACACAAACCGCACGTTGCAGTACTTGGTCATGCAAAAGACACTGTCCAACGCCTACGCATCCACCCTCATGCAAAACATCACCCATCAGGCATTTGGAGTACTGCCCAAAGAAAAGCGTACGCAGCTCATCACACTCTTCCTCAAGATGCAAGACAAGCTTGCCGAGAACCGATTTGAAGCATCGCTCGACTCGAATAGCTATGTCTCTGAATACGCCAATCGTCTACCATACATTGTCACCAACCTCCCCTCGTCGGGCTATGTCCCACTCGTACCCGTACCCGACCATCTCTCGGCCCTCCCACCTCCACCCTCTCCATCGGCCGAATCTCCCAACTCGGCCACCGCTGTCGCCAGCAAGATCATGAGCTCTAGTGCCAGTCTTGTCACCAACGGCATCAGCAATCTTCTCGGCAGCTCAGACTCTCAACACAAAAAGACACATAAAAAGGTTGACAGCAACGGCAGCAACAGTAGTGTCACTAGTCAGCTATCAATGAATGGTAATGGTCCCAAACAGTCAGTTGTCCAACAACATACTCCTCCTATCCATCAACAACAACAACAACAACAACAACAAACAACTGTAGTACCACCACAAGTACAAACTATTCAACAACCTGCTGCATCAGTAGCTTCACCACCAATCCAACAACAACATACTGCCGCTCCATATGCAGTAAACTCTGCATTCCTTGCCAACACTTCCAATCTACCATTACGTAATGCACCAACCACTTCGTCTGATTGGAATCCAGATGAAACAAGCGAGTTTGAAGTTTTTGATAGTCAAAGTCAAGGTTCATTTGTAAATTATAGTGATTCACCAAGTGATAATTATAGTCAAAGTGATGAAGGATCAGAACACGAATCTTCAAATGATAAAAGATCTTCAAGAAAAAAAAAATCAATCAAAAATAACGGCGGTAACATCACTCCAACAAATAATAATAATAATGTAAATTCTAATCTTGCTACTGAAGAATCAGTTCAATAAGTAATAATAATAACAAAAAAAAAAAAAAAAAGTACGAATATCAAAAAAAAACAAAAGTAATATCAAATCAAATCAAATCAAATCAAAATCTATTTATAGTATTAATAATAATAATAATAAAAAATGAATTTAAATTAAAAAAAAATTAAGAAGAGATTTATTATTTGTCAATAGCCTAAGGAAAGAGAGATTAAATATTCAGAAACATGGAGTGGGGAGGGAAAAATATTGTTATTACCCAATGTGTTATTTTGGAGGGTATGGTGTTATTAATTTAGTTAACTAATGTCTATATACAAATTGGTTCGCCTTGTTGTGGAATAATAACATTGATATTAAAAGGATTATTGTCAGTCAATTCTTTAAAGATTTGTTGTTTGAGACTGAGACGACTATAGAATTGGTTGGCAAGTGGTTTAATATGTTCGATGATTAATTTAACGTGTCGGAGTGATGTCGTTCTTGGAATGGTTTGTTGTGATTTCATTAATAATGGTTCCATCAATGCCATTACATCCTTTGGTCTAAGATGACCATACATTTGTGAATCACTTGTATTACTAGTAAATGAACTTTCTATAAAAATGGCTTTTAATTTATCAATTTTAATATTTCTCCAAACAACCTAAAAATTAAATAAATAATTAATAAAAGAAACAATTCTTTCTTTCTTTTTTTCTCGACTTACATTAATTTTTTCTTTCCAATCACAATTATAATTTCCACTTGGTACACCTGTATCTGAGAAAAATACAATTTGTTCATTGGTTGTCATATCTTGGAAAAGGAATGCTGAAGACATGATATCATTATGGCATAGTTCAAATGGAGTGATTTGAATATTATTTGGGAATTGTCCTTTCATTGATGATTTTTGTGTTTCATTTACAGTTACCAAATCAATTAAATTATATTTTACTGTATTATCAAGTGTAAAATATTCATATCTACCAAACTAAAAATAATTTAATTTAATATTAATCTTTTTATAAGTATTATTTTTGTTTTGTTTTTAATTTTACATACACTTGGTAAATTTGGGAAAATGACATTATTAAATAAATGGGTTTGGATTGCATTGATTGTATATGGTAATCCGATGATTGACTTTTTCTGGAGAATGGTTGGTGATGGATTAGATTGTTGTTGTTGAGCTGGTGATAAGAGTGATCTGAGAATTTGTAGTAATCCATTGTTGATGGGTGGTTTAAAGTCAAATGCAATGGATGATAGATAGTCTTCGGGACTTGACTCGATTAATCCTTGGACATGATCCAAATGACTATGACCTATAAAATAGCCCAATATATGGTTTCGAATAAACCAAGCTACCTTTTGGTCAACTGTTGTGGCCCACGATGGATATGTGATATCAAAGAACCTAGAACACTTTGAACTCGATGAAATAAATTGACTGACACCAGCCCATATAGTACCTGCATCGAGTGCAATGAAAACATTTGATCCTTTTTTGGTAAGTAAAAATGATGATAAATTGGATTCATCCAATCCTCCAGCTGTACCAAGTGGTATAGTTATAAATGATGCTCTACTACAATCTAAAATAAAAAATTAAAAATTAATAAAAAAGATTCTTTTGGCATCTTTTCTCTATAATTACCATAATCATAATTTTGATATAATTTTGGTGGTGCCATATCTATATCTTCAATTTCGCATTCATCATCATCTAGAAAATCAGACAATACATGATGATTGATCAATAAAAAAAATAAAATGACCAAAACAATATTTTGATTTCTTTTTCTTTTTTAAAAAGGGTCATGTAAATATTAGTTTTGGAAATATAAAGTATAATTCTTTTTTTGAAACTTACAATATTGAATTCATTGTCATTCTTTTTTTTATATTCTATATATTATTTTTGGTAGGTTTAAAATTGGGTCTATAGGGTATTTATAGAAAATGGTTTTTAAAAATGTCAATTAATATTTTTGACGAGTGGTTTTAAAAAGATGATGATGAGATTTAGATTGCATGGGGATAAAAAAATAATATCTCTATTTGATTTTGAACGTGAACAATAAAAATGAATCCATTTTGTTTGGAAAACAACCTATTTTATGTATTGGATTGGATGATACAACATCACTCCACGGCATGCCAAGAAATTAATATGTGTGATTCAATAATAATAATGATTCGATTTTAAATAGACAAAATAAAAAAGAAGAGAACTAATTCCATGTGAACGTATGAATGAATATCATATCATATTCGTTCATGAGTAATGAATGAATGAGTGTATCACAGTAGAGAAGAGTATAAAGTATTTCTTACCTTGATTATTAATTAATAAATAGAGTGTAACCTTATCATTGGTTTTGGATAAATTTTGTTTTTTGGTCAAATTGTGTAAATTATATAAAACTTGGATTGGAAATTAAAATTAATAATCCAAAATGTGAATGGGAATTTTGATTGGACAAAAGTGAAAGAAAGAGTAGATGTGTAGGAGAATGGTGGGTATTGATTTAATCTTTAATCTTTAATTATATAAAATTAATTATCTTTTTTTTAAAAAAGAGGGAAATAATAATAATATTTTTTTTTGGATTAAATGAAAAAAGAATATGGGAACAACATCGACAAATGAATGAATACAAGATAAAAGTAAATTAATTGGCTATTTAAATTTAATTTGTGAACATTGTGAATGATCAAGTCGACATCATCAACCACCACCAACAACACCACCACTACAATGCTGTCTCAATATTTTTAATTATTCGTATTGGTAGTTGGGTATGCAGACTGACTGACTAACATATGTATATGTCATTCTTTCATTCTTTCGTTTTGACCAATATCTATTTTGGTCACATTGATGATGTCGAAACATAATTCGAAACACAGAGTTGAGCGAATTAAAGTTGACCAAGAGTGAACTGTGATACCAACTATAAAAGAGGAAAAGGTGTCACATTGTATTTAATACATATCATTCCCCATCAATATAGTGGGGGCTGTAATATGGATGTATGGGAGGGGAAGTGATCATGTATTTGGACTGACCAAGTATCGCCAGTAATTAAAAAAAAAGTGTATAAACTAAAAATAACCCTCCCATCCATCTTTCCATCTATCTGTCAAAAGAAAAGAAAAATGGTGTACTAGAAGTAGTAGTGATGGTGTGGGATCTTGAAATAGTAGGTAGGGGGTAATCTATATCTAATGTAATGGGACACTACTAGTTGAACAAAGGGAGTGGTTACACTATTACAGTCGTTTCTGCTTTTTTTCTTTTACAACTCATCTGCTCTCACATCCTCCATCCATCCATATGGATCTAAGATTTGAAATGTTTTTGATGGTGTCAACCAAGTTCATTTTTGAAGGTTGATTATCTGGCAAGATTTACAAGCCAGTCAAAAAAAATTAAATTAAAAAATGAAAGCCCAACAATAATATTGAGCAAGCAAGTAAATATGATTTGGATGGATTGATGGAAGGATGATCCATTTCAACAAAATTAATGGAATTTGATCCTGAAAGAGTGCACATGCCTAAAAAAAGTTCTATTTCTTTGTTTTCCTATTTTCTATCATTCGCACCTTTCTCTTCTCTTTTCTCTCACTCTCTTCTTTCTTTCTTTCTCTTTTATTATGTATGTTATTGGTTTGGTTATTTTGGTAATGGTTGAGTCGTATATTACTAAACAAAAGGTGTAATGGTTGACTTTATACAACATTACATAAAATAACGTCGTGCACGTTTGTTGTCATAAAACAAACACACCGCAAGGATGAGGTGGATTGGAAGTTGTATTTGTTGAAAGTCGTGTAGGGATAAGTAAGTGGATGGTTAAGGTGACGGTGATGATGATGATGTAATGTGTGGATTCGATTTGACTGACAATTGTGAAATCATGATCGTGGGTGGGTGGGTGGATGGGTGTGTGGGTTAGCCAGCCAGTCAGTCAGTCAATTGAGATGGGGGGTAGTGAGTGGTGTTCAAATAAAAAGTAAACAGGAAAAAGAGTGAGTGGCAGGTCATGTCAAAAGATAAGAACGGGGGTAGTAGTGATTGGAAACAGTCTCGTCAGGAAATTAATGTGTCCTGACCCGTCCCCAAAAAAAATAATATCATTACTTTTTAAGGGAATTGGTAATGTTAACTCGTCCACTTTTAGATATTAGATTGAGATTTGAAATGATATATATAGAGTATTGTATTGTTCTACTCGTGAATGATTATTTGGAGGACACACAATATGTATATACTTTTATACACAATATGAGTGATGATTGAATAGGACAGCTCCTATTTGTTTCTTTTTCTTTTTTGAGAATGTATTTCTTTTCTTACCTTTGACTTTGAGGTTTCCAGGTTCCAAAAAAAATACGAATACCTCAGGACAGATAATTATTATTATTCGAAAGAAGAAGAGATGGTTGTTTTTTGATTGGAGTTTAAATCTATTATCAATTAATTAATTGGTTTGGAGTTGGTTAACTTTGATTCCTCGTTTGATGGATAAAAATAAACAGCGATACTATTGGATGTTGTTGGAATGGTTGTTTATAAAATTTTATGATAATGTACCATTTACTGTTTTTTATCAACAAAGTACTTTGAGTTGTTGTTTTTCTTGTTGTGGATAATTATTAATATAAACCTCACCTACTACTACCAATATTAATAATAATATTTGTTGTTTGTTTGTTTGATTATGAGGGATGATTGTTTTGTTTGTTTGTTTTTTTTTTATTGATGTTCACTGCTAGGAGTGGAGGAATGGTAGCCAACCCCCTAATTAATTAATCTAACTACCTTCCTTCCTTCTTTCCTTCACCTGCCCATTGATGATGGTGATTTTACCTTGGTATGGTGTGAAGGCATTCAAAAAGAGGGATGATGATGATGATGGAAACACCAAGAAAGGTGAAAGTGGTGGGGGATCAAGCACCATCGTTTTCAGCGGGAGGAGTATAGATTGATTTGATTGATTGATTGATTGATTTATTGATTGATTGATTGACCGTCAATTCTCCCTACCCACTAGTACAAGTAGTGGAATGACAGGAGATATAAATATATATCGCAAACAACAACAACAACAACAACAACAACAATATGTTTATGTTGGAAATCAGATATGACTTTATATAAATCAATAGTTGTATTATTATATATGTATGATGAAATTTATAACATAGAAAAGACTATTTATATACTCTTCCAACAATGTACATATCACACAATGTGTGTGTTTGATTTATAAACATCACTATCACCCACAAAAATATTAAATCGTATTGTAGGGAGCGAGGTAAGGGTAGGTGAGTGAGTGAGTGATGACTGTCGGATTTGAAAAAGTATGATGAAAAGGTGAGGTGAGTGATGACGACCAGACCAAAGGAGAGAAGAAAATATTCGATATTGTAGTAGGCATAGCAATTATATCACTCAGTGGGTTGGTGGGTAGCTACTAACCTGTAGGAGGTTATAGATATAGATATGCGATGGGAGGGAGATAGATGATCATTCATCATTGCATTTCCTTTTTTGGTAATTATTGGTAGTGGTGATGATGAAATAATGATCAAATGGGATGTGTCGGTTATGGCAATAAATACATTCTTGTCCATTGTTGGTTGTTTAGTTGTTGAATTTGACAATAAAATATAAAAAGTATACTTTTTGATTGAATCAAAAAAGGTTTAAGCTTTTCATCATCATCACAATGATCATACAATTAACAATGGTACATACAATTAAATATATATTTGATATGATAGTAGTAGTAGTAGTAGCCAATAAGGGTCAAGTTGTTTTAAAATGGGTGAGAGTAGGGGTGGTGGAGTGAAAAAAAGAGAGGGAGGTTTGAACCTAGAGTAGGGCAGCCAACTAGATGGATAACTATGATGAAAATAACTGTCATAACCATAATTAAAATTGGAATTATTTTCCTTTAAATAAAAAAAATAGAATAAAAAAGGAAGTATGTTCTAAAATAGAGTAGATACGTTGTTGGGATATCTATTTATATATACATAGGTTTATATATACAAATAATTGTCGGTTTGTTCATTTGTTTGGTGTGTGTGATGAATAACTTTGATTATCTGACCTCTAAATGAATGAGTCAAACCATCATGAAATTCTAATTTTAATTATAATGCATTGATTTGGATTTGGGATTTGGGAATGTGAACAACTTGGACTAATTAGTAACTAGTGACCAATATGTGTTCCTATTATTGTCTATTGTCTGGTTATTGTTGCTGTTGACTATCATTATTATTATTATTATTATTATTATTATTATCTACTTTGTCTAAACTCTCAAGGTATCTATAATGGGAACGTGATTGTTCATAAAATTGATTTGGATGATTAACAACTGTAAAATTGGTTCTATTCTTTGGATGAAGAAAAGCAAAATGTTTTCCACATGCAACCTTAAAATAATAAATAAAAAATAATAAATAAATTAATTCAATAATGATTTGATTTGATTTGATAATATTTTGTTTGTTTGTTTACTTACATTCATTGAAATTTTAGAAGTAACCAACATATCTTCAATGACAAATTGATCAATATTTAAAGATTGTAATTTTTGTTGAAGTTTGTCAGACTCCCACATATAGGGACATCCATGAACTTGTTCAATTGCATTTGGTATTTTCTGTTGGATCTTGAGACAGGCATAGGGAGAGTACGAGGTAGCCTTTCCTTCAAGACCATAGGTATGACGGAACGTGTAGGAATAGTCTTTGTCAAAATCGGCACCAGACACCTTTTTCGAAAACATTTGTTTCCAATAGACGATGGCATCTTCATAGACAAACCCAATACCCTTGAGAAAGGTGGAGAATTGGAGACGACCTTCATGCTTGAGTTTACCAGTTTGAACGAGTGTATCGTGCATGACACGCATACACAATGGGAACGATGTCTTGGAGAGTGGTGCAATTTCAAGAGGTCCCACTCTACCCTGTACCTTGGTGGTCGCATTACCAAGTGGATTGTTGCATTTAGGTAATGTGGCAAAGAAATCGTAAATGTCTGGGAACTGCATCTTTAATCGTTCCTTTTCCTCTCTAACAGCATCCAATGTAAATTGCAAGTATGAACGATACGTCTCTGCTACGACATCAGCAATATCACTACGTAGAATATACGCCACACCCTTTTGAACTACAACCTTTTTTCTCATCACCAAATAAGGTACTTCTTGAAATGCAATCTTTATAAATGTATCATTTCCAAATGGTTTTATATTTAAATTTGCTTTTGATTTTCTCTAAACAATCAAACAAAACAAACAAAATAAACAAATACATATTAATATTTCCTGCTGTCTTTGTCTTTTCTTGTCTTTGTTTCTTTTCATTCTTTTTTTTTAATTACATACATAAATATAATTTAAACTGTCTTTATATTGATCAAATTCTTCAGTTGATACTGGGTTCCAGCCAAATTCAGAATATTGTTGAAGAAAAGATTGAGTTTCTGCAGCGGTTGCTTGTTCCAATCGGTATTTCAATAGATTGATTTCTTGTTGAATGAACCAATCACGATCGTCCGATGTACACATTGCCAAACGTAACAAAAAGTGTGAACATTCATCTTTATATTGATACAACTCTTCACTTTGATTGATAAACTCTACCAATCCCGATCTCATTGCTTCATCAAACTCTAATTTATTATTACCTGATATATTTGTCTTTGCATCTGATATTGTCTTTAATACTAATAAATATAGATAGATAGATTAGTAACTAACTTAAGTATGTGAATAGTTTGAAAGTAATAATACAATACACTGTAATCTACTTAGACACATATGTTCTATTTGAGATGCATTGATGTGGTCGAGTGATGGTGGACTACAATACAACGATAACTTGTATCTATAATCTCTATCTTGTAATTGAACTGGTTGTTGTAATTTAGGTTTCTTTATAACTTGCATCTTCTTTTAACAAACAATCTATCTATCTATATATATATATAAATTAGTCTACTAATATTAATAGAGTTAAAGTAAAGTAGTAGAAGTATTTTCTCGAACCCTGAAAGTGTGTAATTATATAAAAAAAAGGAGGGAACTTTTTCAAATTTTTTGCGAACCACGCAAAGGTTGAAACTTTGACCATGAGTGCACATCGGGCATCTTGTTTCTTGAAAAGTAGTTATGCCATTTCCAACAATCGATCAGTTTAAAGAGAGTAATAATGGTAAGTGATTTCGTACAAAGGTCTATTAACCTTCAAACTCTAACATCTTCACACGCACCTCTAACTATTTTCAAAGAAGATGGGTAAATAAAAGCTCAAATAGTTTCATCATGGTCATGGATGCTTAAAAAAGATTTATTTATTTATTTATTTATTTATTTATTAATTGTTGGTGTGCTTGTTTTTTTTTTTGTGTTGATGATATTATTATTATTGTTATCATGAATGTGTTGTATTATTAATTATTATTATTTTTTTTTTAAAGGGTTGAATAAGAGGTACCTTCGAGATAACGATCTACTCCATCGACAAGGACCATTTCAGGCATTGATGCAACCATAATAAAACGATTACCTCTGCCTGGTTTGCTGTTACCATAGACAAGAGCATCCCATTGACCATAGGAACAATCATTGATGTTATAAGAGTAGATAACTTCAAATATACCGTTGGATTGCCATCCCTTTCTGCATCGCTGTCTACTAGCTGGGGATTGGGAAAGGACTTGGTTGGTCTTTAGATTTGTGAGGGTATAGCTGAGTTGGCCATAAGAGGCAAACAAGAAAGAGGAGCCCATGAAATTATCGGTCTTTTCAGTTGGGTACAATGAATAGTTGTCATATAGACCAGACACCTTGAATTTACCCCAAACGACTGCACCAGTTGCCGTACGATAAACAACTGCTGTTTCACCTTCATTTTCAGAGTGAGATCCTGGTGGAGGGATTTGAAGGTATCTAAGGTAGAGATAGATAGAGTTAGTTTTAATTAATTGAAAAGGGAGAATATAAGTTGGATAAAATTATAATTATAATTACCTCATTGTTGGATAATCATTGGTGTTGGCACCATCAATACACCAACCTAAACTTTTAGAACCAGCTGCATTAACTCCGTGGATACAAGCACCCTTGGTGGTTACTTCTAGTGCCGCTGTTACATAATTGGAGTTTCTATAGTCTACACGCCATTGGGTGAATGGGTTGGACGATCGAGGACTTCTATTGGTAAAATAGATGGTCATGGTCATATCCGAGACCTCGAGAGATGCAGAGAGATAGTCTCTTCCATTGGTGATGAATTGACCCGACTTGATTTCACGGTTGTTTGGATCCAAGGTATCGAGGAAACTACCTGGGATGAGAGCGATACGGTTGGATTGAGCAGCTCCGAATCTGCCCCATACCATCTTGCCGGCTGCGTTGGTCATGACAATACCCCATTCTCTGCCATAGGCACCTGGTTGAAGGATATTGACCATAGTTGCACCAAGATTTTGAGTGTAGGTACAGTATGTGGCGGCCCCAGACATAATTGGAGCAATACATAGATTACCATCACCTTGGAGAGTGGCCATGTAGGTTAGCTTACTATCAACAGCCTCATTTGATGTCCAAATCATACCAGAGTCACTGCGGAATAACTTGAAGTTGCCCTGGCCGAGAGTCAAACCAGCACTAACGCCACCATTAGCATTTAGTTGATAGTTGGGGAATACAGACGAATAAATGGTGTTTGGACCAAACACTTCATTATAATCCATCAACGCACCAAGTTCAAATCCAATTGCTTTATCGGTGTGCACTGAAGCTGTTGGTGTTGGGACACTCCATAGTTGTTTCTGATCGGTAGAGTCACAAGTGACATAGGGGAGATCAGCTGCAATTTCATTGGATAGATCCTTTGATCCACATGCACTTGGATGAGAGATGGTGCATGTATAGGTTTGTGCTGGTGATTCGGTACAAGTAAATGGAGTGGCAGTGGCGGCACATTGGAACTTGGTGATAAAGGTACGAGTGGATTGCGTGTATCTAAGATTGATTCCTTTGCCAAGACCGCTACCAATCGTGACGAGGTTTTGAGTCGACGAAACACCAGTTGCAAAGATAGCTCCAGATTTGGGTGAGTATTGACAAGATTGGAGGGTGGCATCGTTACAACTTGGTGGGGAAGCATTGCAGACACTGAAAAACATACGATAGTTGTTATTATCGGTATCATAGTTGGATGTCAGCGATACATTGTAGGCAGCAGATGAGAGTGGCGACAAATCATAACGGTATCCATTACCGTCAGTGAAGAAGCATGTTGAGGGTGCAGAGAGACATTTACCAGAGTTGGTATTTTTGATAGTGAATTGGTTGCTCGAGGACGCGGTGTAAATGAACTTGTGATAAGATTGGTCGTTGGAAAAATCTGCAAGAATAGTGTTGTCCAAACTTTGATGGAGGTGCAACTTTGTCAGAGTATTGGTGAGCATACGAGCCGTTGGTCTGAGAGTAAATCTCCAAATTTGAAGACCATTGGTGTGGTCACAGCTTCTCAACGATGGCTTGCCCGTGGTGGCACTGGCTGACAAACAGAGATTGTTGTAGAAATTGTTCTTGAGTTGTTTGAATACATTGTCTTCAGGACCCTTTGTGTGAGCATCGGTGTTGACGGCAGAAGTGACACTGTACCATGCGATACCTTGGTTGACAAATCCTGGGATGTAGTGTTCGTGTGACATGGCCTGGAAGTATCCAACGGTCGAAGCATGGCGATAAATGGGAGTTCTGTCGGCCGCAGCAGTGGTGAAGACATTGAATACTGGACCATCCTCGGTAAACAGAGTACCATCAATGGCCGTTGGGTTGGAACCAATGTGATATTGGTAGATGGTTTGTCCGGGGGTAGCAGTCTTTGATGAGAATTGATAGACAGTTGAAGTGGAAGTGTCACCAGAGTTGTAGGTGAATGCTCCAAACACTTGGCCCACAAGCTCAGGACTTTGAGGATCTCGATAAATACTTAGCCTGGCCGACATGCTCATCCAGGAAAGTGCTTGGTGGTATTTGTAGATGATGACTGGGATCTTTGGTTTGGAAGGGATAGGAACAGTCGAGAAGAGGTAGATGATCGAGCTGGCAGCTTGACTGTTTGAAGTAAGGGTTGCTCCATCCTGTAAAACATTACCAATGTATCTCGATCCTACACAGGCACCAGAGAGGTAATACCCGTCACCATAGGTCGTTGTGACAGTAGATGGACTCGTTTTAGTGTCACCGATAGCTTGGCTGACGAAACCTTTGGAAGAGTTGAACGAGACACGATTAATGTAGTCGCCATAGTAGGTGGTGACTGAATTGATATAGTCTGGCTTGTAATAGACGACTGTGCCTGCAAGAACAACAGTATCACCTGTGACTTCATCAAACCCAGCCAAGGCCGACGTAAAGGGTGGTACATTTTGAATGAATCGCAAGCCAGTGACACCATCGACATAGTTGTGAGTGATGGTAATGTATTGGTGTTGGTCATACACTTTGATTTGGCCGACCGATGGCATTCGAGTGGCCATACATGGATTAGTGTTGGCTTTTAAAGGGTTTGGGAAACTCATACCAGATGGTACTGTACCTTCATCTAAAAAATACAAGAGAGAAGAGTAATTACATGGATTAGTAGATGGTAATCGGATTGATGGTTTGTATCTATACTATTCGCGAAACATACTTGCACTACTAACTTGATAAACAGAATACGTTTGGAGTTTACCGACAAGAGGAGAATACATGGTCTTGATTGGTCTTGGTGGTGCACCGTAGGGGTACTTGATAGGATCCAAGTAATTCCAGTAGTAGGCTTGGTCGTGAACACCAAGTGCCATCATAATGACATACTGAGCAACCTTGTTGTACTCGTCGACTGGAAGAGTGGCGGCATTGTTGAGAGTGGCCGTATATCTCGAGTAGATATCGTTGACATGGTTGCTGGCATCGGTAGCAAAGGTGGCCAATAGACTTTGGAGATAATTCTTTTCTTCATAGGTGTAACCGATTTTATAGACGTCTGCAATTTGGTCACGAAGCAGTCCGAGATACAAGTTGGTGTATTGGACAAACAATGGAAGAGCTGCGGCCTTGACGTTTAACGATTTTGTTTCATCGGAAACTCCAAAAAAGAATTTGCTCTTGAGAGGGAACAAATAAAGGTTTCTAAAGTAGGTTGCAAAGGCACTCTTGTCCCTTTCGCCAGACGGGTCGCCACATTTGACTCGGATATCATTTGGGCCAGCCTCCATGCATACAAAGTATGATTCCTTAAAAGAGGCTAGAATGGCTTTGAGATCAACTTGCATGGTCATCAGATCATTACATTCGATGGCATAGACAATCGTATCTTTGATATACTTGGCAAGCAATTCAGTCGTGTCTGTCCTTACGTCAAACATCTTGGCCAACTGACCAGCAAGAGCACTAACTGCTCCACCAACAGCTCCACCAGCAACAACACCAACAGCACTACCAAGTGCCCCAGTCGCAGCGTCTACCATCTTATTCCAGGCACTATAAATATATATAGAGAGATACATGGATATTTAGGAATTTGTAAATAAATAAATAATACTATAGCAGTGACCATGCAAAAAAGTTTTGATATACTACATACATTCCAGCTTCGTAAGAGTCAAGGTCTCCAATAGCTGTACAAGGATCTTGTTGACCAATGACTATATTAGTCATTAGCAATAAAGCTATGAATAAATAGGTTATGGTTCTCTTCCTATTTATCATTCTTTAATTATTATTTAATTATTATTCTCAAATATTATTATTATTATTATTATTATTATTATTATTATATATTTCTATCTATTACTTTGTTGTGAAAAGAAGAAATAAATAAATGAATAATAGTATATGTTGAATGATGATAATAAGAGTGCTCCGTTTAAATAGTTTTCCATTGTTCGCTCTTTGAAGATATGTTAAGAGAGCCATTATTCTTGACACAAACTTGTTGGTTGAACATCTCGCCACCAACGTTGGTACCTTGCATTGATTAAATATCAGTGCTTACGTAGTTTTGGGCTAAACTGCAAGTGTGATCTAGAAACCTTGAAATAGAATGAAAGCAGTCTTTTGTCACTTTACTATGGGTCTTTGGGGCCCTCGATAGATAGGTGTATTGACTATCACAACGATGATGATTGTCAAATTGCAAGAGGTGACCAGAGTTGCACAATCTCATTTGACCTGTCAAAGAAGTGGCACTATAGGTATGCAAAGTTTGAAGCGAGACGATAACGACAAAAGATATTCGTATAATCAAATGTTTCAACACAAAACCCAATCAACTGACCACGTATGCATTCTGCGCCCGATAATAACAAAGATACTTTGTTTGCACGAGGAACACGCAACCTAAAATTAAAAAAATAATAAATAATTAATTTAATTGTTAAAAATCAAAACACTCTGTGTGAGAGAATTTTGCGGTCTCTCACAAATTTATATGAGTTTTGCGAAAAACCCAGCGCTGTTGTTTTGACTTCTCACAATTCAATAATGATTTGATTATATTTTGTTTATTTGTTTGTTTGTTTGTTTGTTTCTACTTTCTACTACATACATTGAAATTTTAGAAGTAATATTTTCTGTTGATCTTGAGACAGGCATAGGGAGTACGAGGTAGCCTTTCCTTCAAGACCATAGGTATAGGTATGACGGAACGTGTAGGAATAGTCTTTGTCAAAATCGAAAACATTTGTTTCCAATAGACGACATATGTCATTTCATTTGTAGGTATTTGATTTTCTCTAAACATCAATAAATAAATATTAATATTAATATTCTTTTCTTTTTTTTTGTGCATAGCTTACGCAAATAATTTAAAGAGTCTTTATATCTTTAGTTGATACAGGGTTCCAGCCAAATTCAGAATATTGTTGAAGAAAAGATTGAGTTTCTGCAGCGGTTGCTTGTTCCAATCGGCGGTATTTCAATAGATTGATTTCTTGTTGAATGAACCAATCACGATCTGATTGCTTCATCAAACTAAATTAGTCAGGTAATAATTTATAACTTTCATCTTTTAACAAACAATTCTTCTATCTATATATATAATATAAATGAGTCTACTAATATTAATAGAGTTAATGTAAAGTAGAAGTAGTAGAAGTAAAGTATCTACTCTACACTAAAAGTGTGTCTTTTATAAAAAGGAGGGAACTTTTTATTTTTCAAAAAATTTATTTTTGTATACATATATTTTCGAGCGGCTGAAACCTCGACTTTGTTTTTGTTGTCTCAATTTCCATCTTGTTTCTTGAATGAAAGCAGAAACAAATATGTCATTTCATTTCCAACAACTATCATCATTGAGTTGATGGTATTTCACATTCATTCATCATTCATCTATAATAGTTACAAAGAATAAGAGAGAGAGAGAGTATGACTACTTCTACTTCTACTACTACTAGTATTGATACAATCTTTAAACAGATTATCAATAACATTGTACTCAGAGAAAAGATATTCAAAGGTGTATATGATATTCATACACTTTTAAAAGTCTATTCAAGAAGAAAGGAGTCTGCGTTGATTAGTCTGACTGATTACATCAATTTTAAGAGACCCGATTTGTTTATCAAACACTTTGACACTGTATTGAATTCAGTCTTATCAATCCTTGATAACTGTGATCCCAATGTTAAATCATCAGAGTTGAACGATGTATGTATATTAATGAATTAATTTGTTCATATATTTATGAATGGTTGTAGTTGTTAACTTGACCTCTTATTTCTTTCTATCTATCTTCTAGAATCAAAGAGTACGAGCATTCTTTGAAGACCTTTTAACAACTGCCGCAAAGAATCAAAACCATATTATTTTTAAATATTTGGTTGAAAGATATCAACAATATCAACAACAACAAACTACCAATAATGAAAATACTACCATTCTTTGTTTAGTAACTCATTTTTATGGAAGTAATCAGATGATTGTACAATCATCATTACAATTTACAAGATTAGTATTAGATTATATCAAAGATGGTTTAATATCTTTGAAATCAGAGAGTATTGGTGAATTTACTCAATATGCAATCACGGTTGCATTATCTCATATTGATTTGGACACTTTGGTACTTGTAAAGAAGTTGTATCCCCAACACCCAGATCCATACTATCCATCACCAATCATTTTCGATGGCTTTTTTAAAAACAACACCAATGCCCAAGACCAAAAGAATATGTTGGATTATGTTATTCAAAATGGTGTCATCAATATACGTTTAATTCCACAAGCTATGAGAGCATTATTGATCAAGTTGTTACGACCTGTTCCCTCCACTTCATCCTCTTCATCCACTACTACTTTATATCAACTATCACCAACCTACAAACCAACCATTAAAATGATATTAAACAACTATAGAGAACACTTGACATTACCCAATCTATGTAGTATTGATGATATGATCAATACTATCAACAATGACGGTGATGATAGTGATGATACTATCATATTGTATCAATACATTTTTTTGATTAATTATGGAACAAAGAAAATGGATATGTGGCCATTGGGAAATGACCAATCTAAAAAGATTGGCTATTTAGAGTATTTGATCGAGAAACAAAAACAAACCAAATCAATGGAGGCATTTTGGGAGTTGTCTGCTATTCTCAGAGTTGCTCTTTATATTGGTCACCAACCTACAATTGATTGGTGTTTGCAAGAGATTGGGTCATCTCAAACAGGTCCGGCTACTGAAGGATTTGTCTATGATACATTAGATATTTGTCCTTCCATCTTGACAATTGACCTGTTGAAAAAGTCACCATCCCTATGTCACAAATCCATCCTCTTCAATACAATTGAACAACTTCACGATAACAAATCATCACCATCGTTGTCTTTATCAATCAAACAAGTATTGGAATATTTATTGTCAGGTGACGATGAAGAGGTCGTTTTGGATGACAGGGAATATGTAAAGGCAATAGGTGAGGCAATAAGAAACAACGATCTTGAAACTCTTAAATTGGTGATGAATTGTTCGAGTTTGACAAGTTCGTATCAAATCGATGCAGAACTATTTGAAAATGCAAATCAAGAGGTGGTAGAATACATATTCTCAATGGTAAAAGAGTATCCCGACTATTTCAATATCAATCCTCACTCTGACAAGGTGATCAATCCAATAGCTGCCAGGGCCATGTTGACCCACCTCCAAAAGGAAATAGAGTATGATCTTATTGTATACTATCTGTCTTGTATTTGCAGTGCTGGAAAAGACCTCACTGCTTTAAAAGAGGTTCTTGGCGAGCTTGGACCTCTTCCCAAACCATCTTGGAATACTTCCAACGAAGGATTTCTTCAAGATCTTATCGATGCAAAACATTATGAAACGGCATCATATATCTTGGAATACTTTGTATCCGCCAAACATGCTAGAGATGATTATCTCGATAGTTTGGAACCATTTGGCAATAAACATGTTGACCAAGACTACGTGCACTATCTGTCATCAATCTCTATGGCCTTGTCAAATGACCAGTATGAATTGGCTGACCGTTTAATCGAATACTTTTCATTAGATGATCGTGTAGCAGCATCAACCAATCGATTCATCCATTTTGACACTGCGTCTCACCTGATTGCCTATTCTTGGACTCTTTCAGACACCCAATTTAATCATCTCTGGGAACTCTTTTACGGTCAGGATATTATAGATCGTCGTAGTAGTATCAGTATCAACAACAACATTGACAAACCAAACTATTTTACAAAGTTACATTTGACAATCAACTATATCATCCAAACTATATTAGATCTTATAACGTATAGAGTCACCAACATTAACCATCGATTTATTGCGTGTGACATTTCAAACCAACAACATTTCCAACAACTCCAACATCACATTGACCGTATCATCAATCGATACACCATCTTTATGAACCAATACCAACACTTGAAGCATTTAGGTTTGGAACCATTAGATGCACCTTTCAGTGTATCGGTATTGTCCGGTTCCCAATTTGACACACAAACACTATGGTCATCAACATCGGCTTCCATTTATCAATATCTTGGTACTAGATTCTACACCAACAAGTCCTCCTCCGACCCTCTCGAAAAAATCAACCAATACACTGAAACTGAATATCAAGTATTAATGAATCAAGCTATTAGATTTCATTATTTAAATTATAAATTATAAATATTATAATAATATAATTCCCTCCAAAAAAAACAACAGATTCATAATAAATATTCCTTCTCTCTCCAAGTTCGCAACCCCAGGTCGAACCTGCACATTTTTTCCGTTTTTTTTTTTTTTTGTTTTACGAATTTTTTTGAATTATTTTTATTTTTTTTTTGTTTTCTCGTCCTTGTTCTCGCATGTTAAATATTTATTTTTATTAAATATTATGATATATTTTGTTTGTTGTCGTTGTTGTGTATTTACAAACAACTTGAGCAATTTTGAGTTTATTGTTGTTTCAGCTGAGAGATAGAAGAAGTTGGTTGTTGTACTAATTGTATAGGCTTGGCAAAGAAAAGTAAAAAAGTAGACGAGGAATCTATAGATTATAGCTATTATAGAAGAGATAAAAAGCAAACATTCCGCCATACAAAAATTTGTAGTAGATACAATAATAATTATAATTATAATATAATTCATTTTCCCTCCCTTTTTCTATTTAAATCATAATCAATATAACTAAAACTAATATATTAAAACAAAATGGGTAAAAGAAAATCATCCAAACCACCTCCAAAGAAAAAGGTCATAGGAAAGATCCCAAAGTACTTTGATTGTCCTTTCTGTGACCATTCTCAAAGTGTAGAATGTATCATGTAAGTCATTCAAAATCGATGTTTCAATTTCAATCATATGTGATATTAATCAAATAAATACTTTTTTTCTTTCTTTCTTTATTTATTTATTTATTTATATAGTAAAAGAGAAAATGGTATTGGAACAGCTACATGTAGAAAATGTAATGCAAATTATTCAACTCAAATTAATGATTTGAGTGATCCAATCGATGTTTATACTGATTGGATTGATGCTTGTGAAGAAGCCAACAGAGCCTAAACATGGCATAGGACAGGACAAACCACCTTATTATTTTTAAATATTATTCCAATCAGTCGTGGGCAAGGAACAGGACACTCGAGTCATCATCCATTTAAAAAAGTGTAGATAACGTTTTTAAAATTAAATAAATAATTATTATTTTTTGTACAATATATATATACTGACTATTCCAACTTTCAACTTTGGTATAATTATAATTTGATTTAAACATCTTTATCAATTTTATTATTACAATTGAACTTTTTATGATATGCGGGAGATGTTTAAACATATAGGTAGGTTGTTTGGAAAAAAAAGGGATTGATTTAGTTGATTGTTTGATTTATAAAGGTTATTTACAAAAAAGAGGATTTGGTATATCGTTTTTGTTGTGGTGTAATTGGGGGTGGATATATATATATAAATGATTGAAAGTGAAAGAATAACCATCCTACATGGTTGGTCAATTCTCGTTTTGAGGATTTGTTGTTTTTTTTTGTTTGATTTGACTTGTTTTCGTTATCGTTTTAATCACCTATATAATGGAAATCATTTTGATTAAATATTTCATCATCGGATGAAGAAGATGAATTACGACGTTGATGATTAGCCGTTGCCGACAAGGTGAGTGAAGGGAGAGTATTGTTATTATTTGAAAAAAGGTTGGCTGCCGAGTTGATACCAATGTTGTTGTTGTTGTTGTTGTTGGCGTATGGGAGGTTGATGGTGGATGATGTAGGGGTCGTGTACAATGCGGTTTGGAAAAGCGTGGGTGCCGAGTTGGGCATATTGACCGAGAGGAAGTCGAGGATGAATCCAAAGGTGGGACGCTCCTCTGCGTTGCCCTTCCAGCACATTTGCACGAGGTTGGCCAATGGCAACCACATGGGGCTCTGGAGGGCGGGGATAGGCGGACGGTAGTGCTCATAGGCGGCCATATGCGCCATCTTTAGGGGTGGAAGGTCGCGAGTGGGAGACTCGCCGGTGATGATGCACCACAAGAGGATGCCAAACGAGTAGACGTCTGCTTTTGGCGTGTACAACTCGCCTACAAACACCTCGGGTGCTTGGAACGGTAGAAAGCCGACCGAGGCGGTCATCTCAAACCCTTGTTCGCGCGACAACCCAAAGTCGGCCACCTTGGCGTGGGAACACGACTCGTCGAGCAAGATGTTCTTGGTCGACAGATCGCGATGGAGGATGGGGTTGGGTTTCCAGTCGTGCAGGTAAAACATACCCTTGGCAACATCGGTTGCGATACGCCACGCCAATTCCGGGTGACTAACAAGGATAAAGTGTCGGTCTGTCAAGAAACGGTCGAGCGAGCCGCCACCCATGTACTCTGTGACGATGCAGTTCTTGTCGTCCTCTGAGCAGACACCCATAAACTGGAGTACATTGGGGTGTCTCAACATTGAAAGTATAGCCACCTCTTTAAAGAATACATTGTCTTCTGTATTCTCAGTGTTACGATAGCTGTTTCTGTGCAACATCTTGACAGCAACCACTGCACCTTTCCAAATCGCTTTCTTTACCTCTCCAAAATACCCTCCACCAATCACTTCACCAAATTTAAACTCTGTAAATTTAATATAAAATGCTGACATTTGTAATGCATTTGTACCTTCCAAAGATGATATTGATTCTTTACCAAATAGATTTTGGTATTCTCCTAAAGAAATTTAAAAAAAGAGTTAGAGAGAAATAAAAAGAAAAGACAATCTATTGATTTGTTTTGTTTGACTTACTGAAATTTGTTAATAATGGTTCAAATTCACTTCTGGCTCTTAATAAATTTGAATCATTTCCAACTGTTCTAAACAACATGAATCCATACAACAGGGCATAGGGTATGGTTGAGAATGCAAGGAAACAATAGGCAAAATCGATTTTAAAGATTAAAAGGATATTTGAAATGACTGCTAAAAAGTTGACTGCCATCAAAAAGACTAACCAAAGTCTTGCAGTTGGACGTACAATACTACGTCGAAGTGATACCAATAAAACAGTCGTATAAATAATCATAAATACAACATTGGTTGATAATGCTGTATATGGATCTTCTGTCATAAATAATTGACATTCAAATCTAAGTAAAATAAAAGTATTATAATTAATTAATTGGTTTTTCTTTTTGTTTCTTTTTGTTTCTTTTTTGTTTTCTTTGACATACGGAGTTTTACACATTGGACTACCAAAAACATCAGCCAATTGAGTTGCCATTAAAAGTAAATAGAGAAGAATACAAATATAAAATGAACGTCTTGATGAGAATTCGTCATCTTTTTTGCCTGCCATGAAAATGAGTACCCAATTGTCAGTGATGATGTGACCGGCCATAATAATAGTGACGGCGGTGGGATAGACAATTGAAGAGGGTGGTAGAAAGAGTAGGAGAAGTCCTTCAACAGCCAACCATCCACCTACAAACAATAGATGTTTGAAATAGGTAGACATGAGGATCTTGGGATGATTGATAGTGATCGATGTGTTTTTATCCCACAATGCAGAGTTTTCACCACCTGTTGGTAGGACGTTGATTTGAACATAGTCTTTGTTTTCGTTGGATGTAGTTTTGTTTTGAGAGTTGCTAAGTTTTGTTGATCGTGCACTCGCTCCACTGTCTCCCATGTTACTGCCCATAATGTAGTTGTACGATCGTTGTAATCGAAAGAATAGATAGAGTGCCGAAAAGAGGTATCCAATTGCCATGGTATCGACCAATACGTTAAACACCAAACTGGCTTCTCCATTACCGGCAATATCAAAGCTCTGCGTAAACAAAGCCTTGCAGAATGAACAAGAAAAGTCTGGTCTTTCAACCGACTCACATATTCCTCCCATCTTAAATAGATAAGATAAGGGATTATTATGTTAAAGATAAGATAAGATAAAATTTGATTGATTGATTACTATATCTATATCTATATCTATTTCTTTCTTTTGTTTCTTTTTTTGAGTTGAGTTGTTAATGATACAAAGTTGTAGTAGTTGTAGTAGTAGTAGTATTATCTCTCTTCTTTCTTTCTTTTTTTGTTGTTGTTGGTAGTTATAGTTATATAAATTAAATTGTAGGAGTACTTGGTATACGATTGATTGTTTAGTTGGTTGATTAGTTGATTAGTTGGTCTAGTTTTAGGTACCTATTCTGCCTGTTGTGCTACGAGTAATGTAAGGGTGTGTGTATGTATGTGTGTGTTGTTGTTTTTAGGTTGTTGTAGTAAATATCTCGAGAGATGATTATCTATCTATCTCTCTTTCCCTTTTGATAATATAATGGTACACAGATGATAATATAATGTGTGATGATCACTCTTTTGTTCTCTAGAGTAAGAATCCTCCTTCTTCTTCTTCTCTCTTTTCTTTTTTTGTAATAGTACTACTACTTTCGCTGCGCTGATAATAAAGTAGGGTAGTTGGTGGTTGAGAAAAACAATTGTGACTCAACACACATCATAATTTTTTGTTTTTTCCCACCTCGAACGCCTGAGGAATTGCGACTGGAAATCCATCACAACCAACTAACATGGAGTTCATTACAATTGAATTGACCTGATGGATCACCTGCTCATGATCAAGATCACCTTGATTTCATTCCCCTCATACTCAAAAAAAGAAAGTATATTGTATTGTATTGTGCTTTTTAGAAAGTATTTTTCAAAAAAACTACATAAGAGTTTGAAAAGTTGTTGGACAACGTCTTTTCATTTTCGGTTCCTAAAAGTTAACATTGATCGATTATTATAAATATCAAGATATCGATTGTCGAATACCATGCATGATCTCATTGAGAGAGAGAAGTCAAGTTGTTTCCCAGGGGACACTTCTCACAATTGAAAAAAAAATGAATTGAAATTTCGGTAAACAAATAAATATATAATACTAAATCAAATAATGGTACAAACAATCCATTTATATATTTGTTAATTTTTTTTTATATTTAAAATTTATTAAGTTAAAACGATTATAAAGATGATGATTATGATGGGACAATATTATTAATACGATTTGTGGTTTGGTGTTGTTTGGGGAGAGTAGGAGGTTGTTGGTAGTTATTGTTGGTTGATTAAAAAATTCTAAGGTTTTGAAAAATATTATTATTATTATTATTATTATTATTATTATTATTGTTATTGTTATTATTAATTGTTTATCTACGACCAGTTTTACCGGCACCTCTTTTACCAGCGAACAAATGTTTGGGCATAAGATTTGGAATATGATGATCACCTTCACCTTTGTAACCCAATTTGTTTCTCTTACGCATACCTTCCTTGCCAAGCATAACAGCCTCTTCCTTTTGTGGAAGATCACGATAACCTTCTCCGTCGACTGGAGCTGGGGTTTTCGAGGAACCACGGGATTGCGAACGGTTGAGAGAGAGACCACGACCTTCGACAGAGACACCACGCGACTCGGAACGGTCACGCTTACGACCGTGACGCGAGAGCGAACGTTCGGATGGACGACGGCTCTTGGAACGGTCTCTAGACTTGTCGGCAACATCGTCCATGATGTCGCCCAACTCTTCCTCTTCGACACCCATACGAGTGAGGGTGCGCTCCATGTGGTCCTTGTCGAGGCCCTTGTGTTGACGGGTCAATTTGGGTCTGCCGGTCTTGCCGAGCAAACGGTCCATCTTGATCTCGCTCTTTCTGGCGTGGATCTCGTCGAGCAACTCTTGGTTCTCGTCGTCGAGGTCCGACTCGTCCGAGGCGTCGCCGCCGTTGGCACGGAGCTCTTCGATCAAGGCTTCCTCCTCACGCTCGAGCTCGTCGAGACGTTCGAGAATGTCGGGGTCGATGAAATCGGAAATGTTACGGCCGTCCATGATTTCGGGAATAATGTCGAATTTCCACGAGTCGTCCTTGAGCAAGTACTTACGCTTCCAGAGGTTGATGTCAAAGATGGGGATGATACCCTTTTGGTATTCGAGATCATCTTGTTCTTCTTGGAGCACCTCCATTTGGCCTGGAGTCAATGTGACCTTGTTCTTGTTGAGAGTGTCTGGGTCGGCGAGACGTGCGTTGGCAACCGACTCGGGGATAAAGACGGAACGGACCTTTTCGTCACGTGGCTTGGGTTGGGCGGTACGGAGACGGTGCAAGTCCTTGCTGATCTTGCTCGAGGCCATCTTCTTTTCGATACGGTCGGCCAACAATGTGGTGCAGGCAACGTCCTTTACCTTGGAGACACCCTCTTCGGTCAAGGTGCTCATTGGCAGGATCTGGGTGCCTCCAACACCTCCCTTGGCGGGGTCGGTCAACGATTGGATCAATGCCCAGTCGTCGGCTGGCACATCTTCTGGTCTACGTACATCAATCTTGTTAATAACTACAATCAATGGTTTATTTAAAAACAATGCCTTGATACTGAAAAATAAGTCAACCTAGAAAGAGAAGAAAGAAAAAAAAAGTAAGTAAATGATTGAGAGAGAGAGAGAATGTTTGTTTGATTGTGTTTGATTGTTTTAGGGTTACATACTTGTTGTTTAATAGTATAACCACAACGTTCAGAAATATCGATTAAAAAGAGGACGGCAGCATGGAGATGAGCAAGAGCAGTGATGGATTGCATTTCGATGGTGTTACGTTCTTCGAGTGGGTGATCGAGGATACCTGGGGTATCGATGACTTGCCAGATGTTGTATTTGTAATCAGTGTGACCAACAAACAATGATTTGGTGGTGAAGGCGTATGGTTGGACGTCGACGTTGGCACGGGTCATCTTGTTCATAAACGATGATTTGCCGACGTTGGGGTAACCGCACATCAACAAGGTACGGGTGTTTGGATCGATCGATGGAAGACGAGCCAAATGTTGACGTACTTGCTCGAGATATGCGAGTGAACTGTTTTGCTTCAACATCAATGTACACATACGACCCAAAGCGGCACGCTTGAGTTGCTTGCAACGGTATAACGAGTCACCATATTTCAAAAGACGCAAGTAATCCTTTGCTATATTATCAATAAGATTACGTGCTGTATTTAATTGACCAAGTGCCAACTTGTAATGATCCTTATCATAAAGTACATTTACAAGATCTGCATAAAATGGATGAATGTCCTAAAAATGATAAGTAAATAATAACGTTTGATTGAAAGGTAGGTTTGTTAGTCTTTCATTACAATAAGCAAAGCAAGTAGAAGTTTGGGTTGTTCGAAAAATCACAAAGTGCACGTCCTACATGCGAGAGATGGACATCGACGACAAAGACACAAATATTTTTTTTTTTAAAAAAGTTGTATCCTTTGCAGCTTCAAGCTTTGTCGTCCGTCGTCGTTGTCTACATCATGTGATTTATACTATATTATGGTTTACTACATACATCTAACAATGGGAAATCTTGAATGATTTGGGATAACTTGTCGTGATATGATTGTTGAGTAAACTTGACTTTACGCATGTAAAAAGATCTGATTCTAGAGATATGGTATTGTTTATGTACTTCGGTAGGTGTCTTTCTTTGTGTCTTTGAAAGTACAACATCTACAAAATCTCTTGATCCAGGTACAACCTGAATTGATTTAAAGTTATAGAGAACCATTATGTATTATATATGTATATGTAAGTTTATGAAAATATAAAGAAAAAATCAATTCCAAGCAAGTGAAATAGTTAACGTAGGTAGATAGATTGAAGATGTGATTGATGTGATTGATTATAATATATAAACAAACAAACAAACTAATTAATCGTTATTGTTATAAAATAAAAACGAGAAATAGTATAGTATGGGTGGGAGGGTGTTATAATAGCGAAATCAAACAACAATAGTTTATAAAAAAAAACGAGTGGCTCTTTCGTCTTTTTTGAAAAAAAAAAAAATTGAAAAATCGAAAAAATTAAAACAAATACAAACCGACCCCCCCAACAATGGATGCAATGGTTAATTAATAATATAATCGGACCAAAGGGAAAGTAGATCTTGATTAATCATAGTTCCATGGAATGGGATGTTCATCATCGGATTACATTTATAATTCAATGATATTCGTCCTCATTCATTCGAATTCGTGTTGGATAATAATTCAAAACCAAAAATCATATTATTATTCGTCCGCGATTTGTAATAATATTATTTTTGGTTGACAGAATTAAAAATAATTATTTTATGGGTTGGTTTCCAAGATGATTCAAAAGAATGGATAATATGATAATGTATGTAAATAACATAATAATATTTATGTTTGATTGAGTTTAGTTGGTTGGTTCTACTTTTAATTGATTTTAAAATTGGATTGGAGTAAATTGATCAGAGGAAGTAGCTACTGGTTTGTTTGATGAGTCCAGTTGTTGTTGTTGTTGATGTTGGTGTTGATGATGTTCAGAGGAAGGAGTGGAAGAAGATGAAGATATATTGTTATGAGTAGTTTCAAGTGTAATAGGTGATTGTGATTGCGTTGTTTGGTTATTATCTACAGGTAATTTTTGGATTGGTGATACTGATTCTAAAGTTAAAGTTTGTTGATTTGTTTGTTGTTGTTGTTGTAATAAAGGTTGAATTTCTTCTTGTTGAGGATGTTGTTGTTGTTGTTGTTGTTGTTTGGTTACTTTTGTTTCAATAGGTACAAATTGAGATGTAATATTTTGTTTGGTTGGAATTCTATGTAATAGACCGTAACCTATATCACATCCGAGACTACCGGAACCACCCCAATTCTTGTTGGGTGTGATGGTTAAGAGTCTGACTTGCTCGGTGAGCGAAGAGTATACGTAGAGTTGGATTGGACGGTACATGTTGTTGTTGATGAGTGTGATAAAGTCGTCTTGGTCGTTGAAGATCATGTCGGGTGTACCGACGATATAGTCTGTCTTTGTTTGGAGACCCGACTCGTGTGCGGGACTGTTTACATAGACATCGAGTATATGCCATACTGCCTCCATGGTCTTTTCCCACGAACAGAAACGAATAGAGATGCCTGCCAATCCGCTGCCACCCCATGTATTGGACGGTACGATCACTTGCTCACGTGTAGTGTCTGATTTGATGTTGTAGACGATCAAGTTGACCGACTGACCAATATTACCACCAAAGATGTCTGCAAACCTTCTATCCTCTGCATCAAACACAACTTGGTTGGCTGCTACTATAAAGTCAAAGAATGGTACCAATCGACCACATGCAGGTGAATTGGGTTGTACCTGTAACACATGGTATCCCATCTTATTGTATATATCACCTGCATTTTGTTTGTTTGATGATGACGATGACGTAGTTGGTGATGACGATGATTGTTGAAGTGGTGGTGATGATGATGATGATTGTTGTTGCTCATCATATGGTTGACTTTGTCCTTGTCCCATCCTCCACTATCTATCTATCTATCTATTCTCTATATATATATATATATATATTATTCAATTATATTTTGAATGAATGAATGAATAGTATACTTTCTTATCTGTTATCTAAGATTTCTTAATATTTAGAAATATTTCTAAATATTTTTCATATTATTAAAAAATGACAAAGACATAGTTGGAAGTGGGTATGAGCAATACATTCATTTTTTAAAAATAAATAATTACACACTATAGTACATACAAACAACACACAGACCATCCAGTCATTGTAGGACACCCCTTCTAAGACATCAAAATGATCTGATCTGTATTCTATTATTGGATAGAGATAGAGAAGATGGAATAATATTATATTATACTTTTAATTAATATATTAAACAAAACATGAATGAATGAATAATAGTAATAGAGATAAAAAGAAATTTATAAATATTATATTTATTTTCTACCTCTTTTCTTTCTTTCTTTATTGATTATAATTATCTTGTTCTTTCTTTTGAAATTTACCAAATCACATCTTTACCAAAATATCCTCGGTTCCAACACATCAGAATAAAATATCTGAATCAAGACCAAGAACAAGGTGTAAAACTGAGTTTTATCCGCCGATACTTGTAAAGATACATTCGTTGGTCGAAGAGCAGTTTTACACATTGCCGTTGCATTGGCTGATTGCATTCTTATCATAATTGTAGAAATAGATAGAGACACAGATAGATAGATAACAACAAAATACATTCATCATATCATGGTCATGACTAAAGATAATAGTAGTAGTAGTTGTAGAAATAATAGTTGTAGCAGTAGTTATATGACACATTTAGAGTGTAGTCGTTGTAGTCATATAGAGGATTGTAACAAGTATGTAGAATAGCTAGCTGCGTGCAATGACAACAAAGTGATCAAAACATTGACTAACTCACCTTTTAACCCCCCTCTCTTAAGAGTGATAAATGTTTGTTCAAAATGTTCAAGTCCGCTACTAGTAAGATACGATTTGGAAAGAGTTGCAAAACTATTGACAAAGGAGATGATTTCAAGTAGAGAAGCTTCGTTATGGAGATACAGAGAACTATTGCCATTACAAGACATGGCCTATAAAGTATCAATGGGTGAAGGAATGTCTCCACTCTGGAAAGTAAATTCATCTTCTTCATACCCTTCCTCATCTTTACATTCTGAAGCACCTCGTGCAAATGCAAATGGTGGTAGTTATAATAATAATAATAGTGATGGATCAATAGTTTCATCATCATCATCATACTTGAATATGACATCACTGTGGATAAAAGATGAAAGTCAAATGCCAACTGGTACATTTAAAAGTAGAGGTTCATCAGTTGCTATATCAAGAGCAAAAGAGTTGGGTTTGAAAACTGTTTGTCTACCAAGCAATGGAAATGCAGGTGGTGCATGGGCATGTTATGGTGCACGTGCAAGAATGAACGTGGTACTTGCTATTCCCAAAGATGCCACTTGTATGGCAAAAGAAGAAGCAATGATATATGGTGCATCGGTGTATCTAGTAGATGGAATGATCACAGATTGTGGTAGAATCATAAATGACTATGTCAAAAGAGAAAACCGAGCCGGTGGCACCAGTTTTGAAGTATCAACACTAAAAGAACCGTATCGAGTGGAAGGCAAGAAAACAATGGGTTATGAAATAGCTGAACAATTAGGTTGGCAATTCCCAGATGCTATAGTATATCCTACAGGTGGAGGTGTTGGGATAATAGCAATTTATAAAGCATTTCAAGAATTATTAGATTTAGGGTAAAAATATATTTTAAAAAAAAAAAGACAAATCAAATCAAATCAAAATAATATTAATATATATTAATTAATTATTTCATGTTTAGATGGGTTCATTCACCAATGCCAAAATTTATATCAATACAATCAAATGGATGCTCACCACTTAAAAAGGCATTTGACAATGGACAAGATCGTTGTGAAGTATTTGAAAATGCAAGTACCATAGCTGTCGGAATGAGAGTACCAAAAAGTTTTGGTGATTTTATGGTAAGTATTTAAAAATTAAAAAGATAGATGAATATTGATATTGATATTGTTGGTTGGATTTATTTATTTAATTAATATTTATGTTTCTAGATAATAGATATATGTAAAAAGACAAATGGTGGATTTTTGACGGTTAGTGATACAGAGATTTTAAATATGTATAAAGAGTTTCCAAGGAGAGAAGGAGCCTTTTTATGTTTGGAAGGTGCAGCGGCTATGGTTGGTGTTGAAAAGGCACTAGAGTGTAATATGATTGGGTGTAATGACAGAGTCATTTGTATTAATACTGGAACTGGTCTAAAGACACCAACCATTTTCAATCATTCCTCCATCATTAACCAATTACCAATTCTAGATAAGAAATTTGGTTCAATTGATATTATTAATGATGGAGGTGACACCAACAAGATTAATAATAATAATAATAATAGTAGTAATGGTTGTCATGGTAGTAGTAATGGAAATGGACATAATGGTCACGGCCATCAATAAAAATGCAAGAGAGTGAGGAGTGCGGATGACGATGATATCATCATCGTCATTGCCATTTTATTTTATTTTAAAAAGTCAACATCAAAAAGGGTTTCGTAATAGCATCATCACAAGGCAAGTGTGAACCGATCAAAGATTGATGGGATGAAAGATAAAATACTATAAATAGTGAGTGTTCATTGTGAATGATTCAATTTTGAATGAAACAAGATCAGCAAAAATGTTTGAAGTAAGTATTAAAGATTAGTTTCAAAAAATCATACCAATTAATTTATTTTATATTTGTTTTAAAAAAGAAATTGATTGGATGAGATTAGGTTCAGATGGATTGTGGATATTATGGTCTTGGGTTGTAATGACCATATAAGCACCCTCTTCTGCCAAGATTTCAATTTATATTATGATTATTTTTCAATGTCTGGTCTGCTCTATTTTAATTGAATAGAAACAAAATTAAATAAATAATTGTATGGTCGTGTCTCTCTATTTCCTCTCTAAATTAATATCTAAATGTCTGAAAGTACTTGTCAAGACAAACAAGACCTCTTTTCTTATCCAAATAAATTATAAAAATAAAAAATTATAATAAATAAATAATATAGTTTGGAATTCTTTTTAACAATAATTAAAGTTTCATTTTCCAGAAATAATAGTTATAATAATTAATTAATGATTTATAGTATGTATTATTATTTGTGTTTAATTGGATATTCTATGAAAATTAATTATTAATTATAATTTTTTACTTTTCCAAAAGAAGAAATTTCTAGATTGGTAGCACCATTCCATAATGCAATGACAGGATCTAGTTTTGATAATCTATTAGGATCGTCATCTTCATCATCTTTACAATCTGTGAGCCATGTTACAAGTACTAGTAAATTTGATTGTTGTGGTGCTAGTCATCCCCAATGCTTTGAGTTTTTTAAAGGTTGTCCAAGAGGAGGTGGTGGTGCACAAGGTGGATAAAAAAAAAGAAAAGAAATAAAGAGATTGTTTATCTCTATTTCAATCTTTCTTTCTCTGTCTCTATATATTGATCAAATTACCAAGATAATAAACAATCATTTAAATAAAATTGTATATGTTTTGATGCCCAAGTATATCGATTGGTGTAAATAGTTGTTCCCTTAAAATTAGATATGACTACATTATGACTTGGATCACTTGGATAGTATTTGCGTAAAACATCCGATTGAAATCGTATTATGTGAACGGATGGAGGAAGAGGTATGATTGTTTCAATATCGGTTTTAGATGCAATACCAAGTAGACGTAGATTTTTAGGTAGGTTAGAGGTGGATAGTGGATGTTGGAATAGATCTCCAAACTCGATACGTTCTATGGTGTCGCAGAATGTGCCTGGTTTGATGGGAGAGTTGAATGTCAGTGCGAAAATGACTGTTTTCAAGGCTGGTGAATGTGGTATGACGTTTAGGTCAAGAGGTCCTTTGAGAGACTTTGGCATGACAAGGTGAATGACTGATGGAGGGATGATACCCATACGCAGCTGGTACACGTAGAGTGATAGATCGAGATGGGTGACAGAATGAGGAATAGAGGTTGACATGAGAGGTGAAGATTTATCGTGTCCTCCAATATGTAGTGTTTCAACGCCAAATGGAATCACATCCTTTTCTAATATTTTACAATAGCACATTGAAAAACGTAAGTCACGTAGAGTGGATGGGAGAACACCCACTTGCAATGTTTCATTAAATGCATAGCCAAAGTGAAGCGTCTCTAGTCCGTGTGGAAGAACTCCTTGTTTGATAGGCTTGGAATACTCGTATCCAAGTACCAGGTGATGTAGTGTACGTGGGAGTACACCTGGTTCGAGTCGACTATTAAACGAGTAACCAAATGTGAGATGAGTCAATCCATGCTCGAAAAAGGTGTGCGCGAGAATCGGTTTATTGAACCGATACGAAAAGGTTACTCTCTCTACTGTCTGTGGTAGACATCCTGGAGGTATCTGTGTGTTGTATGAATGACCAAACGTGATCTCTCTGAGGTTGGGTGGTACATTCTCGGCAGTGATCTTTGAAAAGTTACCAAATCCAAGAGTCAAGTTAGTCAACGTGGTTGGCAGTCCTTGCATGTTCTGCTCACCGTCCTCGTCTTGGATAAATCTCAGTTTCTCCAGATAGTCTTTCCCATCAACAGCCTTGTACAGTAGTGGTTGTGCAGCGAGTAAATCCAGAGCGGTGATTGATGTTGGTAACCTACCTCCTCCTCCTTCTCCACCACTCATATTTATTGCCGATCCCAAAACACGTAGAGATGGTGGCATCTGTGTCTTTTCGAGGTCGAGGAATAGACGACTACCACCCCTTACTGGACCAAAGTTCAATTCGACCAAGTTGGGTGGCAATACTGGCAATACCTTGTGAACATATACATTCATATAGGCATCATTAATCTTGAGACGTTCGATATACGGTGGGATGTCGAGTTGGCCATACGAATAGCCTGTAATCTTTAACGACTTTAGATTGATTGATTCGTTGTTGGCTTCTAGTTGTCCGAGTCGATTGAGTAGTTTGGCGTACAAGTGTTGCGACACTTTGATGTGCGTGGCACACTGCACCAACGATTTGAACTGTGCTTGTTGATGTTTTTGGTCACAGTACTTTAATGATTGAAGTGTCAGCATACGCTTATTATTCAATCTTTTACATGTGTAATACAACCATATCCGATCGATATCATTGTCTAAACTACTTGATATCTTGCTCAACACTATATTTGGTAGTGATAGTAAAGTAGCTGAACATGTTGTACTTGTTGTATTATCATTATCATCATTATCATCATTATCATTGTCGTTGTTGTTCATCTTGACACAAACAAATGTATGTATGTATGTAGTGAATAATATTTAGTTTGGTAAACAAGAGCAGAGTTTGGTAGAAGTCGCAGAAAGTGTAGGTGGTGACCATCAAAAAAAGAAAATAAAATAAATAAAAAAAGAATCTGAACCACCCCTTCTCAATTTTTTGTCGATTGTTTAAAAATCGCTGCTTTGAGCCAAGGCGATTGGTAGCTTGTCAAGATCACCCCGTTATTACACCTCTTCACCACTACTTTAATTTATTTTTTATTTTTATTTTTATCGTGTACGTTTCTTTCTTTAGCTAACCAAGATCTTTACTAGTTTGTTTTAGTTTGTTTCTATTCTATTCTCACCTGGTACGAAACAACACAATTTATTTTATTTTATTTTTATTTTATAAATCTAATCTTCCCGCTTTTTACTCTTCAACCTTATTATTATTATTATTACTCTACTTCACACACTCACACAAACACACAAAACACAAAACACAAACTTCAACCTCACTTTTCATTCGCTCACACATTCATCCTCATTTCATTTTATACTTTCACATTCATTCAGTTGTAAACTATAGTTAGATATAAATAGTTAGATATATATATATAATATAAATATCAGCAGTCAAACAATCAAGTAAAACACAGATATATTATGAGTCAAATCGGAAATATTGACAGCGCAAAATCGATTGGGGTTGGGCAATATCCTTCTGCTCCTCCAGCTTCAGCTGCTGATGGTAGCAATAGACAATCACATTCACCAATCCAACAAAACAACAGCCAACCACCATCTCCACATCATAGTAGTGGTGGTGGTGGGTCAGGCGTACCATCACCTCAAGGTGGACCTCCCCAACAACAATCATATGACCAGTACAATCAAGGTGGATACGGTGTTGGAAACTATGGCCCTCCACAACCATCCCCAGTACCATCACCCCAAGGAGGAGGATATGGTGGTCCACAGCAACAAGGTGGCCCTGTACCATCGCCACAGGGTGGTCCCCAACAAGGTGGTCCCGTTCCATCACCACAAGGTGGTCCACAACAACAAGGTGGATATGGTGGTCCACAACAAGGTTATGGACAACAAGGTGGATATGGTGGTCCGCAACAAGGTGGTTATGGTGGACCACAACAAGGTGGATATGGTGGACCACAACAAGGTGGATATGGTGGCCCACAACAAGGAGGTTATGGTGGCCCGCAACAAGGAGGTTATGGTGGCCCACAACAAGGTGGATATGGTGGTCCGCAACAAGGAGGATACCAATCTCCACCACAGGGAGGATATGGTGGTCCGCAACAAGGAGGCTATGGTGGACCACAACAAGGAGGATATCCACCACAAGGTGGATATGGTGGACCACAACAAGGAGGCTATGGACAAGGAGGATACGGTGGACCACAACAAGGAGGCTATGGTGGTCCGCAACAAGGTGGATATGGCGGTACACAACAAGGTTATGGACAACAACTACCACCACCACAACAAGGTTATGGACAACAATTACCACCACAACAACCATATTCAGGTCAATCAGTTACATCAACTGTACCTTTACCATACTACACTGTCTATGTTGGTGCAGTCAACTATCAACTATCACCAAACTTTAATGCTTCCAATGATTGTGATGTCTTGAAAAGAGCTTTTAAAGGCATCGGAACTGACGAAGCCACAGTCATCAAAGTATTATCAAATAGAAACCTAAGAGAAAGAATTGCAATCAAAGATGAATACAATAGAAAGTTTGGAAAGACATTGGAAAAGGCCCTTAAATCTGAAACAAGTGGTAATTTTGGTCTTGCCCTATGTGCATTACTTTATGAACCGTATGTAAACAAAATAGAATAGAATAGAATAGATTAGATTAGATTAGATTAGAAATTAATCGTTTTTTTATTTTTTTTCTTAGACTTGAATTTGATGTTTATGAATTATACAAGGCTATGAAGGGAGCAGGTACCAATGAAAAATGTTTGGTTGAAATCTTGGTAACAAGAGGAAACCACCAAAAGGAACAAATCAAACAAAAATATCAACAAACTTATGCCAAAACCCTCGAGGCCTTTATCATTGGCGATACCTCTGGTAACTTTAAGGAATTTTTAAAATCATTATTAAATGTATGAGAGAGAGAGATCATAGGGAAATATATTGGTATTGAAATCACCCACGATAACTAACTATTGTATTTATTTATAGAGAAGAGATGAATCATTAACATTTGATCCATATTTGGTTGAAAATGATTCAAACAAATTATACTAGTATGTAGAAGAATATATTTATTATATAGTCTCTAGACATTTTGAATCCTTTATTAATAATTAATTTATTTATTTCCAAAGTGCTGGAGAAGGTAAAATTGGAACAGATGAAAAGGTATTTGTTGAAATTTTTACTCAAAGATCATGGGCACATATGAGAGAATTAATCAAGGTCTATGAACGTAATCATAAGAAACATTCACTTGAAAGAGCCGTTAGAAGTGAATTTAGTAGCCATTTGCGTGATGGTTTATTGGCAGTTTGTAAGTGAAAATGAATTAATTCCCTCCCTTTTGATATTTATTTACTAATTACAAATATTAATTAATTGATACTTTTATAGTGAGTTATACAAATGATCCAATTGGATATTTTACAGAATGTTTATACGATTCAATGGTTGGTTTGGGCACTCGAGATCGACAACTTATCAGAGGCATCATCTCACAACAACACCAATTGCCAACCATTAAAGATAAATATCTTTCAAAATACGGTAAACAATTATCAGCTGATATCCAAGGTGATACTAGTGGAGATTATCGTAGACTCCTTTTAGCATTGGTTGGATAACCCCAATGTTGACTTTTTGTACCCAATAATATATAAAAGATAGATAGACAGCAGCATAAAAAAAATAAACTAATAATCAACAAACAATAATAATAATAAACCTATAATTATCAAAATATATAATTTTGATAAATTTTAGTAAAAAAGGAAAAACTATGATATGCCAACTAAACTCAATCAAATATTTGCTCAATTTTTGGCGTAAACAACCCGTGTCACATTTTCAAAGTTTGTCAAATCAACAACGAAAAGTTTACGTCACACACAATGGTTGTGGATTAAAATAGAAAAGGTTTAAATTCAAAAGACTACTTACTTTTTCTATTTCATTTTATAACTCACTATATTATCTCTATTCTACAAATAAATATATAAAAAAATGTCAAGAGCAATTGTTATAGGTAAATAATATTTTAAGAAAAGAATCTATCTTAAATATTGACTAACATTTATTTCAATTTTTTGATTTTTTTTTAACAGGAGGAACAGGAGCAACTGGTAAAGAATTAATTAAAGAATTGATTAAATCATCAAAGATTTCACATATTACATCATTGGTTAGAAAAAAAGATGAATCTGTTGAAAGTGATAAACTAGAACAAGTTGTCATTGATTTTGAAAAGATGTCTGATCATCAAGAATGTTTTAATGGTTGTAATGTTGGTTTTTGTTGTCTTGGTACAACAGCCAAAATAGCTGGTTCTAATGTATGAAAAACGATAAAAAAAAGACAACATTTAGATACTCACTCATACTTTTACTTTTCTTTAGGCAAACTTTGAACATATTGAATTAGGATATTCATCACAATTTAGTAAAATGGCAAAACAAGGAAATGTTGAATCGATGCATGTACTTACATCTATTGGAACCAATGCCAATAGTTGGTTCACATATCCCCGAGTAAAGGGACAAATTGAAGAAGCCATGAAAAACGATAAATTCAATCATTGTTCTGCATATCGCCCAGGATTGTTGGATCGTGGTAAAACAGATCGTATATTTGAAAAAATATTGCTTCCTCTTTTACCAAGTATCCCTGTTAATACAGTTGCCAAGGGAATGTTATCCAATTATTTAAGCGAATTTGAAAACCCCCCTCCCATTCATTCATTTAAGGTTTTTGGTCATCGTGATTTATTCAATCTTGCCAAACAACTTTAAAACTAGTGTTTGTTGTCCCCATGTACATTTTAAACAATAAAAATAGAAATATTAAAAATCCATAGGAACAGGTACCTTTTTTTTGTAACATACCAACACAGCTGTTTCAGATGATTTTGATTTGTACAAGTTACAATTTTGTAAATTAAAAGTAGGTGTTGCAAATTGCAGAACAACACCCATTCTAAGTTTAAAAATTAATTTGAACTGTTTTTTAAGGGCTGTTGACTGTGTTTAGTCAAAAAGTATAAATAATTGATGTTCACCTCCATAATAGAATCATTCAATTTAATTAAAAAATGGAAAGTGCTCATAAAGAAGATAAAAAAGTAGAAACTATCAAAAAGAGTCTAGCAACTGCTATACAGAACAGTCCTTTGGGATACCATGTAGACCACGGGGTTATGGAAAAGTTCTACCAATCCTACCAAGCCAGCAACAAGTTCAATTTGGAAAACTCACTATTGTGCGCTAGCAACTTTGATGTAGATCGTGCCCTCACTTTGAAAGAACCCGTAGATCCAGCTGTTCTTGTTGGTGTTCCATATAGTGTCACTACCAATCTTGTCATGTACATGGACAGTGTGTGGTTGGACCATTTGGAAGTTCAAGTCAAACCAATTGCCGTCTTTTCAAAGTACATTGATACCATTGAATCCACCGGTGGATCTTACAATCTCATCAAGAAAAAAGGATTTGAGAGAAAGGAAGCAAGTCAAAGAACCCTTGCCTCTTATTTCCCAGGTTTAAAGGCGTATGTAAATCAAAAAAAAAAAAAATTTAAATATATTAATAATCATAATTATTTTTTTTTAAAGTTGCGATGAAACATTGGATGTAACATCTAAATATTCCTATTCTCAGACCACTTTGGTTCATCCTTCTACAACTGTTCCTCATACAGTTCAATTGGCTGCCGGTTCCTATGTCACCTACCAATCAGCAATTCTCTATGCTTGTCGTATAACATTTACTGATGAGAGCGAAGACCCAGAAGATTGGATCAAATATGCAGAGGACTACTTTAAGAGACCTGAAAATGAGGGTCTTAGATACAAGATTGGTCCCAACAGAAGTATTTATATTCTATTTACGGTATACAGGGATCAGATGATTGTCAAACCATACAATGATGATCTGTATTCCCCAGTTCCATTTGATGAACTAGTAGAGTATTGCTTTAATAGAGGCTTTACAAGATGGGCCAATACCAAATAAAATAAAATATTTTATTTTATTTGATCCCATTGTGTTTTATTTTATATTCCATTTCCTTGTTTCTTTTTCCATTTCCTTGTTTTGTTTTGCCTTTTGTTGTTTTACCTTTACCATTTCCTTTTGTTTTTGTTGTTTTTCCTTGTTTATCTTTTGATAAATAAAAGCATTATTAAATTCATTTTTCATATAACCTACAAACGAGCTGGCTGGGTTGATTGGAATATTCAACCTTGTTAAAGTTTCTTCCCAACGAGCTATTTGATCATTTCCTTCTTGTTGTTGGAGATGTGAAATAATCGATGGATGGGTATAGTAATGATAGATCCAAAGAACAAGACGGAGATAGTTGGGCAATACATTTCTCTTTTCTTGTTGTTTGTAATAGAATTCGGCGATATGGTGGTTTCTAGAGAGTAGAGAAAGTGACACAATGACTTCGAGTGATCTGTACAATTGTTTCTGTGGCAATGACCATAGTTGTAGAGTGAGTTCTGGTATTTTATCCGATGTAAGTTTGAACGATTCAAACGTAACTATTAAATGTCCAATTAAATTTTCGTACAATTCATTATTATATTGTGTGATTGGAGATGTTGTAGTGTTGTTGGTTTGTTGATCATTACCACCATCATCGCCTTTAATGACTACTATATTTGAATGATCAATAAATGTATGAGCCAAATCCAAAGCTTGTGAAGATTTTCCAGTTTGAATATAAATTTTAAAGACTGTTTGATAGGCAAGTACTATTTGTTTGGCGATTAGTTTGTTGTTGGTATCTTGGTTGGTGTCTTGAGGTGCTCCTCTGGCAAGGGTGGCAATGTGCTCGGCTTCGAGTCGACCCAACTCGCCAAGCAAATATTTAAAGGGTAGGTTGTGGTGACCGTAGAGCTTGAGCATTTGGTTGATGAGGAGGATATGGTTGGCGAGATCGCACTGGGCAATCCCCATGAGCACATCCACTCCCTCTGGAGCGAGTGATTGCAGTTGGATATGATGTTGTTGGACCGACTTGAAATGTCTATAGATTTGCAGAGAGTAGTGACGCGCCTGTTCCGGCTCGATTCGATTCATATATTTCAAAAGGAGAAGAGTAAACTCGACAGTGACACTGTCAAGACTATCGTTGATGATATCAAACATGAGATGAGATAGTGTGGGTTGGTAGCGGTCTGCCACGCAGTCAAAGAGCGCTGTCACGACCTCTGGATGGATCGCCAGCGCCGGGTAGGCGACTTTAGCCTGATTCTGGTAGAATGCGACCATCTCCATGCTGTTGAGTCCGTTGTAGTGCTGGATCATCATGGCCAAGCCAGAGGGAGTGGGTGACACGCCCGCGGCGACCATCTGACTCCACCGCTGTTGAAACTGTGATATCTTGTGGTTGGCAATCAACATGACCAACATATTCGAGTAGAGCAGCGACTGCATATGCATCTCTTGGAAATGCGGGATGGCCTTGTCAAAGACCTCGAGTAGACGCAGCACGGTTGGCAACCCACGCGTATACTTGGTGCCAAGCACCAGGATGAGCGACGCTGTCAACTGGTAGTCTGTCTCGAGCATGTTGAGTGGCTCGATCAGATTCTTGATCATATCATTGACCACCTCGAGCGTGAACCCAAGATGCAGCACGAGATAGGCCGTCTCATTGTTTGGTTGCAAATCCTTTCTCTTGAGTAGCTGCGACATCATATGGCGTGCTTCAATCTTGTTGTCGAGCTGACTGAGCAACGACACTGTCATATTGTATGTCTCCAAATCAAACAAGTGTTGCAAGTCTCCCAATTGACTGGCAAAACTCAACATGAGTCGCGTCGATTGTCTGTGTCTTGTATCAAAGAAATCTGTCAATTTTCGAATAGTAGCATTCACCAATGCCGTCGTCACTTTATCATTCATCAATAACCATTTAAATAATGTATATGTACTTTGAATATCTGAAAATATCAATTCATCATTTAATTCTTCTAATAATCTAAAAAGAATAAGAAAAAGTTAGAATTGATTGGATATATCTTAATGTAACACACATACAATGATTCATTTAATATCTTTTGTTCATCTTGTTGTTGTTGTAAATATTTTTCTTCAAATGCTTTAAATGTAGGTAAATCACTTGATAGATAGGTTGTCTTGGTGTCATAATGAATGTGATCGGGTGCTTGTGCCGTCTCTACTTTTATCTCTGCTTGTTTCTTTTTGTGTTCTCGATAAAATGATGCTACCGATGTAGATTTGTTGTTGTTGCTTGATTTTGTTGAGGGTATTATTTGACGATCGTTTATAAAAGGGTATTTACTTGGGTTGATAGGTTGGTTACTACTTGATGATGACGATGTATCTGATGGTTTGTAAAACTTTATAAAAGGTGTAGTCGTCAAGTGTTCATCTTGTTTTAAAATGGTCGATGATGAACTTGTACAATATGATCTACCAATAAAGTTTCTATCTATATAACTTAATACAAGTGGTAGTGATGAAAATGATGACGATGACTGCCTTGATAAATATACATTATTATTATTATTATTGTTTTTACTATTACTCCTATATCTCGTCGTCGTCGTCGTTGATGATACTGATGATGATGATGATGATGATGATAATAAACTATTATAGTTTAAAACTATACATCTCCGTAACATCGTCTCTATCTCTCTCCCTATATTACATATACTGCTTTGTCTCAAAAAAAAGATTCTGATCAGTCTCGAGAAAAAAAACATCTTTTCTCTATCAATTTTTAAAAAGTCTTTTAGTTTTACAACTAGAAATATTATATTATATGGGTAATATTATATATGTATAGAAATTTTAAATTTATTATTATTATTTAAATTATCTCCCTTTATTATAAATATGTGACGAAGAAGAAGATGAAGATGAATTATTATTATTGTTATTATTATTATTAGAGTTTGAAGAGGAAGATTGAATAATATTATAAATTGAGCTTGTTCCACTTCCACTTGTACCTCCACCTCCATTTCCACCACCACCACCACCACCACTATCTTCGTGATAGGATCGATTACTACTACTGCTGTTACTATTATTACTACTATTTAAATTTAAATTATAAAGATTGGAAGAGGGTGATGGAATGGATGATGGGGTTGCAGATGCGGGCATTGTCGATGAGCATCCACCTCCTCCTCCACCGCCGCCGCCGCCGCTGCCATCGAGTTGAAAAATATCGGTGTTTTGTTTGTGTAAAAGATTGGAAATACTCGACTCTTTGATTGAGCCGGTAGATGTATGCTTGAGTTGCGGTGATAGGAGGCTGGTTGAAGAGAGCGTGGGCGAGAGTGTAGATGTTTTTGATGAAACACATGGAGATGATGAAGTGGATTTCTGGTGTTGTGGTGACATATTACTATATGGATTATTATTATAGTTGTTATTATTATTATTATTATTGATATTGTTTATACCGCTATTACCTTCATTATTATTATTAATATAATAAATGTTGGATGGACTATTATTATTACTGTGGTGATTTGTGGTTGATGTTGGTATGGATGAAGATGTCGTTGTTGTTGTTGTTGTACTATTACTATTTGATTGTTGTTGGTGGTGATGGTGATGATTTTGGAATGGTTGATAAGTTGTATGTATTGAACTCAATGGAGGTAATGTTAAAGTGGATTCAGGTACTTGAGCATTTGCCCCTTGACTTGAACCTGTATTAAAATTATAATTACCTCCACTACTACTACTATTACTACTATACCCACTATTATTATTATTATTATTATTATTATTATTATTATTATTATTATTATTATTACTATTTCTACTATTATTATTATTATTATATGATGATGAATTATTTAAAGTATTTTGAGAAGTTAATGATGAAGATGATGGTGGATTTGAAATGGGTACAACTGCTGGTGATGATGATGCAGTTGATTGTTGGTGTTGTTGGTGTTGTTGTTGTTGTTGTTGATATGGGATTGTTTCGTTTGGTTGATGGAAAAATGTATGTTGTAATGCCTCTAGTGGTGATATTCTCTTTTTAGGATCGTATATTAACATTCTTTCTATTAAATCTTTAAAAACCAAATAATCTGCTACCGAATGTCCGGTGGGTTCATCCTTTCTTCTACCATTTGGTCCTCCCGTTTCAACTCCCAATATATCTGATAATTTTCTTTTATGAAACTAAGTTTGAAAAAAAGTATAAATATTAAATATTATTTCTATTTTTCTATTTTTCTATTTTCTATTTGTATTTCTTTTACCTCTTTTAATTTATCACTCTTTCTCAAGACATATTTGTTATCGGTATAATTAAAAAACTTTTTCCCTTTTGAACAATGTTCAATCATATTTACAGGTGGCATACCCAATACCTCTACAATCTTTGTAATTTGATCCAATTCATTTTGGCCGGCAAACAAAGGTTCGCCAACATGCATTTCAACCAATATACAACCCAAACTCCACATATCGATAGGATATGAATATTCACATTCCATTATAATCTCTGGTGATCTATAAAATCTACTTTGTATATATTTATAAACCTAATTGATATCAAATAATAATATTATTAATATTTCTATTTCTTCTTTTCTATTATTTTCTATTTTTCTTTACCCTTTCATTTTCATGACAAGAACTACCAAAATCTATAATTTTGATTGCACTTCTTTTTGGATTTCTTAATAGTATATTTTCTGGTTTCAAATCGCAATGGATGACTTTGACATCCTGGCTTGACATGAAATAGAGTGCCGAGAGTATTTGATGGGCAAACTTTTTAATGAGGTTGAGTGAAACACCTTGAAAATTGGTGTTTCGCAAGAGATCATACAAATTGTATGATAACAACTCTGTTACAATACATAAATGACCATGAAATTTAAAATGTTGTTTTAATCGTACTAAAATTTTTAAGAAAAAGGGATAAGTATATACTTATATTTTCAACTAAATTGTTGTTGTTGTTGTTGTTCACATGTGACATCACACATACTTATTTTATATTGATCATCTGGATCTTTACTATTCATTAATTCCAAAAGTTTGATTTCAATGAGTGCTTGATTATAGAATGGTGTTTTGTTTTTGATGATCTTGATTGCTACATATTCCTCATTCAATCGATCGTATGCTTTGACGACTTGACCAAATGAACCTTTACCCAATGACCCTTTAACCTCGTATCGATTATCAAATACATCATTGACTCGTACTATATAATCTCCATTTTCATCATCAAATCCATTGTTGGTGTTATTACTAGTACTGCTACCACTAGTACTGATATTAGTTGTGTTACTACTTGTTTGTTGTTGTTGTTGTTGCTGTTGTTGCTGCTGCTGTTGTTGTTGCTGTTGTTTTGCTTCACTCTTTTTTCTTGCATAGTATATCTATATTAAACATATATTGTGTTAATAATCATATCATATGATGACATCATCATTATCAATTTAATAATAACAACAACTGAATATCTTGTGTATGTACATACTTGATTAATATTCTTATAAGTCTTTATGAGATCCGTTGATAGTTTAATAAGAGGTGCTTCATTTCTTGCTCTAATCTCCATGTGGTGGTACTACTACTACTATTGTTAAATAATTTAATTGTCTTCTATATGTGTTGTGTTATATATCTATATCTATCTACAGGAATGCTTTATATCTACAACAATTCTAAATGATTAGTTGATCATCATCATCATCACTATCACCCAACTAATATATTTTGATAGAACCTACCTCTCTCTCTCTTTTTGTAACCACCACTCTATTATAAGTTCTATCTCATGTATAACGAGTATACTACTCTATTCCTCTGTCTATATATGATATCTCTCTATCTCTCTATCTCTTTCTATCAATCTAAAGAGATGGTTGGTTTGTTTATAAAAGTAAAATGATTTCTCTATATTTAAATCATATCATCACTGCACTCCCACTATATATATATATTATATTCTTGATGATACTATATTGTTACTAGTCGTATTGTTATTGGTTTTATATTATTATTATTATTATTATTATTATTATTATTACTAAAATCGTCTCTTTTAATTTGAACAAAAATACTGGTAAAAAATTTAATTTGCTTTTTTTGAGTGGGATGATGGTGTGAGAACTTTCAAACCATCACTTTTTATTTTTTTTAATATTATTATCTTTATAGCTTTATCTCTTTATCTTTCTTTATCTTTATCTTTATATCTTTTTGTTTGGTTGGTTGTATTTATGTCATACTTTATCCTGCAAATGAATAAGAATCAACACCTTTGAAACGACCGTTGAACTTGACTTGGAAAAGACCTCCTCCACCTTTGGCCTCTTCACCGGCACGAGCAGTCGTGATGTAGAGTGTCGAGAGGTCGTCGCCACCAAATGCAACGCTGGTGACCTTGCGCACTGGCACCATGACCGTCAACAAGAGTTGGCCGTTGTTGGGATCCCAACGAGTCACTCTGCTGCCGTCATAGTGGGCAATCCACAACTTGCCCTCTGAATCGATGGTCATGCCATCGGGGAACCCAAATTGGCCTGTAAAGGTGATAACACGACGTCGGTTGGTAGCAGATCCCGAGTTGACGTCATAGTCGAATCGGTCGACACCCATGTCAGACGTGTCGATATAGTACATGACACGACCATCCAACGACCAAGTGACACCGTTGGATATACCGACATTGGACAGTACACGTTGCGAGGCCTTGTTCGAGTCGATACGGTAGAGCGATGCTTCTCTTGGTTGACCATTCTTGAGTGACATTGAACCCACCCAGAAACGTCCCCGTGGATCACACTTTCCGTCGTTCATACGGTTGGTAGAGACTGTCTCTGGTTTGGCCAATTGATACTTTTCCTGTGTAATATAGTTGTACGAGTAGATACCACTTTGAAGTGCAATCACTACCTCTCCAGGTTGAGCATTTAATCTTGGTACTACAGTTCCCGGGATTTCATTCAATTTAAAATTACTATTTGATCCAACTGATGGATTATATCTAAAAAAAAAAAAAAAACAAAACAAAAGAAAAGGTTAAAATATATTAAAACAAACAAAAGAAACTACTTTTGGGTTTTACTTACACATAGAATTGACGACCATCAATATCAATCCAATATAATAATTTTCTTTGGTTATCCCAAATTGACCCTTCACCTAATTCTGCTCTAGCTGGAATGACCAATTGTGCCCAAACAACTTCCTCTGATTTTACATTGGTAACCATAACCAATCCAAAAACCATCACTACAACCAAATATAATAGTATTTTCATTTTTACCTTAAAAAAATCTATATTGATTAAACAAACTAACTATAATGATTTAATAATAGGTAGGAATAGAAAATGATTTGGTTGAAGAAAAAATGATTTATCATGCAATGATGTAGTATGATCGTTCACACCCCTCATTCACCCGATACAATGGTTAAAGAGTGGGGTAGTGGTGAAATCCAGTACCAAAACACGTGTGCATATTAAAAATCGTATTACATCCCATGCAACGATACTAATTATAATAATTTAACAATAATATGATTGAAAGTATACCAGTTTATTATTTTGATCAGGAGGTTATATTTCAATAATTGTGTGTTGGTCAGTCATCAGTAGAATTTAACCAAATACTATAAAAGAGAATGTAAAAATTATAAATAGATTAGCAGATGATGATAGATAACTATCTCGGGTACTAGTAAAACAATATAACATACAAGATCTACGGGTTACAGCTGGACCTAAACCGTTGCCAGTGGTTGGGGTAGAAGTAGAGGTGAGGATTGGTTTTCCCCAAATACCTTGTGATTTACGTTGTGTAGTGTATCCGAAATCGTTGTCCATTTTTAAATCTAGATGTAATATTACAGTAGTGATAGTAGTAGTGATAATTAATTATTTATTGGTTGTGTGAAAAGTGAAAGAACTCATCCCAGACCCAGAGGAGGTCACCAAAAACAAATCGAACAAAAAAAAAAAGGTATAAAAGCAATGAAATGGTTCAGCGTAGGGCAAGATGAATGATATCGTATGCATCGTGTGGTCGTTTCACCAGATGATCAGCCAATCATCATACTCCCATTTCTCAACAAAAAAAAAGAACAAGATTCCTTTTTTATTCCATCCGAAAAAAAAAATCAAAATATCTAGATTTCAAAGATTAAGACCTTACACAAATAATCCAAAGGACATCAAATCAATCCTTTTTTACTCTACCCCTATTTGTATTATTATTTCTTTTATTATTTGTATTTACCTTTTTTTTAATTTGACATATTATATTATGGACCCAAATTTTGATTCTGTAGAGAAACCAGCTCGTCGCGGACCTACCCAAGGAGGTCATGGAGCATCTAGATACTCTCCATCTGTTGGTAAAAACCCTCGTTTCCCTAACCCCAATCAAACATCTCTATTTTCAAGTATGTATTTATACACAATTATACTTAGGAAATGTACTAATACTCTAATTTTTTTTAATTAGTTTAACCTCTTAATCATATCAACCAACACTCTTATCTTTCATTAGTACTATAGTTGATCAATAAACTTCATTGCCAATGCGATCATGACCAACTCACTTTGAGAGAACAACCTTATCTTTTCATCATCCTATTTTTACCTTTGGATTAACCCTAAAGGATAACATTGTGATAAAAATTTAATTAATTAAATTAAATCCTTTGGATGTAATAGCTATCACCCCTCATCCTGATAACGGATAAAAATTTACCATGGAACTTTCGTTAAAAATCTGGCTATAAAAATCTCCCTTTTAATTTTTTAGTTTTCTAAATAGACACACGCCCCAACATAGCCTCTACAAATTTTTCTATTCCGCAGTCAAGTTCATCACTGTTGTATCACTATTCTATATCTTTATCTACTATTTAATAATAATAATAAGTCAGACAAAGGAAATCCCTTGTAATATTTACTTGCTTTACTTTTCTTGTTAGATGTAAGTTTTACAAACAAAATAGACATGTCTATCAATTATAACCGATCGACCGATCGATCGATTTGCATCATATGATGATTAACTGTTTGTTTTGTGGATAGAAAATGTCATTTGCTCCATCGAGTATCCCAAAGAAAGCTGGACCTGGTCAAGGTAGTTTCTCAAAGCCAACCTTATCAGCTCCATCTGCTTCAGTTTCAGGTAATAGAACCAGTGGATGTATGTATTACACTGAAAGAAAGAAGAAGAAGAAGAAGAAGAAGAAACAAGAATTAATTCATTCCATTCTTTTTAAATTTATAGTCGACTTGTAACTTGTCCTGTATAACATGACCAATTTATGGTTAAGTTAATTAACCTTTTTTTCACCTTATCATCCTTTCGTTTTCTTGTTCAAACACAATCGCATAAACATTAATGATCCATCACACAAATAAATAATAATAAAATTATAATTTTGAATGATATATCATCACTGCTCATCCATCTATCCCATTAATGGATACTAATTATTTTCTCTCCTAAACTAAAATTGAATGGTCGTTTATTTCTAATTCTATCAGATCATTGTGTGATGTTATCTCTTAATATATATATATATTATTCAATTAAATTAATAATTGTGTTGTGTATAGAGGTAGGTTTATAAAAGAGGTAGATCGAATGATGATGATGGTGGTGGAAGGGGGTAGGAGGTGTGAGAGAGAGATATCTATAAATAATGTTATTATTATTATTATTATTATTATTATTATTATTATTATTATTATTATTATTATTATTATTATTATTATTGTTGTTTTTTAATTATTATTGATTGTTTGAAACATTTTGTTTTTTGGGATAATTAATTATTATATAATTTACATAAATGGTCTTCTCTTTCCTTGTCTCTCGTGTGATACGAGATATCTATCGATAGATTCATTTAATACAGCAGAGTTTTTAGTGATACTTGCAAGATAAGTAACAAGCAAGACATCATTGTATTCCTATATAAATTCATAAATAATTAATTAGTATTTATGGTTTGATCTATCTATCTATATATCTATATCTTCTTATCGTAATTACTTGTAAAAAGGTATTTGAGAATTCTTCAGAATTGATAGCTGGTAAAGTGTTACACAAACTGGCAATTTGTCTTAAAACACTGTGTTCAAATGGAATCTTCTTTTCCTTTACATCTTGAAGATAGTTTCTCAAATTTTTAACTCTCATATTTAACATGGAAATCGCATTTTGCATGGTAAAGAAATGAGTAGTAACTAATGACGTACAATCAAACAAACAAATGAGTAAGTATGGATCAATCCTCTTAAATGATTCTTTTTCTTTTTTTCTTTTTTTTTAATTTAATTTACATACGTGATGAACCTTCAGAACCAGATGGAGTGACTTTGGCAATATGATTAACACCGATACGTTCGGCCTCACCAGTTTGAATCTTGAATGGAGTCTTTACAAAGAGGGTGGTTGGTTGATCGTTGACAATGTGCAACTCTGATTCATAGACAATGACTGGCAAGTCCTTGTAGGCTTGTGTAAAGGCAGCATTGGTGTCGAGCATCAAATACAATGGACTTTCATTGAATTCCATAATTTGCTTGTGAAGTAATAAATCTGATTGGCTGACTTGACTACCTGTAGAATACCAACCCAAAATATCATAAGTTGCAAATACCTTTTTGACTAAAAAAGAAAAAGAAGAAGAAGAAGAAGAAGAAGAAGAGAAGACATTGAAAGGTTAATATATAATGATATAATATATCTCTTCTTATTCTTATTCTTTCTTACATTGTTCATTCTTTTTCTTTAAATATTCGAGATCAAGAGTACCATCTTTGGTGAGTACCAATTCAAAAGAGTTACAAACTTCGATGACTCTACCATTTTGGAGACCAGAGATAAGACCGATTACTCTTGGTACGCTATTTGTATTCTCAACCTTGGCACGTGTAAAATGATCAGAGATATTGATCAATACCAATGGATGAAGATCAACTTGTAAACCAACTGTATTTGAACTCTTTTCTAATACCAAGTTGTTATGGTTGTTATTATTAGCTGTAGTTGCAGTAGTAGTGTTTCCGTTTTGTGACATTCTATTCTCTATCTATCTATCTATCTATATCTATCTACCTAATATACACTTAATAAAGAAAAGATAATCAATGAACTTGAAAGACTCACCAAACTAAATTAAAATCTTTTTTTTTTTTCCTCCCAAAATTAGAGAATTTTTTAAGAGGAGGTCTCCCGCTCTCGCTTGATGAGATACTCAGTATTAGAGTACTCAGAGTTGGTTATATACATAAAAAGAGATAAATAATGAATTACATCAAATCATTATTATCCTCTTATTATTCTTCTTCTTCACCAAAACAAAATAATAATAATCATAAACAAGATGAAGAAGAGGTAGATAATAATAATAATAATGAAGAATCAAAAAAGTTTGATGAATATAATCATCAACTTTTAAAATATATTCAATCAAGATTAAATGATGATAATGATCTTCAAACATCAACAACAAAAACAAAAACAATAATAATATGTAATAATAATAATGATAAGTCATTTAATAATGTAATTGGGAATAGATATATTTGGAAAAAGATTGTAAATTATATTCACGAGATATCAATGATGTATGTCATGTCTACTACGAATACTACCAAGGTTAGAGCAAAAACACCAAAGAATCGGTTACCGTATATACTAAAATATGATCAAGTTACAAGTATTGGATGGATGCTTGGTAATGGTTACAAGTCATTGTTACATGATAAATTGGATAAAGGTCTATTCATTCAAATACAAGGTGAGATTGCAATGGCTACTATACCACTTAAAAAGATATTCAAGACTCGTGATATTGGTCTCATTGAGAAATTGGTCACTCTCTACAGACTGCACTTTATCACGCCGACATCTGTCGATTTGTCGTGTCGTAGTGGTAGTGTCGAGGTGCTTAAATTAATCGTGTCTCTACGTCATTGTCAAGACACTATACCAATCACAAAAGAGGCAATGTATAATGCAATGAAATCAGGGTCGTTGGAATTGGTCAAATATCTCGACGTAACCTATGAATCGTGCAAGATATCCAGTGCCATGATCATCCGAAGACAAAGTCAAGGTCACAGTCTACCAACACTTGATTATTTTTGTTCAAGAAAAACACAAACAACAACAAGTACTGTATTAGACTCCTCGTCGTCGCAGCATCAGCAGCAATGTATAGATAGTGAAGACATTATGTGTTCACTAGACTATGATTTGATCAAATCTCATTTACATGTAGCTTCACTCAGTCTGCGACTCAACTTTATTTACAATGTCGCGTTTCTCATGACCGGGTCTGTTCTTGTCAAATCAATACCAAATGAATTGATTACACGTATGAATCATTTCAACGGTACAGATAATGTAAAAGAGGTGTTGGCATGGGATACTAGTCAGATATACTTTGACAAGATCACTCCATTGATACCACTCATTTTCCAAGTCACCACTGACCAGACTCTATACATTGATGCGCAGAACAAGGTTATCGAGACTATGCGCAACATTCCAAAAGACAGTTACCTGTATCGGCCACTATACAACTTGTTGTTGGCGTACGAGTTGGCCAATACCTACCCACCACTCCTTAGTTCAAACTATGCAAGAGAGTCCAACCAAGACGCATTGCATACTATGACAGCCAAGGGAGTGATCCGTATGGGTGTGACTGATAGATCAGTACTCTTGTTGGTCATCCAAGGTCTTCAAAGCAGTACACAACGTTCACAGACAGACTATTTTAGTAGTTTGATCAATTTGTATACCACGATTGATCAGTTGCATGTTATAATGGATGTTGATCCATCACTCAAACAACACAGACTCAAGAGGATATACACGTCGTTTCAACCCGAGGTATTTGACCATCTCATGCACCTAGATGTCATCACGTTTGAAGAAATACATGATTGGCCAGGTAGAATCATATTTGATATGTCTCTTGCCAAGTATATGCTCGCACATCATCTAGAGACACTCACAGTGGCCAAGTTTTCAACCGACATTCACTACACTCCATTCTGTCACACTGTAGATATCATATCGATGATGCTTATAGAGGCAGGTTGCACACCATCATTTTACGAGAACACGTCACACAGTTTTAGCAACTTTTGTCATCCCCAATCGCCAACCGCCAATTATTTCATGAAATACCTAGTACGAACGAATCAGTGTGCTGCAGTCTTTCCAATGTGTGCAGCTATCCAACACCGAAATCTCACTCTATTTGATGCACTCGATGCCATTGATAGTAAACCATTTGTGCCAACTTTACATCTCGACTCTACACACCGAGACATTCAACAAGCACTACAGCAGCTGATAGCACTTGGTGATTTTAAGAGGTATTCTATTTTGATCAAACGTATCAATGATGTTAAACTCGATACATTGGCAACTAGTCTATGTATTACTTTTGGTAGTTTGGATTTCTTTAAACAACATATCGTAGCGTTTCCCAAATCATTTGATTTGGTTAGATTGGCAGATCGAATAACATATGATTGTAACCTACCATTCCTAGAGTATCTATTGACTGAGCATACCGAATCATTTAGATTATATGTAAATTTAAATTCTTTGTTTGGTAAAGCATGTTCAGTTGGAGCTTTAGACATAATGAAAATGATCTATCGATATAGTATAGATGACAGTCATCACAACAATTCCATCATCAAAAAAGAATCGATTCCAACCAATTATATTTCAATTGCAATTAATCGAAGACATCTAAATACACTCGTCTATCTACACTCTCTCAACAAACTAGTACTCCCTCCAACTCCCTATAAACATATCGATCAATCTAAACCAAATTATCAATTAATCTCTTTATTCCTAAATACTTTTAAAAATAATAATAAATAGTAAATAAAGTTAGATATTCTTCTTCGATTACTTCTTTTTCTTTTAGATTTAGAATTAGAATAATAATCAGATGACAGAGTAGAATGGGTTGTATAACATTCTAAGAATAAGTAGGTATGTCTCTGAAAACGGTGCACCATTACGATGTAGGCCAATTCTCAATTGAGGTCGAGTCGCTGCTGATCTGTCCTCATTTTAGTTTGAAAAGCTTACACCGCTACAATTTTATTTGAAATGCACCAATTATTTTGAATTTTTTTTTTTGTTCAAAGACAAGTGTTATTTTAATTTTTTAACATGTGTTATGATCACTGCACCACCCAACCCTAACGCTTTCTTGCTTTAACGTTCATTCATCAACTTGCACTTACAGACAGTACAAGTACTCTTATTTATTTATTTATCTTATTTATTTCTATATAATTTAAACTATACTATCATTATTATATAATATAGTACTATATATATATCTCTTCATCTATCCTCATTGTAAATACAGCCAATCACATTTTTAAATTAAAATTCTTTTCAAAGTTTTTTGTGTTTTTCAAACAACCAAACCAAAACCAAAACCAACCACATCACCTTTTTTGTATCAATAGCTCATCAACCTCTTTTTATTTAAATTATTATTATTACTTTGCGAAAGTAATACATCTATCTATCTCTATTATTTATTTATATATTTGTCTATTCTATTATACAACAACAACAATGACAACAGTTGAACCAACTACAACCACCTCTACAACTAGTACTTCATCGACATCACCAGTTGCCGTCGCTGCGGCACCAGTAGTCAACATCAAAGATAAGAATATATTTGGTACTTTAGAGGTCAAGATCAAGGAAGTAAAGGGATGTCAAACCCACTTCCTCCTTGCCAAATGCGAACTTGCTCAAAAAAAGAGTGAAGTAAAGACTAAATCTCTTTCAAATCATACTTTTGTTGATGTTTTTGAATTGTATGTACAAAATCTAAAAACAAAAACAAACATATATATATATATTTCCAAAAATAGATTTATAATCTAACCTTTTTCCTTTTTTTTTTTTACTATTTCTAGCCGAGTATCATCACCAAATAGTGAAATTGAAATTGAAGCATGGAAAAAGAATTTATTCTTTAAAGACAAGATTACTGGTAAATTGACACTTTCCATCAATGATTTGTTGACTGCCAATGGTGAACCAAAGTGGATGCCATTGGCATCAAACAAAAAGGCCAGACGTCCACGTACAGGTGCTGCTGCCGGTGGTAATCCATCGTCGCCATCATCACCAGACTCTGATTCATCCGCGTCCAAGCCAGCCGACGAGAATGCCAAGGAGAATGATGTTGCCCGTGGTGACACCAACTCTGAGGGTGAAAAGGACACTGAGGAAGAGTCACCAAAGTCACGTGCTCGTTCAGTCAGCCTCTCGGCCAAGAAGCCAAAGGACCCACCCGAGATCCTTTTAGAGATCAAGTTTACCAAGAATGAACCACCCAAAGAGGTGCTCAAGGGTATCATCTTGGACGGCGTATGGACCGCCGACAATAGTGTTGGCACGCTGACCAACAACCCACACTGGATCAAGTGCGCTCAGTACTTGCTCACCATCAAGAATGAGACGTCGCCCATCACCATCAAGCTCCGTCAACCAGAGGGTGTCGACCAACGTATCTCGTTTTTCGTCATCAACTATGACTCGTTTTACGCCGGCTCGAAAAAGGTTATCTTTGACAGCGTCAACGACGTCAAAAAGGTGGACGACTTTTTCTGCCCCATTGCCGCCACCTCGATCGACTGTCCCATCAAGATGGAGGTCGGCCAGTTCCTCATCATCCCCTACGCCGAGACCTTTGGCTACCAAGGCACCTACAAGCTCAACGTCGACTCGGCCTCGGCCCTCGACAACGTCGAGCTCTACGCGCTCCCCAAGGCCGGCGAAGACAAGCAATGGCACGAGATCAAGGTCGAGGGTCTCTGGACCAGCGCCACCAACGGCGGTGGCGACATCAACACGTTGCACTGGACCAAAAACCCACAATACTTGTTCACCTTGACCAAGGCTGCCCGTGCATGCGTGCTCTTGTCGCAAGACGACCACGAAAAGTCGATCGGCTTTTACGTCGTGCCCCTCGTCGACAAGGCCAAGAAGATCGTCGAGTTCCGCGGCCCCGTCGGCAAGACCGAGGCCTTCAAGCACACCTGTCACAACGGTTGCACCATGAACCTCGAAGCCGGCGAGTACGTCGTCATCCCCTCGACCTTTGACCAAGCCATCGAAGCTGCCTTCCACCTCACCCTCTTTACCGACGACCGTCAAGCCACCTTTGCTCCACTCACCGATGCCTGGAAACACCAAGAACTCATCAAGGGCACTTGGGTCGGCAAGAGTGCCGGTGGCTCCCCCAACTCGGGCGAGTCATTCTTTAAGAACCCACAGTTCCGTCTCACCCTCCCCAAGGACCGTGCTGCCGACACAACCGTCCTCGTCCAACTCATCCAAGACTCGACACTTGCCGACGAAGGTATCGGATTCATCGTCATCAACCGTGACCAACACGACAAGGCACTCACTGCAGGCGACTTCCAAAACGAACAATTGTTCACCAAGACTGCCAACTGGGAACGTCGTAACGACATTGCTCACCGTGTCGTCGTCAAGCAAGACGATCCATCTGTTTTCACAATCATCCCATCCACCTATGAAAAGGGTGTCAACCGTTCTTTCCGTGTTCAAGTTTTCTCTGACCTCCCAGTTGAATTGGATTCAATAGATGAAGCTGATGATTCTTCAGATGAAGAAGAAGATAATAATTCTGACAAGGAAGAAAAGGATGATAACAAAAAACAAGATGAAAATTAAAAAAAAAATATATAATAATATAATAAAAATAAATAAAATATAAAAAAAAAATTGTAAAAAATATATAACCTGCAGGCAGTACTAGTTGAAACATCTTGTAGAGTCAACTCTGATTTCAAGTTTGATTATTTATTTGTTTTGTCTTTAGAATTAAAATATATAAATTGAGATTGTAGACTAAAAGCTTATAATCACCAAGTCATTAAAGAAGGTGACCACCAAACTCCTAGTCACATTGTTCTCGCTGCCTTTTAAAAGTGCTTGCCTTGTAGCTTATCTGCTAATACTTGCATTATGGTACCATTGGTACTCGTACGAGTTTTGTCAATCACCTGGCGGGTTATAGCTTTTCAGCTTTCTAGTAACATAGTAGATAGATAATGTAGATTTTAATTACATTGATTGGTGATAAGATTATTATTTATTTTGGAAAGATTATAGGATTTTAATCCGATCATTCCAAAACTTGTTACCAATAATGATATCAACGTGGTCAATGACAAGACGCTTTTTTGACGTGGTAGGTTGTTTTGGTGTTAGACAATGTTCAGCCTCTTTGGGTGTGCATCCACCCTGTAACACCAATGCCCAGTAACACGTTTCTCCAACCCACTCTAGCACTACATTGCTCATTGTATTGGTGGTACAAGGAGACGTGTCAGGATGTGAAGAAGTTCCATTGTTTGTTGTAGAGGAGGTTGTTGGGATTAGTTAATATTCATGTTATTGATCATATTCATATTATTTAATTGTTGGATGATGAGGGATGATAGTATTGTTTGTTGATTCAGAATGACTTTGTTGACGTTGCTTATTGTAGGTAAAGAGCCATAGGTCATGAACCAAGTGAGGCCGTCACAAGTCCTGATACCTTGTAGTGGATGGGATATGGTGTGAAGATGTTATACCAGCCATGGGGTGTTGTACTGGTAAATCTATGGATATTGAAACCAAAGACTATATTCCTTTCAGGATCTAGAGCCGCAGTGAACATCCATTGCAAGAAATGCAGAGCAACGGCAATGTGAGATACTCGTCAAGGCCGCGACGGTTTCCTTTCATTTCTTGCTTGAAGAAATGGTCCAAAATTGCAAGACCACGCCATCCTAATTACCGGCGAAGCTCGTAGTTATGTTCGTTGTTGACATGCAAAAGCGGACAACTACCAATAACTATCACACAACTAGTTGCAACTGTGGACTATGAGAGAGTGAGTGACAGGAGGATGTGTGAGCAACCATAGCTCAAATCATAGTACATGAAATCATTCTACACATCGATCCAGCAGCACAACAAATAATAAAAGTAAAGATTAGAGTAACTGTTTGTAGTATAACTAACGCTTTATCTGATTCTTTCATATGGAAGAGAAACAAACTTTGACAAAGGGGAACCAAAACAAGGTAAATATTAACAAATGTAAAAGATACAATGTGCATTCATCATACTTATCTCTCCATGTCTCTCTTTCTCTGTGTTGTGGTTGTTTCTCCCTTCTTGTAGTTTCGTTTATCTCTCTCTCACATGGAGCCACTTTCGAAATTATTTTTGAAAAATCTCTAATTACGTATTTCGGTCTAAAACCAGACGAAAGCTATAACCCGTCAGGTGATTGACAAAACTAGTACCATAATGCAAGTATTAGCAGATAGGCTACAAGGCAAGCACTTTTAACATCTGTACAATTTGGACTACAATAGGTTAAATACTATTGTATTGCTGCATCGTAGTTGGGAACGACTTTTACTTTTCGAGGTCTTTCCCTGGGAAAAAGGCAGCGAGAACAATGTGACTAGGAGTTTGGTGATCACCTTCTTTATGACTTGGTGATTATAAGCTTTTAGTCTACAATCTCAAATTATATTTTAATTTTAAAGACAAAGATAAAACCAAACAAATAATCCATCTTGAAATCAAATCATTGATAATTGTCTCTTTGTACAAGACACGTTCAAGCACCCATGGACTTAATCTCTCTCTATATTTGAATGATCAAAATCAGGTGACGGTATGGCAGTTAACCAGGTGATCAGAGTATCACTGATGCAGAGTACGATGTCATATGACCAAAAAAAAATCACATGTGACGACACACTAAGACATATGCCGTGTCGTGTGTGTGTATAACTATAATTATAGCATGTGGTCATATGATACACAATAACTTTCTTTCGTTCGTTTTTGAAATCAAAAATGAAAGCGAAACTTTATCTCTCAAAAGTAATATATACCAAACAACACGATAATATTATAAAGTATATCTGGATTTAATGAAATAAAGTATAATAAATATTTATATATTATTATTATTATTGGTATTATCTTTAGATCTAAAAATGTATATCTAGATTCATTCCACAGATCTGTTTCGTTTATAGTTTGTGTGTGAGGTTTCATTAAATGACGAGAAAGAAAAATATTTAGTAGTATAGCAGTATAGTGCGCTTAATACGAGTAGTATTCTTATTGAACTCAAAACTCTGGGTCTTCGATACCACAACAACAAACAACAACAACAATACTTATATTTCTTTTGTGTGATCATTTATTTCGATTAAATTTAATTTTTCAAGGGAATTGTAGAGTTCCTGCTCGTCGTCCTATCATCGACTCTGTTTGCCCTCCAAACACAACAACAAACACATCAGATATTCTGTTGACTTTTTTATTTTTTTGGCTTTGCTGAACAATTGTGTTTCGTTTCGATACAGAGCGCGCAGAGAGAGCCATGAACACTCTAATTTTCAATCACACAAGAAAAAATTTGAGTTCATTGTTCAAAGTTTCTAATAATCTACGAAGAACAAGTTACACAACTACTACCACTAGTTTCTCTTCTTCTACCACCTCTACTACTAGTACCATCACCACTAACAATAGTAGCCACTATCAACCACTACAACCTTTAGCAATAAACAACACAGACAGTATGGAGAAGAATTTACAAATCTTAAGATCTTCATTTGCAAATAGAGGTAAGAAATTAAATATACAACAACATCAACAACAATAAATAGTATATACACAGACAGAGATAGAAAGATAAATAATAATGAAAGAGACGAACGACGAGACACATCACCTTTATATGAGGTTGATCGGCTATGAAGGGTAGCGAGAGGGAGAGAAGTGTAGATCATCAGAAAAAAAAAATAGCCGAGAGAGAAAAATTGCAAAAAGAAAAGAAAGAAGGATGATCTTTCGGCAAAATAATAATAATAACAGTAATAGTATACATAGATATAATATATATGGTTGCAGTTATATAATAACTATAAAAAAAGAAAAGAAAGGAATTGAAAAGAATGAAAGAGTGCAATAATAAATAATTTAAACAAAAAAGAAGAAAGAATAAGAATAAGAAGAAAAGAATGATTCTAGATTCATCTTGATGAATCATATGATTGTTGTGGTTACTCGGAGAGTAAATTTAAACAAATACGAAATTTCACTATCACGATCCCCATAATCACAATTTAAATTTCTAGTTTTGGGCAACCATGGTTCCATCGCTCTTTGTCTTTGGTTTTTTTTTAGATTTTTACAAAACAATATTAATTTTCTTTTCTTTTTATTTTAATTTTCTATTTACATCATTTTAGGAACTGCATTTACACGTGAAGAAAGAGATAAACTTGGACTTCGTGGATTATTACCACCAAGAGAAGAGACAATTGAAGATCAAGCCGAGAGATGTCTTGTACAATTCCATTCGTTTGGCAGTAATTTGGAGAAATACGTATTCCTCAATTGTTTGCGTGATCGTAATGAGACACTTTTCTACTACTTGTTGACCAACAATCTCGAGCTTATGATGCCAATCGTCTACACTCCAACCGTCGGAGAAGCCTGTCAAAAGTTTGGCAATGAGTTTCGTTTTGCTCAAGGCATGTACTTTGCCACCCAAGACAGAGGCGAGATCCGTCGTATGTTGGACAACTGGCCCAACAAGGACGTCGACATTATCGTCGTGTCTGACGGCTCGAGAATCCTCGGTCTCGGTGATCTCGGCACCAACGGCATGGGTATCCCCGTCGGCAAGCTCCAATTGTACGTCGCAGGTGCTGGCTTCAACCCCGCCAAGACACTTCCAGTGATTATCGACGCCGGAACCAACACCAAGAAATATTTGGACGACAAGTTTTACTTGGGCGAGAAACACGCCCGTATCAAGGACGAGGAGTACTATGCATTGATGGACGAGTTCTTGTCGGCCGTCTACAACAAGTGGCCCAAGGTGTTGGTGCAATTCGAGGACATTTCCAACGACCATTGCTTTGCCTTGTTGGAAAACTACCGCAACAAATATTTCTGCTTCAACGACGATATCCAGGGCACTGGGTCGGTCATCTTGTCGGGCTTTATCAACTGCATCCGTGCCGTCCAAAAGCCCATCACCGAGCACCGTCTCGTGTTCCTCGGCGCCGGATCTGCCGGCATTGGTGTCGCCGACTGCATCATGACCCTCTTCCAAGAGGCCGGCATGTCCGAAGAGGACGCCAGAAAGTGCTTCTGGTTTGTCGACTCCAAGGGTCTCATCACCACCACCCGTGGCGACGAGCTCACCCGCTACAAAAAGGCGTACGCCCGTGGCGACGTTGCCGCCGACAAGCAGCTCAAGTCGCTCGCCGACGTCGTCCGCTCCGTCAAGCCCACCGCCATCATCGGCCTCTCTGGCATTGGCGGCAGCTTCACCCAAGAGGTCGTCGAGGAAATGGCCCGTCTCAACGAAAAGCCAATCGTCATGGCCCTCTCCAACCCAACCTCCAACGCCGAGTGCACCGCCGAGCAAGCCTACACCTGGTCGCAAGGTCGTTGCATCTTTGCCTCTGGCTCCCCCTTTGCCCCCGTCCAATACAATGGCAAGACCCTCATCCCAGGCCAAGGCAACAACATGTACATCTTCCCAGCCCTCGGTCTCGGATCCGTCGTTGTCAACGCCCGTCACATCACCGACGGCATGGTCATCGCCGCCGCCAAGTCTCTCGCCTCCCAAGTCGACGACTCTGAAGTCATCCAAGGAAAGATCTACCCCGGTCTCCACAGAATCCGTGAACTCTCGGTCACTATCGCCGTCGCTGTCGCTGAAAAGGCCTACGAAGAAGGTATGGCCCAACTCCCACGTCCAGACAACCTCGAACAAGCCGTCCGTGATTTCATCTATCATCCACACTATGATCAAAAAAAGTTGGATTGACTAGCCAATAACAAAAAAAATAATAATATTTTGTTGAAATCAAAACTCTAAAATAAGTAAAACCAAACAAACAAATTCTTGATACTTTTGATTTTCAAACAACAAAAAAAAAAAAAAAAACAAAAAAAAAGAAATACAAACCCAAAATCAATAATAATAATAATAATATTAATTAATTCACAACGATCATTTGATGGAAATAGTAATAATAATAACAAAAAAAAAACAAACATATTTATTAAAACACACGCAATAATAATAATAATAATAATAATTAAATAATAACAATAAATAAATGTAATTAATATAAGTATACCAAAATTAGTCAATAATGACGGACGGACAATGAAGGTCGGACATTCCACATGATTCCATTCTAAAAAAGAATAAGAAGTTCCCAAAAATATGATGAACTCGGAAATGAGAACCTTTTTTAAAATTTTAATTACAAGTGTTGGGTTCGAGGTGATCATCAGATGACATTGAGTTGATCAAACATTACATTATTGTAGAGAGATACAGAAATAGATAAATATAAAATGGCAAAGAAGGTATATTATATCAATGATGATGATAGATTAGATTATATTGGTTATCTAACTCCTCTTGTCTCTCTCTCGGTCTTTTTATAGATTCTTATGATTGTTGGAGATTATGTAGAGGACTATGAAGTAATGGTCCCATTTCAAGCATTGTTGATGGTTGGTCATATTGTACATGCAGTATCACCAGGCAAGAAAGACAAGGATACTATTGCAACAGCAGTTCACGATTTCCTCCCAGGAGAACAAACATACACTGAATTAAAGGGTCACAGATTCGCACTCAACTTTGATTTTGATAATGTAAAGTCATCTGATTATGATGCTTTATTGGTTCCAGGTGGTAGAGCTCCAGAATTCCTTGTTTGTATCACGAGAATAATCATACATGTGTTAGGTTACTAATCAACTCTGATCTATCTATCTTTCTTTATTTTGTTGATTTAGAGATTAAATGAAAAGGTTATTTCACTTACACAAGAATTTCATAGAGACAAGAAACCAATTGCATCGGTTTGTCACGGTCTTCAAATCTTGTCGGCTGCAGGTATCTTGAAGAATGTAAATTGTACAGGTTACTTTGCTTGCAAGCCAGAGATTGTCCAAGCCGGTGGCAACTATATCGATACACCTGCTGATGGTGCCGTACAAGACGATCATATCATCTCTGCTGTCGCTTGGCCTGGTCATCCACAATGGTTAAGTTTATTCCTTCAAAAGTTGGGTACAAAGATTACTCTTTAAAATATTAAGTTAAATAATAAAATAAAAATTTCCAATATAAAGTAAATATATATATATATATTTTTATTATTGAGTATTGGTATTTATAATAAAAATTTATTTCTAATATTTTAATTTATGATGATGATGATGGATTTAACCTCCACTTTTTTTTTTTATTATTCATCTTTTTCCTTTTTTTTTTTTTAACAACAAATAAACATGAACAAAGATAATTCAAAAGTTAATTTGTTTATTTGTATATATAGACAGACTGTACTTAGAAGACACATATTCCATTTTATCAACGAGATTAGTGCACAAAGAAATATCAATGCTTTGGAAGGTCAAAAGTATTTAAAAGGAAAGGATATCATTCAATTAAGAGATATTAGAATGATATCAAAGTATGCATTACCATGGCACTTTGTAAAGCATTATCTACCTGATGATCGTAAAAAGATTGGTCGTTATGTTAGATGGCAAGCAATAAACAAGTATGCAAGTCATCCAAATGCTACTGTTGAAACATTACAACATCTTATAGAATGGTCACCACATGTCGATTTTGTTGGTGATTATCTAGACAAGACTGCAATCAATGGAAATCTGGATATATTAAAGATGATTCATCAAAGATATCCAAATACAATCATTCATACAAAAAAATCAGTTGAAGGTGCTGCAAAGAATGGTCATTTGTCAGTCATTCAATTTCTTGATTCAATCGATAAACAAGTACAACCATTAATATTTACAACACAAGTAATGGATAATGCTGCAAGTGGAGGACATAAAAGTCTAGTTGAATGGTTACATCAAAATAGAAATGAAGGAGGAACAGAGAGAGCTATTAAATTAGCATCTGAAAATGGACACTTTGATTGTGTAAAGGTATGAAACTATAAATCAAATTATAATTAATGGTAATTTAAAAGAATCTAATTATCTATATTTAGTATCTTGTAGAGAATATGAGTATTAAAAAAGGAACTGAAGAGGCTATGAATATGGCTGCATTGAATGGACATTATGATATTGTAGTATATTTACATCAACATTCATACATTTGTACAACTAGAGCCATTGATGGTGCTGCAGCCAAAGGACATTTAAATATAATTAAATTCCTTCAAGAGAATAGAACTGAAGGATGTTCTCGAGGAGCTATGAATATTTCATCAGCAAATGGTCATTTGGATTGTGTTAGAGTATGCACTAGGTTCATAATTAATAACTTCATTTCAATTATTCTATTGACATAATATTAATTGCTTTAAACTTTCTATATTTCTATAGTTTTTACATAATCATAGAAGTGAAGGATGTACAACTGATGCTATGGATGAGGCATCTGCTAACGGTCATTTATCTGTGGTTGAATATTTACATCATAATAGAAGTGAAGGATGCACAAAATATGCCCTTGATTCAGCAGCCAAATCCAATCACCTCTCAATTGTGAAATTCCTGGTAAAGAATAGAACAGAGGGATGTTCCAGTCGATTAAACCATATCATTGAAGATCTTACCCCAGAAATAGCCTCCATTTTGGTACCAATCATCCCACCAATCGAATTATCAAGCGATGATGATAATTTTTATGATGACACTGGTGATGATGATGACGATCAAGTTTACAATAATTATATGTATTCAAACTATAACTATAGTTCAAGCGCACACTTTGACTTTGATGAATATTATTGGGAACCTTGAATCATCCCTTCAAAGGTTTATCGATCAAAAGATTACCCATCATATATTTCCAAACAAATCTATCTCAAAGAGTAAATTAAAGAAATCTATCATCCCCTTTTAATTATTTCTTCTTTTTTGATTCACTTGTCTATCCACCAAGCAACCATACATCTCCAACAAGCTTGGAATTTTTTTTTTCGAGTTTCAAGTTGGGAGAAAAAAAATAAAGGCTGCATCGACTTCGATTCAAAATTGTCTTCTTGTTGTTCATAATCTTCAAAAGAATTTAAATTGTTTTGAAGATACAAATACACTTACTCATCATTCAATTGAACAAAGATGATGACACAAAATAGTTTCCTTGGGTTACAGATACCTCTAGATAAAATAGATCAATTACATCAAGATGCAGATAAAGTAGAGGGATTTATTGATCAACAAGACGGGAATGAAGAAAATCAACAAGACAATTCTTCTACTACTACAAATATGTATGTTGAAATCTATTAAAAATAGTGGTTTATAATACTTCTTCTTCTAACCTTGATACTATTTATCAAAAAAGATCATCACCAACAACAACAACAACAAAAAAGGAAGAAAAAAAGAAAAAGAAGAAAAAGAATAAAAACAAGATTAGAAAGAAAGCACCTTATGTTGAACCTGGGGATATAGTAAAAGGTGTAAATGATGAACATACAGTCATATACGACTATGGAAATGTTATCAATGTAAAAAATGTTGATACAAACAAAGAATGGAATGAAGCAATATTGGGAAAGTATCTAAAGGATGCTGGGTTTGTAAAAGGTTTATACAACTCTGCAAGTATCAAATCTTGGATGACACCAATCTACATTCAATTTGCCAACAAGTTGTTGTCTCATTTACCTCGAAAGGATGGTAAAAGTCCAGCTGTTCCAATAACTGGTCATGGTCAAACTGACTTTAACGCTGCCTTTAACACCATTTCATCTGAAACGTTTGGAAACATACTGCCAAATATGCCTTCATCCTACAAGATGATGACATCGTTACTAGTCGTCGCAGCATATGTATTGGGGTTCTCTGGATTTGGTCGTGGGGGATATCTTCCCAATATAGTCAAACACACTCTTGTCGAGAATAATGCAGTCATTCCAAGAGACTTTCCTGACCTTGCTCGCAAAGTTCAATACCATTTCAATGTATACTATGGTCTATCAGGTCAACAAGTACAGGTCGTATGGGATAAAACAAAGTTGACAAAATACCTTGAAAACAATGTCATTAGAAAATACACAACCACCAAGTATCCAGCCACCGAGCTAAATATCACGTATATCATTACACTGTGTAAATCGGTTATGTCTCAAATCTATAAATTAGAGAACAAGAGTATTCCAAAAGATATATTGGATGTAGATATAGAAAAGGTTGAATTGGTAATTGACATGATGGGAAGTATGGCAAAACCATATTGGAATGAACAAGATATTTTCTGGTATAAAATGAGAATGATTATATTACAAATTACACTCATCGCATTCCAAACTGGTATCCCCAATTATGTGCACATTCCACTGATTGACAGTTGTCTTAAACAAGAGATAATCGATCATTTAGAAAACCCTATTTATGAATTTAAAAAAGATCTCAAAAGTACATTCCAAATTCTTTTTGCTCTACTTGTTGATAATCAACTATTCACAGATATTGCAAAGCAATAAATGTAAAAAATCAAATAATTAAAAAAATATTTATTTTTCAACATGATTGACACAAACTCGTGAGTGTCCACTAAATGATGCTGGTTTTGTTAGAGGCTCATATAGTTCTCCAAAAAACAAAGTAGAGATAACACCAATGTTTATTAAATTTTCCAAAAAGTTGTATTTATATAAACAAGACATTGTCACTCTTACTGGAAATGGTCAAACAGACTTTGACGCAGTCTATTCTTATATGAGATCTGGAGTATATGAAAAAGAGGGGAAAATCATTCTACCCTCTTACACTTTAATGGCAACATTGCTTGTTGCTGCAGCATACGTCGTTGGATTTAATGGATTTGGTAGAGGGACAATACCCAACATTGTCAAAAATGGACTTGTCGAGAATAATGCAGTAATTCCACTCAATGTATCAGAGCTATTCAAAAAGATCAATTTCAGTTCGAACAGATACTTTGGTCTAGTAAATTAACAAGAATCGATTGTATGGGACAAGGAAAAGATGGCATACTACCTACCAAACAATGGTGTCAGAAAATACAATCCAACAAAATACGAAGCAACCCAAAATAATATTATTCGTATGGTCTCACTATGTCAAGCAGTTTTTGCTCAAATGCTGGCATTCTATATTAGTCCAAACATACAAGAAAAAGGATTACATTTGGTACTGGAAATGATGCAACTAACACAATCAAAAATTGAAAAGAGGACTGCTGAAATGCAACTCGACAAGCTTGGTCGTCTGACATTACCATTATTAAAACTACCAGAACCATCTTGGATTTTTACTATTTGAATGTGTGTACTTGCCTTTACATTGATAGCATTCGAGACGGGTATCATCAACTTTTTCTACCCTCCATTAATCAATGAATACCTTTAACCACATGTATTAGGATCATTAGATCACGATCTTTATGGAGAGGATGCAAACTCGATCACTGGTACCCTTTTTGCAATCCTTAAACAAGAAAAATCATTATCAAAAAAAATAAAAAAATAAATAAATAATAATTCTCACAATTTCAACTTTCCACAAACTTCAAACTCCAATTTCACCTTCAACAACAACTTCAAATTTTTGTTTTGTGGTCATTCTTTCCCTTTACAAACCAAACCATCTTGTCTGTATACAATTATTTATTTATTTATTTAATAATGGATAATAATAATATTAGTAACGATTCTTTTGAACTTGTAACAGTTGACAAACAACTAGCAATAGGTCAATTACAAATGAATGATGATGACCATGCTACAACTTCAACTTCTTCAACCACCACCACTACTACTACTATCTCCACTCTCAACTCTAACCAAGTGTATGTTTATTCCTATAGTTAATAATATCACTTTAATCTCTAATCTTTTTTAAATATTGAAATTTATTTAGAACATCAGATCAACTAGGAGAAAAGAAGAAAAGAAAAAAAAGAAAAAAAATAGAGAAAAGAGATTTAAAAAACATTTTGTAGAATTTGGTGATATTGTTGAAGGAGTCAATGATGAACATCTTTACCATTACAAATATGGAAATGTTGTAAATGTAAAGATTGATATTGAAAAGGAATGGACTGAAGAAATATTGGGAAAGTATTTAAAGGATGCTGGCTTTGTCAAAGGCTCATTACGCTGGTTCAAGTACCAAAGCTGCAATGACTCCAATCTATATTCAATTTGCTGAAAAGTTGTTGTCATTTATTGCTTGTAGTCGACAATGTTGTGAGAACTACCAGTGTGTCGAGATCACTGGTAATGGTAAGATTGACCTAAACAATGCTATCAATGTCCTTTCATGTCAATTATTTCAAGAGAAAAATGACACGATACCACCATCCTATACATTGATGGCATCGTTACTTGTAGTTTTATCATACTTGATGGGACTTTCTGGATTTGGTAGAGGCTGTATTCCAAACATTGTAAAGAAAACACTTGTCGAGAAGAATGCAGTCATTCCACGTATTGGATCTGAACTCTATACCAAGATCAATTACTGTTGGAATAGATATTATGCTCTAGTCGATCAACACCACAAAATAGTATGGGATCAATCCAAAATGACACAGTACCTCCTCAACAATGGGATTAGACAATTCAGTACCTCCAAATTCCCAACCAATCCAGAAAATTTACGTAATATTTATATTCCATGTAAAATGGTGGTTTCTGTGATCAACAAGACTATTCTTGGCATGGATGGACAAAAGGCAAATACTCCACCAGTGGTAGATATAGAGGCTGCTGAATCTGTAATTCAAGAGATGGGTCGTATGATATTACCTCTTTGGAAATCAACTGAAAAAGCAACTGATTTTAAAAAAGCTATCATCATTAGTGTCATTAAAATTACTTTGTTGGCATTCGAGACTGGTATCACCAACTATATCTACAACCCATTGATAAACTACCTTAAATCAGATATTCTACTCCATCTCGAACACAATTGTTTCGATTTTAAAGATGAAATCGATTCCACATCAAAGATTTTTGTCCAAATTTTATATAACCTTGTAGAATATTTATAAAGTATTCAATATACATATCTCAATATATTTAAAAATCATTAATATCAACCATATGTAAATTCAATAATTCTTTTTAAATAAAACTTAAAAACTTTAATGGTTTAGGTGAAAGATGAATTTCAAGAATACGATTCATCATCAATTTGATTTTAGAAAAAGAAAATAATAGTAATAGTATTGAGTTTTTTCAATATAATTTAGATGAAATTTCAGTTGATCTTTTTAAAAAGAAAACATCTCAAAACCTTTGTCAAACAATTAAATCAATTTTCAACGATATTCCAAAATATGATAGTAAATTCAAAAAAGAAAATAGTGTCCCACTCAAAACCAATCGACCACACACATATATTAGATTATTATGATCTATAGAGATATTTAGATAACTAAAGATAATTATTTTAGTATATTTTTCATGACAAGCAATGATCACAAATTCAAAAGCTAATTTATTTATTAGAATCTTCAGACATTCAATACTCAGGTATCAAATATTCGATTATATCAAGCAATTTGGTGAACTGTCAAGATTAGATGGTGATGAGAAACCTTATATCAAAGGAAGAGATATAATCACAATCATCAAACAACGATGTGATCTTGGAACTATATCAAAGTATGCATTGCCTTGGCACTTTGTTAAACATTATCTTCCATCTGCTGATTGTAAAGAGATAAACAAATATGTTAGATGGCAAGCAATCAATCAGTATACAACACATCCAAATGCAACTGTTGAATCGTTGGAAGGTCTCATTGAATGGTCACCTGATGTCTATTTTGTTGGTGATTATCTAGACAAGACTGCAATCAATGGAAAGATAGATATATTAAAGATGATTCATAGTCGTTATCCAAATACAATCATGCACACAAACAAATCAGTTGAAGGCGCTGCATTGAATGGAGACCTGCAAATGATTCAACTCCTTGGCTCAATCGATAACAAAGGAATACCAATATTCACATCTCAAGTAATGGATAATGCTGCAACTAAAGGTTGGTTAGAAATATTAAAATGGGTACATCAAAATAAAAGTGAATCTGGAACAACTGAACAAGCAATCAACAAGGCAGCAGAAAATGGACACTTTGAATGTGTAAAGGTATGTACCTATTTGTTAATACGTTAAAATACACAATTCTAATAATATATCTATTTTATATTTTTTAGTTTCTTGTAGAGAATACAAAAGAAGAAGGAACTGAAGAGGCTATAAACATGGCCGCACGCAATGGTCATTTTAATATTGTTCAATATTTACATCAACATGATTATATTTGCACGACTAGAGCCATTGATGGTGCCGCTGAAAATGGACATTTAAATATAATTAAATACCTTTCAGAGAATAGAACTGAAGGATGTAGTGAAAAGGCTATGGATCTTGCATCATCTAATGGTCATTTGGATTGTGTCAAGGTATGTTATTAAATATATATATATAATATTATTATAGTTTAGACTTTATTGTTTTTTGACTCTTTTTTTCTATATTTCTATAGTATTTACATAATCATAGAAGTGAAGGATGTACAAATCATGCAATGGATGAGGCATCTGCTAATGGTCATTTAGAGGTGGTTAAATATTTACATCATAATAGGAGTGAAGGTGCAACCGAAAAAGCTATGGATGAGGCATCTGCTAACGGTCATTTAGAGGTGGTTAAATATTTACATCATAATAGGAGTGAAGGTGCAACTGAAAAAGCAATGGATGAGGCATCTGCTAACGGTCATTTATCTATTGTTCAATTCTTACATGACCACAGAACTGAAGGATTCACAGCGAGAGCCATGGATGAAGCTGCAGAAAATGGATTTGTATCAGTTATAGAATTCCTTCATTTTAATCAAAGTGAAGAATGTTCACCCAAAGCAATCACAAAAGCAGCAGAGAACGGTCATTTATCTGTAATTGAATTCCTTCATTGCAATCAAAGTGAAGGATTTACAACCAAAGTAATGGATAAAGCAGCAGAGAACGGCCATTTGGATGTAATAGAGTTTTTACATTGCCACAGAACTGAAGGATACTCAAAGAGAATTGTAAAACAAGTTGTTTCCAAAGGACATTTAGATGTATTGATTTGGATACACAACACACTCCCTCCAACTCTTGACGGGTCACCACTTTTTAAAGCTGGAATGATTGAACTAGCTCATCAATACATCAACTGGACATCGGAACCATCTAGATTTCACCGTATTATCAAATGGTTATATGATAACAATATTGGAGTAGATGAGAGTAATCAACACATGGCTGCTTCCATTTCGGAAAAGTACAATTCAAATAACACTCCCTATACATATGTAATGGGCCTGGATAGTAACTTGGAAATGCTTCGAACCCCTCTTGTCAACTCTTGGAATTACTCTCTTTGTCGAGCATTCGAGAATGGATACTATTTTATGGTTTTGTATCTTATTGAATGTTTTCCAAGAGAAAGAGGTGATGGCATCCTTGATCTTCCTTTTTCTCAATACCTTTCAACTGTAGACTTGGTTTGTAGAATTGGAAAGGGAACAAGATTGAAAACTGACATTAAATTTAAAAACAATTATTCTTTAATTGTTTATTTAAATGAAAACGATAGACCAACACGTTATGCTCAAATCGATGAAGCAGCCAAAGATGGACAATTCTCATTGGTATCCTATCTCTATCATAAAGGGTTTTATTGCTCCTTAATTGCTTTGGAAGAGTCTTCAAAGTGTGGTTATTTATCAATTATCAAAGTATATATACATTACAATCAATATAAACACCAGATCTCTCTTTCTCTAACAATCGATAAATATCTATTTTCTTTTTTTTTTTAGTTTCTTGTAAAACATAGGGAAAATGAAAGAAGCATAGTAAGTCGTCCATCACTGACATATGCAGCCTCAAGAGACAAACTTTCTTGTCTGTTATTCCTTCTCCGACACCTTCGTAAAGTCTCGGTCAAGGGTCTGGAGATGGAAGCCACCAATGGTAGCCTTACCACCCTACAAGCAATTCCAAAATTCCTAAGAGACAATGATCCTGATACATTGATCCATGCAGCTCGCAATGGTTGGTTGACAATCGTTCAATATCTCTACAACAACAACAAGAACAACAAAGAAGCTGCATTTAAGGAAGCAATGAACCCTCAAATTGCCTCTATCATGGAACCTTTCATCGGACACATCAGAGATGAGGCCCAATTTTATCGGTCTGATTACAACCATGATGATTATTATTATTTTGATGAATATAAAATCGTTCCTTCGAAATTTGAAGAATATGAAGAATATTTTGATCAATTTAATTATAAATAAAACAAATTATTTAATATTCATTTATTTTTCCTTGATTGCCCATTGTTCCTTCATATTATCTGTATTGATTCCTACCATTGCTTCTCCCAAGTTTTCACTCACTAATTAAATAAAATAAAAAAGGGAAATTAGAAAATTAAATTATTTATAAATATCATAATTTGATTCTCTTTTGTTTCAATTTTGTTTACATACATTCAGCAATTTTTTTAGGATCATTGTAATGGGTTACTGCTTGAACAATGGCTTTGGCTCTTTTGATTGGATCACCACTTTTGAAAATACCTGATCCTACAAACACACCGTCCATTCCAAGTTGCATCATGAGAGCTGCGTCGGCTGGGGTAGCAACACCACCAGCAGCAAAGTTGACAACTGGCAAACGACCAAGAGCCTTAACTTCTCTGACCAACTCGATGGGTGCTTGGATCTCCTTGGCATAGGTGAATAATTCATCGTCGTCCATCATCACCAACTTTTTAATCTCCTTGTTGACTGCTCGAGCATGACGTACTGCCTCGACAATGTTTCCTGTTCCAGCCTCTCCCTTGGTTCTAATCATGGCAGCACCCTCTGAGATTCTACGCAATGCCTCTCCCAAATTTCTGCATCCACAAACAAATGGTACTTCAAACTTGTTCTTGTTTATATGATTTTCTTCGTCGGCAATGGTCAACACTTCACTCTCGTCAATATAGTCAATACCAATGGCCTGGATGATCTGTGCCTCTACAAAATGTCCAATTCTAACCTTGGCCATCACAGGAATACTAACAGCTTCCATAATACCCTTGATCATTGTTGGATCTGACATTCTTGCTACTCCTCCAAAATGTCTAATATCTGCTGGTATTTTCTCTAATGCCATTACTACAAAAAAAAGTAATTAATATCAATAAACTATTGAAAAAAGACATAGATAAAGAGATAATTATATTTTCTTTTTTTTTTTCCATACCTGCAACAGCACCTGCTTCTTCAGCTATTCTAGCTTGTTCCGGGGTTACTACATCCATAATAACACCACCTTTTAACATTTGAGCCAAGGCAGCCTTGGTTTTAAATGTTGATATTTTAACAACTGGCTTATTGTTGTTGATTGGTAAAGTTTCCTTTGATTCCATTTTTAATACTGTTGACATGATTAAAATAAATTATAGAATAGAAAAAGAAATAGAAAAAGATAAATGAAACGTTGTAAGTAAAGAATGAAATGATAGATGAAAAAATAGATAATGATTATTATGATGAACTGCAGGAGAAGTTGTGGTGTGGTAAAGTTGATGATGCCATGCAACCCACTACCACCAATCAGATGATGATTTGATATATGTCGATTTTTTTTTTTTTTGAACTTCAACTCTTTATGTATCTTTTTATCTCCTTTTATCTATTATCTCTTTCCATCTCCTCTATCTCTTACATGATTTATTTGTTGTTTAATTAATTGTTGATAATTGATATCATTATTATATTATTGTTTTTATAAATAGATTTAGTTTCTTGATATCAATACCAAGAAGATGATTGTTTGTTGATGTCATATGACGATGAATAAAAGACTCTCTTGTCTAGACGAATAAAATAAAATAGTATTTCTGAGAATGAAAACGACATATCCCTCTTTTAGACATTATCCAATCAAATTGAATTTTGCTTGAAAATCTTTTTTTAAAATTCTTACATATTTATCTAAAAGTTATCTATTATATTATTTGTCTAACTATATTTTGTTTGTTTATAATGATTACTAAAGGTTTGATGATGATGATGGGGGGTTTTAATACAAAAATGAAGGTTAACAACAAATTCAATTAAGGTAGTTCCATCTCCGACGACCCGCAAAAAATGTGTTTTGAATGCATGCCTGGTTTCCGGATTAGGGGGGTAAAGATTTTGTTGGGATTCCACGCGTTCTCTCTTTGCAATTTAATTAAATTAAAAAATCGGCATGCATGCTTGCATTGGGATGGGACATACCCTCAGACCGGTGAATCATAAATTAAAGAATACCCATAGATACGTAATGTTCACAAGACACAAAGTAGAAATTTCAAAAAGGTAAAGAAAAGAAACAAACAAACGAATGGTCATTACGCAATACCTTTCTTTTTTAGAAAGAATGAATGATCATCACACGAGTCGGGTAGGGGGGGGTGTGGTTATTGAGTGGTGGGTATACTTATCAAAACTCGAATCATCACTAAATCAACCCCCTACCATACGTCAACCTTTTAAGAATAATTAACTAATATTAAATATATTTTTAATTTATTTATTCTTTACGAAGAGTAATAATAATAATTTAATAATATTTTTAGAATAATAATAATAATGACAAATGATACAATTAGAGTAGGAGTATTATCTCTACAAGGAGGAGTGATTGAACATGTAAACATGTTAAAAAAGATAGCCAATGTAATAGTCAAGGAATTAAAATCAACTGAACAAATCAAAGTTTTCGATCCACATGGAATGATATTACCTGGTGGTGAGAGTACTGCAATGGCCATTATCGCTGAAAAGGATCAAGAGTTGTTCCCTTATCTACAACAATTGGTTCATTCTCAAAAGATTGCTGTTTGGGGTACATGTGCAGGTTCAATCATGTTATCTAATCAAGTTGATCATCAAAAAAAAGGAGGGTACGTACACAAACAAATCAACCATACCAATTGAACCAATCAATATATATATATATGATTATAGATTTACTTACTTTATATTTTCTCTCTTTAGACAATCATTAATTGGAGGATTAGAAGTTCAAATATCAAGAAATTACTTTGGTCGACAAATTAATAGTTTTGAAACAACTCTAACATTGAATTTACATGATGATCAAGAAGAAGGTGGAGCAAGTATAAACAAAATGGAATTTGAAGGTATATTTATTAGAGCACCAGCCATCCTTAAAACATTATCCGACAAGGTACACATTATAAGTGATTTTAATCATACCAAACCAGATGGCACCGAAGAAACTGTCATTGTTGCAGTACAACAAGACAACATGTTGGCAACTGTATTCCATCCTGAACTAACAAATGATAATAGATTTCATCAATACTTTGTTGATTTTATAATTAAAAATAATCAACAACAACAACAACAATTAAATATAATTAAATAATAATTAAATAAATAATATAATATAAATATGTATAAAATAATCAATGTATTTCTTATCTGATTTGATTTGATTTTTAAAACAAACAATTTTTGATGATTTATTAAAAAGGTTCAAAAATGTTTAAGCATCTGGACATTCCAAAGAACCATCCTTGATTTGGGCTTGGATTTCCTTTGGTGACTTTCCGTTGACCTTGCAACCAATGGAGTTAGCAGTACCTAAGATTTCGAGGACGGTAGCCTTGAATTCGACGGCACCAGACTTGAAACGCATGGTACGGGCAATCTTGACGATTTCCTCAAGTGGGATGTTACCGTGATGCTTGATGTTCTTTTCCTTCTTACGATCTCTGGGTGGTTCCTTGAGGGCCTTGATAACCAAAGCAGAAGCGGATGGGAGAACTTCAGCAGAGGCGATACGGTTTTGAATGGTCAACTTGACTTGAACCTTCATACCCTTCCATGGCATGGTGGCCTTGGCAATATCATCACCAACCTTCTTTGGGGAGACACCGAGTGGACCCAACTTTGGGGCAAGGGTGGACATGGCACCACCTTCACCACCAGCTACTCTGAGGAATACTAAAGTAAATTAAAAAGAAAATAATTAATATTATTATTCGATGTTATAGTAGTATTGTATGTATGTTTATCAATCATCGTAGTAGTTAGTAGTAGAAGCGAGCGAACGAGTATTATTATTATTATTGACGATCAAAATTATTAATTGTTTTTGTTTCGTTTCGTTCGAGTAGATTATTCCATTGTGTGTGGGTGAGTGTTGATGTTAAAGAGTAATGAAAGAGTAACATGATGATAGATTCATTATTATATTATTATTATTTTCGTTTGATCAGTTGATAATTTATTATTATTATTATTATTTATTGTACTGTATTATATATATCTTGTTGCTGTGCTGTATACTACTACTGACTACTTTGATTGATACTATACTATAGTTTAATAGACATACCTTCAACTTTTTCGGATGGGTCAACTTTTGGAGGCATTGTTTGTCTTTTTTGTTATGAACACTGAGCTAAAGAGAAAAAGAAGAACTTTTGTGCGACACATAGGTCGCTCACCGAAAAAAAATTGCGACACTTGAGAGAATTAAAAAAAAATTCAAAAAAATTCATCGTTTCTGTCGAAAAAATACGAAAGCAAAACGAAAAAAAAAATGCACGGTGAAGTTTGACCGAAAGGATCACCAAGCACTTTTTCTCACCTAGTTGTATCGATTTTAATTGACAGTAATGATAGACTTATTAAACCCTTTTTAATTTAATCAAGTAAAACACAATTAATATGATGATCAATATATCTTCTTCTTTTCTCAAACTACTAGTACTGAACAAAAAAGGAAAATAAAATACTCATAAACTCATTGAAAACAAACAAATTATGATTCCAATCTGACCATCTTCATAAATGATAAAGTATTGTAAAATGTAGTTACAAACAATGATCAAATAGGAAGATAACCGTGATGTATATAACCAAATTGATAATGATAATATAAAAGAGTATTTGAGTATGAGAGTCTCCATCCTGTTCCGTCATAGAAAAGAAAAGAGAGAGAAGAGAGTACAAGATTGTGAGTTTTTAGTTCATTAGGTTGGTAAGTTGTTACACACTTCTTAGCTGATGCCGACTTTAATGGCCACAGCCCAACTGTCTCTACAAACTAAATTATAAACTATCAAATCTTATCCTTTTCTACATCTATCTATTCCTTTTCCCATTTGCCCAAAGAGATTGGTGTTGTTTAAAATAGTTCATTAGGTCGGTATGTTGTTACACGTTTCTTAGCTGATGCCGACTTTAATGGCCACAGCCCGACTGTCTCTACAAACTATTTGTTACAATCCCAATCCTTTTTTTTTTTTATACTCTTTTTAATTATTTTCAATTGATGGTTATATACATACGGTTTTGGTTGATTTGGAGTTGTTTGTTTGTTTGTTGGAATTAAATAAATTTGGTTGATTGATTAATTGATTGATTTTGGATTTTGATTTTTGATTTGTTATTAGTATTATTATTATTATATTATTATTATTATTACTAACTATATTTATTATATTATCGATAGTGACGTTATTATTATTATTATTATTAATATTATTAATATAATTTCTTTTCTTTATGAAGAGTGAAATAAAGTCCTTCGAAATCATAATAAGTAAGTGTATCATAAGCAACATTTGTAAATGCCAATAACCATTCAAAGATTGAATATTTACTATAAGCTAAATAAATAAAATATTAATATTAATAATTATTGATTGATTTAGATATATCTATCTATCTATTTCTTTGACTTACCCAATGGAACACAATAAAAAGTATGATCAACAAAATATTTCAATGAGCTTACAAAGAGCAAGAAATGGACGATACCAGAGATGACCTTCCACTTGAAAGAAAAGAGGTCGCGTTGTGTCTTTGGACTATAGTTGGGGGAGATGAGGGAGAGGAGTGAGCGGTTGCCCGAGCCATTGTACTTGAACTTGATACGGGTGTGGTAGAGCACGGCCGAATGAGTGTACATAAAGAGGAACGAGAAGATGACGTACGAGACGAAACCAATCTGATGAGCAAACAAATGTTCAGACGAGGAGATGTAGATCCAACCACCAGCTGAAAACACACGAATCGTGTCAAAGATGGTGGAGAGTGGAACGAGTAGACGCAACTTCTTGACCGAGTCGTTGACCGATGCACTCGAGCCAAACACCGAGACGAGAGATTGGATGTCTTCCAATCCGATATGATGGTTGAGATAGATGGTACCGAGACGCAACCCGCTGGTCAACGCCATACCGTAACGAAACACATTCATCTCTGGTGAACGGTCACCAATGGTCGACGAAATCGATGGCAAGAACTCGTACTGACGACAATGATTCTCTGTCACCTTTTTAAAATGAAGATAACATGCTAGAAACAATGTCGAAAGGAATGAAAACATAGTTATACAACCATATGCTAATGGTAATAAACTTGCTTGAAATTTAAACATCTCTCTCTAAACTTATTATTATTATTATTAAACTAACAAACTATTATATTATTATTATTTGGATTTGTCTATCAAAGAGAACCTTTTTTTGATTTACTTAATAATACATATGTATATTATATAGATATATGAAAGAAGAGGTTACTTCACATGTTTTGATGAAAGTATTATTATGAGAGAGCGAAAGGAGAGGAGGACACATGACCCAAAAAAAATTGTTGAAAACAAAAAAAAAACAAAAAAAAAAAAGTATTTTTCGGACCTCTTCTTATTTTCCAAGTCAGCTTGCTATAATCCTTATTTTGTTTTATTATTTAATTAATTAATTATTTATTTATTAATTTGATTATTTGATGATGATGATAATAATAATGTATGTTCAAGACGTAACATTGATTGTTTTGATGTGTTGTAGTAGCCAAGACTAGCGGCAAGATCAAAACAAATTTTAGATTGACCAAAGTCTTTTGGGATGTTGTCATAGCCGAGCATATGAATGATGCCAGCTTGTATGTACCCTTCGGGTATTCTATTTTCACCGGCTTGAATGTACAGGTCCATTGCTCTAGGCATATTGATTTCCGTGCCAATTCCCTTTTGATAGCAACTGGCGTATTGTAGGATCGAATAGGATCTACCTTCATTGGTGATATACTCTTCACGAAGTATTTTGAATATCTCTGGATGGTATTCAGGTCGAGATGTTTGCCAGTACAATTGAATCAACTTTTGGTTTTCTTTGGGATTGGGTAATTCCAACGCATCGATATATCGTCTCTGCCAATCAATTGCAACCTTGATCTCACCTCTCTTGTGATGATACTGTGACAATAAATCAAATGCTTCATAGTATCCAGATACAGCAGCTCTTCTAACTAAATCAATTCCAACTTGAACTCCATTTTGTGTATCTGTTAATGGTATTAATTTAAGTACTAATAATCTTCCATACTAGAGATAAATAATAAATAGAAATATTAATATCAACAAATTATATTACTATAATTATTTTACATACTTCATAACAAGCACGTGGATGGCCAACATTTGTTGCCATTTTCAAGTATGGTATCCCTTTTTCAAAGTTGGATGTACCACTTGAGCTGAGATGTCCGAGTGCATAACAACAACCGAGAAAAGCTGCGGCGGGGATATGCTTGGACATGATCTTTTTAGCAACTCGCACAACCTTTTGTAACTTGATTCGACGACCTTCAAAATATTTGAGTGCATTGACACACTCTTGGAATTGTTTCTCTAGACCTGATTCTGGGACACCAAATGCATTGTCAAATGATTTGGGTGCGATACGATGAGCCAAAGGTAGGATTGGTGGGAGTGGATACTCTATATCATCATCATTGGAAGATGAAGCAGACGATCCTCCTCCAACTGCAGATACATCCATTGGTAAGTGTCCAGATAATCTTTGAAAGAATGGTGCATCGTTGATGATGTTGTGTTGACGACGTTGAGCAGACGATGGAATATTATCTTCTTTAAGTGGTTCAACTTCTTCTAATTGTTGTCTACCAATTAATTGTTGTTGTTGTTGAAGTAATTGTTGTTGTTGTAATTGTTGTTCTAATTGGTGTTGGTGTTGTTGTAGTTGTTGCAGTTGTTGTAATTGTTGTTGTTGTAATTGTTGGAATTGTTGGTTTTGTTGGTCTAATCCAGATTGAACTACACTATTCATATTATTCATACTGACATTGACATTGATGTTGGTAGTGATAAAAGGTAGTGATTTGAAACCATGACCTTCATGATCACCATAATCTATACAATTGTCACATAATAACTTGGTACAAGTCTCACAAAACAATCTATAGTAATTGTATTGATTAGAGTCGACACTGACTTTGTTGCTGTCTTGTTCTTGTTGTTGTTGTTGTTGATCAGCACCATCTTTTTCAACTTCAAGATGACCATGATGTTGATCTTTAACTTGACATGTGAGAGAATGAGCTATTCTTAGTGACCGAATAGTATGTTTATGATGGGTTGTATTTAAACAAATATCACAAACCAATGTTGAACATGAAACACAAACATATCTATATGTTTGATCACCATGTGTCAAACAATTAATTGCTGTTGGACCACTCATCACTTTACTTTGTCTTTTTTTTTTCTCTATCTTGAAAATAATAATTTTAAAGATACCTAAAAGAGAGATTACAAAGATAGATGGATAGAACAATAAAAATAGAATGAGTTTACATGGATGGTTGTGAGGAGGATGATCAATGAACATCAACAACAAGAATCTTTCTCTCTCTTTGTTTCTTCTTCTTTGAGGCAAAACGCCCCAACAAAAACCATACGTCCCACGTCCGACCAATCGTTGTCTGTTCGATCGTAGATCTACATCGTTGTGGCGCCCGCGTTGTATGTTCAACCTGTCTGTTCTAGATCTTTTTTTTTTTGATTTGGGTCTCTCTTTGGTACCTCGGAACCGTTCTACAGAGTACACCCATACATACATACGCTACGATCATAACTGTGTGCTTGCTTTAGCTATGTATGCTTGCTAAAGAGAGAGAAAGAGAGAAAGAGAGATACAGGTTAATTAATTAATGGCAGAGAAAAGAACATGGGTATTGGGTAATGATCTAATTACGATTGATCAAAAACTAGTGTATATCAATCACGAACAAGTAACTTGTCGCAGAGGAAAATACAAAACGATTATATTCCAACACGATGATAGTAGCTATGTCATTACAAAGGGATCTGCAAGCAGCAATTGTAAAGACAGACAACTGTACAAAAATAGAGTCAACGTCGTCAGTGGCAAGCGAATGGAGCTGGACAAATTCAATCTTTGCAACCAACGACTTTCATTCCTCGTCTACTCTTGTATATATATCATACCTATCCCAATACTCATCGGTATAGTTGCATTCTCTTCACAACATCAAAATAAAACTATATTTGCTAAATATTATTAATAACTAATAATATAACTGTACACACAAACAAAAACAAACAAACAAACAACACACCAACTTTTAAAAATATTCTTTGGTACAAATATTTAATATTTATTTATTTTAATTAATTAATTAATCTTATTTTAATTAATTAATTAATCTTTTATATTTATTTATTTTAATTTATTTATCTCTACCAGTATATTACAATTACTATTATTGATGTTATTAAGAAAATTAGTATTATTATTATTAACAACAAGGTTGATGTTGGTAATAATAATAATAGTATTTCTATTAATGACATCATTAATACTAATGATGGTAGTTTTGGATTATAAATTGGGTTCAGTTAATGAATGGACAGTGTAGGCCAAGAAGACCATATTGCTTCCCCTTGTACGACCTCTTTTAGGTTCGCTGGTGTAACGATCACCAGGATTCTTGTCGGTGCCAACCTTCATTTCCAATCTATACCCATTTTCAAATGCCATTTTGGTGAGGCGACGATGTGCCTCTTTGTGGGCATCTTTTACATTGCCTCTTCTGCATATAGTGAGAGTCAACAAACCACCTTCTATCATTCTCCTGCTCTTTAAAATATCCTTAATGGCATCCAAGGGTCTGAAAAATTTGTTACCTTTTAAAGTGTTCATGGTATCAAAGATGACTGCTCCATAAAGTTTATCACTTGGATCCATTACTTTATCGGCATCACTAAATTTTTTTCTAATGTCACCCTGGCCAATGTTGATACCCATCTGGCGACGATATTTAGTTTCCAGGTGTTTCTCTGAAACAACGTCGGTCGCAAAATTTTGACGTGGATCGATAAGAGCATTCAATATTGCTTGGGCTGTCATCAGCGAGGGAGAGTTTAAAGAGACAAATGCACCATTCCTAGCTTCATCAGAGAGGCCTTCTATTAGACCACAAATACAATGGTTTTGGACACACTTGCATCGGTCGCCATAACTCTCTGGCTTGTTCTTTTGAGATGGTGGTTCTATTTTGGTCCAGACTTTGATAAATTCATTGGATAGAATTGCCGGGTTTGGACAGGTTTGTCTCAATTCTTTCTTATGTTTATGGTGGAAGAGGCTTGCACAACAATGGAGCAAACCATATTCATCATAGTCAGCTGCAGTTTTTAATTCGGGATTGTCTTTACATTTTATAGACTTTTTGTTGTGACCTTTTTCACCACAAACTGAGCATGTTACTTTTTTTCTAGAGATGTAGAAAAAATAGGTAGGGGAGAAAAAGTTTGTTAATAGTATCTTGAAAAAGTAAACATACATTTAAAATTATCGAAATTAATTAATTACTTACTTGGGAGGCATTTTTCTTAGATAATTAAAAACTACTTGATTATACTTGGGTTGTGATTAAAGAATGGGGTTGGAATATTTAATTAAGAAGAAAGATAGATAAATAAAATTATTTGTTGTGTATAGAAAAATAAAAATAAAAGATCATTTTTTGATTGAACGTTATTCGATGGTCTTTTATAACAATCAGATGTATTTGTTTTTTTGAGAAATTAATTTTAAAACAGATAAAAAAAATAGAATATACTTCTTGGGTTTCTACAGGTACTAAAGTTTCAATCACAGAATATATATATAGTGTACGAGTACGAGTACGAGTACTAAAGTTTCCCTTTGTACCAAAGTTTCGATTAGAGAATAGCTAGCGCAGTGCACAATAGATGATGACGACAACGACGATCATAGATCTATTAAGGATTCTTACAATTAGAAGTAGAATATTTAATCAAATAGAACAACTATCACAACATGACCACAAACTATGCGAAGATTTGACAGAGATTATGAAAAGAAGGAAAACCTATGTCAAAGGTAAAAGTTTGGTTAGTTATTATGGTCCTCTTGGTATGGTTGCTCGATTTGCAATGCCATGGAGCTTTGTCAAACATTATTTAAAGGGTCCACACTTGAACGATGACAACAAGAACCTACGAGAACATGCAGTAAAGATCTACATGAAACATCCAAATGCAAATATCGAAACGTTGACCCATCTCACCACCACTGATCGATGGTTTGATGGTCATGTGACATTGAATGAATATGATTTGGATGAAATTGTTGGTAATATGCGGTTGGATATACTGCAATTTATATATGACCGATACTATCAACCAACCAATACACAGATGCCACTGTCAATTGAAACGTTTGACGGTGCTTGTAAAACAGGTAATCTTCAACTAGTCACATTCTTACACACCCATTCAAAGGAAGGGTGCACTTTTAAAGCCATGGATCATGCAGCAGGTAATGGGTCACTTGACATTGTACAATTCCTTCATACACATCGCACTGAAGGGTGCAGTCAAGGAGCCATCGATGATGCCTCGGGTGCTGGTCACTTAGAAATTGTAAAATATCTTTTTGAAAATAGACAAGAAGGTTGTACTAGTGATGCAATGGATTTGTAAGCATGATCATGATTCAATCAAATGAAAAAACAGGTTATATTATTTTGTACACTAATATATTAATAAATAATTTCTTTTTTCTTTTTATTGTAGTGCATCTGAATTTGGACATATAGATATTTTAGAATATCTTTTAGAACATAGTCAAGAAGGGTGTACTGAACTTGGAATGGATAGAGCTGCACGTGCCGGTAGATTGGATGTTATAAAATGGTTACATTTAAATACTACTCAAGGATGTAGTTTTGAGGCCATGGACCAAGCTGCCACATTGGGGTATTTTGACATAGTCAAGTGGTTGCATGACCATAGGAGCGAGGGTTGCAGTACGGCTGCGATGGACTATGCATCAAAGAATCAACATTTCCAAATTGTTGAATGGTTAAACGAGAATCGTCTAGAAGGATCGACCGAGCTTGCTCTAGATTGGGCCGCCGAGAACGGGTCAATGGAAACAGTCCAATACCTTCATCAACACCGAACAGAGGGTGGATCGGAAAGAGCCATCGATTGGGCATCCAAACAACATTTTGATATTGTCAAATTCTTTTATGAAAATAGAACTGAAAGATGTTCAAGTAATGCATTATTATGGTATGTCATATGTGACAAAACAAATACATTTAATACTTTATATTAAAATATATATTCCTTTCATTTGGTTATTTAGGGCATGTTCATGTGGTCAATTAGATATATTAAAATATTTATATTACAAGGGTGAGGTAGAACACATGGTAATATCAGATGCTGCGATAGAGTATGGATGTCAGTCTGGTCATTTAGAGGTTGTACGATTTTTAGTTGAAACGGCATCAATGACTATTACGAGTAAATGTGTTTCGTGGGCTGCTGGTTATGGCCATTTAGATATTATCATGTACTTGGACCAACACGAAAAACAAAATGGACAGCGACATCAAGGATCCTTCACAACAGATGCTATGGTCGCAGCAGCTTCTGGTGGATGGCTATCAGTTGTAGAGTACCTACATTTTAATCGCACAGAAGGATGTACATTCTCGGCCATGAACATGTCAATTTTAATGGGTCACGCTCCAGTATATGAATTCCTACACACCAATAGAACTGAAGGATGTGATGCACAGGCATTTGGATTTGCTTGTGAACAGGGTAATTTGGAAGCCGTACAGTTTCTCATTACCAACTACCTTGCTATTGTCCAATCAAAGAGGTCGTCCTATTCCATCCATTCAGCTGCCATCTCTGGATTCACTCAAGTAGTTCAGTTTGTCCTCCAGAATCTATCTTCCTCTCTAACCATTCCATCCACCACTGCCCAATCTGCACTAAAAAGAGGCTATCCAGATATTGTTGCATTGTTAAATCAATATTACCCTCCCATCGATCCCATCAAGACGGTTAGTGATTTTTTTTTTGGCAATAGAAGAAAATATTAAATGAATGATTTATTTATTTATAAATTTTATAAACTAGGGTGCCAAGAGTAAATAGATTGGAATAATTGGAATAATTGGAATAGTTGGAATATATATATTGGTGAAAGGAGATTCTCTATTTAGAGGTGATGATATATATATATAATTTATATAAACATATATTGTTAATTATTATTATTATTATTTACCACCAATATCAATGTCAATGTCAATGTCAATATTATTTCCTTTGCCACCACCCTTTCCACCACCACCGCCACCACCACCTCCACCCTTGCCACCCTTTCCACCACCACCACCACCAGAGTTGTGTTTGTTGGCCACATCCATTCCAGCTTGCATATCAGACACACCATCAGCAATATAGGAAACATGTCTGCTTCCTCCAAATTGCTTTGATGGGTAAGAGAGTTGTGTAAGAGATTCTAAAATATAAAGAAAGAAAGAAATAATAGAGAGAAAGAAGGAAAGAAAGAGAGAGAAAGAGAGAGATAGTGAGAGTTTGTTAATAATAGTAATAGTAATACTATTATATTTATCTTATTGGTTTGTATATACTGAATAACATTCTTATTTAAATTATCTTTATCAATGAATGAGATGATATTAAAAAGTGACAAGGAAATACTCTTATTTATAGTTGATTGTTGAGTGTGATGAATGATTGGATTCTATTTATTTTATTTTATTTTTTTATCTAGAGGTTTTATTAACTTTTATTGGTAAAAGTCAGTATGTCTAGTTTTTACATTCATACCTTTCTCATTGTCGTCATCAGTGTACAGCTTAAATCATGGGCTGTCTTCATTCAATGACCTCTATTTTTATTGGTGAATTCCTGAATCTCTAGATCTATAAACCTTTTTCCCAAAACCAATACCATTTTATTAATAAAAATCATGGTCCCCTTTTTTTTTTTATTATTTATTTTAAATCATTTAAATGGATGATCATATGACCTATCCAATCTTGTACTCTACTCTATTTTTTTACATATGTTCTAGAATTAATGAATAATAAATTGTTGTTGTATATATTTTATTCATTAAAGGAATGATGATCATCATATCCAATTTTGGATGTGGATATTGAGTTGGTAGTATGAGGAGGAACCATTTATGATTGATTTATGGTTTACCTCCAGCAGCTCCCTTTCCTTTTCCTCCATTACCTCCTTTACCACCCTTTCCAGTTCCTCTTGTTTTGGCTACATCATTAAATGCTTGAAGTGAATCATGTGAAAATTCATCCATTGTTTCAAAGGTACGACTTCCAATTGATGGGTTAGCAAGATGTGTAAGTGATTCTAGAAAAAAAAAAAAGAAAACAAGAGAGAGAGAGAAAGGAATTGAATATTATTATTCTATTAGTTTGAAAAAGAATAAAATATTTACTGTATAACATTTTGTTTTTTTTTTAGAAAATTAAAGATAGTATAAGTATTTGATTGATTTGATTGAAAAATAATTAATTGAATTTGATGATGATTATAAATGAACCTAAAATCAATGTTTAAATAGTAAAGGGTTCCCAACCAAATAATATGAATATCGTAATTACTATTCTGTAAATACGACTTTTTATGTAAAAGATTGGTTTTGTTTTCTTAAAACCAATCAACCAACCACACCCACACACTAAATATAAATATATATACAACCGAGTGGTACATATGATAATGATGATGATGATGATGATGATGATGATGATGATGATGATAATGTCGATTGGAATCTTATTTTCTACTTTTAGAATTTGTAAAAAATACGGATAGTATGAATAGATATTAATACCCGCGAATAATACTATACTATACTATCTTTTCATTTGTTCATGTTCATCAACTAGTAAAATTGAATAATCATTCTTCTTCTTCTTCCTCCTCCAATCGGCAGTCAATGACCAAGTGAATGAATGTATGAATATTGTACTTGATTAATCAAGATTGATTCCCCATCCAACAAGTATGAATGTATTAAATGACTTTTTTTTTTGTACTACCCTACCTCCATAATTAATAATAATAATAATAATGGAAATAATTAAAGAATGATTTGTGGATTAATATTAATTTTCTGATTCTGATTTATTTGTTACCTCTATTCGATAATTCATATTGTTATAATTTTAATTTAGCCAATATATTATCCAGTGATAATTGTGGGAATTTCCAACTGGTGGCTATAGAAATAAGAATAACAAGAATGATGGGTGAGAATTTTCTATCTTCCTGAGGCAACATTGGCCCAGAATCTGATTTGTGATATAGATATGTCATGGTTCCCATAAATGATGAATTTAATGTATCTGGTTCATATTCTGTTAAATATAAAATCAATGCTCTAACAAAAAAAAAGAAAGAAAGTAAACATTAATTGAAATGTTAAATCATCATTGGTACCCTTTGTTATATATATGTTTATACATATATATGTTTATACATACAATGTTACACCTGCAAATATTCTAAAACCTTGTGGAGTTGTAGTTGAAAGTTGTTGTGGAATGATATTACGTTTTACTCCACTCTGGATGATACCAATCAATGCACGTGCAAAGAGGTATAGAACGATTTGATTATTGACACTGCCACTCGTAGACTTGCTGTCTCCAAATGCTACATAACCACCAATGAAACCGGCAACCAATGAATCAATGCCTCCCTTGATACCAATATTTCGAAATATACAACAAATACTCTTATAAATGCCAACAAACAATCCAAGATTTCTACCATGAAAGAACATTTGTTTAATTACAAATTTTACTCTTGATGTTAATCTAAAAAAAAAGAAAAGAAAGAATAGGAATAAAATTGATTCGTTAGTTTCATTTCCCTCATCCTTCCATCTCTTCTATTCTATTCTCATCAATCACACATACTTTGGATCTCTAAATATAGCAGCATAAATGACAGCTTGAAATATATAAGGTATTCTAATTCTTACACCTGTCAAGATACCATTCCGTAATCCTCTTATTGCACTCAATATACAATCCGAGTGTAGATATCTATGTTTATTCAAATGGTGGTATAAATCTATTATTGGTATTGATGATACATCTTTGTTATTACTATCCATCTCTCTCCTTCTATCTATATATATATATGTTTGTGTTGGGTGTTGATGATGATGATGATGATGATGATGATGATCGTCAAGTTGAGTTGTAAAAGTATTGTATTGTATCTGATTGAAAACAACTAACTCTGTCTCTTTCTCTCTTTGTCTCTAGCTACTTGTTGTAAAATGAATTTGAATGGATCTGTTTGTTTGTTTCGACTCGTCACACCTTTCCTTTTTCAGATATATACGAATAAAAGATGCTATTGCTAGTTTATCAAACTACTCTGAGTGAAAAAACGAATGATAAAAAAATATCTGTTTTTATATTGTGTAAATCGTTTGTTTGTTTGTTTGTTTACTAAAAAGTATTAATACTAACACAGTAATGGGGTACTAGTATGGTTATTATTATTTGTAGGATTTAAATTAAAAATAATATTATATTTATTATTATTTGATTGATATTTGATTCTTTTCATTTCTTTTCTTTTTACATTTGACTATCATAAGTTTGAACTAGTGTAGTCATTTCTATACCATCTCCATCTTGTTGTTGTTGTTGTTGATCAACACTTGTCGGATTATTATTATTATTATTGGATGAAGTAGCAGGAGTTGTTGTTGGAGTAGGAGTAGTATCAATATCACGTTTACAAAACGGACATGACTTGTTTTGAATGAGCCAACGATCGATACAATTGAGATGATAGTGATGTTTGCATGGAAGGATTCTAATCTTTTCACCGTCGACATAGTCGGTGAGACAGATGGCACAGCTGCAATCGTCGTTTGGCAGGACGCCAGTCTTGAACTTTTTAGTGGACAACTTGCGAAGCATTGTATCGGTCGCTCCACGACTGTCTCCCATTCCACCGGCTGCACCCCCTCCTCCAGCCGCCTGAACCATCTCTATATGTACACCCAACCTCATCAATGAAAATATACAAGAACAACAACAGAATAACATTGCCAATGATGCTATCACTATTTGAAAAATAACTACAGAATATGATACCCAAAATAAATATGGTGCTGATGATGTCTAAAGTATAGAAAGGAATAATTAAATTAAAGTTAATATAATCAAAATATTTGTTTACTTTTGTATAACATACACAAGTATCATGAGCACGAGCTTTAAAAGTACAAACTATGCCAACGATGAACCAAGTGATCCAAGAACAACTGAGTACATTGTGAAGGTTTCTAAATATTAATTGGACACGAGCCACCTCTGGTGATGGTTGTCCATTGTCATCCTGAGTGGGTAGCTTCAAAAGAAGGAATAAAAAGTTTAAAACAAGACCAGTCTGAATGACCACTTGTCCAATCGACCAATTGTGCAATGGTTCATCACACCCATGTTTCCAATCCATTGCCAATGCAATAACAAGTACCAATGATACAGGGAATAAATATAATATACATAAAAATAATAATCGTCTAAACCAAACGTATATAATAAATCAATGTTAATAACCAACTATTACAATGCTGAATATAACTTATATCATTCATTTTTAACATACTTGAGTATACTATAAAAGGTTAAAGGTCTAGACAACTCATTTTGAATAAATAATATATTTTGTGCCTCTAATCCAATCTCATTGCTTAATTCATCTTCATTATCACCATCACCAGGATTATTATTATTATTACCATCATCATCATCATTTATATTAATTGCAATGTTTTCTGGTTGTTGTGAAGAATCTTCGTTATTATTATTAAAGTTATAGTTATTATTATTGTTGTTAGTTGTAGTTGATGTAGATGATGTCGATGTTGAAGTAGTTGTTGTAGATGTAGATGTAGTTGATATCAATTTAGGAGATATGATAGGTGAATTATTACTAATACTAGGACTAGTACCCTTTCTTGATATATTCTTTTTATGATTAGATAATTTAATTTCTTCTTCTTGCTCCTTTTCCTTTTCCTCTTCTAATTGAACCTCTTTGAGTAGTAATGATTGTTCATATTGTAATCGTTCATTCTCTAGATATTCATTCTCTTCATCACTATCATATTCACCTTTGATAGTACCAAGTCTTCTTGTCCTCGTATCATTATTATTATTCTGATTAGTATTCTGATTATTATTGAGTTGTTCTTCTAGATCTTCTTCATCACTAGTTGATATATTTGATAGTCTTGTAAACTTTGATTTTATTCTTGGTTTCCTCATCTTCTAACTCCCTCTATCTCTTCTATCTCTTCTTCTCTACACAACCTTCCACATCTATAGAGAGAATACAGCAGTTGCACTAACTAATTTATCTCTTTATCGTTGTGGAAAATGAAATATATATTTAAATAAATAATATGAAAGTGAGCAGTAGTTTTTTAAAATAGATTGTGACTCTTGCTGACAGGACCATCCAGATGTTTTTAATTTTAGATTAGATTCACAATGAATATTATTATATTAATATTATCTTTGGGGAGTCAGTTATGATCGGGGGAATAAATATCCAGATCTTGTTGACAATGAATGAATGTAGAAACCAGCATCATATTGTCGAACTATCATATTCATCTTGTGGAGAGAGAGAGAGAGAGAGAGAGAGGGGTTAATTTAGACTTCTAGAAAGAAACCATGGTCCATCGTCCAGAACCGAGGTAGTTACCTCAAACAAGAGTATCTAGAAGAGAACGACCAACCAATACGAAAATATTCCCGCGGGAAACTCAGATGATGAGATTGGCTATGAGAGGAGAGCCTATGTTTTTTGTTTTGTTTTTTTTTTTTTTTTTTAATTTTTTGGGGCTGGAAGCTCTCTCTTCGTCCTAGCCAAAACGAATCTCCCTCCACATTCTTTTTTCTCTATTACTACTAATCGCTTGTGACACCTCATCTATCTATCTCTCTATCTCTCTTTTATATATCTACTTTTCTTTCTTCTATATATATTTATATTTATGTAAGTGTCTAGAGAACAACAACAACCAGAATAATCAAAATAAGCAATCACCATCACTTTTGTTTTAGTTTAAGTTTTAGTTATAGTTAGTTATATGTTCGACACAATTGTTTAATTGTATATAAATATATAATGTCGGCGGGGGACATAAAGAAAGAGTAACAAGTTGGGATGAGCAAGAGAATGAAAGAAATGGATCTGGGTAATACTCCTTCTGCCAGAATCTACCAACTACCCCCCCTTTAATCATCATGTGGGGGGCATCCCCATTTTGTTTAATTTTTTTCGTGTGTTGACCACAAGATGTGTTGTGATCAGTGAATCGACTCTTAACTCCCACCACACACCCTCAAATACCATTGCTGTCTTTTCACAACAGCTGATCTGCTACCACAGTCATCATCATGATCAGTTGTATTCCGCACTGTTTCTCAATCGATTTATAGTAGAGTCAATTGAAACCACAACCATTCATTCAAAGTATTACCCTTTGCCAATCAGATAACACACATATAACAACTTTATAGTTTAGTATAGTACCATCACCAACCTCTTAATTTCATAGCAAATAGTTTAAAGAGAAAAAGTTCGTTTTCTTTGCGGCATTCGCTCTCTGCTTTTTTTTTTTTTTTTTTTCATTTTCAACTTCAAAGTTTGGTCCTCGTCTCACAAACAGATTTTTTTTGATGACACAACAGCAAGCAACGGGAGAGAGAAGTTTGATGGCTCGGAATGGATCTCCCCCAAAAATAATCTTGTCTAGTTTAATAGAATCTTTTTTTTTTTATTCCCTTCCTCGTTCGTCCTATTAAAAAAAACCTCTTCATTCAAAGCCTTTACGCACACCATTGTAAAAACATAATAATAGCATCAGTAACTTAAAAGAAGAAGAAAGAAGAGGAATCAGGGCAATAATCTCCAACCATCCCGACTTTTGATCAAAGATAGTAAAAAATCAATCAATCAATCAAATATAGAGAGTTGACATATTTATCTTCACATTAAAATTTAACCACACCCTCCTCCCTCTCTTTCCCCATCAATCATCAAACAACTTCTGCATCATCATTTTTTTTTCTTCATTCATTCATTCATTTCACAATCAATCAATCACGAACCAACTAAAACTAAACTCGAATACAGATACATACATACCAATATAAGTTTTGTAAGAAGGATCTATATAGATATATTATTATTTTGTTGACAGTAGCAGCAGCGGTTTTGAAAGATCTAAAACAAACTTGAAGATCAGATAAACAAGACTCTTGATTTTTGTTGTTGTTTTTTTTTACATATTGTAATCTACATTGTCATTCATACCCATAGTCTCTCTCTCCTCTCTCTTTCTTTCTCTATAATGTACACATATAACTTTGTTACTAATTATCTTATCTCTTCCTTTACTTTATATACAGATTGAAAAAAAAAAAACTAAAAAAAACAAAAAAGACAACTCTCCTCTACTTTAGGATAAATAATAATAATAATTAATCTTCATCAAAAACTTTAGTTTAGTTACTCATTTATCATAATAATAGTAATAATAATAATAATCTTTTTTCTTTTTTATAATCATATACCTACCTACTGTTGTTAAAATAACTGTACATTTTTCACACAACATATAATCAATCATCTCTCTTCTTTTTAAAACATACTTATAATAACTAATCATCTCTATCAATACCTACCCTTTTAAATATATATTTTAATTACAATATATACCCTTTCCAACCTCTAATTTGCTTTCAATTTATTTAATTGTATAACAACTCTACATTACACAGTATACACATTATATAAATATTTATTTCCGTCAACAACAACAACCTATCATATTTTTCCCTTTTACAACTTACATACTTACAAACAACAACAACAACAATAATAAGAAATGACTACTTCAAGTAACGACGTCGAATGTTTGGTTGAAAACTCTGCCAATCTTTCTATTTCAGAACAAGCACAACAACCAGAACAACAACAACAAGCACAACCAGAACAACAACCACAAGAACAAGAAAACAACAATGAAAAGCCAGAAGAAACGACAACTACAGAAACACCAAACAAGATTGATCAAAACCTAATCAAACATCCATTACAAAACAGATGGTCTCTATGGTACGATTTTCATAACCAAAAGATCTCTCAAGACAACTGGGCCGAGGGTCTAAAGAGAATTATCAGTTTCGATACCGTCGAGGATTTCTGGTGTATTTTCAACAACCTTCCACAAATCTCTTCCATCAAGAGTGGGTCCAGTTTCCATCTCTTCAAGGAGGAGATCGAACCAAAATGGGAAGACGAGGCCAACAAAAAGGGTGGCAAGTGGTTGTTCCAATTCAGAGAAAAGAACATGGCCGACAACTATTGGCTTCAAATCGTTATGGCTAGCATTGGTGAAACTTTTGATTCAAGTGATGATATTTGTGGTTTGGTCTATAACTCTAGAAAGGGTGGTGATAAGATTTCTGTTTGGACTAGACATTCTTCAGAAAAGGCTACTTTAGATATTGGGTATGTAAAAAAAGAAAAAAGAAAAAGAAAAAGAAAAAGAAAAAAGAAAAAGAAAAAAGAAAAAGAAAAAGAAAAAAGAATATATACTTACTTTATTATATTTAATATTTAGTCGGGGACTCAAGGTTGCATTGGAAACTAATGGTACCATTGGTTATTCACTTCACTATGAAACAAAGAAAAAGAACTTGTACGAAGTCTAAATTATTTTTTCAACAGACATCAACATCAACCCATCAACAATAACAATTATCAACAACTATACTAGCAAAAAGAATAACATAAAAGAATCAAGAAGAATAATAATAGAAGAAAGAAAAAAATTAAAACCAACAACAAAAAAAGAAAAGGGAACAAAGAGAGAGAAAGAGAGATACAACAATAATTAATAATAATATCTAAATTAGTATTTTTTTACCCCAATCAACAAACAACAAAAATAATAATTCAAGTTTAAGCCTAAAAAGTAAAAACTTGATTATTTATTTTAACATCACCTCCTCCTCCCCATCCTCTCACTACAAATATACCCTAACCCTTGGTCGACCCGTTTCCCTTTAAATAGAAACATCAAAGCAAAGCAAAGCAAATCAATCAAATTAATCAAAAGTTGCCAACATTAATAAGTAGCAGCTTGTGTATTCCAATCCATCCACCACACCATCACCATCACCGCCGCCGCCGCCACTACCACCACCACCACATCCATCTCAACTATGACTCGTTTAATTTTTTTTTTTTGGAAATGAAAACAACAATCATTAATTAATAATAATAACAACAACAACGACTATAATGCACAACTATAGATTTATATAATTCATTTTATATCACTCGCTACCCCAATCCTTCCCTACTCTCCCCAATCCCATCTTTTTTTTCATTTCTTTCTTCTGATCCCAAACCAAAATCAATTCTTTTGTTTCCAACCAATTCTATTATCAATTCCTTACTAGTTTGCAATATGATTGTTGTTGTTGATTGATGAACAACAAACAACACCTTAACAACCAACATCAAACAAACACTTTACTATAATCCTTAATTTATATATTCACTTTTACCCACTCTCAACAACCAATAACAACCAATAACAATAATAATAATAATAATAATAATAATAATAATAATAATAATAATAATACTATTTAATTCTTTTCCAAATTAAATCAAAGAGTCATAGATTATCTACCATCTGCTATAAACACCAAAATAAAAACAAACAAAAAAAAACAAAATAAAAATAAAAAAAAGAGAAAATTAATAATATTAATCAAAAAAAAAAAAACAAATCAAATAGTAATATGTATGTATGTATGTATTTAGGACGTATAATAATATTATTATGTATGAATGTATGGATGATTGATCCATCATGATTAATCAACAAACACATCAAAGGTGTTTTTATTTTATTTTTATTCTTTTTTCGTCACTGCCAACATACCAATTGCAATTGGATCAATAGATAGAGATGTTGATAATAAATTATAATAATATATAATATAATATAATTTATATTCCATGGATTATGGATCAATCACCACCACACCTTCCTCCTCCTCATCCCCCAAAATCCACATATTTGATATAGATAAAAATTGGAGATGTAGATTGACAAGGAGGTAGGAGGTTGTGGTGGTGGGTTGGTTTGTCTCCGCAATTATTTTAAAATCATTTCTGCCTATTGGTTTGAATGACAGGATATAAAATTTGAAAACCCCAGTATAAATAGGAAACAGGGCAATTTAAGTTATTCACTTGAACAAACCAAAAACATAAAAATATAAATATATAATCAATATTCAAACATGTTGTTCAGTTTGTATTATCAATTTAAAATAATTCCATCACCAATCGAACATTTCACTAACCCAAATATACATATTTATAAATATATTTTTTATGATTATTTAGAATCCATTACACAACTTTCCATGTCTCCAAAACTTGGACAAATCGAAAATAATACATCATCTTATTCAAATTCGAGTAATTCTAGCACTCTTCAATCAAACAATAAAATATGTGTTGGATATTATCCAGGAAGAAGAACAAATAGAACTTTGAATGGATATAGTGATGTATGGTTAGGAATCTAAATATTCTATATAAGTAATCGAAAAAAGAATAAATAAGTAAAATAATCAATTTTTTGAAATGGAATTCCCGCCAAAAGATATTTTTTTCGATTTTTTGTTTTTTTGGACATTCCGGAACACTTTGAGTGAGCGGGTGTTCTGGTGGTGAATGAGAAGAGAGACATAGTGATCCGGACGTAGCTCTGGTCGTTTTCAAATTAACACGAGAATGTATACCCCAATGTATAAATAGTCTTTAAACAGACTATAGTTATTCATTCATTCAATTAATAAAAGAAAAGAAAGAGATAAATAATAACAAAGAAGCAGTATATATATATTGTACTTTTATATTTTAAACAAAGCAACAACAAGAATAATATTATAACAACATGTCATCAAGAATAGTATCAAAAATAGCAAAGGGAAGAGACACTAGTGATGGTGCAGGAGTAAAGTTAAAGAGAGTGATTGGTGGTCCAATCCTAGACCTTGACCCATTCCTCTTACTCGATGAATTCAAGAGTGATAAGGCTGATGATTATATCGAAGGTTTTCCAAGTCATCCACATCGTGGTTTTGAAGTATGTAAATCTAAATAAATCTAAATAAATCTAAATAAATATAATAATGATTCTAATATACCTTTTCTATTTAATTTTAGACAGTAACATATATGTTGGCAGGAGTAATGGAACATCAAGACCATAAAGGTAATAAAGGATTATTGACACCTGGGTCAATTCAATGGATGACTGCAGGAAGAGGTATCATTCACTCAGAGATGCCTAAACAAGAGAATGGGTTAATGCATGGTTTCCAATTATGGGTTAATCTACCATCAAAACTAAAGATGATGGAGCCACGTTACCAAGATATTCCTCCAAGTGATGTACCAGTTTTAAAAGAACAAGGTGTAACTGTCAAAGTACTCGCAGGTAAATATCATGGTCAAGAAGGTCCAGTCAGTGGTATTATTACCAATCCACTCTATCTCGATGTCGAGTTGGCTGCCGGTGCCACTTTTAGTGAAGAGATTCCAGTTGGACACAGTTCATTTGCCTATGTATTCCAAGGCGATGCATCATTTGGTCCAAAGGATAACCAAAAACAAGTCAACACATCTCATGCTGCCGTACTCGACGGTAACGCTGGTCAAACTCATATCGATGTAACAGCAGGTGACAAAGGTGCCAGATTCATTCTAATAGCAGCTGCTCCAATCAATGAAAAAGTTTGTAGATATGGACCATTTGTTATGACTACAAATGAAGAAATTAATCAAGCTTTTGATGATTATCATTCTGGTAGATTTTAAAGAAGAAACATATCATTCAAAAATAATAAATAAATGTATAATATATAACTATTTTTTTTTAAAAACTAAACTATAAACAAAATGTTTTTTTTCTTGAGTTCATTTTTTTTTTTTGAAACAAACAAACAAATAGATATATAATCATGAAACGTAAGTATAAATGTAAATACAAATATTGATCATTGATATTGACAATTATTATTATGTTTAATGTTTAGGTCTTGCATTATTATTCCCTGGACAAGGAAGTCAAGTTGTTGGAATGACAAAGGATCTAGTTCAAGACTATCCTTATCTCATGCCTTTGTTTAAAGAGGCTGATAGATTATTATCATTTAATCTATCAAATGTAATGTGGAATTCAGAGATGGTATGATTGATTGAATGGAATGAATGAATGATTGAACGGTTGAATGAATATAGTTATTAACTGAACTTTTTTTTTGATTCTGAAGCAAGAATTAAAACAAACTGAAGTAACACAACCAGCAGTATTATTACATAGTAATGCTATACTACAAGTACTTGAAAAGGAAATACCAAATTTTGTCACTCCTCCTCCTCCTTCTTCTTCATCCTCTACTTCCTCTACTTTGTTTAAAGTTGATTTTATGTTGGGACATTCATTAGGAGAATATACAGCATTGATGGCATCAAAATCATTAGAGTTTAATGATGCAATTCAATTGGTTCGTAATAGAGGATCGATGATGAAACAAAGTAAAGATGGAAAGATGGCAGCTCTATTGTCAAAGGCTAATATGTTGACCAATGGTAGTTACCAATCGATCAAAAGTACTGCGCAAGAGATGTTTGATCAATCCTCTGGACAAGACATTGTATCGGTATCAAATATAAATTCACCATCACAGTTGGTGATCAGTGGAAATGAATCGGGTGTCACCAAATTAATTGATGTTGGTAAAAAGAACAAATGGTTCAACAAGGCAATTAGATTAGAAGTATCTGCCGCCTTTCATTCACCTCTAATGAAAGATTGTTCTCAAGAATATAATTCAAATTATCTAAACAAAATTCATTTTAATCAACCTATTATACCTGTCATTTCAAATGTTACTGCTAAACCTGTAAAGAAACAAGAAAAAGATACAATTTATACATATCTGTATTGTTTACTAAATATTTATTTCTTTTTTAATATAGTACAAAGGACAAGATAGTATTAAACCAATATTATCAAAACAAATGGTTAGTACAGTAGATTGGGTATCAAGTATACAATATTGTATTGACAAATGGGAGAATGAAAAGGAGAAAGGTTATTTTATTGAAATTGGTCCAAACAAAGTACTCTCTCAATTATTAAATCAATCACATCCAAATTTTCAAACAATGTAAATATATTAAATATTAATATATATAAATATAAATATTAAAGTATACTTATTTATTTATTTCTTTTTAGATCAATAGGTACATCTGAAGAATTAAAAGAATTTATTAAAAAATATAAAGATAATACTTTATTCAATGAATAAAAAGGGTGGGATTTAAAAAAGATGGACAATGTATATATTATTATTATTAATTATTATTTACAAAAATCATCATTTGTTTGATTTTAGATTTTTTTAGATTTGATAAAGATTATCAAATAATAAAGATTTGTTTTGAAGAAAAGCATTTGGTTCATAAAAGGAGTCGGTGATGAATGGTTGGTATTGCGGACTAATCAATACCCAACGATTTAAAGAGTGACTGATATGAAGGTGGCGATTGGATTGTTGGTAGACTGGATGGACGATACGACAAAAGTTGTCGCCTCCATCGTTGGTGATGGCGTTAAAGTCGAGACAGAGGTAGCGTAGGGTGGCCGACCCGCTCTTGGCAATGGCGTTGCCGAGCTCGAGCAGGCCGTCGTCTTGGATGGTGCAGTGTGTGAGGTCGAGACAGCGTAGCGCAGTGACACCCGCCGTAAAAATCTGGCGGCCAATCATTTGAGCGCCAGCGTGGAGTAGCTGGTTAAAGGCGAGTGACAAGTTGGTCAATTGACCAGCCAACGGAGACAAGTCAATATTGAGAGGGTTGGTGCAGTTGAGCCAGAGCAGCTTGAGAGGGGCGGGTGTGTTGGCAATTAGATTATCGAGTCCGTGGCAGCAGATGGCGTTTCCGCCAATAAACAGACACTGCAGTGCACGGTGCTCGCGCAGCCGACTTGTAAACTTTAACACATCAGATGTATCCAAACCATTCGTGTCGAGTTCCAATACACATAGTCGAGCACATACCTCCAAGGCGGTGGATATGAGTGACATGGAAGGGTCACGTGCGTTCAAATTATTGTATCCAACGTCGAGATGACGTAGAGTGTGTTGTACGGTAGCGTGGTTGCGTAGGTATGCCACAACGTCGCCAATCTCCACCTTGTTGCAACACCTAATCGACAGATACACAATATTGGCATAGGTGTTGCTATAGTCGCGGATCTGGTCCATTGTCAACGACTCTTGGTGTGCGTGTCTATATACATTGCATGGCATGATGTAGAGTGGATACAGTTCGCGCACAATCCCATCAAACAACTTGCTAATGAGCCTGTAAAACTTGGGTGTACCCAATGTTGTCGTAGTCGTCGTAGTAGTCGTCACTGACGACTCTCCATTCTCATTACAATTACGATTGGTCGTCGTCGTAACAATCGTAGTTATATTATTACTATTACTATATAATTGTTGTTGTAATTGCAATTGTTGTTGTTGTTGTTGTTGTTGTTGTTGTTGTTGTTGTTGTTGTAATTGTTGAGGTTGCCTAATATTCTTTAAACATTCTTGTAATATAAGTTTGATTATATGATTTGGTAGTTTCTTTGAAGATGATGTATTTGTAATCATACTACTACTACTATCATCATTTGTATTTGTATCATCCATTTTTGACTTTTTATATATATATATATCAATACAAAGTAGTAGAGTCGACAAGTAAAGAAGATATATATATATTTCAGTCAAGCTTGACTAAACTAAACTATAGCAAAACACAATTTTGAGCTAAGTATATTTTTGAATTATATTTATAATTTTCTATTTCTATTTTCTTTTTATCTATCCTAGAATATATTTATGTGTTTAGTATTTCTTTTTCTTCTTTTTTTATTACTTCTACTCATATAACGAACGCACTACTCCTTAAAAACTAGTTTGTCTGTCAAATTGAAACACAAACTATTCAATTTGGTGTTCCTCTCTCGATTAATGCTTAACCACTCACACACCCACCCCCTCATAAAACCAAACAATAGAATCCTATCGATAGATAGTAGCTACTTTTTTGCAAACAAACATGACAGAGAGTAGAGATAGATTGTGTCAAGACAAGAAGAGGTGGATGGAAATTGAATCGTATTTGATCAATTCAATTTTATTTATTTATGCCGATGTAAAGATATACGATAAAATCATTTCAAGTGACTGAACTGTCTCAACAACCACAACACAACAACCACTACAATTCAATCTAAACTATAGATCCCGAAATTATATAAATTGTAAAACCAACTATTATTCATTTATTATCTTATCTCATGGGATAATTTATTTTTTATTGTTTGATGGTTAATTTTGATTAAAAAATCAATTAATCAATCAATCAATCAATTGATTCGAGATAGAGGGAGGTTCCAAACAAAAGGGTAAAAAAAAAAAAAAAAGTATTTATATATTTTTTTTTTTATTATCATGGTTAGTTAGTGTGAGGGTTAGTGGTTTGGTTTGGTCAGTAGCTCACTACTCTAGCACATCATTCACACAATTATATTATTTTAATCAATTCATTCATTTTTACCTTTCTTGGGACGTTCAATAATAAAAATTTGAAATTTACAATCATCATCATTATAGATACCTACCATACAATCAAACAATTAAAAAGATAAATAAATAATCATTTAATATCAAATAAAATATTTAATTATTTAAATTGATAAAGGAATGGAAGCAACAGTAGATCATGTATTTGAAGTTGATTTTAAATCACCAATTAAATCACCATTGCCACCTGACAAGGTTCATCTATTCTCACCTCTACCTGGTATCTCTCAGGAAGACCTACTCACTCAATTTGAAAGAGCAAGTGACCTACATGAACAATTTCTAAAGGAACGTAGTGGACGTGGTGCCAAGGATGTTCAAAGATCACGACAAGTCAATGAAAAGAGTATCATCAAACAACGTGAAGAGTTGGAAGAAAAGAAAGAGGAATACAAGAAACAAATGGAAATAAAAGAAAAGAATCGTGAAAAGACTCTGGCTGAAAAAAGGGATAAAGCTGCTGCCAAAGTATCAAGATCAAAGGAAGTAGCTGCAAGAGTCAAACAAGAAAGAAGAAAATCTTTGGAACAAGAACCATAAGATTTAATCAAATATAAATAAGTTGTTTTTTAAAAAAAAAAACAATTGTAAATAACGTATATCCCTATCCAACTATCCAAATCTATCCATTGTAAATAAACCATCTCCTTTTTTTTAAATTTGTTTTAAACCAAAATTATTATTTATTCTTCATACTCTTCTTCATCTTCTTCATCTTCTTCTTCACTTTGGTTAGGGTATTCACCATTTGTTATTTCTTCATCATCTTCATCATCTTCCACTTCTTCTGAAATATTATCAATTGAATAATTACCATGATAACTTTCTTCACTTGAAGTTTCATCACTGTAATCAATATCTACTGGAATGATAACATTTAAGATATCATAGATTTCAGTATGATCCTTTTCCAATGCTTTTCTTTTTCCCCAATTTGTACATCTTTCTGATCGATTTTCAATGAGGAAACGGACAATAGAGAGACGACCACTTTCCGATGCTCTGTCCAATGCATGTGTACTAGCACCTTCAGTTCTATTGGCAGTTAGGAATTGAAGGATGGTAAGCTCACCTTCATTGGCAGCATCGTTTATGGCATTGATGGTGGCTGGTTGATTCTGACTATGAAGATATTGTACCAGAGTCAAATGTCCTCGTTTTGATGCTTGATCAATAGGAGTGCTATTACCATGAACATATAATATCTGTCTTTCTTGATGTACAGTCAATAAGAATTGAAGAATAGAAAGTTGACCAAAATATGCTGCATTTTTAATTGCCTCTCCATTTCTATTTAATATTAATTCATCGGGTCTATTATGATAGATCCATTTTAAAGCTGATAAACTACCAATTGATGCTGCTTCATTAATACCCAATTCTGTACATCCTCCACTAGGTTGATCCTTTTCACAATTTTGATCAAGGAATATCATACATGATAAATGGTCATATGAACATGCACCATCCATTGATTCTTCTAATCCCAATTTACCATTTCTTTTTAAAAACTATAAATAACAAATAAAAAAAATAAAAGAAAAAGTATAAATAAATAAATAAAATATTCTATTCTTTTTTTTTTTTTTCTTAAAAATTACTTTTAAAACTGAAAGGAAACCAGCTCTAGCAGCCCAGATTGAAGCTCTTGATGTAAAAGTTTCACCAGTTGTTAAAAGATAAGACATTGATGTTAAATGTCCATTTGATGCACAATAATCAATGATTGAACCGTCATGGCCACCACCATCATGATCATTTTCTGCTGATTCAGCAGCTGCTGATCCAACTCTATTTTGTTGTTTTAAATAATATGCAATAGAGAGAGACTGGTAACAGTATGGACTAGGAATTGTATTATTTACATAACCATTCTTTAATAAAAAGTCCAAGGTAGAGAGACGACAATATGAACCAGCTTGATTAAATGCACCTCCCAAGAGTGACAGATCGTCCGGCTCGGTAAACATTGATGCAGGGAGACTATGCAAATAGGCCATAGTAAAGTATCGTCCCTTTACCGATGCAAAATACAAAAGCATCCCTTTTACACAACTGGCTTGTTGATTGGGGGATGCAAGAATTAATTTTTCAAGTTGTTGTAGTTGACCATGTGTTGCACTATAGTAGATTGATTCTGATGTGAATCGATCAGCCGATCCATGTTCAAGTAAATATTGTGATACTTGGGCGTGCCCGCCAATAGTTGCCTGATCCATAACACTTTTTGAGTATTTTTCAGGTTTGTGAGTTTGAAGGAATTGGACTACTGATAAATGGTTATTGGAAGCGGCACGAGTAAAAGCAGTTGCTGTACATCCCTCACTACGGTTGAAATGTAAAAACTCTACCACTGATATATGGCCGTAAAGAGATGCACCATCAATTGCTTCTTTGGTACACCCCTCTGTCCTATTACGATGTAACCATTGTACAACTGATATATGGCCGTTAACCGCAGCTTTATCCATCGTCCGTTTACCAAATAATCGGTGACTACTAATTGGTTCTAAATGGGTGTGTATCCAAATCAATACATCCAAATGGCCAAAAGCAGCTGCCAAATTGGCAATTTTGGCCGAATGAGTATGACCCATATGTGCAACAAGGTATTGTAGTATATTTAAATGTCCATTTTTGGCTGCACCATCTTTTGATGCCTTTGTACACCATTCACTTCTATTTTCCTTTAAAAATTCTACAACTTGTAAATGGCCGTTGGCAGCGGCACCATTCATCGCATCTTCACTACACCCTTCAGTTCTATTACGATGTAAAAACTCTACCACTGATAAATGACCTTTTCGAGATGCATTATCCATCGCTTGTTGTGTGCATCCTTCAGTTCTATTAAAATGTAAATATTCAACCACTGATAAATGTCCCTTTTTAGCGGCCATATTCATAGCATCAGTTGTACATCCTTCACTTCTATTCATTGTTAAATACTAAAATAAAATAAAATAAAAATAAATAAATTATAAGTATATTATTATTATTATTATTAATAACCATTTGAATTGACATACCTTTATACAATCTAAATAACCAAATTTGGCGGCAAGGTTGATGGCCTTTTGGGTACACCCTTCAGTACGATTCTCGTGTAGGAATTTAATGACATAGTAGTGACCTCCAAGAGCAGCCCAATCCATTGCATTGGTTGTACACAAATAATCGTGTTGATGTAAATATTTAATAACTTCATAGTGTCCATCAAAACAAGCTAGGTTCATTGCCTCTTCAGTTCCCTTTTCTTTTGTATTCTCTACAAGAAACTATATATATTAAAAAGAGAATTGTTAGTAACATAAATAATTCTATACTATTCGATGATTTGATTGTACATACCTTTACACATTCAAAATGTCCACCTTTAGATGATAGATTGATTGCTCTCTCTGTTGAACCTTCACTTCTATTTTGATGTAACCATTGAACTAGAGCAAGGTGACCTGCTTCAGCAGCATTATCCATTACTTCAGTTGTAAATATAGGGATTCCTTGATTATCGATTGAATGTAGGAATTGAATGACTGACATATGACCTTTGGTCGCAGCACCTTCAACTGATTTGTTTGTATGAATGATTGTATTTGGGTATCTTTGATGAAGCATTGTTAAAATGTCGATCTTTCCATTGACTGCAGTCCCATCGATATAATCACCAACAAAATAGACATCTGGTGACCATTCAATGAGATGTTGTAATGTATCAACAGTTGCATTTGGATGAGCTGCATATTCATTGATTGCTTGATATCTAATATACCGGTTGATCTCTTTACAATCATTGGGTAGATAATGTTTAACAAAGTGCCATGGTAATGCATACTTTGACAACATTCCAATATCCCATAGTTTGATTATATCTCTTCCTTTTATATACCTTTTATGTTTAAGTTTCTGGTCTCTTTCATAAACATCTTTAATATATTCTTGGTATTGTGAAAGTAATGTAATCGATTTAAATATCTGATCTCGAAGTATTGAACTCCTAAATACATCTATAAATCTATTGACATTTGTTGTTACAGTTGTTGTTGTTGTTGTTGTATTATTATTATTATTTGTATTATTGATAGCATCTTCATATGACTCTAAATTATCCATCACCCTAACAATAACAAATAACAATAATATATATAATTATTATAATTATAGACTCAAGGCTCTTTATATTATTTTCCTTCAAAACAAAAAAATATCTAATATTTTTTTTGGAATTAATCTAGAATAAAAGATTTTCTGTACAGAAATGGGTGTGGATATATTATGGTTTTGGGATATTTATCATTTTAAAATTCTTCACTCTCAGGGATAGGATCTGAATGAGCAGCCATTAGAAATTCAAAGACATTCACAAGACGTCTTGTATGAGCGCTACTGATCGACACAGTGTTCAAAACAAAAACATCCATTTGTTGTGGTATATTTTTTTCGAGCCTTATCTTGATTGAACACGGGAAATTTTGTTTGTAAAGGTATATCAGACAAGTGACATGACTCTTGGAACAAGCATGTTCGATTGCAGATTCCTCTTTTTTCAAATCTGGGTATTTTTCAACAAGAAACTAAAATAAAATAAAATAAATGAATGCAATCCCAAAGATCATCACTACTATATATGTACATACTTTAATTATTGTTAAATGACCATATTTTACAGCATCTATGAGAAATTTTGATATATCAACTCCCTTGTTATACAAATAGGACAACATTGTTGGATGTCCTAGATAGATATTTTGAATGGCACTATAGTCACAACCAGCACCACTCCTTTCCAACATATAACAAGAGATTGAGAAATCTTGTAGATGATCTAGGGTTAATCTATCTGCTTTAAACCCCATCCTATACAAAAAATCCATATTTGATAGATAGGTGACCGACCTATTAATCATCTTCTGTATTTGCCCAAAATGTGGTTTGATTTGATCGTGACAGGAGTGATAGAGGAATGCAAATACAAAGAAATGATCGAACCCATCCACTCCTCCTATTTGTGTGATTATTTTATGCTTTGAGAGGAGTGATTGAAGAATTTCCAAGTATCCAAGTGATGCCATTTTTTTCATTAAATACCCAATATCTAGATTTGAGTTTGGAAAGTTTTTGTTGTTATTGTTATTATAATTGTATAGATATAGAGATATCATTGGATGGTCCAATGAAGCTTTGAACAAAAGAGTATATAGAAATGCATCCAAATTTTGGATTGCTTGATTGGTCAAGAGATATTGAACGATTTCCAAATGACCATTTTTAGTTGCTTGTATGATTGCATTACCGCTACATCCTATAGTAGTATTTTCAAAAAGATATTGTACAATATCTAATTGTCCCATTGTACATGCATCATCTATTATATCTCTAGAAAAAGAATAGTGTGTTTGATTTTTGTGTAACCATTTTACAACATTGATATTATTACTTCTGACTCCTAAATCCATTACTCTTTGTGTAAATAAATGAAGTTCATTGTTGTTCACTAGAGTGTTGTGTATCCAAATTAATACATCTAAATGACCATTGATAGCTGCTAATTCAGCAATTTCATTAGAGTATCCTTCAGTTCGATTGAAATAAAGGAATTGTAATACATCTAAATGACCACCAGCTGCTGCTTTATCCATAGCTTTGGTTGAACATTTAAATATTTCGTGTGTATGAAGAAACTCGATCACCTTTAAATGTCCAAATTCCGCGGCAATATCTATCAGAGATTCATTAAATTCATTTTTTTTGTTGTATAGAACTAAATATTGGACTGTTGATAGATGACCATTCTTGGTTGCCTGTTTGAGAGTACGGAATGACCACTTTCGATATTTATTCCTATGTAAATATTCTACCACTAATATATGGCCATTTTCACATGCAACTTGAAATGAAAAATAATCTTCTCCACCATGATGATCTAAATACTAAATGGTAAGGTATGTTTTTAGTTTACTGTTTTAAATTTCTCATTTCTCTCAAATTTACATACCATTACACAACTCAAATGACCATTTTTAGAAGCAAGATAATGTGCATTAAAAGAATAACCTTCATTTCTATTCTCTTGAAGAAATTTGAGTACAATTAAATGACCATTTTTTGCTGCGCCATCCATCGCATTGGTTGTACACATGTAACCTTGTTGATGTAAATAACAAACAATATCATAATGCCCATTGGATGCAGCCATATCCATTGCATCCTCTGTTCCTTCTTGATTTGTATTTTCTACTAGATACTAAAATAGAAGAGGAATAATTATATAGGTATTAACTATTCATATTGTATAATAAATTTAAATGATGATTCAGATAGCTCGTACATACCTTTACACATTCAAAGTGTCCATTTTCAGATGCCCAATCGATTCCTTTCTCTGAGCAACCTTCACTTCTATTTTGATGTAACCATTGAATGATAGACAGGTTACCTACTTTAGCTGCATTATCCATAACATGTGTTGTAAATATAGGGATTCCTTGATTATCGATTGAATGTAGCAATTGAATGACTGACAAATGACTATTCCAAGCAGCAATTTCAACTGATTTACTTGTATGCAATATTGTATTTGGATATCTTTGATGAATCATCTTTAATATATCTATCTTTCCATTGATTGCAGTCTTGTCTAGATAATCACCAACAAAATAGACATCAGGTGACCATTCAATAAGATGTTGTAATGTGTCAACAGTTGCATTTGGATGGGCTGCATACTTGTTGATTGCTTGATATCTAATATACTCGTTGATCTCTTTACAATCATTGGGTAGATAATGTTTAACAAAGTGCCATGGTAATGCATACTTTGACAACATTCGAATATCCCATAGTTTGATTATATCTCTTCCTTTTATATATATCTTTTCTTTTTCTCTTTGTTGTTCAGCAGTAGATATATCATTGATATAATTACAAATCTTGCGTCTGAGTGTAAATATTTTAAATATATCTATAAATGTATACATTGAAATAAATTTGTTCAACTTTGAATGTGCATGTTTCTTTTTGATGCAAAAGAAGTAGAGAAAACTTTCATCAACAGATTTATTATTTTTAATATTTTTAATATTTTATAAATATATTATTTATTTTACATGTTTACATTAAATTACAATTATTTTTTGAATGAGTTTGTTGTTTTTTAGAAAGGTATAGAATAAGAGGAAGATTACCCAATTTAATACTATTGTGATAAAATATTCTAAGATTGTCGGCGGTGAAATAATGTCTTGCATCAAAGAATTGGATTGACATTTGAGCAATCTCCCAACGATTTGAATTGATGGCCGTGTTGATGGCATTGGTGATGCTCATGTTGTTTAGTGCCTTTCCCTTGACTGTGACCATTGGTGGAATACGATGAAATATACCAAGTAGATAACGTATTAGATCGGCCGAGTTGCTCATACGAACCACACGTTCAATCGTATTGCGATTCAAGTCAAAGTCTGGCACCAACATATTATTATCTACCAAGTATTTTATAGTCTCCAACGTCGTACCCTTGTTTGTTATAATACCACTTGTATCGGTCTTTAATATCTGTTGACCATGTTTTTCGTGTAAATATTTCACCATCTCGAATGCATTGCTATTGTTACATCTTAACGCTGCCTTGATCAATTCACCTTGATATTTTTCTGGTTGGTATTGTGGAATTGGTGATCCATCGGCTGACTCAATTTCAGCTAGTCTATTAAAATTGACAGGATCCATTAAACTTTTTGGTCTTGTTCTTAGGAAATAGTCTAGTTGGGAGAGAGTGATTTCTTGGCGTTCCAAAGATGCTACCAACTTGCTGTTTCCAGGTTGGGTGATGGCAATGAGTTTTTTGGCATTGGTCATGAGCCATTCGACCATTTCAATGCGACCAGATTCACATGCCAACACGACTGCATTGTAACAACCCTCGGTACGATTCTCGAGTAAAAAGTCCATCACTCGAATATGACCGCGCGAGACTGTATTGTCCCATGTCCTATACGAGGCGCGGATACCTGGTATAGTGTGTAGTAACTGTACAATCTCTATACTATTTGACGTACAACTTTGTTCAAACGTGAGTTCAGAGAATTTTTTGACACGACCATACTCGTGTAGAATCTTGATGGTGTTGTAGTACTGGTTCTCTGATAGAGTACGTAGGTCTGACGGACTGATTGAATGCGATGTTTTGTTAAACATGATATCACTCGATGCAATGGCGCGAACAATCTCGGATGAACATTCTGGTTGGACTGCCAGAGCAAGATTAGTGTATTTGGGGTAGTCCCCGTGATGCACCAAAATCGACTGTACCATGGCCAAATCATTGGCTCGTGTCGCGTGTTGCAGTGCATTGTCAAAATTGACCTTGTCAAAATTGTGCATTGAAACATCTAAATGCGAGACGACCGCCGTCAACCCTTTACGAACCGCCGCCGAATAGACTGTCGAGAATTGACAATCAACCTTTTTATTGCCCAGCAGAGTATCGAGTAGATCGATTGTCAGCAGGTCATCATGCATTGAATTGACGACAAAATATTTGGTTGGTTTGGTTGGAGGACATGGAACGTGGTCGAGGATATAATTAGCCATATCGATGTGCCCTGCGATGAGAGACTGGTTGAGAATCATGTTGCCAACGGCTGCATTGGGGAATCTCTCGACTAGGAAACGAAAGATGGGGACACTGCCACCCATACACGCCTTTGCAAATGCGTTTAGAATCGTTTCGGTTGGACGTAGTCTGAGGATGGTGTGTATCATATCGAGGTTACCTTCACCGGCTGCATAATCGATGAGGTAGAGATGGTGTGTTGGAACACGTGGTAAGAGGTATTCAAGGACATCGACGCGACCTAGAACCGTTGCCTTGCGCAATATGTCATTCCACGTTCTCCTGATACCCGATTCATAAATAAACTGAACCATTTCAAGCAACGTATTCTCCTTTAAACTGTCAGTCTCTACGGCCAAAACAATCTTGTATTTCTCGATATAGCCACGCAGACGATTGACCACCCATCGTGCCAACTCTATGTTGTTGTGACGCCACGCAGACATGATCGAATAGTTGACAATCGAAGTGTACAGTATCGTCTTGCAGTCACGTGAGAACATTGCCTTTGACTGGAATGGTCGTGGTATGGAGAGTAACGTGCGTTGGTGTGATCTTGCCTCTACATTGATCACCATCTCTACCTTTTCAATCGTGTCTAGGTTTCGAATAGCCACCGTCTCATTGAGCGAGTGAATGATCGGTCCGTGTGTATGCTCCATCAAATACTTGTAGACGTGTCTTGCCAACTCCATATTGTCAAACCTCAGTGCCATCTGAAGTATCGGCCACTGATTTGCACCCAGCACCTGCTTGACACTATCGTACATGCCAATAATCTTGTTTCTTTCATAACCATACTTGTGATACCACATCATCGACTGTGAAGATGTAATCTCTAACCCAGTCTTTATACTCAAGTGTCCACTTGTAAACTTTGATATCTCATCTACATGATTGATTATTAATCTTCTTAATATCTTATTATTTATTATAAATTTAAATATTCTATCTTTTTCAAAGTTATTATTATTACTATTACTAATATCTTGCATTATTATTTATTATTATTATTACTATTATTACAACTTGTATGACTAACACAAGAGTAAGTACTCACTCATCTTCATCATCAAACTCTAACTCACACACTAATAATAAAAATAGAAACCAAGACACAACCAAGAAAGTATTTCGTTGAACTTTTTTTTAACCTCTCTCTATCTCTTCAACTTTGCTAATATGTAGTTATAATAGTAATAATAATATGAATATTGATATCAGTTAGTTCCGATGAGTATTATCACATGACTACGAACTGCAGCAAGATATCTTTAGCTTCATCATGTCATTCTACGAATGGATGTTCTTAACCACCCATCAATTCAACTTTTAAGTCAAAGAGAGGTGATAGTGAATGTTCTATCTGTCGAGAGGTTCCTGAAACCGTTACTCCTTTAATCATTACAAATGATTGGGTTAAACTGATACTTAACAGATCATAGAGTGATTGTTCAAAGTTACTTTGACCGTCAAACTACCAAAAGTAAGTTTATCTATTACTACTACTATTTTAAAAGTTTATGATATAATTTATACTGACAATTAAACTACAATGATAGAATCAGAGGAATGGGTAAATCCACCAACGACGACAACATTCAAAGTGAATGAACTAATTGACCAACCTTGTACTTTTGGATTATAGGACATTACCTTTGATTAAACATCCTCAATACGATAAATTGAAAGATTATTAATTATTTTTTTAGAATCAATTAGGAAATAATAATAATAATTAGTATTATACAAGCGGTTCCTTTCATATTGGGTTGACCCATTTACAGAGTCTTAGGAAATATATTACATTCTAAAAGGAATTGATCCCAACACTAGTTACAAAGAATTAGTTTAATTTAACAAGATTCAATTTAAAATCATTTAATCAAGTTTAAATATACTTTTATTTATCTTTTAAAATTTGATTTAAATATTTTAAAAGAGGAATATTACCATTTTGAATTGATTGATTTTGAAATTGTTTTAATCTTTCAATATTATTTGGGAATTGGAATTGATTGATTTGATTAAAAAAATCAAATGCCATTATAACCAAATCATTTTCATGTGAACAGATTGATTCACCTAGGAATTCAAATTGAATATTAAATTCCAGATTATTAACTTTATCATAATAAAGATTAAAAAATTGAATGACCAATTCCAAATATTTAATACTTGTTGTTCTTTCCAAAATACCAATACAATTTTCAACTGTACCAATGATTAAATTATTTTCAATTAAATAACCAAGTGTTTTTGATGTTATGTGTTTATAAACGAATCCAGAGAATGAATTACTTTTTAAATTACAATTTAATGTTTCTCCATATTGTTGATAAAGATGTTGGATCATTGCCAATTGATTCTTTTCAAATGCTGATCTAACCAATTTACCTTTGAATAGGTCTGGAGAATTATTGGTTGAATTTGTTTTTAAAAATACATGTAATTTGGTTGGTGTAAGGTTTGTTTGGAAATATTGGTTATTTTGATTTGACAGTTTAGCATTTTCCATTAACCATTCCAATACCTTTACATTTCCAAATTGACAAGCAAATTTTACTGCGTTTGAAAATTTACATACTTGATCTTTAAAATATTCCAATACATTTAAATGACCTTTTGAAATTAAATTTTCAATTGAACGAGTTGATAATGTTTTTGATTGACTATTTTTAAAATTGGCAAATACTTTAATGATTTCTAGATTATCATCTAGACAAATCTTTTCAATCACTGAATCTATTACCTTTTCAATTCTATTATACTCTATTAGAATCTTTATAGTTGAATAGTATTTTAGATCAACCAAAGTATATAGAGTCATATGAAATATTTGTCTTGATGAAAGGAATAAAATAGAGCTAGATGCAATAGCCTCTATAATCTCTTTTGGAGATTCTGGTGATTGCGTAAATAATAATTTACATTGATATCCAGTATGATCTGAATGATTGGACAAGATGAATTGAACCATTTCAAGATCTTGTCTTGTCATTGCTATTGATAGAGCATTGCCAAAGTCGATGTGATGGAATTGAGGATAATCCGAGAATTGAGAATCCTCGATTGTCAGAGTCATTTTTGAATCCAAATATTGCACAATATTTAATAATCCATTCTGGACAGCACGACAATATAAAGTTGTAAATCTAAATGTAACATTTGGATGATTTAAAAGTAAATTGATTGTACCAATGCTGATCAAATCAATGTGTAGATCATCTACAACAAAGAAATTTGGGTATGGGCATGAAACATTGTCAAGAATATATTGTGCCATTTCCATATGTCCATTAATCAACGCTATACCAAGAATAGTCAGGTCTGGTGATGGAGGACTATCCCCAACAGATATGAACCGACTTGATAAATATTGGTACATTTCAATATTACCGATCGAACAAATATTTACCAGTGCAAGATAAATCGATTCATTTGGTTTACAAACCAAAATAGTATGAATCATTTCCAAAGTTTTGGCATCATCAATTAGGTATAATTGTTGGTCCAATGGAATAGTTGGTAATAAATATTCAACAATATCTATTCTATTCAAGATGGTTGCTTTTTTTAATGTACTCTTCCAAGATCCAACCAACCCATTAGTCTCTTTAAATAATTTTACCAATTCTAAAGATGTTGATTGATTTGGTTGAAATCCACGTGATTCTTTAAATACTACTTTTACACCATTTGGACCATCATTCAACTCGGATGGTCCAAGATTACAAACATGATGTTTGATTATACTCGTAGCAAAATCAGTGTTATTTTGTAGCCAAGCTGATTTTAATGCAATTTGAATGATTACTAGTAGATTAATGTCTGTTGAAAATCTTGGACATAGATTTACGATTATATCCAACTTTTCAATAGTATCTAAATCAATGCTATGTATACTTTGATTTCTTGCGATTGGACCACTAGTATGATCCATCAAATAGGTATAGACACGTCTTGCAAACTCCATATTGTTATAATTGAGTGCATAGTGTAGAATGTTGTATTGATTTGTACCCATTATATGCTTGACACTATCATACATTTCATTGATCTTTTTAGTATCATTGTATTTGTATTCAAGGTACACTCTTATCGATTGTGTCTCTTCAATCTCTCTTCCCGACTTTGTATTCTTGTAGAGTAGTATACTACTATGAATCTCTTTAACTTTTTCGAATATTATTGTTCTAATTACTTTATTATTAATTAATCTATTCATTTTCAACAAATAACAAACTTTATAATGAAAGAAAAAAAAAAAGTAAAAAGAAAAAGTAAAAAGACAACAAATCTGATCAGGAAAATAAAAATAAAAATAAAACTTTTGGCGCCAAGTTTGACAAGGATAAATATGAGGTTAGCTGTGTATAGCAATACCCGCAACCTTACATCCAGACAGCGATTACCATTCGACATATATCTTGAAATCAATCAAGTACTTGTGTTGGTGAAAGAGTATGCTGGAAGTGATTGGGGTAGACTCAACACCCAACTTTTTCTCACCCCAGCAGACTGAAAGGCAATTGGCCTGGACACTAATTTATCTGTTTTTGTTGCTGTTTGTGTGCTGGATTTGTTATTGAATTAAATTAATTATTATTTGGTGGAGGTGGAGAAGGAGAACTTCATGTCTTTGGGTGGCCACTGTTGTAAGTTTACCAATTACCGCCGCTTGCCATTTTCATGTAATCAAGCCTATTTCAATCATTTAATTTCTTTTTTCCATGCAAGTGTTTTGAATATGTTTACAAAAGAGGTTGTTATAGTAACACTACTATACAATATAAATTTATTATGATTTGGAAAACGAGGTTCACAAACAAATACTAAATGTCCATCATCAAAATGTTTAGACGGATGGGAAAGAGGCCATGGTGGCAATACCACAGTTGTTGTTTCTGTTTCTTGACCTAAATAATATGAAAAAAGGGGAATTAGTGAATAGGAAAGAAATTAAATGATAGGAATAGGATTGATTACATGAAAATGTAGCCTGAATAGCCCCAGGTTGTGCCCCAAGAGTTCTTGACGATCCAATAGTCACCAGTGCTAGAGTTGGCTTGAGCCAAACCAGAGCCAGAACCAGATCCGGAACCGGAACCAGAACCAGAACCAGAGCCGGAACCAGTAGCAGAGGCAGAGGCAGAGCCGGTAGCAGAGGCAGAGGCGGAAGCAGATTGGGAACCAGTGGCAGAGGTACCGGTTTGGGAACCAGATTGTGAACCGGTTTGGGAACCAGATTGGGAACCTGATTGGGAACCAGATTGAGAACCGGATTGGGAACCAGAGGTAGAGGCAGTGGTGGAGGAGGAAGACTTGCCAGATGATGAAGAGGAAGACTTGCCAGATGAGGATGAGGACTTGCCAGAGGAAGAGGTGGATGGACCAGTGGAAGAGGTGGAGGCAGAGCCAGAGACGGCACCAGTTCCGTAACCTACGACGAGGACACCGTGATCAAGAGAGGTGGATGAACAGGCTGGTTCATAGTAGATACCTGAAGAGTAGAGTTGGAAAGAGTTGTGGGAAGCATCGATGGCAACAGAGATTGGAGCAGCGTTGGCAGCAGTGGCAAGAGCAGCTTCAGAACCAGAGGTGACTTCGGTGTACTTGGAGATGGTGGCAGCCTTGTTGGCAGTGTTGTAGAGACACTTCTTACCTTGGACAGCCTTGTATGGGTATGAGGCTTCAGTATCGATACCGCCATTCTTGATAATGTAGGTAAAGGCTTGGGTCATGAGGCCTCCATTACATCCTTGATTACCCTCTGCAGTTGAACAATCAATAAGGTTTTGTTCGGAAAGTGAAACGAGGTTCTTGGTACTGAGGAAATGAGCTCCTTCAGTTGAACCAGTACTAAAAAACAAAATAGAAAAATAAAAAGTTAATTGATTGTAATAAATAAATATTATTTGTTTTGTTTTAAAAATTCTTACGTAGAGAAAGACCAACATGAACCACATTGACCTTGATTCTTGATGGCAGTGACGGCACCTTGTTGTCTCCAATCGACAGTGGCGGCTTGGACTTCGTAGATACGGTCCATGGTGGTAGAGGCAGCGGCGGCGAGACGGGCAGTTCCATCAACCTTGGTACCGAGGTAGATACGTTGGTACTCTTCGTTGGAGATATCAGCAAAGACGTTGAGACCGAGGACGGTTTCAGATCCCTTGGAGTTCCATTCTTGGACATAGTCCATGTTCTTCTTGAAAACATTGTAACGGGCACCAAATTCGTGGGAAGAGTAGACACGACCTTGCTTTTGCATCCAGGAAGTGAATGAATCTCTGTATTGTTGCTCAGAGAATGAAGAGGCAGAGGCGATGGCGAGCATCAACACTACAAGGATAATGGTAGCAAATCTCATGGTTTAGAGAAAAGTATATAGATAAATAAATAAATGTATATAGGAATGAATTGAAAGAATGATCAGGTGACTAGTTTTATAGACCACAGAAACCTGCCAACGAACAAACAAATGCATTGTTTAAAAAAAATTCGAAAAATCGAAAAATCCCAAGGAAACTGTAAAAGAAGTTTCGTAAAAAAAAACCCAGGAACTTGAATGCAGAGGCAAACTCGTAACAAAGGGGGGGCTGTTTAAAAAATAAGTAGCAAAAAGAACGAAAAAGAAGAATCTTCAAACCGATATCTTTCTTGAATGAAATTGATGGTACATCCCCCCTCCCCTTCTACTCTGAAAGTTCAACTGAACAAGTATCATGATACGTAAAAGGGAAGTGGTTGTTTAGTTTCATCGGAAAAGATTAATCATTCCATTTACTTTTCAATCAAACATCCATCGATTCGGAAATTGAATTGATCAAACTAAAAATGAATGAATGAAAGCAAACATACATCAATAATCATATCTTCTGATTAGGTCAGCTGCTGTGAACTTGCGATGACAATGAGACCGATCATGTGATACTATAAAAAAAAAAAAAAAAAAAAAAAAATTCAAATAAAGTAAATAAAGTAAAGATACACAACTATAGTATACTTGAAAAGAGAGAATGATTAGAGTAATACCCAAACCCTACTTTTTATTATTTATTTTTATTTTTATTTTTTCGAAAAATCGAAAGAAGTAGATTTTTTAATTTGGGGTGTCTTTTTTTTTTTTTGTTTTTATTATTTATCTTTTTTTTCTAAAACATGAGATTATTATTATTTGTTTTATTAACAATAGTAGTATCTATTGTTTCATCAAAAGAACAATTATATCAAAAGATTAAATCACCATACCCATATTATAGTGAAAAGAACAAGAATAGAGAATTTAAAGGTGTAGAAGAGAATGATCCATCACCACCACCCTTTTCAGAATACTATTACATTCAAAAACTAGATCATTTCAACTTTCAAACTCAACAAACCTTTCCACAACGTTATCTAATCTCTGATACCTATTGGAATAAACCATCATCAAATGATTCTCAATGTAATGGTCCAATCTTATTTTATACTGGTAATGAAGGTGATATTGTTTGGTTTTATCAAGTATGTAAAAAATAAAATAAAAAGAAATGATTATATCATACTTATCTTTTTTGTTCTTTTAAGAATTCACAATTTATAACAAATGTATTAGCACAAGAATTGGGAGCATTATTATTTTTTGCAGAACATCGTTATTATGGTCAAACTTTACCATTTGGTAATGAATCAACTGTACCTGAAAATCTTCAATATTGTACAAGTGAACAAGCTTTAGCAGAGTATGAGAGAAAAAGAAAATAGAAAAGAAAATAGAAAATTAATTATCAAATATACTTTTTCTCTCTCTTTTTTCTTTCTTTTTTTTTTATAGTTATGCAACAATAATACCTCAAGTATTAGAAGATTTAGGAGGATTAAATTGTCCAGTTATATCAGTTGGTGGTAGTTATGGAGGTATGTTGGCAAGTTGGATGCGTATGAAATATCCAAATATTGTTGATGGTGCATTGGCAGCATCAGCACCGATTCTCTATTTCCTTGGCACTGGAGCCGATCCAGAAGGATTTAATGAAATTGCAACCAATGATTTTGCACAAACCTCGGCCGATGGCAGCTGTGCCACTCGTATTAGAGGAGCTTTTACAGAGATTTCAGAGATTGCCGAAAAGCCAAATGGTGATGAGCTGTTGAGCGAGATGTTTTCATTGTGCGGTGTACAAAGTGTCGATGATCTCGTCAATTGGATAGAGTCGGGTTTGACCTATATGGCCATGGCCGATTACCCCTACCCTGCTGCTTTCCTTGAACCAATGCCAGGTTGGCCAATCAATGCTTCTTGTGCTGCCATGGAACCTGTTCAAGATGATATTCAAGCTCTACTCCAAGTCTTGCACATCTATTACAATAGTTCGGGCCAAGCTGGTAGTTGTTACAATGTATCGGTTTTTACAACTGGTGCTCTTGGATCCGATGTTTGGGATTACCAAGCTTGTACTGAAATGGTTATGCCCATGTCATCCAATGGTGTACAAGACATGTTCCCAGCATCTTCGTTTGACCTCGACTCACTCATCACATCTTGTCAACAACAATGGGGTGTCACACCAGACCCCTACTGGATCACCAATTACTATGGTGGTAGTCAAAATGTTCAATCTAGCAACATTGTCTTTAGTAATGGTATCTTGGATCCTTGGAGAGCTGGTGGTGTCATTGAAAATGGTAATGAAATCTATGCCGTCCTCATCGATGGTGGTGCTCATCATTTAGATCTTCGTATGCCAAGTCCTCAAGACCCACAATCAGTCATCAATGCTCGTGCTTTAGAAACTCAATTAATTACTAAATGGTCAAATCAAGCTAGTATCTTAAAATCAAAAAAGAATTAAAAAAGAAAATAGTAAATTTAAATAAATAAAAATAAAGGTAAAAGTTTAATTTATTTATTTGTTTGACAACTTTAGACAACCTCTAAAAAGAGTACAAGAATGAATGTCATTTTGGTTTTAAAAAAAAAAAGATACCATAATGTTTAAAAAAGATCTAAATTTAGAATGAATAAAGGTTGATTAGTTAAAGTTTTAAAAGAGATAAATAAACAACTATTTTCTTTTTTAAATTACTTACTTTTTTTTAAAAACTATGGTATATTTTGTTTGTTGTTAAACAAAAATGACACTCAACCCATACCATGAGTACCATGTAAAACCTAGTCTATCAATCTCTGCGCACAAGTGATAACATTGGCTCCAATAGTTTTGTATTACAATATTACGAGTCATCCTAGACACATATACTTTTGAAATGAAGCTGCCAATAACAGAATTCTCTTTTGCAAGAGGGCTACAACCAGGGACTTCATAACAGGTATAGATAGTTTACCACTCCAAATAAATGGATGGTCCGGCTTTTTGTTTAGGCCTAGAATGTGTATGCGACTATAAAATTGTAATTACTTAAACATATCTATTTTGGTGTAAATTGGAAACAGGTTGTAGTGTAAAGAAAATTGAATAAAGAGACGAAAAAAAAAAGAGAGCGAGAAGTTCAAAAAAAAAAAAATTAAATTAAAAACAAAAAACGAAAGAAAACTATACCAAAAATATTTTTGCCTGTCTGTCATACATATGCTGCTTATGCTTCAAAAGATAGATAGATATTAGATATATTTAAAATATATATTAGATGTAATATGAAAAAGAGTATCAGACCAACAACAACAACAATAGTATTATTATTATTATCATTATTATGTTGTTTAATCATTGTCACAAGAGGAGATGAAAATAATCATTATTATCAATATGGTGAAGAGGTTACATTGTGGTATAATTCAATAGGACCTTTTAGAAACCCTCTAAAGTCTTGGTCATTTGATCATTTTCAATCATGGTGTCTAACAGCAGATAGCGATTATAATAGTAATCAATTTAGAAAAGGTTTATTCTTTGATAGTTTGGCTCATACTCCTTTAGTATCAAGTAATTTACCTATTTTATTTGGTGGTAAATATCAACATATATCTCTATTTTATACCTTTTTAAACTTATCTCTTTCTTTTTATAGTTTCAATGGAATCACCACAATTTATATGTAATACAACAATCAATTCAAAAAATAAAAATGAATTGATAGATGCAATTGATAATGAATACATGTATCATATGTATTTAGATAGTTTATCAATGATTGGTAGATTAGGTGGTAAAGATAAAGATAAAGATAAACAAGATGGTTATTATTTATTTTCAAATAGAAAATTATTAATTTTACATAATGATCATCAAGTAGGTTTGATATATTCTCTTTCTCTTCTTTTGTTATTAATACTCTTTATTTTCTATTTCTAGATTGTGGGAATAACATTGGTAGGAACAAAACCAATTTATTTAAAAGAAAAATTAAATATAACATTTAGTTATTCAGTTGAATGGTATGAATCATTTTCAAATTTTAATGATCGATTGGGATCTTTTACATTGGATACAGATAATATAATGCAATTAGTATCTGCAATTAATAATATAATATTAATTATTGTATTGTTTATACCAATTGGTATCATTTATTATTCAAATCGAAAAAAACCTCAAATTGTCAACAACGATGAAGAAATGGGTATCAACAATGGCAATGGGAACAATACGACTACTACTTTCTTATTAAATATTAAAGATTTAATATTATTTTCAAGTTTTTTGGGAATTGGATTTCAATTTACTATAATATTTATGGTATTTGTTTTTACTTGTTTGATTGGATTACAATTTCAAGATAGTCATGTAATGAATGTAATTGTATTTACATTTCCATTGGCATCAATTGGTGGTGGTATAATGGCTGGTGGTTATCTTGTTCGATCAAATCCAAATATTGATCAAAAGACTCCGAGCATTATTTATTCATTATCACTACCAACTATATTGATTGGATTATTGACTGGTAGTAGAATATTTTTCCCACCCATCAATACTACAAGTCTATTATTAGATTCAATTCAAAGTTTACTCGGTTCACTTTCAATATTATCAATATTTTGTATACCATTTTCTAATCTTGGTTATTATCTATCAACAAAAAGAAATATTAGATTTAATTTTAAACTTTTTAATCATCATAATAATAATAATAGTCATACTACTACTACTACAAATCGTAGTACAAGTTTAATAATATTGTTGGCAGGGATTTTACCATTTTTATCTTTACACATGTATGCACAATTGACGTTATCCTATTTATTTGCTTACAAATCATTTCACATTGCATTAATCCATTCATTTGAATTGATTGCATTTATCATTATAGTCATTCAAACAAATATTATCATCTCTTATTTTCTATTACAACAAAGTAATAATAATAATAGTAAATTATCATATCAATGGAAATCATTATTATCAAGTTGGTCCGTTTCAATTTATTTATTTTTATATTCAATCATTTTCCTATTTAATCATACCGAAATTCGTGGATTCATTTCCATTTTTTATTATTTATCAATTACAAGTACTCTTTCAATTTTAATTGGAATTATCTGTTCTTTTGGTTTTATAATTTCATCTTTATTCCTTCAATCAATTTTAAAATTAAAATTAAATAAATAAAAAAAAGGTAGAGTAAAAGTAAATTATTATTATTTTATTTTAGAGATATTTTTTTAGAATTGTTATTGATTGATTATATAATGATTGATTGATTGAATTATTTTTTGTTGTTTTTGTTGTTGTTGATGGACGAGGTAAAGATAAAATAATATTCATTTCATCTTTTGAAAGTTTTTTACCAATTTTAATATAGGTCGATAGAACCATACAATTTGTCAAACCAACAATAATTTGATTTGATTTGAAATTAATTCTTTCAATATCTTTTTTGTTGTTATTATTATTATTGAATAATTGTTGATTTAAAATTGATTGATGACAATGAGTGAGTGAAATTAATTTTGTTGAAATATTTGAATCCATATAAATTGATAATCCAAGATTTGCCAATAATAATTTTTCAATCCATTGACTTGTCAATACAATCAATTCTAATTGATCAATTGTTGAATCTGTAGTAGTAGTAGTAGTGGGACTACTTCTTCTTTGAATTGATTGTATTGTATTTGATAAAATAGTATCAATTAATTTTACAACCAATATTAATTTATCTTTACTTGTACAAGATAAATCAATATTATAAACTGTTGGATTACATGTAACAATTTTAATCAATGATGAATCGTCGACGATTTGTTGACCTTGGTGTTGTAATAAATTTTCAATAGATTCCAATGAAATTGAAAATGTTGATGTTTGATTTGTTGTTGATGATAATTTATGATTTTGTAAAATATTTGATAAACCATTTAACATTTTCAATTCATTCTTTTCCCATTTTTTCATTTGATTTAAATGAATCAAGAAGAAATTTGAAATGGAATCAATTTGATTTGATAAATTTAAATCCAAATGTTTTAACAATTCGGTTATTAAATCTAATAATTGATCAAAATGATGACTTGGTAAACTACGATTAGTCAATAGACTTGAAATCCATGAAATAATTTCACTTGATACCAAATGATTTGCTCCTCCAATACTACCACTTGCAATCGATGTTAACAATGTTAAAATAAACGATCTAATTTCAATTGTACATGTTATAGATTCAAACATTGAAATCAATTCTTTAATTTCAATCTTATTATTTATCTAAAAAATTAAAAAGAATTAATATATATTCTTTTTCTTTTCCTTTTTCTTTTTTCTTACATTGATTGATAATTTTAAAATCCAACTAGTTAATATTGGATTATCAATAAATGATTTATAATCAATTAAAGGTAATTTTTTAATATTAAAAGATGTTGGTTTGAGTTGATAATAATCATAGAGACCCTTTTTAACATTTTCATCAAATTCCTTTGTAACATTTGATTTGGTTGCTTCAAGTGATCGAATATAAAATATTGAATAAAATGTTGGAATTGGATTTTGTTTTAAATGTGAATAGAGTGATGTAATATGACTAATAATTGATTTGGCTGAATGTGAAATGAATTTAATATTATTATTATTATTATTACTATTATTACTGTTATTATTATCTCTATTAGTGATTGTAGATAGGAGTGAAATAGAATGTTTTCTAACTAAATTATCCAAACTAGAGAGAGAACTAATAATAAATGAACCAGGACCATTCATCAAAAAAGATTGTTTATCTTTAATATCTTCCAATACACTTTTGAATAGACGCAAAAGGAATGATGGATCGTATGGATATTTTGATTCCAATTTGAAATTTTGGTCCAAGAGTGGAATGACAGTGGTCATGGTCATAGTTGCATTGATGGGATAATTGGTAACGGTGAATTTTAAAATCTCTTCATTTAATAATGATCCAGTCAACAGTAAGGAATCTACACCAATTGTATGATTGTCATAGTTGGCACCAAATAGACCAATGGTAGAGTCGTTCAAATCTGGATTATGAACTTCGTGTAAATAGACTATACGATAGAGCAACACATCAACTGGGTGAAGTGTACCTGCATAGGCTCGCATAATATTGTCAAAATGACTCTTGTCTACACACAATTCACTTGGGTCACCATTATACAAACTATATAATAAATGTGCCAATTGATAAGTCACTTGTTTGTCCTTGTTTTCATAATTGATATAATCTTTAAAAATATTGATTGATTGTTGTTTAAACAACAATTTAAATATTTTCTTGTAATTGATTGATACAGTTTGAGAGCTATTATTTTGGTTTAAAGAATCCAAAACAACATTTAATCTTGCTAGTGAAGGAGAGATTAATTTTGGTTGATTTAAATTTTCAACCAATTGTTCAATAAAATGTTGAATATGTTTTTGATTTCTTTCCTTTTGAATAGATACAAAGAGGACAAGTGTTGAAATATTGGTTGTATGATTAGCCAATTTCGTGAAAAATGTATCACTCAATTGACCAAAAGTAGATGAAGAGAGTTGATTTAAATAATGATGATCAAAACTGTTTAAATGTTTTGCTGACAATTCAATTCCCAATGTTTTAATATCAGTTTCCATAGTTTCCAATTTATCATATTTTGTAAATGATAATAATTTTCCTACCAAATTTGAAATCGATAAAGAAGAGGATGAAGAAGAAGAAGATTTGATCTTTTCCAATACTATTGATCTTGTTTGATTTGGTAAAGTTATACCATGAACAATAATAGATTGAATAATTGATATCCAATATTGATTATCTGAACCATTAACCAAGCTTGTCAAAGAATTTGAATAATTTCCGATAAATTGATCCAATTGATATTGATTTAAATATAATATCAATACAGTTGTAATGACGGATTTAAACTTTTCAGATTTCTCCAACAATGTCGACAAATATTTGTTATTATTAAAAATAGTTGTAATCATATCAAAATGACAACATGATTGTGGATTTGAAATTGATTGTACCAATAAATGTAATATAGTTTGATCAATCAAACTAGAACAACTTTGATTATTACTATTTTGGATGAGAGAATTGATAATTTTTTCAAAAATGATTCTTGATTCTTGTTGATTTAATTGTTTGGTTGTAGTTGTCATGTTTTGATTTAATATTAAATTACCAATCAAGGTATTGAGATTAATATTATAATTTTCGACCAATTGATTAAATAATTGACTATTTTTAATTTCATTTCCTTGTAATAAACAATTAACTGCCAAACATAATAATCTAGAAATAAATCTACTACTATTCTTCTTTTTGTTATTATTTGTATCAACCAAAATATTACAAATACTTAGACAATTATTATAATCCAAATAATGAATTAAAAATTGAATTGCTTTAATTGATGGTTTCATTTCTTCCAAATCTTCATCATCCAAATCAATTTCAACATCCTTTTTAAATTGATTAATAATTTTAATTACAATTTCATAAATAATATTATTTTCAATATTTTTGTTAAAATGTAATATTAATGTAATTAATCTTATTATATCTAAAATAAAATTAAAAATAAATAAATATAAGTACTTTGTTTTGTTAAGTTTGTTTTTGTTTTGTTTTGTTCTCTTACAAAAAGAATAATTTTGATTTAAAATATTTGATTGAATAAAATTAGATAACATAAATTGATCAATTAATTTTAAAGCAAGATTTGCACGAGTAGCGAGAAGAGTTGAAAAGATTGAAGAGATGATATCAAAATAAAATGATATAGTTTCTTGATTATTTTCCTTTTCAATCAATTCTCTGAGGATTGGCAAGACGATGGTCATTTGTCTTGGTGAAAGGTTGTTGATGGATTGACTGATGAATTGTTTGACTGGTGGCATTGAATCGTAAAATTGTTGAATATTATCAGATGATTCTATTAATAGATGGGAGAGGATGATGGTTACCGGTACTTTTTGTAAAATCAAATACATTTCCTTTTTATCAATCGACAAGGAAAAGAGATTTCCATTATCAATAGATTGCATAAATCTATTTAAAATATCAATTGAAGGGTTGAATTTTTTATCCTTGATATTCCAAAGTTGTTCAATATCAACAACTCCCAGATCTTTGTAATGTTGACAATTTGCTCTTTTTAAAATATAATTATTTAATGTAGCCAAATAAGGTGGATTATTCTTATTATTGTTTAAAAAAGAATCTAAACAATTTTTATCAATTCCTTTGAATTGACCAGACATTAAATTTGATGCTAAACTATTATTACCACTACTGCTGATTAATTGAATTAAAGATAAAATAAAAGTTGAATGAATAGATGCCAATTGTAAAATACATCCTGCCAAATAAAGTGATTGATGTTGTTGGAGTGCTGAATTATTATTATTATTATTATTATCTTTGTTTTGTTGTTGAAGATTTCTATTTAAATAAACCAATGAAGAGAGGAGGACAGGACTAACAATGATTTCATTTAGATGATGTGGTTGAACAAGATTTGAAACTCTTTGACAAATATCGACATATTCCAATTTATGCAATTCAGTTTCTTGAACCAATCCAACAAACATTTTAATATTATCCAATTGCTCTGCAACACTATAGGTAGGGTTGAATAATCCACCAATCCAAATATCAATTTCATGATCCATTCCAAGGAAATAATTATTAATTGATAACAATTTAAATATCAATGAATGATATTTTGTTTTTAATTCATTCAATTTACAATTTTCATATAATCTTAAAACTAAATTTAATATTGATTCTAAATAAAAAAGTATAAATAAAGTTTCTATTTTTCTTTTTTGTTTCTTTTTTTTTTACCATTATTAATTAAATTTGAAGAAACTAAAGTAGGATTATGAAAAGATTTTGAATTTGAAACCAATTGAATAAAATCCATTTGAACACGAGCATCAGATTCCAAGAGGTATTTGAGGTCAAAAAGAGAGAGGGGGATCATTTCATTGGGTGCAATGTATTTGACATATTCATTGAGGATGGAAATGAATACACCAAAAATGAGTGGGTTGGCTTTATAAGTAGTGGCATTTAACTTGAAATTGGTAATTGGGATGATTCTTTCTTTGGCCATCGATGTTAGGTCATTGATGAAACTTTGGAATTGGCTTCGATCAACTGGTAGTGTCTTTGATGCAAGTTCAGAGGTCATCTCTGAAATGACAGCATTTAAACGACGCATATACATTAGATAAATGGTTGCCTGAGTATATGTGACAAATGGTAATTTTGCTTTAAGTGCTAAATCAAAATTAGCAATATTCTTTGGAACCAACATATTTAATAAAATGTTTGGTGATTCTGGAATTGCTATTCTACTAAGAGTCATATTTGTTTGTTGTTGTTGTTGATTATATTTCCAAGGACATGATGGAATATGAAGAGAAAGTTCTTTTAAAAGACTTGATGTATCTGGCATGTAAAAGTAGTTGGGTGTGGCTGTTTGGATTGGTTGTGTGAGGAGTGGGTTAAAGGTGGCGAGGATGAGTTCTGGACACGACTCGTAGGTGACATTGTAGAGTTGTTGGTGAGCTTGGAAACGAGTGGTGTTGAGTCGACTCACCAAACTCGAGATGGCGTTTGCTTCAGAGGACATGGTGTCGGTTGCTCTGAACCAGTGCCATGCCGATGTGCTGGGGAGTGGTGCAATACCACTTTCATGCTTGGTCACTACATTCTCGATGAACCGCTCGATCGACCATCGAATGTCGTCGGGTATCTCGATACCGTCAAACACCGTACCAATCTTGCCCATAAACTCGCTGTTAAAGAGTGTGAGACGTTGGTGACGCGACAGGTAGCGCCCCGTGTCGGCAAATGGTGTGCTCACGACATACTGGTCGAGCGTCTCAACCACATCACACACAATGTTGTAATGGTCATAGTTCATGTGCTTGACATACTTTCTGAAATGTTTCGAGATGATGGTGTTGGTCAATCTCGAGTTGGAGTGTTTGATAAACGCCAGCATCAGTCTCAGTGCAAACGGTCTGCCCGTCAAATAGGCACCCACCGTCGACACTTGGTTGAGAATCGAGTTGAACCCCTCTGAATCAAACGGAAAGATGGATATGATGAGTTTAGCCAATTTCAACGAATGTCCAATAATCGATGTATACAATCTCAACGTATTGATCACCAATGGTACATCTGAACTCTCTCCATCTCCTCTATGTATACCTTGAACTATAATTGATTTTAATTCATTCATTCTATTTTCAAATATCTACAAAAGAAAAAAGAAACAAAAAGTTAGGCACACATATATTCATTCTATATTTAATCTTCTTCTTCTTCTTACTGATTCAGCTAAATTGATTGGTTGTACAATAGCACTACTTGTATTTGTCTTTGTACTTGTACTAGTTGCAGTCTTCTTTTTTTGATGGTCTGTGACCTGGCCAGGTCTATCATTGACAGTGATAATGATAGCTAACAACTCGAATAGGACAGGTTTGATGGCAACGTAGATTTGAGGTTTATCATTACACTGATCCCAGATGTGAAAGAGTTCAGAGCATGCTGGAGAGTATGCGAGGTAGTTAAAGAGTGGTTTAAAGACTGGGTGTTGGTAGTTGGGTAGATGCGACCATTGTGGTTGTTTGGGGGACTCCTTTTCACTACGCACAAGATGAATCATCGATTGCAATGCTCTTGTTATATCGTTTAGACGCAATGATGTAATCATATCGATAAAGAGTGTATGTGTAAGATCTTCAACTACATTTTGTTGTTGTTGTTTACTCGATAGTGCTAATGCTGCATTCTCTGCTTGATCTTTACTCTTTTTAATCTAGAATAAATATTATTATTACATTGTTATAGCATAGCAATGAATGAATGAATGAATGTTAACTTAAGTTTTTAAAAGTATGTATATATTTCTCTTTCTAGATGCATACCTGAGACAAATGTATATTCCTCCTTGTTTTTCTCTCCATCGTTGCTCTCACTCTCTAGAACAATCTATTCCTCTGATCTGCAAATGGTGGTTGGTATGTATAATTTTTCGTCGTTCGTGTATGTCATTTTTATTTTAAAAAATAAAAATAAATAAATTTTTCTTTAATTTAGGTGAACATTTTTTTCTAATATTTGATACTTCTCACGCTTGCAAGTAGTATTTACTTTTATTTTCTTTTCATAGTTGTTCTAACAAATATTTAATGATGACAGCAGAAATGATGATCGAAATATTAAATATATTTGGCAAATCATATAGTTCCTAGAGTAATTAATTAAAGCATTAACATCGCGATTGTCATTTGACTTTATTTGTTCACCCATCAATATTAATATTAATTGTTAACTCTGTAAATATACTATATATAAATTTAAATTTTATCCAAACAATCATCGAAGCCATGCGCACATTAAAAAATGCATCAAATAATTTTATGAAGATTGCTAAATAAAAGAGAGAGATGTCAAACGTATATACTAGTATTAGTAACTATTATATTTCATCTTTAACAAAAAGAGTTAATTTCATTGATCTATTTAGATCAATAGTCATCAGAAAAGAGATATTCAATCAAATCGGTCTATTGCGTTCGATATTATCATCATATTTAAAAAGGTATAACAAAGGAAGAGATATAATCAAACTATGGGATATTGGAATGATATCAAGGTATGCATTACCATGGCACTTTGTTAAACATTATCTACCCAATGATTGTAAAGAGATCAACCGGTATATTAGATATCAAGCAATCAACAAGTATGCAGCCCATCCAAATGCAACTGTTGACACATTACAACATCTTATTGAATGGTCACCTGATGTCTATTTTGTTGGTGATTATCTAGACAAGACCGCAATCCATGGAAAGGTGGATATATTAAAGATGATTCATCAAAGATATCCAAATACTTTTATTCATTCAAATTTGTCTGTTGAAGGTGCTGCAAATAATAAGAATGGTCATTTGTCGATCATTCAATTGCTACATTCAATCGATAATCAAGGAATCCCTATATTTACAACTGAAGTAATGGATAATGCTGCTAAAGTAGGTAACCTTTCTCTAGTTCAATGGTTACATCAAAATAGAAGTGAAGGTTCAACAGAGAGAGCAATCAATTATGCATCTGAAAATGGACACTTTGAATGTGTAAAGGTATGTATATAATCAAATAGAATTTAAAATCATCATGTCATGACTGGTACAATTAAGATTAATCATTTATTTGATTTATTTTTTATTAGTTTCTTGTAGAGAATACAAAAGAAGAAGGGACGGAAGAGGCAATAGATATGGCTGCATCCAATGGACATTATGATATTGTTCAATATTTACATCAACATGATTATTTGTGTACAACTAAAGCCATGGATGGTTCCGCTGAAAATGGACATGTTAATATCATAAAATACCTTACAGAGAATCGTACTGAAGGATGTGAGAATGCATTGAATTTAGCTTCAAAAAATGGTCATTTTAATTGTGTAACTGTATGTATAACTTTAGTATTACACAATAAACTTCATCTTACTAATATGAGCTGTTTCCACAGTATTTATGTCAAAATATTAAACAAAATGAAGAGTGTATTCAAGATGCTTTGGTTATTGCATCTGAGAATGGTCATCGATCAGTAGTTGAGTATTTATGTGATTACCAAACTGGTGATGGCAGTGATGAATTTAAACTTTTAAAAGAGTCTCATTTATCAATTATCCAGACTTGTACAACCAAAGAAATGGACAATGCTAGTTTAAAGGGTGATTTAGATTTATTAAAATTACTTTATTCTCAAGGAGGAGTATACTCTAATGAAATTGCTGAATTGGCAGCTATCAATGGTCATTTAAATGTATTAATTTGGATAGACAACACTATCAACGATACCAAACTATTTACACAAAAGGTAATGGATGTTGGAGCTACAAGTAATATCAATGTTGTAAAATGGTTACATCAAAATCAAACACACCAAAGTTTCTCTAGAGATTCAATAGAATATGCATGTTCTAGCGGTCTTTTAGATATTGTACAATATCTAATTGAAAATACAACTACTAAAAGTACTACTGTTGGATGTATCAGAAATGCCATTTTTGAAGCTGGTAGACAGGTCATTTAGAAATCGTTCAATATCTCTTGACTTTAAGTCAATCATACTCTGATGATCTCTTTACAGCAGCTCAATTTACTTCATTTCTACAATATTCATTGGGGTATCCTATGGTAGCTCAATATCTCTTTACCACCGACAACTATAGTAATCAATTTGTGTATCGTGTTGAAGATCTAATATCAAGTATTGCATTACATGGATACCTCGAACCTTTACAATCTATTCTCTCCAAACAAAATGACCCAAACTTGGTTGTAAAAGTGAATGGATTCCACCATTTCTTTATGTTTTCATTCCTCTATCACTATTATTACGTTGATCAACAACTACCAATTGAAAAGGAAGTAAAGACACTGTTTCAAAGGTCATCTAGATATTTGTCAAACATTGATTTATTGTATAGGATGGGATTACGACCAGATAAAAGGGCACTCATATCGTCATATACCAAGGGTCGTTTCTCAGTTGCCTATTATCAAACTGAAAAGTGGGACAGTGATGGCGATTCCGAAACATTTTTTGTTGACAGTTATATCGATTGTCCAACCATGATGGCCTATTTACACAAAAAGAAAGGAATAGATTTTTCAAGATTTTTGGTATTTGCAGCCATGAATGGTCAATTAACAATACTTAAAGTATGTACATTATTTAAAAAAAGAAAAGATAATAGTTTGATAACATTCTTTCATCCACCCATTTTTGTTGATTTCCACCTACTACCACTATTTTAGTTCCTCTTTGAAAAGTATCCAAACAACTTTGCTTGGATTCTGAGATAAATAAATAAATAAATAATTATTTAACATCAAAAAAAATACAAATACAAAAGAAATCAAGTTTTGAAGATCATCTTCATCATTTTTTTTTATATTAAAGTAGTACTACTATGAACAACCACTTTTATCTGCATACTATATATACTCTTGTAGTAGTTATTCTTATTTGTATTATTGTTTGTTCAGGTGATGATGATCAGAGAAAGGATGGAGGAATAGTAGTGATTGATAACAAATATAGAGATAATCATCCAATCGTTTTAGAAGATGTACTATTGTAAGAGAGACAGACAAAGAGAGAGAGAGAGATAGAGATATGAAAGAATGATCAAGAGTACTTACTAATCATAATACCTATTTATTTACTTATAGTGGAAAAGATATAAGTGTAGGAGTTAATTCAAAATTTGAATGTAAAGAACAATCGATAGATTTACAATGGTCATTAGATACACATTCATCGATATCATCTACACCATTGATAGCAGATCTATTTGGTGATGGTAAAAAGTATATTGTATTGGTCAATTCTAATAGCTATGTTGAAGTACTGAGTGGAAGGACAGGAGAGATGGCAATAGGATGGCCGTTCATATCACCAGACTCTACCTTTGCCTCAAGTCCTCTTCTTTTCGATATAGACGGTGACGGCAAGAATGAAGTGGTAGTATCGACACGTGAAGGAGAGATATTGTTTATTGGTCGTGACGGATTCCCTCTTCTCAACAATACACTCAAAATACCTCCTCTTAAAGTACTCAAAGATTGGTATGAAGGTATTAGTGGTAAACATGTAGATTCTGCATTCTCTCTTCATGATTTAGATAATATTAAAAACTCAAACAAAAAAGAAGATGATGATATATTTGATGAATCAGTATGTATACTCTTTACAAAAAGATAAAAGAGATAAAGATAAATTAATTCTTTTCTATTTTCTTTTGTAGAAATATAAATTAAATATAAATTTATTACAAGATAAAGAAGATTTATTATATTCAAAACAATATGATGATTATATTAGAATGAATAAGAGGTATTCAAACAAATCAATGGATCATGTATGGGTGGACGGACATATTCTTTCGACTCCAGTCATTACCGATATCGATTTGGATGGTCACTATGAATTGATTGTCTCTGTCTCTTATTATTTCGATCACGAGTATTATTCAGATCCAATTCATCGTTCAAAAATAGATCGTGATGTTCAACTAGATAAATATGTTGCAGGTGGAATTGTTTGTTTTGATTTGGATAAATTACAAATTAAATGGCAAACTCGTAAGAAGAGAAACAAAATCAAGTTAATGAATTCAATTATAATTAATTTCTTTTTTATTTTCTATTTTTTATTTTAGATTTTGATTTAACAGTTGATTTTAAAGCATTTAGTGGATATGTTTATAATACACCAACAGTGATTGATGTAAATGGTGATTCAATGTTGGAAACTGTTATTGGTACATCGATTGGGTATGTTTATGTTTTGGATGTTCGTGGTAAACCAATTACAAGTTTAACGTTGCCATTGGATTCAATCTATTCTCAAGTGGTGGTTGAAGATTTAAACAAGGATGGAAATGTAGAAATTATAGTTGCAGATTCAAATGGTAATTTAGTTTGTTTCTCAAATACTGGTGATGAATTGTGGGAAAATAGATTTGCTGGTATGACTGAAAGTGTAAGAAACAAATGAAAAGAAAAGAACAAAAAAAAAATATCGATCAAAAAGAATATAATTATTTAATTATATTTATTTAATTTTATTTTTTAGCATGTATCAATAGGAGATATAAATGGTGATGGAATATTAGATGTAGTACTTGGATCAATGAGCGGTGCAATTTATGCATGGAGTGGAGATAGTGGAAAGGAATTGGTAGACTTTCCCATTAAAACAAAATCATTGGTTCTTTCACCATTGTTGTTGGTGGATCTATCATTGGACATTGATTTGAATGGTAGAAATGGTTTATCAATTATAACTCATACAAGTGACGGTGTTTTATTTTCAATTGATGGTAAACAATCTTGTGCAAACAAATTAGATATTGGTGATAGTTCGTATGTAAAATTAAAATTAAAAATTAAAAAACAATTAAATATAAAAATATTTTATTTATTTATTAATTATTTTTTTAGAGTAAGCATGGTTTTGGCAGATGATTTATTAGGAGATGGTAAAATTAATTTATTGGTTACGACATATTATGGAAATATATATATATTTACAACCAATTCACCGTACCATCCATTAAAAGCACAGCAATCATTTAACAAGGGATTGAATGTTTTTACATCTGGGTCTCAAGGTGTTGTTATTGTAAAGCAACCTGGACAACCAGAAACGATGGACATTCTCGGCAGCGAATTTTCTATTGACGTTATGATTGTCGACACACAATTCAACGAGTCAATTGGAAATTCGTACAAGTTGTCTGTCTATTTTGCAAATCGACTCATTAGTGTATCGAATTACCATACACCTGGACTCAAGCAATTGACAATGCCAACACCCGGTCGTGCCTATCCCAATCTACTACGAGTCGAGCTCACAAACAAGTTTGGACAAGGCTACCAAGACACTGTATCCTACTCTTTTAATTTATATTTTGCTAGAACTATTAAATGGGTCATTATCATCCCATTTGTTTTATCCTCAATTTTAATTTATTTAAATACTAAAAATAATAATATTCAAAGTACAGATAATAATAATAATAATAGTAGGGTAGAAAAAAATATCTATCAAGATATTAATGAAAATCACAATGATAATAATAGATTTATTAAACAAAATAAACAATTATAAAAGTAGTAGCATCAGAGTAGCGACTAATATTTAATAGAGTACCATGGAGTTTTCAATTTTGCCTCTACACAGTGGACATGTTTCTGGTGGTTGTTTATCAAAACAACTTATGCAATGTGTCTTGTGTCGACATGGAAGAAATGCAATACGTTTCTCTTGATCAGAGCAAATGATACAATTTAAACTATCTTCTAATTGATTTACTTTGCTTTGTAATTCTTTTGTTTTAGTGTCCTTGTAATGGGACACTTTTTCCAAAATCGATTTTAATTCTTTTTCCAGATTGATAGTTTCATTTATATCCTTTTTCTCTAGATTCTCACCATAGATAAAATCTAGTTTAGATTTTAATAGTTTGTTGTGAATAGTAAGAGAATTGATTTCAGATAGATAGAAATCCTTTTGTTTTGCTTTCATTTCAGAGAGCTGCGCAATTTTTTTGAGTTGCTCGTCCTCTCTATCTCTCATTTCTTTGAGTTGTGCAATATTTTTGAGTTGTTCATCCTCTCTATCAACATAAATTTTCTCCAATGTGATGTTCATTTGCATCACATCATGAAGCATTGCTCTTTGATGTTTAAAAAGATTATGAGTTGCATTTGAATCTGTATTCTTATCCTATGAAAAAAAAAGTAGATTTCTATTAGAATTATACTTTTTGTACTCTAAAAATGAAAGATTCTTTTTTACCATTTGTTTTTTTTCTATTACCCAAGTATTTATAAATAAAAAATTGAATTTATTAATAGGTAAGTGATCATTATATGGATCAAAATAATTGATAAACAAAGTGATGGTGTTACTATCATTCTTTAATTTTCGAAAAAGTGGGTGAACAATATTGTTTTGCAATGAGACATGTAATGTTATTTACTGTCAGAATAATCATGATATATAGATAGAATATGAATTTATTTTTAATAGAATTTAGGAATAAATATCTTTCCTTTTAACAATAATTTGACGACATATTTCAATGAGATGGTTCAATTCTTTATCGTCTAGTCCTTCCAATCCTCCTCCAAGAATTTGAACTAAGTATGTTTCCATTTGAATAAATGCTCTGAGTTTGTTTTGATTTTCTAGTTTAATGTTTTCCTCTGCTATCTTTTGATTCTGCAAAAACAGGATTGTTTGTTTCATTTCCTCGATTTGTTTTGTTGAGTTTTTCTGTTTCTTCTGTCTGAATAAGGAAATCTTGATTCATATCATCAATGTACTGTTCTGTAAACTTGACGAATTCCAAGTTTGAATCTTCCAACTCTTTTATTCTTTGCTCCAATTTTAAGATGGCAATTTGTGATTCTGTTTGAAATTCTGTGACTATTTTTTTTATACTCTTTGTTGTTGATAATATTTTTCATTGACTCTACTCTTTTGAAAAAAGATTGGTTGATGGAGGCTTGACAAAAAACACAGGTCTCGCGGGAATGTTGGCATCCACTATCAGACAAAGATAGATTACCTAATAATGGTATATTGGATGATGAATCACCAACGCCTTTTAATTCTGTTGATTTATAAAAATAGTTTGGGATACTCATTTCCAATCTGATATATCAGTAAAAAATAAATAAAAAAGCAACAAACAAACAAATCAATTTGAATTAAATAATAATTAATTCATAATGTGGTTGATCCAAAAATGAAATGAAAAAATAAATTAAACCAAAAAGGAAAATCTGAACCAAAAATATATTTCGAGTGGGTGAGAGAGACGATCATTGCCAGAGTATGAATTATTGAGGTAATAGCTGATTTATTTATTTAATTTAAATGATGGAATCTGTTTTTAGGGTATGTTGGATTATGAAAATATTTGTTTCTTTTTTGTGATTGGGGAACGACACATTGGACAAGAGGTAACTTTTGAAGCACACAATTTACATAGGCAAAGGTGTTTACAAGGTTTGAGAATTATCTTGGTTGGTTCCTCTGAACAGACAGCACAGAGAATCTGATCAACCAATTCTTGATTCTTCATTTTGAGTGTTTCCATTTTATAGTCATAAATCTTTTGAATACTCTTTTGATTGGTTTCAATGAGACTGTTCAATTCTTGATCACCTAGTCCATGCAACCATTCTCCAAGGATATGTTTATATTCTCTCTGTATATTATTAAATTTAATAAAATAGTCTGTATACCTGTTGTGGCTTTCCAAATATTCTGTGTTCAACTTTTGGATTTTTTCCATGTTCTCCTTTTTCATTTCCTCGATTGCTTTTTTTAGTTTGTCTGTTTCCAGTGATGATTGAATTTCGAAATCTATTTTCATCTTTTCAATGTGTGCTCTTGAAAACTCGATTAATGCCAAGTGTGAATCCTCCAAATCTTTTATCCTTCTCTCTAATTTTAATTGGACAAATTGTAAATTGTGACGACATTTAATCCAATGTTCTGTTTCCAAGTCTTTGGCTTTTTTGACTTCGTTTTGATAAGATTTTTCATCAATATTCTTTTTTATCGAGTTTGCTCTATCTTCAAATGATTTGATGCCCGATTCCAAAGATAGATTGCTCATGGTACTAGTGATATCTTTTGAGGAAATATTCTTATCATTGACTAATGATGAAAAAAACGAATATGGTTTTCCTGGGCTATTCTCCCAGGAAAAACTCATTTCTAAAATTCTTTCTCTAATTAAATATAGATATGATATTTATTAACAAAAATAATAAATTAAATAAATAGGCAATGAATCGGTGTTGACAGATCGACAAACAGATAAATACATGGTTGATTAATAAAAAAAAAAAAATAGACCAAAATGGAAAATGGGTGAGTCTAAAATAATCATATTCGAGTGTGTGTTGAGCGTGGTTAAGAGATGAACACAATCATGTAAATCAATAATAATAATTATTATATAATGATTATATGACGGCAGTAATAATTATATGAGTATGTATTTATTTATGGTTTGGATTATGAAAATATTTCTTTCTTTTTTGTGATTGGAGAGCGACACATTGGACAAGAGGTAACTTTTGAAGCACACAATTTACATAGGCAAAAGTGTTGACAAGGTTTGAGAATTATCTTGGTTGGTTCCTCTGAACAGACTGCACAGAGACTCTGATCAACCAAATCTTGTTTCTCTTTTTTGAGTGTTTCCAATGTCTTGACCAAACGATTGTATTTCTGACTATCAATCTTTTGAATACTTTTTTGGTTGGTTTCAATGAGATGGTTCAATTCTTTATCATCTAGTCCTTCCAATCTTTCACCTTTTAGATTCTCATATTTCTTTTCCAATTCAATCAATTCAGTCAATCTGGTTTGGTGATCGTGTTGTATCTTTTCTTCTCTTTCCTTTGATTGGGTCTCCAAACGGTGAATTCTTTCAAAATGGTCCTTTTGCAGGACCTCTATTCCTTTGTTGAGTTCTTGAATGTCATTATCTCTTTCTTTTTTGAGTTGAATAGATTGATTGGCAAAATCTTTGTTGAGTTGGTGGATATAGTTTCCTACATAAACCGCAAATTTCAAGTTTGATTCTTCCAATTGCTCTACCCTCTCTTCCAAACAAGAAGTGATAGATGATCTTTTCTCTTCGAGTTGGGCCAAAAACAGTCTCTCTGATAGTTTAGAGTCGGTGATCTTTGTTTGGTACTCTTTGTCATTGATAATCTTTACAAATGAGGCCACTCTATTTAAAAATGTATTGGAGTTTGATATGATGTCTTGGCTCTTTTTGTTGGTTTCTTGATCCTCTATTTCTTCTTCTTCTTCTTCCTCTTCCTCTTCTTCCAACTCTTCTTCCTCCTCCTCCTCATAATCATACTCCTTTTCATCTTCATCATCATCATCTTCTTCTTCTTCTTCTTCCTCCTTATCATACGCCTCCACCACCTTATTAAATGTAACAGCCTTTTTAATTGATCCAAAAAGTGATGTTGAGGCAACTGGGTTTTTGAGCACAGTAGTTGATCCAAAAAGTGATGTTGCGGTTGGTAATACAGATGTCGGTGGCTGGTCCGATGTATTGGAGGTAGTGGACGAAGAGCTACCAATAGTTGAGCTACCAAGCTTTGAAGTCGAGGTTGAAGTCGAGGTTGTACTACCTCCAAAAAGGGAAGGGCGATTTGATGGATTGGTGGAGAAATGAGAGGATTGAGGGGATGGAGAGTTACCATTAGTTGAGCGACCAAACCCTGAAGTTGGGCTATATGATATCGAGCCAAACCCTAAAGTAGGAGCAGCGCCAAACCCTGCTGGAGTACCAAAAATTGGGGTTGAGGCAGAAGGAGAAGAAGAAGAAGATGTAGTAGTGCCAAACCCTCCTGCTGGAGTACCAAACGCTGAAGTTGAGGAGGAAGAAGAAGATGTAGGAGGAGTGCCGAATCCTCCTGGAGTTCCAAAAATTGAACCAACAAATGCTGAAGTTGAGGAAGAAGAAGAAGAAGAAGAAGAAGAAGTAGAAGTAGTGCCAAACCCTCCTGCTGGAGTACCAAAAATTGAGGAACCTGAAGAAGGAGTTGACCTGGTTGATCCGAATACATTTTGTGTGCTCTGGGAGCTCATAGTTTTCTTTCTTTCTTTAAAAAAAATGATTAATTAATTATTCAAATATTTGAGAGTATCACAATGAATAAACAACAACAATGAAAGTTCATGTTTCTTTTCCCTCTTCTTAATTTCCATACATAGGTTGGTGGTGGTGTTTCCCCCCGCTAAAATATTTACAAATCGATTAAACTTCTCTCACACACAATCAGATGGTGATGATGGGTGGGTGTTGTAGCGAGCAGCAGCTGAACATTGTTTGTTTCTCGGTTGATTCGATAACTGAAATAATCTCTTTTCGTGACATGGTGAAGTTCAGGTACCAATATACACAAATGTGTGTGACGATCGAGAGTGTGATGTGTGATGTATACATATATTTACCTATTTTTTTAATCATAGTAGCTGCATGATTGATTGATGGTCATAATAATATTTTTCAGAGGGTTGTTATTGATTGATTGTCTTGCTCCTTGAATAGTAGCCATCTACTATCTATCTATCTATCTTTTCATCATCTTAGATAACCCCTATTCTACAAATACAAATGATTATTGGTTTTTGAAGGATCTTTGTAATCAACTAAAATTATTTTATTTTATTTTCCTTGGGAGGTTAATTAATTATTAATAATATCTTATTTGATCAAATTTAAATTTTGTTGACACTTATTTTGATTCTTAGGAAAATATTTCTTTCTTTTTAGCAATATTTTGACGACAAATTGGACATGTTGACACTTTAGTTGCACAACCTCGACATAAACAAAAATGTTGGCAAGGTTTGAGAATAATTTTGATTGGTTCTTCCGAGCAGACAGCACAGAGACTCTGATCAACCAAATCTTGTTCTCTTTTTTGAGTGTTTCCATTTTCTTGAATAAATGGCTATAAATCTTTTGAATACTTTTTTGGTTGGTTTCAATGAGATGGTTCAATTCTTGATCATCTAGTCCTTCCAATCTTTCACCTTTTAGATTTTCATACTGTTTATCCAATTCAATCAATACACATGCTCTGTCTCGATGATCTTCTATTAACTTTTTTTCTCTTTCCATTGATTGATTCTCCAAACGCTTAAATTTTTCTGCATACTCTTTGTTGATGTTCTCTATTTGTTTGTTGGTCTGTCCAATGTAACCTAAGGCAAAACCAACAAATTCAAAGTTTGATTTCTCCAATTGTTCGATCCTCTTTTCATAACAAGAGATGACAGTAGATCTTTTTTCCTTGAGTTGAGCTAAATACCGTATTTGTGATTGCTCAGATTTAGTAATCTGTTTTTGGTACTCTTTGTCTTTGATACACTTTTGTGTTTTGTCCACAAAATCTAAAAATGACATGTCTGCTCTTTTCCCCTCTTCCTCCTCCATTTCATCTTTCTCTTCCTCCTTTAATACCGGTGATGGAGTGAAAAGTGTTCCAAACATTGAGGTTGAGGTAGAAGAAGAAGATGATGATGAGGTAGAAGAAGTTGTGTTTCTGGCAAACGCTAAATGTGAGGGAGAAGGAGGTATGCTTGGGAAAGTACCAAAAATTGAGGTTGAAGGAGGGAGGAGGAGGAGGAGGAGAAGCAGCAGTGCTGAATGGATTTGGTAATGGACAATAGCTATTGAAACTCATAGTTTTCTTTCTTTAAAAAAATGATTAATTAAGTTAATTAATAATTATTTAAATATTATTATCTATCGAATGACAATGAACAAACAACATAACAATTTCCTTTCTCTATAGCACTAGTGTTAAATTTTAACATCATTAATAATGATGGTTAGGGTACCACCCCTGCCTACCCTCCCCTTTCCTATTTGGTGTATTTTAATATTTAATATTTACATTTATTTGATTTGCAAATCTTCACACACAGATCCAATCCATCTATCCATCTATATATCCATCCTATTTCGAAGCGGCATAGTATTGGTTCAATAATTGAAATAATCTCTTTTCGACATAAAGATGAAGTTCAGGTACATCTTGACTAATATTATAACTAATAAATGCTTGTGTATTATATTTCATGACTAAAAAAAGATAGATAGATAGATTGTGTTAATAACAGATGTTGATATAGAGCTCTATATGTTTATATTATATTTATATATACCTATTCTTTTAATCATAGTAGCAGCATTTGATGCCAATTGTGAACTAAATATTTCAGAGAGTGATGGCTGGTTGTCCATTGGTGTTTTCATTGATACGAGGAGACTGTCGATGGAAGGAGCAGACACATTCTCACCGATCCATATAAAGATGGGTGCTGACTTTGATACTAGATTGGTCTTTGTGCTGTCTTGCTCCTTGAACAGATAGATCAAGAAATAGATGGTAACATTTTCATAGCTATCTACTATCTTTTCAATCATCAGTCCACTATTTTCACTATCATCTTGAATAACCTTTTCATCGATGTTTTGATTCAATATTGATATTGGTTCTGTATCCATCTCTCTCTCTCTTTGTATAAATATTTACATGAAAACTAAACTAAAGTGAAAGATCATCTTCACCAACAATAATAAAAAAGAAAATAAATAAATAAAATCATTGGTCAGGGTGGTTTGCGATCATTGTATACTTTGCAAATTTGTTTGTTCGGATATAATTATTATTTGTTTATTATTTGTTCAAGTCTTTATTATTTATAAAGTTAAGGTATTTAAAATAGGAAGGAATATATATGCCAACATTGCGATAATAATAATAGAAAAGTATGAAGATGACAATGTTGTAGATGAAGCAGTGGATTGTGATGATGATGACGATCGTTTAGCAGGTGGTGAAGATTCACCTGTTGTTGTTGTAGTGGTGGTAGTGGCAGTAGAAGTAGTTGTAGAAGTAGTAGTTGTATTTAGTTGTACTACTCCTGTTGTTGTTGTTGTGGTAGTGGTGGTTGAATGATTGTCAGATGATGACAAATTAGAATTTGTATTTACTGCGGATGATGATGCTGATGGTCGAACCAATGATGATTTAGATGAATGTGTATCATTGGTACCTGGCATTACCAAATGACCATGTTTGTATTCACATACATTATTACCTGCTTGACACTTGACGTGATAGGCAGAACTACAATTAATATAGCCGTATGCATAACATGACATTGAGTATTCACTCGACGACCCTCTTTTACATCCTCCAAACGATTCTGAATAGCATGGATCGTTGTCTCTATCTTTATCTCTTGGTTCATCAGCACCATCGGCATCATCTTGGATAATACAATCGATTTTGAAAATCTCTTTGTTGGTATCTGCTGTTTGCCACATAGCCACTTGGTCACCCATCACACGACAATCAATAGAGCTGTCTTGTAGAAGGTCAGGTGTTCGAGTTGGATCTACACAAAATCAGTTAAGGAATTGAGATTAAGATCAAAAGGTATGTATATATCATCTATCTATCTATAATTAAATTTATTATAATAATACATACTAACATAAGCATACTGATCCATGTAATATTCCCAAGAACTATACACTGTTTCTTTACTAATTGCAGCAGGTCCCAATCCTTTATAGTTTGTGAGGAATACTCTTAGTCCGAGATTTGTAAATCGAGTAATATTTGTGCTGACAATGTCACACCCCTTGTCCATTGGGAATACAATAGATGACCATGGGACTGATTCCGAAGATTCGTAGAATAGCTTGTATTCCAGGATCAATGGCATACCAAATATCATCTCTGGGCCCGAAAAAGGAGGAGCTTGAATGAAAAGTGGCCTTACATAAAAGCCGTTGTCCGGAGTGAGTCTCACCGGTGAGTAAAGCATGGAATTGTACACAAACATTGGATTTTTGGTGGAGAATTCCGCAGTCTTGATTTGTTACACATTTCCGTTAGTTTGTGTATTGGGTTGCTATCTGTTGACAATGCCACTCCATGTTGAAGCAATATGCCATTTGTTGTTTTATTAGCACTGGATACCCATTCATTTGTTGCTCTATCAAACACATTGGTTCCCCTCATGAAGCAAGTCTTGCTATATGGGACACCAACTTTGCATCTAGTAAGTATATATGTTAGTTATATTTTCCTTTCATATTGGACAATTAATACATACGGAGCAGTATACTTTTCATAACAATATCTGTCTCCAAATGGATTGATGGCTTGATGATTAGCTTCTGTGATAATCTCTGCATTGTTGTAAATAGTACTGTCCACTTTGGATTGAGTGCATGTCCCAATACCAACATCATTGTCTACTAGTTCACTTGATCTCCAAGTACAATTGTTGTCTGCGTATTGGTTGATGGTCGGTCTCTTGCTACCATCAGCAGACTTTGTGATGGTATACTTGAATGAATTGGATATAGATTGTTCATGTGGAAAACAGGTATCTAAAGGGATACTAGAGAAATCTTTAACAGTTGCCATTGTACACGACGATGTATTAAATGTCATTATCAATACATATTCTAGTCCATTACAACATTGTGAAATGAATAATTGACTGAGTATTATCATCACTGCCGTCCTACTCCAACTAAAACTATTTCCAATTGAAAATATCATTCTGTTATTTTTTTATCTATTTCTCTCTATCCTATTCTATTTCACTTTATGAATTAATATTAATTATAAACTTTCTATTATTATAAAACAAAATAGGGGAAAAAAAAATAAAAGGGAGAACATTATAGCTTATAACACACCTACCCCAAAAAAGGAATGAGTGATCAATCAATCGACTCTTGAACATGGATGTGCACATGGGGTTGTAAACCCATTGCTGTTTTTTTGAACCACCGACCTACCATCACTAACAACCCACGGCTATATATGCATTTCGATATCCCCCTATTCAGATCTATTTTGTGTGCTCTCAATATGTACTACATTATTTCATTTAGATCTTTAAAACTATCGATAAATTAATTAATTAATTATTATTTATTCATTGAAGTTTTCAACTCGATATGATGCAATAATAAACATGACATAGAGTATTCACTCGACGATCCTCTTTTACATCCCCAAACGATGTTGATGAACATGCATTGTTGTCTCTTTCTTTATCTCTTGCAACAACAACAACATCATCATCTTGGACAACACAATCAATTTTGAAAATGTCTTTGTTGGTATCTGCTGTTTGTTAATTGATTTAATACACATACTAACAAAAGCAATTGGTCTTGTAATAGGAATGGTTTGTTGGTCTAATGTTTCTGGAGGCCCCAATGCTTTGTAATTTGGAAGGTATACAATGATTTTGATAGATGAGGAGATCATAATGTTTGTGTTGACAATATCACATCCAATGAAAGGGCATGTCATGCTAACGTTTGGTTTGTTGTCACTAATCCTGACTTTTAATGGTTCAGTCCAAGATACCCATTCATTTATAGATCTATCAAATATATTGGTCTTATTTGTTAAAGATTTAGTAAAACATGTCTTACTATATGGTACTCCAATCTTGCATCTATAAATAATAAACAATTAAAATAATAGTAGAAAATAGAAATTAATACATACGGGCCGGCATATTTTTCATAACAATATCTGTTTCCAAAGGGAGTGATAGCTTGATGATTAGCTTCTGTGATAATCTCTGCATTGTTGTAAATACTACTGTCCACTTTGGATTGAGTGCATATCCTAATACCAACATCGTTGTCTACTAGTTCACTTGATCTCCAAGTACAATTGTTGTCTGCGTATTGGTTGATGGTCGGTCTTTTGATACCGTCTCCAGACGTAGGGGTGTTATATTTGAATGAATTGGAAAACTGTTGTTCTTGTGGAAAACAAGTGTCCAAAGGGATACTAAAGAAATCTCTTACATTTGCCATTGTACATGTCGATGTATTAAATGTCATTATCAATTCATATTCTCTAGTAGTAGTAGAATTACAATATTGTATAAATAATAATAATTGAATGACATAGATAATGGATATCAACATTATCTTCATATTCTTAAACACTATTATTTTTATTATTATAATTAATATTTTTGAGGAGAAAAAAACAAATAAATAAATAAATTAAAAACTTTAAGAGATATATTTATATATATTTTACAAGGAGGATGATGATGATGAGAGATCATAGTCGTGAGATATGAAAATATGTTTGTTGATGATCATAATAATTATAAATAATCAACACAACCAAATCAATCAATCAATTAACAACCCACCACCACTCATCACTATGCTAAACTGGCTTAAAAGGGTGAATCAAATAATCACTCCAATTTATTAATGGAATGGATATAAAATTATCTCTCCAACCCATAGTCCACACTTACCGATATCAATTGATATCAGTAATTAATAATTATGATATTAAATAATTATTTACTGTTAATTTGTTTTAAAGTGTGAAAGAAAGGAATAATAACCAAACATTGTGATGATGATAATAGTGAGAGCATGATGTAGTGAGACAGTGGCGTTTGAATTATCATAGGATGACGACAATGATGATGAAGATGAAGAAGATGAAGATCTTAATGATGTTCCAACTAATTAAATAGTTTAGATAGATAAATGTGTATCATGTTGGGTATATCTAGGCTCCTGCTGGCATTATCAAACTACCATGTTTGTATTCACATACACTATTACCAACACGACATTTGACATTATAGACACTTTTACACTCTATGTAACCGTATGCATAACATTCCAACGACGACTTTGATAATCTTTTACATCCTCCAAATGATCTTGAAAAGCATGGGTCTAAATTCCAATATAATTCAACATCATCATCTTCATTTCGGACAATACAATCGATTTTGAGAATATCAATGTCGGTATCTACTGTCTGCCACATTTGTACTGGGTTTTCAAAAATACCGTTTAGTAAACCCTTTCCACCAACCTTACAATCAATAGTGCTGTTAGATGCCAGATTAGGTGTTCTACTTGGATCTATATAAATAGATATAAATATAATAAGATGGAGAAGGAATGAGTTAAAATATATTAATATTAATCATGATGATGGTAATATCTATTAATCCATCTATTTATCTATTTATCTATCTCTCTACCATGGCATCGTTCAATATATACATACTAAAAAATTTTTGAGTCCCCAGAATATAAGTGGTGGGAGCCTCTGGTTCTGGAGGACCCAATCCATTGTAATTTTGGGGGAAAAATTTGGGTCTAAAAGCATAGGAATTGATAATATCTTTGCTGACAATGTCACATCCTGTGAAAGGGCATAACATGGAAACAGGCGGGTGGGGTAAAAGTTGGTAGGTGAGGTTTAGAATCATACCTTCGGTCACCTCCTCGTTCCAGTTGCTCGTAAACGGTTTCACCTTGATGAAAAGTGGACTTTGGGTAATCCTTTGACGAACGTCGACTTGAAGCAGTGTGTAAATCGGTGAGTAAAGAATGGCATTGTACACAAACATTGGATTGTTGGTAGAGGGTGCGGCGGCAGTCTCTCTTGATTTGTTACACTTTTCTGTGACAAGATGCAAAGGGCTGGCATCTGCGAATGTCGAAGGAAAGCCGTGACCAAGTATAATACCATTTTTATGTGATTCAGTCCAAGATACCCATTCATTTATAGCTCTATCAAATATATTGGTCTTATTTGATTCAATTTTAGTAAAACATGTTTTACTATATGGTACTCCAATCTTGCATCTAAAAATACATACATACATATAACAACATGTTGTTAGTAACTATGTATATTATTATTATTATTTATAATTATTTAAATATATTAATACATACGGAGCAGTATACTTTTCATAACAATATCTGTCTCCAAATGGATTGATTGATTGATGATTAGCTTCTGTAATAATCTCTGCATTGCTGAAAATATTACCGTTCACTTTTGATTGTGTGCATGTCCCAATAACAACATCAGTCTCTACAAATTCATAGGATTTCCAATGACAACTATTGTCTCGGTATTGGGTGACGGTAGGTCTCTTGACACCATCAGCAGACTTTGTGATGGTATACTTGAATGACCTGGAAAGAGATTGTTCATGTGGAAAGCAAGTGTCCAAAGGGATACTAGAGAAATCTTTAACAGTTGCCATTGTACACGACGATGTATTAAATGTCATTATCAATACATATTCTAGTCCATTGCAATATTGTAAAAATAATAATTGAATGACATAGATAATGGATACGATCATCATCATTACCATTCTAATTCTAAACCTAAACATTATTATTTAATTATATATTATTTTTGTGGATAAATAAAATTAAAAATAGAGAGAGATACCTGATGTATAAAGGGAAGAGGAGATGATGAGAGAGAGGTGTGAGATATATTATGTTGATGATCATACATACACATCAATTAATTAAATTTTATATCAATATGTTCTGACACAAAAATATCAAAGCTCCCCCACCATGTGCATCCATCTCGTGAATTGCTTTGAGATAGTTTTACAAATATAAGCTAATAATAATAATACAGTATTTATAAGTTAAGAGATAGGAAGGAATATAACCAACATTGCGATAATGATTAAAGTAAACGATGATGATGATGATGATATTGAAGATGAGGTGGAAGGTGAATCAGATTGTTCAACAGGTTGTGTTGATGGAACCCCTGTTGTTGTTGTTGTGGCAGTAGTGGTATTTGAATTATCAGATGATGAATTCGAGTCACTAGAATGTGTATCAGTATCGGAAGATGACGGTCCAACCAATGATAATTTAGATGAACGTGTCTCATTGGTACTTGCTCCTGTTGGCATTATCAAACTACCATGTTTGTATTCACAGACACTATTACCAACCCGACATTTGACTTGATAGGAAGCATTACACTCTATGAAACCGTATGCAGAACATTCCATCGGGTATTTACTCGACAACGATAATCTTTTACATCCCAAAAACGATTCTGAATTACATGGTATATAATCAATAACGTTGTCGGGGTCCAAAAATGGTGTTTGTTCATCATCAACATCATCTTGATCTTGTACAATACAATCGATTTTGAAAATGTCTATTCTTGTATCTGCTGTTTGCCACATTTGTACAAATGGTCTATCAAAATGAGATACGGTCAAACTCTTTACACCATCCCTACAATCAATAGAGCTGTCAGATGCCAGATTAGGTGTTCTACTTGGATCTACATAAAATCAAAGTAAAGGAATAAAGATAATATTAATCATCATATTCTATCTACCAATGTTTGTCTAGGATACATACTAACAAAAAAACCCAAAGGAACGTAGTTAAAATCTTTACTAAATACTGGCTCTAGAGGACCCAATCCTTTGTAATTTTGGAGGTATATTTTGAATGACAAAGTGGTGGATTTGGCAATATCAGTGCTGACAATGTCACAACCCTTAAAGTACGGGCACAACATGGAAACAGGTTGTTTGTCGGGAAACTGGTATGTAAGGTTAACGACCATACCTGCCGCAGTCTCTGGGTGCCAGTTACTCGAGAAGGAATGCAGCCTGATAAACAGTGGACGTACGTCGTAACCACCCACAGAGATCGAAAGTGGAGTATAAAACATTGCATTGAACACAAACATTGGATTAGTGAGTGGAAAGTCAGCAGCGACAGTCTCTCTCGATTTGTTACACTTGTCTGTGATAAGATGAAAAGGGTTGGCATCTGTGATACCTCCCAATGACGACGAAGTAAAGCCATGACCAAGTATGATACCATTGCTACGGCGTTCAGTCCAAGATAAATATTCATTTACAGCTCTATCAAAAATATTTGTCTGATTACTTGGTCCAAATTTGCATGTCTTACTATATGGTACTCCAATCTTGCATCTGAAAATGTATGTATGTATGATGTTAGTTTGAAACTATAAATAGTGTGTTGGGTATGAATATTGCAATTTCCAATTAATAAAATACATACGGAGCAGTATACTTTTCAAAACAATATCTTTCTCCAAAGGGAGTGATCGCTAGGTGTTGAGCCTCGGTGATAATCTCTACATCGTAGAAAAAAGTTAAATTTGGCTGAACGCATCTCCCAATATCAAGATCTATAAATTCACTTGATCTCCAAGTGCAATTGTTGTCTGCGTATTGGTTGAGTGTCAGTATCCTGTAACCATCTCTAAGCTTTGTGATGGTATACTTGAAAGAGTTGGATAAATGTTGCTCTTGTGGAAAGCAAGTATCCAAAGGGATACTAGAGAAATCTCTTACATTTGCCACTGTACACGACGATGTACTAAATGACATTATCAATACATATTCTCTAGTAGTAGCATTACAATATGTAAGTAAAAATAATAATTGAATGACATAGATAATGGCTATCCCCATTAATATCATCCTACTGCTAAACATTATTTAAATAAATAATAATTAAATTAAATAAACAACTAAAAAAGAGAGAGAGATATACTGTATACAAAGGGGAAGAGGATGATGAGAGAGAGAGAGAGAGAGATAAGAGTTCTGCATCCACAATATTGTGTAATTGATTAATATATTTAAATAATAATAATATAATATATTGCTCTGACACATTTATACATACTACACCTATCCAATTCAATCATTAACACCCACAACCCATCACTCACGGCAGAGTGATAGATGATCGGTGTTTTGAACCACTCTATCATGATGATCGTCAAACTCACCCATTGCTAGCCAATGTGTGCCACATACCCTTTCAAATCGATGGTTGATCATCATATACAGCTTACCAGCAAATAATATATTAACAACATAAGGAAGGACTAGATACATTTATTGTTATGATTATTATTATTATTTCTTTCTAAATATAAATAGGTCAGGTCTCTTTAATAAAGAAAATATTAGTAGGAAGGAATATAACCAACATTGCGATAATGATTAATGTAAACGATGATGATGATGATGATAATGAAGATGAGGTGGAAGGTGAATCAGATTGTTCAACAGGTTGTGTTGATGGAACCCCTGTTGTCGTTGTTGTGGCAGTAGTGGTATTTGAATTATCAGATGATGAATTCGAGTCATGTGTATCAGTATCGGAAGATGAAGAAGATGATGATGATGATGGTTCAACCAGTGATAATTTAGATGAACGTGTATCATTGGTACCTGCTCCTGTTGGCATTATCAAACTACCATGTTTGTATTCACAGACACTATTACCAACCCGGCATTTGACCTGATAGGCAGCATTACACTCTATGAAACCGTATGCAGAACATTCCATCGGGTATCTACTCGACGACGATAAACTTTTACATCCCAGAAGCGATTCTGAATTGCATGGTTTATAGAGGTCCAAAAATGGTCTTTGCGCAGCATCAACATCATCTTGATCTTGTACAATACAATCGATTTTGAAAATGTCTACTCTTGTATCTGCTGTTGTCCACATTTGTACAACATCTCTCTTAAAATGAGATACGGTCAAACTCTTTACCCCATCCCTACAATCAATAGAGCTGTCAGATGCCAGATTAGGTGTTCTACTTGGATCTACATAAAATCAAAGTAAAGGAATAAAGATAATATTAATCATCATATTCTATCTATCTATCTATCTACCAATGTTTGTCTAGGATACATACTAACAAAAAAATCCAAAGGAAGGTTGGTAAAATCTTGACTAAATACTGGCTCTAGAGGACCCAATCCTTTATAATTTTGGAGGTAAATTTTGAATGACAAATTGGTGGATTTGACAATATCAGTGCTGACAATGTCACAACCCTTAAAGTACGGGCACAACATGGAAACAGGTTGTTTGTCGGGAAACTGGTATGTAAGGTTAACGACCATACCTGCTACTATCTCTGAGTTCCAGTTGCTCCAGAATGAATGCAGCCTGATAAACAGTGGACGTACGTCGTAACTACCCACAGTGATTGAAAGTGGAGTGTAAGGCATGGCATTGTATATCAGCATTGGATTGTTGGGGTTTGGAAAGGCAACGGCGGCGGTCTCTCTCGATTTGTCACACTTTTCTGACAAAAGATGAGAAGTGTTGGTATCCATGTACACGGTAAGTAAAGGGCCGTGACCAAGTATGACACCATTGTCACGGGGTTCAGTCCAAAATATCCATTCATTTATAGCTCTATCAAAAAAATAGGGTCCACTGGCTCTAGAAACACATGTCTTACTATATGGAACTCCATTATTGCATCTATAATATATATGTATATAGTTTAGTTAGTAACTAATATATATATAGTGTTTATACCATTCATCCATTCATTCATTTTAAATACATACGGAGCAGCATACTTTTCATAACAATATCTGTTTCCAAAAGGAGAGATGGCTAGGTGCTGAGCCTCAGTGATAATCTCTGCATTGTGGCAACCCCAATTGGATCGAATGCATGTCCCAATATTAATATTGGAATAGTTGTTGTTGTCCACTAGTTCACTTGATTGCCAAGTACAATTGTTGTCTGCGTATTGGTGGAGGACCGGTATTTGAGTGCCGTTGGAGACAATGATGGTATACTTGAATGACCTAGATAACGGTTGTTCTTGTGGAAAGCAAGTGTCCAAAGGGATACTTGAGAAATCTCTTAATTTGTCCATCTCGCATGGCAATGACGAAAATCTCATTATCAATACATATTCTCTAGTAGTAGCATTACAATATTGTATAAATAATAATTGAATGACAGAGATAATGGCTATCACCATTAACATCATCCTACTACTACTACTAAACATTATATATTAATTGGAAATAAATAAATAACTAAATAATATTTAATTAAATAAATAAAACTTTATAAGAGATTTAGAGAGATATACAAAGAGGATGATGAGAGAGAGAAAGAGAGATAAGAGTTATGCATGCACAATATTGTAATTGATTAATATATTTAAAAAATAATAATATATTGCTCTGACACATGTATACATACACCTAAGCCAAATCAACCAACCAATCAATTAACACCCACAACCCATCACTCACGGCAGAGTGATTGATGGTTGGTGTTTTGAACCACGACTCTATCATGATGATCGTCAACAACTCACCCATTACGTTGCCATGAATCCCTTCGATTTGATTGATGGTTGATCATCGTTTACCTTCTCAAACAACAATCATCATATATATTAACAATATGAGATTATGTAGTTGAATCAAAATATTCTAGTCCTTCATTATTATTATTCTTTTCTAAGTCTATGTTGAATAAAGAATAGAAAATAAAACCGCCAACTTTCAAGTTCATCAAAGATGAGGTGTGGGTTTTTCAAAAATAAATTTTTTAATATTTTTATTTTTTCTAGGGTGAGAAAGGCATAAATAAGAGCTGTTCAACGTCCAAGATGAAAAATCATCAGCACCCCCCTATTTACCTTTTTAGTAAGAGAAAACAGTCAGTTCGAATCTCACAAAGGGAAAAAAGTATATTCATCAAAGTAGCGCGGGGTACATAATATAATAATAATATACAACATAGATAGTCTAGTCTAGTCTAGTCTCTATACAAACTATACAGATACTGATAGTAGTAGTAGTATAGTAGTAATAGAGAGAGACAAGAACAACAACATGAAAGATAAAGGAAAGGGTAAAGGGACAGACTTATCCAATTTCTTTTTTGGCAATGTAACAAACGAAGGTGAATTAGAGGATGACTCTTTCTTGGATCGTGTATGTATAAGATAGATAGATAGACAGATAGATAGATAATATAGATAGATAACTAACAAACATCATACATCATACATCATACTCGAATATAGGAATTAAGAGAAAACCTAAGTGAATTTACTAAACAAGGAGGAGGAGCTCATTTAGGTGTTGAGACGTTGGTTAGAGATGATGATTCGTCTGCGGCGGCATCACAACAACAACAGCAACTGCAAGGAGGAGAGTTTAGACAAAAGGATGGTAGAGCTGTAGATTTTGAAGATATTGATGAGGTTGCAGAAGAGATTAATAGTATAGAGAATGAAATCAACAAGATCAATGCTGATCGACTGGCTAAACAAGCTGAAGATAATATCAAACAAATGACTGCAACTAGATTACAACAACAACAACAACAACAGCAACAACCAACTATACTTAGACCACCTAGTATTGGTGGGTTACCTGGAATGATTATCAAACCACCTCCACCATTCATCTCAAAGTCACTCACAACTACAAAGAGAAAGGTTGAAGAAGACTTTGATTTTGATGAAGATGATTCTGCTCCTAAACAATCAACTACACATGTAGTAACACCTCCACTTCCTATTCTACCACCTCCACCCTTTTCCTTTTCATCTTCATCGACATCACCAATTGGTATAAAGACACCTCCTGCTATCAAGACACCACCTACCTTTACATCAATTACATCAACAACAACAACTGATACTACAATGAGTGATAGTGAAGAAGAGAGTAGTAGTGTTCAGTCTTCGGGTGGAGAAGATACACCACCCAAATCAACTTTGACCACCAATCCTACAAGATCAACTAAAAAGTTCAAGACAACGATCAATGCAGCAATGTATGCCATTCGTAACATACTTCAAGATCAATGGGTCTATTCAAGAGAGGATGCAGAGTTTAAGGCGTTTTGTAGTGGTCAGACACCGGAAGGAGCGATCTTTAAGTTTTCCGATCTCTTTGCACCCAAGATGCCAATGGATCGACCGAAAAAGCGTAGACGTGTCAAACAACTGCCACATCAACCTCCCACCGACGACGTGGTCGATATTGACGAACAGACCATGTTTAGTAAACCACAACAAGACACGTCGACTACGTCTTTGAGCGGCGAGACTGGACAAGGAGGTAATCTACTCGAGATGAAAGAGATAACGTCGCCTGCACTCAAATCAAAGAGTGTACAAGAAAAGAGGGAGTACAATTTGATGTTGATGTTGATGCATCAACAAAAACAACAACAACTGCAAGATGAAGAGAACCTCTTTGAACCATTACAAGAAAAAGCAAATGACAAGGTATTACAAGACTACTATCAACTACCCGACGCTGTATTCAATAATGTAGAACAATTTGATTGGGAGGAAAAGATTATTTGGGATGTTAAAGATAACAAAGATAATAATCAACAACAACAATTGAAACCAACAAATAATCCACTTCTTTTACAACAAAATAATCCATTTACATCGACAGATAATTATATTAGTAAATCGATAGAGTTTGGTGATCATTTGGTTGGAGTAAAGAGAAAGAGATGGGGAGACTTTGAAACGATAGAGACAAAGATACCGGCACGTACCATGTTCCAGTCTGGTATTGTCGGGCAGTGGTCGATATTCCCCATGCGTAATACTGATCTCGAACGTGGAGACTGGGTCAATGAAATTGTGTGGGATGAAACGTCGACAGACTATCGTCCCAAACTACCCAATATTATTTTGGATTTAAATGACCGCGACATGTTGTTTGAAGATCACGTCAAAAAGGATGCTAGTATGAAGTCGTCGTGGACGATTAATGTGGGTGGTACAAATGTGTCGGTTACGAGTAGTTTGGAAGACGAGGGTAAACGCAAGTCGAAAAAGAAGCAGGCAGCAGCTGCAGCGGCGGCAGCGGCCGCGTCATCGGCCGAAGCTTTGCAACAGCAAATGTCGGCACTCGACAAGTTCAATCTGTCCAATGACAAGTACTACCGTCAAGGTGTTAACCGTAGTCGTGTACGTCAACAAAGTGGTAAGGCATTGGTACAACACTCGCTGCCAGCTATCAAGTTGTGTTTGACAAAGACACATTTCACACTCGACGATCTCGAAAGCTACCATCGTCCACGTATCCAGTTCCCGCCACAACACACGTTCCGTATTGCACTCTTCCACAAAGAGGCACATCGCGACGACCGTGGTCGCACGCGTGTTGCTGACCCCTCGATGAAACATAAGATTGATTTGTCGGCACGTGAAGGACGTGTTGTGTTTGTCGAGTATCTCGAGCAGCACCCAGCACTCCTCAACAATGTCGGTATGGGTGCACGTATACGCAACTTTTACCGACGCAAAAACGCCAGCGACGCTCCATTCCTCTCGTTTGAGGATGGTGAAAATGTGCTGCTCGACACCAACGACGAGACACCCTTCCTCGGTGACATTACACCCGGTCGCACGATTCAAGCACTCGTCAGCAACCTGTACAAGGCACCCATATTCCGTCACAACCCGTCTCCCACTGACTTTTTGTTGATCCGTTCGCGTGACGGTAAGAAATGGTATATCCGAGAGATGGGCACTCTCTACACGGCCGGTCAGCAAATGCCCGAGGTGGAAGTACCCGCACCCAACAGTCGTAGTGCCAACATGTTCCTCAAGAACCGTCTCCAAGCGTTTATCCACCGACTGTTCCGCAAGAAAAAGAACGTCCAACGTCGTATCCGCATTCAAGACGTTTGCAACGCGTTCCCAAGCCAGTCGGAAGCATCCATACGCAAGCGTCTCAAAGACTGCGCCGATTTGCAGCGTGGTGGTGAGGACGGCGGCTGGTGGATCCTCAAAGACTCGTATCGTCTTCCACCCGAGGAGGAGATACAAAAGTCTGTCACCCCAGAACTCGTATGCACGTTTGAAAGCATGTTGGTTGGTCTCTACCACCTGCAAGCCAACGGTATCATCCACTTTACGTCGCCTGGCACAATCCCCATGTTTACACAACGCGAGTCTGCCGACCCCAACCGCGACCGTTACAAATTGGTCGAGGACGAACTCAACCGCACGCCGTGGAACCTGACCAGCTCGTTTACACAGGCCATGCAAGGCAAGGGCAAGATGCAACTAGTCAGCGACGACCCCGACAACAACGAGACATTCTCGTACCTCAAGATGCCGCAAAAGGTAGTCAACCAAAAACAAAAGGATCTGAAAAAACAACTGCAAAAGAATCAGGTCACAGGTACCGACGCTGATTTGCGTAAACTCAGCTTGAAAGAGTCAGAGACTGTATTGCTCAAATTGGGTGTGTCTGAAGAAGTCATCAACTCGCTGACTCGTTGGAAGAGGATTGCATTGGTGCGTAAAAAATCGTCCGAAGCTGCATTGGCTGCTGGCACTGACAGCAATGCTATGACCAAGTTTGCGCGTGGGTCGCGGTACTCACTAGACCACCAACAACTGCAGTACAAGGAACGATGCCAAAACATCTTTGACAATCAAATGCGTGCTCTTCAAGGGCTCGACAGCAACGAAGATGACGATGACATTGATTTGGATGATTTGGAAGACTTGCAAAAAGACATTGAAGAAAGTTTGTCAACTAAAAAGAGTAACAAAAAGAACTCATTCTTTGGCGAAGACGATGATATTGATGAAGATGAACGTGAAGAGTATAACAAGTTGATGGATGAAATGACCAATGGATCACCGAAAAGTGAGATTACTGATAAGATGGCGGTTGATCATCCTACCACCACATCGACCACTTCAACAACCTCAACCACCTCTACTAGAGATGCTGCCAACATGATGGCGATGGTACCATTGACAACCATTCCTGAAAGCGATGAAGATATGTCTTCGATTGTTTCCAATCAAGTCGAACCACACCTCGTAGAGTATATCAAGCGTACCACACTCTTTCAAAAGCCCGATGGAGGATTGTATCGACGTATCGAGATTATCCGTGACCCCAAAACCATCAGAGAGTATCGTCGTAAACGTGAGAGTTTACGTAAAAGTGGTATCATCTTTGAAGAGGATGAACTCAAACGAAGAAAAAAGACACTCGAAAATCGTCTACGTAAACTTCAAACGAGTGGTGGTGGTGGTGGTAGTGGTGGTAGCAGCAGTGCCTCTGCTCCAATGGTCTCTGTAAATATCAATACTAGTGGAAATAATATTAATAATAATAATAATAATAATAACAACAACAATTATAACAATAATTATAACAACAATAACAATAATAATTATAACAACAATTATAATAATAATAATAACAATAACAATAATAATAATTATAATAATAATAATGTTTCTTCAAATAGTGGTAGTGGAAGAGGAGGAATAGGAGGACCTATTTTAGAATTACCAACAATGTTGGCAGCACCTCCCATTCTTACAACTAGTTCACAGACAGTTCAAGGTACTGCAAAGATTGTTTATCCCGATCATCAGACCAACTCACCATCACCATCCATGTTGCCCAAGATCAAGATACCAATGGTTCGATCTAGTCTTGAAAACACACCGTCAATGATGACAATGGACATTGACAATATCACCCAAAGTCCAAATCTTTCGACTAGCCAATCGATTATTGTTCGTATCAAAAAGGATGACCTTGCCTCTATTTCCACTTCATCCAACTCTTCCTCTCAACACCGTCGAAAATTGTCAACCTCTTCTTCAAGAGGTTATAATAGTAGTGGTAGCAGTGGAAACATCAAAATGGATCCATACAATAATAATAATAACATGCACAACAGTGGTAGCAATATCAACACCAACAGTGATGACGATGAAGATATTATGATTGACAGCTCAACTCTTAAACAATCAACTGGTAGAAGACGTACAAAAGCTGGTGCTGAAGTTGAATTATCAAATATTTTTGAAAAGGTTATTGATAAATTAAGAAATATGAATGAAGTAAGTAAAAAAAAAAAAAAAAAATGGAAATAATAGTATTTAGATATTAACAAATTTAAATTTAATTTATCTATTTTAGTTTGCTGTTTTTAGAGTGAAGGTAACAAGTAAAATTGAACCAGAATATCACAAGATTATTAAAAATCCAATTGATCTAACTACTATGAGAGATGTATGTTTTTGATAAAAATATTTTTGAAGAGAGGAAAATAACAATTTAATTAACCTTTCTTTTTTTCTTTTTTTTTTAATTTATATAGAAATGTAGACATTGGGAATACAAATCAAAACATCAATTTTTAGATGCAATTAGATTAATGGTCAACAATTGTTTTGAATACAATGCCACTAGATACCCACATTTATTACCAATAGCTGAAAATCTTTTGGTGATTACAGAACAATTACTTTTGGATCATGTCAATGAAATTGAAACACTTGAAAGATCGATCACTACGGCTGCTGCCAATGCAGGTGGTTCGAGATATGGAGAGTCCAACCCACCAACACCCATTCTTTCCAACCCCGCAACTCCCTCCAGTCCCTCAATGCTCTTTAATGTTGATTCTCCATTTTTCCCTCCCGTATCTGCTTCCAAACAAGAGGAAGAAGATATTGACATTGTTTCCATTTCTGGTGTATCTCCAAGTGTTTATGGTCACCATTAAAAAAAAAATTAAAAAAAATAACTAATAAAATGTAAATTAACAAAAAAAAAATATATTTAAAAATGGCATATATATATATATAGAGATACGGCCGTATGTATTTTTAAATATTGAAAAAAAAAAAAGGATTTGAACAGGCCTCAGGGGGGGGGGGTTTCTTCTTCGAGAATAGTGGGTCACCACTTATTATTAATTACTAGTAATTTTAATAGCTGTAAGAGGCCTTGAGTATACTATTGATCAACAACAATATGAATGTATCACAATTTAATTACCTACCTATTCTTATGGGATTTTGGTGGTAGAAAAATTCTTTTCCATCAATTTTCTCTTTCATGAAAAAAATTTCAAAGTTCTTGAAATATTAAAATTTAAAGAATTTAAATATATATCAATGGAATATGTTGTATCACAAATAAAAAAATTTTTTATACAAATAATCTTTTTTTTTTTTTGAAAAGAGAGGGTGATACCTTTTTTGAAACTATTTATTTATTGATTTAATTAATTAATTATCTGGTTCTGATGATGGTTCAGATGGATCACCACCAGAGCTAGAAGAATATTGTTCCCATTCTTCATCGCCTTCTTCAGATCCTGATCTTTCAATAATTTCTTTTTCGTCCAAGATATTAATGATAGAGTGTCGTTGTTTGCTCTCTTTTTCTTTTTTTGTTTTTTTTCTGTACTGTAGTCCACAAGCATTGCATAGATCGATTCCATTCTTTCCTTTTCTCCATTCTGGGGTTTCTGTTTTCTTGCAGATGGCACATTGTTCTGGTCGTGTTCCTGCAGGTCTTCCTCTCTTTTTGGCTTCTTTGGCGGTAGATGCAGGTGTTGGTGTTGGAGAACGTGAAGGACGTCTTTTCTCCTTTTCCTTTTCTTGCTCTTCTCGCAGTTGTTGTGCAGCTTTAAAGAGTGGAGATTCTTTAAATGGAGGAGTTGGTTTGAGCGGAGGTGGTTTGAAACTGGCTCTTGCTTGAGATGGTGTGATGGATGATGATGTTGATGTTGTTGATATGGTTGATGTGGTTGAAGAGGTGGATGAAGATGTCGATGTGGTTGAAGTGGCTAACGTATTTTGTGGTTGTTGTTGATGTTGTTGTGGAATCGATTCAAGAGTTGGCGATACCATTCTAGAGGGTTCTTGGATCGGTGACAAAGCCCAAATGTCAGATGATGGAGACGGTGACATTAATCGACTTGTTGGATGAATCAATTGAGATGGTGAATGAAATGGCGAATGTAAAGGTGATCGTGGTGATAATAATGGACTTGTCAATGGAGCACTTAAAATTTGGTCTTCAAAATTAAATTCATCCTAAATAATAAATAACAAATTAAAAATAACAAATAAAAAATATATTAATATCCATGGACGATGGGGGAAGAAATAATCCTAGTAATTAAATTAAATTTCATACATCTAATAATTGTTTAATTTCTCGATTTAATTTTATAACTCTTGATTCCAATTCCATTAATTCTTGGGGTGTTGTTGTGATGGTCGTTGGTATTGGCGAAGTGGTTGATGTTGTTGAAGTTACGGTTTGGTTTGGGTTTTGGTTTGGTTGTGTTGTTTGTTGGGAAATAAAGCTAACCAACATTGCTATCTCTTCAGATTTTCTTCTGATCTATAAAAAATATATAATAATAATAAAAACAATGAATATATTTAAAGTAATACTTTTACAATTACTACTACTACTACTACTTTCTACTGATACTTACAAGGGCCCATTTAGAGTCATTTGAAGGAGATGTACTTGGACGCTTCATTGATCATTTGGATAATAGACTACATATACATAAATATGTTAGAGGAGTTGTGTTGATGAGAAATGGTTCACAAGTTAAATGGATTACGACCAAAGGAGAGGTAAGAGGTAGGATCCATTTGGTTGTTGGGAGATTTGTGTTGCTGACTGACTGACTGGGGCGTGGTGAAAAAGAACAAAGTGCAAGTTGTTGAGTGAGGGGGGGGAGGTGTAAAGAGGAAGGGTATCACTGCAAGAGAATGATTCCAAGCCTGCTGACCGACTGACTGACCAGTGGTTGGTATTACCCCCACTGTCGGTGATTGAATTGAAAAAAAAAAACAATTGTGATCTTGTAAATTGATCAACCAACATCTACTACAATCTATCCAATTTGTCCCATCCATCCAATGTCGCGTGTGTAAGAAAGAAAAGATATTCCTCTATTCAATTCTACTACTATACTAGTATTAGTGGAGTGAGCGAGTGTGGGTGAAACAAATTAGAGGAGGGGATTGTAGGATTCAATTTAGATTTGATTGGTGACCATCAATCAAACATGATTTTTGTTGTTGTTGTTGTTGTTGTTGTTAAATAATCCAATCAATCTATCCATTTTAAAAAGAAGGAGTTGTAGATTGATGATGCAAGAAGAGGAATAATGATTTGATTTGATTTGATTTGATTTGTTTAGATTAATTAATTAAAACGACATCATTCGAATGTGGGTAGTTGGTTGTAACAACTATCTATCAAACACAAAATAAATAGTGGGGGTGATTGAAACATGATCATGTTTACAAAAAATCGAATTTAAAAAATATCTGTGATTTTACCTTTTGGTCTATGTCTGGCAGCTGGGGGTTTTTTGAAATTTTGGCAGAATTGGCAGAACTTGAAATTGGCAGAAGTCGATGATAGATTGGCAGAAGTTGGGTTAGCGGGGGTCAGTACAGTGGTTGGTTTATAGGGTAAAACATTCGCAATTGTTGCAGGCGTGCATACCAACCCTTTTATCTTCCAGTGACAGACGACGGTTCAGCAGAAGTTCAGTGCTGATTTCCAAGAAATCAAGCAGCGAGTGTTTGGCTGCTGTTGTCAGAAATGAGGTACGCCATCACTGTTTTGCTAGGTCAATTTAGAGGTGTTTCAATGACCATCTGCTGTCTGCGAGGAGGTGATTATTCTGGCAGATAAGCATTGCCTATTTTGGGGGTTTCAGCAGCCGTGTGAACGAGAGAATAGAAGAAGTTTGGTGGGGTGAAATCCAATCAACAACAAACAGTCTGTTGTTTATTGTATTGTTCTAACCTACCTACCACACACACTCACACACATCTACCCTTTGATCATTGTGTGACAATTCAGACTCTGAAAGGGGGTAGTGTTCGATATATAATGTTGATGAAAAAAAAGGGAGGAATGGGTACTATATAACAAATATATAGTATATTTAGTTTATTTCAACCAATCACAGTTGGTCAAGATAAGGGAAGAGGAGGAAGAAGAAGAAGAAGAAGAAGAATGCGGATTGACGTCTATTGTCTATTGCTTCCATTTTTACACTTTCAAATAAAGAATAAAAGAGTCTGTTGTCTAACAACATTCATTCATTTATCATTCTATTCGTTTGCTTTCTAGTCGTTCCATATCCTATATATATTGATTGACCACCAGTGTGGATTTTTCCATTTCCTTTCTTTTTTGGGTTCAAGGGCCAACAGTGAGTTTGGGTGTTGAAGAAATATTGTTGTTGGAATTTACATTTGTGTTACTAATTTGATCTTTATAAACTTGAATTATCATCAATGAGTTGACTATAATCCTCTGGTTGATATTTTGCGATGTTGTTTTTTCTTTGATGTCTACACTGTTTGAATGGTTTTGCACATAGGCCAAATAAAACAAAACAGCAACATGATCGATCGCCATATTTGTCTTTACGAGAGTAACAGCATTTACAGCAGAATCTAGCACCCTTGGGTTTGGTCAAACAACAAAATACAAAGATACCGGCCGTCGCCAATGCTGCAAAACCACCTCCAATACCAATAGTCAACCAACTAATATGCATACTACAGTCTGGTCCAAAATAACCTTTTTGGCATTGTGAGCAATCAACACCATAGTAACCAGTACCAGATAAGCATTCACATGATCCATCTGTTAGACAAGTACCTTGTCCCGAGCAAGTAACCTGTGAATCACAATAAACATTACACACACCAAATGGGTAATACCCATTTGAACATTGACAATTCTCGCTAGTACATGTAAAATTGGAGCCACATAAAACTGTACAAATACTATCTCCTAATCTCATTACACTATTTACTACTGTACCATTATTATTATTATTATTATTATTATTATTATTATTATTATTATTATTATTATTATTATTATTATTATTATTATTATTATTATTATTATTATTATTATTGTCTGATCCAATAAATGTGATTAAACTATTTTCTCCAACTGCCATCCGACAATAACTTACTGTCATATTATATTCTTGATTAAATTGAATTGATTTTGTTCCATTACTGGTAATTAATTGAATTCCTTGTTCTTTTGTACATAAATAAAGATAATTATGATTTGTAATGATTTGATCCAATATTGTAATCTAAATTAAATAATCGATAGTTTGTTAAATTCTACTCTTTTCTTTTTCTTTTTTCTTTTTTCTTTTCTTTTTCTTTTTTTTACCTTTTGATTATTAATTAACCAAGTAACAATATTTGTATTTATATTGATTAATGCTAAATAACCAGTATTTGAGTCTTGATAATTCAATGTAAACGAGATGAATAGTACTGTAGAGGTGAGTGATAATTTAGGGTTGACAATAGTAGTACTACAATCGATTACTTGAGAAACCAATAGATGATAAAATGTCAATGCTCCATTAAGATTTCTTATCTCTACTGCCATTGATGTACCACCAACACATACCAATTGTACAATTGATTGTATTGGTACTGTTGTTGTATTACCAGAGGAAGATGACGTATAGGTGATGTTGGTAATAGTAGAGACTATAGTTGGTTGGTTGATATATTGACTATTGATTTCATTGTTATTGTTTAATGGATAGTATGATTGATTGTAAATGTTGGCAAATGGTGTTGTAAAGGTTGAATCTGCCAGATTGACTACTACCAACTCTCCGTATCCATCATAATCCATATAAATAAGTGTATTGTTTACACCTTTGATTAGTGTTGATTGACTTGCACTTGCAGTATTTGGAGGTACCTGTATCGTATCGACCAAATAGCCAGTTGTTGGATCAAAAGAATAAATCAATCGATGACAATTAATAGTAATCCAATTATCATTATCATTTATCAACTGTTGTTGTGGGAATGAACAATTCAATTGTTTATCTATATTACTATTATTTAACCATATTTGAATACCATTTAAACTAATTAATTAAATTTAAGAGGTTAATATCATCATTCTTTTTGTTAAGATATTAACATGTATCTCTCTTTCTTTTAACATACTCATATAATGATAAATCATTATTCAAATGGTTAAATAATACTATACCACCACCACCACCACCACCATTAGATGATGATAATAATAGTAATGAGAATATACTAGTTGTATTGTTATTATTATTTGTATTCGTATTATTGATAATTGATACATTAAAATAAGGTATATCAGTATCGTAGTTTAATCTAATTAAGTTAATTGAAGATGAAGATGAGGAAGAGGAAGAAGAAGATAAATATATAAATGATTGATCATCTAATACTAAAGGATTAAATAAAAGTTGTTGGTTGTTTATAGTTGTAGTTGTGGTTGTTGCAACTATATAACTCGTTTCGTTAAATGTCCATTCCAAGTCATTAACGATAGCATCTACATTGAATGCATAACTAGAGTGTAGTGAATCATGAAATGGTTGATAGTATTGACTATTGACAACCAACCCATTTATAATTACTAAAAAGATAAAGGTTATTATGTACATCATTCTTTTCTTACAAAAAAAAAAAAAAAGAGTAACAAAGAATGAAAATGAACTTTAAACTGGGGAATGTGAAGTTATCAAGTTGTGTAGGGACAACAAATCCCTCGATTTATTAATATTATTAATTATTTTTTCGTGTAATATGATTGTGATGATGAGTACTCAATGTAAGACTTAGTAAAGAGTTTGTAGTTTGTAGTTTGTAGTTTGGGTGGGTGCAAAATTAATTAATTAATTGTAATTTATTTGTTTTGGTAAGTATTTTCTTGGTGTTCTTTTCTATAGTTCTTTAAAAGGGTATGGTATTCTTTTTTAATTTTTTCTTTTCTATTGTTTCTATGTTGTGTGTTAATATTTTTTTCTTTTCTTATTATTATTATATTATTCTCTAGAGATTCTATTATATTATTATTATTATTATTATTTACTATTATGTTTATCTACAGGGTTTGATTTTTTTTGGTTTGTTTGTTTTTTATATTTATATTTTTATACTATATACAATATTGTAGGTTATGGTTATTATTATTATTATTAATATTATTTATGTTGGTTTGACCATTAATTGGGATGGTTGATTATTATTGTGATATTAATATTTTTAGTTTTTTGTTTGGTTGTATGAGGGTCCTTTACAAAAAAAAAAAACAACAACAATAAAATCAAGTACTATGAATGGCATCGATGAGAGTTTGAGTTTGGTTCCATGGATTGGAAGCATCGACCTTGTTAATATTACATTTCAACGTTGTCAGGTTGACAGTGGTACGTGGCAATTGTGGGAAATCTCTATCAGAGCTAGCATAGGGAGTAGTAATAAAGTTGACGAGAGCAGTAGACGATCCTTCATCCAATAATTCCCAACTCTCCAACTCGTCCAATTTAATGGTATTGTCCCATGACTCTTCTCCTTCCTCCTCTTCCTCTTCTTCTTCTACTTGCTCCTCCATACTATCGTCGTCTTCGCAAAGGATTTCAAATTCTTCTTCCATTTGACAGACAGCGTCGTCCATGTGGTGATTAAACTTGAAAGATTGTTCGATTGCCTTTTGAATGTCCACACATTCCTTTGGATCCCTCGACAGGATGATTTCGTCTTGGAAATGTTGGCCAATCTTTTTGCATGTGAAAATGGCGTCACCGGTCTTGCAGAGGAGCGACTCGTCTGCGTCAATGTCTTGCGACTGGGGATACAATGACTCCTTGTTGTTGTCGTCGCCAAATACGAGGATTGGCTTGGTGCTTGGTACGTGTTTGCGTGCTTGTTGGGGCACAGTCTCCTTTTTGAGTCTGCGTTCCTCCTCGAATGCCTTTTTCTTGGCATCCTCCTTTTTCTGTTTCTCTTGCAACACTTGTTGCTTGGCTCTTTGAATCTCCTTTAGTTTTCGGGTATTTACATCTTTTTTTCTTCCTCTTGATTCTAATCCAAATCTTGGTGGTTCAACATTACCAGAAATGTTAATTTTAATGATTTGTGGTTCCATATTGATGATGAAAATTAAAGAAATTATAAAAAGGGATAATTATATTATATTATTTATATAAGTACTGTTTGGTTTATGTATGTATTGTTTGATTTAAAAATCAAATATGTGTATTTACAAAAAGTTTAAAATTAAAATATACAAAAAAAAAAAAAAGAGTTCTTGGATGATTGTTATTTACACAAATTATATTATTATGAAAATAAAGTAAACTACTCTATTAAAATTAAATTAATTTTTTTGTTGGGGATTATGGAAATAAATATAAATATATAGGTAGGTAGTGAGTGATATTTGTTGGGTGGTTAGGGTTGTTGTATATAATTATTAGATTTGAATGAATATCTAAATGATTAATATTATTGTTGTTGTTGTTGTTGTTGTTGTTGTTGTTGGTGTTATTCGTATACTATTAAATGTGGAAGGACAAGTAACTATTTGTTGTTTATGATTCTTGAAGAAGAAAAATAAAAAAGCAAGGAAGGAAATTTAGATTAAAAAAAAAAATGAAAGGAGTGAAAAACAGAGAAAAAAGATATAAAGTAATGATAATTATTAGGTTGGTCAGGCTTGCACTTGTTGTGTGTGAGTGTGAGTGTGGAAGTGGCGTTTAGTGGGAGACCAAACAACAGATGGAGATACGTCTAATATTGAAAAGGAAAAAGAAAAAAAAAAACAAATAATTAAAGATTTTCAATAAGAAACAACAAATATTATTATTATTATTATTATTATTAAAAGGTGGATATTATAAATATAAATATTACAAAGAGGTGGGTGGGTGATAATGGCGAATATATGTGTCTGTTGGTGATATTATTATTATTATTATTATATAATTTTAAAAGAAAATAGAAAATGATGATAATGATAAAAGGAAGTGTGGTGGAAAAAAAAAAAAAAGAGAACGACGATAGATAAACAAATATATATAAAGAGGGGTTGTGTATTTGATTTTTCTGGTGGTACTCTTATGTCTTGTTTTAGTACTAGGGGATATATATCCTGTTTTAAATAATTAAATGAAATTTAAATAAATAAATGAATAAAAAACGAATGATCTATATTGTTTTGTGGTTGATCAAAAGTGGGTTGTGTAGAGATGACGAGATGGGTGGATGGGTGGATGAATAGACGGACGGATGATAATAGATAGGTGACAGAAGAGAAATTTGATTGATTTTTTGATGGTTCCCAAAGATGAAGGAAAATCAAATCATGGAAATATAAATAATATATAAATATGATATTTTGTTTAAAATGGGAAAGAAGAAGAAGAAGAACAGGAATTAGTAATTTGTTTTTTAATTTAATCATCACTTATATTTTCCAAATCAAGAGTTTGAATTTATTATTATTATTTATCTGCTTGTTGTTCATTGTTCCAAAAATAATTACATAATAAATAAATGAAGAAAAGGAAATGATGGAATTTAAATAATTATTATTATTTTTTTTTTGTATTTGAATGAAATTTAATTATAATGATTTTTGTGATAACTTTTATAAATATATGATTTATGACAGTTATGGAGAATCAAATTGATAACACCAATACTGATCAATCAATTTAAATATTATATTTGATTTTCAAGAGGAGGGAAATTTTGAATTCAATCAATCATTTTGATGGTGTTGATTTTTGGTCTGTTGTTGACAGTGACAAAACAATGTGTGTATGTGTGTGTGGTTAATGATGATGGTGGTAGTGTTTGGTTTGGTTGTGTAGAGTACTTATATATGCATATATACATACAAATAAATATAATAATATTTTTGATATAATATGAACATACAAACAAATATTTAAAAAAATAAGAAAGAGCAAAGGAAGGTTATTCTCTTTCTCTCATCACACTCGAAAAAGTAAAGTGAGAAGTGCGATAGTGATGATGGATAGAGGGTGGGTTTTCGAGAGTGTGGTGGTGGTGGTTTGGAAAGTGTTGGGATCTTCTTTGCATTGCACCACCTCTATAGAGATTAGAATGACGCCGCTATTAATTTTGGTATTGTTGATTGATCAATCAATCATGTTAACTGTACTACTACTACTACTACTGTTTTGTTTAAAACTAACTAATTACGTAATTTATTACCACCTCCTTCTCCTATCCTTTCTCTTCTTATTCTCTCTTTACAAATATTTAATATCATATGATCTGACTGATCAAAATCATAATATTATTTCTAAATATGACTTTGAATCATTGTGTAACATGTCGTTGCTATTCGTTCTATTTTAGTAGTCTTCTTGTTGTTGTTGTCGATGATTCATTCTTATTATTATAACAACAACAACAAGAACTTCTTAAGCTTAGCTTATCACATGATATATATATATATATAATATTTTTGATTTTGTTTCTGCTGTGTAGATGTGTAGAGAGATATTTACCTTGTGATTAACAAAAAAAAAGTAACTGAATGATAACTAAAAAAAAAAAAAGAAATATATAGAATATGAAATGCTGCAAATATATACAAATAATTGATCTGAGGAAAGATATGTGTGTTAATTAAATTTTTAATATAATAATATCCCTTTTGGGGTGTTTATAATTATTATAACTCCCACATTTTGAATTTTCCTTTTTTTTAATTATTTATTCAATTTTTGACCTCAGTTCTCAAGGGGTTAAACTTCCAAACACCCTCATCGATATATATTCAAGCACCTCTGAAACCCAATCAACAAAGCAACAACCCAATTTACACAAACCAAACACCCAACCAATCCTCATCCTCTGCCCAATCTACACAACCCAAAGCAAAACAGATTAGATTTATCTCTACATAAGAAAGAGGAAGGAAGATCAGAGTAGGAGCATACTTGTAGTTGTATATCATATGATTGATTGATTGATTGATTGAGTAATAGTTAGAATGGGAAATGTAGAGTCATATATATCAGATGAATTTAAAAGAGTTAATAAATCAAATAATGGTTATATTGTATGTTTAGAGCTAAATGGTGATAGTGAGCTGAGTAATTAACAAACATTATACATATCAAATAATAATAATAATAATAATAACCTTTAGGTATTAGATCAATTATTAGAGATGCAACCACCAAGAGAATGTACAATAGATACTAATCATTTAGGTACTCTATTTGCAATAGATAGGCGACTGACAGGACGGTTCTATGAAAAGGATATAATAGAGTTTGCTCGGATCTATGCATCACATCTCTTTCAACAGCAACAAGGTGGTGGTAGTAAAGATGACTTTCATTCAAAGTTTCAAGCATACTGTACGCTAAAGATGTGGAATGAAATATCAAAACCAGAGAATGGTACAGAGATGTTTGTCGAATGGTTCACTAAACTATTTACAGAGAATCCAAGCTACTCCCAATCCTTTTCACGTCATCCAGATATCATATTTCTCACAAGTGATGCTGTAAACAAAATGTATCATGTATAGTATCAACAAACAAAAAGAGAACAAAAAAGATATATATATATATACTGACCTACAATATAATTCAATATATTCTACTATCTATTAGATACTATCAATTAAAAACTATTATGGAGGTGATTTTAGAAGTTTTTTCGATCTAATGCAAAGAACTGCAGAGGAACAAGGTACGATGAAGTTGGATGAAGACCTTGATGATCTAGTTCCACTTCCAGTACTAAAATTATTTTCAAAAGAGTTTATAAATGGTTTTGTTAAATTAATGGTATGTCTAAATATAATTATAAATCATATATTATATTATTGTAAAATAGATCAATCCAATCACTATCCTATCACTATCACTATATATGGTAATTATATAATTTAATACAATATATAATATATATTTTTAAAAATATTATTATTATTATTATTTTGTGATTGGATGGATAGATTATATTTTACATGTAGATGAATGTTTATGTGTAACCAATTCAATAATTTATTAATCTTTAATATGATGTTTATTCCTTAATTTAGTATGAATTGGGATTTCAACCAGATATGCCAATCGAATAGATAGATTGATAGATTCATTGATCCCCACCCACATTACATTCATTACATTATCCTACCATGGCAATGTTATTGCTATGGATTGTTGTTGCCTATTACGACTCGTAGTAGGTGACATGAATCCTATCTATCTACTTTTTCACTGCACTTTCAACACCACCACCACCACCACCACCACCACAACACTTTTTACTTTTACCACCAAACAAAAAAACAATAGACAAACACACAATTGTCTATATTATATCCCGATGAATGTTTATGGGTAGGATGTATGGAGAAAACAATTGAACAGTATACACGATTGTAAGCTAGTATATTATGACCATCCAGTAAATCGATGGAAAATGCGTAGTCACTTGCGAAGATTTGTTAAAATGGTGTATGTGGTGTATGTGGTGTTTGTGGTGGTGGTGGTGGTGGTAGAATCGGTCGACGGATGTGGAAATTAGAGCAACTCATCTTGAACACAAACCAAACAACACAGCCAACAAGTAATAATAAAAAGTCGAAAGGTTCTGTTCAATTTCAATTCATTGTTGAATCCAACAAACAAACAAAACAAAGCTAAAGCTAATAATCTATCTAATACATCCATCCATCCTTCTCACCAACAGTTATAATAATAATAATATTTTATTTTTACCCAACTACTACTTTTTAAAAATGATGAATTCATGGTTTATGCACCCTTTAGAAGAACTTTCAAGCCTCAAGCACTCAATTGACGAGACGTTTAGAAACTGGTCTGGCAACATGACCTCCAACTCGAGCCAACCAATGGACTGGGGATGGAAGCCAAGAATGGACGTTAGCGAAAGCCGCAACTGCTACAAGGTTGTCCTCGAGCTTCCAGGTTTCCAAAAGGAGGATTTGGACGTTCAAGTCAACGGTCGTTTCCTCTCCATCAAGGGTTCCAAGTACACTGAATCCAAGGAAGGTGATTGGAGATTCCATCGTCGTGAAAGATATTCTGGTGGTGAATTCCATCGTGCTGTTGCTCTTCCAGAAGGTAAATATATTAAATATCAAAATGAAATATCAAATCAAAAATATTCAATATTCTAATTTCTTTTTTTTAATTTTAATTTTTTTTTATTTTGTAGGAATTGATGGATCATCCATTCAAGCAAAATTCCAAGGAGGTATTTTGACATTGACCATTCCAAAGCATGGTGGTAACAATGCTCAACACGTTTCATTGTTGGGTAGTGAGGAACATGCCTCGAGACGTGGTGTCATTGAAGCCGAGGAACGTGAACGTAGACGTAGAATGGAGGAGCAAGACCCCATGCTCTCGAGAAACCACTGGATTGCCAGCCGCATGGGCACCGTCATCGACGAGGAACGTGAACGTTACAGAAGAATGCACCAATTCGACGAGTTCTACGAGAAGCAGTCCAACACCAACCGTCGTGTCACCATCCAACTCGAGAACAACGAGCGTCAACGTCGTATCCACGACCACCGTGGTGAAGCCGAGAAGAAGAAGAACGCCATGCGTGTCAGCAAGATGATCAAGACTTGCGGCACAACCAACCCACGTTCACTCCTTGGCAAGACCAACATGCGTAGCAGATCTCAACACACTCACAAGCACTCTCACTCTGGTAGAAAGCAACAACAACAAAACCTTGGATTCACTGGAAAGACCAACTTTGGTAACAAGAGTGCCTACAGTGAAATGTTGCCATCCAACTTTGGATGTTACAACAAGCAAGCCTGGAAGCAATGCAATGACCTCGAAAACAAGGAACGTTCCGAGCGTATCAGAGACATTTCTCGTCAAAACTGTTGCAAGGCCAATGCCAAGCGTGTCAGCAACATGATCAAGCAAGGCAGCACTCGTATCCATCTCAACCACATTCCATCATCTTCAACATCCAAGAAGGTGTCTATCTCCTCCTCCTCCTCCAACAACAACAACAAGAGTACCATGTACTACACCAAGCCAGCTCCATCCTACTTTAACAACAACAAGACTGGTCATTTCCTCAACAACCTCGAGGAAAAGGAACGTCAACGTAGACTCAACGACAAGAGAGGTCAAATGGAAGCCAAAAAGAATGCTGCCAAGATTGCCAACATGATTGGTAATGCCAGTTTCTAAACCATCATTGATCAACAACAACAACAACCAATCAAATCAATATATAATTCACCATTTAATATTTAATATTTAATATTTTTAATATTTATATTAAATTCATCAAATCATTCACTCCACTCCATCTTCCACACACAAAAACAAAATATATATTTATAACTAACTAACTATGATCCTTTACAAATAAAATTAGATAGATTAAAATAATTTTAATTTTAAATTGTATTCAAATATTTCTTTAATTTCAAACTAGTTTGTTTTTTTTGTTATATGTGTTTTTTTAAATAAAATAACTTTGTAAAAGATCATGATTACTTTTATTTATTTTGTTTATTTAATATGTTGTTAGCCCTACTAGGTACAGTCAGCAATATAAAGATATCCTTGTCATATTCTTTGACAAGTATTTTAATTAGAGCAATACACATTGGTTACTATATTATGATTGTATGTTAATTAGAAGAACTAACATTCCTCAACCTTACTTTATTTGATTTTCTGTATCATGTGATATTACATCATTCTGCAGAATACATCATCACAGTTCATTCTGCAATCCAAAGGGTATTACCCTATATTATAGGTACAATTAAACAGGTCTTTACTTTACTTGAGGTGATATATTCTCGTGTAGCCCTACGATTATTGTTACAATTTATCGAACGATTTCAATCGAATTTGGTTCAATATAATGGAATTGGTTTCAACAGGTTTACTTATATCGTGGCTGTATCTGTTTAATAGATAGATATCTGAATAAAAGTCATCAATTGGATCAATCAAAGAAATCTATGTGTGCAATGGATACTTGACATATCGATAAATAGAGTTGACTTTTTAGATGCTATGAGCACATATGATTGGTTTAGAAGTAGTTTGCTTATGGGCGCAATCAAGTCTGATAACTAAATCATTGTGTTTTTATCTTTTAGGTCATTACAAGCATAGAAAGGTAGTATAGGATATTTATCAAATGATTGGACATTAGCTTTACCTTTGCGGTTTTATGGTTACACACATCTACATGGACAGAATATGGATACTAGTTTAACATTATATGGTGGGATAAGAATGAATCGATTTTGGGTCTTTGTCTTTGGCTTTTATGTTTGGATGTGACCACTAGGTACCATCAATCACAATAGGTATGATCATAATAATATAGTTTAGGTATTTGTTAGAAAATGATTAGTTTTAATTTCGGAGGCCCCTCCTTCAAACTAGAAGTCATGGGTTTTATAACAGAATCGTCATACCAAGGAGTCGCCTCACCTAGGTCAAGCGATTTCTCAGTCAATGAACTAGAGTACCTATATTCACTCTAATAGTTCATTGACTTGGAAATCGCTTGATCTAGTCGTGTAAGGTTGGACAAGTACAAGTAAACAATTATTTAAAGAATAAATTAATTTATTCTTCTTTTGGTAAGTATTGATTATTTAGAAGAAAATCTTTGGTACAACCATAAATATCTGTCACCATAACTTTTTATTTTCACATATTTTTTATAAATAGTAGTAATAGTAATATGAATAATTAATAGTGATAATAGGAATATATGTTAACATTTCAAGTTATATTTAGAGTATCATATATTAGAGGATTGATATTCAACCAGGTAGGTGAAATATCTAAAGTATATATACAATCACAGTCAAAGGCAAGAGCAGGTAATGGTGAAAGAAAAAGAGGTCGTAGACAACGACCACAACAACAACCACCATTGGGACCATTAAAAGGAAGAGATATCATTCAATTACCTTGTCTTGCAATGATATCAAGATATGCAATGCCGTGGCAGTTTATTCGTCACTATCTACCTGATCAGTGTTTAGAGTTAAAAAGAAGAAGATTACAAGTGATTAGTGAATACTGTTGGCATAGGAATGCAAAGTTGGAGACACTAAAACATCTACTAGAATGGTCACCAGACTATGAACCAAATGAAGCCTATATGATATACCAAATCATACAGGCTGGTAACCTAGAGATCATGACCTACATACTCGAGAGATACCCTAGTATCGGTCAAAGAGCCCTCAGTAATGCAATTGATGCTGCATGCAAACTAGGTGATCTCACAACTCTAAAGCTTCTCAATACATTTGAGAACGCTGATTGTTCTCGGTATGCTATGTTTAATGCTGTCAAGAATGCAGACTTTGAAATGGTAAAATATTTACACCAACATAGAAATGATGGTTGTCACCATTTTCCATTCTCTGGTCAAATTAAATCAAATTATCTTGATATTCTTAAAGTATGTATAGAGAAAGAGAAAGATAAATATATATGTATCTATTCTAATGAATTATATTCTATCAATCTTAGTTCTTTCATTTAAATCAAGAAAAATACCCAAAGATATTTGATTCAAATGTTTTAGATTATGCTGCATGTAATGGGTTCATCGATATTGTAAAGTTTTGTCATGAACATAGAAAACTAGATGGAGCAACAACGAAAGCAATGGATGAAGCGTCTTGTCAAGGTCACATTGAAATTCTTTTATTCCTTCATGAGAATAGGACTGAAGGAGCATCAACCGATGCTATAGATAGAGCAGCCCAAAATGGGTTCATAGAAAGCATAAAGTTTCTTCATGAGAATAGGAGTGAAGGGGCAACATTCAAGGCAATGGATTTAGCAGCTAAAAATGGTCATATGAACATTCTATTATATTTACATCAGAATAGGAGTGAAGGAGCATCATCCAATGCTATGGATACGGCAGCTGAAAGAGGCTACTTTGAAATTGTAAAGTTTCTTCATGAGCATCGTACTGAAGGATGTTCTAGTGGTGCAATTGACCAAGTGGTGAAAACTGAAAACATGGAAATCCTTTTATACCTTGTTCACACTGTCAAAGCACAGTGTACAGAGGCAGCTGTTAAAACTGCAATAGAACTTGGTAGATTGGATATATTGACTCTTTTACACGACCATTATGCAAAGTGCGATATTTGGAGTCAAAGAGACATGGACTTGGCAGCGGGTTTGGGTAATTTAGAAATTGTAAAGTTCCTTGGTCAACATCGTAGTGAAGGGTGTACAAAGAAAGCAATCGACAGAGCAGCAACTAACGGTCACTTTGAAATGGTTCAATATCTTTATCAACATCGTACTGAAGGTGCATCAACAAGAGCATTGGATAGAGCAGCAACTAACGGTCACATGGAAATCCTCCAATTCCTTTATCAACGTAGAACTGAAGATGCATCAATGGATGCAATGGATGGTGCAAGTAAAAATGGTCATTTTGAAATTGTTAAAGTATGTAGTAGTACAAACCAATACAAATAATAATTATTTATTTATATTTATTTATTATTTATAGTTTTTAAATGATCATGAACAAGGATGTATATCTCAGTCTGTAAGTTATGCATGTTCTGGAGGCAATTTAGAAATGGTAAAGTATATGGCAGATATTCTCAAGAGTAGAGAATCATTACCAGAGCAATTAAACCAAATATTTGAAGAATCATTGGTACATGCAGCCGAGGCAGGACATATTGAAGTTGTCAAATACATTCTAGCAACATTTGATATACCCACACTACATGAAATGACAATCTTACAATTAAGTAGAGCAAGAGATCATTATGAAATTGTTGATATTTTAAAGAATCGATTCCCACAATTAATAAATAAGTTTAATTAATTTGAATTGATTCATTCTATTTATTGATTGATTTATTTTATTTATTTATTTATCTACCTTTTTTTAAAACTTTTTAAACAATTTGTTTTTTAATAATTTAAGATAGATTACTTTACTGGTATCAGGTCTTTGATAAATATCAAAGTCTACTTGTCTAAGGTTTTCGAGATAGTTTTCACAGATTTCCGATTGGAGGAAAGCTTGGCGAACGTTGGATGGCACGTCAAAGGTACGAGCCTTGTCGAGATGTGCTTTGGCACGACTGGCCATCTCAAAGATAGCTTCCTTCATCTTGTCTTGTTGGGCATCGGATCCCTGGAACAAAAGTTCGGCAACGATACCATACTTGTTGGTGATAGATGTTGGAATGTACAACTTGCGTGTACGGATATGGTATGGAGTACCACGAATCAATGTAACCAAACCCATAGCCTTTCCAAGATGACTGGCAGCATGTTCAACGTCAGAGTTTCCCTTGACTCCCATCGATTCCAATGTCAACATGAGCAATGATGTATTAATGTCGTCAGAATAAGCTTCCAATTCCTCTAAATCCTTTGGTTGTACAGCATCAAGATCCTTGTCACGTCTATTCAATAATTTAATAAACCATGTCTTTGATAATCCTCTTTCTTTAATTTGTTGTGCCAATACTCTAATTAATGGTTGATCATATACTCTTCCCTACAAAATGATTAAAGAAATAGATTAATATCAATATTTAGAAGATCTAGGGTTATATATATATATATATATTATACTTTTACTTACATTATAAATACTATTGATAGCATCTTTCCAAAAGGCTAATTTATTCTTTGACATTTGACGTTTTTCTGGACTTGGATCAGTGGCAGTTTCAACATTGAATGTACGTGTAGCCAATGAAGTCATCTTTGGACCTTCTTCTGAAAGTAGAATCGAACAAATAAATGATTCATAATCAGTCTTGTTTAATCTATCGGTAACATATCTAACATCTTGTTTTGATGCCAAATCTTTAATTGAAATTGATTTTGAATTTGATTGTTGTTCTTGTTGTTGTGAAGATGATGGAGCAGCTGAAGCAGCAGCTGTATTGTTTTGACCATGATTACCATCACATTCAACACCACCGTGACTATGACCATGTTGCTTTGGTTGTTGTTTTGGTTGTGGCTTTGGTACACCATGATTACCATCACATTCAACGCCACCATGACTATGACCGTGTTGTTTTGGTTGTTGTTTTGGTTGTGGTTGTTGTTTAGGTTCACCATGATTACCATCACATGGAACACCACCATGACTATGACCATGTTGAAGTGATTGACTTGATGAAAAGTAACTTCTCAATGAATATGATGACGACGATGATGTTGATGGTACAGTTGCCATGGTCGATCCTACAACTTGTTTCATATTGACCAAACAAGCATTTGATTTGTATAAATTCAAAGTAACTGTACTAGTCAACTTGATTGTATTTTTGAACATTCCTCTATTCTATCTATCTCTTTTAAAACAAACAAACTACAACAAAAGTAAAAGTAAATGAATCAGAAAATATTACTTTTAATCACCAACACCCTCCCCATAGTTATGAAAATTGAAAAAAATCGATTTTTTATCTTCATCTTCTTTTCTCGAATCAATGAACTACTTTACATCCCAATTCATTAAATTAGTAGTCATTTGATTGGATCATTTGAATCGATTGTATTGATAGATAGATAAATAGATAAATAGAATAGACAATAGTATAAACGACTGACTGTATACAACGAACAAACGAACAACTCAACATCATTATTTATCAATAGATCAATCAATCATTCAATCCCAACCAAATCATTCAACTGACAACCAACCAAATCATTCAACCAACCAACCCTATTGGATAATAATCTACTAGTAGAACATTCGAGAGATAAATTAAATATATATATAAATAGAGTACAAAGACATGTCACATACATTACTTCGTATGCCAAACCTTGAAATTTTGGAGTTAAAGAATGATAGCATAACGTTTGTGTTGTCAAATACAGATATTAGTGTGGCCAATGCATTGCGTCGTATTATGATTGCAGAGGTGCCAACGATGGCAATCGATTTGGTCGAGTTTCAAACAAATACATCGGTGCTGTGCGACGAGTTTATCGCCCATCGTCTCGGGCTCATCCCATTGACGAGTCACAAGGTCGAGTCGTTCAACTACACACGTGAATGTTCGTGTACCGAACGTTGCACCGAATGCAGCGTCGAGTTTAACCTCAATGTAAAGTGTTTGGACAGAGCACTCGAAGTCACTTCATCAGACTTGCAATCACAAAACGACAATGTCTTTCCCGTGTCGGCGAGCGACAATGTCTACGGCAACACATCGGGTGCCATCCCCATCGTCCGTCTCCGCAAGGGTCAGGAAGTCAAACTCAAAGCAATCGCAAAGAAGGGTGTTGGAAAAGAACACGCCAAATGGATTCCAACCTGTATCGCCACCTACCAATTCCAACCAAAGATTGTTGTAAATCAAAATAGATTCGATGAATTAAGTGATCGACAAAAAGATGAATGGTACATACACATATATACATATATACATATATATATATATATAAAGAGAGAGATAGAATACAAATAGAGATAGATATTAATATATTTTATATATTTATATATTTATAGGATTTCAAGTTGTCCAACCAATGTATTTAAATATAATCCAAATTCAATGCAACAAGTAACGACCGATGACCTTAAATGTATGTTTTGTCAAGAGTGTGTAAAGAAGTCTGAAGCACTTGGCAAACCCGATCTTGTCTCGGTAGAACAGAAACAAGACCGATTTATTTTTACCGTAGAGACTAGTGGAGCCCTCAGACCAGAAGAAATAGTCCTGGCTGGAATTCAAATCATAAAGGAAAAATTAATACGTATTCAAACTCAAATTCAAAAAGGTTTATAAATAATAAATAAATAAATAACAAAATAACAAACAAACAAACAAGCAAATAATAACTATAGTATAATAATATAATAATAATAATAATAATATTTTATTAAATAATTAAATAAATGTCTTTTGGATATTATTATTTATTTAATTATTTAATTATTTAATTAGTTTATTTGTTTAACTGACCAATTCATTTGATTATCAAATAATAATAATTGTTGATGATGTTTGATGAGTGATTCACGATGTCCAACTGATAATACGGTGATTCCAAGTTGTTGACATTGTTGATAGACAAGATCTTCGGTTGCATGTGGAATGGAACTGGTTGATTCATCCATCATTGCAAACATTGGTCTATGATAAAACATTCTGAGAATACTGATGATTTGTTGTTCACCAGGTGACAATTGATTAAGCCAATTGTGTGTCAAGTCGTTGAGATCACCACGTCTCTTTATCTCTTGTTCTCTATCGATTAAATATCCCATTGACAATCGATCAAATAATTCTCTCAATTCCGATGGTGGGATATTATGAGTTGCCACAGTGTAGGGATAGACAATCTGATCTTCCAAAGATCCAAAAATCAAATAAGGTTGTTGTGAAAGAAAGAATAATCGATTGTTACATGGTCGAGTAATAGTTCCTGTATAATGTGACCATAATCCATTAATAACTCTAACCAATGAACTCTTTCCACATCCACTTGGTCCCATTATTAATAAATTATTTCCTTTTTCAACTTTAAATGATACATCTAAAAGAAATCAAAAGAGAAAATAGAATATTAATTAATATTCAACTTGGTTTGTTTGTTTTGATTTGGTTTGTTGTTACATACTTGAATAAAGTGTTCTACCCTTTGGTGTAAAATAAGTAACATTTTCTAAAATGATAGATTCAATACTTGAATTTACAATTAATTGTTTACCTTCATTATTATTATCAATAATGTTACCAGAGTTGAATTGAATAGAATGATTGGTTGGAGGATTGTTGATGTTGAGGTTGTTTGATTTCTTTTCAAGTTTCTCTTGATCTTCTTTTTTCTTTTGTAGGTAGAGTTGATCGCATGATTCAATCATGGTGGATATACGTTGAATGTAGCTGGACATTTGAGAGATGTTGGTGGAGACGTTGATGTACTGGCTGAAACCACTGGCCAACATGATACAGTTGTATGAAAAGGTGGTGACGTCAAACGACTCGATCGAAGTTTGCCAGTGGAGGAAGAGTGGGATTGCAATGATGAAGTAATTGACTAGCGACGCCAAATAGGTAAAGAGGTTGGAACAGAGGTTCAACAGATAGGTGAATGCAATGACAAACACCTTGTTCTTCATGAGCACTGCAAATTGGTGACGAGCTTGATTCTCCTCGACCGAGGTTGGTTCAGAAGACCGACGACGTGCTAAATGTTGAAGAGCAATACTCTCGGAAAACGTACGTACTCGTAGATGTAAGTATCTGAAATCACCCTCCAAACGATCCTGTTGGAACGAGTATGATACGAGTGGCGACATGACATGTTTGGTAATAATATAGCCAAAGATAAAGTAGCCTGTCACAATAGCCGGTGCATACCAACCGATTCCCGTCCATGTCAAATACGTGTAGTATCCGATCGTGAGCGGTGCAGTCACCATCTGTGAGAGGACTGACGACAAGAGCTGGCAGAATTGGTCAATGTCGTCGGTCAGACGTTGGTCGGGGTTGTCAACCGTGTCGTCGAGTTGCAGCAGACGGTAATACAGCGACCGTGAAAAGTACCGTGTTTGCAACGTCAGCACGAGTGTGCGTCTCCACTGCCAAGACAGCGCATTTGTCACCATTGTAATAGTTGCGTCAAACGAAGCCGACAAGATGAGGATAAGTAATCCCTTGTAAGCATTTGTTTTAAAGGCGTCAAGATCACCCATAAACAACGACGAGTAGACTGACCCGAGGAATGTACCCGTAAACTTGGACGTGTATGTCTGGGAGATAGCCAATCCGAGCAATACAACCATCAAAGCACCCGAAATCAATGGGTTGTAAAAGAGTAGTGACACGATCGATCCCAACCTACGTAATAGTTTGAAATCATACTTTGTCTCTTTCTTTTGCTTGATATTGTCTGTTTGGTTGTAAATGTCTTTCCATCGTCTAAGGTGTGATTCCACAGTTGAAGGTACTCTATCATCCTTGGTTGACAATAATCTTTTGATTTTTGATTTACTACTCTTTACTCCACCATTCTTTCTCTTTCTTAATCCGACTGCAGTGACAGTACTCTCTTCTTCTTCTTCTTCTTCATCATCTTCATCTTCATCCATCCAATCATTGTCATGACGATTACGTATATTCTTGGCATGTTCTGATCTTCTTTCACCTTCTTCACTTTCATCGGTCAGTAATCTTGTTGTTGCAGATGATCGATGATGATGATCATCATCTCTTTGAGAATCTAGCAAGTTGCTCATTTCGTTACTAACTGCAAGCAAACTAGAACAGAAGAAGAAGAAGAATGATCTTGTTGTTGTTGGTTTTAGCTACAAGGGAGGTGACAGTGATGTTCACTTGATGATCATTCACAAAGAAAGAATATTTCTGCAAGAAGTGATGAGTCAGAGGGTAACTTCAAGATAATGAACAACACTCGTTCTGATCGTTTCGAAAAAGACGGTATCCAAGGTGTCTGATTTTTTTTAAAACTTTATAACATTTATCCCAGAGAGGTTTGTTTGTTTGTTTGTTTTTGCCGAAATAGAGTAAGGGATGACCGATCATGATCATCGGCTGTAACCAACACTTATTATTATTATTATTTTTGTGGATTGTTACTGTGCACAGATAAATAATTTACTAATATTAATATTACTATCAAGCAGTAAACATAGATAGATAGATAGATACCTTTAGAAATTGAATGAGAGGATGCATTATTATCTCATTCCTCGACACTTCAAAGATTATAATATAACCCAATGTCTTGCCTATGATAGTAGCAGCTGTAAATTGGGTTGGGTTTGTGACGTTTCATAGAGGCAATTTCAAAGTTTTAAAAAACTAAAACTATTTTTGGGTACCTGTATTTTTGTGGGTTGAAGATAAAAAAAATATTTATATCTAAATAAAAATCATCACAACCATAGTTTGTAAAACAACAAAAACACAAAACACTCCCACACGATTATTTATTATTATTATTATATTGTTTTTATTATTATTATTATTATTCATTCACTCTTTCTTTACCATAATTGGCAATTAGTGTAATACTCTCATTCATTCACACTTCAAACATTCACATCATTAAGTACACTCTACTTCATTCAACATTCATTCAATAGCAAGAATATATAAACATATAATTAATAACATATAGAATAGATTAATTAATCATGATTCAATTACAACAATCACAAGAAACATTGGATAGTCAAGTCAATGACTTGTGGAAGAAGAAAATGACTAGATTACCTATTTATAAAGATTTACCAAGACTGGCTGGTAGAATATCAATCACCTCTACAACTGATAAATCAATAAACTATAATCCATGGACACCAGAGACTAAAACTGTTGCTGCCACACCTGCATCGACAACATCGTCATCATCATCATCGGCATCATCAGTAGAAAACCATAAAGAAGAAGATAGAAAGAGTTTAAAACTTCGATTGTCATGTGTAGAACTTGACAAGTTGGATCTTGAACAAGATAAATTGGAAATATTAGATAATGGTATGTCAAGATACTAGTATCATTAAAAATGATTGATTATTAATTCATTTCCCCTCTTAGATACAAACAATGAAAAGATATTTAAAAGATTAAAGAAAATTATATTTAAAATGACTGAATGCTTTGAAAAGAGTAATTTGGAACATGTCAAACAAGTATTTAATAATTATGAAACACCAACCGATTTTGAATTACATATGAGTACTTTATTAAAAGGTGTAAGTAATAATATCTATCCTGATCCAATTATAATTAATATTTATTTATTTCCATTTCCCATTTTAGTCATTTGATGAAGAAACAAGTAAAGTGATTAAAGTATTAAAATTGATTCACCAAAATATAATTTATATTGGATGCTTTGAAATTAAACAAAAGGTACCATTTTTAATGACAAATATGACAAAGATGAAGATGTTAGAGGACCAGAGGGATGGAGAATATCGATTGAAGAGACCAAAGACATTGTCACAGTGATACATGCAAGAAGAGAGGAATCGCTACCAACTCAACCCAAAGACAAACAATTCTGGTTTGAATGGCAACTCACTGTTATTCTCAACAAGGATTTGACAGAGATTGAAAGTACCTCTTTAAAAATTGTTCAATTACAATTCTGTGAAGGTATCTCTCAAGCTTTCAAGAATGAAGTATCTCGTGCACTTTGTTCAGGTAATCTATTTATTTGTTAAAAAGTAATTACAAACAAATCCAACACACCCCCTAATAGAGAGAGAGAGAGAATAAACAAATGTATTATATATTATAACCTTATATCCATCCCATCCTATCCTATCCTATCCTGGATAGAGAACAAGTCATTTCCAAGAAATTGATAGTTGTGTTTCAATTTTTGATTGAAACCATTGTTTTGACCAAAAATACAACATTGTACTTTCATTACTTACTTAATTATTTGTGTGTAATATTCTATTCTTTTTGTTGTTTGAAAAAAGAGGAATGAAAAGAGTAACACAAAAGGTAGTTAAAGAAGTAGTAGGCAGTACTACTACTACTGCAGTCGCAGTTAAATCATACCCAACAATAGTAAAAGAATACTTTGTTGAACAATCAAAATTGGATGTTGATTGTAAAAAGAATGCACCTGGTATGAAACATTATATGAAGGATCAATTCCCATTCCTTGGATTCAAGTCACCGACTCGAACGAGTTTGTTAAAGTCGATGATCAAACTACACGGTCTCCCACCAAGCGACGATGATATAATGCCAATCTACCAATCACAACATCGAGAGTTTGCCTATATAGCAATCGAGTTGACATTGCAAAGAGTTAAAAAGAGCGAGCCTGACAAGACACGCATCAAAATGTACGAAGAGATGATCATGTACAACTCGTGGTGGGATACAGTCGACTTGATAGCATCTAATCTCGTAGGACAACACTTTAAAAGGTTCCCAGAGCAACGTCTGGAATACACTGAAAAGTGGATAAAGAGTGATAATAATTGGTTGAAACGATCGGCACTACTCTTTCAACTAAAGTACAAAAAAGAGACAGACACTGATCTACTCTTTAGATACATTGGAGAGACAATGTCTGAGACAGACTTTTTCATTCGAAAAGCTATTGGATGGTCGTTGCGAGAGTATAGCAAAGTTGACAAGAATATAATCATCAAATATGTAGACCAACATTCAACTAAACTTTCAACTCTAAGTCAACGTGAAGCTTTAAAACATTGTACAAAATAATAATAATAATAAAAATAAAAATAAAAATATATTAAATTAAATTATTAATAATCTAATTTTCTCGAAATGGGAGATGATCAGAAAGACTTGCAAGTTCACAGCTGAGTGTGTCATTTTCATTTTTAATTTACTTTTTATTTGTTTTTTATAAATATAAATATACATAAAATATATTTGTATATATATATTTGTATAAATAGAGATATAGATAGAAAGAATGGACTTAAATCAATTTGTGAATCAGGTTAGAGTACCAACTAACAGTTCAAAGATATGGAAGGATGAATGTGCATATTCATTCAATACTGCTGTATGATACATATATATAAAGTAGAGATTTAATAGTAGAGTTACTAACTAACTACTTTCTACTGTCGATTTTCTACTTTCTACATTTGATTTATTTTTAGGAAAAAGGAGATGGATTATTTGTTGATCTAAATAGTTTTATAGCAGTTTCTAGACCATGGTTAAATTTAAACTTGTCAAAGACACAACATAATCTTTATTTAAATATTAAAAAGGTTGTTGTACCATCAGAGAGATCAACTAATCCCAATCCATCACCACCAAAGAAATTGGCTATTGGTGTAGAAGGTGGTTTCAACGATGAGGATCAGGTCAAATACGAAGATAAATACTCACTCTATGTACATCCAAACAATCAATACTTTGATTTAACCGATCCATCAATCCCACCAAAGATTCTCGAGAGTATGAACGAGGTCATTAGAATCAACAGTCAAAGTAGAAAGGAAGAGATTGTTGGTTGGTCTGCAGATCAAGTATTACCATCAAAACATGCCGATAATCTAAAACAATTAGATAATGGTATTAAAATTGGTCCAAAAGATTGGAAATGTTCTCATCAAGTAAGAAAGAAAGAAAGAAAGAAAAATAACAAACATATATTATTTATTTATATTTATTTATTTTAATTTTTCTTAAGGGATGTGATAAATTAGAGAATTTATGGTTAAATTTAAGTGATGGTTATATTGGATGTGGTAGACAATATTCAGATGGAACTGGAGGTAATGGACATGCACTCAAACATTATGATGAGACTAAATATCCATTGTCTGTTAAATTGGGTACCATTAGCAAGGATGGAGCCGATGTCTATTCTTATCCAGAGGATGATATGGTGTCTGATCCTCACTTAGCTCAACACCTCGAACATTTTGGTATCAATATTCTCAACATGCAAAAGACTGAAAAGTCAATGGCCGAACTTGAATTGGATCAAAACTTAAACTTTGAATTTGGTAAAATCTTGGAAAAGGGTAAAGAATTGGAAAATGCTTTTGGTCCTGGTATGACTGGTATTGAAAATCTTGGTAATACGTAAGTAAAAAAAAAAAAGAAAATTAAAATGAATAATAGTTTAAATTATTTACTCTTTTTTTTATTTTTTTTTAGATGTTACATGTCATCAGTACTTCAAACAGTATTTGCAACTCCACATTTTTTGAATAGATATTTAAATCAAAGACAACATACATTTAAAGAAATTACTCAAGATCCATCTCAATCATTTGAAATTCAAATGTCCAAATTGGCAGATGGTATTCAATCTGGTGATTATTCAGTTCCAGAAGCTTCAAATGTTGCAAAAAGTGAAGAAGAATATTCAAAAGCTGTATGTATAAATAATCAATTGTATAATATATCTCACTCACCTCCTCTTTTTAAGTCACAAATTGGAATTGCACCAAAAATGTTTAAGAGTTTAGTTTCTGGTAAACATCCATTATTCTCTACATTCCAACAACAAGATGCACTGGAATATTTCCAATATTTATTAGAGTCGATTGACAAGCATGAAAAGACTAGACCAAGTTGGATCAAGGAGGATAATCCAACCAAAGCATTTACCTTTATCCAAGAGGATCGTATTCAATGTGGCACCTCTGGCAAGGTAAAGTACAGTAGAAAGATGGATAACATTCTCTCACTCAACATTACATTGGAAGCTACCACCAACAAGGAAGCTGTACATCTCTACGAACAACAAGTTGAACTCAATGGTGGCAAAAAAGACCCAAATGTTGAAGAAGTCAGACCAATCATCCCACTCCAAGCTTGTATTAATAATTTCATCGAATCTTACAAAGTTGATGATTTCTATAGTAGTGCTATTAACTCTAAAACTTTTTCAATCAAGTAAATAGAGAAAAAAAAGAAACAAAAAGAAATAGAAAGATGTATTAAATTTATTAATTTTATTTTTAATAGTTCAAGTAGAATGGAAACATTCCCAGATGTATTGGTTATTCATTTAAAGAAATATATAATTGCTGAAGATTGGACACCAAAGAAATTAAGTATGATAGAAATATATATATATTATATTATGATTTGTTTATTAATTATCTTTTCTTTTTTTTTTTTTTTTTAGTATGTTTATATTGATGCACCAGAAACACTTGATCTTGAATTATTAAGAGGAAATGGAAAGAAACCAGAAGAAGAATTGTTACCAGAGGATGGTGATGTAGTGATGGGATCATCTGAACCAAAATTCAATCAAGAATTGATTGCTCAGTTGATGGAATTTGGATTCCCACCCGTTCGTTGTCAAAAGGCATCGATTGCAGTCCAACACAAAATGGATGTCGATGGTGCTATGAATTGGTTGGTTGAACATTCCGAAGATGCAGGTATCGATGATCCAATTCCAGAACCAACAGTTGCCAAGAAAAAGGGATCTGAAATGACATTCAAGGATGACGATATCTCAATGTTGGGAGCTATGGGCTTTACCGATAAACAAGCCAAACTTGCATTAAAGGCAACTGCCAATAACGTTGAAAGAGCTGCAGATTGGTTATTCAGTCATATGGATGAACTTGACTTGTTGGTAGCTCAAGCTGAATCTGAAAATTCATCTTCATCTTCATCATCATCATCTGCTGCTGCCGCCTCTACAGTTGATCAATTAAAGAACAAGGTTAATGATGGTGCTGCCAAATACCATTTGGTTGGTTTCATCACCCATCTTGGAAACAATGTTCAAATGGGTCATTACATTTGTCACGTGAAAAAGAATGGTAAATGGGTCAAATTTAATGATCGTTCAGTACAACTATCTCAACAACCTGCCAAAGAGTTTGGTTATATGTACTTTTATAGTAGAAATCCTACTTTTTAAACAAAATATAAAAGAATAGAAACAACACCAACAACAAATAACAACATCAACAGCAACAACAATGTAAAATATTGAATAAACAGAGAGTCATTAGGTAACAAATAGTCAAGATGTTGGATTGAGGAGGCATGTGCAATTGGCGAATACAGAAATGCATCCACCGAAATTTAGTAGTTTGTCTCCACCCATGTTACATCGAGAGTCTGGTCGATGGAAGACAGGTCAGGAATACGGCCCTATTGTACAATGTTTCAAACAGTTAAACTTGGGCAAATTAAGGGCCGACCCCTCTACCCTTTTTGGAATTCACCTTGTCAAAACTTTCGAACCAAACCAATTTATTTCATTAATGAAAGATCTGATCTATTGAATCTGCAGAACCATTTATAGTCAAAAAACGTGTGAAATATTTGAAAGAGCTACGATTGTTTGAAACATTGATGTTGACGTTATCACAATGTTCATGAAACAGAAGATTATAATCCACACCTCCCACCGTACCTACCTACCTCTGGGTGACATTGGTGAATTCACCTCCGTCCATCCACTTGGGGATCTAATCTGATCTAAGCAATGAATTCATGTGGTGTTGCACGCACGTGGCTTTGCCCCCCCTTAATTAATTAATCTATTGGTCTACGCTACGCATCAATCTTGTCTTCTGCTCCTGCTCTTCTGCCACTATTTGCTGCTGAATTCCAACACATTTATGTCTTGTTGTTGTTGTTGTTTTAATCATTCAATTCAATTAGGTTTGTTTGATTCGTCGTTTATATTTAAAGGTTTACAACTATAGCTAGCATAAAGAGAGTCATCTACCAACAAGAATAGAATAGTTATTATTATTTATTGTAAGTTGTCCATTCCATTCGCATTATTGTTGTTGTTGTTGTTGTAGTAGTTGATAAGGTCATGTCCCTTCCATAACTGTCTAGTTTATATACCAATTATTAATTATAATATAATATTTTTTATTATTAAATTGTTTGTCCCCAATAATATATTTGTGGTTGTGCGTCGACGAGGGTGTGTGATTTAAATCGTCGACCTCCAAAAAAGACATCATCTGATAGATTCAAACCCCAACACCAACGAACTAATATTCTAAAATGGAAACATCGTGATGAGAGGATCTGATGCTGTACAATTAATCAATCATCCAGGGGGCAGCAATCAATAATAATTAATAGTAGCTAGCTTGATCTCTCCCCTCCTCCCTCCTGATACAAAGGAGGATCTTTCTCTTTGCTCCTCACTCCTCTTCTCCGTACCTACCACCCTCCCTCCTGATACACCATAGATATGGTTTTGTTTGGTTTGGTTCCACACCCCTCCCTATAGTATATCTTGATCAATCAATCAATCATTATATTATTTAATTATATTAGGTACAGTATATATACATACATAGATATATCATAGCACGTTGGTGTTGTGTTGTGTGTTTGACAGAGAGAGAGAGACAGTTGGATCGCACTCCGTCGATATTCTACTTATCTTTATCTTCATCTTCATCTTGATGATCAGCTGTTTGCGTATTACCTATACAAACACACAAACACACAAACACACAAACACAAACACCAACCAACTTGGTAGTGTTGTGCTACCCCATGGTCTCTCAGGCAATGTCAAGGTTGTTGATTGTTGCTAGTTTTGAGGGTGTTCCACAGTTTGACTTTGATCAAACACACACTCAACACATTGCACACACACCATTCAAGTCAACACACACACAACATACCATGCATATTATATTTTAAATCTTTGTTCATTTCATCACCATCATCATTATCATCATCATCAGTATTGTTATTACTGCTACTGTCTGTTTATTATTACTTTTATAATAACCATATATCGATATATCTTTCAGTTCATAAACAAAATCAATCAAATGCAAGTGTTGTTGATCAACAAGCAGATCGTTTAATAAATTTTTACCAGATCCAACAACAAAAAAAAAAGCAACCAACCAATCCATCAATCAAATCAGAGTTATTGTTACACATTAATAATAATAATAATAAATAATAATAGAGAGGTAGTTAACTGCAGGTAGTTGTTAGTTCGTTATATAAATCTGTCATTCCAATCTATCACATGTAAATAGGAGGAAGAAAAGAAGAAGAAAAGAAGGAAAGAAAGAGAAGTAATTTCCAAATACTTCTTATTAATCTAAGATAAAGGAACATCATTATTATTATTTTATTATTATTATTATTATTATTATTATTTGTCCATCCATCCATCCATCCATCCAGCTTTTTAGTTTTGAAGTAAGAAAGAAAATATAGTTCAACCCATACACACACACACACACACATAAATACGCATCAAATGAATATAGGAGGGATGGACAAATAATGATCGATCATTGGATCTTCATATTTTGTTATAAAGGAATTAATTGATTAATTGGTTGATTGGTTGATTGATTGATTTGATTGGTTGATTGAATAGTTTGACCAATTTAGTTATTCATAGATCAACATCCCAAATATCGACAGTCGACAGATGTCACCACTCCCACCACTCACTCACACTTACCACCACCACCACCACCGTCCTCCAAAGAACTACTCGTACAAGTACAAGTAAGCGTTATTTATCTATCCAACGATTATTATTATTATTGTTGGTGATGATGATGATCGACCGACAAATGAACAAATGAAAATTTGAAAGAAGGAAGGAAGGGATAGATATAAAGATAGATTAAAAAAAACAAACAAACAAACAAAAAAAGTTTGGTTTTATATTTTAAATCTTGACTTGAAAGGAAGATCCAAAGACAAAAAGAACAAACCAACATTACATACATACCTACCTACCTACCTACCTACCACTCACAACAAACAAACAACAACATATACCCATTTATTTATTTTAGAATCATGTTTGTTGTTGTTTGTGTAGAAGAAGAAGAAAAAGAAGAAAAAGAAAAAGAATTCTAATTTCTTGCAATAGCAACATTCATTCATTCATTCATCCATCCATCACCCAAGATATCTTTTGTTATATTTATATATTTATATATATATGACGGACGTCCCAACATACATACATACACTGAAAAATTGAAATTTTAATTTTGGGTCAATTAATTAATAACATCTTCATTTCAATTCATTTATTTATTACATTTATGTATTGTCCCTTTAGAATTCTAAAAATAGATCTCTTTTATAAAGAGTAAAGAATAATAATAATAATAATAATCAATCAACAAACAGTAATAGAGTAAAAGTATAATAGACTATCATCAATCATAGAAAGATCAACAACAACAAAGAACTTTGGTTGGAACCATCATACTTATACATATAGATATATATATATACATCCTTTAACAACTATTGGTCATTTAAACAAGAGGAAGAAGAACAACAAGAACTAGGAAGAAATAGAAGAAGTTGTTGATTCAACAATAACACTTGCTTGAGAGGAGAGAGAGAGAGAGAGACATAGATAGGATAGATAGAAATGTCAAAGATAATGGAGGGTATCGATAACAACAATAATGAAAACAAACATTTGAAGCATTATTTGGATAACAGTGGTGGCGGTAGTGGAGGCAGTAGTGGTGGATATGGTGAAGATGAAGAAGAATCATTACATAGACAGAAACGAAGGAAATCACATGTATTTGGAGAAGAACAAGATGATAATGATTCAATCATCATCCCACCACTAGTCAACAACAATAACAATAATAATCAACAACAACAAGCATCATCAGTACTGTTACAACAATTACCCGATAACCAAATCAATAATAATAATACCTCCTCTTCATCAAATACTAATAATAATAATATACCAAAGAATGGATTGAATTCATCATCACCAAATCATTCACCAACTAGTAATGGAAATAATAATAGTAATAATAATAATAATAATAATAACAAGGTGAGTGAAGAAGATATATTGGGGACTATAGCAAGTTTGAACAAAAACCGGTCACAGAGTGTTGTACAGAAACTGGTCGATCTCACATTTGACTATATTGTAAAGAATATCCACTCGATCGATACACTCAAGAAACTACCTGAAAAGTATGCACACCCGTTGCTGCGCATCTTTTTGCGCAATAAAGAGTTGAATCGTCGCACATGGGACCTGTTCAAGGACTGCGAACTGGCCAAACTCAACTTGGCAGCCAACCCCAACCTCGACGACGACTGGCTCGACTTTGGCGCACGTGGAATGGCCACGTCGATCACATCGGTGGTGTTGAGCAAGAATAGCAAGTTGACAGATCTGGGAATCACACGTTTGGGCACGCTGCGCAGCTTGACACACTTGGATATTAGCTACTGTGAGAATGTCGGGTTTGACGGACTGCAACGATTGATTGCCCAACAAGTACCGCTGGCTAGTTTGTCATTGGAGTCGGTCAAGATGGACATGGCACGGTGTCTAGAGTTGCTCCAAGGACTGCCACTGAGCTCACTCAACATTGCCAACAACAGTTTGACCGACACACAATGTGTTCCACTTGTACACTTGACCAACCTCACTCACCTCTCGGTCAGCGGTAACCCCGATCTCACCGATGCGTTCCTCGCACACCTCAAGCACTGTCCCCTCGTCGAGCTCAATCTATCGTACAACGAAAACATATCAGAGCACGGGTTCCAAATGCTTCGTGAGCAATCCGACACTATCCACACCACACTCACCTCGCTGTCACTCAACAACTGTGCCGTCAATGACGAGATGATGAATCATATTGGCAAACTACTCCAACTCACCTCACTGTCGCTCATCAACAACCCATTCTCTGACAGCGGTGCCAAACACCTATCCAACCTCCAGTCACTCACCTCGCTCGATCTCTCCATGTGCAAAGAGATATCCGACGTGACACTCGAATCCCTACAAGCACTCTCTCAAATTTCAAGATTAAATCTAAACTTTAATCCCAAACTCACGTCCAACGGTATGAGCAAATTTTTAAATCTAAGTCATTTAACCTCTTTAGGTATAATTGGTTGTGATGGTTTATTAATTAAAGGAAAAGGTAAAGTATAAAAAAAATAGAAGAAGAAGAAGAAGTATAAAAAAAAAAGAAATAGAAATGGAAATGGAAATGGGAAAAAAAGAATATAATATTAATTATTTCATTTATTTATTGTTTCTTTTTAGTTAAACATCGACCATTAGTTTTACTTGTAGAAGATAATCCTTTCCAAGTTAAATTAATTACTCGAATATTTACAAGACATAATTTTGAAGTTGAAGTTGCATCAAATGGGAGAATGGCTGTTGAAATGTATAAAAATGCAAATTATAAATATGAATTAATTTTAATGGTAAGAAGAAATGAAATGAAAAGAAAAGGGAAAAGAATAGAAAGGAATAATTATTTATTAACTTTATTTTTTTAGGATATTATTATGCCAATAATGGATGGATTAACAGCAACCATGCTATTACGTGATTTTGAAAGAGAGAATGGATTGAGAAGAGTACCAGTGATCATTCAAACAGCCGATATGGAAAGACACCGAAAGGTATGTCTTGCTGCCGGTTGTGATGATTTCATGTTGAAACCATTGGATAGAAATGTTATCGATAGAGCTAGAGAATTCTTAACTTCAAAATCTTAAGAAATTGAGAGAGACAAAAGAGAGAGACAAGAGAGAGAGTCTCGTCTATCTATCTATCAATCTATATACAATCCCTATTCTTTTTTCTTTTTCCAAATGAATCGACCAAACCAAACAAAAAAAGAAAACCAAACCAATTTAAATTATTTTAAAAACAACAACCACAACAACAACAACAACAATCAACAATCAACCATTTAACCAGTAACTGCTGTATTATTTATAAATCATAATCATAATCACAATCAAAATCAAACCAACCTGTAACGAATTCTACGCCACCCAAATACATCACACCAAAACAATAATAATAATAATAATCACACGCTTATTACATCTTTTCCAATCACCAACCAAAACAAAACAATTCCATTCGATCAAAGAAATTGTATATATTTTAAATATTATAAATCTCTAATCAATCAAACAAAACCAAACCCAGACAACAACAATCGAATCAAACCCTCTCCACCTCCTCCTTTTATATTTATTTATATTTTTCATAAGTGGTCCAGAAAAACAAAAAGATTACAATATATATATAATTAATAAAAAGGTATATAATCTAAATCAGTTATACTACTTATCAAATCAAATCCCAAACCAATCCCAAACAAATAATTATCCATGTTTTTCTTTCTTTATCCTCTTGTTTTTTTTTATATAATTATATATATATTAATGAAATGTATTTATTTACTTCATCAAAGTTGGTAAAATCCTTGAGAGCTCTGTATAAATAATAAAGGAAATGAATGAGTATTAAATATATTTGTTAAAGATAAATATATGTATCGTTTTAAAAAACATACGATCAAAAGTAAAGGTATCAGATTTCTTTTGCTTATGAGATTCACTTTGTAGAGAAACAACATTTCCATTGATCTTCCAGTTTGGTTTGGCAGAGAGATACTCCTCCAACTTTGGTGATTGAAGGTTTACAAGTTCACCCAACATTGGTAATGTAACATTTGAATAAGTGATGGCCAATACACTTGAGACGACTATATTATTATATTTTAAAAAAGGAAATAGATTGTAAGCATAATCTATCTTTATCATGATTGTCTCTGAGTCTGTGTGTAAGAGTACATATGTATACTCTTCCTCCTCTTTGTTTGATCCTATATTTCTATCTATTTCTACATACAATTACGAAGAGTGCTAATGAAATTTGGAATGGCAGAGAAGAAAGCTTCATTCTTTTCAACGTGTTCCCAAACCTCCTTAAATTTACATGTTTCAATTAATCCATTTAATACAAAAAGCTTCAATAATGGTTCTTCCTTTTGCTATTATGTAGTAATCGAGAGTTGTGTTGATTGAGTAAGAAATGATTGAGTATTGGAGAGATGAGTTAAGTTAGTTTATATTCATATGTTGACCAAGTGACTGATGATCAGGTGTTGATGATTATAGTGTTGTTTGTTATTAAGTATTTCATACCATTGAAGATGGAATCATGTATGATAAGAACAAAAAGTCGTTTGTTGGGAAGTTCATGATAGCCTTGGCCAACATTTTAGCAATGTAGTCCTTGTTGAGGGCAGAAGGATTGAATTGGTAGAGCTTGAGGAGGGTGAGGTTGGCTTGGAAGTGATAGATGGTCTCTGCGATTTGAATGTCGACGAATTGCTCGAGCTTTGGTGCAATGTTTATATTGTAAGAGTCGGCAATCAAACCGGTAATATATTCGATCTTGTCGGCAGTCGAGAGAGTTGACAAATCAACATCATCTTGTTGTTGTTGTTGCTCTTGTTGATCTTGCTCTTGTTGTTGTTGATCTTCGTTTTCCATCTCTTTTCTATGTCTCTAACTAACTAGCTAAACTAAACTAACTTCTAACTTTTAAACTCCATACACCCAATCTTTCATTGAGGTGCCACACTCAAAAAAAAATGATCATCCAAAACGAGAAAAAAAATAAAAAAAAAAAAAAAACAAAGAACAAGACAAGTGTCACTTTGATCTTTTTATTAATCCATATAAATATTATATATATATGTTTTTATACAAGTATACTTGTATTTGGTATTTCTATTTTAGATAAAGTATAGAATATAGATATAGATATAGATATAGATAGAAGAGTGAGAGTGCTATTGGATGAGACTAATGATATTTTTCACACCTCAAACAAAGTCGCAAGTCAATTCAAAAAGAGAACAAGTCAATTCTTGTGGCGGCAATTGACACAACCAGAGATGTCAAAGTAGTGTAGTATTAATAGGGTCATTATCAATTACAACTCGTCTATCATTCGGATATAGTTCAAACGAACAGGACAACACTCGGACCTTGGAATGCAACAAATTACTTTTGTCACACTTTCATAATAAGAGATAGAGAGAGGGACACTCTAAAGTGGTTCCATTCCAAGGATTCCAGTTATTTTAAGTAGTCAGTAGGCCAGCCAGAGATGGTCGATCATCCTCCTCCCTCCATATGTGATAGATATTTCTATCGGGATCTCTCCTCCCTCCCTCACTCTCTTAAGGTCAAGTCGATCATCTTCAAACCCAACAAAGCATGTTTCAAGGGGATTTTATAATAAAAAATTGTTTTTTTGCTTGAAAAATAATAAAATCCAAAACTTACATTGTTGTGTTCAATCATCACCCTCTGACTTTATCTATCTATCTTTCATACTTACTTTTAGTAGCGATTTCTTTCTTTTTATATTATTTATTTATTTAAACCACCCCCTTTGTTGTATTATATATTAACTATACTCTCATAAAAAAAAATGGATGATCACGAACAATATATCATTAACTCTAGATTGATTGATGCTGCCAAGAGAGGAGAAGAGGATCTTTTGGAACAATGTATTTTAGACAAGGAGTTCAAGGTAAACATTAACGCAAAGGATGCTATTGGCGAGTCTGCCATGCATTGGGCTGCCAAAAATGGACACGACAACATCATTCGTATTCTCTTCAAGTACCGTGCCAACCTCAACATCCTCGACAATGCTGGCGAGACTGCAGCTCACAAGGCTGCCTATAAAGATCGTTTGGACGTCATCAAGGCACTCGTTGAAACCAACCGTGTCGATTTGACCATCAAAAACAAGAATGGTCTCACTCCACTCAACCTTGCCAAAGATGAAGCATGTCGTAAATTACTTGTACCAAAACCAATTATTAGTAAATATCAATCAATCTATACCATACATCATTTATATAGATACCTATATTAACACAAAAATGTATCAATCAATCTTTAATTTTAATATTATATAGCTTCAGACGACGAAGATTCTGATGATCCAGAAGACAGTGACAACGAGTAAACAACTAATAAATCCTGAATACACCTATATATATACAATATATTTAAATCAATCATACAACTTATTATTATTATTATTACAAGTACAGGGACAGGGAGAATGTTAATATTACAATTTTAATTTATTTTAATTCAGAGCGGACGAAAGACCAAAACGAATCATTTTCCCCTTGTCATTTTCTTTTTCTCATTCATTTATTGTGATACATACAGATATTAATATCTATAGATATATATATAGATTAGATAGAGAGATAGATGAATGAAGAAGAAAAAGAAGAGTTGGAATTAAATAGAATTCAAGAAGAAGAGGATGAAGATCTATTAGAGGTAGATGACATTAGAACCAATTTAAAGGATTTGAAGATAGTTACAGATGATCAAGACAAGACTTCAGTAATGGAGAGAATCAATAGAGGTGACTTTTTACATATTGCTGCTCCAATGGTTAGATTCTCTAAACTTCCTTTTAGATTATTATGTAAAAAGTAATTAAATTATACAAGAATACTTAATTATCTTTGTCTAACAATCTAACTCTTGTTACTTACTTATCTATATAGATGGGGATGTGATTTAACCTTTTCACCAATGTTATTGGCAGAATCATTTAATCGATCCGAGTTTGCAAGAGACTCTGATTTTACAACTAATCAATGTATGTAGTATGTCAGAAGAAGAAGAAGAGGAAGAGACAATGTACATTGATTGTATTATGTAACTTATACTCTTTTTATTTTTTTATAGTTGACAACTCATTAATTGTACAATTTGCAGCAAATGATGGAGAGGAGTTATCGGCAGCTGTGGAAAAGGTTGCCAATCATTGTCAAGGTGTAGATATAAATTGTGGATGTCCACAGAAATGGATTATTCGGGAGAATATGGGAGCTGGATTATTGACAACTCCAGAAAAGATTGAAGAGATGATCAAGACTACTACACGTAGAATCACAAATATTCCACTATCGATCAAGATACGTATACAAAAGGATATGAGTCAGACTATTGAACTGGCCAAACGAGCCGAACGAGCTGGTGTCTCGTGGATCACTGTACATGGGAGAACATCTTCACAACGGTCATCACACCCTGTCGATTACGATGCCATCAAGTTGGTCAAAGAGTCAATAGGGATTCCAGTGTTTGCCAATGGCGACATTTTCACACTTGACCAAGCCAATGACATTAGAGACAAAACAAAGGTGAATGGTGTCATGTCGGCACGTGGTATACTATGTAACCCGGCACTTTACATGGGCTATGATACAACACCAATCGAGTGTATCAAGGAATTCATCGATATCAATAGTCAGATTGGTGGATTAAATACCGATATTTTCCATCGTCATCTCATGTATATGCTCTATTCAGTAAATAGTAAAGCTGAAAAGAAAGAGTTCAACCTATTATCTACCACTCCTTCCATTATCGATTTCATCAAAGATAAATATTATTTATAAATTAAAAAAAACAAAGATAATATTATCTTTGTTTTTCTTGAAAATTTCACCAAGTTGAAGAGAGAGAAGAGACCATTTTTTCTTCTTCTTCTTCTTATTGTTCTTATTCTTATTTGTTCTTATTCTTATTTGTTCTTATTCTTATTTGTTCTTATTCTTATTTGTTCTTATTCTTATTTATTCTTATTCTTATTCTTATATATATATAAATGGATAATAACAAAAACAACAAAAACAATACTGTTGTAATAAGACAAGTATTTAAAAATAGATACTTGCTAAAAACTATATTCAAACATGCTCATCAACTATCATTGAATCAATTGACTTTTGATGATGGTCGTAGAATTCCTAAACTTTATACATACAATCAATTGACAAGTATTGGTTGGATGATCAAAAATGGGTATATTTCATTACTGCGTAGCAAGATTAATCGAGGTGATTATCTTAAACTGCCAAAGAGTAGAAAAAAGATTCAAATGATCTTTTGTGCAATCAGTGATCAAACATTATTGGATAGAATCATATCATTGGATAAATGGTATTTTTGTCATGATCAAATCATACCATATGCATGTTCAAGTGGTAATGTCAGTTTGGTAGACAAGATACTCAAACATAAATTATTTGGACAAGAGTTTCATCTTCCAATTGACCCCTATTTAATGTTGGATCGAGCAATGGTTTCAGGATCATTAGATATGGTTAGATATTTGGATACAATGGTCGATAAATGTAACATTGCAAAATTGGATTGGGGAGTATCTCATGCATGCAAGACCACTAGTTCAGATGTAGTTAAATACTTTTTGGACAAACAAGTCGGATCTAAAGAACGTAGTAAAGTAATTGATAGTTTTCCATTACTCATTGCATCAACAAACCCACTCCATCCAATCTCGCCATATTTAAAAAGAAATGAAACCTTTTTAAGTAAAGACCATACACTTTCTTTTATCAATACATTTGTATTATTTAAACAAGAGCTATGGGAAGATATTAGTAAAAAAATTCCTTATCTTGACAAATCATTTTTAAGTTACTTTCCAAAACCACTTTTATCAATTCTAAGAGATTACGATAGAGATGAAAAGGTTAAAGAGATACTAGAGAATAATCGTCCTTTTTTCAATAGAATTGGGGATTTACTTGTAGAGATTGGAACTGCAAAATATGGTTCATCTGCTACCATCAAGGCCATTCAAAGCAAAGCAGCTTTAATATTAAAAGGTATTGACGATACACATTGTACCTACAAACTATTATCAAATGCTTTGATTGCTATTGAATTGTTTCAACAAAGATTGATGCTAGATTTAAAGGTAGAGATTGGAGATTTTGCAATTCTCATTGGAGTTGAAGATATAGCTGTCATCAGATACTTTACATCGGCTGCTGGTGCACCACAATCAATTTTAACAGGATATATGAAAGGAGGTTGGAAGGTTAAAAAGGCTCATCAAATTAGATTGCATTATACCTCACCATACACCCCACTATGTTATTATGTAAAATATGCACAACTGGATATGATACAAATGTTCCTTCAATCTGCAACCGATCAAGATAAATCGGGTGAAGTGGCCAACTCTGCTATTTTAACTAGAGTTTTGGTTAGCCATAATATAGAGACAGCAGAATTGGTATTTCAAACATTTGGTAGATATTGGGATACTTTTTTCAACTTTTCAAATGACCATCTTTATTCATTTTCAGTACCATCATCAATGGAGAATAATCTCTTTAAAATTGTATCACAAAAGAGTACTAGTACACTTTCAACAAACGAAATTTTGGAAATCATTGTATCATCTGGAAACTTTAAATTATTTGATTATTTTTCCAACAACTTGATTGAAAAAAACGGCAACATTGATTTGGAACAGTCAGATGTAAACATGTTCCCTTTCAAAAACGGAAGAAAGGTTGCAAAGGGGCAGGTGTTCCCTTCCGGCAAATTGGCTCACACGTTGAAAGTATTTATTGCAACCAATCAAGTTGAAAGATTAGAAACATTCATTTCAATATTTGGTATACAACCTCAATCACAGGAAATCGTAGCCTTGTCCATCAAATATGGAAAACTGGACATCATCAATAGAATGTACCCAAAAGTGTTTGAAACAGGTGAAGAACTTTTACCATGTTGCCTCAAATCATCTCAACTACCAATACTTTTGCTTTTTATAGAAAATTTGATACCTAAACCCACTTGTTTCATTTCTCTTATTGGAATGGCTGGTTCATTTGGAAGAGTAGAAGTGACAAAGTATCTTTTTAAACTTCAAGGAGACAAGGGTTGGAATAAACTTGATTCATCTGATAAAACATGGAATAGTATAAAGTTTATGGCAATCAACAAACACTATATTAATATTCTTATGGTTTTAAATTCAAAACTGCCAAAACAAATCATTCATGCTTTGAAATTAACAAATTCCTTTCTTTTAAAAGGTTTCCTATTAACTCTCAACCAAAAAATAAATAAATAAATAGAAATAATCAAATATTTGAACCAAAAAAGAAAATGAAAATTTTGGTTCTCTAAATATTTGTAAAATATTACTATTATACTATTATACTATTTTATAAATACAAGAACAATGGAGGTTATGTAGAAAAGACTATCGTATGTTTCAACCATTTGGGGTAAATCTTGGGGGTATATATCAAGTATAATGATAATAATAATAATTTCTCATCTATACTCATCATTCATTCATTCCTCATTCACGATCAAATCATACTGTATGCATGTTCAAGTGGTAATGTCAGTTTGGTAGACAAGATACTCAAACATAAATTATTTGGACAAGAGTTTCAACTTCCAATTAGTCCCTATTTAATGTTGGATCGAGCAATGGCTTCAGGATCATTAGATATGGTTAGATATTTGGATACAATGGTCGATAAATGTAACATTGCAAAGTTGAATTGGGGAAATAGATGTTTTTGCAAGACCACTAGTTCAGATGTAGTTAAATACTTTTTGGATAGAGTCAAAACAACTATTAGAGTAGTTGATAGTTTTCCATTACTCATTGCATCAACCAACCCACTCCATCCAATATCACCATATTTAAAAAGAAATGAAACCTTTTTACTAAGTCAAGAGTATATACTTTCTTTTATAAATACATTTGTATTCTTTAAACAAGGGTTTTGGGAAGATATTCATCTTGACAACAGGATAAAAAATACGTTCTTGACCTTTCAAGGTATTGACAGTACACATTGTACCTACAAACCATTATCAAATGCCATGGTTGATATACAATTGTTTCAAAAAAGAATCAGATTGGATAAACGGGCGATAGCAGATTTTGTAATTCTAATTGGAGTTGAGGATATTGGTGCCATCAGATACTTTGCATCAGCTGCTGGTGCACCACAATCAAGTTCAACTTGAAATGTTAATGGATGGAAGGTTAAAAAGGCTCATCAAATTAGATCGCACTTAGAAGGTTGCCTATCACCATACACTCCATTATGTTATTATGTAAAATATGCACAACTGGATATGATCAAATTATTTCTTCAAAATGCAAGCAATCAAGAAATGTCAAGTGAAATGACCAACTCTTCTATTTTAACGAGTGATTTGGCTAGTCATAATATAGATACTGCAGAATTGGTATTTCAAGCATTTGGAAAGTCATGGGACTCTTTTTTCAAATTTAACAATGACCATCTTATTCCATTCTCCAGACCATCGTCAATTGGAAATAATCTTTTCAAACTTGTGGCTGAAAAGAGTACTCTTTCAAACAATTGTATATTGGAAATCATTGTGTCAACTGGAAACTTTAAATTATTTGATTACTTTTTAAATTTGTATCATCCTCCTCCTCCTCTTGCTCTACAAGAACCAAGCGGGAATCCCTCTTGGTTTTTGGTCTTGATCAACAAGAACCAAAAAGGATTTTAACCACTCCTAAATCAATTCCCATTCTTACTTTTGTTGCAACCAATCAAGTTGAAAGATTAGAATCATTCATATCAAGATTGAAGCCACTACCAAAAGCCATGGTAATCGCATCGGTGTGTATTAAATATGGCAAGTTGGATATAATCAATAGAATATGTCCAAAAGATGTGATGAACAATTCAATTGATGAACTCTTTAATGTCAGCCTAGGGTCCTCCCAACTACCAATGCTTTGTCTTTTACTCGAAAATTTGGCTTCCCAACCCACTAGTTTCCTTCATCTTATTGGAATGGCTGGTATTGGTAAGGCTTGTTCATTTGGAAGAGGTGAAATGGTAAGGTATCTGGTTAAAATACAAGACGACAAGGGATGGGATAGTAAACCAGCAGATGATCATTCGATATGGAATAATATTAAATTTATTGCACTTGACAAACAACATATTAATATTCTTGTGGCTTTACAATCCAAACTCCCTAAAAGTCTAATTGATGCATTTAAAATATCCAATTTACCTCTTTTAAGAGGGTTCATATCAACTATAACAAAGAAAAAATAAACGATATATATATATATTTGGTAAATAGATAAAATAGGTATAAAGTTTCGCTCTCCATGATTACGATGAGGTTGGTCGCAATGTAAAATCGGTCTTTCAACTCACACGGATTGGTCGCTACCAGACACGATGAGAGTACCAAATCGTGAATCGCAGCAAACATCTTGCGTGTATTATAACTACTTGCACCATAACACTTCTTGGAAAGATCCAAACAGTCATTTAAACATTGAAGGGAATACATTTGAATTTCAGTGTTGACTGGATACCTCGTCAAGATGCATGGTGGATCGACAAGGTACTTTAGGAACGACATAAATGGGTGATAAAATCTGTCACCACATTGGCAGTAAATCTCTTGATACTGTCTTTAGGTCCACCACTTTAGCACATATTGTAAATGCTTTGATTACGTGACACCTTAATAACCTTGATTCATTTGTTGCAAAAGGTGTTTGATGTCTATCCAGCAATGATAATAGAATTGAAATGATATTTCTAAAATACTAAACATAACAGGAAATAATAATAAATGAATAAACAAGATAAATGAATATATATTATTATTATAGTATGAGATTGGTCAAGTGAGTTTAGTTAGTTACTTACAGGTCCTAATTCTCTGTTAACACAATAATGTACAACTGCCATTAATGGTAGTAATGAATGTTCAACGACATTTAAATTTGGTGATTCAAGTAGTATTTCAAAAAAAACGAGATAATTCTTCCAAAACATTATCATCCATCTTTTGGATTGAATCCGTCATTGATTGAATCAAGAAACAACAACTAGTTTGAATACATTCATTTGGATCACTAGCAGATTTGATAATAACTTGAAATATTTCATCTCTTGATTCAACAAACTCGTCCACCCATGCATTGTGTCTACCAAAGCCAATTAAACATTGTAATGATGCCCATCTAACTTTAATATTTTCATCATCAACTAATGTTGTTAATACTGACCTATAAATAATAAATATATAAATATGGATAAATATTAGAACCCTAGCTGTTTTTTGTAAATATAATAAATAATAACAATTGCATACTTTTTTAAAATAATAGGGTAATGTTGTTTAAAACTACCTTGGAAAAATGTATAAGTTTTAGCTAAACCAATCAACGTTGTATATCTATCTTTCCATTGTTGAGAGTTTAACATGGTGTTGATATGTTTGATAATGGATAGCTCTAAACGTTCACCAAGTGCTGACACGAGTTGACGTATATCTAAATCATCTGAAAACTTGTCAGATTTGTTATAGGTCATGTTGATGCCGATATCCTCTTCTTTATAATAATTTAAGTTGGGAATGCCGCTGATGAGAGGGAAATTTGCCCAATCTTCCAATGACCCATCCTCGACTTGAGACAAACACTCAAACAAATGAGCGATCATTCTTTCAAGGTTACTGTCAGTTGTACCATGATTCACTATATCTATCATATAGTTGCATACCATACTATAGGTTCTTTTAGATGCGAACCCCATTTCACGATTCCTGTCCAACAGTTCGAGCAACGATTCAATGATTGGTTTGGCGAGTTCCTCCGTCCACTCTGGTTCTCTAAACATAGAATTATAGATACGTGCAAATTTGACAACAATCTTTTCGTTACTGTCACAGTGAGTAATGCCATCCAGTTGTTTGAGCTCTGATAGTATATTGGGCATGAATGATCTGTACTCCTCATCCGTAAATCTATTCGTTGCACTAATATAATATATTATAGTCAGTGGCCAAATAATCCACCAACACCTCTAGTGTTGCCGTCTTTTGTTTTGATAACACTGACTTTAATATCCTTGTATTATCTCTTAGTGGTAATGATCCTTTTTCTTCTTCTTCTTCTTCTTCTTCTTCATCCTTGTCTCCATTTAATTGTTAATATTGATTCCAATTCATTCCAATGACCTATCAATCAATCAATCAATCAAATTAATATACATGTTTTTTTTAATTATAAACTATAAGTTATAACCACACATATACATACCTCTAGGTAATAAATAAGTTGCAAGTGTAGCCATGACACCAATCAGATGATATCTACTTTGAAGATTTGTATCAGTTATATTGAGTAACTTGATTGTTTCAACCTTTAGAGCATCCAATATTTCATCAGACAATGATTCGATATCCTCTTTTCCTTTGATACATAATCTATCAAGCAACTGCATTGATTTATCTTTAACCTTCAATGTTAATTATTAGTTATCATCATCATCTGATTGATCTTTATGATCGCTCACAATCATATCAATAATACATACCCTTGTATCAGTTCTATCATTTACTATTAAGTATAGTAGCGATGATACTACTTTAATAATTGATTACTTAAGCAATCTTTTCGATACAGTCAAATTGAGTAAAGAGCCAAATCCAGATTCAATCTTTAGATTGGAAAGCATAGTCTCTCGATCACCTTCATCCTTTACCTTTTCATAGGCACGATAGAGTGAAATAAATGTTGGATATTTGGCAACGATAGATCGTGCTATAATACTCGATATACCATGAACCATTGACAACCAAATCTCTGCGGCGAAAAATTTGTTGTTGAACATTCAACTGTTGAATGACTATAATTATCAACAATATTTTAGCCCTCAAATAATGTTATTTTCTCTCATTGATCACTTCTAACATCCTTGGATAATATCACTCATAGATAGAGGTCAATACTACCACATACAACACTACAATTTGATAGAGAGAGAGAGAATTATTTATTTATTTATTTAATTCTGGTGAAGGTGTAGGATGTGGTAGCATTGTTGGTGAATGCAAAGATATATTGTGAACCAGCTGGAATAACTGGTTTATCACCTACATTTGGGGCGAGACGCCAATGGATGATACCATTGACAGTTGAAGGGGCGAGTTTCCACATACTTACAGGTTGGATATTTGGAGTCGATGTAAACACAGGATTGTGAACAGCAACTGGACTATGGTTGGTGATAGTACCAACCACATTGGTGTAGTTAAATCCTCCTGCCATCCAATGGCTGGTGATCTCCAACTCCAATGTTGGGTGCTGGGGATCCAAGAATCCGATTTGGCAATATCCTGGAAGGGGGGGAGCAGGTGTAGCCATTCCGGTACAAATCGATTTAGTGTAAAGTCCGAAATATTGTCTATGGTAGTAGAATAAGCATTCAGACTGGATGAGATCATACCAATAGTCAGGTACACTAGCTTGACAATCTTCAATATTGCTTAGATCGCACTCTGTAAATGGTGGTGGGTTGTATGTGCTGGTCATCTGTTCGGTGGTGCTGATATAAACCTCGTTGTTGACACCGTAATAAGGATACTTATCCTGGATACGTTTGATTGCTCCATAGAGTGTTGGAATGCCATCTTGATAATACACAAATCTACGACTCTGAACTGGGAAAACTGCATTCCACATATCGACAAATTCAAGGTTTCCTACCATTGGTGATCCAAAGGTTTGGACACTAATATTCAATGATGGATAAATTGTTTGGAGACTCCATGATGCAAGGGCTTGAGAGAGAGAGAGAGAAAGGATAAATTAATGATTATGTTCATTGTTTAGCTGTCAATATGGAGGGGTGGTATTACTTACTAGCTATGGCACCGCCAAGACTATGACCAGTAACCGTAAGATTACAATGTTCATTCTGAACGCAACCACCTTGTTGGAAGACCATTCTCTCAACCTCTGTTTGCATTGTTTCCCATGCTGTGAAGAATCCTGTTGCTACCATGGAGCCAGAGACATTTCCAAAACCAGTTTGTTTATAATCTAAATCTGTGAAGATGTTTGTCCAATCATCAGTACCTCTAAAGATAAGATACTCTAAAAAAAAATAAAAAAAAGATAGAGAAAAGTTTTCTTAAAGGTTAATTTCTAAATTTGAGAAAATATAAAAGTTGAACAACATACTCATATCATTTTGTACGACAAAGTAAAAGAGGACATTATCAACTGTATTACTACTGAGGTAAGTAAAAGAAGGGTCCTCAAAAAATCCATTGGACAATTGATTGGAGCAAACTATACCAGGACAATCCCATTGTGACCCTACTGCATCTGGACAATAGGCAAGATAGCTCATAACCAAGTTATTGTAGGCTTCGGTCCAATCCACTTCAAAATTTGGCACATATTGGGCAGTTGTTGGAGCGATGACCAAGGCAAGGGCGATTAGGGGTAACAAATAAGATAATTTAGAAAACATATTAGATTGTTGGGTGAATGAATATGATTCATCGAGTTTCCCCTTTTTGTACCTCGAATAACCAAGAAGCCCTTTGGCCACGTCAGGATCCTTAACCCCCACTTAGATATTAAAATAAAAACCACAAGAAACAGGATTTGTAACCCTCACATCCTTTATTGAGTGATCACTAGGGTTTTCCTGACGTGGTCAAAAAAAAGTCTCAGCGAGGAGAGGATATTCATTCAAAAAGAATCTGCCTCACTAGGCTCACTTCAGCAACATCTTACTGTGCCCCCACCCTCATATTGACCCTTGATTGAAATTAAAAAGATAAGTTATTGTATGCACAGTTTCCGACTTAAAATAGATTGAAATAAAAAAAAATGACGTCATCATTCAAGATGCCAAATCAATTAGAGTGGAGACATGCCTCCGTTGGATTCCTGACCAAATCAACACACACCTCAAAAAATAAAAAAAAAAAAGTTGAAGTCAAAAATTTACTTCTACTATTCGTAAATCAAAAAATATCCTAATCAATCTTTACAATTTTTAAATTCAATAGTTTGAAATATTCAATAAAGTTTTAAATTAATAATAATATATTAAGTAGGCTGGGGAACATCTCTCGCACACACACACACACACACACAAATATTTGTCGATGATGTTCAACCATCTATTTACGTTATTATTGTTGGTATTGGCCGTGGTTTCGTTGAGCACAGTTCGCGCAGCTCCTCCATCTTATTTCACCTCTATCAACGCACTTTCAACATTCACATCAACCAATTTGACGACGGGTGATGTAATGAGCAGTGTTAGTATCGAGTCTGGACTCGTTATAGATACCTTGCTTGAATGCTCTGGCAACGACTATATTGTCTTGACTCACACCTATTCGAATGGGTACAATGTTACTCGCTTTAATGCTTCGGTAAGATAGGGACAAGATACATAACATCCGATACACTATCTCACTCTTCTCTCTCCTCCTATTCCTCCTCCCTTTAGAGTGGCGAAACAACTTACATCGGTGGCTTTAGTATACCATCGAATCCAATACTTAGTTCCCAATATCAATCATCTAGTATTTCCAATGGACTTGTATTCACCACCTACTGTCCCACTGTAACACCCATGTTGACAATTATTGATTTAGACAATCAAACAACGTAAGTAGTGTGATCATCAATGATACTTTTGATAATCATCATCAAACAATACCAACAACAACAAAAACAACATTAATTAACCAACATTACAAAACTCTGCAGAGAGACAATCACCTTTAAAGGAACCACTTGCGATATGTATGCCTTTGGACAATATGACAACTCTACCCAAACATTCTATATGGTTGGTTGGACTGATAAAAAGGCTAGCAGCCTTACTTTCAGCACCTACTCTATGATTACCAAAGAGATCACCAATGTGGAGTTTGAATATAATTTGAAATACATAGGACATGTCCAAACCATCTACCTCTTTGAATCCCAACTCTATGCTTGCATCATTCAATTTACATATGCTGAAGTCCTCCTCCTCGACTTTGAAACAAAGTCGTACAAGAGCATATTCAAACTCGACATTGCGTTCCCAGGAGGCCAATTTATATTCGATCCAAGAGGATATATTGTGGGAATGATGGTTGAAGATGATCAAGCCCAATATGGTGTTTACACGATCGATCTCCGCACATTGACAACTACACAACACACCATTCCAGTCAAAGACTATCAAACCTTGTCAAACATCGAGGCGGGTGACAATGCGTTCTGCGCCAGATAGATCCCATTGCCATCACCATTGTTCAATAAACAATTCCAACACATATAAAGTTGAACCTATTTATAAAAGTTAGTTAAACAAGTATCTTCACGAGATGACAACCACTTGGCGTACGCATCAACATTTGTAAACTTGTTTGAGTTCTGATAGTAGAGTGGGCATGAATGATCTGTACTCCTCATCCGTCAATTTATTAGTGGTCATTGCATTAATTATAGTCAGAGGTCAAATAATCCACCAACACCTCTAGTGTTGCCATCTTTTGTTTTGATAACACTGACTTTAATATCCTTCCAACAGACTAAATTGGTTTCCTGATTGGTCTGTACCACCCAAATAACACATATTAGTTGTCTCATTGTACGATGATTGTATATACCATCCTGTGCCTGGTAAAGATATTACTTCCCTAAATTAATAATAATGAATAATGATAATTAATTCCTAACTGATCACTCGTTATCTGCTTCTAGCAGACAATAATATTATGCAGATACTATAGTTACTCTTTTTTTTGATTATAATCAAATTTGAGCAATACTGGATATCCTTTAAAATTAGCATTCAAATTATTATTATTTTTGGTGTTGTTGTTGTAAGATTGGCAATAATAATAATAATAATACCTACCTCTACCTTTTTGGACCAAATGATTGGAATATAAGATTCACCAACACAGTAATATTACCTCCAATCAGTAGAAATTCATCGCTATTTGACGATGGTAGTATACCACCATTCAATTCTACCAAATCCGCTCCAGGTATAGGTATGCTTTGTTGAGTGATAAGATAATATACACAAAAAATAACATTATATATAATATTGGTTAAATAATAATATTCTTATTTAATTTTCAAGAAAAATTATTTTTAATTTAGTGATCGAGGAAGCACCAAGTCAACATTAAGATACTTTTAATGAAGACTACGAAGAGGGAAACAAAAGATCTCGGGTGGTTAGATACAAAATCTCGGTAGTGCCAGCAAACAATCATTCATAGAGTGGTATCAAAGGAATAGAAGATAATGAATCATTGTCTGTTGAAATATTGGGTGCTCTAAACCTGTACCTAGAGGTATGTATATGTGTGGTTATAACTTATAGTTTATAAAATACCTAAATTAAACTTTACATGTTTTATTGATTGATTGATAGGTCATTGGAATGAATCGGAATCAATATTAACAATTATAAATGGAGAGAAGGATGAAGAAGAAGGATCATTACCACTAAGAGATAACTCGGTGACTGGAAATACATCATCACACATCATTACATTTGATATTCCTGATAGTTGTTACTTCTCGAGTACCATGTATCAATATAACTCCAAGTTCTATGCTGGACTCTTTGATGGCTCTGGTACTTGTCCATCATTTATATTTGAAGTGGATATTGTTGCAAACACCTCAACATTAATAGCCACCATCCAAAAAGATGACGCTTCTCCATTCGACTCCTACATTTATTTTGTATTCGATAATGTCAATGGGTATCTAGCATTGGTTGCAACGAATGCTCTTGATTATAAAAAGCTCGATATTTGTATGGTCAATCTTAATACCTATGAGTCGACCAATATACTATACCAGACATACCTTTCAAGTTCAATGCTGATCAAGATGATTTTTTAATGACTCTATCTAATTAATAATAAACCAAAAATTTATATATATTCCATAAATACTTGCTTGGACTATAACAATTTTTTAAAAAAATAGTGACTCTTATTCTTCTTTTTGTTCTTTTGTAACATTTATCACATCTATTATTATAGATGGATAACAACAACAACGATATTGTATTAAAACAAGAATTTAAAAATAGATACCTGTTAAAAACTATACTCAAACATGCTCATCAACTATCATTGGATCAATTGACTTTTGATGATGGTCATAGTATTCCTAAACTTTATACATACAATCAATTGACTAGTATTGGATGGAAAGTCACACCTCGCCATACACTCCATTATGTTATTATGTAAAATATGCACAGCTGGATATGATCAAATTATTCCTTCAAACTGCCACCAACCAAGAAATGTCAAGTGAAATGACAAACTCTGCAATTTTAACGAGTGATTTGGCTAGTCATAATAGAATAATATACCAAAAGCCATGGTAATCGCATCGGTGTGTATTAAATATGGCAAGTTGGATATAATCAATAGAATATGTCCAAAAGATGTGATGAACAATTCAATTGATGAACTTCTTACGGTCAGCCTAAGGTCCTCCCAACTACCAATACTTTGTCTTTTACTCGAAAATATGGCTTCCCAACCTACTAGTTTCCTTCATCTTATTGGTATGGCTTGTTCCTTTGGAAGAGGTGAAATGGTAAGGTTTCTGGTTAAATGCAAGATGGCAAGGGATGGAATAGTAAACCAGCAGATGATCATTCGATATGGAATGGTATAAAGTTTATCGCTCTTGACAAACAACATATTAATATTCTTGTGGCTTTACAATCCAAACTCCCTAAAAGTCTAATTGATGCATTTAAAATATCCAAATCACCTCCTCTTTTAAGAGGGTTCATATCAAATATAACAAAATAAACTATATTTATAATTTTTCTAGCGCGGACATATATAAAAAAAAATTAAAGAAAAAGAAATTAAAATGGATGTCTTTGCGACGCTTAATCTTTTTGTTCTTTTTTACATTTATCACATGTATTATTATAGATGTATAATAACAACAACAACAACAACAACAACAATAATATTGTTGTAATAAGACAAGTATTTAAAAATAGATACTTGTTAAAAACTATATTCAAACATGCTCATCAACTATCATTGAATCAACTAACTTTTGGTGATGGTATTCCTAAACTTTATACATACAATCAATTGACAAGTATTGGATGGATGGTTAAAAATGGATATATTTCATTATTGCGTAGTAAGATTAATCGAGGTGATTATCTTAAACTACCAAAGAATAGAGAAAAGATTAAAACAATCTTTTGTGCAATCAGTGATCAAACATTATTGGATAAAATCATAACATTGGATAAATGGTATTTTTGTTACGGTCAAATGATACCTTTTGCATGTGCAAGTGGTAACGTCGTCTTGTTAGAAAAGATACTCAAACACGAGTTATTGCCAAAAGAATATCTTTTTCCTCTTGAACCCTATTTAGTATTGGATCATGCATTTGCTTCAGGATCATTAGATATGGTTAGATATTTGGATACATCAGTCGATAAATGTAACATTGCAAAGTTGGAATGGGGAATATTTCGTTTCTGCAAGACCACTAGTTCAGACGTGGTTAAATACTTTTTGGATAGATCTAAAGAACGTATAAAAGTAATTAGAGTAGTTGATAGTTTTCCATTACTCATTGCATCAACAAATCCACTTCATCCAATATCACCATATTTAAAAGGGAACGAAACCTTTTTAGGTCAAGACCATATACTCGCGTTTATCAATACATTTGTATTCTTTAAACAAGAATCTTGGACACAAGTTCTATCAAGTATGCTTTATCTCGACAAATTTTCAAGTCACTTTCCCAAACCACTTTTATCCATTGTAAGAGATTATGATAGAGATGAAAAGGTTAAAGAGATACTAGAGAATAATCGTCCTTTTTTCAATAGAATTGGAGATTTACTTGTAGAGATTGGAACTGCAAAATTTGGTAATCAAGTTGCCATCAAGATGAAAAATGCAACTTTGGCATTAAAATGTATTGACAGTACACATTGTACCTACAAACCATTATCAAATGCCTTGGTTGCTATACAAATGTTTCAACAAAGAATAGTATTGGATAAAAAAGTGATAGCAGATTTTGCAATTCTAATTGGAGTTGAAGATTTTGGTATCGCCGGAACTTTTGCATCAGCCATCAATGCACCACACTCATGTTTAATAGGAAATGTTAATGGATGGAAGGTTAAAAAGGCCCATCAAATTAGATTGCATTTAGAAGGTTACACCTCACCATACACTCCATTATGTTATTATGTAAAATATGCACAACTGGATATGATCAAATTATTCCTTCAAACTGCCACCAATCAAGAAATGTCAAGTGAAATGACCGATTCTTCTATTTTGACTAGTGATTTGGCTAGTCATAATATAGATACTGCAGAAATGGTATTTCAAGCATTTGGAAAGTCATGGGACTCTTTTTTCAAATTTAACAATGACCATCTTATTCCATTCTCCAGACCATCATCAATTGGAAATAATCTTTTCAAAGTTGTGGCTGAAAAGAGTACACTTTCAACTAACGAAATTTTGGAAATCATTGTATCAGCTGGAAACTTTAAATTATTTGATTACTTTTGTAATTTGTATCCTCCTCTTACTCCTCTTCCTCTACAAGACCAAGACCAAAAACCAAGAGGGATTCCCGCTTGTCACATTTTCATTGCAACAAATCAAGTTGAAAGATTAGCAACATACCTATCACGATTAGAACCAAAACCTCAGATTGAAGCTTTGTGTACCAAATATAACAAGTTGGACATAATAAATAGAATTGATCTTTTAAAATAAATTATACTATATTAATAATATTTGATGTATTTTTACTAGTTTTATTTTTAGGTGATATAGTTGGTTTTGTTATTATTATTCCAATTTATAATAGAATTTTAGTTGTAGTTGTAGTAGTTGTGTACTGGTTTTGTTATAGTTTGTCGACAAATCAATCTTATTAATCCATCATTTCTTCGTTTTCGTTTGGTCTGACCATGCCTGGGATAGCTCTTGCACGGTTAAGGGCAGCTTCCTTTTCTGCGTTTAATTCTTCGATATAAAGTTCCTTGTTATCGACGCCTTCTCCTTGGAATTCCTTCAAATTGATAAGGAAATCACGGACAGCAGATTTAAATTCTGTAGCGTTTACATTGGTCAATGAATATATTTTTTGGACCATTGTTGCGACCTGCTGTCTTGTAACATTGGGCGATGATGAGAGGTAGTTGGTGACAACCTCACGTATATAAATAGAGTTGGTGAGGTTTGGCATCTGAGCGGCTGCTTCTTGGTCAAAGATGGGCACCTTGACAATTCCATTCTCAATGACGATAAACATGGCACGGATAACATCACACTGCAATGAAAAACCAGACTTGTGGAAAGAGTCTGTTAAGATGTAAAGAACGTCGGTCAAAAGTGACACCACATAGGTTGAAAAGAAGACATTGGCAATCTCTGGAACCTTGGACACGTTTTCAATCAATTCCTTTAGAATGTTCAAACCAGTCTCACTAATATTTCTCTCGGTATGTTTAAATGCCCAAACAATACAATCAACTAATAATTTAAATTGTTGTGCTGATAATTTTTGGAATACTATAAAAAAAATAAATAGAAGTTAATAAATTGAAATTATTATTAATTCTTTTTTCTTTTCTTTTTTCTTTTCTTTTTTTTTTTGTTTTTTCTTTTTCTTACCAACAAAAGCATGAGAATTAATTGAACGAATAAGATTAAAGAAATTGATACGATGGTATGGGAAATCTTCAAAGTTCTTTGTAATCATACTAAGAGTACATTCGAAACAAGCTTCGAGGATCTTTGGAATGTCTGGATGAACCAATTGTTTGAGTGATGTAACAATGACAGCCATGAGTGATAATACCTCTGGTTCTCTGGTTTCTGGGGTATTGGTTTGGTAGTCACCAAGGACGGCATCTAAAAGAGGTGGAATGAAATTTTGATAAATCATAGACTTGTCTTCAGATCTTTCAATAAATGTCTCTAAAAGTTTTAATGCCTCCTTTTTCACAGACTTCATACCAAGACCCAAAGAAGTACGTGTTTGATTTGGATTCTTTGACAAGAAACTACTATAGGTACGATAAACATTTAAAAGATCGAAATAAATCTTTGTAATTTGAATCAAATAACATGGACCCAATGATGATGCTGCCTTGTTATTGGTTTTCAACAAATTAACAAATTGTCTTGTAACATCGATATTGTATAAATTTTCAACATTTTCTGATGCTCTATTCATAATCATTTGCCACTACAAAATAAATAAATAAATTAATTAATATTTCTATCTATTTTTTGTTTTTTTCTTTTCTTTTCCTTTTCCTTACAGATTGATTTGGTAATTCCATAAATTTGTTTACCAATTTATCACGAAGTGGAATATCAGTTGAAGAACTAATCATACAACCAACAGCTTCATAAAAGGTGTGAACTTGGTTTGGTTCGAGATCCGAGATGGTGACGTGGAGTTGGTTGAGGAGTTCGCTGATGAATGGGGATGGTTCGTCGACTTGGACAATGACAAACTTTCTCTTGCATTGTTTGGCAATCTTGAGGAAGGTGTCACAGGCCATATCTTGAACACCTGGATGAGATTCGTGCATAAACTCAAACAACTTGTTGACGACGGTCTTGAGGAACTTCCAGTGATCCTTGAGGAAACGTGGGTACTGCCCGACAATGTACATAATGTCACTGGCAATGACAGCCTTGTTGTCCTTTCCACTCTTGACCTGGCACAGCTCAAGCAACTCTTTGATGACGGTCACGAGGAACCGCTTCTCCTGCTCCTTGGTCTGCGACCCGCTGATCGAGCCGATTGCCCAGCACAACGTGTTGATCTTGCTAAACGACCACTCGCGGTTCTTGACCAACATGTCCAACTTTTCCAACATGATGGACTGGGTGTTTTCAGCGTCCAAGTTGGTGAGGAAGACGAGTGTCTCACGCATGCTCTCGTACAATGTCAACGAGTCAGTGTCCTTGGTCATCTCACGCACAATGTTGCCTTCCTCGTCTTCGACGACAATGACTTCCTCGGGCTTGGCCATCTTGCTGATCAAGACGGTACGTACTCTTGCCAAGATGCTCTTGTACAAGAGGAGACGTGGTGGTGTGGTCAACAACGTGTACGAAGCATTGTCTACGTAGAGGTTCTGTGACAAAAAGTTCCAATACTCGAGACAAATCTTAAAGATCTCGACATCGTCCACGTTGGAGATGTTGATCAAGTAGTCGTGTGCCAATGTCAAGTATGGAATGTTGAGTGGTGATTCCATCACCTTGAGATGAGCTCTAAAGAATCCAGTTAAAAACATTGTCAATTGATGTACAAAATCTTGTTCATTCTTGTCTCCATCTTCGTATGCCTCTGGAATTGATGCTAAATTTTAAAATTTAAAAATTAAATAATCTTATTCTTTTTCTTTGTCTTGTTTGTTTTAAATTACATACATGGTTTTGGAATGATAACTTTAATTTTGTTCATAAATTGATCAATGATATGAACGAAAAATGAATCATATTCTGAAGTAAGTGATAGTGACCCAATTTCAGTTAAACATTTTAATGTTGAATTTCTAAACATTGGTTCTGGGAAAAACTATAAAGTAAAATAAAGTAAATTAATGGTGTGTCCCCATTGTTGTGGAATAAATAAATATTTGTATATATTTAACTTACTTTAAATAATAATAATTGAACCAACATGGATGGTTCAGGTATTGCGCTATCTCTATTATAAAGATAGTGTAGAGGAATCCATGAAAGGAATTTATGTAAAGTGTCTAAAGTTGCTTTGATCAAGGATGGTCTTGTAGCATTTTCAAGAATATACTGGCACAATTGATTAATTAATGAAAATTCCTATTAAAAAAATATAACAATTATTATTAGTCGTTGATGATCATATGTTTTTGTTTTTGTTTATATGTATGTTACCTTTTCAAAACTTGATTTCAATTGAGCAATTTTAGATTGAGTCATTTGTTCTTCGGAAAAGTTGAATACTTCTTCAGAGAGTAATCTTAAAATATTCATATTGTTTTCACAAAGTGATTCATTGGTCTTGCTACTGCTGACAAGTTCTGGAATAAAACTAGACCAGTGATTTGGCCATTCTTTCTTTAAAATCTATTAAATAAATAATAATTAATTAGTATTAATCCCTAGTATACTGGCCATTTCTATCTATCTATCTACTTACGTGAACAAAGATAAGATTTAATTTGTTAAGGAAACCTTTTTCACGAGCAAATGAACCAGCATCGGAACTGATACGAATGATGACACTGACAATATAGTTTTTGATACCATCGCATTGTTCTCTTGGTAAAGCTCTCCATTTGAACTTGATGAGCGACTCGAGAATCAAAAGTGCATAAAACTTGGTCTCTTGTGATCTCGAGTGTTCAAGAATCGAATCAACCTTCATCCATGAATCTGGGTGCTCTTGGAATTGTCCCAATACTGTTTGTGCCATTTCTCTCTACAATGAAAATAAATAAGTACAATGTGTTTCGTTCGTTTTGCATATATCATCTGCTCAGACGCTATGTATATATTGTCGTCAATCTATCCTTTTACATACCTCTGGAGATTTAGAGTAGTACATTGCATGAACTACTTGATCCAAAAGATTGACATCAAGTGGTTCGTTAAAGTTTAATATTCTGTCCATTGTTGTTGATGTTGTCTTTTTTGTTTCTTTCTTTCTTTCTTTAGTTGTCTATATGTAGGTGATGTGGTTGGTAAGCGGTCTGTAAAGGTAGTAGGTAAGTTGACAACAAGAGAAGAAGAAGAAGAAAAGATAGGACAAAAAGAGAGAAGAGATAAATTAGCTTGATGTTCAAAAAGCAAGAGATCATCAACGAAAGCGATGATGCATGCGCCCCAAATCTTTGGAGGGAAAATTATTTTTTTTAGAATTCTGTTGCTATCTCGTGAAACAAGATCTCTTCTTGGCAGTATGTATCAAAAAAGATATCGTACGATATCCACTATATCTATCACTTGATCAATCAAACAATACAATAATAATAAAACAAACAAGATAAATACTTTTTTTTTTTTTGTATGTTTAGTTTAGTTTCTCTCCTTCTTGTTAAGTAAAGTTTGTATGTACAGTCAAAGTTTTAGTTTTAGTTTTAGTTTTAGTTTTAGGTTAAATTTAAAGTCAAAAGTAGTTTAGTTATGTGAAGTTCAAAGTTAAGGTAAAGTAGTTCTTTTTCTTCTTTCTTTCTTGTATAATATTTGTAGTATTATCTCTTTTGGTAAATTTTTGAATGAACTAGTTGTTCAAGTCTCTTCGACTCATTATCGACTTTTCACGAAAATTAATTTTATTTTATTTTATTTTTTATATTTTATTTTTTATTAAATTTATATATAATTTCTTGAAACCCTTTTATTATGAAGGTGAGACCATCTTGTCTTGGTCATTTTATAATTTCTATGTATATCTTAAAATATTATACTTGTTCATTCAAGAGATATTTATGGCAATAATAAACTAACTGATTTTATGGGCGACAAACAAATCGATTTCATTGCGAGCTCTTTGGGAATTATTATTATCATCGGACCAACTTGGTTCTGTTCATTCTTTTAAGAGGAGATTAGATGGGCTGAAATAGACTCTCGACACAATACACAGATACAGATACTACTTGCAAGGTTTGGGAGATCTATCGACAACCCCCCTATGTGTGGTACGTACAATGATCATGGTTGGATGGGATACCATCCACCCCTACCCACTGACCCGACCAAATCATCGTATACTAATATTACTCTACTCTCAATGTTGTTCAGTGAATAAGTAATGAGTAGCAATAATAATAATAATAATCATCAAAATGGACGATACACTTTATTAAATAATAATAATCATGATAATGATGATGATGAACAACATATAATTGTAAACGATAATAATAATAATAATAACGAAACATATAGAGAGAGAGGTCAAAGGACATCAATCGATAATAATAATTATTATAATAATAGTTTTGGATCTCAATCACCTCCATACAGTGACGACAACATGTGCGATGATCATGAAATTGGTGATATCGACGAGACTGAACCTTCTTTACAAGATGATCAACATGTAGTTGGTGCTAATGGCAATAATGTAAACAATTCTAATACTAGAAGGAGAAGATGGAAAAGGAATCCATTGGCACCAATAAGACATAGATCTAAAATCAAAAGATTATTGTCAACACGTGATGATAGAGTACCAACAACGGTGGAATCACATTTAAGAAGATGGAAAGATATTTATAACCAAAAGAAAACAATCAAACAACGAAAAGAGACAAGATACGATGTTAAATTATTACGTCGGTTGGGATCGATTATATCACTACTCTTTTACAACCCATTGGTGCCTATTGCACTGATAGTTGTGTTGTTGGGATTGGCAGTATCGCAGACGTATACGTCCAAGTTTACGGGAGAGTTTCTCGGGTCGGTCTATGCATCACTGTTTTCAGGTGACAAGCAAGAGTTTAGAAAGTCTGCTATCAAAGGACTGATGATTCTCATCTTGTCGGCAGTGTTTGATGCCACCATTAAAATGCTCAATGATATGTTGGCGTGGAGATGGAGACACACCCTAGTATTGACAATGCAAACAAGGTATTTTTCAAGGTCACTTTATTATCGTCTCATTCAACTTGACGACAGTGTCGATAACCCTGACCAACGTCTCACCGACGATATTGACCAATTCTGTCAGTTGCTATCGACTATTCTGTCACAGATGATTACTGCACCTCTCACGATCGGATACTATACGTATTTGACGTGGACGGGCATCGGATGGTACGCACCGGCCATTGTAGGAGGTTACTTTATCCTCGGATACATTATCACCAAGCAAGTCATGTCTCCACTCGTATCGTACTCGTTTCAACAGGACCGGTTAGAGGGTGATTTCAGATACCTACATCTGCGAGTACGTACTTATGCCGAGAGTATTGCTCTTCAACATTTGGCACGTCGCAGATCAACCGAACCAACAGCTGTAGAGGAAGCACAAACTCGTCACCAGTTTGCAGTACTCATGCACAACAAAGTGTTTGTCATTGGGTTCACATATCTTTTGAACCTCTTTTCAGACCTCTTTACCTATCTCTCGCCACTCATCAATTATTGTATCATAGCTATCCCCATCTTTCTCGGTTGGCAATCCTCCATATCGTCGACCAACGTCACCGAGTTTTCCTACAACTGTATCATGTTGGCTAGTGGTTTCAGCCAGTACATCAACGTCTCCACCAACATCTCTCAAATGTCCAGTTACATTCAACGTATATCCACCATGATTGAATCATGTGATCAACTCTACATTAAACAACTTGAACAAGACAAGGAAAAATTAAATAATATTAATCATCATGGTGGATCATCTCCATCAACACCATCACCAGAAATGATTCATTCAATTCAATTAGATATTAATAACATTAATAATAATAATAATAATAATAATAATAATGTTGTTGGAAAATTAATTGTAAATTCAGATACTGAATCAATTAGTCTTGACAATTTATCTTATTATACACCAAAAGGAAAGATATTATATTCAAGTATGTAACAAAAGAAAAGATAATTAAATATCGATACTTATATTTTTTGTTTTGTTTCTTTTAGATGTTTCATTTAAAGTTGAAAAAGGAAATAATTTATTAATAATGGGACCAAGTGGATGTGGAAAGAGTTCATTGGTTAGAGTTATTAATGGATTATGGTCACATTATACAGGAACTATTACTCGACCATGTAACAATCGATTATTCTTTCTTTCACAACAACCTTATTTGATTTTTGGATCTTTGGAAGATCAGATTGTCTATCCCTACACTGTGGCAACTCATAGAATACAACCTGATGAATTGAGAGAATTATTTGATCGATTGTCGATGGGATATTTAATCGATAGAGAACAAGAGATAAAGAGACGTGGTGATCTCAACGATTTGACACACAATTGGCTTAATCAATTGTCACCTGGTGAACAACAAATCATCAGTATTCTCAGAATGTTTTATCATCGACCAATGTTTGCAATGATGGATGAATCAACCAGTTCCATTCCACATGCAACCGAGGATCTTGTCTATCAACAATGTCAACAACTTGGAATCACCGTATTATCAGTTGGACATCGTGAATCACTCATCAAACATCATCAACAATTATTATTATTTGATAATGATTTAAATTGGTCAATTAAACAAATTAACCCTAATAATAACAACATACCAAGTATAACGACACAATAAATAATTGAAATCTCGATTGTATTTAATTTATATATATAAAGACATAAATTGATTTAATTTATTATGATTATAGGTAATGATTGAAAGAAAGAAAGTAGTATCTATTTGTCTGTCTATCTGTCTTTCTGTCTGTCCATTTGTTTGTTTTCCATTCTATACTCCATCACATACACATATTCTTATGTCTTTCGTAGTAGTACATGTAATGTATATGTTGTTGATGATTAGTTTGTTTGATTCCCATTTCCCCCCAAAAAAATTATGTGATTTTAAAATACATGTTTCAATGTAAATATGTGTTGATTATCTATCTATCTATCTCTATCTGTTATTCTATTCTTCTATTAGTGTTTGTGTATTTGTATGTTTCTTGATTGTAAATTGCCATATATATTTATAACTTTAATTTAAAGGTAACCACAACATTTGTTCATTCTTTCAGCATTTTGCATGAATGCCTTTGATTGGAAAGATAAATCATCACTCTTCATGGCAATGTCTTCCAACTTTTCTCCACGCTCACCCAATTGTTGAACGGTCTTTTTGACAATGGTAATGGTTTCTTCCAAGTTCTTTTGGAGACCGAGCATTGGATCAGCCTTGTGTGGGTCTTGATAGGTGGCAATGAGTTGTGGGAGTGAAGGTAACTGTAGTTCAGTGTCGGCACTGATCGATTTCCAACTGCTCTCTGAAAAGGTTTGGTGGAATTGCTCCAACACCAGACGAACCAACTTGTGTGCAACTACACCTGGGTATTCAGAGTCTGTCAATACTGCACAAGCCAATCCCTTGCTGTCGGCGGTTGCATGACACACCTTCTTGCTCTGCTCGTGCTCCATGCTGACACGTTCACCAATGTTGGTACGCTCGACAGTCTCTCTCAACACAAAGAGGGCTACTTCCTTGACCGACCCTCTTTGGAAGAATCCAAATGACGATACTTCATATACAATCGTTAAGAGTACCGGTTTACTTCCTCTAACAACTTTAAATACTGATATTGAATAAACGTACATGACTCTCTACAAAATATATATATAAATAACTACTACTATGTTCTTTATCTTCTTATCTTTTAAAAACTGGTGTTCTATGTTGTTGTTATGTTATATGTAATGTGTGAATAATAAATAATAATAATAATATATATAATAATAATAATATAAACTAATTATAAAAATGTAATAATCGCGATGCGTAGTGGTGTGGTGGTGAATATTCTTCTCCTAAAAAATAATAAATAATAATAATATTATATTGAATTTTCTACCCTGTTTGTCCAAGACAACAACTTTTTTTCTTCTTGACTTTTTATTATTAAAAATAATAATAATTTATATCTTTGAATGAATGTTAAAAAGATAATGAATGAATGAATGAATGTTTTCTGGGAGGTGTGATGAGTTTAGTTTAGTTTATTAATTTATTTATGAGTCATTAACACTCGATTTTTATTTACATCGTTTTCTTGGTGTGTTGATTCTCTCTTTGTGTTCCCTCATTAAAATTAATGAGAGGAGAGCAGGGTTTCCTCTTGAGCTATTTTTTTTGAATTTTTTTCAAAAAGTTTGGGTGATCCCTCTCTGAGAGGTTCATTGTTGAAGGTCAGGCGCACCCTACAAACAATCTATATCTATCTTACTATTCGATAAATAGATACCACCGACATCACATCAAAATGACTGTATGTTTAGAGCAATACAACATGCAAAAGTAGACAATGAATGAATGATACATTTCTGCCGAGACGACAACAAACAAATCATGATCATTCATTCGTCTATCTCAAACAAAAGAAACGAAAGATGATAACTAACATTACTTTTTCAAACTACCTACACCTATAATACATACAGAGTAATTTACAACCAATTCCAATCATGAATCAGAATGCATCTGAAGAAAGAGGTGAAATTGCTCGTCTTGTAAGTTACAAACATAGACAAATAGATCAAACTAAAAAGAAAAGAAAACTAACATGATTACCTTACATTTACATTATACCACCACTATTACTACTACTACTCGATTATTATTACTCTACTACTATGTTATGTTATGATTGATTGATTGATTGAATTTTCATTAACATTATACACCACCTCATACATATTATGGAACATTGAAATGATTGGTTGATGATTCGTTTATCTTTTTTGATCTTTATATATTCATTGTCGCACGATTCAATAGTCATCATTTGTTGGAGCAATTGCATTGACAGATTTGGTAAAGTCAACATTGGGACCAAAGGGTATGGACAAGATCTTAATGTCGATGAGCAACCCAAATGAAATCACAGTTACCAATGATGGTGCTACCATCCTCACAAAGATATATATTGATAACCCAGCTGCAAAGATTTTGGTCGATATCTCTAGAACTCAAGATGATGAAGTCGGTGATGGCACAACCAGTGTTTGCGTACTCGCCGGTGAGTTGTTGAGAGAGGGTGAGAGATTGATTGCCCAAAAGGTACATCCACAAACCATCATCGAAGGTTGGAGATTAGCTTTGGATGCTGCTCGTACAACTCTTTCACAATCTGCTCAAGATCATTCTTCAGATAAAGGTTCGTATATATATTATTACCCCAAAAAACAAACTTGTATATATATACTAACTTTAAATATTCTTTTATACTTTTTAGTAAAATTCAGAGAAGATTTAATAAATATAGCAAAGACAACATTGAGTTCAAAGATTGTTCATTCTGAAAAGGAACATTTTTCAACCATGGTAGTCGATGCCGTCCTCAGACTTGGTAACAGTGCCAACATCAATTTGGACAATATTCACATTATCAAAAAGTCGGGAGGTTCGTTGCGCGACTCCTACTTGGACGAAGGATTCATTTTGGAGAAAAAGATTGGTGTCGGATGCCCCAAGCGTATGGAGAACCCCAAGATCCTCATTGCCAACACGGCCATGGACACTGACAAGATCAAGATTTTCGGAGGCAAGGTTGTCGTCGACAGCATGGCCGAACTCGGCAAGTTGGAGGACGCCGAGAAGCAAAAGATGCTCGAAAAGTGCAAAAAGATTGTCGACCACGGCATCAACTGCTTTATCAACCGTCAGCTCATCTACAACTTGCCCGAGCAGTACTTTGCCGAACACGGAGTCATGTCGATCGAACACGCCGATTTCGAGGGTGTCGAACGTCTCGCCCTCGTCACTGGCGCCGAGATTGTCTCGACCTTTGATCACCCCGAGCTCGTCAAGATCGGTACTTGCAAGCTCATCGAAGAGGTGTTGATTGGTGAAGACAAGGTCATCAAGTTCTCTGGATGTCCACAAAGCCAAGCCTGCACCATCGTCTTGCGTGGTGCCACCACCCATATGCTCGAAGAAGCCGAGCGTTCCATTCACGACGCCCTCTGCGTTCTCTCGGTCACTGTCCAAGAGACCCGTACCGTCCTCGGTGGTGGTGCATCCGAGATGTTGATGGCCAAGGCTGTCGACGAGCTCGCTGCCAACACTGCCGGTAAAAAGGCACTCGCCATTGAAGCCTTTGCCCGTGCCCTCCGTCAAATCCCAACCATCATTGCCAACAATGCCGGTTACGACAGTTCCGACCTCGTTGCTCAACTCAAGGCCGCCCATCACAAGGGTCAATCCCAAATGGGTCTCAACATGAAGGATGGCTGCATCGGAAACAGTCAAGAAATGGGTATCATCGAATCGTTCAAGGTCAAACAACAAGTTTTGGTATCTGCCCACGAAGCTGCTGAAATGATTATGAGAGTTGATGACATTTTACGTGCTGCTCCAAGAAAGAGACAACCAATGCAAGGTCATTAAACATTGAAAAAATAATAATATATATTAAAAAAAAATCAAAAAAAAAATAATAAATAAATAATACACGTATAAAATTTAAAACAAAAAAAGATATATAAGATAATATATATATATATATATATATTTATATCAATAACTATATAATATATCCATTATTATTATCTAAAATATCTTTGATTTCCTTTTTTGGTATCATCCAAAGATTTAATTAATTTTACAATTTTTTGGCATTGTTGTGTTTGTTTGATTCATTGTTGCATTATTTATTGAAGATATACTATACTATACAATATATATATATATATAAACTATATATTAAATTGAAAGATGAGTACAAATAATATATTATTTTCAGTTAAAGATAAGGTAGCATTGGTTACAGGTGGAGGATTGGGAGGTATAGGTATGTATGTTGGAGTGATCATCATAGATAGATAGAGATAGATCAACTGATATTAATATGAATAGGATTGATTGAATGATTGATAGGATACTCAATATCACTAGCATTGGTAAAGAATGGTGCCAAAGTATACATTGCATCAAGAGATAAAAAGAAATTAGATGAATCTGCAAAGCAACTAAATTCAATTGGTCCAGGTTCATGTATAGCTATAGCTGCTGATCTATCAAAACAAGATGAATGTAAAAAGTATGTGTGAAACATATAAACATATCTATCTACAGATATATGGGTTCATTTTGATGTTAATCAAGTTGATATTTTAGGGTAGCAAAAGAGATATCATTACATGATAATCATTTAGATATATTGGTAAATAATAGTGGATGTAATTGGGGAGAAGAGATAGAGACATTTCCAGATCATGCATGGGACAAGGTAATGAATTTAAATGTAAAGGCTGTATTCAATACAACGGTTGCATGTCTACCATTGCTACGTGCCAATGCCACCAAAGAGAGTCCTAGCAAGGTTGTTACGATCGGGTCAATCGACGGTATCAGAGTACCATCGTTGGAAACCTACTCGTATAGTGCTAGCAAGGCTGCAGTACACCAATTGACACGTACATTGGCCAGTCGACTAGCAGGCGACAATATCACAGTCAACGCAATTGCCTGTGGCCCCTTTTACAGCAAGATGACCAAAGCCACCTTTGACAAGTTTGCCGAGGTCATCACCAGCGGATGTCCTCTTGGTCGTTTTGGTAATGACCGTGATCTCGAAGGTATCATCCTCTTTCTCTGTAGCAATGCTTGTAATTATATGACTGGTGCCATCTTACCACTTGAAGGTGGTATATTAATAAGTTCAAATCTTTAAAGAAAGATAGAGATAGATGTGTGAGAAAGAGAGACACATATTCATTCATTAATTGGCCAATAATAATAAATACTAATAAAATAGTTTTTGAAATTGGAGGTTCAAGCAAGGTTTTCCCTCCAAAAAACCTGTTTTAAATTTATTTTGTGTGGGGTGGAGCTTTTCAAAAACAACGGAAAAAAAGAGGGAAGTGCACTGAGATGAAGGAGAGTTTACCAAGCCCACCTCATTTTGTTTTATAAATTATTATTATATATAAATTCACACCAACACCCAAAAGAAGAAGAAGAAGACAAGTCTTTAGAGAGAGAGAGAAGACAAGACAATACAAACAAAGAAGTAGAAAGAGACATACAACTACTTGGAATATTCAAACCATACTCTACAATATACAACATACAATATACAATCGATTCTAGAATACAATACAGCACAATACAACAACCATGCCAGCTAGTCCACACTACTCTAACAAATATTATGACAACCAATACGAATATAGGTATGTGTCTTGGTTGTGTAGAAGAATACAGATCGAGGAACATACAGTAATACTAACGATGATTGATTGATTGATTGACAATGCTAACCTATATATGCGATCGATCAACACATATATAGACATGTAATCTTACCAATTGAAATATCGAATCTCATTCCAAAAGGAAAGTTATTGACAGAGGATGAATGTAGAAAGGTTGGTATTCGTCAATCCGATGGTTGGGTACACTATGCCAATCACAAACCAGAACCACATATCCTTTTATTCAGACGCCCTCATTCTGGTCCAATTCCAAGTGACGTTGATTATCTCTAAGTAAATCAAATAGTAATAATCAATAATAATAATACAAAAAAATAACGATGATAACAATAATAATAATAATAATAATAATAATAATAATAATAATAATAATAATAATAATAATAATAATATAGAATATAGAATACATATCAATCCAAAACTTAGAATAATTCATACCAACCAACCATATCCAACTTATCATTAATATTAATAATAGCAATAGCCTTGTAATTAGAAACACAACAACCAACCAACCAACCAACCAACCAACAAAATCAATCAAACAACCAAACAATCAACCAAATCAACAACACCACTTAACTACAAAACAAACCAATGTTTATATAAAAAAAATAACAGTTTCTGAGTTAAGTCATCATTAACCAAGTTACAACTTTTAGACATTTTCCATGGAACAACCCGTATTCCAGTTTTCTTTTTTTTTCCATTTCCAACAACCAACCAACCAAACAAACATATCCTCATCCTTAATAACCACAATCAATCAATCAAACAATCAATAAATAACTAAATAGCAATTTATTAAATAAATAAGAAATAAATAAATAAATCGATAGTGTTAACAACAAACAACATACAACAAACAACCTATTCTTTAATGATTCTTAATTAGTTTATATTTATATTTAAAAGGGATGATATTTATTTATTTCTTTTTTTTAGAATAAAGTATCTTCGTCTCTCAAATATTCACCAACATCACAAATATGATAAACTACCATGGCAGTTGGATCCAACTTTCTACAATCTTGAGTTGATTTTGAGGTGGTACCAAATCCAATTGGTACATCATTCATTGAAAATAAAACAACACCTTGATTGGCTGGTGTATCTTCTGTGATTCTACCCATACCTGCCTTTAATAAATTATTTCCATACAACCAAGACATTTCTGATTGTGGCTTGACCCATACCTTATACTATATTATATTATATTGAATGACGCGGAATGGAATGATTAGTAATCTAGACTAAAGGGTATATCATATTGACCTTTAACATATATATCTATTGTATATATTTACCTTGGCATATTGAGCTAAATAATCTAAACAAGTAATTTGTAATTTAAACTTTCCAGTCTTTGTAAACTTTCCAAAACATGTACCCAAACTTTGAAGTGAATCTCTTGGAACGCTTTGTGCCTTCTTCATAGTCTCTTCATTTACATAGTATACTTTATTCTTTTGTACTCTAAAACAATGTGCTTCATCCTTTCTTTCAATCAACAATGATATATTTCTTCCGATACTATATAAAGAATGCAAATAAGTAAATATGTTTCTATAATCTACTATATATCTATCTATCTATCATCTAGTCTATCTAGTCTATCTACTCGTCTCTGTGAGTCGGTCTTACAATTTAATAAGCTTCTCAAAGAAAACCTTTGTTTCTTCCTCTGTTAATTTTCTCATTTTCTATGTGTATATGTATATGTATGTAATGTATAATAAACCAACTCTATATATATCGTGTATATGTATAGAGACTGTTGTGAATAGAAAGAGTAAGTATAAATAAAAAGTAAATATGATAAATAGTAATAATAATAATGCTAGCAAAAAACGACCGAGTGACACCCTCGCTCAAAATTTTTTAAACGTCCAAATTTTATTAATATCAACAAAGGTCCTCCTTTCTTTGTTGATTTGATTCTCTCTCTCTTATCACAAACCATTGTATCATTATTTATTTAAAATATAAGAACTACACTTGACCCAAATCAAATTGTACACAGCATAGAATAGATCAATCACACTCACCAACCAAATAAATAATACTTCATGAATTTGGGATTGGGTGTGACTTTGAAAAATATGAAACAATTTCGATTATTCCTATGAATTACTATACATCTATACGTACATAGTGTATAGTAACATTGATCAATGTATATATATTAATATATTACTCTGACTGTGATCCCGGGTCAGTTGGTATTAGTCTATGCGGGCATTCATTTCTTTCGTAATTTATGAATTTTGACAAAATAATCACAATTTTTTGTTTTTTTTGAGCGAGCCTGCCTGAGCATGCCGTCCCTCTCGAGATTATCAAATTTTGCTGGGAGACCTATCTCTGCTTATCGATAACGTTTCAGGTATGTCATAGAGAGACAGACAGGAAGAAAAGAGAATAGTAGATAGGAACAGTTAGTTAACAGATATCTCATCATTCACACACACTTTAACTATAGATCACAATGTCCACCACTGTTAAGCAAAACTCAACTAACCCAAGACCAACCGTCAGACGTTCAAATATCGCTGTTGGTTTCAACAGAGGTCACCCAGTTGACATCAGAAAGCCAGTCGCCAAGAAGACCTCTGTCTCCAAGAGATTACCAGTCATCCGTGACCTCATCCGTGAAGTTGCTGGTTTCGCTCCATACGAAAAGCGTATTCAAGAACTTTTGAAGTCTGGTTTGGATAAGAGAGCCCTCAAGGTCGCCAAGAAGAAGGTATGATAGATATAGATTTGAATAAGAGAAAGAAAGACATTTGAGTATTAACAAACCTTTATCCATCATCACTATTATGATACTTATAGCTCGGTTCCTTCCAAGGTGGTAAGAAGAAGAGAGAAGAAATGGCTGCTGTCAACAGAAAGTTCAAGTAAACACTTTAGCAGTACAATAAATCGATCTATATCTCAAAAAAAAGAAGAATGGACATTGGAATATAATTCAATCTCATCTCTCCAACAACAATCAATCAATTATTATATATCGATTATTACTATCTTGGGGGTACGACAACATGTGACCTATTCCATTTGAATGTGGAATATTGATGATCAATCCAAAAAAAAAAAGAGTCACCCTTACTCTTTATTCTGTAAATCACAAATGGGAGTTTAGTTTCTCTACTCTCTATCAATCAAATCTATCAATCTATTCTATCCTATCAACTATTTATTTACTTTAAGTTCTTATTCTTCTTTATTTTTATTTTATTATTTTTGTAGTGTTGTACTTTCTTGATCCATTTGTTGTAGTCTGACTGTGCACTGTTCATTCCATTTCCCCACCTCTCTTCTCACTCCATATGCACCACCATCTGTTCTATAGATCACCACCACCACGATCGTGGTGTTTTATATCCATTCATCCCATTCATTGTTTGTGTCTTTAAACATCTAAAAGTTGGTGGTTTAAAAAAAAAAACTTACAAAGTGTGTCCAGTCCCACCCCCCCATCCATTATTACATTGGGTGGGGACTCTAAAGTGGGAAAGGAAGAGAGGAGGAGCGTCACTATAGGATTGTTGTGTTGTGTAAATTCAATTCACTTTAAAATTGGATATCATCTATACATATCATCCAGTCAAGCCAGCCAGCCAGAACAAATATATTGTTGTTGTTATTTATGGTGGTGTTTTGTTTATACGCTCATACCCTACCCAACTTTAAATAATCCTTTCCTTTTTTATATATATTTATTATTATTTATTTGTTTTGTTTGTTACACCAACCAATCTCTTTCCAATATATATAACACCTAAAATTATCAGAGAAAAGAATAGATTTATTATTGGTTTGATCAAAAATCACCAAAAAAAAAAAGGAAATGAGGAGAATATTAGTTTTATTATTTATTTTATATAGTTGTTTGATGATAAATAGGATAGCACTATCACATGAAGCTGATACATCGGTCAGTATTTTGTACTTGGATAGTAGCAACATCGATTCGTTTGTCACCAAGGGTATATGGATGGTTTGTTTCTACGCACCTTGGTGCAAGCATTCCAAGGCATTCGAGCCCGTCTACCACGAGTTGGCACTGCTCTTAAAGGGTCATGTCAACTTTGCCAAGATCGATTGTATTGCCGACCCAGCTCTATTACATCGTTTTAAAATTGTTGCCTATCCAACCATTAAGTTGTAAGTAAAAACAAAAACAAACATATGATTTATTTATTTTTGGAATGATGATGTTAATATATTTATATTTGGTTAGGTTATTCGATGGACAATTGTACGAGTATTCAGGAGACCGAAGTATACCTTCATTGTTGACATTCTTGCAAACTGGGTACAAGGAAGCTACCCCAACACAATACCCACATCTTTCGCCACCACCAATCGAAGAGGGTGCGCAGTTTGTCGAGCGTGGGGCAGCTGCACAGTCACAGCATCAGCAACAAGAGGGTCCATCGACCCCTTTGCCAGTGCACCCATACAACCCACCCATGCCAGCATACCAACAGTACGGACAAGACGAGCAGGCAATCGAGCAAATGACCCTCCAAAAAAAACTATTGGAACAACAAAAGGAACAACAAAAATTACAAGAACAAGAGAAGATGAGACAACAATATCAAGAGCAATTCCAACAACAACAAGCTCAACAAGCTCAACAAGCTCAAGCTAATCAACAAGCTCAACAAGCTCAAGCTAATCAACAAGCTCAACAACGTGCCCAACAAGCTCAACAAGCTCAACAACAATCCAATCTCCAAGCTCAACAACAAGCTCAACAACAATACCAACAAAGACAACAACAAGCTCAAGCTCAACAACATGGCCAACAACAACCTCCACAACACCATCATCATTATCCAGCTCAACCTGTGAATCCACAACACCAACACAGACAACCTCAACAACATCCACCTCAACATGCTCAACAACAAGCACGTAAACCATACCAACCATCAGAACAAGCTCAACAAGCTCAACAACAACAATCTCAACAACAACAATCTCAACAACAACAACAATCCCAACAACAACAATCACAACAAATTAGTAATGAACCAAAGAAAATTGATATTGCTGGATGGATGGATTCCAAGATAATGTATGTTGCATTGGGAGGAGCAGCCACTGCAAGTATATTGATGATTCGAAAGAGAATTCGTCAAAGAACAAAATTTATGAAAATTGCTTAGAAAGTAGTACTACCTTTGTTCAAGGTAGAGTACACGCCAATTTAATAATAATAATAATAATAAATAAAACTTCTTTTAAAATAAATTTAGATGATTAATAATAAATAAATAGTTTGTTAATCCTATATATATTTTGATTTTAATAATTGTACATGTATGAAAAAGTATAAAAATACAATCTTTTAAGGAGGAGGAGGAGGGGGGGCCAATTCAATCGAGGAATTGCAGCGTTGGTTAATAATAATAATATAAATATGTCGTTGATCAAATTTGATCATATTTGTTCGTTCGTTTGTTCGTTTGTTTGTACAATCGTTAGGAGGGATGGAGAGGAGTAGGAGTAGGAAGATACTCTTGGGATATTAATTAAACAATCGCGGTTTTTTAAGTTTGTATTGGAGTTGGAGTTATTGTATTCGTAGAGGATGAAGAAGCAGCATTATTATTATTGTTATTGTTGGATTTAGATGATTTTGAAGATTTCTTTTTACCCTTGTTGGATAATAATAATTCATCTTGTAGCCATGAGAAACCTTCTTCAACACCTTGTCCAGTGATTGCACATGATGCAAAGATGGTCCACTTTCTATTTACAAGTTGATTCAAACCAAGTTTCTCTGATATCTCATCGACTGGCATTGCTCCAACAATATCACATTTGTTTGCAAATACCAATAATAATGGTTCTATTATACAATCATTTATACATTAGTAACAATGGACCAATATATATACATGTGTATAAAACAATAATACATACCTCTCATTTCAGGATCATTCAATACACGATATAATTGTTGTTTTGATTCTTCTAATCTTTCTCTATCGCTACTGTCAATGACATAAATCAATACTTGTGTACCAACATAATAATGTCTCCAAAGATTACGAATCTAAAAGAAGAATTAGGAATAGATAAGATAGGTTATATATATGTTAATGAATGAATGATTGAATGAATGGTAAATGACAATGCAATGATACATACCTTATCTTGGCCTCCAACATCCTATATATATATACAGTATATTTGGTTTGGTTGTTTAAACAAACATGTTAATATAAATAATCCCGATACAAAATGAAGAGACTCTACTACTACTAAGTAGTCTATATCTATCTATCTATCTATACATACCCAAATAGTGAATGAAGTATTATGGAATTTAATAGTTTCAACAGTGAAACCAACGGTGGGCACTGACGGCACACTCTCTTTAAGCTTGACACGATAGAGTAGCGATGTTTTGCCTGCAGCGTCCAAACCCAACATCAACACTCTAGTCTCTTTCTTTTTACTGAATAGTTTTGACAATCCTTTACCCATATCTTTGTTGTTCTTCTCTTGATCGGTCTGTTCTTCTTCTTGAATCTATCGATACGTAATATGTAACTTTTAACAAACTATACTCTTAGTGGTGTTTGTGCAATAAAACGTGTCTGTTGAACCCTTGAGTAATTCAGGACTACTTCTTTGCAAAAAAAAAAAAAAAAAAAAAAAAGACACCTCTCTCTCTTTGTGAACAACTCTATTACCATCCATCACATCATAGTAGTAATATATAGACCCATCAACAAACACCTAAGGCAACATTGAAAGAGATAAACCAATTCGCAGAGCACTTCAAGTTGAAATAGAAGAAGAGGATAAGACGTGGAGAGAATGGTCAAGGTCTACACTACATGGAATTGTTTGTACCTTAACATTTTATTTAAAATCAGCTAATTGGTGATCTTTACATCTTCCAGTTAAATGACGCTTTGCAGAGATAGAGAGCCAAAAAGAGCTGTATGGACAATCGCATCGGTATATACGACGAACGGAATTCTCTTTGATGTCTTTGTGGATATCAATTATTCTAAAGAGTAATGTATTGGTGTTTAGGTTTAAACTAATCTTTTTAATACTATTTCCTCATTATACAGGTTGTCCCTCTTATTCAAATCATTATGTCAGTCCCATTACGGAGTGAGTGTGAGTTGGGTGATAGCAAGTTGCTGCTATTTTCTGCTATTTCCTCTCACCTCACACTCACTCTAGATAGATAGATAGATAGATGCATGACCACTCCTCAGTTTAGTTTAAGGTTATCAAATTAATTGTATAAAATCAAATATAATCAAAATATCATTACTATCAATATTATTCTAATCTATCTATTTAATATAAAGAGACCAAGATTATCCAACCAAATTAACTATATTCTGGACCAGAATTCAAATCAAGATTATGGTTAAGCCCTCTGGTAACAAAGTTTTTTAAAATTTGCAACAAGGTTGTGTTTGTTGAAACAGAAAACCCAACCTATCCTATCAAACTGGGTAGTGATTATCCTGTCCTGTCCTGTCCTGTCCTGTCCTGTTTAGACCATTCACTAATCAGTGTTTTTGTTTTTTAATAATAAATAGAATTGACTCTGACTCGGGTCATTGTCCCATCCTTGGTGAGAGTGGGGAGGCCAGGCACCAGTGACCCTTCGTCTGTCTTTGCTGTTTTTACAAAAATTATCTCATCTGAATTCATTTATTATTGGGAGAGAAAACAGAGTAGAGCATTCAAAATCTTACCCCCCGTCATGTTTATAAACACCCATTCCTCTTCCTCACCCCTTTTTTATCATCTTCATCATTCTTCACTTGTATATATATTTATTTATTTGTTTATATTGAAGAGATAAAAAGATAGATAAAGAGAATGAAATCAACTATATCAATATTATTATTACTATTCATTGTATCAATAGTAGTAGCAGTAGATAATGGATGTGAATCATATATGAATTATCCGGCCGTCACTATTGACAAGTCTGTCTACACTACATCTACTACCAACAGTGTCTATGTGTTGTATGTGAACGGTGGTTATTTGGCAATCAGCCAGCAGGCTGCAGGCTCACAAGCAACACCATCCAACACAATCATCCAAGCTAGCTTTAGCGACGACATTGCAACTACTGGTTGGGGCAGACTCAACGTCACATCGTTTGGTGTAGTCAATGATGATTGTCTACAAACATATTTGGGTGGTTACGTTGAAGGTATCATGACGGCAGAACGTATCAATCAAATGTACACAAATTTCGCAGCCGGAGAATTCAAAAATAGTACTCCCTCTGCAACACTCTTATCATTCATGTCTGCACAATTGGCATGGGTACGTAAAGGTGTTGCAATGTTGGAAAGTGACTCTCAACCCGATTTAACTCATCCTTTCAACTTGGATGATGACGACCAATCATTTGGTGAATACAGTTATTCGATCAACTCTACGATCTATTGGCACTCGGTTAAACTGATCATGGCACAGTTTGATGGTATTGTAGGTGGATACCAAGCAAGTACTTTTGGCCAATCAAATGTAATGAGCCAAATGCAGTTGTATCTGTTGACATCGGCAGGCGACTTGCAAACTTTAAACACATTGTATGGGGAACCAGCTGTCGAGAGTAAGAGTGGACGTATGCAGAAACACTTATTTAACGGGTTCCAAGACATGGATGGGTACGATGACGACATTGATTTCCTCGATTGTTCAGCGTTGGTTCGTTTACTACCGGGTAATCAAGACGCCTATTTTGCACACACTACATGGCGTTACTATTATGGAATGATGCGTATCTACAAGTTTTACAACTTTGCATTACAACAATTCAAGCTCAGTTACCACGTGTCATTCTCGTCGTCGCCAGGTTTCCTCTCGAGCAAGGATGACTTTTACATGACTGGTGCTAATCTCGCCGTCATGGAGACCACCAACAATATCTACAATGAAACACTCTACATGTTTGTATTGCCAGAGACACTGTTGGTCTGGCAACGTGCTGTCATCTCCAACATACTCGCTCAATCAGCTCCCTCTTGGGCACTCACCTTCCAACAATACAATTCTGGTACCTATAATAATCAATGGATGATTTTCGATTATAAATTATTCTCTCCATCTCAATCATTACCTGATAATACTTTTTGGGTTCTTGAACAAATTCCTGGTTATTGTGAAATGTAAGAAAAGAAAAATGAAACAAAAAAAAAGAAAAAAGAAAATAATAATAATAGTTAATTATTTATTAACTTTCTTTTGTTTATTTATTTTAGGCAAGACATGTCACAAATATTAGACAAGAATCAAGTATGGCCATCATATAATATACCATATTTTGAAGAGATTTATAATATTTCAGGGTATCCAGCCATGCAACAAAAGTATGGTGATAGTTATAGTTATCAATCTTGTCCGAGAGCTTTGATATTTGGTAGAAATGCAACCGATATTCAAACATTTGAAGGTATGCAAGAGATGATGCAATACAACTACTACAAATATGACCCACTTTCTCTTGGAAGTCCATCCAATTCTATTTCATCAAGAGCCGATCTACTACCAAACCCCGTTGCATTCGGAGGCGTCGACTCCAAGATCACATCTTCTCAATTAATCCAAACACTTTCATGTTCGGCCATTTCAGGACCTACTCATCAAGGTCTACCTTATTTCCAATATTCTTCCAATCCTATATTTAATTCTACTTCTCATATTGGTTTACCTGATATTTGGAATTTTGATTGGGTTTCTTTTTAAAATGAAAATAAATAATAATAATAATACAATTTGAAAAATAAATACTCTAAGAAAAGAAATACTTTTATAAACATATGTTTGATGATTGATTGATTGATTTTAGGTTGATTAAATAAATAAATAAATAATAATAATGAGTTTTATTAGAGATGGCAATTATTGTTGATTATTTTAGAATAATAAACCAAACAATGCAATGATGGAAACAACAATCATGGATGAGATGGTTGGAGTGGTAATAGAGTTGGCAGCACTTCTAGCACAAATACCAAAGGAGCCATAGTCAAAGTCTGGAACAATACATGGATTGTTGATTGGCTTCCAATAGGCACATTGGCCTTGAATAGAGCAAATATGTTCACGACAATGTTTCATAACACAGGACTTTTCTGAAACTTGAATGAATGGGAATTGACATTGATTCTCAATGATACACTTGTCGAGTTCACCTGAAAGAGTGGCACATTGGGTCCAAATGTCGAGGTCTTTTTGGAAATGAGTTACACATTGTCCGTCGGTGGTGTTTCCAGCAACACATGTACATTGTTCAAATTCGGCCAAACAGTTGTTTCCACTGACCGAACAATTGACGCTTGGGCCAGTGAATTCTGGTTTGGTGCAAACTTCGTTGATGCACAAAAGACCAGCTTGGCATTGAGCAGTGTATTCTCCTCTACCTCCATAGAGTTTCTCAGAGAACTCGTTACATTGTTTACCCTCAGTAAGAGAGAATGGTTCAATACATGTTTTGTTGTAATTGGAAGGGTCACGATCGGCACAAAGAAGGGTTTCATCACAAGCCGAATTTGCTTTGGTGCAGTCTTCTCCAACAGCGAAACGTTTTTGGCATCTATGATCAGTACCATTACACCAATATCCAAATGCACATTGGATACTCTAATGAAATTAAATAAATAAATGGATCATTTAAACAACAATGATTTGGTTGGTTAGTAAGGGAAAAGACTTTTAATTAAATTTAAATGTACATACATCTATACATTGATATCCTTCTGGTGGAGCATCTGGTAGACATGTGCCTGAGAATGGGTCACATGTCAAAGTGGGTAAACAGTCAGATCTGGTTTGACTATATTTAAAAAAAAAAAAAAAGAAGAAATTAACAAACCAAAAGTTTGGAATTTTTTTTTTTACATACCAATCTTCACCAAGAGCAGCAAAAAGAACGATGGTGCAAGTTCTGTTTGAAGAAGAAGGGACCAATGCTGGCTCGTTTCCACAGACTAATCCTTCTGCACATCTAGCGTATGGGGTATCACATGGTTCTCCAAGTTCTAGATCTTTGACACATGTCTGTAAATTAAAAAAAGTTAGTTTTTTTTTTTTTGGAAAAGGATTGATTGATTGATCAAGACAATATTAATGATTTGAACTTACTCTTGCTGGGATTGGTTCAAAAGAGTCTTCTCCAATATCAGCCAACAATGAAGGGAGAGCTGAACCACTTCCAGAAGGGCCAGCAGAAGGGCCGGCAGTAATACCTCCAGAACCACTGCCTGAACCACTTCCAGAGCCTGAACCACTTCCAGAACCACTACCTGAACCACTACCAGATCCACTACCTGAACCACTTCCTGAACCACTCTGATAATATGGGTTTGGGGCACAATGATATCCTATAATATTTAAATGACAAATTGAATTTATATTAGTTAATCTATTTTTAATCATCATTCCTTTTGTTTTTTATCATTATTTACCATATTGACATCTTGTCCATTCGTTGCATGGGGCACCTTCTACTTGACATAATTTAGCTCCGTTAGTTTGCTCACATCTTTGAGCAGCTGACAAAGCTACACAAGCAACTAAAAGAACAAGTAATAGAATAAATTTAGACATTATTTGTTTCTATTGAAATTTATTTGTTAACAACAAAGTGATAAACAACACTGACCGGTCTGAAATGGTCATCAAACTTCAACCGCGAGAGTGATCGAAAAATATCCTAAAAAACCTTGTTTTTTTTTTGCGGATCGGGATGAGATTTTCCATGAACTTGTTCAATTTGATGAATGGTGCATCGTTGGCAAGCCAGAGATCCGATCCTCGCACACAAAACTAGATTTATATCTCTTGTCTAAATTTATACAAAGAAAAGAGGTTTTTATTTGAATATCGACGGTTTTTTAAATTAAATTAGTAATCCGATTGCAAAGGTTAATACAATCATAAACAACATGGTTGTTGGGGTGATGGTGTTGGCAAATGAGGTGTTTCCACAAATTCCATAGTCTTCATAGTCAAAGTCTGGTACCGTGCATCTAACATAGATCTCTGGGTCATAAATACACTAAAATAAATAAATAAAATTGAATTGAATAAATAAATAATTTGATATTAATATAGATGGTATATGTACCTTGCTTTGAATTTCACAGGTAATGGAACCACAGTGACGCATCTGGCAAGATTTGGGAGATGGACCATTGACATTTAATTCTGGGAATTGACATTCATTCTCAACGATACATTCATTGAATTCCTTGGCGAGACTGGCACACTCTTGGGCGATAGTCAAATCTGGTTGAACTTCAGCAACGCATTGACCAGTAGTGCTATTTCCACCGACACATTTACATTCTTCATAATAGCCACATGATTTGGCTTCAGTTGAGCAATTGTAAGTTGGTTCTGTCCAATTTGGTTTAGCACAAATACTTTCAATACATAAAAGACCTGGTTCACATGCTGAAACATATAATCCATGGAATCCTACAAGATATTCATTCTCATTATCACAAGTATTACCTTTAAATTAAAAATAAATAAATTAATAATTATTTAAAATAATAAATGGAGACACTAACCTTCAGTTAATGTAAATGGAGCAACACATGTCTTTTTGTAGTCAATACTGTTTGTCATGACACATTTAAGTGTTTCTTGACAAATGTCATCATTATCAGTACAATCAGATCCAACTGGAACACGAGCTTGGCATCTGTTTTCAGTTCCATTACAAAAATATCCAAATTTACATTGTAAATCCTTGAATTAATAAAAAAGGGGATACATTAATATATGTTTAGATAGATATCAGATGATCAGCTGATATAAATAGTAGAAGGGTACTTACGCCAGTACATTGGTATCCTTCTCTAATGTCGTCATCATTTAATTTGGGTACGCAAGTGTCACTGGCTGGGTCACATTCAAGTCCTGGTGCACAATCCATCATATATTTACTACATTTATATTAAAATGAGAGGAAGGGAAAAAGGTTAGAAATAAAGTAAAAACAGAGAATGGTCAATGTTTACATACCAAGTTTCACCAAGTCTAGCCCAAAAAATGGCGGTACAAGTTGGAACCGTTCCAGGCCTGGTATAACAAATAGCTCCTTCTTCACAGTCACCACCATAACATATTTCACCAATTGCATACTTCTTTTGGCAAATCTTTAAAAAAAACAAAAAAAAAAAAGAATAATTAATTTAATTGATGTTAAAATTGTTTAAAATATTGATAGATAAGATAGATAGAATCATACTCTTTCTGGAATTGGTTCAAATGATGAACCTCCAATGTCATCTAATACAGCAGTTTCTTCCTTAAAGGGTGAACCTGAACCTGAACCAGATCCAGATCCACTTCCCGAACCACTTCCAGATCCTGAACCACTTCCAGATCCCGAACCACTTCCAGATCCACTTCCACTACCCGATGAGACATATGGATTACGAACACAATTGTATCCTTTAATTATCAAAAAAAAAAAGTAAAATAAAATAAAAAATAATTAAAAGGTTAGATTCTATTTAATCACTTTTGGATTGTTATATCTTTTTTTTTAAATCTATTCATACCTAGTTGACAAATTGAGTATTCATCACACTCTTGCCCTTCTGATGCACACACCTTGTCAGCATTTGTATTTTGGCATGCTTTGGCTGAAAATGAAACAGCAACTAGTGAAATTAAAACTAGAGAAAATAAAATTAATTTATACATTATTATTATTATTATTATTATTTGTTAATAATAAGAGTAAATAAGAAATTGTATTGATCAACTAAAAGTCGTAAAGAGAGAGACGGCTTCGATGGGCAGCTGATCAACCAACCAACAATGAGCCCGAAAATCGAAAAAATTAAAAATAGAAGAAAGAAAATGTTTCATAGCCAATTTATTCTAAATTAGGCAACCAAAGCACTGATATTCGACGAAAACAGATTTTTCACACAAATCGGTGATCTGAACCGTTTGATGAAACTTCGCCTTTTGTGTGAAATAAATACGATGTGATGAACTTGGTACCCATCGTTTATCTACCCATTTAATAAAAGAAAAACTGTTACCAGTTGAATATTTAAATATTTCATTTTATTTTTTTAAAGTACAAGTGAGGAGATGATCATCAAGATGGAAATAAAGATAAAAGTTGGTAGAATGGTGTTGGATGAACTACTACAAGTACCATAGGATTCATAGTCAAAATCGGCATCAAAACAATTATATGGGAGGTCAAATTCAGGTACTGAACATTTACCTTGGATCTCACATGCCGATGCACAATTCTTGATCATACACGATTGAGAATACACTTGGTTGAATTCAAGGAATGGAGATTGACATTTGTTGTCAATGATACATTGATTTAATTCTGCGGTGAGACTGGCACATTCTTGAATGATCGATACGTCTGTTATGTATTTTGGTACACATTGTCCCGTTGTGCTATTTGCTCCTCCTTGACAGATACACGATTCGTACTTGTTACAGAATGAATCGGATGTACAGTTGATTGATGGCTCTGTCCAAGTTGGTTTGACACATGTGTTGTCTGGACAGAGAAGGCCTGCTTGACATGGGCCTGTGTATAGACCAGACTGGCCATCGAATATCTCGAAACGGTCGTCACACGTATTACCCTCGGTCAATGAGAATGGTTTAATACATGTCTTTTTGTTATCAATGTCATTGGTAGTGACACATAAAAGAGTTTCTTCACATGCCGACTCTGACAATGTACATTCCTCTCCTTCTTTTAATCTTTTCTCACATAAATTAGTTGATGTATTACAACGTAATCCAAATTGACATTGAGAATCCTAAAAAAAAAAAAAGAAAAGTAATTTAATATTAAATAAATAAATAAGTGTGATCAATCAATCAATCAATATAACTTACCATTTCACATTGAATATCTCCAGCTAATCCAGTTGGTTCACATTTTTTATCTGGAGAACATTCTAATCCTGGTTGACAATCAGTATTTGTTTGACTATAGTATAGTATATGTTGATGGAAAAAAAAAAGGTATAAAGTCAATATTGATCAACGGTTGTTGTTGAAGATTAATTAATAAATTAAATAACATACCAATCTTGAGAGAGAGATGCCCAGTAGATGGGTTGACAAGTAGGGGTTGGGTTATTATTCATTGTATTTTGGTATGTTCCAGGTTCACATTCGTCACCTGGATACCATCTGTCTCCTTGTTTGAGATTTTTGATACAAATCTAAAATATTTCAAAATATTAAATATTAATATTAGTTTCAGAGTCTGAAATTGATTTACTCACAGTTTTTGGAATTGGTTCAAATGATCCTTGACCATCAGCCATCACAGATTGGTCACCACCTGATGGAGACGTGGGATTTGCACCACAAAAGTAACCTTTGGTACAAATATTAAATATTAATATTTTATGTTTGTTGTTGTATCTAATATCTATCTATCTTTATCTATATTCACATACCTATTTGACATACAGAGTCAAGATTATCACAAAATTGACCTTCAGCAGCGCAGATCTTTGAGTTTGGACTAACAAAACATTGTGCTAAACTAGTACGAGCTACACACACAATGAAAACTAAAAGTACGATTTTAATCATCATCGTCGTTGAAAACTATCTATCTATAAATAAATATAAATAAATATAATATAAAAATATAAATATAAATAATGAGTAAAGGAGAGAAGAGAACTATCGTTGTAGAGCGATGGTCCATTGAATCGATAGACAGACGTTTTTTTAAAGTGAGACTTTTTGCAAAAATCTGGTGGGGCTGGGATCACTTTTCAAATTTGACAACGTTGATAAATAATATTAAAGTAATAATATTATTTAAAATAATAAACAATGAATGAGATGGAGTAATACAATCTGTCTGCCACATTTCCTTCATCACGTGTATAAGTTTTTTGAACACAGGATCTGGTTGGAATTTCACGGAGAGCAATGCAATCATTCTTAAGACCATGTCGGGTTGCCACCAACATGTTGCAACTTTTCATAATTATTATTATTCACTGTAACTCTCTTTCTCTCTGGTTCTATGCAGACACTTGAAAAGAATTACTTAAAGGCTCCATCCCAAGCGGATTTGGAACAACTAATTCTATCTCTGTCTATCTAAATGAATGTCATGTAAACTAAACATTCATAATACCACCAACACCCACTACTCATATGTTTTGCTATGCTGTTAGATTGATAGATTGATATATATATTAGTTAGTTGGTTGATTGATTGTAAGGAGGAGGGGGAGGAGTTTCAGTTCTAGAACACATAAATTATTTATTTATATTTATAATACAGAAGAACACAAGGATGCTCACCCAAACTCTAGTTGGGTACAGTAAACTTTAAAAAAAATTTAATTTTTTTTTTTTTTTTTTGTCTTTTCGAACCTCATGAGACTAGAGAGAGTGAGACTTGGTCAATCTATCTTGAACAACAACAACAAGTCAGCCAGTAGTAACATAATACATCCAACCTCATAAAATAACAAAGAGAGAGAAATAGAGAAGAGAAAGAGTTAATAATACACATTCTTTAAAAAAGACACTTTTGAGTATTTTTAAAAGAAAAAGATTAACCAAGTTCTAGAACCCAACAACATCAGATCATTTTATATTGGATAGTCTATACTTGTATTTACTTGTCTAAACTACTACTATCATAACAACAACTACTACGTGTATCTGTCTATCACTTTAAAGAGGAAGAAGAAGAAAAGATACAAACCTTACCAACCACGATAACAAAAAGAGTAGAGAAGAAGAAAGAAGGAGGTAGAGAATGGCAGACGACGATGATGATTTATGCCCTCTCTGTTGTAATGTACTTTCAAAGGATGATAGAAGATTCAGACCTTGTCCTTGTGGATATCAAGTAAGTAATAAATATATAAATTGAATTGTTGTCGACTATTCCTATCTATCTATCTATTTTTAAGATCAACAAAAAAGAGATAGTAGTAGTAGTAGTAGTAGAGGGAGAAAGAGGAAAGAAAGAAAGAAAGAAAGAAAGAAAATGATTCGATCGAATTGTCTAGAGTTATCTAATTGATACCATCTTCTCCTTTTCTCTCTTTCTTTCTATCAATCTATCAATCAAATTAGATATGCATTTTTTGTTTAGAGAAAATTAGAGAAACAGAACACAATAGATGTCCTGCATGTCGTCAGACCTATGATCAAGACAACTTTGCATATCTTTCATCCGATGAAGAAGATGAAGAGGATAGCGAAGACGAGAGACGGTCGAGACGTAGAACATCGACATCATCAACGAGCAACAACAACAACAACAGCAGCAGCAGTAGTAGCAGCCACACCATTTCATCTTTAACAACATCAGGCTCATCTATACCGTCAGACACTATAAAGAAGGCTTTGAGTACTGTAAGAGTTATTCAAAGAAATTTGGTCTATGTTACAAATCTTGCAATGGGTGTTGCAAAACCAGAGGTATGTGATCACAATATACAGAGAGAAACGAGGAGTAGGATGGGATAAGAGAGGTAGAGAGATACACTTTCCCCTTTATCATCACAACGAGAGAGAAAAAAAAAAAGATATACTATATCTAATCATTCAATCATTCTCTCATTTAGACATTAAAAAAGAATGAATATTTTGGTCAATATGGAAAGATACTAAAGGTTGTAATCAATAAGAATCATATTTACAATGCCAATTCACCCCATGGTGCATGTGTAAGTGCCTATATCACTTATCAAAGAAAGGAAGATGCCTTATCTGCCATTCAATCAATTGATGGTGCTACCGTTGAAGGTAGAACATTAAGGTATGCAATTTAGTTCACAAGATCAAAGTTGATTGGTTACTTATTATTCTTTTTTTTTGTTTTTTTTTGTTTTTTTTCTATTTTCAAAGAGCATCATTTGGAACAACCAAATATTGTTCCTATTTCCTTAGAAAACTTCAATGTAATAATCCAGATTGTATGTATCTCCATGAATGGGGTCAAGAAGATGATAGCTTTACAAAGGAAGATATGACAAATATAAAGTATGTAAACAAAAAAGACAGATATTTTTTTCTTTTTTTTTTCAAATTACTAATTATAATTACGTATCTATTAGTCGACTTTATATTGGTCACAATGAACCAGCTGTTGTGATTTCACCAACAGCAGCAGTTGCAGGTGGTCAACCACCCTTGTCATCCAGCACTCCAGGTACTACATCAACATCATCATCTTATAAAAAACCAATTTCCTTGTCAACATCTAATTCATCGACACCAACCAATCAATCATTATCATCTTCAGGTGTAAGTAGTAGACACAAAGTAGTAGTAGATCAATAATAATAATAATAATGGTTAGTTAATATTAATAATTTAATATTCTTCTATTCTTTTTATAGAAAACATGGAATATTACAAATACACATTTATCATCATCATTAAATCCATTGGAATGGCCATCGGCATCGGATGCATTGACCATGAACTCATCCACTTCACCACCACTTACTAAATCTCAAGAGAGACCATTACCATCCAATTCATCGTGGGGATCAGGAATGAGAATGTCATCATCTACAGTCAAGAATTCGCAAGACGACATGATGGAAGGAAACCCTATGGGACCATCATCGGCATCATTGTTGGCAAGTTCTGGTAACAACATACCAACATCATCACCATCTGTTATTGCCACCACACCTGCACCTGTCCCTGTTGTTGTAGTACCCGTTCCATTACCCGTTGTTGTTCCCATCCCAGTCCCAACTCCACCACCTATCACTGTTATCACTACTCCACCAACTCCAACTACCAATGTTATTAATACAACCAGTAGTAGTAGTAGTAGCAGCAGTAATATTACCAGTACAAGTACAACTACTAGTAATACAGTTACTACTGAAACCAAACTTATGGTTAATAATGCACCACCACCATCTTCATTCCCACCACTTTCATCTTTGGGTGGTAAAAACAAGAGAGATAAATCATCAAAGGATCCTTCATCACCATCTACTGTTTTATCTCCAGGTACTCAATTGAAAAAAGAGGAAAAGGAAAGAATAGAAAGAGAAAAACTAGAAAAATTGGAGAGGGAAAAGGAGAAGCAATTGGAAAAGGAGAGACAAATGGAAAAGGAAAGACTATTGTCATTGGAAAGGGAAAGACAAGCAGAAAAAGAAAAAATGTTGGAAAAGGAAAGATTGGAAAAGGAAAAACAATTGGAAAAGGAAAAAGAGAAACAAGAAAAGGAGAGATTGGAGAGATTGGAAAAGGCAAGATTAGAGATTTTGGAGAAAGAGGCTGCCGATCTGGCCATCCTTCAATCCATACAACCAACCCTTTCATCATTGCCAATGTCAATTGGCGGCCAAAAGAATATGGTCAACAAGAGTCACACCAACGACATTGTTGAGCCCATTGCCAACTGGGAGGGGTTGATTCCAGATGACCAGCCCACCGACATTAACTTTGACTGGTTACCAATCAAGGGCAACAGTCCTCAGTCGTCGACCATGATTGACTTGCTCCTCAACACTGAAACCCAAAAACCATCCGAAGGTAGAAGAAAGACATCACGTTTTGAATTTGCCAAGGAAAAGGATTCATCCAATCAACAACAGCAACAACAATCATCATTCCTTCAAACATCACCACTTATTGTACCTGAGAGTTTCCTTTCTGGATTCAAGTCCAATGCATCATCTTCATCTTCATCTCTCAACAATAGCAATAGTAATATATTATTAAACAATAGCAACAACAATAATAATATTTTGAATCCAACATCGTCATTGATGGAAAACCTTAGTCTGTCTATGGAAAATTCATTTTTATCAAACCAGACACCCAACTCGCCCACTACTACCACCACCACTACTACAACCACCACCAACATCCTCGACAATACCACTACCACGACTACCACGACCACCTCTACTTCGTCACCACCAGGTGCCACGTTGGAAGATTCACAACAATTGTTTAGATCATTGTTCCCATCGATCAACATTCGTTTCTCCAACTCGAGATTGTCAGAGACTAAAATGGACTCACCCTCCTATGTGGACAGCTCCAAGCAAATGCATCAATTCCAAGACCCAGCCATCATTGGCGGTGGAAACGGTGACTGGAGAGGACCAAGTCTCCACAAGTCTGGCAATAGCATTGTATCACCACCACCTGGCTTTATGATCAATACCCCACCACCAGGTTTTGGAGGTGCCAGTGTAGCATCTCCACCACCAGGTCTACCACCCGGTTTTGGAGGTGTCGTCAGTCAACCACCAGGATTACCACCAGGTTTTGGAGGCGTTGTCAGTCAACCACCACCAGGATTACCACCTGGTTTTGGTCAACCACCAAGCCAACCACCAGGTTTCAATGTCGTTCCCAAACAACAACAAGAAAATGGAATGGATGAATATTTGGAATTGGAAAAAACTAAAAATAAGGAATCTAGGAACAAAACTAAAAAATTAAATGAAATCAATAACAATAATAACAATAATAATAATAATGGTAATAATGGTTATATGAATGGTGGTGGATCATCATCACCACCAATAATGAATGAAGATCAATTACAACAACAACAATATATCCAACAACTTTTACAACAACAAGCTCAACAACAACAACAGCAACAACAACAAGCTCAACAACAACAAAATATAACTCAACTTTTACAATTACAACAACAGCAACAACAACAATCAAAAAGAGTTGATGATTTGTTTTCAAATATTCCATCCCCATCCAATTTTTCACAACCAAATCAAGTTCCTCTTTTCCCAATGAATCCACCCTATCCATATCCAAACATGATGAAACAACCTCCACAAATGAACCAACAACCTTTTCCATACTCTTTTTCAAACTTTTCATCACCACAAAGACCACAACAACCACAACAACAACAACAACAACAACAATTAAATAATAACACTAATAACAAAAATTTTACAGAATTTATTGGTCAGTTTGATCAACAAAGGGTCAATGGGATATCAAGCGCAGACGAACTTTTAAAACAACATTTTAATCAACAATTACAACAACAACAACAACAACAAAACATGGGTAATTTTGAATCTCTTGATCAACAAGTGATGAATGCAAGTAAGGAAGTTAAAGATTTGGAAAGTAAATGGCAACAAACAAAATTAAGAAATAACCAAGCCTATTATCGATAAAATAACAATAATTAATAATAATAACAATAACAAATTAAAAATGATACATACACACATATAAAATAAAAATTATAAATATTTAAAAAAAAAAAAACTAATAGTAGTTGTACTAATAATAATTTAATTTTATTTATTTAGTCTAGCAATTAATTCACCTTCAATAGTTGCAAGAAGTAATTTGATAGGTAAACCAGTTGGTCGGATGATTGAAGTATATTCAACGATTTGTTCTTCATCTCCACCAAAGTCGGTATTGTTTTGAATAAAGGTAGATTGTTTAACATTCAAACCAACACGTACCAGTGATTGAGCCAATTGATCTTGGTTTGGTGATTGAGATATTTCATAGGCCTCTTGGAATGAGAAATCCTTTTCAGTGGATTCTAAAATCTTGTAGAGCAAGTGTGCCAAATTAATGTTTCTTCTAAACAATGATTGGATTTCTTGTTTGTAGAGATTGAAATCCTTTTTCCAAACTTTCATTCCTTGGGTGGTGGATGAATCAACTAATACCTTTTTAGCCTCTTGTCTTGCTTGACGGGATTGAGCCTTGTTGACAATATCCTTTAATAGAGTACCAGACTTTTCAATCACTTGATCCTTTCTTCTATTTTCAATCTCTTGTTGAGTATCAATATGTCTTAATCTTATTCTTCCAGATCCAACCTTGCTTTTAATTTCTTCCATCAATGATGCAAATCCTTGAGTTGATTGTCTATAACTCTTTCTTGCATTACTATTGTTGTTACTTTGGTGGTGTTGGTTTGTATTAACTGGTCTAAGTGCTTGTGGTTGCTTTAATGCAGCATTCAAGTTTGGTGGATTTTGCTTAAATGTTGGAGCAGGTGGAGGAGGTGGTGAAGACACATTGTTGTTTTGGTGAGAGTTACCATTATGATATGATGCTCCATTATTTATAGTACGTTGGTTTGGTGACATTTCATATGGAGATTGTTGAGGTGTAGAGTTTATAGAATTGGATGATGCTGTTGGGAATGGTAAAGTGTTACCAGTCAATACACCTTTGATCGATACCGGTAAAACCTCTGATATTGTAGGATTTGCCTTTATCATTTCAACAATCACAGATCTCAATTGATTACTATCCAATTTAACCAACACTGATTCAATCTTTTTAAAATCTGGTGGTTTATATGATTGCTGTTGCGATGCTTGATTATAGTGATTTGCTCCATTGAGTTGTTGTGGTAATGGAGATGATGAATGACCAAAATGATTTGGTGAATTTAATGGTGAATATTGTACTGGTGATCTTGGTGAATAATTATTACCACCATAACTTTGTTTACTACCATTCATTCCTCCTATAGAAATAAATAAATTTAAAAAAGTTAATTATATAATTCATTCATTTTTTTTTGTTAAACATACTATCAATTGGAGGTGAAGATTCAGATGGAGATGGAGTTGATAATTTCAAAGATCTAACTGTTACCAATAAAGTTTTTAATGGTTGAAGAAGGATTGATGAAGGTCTAGTAACATTTTCATGTGAAGTTAATTTTTTTAATCTATCAATTAATCCTTCACTAATTATATAATCTTGTGCTTCAGCTAAAAGTTAAAATAATATTAATAACCATACATATTATATTTTCCTATTTTTTTTGTTTAAACATACGATTTTGAATAATTCTATTTAAAAATTCTAAAACACAAAATTGTAAATTTTCATTGTTTGAATATAATGAATTTAAAACAGATTGTATTCCACCCTTTGCAATAAATCTTTGAAGATAATCTTCATCCAAAGTTAGATTTGATAATGTTTTCATTGCATGAATCTGTGTTTGTGAATCATTACTAAATAATAATCCATTAATACTATTTGGTGTCAAACCATTATTTTCATTTAATAAAAACATTAATCCTTCATCTAAATAAAACACAAATTAAGGAATTAATTAAATCTATATATAGAACTTTCTGATTATTATTCTTTGGGATACAAACCATCAAGTGAAATATGATAAAGTACATGAATTGAACATTTTTGAATAGGTTGACTAATATTACTATTAACATTTTGAATTAAAATTGGTATACTATCTAATAATCTTAAAACTTTACGAATAAATTCTAAATTTTAACAAAATAAAACAAAATAATTAATATTAATATTTCCTTATTTTTCCTTTCTTTTTTTTTCATTTTATACTTTACTGTTATTTGATAAAATAGCCAAAGTTTCAGTAGCTGAAGCAACTACTTCAATGTCGGAACTACATAGGAGATGGTGAAGTAATTGAATACCACCTTCTGAAAATATAGTTTGTTTGTTTTCATCCCTAGTGCCAAGATGAATAAACACTTTGCACATTAAAAGTTGTAACCCTTTTTCCTCTGGATACGATTTAAATAGCTTCATGAGAGATGGTACAATATCGCCTCCCATTACCTTTTCAACCGAGAAAAAGATTTTGCTACTCTCTGTTTTCTTTGGTGTAACGATTTGTCCAAGTATCTGTGCACATGACAATACAATCACAGATGGGAAAAAATCTTTTGATATCATTGAAACTATAATACTACATCCACTTTTATCCATAAATACTTGTTTTACATTATCTAAAAAATAAAAATAAAAAGAATATTAATATCATTATCCTTTTTAAATTTTGTTTTTTTAAAATTTCTTACCATTATTTAATAATTGAACAGTTAATTTTAAAATTCTTTCAAGTATAGTAGTATTCCATCTGAATACATCAAATGGAATATTATGCATTGGTTTTAAGAATGAAAGGACTGTATAAATGGCAGCAATGCCAATTTTTGTTCTATTGTTATCGTGGTATGACAATTTCTCCAAACAAGACAATACCTTTGATTGTAAGAGTGTTTGGTTACCTGTTGGATCGGTTTTGGAGGTATTTGTAGTTCTAAAATAATTTCCCTTGTTTAATTCCGCAGGATAGATTTCAGTTACTCTTAACAATTCAACCAACCTTTCAATACCACATTCATAGGCAATAGCTTTTGTTTTGGCACAATCTGAAACTTGATACAATAAATCCAAATATTTAATACATATAGATTCCATTGGATTATCACCAGGTTGAATATTTGAATTGGTATAAATTTGTTTTATAATCGTAGTCAATGAATTTGAATTATCAATTATTATTTCACTTATCTTTGGGTCTAAAAAGTAAAAGAAATAAATATTAATATGTAATAAATAAATAAATATTATATATATTTTGTTTAATAATTACCAGAATAACTTGCAAAAATAATTAAAGTATTTGTACTAATGATACGTAAATCTTTTGGGATGGCGTCATTGGTTGAGATACCAAAGATGGGAGGGATGGCACCGGATCTTTTTAGAACATAGGCACAAGATTCTTGAGTGGCTAGATTAGAGGTAAGTGTCAAAAGTGGGAAAATGAGTGACATGGATCGACTCTTTTGAGCCCAATTGAGAACGGATACGATGGTCGAAATGTCTCCAGTTTGTTTGATAAATAATTTAATGGCATCGTTTTCAGTGAGTGCTGCCAATAGATAGAGTGATTCTAATTGTACAATGTATTCGAAACAGTCGGTTGAAGGAGGTTCTTGTAGTGTCAGGAATGACAATAAAGTTCTTAAACAGCTACCTTGTACCACCTCATTGATAAACTTGCTCTTGTACGATTCAACTTGTTTGGATTGTTGATAGAGTACAAGTATTTGTTTAATGGCTCGGATATGAATAGATCCTTCTCTTCTTCGATTCAATAATGTTGATAATTCTTTTAATCCAATTTTTGATACATCAATTGACAATGTTGATTCTGTATCTTTTTTTTTTTGTATTGGTTTAACTTGTTGTTGTTGTTGTTGATTATTTGGTTGATATGGAGTTGAATTGGAAGATACTGATCTATATAATCCAATATTATGTCCATTTCCAGTTCCATTGACTTGTTGTCTGGATGGTTGTTGTTGTTGTTGTTGTTGTTGTGATTGTGATTGTTGTTGAGTATTGTTGTTGGGTAAAGGTAATTGAGGTTGTGATTGAAATCTTGATGATATTTTAAGTGGAGTTTGTCCAAATGAATTGGCTCTTTGAACATTATTATTATTTTGAATATTATTAATAGTTTGATTGGATTGCGGTTGTTGTGGTTGAGATGGAGAAATAGGAGATTTCTTAACAGTACTATTATTATTATTGTTAAAATATTGATCGATTACACCTCTAACCTCATCCAATAGATCATTTATATTTTGTGATGAGTCACCTCCATACGACTCAATCTCGTGATCCTGTAATAATCTGTTGTTATTATTGATAAATGAGCTCATTCTTTATATAAATAAAATAAATAAATAAATAAATAAATAAATAAATAGATTGTAATAAATAGAATAGATTGATTATAATAAATAAATAAATAAATAAATAAATATGATTGGGGATAATAATGGATAGATTGATAAGACAGACACAGATACAACTATATGTATATATAAATATACTGTCCGAACAATCAAACAATAAATAACTAGTCTGACTGCACTCTTATTCTATTCTATTGTTTGGTTTGGTTTGGTTTGGTCTGGATGGTTGTTGTTGTGATTTTAAATATTTAAACAAAAACCAAACCCAATAAGTTGTAGTTGTTTTTTTTGATTGGATGGCAGATGGATCGACACACCCCCTGTCTTCTAATACTAGACGATGTTGTAGTAGTATTAATAGTGGTTGGTAGGATGAGTAAATGAGAGATGCTTATCTTTCTTACTTTGTCTTTTACACGCGTTTTACAATTACCTATAATGTGTTTTTAAAGTATTGTTTGTAAAATGTTTGTAAAGGATGGGTAATAAATTATTAATATTATTATTATTATTAATTCTATTACTATTGGCTAGTATAATGAATGATGATGATGTTGTAGTTAATAATACATTAGTGTGAAATAAAATGATGAAATAAAAAATACCAAGTAGTGTACACTAGTGGTGGGGAGGAACAACACCCTACCTATCTATCACTACTTGTTGTTGTTTGCAGATAATATTATCTGACCACTGTAATAATAATAACAAAGAATAATAAAAGAAGATATTGATAGATTGATAGATGTATGTATTGATAATGATATGATATGATATCTAATAAATAAATATAGAGATAAAGATGCTATAATATTATGTAAACAACAAAAACAACAAAACAAACTAAAGTTTGTAATCAATCTGATATCCTTCTTCCTTCTTCATTTTCAACATCCTTCTTCCAAATGTAGTAGTAGTGTAATTTAATATCTTAATATGATCATCATTCATCGCACCCACCCGTTCATCATTCAATTAAAACAAAAATATCAATCGATCTGTTTCATACCCTTTGACCTCGAGCAAATTAATTTCCGAGGTTTACTTTACTTGAACCATCGAATCGAATCGATTAATCAGATGACAATGACATATTAAATATCTTTTTATTTTAATATTCTAATATTTTCCAACTAAACCAAATAATTGATTTGAAAGAGGAGTACTAGGGAAATCATCTATAGAATTGATGATTTTTGAAAGGACAATGGCTCTAGATTTATATCGGTCTTGAGAGACGGTTGTGGTTGGGAACATTTTGATAAATTGGGCACTTCTTGGATTGGAGCTATGGTTGGAGAGGGATCCGTGTGGCATACGTTGGTCCCATACTACAACCGATCCTTTACGCATTGGAATACGACGAGCATACTTGAATACTGGATCCTTGCTTGAAAAGTTGGTCGATGGTTGTGTGTAATTTGGTGTCTTTGTTTTGAAATATTCTTCAAAGCAATGTAGGAACCCTGGTACTACACAATACCCACCGTCTTCTAGATGGTTATCAAGTAGGTTGATTACACCTTGTAACTGCGTACCATCCAAATGGGATGGTTGATTATTCTCTACTATAAACTCTGATATCTTGTCATAACGCAGACGATCCAATTCAGCTCTAACAACTGATCCATCAGTCATCATCCAATTAAATGGATTCATATCTAAATGTACATTATCTTTGGTTGACCATTCCTTTTTTCCTATCTTGTCCGCACTAGTACTGTCAGTTTCAGTAGGTCTAAAGAAACAACAACGATCATGATTGGTCATAAGATCTTGATTACCAAGTACAGTTGCAAAGACATTGAATATGTTTGGGTTACATCGATTGAGTAAAAACTGACGTGTAAAGATTGGTGGCCTTGAAGGACTACCATACTGAACGATACTATCAGTCTCTGGGAAATCATTCCAAGTCGATCGATCATCTCTCTTGAATGTACTCTTACTCTCCATGATCCCAAATATCTCTCCAAGTGTTCTATCACATTCATCAGATGTCAATGCATTCTCTATCACCAAGAATCCAAAATGATTAAAGAATGCTAATGGGTTGGTCTCTACATTATTATTATTATCACTAGTTTTACTATTATTTAATTGATCCAATGAAAATGCTAAACAATATCCTTCTTGATCATAAATTAATTCATATTTTTTTAATATTGATAAATCATATGATGATTGTTCAGTTGCATTAGAAGTTGTTGATTTCTTTTTATTATTATTATTCTTATCCATTTTTGTTATTTACACTATATACATATATCTAAATATTATTGATTGAAATGAACATTTAAATCCTCATCTTTTGTTCAAAAGGCAATTGAGAAAATTAGATTTTTTTTTGTTAAATTTAAAAGAATGGGCAAAATTAAAAGAAGAAGTTCCTGTTTACTATTTATTTATTTATTTGATTTGATTTTATTTGATAAATAAATTAAAAGAGGAAGATTACCAGTTTGAATTGAAGTTTGATAAAATTGATTCCAAAGTGATTGATTGATTGATTGTTTTTGATCAAAAAAATCAAATAGTATGATTGCAAGATCAGATCTATTTTCTTTTAATGTTTCATTGATTGTATTGATCATTGATTGGTTGATAGTATCCAATTCTAAAGATGACCCATGAATTTTGTTGAAATGAGATATTACAAATTGTAAAAGATCAATTGAACCATTGATTTGTACGATTCTTTGTATTAATCCAATAGCAGTCACTTGACTAAATCGAATTAATTGATTACCAATTAAATATTTAACGGTTGCTAATGATATTTTTTTGTATGATTTAAATCTTGTAATGTCACAGTTGATAGTTTCTCTGTGTTGTTTATCTAGATATTTAATCATTTCCAATTGATTATATTTAAATGCTGCCTTCATTAATCTTCCATTATTATTTTTGTCAGAATGATTTCTTAATATAAAGTCTAATTGACTTGGTGTTGAAACATCTATTTGTTGTTGACCATCAGAGTTGTGAGTCAATTGAATTAATCTATTTGCATTTGTCATTAACCATTTAATCATTTCGATTTGACCGGTTTGACAGACCAATCTAACTGCATTATAACATCCAATTTTGACATGGTCCATTAAAAAGTTGATGATTGGAAAACAAGCAGTTTTGATTGCATTGTCCAATGATCTGATAGAAACTTGAGTACCCTTTATAGAATATAATAATTGAACAATCTCGAGATTATTGGATAGACAAGCATTGGCAAATATTTGTTTAGAGACTGAAGCAATTCGATTGTATTGAACGAGTATAGTTATAGTTGAAAAGAATTCATTCTTTATCAATTTGCCCAACGTGTCATCTTCGATTGTATCAGTGTAACTGAAACTAATTTCACTCGATGCCAATACTCGAACCATTTCCTCGGGCAACTCGGTCGGTCCATCAATAAAGATGTATTGACAATCAAACCCATTTTGATGTGGATGAAGGGTGACGATGGACTGGACCATTTGTAAATCACGTGCCATGATTGCAAGTTGAAGTGCCGATTCAAAACAGATATTGTCAAAGTCTTGTAATTTGGCGTCCAAGTGTGAAACAATGTCAAAACGACCCAACTCTACTGCCAGCGTATACACATTGGCAAATGTACATTCGACCTTTTCATCGTTTTGTAATAGTGTATCCAATATTTCAATCTCTAACAGATCCTTGTGAATATCATCCACTGGATATGGTTGGGCACTAGGAACATTTTCTAAAATGTACTTTGCCAATTCCCAATGTCCACTATCCAATGCTTGATTTAGAATCATTTCACTTGGTGTTATATCTGGGAATTGAGACATGAGAAATTGGAATACTGGCAAACTACCACTTTCACATGCACAAAGATGAGCATCCAAGATTGGCTCGTTTGGAACGATACGTAGAATCGTTTGTATCATCTCCAAATTTCCTTTTTTTGCAGCTTCATCGATGACATATAGTACTGTATCATCGTCGACGACCGGCATTTTTGGTAATAGATATTCAACAATATCATATCGACCAATTATAATTGCCATTCTAACAATCTCTTTCCAACAACTACCACCAAACATGTTTGCAATCGAAAAAAGTAATCTTACCAATTCGATTGATGTATCTTGATTTAAATACATTTTATCTAAATCAATGGGTAGTTGTACCAAGTTTACTTTTACTTTTACTTTTTCTTTGATATGTTGGCAACGATCTAATAGTATGATTCTTGCAAATTCTAGATTGTTGGTTTGCCAAGCAGACTCTATTGCCTTGCCAATAATTGTTTTTAAAAAGGTCATGTCGCCATCACCATGATGGCCATTTGATCTTGCTTGAATGTTGATCATCATATCCAACTTTTCAACGGTATCTACATGTGTACTGTAAATTGGTGTTGATTTATCTATCAATATTGTTGTTGTTGTTGTCATTAAATACTGATAGACGTGTCTTGCAAACTCCATATTCCTATATTTGATAGCTGCATGCAAGATGGGCCATTGATTGGTACCCATCACATCTTTGACAGTGTCGTACATTTGAACGAGCACTGTCAAGTCACCATAGCCATAGGCAAGGTATTCTTTTATTGAACACGACGATTCAATCTCTATCGCAGTCTTTACATTGCCATAAAACAGCTGATCTGTAATCTCTCTAACTTTTTTAAATATTAATATTCTTATTACTTGATTATTTAATATTGATTTAAACATTTAAAAATATTTCAAATGAAACAAGAGAGAGATGACGAAGTACTTGGTTTGTCTTTGAAGATCGAGATCGACAGCCAAACAAATAATTTTATTTTCTTTTTCTTTTTTTTTTTTTAGTTTCTCTCTCACAAGATGCGCACAGTTCGATCTGCGATCATCAGAGTAATATCAGTGTCTGTCGAGTGTACACAATCAATGAAACAAAATAGATGTACTATTATAATCTCTAGAGTCATCATAATGATGTGCGCAGCGAAAAGTGAAAATGCGTAATCCGACGTAATCAACACATCATGGTGTCAGAGTATTATTCTCTATTTTCTACTATTCATCAATCGTACAATGTAAACATCCAAAGAAACTTTCTTGCTAGTGCAAGAGAGTGCATGATAATAATAATAACATTTAAATACCACCATTTGTACAGAAACCAAAATCATTCCATTCATTCATTCGACTACAATAAATAACAGTTAAATAATAAATAACAAATAACAAATAACAAATAATATAAATAACAAATCATTTCATCATCAATAATAATAATAATAACAAACAACAATGGGTTTTGAAGAAGAATCACAACAACAACAACAATTATCACAACCGTCATCTGATAACAATAATGAACAACAACAACAACAACAAGGTGGAGATGTATTATTATTAGCAAGAATTAAACAATTGGAAGGTCAATTACAAGTAATGCAATCGACTATTCAAAATTTGGTTCAATCTGCTCAACCCCAAATTCCAAATCTTGTTCAACAAATGGAAAAGATTGGTTTGGATGGTAGTTTACCCAGTGCTCCTGCTCCTGCTCCTGCTCCTGCTACTGGTGGTGCCATTCCTGTTCATGTTTCTGTTGATCCAAACAACAATAACAACAACATCAACAACTTTCCTCCTCATCCTCCTCAATCAGCTGAACCACCACGTGAATACTTTACTTTAAGCAAGGCTGATCGAAAGAGATTGTATTCAAAGGACCAAAGAAGACATTACAAAAAGATGGCCAAGAGAGATAAAAAGATCTTCAAGGTTGACAAGAAGCTGGAAAAGGGATTTGGCAAGATCCACAAAAAGGAGGAAAAGATCAAGCACATTTACAACCGTTATGTTGAAAAGATCAACAAGAAGCAAAGAAAGTATGGTGGTGTTTCTGATTTACATCCAGTCATGACTTTTGAAGAGTTTCAATTAAAGATGCAACATCGTCATGGTCATGGTCAACACGGAGGTCATCACGGTCATGGTCACGGTCCACATGGAGGTCATCACGGTCACGGCGGTCATCATGGACACGGCCCACACGGAGGTCACGGTCCACATGGACATCACGAACACCACAGCGGTCATCATGGACATGGCCCACATGGAGGTCATCACGGTCACGGTCCACATGGACACCACGAACATGGCCCACACGGAGGTCATCATGGACACGGTCCACATGGAGGTCACCATGAACATGGTCCACATGGTCATCCAGGTCATCACCATGGTCACCATGAACATGGTCAACATGGTCATCATGGTCATCATCATCATGAGCAACAACCAGCTGGTGGATACCACTTCCAACAACACACAGCTGCTCCCTTTAGACACGTTGAAGTACCTGTTGCAACAACTGCCATCCCAACAACCTCTTGTGCTGGCCAGCAACAGTAGTCTGTTTTTTTTCAATTGCCAACCTTGTGGCTACATTTTTTTTTTAGTACTACTCTAGTACTTTTTTTTTTTTAATACTTTTTTCCAAAACTCCAACAATAATCTTTTTCTTTTTTTTTCAATCAAATTAATAATTAATCAATCTAATCAAATATACATATCATATATAAAATACAAAATATCAAAAAATAAATATAAATTAAAATATCAAAAAAACAAAAACAAAACTATATGACTCCCTCCCTGGGAGCCATCGCTATTCCAGTTACCTTTCCATTTATCAATATCCTATGATGTCCCAAAATGAAATAACTGATACAGAGTATACTCTGATGTTGCATGATTGATTGTAGATTGTTTGTTATTCTTTAAATTTGATTTCTGTAAGAGTACTATAGAAACAAGATTGTAGACTGACCAGAGTTGATTTGCTCATAAAAACAGTCCCTGTGTTTAGTACTAAAAAAGTTCAGTTGAGGGTCAATTCTGCCATCGAATGGGTTCGACTAATTCCATGACGTCGTATTAAAGTCTTGCTGAGGATATTATTTTATTCCATTCGTTCGTCGTTTTTACCAGTGACATGAATATTTCTGTAAAATTTATTCATTTCTTGACTCACTCGGGTATAAATATAGATACCTTTTTTTTAATTGTACATATAATACATCATTTAATATAATATATACACATATAATATAATCATATATATTTTATATTAACATTATAAAAAAAAAAAATGATAAAACAAATTTTAATATTAATTTCAATTTTACTGTCTATTTCTTATGGACAAAAAGTGATTCATTTCAATACTGCATCTGATTGTTTCCAAGGATGTGATTTCAATGATGGATCAGTATGGATTGGAGGAGTTTCGCCAAACAACAACTATCAATACATTGCATCGATCGATTACTCCAACTCAAAGAACAAGTATTCACAAAAGATTGATTCATTTATCAATTTGAAGCTTGCCGGTTTGACCATTATTGGTAGTCCCGCCACCTCTGTCTATTTCACATTGTTTGCTCAAAGCGATATAGGACCTGCCCCCACTGTGATTGGTGGTAATGTCACCTTTACCATTGCCAGTGGTGGAGCGTTTGGCGCCGACAACTTGACACTCGCCAACCAAGCCAGTCTCATTCTCAATTCAAACTGCAATGCCTTGATCAACACTGGTGTCTTTGAAGCTGGATCACTCTACACTCAGGATAGTTTGGGTAGTTTTGACTCTCAATATGGATCTACTTTTGAAGGAACCTTTCATGTAGCCAACCAAACCACAGTCTATCTGTATGGCAAAAACTACATTGCTGGTAGTTTTAGCATTCTCGGGGAGACCAAGATTGAAGTCGCCGACATTTACACACAGGCCTATTTCTATGACCTCCGAGTCACCAGTCTTGTCCAAGTCACCCCCCACAGTGGCCTATTTGTCACCTATGACTTGACCGCTCCAAACATCTATGTCTCCAACCAAGGTCGCCTCGCCACCAACCAATACCAAACCCTCCCAGAAGACGGTTCACCCATTATCGTCAATATCGGCTTTATCTGGAACGATCAAGGTAGTACCGTCAGTTTTGGTCCAGCCGATACCATTACCATCGGCCAAGTCAACTCTCTCGGATCGGTTCAATTCCGCGGTGACTCTCTTGTCACTGTACAGTCTAGTCCATTGCAATTGCAATCAAACTTTACACTCTTTTACTTGAATACCGTCAACAATGCTGATGGATCCACTGCCACATTCAACCTCAACAACACCTCTATCGAAACCATCATTCCATACACTTCAACCTCTGCCGAAACACTTGTCCTCATTAATTACACTGGAAAAAACAATCAATTGGGTTCATCTGGTATAAACTCTTTAGTCAACACCACTGTCATTGTCAACGTTGACTCTACACTGTCTCTCTACAACTCTCAAATATCGTTTGTAAAAAATTCTACCATCTCTCTCTTGCCAGTTTCCAATGTCATCATTGCAGGTGGTTCTCAAGTCACCATTCCAAACATTACCGTCCAACAAGCTACTCTGAGCATTGCTAATTCAAACTTGGATGGTACCGTTTCCCTTTTCGACGGAGGTCGTCTCTTTTTCAATGTATCTACTACCACCTCTTCAATCTATCTCTCTGGTGAATCCAATGCCTTTTTATCTGCTCCACTTTACATTTCGGGTGGTCTCTACCTCACTGACTCTTCCTCTGTCGATATTACCGTTGATCAATTGGCCACTACCACCGGTTCGGTTTCCGTTGCAATCCAAGGCGCCATCAATCTCGACTCATACTCTCAATTGACCATTACCGTTCCCAATGCTCATAATCTCATCATTGGAAAGACTTTTTACCTTGTAGCTAGTCATGCTCCAATCAACATCGACACCAACAATCAAGTCACCCTCAACAACTATTTACCAAGTCATTTGGTTCCACAATTTGCTACCACAACTATCAACTATGTTAATTATTTAACTCTTACAGTCATTTATGTTCGTTAAAAAAAAGAATTAAACATAAATAAATAAATAAAATAAAATTATTTATAATATACATATATATTAAAAAGACAACCACACCTAAACGGATGGAGCTGGTGGAAACCAAAAGAAGGAGAAAAGATTTAAAAGAGATTTTTAATATATATAATTCTTTTAGTTTTGGTTTAAATTTATAAATTATACAAACTATTTTTGAGAGAGTAGCAGGCTTGCTAGTAAACCACTAGTCATTGTGAACTTGCCTACATATCAGGCTTTTAAATAGATACCTGATACTATGTATAGATAAGTTCACAATGACCTGGGAAACAACAATTGTGATGGTTAACTATTCCATTCTCCATTTCATTAGTCACACGTCAAAAGGGGTAGATGACCGCTACTGAGACTTGTTGCTACTATTTTAATTTATTTTAATTATTATTATTGTGTCTCTTGTGTTGCTCTCTTCTCTTTGGTTATAATCATTATAATAAACTATTAAATGAACATATAATATGAACGCACCGAGGAGAGGAAGGGTGGGTGCAAATACCTCAGTAGCGCTGCACGTCCCAGCAATAGTCCAGACTGACAATACTTTTTTGCACAGATAAGACTTTTAAAGTTGAATATTAAAGAGACTAAAACTTGTATAAAAAAAAGAAATAATAATTTTATATTTATCAACTGGTGATCAGCTTCACCTACGAAATGAAAGAGATTTGAAAAAAGAGAATGAACATAAATTTAATGTTGGTGAAGTATTTCTAGTGATGGTGGGTTTAAACCCAAATTACAACCATTTTAATAATTCCACTCAATCAAAAAATATATATATCAATTAAAAACAAAACTATTATTATTATTATACATTTAAAAAATATATTTAATTTATTTATGTTTAAACAAACTCTCTTCTACTGTTTGATGACTTTTACCACAAATTATTCATCATCTTGATAATAGGACATTGAATTAATGTTTTTAATGACCAATCTGATAGCTTGATTCAATGTGAGACGACCAACTCTGATGTGTTCCAAGAGTACTCTGGCATAATTTACAAACTTGATACGGTTTGCCTCTTCTTGGATAACTTGGGCTTCCAACTCTTGGTTGTCATTGAGCCAATCTTCATAAAACATTGGGATGGTTGGTGGACTTGATTTTGCACAACGTTGGCAATAGATGACATAATGAAATTTGAGCTTGGACCAATTGCCGTCACCACAAGTGTAGTCCTCTGGATCACTGTAATTGGCCGCGGCAATTGGTCGATTGACAACGACTGTCGATCAAGACGGTATTGTCGAGCGTATAGTTGTGGAGTACATTGAGTCTCTCTGGTGATACTGCCGATGGTTGGGTGTAGACGTCTGCTGGACCATCCAAGATTTGATTTGGTCCAAGAATGGCACGAGTGTACAAACTACGACCACGTTGAAAGTAAAACAGGAGTACAAAAAAGTTGTAACTGACCTCGTGGTCTCCGAGCAATACTCTGTCGGCACTCTTTCTCTCCTTGACTGTCGTGGTAGACTTGTAGATCCTATCCAATTGAAATTGCATTCCATTAAGATAAAAGAGAGATTCGAGTTGGTTTGTTGGATGGTCTGGTTCGTGAAACTCTACAATCAAGCGGCCAATGTCGGATGGATCCCATTTGGCGGCAGTGTTCACTTCCAAGCAAACCACACGAGTGTTGTTCTTTTCATAGTCGACAGAGTCGGCTCTTCTGTCGGCACTACTCTTAAAGTTGGTCATGGCTTCAAAACGTAGTCTGACACCGACTATTGGACACAATTCATTTTGGTCTCGAGTGGTTGCAACCAAAAAGTCAATGTCTAATTCATTGACTCCAGTCTTTTTTGCAAAGCCTTTCCTTAATGATCGTTTGGTTGTAGAATGGAGTAGGCTGTTCAAATGTCGATGTTGTGGACTTAGAGCTACACGAGGACGAAGAGATGGTGGAGGTGATGGAGATGGCGATGGTGATGGTGATGGGGGTAGAGGTGGAGGGGGAGGTAGAGATGGAGGGGGAGGTAGAGATGGAGGGGGAAGAGCTAGAGACGAAGGAACTGTCCCTTTTTTTTTTCTATAGCTAACAAAGTATGGTCTCACCATTGAATGTAGAATGGGATTATTAATTATATATTAAAGTAGATGGAGAGATAATATAATAAATATGTAGTTATCTTTGGTTGGTATTATTGAAGTAGATGGAGAGATAATATTATTAATGATAAATAATGATCTCATCCTCTAGAGTATTTTGTGGTAAATAAGAGAAGAGGAAGATGGGAGTTGATTGAGAATGATGACCAGTTAGATTTTAACGGTTCAACCGCGGGTGACTAATCATGGTGAGAGACCTTGATGGATAGAGCAAATGACTTGTTTTAAACCATGTCTAATAAAGGAGAGTAGTGATATTATAATTGAATGACCAATCAGATAATTGTCATTTCAAATATGTGTCATCAACTCTTACCACCAAAATCTCTCTCTTCACCCAAAAATAAATTTAAAAAAAAAAATTGAACCACGAAAATTTTAGCTAGTGTTTCGTTAAAAAACAAAAGTGTTGTTATTTTATTTGTGTTATACTATTTTATTTATATTATCAATTATTTATTAGAGATAGAGAACAGACTATGTAAGACTTTGTGTTTCATCAAGGTAATAAATTAAAAATATAATTAGATCTTTAGACGACAACGATGTAGAGACAGTTTATTCTGTTTTAAATGATACTCCTCCAAGACAACACAATATATATATATTTTTTTTCTATACAATTTTTGAGTGTTTTCTATTTCTTTTTTTTTTTCTATTCAAATATATAATTCAATAGTTAATAATAATTTACCATACAAAGATATAGGAGGGCATTTACTTTATGTATATATATATTCATGGGGTTTTGAGGGACTAAATAACCAATTGATTGACTAAATTAGGGAAAATTTTTTTTTAAAGTAATTCTTTTCCTGTTCTCTCCTATCGGGAAGAGTAGTACTCAGAAGTTACAAAGTTTTATTAATTATACATTTTAATTGACCAGCAAGAAATAAAGATTATCTCGAGAAGAATTAAAGTTAATTTGTTCTGGGGGTTGTCCATGTCTATGATACATGTTATATGGACGTTGATCATGTATCTTATTGTATAGTGTCAAGCATGTTGGATTGTTTTGGGTTGTTGCTTGTTCTAAAAATAAATTGGTTAAAGATATCGCTTTTTTTTTTTTTTTTTTTTCTCAGCACTATAGGCTGTAATATTGTGTTATATAATTATTCTATGTTATTATTATTTAGTAAATTATTATATTATTAATATTATTATTGATAGATGAAGAGAGAATAGAAGAAGATGAAGGTGTTGACGCAAATATGGCACCCATCTTCTTCTAATTTTAGTACCATACTTGCGGTGAAACCTTAAGCCTTGGGTGCGTCCAAGACCGACTGCCGCTCTCAACTCTCACGCCGATTTACTCCCCATTGTGGACACTCGTCTTTACGTGTTGCATATTGTATTTGAGATGTCAGATGGCTTTCTATCGCGACGGCCCAGTAGGTCCTCCACTACCTTCCCGTTACTTGTTGCAGTCTGGCTACCCAATCTCCTACTGAGAAGGGGAAACTAACCCGGTCATCCTTCCGTGGGGGTGTCCTGTCTCTAGATCCCTAGAGTCGGATGGTTTTTCTCCTCAATCCCCCCAATTGTGGTCAAGTTAAACGTTGGCGCCAAAAGTAAAGTTCGAGGGCAGGATTCGAACCTATGACCTTTTCGTTCCCGGGGTAGCACACTCCCGATAAAAAAAAAATAAATTAGGGAAAAAAATTTTTCGTATAAAAGGGGAAAACCGAAAAAAGGGGAACATGGCCGGTTTTAGCTCAGTGGTAGAGCAGCTGACTGTAGTATTAACAAAGTCATCAGCTGGTCGCTAGTTCAATCCTGGCAAACCGGATATCTTTTGATGTTTTTTTTGCTGAGGGCAAAAAAATACTTTTTATGCTTGCGATTTGATTCTCCTACTCATTTCCTATAGTTTTATCTATATATCATGAAAAATAATCAAAACCACACAAAGATTGTTTTTTTTTTTTGTCATTACGTCGTTTTGATTGTTTTTCTTGATACATAGATAAAACAATGGGAATCAAATGGCAAGCATAAAAAGTATAGAAAAACACCTCTGGCTTGTAGTAAAAAAAAAAAACCAAAAGACTATAATGTATATTTGAAAATAATTTTATTTATTTATTTATTGTTTATCATCATCACCATCAACATCTTCACGTTTTCTTTTTAAAGGTTGTTCTTCACCCTTTTCATTTTCCTTTTCATCTTTTTCCTCTTCTTCAATTTCGGCTTGATCAATTTTCATTGCACTTGGTTTTTGTTGTTCTTGTTGTTTGTTTAATTTTTCATCGTGAGTCAATGATTTAACCTTGATACCAGATAAAAGGAAACCACTTGCACCATCCATAGACATCATTGGATGAGTTCTCTTTGGAAGTACTTGTTGTTCACGCATCCAAATCTCATTGATTGTCAAATTGACAGCCAATTTGTTTGTTGAAAGGTGTTGATTACATTCCAAAAGTTGTTGTTTGTAAAGTGAAAAGATAACAAATGATCCAGATGGTTTTAAATATGGTAAACATGATAATATTAATGATAATGGTGAATATTTTGAAACTATAATTAAACTATAAAAATAAAATATTAGAATCATTTCTTTTCTTTTTAAATATTTTCATTTACATACCTATCAACACCTTGTTTTAAATAATTAATAGCTTTTAAATCTTTTGAAGATTCAGGTTCTTTTAAATTTAATTTGTTGATTGAAGAGAAATCAAATGGAATGATGCATTGTTCAACCTCGGGAGAGAAACCAAAGTTTTGAACGATTGACAAGGATGGACCCTTTCCCAAATAGGCCGACAATACAACACCATCACCATTCATACGTTCATTGACCGATCCAGTAACCAAACCCATACTCGAATCAACAACCAAAATATTTGATCCAGCCTTTACATTACCAAGTGTTAATAATTGTCCCAATGTATCAAATCTAATATTACTATAAAAATAGAAAAATAAAAGTATTAATATATATATATATATTATTATTTGTTTCTTCTTCTTCTTCTTCTTCTTCTTGTTTGTTTACCAAATTTTCTTTGGATCTTTTGTATAATAAGATTCAATAAGATTCTTTGAAGTTGGTTTGAGAATCTTGACAACTGTGGAATGACGACCCATCTTTTTCTTGAGATACTTCATTTGTGAATACTCTGTCTTTGTATGAAAGGAATCAGAGTTTTCAATCAATGCCTTGATAATCTCTGATGCACTTGACCCCTTTTGTTTCATCTTTGCAATATCATCTTCTGTCAACTTTTGTGTTGTATTTAAATTGGTTAATTTACTATTATCTGCATCAATCGTTGTTTCTACAAAATAAAAACAAAAAAAAGATAAAAGTTATAATAGATTGATCTATATATATGAATGTTTGTTTGTATTTAAACTTTACATACGAATAAGATTAGTCAATTCTTTTTCGATATCCTTTTGATTGGTTCTTTCCATTGTACCATTTGGTAGTACTTGATAGGTAGAGTAAAATGGTTTACCGATTAATTGAAGTAAATCTACCTTTTTACATTTACCTACAACGTGTGATTGTCTAGACAGATAAAAGTAAGTGATACTGATGATCATTCTATTGATTGATTGATTTATAAAACATACAATCCTTGTACAAGTTTAACAACTTTATAATTATCACCATTATTTATATTCAAGATGATAGTATCACCCATTTTGATTCTATTTAAACCATTTTGTTGTTCTGTAGTAGAAGTAGTTGTAGTAGTAGTTGTAGTTGATGATGAATCCACTTCTGCCATTATATGTATATCTCTTTTAAAACTATCTATAGATCTATAGATAGTATCTATTGATTGATTAAACGAACGACACACAAAGTTTTTTGAATCAATGATCGGCGAGCTCATCCTCATTCTCACAATTAATATACCTTTTATTTTTTTTTAAAACTACAAATGTTTGATCAAGTTTATATCTTTCTTTCTTTCTTTCTTTCTTTCTTTCTTTCTTTCTTTCTTTCTTTCTTTCTTTCTTTCTTTCTTTCTTTCTTTCTTTCTTTCTTTCTTTCTTTCTTTCTTTCTTTCTATCTATCTATCTTTTGATAAAGATGAATTCTAATCAAAAGATTATTCGATCGACTAAAGATTTAACATTTGTTGATCACTTTGAAAAGATTAGTAAAACGAAAAGGTCTTGAATTCCGACCATCAAACGGAACCCAGGGACAACGACGCAGTTTGACGAGCTCTCTTTTTACATAATTTAATTAAATCAAAGAAGGTCGTTGAAAGTTTAGGGTCACCCAACTACAACCCGTTGTTGTTGTATCTTCGTCATCATCATCAATCATCATTTTGTATTTTACATCATCAACCAACTTAATAATTTTAAAATGAACAAGTTTTTAATAGTTTTAATAGTTGCCATCATTGCATTCTTTGCAATCTCATCGGTTTCAGGTCAAGACCCTGAACCACTCAAAAAGGAAATCTGTCAAGTTTGCAGAGGTAGCCATCTTTTAAATGTCATTATATTACACAATATTAACTAAACACGCGTATATTTAATTAGGTGATTGGGAAGTTGTTCACAAATTTACAAAGAAACATTTCAGTGAAAAGAATATGGAACAAACTATTTCGGGAATGTGTCAACTTGAACGTCCAGATGTCCAACCAAGTTGCCATCAAATGGCAACTCAAGTCAGTTCATTTGTCAACTGTGTCAACAAAGGTATCCTTGCTGAACCATGTTGTGTATCAATGGGTCATTGCCATGCTTAAATCATATGATTCAATAAAATAGCCAAACCAAACACATGTTTTCAAATAATTTTTGATCACTCTTATTATACACACTCTGAGAGTTTCAATTATTGTATTGTATTATATTATATTATTGTAGATAGATAGAGAGAATGTTAGAGAAATATGATTATGAATTATTAAGATCAGTTGGAAGTAATGATATTAAAAAGTTAAGAGAGATGATTGATTGTGGTGTAGATATCAATATGAGAGAGTATGATAAAGGTACAACTCCATTACATATTGCTGCTGCAAGAGGTCATAAACAAGCTTTAGAATTATTGGTTTCAAGGTAAGGAGAATAAAGGATAGATAGATAGATAGATAAAGATTATTAGAGTCGTATGTCTAAACTTTATATATTTTTAATTCTTTTAGAGGAGCAGATGTAAATGCACAAGATAATAGAGGAATAGCACCATTACATTCACTTGTAACAAATAGATATGATGTTTTGGCGTTATGGATGATTAGACATGGTGCCAATATCCATCTACAAGACATTAATAAATACTCTCCCTTTGATTTGGCACAAGGATGGTTCCAAAAGGAAATGGTTGCTGCTTCTGAAGGTAAACCAACCGTATCAGATGAAGCTGCTCCAACAACCGACATTATTAAAATAACTCAATCCTCTTCAACTTCTTCATCAAGTCTAAGTCTCCCTACTCCTTCTGGTCCTTCTTCTGTAAGAAAGATAATTAATATCAAATTCTAATCAACAATATTAATATTAATCTATTAATTTTAATCCAATTTGTAGGAAGTATTAAAAGTTTATTATAGAGGTGAATCATATAAATCTGTTAAAGTATTGAGTACTGAAACAGCAAGAGATGTATGCAAGAGAATGTGCGAAAAGTTTAATATGAATGCCTATGATAAATGTTTTGATATCATTGAAATTATTAAAGGAGAGGGTAAGCCAAAAAAAATTAATATTAATATTAATCATTTGAATTATTCTAATATTTCTATCTGTGTAGTGAGATATTTACAAGGAAATGAATATTTATTGACAAATAAATCAAAATGGCCAATTATTGTTGGAAATACTGGTAATGAGACACATTTACATTGTCACTTTTCAATTACCATTAGAAAATCTGCACCTACTGAAGCTCAAGAATTATTCTCTAGAATATTTTAAAATATCACATTGATTGTAGTATATATATTTTGTATATTTTAAATATTATTTATTTATTTATTTATTCATTTATTTAAAAATAATAAACAAACACTTTGTTTAATTGTAATATATATATACCATTAATTATTATTATTATTGAGGAAGAAGAGGAGGAGGATTTAGGATGAGTTGGATTTTAAGGGAGGAATTTTTAATGTTATATTTATTATTATTATTATTATTATTACTACTATTATTATTACTATATTCTTATAATGGTTATTTGATTGGGGGGGGTTTTGATTAATTTAACGAATGGGAGGTGAAGTTGTTGTGTGTGTTGTTAACAAATATAGGAATTACAATCATAATGTATGATTATTGATACATGGAATATTCTCCATTCAAAAATATCCTATATCATTATATTCTTTTTGTTAATTTTTTATACTATACTATACTATTATCAGTTATTATATATTATTAATTAATTAAAATTCATTGGTGGAGAATTTGAATTGGGAGGTGATAATGTTGAAAGTGGTGGAAATAGAGGTGATGTCGGTGTTGATGATGGTAATAAAGTTAAACTGATTGGTGACAGTTGTGATGGTGTCGGTGTCGACGATGATGATGAAGAAGATGATGAAGAGGAAGAAGAAGATGAAGCAGTAAAATAAAATGAAGGTAATAATTGTGATTGAGATTGTGACAATTGTGGATTAGAAGGTGGTGGTAACGGATGCATTGAAAATTGTTTTTGTTGTTGTTGTTGTTGTATATGATTTAATTGTTGATTCACTTGATTCGTTTGACTCGCTTGATTAACTTGTTGTTGTTGTTGTTGTTTTAATTGATAAAGTTGTTGATGTTGATATTGTTGTTGATGATAGAGACTATAATTTTGTTGTAATTGTTGTTTTTGAATTTGAAGTTGTTGTTGTTGATATTGATTGACCATTGTGTGTTTGGCCATTGATCTCTTTTTACTATAGAATTGACATATATTACAATCATCGGGATTGACACACGGATGATATTTCTTTTCGTGGTGTGATAGATTCGATTTTGAGGTGACCTTGGTGCACCCCGGATGTCTGCATTGCGCAAGTTGCTCCTCTTTGGCAGGGTCCTTGATGGGAATGTCGTTTCGTCGGCACACCTGACACGTCTCGTCACATTCGTTGTGCGGTTTTCTTTCGTGTATCGATAGTGACTGCTTCTTTGTAAAGGTATATATGTTTCCGAGCGTGAGGCAGTATTGATGTCGGCATTTCAACTTGCCATCACTGGAAAGCAGCGTTGAAAGTTTAGGGCGTCTTAATTGGTTAAGTGGTAAAGAAAATAATGCTTCGTAATTAATCTCCATTCCAACTGGTGGTGATGTAGGTATTGCATTTCTTCTTTTTCTTTTTGGTTTTGTTTTATCATCTTCTTCATCTGATATTATATTTTGTTGATTATTTTGTTGATTATTATATCCATTTGAATTTGATTCCATTAGTAATTGTTGTTGATGTTCTTTTGTTGGTCTAAATATTGATAAATGTTGTTGAGATTGTGATATTGGTTGAACTATATATTGACCATTTTGTTGTTGATTGTGACCATTTTGTTGATGATGGTGATTATTATTATTATTATTATGAGGTTGTTGTAAATGATGATGATGGTGATGATGTTGTTGTTGTTGTGGATGTTGATGAAATATATCATTACTTAAAAATGGAGGTGATGAAGATGATGAAGATGGTGAATAATTATTTCCATTTCCATTATTAATATTATTATTATTATATTGTTGTTGTTGAATTAAATTTGATGTTGGTAATTGTTGTGATTGTTGTGGATGTCTTTGTTTATTATCATTATCAATATTATTATTATTTTGATTATTATTTTGATTATTTTGATTATTTTGATTTTGATTTTCACCTTTATCATTTTCTGAATCATTAATCAACATATTGATTTTCATACTTGATCTAATCTTATTCTTTTCATCATCTACTTGTTGTTCTAAATATTCTTTTTCATTGCCACCAATAATGTTGAAATGGTAGTGTCCATTGATACTCTTTTTGAGTAGAGATGATGATGATGATGAATCTAAAAGATCCAAATGGATTCCATTCATATTGCCATGACCATTACTACTACTACTGCCACCACTGCTATGTTTAATGTCTATATCATCTTGTGTGGTACTTGTATCCCAAAACTCCAATATCGATCTTGCAACCAATAATTCCTTGTTTTTAATGTCTTCTTCTTCTTGCTCTGTTGTCATCATCATATGATTACTACTACTACTATTCATTGTGTGTGTTGAGAGTCAAAAGTAGATTAAAAAGTAAATCTTTTCTCTTTAGCAATAGGTAGTCTAAAGATAAGAAGAAGAAGAAGAAGTAATATATAGTTGTAGTTGTAGTTGTAAGAGGTAGGTTGGAACTAAAAGGTAGAGTAGACTAGATAGAGTGTTTGTTTCTGTCTCTCTGTCTGTCTGATTGATGATACTTGTTGCGTTGTCTGTTCTCTCTGTGTGTATGTGTGTGTGTTCTGCTGTCTGTGAAGAATGTGATTAAATTTAAAACCCCCCTTCTTCCAGAGTCTCTCTACTACAATGGATGATCAGAGTGAGTTAGGTGAATGAATGATCAATTATATGAAGCGTGTGTATTTGTGGTTGTGACAGTGAAACTTTGTTGTTGAGATGTGGTGATGGTGGTGGTGGGGAGGATAGTGATGATGACAGACCAGCAGCCAAACCAACCAACAACTAAACAAACTAGTCTAGACTTTTGTATGTGATGACGCAATATTCTTAACACTTTGTGTATATGTGTGTATGTGTGTTTGTTTGTCTGTGTGTTTGAACCGCCAAGTAGTAGAGAGTATATGGTAGTGCTATATCTATATTCCGATCTGTATGAATCTTGATTGATATGTATGTATGTATAACTCTACTACTATAGTACAAATACTAATATACTATTACAACAAACAACAAACAACAAACAACATATGTCTATGATATAAATAAATATTGACAACCCAACTGTAAAGTGGACTACGAGTGACCATCAGTTAGCCAGCTCAGTTTTTAGGTTGTTTGACAAAAAAAAACTAAAAAAAATTTGGTGCATCTGCCATTGCTTGTGCTGGACTTTTCTCAGTTGGTTGACTTTCTACGTATGTACGTAGTCCACCATCCATACTCAGATTTGTGATCTCAAACCACTTTTTAGAAAAAAAAAAAAAACAATCTTATGTTTTGATTTACCAATATTTAGCCTTTAAAAAAAAATAAATAAATAGATTATTTGTGAATTTATTGCTGTTGAAAATTATTATATATGTATATATTAATTATTATTATTAATTATTATTATTATTAATGATTAATGATTAATGATTAATATTATTAGTTAGTTGGTTAGTTAGTTAGTACTTTATAGTTTGGTTCGATTTAAATTATTATTATTATTAATTATTATTATTATTAATATCAATTGATACTGATGGTAAAGATTGAATATCAATTGAAATGAATGAAGTTGGATTATTATTAATATTATGATGACTTGTATAACTATTACTATCAAATGTAAAATCAGAACTAATCGATTCAGAATCACAATCTGACATTTCAAAACTATCACCTGATTGAATACAAATCGATTTTGCAGATGTGGCTTGATTTTGTTGTTGTTCATTTACATTTACAATGGGAGTTGCTGGAAGATCAACTTCAACCCATAATTCCATACATTTCTTTTGAGTTGATTGTTTATAATATTCAAATAAATGTAATGACCATACAATACCTGATCTTGAAAACTTGGTATTTAAAACTTGAATTTCAATATGTAAATGATATAAATACTAAAAAAAAAAAGAATATTAATATTTAAAATATTTTGATTGTTTTAATATATTTAATATATCTAATATATTTATACATACTTTGTTTGTAATTAACATAAAACCAAAACAAGATATACAAAGACCAATAAATAATATTAATACACCACCAACCAAGACGGCACCATTTTTCTTGAATAATGTAAAACTGAGTAGCATGACGAATAGACCGACCAATGGAAGAGCAACAGAGACACACCAATACACCATTTTAGTTCTAAACCAAGTGGTTTGGAGACGATCTACAGCATGGTCAAATTCTGGTTTGGTCATGTATCCATCCAAAGCATCTGGATATTCGGTTTGGAATCTTCTTGAACTCCAACATAATCCTTCTTTGGTGGTTGGAATTATAATCTTATTTTTTGTTGATTGTGGTAATGCAAATGATATCGATGGTGATTGTGGTTGTGATTCCCCTTGACCTACAACATTATTATTATTATTATTATTTGAAGTCAATGGAATGTTATTATTTGGAGTTGACATTATTGATTATTATTATTGATTGGATTAATTATCTTAAAATTGAGTGATGATTATGAATAATGATGTGATGATGATGTGAAGGTTATAATTGATTATTATAATTTGATTTGATTTGATTAATGATTGGATCGATGATATATTGATTTGATATACGATGATGATGTTGTTATTAAAGGAGACTATTAAATAGTTGAGGGGACAATAGTAATTACTCGTCGACCAAGGGAAACGAGTGGGGATCGAGCGAGTTTAGTTGGGATCGTGTAGACAGAGACTATATTTCGGCAAAAAGTGAATATGTACAAATGATAATTATGATGGATGTATGGATGATGATTACGATGGTGATAATAATTAATTATATAAAGAGTGTTGTATTTGGTGATGATGATGTTTGCTTCGACTATTATCATTATATATGTTTATTAAAAGGGGTTGTAGGATCGGTTGGCTTCCTTAACTTCATTGTTGTTGTGGGTGGGTGAGTGGAAATTGATCACTAACCTACTTAGTTGTTAAAAATAGGGGGGGTGGGTGGGTTGTTTCGGTGCTTGTGAATAGATTGGATTGAGTGGTGAGCTCAAATGAGGCATATCTATATTTTTGGTTGAACTGATGATACACACACAACACACACAATACATGAAAGTACGCGGTTGTTCAAAACAGGTTGTTGTAAGCATGCCCAACCCCCCCCCCCCCCCCCTCCTTGTCTCGAGAGGCTGTTGCTAGTTGTTTTTTAAAATCGATCGGATCGATTGTGATGGATGAGGTGAAAGAAAGTAAGTTAATTAATTAAACCCTACCTCGTTTCAACGAATGAGTGGGGTGATGCCACACACACCCACAACCTAACCTACGTCATACGAAGCAAAGATATCAAGTCAAGACATGTGACAAAGAAAAGAGAGGACAACAATAAATTCAATTTGCAGGTTTCGGCCCATCCCTCCTCCTTTTCACCTCTTGCTCCACCATTTTGCTGAATTTGCCTTGACCAAATTTTTAAAACAGACTTGTGATCTTTGCAACAAGTTTGCCCAATAATTAAATTAATTAATTAACTTGTGATTTGCAGACAGATATATGTTGTTGTCGAAATCATGATAGAACCAAATCTATTTTGTCCAATGATCACACATTTTCCTCTCTTTTGATCAAACTTTCAGATGAAGCACATTTAACTTCAAGTTTTGGGGGGAGAGGCAAGGGCCCTTGCCTTCCTTGTTATGATTATTCAAATAAATATTGTTGATAGATATTATATTATAATTATAATTCTAGATTTAAAGGAGGAGGAGGTAAACTGTTTAAAAGTATAAGTTGATGGATGGATGAATGGATAGATAGATATTATGTCTCGAGATTCAGGATTAAACTTTCTCTTTCCCTCTCCCTCTCTAAACCAACCACACTACCCAAGGTAAATCCTTGGCCCATACAACCCTTACATCCTATAGTTTATTTTAAAAAGAAAAAGAAAAAGTAAAGAACAGATTGGAACCATTCCAAATTTAAAAGAAATCTTACCAATTTGTTTTTTATAATACTTCTATTCTATATATCTTCCTCTCTTCTCTCTTCTTCTTCTTTTATCTTCAATGTTTTGATTTAAATTTGATGGTTTGCTAAAATATATATTATTAACTTGTTTATTCTTCGTCTTGTTCATCTTCATCATCTTCACCTTCTTCTTCTTCATCAATTAAATCCAATTCATTCATTTCTTCAATGAGTTGAGCAAGTGGATCTTTGAATTGTTTCCATTCATTTGGACCCATCTTTAATTCCTCGTCGGTGAGCATACATGCTTGGAGACCCTTTTTGAATGCCTCAGTGTCAAACCCGTTGGTTTCAGCACCAAAATAGGTAAGGTCATTCTTTCTGTCTTGGTAAGTGTTTAATCCAATATCCTTTTTAATTGCCTTTACTACGTTTTCTTCTTGTGGCCAATCCTTTTCTTCCATTACACTAAAGAATTCTCTACTTGGTTCAATGGTAAGTCCTTCTGGTGACTGAGATAGATAAGATAAGAAATAAAAGAAAGAAGGGAGATTAATATAATATTAAAAAACATTATTATATATAATATATATATATATCTTTTGATTATTATTATTATATTTTTATACATACAAGAGCAAACTTGTAATATTTGATCATATCATTGGCTAACCAAATATCACCAGAGATGAGCAAGAGACCTTTGGTATTTTGAACGTTGAGAGTCTCTTCATCACCATTTTCAAAGAGGAATTTGTGGAATCTTTCTGGATGGATGGGAACACGTTGCATGGATCTATTGATACTGACACCATTGTGTGATTCGCTAGCCGAGGCATAGTCTGGGATTTCAAATGGCTCGTCGGTTGGGAAGAGTTGTTTTAATGAGATGTTGGAGAATTTGGTGCCGCCATTGACCACCTTGACACCTGGTATCAAAAGCTTGACAAATCTCTCGATAAAAGCTACATCTTGTGCATCGGCAATATCACTCTTGTTGAGGAATACAGTCATTGATGATTCGATTTGTTCAGTGATCAGAGTATGTACAAACTCGTCTTTTTTGGCAACCAATTCATCATCCTCTTCATCCTCTTCTTCTTCTTCATTGTGATCATCACAACAATCATCTTTGCATTCCTTTTCCTTTTCCTTTTCCTTTTCATCGGCATTGGTACATTTACCGTCTTTGCAACAGTCATCCTTTACATCCTTCTTTTCATCAGCCTTGTTGGTACATTCTCCACCAGCACAACAGTCATCCTTCTTTTCATCAGCAGTCTTGGTGCATTTACCGTCCTTGCAACAATCATCTTCCTCCTCATCTTCAAAAATGAAAAGGTCGGCGTGTCTTTGACCAAGTGTATCGACTGACTTGAGGTCATCCAAAAACTTGCTAGTATCTACTACACTAATCATATTTTTCAATTCAATATTCTTCAAAAAAGAAATAGAGATGTTAGGATACTAATACTTACTAACTATTACTATATATTTTACTTATATATATATATATATATATATCTTGTTTGTTTATAACATACCGAAAAGATAATACCGAGTGGACCTTCATCGATGAATCTCATGAGATCGAGAAACATGGTAGTTTCAAATGAACTGCTTACAAACACGAAACCCTTGATATCTGCAGCTGGAGCATTCTTTGACTTGTTCAAAACAGCTTCTTCAATAGCATCTTCATTCAAGTTGGTATAGATAACTTTGTTATGTTCGACAATCTATATAGGTAGGTAGGTAGATACGATAGATACGATAGATTAGTTTATCCATCTCTATTCTTTCATTCCATATATTATAGGAGTACATACACATGCTTCATGTGAAATCTTTGCACCTTCAAGTGAGAGTACAGATGGTGGTAACTTGCCTGTGATAGTGTCAAAGATAACAGCAACCTTTTGGTCACCAATCAATGAGGTGATTCTATTGACCAATGTAACCTTTCCACTGTCCTTGAAACCGACGATAATAATAGCTGGAATATCCATCTTTCTCTCTCTCTTTAAGAATATCTCTTATCTATCTATCTATGTTTAGTTTGTTGAAAATGTGTGTGTCGTTGACCTAGGCCACCCGAACCGAACGAACCGAGACATAATATTAAAGTTTTTCGAGTTTTCACAAAATTCAAATAAAATATGTGATGGAGGATGTTTGTGGAGTGTGTCTGGGATGTCATTCTATAAATAAATACTTATACATATCTATATCATCTATCTATCAACTGATTTCATTGAATTAAAATTCAACTTTTACTTTTTTAAACCAAACTATAATCTTAAAGTCAACCAGGTGCAAAAAGGATTGTTCCATGTTTGGCATTGAGTAGTTGACTGGAGGAAGTTCGAAAGGGTATTAATAAAAGTCTTGTTGGAATCATGATGGATTATGTGTGTTTGTTTGTTGGTTTCCTACTTCCTCTCTCTCTCTTGCCACAGTGTTCAAAATATTTAATTCAAAAAATGTGGTTCGGTGAAATTTTGACGGATTGTGAATATCGCAAACAAAGTGTTCCAAGTAGAAAACCCAAATTTACAGCCATCTGGAAGTAGTAGTATGATCGATGGAAGACCAGACATGATCTTCTCTCATTCACAATTCACCATAAACATTGAGACATCTTCTTGCTTTGAATGTGATTCATACAATACTGCATCCTGCCTTTTTTTTAATATTTACTTTTTAAAAGTATGCAACCAATTATTTAATACAATCATTCGTCTCGTCTATTTCATTTCAATCAACAACAACAAAGTCCAGCAAAGTAATTTAAAGGTAAGCTAGGAATTTGAATGCAACCAACCCAATGAATTGTCGAACCCAACCACCACATCGTATTACTTTTTTTTTTTTGTTAATATCTTTTTTTTTGTTGCAATTGCTTGTCCCCACAACCCTCATCTTTATTTCCCAACATCTTTAAAATCCAACCAACACCAAAAACCCATCATCATTGATTACTTTTAAATTTGGGTTAAATTCTTGTTTATTTGATGAGTATAATAATCACAAGGTGTTGTATATATATATATATATGTTTATATATAATGTGTGGGTGTGATGAACGATACCAATATCTGCTATCTTTTTGAGGAGGAGCCTCTTTGATCAAAGGGGGAAAATAGTTGCTATCAGGTGTGAAAAAAATTGTTTTTTTTTTTTTTTTTTTTCCAACAATTTTTTTCACACCTGATAGCAACTATTTTCCTCACAAAGATTTTACTATAGTTTTTTTTTTTCTTCTCTCATTATCTGTAAATTATATCATTATAAAAAGGTGCGTTTAGAGAAGAGAAGAGAAGAGAGGAGAGGAGAGGAGAGGAGAGGAGAGGAGAGGAGAGGAGAGGAGAGGAGAGGAGAGGAGAGGAGAACTATAAAGAGATAGAAGAGAGGGACGGAGAAACACGACAATCATCAACAACAACAAATATATTAATAGATAGACACTTTCGCGATACAACTACCATGAAAACAACATCATGATGATTTGATTGACAGACAGACAGACAGACAGACAGACAGACAGACAGACAGACAGACAGACAGACAGACAGACAGACAGACAGACAGACAGACAGACAGACCCTAAATACTAACGTACTTCTTTGTTTCTCTATTTTTTAAAAAATCATCACCACACTATCAATCAATCAAATCCATCTCCAATCAATCTTCTTTTACTTTTACCTATTATTATTATTTCAATATTAAACAAACTATCTACTCTACTCTTGCTCTTGCTCTACTTACACAAATTTAGAATCAACATTATTTAGTTTGATTTTGTAGTTATAGTCTCATACGCCTTTTCTTCCCGAGTAGTTAATATTAATTTATATTGTTTAGTTTCAACAAAACAGAAAGCATAACCAAAAATGAACCCAGAATAGTATGTGTTGGATATATATATAAGATAGACATAATAGAGATAGAACAACAACATTGGACTAGACACAAACAAACAAACAAACAAACAAATGGATCAATCAACCAACTATAATAAGATAATCAAAACAACATCGATGAAACAAACAATTATATAGTATTCGATGATCGAATACTCAAAAGAGAGAGAGAGAGAGATAAAGGTTTACGATATCAAGAAGAGTATTGATTGATTGATTTGGTTGATCGATTTGCTTGTTTGGTTGGTTTTGGTTTATTCTCAATGTTGGGCTCTAAAACTATGGACCTTATACAACATATTAACATTAACATTATCATTTATTACTATAGTGACTATTTATTCAAATTATTATTGATTGGTGACAGTGGTGTCGGAAAATCTTGTTTATTGTTAAGATTTGCTGATGATACTTACACAGAGAGTTACATCTCCACCATTGGTGTAGATTTCAAGATCCGTACCATCAACCTTGATGGCAAGATTATTAAATTACAAATCGTATGTTAATGAAAGATTATATTTATATATATATATATGATTGATTACTCTTCTTTTACAACTTGACTAACCAACGAAACATTCTCCATTCCATTCAATTCAATTCAACTCTGAAATTTATTATTCGATCAATTTGGATAAACTTATATTATTTTTGGTCTTTTATTATTATTATTATTATTATCATACTTTTAGTGGGATACTGCTGGTCAAGAAAGATTCAGAACCATTACATCTAGTTATTATAGAGGTGCACATGGTATCATTGTAGTATACGATGTTACTGATCACGTTTCATTCAACAATGTTAAGCAATGGATGCAAGAAATCCAAAGATACGCTTGCGATAGTGTCACCCGTTTGCTTGTCGGTAACAAATGCGATCTCATTGAGAAGAAGGTTGTCGAGACCAACGTCGCCAAGGAATACGCTGATTCCGCCTGCATCCCATTCTTGGAAACCTCTGCCAAGTCATCTGCCAACGTCGAACAAGCTTTCATGATCATGGCCTCTGAGATTAAGAAACTCCAAGGTGGTATCACCACTGGAGGCAACGCCAACTACAACAACAACGTTGTCAAGCCAAGCACTGGTACTCCAGTTGGCAAGAAGAAGGGGAGATGTAATATCCTCTAAACACACACACGCGTGCGAGATAACAAACTTTTTATTTACCAACCAAACAACAAAACACAAAAAACAACACAAAAAAAAAACAACAACATTTCCAACATCCCCAACATCCTTACAACAAAACAATTTTTTTAATTTTCTAACAATCTAAAAAGTAATAATAATAATAATAATAATAATCATCATCATTACCCACCCACATACAATCAATCAAATCATCTTCACCATTCAATCTATTTATTTTATCTTTTTTTTAAAAACAAATAATAATAATAATAATAATAATAATTGGTACCACCCAAAAAAAAACAAAAAGTGATATCCATATAATAATAATTAATAATAATAATAATAATAATTTACCATACCCTTCAATCAATTTAAATAGAGTTTTTAATGTTGTTTTTTTTAACCAAAACAAAAAAAAAAATAAAAAAATAATAAAATTTTAATGTATAATCTAAAAAAACTCTATTATTATCTTTATTTATTTATTTATTATCTTTTTATTATTGATGATCATAAACCTTGTCATCATAATTTTTAGCATTTGAAAGATCCCATTCATGTGGTTGGTAGTGACATCCTTGACTAATACAATTTTCATAATAAATAGGGAAATCATTTTCACATGGATATGGTACATCTGGAGTTCTTTTACACATATTGTATCTCTTGAATGCATATACTTTACAACCATTACAATTAATTGCAGATACACTTTCAAATAATAATATTCCAATCATTAAACTTGTAATTAATTTAATAAATTTTGATTTGTCCATCTTGATTGACTATGGTAGTTTTGGTATTAATAAATAAATAATTGATTGGTATTGTTATGATATGGTAGATATTTGGTCTATATTTATATATATATATATATATTTAAAATGATATATTTGAAAAAGGTTAACTTTTGATTTTATAATTTCCCGTTTGTTTCGTCGCTCCATATTATAAAAGTTAGAATGACATTATTATTTATTATTTTTATTGTTCACACACAAAGAAAAACACAGAATTTGGTCAATTGGATAAAAACACGTATCTCTAAACTAAAAATACAAAATGTTAACACTCGCGAGTTGTGTCATTGTCTGTCTGTCCCCATCTCTCAAATCTATTGTAGTTGTTTGGTTTGGGTTTGTTTACATAATCCTCACACTTTCCTTCGAGGTGAAATGTATCCATTAAACTGATATTTTTGGATATATCCAATATGTCTGTCTGTCTCGTCTAATCACTCGTCTTTCTTTTGGAAATTAATTTCATCATCATCACCATTTGGTTAAAAAAGATGATTGGGAGGTTTGTTGTTTCCAAGACAAAGTCTGCAGTGGAGGAGGAGGAGGAGGAGGAGGACATAAGTCTCTGGAATGTAAAGATTCCTTTGATTCAATCAAATGCTGTTGATTGCTCTTGTTCTTGTTATTGTTCTTGCTTTATAACTTGGACTTGTTTAAACAAGACCCGAGAAAGGTATTAGCTGTGTCACCTACTCCTTCTTTTGTTCGACACATATAATAATATGAGTTTGAAGTAGGATAGATGTAATGAATAGGATGATTATTTGATTCCAGAGCATATGATAATTGATAATAATAATAATAAGAATAAAACATGAGAACAAGGAGACGGAGAGACAGCGAAAAAAAATAAAAAAAAAACAAAACTGATCTTGCTCTGCTCCACCACTCCTGCTATCTTTTTTTGTCTTCACTCCTGCTTTATTCCTTTTATTATATTCTATCTATATATTCAAATTATATCTATCTTATTATATTATATTATATTAATATATATATACACAAGTATCACAACGTTTGCGATAGTAAACCATTGTCATTGTATACACTAACAACAACTACAACAACACATCACACCTCACAGCGACACCATTCTCTCTCTACCCTTGTATAATATTACTACTCACTACTATCACAACTTATTCTTCTTTATAACAATAATAATAATAACAACATATAATATATAAAAATGATGCTTTCAAAGAGAATCGTAAAGGTAGGTTCATACACAGTTCAATGCTTCGGAGTAGATAGAGTATACGTATACTAACAATAATCAATCATAATATATATATATTTAAAGGAAACTCAAAGATTAATGAGTGAACCAGTACCAGGTATTAGTGCCTCACCACTCAATGATAATCTTAGATACTTTAATGTTGCTATTTCAGGCCCAGTAGAATCACCATTCGAAGGTACTTTTTTAAAACAACAACAACAACATAGATAATAATAGCTTGCTGGCTAGTCAACTTGAACTATTTGATATTAATGTAATACTCTCTCTCTCTCTCTCTATTCTCTTTTTTATTGTTTCTTTTCAACAACAATTATGGAATTGGTTTTAATAATTGGTTTGGTTTTAAAATGTTATTGGTTACAATTACTTACTTGGATGATACATCATATATATATATGTATAGGTGGAGTTTTTCATTTAGAGTTATTCTTGACAGACGATTATCCAATGGCAGCACCAAAAGTACGTTTCCTCACCAAGATATATCATCCAAATATCGATAAATTAGGTAGAATATGTTTGGATATTTTAAAAGACAAGTGGAGTCCAGCACTTCAAATTCGTACTGTACTACTTTCAATTCAAGCCCTTTTATCTGCACCAAACCCAGACGATCCCCTTGCCAACGATGTTGCTGAACACTGGAAATCAAATGAAAAGGATGCAATTGCGACTGGTATGTTACAACAACAACAAAATCAAAGAGAGAGAATATTCGAACACGATCTAATATTGACACTTTTTCTTTTCTTTTATCTCTTTTTTTTTAGCCAGGGATTGGACCAAGCGTTACGCAAATACTCAATAATAATAATAATAATAATAATATAATAATAATATTAACTAGTAATAATTATCTAATTAATAAAATTTTTAAAAACACACAAACAACAAAGATGAGGAAGGAAGAAGGATCCTCACTCGATACCATCATCATCATTATCATCATGATTCGTTTTCATATATTCTATAGCATCTCTCCTGGGAGGTTCGAACTATATAGAATTCTAAAAGTCATAATCTAAAAACTTTAATAATATTATCATCATTGAATGCTGATTCGGGTCATTCTTGGAATGATAGATTTTTGTTTTAGAAAATATTAAATGGGGTATCTTCAAAATTAGAAGTTTTCGACTAATCATTCACACAACCCAAATATATCTCATTGTATATATATTTATCTCTCACCATCTTTATCTTTATTTATTTATTTATATATACATTTATTATTAATAACTGTTACTATCAATTATTAGATCTTTCTATTAATAGTAAATTAGATTTTTAATAAATTTTTGATACTTCTTTTCCTTTTTTTTTTTTTAGTTAAAAGTTATTACATATACCCATACCTATATCTATATATATATATATCACAAAAAACATGTCACAATCAACACCAACAAAAAGAAAGAAACCAGAATCTAATAATGCTTCTGCTTCAACAACAAATGGAGGATCACATCAATTACATTCAAGAGAATTAAAGAGAGCAACTACAGTTAGTTATATCTATGAAGATGAGGAGAATACAATGGAAGGAAAGATCAAACCATTGAATGGGTTTGTTACACCACTTTTAACAGACATGTATCAGATTACGATGGCATATAGTTTGTGGAAGAACAATAGACATGACATTCCGACAGTTTTCGATCTCTACTTTAGAAAGAACCCATTTGGTGGTGAGTTTACAGTGTTTGCAGGTTTGGAAGAGGTCATTCGTTTTGTTAGTGACTTTCACTACACCGAGGCCGAGTTGAATCATGTGCGCGAATTGATTCCAGATTGCGATCCTGGCTTTATCGAGTATCTTCGTCAACTCGATTCGTCAGACGTGTCACTATACGCCATCAAAGAGGGGTCTGTGGTCTTTCCACGTGTGCCATTGGTTCGTGTAGAGGGTCCACTCGCCATTTGTCAGTTGCTCGAAACCACCTTGTTGTGTTTGGTCAACTTTGCCAGTTTGATCGCCACCAATGCTGCACGTCACCGTCTCGCTGTTGGAAAGGACAAGATCATGCTCGAGTTTGGACTGCGTCGTGCGCAGGGTCCAGACGGTGCCATGTCGGCATCGAGATATGCGTATTTGGGAGGTGCAGATGGTACCAGCAATGTGTTGGCTCACTGCTTCTTTGGTATCCCGGTCAAGGGTACACACGCACACAGCTTTGTCACGAGCTACCACAGCACCGATGATCTGCCCGACCAGACCATCAAAGATGCCAATGGCAAGTCGCACAACCTACTCGACATGGCACTCAAGTACTTGAAAGAGCTAGATATCAAGACGGTTACGAGCGAGTTGGTTGCGTTTGTAGCGTATGCACGTACTTTTCCAAAAGGATTTTTGGCATTGGTCGACACTTATGATACTTTGGGGTCAGGCGTACCCAACTTTATCAGCGTTGCGTTGGCATTGAACGAAATTGGGTATCAAGCACTCGGCATCCGTTTGGATAGTGGTGACTTGTCTTATTTGTCAAAAGAGTCGCGCAAGATGTTCCAACAAGTCGGTCAAAGATACTCTATCGACTTTTTCGCCAAGATGCAGATTGTAGCAAGCAATGATCTCAATGAAAACACCATTTTGGCACTGAATCGCCAGGGACACGAGATTGACGTGTTTGCCATCGGTACCAACCTCGTCACATGTCAGGCTCAACCTGCACTCGGATGTGTCTACAAACTAGTCGAAATCAACGGATTGCCACGTATCAAGTTGTCACAAGAAACCAACAAGGTCACATTACCCGGAAGAAAAGACGCCTACCGTCTCATTGGAGAGGCCGGTCACCCACTCATTGACCTGCTCACCTATAGCGGTGCCAACTGTGACAAGAAAAAGATCGCAGACCAAGTGCCCCAACCTGGCCAAAAGATTCTCTGCCTGCATCCATTTGAAGAACAAAAACGTGTCATTGTGACACCATCCAAAGTACAAAAGCTACATCAATTAGTATTTGACAAGGGGTCCCTCGTTGACCCTCTTCCAAGACTCGAAGATATCCGATCTTTTTGTCTCGAACAACTCACTCACATCCGTGAAGACCACCTACGCGCCAGTAATCCAACTCCCTACAAAGTTTCCCTCACTCAAGAACTTTATGATCAACTTCATGATGTTTGGATGTCAAGTCGTTTAGTTAAAGAAATGAAATAGAAATAAAAATCAATCAAACAACTAGCATCAGAGGAATCAACTATTTTTGGGGTGATCCATCTATTTTTGTTTAAATTAAGGCGGTCCAACCAAAATCAACTCATCATTTAATTAAATTCATTTTTAATAATGAATACAAATAATTTTAAAATAGATGTAGATTGATTTGTAAGTTGGATAGATGTTGGGTTGAAAGTATCATCGATTAAAGTCAAATATAGAAGTTGTTTACATTTCAAATAGTGATTCAGGGGTTGGTCTTTTAGCTCAGAGCAAACCCTATACTGGTAAGTAATCATCAACATTCTCGTTTGCAGAACATCTACTGATCGATTAGGGAATCATGTTGGTGGCTTTTTTCTCGAAAAGGCGGATCATCTATGAGGACAACCGCTGGAATGGGAGAATATTGTTGTTGTTGTTCCATTTCGTGTGGAACAGATAATAGGTGTATTTAAATTGTGATGTGTATACGAAATGGAGCAACAACTTCAAAAAATCATTCATTTACAACAAACAAAAGGTAAGAAAAGATAAATTTCTTTCATTTACTAACTTTTTTTGTTTTTTTTTTTTTCCCTTACCAATTAATGTTTATTTCGCAATTGTATAGGAAGATAAATCAATATGATTATTATGTGTATTGATGATGGTCTGCTCATCTTCATCGATAATGGTCAATAGATGGTTGAATTGTGATTGTTTTTTGATGAGACATTCCAAAATGCTATCTCCTGTTGGTTTTAAATACATCTTTTGAATAGAGGGACTGGTGGCCACCGCATCCAAAAGTTGATCTAAAAGATCTAACCTACCGAATAGTTGTTGTACACATAGATCGATAACTCTAAGTGACTTGCTGTTTTGGATAAATAGGATGATAGTGTGGAGACTGGATACACGTATATCCAAGTTTAATCTATGTAGGTTTGGTAATGGACCACTATGATTGAAAATCCCTTCCACCACTGTCTGTGCACCTAAAATGTCGAGTCCTAGTGTCAACACCTCTACCATTGGTGGCACCAATGCTTTTCCAGTGATGTCGATTGTTGGCGGCGGTGTGGTAGCTAGATGTAGACGCAAGTTTTTGACAGGCGACAAATGGGATGATAGAAATTCGATGCATTCCAGAGTGGACAAGTTGAGTTGGGCTATTTTCTGAATCGAGTTGTTCATTACAAAGTCATAGTATGCTTGGGTACATATTTGTGAAGCATTCCAAATGGCGAGTTGACGGACAGACGTTGGCAAGAGATGGAATGGGAGTGGATTGTATGTTGGGACATACACCTTGGGTTGGGAATAGTATTGGTTGCCCCATACTATTTTAGTGACTGTACTAGGTACATTTGCAAACACCGTTTCAAGGTCCTCTGGGTGATGCAAGACACCTGTTACGGTCATCCTAAGAGTCTTTAGATGTAGACAGTTTTCAAGTATTGATGGTATTTGATCGGTGGTATTTCCATCAAAAGTAATATCCAAACTCTCTAAATGTTGAAACAAGTTTAATGACCATATCCTTGCACCGTAATGGCAAGTCATTTGTACGAGTGAGATCAGTGGGTCATTGCCAATAACAGGCATCCAACCAAGTGATCTAGTACCATGGTTTATATTAATTTGTGACATTCTTGCAATAATATCATCTCTGAACCACTCGTGGTTGGCAGTGACGTATTGTCTGTTTGTTGGAGCAGTACCGTCAGCTCTGCCAACATCCAATGCGATGGTATGATGGTGGCCCGACAATAGATTATACGAGTTTTCAGTATGCAAACAGTAATCTTCAAGACTATGTCTTTCAATTTCAATCTTCCAGTTTAAACGCAACGATGATTTAACAGTATCTCTCCACCGTCTCGACACACCAGCCACATGAAATACATCCTCTGCTTTAATCATTCGATGAAATTCATTCCTTCTATAATTACATACTATATAAATAATCTCTGATTGTATTATCCATGGTAGAGGAGATAAAGATAATAATGATAATGATTCCATCATATAAATAAAATAAATAAAGTAAGCACAATACTATGAGTTTGAATCCAACCATTCTTTTTTTTTTTAAAATTTTTCGCGAAGTATCAACCTCCAAAACAAGAAGATCAATTTCAAAAGTCGAGTAAGAGTGATAAGAGAGATAGAGATAGATAGATAGATAGATAGAGAAAGTTATATAATAATATACAATTAATCATCTTCTCTCGAAAAGATAGATAACAACAAAAAAATGACAAGTTCATATAACAACTCATCATCATATTCATCTTCATCTTATTCATCATCTACAACCACTGCTCCTTCTTCTTCTTCTTCTTCCTCATCCTCATCACCAAATATTTATATTCCAATTCGTGGATCTGAAAGATATGTATCAGTATCATCTGACAATTTACCAAGTGTAAAGGATGTCATTGAAATATTAAGAGGTGAAGTTGCACCACTTGACATTTGGTTACAAATAGCTGTATGTGTTTTAAAGTATACTTTCATAATCAGTAGGATTAAGATCTAATCCTCTTTCTCCTTTCTTCTATCTATTCTATTCTATTCTATTAGATTGAATATTATAAACAAAATCATATAGATGACTTTAAGACATTACTTGGGATTGCATTGGATCCAGCAGCAGAAGAGTTTTACAAGGATTCAAAGTTTGAAAGAATAGCCATGTTGAATGCAATGGCATCATACTATACACAGCTGGGTAATGTTGAAAAGGATAAAGGTAAAAAGGAAGACTATTACCAAGAAGCAACCTATAGATTCACAAAGGCCGATCGTATTGATCCTCGTCAGCCTCTAACTTTTATCGGCAAGGCTGCACTCTTGTTGGCCAAGGGTGAGGTTGATCGTGCTGCTCTCAACTTTCAACAAGCTCTCTCTGCTAGTAGTAATACTCACAATTCAAATACTTCAACAACTTTACCTCTTTTCCCTGCTAAATTGGGTTATGTAAGAAACATAGAGAAATAAGAAATAGACAAATATATGTATACTTTTTATTAATCTTTTCTTTTCTTTACATTTAGTCATGTGTATTATTTAATAAAGGAGAAATTAATAAAGCAGTTGAATCATTACAAAAGTTATTGATACAGAATCCAGTGTCTGCATCGGTCCGTTTGGGATTGGGATACTGTTTCTACAAGTTGGGCAAGATCGAGGCGGCCAAAAAGGCATTCCAAAGAGTATTGGAGATTGATTTGGACAATGTAGATGCGTTGGTGGCGTTGGCAACAATCCATACCAATCAAGGTGACATTGACACTGGCATGAAACTTATTGTTCAGGCGTACGAGTTGGCACCCAACAATCCAATCGTACTCAACCAATTGGCCAACCACTTTTTCTACAAGGGTGATTATACCAAGGTACATGCCTTGGCACAGGCAGCCATGTCCAACACTGACATTAACCAAATCAAAGCAGAGGCTAGTTATATCATTGCCAAGGCATACCATGCTACTGACAAGTGGAACGAAGCTCTTCAAAACTATCATCAAGCAACCCTCAAATCACCCGATTTCTACTTGGCCCAATTTGGTCTTGGTCAAGTCTACCTTCACAACAACGACTATGAAAAGGCTGTCGGTTGTTTTGAAGCAGTTTTGGAAAAACAACCAGAAAACTACGAAGCACTTCAAATCCTTGGTAGTCTCTACAAAGTATCATCACAATCGAAAAACATTGAAAAAATCAAAAATGTCCTAATGAAAACAACTCTATTAAATCCAAATGATTCTTCAAATTGGTTAGAATTGGCTCAATTATTAGAATCTTCTGATGTTTCTTCTTCTCTTGATGGTAAAATATAAAAAAATAGAAAAAATAGAAAAAAAAGAATATAATATTAATCTTCTTTTTTATTTTATTTTTATTATTATTCTTTTTTTTTAGCATATGAAAAAGGAATTAATTTATTAAAAAAAGATGGAATTGAAATATCAACTGAAATATTAAATAATATGGCAGTATTAAATCATAGAAAGGGATCATTTTCAAATGCAGAGAAATTGTATCTCAAGGTGATCGAAGCATCTGGTCATAAATTGGAGGATTTCAAGGCTGTTAATATCACCACGACCTATAATCTTGCTAGATTGTACGAATCGATGAATAAATTTGATCAGGCTCGTCAACTGTACAAGGGAATCATCAAGGAACATCCCAACTATATGGATTGTTATCTTAGACTTGGTGCCATTGCCAAGAGTGAAGGCAACAGCTATGAAAGTGGAGAATGGTACAAGGAAGCACTCAACATTGACCCCAACTCGCCAGAGACTTGGTCACTCTATGGTGCACTCCACCTCTCCAACGAGCAATGGAATCATGCTCAGAAAAAGTTTGAACAAATCCTCGAGGTTGTCAACAAGAATGATCCATATGCCAGTATTGCATTGGCCAATATCTATTTCAACGCCAAGTATCAGTACCCTGAAAAGTCGGAAAAGTATCTCTCTATTGCTGAATCATTCTACTCTAGAATCTTGTCTCGTCACAATGACAATATCTATGCTGCCAATGGTTTGGGTATGGTCGCTGCCGCCAAAAACAATCTCCTCCTTGCAACTGAAATCTTTATTCAACTTCGTGAATCTGCTATCGATGTTTCAACCATATCAGTTAATTTGGCTCATGTTTACATGTCTAGAAATTTATTTGATAATGCTATTAAATTGGTAAAAAAAAAAAAACAAAAATAATAGAAAGGACATTAATATATTAATCTTTCTTTTTATTTCTAGTATGAAGGAAGTTTAAAAAAATGTAATAATACTAAAGATATGGAAGCAATTTATGGATATTTATCAAAAGCATATTTCTTGGCACGTCGTTATCAAGAATGTAAACAAATATTGAAAAAGGCAATTCATTTTTCACCATCGAATCTTGCACTTTGGTACAACTTGGCATTGGCCATTGAATCTCAATCGATGGCCATTTTGGAGAAACCAAACAAATCTCTTCCAGAGGTTGCAAGTGTCAATAGAGAGGTTGTATATGCTCGTCATTTATTGATGAATCTTGTCTCTCAAAAAACTCAAAAACCAAATTACGATGTTAAAAGATGTAAAACTCATTTATTATCTTTGACTGAATTGGCAAAAAAGGTAGGAGAGGAATTAAAATCATTGGAAGATTTGGAAACTGAAAATGCTAAAAAGAGAGAGAGTGCTGCGGTTGAGGCTAAAAAGAGAGCCGATGAAAGAGAAAGAGAGGAAAAGGAACAAGAAGAGGCCAAAAAGGCAAAGGAGGAAGAACATCAACGTATGGCCGAGGAATATCGTGCCAGTTGGAATGCCGCCAGAGCAGACAAGGAAAGAGAAGAAAAAGATGAAGACTATGGAAGTGCCAAAAAGAAAAAGAGAGGTGCCGAAGAATCAAGTGACGAAGAATACACTGTCGATAAAAAGGAGAAAAAGAAGGCCAAAAAGGAGAAAAAGAAAGAAAAGAAGGAAAAACGAAGAGAAAAAAGAGATAAAAAGAAAAAAGAAAAACAACAAAAGGAAGGAAAGGAAGGAGAAGAAGATGATGAAGAAGGAGAAGAAAAGAAATCTAGAGATTCAAGTGATCAAGAAGAAAATGATCAAAAGGATCAAGAAATGGATAAACAAGAAGAACAAAAAGATACAAGTAAACCATCTGATACAAAGGATGATGATGATGATTTATTTGGTAGTGGTGATGAACTTTAAAAAATGACTAAATAAAAAAAACAAAAAGAAATAAATTAATTAAACTAAAAAGTCAACAAAACAGATCTGATCAGAGTGCAAAGAAAGATCCCAGGTAATATTTCATTGAACTTGATTTTTTCATTAATGAAAAATTTAATTTCACACAATTGTTGTGGTTAAACAGTTCACATTGCTTGTTTATTTTTCATTGGAATAGTGAGTGCAGATATAGATAAACATAGATAAATATTGTATATAGTGTAAATAATAATAATAATTGTATAAAAGAAAAAAAAAAAGAAATGATTAAAGGAACAATTAGTTTTTTATTTAAACAACCAACAAACATTGGTAGTTTAGAAACATTAAATTATTATAGTAGTAGTGGTATTGTATGTATAAATGATGAGTAATATATACTCTTTTACTCTTATTCACATTCTTCCTCTTCTTTGTTTTTTTGTACTAGAAACATCAAATATCAAAACAATTTAAAATTCATGTACCAAGAGGTAAAGTGATATTTAAATATCCAACAGAAGATGGAAAAGGAGGATATAATATAAATAATGCAGAAAAAGAGGTTGTTGCGAAAATCAACTTGTTTCAAGCAGATTGGATAAGTGACCATTGTAAAAGTTATTTGAAGAAAAACTATTCCTCTAGTATCAATGATCAAGGTGAATTTATAGTCTCTTCATCCAAATATCCAAAAGCAAAACTAAATGAAAAGAATTGTTTGGACAAGATGGAAAAGATCCTAACTCAAGCATCTATTCTCAGAAAGGATCAATTAGCACTCTACGATGAACCATCGTTTGGTAATGAAAGAAGATTAGTTGAAAAGAAAATAAGATCCCAAATTAAATCTGGTAGAGGTGTTCATGTTCAACCAATGAAATTAACCTAAAGAATTAATTAAATAATTAAATAAAGAATATTATTATTATTATTATTATTCTTTTTAATTTATATTTTGTAAAGGATCGTTATTATTATTATCTTCTTTGACCAATTTTTTAGATAATTCTTCAATGGTGACACCTTTTGTTTCTGGTACCCAGAGATAGGTAAAGATGAGACAGGCCAGGGTGACACCAGCGAAAATAAAGTAACTACCAGCTTGACCAACCCATTCTTGGATGGGTAAAAAGGTAATGTTTGCAATGAAATTGGCCAACCAATTCAAAAAACTGACAATCGACATTGCCTTGCCTCTTATTTTAGATGGATAGATTTCAGATGCCACCATGAGTGGAATGGGACCCATACCCACAGAGAATGCCAATTTGTAAAATACCATGCCTCCAACTGCCATCCATGCACGATACGACTCTGCAATGTGACCAGTGGTACCAGCCGTTCCCAAAAAGGCATATCCCAATACACCTAGGCCTACAACCATACCAACATCACTAATCAGTAAAAGTGGACGACGTCCAAACCGATCGATTAACCAAATTGAACCAAACATCATAATCATCTGTGGCGTTCCAACCAATCCAGATATTAAAACTGCCATATCCTTTGCAAATCCTGCACTTTGTAATATAGTTGCACTATAATAATTTACACAATTAATTCCTACAAATTGTTGAAACATACTTAATCCAAATCCAATTAAATAAACTTTAAAATATTTTCTAAACAAAGAGAGAGAGAGAGAGTAAAAATAAATAAATGGATATAATGATTTACATTGTTTTTCTATTTTTTCATACAATTTAAATAATTGAAACCAATCATCATCACCTTTTTGTTGATTAATATTTGAATAAATTTTTTGAATTTGATTATTTACTTGATCCTTTGTTGAGGATGGATCAAGTTTAACGAGTACTTGGACAGCATCGGCAGTACGATCTTTTGATAATAACCATCTTGGTGTTTCAACAAACCAATAACTCAATACCAATTGAAGAATAGATGGAGCAATTGATATTAAAAACATATATCTCCATCCTTGATTATAATGTATTAATCGATATGCTATTAATGATGCTGACATTATACCAAATGTTATAGTTGATTGTCTTAACTAAAAATAGAAATAGAAAAGAAAAAGAGTTAGGGATTTAGATTTCTTCTTTCTTCTTTTTCCTTTTTCTTCATACTAATCCTAAAGCTCCACGTTTTTGAGGAGGTGAAATTTCACTAATATAGGTTGGTACTACAGCACTGGCTATACCAACAGCAAAGCCAGTGATAATTCTGCCAATCATAAGCATGGCATAGTTTACGGAAAAGGTGGCAAGGATTGGTCCAATAATAAAAGGAATGTTGTTGTAGACCATTGTGTTTCGTCTTCCAATTCGATCGACGAGCCATCCACTAGCCACACACCCAACCATACATCCTACCAAGATGATGGATACGAGTGCACTCTTTTGGGAGGTTCCCAAATCAAATTGTGTTTGGATAAAGATGATCGTAGGTGAAATGACTCCAGTATTGTATCCAAACTCTAATGTACTCAATACTGATAAACATACAGAGAAATATAAAAACCATGATGTTGTTTCTTTTTTCATCATATTAGAATGAGGAGGAGGAGGAGGATGAGAAGTAATAGAATGAACTAAAAGTGGAGATGCTTCATCATTATTATTATTATTATTAGAGTTGATTTCTTCTTCTTCAAAATCGTCCATATTGTCTATTGTTCTTGGTGTTGTAACGTTTACATTGTTATTATTATTATTATTATTATTATTATTATTATTATTATTATTATTATTATTACTATTATTACTTGAACTATCGTCACCAACAATTATATCCTCTCTAAACATTCTTCTTGATAGGTACGCGTACTTGTCGTAGCAGTCGTGGTAATATTACAACAATGATGGTGATACGGTGCCGTTGATTATCTCACACACTCTCACTCCTTTCGTCTCGTATACTACTACTTATTGGTAACAAATATTATTATTATTAGTCTTAGTACTAGTATTACATCTAACAGACAACAAAGCTTGCAACGAGTGGTGGTATGTATTATAAATTTTAATATTTTAAAATAGACACAGAGTCAAACATAAGTTTTCAAAACCAAACCAAAGATGGTGTGGTGGAATGACATTCTTTTTCTTCTAAAGATATTTTTGCAGATTCATTCAACTATTCAAGTTTGAGGACAAAGATTTAATTTATTTATCTTTATCCTCTCTCTCTTTCTCTCTCTATCTATCTATATTTAATAATGAATCAACAACAACTACTTCCAATACCAATAAGTTTAAAGATATTAGATTATTTGATTAGATGTATTGCTGAAAGAATAGGAATAGATGAGAATTGTGATAATCTGTCACAGCAGACACGAGAGTATAGGTTGGCATCAAATGCCTGGTTGGGACTGGTGTTGGTGTGTCGCGACTGGTTAGAGTTTGTGCAGAGACATGATAGGATATCGTTTCGCAAGATGGCATGGACCGACGTTGTCGATGTGGTATGGCACGTCAAGCAGAATCGGTTGCAAGCAGACTATGCTGAAATGCAAGCAAAGTTTCTATTGTCGAGAAGACACTTGGTCTATGTCAACCCATTTGATTGTATCAGAAAGATTGTCATCACCATGCCACACTCTCAAGTCTTTCTTTCGACACGTGCCAATGAACCTCAGCTCGTCGAGCAGTACTCGATCATCAAAAACATCAAATCATTCTTTCCAAAACTCCAATCCTTTACCGTCCAATACTTTATGAATGTTAGTCAATATGAAACAACCGATCCAAACGACTACAAAGATAGGGAGGTCTTGGTCAAGTCTGCGACTAGAGACCCGAGTCTGCTCGACGACTATAACCAATTCCTCTATCAACAATTACAACTATTTATCGATTCTTTGCCGTCCTCTGATGGTAGTATTGACGTTCACTTACAATTGTATGGTAATACAAGTTTAAATGTATTGTCATATATTGATCAAACTAAAATCACTCGTCTGACAATTAATTGTACTCTGATTGGTAAAGATTTGGATTTGGTTGGGTTGTTGGCCAATGTTCCAAAGACTGCGTTACAATCGATTAGGGTGCAGGATAACCTACACACCAATGTCATTCATAGTATGCAACCTACCATGATATCATTTGCACCAAAGGTTGGAACGGATTATTTGGTTGCGGCATTATCACATCCATCTCTTGCCCATATCACCGCCTTGTCGTTACGGTCTGTTGTTCCATGGGATACAGTTGGCACCATTTTCATCCAACTATCAAATATCCAACACTTGGAAATGTCATTGTCTTTTTTAAACGAGTCTGATCATACACTACTGTATGCTCGTCAATTTGGAGAATTGGACAATTTAAACGAGGTTGTTGGTAATGCATTTAAACCGATTCAATTCAATACAACACTGAGTGACCTCAAAATATCAATATATCCAGTTTCACAATCAAGAGATGAAAAACATCAATCCAACCTCTACGACAATACACCCAATGTACGATTGGCAATGCGATCAATCTATTCAAATATTTCAAAGAACAAGTCTATCAAAAGACTTTTATTTTCCGGTATGATTATAGACAGTGAAAAGGATGGTATTATATCGATTCTAGACAACTCTCAACGGTTGGAATCATTATCAATTGCAAATATTCAATCTTCACCGGAATTGGTATTACTTTCTTCGTTGATTGTTGAACGACGTTCCAATCTATTGTTGCGTCATCTATGTATCAATTGTACTTTTCAAACTGATGTTGTCCAACCAATTCAAGATATCATTCGATATGCACCAAGATTATTGCAAACTTTGGTGATTGTCACCAAAGACTATTTTACTAGTTATGAAGAGTATCAGGCGCAACAGGCTCAATTGTCAATGTTGGCCATTCAAAATAATATTCAATTAAAATGTGTAGCCAAACACAAAACCCATAAAGTATTTACTCCTTTACCTGCCACTTGGGAAATTGCTAGTACTAAATTAATTAAAAATAATATTAATAAATTTTGGTAAATTAAGTTTTTTTTTTTTACAAAGGGTTCACCTTGCTCCCTTTTTAACACAAACATTATTATTATTTGCAAGGATTATTATCTAATTATATAATGTTCACAGTAAATGGTAGTGCAATATGGATAACGGAATAGAAAAGCAGCTCGACCTCGAGTATAGGTGGTAGAGATTGAAATTACGTCACTGTGATCACGGCTGATACTTTATAGAGTCAAGTCAAAGAGTAACAAGAACGAATTCGTTCTTGTGTCTGAGAGCATTACCACCTGACTTTCGATCATCTCTCTCTATCAATCAGATGATACTCGACAACAAGACACAAATTATGTTCATCTTCACTTTTGCTTTCATCTCTTCATCATCTTCTTCAACTACTTTCTTTTTCATATTACCTCTTATGCAAGGGAATTTCAATGTATCTAAAGACGTCATGTTGGAGGATTACCAAGGTAAATATAATGTTATAATATAATATATTTATAATATTATTAATTAATATTTATTATTTTAATTTTAAAAAAGTATAAAGAATTGGACGTCAAGATTGTAAATTTCTATCTGACAATGGTGTAGATCCTTTAAACAAAGAAAGCATGAATTGAACAAAAGATTAAAATCGACATTGGTATCATCAAGCACAACAACAACAACAACAACAACAACAACAACAACAACAACAACAACAACATATGTGGTATCAACTGGAGTGGACACTGCGCTGCCAGTTTGGCTCAGACTCTAATAGACTGGGCAGGTAACATTGACAAGAATACTTTGATCAAAAGTAGTAGAAGGGGAGGTAAAGGAAAATTATACCAAGATATGTGCAAAGTCAAAACAAACAAGCTGAAAAACTCAGAGTCTGTCATACAAACTTGTATGAGTACGGCACAATTCTCTCAGTTCGATGATTTTGACTTTTCACATATTATTTAAATTTTTTTTTTTTTTTTTTTTTTTTTCGTAGTATAAATAGCGCAAAATTCCAATGGTTCTCATCTACCATCTGTGCCCGGTTAGCTCAGTCGGTAGAGCGCGAGGCTTTTAACCTCGTGGTCGGGGGTTCGAGCCCCCCATCGGGCGCATTTTTGCTCTTTTTTGCATGGGGTGGCGAGCTGGGACGTTATTTTTAACATTTCCTGAATCTCCACACTCGTGGCTACAGTGTTATCAAAGTTTCATCGATTTTGGTCAAATCCATATAGGTAAAAAGCCATCATCAACATGCTCCTTTTTTGCATGGGGTTGTGCGCAGGGACGTTATTTTTTAGTATTTCCTGAATCTCCACACTCGTGGCTACAGTGTTATCAAAGTTTCATCTATTTTGGTCAAATCCTCATAGGTCATAACCATTTACCAATGTTTTTTTTTCCAATATTAATTTTTGTGTGGCTCATCTGTGTCATCTTGGTCACCAATTTCATTTGTCTTGGCATGTATATCTAACAATTCCTGCTGTTGGTTCTTTTGTATCTATGCATTCTTTTTCTCCAATGTTGAAAGTTAAAAAAGTCTATCACCTTTAAAGGTGTTCCCCGTGTTCTTGTTACGTCACCACTCAATTCTTCTTTTGCAACAAAAACATTTCTTTCTTTGACAACAGTTTTTTTATAATTTATTTAATTTTAATTTAAATTTTCATTTTGATTTTCATAAAGTTGATATTTTTCAGCCAAATAATCCTCACCGAGGATTTGGATAAATTTAGTATTTTTAAAATAAAGTTTAAAAGAATACCTTCTAAGAACCGATGATATTGGTTTGAGAGAATAATGAGAATATTCCAGATTATAGTTGGGGGATGATGAAAAAAATGTTCTTATTTGATCCAAACTAGACAAATTTTCAAAATAGACAATGAGATATTTAAACATGTTTACTCTGGCAAAACCATCAGATTTGACCATTGAAACTAGATTATTATAGGTCATCATTTCTAGAATTTCAATTTCTCTAACGCTGTCTGGAATGTCAAAACCCTCATCCAAAGCAGTTTTGAAAAATGTTTTTGGTACAGTTAGGATTCTTGTTGGGACTGGTGTGGTAGGGTTTTGACGTTCCTCATCCTGATAGAAATTCTGATCAAACTTGTTACAACCAAAATGATAAAAACCTTCCATTGATCCAGATTCCTGACAAATAAATGAAACCAAAGTTGTTGTTTTTCGTTCAAGAGTCGATGACAAATCAACTTTTGATTGCCATGTATCCAATTTCTTGAGTTTGGGAAAATCCAAATGGTGGGCAACAATCATATAACTCTCTGAACTGATCAATTTGAATTTGCGAACCTCTGGGAAAACAACCTTTGTTTCATCTTCCATCCGACCACCAAATGAATCGTTGTGATGCAGTACTAGTACACGTAGATTTTGTAGAATCTCTTTTTCTCTCACACTTGCTGGAAACTTGTCGACATTGATGAGTTCATAAAACGACGACATGTGAATTTCCAACTTGTACAAGGTCTTTAGTGGATTACATGGATGAATGATTCGAGGATAAAATCGAATCTTGTAATCTTTAAAATAATAATACGATGGATTATTAATCACCGATATAGTATTGACCAATTGTTTAACGTGACCAAAATATTCTCTTGAAATCGTTCCAAGTGACAGTTTCCAAGCAAAATCACCTCTTCTTAATGCCAAATCACCCATAAATGGTTGATACCAACAATAGGAAAGAATTCTTTGTATCACATTTGATGGTAAAATTTGTGAGCTTGATTGATCCAATTGGGTACCCAATTGAATAGATAATTGTTCATAGGTATGATTTTTCAATTTAGTTTCTTTAAATGCCTCCAATAATCTATCTTTTGAAAGTTTTGATATTAATTGATCACCTCCATCCACTTTAAATGCTTCACAAATCGTCTTTAAATCAATCAATGTTAACATTTTTAATGATTCCTCTTGAAATAATATCATATTTTCAATTTCTTGTTTAAATTTAAAATTTATATTTGAATCTAAAAAAAAGAATAAAAGAAATAAATAAATAAATAAATAAATCTAATATATATCTATATATCTATCTATCTATACATACGAGGATCTTTTTTTGAATGATAAAGACAAAGTATTTGTTTATCAAGTATAGGACAACTATTACCTTTACCAATTTTAATAAAATCAATATAAGTTCCATTTGTACTATGATCTGTAATGGTAAATTCAAACTTTCCAATTTCATCAACTGATAATTCAATTGTACAATGTCTAAAAAAATAGTAGAAAAATTATTATTATTAATGTTTAGATCTATCTATCTATCTATTTTTTTTTTTTCTTTCATACAATGTTGAAATACCATCAAATGGTAATGATAAACTATTAGATTGAGATCTACCAATCGTAATATTATTTTGATAAGAATAAATATCAATAGTTGGTAAACCTTTGTTGTTATTACTACTGTCATCATCATCGGTTTGTGGTATAAATGAACCAAGTAACATTACTTTGGACTCTTGTTGGTGTCGTAGTTGTAATTTCTTTGTTGCACTTTCAAATCTTTGAAATGCATCTTCACCATCGTCCTTGGTCGTAGCTCTTTTTCTCTTTACTACTGGTTGTGGTTGTGCTACATTTTGATTATTAAAAGTACCAACATGTCTTCTTGGTGCAACAAAGCCTCCTGTTACTCTTCTTGCTGTTTGTTTAGTCTAGAAAAAAGAAATAAAGAAACAATCATAAGCAACTACTATATCTATATCTATATCTATATCTATATCTATATCTATATCTATATCTATATCTATATCTATATCTATATCTATATCTATATCTACATAACATACTCTTGCCATCAAAAAAGATATCTTTTTAAATTAAATTCAACTCTGAGGCTTTTAGAAGGCTCAGGTCTTATAATTTTTTTTTTTTTAATTTTATTTATTCCCTTTCGAAAGAGATAATTAGTTCCAACGACATCCAAATGCTCGTTTGAAGCGGCCACATAGACTTTGCACATCATAGATCTTGTACCGAGAGAGTTCTCTCTGTGATAGGAAGATGTTACCGCCCAAATTCCAAGTTTTTTTTTATTTTAATATACAGAGATAAATTCCCCACCAGTTTTGTATATAGATAGACAGAGATTCCTATTCAATATTTCTAGAATCGCTGCACACAATCATAGCATCATTAAATACAACCTAACATGTCATCAGTGGGGAATAACACCCCAAAGACAGACTATGCTAGCAAAAGAAAATCAATCAAGAAGAAATCTTCCTTAACTTCGCCACAAGAGCAAGCCGACAACTCCCCTACATATCATAATAATACTGTTAATAATGTAGATAATAACAATAGAACAACAACACCACATCAACCAGAAGCAGAACAAACTACAACTCAAAAGACATACTACTCTAAACCAATGAGACCACCTAAAAAGTCACTTTACTACTATGCTCCAAAGATACCACAAGTTGATACAACATCTACTTCAACCACACCGCCAGCTCAAGAAGAAGTACCAACTCAAGTAGTACAAACATTACCAACATTACCAACAACAACAAAAAGAGCATCAAGTAAAGTACCTCTAAAAAGAAAAGGAGATTTTGTAAAGCCACCCAAGACTCCACCTTCTGCTGAAGAAGTATTATCACAAGTTGCCAACGAATCAAAACCACACACAAATGGCAAAGTCAAGATTATACCAGTTCCTCCACCCAAAGAATTACCTTCCTCAAAGTCACCAACAAATGACAAAGTCAAGATTATACCAGTTCCTCCACCCAAAGAATTACCTTCCTCAAAATCACCAACAAATGGCAAGTCATACCAGTTCCTCCACCTAAAGAATTGCCTCCCCCAAAACCAAAAAAATTATATGTACCTAAAGAAACCAAACCTAAAGCAATGGATGGTCCAACAACTATCGTAACACCTCCTCCAATGAGAGAGTTTAAAACTGCACCAGTTCGTCCATCACCAATCCCAGTCGAGGCATTTGTCAAGGCACCAACTAGAGCAACTCCAAGAGAATTTGTCAAGGCCCCAGCTACAACAGTTACAGTAATTGCACCAAAAAGAGTATCAAATGCAGTATTCGACAAGGCTCCACCAGCTGAATCATTACCAGCACCCAACTTTGAATCAACAGTCCATACATCGCCATTGGTTCAAGAGGTACGACCACCTCAAACAACAACAACAAACGTTGATGCACCAGTCAAAAAGGGTCGTCCTCCAAAACCAAAAAGAGAATTTGTACCAGCATTTGATAAGCCAAAGAAACCATCCCTACCTAAAGAGACATTTGTCGAGATCCCAGAAACGATACAACCAGAAGAACCATCCAAGCCAATCTTTAAGCAAAAAGGAGAGCTTGTGCCACGAGAAGCATCCAATAAGCCAAAGAAACCATTTGTACCTAGAGAAGCCAGACCATTAAAGGAGGTACCAGTAGAGCAACCAAAAAGAGAATTTGTACCAGCATTTGATAAGCCAAAGAAACCATTTGTACCTAGAGAAGCCAGACCATTAAAGGAAGTACCAGTAGAGCAACAATATATTCCAACACCTGAGCCACCAGCTCCTGCAGTAGAAGAACATTGGCCAGAACTACCTAAACCAAAGGCATCAACACTAGATTTTTCTTTAAAAAAAGTATTTGAAACATACCAAGCAGTTCAAAAAGTTCTCCCACCATCTCCTCCTCCAAAACCAACACCACCAAGAGAAGAACCAGTCAATATTATATCAGTTCCTCCACCCAAACAATTACCTACTCCAAAGGTGGTTCCAGCTAAAGCAACTGTAGCCCCAACCAAGCCAACACCACCAGCTGCAGTCCAAACCAAGCCAGCACCACCAGTTGCAGTCCAAACAAAGCCAGCACCACCAGCTAAAGCTGCTCCACCAGTTGCTGAACAACAAGAAATTGATTCACCTGCTCCTTATGTACATCCAACATCATCCCAAAGAAAAAAGAACAAAAAGAGCAAGTTGAAACAAAAAAAACAAACCCAACCACCAAAGAAAAAGGATCAACCACCTGCTCCCAAGGTGAATGAGCCAGCTGCCGCCTCGTGGACCTCCAATTCCAAGTCCCAGAATCCAGTTATTGATCTATCAGATTATGGTGATTATGGTGAAGGTAGAAGAAGATTGCACGAAAAACGTCTTGCAGACGTCAATGCAAGAAAAAGACAATCGACTCATTATTACGAACACGCCAAGAAATATATACATGGTCACTACCAAGGTCGTGGCCTCTATCAGGATTCTGACGACGATGATGATGACGACAGTGATGATATGGAAAGTGATATGATGGCCCAGTATTTACACCATATGCTCTACCATATGGGTGCTCGTGGACCCCCAGACAGTGATGACGAATACTATGATGAAGATGACTATGACGATGACGATGAAGATGAGGACGATGAAGATGAAGATGATTCTGATAGTGATGATGGTCCAGTTTTGGACATTGACGACGATGAATCCTTGGTTATCGCCACTCCAGGTGCTCTCAAGTCCAAAAAAAATTATCCTAATCAATCAAATACTGACTCTGTTGACTAAATAAAAAAATAAAAATATTTTAATGCACTTGTATTTTTAAATTTGATTTTTTTTTTTATTTATTTTAATTTTCTTTTTTCCTCTTTTTTTTTTAGAAAGAGATAATTCTAACACCACCCAATTCACCAATACCATGAGGAAGATGATCTCTTGGACAAGCGATAAACATAAAGTTTTTGGGAATGTTTAACATGTTGGAGACCTTTTCGACGGTCGAAGGTGAAAAGTCGGCAAGGATGGTGATGAGATCGATACGAATCTTGGGGAAACATCTGTCGAGGAAGGAGATGTTTTCAGCAAAACCTTCGGGTGGGGCTTCGCTGTCGTAGCAATGAATGATACGCACCCAATTGGTCTGTTCATTGTCTCTGATATAGAGGATGGCCTTTGTGAGGTATGCGGGATCATCCTTGCTGGCAAAAAAGATGATGGACTGAGAATTAATGTCCTTGATGGATTCACCGATAAAAGTAGAGAAACGATCACGAGACTTGGTGAATGGTTTGAGAATGAGACGTGAAAAGTAGAGGATCATCTTGAGGACACGTGCACGGATAAACATGAGTGCAATGATGAGGGCAGTGACGATAAAGTAAATGGCAAAGTAATAGACAATTGAAGTGTCATTGATAATGTTGGCGGCGAGGGCAGCCAAGACAAAGCAGAGTGCAAAGATGACACCCATCCATGGAGACTTGATTTCACGTTTAAGAGAGGAACGTTTGTACTTGAGGAGCATGTTACCGACGGCAAACAAACTCATGACACCGAGAAAAGCAATGGTATAGACACCTGCGAGGACAGTGGTCTTGAAACCTGCCATAATAAAGAGTGATGTACAGACGAGGAAGAAAAAGATAATGATAAAGTGGTTGGTCTTGCGCCATGGGTTCTCGATAATGAGGAATTGTGGTAGACAACGATCGAGTGCCATACGACGTACGAGACCGATAATACCGACATAGGCGGTAATAACAGAGCCAGACAACACCAGACAGGCATCAATACCCACCCAGAGACGGAACCAGTAGCCGAGCGAACGACCTGCAACCTCGGCCAACACACCGGAAGAGTTACCGGCAATCTCGCAGACATGCAAGAAACAAAGATTGAGGAACCCAATAAGAGGGTTGAAAAGAGTTACGATGGCCCACATGTTACGAAGAGTCTTGGGAAAGACACCTGGTGATTGTTGTTCGATAAAGTTGGACGATGTTTCAAAACCAGTAACTCCAAGCATCGCTGCTCCAAAACCAAAGTAGATATTGTAGGCTGGGTCGTGAGAGATCCATTGAAAGTTGGATGCTTGACAAAAAGTGCTGTTGGCCACGTCGGGGGGTGTAATGTCGTGCCAGTTGTTTTTGAGCACCGTATAGTCACCCTTGGCAAACAAGGCAATGAAACCACCAAACACCAAAATGCCAAGTGTGATCATGTGAAAGACGAAAATGACAAAGGCGACGATGGCCGACTCGCCAATACCAACCAAATTGAGCAGGGCAAATCCACCCAACAAGGCAATCGTCGAGATGTGAAGTGGCACAGAGGGTGCCAAACCATTGAGATACTGCATGGCAGTGTATGCACTGACCACACCAGTGGCTACATAGGAAATCATCGTCAAGGCTGCTGCCAACGATGCTATTTGCTTGGACGTCGTGTTTAAAAGTACGTTGTAGGCTCCACCATTTAATGGCAATGCACTACCTACTTCTCCATACACCTTTCTGAATAAAAACAATACAAAACATACTATTAAAAGTGATACTGGTGCATACTTTCCTGCTGCTGCTGTACATAATGAACTTGTATAAAAAATACTTGATGTAATCTAAAAAGAAAAAAAGAAAATTAATTAAAATTAGAAAAAAGAAATAGATTAAATTGTTTCTTATAATGTTTCTTTGCTTACATCATTACCACAAATGGCAGTAGCCAAAAGTTGACCAATTTTATGTTCACTAGTACCATCAATCTTTTTGATTTGTGGAGCTGGTGATCCTGATAGATCGTAATTTTCATCTTTGGTTCCAATCAATACTTCTTCACCATTATGTTGGTGATGATGGTCATCGGAATTAATTGGTCCTCCTTCGGAAAAGGTAAGTGTCGAAATACTTCCACTTCCTGGATACATAAAACTATATGGATCCTTTGATCCTCCCAACAATGGTTGATCTTCTGGTGGTGATCTTCCCATTCTTCTTCTTCTTTATATATAAATATTAGTTATTAAAAAAAAAAAACTAAAAAAAAAAGGGAATATATAAGTATTAATATCACATGTCATGTTGTTTTATACATATTTACATACTATTCTATAGATATATATATATTCTCGAAATAATATTACAAAAGGGTTATGTGATATGATATGAAAAAAAAAAAAAAGTAATATCTATATATATTTTTGACCTATAAATAAATTAAAAAAGAAAAGGAAAAATGGATGGAAGAATCAAGAGTTAGCAGCAAAACTTTGACATTTGTATAATAATTGAAAACAACATATATAGAATAATTGATTGATTGATGGGATTGATGGGAATGATGGGAAATTGTGTAAAATGTGTTATGATATGAATATAGATCCAACCTTTTAAAATAACAATCTATTCTATTTTCTATCTTGATCGTTTGTAATTGATATTCGCATTGATTCAATTCTTTTTCTTTTTCGTTCGTTTATTCTCTCTCTCTTGTCTCTCTTTGTTGTTTTGAATCTTTTTCGTTGTCGTATTCTGATTTGAGTTTAATAATCTTGATATTCAATAATAATAATACTTTTCTCTTTCTCTCCTTTCTTCTCTCTCTCTCTCTCTATATATATATATATATATATATTTATAATCTTATTACAATAAAGTGTAAAACTACGCAAGTAGAGAGTAAGAGAGAGAGCATGCATGAGGAGAGGGAAGATAGACAGAAAAGGAAGAGGAAGATTTCAATGATGCAAGAAGAAGTGTGGGTGTGTAATGAATGTGTGTGTGTGTGGGTTATGATGGTGGTAGTGAGTTTGGGTGTGCTATATGGAAAACACGAGTGGATAAGAATCCATCCATCATTGGTATTTTATCCTCCGACTTGTTAAATTGATAAATTCTTTTATATGCACAAGATCTGACTTTGAGACCTTCGCAGGTGTGGTTGTTGTTGTTTGTTATAAATTTCAATCTTTCATTTCTTTTTTTCATTTCATTGTCCTTTTTATTTATCTATTCTATCTATCTATTTGTATGTGCATATAGATATTTGTATGTATGTATGTATGTATATTTTTACCTTTTTGGTTTTGATGGAATTGTTGTTAAACGACTACTAATTACTCTCTTTATCTCTGTATAACAAAAACTACTCGATCGAGTAAACACACAAAACTATGAACAAGTAGGAGATGTAAAAGGAAGAGAGGAGTCTAAAGCTAATGGATGGTAATCGTCTCCTAGGATTGCGTACAGTGTTACAACAAACGAATCTTTGATTTTATTTTTGTTTTTTATTTTTTTTTCTCGTCTCGAAAACCCCAACTGACCTTTTTCGGCGGAAGTGTTTTAAAGTCCTTCGCATGGAATCCCACCAGGGCAATGGCAATGTCGAGGGGTTTCGGCCTAGAAAAAGACCGCTCCATACAATCGTATAAATACATTTATTTTTTCAAGATTAACACTTACAATCAAATAGCCCAAAGTGATCAAATTAATGATGAAAAGAGTAGTATACATTGATTTAAATAGGGAGGTGTGACCTTAAAATTAAGGATGAACAACTCTTTTTTTTTTTTTAACCAGGGCTTTAAAGTTGTGTCCTACGACAAAAGGACACGTCAGTTTACGGAACCAACCAATCAACTATTCCTTTGAATTATCTCTCCAAATAATATCTTGTGCATAGGATCTAAAAAAAACTACAACATATATATATACAAATCCTAATTCGGAAGTTCAATATGCCTTTAATATAATTCATTCATCGATGACATTGGGAAAATTTTAAAGGTGATGATCCATTATCATTAATAATCTTTAACCACAACAAGAAATAATAGACAGAGATGACAGAAAAGATAGTAATATTTGATATTGGAGGAGTATTGGGGAGTGATATGCAATATACATTTGCAAGAGACTATGTAACAAAGCATGATGTTTCAAAATTGGCAGCGTTCGAAAAGAGTCTTGTAGAGAGATGGAAGAGAATTAGAGTAGATGAAACCTACTCTGACAGAGACTATTGGATAGATGTATTAAATGATATAAATGTACCTGTTGAACCATCACTTGTAGATAATCTAGTCATAGAAACTAAAAAGGAACTCTATTCCTATGAATCTGCATTAAAAGTTGCAAAACAACTTTATGATCAAGGTTTTATGTAAGAATAATATAGAGTAGATATAATTATAATTGTTCTTTTGTTATTAATATCATATCATCTTTTTAGTAATTGTATATTATCAAATCATGGAAAAGATTGGTTTCAAACTATTTTTAATAGTAATCCAATATTTAAAGAAGCATTCCCATTTGATGATCTAGTGGTAGTATCATGCTTTTATCATTGCCACAAGCCAGAGCAACAGTTTTACGAGTGTATGTGGTCACAGATTACCAAGCGATTCAAAGGTGTCTCTAAAAGCCGGGTACTCTTTTTCGATGACAAGTTGGCCAATGTCGAGGCAATGAAGCAATTTGGTATCGAGAGTGTACAGTATACTAGTAGGACAGACAATGCCGATAAGATCCTTGATAGTGTATCAAAATATTTCAAATAAACTGTAAACAAGTCAAAGTATAATGATATTCATCCTCATCCTCATTTCATTCCCCTTCCTCTTTGCGTGATGGTTGAAAAAATCTGTCAAATTTTATAATAATGATGAGGTTGAATTTGTCTTTAATCTTGTTTTCAATCAAACAAAGGTAGTTCATTAAAACAAACTACTATATCTATTTATCTATTTTGTATATATATATTATTTATTTTTAAAAGAAAAGAAAAGAAGAAGAGAAGAGAAGAGAGAGAAAGAGAAGAAGAGAAAGAAAGAGAAGAAGATACATTGTTGTAATATTAGATAGTAGATTGATTCGATGGCAAGTTCAAATAATAGTAGTAGTACACCAACTACAGGAGCAGGAGGAGGAGCAGGAGGGAATAATGCATCAACATACTTGAATTTTGGATTAAAGATTGGATTTCCTCCGGGCTTCACTATGAAGTACAAGAGTATGAGATTCCCCGATTACAACATTACAGTACGCGAAGCAATCACCTTTATCACACAAAAGCAGACGATAAGTAAACCTGAGTTGTATGTCTTGCAAATCAGTTACTTGGCATCGACAGAGACCGTTGCACCAATTGTCTCATTGACTCCGCAGTCGTCGACACCTCTTGGTACAAGCTTATCATCGAGTTCTGGTCCTGGTAGTTTGAGCAACAGTCTTGGATCAAACCCTACCACTCCACAGGCATCACCCATGGTGTCTCGTAACAGTGCTGCCAATACACCGGGTGCCGGTGCTAGTGTCGGTGGCGGCGGCGGCAAATTTGAACGTCGTACAAAGTGGATGGATGATAATGTCAAACTCTCTGCCTATCCCCTCTCTGCACCAGAGATTATTTTAGAGTTAAAGAAAAAGTATCAATTGATTAAAGTGGTCGAACGAGGTGTTGTCCAAACACTAGTAGTCGATGTTACACGTCCCCTTTCTGATTTTATGGAATTTATTACTTGTAAATTTAAATTGGATCAATCTGGTCATGATTATAGATTATTTCATAATAATATTGGTAAGTATTAAATATTAGAAGAAATTATAATATACAAAATGGTAATATTCTTTACTTATTTATTTATTTATTTTTAGAATTATCATTTTCAAAAGATATTAGATCATTAAATGTTGATACTACATATCCAATATTTGTGCGAGACAAGAATGACCCGAGTTTATTCAATGTTGTGGATGATCCAAGTTTGTATATTGGTGATCGAGACTATGACGATGGATCCAATTTGAGTTTGGAGGTACCGGCTAGTTCGTTGACCAATATTCTCAAAGAGGGATACCTAAAGAAACAAAATAGAAAAAAGTCATGGAACTCTAGATACTTTATGCTTACCGACAAGTTCCTCTTTTACTACAAAACACCAAATGATACAAAGGCATCGGGTATCATCAATTACAAGGAACATATCATCAGAGTGTCAGGTCCAGTCAAAAATGGTATATTGGAATTGATCCCCAAGGAAACTTGGGCAATTGCTTCTGCATCGGTTCATACTCATCCAGGTAGTTTCCTCATTCGTTTTGAAAATGAAAATGAAATGGCTTCTTGGAATATTACACCATTTAATTTTGAAATTTCAATTCCTCCATCTTCAACTGGTATTTCTGTAAGAGACTAAAAATAGAAAAGTAGAAAAGAAAATATACTTATTATTATTTTTTTATATTTTCCTTTAGAAATCAAAATCAGCAACAAGTTCAGTTGGTAAAATGGTATTTGGAGCACCAGTTGAAAAATCAATAGCACCAGGATCAGATGTACCATTGATTATTACACAAACAATAGATTATATTGAAAAAAAGGCAATGGATGTTGTTGGTATTTTCAGATTGTCAGGTTCAGTACTCACCATTGAACAATGGAAAAAGCAATACGATAGAGGTGAAAGACCAAATCTTTTTGAAGAAACTGATCCACATGCCATTTCTGGTTTATTAAAACTTTATCTTCGTGAATTACCAGAACCTCTCCTAACTTTTGATCGTTATGATAAATTTATTGCTGCTCAATGTAAGTAGAAAAAAAAAATCAAAAGAAAAAAGAAAAAAGAAAAAAGAAAATAAGTATTTATTAATTTATTAATTTTAGCAATGGATGATTTACCATCAAGATTAAAATTAATTAAACATTTGGTAAAATCATTACCACCAGTAAATTATGCAGTATTAAACAAATTGATGGCATTTGTAGGAAGAGTTGCAACACATTCAGCCAACAATAAGATGCAAATTCACAACCTTTCAACTGTATTTGGACCAAATTTAATTCGTGAGAAAAATAGTACTGCCACTACCAATGTTCAAAACCTTGTAGAGGATACTCCAATCATCAACGCTTTGGCACTGTCACTTATTAGAGATTACCCTTATATTTTTGGTGACAAGGAAATTCCAGAACAAAAAATATTTGCAAAGACACTCTACGATTACGCTGGTTCGGACGATTCAAACCCTGGTGAAGACTTGCTCTTTGCCCAGGGAGTGACCATTCGAGTGACACAACGTGGGTCTGATGGATGGTGGATGGGCGAATACCAAGGCAAAATTGGCCGATTCCCAGCAACATACGTGGATCTCTTGCCGATATCGCCGTCATCGTCCATGTTGCTTCGCACCAAATCCAACAGCAATCTTTCGAAAAAGAAAAAATTCATGCTCGAGATGGAGAATGCCAAGACCAAAGTACAGGAAAACGACAAGCTGCTCGCACAACTTGCCGAACGAAAAGAAAAGTTAAAGTTGAATGTTGCCACTCTTTTGCACGAGCAGTCGGCCATATCACAAGATCGAGAGGCACAACGCGTTCTCCAAGTCATTAAAATCGTCAAGACCAACAACCCATCGATCAGCACCATCCCACAGTCGGTAGACACGTTGGCCAGTCGTCAAGAAGACTACCGAAAGAGTCACGAGGCATTGGCCGACGTCAAAAAGACTCTTCAAACAGAGTTTGATGCCTTTGTAAACAATCCAAAAGTAAAATTAGAAAAAAAGGAAAGAGAAAACTTGCAACAAAAAGTTGATGTTTTGGCTGCCAAATTGGATGATTCTAAAAAGACTAGAAATCAATCAATTACATCAAATAGAACTATAAGTGAAGGTTTAAATGATATTAAATTCACTCTTGTACTTTAAAAAAACTTAAATCAAATCAAAAACTAAAACAATTTTACACACAAATACCAAATAACAAATATTATTATTATTACAAAAAAAAGAATAAAAAAAATTATTATTATTATTATTTATTTATTTATTTAATTTAATAATTGATATTTAATTTTATCAAGATAATTTTTTTTAATGATTTGTACACCTCTTGGCGTTGGTATGATGATTAATTGAGAAGAGATGGAAGAGGAGGCAAGATGATCCAAGTTTGGTATAAAGTGTGGATTCAAACAATCGATTTGATGTGGTTCAAGAGTATTATCAAAATGTTCGAAATTGATCATCTTTAAACATGGATGATCAATAATACAATCAATCATATCTGGTAATACAGTTGGACAAAATGATATACTTATCACTTCCAATGTTGTATTATAATGTTTGATTGCTTGGAATAAACTTGCAAATGATATTTTTGGATCATATAAATCTTCCTCTTGTTGTAGTGGAGTAGTTTGGGTTTCTTCTTCTTCTTGATTGTTGTTTGTCTTTTCTTGTTGTTTTCTGGATTTGATTAATTTTTTCTTTGATCTTAGACATGTAAATGATAGATATTTAATGGTTGCGTTGTGTTGTATTTCATGAGCCAAAATGTTTGGATCGATTGGACCATCGATAAGGAATGATAGAGATTGTAAACATTTTACCGATTGATTGATACCTTGAATCATACAATTGGTAAGTGAAGCAAGACTATCATTTCCAATACGTATTATCAATGTCTTTAATTCTGATGGTAAAAATATCTCTTTTACTTCATCTTGATATTCTGCTATAAATAAATCCAATTTTGACATGAACCAACAATCTCCCAATATATCACATGTTTCCTAGGAAATAAATAAATTAATTAATAAATAAATATTATTATATCTATTTCTTTTTTTCTTACTTCATCACAAATAATAATAAAATCTAAATCTGTAATGGTACGATTTTCATCCATAAATTCATGAAATTCTACAGAATAGTCGACCATGTGAAGGTCATAGAGTGAAAATGATTGGAGAGATGGGAGATTGAGTAACAACATCCAAGGGAAATCTGTTTGGATATTTGGATTGACATCTACCACCAAACGTTTAATACCGCTATTAAACAAACGCTCGTCAGTCTTGAAAGCTTGAAAGAATGGTATGAAAAAGTGTTCACTTGACAATCCATCAATGTATAGTCCTAGACTCTCCAATTTTGGAAGATTTGCTATAAAGTTGATCAGAGGATACAAGAGTTGTTCGTCTGAATCGAAAATGGTAAACTCTCCAGAAATGATATCAAAATCTGAACAACATAGAACCTTTAATTTTGGTAGACGTGGTAGTAATGATTCCAACATTTCTTTGACATCGGGTGTCAGATGAATGATGAGTTCTTCAACCTCTGGGAATATGACACCTTCATAAAACATTTTGTCAATGTCTCTATACTTTTTACCATAGAGTGTGATACTAGTGGCCGAATTGATATAGTCTACTAGTAGTTTGTTGTCTTTGTTGAAATTGGGATGGTTGTATGCATCTGGGTCACTACGATTGAATATGATTCTACTGGCACGTTTAAAGATACTATACGGACTAGAAAGATGTTCGAGGTAGGTAGTGTTGAACCATTGTACACCCATAAACATGTACAACGAGGATACTAGTCCGAGCCAATGTTTTGATACGAGTGCTAGGTCATGCCATGACCACTTTTCCTTAATCTCTACTAATCTGCAGAGTTCCTTGTCCTCGTCCAACACCTTTTCACATTCTAGCAATAACGACGAACTCGAACTTGGTGACAAGGTTGGATAGTTGTTCTTCTTGGCCATAAAACTATACACATTCTTGAGCATATCCTTTTCAGTACGTTGTACATCGTCTACAATGTTTGGGTACTCCAACTCACCCGAACCATCATACTTTCCTCCCAATAGTGGTGGTGGTGGAGGATCTTGATTAAACAATCTATAATTACAAGTCAAATATTCAAATATGATTTTGAATACATCTTTCTCTTGTTGTTGTTGTTGTTGTTCTTTTTTCTCTACCTCTTCTTTATCTTCCAATCTTATAGTTGAAATGGTTGCTGTAGTTGCAGTTGTTATTGTTGTTGTAGTTGTTTGAGTTATAGTATCAACTGTCATGATAACTTTTTTTGTTTTGATTAATTATACAATTATATACATAATATAATAAAGTTTCAAATTAGATTATTAAAAAGTCTCAAGATCAAACACAAGCAGACAACAAAGATGGTGAAAAAATAGATGATTTTTTTCAATTTCTTTTCATTTTTTTTATTAAATCTATTTTTGGTTTTAGATCCATCCTACACATATGGATGGTATCAATATTTTTCGATTTTATGTATATTATTAAATTATATTCTTCGGTCACGGTCACCTTCTTCGCATATAAAAGGTATTAATTAATTAATTTATAAATAAATAAATAAATAAATAATATTAAAAGTACAACAACAACAATAATAATTGAGTTTGGATTGATGGAATTTAAGCACTTTTCTTTGTGGTTCTGTTGACTGATGGTTCAGTGTTTTCAACCATTTCACTATTTGAATTATTCATGATGGATTGATAAATTGAATTGGTATTGGTAATATCTTTAAAAAAAAAAGAAGTTAAAATTAATATTTTGATTTTGGAAAATGGTAAAAAACAATTATTATTATTATTATTATTATTTATACTTACGATTAATCATTTTTGGATCTTGTAATATTATTATTATTATTATTATTTAAAGAATTGAATTTAAATTTTTTGTTTGAAGATGTAAATTGAATTTAGAATTTGAATTTGATATTTAATTTCAAGAGAGTCTCTTTCTATTTATATTTTAATGTTTGGCTTTAGTTTCTTCGTTATTTTAATTATCGGTTTCACTGATGGATTGTTGTGTCACAATCTAAAGATTTACAAATAGAAATTATCAAAAGTATCTAAATCCAGAGAGACAAGCTGGCTCCTTTTCAAGAATTATTGTCATTGTCAACTTGTTGTTGTTTCCGTTACCATTTGTACAATAAAAAGTAATTGTAAACTGTCAACAACTGGAATTTATCCTTCCTCTTCAACAACATTCAACTATTCATATTTCACTGAATCAACATCCTGTTTAAAATCCATTCACTCATTGTAATCTTGACTGAAACAAACAAGCTTGTTTTTTTTGGGTGAGTGGGGTTGATGACTTGTCATTCAGTCACCACTAAAACATTGGTTTTTAAAAGATTAGCAATAATAATAATATTATTATTATTGTGGGTTATTATCCATAGATGGATTGTAATAATAAAAAATAATAGAGTGAATATGAATAATATTGTTGTTGTTTAAAATAAAATAAACTGCATTGCTTGAATTTGGTTTGTATCCTTTCCTTATTTCTTTGTTTGAACACACCTACCCACTCTTATGATGGGGAGGAGGGAGAGAACGAATAAATAATTATCGTTTGTTTAATTTGTAGCGATTTGGAGAAATAAAGTTTGATAGATTTGGAGTGGTTGAATGAATGAACGAATGTTCTTGGTTGTTGATTGATTGGTTGGTTAGTTAGTTTGATGGATGGATGGATGAATCTTCATTCTACCACTAATCTATCATCCATTGATATTCCATTGTGATGTTGACATTTTTGATTGTAGTTGTATGTTGGTTGGTTGGTTGTTGTGAGTTTTGATTATTATTATTATTATTATTATTATTATTATTATTATTATTATTATTATTATTATTAGTTATTAAATTCTTTAGAATTATTATTATTATTATTATTATTAAAATTAAATTGTAATCAATATTTTTTATAATGATTATTATTATTATTATTATTTATACTATTATTATTATTTGTTATTATACTTTGCTTTACTTTAAATGATTACATCTTCATCATTTATATTTAAAAGGTTCTTTTCTTCATCTTTTATTCTATGAGCTGCATCATCTGGTCTCATCAATGGTAAAATAAATGATTCCCTAGAAAGAAAGAAAGAAAGAAAAGGATGGTAAGTTGAGATTCTAATTCTAATTCTAACTATACTATTGATTTGGCTTACTTTGTATCAGCAATAACATCGGAAACACTAGTGGCAGTAAAAAAGTTTTTGATGATTGGAGTAATGGTTCCACTTGGATTGTTAAAGAATGTTTTGGTTTTCTTGTCGTAGAGGAAGGGAGTTTTGTTGTAGTCTCTATACTCTTTGTAGGAAAAGAAAAAGTGGTGGCCAATGGCAACGAGAAGCATCTCGGCACAGGTGATAAAATCCTGCAACGCGGTCGATATATTGTTGATCGTCCATCCTCCACCGGCCGTAATCACATTGATATACGCCAAAAAGGAAATGATAATACCTTGCCAAAACGCAAAGAAAATGACTGATTTAATACACAAGAATTTACCAAATGGTTTAAATGGTTTCAATTCATCTTTCATTGCTTGATAATATAATACTAAATAATATAAACTCAACTAATTAAATAAATAAATAAATCATTATTGTTAGGATTTCTTCTATTCTTTCTTTCTTTTCTTTTTTCTTTTCTCTTAACATACACCAACAGATATATTTTCAATGATTGTTAACCATAGGTAACCTCTATCAGGTCTGAATTCACCTTCACCATAGTAATCTGTAATTTCTAGAATGACTGATACAATGGCAATCAACGGTTTGACAAATACAAACTGTAGTACAAATCGTCGACAATGTGTAAGAAACCTTCTACCCAGTTTGATTTTAGGTAGAAACTGTAATGGAAATGGATGGGACATTGGTTCTTTGGAATGTAATAAATCGACGACATCAAAGTCCTTTTCAACATATGAAACAATCAAACCAAAAAAGGAATATAAAGCAAATGCCTCGTAGCAATCACGAAGCAAATCAAAATAAATACTAATATTGACAAATCTAAGTGACAACCAACTATCTGTAGAGTAAATCTAATATAAAATGAATTAAGAATGAGTTATTATAGGACTATTATTATTAGTATATTTGTAACATACTGGCACCATGATTAGAATTCTAATGATAAACTTTTGTAGATCAGGACATGTATAATTTCGAAGATGTTTATAAATTAGATAGAATGATAACAATACAGCTACCAATGAACATATACCTGCTATAATCCATAGTGTACTATAAATATATATATATAGAATGAAGATTAGATTAGATATTTTCAATCTGCTGATTATACTGAATATATATGCTACACATACATAAATAATGGTGGATATTCTCTATATACACTCATTTATATTTAATATAAAGTATATTTGGTATTATTACAATCTTCTCTTCTTTCCTTTCCTTTCTTGATAGATATGATATATGAAATATGAAATAGATATGATATATGTCAGTGATCGAACGTTCGATTTGTGTTTCTACTCTTTCGCTGACTAATAATAATGAATGATGTATGATAGTACTGCTCTGCTCTGTGAGGTCTTGTTAAGTATGTTGTATGTATGAGCTGTGTGGATGGTGTGAAATTGTATAGAGTGTGTTGAATGGTGAAAAAAAATGAAAATAAATTATTTAAAAATAGACGTCTGTGTGTGTGTGGTAATATGATAGTATCTAGACCAGGCAGACAGATGAGATATGTAGTGATAGTGATAAGTTTGTTTATTAGAGGGGAATAACAATGAATAAAAAAATAAAACTAAAACAACACAAGCTAGTGCAGTGCAAGGTATCCCTCAAAAAAATCATCATCGATGAGCTGTGTGTCCTCGCAAATCGAGTTGTCCCCATTGTAATTTCAACCCTGAAGATTGAAGGGAGGGAATTGAAAAAAAAAATAAGGAGGGTCAGCTGATCTGAGGTGTCTCTACAGTTCCATTTAATTTTTCAAATTTCCGTATCTGGGATTGCTTGTTGCGACAAAGACCGAGATCTCGATTTTATAAGCCATCCCTGGTTTCCTTTTTTTTTTTTTTTTTAATTGTTACCTTTTGGAATAGTAAATTAATTTTGAATAATAAATATTAAAATGATTTATTTACCCTACTCTTTGAGAAGAGTCTTTTAGTATAAGATGTAAGGAGGTTGTTACCTGATCATATTGATCTCCACTGAGAAATTAACACCTTTCATTTTGGATTCACCTGACAAACAAGGACTAATATCCTCTCCACTCTCGGTTCCCGACAAGAACTGATTGATGGAAAAGATATCTATTCAAGTTTTCCTTGGTTTGTGAGCGAGCACCAGATTTTGGCAAAGATGGTTCCATATATTTATTTTTCAACAAAATAATAATAATAATATTAATATTATAGAGATATATGATTAAAACATATTTTTTACATAAACCACCACCCAAACAACCTTTGAGAATACATTCATAATATTCAAAAAGTTATTAGGAGGATCCTACTCCTCCTGAGCTTGGACAAATGATGCATCAAATCTGCACACACACTTTACATTTCAACGTTTAGATATTTAATTTCATTGTGTCGGAGATTATATCAGTTCAAGTGAGTAAGTCTGAATTCCCAATTTCATGGGCATCCGACATGAAAACTCATCGGACTAATTATTCGTATCATCCAATCACCAAAGGCAATTTAACAGATTTTTTGTAAAAAAAAGTAGCCCCTTTCGAAAAGTCACTGAGGTGTGGTGTAGACGGAGAAAAAGACCACCATTTCATTCATTTCACAACCACCACTAAACAAAGAGCAGAAGAGAGACAACATTGAAACAATACATATTCTCTCACTCACTCCTTTAACAATCAAATCTATTTATATACCTATATATATATATATATATCTAATAGAATAACTATAACTATAGATTGATTTAAAAATAATAGATAGATAGATAGATTGCGATTCATAGCGATAATGAATAACCATAATAGTTATTATAGTCAACCAATTATTATCATCGTAGAATCAATATCAAGATTAATTTAAGCTAATAATAATAATAATAATACCAACCATTCATTCATCCATTCATAGATAGTTATGAGTAATAATAATTATATCAATCAACCTTTATAATCAATCATTCACATCACTCCCCTTTTTGTATATAAATCAACCAATCAATCAATCATTTAATATTTAATATTTAATATTTATAAAGTGTAATAATAATAATAATACTTTGAACAAAAGAAATCATTAAAACAACAATAGAATAGAGTAGAATGAAAGCCATTAATATAATATTAATAATATTATTAATATCAAGTTTAATATGTATAAATGGAGTTGATGTATCAATGTATGAAGGGTTTGCATTTATTGGATCCAATACCAACTCGAAAATGCCATTTGCGACACTCATGTCAAAGCCCAATCGAACATTGCCATACTCTTGGACCAACCAATACCGCATTGTACAGGTGTTTACAGATTCTACCAAACTCTATGGTACCAGTGTAGCTGTTGGTCCTGGATCCTATGCCAATGGAACTCAAGTGGTCTTGGGAGCTGTAGGATCACCCAATGAAAATACAGTCTACATTTACAATGTCGAACAATGTAGTAATAATACCAATTGTGATCCAATATTTACTTTTCAAGATGTTGCCAAAAGTAAAAATTCAACTACCAAAGACACAAAACTATCAAAGAAAGAATTTGCATGTACTATTGGTGGTATCATTGGTATTGGTCAGAATTTTATAGTTTCAACATGTCAAAATGATTTAATGTCTACTAAAAAATCATCATCTCCAATTGTATTTTGTTTTATTGATGTATGTAAATCAAAATCAAAATGAAATGGAATGAAAAGAGATAATTAAATATTAAGTCTTTATTCTTTTTATTTTGGTTTAGATGGATCAAATAATACCAAATTCAAGTAAAAATTGTACAATTATTACACCATATGAAAGTGATTTTAATCCATGTCCAAGAGAAAGAGGACAGTTGTATGTAACAGCTGTTGACATTCATAAAACATATGTGTCATTTTCCTATTGTGCAGTTTGCATGTCTCCATCAAGTTCAAAAATTGCAGTACAATATCAAACTGCCTTTGAAGTATTAAATGTTACCAGTCCTGGAAATATCAAAAAATTGGCTACTCTAACAACCAATAGAACAAAGTATGTAATATATATTAGTAAAAATTAATTAATCAAAGTATCTAATATAAATATATTTTCTTTTTTCTTTTTCATTTTCTTTTTTTCATTTTAGTTCATGTCCAACATCAATAGCATTAGAATATAATTGGGTAGTTTTGGGATATGCAGAGGAATCGGCAATTGATTTATTTACCAAAATATCGGTACCAGGAAATAATTCATTTGAATTTTTCGAAACGATTGAATCTAGTGTTGGTGGATTTGGATCAGATGTTACGTTGGGAGATAGTTTATTGGTGGTTGCCACACCGGGTAGTACAAAGAATCAAGATATAACTGCTACTGTAGTGTTTTATGAATTGTATGTCGACGCCAATGGCACTTCACGAAGAGCATCGATAGAGGCAACCATACCAAATCTCAATTATGAAACAGTCTATGAATATGGATACCAAATATCATACTATGGAGATGAATTGGCAGTTATTAGCTCTGATTCTTCTGGATCAAGACTTGGATTCAATGTCTATCCAGTGTGTCCATATGGTATGGAGTGGTCAACTAAATTCTCAAAATGCTCCATGTGTCAGGCTGGTCAATTCAAGTCGGTCTCTAACCCTGCTGCCAATGCATCGTTTGAATTGTGTTATCCGTGTCCTGGTGGATTCTATACGGGACCAGTCATGGGTATTGCCAGTGAAATCGAATGTAGAATGTTTAATTGCTCAGATGAAGAGTTTTGCCCCGAAGGTAGTATCTATCCACTAGCAAATCTCCTCGTTCAAACCAATTCAAACTCGATTCCAAACCCAATCTCTACCGATGAATTGGATTTTGAAAGCACATTTTATAACTCTTATCCATGGTTCCTCATCATTTTAGGGTTTGCCGTCATCTTTACCACGTTTCTCTGTTTCCCATGGCCAACGTACAACAAGATACAAGGTAAACTCATCAAACTCTTGCTCAAACTCAACTTTTACGATTGGGATGGCGAAGAAATGACAGAAGAGGTAGATTATTTGGAACGTGCTCAGAATACATCGATCAATGGTGGAACCATGCGAGAGTCGATGGCACCATTTGGACAGAGATCCTCCAAACGAGGTATCTTTATCAGAAAACGTCGTACCAAAGTCAGACCACAAAAGGCAGTTGAATCGTTTTGTTCCTACTACTTTTTACTCGTGCTTGGTTTGATGATCCTGTTTATCGTTCAATTCCAAAAGGTAAACTCTGATCTTTCCATCGACCTTCGTGCCTATGGACAGACATCGACCGATTTGGATCTCAAAGGAAGGTACACTGAATTGCAGTACCTACGAATCATTGACATATCACCACTCGTCATCACATTGGATCTGTATGGATATTCTGGTCAGTGTATCACTGAAGAGATTGGATTGGAAATCAATGGATGTCAAACTATAAATTATATGGGAACTTGCGAGTATGACCTCAAAGTTGAACTTATCAATATTAATGGTACTACAGATTCATCTGATCAATCATCAAATGATTCTAGTAATGAAAGTAGTGAACAAGGTGGTGGTAGTAGTAGTACTGAAAGTAGTAGTAGTAGTAGTGATTCTTCAGATTCCTCTTCATCTGATTCTTCCTTTTCATCATCCTCTTCATCATCTTCTTCAGATATACCTGTAAATGGTGGAAATTTAAGACAACGATCAATGGTTGGTACATCAATTAATCAAACATGTAGAATTACAGTATTATTTGACAAGGGATCAGAATATTCAGATTTATCATCGTATGCAATCAAGATTGTTCCAACCAACAATTATTACTTTTATGCTCAAAGACTTGTTTACAATGTATCGACTGCCAACAATGAAACAATGATTGCACAAGGAAACTCATATGTTAGTGGTATTGTTCAACCACCCAAATATATGATTCTCAGACCCAGCGCTGAAGTCACTATTTTATCAATGCTTACATTCATGACGGATTGTAGTATCCATTCGTCGAGCGATGACTTTACACTTGTCAGACCAATGGTTGAAAAGTGTGAGTTTGACAAACAATCCTACAAGGATTACTCATTCATCTCCAATGCCACCTCTTATTTGGAACCAAAGGATTACCACGATGCAGATCCCTCATTCACATTCCAAGTCAACATTGAAAAGAGTGTATTCTTTAGATACGTAACATCATCACATAGTGTATCATTTGGTCAAATCATAACGGTCATTATGTTTTCCATTCTAGATGTATTTTGGGTTATCGAAGTCATTGTTCCAGTTGTCCAAACAATCGTTGCACTTTTAGAAAACGCTTCAAAAAGAGCTAAAAGAAAAGAATATGATGAAATAGGAGTAAAACCTTACAATGAACTTGAAGAAAGATCAAGTTTAGTTCAAAGTTTAAATTGAATAAATAATATATAAAGAAAGAAAATATTGGATGTCCAAATAGCCATAAATATATATATAATTGGTTGTGTTTAAAATAATTATTCTCTTATTTAGAGAGAATAATTATTTATTTATTTATTTAAAAAAGTATATTACTTTTTGAGAGTTTAAAAAAAAGGGAGTTGTGGGAGGGTTGGGATGGGAATTTGATATTCAATATCATTTAGATATATGATGTTGTGTATTATTATTATTATGTGTGTTGTTGTTATGTATATGTTTTTTATAAATAATATTATTCACTTTTTTTTTTGACTATTATCTATAGATTGATTTTCCAAGTGAAGTTAACTTTTGAATCGTAAAATTGGAGATTTCTTTACAACCAGAGACGTTGATGAGACGAACAGAGGGACAATTGTCAATGACAGATTCAATGGCGGCATCGGTGATACGTGGGCAACGAGAGAGATCCATGTTTTCGAGGATGGGACAGTTCTTGGTGAATTGGACAAGACAAGCGTCCTCAATGTTGGAGCACCAAGAGATGTTGAGAGTCTTGAGCTTCTCGAGCACTAGATCCTGAGTGAGGTTTTCGTTGGTCAGTGAGATGTATCCACGGAGACGGAGGGTGTGGAGACGCTTGGACCAGGCACCAATGACACGACGGAGACCGTGTGGGGTAATGAGATTGGAGCAGTAGGAAAGATCGAGGTTGACGACCATTGGACAACCGACGGCGAGACGCTCAAGAGCAGCATCTGAAAGGAAACGACAGTATCCAAACTTTACAACTTCTAGGTATTGGCAGCCATAGCCTTGGGAAATGGCACCGAGTGCAGATACTCCCGTATCAGTGATAGCACACTCTTCCATACACAACACACGAAGCAATGGTAATCCCTGAGCAATCTTTACAAGACTGACATCCGACACCTTTTCACATTGTGACAGATCGAGGTGGATGAGTGAATGGCAGCGTGTGGCAACCTCGACAATCGAGCGATCACTCACCTGCGTACAGCTAAATAGTACAAGACGTGTAAGATTCTTTTGCTTGGCCAGTTCAATGATGGAGAGATCCGTGACATGCTTGCATTTTGTAAGGTCGACGTTTTTGAGTTGAGTGCAACGTTGGGCAATTGCAAGAACGGATTCGTCGGTAATGTCTTCACACCAAGCCAAACTGATTGTTTCGAGATGGGTGGCGTATGCGGTCAAGCCGAGGACAGTCGAGTCATTGACAAGTATGCAACGATTGAGATCAATGTGGGTGAGGTTCTTGAGACTGTTGAGTGCCATGGATGCAGCAGAGAGGGTGAGGTTGGTGCCGGTGCCCGTGGCAGTCGTGTTGGTGGTGGTGGTCGAGTTGGCGTCGTCGTCAATCGCCATGACGACATTGTCGTGGCTGTTGTGCATGTTGCCGCTGTGGTGAGAGTGGTGGTGTTGTTGGTGTAGCTGAGTGAGTTGGTGATCGATGGTGTCATCGTCAAATTGGAATGCGTTGGTCGAGATATTCTTGGACGAGCAAAAGTTGACGTGGTGCAGCAATACGCAGCTCGCCAGCAGCGTACGGATGCCATGGTCGGTGATGCTGTCACACATGACCAGGTCAAACTGCGTGAGCTGGCGACACTTGAGGGCGAGCCGGCGCAGAGACTGGTCAGTGATGCCCTTGCCCGACAACCGGATACACGAGAGCGATTTACTATTGTTACAGATATTTACAATGGAATGGTCGGTGATATGGCCGCACTCCAGGAGATCGAGGTTGGTAAGCGTGGGGATGTTGAACGACTGGAACGCTGCATCGGTGACTTGAGCGCACTTGCGCAACTCTAGACTCTGCAGACGACGGTTGTTTTGGTGCAACTCGTGTACAGAGCTGTCAGTCACCTTGATACATCCACTCAGGTCGACGTTGGTCAGGTTGTTACAACCTCTGAGGAACGAGAGAATAGCGTTGTTTCCCAACTGGAAGCAACCACGCAACACCAGTACCTCTAGTGATCGCTTGCATGCATTTCCAATCACTTGGAAGGACTCTGAAGTGATACCGGTGCAATGAGCCAACGACAACTTGGTCAACACGTTACAACTGCTGCCGACGAAACGGAGGAACGATCCATTGAGCAACTTGGCATTATCCAACTCGAGAGTGGTCATGATGGCTGGATTGACCAACTTGGTCAAGGTGTGGTCATCTAACTGTCCACAACGTGGTTGTCGGTTACCTCCCTTGACGGGTTCTTGGTTGATCAAAAACGTGATAATCTTTTGCAACAAATCTGCACGTAGATTGGCTTGGCAAATCGTCGACAATGTATCAACTTGTTGACAAATTCTCGAAATACAAAGTTGAACCAAAGTGGTTGGTGTTTGTGGTGGTGAAACATTTGGTCTTGGTTGTAATTGTTGTGATTGTTGTTGTAACTGTTGTTGTTGTGGTTGTTCGGCCGAATTAAAGGTGGGAGTGTTTTGTCTGACTCTTTTAAATGGACCACCAACATTATCATCAACATCCATTCTATCACCGTTTCTATCACCACCACTGCTTGGTGATCGTGGTGGAGATATTGGCTGAGACATTGTTGTTGTTGTTGTTGTTGTTGGTTGTACAGTTGTTAAATTAGTAATGGCGGGTGGTGTAGTAGTAATGGTTGGAATGGTATTAGTGGGAGTGGTGGATGTAATAGTAGGGGTAGTTGGAGCTGGAAGATTATAAATATTATTAAGATTGGTTCTACTGTAAACAATACTATTATACTTTTGGCTGTCATTGTCCACATCGATAATGATTGATTTATAATCCGCAATACTATTGTGGTAATTGTGGTATCCACCAGAAAACGAGTTCTTGTTGTTTTGTACAGATGGTGATAATGGAGAGGCAGGTGATGTTGGGGTGACTGGTAGTTTTTGTGGCGTACAACCTGGTGTCTGTGGTTGTTGTTTCTTTGGTGTGGTTGGCGATGGTGCCTTGACAACAATCATTCCATCAACACATGAAATATTTCCATTACCCTCGAAATTATTATTATTAAACAATTGTTGTTGTTGTTTTAATGGTGATCTGAAACCATTATTATTATTATTATTACTATTATTATTTGACGATACTAAATTTACATAATTTTCAATGATTGATCCAGAAAGATTAATTGCAATTGATTGTTGTGGTGGTAGTTGTTGTTGTGGAGATCCCATGATAAGTTGTTGTAGTTGTTGTTGTTGGTGTTGCTGTTGTTGTTGCAATTGTTGTAACTGTTGTTGTTGGTGTTCTTGTGCTTGACGTTTAAGACGGAATGGTGAATTCATGAGATACTGCATAGTATGTTCCAAATGTTTCTCGATCGAGTCCAAAGAAGCAACGACAAACTTTAAAATCTCTAATAACTTTTGTTGGATTCTCGAAGAGGACATGAGAGGTACGCTGTGGAACCCATCCTCGAGCAGACTGTGGTAGTTGATCATTGCCTTGGTGTCTTTGACCTTGAGCGTCAACTCTTGGCAGAGTGTTTCGACGCAGAGCGAGTAGATGAGGACTGTCATGTTTTGGTTCAAATAGGTTTGGACACTGGCCATCTTTGTACGGATGTTACGGTCGGTGGCCGACTGGCAGTACTGGAGCAACTTGATGAGTTGTGTACGCTCCTCTGTCGACATGGGCACCTTGTTGATCAACAACTTGGAAATATCTGTCAAAAGAGTACGCGAAAAGGCAATGGTCTCCTCTTCGAGTTGTGGCATCTTGTCAACGATACTTTCACGCCAAAACGAGGGCGTCCAGCTAATCAACGGCTTGCAAAGCAACAATACGGGGTTATAGTAGGTGGCATCGGCGCTAAAGTACGAGTCATAGTTGGTTTGACCGTCCTTGGAGATATTCATCTGGTTTCGCATCGTGTAGATGTTTGAACAGAGTTCAGTGATGGTTGTCAACATGTCGGGCGAGGCAGCCTTGAAACGATCCCACTCGAGCTTGGCACATACCTGACTCTCGGTAACCTTGGTCAAAAAGATAGACTCTGACGATTCTGAACTGACCAATGCCAACAATGTTCGTTTCCAAAGAACAAACTTTGATCTAAATGAAGTAGATATTCTTTCCATACCAACTACATTTGATAAATTGGGATTGGTAGTTGGTTGTGGTTGTTGTTGATGTTGTGGAGATTGTGGTTGTTGCTGTGGTTGCTGCTGTGGTTGTTGTGGAGATGGAGGTGGAGGAGGTGGAGGTTGTTGAGCTGCAATGGTACGATATTGAGCATACTGATTTCTCCAATTGTTTGAACTTAATCTTGATTGGTTGACTGGGGTAGTTGACAATGAACTCGATGCACTGTTATTGTTGGAGCTGCTTGCCGAGCTAGTGTGTGTTAGATCGACCAATGGGATAGCCTTTGAAACTACATTGGCAAGCAAGTTCAAGTTACCAGCACTATTACCGGCAAGCAGGTTCAAGTTACCAGCACTATTATTGGCACTAGATGGAGTGGTATTGGATGACGACAAAGATGGTGCAATAGTACCATTGACATGTAAATCTCTAAATGAACTAGATAACTTGTACTCTACAGTCTCATCAACCATCATCTTACTATCTCCACCATCATCAACTATAATAATCTCTGCAGTTGCAACTGATGATTGATCAGCTGATTGAACCATTTGTTGATCAGTTGATAAAGTTGGTTCTGATATTGTTTGAATTGGTTCTTGAGATGGTTGTTGTGATGATTGTTGCGATGGTTGAGATGGTTGTTGTTGTTTTTGTGGTGATTGTTGTTGTTGTTGTCTTTCTTTTAAAATATTATTAACCAATGGAGATTTACCATTGACACCTTGTTTAAATTTATCAAATAATAAATGTTGTGTATTCCATGATGGTTGATTGGAATGTTGAAGGATTTTAATCAACTGAGGAATATTGGTTTGTTCTCTAACTTGATTCAATGATTCATACCCATTGTTTAAATATTCATTTGGTAATGTTTTGTTTAATTCAACTGATGAAAATAATAATGGACTAAAAAAAAAATAAATGAAAAATAATTAATAAACATATAATATTTCTTTTTTCTTTTCTTTTCTATTTTTCTTTATCTTACCATTAATTGAATTAATTTAAAATTATCTAAAATTAAATCAAAGTTTACATTTCTTGAATTTCTATATAATTTCTTCAATTGATGAATGATGAGACCCTTTGAATTATAGATGCCTTTTGGATAGGTTGTTTTGTTTTGGAATTGTTCACCCAATTCTGCAAAATAGACACAAGACTCGTTTGTCAGTTTGTTGATGAATTTACTAGAGATGAGGATATCGGCGGTATCGGTCGACATGCCACGGTAGTCAAAGGCAAGGAGGATCTGATCGGCATCGTCGATGGCACGAGTAATGGTAAACTTGGTGACACTTCCACGTCGTGTGTCGTCTGATAGCAACGTGATTTCACGTCTGCCCAACAAAATACTGCTTGGAATCTTAATGTGGAAGCCACCGACAATAAAACCATAACATGCCAATGTCTCCTTTAGCTTTTCTCTTATATATATACGATCCAATTGATGATTCTTTCCAAGACCTTTAAATTGGAATGTTTTTCCCAACAATCCCTTTACATTTTCAACAAGTGGTAAATCCCAACTACTCTTTACATTGATTAAATTGACTCTACTTGAAATTGATGTAGTAGTTTGATTTGGTGTAGTAGTAGGATTGGTAGTTGTAGTTTGACCATTTTGTCCATTTTGAACAATACTACCTTCAACAACTGAAGTATAAATCCAAATTAAATATTCTAGTCGACGAGGATGAATGGGAACTGATTTCTCTGCTCTTTCATCATGAGTATGTAATTCCCAGAGGATGGAACGAACATCACTTTCTGCCATAAACTCTACCAATAACTCACAGATCGGTCCGTAAGAGATTCTGTAGTGTTGTGACGACCCAAGTCGGCCTTGGGGCAACAAAAAGCTTTGTGTGTCTGTTACAGTGGCGGCTGCAGTCTTGTTGTGGATGTACTGTGACATGCGATAGATACTTTCCATCTCTAATTCCTTTTCTTTGTTCCAATTCATACTATTGTAGAATGCTTCATCCAACTGATACCTTGAATCAATCTTTTGAATCACAATCCCTGATGATTGAGATAAATGACTCTTTAATTTACTTAATAAATAATAATTTGATTGTTCTGTTGATAATAATTGTTGTGGTTGAATTGGTTGTTGAACTTGTTGTTGTTGTTGCTGTGGTTGTACTGGTTCAGGAACAATTGGACGATGAGAAGCAAGGATTGGTTTTTTGTTGGAAGTGGATGGAATAAACGAGGTACGCAGGATCGTGTTCAAGAGGAAACTCTTTCCAATATTTGAAGGACCGACAATGACGATGGATTGCTTATTCTTGACCCACACCCATCCGTTGAGCATCTTGTTGAGCGTGGTGGCGCTCTGGCGACTGCTGTTGAATGGCGAGTTTATAATGTTGGACAAACTGCCGCTGCTGTGGTGGTTGAGGTTGATGGCCGAGAACTGCAGCGAGAACTGGGTCGACGACTGCGGTGAGAATTGAGTCGACGAGTGTGGCGATGGGGTGGGTGAGAAGCCGGGGTCGCGGGTGGGGATGGCCGACTCGGCGTTGACGAGGTTATTGATCGACATGCTCGTGTTGCTCATACTGCTAAAGTTGCTGCGCATACTGCTCAACACGCTGCTCTGGGGACTGTACAAATAGCTGGTCGTCGTGTTGTTGGTCGTCGTATCACCACCGTGACTTGTCGTGTCATCATTGTCATCGTCGTCATCATTGTCTGCGTCATCTGTATTGTTGACATAGGCACCATTGTTATTGTTGTTGCGGACAACTCTGACACTGTCGCTTTGGCTGTCGACAAAACTACTGCTGTCGTCCTTGCTAGCGTGTCCATTACTCATCTTGGTGTCTGTGTATAGGTGTGGATGGTGTGGAATGGTGGCTGTGGGTATTACACTAGTATACGTTCCCAAGCTACCCCCATTGTTGCTACCTCCACCATAACTTCCATTGCTATTATTATAAGTACCCTGGCTACCATTATAATTACCTTGACTTCCATTATTATAAGTACCTTGGCTACCATTGTAATTACCTTGGCTACCATTATAAGTACCTTGACTTCCATTGCTATTATTATAAGTACCTTGGCTACCATTGTAATTACCTTGGCTACCATTATAAGTACCTTGACTTCCATTGTTGTATGTACCTTGGCTACCATTGTAATTGCCTTGACTACCATTATAATTACCTTGACTACCTCCATTACTATTATTAAGTTGTTCATTGACAATGTTGTAGAAACTATTCATACTGGTGTTGGCACTGTTGGTGGTCGTGGTTGAACATGACGATGATGATAGTGACTGAAGATGTTTGGTGAGTGAAGGCAAAAACGATGGCAAAAACGAGTGTGACGCACTCTTGGTCTTGGCATCAGGGGGCTGTTGGATCGATGACATGGACAATGACTGTTGTTGCTGTGGTGTCAGATGATTCAAACCGCTGTGCTTGCCGTTGTTGTGTGTATTGGATCGTGCTCTATAAACGGTTGCCTTGTGTGACAATGGTACATCGTCGTCATCCATGTCACTGTTGCTAGCACTAATAACATTGGATGATGATGCCGATGAATATCCACTGCTACTAATCATACCAGTACTACTAACAGTACTGACATTGTCTTGGAACTGTTGTTGTTGTTGATGTTGCTGTTGCTGTTGTTGTTGTTGTGGAAAGAGTAGTTTACCGCTGCCAAATGTGTTGGTACCTCCACTTCCACTACTACTACTATTTGATTGATTGTTGTTCTGCCATTGTGGAAGTGATGGAGTCGAGAGTGACATTTGTCTCTCGATTCGCTCTTCCTCCAATATCAAATCATCAATCTCTTTAAATACTTCGTTTTGTAAATCATTTTCCTCATTTTTTGCTGCAATTTAACAAAAAAAAAAAAAGTTATTATAAGTACTTTGTATTGTATCACATGACCTCTTTTCCGTCCGTTGTTTAACCGGATACTACATACGTATATCTTGTAAGAATCTTCTTTTACCGGATGATTGTGACTTTAGATGTTCAGACATTTTTCATCCCCTCTCTCTCTGTTGTGTGTTTCGCGCGGCCTCGGATCTCGATTGGAGTGGTAGTGAGTGATGATGGTGGGTGCGGTGCGATGCGACTTCGAGAGGGTATGACTTGTAATTGATCTTTTGTCTCTTGTATTGATCTGTCTGTCTGTTTGTTGTTGGTTGTAGATAGTGTGTTTGTTGTTGTAATGAATGTTGTATTACTCTTTTTCTTTTTCTTGAATTCGGATTGAGTAGTACTCTTTGAATGATATATAAATAATAAATAAATAAAATATTAATATTGCTGTGTGAATATTAATTTAACCTTGTACTACACTTTTCTCTTCTCTTTTCTCTATAATGTATGTGTACACTAACTAACAAACTAACTGCTGCTTTAGGTATACCTTTGTTCTTAATATCAAATTTCTTCAGAGTGAGGGTAGGGTGGCAAAGTAAGTAAAAAAATTTATAAAGTCGAAGCTTCTCCCGAAAATTCAAACTGGTGTGCTGAATGAAAATCTTTGTACAGAGTGTTATAAAATCTTGGGTATGGTGTTTGATGGTCAATAATTATTATTTTTGTTATTATCTATTCTCTCTCTCTCTCTGTCTATTCTTTATAATATAATTAATACTCTACATAAATAAATAGTATGATGAGAGAGGACAAGGACAGGAGGAGGAGAGGTTGTTGTAAAACTTTGAAGGATAGAGTGCCACCAGCACGTTTGTTGTTGTTGGGGTTTTTCAATTTTAAAAAAAAGAGCTGGATGAAAAGTCATATGAGACTTCCTTTTGAAGCAACACGAATCCCCGAAAAAAATACCCTTCTCTCTCTCTCTCATTTTATGTGTATGTGATCAGTACTGACATCCTTCTTTTGATAATTCCAACAAACAGATACAAAAGAAGGAAGAATGTGAAAAAGAAAAAGAGATATCATACCAGCAAACATAAAACATCATCATTGATACATGTGACAGTCATAGAAATATTATTTTCCTTTTTTGTTCAAACCAAAGGAATGAAATTGTACAAGTATGCTTTCTTTTGATTATTCTTTTTTCTTTCTTGATTGATGAATTTTTACTCTGGAGAACCAGCAACTCAATCTTTACATGTATTATTAGTACACAATCAATCATGTGATAAATTCTATAATATTATATATAATATCATGTGTATCATTCAACTACCTCAAATCATTCAATTTCAAATATTAGATAATGTTATTGTAGAACTGTACAAAGAGTATTATCTAGCATTGAAAGAGCTTACTCTTGATAGTATTGGTGGTACAGAGGCAACGTTGATAGCATGTAAGAGATACCAAACACTAGCATTGGTATCAAAGACATGGTTTAGATTCATACATCCTCATCAAAAGATTGCTTACCTTTCTCGAAATTATCGGTTCATGGATGACCTAGTAAACTCTATTGATTGTGATATTGACGATGAAGAGGAAAAAGCCAATGACAATACAAATGCATTATATAGTCCAACTAATTTACATAATCACATTAGAAAGTTGACATTGGCAGTGACAATTGAAAGACAACAAACAAGATTCTTTTCAATATTGTCAGATATTGGTAGACACTTTCCAAGGATCAATTATCTAACACTAGATTATCAAAATGAAGAGGATCTACCAGACCATCAAGAAACCACCATTGAAATGATACATAATCATCGTCATCACACTGGTCGTGAACATGTCAAAGAGTTTCTAGGTAGTATTCCATCGGGTATACCGTTACATATCCATTTCTATGGTGACACTAGTGCAAATATACTGTCTCAATTGACGACACTAAACACCACCAACCATCATGATGGTAACATTTTGATTGATCGATTGACAATCAATTGTTATACTATTGATAAAGAGTTGGATCTACCGACACTGGTCGATCAGTTTGGTATTGGTAAACTGAGGTTTCAGTATGGTGATCGTGATGAACTCGATGGGTTGGGACCTTCCGACATCAATTATCCTCTCTTGACAGGTATCGAAGAGAATCTAATTGCAAGGGACCAATTTAGACACATACACACTTTGTCATTTAGAACACCTATTCCATGGTCATCTGCAAGACAATTATTCAATACTACAACAATCGAGAATTTAGAGTTGTCATTATCATTTTTTGAATTAGTTCCACCATCCTATATTCAACATTTCATTCAAAGTCTACAGGAAAACTGTCAAGATACTTTTGAAGCACTACAACAAAATACAACTGTCAAGAAACTCGTTCTACAATTTCATCCATTTATCTCTAGTGGATTAAGACATTTTGGTTGGTCAAATGTGTACATACGGTATAAAGAGGAATCGAATAATGCAATGTTAACTATTAGCAAATTGATTGGTGAAAATAGATCGATAGAGTCGCTGTCATTGGTTGGATTTCCAATATTCAATCAATTCTCAATTGAAAATATAATCATTCATCAAAAAATGACATCTCTATCGCTTTCACATATTCCAGAACCCAATTCAATCAATTTGCTAGAGAGAGCATTCAAATCGGTAAAAGAATCAACCAACAACGATCGAAAGAGTCAAATCAAACACCTCTATTTAAATTGCACACAATTTATGAAATCAGAGTGTCAAGAATGGTTATTCACCATCAAGAATCTAGTGTTTAGACAACCTCAAATCAAAAGTGTCGTTTTATATGTCGACGGAAAGGAAATGCCAGCCAAATGTGACCGTCCATCTCTGCCACGAGTCAGATACATTGATGCACGACACAAGACCAAACAAACAAAAAATGATAAAAGAAGTTATGTTCATCATTCAATCTCCATGTCTCATTCTTGGGAATCAAACTCTCTTAAAATAATTAGAAATCTTCCAAATCATTTCTTTTAAACACCTTACCTCAACGATGATGAACATAACTTATTAATTAGGAATAAAAAGGATTCAAATAATAATACTATTTGTTATTTGTTATTTGTTATTTTATTTTGTTTAATCATCATCTGACCAATCATCAACATCTGGTAATGTTAGATTTTCTTTTACTAAATTGGTTGATGAATCATTATCTAAATAATTAAATCTATTATTATTATTTTGATTATTATTTTGATTATTTGGTGAATGATAATCTTGATGATTATTATCGTCATCTTGTCGAGGTTGTTGATCAATATGATTATTTGATTGATCAATTTCTTGTTGATATTTTGATGTATCCCAAACCATGATTTGTTTATCGTTTGAACCAGAGAAGAGGAGTTCTTGGTTGGGATGGAATACACAACAAGTAACACGCTCAAAGTGACCTTTGAGATTACGAACTAGTGTACCTTCCTTGGCATCATATAGATTGATTGTTTTGCCGTTTGGATGGAACAGGTATTTAGAGTCGTAAGACAGTGCCATTTGATTAGACAGTTTGGAACCATTGATAGAGTTGGGAAAGTCGGTAAAGGTGTTCTTTCCAGTCGTCATATCCCACCGTCTAATCTTACTGTCGTTACCCGTACTGAGAAGTGCCTGTCCATTCTTGGTCCATACAATCGATGTTACATAGCCATTATGTGCAAACGGTGCATCTTTGGCAGCCATATTTGGTGAGTTTTGTGAAGACGCATCTGTAAATTTAGATGGTTGTTTAAAATATTTTCTAGATTGTGATTTCAGTGCTCCGTATGGTTGTAGTCCTCCTCCACTACTCACTCCACCTCCACCCCCACCTCCACCACCTCCTCCATTTCCAGAATTAGTTGTAAGTGAAGAAGTAGTCGTATTTTCATTGTGTTGGTCAAGTGCCATAAGACAATTATCTGATCGTCTTATATCCCATAGACGGATAGTCTTGTCAATTGATCCCGTTGCCAGGATATGTGGTGAGAATGGAGACCATTGTACACACAAAATACCCTCCTTGTGACCCGACAGACAGTGTGTAGACGATGCAGTCCTAATGTCGCACAACCGTCCCTTTTGCGACGACGTAACAGCAGCCAAGAGCAGAGTCGATGATGGGATCGCAGACATGGCCACAGCATTGACCGAACAGCCCAAATCAAAGCTTCTCGATATCTTTTCCTCATTGGTGTCCCAAACCTCTGCAAATCCATCGATCGACCCAGAAAAGAACATACCAGTGTCAAATGGATACCATTGTACACACGACATACCCTTTGCCAAATTATTGTCTCTTCTAGGATTTGTAATCTTTGTCAAACATGTTATATGATTCGTTGGTTGTTCAATTTTTGTTGGTTTCACTCCATCACCATTGGATTGTATAGGTGGTGGTGGTGGTGGAGGCAAAGATAATAAATCATAAATACATATAAATCCATCTGCACCTGCTGACATTAAACTAAAGTAAAGTAAATCAAAAAGTTAATATCAATAAATCTTCAGCTGATGATCATTCAACTTTTTGTATGTACATACTATCTATTTTCAGAAGCATCTATATCTAAATGATTGATTGAAGCATAGTGAGGAGATGTAATGAATGTTTTAGTTGATAGATCTAATCCTCTCATTCGAAGGTCTATCTCATCGCTTTCATTCTTGACGACATATGTTAATGATGATGATGAGGTTGATGTTGGCTCTCCTCCATCAGCAGATGTATTCAACAGATGATTACTACTCTTTTTTACTTTTGACCCAAACTCTCTTAATAATAAAAAATTGTTTATCTGTCTATTATATGACATATCATTATATGTATCTCTTTGAAATTAATTAAGTATGTTCACAATGAATAAAGTAAAGTCAAGCTGAGCCCTTGTGGGTGCTACTCGGAATTCAAAAAGATATCTTTTTTTAATTTAAAAAATGACGCTTTACAAAGAGTAGTTCAAACTTTGTACTTTGAAGTCACATACTTTCTATTTATATTTATATCTTTATTTGTATTTATAGAAATAGAGAGGAATGAGTACACAACAATTAGATAAATATGTTGTACCTTTTGGATTGGTGTGTGCATCATCGGTAGCATTTTACTATTGTTGGTTCAAGAGACAATCAGAGGACACAAAGAATGTTTCGGACAATAGATACGTACAGTCAATCAAGTATTGTATGGATCAAGCAAATATAGATTCAAGAATTAGAGAAATACTACTTGAAGGATGTAAACAAGAACTTCCCTTTGATGATGAAAGAGAACAAGAACGTCAGAAACATATTGAAATCATCATTGTACATGATACCAAAGTATCATTGGATTTGGTAGATCAAGTTGGTCTATACTTGTATAATAAGAGTGTAACAATCAAGAAATTACTCGCACTTAAACATAAACAACAAGCTGCTCTACAAAAGACGTCTTTTGGTGGGGAAGCCGAGTTAAAGATTTATAGTATCATGTCTGATGATTTCATTCACCATGATCCACACAAAACATCCAATGGTCTAGTCAAGTTGATTGTGACAATCGACTCTTGTTACCCCAATTCATCATTTAAACTGTTACAACTAAATGCCAAAGCATCTCAATTGTTGTCTTGTAGTCATCCCCTCATCAACTTGTATGACCATCAAATCTCTGATGACGCTTCACAAGACAATTTACCTTTGACTGTATGTATACTATAAATCATAATCATACTATACTATTATTCCATTTATTTATACTAACAACAACAACAACAACAATAACACCATTCTGACTATAACAGAAACAAAGTATAGAGATGGTACTTGGATTATCTGGATTCCAAGACGCCAAAACAGAACAATTTATAAATGGACATAACCTCACTTTGATTACTTCAGTTTCACCTAGTTGGCCAATTGGTCAATCTGATCCAATCAATCCAAATAATCAAAATACAACTAAAAGTTAATCATTTATAATAACTCGTTGATTTGTTTATTAATTAATTTATTATTCTTTTAATATTTACATATCTCTATCTATCTCTATCTCTTTATAGAGAACCTTTCTTTGTAAAAGCTTTGATAACATATTTGGCATAGGAAGGATTATTTGTTAACCAACGACCACTCAAATAGCTACAACTGAGGATAGCTCTATAGTTGTTGTCACGAATATAATTCATTGCGCCCGATGCCAAGATCTCTGCTATGCCTTTACCTCTTTGACTTGTTGGAACAAATGTATGATGCATATCAAATTCATTATCTATTCTATGATAGTCTAAATGTGCAACATCTTTGTGTATATGTGTAGTAAATCAATCAGAATGAGTACTCATATATCTATCTTTTCTTTTGTTCAAGACAGCTGATGATCGATTGATTGATATCTACCTCCATTTTCAAAGTTCATAGAGAATTGACTCGAACTGGGATGATGATTAACTGGTGGTGTAGTTGATTTATTACTTTGTTCTGACATTACTTTGTTATCAGTGAATAATATAATATATTATAATATATATAATATTTTTTCTTATACAAAATTTAATAGTTTTAACTTGCCTCCTTTTATCTTTGTTCATTTTTTTTTTTATATTATTAATTTAGCGTAGTACGAAGAAGAATCCTCAATCAATCTCAGAAGAATTACATCAAATAGCTCAGAAGAATGCAATTCGAGTCATAATTAATATTCTTACATGTAAGATTCATTAAAGTGGAGTAATAAGAGTTATTACTTCGTGGCATTAAGTGATGATTTTGGATACAATCAAGGTATGTGATGTCGTTATATTTCATTAAACAGAGAGAATATCAAAGAATGATCGTGAGCGTTTGCACGGCAGGTTTTAACGATCAATACAATGCCAATAAGCAATCGTTGCGATTTCAGTAGACAAGGCTTGCACAAGGAATAAATATCTTCATGACTTGTTGATGGAAAGTGACAATAATCCATTATCGATTCATGTATGTCCATATAGAGTTGGTTATGACTCTCTACTAATTAACTCCATCTACTCTAAAGAGATCACCCTCCCAACCAAAACACAATCAATATTCAACTAATAACCAATATGTTAATAATCAATATCATCATCAACCAAACAATAATCAACAGCCTTATCAGTTTCGTCTTTGACCGTTAATTGGTAACCAGTTACATCAACAACAGTGAAACTACAATCGCCATGAGCTTTTAAACACCACTCGAAAGAATGATCAAGAGGTTTCGATGAGCATCGATTATGTTGTCGATGTCATTATCATGATTATTAACTATTGTTTCATATAATGTCATGACAACAGTAAATAATGATAATGGCATTGACAACAACCTCTCTACTCTACCAACTACATTATTATATAGTATGTATACATAATAATTATGAAAATTGTGATTGATGATTTATACACATTAGGAGTTCCATTTACTCCCCTTTATTATTTCTTTCCTATCCCTATTTTTTATAAAAGCATAGCATGATCCTTTACAAACATTTAATTAAATTAGGTATAATTACAAAAATACTCCTTATGTACACTAATAGAAAGAGTGGAGAAGAACATCCAGAGAGTCAACAGTATCAACTATCTATAATGAAATCCTTTTTAACTTATGTAAAAAATAATAAATAAATAATTATTATTTAATTTAATTATAATATTTTATTTATTGAATTATTTAAATGTTGACAATAGTTTGGTGAGGAATTGATTATTGTGGGTCATACCATTAGCTATGTTTTTGATATTAGTCGATAATAGTCCGACGAGGGTTGGGTCAGATACATTTGTAGTGATGGCTCTATTATCAATTTTATTATAATTGAAATAAATTAATCGAAGGATACCTGAATGTTCAAACGAGTATCTGTAATATTTTATCAAGGGTGAAAGAGAAACTCCCATGTCGATGAGGAGTAGAAAGAGGTCTGGATCCAAACGTTTTGAATATGGTCTTTGGGACAGAGGAACAGCATCAATGATACCATTCTCAAAGAGTAATCTAGTGGTTTCGATAACCGACTTGTTACCAAGGTCAAGTGATGTTGGTTGTATTTGGAGCTTTGGGATGGACCGATGGTGCCCATTCTCGACAATCCATTTAATAGTTGACAAATATCCCAACCTAGCCATCTCTTTAAAATCAAAATTAAATGTTTTTCCTGAAAAGTAAGAGGATGAGGAGGGATCCATGTCTTGAACGTGTGAAAATAGCCAAATGAGGTTATGTTGTTTTGGTTTGATTGCTAATGAAATCATTTGAACAGTCACTGTTAAATTACTTTGAAATCTATCCCATAGATATTGAAGTACCGATACACCACGATTGACCGCTGCTGATTTAAATACATTTTGAATCTTGTTGATTTGTAAAATGGAAGTTTCTCCAAATCGTTGGTACATAAAGTCGAGTATCTTTAGACAAGTATCGTCATCTACATGCGTATACTCTACCAAATTGGATAATGGAATGCATTGTCCTTGAATTAGCGGGAATAGGTATTTTGCCAAATCCAACCTACCCATACGTATTGCCCTCTCAAAGAGATTATCGTAGTTTGGTTTATCCATTCTAGCCAACAAGAATTGAATTGTTTCAAGTGATGGTTTTTGATCATCGATCTTGATTTCTATCGAGTTTTTGAGGAAATGTGGATAGTCTCGATCGATCATTTCAATAGACTCTTGCAAGTTCATGGGAATTGCATTTGAAAACAACAAGTATTCTACTGATGATTCATCACCTTCTTCTTTCTTGATTCGATATACGTATTCGAGTATATCATTGTTTCTAAACTTGAAATTTTTTAGGCCTTTTGGTAAACCAATCTTAAGTCTAGCCTTGATAATCTCGAATATCTCTTTTCTATCTTGTTGCAATGATCTTCTGGCAATATCCTCTATGTCAAATGGATTTCTAAATATTGAATTAGCAGCCAAAAGTACTTTGCATAAATCGGTACGATTATGATCAATTGTGTAGTAAATAGTATTATTTGAGAATCCTTGGTTTTTATTTCCCAATAAATAGATTACCATTTCTATATTTCCATTTTCAATTGCCTATATTAATTAAATAAAAAAAAAAAAAAAGGAGGTTAATATCTTTTTTTATCAAATGATTATACTATATATATATATAGATATAATACATACCATTTGAATAGTAGTTTGAGTACAAAATGATACATATTCAGGTACGAGGAACTTTACAATATGAAGGTGACCTTTGCCTACTGCTTTATCCAATACTTTAATCATGATATTTTTAAATATGTTTGTATTTGTTTCTATTAAATTCTTGAGCGCTACCAAGTTACCAGTTGAAGCAGCTTCGCACATTAGTTCTTGAAAATTAAATAAATCATTATGAGCACTATAATGATGATTTTTTTGAATCGTTTTAAAAAGGTCATTGTCTCCTAGTTGCACTGCATTGATAATTAATCTTGACAAAAGTGTCTCTAACCGTTTGTTTTTGGCAAGATTTAAAGAGATGTATTTATACACTCTTGATCGTAGATCTGATGATTGTATTGTAATAGAGGTCGGCCAAATCTCTGCCAAATTTGAAAACGTTTCAAATGGTAGATAATCAATGATTTCATCACGATTGTTTAGTTGTTTCTCTACTTGAATACCATATTTAATGGGTTTAAACAAACTAGACATATCTATAGAATCATTGACGACTTTATATTCTTCTTCTTTTGATTGCTCCATTGCCCACTTGAAGATTTTAGTTTGATTATAGTATACAGCGTACCAAATGATAGAGTACGGTATTTCGGGCAAGTGTCTAGACAACCTCTTCCAAATCTCTTGAATATAATCAAAGTGACCGTCTCTGACTATGAAATTGATGATGGTCATATAATGAGGCGTGTAAGGTATATCATCTCCTTGTTTTGTCCAACGATACTTTGGATAGACGACTTGTTCTTGATAGGCAATAATCTTTTTAATTTGATCAACGTAACCATGTCTTGACAACTGATCGATATTATCTTTTAGTTCGTTCCATCTATACACTTTTAAAGGTCCATTCTTATCTTTTTCACTTGTTCTTTTAAAAGTCACTCGATCAATGTAGTTGTTGTGAGTCTTCTTGTTGTGTATGTTGCATACTTCTTTCAAGTGATAAAATATACATCTTTGTATAATCACATTTTTGAACAATCTTGGAAATAACTCTTGTTGATGATTATTATTATTATTCATTGTTTCTATCAATAAATTTTAAAAAAACCATCGCTCTCATATGTGAGTTCTCTTTATAATATGATAATAAATAGAGATAATTTTTGTCTTATTTCTTCATTAAATGAGACCAACAACATTATTAAATATTATGAAAACATAAATATTATAATAATAGTGATGGTTTATACACATTAGGAGTTCCATTTACTCCCTTTATTTCTTTCCTATCTTTAATATTTTTTATATTAGCCTATTATAAATTAGTAAAAATTCTTTAATTTATTTGATTATTATTTTTGTATTAATTTCAACCAAGTGTCAGGAAGAGGGTGCTCCTTTGGTAAATATAAATACTTTCCATATATCCAATTTACTATATATATTTAATGACCAACTGGGACAATTTAAACAGCTGTTATATGAATGAATCAATGAATGGTCAGCTAACTTACACCACCTGTACCCGATATGCTGTTCAATCAACATTATTATCAACATGTTATTGAGGGGGAGTCGTAGTAGTGATGGTGGCGGTGGTGGTGGAAGGATTTATAATTTCATATTGGTACGCTTGCCAAGATTTATAAATCGTGATCTGGGTTATGTGAAATGAGTGTTTCTCTGTCTTGTTGTTGTTGTAGTTGTTGTAATGGTTGTTCTTGTTGTTCTAGTTTTTGTTGTTGTTTGAATAGGTTTTTCTTTTTATCTTTAAAGTAAAAATCGGCAGCCATTATAAGTACATATGCAAAAGAGATGACTGCATAAACGAATCCATCCTTTGGACCCCATTCTACCAAAGCATAATCGTCACGTGAAGCACTATTTGTGCCTCTTTTGAGTCCAGAAAAGCTTGTGCAAATGGTTGAAGCTCTGATACCAGCATCATCATCATTATCAGTGTCAAGACACAAAGTCTTGTTGATCGTGAAAAGATTGAGCCAAGTAGCTGCCGTAGAAATAAGTAAAAGAAACAAAGTTACATAACGAGACCACAGTGAAATCTTTCTTAATCGTTGATAGGATCCATGTTTCATTTTCTTAGCCATAATCTTGCTAGTTATAATACCAAAACTTACAAGTATCTTTCAGAATCGATATTAATATTTATAATATTCAATCTCTCTCTCCCTATGCGTGACATACCACTAAAAAAGAGAAAGCTACGAGGTTATAGGACACACGGACCTTGTCTGTAACTGCTGAGCCAACTGGTTGCGTTTCTTGAATCTCTATGCCTAAAATAGCATTTTCATCAGTTTGACCCAAAGTGGTTGTAACACAATCGATAAATCTACATTCTTGATAGTAATGCCTAATGCATCAAGTTGAGAGAGAGAGACATGCAGGTGAGTGATCATTTGTAAAAAGGATAATATACATTAGTTAATGTTTAATATTTCATTCATTCAATTGTCATCAACCATACCATGGCGAGATAAGCGTTAAAACCAAGAACATTGATACGGAGGCAAGGAATAAAAAGTAAACTTTCTCAGTAAAACTACATATTCTGTCTTTCATTGTCTGATCTGTGACCCTAAATTATAAATAGATAAATAGAGATTAGATGCAGTGATCAAAAAAGATCCTTCCAAAGACCATCTCGAAAATTTTCGGACCAATATATGTTAGATTTAATTATTTATTAATTGTTTGTTTTAAGGTTTTTGATTTAAAGTTAAAGACATTAGATCCAAGATGAATAACATGATCATGTTACTTTTAGCTTGAACAATGTCCTCCCAGAAAATGATGGCGGTTGAACCGAGTCGTCGAGCCATGCTAATGACATACTTGGCATTTGATTTGCGTGACTCTTCCGTGTCGACTTGACTTTTAGGTTCGACCAACTTGTAGTCAATACTGCCTGCGTGTATAGACTCGAGGAGATCGAGTAAAAAGAGACCGTCACGTAGACCTGAATCGCTAAACCCTTTGATTGTAATGTTGCTGGCCTTGTCGTTGGTTTTGGCTACTTGTTGTACACGGGCATTTGCCCATTGCACCAAATCACCTTCTGTAATCTCCTTGCCATCCTTGCCTTTAAGACTAACCTTTTTCATACAGCTGTATCGCATCATCTGCCACACAAACGACAACAAGTATTTCTTGTGACAATCGACAAAGTCTTTGCCGGCAATACCAACCAATGAAAACTTTAAATCTTTACCTAGTTTGACGCAATAGTTGCAGTTTTCCGTCATTGAGAATGTGTTGGATGGCGTCATATTCACTTTTTTCCAATTGACAATACCCGTCGATATTTGATCCAATGCTCGAAGTAACAACAGTCCGTCTTTAAAATCATCCAAACTGGATGCCGAGATATCGACTGTCTTGAGCCATATCTTGGCTGCCTTTTCCTCGCTACTCGGTGTATGGTTGGGTAATTCGGGTGACAGTACCAACATTTCCTCCGTTAGTTGAATTCCCGATTTCAAGTCAAACAACTGAGCCATTAAAAAGATTGCTTTGTGTTCATCCGACTCACTCTGCAAATCCAATAATGTCACAATTCTAGGACACCCCAATACATTCTTTATATAATCTATAATCTCCTCAATTGAACTATTCAATGTAATTCCACAATCCGGATATAATTGTTTCATTATTGAATTCCATACTTTTAATTCCTAAAGTAAAATAAATAAAAATTAATATTAAATTATATTATTTCTTTGTTTTTTTTTTTCTTTCTTTCTTACATTTAATTTTGTAAAATCTTGTTTAATAATATTTTGATCCTTTTTTAAGAAATGATTAAACCATCTTTTAATATAGATTGATGGGTCCAAACGAACAAAATTATCCCAACTTTCCTTTTCCTTTTCATTTTGTTTTAATGGGTTATTTTTCCACAAGAATGCCAATTCTGGATGTTTTTCTAAATTGATTGTATGTAATATACCAACATACAACACTTCAAATAATAATTTAAATAATGCTACATCCTATAAAATAAAAAATGGAAAAATAAAAATTAACATATAATATAATTGAATATTTATATTTTTTGTCTCCATACATTATACATAATATCATCAACTTGGAAATTAGTATATCCACCAAATAATTTCAAAGTACTAATGATTAAAGTTAAATTGTCCTTGTTATTTTCAATTGATTGATTATTATTATTATTACTACTATCATCTGTAACTAGTAATGCTCTAGTATCAATACAATCATTGATATAATAATTTAATACATTACTTGATTGATTATTATTTTTAAATAAATTGAATAAAAGATTAATATAATTGGATATATTTGTTTTCTTTTTCTTTTTTTGTACATACCAAAATATTTTACCAGTTAATAATTTGTTAATAGTACAATATTTACAAGTAATGGATAAAGATGAATCTGGTAATATTTGTAATACATGTTTAACCATTTCCAATTCTCTACCATTTAATGATCCTTCTATACATGTGTGTTGCTGATTGCTACTGTTCTCTCTAGGAGTATTATTACGAGAACACTCTGCAATTGCAATTTCCTTTTCTCTTTCAATCTCATCAATCTTTAATTTATGAATTTCTAATAATCTTGATTTCTCTTGTTCTTGATTAGCCAATTGATTAGCAAGACTATCCAACTGTAATTTCAATTTTGCATTTTCATCTTTTAATCTTTGATTTTCTTCTTGCAACAATGTATTCTCTTGTTTTAATCTTGTATTTTCATCAAATGTATCATCAAATTGTTGTTTTAATCTTGTTATTTCATCTTTTGATCTTTCAATTTGTTCTACCAATTGAGAGGATTGTTGGTTTGATTTGGCCAATTGTTCTATTTCATCTACCAATTTTTGATTTTCCTCTGTCAATTTTGTATTCTCTTGTTTTAGTCTTGTATTTTCATCATCAAATTGTTGTTTTAATTTGATCATTTCATCTTTTGATCTTTCAATTTGTTCATTTGATAGAGTCAATTGTTGATTTGATTTTGAAATTTCATCTACCAATCTTGCGTTATCTTGTTTTAATCTTGTATTTTCATCAGATGAATCACCAATTTGTTGCTTTAATCTTGTAATTTCATCTGTTGAACTTCCATTTGATAGAGACAATTGTTGATTTAATTTGATTATTTCTTCTGACAATCTATGATTTTCATCCTTTAATCTTGCATTTTTATCATTTAATCTTCTATTTTCATTATTTGATTGATTTAATTGTTCAGTCAATTGAGAATTTTGGTCATTTGATTTGGTTAATTCATCTACCAATCTTGTATTTTCTTGTTTTAATCTTGTGATTTCATCTGTAGATCTTTCAACTTGTTCAACCAATTGAGAAGTATGTTGATTTGATTTGGTCAATTGTTCATTTAATCTTGCATTTTCACCGTTTGATTTGTCTACTTGAACTTTTAATCGAATGATTTCTTCATTTGGTTTGGTAGATTCATTGATTAAATTGGAAACTTGTTGGTTTGATTGATCGACTTGATCTTTTAATCTTGACATTTCATCATTTGATTTGATAGCATCATCTTTTAATCTTGTAATTTCACCGTTTGATTTGGCAATCTCTTCCATTAATCTTGCAATCTCGTCTTTGAGGATAGTGTGTTGGTCTTTGTCTAGAGTGGATTGATCCAACAGTCTTGTCAATTCACCATTTGATTTGACAGCATCTTCTTTGAGTCTTGTCAATTCATCGTTTGATTTGACTGCATCCTCTTTGAGTCTTGTATTTTCATCTTTTATCAAATTAATTTCATCCAATTGACCTCCGAGTTGTAAGTCTTTGTTGGCACAAGACTGGCATGATTGATTGGTCAATCGATCCAATTCAATTTTCAAATGTCTGATTTCCAGTGAACTACTATCCAACTGTGCAGTCTTGTCTATACAAGATTGGCAAGACTGTCCTTTGAGACGATCCATCTCTTCGATAAACCCACGTTCCTTTTCATCCAAGTTGACAATCAACCGAGATATCTCTAATTGTTTGTCATTGCAAATGACACATTCTTGAATTTGAATCTCATCAATTTCCAATCTATGCTTATTCATCAATTCCTTGATACTACTTTGATGATCTGATTTGGTATCTTGTAATTGTTGGAGTGCTAGTTTTCTTTCCTCCTCACATGTCTGTAACGACAATTTCAACTCTTCCAATTCTTTGGCATGACTTGTTGCAAATTGATCCATTTTCGATACCAATGATTGATAGTCAATGTCTCTAGCCGACAATAATCCATGTAATCGACTAGTCTCTCCTTTTTCCCTATCGTGTTGACCAATCAACTCTTCTAATTCCTTTTTGACTTTTAGAGAATACTCTTTTTCAATTTGTAATTCGTCCTCTAATTTTTTAGCTGCCTCCAAATTCAATGTTAAATTGTGTATGCTAAACTCTTTTTCTTTTAGTCTTGATTCTAATATCTCCATATTCTTATTATTTTCCAATTCCAATTTTCTATATTCACTTAATAATGTTGTATATCTATCTTGTACTTCTTTTATCATATTCATCTAAAATAAATAATATATATTAGTTTTTTCTTCATTTCTTTTTCTTTGTTTACTTGTCTTACAATTTGAGGATTTTTCTCTGGTTCAGAATATTGATCTTGTAATTGTTGAATTGAATTTTTTAAAAGGTCAACATTCTCCTCTGATTGTAATAATTTGGTCTCTAGATCTTGTATTCTATTCAGTCCATCCAATTCCAATTTTGCATTGATTTTGTTGTTTGTTGCCAACTTTTCATTCAACTCTACAATATCCTCTTGCAGCTCTGATATGGACAATATATTCCTGTTAAATCTTTCACTTATATCCTTGTTTTTATTACTTGAATATAATGCAATCAACTAAATTAAAATAATTTTTTAAGATTAATAAATGAAACAAATCAACTAAACATATATATATATTAGAATTTCATACCAATAAAATAGAACTACGTTTTAAATTTTGACTTGAAATATCATTTTCAAGATCTTCTTGTTCTTTTAATTGTGATGTCATTGAATCATCACTATCACTACTATCACTATGAATATGATCTAATAAATCATCTTCTCCATCCTCAAGATGAATATCATCTTTGTTGTAAATGGTGTATCTTCGACCTGATGATTCTCTAGCTTGTATTCTATCCTTTTCCTCTTGATCTATAGTTTTTAATAATTCCATTAATTGTGTTACAATTGGTAATGATGATTCTCTACAATTAAATAAAAGAATTTTAATATTAATATTTGTTACACTCTCAATCTATTTTTTGTTCTTCTTTCATACTCTAAACTTAATTGATCAATAATCTCTTTTGATTTGTTTAGGATTGCCAATTCTTGGTCTCTGTCAAATTGATCGGCTGTCAGTGTGGAAGTAGTGGTGAGGATAGTACCAAGAGTCTCTTCAAAATGATCTTTAATTAAATTAAACTCTTCAATGATTGACCTTCGAGTTGCCATATCCTTTGCAATCGATACCAATGAATTATTTTTCGTTAAAATGTGATGATATTTCTCTTTTAATAATTCCATATCTTTAATTCTCTCCATACTATTCTCATACTCGTTTGATAGTATTTCCAATTTATTTACAGTTGTTTCTAGACATGGAATAGAATAGAATATTAATATAAAATATTAATATATGTATTTATATTTATAATTACCATGTTCACATTTTAATCTAATAAAAGATTTCTCTTTTTGAATATCTTTTGATTTTAATTCTTCGATTTCATGATTGAGTAGATCTAGGTCACCTTGGTCTATTTGACCACTACCATGTTTCTTTTTAGATTTTGATGATTGTGTTTTTAATTTACCAAGCATCGATAATGAATCTGCCACCTTTTCTTCCAACATATCATTTAATAATGTTGCTTCTTTTAAATTTACATTTAATGTATCGTTTTGCTTAAACAAAATTTTAAATAAAGGATTAAGAGGATTAATAACCAATTATATATAATATAGAGTTATGGATTATAACATACAGATTTTAAGAAATCCATATGAGATAATTGTTCAGAAAAAGATCTTTCTAAATCTGATAGTTGATAAACTTGAGTTTCAAGATCACTATTCTTTTCAAGTAACATTTTACCAATCTCTGCAGCCAATTGAACATCCTTTTCCTTTTCTTCTAGTAGTCTTGACACCTCTTCTAATTGACTGTGTAGAAATGCAACAGAGCCAGGCGACCCTATAGCCATTGAATTGGAACGAGCTCTACCTTTTGAACCCGATTGGTTGGGTGATCCCATCCATCCAAGATGTTGTATCTTTTCTCTTAACTTTTCCATTTCAAATGGTGGTGTTTTAGTCAGTCTTGAAGAATATGGTGATTCTGGTGGTGAGAATAATCCACCTCCTCCACCTCTAATTGGACTTCCTATACTATCACCACTGGGTGTTCTAATGACTTGACGATGTTTACTAATACTAAATGGTGACATTGTCATTGTCGTCGAGTCTGGGTTTATCACAGATGGTGAGAATGGGGATAGGTTGCCCGATGTAGTAGTAGCTGGTGCCGACATGGAGTGGAATGCACCTGTATTCGTCCCACTCCCACCTCCACTACTATTATTACTTGGAGTGGTTGTATTACTCCCTGAACTCATTCCTCTCTACTCTACTCTATATATATATACTAATTATATTTGATTTACCGTATGTACTGTATGTTTGATTTGGATTTAAATCCCTAGCTATATATATATAATAATTAAACCAAACCAATTTCTATTATTATTAAATATAATATTAAATATTCTGTCTTTTTTTTGTGGATTGTGGATGGTGGATTGGGTTGGTTTGGTTGGTAGGTTAGTTAATTTTGATTGATGTGTTGGGTTGGTTAATGAATGAATGATTTATAGTATGAATGTGTAAGTAAAGAGTAATATAATAATATGACAAACACACAATGTTTGTTTTGGCTGAATCCTTACACTGTGTGCGATTTAATAAAATTGAAATTAATTTCAATTTTTTTCTCTACCACCAATATTAATGTAATAGATGTATGTATTCATTCATTTTCCCCCGCCCATACACTTTTTTCGGTCTCTTGCTCAGAGGTGAGGGGTCGGTGTGCAGGGGAGGGTTAGTGCACAACAAAAGGGAGGAAGGGTTGGGTTAGGTCGACCTTAGACCTCGGTCCTTTCCATTCATACATAGATCTTGTTTAAAGGGGTGATTTTAAAAGTGGTGGGTGGTGGTGTCTATAGACAGACAGACATACAGACGGCGGTTCAACGATAGTACATTGGTTTGAGTCTTGCTTGTCTATCTCCATTCCATTGATTATGTAATACATCATGCAGTATATATATATATATATAAATATATAAACAAAGAACCTCCATACATTGCATTATATATTTATATATATTAGAGAGAGCGAGAGAGACCTACAATGACAATGCATCGATATCCAAATCGAGTCGTGTGATTGTAGTTGAGATAGACTCTGATGTCATGTCAATGAGAGGTGTGAAAGAGTTATCTTTGCATTATTCTTTGATTGGTTGTGTCTAATATAGATAGAAAGACATTTGATTCAAATAATTGAAAAGGTTATCTCGAATCCAAACATAAGATGGCTTGCGACATAACATTATTTTCAAATCCTTTTTGGCAGGAAGACCTCACTTCGCACGCTCGCGAGGGCAGTGTCACAACGAGTTTGAAAAAACCAACAACACAAGATATCTCCAATCGAAAAAATATCAACATCAATGATGGATGGAATGCCGCCCGAAAACAACCATCCATCCAAATCTACCAATAAATCGCTCAGCCACCCACCCCGATCGCGCCTTGTGTCTCATGTTCTTGATCGTGTTATGAGGCCGCCTTGTGCTTATTCTTAGAGAACGTCTTGAGCAAGCCTTGCTGCTACTTGATAACTTGACTTTGGTGATTGGTTGGTTGAGAGTAATTTTTTTGTCCTCATGTTAAAAAAATTTTCATGGTGTGGGTGTCATCAGCAAGGTTTTTTTTTAATCATTAACACGTTCCCATTATTATTACTATTATACTATTACTATTACTATTATCATTATAATTATATATTATAAGATCTTACCAAGCAAACAATCAATCATCATTAAATAATCAACAAACAAACGAGCGAGCAATATCATATACGCCACATACAAAAAAAAAACAACAAAAACAAAAAAAAAGAGAGATTAAAACAAAAACAACTTATAAACAGCAACAGCAAAAACAAACCAACAGTTATTGTACATTATTATTATCATCATTTAGTTATTATAATCATATTTCATTCATAAAGAATCGCGCGAAGACTATCTATCGTATTTTTCAAAAGAAAGAATCACTATCATCTATCATAATATTATCATCATTTTCAATCTAAACAAACAAACAAACAAACAAACAAACAAATATATAATATTTATTTATTTATTTATAAAAGTATATAATCAATCTTAATCTCTTGAATAGTAGTAGTGGTAGTAGTCATCATTTTACAGAGATACAACAAGACAAGACAAGACTGTAACAACAAAAACAACCAGCAGTATAATAAGTAAAAAAAGACAACAACTAAAATAGTAATAGTAGTAGCAATATTGGCAGTAGTAGCGTAGTAGTATTAGTAGTAGTAGTTCCAAGGGAGACAAGTACATTACTTTACACGCACTCACGCACACGGACAAACCACAAACGCACATTTCAAGACTATATAGTATATATTTTATAGCCTTCTCCTCACCCTTATCTCATCTCCCCATATACCCATCTTTTTCCTTTTTTTTCTCTTTGGACTAGTTTGTCATTTGACTACTTCTGTAGAGTTGTAGGGTTGTGAATGGGAGATCACTTTAATTCATCATCATCATCGTCATCATCATCTTCATCCACTTCATCTTTGTCTTCCCTTTCCTCCTCCTCCTCGTCTACTCTGTCATCGAGTGCTACTACTGCTTCCACATCAACATTTATCCCAGAATGGTTACGTCAAAGAGATGCTCCACATCCTGGTAAGTACGGCAGACAGACAAACAAAACGACCGAGTCATGTCCCCACAAGTCTCGAGATATTTTCGATTACTGACATTCCATCATCTTTTTTTTTTCAGATAAACAACAATCAAATTCTCAACCATATGGTTTTAACAACAACAACAACAACAACAACAACAACAACAACAATACTAATAATATAGAACAACAACAACAACAACAACATTATCATCATGATAACAATCTCAACAAGAGGGGATATAGATTTGGTTCTTCTTCTCCAAATACCATTTCAAATGGTCTAACGACATCAACAACGACAAACTCATCTTTACACAATTCATCCTTTTCACTAACTGTTGATAATATTAATAATAATAATAATAATAATACATCGACATCCAACAACAACAACAATAATAATAATAATATAAATTTTCCAAAGTTGAATAGATCAAAGTCTTCACCACATTTCCAAGATCTTCAACAACCCCAACAACCTCAACAAGGCGAAACAACAAATAATAATATTAATAATAATAATTCCCAAAATGTAATAACAAATAACCAGAACAATAATAATAATAATAATAACAATAGTAACACCACTACTCCTTCACCATCATCATCATCTTCTTCATCATCAAATTTACCAAATACTAATAATAATAATTCCAATTCCAATTCCAATTCAATAACATCATCACAATCAAATTCATTTAATAGTGGATATAAACCACCTTATCACTCCTCGCTTGTAAATGATCGAGGAATCGTTTCATCTTCTCCAACACTTCAATCCAATCCTGCGCTACGATCGTTGATCTCATCCAACACGGTGATTGGTCAAAACAACAACTCTAGCTTTTCAAGACACAAGCCAACACTTGTCAGTTACAAGTCACAGCCCAATCTCAACAATGCAGAGCAACAACAAAAGAACCCGTCCTCCAAAGAGGGTAGCTCCAGCAGCGCCACCAATTCTCCACTCTATTTTTCAACTTCACCCAGTTTTACACTAAACTCTAACAACCACTCACTCATATCTTGCCAATCACCTCTTATTGGATCATCCAACTCGTCCAATAACAACAACAATTCTACCAACAACTCTAATTTTTCCGAATCATCATCCAACTCATCAAACAACTCTAACAACAACGCAGAACAATTCCCACCACTTCAATCAAAATCACCGGTATCATTCAAGTTGGGAGGAATGGGAAGATCGACCTCGCCAGTCATCAACTCTAATAATCCAGCAGGCGCCGTTTTTTCATCACAAGGCAACAATATTAATCCTCACGCGTCACCAGTCACGCTTGCCGCACTCATCCACAATACTCCACGCGGTGGAGATGGTGCCTCCATATCATCAACTGGTGATCATCTGTCCCTTGACCACGTAACAACCACCAAACCAACCATCTCTGAAAAGACAAAGGTTGTAGTTCCATTACCTCTCAAAACTAATAATAGTAGTAGTAGTAGTGCCATTAATAGTAGTGGTATTAGTAGTACCAGTTCTTCAAGTGGTGGAAATGTTATTATAGGTAATAATAATGTTTCCAATACCTCTGGAACTACTACTAGTGGTACTACAGTCACAATTGTCAATCCACAGCTTATAGGCAGTGCCATTAGCAATATTACCAATGGCATGAAAAAGGCATCACTGATCAACAACCATCAAGGTGGGACAATGCCACCCATCAACCAACAGGGTCAGGTTGTCAACCTCAAATCAACCACTTCCCGTTCCTCTGCCAACTCTAATCCCAAGTTTATTCGTGCGCTGTCCGAGTCGTCTTTGCCACCCGCTCCCAAAAAGAGTGAAGATGTCATCTCTGCATCGCGCAAACAAATGACAGACCCAACACGAAAACCACGAAAGATTGGCAAGATACTCAAATCAAACTTTTATGAACAACTCCAAAAGAATGAAGAAATGACCAAACAACTTCAACAACAACAACAACAACAACAACAAGACAAGATTAATGTTACTTTGGATTCTTTAGAATCTGAATCACCACAGACTGTTGTTTTAATTACTCAACAAGAACAATTATCGTCGACTACAACTACAAATTTATCTACTTTTGAAAATGGTAGTAATCATTCTTCACCTTGTTCATCTACTTTATCATCTCCAACTTTACTTACTTGTACCACTACAACTACAACTACAGCTACAGCTACATCTACATCTACAGCTACCTCTATCATCTCTATTGAAAATCTTGATGATAATAATAATACAACAAACATTGTAAATAGTCAACAACAACAATCATTAGAACAAAAAGAACAAGAACAATCATCAACTCTACTACAACTAAATATTATTGGTTGTAGTATTGAATCATCAATATCATCATCACCAACATCATCACCAATCAAACAATTGTCATCATCGTCATCCAAACTTGATATGATTGCCGCTGCTTGCAATGGTAATATAAATGGTGGAAAGAGTCGATCAAACTCTAGTGCCACAAGTGACGAAGGAGATGAAGAATATGAAGAAAGATTCCTCAGAAACCTTGGTTGGGTACCACCTGAAGAAGATTCAATCTCTGATACTGAAATTGAAGAAATCAGTCTTAAAATGGAAGAAATTCAAAATCAAAGATGTTAAACTAAACACATCTCAATCAAATCAATCACACACAACTAGAATAGAATACAATAGAATAGAACAGACTTTTTTTAAAAATATTATTATCAAAAAAAATATAGAAAAGTTATTCCAAAAAAACTCTCTCCTCCTTTAAATCAATTAATAATTAATAATAATAATAATCATGTAACAAAATATAAGAAAAGAGGAACTGAATGAATCAATAGAGGAATAATAAATTATTTTTATACATAGACATAATTATTAAATAATATTAAAAATTAAATCAAAACAAGAGAGTAGACTTGTAATTAATATTTAATTACTTATTTATTTAATTATTTATGGAGTAGATGGTGAATAATCATTATTATTATTAATATTATTTGGAGTTGAAGGAGTATAATTTGGTGATGCTGGTATATACATTGAAGGTGAATAAGGTTCTTGATCAAGATCTGGTGAATCAGGTGAGTAACTTGGTTGTAAAGGAGAATAATAGTTTGGTGAATTATTGTTATTGTTTGATCTATCCAAAGAAAACATATATTTTTGTCTTTTATATAATTTTAGATCATCTAAAAATTCTACATAATCATCTCTATTTAATATCTTTGGTCCAAGAATATTCTGTGGATCATCCAATATTGTAGAGACTACTTTTCTAGCTAATGCTTGCATTAACCCTACTTTTTTAATTATTAATTTAAAATAGAATCTATTTCCATTATCCTCTATATTACTATTATTTGATGATTTAAATTCATTCTCTAAAAATTCCATCAACTCTGATATTTGTTTTAAATAAACAACTATTGATAATGATTTAATCTTAATCGGGTTATTATTATTATTATTGTTGTTGTTGTTATTATCTTTGTTGTTTAAATGATTATTAATAAATGATTTAATAAAATTAAAATGAGATGATGGGATTGGAGTTGATTTGATTGATTTATAGGATACTCTAAGATGTTCAACTAGGTGGATTGAATCTAGGTCTTTTTCTTCTTTTTGAAAAGTTGTTTTCTCTGTTAATGAACATTCAAATGTTTCAATGGGTCGGGTGATCTTTGGTAGACTCCATAGTTTACATAGTTTAATGTGTCTGATTGTACATTTACTACTACCAAGTAGATATTGAACAACGGTGTCTTTTAGATTACCACTACAAAAATAATCTAGTTTGGTGTTGTCTCGATCAAGGTATCCAAGTAATAGATCACAATACGGGTTCCATGAAACGGGATTTGAGCATCCAGGAGTGATCGACAGTGACTTTAAATTAAAGAGTCCCAAGACCGTAAACATTCTAGTTGGGTTTGATTGAACTGGTCCGAAATCTTTGATGGCAAGACGTTTGACCGATAGGGCAAGTCTAGATTCAACTAAATGATATAGTGCTTGCATATCATCGTAATAGATGATATCGGCTTGTTCATAGATTGGTTTGTTGAAATTTGCAAATAACATTGATATGTTGTTTACTTGTGGGTGGCGTTCCAAGAGTCTTTCAAAACACTGGTTATTGTGTTGAGTTGGAAAGACTATTTCAACATCGGTTCGTGTCTCGTCAGTGGTTGATTCGATGATTGCTTGTTGTTTGGCTCGTGTGATGATTTGGTGAAAGAATTTAGATACCAATGGTAGAGTGGTATCTATCCAATACCTATCACCACTAATATCTCTTTCTGATAGTTTACTACCACAACTACCCCATAATCTATCATTATGTATTATATGATTTATCAAATATCCTAAACATATATTTGGTACATGTTGTTGTTCTTGTACATTCATCTTATGTGCACAGTATAATGATAATGTTAATAATCGGCCGAATGCAGCCACATTTAACTAATTAATGCATGTACACAAATATAAAGTAAATCGGAAATTTTTAATAATGATAATGATCAACAAACAATATCAATGATATTTATAGATTTTAAAGTAGACGAAAAAACAGTGTCTGTCTGTCATGTAGATTCAAATCACTGGTTGGGATGACCAATCAATCCCCCCCGTTCCATTCCATTCCATTCAATTCCTCACCAACACACCGACACACCCCTTAAATTAAATTTATTCCTATTCGGTGTTTTAAATTTCTATTGATAAAATTGTTACATTTTGATTGGCTGGTGGATTTTTTGCATTCAATTACAATTTATTATTATTATTATTGATGCAAACATAACATTACAATTCATTCTTTCATTCATTCATAATTTTTGATATCAACTAAAGTTAATTACACGTTTTTAAAAGTAAAGTAAAGATATTATTACTTTGAAAAAAAGAAAGATATTACTTAATTAATTATGACAGATCAAATAATAATAGAACAAATTAAAACATTTTGTTTTAAAGTTGGAATCAATACAAGTAAAATACTAGCAATTACAATACAAGAGAATAAGTCAAATGACTTTTTATCGTTGGTTATTGATTTCCAACAGAACAAGATATTGCCACAAATACCAATAGACCTACTCTTGCAAGACAATAACAAGGAAAAGTCGTTTGGCAATTATCGGTGTTTCTACAATGACGATTTGGAATTATCTAATGGTTTTCTATGTTGTTCTAATTTGATGGCTGTAGAACCAAAGATATCGTCGTCTGATGCGCACAAGGATCGTTGTTTTGTAGATTTTATCAATTGTAGAGGTAATCATCCAGACCTCATTTTTGAAGTTAAAAAGGTACAAGATACAGGTGCACAATCGGTGATCACTACCACCAACCATCAAATACTCAACAACAAATTGGTCAAAGTCGATAGTCGGTCATCGACACTTAAAATGATTACATTTAGGAATTTCAAATGTTCGTCACACAAGATTTACTATGGTATCGATGTATACCAGTCTCAGAGGTCTGGTGCCACTTCACCACAAATTAGATTAAGTCCTTTTACAACTAGAAATGATTCTCTAATGTCTAGTTTCTTTCAAGAAAATTATTTACTCTGATCTAAAAATGTCTAATAATAATAAATAATGCTCAGAGCTTTACAAATAATAGTGTAATTTCCTTTTGTGTTTGTTTCATAGCTATAGAACACAAAAGCTATAGATAATGTTATTGTTTAACAAATTATATAAGAAACTTTGAAAATGATCTTTTTTAATGCTCGGCTCTGTTCCAAACTTAAAAATATGAGTTGAGGCAACTACTAGAACCTCTTTGTTAATTTTTTTTTACACAAAGTCACATCTCAATTATTTTAGTTGACATGGCAGCAGCGGAAACCACAACAGAAAACACAGCCCAGCCTCCTAAGGGGCTGAGAGCGTGGCTCGGGGATTTATTTACAAGTAAAGCAGTCAGAGAAGAGTTGGATGATCTAAAAAAGAGAGTTGGAAAAAATGAAGAAGCCATTGCAACCAACTCAGAGACTATGATGTCGTTGGTACGATCGGTATCCGATCTGGCAGGTCATAGTGATACGCTGTTGACCCAAACACTGCAACTTCAACAAAAAGTCGGCGAATTTAGTGCTCGTATGGCTGCTTTGGAACTCGTTACTGGTCTAGTCAACGCTCAACAACCTCCTCCAGAGGGACAACACGACATCGAAATTGATTTCGAGCATATCCCCTCACCAACAAATAGTATTTTAAGAGAATAAAAAAAAATTAAAGTATAAAAATTGCTCTAATTATAAGTGCGCAAACCACCGTGATCATTCATCACAAAATAGTATCAATGTCTTATAATTGTATATTAGAATTACCTAGTGACCTAGATTTTGATAACAATACAGATGCAAAGAACAAGAATAAGAATGAGGTGAAGAGGATAAGGAATGACATGATAGAAATCACATCATTGTCTAGAGAATTGAAAGACATTGATAAATATTTAAATCCTCTACCTCCGCCACCTATATTCTATTCTCTTAATGATGATCATCAATTGAATCATTGTACTTTATACAACAATGATCTAAAAAGAGAAATAGAATCATGTTCAAAAAATGTTGGTAGAATTTATTCAAGGTTTGTATACTTGTATCATCACGTATGTATATTGGATTCTGTCTGACCTTTACTTTACTATGATTGATTAAAAATGTATAGATATGAAAGTGAAAAGAAAGAGGATGGAGTAGAATGGTATTGTGGGAGTGGGTTTAGAGCAAGCCCAAACCATATAATATCTGCAAGACATGTAGTTAAACGCGAACATATGATAAATGATCGAGTGTACAAGTTGGTCAACATATTTATATGTTTTGAAATAGATTGTACTATTGGAAAGGAAGTAGAACTAGAAAAACTTGGATTAAATCAATGTAGTAGTAGTAGTAGTACTACAGATGGGATCTATGAATTGGTAGAACTTGATCGTCAATTGGTAGATTCTAACTATCCCGATAAATTGACATCAGGATCATTTATTTGGAATACTGTCAATGACTTTACAATCTTACAGTACAAAGATAAAGATAATATACCATCATCATCATCATTGACACATTATTTAGTTCCTTCCTATCCACCTAATAGTCAATTTGAAACTATTTATGTGGTAGGATACCCTTCATCCATTAAAATGGAGAAATTCAAAGAGGATTATCCAAAAGATTTAAATGACCAATCATTGACAGAGTTTTATAATAGAGTCAAAAAACAATCAGGATACTTTGAACAAAAGGTTGTATCGGTAGCGACCAACGGAGCCATTCTCGATGATTCACTATCGACTCATATGTGCCCAACGTTGCGAGGGGTGTCTGGTGGTCCAATCAGTACCAATGCATCAGGCGACTCGAAATTCATCGGCATTCATATTGGAGGTAGCATGTCTATGAAAAATAATTTCTCCATATCTGTTGGGCATCCAGCATTTGTCTTTCTGTATTTCCAACATATAGCCAATGATGCATTTATTGAACAACATCAACTGCATCAATACAAAGAATACTATTTATCAATTAAAAATAAAAACATGTAATTTATAATTAAGAAATAATAATAATAGCTTTTGTTTTTATTTATTCAGGCAAGGAGGATATTAGTTTTGTAGAGTATCCTTGGGCTTGAGAGATATGTATTTCTTTACAAAATCAGCAATCTTTTCATAAACAAATTTACCAGCACCTGTGGTTCTGTCAAATACATATTTTCCATTTTCCAATTTGTTTCCTGCTGCAACATTGAGTTGCTCTAGAGCTTTGGGACTACAATCGGCCAAATCAATATTTTCTTTTAACTTTACTTGAACTCTGACATAGTTTTCTCCGAGGAATGACTTCATGGTATGGTCAGTTCCCAACATGTTGGATTTCATAAGAGTTGAAATAATCTTGCCAGCTCCCAAAACAGTAGTGTTCTTGGCCAATTTATCTACTGGTTCAAGACCAGTACCCAAGGAAAGGACCAACAATTTATCCTTGTTGTAGCTTCCGTTTTGGAGTTCGAGAACTATTTTTCTAGCAACAATAGTTGATGGGTTATTCATCCACATACCACCATCAACATATACTTGGTCTTCTACAATATCATTTTCAATTTTCATTCCACCTATTAAACAAACAAAAAAAAAAGTTATTATTATTTTAAAAGTAAATGAAACTGTTACAAGTTTGATTACTTACTGAAATAGGTTGGAGCAGCACTTGTACATCTACAAACTTCAGCAACACTGTAGTATTTTTGTTCAAGAGTGGTGTTACAGAATTCAAATGGAGTACCTTTAGTAGTACATGAAGTGACCATGACACGACCATCCAAATGTTGCATTTGGGATTTTCCAAAGTTTTGTTTGCTCTCTAACAAGTCAAACAATGGTTTACTATCATATTTGACATCGACAATGCCACCCAAACTGTACCAGTTCTTGTGGAATACTTCCTTGCCATGTTCTTGAAAGATGTTGATCAAATCATCAATCTTGATACCCTTTGCGAGACCCATGGCCAAGATACCACCGATACTTGTACCACCAATGAATGAGAATACTTGGCTCAAAGGTCTGGTTTCACCGGCTTCATGGAGTTGTCTTTCAAGTTCCTTTAACCAGATGGCAGGCATTAGTCCGCGCATACCACCACCGTCAATACTGAGACCAAATCTTGGGTTGGTATTGGTAGTATCGTCACCACCACCCAATCCAGCACTTTCAGCTCCTCCAGATTGACTTTCAATGTATTCATCCATATCAAATGGTTCAACAAATACATAGTCACTAAATAATAAAAAAAAGGTCAAACAATTTAAATTCAATCCAAGATTGTTTTGTCTGTTTCATACTTTAAAAGATTATAACTTTCGATTAATTCTTCAGCTGTAACATTTGATTGATCATTAGAGGTAGCACCCACCTCAACTATAGTAGCTGTATCCATATCTATATATCTATCTCTCTTTATCTAATTTGAACAAATTTGAAAAAAAGTGATCATTCATTCTCAAAGATCTTGTCAATCACATTGATTCAAACCAACTGTTTGATTATATTAAACTTTTTGTTGGTGCACGTGTAAATCGTTGAAGAAGAGATCGACGATTTAAGGCCATGCCCTTGCAAACGACTTTTCTTTTTTTTTTAAATATCTTTGCTCTTCTCAAAATTCTCTTCTCGATGTTCACACTTCATTATTAGATATATTTTATTTATTTAAATAACTTTAGTTCCAATACAAAATGGAAAAAGAAACATTAAAAATTAAAGAACCAAAATATCATGTATTTACCCCAGACTTGGACTTGTCAAAGAGCGCACTCGAGGCTTGTGAACTCATTTTTAGGAGGGGAGACAAACTTGAGAATCCAATGGAAGGATCAATTCATTCTATAAACAACCGAGGCAAGTTAAACTATTGGCCCTCTGATGAAAATGATTCAACAATAGAAGAAAATTTGAAAACTGTTGGTAGATTATTTTGTTTGTCAGTATATATTCAAAAATCAAATCATCTACATACGTTTAAATGCAATTATGATAAGTATATTATACTTACTTGAAGACATTTTTATATTTTTTAAAGATATCAAACTGCTGATTTGAAAAATAGTGTATGGTATGTTGGTAGCGGATTTCGTGCTTCAGACCGTCATTGAGGTACATTTGGAAGCACCTCTAGCACACCAAAATCATTTACAAACTTCCATTCATATGATAGATGGCAATTTAATTTCATTGGCGCTTTAAAGTAGGGCAGTTTGTCGACGGTTCTTTTAAGCTTCTTTAGTTCATATGCATCTTCTTGGCTTCCAATTTCCAAATCAAGTGCCAATCTTATTGCCATCGTTTCCATTAAACGAGAAGAAAAAAGGAACTGTAACTGGATATCCAGCGGATATATCTAAAAAAGACTTTGAAGAAAAATATCCAGAAAACAATGGTATGTTCCAAACAGTCAAAGACATGGCCGGACAATTTGAACACAAAGTGGTAGCTTTGACACCCGAAGTCACATTAGAATCCAACTACCTCAGTACTCATCGATGTCCAACACTTCATGGTGTCTCTGGAGGTCCCGTCATCACCCAAGATTCCAAACTACATTATTTCGATGCCATTCATGTTGGAGGTCACCACAATTATTATCACAACTTTGCAGTTTCAGTTGCATGTCCTGCCTTTGTCTATGTTTATTTTGAATCAATTGCAGATGATGCTTTTATCAAAAAGCATGGCCTTGAAGGTTATAAAAATTATTACCTAAAATTAAAAGGAAATGGTTGGAAAGAAATAATAATAAAATCAAGTTTGTAAATATATTTAAATAATAATTAATTAATTAATTGATTTTAATGAGAGTTTTAAAATATCTCTCATCTTGTTTTTTTTTTTTTTCATTCTATCATTTTTTGCTATCATTCTTTTTATTATTTATTTATTGTTTATAATCAATCAATGAAACATATCGAAATTAAATGTGACTGCTGCAAGTCGCCATATGATATGGTTTATTGTAAAGACCTCAATGGGTATATTTGCAAAGATCTCCATTTCAAAGAATGTAAAAAAGTGGGAGGTATCTGCTTAAAAGGCAAAGATATATTGAATGTCGAAGAAGAACATAAGAGCAGCAATCAACAACTCAATAAAGAATCTGAAGAAGAGGGAGTTTGCATCATCATAGATGAAAATGGAAAATCTGTTATTGATGGTCATGTGACGATCCTAAAGAAAAATGGTGAACCTCTAGATTTTAAATATGATCAAGATTTTAAAAGATCGGTTCAAACCGTTTGTAAATCTGTTGGAAGAATATTTGTAGAGTATGTATGTAATAGGATTTAAAGCATAATACAGATTTTTCTGAATAGACTCTGGTTTTTTTATTTTTTAGATATACACCAGAACCATTCCCCGAGAGTGATAAGAAACCACAAATAAAACAGTCTCAATGGGAATGTGGAACTGGGTTCTATGTTGGTAATAATTGTATCATGACTGCCAAACACGTTATAGTCGAGAACAAGATTATTCGGATTAAAGTAGAAGAAAATGGAAAAGAGAACTTAAGTGGCTATGGATTAAACTACCAATTTAAGATTGGTAGAATCTACATGCATTTTGGATTAAATGGAGTGGAAGGAGAAGATTTTAGATTGGCTGATGTTGAAATTGGCATATTCCAAGATAAAGATTTCGAGCTTGAATTGCTCGATCGAAAGGTAGATGATTACTTTAAAAAGGTTTATCCTAGATGGTCAGAGATCAACGACTTTGGTGTTTTAAAAATCAAGAGCAAACCAGAAACACCATTTAGAATTCAAGACCTTGAAATACTAGTTCCATCGTATCCTCTTACAAATCTACAGCATCAATATTTGTTTGTTATTGGTTACCCAGGAAAAATTGATTTGGCAGGATTCAAAAAGTCATGTCTGGACAATATTCAAGGCATTGACGTTCAATCAGTTTTTGATGAATTTGATCGCAAGTGCAAAGGATTTGAAAAGAAAACAGTGTCAGTTTCTTCGCGAATTGAACAAAACACCAGCAGTAATCTTGGTGTTCATAAATGCCCAACGATTGGTGGAACATCAGGTGGCTTTGTAGGAACTGATAAAACGGGAACTAAATTTGTTTCTGTGCACGTGGGATCACCATCACAACAGAAAGTTAATTTTGCTATTCCAGTAGATTATCCACCATTTGTTTACAATTATTTCCATCATGTTGCAACTAATCAAGAATTTATCAAACAACATGGTCTCGAGGAATATCAAAAATACTATCAAGAAATTAAATCAGAACATCCTAAAGGTAATGAATGGTAAATTTAAAATAAATAAATAAAATCAATATTAAAATAAATTTTTGAAAGCACTGCTCAAGCTTGTGAAGGAAATTTATGGTTTATTTATTTTTCGATACAGTAATAAATAACTTATTCTTACCCATCATGGGAAAAGACTTGTATTTCATGGGGAACCCTGAACAAAATAGGGAGATTGAACTTGCCAACAAGGTATATGGAAAGTATGGTGAATCGATCTACTCTATCAACAATTACAACCAACTCAATTTCTGTCCCCTACCACAAGCCTATCAATCAAATATCGAGTTGTCAACCAATTCAATAGGTAGATTATTTATAAAGTATGTTGATTTCAAACCCTATTGAAACAATGTGGTATTAATGTTAATGTAATCATCTTAATCATCTACTCAGGTATATATATAATGAAATGGTTGAATGGTATTGTGCAACTGGTTTTCTTGTTGGTCCAAAACAAGTAATGACTTGTTATAATGCAATTAGACCAATCAGATTAGTAAATGGAAAAGAGTATAAACTAGATCAAGTGTATATCTATTTTGAAGAGAATGCAACGATTGATGAAGAATTGGATCTATCAGAGATTGAAGGGGAAAGGGGTGTATACAAATTACTGCCTCTTGATAGAATGGTAGATCAATACTTTGTAGAAAAGATGGTCATTGAAGAAATACAAATAGAATGGAATTATCTAAATGACTTTGCTGTACTTGAATTTGTACCTGACAAAGTGCCACCAAACATTCAATACCTTGTACCATCGTATCATCAACAAATTAAAGAGTTTCAATATATTCATGTTTTTGGATACCCAGACGATACTAGTCGAGAACAATTCAAAGAGTATTATCACAATCGTGATGAATATAACAACAAAAAAGTAGATCTATACAATCAAGTAAAAAGAGATACTAGATTCTTTCAAAGAAAGATTGTTTCAGTTTCAAATAGTGGTACATTGGCAAGTGACAATACACCATTGTCGATGGGTACCCATCGATGTTTGACACTTGGTGGAATGTCTGGTGGACCTATTGCAACAGATCAATCTGGTTCAAACAAATTTGTTGCAATGCATCTTGGCAGGTTCAAATCTATCGACCATGCCTTTTCAATTTGTATAAATAATCCGGCATTTGTATATAATTATTTCCGTCATGTTGCAACCAACCAACAATTTATCATTCAACATGGTCTTGAACAATATAAACAATATTATGATCAAATTAAATTAAATCATCCAAAAGGTAATGAATGGTAAAAAAAGTAAATTATATAAATTAAATAAATAAATGAAATGTATATATGTATATTCCTTTGCAATATTAGTTAGAGAGAGAGAGTTGTAAACATTTATTTCTATTGTTAAACAAAAAGAATAATATAAAATTTTGTTTATTTAAATAACCTTTTTAGATACTCTAAATAAAGTTGATAGAGATGGAATGATGGATGAAGAAGAGGTCATCATCATATTACTATAACGATATTTGAATTGTGGTGGTTGATTAAAGGTAGTTGTAGTGGTTTCAAGTTGTTTGCCGTTGATCCAAGATGATGAAGCAAATCTTTCTTTTGGTGAAAAGCATAGAGATGATAAAAGACGGTTATTAGAGGTAGAATAACTTCTTGTGAATGGTGGCAATGATTCAGGGCCTTGAATCATTCGATAAGAATTTGATTTACTTTGAAATGAATGTTGTAGCTCTGATGATTCTTCAACTTGATTCGTATCAAGGTTAAATTCAATTCTTGTATGTTTGTAATCCTTTGGTAGGTTTGTTGTTATTGTTTCAACAGGACGACCTCCAGTTCCTCCACTAGTAGATACTTGTTCAATTCTTATAGAAACAAAAGAATAAAAAAGAATATTAGAGATAATTATAATACAAAATTGATATATATTTTTTATATGTTTGTTGTTACATACATGACATCATTTCCAACAAATTGATCAATATACAAGATATTGTCAGAACGATTGTAAGCTCTAAAAAAGAATCGGCTGATAGGTTTTTGAGAGAGTGCCAACGCGCTAATTGCAGGTGACATGCGGCTTGTGAACCTTGTTGTAGTGATGGCGAGCTGTTCCAGTTGGTGATAGTGGTTCATAGAGTATGACATGATGGGCTCCCATCCTTTAAACATTTCGACTGGTAAATAGATCTCCCTTTCTCCACGATAACTACGATAATTGTGTTGTTTTTGATGCTCTGCTTCATTTTCAATGTCTGATTGTTTGATTACGTCAATCAACTCTTTTGATGGGATGAGTGGAGATGGTTCACTAGTCTTGTTGTAATCATCAATGTCAAACCACACCATTAATCCATCTAGAGCTCTCTTTGCCATGTTTGTTTTGTTATCTATCTATCTATCTGTAGTTGATCAATTAAATGATTCAAGATGATAAGCTCTTATAAGTTCTCTGTGTTTGCATTCTTCTACGTATTAAATGGGTTTTAAAAAAATAAATTAGAAAAAATGGTCACCACCAACATATTTTGAGGTCATTTCTATTTTCTTTCTTTTTATTTTATTTAAATTTTAGAAATTTTTTAATAAACCTTTTAAAAACAAAAATAGGGGTTTCTAGAAATAAAAATAAAAATTGTAAAAAATTAAAAAGACTACTAAATATCTGTTTTTTTCAAAGACACAATATTGCGCACACATCCTTTTTTTGGTTGTGATGATCAATCGTGTTTCTTCATCTTATCAGATCGATTAATTAATACATACCAATCAACACTATGTACTCCCTCATACAACTCACGTGCTAGTGTCCAATAATCACAGATTAGAAACGACAGTCAAAAGTCATTTGTGACAATCGATTCGATATTAATATCCCCAAACCCATCAAACCAACCGAACATTGACCATTGCTATTGGGTTATCAGAGGCAATGATCGACCTTATCGATACCCACCACACGCACACTGGCTGACCTGCCGCCTTGGTGTCAATCAAATAATGCTAAACAAACCTACCTGCTCACGGTTAGGGTTTGGTGGTACACCCACTCCTTTTGGGATTTAAAAGACTGACTTTTGATGATGATTATTCGTAATCAATCAAATCAATCAATCAACCAACCGTTCAACAAGCAACAGTTTTAAATATCATTCAAACCACAACAATAGTTTTACAAATCAAATAATCAAACAAATAACTATAAAAATATTTTTATATTTATATTTATATTTTTTACAATGAAACCAACTAGTATTATACCGCTGGCATTGGTATTAGTGACAGTATTTATTATAAATAATAGTCAAGCATTTAAATCTGATACAGAGGTCATCACAGATTTAAAATATTACATATGGGCTCATTCAGCTGGTAACGATGATTTTATTCATGGACAATATGGTATGTCATTATACAGATAAAAAAATATACAAATATAAAGTATTATATTTACTAATTTAATATTTATTTGTTTATTTTTAGGATTTACATTTTATGGAGAACTTTCTCTTAATTATTCACCAGACCAATTTTCAGGTGTTCCATTGGAAGCACCAGCCAATTCGTATCTTACATTTGATGCTGCTACATTCAAGTACTTTTATATTAACCGGAAAGCCACTTCACAACCTAATAATATCTATATTGATATTATAAAAAATGCCAACAAAGGTGCCATCACGACTGCTCCAACGATGGTTTTACAGACCATGTACAAAGAGTATGACTCTCCATTCCACTCGGAGAGTATGGGTATAAAATCATTATTTTATTTCACATCTTACAAACCAACTGTTGCCCGTCAACCTATCCGTTACCTCTACACTCTTCACCATCCATGCTCCATCTGTACCTCCAAGATAAAGTCCCCCAATTTCATAAATAGTCGTGCAAGTGATGCTATTCGTGCTGACATTATCAATGGAAAGGGTGGTACGTATCCACCACCAACCACCGATGTCACATATTGGATTGATAGTGGTGAAAGTGTTAATAATTTATTATATCCTGTCAATCCTGTAACTGATCATCTTTATATGGTTTTTTCAAGGTACAGAAAAAATAGAAATAGAAATTGAAAAAAAAAGAAATAATAATATTTATTTATTTATTTATTTATTTTGTTTTTAGACAATGGGATAGTGATTATTGTCATTATTTTAATGTTAGACAACTTTTATCACAACCAGGTATTCAGGTGGTAGCAGCAGCAACCAATAGATTCAAAATACTCAAAGACAATTATCAAAATATTTTGGTAGCGTCACTTCTTGGCGACTCTATGGTATTGAACAGAAACCCAAACAAGGGAGGTAAGCCAGTCAAAGTCCCATTCTCATTTGAAACCACCTCTACCGATGAGTATGTTTGGCAATACGTAGTTGACCAAGCCTACAATTATTTCACAGCCAACAAGATGAAGAATTTCAAATCAACCAGTAACTGGATCCAATTCCTAAAAGCTGGTGGTTACCCTGAGGAATCAATTCAAACTGTTATTTTAGCTTTAAATGGTGCTAGACAACAAGATTGGTAAGCAAAAAAAAAAAATATTATTAATAATAATAATAATAATAATAATAATTTTTTTTTTTGATAGTTGGTGGTCACAAACTATATTTAGAATGGTCTCTGGATTTGATAAAGATGAACAAAAGATTAAAAAGCCAATGCAAATTAAACGTACATTGATTCCAATTACTCATCCATTTGGCAATACAGTGCCAACGTGCAAGGTTGCAACCAACAAGTTCCCATGTGTCTCTACGTCACCCAACTTTATACGAGAAACGTTATCGTTCCCTCCAGCTTGTGTAATTCAAGTACCAGATGCATGGGCCAACGTAATCTTCCAATCTGGTCTAACACCAGAAGAACAAAAAACAACCGACAAGGTTGAATATGTCGACAAAATCACTGCCATCTATATCGAAAGCTTTGATAGACATTATGCCAATAGAGATGCTGGTGATCACGTTGCTCAATGTGCAAGTGTTAATCAATAATAAAAGAAAGATAGAAAGTAAAGTAATCTTTATTCAAAATAAATAAAGATATCTTTTTTTTGGAAACCAATAGGTCTGCATATTTAAATATGCATGGAGTTGAAGTAGCGTTGAAATACAATTAATATTATCACCGTGTTTGATAGAGTGTATCCCAATAATGCATCCTTTCTTTCATTATGAGTTGATTAGTTGTCTGGGACTTTTGATTATGATCTAATAACAGGATTATTATTATTCGAGCTCCAAGTACTGATAAGTTGAATCACCAAGCTGGCAACTAGAGGCAACGCAGCTCCAGAAAAAAGGGCATAAAAAACGTGCTCAGACCAAGAATCGAACTTGGGATAAGAGGACCACAACCTCTTGTGATGCCACTTCACCATCTGAGCTATCTTTTTTGATGTTTTTCCATCTCATTTTACGCACTTTTATACCCGATTTTTTTCCCCATTTTTTATATGTGCAAAGTCAAAACAAATAAGCTGAAAAACTCAGAGTCTGTCTTGTATGAGCCCCGCACAATTCCCTCAGTTCTATGATTTTGACTTTTCACATACAATATGGATAAGATTCATGTCTCTTGGTCTTCAAAACAGTATCATATCTCTCGTTAGAAAGATAAAGGTTGGCTTTCTGAACAACTACATATCGCAATCAAAAAAATGGAAGAGATCCTTGCTAATTCAAATTATCTTTGACAACAAAACAAAGAAAGAATACAGTTTGACATTTCTGTACATTCGTTTGATATTTAAGAGATTTAATTATGTTTCTTTAGCCCAAAGAATGCTCAGATGACAAAGAGACACCACTTAGAGATTCAATCTAGTAGAAAGAATCTCTTTGTCATCTGAGAAAAGTTGAGTTTAAAATAAAAGCAAAAGATCGCACTATTCTAAAAAGAGGATAAATTTAAATAGTTTTCATGATTTGTTTGATGGTTGGTTCCAAGGAAACGTTGCTGGATTGGTTTTGATGGTTATATACTATTCAATCCATAAAGAGATAAATGGTATTTATTTATGACCAACTAGTTAATTTTTAAATAGACATAGAAATGAACCTTTTGATAAATGTCAACTAAATCAAAGATAAATTTCGAAGTTGAAATAATCGGAAAATAATTAAACAAATATAACTAATACTTTTTTATAATTGTGATTTTAATTTATTTTGAAAATATACAAATGTGGAAAGGTTGGTTGGTTGTTTGTTAGTGTTTTAAATTTAACCTCTCTTTTTTTCGAAGCTCTATATATAGGATCAAATGAATGTATCCATATCTCTCTGCTCTACCAAAGAAAAGATTTTTAAATATTATTATATATGGTTGTTTTGATTGATAATCAGATTATCTGTGAATGTTTTCCCCCTTTTTTATCATTTTCTTTTTAAATATTTGATAAAGTTGAAGGTTGATAATCTATTTTCAATTTTCTAATTTGACGATAGATTGATTTTGTTTTGGTTGGATTTGCTTCGAGGTATTTTTCAATGATTGATTTGATAGATTGGAATGGACATTTACCACTACCACCACAGTTGAGGAGTGCATCGAATACTTGGTTCCAAACAGTCAATTGAAGGGTTGGTTTTAATTTGGAGGTATCCAATTTGAGTTTTCCATCGTCAGCAGTCTTGGTGACAGAGAGACCTGACAAGTCGACACTGTCATTGACGATTTGGTAGATGGTTTGGAGGGCACCCAAATAGTCGAGGTCGTAGGCCCATGTCTTTCGGTCCATCAAAATGTCGGCGAGTGGTGTGCACAAGGTCGATGGGAGCATATCGCGGGTGGGACACGAAAAGGTGACTTGTTGCTCCTCGTCCTTGTTGTAGAGCTTGGCGTCAATACAGTTTTTGAAAGACGAAAGTTTGAGCCAGCCGGCTGGACACCCATTTTGGGCGGTCCAGTCACTCCCCGACGCCGAAAAGGCGGGATAGAGGTGATCGGCAGACAAACCACCGTGGATAATCTGGCAACCGTGCAACATTTCCAAAGTCGACAAAATGTCGAGTGCATAGTACATCTTGAGTGGCTCCTCGAGTGTTTTCTTGTCGCTCGACAAACGTTGGATGATCGATGACAACGATCCGTGCTCCATCAGCTCGGTCAAGGTGATTGATGCGTTATTGTACAAATGGGCCGAGTAAAACGAGGTAAAGCGCGACAAGCTACTCTCAACCTTGGCCTCTGCAATGGCCTGTTGTTGCTCGTCAACGTTGGCGTCACCACCCGACATGGACATGAGAGCTGTGGTGGCACTCTCTACGATACGCTCGCTAATCTGCTGACGAATGTAGAATGGCCAGTGATTGGATGGTTTGGCAAGTTGTAAAATCACCACATCCCCAGATGCTTCGGCACGATACACCTTTGAGCCGGTGGTCGACGAACCATCACTCGAAAGACACTTGCTAATCGACAAGGACAAGTCATCGTTGAGATTGATCATACCGCCATTGGCCGACTCTAATGCTTCAAAAGTTGGCATTGGTTGATTGGAACAATCCATAAAACTATCGACCAACGCAAGATATTGAATGACATGTGAATCAACCATACATCTATGAACATCATTGTATGGTTCAACAATTCCATTACTTGGTGTTAAACAAATTTCAATGATTTGAGTTTTATCCATAGTTGTATTTAATTGACTTGTTAAATTTGAAGAACAAGGAGAAGTAGATGAAGATGAAGAGGAAGAAGAAGAAGGAGTTGGTGAAGATGTAGTGATTGATGAGCTTGTTGTGGTTGAGGGTTCAGGGTCTTGATAAATAGCAAAACCACCACTTGTTGCTGGTATTATACCTTCTCCACTTAATTTAATATTTTGAGCCAATGCCAATGGTGATGGCGGGGATGTAATCTCTGGTTGAGAAATCACCTTTGGATCTTCGTAAATGGCAAATGTATTTGATTTGACCACTGCTGGTGTTGGTGTTGGTTCATCTTGGAAAATTGAAAAACCTCCAGATGAAGCAGATGGTTTGTTGTTGGTCTCTTGGTTATCTTGAAAGATTGAAAATGATTGTTTTACTGGTGCAGAGGTAGTTGATTGATTATTATCTTGGAAAATACTAAATCCACCAGATGGTTTGTTGATTTCCTTTTTAACCAATAAATCAATTCTATCTCTTGTATGAACAGTATCACCTCTTTCATATTCTTCATCATCCAAACTATCATCTTGTTGATTTTGTTGTTGTCTAATATGTTTTTGAATATCCAAAGTTGTAGTATCATTACCCAATAATGTCTTTTTAACAATATCACCATTTGTTATTTTCTTCAAGTCTTGGTTGATATTTAGGTTGACGGGATCAATATTTTCTTGATTTTCAAGATGATCCAAATCTTCATTTTCAATTTCACTAAATGGTGTTGGAGAGAGTGAACGTAGTCTAGAGGGAGTTGAAGAAGATATCTTTGATGCTTTTCCCTTTTTTTCAAATTGCATTGGTGTATGGAACCAAGACATGACATCCTTTAAAGCCTCCTTTGTATTGATTGTCATGGTTGGTGATGGACAACGTTGTGATGTCTCTGATACAATCATTGATGACTCCATCGTAACAGACGATGTGTTGTTGTTGTTGTTGTTGTTTTGTTCAGCCATCATCATCATTGATTCTTCTCTTTGTTGTTTTTGTTGTAGTTGTTGTTTTCTTTGTTCTTGTTTCGCCTTGTAATGTTTGGCTCTAATCTCTTCAAATGATAATTCATTTTCACCTTGCATAAATAATGATTTATTATATCCAATCTTTTCATTGGATACTGTTGTAGCTGCTGCTGTTGCTGCTGCATTAGTAGAAGAGGAGGAGGAGGATGATGAAGATGATTTCTTTGTTGTTTTACTTGAAGTAGAAGTAGAAGAGGAGGATGAGGATGAGGATGAAGCAGAAGCAATATCTGGTTTTGGGAAATTGGCCAATGGATTATCTTGAATTTGTTCCACTTGAGTTTGAATGGGCACAATATTCTTTAAAAGACCTTGTGCTGCTGCTATTGGTTGTTGTTGTTCAGAAGAGGTAGTATCATCACAAAATATTTCAAAGGCAGGACCGGCTGGCGCAGTCTTTATCTTTTTTTGAACCACCTTTGATTCATTCCACTTGGCCGGTGCCATTGTATTCTCCTTGTGTTTACCAATCTCTGGTTCCAACTCTTCCCATTTAATTCCACTTGAATACATTGTGTTTGATGATGATGAACTGGAAGTTGAGGTGGAACTTGACTTTTTACCAACAAACTTTTGATTTGTTTCAATTGGAGAACTATCATCACTACCACCTTTTGAATCATCGTATACTTGGAATCCATTACTTGCACCACTACCAAATACTGTAGAGGACGACGACTTCTTGCTGGCAGATGATTCAACGGTCTTTCTCTTTTTAACCAAGTCACCACTTGCAGCAGCAGCTGATGATGATGATGGTGTTGACGACACACCATTACCAATAGGAGCACCTCTGATTTGAGAAGACTTTCTTTCACTTGTAACAACGGTCGATGAAATAGTACCCAATGCAGCTCTTTGAATCGTTGGTGTATTCTCATTATTGTTCGGTGTGGATGGTGGTACATTGCTGGCTGGTTGATTAGACGTCGATGATGAAGCAGTCAAGAGATCTTTATTCTTCATATGATGAACAAGTCTCTTTTCAAACTCTGTATGTTTCTTTTGAAGACGATCGAGTGGTTGAGCACGACGTTGGATTCCGAGTTGGTAGGATTGGTCGGCCAACGGATAGTTTGTCTTGTTTTCATAGATGATGGCTTTGGCTTCGTAGAGCAATGACAACTGGCTGCCAATACCGTGTACTTCGAGGTAGTTGAATATCTCGATCGGTTCACGACACATGTCGGCATAGATCAGCCACAATCGCAGATACCGCATATCGTTCTTGTACTGGTCGCTCTTGACAAACAGATTATTACAACGTTGCAACAACACCAACAACTCTGACTTCATATTACCTCCTGGGTAAGATTGTTGAATCCATTTAACATATTTTGTCCACAAGTCCAATGGATCCTCTCCTTTATATTCTTGAATAGCTTTTTCAAATTCACTAACATAAAAGTATATTAGTATATCATTCCTTCCTATTATATTATTAGATACATACGCTTTCTCTTTTACTAACTTTTCCTCTACTTGTTTGGTTGGAGTTGTAAACTGCTGAGCTAGTTTAGTTGGATCTCTTCCTGTTTTCAAAGGAAGTATATTTTCTTTAACATTCTCCCAATCGCTGACTGACATGATGTTCTAATAATATATATCTATTATATCTAATATATAGTATATCTAATAGTATATATATCTATCTCTCGAGTATATATAGTATATTTTAATAAATAAATAAATAAATAATAGTTCCTCGTTATTCTTTTTGTCGTTCGTCTATCGCTTCTTCTTGAATCACTTGATTAATCTATCTATACATATACACACACACACACACATATATATATATATATCTATGATTTATAATATAGTTGGGATAAAAGTGGGTATTTTTTTGTTTCTATTCTTTGTTTCACAAAAGTTGAGTTGGTTCACGTGATCATCAGCATTATTCAAATCCTCTCCAACTCTTTAATTTGCCGTTGAAAAAGGCGCGGGTTGCATCCAGGTTTTTACAAATTTGAAAAATTGAACTTCAAACACACACATACTTCCAAAGTCCGAAAGAAGAGTTTATTATATTATGTTACAAGTTTGTGATAATAGGTACTTAAGTACTTAAGTACTTATAGTTTGATTGAATAGATTCAATATAAAGAATGGTAATGATACGATGGCACCTATAAATACACCGTATAATCGGTGGTATTCAACATGACGTAGTTGAGTGTCTTGTTCGAGACGATCGATGATCTTTAGTTGTGACGGTGACACGGTACGTGTTTGCAAGATGTATTGAATGATTGAATGGAGGTCATCGAAATACCCGATACAACTAGTCGTCAAAAAGAATAGATCGACTAGTACAACACCTCCACATAGATAGGTGCTAGGTATCGATGTCATAATATATCGTGTGATTGGATAGGATAGACCCCATCCCAACACATTCGATGCAACGTATAATCCAACCATCTTTCTTCTCTTTTCTGCCGATGAACTACCAACAGGTCGAGGTGGAGGTCCACAAGCAATAGCTGATAAATCCCAAAAGGCACATGATATAGATGATCCTAGAAATACATTAAATAGTACTCTTCCCCACATCCCTTTATTGTACAATATCTATATATTCGTTTGTTGTAATAATGAATGAGATAATGTATTAAATATCTAATCACTCGTGTCTATGAGTTTGAGAGTGACTCCCCATTATGATGGGCCAAGTCACCTGACTTTCAAGAATCTTTTTAGTAGAAGATTTTATTGGTTGTGTACCCCAATACTTATGAATGATTCATTCATTGTCGACACTTTATCGGAGATCAAGAATGATGATGCCCTGGGGGTGACGAGTCAAACTAGTACTTGACTTGTCTTGAAAAGGCAATCAACCACCTCCACAAACCAACTCCAAAATAGCTGGGACAAGCTCACACTCATTCATTTTTATTTAATTTAATTTAATTTAAAGGATGAAAGTTTGGTGTCTATCTACCCAATCAATCGACTAACCCACACCCAGCCCCTTATATACAGATATATAGAGAGAGAGAGAGAGAGAGAGAGAGATAGAGTCAAGGCATCAATCAATCAATCAATCAATCATCAGAGAGGAGATGGTTTATGACTTGATGTTGACCACACACCTTTAACACAACAAACAAACAAACAACACACAACTTTTAAACAATACAAATACAACAACATTCATTTCTTTTCATCTATAGTTGTAGTTTGAATAGAAAGGTCATAAATATAATATGAATAATAATAATAATAATAATAATAATAAAGGAGGAGGAGGAAGAGGAGAAGATGAAGAGGAAAAATTATTAAAGTCAAATAGAGTAGTTGGTGATAGTAGTAGTAGTAGTAATGGTTCATCGTCTTCATCAAATGATCATGTTGACATTGATGATGATAGTAGTAGTGAAGATGGTGAAGAGAAACCATTATTATCATTGGAAGATGAAAATAATATAATTACAACAACTGATTCACAAACACCGATTTATGTATATGATGAAGAGGATTCATATGATATACGATCATCTGCCAGTCATTTGGATAGTAGTATCAATGCAAATATATTGGACCACAAAAAGAATCATAGTAGCAAGTTGTTGCTCTTTCAAATCTATTCTACAGTCTTGGCAATACTGTATCTGTCAACTTCGGCCGTCCTTCCTCTTCTCAGCAAACAAATCTTTATAAACTATGACTACCCCCTCACTTCAAGTTTACTTCAAACCGTCGGTGCCTCAATACTCCTTCTCGTCTTTAATATCATTCAATACTATCACAACAAAGGTGACCTATTACCAAAGAGTTATATTACTGATCATAACTTTTTATCTAAAGCGTAAGTGTAAACAAAGAAATAATAATAACACATATATATATATATATAAACAACAAAAACAATACATATAGGATGATGAACAAACAACAACAATGATTGTTTTAAAATTCAATTGACAATGATTAGGTTTTAAAACTCTATATAAACAATGTATATAATAATAATTATCACGATATGTATTCAAGAGATGAAATCCATCCGGGTTCATGAAATCAATTGATAACAATTCTCATACCGGTGCAATCAAATTTAAAGATTTAAATTGATTGTGTATAATGGGAATGACAGTAGGTTGAAAATGATCATTACATTGTTTTAATATTATAGAGTTTTGGAATCTATAGTCAATTTCTTTTTAAATAATCAAAGTTGTTACTGACAATACAGATAGAATAATATAAATATAAATAATAATATTATAATATTGATTCCAACAATTAATTAATATTAATATTAATATTTCTTTTTTAATGACTTTTAGTATTTTAATGTTACCAGTATCAATATGTTTTGCAATAGTAATATCATTAACAAATATTGGTATATCAATGGTTCCAGTCAATTTCCATATTATTTTTAAATCTACCAATGTAAGAATTAGAAAACAAAAAAAAGAATAACCATTTATTTATTAATTAAATAATTAATTTTCTTTTCTTTTTCTTTTCAATTTAGATTATATGGGTTGTAATATTTTCATTTATTGTACATAGAGAGAAACCAACGATTTCAATTTTAATTAGTATTGCATTTTTGATGGGAGGTACAATCATGGTATCATTGGTATTTTCAGGTCAACAAGAATCAAGTTTTGTACCTATCTTTATTAATCTTTTATCGTCGTTTTTCGAGAGTGTAACACTGGTCGTTCTGAAATGGTCGTGTCAGTATATGTATCGAAAAGATGAAACCATCTCAGTGGTAGAGATTACCTTTTTCAAGTGTGCCGAGGGATCCCTCGTCATCCTTCTCCCACTCTTGGCTATCGAACATGTCAAAGGTTTCTCTACATTGGTTCAATTACCATATACAACCATTCTTTTGGTCATTGCTGGTATTTTTGTTACTATAGTGTAAGTAATAGAGAGGAGAGAGTTAGTTATATATAGTTAATTAAAATTTAGTTTGATATTAATAATTCATTGATTGATTCTTTTTTTTATTTTAGATTCCAAGCAACAACAGTTGGATTGATAAAGAGTCTTTATGTAATTACAGTTGGTACAGTGACACAACTACAAATCATTCCCCAAATATTATTATCTGTTGTATGGTTCCATACATTTATTATTTCCGCTCTACATATTAGCGGTGTCTCCCTCTCGATTCTTGGGTGTCTCGTATTCACCCTTCATAACTTTTACAATGCCTATAAACAAAAGGTATTACAAAAACAACAAAATCTACTTCAACAACAATAATAATAATAATAATAATAATCAAACCAATCAAACAACCCCAACCAATAATAGTAATAATTGATATTTCATCCACATGTAGTGTTTAAAATCAATTCTTCAAACTAATATTCAAATTCAAAAACAAAAAAGATAGAATATAATAATATAAATACAATTCATTCTTTTTGATCACCTATAAATGATTGTAGTTAAGTTAATATTTTATTTATATTTATAAACTACCTTTGATTGACATCTGGTTCATTTTCACAAGTTTATAAATCATTTTTTTAAAAAGACAAGTGTGAAAGACCATCCGACAAATATGCAACAATCAGATAATACACCATTATCTCTGCTACCATGGGTTATACAATCAGAGATTATTTATATAGTTTGTAATTATCGAAGGAATAGAGGTCAAAGAGAGATAAAGTTAAGTGATGTGTATCATGTGGCTGGTGTATCGAGAAAGTGGAGAAATGCATCTAAAGTATCCCTTACTTTATGTCAGCGGTTCATCTTTGGACAAGAAGATTTAGAGGTGTACCGTCGTCGACACTCTGATAATAGTCTCAGTAGTGCTCTCAGTCTTCTCTCGGGTCCACATCACACCATTGATGTTGACCTTTCAAAACATAGTCCAATCTTTCAAACTCATTTCAACTTTCAGTACGCTCAAACCAATCTAGATTGGTTTATCGATACTATCATCAATAAGATGCCGTACTTTAATTTTATTGATGTGCATAAAGATATAGTTTGCAGATGGGTCAGTCTCATCAAAGGACATGGAAAGATCCTAGCACTACCGTCTCTCAAGAAACTGTCTTTTGGTAGAATTGATGTAAATTGGCCACTCTTTCTATTTCATCATTTACAAGAGTTGGATATTGATATTGGACCCTATACAACAACCGAGATATGTAGTTTTTTGAATCACTGTCACACTCTAAAGTCTCTCATCATCGATAACTCAAATGACAACAAAATAGACATTGACAAGGTGTTTTCAAGTATACCTCGTACTCTCACCAAATTGTCTTGGTCCGTTCATGATAAAGACAACCAAGTATCAGATAACCCTAACACCAACCCACTCCCATTCCACCTCTTACCATCTACTATACGTCACCTTTTAATTTGGAGTATCTATCAATCATCTACTCGAGAATACTATGATTTTGTATTGGCCAACTCGGTACATACAATAGTCCACTATTCCCAAGACACCTACTTATATTCAGACCAATCTACTCATGAATGCATCAACTTTTTAGTATCATCTCCATCCTCTCCCATTAAACACATTTATCACATAGTCACATCCAACAATCCAACAACAACTACAACAACAACAATCACAGAGAATGAAACTATAGTAGTAGTCCCACCATTATTGGAAGAGTTGGAGTTATGGATATTAAAAGGTGAAAGTGTGTATGAAATATTTGAATGTTTGTTCAGGCAAGCTAACGTTGGTGGTCAAGGACCATTACTACCAAACCTTCATACACTTACAATCAAGTGTATGAACCAAGGATCAGAACACTTTCCCTACCATCTCGGTGCATTTATCCGAAGCAGTCAATCACTTGCAATCATTGATATAGAGGTACCATTTTTTTATAACAAATCAACTCGATTCGATTCTATAAAGAGATTCTTGGATTCAGTAGCCAACAGTCATTCAGTTGAATTGGTTTACATTCGATTTGTGCAAGGTCCTACATTACCAAAGTTTGATAACTTTGACAAAAAGAATTTTGTTGGTCGACTAAAACAACTCTTACAAGACTTCAAAAATAATTCATTAGAATTACATTATAAAGATAACTTAATCACTATTAATAATAAATAAATAAATAAATAATAATAGTAAATAATTTAATTGTTAAATCGTAAAGAGTACTCTTTACAAAAAACTAAAAAAACTCCAAGTCATCATTAATTTTTACAAAGATCGACATATTTTAATGGAACAAACAGATAATAATACATCATTATCATTATCTTGTTTAATACAAACAACTAGTATTCTATTACCATGGGTAATACAATCAGAGATTATTTATATATTATGTACACAAAGAAAGAATCAAGATTGTAAAGAGATAAGACCAAAAGATGTATTTGGTGTGGCAGGTGTATCGAGAAAGTGGAGACAAGCAACTAAAGCATCACTGACTTTAAATTTGCGTATCAATATAAGTAGACAATTACTTGAAGATTATCGTCAACACTATGACAATAGTCTCAGTCTACTATCAGGACCTAATCACCACATTGAAATTGTAATCGACTTTGGTACTGGTTCTTCAGAAGACAATTTGGCATACGCTGGTATCAATATAGATTGGTTCAACGATACTATCATAAACAAGATGTCACATTTAAAAATAGTGTATACAGCTCCAAAGTGGATCAAGCTCATCAAAGAACATAGGTCATCAATCGTCGTCAGTGGTGGTGGTGATGGTGCTACTCTACTACCACCATGCTTTAATAAGATGTCTGTTCAATTTGTTGATTTACATTCACTCTTTATGTTTAATCATTTAAAAGAGTTGGATATTAATTTCACTTTAAATATATCGACCGAGATATGCAGTATCTTGACCAATTGTAACACTCTAGAGTCACTCACCATGAAACTCGAGGTCAGTCCCAACATAAACATGAATCAAGTGTTTTCGAGCATACCTCACAGTGTCACCAGATTGTATTGGAAAAGCCAGCCTCAGACCAACTCGCACAACAAAGCGACCAACCCTCCACCATTCCATCTTTTACCTCCAGGTATACGTCATCTCTTGATTGAAGATCATATTCAAAGATGTAGTCAATCATACTGTGACTATGTTAGAGCCAACTCGGTTAGTACAGTTGTCCATACCGATCATCCAACCTATTATGACACCACCAACTTTTTAATATCATTGTCGTCACCTGTCAAACACATCTATTTCCAGTCATCTGGATTCACAGTTCAGAAAGAAAGTGCAATTGTCCCAGAAACATTGGAAGAGTTGGATCTTCAGTTTATATACATCGATCGCCAAAAGGCGACAGATTTACTAGAAACAATATTCAAGTATCCATTACCAAAGCTACATACATTTCGCATTGAAGGTGCTGTTAGAGGTATCGAACAATTTCCCGACTTTCTTGTTAGATTTATTGAATCGAGTCAGTCTCTTAGGATCATCGATTTCGCACATTCATTCTTTTGGATAGATAATCTAAATCGTTTAGATTTATTCCTACGTTCAATAGCCGATAGTCCATCCATTGAAAAGGTTTACCTTCGACATACTCCTGGTGCCTTCCGACAATACCCAAATCAATTTCTGTTTGACACTATCAATCAACATTTACAAACTATCAATAATAATAATAACAATAACAATCCATTACTTTTAATACTACATGATAAAAATACTATAATAATCATTAATACAAATAATTGTAATAATAATAATGATTTATCTTGTTATCAATAAAAAAAAAAATAATTAAAAAGTTGTAAAGTACAAAAAAAAAAAAAAAAAAAGTAAAGTATGATCATTCACAAGATCAGGAAATATGCAAACAAATAATAATAATACATCATTATCTTGTTTATTACAATCAACTTGTATTCTACCATGGACTGTACAATCAGAGATTATTTATATAATATGTAATTATCGAAAGAATCAAGATTGTAAAGAGATAAGACCAAAAGATGTGTATCATGTGGCTGGGGTATCAAGACAGTGGAGACACGCAACCAAAGTATCATTGACTTTAAATTGGCGTATCAATATAAGTAGACAATTCCTCCACGAGTATCGTCAACATTATGAACACCCTTTCAGTTTACTATCAAGTCTAAATCACAATATTGAAATTAACTTTGGTATTGGGTCGATCAAAGATAACTTGGAATATGCTCGTATCAATTTAGATTGGTTCAATAATACTATCATCAACAAGATATCAAATTTAAAAATCATTTATACAAATGATATGGCTTTAAAGTGGATCGAACTAATCAAAGGCTGTAGGTTACCATCAATCGATGAAGGTGGCGAGGGTGGTGTACCGTCTCTCAAGACACTATCAATTCAACAATATGATGGTACCAATTCACTCTTTATATTTAATCATTTACAAGAGTTGGATATTAATTTTAGAGGCAATTCAACAACCAAGATATGTAATATATTGAATAGTTGTCATAATTTAAAGTCACTCACTATGGGTCTGTACGTTAGTCCTAAAATAGATACAAATCAAGTAGTCTCTAGTATACCTCGTACACTTACTCGATTGTCTTGGAGTGGTATATCAGAACTAGAAGAATACACCAAACATGCCAAACCACTCCCATTCCACTTTTTACCCACCACCATACGTCAGCTATTAATTTGGGATATCAATCAAACATGTACACAAGAATACTATGACTTTGTAACGACCAACTCTGTCCATACAGTTGCTCAATGCGACCAATCTACCCAAGAGTGTATCAACTTTTTATCTTCTTCATCCTCTCCCGTCAAACACCTCTATCTCAAAGCATCGGGACACTCTTGTTACAACACGCCAGTCTCTATTTTGGAAAAGGCAATTGTCCCACCATCGATACAAGTGCTAGAGCTACAATTCACCTATATCGAACAAAAGAATGGATTGAATACACTGGAATCAATTTTCAAGTATAGTGGTCCATTACCAAACCTACATACATTGATCTTTGAATCAAGAGAAATGAAATTACCCGAACATCTAGCTACATTTATTCGATCGAGTCAATCCCTTCGGATGATTGATTTCGGACAGTCATTCTTTGGTACACCATACCACGATAATTTCGAGTTATTCTTGAATGCAATGGCTCAAGGCAATAGAATTGAAAAGGTTTATATTAGATATTCACCATCTTTAAAGAATACTATTGATCGAGCAAAACAACATTTACAAACAATCAAAAATAATCCTTTGGTTTTAATAATAGATACTTTTTATTTATTAATCATTAATACAAATAATAATCGTATGGCCGATTTATCATCATACAATATTGTTGAAAATATAAAGAATGAAGAAATTAAACAAAAAGGCAGTTCAACAAACAAGATTACATGTAGAATATAAAAGACATGTAAGAATAAAGAAAATAGGGAAAAATCAAATACAATTACATATTTAAAGAAAGAAAGAAGGTAAGGTAGATATTTATTTAAAAAATATGTTTAATATTAATTCTGCTTCTGATTTTCTTTTAGATCACATGATGATGGATAATTCATTATCTTTACCTTTATCTTTACCTACTTTACCATGGGTAATACAAACAGAGATTATTTATATATTATGTAATTATAGAAGGAATGAATACATTCAATCGATCAGATTAAAAGATGTATTTAATATTGCTAGTGTATCACATACGTGGAGACATGCAACTAAAGTGTCATTGTCATTAGATTGGGTTATCAATGTCAATAGACACTCTCTCAAAGAGTACAGACAACACTCTGAAACCCAACTATGTCTCCTTTCACAACCCAACCAACACAAACTACACTTGGTATTGTTTCCTTCAAATTCCAACTTGGAGTATGCCGATCAAAACCAAGATTGTTTCAAAGAGAGTGTAGTCGATAGATTGTCGTATCTTGCAATCAATAGGTACACTCCTATTGATTGGAATAGTCATATCAAGGGACGAATACCTTCACTCAAAGCAATGCATATCTACTCGTACATTGATCAATATACCAAATTTTCACTAGAGGTATTTCAGTGTTTGGAACAACTACAAGTTGTGTTTTCTGGTACTAAATGTCAACAGATATGCAATGTACTATCAAGTTGTCAAAACCTAAAGTCTCTCACAATCGATATCCAATCGTGTATTGACTTGGATGTTGGAAAGGTGTTTTCAAGTATCCCTCGTACCACCAACAAGCTAATATGGGGCGACATAAATCAATACCAACCATCATACGACCCGTCGGTCAAGCCATACCCATTCCACCTTCTCCCAGACGCCCTAAACGAACTTGTCTTTTGGGATGCTAATCTTGTACCCAATCAACCATACTATGACTATGTACTCGGTCATCCAGTGCGTAAGGTTATCTACTATAACCTGGTAACACCTCAATTTGTTGACTTTTTATCGTGTCCGTCTTCGCCAATCAAAGACCTCATGCTCTACGTCATAGATGCACCCAAAACATTTTCGATCGCCCAAAGGGCAATCGTTCCACCATTGATCGAAAGTTTAGAGTTGATAGTCACCAAAGAGATTGGGTTACAAGTTTTGGAATGTGTTTTCAAGCATAATGGTCCATTACCAAACCTACACACAATCAAGATCGATTCATCCGATGATTTCCTCCATCTCCTCATTCATCATATCCAACAACCAAGTCAATCCATTCTTCGGGTCATTGACTTTTCAATCTTCTTTACCTCTCCATCTGCCAACCAACAATTATTGATCTTTCTAGATGCAGTCACTTCAAGTAAATCAATTGAAAAGGTTTACTTTAGAAACAAATTGTTTGATAAAGAACTTATTGATATTATCAATCGACATCTACTAAAGAATAATAATAATCGAATATTAAATATACAATCTATTTTAAAGGATATAATTATTATAAATACAAATAATTGTTAAATTAATAAATAGTTCTATTTAATTTTAATATCTGTTTTTTTCCCCAATTGGACTCGAAGTTGATCATTCAATTTTAACAAAATGATGAAAAGAAATAATAATAATAATAAGAATAAATCATTACCTTTACTACCTACTTTGCCATGGATAGTACAATCAGAGATTATTTATATATTATGTAATTTTAGAAAGAATCGAGAAGAAGAAGAGAGACATACTACTACTATTAAAATAGGAGGTGTAGTGCTGAATGTGGCAGGAGTATCGAGAGCATGGAGAAGAGCAACTATTACATCGTTGACTATTTGTTGGTACTTTAATACAAACAAGCATTCTATTGAAGAGTATAGACATCACTCTGAAAATGAGTTGAGTCTCTTTTCGGGTGTTCACCACCCACTCGGTCATCACACTTTAGACCTCGTACTTCATCATGGCAGTGACATTGCACGTGTCAATAAAGAATATATGCAATCTAATTTTGAATGGTTCAAAGACAATGTAATGCGTAAAGTGTCGGATATCTATATTGACGATGGTAGAGAGACGGTTGATTGGATGGACACTCTCATGCGAGTTGGACATCTCCCTACACTCGAACAATTGACATGGAGGTTTGATGGCGAGGTGCATCATAATATAATGCCACTTGACTTGTTTAGTCATTTAGAAGTACTGGATATTGTATTTAACCGCAAGACATGTCAAGATATATGTATGGTATTGTCAAGTTGTCATAGATTAAAAGTATTGGACGTGTCGAGTGGTATCACTAATTGTCCAGACCTAGATCTAAACCAAGTCATATCGAGTATGCCTAACAGTCTAACCAAGCTGTGTTGGGGGAATCAACACCAATACCAGTATTTCCCGGGTGACCCGTCAATACCCTCATTCCCCTTCCATCTCCTACCCAAGAGTATACGACAACTAAAAGTTTGGCCGTCTGCACTTACATGTACACAATCCTACTACGACTATGTCAAAGACAATTCGATCGATACTATTGTCCAATACGACATCCCCCTTGAATCAGTCGTCGACTTTTTATCGTCTCCAACATCATCGTCCTCTGTCAAAGACCTCTACCTCGATATTCTCCACACTCCTCCATTTCAAATTGAACAACGTGCATTAGTACCACCCAATATAGAAGTATTAGAACTTGGGTATGGTATCAATACAGAGTTGATGGAATGCGTATTCAAGTATAGTGGACCATTGCCATACTTACATACCGTCACAATCGACTCTGTCAGTGAGTATTTCAGTTCGATCGCCCCGTTCATCCAAACAAGTCGATCTTTACGAATCATCGATATCACCATGTCATTCCAAATCAATACTGCCAACCTATCTAGAGCTAACATGGGCCTACTACTAACAGCCATGTCCACTAGTCCCAGTTTAGAAAAGGTCTACTTGAGAAGAAATGGTGTTAACAAGACTGTCACAAACTCCATCAAAAAACAATTTCATACCATCCCATCCCCTCATCCACTAGTCATCATTGACAATATTGATTTAATAATCATTAATACAAATAATGATAGTAATATCGATTTATCTTTTTTTAAAATTATTAAATAAACTCAAAGAAAAAAGGTAAATATAAATTAAATAATAATAAATTAATATAATATTAATCTTCCCTTTGTTTATTACAACTCCCAACAACAATTAATTGCATATGTTTAAAAACTTTAATTTAAATTTAAAGTTATAAATACAGGAAATAAAGGATTAATTTTATTTGAAATAAAAAATCAATTTGAAAGCATCGACCAACATTCTTTCTAACAGTATTGAAATCTGTAGAGGCAAACAACCTAGAGAGTGCATGAAAGTAACCTTATGATTTTTACCCAATGAAAGTAATTTGTCGTATATATATAAATTTCACCCACTATAGATGATATCATCAACCAGGGTTGCTGCCAAACCATCTCACTATTGTTAACACCCAACCATCATGATTATTCCTATCCATCTTCCCATTTTCATTTAAGAGCTCCTTTATTTGCTTAATGATAATTCCCTCAAGGAGTTTCTTTTTCACTCTTAATTTTATTATACTTGTATAATAATAATAATAATAATAATAATAATAATAATAATAATAATAATAATAATAATAATAAGAAGTAGACTTATTGAAATGGCAGAATCTGACATCCCTCCAAATTTATCTTGGGACCAAAAACGTATGTCTTCTACCTTTCTCTAGAGGGAAATCTATCTTTAATTAAGAAATTATTATTAATTTCTGTCTCCTAAGATCCTCAGTCTTGGTCAAAAGATGATACTCGTGCTTGGTTAAACAAAATGAAACCAATCTACAATTTCAATGATGAACTCGTGGATTTAGAATTGGATGGTTCCATCCTCATAGATCTGGAAGTTTGTTTCTTTCAAAGTCGCACCCCAAAAGGTGATTTGGTGTTTAAAGCATTACACAGTCTAGTTGAAGAGTTTACTGGTTCGTTACTATCTATTTTTAAAATCGATTATTACTAATTTCCTTCTTAGAATCATCCTCTTCTGCTCCTGTTCCTCCCAGTACCGGTATGAAAACTTTTTCTCCATCTTTTATATTCCATTTTATGTACTGACAAATTAATCCTTATTCAAATAGAGATGATTCGAATATATGCAACCGATTCTGTCAATCGAGATGCCATTTTAAATGTAGGGTTGGATAACAAACTTTCAATGGTAAGAGATACGACAGATCAGGACAAGAGCCATCAAGATTCGAATCTTGCCCATTTGGATCTTTGTCTGATAGAATTCAAATTAGGAACTTATGCATGGGACAACATCCAAATTTATCTCAAGTCTTATCATGAAATTCTGGCCAATGGTTTGAGAGAAAGAAATCGTCCAGAGTCTCCAGTCATCCAAAGTCTCTCAAAACCAGGAGATTATGTTGTAGTTGTACTCAAAAAGAGATTTACTGTCAGCAAAAGCACCATCTGGTGCAAAACACTCACAAAACAATTCGAAGTCCCAGTCCTCTTAAATGAAGATCGCTGGAAAAGGTATGTATATAATATATGAAGTATTATCTAGAAATGAAAATGATGATCGTTAATTCGTTTGATACATGCAGAATGATTTTCGATCCATTTCATCTTTTTCAAGACACTACAGCAGTACTGAAGGACTCAAGAACCAAAAGAGATATTCCAATCAACAGTGTATTCATCGCTGATGGTGGTGCATATACTCTCTCCGTACCATGGGTATGTATATATGCCAACTTTAATCTCAAGACACTAACTCATCTCAGTCTGAATCTTTTGATTTTTTGCTTAATAATTGTATAGGAAACAGCCAAACTGGTAAAGAACAACATCCATCTTGTATTCCTATCAATTCTGAATGCTCTACTGGCTTATGGCATAAAATTTATTCCTCCTTACCTATAATTGGTAAAAGACAGAACAAATTTGAAGCTGAATATGTAATCTTGGAATAATAGAATACCATTGTTTCCTCTTGTACATCCCAATAAATTTCAACTATTCATTAAAGTAAATATTCACTCTTAGCACAACAAGTTTGGAAATTCAATATTTCTTTGACAATATCGATTTAATAATCATTAATACAAATAATGATAATAGTATTGATTTATCTTTTTTCAAAATACTAAAATAAAAAGAAAAAACAAAGGGAAGAAGAAGAACATTCATTTCTTTTTCATATTACAATACTATATATTTATTATTTAAATGACTGATTCGTTATCATCTTTATCTCTACTTTTTAATCTACCATTGAGTACGGAGAACACTCTGAGAACAACTTTTGATTATTGTCGGGCCACACTCTCGAAATTCAACCAACTTTATCAAAGAATAGGCGACACTAGTAGTAATAATAACAATAACAATAACAATAATAAAACAACAACAACAACAAATAGAAATAACACCCACTGTAACATGAAAGATTTTGGATATTTTTATCACCCAAAATTTTGGGTCTTGAGGATATTCGAAATTGTTGATAAAAACTTGGTTGGTTGTCATTAAGTAAACATTTCATTTCAAGTTAGAGAGTTAAATATATGTATAAAATGGTGGATAAAATTTCGAATCAACAATCTATCAAAAAGTAAGAATAAACAAGTTATCTTTAAAATCATTTTATTAATTCGATCATTTTCAAGAGGAAAAGACCCAAAAAATCTTTTTATCATTTTATTCTTTTTATCAATCTCTGTAGTTGTGATTTTATGGCAAATTAATACTATTAAGGTTAAAATGGATAAAGAGGTGCCCGTTCTTCCTTTGTTTGTTTACACTCAAATTAACTCGGGTACAGTAACATCATCAGTTAATGGAGTCTTATCCAAAGGGGAGGAAGGCCGTCAGGAGTCATTTATCGTCCCTTTTGATAATCCATACCCTGTTGGCATTATTCCAAAAGTTGTTGCACAACTCAAAACTTTAGATATAGATAATACTCGCGTTTCCCGTATCAATGTTGAAACTTCACACATTTCAAATTTGGGTTTCACGTTGACTTTTAAAACTTGGTCAAATACGATTGTTTACTTTGTTCAAGCATCCTACATTGCACATGCAGAGGTAAAATTGTAGTTATAGGCCTTAAAAAAAATAAATAAAAATAAATAAAATCAAAGCAAACTTTAGATTTACCTGATTTCTTTGTCGTTTCCTTTGCATCACCTTTTTATGATGGTATCGACTATAGGGGTAATCGTCGAAAGACTATAGAAGGTCATTGACCAACCCTGTTTATATCTCTGAACTCATCAAACAAATCTTACCATCCACCGAATATAATTCATTGGTTACAACCATCCTACAAAATAATGATATGATCATTTTCAATTTAAATAATAATCTTCATTTAGATCTTGCATCCTATACCTTTTAAAACCAAAAAAAAAAGGTAAATTTTAAATTAAATAATAATTATTAATAAAGAAATGAATATTCAAATAATTATTGTTTGTTGGGAGTTGTAATAAACAATTAATTTCCTAATCTTAGGATAACAAGTTTGGAAATACAATATTTCTTTAGAATTTCTTGACTTTGAAAAAATAAATACCTGAGTGGAAGACCAAACTTGCAGCAAGCGATCTTTTCAAATCATTTCATAATGCACTCAAACAACGAATCTTTAGAATTAAATTCATTATCATTATCTTCTTTACCAAATCTACCATGGGTAGTACAATCAGAGATTATTTATATTTTATGTAATTATCGAAAGAATCAAGATCATCAAGTATTTTCAATCAAAGATGTATTTAATATTGCTAGTGTGTCACATACGTGGAGACATGCAACAAAGGTGTCATTGTCATTAAATTGGCGGTTCAATATCAGTAGACACTCTCTCAAAGAATACAGACAACACTCTGAAACCCAACTATGTCTCCTTTCACAACCCAACCAACACACACTAAACCTTGCACTCTATCACTCGGATGACACAGCTGAAAGCAACAGAATATATGCCAAGGATAATTTAGATTGGTTCAAGGAGAATGTGTTGAGCAAGGCATTGGGTATGAATACAGATCAAGAGACTAAAGTTGCTGGTTGGTGGGATCTCATCTGTCCAGATGGAGGAGAAGGAGGAGGAGGCAATACATTACCCTCATTAAAAAGTTTGACGTTGGAAATAGATGGTCAGGTGGCAGTATCACTTGACTTTTTACATCAATTGGAACAACTAGAAGTTGTATTTAAGAGTAGTACATGCCAAGATATATGTAATATATTCTCGAACTGTTATAATCTAAAGACACTCAATATCGATATTATTAGTTGTCTCGATCTCGATCTGAAACAAGTATTTGCAAGTATACCTAGTACCATTACAAAGTTGACTATGAATGACGGGCTTGTCACAGACCAACCATTCCCATTCCACTTGTTAAAGGCCACACAACTTTCAGAACTCATCGTTTGGGATACCACTAAATCGTGTACTCGGTCATACTATGACTATGTACAATCCAAACAAGTGCGTCGTATTGTAAAATTCGGTATTGGGTCACAAGAAGAACTCGACTTTCTATCATCGTCGTCATCGCCCGTCAAAGATTTATATTTGCATGTGTCGGACGTACCAACCATCACGTTGGGTGGCAAGGCTATGGTTCCACCGATGCTCGAGCGGTTAGACCTTGGCTTTAGTCTTGCTATGAGCGCAGAGGTGATGGAATGTATTTTCACACACAGTGGACCATTACCAAAGCTTCACACACTCATCATAGACTCTAAAGCCAATGTCCTCGACATGCTAGCTCCATTTATCCAAAAAAGCCGGTCCCTCAAGACCATTGATTTCTCGTTATGCTTTCAAAGAAACACCAGTGCCGAAGGGTTCGAGCTATTACTAGATGCCATCGCAGCCAGCTCATCCATTCAAAAGGTTTGGTTTAGAGTAAAGTCCAATAAGGCGATCATGGGTGTAATCAAAAATCACATTCAACAAATTAAAAATAATCCATTAGTCCTCCTTGAAAATTCAACCATCATCAATACAATCAATAATCCAATTGATTTATCTTCTTATTCAATCATTTAAATAAATCAAATAATTAAAACATTAAACATTTTTGTTTATTTATTTTATTTATTTATTTTCCTTTTTTTTTTAAGCATGACTATAAGGAGGAGTACAAGTGACAGCAATCAATTGGTTTTGGTAGCATTGTTGAACATTCTTGCCTTTACCAGCAGCGTTGGACATGATAGAACAACCATTTTGGTCAGATGAACCTGATCCTCCAGATGAACCGGAACCAGAGCCAGAGCTACTGGTTGGAACGATCATTTGTGAACCATATGGATCACCGGATGAATACTTGCCTGTTGAAAGGATAGCAGCACCTGTACCCGAATTTATGTCTCCGTTTGGAAAAGTTGCATATGAATTGTGGGTTTGATTGCAGAGAACAATACCAAAGATGACACTGTTGATTCCGACGCTACCGGCCGTTGATCCAGTGCCAGTACCAAATCCAGTACCAGTTTGGACACCACCAGCACCCGAACCAATACGATGGGATGCACCGAAAAAGTCATCATCATCTACATCCCGGGTGGCAGACCAAGCTGGGAAAATAATGTCATCCAAGAATTCAAAGTATTTGTCAAGGATATCGATTGTTGAAATCTTGCTGTCATGGTGTTGTGATGATGGTGTATTTACAAGTGACGGTCCAGAAGACCCAGAACTAGCACCCGAACCCGACGAACCTGTACCTGTAGAGAGGGAAGAGGCAAACGATGGGACTGAAGAAGCCGAGTCACTTGTACTGGGAAAGGCAGCTCTAAAGATAGCCATACACTTGTACGATGGGATCCAACGGAAGAGCTCGAGTTGTTTGTTGGCCTTGCACGAGCTATAGGTAGAGATGGCCAATGAACGAGCTGGGTACGATGGTGTGGTGGCCGAGCAAGTAAAAGTCTTGTAGAAACCATTTTTTGTAGAGAGTGTGTTGCATTGGCCCGACGTGAATTCAGTTGTGTTTCCGACACTGCCTTGACATGTTTGATCCTTGTATTGTTGAACTGTTACGACATTTTTGTTGCAAGATACTTGTTGTCCGTTGACACATGTACCCGATTGCAAAACAATACCACCGATACTTGAACTATCCAAATCACAGTCTGGTTCGTTGAATGTTTCAATTGTTATCCATGAGGTGGATGTAGAACTAGTCACAACAACAATAGCAAATAGTGCTACTAATAATACTAATAATGAATGTCCAATCATTCTATCTTTCTGTGTTGATTATAAAGTTATGATACCCCGATGATGATGATGATGAGATGATCATCTTTTATAAATAGTAGTTTAGATATTTACAATTAAATTTTAAACCAACAACAATGAGGTCGACCTACAAAAATCTCTGCCACATAATGCAGTATAGAAATATCTATCTTCGAATCGAATCCAAGGCAACATCGAATGATTTTAACTATGATGTGTCAAGTGAAAGTGTAAAGGAAAGTTCAGTATATATATTTATATCCATCCCTAAATAAACATTAATGACATTTCGGTTATCAATAATACTATGATCATCATGAAAATATAATAATATATTTTATTAATAAAAAAAACTATTCTAAAAATTAGTTTATAAACTTTCATTCTTTCACTCATACTAGTTATTCATTTTGTATGTCATTATCTTTATCTCTATCTCTACCTAATCTACCATGGACAATACAATCAGAGATTATTTATATAGTTTGTAATTATCGAAATAATCAAGATCAAAGAGAGATAAAGTCAAGAGATGTGTATCATGTGGCTGGGGTATCAAGACGGTGGAGACAATTAACTACTGTATCATTGACTTTAAATTATAAGGTCAACATTGATATTAAATCTCTTAAAGAGTACCGACAACACTATGAAAACAACCTTTGTCTACTGTCTGGACCTAATCACAACATTATTGCAAGCGACATAACTGAAATATGTTATGAAACCAAAGAATATATAGAGACGCATTACGAGTGGTTCAAAGAACATATCATCAACAAGATGTCTAGTTTCTGTCAAATTGGCGTTGGAAGACAGTTGTTGAACATTTTCAAAGGTCAACAAGTAGCGTCTCTCAAGAAACTGGCCAGTTACTATGAGTGTGTAGTACCACTTGAACTGTGCCACTATTTAGAAATGGCTGATCTCCATTTCTATCGTAGTTCATGTAAAGAGATATGCGCTATATTGTCAATTTGTCGTCAACTAAAGTCACTACACATCAATATAACTTATTGCCCAGACATTGATACCGGTATTAGCAATGTGTTTTCTAGTATGCCACGTGGCCTAACCAAGTTGGTTTGGGGTGATAAGGACGGTAACTCATATTCCAATTCTGACCAACCCTTCCCATTCCACCTATTACCGACAACCATACAAAAACTCTGTATTTGGGATGTTCGTCAAACATCTACTCAAGCATACTATGACTATGTTCTTGCCAACTCATCAGCTATCCAATCACTCTTTCAACACTGTCATCCAACTCAAAAATTCAGAGATTTTTTATCATCACCTTTGTCTCGAGTTAAATACCTCTGTCTTGCAGGCTTTCCATCGTCGATCTTTGGAAAGGCATTGATACCACCTTTAGTAGAGGTTCTGAGACTAGACTTTAATGTGGAATCTACATTGGTTGCACATCACCTAGAATGTATTTTCAAGTATAGTGTACCATTACCAAACCTTCATACCATCCAAATCAAGCGATTCAATGAAGTAGCTGATAGCCTTTTATCATTTATCCAAGACAGTAATTCACTTCGGGTGATTGATTTGGATCCCATTTCTTTCAATAATGTCGACTTGGTGCTCGATGCGGTTTCCAATAGTCCATCCGTCGAAAGGGTATACTTGAGACATTCAAAAGGCAAGCCCTATTTGGCAACTATCAATAGTCACCCAGCCATCAAAAATAATCAACTATCTTATTGCTCAACAAACTATTATGATTTCATTATTTTCAATATAAAGAATACTAGTCAATTAGATTTATCATCTTATCATATCATACCAAAATAAATAAATTATAATATTATTTAAAAACAATTTTAGTAATAATAACTGTATCTATTGTAGGTTCTGATTTAATTCTCTTGAACTCTAAAGCCAATATTAATAATTAAAATGTAATTAATTTTTCATTGTTTTTCGTTTCAAAGATCATCTATGCACTCAAACAGTTACTCTTTAACCAAAACTTTATCATTATTACCTAATCTACCATGGACTGTACAATCAGAGATTATCTATATAATATGTAATTATCGAAAGAATCAAGATCAAAGAGAGATAAGACCAAAAGATGTGTATCATGTGGCTGGGGTATCAAAACAATGGAGACACGCAACCAAAGTATCATTGACTTTATGTTGGAATGTCAACATTGATATTTTATCTCTTCAAGAGTATAGACGCCACTCTACAGAGAACAGTCTAAATCTATTGTCTGGTCCCAATCACACGATTATTGCCAACATTTATGATATTACTGTTTATCGATCCGATAGAAACAAAGAATATGTAGAATCTAATCTAGAGTGGTTTAAAGAACATATCTTTAACAAAATGTCGTGTCTCTGGATCGAGAATACACAGTCTGCAGGTTGGATGGACATTATTATCAAAGACCAACAACACCTACCTCTCAAGAAACTAATTAAATATGAACATGCACAAGTCACAATACCATTGGCACTATGTCATTATTTGGAAAAGGTTTATATAGATTTCTCAAAGAATACATGTCAAGAGATATGTGATGTATTGTCAAGTTTTCATCATCTAAAGTCACTTGATATCAATATAAAGAGATGTATTGGCCTTTTAGACATTGACAAGGTGTTTTCAAGTCTGCCTCGTAAGACTTTGACCAAACTAAAATGGGGTCCCCGAGAGAAAGACTCTTATTACAATCCAAGTGCTCAACCCTTTCCATTCCACCTATTACCAACAACCCTCACCAAATTCTATATGAGGGATCGTAGTCAAGCATGGACTCTACCATACTATGACTATGTATTTACCAATTCCGTCAGATCAATCACACAACACAACCACCCCACCAAACAACTCATGGAATATATATCATCCCCTTCTTCTCCAGTCACACACCTCCACCTCATCGTCAACCAAATAGCATCACACTGGATCAAAGGACTAGCATTGGTACCACCATCACTCCAAGTTCTCACATTAGAGTCTAATTGTGATACATACCAAATAGATTGTATATTAAAGTATAGTGGACCACTGCCAAACCTACATACCATCAAAATAGAGCCATTCAAAGATATTATCAAACCCCTCATTTCATTTATGGCAGTTAGTAAGTCACTTCGAGTCATTGATTTCTATTCAGATACGTTTGCCTATTCCTTTTACCAAGATAAAAGTTTAGAAACCTTTTTGTCTGCAATTGCCAATAGTATATCGGTTGAAAGGGTATACTTTAGAAAATCAATGGTCAAGTATATTCTAGGTGACATCAATTCACTCCAAACTTCATTCTCTACATTATCAACAACCCTCCTCCTCCCAAATAATGATTTAATTATATTCAATTTAATTAATAATAATAATAATCATATTGATTTATCTTCATACCAATTAAATCCATTGGTCCCTGATCTAAATAAATAAAAAGATACAAATATTTATGTGAGCAAAAAGTCATTAAAAAAATAGGTTTCAAACAAAAAAAAACAAAAGGGAAACATGTTATAATATTATTTTTGTTGTTGTCTTCTTAATCATATATAATTAAAACATGTTATCTTTATCATTATCTCTATCTCTACCTAATATACCATGGACAATACAATCAAAGATTATTTATATTGTATGTAATTATCGAAAGAATCAAGATGGTAAAGAGATAAAGTCAAGAGATGTATATCATATAGCTGGTGTATCGAAAAAGTGGAGAGACACAACCAAAGTTGAATTAACTTTAAATTGGAAGATAAGAATTGATAGTATCTATCTAGAAGAGTACCGTCAACACTCTTCAAACTGTTTGAATCTGTTGTCTGGTCCTAATCACAACATTACCGCCTGTGTCAACAAAATACCATCGCAAGAGACCAAGGAATTTATAATGGCACACTACGACTGGTTTAAAGAACATATCATCAACAAAATGGCTTGTTTCGATCAAATCACCAATCATCTAGAATTTTTTGATGTCTTTGAGGGACACTACACACCACCCCTCAAGAAGTTGGTCAACTTTGGCAAAGATCTACCTCCACTTGGTTGTTTACAAAAGGTCAAAGCAGATTTATCAGAGAATACCTGTCAAGAGGTATGCAGTGCATTATCAAGATTCCACAATCTAAAGTCTCTCGATATTATTATCAAACGCAACCTAGATTTCGATGACATTTGCAAGATGTTTTCAAGTATACCTCGTAGTCTCACCAAACTTATTTGGAGACAGTTTACATCGATGGTCACCTTTTACTCAATTCGCCCCGAAATCACCAGCCCATATCCATTCCACCTATTGCCAAAGAACATCAGAAAACTCTATTTTTCATCATCCAATAGGAAACAGAGCCAAACATCAACAAAAGAATATTTGGACTATTTGCTTGTCAACTCTGTTCGATCAATCTCTCTCGAAAGTTCCCTGACACTACAATCCATTGACTTTTTAACATCACCTTCTTGTCCAGTTAAAGACCTAAACTTGATTCTCTTAGAGGCTACATCGTTTTCAATCAAAGAAAAGGCATTGATCCCACCATATCTAGAGGTTCTAAGATTGGATATCAGATTTTCAAATGCCATTTATCAACTTGAAAACATGTTCTTGTATAGTGGTGACTTACCAAACCTCCATACCATCAAAACCAATCTATTCCAAAATGACCACCTTTTAACATTTATAGAAACCAGCAAGTCACTCAGAGTGGTCGATATAAAAATCGTTTCCCTTGATCAGATCGAAAGACTGTTCCAAGTGGTAGCCAAGAGTACTTCAATTGAAAAGGTATACTTTAGGGAATCACAAAACAAAAACTTTGAGAGAGTCTCAAAGATCTATTCTATGTTTATGGTAACTGGCATCATCCAAATTCTAATGTCCTTTAAAAAAAATAATAATAATACTGCATTGTGTGCATCCCATATAGGTGATTCTGCTTTAATACTATTTAATTTAAATAATAATAATAATCTTCAAATCGATTTGTCGTCCTATGAAATGATCGACCAATTTTAACCTCTAAAGAAAGTCAAGGGTGATAATCAAACTCTTATTTCAACCACATTCCTAGAAATATAATAAAATATCTTTAAATAGTAATTAAAGACATTTAATAATATTTTAAAATCAAGTTCAATCCAACATAATATTATTCTTAGATTAGTGAATGAGATTCATTTATTATCTTTCTAACCCCACCATTCAAATACATTTAATCATTCCAAGAGATGATGGATTTTAATTGTTTGTTTATTCTTTATCTAACATAGGTATTAATCTTTGTTGATTTTGGAGGAGATGCAAGTGGGTTAGGACCAGATGCATTTTTGACATTGTTGTTATTTAGAAACATGGTGACATAGTCATCTTGTTGGATTCCATTGCGTTGAAACAATAGATGATGATTTGGTGTAGACTTCATACACCACAATGCAAATAGTCGATCCTTTTCCAACGCAGTGAGGTTTCCAGCCAAAACACCTTGAATCTTGAGATATGCCAACAACATTCCAACACTGACCGATACATTAAACGATTCGACCAATCCACTCATTGGCAAAAATATTCTACGATCCGATAAACTCTTCATTTCATCCGATACTCCATTATGTTCATTTCCAAATACAATTGCTATCTTTTCATTATTTAATATTACATTATCTTTATCTTTACTATATTCTTTATATATATTATCAAATATATTATTTTGATTTTGATTATTTTGATTATTTTGATTATTTTGATTTTTTAAATGATTATAAAATGGATCAAGTTGAGGAGGAATAATATTTTGATTTGGTTGAAATACTAATTTATCAAATGGAAATGCACCAAGTGATAGATCGGAACTCCATATTTTGTAACCATTGTCACGAAGGTTTTGAACACACTCCAAAGTGTCGGCGTGTCTGTGAATAGTGACCCATTTCTCGGATCCCTTTGAGATGGCACCAAATGAATCGAATCTAATTCGTTTCTCGACAATGTGCATATGTTGTATTCCCATTGCATCACATGACCGAACGACGGCAGCAATGTTACCAGGGTTACCCAAGTCTTCACACACCACTACAAATCGGTCTGTTCGATCATTGATCACTCGTTTAAATGTTTCTATTCGTTGTGTCGATGTGATCGGTATCAATATATCATGTAATCTTTTGTAAAATGATTGTATAGATTGATCTTTAAATGTTTCTATTGTTTCTATTAATTGTTTATGTATTATTATTTCATCATTTAAACTAATTTCATCAATTGTATTATTATTATTATTCTTCTGTAAAGTATTTGTTGTATTTGTCGTTGTAGTCGTTGTCGAACAATATCTTGTTGTTGATCTACTACAACAATGATGATTCTTTAATATTGTAGTTGTTGTTTTTGATATTATATTTCTAAACATGATGATGATTTAGAGAGATAGATAACAAACGAATGATGAATACGAATGTGTGACCAGAGTTCCCTCGTTTTTTTTTGGTTTAGAACTTTTCTTTTGTGATTATAAAAATTGTAGGGTTGAAAAGTTGCGTTTCAAAACTGTGAACTGTCCTTTTGAGAATATATATATTATATTAATTGTTTATTTATTTATATCTATATTTATATCTCAATATATACTAGTAGTACGTAGATTATAGTTGTAATATTAGATATAGATAGATACAGATAGAGAGAGAATGCAAAGAATCTTTTCAATGGTAGGAGAGGTGCTTGCACCAACCTATCATTCTGCACTTGATGATCTCAAGAATCATTGGAGATCAATTAAAACCTTTTATATTGAGAAGCATGGTATGAATTATCAAGTAAAAGAGACTATAGTCAATATCTAACATATCTATATTATCAAAAGATACAATCGAAAGCTTTCATGAATTTCAATTACCAGGTCACATCATATCGATGGTTTCAATATTGATTGAAGAGAGTAAATCAACTGGTGAAGCTGGTCCTTGTTTAGAGTACTTTTTAAAGAATAGAATATTAGAGACATTATGTTTACTTGGTGTTCATGATGTATGTATATATATTACATAGTAGGAATGAATGATAATAATGATAATGATCTAACGTTTATCTATCTTCTTAGTCACCAAATGGAGTTAGGAAATTAGTACTTCAAACGATAACTATTCTATTGAGTGATTTATCATTACCATTGTTACCTCATATGAGTGTACACAAACCAATATGTAAACTGATAAAGTCGATTATCAATATCAAGCCATCATCTTTATCCTCATCTTCTCTTCATTCTCTTGTCCCGTCACCGACAAGCGGGTCAAACACACAGTCAAACGATGACAGTGAGTTTGTTAGTTTGCTCGAGACACTGACTGCCAAGCTCAAGTTGTACCCAACACTGATTGGGTTCTTCCAAGACGAGAGTTTTGGACAGGGAGAGAGCTTTATCGTATTCCAAGGTCTACTCAAGAATCTTTGGACTGTTGGTAGTATTGGTGAACGTGCTAGAAAGGCAATGATACAATGTCTCGAACTCATCCCAGAGACTAATCCAGCTGGTCCGATCATTGGAGGTAGTCGAAAAAATAGTCTTAGTGAACCAAACTCCAACTCGACCATATATCCAAATATTAATCTAACAGAACAATTTAAACAACTTCAAAACAGTAATATTGCTGGTGGTGGTGGTAACTTTAAAACGAACGATTCGTCATTATCATCATCGACATCTTCATTATCATCACTTTCAGTATCACCAACTGCCGATTTAATCCCTTCTCTTACATCTCCTCCTCCTCCAACTACTAGTACTACTACTATGGCACCACCACCTCCACCAGTCCCATCATCCATGACACCTCCAACAAGTGGTGTATCGATGGACAAGGTGACGACACCTATTACCACACCAATCAAATCATCATACATGTCACAACAAATCCCTTCAACACCATTACCAAATATCCAATCTCCAACCACTCGTAAATTAATGTTTGAAACACCTGCCAAGGATGTACCAGTTGATCATGATAAACTTGATGTTGTCTTTTCAGATCCATTGGTTTTATTAAATCATGTAATGTTTATTAATAATATGGTATGTGAAACAAACAAACAAACAAACAAATGTTTATATATATCAAAAAGATTATTAATTATTATTTTTTTTTTTTTTAATTTAGATTTCAGAATTAATTAAAACCTATAATTTATTACCATTGACCATATCATCAGTTAATTATTGTATATCTGGTCCACCAATTGCTCATGAACATTTAAGTATTTTAGAATGTTATAAATCAAGAGTATCCTTTATATGTTCACTTTCTTCATTAAAACATAATGTATGTAAAAAAACATAACAATTGTAAAGTAGTTATAATTTATCTATTTACTTTTACATTTGATTTTAGAATATTGGTGAATATATAACAAAATTATGGGAAGAATCATTTATTTCAGATACATTGGGACCTGCTTTACTTCATATTGATGATTCGAGATGTGCTACAGCAATGTTATATCTTCGTGAAATATTACCAATTCTTCAAGGAAATATTGTTCAAAAGACCATTACCTTTCTCGTAGGAGATACAACAAAACCAGAGACTAGACCAAGTGAAGATCAAGATGACTATGATGGTGATGAATGTATTATGAAAAAAACTTTAATTTCAAGAATGTCTCATCAAAATTTTATCGTATGTTAATCAAACAAACATAATCACGCATTTCATTTTTATTTTGATTTTAATTTATTAATTTGTATTTTATTTCCTTTTGTTTTTTTAGGTATCAATATCATCACTTAGATTATTTTCAACTTTATTGGGATTACATAATTTTTCGGTATTATATAATTTAATTTTGGTTAATCTTCCACAATATTCCAACTTTTCATATCTGCATAATGGTTCAGAGTTGGAAATTGCACATCGATCGATTACCCAATACCTATCGTTGTTTGGTAACAAGTATTGTAGATTTGCATCCAACATCGATTCCAATCTATCAGAGATTCTACACAACAAGGTATCATCTCAAACAAATGGCTATTCTGCCTATCTTGTTGATGCTCGATATCAAATATCACTTTATTCGCAAATTTGTTCAAATTGGCCATCAAATTATTTATTCAACAACAATAATATTAATAATAGTAATAGTAATAATATATCATCACCTGTACATAATAATAATCATCATCAAAAAACATCAATCATTATATCATCACCTACTACTAATAATAAGAATCAACAACAACAACAACAAACGACGTCAGAAAATCAAGATTTATATATGGGATCATTCTTGGAACAATTATTTAAATTATTTAAACAATCATTGACATTACCAATCGATATTAATTTTGTGATTACTGGTATATTTTCAAAATTATGTTATTATCCATGTCCACAAATCTATCCTTCATTGATTCATTGTGCCGACGATGATTCATCACCATTCCCAAACCTTTATTCTATTATTAAAGATGTATGTAATGAAAAAAACAAAATTAAATCATATTAATAGTCCATTCTCTAATCCTTCTTTTTTTTCTACTACTCTAGTTATCAATTGAAATTGAAAATAGATCAATTAATATACCATTATTTATTGATATTTTGGATCAACTACGACTTCATATGACTGATATTGGAAATATAACAAATAGAGATCCAAGTAACCAACAACCAGTAAACAGACTCATTCAAGGTCTCGATCAACCAACTATCGACTTTTTAAATTCAGTCATTATCCTTGAAGAATTTTGTAAAGAATTGGCATCAATCGTTCAAGCAAGAGTTGTTTTTACAAATAAATAATAATAATAGAATAGAATAGAATAGAATAGATTGATCAATAATTAATTAATAAATAAATAAATTGCGCAAAATAGATATTTCAAGGTCAAGTTTTTTAAAATAGATTTTACTTTCTTTATTCTTTTAAATAGATAAAGGAAATGAATAGTAACAAAGTAACATTTATTACTATCTTTAGAATGGTATATCTGAGAGATTGTATATTTCAATCATTCTCTCAGTTTCCAATTGTAAAAGATAAACGGTATCAATATACAAAAGGTAAAGAAATTGTATCATCAAATCCATTCAAATCTTTGATACACATATATGCCTTGCCTTGGGAGTTTATCAAACATTATTTACCGCCAATTGAAACGATACACAAGAACAGTATAGTATTTTCATTGTACTGTCGTCATCGAAATGCAACACTATCAACACTTGTTCATATCTTGGATTGGTTACCTGAAGGTTATATCGATATCTATTCGGCTATGACTGGAGCTGCATCAGTTGGTCAATTCGATATCATCAAGATGCTTCATAATCGGTATTCTCACGACTCTGAAATGAATGCAAAGGCAGCTATCGACAATGCAACACGTATTGGCCATTATGAAATTGTAGAGTTTCTTTTGGCTAACCAATATCAAGGTCATGATGCAGTCACCGTTGAAATAGCAGCAAGGTTGGGACACGTTCCACTCTTGAAGATACTTACCAATGATGGAACGGAATGGGTACGTGATCTAGCATTCTTTAGTGTTTGTGAAAGTGGTAATGTAGAGGCCGTCAAATACCTCGATCAATTCAGACCCCAATACCTCGACAAATACGTTCAAAAATTATCTTCTGTCCAAGGTTGCCAAGAACTATTTACAACACATGAATTCATCTGTGCTATAACAAAAGGTCAATCTTTGGATGTCGTCAAGTATCTTCACGAAAATAGAACCGAAAAACTAAAAGATGGGTATCAATTAATGAATAATGCTTGTAAAGATGATAGTCTTTTGGAAATATTAAAGGTATCTATATTTATATATATATATATAATATTATTTCATCTAAACTAATTTTTTAATATTCTTTTTCCATAGTTTCTTCATTTCAACAGGACAGAAGGATGTACTGAACAGGGTCTTAAGATAGTAAGTGACACTTTAACTCTAAACAATAATTTGATACATTTTATACTAAATTATTATTATTATTATTATTCTATTTTAAATAGGCAGCAGAACTGGGACAATTAGAAATAGTTAAATTCCTTGTATCTCATTACCCAGAATTAAAAGTAGAGAGTGCTTATGATTTTGCAACTAGACATCACCACAATAATGTAGTCAAGTTCTTATATCTAAACACTACCGATAATGCAACCATAGCATTAACCCAATCAATTATACGCCTAAATTTGGAAATGGCCATTTATCTTTTAGAGAATCATACAGATAAAGTACAATTGACAAAAACACAATGGGATATATTAAATTTAAATAACAGTGAGAAATGGGATCATGTTAAACAATTATTTGAACCTTTGTATAATAAACAACTAAAATAAAATCAATTAACTTAATTATAATCTTTTTTTCGTCCCCTTGTAGTAGATTTCTTATTTACTTTGCTTTTTCTTTTATATAACTGTAAAAAAGAAATGAATAGTAACAAAGTAACATTTCTTACTATCTTTAGAATGGTATATCTGAGAGATTCTATATTTCAATCATTCTCTCAGTTTCCAATTGCTCAAGAAAGAAGGTATCTGTTTAAAAAAGGTAAAGATATACAATTCAAATCTATGATACAAACCTATGCACTGCCTTGGGAGTTTATCAAACATTATTTGCCTCCACTTGAAAGTCTAAGCAATGGCTCCGTATTAGTCTCTTTGTATTGTCGTCATCGAAATGCAACACTATCAACTCTTGTTCATCTCTTGGATTGGTTGCCTAGCATTTGGATCAATGGCCCTTCGGTTTTTTCTGCAGCAGCAGCTGGTGGACACCTTGATATCATCAAGATGCTTCATAATCGTTACACTAGCGGCAAGAATATATGTGCAAAGGCAGCCATCGAAAATGCAACAGGTATTGGTCATTTTGAAATCGTAGAGTTTCTGTTGGCTAACCAATATCAAGGTCATGGCACATCCACAGTAGAAATAGCAGCAAAGCTTGGACACGTTCCACTCTTGAAGCTACTTACCAATGATGGAACGGAATGGGTACGTGATCTAGCATTCTTTAGTGTTTGTGAAAGTGGTAATGTAGAGGCGCTCAAATACCTCGATCAATTCAGACAACAATATCTCAACAAAATGGACCCAAGCTACTATCATTCAGCCTTTACAACACATGAATTCCTCTATGCTATATCAATAGGCCAATCTTTAGATGTCGTCAAGTATCTTCACGCCAATAGAACAGAGAAACTAAAAGATGGGTATCAATTAATGAATAATGCTTGTAAAGATGATAGTCTTTTGGAAATATTAAAGGTATCTACATTCAATCTTAATTTAAATATAAAGATATTTAATATCTAATATACTTAAATATATTTCTATTTCCATAGTTTCTTCATTTCAACAGGACAGAAGGATGTACTGAACATGGTCTTGAAATAGTAAGTTGACACTATAACTTTATTTATACATTGTATACTAATTATTATTATTATTAAATTCTATTTAAATAGGCAGCAGAACTGGGACAATTAGAAATTATTAAGTTCCTTGTTTCTCATTACCCAGAATTAAAAGCAGAGAGTGCTTATCATTCTGCAACTAGATACCTCCAAAATGATGTGGTCAAGTTCTTATATCTAAACACTACCGATAATGCAACCATAGCATTAACCATAGCAATAACACTCAAGAATTTGGAAATTGCCAAATATCTTTTAGAGAATCATACAGATAAAGTACAATTGCAAAGTGCACATTGGGAGAGACTAAATTTAATAGAAAATGAAGAATGGGATCATGTTAAACATTTATTTCAATCTTTGTATAATAATATACAACTAAAATAAAATCAATAAGGTTGAATAATCAATCCTTTGATCATTAAGTAGACTCTTTCGATCATAGCAAGCAAATAAATTTATTAATTTATTTAGTTCCAAATACAATTCTTTAATAAAAACTTGTAGACTATTTATTTAAATTGTATTAATATAATATTGATAATGAATATTGATATTATTCAACACAATGGTAATAGGAATTCGATCAAGTGTCGATGAAGGGATATCACATGAAATTAAACCAATTTGAATACTTGTACATACAAAATCTATCAAAGTTGTCGAATCTTTGATTGTGATTAAATCTGATTCTCTGGTGAATGGATGTGGAATGAGTTGTGATAATTTACCACCTTTTGGAACTGGTGATTCAATTGACCAATCAAACAAATCTGTTGGAATAATTTGTAGAGATGTGACAGTGTCTTGGCCTAGATCAGGAACCAGGTTGGTGGCTCCATTAGCGAGGTTGATTGATACCGCTTCTCTTGTTTCAAACTCTGCATAGAGCGTGATTGATTGACCTTGAACCTTGGCAGATCCAATCTTTTCATTCCATCCAATTGATTCTAATTTATCTTGATCATAAATACCAATTGGGAGTGATAATTCTTTGCCTTGTTGTGGTTGTACACCCCAGAATCTTGTTGGTGAATATTTAATATTGGACACAGAGAATACACCTAATCCAATCGTCAAAGGAACAGAGGTTCTTGGTATTGGTAGATTGTTGTTTACCAAATGGACAAGAGGATTATCGAATGAAGATACTGATACAGTGAAATCAGTATCAGGACGTACTAAAATCGATTCAATGTGTTCATGAATGACAACATCTGTATCACCATATTTAATTTGAACGGTAAATGTTGTTGGAAATTGGTACGATGGCAATGCTGATGGAATGATTCCAGTTATTTGATTGTCATCATAAAATTGTAACGTCAATTCCATATTGTAGGTAGAGGTGTACGATGCGAGGACAACATCACCAGACATTACTTGGATTGATTTTTCAAAAGGTGTCGATGCAATATATGGTGGAATGGTACATTGTACGAATTGTTGTTCGCCATCGGTACATGTCAATTCAACTTGATCCAATACATATCTGACGGGTGGGTTGGTATAGAGTTGGTAACGATTCGTGATTCCAAAGACACTTCCAAGGCTTGCCATTGATGTTGGCCATATTGTTGGATCGATGATTTGAACAACAACCTGTGGGTCATTTACAAAAGAGTACGTTTTGAATGGATCTGACGGATCGTATCCAAAGGTTTGAATGACTTGGTTGGTTGTTGGGTTGAGGAGCATAACCGTGAGATAAGGAGAGGTTCGGAAAGAAAACATTCCCAATTTATCAACACCAGGCCAGACTAGATTGTCAAAGTAAGATGGTGTGAATCTACCATGACCAAGTTTAATAGTGTCATATGGTGGATCGCGGTTCATACTATCGGTGCGATGCAATGATAGAGCTTCAGTCGAGCACATTGGAATGGGAATGGTAATAACAGAGACTTGGGTTGGGTCGACCACTTGTATTGTTGAAAATGGCATTGAAATTGTCATCTTTGCAGTTGCACCATTGATCCAGATGGTACTTGTTGTTGCAATGTCAAATGTCATGAGCGAGTACATTTCATAATATACTTTGGTTAATGGAGTCGTTCCATCTGGTAGAGTACTTGTCACTATTATTTGATATGAGCTAGGTCCCAAATACAAAATTTCTTCCTCTTCAGGATCCATCAGACCATTCACATTGGCATCGATAAATGTTTTGATTTGTAATTGCGTTTTATACTTTATCAATGTATAATCGGTATCAAGAGGGTCTTGAACGGATTGACAATAGGATGGCAAGTTAAAGGTAACCAATGGATCCAAGATATCGACACCATAATTGATCAATGGATATCTACCGTATTGAAGATTTACTATTTGGCCAACTTGGTTGTGAGTGATACTACCAATACAACCACTTTGTGTTTTTTCCATGACAGAAATGTCCAAATTGATTAATTGTTCTAATGGGTCGACAAATGTAACTTCAAAATCATTGAGTGGGATGATAGTAGAGGCATCACCCATTGAATTTATACTAATTGTATAGCTTCCCAATTCATCACTTGATAGGATATAATATCCATTGTGTGTAGAAACAATTGTTGTTGTTGGCACAGGTGGTGATGAAGAGGATGAGGAGGATAAGTCAACTTCTGGGATAAAGGTGAGTGATATTTGAAGAGTATTATCTTGGATGACACGGTCATTGCTATTATCTTGGTAAAGGTTGTTGGTATCAACGTCATAATAAATTCTACCAATTGCATAATATTTAAATGGCGTTGGAAGAGGATCTAATTGGTAAGATACTGAACCAGTTGCTACCAATGATAAGCCGTTCCAATTCATCGTGAGTGATTTTTCAGTTAATGATCCAAACATCTTTGGAGTGTAGCATGCGACGACCGATTCTTCATTTTGACCATAGGTATCACAAGAGATTGCAACACCATCCAAAAATAGTTGTTGTTGAGGATAGTAGGTTGTTTGAAGAGTTATCCTTCCTCCACCCGCTGTATTGAGTATCAACATGTTTGGATTAAATACTTCGATAAATGCAATCTTTTGTTGATTTTCCAAGGTATTTATCAATGCTAATCCTGCGACAGTGGTGATGGTCAAGAGAGTATCATCGATTAAACCAACATGGAGTGAATGAATCGATTCATCAATTGTAACGACGAATGGGAGTGAAGTGTCAAGACCAATATTGTTGAAATAGGCTCTGTTGAATTGTCCGTATGGTAGATTGAATAGTTGACCATCTTGAGAGGTGATTACAACTGGTTTTCCGATGATCACTGGGAATAGTCCAATCTTGACAATACGTAATGGGTCGGTTGGTGGATAAACAAGATTAACAATCTTATTATTGATAAATGGAGGTATGATTTCATAATAGGTTGGTGATTGAGAGGATGTTGATCCAGCTTGTTCTTGTTGGATAATTGGAATGACGGTAATGATAGAGTTTGAAGGAACATTAACTTTAATACTATTACCAGTCATCAGATTTGTAAAGAGTTGCATAAATAGCGTATTGGATGGACCAAGTGTTGATTTAATTTCCAATGAATATTGTTGGTAGGTGACAACATGTTGATCATTGACATCTTTAATACCATTTGAATTTGAATCTGTAAACAATTCAATATCCAGATCGTAATTGTAACGAATTTCATAGGTGGCAGAGTTGGGTTCGGTTTTAGCAATGGAACAATAATATGGGAAATCAAATGTACTTTCTATTTCATCTGTTGCTGTCCATCCATATTTTGATATATCAAAGATACCATAGTCCAAATATAATTTTTTAACTACTGTAACACCTCTAGTTATTGACCCATAACAACCTTTTTCAGAGTTGGTGTTGGTTGCAATGTTTTGTTGGATATTGGCGAGACCAAGTGTATGACCAAACTCTTGAATTGGTGCGTAGAATCCAAGACCTTCGGTGTAAGGATCAATGGAAAGCTTGGCAAGCTGACCATCACTAGCCAATGATACGAACGAATAGAAACCATTGTTATCTGTTTGGACAATTTGAATTGGCCCAGCACTTGATCTTACGAGGGAAACTGAAATTCCTTGTCCTCTTGCAATTTCATCTTGACCATTATTGTAAAGGTTGTCATGATTCTTGTCATTAAAGATAAAACCAGATAGTGTTATCAGTTTTCGTGTTACAATGTCTTTATGAATATCTAATTGCTGGAATGATATGTTAAAAACATTGGATGGTATGACTGTGTAATCCGTTCGAGGAAGAGTACCAACGGTCAAATGATAATCTCCATCCTTGATGACTTTTTCAAATTGATAGTCACCATCAGCGTTGGTTTGAGTAGAGTACATGATTTGGCCAGTGGTTGGGTGAACAAGACTGATGCTTACACCTGCAAATGGAATGTCAACCATCGCTTCTGGATGGTAGAGATTGTCAAAATCATTGTCACCAAAGACATAACCAGATAGAGAAACATATTTCTTGATGTTTATGTTTTCTTGTCGGTTGTCATTGGTCAACTTGATAGTGTGAATCGGTGTAGCGTCATAATGGTCAGTTGGAGCGTCAATGTAAATGGTATAATCTTGTTGATTGTTTCCATACAGTCCATTAAAACTGTATTGACCACCAGTGTCGGTGAGGATGTCACGATGGATTCCTTGGGGTCCAGACAAATAAACTTTAACATTGCCAATTGGGGTTGTCAATTGACCACCGTCACTGTCAACAAAGACAGTTCCAGAGATTTTCAACAATTTTCTTGCTTTGATATTTTGATGGATATCCACAGTCGACGGTGAGAGGATAATGTTGATACCTTGTTGGAATTCGTAATTGGGTGGTGGTGAGTTTACACGAAGTGTGTATACTTGATTGTCGGCTGGAAGGTGGTCAAACGAATAGGAGCCATCGGCTTGGGTTTGAACGATAAATGAACCTTGTGGACCTCCCAATTTAATATTTAAACCTCCAATACCAAATTCAGACTGATCATCAAATATGCCATCTTGATCGATATCATTGAAAACATAACCAGATACGAGTACCAGCTTTCTTGCAGCAAAGTTTTGGTGAATTGTGATACCATTGATGCTGGTCAGTTTGACCATGACACTATCCTGTACGAGAGCGTAGCCAGGTGGAGTGTCGGCAACGAGTGGGTATTCGATATTGTTGGCAACCAACGAGTCAAATGAATAGGATCCATCGGGTTTGGTTTGAACGACATAAAGTGGAGCTCCAGTGATTGGATTCTTTAATGTGACAGAGATATTTCCAAATCCGACATCATATTGTTGGTTGTATTGATTGTCAAAGTTGACATCGTTATAGATGTAACCAGTGACACCAATTAATGTATCGGCTGCAAAGTTTTGTTGAATGACGGGTACATTCAACTTGATGACATAACTAAGGGATGTAATCCAAAGTCCGACGGGTGGGGCATCGACACGGACAATATAGTTTTGATTGTCACCTGCAATTTCACCAAATGTATAGCCACCAGATGCATCTGTTTGGACGGTGAATGGACCTTGCGGACCTTCCAAGAATACTTGAATGTTGGCCAATCCAATATCATTTGGCAACGAGTAGACACCATTCACATCGACGTCGTTAAAGACGACACCAGAGACGACAACCAATTGGGTCAATGCAATATTTCTTTGCTTGTCACCAGTCAGAACAAAATTGGTGATTCGTGATGTGTATCCAGCTGGAGCAGCTTCGAGATCAAGTGTGTATGCTTGGCCATCGGCAATTAAATCGGTGAATCTAAAGAAACCATTGACATCGGTTTGTACTTGGAATGAACCTTGAGCACCATTCAACTTCACGACCAAACCTTGGCCATAACCAAGTTCATCGGGTGTGTTGAATACATTATTAAAGTTTCTATCAATATAGACTGTTCCAGAGACCGACGATGAAACACTACCACCAGTGGTACTACTATCACCAGATGTGATTGCTCCAGAAGAGTCTCCAGTTGTTTGTTGGTTTGAAACGACCAGTGGGAGGTTCTTCTCAACATTATTAATTAATTTAATGGTGAAACTGTTTGTTGGAGCCGAATAACCGGAGGGGGTGGGACTGATGTATAGTATGTAATCTCTTTCATCCGCGGGGAGTGGACCAAACGAAAAGAATCCGTTTGCATCGGTTTGTTTTTGTGGTGGTGATTGAGGACCGCTCAATTGGACTGTTACACCAGACATGACAATATCAGTTGCACTATCGTATACACCATCAGAGTTGACATCGTTGAATACGTATCCAGTAACTTTAACGGGTGGCTTAACAACTCCTGTTGTGCCTGTTGTTGTGGTTGGTACATAGGTGGTGGTAGGTGAGGATCCACCAGTTGTAGCTCCAATGGTAGCCCCAACGGTAGCTCCAACGGTAACTCCAACGGTAACTCCAACGGTAACTCCAACAGTAGCTTCAGCTGTCGCTCCAACGGTGGCTCCAACAGTAGCTCCAACGGTGGCTCCAACAGTAGCTCCAACAGTAGCTCCAACAGTCGCTCCAACAGTAGCTTCAGCTGTCGCTCCAACGGTGGCTCCAACAGTAGCTCCAACAGTAGCTTCAGCTGTGGCACCAACGGTAGCTCCAACAGTAGCTCCAACGGTAGCTTCAGCTGTAGCTCCAACGGTGGCTCCGACGGTGGCTCCAACGGTAGCCTCAGCTGTGGCGCCAACAGTAGCTCCAACGGTGGCTCCGACGGTGGCACCAACGGTAGCTCCAACGGTAGCTCCAACGGTAGCTCCAGCTGTGGCACCAGCTGTGGCACCAACAGTAGCTCCAACAGTAGCTCCAACAGTAACGACAGAGGTAACTCCAGAAGTGTTTGAAGATGTCTCTTCACCATTACTATTACTATTATCGCTACTCTCTTCACTGCTTTCATCATCCTCATGTTTGAATGTCTTGTCATTATTACTTGTTTGATCTTCATAGGTGACTGTGACTCTTTTGTAACCGCTAGTCTCTGATGGTGGTATGCTGCATGTAACTTTAGTGTCTGAAACAACAGTTGCTTGGCCGCATGGAACACCTCCAACGGAAACACTGACTTGTCCCTTGTTTGACAAACCCAGATTGCTACCTCCAATTGTAACGTCATTGCTTTCCTTTTTCTTCCCAGAGGCAGGGCTGACAGAATCTACTTTTGGAGGTTTGAAAGAGAATTGTTGGTTTTCATTACTCTCGGCATCGCCAAGTTGTTGATTCTTGAGAATGACCTTGATCTTTCTCTTGGCACTTCCACCACCATCCAATGATTTAATTGTCATCTTGGTGTTTGATGTCATACCAGTGATTCTCGTTTCTTGTCCATCAAACATGGCAACCAACTCGGAGTCATCCTCTACAAAGTTCTCACCAAAGAGTACAATGTCTTGATCACCCTTGATCTCACCTTGGAGTGATGACGATGATGAAGATGAGCATTGTTCTTGTCCATTCTTGACACAGATAGAATTGATTTGTGGTTTGGCATAATAGTTGTATTCGATGTTTTCTTGTTCCGATGTTTGTTCATGATCTTGTTCACCAACTGTTACTTTGACTTGAATGGTTTTCACCTTGTCAGATGTTGGTACTCGACATTTGATCAAATCATCTTGACACGATTCAATAACACATTCCTCGGTTGTAGCCGTAGTTTTATCCTTCAAATCAACTTTAACATTTTCAACTTTTTCACCAAAATTGATTCCTTGAATATTGATTAATGTATCTTTATCCAATCTTCCTTTCTTTGGATTAATTTCATCAATCTTTGGTTCTATATAGAAAATTAAAATCTGTTAAAATTATTTTTAAAAATTATACTTTTGTTTTTTAAATTACAATTACATACTGTCATAAGAAAAATAAGTATTATCTTTTTCGACTTGTTGAGTACCAACAATAACATTGATTTTATAATCTTTTCCTGTGCCCTTTGGTGTGGTACATTCAACCTTGGTATGATCGATCCATTTGATCTTGGAACAATCAACAGCATTGATAGAGACTGTCAAATTGCTTTTATCTTGTTCCTCGTACTTGTCGTTGATTTGTTGTGCATAGACTTGTGGGACAAAGTTCTTTCCAGCAATGGTGATCAAATCGCCACCTTTGGCCGGTCCATGATACATTTGATCTTGTGGCGGTTCGTCAAGAGTTGGAGCATCGTAAGAATACTTCATCTCGGTGATAGATTCCTGACCACCGACAAACAGATATACTTTGATATCCAAACCAAAACCAGCAGGTGTGTCACATTCAATCATCGTCGAGTTGAACCATTCTAGGTTGTTTACTAAATGCCAACCAATCGATGAATTGCTATAGGTTGGTAGACCTTGGAATTTGATTGGCTCCTCTGGAGCTTCTGGTTGCAATTCGTTTGGTGGGAAGTTGAGACCTTTGATTGTGAGGTGAGCGCCACCTTGTGTTGGTTTTGTATTGGATTCACCTTCTTCTTGGCTACCACCATCATCACCATCTTTTTGGACGATAATCTCGGTGATTGATGGTGGCGTATAGTTGATGATATTGTTTGGGATTTCACCTTGGTTTTCAATACCTCCAAAGATGACAGACGAGATTGTCCATCCTTTGCCAACACCAGAACCAATATAGCAGATGAGACACTCGTGATTCTTGTGCGACTCTGCTGTATCTCGAACCCAGTAGGTTGGATCAAAAGTCGCTGTTCCTTTAACACCACCAGGTGTGTCGGGATCGAAATCGGGATTGGCGGGACCGCTCAACTCTGAATAATCTACATCCATAAATGGATCGTCATTACAAAATTGTCCAGCATCGAGACAATCCATCTCACGAATGTATTGGTCATCGGTGGGACTCTTGTACATGACGTATGGTACCTGTTGAAGTGCCAATCCCATGTCTATACCAACAATCCAAATAAATTCGGTCATGGCAGTTGGACTGGTACTCGAATTGGTGAGGATTTGGAGGACAACTGGAGAGGCATAGTCGACTGTTTGTGATGATTCTGCTGATTGTCCACCGACTGTAACACTGACAGCATAATCCTTTCCATAGTTATCAGGAGCTACACATTCGATTTGGGTGTCACTGATCAAAGAAGTAGTTGAGCATTCCTGTGATCCAATATATGCTAACACTTGGTTGGGTGATGAGCCAAAGTGTTGTCCTACAATCGTAATGATTGATGGAAAGTTGAGAAAGTCTGTTGGAATGTCATCGAGTGGCGTAATCGACGAGATGGTTGGTGGGAGGAATGCAAGATTGACTGTATTACTAATTTGTGATCCAACAATGACATAGAGTTGATTGACCAATCCAACACCATTTACTGTGACTTTGATCGAATCTTTGCCATCGGTGAATTCGATAGTATTGACAGGTACGGGTATTTTGTTGAGGAATACTTGGATATCATCTCGAGTGGATGTTGGTGAGAGCATATTGGTACCTTGTATGGTTATTTGTTGTCCTACCGTTAATAGGCCAGTGTTGGGTGTTGCAAGTTGAATCGTTGGTGCATCATAAATAAGTTGTTGATAAACGGTTGATGGTAATCTTATAATTGGAAGAGTAGCTAATGTACTGGTGTAGCTGATAACATGCTTACCAATACCCGTACCTGCGAAGCAACTTAGCAACTCCTCCCCATTGGATTGAGTAACAACAGATTGTATTTGACACGTGTCACTTCCTACATGAATCAATAATCCTCCTTCATTCAGTTTCTTTCCACGCACTTGAATTTGATTTTGAGTGGATCGGGTTGGTGAACTGCTTGGAGGGATGATTTCCAATACGATTGGACCTGATGGACACTCAGACATGAGTAATTGACTACCAGTGACGAATGAACAGATACGACCTTGATATGATGTGACAGATACACCTTGGAGATGACTAATCGATAGTAATGGGCTGTCTACAGTACCACCATATGCATTGGTGTCGGTTGCAGCATCTTGTTTGTAGACCAGATACTTTGTGATCAACTCGATACCGAGTGGAGTGATTGGTGTGTTTTGGCTACCGAATTGGCAGAGTGTTGGATCGTACATACGAAGTTGTTGACGAAGATTGGTGTCGGTTTGGATCATATCCTTGTACGACTGTGAGAATAGGAATTGTAGAGCACGATTCGACAAGAGACTGTTGGATTCATCCGATGCCCAAACTGACAGTGTGTCAGAGAGTGAGGCGATAGGGATGACAGAGAGATCGTCATCATGTACACCTTTGGCAAAAAGATACTCTACAAGGGTTGGCGACGCTGGCATGTTTGGTGGGTTGGCGACAGGCGGTGAGCAAGCCTCATAGATACGATTGAACAACATGATGCTTGGTATCTTTTGTGCTTCTACGTACAATGATTGATGGGTGAGTGTAGCGACAAGATCAACTGTAAAATCAATCACACCATATTCCACACCCGTCACTGTACAGGTAGATACAGTCTTGAGAATACTAGACAATGGGACGGCAGAACCACGATTAGTGTCACCGAGTTCACCAGAGTTATCGTTTGATTCGTCGACGAGATCCAACAGGTAGGCAGTTACCCACCCTTCGTTGAACGATGCATCGTCGAGAACGTTGTCGTTGACATAATATTCCATGTTGATTATGGGTGTCGATAGTTGACAACTATCGAGAGATTGTCGTTGTGCAACGGTAAGCTGATGACCAAAGGTAAGCTCACGTACACGCATCGAGACAACGTTGACCAGACCACGGTACAGAGCTGTCCATGCAGAAGGTGAAACAGATTGCATAGTGGTGGTGCCGGGTGGAAATAGATTGGTCGCCAGCGTTTGATCGATCGATATGAATTGGTTGTTGTTTAATTTTGAAATTAAAACATTTGAGAATGCCCTAAATACACTATCCATACACAGATTAGCAATATCAATAGGTGTATTGGTGATTCCATTGATTGTAGCAATCTTGGATGTCTCGTCAAACGTAACAATCCACTCTGGAGTGTTGTCAACCAAATCAATCTCGATACTTGTCAATAGTTGTGGGATAAGGTCAATCATCTTTTGTAACGAACGATAGATCAATACGAGATTGTCCTGCACAACCGACCCGTCCGACGATGGTTCTGGGAAATACACACCCTTGTAGAGGTGGAGTGGGATAGTGATGGCGTCTTGTGTTTGGAGGGATATGATTCGGAGCTCCGATGATGATCCGGCATTCTTTAATTTCAACAGTACTGTTTGAGCTCGATTCTGGGCAAATGTGATATAGGCATCGTGATCACTTGTGAATTCAGAAGGACCTTCGCCAAGTGCTGCAAGACATTCTTGATCGCATCCCAATGCAAGCATCGCTGTTGGTTGAACAGAGACATAGGTATTTGGCAAGCTGTTGTCAACCAATGCTCGATAGTACGATACCAAGTGTGATGGAAACGATGGGTTTGATGCTTGACGACTGGTTTCGACCATGATGGGACCGTTGAAACTGATACGATTTTGGACGGTTGTAACTTGGCTGGCACAGGCATTGGACGTACAAGTGGATGTGATGTATTTAAATGTGGACATGGCCATGTAGGCATGAACCGTCTTTGGAGCATTGACAACACAAACAACAGTACCACGAACATTACCATCGGCTGAATTGTCACCGACACAAAAGTAACCAGTCTCTGGCAGCGGTGACTGATCGGTAAATGCAATACTACCAGCATCCATCTCTGACGAGAATTGAATCGATTTTGTTGGCAATATTGACCTTGTCAATCCCAAAGGCAACCACGTTTCAACAACTCCCTTTTGATTATACAACGTATTTAACATCTAGAAAAATAAATAAATAAATAAATGTATTAGTTATATTTTTTGTTTGTTTGTTTGTTTGTTTGTTTGTTTGTTTGACACTTACAGGAGTAGTAATTGATAAAGATGATAATTGAGGTTGTGACCAAATTGCTGATAGACGGTCGGCCGAATAGAATCGATAAGAGGTCGTTGTAGGATCGGTATTGGTGACGACACTTGGGTTATATGATGGGGTTGACAGTGAAAACAGTGGTCGAAGCTGTACCTTGTTTGGTGCGTTTGGATTGGTTGCATAGATGTTTGGATGCGCAGCTACGAGGGCGTCTTTGATTTGCAGAAAGTTTGTAAACGACGTGCAAATGAACTGGTGGCCGCGACTAACATCGTAGTGCTTGAGTGTGGAAAGCGTGACGTAGTCGTTGGGCATCCACAGGTCTGGGTCGGTTGATGGACGTCTGACCTCGGTGGGTACCGATCGGATTGGCACAGGAAAGCCTTCCATCGAGTGTTTCAAGTGGAAACCTGGTCGAGAGGAAGTCGTTTCAAAGACAACCAACCCTTTTGCAATTCCGTCCTTGTAAAAGGCCGTCGAGCTTGTCGAAGGTGCAACCTCGCCGACTGAGTCGTCGTCACTGTTGTAGTATGGTTTGTCATTGTAGGCGATAAATGTTTTAAACGGGCTGGCTGTTTGTTGTACGAGCGGTGCTAGGTGTACGCTAAAGTCACTGCCACTCGTCTTGACACCTGTCGCATCAAAGTAGACGTAGTTTTTCGAACCTGGTAGTTTTCTCACTACAAACCATTCGACATTCTGATTGTATCCATTTAAACAATCTACATAGAATTAAGTTGAATTGAGATATAAATAAATATATATATTATATAAAGTAATCAATAAATATATAATGTATATATCGATCGTAAATAACTTAGACAAGAGATCGCGTGGTGATGTTCAATTCGAGGTCAAATTTTTTTTTTTTTTTTTTTTTATTCATTGCACCAAGTATGAACTTTTACTTTACTTACTTTGCGAAGAGACAGTATCGATGTGATAATAGAGTAAAAGAATTAAAAGAATAGAGAATGTCAGCAAGGATGGTGGACGTCGTTGCAGGGACTGCTTTTTACAGCTACCTCGACCACTACTACTACCACTTGTCATTATTCCTTCACTTCCTTCCTTCTTTCTTTCGTATTTGTATTTGTTTATTTGTTTCTACTAAGGGGCGTATGTACTGTCTTTGGAATCAAAATAGAGAGAGACGAAAAATAAAAGTAACTAACCTGACCTACTCTTCTTTCTTTTTCAACCTCGCCAGGTACCTGATAGGATCTACACCCTATTTGTGCGCGATCAATCAACCAAACCAAACATACGTGGTCAAGAGTCTTTCTTTATCCAAACTTGATGTGGCACTCCTCTGCTCAATGGTATTATAAACTATTGGGTTATTAAAAAGTCAGATATCAAGCCAAACACTGAACAGAGAAGCTTCTCGCAAACAAAAACTAAAATCGCTTACGTGGTCATGGTTGCTTTTTTTTTGCTTCTTTAGGCGACGACGCCCTTTTGTAAAAATGTGGAGGTCCTCCGTCTGGGTGCCCCATCAGAGCCAAGTAAGCTGGGCAACAACCTCGACCACCTAAATTGCGCTCGCTTGGAAGTAGATATTTTCTTTGCATTGTTGGTATTTATCTGTCAAAAACTGCGAAACAGGCGAAAAGCAGATCAACAAAGACCAAAGTATGGAAAAAGAACACCTATTGTTTTTTTTTTTTAAAACTTAACAAGTATCCTCTGGTGGTTTATTTTCTCTTCTTTTTTCACTACCACCACGGTACCGTTTATCATAGATCATATATATATATATAATTAATTAAAAAAATATTTATAATAGTTTTGAAAAAAAAAAGATGATAATCATCAAACAACCAACGACCAATGGGTTGATTGGAGGTGTCAATGGCCATCACTATGGCGATCACCATTCAATCAAACCCGTACGTTGGAATGTTGTGATGTTAAGTCATATGGTAATATTATTATTATTTTTGACAACTATTGCACATGCAACAGACCCTCCTCGACCACAACCCACTTTGGAGCCATCAGATTGCTCATTCTATGCTGCGAGTGGAGGTATTCTCAAAGTGACCCCTCCGGCCACCGATTTCATTCTGCCGCCGATTGCAGAGATTTGGACAGCCGACGGATCGACCGCCATCCCCACCAAGACTCTTTTGGCACGGTCACCCACCTCGCCTCAAGCCGATGGCAGCTACTACTTTATCGTTCCACCAGTCATCAACGAACAACGAGATGGCGACGGAGATGGCGACGTAGATGACGACGATCAAACAGCCTATAGCAGCCAAGGGTCCACCAAAAAAGGGTAGAGTCGAAGCAGAAGTCCAAAGTAAGAGACATCAATCAGGTCTCTTGAAACCAACCGTAACAATTGGAGTTAAAGATTCGGCCCTCATAGTTTTACTTCCAAGAATAACTTGTACAGTTGAATATCAAATTAGTATGTATAACATTTAAAAGAACAAACAAACAAACAAACAATTCAATCAATTAAATTAAATCAATTCATAAATGAAATTAAATTTTTTTTTTTTTTTTTTTTCTAGATCCATTTTTAAATCCACTTGACATTGCAATTTATCCTACCAATATTGTAGCTGGTAGTGTAGCAGTACCTTTGTTTATTCGTGATTCGACAACTAATATTCTACCAACATACCTTGCCAACGGCATCAAGCTGAATAATAGAGACCAAGGCCGAATTGGTATTGCCGACGTTGCATGTCTCCTTACACTCGACGAAAATCAACAAGCTAATCCAGCCAACACTTGTTTCCTCAAACAGTTGACTGCTGACAACTACCCCCGTCTCCCTCTTTCATTCACTCCGATCATCCAGTATCGTTCCTCGTTTGTCCCTGTATCCGATCCAAACAAATACGGTCCCTCATATGGATCATCTGATTTACTTGTCACCTATCATGGTAAGATAATTATTTTATTCATTCATAATTATATAATTGATTTATTGGTTTGTAGTATTAATTTATTTTTAAATCTATTTTTTTTATTTTGTTATATATATATATAGAGCCACAGATTGATATGATCAAACCAAGATTAATGTCACAAGGAACCGATCATGAAATCGAGATTACTGGGTTAAACTTTTACGCACAAGTTCCAAAGGATGAAATTGAATACACCTTTCGATCGGTGGTGACTGTCAAGTTCTTTGGAGTCATGTCTGATGATGACACGTTCCTCGAGTGTACTAATATTCGAGTTGAAACTCCAACTCTGATTAAATGTACTATTCCATCTGCCTCTATCGTACTTGCCAATCCTGGTGACGAACAAGACTATAGCCGTGTGGTAGTAACCATCGATCAACGATCATTCAATCTTGAAATCGATCAAGTCATTGATGATCAAACCATAGATATTTTGTTAAAAGTATTTTGTAAGTACTATGTTTTAAAACAAAAATATGACATTTTATTTATTTAATTTATATTTTCAAAAATAGATCCTGAACATAAAGAAAACAAACCAAACGAGATTGTTCGAGGAGGTACTCAAAAAGTCACATTTGATGGAAAGTTCTTCATTGCCCCGTCAAAGGTTGAAATTGCAGGCGTCGAATGTTTGATTATCAAAGCCGATGAGAACCAAGTGGAATGTACGACAAATGAACTGCCTCCACTTGCAATCGGAGACAATAACGTTGAAGCACCAGTATCAATTACTGTCGATGGTTTAGTCATTCAACAACAACAAATTATTTATTATTGTATGTAGTAATATAAATAATATTGATGATAATTTATTTCAAATTATCTTAACAGCTTATTCCCACTGCATTCGAATTTAACCGTCCTCCATTTTTCTTCTTCTTCTTCTTTAAATTTATCTTTAGATCCTACAATAAGAATTCAAGTTCAAGATGAAGACGATGAAGATGGTGATGGTGATACCAATGAGCCATTGCCATCACTTAAGCCATCATTTGCATTGCAAAAATTATCACCAACCAAACATTCAATTGTTACCGTGACACTGTATGGAGATAAATTGAAATGGGTGACTGCCATCTCGCTGGTGGGTATGAATCCACCAAAGATTATCCCAGTGGAGGGAGCACCTCGTCTTTTGGACGATTCCCTGGTCTTTGAGGCCAATTCGAACCTACTAGTAGGCGACACCATCGTTCCCATACCAATCCAACCAAGAATCCTCACCACACTCTCGAGAGAAGTGGTTGACCTTCGATTCGAGAAACCAGTTGTCAAAATCCATCAAGACACTCCTTTTAGATCCTACGTCAGAGATGAACACACCATCAAAGTATTGTTATCCACCAGCGTTGCCCAAGATACTTTCAAGGATTACAAGGTTACTTTCCATTTGGCAGACAAACAACTCGAGATTGTCAAAAAGTACGATGACGGCACCACATTTGATGTCAAGATCCCTCAATACTCGATCGACACTATTCCCCCAAGCAACGTGCAGCCATCTACATTCGAGTTGGTTCTCAACAACGATTACAAATATAAAGTATTGGATGTTAATGGAAATGAAGTTAAATATTCTCATTTTGGTATGTATAATAGAGAATAATAATAATAATAATAATGAACAATTAAAATATAATTAAATATTAACTTCATTTTCTCTCTTTGGTAGTCCCTAAAATTGATAGTGTTGTCATTGAAAATAGTATCACTGTGAGAGGTAGTGATCTCGATGAAATTGGAACACACGAGTCTCTTTTAAAAGTAAATGATAAGATATACAGTAAGGCCGAGTGTCCTATATTCACCAAAGAGCAAATCACCTGTGAACCAGTACCAGATGATCTACCTACTTTGTTTGACGTATCGGTGATTGTCAAAACATCTCCATCCAAAAAAACAGAGTTTTTATTTATCGGCACACCACAATTCCCACAGGGTCGTGCAGTTTCAATCCAACCACGTGGATCATCGAGATACGTTCAACAAGAAATTTTTATTACCTATCGCTCTGCAACAGCAGCACCTCCCATTCCAATTGTCACAATGCCATTGCAATCAAGCACATTGACGTTGCCATGTACTCTTTATTCAACAACGGGTGCAGCTCCATCATTTATGATCACTCTAAAATGTGATAAACCAAGAAACCAAGATCCTAGTCCAGCCGGATCTGCCAGAGGATCAAGAATTTCATTCAACAACGTTCAGCAAGACATTTGGTTCAACAACTATGGTCTATCATGTCTCGCTGCTCCCGATGAAACTGGTACCAATCTTCCAGCAGATTGGTGGTTCTCTTACAAGTATGTCTATAAAAAAACAACAAAATATAATACACGGATCCGTGGCTTTATTCTAACATTTTTTTATTTATTTTAAAGATTGTCAGGGCAAGTAAACAATGATTATATGTATGCTGATGCAAAAAACTCGACATTCAAACATAAATTACATCTTGTTCCTCTTGGAACGCCAGGTCGTACGTTGAGTGCACTCGCAGCAACATACCATCAACACACCTATGCCCAGGTTGCCACCGATCCCACAAAAATTGCGTTCATATTCATAAATGATCAACAGGGTTACAGATTCCCGCCGGGATACGTAGACTCCTGCGGCAATGTAAAGGCGGGTGGTGGAGGTAGAGTTGACATTCCGACCCTTGTCGCACATGGACACGTCAAAGGATTTATTTTCTACGAAGTGGATGGAGCGGGCAATATAGGAAAGGGTATTCATGTCATTCATTCCAACCCAATCTTTCCATCGTACGATGCTCCATTCGTTGGCACTTGCCCAGACCCCGATAAACCTCCAAAGTACGAACAACAACCAACTAGCCCGATCACATACAATTCCATCGATGATCCCGTCAAATGGCTCGGAAACAACGAAATGGCACAACACTTTTTCTGTCGTGAGTTTCAAGGTGCACCTGAATTGGATAAAATAGCTCAGCATTCGATGCGTGTCGATGCATCGATTGTGCCAGGCTACAAAACACACACGACCGTGTATCAATCCCTTCCTTATCTCGGACAATTTATTACCTCGTACACTGAAGCATTGGCCAATGCGAATGGCCGTGGTCCAACCGCTCAAGAGTTAATTCAAGATGTAAGCCAAGCATGGAAATGAATGCCAATAGATGATGATGATATTTGGTATTAATACTTTTTTTACCTTTTTTTTTAGGGATGTACGAATGAATTACTACAAGGTGACACACGTCAGCCAAATCCAACAAACATTTGCTTTTTTACATCAGGTGTCAATGTAGGTGCAAATGGCAATTCGGGTTGGCTCTTTGCGAAAACATCGGTCAACTACAAATATAAAAAACCCCGAAAACCAACCAAAAAAAACACCTCTCCGTTCACAGTGTTTGCTTTGGGTCTCAAACTCGCTACCGAATACAATTACAATCGTGGTCTGCTTAATACACTACCGACCCGACTACCCCAAGAGGCTACTCTCAGGGTTGCCAGTTTAAAAGATGTTCCAACTGGCTGTGATGTCAGCAGTGATCCTCTAACACAGCAATGTTTTTCTTTGGACGGCATGGATATGTGGTCGTTGATCTCCAATCAATTTGGCCAGAAGTTGTTTGTCCAGACCTATCTCAAAGCGTTCAACATCATGTTGCCTGTGCCACACATTGCAGAGGTGGCATACCACAGCTATCCAGGTGACTCCTCTCTGGTACCAGGTGGTGGTGACATTGATTTTGTTCAATACTACAACAACGATCACTCCAAACTGGCCTACAGCATGGTTCCCACCTCGAGAGATCCGAGGGATGGCTCGGACTGGTTTTGTTTTGGTGATGCCAATCGCCACAACGGCCAGGGTGAGCGTGGATCGGGTGCTTTCTGTTTCGTAAACGCAGAATTGGTCGATCAATTCCATCGCTTTTTGAGTTCTTACAAGACTCTTGGTCCGTCGACCATCCCAACCGCGATCGGCCTCCCTGCAGGTGCCACACGTAATAGTGGAGACTATTCTGTGTACGCAATCGCTCATCAAAAGCTCTCGTTAAACTATAATGTTCCTGGCAAGACGAAACCACAGAGTTTCGAAACCGACTATCCACAAGAGGTCGAACGAACAATGCATATAAAACGACCAATTGTCATCCAATCCAATGATTGGGTCCGTTCAGTGTCTGTCATTGCAAGAGAGTCGTTGACCTATGACAATGGCAACAACTTTAACATCTATGACATTGCATACAAACCTCGCTACACTTTTACGCCTGGAATCAACTATGCTATCAAATATCATTTATTCAGAGAAGACTCTCCACCAAACACCCTCGAACGAAGGTACACCAATATTGTTGGCCAAACTGGTTGGCCAGGATGGTCACTTGATTGGTCAACCAAAGATTTTAGAAGAAATCAAGATATATTGTTCTACTATCTCTCAAATGATACACAAGTGGCGTCTGTTTGTACGTTAACTTTAACGCTTGCTTGCAGCGAGGAACAAGATTATCGACAAACATCTCTTGATGCTCACAATGCTGTCAATGTGCCATTCCCACCAGCACCAACTGGAGAGGCACTCGATGTGAGTACCAACCTTCGTACATTCACGCTCAGCAATGCAGCCTTGCCAGATTATAATCCCGACCTCAAAATCATCCAAATCCACAAACGTCTGCAAGACTACAGCACACAAACACAGCTCGTCAAACCATTCAACATGCCAATCGGAAGAATCAACTATTTCGTTGCCGAGAGTCTCCAATCGTTGCCAGCACAATGTCACCATGCATCGTGTTACCTCCAAGCACAAAAAGTGATTCTACTCAAGTTAAAGGATTTCTCAATTGCCACTTCTGTCAACAGACCTTGTCAAGACGAACAGATCTATTTGGTGACGCTAGCCTATTTCCACAACAGAACAGAGTTTATTCCAGATGCAAAACAAGTTGTCACTTACGATAATGACCCAAGCAAGATAACATGGGCAAATGGTGTATTGTTGGCAATATCAAAATTGGCTCGACAAACAATCGATTCTGCTCATTTGGCTACAACGTTTGATAGTTGTTTCCCATTACCAATTCTTACTCCTGGAACTACAACATCATTGGATCTTAATAATTATAAAGAGTATGTTATGAAAGAAATAGAGATTCTCTAATATTTAATATTTTTACTAATATTTAATTACCGCGTTTTTATATATTATTTTCTATAGAGCAGACCCAATGACACCATTTGAAACAGCAACTACCAGACAATTATTCCTTCGAAGTGCAGTTGCCACTTGGCAATTATTAACCACTGGTCTGGTTCCACTTCAAACAATGATGGATTCATTGATTGCCATAACACCAACCATCGTACCAGAGGCACAAGTAGAGTCGATGATTGATTTCTTTGAAAAGAAGATTCCAGAGGCTTACCGTAAACCAGAAAATCACGACTTGCTCAAAGCACTTGGTTTGGTCAAAACTCCTCCTCCTCCAATCGTCGTTGATGATAGTAGTAGTGGTGGTAGTGGTAGTGATAGCGATGGCAATGGTGGAATGGCATCACGAAATAGTTTGCCGATAATTACACCATCTCCATCAACAACTCCAACCGATTTGCCAAATGCACTCCAACAATTGATTACAACTTTGAAGCAACAATATCCATCGTTTGATGTTGCCTCAATCATTCAACAAATCGATAGAAATGAAGAAGTTGATGAAAACACTAACAATGTTGCTATTCAGCGTGCATTTACCAGGTGGATCGACATCAACAATCAAAATCAAGCCATTACAACGATATTCAAAAAGTCGTTGACCACATCCACCACTCTATCGGCCATATCATTTATCGATTCCTTCAACTCTGACCAATTCCAATTATCGATTGATATGTGCACATCAACTGACAACAATCAGCAACAGAAAATCACATTTGTTTGCTCATTATCCTCTGTCGTACAAATCACCAACCTTCTTGTCCAACTTCAATCTCATCCAACAACTTTGAAACAATTGTATGGTGATTTCCAACTATTCTTTGTTCCATCTGACGATTTTGTTGTTGGTGACGAGGTTGGAAGTGGAATGGCGATTGCAACAGTGAATGGTAAACTATGTGATATTACAATGACAAACAAGCAATCATTTGATGATTTATCTCTTCTTACGACGATCTGTCAAGAGGTTGGTCCAATCATCCAATCAATCACTCCAAACAGAGGAACAACAAATGGAGGATACACCTTGACCATCAATGCCATCCATATCAATAGTGATACTCGCATATTTGTTGGTGACAGGTTATGTACTCTTCCTACAGTGTTGTCTCCAACACAAATGACTTGTCTTGTACCAGCTTCATCTGGAGGAATCAATCTACAGGTTATTGCCACAAATAATCTTGCAACAACTGTTACCCCCCCTTCAACGATAATCCAAGACAATATTGTATTATTCTCATACGATCAACCAATTATTACGACTCTACCAACGATAAAACCAAACCAACCATTTATTATCAGTGGTAGTAATTTTGGAACATTATTAAATGCATCGGTCAGGATTGGACAATTTGATTGTCGAATCATTTCAGTTGGTCATAACCAAATTTCATGTCAATCACCAATCAACATTGGAAAGGATAGAACCATCACCATCAAAATCAATGGACAATCATCAATCGTAAACCAACAAAGCTTGTCATCTGCCTCTTACGAACCACCACAAATCACATCAATATTACCATCCGATATTCTGGTTGATGATATTGTGGTGATCTCTGGAAAGGGTTTTGGTGATGATGATTACAACAATGTAATTGCACCTTTTGTAACGATTGGTGACAGACAATGTGACATTCTCGACTATTCAAGTGACACTATTACCATTAGCACACCCAGAGGTATCTCTCAAAACAAAGCATTGATTGTCAACGCACAAGGACAAGTAGCAAGTACCACTGTCAACTATGCAGCTCCATACCTCCAATACCAGAGTATGTCCACAACAGACACACCTGGAGGGATGATCAGATTGGAAGGTGATTCTTGGGGAACTTCAAAACATGACATTGACTTTATTCGATTGAATGGACAATCCATGCAATGCTCACCTTTTGACATGTTTGTCGAATGTATGATTCCACCCGGTATCGGTACCGATCTCCCCATCGATGCATCAATCGGATCACAAGCAATGACCACCTTCCAAATCATTGCCAAACTTTCATACAACGCACCATCTATCCATAGTATTCAAGTGGCAAATAGTCAATCTATTGTAATCACCGGCAAGAATATGGTGCCAAATGGCATTTCTCCACTGTCATCGTCTGTGCTTCTGAAACTGTCAAGTGGCGTCATTCCCTGTCCAACGCCAATATTCCGAACCGACTATTGGATTGATTGCAATGATATTCAATCAATGCCATCGATACAATCTATTCAATTGAATATTGGTGGTCAATTATCAAATGAATTCAGATTCAACCTACAATCACTTCAAGGTGAAATATTCATTGATGACAACCAAGACAATATCCATTCGTATGGAGAATCATTATTTATCTCGTCGTCGGTTACATTGACACTAGACAATGGAGTATCTCCTCTTCTAACAACAACAACATCTGATGGAAGATATTCATTCATCGGTATGGCTGCTGGAACCTATACCTTGAGCGCAATGTCGCTCGATGGCAATGTCTATTTCCCAATATCAACAATCAGAAACATTGTCATCTTGGAAAGTTCTGTCAAGGTAGTTGATATTGCAACGATTGTCAAAAACACCAAAGGATGTTTTGGAAAGATTGTTGACAGCACCAACAACAAAGAGATGTTTGTTCAATATGGTGTAACCAATATTGCCAACTATGGATGGTGTACAACATGCACGACAACATATCAACTACCAGAGGGTTGTTCATCCACACTCAATCAAAATACGTTGACCATCGATTATTCATTGTCACGCACTCTTCAATTCTATATGGACAAAAACTTGAATTTAATCCAAAATACTGGTGAATCACCTTTACAAACTTTGCTCTCATCGATTACAATCAGAGTTGAACCATTGCTTGGATCATTTAATCCTTGGGAAGCAGCAACTATTTCAACTCTACCAATTAAATGTCCAAAATCATGTTTGGTCAAAATCATTTCCTCAGACAACAACATGGTATCGATTAGAAATAATATCTTGTTGGATGAAACGACAACACCGATCACTCTTCTTGGATTCTATAGCACTCAAGATTTCTCGAGAAAAGTAGTCTTTACATATGTACAACTTGCCGAAACAATGACACTTCCAATTGGAAAATTCATGTTTGCCACGCCAAGAGCACTCGCAAAAGTTAGCATTCCAATCAATACCAAGGTATTACTCCAACAATCAACATTTTTATCATCGGTTGGTGATAATTTGATCACCACGCCCAATCAATCACCAACGATGATTGAAGTCATGGACACTAGTGATTTATTGTCTCTATTTGGAAGCAATCTTGCTCTTGAAGGTGGCAATACAGTTACAGTGACAAACGACTATGGATACGTTATGCCACAATTTCTCATCTCTGGTCTGCCATTCACCTGTACGGGCAACACCGCTGACAAAAAAATGACTTGTACATCACCCAAGATAACATCACCTGGAGACAAAATACTACGAATGAAATGGAATGGAATGGACCTTTATGCAAGCCGACAGATGTCCATTCCTCAATACACCACTACGATAACCTTTTATAATGACCTAAACAAAAACAACGTTAAAGACATTCTAGAAGTGGTTCTTGTGCCAGGAATCGTAGTGACTTTAGGATCAGGACAATCATTTGTCTCATCGTCGACTGGACAAATTACAATCCAAATATCGCACCTCACATCAATGATTGTCACACAACCATCCAACAAAATCGTCCCGTTGGCCCAGTACCAATTGTCGCCAACATCGCCTCAAACACTTAATATTGCCGTCAATGATATTACAACCGATCCGTTATTGACAGGCTGTGTCACATTCTTTTCCGCTGGCGACAAAAAACTATATGTCCAAGGTGGATATACAGACCTTGCACCGTATGGCTTTTGTGATAAATCGAAACAACCGCCTTGTGCCAATGTAGTGACGTCGTATAACTACATAAACACATGCTTGTTTTATGGAGACAACACTCTTTGGATTGTAAAGAAATCGACAGTATCGATCCAATTCTACCAAGATCAATACATCACTGGCGTGCCAACGGGTGTCCTTCCCCCCGCTGCCACAATGTCTCAATACACAATCAGTTTCGACGTCCAGGCCTACCCTGCCGAAGGACAGCCACGTTGGCAATACTCAGCGACTGTTCCTGCAAGTGGCTTGGCCATACTCAACGTACCAATTGGAACCACCAACATTGTTATCCAAGAAGCACCATCGAGCTACAGCATACTCAACAATTTTGGCGTCACAACAACGCTCACAAACTTGAATGTCGTAAAGAATGTTGGACTCTTTACTCCACGAGTAGCAGGCACTGTTCTCCGATTCTACAGTCTTGCAAACCAACTCGGTGAAAAGCTCTCACTCCCACCAGGCAAACACGGCTCAACAGTGCTTGGAAATCTTGGATGGACTGACAAAACTCGATCGTTTGATGCACCTACAACCACCAAAGTTTACATTTCAACCAGCGGTTACAACAGCGGTGTCGTGACAACCCTCGCGACCAACGGAATAGTTAACACTGGTGCAATCGGGTCAAAGCAAATAGAAGTTGCAATCGCATCACATTTTGACTCGCTCGACTTGCCAATCCAAGGTAAAACGATACAATTCACAAACCCGTACCACAGTAAATCAGTGTCGTTGTTTATTGGTGCAGTCAAGCTTAGATGTACCGACGGTCTGTTGTGCACGATCCCATCGTTTTTCGGAAGTGTCAAAATGTCCGTTGTACTGTTACAAGACAGTGGCAGCATGGGCGAAGCACTTTACCAAACCTACACAGTCAGCTACGTCAAAAGATTCCCACTGCCAACCGCATCGTCATCCTACCTCGACAAGGACACATCCAATAATGCCATTCCAAACGCTCAACAATTGACCTACCCAAAAGGAGCCACAACCTATCCCTATACCCGTTTCGGCATGAAAACAATTGGTACGGCAAATTACATGATGGCAACAGTCACCGATAAGTCTGGTGTTGATACAAAAGTATATGAATGGTTGTTAAATAATTTACAAGGCACCTTTTCAATCCGGTTGGATTCATATGGTAGTTTATGTGCACAATTCTCACCAGCAGCAAATGGAGGAGCATATCTTTATTGTATCAACACGGCCGAACTCAGTCCCAAATATCTTCAAGTGGTAGATGATGGTTTGGTGATACAAAAGGCAAATGGAGACATTACATGGACACGTCTGGTACAACAAACCTTTTCATCATTCACCAGTGGACCTTTGCATCCACTTGCCAGTGGATTGAAATATCTCGACTGTCAAGACACATCGAGAAACAAACTTAATGTTGACGATTTCCTTTCGTCTGGACACAAGATCATTTATTATACCAATACCGGAAAACTTACCGTACTTGACCAAACACCTCAAACTTTGTTCCAATTCAATCACGGTGGAGCTGTGCAGAATACTGCCTTTCTTGAAATTGGTACTGATGGGAATGTATGCTCCTATTTTTCGGCTTCTACTGGAGATTGTCTTTATACCCATTACTTGGCAGCAAGATATGTTGTTGCATCACCACCAAATTTCCTTTATTCAACAACCGATCAAACAGCGCTTTTGGTGCTTGATGTCTATGGTAATGTAGTTCGAATGGTCACAGGAGATTTGACTCTCCCAAATCGAATGCTTCCAGGAACATATCTATCGACTGGCGACATTATGAAACCGGGTCAGTTTATTACCAACGGTCAACATTATCTTTACTTGTCGTCCAGTGCTCTTACCTATTACAAAAGTACTCCATTCCACATTGTCACAAAGTTGGTCCAAAAAACCATTGCCTGTAGTAACTGTGTGCTAGAGGTTACCACCACAGGCTACAAACTCACTGAAGGTGCCGTTGTTAAATATAGCGTAACCGCATCATCATCATTTAAATATGTGACAATGCCGTATGTTAAGAGTGGTGGTGCAAGCACAAACGTACCCATCAACGATATGGGTATTGCGTTTGCCAATGAAGTTGGTGCCGTACTAAATGATCCTGCTGGTTCAGTCCTTTCTTTCTTTGAACAACACCCTCTAATGGAACCAACAACCACCATTCAAGGTAGACTCTACATTGACACAAACAACAATTACATCTATGACAACAATGAACTCCCTCCATCTTCTTCTTCGGCTTCAATAACATTGAATGGATTAACCATCCAACTCAACTCCAAGGGAATGTTTAAAACTCTAGATGCATTAACTGGAGATAATGTTCTGACATTCAATAACATTCCAACAAATTATTACACTCCAATCCAAACTCTCAAAATTCTCGACACCAGAAATGGATTCAAACAAGATTTCCCTCTTTATCCTAAAGGTATGAAATTAAGATCAGAAACCAAGTTGGTTAATTTTTTAAAAACAAAATGTATTAATTCTTTTCTTTTCTAATTATTTATTTATTTCCTGTAGAAACAAATGTATGCTTTGGCTATTTACTATCAAATCAAAATCGATTATATGCTCAAAGTGGTCAAACCAAGCTGTCAGTATTTGGTTGGTGTCAATCTGGTCAACAATGTGCATATCCAATCACCTCTACTTCAAACATTCCTTCAACATGTTCAATTAAATATGATACAGCAAATGTCATGACAATCACAAAATTATAATAATAAACAAATTCAAATACCTACACTTATCCATTTAAATAAAGATCTGTCCCTGCCCTTTGTACACACCGCCCGTCGCTCCTACCGATCGAACGATCAGGTAAAGTGGACATACTTTGGCCCGCAAGGGTTGTTAATTATTATTTTTTTCATTTCTTTTTTGCTTTGTTGTTTAACAGATAAAAGAAATGAATAGTAACAAAGTAACATTTCTTACTATCTTTAGAATGGTATATCTGAGAGATTCTATATTTCAATCATTCTCTCAGTTTCCAATTGCTCAAGAAAGAAGGTATCTGTTTAAAAAAGGTAAAGATATACATATAGAATTCAATTCTATGATACAATCCTTTGCATTGCCTTGGGAGTTTATCAAACATTATTTACCTCCAATTGAAAGTATAAGCAATGGTTACGTATTGGTCCCTTTTTATTGTCGCCATCCAAATGCAACACTATCAACTCTTGTTCATCTCTTGGATTGGTTACCTGCAAGCTGTATCAATAGCCATTCATCTATTTCTGCAGCAGCAGCTGGTGGGCACCTTGACATAATCAAGATGCTTCATAATCGTTACACTCCCGACCTGAATACAAGTGCAAAGGCAGCTATCGACAATGCAACACGTATTGGCCATTATGAAATTGTAGAGTTTCTGTTGGCTAACCAATATCATGGTCATGATGCAGTCACCGTTGAAATAGCAGCAAGGTTGGGACACGTTCCACTCTTGAAGCTACTTACGAATGAAGGCAAGCAAGGGATTTGTGATAAAACCTTCTACAGTGTTTGTGGCAGTGGAAAAGTAGAGGCCGTCAAATTCCTCGATCAATTTAGACAACAATATCTCAACAAAATGGACCCAAGCTACTATCCACTATTTACAACACATGAATTCATCTGTGCTATATCAAAAGGTCAATCTTTGGATGTCGTCAAGTATCTTCACGCCAATAGAACAGAGAAACTAAAAGATGGGTATCAATTAATGAATAATGCCTGCAAAGATGATAGTCTTTTGGAAATATTAAAGGTAACTAACTATCTATATTCAATTTGATAACTCATCTAATTATATTTCTATTTCCAAAGTTTCTTCATTTCAACAGGACAGAAGGATGTACTAATATGGGGATTGAAATAGTAAGTTTTACACCAAGTCTAAACAAAAGCAACAAATATTTTTTATAAATTGTATACTAATTATAAATATATTATTATTATCTATTTAAAATAGGCAGCTGAACTGGGACAATTAGAAACTATTAAATTCCTTCTAGTTCATTACCCAGAATTAAAAGTAGATATTGCTTTTGATTTTGCAACTAGGTTCCTCAAAAATGATGTGGTCAAGTTCTTATATCTAAACACTACCGATAATGCAACCATAGCATTAACCATGGCAATAACGCACAACAATTTGGAAATTGCAAAGTATCTTTTAGAGAATCATACTGATAAAGTACAATTACAAAGTGCACAATGGGAGAAATTAAATTTAATACAAAGTCAAGAATGGGACCATGTTAAAATATTATTTCAATCTTTGTATAATAAACAATGAATAAAATAAACCAAAACCTTGTTGATCTCTTCATTTACTTCTTCCAAAATCAATTCAATGCCATTGTTGCACTAGATCAATTTTATTTTCTCGATAACTGGTTTCCAACTATCAGGAAAGTCCAATGTTACAACCTCTGGTTGTTGAGATGTAGGATGAATAAATTCCAACTATTTTTAAAACAAAAATGTTATTATTAGTCTTTTTAATTAATACATATATAAATATATAACAAACATACATAATAAGATTGTAAATATAATCTTGATATTTCACTATCATCATCCTCATCATTGTTTAGTTGTTGACTCTCCTTTTCTTTATCTTTGATATTTTTTATATTACTTTGAATGACACGATCAATAAAATAAGGATTATAATAGGGATCACCAACAATTGGGAAACCAGATTCTGACATGTGAACTCGTATTTGATGTGTACGACCAGTATGTAAAGCAACCTCGAATAATGCCTTTCCAGCTCCAAAACCCTTTAATTCAAATTCCGACTTTGCATATCTTGGACCAAACTTGTTTATACCTTTTCCAATCGAGCTACCATGCACCAAGTAATGAGAAAGGAATGGATGATTCATTTGATAAACCACTTGGTTATCTGCACAACTCTGGCATTTAAATGAATTATTCTCCTTTTTGTCAATACCATCTCTAATGGTTGTAATGGATGCTTCATCCATCAATCCTAGATTTTGTTGTTGTTCAAGTAATATTTGTTGATTACGATTAAATATTGGTGCTGGTTGTGTTCTCTGTGACATGTATGAAGTGATTTCACCAGATTTGAATAGAGAAGTAGAACCATTACACATGATTGGTCCTCCCTCTTCTTGTGGTCCAATATATTTTGAAATCATACAACATGCACGATTGGTTGAACAAGAGGAAGAAGAAGAAGAAATATTTGTATTTGTAGTTTGATCTTCACTACTACTCTTTTTCTTTTTTGTTTGATTATTATTCTTGTTGTAATTATTGATAATAGTTATTTCACTCATGTCAGATGCCATACATCTAGGTGTATCTGTAACAACTCTATATTTCTTTTTCCATCTTGGCATTGATTGTGATAGAATGGCACAAACTTGTGATGTCTAAAAATAATTGATTTGTTAATATCAACAATTTATATAGATATATCTATGTTTAAATATATCTTACAAGTGATACAACAACCAAACCAGAAGTCCATTTATCAAGACGATTTGGGAAATAGGCAAATGGTTGATCTCTTTCAAAAAACTCTTCAAGGTTCTTTAGTCTTCTTTTGAATCTTCCCTTGTAGAGTGTAGGGTCATGATAATACTCTTTCATGAGTTGTTGATAGGTGTTTAATAGTTGAGTGACGACAAGTTTCTCGACACTATGATTGAGATTAGATTGAATAGGGTATCCAAATGGTTTGTTGATAATGATAAACTTGTCACCCCATTCTCCATAAACTATCTGTACTTGTCCTTCTTCAACTGTTAATCCCCATTCTAATTTCATGTATCCTCCTTCTTCTTCTTCCTCCCTATGTTCATCTTCTTTTCTTGGTTTATCTTGATGATCTTCATTTCGTAATGGTTGTTGTTGTCTTTGATCATCATATTTTCTTTGTTTATATCTACTATCATATTTTTGATTACTTGTATATTGTTTATTATTCCCACTATTATTATAATGTTTCTTTGTATATGAAGAAGATGAAGATGATGCAGTTGAAGTTGAAAATGAAAAGGTTGATTTGCCTATTGTCGTTGTCTTATTCACGTTTGGACATATGAATGTAGATGCAGCACATGATGATAGATATAGTACGCTACTACTACTTTGCTTGTAAATATATCTACAACTAGAAATAGGTATAGACAACATGACAATAGTAGGTTAAAAGACAGAGCTTGCATTCATCTTGTCTTTGCTCGTCATTCATTGCAGAAGTTTCATTGAATGTTTTTACCAATAATAATATTTTTAATGAGGAGGGTGGGTTGATGAATTCTTGATCGATGAGTTGGTTGGTCAGTGTCATTTTATTTATTGATTTATTTGTTTATTTATTTATTTGTATATATAGTAGTTTTGAAGGAGAGATAGAGAGAATGATAGAACATCATGGATTGAGTGAAGCAACACCATCAGATGAATGGGTATCATTAAATGTAGGAGGAAAGATCTTTAAAACAACTAGATCAACTCTTACCTCTGACCCAAACTCTGTATTATATAAAATGGTAAGTACAAAGTAGTAATTAATTGTTAATGTTATATTTTATATTAGATACTAACCTATTTATTATTTATTGTTTTTAGTTTAATAGAGAGAATCAATTTATGATATCACACAAGGATAATCATGGATGCTATCTAATTGATCGTGACCCTAAATACTTTAGATGTGTACTTAACTTTTTAAGATTTCCTTCTACTAAGCACCCACCCATCATTGATGATGGTATATCTATACAGGGTGTGTTGCAAGAGGCACAATTCTTTCAGATTGACGGGTTGATCAAGGTCATTGAAAAGGCTGAACGATCAAAGAGCGACTTGGACAGAAAAGACATTATGATATACAGGAACCAAATCAAACTGACAAACAAACGTCTCCTTCAAATCGATCTATCCAACATGGACTTTACAAAAGAGTCTTTTAACAATTCAATCATTTCCAAATCAAATTTATCCTATTCCAAATTAAATTCTTCAACTCTTTTACAAGTATGTTAAACATTATATATAAGTGTATTATAGTGAGTGTACTTATATTTATTTGTTCTATTTAGATAACAGGAAAAAAAGTAAATTTTAATTATTGTAAAGCAGAGAATGCATTGTTTTCAAATTCGAATTTAAATGGATCGACATTTGATAGATCGGATTTATCACATGCATCATTTAATAATTGTCAATTGGCAGACTCTACGTTTGAGTCTGCTATTTGTCAGGGATCTCTGTTTCAACGTGCCAACTTGATCAATGCTCGCTTTAAAAATGCAGATTTGCAACACGCCAAGTTTCAAAAGTCCACTCTGTATGGCTGCGATTTCACAGGTGCACTCATCAGTAATTGTCATTTTACAGCCGCATCATTACAAGGTGCCACCTTTGACTGGGACCTCATCTTCAAAACCTACAATGAAAGTGAATTGAGATTATTCAAAAAATCAAGAGTCACCCAACAACAATTGGACCAACACATACCTCTAGCCTATCGATATCTATTTAAAGTGGTTGAATTACCAAATGATATCAATCGAAATTTAAGATTATCAATTGGTCATTTAAATCCATTTGGAAATAATATTAATAATAATAATATGAATCAAAGTCAAGATTCCCAAAAATTAATTGATTCTAATAATAGTATTAATACAAGTCAAAATAATATTAACAATCAAAATCAAAATCAAAATAATAATAATAATAATAATAATAATAATCAAAATAATAATAATAACGATCACCAAACATAATTTTGATCAATATAATACCAATAAATGGAAAAACGACTGTAAATATATTTATCTCTTCCACAATCCCCCCTTTTAATACTCAACTCTCAACTTGAGAGTAGAGTTACAACTATATATAGAAATATTAGCTCTTTTATAGATAGATATAAAAAGTCATTCATTTCAAAAAATATTTCTATCAACAATTTTTACTCTTCGGGACTCGAAAATACTAATTTTGAGAAAATAAATAAATTAAAAATTAAAAAATTAAAATTATTAGGGTTGCAAAAATACACATATTACATTATTACAAATTCTTGTTTTCGTTTTACACATTCACTCATCTCTCACTTTACTTTAATTCAACTATTAAAGATATATAAATTATATTATTAACAACAACAATAATAACAACTACACATACACATCAGTTCAACTCAAACCAAACCGATTATTTTATTAGCAATAGCAAAAACAATAGCATAGGACATACATAGATACATAGATATTGCATATACAAACAATGGCAACAGCAAGATATACTAAAAGATTACAAAAAGAGTTATTGGACCTTGAAAAGAATCCACCCATCGGTATCACCGTATTAGAAGCTACTAATTTCGAGAAATGGATAATAGCTATCGATGGAACTGAGGGTTCCCTATATCAAGGTGACAAGTATAAACTTCAATTTAGATTCAATCAAGGTTATCCTTTAGAGTCACCAGGTATGAATGAATCATTATAAATAGAGATGTTAAACTAAAGAAGAAGAAGAATAGACTCTAATACCTCTTTTTCTAAATATACCAACAACAGAGGTTGTATTTACAGGTCCAGTACCAGTTCATCCACATATATATAGTAATGGTCATATTTGTTTATCAATTTGTATGTTATTGTCTATCATCAGCTGATGACCAACCTAAACCACATACTTACTCTCTTCTATTTATTATTATTCTTAATTAATTGGGAATAACTACTAGTATACGATCATTGGTCACCAGCATTGACAGTATCATCTATTTGTCTAAGTATATTGAGTATGTTGAGCAGTTGTACTGAAAAGTCAAAGCCTGTCGATGATTCGATTTATACATCGAGGGCTGGAGGAAGATCACCCAAAGATACTAGATGGCTATTCCACGACGACACTGTTTAAATTATTAAATCATAATAATAGTAATAATAGTGTACATATATATTTATATTTAATAATAAAAAATGGAAATGGGATGACATAATATCTACAATACAATACTATTCTCATTCATTCTCTGACCATAATTATGATATGAAGATGCAAAGATAGTGATTTCTTGGAAATGGGATCATCATCCCTTTGACACCACCCCAAAAAATAGTTTATTATCTTTGACACAAAAAAGGGAATAAAGAGTCTTTCGATTTAACTATTATATTATTTCCCGAGAGAGATGAGTAATAATAATAACAACTACAATAACAAACCTGTATCTCACAATAATAACAATAACAACAATGATCTAAACGACTTTGAATTTGATTTCACCGATAACAATGATAATAATGTAATCGATTTAACTTCAACGACGAGTACTACTTCGACAACAAGTACAACATCAAATTATAATAATAACAGAACAACAAGAACAAACTTTAATTATATTAATAACAATAACAATAATAATAATAAACCAAATAATAATAATCAGAATTTCTCTGGGGATGCATTAGACAATCTAACAAGATTGGGTGTTCATTCGTATAGTTCATCGTCGGTTGAAAAGAAGGTTATCAAACAGATTGATAGAGCAATTACAACAAATGAAATTAAAAAGTATAATGATCAACTTGACAAGATTAGAACAGAGATTGATTCAATCACCTCGTTTCTAGAAGCTTGTGATGATGGAGCACAAGATCAATCCAACAACAAAAACAATATATTTGCTTCAAACAAGGACCTATCACTTGATGAAGTAGCTAAAAGTTTTCAAGTTTTAAAACAGATAAAGGTATGAAACAGGATAAATAATAACAACGAGGGATGGAATAGAACTGTGTAACTAATTAACAGGCCTGTTATCTCTCTTGTGTAGCAAAAAAAAATCAATGAATTATTAAGAGAAGAGAAGGTGATCTTAGGATTAAAGAATAAATTGGTAGAGGAAGAGAAAAAGAAAAAGGTACAAAAACAATACCAACCAAAGAAACAAATTGATTTAAATACTCCAAGTACATTTGATCAAGCTTTGTTTGGTAATGTTAAAGTAAAAGAAACAGAAAGAGAAAAATTGGTTAGACTTGGTAAAATTACTCCTTTTGCTGCTTCTTCGACCCCTGCTTCTTCAAAGTATGTAGATTTGATAGAAAGATAAAGATATCATATCTAGTATGTATATTCTTATGCTTTTTTTGTTTTTGATTATTATTAGACAAACAAAAATAATTCCAATTATATCAAATAATGAAAATAGTAATCGAAATAATGGTAGTAGTGTGGCTATTAGAGCAGGTTCTTCGGGTAGATTCAGTTCTGGACCTGAAAAAGTATTAAAACCTGGATCGACAAAGAAACAACAGGAAAGACATGAAAAGAGACAGAATTGGATGAAAAATGCAAACAAGGGCATTTCAAAACGTCAATCAAACAAGGAATTTTATAAAGATATTCATGATCTAGATGATGTATTAGAAAATGAAAAGAAACAAAAAAAACAACAAACTAGTACTACCAGTACTACGACTACTTCAACGACTACGACTACTAAAACAACAAAAACAACGAAAAAGAAAAAGAAAACGACTAAATCAATACCATCACCTCCTTTAGAATCACCTCCACCTACATATGCATTAAAAAGATTAAGAAGAGAAACAACTATTACTAGACCATTAATTATTGATCAAGATGATGAAGAGGAAGAGGAAGAAATGATAGAGATTTCATCTGATGAAGAGGAAAATTCAGATCAAGATTATATTCCTTCTGGTGAAGAGGAAGAAGAAGAAGAAGATTTCGATAATCAAGATGAAATTGTACAAATAGATGATGAGGAAGATGATAAAGATGATTATGATGGAAAAAAAAGAAAAAGATTAAATGTAGAGGAAATTTGGAAAGATGACAAGAATGAATCAACCTATTTGGATCGACTTTATGAATGGAAGTGTGAAAGAGTTCGTCTGTTACGTCTCAAAGAACAACAATTGGAAAATAGATTAAAGACAATCCAACCAATCGAATCTATAACATCTCCAAGTACACTCGAAGAAAATATTTTGGATGGTGAAGATGAAGATTCAATTGTAAATATGTTGTCTCAAGATAATAATAATAATGAAAAGAGAGACGATAATAATGATGAAGAGATGGATGAAAAGATATTGGATAAAGAAATGGAACAAGAAGAAGAAGAGATTGGAGAAGACTATGAAATCGATGAAAACTTCAAGATACCATTTGAATTGTATAAAAAGTTATTCGAGTATCAAGTGACTTGTGTCAAATGGTTGTGGGAATTGCATGGACAAGAGACTGGTGGTATTATTGGTGACGAGATGGGTTTAGGCAAGACTATACAGATTATCGCCTTTTTAGCGTCGTTGCATTACAGCAAAAAGCTTGCTGGACCTTCGATTATTGTCGCACCAGCAACACTATTGTCGAATTGGGTCAAGGAGATACATACGTGGTGGCCACCTTTTCGTGTAGTCTTGTTCCATTCTTCGGGATCGTCTGATAAACAGGAACAAGCTAAACTACTGAAACGAGTGGCTGAAAAGGGACATATTATTCTCACAACCTACGAGAGTGTGCGTATCAACCAAGACTTGTTACTCAAACACCACTGGGAGTACATTATCTTGGATGAAGGACACAAGATTCGTAATCCAGATGCTGATGTAACTTTGGCGGTGAAACAGTTTCCCTCATCACATCGTATCATCTTGTCGGGCAGTCCGATACAAAACAAGTTGACAGAGTTGTGGTCATTGTTTGACTTTGTGTTTCCTGGCAAGTTGGGAACACTTCCCATCTTTCAGGCACAGTTCTCGGTTCCGATCAGCTTGGGAGGGTACTCTAATGCGTCATCGTTGCAGGTGCAGATTGCCTATAAATGCGCAGTGGCGTTGCGTGACCTCATCTCTCCATACATGATCCGTCGTGCAAAACAGGATGTCTTGCAGAGTCTACCATCCAAAAACGAGCAGGTTCTGCTTTGTCCAATGACAGAGTTGCAAGAAAAGTTGTATATTGACTTTTTGTCGAGTAATGAAGCAAAAGATGTTATGGATGGACGCAAGAACCTGCTGTACGCAATTGACATTCTCAAAAAGATCTGCAATCATCCTGATATTCTGCATCGCGATGTCAACGATGAAGAACATCCAGAGGACTATGGAAACGTGACACGATCGTCCAAACTTCGTGTCGTCGAGCAGATCTTGCCCATGTGGCGCAAACAGGGACACAAAGTACTGCTCTTTTGCCAGACTCGTCAGATGCTCGATATTGTCGAGTTGTTTATCCAATCGTGCGAGCATAAGTATCTGCGTATGGATGGAACAACGTCGGTCAGAAACAGACAGGCAATGGTTGAAGAGTTTAACAATGACCCTACACTGTTTGTGTTCTTGCTGACAACCAAGGTTGGTGGGCTTGGTATCAACCTCACAGGTGCATCTAGAGTCATCTTGTTTGATCCAGATTGGAATCCATCAACTGATACGCAGGCTAGAGAGCGTGTCTACCGTATCGGACAAAAGAAGAATGTTACCATCTACCGTCTAATGACAACCGGTACCATTGAAGAAAAGATCTATCATCGTCAAATCTACAAACAATTCTTGTCCAACAAAATCCTCAAAGATCCAAGACAACGTAGATTCTTCCAGTCTCGTCACTTTAAAGACTTGCTCTCCTACTCCAAGATCAAAAAGGGGTCCGAGACGGGTGACATTTTCCATGGAACAGGTTCTGAAATCTTACCAGAAGATTTCCAAGACAAGAAAAGAAGACGTGGTGGAAATCAACAACAGCAACAAGAACAGGTTGAACAAAAAGAAGGGGATGAGGAAACGACAAAAGCATCGGGAGAGGATACTGACATTTTGAAACAATTATTTCAAAAGGATGGAGGTATGAGTGCCCTTAAACACGATAATATTATGAATCAATCAGGTCCTGAAATGGCTCTAATCGAAGAGGAAGCATCGAAAATTGCAAACAAAGCTTTGGAAGTATTAAAGAAATCACGTTCAAGAATTGAACAAACCGATAGATTTGCTTCTCCAACTTGGACTGGTAGATCTGGTATTACAGGTGCTCCTTTATCTTTAACAAATCAAAATAATAATAATAATAATAATAATAATAGTAATAATAGTACAACAACAACAACAAGTAGTAAACCAAGATTTGGAAACAAGAGTAAATTATCATCACAATTATTACCAACTATTCAAGATTCATCAGTTGCTTATAATAATATGAGTAATGTTACAACAACCAGTACTACTTCTACAACTAGTACTACGAATACTTCATCGTCATCATCATCATCAACAAAAATGCAACAACAACAATTATCATCTACCAATATTTTATCCAATTTGGATACTGAAGATGCAGAACAGGCATCAGTACTATTTGGAGGATTGAAAGCAACTGAGATTATAGAAAAGATATTCTCATTTTTGTTACACAGAGGTGGATCATCCAGCACCCAAGAAATTATCAATAACTTTTCACTTACCATTACTGCTGATCAAGCTCCATTGTTTAGAAGTTTGTTAAAACGAGTTGCGACCTTTGCCAAAGGTGAAAAGGTTTGGACTATCAATGGTGACCTTTTAAATTAACCTATATCTATAGATAGATAGATACTTTGCAATAAATGAAACGATAATATATTCATTTGAATCGAATAGTGTTGTTTATACGTGTTTGTAGTTGTTTTATTCGCGATTAAACAAATAAATAATAAATAGTAACCAATAGACCAATGATAATCAAAGGACTACTTGGTATTCATGATCTTGGACATTTGCATCTTTCATCAACTGGTACTCCTGATAGAGCACTTTCAATATGTTGACCACATCCTATAAATATACATTGAAAGAATAGATCAATGATTAGACACTAGAAGTTATTCGACAGCTATATCTTCTTTGAATATATATAAACTACATACCAGCCCAAGTTGGTTTAGTACACTTTCCACAATCTACTCTTCTACACATGTTTAAATGTTATGTAATATGTTATATGATATACAAATAATAATGAAACTAAGGGTGACGAATGAATAAATCATCTAAATTAAACGACACAGTTTTATAGTTTGTTTTTTCAAAGTAATTTTCGGTTGGATGGATCTGATAAAATCGATACTTTTTCGGGATTGATCTTATATGATTGACAGTGTGATTCGGTTTCCGTTCTATATAGTACGTTGGTCATCAATCATTCCATATGGAATAATCGAATCATAGAATAGAATAGAATAACAACGATCATTCCATTGAAACTCTTTGAGTAATTAATTTAAAAAAATTAAGGTAAATTTATTATTATATTGAGTGATCACTATTTTAAATCTCGGGATTTTAATAAATAGGATAGATTATTATTATTAGTTATTATTGTCGTTATTGTCGTTATTGTTATTGTTAGTATTCATATTTAAATAAATATTATATTATTATTATTATTATTATTATTATTATTATTTCCGATTAATTTTCTTGATTTAAAAATAAATTAATAGATAGTTATTATTATTATTTGTTTTTTATATTGGATAACATAATGTAATGTTGGTAGTTCAAGTATTGTTACATGTTGGTAATGTTTGTATAGTTGTAATGGTAATAAGAGTATTGGTATATGTGGCGTAGTAATAGTATCGATATGATTGGTATTTATACAGTATTGTTACAAATGTATATTATAAATATATTTTGAGATAATAGTTATTATTATTATTATTTAATAAATAATTAAAGGGTTTTGGGTATTATTATTATAACTATAATTATAATTAAATAAATAATGGAATAGATATTATGGTATAATATGATTGTAAAGAAAAAAGTATGATTGAAAAAAACAAAAAAGGTAAAAACGTTTTTAACCTTTGGTGTTGAGAGAGAGAGAGTCCTAGTTGTTGATGTTCTATAAATCCGATGGGGGTTGGTGAGGTTGAGTAGTGTAAGTGTAATGTATGGTAGTGTAGTGAGTGTAGTGTGGTGAGTCGAGTTGGTTGAGGGAAATGGAAAAAAAAAATAAACTGGCTGTTATAACGATTTAATAAACAGCGGTTAAAGCAGTTCTTGGAGAAAGAGCTTGATTATGAACGGTAGCTAAACCTCTTGGAGATAGAGCATTGAGAGCGAGAGCACTGATATGATGGGTGCTGGGACCTGGTAAGAGATTTCTTGGCGAGAGACCTGGCGAGGTGGATGATGAAAGGTTGATGTTGAGGTTGAGACGTGGAGACACCGATTTGACCTTGGGAGATTGGTGTGGAGAAAGGGTTCTTGGGGAACGGATAGCTTGCTCGAGTTTTGGTGAACGGGCAATCGAGAGTGGTGGTACAATGGTCTTGCAGTCGTCTTGGTCAGAGTACAACATGAGGATACCATAGTCACGTGGATCGTTCCACATGATTGATTCAGAAGAAGAAGAGTCGGTTGTGGCACTACTGCTGCTGGAAGCTGAGCGGACAGCCATCTCCTTGTCGGCCGAGGAGAGGGCACCAACAGTGGCGGTGAATTCAAGGTTTTTGATACCTTTTTTTAACTTGTATACTTCGGCCAATGGATCTTTAACGTCGTAGCCGACAAAGAGGTAGTCGATACCTTGGACAGAGTGATCGAGGTCGACTCTGTTGAGCAGCTGCGAAAACAAATGTTCATTTTCAAAGGTGGATCCATTCTGGGCGAAACAGCTAAATAGCTGGCGGTGCTTGAGTGTCTTGGCGTTGGGATGGAGCCCGTCGCGCAAGGTAAAGATGAGGTCTTGGTTCCAGACAGAGATGGATGCTTGGGCGCACTCACGTTCGCCGAGAAAGAGACGGGCGTAGTAGACCGACTCGAGAAACTTGCTATTGTGCACGATAATGTCGTCAAAGTTGGCTGGTGTAAAGTTGTAGTTTTTGAAAGCGTTGACCCAGATATTCTTGACATTGTCAGTGCCAACCTTGAGCTTTTCAATTTTGACTTGGTAGGTCGATGTTGCCACGCTTGGCAGCAGGCCGGTTGTGCCGTGACACGGCCACGCACTTTGGCGCTGGTCAAACTGGAGAAAGCTGTCGATCTGACCTTGGATGGTACGGTTGATGGCAGTGTTGGACTTTGACGACGAGATGAGGCAGCACGAGGTGGGGTCGCCGACCATCAGGTCCAAGGCATTTTTCATGAGCATTTTCGAGAGCGACTGGTTTCGGTAGCTGGGGTGGACGTGAAAGTCAAACGAGTAGTATACAGACTGGACGCATTTGTTGACCAACATTTGCTTGATGTTGCAGCCGTAGCCGCCTACGACCTCGTCCTCGCGCTTTTTCTCCTTGTCGCATATGACCATCATCTTGGAGTGCTTGGACAGGTTGGGACGAATCGACAGGTCCTTGGGTGAACTGATGGCCATCAGACCATCACTATTGTATGAAAATTGGAGACGTGGGATCTTGGATTCGGCACGCTCGTCCAACACACTGTCATATTCTCGGATATCGAATCGGCAGAGCGGCGGCATCATCAATGAAGATGATGTTGTTGATGCTCCACCACACCCTATATTGGCAACAGTTGCTTCACTATTTCTATGCATTCTATATTATTTAGTATTATTGTTATTATTATAAGTACAAAGATTTTTTTTCTTTTTCTTTTTCTTGTTTTTTTTTTTATTCCTAAAGCCCTTTTTGGTAATTATTATTATTCTGGTTGATGCATAAAATGGAATGAATGTTGTGATTGATGACTGATTGTTGGATCTATGGTCGGTCAGACTGATGGTTGTGATTGGATGTCGATAACAATAAATTATTATTGATATGTGCACCTTTGCGAGTAGTTTTAAATTTGAAACGCAAAGCAAGCAAGGTAGGTATTGGTAATACTGACTTGTTGATGGGTGATTTAAAAGAGATAAACTATTCTATTCTATTATAATAATACACAACATTCACTGATAGAGTGTGGCAATGATGAAAAAGAAGAAGCCTTGTTGACAACAATTTAAATACAACGGCTAACAGGAGAGGAGAAAGTTCAATTTGTATATTTTATAATTGTTGGTATGATTATTTATATGAACAGGCAAACAACCAAGGTAGGGAGCGAGCAAAGGGTAGCAACCTCAGCACATTTCATTGACGGATAAGGAGCGATTGTCAAGCGCTTGGCTGAACATTTGATTGATTGAATGGCCGCCGACCGTGTGGGAAACGAGCCCAACCTCCTGTGGCACGAGATTGTTTGTGCCAAAAATAACTTCACACGCTGTATCAAAGGACGCATTGCGTTTGACGGGCGATCATCAGCAAAATGTTGCAAGTTTGTTGGTTGTTTTTTATTTTCAAAGAGAACTTTGAAGAAAAGATTGGTTGATAGACTCTACAGTGTGTAGCATAGCTTCAGTATTGAAAGGTAGGTGACCACCAACCACCCCCTACTCTACTCCCTTATTCCCCCTTTAACAACAAATCATCCACAGATCATCGAACTGGCTATTATGCTATGACATGATAGTTTCCTCTCATTATCTAACTAACCCCCATCTTCCACAACATCGGATGTCATAACACCCTCACTACTGCTACAATAGGATAGGAACCACCCTCCCTTATTCTAGAAATTCACATCACTTCACATCGCTCACCTTCACTTCAATTTTAAAACAACAACAACAAGCTAGAGCTAAACCTAACAAGAGAGAGAGAGAGAGAGCAAGAATGAGCAGTAAGAGACAACCCCATATGATCAATGTTGATGAGGAAGAAGATGAAGATGATCTATTGAACTTTGCATCTAGTCAGATGTTTGTAGCGTCAACAACAACACCAACAACCAACAACCATAACAAGAGCGTGCTATCCTACAACAATTCCCCAATCTCCACTACTTCTCCCTTCCTCCCCAACAAACAGACTACTACACTATCATCAATAGCAGCAAACTCCAACAATAACAATATTAATAATAACAATCATACCCACAACACCATAGCCACACAACAACCCAATAATCAGCAACATCAGATGAATATTATTAATAACCAATTTGATGATAAATTAATTGATCATGATTCTACAAAAATAGGTGGTAGTGGTGGTAGCCAACCACAACCACAACCACAGCAACCTCCGGTCATCACAGACATGATGCCCCCTCACAACACAGATGCCCCCTCATCCCCCTCAACATCATCTGATCGATACACAGATCTTGACAATGATGTTATCATGCATAATAGCAACGACAACACCAATAATAATAGTAATAATAGTAATAATAGTAGCCCGCCTAATAGTCAAACCAAGAAAACTACATTATCAAATAATAATAATAATAATAATAATAATAATGATGATGCAGCTGATAAAAGTACAACAACAACATCAAAACGGATGCTACCGTTATGGATGAACTTTAATAGCAGGAATAGTAGTCCACATGGAGTAATAATAGATGACACCAATATTATTGGTGGAATGATGGATACGGCTGGAAGAAAAACGAGTAGTTCCGGCGCGCCATCAGTCGACGACGAAAAACAACTATTATTAGATGCCGAGGCCAAACGAAGAAAAAAGGAACAATCAGTTGCTGACAACGTCAGCAGCAGCAGTAGCAGCGGTACTACTACGACGGACAATAATATGAATAGTCCTCCACCTACACCAACATGGTTAACAGAAATGAGAGGATTTACTGAAATAGAAGAACCAGTTGCGAGTGGTAGAGTTATATGTTTTGACTTGGAAACAACTGGATTCGGTAGTGAAGATAGTATTATTGAAGTAGGTGCCGTTGAATTAATCGATGGATGTCGTACAGGCCTTACATTCCAGAGTTATGCCAAACCGAAAGCACCTATTCATCCGGAAGCTGCCAAGGTACACAACTTGAATGCCTATTTGCTCAGCTCGGCACCTCCTATCGAGTTTGTGTTGGCTAGTTTTATGGACTTTGTAGGCGACGCCCTTTTAGTCGCTCACAACTTGGCCTTTGACCATCGTATGCTAATTCAAGAGATGATGCGCTCAAAAATACCCATCAATCGCTCCAAGAAATGTTTTTGCACCATGAAGTACTATAGAAAGGTGATTAAAGACGTTAGCTACAACTTGGATGCAATTAGCAGTCAGCTTAAAATAGACAAGCTATTGTTAAGACGAACACACGGTGCATTGGTAGATTCTGAAATCTTGGCAATCGTCTATTCCCATCTAACAAGAATCCCACCAAACTATGCAAGTTTAAAATTAATTGATAAAATGAATCAAGCTCCTTGGAATCAACCACAACCTCAACCATTAAACTTACCATCTTCACAATTAGATTTAAATAATATTTATAATCATGATCAATTGGCCAAAAATCAAAATAATAATAATATTAATAATAATCAACAACCAATATTAACTACATCTTCTACAACAACTACGTCTACAATACCTACAACTACTACAACTAATATAAATAATAATAATAGTATATTAGAAAGATTAGATCATTATGTTTTAACAACAAAAGATTTGGATAAATGTTTACAATTCTACTGTGATATAATTGGATTGGAAAAGGAGATATTTGGTCAACAATCTGATCGTATAGCACTTAGAATCAATGATTTACAGAAAATCAATATTCATGTGGCAGGCAGAGAATTCAAACCACATGCAAGTCATCCAACACCAGGATCGTTGGATCTATGCTTTATATCTCGTATACCAATCATCAAGGTCATCCAAACCATGTTTAAACACAATATACCAATTGAAGAGGGCCCCATCCCAAGAACAGGTGCTTGTGGTCCCATTCTTTCCATCTATATTAGAGACCCAGACGATAATTTAATTGAAATCTCTGAAAAGATTAAACAATAAAAGTTATAAAATAACAAACAATTAAGTTTGTTTGTTTCCATAGAGTGTAAATGAAAGATATTGATTAGATTTGATTTGATTGTTGTTATGTATTATTATTATTCCAATTATTATTATTTATTTTTTAGATTGTGCTGATATATATAAAACTAATAAAGAAAGAAATAATTCAATTGATGATTAGATTAGTATTGTAAGATGAAGATAGATTGATTCGATTAGATTGATACAATACCATTATTTCCTCTCAAGAAACAATCACCATATTTTGTTTTCAATTGTCCATTTAAATACTCTTCTGTTTGTTCCATTACTATATTCATATTGCCGTCTACTACTTCCAAGATACCTCTATATTCTACACCATTGTTAAGTTTGACTACTACTGGTCTACCTATACACATTTTGAAAAAGTTGAATTGCGCATTGTTATTATTAGATGTTGCTGCTCCTCCTGATGCTGAAGTTGTTGATGGTGCTACTGCTGACATATCTGTATCTATGAAATGTTTGTGTATATGTATTATAAGTTATATATATGTATACAATGAAAGATGTGTACTAACTTTACAAAAGATCATGTTCCCTCCCCCCACTTTAATTGATCGCGCTGAAGTTGCCTGAAAATTTTTTTTTTATTAATAAACCCACCTCAAAAACATCATTCATCCTACGCCTATTCTATTCTATCTTGTTCTTTATCATCTTTTGAACATTAGCAACAACTAGATTATAATCTTTGCATCGCGATTTAGACTGACGAACGAGTAGTAGTAGTAGTAGTAGTAGTAGTGTTGATCAAAAGAGAGAACAGAACGATCACTAAAGAGATAGATAGAGTGTTGTTTGTGTTTTCTAGAAAAAGATATAAATGAAGAGCAAGAATGAGTAGTAGTACTACAGACACACCACCAACTTCAACGACTTCTACAACTTCTACTACAGAGATGAAAAAGGATGTGACAATGTTGGATGACGATCAGCAGCAGCAGCAGCAGCAGCAGCAGACAAGTACAACTACGACTACTGCCAATAATATGGTCAACGAAGCAGACTTTAGAATATCGATTTCAATCCCACCTGACAATCCTCCTATTTGCTCAAGTTGATCAGTTTGGTTCAGAGTATCCCTCTTTGTATGTATTGAAAATATATTTGATAATATTTGATTATTCTAACGACAATATATATTCTATTCTACAGTACAACAAACTCTGAAGCCAAGTTTGCGCAAGCATTACATCATATTAGACAACAAGAGTTCTTTCAACAACAACAAAAGATACAACAGCAGCAACAACAACAGCAACAACAACAACAAAATGAACAACAACAACAACAACAACAACAACAACAACAACATATGGGACCACCTCCAATGGTAGAATTTGCAGACCACATGAATTTGGCACGTATAGAGTTGGAGCAAATCTTAAATTTGATCGATTTCAAAGGCAACAAGGACGTGGCAGTGTGCAATGTCGACAAGCCTCCCATATCGATGAATCGTGAGTTGTCAGACACAATGATCAAAATCAGTTCAAAGCAACAGAGTCTATCGACCATGGGAGACAAACTGATTCAAGGAGCTGCTCGAATGAAATCAACCATCAATACAGTGTCGTCGTGGTGGAACGATGTTTCCATACTGCGATCGAAATGGAGACTCAAGGGAAAAGATACCATCTCCCCATTCACATCCAACAATAGCAACAATCCTTCAACATCGGTGGCATCGGCAATTGCATCCAACAAAAAGCTATCATTGGACTATGGATTCTACACTGCAGGATCGTTTATCGAACAAACAGAGGCATCATTATCAAGAGGTGCAAAAGGTGAAATAGTAATCGAATTTCCTCATCTACCCTATCAATCATCAATCGATAAAAAACTCTATGTAAATGTTAAATCCAGAGAACAAAATAATATTTTTAATAATAATAATTCTTCAAATAATTTTGATAGACAAACTTGTATGTAAATCTAAAAAAAAAATCAAAAACAAAATATATATGTTAATTAAAATTTTTAATAATGTTTATTTATTATTATATTTTTAGTAATACCAAAATATAAAATTAATTTAGATGAGCAAAGTAAATGGGATAAAGCAACTTTGGATGAATTTCGGAAACTTTCTTTTTTTAAATGTACAAAATTATTAAACAAGGCTCAAAAATATCAATTTAATAATGAATTGTTTGAAAATGTAAATATATACAAATATACTTATTTATTTATTTAGATTGATATATATATTAATATCTATTATTATTAATAATTATTTAGTTGTGTAGAGAATTATCACAATCAGAAAATAAGAATGAAAATATAATACAAACAGAAAAAGAATTAAGAATAGAATGTGGAAACTTGAATTTATTTATTGGAATGGATACTGTTAAAAAATCAAAAACTCCTTCTCCTACACCTCCTCTTCAACCACAACAACAACAACCGCAACAACAGATTGTTCAATTTAATAATCAACAACAACAACAACAAGAAATTGGTAAACAAAAAATTGATAGATTATTATTTGTATTAAAATTGGTACTATGTAAAATAACGGTACTACAAATGAAAAGATCCCAAAAACAATTGGTTTTGAATATCTTTAATCGGAATCCAAGATTGGTATTTGGCAAAAAGCAACAACCCAATCAAACCCCCTCGCAAACGCAACAACAACTTTTACCACACGCCGCGTTGTCTAGCCCTGCCATATCCATGTCGTCGTCGGGTGACGATGTATTGGGCAAGAGTGCGTCCATCCTCCGTCACATGGACATGTTTTTGCGAATATGTCAGGTCATGGAGACGATAGAGATGAAGTACCCGGTTCGCATCCGATACACTCCCGCCTCTACCATCTCGTCGTCCATCATCATGATCACTTTGATCGAGTCTGCCACCAACCCACGAAAGGGTCCCATGATCAGCATCGAAATTGTCGTCAAACAAAACATAATCAGTATCATCCAAGGTCACCACCGTTCATCGCATACCGATGAAATTCTTGCACACATCCAAATCACAAATCATCTCGATAAATATTTAATTGATAAACTACCTCAACAACAATTCATTGATATGGAATTTATTTTAAATATTGATAATATTAATAATAATGAAACTATAACAACTACAACAACAACAACAACAAATACAACTAATAATAATAATAATAATCAAAATGGCACACATAAAGAGGATTTTTCAATTATAAAAGAAGGTCATCAAAATGATCATGATAATAATAATAATAATGGTAGCCATACTAAACAACCAAAACAACAACAACATGAGAATGGGTATCATCAATTAAAAAAGAAAAAGAATATTTATGAAAAGTCAAACAATAATAATAATAATAATAGTAATATTACAAAAATGAATGGTAAAAAGATTATAGAATTGGAAGATGAGGAATATCAAGATGGAGAAGAGGATATAAATAATATGGATAACCATAACGATAATAATAATAATAATTTTAAAAAATTAAATATCTTAAAGACGACAGAAACAGGAAAAGGAAACAAAGTGAATCAACGATATCGCCAAGTAAAGAAATTTAAAATATAATAATAAATTTACTATTACTATTTTTTTATTGGTATTCATATTCATTTATATATATTAATATTTATTAATATTAAACAAGAGTCCAGGAAAACGTTTTCTTTAAAAGAAGAGGAATAAATTGGTTACAAGTACCATGAGAATAATTGTAGATTTTCTACTTGTTAAATGACCAACTGATGATTCCTTGCTACCTTCTGGTATCACATATTTTTTACCTTGACCTCTGACCAGTTTACCATTGACATAAATTTCAAGTACTTGATCATAGATTCTTTTTTCTTCGGGATTTGCAAACGTACTAATTTGACAAGAAAAACAAAACATAGGGATTAGGATCAACAACAACAACAACATGAAAAAGGAGGGAAGAACATGTTTGCATTGATTGATAACACTGAAACCAAAGGTGAACAAGTAGTGGTGAGGGTCGAATAGTGTGGTGATCACTTTTCAATGTTCACCATACAATGGTGGTTACACAAATAAATAATAATTAGAGGGTTGATGGGTGGTCATGGTTCAATCTCTGTGAAATATTATCATCTACCTACAAAAGCATATCGTTGTGAATTTGTTTCACCCTTATTGCTCATATCACTATCACTATCATAATAGAGATATAAATCATTATAGTTTGGCAATTGGTGTAATTTGAATCCATTTCTTCTTGGATTCTCTATTTATTATTATTTATATAAATATTTTTTTTTACAAATGGAGAACATTCAGATTGATCAATGTTTATCATTTAATTCTAGACCGATATCAGATTTAATCATTCTCAACATCATCAAATACATCGACAACAATGTAGATGTAATCTGTTTACTATTGTCATGTAAAGCATTGTACAGGCTAAGGGAAAAGTTTGAAGGGATTTGTAGAGATTTGTACAACAATAAAAGCTATCACTATAACCCAAACTCTACAACTGCCAGTTATCATAGCAATAGTACTATTCCTCCTCTTCCTTCATATCCTCCACTTTTAGTATTCTTTAAACATTTTCAATCATTCTATGACATGGGTTATTATCAAGACAGATTCCCCCTTTCAAAACCACGCAACATTTGTATGAAAGCATTCAAGAATATACTTGTTATTAGTTTACGTCACTGTTTTATAGAGCATTATAGAAACCGTTGTAACATCTGGGATGCCAACATACCAAACATCAATGTTCGAACAGTACATATCGAATCGTTTGCACGTCAGGACGACAACAAGTACATTGTTGAACAAAGCTACTTTCCTCCAAGTGTCAAAGAGTTGGTCATTTACGAACATGTTTATTATGAGGTCAGGTCATGGCCGTCGACACTGACACGTCTGTCATTCTATTTACCACCGCGCGAGGATCCAGACATTCTAGACCAGATTCTCAAGATACTACCACCGTCGTTACTCCATCTCAAGATCAATAATATCGAAACGGACCACCTCTGTGATATCAGTCATCTCACATCTTTGGTCAGTCTCTCTATTAGGAACAAGTACTTTTCCACACCAAAACATGTTCCTGCCAATCGTATTATCCTCCCCACCAATACCACTCTTCAAGATCTCACCTTGATTGGTGTATCAGACATCACCAACGATTTCATTCCACCAAATCTCGAGAGACTCACCGTCAATGAATACCTAAAAATCCATCATTCCTCGCCTACGATACAACTGACACTGCTCCCATCGGCATTAACCTATTTAAAGTTGGAATATTGTTTGATAAAAGGAAGAAATATAGTCATCCCATCATCATCACACTCGATCAAAGAACTTCACCTCAACTTTGGACATGATGAAAGAATAGAAAAAGAGTTGGTACTTGAAGATGGAACTATTCCACATGGTGTTCAAAAACTAGTGTTGTGGTACTATCATGGTCCAGTAACTAGAGATAATATTCCCGACTCGGTTACAGAGCTAACACTCTTGGAGAATATTAAACAAGTACCTCGTACAGCACCATTCATACTTCCACCAAATCTAAAAGTATTAACATGGTCACCTCATAATAGTGTTACAACTGCTGCTGCCGCTGCAGCTACTCAAATACCACCACCACCAACGCTCACCACCATCACTTCAGTTGATTATGCCACTCACCAATCACACATCCATCCTTTTGGTGAAGACATATATCATCCACGACCACCCACCACCTACGTTCCAACATCATTGACTACATTGGCATTAATAATGATTAAACAAGATAAACGAGATATTTTCTCACTCAACAACATTGAAATAATCAACAACAATCAAGACATCCACCAAAACAGTTATGACACCAAACAACTACTTCTTCCATACAACATCACAACATTGACCTGTTGTACGTATGAATGTAAAACTACTAAATGTAGTATCAGAGTGGATGAAATCATCAATCACACCAATGTAATCCATTTAATAATCGATATTTATATATATTATCACAACTTCAACTTTGAAATTCGAAGAGGATTGTCAAATGATAGCGGCGGCGGTACTAGCATTATATTGATTGAAAAAGATACATTGGTTGGAGGAATAGTTCGACTTGAGAAGGACAAACTCAAACAACAACCTTTGTACCTCAATTTGTGTGGGGCTCGTACAGCATGCCATTTATCATCTGTTCCATGGATCAAAAAAACAATGATATGAGAATCATCATCATTGTGATGAGAAATAATAAATAAATAGCCAAACCAAAAAAAAATTATTATAATTATATAATATTTAAATAAATAATTATGAAAATTAATATAATAATGATAGTAATCGGGTGTGTTTAATTTCCAAATAAAAAGATAAATAACAAAGTAATAATTATTTATTATTTATTTATTTAATTATTTTATTTCATTTTCACCTAAAATGTCAAAGCAACAAAAAGAGGTGGATAATAATGACATATGTTCATCATCATTTAATTCTAGACAGATATCAGATTTAATCATTCTCAACATCATCAAATACATCGATAACAATGTAGATGTAATCTGTTTATTGTTGTCATGTAAAGCATTGTACTACAATCTAAGAGAAAAGTTGGACTCGCTATTATGCAGCTTTATCTTTCAAAAAGATACCCATGATAGTAGTTCAAACTATATTCCTTCTTTAAACATGTTGAACCATTATATAATAATAATAATAATAATAATAATAATAATAATAATAATAATAATAATAATAATAATAATAATAATAATAATAATAATAATAATAATAATAATAATAATAATTATAGTGAGGTATACTCCATTCAAACACTACACAACCTCGAGATGAAAGCATTCAACAATATGTTTATTCTTAGTTTCCAACACTGAAGCAGAACTTCAGAGAAAGCATTTTAAAATCAATGACGGGCGATCAAACGAGGACATACCAAACATATCCAATCGAGTCGGACAGAGTACATTCTTGATAAAGAATACTTTTCTCCAAGTGTCATAGAGTTGGTCATCTATGAAAATGCGTCTTTTACGGTCAAGTCATGGCCGTCGACACTGACTCGTCTGTCATTCTATTTACCGCCACCATCCGATCCAGACATTCTAGACCTCATTCTAAAGATAATACCACCTTACTCTATCTCGAAATCAATAATATCCAGCCAACACAACTCTGCGATACTAGTCATCTCACATTGTTGGTCAGTCTCTCCATTATCCAGTCCAACAACAAAATGCCCGTTCCTGCCAATCCTATTATCCTCCCCACCAATACCACTCTTCAAGATCTCACCTTGATTGGTGTATCAGACATCACCAACGACGATTTCATTCCACCAAATCTCGAGAGACTCACCGTCAATGAACATACATCCTCCACGAGACAACTGACACTACTCCCGTCAACATTAACCTATTTGAATGTTGTTGTTTGATAGCAGGAAGCAATGGAGTCATCCCATCGTCGGCCAAAGAGCTTCATCTCAACTTTGGAGAACATGATGTAGACAAAGAGTTGAAACTTGAAGATGGGATTATTCCACATGGTGTTCAAAAACTTGTATTATTGTTATATTATGGCCCAATAACTAGAAACAACATCCCAGATACAGTTACAGAGCTAACAATCTTGGAGAATGTTGAATATTTACCTCGTACAGCACCATTCACACCTCCACCAAATCTACAAGTTTTAACATGGTCACCTATTAATACACTAGCCAACAACAACAACAATATTACCACTGCAGCAGCTTCTCAAATACCACCACCACCAACACTCACCACCATTAATTCAGTCACTCACCAATCCCAACTCTATTCTCGATTGCATGATCACATTGAAAGTGAAATCTATCTTCCTCATCCACCACCAATCACCTATGTTAACATCATTGACCAAATTGGCATTGATGATGATTAAACAACATGAATCCGATATTTTCTCACTCAACAAGATTGAAATAATCAACAACAATCAAGACATCCACCAAAACAGTTATGACACCAAACAACTACTCCTTCCATACAACATCACAACATTGATTTGTTCTTTTGATCGTCGTAAAGGTCAATATAGTATCAGATTGGATGAAATCATCAATCACACAAATGTAATCCATTTAACTATCGAGATATATAATCATTATCACCATTCACTCAACTTTGAAATTCGAAGAGGATTGTCAAATGATAGCGGCGGCGGTACTAGCATTATATTGATTGAAAAAGATACATTGGTTGGAGGAATAGTTCGACTTGACAAACTTAAACAACGACCTTTGTACCTCAATTTGGATAATAAGAAATACAAATTATCATATATTCCATTTGAGAAGTGTACCAAAGATTTGCAAAGTAACAATGATGGTGAATAATGATCCCATTTATGTATGTACAAATATGAATTGGAATGTAGTGAACAGAGAATCTAATAATATCCTACATTAGTGCACCAGAGTCGGTTTTTTGATGTATATGTGCAACAATACTTTCCTCCAAGTATGAATTTCTGTAAATATAATAGTAGACTCGCTCCTAATAAAGAACTGTTTTCATGAAAAAAGAATAAATTATTTGAATTAAAATGGTGATCCTCTTTTTTTTTTTTTTTTTTGCAGCTAGGTTTATGATGAGCTAGTTCATTCAACACATAATTAAAAGAATAACCATCAAGTAAGTAAGTGGTTATAAGAGAGTACTAGTAGATCGTGGTACTAGTATAGTATAGTAGTAGGAATAGTAGGCAGTTTCATTTTGTTAGTTTAAAGTTTACTTCCCTATCTATATATTTATATATATATATCATCCTTGTATTATTATCATCACCCCCTTCCTTATTTATTTTATCTATCTATTATATATAATCTTTTATCCCTTTGTTGTAAATATATTTATTATTATTGTTGTTGATCATTTATTAAATAAATGTCAACTCCAGCACTTCAACACTCTCCGAGTGGAGGAGATCTAAAGTTATTTAGACTCAAGGTCACCATTCTCAAAGGAAAGGGTATTACCGGATCCGATGGTGTTTGTAGTCCTTACCTCAAGGTATCTTGGGGAAACAAAAAGAAGGGTTTCAAAACAAAGGTTGTTGCAAAGTCTTCTGATCCAGAATGGAACCAACAAACTCAATTTGAAATCAAAAGAGAGAAATATCCAACAGATGTAAGTAATCAATTGTATTGTATATCACAGCATATATCTTAATACTTTTTGTTTTCTATACATCTAAAATATTCTATTAGAAACCAGAAATTGAAATTGAAGTCTATGAACACAACAAGTTTTCAGGCGACAAGGAGATTGGAGCCTGTACATATGCACTAGACAACAATCAAATGATTCTTGGTGAAAACAATCATATTACATTACCTGTTGTTTTACATGCTGGCACTAAACATGAATCTAAAGGTGAAATTACTTTAACTATTTCTCCAATTGATTTTGGTCAAGATAAAGCTGGTAAGTAAACCTAAAACAAACCTAAAACAAAAACAAATCTCTATACTTACACTTCATATTTACTTACCGATACATATGTATATATAAAGTTGTTGAGAAACAAAAGCAAATTGAAGAACAAAAGAAAATGGAACAAGTTGAAAAGCAATTTGCAATCTTGGCTGTATGTATACGCACACCTCGTCATCGACAACTATAGTTATTGAAAATATAAAATTATATATTTATATTTATATTTATATTTTTTTTATGATTATTTGAATGATTAGGAACAATTAGCAAATGATGCAAAGTCAAGAGAAGTTTTATTAAAATTGCCATACAAGTCAAAACTTCAACTCATTGAACAACATAAAGATGTATGTTTGTTTTTTTATTATTATTATTTATTATAAATATTAACATACACAAACACTATACTCCATCTTCATCATTCCCTTTTCCTTTTCCTTTTCTTTTTCTCCTATCTCTCTCACTCTTTTTGTAGAAATTATCTAATGAAAAGACACCAGATCATTTTGCAATCAAGTTATTGAAAGAATTAGCTACGATCAAGACTAAAAAGCCAAATCTATCAGCATCGGGATCTCCTTCACAAGGTAGTGATGGGTTGACAATGACTGATCTCAAGGATATTAGTGTTGCTCTTCGTTCACGTGGTCTCGATTGGATCAAGCAGTTCCACAAGCTCGAAGCTACTGCCCGTTTGATCGAGTTGCTAGGTCTTCTCAACAAACAACTACCATCGTCTGAAGAGAACCTTCAAAAGCAATTGGAATGTTTACATTGCATCAAAAATATTATGAACAACAAGATTGGTATTTCTTATGTACTCAGTGTTAAAGATTCCCCAAATGTTATTGGTTTATGTTTAGGTTCATCAAATGTAAGAATAGAATAGAATAGTTACTTTATAAAACATTCCCTTACACTTATTTGTTTATCTTTTTTTTAGGAAAAAATCAATGAATTAGCTATTGGACTTTTAAATGCTATTTGTTTCTCTGTTGCCAATGGTCACAAGTATGTACATACATCAAAGATGATGATGTCTTGATAGTTATTCTAATTATGATTTTGTTTTAATTTTTTAGGATGATTATTGAAGTAATGAATATTAACAAAATTGAAAAGAAAGAAACTAGAAGATTTGTATCATTGGTTGATGCATTAAAGAATAATACAAATGCAGGCAAAAAAGAGTCGAGAGAGTCGTTGAGACTAAAGTCGACTTATTTGTCTTTTATCAACACGATTGTAAATAGTCCACCCGAAATTGATTTGCGTCTTTCGTTGCGTCAAGAATTTTCGTGGTTGGGAATCAAGGAGATTCTCGACGAGTTGGGCAACTATGAGTATGATGATTCGCCAGAGCTCGATACTCAGATTACTGTGTACCAAGAAGAAGAGAGCAAGGATAACAAGGAAATGTCGGACCGATTCAACGAGTTCCCAGGACTCAACCTCGCCAACATTGACGATGTTATCAAGACGCTTATGGAGCGCATCAAGCCTATTGGGTTGGTCGACTCGTTCCGTGAGATTGTCAAGGATCTGTTGTTGATGCCCAGCGGCGAGGGACTTGGTTTGCGTACCTGGATCATCGCTTCGCGTGTCATCAAGCAGATCTCGTTGCGTGACAAGAACGTCGGTGTCGATGACGATATTATCGTGCCACTCGACAACCTGTTGTTGACGTGCGAGCAAGAGGCCAAGGAGTTGCCACTCAAGGCCAAGATTGACGAGCTCGCCAAGGGTCAGACCGACCTCAACAAGAAGCTCAATGCCCAGGAACTCGAGCTCAAGGAAAAGAACGATATCATCAAAAAGCACGAGGAAAGTGCTGGCAAGCAGATGGAAGAGTTGGCCGGCAAGCTCAAGTCCAAGGACGACCAGGTGCAGCAGCTGCTCGAGCAGATCGCCCAACTCAAGTTGTCGGGCGCGTCGCCAGACAAGTCCACTCCAGCTGGCAGCTCCGCACCCGCTCCACCTGCTCCACCTGCACCCCCTGCACCACCTATGGGCGGTCCACCACCCCCACCACCTCCTCCACCCCCAGGAGGCGGCGGTCCACCCCCTCCACCACCTCCTCCACCTCCAGGCGGCGGTCCACCACCCCCACCACCACCTCCAGGCAGCGGACCACCACCTCCACCACCTCCTCCAGGCGGCGGACCCCCAGGTCCACCTCCCCCACCTGGCATGGGCGGACCCCCACCACCTCCCGGTGCATTTGGCAAAAAGGCAGCTGCACCTGCCAGAAAGCAGATCCCACTCCCTGCACTCAAGATGAAGGGTTTGCAATGGGTGTCTTTGAACGACAAAAAGATCACCGGTACCATCTTTTCAAAGTTCTCGGTCGACTCTAGCAAGGACATTAACCTCGACTACAAGGACATTGAAGATGTGTTCCAAGCCAAGGTCATTGAGAAAAAGGAGAGTACCGCACCCAAGAAATCGGGTCCAGTGCAAATCATCGACCCCAAGACCTCGCAAAACTTGTCCATCTTTTTGTCACAGTTCAAGGGCAAGACCTACGACGACATTTGCAAGGCCATCTTGACAGGCGACGAAAAGATGTTCCAATCCAACCATATTGACGCCTTGATCACTTTCCTCCCCTCTGAAGACGACATTACCAACATTAACGAGTTCCTCAAGGAGGACAAGGACAATGCTGGCAAGCTCGGTCCCGCAGAACAATTCTCGCTCAAGATCAATGCCGTACCACAAGTCAAGCAACGTTTGCAATGTATGAAGTTCAAGTATGCCTACGACCCCAAAAAGACAGACATTAAACTCGACATTGAAAACTTCTCACTCGGTACCAAAGAGTTGCACGAGTCTACCAAGGTGCCCAAGATCCTCGAAGTCGTACTCATCCTCGGTAACTTTATCAATGGAGGTACTGCTCGTGGTAACGCCTATGGTTTCAAGCTCAACACCATCACCAAGCTCGGAGACACCAAATCAACCGACAACAAGAGCTCACTCGTCCACTATTTGTCACGTGTCCTTCAAAAGGACTTCCCAGCCCTCACCAACTTTGCCTCTGAACTCACTCACATTGAGACTGCCTCCAAGATCTCATTCCCCAACACCATGTCTGAGATTGCTACATTGCGCAAGGACTTTTTGCAAACCCAAGTAACCGTCGAGAACCTCGTTCAAGCCGGCGAAGAAGATCAGTTCAAGGCCAAGTTTGACGAGTTTATCAAGCAAGCCTCTGACGATATCGACCAAATCACAACCAAGTCTGCTCAAATGGAGACTGATTTCAAGTCATTGGCCACCTTTTATGGTGAAGATGCCAAGATTGATCCATCGGAATTCTTCCAAATGTTTGTAAAGTTTATGGATTCTTATGACAAATCGGCCAAGGAAAACGAAGCCAACGCTGCCAACATGGAAAAGATTGCAAAGAGAGAAGCTGCCAAGAAGCTCAAGGAAGAAGAAGATGCCAAAAAGAAATTGGCTGCCGAAGAAAGAAAGAAAAAGGGTCAAGAAGAAGCTGCCATGCCAGAAGCTGTCGTTGATGACCTTCTCAACACTATCGCATCTGGTGATGCCTTTAAAAATAGACGTAGACAAAGAGTTGCAAAACCAACTGCTGATGTTGATTTAGATAATATTGAAATTTAAATAGAAAAAAAACAAATAAATAAAATTATTTAATATAATTGTACAACATAAGAAAAAGTAATTGATTTTTAAATTGTTTTTGATTTTATTTTATTTATTTCCGTTTCTTTTTTGATTTTGGTTGGGAATCGTTTAAATAATTAATAATAATAACACAATAAATATTATTATTATTATTATTATTATACTCGGGTGTTATTATTTGTTATTTGTTTTGATTAATGAATATTTCCATGAGCTCCACGTGATAATGATTGATGAATATTATTGACCAATCCACCAGTTAGAGCAGGACTGTTGATTGAAGTTGGATGGTTGATGACAATGGTGGGTGATGCTGTGTTATAGGTGCCTGCAGTGATGAGGCCGTTTGGGTGTTCTTGTGGATTGAGATTTAAATTGTACAACAATTGAGCCAACCATCGTTTGGTTAGATCCTTTTTCATCTTTCAAATGTGCACTAAAGGTACCATCTTGTAATGCTATTGGTAAATTTTGTCTTAGGAATTCTCTTGATCTAGAGAAATAAATAAATAAATAAATATTAATATTTAAATAATCATCTTTGATTTGCTTGATTTTGTTGTTGTTTGATATTTGATAATTACTTTGGATTGTCACATAGACGTAAATAACATCTGATGACATGTTTTAATAATCTTGGTGATGGCTGTTCGATCAATGAAGCAAGCATGTTTGATAATACAAGTAAAAATGCTAGGATTCTTTCATTCTTTGCGCATATATACGACAATCCCATGTCGTCTAATAATATCTTTTGTACAATGACAGTGGCCACGGTTTTAGACAACTCTGATCCAGTCTCCATAATACGTACACACAATGTCATAATCTCTGTTGACAATAAAAAGTCAATCACTGTACTATCATCAATCTAAAAATTAATATGTAAAAGTATATAAGTATATGATTCTATGTACAGAATCGTCAATATGAACATACTTTTACAAGAGCACCAATAACACCAAGACTTGTTAATCTTAGGTATTCAAATGGTCTATTTTTACTTGAAGTGTTTAAAAATGGATATAGAAACAATGGTATATGAGCTAAACAAATAAAAGATATGATGGTGGTGGTAATTAATTAAAAATAGATTCTACAGTATACTTGTCAGTTGATCATAAGTTGATCATCATCGTCATATCACATACAATGAAGGAAAAATGTTCTAGTATCTGGATGAGATGCTACACATTGTAATAATGCAAGTGCATTACAAACTCTATTCGAAGGTAATGCTTTTAATTTTGGTGGTGATAGCAGTGGATATATAGATACAATCTCTTGAAGTAGGGCTGCAATCGTCCCAAATGAATTCAATAGTATGGGTGCGAGATCAGGAACGCTTTCACGTTTCTTTGAGAGATCGACTAAAGCATTCTCTCTCTTTTCAGGTATAGTCAGATCCTTGACCAATTGATAGATGTGGTGCATCGATTCTTTATCCAATATCGTTGGTCCCATACCTCCACCACCTCCTTGATTCATCATGCCTTGTACATTTGACACTATATAATACGATAATCATTAAATTATTAACTTGTTAATTGTTTGTTGATATGATGATTGATTGATTGATGATCTATCAGCATATGATGATGATCACCATCATACAATTGGTCCAATTACATACTGTAGTCATTAACATCATTATGTGTTGACATTATATTATTATTATTATTAAGTGCTATCGTTTGTTTCTGTTGTTATCGCTGTTATTATTATTATTATTATTATTATTATTGATTATCTTAGATCTATCTACTTTTGTGTTGTTCATATATACTCAATTTTGAAAATAAAGTAGCCGCATTGTGCCCCACATCACAAACAATTGTTTTTGATTTTATTTTTTGCAAGATTAAGATTATATATAGTATAATATAATATATAATAGTACAATGTAATGTTGATTGTATTAAATACAGTGATAGATACAAAGGTGATATATATATAGATAAATATATCTTAAGATCAGATGTCGTCAGCCCGATAATTTAAATTATTATATTAAATCAAACTAAACCGTTAATCTCAATGCATTATACTGTATTATACTGTTTATTATTCTAAAGTTAACACATTATATAATATATTGTACTACTATAGTATTCAATATTATACAATAATCAATATTAATTAAATGTATTTTGGTTGTTATTTTTGAAAAAACGACAAACGAAGAAACTGAATGCTTTGTGTGTGCAGCGCTGTCAAAACTACTACTATTTTTGTTTTATTCATTATTTATTCTTTATTCGTCTTTTCAACAAAGATTATTTTACTTACTGTCAAAGTTTTATTACATTCTAGTAGTTGACTATTTAAATCATTCATCATCACCATTTAGTTTATTTATTATTCACATCAACACACCAACTATATATAACATTAGATAATAATAACAATACAATCTATTTAACAAACCAAGAAGAAAGAAAGATACTATATATATATGAAAAATGAATCATAAAAGAAAGAATAGAGAAGAAAGTCAAGAAGAAGAATATAATCCAGAACAACCAGAAATAGCGAAAAAGAAGATGGGAGGAGAACAACAAGAGATTAAAAACATAGCAGAGGAATCTGATAAAGACCCAAGCATCAATATCAATGGCAAACCATTTACAAATAGATACTACGAGATTTTAAAGGGAAGAAAGCAATTGCCCGTCTATGAACAACGTGACGATTTCATCAACAAACTACTCAACAATCAAGTGATCGTGTTGGTTGGTGAAACTGGTTCGGGAAAGACGACACAGATCCCACAGTTTGTACTCGAGTCGGGCCTCATCAAGGAGGGTACGATGGTGGCTGTCACTCAACCACGTAGAGTGGCTGCCATTTCGGTGGCTACTCGTGTCGCCGAGGAAATGGATGTTAAGTTGGGCGAGGAAGTTGGTTACTCGGTGCGTTTCGAGGAGAGCACCAGCGACAAGACACTGATGAAGTACATGACGGATGGTATGTTGCTAAGAGAGTCGATTCGCGATCCGCTGATGAAGCGATACAGCGTGATTGTGTTGGATGAAGCTCACGAACGTACTCTTGCCACCGATATCTTGTTTGGCCTGATCAAGGAGATTCTCAAGAAGCGTAGTGACCTCAAGGTCGTGGTCATGTCTGCCACACTCGATGCTGGCAAGTTCCAAAAATACTTTTTAAACGCACCTCTGATGAAGGTGCCCGGTCGTTTACATCCGGTCGAGATCTACTACACACAAGAGCCTGAGCGCGACTATCTCGAGGCTGCCGTACGCACGGTGCTAACCATCCACGCTGAAGAGCCCGAAGGTGATATCCTGGTGTTTTTGACGGGTGAGGAAGAGATTGAAGAGACGTGTCAGCGTCTGCAGACCGAGTCGCGAAACGCCAAGCTCAAGCCACTCGTCGTCCTACCGCTCTACTCGTCGCTACCCATGCAACAACAGAGTCGTATCTTCCAGCCATTCCCCAACCGTAAGGTCATCCTTTCGACCAATATTGCCGAGACATCCGTCACGATCGACGGTGTCGTCTATGTGGTCGATCCAGGCTTCTCCAAGCAAAAGACGTACAACCCACGTTCGCGTGTCGAGTCGTTGCTCGTGACCAACATCTCGCAGGCTTCGGCCAAGCAGCGTGCCGGTCGTGCCGGTCGTACCAGACCCGGAAAGTGCTTCCGTCTCTACACCGAGCACGACTTTAAAAAAGAGTTGATTGCACAGACCTACCCCGAGGTGCTGCGTTCCAACTTGTCGACCGTCATCCTCCAACTCAAGCGTCTCGGCGTCGACGATCTCGTCCACTTTGACTGGATGGATCCACCCGCCCCCGAAACACTCATGCGTGCACTCGAAGTATTGCATTACCTCGGCGCACTCAGTGACGAGGGTGATCTCACCAAAGACGGTGAAATGATGGCTGAATTCCCACTCGATCCCCAGCTCTCCAAGATGCTCGTCATCTCACCATCATACGGCTGCTCCAACGAGATGCTGTCCATCGCAGCCATGCTCTCCGTCCCACCCGTCTTCCAACGCCCCCGTGAAGCCCGTCGTGAGGCCGACGAGGCCAAGAAGCAGTTTGACCACGTTGAAGGCGACCATTTGGCGTTGCTCAACGTCTACCACGCCTACAAGCAAAGCGGCAGCGACCGCAAGTGGTGTTACGACAACTTTTTGAATAACCGTGCCCTCGAACAGGCCAGCAGCGTGCGTAACCAGCTCGCTAACCTCATGAACAAGTTCAAGCTCAACCTCGTCTCGAATGACTCGGCCAACAGCCACCTCTACTACCAAAATATCCGAAAGTGCGTTGTTGCCGGTTTCTTTATGCAAATGGCCAAGATCGAGAAAAAGAACCAGTACTACACCCTTGGTGACGATGCACCCGTCATTTTCCATCCATCCACCGGTTTAATCCGTCGTCCCGAGTGGGTCGTCTACAGCGAGCTCGTCCTCACCTCCACCTCTTACATTCGTTGTGTCACTGACGCTCGTATCGAATGGATCTATGAAATCGCACCTCACTACCTAGAATCACTCACCGAAGATACCACCCCACCAAAATCAAGAGCCGTCATTTCAAGATTCCTTTCAAGTAAAAAACCTCAACAACCTCAAAAGCGAAGATAAACAGAATAATATATTAATAATAATAAAAAGAAACAAATAACTTAATATATTTAATTATATTAATTTTATAACAAAGTTTTTTTTTACAATTTATTCGTTATTATTATTATCATTATTATTATTATTTTGTTGTTGTTGAGGGTTTGCCAAGACATCCATTTCTATTGGGGGTTCATTATTTGGTGGTCTGTTGCTTGGGAGTCGCTTCAAGAATATAATGACCGCTATTACTATAATAGTGAATAGTGCAACTGATACAACTCCACACTCGTCATATTCAACTGAATCTGATCTTGAATGGAATATGACTTGTAGAGTGCTGAATGGCGATGACCATACCCAATCAATGATTTTAATTGTATATTTGAGAGAATTTGATGCCATTTGCATATCTTCACCGGCAAAGGTATTGATCGTGGTATTTGGGAATTGACCAATTGTGACTTGGAACCGAGTCGATTGATTGTTGGTTGTACCATAGAATATTGATTCATTAAAAGATGTCAGATTATCTAGTGTTTGATTGTCTTGTGTCCAAGATACTACATCCATCGACATTGATCGAATGATTGAGTTGTCGTGGTCAATCTCTCGAATGAATTGAATTCCAGTGGTAAAATTGACAACAACACCGGTAATGGTTTGGTTGGTTGATAGAGTTGATGTTGTAACATTGAAAACTGTTGTGTTGAGTAGTCGATATCACATCACCAATGATGAACAATCCAAATCGGGGTCATAACCAATATCACATTCGCAACTTCCAATGAGATAGTTGCACCGACCTCTATTATTACAGTCACCAGTGCATTGTGCCAGAGGTAATGTTGTACTCTTTTCAGCCACTCTGATCATGATTGATGTATCAGATACATGATTCGAAAGACCACCATCCAATAAGCAAGTCATTTGTCGATAACTGTTTCCAATAAATCTTGGTGATTTGCATAGAGTGATATTGGTGTCTTTTTCATTGAAGAATATCAAAACATATGAATGATCTTTTCCAAAATGATTACCTTTGATTGTAATGAGCGATGCTTGTCCAAATTGAATATTGGTAACACTATCAATGACTGGTGTATCGGTTGTATAAAATGTAATCAATGGAGTGTAATACTTTACATTTTTAATGTTGGATGAGACTGTTCGATCATAAATATTATAGAGACTGTTGTTTGATACACCTTGCCAAAATCTAAATTCTTCATATCCAATTATATCCAATGATTGATTAAAACATTGATACATCTTAGATTCAAATTCACCAATATATGGAGCATTTGGAGTTGCACCCATTGTTTCATTGTCAATCATTAATTGCTTGACTCTCGAATATTCTCCACAAAATAGAATAGTTGAATAAAATCTTTCACTACAGTCTATAGTTGAAAAAGAGTTAATTAAATTTGAATTCATACTACTGTATATATAATCATATTATTTAAATAAAGAATACATACACATAAGAGGTTTATAGGTTTGAGTATAAATATCATCAACTGAAATTGAAATCGGAAGGAGTTTGGTATCTCCAACAAGAGATGATCCGAGGTGACAAATAATTTGAGTTGATGTTGCAGACTTAAAATTACATTTAATATTTGATGGTGAGACATTGATAGATACTCGATTGTTGGTGTCATCACCAAAGTTATCACCAATCAGTTTAACCAACCCATAAATGGTGGATATGGTTGCCATGCATGGGTTGTAATTCACATATTGCAGTATTAGCTAGGTCATTTTAACCATTATCATTATTAAAATTCCATTTCGGTCATTTGATGTAAATAAATTGGTCTTCAGCAACAGGAGTAGATGGTTCACCTGCATCGAATGGACAATATCCTTTAATAAAAACATAAAATAAAATGATTAATACAATTAATTAATTTTCAAAAGAGTTGATCTATTAAATAGACATACCAAAACATTGACCAGTATACATATTAAATAGTGGTTGATTCATTCCTGGTCCAGTTGAATAGGAATAGCAACCATTTCCTCGTATGTCTCTACCAGAGACACATATTGTAGGTTGTACCCAATTGGCCTTAATAAAAATTCTATTCTTGTTTTGATTCAATTGTGGCAAGATATGATGTAAAAGTACCAAACTTTCTTCCATAAGCCAAACATGGCCTTTGTAATTGTAGAAGAAGATTATCCTATCTATCCGTGACCATTCCCTCCTTTTGAGATTGGCCAAACCTCTGTTTTGTTTTCATATTGACAATGAACAGGAGTAATATAAAACAATAAAAGCAATAAAACAGCTACTAGTACCATTAAATGTGACATTTTGTGATTATCTCTTTTCTTTTATGATTGTCAAACTATACATTAATGAGAAGAGGTAGAATGAGGATAGGTGTAGTCATATTATTTATACTATAAGTAAAATCACTTTACTGTAACACCAAATCGATAGAGAGTAGCGTCCCAGTGCGCACGTGCAGTGTGGAATCTTCAAGCATCGTGCGATATGAAAAGTTGGGTGAGGTATGGTTGTGCACATTTTATTAATTAATAATAGAATTAAATATGATAGATCTATAACTGAATTTAGGTAAGGTGTTTCTGAATAAAGACAAAAACAGCAATTTCACTTCCATCTTCATATTTACGAATTTCCATGAGTGTCTTGGAAGGAAGGAGTTGCATGATAGTGTTTCCGTGGTTGAATTCAATTGATTTAAAAAACACTACTTTTCCATCCTTTAACTTTATTCCTCCCGTAAAAATTTCGATTTTTTGTAATAAAATATGTTTATTGTTAAGCAATTTTGAAGTTCTGGTAATGATAATCAGAAAAGTGACCTACGGCAATCGGTATATTACAGATTGAACACCATGTGTTGGTTGAAGTTGTGCAATTGGAATTACAACGGCACCTGTTTTTTGAAGATTTTTGAATTGGGAGGTGCCATTTTTTTGAAGAGGTGGGTTGGTTTGGAGTCTTTGGGACTCGTGATCGAATGATAGAATGAGCAGAAAGTTGTTCAGATAGTCCCTCTATGTAGTCAAGATAAGTAATCTCTTTTGTTTCATTAAAAATGACCCAGGAATTGACAACGGCACAGTAAAATTGGTAAATGAAGACGGGATACCACCAACGGAGAGATTTTTTTCTATTCAGGTATGTTGATACCAATTTGTTGTGTCTATCGACGTGACCCATATTAGATCGATACCAAGTGAGTTCTGTAGGTAGTAGTGATGATTCGGGCTCTTTTCTTCTTTTCCTTGTGTTGATCATCTCTTCTTGGTTGACCACCTTACTTGAAATGAGGTTGAATGTTTTACTATCTTCTATCCTCCAAAAACCAAGTAAATTGTTTTTGAATCTAACAAAGTACTTTCCCTTGTCAAATATCTTCTCGGCTATCGATTGGCGTGGAAGATTCTTTGCATTGTTTCTAATTGTTCCTGTAGCATATATTCCACGGTTTTCATATAAAATTTCGAATAATCGTGTCGAAGAGTAGTAATTGTCCATGAAGAGGTGGAAGGGATGGTTTTTAGGGAGGTCTTTGACTAGTGCAAGGATTACTTGCTCTCCTATTGTAGAATCCTTTTTTGTAGTTGAATCTTTGCCTGAGTAAATATCTATACAGTAAAGGTACCCTGAACTGTCAACCAATTTCCATACTCTGAAACCCCATTTGACACCCTTGTCTGGTAGATATTGAATGGATAAATGTCTATGCCTTGCCGCTATCATATCCTCGTCCGCAGCCAAGTGTTCATTTGGGTTCCACCATCTTTTAAAATTGTTATTTAGTTGATCCATAAACTGCCTGACTTTGAAAAATTTATCACTATTTGCTTTATTGTTGTCAGACAGGTGGAGAACCGCTCGAACGGCTTGAAATTGGTTCCTTGACATCATATTTATTATAGGTTGGTACCCTTTACCATCGGAATGCCAATAATCTGCAATTGAAGGCATGTCAACCCTTCCCATTTCGAGTGTAATTGAGAAAAAAGTGTTGAGTATTTCCTTGGTCATGTAGGAATGAAAAAGACTCTTGAAAGCTTTATCCAAGCCTTTTTGCTTCATATATATATTGGTCTGATCGATTATGAGCTGATAGATACTTTCATCAAACATTTTGGAAAAAGTTTGAATGATCGATGTAGGTTTGTTCTTTCCACAATAACCCGCCTGATAATTTTTGAATGTTTTTGTATGAATAGAAAATCCTATCTTTACCCAATCGTTCTCTGAACTATCTCCACCTGTCAAAATAGCGTCTATTAGGTCACTTTTTTTCCCCTTTGCACTAATATGTAACTTTACCATGATTTGCTTCAACTTTTCCACATTCATATCCTGTAACATCTCTAAAGTATACTCTATTTATCCAATTTAAATAGGTTAGATTTGTTTGCAACCATTCAAATGCTATTAATATCTTACCTTCCCTGCCCTCTTCCATTTCGACAATTGATTCCCCTATCTCTTCCTCTCCATCTGATAGATTTTCGTTGATCTCTACCTCTTTTTGACCCTTATTTTTTGATGGTTTGGCCATGATAATGTTAATCTCTTTTTAAATCCAAATCTAATAATTAATATATCATTTAAAAGTACTCGTTGAGACGAAGATGATATTGCCAACCATTTTTTTAAAAAATTCGAATTCTTTTTTATTTTTACTCTGCAATTCTAACTACCAACCGATGAACCAACACCAATCTTTAAAGGAATTTTTATTTTACTCGAATGTCATCAATTGGACTCGTCATATCGAAGGTCCGGTCCAGCAACATACCATCAATCAGCAATTTTGACCCTCTGACCGGTGTTGCTCCCTAGAACTCGAACTTTGTCAAAATTGAATCTCTGATAATAATTCAAACAAGGTTACCAATTACACATAGGCTGCAATATTGTCCCAAAGTTGGTTCATCTAAACAAATTATCACTTCATTATCTTCATCTCACGCTCCTACTATGCTAAAAATCTCACCCTAAAATCACGACACCCTATTTTTTACCTCTCTCAGCACAAAGCATCACCATACTACTTTTTTTTAATAAAATCCTATTTTTTTATTTAGAATGATAGAGCTCGACGAGATTGATCTATCCATGCTACTATCATCTTATAAAACCTAATTCTCTTTTATAAAAATCATAAAAACATGTAAAAAACTCCACGGGAGGCTCAGAGTTAAGTTTGTATTGGTAGATTCAAATTTGACTTTATCAACGGTAACAATGTGTACCTCTGCAGTGGTTTTACCTCCCAATACATGAGTAGCTATGTATGTAAAAAAAAGAATATATAAATAAATAAATAAATAAATAAATAAATAAATAAATAAATAAATAAATAAATAAATAAATAAATAAATAAATAATAAATGATAAACTTGAACGGTCAAGAAATGTTTTGTTACTTGCTTTTTCCAAGGCATAATACTTCATCTTCATTTTGATCATCCGATTCAAGTCTCAACAATCCATCCCTTTCTTCCCTTTCTGACTCTGACATTCTTGAAATTAAATGAAAACAATTATAACTTACTCTTCTAATAGTGAGTAAGTAATTAGACTTTTTAAAATGGTTGTTTATTTTTTAACCATCATATCATCATGGCCAAAAAGAAATAAAAAAAATATTTGGCAATTTACAAATTGTTTGTTGTTGCACATGTGGTGCGTCTTGGAACAAAGATTAATCTCCACTGCGAATAACTGGTGGTTGGTTGTATGGACTACAGGTTCATTCTGTTTCCACATCTCACCAGTGTACGCAAAGTCATCCTTTTGACCAAGCAAGGGTTTGGTATGTCCGGCCCGTACACAAAACAGTATCTTCAACCACCAGTTATTCACAGTCTCAGAGGAAGAGGAGGGTAGTGGTGTTGCACTCCTCGAGATCTACCTCGAAGTTGGAATAGCCGACGATAGACTGTTGGAGGACATAGAAAAGCTCCACGTGCCTGCCACTCAGCCGCTTCAATTGGTTCTAATTCACCCAAAATGATTAATATAATTTCAAAAGAGTTAATCTATCAAATAGACATACCCCAACATTGACCAGTATACATATTAAAAAGTGTTTAATTGGTTCCTGGTCACCACTTGAATAAGAATAATTCTTTACCATTTCCTCCAATGTCTCTACCAGAGACCCATATGCTTGCTTATTGTTTTTAATAGATTAATGTATATATATATATATGCCTGAAATTCAATTTATTAATTTATTATTATTATTATTTACAATTTAGAAATGTTTGGTTAATCAATTTGATAACCTTGTTTGGGAGGTGGATAAGGAGTTGGAGTTGTTTGGAATTGTTGTTGTTGTTGTTGTTGTTGGGGAGGAGGAGCACTTGCACCTGGATACATTAATGGTTGGGGATAGTATGGTACTGTATTGACTGGTACTTGGTTTGGAGAATATGCTACAACAGATGGTACATATGAATCGACAGAATAGTTGGTAGTATTATTATTATTATTGAGTACAGTACTATTGACATAATTAATGACCAAATGATAAATAGTTCCTTGTTTATTGATTTCATAAACTGTTCCACGTGCCATTGCTCTTGGATCTTGATTCTCTCTATTTACCAATCTAATACAACTTTTATGAAACTATATAGAAAGAAATAGAAAAATATTATTATTATTATTAATATTGAATTAAAAAAGTTATTTTCCTTGTTTCTATCTATCTATATATATACCTTTCTTGATTTAGCTTCAGGTACAATCATTTGAATTAAAAAACCTCCAATTGTAAATACTATTAGAGGAATGTACCAGTAGAATGAATTGGCTCTAAAAGAGAACCGAATGATTAAGATATAGGCAACGCAGACAATGAGGAATGAAAAGAGGATCATCTTCCGCTTGGCCATACTAAAGTGATATTTTGCACCCTTTTCATTGATCTTGGATGTGATGTGCGTGTATTGGTGTTCGTCGACAAACAATTTTATATCTTGTGGGCATGACTGTCCAAACATTTGATTGTGTGGACCTGCTCCTTGTTGTTCAATATTTTTGATCATCTTTAAATTATATTATTATTATTATTATTATTGTCTGTTGTTGATCTCGAGATCTATCTAGATTAATCTATTTATTGTCTTGTGATGGATGATCTGGTACTAATTAAAAATAACCCGAAAATAATTATAAATTATATATTATTATTATTATTACTAATTATAACTACTTTACAATCATAAAATGAATGAATGAATAATTATTATTACTATTATTATTATTATATGTAAATATGAATTGTACAATTAAAGAGGGTGTTCCCATTCGTTCACTCTGTTGTTATTCTTTCTTGCAAACGTAAGTAGCAAAAGAAAAGATATTAATACTTTTTAATTTAAATAAAGGTGACGAAAACTGAAGTTTCACACAAAACGGTGTGCAGTTGGTTCTTTACAACCCCCCAAAATCGATGGTGATTTTTGATACTAAACATCACTCTGTGCTACAATATTTTGACTGTTGTCAAAAACTAAAGTGCTCTCTCTACAACTATAATTCAGTGGTTCTCTAAACAAAGTAGAGTAGAGTAGAGTATAGTATAGTTTATTTGTAGTCTCGAGAGAGGGCAATAATAATAAAATAAAAAACATGAGGTGCCCTTTTCCAAAGTCTTTCATGTTTTTTTTTGAATCATTCATTCATTCTTCTTTTAAAATTCCTTATTGATTTACCAATTTTGCAAACAATAACAAACTATCAGATTAGAACATCAGATGTAGAACAGTACTATTAGTATCTTTCTTTACAACAATAACAACTATTTATATATTTATATATATCTATGTATATGTAAAGAGTCAAAATGATAAAGACAACATTTAAAGATTTAATTCGAAATAAATTGATATTGAGGAGAATCATAGATCATGTGAATATCATTGATATGGTGATGAATCCACCATCACTGGGATGGCTTGTCAAGCAGGGTGGAATAGCAACACCAATCATTCAAGAGTACAAGAGTAGAGTGGCTGGACGACACACAAAACATAGACAAAGAAAAGTGGTTCAGAGAGTACAGAGACAAGAAATCAATCGTATCTTTATATCTTGTTACTTTGAAGGAAACGTGTTTCCAGAGTCTTATGGAAGATTGTTAAGATTGGCAGTCAAGTATCACAACTATGAAGTGTTGGAACGCTTGATTGGATGGATGCGATATGTTGGAGACTTTAAAAAAAATTCTGGGTACTATGGTCTGACCAACCCATGTATCTTTATTGATACCAAGTCGTCATCTGCATCATCTGCAGCGTCTGCATCATGGTCTTCGACGAAACGGTATCATTCCTACGACCCGACCATCCACCATATCAACTATGACACGTTGTTTGATTTGTTTGGGTGTCTCTCTCGAGAACTCAGAAGCTTTGGTCAGTACGACTGGGCAGTTCAAAGTTGGATTGAAACAGCCGTTCAGGTAGGCAACCTGGTAGAGTTGAAAAAGGCAATCGAGAACGTTACCAGTGCACCTTACCAAATAAAAGGAATCATCGGAACGATATCCTCATACACAATGTCCCATCCAAACTTTACACAAATATTCAAAGTGTGTTGTAACAATGCAGTGTTGCATCGCAAGGCTGGGTATCTCCCAGACACAGCTGCACCTATCCGACACTATTCATTTGCTTCGTTTTACGATAGCGCGTCTCATAACATGCTCGCATACCACAAGCAGGCTACTTTATGCGACTTTGACACATTCATGGATATTGTCAATATCAAGGCCGTGTCACAGCGGTATGTCAGTAGATTGTTCCAGACCGAGGCATCAGCCTCTCCATCAGCAGCAGCAGAGGGTACACTTGGATTGGATAGTGATATGGCCAATATTTTAAAGAGGACTGTGCCACTCGAGAACAAAAAAGACAAAAAGTGGCATCTCCAAACAATCCATCCTAGTCGTCTCACGATATCCTCTATCGACAAGTTTATGGACCCTGACAATGAGTTCAAGGTGAAAGTATCGGTAGATGCAATGATCACGAGTATCATGATGACCCAACAAGATGAAGATGACCAACATCGGTTCTTTGGCTCAAACAATACAAGTCAACATGAACTCTTGACTCATGTACTATCAACTTATGGATCACAAATACAATCATTTGAGAGGTCGGTATTAGCATCAAAGGATCGATTGGATATTGTAAAAGAGATATTAGAGGTGTCCCCAAGTCATCTAAAAATGTCTCTTTACACACTCAAATATTACATTGATTCAAAAAAGGTTTCAAATGCATTGATTAGATTACTCTTCTCGATGGATAGGATAGACGTGACAACCAAGGGATACTATCTTTTTGATTTAATTGCAAGTGTTGGATCGGTTGATTTGTTGGATTATGTATATCAAAAGACTATTACCTCCTCCTCGACTACTTCAACCACTTTACTTTATAGTCACTTGACATTGGCAAATGCATGTTTAACAGGATCATTAGAGTTGGTGGAATATATTGTGTCGGCAGGCTTGTACATTGATCCAAAGTGCTCAACCAACAATTTCAAGAAATCAATTGCAACCAATCTTTGTGGTGGTGGCAGTGACGATAAACAAGATGAAAGATTAAATATTCTTTTGTACCTAGAGACCAAGTCTATTTTAAAGATTATGGAAAGTCAAGATATATTTAATGTTGCAATTTGCCAAGCATCAAAATACAATCAATTACCAATTGTCACACATCTCTGTAAAAAGGCTGATCGATCGATTGGACCTTGTATATACATTCCAACGAAAATAGTCAGTTTTGCAGCCACCTATATACAACAAGTTAATAACCCTCTGATTCACAAAGTCTCTCGATCCAACCTCAAAACATTGACCTATATATTACAGAGTAATTTCAAATTGACAGGCAACCCAAAACACCCCTCATATGCCCATACCAACGAATACAACCATGCAGCCAACAAACTATTATCATCCCACAACTATGACACTCTGGATATATTAATTGCCAAAGAACACAAAACCATCTCTATCTGTTTGTTTTCTCTCATCGCTTCACTCCGCGACAACAACACTAGAGTCACAGACTACTACAAATACCTTCGTACAACAAGATGGAACAATCAGCGAAACTATGTTGATTATTTTGAACGTCGATATGGATTTATGGTATACAATCCAAATTATTAAATAAAAATTATATAAATTAAATAAATAATTAAATAATTAAATAAATAATTTAACTTATTAAATAATTTAATTTATTATTATTTGTTTGTTACATATACAATTTTGTTTGTTTTGAAATTACACATTTATATATATATTTATATTTATATTTATATAATTTGTTAGTTTTTGTTTTTCTTTTTTTTAAAATCCATAACATTCACCTTTATCATTTTGAGCAATGATAGTTGATGGTATTTCACCTAATCTTAGATCCAATTCAGTTATATCGCTTCTAGTGTTGACACTATAGATGGTTACAATCTTTTGTTTGAGTGCATTGGATAGATGATCGAGGATATTGGCCAGAGTTGGTTGACCGACGACATTGACGTGTTTCAAGGTACTTGGATTTTCGTGTGTGAGTACATAGAAATCGTAGCTACCTCTTTTTTGCAAGTCTTCTTCGGTAATGATACCGACCTGCTTGGCAAGTGCGATCTTTTCGGGGTCACCTTGTTCAATGATACTCAACTTGGCGAGATCTACCAAGCTCTTTGGTTTCTCACCGGTTCTACCCGATTCACCAGTCAACCAATGATATCTAGTTTCATTGTTTTGAGTAAATTCTCCAGTTTGTAAATCAATACAAACATTTCGTTCAATGTACAAACCACAACCTTCAATTGAAATATTTTCCGTAAAATAATCTTCTCCTCCACTTCCTCCAGTTGAATATGATGTAATCCTAAAATTAATTTAAATTAATAAATATTTTGATTGTATTTGATTGTATTTGATTGATTGATTCTCTCTCTCTCTATCGGTTGTGTGACACATACGTTGCATTATGAATTTCTAGTTCTGTGACACTGGCAATATTGTCCTTGACAATGATAGAGTGTCTAATAATAGCATAGGGAAGGATATATCCCGTGGTTGCATATAGACAGAGTGCAGTACCCATTGGTAATTGTTCCACTGTTATAGACTATAGTTGATTGAAATTTAAACATTTTTGTTAACAATCATGTGACTAGTAATAATAATAATTGTCTTTTTGTTATACATACTACTTCAGGGGATTGGTTCTTTGAGAATGCATAGATACCAGTCCAACCCTTTTGATTGTGAAAGATGTTTAGTTTCTTGTTGACGATTCTGGTATTCTTTCCATGTGACGATGGTGAAAATTCAATTGATCTGCCTTCATCCTCTGTTTCCTCGTCCTCTTCATCAGATCTACCACGTGGAGAACGACTTCTTCTTCTACCTCCTTTGTTATAGTTATCCTTTTCCTTTTCCTCTGCTTGTTCATCTAATTGGACACCGATGGTTTGAGCAAAACGCAGTCTTTGTGTTTCAATCGATTGATGGTTCTCTCCTTCATACTCTTCTTTGAGTATATCTATTGGTAAGTACATATACATTCTTGTAAATAAGTAGTCTTTTTAATGTTTATAAAAACAATGATAATATGATGATGGCTGATGTGAAGGATCCTAAGTTTGTCAAAGTTGTTAATGATGATGATGTACACGACTGAATGAATGGTGGGAATACAAAGATAACAGGAACAAATCAGAATGTGCGAACCAAGAAGAAGATATTTGGTAAGACAACCGAACCTCCTCCCTATCTCATTGTGTCAATGCCATCGAGTCCCTGAACTAAATTAATTAAAATTACTAGAGAAATGGGTGAGAAAATGATTAAAAAAAATAAATAATAAATATCTTGCAAGTTTAATGAACCACCAAGTTTAGTACCTACCTTGACTGTATTTAATCATCAGCTGATTGATGATCTAGTGTTAAAATTAGATTAGATCAACAAACATATAATAACATACACATTCTTAACAACAAACACAAACAATGAAATTAGTACTTTATTTACCAATTGACAAGACTACACAAGAGATTCAAACCATCCCAACCTTTGAATCGACCAAAGAAGCATTGGTTGCAGCTCTCAAAGCTGATGAACCAGCCAACGAAGAACCAGCTCCACAACAAGGATGGGGTAACAACAACCAAACACCCGCTGAAAGAAACTTTAAGAGATTCCACAGTCAATGGTACGATGTATTGGCCTATTCTCATGGTTCCTCTTCTGGCAGCGTTCAAGCTTTTGTATGTTTCTCTCGAAAAATAATATATTATTATTATTATTGTTAAATCAAATTAACTTACTTTATTTGTTATTTATTTATTTATATTTATTTATTTAGTCAATGACTGGATATACAAGTGAATTAACACCAATTCTTGAAATGATGGTAATTAGAGGTGATATTCTACCATTTGCCATATTCAGAGTATTCCAAAAGATGACTGGAAACAAACTTAGTATTCTTGAATACGAACTCAAGAATGTTGCTGTTTCATCGGTTAGTACTGGTGGATCGGGTGGTGAAGACCGTTTTACAGAGAACATCACCTTGGAGGCACAAGAGATCACTCACAAGATTATCAACATTGACACTGATACATTGGAATACAATAGTTATAGTTCTGCCACATTCAACAACAAAAAGAAGGAGTTTTCTCGTACCATCTCTACCGCCAATGCTCGTGATGCCTTGGGAGGTCTCGAAATAACCCAATCATTTGACTTTTCAGTACCAGAGAATGCAAAGAAGGCTGCCGACTTGGGTCTTGGTCGTGTCACTATGGAACACCAGTTTTCAGTACAAATCAACAAGTCACCAAACATTTTCAAAAAGATTGATTTGGAACAACCAACTCTCGTTAACCTCAAATCAAAGATTGCTAAAATTTATAATCGTCCAGAGACTGACATTGTATCTGTCTATGGTGCCGATGGTTTTGAACTCGAAAGTGATAAGGATGTTACTTCTTCGGTTGAAAATGTTGTTTTTGTAAAATATGTTGATGGTACTTATAGTTCTTTAAATTAAATTAAATAAATTCTATATATAAATAGATAGATTGTTATTTGTTTTATAGTTATATATAAATATGTCATTTATGTTTTTATTTAAACACCAACAATTGGATCCATTGATGGTGATTGGATTCTTTTGAAAAAGATATCATTATTTCAATTCTCTATAGGATATTGAACTGAAAATAAAAGTTTATTATTATCACTATTTAACTAAAGTTTCTCCAATAAGAGCATCAAATGCATAACGATTTCTTTTGGCTTGTTTGGATTTCTTATTGTCTGGTTTGACCTTGATATGAACATTTCTAATATGTCTTTTCAAAGCTTCCTTATTTTTAAATTTACGTTTGCAAATTCTTTCATCCTCCTCTTCTTCTATCTCTTCTTCTTTCTTTTCCTCTTCTTTTGGTTTTGGAACTTCTTTTTCCTCCTCTTCCTCTTCTTCCTCTTTTTCAATCTTTACCTTTGGTAGTATTTGATTTATCTTATTATTATTATTATTTGGTTGACTATTTCTACATGGTTGTTCATTATTATTATTATTATTATTAATATTATTTACATTATCTACATCCTCTTCTTCCTCCTCTTCATTATCTTCATCTATTTCACTATTATCACCTTCACGTTCACTATCATCACCTTCCTCTTCTTCTTCTTCTTTTCCTTTTGGTTGATGTCGTTTGGATTCTCTTTTTTCCTTGCGAGTAAGTCTAGTTGGAGGAACTGCCATTTTATCACGATGTTGGACTGGTTTGATAGTTGACAAGAGTTGTGAATTATCGCCGTTGGAGTTGAGTTTCCACGTGCAAGAGTATGTGATACCAAGATGAGCAGATTCGACGTGCTGTTCGAGATACTTTTTACGAGTGTACGAGCATAGACATCCCTCGTATGTGCAATGGTATTTGTGACGCTCACCCATATTTTGTTCGTGTGTGGCCACATGTTGTTCGAGTTGTGAGGCAGTCTGACTAAACTTGCCACAGACATAACACTTGAACTGTGTCTTGTGTGCTTCACGTCGATGTTTGAGCAGATCAAAGTAGCGACAAAAACCCTCGTCGCACACCTCGCACAGATACTCTGCCTTTTTCTTGTGTACACCTTCAACGTGTGTCTTGAGTTGCGATGGATACTCGAATCGCTTGTCGCAGCCATCATGGGTGCACTCGTAGGGCAGTTGGTTGAGATGCACCACTGCAACGTGTCTCTTGAGATGGTTGTGTTTGACAAATGCCATGTCACACGATTCATGGTCACATTTGAACGGACGTTCCTTGAGATGATGCACAGTGATGTGGTTCTTGAGATGGTGCTTGAGTTTGAACTTGAGTCCGCAGCCATCATACTCGCACTCGAATGGTGTCTCTTGTGTATGTGTCTTGATGTGGTATCGAAGGTAATGTGCTCTTGCAAACGACGCTTCACACCCTTTATAAGTGCATGCGTACGGTTTCTCACCCGTATGACTACGGATATGATACTCTAGCTTGGCTTGACGATTATATCGATTATCACATCCCTGATAAGGACACAAAAATCTCTTTTCAGAATGATCTATCTTTGTTCTTGCAACCGCTGGTTGTGTTGATGACTGTGATGTCACATTATCACCACTTGATTTCTTTCTTTTTATCTTTGGTTCTTCTACTTTATCTTCTTCCTCTTCCTCATCCTCTTCTTCGTCATTAGTAGTATCCATACAACTACTAGTGTCACCTAGTTGTTGTTGTTGTTGTTGTTGTTGTTGTTGTCGATGTTGTTGTCGCAATTTATTGACTTCATCCTCTGAGCAAAATGGGTCGATGACTACTCTACAATCGTGAATGTGTTGGTGGTGGTGGTCGTCGTCTCCATCGGTATCACTATTATTCTCAATCGCATCTTTGAAACTTCTCTTTAGTAATGTTGTTGTTGCTGTAGTAGAAGATGTCGAGGCTGTTGAAGTCACCATTTGCGAGAGATATCTCTATCTATCTATCTATATCTATCCTCTTTGTAAATTTAATTAATGAAACCTTGAGTTTAATCAACCCATCGAACCAAACTCGTTTCCCTCATCCCTCCAACCAAACTAGTTTTTTCGTTTTTTTTCAATCGTTTTTTTTTTTTTTTTTTTTCTAAAAGAATCTCGATTTTCAAACGAAACGACACTCTCATCCATCTATGACCCCTCCCTCTCCTTCCTTTATCCATCATATAATTTTAATACTATACTTATACCATTGAACTATTTTATCTCTTTCAGTGTATGGTACAACTATGAGTTTATAACTTATTAGTATAACTCATCGTAATCAGTGCAGGATGGCTAACTCTGTGAGGATTGTTTTCAATGAACTCTTTCATAAGATTCGCAGCTCTGTTTTTTTGTGTTGGTTTTTTTTTGCAATCAACAGTTGATTTCAACCGACAGTGTGGGGATGGCAAAGAGTGGAGGAGGGTGCCTCCCCTCAAAAGAATAATTCAAATAAAAAATCAAAGATTCTTTTTTTTTTTTTGAACAAGTTAGCCCTCTCAAAGAGTGTGTGATTTCCGTCATTCCACATCTATCTATCTCTCTGTTTTGTTCTTTTTATCTCTCTATCTATCTATATTCTTTATATCTTTCTTCTTTTCCCTTTTCTTCTTTGTTGTTTAAAGATTATTTAAATCAAACATACACAAAGAGGGATCGTGATTCGATTGTTGTACTACGACAATACGATATAACCAACTACAATATAGATATAAATATTTAGATATTTAGTTTTTTTACGGATCATCATCGAGAAGAGATAAACAACGTTGTTGTTATAAACAAACTGTGTTTATCTTTTTTTCATAATAGCCATTGTATTTTTTCATCACACACTTATTTTTCAAGATCTGTGACGATCGGTTTTCATCAAAACTACTCTATTTCTAGAACCAAATTCTTTTCTTTTCTCTCAATATCTATACGCTACGCAACGCAATAGTTTCAAAAAGAAAGGAATTCTTTTCATTTTTAAAAAAAAAACAAAACAACTTATCTCTTTTTTTTTTTTTTTCTTTATTTATCCTTTTCGTTGTATTATTAACCTCTCATCATCTTCATTACCATCAACCCCACCACTAACTACTATTTGTAAATAAACCACCACACACACACAATCCCTCATCGTATCTCACAATCCCATTTTTTCATTTGAAATTTCAATTCACAGCAAATCAAGCCACCATTCCGATAACCACCAAACCAACAAGATAAGATAATAAGTTCTACTGATCACACTACTACTACAACAACAATAGAAACAGAAACAACAATCTTTTGTTTTTTAAAAAGAGTTAACTTTTGCAAAAGATGACAGTAACACCAACAATCAAACATGAAGGTTTTCTAACCAAGGAAGGAGGAGGATTTAAGAGTTGGAAGAAGAGATGGTTCATCCTTAGAGGTGGACCAGAAGCCAGCTTTTCATATTATAAAACCAAAGGTGTATGTGTATTTTAAAAGAATAGGACATATATTTTGGAACAGTATCTAACATTATCACCACCGATCTTTATATATATTATTTTTTTTTATGTTAGGAATCAACACCACTTGGTATCATTCACATAAATACAGTAGGTCATATTAAAGTAAGTGACCGCAAGAAAAAGAATCATCAATTTGAAGTGCAAACACCATCACGTATTTTCTATATCTGCGCCGACAATGATGAGGATAGAAACAAGTGGATCGAAGTATTGATTACAGAGCGTGACACGCTGCTCGGATCCAACAAACCAAAGAAACCAGAGCGTGTCGGTGTACACGACTTTGACTTGCTCAACCTAGTAGGAAAGGGTAGTTTTGGCAAGGTGATCCAAGTACGTAAAAAGGACACTGGTGAGATCTTTGCCATGAAGGTGCTCTCCAAGAAACACATTGTCGAACACAACGAAGTCGAACACACCCTCTCTGAGAGAAACATTCTCCAAAAGATCAACCACCCCTTCTTGGTCAACCTCAACTACTCGTTCCAGACCGAAGACAAGCTCTACTTTATCCTCGACTATATCAACGGTGGTGAACTCTTTTACCACTTGCAAAAGGAGAAGAAGTTCTCAGAGGATCGTGTACGTTACTATGGTGCCGAGATTGTCTTGGCCCTCGAGCATCTCCACTTGTCCGGTGTCATCTACCGTGATCTCAAGCCCGAGAACTTGCTCCTCACCAACGAAGGTCATATTTGTATGACTGATTTTGGTCTCTGCAAGGAAGGTCTCAACGCACCCTCGGACAAGACCATCACTTTTTGCGGTACACCCGAATACCTCGCACCAGAGGTGCTCCAAGGCAACGGATACGGCAAGCAGGTCGATTGGTGGAGCTTTGGCTCTTTGCTCTTTGAAATGTTGACTGGTTTGCCACCATTCTACAGTCAGGATGTCCAGGAAATGTACCGCAAGATCATGTCGGAGCGTCTCGTCTTCCCAGGCTTTATCTCACCAGAAGCTCGTTCGCTCCTTGAAATGTTGCTCGAACGTGACCCAGACAAACGTCTCTCTGATCCAAACATTATCAAGCGTCATCCATTCTTCCGTGCCATCGATTGGGAAATGTTGTTCCAAAAGAAGATCCCACCTCCCTTTATTCCAAATGTCAAGGGCTCTGCCGATACCTCCCAAATCGATCCAGTCTTTACCGATGAAGCTCCTTCCCTTACCATGGCGGGTGAATCTGCTTTAAATCCAAATCAACAAAAAGATTTCGAAGGTAAATACAAATATCACAAACAAACAACAAATAATAATAATAATAATAATATTAATATATTTCTTTCTTTCTTTTTTATTTATTTTATTTACATACATGTAGGATTTACTTATGTTGCAGACTCACCATTAAAATAAAATCAACAAGAACCACCTTCTTGGAGAGAGTATTAATATTTTCAAAAATCACAACTATTCATTCAAATTTAATAATAATATTTATTATTTAATTTAAATTCCAATGATCATCATCATTGTACTAACCCCCACTCATTCACCTTATATGTGTATGGATATTTTTATCAATACATGCGCAGCGCATCCGATACCACTCCCCACCCACCACTCTTTTCTTTTTCATACCGGCGCGTATAGTTTTAAAAGAAAGGTATGAAAGAAAAAGAGTAAATTTACATTTTAGTTTATATTTTCCTTTTTTAGTTGTTTATTTAATTTAGGTTTATAGATAAATAGAATAGAATAGTATAGAATAGGATACAGATAGTAGTTTGTAAAAAAAAAAAGATGAATCATAATCAAAACAAAGGAGGATCGAGTATTCCCGGGAATAGTGCAAAGTTCAATTCGGCGGCACCTCCATTCCCATCTTCATCTTTGAAACCAAATACTACTACGTCTACATCATCAACGTCATCATCATCATCATCATTTAATAGGTTCCAATCATTACACAACCACATGCAACACCAACATGTGCCACCTCATCATCATCAACAGCAACCACAACAACAATCTCTTCATTCAATATCATCGAATATCGAAAGAGTAAGCAACAGCTTATCATCATTACCACAACAACCAAATCAACCAAATGGAACCTTGGAAATATCATTCCAACATTTTTCAGAGTTATTAATATTATTACAAAGTATGTTAAATCATCATAATAATATTTAAATATTTATTCCAATTATTAATATATTCTTTCAAAAAGATACCCAATTACAAATCAAAAAGTTGGTACAATATCAAGAACAAACATATCAATGGAATATGAAGGTTTGTTAATATAAAGTGGAAATAATTGGAATAATTTATTATTTAATATTTATACTTTTCTTTTCAATTGAATAGCATCATGAGAATATGAAAAAGGTAATTAAATCATTTAATAATTTAAATGCAATTATGAAACAAAAATATCAATCACCAGATTCAAGTATTGATATTAGTAACAACAACAACAACAACAATGCATCTTCAACTTCAGTTATTTCAACAACAACAAATAAATCTGAAAATACAATAGCAGGAGACAAGAAACCATCAAAGGGAAATAATATTGTGTACTATGAAAAGAATCAACAATCCAAAGATTTGGATATCACATATCATCAAAGAATAATGGATTGTTATCGTGACAATGATCCATATTCTCAAGATCTTCAAGCTTTGGTTGAAAATATTGATTATAATTTATTTATGGAATTAAAAGGTAACTAAATCAAACAAAACAAAACAACTATTAACTATTAATTTTATTAATTTATTATTTGTTTTTTTTGTAGAAAAATCAATCAAAATAATATTACCAATTATATTATTATGGATGAAAGAAACTAATAATACAAAGATTAGTTTATCACTTATCATTCTCTACATGACATTTGAAAAATATCCAGCCATGTTTGAAAAGAAAAAGTATAGAGAGTTGATATCACAGTTTGGAACATCACTCCAACACTTGGAAGAGTCTCATATTATAGATGATCTTTCAAACATGGATTTATTCCCATTCACCTTTACCGAATACAATTCACTTAAAAGCGCATTAAATCAAAGTCATCATCAACAACAAGACCAACAACAACAACAATCAATACTCTGATCCATGATAATGATATAACATGATCAATTTTGTCACTACCATCTGTATATATATCAACTCCTGCTTGTAAATACAAATACATATAATATAATATAATATTAATTAAATTTCATCCCCATTATTTATTGGAATAAAAAAGATTATATATCTTTCTCTTTCTTTCTTTCTTTCTTTTTGTTTAGAATTTACAATAGTTTTGATGTCTTGGAATTGGGATAACATCACGAATATTTTGAAGACCTGTAACGTATTGAAGGAAACGTTCAAAGCCTAAACCAAAACCACCGTGTGGTGCGGACCCGTATTTACGTAGATCCATGTACCAACCATAGACATCTTGGTCCATATCAAGCTTATTGAGTCGTTTGACTAGATGATCGTATCTCTCTTCTCTGATTGACCCACCAATCAATTCACCAACCTCTGGTACGAGGAGATCCATATTGGCAACAGTCTGTCCATCATCATTTTCGCGCATATAAAATGGTTTGATATCTTTGGGCCAGTTAATGACAAATACTGGTATGTCACCAAAATGTGAAGTCAAATATTTTTCGTGTTCTCTTGATAAATCCTCTCCCCACTTGATTGGGTTTGCAAACTTGGTCGATGTTTGCTTTGTCAATATATCAATAGCTTCTGTATATGGTAGTCTGACAAATCGGTTCGTCAATGTTTTCTCTAATCTATTAAATAATTTTGTATCAATTCTCCTAGAGGTGGTCAAAAAAAAAATAGATTAGATTAGTCTTGATTCCTTGATATATATATATATATATATCTATATATATTTTGATTTGACATACTTGTTAAAGAACTCCATATCATCTTTACAATTTGTCATTAAATGTTGGATTGTATATTTAAGGAAGTCTTCGGCAATGTCCAAGTTGTCTTGCATGTTGATGAATGACATTTCAGGCTCGACCATCCAAAACTCTGACAAGTGTCTTGTGGTGTTTGACTTTTCGGCTCTAAATGATGGGCCAAATGTGTAGACCCGAGAGTGTGAAGATGCAAATATCTCTGCTTCAAGTTGTCCCGATACTGTCAAGTAGGCGGGTTCACCAAAGAAGTGATTGACTGCAGGTGTTGTTGTTGCTTTGTTGTTTTCTTTGTTATTGTTTGGATGATTGACAGGAGTAGAGATTGCGAATTGTTCTCCACCACCTTCACAATCGCTGGCGGTGATGAGGGGAGTGTGAACATGTTGGAATTGTCGGTCTTGGAAATACGTGTGAATGAGTGAGGTGGATTCATTACGCACACGAATCATCGCACCAATGGTATTTGATCGTGATCTAAGATGTGCAATATCTCTGAGAAATTCAAATGAATGTTGTTTGGGTTGAAGTGGGTATTCAGAGTCATCACATTTTCCAAGTACCTTTACGCCACTAGTAGTATTATCACCACTACTTTGTTGTTCATCAAACAATTGTATTTCAAGTGATTGATTCTTTCCAGGACTTTGGGTCAGTTTACCAGTGACACTGACACAACATCCATTGGTGGTCTCTGCAAAGTGCTGTGGTGTTCCAATGACTTGAAGACCTTGTACACACGACCCGTCGGTCAACTCTGCAAAGCTGAATTGCTTTTGATGACGCATGTTCTTGATCCATCCCTTGACAGTCACAATATCACCTACTTTTGATCCAGCAGATGATGACGATGATGATGATGCATCATTGGTCGTCAACTGTTCAGCAGAAGCAGTATTATTGCTTCCAATATTTTTGATTTGTTTGACTGTCAATGGCCATTTGAATCCAACAACCGAAGCACTTACTGTAGCAGTAGTACTATACAATCTTCTTGCAGCAAAGTTTATCATGATCAATCAACCAATCAACCAATCAACCAATCAACCAATCGACCTAGGTTAAAACAACAACCATTTAGTTAGATGATAAATCTTCATGGTTATTATCAAGAACAGACATACTTTACTACTATATCAGATAATAAATATATACTAGTTTAGTTTATATTATCTATCTAGTGCTTGCTAAAATTAATATTAATATTACTTTATTGATCTTTGACGATTCATTCGCAAATTGCAGATGATAAGTCCTCTAGTTCATTCAAAAAAATTTAATTTTATTTTTTTTTGCTCACACCCTTCCCCTCCCATCCATCCGCCACTTTGCTCTCTCCCCAAGTCAGAGATAATATTGAACAAATATTTAATATCATACATCCCTACATACATCATTCATCGACCCGTCTACATACATATCATTCAATTCATAAACTCATTACAACTACTTATTGTACAAAGACTAAAAGAGAGAAAGAGAACCAAGAAGATACCATATAAACCATTCATTATATTGTTGTGTGTATTCTATTAGCTAATAGATAACAAAGAAAGAAAGAAGTAGAAGTAATATTAATCTAATCTTTTTATACTCGTTTATTTATTCGTTTGTTAGTTAGTTTGTTTTGTTATTAGATATACATATAGATAGATAGATAGATAGATAGATATGCCTACTATAAATGAATTAGAAACACCTTCTAATTCAAACCACTCTACTACATCTGCAGAGAGGATACATGAAGAAGAAGGCATCAACTCTGTATCTTCTACTTCTCAAGATGTTAATAGCGAAGAAGGGCAACAACAGCAGCCAACATGGCAAATGATTGCAAATACTTCGTTGAAAACACCTGCATCTACTTCACTCCTATCAAGATCAAATAAAAAGTCGTCCTCTACTCTTACAATGACCGATTCACAAGGATTCGATGAAGATGACGAGGAAGAAGATGGAGATGAAGAAGAAGAAGAAGATCAAGAAGAAGAAGATGAAGAGGAAGAAGAGGAAGAAGAAGAAGAAGAAGAGGACGATGAACTCGTAGAGGTGGAAGATAATACACCAACACAACTATCTTCTTCAGATGTACAACCACAACAACAACAACAGCAACAACAACAACAGCAACAACAACAACAACACCAAAAACAAACTATTCCCATCAGACAACATGTATCATCCAACAAGAGTAAATTACTCAAACAACAAGTCGTTAATATTAAAGTAAATAATGTGGTCATTGATGCTAAAAAGAAATCTCCATCTCCTCCTACTACTACTACTCCCAACAATAATAATAATAATAATCAAAATGTAGCAGCAGCTCCTCCTCAGGTCAAACCAAAGACAACTACCACAACAACAACCACTACCAATGTTGTTGGTAACAATACAACAACTACTAGAAATTCATCAAGTAGTAATTGGAAACGTGACTCTCAAGAGATTGATAAACAAAAACTAAGAGAATTTTGGATGTCTCTTACAGAGAATGAACGTCGTGAATTGGTTCGTTTGGAAAAGGAATCGTTGTTGAAAAAGATGAAGGACCAACAAAAGCACAATTGCTCGTGTAGTGTTTGTGGTCGTAGGAGAGTGGTCATTGAAGAGGAATTGGAGATGCTCTACGACTCTTATTATGAAAAATTAAAGTACTATGAAAAAATGAACGACAAGGTTTCATATCTTATCGATTTAAAGGATACTCCTCCAGATTCTAAAAATGTGAATAGAAATGATCAACCTCAACAACAACAACAACAACAACAAACTTCATCTCAACAACAACAAATATTGCAACAGCAACAACAACAATTACAACAACAGCAACAACAATTAATACAATTACAACAACAACAACAATTGCAACAACAACAACAACAATCTATTACTACTGCAGCAACTGCAACCACTACAACCACTACAACAACACCACCTTCTCCTAATAGTAAACCATTCCACTTTCAAACAACACACAAACAGATTATAAAATCTAAAAATGGAACTACTATAAGAACTACGACATCGGCATCGACCGAGGAGGATTTCCTCAGGAATGAGGGCAAGCATTTTATCGAGTTGATGGAAAAGTTGGCAGAGCGTCGTGTGCGTCGAGAGGAGATCTCGGAGCAGATGCTCGACCCCGACAATGCACTCGGCAACGATGAGGAGCTGACCATACAGATACAAGAGAGCAACGGACCCAACTCGTACACGTCGCACAAATACCGCATCAGCAACATTGGCAACGGTCGAAACGGCGGACACGGCCCGCACTCGGGTCCATCGCTGCACCAGATTCTCAATGACAGAAAGGTGGTGATTGACGAGTTTCACGTCGACGAGGAGATCTATGACGACGATGAAGAATGTGAGGAGTGTGGCGGACACGGACACGGTCACCATGCCGATGACGAGGATGAAGACTATGACGAGGAGGATGGCGACCACCATCACCAGTACATAGAAGGCGACGACAATGAGGAAGAGTACGACGAGGATGACGAAGAATTGGACGATGAAGACGATGAAGACGATGATGACACTGGACTATGTGATCACCATCAGCACATGCGTTATCATCACCACCACCATTCGCACTCGATGGACGATGACGATGAGGAAGATGATGACGACCAATACGACGATGAAGATGACGACGAAGACGACGATGACAATGGAGTAGACGACGAAGAAAACGAAGAAAAACAAATGGAAGAAGGTCGTAAAATGTTTCAAGTATTTGCTTCAAAAATGTTTGAACAAAGAGTTTTAACTGCTTACAAGTAAGACAACGAGCAAATTAAAAGTAATCCAATATAGATATTAATCAAAAACTTTTTTATTAGGGAAAGATTAGTTTTGGAAAGACAAAAACATTTGTTAGAGGAAGAAGAGGAAAAGGAGAGAAAAGAGAAACAAATCAAAGAACAAAAGGCAAAGGCCAAGAAAGAACAACAAAAGAAACAGAGAGAGAACGAACAAAGAAAGAAAGAGGAGCGAGAGAGAATCCAAAAGCAAAAAGAAGAGGAAGAGCGACTCAAAAAATTGGAAGAGAACAAAAAGAATGAAGAAAAGAGATTAGAGAGACAAAGACTCAAGGAAGAGGAAGTCAAGAAACGTGAAGAAGAGCAGAGAAAGAAGTTAGAGGCTCAAAAGCCAAAGGAAAAGACTGAAAAGGAGAAACTGGCCGAACAACAACGTCGTGACGCTGAACTTAAAAAGTTACAAGCTAAAATGGAAAGAAACAAAAAGGAAACATCCAAACATCAAAGTAACCACAAACCACATGTTGTCATTCAACCAGATGTTAGACCTAATACAGTTTCTACCGCTACCACCACCACTACTTTAACAACACCAGCTCCAACAGCTGTGGTGGTCACATCTCCAGCAGTTGCTCCAGTCTCTGTCACTCAACCACAACCGGTACAACAATCAACAACTGTATCTCTTTCACCAAATCTTTCAAAGTCACTTGAATCACCAATGAAAAACAAGGTTTCAACTCTTAGTCCAAAATCTCCCAATTTTGTACCTGCAAGTCAAAGATTTACTAGTAGTACAAATGGTTTGGCTCCAGTACCATCACCAAACTTCCATACTTCTAGTAATAGTAATTTATTACCACCTCAATTAATGCAATCAAATGGAGGTGTTTATTTAAACAAGGATCCTATTTATACACCAACTCAAACTTCTTCTTCTTCTGTTACCAATATATTACCAACACAGAATATTCCACTTCATACATTTTCAACTTCGTTGTATAATGATAATGAAGATGATGACATTGATTCTATTTTAAAACATACACAAGATTATCTTCACATCCAACAACCATCATCTCTTAGAAAATCATCTGCTCCAGTATCTGATAATGAGGATGAAGATAATAATAATAGTAATAGTATGAATAATAATAATCAACATGTTCAACAACAACAACAGATTCATCATCATCATCATCAAATGCAACAACAACAACAACAACAACAACAACCACTTCAACAACAACAACAACAATACCTTCAACCACAATACCTACAATCAAAGAATATTCAACAACCATCATCATTGTCATCCAACTATTTCAACCAGACCAATTCTGTTGTTGGCAATGATAGTTTGTCACGTTTACCAGCCTTTTATGATCAAACCTCTGTCAATTTTATTCAATCTGGATTTGACCAAAACACCAACCAGATCAACAATAACAACAACAATGTAACAGGTCTCATTGGTGATAGTAGTCAAAATTCTACCCCATCACTTGGTAGCTTCACTTCACCAAACCCATATTTAATGAGTAACAACAGCATCAACAACAACATCAACAACATGTCCAATGTCAATAGCAACATGATGATGATGAACGGTGGTTTGAAACCATTAAATAATAGTGGCAGCAGTTTAGTTGGTGGCAATGCATTTGTCAACTCTAATATCAACAATAATTGGGAATATTTGAATAATAATTTCACCAACCAAAACTCGTTTTTAAACAACAATATTGGAAATTCAGTCAACAACTTTGAACTAGGAGGTATATTGTCACCTCGATCACTCCAACAACAACAACAACAACAACAGCTACAATCACAGCAATTATTTAATAATGCTAGCAATTCGGGATTCCCATCTTCGTTGGATAGCAATTTTTATTTTGCAAAATCATCTCCCTATGTAAATAATAGTACACCCAGTGGTAGTTTCTATCAAAATCATCAACCACAATTAGGTCAATTGGATTATTAAACCATCTATACCATTAAGTCGTCAAATGGATATATACATACAAATCCTTTTGAAACAATTCCTACTTTTTATTTTTTGATTCCAATGTTTCGTCGTCATTGAAATCTTTATATATATAAAGTAGAACTTAGTTATCTTATCAACTCACCACCACCAACCACCCAACATCACCAAAAACATTAGATCACTTTAAATTAATGATTTAAATAATAATAAAATAGAAAAAAAAATATATAAAAAAAAAATAGAGATCTTGGAGAAAGAATTATTATTATTATATTGTTTATTTATCTGTTACAATTCAAATTCATCAATTTTCTTTTGTAATAGTGAAGTTACTTTTTGAGGATTTGAACGACCTTTGGTTTGTTTCATGATTTCACCAACAAAGAATTTAAAGACACGTGTTTTTCCAGAACGGTATTCCATGATCTTGTCGTGATGCTCTTCGAGGATCTTTACACAGAGATCTTCCAATACACTGTCATCAGAGATTTGTGATACACCCAAACCATCGATGATTTCCTTGGCTGGTCGAGTATCGCCATTCAACATTAATCCAATGATATCCTTTCCAGTTCGCGACGAGATGTAGCCCGATTCGACGAGGTCGATAAAGTCGGCCATACGCTCGATCGAGACGGGTGTGTTGGTGATGGATTCATTCTGCAGGTTGAGCCACTCAAACATCTCCTTTATGATGAATGGTAGTAATGTCTTTACACTACGGTCGGTCTTGCCATTGTGGCGTAGTACCGATTCAAAGTAGTGTACATTGTATGGGTCGGCTACGAGGATGGTGGCGTCATCCACCGTCAATCCATATTGTGTGATAATACGTGTTTTCATTGCATCTGGCAACTCGCCAATCGTGGCTCTAACACGCTCGATAAATGCTTGGCTCAATACCAAAGGTGGAAGATCGGGGTCTGGGAAGAACCGGTAGTCTGTCTCGTCCTCTTTAGTACGCATGTGAAAGGTGGACATGGTAGAGAGGTCAAACCCACGCGTCTCTCTTTGTATGGGTGTGCCAGACTCGACCATTTCAATCTGTCGCGTTGCCTCTGCATCGATGGCAGACACAATCGACTTTATTGAAATCATATTCTTGAGTTCGACACGTGTTCCCAGTCTATCGGTCTGATGCGATGGACGCACCGATATATTGATATCACAACGCATCTCACCTTGTTGCATATTTGCATCACTCGTCTCGATACTCTTGAGTAGATGTTGAAGTTGTCTAAGGTAGGCACCAACCTGTTCACTCGATCTAAAATCGCAATCAGATACAATCTCCATCAATCCAACACCAGCACGATTCAAATCGACCAATGTACTGGTCGGACTTTGATCATGTATACTCTTTCCACTGTCTTGTTCCAATTGAATATGTGACAGCTTTATCAATTTCTTTCTATTATTTTTTAATGATAATAATACTTCTCCACCTTTTACAATTGGATCTAACAAATAGAAAAAGAATAATAAGTAGGCAGATATAAACTCATGTTTCATTGTACATACTAGTATATTGAGTAATTTGATAACCTTGAGGTAAATCTTGATAGAAATAATGTTTTCTATCAAAGACTGAGTATTTACTGATTGATGCATTCAAAGCCAAACCAGTCTTTACAGCTTGTTCAACACATTTTGAATTGAGTACAGGTAATGTACCTGGGAATGCAGCATCAACATATGATACTCTACTATTTGCAATAGATCCATCCAAACTACCAATATTTAAACTATCTAAATAAAGAATGAAAGAGAAAGAGTCAATATTATAACAATTTATAGATATTGAGTAACTATGATAAGTATCATACTTGAAAATAACTTTTCCTTTGATTTAATTTGAGCATGAACTTCTACACCTACAACCAATTGATAAGGATTTCCTTTACCACTATAAATATAATCTAATGAAGGATCATTTTCATCTATTATAGTTGATGTTGATGTTGTTGATGTTGAGTATCTATTATTATTATTATTTTTATTATTATTATTATGTACAAAAAGGTTGTTTCTACCACCAATGATATTATTATTATTGTTGTTGTTCAGTAGACATGATTTAGGAGTCCTTGATAAGAGATATCTTATCGACATGATGATCTCGGATCTAATCTTATTTGAAGGTGAATGCAAAGAGAAGAGTGTTCTCTTTGTTCTCAAAAGTTGAGTGTCTGACCTTCGCTTCGATCGTCTGCAAAAATTAAATTAATTAAATTTAAATTTTACATAAAATAAGAAGAACAAGTTAGATATCTTCATTCGTATTCACCATTCTGTATTTGTAATTATAGATAAATAGATAGTAGAGAGAGAGATATAGTAGAGATATGGCTGAAAAGTTTTCATCAGTATTAAAGTTGACAGAGTTGGATGATTTTATTACACCTTCTCAAGAATGTATTAAACCAGTTATTATAGATAAGAAAAATGTAATTATCATGACTCAAGTCTCAAAATAGAGATCATATACTTACTTACTTGTTATTATTAAAGACAAGTACACAATTTACAATTGAATCTGATGGTAGTTATGTTGAAACAACAAGTGATGGAGAAAAGGTACAAATGGAGAAAGCTACAATCACATTGAACGATTGTTTGGCTTGTAGTGGTTGTATTACATCGGCCGAGAGTGTATTGATTTCGGCACAATCAACAGTCGAGTTTAGTAATGTACTAAAGTCGATTGCTGAGAGTAAACCAGATAGCATTGTAGTTGTTTCAATATCACCACAATCACGTGCATCATTGGCCAATCATTTTGGAATCGATTCGATGCAATTACATAGAAAGTTGGTCACCTTTTTGAAATCGATTGGTGTCAATCATGTATTTGACACATCGTTTAGTAGAGAGTTTGCACTCATTGAATCGGCAGAGGAATTCATTGCAAGATATAAACAAACCTATGACAAACCATTACCAATGTTGGCATCAGCTTGTCCAGGTTGGATTTGTTATGCAGAGAAAACACATGGAGATTATGTCCTACCCTATATCAGTACAACCAAATCACCTCAACAAATCATGGGAACTCTTGTTAAATATTATTTATCAAAAAAAATTAATACTTTGTAAATATATAAGAAATAAGAAATATAATGGTATATATATATATAGTTAATTAATTGTTTCTTTTATTATATATTTAGACCATCAAATATATATCATGTAACCATTATGCCATGTTATGATAAAAAATTGGAAGCTTCTAGAAGTGATTTTTATAATGATGTATTCAAGACAAAGGATGTTGATTGTGTATTGAGTACATCTGAAGTATTGGAATTACTAAAAGAACATGGCGATGTAGATTTATTAAAATTGGAAGAGGCAACACTTGACAACTCGATATTCAACAACGTCATATTCAACCAACAAACTGGACAACCAGAAAAGTTTTTGGGTGTCACTGGTTCGACAGGTGGCTATTTTGAATACCTATTTAGACGAGCAGCAAAGGAATTGTTTGGAAAGGAAATTGAAGGAGAGATTGAATACAAAGTTGGTAGAAACACAGATTTTAAAGAAGCATCACTCGAAGTTGACGGTAAAAAGGTATTATCGTTTGCAAAGGCATATGGATTTAGAAATATTCAAAATATAGTTAGAAAGATTAAAACTACTACTGCTAGTAGTAGTAAAAAGGAACCACAATATCACTTTGTGGAGGTTATGGCATGTCCAAGTGGTTGTATTAATGGTGGTGGACAGATAAAGGCAGCCAGCGGGTCATTGCGTGAACAAAAACTATTGATTGAACAATCTGAACAAAAGTACTACCAAGATCTCTCTATTCAATCTTATGAACAACTTCCATCAACTCTTGAAATCAAAGATATCTATGATCAATGGATGAATGGACCATTCTCTCTAGATGCCAAAACTAAACTTCACACTCAATATCATATGATTGAAAAATCAAAGAATGCTTTATCAATTAAATGGTAAATTGAAAATAAATAAATTATAATATATTAATAATAATAATTTATTTATTTTATTTGTTTATTTATTTATTTGATTTATTTGATTAAATCTTTAAATTGAACATTTAAAACTGGGAATGATTCTGTAAAATCAAAATGCCACCATTCTTGTGGGTAGGGAAGGAATCCATGATTCATCATGGCAATGGTCAATAGTTTTTTGGACCATCTTTGGCGGGTAGTGCCACCGAAATAGGATCGATGTGAACGGACTGAAAACTCGTCATATTCACCGGGCATTTGGATGATTTGACCTGTCTTGAGGTCATAGAGGGAGATGTCGGCTGCACCACCACGGTTGTGTACTGATCCCTTGGCGGGGTCGGCAACATATAATCCGCGGTACTCTTGCTTGACCGACTCGCTCATGGCCCACGTCACATTCCAAGGACGGTAGGCGTCAAATACTACGATACCCAATCCCCACTGTTCAAGCCATTGATGTGCACGCACCAGTGATTCGGCAGACTTGCGGTGCAAGAATGCTTTGGCAATGGGGTAGAATTGGACACCGGCAAAGTTATCACTTGTAGCATACTTTACATCAATCTTTAGTGTGGGATGGAGGGTGGAGAGATCTACCAACTCATTGGTTGGTGGTTGTGGGTGTGGACATGGTACACTGACTGATTTAGCTACGATAGCTTTGACGACCGACTCTTTCTCTACACCCTCTTGGATTTGACCGGGGATTGGACCGGTTATATGGTAGACAAATGGGATACCGGCAAGTGAGAATAGTTTGGGACGGTATACTTTGTCGCCAGCGGCATTGAGAGAGGTGTCAAAGTAGATAGTGACAGGCTCGTCATTGTACATGCAGTCTGTAGCCAGCTGGAACTCGATGCGATCCTCATACTGGTTCTTGATGTAGAGGTGGTAGATAAAGAACCACTCGATACACATTGACAACATTCCATCCTCTTCAAACACCAACACGATTTGGTCTTGAGCATGATAGTGTCCGCACAAACTCTCAAAGAGTGTGTTGGCGTGAGGTGGGGGTGTCGAAGGGGACGGTAGTGGGTAGTATGGCTGGTAGAGCAGTGGATATCGCTGTGTATCCTCCTTTGACTTTTTAAAGACACCATCATTGACGAGGTGACCACCATCCTGGGCCAATTTAACATTGAGTACTTGTAGATAGGACAATCTATCGTTGGTCACGATTGGAATGGTACCGTCTGCAGCTTGTGTGACACTGTTGTGGATGGTGGCGAGCTTGTTGATAAATTGTGTTCGTAAATACACGTTGCCGTCGTATTCAGGGTAGACGGTGTATCGGTTAGTGTCGCGCAGTACATTAGAGTCGACCGAGTTGGTGTCGTTGTATTTGTAGACACCGACCACCTGGTTAGTCTCTTGCTCGGTCAGCGGTTTGGCCAACAAGCTCGACTCGACCAAATCCCCGCATCGCTTGACTGCCACCATATCAAGATGTGGCAAATGGCTAGGTGGCTTGGCCATAATAAGTAAATGTACAAAATACTCTACCATGTTGTACGTGATCGTGTTGGCACAGTCCAGTGTAGTCACACCATAGAATCCAATACCAAGCTCTGGAATCACTCTAAAGTCACTTGCAAACCCATTGATAGCACCTCCATGACGCACCTGTAACAAGTTGAAAAGGGGTGATACGTCAGCACCCAGTCCGTGCTCGTCTCCGTATGGTGACGGTGCGTACTTTAACGTCTGTCTTGGTTCAGTGAGTGGTTTGTCGAGTGGCTGTGGAGTGATCATCAACAAATATGTAGACTCTTTCAACAAAGGACTACCATTGTTCAAAATGACACGTAGAAACTTTTGAATGTCTGGTAGTGTAGTCTTTAGACATCCGGCAGGGAACATTCCAAAATGAGTCAATGGAGCCTCTTGAAACACTCCCGTATCCGTCTTTGTCTCATCCCAGTATCTCCATTGATGGCCAACTGTCAATCTAACCTGATCCTCCTTTTCACATCTTGTATTATTATGAATGTCTCTAAATGTTGAATCATTCATTCCAATCTTTTCAAATACATTCTTTTCCAAATATTCTTCAAATGATATTCCTGATGCAACTTGAATTATATATCCCTAAATACATACACCAATGTGTCAATATATATATATTACTAATATATTTGATAATAATAATAATTACATACAGCCATTGCAACAGCAGCATTTGAATATTTGTAAGTTGTACCTGGAACAGAGACCAATGTAGATTGATTCATTGATATGACCAATTCTTCAAGATTACATTGTTGATAATTAAAATAATTACCTCCAATTGGTTCTCTTATTAATCCTAAATAAATCAACCAAGTTAGCAATTGTCTTTGATTCTTTTCCTCTTTTTATAGTTTTATAGTTTACTTACCACTAGTATGTCTAATCAAATTAAATACAGTGATAGTTTTGTAAAGATCATCGGAATCTGGTCTAGTTGGTGGATTCTTTACTTTAAAGCCAGGGATGTATTTTGTGATTGGATCGTTGAGATTGATTTTACCTTGTTCGACCAACTGAAGCAGTGCAACATAGGTGAACAGCTTACTGACCGATGCAACCTTGAACAGCGACTTTGTGGGTGACAGTAATGGTGTCTTGATGTTTGGATGGTGATAGATGTTGCTAAATAATGGTGTTGTTCTGTTGGTCACTGTCAATGCAAATGCAGGTACACCTTTCTCCTTTATTTGATGTTTCATCCATTCTTCCAATGGTTTGATCACCTTGTCATGTGATATTTCTTCAATTTGATAACTATCTTTTTGTATCATATCTCTATATTATCTCTTCTTTACTATTGACAATAAGATAATAATAAAGCACTCTGAGTGCTGCTGCTTATATTGAATATGAATATAATAATAATATGGTTGGGGTTGAAATTGAAAGGAAGGTAATTTAAATTAAATTAAAAAGAATGAACCAATCAGAGTGAGCACTCAATACTAAAATTTTCATGTGCTTTGCAAGCAAGCAAGCACGCACCAATCATTGAGTGAGTTGAAATCATCATCTAAGATGATGGATGTGTGACATCATTAAATGACTATAGTTCATCAGAGTTATCTATCTATCTCTATATGTATACGATGATCGTGAATAAATAAATAAATGATAAATTAAATGATGTTTTTCATGAGGAGTCCGATTCAGGTCGACCTGTGACCAAAGATATTCATTGAAGATTTAATTAATAAAGTTTGTTTGTGTGTATGAATAGATAAGATAATGGAGCATCGAAGACAACCATCATCAGGATCGGGATCAGCAACTAGTAATACTACAACATCAACACCGACAAACCCTTCTACATCGACGACATCTACCTCTGCAGCTACACAGATTCACCAACAACTACATCTCTTTGAAATAGCAACATGGGAGAGAAAGAGTAAGATATCAATAGAACAATCTCTAGCTGTAAATAATCTATCAAAGGCTGTTCTAGATAAACCTTTACCTCTAAAAGTATGTTTAAAACTATGATGATGATGATGATGGAATACATATGTATAGGATCAATACTGACAATGAATGTTACTTAGTTTCAAAATGATATACAATACAAGACCAAGAATGATGAATCAAAACAAGATCAAGCTATCTTGGAAACTACTACTACAAAACAAAATAATGGTGATGTTAACAAGATAAATGGACAAGTACTTGAAGATAGTGGTGATGGATTCAACTTACCATCTAAACCTATAGATAGTCTTGGTCACTTTTTCGATTGGTTTGCATTGATTGAAAAGACATCGAATCATCTTCACCAATATGAATGGTTTCTTGAAACGATCATTAGTTATGGTGAAGGATCAAACCATCTATTGGAACAAGTCAATGGATGTGAAAAACTAGTCAATAGCATTCAAAGTGACTATATCAATCTAACTAAAAAGACGAACCAACTTCATGAATCATGTGAAAAGTTCTTCAAGGAAGAGGTATGTAAATACTATAGACAAATAGAGAGCTAACCACAATTCAATAATATCATTAACACCTAAACAACATTACACACAAATATTAGTTACGACTAAGATACATTGTACAAACTATACACGAGAAATTAAAGTATTATCTAGAGTTGGAACAAAACACAAAAAAGTTTAACAGTTCTGCATTTTCAGTCACTGATACTACCTTTTTATCATCATTGGAAACTCTTGAAGATTGTATATTATTCATGAAGAAAAATGTATGAAACACATGGATATAATATAATATAATTGATACAACTTTTACTTACTATTTAAATATTATTATTATTAATAATGTTTAGCCAAACTATTTAGAATCATCAAAATATTCTTTACAATATAATTTATTATTTACACGTGCTTTGGGATTGATTAAAGATTATATATCAACTTGTTTAAAGACTGTTACTGCTGGTATTGTAACATCGGCAAAGACAGCAACACCTCAAACACAAGACCTGGACAATGATGCTTCATTTGCCAAAATTAAATTCAGAGCATTTGCACCAAAACTCAAACCACTATGTCAAGAATTGGAAAAGAGAGCTGTCGGACAGTATGTTTAAAATTCACAAGATGGGATATTTATTTATTTATTAAATTCTATTTTCTTTTTAGGTATTCAGTATTTCTATCAGATACACATAGTATATATTTTAAATATAGGAATCAGTGTCTATCACAAGTTATAAATCATAAATTGATCATGTTGATTCGACAAATTGATAATATACCAATCATGATACAAAATATATGTATGTTTATGGTTGGTATCTATGATGATGAATATGAAATATATTGTGACTATTTTGACAAGGAAAAGGAAATGGCTGATTTTAGGTATGAAATAGAAATAATAATAATTATAGTTATAAATAATTCTAACATATTTTTAATTTTAATTTCTCAGTGAATTATTGGATCCATTTACGCAATCAATGTATGATTATGTTAGACCTGTTTATATACATATTACAGATTATGAATTATTATGTAATTTGGCACATATTATTCGAAATGAATTACTCGAAGAGGTTATTAGTCACAGTACAAAGATATGTTTAAGTTTAAAACAAGTATTCCAAAGAATGCTACAAGATATTCAAGAAAGATTGATATATATTATTCAAACATATATACGTGATGAAATCAGTCTACATAATCCAACTCAAAATGATATCAACTATCCCGATGTATTAATCTCTGCACAAACTATCGTTACACCACCTCCAACTCCTCCATTAACATCATCTACAGATAATACGACCTCGACATTGACATCATCACCTCCATTAATACTATTACCACCAAACAAATCAAAAGGATTATACCCAACTTTGGAAAAAACTCTTACTTGTTTATCTAAATTATATCTTGTTGTTGATGTAAGATATATATTTAATTTATTATATATTAATTATATGATTAATTTCCTTCCTTTTTTTTTTCTACATTCTAGACCAAAATATTTGAAGGATTGGCACAAGAAGCAGTTTTATCATGTATGCAATCACTTATTCAAGCAAGTTCACTTATTGCCAATAACAAGTCAAATCCACTGAGCCTGGTAGACTCTCAATTATTTTTAATCAAATACTTTATTACTCTTCGTGAACAAATCACTCCATTTGACATTAACTTTGTCATTGAAAAAATTGTAGATTTTCCTCAACTTAAACGTAAGTTACAAATATTAAAATAATATTATAATTACTTTTAATTAACCTTTTGTTTATTTATTTATTTTTAGATGCATTACAATCATTATATAATTATGGATCATTATTTAAATTTTCAACCAATAATCCAATTTATAATATTTTGTCAAGTGCTACCAATCCAAGAGTGACAAGTACGAGTATCGACGCTAAAAAGGATTTGGAAAAAGAACTTAAAGGTGTCATTGAAACATTTATCATATCCACTTCAAACAAGATTATCGATCCTTTGGTAGCATTGTTGACCAAGATATCAGTGTTTACTAACCAACAACAGCAAGCTGCTGCTACCCAACCAACAGCACTACTTTCAAGCCAACCATTTGCAACAGTTGAACGTATTAAAGAAGTTGTTGAACAGGTTCATTCTCGTATAGAGACTGATCTACCACAGGTAGTTGAGAGAATGAAGATCTATTTGACACCATCCACTCTGGCACTGCTCTCCAAACCAATACGTACCAATATCATTGACAGTTTTGATCAAATCAACCAATACTCGAAAAAATACTATACCGATGACCAAATCAAAGCCATGTCATTGATGCCAATGGAAACTCTTAGAGTATTGTTGGATAAACATGTTCCAACTCAAATCATTATTAATCAACCAAATAAATAAATTAATAATAACCAATATTATTGAAACCAGTTCAATGTGATAATTCAACAGTTTGTTATTACCTTGTGGTCTTTCATATTAGAACTTTGTTCACCCAATAAAGACCCTCTTGAAGTTTGTTCAAAATTAAAAAAAACTTAGAGTATCGAAAACTTTTTCTATGTGTTTTCGAAAGTGAGAAATGATCTAATCAGGGAGAGGTAGCAAGAGAATTAACCATCATTTTTAATTAAGTTTATTTATTCATTTACTTTATACTTTATTTATCACCATCATGATAGAACCTCAAATGACGGCTGAAGAAGCCCTCGAAGAAATTACAAAAGGTTTTGATAGAGAAAAGGCTGAAAAGATGAAGGCCTTTTTTGAACCATATATCCATCGAAAGAAATCAACTCCCACATTCAAGACCGAACAAGAACTTAAGGCTCTATACCAAAGTGTAGGAGGTGACAATTGGAGTGAAGAAAACAATACACAGATGATGAATGTTTGTATGAACATATTAGGGCAGGCCTCTGCCCCCCAAGATGTCTAATGTGCCTACAGGTACGACTCGAGTACTCGAATAAGAATGACTCTATTCTAGTGTGTGGGTTGGGCGTTGGATCGCTGGCGCTCCCAAAAAAGTTTACAAGCATTCACCCTTTCAGGGCTCATTATATATTAAATAGGTTAAAATAGTTAATTTATTTTTAGAAATATTTATTTTTATTGTATTTTATTATTTTTTAGAATTAATTATTAACTTTTAATATTTTGGATAGAAATGATAAAGGTTAAAAAGGTTAAAATTATTTTAGAAAAATAAAAAAATATTGGATTGATTTTAGATATTGGATTATAAATTCATAATTTTAACTTTAAAATTTGGATAGAAAATATTAGTAAAGAACATAGCTCATAGAAAATGGATCGATGGAAAGATTGGTTGGAATCACAAGGTATTCCACTTCCATCACTATTTTGGATTATCAATTGTCCATCCAATAAACAACAGATTCTACATGGGTGGATAAATAAAGTTGGAGATTGTTTTTGGTATGTAGATACTGTAACTATTTGAATATTGGGAGGTCTAAATCTTTCAGGAATAAAAACATCAGTATATACTTCTGAAGCTGTAGTTTGCATTGTCAAGGTTGGAGGTGAATCAACACAAAGTGTAACCAGTTTACCAATTCTTACAAAATGGATTTGGTTGTATGAATAGACATATGATACCAAGTTGAAATATAACCTGGATTGGATGATAAACGAGAATGCTTTAGTGAGAGTGGTTCTAGCGATTACAAGAGACAAAACATTGACTATCAATGTTGTATGTAATAGGTTGAATGTTACTGTCATCATAGAATGTTGGTATATTAAATATAAATTGCTGTTATCGTTCAAAGTTGATCTGAATCTATAGGACCTCTATATCTATAATAGAAGACTACCCTCTTTAGTAGTACCAATCTTTGTTCACATAAGAGATCGAAAAAAAAAAAAAAAAAAAAGGATGTGGTGTCAAAGTGTTTCAAACAAGAATTTCAATACCAACAACAACAACAACAACATTAAAAGGAGAACCCATGTTTTCTATTATCTTACGACATCTCTTTTAATCATAACATGTATAATGCTTTGACAATAACAGAAATTGCATCACAAAGCGATTTCAAACGATGGTCAGCAAAACAAGTAAAAGAATGGGCTACAAAAGAAGTTCAAGTAAGAGAAGAATATGCCCAGATGCTTCTTGATAATGATGTAGATGGAGAGAGTATCGCAGTGTTTACAGAGGCTGATTTTGGTAAATGTGGCATAGTCGTCACACCTGCAAAGAAGCTCTATCTGCTGCTCAACAACTTTTAATTAAACAACAACAATCGCTATCGCATCAACACAGCAGCAGTAGAGGTAAGTAATGATAGTTATACATCTATCTTCTATTTAGCCAACATATTCGTCTTGTTCGCACATGATTGTCATTCGTCAGATTCCCTCCACTACCACCACCACCCATCATTATGACCGTTGCTCGTCACGCGGGTGTTGTGTGGTTCAAGTCATCTATTAATCACACTGCCACCACCTACTATAGGTCTTTTCTTATCATCGCTCACCCATCTTCCAATGATTTTATTTATATTTTTTGTTAATAATTACAATATTTTTTTCTTGGAGTTTGATGATAAATGCACTCTTTCCGCAGCAGTCCACTATGTATTCTTTCTGTTACATATTCTACCCAAGTATTTATTCTTTTTTGTCATTTATTGTTTCTCTACCTCATATTTCTCGTTATTAGCCATCAACAAAGAAAATCATCATCACCTTGTTCATATATATATTCATTCGCATCCCTTGTTCGAATATTTATTTTTTGTATTGTAATTTTATCTTTCTTTGTGAGACATATTGTTTTTACCTTATCAAGCTATTTGTTATTCTTTTAGTTCTCATTGGGTGTATTTGTTTGTTCATCTTTGCATCGTATTTCAATTATTTGTCAAAAAAGATAGACATCGATCCTTCATTTCACAAAGTTATTTATTCTTTGTGCTTATATATATTTCCTTTCTATTCTTTTATTTGTCAAACAAATAGATACATACACCTCGACAAGATCTACACTTCCTTCCCCATCAAGAGAAATGGCAGAAACAAATAAAGGTATGATATTATTCAGCGGTGGCTTGTTCATTTAAAGTCTTCTTTTGTCAGCATTACTCACCATCCTATTTTAATGCAACTACAGTAACACCAAAAGATTGGACAAAGGAAGAGGTTTTTGAATGGGCAAATACTCATAAAAATCAAGACGTAAAAGACCTTTCCGTAACTTTCAAAGAGCAAGATATCGATGGAGCCAGCCTTTCAAATCTAACGATTGAAGTCTTGCGATCTTTTGGCCTCACCTTTGGAAAATCAAATACTCTTTATTCTGCGATCCAGACTCTTATTGGAAGTATGTATCAACAATTATTAAATAATTAACAATTGGTGTTAACTGATTCCTTTACTTTTATAGAACCTACCATCGGCATTTCTGCCCCAACTCCCCAAGGTAAGACACTATCATTGCTCCTCTTTTTACACCATTTCTTTTGATTATCTTTTTGTTTTCATTACCAATCAATGCACCACCCATCTCTTTCCTTTTAACCACTTGCTATTGTCGAACCAACCAAACACTAAACATTTGTCATTTTGTTTGTTCATCTTTTATGTCATTGACCTCTTGTGCTCATTCATATTTATAATCCTTTGGTCAAATCAAATACCATTGTCCATTCACCAAGCTACACCACTCTTTATCACTCTACATCCTTTTATTTTTATCGCCCATCTCTTTTCCATCTTATCCACTCCTTTTGTCAAACATACCTAATTGGTGATTCAACCAATTACCATCATTCAATCATTTTGTTTTGCTTTGTTTGTTCTCACATTACAGGCCTTCACTTGCCTCATTTTGTTGCTGGTCAATCCACCTCCAACCATTCCTAATATTATATCACCATTCATATCACTGGGCTTTCAAATAACTTTGTGATGATGCATTCACTCAAACCTCTACCTTTTGTTGTTAGTTTGATTACGCACCTATCCTATTAAATTTAAACAATACTCCCTTTATCATTTATCTTTCAATCAGATGTTGCATAACATTATCATCAGCCTTTTTTTGTTACCGTTTGTTCCCTCTTTCAAAATAACATCGTGTTGCATTCACTCAAGCCCCACCTTTTGTTTGTTAGTTTGATTCACGTACCTATTCGGAAAACAATACTTTTATCATTTATTGATCATCTCACATAAATTTAATCCTTCCATCAATAATCCTTTAGATCTTTTATTGCCAAGACTCGATAAGATGGTGACATTACTCTCTAAAATGGCAAACAACAAACTTGAAAACCAATCTCACTCTGTGTCATATTCTGACTATTTTTATGAAATTAAAGAGAATATATCAACAGGCCCTTTTTGGCTCGAATTGACTAAAACCAAAGAGCCAAAGGGTTTTGGTAAGAACCTTTCATCAACTGAGACCAAACTGCATCAAGAACTCGTCAAGCAGTTCAAGCAGCTCACCAAGGATACATCAACACTGGAGGTGCACGACACAAGCAAGAACTTTTATCTTTTGGATAACCGATCAAAGTCACAAAACCCCAAAGCACCTGACTGGTCATTTGTGGTCAAAGGGATGCCGATCGAACAAGACTGGGTCCAAGTAGTTGGAGACACCAAGACGAGTGCCAACTTCGCACCAGAACACATTGGCCAAGTCCTGAAGTATGCAGACATTATCCTCAACAATACCTGTCACAAAACCACTACTGCTTTCTTAGTCAATGAAACATCCATTATATTTTGGATGGTGGCAAAGGGAACAGGTGGAAACAGTTACAGGAAGTTTGGACCGCTTCCATTCCATTCGCGCATTGGAGATACTGCATTTCGCTACATTTATTCTCTTCTGCACCAGCCAGTTACTTCTGGCTTCCCCGACGACGTACCACTGGATATCAAGAGGACATCAATGTTCCTAAAGGAGGGAGCTTCATCAACAGTCTACTCTGCTATTCATGAAGAGAAAGAAGTGGTCCTCAAGATTTACAAGCAAGAACAAGACAGATTGAAAGAATATCAGGCACTCAAAGACATGCCAAATATCCATGGTGTCAGCTCGATTATTTTACATGGAAACGAATGGAGTCTCATTACACCAGTTGGAGATGTGCTTTCATCTGAGGAATTTACACCAAATACATTTGAAAAGGTAAAATATTTAGTTTGTTGTTAAAAATTATCATCCCTTCTAATATATATATATATTTAGCTTGTCCGTATTCTTCAACAAGTTCACCATACTACAGGTCGGGTCCATCGTGACATCAGATCCCCAAATATCGTAATGGCCAATGATGGACCTGTGATTATTGATTGGACATTTTCTACCAAGACAAGAGAGCCTATCCCTTACCTTTTACACTGCATCTGATGCCGTATTGGTGTCTTTATCGAATGGTGGCCATCATGCATCAACTTTTTCCGATGATTTGGTGTCTTTGGCAAGATCTTATATTCTCCTGCGCAATCCCAAGACCCACGTCCATCAAGCATCGTTGGGCGAACCCGTTCAATTGTTGTCTCTATGGAAATCTGCACCACTCTATCCACATGAGACGGGTCTTTTGGATGCGGCTTTCAAAACCGACTACCAGGAAATGATCAAATTTGCTGTTGGGAAATAAATTATTATTATTACTGTTTCTTACCACCGATTTTATTGTGCAAATTTATAAGAATATCTTTTTGTGTAATCAACATGCTTTTATATTATTATAAATTTACTACATATAATAATTGATCTGTGTGATAAGCGTGATAAATATGTGTATGGGGTTAGTGGTTTATAGTGATTGAATAAATGAGTCAAGATATATTATGTGTGATCATTGCAGGTGTGAGTGAGCAATCAAATCAAAAAAACCAATCAAAAAAAAAAAAAATAAGCAGTTGGGTGTTATCAAGAGAAAAAAATAATACAAAGCTTCATTTTAATTTAAATTTACTTAGGGAGAGAGAGAGATGGGAGTAATATTAACAAAAGAACAAGAAAAAGAGTATAAGAGAAAAAGACAAACGTTGGGACCAGGATATCATTTTAATAAATCATTCATGTCAATGGATGATATCATGCATGATGATGTAGTATTTCCAAAATCAAGATTAAAAAAACATATAGTAGATCCAAGAGAAGAATTTCCAGGTGATATGGTAGATGAAAAGAAAGCAGGATCACTATTTATCATCAATAAACAACAACATTTCAATAATTCCATTAAAGATTTAGATCAAAAATATCAAGGAGGAGGAGGAGAAGAGAGTGGAGCAAGTGAGATCAAAAAGACTATAGAGTACCAAGAATGTCTTCTTGTTGCCTTGGCCTTTTCTTCTTTTCGAATCATGTGTATTGATTAAATGTTGATGGACTTCATTTTACACATATATCTCGTCTATGGATTATTGTTGGGCCTCTCGACTCATCACTTCACAAGGTTCACATAGTTGGCAGTTCTGGTATCCTACGATTGGTTCATGAACCCTTTTCTTTGGTAGACGACCGGTTTGTAGAGCTAGCTGTTTCTCTAGTGGCTAGGAATCTTTCTAGGATAACTCCGGATGATAATGACCAGATTCACGAAGATCATTCGAGATGGGAGGATGAGCGACCAATCACATGTAGATGGATGGGTTGTAAACACCCCAATTTAACAGTTTGTCTTCTCCACGATCACATTAAAAGTCACCTTAGCGCACTGGTCTCCAATACAACAAGATCACCCAAAAAGAATAAGGTACAGTGCCAATGGATCAAAGAGGACCAATCCACATGTGGAGTAAACTTGGACAAATCAGAGTTTGCTGTGATAGATCACATAAGAGGTCTACATTTAGATGCAAAGGATGGTCAACTCAGAAAATCCACACCACTAATCTCATCCTCCAATCCCAAAGACCCATTGTCATCCATTTATCTTGGTGCATTAGGATTTCCCCCAACTGCTGACCCTCGCCTCTATCTTTTCAAAACGAGGGATCCACTTTATTATACCTATAGTGAGAATATTATCGCCCAATTGGGATAATCCCCCTATCACGGTCCACAACTGTATCATGTACAGAAAGGTGTTTATATGCACTATCTACACTGTTAAAACACCCAATTCGGTTGTTCCCCTCGACACCCCTCGCCGACCACTGGTACTTGGCGAAAAAGAATCCTACCATCGAGTTGGATTTTCCTTCCAAGAAAGAAGCAAAGAGATCGATGGAAAAGCTCAGCTCAAGCTTCACAAAGAGACACCACTATTTCTGAGAACGTTCCTCCAGGAGTTTCTAAACCAAAGCATAGAAAGGCTAAGGGATATCGTGTATTATTTAAAAGTACATGCCGCCCTAAATGAAAATACTCTCTTGTTTGAATATTTCAACCAAGTTACACAGCAATAAATTAAATTAAAAATAATAATTAAAAAAAAAAAGTTTTTGGGGTGAGATGTTTGATCAAAACTTGGTGATGTTCATCATTCATTAATTTAATTTAAATTTATAGTTTTATATATACACATACACAATAGATAGATAGATAGATAAAAGATGACAGCTCAACCAATGCAACAAGATCTCTCAAACGTTGCTGAAAAGGCAATCAAAGAGAACAGAGAGTTAGCAAAAGTAATTATCAAACAATTAATCAATCAATCAATCAATCAATCTATTCAGATTACAGTTGATCAACTAACACATTTGACTTATATACTTATATATACCTATACACTGCTATAAAGAAATCACTTATCGATGCAATTGATCAATTATTGATTGCTGAGAAACAAACAAGACAAGCAGAAGATGTTCCATCAACCAGTAAAATAGCTGCTGAAATCATCAAGCTTTGTTATGAACAAAAGAGATTCGATCTAATCAATGAAAAGCTTATTTTATTATCAAAGAGAAGAGGTCAATTCAGACCAGTATGTATTTATGAAAAGAAGGAGAAAAATAGAGTAAAATGAAAAAATATTTATATTAATACATACATACATAATACTATATCTATCTATTTATGAAATGTTTTTGTTTAGACCATTAAAGCTATTGTTCAAGAAGCAATGACCTATGTAGATATTACATCTGATATGAAAATTAAATTAGAATTGATTGATACTTTAAGAGTCATCACTGATGGAAAGGTACGTGAGAGAAAGTGAACTTCAATCAGATTGATCCATACATCTTATTTACTTTCTTTCTTTTTTAATATTACTATGATTTATTTAGATCTTTGTTGAAAATGAAAGAGCAAGATTAACTCGTACATTATCAAAGATCAAGGAAGATGAAGGAGATATATCAGAGGCAGCCAAGATTTTACAAGATTTACAGGTTGAAACCTATGGATCGATGGAGAAGCGTGAAAAGATGCAATTCTTTATCGAACAAATGAGATTGTGTATGAACAACAAGGACTTTATTCGTGCCCAACTCATTGCCAACAAGGTCAACAGAAAGACATTGGCCGAAGAAGAGAACCACGACCTCAAGGTTGAATTCTACAAACAAATGATCCGTTACTATTCAAATGAAGCAAACTATTTGGAAATTACCCGTTGTTATCTCCAAATCTACGATACCCCATTCATCCAAAAGGATCAAACCCAATTAAACGAGGTCTTGAAATTGGCTTCTCTCAATGTTGTCCTCGCTCCAATGGACAATGAACAAACCGATTTATTAAATAGAATTTATGATTACAAACCATTAAATAATTTACCAGTTTATAAGTATGAAAATAGAAAAGAAAAGAAAAGAAAAGAAAAAGAAAGATATAAAGATCAAAAAATATATTTATACTTTATTTTTTTAATTTAGGGAATTATTAAATCAATTCAAGACATCTGAATTGGTTGGATGGACCAATTTAGTTAAAAACTATGAAACTGAATTAAATACTCAATCCATTTTCAAGGGTGACAAGAATTGTTGGAATGATTTAAAAAAGAGAGTTGTTGAACATGTAAGTCATATAAACAAACAAACAAACAAATTATTTATATTAACTTTTATTTTTTGCTCTATTTTATTTTAGAATCTTAAAGTTATTTCAACTTATTACAAGAGAATTTCAACCAAGAGATTATCACAATTATTAGACTTGTCAGACGATGAATCCGAACGTTTCATCTCTGATCTCGTATCCAACAAGACTATTTTTGCCAGAATCGATAGACCCGCTGGTCTTGTCAACTTTATCACTCCAAAGGACTCTGCTACTGTCCTCAATGGTTGGGCTCAAGATATTTCATCTCTATTGGATTTGGTTGAAAAGACTAATCATTTAATTCAAAGAGAATTTATGATTCATAAGGTTATTTAAACAAAACATAAATACAACAAAAAAGAGAATTAGACTATTGTAGATCCATGAATAAATATAAAGAATAATAATAACATCAAAAAAGAAATGCTATCCATCATAATAACCTCTTGGCATATGTATCCAAAAGAAAGAAAGAAAGAAAAAAAAAAAAGTAAAATAAATCTAAAGATAATTGTACAACTTAATAATACTTTAATACTTTAAATAGATATACAGATGGATTGATGGAAAGAAAAATGTGGTACGTTTTGTATTGTTGTAAAACCATCATAAAAAATAAAAATTAATGTTGAAGGGTGTGTGAAGATGGAGGGGTGTAAACAGTGTGTTATTCGAACATCGCAGTTAATTCAACAACAACAATCCTATCTATTGGTTAAATATCTCACTCTCTTTCTTTGTCTTTGTCTTACCCACAAACAGTGTACTGTTTGACTTGATATGGTTGGGTTAGATACAAGATACGTGTAGATCAATTGATAATATCATCAGTTCAACACAACCAACCTGACTTTTGTTTGATGTGATATGGTATTATCACATAGTGATGTGACACATTAATCGTCAGCACAACAAGTTGTTTGATAAGTTGTATCCTCCACTCCTCCTCCTCCTCCTCCTCAACATTATAAAGATTACAATTAATTTTTTTGTCACTCTTTGAATAATAATAATATTAATACTAATATTTATTATAAAGTGGAAATTAACATCGACATCATCAACGTACGACGTCACCATACAATTAGTCCCAACATGTAGTATGTTGAGTATAACTCGGTTTACAAGTATGCACAGAATGAAACAGTTAAAGTTCAACAAGCATCATCAATCAGCAATATCATACAATCTATTTTTTTTTTTTGGATAGATGGATCGTTTGGAAATAGGTGATTGTAGTTGTGAACATTAACCATTAACCATATTTAATAATAATAATATGTAATATTACAAATTATTAAACAACAACAGAACCAAGAACAAACAACAACAACAATCAAACTAACAACCTTAACCATTAATTAATTTTTAATTTTAAAAATACAAATAATATTTTATTTAAATATTAACTATTGATCTATATATATATATATAAATAGGGTCATTCATGACAAGAAGAATCTAAAAAAAAGAAAAGATGGTGATCAATACAATTAAATTATTTATAGTTTTAATTATTATAATACTCGATTATGGATACTCTCCATTGGTATTTGCATTCTATGACAATAATATTAAACCAATTGAACTTTTACAATTAATGTCTATTGGTAATTATAATCCATATAAAGTGGTAAGTGTCCTCACATAATCTAGATTCAATTCAAAATCCATCCAACAACAAACAACAATATTAATATTAATATTAATATTATTATTATTATTATTATTATTATTATTATTATTATTATTATTATTTACTATATAGTACGGAATTGAAACACTTGTTGGTGATACAGATAAAATGAAATTAATCTTGGACACTCAAACTAAAACTACGGCTGTTGTATCGACAGAGTGTAAAGATGGATGTCTGCCTATCGAGCCAAGATATTCACCATCTTCTACATCCCTCATCGAAAAACAAATGCAAAGTGGTGCATATACAGATTTAACAAATTATCTTGGGTATATTTATAGATAGACACAATCAAATATTTTAAAAAGGTACTTACATATCTCTTTTTTTAGAAATGAAATTACAGATCAATTTTCCTTTGCGAATGGTACAACAACTAAAATATTTACAAGATTTGTATCAATTATATCTCAATCTAAACCATGGTCTATTGAATGTAAGTACAAACTTCAACTTTCAAAAAATAACTAAATAGTAAAAGAAAATAATAATATTAATTAATAATATTGTTAAATTAAATTTAGATGGTGAAGCATCAAGTATTAAAGCTCAAGGAGTTTTGGGATTAGGATATGGATTAGGAGCAACTACTTTTATGGCACAATTTGCAAAACAAACAAATGGATCTGAAGTATTTGCTTTAAGTTATTGTCCTGGTAATCCTAGAATTTGGATTGGTGGTATTGATACTACTGTTTTAACTGATCCATTAACTATAACAAATTTAGATGTATGTCCAAAAAACAAATCATAAAAAACAATCATAATAATTTATTTAATAATTTACTTTATAATATTATTTTCTAAAGGGAGGAACATATGGATTTAAAATTGATAATGTTTATCTTGGAGATAGAACATTATGGCAAGTTTCTGATTTTGTTTATCGTGCAATTGTCGATGCTAAATTGCCATATACACTATTGCCATCATCGATATTTCATCAGACACTGCAATTCTTGTCAAAGGTGAAGCCGTTTGCAAGCAAGATGTCGACACGTTTCTTTTTGGAGAAAAAATGTATTCTTAGCCCATTTGGTAAGATGTCCAACAAGGAGATCAACGAACAAATCCCACCTCTCAGAATACTGTTTAATAAAGAGAGAAACCCAAGCGAGCTAGTGTTGGATGCTGTGCCAAGTTTGTTTGTACTGGTTGACGATATGGTGTGTCCGGGTATCGTCGAAACACTCGACTATGTCATCTCGCTCGGTGGAAACGTCCTCGAACAGTATCTGGTGCTCTTTGACCAGGAGAATAGTAGACTTGGATTTGGACGTATGGACACATGCGACGCTAAGCGTTGGTTGGTTGGTAATTGGAGTAAATGCTCGTTGGACAAGCAGTCGGGCTGCGCCATCCAGTCGAGACGTGTCATATGTGCGTTTGGACGAAGCAAAGTGCTCCCAGAATCAGACTGCGCCGACACGGTCCGTCCCCCATCCTACCGAAACTGCGGTGAAAAGCCAACCCCCAAACCAACGGCACCCAAGCCAAGAAACGCACCTCCTGTCGAGATTGAGTACTTGGACAAGGAATGCGTACTCCGAAACGCAACGTCGCAGTGGAAGATTGTGGGCGACTGGAACGACTGCACGCAGATCTGTGGGTCAGGCACACAAAAGAGAAACGTGTATTGTATCGACCCGTACGGTGCAGTTGAGGATGACACCGGCAAGTGTCTGGAGCGAATGCCCGCCGACCAGAGACTGTGTGCCGTTCGAAAATGTCCGTCAGAGTTTCATTGGGAGGTGTCTCCTTGGTCGGGATGTTCAGAGCAGTGTGGAGAGAATGGATTCCAGAATCGCCAGAGTACATGTATCGACGCTGCCACTTGGCGGTCTGTAGACACTGACCGATGCATCTCACCGCCACCAGAAGTCCAAAAAAAGTGTCGTGGACAGCCCATGTGCACACTCTTTAAATGGGACTTTGAGCCTTGTGAGCCTATCTGCTCATCAGACGATCCTGACCGACTCGCCTACATCTACTGCTTCAACACGACAAGCAACAAACAAGTTGACCAGAGAAACTGTAACGGTATCAACAACCTCCGTCTACCCAAAGAATGTGGATGCAAGAGACACCGCAAAGTAACCGTTATCGACGGGTCCGTAATTGTCGAAGAAGTAGTCGAATCTGATTCATCTCCAGCCACCTCTATCCACTATCCCATCTTATCCCATTATTATTACAACAACACCATCATTAGCATTGTATCAATTATATTTATTTTCTTTAAACTATTATTATTTTGACCCCAACCCTAAATAAATAATTAAATCAATCAATCAATCAATTAAAGAATACTATACTCCATACTATACTACATATATATACTATCATTTATGATTATTATTATACAACATTTTATATTATTATTATTTATTATTATATTATATTATTTCAAGAGACATCCAAAAGTGTGTTTTGGAGACTAAGTTATATTATTTCTTATTTCTTGATTTCCTTTAAAGTAGTATCAAAACGATCAAAGAATTGATTGATATGATTTGGTTGACAAATCAACATTGGTCTCATTCTAATGGCTTCGGTACCACAACCACCAGTCTCGACACCCTTGGCACGGAGCGAGTTGACGATTTGGTCTCTGATTTGTGGTGATGGGAGGTCGAAAGCCAAGAAAGTGCCGAGACCTCTGACATTGCGGAGGAGGTGTGGGAAACGTGTTTGGAATTCGTCCAAGCCGTCCTTGAGGTACTTGCCAGTGATGGCGACATTGTCGAGGAGGTGGTTCTTTTTGATTTGTTCGACGACAACCTCGAGCTCGAGGGCACGCAAGGGGTCACCCATCCAGGTGTTGAAGTTTCTGTAGCTCTCGGAGGGACGGAACTCAATGTTGTGGTAGAAGCCGGCGGCTTGCATCTTTTTGGAAAAGGTGACAATGTCGGGTGGCGAAGAGAGGTTCCAGTGGTCGTGTGCCCAGAACTTGCCGGTGGCACCCATACCGGTCTGCACCTCGTCGACGATCATCGAGACGCCGTGACGCTTGGTGAGGTCACGCAATTGTTGGAAAAAGTATGGGGTGGCCCAGTTGTCACCACCCTCGGCTTGAATGGGCTCGACGATGAGACCGGCGACGGGGATGTGCCACGTCTTGATGAGATGCTCAACCTCGGCGAGACAACGGTCTTCCTCGGCACGATTCTCCTTTTCGTGTGCGGCGAGGGGGTACTTGAGGTCGGGGAAGGAGGCAGCGGGCCAGTCAAAGGCGGGAATGTCGAGTTTGTGGATGGGCTTGGATCGAGTGCACGAGAGCGTGCCAAAGGTACGGCCGTGGAACCCCTTCTTGAACGAGAGGATCGAGAGAGCCGGCGAGCCGGGTGCTTGGTTGTTCATGCACGATTGGATGTCCTCTTCGTTGAATGGCTTGCCTCCACGCTTGATGTGTTGGTAGTGCATAAACACAGCCTTGAATGCACACTCGTTGGCACATGATCCGCACATTGCTGTAAACACATTGTGCAGACCTTTGGGTGCGACGGCCATAAACGAGTTTTGAATGATCGATGGCCATTCCTTGGGTGGCAGCACACCGAGTGAGGGACGGTTGATAATGGCCGAGATCCACTTGTCAGACTTGGCAGCCTTGATCAATTCGGGGTTGTTGTAACCAATGGGGATCGAAGCAATTTGACAGTACAAATCCAACAAGATATTACCATCGACGTCGGCGATATAGTTGCCACGCGAGTTGCTATAGTCGGCAAAGAAATGAGTGGCACGTGGGTCTTGTACTGCATTCAACTTTTTGTAGAGGTCGAGTGATTGTGGACCTGGGATAACAGTCTTGACCTTTGGTTCACGGTATTCACCTGGGAACTCTGGTGTTGGTGTAGTTGGTACTTTACCTCCAACTGTACTAAAGTGTCTAATCAAATCTAAAATAGAAATAATAAATGTAAATTTTAATGTAATGTTCTTCCTTTTCTGATGGTAAGCTAGACTACGACTACTACTCCTTCAAAGACACTATCATTCACTCGATCATCATTCTCAAGAAAGAATCATGAATGTGTCACTATCTATATGTATGTCTGTCTGTCTGTCTGATGATATCATTGCAAGCTTGAGGGAGAGGAGAAGACTGATGTGGTGTGATGTGATGTGATGTGATGACAGGTAATTGTGATAGTACATACATTGTGGTTTAACAACCTTTGAGATCATCATTTTGTTCTAAGTTGTTGTTAATATACTTTGTTAAAAGAAAAGAAGAAATAAGAACTGCTGATGATAGTTCGAGTTGGTAGTGTTGATGGGGAAAATTTAATATCCACAAACAATTGCAAAAAATATTCTTCAATTTCGGTGGGTCTGAACATCCCATGCATCCCAGGTGGTTCCAACTCTCTCTAAAAAGTCGAACTTCAAATATCGAAGGATTAAGCTCGGGATGCACCCTTTCAATCACTATGATAAACATTTTGGAAATGAACCAGATTTCTTTGAATCCTGATTATCACAATTATGATGCTTTCTTAAATCCCTGTAGACCTGTATTTTTTGTCACAAACCCCCCTCTTAAAATTGAAGTGATGTTACCCAAATGGCGAGAGGGGTGGGAAATTGAATATTTTTTCATCATTACTCCCCCAATTTGGGAATATTTTGTGTTGGTGGAACAATAATTAATAATTTGTTCAATTTCGATTATTACTATTATTTAATATTTATTAATACAGCCGAACAAATCAATGTTTAAATACAACAACTATCTTTCTATTTATTTATAAATATATCTAGAATTGTCATAATAACCAAACTTAGCGAAGAGTTATTTAAATTTATTTATTTATTATTTATTTACATTCATGTGTATAGTATTTATATTAAACAACAAACCACTCTATAATAGTAGTAGTAGTAGTAGTCAACATGATATAGACTGCGGTGGAAGTAGTAGTAGTGGTTCTAATAGTCATAACAATGGTGGTATACCATTCATCATATTAAATAATCGAGACGAGGTGTTTGCAAGACCTACACAACGTCTAAATAAATGGGTGTTGGGTGATAATAGTAGGAGTAGTGATACTTCAGGTGGTGCAGGAAGTGCAGGTGAAGATCATGATAACAATAGTAGTAGTAGTAACAATAACAATAACATCGATATATACGCAGGAAGAGATTTAAAGTTTGGAGGTACTTGGTTTGGTATAAACAACTATGGTTCATTTGCCATTCTATTAAACTATACTGTACCAAAGGAATTGTAGGTAGTCATTATCGCACACTACCTACAATTCCTCCTATATACTAATATGTCTTGTCTGTTGTTGATTATATAGAATCAGTCCAGATCTAAAGAGTAGAGGATTAATTATACCAGAGTTTCTCAAACACCCAAGTTCAGAATTAAAAGATTACATAGAGACAATGCAAAAAGAAAAGCATTTGTATCCACCTTTAAACTTGGTCGTTGGTAATGTAAAGACTGGTGAAATCTATTATATATGTAATTACAACAAATCCGATAATAATAATAATATGAATGATACAACGACCGAAGCTATTATATTGGGAGATCAAGTTGTAACAGTATCTAATGGAAATGTAAATGATAAATGGCCAAAAAGTAAGTAGAGTAGTAGATTGATATATATATATATATAAAGTATTAACATTTAATATGTTCTATGATTAATTAGTGAAAGTTGGAGAATTATTATTACAAGAATATTTTGATAATTTAAATAATAACCTTAACCCCAATCAACAAGGGTACGATATTAATAATATTCCATTGGATGGTTTATGGAATATATTATCAAACAACCAAAAACCAGATTTAAGCGATATACCCAAAGTAGGGTTGGAAGAGACTTTTGCCAAGCAATGCTCATCTGTATTTGTCGAAGAAGCACCAATCAATGGTACCAACTATGGAACACGAACATCATCTATTTTAATTGTTGATAATCAATTTAAAGCAAGATTCATCGAAAAGGATTATGTTAATCCTGGAATCACTGATATTACTTTTCAACTTGACCAATAATAATAATAATAATAATCATATAATTTATAATACTACTACTGCTACTATACTATTAAGACTATCGATACGATACATACATACATATATACATATAATAGTCAAATCGAAATCGAACCATAAGAGTTATAACTCTTTTAAAACAAATATTTTTTTTTTCACATCCTATATAACATACACATATTTTCTCTTGTACCATTACAACAGCAACAACAACAACAACATACATTTTTAATAAATATTAATATTAATTAATTTCATTCATATATTCATTGCAATGAATGAATGATTATTACAACCTTTTTTAAAAATACTGGAACAAGTTCTTTGGATTTAAAACTAAATAATAACATAAATATATTTGAACTCTAGTCTTGATTGATTGAATAGTATTCTCGAGTCGACACCAGACAACAAACAATCACGTCTCTGGAGATGCGAATGTTCCTTTAACGTCAAGGACTATCGTCGTGTTATCGATGACACCACCACCGTACTCAAAGCCGATGGTTCAAATCTCGAACTGAAGAGTATGACCGTGCCTTGGCAGATTTCCAAAAGGCTCACGAAAAGAGTCCAAACGATCACAACATTATGGACGGTGTTAGACGTGCACAACAGAAACAAAAGCAAGCCAAACGTAAAGACTATTACAAGTTGTTGGGTGTCGACAAGAGTGCATCACCACAAGAGATTAAAAAGGCATTCAAGAAGCTTGCACTCGTGCATCATCCAGACAAGGGTGATCAAAGTGAAGAGTCCAAGAAAAAGTATGTCGAAATGACAGAGGCCTATGAAACACTCATCGACCAAGAAGAGAGTGATAGATACGACCGTGGTGAAGACGTCAATTATCCAAAGGCCGGCCGTCAACAACAACAAGGATTCGGAGGTGGTTTCCCATTCGGAGGTGGTTTTGGATTTGGTGGTGGCGGTGGCGGTGGTCATCATCATCAACAACAACAACATTTTACTTTTAATTTTGGTGGATTTGGTCATTAAAATAAATTAAATAAATCCTATAAAATAACAAACCTTTGTGTAACCATTATTTTTCAATCAAATTATATATTTATTTTTTTTGGGATAAGTAAAATGAAACGTTTATTTTAATTGTTGGATACTTTTTTTAATTTGAAAGATTTAATATTGGCTTTAGCCTTTGCCATCCAATGATTCCGTTTGGCAACAGCAATGGTTGTAATGGCGAGTGCTATAAAGACAGAACCGCCTACGACCACTCCAGTGATAATCTTCCATTCCACGGGCTTGGAAGAGTCGCAATTCCCTGTTGCTTTGCTGCTAACAAATATTGAAAAATCCGGGTCAATCATAGAGTATTGACCAAACCATGGTAATGATATGCCGATAAACTGTGACTTGGCACTCCCGGATGATGATCCGTTAAACGATACCTCCTGGGTTTTGATGGAAATCGGATGACGATCGACCTCGGCAATTGATAGATACCTCGACACCATACCATTTTTGGGGTTCTGTACAGTGGAATACAAGTGGTTGGCAAAGGAGTCTGTGTGACGTTCAATCGAGCAATCGGGTTCGCTTGTTTGTGACTCTGATTGGAGAACAATTCTAATTGTGTTGAGAAGGCTGTTGAAAGGATAATCGCGTACCATGACTGTGAGTTTAAGGGTTTGAGGTGCTATATCAATGTCTTGGCCAGCAAACTTTACAATCTGTGATTGTTCAAAATAGGTAAAGTTTACAATCAACACACATCCATTGTCGAGCTGTGTTGTATATGACCAGAGGGGTTGGGGGATAGTCTGGTTGATGAGACTCCAATCAAGAGTGGATAGATTGTACGCTACAAAAGTATTGGACTCGATATCCAACTCCTCCAAACCAACCAATCGTACTGTATACTTGCTTGAATCGTCATTACCTCCAACAATGTCGATATCGGTGTTGTTCCCAGTGCCCGGTAACACGGTTATATTGGTCTGTTGCTGTGAACAATCGGAGCCAATGAATCCAGCCGTACACACACACCCAAGGGTGGTGCACACACCATGGACATTGCAAGTAACATCATCGGAACAACCTGCATTGTACTTGGCCGCTACATTTAGATAGAGGATGTCTGGGATGGTAAAGGTGTTGATCTTGACGATGACTGGGTAGCCTATTGGTTCGTATACACGATGTCCTCTGATTAGACATTGTATCGATGATTGATTGGTAACAGAGTTGGAGTAGCCGGTTATGGTGCATGATGAATTGCCAACAGTGACACTAATGGCGTCCTTGTCGGACCCCATCCTTGTACCGCTGATGATAATCACTCCGCCATCCACATCTGTCGCTCCGTTTGCATCGATTGCAATGACACTTGGACGCAGACAATTTGTGCTATTAAAGTCGAATCCAGGGGGGCATGTACATGTGTATGACCCATTGGTTGGGCACAAACAGCCATTGGATCGGTACACGGATTGCTATTGCACTTGTTGTCCACATAACATGTCTTTGAATCCAAATTTAACAAATAACCTGGATAACATCCACATTGAAATGAACCCATAGAATTGGTACAAGTTTGTTGGCATCCTCCATTTCCATTTAAACATTCGTTTACATCTATAACATGTGTTGAGCAACAAACACAAAAAAGGTTTGTTAGTTTGTGTTTCCAAAAGATGATGTGTGGTAAAACACCGAGCGCGGTGTGTCGTTAACTTTACCTTTTTCACAATAAGTTCCTAACAAACTTGGCGGACATTTACATACACCATTTGAACAAGGTGCACCGTTACAATTTGGACAAACAAATCGACCTATTGGATAATTGGTTTGTTGCATATACAGATTGCCAGTTGTCGAGCATATACTCTCTGGAAAGGTGGACACACCACTCCCTGGGATCCCTACCATTGGATACCCAAGGGTACATGTAACAGCGACAAGGTAGTTTTGAACAGAAGTTGTGGAAGCTAGTAGGTTGATTGAATTGGCTTCTTGGAGTGTAGCCCCTACTCCACAAAACGGATTAGGAGTGCTACCAATCACAAGATAAAAGTCATCTATCGGGTGACTTCCATATCTGCAACGCCCATAGTACAGCGTCCTGTCTGCTCCAAAATTTGCAGTAGATGCTCTGCCTGGAGTTTCGGTATATTCAGCAGGACACCCTCCAAAGAAAGAACCATACACAACATATTCATTATCTGCAGAAATAAAATAACACTTTTCAATTACAAGATATAAACCAAGTAAATATAGAATCTCTTTCTCTCTCTCTTTTCTCTTTCTCTTTTCAAAGAAGAATATTGTGACATCGTACCTCGCGAGCATTAATTGAATTTGTGAAATCGGTTAGACAGCCTCTTTGATCGTAATAGATCTGACCACTTGAACATTGAGCTTTTACACTAGTATCATTGCTAATGAACAAACTAAATATTAAGAACAAGAGTAATTTCATTGTGGTTATTTGTATCGAATAAAAAACAAAGTTCATCACTTGTCACAACAGGACCTGTTGCAGAACTGCTGTGAGCGACAATGAGACCAATTGAGTTTTGTGAACTCTGCCCTTTTTTACTCGCTTGATTCAACTAAAAATCAATGTCCATTCTTCATTGCTGACCATACCATACCAGTCAACAAGTTCTCCAAATTCTTTGTTACATTCCCACATTTGTCAACCGCAGAATAGAAACACCTTCTATGCGATATCGATGTGAATGCTGTTGATGGTTCAAACAGATATAACTATTGGTGAGTATTTATCGTGCAAGGAATGTATAACCAACAGATGATTGGGCACCCAAACAATCTAGCTCATTGGTAATGGATATGCAATATAAATAAATAACGATTGGTTTATTTATACTTGCATTCAAACAAATCTTTCATCACTTACTTTTTGTTCCTCTTTTTCTTGTCTCTCTTTTCGTAGACGAGATACATAGTCTACCTTGTTCTTTAACATATCCTCTATTCTCTTTTTTTTACTATCTTCATCGTTTGGTGGTGGCGGAGTCGAAGAAGAAGAAGAAGAGGAATACCATCGATGGTATCTACACATCTGACCAACATATTTATGATTGATGTGACTCTTCTTTAACGTTGATCATCCAATAACACCATTATTGATAGAGTTGAATCTGTTGCTGCTATACTTGATAGTCGTAGACACAACAGTAGAGGTTGATGATATTAATTTGCAATTCATTCTTGCTCGAGATGAAATAATAAAATGAATTTGGAAGGTGTATTAAATATTTGCAAAATCATAAATTAAATAATTAATTTGTTTAAAAAGTAGAGAAAAGAATATAGTAAAATCATGATAATCCTATTGCCAACCTTGTCCATCTCTCACTCTCCATGGATAGATAGATAGATCAGGTTGTCTCTTTTGATTTTGTACAAAAGCTCTTCTTGATTTAAGCTTTTTTTTGGTGTTATAGTAGTGTATGCATGTCGGTGGTGATCGTTGAACCATGTGTCATCATCGCTTTGTTCTAATCGTCACGACGAGGATTATATAGGTGTTTCGCATGCGCCGTCGTATGTCATTGTTGTTTTCTGTTGTTGTTTAAATAATATTCTTTGGCATGGCAATTCCAAGTTTAGTTTCCATTTGTGAGTGTAAAGTTGGTAATGGTGTCTCTGACATTAATGGATCTAAATAGGATAGGACAAATAAATAGATGAGTATTGTATATTATAGGTGGTGTGATTGATGATCAATCAATCAAATCAATTAAAAATAAATAGTACCATTCAAATAATCTTCAAAATCAATATCTTTATGTGCAATGAATGAATGATTACAACCTTTTTTAAAAATACTGGAACAAGTTCTTGGATTTAAAACTAAATAATAACATAAATATATTTGAAATCTAATCTTGATTGATTTGTTTGTTTAAAATATTAGAGTCAAGTACTTGGTCACTCTGACGACATGACATCCATGTTGGTTGTTGGATTATTATTGATTCTTTTTATTCTTGTTAAATAGAGCAATGATTCTTTGTGGTGTTCCAATAGTCATTCTTAGGAACATCTTTTTGAAATATTGGTGTCTTGCAAACAAGGTGCCATAGAACAACAATACAAATGGATAACATGTAAACATGGTGGCAAAGTAGGCGAGTGTGAATTGCCATGGACCACCAAAGACAGTGCCCTCCACTTGCCAGAGATTCTTGAGAATCCATTTAACAACGACTACAGCGGTTGGACCAGTCACACCAAAGATTGCAAACTGGTATGCCTTTTCAATAAACCATTTACGACTGTACGTTGGATAGTCATATGTATTCTTTAAGTATTTATCATAAAGTGTTATATTATTCTTATTGTTTTCATTACTATCTTCTACTATCTTTGTATCTTCTTTATCTTCTTTATCTTTGTTTTCTACATTATTATTATTACTACTACTACTACTATTATTTCTATTACTAATCATTTTGTTATTATTATTATTATTATTATTTAAATATATTCTTGATGTTGATGTTGATGTTGATGAAGATGTTGACAGTGATGAAGATAAGATACTAAATGTATTATTGCAATTAATCTTTTTAGAGTTGAAAGAATGAATAAATGAATGAGATGGTTGTGCAGCACCAGCACAACTAGTTGAAAATAATAATTTTGATTGAAGATCTTTGGTGATGTTCTTGAAGTTGAGGTTATTGTTGTTAAGATAACTAGAAGTAGTAGTAGTAGTAGCTTGACTATAAGATCTTTGCAATGATGATGATGATGATGAGGTTGGGTTGGTTCCCAATACTCTTACTAATCTTGATATCATCATTCTCTATTTTGTGTGTTTATATATATATATATATATTGTATTAATTAATCTCTCTCTCTCTTTGATATTACTAAAGAGATGCTTATGAAAAGAGACTTAAAAGAAAGAATGAATGAATGCAATATTAATGGATTGATTGGTTCCCAAACGAGTTATAACCATTTTATTTTTTAAAAGCAACCTCCACAACTCCAACATCGAATCTGAGGATCAGATTCTTACGTGTACAGCATTATGATGATGATCATCATAAGTGTGCAACTTCACAACTTCCCAACTTTATTGTGATCACAATCTTATGACACAACATTCGTGTTCATTATACAAAGTGAAAGCAAAGCAAAGAAGATGTGGTGGGGGTTTTGGTTGATAGATTATTCTAGCCGAGAATCCCCGTCCTTTAAAAGCCGATATTAATATCTTATTCACGTGACAGTAATACTATCGGAACAAGAATGAAATGAATCAACAAGTATCGTGATAGACAACAACAACAACAACATACTATACTATCACCACCATACATACTACACAATCAGTATGTGAAATTGTATGTATACAAATATTATATTACATATCTGCAAATGTTATTTTGTTGTCTTGTTGTTTATGTTTGTTCACACTTGGTTGAGTTGATGATAAAGATAGGTAGTACTATTACTATCATCACCATCATCATCATTAACATCATCATCTTTCAAGATTGGTTGGGGGTAGAGTGCTTGAATAACAGAACAGAAAACAGAAATTAACACGCACACACATTGGATAGATAGTCAGACGGACAGACAGACCGACTGATAGATAGACATATTGGTATCTATTTTGTCTATTTTTGTCAAGTCGTAGTACAACAACAACAACAACAACAAAATAGTAAATTAAAGGGTTCAATATAATATGTTGATGATGATTAATCAACAGATACCCTATAGATAAAGAGACAGAATGGTAGTGTCTTGTTTATCATTCCATCTCTTCTCTATTTGTCTATCTTTTTGTCCTCATCCAATAACAATAATAACAAAAGAAAAAGAGGACAATCAATAATAATAATAATAGCAACTAGAACTTGTTTGGTTATTATTACTACTATTCAACCAAATAAAGAACAACAGGAAATAGAACAAGAACAAGGAGGCAAGCGAGTCATTATAGTCAGTATATAAATCATGATGTATGTAATCACCCGACGAGTAGTCGCCGCACCCTCTTGGATATTAATAGTAATGGAGCACAACCTACAAATAGATCCACTGTTGTTGGTTGGTGGGTCATCATCATCATTATAATCCTTTAATTAATTGGATTCACTCCACTCTCTCCATTTCATTATAATTGATTGTTGTTGTTGTCCTCCATTCAATTCAATTTCCTCCTCGTTCAAACTAAACAATAACAGGAATAATAAATGGTAAAAAGACACTTATAATATTATATATAGTGGCATCATTTATTTATTGAATGGTTGATTGATTTTGTTGTAAACTAGCAAAACCTGTCAGGTCTGGATTGATATTACTTTATTTTAGAGAGAGAGAGAGAGAATTAAATATTTAATATTCTATCCCATCCATCCATCCATCATAATATAATATAATATTGATCAATCAATCAATCCATCCATCCATATTTATTATTTATTTATTTATTTATTTATTTATTAACAATTTATATTTATTTCCTTTTTAACAAAAAGTGGATCAATCATTAATCAATTGACAAGCATGGCGTCTGTTAGAGGAGCAATTGTCAAAAAAGGTGATTTAGAAATATCATGTATGTATATCCAAAACAAAACAAAATAATTGTATATATATCTTCAATTTATAAATTAATCTTATTATTATTATTTATCTATATTAGTATTAGAAACAAAAGGAATTAAAGATGGAGATATATTTTGTATATTGGATCTTCCACCAAACAAACCTTTCAAAACTCATCTTTTTAAAGGTCCTGATCCAAAATTCAATCAAAAGTTTATTTTGTAAGTCAAAAGATAGACAAGCAACAAACAATAATATTATTACTATTTCTATTATAGATTAACTAATACTATTTAATTTTTAGAGATTTAATGACATTAAATGATGAAGAAATAATAATTGTATTAAAAGAACAAAAACTTGGAGGATCAAAATTTCTTGGACAAATTCAAATTCCAATCAAGGCTTTATCTATTGCTCCTGAAGCACAATGGTATTATCTCACAGACAGACCATCCAAGGCGGGCAAGACACCCAAGGTGGTCAGTGGCAGTGTGTTGATCCATTTGAACTTTATTCATCGTTATCAAAAGAATAAGCCACAACCAAGTGGGGTGGGACCATCGGGACAACAACAAAAGGCCAGTCCATGGACAAATGGAACTTTACAGGCCAACCCACCTACACCTCAGGCGTCATCGTCATCATCTGCACAAATCCTTCAAACCTCTACCCCATCATCAGTGTGTAGTAGCCAATCATCGTCTTTTTCATCGTTTGAATCGATCGAGTACTCTCAAGAAGAAGCAGTTATCATCGAGGAGACGTTAAAGGACAAGGAGAACATTGTCATGAAACAACTCAAACAACAAAAGGATATTATCAAACAGTACAATGAAACAATTGGTCGTCGTTCATCTACCAATCCACAGGACAAGATCAAGATGCAAAAATTGCAAGAGGAGATTGATGAGATGGAGAAACTTGTCTCCAAGTCTACACCGGCCATCAAACCAATTCCAGCCAGCGAGATTAACACACTTTCATCTCAGTCGGCAATGGAGCGGTCTGCTTCCTCATCGACATTGTCTCGTCGTTCGACACCACTCAATAGAACACTCAAAGATACTTCGCATGAAAGTATCTCTAGTACTCGTAGTGTCAATGCCAGCAAGATTGATATTTCCAAGTTTAGTTTTGACAAGCAGCAGCAACAACAGCAGCAGAGCAACACTCCCATGTCGGGCACCATCAAATCGTCGTCATCACTGAGCGACCTTGAGATTCGTGTCAAGGTCATGTCACTCGAACTAGAGAATGAACGTCAGAGCAAGGAACAAGTCGTCGAAAAGAACAAAATGCTGCTCAAAGAAAACGAACGACTCGAGCGAGAGGTGGAGAGGGAAAAGTTGATGGCATCTGCTACATCCTCGAAAAAGATTGATGATCTTACTCTCAAGGTCAAGATACACGAGGCAGAGATCCAGTCACTCATTCAAGAGAAACAAATCCTCGTTGAAAAGGCAAAGATATTTGAAAAGGATGCTGATCGTTTGGAAAAGGACTTGGATTATGAAAGACAACTTAAAAGAAAGGAAGGTGATAGAAAAGAGTCGGAACGAGGTGAAGTCAAGAGAATGACAATGGAACTAGAATTGGCAAACTCCAAGATCAGACTATTGCAAAGTGATTTGGAAAAGAAATCCTATAGTAGTAGTATGAATGGTGCTAGTTTTGGTGGTGATGCTGAACCTCAAGTTCAAATGCTTCAGGTAGAGTTGGAAAGCGAAAAGAAACTAAAGGAATTGGCAACTACCCGAGTAAAGACATTGGAAAAGGATGGTGACAAGGCAGAGAAAACTATTCAACGACTCGAAGCAGAGGTGGCAAGAACAAACAAACAGCTGGAACGTGTGACAACGGAAAGAGACCAATTGGAAAAGAAGGAACGCGAGTCGGTTGCCAGAACCGTCGAAGAAAAACTCAACGAAGCCATCAAGCTGCTCATTCAACTCTCGTCGAGCAGACCAGATGGTGCATCAGTCATTCTGCCACCAAGCTATGACATTACCGTTGCCAGAAAGATCAAAGACATTCAAGAAAAGGTTATTCAACAACAACTTAAAAACAGAGAAATGGAATTGGGATTGATGGAGATGCGATCACAAAGAATCAATCGTCTTGTCCAAAAACAACAAGACATGTCGGATGAAGACTACTTGAACGATAGTATCGACGACGAGGAAGACGAAGATTGTTTGACTGGTGGTGAGGCGAGATTGCGTGTTGGAGGAGCTCGTGGTCGTGCTCAATTGCAACAACAACAAATCTCTATTCTTGTCAGCAAGTTGGATAAATTGGACAAGTTGGAAGAGTTGATGAGAAAGTTGGACAATATGAAGACAATGGTTCCTGCTGGCGGGGATACCACCGGTGCCCCTTCCTCTGGCAAGCGATCCTACACTGACATTAAAAATGAACTCACAGCTCTCCAAAAGACCATCTTTAACGACAAGGCCCCTGAAAAGGAGCGTGAAGAGGCCAACATCAAATTTGAAAAGGTCTATCAAGAATTGGTTGCAACTGAAGAACATAAACGTGAATTATTACAAATTCAAGAAGAAAAGAGACGAATCAATGAACCTCTTAATCAAAAAGCTTTACAAAAATTATTACCAATTTATCAATTATCAAATATAGAGTAAGTAGTAAAAAGAAAAAAAAGAAAAAGAAAGAGAGATCAAATATTAATATTTATTTATTTATTTATTTATAGAAAAAATGTAGAATTAAAAGAAAGGGTTAGATTAAATCCAGAATTAACATTGATTGGAATGGATCCAAAGGCTATATTATCCAAACATCAAAACGACTTTTTACATTTCTTCCTTGCTAATTTGACATTGGATGAGTTGAGAGCCATTAGAGTAAGCTTGCCAAAATGGAGAGCTGACCAAAAGAAACAAGTCGAATGGACAACCACACTTGAAGAAAGAATCGATCAGTATGCAAAGAATCCTCCTGCTCCCAAACCAGCTCCAAGCTCAACCAAACCAAAGGTCAATATCAAGAAACCACCACCTCCTCCACCAGTTGCAAAAAAAGGTGCTATCGCTCAAGTTGATCCTCAATCAAATATAATGAATGAATTATTAAAAAGAAGAAAAAGAGTTGAATAGTAAAAAAAAAGTGAATACAGTAATAATTTTGTAGTAATAAATCTCTTTGTCTATTTATTTTTTACTAAACAATTATCTACTTGACAACCATATGATAGCAATACATCGATCCATATCTTTTGATGAGCGGCAAGTCTATCACCTTCACCCTTTACTTCACAAAATTTAATTGTATAACTATTATTATTATTATTATTATTATTATCATTATCATTATTATTATTCTTCCAAAGGAATAAATCTGGTGCACCACTTGAAAAACTAGAGAAATCTTCAGACATTAATTTACAAATATAGGCAATCAATCCTCCACCAAATGAATCTGACAATTCCATTAATTGACTATATATTTATAATATATTATTAGTAAGATTGTCTCTCAGAACAACTGATTTCTTTTAATTTCAACATACGATAAAGAATATCTTTCCCAACTAATACCTCTGACATTACAATTTTCATTCTTGCTCCAAATCATTTGTAAATGATCTCTTCTATCTTGATTGGAACTAATTTTTAATTGCTCCAACTTATTCGTGATCAAATCTTTTCGAGAGAAATAAAATTCTTCACTTCCAAAGTCAAGTGGAGAATCTTGATAGGGAGACTGGAATACATGTGGAATATCGGAACAAAAGATAATATCCCAAAAGAAAAACATGAAAAACTCGATAAAGATACCTGTTTCACAATGAATTCCTTCCATACCCTCTTCATTTTTGTAATAATCCAATGCTGCATCTTCAACCTTTCCAAGTGATCCATCTGAAAGATAGAACTGACTTTTTACTCCTGATCGTCCATGAGATTCCTTTTCATAATATATCGTCACCACACTTGGTTGTTTTAAATTCTCTAATAATTTTAATAATCCTGGTTTAATATCTTTTTTACATGTTCTATAAATAATAAATAAGAATAATATAATTAATATTATTTTATATAAAATATATTACTATTATGTTTTGAATATACGTTACTTTGTTAATTTTAAATATTGTTGTTCAAGTGCTAATCTATCACCAGTTTTAACAAGACAATCTTGAAGAGCTCGTTCACAAATGATTAGAGCATTTTCTTTTTGACCTTGATGTTTGGAATTGATGACAAGACGTAGCCACCAGTCACCACGTTTACCAGAACAAAATGGAGAGTCTAGTAGAAACATGTAAAAGTAGTTGGCATCGTCATACTTTTTCATACGCTCTAATATGCCAACACCTGCTGACAATACTTTGGTATACACCCAGCCAGGTGTAAACTTTAGTGCAAAAGAGTACACATATTGGAGTTTAACAAGTGGTGATAATTTTTCTGTACAAGTTTCCAAAATCGACGACAAACTATCCTCTTCACCATTTTCAAAGATGAACTCGATTCGTTCCTCTAGTTGTCTGCATTCTTCATACTCTATGAGTTCCTGTCGCGTTTTGAATATTCCATTCTTGTCTTTGCTCAATCGATACTCTGGATACCGTATGCCAAGTATATTATGTACAATCATAGTCGTTGAATTATGTGTTGTCCAAGAGAAAAAGAATAAATGATGAATCATTCTAAATACCTGTACTACCATTCTTTTAATTTGTATACATTTTCCTAAACTATCTTCTACTGACCTATAAAAATAAATAAAAATAAATGAATCAATCAATCTATACTATTATACTTTACTTTATACACCTATTTACCTTTTAGTTTTGTTAAAATTATTTAAATTTTTAAAGAATGGACTACCATTTGAGTTGGTTGGACCAGAATCCATTTTGTTGACGAGTTCTATTAAACGTGGTTTGGTTGCACCTGATGGACACGATGCTCCCAATAGACGTTTTAGACGATCAACTGGAAGTAGAGGAGTCAATTCCCTCCAGTCGTGGTGGTTGGTAGTACCATCGTATCGCTCGAGTAGACCACAGTCAATCAACTCGTCAATACAATCATCTATATTGTTGATCTCTGGATACAGGATGTTTTGAATTTGAAACCACGGTCCCTTTCGATTGTACAAACGTACAAACAAATGTTGAGAGTCTGATGTAAGAGTGTAAACGAATCGATTGACTGCTTCAACCTCCTTGTCAGACAACAAATGTACATCTCTTTCCAAAACAGTTTCAGTGACCAATCTAAAATCATTTACATAGTATTTTGTTCTTTTTGGATCATTGTCTACGTATTGTGACAATGTGACCTCTTGTGGTTCCTTTGTTCTTGTTACTCCATCATTTTCATCTTCTTCGTCATCATCAATAGATACACAAATTGGCATTGTAGCAAATTGACCAGATGAAATAGAACCATTTGAATCATTACCATCCTCCATCATCATCAACTTGTCTGTTTGATTCTTCATTCTCTTTTGAAATCTTTCCATTTCATCGGTTGTCGTTGTAGTTGTATTTGCAGTTGCTGTTGTATTCTTTTGCTTTTCATTTTCCTTTTCTTCATCATTATCATCTGTCAAATTAATGATTACCAAATGACTGTTATTAATTATATCACTTGATCCCAATGGTGTCTTTTTTCTCTTTCCACTACTATTATTATTATTGTCTCCTTGACTATTTACAGGTGAATATGATTGTGATTGTTGTGATTGTTGTTGTTGTTGCTGAGAAGATGGAGGAGTTTTAGTTTGAGATGACGATGACAGTCTTGGTGAAGGAGATGTATTACTATTACTGTGACAATCATCTATGATTTGTATTGAGCTACTATGTGAAGGTGATGGTGTTTTCAACACTTGTGATACAACAGTTGACACTGTCGTAGTAGTAGTTGTTGTCGTCATACTAATCTTGTTTCCATTGCCATCATCGTGTTCAGTGACCTGTGTTATGTGGTTAACCTGTGTCTCTTGTTTCTTTGATGGAAAGAACTCTAGCATTGACGATTGTCTTCCTGTAAATGATGGAAATGTCTTGTTTGACAAATGCTTATGATCATTGTTGTACTTGTCCAATGCGGCCGAAGACTGCTTTGTTGGCGGCTTTGTCGACGGCTTTGTCTTTGCTGTAGTAGTATTTCTTTTCATTCTTTTCTTCTTCTCCCTCTTCTTTTCATTTATCAACTATCTAATCTATCTATCTATCTAATCCATACATTAATGAAATACACTACAACAAATACAACTTATCAACTACCTAACTTTAGTACAAAAACAAAAACCTGAAGAGACGTTTCTCCAACTAGTAGAAAAAAAAAAAAAATACTTTTACAAAGTACTCATGCTAAGTATTTTTGATGATAATATATTATATGTATATTTTATTAATTAATAATAAATGGGACGATTTTTAAAAAGGAGGGATGGGTGAAGGGTGTATCCATGGATTCTACTATACTCTATTCTTTGTTATTTGGTTCATATTTGTTATTTATTCTTACATTGCTTCCAATCTTCTTACAATTTCTTGGAATGAAGGTCGTTGGGAAGGATCTTCGGACCAACATTCAGTGATGAGTCTGGCAAGTGGTGCCGAGACGTGTGGTGGGATGATTGGACGGAGCTTGTGCTGTCCGACAGAAATGACAATCTGGAAGGTGGGCATGCCGGCGTATGGATCCTCTCTGGTGACGAGCTCCCACAGGACAATGGCAAACGAGTAGATGTCTGCCTTTTCAGTGTAGGGGTCGTTTCTCAGCACCTCGGGTGCCGTCCAACATGGAGTTCCTACAGGGGTCATGGTGGTCTTTTTGTCGAGATGTTGTTTGAAACTGGTAGACAACCCAAAATCACTAATCTTTACACGGAAATGCTCGTCGACAAGCAGGTTGTGTGACTTGAGGTCACGATGGATAATGATGGGGTCGCAGCAATGTAGGTAGTTCATACCCTTGGCAATGTCGAGTGCCATGCCCTTTAGACGTGGCCAATCGACCGTGATCTGTTGGTCATGTAGAATTCTGTACAACGAACCTCTAGCCATAAACTCCATGACAATCAATACTTCGGGTGGGTTGTTGCAAGTACCCAAGAACTGACATACATTTGGATGACGTAGTTGCGACATGATCGTTGCTTCCTGTGCCAACTCTGTCAAAAACTCTTCGTCGTCGTCGGTCAGCAGCTTAGCCTTTTTAATGGCCACGGTAATACCACGCCACGTGCCCGAAAACACCTCGGCGCAACTACCCCTACCAATTCTATTCTGCACAACAATCTCTGCCATCTCGATTGGCTTGATCTCAAACAATGTACGATAGTCCAATATAGGTTGTGCCTCGCTTCCAATAGGTACAAACTTTTGCTTTCTCGCCTGTATCTTCTTGACTATAAAATATACCAAAAATCCAGTTATAAACACTGCTGCCAAACCAGACCCAATTGCAATATAAAGTAATTTATCTACTCCTGGATTATTTGGTTGTGCTGCAACTAATAAACATTGAATAATCAAACAATAAATAGATATAAATAGATAAATAGGGTAGTTAATATACTGTATATACTTTGTGTTTTTGTTTGTTTTTTGAAAATTTACCAAAAGAGAAAATAGATTCATTTGTTGGATAAGAGTAAGCACCGGAATCATCAAATGTAACTTGGACAGTTACATTGTAATCTGACTTTGTTTGTAATTGGAGGTTGGGGGAGACACAAACAATGGTAGACATGTTGATAAAGGTGGCAGTGGTAGAGACATTGGAAAACCGACACATAGGGTTAGACTTTAAAAAGCCGGCACCCGAGACAGTGATGTGTGTACCGCCTGTGACAGGCCCGCTGAGTGGCGAGATTGACGAGACAGAGTAGGTGGTGGGACCGTAGAAAAAGGTGAGGCTGACACTACTCAGACAGAGGATCGCCGAGTTGGCATACAGATTAAACTGAATAAAGTTGGTGCCATCGTAGTTGTAGGTTGGCAATCCGTTGCTATATGTCTTTTGAGCCATCGTACTCTGCTTGACACAGTTGGGACAAGTAGACAGGGCATTGGTCGATAGTGGGAGGATGGCAAACACATCACTGTCGACTTGGACAACCACCTGTGGCGTGTTTTTGTCAAATGGACCATAGAGTGTCATCTCGATTTGACGTAGCACCGTATCGTCCGATGTGTTGTATGGGTAGGGATCGTTGAATGTGAATTTACCTCCATTCCAATTATCAGTGTCGTTGGAACATACGTAGGTTGGTGCGTATGTCGTTCCGGCCGGACACGTCGTATTACTGCATTGTGGATTACCTCCTGATAACTCTAGTGGCATTGTTATGACTGGTGTTGGTGGGTTGTCTACTCCACCAGACGATGCCGAAAACAAACCACTCATTCTATTGTATTGTTGACCATGATCTGTGACCCAGTCCAATTCAATTAAACTTGACAGTGTCTTTGTGTTTACATTTATAAATGATTTTCTATTATTTTGATTATTTTGATTATTATTATAGTTATTAGTATTATGTTGTTGATAGTTGTTATTATTGTTATTATTATTATTATTGTTGTTGTTGAATGATAAATATTTATATTTTTCAATGTGATCTAAAAAGTGAGAGGTGTAAGGGTCGGACTGTTCATCGAGTAAATTATTGTAATACTCCATGTACCGTCTACCGATACCATTATCTCTTTGTTGTTGCTCTGTACAATGTACTACTACTCCCTCAATATTACATATAATAAATAATAACCCTATAAACAATAGGTATGATGATGACGAGGGTGTCATCAATGATCCTATCAAATAACGACGACTGCTTCTATTACAACTTCTACTACTACTAATACTATCTCTCTTGCCTCTTATTGTTGTTGTTGATATAGATGTATCTAGTATAGTTCTCCGTTGTTGTTGTTGTTGCTGCTGTTGTCCATTATTACTACTACTATTACTACTATTACTACTATTACTACCAACTCTCAACAGCAGTTCTTTCATCTTGCTTGTTGAACTGCTGTTGTTGCTGTTGATTCTCTATCAATCAATCTATCTATCTATCTATCGTGTTTATCTTTCGTTATTTAGTTTGTTTGTTGATCAATAATAACGAATGTATTGTATAAATATATATAAATATATATATATATATATTTCAATTATTATTATTTGTGTTTATAGTGCAATGTTATAGTTATGTGTGTGTGATTGATTGCCTTTAAAGAGATAGATAGATCTTTAAGCGCGATATCTTTTGTCGTGGGTGGGTTGACTTTAAGAATGAGGGGATGTGGGTAGGTACACTGGCCAGGGGGAATGTGTGATTGTTGTTGTAAAGTGTGTGTCTTTGCGATGTCAGTGTTTTCTCTTTGACAGAGAAGAGTCTCACTGAAAAAAAGCCGGGGCTTGCTTTCAACTCCAATTCAAAAAAAAAATCAATTTCATGGGGCTCTTTCTCGCATTGGGGTGGCTTCTTAGAGCAAGACCAACTTAAATGATATTTCAAACGAATCGTCTCTTTTTCTAACTCAACAAGTAAAGTAGTTGTACTCGAGTTGTTTCAATCTTTTCTTTTCTTTTCTTTCTTTTCATTTGTTTAAAGTACATGAATTTATACGATCCATCCTCTCTCTTTCTCTCTCTTTTCACCAAAGAAATCGTCTGACAAGTTTCCAACAACAACGAATCTTTCTCGTCGTTGTTGTTGGTCGTGAGAAAGAAACGGGCTTGGATAATTCAAAAAAAATATCAGGCTCTTCCTCCGACGAATCTATAATTAGTATTATTATTATTATTATTATTTGTTTGGAGTACTCTAATAGTAATAATAATTACAACTACCATGATGTGCAATATTAAATAAACATACTACTACTACTGCTACCTATGATGATGAATCTGACCTATATTTAATATTTAAGAAGATATCTTCTTCTTGCAAAAAAATAAAAATTTTATACAACTTTTATAAAGTTATCTTCACACCCCCATCATCCATTTTAATTTAAATTAAATTATTTGTTTAGAATTCTATCTTTCTTCATCTAATATTTAAATATTAGTCAATAACAACAATGACAACAATAGCCATTTCAGATAACGATGTTTATATTGTAGAGTGTGTTCGTACACCAATAGCAAGAGGATACAAGAATGGTGCATTGCATTCGATGCAACCTGTCGATTTGTTAGCAGCTACTCTCAAAGAGTTGGTCAAGAGAAGTGGTATCGATGCTGCATTGGTTGAAGATGTTATCTGTGGTGTCGTCAGTCCTGTCAATGAACAAGGTGCAAACATCCCAAGATTCGCTTGGTTAAAGGCTGGTCTACCAAAGAGTACTCCTGCTGTTCAATTAAATCGTATGTGTGGTGTAAGTAACTAAATAGAATACATAGAAGAGTATGTTGTAAATAGAATAGAATAGAATACTTATATCTTTTATTTGTATTTGTATGTTTGTGTAGAGTGGACAACAAGCAGTTCATTTTGCAGCTCAAGGTATTGCATCTGGTCATATCGATATTGCAATTGGATGTGGTGTTGAAATGATGAGCGTCGTTCCAATGGGTAGTGACTGGCAATTGGATAACCCAGACTTTGCCAAAGGTTTTGATTTCAAGGTTTTACATCAAGTATGTTAAATGTATATATTAATATAATATTAATATTGTATTAATGATTTTATTTATTATTTGGTTGTAGGGAGTATCATCTGAAATGATTGCAGAGAAATATAAATTGACTAGAGATGAGTTGGATCAATTTTCTGGTCGTAGTCATGAGCTTGCTGACAAGGCTATCAAGGCTGGTTATTTCAAGAGTCAGATTATGCCAGTTACAGTCACTGGCACAGGCAAAGTGATTGAGAGTGACGAGGGTGTACGTGTACCAGTCGACTATAAGAAGATGAAGACACTCAAGACTCCATTCAAAGAGGGTGGTTTGATCACTGCCGCCAACGCATCACAAATCAGTGATGGTGCGTCAGCCGTCTTGCTAGTATCTGGTAGAAAGGTCAAAGAACTCGGATTACGTCCACGTGCTAGAATTGTAACATGTGTTTCGGTTGGATCAGACCCAGAATACATGTTGCTCGGACCCATCCCAGCCACCAAAAAGGCATTGGACAAGACCAGACTCAGTATCCACCAAATCGATGTAGTCGAGATTAACGAAGCCTTTGCATCGGTCGTCTTGGCATGGCAAAAGGAATTCAAAATTGATCCATCAAAAGTCAATCCAAATGGAGGTGCCATTGCTCATGGTCATCCACTTGGTGCTACTGGTGCCATTTTAATGACAAAGTAAGTCATACCCCACATACATTCATACATAATTGCATTTAAATAATATTTATTTATTTATTATTTATTTATTTTTAATAGGATGGTCAATGAATTGGAAAGAACAGGAAAGAGATATGGTTTACAAACTATGTGTATTGGATTTGGACAAGCAACTGCTACCATCATTGAAAATTGTTCATATATTCCACAATCCAAATTGTAATCAATCACTACTTTGTACTCTGTATAGTACTGTACTACTGTATATTTATTTTCATAAAGATAATCAACTCACTTTCAATGTTTCAAAATGTATATTTAATATTGCTATGTTTGTGAACCTTTTTAAAAGTTTTGAGGTTCCCTCCTTTTTTTTTTTGATCATAAGTCTGGAAATAGTCGTTGCAATGCATTAACAAGTCAGCTAAATCAGAACTTAAAAATGCTTAAAAGAAAAGAAATAGAGAATGATAGTGATGATGATGAAAAGGAGGAGAGGGAGAGAGTATACACAAGGGCAGAGTTGGATAGACTGTACAAACAAGATGTATACGAGATATGTTTAAAGAGAGGCATGCAATCAATCACATACGACTCGACAAAAGAACAGTTTATACAAAAGATACTCAAACAACAAGAGAGACAAGACCTTCATTTAAAGAAGATTGAACAACTCAAGAAAGGAATTCTTACAGTAAATGAACCAACACAAAAGGAAAAGGAAAAGGAAAAAGGAACAACAACAACATTAATAGAACTACTCCAAAAAGCAAATTTATTAAATATTATTGTGACCATCAAAAAAAACAACAACAACAAAATAAGAAGAATAATAGTACTACAAATAATAATAATAATAATAATAATAAGAATGATGATGAATATTATAATGGATATGCATTACCGTGGTTTATCATCAAGAATATATTGACACTAGCATACAAAAGTACTGGTTCAAATATTTGTACATGTGTGTATAGTGACCGACTAGGAGAACTTGTTTGTAAGAGAGACAAGTTTAGTGTTAAAAAAGATAGACGACTATTTGTAGATATGCAAATGCAACCTCTAATACAAGAACATTCACTCAAACGAGAGGATATGTGTCCTACACATCAATACTACTATGATATGGAGTACAAACCATCAATCCGGTTTGGGTACAATCACGACCACTTCATTAATGATGATAGTAAACGTTGGAAACGATCATTGTCACTCGTATCAAAGAGGGTGTTTGGATTGGTGTCAACCACTCTCTTGACCAAAGTTACTATGCGACCAACCAAGGAAATGTGGAATCATATCAAAAACAAGTATTGTATCATCAAGAGACCTACTACATTGACACTCCAAGACTACTACGAGGATCACCACAAACACAGATTTTTTCTTTCAAGTGAAATGGAAGAGGACAAAGAGGTGTTTTTTAAATCCGATCATCCCAACAAAATCATACCAATGGATCTGTTCAAAGATGTTAAAAAGATATATGTCAAGACTTCATACCTATTGAAAACAGCCGATAATGTAGTCAAGTTGTCTTATACTATACCCAACCTAACCAACATTGTACATGAACGTGGTATAGTCGACGTACCCACCTTTAGAGCACTCCTAACATGTTTTAGAGGGTTGACATCACTCAGTCTCGGTCATACCTCTGATATTGACCATTCAGAGATATGTTTTACAATGCTCAGGCCTGGTACATCAGTCACCAAGCTTATCCTTCCCAATCACTTTAATTGGAATAGGTTGGATGCTCGAGTCAAACAGAATCTACGTGTCGTATCATTGGTATCAAACAAAGAGACAGGTGTGCTTCCTGAACTCAAACAAGAAGATTTCCCTAAACTCCAACACACATATCTCACAACGACATACAATCAAGAAATCAATCAAGCCAGTCATACCAGAGAGTGTTTGGAAGTTTACTATTTTTTCATCTACTTATAGTACTCGGGATGTATGGGATTTTACATTTATTCCACATGCCAGATTGGTTAGATTTAAAGGTTCCGATTACGATCTTACAAACAAACATTCTAAAGATCATTACCATAGTATCGCCAAAACAACAAACATGATTGACAAATTGATTGTATATTCACCAAGTGATATTGTCGATAGTCAAGTCACTTGGTTTAAACAATTAGGGTATCAATATACTGGTTCAACATTTAAAGACAACTCTTTAAAAAAATTATTATTTAAAAAAAAAATATTTGGCAAAAATAATAATAACAATAATAACATTAGTAATAGTAATAGTATATTAGATAATAGTAGTATAACAGAGAATAATAATAATATTAGTAATATTAGTAATAATAATAATAGAATATTTCCAAATTTTATTATACGTAAAATTATTAGAATGGTTTGGTATGCAAGAGATAGATGTACATCGTGTCTATGACCAAGACTATTTGGATAGATTAGAAGAACATAATCCCAAGTTGGTATATGATCAGGAATTGATTGAACACTACCACTCTGTTAAAAATCAATGTGCTCTTCATGCATCAACAAATAAGCCATTTAAACTACTCTATCATACAATGGTGGAATCTAATCGATCAAGATTACAATTGACACTCATATCCAAAGATTTGTTTGAATATATCTCTATCAACTTTTTCAACAATACCTACTATTATCCAACACAAAAAAGTCAATACAATGTATTGAAAACATTTACATCAATTACTTGTTTTAAAGGTCAACAACAACAACGACAACAATACTTACAATCAACAACAATAATATCATGGTTAAAAGATGCTGATAAAAACATTACAAGAATTATCACTCCAATGGCTTCAGACTTGGAGTATATACCATTATTCCATTCATTGTCAGTACTGGATTTAAGGTAAACAGATTATGATATGAAACGGATAGGTATACCAGAGATCCCAGAAGTCATGTCTCAACTTTTTCCATCATTATCAGGATTACCAATCACCAAACTATACCTTCCTAATACCTATAATAGTCCCTCGGCCTACTCAACACTACCAGATAATATCAAACTGTCTCTTCGATCAATTTCAGTTGATTTTTCAGCCAAAGATGATTATTATAATCATCTAGAGAAGGAATTTCCAAAGCTGACAAGCTTGGTCATCATGAAAAAAACAAGTAAAGTACAACAACTCCCCAAAACAATCAAAAAAATCATGTCAAAGTGTAAACAAGCAATCGATTTCCTCCCTCTCAATCAATCAGTTGTCACCTTTAAACTATTTTCTGCAGGATATAGTCTGCATGGTATTTTAGACAAACTGTCACCAATCAAACATGTCAAAACTGTCACCCTACAAATCGAATCATCTCCTCCATTGGATTTAGATCAAGACACCGATTTCAAACTACACAGTATTGTATCCAAACCACCCATTTGTTTGAGAAACAAGAGAAGTGATACACCAGCAATCTACTCTGATCTAATATTTCAGAGGATCGACGTTTTAAATAAATAAATTGAACAAAAAATAAATAAATAAATAATATATACATTATTGTTATGACCTCCCTATTTGATTGTTCATTTTTGGTCAATAGTAATTAATTTAAAACAACATCTATGAAATAATAAATAAATAAATAAATAAAATATTAAATTTGCAAATATTCAAAGTTTTTATTTACTATGAACGACCATCATATTCTCTAATTGGTAGAATGTCTAATCAAACATGTATACCAAAGTCAACACATCCATCCGAACAAATTAAAGGATATTGTCCATTCAATGCAGGTGAACCTTCTTTAACTCCTGTTGGAGAGCATTATATTTACATGAGTGGACCACCTTGGAGTTTCAAAACTTCCGATGACCATAATGTCGCATACTCAGTATGTGAATTAGAACCAATTTCAGAAGTATATGTTCCATCCATCGGTACAGATGGAGGTTCAATAACAATCAACAATCTATCACAATTCAACATTTCAACAATCAACATTACATTTTACAATCCATCCAAACAACTCTCAAAATCATGTCAGATAACTCAAACAAATGAAACATCAGTCACTTGTATAGTTCCACGTCTATCTGGATTTCACAATGTAATTGTTCAAGATGCTAGTGGAACCAGCTCAACACACTATGCATGGCAACCATATCCACCATTTATCAAGGCTGTCTATCCATCATTCGAAGCCAATGGGTTGGTTATACTGATTGGTGATAACTTTGGTGATGATACCAACAATCGAGTATCTGTACATGTTTCAACATCTAATATTCCATGTAATATTACGTCTGTATCATCAACTCAAATTATTTGTCACCTCGGATTGACAATGTAACAATGGGAGCAACTCCAAATGCACCATATATTGGTGAATTTGAATCTAAGATGTATCAATGTTTTAATCAATCATTGGATATGATTGGATATGAAGCATTTAGATTTTGGCAAGGTGTATCAAACAACAGTGTCTATAATATTTATGATCGAACAGTGTCATCCAACATTAGAAATGTAAAGTATTACACACCATTGATTACATTTTATACAACCGATACACCGATAATTGATAGTGTTACGAATATTCAATTTGGACAAGCATCACCCATTACAATCAAAGGTAATCATTTTGGAAAAGACCATTCATATGTTTTGGTATTCTTCAATGAAAAAGACACCAACACTTTATGCAAGTCACCAAGATTTATTGGAAACAGTTATCGACAAATGACATGTTTATTGGATTTTGGTCTTTCGAATCCTGTATCTGATACATCAATCATGATCAAAGTGGCTGAAAAGAGTACAACATTACATCTGGCACAATGCACTGGCGACTGTAATAATAGAGGGATCTGCAACTCCTCAGTGGAAGTTGCGAATGTGATATTGGTTATGATCCCCATGTGGATTGTTCATCATTGGCAAAGAGATATCAACTACTCAACACAACAGTTTTCAATATTACAACATCAACTCTATCAACCAACCAAACGATTACCGGTGTGATTGTCAACTTTACAACCGGAATTCAATTCATTCGAGAGATTATCCACGACAACTCAATCATTCGTTCAATGTCGATGGATGTAGTATCTTGGGCACAAGACAATCAAACACAAGGTAATTTGACATCTTTTGGAGAATCAATATTCTATGGTACAACCAACAATCAATCGACTCGGTTCCATGTTACAATTGGTCAATTCCCAAATACCACGATAAATACCTTTGCAGGTGAAGATATGCAATTGTCATCAAACTCTCTCAAATATACAATTAAAATCATTGATTGGGTATGGTCATCGCCATTCAGCACTCTACAAGTCATATTCCATTCAAGATCAGATTCAGTTGAATATGACTAGTGTGGAGTCATGAAGGCGCGCAGAGATGTATCAAGTGGTAATCAAATCATATGGACTCGAATTCAAGTTGGACGAACACTCCTCAACTGCAAGATAGCGGTAGAATGATTATGGATAACTCTACAATCATGCCATCTAAAGTCACAGTTCTTGCAGACTATCCATTCTCTCAACAAATCGATAACCAAGGATTTAATCTTTTAACCACTTTTCATTTCCCTCAGTTCAGTCAATCGGTTGAACTCGATCCGGTGTTTAACGCGCTCATTCTCGATGATGATTCCCATTTACCGTATGAGTGTACAGAGACCTCTTCTGAACAATGGCCAACAATATTGGTGGCAGTAGTTGCATCAGTTGCACTGTTCACTATTATAGTGATAGCAGTCATTGAAGCGACTCTCAAGCAACAGACCACCAAATAGTGAACCCCCAATAGAAATGGATTTCTTGCAAACCCTCAACAACAACAACAACAACAACAACAACAACAAAATAATAATAATACCAACGAATAAATAGTAATTTTAATTAAAAATAAATAAATAAATAAATATGATCTATATTTAAAGTAAATATCAGAATGACCCATTGCTATTTGAAACTCTGAGCTTTGATCACTTCTTAGACACCAAACCAAGTTGAGCATGTATCGTCGGTACATGCAAGAGAACGCACGACTTATTATTATTATTGTGAGTAGAGTACTACTCTTGTTAACATTTTTGATAAATCTCTTCCAGATCTATCAATATTTTACACTTATTGTGTGGTTGTTTTGCGGCAAACATGTAGTTGAAATATTTCTTGTTCTGTAGAGAGAGAGAGAGAGAGAGAAAAGAAAGAATAATAATTGGTGGGTGTTAGACGAACTACTACTATCTCCACTTTCTCCCTTTGCCCTCTCACAACCTTGATAAATCCAATAATAATAAATTAAAATTATTATTGTTTTTTATTTCCTCCTCTCATGTGTTCAATAGCTTGCTGCTACTATATTTAATTCTAAAAGACTCTGACACCTCTTTTTGTCTACACACATAGCAAACCAACATCAAAATTAATCCTACAATTACTACTTTCATTTTTCATAGACATCGTTTGGTCATCTTTTGTTTACACTGCGACAAATTGTACACCAAATAAAGAATGAGTGCACCTCCAAAACCATCATCAAAGAATCCAGGAGGTCCTCTCCCTCCAGCAGGTACTGCTGCTCCAGGACAGTATCCACCAGCTGCTGGAGGACAACAGCAATACCCACCTCAACCATACCAAGGTGCTCCTCTTCCCGGTCAATACCCTCCACCAGGACAACAATACCAATACCCACCTCCATTACAACAACAACAACAAGGTGTACAACAATACCCACCTCAACCATACCAAGGTGCTCCTCCTCCCGGTCAATACCCTCCACCAGGACAACAATACCAATACCCACCTCCATTACAACAACAACAACAACAACTATACCCACCACAACCACAAGGTCAATACCTACCTCCAGGACAGCAACCACAACAAGGTCAATACCCTCCACCAGGCCAACAAGAACAATATAACATCCAGGAGTAGGACAATATCAACCACCTCCACCAGATGGTCAAGGATTCCCTGTTTCAACGGCCAAACCAGGTGTGCCAACTGGTAAGAACCTAGTTCCACTCCCATGATGATACTACATAAGAATTTAATTAACTTGAAGAAAATAATAATTATTATTTATTTCTTTATTTTTTCAAACATAAGTTCCCTCCTTTTTTTTTTTTTTAGTATTATCTCTCGTGTGTTGCATTTACAATGTTAATCTATATTTAATTGCTATGTAATCAGATTTGGTTAAATGGTTAAAAGAAAAGAAATAGAGAATTATGATGATGATGATGATCATGGTGATGGTGATGTTGACAATGACAAAGACGAGATACACTATATAAAAGCAGATTTGAATAGACTGTATAAAAAAGATATATACGAGATATGTTTGAAGAGAGGGATAGCTGAAGTCACAAACAAATCAAGAAAAGAAGAGTTGATACAAAAGATATTAGAACACCAAAAGGAAAAGGAAAAAGAGCCAAAGAATAATTTAATAGAACAACTTTTTACCTATGATTTTTACTATGGGAAAAGAGAGGACAAAGAGGTGTTTTTTAAATCTGACCATCCCAACAAAATCATACCAATGGATCTGTTCAAAGGTGTCACCAAGATATATGCCGATGCATACCTCTTTCTCAGCGTCGAAAATGTATCAAAGCTATCATATACGATACCCAACCTAACCAACGTTAATGTATCCTATATCGACCCACCCGCTCTCAGGGCCTTGCTCACATGTACGTTTAGAGGTCTGACATCGGTCAATCTTGGTAAAAACTCTCATGAAGACTTTTCAACAATATGTGTACAATGCTCAGGCCTGGTATATCGGTCACCAAGCTTATCCTTCCCACACACTTTGATTGGAATAGATTAGATGCTAGAGTCAAGAAGAATCTCAGGGTCATATCATTGAATCCAAACAAAGAAACAGGTTTATATCCAGTGCTTAAACAAGAAGATTTCGCTCAACTCGAGCATATCCAGATCTCGCATCGTTATTTACTCAAAGATTCAAAGCAACGCCAACTCTTCATACCAGAAAGTGTTTGGAAATTTACCATCTTATCTGCTGTCAGTTCCCATCACCCATATGATTTTGCCAAGATTCCACAAATCAGAATGCTTAGGGTTCTAGGTTATGTCAATCACTATGACCTTTCAGGCAAGAATTATGGTAATTTATATATATTCACGAGGTGATGTTATTGAAAGTCAAGTTACTTGGTTCAGAGAAATTGGTTATCAATACATTGGTTCAACATTTAAAAATAGTTAAAAAAATTATTATTTAAAAAAATAGACAAATTTAATAATATTAATATTAATAATAGTATTTTAGATAATAATAATAATAATAATAGTATAATAGATAATAATAGTATATTAGATAATAATAATATATTAGATAATAATAATAATTATAGAATATTCAAATTTTATTATACGTAAAATTATTAGAATGGTTTGGTATGCAAGAGATAGATGTACATGTGTCTATGACCAAGACTATTTGGATAGATTAGAAGAACATAATCCCAAGTTGGTATATGATCAGGAATTGATTGAACAATACCACTTTGTTAAAAATCAATGTGCTCTTCATGCATCAACAAATAAGCCATTTAAACTACTCTATCATACAATGGTGGAATCTAATCGATCACGATTACAATTGACACTCATATCCAAAGATTTGTTTGAACATGTCGCCTCCAACTTTTTCAACGATACCACCTCTTATCCAACACAAAAAAGTCAATTCAATGTATTTAAAACAATTAGATCAATTACTTGTTTTGATTCTGACCAACAACTTGAATTCAACATCATGGTTAAAAGATGCGGATAAAAATATCACAAGAATTATTACTCCAATGGTTTCAGACTTTGAATATATTTCATTGTTCCGATCCTTGTCAGTACTGGATCTAAAAAAAACAAAGTTTTTTGGAATGCGCGAACATTATTTCAAAACTTTTCTCATCATTTTCAGGAATACCAATCACCAAACTATACCTTCCTAAAGGCTACAATCGTTCCGATGCCTACTTGACCCTTCCAGATCGTGTCAAACAGTCTTTTCGATCAATCTCTATCAACTTCTTCCATTATTATTATAATCTAGAGAGGAGGAATTTCCAAACTTGACAAGCTTGGTTCTAAAAAAATCAAACAAAACACATCCACTTTCTCAAAAAATAACAAAAATCATTTCATCAGGTCCAAATACAATCGATTTCCTACCTCTCAATCCATCAGTTGTCACCTTTAAACTATTGGCGGCAGAATCTATCTTTCCCAGTATGCATGACATTTTAAAGAAACTGTCACTGATCAAATATGTCCAAACTGCCATGCTACAAATCAAATCCTCTCCACCATTGGATTTAAATTCATCTGATTTCAAACTACATGGCAGCGTATCCAAACCACCAACTTTAAAAAAGAAAAGTCGCAAAAAACAATCATATTCATTTTTAATATTTAAAAGAATCGATAAAATCAATCAAGAGTGATACCTAGGTTGCCATACGACCAACACAACATATTATAGAGAAAGCAGGATAAATAATTTGGTGTGTGACAGGATATCTTATCGATAAATAGTGGATGTGATGGACTCAAAGTACCTAAATATACACCTGCAGATAATTGTTAAAAATTAAATAATAAATAATTATTTATTGACTATTCTTTCATTTTAATCATTATGAGTATTAATTTGATTTAATTCAATGTACCCAACTTGTTTGTTTTTAAGGGCATCCTTTTTCTTATAGACGATAATGGCAGCGCTTACGCACACACAAACAGCGAAAAAGAGAGGACCAACATACTTTGGTAGCATAAAGGGGTGGAAGAATTTACCTTTATCTTCAAGATGGCTAGTATCCAGAGGTGTAAGTGAAAAGTCATATGTATAATAAATCGATATATTAAAATGACTTGGTGGTTGATTAAATATAGTTAATGGAGATTGTTCTTGTTGTTCTTGTTGTTGTTGAAGATTATGATTAAATTGTAATTGTAATTTATAATTTTTAATTTGTAATGGTCCAAGTTTAATATCATATCCACCAACATCACCAACATCACCAATATTATTATTATTATTATTATTATTACTATTATTAAAACTTTGACTTGAATTGCTCAATAAGTCATTATTATTGATAGTATTAATTTTTTTAAATGAAATATAATGTGTTCCTGGATTGAATTCTGATTCTCCAGAACACTTGTGACTGAGACTGAATTCACCATCAATCACAATGTCATCGAGTGATAGTGAAGAGGGGTGTCCCAAGGTTTGATGAGTGTCGAGATCAATGCCATCCAATAATGTTTCATGTACATTGGAAACTGTCAATAGCGAGTTGTTAAAGATGTTTGAAGAGGATAGTTGGATGGGAAGTGAATAGGTTGGGTCTTGGCTAGCTGCGAATAAATGTTGTACTCGAAGGTGAAGTGTTGGCAAAGAGGTGGAAGAAAATTCAGTCACGTCATCATGATATTTAAGTGTCATGAGATGAAGATTTAATGGTAATTCATCATCATCACTATTAAATAATCCCAAACTCGTTGAATATTCTAATTTATATTTTTCAACAGATTTAATTCTTTTCATTCCAATTCTAAATAGAAATTAAAAGTTAATAAATAAATATTATTCTTTTTGTTTTTCTTTTGTACTACATACACTAAAGGACTATTAATTATAGTTGATAATTTCTTTTGAATTTGTAGTGAATTTTGAATAGAATCAAAGTTGATAAAGAGTTTACCGTCGACGGTGGTACTATCTTTTTGTGCGAATCCAAGACCACGGTAATCATCTTGTTGAAGATTACGATGAATCATTACTTCAATCTCACCTAGTCTAGGAACTGTAGAGCCCAATGATCGATCGGAAAAGACAGTGAATTGTAATTGACGGTCTTTAATATCGATCGAATTGATGAGAGGATAGTAACGTTGACCAATGGGAACAGATTCATCACAACAGTGTCTTACTCTGCTCTCCATACCGTTATCCATAAAATACTTGTATTGTTGGTTGATGAGACTGGTTTCAAGGTCAATCACAGTTTCCTTGTTAGGTTCACCTTTGACACGATATCCCAATTCAATCAAATCTTTGTCTGTTTGATTTGTATCTTTGTACAATCTAACATATTGAGTTGAAGTTGGTAAACAATCATCATTATCATCTTGATCCTCCTCTAAATATTGATAATGAACAATTGAATCAAATAAATGACCAGTAATCTTGAATACTTTAATCTTTTCATCGTCATCATTATGATGATTTCCAAAAATGACCTTTTTAGGATCCGAATCTGCAACAAATATATATGCTCCACTCTCTGTTGTAGAATATTGACTCAACTAATAGAAATTAAAAGAATTAATTATTAATCTAATTTTAAATAATATTTAAATATTTGACTTACAGAATTGGTAATATTAATGAATGAATTATTATTCTTTTGAATTGATTTCATTATACCTTTTGAATTAAATTCAATGTTGTTAAGTTGGTTGGATAGGGTTAGGGGTTGGGTCTGTCTGTTACGATGAATTGGTTGAACGTTTGATGGATCGTAGACGAGTGGTTGGATGGGAGATGACGCAAGTGAAATGAAATAGGTAGAGATACCCAATGGCTTTACATTTGCGGTGAAATAGACAGAGTATTGGCTAGTGGGTTGATCACGAATACAACGACGTTGTAAAACGATGGGGACGATTTGGAGTGTCTGAGAAACACCATTTTCATCGGCAATGACCAGTCTATTCAACAGAGACGTTTCACTACAATTGACACGGATCGATACAATTTCCTTACGAATCCATCCCAATGAATTGAATATGACCACCGAATAGGAATCATTTCGCTTCAATGTTTTCAAGCTGTCAATGACAATGGTTTGTTGCAAATTAAATAAATTGTTTTCTTGGTCTTGGTCAATGACATTATTAGTCGCGTCAATCACACCATCGTTTGCATTTGACAATAACAACAATTCCATTGATTTTGACATGATATCGTTACACATTTGTCTTGCACTTGTCAACTTTAATAAATAATCATACATTACATAACTTCTTGCTGTTCCAGTTACTGCATCATGATGTTGAGTAATTGCCAACATCTAAAAAAAAAGAAAAAATATATATTAATAAGATGGTTAACCATAAATATAAAACTCTTCTTTGCTACATACTCTTCTTGCAAATTGAATTGAAGGGAATAAATTATAAAAATTGGTAGCAATATCTTGAGACATTGTAGCTGCCTTGGCTGATGCAATACTATAAATAAAATCAGTACTTCTAATTAAAGATGATATTTCTCTAATTTGTCTTTTTGCAATTGGTCTTGATGTATAAAATCCCTAAAACAAAATATAAATAAGTATAAAGTGTTATTTGAATTTGTTATATATATATATATGTGTTTATATTTACAGTCCAAGGGTTTGAAGATTCGGTAATATAGGGGAAGAAATCTTTTTTGAATAATGGAACGGTTGATTGTTTTGTTTTCATTGCAAATTGGAGAAAGTTGTAGTACTCGGTGAGCGTGGAACGGGTCACTACCATGTCGTCGAAATGTTCGTTCAACTGATCGATGAGGTAATCACCCTTTGTAAAGTCTTGGTCACTTTGATAGGCAAAGTCGTCTCCAAAAGTGACGAGGATGACATTGGTACGATAGGCATCGGCAATGGTACGCAGACCATCTGCAAATCGGTCACGATAGATTTGAATCTCGCTGACAAAATCGTCATAGTCTATCTCGTCGGGATACTTTGGACCGCCTGAATAGCCATATGCTTTGTATAGCGTATTGACAAACAATCTTGAATTGTTGAGCGAAGGCGACCCCTCCCACACAAACTGCAGCTCTTGTGTCTCTCGCATCGACGCTTTGAGCGTGTCTGATAATCTGGCCGCCACAAATGACTGGAACCCGAGTGCAGGGTACAGCGAAGCAGTCTGGCTCGAATGGCCAAACGGGTCGATCTGCCAGCCGTGTCGCACTGTCGTGTTCAAGTTTTTAAGTACCCATTGATGTCCCTCTGTAATCTGGTCGAGTACATCAACCGTCACAGGAAGAGCTTCATCATTCATCACCCATCCACCTCCGATAATCTCCAATTGTCCATTATCCACCAATTGTTTAAATTGTGATCTTCTCTCTAAACTTTGAACATTCCACCACATTTCTAAATACCCTCTTTAAACACAAAAAAAAAGGAGAGGTTAGTTTCTTTCTATATCTATATCTATCTATCTATCAATCTATCTATTATTATATTACATACATCTCTGACCAAATAAATCTCTTTGAACTATCATCTGTCAAATGATCGAGGATACGATCGAGAATGTTTTGTACTTGGGTGTCATAGTATTCTTCGACAGTTGACAACCAACCCAAATCACAGTGACTGTGCTCGACCCACATTACGTAAAGCTTTGATTCGTCATAATCTTGATAATTGCTGCTATCGCTGCTACCAAATGCACCATACGTCACTTGACCAAACAATAGCAACAAGGTGAGTTGAATGATCAAAAGCAACCCTAAAAATTTCCTCTTGTTCATCATCTGACCCTATTTTTTTTTTTTTTTTAAATTATTATTATTCTTTCTTCTTTCAACTTATATATATATAATTATTTATTATGATCTAGAAAACATAACATCTATCAATAGAACTCTCCCCTTGATTTTAAAATCTTTATTGAAGAAGAAATAATTAATTGAACAAACCACCGATAGGATGGTATTATTCGGACCGATTGAAGAGAGAGCGCGAGGTTCTAGGGGTACACCCACCCAATGTTGAGTCCTTCAAAGAGAGAAATTACAAAATTTCAGACCATAGGATGATCCTACCTGTACAATCAAACTAACTCTCTCTGATTGCGGAATATTACGTCACAATCACACCTTCTACCACAGCCAAGAGGCACGAGTGATCTGAGGGACAGTTACAAAAAAGGTCGTGTCTTGGATATTTGGTCTAAAAATTCGTGAAAATGAATGACACTTTGTGTCCTTTTGATGGTGCCAACTTAACATGTGGCAGGTTGACTTTCTAAAAAATTGGATCCTTTTAATTAATTTTTTTATTGAGCAATTTATAAAAATCATTTAAATTGTACCTCGGAAATTTTAGGTACCATCCTCAATGATATCATCCAAGATTACAATGACGAGGTACAATTTAAATGATTTTTATTTATTTTTTTATAGTTCTACAGAGAGAGAGATATAGTAGGGTCTCCGGATGAGGAATTGTCAGCGTAATTGATCGTGTTCAAAGACATCACAACCAAAAGAACTGATTGTTTTTTAAAGATTTAGGAATATATCTTGAAAGAAAAGTTAAGATACTAGTATAATAGATAGATACCACAATTTATTGTATGGTTAAACCAAAAGTACCGCCACATTCGTTGGGTCTAACAGACAAGATATTGATTTCAACAAGTTTTAAAATTTCTTGTAGGTGATTATTATATCAATATTATCGAAATTTCTAGTATGTTTTGGTGTAGTTGTTGTAGTAATTGTCGGAGTAGATTTTATAGGTTCCTTCAAAAGGAAAATTGTTCAAACAAGTAGGAAATAATAAAAATGAGGAACAAAGAACTTACAATCGTACATTTTGCTATATTGGAATTAGAAAGAAAGAAGAGAGTATATTTGATTGATGAAATGATAATAATAAATATAATACTAGTAGTATAAAGTATTCCATATATCCCTAAACCAGAAATAGAAATGATTCAATCAAACCTAATAAAAGAATGTTTATGATAAAAGAGCACCCCAACCAATCACCTCGTCGATTCATTGATAGGTTAAAAAGAAATCAAGTCATTCCTTCCCTTTCCCTGGCATCCCTGATCTTGCAAAATCGGGGGTATTAGTGGTTGTGGGGTGTGATGATGTCAAATTAATTGTAAGGAGGGGATCTTGAGGATTTTTGGTTTGAGAAAAAATCATTCTTGTTTTGATCACAAGACAATCGTGGTTGTAGTAGTAGTAGTAGTACAAGTAAAGAGTTATAGTTATAGTAGTAATAGTAGTAGTATTAGTCCTCTTATTATACATATGTACAAGTACAGGTATGGTAGCTGAATTGAAAGAGGGATGTGGGGTGTAGATTGATGATCGGAGTAGGAGCAGGGTAGGAGTAAAGAGTCAGAGTGTCGGAAAAGGAGAAGAAGGGAAGAAGAGGAGGAGGAGGAGGACATCAAAGTGTAGAATCAATGTACATACACATTCATACTTTTATATATATACCCTCACAGTATAACAACACATAAATACACATACAGTGACCCACCACCACCACCACAAACAACACAATACCCCACAAAAGCAGCAAGCAATAACTTTGAAGAAAGTGGGTGGTTGAGGTAAAGAAGAAGAGTAGCTGTGCTTATTCGGATAACAAGATAATATCATAATAGGATAATAATAATATTTTAAAATTATCGAGATAGATAGACAAACAAGACAGACAATAGAAGAGAACAAAACAAATCAATACAATACAATACAAAAACAGATAGATTCAGCTTGTTACCTGAAATTTCATACTTTTACTATCATTTATTCTTTCTTTGTATCAACATCAAAGAAACCGATATATATATATTATATTATATCAGTCACTTTATTTAAATAATCATCAAATCATTGGATCATTTGTAATCTCTTAGATATATATATATTCACTTCTGATCGTTGATCATTCAATCATTAAAGAAGATTCAGTCAATCAAATATGTAAAATAAAGAGGTGTAGTAACTAATAATAATAATAAAAAACCTTTTCTTTCCTCTCCTCTCCCTCTCTCTCAGACAGTATCATCATTATTAGGAAGTAGTAGAGTAGTAGAATAGTAGAGTAGTAATAGTAGTAATAGTGACTATATAATATAATTAGGTTCACCTCACTGGAAAAGTAACAATATTTCGAAATTTCCAACAAACTATAATATATATACGCATATATATAATATATTCATCATCAATAATAATATATAATATATAATAATAATTATTTTAATTTAAATTTATTAAATGATGGAACCATATTCAATCAACGAATACAATGATGAAGAAGAGGGATCATATGATGATCATGACCCATTGATCATTTCAGATAATAGTATGGGTGTACCGACCGAACCACTCATTCCACAACCAATATCGATTAAAAAGGAAAGAGGACATTCATTGGGCGAGAAATCCATCACACAATTGGCATCATTTATCTTTATCGTCAATCAAATCTATGGACCTGGTGTTCTTTCCATTCCAGTTGTATTTCAACAGGCTGGTTGGTTAATGACTCTACTTTCACTGACATTTTTCCTTTTGGTTTCGTGTCTTGCATCAACACTGCTCTGTGAATCACTCGCATTGATTCCTGGCAATCGAACATTTGAAAAGCACATAGAGTATAGTGTCGCAGTCAAATACTATTTTGGAAAGAAATGGTATCTTGTTTTTCAAATTCTAAATAATCTTTGTATTCAATCTTATAATATTGCTAGTATTGTTATTTGTGCTCAAGTATGTAAAATATAAATATAAATATATATATATATATATATAAATATATAAATATTATTAATTATTAATTATTAATTTATTTTTGTTTTTTAGTCAATGGATCAATTTTTAGTATTTATGTTTAAAAAAACATTTGCATTTAGTTTACATCCAACACTTGGATTTATAGAATGTGGAGGAGATGTCAGTGCATTATATACTACTGGAACAGTGACCATTTCACTTGGATATATTATTATCTGTGCGATTGCCATCCCAACCTCTTTTATGAATCTCGACGACAATGTAAAGGTTGTGCAAACAGCATCGTTTATATTTCTATTTGTTTTGCTCATTGAATTTATCGTGCAATACTGTATCAATGGATTTGTGCCATCTCGAGTACCGGTCATAGGTAATAACTTTGGTCAGTTGGTCAGTGTATTTGTATTTTCATGGGCGTATCCCATGTTTATACCGTCATGGGTCAATGAAAAGAAAGACCATGTCAGTGTCAACAAGGCTGTTTGGACATCTGGTGTATTCTCGTGGTGTGGATACTTGTTTATTGGATTAATGGGTGCACTGTCGTACGGGTACTTGGGAACGGACAATATTCTAAATCTGATGGGTCTAGATACTTCGCCCGTCGTCACTCGTATAGCCAGCTACTTGTTTAGCTTGGGTGTGATTCTCCCAGGTATTCCAGTATGCTTTATCACCACGCGGTACAATCTCTACGTTGGATACATCTGCGGACGCAAGATGTCATACTTTTGGGGTGTTATCGCACCCTGGTTGATTGCCTTTGTGTTTTGTCAGCAACAGGTGTTTGCCGAGCTGCTCAACTGGTCATCGCTCATCTTTAACTCGGTCGTCAACTTTATCATCCCCTTTGTCCTCTATCTCAAGGCCACCTCACCCTCGGCCAAATCCAACAGCCACTTCCACTCACCCGGCCCCATCAACCAGCACGGTGACTCGCCCGTGCAACCCTACCCCAAACGTCTCCAAAAGCATCATCGTCTCATCACCAAAGTCATCCTTGCCGCCACATGTATCATTAGCTTTACCCAAGTCATCTATGACATTTCAATGGCTGCCAAAGGTGAAGATATCCTTGCACATTAGACATCCAACAATCTCCTCCTCCTCCTCCTCCTCTTTTTTTGGAAAACATTAATTATATCATTTTTTTAAATCATCGACCAATTAATTAATTAATTAATTTCCACCTCCCCCTCCAACCCAACCTCCCTATTTCTTTTTATCAACAACAACAAAACCATGGATTGTAAATTAATATTGACCTTTTGCCAACAACAACAACAACAACAAACTTGGTTGATTCTAAAATTAGTATTTTGGAATAATCAAAAAACAAGGTCAATAATTAATTACAACCAAAAACCAATCAATTATCACCAATCAATAGTACGATACGATATGTTATATTCATCAATCAAAATACGTACTATTCATAGAGAGATAATAGATAATATATATAATATCCTAAATTAAATTAATAAATCATTATTTTATGGGATGTCTATAGTTTATAAACTACCAACAAACAAAACTACCAAAAAAACTTTTTAAAAAATACTCATAGTTCAGTGTGAGGACCACCCGATTCCATTTAATTTAATTTATTTATTCTACTTCTTTCATTCAGCTCAGCCATTATAATAGCTAATCAATGAATCATTCAATTGATTCATCATTCAAACAAAGATAGAGAGATATATAGAGATAGATAAATAACAACAGAAGTAGTAGTAGTTCTGTTGTTACAAAAGACAGAGATAGAGAGATGTTTAAAAGAAAGAGATCAGACGAAGCATTGAGCCTTGAAACTCAATATATTCAACAACAACCGCCACCAATACAACAACATTATCAACAATACCCAATACAACAACAACCACTTCAACAACAACATTCTCCATATTCAATAAGTAATCTAAATATAGATAGTGGAAGTAGTAGTAGTGGAAGTGAGGGAGAAGATGACAAGATATTAAAGATAAGGAAACTTGAAATTAGATCGTATGTATATCTTTTACCATATAGTATCATCACTTTTAATCTAATCATTTATTATTATTATTATACTCTTAGACCAACTATTCCTCTACAGCAACTGCAGCTACAACCACAACAAATACTACAACAATATAATAATAATAATAATATCCCTCATCATCAGCATACTACTCAACAACAACAACAATATAATAACGTTGATCATACTCATCACCATCAACAACCTCATCAACCTCATCATAATACACATTTTGTAAATAATAATCACCATCAACCTCATCCTCAACATCATATACCAATTACACCAACTATAATCGAACAATATAATCATAGTCAACAACAACAACAGCAACAGCAACAAACAATACCGATACACAATAATACCAATACTACCAATAATACCAACCAATACTCAAATATAAACAATACACTTCGAAATGCACATATCGACAGAATGCGATTACGTTATGGTCTCAAACCTCTTCAAGAGACATAAATAATAATAACAGTAATAATAAATAGGTAGAAATAGATTCAATCACTTTGTTCATTCAAAGTGATCCAACTCTCTTAAGCGTGTTGACTACAACAATAGTACATCGGATCGGCGAGTCGTCAAATAATATTGACGCGTTCTTGGAAATATGATTTTGTAAACAATGCTTTGGTCATTTTTTTTAAGTTCCCTCCATTTTTTAATAAAACGAAGTTATTAATATTTGATACATGTATAGACATGAACAACAGAGAAGATAGTAATAATGATGAAAATGAAAATGATACGATAGTTTGTAGCCAAGGTATAAGGAATGCAATTAATTTGTTATTAAGAGAACATACGATAGATATATTAAGTATGTAGAGAATACAAGTGAGTATGAATCAATGACTAACTATTATCTATTATTATTATTAAAGAGGTAGAGAATGAATTTCAACAACAAAAGATGATATGGGAACAAGAGAAGGATATGTTATTAAGAGCTTGTAAAAAGTTAAAAGATCAAAATGAAGCATTAAAGAATCAATTAAGATTGTTTATTAGTGAACAACAAGTTGATTTATCTCAATCATTACAACAACAACAACAACAGATACCTCAACAACAACAACAACAACAACAAACACCACCTTCACAACAACCTCAACAACGTATATTACCTGCATCTATATTAAATGCAAATAATAATAGTAATGATAAAGCTAGTCCGAAATTTAAACCAAAATCAACAACTACGACGACACCTAAACAAAAACAACATGTTGTACAACAACAACAATCTGATGACGACGATGGATTTGTATCAAAACATAAACATACACCAACTCAACCAACTTCAGCTGCTGAACAATCAGATAGTGCTACACCAAACGATAATAATGGTAGTTCTAAAAAGAAAGCTAAAAAGAGAAAGAGTAACGATCCAGCAACAGAGCAGGAAATACAAGATGAACTCGATCTCTCAATGACCTATGAATCCAAACAAGACCAGGATGACGATCCTGTCTTTGCACCTGGAAACTTTACAAGAATCGATTTCAAAAAGTATAGTCAACAACCCAACAATGAAGGTGATGACGACTCTTCTATAACGCCAACACAACAAAAACAAAAGAAGAAACACAAAGTAGTAGATGTTATTAGAAACCAAGAAGAAAGACAACAACTTCAAGGTTATGAATGTGAACATTGTAAAGAGGTATGTATCCTATATTTTATATCCATCTATCATCCCAATTTACTTATTATTATTATTTATTAATTATTAATTAGTTTTATGACGCTGTTCTTGGAGACGACTATGATAAAAAATTATTGTTAAACCAATGCTCACGTCATCGAAAGGATTATACGCCTCCATCTACACCACCAGGGTTTTGGGATTTTAGCTTTGGAGAACAATCCCCCATTAAATCAAAAATCAACAAAAAGATAAAGAGTAGTAGTAGTAGTAACAGTGATTCTAAACAACAATCTCAACAAAATCACACGTCACAAAGAACAAAGAGTATTGTTCTAACAACCACAGACGATGATTATGACCACGACAATAAATTTGATTAAAATGGATGGGCATCTAATATGACAACTGCCCAATGCTTTTTGTACAGACACCAACAACAAACATAATGTACATGAATGGATGCATCCATGTCCCTTTCATGATGAATATTCTTTATTAGACAACGATGGTGTCGATGGTATGTCCCAACAAACGAGCTGCAAATTGCAAAAAAACAGAGTCCGCCGATATCTTTTAATCTGTGTCTCTCTCACCACAATGACGAATTTTAGACATGTCATGCAATTTCGACCCCATGGTTTGGTGGAAGTTGGAGGTTGTTTTTTTTTTTAAAACCAGTTTTCATTCATTTTTGAAAGGATCTCTTTAGCCGGTTTTAAATTATAAAAATAAATAATAATAAATATTTATTTTTCAAAGGGGCCGCCCAAAGATAATAGCGTAAATTAATATTTCTTTATTAAATTAAAAAAAGTAATAGAGAGATAGAGAGACAGACGGCACTACACACATACATATAAATATATATATATTAAAGAAAGAAGACAACAACATACACACGAGTTATGCATATCTGTTACGCACAACCATACAACAACACACTATAGAAGACAAAAGAGAGATAATACACAAAGACAATAAATAGATTAGATATTTGATAGATATTAGATAGAGATGGATGAATTTGAATCATTCTTTACGCAGTTGATACCTGCACCAGAACACGATCTCTGGATGATGACACCGGATAATGCGACACTCAGTTGGATTCAGCAGCAGCAGCAACAACTGCAGCAACAGATATCTCAGGGTACTTTGACACCGGACCAACTCAGATCGTCGCTTGGAGGCTCTATACGCAACCTAAACCAAATTCAGTTGCTTCAGATGATTAATAATCAACAACAACAAAATACAAACAATAGTAATAATAATAATAATAATAATGGTCAAACAAACGACTCTTCCAACTTGTTACAACAACAACAACAGCAGCAACAACATCAACACCAACAACAACAACAACAACTACAACTACAACAACAAATGCAATTACAACAATTACTTCAACAACAACAATTGTTACAACAGCAATTAGCTGCTTCCCAACAACAGCAACAACCTCAACAACAACAACAACAAATGGGGATGATGCAACAGCAACAACAACAACAACAACAACCTCAATCTCAACACCCAAATATAGGTCTAACACAACAACAATTATTACAACACCAACAATTAGGAGAAATGCAAAAACAATACCAAAGTTTCTTGCAACACCAACAAGAGTATTTATCTCAACAACAAACACAATTAAATAATGGTCAACAACAAACACCTGAACAATTACCAACCCTCCAACAATTCCTTCAACAACAACAAACTCTTTCACCAAATACATCGCCACCACAATTATCACCACCAGATATGAATGCACATGTTATAAACCTTGTAGATAATATAGACACCTGTACAGATAGCAACCAAAGAAAAAATATGAGACGACCATCACTTCCTCCAATGATGTCAGAAGACGAACAAAAGGCTAATCGTTCCAACCAAAATATTGCCAGTCGAAACTATCGACAAAGAAGAAAAGATTACATCAAAGAGATTGAAGCAAAGTTGGCTACTCTAACATTTGAAAATCATCAACTGAAAAAAGAAAATGAATCTCTAAAGGTAAATAGATTTGTTTTAGATTGGTATTTGTATTTGGTTTGACTAACTTGTTTTTTATTTTCTATTTTTAGGAATCTGGAGGAGTTGATGTAATGAGACCAGAACCAGAATTAATAACAATGTTAATGGAAGCAAAACAAATCATTGTACAAATGAGTCAGGCAATTAAAAAGAATGACGAACGAACACTTATTTATCTACTACATCTATTCCATTCAGCCATTGCCAAGCGATATGCAGTGGCTGAAAGAGAGGTGGAAAAGATTGTTCATCCATACACACAGTCCAAGTTGGCATCGATGGGATATGTTCCCAAGATTGACCGTCCACTACTCAATATCACGGGACCTGCTAGCGAGGGCTGGTTCTCACTGTACAAACAAGAGGCCGATATCGCAGAGGAGCAGAGTCTCAAGTTGGAGGCACTTCGAAACGAACACGATCGTCAAGACATTAGACTAAAAGAGGAACGTGAGATGCTAGACAAGGAAATTAAAAAGTTCTTTTACACAAAGATTCTTGTATTGCCATCTAATCCAACTACACTTGAAGGTGCTCTTGGAGGTGGTGATGTATCTTTACAACCTTTACAAGGTGGTGGTGATGGACAACAACAACAACAACATCAACTTCAACACAATGCAAGTGGACAATTCCATGTACAAGATTTTATTCCTACCGACTCTTCACTCAACACTACACCAGTGACTAGTTCACCACTAGAGATTAACCAAATCCTAGAATTTGCCAAGAAATTGGAATCACTTAAAAACAACTTTATCAAGCATCGTAATTTGGTGGTTGATACACTTGCCTCACTCAGCAGTATCCTCAGTCCCAAGCAAGAGGCAATGTTGCTAGTTCGCGTTCACTTTAACACCACCTACAACTTTACACAGATGGAATTGCTCAAAGATGTCTGGACAACCATTCTCAACCAAAACAAGACTACTACTGGCCCCAAAACCATCGCCGAGGCATTGGCCAAATTCTCGGCATCAGAGTCTGCCAAGGCCATGCCAACCGTCGAGCAGATTGTCAAACCACCTCAATTCCATCAATACGATCCCAACCAAGTCAAAAAGGAACGTACATCCAACAAGAAAAAGTCAGCAACCAAACAAAAATCATCTTCTAAAAAGTCATCCGCCACTGTTCATCTTACGCCACAATCATCTTCTTCATCTTCCTCTTCCTTTTCATCTTCTACTCCAATTGCCACTACTCCTACTACAACCATTTCAAATAATAATAATTTAAATCTAAATAATTTAGATATTAATAGTAGTAGTGGTAGCAATAGCAGCAATGGAAATCAACAAAGTAATAGCGGTAATGGAAACATTAATAATGGTGGGAATAGTGATACGACAACCACCACAAATAATGGTGGCAACACTCCTGGAAATGATAAGAAATTCCAATGGGTCAATTTCAACTATTAAATATTAAATATTGAATTATCCCAACCTAGCCAATCTATAGCCATTTGTATAATAAAGTAGTACTCATTATTTGCTTTAAATGTAAAAAAAAAAAGAATGCATATTTTGATTTTTTTCTACACATTATCAAGTCTCAATCACTATGGGGTTTTTGCAGTGGGCTTGAGCTACCAATCCATCCATCACCACCAATATTGGGTAGATCAAATATTATTTAAAAAAATTTAGAGGAATCAATCAATGTTTTAACAAGAAGCTTTCTTTGTTTCCAATTATATATATATATCTACAAAAAGTAAAATAAAAAGTAAGTAGATTAAAAATGCAATACGATTCTATTACTAATCATTTCTGACCATAAAAATGTTTGACTGTCTAGATGGAATACAAATATTTAATCCTTTTAGTTTTATTTGCTCTTCTCTCTATGATGATCAACCCTACCATTGCTGATTGTTGTAGATTTTGTGATGGTGATTGGTCTTGTCGGGAAAGATGCAATCCAGATTGCTAGCAATCCTTTTTTAAATGATTAAATCAATAAATATATTTATCATTACATTATTTGCTAACATACATCAACGCTTTGCATTTGTCAGATAGACAAGACTGGCGGGAACAATCTTTAGAGTGAAACAACAACATTAAAGAACTATTGAGCTTTAAAATGGGCTATAGTACTTTATCATTGTTGTTTCACTCCTTTAAAAGATACTTGCCTCGATAACTACCTAGATAATATTGTTAAAAATACGAAAATTGAGAGAAGATGTATTCCACTTCGGAAATAAGTGTTGGAGAGAATGAGCCAACTCGTCAATAACTCGTAATAGTTCTTCCTCTAACTTTTTAGTCCACACTGCTCTCTTTGGTTTGTCTATTGAATTATGACTGATAATGTTTTTATTACTATTACTTTTTTTTTTAATCTTTCTGCTGCTACTTTGTTTACTTTTCTTCTTTCCCATTTATAAAATACTACTATAGTAAATATGAAACGAAAGAAGTATATATAAATAAAAAGAAAGAATAAAAGTAATGAACACTTCGGAAATTCTGCTTCCTTTTTCACTCAGGTAAAAACACACGCTCCCACTCGTCTTGCCAATTCTCAGCTTTTCTTTTTTTTTTTAATTTGAACTAAGTTAGAATACTCCCATACAACAATAAACATGTTTATATATTCATCTACATCTTACAACTAGTCCTTGAAGTCAATAGATATACTTTTAGGAAACAGTATGCATTTAGCATCAACATTCAAATCTCGAGAATGCTTTAGAACACGGTGGCTGATCAATCATCGATGGTGTACACTGTGTAGAACTAATATCATTCATGATATTTATATGAACTATAATCTATAATAATACAAGTATCTATTGTCCAACGATTGTACGTTCTCTTTGGAACTGCCCTATACATCCATGACTTGAAAAGAGGGTGACTAGCTCGTTTGATCCAATCGTCAATTTCCTCTTCTTTTGAATACTGTAATAGACCAAGACCTTCAATATGTTTGTCGTGATTGCCGTCCCAATTCTCGTGGTTTTGAAGAAAGTTATTAGCGACCATTTCCATCGTCTCGTCTGGGTCTGTCTCTGAACCTTTTATCATTAATTCTGCTATTAAATATTCAACTGCACACTTTAAAGGTACATAGGGTATCTTGATTTGGTTTTCCAATCGATAATGCCATCTACCATATGCCTTTAATGCCTTTAATGACTTTGGATGCATCTTTTTACTGTTAGCTTGCTGGCAGCAAGTTGCTGCAGTCTATCGATAGGCAAGTCTTTAATCCATTTGGGTGTAATTGATTCCCAGTCTTTAGGTCTAACGGATCGATTAGAGGTTGTTTCTGTCTCTTGATAGATCTAGTTGTTGGAATTAGGTCATCCTCTTTCTCCTTGACTTGTATGTCTTGATTTTCGATTGTACGCTTTGTTACCATTCGAATGCAACAACTCTATCCTTTCTTTCTTTCTACTAGTTTAACGTAATGTAAAAGGAATCCATTGATCAATATAGTCCTTTAGTATCTTATCTATCTATATATAAATTCCTATCGATCTTTGAAGTTCATTTTAATATTTAATTATCATCAAATTGTTGTAAATAAAAAAAGAATTATAATTGGATTGGGAAGTTCTACACTTTCATGTGTGAGTGTACTCACTCTCCATCCCTGTGGGGTGGGCTTGAACTACCAAAGTATGGATTGCATCACCTAATATTGGGGAAACATTTAAATATTTAAAAAAATTAGAGTGGACAAGTCAATCAAATGTTTTTTTAAACCAGAGACTTTCTTTCTTTGTTTCCAAATATATATATATCTACAAAATAAAAATAAATAGTAAGTAGATCTAGAAATACATTTCTTTGGTCAAAAAATGAAGAATTGTATATGACCAAATTTTAATCCTTTTAGTTTGGTAGTATTACTGGCTCTTCTTTGTATTGTGATCACCTCTGCCTTGGCCGATTGTTGTAGATTTTGTGATGATGATGGGTCTTGTAGGGAGAGATGCAATCCATCAGTCTGCTAGTCAAGTTTATCAAAACACAAATAAATCTATTACATCCAGATTTATTTGATAATGGTTTCATTGTTTTAATTACACATCAAAGCGAGAATAGAATAAATACATCCAACGCATTGCATTTTTCAGATGGAGTGAAACAACAACATTAAAGAACTAGTCGAGCGTTAAAATGGGCTATAGGACTTTATCATTGTGGTTTCACTCCTAGAAGAAAGTGCAAAAATGATCTTTACACGTGATACGATCAAACTCTTTAGGTCAAGTAAGATAGTTGCCTAGATAATATTTAATATAGTATAAAAAAGATTAAAGGATCTGTGAGTAGTGATTATTAATCTTACTTTACGTGTTATGTTAGGCAGTTATCGTATTCTTGGTAAGCCCAACTCTAAAATAATTTGAAAATATTATTTCTTTTTAATTATGCATACCTGGTGGTATAGTAAACCAAGTTCTTTTTTGAATAGACCGATGTCCTCATTGTGAAGAAGGTCAATTGGGATGTCCTTGAACTGGTTGAGAAACGGTAAGTACATATACGGTCCAATCATCTTGTCATGTAAACCAATTGATCGTCCCTCTTCTTTTAGTAGCTTCGGAGGGACCAATTGTTTGGTTTTCCAATCGATCATGCTATGTGGGGGCAATGATGATTGTTGTCCGCCGGCGACTCCTCTAGACTGATAGTATTTAGATGATCGTTCAGCCAACTCTCTCAACCATATGCCTTAATGACTTATCTTATCTTGCTATATTTCATATTATGACTCTCTTCTATCGATTGTGTGTGAATGAATTAAACAAGCGAAATTGCTGTCAGGTTTTCAAATGATGATCTCTTTGAAGTTCAATTTGTTTATTTTTTTAAAATTATTATCTTTGTTGTAAATAGATAATTATATATATAGATAGATAGAATGGATACATCAAATGACAATCGTAAAGGAACAGCAGCAGATGCAACTGCAATGTTTTCAACTATAGGAGCAGAATTGGAGCAAGAACATCAACAGAGACAAAGCATCAAGAACATCACTAGCAATATGGATCTCGCTGGTCGCAAGATCTCATTGATTGTACAATCTGCTCATTCTCTTGACATTAAACAAGCAAACAACCTCTACAGTCAAGTATCCGAGCAGGTAAAGACAGAGTTTTGCAAGAACATTGCAGAGCTCAAAGCTTTGATCAATCCTCTCGACTATTACAAATACCGTGATCATTGGAAGTCTCACATGAGTCATCTTGTATTCAACTTAACTTTTACCTATTGGTTAAGTACTAGAAAGCTTTTAAAAATCGATGAAGTTAATACTTTAATTGGTGGTATGTTACAAACATTCAAACAATCACTGTAGAGATACAAAAACACAAGTACTGACAACTCCTTTCTTATTATATATTTAGCTCAACAAAGTGGAAATAGAGACATCTCTGTTGAATTGGAAGATTATTTAATTGGTTTATGTAATCTTACAAATGAAATGGTATGATTCAACTAATTATTATTATTTATTATTTATGATGGATGGATAGTATCTAATCATTTCTATTTCTATTATTTATTTATTTATTTTTGAATTTATAGAGTAGATATTGTGTAAACTGTGTGATTAGACAGGATTATGAAACTCCAATGTTGATCAATACATTTATCAATGATATCTATGCTGGTTTCCGTCTTTTGAATCTCAAGAACGATGCGATTAGAAAGAGATTCGATTCAATGAAATACGATATAAAGAGACTCGAAGAAGTAGTATACGATCTAAGTGTAAGAAAGTTGACTACTCCAGCTGCCACTGTCACAAAATAAAACAACCTCCAACAAAGGGTGGTTGTATTAGAGAATTATAAATATATTTTGAAATGGTTGGTTATGTAATGTACAAAGAGGTTTAGTTGGTTAAAGAGAGGATGTTTTAGGGTATCCTTCTTGACCAATTATATTGGATTTAATTAATAATGTAATGGTAGAAGGTGAATATTGGTACAAATCTTTTAGTACTTGAATAGTATCTCCACCAGTGACAATAGTGTTAGCTTGTTGTTGTGATTGTTCATTCTTTGTCGCGGCGACTGGAATAAGGAATCTTGGAGCAGGATTAATTTCCTTTTCATTATTAATTAATCTAGATGAGTGAGGATGGTTATGTAATTCATCCATTTCTAGAACTGGCGCTACACAAGCATCGGTACCTTTAAATATTGATTCCCATTCATCTCTTGTTTTTGTTTCAAAAATAGATTGAAATCTTTTCTTCATGGCAGGCCATTGTTGACTGTCATTTTGGTCTGGTAGTTGATCAACTTCCTCACTACTCAATCCCATCTTGGCAATTAGAGTAGCATAGAAATGGGGTTCGATTGCACCAACAGAGATATACTTGTTATCTTTGGTTCGATACACTTCATAGTAATGTGCACCAGTGTCTAGGAAATTATCACCTCTTGCATTATCCCACATTCCATTACGTGCTTGTTTAAGTTTATATACAAATGTTGATAGATACGCTGCTCCATCCATCATTGATGAATCTATAATTTGTCCCTTTCCTTTCATTGATCAAAATGTCAAACTATTAGTTAGTATTTGTTTGTTTTGTTTTGTTTGTGTTTGTTTTATAACATTACCAGTTACAGAACGATTATAAAGTGATACAACTATACCAAATGCACATAATAAACCTCCACCTGCAAAATCACCCAAGATGTTGGCTGGAAAGACCGGTGGTTCATTCTTTCTACCAAAGAGCGAGAGAGCACCAGACAGAGCAATGTAGTTGATGTCGTGACCAGCCATCTTGGCATAATCACCTTGTTGCCCATATCCAGTCAACCTGGCAACGATGAGACGAGGATTCTTCTTTTCTAGAAGCATTCTAGGACACAACCCCAGCTTCTCCAATACACCAGGTCGATAGCAATCGATCAGTACATCGGATTGAGCACATAGGTCTGCCAACAGGGCAACACCCTCTCTTTGTTTTAAATTGATTGCTATTGATTTCTTTCCACGTGTCAATTGGTCCATTGGCTGGCCGACTATCGTACCGTCATCTTGTACTCTATCGACTCGTATGACTGTAGCTCCCAAATCAGCCATCACCATACCACAGAATGGTGCTGGTGCTAATCCTGCCAATTCAATCACCTTTATACCATTTAACATTCTCTTATCTTTCTATCTTCTATTTATCTCTATCTATATATATATCTCTATCTGTCTCTGTCCCAGTTAAACTGTATACAGTTAGTCTACAATACAAATAAATAATCTTTGAATTTAAATTAAAAAAAATCAAAACATCCTAGAAACATGTATGATGATCATATGATCTTAGTTCTTCGGAAATGGCTTGTAATTATCATTACGCAACACAAAGCATTGGGACAGGCTCGATATCGAGTCATGTTGAGACGGATCTTGTGTCTGGTGGACACGATCCAACCCTCCAAGTCTGCTGTTTCCAATTGTATTATCGAGAAACTTATTAATCGATTGGCTTGTCTATGTATCTAAATAAAGAACAAAATAGGGAACGTCCACAAACCCTATCAACAACAGCAAACAACATCTAGGAAACCGATCATTCTGCTATTGAATCGTTACTCTGGTATGACAAGACATGGTACGTTTATATAATACACTGCAGTGCAGAATCATTCGAATCAAATCAACACCTTCTAAAATAAATTTTTAATATTACCTTTAGTGAAAACAATGATAATGCTGTTAAAATCGATGATCTCTTACTAAATGATGATTTCTTGCTAAAAGTGATCTTAAAAGTAGTTTTTAATACCTTTAGTGAAAACAATGATAATGCTGTTAAATAAGTAGTTTCGAGCAATCAGGACAATTGATAAGATTGGTAAGATCTCACAGTTCAGCAAAACAGATATGATTAATTACAAATTGTTTTATTGAAATCTTTAAAGCATCTAATTTCAAAACACAATGGACGATGCAGTAAACCAATCATAATTATTTTATAGAGTAACTTATCAGGCCCCAAGTTGGCTACTCTGGAATGGCGACGATTGGCTCTATCCCTATTCAAGTTGGATATTTCTCATCGCCATTCCAGAGTAGCTAGCTAGCTATCCCGCATCAATCAATTGTGATGCAATCTCAAAAGTATCAGTAATTGTTATAATTAGCAACCCAAGCAAGGTATATATATTATATAAATAAATAGATTAAACTAATTTCCGACTTATTCCTTGACCACTTTTAGCTAAAAGTATATCTAATAAATTGTATTTTTTTATTAATTAACTAATGTGTACATGGCTCTCTCCACCAAGATCTCTCTCTCTCTCAAAGCATTTTCTTGTCTCCTTAATTTAATTATTATTATTATTATTGGTGTCGCCATCATTGTTTCTTTAATATTTAATAATTAAATGGTCTGTTGTTTAATCGGGGGGTTGGGATCCAAGCAATTGTAGTGACTGCATTATCAACCTCCTTTTCGATGCCTATGGTTTAAAGATTTATCTTTTGGTGAAATTCTTGATTGTTATTATGATTGTTATTATGATTGTTATTATTATTATTATTATTGTTGTTGGTTAATAATCATTTCCATTCTAATCATTTTAATATTATTCTTTGTATATGGTTGACCAACTTGAATGAGACCAAACCTAGTGTAGAATGATGACTTTGCTTCTCTTGCACTACACCATAGTTTTGATATACCCATCTCTTTAACCTTTTCAATTAAATAGCCTAGTAGTTTAGTACCATAACCACGTGATTGATGTTGTTCTAGTGTTGCAAACTTTCTAAATTGTGCTTCATCTTTTTGACCATTGACAAATAGTGATACTACTGATACTAGTAGTAATGATTCTTCTTTGTCTACGACGTCATTATTATTATTATTATTATCTTGACCACTTTGTTTAATGTAAACACCATAATGTAATGCAGTAGTATCGTCACCATCAATCTTTATGAAATCAAATGGTTCATGAGGATACATAACAATGTGTCTCATCAACCATACCCGATCGACTGGTACTGTTTTAATCACAACCATATCAAGAACTGATTGAGATGTTGTAGTCGTACTAGCAGAACTATCCGTCGTTGCATTATTACTTGTTATCATCTTTCACAATACTAAAGGTGATATTTCAAAACAACGAATCGGTTAATTGAAATATACCCACTGTTTGAAACATTCATTAATGATCTTCATTCATTTAATTGCAAAGTTGGTTAATTTTGAAAGACCAAAAAAAAGGAAATTAACTAAATCGAGATAGAGAGTTGGGAGGAGGAGAAGGAGACCTGTCATTGTTGTTCGGTTGTACACTTCTGAGAATGATCATTTGCAGGTTCAAATAGGTACCTATTTCAATTTTTAATGCAACTATTTTAATTATTGATAGTGGAGGAGGAGGAGGAGAGCGTTGGTGTGTTTGTTGTTGGAACTCCCAATGGAAACATCCGGTGTGATAGATTTTTGTGGCGATTGGCCAATAGAGTACATGTCATGCTCGTCGACATGTTCATGAACATGGATGGTGGAGGGAGGGGGGTGGTTAAAGATTGATATTATATTCAATGCAAATTAAATTATGCATAATTTTAAAAACATTAAATTTGAATAAATTAATTGTTACAATTGGAGCAAGCATACTGGCAAGTTCTTTTTGAACCTTCCCTCCCTTTTATATATATATGTCTGTTTTATCTTTCTTCCTCTCTGTCTCTCTGTCTATCCCTCTCATTACTATCACAATTAATAATAATAATAATAATATCAACTAACTAAATTAATTAATTTGAAAAGAATAGTAGGTAGTTATTTAGATATCTAATTTTAATTAACAATTGTTGGAAAATAATTAAAAGAACAAGAAATAATAATAATCTAGTTTAGATATCTATCTATAAGAATAAGGTAGGTTAGCGTTTAGTTTAACAAAAGGGAAGGTATTAGGGGTCGCAGTGCGCCTCAATCTTCTACCCCACATTCAAACACAACACACAACCAACCCTCATACAATTAAAAAAAAAAAGAAGGAATACAAAAAATAGGAGGATGGATGGATTGTTGTGTTGTGGTTGTTGACACACACACAAATTGTAGTGTATTTGATTTCACATACACATCTTGGCATGGTATAGTAAATCTATCATTCGTATAATCCATCATCATTCTCAGTCGGCTCATTAAAATGTACAATTGTGTTACGATTGTCTATATATTTTTTTTTTTGTTTGTTGAAGTGTGTGTGTGTGTGGAATCAAAACAGACAAGCCAAGCGATTCGCTTTCCCATACCAAAGTTTGAGTTTGTTTATGATTGATGAATATTTCCTATTTCTGTCTCTGTCCAATATATACTATCAAAATATAATCCAAATCCTAATCCCTATCCCTTATCCTAAATTAATTCATTACAATAATCAAATCAATCATTTTCAATTGATAAATATCACATCCTTCTTCTTCCTCTTCTTCTTCTTTTTGATACAAAGATTTACATTCACTTCGACTCTCTTAAAATATCCTTCTTTTCTTTCCTTCCACCTTTCTTATCATTCATCTTTTATTCTATTATATTATTATTTGTTTTTTTCTATCTCTTTAAATTTAATTAAAAGGCAGTACTTTTTGTATCTGGAATTAACATCCATTTGATACAGACACAGACAGGGTCCCAATCCAATAATAGCAAACAACAATAATATAAAAGTGTGAGTGGTCAGTATTAGAAGTATTAGAAACTATTATTAAACAGATAAAAGCAACAACCATAACAACCATTCCGACAAACAATAATTGGTTCATTCAAAACTCCCAGCTACTTGCAAATTGCAACTGACCCATTCAGTCAGAAACAAAAATAACTACAACAATCATCAACAAACTTATGTATTAGTTAAAGTTTATTTATAATTAGTAGTAGTGGTGTATGTTTAAATTTTAATACATTGTTGTTTGTTGGTGCAGTCGATTGAATTCAAATTAAAACGACATTTCCATCTCTTTTGATTTTCTTTTTGTTTTTTATTGTTTTTTGTTTGGTGTAATCTATTAAATATATTGAAATATTATTATTATTATTATTATTTAATTATTAATATTGGTTTTTTTCAATTCTCAATTGTCGATACTATAGTAGTAGTAGGATAATATAAAGTTTGGTGCATAAAACAAAAAGGATAATATATGTTAAAATAATAATAATCCCAGCAAAAGGGACCAACCAATCAACCAACCAACCAAAATAGAGTAGTTTAATAATATCAAACCATGGAACGAAAAGAGAAAAAGAAAAGGGTTCAACATGTTGGATCCTATGAAATAGGCAAAACATTGGGAAATGGAAGTTTTGGAAAAGTTAAATTAGGTACCAATATATTTACAAAAGAAAAGGTTGGTGTTTTAATTAAATTAAATTAATTAAAGAATCATTCATGAATGATAGTGGTTTAGTGTCACTGTGTGACGAGAGATCATTCTAAAAATAGATCGAAATATATATATATATTAATTGATTCCACTTTGGTTTGAATACACTACACTATGCTCTCATATTTTTAGGTTGCAGTAAAATTTATAAAGGAAAATAAGTTATCTTCAAAACAAAGAGAAACATGCATGAGGGAGATTGAAATTATGAAGTTAATGGACCACCCAAACATTGTTAGACTATTGGATGTTGTCGAGAAAAAGGAAGATAAAATGTCTTTTCTAGTAGTCGAATATGTCTCGGGTGGTGAATTGTTTGATTACATTGTAGCAAGAGAATTTATCAAGGAAAAAGAAGCAAGAAAATTCTTTAGACAAATGATCTCTGCAATCGAATATTGTCATGCTAATTTGGTTGTTCATAGAGATCTTAAACCTGAAAATCTTTTATTAGATTCAAATGGTAAAGAAACTAAAACTCAAATAATAATATTAATATTAATATTAATATTTCTATTTCTCTTTCTATTTCTATTTCTATTTGTTATTTTATTAGGTAATATAAAAATAAGTGATTTTGGTTTGAGTAATATTATTATGCCAGGAAAATTAATGGATTCATTTTGTGGATCACCTCTTTATGCAGCACCTGAAATACTTAAAGCTGAGAAATACCTTGGACCACCTGTCGATATTTGGAGTCTTGGTGTTATTCTCTATGCCATCTTGTGTGGTAGTTTACCTTGGGAAGGTGATAACCAAGCTGAAATTTCTTACAATTCAGTTCATGGAAATTATGCTGACCCAACTCATTTATCAAAAGGTTTGAAATTATATCATTTAAATACAATCATTAAAAGATATATTTGTGTCACAAATATATATTAACTTTCTTTATCTTTTGTTGTTTTTATAGAGGCTGTACATATATTAAGAAGAATGATTCAACCAAGTCCAAAATCAAGGGCGACATTGGAAGAATTAAAAATGCATCGTTGGACAAACACAGATTATGATACTCCACCACCATCATTCTTGAGTATCAGAGAACCTGTATACGAAATTAGAGATGAATTGATGCCCCATCTCATGTCACTTGGATTCTCGGATGAACAAGAAGTCAGAAAACTCATCCTACAAAATGTACAGTGTCGGGCAGTCAGTATCTACCATCTACTCTTGGATAATCTCGTTCAAAAGGAAATCAGTGAAATTAAAAATAATCTAATTAAAAAACAACAACCAAAAGATGATGTATGTTTTAAATATCAAAAGTATAAGTATATGTTTTGGAGAAATATAATTAATTAATTATTATTTTGTTTGTTTAATTTTGTTTTTATAGAATCAATCTAAGAAATTATTAAAAAGTGCACTTTCATTGGCTTCAATTCCAGAGGATGAAGCAGGAGGAGGAGGAAGTCACCAAGACAGTAATAATAGTTCATTATGTTCATCACCATCGTCTGCTCATTCATCTGGTACACATGTCAATGAAATGATTAATTCTATGGCCATCGATGACAACTCTTACCAAATTTCATCGTCCTCTCCATCAAAGAGACGACAATCTACTCCAGAGGGACCTAGTGAAGGCATGAAATACGTTTCACTACCTTCTTCACTGTCGGCACCTGCTTCGTCGCCGTCTCAGACACACAAGCAAAAACAACAAAGAATGGTACCACATTTGCAGATTCCCAAGGGTGGTGTTGGTGGTGAGTTACAACAGGAGAATGTGTCCTTGTCGGCTCGTGAGCCATTCAAGGCACCAGCCACCCCAACTTCACATCAAGATCATCCAAGTAGAAGAAGATTCTCTATCACTGGTCCACCCATTCGTGAGGAACTTCAAAATGAATTCCTACTTGACAAAGCTACTGGTGTCAGCAGCAGCAGCAGTCCACGTGGACAAGACAGTAAATCATTTATGAATAATTATAATTTTAATAATGATCATACTCAACAACAACAACAACAACAACAACAACAATATATTCAACAACAACAACAACAATATATTCAACAACAATATATGCAACAACCATTTAATCAATACCATCAACACCAACAACAATTTGCACCATTTGGTCAACAATATAATATTCAAGCACAACCTTTTTCATCACAATCATCACAAAATCAACCAATAGTTGAAGCACCAAGAACCAGAAGAATGAGTTTGGATTCGAGAATGATGGTCGATGGAGCTGACGGACCGACTGAAAAGAATGAACATTTGGCAAGCCCTAGAATGACCAAGGGTATCTTTAAGAGCTCTACTACCACCACCAAATCACCTGAACGCACCATCGAAGAGGTCAAAAAGTGTCTTGACCAAACCAATCTATTCACCAAAAAGAAGGGACCCTACATCTTTATCTGCTTTGACGATGAGACTGGTGTCAAATTTCAAATCGAAATCGTCAAGATCTCTGCTGTCAATCTTACAGGTGTACAATTAAAGAGAATCAGTGGTGACACTTGGAAATACAAAGATATTTGTACCGAAGTTGTTGAATCAATTCATATTTAACAAATCAAAATAACAAACCAAACAAAAAATAACCTAAATAATAATAATATGAAATATGAATATAAATCTATATACATCTCAATATATATTATAAACATACATGTATACTTATGGACTAAAAGAATAAAAAAAGAAATTGATTTCAAACAACGCGAAAATATAATTTTATCTCTTCTTGGTGTTGATGAGAGTTCTTGTTCATTCATTGCTTCATTCGTTGACTGTCATTCATTCATTGACTGTCATTATTAAGATTAAGATTAAAAGTGTTGAGATTAAAGGGAGAGTTGACGATCAGATGATTACTCATCGTCTCATCAACACCTCCACATTTACAAAAATTGGTTCGAAATATAAGAGGTGTGTAGGCAATTTCAGCTTACATCATCCCAAAGAAAAAAATGTATAATCTCATTGTCAAACTTGTACGAAATTCTACAAATAATCTTTATGGGACAATCATATAATTTGTAAAAAGAAGTTTAGTTATATAATTAAAGATTTATTATATATTATTGTTGTTATTGTTAATGTTAATGTTATTGTTTAGTTGTTGTATCGGGTGATATTTGGTCATTGGATAAACCACTACTACTATCACTACTATCACTACTACTACCACTACCTCTATTAAAATTTCTAACCAAAGCCTCATTAAATTCAATTTCATATTCTACATTTATACAATGACCACTTTTGAATTGAAGGAATTCGGCGGGTGCCAAATGGTCACGGAGGAGGAAAGAGTTACTTGTTCTAACCATATAATCGATATCACCACACATGATAAGAATGGGGAATCCAGATGCTTTGATGGCCGCCAAACGACGGTCTGTGAGATGATGTGTATAGACTGTTCGAATGTGTCCGACTACAGCTGCCAATGTAGGTACTTTGCTCTTACCAACCTTTTCAACATAGTCGTTGACAAGGAATTCAATATTTTTGTTGGTACCGTCCAATGTCGTCTTTTCCAAATACTCTTCCGAATACAATATTGGCATAATATATCTACCTCTAGTTGGATGATCAGTCAATGCAAATGATCTTAACATTTTTGCCATTCCATAAAGCTAAAAAGTAAAACAAACAAACAAACAAACAACTTTTGTTAATAATATGTTCTTTTCTCTATCTTATTAATATATATTTACAGGAGTAACTCTACCAAAACCACCAGCATGAGTAACACAAAGACTGAGTGATTGTAGACGTTGTGGAAATAGAGATGCAAATTCAAGGGCAATCATACCACCCATTGACACACCTACAAGATGTACTTTGTCCCATTTCAAATGATCGATCAATTCTTTGGCATCGGTTGCCATATCGCTTGAAGTATAATTGAATGAAGGTGAGTCACTTTGACCAATACCTCTATTATCAAATACACAAAACGTATACTTTGAAGAATGATTCTTATTCAAGTATTCTGTTTGTAGTTTCCATCCATCTAATGTTGTAAGGAATCCTAGTAGTTTGAGAGGTAAACAAAAAGTTAATAAAATATATATAGATCATTACAACAACATTGTCAACAAGCATACCCATAATAAACAGAATCTTCTCTTCTCCAGTACCATGAATCTCATAGTTTATATTAACTGGTGTTCCTCTATTCTGACTAACTGTTGCAAATGGCATCTTTTATATCTATCTATTCTATCTATCTATTGTACAATTAATATGCTTATCTAAATATATATATTTGAACAACACTTTAACTACTACTTTCTTTAAATTTAAAATGAACAAAGCAAAGAAACAACACAATGAGATGATGTGAGGACGTCTTGTGCGCACTAACTACGAAATTCCAACCAACCAGCATAAACACCATCTTTTTCCTTTTTTGCAACAACTATTTTTTCGGTTACATGAGTGTTGTGGATTATTATTATTTCTTGATTTTTAGATAAATTAATTAATTAATTAATTATTAAACCTTATTATAAAATAAAGATCTATATGTTTGAGATAAAAAAGATAAGATATCTAAATCATCGACCATGGAATTCATTGACGCCCACTTTTTAGCGGGCTAATCGTTGATCGACACTTTCTCTGTTTGCAAACCCTTATAATCTGTTTTTCAATGAAACCTTTGGTGTGATTATCGTCGTTGTAGCCGTGATTGCCGCTGAACTGATTCTTGCTCCCTCCCTCCTTTTCCTCATCCATCACAATCCACAATCGATAGCTTATCATATCTATCATCATTCATTTGTTTTCAAGATATATATATATTTATATATTTATACAAAGATAAAGATAAGATAGAAAGATAGATCTGATCAATAGTTAGATTCATAAAGCAGATTCATAAAAAAACAAGAACAAGTGTAAGTGGGTCATATTATTTAAAGTCACACTTCTTTTAGATTCAAAGAACCCCACCACCACCACCTCCACCACCAACACTTATATCATTGCATGATTGCATTGCATTGCATCGCATGATTGTCTGATTCTGTCACCCCCACATATATAATATAATAATAACCTATCACCAATAAAATCAAACACACTTGTATTAATTTTCTGATTGATCATTTTAATACCCACTGAAATCATCCTATCCATCCTAGAGCAATCAAAATATAGTAGTTGTGTGTATATGTGTGTGTGTGTTTTGTCGTTTATGTATGTATCACTACACTATTACAACTTCTAGTCTACTTATACTTTCTTATTGATTTATTTTTGTACGGTTTCATATTACCATAAAAACACAACAACAACAACAACAATCATCATAGACAATCATAGACAAAAGAGATAGATACAAATATATACACATTCATCCTACATATATAGTAAAAAATACTATTATTTTTGATAAAGTGTAATATTAATAATATTATTGTTGTATATATATTCAAGAAAAGAAAGAAAAAAAGAGTTAGAAAGGTATAAAAGTATTGTCTCAAAGTTGAGTGACAGACATGTTTATCTCAACTTTGATATGAACACAACAGATTCAGATTCAGATTCAGATTGATCGACAAATCGAAAGCCACGTGACACCAATTTTTGCAAGGGGATTATTTAGATTTCGATTTCGATTAAGATCGCCACAACCACCTCATTTGTTTGATATCCTTCCACATCACCAAACCAACCCATTTTTAAATGTTGGGGGCAGGCGCTCAAAACCATCCAACCAACTTCTTCTTTTAATTGAATCATTTATCAGAAACAATCTTATCCAACCGCTCAGCAAACAACTTTTTCATCGTTGTTGATCGATCCTCATCCTTGAGTAGAGACTATTCTATTCTTTTGTTTGCTTGTTTGCTTGTTTGATTAATCGATTGAATGTAAAGACGAAAACAAGGAAAAAAATAATCATAAATAATAGAAGAAGTGTAATATTATTGTCTCAAAATCAACAAACCATCTAAACAACCCAATTAATTTGCATTTGTGTGTGTCTATGAATATTTGGAGAAGAGAAGGAAGGAATAAACAACCCAAACAAACAAACAAACAAACAAACGACTTTGACAGAAAAAGTTGAACAGAACACAGCGTAGTAGTGGTGGGTGATGATGGTGTTTCAAGCAAAAATATCAACATACCCTTGGATAGAAAGAGGATAATAATATAAGAGTTATATATTTATATATAATATTTCCTTTATCACCATCGTCATTGCCGTCGCATTGCTCAAATTGGTGATTCTCCTCTCCTTTGCTATAATTAAACATCATCATCATTCATTTGGTTTGAAATTCAACGAGTTCACAAAAACAAACCATTTTAGAAATTATATAAATCAGGAAGGAAATCAACACTATCCCTACCCACCTCCACCACCATCACCACCACCACCACCAACCACTCTCCTTTAATATCAATCCAAACAGCAGACCGATTCATCAACCGATCCATTCCATTTTTCGGGTCACTAATAATAATAATTATAATAGAGTAGGAGTAGTGAACGTTCTAGCTTCACCAGCTTTGGTACTTTATCATTATTATTATCATCATCATCAACATCACCATTAAAATCACAAAACCTTGTTTGTTCTAAATTTAAAAATATATTCATTTTAAAACTATCCCATCCATCCCAACCTTATTTCTTTCGATCAAATATAATATAATCAATCAATCAAATTATTAATATTAATATTCCTTTTTTTAAAAAAATTAAAGTAATTAATTAATTGCACGTTGCACGACTCTCTCCATTGTATCAATATTTATAAATACAAGTTTTTAAAACGACAAGCCAACAACCCAACAAACCAACAAAACAACAGACCAACAACAATCAATTTGGAGAAAAGAAAACCAACCTTTTTTTTTTTAATATTTTTTCTGGATAATCTCCAGTTTTTTTTGGAAAGATGAATAATTTTTCAAGTTTAATTGATCAAATTAGAGATCCACTCCAGATGATATTAATGGATTGTCGAGCGATTGGAGCATTGATATCAAGAGAAGAGGCATTTGAATTCGAGATGGAGAAGACATTGTCCGATTGCTCGCGACTGTTTAACATTGTCAACACATTCCTTTCATTCCATATATTCAAGGATGGCCAGGTACGAGTGGACGGCAGCGGCAACCAATTCGACGCCAACGCCAAGAAATTCTTTCTCGAATCGTTTATACAGGGATGTGTGTCGTTTAGAGCGTCGCTAGTCACCTTCTTGTGCACATCGCGGTCAATCGACCAACTCACCTCTAAACACAACCGAACACTCTACTCGCTGCTTCGAAGCAAGTTGTTTAGCAATTTGATGATGGTAACTGATAGTGCAAGATCTCTAGTTCGGACATGCGAAGTCACCACCACCAATAGCAACATTGGCGGTGATGGCGGTGAAGGATACACAAGCGAATCAGTTTCAATTATTAGTAGTAACTTTTTAGTTCAAATGAAAGCATTGACAGAGACAACTTCAACATTTCCTTCACGCGATATATTTGATATGGTCAAAGTCAATTATACCAAGACTTACAATGCCTTTCTCGAGTTGTTGCGTAGTTGCGTGTTTGATATTTCCCAACACACTGCCAAATTGTCACAATACTGTGACGAGATCCTCGCAACGTCGACCATGCTCTACGAGCGTGCTCCCGAGATTGCCGGCTCATTCCTACATATCCAGGGTAACAATACGTTAGAGACCAATGTCTTTTCGCTGGTTGATACCATCAAAAAGATATTCCCGATCATCTCGCAGTCTGTCAACCGTATCCCGTCGTCCTACCCACTCCCCACCGTCATCCCGCTCATCGACCTCAACAACGAGGAGGAAATAGCCACCGAAAAACAACGCAAAAAAGATTTTGATATTGCCATTCACGAAGTCCAAGTTGAACAACTAACAATCGATGAAAAGAAAGAAGAACAAGAAGAAATGGAAAGAGAAAAAGAAAGAGAAAAAGAAAGAGAAAGAAAACGTGCAATCTTGCAAGATTCATCAATTCCAACCATTAAAATTGAAAGTATACAAGAAGGCCTTGTTGACAACCAATCAAATAATAATAATAATATTAGAAATAGTGGAGATAGTAGTCTTGGAGTTAGTGGTAGTAGTCCAGCTAGTAACTCTGGACAGTCTAGTCCAAGCCCGACAAGATGGGGTATAGATCTTCCAACAATTGTATTGAGCGATTTGTCAGATGATGAAGATGATGCACCCATGATTTGGAGTGTCCCCGTCAATAGTTTTTCATCGGACCCTTTCAACAGCAATAATAGCAACGGTAATCAATCGTCTTCGAATGGAAACAACAGTCCGTCACCATCAACCACACCAAATGACCCATCACCGCGAAACTCCGTGTCAATGCAACCGACCAAAGTCTACAACAGCAAGGATTTTGATATAAACAATCTCAACGGCTCTAAAAAGGGTAGCAAGATTGGATCCATCTTTAAAAACCCATTCAAGAGTAGTTCTTCTGGCAAAGACAAGGATAAAGCGACCAAGTCATCATCTGCATCGGGGTCTCCACCTGGAACACTATCACCACCCGGTTCAGCATCATCATCGTCATCCCCACAATTATCTGCAGCTGGGTCTGCAGGAGCTTCACCCAATCTCAATGGAATGGGATCAGAATCATATAAATCACATTCTTCACCAACTCTTAAACCTCTTTTAAATAATAATAATAACAAATCATCAACAACAACTACATCATCAACGACACCACCAACAACATTGGTACTTATTAACAACACAAATAATAATAATAAGAGTCCATTTGATGAAGAAGATGATGTAGATGCAGATACTTTAGAGATACCAGTTGGATTAAGAGGAAGTGTGTGTGATCCAGCAGTTGTTTTATTCGATCAATGTAAAGACTACTTTGTAGAGGAAATTGGAAACAAGTCAAAGAGATATTCAAATACAGGTGTAGTTGTTGGATTTGATCACAATGAACGTCATATTGCACATTATGCCAATTATTTCTACCAACAAGACCATAACAATTACCTGTGTCGAATCAACGAACTTGGTGGAAACGTCATTATATCGATTAAAAAGGAGGCTGAGCGTGGTGACAATGAGAAACAACATCGTTGTCTCATTCTCACTTCCAACGGACTCGAAAAGCTACTCATCTACAGTGCCAACAACAAGGATGGTAACCTAATCAAAGGTATTCAAAATTATTTGAAACCTATTTGTTCCATCCCTTCATCATCATTTAAACTTGCCAAAACTGATAAAATTTCACCTCATTTATTATCTTTTGAAAAGAATGAAGTATGTAAAAGTATAAAAATAGAATATTAGATAGATAATAATATTAATATTAATATTAATTCTTATTTATAGTTGACAACAAAATATCATTTTTATTTAATATTTCATGGTGAAGGAATGACATCTGAAAAGGACATGTTGAGTAATGAAAGAGTGAGTAAGGAGTTTACAGATTTTTATAATTTCCTTGGAAAGGTTTATCCAATCAAAGGATGGAAAAAATACGCGGGAGGAATGGATACGACTGGAAACGTGGATGGGGAAAGCATTGTCCACTGTGAGACCAGTGCAGGTATAGAAGTAGTTTTACATGTTGCCAATTTAATTCCAGCAGCACGACGCAAAGACCTCATGGCTAAAAATACTATAGTCATTGTTTACCAAGAAGGAAAACAATCTTTAAATCCTTCAATATTTACTAGTCTCAAGAATCGTAAGAGAACAAATATATATATACTCATTTAATATTTATTAATTCCCATTCTACTTTTTTAATTTTGTTTTAGAAATTATTTTCAATGTTAGAAAAGTTAAAGTTGATCCACAATCTGTATATTATAAATTAGGAGTATCTTCACATCAGACTATATCTCCATTTGGACCTTCCATTCAATCACCTCCATACTATAAAAAAGATAATCATTTCAAACAATTTTTATTGACCAAGTGTAAGTCGTCAAACAAACAAACAATCAAACAAACAACATATTGTCGCAAACATAAATACCTAATAACCATTTATTTATTTTCTTATATTTTAGTGATCAACGGAGAAAACTCAGTCTATTCAACTAGTTTACTTAACCAATCATTATCAAATTACAGAGCACAAAAAATTGAAGAAATCATTGTATCTTTGTAAATAATAATAATAATAATATAACTTAATAACTTAATAATAACTTATAATGAAAAATACAAATAATAAATATTTTGTAATTACATGTATGGGTTGTTTCTTAAACAATCCTAATTCTAATCCAATCCAATCCAATCCAATCACAACAACACATAATGGAATGGGATAGGTACTTGTGTATGTGTGTACCTTTATTTGGAAATCGGCTATCCCCATCTTGTTTTACACGCTCACACATCTTTGATCAAAAGACACCAAAAAATCTTTTTCATCGTGACTTTGTTGTTGTTGTTGGACTTTGAATTTATTAATTCATTCATTCAAATCTCTATATTAATATTCATTTATCTATCTTGTATACAATCTAAAAAAGTGATAGATAGAAAGCAAAAGAAAGATATCATAGTTTAGAGACAGAGAGAGAGAGAGAGAGAGAGAGAGAGAAACTACTACTAGAGTTGTATAAACGAGAGTGAGTGGAGGGAATATGAATTTAAAAAAGTCAACTCTTCTCAATTCTTCGTTAAACTCTAGTGGTGTAGGAGTAGCAACTAATAATAATAATAATAATACTATCAACATTAATAAGTTGCCGCATGCTCTACTCATACATATATTACTCGACGTTCATAATGGTATCTTTCCAAGCGAAGACTATCGGTCTTGTTCTTTGGTTTGCAAAATGTGGCGGATGATGACTCCCAAGACACTTAGGACGGTGGTGTTTGCAGGTACAAACGAGCAAGAGACGAGTAGAGGTGTGCGGACGTATCTGCTGGCGCAAGAGTACAACGAGACGTTGGAGCGAGTCATTATACATTCGCCGCCAGCCAGTCATCCGACAGTGGCAATGGTGTTGTCGGCACTGACGACCCCATTCTTTTCAACGGTGCATCAGCGGCTCTATACACCTCCGTTGACTGCGATAGAGCTGTATTCGGTCGAGATCAAGGATACCGAGGTCGACCTACTATGCGATGTTATTGGTATCTACAACATTCGCACGCTGGGACTCAACGGTGTCGGGCTGACCGACAACCAGTTGATTGCAGTTGCACGCGCGCTAAGAGAGAATCATTTCAACCAGCTGGTCGACGTCTCGCTGCCGCACAATCAGTTCAGTAAGGTGGGACTAGAGTTTTTGGTCAATACATTGGTCGAAACGCACCAGTTTAATCACAAGGATGATTTGATGTATAATAGGCCATACTTTTACGGCGGCGGTGTCGGTGGTGGAGGAGGAGACAGCGTGCGGTCGTCAGTAGTGACTGTCAACGGGTTGGCGCAATCTCACATCTCGACAAAGACAACGGTGTCTGGTGGAGGGACTGGAGATACGACAGCTGGGACATTCCAGATAAAGTCGGACAAATACAAGCTCAACCACAAACCAAAGATCAAGAATAATCTAATGACGCTTGATATATCGAGTAACAAGAAGCTTGCGCTAGAGTCGCATCAGATGGTGCAGCTCATATGTAAATTGAAAATGGTGCGCACGCTCAACCTTTCCAACATGTCGTTGACGCAAGAAGGGCTGCATGACCTTGTCCAGGCACTGGGTGCGACGCTGTTTGTGCATTCGATCAACCTGTGTAACGCGGGTATCCACGCACGTGGCGCCGAGGAGTTTGCAAAACTACTGCTCGACAACCAAATGGTTTCACTCGACCTCAGCGAGAACAAACTAGGTTCAGCCGGTCTCAAAGCGATCGTTGGCGCCATCCTCTCCAATTCTTCCATCTCTAAACCTTCTTCAAACCAACCGATCGATGATAATAATGATAATTACAACAATAATAATAATAATAATAATAATAATAATAATAATAATAATAATATTCAACCAGAACAACAATTGGGATTACAAGACTACAGATATTTTACAAAATATAATACAGTGGGACATTTACGTCGACTTTATTTGCGACGTACTAATATTGGATTCGAGGAGTGTATGGTGTTGCGCAATATGATATATACGTGCAAGACGGTCGATACGATAGACTTGTCGAGCAACCAGATCAACGCAGAGTCGGTGGCGCTGATTGGCACGGCGTTGGCGCACAACACGTCCATCACCAGTCTCGACCTGTCGTTTAATATTTTGGGCGAGGGTGGGTGCAGCGAACTAGGCAAGTCGCTGGCCGCAAACACCTCGCTGCGCGAGCTATATCTTCACTGCGTGTCGATGAAGAAAGAGGGTGCCATGGCAATTGCCGACGGTGTCTTTCAGTGTCCGACCATCTCACAACTCTACCTCTCCAACAATGACATTAAAAACCAAGGTTGCAGCGCTTTTGCGAAATGTCTTCGCGCCAATCGCTCGCTTACCTATCTCGATCTATCTTTTAACAATATCTCTGACAAGGGTGTCACCGACGTTCACAAGGCAATCACTGAAGCATTCCAACAACACAGTATCATTCATCTGGATCTATGTGGCAATCAAATCACATCAAAATCCTACAAAAAATATTTAACCTCTATCCTACTTGGTTCATCTGGTATAGGGTTTACAAATGGTAGTAGTTGTACTAGTGGTGGTGGAACGAATGGTAGTGGTGGTGCTGGATCTGGTTCAAAAGAGAATTGTAATTTAATGTAAAGAGAGAGAGAGAAAGAAAGAAAGAAATCCAACAACAATCACAAAATAATAAACTTTATTTATTTAAATTTTTTTTTTTTTTTAAAGAATATGTATTTATGTTTACATGATGAGGATTAAACAATTTAAATTAATGCATGTCACATTGGCAAAGGAGGATCACCAACATCATCAAGACTAAAATTAAAAAGATCGAATTGATGATGGTAGTGATTCTCCTCTACCAATAATGAAGAGAAGAATCCTTTCCATGCAGACCTGATGTGGAAATAAAAAAACAGGGCACGGAAATCTAAACAATACAGGGAGAAAGTAGATAATTATTTGTTCAAACTGTGTGTTGGCAAGATTGATTAAAATTTTTATTGTTTTGTATTTTGTGTTTGTTATTTTGTGCTTAAAATAATTAATTCAAAATAAAATAAACAAAATTATAGAAAAACATAAGATAAAATATCTTTTTGTCTCTGTCTCCTGGTCGACCAAGTTCTGAGTCAGAACTCCAACTTCGCTTTGCTTTCAGAGTGAAAATATCTTACATGTTTGTCTATTTATTCAAGTGATCACTTGGGAGAACTATTATTATTATTATTATAGATAGATAGAGATAGAAAAGGGGGAGAAGGATAATGATAGAACAACTTCCCAATACTATCATATTAAATATCATTAAATCAGTAGACAGCAATGTAGATTTAATATGTCTATTGTCAACTTGTAAAAGGTTATTCTATAACATCATTCAACAATACAATGCTACACTACAATTCAAACATATTCAATACTTTCAAGAGGGTAGCTCACTCTTTATACAAAATGAACAATTGGTCAAGTCATTAAAGAGTTTTCGTCTACAATCATTTAAAAGTCTATTCAACAATGCTCTATCCAATCAAATGGTAGTGTCTGATGATCAAGATAGATTACCATCATTTTGTCATTTCAACTCTTCATCCACTGCTGCTGCTGATAGACTATCACTATTTATATCAACAAACAACTTGGATGATACTATCAGAGCACCATCAACAACAAGATCTATTGACATCACCTGCCACTTAAACAGACCACTACCATCAACTCTATTTCAAGGTATAGAGAATCTTGAAAAGCTTCTCATTTCAAGTGAATACACATCGACAGAGAGAATAATATCTGACAAGTTGCCAGAGACTCTTAAATGCTTTTCAATCTATTACAAGTATCCATCTTGTATTGAAGGAGGAGCAGGAGGAGGAGGAGAAGACTCATTTTTTCCATTGGGAATAGAGAAAATCCATCTCACTGGAAATGATGATGTGACAACATCACTCAACTCTCTTGGTCTCGAGAAACTTGGATCACTCGACACACTGTCTGTTGGACCGGTTGTCATCACGGAATCTCCTCCCTTGTTCATATCCTCCCCATCCCCTCCATCCATTTTACCAAGTTCATTGACATCACTTGATCTTGGAATCAAAGGTAATATCCCATCCGACCTTTTCCAATCACTCGTCTCCCTCGAAGATTTATCAATCAACATGCATCAAAATGGAGACGCCATGTTGAACTTGGACCTCACACATCTCCATGCCTTGAAGAATTTTTCAATGTTTACATCGTGCAGTGAATTATTCACCGATGCTACTATCAAGCTTCCTCTTTCATCGTCGCTCAAATCCATCTTTATCTCTGACTTTTACAAGTTGTCCAATCTTTCAACTCTTTTTTTCCCAACAACCTTGGAAAAACTAGATATGTATTTGGGGCCGACCGATTATGAGACGGTACAGTTACCAAAGTCTCTCACCCGAATCGCCATCTCACCTTGTCAAGTTCCAATACCCGTTGGATTTATTCCAAGTGGAGTAAAATCATTATCAATTTCATCGTACGATTCAAGAGAGGTTGAAATATTACCAGGATCTATACCATCGTCAGTAGAGACTCTATCGCTTATCGGATATGATGGCCCAACGACATCAGAGTATTTCCCAGACTCTATCAAACATCTGACCTGGGATAGACAGAGCACCACTCAAGCGCTCCCACCAGCATTGGAGAAATTACTTTGGGGATATGCCACCAGTATTTCAGGGGATCTCTCTTGTGCGTTGCCATCAACCATTCAACAAATTGAATACCATGGTGTCGTCCAATTCCCCCTACCTCCTTCTCTCACCAAACTAGAATGTCAATTTGATCCAACTTGTCACATTGACAATTCATACTATTCAATTTCAAAGCTCAACTACTGTCAAAAAAAACAACAAGATGGTCCATTATTATTATTACCATCAAATCAAAGAAAACTAAAAATCAATATGGAAGGTATTGTACTTGATGACAAAGATAATCCAAATCATATTAGCAAGTTTAGTTTTAGATTGGATCAAGTGATCAATCAAACAAATATAGAAAAATTAACAATTAATATATATGGAATGACATGGTTTAAAGCAACAATTAAAAGATTAGAAAAAGATAATTCAAGAGTATTGATTGTTGATAACAAATCTTTATTTGGTGGTATCATTAGTCAATCTAGAAATCGTTCAAACAACAATGAATATCCTCCTATTTATCTTTACAACGACAGTAAATTAAATAATATATCTTTACCATCTTGGAGTCATTCACCACTTGGAAATTAAATAATTAAATAAATATTTTAGAAAAAAAAAAAAAAAAAAAAAAAATTCTTTTTGGTATCATAAAAGTTTGTTGGCTGTTTGTGGTTTTGATATTATTAAACCCACATTCCAAAACCTTGAATATAAAAAAAAAATATATCTAAAAAAGAGACACAATTTGTTTGTATAGATCATTATCAATATAAAAATGAAGATTTATCTTTTTGTGTTTACAGTGTTATTGTTGCACTGTTCTCTGTTTGGGGTATCCTTTGCCGTATGTATTTTGAAATAAAATAAAAATACCTAGATCTCATTTCAACTTTTATACTAATTAGATACAAACACTAATCGCCCACCAATCACTCTTTATAATATTTTTTACTATTATGAATTTATAAAAGGAAATACCAACAACTCTTCATGTATTTGGTTATTCTTCCCAATACTCTGCTATCAATATATCAAGTGGAGAAGTCATTGTTAATCAACGCATACCTTTTTCTGGCTCCTGGGTTTAATGGTGTTATGCAACCTTCAGCAGCTGGTGGTAATGAGTTTATTATCCTCGGAGGTAATTATACTAATCTTGATGGAAGTTCATATCTCCCAATCATTTGGACATATAATGTATAGGTATGTCTAAAACAACTATAATTACGATACCTTTAAAAAAAATGGTCTAATATTAATACAATTTTATCTTTTCCATACTATTTTATCTTTTCATTTTTTTTTTGTACAAACAGAATAACTCTCTTGTTCAAAAGTCATTCATAAATAAGGAGGTCTCAGTTTCCAATTTCTGGAATACTATGATGGCAACATATGATTCAATTGACAATATAGTTTATGTGACATCAATGTTGGCAAATTATGATTCTATATTGCTAGCATATGATTTATGTCAACATAAAGTGTAAGTTTGCAACCATACGATATTGTTATTGGTATTGAAGAAAAAAAACATTAGAGCATTGGTTCTATCCTAATTTAAACGTTAATTAAACAAAAAAAATAATTAACATTACAACATTGATTGGGTTAGAAAATCCACACATTGACAATGATCGGAAAGCAGTTCATGATTTAAAAAAAACTATAAATATCATAAAAGACTATTTAAAAGAAAAATTAAACTTTATTTTGTATTTGTGAATTGTTTAGAAATGAACAACGGCAGGTCTATACTTGAGCATTAAACAATTATCATTAGAGGCACTAAAAATAAATAAATAAAAAAATAGGAAATAAAAGGTAAATAACTATAAGAATACTACTACATGATTATATATCTACTCACTTTAACAACATCGAGCCCCCCAATCCCCAGGACGACCCCCAAGAACTATAAATATAAATAAATATATATTAGTATAAAAGGTTATGAAAAGGAATTCCTTGAAACATGCTACTCAAGTGAGTAGATATATAATCAAGTATTATTTAAACTCACTTTCTAATAATCCAATAATCTTGAACTGGATTATATCCAATGACATCGATTACATGGTTGGTGTCAGTGTGAATTGGTTGGCAATTGGCAATACCAGATTTGTAGTTGGACCAGGCGGTGTCTCTGGTGGCAAGGTAGGCAGCAACAGGACCATTCTTTAACTCTTGAATAATGGCATCCTTGGTAGCTGGAATATAATTCCAAGAGGACCACTTTATATGTGGTTTGATGGGATTATCAGTGCAAGTTCCATTATCGGCGAGGTATGGTTGATCAACCTCATATTGAATACCACTTTCTAATAGACCATTGAAAACTCGCCATACAGCTCCTCCTTGACATCCATATGGCTAAAAAAATATTGGACATTATTAATATTAATAAATAAATAAATGTGATGACACATACGAAACATCCGACAGCTTGTTGTTCTGAAAGATCCAATAAATTGGGATCACCACCATTCTTTAGGATGTAACGACTTTTTAGAGAAAAAAAACAAGAAAAAGTTAATTTAAAATTAAATATCAAATTAGATTATTATTTATACATACCTTTCGATTACAGCTACACTTCCAAATGCCCAACATGAACCACAATTAGCTTGTCTACGAACTGGAGGAAGGATACCTTTGGTTCTCCAATCAGTTTCATTTGGATGAGGAGCAGGAGTTGGAGATGGAGTTGGAGGTACGGTAGGAGCTGGAGTAGTTGTTGGCTTTGGAGTTGTGGTTGGTGTTGGAGTGGTAGTTGGTGTTGGAGTAGTTGTTGGCTTTGGAGTGGTGGTTGGTGTTGGAGTGGTGGTTGGAGCTGGTGTTGTTGTTGGCTTTGGAGTTGTGGTTGGAGTAGGAGTAGGGGCTACAACCTTTTGCTTGTATGGATCTACACCTGGAAGTGCACCGGCAGGGTAGTAACTACAAAGAAAAACAGTTTTCAAGAGACCACATTTAGTTGACTTTGCACATGCAAAACTTCTACTTGCATTTGACATTGCCTAAAAAAGAAAAAAAAAAATTAATAAAATATTTCTTTTTTTTTTTTTTTAATATTTATACATTACAGCTAAATAAGGAGTACATTGTTTACCAGGAAGACAAGCTTTATTTGGCCAATCATAAGTTGGAGCAAGATCAATGACAGATTTTAAAGTTTTGTTTAAACTAAATGAAAGTGATGAAGATGATTTCCATTCACTGTACAATCCAAACAATGCACCTGGACTTGAATCCTTTGCACATCCATCAATATGAGCTTGGATTTCAGCTTCAATTGTGGTATTCCAAGTTAATTGTTGGATGGGTGAGTTTGGTTCTGGAACAGCTTCCAATCTCCAACGTCTATGGTGATCGGCTACAATCAGTTTATCTGATTCACTTAAAGGTGCTCCATACAATACTTGAAAGATTGAAATGAATAAAAAGATAGTCGTTAAAATCGTTGAATAATTATTATACTTGTACATTATTACTAAATAGAATAAATAAAATAAATAGAATAAATAAAATAAATAAATAAATAAATTTGTTGTACAACAATGATTGTAGTTTGAATAGTTGAATGGACAACAAAAGGTGTCACCTTCTGGTTCTCGAGTATATCAACAGATATTAAAATGACGAAACAATAAGTATCTATGGGCAGATTTTCAGATTCACTTACTTAATTAATCGTAAAAAATCTACTTGATATCTTTTGAAATCGGGCGCGCCGATTGACTTTTCGCCCAAGGAATGGCCCTTTTTGCAAGGAGGTTAAGATAACCGATTCACTTTGGATTAATTAATTAATTAATCTCAAACACCACCTTCTATAAGCTTTTAATAGATAAAAGAAAGAACAAAGAAAGAATCACCCATCATTTTATCGACAGGTGTTCAGTTGGACAACAACAATCGTCGTAGTTATCATTACACAAACAAACAACAACAATGTACAAACTATTTATTTATTTATTACTTACCGTTTTGTTGGCTTTAACAGCCACCACTAGTCAAGCACAACAACCAAGCGATGGTCAACTCTACTCTGCATTTGAGAATTGGATGCAACTCTACGAAATTTCAATCCCTGCTGATCAATTACAACAGAAATTTCAAATCTTTAAGGTAAATAAAGCTAACTTTATATTCACATTGAATTGAATGATTAATTAATACGTAACTCTTACATTTTCTTTTATATTTACTTTTACTTGCATTTTATAGGAAAATATAATTAAAATAGCAGAATTAAATTCAAATCATTCAGATGATGTAGTTGATATTGAATTGGTGTATCCAGAGGAATCAGCAACACAGTCTAGATCATTGTTGGCAATTGAAGAGGCTGAACCAACCATTTCATATCCATCGATGGACCAACCGACCTACTCTGTCAATGAATTTAGTCAAATGACGACCGAAGAGTTCTTGTCAATGAACACTGGTTTCGATGGAACCGAGTTTGTTGCACCAGCTGCCACTCTTGCCGTCTCGACCATTGCCGCCATAGCAGCCGGTTCTGCATTCTTGGCAGGTACCGCTGTAGCCACCACCGTCATTGTCAAGAAACACTTGAATAAAAAGAAAACAGAACCAGTGGTCGAGGAAAAAGAAATTGAAATGGAAGAACAAGTACCCAAAGAAAGAAGAAAGACATTGATTGATATCTTTAGATTCCATCCAAAGAATAGTCATCAATCTATTACTGCCAGAACTCCATCTTCTACTAGTTCCTAAATTAAATTATATTTAAATTAAATTAAAATATATTAATTATTGTTTCAAACAACAAAACAATGATCATTCACATGTATCCTGTCTACCTACCTATTTATTATTATGAAAAATAAAACAAACAAATCAGTTATTTTAATTTTCAATTACTTAATTTAAATTTATGGTTTAACATTACGAGTATTGATAATAATTGATTGTTGCTGTTTAAATTCTAATTGATTACTGTTTTGATTTGTTTTCAAGTATGTATTTATAATGTTGATGATTTCAGTATCTTTGAATCCAAGATAAACGAGTTCGATGGATGGACTGTTGGCAATTGCATCCAAGAATAGTTCCCAACTATCACATGGACCATTTATCGATTGATTTGAAAATTCATAGTGCAAATGAATGGTTTTAAGGGATTTACTCTTTTGAATGAACCGAGTGAGTTGGATAATACAGGCTGTATCGAGTTTAATAGTGAAAAGGGTTGGTAACGAACCACTATGATTGAAAATACAGTCCAATACATCATCACACGTTTCAGAACTAATATTTAGTTCCAATGATTCCAACATTGGTGGGATTAATGCCTTTTCTTTGATTGAGAATGGAGGACTGTCACAAACATCTAGATAGAGGTCTTTGATTGGAGAAGAGGGAGACGATAAAAAGTGGATACATTCTAGTGTTGAAAGACTGTATTGAGCAACTGTATGAACCGAGTTGGCTTGTACAAAGTCATAGTATGATTGTGAACACATTTGTGTTGGGTCCCATACTATAAGCTCACGTATCGTTTTCGGTAATAGATGGAATGGATATGATTGGACGGCTGAATCGTATGGAGGTTGGTATTGGTACTGTTCACCCCAACATAACTTGGTGAGAGTACTACGTGGTATACTTGAAAATATCATGTCCATGTCTAAATTGGGACAATCACCAATATCCATTGACAATGACTCTAGACTATGACAATTCTCCAATACACTACATATATATTGACTTGTTCTCTTGTAGAATGTTATATGTAACTCTTTTAAATGATTGAATAGGTAGAGTGGTACAGCTACATTATAAATAAACATTGTAGTAAGAGTTGGAATAGGTCCTCCAACTCGAGAGAAGTGACTGACCCAATTACTTAGTTCACTCCTACCAAAATACAATGTTGTTGTCTTTTTTATAATTGATTCTGTAAACCACTGTAAGTGACTGTCTACGTATTGTTTGTTGATGGCAGTGACTTTACTCGATGCATCATCAATCATAAGCTTGACTTTATTGTGATGACCATCACCTTCACCAGCTGACAATAGGCATAGATCATTTTCATAGTGTTCTCTGTACTCTTCAAGTTTGATCATATTTATTTGAATACACCAACTAACAATATCATTCAATGATCTCCGAGTTGCATATCTCCAAGCTTTTGATACACCTGCAATATTATACACATCTTTAATCTTGAATGCCTTGTATCTATCATGTCGATAATTACATAATATATAAATAATCTTTGATTCTATTATCCATGGTAATCTATTTGTAACTACTATATCATTATTATTATGTATCTCGAGCATTATGAAATGAACAAAGTAAAAAGGTGAAGTTCATCTTTCATACTTGTTCATTTTCAAAACTACTTTTCTTTTCTTTTTTAAAAGTAATAATACTAATACTTTTTAATTTAATTTATAATAATGTACAAAATATATTACAGGTTGTTAGTTTATTTATTTACAAATATATGATTTGAAAGAAGAGGACGGAGGATGGAGGAAAATTATTTTAATTAATTAAAATTAAAATTTAAATAATATTTAAATGATGGGGGATGGATGTTTGGGTTGTTTGATTGTTTGATTGTTTGTTTGTTTGTTTGTTTGATTGGTTAGAGTTTAATTTGATCAAAATGGACAATGAGAGATTTGAAGGGAATGTTTGAATTGATTGTAAAAATGGCTGTGAACCAAATCGGATTTCATGAATTGGAATTCAATGATGCAAATTAATTTAAAGAGCATCCAGTAGAACGAGATACTGGTCATGAGACTAATGTATATTGGTGAGAGACTGGACAAGTAGTAGAGACAGAGGAACGACGACCATGTCAGTGTGAGGTAGATGAATCGATGCATCTGCTTGTTAAAGATGGCCAGGTACTTGAATGTCACGTCGAATGTGGCGATGAGTAAAAAGTTCCAAATGGTAGTTGGCATGATCGATCTAAAGTATATGGACGGTACACCAAATAGTACTGCCATGATGAGATAACATTGTTTGTATCGTTGCAATTCATAGGGTATAAAGTTAAAGGTCAATTCAAACCATTTCGAGGTATGATATTCTTTTACAATTTTGGTTTGCTCGGTGCTGTACAATGGCTCGTTGGCCTTGTTACCAATAAAGTAAAGGAATCCATACTGCACGATCAGATTCTCTCTTCCAACACTCTCCTTTAGAATCTTGTCAATTCGTTCGACAAATCCATTCTCAATCATCACTGGATGAATATCCCTACGTATCTTTGACAAATTAGACAATAGAGTTATTAAATGGTACCGACTAAGAATAGATATTTCATCACCATCAATTAAATCTACAATCTCTTTAAATGGTATATCTCCTACATCTTTAACTAAAAACAAAATAATAAGAATATTAAATAGACTATTATTATTAATATTTTGGATACAATATACTCTACTCTTGCTACTCTACTGTGAGTGACATACATTGAGGTAAAAGATGATTCATTAATTCACTACAATCATACATTAGACAATTGGAATATTGTATGTCAAAGTAATCGGATACTTGTTTATCGGTCAATGGTATCTTGGGAGTCATTTTATTCCTCCAAATGAGTTCACCGCGTTTGAGGATATTGATGAGTTTGAGTACATTGTCTCGTGTGGCCAACAATCTACACAACTTTATATTTTCGTGTGCATTCTCTTTGAGTATACTAATATAGGGTGTTGACACATCGAATGGTTCCTGTTCCAATACCATATCGATTAATTGTATTCCATTTTGTATTGAACTCTCAATATATTTGTCTCTATCACATTTTAAAATGGCAAACCAAACTAATAGAATAGAATATTAAATTAATAAATATTAATAAGTATAAGAGTACTACTTCTTGCCAATAACTGATATGTGTATACATACATAATACTGATAAGAGTGCAACTATACAGATACAAACTATAATGTCAACTATTGATATGGATATGTGAATCAATTGAAACATTTTAAAAAAAAAGCTTTAGCTTAAGCTTGTTTGTTCAAACAAAAAAAGGATTGGGGAAAGAGATAATTCTAATAAGTAATAAAAGAAGGGAAGGAAGGAAGGAAGGAAGGAACAGTGAGCTAGTGGATGAGTGAGAGATAGATATTGAACAAAAAAAAGGGATTCTTTTTACAACATTATCATGGTTCTGACTCTACTGTCTCTCTCTCTCTCTCTCTCTCTCTGTCTATGTTTGTTTGTTTGTGTGTGTGTTGGTTTAAATTATTTGTTTGTGTACGATGTGGTTGTAAGTACTACTGTGGGAGGGGTGGGTAAAGTAGGTGGGTAAGGTATGTATAGGGGAGTTAATTCGAAAATTATCTATATAAAGAAGATTGCTTTATATATCTAAACTATAAATATAACAATAATGTATAATGTATGTGATTGCAAAAGGAAGATAAAGTAAAGGATCACTCAGAACAACTTTGTGTTTGAACTTTCTTTCTTCTTCCTCAAGTCATTTGGTTGGGAGGGATGATAACTAAATTGGGCTTCACAATGTGTTGTCTCCTGTGATCTCGCATTCAAAATGGGCAGATTTATTTATAAACATGGTCGCGGCAATAAAAAAAGATTGTTGGGAAATTCAAAAAGGAAAGGAAATTTCTATTTCGGGATCATTCTGCATCCATTACCCAATTGAATTGAAGAAATAAATAAATATTATAAATATATTTAATACTAGTTAGGGTACAAAAATACAATGAGTAGTTTGAAACTACGATGAATGATTTATGATTTAAAAAATAAAAAAATGAACTTTGTAAATATATTGGCGCGAACTTCAAGGTCAGGTTGAGTTATTAAGTTCATTTTGAAGAATACTAGAGATAGAGAGTAGTAGGAGAATATTATTGTTCGAGTGTATATATATATATATATATGTATGTATGTTTGTGGTAGATTATCATGTCAGGTATAGAGTATTTATATACATGCAAACCAGTAGAGGATGATCAGCTGAATAGCTATCGCATCATTCCCAACCCTCTCTCCAACTTTCCTCTTTGTTCATCGTTGATCAATCAATCTTTTGTTGATGAACACCAGATATCTTGGTGTGATAGATCTGTAGCATCAGGATCGTTAGTGACAAGAGGAGTAGGAGGAGGAGGGGACTGTATCACATGGTCTTCACCATCCAACTTTGGTGTCATTAAAAAGAAGTTTAGTGTATCAAATACAACTAGTAGTTCTTCATCTTCTTCATCATCATCATCTTCTTCATCAACAGGACAAATCAAACAAGTGTCATGGATTAGATTACCATTTCATAATTGTTCAACTAATACAACAAATACAACTAAAAATAATAATGAAGATAGTAATCAATTTATTTGTATATTACTATCACAATCTTTAAACATTCACAATACTATTGGAAAGAGTTATACCATTTCATTGCCATGTGCGATAAAGTCTATTTGGCCAACACCATTTGGAATGCTGTTGGAACGTGCTAGAATGGATCATCTGGGGATGGACAGACAATCACATTTAGACAAACCTACTCTATTCTCTATTCATCATCCTCTTGAGGAGGTTAAACCCATCCTACTTTTACTGGAAGAGGGTGAAGAAGAAAAGAAACATAATGTAACTACTGTCCAAGACAATAACGATGACGACTACCAATCAACCTCAAGGCTAGAAGAAGAGGATTCTTCTATGCTTGCACCTTTAGTATCGTTCTTTTACGATATCTCATACTCGATTGTGTACAGTGACGCAAATTACCCAATCATGGTGGCCTATAAACACGACACGCGTCACCATGTGGTCTACCAGATCAAATCAAAGGCACCAGCACCTAAAACACTCGATTCGCTCGTACCTCCACCCGATGAGGCGTCTCCGGGCCACCACAGACGTCGTCTTGACGAGACTGTCGAACGTAGCTACATTGACGATATGAATGAGGGACACTACCTCGACAGCGACATTGTAGTCTGTGAAATTATGCGTTACCAAATACCAGACAGTCAACCAAACGACACTATATTCATCACATTGGATGATACTCGGTCCCCAATCCTTTGCATTCAAAGTCTTTTCACTCTATACTGTTATTCTATCATAACCTCCTCGGGACACAACAACAACAACAACAACATTCAATTAAAACAACAATTCACAATCCCAAATATTCAATCTTCAAGTCCAATTCACATTAATCAATTTTATAATAATTTGAATAGTAATAATAATAATCAACATCAACAAAAACAAAGAATGACACATATAGCAGCATTGGATAAAATAACAAATAGATTAGTTATATATTGGGGATCATTTCAAATTGCTAGTTATTCATTACCAAAAGGTACAACTAGTATAAAGGATCCAGTTGGAAATCATCTTACTCTAGTCAATAGTTTCACTGGAAACGAGGAAAGATTCAAAATCAATATGATTGTTAGTATGATTGTATCGGATTGTATGTCATCTTTATCATGTTTTTTGGATAAACAAACTACTAGTTTTATATATCAACAATTAAATTTGGAACAACAAAAAGGAAATAATAATAATAATAATGATAAAATAGATTTAAAATCAAAACAAATCATTCAACAAGATTTATTTTTTAATTTTATAATTTATTTAATTAATCAAAATAGTAATAATCAAAATAATAATAATAATAATAATAGTAGTGATAATAATATAGATGGAGTTGAATCAGATTGGGAATATTTATTATCATCCAATTTACATAAATCAAATCATTTTTTATCAACTTTTAATCCTCCTCCAAAACTTTTCAACAACAACAAAATAACAAATAATAATAATAACATGTTTAAAGATATTAATTTAAAATGTGATCCATTTAAAATATTATTAGCATTACAATATCAATATGAAGAGTATAAAATTATGACTTTTCATAATAATAATATGAAATGGTTATTAAATTTAAATTCAAAAATTGGTAAGTCAAACATAAATATATATATATATATTATCTAAAACTATTTATTAATTAATTTTTTTTTTTTTTAGCAATAATATTAAAATTAAAATCATATATTGAATATTATAAAAAAGAAGGAGCTATTATTGATAATAATGATAATATTCAATTTGATGATAATAATTCTAATGTACCACCATCAATTTATAAATATGTATTATCATGTTTAAATTGTAAAAATGGTAAAAGTAATATTTTAGATCATGGATTTGATAGAAATATTATTTTTGGAGTACCTTTATTCAAATGGTTACCGATTGTCATTAAAATATTCTATTTGATTGGTCAACAGGCTAGTCAAGAGGATATTGTATTGTGTGCCATCGAGAATGGAATATGTTTGGATGATTTGGATGCTTTCCATCTTGGTTTTGCCATTCCATTGCTAGAGGCAATTAGAGCGTGTCGGTCAACACCACCAACCTACTGGCCATTAGAAGGCTATACTTTAATTGGTAGACAAGATCTAGTTAACCATTATTACCAGCAATCTGCTACTGTAATTTCAACAGATCAACAACAACAACTAGACCACAACATCAATTTTAAATCATTGTTTAAAACAAAATCATCAACTTGTTTGGGAAAACAAATTACAGCATTGCGATTTAGTAGTGATAGACGAGTTGAAGAAGCAACAAGGTTATTAGATTTCAGTAACAAGATTATATTGTATCAGACACAAGAGGCTGGTGTAAGCGATCACGACTATCTCCAAGACTTGCGTGACAAGTTGGTGTTGGCGTGTCAGCGGTCGCTTGCGTTGCCAGTTGGCGCGTCGATGTTGACGATTGGCACGTCGTTGTCCATGTTGGCAGAGACGATTGATATTGCACCGATTTGTACAGCTGGACAGATTGCAGGTGCCAAGACGGGTGGAGGTGTTGCTTTGGAGCAGGGTGTGCTCGGCGCAGACCAGCTGTCGTGGCCACTATTCCACAGCGGTGTGGCAGCAGGTCTCAAGATTATCAACACCAACATTTACGATGACAGTATGGGAGGGTCGGTCGTCGACAATAGCGGACTGACCAACACGTGGATCGTGTATAACCGTCCGTTAGAAGGACCGGCTCATTCTGGATTACTCCTCGCACTCGGCCTACAAAAACGTCTCTCTTCACTTGCCTTTACAAAGGTGTACGAGTATCTCAGCTACGGACACCAACTCACTTCAGTCGGACTGCTACTCGGCATTGCATGCTCGAAAATGTCGACCATGGACATGTCTGTTGCCAAGGTACTGTCAGTCCACATCCCCTCACTCCATCCACCCTCCTCGATTGACCTCGAGTTACCTAGCTACGTACAAACTGCCGCTGTCATGGGAATGGGACTTCTCTATGCCGGCACATGTAATCGTCGTATGAGTGAAGTTTTACTCGGCGAAATATCGCGTACACCAAACTCCTCCTCCTCCTCCTCTAGTCCAAGTCCTGGAAATGAAAGATCACTCATGATGGATCGAGATGGGTACGCTCTATCTGCCGGTATAGCATTGGGGATGATCAATCTTGGAAAAGGTGGTGGTGTCGGTGGTGAGGGTATATCTCTTGATCTTGAAAACAGATTAAAAGTTTTAATCAACTATCAATTCAACTCTAAAAATCAACAACAAAAGTTTGGAAATCAATCCAACAATGGTTCAAAAAAATCATCTTCCTCTTCTTCTTCTTCTACTTCTTCAAATTTTGCATCAAAATCAAATATACTTTATGAAGGAAATGCATTAAATCATGATATTACAGCACCAGCTTCAATATTGGCTTTATCTTTGACATATCTCAAAACAAATGACACCAAGATTGCATCACATTTGGATATTCCAGAATCAGTATATGGGTTGCAGTACATTCGTAGTGACTTGTTGCTTCTTAGAACACTTGGAAAGTCGCTGGTGATGTGGGATTCGGTTGGATCAGATTTGAATTGGGTGATTGCTCAAGTACCAAAGACTATATTAGAAGTGATTAATATTAGAAAGCAGTCTAAATTGATGACAACTGTCTCTTTTTCGTCACTAGCCAACCAACCATTTATTATTCATCCACCAAGACACCAAGATGACGATGTTCAGTTGTTTGTGTTGGCATTTATCAATATTGTGGCAGGTGCATGCATGTCGATTGGATTAAAGTATGCAGGATCAGCCAACAAGGATGCATTCAAGACACTGTTGGATATGACCGACACGTTGTATCGATTCCAACAACACCTAGTCAAATGTTCACATCAGAGTCAGAGACAACGTCGTCGTCTGCTACTTGCCAAGGACGGTAATGCAAAAACGATGCCGTCATTGGTAGTCGACCAACTACTCGACGACAAGACTATGCGAATCACCAATGAAACTGCGTTGGATGTGTGTGCAATCGCCATGTCGATGGTGATGGCTGGCACGGGCGACTTGGACGCACTGACCATGCTGCGATCGATTCGGTCACGTGTCGGAAAGGAAATAACGTATGGCAACCACATGGCCATCGGTATGGCCGTCGGCCTGCTCTTTCTCGGCGGTGGACAGTACACACTGTCGACAGGCAACATTGCCATTGCATCGCTCGTCACTGCATTCTACCCGAAATTCCCAATGTCGTCAACCGACAATCTCTACCATCTCCAAGCGTTCCGTCATCTCTACTATATTGCCGTTGAACCGAGATGTCTTGTCACACTCGACGTTGACACGTCCACTCCATGTCACGTACCCGTCGAACTCGATGTATGGGGAGACGACGGCAAAGAGTCGTACGAGACTATTAGCAAGGTGACACCGTGTCTCTTGCCACAATTTGAACGCATTAAATCTATTCGTGTATCTAGTCCACGGTACTGGTCAATTGGATTCAAATCACATGAATCCCAACCCAAACAAAACCCAATTGTCATTACCAAACATCCAATCATCAATGTCAAACGAAAGATTGGACATTTACCATATAGTGAAGATCCAGAAGGTTTCAAATCACTGGTAAAATCACTTCCCAATGCTTCTTTAGAGTATAGTTTATCTGGTGGCCAAAACAACAACAACGCTACCACCACCACCAATACTACACATCTATACCAAAACAATGATGATATATCAAGTAGAAAGAAACAAAGTAAAGAAGATATATTAAAAGTATTTTCAGCCGATCCAAGTGTAATCTCTTTTGCTCAATATTTTTGTAATACCAATAGTGGGGATGGAAATGACAATACATCACTCTTGTTTGAATGTATTGCACATGACAAACCAGAAATGCTAGCAATCTATCAACAACTATCATCAATTCTTGCCAATTTAAAATACCATTCACAATGCTCTCTTACCATGTCAAACCTTCGTATCATCTTGCAATACTATGATCGATTAAATAGAATGAAACAAAATCAACAAAATTTATCATTAATTAAATCATCCTATTTAATGGCATTTGAATCTAGGATTGATAATTATTTTGATAAAAATAATCAAAATAATAATAATAATAATAATAATAATAATAATAATAATAATAATAATAATAATGGATATTCTTCATTTTATGATCTTCCATCATCATCGCAACAAATGATAGAAAATGGTAATCTAAAAGAGAAATTTGATCAATTCAATTATTATACTGTTGGAAAATTAATCAATTAAAAATATTTTGAATAAACAAAAATTCTACAGTCGAATCATTTTTTATAAATAGGAGGTCTTTTGGAATCATTCAAATCAGAATTTTTAAAATACTCATTAGAGAAGTTGCAATCGTTCGCAATGAACGCTAAACATTCTCTTACTTTGCGCTGCTTGCAACCAAATTTCCAAAGGAAAGTTGATTGTTATTATCTATTTCAAAGCTGATGATTTTCAAATTGAACTGGTTTCAATTCAATTTTAAATCAAGTGAGGCATATAATAATAATAATTCAACAACAAAATTTTAATTTAAAGATATAAAAATTGAATTGAATAATACATTGTATGCTGAGAGAATCTACTTTGTTGTATTTTTTTGAATATTTCATTGTATTTTTTTTTTGTCTATATATCTATAATAATATAATGTAGTAGAGATCCCAATGAATATCAAAAAGACAAATATAATACCTATATCATTATCATGTTTGGTAAAGTGCAAGTTGTTGTACTTCTAGCTTACAAAAAAAAAAAGTAAATATAAATAAAGAATTAATTAATTCTACTTCAGAGTGAGAGAGAGTAGTCAAAAGGATAATAATAACAATAATAATAATAATAATAATGACTCAAGGTTGATGGATGGTTTAGGTACCAAAGTCAGATATAGAATGATCATTGTGATGATAGTTACTTCTACTCTATAGATTTCTAAAAGAGTAGATTCTCCTCCGACTTGTCTATAAATTATTAATACAAACTTTTTGTGTCTCTTAATCTGCACAATCTAGTCTAAAAAAGGAAATCGATAGTCATTGTTTTTAACTTTTTAAGCCTCTTTGCATCAAGGACAATTTTTCAATGGAGCGCAGGTATCAATTCTTTGGTTGCGTTTTTCAGACTGACAATCGAACAATGGAACGGACATCATCACAATGGCGATTTGGCGTCTTTATGAGAGAATCGTGTGAAGACGTTGGGTTGTTGCTTATTTTCCCTCGATAGTGAACATGCTGACGACACAAAGAAGAAGAACGCAAGAGGGAAGCCGTTGTTTGGTTGGTGGGTGGTTGCAGATAGTAGGGGTGCAGTTACTCGCGACATTTGATTTTTTTTTGGTTTTTTCAATAATATTTTTTCAGGATCTCTCTTAAACAATAATGATGAACCGAGTCACAATTTCCATTTTTAGACAAGTTTTCAATTTCATGATGAGATCTATATATATTTATATTTTTAAATTGGTCATTGACCAAACCAACCAAGAAGAATGATAATGTTGTTATAACAACAAATTATTAAATTAATTTAATTAATTTTTAATCGTTTTTCTTAATCTTGTATAAATAATTTGAAAAAGAACTCTTTAGAATTTTAAATTCATTCACCTCTTTTTTTTTTGTTTAAACTATACTCTTTTTTCAAAAACTAGAAAAAAAAATAGAAAGAAAGAAAGAATAATAATAATAATACCTTTTTTTTATATATATATTTTAGAATTGGATACTATTTAAAATATAGTATCTGCTGTATAATTTTTTCATTTCCTTTTCATTTTTTAAAATCACAAATCTTTAAATATTATTCAATAGAATAATAATTTTTAATCTTTTTTAAAACACATACACATACCTATACATTCATATATTTTTAATATTTTTTAAAAAAAAATGGCGTTGGAGGATCAATATTTTGACGATTCCTCCAATAACAATAATAATAATAATAATAATGAAGAGGATCCACAATCACCTCCAACCAGCAATATTGACTTGGAAAAGTCAACCATTGAATTCAAGTCAATGGCTGCTGCATTGGAGAATGAATCCCAACAATACCGTTTAGATGAAGACAAGCAAGATCTCGAAGGTCGTGCAGCAGAGACGGAAGAGGATTTCAAACTCCGAGAGTTTTTTGAAGATTCTCAACGTATGGCTCTTGCCAATGGTGGTAAAGCTAAAAAGATGGGTGTCAGTGTTAGAAATTTAACTGTTGTAGGAAAAGGTAAAAAAAAAAAAAAATTAACAAAAAAAAATAATCTCTCTTTTATTTCATCCATTTTCCATATCTCACAAGTATTAATCATTTAAAACTATCCATCCTATAATTATCTATTTATTATTATTATTATTTTAGGTGCTGATGCTTCAATTATTAGTGATATGTTATCACCATTAAAATTCTTATTTAATCCATTTAGTTGGTAAGTTTATGATAGATCTATTAAAAAAAACAAATTAATTAATTCAATCAAAATTTCTAATCTATTTTTTTTTTTACTTTTTTATTTATTTTTAGGAAAAAGAATAATGGTACAACATTTGATATTTTACATAATGTAAATACATTTTGTAGAGATGGTGAAATGTTATTAGTTTTGGGTCGTCCAGGAGCAGGATGTAGTACATTACTTAGAGTTATTGCCAATCAAACTGATACCTATGTAGAAGTACGTGGTACTGTTAGTTATGGTGGTTTGGATTCATCTAAATGGTCAAGATACCGTGGTGAAGCCATTTATGCTCCAGAAGAAGATTGTCATCATCCAACTCTTACACTTAAACAGACATTGGACTTTGCACTCAAGTGCAAGACTCCAGGTAACCGTTTGCCAGACGAGACCAAGCGTAGTTTCCGTGAAAAGATTTACACCTTGTTGGTCAATATGTTTGGTATCATTCATCAATCCAATACGATGGTTGGTAACGAGTATGTCCGTGGTTTGTCTGGTGGTGAACGTAAGCGTACCACTATTACCGAAGCTATGGTCTCTGCCGCCCCCATCAACTGTTGGGATTGTTCAACTCGTGGTCTCGATGCTGCCTCTGCACTCGACTATGCAAAGTCTCTTCGTATCATGTCTGACACTTTGAACAAGACCACCATTGCCACCTTTTACCAAGCTTCCGATTCTATCTACCGTATCTTTGACAAGGTAATGGTACTCGAAAAGGGTAGATGTATCTATTTCGGTCCAATCAATGAGGCCAAGCAATATTTCCTCGACCTCGGTTTTGACTGCGAACCAAGAAAGTCTACTCCCGATTTCTTGACTGGTGTCACCAATCCACAAGAACGTATCATTCGTCCAGGTTTTGAAAACACTGCTCCTCAAACATCTGCCGAGTTTGAAGCTGCCTGGTTACGTTCCGAGAACCATACCCGTATCATGGCCGCCCAAGACGAGTTTGACAAGTCTATCGAACAAGACCAACCACATTTGGTATTTGCCGAACAAGTCAAAGCCGAGAAAAGTAAAACCACCCCCAAGAGCAGACCATACACTACATCTTTTATTACTCAAGTTCGTGCTCTTACCATTCGTCATTTCCAATTGATTTGGGGTAACAAATTCTCTCTTATTTCTCGTTATGGATCAGTCTTTATACAAGCATTTGTCTATGGATCTGTCTTTTTCCAACAACCAAAGGATCTTTCTGGTCTCTTTACTCGTGGTGGTGCCATTTTTGGTTCACTCCTTTTCAACGCATTCCTTACCCAAGGTGAGTTGGTCCTTACCTTTATGGGCCGTCGTATCCTCCAAAAACACAAGACCTATGCCATGTATCGTCCGTCGGCGTTCCTCATTGCGCAAGTCATTACCGATATTCCACTAATCTTTTTCCAAGTGACACTCTTTTCCATCATTGCCTACTTTATGTTTGGATTCCAGTATCGTGCAGACTCTTTCTTTATCTGGATCTTTACCATGGTTGGTATGACTCTTTGTATCACCAACTTGTTCCGTGGTTTTGGTAATTTCTCACCATCGCTCTATGTCTCGCAAAACGTCATGTCTATCTACTTGCTCTTCATGTTGACCTATGCCGGTTACATTGTTCCCTACCCCAAGATGCATCCATGGTTCCAATGGTTCTTTTGGATCAATCCATTTGCCTATGCATTCAAAGCATTGATGGCCAATGAATTTATGAACAATGACTTTGACTGCTCGACCTCTGCCATCCCATACGGTCCATCCTATGCTGCCTATGGTGCCAATCGTATTTGTGCCGCCCCAGGTGCCATCCAAGGTAATCTCACTCTGCCAGGAGAAACATATCTCAGTGAGGACCTCGACTTTAAGACCTCGGACCGTGCCCTCAACGTCTGTGTCGTCTATTTGTGGTGGTTGTTCTTTACCGCTCTCAACATGGTTGCCTTGGAATTCTTGGATTGGACCAGTGGAGGTTACACTCAAAAGGTCTACAAGAAGGGTAAAGCTCCCAAGATTAACGATTCCGAAGAAGAAAAGCTCCAAAACAAGATTGTCCTCGAAGCCACTGAAAACATGAAAAACACTCTCGAAATGCGTGGTGGTGTATTCACATGGCAACACATCAAATACACTGTCCCCGTTCCAGGTGGTACCCGTCTCTTGTTGGACGACATTGAAGGTTGGATCAAACCAGGTCAAATGACTGCCTTGATGGGTAGTTCTGGTGCCGGTAAAACCACTCTCCTCGATGTCCTCGCCAAGAGAAAGACTGTTGGTACCATTGAAGGTGTTGCCCATCTCAATGGCAAACCTCTCGGAATTGATTTCGAACGTATCACTGGTTATGTCGAACAAATGGATGTATTCAATCCCAATTTAACCGTCCGTGAAGCTCTCCGTTTCTCTGCCAAGATGCGTCAAGATCCTTCCATCCCACTCTCTGAAAAGTTCAAATACGTAGAGGATGTCTTGGAAATGATGGAAATGAAACATCTTGGTGATGCTCTTGTCGGTGACCTCGAATCTGGTGTTGGTATCTCTGTTGAAGAACGTAAACGTCTTACCATTGGTACTGAACTTGTTGCCAAACCTCATATCCTTTTCCTTGATGAACCAACTAGTGGTCTTGGTAAGAAGATAAAAAAAAAAAAAAACAATCCAATCAAAAAACATTTATTAATTTATTTATTTTTTCTATTTCCATTTTTAGATGCACAATCATCATATAATATTATTAAATTTATTCGTAAACTTGCAGATGCTGGTATGCCATTGGTTTGTACCATTCATCAACCATCATCTGTATTGTTTGAATATTTTGATCGTTTGTTATTACTCGCCAAGGGAGGGAAGACTGTTTACTTTGGTGATATTGGAGAAAAGTCATCTGCATTGACTGGTTACTTTGTACGTCATGGTGTCCGTCCATGTACCGATGCTGAAAACCCAGCCGAGTACATTCTCGAAGCTATCGGTGCTGGTGTCCATGGCAAGTCTGATGTTGACTGGCCCGCCGCTTGGAAGGCATCTGCCGAATGTGCCTCTGTCACTGCCGAATTGCAACAAATCGAAAGTCACCCAGTCGCTGACCACTCTGACGACAAGCCACCAAGAGAATTTGCCACCTCACTCCCATACCAATTCTGGGAAGTCTACAAACGTATGAACATTATCTGGTGGAGAGATCCATTCTACTCTTTTGGTCGTTGGGTCCAAGGTATCCTCGTCGGTCTCATTATTGGTTTTACATTTTGGAATGTCCAAGACTCTTCATCAGACATGAACCAAAGAATTTTCTTTGTCTTTCAAGCTCTCATTCTTGGTATCCTCATGATCTTTATTGCTCTCCCCCAACTATTTGCCCAAAGAGAATATTTCAGACGTGACTATGCCTCAAAATTCTATCATTGGATTCCATTTTCAATTTCCATCGTCCTGGTCGAACTCCCATACCTCATCGTTTGTGGAACCCTCTTCTTTGTCTGCTCCTACTGGACTGCTGGTATTGACTTTAACGCTAACACTGGAGGCTACTTTTACATCATGTTTATCATTTACCTATTCTTTTGCGTGTCCTTTGGTCAAGCTGTCGGTGCCATTTGTGCAAACATGTTCATGGCCAAGTTTATCATTCCTCTCTTGATGGTCTTCCTCTTCCTTTTTTGTGGTGTTATGGTGAGTCCGTCAGCTATGCCTACGTTCTGGAGAGGATGGGTCTACCATCTCATGCCCACCCGTTACTTTATGGAAGGTGTCATCACAAATGTTCTCAAGGATGTAACTGTCACTTGCTCAGACCAAGATCTCGTGGTATTCTCTCCACCATCTGGTATGGACTGCGACACTTACACTGCAGACTTCCAACAGTATGCTACTGGTAACGTTCAATCTCTCGACAATGGCCAGTGTGGATATTGTATCTACAAAAACGGAAAAGAATATTATTCCACTTTGGATTGGTCCGAAGAAAATAGAGGTAGAAATCTTGGTATTTTAATCTGTTATTGGATCTTTAACATCTTCTTGGTCTCTGCCTTCATCTATCTCTCAAGAAAACCAACTAGATAAAATCAATATTATAAATCTTTTAAAATAAAATACGAATCTTAAAAAATTAAAAAAACCTCACCAAATTTTTTTTTGCCCATGTTAACAATTTCATCAGAATATACTAATTTAAACCCAAGATAAACAAAGACAAAGGAAAAAGAAGATATTAGTTGTATTCTGAACAACTTCATGAAAATGAGAATAAATCTTTGACCACTCAGCGATAAGAAGAAGTACACTTATTTTTTATCCTTTATTTATTTTCCAGAAATGATAAATTGCATGGCAATCGAGTAGAATCAAGGCTAATATTCGTGAATGAAGAAGGATATTTATTATCTATTTGTGATGTACAAGTGGTGGGATCGGATGATAATGATTGTTCGAGATGCTGGAGAAGCATATCGATTGATATTAATTTGATCACCTTTTTTATATCGCTTCATATAGTTTTCTGGCAAGTGTTTTTGATGGACCAAACAAAGAGTTGGAATTCGCATCAAAAACGCTTTGAACAACTAAATGAAGCAATATAAAAAAGGCGATCATTATTCTTGCCAGGAAATGTTTTATCTTGCAACCTTTTGCACTGAAACCATCGTCGTCCCAAACTCAGACCAGTGTTAAAGTATATCCAATCGTTCACCTTCTCACCTGTGAATGTTGTACCATTAGGAAACAGGTCTTGATGTCGATCTTCAAGCCTTCTTTCGATTGAAACCATCACGATAAATCTGTTTGGTAGACGACTTGGCCAATGGAGGAGTTAAAGAGATTTCTAAAGAGAACCAAGTCATCCAAGTCATCCAAGCCATCTGTCGAACCATCTGCCAAGTCAACAACTATCGGTCTTTTTGGTGAACCCTTTTGGATGAGGTACTTGTTGTAGAGGTACTCGTTGTAGATGTGGACGACGTTGAACTAATTACTTGAAGAGGTGAGGTGCACAACTAGGAAGAGATAGAACAGTTGGGAGAGCAGAATAACTAGGAGGGAGGATAGTACAACTAGGAGCAGATAGTACAACTAGGAAAAAAATCATTTTTTTATCTTTTAGCCTTTTTTTGATCGGATAATAATAATATAATATTTAGTTTGTATCTTCGATGGATGGATCGATGATGATTATTTTTATTTACAGAGATACATATTTACAAAGGAATGATTTAATTGTTGTTGATAATATAATATTATTATTTTACTATTTCATCAGTATTATTATTATTATTATTATTATTATTATTATTATTATTATTATTATTATTATTATTATATACAAGTAATAATTCACCAGCCTTGTCATTTAATACTGGTTCCAAGAATGTTTTTAATTTATCAAATGAATTCAATTGTTCAGGATGGTAACACTCTGAATTGAATATACTATATTCACATTGAATTTGATTTTTGTTGTTATTGTTGTTGTCTATACTATTATTGTTATCATTATCATTCATTTTCATATTTTTGATTGCAAACCAATGCCTAGAGTTCCATAATCCAAGAAACTTTGTTGTTTTTGTATTTACAATCAATCCATATATTTCATTAAAATTAATATTATCAATTGCTAAATAATAATAAGTTAGTGATTTGATTTGATTTGGTATGTTGACAAACTTTTGTATTTGATGATATCATACGTAATCTTTTATCAAACCATTTAACTTCATATCCTAATCTACCCAATGCTACAACCAATACATTTGCATCATAATTTCCCCATCCACTAATAGTTGAATGAATCAGATTAGTTATTCATTCATTCATTCTCTTTTTGTTGATTAGTTAACTAACATACAAAACACTTTTATGTGGATTAATCAGTCTACCTGAAACATCTATTTCATATGATATACTATCTAAATCACTTTGTGTATATGCTTTACGTTGTAACTGTAGAAAACAATGATTAGAAAGAAGAAGTAAACTACTCTTACTATTATTCTCTCTTTTTACATACAAGATTATTAATAGTATGAAGTCCACATAATTTTAACTTTTGTCTTTCAAAGTATACTTGATTTGATGATGATGACATATATAGGTCTATATTATATATATATTTAATTTATTTATTTCTTTTAAAATTTTAAGTGTAAAATGAAAATGAAACATGTGATGAACTTGGATGGAAGGTGAGTCATTGGAGAAACATTCATACACCTCACGTGTTACCCATTTCATTCTCTTTGAGATCATATCTATAGCTATATATTATATCTATTTATATTTATATTTATATGTATAAATTAGTCTTCGATGAAAACAACATTTAAACAAATAAACTCTATAGAGTATCAAATTAGAAATGATATAGCAACACTTTCAAATTCAAAGTCAATCGTTGATATTCAGACACTACATCAATCAATTAAAACAAACTTGGATAGACTTAAACAGGCTATCAAGGATGCATCAACAAAGATCTATGAAAAGAGTACAAAATCACCAAAACTTAAACAATATGAAAAAGAATTATCATATCATAAAGAAGAATATAATAAGTATGTTTTGATTATTATTATTATGACTTTTAATTATAATTAATTAATGTTTGTTTGTTTTAATATCTAGTTTAATGGTATTACAAAGAAAATTGAATCTTCAAGTAACTGTAAACCTACAAGAAAAATATAAACAAGAGAGAAGAGAATTATTGTCTGGTGGATCTACCAATCTTCTTGGTCAATCATCTCGATTTCAAAATGGAACCAAAGAGGATATTATAAAATCATCAATGAATATAACAGAATCTCTAAGGAGAACTAGAACTTTTATGAATTCTCAAGTTACTAGAAGTTCTCAAATTATGGATGAACTTGGTAAGTAAAGAAGAATATAGAGAAAGATGTTATTATTCATTTGAAATATTGACATTTTATTATGTTTCTTTCTAGATGACGCATCAAAAGTATTGGATAAAACACTTAATCAACAAAAAGAATATGGATCAAAAACAATGGAAGCAAAGAGTCTTTTGACCAATTTAAAACGAAGAGATAGGACTGATAAACTATTAATTTGTTTTGGTTTATTGTTATTCTTATTGGTTGTAGTTTACATTTTGAAAAAGAGATTTGGAAATAGAATATTTAGTATTTTGGTTGCTTCTGCTCCTCCAGAAATGTCCAACTAAAAAAATGAATGAATGAATGAATAAATTCATTTGTATTATTATCGTAATCAATTTAAGTGGATGGTAACTCAATTGGAAATGGAATATTATATTATATATTATAGATTTTAGGGGTTTATAGGATTTTCGATACAAAGTTTATTTTATTGTAAAGATTGGGAAAAAACAATAATTAATTAATTATCTTATTTAGTGTTAGAGTCTAGGTAGTATACCGTCACTTTAAATGAGTCTAGAGGCGATGAGGGACTTGGTGCAGTTACACTTGTTTCCTTGGCAGGTCTTGGCGGCGAAACCAGATCCAGATCCAGATCCAGAACCTGAACCTGATCCAGATGAACCTGAACCTGAACCTGAACCGGAACCACTGGAAGCAGAGGCTGAACCAGAAGCAGAGGTAGCAGAGGTAGCAGAGGTGCCAGAGGCAGAGGTGGCAGAGGTGGATGAGGTAGCTGAAGTGGCAGAGGTAGCAGAGGTGGCTGAAGTGGCAGAGGTAGCAGAGGTGGTGGCAGAGGTGGCAGAGGTAGCAGAGGTGATTGGTGAACCTGATTGTGAACCTGATTGCGAACCTGATTGGGAACCTGATTGCGAACCTGATTGCGAACCTGATTGGGAACCTGATTGGGATGAACCAGAGGTAGATGGACCAGATGAAGAGGAAGATTTGCCAGAGGATGAAGACTTTCCAGAGGTGGAAGACTTACCAGAGGTGGAAGACTTGCCAGAGGTTGATGGACCAGTTGAAGAGGAAGAGGTAGAGGCAGAGCAAGCAATGGTTTGGTTGTTTGGACAGGAACATTGGCAAGTAGCAACGTTGCATGGAACTTGTAATGGAGCAGCCAATACTTCAGAATCAGCCAAAGCTTGACATTCAGTATGACATTCTTGTGAGCTAAAAGATACATAGATAGAAATAAAAAAAAGTGATCGATTAGTAATGTTTTTTTTCAATCACTGTCACGTGTGCGTGGTCAACAACAACAATATATATATATATCAACATACTTGTGAACAGAGATCAATCTTTCTTCACCATGTGAAAAGAGACAAGCACAGTTCTTCTTGGTGGTGGCATCAACAAAAGTTGAGAGAGCGAAAATTGCAAACAAGGCAACGATTAAAAGTTTGATATTCATTTTTTTTGGGAATATATGTATATATATATGTATGTGTTTAGTTAGCTGTATAAATTAAAAGTGAAGTTGAACTATTTATAATATAAAGGTGCTTGATGAAATTGAAAGAAAAAGAAATAGAGGGAGAGAAAGAAAATGAACGAGAATATCGCAAAAACAAGTTGAAGGAAACTTCCTCATGGATATTATTTTTGCAACCTCCCAAGTAATCTGTTATTTTTCGTGTTTCCGATCGGTCTGACCTCATAGCTCGGCCCCATTTTTTCAAACCCACCCTCAAAATATAGTAGTGGCAAAATCAATCAGGTATCAAACTCACAGTTTGTCGCTGGGGCGGGACGAAAGCATGTGTGACGTTTATGAAGATGTAAAACATCAACTCCATCAGATCATTAATTAATTTCAACAACAATAGGATCGACTTGATAAAAAGGGGTCTCGAGGACAACACAACCAGGTCCGTAAAGAGGAGGGGGAGGAGGTCGGAGAGAGGGATATTATTTTAATTCAAATCAAATGAAGTGAGTAATTGATTTTATTTGTGGTAACTGTTATTATTTAAATGTTAAATCAATGGTTTGGTAGTGGGTCAGTTGCAGTTGTTGTAGTTAGATAAGTCGGGTCGATGTTTTGTTGTTGGGTAAAAGTTTAGAGGGAGAGGGATGAGGAGGATTGGGAGGAGGGGGGGTTGTTGGAAAAATATTAGAAAATGTATTGAATTGATTAATTAATTAATTATTATTATTTGTTTTGTTATTATTATTATTATTTGTTTGTTTGTTGTTTAAAAATTATTAAAATTAAAAGATATCATCTAAAGCAAGGCAGGCTTGTTTGTAACGAAGTTCACGGGAAAGATAATCGTCGGAAATGTCTTCATAGAAATCTGTAAGTTTCTGTAGGATGGTGGTTTGGAAACAGGTAAAGTATTCGTCAAACTCTACGAGGATGGTGGCGGAAAAGTAGTATCCATTCTTCTTTTTAAAGACGCATGGGCGTTGGAACCGTTGAATGCCTTTCATGATAGCTTCCATGGCATAACGGTTGGTGAATGGAATGATTTGATGGTGGACTACTTCGTCCCATATAGAGCGGGCGTCATTAAACTCGGTGACAGAGTTGTATCCTAATAATTTACAGAATGGTTGATTGATTTCGACGACTTTTCGATCTGGCAGTCCCCACTTTGCCCTTGGTGTATATTGTTTTATCTAAAAGTAAGTAAAAAGTAAAAAAATAAAGTAAAAAGTAAAGATGGAAAAGTAAAGGAAAAAAAAAAAAAAAAATAGAGAATGGAAAAATAGAAAATGATTTTGATATAAATATATAGTGAAAGGATTAACGGGCGGGATATTAATAAAATATTCTTTTCATTGGAAAGAGAATGTTTACCGACTCTAAGCAAGGTAACCAAAGATTGCCTGGGATGATATGGTTCTTTGGGGCATCGTAGAGGGGTCTCTCGATTTGTTGGTGCATCAGTTGTTGGAGCGACTGGTTCACTTGCAATTGCTGTTGTTGTTGGGGTGACAGGGGAAAGTGGAGGAACTTGGTGATAACGTCCAATGATTGATGAATCTTTTTCAATTCACTAACTAATAGATCTGGTTGGATGGTATGTACAGTATTGTTGTTATTGTTGTTAGAGGTGATAATGTTATTGTTGCTGTTTTGGAGTTTGGTCAATGCGTTGTGTTGTTGTTTGTAAGCAAATAATAAATCACCAAGTTGTGGTTGTTGTTGTTGTTGTTGTTGTGGTGAATCTGGACATGATGATGGGTTTGATCCATATCCATTATTATTATTATTGTTGTTGTTATTACCGTTACCGAGTAATAAGGGTTGTTGGGATTGTTGAGGAACTCCATCAATTGAAAATGGACTTTTTGAACAATATCCAAATGGAGCAGATGATGTTGACGATCCAACTGCAATTGGCTCTTGGAATGCAGATGCAGTACCAACAATGGTTGAGAGATTGATTAAAACATTCTCAAATGCTTGTTGGATATTTGATAATACTGGTTTGTTGGACGGCGACGATGATGAGCTGCCATCCTCTTGTTTAATTGGCTTGTCAGATGACATTTGTTGGGGAGACGATGGACTACCAACAACCTCATTAACAACATTGGTAAACGATCCAAGTTGTGGTTGATGTTGATGATGATGGAGGTGTGGTGATCCTGGAGAGGACGAGTGGTCAGGTGACGAAGCAGATGCGAGGATATGTTGGGTTGGAGTGGAGAAGGTGGACGATGGAGAGGATGGCATGGTTAGGTTGGCGAGCATGAGTGGCGATGGTGGATTCATGACACAGCTGTTTTGGAACATTGAAAGGTCTTGGTGTGACGATGGAACTAATGGTGGGGGCGATGGATCAGATAATTCCAATGGCTTGGCAAGCATAGATTCAATATCAATGTTGTGTTGTTGTTGTTGGTTATTAAATACAGATGATGCAATAAATAGGTTGTTGTTCTGTGACAATCCAATACCATTTGAACCAGCAGCAACCGAGTTGGACGAGTTAGAGTTGGCTGGTACAACATTATCAACAATATTCACAGTTGGATCCTCAATAGCAGACATGAGAGATGACGACGAGACCGATTGACAGGCCAAGTTGTTAATCTGTTGCAACTGTTGTTGTTGTTGATTAGCAGTGAAACGATACATTGGAACATGTTGGTTGTTGTTGTTAATGATTGGACTATTGTTTTGTTGTTGTTGTTGGAGGATCTGATTGTTTAATTGTTGAAGTTGGTGGTATTGTTGTTGTTGTTGTTTGATTTGGTGATAATGTTGGATTTGTTGTTGAAGGTGGGGATTGTTTTTGATGGTATTTACAAGATTACTAATATCCTGTTGATGATTGCCAGTGTAACGTGGGGATGGTGGTGATTGTGGTGGTGAAAGGTTATTGGTTGATGAGTTGAGTTGTTGTTGTTGTTGTTGAGCAGCCTGTTGTTGTTGTTGTTGGGCTTGTTGTTGTTTTTGTTGTAATAATTGTAATGGTGTTGTTGAAGTTGACGTGAGATTTGATCGCTTAGTAATGACGATTGGTGTTGTTGTTGAGGTGAGTGTTGTTGTTGAGGAGTCAATGGTTGTTGTTGGTGTTGTTGATGTTGATGTTGTTGTTGATGAATTTGATGTTGATGCTGTTTGGTGCTTTTCTTGGAGTTTGCGGCAACTACTACGGGGGTGGTGTTGGAGGAGGAGGATGGGGGAGGATGGAGAGGTAGAGGCAGCAAGGGTAGAGACACCATTACCGTCTTGGCCAGCGATGATGACTGGCAAAGAGGTCTCCTTTTTAGCACGCTTGTTTACGACCTTGGTCTTGCGGGGCACGTCATGGCACTTGTCTTCGATTCCGTGCTTGGTGCAACGGGTGCATGGGCGTTGTTGGTCACAGGCAACCTTGGACTGGCGACAGTTGACACAGGCACGCTTGGCACGCTTCTTGGTGGTGGCTGCGCACACCGAATCGTCGCACGAAGACGATGGGGCGGCCGACACGCAGAGAGCAGCTGCTGTTGGGTTGGGCATCTCGCCACTCGAGTTGACAGAGGGGGTGGTCATGGAGAGACACGACGATGGGATCGAGGTGGTCTCTAAGACGCCCAGGCCAAGAAGATTGGGAGAGGACAAGGGAGACATTCCGTTTTGGAGAAATTGTTGATCAATTAAAGTGATTGGATTTGAAATCATTGATTGACTCAGATAGTTGTTGATGTTGTTTGAGTTCATTTTTTTTGAAAAAAGAAGTGGATTAAATGATTGATTGATTAATTAATTAAATTGATTGATTGGTGGGACGGGTCGAAACAGCTTAGTTGGGTTGTTGGGATCGTCAGCGATGTGATGGTAAGAGGTAGGTAGTATGGTTAAAGGGTTTGGCAATTTTCAAAGGATATTTTGAAAGGGTGGTGGATTATCGACTTAATTTTTGATTGAAGTTAAAAAAAAAAAAATGGTTGTAGTTGGAAATATATATATATTTTGGAAATGTGCAATTAGTGAATAGCAACCCGTACGATATGTATGTGTTACTATTTGAAATTGATATGAAATGATTATTTACGAATTTATAATTATTATTATTGTTGTTGTTGATTATTTTTAGTTGTTGTTAGTAGTTGGATTGTTGATTGTTGTAATTGAATGATACTGATTATTATAAATTCGGTGGGATGAAGAATATATAAGAAAAGAAAGGTTTCTTTAATTAAATAACTTATCTTTTGTACGAGAGAGAAAGAAAAAAAGAGAACTCGATGGCAATGATTTCCTTGATGAGGCTAATTAACATTAAAACTTCTTCCAAGGAAAAAGTTGTTAATGTCCGGTATACAAGGAATTGAAAGTGGTATGGTTGTTGTTGTTGTTGTTGTTATTGACTGTTATTTTAACGATTGTAATTGTTTTAAATAACAAGTATTTATAGATAGTTGTTATAATTGTTGTAGTAGTAATAGGATTGTTGATGAATCACTTTTGTTTGTTGTGTTGTAAAAAAAAAAAAGAAAAAAATAAATAAATCTTATTTTTTTCTTTTTTTAAATAATCTTAAAAGATAACTAGTAGTTGATGATGATGATGATGTAAAAACACTGTGGTGGTCGTGTTGATGATGACGATAATGATCGATTGATGTTGAAAATTAATCGATTTTAGTTAGGTATCTATCTATCTGGATGATGGGTGTTATATTTATATATACTACTACAAGTAGAGGTATGTATGTGTATATACACAATCTTTGATGGATGAAATATTATTAAAAAAAAGGTGTGAGGCTGGGTTGGATAGAGGAGAGGGCGAACGAAAACACAAAGGTGTAGATAGCTAAAATTTAAAAAAATATTTTGGTGATGAACACAGCAATGATGGAGAACTCGCGCGTCAAAGCACTTGTTGTTTTTTGTACAGCTCTAAAGTGATCGAGGGGTGGCCTTTTTGGGTTTTGCGTCAAGAAAAGGTGGACACAGGGCGGGGGCAGGATCAAGATTTTTTTTTTTGAAAACGAAAAAAAAAAAGGGAGCCGAAGTTTCGACAAGGAAAGGTATGGGCCAAAATAAGAGATGAAGGAGGCAGATGGGAAGGGGAGAGGATATTTCGAAAAGACACGCATAGCGCAAATATTAGAGTTTTAAGGATAAAAAAAAAAAAGAAAAAAGAAATAGATGATGATAGGGAGACAGGGATAGGCAAAAGATGAGAAGGAGTGTTAATAGGCGTGGTCAATCTAATAATACTATTGGCTACCTCTGTTCTCCGAGTCGCTCATCGTTCCGATGTACATACCTTGATTAGGGTTTTCCTATGATCAGCAGAGGAGGTAGATAACAAACTCTTCCTTGGGCAACAATTGTCGTGATGAGATTATTATTTATTTATTTGAATTGTCTATTATTATTATTATTTGTTTGTGAAGGCTAGGATTGTAAATTATTATTATGAAGATGTTGTTATTATAATAAGATTTACAAGAGATGGTTGTTTGGTTGTTGTTGGTTGTTGAAAAATGTACAAATTAATTAATAATTAAATAGATAAATAAATAATCTTTTTTGGTTGGTTGTTGTTGTTTGTTGTTTGAGAGGAGGAGAATGATATGATACAGATATACAAAAAAATAGAGGTGTTGTTGACAACAATAAGCAAAAAATACTTATATCTATTTATTATTAGAGTGTGAAAGTAATAATAAATGTTGATGAAGTAAAAAGGAAATTGAAGAACAACCACTGCTTTTGATATTGAGGGCTTCCACAAACAATCAAACAATCCCAAATCAACAATGCACACACATTGATTTAATTGAAGGGATTTTTTCAACTGTTGAATACCCGTACAAATATCTGACTTTTTGAATCTAACAGTGTATCAGAGGAGTGTGGGTAACAAAACACTTGCCCTGTCTGTTGACCATTGGAAAGAATGGCTTGTTGTAACCTTACTTTTATTTCCGATTACTTTTAGTTCATCTTTGGGTTGGGCAACACCTCTTTTGACCGATCCATTGAAAGATGAAACAAAAACAACAGACAGGTGTACCTTGGCCCCAATAATAAATTACTATTTTTTGCCTCCCCATTCCCTCTATCCATGCACCCCTCTTCTTTTTTTTCTGCAACTGTTTGACCTCCCATACAAACCATGAGATGGTCTAATCTTAATCAATCATCATTGACAATGGTCTCTCAATTGTGTTGTAAGTGTGTACAATCAAAATGATTAAAATACAGACAGACAGACAGAACCTTGTTCGTTCCATCATTCCACATTCTGTTCCATTCAATATTGTGAGCATAGTTTTTGATTGTCAGGATGAGAATATTTCTATTTCTACCAGGTATAGTATCCTAGGTACAGTATATTGCTAACCATATGGCTATAGTTTACCAAAAAGATAGGTCAAGAGGTTACTCCGATGATCCCTACGACAAGGGAAGGAATTTGATTTTAAAGATTGGGAAATGAGAATGACCAAGAAAAAGAAAAAGAAAAAGAAAAATACATCGGGAGTAGATTCCATTCATATTAAGACTTCCGAAATTTACTTGCCGCATATTCAATGTTGCAAAGAAAGTAGTAAAAAAAAAGATATTTTTTGATTTGTGACAGAAATTCGGAATGCAAAGAAAGGAGCCGGTACGTATATCTAGGGATACGATGTCGCATGTTTCAATTCGCAATGGTGTTGGTTGATAGGATAGTGAGGTCTCTATCCTTGGATCACAAGCCCTAAACAGCCCTTCTATGGACATAGTCGCGAGTGATTGTTGTTGTTGTTGAAGAAACACAAGATATTGATATTTTGTTTTTTTTTACCTTGCGGTAAGTAATAATGATAATCATAATAAACCACTTGAAGATATTTCTACAGGGTTACAAGGGTCTCCCCCTTCGCCCCCACACAAACAAACAAACAAGATTGTTGGGGCTCTCTTGACCTAATTTCCAATGATCACACACATGCAACAAACAATTTATTTGGGTTTGGGTTTTTCTTTGCATTGGCTTTGTTGAATCAATGTGGAAGAAACAAAGAGAGATTCTCGTACTCCTAGTTCCCTTTATGGTTATGTATCATTTCATTGGACAATGCATTAGCATTACATTATCTTCTCCTTTCATCTCTTGGTTTTATATAATATTATATTAAAGTTCTACCACTTTTATTATTAAAATTGTGATAGAATGAGGCAGTGCAGTATTATTGGTGTTGGTGAATCTCTTACCATTCCTAAGGATTGATGGGTTAAAAGTAGCAAAAGTAGTGTAGTAGGTAATAATAAGGTAATAGTGGTTGTTTGGTCGGTGGGATTACCAATTGTTGGTGTTGGTAGTAGAGGTTGTTTCTTGTTCGGTTTCATATTCAATATCGATTCTAGCCTTTCTCTTTGTTTGTGGTCCGTCTTCTACAAATAATAATAATAATAGGTAGGTAGTATATTAGTAAATGAATAGTCAATTAAGTATGTGATATATGACATACTCTTGGATCTTGCTTTTGGTAAACTTCTCTTGAATGATGATTTAGTTTTTGGTTGATCATCATCTTCATCAGATTCTGCATCTGATTCTTCATATAATTCATTGTCTTCGTCACTATCTTGTTGGTAGTCGTTTGCGTAATCTCCACCTTCAATGTCATCATAGTCTTCGTCATCTTCATCGTCGTCGTAGAATTCTTCGTCAGAGCCGCCATCGACATACTCGGTGGCACCACCTTCTTCCATCTCCTCTTCGAATTCCTCTTCCTCTTCTTCACTGTTCATTTCATCTTGTTCACCATCTTCCTCCAATACTTCATTAAATACCTTTTCTGGGAAGTAATACAAATCTCCATATGTTTTCTAAATATATATATTTAACAATTAATTAATATCCAAAAATAATAATAATATAATGTGTGATTGTTGATGACATACCTTCTTTAATCTTTCTAAAAGTTCCTTCTTAATATTAACTGTAAGTTGAGCAGCAACCATAGCCTTTTGTTCACGACGGGCATCTCTTCTATCAGCCTTCTTTTGAATTGGAACCAATTCACGTCTAATAATTTAAATTTAAAGAAATATATATAAGTATTTGATTTTTTGTTTGAGAGTTGAGAGTTGTTTCATTTCGTACCTGACTTCTTTTCTAAGTTTTCTCATTCTAATCAAGTATTGGGTAATTCTAATAAATCTTTGTTTGGCTCTATGTATTAATTTCTCTGGCCAATATTCCAAATGCTTGTCTATTTGATCGATGGCCTCCATAAAGTTGGTGTCCAATTTAATTCTCTCCCAGAGCTTGGCAGGTTGATGTGCACGCTCGATTGTCTTCATATAGAGATAGCAAACACCCTCCTCTTCACGAACTGTACAATATCTGCTGTTTGCCAAAGGACATGATCCCTTATTACACAAACCAGTTGCATTGAATTGATTTCTACAATATCTTGCTTTATTGAATCTATTTATACAAGTGTAAGCTATTTTGATTCTATCTGTCTCTATATATATATATCTATCTATATTGAGATGACTGTTTAACATACGTTGTTTTAAAAGAACAAAACTGGTTCTTTAGAACACTCCAAATGATATCATCTTGCATCATTGTCATTTCCTAATCTCTTTTTCTCTCTTATGTAACTACTACTACGGTAATAGGAACAGCAACAATATATATATATATATAAAAAGTATAGAATATAGAAAAAAAGGGGGATTGAAAGATGTAAAAGAACAAATACAATACAATAAGACGACGATAATGAGATGAGATAGATAAACCAAAACTTTCGTTCGTCGTTTTTTTTTTTTTTTTTTTTTGTATTTTTTTAAATTCACACATATTTAAAGGGGGGTAATAATATTAATAGAAGAATTAGGGTAATTTAATTTTATTTTTATCTTTATCTTTATTTATGATGAATTATTTGAGGATTTGTTATTAATATAATACATTGATAACAATAAAAGTTGTAGTATTATAAAAAAAAAAATTAAATTAAAATTTGTGTGAGCAAAAATAATTCATTGAGCGATCACTGATTGCTTGTGGTGGCAGATCATAGACGAGTCGTTTATTACTTTACTTTGTCATTCATAACAGTATATATAGAGGAGAACAATGTCACTTTTCGGTGGAAGAACATTCAAGGATGGTTTATATCTTATCAGTAAATGGAAGTTTGTAAAGGGTGATAAGGTATGATAGATAGATAGATAGATATACTAGTCAAAGATAATGAGACTGAAAGAAAGAGTATATGTATATTAACACATCAACAACAACAACAATATATCATATCGTAGATTGAAATCTTATCAGGAAGAGATAAAGGTAAACAAGGTATCATCAAATCAGTAAATAGAAAACATAACAATGTATTGGTTGAAGGTTTAAAGTTGATCAAGAAGTTGGCTAGATCTACCAAGCAATCAAAGGGTGGAGCATATACCAAGGAAGCACCAATTCATTATTCTAATTTGGCTCATGTTGATCCAAAGTATCAGTATGTGTCGTCGAAATATATATATGATTGATTCATCAGCATCATCATTCTCTCAATCATCTATCTACTATGGTCTATAAATATTTGGTGTACCACATTGGTTGGTTCATTGAGTGGTTTATTATAATGAATGGTGTTGATCATAATAACAATCACATTGCGAATAGAATACGGTTAAAGATAAGATAAGATTGCAGATATATATTTATAAAAGTCAGTCTTTTACTTTGATCCACCTATTTTCGGTGATTAGATTAATGATTGATCATACATACCACCATTATATATACATCACTACCAAATCAATGACATAGATAGAAAGATGGATAGAAGATATATTTAATTATGAAATGGATTTACTAATTTATTAATCAAACCTTTACTTTACTTTACTTTACATTTAGATGCGCAACAAAGGTACATTTCCAATTAATTGATGGTGTTAGAGAAAGAATTGCCAAGGCCTCAAACTCTATCATTCCAAAACCAAAATTAGATCTATCAAAGAAATGGAGAAAAGAAAATATCGATGGTACATTGGATACTGCCCCAGCTATCGTCAAACAAAAGACTTTTACTGGTGTCATTGATAGCATCGATCCAAGACCAACCCTTTAAATTAATTAATTCCCCCTATAATAATAATAATATACTATACCCAAAAAACCATTTTTCGAAAACATCTATCTATCTATCTATCTATTTCTATAGATATCTCTCTTTTGCCCAATTATTATTATTATTATTATTAGATATACTTCTTTCTTTTTAATAGATTTGATTGAATACCAGTGGACTGACAAACCATTAACGACAATTTATTCTTTTCTTTTCAAACCAATTTTATTTGAAATTCAAAGTTTTCTCTCGAGGTAGAGTGAATGTGATAGATTAACAACAACAACAGTTTAAGAGTTTAATACTACACTTTACTTTCAACAAACAATAGATAAGTAAGTTAAAAACGGCGATCAGTATATAGTATATAGTTAATATGATACAAAGATATAGAGAGATAGAGAGACATAAAGCTATAATGATAATACAACAAGAGTACATTATTAATGATTTATCATTATTATCACCATGGAGTACAGATCTTTTAAAAACAATAATATAATCAGCAAAAGGAAGGAAGGAAACGCGCGCGTATAGAATGAATCAAATGAACAATAATAACAACATGAATATGAATATGATGATGATGGGAGGAAATGGAGGACAAATGATGATGATGGACCCCAATAATATGGGTATGATGAACCAAATGATGCCGAATAGGATGGGAGGAGCACAAATGATGATGAACAATAATAATAATAATATGGGTATGATGAATGGTCAACAACAACAATTCCAACAACAGATACCCCAACAACAACAACAACAATTTAACAACAATCAACAAATGATGTATAATAATAATAATAATAATATGAATATGAATATGATGAATGGATATCAACAACCACAACAAATATCTCAACAACATGGTAATAACAATAAACCAATCAACCAACAACAACAACAATCAGGAAATAGTAATTCATTTTATAATAATTCTGATATGTTACAAGGATTCCCAAGTAAATTACCGTCACCAAATCAACAACAACCACAACAAATATCTCAACAACAACAACAAATAAGTATCAATGGACAAATACCACCAATTTCAAATGAATCAAAAGCACAATATTCAAATGTATTCTTTAAGATTGGTGCAACCAATGAATATAGTAAAGTACCAGGTACAGTGGTCAAGGAGATATTCCAACGTTCAGGTGTATCAAATGATATTTTGGCAAAGATTTGGATATTGGCAGATATTGATAACGATGCTCATTTGGATCGTGAAGAATTTATCATTGGTATGCATTTGGTGTATGGAGCCAAGAGTGGTTATCCATTACCAGATGTCCTACCAAAATACTTGGTACCAGAATCTAAAATTGTTTATCATCAAACTTCTGCCACCAATCAAGCTGATTGGCAATCTTTTCCTCAAATTTCAATTCCAATCACAAATAATAATAACGGAAATAATAATAATATAAATAATATGGGAATGATGAATAATGGATTCCAACAACAACCAACAACATATAATCTTCAAGTACAAGGTAATCAAATGGTTCAAATGCCAAATGGATCTGTACAACAACAACAACAGCAACAACAATTCTTTTCAATGAACCCTCAAGATTTTGTTGGTACACATTATAATGGTAAACATGGTGGAGTTGGTAGTGCAAGTATGTATATCAATAAAGTATATTAATGAATGAATACTAATTTTTGTCTTTTATTTTTAGTTTCATTTGAACAAAGATTAGCACTAAGCAGTGATTTGGATGCTGCATTGGCAAAAAGAGCAAATAGATCATAATATACTATTTATTTATTTATTTATTTATTTATTTATTTATTTATTTAAATTTCAATCCTGGAAAAACTATATATATTTGTAAAATAAAAGAAAATATTATATTATAATTAATTAAAAAATAGAATGTAATCATCCTTTCTTTCAAATTGAATGTTTATTAGGTTTATGATTAATCATAAGATGAAGAATAACTACTTCCACTTTCAGAGTCGGAATCACTTTCACTTTCACTTGAATCACTGAATTGTTGTTGTTGTTGTTGTTGTGGTAGAGGTGGAGGTGGAGGTGGAGATGATTGTTGTTGTTGTTGTTGTTGTTTTTGTTGTTGATGTTGTGGAGGTTGTTGTTGTTGACGAGCTTTATTTGCTAGATTGGGAGGAGCAACGATAGTTGGTTTATGAGGAACAGTGTCATTGATTAAATTCTCGAAATCCTCCATATCTTTACTTGGTCTTGCAGGTGTCATGATCATTTCATCTGGTCCCAATTTAAACTCCTCAAATACAATATCTTCATCATCTTCATCTGCATTATTATTACTACTACTATTATTATTATTATTATTAATATTGTTATTTCCAGTATACTCTGCCATGGTAGTATCATCTAATTCGTCAGTTGTATTATTGGTAGAACTTGATTCTATCATTCTAGCAAGATCTTCTAAATCCTCCATATCCATACTTTGAGCCAATGCTGGTTTCTTGGCTGGTGGTCGTTTACCTCCTCGACCACTAATCGAATTGATTGTGTTGTTTGAGACGGGTGGTGGTGGTGTAATCATCTTGGATAAAGGTGGATTAAATGTAGAAGCAGGTGGCTTTTTAGATGACATCTTTTTAAGGAATGATGATGGTGTTGGTGGTTGTTGTGATATACTTGTCGTCGTCGTCGTAGAAGATGGAGAAGGAATAGCATCCACATCTTCAATTTCATAACTTAGTTTTTGTTTTTTTACATTATTATTATTATTATTAGAGGAAGAAGGGTTGGCTATATTAGAGGTAGTACTTAAACTCTCATAATCAGCCGCCTTTTTCTTTTTAGAGCCACTACTACTAGTATTGTTGTTGTTGCTGTTGTTGTTGTTAAAGAGTGATGGTGAAGTGATGACACCACTACCACTTGATTCTGAATCCGATAGAATAGAGTTGGGTGGTAGTACACTACTTCCAGCCTTTACATCACCTTTTCTAATCGATGCCGAATAAGATAATCGCTCTAGTCTAAATTCTCCATTCTCAAATACCAATATACATTCCAAGTCACTACATTGTTTTTGTGAACCATTAAAGCTAATTATTTCATTTTGATTCTAGAATCACATAACATACATAATATTAGTATAAGACAATGAAAGAGAGAGAGAGGGATGAGAGTAAGGAGGGTTTGATTGATAGATGATAGTTACACTATGGTATTGTACAGATAAATGACCGTTTTGAGATCTCAATGATCCTTCTTTGGATGTATCTAAACTTCTTGGTCTTATATTATCTAATGTAGTAGTGAAATAGAAAGAATAGAGGTTAGTTAGGAGTCTACCTATAGGTACTAGTACTAGTATTGTTTGTTTTCTATATCTCTCTATCTATCTCTGTCTATCTTACATGTCAAAGTATGATACATCTCTGAAGAGTCTGTAAATGATTTTCCGAGTGATACATTGTATAGCTTTTCATCTGGTGCACTCATTACAGAATCAAATAAATAATATTTAAATAATAATAATAAAAATAAATAAAGAATGAATCAATTACACACTCACCGATCACATTTATCTTCTTGTTTTTTGAAACTAGTTCACTTTCAATTTTTGAAGTTCAGGATTAACAATTATTTAATTTAATTATTTATAGTTGAGAATATAGATCCTATAAGACTATAGGTCTGATGCTTTGATTTCAACAAATAATGCATGTTTATCCTTGAAACTTACATGTGTCGAAAGTTTCGACAGATTACGCTGACTCGCACATAGTTATTAAAAGAAAAGAAGAAAGAGTAAAATAATAATAATAGAGGAAATCTAAAGTTAATTTAAATAGTATTTATATATTTTCATCAAAATGGGATCATTGTATCACTACTATTATTAATATTTTTAGTTTCTTTTCTTAAAGAGTTGATAATCATTGCATTATGTATTTGGCAATTCAATTATATATAAATCATTTATTTTATAAACCAATAATGTCAACATCACCATCCTCATAACCATTGTTGTCAACATTCATATTTGAATAACCGTTGTCGTCAACATCCATATCTGAATAATCATCTTCATCATCTGTGGGGAGTTCCTCGCCCGATGGACCTATAAATGCCCAACCTTTTCTTTCGATTCGAGATTGAGATTTGGTTTGTCCAACAAGTGGGTACATCAGTGATGGCAGTGCTCTTTTTGCGGCGTTGATCTCATTCGAATAAGGTGGGAAATTTTCGTCCATGGGTAAACTAAACTCGATAGCATTGGTATCGGGAAGCAAAAAGGTTCCTTCTATATCGTAGATATAACTATTCGATACATCAACATGGTGTATCTTCTTAAAGAGTGCCTCTCCCAGTGTAATATCTTCAAAACATATCTAAATAATAATAATAATAAATAAGGAATGAATTAAGATTAATTAATTAGAGAATGACCGGATAAATATCGAGAGATATTTTTAATTATTAATAATACATACATAAATTCCAGCATAAAGAGTGTGAACCAAATTTCTATTTGCGTCACCAACACAAACTCTTCCTCCTTTTGTGAATGATAATTTCTCATGTCTTTTTCTACGAACACCTCCGTCATAATTCCAACCCCTAATATTAAAGATTCCCCATTCATGATCGTCCATATAAATAGATGGAATATCAACACGACCAGGTTGTGACTATTATTAAAAATAAATAATAATAATGAGTTTTTAAATTGTTTTTTAGGGTTTACTCAAAAAAAATTTACTTACATAAGTTGATACATAGTAAACATCTCGGGTCGTCTTTGCAATGTATGTGAATGGATCCATTCCAAGTTGAATAACTGTTTTCTTGGGGCCCAATTCTTTTTGGCGGCTATTGTCAAGCATAGCGGATCTGATTGGATCCTTACCAGGGTCAGAAAGTTCAAATGGTTTCACTCTAATATCTATAAATAAGTATCAATCGGTTAGTACAATTTCTTGTTTCTCTTTTACCTTTGAACATTATTTATACTTACCAAAACCATAAATAGTCATTCCAGTTCCTAGCTCCATAGATGTAAGACAAACATTAATGGGGTCATTTAATGAGTGTCGAATAAAAGCACCTAGTCTCTCCCTTTCTGTTGCCCCTTGAGTTGTTTCCTCAAAATCAATGTCAATATCACCATCAGGATCAATGTCATCCTCTAAAAAGCGTTGTAAAATCTCTCACAGTACCCATCTGGTTGAATCAAAGCGTCAGCAATTCTCTCTTTGATATTGTATGGGTGGTCTTTGGATATGAGTGATCCTTGCTTTGCAGGATCCGGGTGATCATCGATATAGTTTGTTCTGGTTATTTTTGGATTTCCCCTCCCAATTAGGGTCATTAGGTTGGCAAATTCATCTGTTTTATAGAGTAGGTTAGTAAGTTTTAGTAAATACATGGTTTCAAACAACATACTTTGTTGAAAATTGGTACAAAAACTGTGATGGGACATTACAAACTTGCCCTCTGAACCACCTACATTTGGACCAAAAAGGTTATATGGATCAAACCATCCAGTGGCTGTATCAATCGTGATAGATGGAATGTTGAGTGAATGGTCGATAATAAATCCATTTCCAGTGCCAGTGTCTACAGATATTAGATACTATTAGATTTGATAAAAAAGTTATAGGGCTTGTTAATACAATGAATAAATGATGAATGGATAGATTACATGATATACCTTTGCATGTGCGTGTCTAAAAGTACCTTCAGGGATTGCCTCTTCATGATCAATACTTTCATGGTCACTATCTTCGGCTGTGGGTTTCGGTTCACCACGACCGGCACGACCCAAGATGTCATGGTACCAAGCCTGTGCCTCTATTTGTTTTTCATTTACACATGTAGGATCGACAAGACCCTCCTCATTTGTTTGTTTCTTATTCTCTGTGACACATTCTTCATAGACATCCTTGTTGTTTGCGTATGCTCTTTCTATGTGTCTCTCCCAAAATATTTTGATAGAGATTGGGTAATCTTTGGGAAACTGACTTTCCTCGATATCCTATATATATGCCAATTGGTTGGTAGGTTATCTATTAATATGTATTATATGATGACCTTATCAATCTAACTATTAATATACTAGTTACGTACATGATAATGATCAGGACCACGAGAATCAATGTAAATAAAACCTCCACCTGTATTGTCCTTGTTTGATTGCTTTGATAACAGGAACCACCAGTCAACCGTTTCGACATCGCTATCGGCTTCTGCTTGCAAGTCTGGTGCCATACCAACACATCGTGGCGGTGTTTTCAAATCTGCTTTTACAACAACCACATGCCAAGTACAACTAGAGAGTAAAATGCATACGATCATCAACACAACCAAAAAAAGGGGTTGTGTTTGTAAATACATAGATAATTATTATTATCTTTAAATGTATGTAGATTAATCTGTTTACGTATTGCAATCTGAAATGTGATTGGAGAACGAGCAAAAAAAAAAACGAACCGCGATACGTGATAAGAAAATTTTCGTTTTAAAGATGTGGTCAATACAAAACAAAGCACCAAACTAATCATATGACAAGTAAGATGGCAACAAGAGATAATAGGTTTATCACTCTCATTTTAATTATTGTCTGTTTGGCAGCGGTTAGAGTAGAGGGTAGCAGCAACAATGACTACCAAGTATATGTCGACAAAAACTCAATGTGCACAGCCGACTGTGGTACTGAGATGTCACCCTTTTCCAATTTTGTTGATGCCATCCAATACATCTCTTTATTGCGTAGCAACAAGTCGTCATTGTCTGCAGCTGCTGTCAACATGGACTGGCTTCTTCAAAATAACGACAATCACCAACAACAAGATGTAGACACCATCATTGTTAAAGAAGGTATTTATCGTGGATCGAAAAACAAAGGTTTAGTTATAAATTTTCCTTTACATATTGTGTACGTATATAATATCTATAGATAGATAGATAAAAAAGAAATTTAAAAAAAATAATAATATTAATCAGCACAAGTACTTTGAAGACATCACACATTTTTATTAATTTAATTTTTTTTTTCTTGTATATTTTTTAAAATTACAATAGATCGCTTTCACCAACCAAGCCAACTACGTATGGTGCAGTTACATTTAATGATGCACAAGTAATCATTGATTGCGAGGGTGTAGGTAATGCAATCACAGTCAAGAATGTTATTCTGTTCAAGTTGTCAAACATTGGTATTCATCGTTGTGTCGGATCTTCAGGAGGTGCTCTCTCGATAGTAAACTCATCGGCAGTTGTAGGTGCTGTTACATTTGTCGGTAATCAGGCTCTCAACGGAGGTGCTGTATCATTGTCCAATTCAAACATTGATTTCACTCGTTGTCTCTTTATGGACAACAGAGCTATCACTCAAGGATACGATATCTATGCTTCATCGTCTGTCGTCGGTCTATCGATGACCAATCAAAAACCATGTGATATATATTCTACTGGAGGATCAGTATCGATTAAACTCGATTCATCATACCTCTCGATGGATAGTTTGGCTGGTATGGAAGGTCTCAAAATAGTAGGTGATCTGTCTACTATGTCATTGCCAACTGGTATCGTCACTGTTCTCGATCGTACATGTCCAACTCCGCCAACAGGTATGATTGAGATATCGATCAATTAACTCTCTTATTATTTTTAAATCACACTAACTTTATTCCTTTTATTTAATCTTTAGCACTGTGGGCATACGTATTTAAAACATTTAGTACCTATTCAGAGACCTGTAACTCTAACAATGTATGCGACGATGGAGAATCATGCCTTTCATGTCCATCTGATTGTTCTTGTATGGCTCATGGATGGAAGCTTGATATATTCAAGACCGTCCCTGCTACTCCAATCACCGTTGTTGCAGACATTATTCAATTGTCGTCATCAAGTATTGCCAATCTTGCCTACCCCTATGCCGTTATGAATGCCTACTTGAAGATAAATAAGCATGACACTTATGAATTCAAATTCGTCGGTAGTAATTGTGGCCTAGTCTTTTCAGTTGACGGAATTGATATTGTCTACACTGCCGTTTCCCTTTCCAATGTTGATACAACCAGATCAGTTAGACTGACAGCCACCAATGTACACCATCTCCGTATTGCCATTTCCAAAGGAGTATCTCCAAACACTGCTGTCACACTCAAGATCTATTGGAGAAGAAAAGCTGATGGTGAACAATTCGTATTGCTTGATCCATTTTATTCTAAAAATAGTAAGTCATTCAAGTCGTTACGATCAGTAATATCTACTAATCTATAATTCATTAAATAGTTTGTAATGATGGTATTTTGGATGATAAGGAAAAGTTAAATGCTTACAGGTGTGTTGCTGATCAAGCAAAGGCATTAGATCCGTCCAAAGATACTTGTGGAGATGGAATTTGTAGTGAGATTCCAGAAGATTGTCTCGCAGATTGTTATCATGTTTTGACCCAAATGTGCCCCGAACAAGCCACACCAAACCGTCTCGATCCAATCTATTCCAAAATGGATTTCGTTGGAACAGCTCTCAACAATCAATACATGTATTCGCTGCCAGGTATCCAACTCTTGTCCCATGGTGTCGACATTATGACTGACGAAAATATGAATGCACCTGTATTCCATTTTGGATATTGTGACAATTCATCATACACTACCGTCCACGACTTGTATCGTGGTCTAGTATACACAGTTCCCAAAGGAATTCATGCCATTCCAACACCCAAATGCTCGTATTCAGCCTCTACCACAAGTTATTCGTCATCTAATCAAATGTCTCAAGAAAAGGCCAAAGACAGCAGTATGGATGATTCCGCCAACCTTGGTGGTGGATATTGGGGAATAACATTACAAGCTAGTGTTGCATTCTCTCAATCTTCTTCTACCAAATCGGCAAGTGATCTATCGGGGAAGGTATCTGGAAAAATCATGGTTGATGAAGTGCTATGTGAGACTACTAGAGTTCACATCTCTGCCCAGAACGTGACCTTCCATCCCAATTTCGTTAGGGATGTTGGACAAGCAGACACAATACCCAAAATGGAACTTGTTGTCGCCAAGTATGGGTCTCTGTACATCAAGAGTGCCGTGATGGGTGGTTCATTGACACATGTCACCGTCGTATCTCACAGCAGCTTTGAAGGAAAGCTCTCTTCTGAAATTTCACAAAACACTCAACTTTCATTGTCTGCTAAAGTGTCTTCGCCAGCACTCAAGGTCAATGCCAACTATAAAAAAGGTACCGACAACTCGATATCAAATGACCAACAAAACAAGTTTGAACAAGACAGCGCATCAACGACGATCATCACCAAAGGTGGTCCACCAGGTTCTTTTGGTCCCGACTCTAAGGGTGCCAACAACAACTTTGGTGCATGGGCAAAAGCAGTTGACCTCTTGCCTGTACCCATCAAGAAAGAGTATGGATTCATTGTTGATTTGATCCCCACCAACTGGCTCGTCAAAGGCTCCACCGATACCATCCAATCATTGTGGAGCAAAGCTGAAATAGCCCACCTTTACAAACGTTTTGCAAGTAGAGTAGATTATGATAAAATTGAATGTATGTAAAAAAAAAAAGACAGCTGTCAACCACAATACAATTTAGATTATTATTATTATTATTACTAACACTAACACTTTCCTAACAAAGCATTAAAAGCAGATGAATCGATTTTTTATATAAACACTCCAAGAAATGGAGCATCTTCACTTTCCTTTACGTTTACCATTAAAACGATAGATGGACAAACCAAGACATCAACCCAGTCGTTGAGTACAGGAGCACTATTTACTTTGCCATTGGGTGAGGTACAATCAGTTGCTGGTTATCCAACAGATCAAGTCTCTTTTGATGTCTATGATGTGGTAAACACTCGTCTCTACCACTTTGTGTACTATGGTGGTATTTGGAATCAATTAACCGCCAGTTATGTCTTTAGCATTCGTTTTGAAGCCACCACGGTTGCTTGTCCTAGTTGCACTATTACTCCAACCTTACGAATCACCCTGCAAGGTACTCTTGGTACCTATTCGGTGTATTACACCCCCACCGTAGCCGCAACTCATTACACCAGTGGCCAGCCATATCTTGGTGATCTGGAATTTGTGACGTTTGAGCCTATAACATCATTTGGAGATGAGGCAATCACCTTTGTCTACAATGTCAATACGTTCAATATCATTCAATATTGCCCCAACGCTCCTGGAGTTCGAAGTGGAGTGGGAATGTGTGATATTCCCTCTCTTATGCCATTCGAGAGAAGGTACTCAACCGTCTACGGTACCACACAAAGAAAATTCACTTTGACATCTTCCCAGATTACAACTGTTACCATGACAAAACATGACATTTTACCACTTTCAAAAAATATATAAACATCTTTTCTTTATAAATAAATTTACACTTGTTTAATTATTTAGATAAGAAACTCAACCCTCTTTTCTTTTCACCAAAAAAAAAAATATAAACCCTAACCGTACTAGCATAGTTTATAAAGCGTAACAGAATCGCGATCTGCGTTCCTTTTTGTGCCAAATCGCTCGTTCCCCAAAAAATAATTTAATTCAAAAAAAAAAACGTGTTTGTTTCGTTTGTATAGTCTTTGCATATCTGGGCTCATCATTTATACATACAATATGAACAATACAAGTATGAGAGGAGGAGTATTATTGTTGGTGGTTTATGCATTGCTTGCAATCATCATATTTGCTCCATCCCTTATCTTATCTCTTGCAACTACAAGTACCCATATTCATTGCAAACCAAAGAAGACATCAACCAACCTGGAAAACTAACTAACCCTTTTTTATTTCATTATTTTCTTCTTTATTAGATGTATTGTATGTTGATCCATCAAATGTCAATTCATGTACTATCAAGATTGCTGATTGTGGTACATCAGTCAAACCATTTGCAACGATAGGTGATGCAGTCACTGCAGCCATGCAAGGTAGTACATCAGATGTATCGAGCAACTACAACTGGGTCATCTTGGTCAATCCTGTGTCATCATACGTTGGAACTCAAAACATTGGAATCGACCTTCAACTTGCCAAAGGGTCGTCCATTGAACTACGTTCGCTCACAGCCGCCACTGTCACTGTCGATTGTCAAGATGCTGGATACTTTATGAATGTTCGTGGTACCTCTCACTTTAAGATGAACAATTTCATCGTAAAAAATTGTAATGCCAATATTGGTGGTGCCATGTCAATAGTTCAGTCGTCAGCCACTATCACCAACTGTAACTTTTTAAGCAACAAGGCATCTATAGGTGGTGCCCTTTACATTGATCGTTGCAAGTCTGTTATTATCTCTGGTACCAAGTTTGACAGTAACCAAGCCAGCGAACGTGGAGCTGCCTTTGATGTTGCCAACTCGCCAGCTGTCGAGCTCTTCAAGGTCGAATTTGTCAATGTCGAACAAACATTTTCATGTCGCCAGTCGTCGGTAGTTGCCGATACCATTGTTGCAACACCAACTGCCACCGTCATGTGTGACGATCAATGTTCATTCTCGAGAGGAGGGTCTGTCCTTTGCCACCGTACCATTGATACCATCATTGGTAACATTCCCATCCAGTCAGCTTCGTTCTGTCTCCCGGACCGAAACTCTGCCAATTGTGGAACTCGTTGTCTATCAAGCGAAAGTTGTCTCTCGTGTGATTCTTGTCCCTGTTACATGTCTGGAGTATTTGTGACCATCACTGGTGCTGGAAACTGTGTCAAGTCAAGATTCATCTCACCGGCCATCAACCTTGATGATTTATTACCAGGTATTACAGACAAGGTTACTATTGATATTGTTGCTTATGTCACGGTTCCCAAGTCTGGTTATTACAGCTATTCCACACATAGTACCCATCTTGGCCTGTCGCTTCAAATGGATTCCCGTATGATGCTCTCATCCAACTACCAAAGAGAATTATGGTCGTCAAACCGTACCATTTACCTCGAAGAGAGACATCCACATGCTCTCTCTTTCCAACTTACATCACCACTTTCATCGGTCGCTCTCAAAAGATCGTTTGCATTTTCTTTTGATAATAGTCACAGCGGAATAGAAATATTCTACAGTCGATCCATTTGTGGAGATGGTATTTTCCATGCAAATGCAAACGATTGTCCTCATGATCAGAATAGTATGTACAAATAATATAAAATTCACTCATTTGATCAAAAGTACTTCATTAATATTAATTGGTTTCTTTTATTCTTTTTAGTTGTCAACGGAGTGGCACCATTTTGTGGTGATAATATTTGCAATGAAAACAATCCAAGCGATTGTTTCATAGATTGTTATTCGCACATAACACCAATGTGTGATGCTCGTAAAGTTCCAAAGAACCATATTGCCCCAGGATTTGTTACCCAAGATGATACTCTTGGTGCCATTATCGACAACCAAATGATATGGCATCTTCCAGGCTCCGAGCACATGACCACTGCCATTGATATTGTCTCTGGAGAGCATGCTAGCAAACCAATATTCTACTTTGGATACTGTACCGATAGTGACATCAATCTTCTTCAAGATGTGTATCGTGGAACTGTCCATGAGTTGCCAAAAGAATTGGTTGGAAAAATGCTTCCCCAATGCACTTTTGATACATCTACAACCAAACATTCAAGTGTTACAGAGATAAAGGAGTCAAAAACCAAAAAGTCAAGTATGTATAATATTATCAATAATTTATAAATTAGTAGTAAACTAACACTCCTATTTATCTCAGTGGCATCGTATAGTGGATCTATTTCAGGAGGATATGGAGGATATGGAGCTGAAGCAAAGGCCGCATATTCAAAAGATCAATCAGTAACCACGACCAATTCAAAATCAAACACTTCAACTTCAACCATCTTTGTCACCGAGGTAGCCTGTAACGTATCAACGGTCGAGTTGGTAGAGACTGTCTTTCACCCAACCTTTTTAAGAGATATCAGAAGATGCAAAACACTGGATGACATGCTCAATATAATCAGGAGATATGGTACTCACTATATCAAAAGTGCAGTGTTGGGAGGAAAACTCATTCAATCGACCATCACCACAGAAGAAATAACCACCTCGGAAGACGAGTCTGAATGGGCAGAAAGCAGCAAAAGATCGATGGGTGCATCCGTCAAGACACCCGTCCTCCAAGGAGGAGCATCCCACTCTGACACCTCAGACTCTACTCAAACTGGTAAACAACAACAAGAGAAAGAGGCCAAATCCGAGCGAACATCGATCGTTACACTTGGTGGAGAGCCAGGATCGTATGCACCTGGCAGTTCGTCGCAAGGAGAAATGTTCCAAAAATGGGCATCCACAATCGATCTCAGTCCTGCCGTTATTTCACAGGATCTCATCCCTATTCGTGAAATTATCCCATCGACATGGATTTCTTCTGTTGTTGGCGGAGGAAAGACTATTCAGACGCTATGGAGGGAAGCAGAGTTAGTGTACTATGACATGAATTTGTTTGTGGATAATACTATGAGCCCACAAGAATTCAAGTACATGATGTTGATTCATACCACCCCCTCTGACACCAAATACCTTCCAGTCATCTCGATCAAGTGGACCGACACCAACAATAAGCCAAAAGTATCCAAGATCGAGCCATATTTCAAGAGAAAAAAGGATGACGCAACCAACACTTGGTATCCTCCCTATCTCATGAACTTGAATTATGCTGTTCATAACCCTGTTACTGCCAATGATAAATGCTGGACTTTTCCATGGGGGCTTGCCAATCCAAAAATCATGGGAAGCACGGAAAATTACTGCCATTATAGTCGCAATGCCATCCTATCACCGCTTCGATTTGACTTTGTGTTGGATGCCGACTTCCTAACAAGCACTACCACCCCGGTCATCACAGTCACAGGTGTACCATCGACCATAGATCCAACGTTTTCGATCGTCAGATTTGAATCTTCCGAGGGCATCACATTTGACAAGACCGGATTCAAACCTATGACCACCACTTATGTCGCCACTACAGTGACTCAAAAGAATGGGCCTGTTCTAGTTGCTCCAATGGTCGCCTACTTGGCCACCTTTCCCACCGGCTACATGGACGCCCTCAGGAATTACCTTCGTGATTTTTACAAAACCGATATTAAGTCGATTAATGACAAGGTCCTAATCTACTATACCAATCCATCTGGTTCAGAGACCAAATTGGGTGAACACGTTTTCAATTTTGAATCTGATGACGTCAGATTCACGTTTGGCTATTTCTCGCACCCCTACACTACTGGCACACCAACCTATCGTTACAAACTCGAAAACCAAATAGGAAGCACTTGCAGAGTCGACTGGGTCCTCTCTATGCAACCTCAACCAACAGTTTCCACTTGGAAGAGAAAGGCCCTTTATCATCACACTTCTATGAACTCTTATCAATACCTCACTTCACAATCAACCGCCTACATGGGCATGAGTATGGTATCTATGGACCCAGAAAAGTTCAGATATTTATACACTCGAAACTATGTCATGGAAAAGGAGGCCATGAACAATTAAGTTCTCAATCACAATTTCTTTTTAAATCTATTTTTACAATAAAAATTAATAATAAACGTTGTTCTTTTTAAAAACAAATAAAAAAGTGTATTTAATCAAATGTTTCAATAGATTAATATATGATGTTAGTTGTTGTTCAAACATCATATTTTTTTATTTAGATACACTTTAATTAATTTTAATTTATAAATCTGTGGTTCCTTTTTTTTTAAGTATAACTTACCATAAAATGTCATGTTTTAAAGTGAATTGAAAATATTTATTTATTTTGTTTGGATATGTAGGATTATCTCCTTTCACTTGAATTCCTGGTCCTCTTACTTCCTCCCTGGTTGGAGGTTCGAATCCAAACTGTTGGGACACATTACATCCAGTAATAGGTTTGTCAATAGATACAGCAGCGTCTATATATATATATAATATAATTAAATTATAGAAAATAAACTAAATTAATAATCAAATTGATAGGTTCTTCCTTTTTATTTTCAATTACCATATAGTGTCATTTGAAAGTCAATGTTTGAATTATTTTTGGAACTGTTTGAAAAGTTGAACCAATGAATGATAGGTTTCCAAGCAACAACATTTATGTGTCTTGCATGACTGCAATAGCGTTCGAGTATTATTGTCGGCCACTTTGTTACAAAGGGTCGGCAATGGTTTGTATAATTAAAACCTTTTAGATTCTGACAAAAGTTATAGTATAACCTTTCGACGATGTGTATATCATAAATCGGCAAAGTGTGCTCTATTAATAATAATAATCTAATCTCAACAAACAATGACACAATCAAAGGAACCAGCAGGTGTTATACCACTTCCTTTTCGTCCAGAAATGCCATTGACATTATCTTCATTATTCTCTCACCAAGACTATGATAAAGTTCGTCACATCTAAGGAACATATATTGGGAATAACAAAGAGAGTTCTTCCAATCCTTCTCCTTTGCTTTGTTTTGCCTCTTGGTGCTGTTTCTGCTGTTCCATTCCTTCCAGTCTCTAAAAATGTCCTTTTAGGAATGTGTTTGGGTTGGGTTCTAGTCTAGATAATGTTTGTTTGGCATGTTTGAGGAAATCTCTAATCTCTCGACCAACAATTCCCTTCTTTGATGATGGATTGTTGTCTTGTCCTCCTAGTTTAGGGAATGATGGTTTCTCTTCTTTTTGTCTTTCTCTATTATTCAGAGCCATTTCTACAATACAAATATAAATGATTAATTATTATATATTTCAATCTTTTTAGTTGAATATTAATATTTATTAATGAATACAAAAAAGAAAGAGAAAGGAAATCTTTGGCAAAAAAGAGATTAAAATTATTATTATTATTAATATGGTTTAGTTGATTTACAAATATCTTAATTTTGGTTGTGTATAGTGGGTTGTGGAGTCATATGATTTCCTTTTTGAATTGTGTATTTACATGTTGTTTTATAGATTTGTTATTATTATTAATTATTTTAGAGAATTCCTTTTTCTTTAATAAATTCATTAATATTACGATCAGTTAAACTTGAAGCTATATCATCAAAAGAAGGTGGATGATTGTTAAAGTAGGATTCATTGACAAAGAATCGATGTTGAAGAGCATCGTGAGCAGATATTCTTTGGTTGGGGTCAAATTTTAAGAGTCTGGTGACAAGGTCGATATAGTCGCGGGTGACTGTTTCTGAAGCCGATTGTGATTTGCTCGGCGAGAGAGCAGTCTGTGGTTGCAGTTCGACACCAAGTGATTTGGTGGGGTTGACCTGCATACCAATCTTTTGAGAGGCAAAAAAGTTGGCAGGACAACACTCTTTGAGATTGCAGATTTGTTTGAGTAGGTTGTTGCGATCCATTCCCGTAAAGAGTGCAGTTTGCGTTGATTGACTGATAGAAAGGGCCATTTCGGCGAGGACACAACCAACCGACCACAAGTCGACGGCCTTCCAATCGATTGACCTGGTTTGTACGACACCGCTAGTAAGAAGTATCTCGGGTGGTGAGTAATTGTTATAGGGTGGGATAATGATACCATTTTTATATCCACTATTATTGGTTGATGGTGTTATATTTACAAATTCGTCACCACTATACTCTTCAGATGTTCCACCACTACCACCAGTACTACCTCCTCCATTATTGCTGTTGTTTAATGAGTTGTTGTTGTTGTTTGTACCATCAATGAGGACTGAACAGGCTAATGAAAAGCTGCACAGTCTGATTTGGTAGTCCTCGTAGACGAGGATACTGGTTGGACGGATATCGCGATGAACAACCTCTTGCGCATGCATGTATGAGATGGCGGACAGCAGTTGGTATGCAACAAACTTGAGCTCGACAGCTGGTACAATACGCGATTTTGCACGCTTACTTGCGAGTACATAGTCGAGATCATACTCGACAAATGGCGTGATGATTGAATAGAAGCGTCCACTGTCATCTTTTGTTATCTTGGACAACTTGACAATGTTGGCGTGGTTCATGCGGTGCAGTAACATTGACTCGCGGAATGCACGTATATCCTGCTCTACTGCCACTCCACCTCCATAGTATGTGCTATAATAGGCCAATCCAGTTGCCACTTGATATTTGATCTGTTTGAGGGCAGCCGGACCGACCTTGGGAACAGCCACCTTTTTGACAATACTGTTCTTGCTGCTACCGCGTTGCTCACCAACATTGAGCTCCTTAAACGAGGCAATAAACTCGCTGTTTGTCTTGCCCGGACTACCACCACCAGTCACACCAGCAATCAATGATGAAAAGTTTGTCTTTTTCAACTTTTCGAAATAAGTGTCGGTGAGATTGGACAAACTGCTGAGACTGCCACCCACCGACATTGCATTCTTTTGATGCAACTCTTCAATCTCTTTTTCGAGCATTCTATTCTTTTTGCACAATGTCTCTATTTGGTTTTCCAATTTACACTGTTCCACCTTGACGCATGACAAGGCGCCTTCGAGATCGCTGATCTTTTCTCCACTCTTGCTGTTTTCTTCGAGGTTGTATTCGTATTGTCGACGTTCGCGTTCCTGCTCGAGACGCAGTCTGTCCAACGCCGCCCGAAACTGTTCGATTTGGTGTCCGCGTTCTTGTATCACGCGGTCGCGGTCGTCGAGCTGCTTTTGATAGTCGGTTGCCTTTCGATCAACGACAATCATGCGATCGATCGCCGCCCTCTTCTCGCCCTGCAAAGTCTGCACCGAGTACTCGAGCGTATGTGTCTTTTGCACGAGATCTCTGTTTTGTGCCGACAACGCATCGAGCTGCTCCTCCATCTGTTTGGAAATCATTGCCTGGTTGTTGTAGGATCCTTCAAGTTTCTCCACATTCATTGTCAGTTCTTTGATTTGATTTCGCATTTGATTGGTAGATTCGCGATGATGGTGTTTTTCATTCTCCAATTGAAAGTCTCGGTCTTTGACCTTGTCCTCTAGATGACTAATAACATGTTGGTGTTGTGTTTTCTCCATTTCCATACTTTGTATTTTTTCAACATATTCACTTGAATCACTCTCCTTCTTTTCCAATTCCTCTATTTGTTTATTATATTCTGTTTTTTGTAATGCCAATTCATTCTAAAAAGAGAATATTAATATTAATATCATAAATATATAATATATTATATATATTCTCTTTTTTCTTTACCTTTAACATTTTAGTAGCAGAAAAGTATTTCTTTGAAGTTTCAAATAGTCTATTTGATATACTGTTGACTATAAATCCATCAAATGGTTCTCTACACACTGGACAATCAATTGTACCAGTACCACCTTTATGTTCTGCTATCTTGTTTTGTTGTAATTTAAAGTATGGTGCAAGACATACAAAACAAAATCCATGTTCTAAAAAAAAAATACATAAAAGAAAGAAAGTAAGTAAGTAAAAAGTTTGATGTGATGATGATTTCTGATATCTTACTACACGCTTTATTCCCTTCTTTACTATTCATAGAGAAGGGTGTAACTATATCTGACATTGTTGACAGACATATTGCACTAGAGATAAACAAACAAATATTAATAAGATTGATTACTTTGGTCTCTTGTATTACTATACATACCATTCTAAGAAGTCAAATTCATCTTCTTGATGAATATCCATTCTTTAATAACATAAGGTGTTGGTATAGCCTATTTGCTATATCTATTCACACTGCTACTATAAATAAATAAACGATATAGAGAGAGAGAGAGATACTTATTAATTCTCTATCTCTGTCTGTAAACTCGAGTGCAACTATCCTTCTAATACTATCCTTCTATCTCTCCTTCACTCTTCACTCTTTCTCTCTCTTCTTTCGTTGAGACATTCAAACGACGAGTTGTACATACTAACTAGCTAACTCTTATTTTTTTACTTCTTTTCCTGTTTCTCTTTGTTTCAATATTGGCTGTTCTCTGAAAAGTAGGAAAACAATTTAATTTGGTTCGTTTGTTTGCAGGGAAATAGAATATAGATTAATATCTACTTAATAAATAAAATAAATAAATAAATAAAATAAATAAATAAATAAATATAAGATATGTTTAAATAATAAGATGGTATATTACTTCACTTCACCTCATCATCCAAACCCTACCCTTATACAAAAATGAATTAAGATATAAATACCACTTCAACTTCTTCTTCTTCTTCTTCTTCTTTCTTAATTATTTGTTACTCTGCTCTTATTACTCTAATTATTCTTATTATTACTCGACTGGTTTGTTGTGCTAACGACTCGCTTCTTCTTGCAGCTGCCTGTCTGTGACTATGAACGCTTTACTTGAACTTTGAATGCATAATTATTTATTAATTTTATTTCCCCACACCAACACACACTCAAGCTCAACCTCATAATAAAACCCGTGATGCATTAATTTAATACTACGAGGATAGATATATTTACATATTTATATATAATAATAATATGTATATTTAAATCATCGAGATAACATATTTTAATTAAATTAAAATTGTGATGGTGGATGAGCCTATCCATTATAATATAATAAATATATATATATATCTCGAGGAGAGGGGAATACAATCCGATGAGGTGCAGAAGCAAAACGCGGGAATCGATTTATTATACTTTCCTCCTCCCAACAATGATTTTTAAAACCTTAATCATAAGGGGTGTGCCGTTATGCCAATGCGAAAACTCTTTGCAAAAGTCTTTGTCAATTGATTTTTTTTAATAGTTTCATTGTCACTTCATTTCATTACTACATTTTATTCATTCATTTTCATTTTCATTCAATCTATCTACCTTACTTATCTATACTATATATCTCTGTTGTGAATCACTACTACTACTTTATTGTAACAACAACAAAAAAGAAGAAAAGAAGAAAAGAGAATCAGATCAATCAAATCATATCAACCGATAAATCAATCAACAAGTCATTGATATTTTTTACAACACTGCTGCTACAACAAACCAGTAAAGATTTATTACTATCACATAATATATAGTATAATATAACAATGATGATGAATCATGACAATATCTCTCACTTGAGAGAAATCTTTGATGAATGCGATGAAAATCAAAGTGGATATATCAACAAGGATCAATTGAGAGAATTGGTTGCAAAGATTACTTCAACTGTATGTCTATCTACTCTTTTCCTCTCTCATTACTACTCTATATCATTTTCTCTAACATTTATTATAATTTATCATATGATGATTAAAGGGATTGGAAGAAGAAGAGTTAGATACATTAATGAAAACATTGGATACAGATAATGATGGTCAAATTGGGTTTCAAGAATTTGTCGATGGTTATAATCTTATAGATCCAGAGTTATTACTTGATGATGACGATGATGATGATGAAACTAATTTCAAGAAAATTATGGATGTAATTCAAACTGATAGAAATAATAATAGTACTAGTAATTCAATAGATACTGAAAATGTAATGTATTACTAACAATGAATGAATCAATGTTAATTGACATTGTGGTGTGATTGTTTGACGTTTGATGTTAACCTTTTCTTCTTTTTTGATCTTCTTTTTTATTTTTAGATATTACCACCATCACCAATCGATTATGAAAAATATCTAAGAGAAATATTCAATCAATATGATGACGATGGAGACGGAATTATAAATAATGAACAATTGCGAACCTTGTTGGCAGATATCAAGGATAAGAGCGGTATAGAGGGAGACGATGAAGACGTAGATTATATTGTGCAGGTATTAAACAATGATGGAAAAGATACCATTACATTTGAAAATTTCATTACTGCCATTGAACACATCAACTCTCCTTCTCAAGAATCTCCAACCGTCTCATCATTTGAACCATCAATCTCGGATGAACAACAACAACAACAAACTGTACAGTCGGCTACATTAATTGATTTGGATTCAAATGATGATCAACATAATCACCATCAACAAAATAATCAACAACAACATAACCAAGATGAACATATTAATGAACATGGAGAATCATCTGGATTTTCATCATCAAGAAATAATTCATCATTTAGATCTGGTGTTAGAGGACGTGCATCTAGTTGGGTAGCACCCGTTTCGATTGTTAATATGATCAAGAAACGTGCAGAGATGTTTGCCAAGGAGGAGAATACACAGGTGTATACGGATGCGTCGGTTGATCCAAACGTGTTTGTCGAGTACAAGCGTAAGGAGGCATTGCTGCGTTCCGAGAATGAGCATCTTGGCAGTAAGATCAATATGGTCGAGGACCAGTTACGAGAGGTGCGCGAGTCGCACGAGAAGCTGTCCGAAGACAACGCACAACTCAAAGAATCGGTCGTCATTGGCAAAAAGACGTTGGTGCAAAACCAGAAGCTAGCGTCACAAAACAAACAGCTCGAAGAGACGATCGAGGTATTAAAGAGCGAGTTGATGATGGCGACAGACGCCCGTAACGAGTTGCAGCGCACACACAATAAGCTCAAGCAGCATCAAGACGGACTGTTGGTACAACTCGAGACTGCCACTTCACAGTTGTCATTGGGCCGCGAAAAGATGGCTGAACTCGAGGAACAACACGCCAAAAACGCACCACTCCTCAAAAAGGCACATTCATTCCAACAATTCCCACCCCAAGAGATTGAGCAAATGCGTGAAGAGAATGTATTACTCAAACAACAACTTGAAAAGGAGCAAAGCAAGGCACAAGACAGTGTCAAGTTATTGTCGGAAGAGTATGCTTTGCTCAAGAAAAAGAGTAAGGAGGATAAGGCACTTTTGGACTCGTCCAACCAGATCATTCACAAGCTCAAGCAGACACTAGAGGAGCAACAGGGACGCACCCACAACTCTGACCCCAACTACAAGTTGTCGTTACTCAGCGAGCTTGAACAACAGGTAGTCACCCGTCTCGGTACACCTGGAACACTCGACTATGGTAGTACGTCTAGTTTGGCTGCTTTTGACGTTCCCATAACCCCCGCATCGACACCTACCAATGGATCAGAACCCATCGCCATTGCCATGGCCAACGGTCGTACACGTCCACCTCGTCCAGTCGATCATGACGACGACAGTCTCGACTCGCTCTCTGAAGACGCCCACAATGAACGTATCGACGAGCTTCAACAACGCAATGACCAACTTGAAAAGGAACGTGTCATCCTCGACCAACAAGTCAAGACACTCCAAGAAATGCTCGACACTAGCAGCAGTCAGATTAAAATGAGTACCGTCACCATCGAGGAAAAGGAAAAGGAAATTGTACAAGCAAAACAATCAATGGAACAAACCAAAAACGAGATTGAACAAACTAAAAAGGAAATGGAACAAACCAAAAAGGAAATGGAACAAACTAAACTTGATATGGAACAAACTAAAAGAGTATTGGAAGAGAGAGTGACATTAGAGACAAAGACACTTCAAGATCAAATACACGAGTTGACAATGTCCAATGCAGAGATGACACAGACCATGTTGGCATCATCATCGACGTTGGAGATGGCTACTGGACAGGTATCAGAGTTGCGTCAACAACTAGAGAAAAAGGTTGAGGTGGCCGAACGTCTCTCTGAAGAGAACCGTTTACTCAAGAGCCAGATTGACACGTCTGGTCCTGCACCCATCGACCCTGTACATATCAAAGCTGAACAAACTCAAGGCGAGTTACTCTTGCTCAAACAGCGTGTCGAAGAGCTAGCATCTAAAAACAATAGTCTTGTCAGTGAAAACTCACAACTCAAAGAACAACAAAGTTTCTCTCCCCTCACCTCTCCAACTACATCTAAACGTGATATTCATGAACAAGAAGAAATACAAGACAAGGTAGAAAGCAATGAGAATCAAATTGGTGGTACTTCTGCTGTACTCCTTTCAGAGACATCTCAACATTCAATCAACGATCTTCATTCACAAGTATCAACATTGACCGACATCAAAGATCAACTTGAAAAGGATCTAAAGAAATACCAAAAGATGCAAGCTGATACTACCACTGCACAAGTTGCCAACAGTTCATTGGTCGATCAATTGCAAAAGGAAACACAAGCACTCAAATCAAACGGTCAAAAACTAGATGAAAAGTATCGTATCGTCGAATACCAATTCCAACAAGCCACCGATCAATGCAATGAATTAAAAGAACAAAATCAAACTCTCCAAGAAAGAATTGAAATGATTAAATTGGAATATGAAACAAAAGTTAGTCAATCAAATTCTCATTTTGAAAAGGTAAATATAGAAACAAAATATTTATTATATTTATATATATATACAATCCATAATAATAATAATCAAATAATTATAATCACCCAATCATAATATATTAACACAAAATTTAAAAAATCATTATTATTATTATTATTATTATTATTATTATTATCGGTTGTTTGTTTAAATTGTTGTTGTTGGTTATTGTTTTCACAAAACATTACACTATACATACACACATTACACATTCACATTATATTTATATATATATATATATATATATCTATCTATAATTTTATGACATTTTATACTAATACTTATAGAAAAATAAGATTATAAAGGAAAATGAAGAATTAAAACAAAGATTAAAACGTTATGAATCAGAGGATCATCAAATAGATATCATTGAAATGGAAGATGAAACTAAAACACTACGTGTAAAGGTTGAAGATCTATCAAACAGACTGCAAAACGAAAGAAATCTCAACAAACATTTACAATCACAACTCGATCACTCTGATCAATCTCCACTCATTCCAGGTGGTGGCAATAGTACCAACTCTGCTTATCATAATAGAAGACAATGTTGTGGACTTTGTTAAACATTACAAATCAAAATCAAAAACAAAAAAGGCTACTTTTTCCAACAAAACAACAAAAACACAAAAATATTTATTTATTTTTTTTCCAAACCTATAAACCTAAAACAACCATTATTTATTTATTTATTATTATTACTTTATACTTTTTTTAAATATATAATAAAAATTAAAATTCCCTAAAGTTTTCATAATTATAATTATTTATTGCAGTTGTTTGAAATTTAATTTAGAAAAAAACGAAAGACAAATTCGATCGTTTGGGTGTTTTCAAATCATTTTTAAATTAAATTTGTATATCTGTAAATAATTAGAAGTTATCTAGTTATAATTAACATTAAAGAGAAAAAGAAAGATGGACGTATCAATGATATTAGGACAAAGAATGATAATGGGATGGACATTATTGGATGTAGTATGTGGAGTTTGTAAAGTGGTGCCATTGATTGAAGACAAGAAAAAGAATTTTACCGAATGTGTTCAATGTCATCGTACATTCAAGAGAGAGAATGGTGATCTTGTAGAAACTAAAAAGGCGGCCGATATTATACCACCAACAGCAGCAGCAGCAGCAGCAGCTACTAATGCAAATGTAGCTGTTGTACCAACTACAAAACAAGTAGAATCATTCCGTGATATTGATAGAGAAGAATACAATGAATCTAGAAATATTTCAAATAGTCACTCTTTAAACTCTACCGGTTCATCATCTTCAAATACATTACAACAATTACTTTCATCTTCAAAACAACCAACAACTGCTACTACAACTACTACAACTACTACAGTCATTGCCGATAAACAACCAAAAACGAATCATAATACCGATTATGATCAATACTATGACGATGAAGATTACGAACCATTTACTGAAAGTGAAAGATTACAATTTGAACAAAGAATGAAAAAGACTGATGAAATTAGTACAAAGATTGGTCAAAAGTTAATGTTGGGTTGGGCATTACTTGGTGATGTTTGTCCAAATAATCAATGTTTGGATGTATGTACAGTTGAAAAAAGAATAATAATATTGATTTAGATCTACATATATATATATATTAATATTTTCATGTATTGTTTATTAGACACCATTAATGAGAGATAGAGAAAAATATTTTGTTTGTGTATCTTGTGGAGCAAGAGCATTGGATGTAAAGGATTTGAAAAAGGCAGATGTATATGAAACTTTGATATCTCCAGCATCATCTGTAACTACTGCATCAACACCAACACCAATGAATATAGAAGAGTCACCATTAAAACATAATAATAATAATAATGGAATTTCACCAATTAAAGAACCAATTCAAAAGAGACAAAAAAAAGTTGATGAAGAACAACAACAATCCTCTTCCTCTTCTTCCATTTCATCAAAACCAACCATTTTCAATTATTCCAACAACTGTTCAACTAAAAGTTTATTACATGATGAAATTAGAGATATGCCATTGGTAATTGACAAGACATTGGAAACTTTATTAAACAAGTTGAAAGACTCTGAAACCAAGTTGGGATCTGCTGGCGCCCAAGAAACACTTGCTCAATTTGCATCGATTCGCGAATGCTCACAAGCTATCACCTCTCTTTTAGAATTAAAGAAACAATTGTTATCTTAAGTTAAAAATAAAGAACCAAGAGTAATTTTATTATGTTTCAAAAGTGTGTAGGATCCAATCCTCATTTATATCTGGCAATAATATTTTAGTTGATGAATATTGATTATTAATATTTAAAGAGGGGAAGGGGAGTATTGGTATTTATTTATTTATTTAATTTAATTTAAATGCCAATTTGTTGTTAATGACGTCGATTAGGAAGCAGGAGCATCATTTGGAGTACAAACAGAAATGAATGGTTGATTTTTATATTTCTCAAGATCGATAACTTCGGTGATACAAAGTAGGATGGTAGAGATGACAATAACCAAACAAATCAAAAAGATAAAGTATGACTTTCTGTTGGATTTCTTGACCGCGTACAATAATGATTGAGTACCAACAAAACAAGCAATAAAAGCTGTAAAGTAATAGACTAAACCATAATCCAATCTTAACTTTCCAAGTAAAACATATTGAATTGCTGATGATGCACTTGTAAATAACTAGAAAATATAATAATAATAATTATTATTAATATTGGCTAAATCTTATATATATATTTGTTTTTTGATTTAATATTTACAATCATAAAACTTGAAGTAGCAGCAGTAATATCTGGAGAAAGACCCATTTGTAATAATACTGGACCTTTAATCATACCACCTCCAATACCTAAAAGTGAAGCTAAAATACCGGCAATCACCGAAAGGAATCCAAGGAGGATGATGGTTTGTGGTGAATAGTTAATATCTCCTTCGACCTTGATTCCTTGTAATTGATTCTTTTTCCATCTACGGTACAAGTACAATGCTGTCAATATCCAAGTGACAATGATGACTGGCCAAATGGCAAATGACAGTGTCCAATAAGTAGGACTACACAATTTAATGCCAACCATTGAATATTCTCCATCACCACCCTTTAAAACGGAAAATACAGTTGACAATGCAAGTACTAAAACGATTGCCGATATTTTTCCCCATTCTGCGTCTTTGAATGCTAAAAAAAAGAAAAAAAAGAGAGATTAATATGAATAGGTATGTATGTATATGATTTAATTTAAATTGATATTTCATACGATTGGATTGTTGAGTTTCAGATCCATCTGAATTGATAGAGGTATTTTTAATTTGTGAATAACTCTTGGTTTCATTTTCCTTTTTGTAGATTGATAAACCTTTACGGAAGGTTGTGATGGCCGTAGCGGTAAGAGTGACAACCAAAAGAATTAAAATAACAAATGGTGGTAAAAAGGTATGTAGATAGACACCAAAGGTGGTACCACCCAATGTCAATGGTTCAATTAACAATACGACAGAGTAATCGATCAAATGCTTGTTTGCAAATGGATGTCTTCTTGGGAAATTTTGAATAAAATTGGCCATTGCACATCCTGCTACTAAACACTAAAAAGAGAGACAGACAGACAGTTAATAAATGTGAAATCAACATTCAAAATATATTTAATTATTATTATTATTTTTGATTTCTTACATTTGATAATGGAATAGCAGTTTTTGGACTAAATTTAGAAACTAAAATAAGGATTGGAATGTAGATACCTCCACCTCCAACACCTCCACCCGATGATAGAGCACATCCGATAAAGAGGAGACAAAGTCCGACTATATCCAAAAATGTAAAATGATCGTGGAACAATGATTTATGTTCACATATACCTTCAGCACAAACACTTTGTGATGAAACTTGAGATTGACATTGACTGTCTGTAAAACAATTTCTAAAAAAAAATAAAAAGAAATGATTAATATGAGAGGGAAATATTATTATTATTATTATTATTATTATTATTATTATTATTATTATTATTATTATTATTATTATTATTATTATTATTTTTGACTATACGTACGAACAAGTATTATTTAAACAAATATAACCCATTAGACATTGGGAACAAGATTGATTGGGTGGTGGGGGAGGGGCCTCTTGATCGACCTGATCCATAATGGCCATATTATTTTGATGATTCATATTATTATTATTATTATTATTGTTGGCAATGATGGGATAACCATTAATGGAGTTGGAGTGTTTGATATGAATCTTTTTAGATTCTGCTATACCTCCACACAATGATAATATTACTCCTATTACTATTAATAGTAGAGTAACATTTTTACTATTGATTGCCATATAGATATTTTATATTATTATTATTTATGTATTATTATTTTTTTTTTGAAATAGGAAATGGAATTAATAGTAATGTTCAAAAGTTGGTTTGGTTGGTTAAATATTTAATAATGGTGATCCTGACTTGGAATGTAATGTAATGTAATGTGGTGATACTAATTATAATATGAATCTATAACATTTAAAAAGAGAATATCGATATTAGAAATACTGTATTATTATCGTTGATGATGATGATAATTGATGTCGTATAGATGTTGGTGATTAATACAGAAAAGAAAGAACTAGTGGAGTGAAGAAAAGGAATTATTAATCATTAAAATAATAATAATAATAATAACAACAGACAAGACAAGAAAAAAGAAGATTCTTCTAGAGATGGGTATGAAACATGAATTAATTTAAAGAAAGGAAGTGAGGGAGGGAAGGGAATGATGATTTTTAAATCATATTTTGGTTGTGTGTCAAAACACCTGTGTAGATTGTAGTTGTGGTTGTGTTGTATGTGTGGGGGATATGTTTGTTGGGAAGAGTGAGTGAGTGAGTGTGGAGTGTGTTTGTATATGGAAAACCAGGCGCCAGAGAAACATAATGGAAATACAGGATTAAAATGTGTTGTACATTTACAAACTAAAATAAATTAAACACAAGAGTGGACAGAGATAGATAGATAGATGGATGCCAAGAGGCAGACGGATAGATAGATACATTGAACAAATATACGTTGAAATGATATCTTTCACCAATGTTGGTGTATCTGCAAAGTATTATTATTGTTTCAATGTTTAACATTAATATTGTCCACAGCATTCATCCCCACTTTAACATCACCTTACAAACTTGTCTTGACCAATCCAAAATCTCCCCCTCGTTTTCACCATCCGCTGATTTGGTGAAATGGGGTGGTGTGGTGATGGGTTGAACAGTACCTAAATATCTTATGTCTTTGGCTGTGATAAATCAATCCTACTATACTGCAAGCAAACAACAACAACAACAAATAAAACTAACTGCTGATTAATATTAATGACCAACCACTGTGTTATCATCACATCATGATGTGATGCTTCCATTCCATCCAATCCCTTCTTCTTTACTTCACCCCCTTCCTTTATTTGACGATCGGGTGAGTGGAATGGGATATAGATGTTGATTGTAGTTGTTGTTGGTGTTTGCCTGGTCAAGGGAATCATAACTATTTCTATGTTCGGCGGCGGTCATTATAAATAACAGTAGCCTTCTTTGGTTCTTTAAAAGTAGTGCGTTGTGTTGTTTTTTGAGATAAATAAATTGTGTGTGGTGGGGTTTCATGCATTGAAGCCGAATATCCTTGTTGAATTGAATGAATAATTGCCGATTGATATCCATCATAATCATTATCATCATCATCATTAAATAATGTCGTCGTTCTACATAGTTAACTTACGCGCGCGATGGTGAATGAAATTACTATATACAAACAACTAAACTAATATGATATTGATATTATTAATAATTATTATGAATTCTTTCTTATTTATATATATTTATATAAATATATATATATTATTATTTCTCACTGTTTAAACACATCATGATGAAGGACGAGAGAGGGGATTCGTTCAGTGGGGTTGGCCTTTAGATTTTTAGTTTTGTTTTGCTGTTTCAAACAAAAAGGATAAAAAAAGATACGATTTGCAAAAAATCTAAGGTGATGAGCGCGACATTTTAGTCGAACCTGCTTCGGAATCGAATACCGACATCTTCCATCAGACCATACTCGGTCCTATCGCACTCTTCCAGTTACTTTTCAATAACAGACCAAAATTACAGAGTCGACATCATCAATCGATCTATGGAACGTCATCAATGGGTAAATGAAAAGCCCATTATTGCATTCCTGAATGCAAATCCATTGTGGACAGGGCATGAAGAAAACCTCATCAACCATTAAGTTTATAAAAGAAATTTCTTAATTAAATTGTTTGCAGAGTGCAAATCTAATCTTTCCTCTTTTTGGGAATCCTCAATCATACATGATTATTATCATTTAAGAAAGAGACAAAATTAATTAATAGTTTTTTTATAAAATACATATAAATAAACTTCTTTGTGCAATTACTAAATATGATATAAATAATTTAAAATACATTTTTATTGGTTTGTTGTTTTGAAAATCAATATGTGAAATAGAAATGATCATTCACAGTGTTACATCATTGAAATATTTGTATATAAAGTTTATCTCACTGGACACGGTCGAGGGTCAACTCTTTCAATCGTTGGAGGATAAATATGGTTATCAGGTCGTTCTCTATTGTTGGGGAGATGTTGAAAGCAAAAAAATACATTCCCAATAATGGAAATATTTATTCTTTAAAAAAATATATAAATATATATTATGCATACCCATTACATTACATTTCTTTATAAACTCCAACTATGATATGATATAAATAATATAAATTTACATTTTGTAGATTTGTTGTGTTTTGTTTGAAATTTCAATATATATTTATTAATTATTTTTAATTGTTTTTTTTCCTCTACAAAGCCAAATTTCCCCAGTCAAAACAGTACTGTAATTATAGTAGTATCAAACAACTTACAAATTTATTTATTCCACCATTGTCAAAACGACAGACTAATAGAGACAGAGAGACAATACAAACACAAAACACCCAACTTGAAGAACACAATACCAGACAGAACAAACACACACTGTTCAGTTCAAACACACCTCCAAATTTCAACCAATGAGTTTTCAGTACCGTACATCTTCAAAGACTTTTAAAAGTAAAGAAGATGGATAATAATAACAAACAAACAGATAATAATAATATTAATATTATAGAAAGATATAGAATCAGTAGTAAATCATTCAAATTATTGGAAGATAAAAAGTGTCCATTATGTGATAGTCAACTGTTTGATAGAACAACACTCAATCATCACATTGCATTGTGTTCAATCTATTTCATGCGATACAATCAAATAAATGTCGATCAAATGGTGAATCATGTAAAAGATGATGATGAAAGGAACAAGAGGAGATTACTCCAAACACCTAGAAGAATGATGGATATTGGACTATTTCGATCAGTGTTGATTGTCAATGCATACACTCGTAGTATCATCATCAAACATCAAAGACATATCAATCGATTACTATCAACATCTGCAAAAAAGCTGACAAAAACCCAACAAGAACTAATATCATTAGGTTTACCTGACAGTGGGGATAAGGTCGGTCGAGAAGGTAGATATCATTGTTATATATCTTTTTATTCTGAGGACAGCATAGCTGATTTAATTAAACAAGTAAATGGGCTCAGAAGAGTAATTCAACAATCTAAATTGGTAACATATTTATCTATTAAATTTTATTACTCTGAAATTGAACTTGGTATGATATTATTAAAAAAAAAAGAGCGAGCGAGAGAGAGAGAGAGAGGAATAATTATTATATTATATTATATATATTAATCCTATCATAATTTCTCTTTCTCTTTCTCTCTCTCCTCTCTCTATAGCAAGACCATATGTAAACTTAATCTATCAAGATCTAAAAGAGAATACAACCATCACAGAGTATTCTATCGATCCACCACTATTTGGAAGAATGATCTATGCAGAGAGACCAAGTACAAGATTCAGCATTCCTGAAGTTCAATCTTTCGTTTACTATGATAGTTGTTACCTTTACATACCCTTTTGTTTACCATCAATGGTTCCCCACATTGATAAATATCTTGTTAAAAGTTCAGGTATGTACCATCATATCAAGTACATTCATTCTTATTATGTTATTGTTATTGATCCAAATTTCATCCAATGCCATTCATTATATTTTCTTTTCTGCAGCTTTTATTAAACAATCATGTCGAACATTGACAGGATCACCATATATTAAAACTGTCAAACAGCTTTGTAGTTTCCGAGAACCTTCTGATGCTAAAGTATTCAATCAATTCACACTCAGTCTACCCAATCTTGAATGTATTCGATTGGAATGGGATAAGGTGGACGAGTATATACCACTGCTGATCGTTGAACTATTAAATAGAAACCAAATCAAACACATGACCATTTATTGCTATTTCACACTATTACAATGTCAACAACTATTCAATGCCATCAAGACAAACAAATCACTCATCTCTTTAAAACTCTATAGTATGTCACCAACGTTGCCAAAGTATTTTTTAATTAATACTTACTTTACTGATCATATTTATTTATTAATTAAACTACAGTTAATTCTTGTAAAAGTGAATGGATTCAACATATTTATGATGGTTTAAAAGAGATTCACAGTTACACAACGTTAAAGTACCTTTATCTTAGGGATACATGCCCAAGGGGGGACAATGAAAAACTATTATTGAAATCGTTGGAGGATGATTATGGTTATAAGGTCATTATTTATGATAGTCAAAGTGGTGGACCCAAAAAAATACATACTCAATAATGGCTATTGTATAATAATAACCAACCGTATGCTAGAAATGAAGACAAATATTTTATATTTATTTGGTTTAAAAAGGTGTAAGGGTTCGTCATTTTCATAATAGAGCAATGCTTTTGTTAGTCATCCACTAGTGATTTTGTATCCCATTAATTTGAATCATCTTCTTCACCATCTCCATCATCAGGGGTCTTTCTTTTTGGAGGCGGCGCCTTATAAGGCGTGCCATCACTTCCTCCAAGCAAACGATATGGGAGAGCTCTCCCATTTGGTTCGATGTGTTCCAGCATATACATATTGTGTATATTTACTGATTTCAATAGGTTTTCTGGAATCTTATCATAGCTTTTCTTGATGGGAGAAGCATAAAAAGGAGATTTTGAAGGAGAAGGAGAAGGAGGTGAGGTCTTTTGTTCATTGGGGGGTGGGTCGACAGAACGCACGGTTGTCGTCTTTCGTTTTGTGGCGAGGGGGGGGGGAGAGGGAGGGGGGATCACTTGTTTTTATTTTTTTGAGGGCGCGGTTGAGGGCAGCCACCTTTTGTTCAGGGAGAATGATTGATTCCAAAGCTAATCTTTTCAAATAAATCGATCTCTGTTTTTTGTTTTGCAATGCAAGCTACGTCGTCAATAGATTGACAGAAAAGAATGGGGGGGCACCATGAAATAACAGAATAGAGATTTATTTGTTCGCCATATTGAACACACAATTTACATGCTGCTACCGTAAATTCTTTCCAAATCCCGGGTTTCCCAACCTCTTGACAGATTTCCAGCATTGAGTCATTGTATTCTTCGTTTGGCTCGCATTTTTCACCTGTCTCTTCGCCAGTCCCAGGTCAAATGAACAACCTTGAGAATGAGAGACAAAAAATCCTACTATTATTAAAAGAAGAATGATAAAAACAACTTTTCTTTGTTTCATTTTATCTTTTGTAAATGTTTTTGTGCTAGGAATAAAAGTTAAAGTGAAGATTATGTATCCAGCAATTACCTTGAATTTTATCTTCCCGCTCCTCATGGTGGATCAAAATTTCTTTGCCTTGGGTTGCTAACTTAGGATCGAGCATTTAAGTGATAGCGACCCTTTGACATGTAACACCCCCCCCCTCCTTATTCTCTGTGAATAAAAATATAACTTAAAATATTAATTAATTTGAAAATAAGAAGAAGAAAGATGGACATACAAACAGACAATATTATAAAAAGATATAGAATCAGTAAATCATTCAAAGCATTGGAAGATAACAAATGTCCATTATGTGACAGTCAACAGTCTGACAGGACAACACTCAACGATCACATTACATTGTGTTCAATCTATTTCATGCGATACAATCAAATAGATGTCGATCAAATGGTGAATCATGTAAACGATAAAGAAGCAGTTAGACGAGGTAGATGTCGTCTTGTGATTGATTTTAGGAGGGATGATGCATTTGAGAGACAAGTAGATCAAGTCAGAAGAATCATTCAACAATCTAAATTGCTTAAATATTTAACTATTTCCTTTCACTTTAATGATAAGCTACTTGAAAAAGGTAAACCAAAATAAAAAATAATAATAATCAAGAACACGAACCCCAATTGGCCAATTATTATTAATTATTTATCCATTCATCTTTACCATATTTCTCTCTCTCTCTCTCTCTCTCTCTCTCTCTCTCTCTCTCTCTCTCTCTCTCTCTCTCTCTATAGCAAGACCATATGTAAACTTAATCTATCAAGATCTAAAAAAGAATACAACCATCAAAGAGTATTCTTTCTATCAACCACCATTTGGAAGTATGATCTATGCAGAGAGACCAAGCACAAGATTCTACATCTCTGAAACCAGAAACATCGACGACGACGATGGGGATAGTCAACTTCATACACCGATTTGCTTACCATCAATGATTCCACACATTGATAAATATCATGTTAGAGGTTCAGCTGATATTGTACCATCATGTCTAGTATTGACAGGATCACCATATATTAAAACTGTGAAACTAGATACCGCCCAATCAATATGTTATAATATCCAGGTGTTCAATCAATTCACACTCGGTCTACCCAATCTTGAATGTATTCGATTGAAATGTGATGAGGCGGAAGAGCATATGCCAGTGGTGATTGAACTATTAAATAGAAATCAAATCAAACACATGACCATTGAGAGTCGTCTCAACCAGCTACATTGTGAACAACTATTCAATGCCATCAAAACAAACAAATCACTCATCTCTTTAAGAATCCTTGGTATGTTTATGTTTTCCCTTTATTTTTAATATCTATAGTATAACTAGATAGTATATAACTTACTCTTATTTATTTATTTATTTAACCTGTGTACACAGTTGATTTTGAATCAGAAGAATGGTTTCTATTTATTTATGATACTTTAAAAGAGATTCACAGTGTTACATCATTGAAATATTTGTATATAAAGTTTATCTCACTGGACATGGTCGAGGGTCAACTCTTTGAATCGTTGGAGGATAAATATGGTTATCAGGTCGTTCTCTATTGTTGGGGAGATGTTGAACGCAAAAAAATACATACTCAATAATAATGGCTAAAACGCGTACAATAATACCAGTTTCCAATTGTAAATAATTAGAAAGAAGAAGAGAAAGAAATATTTATTCTTTAAAAATATATATAAATATATATATATCTATATCCATACCCATTACATTACATTTCTTTATAAACTCCAACTATGATATAAATAATATAAATTTACATTTTGTAGATTTGTTGTGTTTTGTTTGAAATTTCAATATATATTTATTAATTATTTTTAATTGTTTCGTATTGTTGCCTTTGAAATTTCCCTGGTCAAAACAGTACTGTAATTATAGTAGTTGTTTAACTTACAAATTTATTTATTCCACCATTGTCAAAACGACAGACTAATAGAGACAGAGAGACAATACAAACACAAAACACCCAACTTGAAGAACACAATACCAGACAGAACAAACACACACTGTTCAGTTCAAACACACACCTCCAAATTTCAGCTGTTGTTAATTTTAAAAAGGATGCAGACGATATATAATAATATAAATATATAATATAAAACCAACACCACAACATAACCTAACAATTGATATCAAACAAACAAACAAACAATTGAAACAGATCAACAATTAAGTTAGTTTTTTTTAAAATCAACAACAACAACTACAACTAAAAGTAATACCAGATTTGTATCATCAACAATTATACCCTTTTTTGTAATATAATCACACAACAAACACAGTTATCTAATCTTCTTTTAAGGCACACAACAACAACAATATTTATTTACCTTCTGTATATATATTAATTTATTTCACACAAACAAACAAACAAACATCGTTTATAAACACACACACAATGGTATTTATCTATCAGATCACCTGACCTCATCCTCTGTCTGAGATATTATAATAATAACATTTCTAATCTTCTTTTTTTATTATATTATAATCAGGTAACTACATCACCACCGTTGTCACCGACGTCATCTTCATCATCTTTGATAGGAGGAGGAGGAGGAGGATCACCTCTATCGAAAATATTTGTAAATAGTAACCAAACAACAACAACCAAAAAAAATACAACTGGTGGCAGTAGCAATCGAGCATCAACTTTATCAGCCTTTATCTACATACTCTCAATACCAAAACATATCATAAACTATCTGGCATATATTCTATTTTTCATCCCATCACTCATTTACAATTTACTCTACAACATTATTCAATGGATTTCAAATACCAAAGCAATAGCTAAACAAAATGTATGTCATATATGAAGGACATTAATACTTGTTTGACTAATGAATTTATTTATTGTAATACTCTATAGAGTTTAAAGAATGATAGAAAAAAAGAATTGGTTATATTAATGAAAAATACTGGATGTTATAAAGAGTGGTTGGAAAAAGCAAGTGAATTGGATTTGTTAGAGGAAAAGGAGAAATGGAGGACAGATGATGAATCGGCGTTTTACGATTACAAGTTGATTCGATTTCGTTTGAATAGTCTTAGAGTGTTGGCACAACGTGGAGACTATGTGTCACTGTCGATTGCATTGCGCGAGGGATTGTTAAGGAATTTGGGTGGCATGGGAAATGCAGCTTTGTTCCAAGAGTCACATGTTGGAACCAAATATGTGATTGAGGAGTATGTGCAAGAGGTTGTGAAACAGCTAAACTACATTGCCTACAATGTTCCCAAGGACAGGGTATCGCTCGACTTTTTCTACGAGACTCGACAGTCTTTTGGACGCAGTGCATTGTTGTTGAGTGGTGGTGCAACACTTGGTATGTACCATTTGGGCGTCATTGCAGCATTGAAAGAAAACAACTTGTTGCCACGGATTATATCGGGGTCGAGTGTAGGCTCGATCATCGCGTCGTTTGTGTGTGTTAGCACCGACGAAGAACTCGACCAAAATTTCAAGGATCCTACTTGGAACTTGGACGCTTTTGAATCGGAGTCTTCATTTTCTCGCAAGATGGCAAGACTCTTGAAAAAGGGTGTCATCATGGACATCAAGAAACTGCAGCGGTGCGTGCGATCCAATATCGGCGACCTCACATTCAAAGAGGCGTACGACAAGACCAACCGCGTGCTCAACATCACCGTGTCGTCAACCAACTCGTTTGAGTTTCCCCGACTCCTCAACTACCTCACTGCGCCCAACGTGCTCATTTGGAGTGCCGCCTGCGCCAGCTGCGCACTTAAATTCCTCTTTGAACCCGTCGAGCTCATGTCCAAAGACCCGGCCGGCAACATCATCCCGTACCACCCGTCCCAACAAAAGTACTCGGACGGCTCGGTCGAGCTTGACCTGCCCATGGAGCGGTTGTCCGAGCTCTTTAACGTCAACCACTTTATCGTGTCCCAAGTCAACCCCCACGTCATCCCCTTTCTCAACGACGGGCCTGTCCAGTCGTCCAACTCGCTCATGGGCGCCCTAAAGTACATTGGCAAGTCGGAAATCAAGCACCGCGTGCTCCAACTCACCTCACTCGGCCTGATCCCATCGGCCATCAGCGGACTCCCGCCCCTCATCACCCAACGCTACGACGGCGACATTACCCTCGTTCCCCAAGTCACCCTCAAAGACTATGCATCCATCATCTCCAACCCTTCGAAAGCAATGATCAGCGACTGTATTCGTAAAGGAATGAATAGCACTTTTCCAAAAATCTCCATCATCAAAAATCATTGTCTCATTGAACTAACACTCGATAAAATAGTCTCGCGACTAAGAAGTCAATTATTCAATAGTGAAACCACTTTAAGAAATCAAAGAGCTAAAAATGATTTAATCACCTTTTCACCAATAAGTATTTCATCAAATAACTAACCAAATATAACATATAGGCAAATAAATTAATGAATTCAATCATCATGATTTATTTTTAAATTTCTTTAATTCTTTCCATTTCTTTTTCTTCTCTAACTACATTAAAACCAATTTCACTAACAAAGTAAGTTTTTAAATTGGTAGCACCAAATGAGAATGTATAATGTTGACCAGGTAGGAAATGTTGGGAAAAGGTTTGATTGGCAAACAGGAATCCATCGACATCATCATAGAAAATATTCTTGATTCCCTCAACTACACTATCATTGTTTAACTTTATACTAAAATACATCATTGGAATATTGGCAATATTCTTTACCGACCCAAAATATAAATTATTGTCAAATGGTCCTTCAATATTAAAGTTTACAAATTTATAAATATCTAAAAAGGAAAAGTAAATTAAATTAATAAATTAAAAATAAAGATTCAATCTTTTACTTTGAATTTATACCTTGTTGGGGAATACATTGTGATTTAGTTTCAGTGACTATACAAAAATGGTTTTGTGTGCACTCTTCAAAACATGACCAAGTATAATTTGAATTTACATTATGAACCAATAACAATAAAACTAAAAAAAGATTCTTTACTACAATATTTTTTATCTTCATAATTACTATTAATAAATATATTTATTTCTTTTTCTCTATCTTTATAAAAAAATGGAACAAATTTGGCTATATTTATATTTATTTATGAAAATTGATTCATTTACAAATCATTATTTTCAATTGATTTTAAACAGAAGTAGCTGTTCAATTTACTCCACGATTGTAGTTTAACACCAAAAAATGATTGTTGTAAAAAATTATTACGGTTATTTGATTCAAATAGAACCCCACCTCTCTTTCTCTTTCTCTCTACCTCGACTTTCGATTTCAAATCAAAATCCAATCACCCACACACTAACCTCCCTCTCCCTCCCCTCCTCTTTATTTATTTTCTTTCCCCAGGATTTGTTTATAATTTAATATTGTTTTGATTTTATTTTTAAATAGTTTTGGTTGATTTTTTTTTTTTGTATTAATTGATCAATTTAAATATTGTTAAAATAAGATTTGTGTTTTTGATTTGTGTTTTGTTTTTTTTTACAAGTTTGATCTAGAAGAGAATTTTACTACATCATTAATATCAATACCGAGACCCTTGGCAATACGGGTACCGTAATCCTTGTCGGCCTTGTAAAAGTTGGAGATGGCACGGAGTTGGATGTCACGGACAGTGACACCCTTCATGTGACCGACGATGTTGCCAACGAGACGGGTCTTGGCACCTTCGTCCATGAGACGGTAGAGGTTACCTGGTTGGACAAAGTCGTCGCTTGGTGGGTATTGGAAACGACCGGCACTGCCAGCGACTGGGAATTGGTGGATGGCAGCGTCTGGTTGGACGTCTGGACCGCCAAACGAGTTGGGGTGGTAGTTGGGGGCCTTTCCTTGGTTGCCATTGACAGCCATGGCACCATCACGTTGGTAGTTCTTGACACCACCCTTGACGGCGTATGGACAGTTGACTGGGATTTGTTGGTAGTTGACGCCGAGACGGTGACGGTGGGTATCTGGGTAGGAGAATAGACGACCTTGGAGCATTTTGTCTGGGGATGGCTCGATACCTGGTACCATGTGTGATGGCGAAAAGGCAGCTTGCTCAACCTCGGCAAAGTAGTTTTCTGGGTTACGGTTCAACACCATACGACCGATTGGAATAAGGGGGTAGTCCTTGTGTGGCCACACCTTGGTGATGTCGAATGGGTTGAAACGGTACTTGAAGCCGTCGTCAAACTCCATCAATTGGATGCACACCTTCCAGGCTGGTTCGCCGCCCTTGGCGATACTCTCAAAGAGGTCACGGGTGGCAGAGTCTGGGTCCTTGGAGTCCATCTGCTCGGCCTCCTCGGCAGTGTGGTTTTGGATACCACTCTCGGTCTTGAAATGCATCTTGACCCAGTATGCCTTGCCCTCGGCATTGACCCACTTGAGTGTGTGTGACGAGAAACCATCCATGTGACGATAGGTCTTTGGTGTACCTCTATCAGAGAACAAAATGGTGAATTGATGAGTAGTTTCTGGTGACAAACTGGCAAAATCCCAAAAGGCATTGGCATCCTTTAAATTGGTTTGTGGATTACGCTTTTGTGTATGAATAAAGTCTGGGAATTTACTTGGGTCACGAATGAAAAATACTGGTGTATCTAAATAGAAAATAGAAGAAAATAGAAAATAGAAAAGAGAAAAAGGTTAATCATCCAATTGTAGATATTTATATTTAATTTTCTTTTTTTAATTTTATACATACTATTTCCAACCATATCCCAATTACCTTCTTCGGTATATAATTTGACGGCGAAACCACGTGGATCTCTGGCACTGTCAGAGGAACCCTTTTCACCACCGACAGTAGAGAAACGAGTAAAGAGTGGGGTTCTCTTGCCAACCTTGTTGAACAACTTGGCACGACACCACTTTGGAATGTCTGAGTTGGTGACTTCAAAGTAACCGTGAGCACCGGCACCCTTGGCATGTACGACACGCTCTGGGATTCTCTCACGATCAAAGTGAGACAACTTGTCAATCAAGTGGAAATCTTGAATCAAGATTGGGCCGTTGACACCGGCAGTGACAGAGTTGAGGTTATTATCAACTGGTGCACCATTACTAGTGGTAAGAATTGGTTGTGACATCTTTTTCTATCTATAGTAGGATAACAACACATAAGCAAAAGAGTAGAGTAGAGTAGAGAAGTGGTTTTAATTAGTAATCAATTGATTCATTTACATTTAACATAATATTAATATATATATATAAAGAAATAATATTCTTAAAGTGTTGTCTAAACTATCTATCTGTATACTACAACTGAAATACAGGTGTTTGTATTTTGTTGTTATTGCTACTGCTACTACTGATAGTATGTGATGAGATCATTGTATGTCTCCTTTCTTTGTTTGTTTGTTTGCTTAAACATTCAATATGTACATACCTATACCGTTATTCAATATAGAATTTATAAAATGCTTAAAATCTCTTCATCAACCTTTTGTTGGTTGTTTCATCCACACATTCAAGTGAAATTGAAAAAAAATAAAATTTTTACTTCTTCGTGCTCGAAAAGGAAATCAATGAGCACTACAAGATTTTTCAAGAGTAAACAGAGAGATCTTGCATAGTTGGTACAGTAACTGTAAACTAAACTATTTCTCTAGAATACCGATTACGTAACCAAACTATTTTTATAAAAATAGTTTCCAAACTGACATTCAACTCTAGAAGAAGAAGAAGAATGATGTATATCAACAAACAACAATACAATCTTGTTGGTTTCAAAACCAGTGAATCCTCTTTATCCCATTCCAGGTTTGATTATAATCTGCCAATTGTAAGTGTGCACACTAGTCAGTCAAGTAAAGTAACGATCAAGTATTGTCTGTCTCTTCATTGTTGTTGTTGTTGTTGTTGTTAACAATATATTGGTATTATATCTAATGTAAAACATGTACAACAAAGGTTCATACTTGGAGACGACTGTTGTTGTTGTTGCTGCTGCAATAAGAATGAATCTGGCAGTGACCATAGTATATCATGCATGTTCATTCATCGATGAATGTGAATGGGAATGGAAATGGAGGGTATCTACAATATTTCCTAATCAAGGAAACAAGTAAGAAAGTTGTAGAAATTAATTGATTTCATTCCATCAAAGAAACCTCTAACTACACTAGTAGTAGTTGGTGTAGAGAGAGTGTCATATAGTATGGTGATACCGTATTGTCAGCGCTGCTCTCTTATTCAAGTGAACAACAAGCAAGTAAGTTGAGTGAGTGAGTGACCATCACATTAGATTAAACACACTCCCTCCTTCTCCTAACTCTTACAAAAAAAAAAAGAAGGAAGGATAAAAATATGATTCTATTATGAGAGTGGATGAGTGGATGGATATAGTTAGTGGTCAATCAGATAAAAATCCTACTCCTCTCACAAAACAAGAAGAAAGAGAAAAGGGTTGATCTCTACTGTCCTGTGGTAGTTTTTACAATAACATCAACAAACACCCACCAATCTCCCAAACTCCAATTATAATTTTTTGTGTGTGTGTTCTCTCTAGAGAGCGAGCCGGGGTGGGAGTGAGGGAGGTTTGTTTGGTCAAGTAATAATAATAATAATAATAAGTCATCACCTGAATGACCAAGAGAATAGTAGGAAGAGGGAGACCGATACAATACAACAAAAACATACATTACAGTTGATTTGCTTTCTTTTTTATTTTTTTTTATTATCAATTTTTTTGATAATGATAATAAATATTTATAAAAGGAATATAATTATAATATAATATATAGAGCCGATCCCCAAAACATAATAATAATAATAACAATATTAAAAGGAATAAATAATAATAATAATAAATAATAGACCTTCCCACCACCAATTTGTAAAATAATAATAATATTAATCCATCTATCACTCACTCACTCAATCAATCAATAATAATAATATTAAAATAAGCAATTCACCTATATTATTCATTTGTATATTATCCTATCCTATCCTATCCTCTGTACACTTTTCATATATAAATATTTGTATAATTTCCATCACCACCCATCATATTACTTTCTACTCTTCCTTTTGTACAATTGTAAATTAAAATATCTTTATCCTCCGACTTGTCCATCTATCCATCTATTTATTCAAACCAAACCCCCCGAGTTCCTCCTCCTTCAAAATAATCCCATATAAAACCGTCCGCCACCATCAAATCTCGCAATATATATATTATCAATTTAAACCGGCAGTTCAGAAGTACTCCACCTCCACCGGCATCCAAAAAATAAGAAAAAGAAAAACCTGCCTTAACTCAACTTCCCAACTCTTTAAAATTTCTACGATAACTTTTCCTTGTCGAAAATCGATTTTGGATTTTTAAAGAGCAGAGGCAGCAAGGACGACCATCGAATTCAGATAAACATCGGTCAACAGCCACCACAGGGATATCTGGGCTCCACCACCACATCAAACCAACCTCCGCAGGGCCGCAAGTGACATTACGGCATCCATCCAACATCAAACATTCATTGTTTTATTGTCTTTTCTCCAACTAGTAGATAGATAGTATTTATTTCTTTCCCTCCTCCTCCTCCTCTTTTATTTCTATGTGCTATTAGTAGAGAGAATTATTATCTTTGGCCAGATAGTAATCGACAACAACAATAATAACAAACTAATATATAATCTTTAAAAACATTATATATTCTCTGTATCACCTCATTGTATTCACAAATATAGTTTTAACTTTTTGATCATCCATCATCCATCATTAATAATAATAATCAGTAACAACACCGACAACAATAACAACAAACCAAAACAAAAAGTTAAATTTATAGATTACAAAGTTGTATATTTCACACTACATATAACAATATTATTATCACATCATCTATTTTTATATATATATATTTTATTTATTTCATATAAAGAACAACAAGAAAGAAAAGAAGAAAGAAGAAAAGAAGCAATCAGAGAATAATAATAACAATTAGAATTTAATAATAATCTCGTCATCAACAACAACAAACAAACAATAGTAGTAATATTATTGTCAATATAGTAATAGTAATAGTAATATAGTCATACAATCTTCTTTTTTACATTTGTATATAGTTTATAAACAAAAAAAAGGTTCCATCATCATCATCATCATCAATCATCTGATTCAATTCACAAAAAAAAAAAGTATACTAGTAGTAGTTCCCTTTCAATTTAGAAGATTGTATTATAAAAAACAAAAAGGCAAGAACAAGACAGTACAGCACAGTGACAGTGTCAGTGACAGCGACAGTGACAGTAAAGTAGACGACATACATATATATCTCATTGGAATCTATTCCCAACCGACGACGACTGCATATCATCAAGTAAAAGACTGGTCCGCCGTTTTTTTTAAATTTTTTGAATCTCTGTATCTATATCAATCAAAAACCAAGTAATAATAATAGTATCAACCAACCAACATAGATCTGCCATTGCTCAAAATCTTAATCTCTCAAAAAGGAACCAAAAAAGGTAAAGGGCATGATATAACACACACACACACACACACAAACACGCACACATATTGGCGTACACCAAAAACTTATAAATATGAGAATGAGGAAAAGTAATAGTGTCTGTCGTCTGTCAACCAAGGTTGATGTACCCGACAGATTCAATCATCCATTTAAGAAAATATGGCTTTGAAATCAAGAATGATGTTAAAATTTTATATACATTACTTTTTCTAGATTCAATTATTATTATTGATTTGGTTGCGAACAAATTAACTCACCTTTTTAAAAACTAAAAGATATGATTGGATCACAATTTTTATTAATACTTTTATTTTTTTCATTCTTTTTCTATTTAATTTTAAAATTAAAGGTAATAATATTTGTTTCTCAAATGAATAAAATAATGCCCCAAAGAACATTTTCACCTCGTACCTTTATGGGTGATCGTGGAATCGTTTTGGATAGTTATGGTCGAGTTTTTGATGAAAGAATATTGGCTCCAAAAGCTTGGAAACCTACAAATAATCCAAATTCATCATATTCAAATAGGTATGAAACAAAACAAATAATATTTATTATTATTATTTCCATTTATTAATTTATTTTTTGTTTGTTGTTTGGATTAGACAATTTGTTGATGAAAATTTATTTGAAGAAGCAGGTCAAGAAATTCAAACCATTATATTACAATCATTCAATTTGTTGGATGAAGCCGACGAATCTATAATATTGGACAGATATAACAAATCGAAAAAGAGTTCTAGGAATACCGCAACCTCTACATCTGCATCATCTACATCATCTATATCTACGTCTGCCAGCTCTTTTGTCTCTGCATCGGTTACAACTATTGCCAACTTTGTTCAACAACAACAAGCAGCAACCGCAACAACAACGACAGTTGTAGTAGACAGGGAGGATTTAATACCGCTCAGCACAATCATTGAAAACTATGTCCAACAGGATATATCTTTGATCCCATTTTTTTCAACTCAATCGCCCGGCATTCCAGAGGAACCAATCACTCCTCCAACACGTACACATAATCCAATCACCCTCAACCAACAATTTTGTTCAACAGACTCTTTTCAACAAGGAGCTGAAATTGGCCTTCTCTCCATATCACCATGAGAAAAACAAACAAATAATAATAATAATTCCTGTGTTTTTAAATATAATAATAATAATAATATAAAAGAATAGTACAACAACAAAACAAAACAAACAACAACATAATAGCAACAAACAAACAAAACAACAAGTGATATAATAATCACAAGTTAGTAATTGTAGTCATAATTAAGCATTTCTTTCTTTTTATCAAAAAAGTAAGATCAAAGAATTGCAAGTGTAGATATTTTTCCCATCCCCCACACCTCCCCACCCCTTTTCGTTTCCTTCCTTGTTCACACACGCAAAATACCTTTTTTTTTTTTTTAAAACAAACAAAAACCAACCAACAACAACATAGATGTATGCATCACATACACCAAACCAACGTACAAACAAACAAAACAAACATACATAGACCTTATGATTAAAAAAAGAAATAAACCTTGTAAAATTTTACCCTACCTATCCTTGTCATCCTTTTTTTTTTTTTTCAATATTTTTTTGGTATAATATTTAAATATCTATCCCAGCTAGGGTGTCTATAGTTGCTAGTAAAAAAAAACCATCATTAATCAATCATCCAACCATTGCCACCTCAAAGAGTACCAGAGTGTGATGATTGACCAAGGAGGGTTGTTTTATTTTTTCTGTATAAAAAAACAAGAATCGAGTCGTTTTTAAACAAATGCCATGTTTTGTGATTCTGACCACAACCAACTACCTTTGTAGTTGAACCGCACCATCGAGGTATCGCCGCAAAGAATAAAGAAGAGGAGGATAGGTTGTGAGGTGTGGGAGGTGTAGGGCTATTGGACGATTTCAAGATGATAGACGTCTCCCCTTTGATTTAGGAATGTCGGGTTGTTTTAAACCACAAAATTGGTTTTTTCCTTTTTTAAAGAATGATGATTAAATGTTGATGATGTGCACATTTATATTATAATTATTATTATTTGTTGGCTTTGTGTCTGTTTGTGTGTGTGTTTGGCTTAAATGGGTGCCACTATCGACTAATGTTAACATAAATAACATTCATTTTTGTTATTGCTACCATTTCATCTATCATCTCCATCGCCCAACATATTTTCATCTTTACATTCTTGGGCTCTCTTTCATTTATCTCTCTTTTTTAACTTTAACTTTTTTGTATTACTTTTTACTTACTTATTATAACTATTGTACATATCTATATATATATATATATATATATATATATTGTATTGTATATAAATGTATTCACATAGATTTTCTATTGTATTATCAAAAGATTGTAATAGACTTGACCATGATAGTATGACAACTCTTCCATCGGGATTGAGTGTATTTTCACCTAGGGATGTGTCATTTGACACTACTAATCCAATGCTTGATTTGGATGACCCTTTTTCACTTATATCACCTCGTATTCGTATGCCAGGTTATTACCACAATGTGGACGATATTGACCACCACCACAAAACATCATCATCATCACCATCATCTTCTTCATACTATGGATCACTCGGGTCATCATCCGAGTCCATTAATGATTCATCATCATCTTCACCATCGTCGTCATCGTCATCGTCACCAACATCACTATCCACGTCTCTTGACTTGTGTCTTTATCAACAATGTAAATTAGAAGAACAAGAAGAAGGACATGAACAAGACCAAGTTCATTCTTTGTCACTTGTATCAACTCCTTTGTATCTTTTACCATTGTCTTGCAGCAACAACAACATTTTCATGGATGATGTCATTCTTACTACAGATGCTCCTACATGCTCTGCCATCCAATCATATACTGGTATTTCACAAAACTCGATTTCACCCTTCTCGTCAAGCAGCAGTAGCTTGTTTACACCATCGTCACCTCCTCCACCATTGCCATTGTCTCGAGCCATCCGTCCATTAACATTAAAGATTCGTGGTAGTATTTACAAAAAAGTAGCAGACCCACCAACACCAAGCAATGATGATTATTCATCAGAATCGACCGAGGATGAAGATGAAGATGAGTCAATGTCTGATGTCAATGATGATGAGGATGATCACCAACAACATTATCAACCATCATCCTCTACTATAGTAATGCCAACTACTACTACTACTACTTCTACTGCTATTGTTCCAATGGTTGAAAAGAAAAAGATTGTTTTTACATGCTATAAAAAGAAAGTAGAGGTAGTCCAAGTAGAGAAAGAAGAGGAAGAGGACAATAGTGACTCTTCAACAGACTCTGAAGAGATGGATATTCAAGATGATAGTGATCAAGATTATTCACCACCTGAATCTGAAGACGACGATGAGTCTTCTGAGGATGAATCCAAGAAGAAGTCAAGATCCAAAAGAAGAACAGTTCCAAAAACTCCATCATCCAATATGTTGATCTCTAATTTTAGACAAAGAAGAATGGCTTCTCCAATCTTGCAGACCACTTCCAGTCCTACCACCACCTCTATACAAAAAAAGAAAAATAATACAAGAAAGAGAACTGCTTCCTCTACTGTCACTACTCCTACTACCATGACGACTCGTAAAAGAAATGAAATTGTCGCTGCTACTTCTACTGCTCTAACAACTACTACAACAAATTCAGCAAGAAACTATCGTATCAATGCCGACAAGATTAGAAGAGTTGACAAATCACTCAAAGTACTATGTGATGGATTATTTGCTTACCTTGGTCGTCAACCAATCAATCAAGTGATTGATCTTGCTGGAGCAAGTGAAGAGTTGAATGTCACACCAAGACGTTTCTATGAAATCCTAAATATCTTTGAATGTTTGGAATTGGTCTCCAAAAGTGACCGTAACTATGTTTGGCTTGGTATTCAAAACCTCCACACTCGAGTGTCATCCATCATCCACCGCAAAACAAACAAAAAGACTGCTCTCGTTGACCTTCAAGATGATGGTCAAAAGTCTCTTATTAAACTAACATTAAACTTTTTATCATTATTTTCTTCAAAGGTAAATAGATAAAAAGATATATAAACAAGACATGATAGAATATTAACATACCTATTATTTAATTGCAGCCAAATATTACACCACCAGAAGCTATACAAGCACTTGGCATTGAACAACAAAAAGCAAAGTCAAGAAGAGTCTACGACATTGCAAATATTCTTCAAAGTTTGGGTGTCATTACAAAGCAGAGAATGTCAACATCTGACAAAACCATTCTATTTAAATTATCCCTTTCTTATATAAAGTAAAAAGGTAAACTCTTAAACTCTAAACTAAAATAATATATATTAATAATCATCATCATCAATTCACCAATCTAGCAGTACATATGTAAATCATCAATCATATATAAATCAACATATATCACCTGTACAATATATATTTAAAACAAAAAAAAAAAGTGTACATACCTTCTTGTCTATAATAATAGTAAATAGTAATAATAATAATATTAATAATAATAATATATACCTTAAAATAAAGATTAAATTGTTTGTTTTGTTATGTTAACATCTATCACATGATGATGATCATCTGTCATGATCGATTGATCAACCCTTTTTTTTCAAACCGTCCATCCTTTGGTGTGTGAGTGATGTTGATGTTGATGTCGACATACAAATAAAGCAATCGTCATCGTATTTTGTGGGTAGCGGGTGGGTGAAGTTATAACAATACTTATATCATTGATGATCAGGTGATGGTAATCATTATGTGTTTGTTGGTCACAGACGGGAATCCCACCACTTTAATTTTTATTTTTAATTTGCTTGTCGAGAGGTGTGTGCTATTACTGATATTTTCAGTGGTATGGATTACGAATGATTAATAGAATGATTCTGAATCATTCTTGTTTATCTATTTAATACATACATACATACATACATACAAACACATATATTGATATATATATATATATATATATATATATATAACAATCATAAGATATAGTTAACTTTTAACAATGAAAGATTATGAGACTGTTGTTTTAGATGGCAGTGGTAGCGACAATGACAGTGATACTAACAACAACAACAACAACAACAACCAACAAGATACATATAATGGAGTAATTATTGATGACTCGAATAATCATCATCGAATGATAACTGGTGGTGGTGGTAGATGTCCAATGTTGATGAATAATAGTAATCTTAGTCTAAGCAATACAAATACAATAGAATTAAATATAAATACGAATAATAATAATAATGGCAACGAACAACCAACATATAAAACATTTTTAAAATTACACAGATTAAATCATAATATAACATACTCTAATATCATTGGAAGTTATCTGGCATCATTCCTTTCCATTTGTTTCTTTGTATTTATCAATGTCGCTCAACCAATCATCATTACAAATATATTTCATTTAGATCAAGATAATCAAGGTAATTCAAAAAAGAATAAATCAATCAATCAATCAATCTCGACGGACTTTGACTAACCTAACTTTATATACATTTCAATTTAGGTGCAATTAGTGGAGATTTAACATTTTATAATGAAATTGTTATATTGGCAACAAGTCATATGTGGGGATTACTAAGTGACCGATTTGGAAGAAGAATTGTATACTGTATGGGAATGTTGTTGATGGGTGCTGGTTTGGTGATTTATCCATTTGCAGAGGTGTATTATCAATTGGTTTTGTTTAGAGCTGTATTTGCTTTGGGTGCTGCTGCTGCTTCGAGTATGATATCAGCTGTTTTGGGCGACTATGTGGTCTTTGAAGACAGACCATTTGCAAGTGGATTGCTTGGTTTGTCGGCTGGTTTTGGTGCAGTGTTTGGATCATTGGCGTTGCTCAAGATGCCAGACTTTTTGGAACAGAGTGCTTCAATGAGTGTGACGACTGCGACTCAGGTGACATATGCCACAACTGCTGCGATGGCGTTGGTTGGTGCGATAGCACTGTGGTTTACATTGCAACCAAAGGCAACTATATGCAACATCAACACGGTGATTGATCGTGGTATATCGTCGTATGGACAACCACTATTTACCGAGCATGTCAAACATATATACGGGTTGGCAAGAGAAGGTATTTTGGCTGCCCGTAACCCTATCCTTTCAGTTGCCTATGGTAGTGGGTTTTTAGCTCGAGGTGATAGTGCTATTGCAACTACATTCCTCTCACTTTGGATTTACTCTTACGACCTCAACGTCAATGGTGGAAACAAAGCAGCTGCACTTGCCAAGTCTGGAACGATCACTGGTATTGCTCAAACTTGCGGACTGGTATTTGCACCCATCGCAGGTCTATTGGCAAGCAAGATTGGTCGTCTCCGTGCAATGGTGTTGATTGCTGCTTTTGGAGCACTTGGTTATTTCATCTTGGCATTTAGCGACAGTCCTCTCACACCACTCTTTCTCGTTGCATCGTGCATCATTGGATGCACAGAGACTGGTATGGTTGTCTCATCAACCGCCCTCGTTGCTCAAGAATCCCCTGCCAATTGTCGTGGATCAGTCGGTGGAATATTCTCACTCTTTGGTGCAGTCGGCATTCTCGTTGCTGCCAAGATTGGTGGTATTTGGTATGACCATTGGAACGGGTTCCCATTTGCTCTTTTTGGAGGTTTCAGTATAATCTTGGTTATCTGGGGTATCGTCGTCGAAATCTATGTCACCATCAAGAAAAATAGAGGTGAAAAGATTCCAAATGATTCCTCATCTTTGGTCGAAGAGGATCAAGACCAAAATCCACTTTTGTCAAAACTAAAATAAAAGTTTATTTTATTTATATAATATTTAAAAAAAAAAAGAATATGATTATCACCTCGTGAAGTGGTAGGCACTCTATTGGATGTCTAAATCCGTGTGCGCTATACAGAAATATTTTGTTAAAATAATAATAACAAACACTTGTTATAAAAACATTTTATTCTTTTTTAGGGTATTGTTATAATTTTAGTGTTGGCATGGATTCGTTTAGAATTGAGTGTCAATCAATCATGGTCGGTATGATTTAGACATCCAATAGAGTGCCTACCACTTCACCGAGGTTTTCACCTGCTGTTTGGTAGTCTTGAACCTTCCAGGCATTAACCAAGTTCTTGAATTCGGTGGTCAAGTTGGCCTTCTTGTGGATGATGTTGATGACTTCCTTGGCAATGACTTCGATGATACCATCAGCACCAGAGGACAATTGGGCAGCAATTGATTCGATTTGTTGGATGAGTTGTTCGACACCACAGGTAGAGAAGATGGTTGGGATGGCTTCGAGACCTTGACCGAGATCGGTGATACCGGCACCAATGTCAGAGACAGAGAGCTTCTTGAAACCGGTAGAGATCAAAGATACACCGTTTTCAAAGTCGTCGAGGGTGGCAACGTATTGTGAAATGCAGGTGGTGGCGTTTTCATTCAAAGAGATTTCCAAACCTTCGGCAAAACCGAGGACAAAGGCACCAATGTCAGTTGGAACAGACTTGATGTTGTTCTTGGCATAGGCAGAGTTGATGGCCAAAAAGGCAATAAAGCAGAATAAAATGAATTTCATTTTTCTATAAAAAGATGAGGAGGAAAGTAAAGGTGAAGATGAAGTAGTGTATAAGTAAGAAATGTGATCATTTAAATCATTGGCACGGGAGGAAGCGTAGTGCAACGACCAACAGTGCAGTGGCTGTTGGGTGATACCAAAAAAAATTAAAATAAAAAAAAATCCCTTTTTAAAGTTCCAAGGAGATTTTAAAACATTTGAAATATCCCCTCCTTCGGGATTACAACACACAAATTTGTTGTTTTGTTTTCGTAGTGGTTTTCAAAAGATGATGGACTCGAGAGATAGCTTTGCACTCTCTTTTGTTTAAAAAGATCACTACTTTCTTTTTTTGAACAAAAGGAGGTGGGTTGGGTTGTGGGCGTCGATTTCTTTTTAAAAGACATAATTGATGACTAAATCCTTGATCGCGTTGTTGATGACACAAATCTACCCGAGAATTCTCTCTAAAGTGTCGCTATAAAATACTGTTTTCGAAAATGTAATCTGCAGACAGAGTTGTCACATGTGATTGACAACTTTCGTCGTAGGTATCTTATGTTTGTCATCTGCTGCTGTTGTGTTTTGTTGTTGTTCTTTTTGATGATGATGTGAAATACTCGTCTATTATATTATTTGATTAAACATACTTATAAAAAGTGTTGTTTTGTTGTAATATTTTTTTGATGAACGTGACACCCTTTAGAAAACAGTGTTGTTGGGGTGTGTCGCGGTCAACCAACAAACAAAATTCAAAAAAAATTAATTTTTTAAAACTGGGAAAAAGTACTTGAAAATTCAGCTATGAGATGGAGATCATAGGAAGAGATAAATAAAGAGATAAATATAGATATTGAGAAAAGATAATTTATTTTAGTCAATATCTATATTTATGCAATGAACTTTATTTGATTAATTTTAATAATTATTGTTAATATTATGATTATTTTTAGGAGAGATCAGAAATAAATGGATATTTAAAGGGTACCTTATATATATCCAAAGTAGTAGCTGACTGTAAATAATATTATACCACGATTGAACTGGGTATGCAAAATTAAATACAAATAGAAAAAAAAATAGTTTGTTCATTCGTTTTTTTTTTGTGATCATTCACATCTGACAGCGACAATCTATTGATTTATCTACTTTTTTGTTATTAGTTTTAAAGTACTTTATAACTATAGTTATATACATTACATATATAGAAGAATGATAAGATCATTTATGATGAGTGGAAACACTACAAAGCGAGTAGTAAACAATATCTGTAAAAATAGTATAAAGACATCTTCAGCATCTTCAACATCATCATCATCATCATCGACATATAGCACAAGCAACAGTTTTTTTAACAATGCTGCACCATCTACTTCATCTTCTTCATCACCAACTTCATCACCATCATTTCAATCCAAATATCAATCGACATCACTCACCACTACTATAGCAAATAATAACAACTTGGTTGTCAGACGTTCATCAAGAATGGCTGGAAATCCACTCGAACTTTGTCAATTCCTTTTAGATGATGGAGGTACGTGAAAAAGACACGACGCGACGATAACAAACAAGACATGTCAACTATACATATTATCTAACCACTATCGTGTGTTGTTAACAAACATTCACTATGACCATTTATACTAATTCACAGTCTAACACTTACCTATACATACTACTCCAACCAAACCAACCAACTATCAAATGTGACTCAATGAAATGGAATATATATATTATATAAAAAAAAACTTAGATGGTACTTAATCCCTTCTCCATAATTATGTAATAAAAAAGTTTTAATCTAATCACTAATCAATCACTTTCTTCTACTTTTTGTTAACATAATTATTAATAGATGGTGATTGATTTCGAAAAAAATATGAAACAAAAGAAAATAAACACTAAAAGAATGATGATTACTGATCGGTAATTCATGTTACACCTATCCGACATGTATATATATATATGTATTTTTGGTTATTTATTTTGTAGAGCAGAAATTACAAAACAACCAACTGTAATATCATCAATCTTTCCACCCTTTGTCGAGTTTCTTGAAGCAATGGGCGTTGAAACAGTGGTATCAGTCGATTTCTTTTTGGCCAATTCCATCAAGTGTCCAAAAAAGGATTCTATAGATTCCACCTTTTTGATAGCCTCTAATATCTCCTCATCAAATATATTATCGAAAAATCCATCCGTACCAATCACAACTATATCGTTTTCCAATACATCATGTTCCATATAAGTTCCAGATGTTGGTTTATCTTGACTTCCTTGTCCTAATTGAAATGGATGATTTGGTTCTAAAAGTGAGATAAAGAGATAGATATTAATACATTTATATTTGATTTGATTATTATCTATTTTTTCTTTTTCCATACTATGAGTTTGTTCAATAGATCTATGTACAATTTTATCTTTTCTAATTAGGACAAAGGAAGAATCACCAACTAGACCACTATACATTTTAGAAGATAAAAGTTTTAAAATACAGATTGTAGAGGAGCCAGGAGTGCTGAGTGATTGAGTATATGATTGATCGATGAGTTCGAATGGTTTAAAACATGGATAATTGTTGACTAGTTTGTGAGAGGTTTTCATTAGACTACGAGAGTATTCGCCCGGATCGACACCCACCGAACGCCAACTCCCAACACCATCGGCGACACCAACCGCCGTATAATCTGCCGACAAAAAGTAGGAATCTTCACACATATTGGGTTGTTTGCCAATTGAATTGATCAATCCTTTGAAATAATATTTCCTCGTATTATTAATTACATTTCCAACTATACTATTTTGATTGTTTTGATCTGCTGACTCTATTAGTAAATTAATTATATTATTTATATTATTTTGATTATTATTATTATTATTATTTATATTATTTGTATTTGTATTTGTTGTAGTATTATTATTATTATTGTTGGCGGTGGTACTGATGCCACCATTTAATGTGAAAGTTAGTTTGATAGAAGGTCGACCATTTATAGTTAGATAAACAGTTGATGGATCGTTTGTCATTGTAGTATCGATATTGATGACTGATGTATTTTGTTGTTGTTGTTGATGTTGATTGCCACTTATTATACTACTGGTCAATTTACTTGTAGTTGGTGATGTTCCATTTAAATTTGTATTATTACTATTGTTATTGTTATTGTTGTTTGGTACCATTAATGATGATAGATGTGTAGTATTTGAGTGTAATAGTGGTGTAGGTGTAGTCGTAGTCGTTGTCATTCCACTTTGATGATGATGATGACTACCACTAGGTGATAATGGAACGATAGTTGTATTTGACCGTGTCATCATAAACGGTACAGTTGTTGTCGATGTTGTTGCCGATGCAGCAGCTGTCGCCGATCTACCACCAGATGCAGAGTCTACCAAACCACCAAGACTATGTTGTCTTTGAAGATGAGGTGGAGAATCCATTCCTTTCTCTCAATCTCTCTCTATCTATCTCTCTTTTGTGTGATATCTCTTTTATATTATCTTCTTTTGTGTATAACTAACTACTTTGAAACACAAAAGCAAAATGGTTGCAAAGATATGATTATTAAAAAAGAAAAAAAAGGTACCACAAATTTAATTTAATTTACTCTTTCCTTTCTTTTATTAATATTATAATAGCTAGCTATGACTAATCGTAATAATAATAATACTAATATAATGTCAATAGTAGAAGTAGAAATAAAGTTTTCATTCAATGAAGAGATTAAACAATCAATCATAGAGAGATGTACATCATTTGGAGGTGAAAAGACATTTGTTGACAAGTATTGGGATCATCCAACACTCTACAGTCTGTCTTTGAGCAATATATGGTTACGTCAACGTGATAATCGATGGGAATTAAAGATACCACCAACCCAACTACAAGATATAAATAATAATAATAATAATAATAATAATAATAACGACTATAATTCAAATCTATCAACATATCAAGAGATTGAAGATCCAAAAGAAATATTAAATGTTTTAGTAAACTTGAAATATTTATCTTCTTCTTCTTCTTCTTCTTCCTCTACTTTTACTTCTTCATCTACTTCTACTCCAGATGAAATATTAAAGAAAAGATTAGAGGATAGTGGGATGAAAGAGTATGCGACGATAAAGACGATAAGAACCAGCTATCTTTTGACAATCGAGTTGGATACTTTTACAGTGGTGTTTGATCAAACCGAGGGATCGTTGAACGATTATCAAGTCGGTGAGTTGGAGTTGTTGGTAGAGGTACCTCTAACTGCCACCGATTCAGAAAAGCAATCGGCGCATAAAGATGCCAATAACAAGGTACTACTATTGGCAAAATTACTTGGTGTCAACCAAGGTGACACAAACATGAAAAAGCAAAGAGCAAAGATTGAAGAGTATATTAGAATCAATTTACCCGACCACTGGAATGCTCTTGTCAATAAATTTAAGTTGCAAAAGTAAAGGAAGGATGTTTAGCATCACAGTGTGCATGTGTGCTCGCTCGCTTTGAACAAGTCGTCGATCTGCAATCAATCAATCAACCACATAAAGTTGTTATTGACAGTGAATAACAACCAAGTCTAATCTAGATTGTCAACGATCAATTAGCTGAATGGTCTAACGATGATCATTTCACTAAGTTCAGGTTGTGGTCACGTGAGTGACTCCACCAAATTGATTATTTTCGCGCGAGTCGACACCGTGTCAATCAAAAAACCCATTTTTCACTCAAGTAACGATCGGTATCCCGATCAAAAACCCTTCCCACTACCGACCGACCTCTGCAGATGTGCCACACACACAAAGGTTTAACAATATGATAATAATAATATCCCAATAATAATAATAATAATAATATTAATTTAATGACAATTCCAAAATACAAACATATAAATACTTGTGGTCCACAACACTTTTTAAATCATTCAATCAATCAATCAATCAAACAATCAAACAAACATATAATAATAATAATAATCTTTATTACTACAATCAATTAAAATGACTTCATATTCTCTCAATTTTAGTTTCACTCAGGCTGGTTTGGCTGCTATCGCCTCAGCCCAAGAAAAAGTCTGTGTAGTTAAATCTGTAAACGGTCAAGTCTCCAATGTTGTTTGGGTAACCTTTAAGCCATTTGCTCGTATGTATAAATTTATACTCAAAAAAAAAGATAATTAAATAAAACTATAAATCCAACTTTTTTTAATTAATCTATTTATTACTTTTTACATTAGAAAATCAAATCTCGTGGAAAGAGGAGTATGGACTCTACGCAAGTAGCACTCAAATCCAAAACGGTGCCACTATTAGCCGTCTTTCTACCTTGAAGGCCGCTGCCAAGGGACACCAATACCCATTCAACAGCTCTGGTTTCTTTGACCAAGCCGACTCTGTCTCTGTCACTTCATACGGTCTTGTCAACAACTATGGCGAACCATTGACCTTTGGTCTCACCCAATCAGCTCTTATCAACGGTGTCCAAGTCGACTCTGAATTAAATGCCACCACCGTCCTTGGAAACCAAACCGCTGAATACACTCCAATTGTCACACTCTCTGTCTTTGTTCAATCACAACAAAACAATGGTTCAGTCATCTCTTCCATTACCAGTCAATCTCTCACCCTTACCTATACCTCTGATACCACAAAGGCTGTCTTTTATGATGACAACTCGAATTCCTTTGTCGAGGGAAATCTTCCAAACTAAATCAAAATAAATAAATATATTATAATATTTAATAATAATCAATAAATTAATCATCATTACTCCTATACAAACAATTGTGTAAGAAGAGGTAGATCTACCTTTTTTTTGTATTCCTGAATCCGGAATGCTCAGAAGATTTCGGGGTTGCAGATTTTTCAAAAAAACCTAGTGTCTGAATTTTCGTCTGGAACCGCGCTTCAAGAATAAGCACGTTACTTTTTGGATTTCCATGTATGAGCGATACGAGCCAAGACTACTCATTCTCAGAATCAATTTCAATTCAATATAAATAGCAATGAAAATTCATCATTTTAATATCATCAAATTCAAAACAATACAATTAAACAAACAACAAACAAATAATTATTTAAATCAACTACTACTACAACTATTAAAAATGTCATCAAATATCAGAACAAACTTGGAAGCTATCATCAAGGGTATTCAAGAACACAAGATTCTTGAAGTCTTTGAAAAGTATTATCATGCAGACATTGTGATGTTTGAAAAGGGGGATTCAACCAATCGTATCGGAAAGGATGCCAATAGAAAGGCTGAAGAAGGTTTTGTCAATAATGCAACTATCCATGAAGCTAAAGGTATATTAAATTATTCACAAAACAATCCTATTCATTTTACCAATATTCTAATATTCTTCTTTCATAAAAGTATTAAAGGTTCTTGTCGATGGTAACAATAGTGCCTATGAAATGTATATGGACTTTACATATGGTGGTCACAAGGTTCAAAAGACTCAATGGGCTCTTCAAGAATGGAAGGATGGTTTGGTTATCAAGGAAGAATTCTTCTAAATATATATAGATAAAAAAGATATTTCCCCTGTACATTCAATCAAAAAGATTTATCTTGATTGTATAATAAATAAATAAATAAATCAATAAAAAATAAAAAATTTCATCAATACTAGTATTTTTCCCTCCAATTTTCTCAATCGATCATTTCTTTAAAAATAATATCTTTAAAATGGATATATTATTAATTAGAATTAAATTGTATATTAGGAGCAATACGAGGTTCGTATTCTAAAAAAGAAATTAATTAACCCAATTTCAAAAAACAATATCATTTTTTAGTGATCTTCGTGCACCCCGCACAAAACAGTATTGCGAACAGATCGGAGTGGTTTCAACGTGACAAGCAACCAACAACACAACGATGTAAATACCCAACAATATACCCAATCGAATGGGTTTTGTCAAGATCGTTTAGAAATGAGACCTATCACAATCGGGTTGGGAATCGGTTTGGTGTCTGAGTCGACTGTTGAAGGCCAAGTCTATCAAAGGTCAGCCTCAAGTATAAATAGAGGTCAAACAATACCTATTTCATATCATCAAATCAAATCAAATAATAATAATAATAATCAATACTACCTGTTAATTCAACTTGTTAAACTAAAACAAATCAACTTAAACTTCAACTTTAAAAATGTCCAACTATTCACTTAAATTCTCATTCACACAAGCAGGTCTTGCAGCACTTCATTCATCACAACAAAAAGTATGTGTTGTCAAGTCTGTCAATGGTCAAGTATCCAATGTTGTTTGGGTTACCTTCAAACCATTCTTGTCCAATAGTTTAGATTGGAAAGAGGAATATGGACTCTACTCAAGTAACACTCAGATCCAAAACGGTGCAACCATCAGTCGTATCTCTACACTAAAGTCAGCCAGCAAGACACACCAATATCCATTCAACAGTGCCGGTTTCTTTGATCAAGCCAATGGTGTATCTGTCAAATCATACGGTCTAGTCAACAACTATGGTGAACCACTTACCTTTGGTCTCACTCAATCAGCACTTATCAACGGTGTACAAGTAGACAGCGAGCTAAATGCCACAACAGTTCTAAACAACCAATCAGCTGAATACACACCAATAGTAACACTATCAGTCTATGTAGCTGCGTCATTCAACAATGGTTCAGTCATCTCTTCCATTACCAGTCAATCTCTCACCCTTACCTATACCTCTGATACCTCAAAATCTGTCTTTTATGATGACAACTCGAATTCCTTTGTCGAGGGAAATGTCTCAAATTAAACTAAATAATTAATTAAATAAATAAATATTTATTATTAATTTAGTTAAAATCTAAAATCCATATATATATATAAATATTTCAACAATATCAATTAATTTAGTTTGAATTATTATTATTTATTTATTTAATTATTTAATTTTGTATACATGTAAAATATTTACACAAATGAATTTACTTTTACTTTGAGTTTCATTTTAATTTAAAGATGGCATAACGAAATAACCAGTTGAAGAACCACCAGATTGAGAAGTTAATTCAAAACAGAAACCAGTAGTTTTGACCTTGTCGAGATTGACAATGGCAAAGGTTTGGAGTTCGAAATCTTCATTCTTGGCAGAGTAGTTTTTGACTGGGTACTTGGAGATACCTTCCTTTTTGGCCTTGTAAGCGAGTTGGTTGAGTACTCTTTGGTCGAAATAGTAGGTGGTGCTTCCATTAAAGTTGCAAGAGAGGACAACGTTGATTTGTTTGTAGTTGTCGAGCTTCTTGACAACGGTAACCCAACCACGAGCCTCTGAGTGGATATTGTCGACACTTTGGAAGTAGACGACTGGGTCGCTTTCGCCCACATACTTTTGTCTCCACTTGAGGGTGGCGAGAACTGGGTATTCGGTCTTGTTACGGTAGACGGCTGGCAAAGAGATGCTGTTTTGCTTGTCGTCGACAACTACGATACGGATCTCGAGTGGATCTGGTAAATGACGAGAGGAACGACGCATCTTGTCGGCGAAACGGTATGGCAAAGAGATCTTGGTGTTGATGGACAACTTGAAAGTGTCACGGGCATCGATTGGGATTGGAACAGCCTCCCAACGCCAGTTGTAGTTGTAGACACCATTCTTGACACCAAAGTAGGCTGGTACTGGTTGCCAGGTACCTTCCTTGTCCTTGTACTCGGCAGACACCTTGGTGAGGGTGACCTTGGACTCGGTGGTGTTGGTGATTTGCAAGTCGGTGTAGTAAAAGTTAGAGGTTGCGTTGTTTTGGTACCAACCGTGTTCGGTACGGATGACATCGACCTGTTCGAAACGGATACCGCTTGGAGAGGTGACGTTAAAGTATGATTCTGGGGCACCACCATTACCACCGTCGGTGGTGGTATAGTCCAAGTCATAGTCTGGGAACGATTCACCGGCCTTGACCAACTCGGGGAATACAACATTCTCTTCGACGGTAGTGTCATAGGCAGTTTGAACCAAAGTGACATCACCCTTTTCAATCTTTTTGTTGGCAGTCTTGAGACCGATCAACTTGATCTCTGGACGACCGGCCGACTCGACCTTGATCTCAACTTCAACTTGTTGGACGACCGAGTTGGCAACGACAAAGTATACCTTGGCATAGTTGACACCCTTTTCATAGAGTGCGACCAATTGCTTGCCGTCCTTGACAAATGCAGACAAATCAGAATAGTCAAACAATTCGAGTCTGATCAATTCCTTGCCCTTGTTGACTGCAATATACAAATTGTTACGAGTATTTGATCCAACTCCAACAGATAAAGTTTCATCATTTTCATAATTTACAACATTTACAGATTCAAATAATGTCTTACATAATCTAAAAGAAAAAGAAAATTAAGAAAGAAAGAAAGAAGAGAGAAAAAGAAGTATTAGTAACAATAAATAGTAGATAGATAGAGTCATTTGTAAATTCGCATACTTGTATTGTTCAGCCTTCCATGAATCAAAATCTACAGCTACGAGGTAATCATCGTCTTTGAGGATATCTCCAATAGCAGCATGTGGTGAGATAAAGAAACCATCAGATGTACGCAACTCTGAAAATATGAGGTCTTCACTGGAAGAGTTGTATGGAGCAAAACGTGTTGCAATGTCTTTGAGTAAACGACTAACCTTGTCGTCAACATTACCAGATGGTAATACAAGCTTATTGTCCTTCCATGTAATTTTGAATCTCATTCTATAGATAGATAGATATATGTATTTATGTGTATTATCTAGTTGATAATAATAATAATGATTGTTGACTGCTTCTTAAACTTTATTGTCTCAAGAACATTAATTGCAAATTATCAGATAAGTCAGTAAAAAAAAAGAAAATAAAAATCTGTCTCATTAGAGTTCTCACTTGTTTCTTGTTTGTCCAATTTTAGATTTTTATAAACCGACACGTTTGTATAAATATCTCATATCTTTATTATTATGACTCTAGATCACAAGTTTGTTAAACTATAGATGAGATGAGATCATCACTGACTGTGATGGTATTCAAACTTTAAAAGACAACGTTATCAACTATACCTCATAGGTTGTTTTTGGTAGGACTGGGAGTGTCCATATGATTTTTTGATAAATTGACTGGAAATGTATTAATTATTTTATTATTATTTTTTTTTTATGTACACTCTAGGGGCCATTACCATTCTTCTGGAAAAAATATAAAGATGGATTTTAAAATTTAAATAATAATATTATTATTTATGATAAGTTGTCAATAATCAAAAAAGTTGTTTTTTTTTTTTTTGTTACTATTTGTCATCTTCTTCCATTTGCGTAGATTCGTCTTTGTCCTGGTCTTGATCATCTAATGAAATATCATCATCATCATCGTCGTCATCACTATCATCCTTTTTAAAACCTTCAACAAGAGGTTGTAAAAGACGATTTCTAAAGAGTGTATTGACAACATCAGAAACACCACAAACTAAAGAGACTTTCCTTTTTGTTTCTTCTTTGTTAACGTCTTGGATATTAACTAATCCACATGATGATACTGAACTAAAAACATCGAAAAATTCGTTCCTATTTAAATCCATATGAAAAATGTCAATAAGAGTTTTTGATTGATGGTGTTTTCGTCTATTTTCTTTCCAAAAAAAATAATATTTGTTTTAAGTTCATTTCTACTTTTAGACTTACTTATTTACTGGTTTGATATTAATCGATTTACAATTTGATATATAATTTTGGTGTAACTATAAATTTATATGATTAATAATGACTATTTTACTTTTTTTTTTTTCTTTTTTTTTTGACATACAATAGTAAAAATCATTTCCAAAGGACATGATAATAAAGAAATTAATAAAAGTTGAGAATGAAGAGGTAATTGAATAATAGTATCAGGAAATGAATTATCAAAATAGGAATCCATAATCTTTGATACATCATCCAAAGTACAGATACTACCACTTTCTGGTAGTTTTGATGGATCTTCTCTAAATTCTATTCTTTTTTGTTCCAATGCAGTTCTACAAATCTCCAATGCCAATCTAATATCACCACGTCTCTTTTCTATTCTCTTTGCAATAAATTGTAATGCTTCATCTTGAAAGGCATCTTCATAGTCGTCTGTTACACTTTCTATTCTGTTTTTTAGAATTTGATAGATCTGATCCGACTTGTAAGCTTCAAAATTTAAATGTGCAGGTTTCTTTTGTTTCTTTGATAATCTTGGCATTGATTTCTCCAACAAGTCCAAGTCGTTGGCTATTCCAATCAATATTAATTTTGAATCCTCTTCAAATGGCCATTCAAATAATTTATATATTACTGTATTATGTCTTGAAATTAATGAATCTACTTCATCTAAAATTACACAACTTCAAAAAATTAAAAATAAATTAAATTAATATATCAAATCTATTTGTTTTGTTTGTTTTGTTACTTACAACATTTTTGATTCTTCTGGATCACAAATTGTTTGTTGAATTTTGGATACCATTTCACTTTGTCCAGGTGTTTTCTTTTTTTTTGGTTTACATAGTGTATTATGTAATTCTGTATATATGTTTGCTGGGTCTTGCATTCCCATACAATTGAAAAATAAAGTTGTACATTTCTTGGAAAAAAAATAAATAAATAATTAAAAAGTTAGCAAAGTAGTAGAGGGGAAACAGATAATTAAATATGTATCCACAATATATTATACATACCCTTTTAGGAATAGAGTTTATTCTATTTAAAGCAGTTAATGTTTTACCAGTACCTGGTTGTCCAGATACATAAAGAGCACTTCCTTGATTAGTCTTTATACAACCACTTATGAAATCACTAATAAACTTTTCTTCCTTGTGTCTAGCAGGCACCATATTGTCATGACAAATAGATGTATGCAATGAAAAGGCTTTGACCAACTCTACTAAAAAGTCATCTTCATCCTTTATACTCATTCTCTCTCTAGATACTCTACTACAAACTATGACTATTTACTATTGATTGATTGATTGATTGATTGAATGAATGAATGTATGTAAAGTTAAAGTTAAAGTAATTAAAGAGAGTTGACCCTGTTCGTAGTCACCCGACGACGTTGATTCACAAGTGATTGGTTGGTTGATTGAATTGATTAATGTATGTAGATAATACTATTAAATGTGTGTATATTATAATATATATAATATGTAATATTATTATATTACTATTGATAAAAAATAAAACTATAGTGTAATGCGAATGTTTGCTCGCTGCAGATGCGGCCAAAAATTAAATTAAAAATATTTTGTTTTACTTCTCTTTCTTTTTTTTTTTATCTTTGAATAATAATAATAACTACTATTTTATTGAATGATAGAATAAGATGATTTCTTATTATTTTTAGACAACTTTTTTAATTTTCTAGTTAATCTAAATACAAAGAAACCAAATGAAGGAAAGAGAGTGGTGATTGCCATGATAAAACCAGCCATGTAAGAGGTAGATGTAACAATGGCAGATGTAAAAGTACAACTAATAGAACCAGACATAAAGATGAATTGAGGATTCTCAACATCCTTTTGAAAGTCTATAAATGAAAAGATGGTCATCAGAGGAAATACAAATACAAGAGCCCAGAAAATAGTCATTGGTACCGAATGATTCTTTTTGTTCTTGGCAAAGCATTTATAGATAGAGATAAAGATGATGGCAACACCGCCGAGTGATGCTGATATCCACATCATGGCCGATAGGAATCTGGTCAATTCAATCATCTTGGACGGTGTAACAGAGTAAATGAGATAGGCAATAGCATTGAAAAACAAGCAATTGCCATCACCACTGGTCATGTTGTATTGTTGTGGTTCGAATGGTAGATCCTGTTGAGAGTATCCACAGTTGGTAACACCTGCTCCTGCCCAAGACCCTACCTCATCTTCTGTCACTTCATAATCTTCCAAAAGATAGTTGGTCTTTAAATAGATGGTTTGGTTATAGTTTGGATTAGTATATTGTCCTCTACAATACAATGTTATAGTTGATTCTGTTTGATACCAATAACCTATAGGTAAGGTACAACAACAAAAAAAATAATATTAAAAGTGAATGTGAAAATTAAGGGATAAGTATCTAAATCAGTTATTATTATTATTGTTTACATCATTTACCATACTCATGGCTGATATCGTAAACAAGACCGCTACTACACACACTGCTATAAATTCTATAATCACTATTTTAGAGAAATAACATCCTCCAACTTTTGATGAAGTTGTCATCTCTCTCTCTTCTTTTTTACTACTTGTAGATAGAGATAGTTTTATTAAATTATCTGTTGTTGAATGGGTGTATGACAATGAAGCGAGTGAGAGAGAGGGTGAACATCTGTGGACAAAGATATTTCCATTTCCTCCGATTCTCTGCCTACGTGGTCAATCAACTTTTTGCCCCTTTTTTTTTTAAACTATTGGGATAGATAGAATGATTGGTTTCATACTTTGAGAAAAGATGTAAGGGATAGACAACTTGCACGAACAACAAGACAAGATGATGGATCATCAATTCATTCGAGTTTAGGAGTTTCCCCTTAATTCATTTCAAAGGTAACAATCCCAAACTCGAATGAATTGATGATATCTCTTGCAAATACTTTTCCATTGATTAAAGATTCGAGAGATAAACCTAATAGTTTAAATTAAAGAAAATTGTTATTATTGTTATAATTGTTGATTAGTTTTTGATTGTATCAAAAGCTTCAACCATTTCGAGCAGAAGTTCTTGACCTCAAGATACCAAACAACCAATTTAATAGTTTGATGTGATCCTTGTTGAGAACCACTGCACGCTTGGTATCATTGTGAATCCAGTAATAGACGTTGTCAATGTGTACCACATCTTCTCTAATCTTCATCTTTGAAAACCAGTTCGATGTTGATACATCTTGCGATAAAGTGTAACTTTTGATGATTTCATTTAACAAATTACCAGACCACGGATTGTAAAATGAAGGAGTTCTTGAGAGATAGTCCGCCATACAATTCTTTTCGCCCTCAATAAATTGAGTTGAATAGTTATAACGGGATAAAAGATCACCCCATCGAACGTGACGACTATTACCAGAGTCTTGATATAGTCTAAAATGAACCATGTTCTTGTGATCGGTGTACAATATGAAAGGACGAGATCTAAGTAGATAGTCATACTTTTCGACTGCATGAACCACTGCCAACAACTCTCTATCCTTCGTATCATAGTTCTTCTGCGCAGAGTCGAACTTCCTGCTATCGAAAAGGATTGGTCGAAGACGCTTGTTATCGTCTTCTTGTGCAATCATTAGACCGCTGCCTACGTCCGACGCATCAGTATAGACATGAAAAGGACGGTCATAATGAGGATTCATCAATACCGTATCAGCGCAGAGTGCATTCTTTATGTCATCAAAATCCTTGATATCCGTTGGTGACAACTTTATCTTCTTCACTTTACCTTTAGTAAATTCCGACAGACGGTGAATTTGAGGACCAACATGACCCAGAAAATGACGATAAAAGTTGATGCTACCCAGAAAGCTTCTCATCTCGCTTATGGTTTGAGGAGGAGGCATAGTTAGGACGGCTTGAGCTATGTCATACAATGGCCTGATAGCTTTGTGACTAATCAGTGATCCCCCAAACGGAATCTGCTCGACGAACCAATGCATTTTAGAGGCATTTGCATAAACATAATTCTCTCTCATCGCGGTTAAAGTCTTATGTAACAATTTGACATGGAGATTGATGTCCTTTTTCATTGTATGAATATTGAGATCGTCGACGAATCTTTCGTAGTATTGTCGTTCTATAGCTTTCATAAGGATGGAACTAAACCATCTGTTGAATACTGCGGGTGCATTTTTCAAACCAAAGCACGCACGATTGTACATGTACTGTATACCTTCGAAAGAAAAGGCGGTGAATGGACGTGATGCTTCCACTAAATTGATTAAAAACATATTAATATGATTAAATGGTCCTAAATGAACAAAAGTTAATATGAGCTCATAGTATACTTACTTACCATTTTTTCGATATCAATACATTGTATGGTTGAAGAGGGCATCAGCTTGATGCCAGTTATGAGTATTTAATGTTTTGTTTCACTCATCTGTTGTATGACTCGATTGATATTATCCTATCTCATGCATGTTACATATATGTCTTCGCTTGCCTATCTCTACCCACTGAGTTATCTATACATCTGATATATGATAAATGTGTAACTTTCTTTTAACAAAGGGATTTGAGTTTCACAGGGAGCTTCTTGTCGTCCTTGAAAAACAATTAATTAATTTTTTTGTATTATTATTAATCATTTTTTAATTTATTGTAGTTTAAGTTTTGTTAAGGTTATATAGAAAGTAGAAAAAAAAAAGAAAAGAAAAGAAAAAGCGGTATATTATTATTATTAATTATTAATTATTAATTATTAATTATTAATTATTAATTATTAATTATTATTGTTTGTTTTTTAAAGTCTTGATTCATAAGCGGACCAAGATTGTTGACGATATTTAATAGCTTCTGATTTTGGATCGTTGGATTGGTAGATACCACGACCGACAATGATGACATCGGTACCCTTTTCCTTGATGACATAGTCTGGGGTGTTGTATTGTTGACCCATATTGTCACCCTTGCTATTGAATTGAATGCCTGGAGTCATCAAGACAAAGTTGTCTCCCATAGCCTCTAACTTTTCTTGGCAGATAAAGCCCAAGACAGCGTCGGCGTTTTGCTTGCCCATCTCGATCATTTGGTTTGTGTATTCGCCAACACACAATGATCCCTTGGACGACATTTGAGCGAGGATCAACAAACCTGCTCCTTTTTGCTTGAGACCGTCTCTAAATCCATCGATGATGGCTGGACCGGCAACACCATGCACAGTGACAGCATCGGCCCATTTGCTGATATTATAAACTCCATTTTCGTATTGATACTTTACAGTATTTCCAATATCTGCAAACTTTCTATCTTCAAAGATGATAAAGTTGTGTTTGGCAGCAATTGATTGTAATTGAGTGATAAAGTCTTGGTCGAAATCTTGGACGATATCAACATGTGTTTTGAGACAACAGATTTCGGATCCGATGGCTTCGGCGAGTGCGAGGATTTCGCTCTTGTTGACCAAGTCAACTGCGACGGCAAGGTTTGTCTTTTTGGATTCCATCAACTTGAAAAGCTTGACGGCAGCTGGGTTGGTGGCAAGAGTAACACGCTCGCCAAACGACTTGTGTACGAGCTTGGGTGCAACGGGCACCTGAACCGAGCGGTTTGCTTCGAGAAAGGCGCTGACGAGCTTGAGTGTCTCGCCGTCGAGTTTGCCAGCTTCAACAAGTGTGCTGATCAATTGTTCCATGGTAAAGATCGAGTGGAGACGTAATCCGTTGGCAGCGAGTGCTTGACGGGCACCTTGTTGACGATCGAGGAGTACAACAACGTCGGTGGTACGGAGACCGACCGATTTGAGGTCACGTACAGTCTCGAGCACCGAAGCACCGCTAGTAACGAGATCCTCAACGACGAGGACATTATCACCCTCTTTAAAGTGACCTTCGATGAGTTGCTTGGTGCCATATGCCTTGGCTTCCTTACGACGTACGACCATTGGCACATTATGAGCAATCGACATGCCAGTGGCAATTGGCAAAGCCGTGTAGGGTACACCGCACACGATGGTTGGCTTGTCGCTCGATGCCTTGACATCGGCATCAGCATACACCTTTCTGTACATCATATCTCCAATGGCAGCCAACAAGGGTGGTGAGCTAACAGTCACACGCAAATCAATATAGATCGGTGACATGATACCCGACTTTAACTTGAATTGTCCCAACTTGACTGCATTGATTTCATGTAACTTTAATACTAATTCCTTGATATCCATATTGTATAATATAATGACTGTGTCTTGTGTGTTGAGAGGCTACTAGTATGATGAAAAAAGTAAGTAAGATGAAAGATGAAGCAGACGAGTGATGCGATACAGTTAATGAACACACTACAAAAATAAATTTTAATTAAATTTCATTTTGTTTTTTTTCGGACCGACGCAGAGATTGATAGATATCTTTGAATGAAGCTCATTTGTAGTTTTAATGGATAAATGATTAAATGTTGAAAGATTCACTGTACACCAGAGTGTCAACCAGAAAAGATTTCTTAAAACATGCATCTGACAAAAGAGTAAGAGATAGTGATAAAGTAGTACGATCGATCATATGACTAACCTGTGTTCTTTTCAAACAAAAGATGGTGAACGATTATTGGTATTGACAATAATAAAACCAAAGGAGGCAGGTACTGAAGTACTTGACGCAATTGGTGTCGAGTCTTGTGCCAGCTATAAACCCGGCATGCGTATTGTGTGGCAACAAATCAAAGGTTACACCAAACATGATCATCGTGCATGTTTATGTTGTTGTGTTGCGTTTGGGTTTGTATCCACACGATATGCATGCTCTCATGAATGTACCTATTTTAATAGAGACATTTATGATTCTAATGTCAAGATTGATGGTTTAAATTAATTCTAATCTAAAAAACACAAAGGTGTCAGTGAATAATAAAACAACATCAAATCATTTTGAAATTCATCCATCCCTCCCTTCATCATCATCATCAGCTGATGATGATAATTATAATTGTTTGTTTGTTATTGATTAGAATTTATGTACATATAACATAGTTAAATTAAATTATTAGATTTGGTTGATTTGATTGTGTGGAATATTGAATATTATCGATGATGATTGGTTCATTATTATTATTATTATTTGTATAGAGGTACATTAGGAATGTGAATGATAGTGATTATTATTATTATTAATTATTAGTTATTAATTATTTAAATTTAGGATTTAATTGAAGATCTTTCTATTTGTTTTTGAGCATCACGTAATTTAAATACCAAGTCTTGTAGTTGATCCAAAGTGCATGCAAACTCTACTTGTCCTTTTTGACCTTCCTCCTTTTCAGTGGTAAGATTGATCATGTAGACGGGAGTGTTTACCTTTTCAATTGAATTACTCTTCATAAAGTAATCGAGACGCCAGTTGACATCGATGATATGTGGATAATGGAAATTGGTAATCGACAAGTATTTTCTAAGTTTGGTTCTATTGTTTGTGAAATATTGAATAATAACATTGATTCTATTTGATGTTAATTTTTGTTCTTCCAATATACTCCTACACAAAAGTAAATAAAAAAAGTGTAAGTAACCCTATCATCATCATATATAATCATCTTCTTCTTTGTTGTCTTACGAGATTGTGTCATTATCAATATTCAATTTCATAGATTCCAATATAAATGTGATTAATGCAGAATAGGTTTGTTTAATTGCAATAATATCTATTCCTTTTAATGATCCATTATCTAAAAGACAACACAATGTAGTTTGTTAGTTCTCTCTCTCTCTCTACTTGGTGTTTCTATATCTCTCTCTCTCTCTACTTGTGTTATCTTTAACTTTCATACAAGTAAGCGTTTCTTCAGTGTCAGTCTTTAGTAAAACAGCAAATGAACAATCTACAATAGTCTTGAATGCCTCGGTTGGTATAGTCTTTTCATCAGACAAGGCTTCTAATCCTTTGATGACATCTTCACTTAGATTCATATTCATTCTTTATATTTATATCTATACTATATATATTTATATATATATCTGTGATTATCTATCTATCTTATCTCCTACTAATACTAAAATTAAATTAAATGAATGATAATATTTTTTGCAGTGAAAAGTCATGAGAATCTTTAGATCATCAGCTTTATTTATCTAATTATTGTTGTTCATAATTATATTATATTATTATTTGAACCTTGTATATTCATGTTTATATTAACAAATGAAGTGAAAGCACTCTCTACTCTAGCTAGAGTGTACTTCTAATTATTATTATTATTTCTATGTGTATACCAAGTGGTAGCATTTGGTAGAGACAGATAGAATGATAACTCATTCACTTCAACTACCAAATACTTTCTCATCATCATCATTCTCATTTAAAAACATGTTGATCAAGAGAGAGATAATGGCTATCAGTATAGATAATATACCAATACCACCTGACAAGTATAAAGGTTGTGTTGGGTCATTATCACAGTATGTCAATGAAAACAAGTCATTGTTTGGTATACAAGAAGGTGTCATGTTTGATCTATACGAAGGTGACACTTTACTTGGTAATGTTACTCCTCTTACTTCACTTGGTCATGGAGTTCATTCAATAACTATTAAAAGTATGTTTCTTTTAAAAAAGAAATAAATATTTTATTTATTTCAACTTATTAATTTCTTTTCTTTTAATTATTAGGATTAATAATAAATGAAGATAAAATTAAAAAGGTATCATGTCAAGATTTTGAATACATTTCAAAATGGTTTAGTGAAAGATACAAGGTTAAAGATAAATCAAATAGTTTGACTGAAACCACATTACCAATCACTGATAGAGAAAAGGTATTTGATATGATTGTATCATCCACCATGAAGAGATATATGAATCGTTTGGCTTTTGATAAAAAGGATCCTCAATTTATTGTGATCTCTGGACCATTGGGTATTGGAAGGAGTAGAGTTTTGGATGAATTTGGTAAACATACTCTAGTTGATGGACTTCCTACTCAACAGATTAATATTAATCTGTCGTATGGACCAGGATCGGAATTTGGATTGATTGAACAGGATAAATCGGCTGCACAGTCTATTTCCCTTAGAATCCTATACCAGTGGTTTGGAGTGTCGGTTGGTGAAACATTTAAACAATTTTGTTTAAATCTATCCGACACTTTTGATTTGGGTACGATGGATATATTTTCAAGTATTTCAATCATTGCCACTTCACAACTCGCTACTTTGAATCTCGATCTACCAACCATGATCAATATAGGAGTTGATGATTTACAAAGGATTCCAAGGGAAAAGGTATACAGGTTACGAAAAATAATAGAATATTTGGCCGACCTTTTAGTCACTCCTCCTTCCTCGGTTTTATTCTTTAACATTTGTTTATCGACAACTGATCCTCAAACGGTTATATCTCATTGCACGTCTCCAGTGTTTCTTATAACTATACCACCACTTTCATTAGAGTCATCAGTAAAGTTGGTTCAACAACAATTAAATTGTACAGCTCCCACTCCAAATAATATCCTCAAGGCTATTTTATTCACTAGGGGATGGCCAGGCCCGTTGAGTATGGTGATTCAAGTTCTCAAAAATAGAAAGGATTTTCAAAGCGTCAATACATCAACAATCGTAGATTCAACATTGCTATTATTGCAAAGTGCTTATGGGTTTTCTAAAGCCAACACTACATACTCGTTATTGGTTGCGTTGACAATATCTGGACTCGCGGTCAAAAGAGATTTATCAACACTTCCAGCAAGGGACTGGGAAGATCTCAAACTATTTGGATGTAGAGAAAATCAAGTAACAGGATATCCCCTTATTTTTATAATGGCGTTTCTTCAGAATGGGAATCGGAATGTATACCCTCATGTGGAACCGATTTTTTATTCTTTAGAAGTCATCCTCGATCTAATTCAAAGAGTTTCTTTTGGACCACATGAATTCAAACAGTTTTGTTATCACCTTTTTATTGTCAAGATGTACTCTATTCACTTGCTCTATTGGCTTGGTATTGGGTTGAACAGACCATTGGCCACAGAGTATGAGGTTTCGATTCCTCTATCGGTACTCATCCTAGGACAAAAAGATACATATTACTTTTGTCAGAAATTTTCCTACAAAATACCGTTGATTTTAGTGGATCGCTCGGGAATGCCTCCTCTTAAACAACCAGAGTCCCCAAAAACACTCTTTCAAAACTCTATCACCCTCAACCAATCGGAATCGGAACTGGGTCTTGTTGTTAGAGGAAATTCTTCTTGTATAAAGGAGGACCACACAGATTTCCTTTTGTGTTTTCTCCAATTCAAACAAAACTCAGAGAAGGAAAGGGCAAATGAGTTGGATATTAAACAGATTTCATCAATCTCTTCATTGCATAAAACTATTCCCTCCAATTGTAGTATCCTTACACTTTCAAACTCATCGTTTTGGCTCATTAAAGGGATTTCAGACAATCACCAAATTTATATCTGTATGAACAGTACAGGTGCCAAGTTCTTTACTGTGTTTGAAGATTTTCTTGGACTATTGAATAAATAAATTTATTTGTTTTAACAATTTTAAAAATCATCGAATACTTTATCGATATTTATTTATATTTATTTAAAACAAGTTTTTTTGAGAATTTATTAATCGTTATTATTATTTTGTTGTTGTTGAGGGTTTGGGATCACATCCATTTCTATTGGGGGTTCACCATTTGGTCTGTTGGTTGAGAGTCGCTTCAAGAATAAAATGACTGCTATTACTATAATAGTGAATAGTAACACTGATAATACTACTGCCATGATTATATTTGTCCATTGTTCAGAAGAAGTCTCTGTACATTGATATGGCAGATTGGAGTCATCATCAAGAATGAGTCCGTTGAAAACAGGATCGAGTTCAACTGATTGACTAAACTGTGGGATATGAAAAGTAGTTAAAAGATTAAACCTTGGTTATTGATTTGTTGAGAGAATGTATCGTCTGCAAGAACTGTGACTTTAGATGGCATGGTTGTAGAGTTGTCCAAAATCATTCTACTCGCTATCTTGCAGTTGAGAAGTGTTCTTCCAACTTGAATTCGAGTCCATATGATTTGATGACCAGGTGATGCGTCACTCCCTGTCTTCATGACGCCACACTCGTCATATTCAACTGAATCTGATCTTGTGTGAAATATGACTTGTAGAGTGTTGTACGGCGATGACCATACCCAGTCAACGATTGTAATCGTATATTTGAGAGAATTTGATGGCATTTGCATATCTTCACTGGCAAAGGTATTGATGGTGGTATTATAGAATTGACCAATTTTGATTTGGATCTTGGTCGATTGATTGTTGATTGTACCATGGAATATTGATTCATTAAAAGATGTCAGATTATCTTGTGTTTGATTGACTTGTGTCCAAGATACTGAATCCATCGAAATTGATCGAATGATTGATCAATTTCTCGAATGATTTGGATTCCAGTCGTAATAATCTCCTCGCATATATCATATCCTCTTGTTTTGGAATTCATCAGTCGCTTTCAAGGTTTGGTGTCTTGATATTAATGAGTATTGTTATTATTAATTTTAATCACTCTTTACTGTACTGTAATCTGAATTGATAGATTGCTGTCATTGTGTATGTTTGCTGATTGTTGTCGTTGTGTTTTAACTATCGATAGTAGATACTAGTTTGTTTATACAATGATGATGATAAACTCAACAACATGTTTGTATGTTGTTACACCTTGATAATAGTACAGCAAATACCAAGTATTAGAAGAGAAGATAGATACACAACATGACCAATGAAGAGGAAAAAAAGTCAAGGTAATTTTAGTAAAATAAGTAAGTTACTTTAAATTTATTTATTTATTTATTGATTAATAATCAACAATTCTCTAATAATGGGTCATAAACAATACCACATTGGCAACTTCCAACAATCAGATATATATACAGACTTGTTGATTTGAATAGTTGTGGAATGAGCGAATGATCTTCTAATGACGGTCGATATTTTTGACTTTGCCACCAACCTAAATTGGCAATGTATTTGCCTTGGCTGATTGCTTCTTGATGGTTCTTCTTCTCTTTAATAGAATGACTATCAATATAATATAGAACAATATTATTGGTAGAGCTATTGCAAGGACGATGATTTGCCATTGTTTAAATCTTAATTCTTGTGTACATTGACCTGGCACATCGGTTTGAGTATGAATGGAACCAATATTAAACAATAAAACCATTATTACTATTATTATTAAATGTGACATTGTTGAATAATATTATTTATGTGTAGTAATTATCTCTTCTTTTTCTTTATAATTGTTATAGTTTACACATTTAATTTTGTCACTTTGGTATTTGTTGGCTGATTAATCATTTTGAGTGATTGCCTCTCAAAAAAGATCGATTTATTTTTTCGGAAGGTGGTTTGTATTGTTGAGATAAAAATCTCATATACATCCTATCCTCTCTCCTTCGAGATCAGTAGTTATCTTTATATTTTTAATTGTTTTGTTATATATATCTATATGTTGTTATGGTTTTTGATATTTTAATTTATTATTATAGTTATTTAATTATTTATTATAGTCAATTTTTTGATAAGATGATAAAACATAATGATAATTATTAATATTGAATAATGTTGTTTTCTCAATGACCAAAACCAATGACTTGTTGTTGAGACGTTTTAAATGTCTTTCGAGAATGCCAGTGAATGTAAAATCATCGCTGGCTCTAAAAGCAACCTTTTCGATACAAGGACTCTTTGCAATGGCCTCCAAGAGTGGTTCTAGATGTTTTCTTTTTTCTTTTTTAAAATCACTATAACAACCATAACTACTAAAGGTATTGCAAAAGTCGATCGATTTCAATGAACTGCTACTCGACATGATCAATGGGATGAGGAGGTGAATATTACCTACATTTGTATTGAGTCGCAAAGTATGTAGATTGGAGAGTGGTCCACTGTACTTGAAAATACTCTCCATTCCTACTATTCCATCGGAAAAGGTATAATTGAGTTCCAATACCTCGATTGATGGTGGTACCAATGGTCTCTCTTTGATATGGATCATAGAGCAGCTACATAAATAATCCAAGTAGGTTTGAGTGTACACCACCCCCACTGAACTTGAATCTTTCCTCTTACTATGAGATCGGTGATGGTCGTTGGTAATAGGTTGAATGGATATGGTGTACTTTGTTCGGATCGGAAATACAACTTTGTAATGGTTCGAGGTATACTTGAAAATACTCGACCCAAGTCGATATTATTACGTTCATTATTATTTAAATCCAAATGCAATGATTCGAGTTGGTGACAACTACCCAATACTCTACATATCTCGTCGGTTGATGTTTCTCTCTTGGCACAATGTCAAGCTGTTGTAAATGTACAAATACATCGAGTGGAGCATAGGTGATAAAACCAGAGATCTTGAATTTCTTGAGTGTTGGTATAGGTCTCTCGATCAAAGATGTCCATTCCGGTTGGCTATAATCAAATTCTAAATTGTCATTGATCTGGATACCCGACACTTTGTTGTTGTTGACGACCTCTTCTCTAAACCACTTTGAATTGGCAGCAATGTACTTGGTGTTGGTATAGTCTATATCTTGAATGACGAATTGAATGTTGTGATTGGCACTTGATAAAAGACTGAGATTGTGACGACTGAATCGATTGTACTCTTCAAGTGTCTTGCCTCTTGAAAGATCGATAGTCCAAGGAGATGTCAAACAAGCAGCAGTCAACTGTCTCCATGTTTTTGATACACTCGCCAGTGTATACATAAATAGATCTTGATTGGTCACTTCTTGTTGTTGATATTCATTCTGTCGATGACTACACAACAAATAAATAATCTTTGATTGCACTGTCAATGGTAGAACGACACAACTACTACTACTTTTAAAATAACTATTATTACTTGTTGATTTAGTTGCTTTTGCTCTTTTTTTATCTCTATTCTTTCGTTGTTGGTCTAGTAATGTACTGATCATCGAAGATTTAGATGATGTCTTTTGATGATCGCGTATCAATCTTATAGAACATATGATTCTCAGATCTTGTTTTTGCATACTCTCCAACTCATCCTTTGTTTTTGTTTTCTCCCTCTTATCCTTTTCATCGTAATAATAGTCATCATCTATATTTTGACTCATCTATAATAATATATATATATATATTCTGAATGAATGAATGATAGCAAACTTCTAGTTCATACGTATGAACTACTATAAGAAATATTTTTTTACCTCTCCAAGTCATATAACACATGTAACCATAAATGCATGTCATTGATCTGGATACCAGACACTTTGTTGTTGTTGATGACCTCTTCTATAAACCACTGTGAATTGGCAGCAATGTACTTGGTGTTGGTAGTGTGTCAATATCTTGAATGACGAGTCGAATGTTGCGATTGTTGATATTCATTCTGGCGATGACGACACAATAGAAAATAATCTTTGATTGTACTATATATATCAATGGTAGAACGACACAACAACTACTACTACTATTGAAATAATCATTATTATTATTACTTGTCCGGACGGTTCATATATGATAGTGGGATATAGCAGTTGTTGAATTGATTGTAATGTATGTTGAATGAGATAGATTGTTGCTTGTTGTTGATGAATTGATTAAGTTGATGAAGTTCTTGCTTCATTTTTTCTTCCATTGAATCTTAAGACAAAGCAAACAGTATTTGATTTTGATTTTAAAAGACAATAGACCACCAAATTAATTTTTTTATTTTTTTTCTTTGTGTGATCTTCAAGACTATCAGAACTATCTTCATCTACAATCAAAGAAAAAAGAAAGAGAGAGCTAGAGAGATCGGCGGTTGAAAGAATGCTAAGATCATAAAAACATATTAAGATCATGATGAGCTCAATGATCATATTACATATTTAAACAGAAGAAAATGTATTCTTTTGTATGCATAAAGAAGCAACAGGATTGAAATAGAATTATTTATTTATTTAACCTTTAATCTTTATAGAGATATACTGTTCACATCTGATATCTTCGACATTCGTCTGAAGACATTTCAACTATTCATTGGTAGAATTAAACTAAATTAAAACAAAAAGAGGATTACTAATCTTTTTTTTTTTTTTGTTTCAGTCAGTCATTCATTCATTCATTCATTCATTCATTCATTCATTCATTCATTCATTTAAATTTAATAATGGATAAAGACGAAAGGATATTTCGTTTAGAACAGGAGCTTCTACAATTCAAGCAATTGTTAATGAATAAACAATTAAATCAAACAACTCAACACCAACAACCAAATCAATCAAATTATCCATCAAACCAACAATATCAATATCAACCACAATCGAATCAATCAAATTATCAATCAAATTATCAATCAAACCAACAATATCAACCACAGAACAATTTAACAACTTTATCAATCTCTTGAACATTAGCGCTTTTTAGGATCGTCAAGACGTTTGGTGAGACCAAATATTGGAAATATCAAAGTGGAGAAAGTACTAGAGTCAATCGATACCCTTTCAAGTTGAATCAATTGATTGTTCTCGTATGCACTCTATATTTGATCGATCAATCATTTGATTCAACTTGAAAGGGTTTGGTTGCTTCTTTGATCTTATAATTATCGTCGTATGTAAATAAAAAAAATCTTCTTTCAAGGTTATAATAATACAATTTTAATTTATTTAATTTATTTATTAAAGTCAATTATTTCAAAAGATGATAAATCATAATGATAATTATTAATATTAAATAATGTTAATTTATCAATGATTAAAACCATTGATTTGTTGTTGTTGTTGAGACGTAAATGTGTTTTGAGAATTGGAATAAATGAGCTGGTGCCCTTGAAGTAAACCTTTTCAATACATGGACTCTTTGCAATTGCTTCCAAGAGTGGGTCTAGATGTTCTAGGTTATCATCTCGATAATAACTACCATAGGTAGACCAAAAGTCGATACATTTTAACGACCTACTCGACAAGATCAATGGAATGATGAAATCGATGGAATCTACGTTTGTACTAATTCTCAAAGTATGTAGATTGGGGAGTGGTCCACTACGCTTGAAAATACTGTCCATCACATATGATTGATTCTCATCGTGCCAGAAACTAGTTCTGAGCTCCAATTCTTCAATTAATGGTGGTACTAATGGTCTACCCTTGATTGCGATTGTTATTGTTGTTAGTACTAACCATATTAGATTGAGATGGAGATGTTTGATGGGTGAAGAAGGGGATGATAAGAAATCAGCACATTCCATTGATGGTAGTCCGTATTGATGTATCTTACGGACTGACGAGTTATTGGCTAGTATATAATCATAGTATATTTGGTTACCAGATTGCCTAGAATCCCATACGATCAGATCGGTAATAGTATTTGGTAAAAGGTTGAATGGCATATCGTGGCAAAAGCGACGTATACACAACTTTGTAATCTTTCGAGGTATACTTGGAAATACTGTGTCCCAGTCGATACCAACGTCACACTGTCTTGTCGTATCCAAATCCAATGAATCGAGTGATTGACAATTGTCCAGTATACAGCAGAGCTCGTCGGTTGTCGTTTCACTGGACTGAATGATAAGTTCTTGCAAGTGTACAAACAAGTCGAGATGAATCACTTGCAAACTTCCATAGATCCTTAATTTCTTGAGTGTTGGTAACGGTCGATCGATCAAGTCAATCCATTTGGGTGGTCTGCCATCACATCTGTATGCACTGATCTGTATGCATGATGTCTTGTTGATAACGTCTTCTATAAACCACTTTAAATTGGCTTTAGAATAGATAATGTTGGCTTGTATCTTTTCTGTCGGCACAGATTCAGAATGGTCATCTATGAGTTGAATGTTGTGATTGGCACCAGATAAAAGACTGAGAGGATGGCTACTGAATCGATGGTACTCTTCAAGTGAGTGTCTCCCAAGACAAATGTACCAAGCAGATGTCAAACAGGCAGCAGTCAATCGTCTCCACATTTTCGATACACTCGCTATTGTAAATACAACCTGATTTATCATATCAAGTTGATATTCATTCTGTCGATGACTACACAACAGATAGATAATCTTTGATTGTATTATCCATGGTAGATTAGTCATGAATTATCTTTGATGACTCATCAAAGTAATATATTTAATATGAGTGAATGAATGAATGAATGAAGTTTTTGATATACGACCGACGGATATTCTTTTATTTATTTATTTAATTAATTTATTATAATCAATTATTTCAAAAGATGATAAATCATAATGATAATTATTAATATTAAATAATGTTAATTTATCATTGATTAAAACCAAAGATTTGTTGTTGTCGAGACGTTTTAAATGTGTTTTGAGAATGTCAGGGAATTTAGACATAGAATTGTTTATAGTTCTAAAAACAACCTTTTCAATACATGGACTCTTTGCAATTGCTTCCAAGAGGTTGTCTAGATGTTCGTCTGCGTCTGGGTTACCATTTCGGTAATAAGTATAGGTATCACAAAAGTCGATGGATTTCAATAAACTACGACGCGACATGATCAATGGGATGAGGAGGTGAATATGATCTGCCCTTGTACTGATTCGCAATGTATGTAGATTGGAGAGTGGTCCATTGTACTTGAAAATACTCTCCATTACTTGGAATTCATTGAGATGAAGATCAAGCTCCAACACCTCTATCAATGGTGGTATCAATGGTCTCTCTTTGATTGAGAATGTTGGTATACCAGTTGGAATGAGATGGAGGTAGAGGTGTTTGATGGTAGATGAAGGGGATGAGAAGAAATCAACCCATTCCAGAGATAGAAAGCCGGTTTGAGAGATTCTATTGATCATAGAGCAGCTACGTAAATAATCCAAGTAGGTTTGAGTGTACACCAAATTTAGATGTCCTCTTACTTTGAGATCAGTGATGGTCGTTGGTAATAGGTTGAATGGATATGGTGTACGTTGTTGCGATCGGAAATACAACTTTGTAATGGTTCGAGGTATACTTGAAAATACCTTGTCCAAGTCGACATTATTATTATCAATCAAATCCAAATGCAATGATTCGAGTGTGTTGCAGCTATCCAATATACGACATATCTCTTTGGTTGAATTTTCTTTTGGAGTAATGTCAAGCTCTTGTAAATGTATGAGCATGTCAAGTGGCACCAAGGTGATACTGGTACAGATCTTGAATTTCTTGAGTGTTGGTTTAGGTCTCTCGATCAAAGACGTCCATTCCGGGTTGCCATGACGACTGTCATTGATCTGGATACCCGACACTTTGTTGTTGATGACCTCTTCTTTAAACCACTGTGAATTGGCAGCAATGTACTTGGTGTTGGTAGTGTCAATATCTTGAATGACGAATTGAATGTTGTGATTGGCACCTGATAAAAGACTGAGAGGGTGACGACTGAATCGATGGTACTCTTCAAGTGTCTTGCCTCTTGAAAGATCGATAGTCCAAGGAGATGTCAAACAGGCAGCAGTCAACTGTCTCCATGTCTTTGATACACTCGCCAGTGTATACATAAATAGATCTTGATCGGTCACATCTTGTTGATATCCATTCTGTCGATGACTGCACAATAGATAAATAATCTTTGATTGTACTATCCATGGTAGATTAGGATTGACATTACTACTATTATTATTATTATTATTATTATATGTTGATGTAGTTGCTTTTACTCTTTTTTTATCTCTATTCTTTCTTTGTTGGTCTAGTATCATCGATACCATCCAAGATTTCGAAGGTGTCTTTTGAGTGAAAGGTATTGATCTTATCGAACATATGATTCTCAACTCTTCTATGAGCAGTCTCGTCAACTCAAACTCTATATATTGCTTCTCCCTCTTATCCTTTTCATCATAATAATCGTCATTATCTATTTCTTGACTCATCTAATATTCTTGAATGAATGAATGGTCTTCACCCTCAAGCTCAAACAGCTTCAAACTTTTTTTTTTTAGTATTTATTTTATCTATTTTTTTTTATTCAGAGACCATCAACATTGACATTTAAATGAATGTATGATGATTGACTAACTAATGCTTCCAAATTCTTCCTCTCAATGTGTTTCAAATAATGTGTCTATGTCGACATTGATTTCAGAAATCTACCAACAATCTTTGCATCGTCTTTCCATGATGTCAAGTTTTTAAACCCGGTGAGCAATACCTTGACGATTGATTGATTGAGTGATCGATCTTTTATAATGATCGATGTTGGTTGGGTATGGTTTCGACCAACTTTGTTGCATTGTCAACACTTTTTGTGAGGAATCTGTCCATGATACGGATCTTTCTGACTTGATTGAATAGATCGATTGGTGTAGTTTGGTCTTCTTCTTTATGATCGGCTATAAAGAATATTGCTTGATCTTTCTTTCCAAACCTCTCTAAAAAGTAGCGTTCGTAGTAGTCTAGGACAGTCAAAGTGGTAGGTCTCTTGATGATACAATACTGGTTGTTGATATGATTCCACATTTCTTGAGTTGGTCGCATAACAATATCGGTAAAGAGGGTATATGACACCAATTCAAACATCTTCTTTGATACCAATGCCATTGACTGTCGTTTCCATCGTTTACTATCCGGTCAACGAGGTTACGATTGCTGATAAAGTTGATTGACGGTGTGTACTCCATATCATAAAAGTATTGGTGTGCAGGGCACATATCTTGTCGACGAGGCAGATGTTGTTTGATTTGTGGTTGCATTTGAATGTATACAGATACTTTTACTTCCCTTTTCTCTCAATGAGAACTTGTCACGTTCACAAACCAGATCTCTTAATCGATCACTATACACACATGTACAAATACTTGAGCCAATCGATGCCAATACTAATATTCTCTTGATGGTATACCACGGTAGTAGTGCATATCCAACTTTTAATGGTGTTGTTGTATTGTCATTATGTGTAGTTGTTGTCGTTGTTGATCTATATCCAATACCATCTTTTGTTCATTTGATTTACAAATACGAGATAAATCAATCTCCCTCAAACGAGATATCTCGTATACATCTTGTTGATGGTCATCTCTATTTCTTTTCTTTTACTCATCATAAACTCTGGTGCTGATGAATAAATAAATAATTTAAAAATATTTTAATTTTATAGAAATCGCAAGGGTGAATTCATTTCGTTGTTGAATATACTTTATTTTTTAAAGTTATGTACAAACAACAAACAAACAAACAACAAACAAACAAACTTGATGATGAAGAATAGTCAAACAACATCAGACATTACACATGAGTATGATTTCAAACGATGGTCACCCGAACATGTAAAATAATGGGCTACAAAAGAAGTACAAGTGGATAACGATACACAGAAACTCCTTGTATATATATATATATAATAAAGTAGATGGAAGGAGTATAGCAGTGTTTACAGAGGCTCTGATTTTATTAAATGCGGCATAGTCGTAGCACCCGCAAAGAAGCTCTATCTGGCTGCTCAACCCCACGATCGTCATGAAGTCTTGTTATTCGTCGGTTTAGGGCACCCTCACCATCAACCACTGGTTACTACTAGTATTAATCACACACTAGTATTCGTGAACTCACTCACCTCGTCAATAATAATATAATTATTATTTTTATTTTTTATATTATTTTAAAACATTTTCTATATATATATAAAATATTTTATATATTTTTTACTCACTGAACCATCAAGTTCTTATAAAAATCATTCCTTTTATTTATTTATTTATTTATACCGAACCCTTTCTTTATCAGCTATTCAGGCTTAAGCCTTACCACCCATTTTCGTTTGTTCAGTCTCTAAATCATTTCATCTTCTTCCACAATGCAAAATGGTATGGTCACATAACAAGCATATAAATTAATATTAATTGCACATTTACTAATATTGACATTTATCTTTATTTTGACAGTTGTTTGGGTCTATTTCGAAGGTAACAAAGCTGCTTTCGAGCATGATGATCAAAGCGATGTAGGGGTTCTCAAGAACAAGTTTGGTCTTTTCTTTAGTCAGCCTCGAGATTCCTTTGATATCTATTTGAACGATGAAAAAGTTCCCTTGGATCTTTCAAACTCGATTTGCCGAAAGATTTTAAACTCACAGTTAGATTAAAGGAAGACCCCCTTAAAGGTAAGACCCCCCCTCTTGATATCACTCCGCATCCCTTCTTGGATCTCATAGACTTACCTTTCCTTTTTTTTTTCTTATTCAGAAATCAAGAAATTACAACCAATGGCTGGACCATTTGTTGATCGATCGGACTATCTAAAAAAGATGGCCGAGGTAGCGTTCAACAACTATCAGTACAAAGGAGTGCCAAACCAGGATAAATTACATGTATTTACTCTTATTGCTGGAGGCTCTGGAATAGGCAAGACAAGAGCAGCTTCAGAAGTAGCACACATTCCCAATTGCATTATCCAAAGTGTATCCAAAGACCAAGTGTTTGTTTCCTCACTCGAGTCACCTGTTTTTATCTCAATCAATCTAAACAGCAATGGTACCAACTATGACAATGTCCTGGACGACCCGAATACTAGAGATTCCGTTCGGATCGGGGCAAGATTTGCATATTCAAGCGGTATCTATGGTTTTGGATCGAGTCGTTCGGTTTTGGACCGCGCTGATCATCTCAAATATACTTTTGCCTATGTCTTTCAAGAAATAAAGAAACAACTGACCAAACCGAACGCGGTTATCATCCACATCGACGAGTACCAGATATACATTGACAAGTTGGTGATCAACCAACGTCTCACTTTGGAAAGCGCAAGATCTCAATTTAAACAAATGCTCCAAGAGATTGCATCGGTGATGAAAAGTGAGACAACTCATTACATTATCCCCATATGCACAGGAACATCCAGACATGACATCCATTTCCTCAAAACCGAGTACGGACAGAACAACGTCTACCTCAACCCACTAGTATCAATAGATGAAATAATGGACTTTTACTTTGCCACTGGAGAGACACCCAAAGAGAAACAAGATAGATTGGAGCTGCTACATTCATCACACTTTAAAATATCGCTATCTGATACTGGTTATATTGCACGTGACATGATCATGCTCTTGCAAAATACAAGTTCATATCCAACATCTTTTGCAGAGCAAACTTACAAGACCGTGTGTACAGGTAATCTCCGTCCAGAAGATACTACTTTGCAGTATTTATGTGCACTCTCCATGTCAAATACCCCAGTACTTCTACAAGATATACTCCCAAATGGTCGTTGATTGTTTAAATCCGACACCGGAAGAGACCACCTTTGTCATCTACACACCATTCTATCTTCTCAAATGGTACAACAGCTGTTTATCAAATAAACTATTTCCTCCCCATTTGCTGTTCCTCCCCAGTGGAAAAAGAGGATGGTTTTGGCAAGATCTTGGAGATCTGCTCTATTATTTTATAAGAGTTCTTATCAAATCCAATGCACTCTTAGAGAAACCCATTACCATTCAAAATATCTTTAGAGGTGCTATTGGATTGGATACTCTTCCAACTGATCCTCTCTCATTCTACCCCAAAGATGTAATGTATACCAGCAAAAATCTAGAATGTTAAAAAAAATAATCTATTTATTTAAATATGACTAACCAAACAGATCACTTTTCATTAATTTATTATTATAGATTGCAGATGAGGTACATTCAGACATTTCTTCACTCATGGTTGATATTGGGAAAGGATCGGTCGATATCACAACATTGCCGTTTATTCTTCGATGCAGTACTAATACCAAGTCATTTGATTATCGATTTGCCATCAAGTTGCAACAACCCCAACAAGGAGAAGTAACCTACCTTGTTTATGTACAAGTCAAACACTCGCATCTCGAAACAATAACATCGACATCATACAATGAATGGCTACGACTCGCTCTCAAGTGGTACTCTGACATCAAGAATGTTAACCCTCCTGCTCCCCTTCCCAAGAATAGAAGAACTCCAGTGGTGCAAAAAGTGTACTCCAAGATAATGGTTATCGTCACCAATCGAGTAGTTCCCAATGCTCAAGATTTAAGTTTGGATTTTTCCCAAGAAGCCCCTGGTCACCATCTTCTCATCATTCACAGGGACAACCTCGCCAACTTTCTCTCTCCAACCTTTGCGCACAGAGGTCTTGTCTCTCATATTTCTCAACCACCAACCGCAGTTTATAGACCGACGAGCACAATTTTTCAATCTCAAATGAACCATACAAATCATTAGATTTTTAGGTTTAACTATTCACATACTTAAAAAGCAACAATACATCTATCATCTTTAATACTACAACATATAATATAATAATTAAACTTTATATTCAATAAATTTGAACAAAAAAAAATTATAATTAAAAAATAATCAACTTGAAAGAGGTTGTTTGAAAGAAGATCAAATCAATAATTCCAACATGTATGTACAAAATAATAATAATATATATATAACCCAATTCTTTCAACAAACAACAATATATAAATAGGATTGCATATATGTGTAAATGCATTAAGAGGTTTAAATTAATTTTTTATAATTAAGTTTAGAGTTTAATGGACTGGAGCAGAAAGTGGAGGAGGTTTGGCATTTGGACCCATTTCTTCCATTTGAATGGCAATATCTTTTGGATAGTTGAGACTGAATGGAAGCTTAAACGAGACGATGAACAGCATGACTGCCAACACTGCAAGCAGTACAAACAAAAAGTGGTAGTCGAATGGGTAAAAGAGATCGTGACTGACCGTGTAGGCCAACAAACTCGAACCAATAATCGGACCAAATGTTCTGGAAATGGAAACCAAAAACATACCGATCGAATTACACAGACCCATGTCTTTGGGTAACGCTGAATTGCTAATCATAACAATGATGGTGATAAAACTAATCTCTGATGCAAACGATTGCATGAGATAGGTTGGGAAGAGGAGGATCCAAAAGATGGTTGGGTGTTGAGCAACGGTCGATCCAACCTTGGCAATGGTGAATCTTGAAAGTTCTGGTAAAAAGATCCAAGCTGGCAAGACAATAAGTAGTGATAGACGGAATGACTTTACCAGACCGAGCCACTTGGCAATCGGTGGAAAGACAAACGTCTGGATGAAAAAGGCAAATATACCAGCTGTACTTTGTAAAATACCAATATCTCTACTACTAAATCCATATCCTCCACCTTCAGGTTCTCCTGTATTTGGATTAATTGTACGTGTAATTGGTGCAAATCTAAATGAAAAAAATATTAATATTAATATCTCTGCGGCTCTCTTTTTTTTTTTGTATTTTTTTTTTTAAATTTTACATACACAGGGAAACCTTCTTCAAAAATAGTAAACATAAAACCTAATAATGCATAAACTAGACATGAATAGATGACTGGTTTATCCTTGATGAGTTCGTATACGCTACGTGGGTTTTCAGACAAATCTTCGTCTTCACCGTCGGATTGCATTTCAATGGATGATCCGAGTTGTGGGAGATCGTCGGCACGTTCCAAGTCGGCGTCGTCGTCAACGCCATCTTCGTCTTGGATATTTCCTCCTCTTTCTTTGGTGTCCAACAAGTTGAAAGTGCCCATTGTCGATCTGAACAATGTGCGCACTCTCTTGCTGAGCTGCTTGATGTGTCCGAGAACACCCGAGGTGTTTGTGCTGCTGGTGCCGCCACCAGCTTTTTGTCTGTACTTTTTGGCCAGAGATAAACTTGACTTGCTATACTTGATCGTAAACGTCTTGGATTCGGCCAAGTAAAAATAGGCCAATACAAATCCAATAATTGAAAATGTAACACACATTAAATTTGGTAACATGTATGGGAATTTGCAAAAAATCGATGATGATGATGTAATTTGATTAGAACCAGAGTCAGCAGATGAAGACATAATATTCTCTTCTTGATCAGGATCAAATAATCCAGGATACTGTTTACAAACATTTGAAAAGAGACCACCGATTAAAGGAGCGACGATACCTCCAATACTCCAAGACAATCCGATAAATGAAAAGGCACGAGCTTGGTTGGTACTATCTGTAATCTCACCAAGCATCGTTTTGGATACCGCCACATTGCCATTGATCAATCCCGACAAGAAACGGAATGCCAGTGCCATGGGATAGTATTTTGAAAAGCCAAAGAAAAACATACATGTCATCGACCCCAACAATCCAATCAATACCGATGGTCTACGTCCCTTATAATTTGAAAACCATCCCCAAAAGAAACTTGAAAATAATTGTGATGCATAATATGTTGATGCTAAAAATCCAATATAATATCTTAAAAAGAAATAAGGTTAGCTAATTTACATTTACTTTAATCTTTTTAATTTTCTTTCATACCCTAATGTTTTCTCTTCAGAGGTTAGATTAAAATCTTTTACCATTGAACTAATGTATGGGAAAATGGCCAAAGCATTGATTGCATCACACAACATAATGATAAATATAGCAAATATTTTCATCTTTGGAAGTGGTGTAACCTTTTTTCCTCTTTTAATGGAACATTGTCTTGTTCTTGTTCCTCTTCGTTGTCTATTTCTTGATTCTTCTTCTTGATTAATGATTTCGGAGAAACACCGTTTTCATCACCACTGTCATCACCGTGTTGATCAGAAGTAATAATATACGATGCTCCTCCTATTCCATCTTCATCGACGATTTGTAAATCTTGAAATTGACTCGTTTCATCATCATCATTATTGATAATGTCTTCTGATTCTTGAATTGTCATTATTATTATTGTTTAATAAATAAATATAGATCTCGTAAAAAAATATATATATCCTTTTACATATAGTTTTTATCTGTATATAGGTAAATATGAAGAGATTGATGATGATGATCTGTAAGTGAAACCTTATTCCAACGACGAGTGAATGAATAAAATACGAAGATGAGAAAGAGAAAAGAATGCTAACTTTACAACTTATTGTTGTTGTTGGGAACACCAACAGTGATCAATGATGGTCGGAAAGAGAGAGGAGCCTCTCTTTGGGGTTATATCATAAAATCTCTCTTTAAACCAAACCTGCAAAGCAAACAAACGTTTGGTGAAAAAGAACGCGCAAGTGGTGCAACCAGGGGGAGACACACCGAATTCGTCGATGGCCCCTAAACTCGAGGGAGAATTGCGTATCGATTCCTTTTTTTTTTTTTTTTTACAACAAAAGAGTCGCTACAGACCCAAAAGAGGTCATTATACTTTTATACATTGAGACTGTTATTTATAATATTATAGTTTATTTTATTTCAATTTCTAGAAATGGTCGATCTTTGTATTGAACAAATACTTGAAATTTTTGTTCTGCATCAAGGGAAACGAGAAACTTGATACCATGTCGGGGATAAACTTTCTTGGTTTCCTTTATCTTTTCTTCCATGTATTCAATCTATATAAAGAAGGAAAGAAAGAAAGGGATTTCATTCATTAATTGTCAGATTATATGTAAATAATATATAATGATTAGGTAGTCCATTCATACCCTTCCTCTTTTTGTTCGATACTTTGAATAGAGACACCAAACTAGAACCAAAACAAAGATAAAGATGCTTGCAGCAATACATATATAATATTTTTGGGAGGCCGAGCCAACAATGACTAGAATAAATGCCAAAAAAAATCAATATCACAAATATTACATAGTAGGGTGGACTTGAAAGTGAAGCTAATTCTGATTCTTCGATATCGTCAATATACCGAGAACTCTTTCTGGGTAAGAAGGTGTTCAATCTCTTTGGGTAGAGTTTTGATACAACGTAGTTTTCCTCTACCTGGCACTCCAGACTCTTTCAATATATCTTTGTCAACTAATTCCCTTTTAATTTCTATTGTTTTTTCCATTATTATTATTATTATTTATTTGTAGTATAATAATACTACAAAAGTTATTAAATTTATGTTATATCTCAAGTTGAAAGACATTACATATATTTAATATTAATACCCAAAAAAAAAAATATTTATTTAAATGGTTGGATTCCCTTAAATCCATACAAATATTGAGTGAGGGGATGGTTGAACCAGATAGAATAGAAAATCATAGAAAGTGTAGGATACCCCCAGAGTTTGTCGAGGGAGATGATCATCTTTATGGTTTGTTATTTTCACCAATCGTCTGCAACTAATACCCTCCATTTATTCATTTGAAATCTAAAGAGTATATAGCAAACCATAACCATGGATGGTCAGGTTGATGGTGATTATGATGATGATGATTTTTTTGAAACTTTATTTGTAATTGGTTGTCTAATTCATCAGTCAATTAATTAATTAATACTTCTAAGACTACTATTTTCTGGTTTGTAAAAAAAAAAGATTAAAACTGTGAATGTATATTGAAAAACTTTTTTTTGTTTGATGTCAATGATCAACAACAAAGATACGTTTTGTATAGTTAGAATTATAGATAGATAGACATATTCATAACAACAAACAAACAAACAAACATAGCAAGCAGGCATAATCAACCACAACCACATTCATTAGAGAAGAAGACTTTTTGAAAAGATCATCATTCATTCATCAAAACAACAACTTCAAATTATACATTCATTGACTTTTTATCTTTAAAAGATTCAAAGTTCACCTCAACCTATTTATTCACACAAACGCAGCAGCAGAAGCATATACACACACACACACAACTTCATAATAATAATAATATAAATATCACAGATATAGACTTACGACAACTACTACTAAACCAGTAGATTACATGTATACACATATTTCTCTTACTTCTTCTTCTTCTTCTTTTCCCTTTTATTTTTGTATATAAAACTCTTATTTCATATTATATTGCAATAGCATCATCATCATCATCATCAACATCATCAAAAGAATAACAATCATCATATCATCACTATAGTAGTCGACTGAACACCAAAGGAAGAACTACAATCATGGTGGACAAGAAAAAAGTAAAGGCTAGCAGTAGTAGTAGTACTAATCCACAACAGCCACAAGGAGGAACTCCAAAAGTACAATACAATAACAATCATCATAATCAAAATAATAATAATAATAATAATAATAACAATAATAAAACATATATAAATGGTAGTAGGCCATCATCTAATAATAATAATAATAACAATAATACATCTACTTCTACAACAACTACGACTACTGCTATAACACATACACCAAAATTAAATATAAGACAATTAAACATTACGAATAATAATAAGACTAGTAACATAAACAACAATAACATCAACATAAATAATAACAATAATAGTATTAATAATGTCATATATAATAGTAACAACAACAATATATCATCAGAAAATAATGTACAGAATAATAAATTAGATACAATAACCATTTTAAATCATACAAGTATAGAACATCAACAACAACAACAACAAGTGACTGAAAGTAAACCATCAGAACAACAACCATTATTAGAACAACAACAAACATCATATGTACCCCAAGATATCATCATTGATATTATCGATTCACATTCAAATATTTCACATAACAATCATCATCATCATCATCATCATCATCAACAATCAGATTCTTTAATCCCATCTCAACAACAAGAACAACAAGAACAAGACAGCAGTAATACGAATAATATAATTGAAAATAATAATAGTAAACAACAACAACAATATTTTAACAACTATAATAATACACAAAGAGATAAATTATCAAATATAATAGTTCGAAATAATCAATCAGATATAACCAATGAAATTGTACAATCGATTTCAAGTATCAAGTTTGGATCATTTACATCCGAAATATGGGAGCAACTAGAGATGACCCCTTCATTTCAACTGCCCGAGGACTTTTCTTTTCTTTCCATCGACACTTTAGAAGACCCGTTGATGCGTATATTTAACCAAGAACAACAGCAACAACAACAATACCAAGATGAACAATACCAACAATACCAACAAGAACAACTACAATATCAACAACAACTACAATTAGAAGAAGAACAATATCATCAAGAACAACGACAACATTATCACTATCAAGATGATCAAAATAATATCCCCGAGGAATTACAACCATTATTATTACATCAAGATAATGATAATAATAATGATGATCAAATACAACATCAACAATCACAACAACAACCATCGACCAATTTGAATGAAGATAATAATATATCTTCAACTTCTACTCCAACACCAATTATTACTTCTACTTCTACTTCTTCTTCTTCAACTTCAACAACTTCTGTTTCAAAAAAGAAAAAGAAGAAAAAGAATAAATCAAAATCACCAACTACTACAACAGCAACAACTATAGCCACTACTACTACTACAACTCAACAACAACAAGTATTGGCTCCAATAACCAATAATAATCCAATATTGGAACCAACAACCATGGCATCAATGATAGCCAATGTTAATCAAACACCAAATACAAATGCACCAATTCAACCATTGTCACCAAAATCTACAAATGGAAATGTATCATCATCTTCTTCTTCTTCAAATACTACAAATACTAGTACGCCTATTAATTCACATGTACAAAACAATACAGCTCCACTTTCCACCACTACTACTACCACCAATACAACAGTCACACCAATACCACCAGTGACCAACAATTTGGCCAATTTATTGATGCAAATCCATAGTACAAGCACAACTGCCAACACTGCAACCAAACCACCAACACCTATATCCACTACAAACGGTGCCTCTAGCGCCATTCAAAAGAAGTTATCTTGGATTAGAGGTTTTGATGAACACATTTCCAAAATGAAAACTTTACCCTATCAAGCAAAGGGTATGGTAAATACTTCAAATACTTGTTTTATGAATGTCGTATGTATAAAAAAATATATTGGTAAAGTTTAATATTTTAATAGTTGTTAACTCTTTTTGTTTATTATTATTATATAGATCTTACAATCATTAATTGGATGTCAACCATTTGTAAAGTTATTAAAATCAATTTCAGATAGTGAAGGTCCAAGTCAAACAAAATATCCAACTTTACATCATTTGTAAGAAACAACAATAGAACAATTGTTAATTATTACTATTGTTTTTTTTTACTAAACTTTTATATTTCCTCTTTTTTCCCTTTTAGAAAACAATTTCATGATGATTATTTTTCAACAATACAAGTATCAAATAATACAAGTAAATATGTTAGTTCACCTCAACCAATTAATCCAAAATATTTTGGTGATATCGTAAAGTCATTTAATTCGAAAATTGCACCACCATCTCCTTCTCCAATCATCCCATTCTCTGTACCCATTTCCAACAAAAAGAGAACAAAATTGACCATTTATGAAGCCGTTCAACAACAATCATTGAATAGTTGTCAACAAGATGCTCAAGAATTCTTGACCTATTTTTTAGATTTAATTCATGAAGAATTTGTTTCCCTATTAAGTATGAAAAAAAAATAGATAATCTATTATAACGTAAATGATATTAATTTTCCTTTTTTTTTAATTTTTGCAGAGGAAATTGAAGGACCAAAAGAAGAAAAACAAATGGTTCAACCAATTTTAGAGCCAACCACCAAAGATAATGATGGATGGGAAATTGTTGGTGCCAAAAACAAAACCTCAACAGTCAATGACCATACCACCAATCTAAATGGTTCTCCCATTTCACAAATATTTTCTGGTACCATGAGAAGCAGTGTCAATAGATCAGAATCTAAAGAATCTGTTACTCTTCAACCATTCTATTGTTTACATCTTGATGTTAGAGTATGTCGAGAAACAAAAATATATTTTGAAACAAAAGTTTCAATGTATTAACTCTTTTTTTTTTCTTTTTCTTTTCTTTTTTCTCTTTAGCCTGAATCAGTTCATACATTAGAAGAAGCATTATCATTATTTATGAAAGAAGAAACATTGGAAGGATATACATGTTCAACCAAAGGAGTAGAAGTGACAGCGAGCAAGAGTATGTCGATTGAAGTACTGCCAAAGATCTTGATAGTACATTTCAAGCGATTTGCATACGACACAGAGGCACAAAAATTAGATAAATTCATCTCATTCCCAACCACCTTGACTCTCAAATCCCACAACTCCCACGCCCCACCACCATCACAACCACAGACATTTGCCAGTACCATCCTCGCCGCAGCCAGCGCCAAGAAATACTCGCTCCTCTCTGTTGTCAGTCACCATGGAAAAGGTTTATCACAAGGTCACTATACCTGCGATGTCTTGCAACCGAATCTTCAGTGGATGAGATTCGATGACGCACTCGTCTCTGAGATTACCGAACAAGAAGTATTGAATCGTGAAGCTTATTTATTACTTTACCAACAAGCTTAAACAAAACACAAAACAAAAAATAACTAAAATAACCTAAAACAACCAAATATAATAATCATATACCAAATAATCAATCAGAGATTCATTACTTGTTCATTCAAAAATAATAATATCTTTCCAAAACACCCTCCCCCTATAATAATCAATAAATTAATCATCATTACCCAAAACTCTACAAACAGTTGTGTCAGAAGACAGATCTAATTAACTTATCTACCTTTTTTTGTATTCCTGAATCCGGAATGCTCAGAATCAGTCGGATTCAAAAAACCCACCTGAAAGAATTTTCGTCTGGAACAGTGCTTCAAGAATAAGCACGTTATATTTTGGATGTCCATGTATGAGCGATACGAGCCAAGACTACTCATTCTCAGAATCAATTTCAATTCAATATAAATAACAATGAAAATTCATCATTTTAATATCATCAAATTCAAATCATATACAAACAACAACAAATAATAAGTATTTTGACAACAAGCTTTATTAAAAATGTCATCAAATATCAGAACAAACTTGGAAGCTATTATCAAGGGTATTCAAGAACACAAGATTCTTGAAGTCTTTGAAAAGTATTATCATGCAGACATTGTAATGTTTGAAAAGGGGGATTCAACCAATCGTATCGGAAAGGATGCCAATAGAAAGGCTGAAGAAGGTTTTGTCAATAATGCAACCATCCATGTAGCTAAAGGTATATTAAATTATTCACAAAACAATCCTATTCATTATAACAATATTCTAATATTCTTCTTTCATAATAGTATTAAAGGTTCTTGTCGATGGTAACAACAGTGCCTATGAAATGTATATGGACTTTACATATGGTGGTCACAAAGTTCAAAAGACTCAATGGGCTCTTCAAGAATGGAAGGATGGTTTGGTTATCAAGGAAGAATTCTTCTAAATAGATATAATATATTCCACCACAAACCTGTACATCCAATCATTAATAATATCTCCTTGATTGTATAATATAATATAATATAATAAATAATAATTTTTACATCCAATTTTCAAAACTTACAAGTTTTTCAATTTAGATCATACACATTACAATATCATCGACTCTTTTTCTTTGTACAAATTTATCTATTACCAAATAATAATGGTTGATCGTTATGCAATACATTATGAAAACATATTCATACAATTAACATTAGAATGACACATAATACAGATCAACACACCCCAACAACACATCGATAAAAATGACAAGATTTACGATACTAACTAATATTGGACGGACACATATAAAATGAGTAAATATCCATTCAATTCAATATAATAAACACTGCTATTTGGAATACAATTATTTATTCATTTATTTATTCATTTATTTAGTAGTCTCACTTTCTTGAAGAATAAAAAGAATAATGGATAATAACTCAACTCAACAACAAATATTAATAGATAAGGATTATTACAAAAGACAAATAGAGTTGATTGAAATCACTCAAGGAGCATATCGAGCACGTTGTCTTGAATTGGTGACCAGACTCAATCTTGCTGCATTGTTGGTAGATGAAAAACCACATACTGTTGATGAATTGGCTGAAAAGATGAATGTCGATGCTACAACATTACATAAGATAATGCGCGCACTTTCTACCATTGGAGTATTCAAACACCACGATCAAGTAGATGGTGTGTCATCTAGAATATTCTCTCAATCGGATTTGTCGAGAATGTTGAATGACTCTTGCACCAAGGATGCCATTCTATTCAAAGGTGGTGATTGTTTGTACAATGGTTGGAATGATATTGGAGAAACACTCAAAACTGGAAAAGCAAGTGTATGTCGCAGTTCTCTTGGAAAGGGGTATTCTACTATATGGGAATACCTATGGGATAATCCAACGGAATTATCTCTCTTTGAAAGAGGAATGACTGGATTAACAACTCCACTCTTACCATATTTCCTTGATATGGCTGACTTTTCAAAGTTTAAACTTGTCGTTGATTTAGGTGGTTCTCAAGGAATGTATGTAATCAAAACAAAACAAACAAATAAGTATTTATTTATTAATTATTTATTATATTATTTAGAATGATACAAGAAATATTAAAAGCAAATAAAAATATTGAAAAGGGAATTAATTTTGATGTTCAAGAAACGATTGATAACAATAAAAAGTTGGATCGATCAAAAGTAGATACAAGATTTAGTGAGGTGGTTGGATCATTTTTTGAAGAGGTTCCAGTTGCCGATTGTTACACAATGTGTAAAGTCATTCATGATTGGGATGCTCACGATTCAAAAAGAATTTTAGAAACTATTGGTAAATCAATCAACAAAAATGGAAAGGTCTACATCTTTGACTTGATCCTCGAAAAGGATAGAGACTTTTATACCTATAGAACTTGGATGGATATTGACTTGTGGCATGGTTGTAATGGTAGACAACGTACTGAAAAGGAATACAGAGATTTGGCTGCATCTGCAGGTTTCAAAGTTGATGCTTTTGTCAAAGATTATTTAATTATTATGTCAAAGATTGAAAGCAATTAAAAAAAAAACAAGATTATTTTAATAAATTAAATATATCTATGATCATCAATAAATTAATCATCATTACCCAAAACTCTACAAACAGTTGTGTAAGAAGAGGTAGATCTACCTTTTTTTGTATTCCTGAATCCGGAATGCTCAGAAGATATCGGGGTACAGATTTTTCAAAAAACCTAGTGTCTGAATTTTCGTCTGGAACCGCGCTTCAAGAATAGGCACGTTACTTTTTGGATGTCCACGTATGAGCGATACGAGCCAAGACTACTCATTCTCAGAATCAATTTCAATTCAATATATATAGCAATGAAAATTCATCATTTTAATATCATCAAATTCAAATCAAATACAATTAAACAAACAACAAATAATTATTTTAATCAACAACAATAACAACTATTAAAAATGTCATCAAATATCAGAACAAACTTGGAAGCTATCATCAAGGGTATTCAAGAACACAAGATTCTTGAAGTCTTTGAAAAGTATTATCATGCAGACATTGTGATGTTTGAAAAGGGTGATTCAACCAATCGTATTGGAAAGGATGCCAATAGAAAGGCTGAAGAAGGTTTTGTCAATAATGCAACTATCCATGAAGCTAAAGGTACATTAAATATTAAATATTCATCACAAAAACAATGATTTAATATTCTAATATTCTTCTTTCATAATAGTATTAAAGGTTCTTGTCGATGGTAACAACAGTGCCTATGAAATGTATATGGACTTTACATATGGTGGTCACAAGGTTCAAAAGACTCAATGGGCTCTTCAAGAATGGAAGGATGGTTTGGTTATCAAAGAAGAATTCTTCTAAATATATAGATATAATATATTCCATAACCTGTACATTCAATCATTAATAATATATCCTCCTCTTGATTTTATAATAAATAAATAAATAAATAATATATAATAAATAAATAATAATTTGTATCTCTACCTATTTTTGTTTGTGTTGTTTGTTTGTTATTAAATTTATTATTACTACTCTATTTTTAAATCATTAATTGTTCATTTGGTAAATTAACTATTTGTTGTGGTTCTTCTTCTTTTGGTTGGTCTGCAGCTGATGCATCTGCAGATGATACAGCTGATGCTGAAGCAGGACATTTGAACCTGCAGGAATATTATGTTAAGTCTGTATTCTTCGATCATTTTTTATCCAATTCTCGAGATTCATTGTAACGACTGAGATATAGATTCAAACAATACTTTTCAATCTTTTTTTGGAAACCCAACGCTGAAACCAACAACTCTACGTTTCCAGTTTGTGTAAAGCAACACCAATTTGGATTCTCTGGATGTACAGTGTACACTGTGATATCCTCCATCTTTGCCTTGGTGTTTAATGTTTCATTGATGGTTTTAATCGTAACCTTTCTATTTGCTCTATCAATCGTTGCTTCTTCAATAAAATAGGAATATTGTAATCCAAATAACTATGTGAAAAACAAAAAAAAAGAAAAGGAAGATATTATATTAATTATCTGACGTCACATGTTTTTCATAACTACACGTGATCTTGAACGGTCATCTCCTTTCCTTTCCTCTCCTCTTTCTCTCTCTCTTTCTTTGTTTCCTTACAGATTTTAACCAGCCTGGAGCATCAACATCCAACTTTGTTCTTCTAAATACTGTTTCAGTGCCATCAGGGTTTTGTTTCTTTTCGATGACTTCAGAGTCTAGAATGTATGGAAATAGAGGATGTTGTGGGAATCTACTCCAATATACGTCCAAGTACATTTCGACTGAACATTCGTATGTGTATGGTTCAAATGAATGTGTTGCTACCATTGTTGTGTTTGTATGTATGTGTTAATTTGTTGTTACTGTCGTCGTTGCGTTGAAATAAATAATAAATATGTACAAGTTGTTTTGTTTGTTGTTGGGTTGTGGTGGTATTACTACACTTTTTAACTGTTGCTATGCAATGAAATAATAAATAATGATGAATGAATGAATAAATAAATAAATATTTAGGAATAAATAAATAAAGAATAATTGAAACCTAGAAGGGTGATGTGATTGATGATGATGACGATGAAAATGAATCGGTGCGTTAATAAATAAATAAATAGTTTTCTTCTTCTTTCTTGAGGTTATTTTTATGAATTCAGTTTAAAAGAAATGGGAAGGGGTGTTGGCAACAAACACGACCGTGTGTAGCAGACAAGACAAACAGACCGGTTTGATTGATAGACACTGTTTGTTTGTTTGTTTGTTGGTGTGAGGTAATTGGTGGGTAATATGTCTGCTTTAATTCATCTTTAAAAGAAAAAAAGATTGTCTAACGGTGTGTGTCTGTTCGTGTTTCACTGTTGAGTGGGTGAGTGATAGGTAGATAGACTGAATTAAAGTGTGAGGTTAGCTAAATACTATAATACTACTTTTTACAACTGTTTGTTCAATCTTGAATGAATGATAGCAATGAAAGAATGAATGAATGAATGTGGTTGTGAAACCCTCCTCACAGAACTAATAAATATCTAACCTTGATAAAAAAACAATAAAAAATAAAACAAGTAACATCTTCACACCACCTCCATGAATTAATTTTCATAGTCTAATGTGTATGTACGTTTGCTTTTGCCTTTTTTGAACATTCCCCCATTATAGTTTTTAGAACTAACTAAAAGAGATAAATTAATTAATTAATTAGATAATATATATATTATCTAATAGTATAGTATAAGTAACATAGAGAATGAGTAGATTTAAGAAAAGAAATAATAATGATAGAGAAATATTAGATGTTGATGGTGAGGAACAAGAAGAAGATACAACTAGTACTTTTGATAGTGTCAATGAACAAGATACATCTACTGCTGCTGATGCTACACCACCAGTTACAATGAAAAGAAGAGTAAAGAATGAAAATACAGAAAGATTAGATGCACTTGTTCAACAGTTTATGAATGAACATAATACTAGCAAGAAAAAAGTAGAGGACATTGAACAGTCTCATCCATGGGTAGTCTATCTTAAAAAGAAATTGGAAATGTTATTTTGGATTGGTTCTAGTTTATACTTGGGTCATTACATTGATTTTATAAATGTTATTCTTTATAGTTCTGAAATCAATAGGTATGAACTAATTCAAACAAAGATGAAGAATATGAATCATATATGATTTACACTTACACTCTTTTTTTTTTCTTTCTTTTTTTTTTTTTGTTTAGAGTATACTTTTATATTAGTATAGCGGCATTATTATCATTCTTTTCAATTTACATTTATATTACCTATATTTCTAAAAAGGGTGGAGGCAAACCAGAGAATTGGGACAAGTCACATCCCAAGGCAGTACCATATGCTACTATTTGTTTGGTCATATTTACATTTGGATTTATCATTGGGTGTTGGAACAAATGGGGATTCTTTACACCTGGAATTCTTTTTGTATTTTTAATTGGATTATCTTATCTTGTATAGGATAGAGAGCGCAACTTAACAATATATCGATCATATATTATAATATATCCTCTCCTTTTGCCACATATATATTTTGGTAGAATAATGATTTAATAATCCAACTATGTCAGTTTACATAATAAATCATTCTTACCAACAACCATAATAATAATATTATTATTAGTTTATCCAAATATTGTAAATATTCATTCCATTTATTTATCTTCATTATGTCTAATCATCTTGTTATCAACTAAATTTGGTATTTCTGAAGCTAACCATGGAGCAAGCTAAAAACAAATAATTATATTATATATATATAAGTAAAGAGGAAAGATGGGTATTTAACATTAACATACACCTAAAGCTAAAGCATGGGCAATACCAAAATGAGGAGTATTTTTAGCCCAGAGCGGCTTAAAATGAACAGTCAAACAAATCTTTCCACCTCTATACATCTTTTCAGTTCTATTCTCTAATTCTGGTATAGCAATTTCAGGTGATGTATCTGGATATGTAATTGGTGTCTAAACATAAATGAATGAATGAATGAATCCATAGATGAGGATTAATATTATATATTTCCATTGATGGTATAGTGATTGGTTGGTTGAACTTGATAATTATAACATACATCAAATTCAAAGTCGAATTCATATTTTCTAAATTCATAGATATACCAACATTTTCCTGTCCATCTAAAAAAGAGTAGTGTTATTATTATTAATATCACATAGTAGTGATCATATATATATATACAAACCTTGTACCCAATGGATTCGATTCAATAGTAAACCAATCATTATCTGCTTGTTTGTTATTTTCTAAATACTGTAGAGGATATAGATGATATAGATGAGTATGAGTGATCAATCAATCAATCAAATGATCAATCTCTAAATACTTACAGTGATGAGAGCTGTATATTCCTCTTTCAATCTTTCAATCCATTTATCACCATCTCTTGGTCCAGCTTTAATCGATAACAATGGTATCTTTGCTACTGTTCTCTTTATTTCACTATCCATCTTTTCTCTCTCTATGCTTCTAAACTTTATATTATTACAACAATGAAATGAATGAATTCAACAATGAAATTAGATAACTTGAATTAATTAATTTAATTTCATATTTTTAAAGTTTCAATCAATATCTTATTTGATCAATACCAAATATTAAACTTAATAATAATTGTTATCTATTAAAGAATGATTTAATCGGTTCATTCTTGTCTATTTCTTTAGATTGTTTTATTTATTAATTTATTATTTTTTTTTTGGTTTTTTTACTTTCAAGACGACGATAATTGAAAGCGAATCATCGCTCACTACTACATTTTAATTAACAATTAGATTAATCTCTATCAGCGCAATACAATATATATATATATACACAATTATTTATAACAAACAAGGAGATAAGATAGAAAAAGAGATAGAGATTTAACAATGCCTTCTATATCTCCAAATGTACTTGCATCATTGCAATCTCAAACAAAGAATATTAGAAATATTTGTGTTTTGGCTCATGTAGATCATGGTATTTATTTTATACAAGGATTAGATTGGTTTAGTTAGTAAATACTCTAACATCCATCCCTTTCTCTAATCTAATTTATTTTATTTTAGGCAAGACAACATTATCAGATTGTTTAATTTCATCAAATGGTATTATATCACCACAGATGGCAGGTAAATTAAGATACCTTGATTTCTTGGAAGCAGAACAAGAACGTATGATTACAATGAAGGCAAGTTCCATTTCATTGTTGTATCAACAATTACAAGATGGTCAACCATCCAACTATTTGATCAATCTCATAGATTCACCGGGACATGTAGATTTCTCGTCAGAGGTGTCTACAGCCGTACGTATTACAGATGGTGCTTTGGTATTGGTTGATTGTATCGAAGGTGTTTGTATCCAGACACACGCCGTTCTCAGACAAGCCTACCAAGAAAAGGTTAGACCATGTTTGGTCATAAACAAGATTGATCGTCTTGTCACAGAGTTGAGTATGACTCCACGAGAAGCATACCAACACATCAAAAAGGTGATTGAACAAGTCAACGCCATCACTGGAACACTATTGTCAGAGGAAGTACTCCTCAAGGAATTCTCAATCAATGAAAAATTGGATATCAACAAGTCATCATCGGTTGAATCGACTCAAGAAGAAGACGATTCAGTTCAAGATCTTGAAGATCTAAAGGAAATTGGTTCGGATTATTATTTTTCACCTGATAAAGGAAATGTAGCCTTTACTACTGCTTTTGATAGTTGGGGTTTTACAATTAAACAATTTGTTGATCTTTGTCATAAAAGTAAAATAGAAATAGAAATAGAAAAGATAGATATAAATTATTAATACATTTTATTTATTTTTATAATTTTTTAGAGACTGGAATTAAAAAAGAAATATTATCAAAAACATTATGGGGAGATTATTATTATCATCCAAAAGAAAAGAAAATTTATAAATCGCCAAGAGGTAACCTTACACCAATGTTTGTTACTTTTATTTTAAATTCAATTTGGGAAGTTTATAAAACTGTTTCAAATGATTATATGTATGTTTTAAAAAAAAGATAATTACGGGGTAATTACTCTACTATACTTAATAATTTTTCCATTTATTTTTAGTGATAGAGAAAGATTAGATAAAATTATAGCAATGTTGGGATTAAAAGTACATCAAAGAGATTTGGCATCAAAAGAACCAAAAATTGTGTTGAGTGCAGTATTACAATCATGGTTACCATTGTCAGATGCAGTTTTGGCAATGGTAGTTGAAAAGCTACCAAATCCAATCGATGGTCAGGCATTGAGAATGGACAAGATTTTTAAACCAATCGATTCAAAGGTCTCGTCACCAGAGGAAGGTGAGATTAAACAAAAGCAAAAGGAAATGATCGAACAAACCAAACAATGTAATCCTAGTCATGATATCGATGTGGTTTCCTATGTCGCCAAGGTATTTGTCAATGGTGACAAGGGTGTAACTGCTGCTGTTCATAGACCTGTTCCACCAAGACGTGTACAACCTTCTGCTGTTCCAAAACAACAACCAACTACTACTGAAGGAACTTCATCAGATTCAACCTCAACAACTACTACTACAACTACTACACCAACTCCTGCACCTGCACCAACACCAATGATTAGACAACCATTGATACTTAGACAACCAATTCAACAACAAGAAAAAGATACAGATGATTTTATTGCAGTGGTTAGAGTATTTAGTGGAACGTTGAGAAAAGGACAAAAGGTGTTTGTTATGGGTCCAAGATTCGACCCAATGAATCCAACACATGACGTACAAGAGATTGAAATCACACGACTCTATTTATTGATGGGTCGTAGTTTGGAGCCAATTGACGAGGTTCCAGCTGGTAATGTGTGTGGTGTTGGTGGTGGTATTGGTAGTCTTGTGTTAAAGAGTGCCACTATTTCAACCTCTCTCAAATGTCCTTCGATTGCAAACATGATGTTTGTGTCATCACCAATCGTAAAGGTTGCAGTCGAGCCAGAAAACATTAGTGATATGCCAAAGTTGGTACAGGGTCTCAAGATGCTCAATCAGGCCGATCCACTTGTCGAAGTGTATGTACAGGAATCTGGTGAACACGTTATTGTGGCTAGTGGAGAGTTGCATCTTGAGAGATGTATTAGCGATCTCAAAGATTCATTTGCCAAGATCAATGTCATTGTCTCTTCACCCATCGTCCCATTCAGAGAGACTATTGTCGAAGTTGACCCTATCAAGGGTGCAGCCTCGCCGCCACAAGCAGAGGTCATTCGACAAATGACAGCCAATAGAATGGTGCGAGTCTACATCAAGGCTGTTCCATTGCCCAAGAACATTAGCATCTTTTTGGAACAACACTCGACTGTCATGCGTGACCTTTTCCTCGGTGGCAAGAACAAAGACAAGGATATTAACCAAGCAGACAAGCACAGCAAAAAGGAAGCTGCACAAGGCGACAGAGAAGAATTCCAAAACCAACTCAAAGAAGAGTTTGTCAAGGCCGGTCCCATCTGGGAGGCAGAGTACAATCGTATTTGGGCATTTGGTCCAAAACACATTGGTCCAAATATTCTATTGAATCATATTCCAAATTATTGTGAATCTTTTTCATCTTGGAAACCTGCTCATCAAAGAGGTATTCAATCTTTAAAAAAATCAAAACTTCAAAATGATAATGAAAATGAAACTGATGAAACGACGGAAGAAAAAGAAGAAATAGAGGAAAAAGAGGAAGATGAAAAATCACAAGCAAGTTCACAAATTATAATAGATCAAGAAGATAAATTTAGAAAGATTTTGGAATTGGATAATAGTATAGTGAGTGGATTCCAATTGGCAACTTATGCAGGACCACTTTGTGAAGAACCAATGATGGGGGTTTGTTTGGTGGTAGAGGATATTGAATTTATGGAAGGTGACTTTACCGACAAGTATGGTCCCATTTCAGGACAACTTATCAGTACCATCAAGGATGCATGTCGTTCGGCATTCCAAGCCAAACCACAACGTCTCATGGAAGCACTCTACTTGTGTGAAGTTCAAGTCAGTAGTATTGCTCTTGGCAAGATGTATTCTGTACTAAGTGGTCGTCGTGCTCAAATCATCAAGGAAGGTATGAAGGAAGGTACACCCATTTTCTGTATTCAAGCTCGTCTACCAGTTTCAGAATCATTTGGTTTCTCACAACAAACAATGATCAAGACAAGTGGTGCCGCATCGACACAACTCTTTTTCGACAATTATTGGGAAATCATGGAACAAGATCCATTCTTTCAACTTTCCACCGAAGAGGAATTGGAAGATCATGGTTCCAATATTGCATCACTTGGTAATAATATTCCTCGTCAATTTGTTGATAAAATTAGAAAAAGAAAAGGTCTCTTTGTTGAAGAAAAATTAGTTCAACATGCTGAAAAACAAAGAACTCTAAGTAAAAAGAATTAAACAAAATAAAAATAAAAGAAATAATAATAATATTTAAAATAAATAAAATATTGAAATAATATCATTTACAATATTTGTTTTTGTTTTATAATTATTAATCAATTAATTACTACTATTATTATTACTACTGCTATTGTTAAATCGATTAATTAATCTTGAAGTTTGATTGGCAAGATCTAAAACAAATTCATAGGTAAGGAACATGATAGCACTATTTGGTACGACTCTGGCAACATGAGCTCCCATACCACCAAATAATGCTTTGGGACCTTCTTCTCGACAGACTGTTATGATGCATTGCAAGACACCAGTGTATTTGGGCATGACATAGGGTAACATATTCTCACGAAGACGAGTTCTAACGACTTCGTGAGGATAGGTAGTGACGGCAGCAATCAACTTTGAAACAGCTGCAGCCGATAGATATTCAATGGTAGATAGTTCGGATGGATATGGGTATTTCTCTGGATTTCGTTTTTTCGCTTCAGTCAATCGTTCCTTGATGCCCTCGTAGAGAACAAATTGAAAAACAGACTCTGAAACACCAATCAAAGATGCTCCCAATCCTCTGTAAAATCCTCCGACACCTTCGTTTCGGAGAATCGAGACACAACAATGAAATATATTGAAATAATAAGTGCCTCCTGAAAAATTTTTAAGTGATGTCTGTAATTGCATACGCGTCTTGATCAACCAAATAGGACCTGTCGCAATGGCCACTGTACATCCTGCAGCGCCTGCAGCTGTACTATATAACAATGGACCATCTTGAACTCCCATTCGATTCAACAGACTCTTTGAAATACTATATGCTGAAAAATTGACAGCTCTTGCTGGTACTACACCAATTAAATGTGGTTTTAAACCTTTAAATAATCCTCCAACTCCATCTCTTAATACTAAATGACTAAAAAATAGAAAATAGAAAATTAAATTATTAATTCATTTGATACAAATCGATAATAATATTTGATTGATTCTTTTTTAATATTGATAGTTACTATAAAGCATAGGGAGTTGTTGGAATAAATTTTGGTTTTCCAACTTGTAAAAGATTAGCATTTCTTGCCTGTAATTGTGTTTTAATAACTTCTAGGGGTGATGTCAAGATGACACCTACCGCACCACCAGTTCCTCCTGCCACAAAATGTAATAAACCATTTTTAGATCTTTCTTTTCTTGGTTGTTGTTGTATTTGATTAAATATTGTTTTAGATGTTACTGTATTTGTTGTCATTCTATTTGATCTATCTATCTATTATTGTTGTTATTGTATTGTTATTCAAAAAAAATGTGTAATCGTGTCGTCACGTATAATGATAATTTTGTCGTTTTAGTCAGATTTGTTAATATATATATATAAGTTGTTTGTTTGTTTGTTATGCCTCTGTAGATAGTAGTAAGTTATGAAGATGATGAGGAGTGATGTATATGACAATATTCTATGAAAAAGTAGTAGATAGGTAGGTAGGTAGGGTTGTAAGGTTGTTGGTTTAAATATCGACTAATTTAGTTTAGTAATCAATCGATTGATGCTTGTTTGTCTGTAGTGTGAATAAGTTGATGATGATGATGATGATGTAAGTAGTTGTAGGTGTGAACTTTATGTATATCTTATTCTCCCAGAGCTCATTATAGAGTAATTTAAGTAAGTAGTATAAAACGAAAACTGTGCTGTCTTTCGTTTGCTGAAATCGGAAATGTATTTTTGACAAAAATAACCTTTTTAATGTGGACTATATATTTATATTGAAATTGTTTAATATATTCTCATTGAAAATTACAATAGAATAAGATTATATAAAATTAATTACAACTATTTTATTATTTATATACTATATATAATAATTATCAAACAACAGCTTTTTTAAAAATGTGTTATGTAATCCAATGTAATAGATGTGGAAAAAAAACATGGTCTGGTATTTATAATATTACAAATATAATAATAATAACATAAAAAGATTCCTAATAATATCTATTATTATCTATTATCTATTATTTTTATCTATAATTAATATATTTAGGATGTGGTAAACATGTTGAAGAGGTATTAGCATCTGTACCTTTTAGTGAAAGATGTAATTGCAATAGTGGAGGTAAAATACCTGAAATTACTGCTGCTGCAACTGGCTCAAAATAATAATTTCATTGTCTCTCTCTCTTTCTCTCTATAAATAAATAGAGAGGGAGAGAGAGAAGGTAAATAAAACTGACTGACTCAGTGTATATCTGAGTATGTTTTAAAATGCATTGAAGTTCTCCAAAGACTACATTATTATTATTATTATTATTATTTGTCCGACAAAATATCTCTAATGATTCTTTAACAACAAATAGAAGATTGTTGTCTTTTACAAAATTTAAAAGAGTACCACCACATCAGAACTAGAAAGCAAGCTCTATTAGACTTTAATTTTATTTTTAACAAGCAGAACCGATGATAAAGCGTTCGTTTTTTTTTCTTTTGCTGATCATTTAAATTAATCGTATAGTTTAACAACACTAAGAGAGAGAGAGAGAGAGAGAGATAAAAGATGGATGAATTTGATAATACAATCAACCTTGAAGAGATAACTTATCAAGAAGCAAAACAAGATGGAGTAAAGGATGGTCTTAAATTGGGATATGTTGAAGGATACCAATTAGGTCATGAAAAGGGAACTGAATTGGGTCAAGAGATTGGCTATTATCATTCATGTGTTCAAGTATGGAATCATTTAGTCGAACAATTCAAAGACTCTCATAAATTCTCTACTAGGTAGGTTAAACACTCAAAAAACAACTCTATCACGTGATACATACTCTTTTTTTAATATGAATATTAACTCTCTCTCTCTATCTTACTTATCTTTCCTTTTTTAAAAAAGAGGATTAACCAATTTGGAAAAGTTAACAAAGCTATTGAATGAATTTCACCTCGATCTCACAAATGACGAGATTATGAACTCTCTTAGTGACATTAGAATCAAGTTTAAACTTACTTCATCTCAATTATCACTCCAAACCAAAGAACATACGGAAATGTCTTTTTAAGGGCAAACTAGTACGATTACTACTATTACTAGTACTCTATTTCAACTACATGTTGAACAGTGACGCCATTATGGTGCTGCTTGTAAACTGGTGTAAACCGCCAACACCTACCGACACTCCACCTCCCTCCCTCAAAATTGTACAATCCAATTTACTATTTGTTGTTCACCTAGCTAGGTATTATTAATTCAAAAAACAAAAAAAAAATCAAAAACAACAATTATAGATAGGTTGGCATTGTCCTTTTTTGGTAGGGTATTGGCTTGTTTTGTCAATTTGGATCTACAATATGGGATATGGTATCGAGCCAACCCATGGTAATTGGTCTACTACTCCTCCCTTTTGGTCAAGATAATCCAATTGATCGCTTGGTGATTCATTAATTAACGAACCTTGCTTTTCAAATAAAACCAAATTACACATATTAATTAGACGTATAACCTTTTTACAAATAAGATAAAAAAAAGCCTTACAATCATTCAAGAGTCAATAATTTACTTTTCAAGACACATATCTAATATCTATTTAAATTAATTTAATTTAACAAATTGACTTTCTTTTTTTGGGTTGTTGATTAGCCCTTTCATAAATGTGCGGTCCACTTTTTGTTTTTATTATTAACAACAACAATCAAACAAAACGAGACTAAATATAAATATTATATATTATAACCACCACTTGTTTTATTACTCTACTCGTTGCATTGTGGTGTTGTTTTTTTTATCATTCTACTTTTATCTCAACATTATATATATATATATATATAGCTATTATAACATAAAGAAGAGAAAAAGTACTTCTTTTTTTAATATATATCAAGAATGAATAACATTAATAATATGAATGATGTTGATTCATTAAAACAAGAGATTGGTAGATTAAGACAAGAACTAAAACAATCAAATAATGAAAAGAACTTGTTGGAATTTAAAGTACAATTACTTTTAGATATGGTTTGTATATCTCCCTCCTATCTCTCTCTCTCTCTCTCTTTGTCTATCTCTTTCTTTCTTTTCTTTCTTTTTATAGACATTGATATTAAACAAAATTCTCTTTAAAATATATTTAGTTGACATTGAGTAGTTTAGATGTAAAATATTTTGAAGATCTTGAAAGACAATGGAAGAGTAAACCTTATCGATCTGTTGAAAACCAACAATAACTATAATAATAATCACAACATACACACCCGAATACGATACAAAAACAACAACAACATATGAAACATTATAAGAAGAACAGAGAAATGAATGATGAATGGAATGAATCGAAACAGAAACATGGAATTAATCATTCATAATTATTTATTTAACAAAAAAGGAAGGATCACCTCGATAATTGTACAAAAAGAAGAAGAAGAACTTAATTCACTATATATAAAACTCCATCATCAAAAGGTATTTGATGATCTATTTGTAAATATAACATATATATATATATATATTCTTTTATTCCTTTTATTTTGAAAAGATAACAGTTTCAGAACGTTTTTGACGATCTGGAACTGATCCAGGTTTAATTTGAGAGGCAGGATGTTTGATGAGTTCATTTGGAACGATATTGTTTGTGTTGGTAAGCATATTTTTGAGATTGTACATGATTTCAGTATCCTTGTCGGTGATGAGTGATGAGGCTAGACCTTCCATACCGGCACGACCAGTACGACCGATACGATGAGTGTAATCTTCAATGTTGTTTGGCATGTCATAGTTGATGACGTGGGTAACACCCTCGACGTGGATACCTCTGGATGCAACGTCGGTGGCAATGAGTACACCATACTTTCTCTTTTTGAAACCTTCAAGTGCCATCTCACGTTGTTCTTGTGAACGACCGCTGTGAAGCGAGGTGGATGACAGACCACACTCTTGGACGATTTCCATGATGATCTCGCAATGCTTCTTTTTGTTGACAAAGACAATGATGGGGGGTGGTGGACCCGATGTCAAGAGACTGCTCATCTGTTGGTGCTTGTCATTGTCTGACTTTACAAAGATGACTGTCTGCTTGATACGATCGACTGCCTTGCCAGCCTCACCTATGATAACGTGTACTGGACGACGTAAATACTTGCGCGACAGTCTCTCTACCTTGGGTGGCATCGTAGCCGAGTAGAGGATGGTTGTACGGTAGACGCGGTGACGGTCGCGTTCCTGTTTCTCTGCTTCTTCTTCATTTTCAGATTTGAGGAATGCGCTTGGCATGGCGTCCAACACTGACTCTACTTGCAACTCAAAGCCCATGTCTATCATCATATCGGCTTCATCCAACACGACATAGTTGCATTGGTTGAGTACAAGATAACGCTTTTCTAGACAGTCGTTGAGACGACCTGGTGTAGCAATGACAATTTCGCATCCTTTTGACAACTGATATATCTGCTCTTCAATCGGCTGACCACCAACCAATGCAACCGTACGATACCCTAAAAAGTTGGCAAACACCCTAGCTTCCTTTTCAATCTGCAATGCCAACTCTCTAGTTGGTGCCATGACCACCGCATATGGACCGTCCTGCTCGCTCTCTTTGGTCATTCTAGGTTGTTTGGAGATGTATACCAACATGGGAATGACAAATGCTGCAGTCTTACCAGAACCCGTTTCAGCAATACCCAGCACATCACGTCCAGACAATGCGACGGGAATAGCTTGCATCTGAACAGGACTTGGTTTTTCATATCCTTGTTTGGCAATTGCTTCCAACATGTCGGCTGGCAAACTACTCTCGCGCCAAGTACGAATAGGGTTGGGTATACTACCACCTTTGGTGGAAATATTAAAGTCTTCCTTGAATATACGCCAGTCTCTGTCTGTCATTGACCGCAAATCTTTCTTTGACCAATGTGTTGATGGGACGTCCTTTTCAGGCTCACCACTTGGTAGTCGTCGACTAGTCGATTCAAATCCTCCCATTACACCACGTCCAAATTGAGGTTTGGCTTGCACCTTGTTGGTATAGAGTGCATTGTAATCGCTACTTGTATCCTCTGCTGCATCCCATTCAAATACAAATCTAGTTCTTTCACTCTTTTTTGGTTTCTTTTTTGCTTCTTTTTTCTCTCCATAATATTCATTCTTGATATCACTAATTTCTTTTTCTTCTTCTCTTGATCTTTTTTCTCCTGAAGTCGTAGATGAGGATGAAGATGAAGATGATTGTTGAGGTGGTGGAGGTGGTGGAGGTGGTAATGGATCTCTTCTATCACGATTATTATTATTTCTATCATATCCTCCTCTATTATCACGATCATCTCTTCTATCACGATCATATCTATTGTTATTATCTCTTCTATTATTGTCAACTCTATTATCTCCTCCTCTATGATCATCCCTTCTATCACGATCATATCTATTGTTATTATCTCTTCTATTGTCACGATCATCTCTTCCATCTCTTCTATTGTCACGACCATCTCTATTATCTCTATTATCTCTTCTATCATAACCACCTCTTCCTCCATCTCTTCGATCGTCTCGACGATCATCTCTTCCTCCATCTCTTCTATCATCCCGACGATCTCTATTGTCACGATCATCACGACGATCTCTATTATCTCTATCTCTATCCTTTCTATCATCAGAAGTTGTAGATGATTTTGAAGTGATATAATCAAGTGGATTGACATTGATGAGTTCTTCTTGAAGCTTGGTCGATCCATTGATATCCATATCAACGTCATCTGAAAACAAAGCATTGAGTCGTTCCAATGATTTCTTCTTTTCCAACTCTTTCTCTTTCTTTTGTTTCTCATCCTCTTCTAGTTGTTTCTTTGATGCAGCTGCCTTTCTTGCCGCAGCTGACATGAATTGAACAGGTTTTACAACATTGGTAGTTGATGATTGTCCCTGTTGTTGTTGATGACCAAGAAGAAGAAGAGCAGGATCATTATTAATTGTTAGTGAATTAAATTCATAATTTAATATTGGTAGAGATGATAGAGTTGATTGATTATGACCATACATGATTAAATAGAAATAGTTGTTGTTAGTTATATATATAAAGTTTAAAGAATAATAATCAATCAATCAAATTTGTTCATACATTGTTGTTATTGTTATTGTTATTACTCCACATTGAATAATAATCTTTAAAGCAACTTCAACTGCTCACTACTGATGAAAATACTAAAATGAATGAGATATAACTAACAAATCTCTTTTTGAAATTTAATTAACTTAAATCAATTTTTCAACAATGAAAATAAATTTATTATATATATCAATTTAAATACATTTATTTATCTCTTTGTAATTATTTGTATAGAATGAAATTTAGATGAACTTTAAATTAGTTTCCAACTTTCGGTTTTAGTATTTATAAAAAAAAAAAAACTAATACTATGGTATTTAAAATAAATAAATAAAAATAAAAATTTCATTGGTGAACAAGCTCTCAGTGAAGAAGAAAAACGAATAGTTGTGTCAGAGAGAGACTGAGTCGTTTTTATCATTAAAACGTAATATTAGTATTAGTATTTAGTATTTAGTATTTAGTATTAGTATAGTATTAATTTCAATATGAATAAAGTAATTGTTGGTGGAGCAACAAACCTATATCAAAAGAAATTGGTATCAGCAGTATTCACTGTGACAGCACCAACTCTTAGATCATACACCACCGCCACCACAAAGAAATCAAATAATCAACAACAACAACAACAACAACAACAAACTATTAAATGTACCAAATGTAAAGCACACAATCATCATCATCATCAATCATCATCCAACTATTTATTCAACAACAACAACAACAACAATGAAAATAACAAAAGATTCTTTAGATCAACATCACCACAACTTGAAGAGAAGAGAGATCTCTATGAGGTATTAGATGTACCTAAAAGCGCAACTAAACAAGATATTAAAAAAGCTTTCTATGCTGTAAGTACTTATTAATTAACAAACACAGTCTATTTGATTTTCTATCCTAAGACTCATTTACTTACTTCTTCTTTATCTTTTACTTTTATAGTTGGCAAAGAAATATCATCCAGATACAAATCAAGGAGATCCAAATGCACACAAGAGATTCTCAGAGATTACCAATGCATATGATGTATTGTCAGATGAAAACAAGAGAGCAATGTACGATGCTCAAGGACATCAAGGTGCTACGGCCGATTATGGTGATTTCAATCCAAACAGTCATCAAAACATGGAAGAGATGTTTCAAAACTTTGATTTGGGCGATCTTTTTGGACAAGGGTTTGGCGGACAAGCCGGTGGAAAGGTGAATGGTTCGGACATTCAGATCAAGCTGCACTTGGATTTCATGGACGCTGTCAATGGGTGCAACAAGGACGTGTCGTTCCACGGCGCATCGTCGTGCTCGACTTGTGACGGCTCGGGTGCCAAGCCGGGTACCAAGGCCACCAACTGTAAGCCATGTCACGGTACAGGTACTACCACCAAGTCGAACGGCTTTTTCGCCTTTCAATCGACATGTAAGACCTGCAAGGGCACGGGTAAACAAATCAAAGATCCGTGTGGAACATGTCGTGGAAAGGGTAGCACCCAAGGTACGCGTACACTCAACATCAAGATCCCACAGGGTGTCAATAATGGCATGAACATCAAACTCACAGGCCAAGGAGAGCCAGGTGAGCGTGGTGGTCGCAAGGGTAACCTCTATGTCAACGTGTCGGTTGGACAACACGAGCTCTTTAGACGTGAGGGCAACGATATTCACTTGGACGTTCCCATCACCTTGGCACAAGCTATTCTCGGCTCAACCGTCACCATCCCAACTCTTTCAGGTGAGGTCGATTTGAAAGTGACACCAGGCACGCAGCCAGGTGAAAAGCGTGTTCTCAGAAACAAGGGTGTTCGTTCAGTCAACGATGCATCCTATGGCAACCAATACGTACACTTTGTCGTCACCATTCCAAAGAATGTCAACGACAAACAAAAACAACTGATCCAAGAATTTGATCAAGAAGAGAAAAACAGAAATGGTCCTCTCGATAGTCTTACTCATCCAATTCTATCTATTTGGAACAGCGCTATGAAGAGATGGAGGGAATACTCAAAAGGCCAAAAATAGGAAACTAAAAGAAAAAAATAAAGAAAAAGAAATACAAAAAAGAAAACTATAATAACTAAAAATCAAAAAAAAAAGTTTTTTTTTCCAAACTCGGCACCCATTTTTTAAAACCAAACCAACAACCTAGAATCGATCGGACCTTCAACAAAACAAATATCTATCCCAAAAAACAGATAACAACATATATAACTGCAAAACAAGAGGATCTGATGTATGTGAGGAGATCATAACAACAATCATATTCCAACTGTTGCCAAAGTGACAACATTAAAAGGTGTGATAAAGTGTAAAAGTCATCATAAAAGTAATAGATATAATAATAGAATATATCACATCACAATGACACATTTAATAGTACTAGTAGTAGCTGTTTTATTGTTTTATATTACTCCCATTCATTGTCAAGGTGATCTTGTTTGGTCAACTTCGACCGAAGGAAATGGTCACGAATACAAATATTTTTTATTACAAGGTTCGAGTCGTACGATCTATGATGCGATGGATCAATGTTTGGGTTATGGAAACAGTACATTTACATCATATCTTGTCGCAATTGATTCAAAACAAGAATCTGATTTTATTAAACCCTATATAAATTGGAATCTATCGATATGGATTGGAAGTGGACCAGGAACCAATCAACCATTATTTAATATGTTTAAATAGATCAACTCTATATTAAAATTAATTAATTAATCATTTTGTTACAGGATATTGCCCATTCAATGCAGGTGAAACTTCTTTACCTCCTGTAGAGAGGATTTTATTTTCATCAGAGAACAGACATGGGATCTTAATAATGCTGGTGTTAATGATGTTGCATTCGAAATATGTGAATTAGAACCCATTTCAGAGGTATATGTTCCATCAATCGGTACAGATGGAGGATCAATAACAATCAACAACAATCTATCACAATTCAACATTTCAACAATCAACATTACATTTTACAATCCTCCAAACAACTCTCGAAATCATGTCACATAACTCAAACAGATAAAACATCAGTCACTTGTATAGTTCCACGTCTATCTGGATTTCATAATGTAATTGTTCAAGATGATAGTGGAGTCAGCTCAACACTATGCATGGCAACCATATCCACCATTTATCAAAGCTGTCTATCCATCATTCACTGCCAATGGGTCGTTAGTCACACTGATTGGTGATAACTTTGGTGATGACACCAACAATCGAATATCTGTAAATGTTTCAACATCAAATATTCCATGTAATATTAAGTTTGCAACATCAACTCAAATTATTTGTCAACTCGAATCATCTCTTGTTGGAACAACCAAACTCCTTCCGATTTCAATTTCAGTTGATGATATTTATACTCAAACCTATAAACCTCATATTTGAATGTTATCAATATTTAAATAATATCATTATATAGTAATAGTAGTATGAATTCAAATCTAATTTAACTCTTTTTTTCAAATAGTCTGTGACAATAGATTCTATTCAACTATTCTATTTGGTGGAGAATATGAAACATTCAATCAATTAATAATTGACAATATAAAAATGGAGGCAACACCGATACCTCCATTTATTGGTGCATTCGAAACAGAAGATATGTATCAATGTTATTATCAATCATTGAATATGATTGGATATGAATCATTTAGATTTTGGCAAGGTGTTTCATACAACAACAGTAACAGTGATGGTTTTACAAGAAATAATGGTCCATTCAAAGGAACACCATCTCCATTGTATAAATCTACTATTGCTCCAGATGTGACTCGATCAAGTAATATTCTATTTAATATTAATGATAGAGTTGTCTCATCCACCGTTGAAAATGTAAAATATTGTACACCATTGATTACATTTTATACAAATGATACACCTACCATTGATAGTGTTATCAATATTCAATTTGGACAAGCATCACTCGTTACAATCAAAGGTAATCATTTTGGAAAAGATCATTCATATGTTTTGATATTAATCTATGGACAACAATGCAAGTCACCAAGATTTATTGGAGAGAGTAATAAACAAATCACATGTTTATTGGATGTTGGTTTAAAACCCCAATCTGATAATATCATGATCAGAGTAGCTGAAATGTTTACATCGATACCTCTCAAACAATGTTACAAAGACTGTAATAATAGAGGTCTATGCGACTTTCTCATTGGTAGTTGCCAATGCGAAATTGGTTATGACCCCCATGTGGATTGTTCATCATTGGCGAATAGATATCAACTACTCACCACAACAGTATTTAAAATTACAACATCAACTCTATCGACCAGTCAACCGATTAGGGGTGTTATAGTCAATTTTACAACTGGAGTTCAAATCATTCGAGAAATCGATCAAGACAACTCAATCATTCGATCAATTTCGATGGATTCAGTATCTTGGACACAAGTCAATCAAACACAAGATAATCTGACATCTTTTAATGAATCAATATTCCATGGTACAATCAACAATCAATCGACCAAGATCCAAATCAAAATTGGTCAATTCTATAACACTACGATCAGTACCTTTGCCGGTGAAGATATGCAAATGCCATCAAATTCTCTCAAATATACTATCAAAATAATTGACTGGGTATGGTCATCGCCATACAACACTCTACAAGTTATTTTCCATTCAAGATCAGATTCAGTTGAATATGATGAGTGTGGAGTCAAAAAAGCTTACAGAAGCATATCACCTGGTAATCAAGTCATATGGACTCGAATTCAAGTTGGAAGAACGCTCCTCAATTGTAAAATAGCGAGTCGAATGATTATCGATAACTCCACGATGATGCCATCCAAAATCACCATTCTTCGAGACGATGATGCACTCTCTCAACAAATCTACAATCAAGGATTGAATCTTTTAACCACTTTCAATATCCCACGGTTCAGTGAATCAGTTGAACTCGATCCTGTTTTCAACGCACTCATTCTTGATGATGACTCCAATCTGCCATATCAATGTACAGAAAAAAAAAAATTCTTGTTTTAATAACCAATAAACGTTTAATGTTGTTGTTATTATTGTTTAATAATTTAATTTTATTCTTGGATTGTTGTAAACTTTTTCTTTTTTTTTTTTTTTTTTTGTTTGTTTTGTTTTTGTTTTTTCCTCTCCTTTTGTTGTTTTAAAAGTTTGTAATTATATATATATGTTTTGGAAAAGGATAAAAGTTTTGATTGTTTTGGACATGTGATGAGTTTCGGTGGAGTTGATAATTAATTAATTTGTGACAGTATAGTTTTTCTTTTTTTTTTTTTTTTTCTATTTTTTTTTAAAGAGAAACTGGAGGTTCACAAACTAATGAATAATGCCTAATGACCTCATCATCATAAAGTTCTTGGGGAGGTTTTGATAAAATCTTTTGAATGGATGGGACTGGACGGAACGAGTAGAGGCCAGATGAGAGGAGTTGTTGAGCAAAAAGGATTTTTCTAGAGAGCTGACGATAGTGGAAAAAGTTGACGATGCCGCCTGGTAACAGCTTGGGACTGCTCGTTTCTATATAAATGAGCTCGTCAAGTAAGAGACGCACGTGAGGGATGCTGGGAGATTGGGCGTCTTGGAGTCTCTCACGATAACGTTTGTAGTCGTTTTCCTTGGAGACAAATAATTTGAGAGTGTCGAGGGTGCCCGACAACTTGCCAGGGAGAGCGTTGAAAGTGTCAGAGAGACGTTCGACTGCGCTGTTGGCGAGACCTTCCATGATACAAAAGACACTGGCAAAGTCGCCGTGCTGCAAGCAGCGCTCGGCACACTCGATGAATCGCTCGAGCGTGGCGACACGCTTGACCTTTTGCGACTGCTTGACGATCTCTGTACTGACAAAACGAACGAGGTCGTCATAGTGCTCGAGAAAAGTGTGAATGTTGGCGGCGGGACGACTGCCAATAAGAGGTGCGCCGATCCACGGACCGCCTGTAGCAGCCTGGCTTGCAGAGTCGGTCAATTTCTCCCAACAAAACTCTAGGTATTCACGAGACTGGATCTGTGTAAAGTTGGCGCCATTGATGATGGAGAATTGACGAGCCAACTCGATAGCGTTGACATCGGCAACATCCAAATACTCGCCAGCAGGTGGAGGTGGTAGGATGCTGGTGGGGTACTGGGTGTTGGATGACGATGCCAAAGTCGACTGCGACATTTCATTGCGCTTCTTGGTCAACTCGCCGACAAGACGTGGCTCGGCTTCTTGCACAGTGTTGAGTGTTGAAGTGAGTGAAAGAGCAGCCAAGTTGTTTTGGATGATCACTTGGTCAAACTCGTTGAGCTTGTCGACCATATCCTCATCTTGAAAGTCGGATGGGTAGTAATCGATCCATCGCTTAAAGAAAATGACCACACGCAACTGAATGACACGGTTGACACGTTTCCACGTGGCCATGTCTCCCGAGAATTGGTCGGGAGAGTTGGTGCAATAACGGTTGGTCAACAACTCGTACAAATTCTGTGGTGTCGAGAAACATCTATAGGTCAACAACAAATCTTGAATATAAGAAGTATCATAACAATAATCTGAAGTAGCACGTTCAACCATCTTTACCAAATGATTAATCAATGCAGTTTGGTTGGATGACATCTTCTTTTTCAATGTATAATATCCTGGTGGTTTCAATGCTCCAACACGCCAATTACTTCCAAGAGTACTTTGATCTCCTGTTGATGTTCTTGGTCTTGGATGTGAACCATTTGAATCGGTTCCAGTTGTTGTTGTAGTTCCACCATTTTCTTGTAATCTAATTGTTAATCTTGATTTTGCAATGGTTGGTGATAAATTTCCATTTGTTTGTTTTTGATTATTATTATTATTATTATTATTTGTTGTAGTAGTTGTAGAAGTTGTATTATTTTGCAAATTAATAACATTTGTTTGTTGTTGTTGTTGTTGTTGTTGTGCTGGTAAAACTAAAAAAATAGGAAAAAAAGTAAGTAAATAAATATTGTTATCTTTTCTTTTATCTTTTTCTATTTCATACCATCAGGTGATTTTAATTCATTTACAATTGGTTGTGGTACAGGAATAGCATTAAGAATCTTTAATACTTCTTCAAATTTTGGTCTTGAAAGTGGTTCATAAGTACAACATAAACTACACATATCAATTAATCTAAAGTAGAAAAAAAAAAAAAAGTTAAATAAATTAGTCCATATATATTTCTATATTTCTATATTTTTATATTTCTATCTTACTTTTGTGGACATCCAGGTAAAGCTTTACTTTGTAATTCAGTTGGATTAATATCAAAACAAGTTTCAGGGGTACGAACCCAAAGATCTACACCTGGTTTACGACCAGTTATGAGTTCTGCGAGGACTACACCAAAAGAGAATACATCGCACGATGTATCGTAACTCATTCCAAGTAGAATTTCTGGAGCAACCCAACCTTCAGTGCCACACATTGTCATGTGTCTTGATTTTTTAGTCTGTTCGTTCATTCTAGCAAAACCAAAGTCACATAATCTAATTCTCTTGTGTTCATCCAACAAGATGTTCTTTGACTTTAGATCACGATGAATGATCTTTTTTGCGTGTAAAAATACCATTGCCTTTGCCAAGTCGATAGAGATGCTCAGTCTCTTGTCCCATCCAATAATTGGTTCTTGTTTGAGTAGTTGACGTACATCACCACCAGACACAAACTCTGTGATAATATACAATCCTGTTGAATGTACACAAATACCTGAAAATTGAACTATAAATGGATGTCTTAGACTCCTACAATTAAAAAATAAAATAGAAATAGAGAAAGAGAGAGAAAAAGATAGAGTAGGGGAGAGGGGGGAATGAGTAAGTATATATAAATTAATATTACTATTCTTTTTGTTTACATACTGAAGCATTGAAACTTCACGATCAATATATTTAAGGTATTCAGGGTCATCAGCCTTTTCAATCTTTTTGATGGCTACATCTAAACCAAGATAGACTCCCTTGAATACTGAACCAAATGAACCTTTTCCGATTCTCTCTTTGAATTCAAGTGATTCAAAGGGGATATCCCAAATTGCTTGAGTTGGTAAACCTGGATCTTGTTCTGCCATTTATTATCTACCCTATCTATTATAAACTCTCTGTTTTGTTATTACTAACTAATCTACAAAATAAAATAAAAAAAAAGAGTTGTTGTTGTTTTAAAAAAGATACAAAAGAAGAGATTGTAATACAAGATTAAAAATACAAAGAGATGATGATGATGATTGATATTACAGTAGAGAGAGAAAAGGGAGATGAATTTGAAATAGATATATATTTAAATGGGTGAGAGAGCAAAGCAAGCTTGAGATAGAATGAAAGGATTAAAAGAGGTTAAAACCCATTTGAGAGACGGGCCGTTCTCTTTGACCACACTGTCTGTGTGAGACAGAAAAAAAAGATTTTTTGTTTGTTTTTAAAAAAAAGAATCTGAAATCGAGATCGGTTAAAGCAACATAATTAAAAAAAGGACAAGAGAAGGAGTAGTACGAAAGGATCCGCCATAAATAGAGTAGAGTCTATGGTTTGATTTGTGGTTTAAATAAATTATTAATCAGGATAGAAGTATCATTCATGTTTTATTAGATGTACGTTTTTTGTGATGATGATGATGATGGCGAGGGGATTTTTGTTTTGTTGTGTAGGGTATAATTTTTTTGATAGGGTTTTCTTTTCCTCTTTCCTCTTTTGTTTCTTTTTCATTTGTTTTTTTTTAATGAATGCCAACATAACAACCATGATGATCTAAAAATGTTTGATTGTTTGGTTTGTTGTTACCATTATTATTATTATTATTATTATTTTCAATGTTATTATTATTAATAGAGTTGATTTCATGATTATTCATATTCATATTCACAGGTGGTTTATAAGGAGTTGGAAGAAAATATTGTTGTTGTTTTAATGGAGTTGTAGGTGTAAAGTTTGATGATGATGGAGTTAAAAAGGAAATATTTGGAACAAAATCATCACCATTATTCTTATTATTATTATTATTATTAGTATTATTTTGATTATTATTATTTTGTTGTTGATTTTCAGTTGTCATTAATAATTTTCTAGCCTTGTCAAAGATTGATCTTTTTGATGTATCATTCAACATTTTTAAAGCTACTGACGAACATCCTTCAAAGTTGCCCAAACCAGTAGTATTTAATTTTGTTGTTGTTGTTGTTGTTGATATACATGATGTTTTTTTCGTTGATGGATCAAAATTATCTTCAGTAATAAAATTTTCCATTTCGCTTTGTTTGATGTGATTATTGAGTTTAGCTGTTGATGATCTGGTTGATCCCAATGGAGTTGAAATATGAGAAACATTGTTATCTTTAAATGGTGTAAATGGTACAAAATAAAAATTATTATTATTATTATTATTTGAGGGTTTAGATGGAGTTGAATATGTTGTAATCGTATCATTTTCATTATTATTATCAATCATCATATTATTATTGTTTGCGTTATTGATTTTTGGAGGTGTTGTTATTCCTTTTAATTTAGAGTTTATATTTTGTAAAGATGTCTTGTCAATTCCTTTATCTGATAATTGAATCCCCAATGTTTTGTTTGTTCCAGTACAATTGTTGCCACTGCTATTATTGTTTACTGAATGATTGGGGGGTGAATGGACCATTGTAGTTGTATTATTATTGTTATGATTATTAACATTATTTAGATATTGAATGGTTGATCCTGGGGTAGTTGGTGTAGAAGACGTAGTTTTATATTTGGGACTTGGTGAAAGTATATTTGAAAATGGGTTTAAACTGTTACCATTAATATGATTATTATTATTATTAATATGATTATTATTGTTATGAAGAAGATCGGATAGATTGCTCCTATAGGGACTGAGCAAACATAGTTTGTTGGGAGAAGAAAGACTATTTTCAAAGTTTGAATGATCAAATAGATGTTGACTGCTGCTACCATTGCTTGCAGTCGTATTGGCACTGTTTGGTGTCGTTGCAATAATACCCAAACCCCCAACCGGTGTTGTTGGTGGTGGTATAAATGATGTAGTTGCCAACAATGATGTATTTGATCGAATCGGTGATAATTCACTTTCAAAATTTTGTGGAAATATTTCTGGATTTATATAATCATAATTCATTTTCTAAAAAAAAACAAAATAAAAAATATTAGAATATTATACATCTTTTTTTCTTTTTTTTTTTATAACATACAAGAGGTGAAATATTATTATTATTATTATTATTATCATTTGTTGTTTTTGATTTCTTTTTACAAGAATTTGAAAATGGTTTAATGGGAGTGACAAGATTTGAGATTGCTTGAACTGGAGTAAGAGGTGGACGTGGTGATGCTGGTAGGGTGGTGGTTAGGGAAACTCTTGGTTTTGGTGAAATAATATATCCATTGGTTATGAAATTTTGTAATGATGGTACGTCTACTGCCAATTTTGTTTTTTGTGGTGTCGTATTTAAATTTAATGATTTTTCTTCTTCTCCTTGTTCTTCTCCTCCTTCTCCATCTTCTCCAAATTCTTCTTCTCCATAATCCTCTTCTTCTTCATCTCCTTCTTCTTTTTCTTTAAAAATTAAAATAAAAATCAATTAATATTTCTATTTTCTATTATCTCTTATCTTTTTCATACTTGTAATAACTTTTCTTTTTCTTGGAGCTCTTTTAAAATTTGAAGGTTTTTTTGAACGTTTCATTGAGGAGTTCCAATGATTTTTAATGGCATTGTCAGTTCTTCCAGGGAGAGATTTGGCAATTTCAGCCCATTTGTTTCCGTGGATGACGTGTTGTTCTTTGATGATTCGATCCTCTTCTTCGGACCAACCATCTCTTTTGATGGCGGGGTTTAGATGATTATGCCATCTCTCACGACACTGTTTGCCCATTCTACCATTCAAGTGTTGGGCAATCTCTGACCATTTTCTCGCTCCATATTTTTCAACCAATTCCCTCACCTTGTCATCTTCTTCCTTACTCCACGACCCCTTCACGAGATTGGGATGTAATACTTTTTGATAACGATGATGACATTGAACATCGGTCCGATTTGGGAAATGTTCTGCTATCTTTTTCCAATTTTTTTGATTATGTTTTGCTACTGCTTGTCTCAATATATCATCCTACAAAATTATATTAAAATTAAAAAAAGGTTAATACATATATATTAATATATATATATTCTTTTTCTTTTTTCCTCTTACCTCTTCAAGAGTCCATTTTCCTTTTGATTTTTTTAATGGACCACCATTTCCACCATTGACTGTACTGGCACTTGAAATATCGCTAAAAGCAGAATCAGTCGATGATGATAGTGTAGAGGCTGTGGATATAGGTGATTCGGGTGGAATCATCATCATCATCATATTGTTGATGGATCCAGTTCTTGAGGTGGTTCTTGTCAGTGCCGGAGCAGCAATCACTGTCGATGGAGGGGATGTGGTTGAAGTCGTCGTAGTCATCAAAGTACTCATTGTCATTGTCGGTGCACCAAGTGGAGATGCCATTATAAATGATGACGAAGGAGTAGAAGTTGAAGAATCAAACGATGATGATGATGACGACGATACAAGTGATGAGATGGAATGAGCAGTAGTAATTTGATTGGAATGATCAATACTCGTATTCTTCCGACTCGTCATCGTTGTCAACGTCAACACCAACAACAACAACAACAATCACCAAACCTAAGAATAAAGAAAAAAAAAAAAAAAAAGTCAGATGATGGAAGAGAATGATGGAAATGTCTGTCTCGAGCTGGAAATATATATATATATATATAGAATATATATAAAGTTGGTATAGGGATGTTGGGAAATATAGGGTTCAAAGTTTTGGAAACTCCTCCAAACCAACCAACCAACCAACCTGTTTGCTTGTTAATTTGTTTGTTGTGTTGATACCTACTGTTCCTGCTGAGATTTTCACCGATTATCTATCTCTATCGTTGTTGTTCTTTTGTTTGTAAATGGCTTGGAATATTATATTATACTACTAACTATATTTTAAAAATAAAAAGGTGACCATATGGTCTGTCTGTCGGTCAGTATTACTATAATAGGATTAAGAATATGGGTATAGGGTATTGTTTTTTTTTTGAAATTATATATAGTATCGTCGTCGCTGCTGCAGACTAGTCGTTCTTGTTATTATTATTATTGTTCATATCACACAGTCGTCAAAAACACCAATGGAAAACACACATTCTGTAAATCTACTTTTGAACGGTGTTGTTGTTGTTGTTGTTGTTGTTGTTGTTGTTGTTGAATTACTACTCCTACTACTTTTTGATTTATAAAAGAATTATATTTTTGACACTCCTCCTTCTTCTCCTGCTATTATTATTATTATTATTATTATTTTTAATGTTTGGTTGTTTTGTTGGTATTGTTGACTAATCATTATACAATTTGTGAAATCACGATGGGTAAAATAGGAATATGTGTTTAATGATAATTGGTTTTGGATTGGTGATCTGCACGACCAACAACAACAATAAATATATATATATTAAAATATTATATTTATATATATTATAAATTTAGATTTGTATATACAATATATTGTGTTGTGTGTGTGTGAGAGAGTGAGAGTGAGAGTGATTATTAAGAAATAAAAGAGAGAGACGATGATAATTTTTGTTGTTACACATGTAAATTTGATTCTAATAGATTAGGTTGTTGTTGGTGTTGACAACGATGACACAAACTGTGTCAAGTAAAGTGTTTGAGAATGAACTAATAATTAATGTAATGTAATGTATCATGTGTGTGTGTATAGGTGAAGTGTAATAATAGTTTTGATGATTGATCTTACCCAGCGACAATAACAACAACAACTAGACCAGTCTGTCTTTTTTACTAATTGTACATAAAAACTCTGATCTAACTATGATATATACGAATTACTTTACACAATTATATATACATATATATAACTCCTACTCGTCTTCAAATGATATGATAATGATATTAACGGCTAGAATTGACAATCCTCTGCAAATTTTCAAAAAAAAATTAACCGTTGCATCACATTCAAAGTGAAGTAAACAAGTCTCATCATTAGACGATCGTTGATTTAATAAATAGATAAATATGAATGAATATTGATAAACTATACAAACAACAACAACAACAATAATAAAGAGATATGATCAATTGGTTTCCAGGAAATTAGTTTCGTCTGACTGACTTTTAAAATCAATCAACGATTGTTTGATTGTCTTTTAAAAGACTGACATGACCAACTCGACTGACTGCTGCTGTATGATGGGATGTGATGTGATATGATATGAGACGAGATGTGATATATTGTGAGGTGGAGTAGGTGGATATTTAAATTACCTTGAGAGAGAGAGAGAGGGATGATTGTGCGTATACTAAACTCTATCTATTTTATCTTTTGTTTTTCTTTCTTTCTTTCTTTGTTTCTTTAAGTTTTAATATTTATATATATATTGTAATGTATGTATTATGAGAGAGTAGAATAGAATAGATTAAAGTGGTTTAGTGATGCACTTCAATTAAACTACCTACTGTGCTCGGCTACCAAAACAAAAAAACAAAAAACCAAAAACAAAATAAGGGAGATTTTTTAAATTGGTTTCTACACAAGTATTAAAAGTAAAATAAACTACTAATTATTATTATTATTATTATTATTATTGTTATTATTACTTTTGAGATTACAATGTAATTGAATACTATACTAAATTTGTTGATGGATAAAACAAAAACTTTTGGAAAAATGAAAATTTAAATTTTGATTGATTTGAAAATGATATTTTTTGGCGGCAAATTATTTTTTTTTGAATTTTTTTCCCCATTGACTACGATTGCATTGCACATTTAATTTACAAAAATATAACTAGTTGTTGTTTTATTTATTTTTTAAATAGATTAAGATTGATTTTTGAAAATGATTATTATTATGATTATTATTATTTTCGAGAGAGAGTGTAGTTATTTTAAGAGATAAGAGTAAAATAAGAAAAAAAATAAACTTTCATTGTATTGGCGACTATTGATATAGTTTTGGCCAATCCAAGTCATCACTATTTTTTTTCATTTTCCTAATTTGTTTTTCTTTTTCTTTAATCCTTTTCCCAAGGTTCCAATTTGTATGTATTGAATTAAAGAAATAAAAGAACGGTATAGGATAAAGAATTTATCTTTTCATCATTTGATAAATTCTTTTTTTCTAGGTTTTAAAAATTATAAACTCTTTTTTTCTCTTTTTTGTTTCTATCCTCTCGCTTGACAAAATAAAATAATGATACAAATCCAAAAATGACTTTTATCCATTGTTTGTCCATTTTTCTATTTACCACCACGAAGTTGTCTCCAAGCTTTACGAATCTTTGTGTGAAGATCAGCACACCAGACTGTACCAATCATGAGTAGGATGTAACCAGTGTAGGTACAAAAGATGACAAAGAACCACCCGGTGGGGGTGAGACATTTAATAGTGGCACTGGTGCAGCCAGGACGATAGGCGACTGGACTCCAGTGTGCCTGTGGTGTCCAGAGTCCATTATCGACGAGGATGTGACGTAAAATGTCGATAGTGGCCAATGGGGCGGCAATAGCAGTGAGATAGAATGGGCCAAACTTGTGCCAATGTCCACGATCGCTTGCACGTTGAGTGCACTTGTGGAAATGGTACTGGGCGAGATTTGTCATGATCGACAAACTAATAGCAAAGGTAATTGCATGAGCAAAACCTACGGAACCTTGGGTGGCGGCAATACCGAGGATGGATGCCACCAAAAGAGGCCAACATCAACTACCTACAAGAGCAGGAATAGAAATCAAAATAGCAGCAATTGCTACAAATAATGGTTTCTTACTTTCCTTTTCTCCAACGGCAGTAGAGTCGTCAGCGACGACGACGTCTTCGTCAATGTTGTTGTTGTTTAATAATGGTGAGGATTCATTAATGTTGTTGATGGATGGTGATGATGATGATGATGATGATGATTTCTTTTGTGGAGTAGGTCTTGCTCAAACTCCTCCTTCACAATCATCATCCCCTAATTTGGGAATACTACCAAAGAATGACATATTGATATCTAATTACTTTATTACTTGAATATATATATAAATATAAATAAATAAATAAATAAATAAATAAATAAATTATCTCTTTTTTTGGTAAGGTGTGTTTATAAAAAAAAAATAATAATGAAAGAAATTTAAAAAAAGTGTGAGAGATAGATTTTTAAAAAAAATTGAAAAAATAAAAAAAAAATGATTCGTGTGAAATGTTTTCCGAAGAAAAGTTTATCCAATTCCGATGATCTTGATGTGGAACACGCTTCCATTACATTTTATTTATTTTTATTTTTATTATTTATTTTTATTTTTATTTTTACTTTTTTTAGTCTGTAAAGGTTAGACTAAAAATTTGATTATTTGGGTATGCTATGAGAAGACAAGTATTATTTTGACAAGCATGGATTGCAAGAGGAGAGATACCTGGAGCATCGGGGATACGTATCGTTTTGATGAGTGATTTGGTGGACATGTCAATCATGTCGACATAGACACCACTATTATCGGCACAGTGATGTAGGAGGACTTGACCAATTCGAACAACCTTGCCAGCATGAACCAAAGGCTTTTCAAAGTCGATTGACCATTTACTGTTGTTGGCCAATGAAAAGACGATGATTTGGTCTTGTGCATAGACGAGTACGTATTCGGGATCAGACTCTACGTTGAACAGTCCGTCGTTCCATGACCAAGTCTCCAATATTTCATCGGCCAATTTAGATTGTTCGTTGTACTTTCTAATGTGAACGACACGACTACCATCGATAAACGAGACACTTACCAACTTGCGACCAGTGTTTTGGAAGTTGTTGGTCAGACCAGACTGCACAATCATCTCGCCTTCAATCGGTCTAAACGCACAAACAAACTCTCCTTGTTGATTGACAAAATCAAACAAATCAACCTTGACATAGGTCTGTGGTGGTTGTCCCAATCCAATTCTACTCCATTCTGTCATATGATGTAAGAATGTTGGTCTTGCTCTACCAAATATATACTTTTTTGATTTATTGATTTCACTAATCTGTGAATCTAAAAAAGAGAAATAGAAAATAGAAATAGAAATAGAAAGAAAAGTAAGGGGTTAGGGGTTAAGGTTATTATTATTTATCTTTCATTTTCTTCATACTTGAAACTTTCATAATAGTGAATACAAATTCTTCATCATTGACTTCATAAGGTAGATAGATATGATTACCAAGTTTAACAGGTACAAGTAATTGATCTGGTTTACCACCAGCAAGATCGTATGGGACCGTTTCAACTGGTGTAACACCAATACTACCATTACTATCGATACCAAACGATGCGATTTCAGTATGTGTCTTTGTCAATGCAAACACTGTATTGCCTCCAAACCCGATAAAGCTACCTGCAATCCCTACTCCTTCAGTTGCAATCTTTTTATCTTTAATTGAAAATGCTGGTAATGTTGACATGGTTATTAATATTTATCTCTCTCTTTATCTGTATAGATCAATTAAATTAAAAACGACAAAAAAGATTAACAAACGAGAGTTGCAATATATCTTCTTTTTTTTTTTTTTTTTTTTAGAAATGATTTAGAAGAAGTTTTATAGAATCTTGGGTTAACAAAAACAGCTCTAAACTAAAGGTCGGAATTGACTCGAGGGGCTCAAAGTGATCTATCTATTACGACCATGCAATGAAAAACAAATATCTTCTTGACCGCGATGATGTGTCAGATCATGGTGGGTGCGATCGATAGACATGTCCCCTCATTAAAGATGAATGACGACTAGGTCAAATGAATGAGTAAAAAACGAACGACTCTTTCATTCATTTCATTTCAAGTAGTAGTAATACTTTAGATATAGATATATAGATATAGATAAAGAGATAGGGAGAATGAATCAAGAAATAGAAAACATATGTAAAGAATTGATAGGTATTGGCATTAAAGCCTTTGTAGATATGAGCAAATATGATAAGATTCTATTTGTTGGTTCAATTGCTTTACCTGTTATGATCAATTGTATGTAGTAGTATAAGAGTAGAATATATGAATAGACAAGAGTATATATATTTACTTTACTTTATTTACTATTTAGTACCAAACTTTGGAATCATACCAAATGATGAAAGTGATAGAATAGAAACACATTATCTAACTGGTATTGACAAGATTGCACATGTTTATGATGAATGCTTGGCAGGAAATGATTCAATCTTGGAGACAAAAGATATTAAACTTTTAGCAGCATCTGCTCAAACAAGTGACAAACTATGTAGAATATTGGCGAGAAGAGATGTAGTATTGATGCTACTACAAATCATTATCAATGCAGAGAGCATGTGGAGATCAGCTCAAAGTTTTGTATCACCTCTATCCGAAGAAACTATTCATAATCTTTACCTTACTTTAGATTATGAATCTTTAATGTTGGATGCTTCAAATTTATTAAATCATATTTTACCTAAAAGTAAAGAAAACAAAGAAATAGAAATAGAAAAAGGGAAACAAAAATAATTAATAATTAATAATTAATATTTACTTTTTCTTTTTCTTTTTCTTTTTTAAGTTGAATTGGATGAAATACCATTTGGAGAATTAATAGGAAGTATAAGGTATTATGGATTATCAACACCAATCATTTATAAATTACTATGTGCAATATTAAAGTTGATGGTCGATAGAAATGATACGGTCAAGACATTTATGGAAATGGAATTGATGGTACTGGTTAGATACTTTATGGAAAATGAGTTTAAATCAGAGTATAGGTTACTACGAGACTATTGGTTACAAATATCAGTTCGTTGGTATAGAGATCGATTCAAATTAAATATAGCACCAATCGATCGGATGTTTATAGAAGAGTATTATCAGAGTAAACGGTTTTGGATCTACGTTCCAAAAGAGATTCGAGTCAATCCTCATGGTCTATTGAGTGAGGTGATATTGGATGGATATGGATTTTTACGTGGTTATATTTCATCTACAAGTCTATTGATTGACTATATCTATTCAGAATCTGGTCTCTATGATATATGTTATCGAAAGAGTGATACTACTCTGACAAGATTCTTATTTTCATCGTTTTTTGCTACTTCCATGTTAATGTTGTTTACATTTTCAGCGTCTCGCAAGGGCAAGGTGCATTACATCATATCTGCTGCATTTACTTGTGGCCTAACTTATGCGCAAGAGATTATGATCAATCGTCAAAAGACGGGTGGTCGTGACTACAAAATATTTAAAGATTATTTCACTCAAAATACAAACAACGATATTTATGTTGAAAAGGAATTATTATTAACTCAAGATGATCAACAAACAATCATTCATAATAGATCAGATATTCTGGATTATGAATTCTAAAAAAGGAAATAAATAAAATGGCATTTCAGATATTTCGGGGTTTTGATATGTCTAGTTCTTCAAACATCTGAATTGTCGCCGTTTCGGCAATTTGAATTCAAAAGGTACACGCGACCAACCAAGCATTACTTGAATAAACAAGCCGACGAAATGATGTTGAGAGCACGTTGACATTTGTTGAACAAAGTCTTACAACTACTGTTTTATTTAGTCATTTGATACAACAACAACAACAATGTTATTTCATAAATATTTATTATTATTAGTTACAATAGTTTATCTAATTGGGTGTGCAGTAAGCGATTCATGCCAACCAATTGGCCTAGTCGAACAAACCGACATTCAGTATTCCTCGATCACATTTGGTGTCGAAAGTTGCCACATACTTCAAGGCTATGACAACGGTTGCGATGGCAATGTGAAATACACACTCAAAGTTAACGAGACCGTCGTTTTCGGGGGAGAAAACGGATATGATCAAGTTGCTGGATTCGATGGAGTTCACTTGTGCTTTTCAATCTCAACCTATAGTTCAAAGTATGTTCAATGATATCCGAATAATAATAATTTAAACTCTAACATCCTCTTCTCTTTTCTCTCTCTTTTGATAGTTACTGTACACCACCAACTGAATATACAACTCGTTGCAACTCGGGATGTATCACACCCAACTTTGACTCTGAGTATTCCTACATTGTCCCATATAAATGGATGCTCGATACATACTGTGCTGAGGGTTTCAAGGATACCTACAATTTCTCGTTTGAATCCTCATCATCCATTGTCCAAACCAACCTTTTCTTTGTTCTCGTCAGTCTAGGTCTTATCTTTTTAGTCTTGTAAATGAAATGACCCAAAATATAATAAAAAAATGAATTTCTCTAATCGTAATATTTACCTGTCCATCTATCTGAACTTGTAGTTCATCATCTTATTTCATGTCATTCAACTTCAAGAGAGATGACAAATATATTATTATCTATAGATAAATATAAAGAATTGATTAGTATTGGTTTGAAATCAATACAATCAAGAACATATAGTAAATATGATAAGATACTATTTGTTGGTTCATTAGCTTTACCTTTTTTAGTCAATTGTATGTAAATCACATGATGATGATGATGATGATGATGATGATGATGATGATGATGATGATGATGATGATGATGATTAACTTACTTTCTCTCTCTTTTTTCCTTTTTAGTACCAATTTATGGAATAATACCAAATCAACAAGATACTAGGATTGAATCAATGTATGATAATGCAATTGATAGGATTACAAATGTTTATAATGAAATTCAAACAGATCCAGAATCAGTATATAGCCTTGATATTAAGAATTTGGCAAGTGTTGCTGACAAGTCAAACAAGTTGTGTAGAATATTGGCACAGAAAGATGTAGTAATGACTCTATTAGATATCATTATCAACGGAGAGGAAATACACACACAAAGATATAATGATCAATTACCTCTATCTGATAAAATCATCGAAGAATTGTATCTAACTATTGAAAGTAATTCTATAATGTTGGATTGTATATCTTTATTAAATAGTATTTTACCTTTTGGTATGTAATGAAGAAAAAGAAAAGAAAAAGAAATATATATTTATTTATTAATTTTGTTGTTTTATTTATTTATTTAAATTCTATTTAATTAGTACAAGATATACCATATGGAGGATTAATTTATATAATTATAAATTATCCATCATCACCAACAAGTTATCAATTAACATGTGCTGTATTAAAAACAATGGCATTGAGGCCAGAGGAGACGATTCAACCATTTTTAGATGTTGGTTTGATTCATATTATTAAATACTTTTTAGACAAAGAGGTTACATCTGAACACTCAGTGCTACGATATTATTGGTTACAAGTTGCTCAGACCATATATAAATCTCCCATAGGTCATTTTGAAACAACCGAAGAGGAACAAGAGTTTATTGACGAATACTATGAAAATGGGAGATTTAAATTATGGTTGCCAAAACAATTAAGAATCAAACCTTTTAGTGTCATGTTTGAAACATTGACCGATACCTTTGGATTTTATAAAGGTTGGGTAACTGGTACTTCATTGTTTGTAGATCTTGTCTATTCAAGTTCACCTGTTTTCGATGCAATCTATCGTCGATTAGATTCAACCTTGACAAGATACTTGGCATGTTCATTGTTTTTTTCAACTTTTGCACTCTATTCAACAGTTTTCCTTTCTCGCCAAGGAAAGATTTATTACTCCTTATCATCCATCTTGACAATGTCCCATAGCGTCTATCTCAACAATCAAGTCAATCGTCAAAGATTGGGTGGAGACATTTACAAATCTTTTAAAAAGTATTATAAAACAAATGATCAAAATAATTCCCCTTTTTCAACAATCAATAATGATCAAATAATTATTAAAGATAAATCTGATATTTTAGATTGTGAATTTTAATCAAACAAAAATAGAAAATAATAAATAAATTAAATTAAAATATCTTTTTTAAAATCGTCTGGATGATGAGGTCACAAGTATGTGTGTTCATTCATTCATTTCATTCATCTATTTTTCAAATCCAAAATGACAGATATATTATCTATACTATTATCTTTATCAAAAGATAAATATAAAGATATAATAGGTGTTGGTTTAAAATCAATACTATCAAGATCATATAGTAAATATGATAAGATATTGTTTGTTGGTTCAATTGCTTTACCTTTTCTAGTTAATTGTAATGTAATAATACATATTATTAGATCGATTCTAAATTTAAACTTACTCTTTTCTCTATCTCTTTCTTTTAGTACAAATGTATGAAATAATACCAAATAATCCTCATAAAAGGATTGAATCATTTTATAATAGTGCAATTGATAGGATTGCAAATGTTTATCATCAAATTGAAACAACACATTCGATTACCGATGATCAAGATTTAAGAGAATTGGCAAACCTAGCTGAAAAGAATGACAAGTTGTGTAGAATATTGGCAAAGAGAGAGGTAGTAATGACTCTGTTACGTATCATTGTCAATGGAGAGGAATTATGGAAACAAAATTATTATAGTCGTTTACCTCTAACTGAAGAAACTATCTATCAAATTTATACTACTCTTGATAATGATTCATTTATTTTGGATTGTACTGATTTATTAAATCATATTTTACCTTGGGTAAAAGGTATGTAAAGTAGAAAATAGAATATATATATTTATATAGTTATTAATTTCTTTTCTATTTCTTTTTTTTTTAGTCCAAGATATACCATATGAAGGGATTTTTTATGTAATTAAAAATCATCCAATGTCACCATCAAGTTATCGGTTGACATGTACGATATTGAGAACAATGACTTTGAATAGAGAAACCATTGTACCATTTATTAGTGTTGGAATGATTAGAATGGTTAGATTCTTTTTGGCTAATCAAGTCAGTTATGAGTATTCACAGTTACAAGATTATTGGTTACAAATTACTAGGATTATGTACAAAGATAGGGAATATTATTTTAAATCATTATCAACACAAGATCAATTATACATAGAGGAATCTTATAAAAATGGGAGATTTAAATTATGGATTCTTCCAACAAAAGAATTACGTATCTCACCTTTTAGTGTAATGACTGAAATCATTTCAGATGGTATTGGGTATTATCAAGGTTGGATCAATGGTACAGCATTATTTATGGATCATATCTATTCAGATTCACCTATTTCCGATATGATCTATCGGAGATTAGATTCAACCTTGACTAGGTATTTGGCAAGTTCATTATATGCATCATCATTGTTACTCTATTTCACAGTATTCCTTTCTCGCAAGGGATTAATCTTTTATACTTTATCGACTGGTTTATCAATGTCCATTCACACTTACCAAGACAAACTTGTCAATCACCAAAAATTAAGTGGTCCCATTTACAGAGCTTTTCAAAAATATTATCAAACTGATCATCATCCAGGTTCATCAATCACTATGAATATGGATATTGATCAACTCAATCAAAATAATATTATTAAAGATAAATCTGATATTTTAAATTATCGATTTAAATAAAAAATAAAAGAATTCTTTTTTTAAAATCTACGATCGAGCGTTTTGATGATCATCATCCTTTCATTTTTTTTTTTTGGAGACACAGATAGAGGATGACAACATACATAGATAGTTTATCTATAGATAAATGTAAAGAATTGATTAGTGTTGGATTAGAATCAATACAATCAAGAACATATAGTAAATATGATAAGATACTATTTGTTGGTTCAATTGCTTTACCTTTTTTAATGAATTGTAATGTATTATAAGTATAGTCTTGATGCGTTCTAAATTAAACTTACTTTTTCTTACTCTCTCTCTCTATCTCTCTTTCTCTTTAATAGTAAAAATTTATGGAATAATACCAAATGATCAAAGGATTGAATCAATTTATGATAATGCAATTGGTAGGATTACAAATGTTTATCAATACCTTGAATCTATACAATCGATTGTACACATTCAAGATATAAGGGAATTGGCAAACCTAGCTGAAAAGAATCACAAGTTGTGTAGAATATTGGCTCAGAGAGAGGTAGTAATGACTCTGTTACAAATCATTATCCGTGCAGAGGAATTATGGAAACATAATTATTATACTCGATTACCTCTAACTGAACAAAACGTTAATCAATTATATACTACTCTTGACAATGAATCTTTAATGTTGGATTGTATTGATTTATTAAATAGTATTTTACCTTGGGTAAATGGTAAATAGAAGAAAAATAGAAAATAGAATAGATAATCATTATCTAATTTATTTTCTTTTCTTTTTCTTTTTCTACTCCAGTTTCAGATATACCATATGAAAGGTTTTATAAAGTAATTTGTATTCATTCAACATCGCCAACAAGTTATAGATTGGCGTGTGCGGTATTGAGAACAATGACTTTGAATAGAGAAACCATTCAACCATTTATCAGTGTTGGGATGATTAATATTGTTAGATTCTTTTTAGTCTATCAAGTCAAATCAGAGTATTCACAGTTACAAGAGTATTGGTTACAAATTACAAATATTATATTCAAAGACAACGATAGACGATATTATTTTAAATCATTATCGGATCAATCATTGATCGAGGAATATTATGAAAAAGGGAGATTTAAATTATGGATTCCCCAAGCAAAAGGATTACGTATCACATCATTTCGAGTGATGAGTGAAATCATTTTAGATGGTATTGGGTATTATCAAGGTTGGATAAATACAACAGCATTATTTATGGGTCATGTCTATATAGACTCACCTTTTTCCGATATGATCTATCGGAGATTAGATTCCACAGTGACTAGGTATTTGGCAAGTTCATTCTATGCATCATCATTGTTACTCTATTTCACGGTATTCCTTTCTCGCAAAGAATTCATCTATCTGTCTGTGTCGACTGTCTTGGCAATGTCCATTAACATGTATCAAGAGCGACTAGTCAATCACCAAAAATTAAGTGGTTTCATTTATAAAGCTTTTGCAAAATATTATCAAACTCCTCCTCATCTTGATTCTTCAATTAATAATAATGATCAAAGAAAAATGATTAATAATAGATCAGATATTCTGGATTATCCATTTCAATAAAATATTAATAATAATAATTAAATAAATAAATCTTTCATCATAGAATGATCAATCTACAACACACAGATATTACGTATGTATCTTTTAAAATAAAAAGAATAAAAAAAGAATTAAATTAAAATATCTTTTTTTTAAAAATCATATGACCCAACAAGTATGTATGTTCATTTATTCATTCATCTATTATTTGTTTCAAATCCAAAATGACAGATATATTATCTATATTATCTTTATCAAAAGATAAATATAAAGATATAATAGATGTTGGATTAAAATCAATACTATCAAGAACATATAGTAAATATGATAAGATTCTATTTGTTGGTTCAATTGCTTTACCTTTTTTAATCAATTGTATGTAATTATCGATTATTAATCTCTATCTCTAAATTTAAACTTACTCTTTTCTCTCTTTTTTTCTATTTAGTACCAATGTTTGAAATAATACCAAATAATCCTCATAAAAGGATTGAATCATTTTATAATAGTGCAATTGATAGGATTGCAAATGTTTATCATCAAATTGAAACAACACATTCGATTACCGATGATCAAGATGTTATAAGAGAATTGGCAGACCTAGCTGAAAATAATGACAAGTTGTGTAGAATATTGGCTAAAAGAGAGGTAGTTCTGACTCTTTTACATATCATTGTCAATGGAGAGGTTATATGGAAACATAATAATTCTCGTCGAGCACCTCTGACTGAACAAACCATTTATGAAATTTATACTACTCTTGATAGAAAATCTTTAATGTTGGATTGTATTGATTTATTAAATCATATTTTACCTTGGGTAAAAGGTATGTAAAGAAAATAGAAAATAGACAAAAGATAGAATAGTTTGAAAATATAATTATTATTAATTACTTTTTTACTTTTTCTTTTTCTTTTTCTTTTTTTATAGATATACCATATGTAGGGTTTAATTATGTAATTAATAATAATCCTTTATCACCAACAAGTTATAGATTGACATGCGCAATATTGAGAACAATGACATTGAAAAGAGAAACTATTCAACCATTTATCAGTGTTGGTATGATTAGAGTTGTTATGTTTTATTTGGCCAATCAGGTTGGATCTGAATATGCACAGTTGGAAGATGATTGGTTACAAATTGCACGATTAATATACAAAGACAAGGAATATTATTTTAAATCATCATCATTGTCAACATTTGAACAATCATATGTAGAGAGATATTATAAAAAAGGGAGATTTAAATTATGGATTCTTCCAACAAAAGAATTACGTATCTCACCTTTTAGTGTAATGACTGAAATCATTTCAGATGGTATTGGGTATTATCAAGGTTGGATCAATGGTACAGCATTATTTATGGATCATATCTATTCAGATTCACCTATTTCCCATATGATCTATCGTAGATTAGATTCAACCTTGACCAGATACTTGGCAAGTTCATTATATATGTCATCATTGTTACTCTATTTCACAGTATTTCTTTCTCGCAAGGGTTTGATCTATTATACTTTATCAACCGGGTTGTCAATGTATCAAGACAAACAAATCAACCACCAAAAATTAAGTGGTACCATTTACAGAGCTTTTCAACATACTTATCAAAATGATCTTCCAGGGTCACCAATTACTATGAATATGAATATTGATAAACTCAATCAAAATAATATTATTAAAAATAGATCTGATATTTTAAATTATCAATTTTAGAAAATAAAATAAATAAAAGAAATTAAAATATCTATGATGGCATTGTGATGTTCATTTTTCATTTTCATTTTTTTTGATAGAGATAAATGACAGATATATCATCTTTATCTATAGATAAATGTAAAGAATTGATTAGTGATGGTTTGAAATCAATACTATCAACAACATATAGTAAATATGATAAGGTATTGTTTGTTGGTTCAATTGCTTTACCTTTTTTAGTCAATTGTATGTAGAGTATATCACATGTGCGATGTGATAGTCGAAAACCTTTCTCACTCTCTCTTACTCTTTTTAGTACCATATTTTGGAATACTACCAAATAATCGAGATCAAAGGATTGAATCATTTTATGATAATGGTGCAATTGAAAAGATTATAAATGTTTATCAACAAGTTGAATCAAATATAAATAGTCGAGATATTAGAGATTTGGCAGAATTTGCTGAAAGATCCAACAAGTTGTGTAGAATATTGGCAAAGAGAGAGATAGTGAAACTGTTGTTAAGTATCATTTTCAGTGGAGAGGATTTATGGAGACAAAGTTATAATGGTCAATTACCTCTATCTGAAGAAACTATCTATCAAATATATACGACTCTTGATAATGAATCTTTAATGTTGGATTGTACTGATTTATTAAATCATATTTTACCTTGGGTAAATGGTAAATAGAAAAAGAAGAAAAAGAAGAAAAAGAAAATAATAGAAAAGACACATAGCATATATTTATTATTTTCTATTTTCTAAGATATACCATATGAAGGATTGATATATGTAATTAAAAAGAATGTTTTAGCAACATCAAGTTATAGATTAACATGTACGATATTAAAAACAATGATATTGAAGCCGGAAACAATCCAACCATTTATAAGTGTTGGTATAATCACTATTACTAGATACTATTTAGATAATGAATTCAAATCTGAATATCGATTGCTGCGTGATTATTGGTTACAAATTACTCAGATTATATGTAAAGACAAAGATAATATATCATTATTGGATCAATCATTGATAGATGAATACTATAAAATGGGTAGATTTAAATTATTGATTCCAAAAGAATTAAGAATCAATAGTCTTGGTAAAATGCTTGATATTGTAACCGATGGTATTGGTTTTTATACTGGTTGGTTAAATGCAACTGGATTATTATTGGATCAAATCAATACAAATTCATATCTCTCTAATTGGATCTATCGACGATTAGATTCTACACTGACTAGATATTTGTTGTGTTCAGCCTATTATTCATCGTTGACTCTGTATTTGGCAGTTTTCAGAAACAAAAATATATTATATCCTTTGGCTAGTGTCTTGTCAATGGCTATTTGTAGTTACCAAGCAAGACTTGTCAATCATCAAAAATTGGGTGGTCCCATTTACAAAGCTTTTAAAAAATATTATCAAACTCCTCTTGATAACTCAATGAACAATCATGATTAATAGTTCTGATATTTTGGATTATCAATTTTAGAAAAAAATAAATAAAAAATAGAAATACGTAAAGATGACAGTCTTTTTTTTCATTCATCCAATCTTCAAGAGATATGAAAGATTTATCATCTTTATCTATAGATATAGATAAATATAAAGAATTGATTAGTATTGGTTTGAAATCAATACAATCAAGAACATATAGTAAATATGATAAGATATTGTTTGTTGGTTCAATTGCTGTACCTTTTTTAGTCAATTGTATGTAATGTATTTAAAGTATGAAAAATCTTGATGATTCAAAAAACTTACTTTTTTTCTTCTTCTTCTTCTTCTTCTATGTTTAGTACCAATTTATGGAATAATACCAAATAATCGAGATAAAAGGATTGAAACAATTTATGATAATGCAATTGCAAAGATTAATATTGTTTATGAAGAAGTTGAAACGCTAACTACCAATACAATTTTTGAAAATCAAGATATAAAAGATATGGCAGCTTTTGCTGAAAAGAGTAATAAGTTGTGTAGAATATTGGGTCAAAGAGATGTGGTATTGATGTTGTTAAGAATCATTTTTTGTGCAGAGGAAATGTTTGAAAATAGTTATAGTCATAGATTACCTCTGACTGAAGCAACTATTCATCAATTATATACTAGTTTGGATACTGAAAATATAATGTTACATTCAACTGATTTATTAAATCATATTTTACCTTGGGGTATGTAAAGAAAAATAGAAGAAGAAAAAAAGATAATATTTATTTATTTATTCTTTTTTTTTCTACTCTAGTTTCAGATATACCATTTGATTTATTTTATACAGTAATTCATTATCATTTAACATCACCATCAAGTTATCAATTGATATGTTCAGTATTGAGAACAATGATATTGAACCATGATACGATTCAACCATTTATAGATGTCAATATTATTAGTATTGTTAAATACTATTTAGACAATCAATTCAAATATGAATATTCATTGTTACAAGATTATTGGTTACAACTTGCTCGGATTATATATAAAGCTGGTGATCAATTTAAAACAACAGTAGATGAACAATCATTTATAGATGAATACTATGACCAAGGTAGATTTAAATTATGGTTACCAGAAGAATTACGTCTACCACCTCATAGTATGTTATATGAAACAATAACCGATGCATTTGGTTATTATTTTGGTTGGGTAAACAAGACTGGTTTATTGGTTGATCAAATCTATTCAAATAATCTATTTTCAGAGGATATTTATAGACGATTAGATTCTACGTTGACGAGATATTTGGGATGTTCAATATTTGCATCATCATTGTCACTTTATTTAATATTTATTCTTCAACCCAAAGGAAAGATATATTGCATTGCATCGGCTCTAACAACAATGGTCTTGTATAGTTTTCACGAGCAACACGTCAATCATCAAAGATTAAGTGGAAAGATTTATAAATCTTTTCAAAAATATTATCAAACTAAACAATATCATAACGATGAAATAGAATTAATCACAAATCAAAATCAAAATCAAAATAATATTATTAATAATAAATCAGATATTTTAAATTATCATTTTAAATAAGAAAAAAAAAAAAACAAAAGAGAGTAGTGAAATAAATTTCATTTCATTATTTATTCATTAAGATGACAGAAGATATAATATCTTTATCTATAGATATAGATAAATATAAAGAATTGATTAGTATTGGTTTAAAATCAATACTATCACTATCAACATCAACATTTAGTAAATATGATAAGATACTATTTGTTGGTTCAATTGCTGTACCTTTTTTATTGAATTGTAATGTAGTAAATCAAACTTTGTATTGGATACAAAAACTTACTATTTTCTCTCTATTTAGTACTATTCTATGAAATATTACCAAATAATCCTAATAAAAGGATTGAAACATTTTATAAAAAGGGTATTGAAAAGATTATGATGGTTTATAATGAAATGGAAACAAATAATAGAATAACGATAACTCAAGATATCAAAGAGATGGCAGTATTTGCTGAAAAGTCAAACAAGTTGTGTAAAAGATTGGCTCATAGAGGTGTAGTAGTGATGTTGTTGAGAATTATGGCTGGTGCAGAGGGAATATGGAACAATCGTATTAGTCATCGATCACCTCTATCTAAACTAGCCACCCATCATTTATATACTCGTTTTGAAAAAGATAATATAATGATGGATTGTATTAATTTATTAAATCATATTTTACCCTATGGTAAGAAGAAATATATAGAAAAATAGAAATAGAAAATATATATATTTATTTATTTATTTATTTATTCTTTTTACAATAGTAAAAGATGATATACCTTTTGATTTATTGTATCGAATCATTTATTCTAATTCATTATCACCAACAAGTTATAGATTGACATGTGTAGTATTGAGAACAATGACATTGAAACCTGAAACCATTCAACCATTTATCAAAGTTGGTATGATTAGAATGGTTAGATTTTATTTAGACAATCAATTCAAATCAGAGTATTCACAATTGGAAGATTATTGGTTACAAATTACCAAAATAATATACAAAGATAAGGAATATTATAAACATCATTTTAAATCATCAGTACAAGATCAATCATTTATAGATGAATACTATGAAAATGGAAGATTTAAATTATGGATTCTTCCAACAAAAGAATTACGTGTACCACCTCATAATATGTTATTTACAATCATTTCTGGTGGTATTGGATATTATACAGGTTGGTTAAATACAACTGCATTATTTGTTGGTAACATCTATTCGCATAATCTATTTTCAAATACTATCCTTGGACGATTAGATTCAACCTTGGCTAAATACCTTTTTTGTTCATTCTATGCATCATCATTGATGTTATACTATATATTCCTTCTTCCAACCAAAGGAAAGATTTTTTACATTGTTTCCACTCTAATATCAGCAGTCATTTCTAGTTATCAAGACACTCTAGTATCTCGTTTAAAAGCAAATGGTCGTCTTTACAAATCTTTTCAACAACTTTATCAAACGCCTCATCAAAATGATGATTTATTTTTTGAAAATAATCATACAATGATTATTAATAATAAATCTGATATTTTAGATTATCAATTTTAAAAGGTAAGAAAAAAGAAAATCGGAAATTTATAATAATAAATGGAAACTTTTAAGAAATTAATTTTACTAATGCACGATCATTTTTCTTTTTCATCTATAATATCATTCTTTATCTATAGATAAATTTAGTATAGGTTTAAAACCAATACTATCACTCAAAATATGTTAAGTAAGATACTATTTGTAGGTTCAATAGCTTTACCTTTTCTAGTCAATTGTAAATATAAATCAAAAAAGTTTTAATATCAAAAGATCGATTCTAATTAACTTTTTTTCTTTTTTCCTCTCTCTATCTATTTAGTACCAATTTATGGAATAGTACCAAACAATCGAGATACAAGGATTGAATCATTTTACAGTCATGGTATTGAAAAGATTAGAAATGTTTGTCAACAAATTGAAACAAAAAATACAATAATAATGGAGAATCAAGATATTAGAGATATGGCAACATTTGCTGAAATGTCAAACAAATTGTGTAGAATATTGGCTCAGAGAGATGTAGTATTGATGTTGTTGAATATTATTATGCGTGCAGAGGAAATATGGGAAAATAGTTATAGTCATCGATTACCTCTATCAAATCAATCTGTTTATCGTTTATATACTATATTTGATACCGAATCTTTAATGTCGGATTGTACCGATTTATTAAATAGTATTTTACCTTTTGGTAGGTTAAAAAAGAAATAGAAAATAGAAAAATTATTTTTATTTATATTTATTTGTATCTTTTTTTTTTTTTATTTATAGTCAAAGATACACCATATGATTTATTATATAAAGCAATTAATTTTCATCCAGAATCACCAACAAGTTATAGATTGGCATGTGCAATATTAAAAACAATGACATTGAAACAGCATACGATTCAACCATTTATCAACGTTGGAATGATTAGAATGGTTAGATTTTATTTAGATAATCAAATGAAATCAGAGTATTCACAATTGGAAGATTATTGGTTACAAATTTCTAGAATAATATACAAAGATCGACAATATCAATTTAAATCATCATTGTCTAAAGATCAAGATAATATGGCATTTATCGAGGAATATTATAAAAAAGGTAGATTTAAATTATGGTTGCCAAAAGAAATACGTCTACCACCTCATAATATGCTATTTAAAATAGTAACTGATGCGTTTGGATATTATTTTGGTTGGTTAAACATGACTGGATTTATAGTAGGTCATTTCTATTCAAATACTATATTTTCAGATGGAATCTATCGACGATTAGAATCTACATTTTCAAGATACTTGGCATGTTCAATATTCGTATCATCAATGTTACTCTATTTCTCATTCCTTCTTTCATCTACCAACGGAAAGATTTATATACTTGCTTCGACCATAACATTAATGGCCATTTATAGTTTTAGAGAAAGACAAGTCAAATTTCAAAGATTAAGTGGTCCCCTTTACAAATCATTCCAACAACGTTATCAAACTCCTCATCAAAAAGATCAAATAAAATAGAAAAAGTCTTCAAAAAATAGATATATATGAGAAAAATGGATAGACCGGAAGTGATTCCGTGTCAAAAATCTAGATATTTTAACAAAAAAGAATAAGAATGTGAATGACAATCGACCAGTTTTTTCATTCTTTTGTTTACACTTTATCGATATGACAGATATATTATCTCTATCATCTTTATCTATAGATAAATATAAAGAATTGATTAGTGTTGGTGTAAAATCAATACTATCAAGAACATATAGTAAATATGATAAGATATTGTTTGTTGGTTCATTAGCTTTACCTTTTTTAGTCAATTGTATGTAAATCACATGATGATGATGATGATGATTAACTTACTTATTCGCTTCTTTTTTCCTTTTTAGTACCAATTTATGGAATAGTACCAAATGAAAGAGATAAAAGGGTTGAATCATTTTATGAAAGTGCAATTGAAAAGATTACACTTGCATATGACGAAATTAGTGCTGATTATATGGTAGAATCGCAAGATATAAGAGAAATGGCAAACATTGCTGAAAAGTGTAACAAGTTGTGTAGAATATTGGCAAAGAGAGAGGTAGTACAGATGTTGTTGGGGATCATTAACGGCGCCGAGGAAATATGGGAAACTAGTTATAGTCATCAAATACCTCTATCTGAAGAAGCCACTGTACAATTATATAATCGTTTGGAAAATGATAATATAATGATTGATTGTACTGATTTATTAAATCATATTTTACCTTTTGGTAAGAAGAAAAAGAAATAGATAGATAGATAGATAGAAAATAGAATTACATATATATTTATTTTTTCTTTCTCTCTTTTTTTTTTAGTTCAAGATATACCATATGAATTATTTTTTAAAGTAATTAGTTTTTATGTAACATCACCATCAAGTTATCAATTGACATGTGCAGCATTGAAAACAATGACATTGAGAAAAGAGACTATACTACCATTTATCAATGATGGAATGTTGAATATAGTTAGACTCTATATCAGCTATGAACTCAAATCTGAATATTCATTGTTACGAGACTATTGGTTACAAATTGCTCGGATCATTTACAAAGATCGTAAACTTTTTAGATCATTGTTGGTAGAAGATCGACGATTTGTAGAGGAATACTATGAAATGGGTAGATTTAAATTATGGTTACCACAAGATTTTCGTGTACCACCTCATAATATGTTGTATGAAATAGTGTCCGATGGATTTGGGTATTATCTTGGTTGGGTAAACAAGACTGGTTTATTGGTTGATAATATCATTGCAAATAATACATTTTCAGATTGGATCTATCGACGATTAGATTCTACACTATCAAGATACCTATATTGTTCGATATTTGCATCATCATTTTCACTCTATTTCACATTTCTACTCCCACCCAAAGGAAAGATTTATTACATTGCATCAGCTGTCACTTCACTGGCTATTTGTAGTTTGCACGAGAAACTAGTCAGTCGTCAAAGAATATGTGGTCAACTTTACAAATATTTCCAACAACGATTTCATATTCCAAAACTACAAGATGATCAAATCAATTTTGAAACTACCAATCAAATAATTATTAAACATAAATCTGATATTTTAAATCATCAATTTTAAAATAAAAAAATATTTAAATAAAATAAAAAAAAGATAATTATATTCTTTCATCATGATCGATCGATGGATGATTCTTTTTCATTTCATTTTTTTAAATTCTTTATTATAGATAAATATAAAGAATTGATTAGTATTGGTTTAAAATCAATACAATCGTATAGTAAATATGATAAGATATTGTTTGTTGGTTCATTAGCTATACCTTTTTTAATCAATTGTAATTATAACAAGAGATGATGATTAACTTTTTATTTTATTTTTTTTTAGTTTCTGATATATTACCAAACAATTGTGTAGAATATTGGCACAGAAAACAAAGGTAGTACAGATGTTGTTGGATAATGATTCATTATCGGTGCAAATCAAATTTATGAAAGTATTTATAGTCAACAAGTACCTCTATCTGGACATAGTATTCATCTATTATATACTACTATTGATAATCATTCAATCATGTCATGTTGTACTAATTTATTAAATCATATCTTTCCTTGGTTAAATGGTAATTGTGGAATAGAAATATGGAAAATAGAAAATAGAAAAGATAAATTTATTTATAATAATTTATTTATTTATAATTATTTATTTTTTTTTTTTTTTTATATCTTTAGTTATAGAATATAGTGATATCATTTATAAAACCATTTATCGTCAATTAAAATTACCAACGGGTTATAAATTGACATGTACAGTATTTAAATCAATGATTTTGAAACCTGAAACGATTCAACCATTTATCAATGTTGGAATGATTAAAATTGTTAGATTTTATTTAACCAATCAATTCAAATCCGAGTATACATTGCTACTCGATTATTGGTTACAAATTGCCAAAAGTATATACAATGACAAACATTTTTTTAAATCATTGGCATTATCGGATCAATCATTTGTAGTGCAATATTAAAAATGGGTAGATAGATTTAAATTAATGTTTCTTCCAAAAGAATTACGTATCAATCCAATTGGTACAATATTTGAAGTGGTATCTAAAGGTATTGGATATAAGGTTGGTTCAATGGTACTGCATTATTTGTTGATAATATCTATGAAGATACTATCCTTGGACGATTAGATTCTACCATTTCAAGAAACTTGGATTGTTCAATGCATGTATCAACATTGGCACTCTGTTTCACATTTATACTTCCACCAAAAGGAAAGATATATTACATTGCATGGTGTGTCACATCAACAACCCTTTATAGGTATCAATCAATTTTGACAATCAACAAAATATTATTAATAATAAATCAGATATTTTAGATTATCCTTTTTAAAAGTAAAAAAATTAAAAAGAATAAAATAAAAACCCCGAGAGATATTTTCATCATCATAAAGTAAAGATGATCATGTGCACTCATTTCATTTTTTAGAGTCAAGAGAGATGACAGAAGATATATCATCTTTATCTATAGATAAATATAAAGAATTGATTAGTATTGGATTAAAATCAATACTATCAACAACATATAGTAAATATGATAAGATTCTATTTGTTGGTTCAATAGCTTTACCTTTTTTAGTTAATTGTAATGTAATATATGAATATACCAATAATAGTCTTTTGAATCCTTTTATTAACTTTTTTCTTTTTTCCTTCTCTCTATCTATTTAGTACCAATTTATGGAATATTACCAAACAATCAAGATAAAAGGATTGAATCATTTTATAATCATGGTATTGAAAAGATCCTAAATGTTTATAGTGAAATTGAAACAAATCATAGGATAGTGGTAACTCAAGATATTAGAGATATGGCAACATTGACTGAAAAGAATAACAAATTGTGTAGAATACTGGCTCAGAGAGATATAGTATTCATGTTGTTGAGAATCATTCTAGGTGCAAACCAAATTTGGGAAAATGGTTATAGTCATCAAGCACCTCTATCTGAATATACTATTCATCAAATTTATACTCATTTGGAGAATGATAATATGGTTTTAGATTGTACTGATTTATTAAATAATATTTTACCTTTTCGTATGTAAAAAAATAGACTCTATCTATTTATTTATTTATTTATTAAATTATTATTCTTTTTATAGTCCAAGATATACCATTTGAATTATTTTATAAAGTAATTTATTATCATTCATTGTCACCAACAAGTTATAAATTGACTTTGGCGGTATTGAGAACAATGACATTGAAACCAGAGACGATTCCACCATTTGTAATAGTTGGTATGGTTGATATTGTTAGAGTGTATCTTCAAAACGAGGTCAAATCTGAATATTCACAATTACGTGATTATTGGGTACAAATTGCACGAGTACTATACAAGGATGAACATTTTGAACAATTACCACTAGTCTATCAATCATTGATAGAGGAATATTATAAAAAAGGTAGATTTAAATCATGGATTCCAAAAGAATTACGCCTCCCACCAATTGGTACATTACATGAAACCATAACTGATGTGTTTGGATATTATCAAGGTTGGTTAAATGGTACTACAATATTGGTTGATTATATCTTTTCAAATAGTATATTTTCAGATACTATCTATCGTAGATTAGATTCTACGTTGGTTAGATACTTGACATGTTCATTGTTTACATCATCATTGTCATTTTATTTTACAATGCTTCTTCCACGTAAAGGAAAGATTTTTTACATCTCGTCTGGTATCATTTCAATACTAATAAGTTTTTACCAAGATAAATTAATTGCTAATCAAAAAACAAGTGGTACACTTTACAAATCTTTTAAAGAATGCTTTCAAACTCCTGTCAATCAAAATGATAGATTTTTTGAATCAACTAAAATCATAAATATTAATAATAAATCAGATATTTTAAATTATCGATTTTAAAATAAAAAATTAAAAAATACAAAGGAAAAAGGAATAACGGGATCTTTTTTTTCATTCACAAAGAGAGATGACAGATATATCATTATCATTATCTATAGATATAGATAAATATAAAGAATTGATTAGTATTGGTTTAAAATCAATACTATCAAGAACATATAGTAAATATGATAAGATATTGTTTGTTGGTTCATTAGCTTTACCTTTTTTAATCAATTGTATGTAGAGTATATCAAAGATGATGATCATATCTTTTAATATTCAATGATGATGATTAACTTTTTCTTTTTCTTTTTAGTACCAATTTATGGAATAATACCAAATAATCAAGATAAAAAGATTGAATCATTTTATAATCAAGGTATTGAAAAGATTTTAAATGTTTATAATGAAATTCAAACAAATAATAGAATCATGATAACTAGTGATATAAAAGATATGGCAACATTGGCTGAAAAGAGTAATAAGTTGTGTAGAATATTGGGTCAAAGAGATGTAGTATTGATGTTGTTGAGAATTATTCTAGGTGCAGAGGAAATATGGGAATCTAGTTATAGTCATCAAGCACCTCTAACTGAACAAAGTATTCATCAAATTTATACTCATTTGGATAATGATAATATAGTTTTAGATTGTACTGATTTATTAAATCATATTTTACCTTTTGGTAAGAAGTAAAAAAAAAAGAATAGAAAATAGAATTATATTTATTTATTTATTTATTTTTTCTACTCTAGTTTCAGATATACCTTTTGATTTATTTTATCACATTATTAATTATCATCCTTTAACACCATCAAGTTATAGATTGGCATGTGCGGTATTGAGAACAATGACTTTGAAAAGATCGACCATTCCATCATTTGTAAGTGTTGGAATGATTGATATAGTTGGATTTTATTTGGGTAATCAATTTAAATCTGAATATTCACAATTACAAGATTATTGGCTACAAGTTTCTCAAATACTTTACAAGGATAGACATTTTAAATCATTACCTTTAGAGGATCAATCATTTATAGAGGAATATTATAAAATGGGTAGATTTAGATTATGGTTACCAAAAGAATTACGTCTCCCACCAATTGGTACACTTTATGAAACTTTATCTGATGCGTTTGGATATTATCAAGGTTGGTTAAATGGTACTACATTATTTGTTGATAATATCTATTCAAATAATTTATTTTCAGATTGGATCTATCGTCGATTAGATTCTACACTATCAAGATATTTGGTTTGTTCATTGTTTGCATCATCATTGTCTTTTTATTTTACATTTCTACTTTCACCAAAAGGAAAGATTTATTACATTTCATCTGCTATCATTTCAATGATAATAAGTCTTTATCAAGATAAATTAATTGCTCATCAAAAAACAAGTGGTCCACTTTATAAAGCTTTTAAACAACGTTTTCAAACTCCTGTCAACCAAAATGATAGATTTTTTGAAAATTTAAATCAACAAAATATTATTTATAATAAATCTGATATTTTAAATTATCAATTTTAAAAAAAAATAGAAAAAAAAATAAATAAAAAAGAAGAAAAAAAACAAATTATAATCATCATCTTTTTTTTTTTTCATTCAAAGGGGAGAGATAGATGACAGATAAATATAAAGAATTGATTAACATTGGTTTGAAATCAATACTATCAACAACATATAGTAAATATGATAAGATATTGTTTGTTGGTTCAATTGCTTTACCTTTTCTAGTCAATTGTAATGTATTTATTAAGAATACTAGACTTTTATGATGATTAACTTTTTGTTTCTATCTCTTTTTTTTTTTAGTAAGAATTTATGGAATATTACCAAATAATCCTAATAAGAGAATTGAAACATTTCTTGATCGTGGCATTGAAAAGATTATATTGATTTATAATGAAATGGAAACAAATAATAGAATATTACAAACAAATGATATAAAAGAGATGGCTGAATTGGCTAAAAGATCAAACAAGTTGTGTAGAATATTGGCAAAGAGAGAGGTAGTATTGATGTTGTTGGGGATCATTGCAGGTGGAGATCAACTATGGGAAAATGGTTATAGTCATAGAGCACCTCTAACTGAACTAATCATTCATCAATTTTATACTATTTTGGATACTGATAATATAATGATAGATTGTATTAATTTATTAAATCATATATTACCCCATGGTAAGAAAAACAAGATAAAAAAAGTATAGATAGATAGATAGATTATTTATTCTTTTTCTTTTTTCTTTTTTTATAGTACAAGATATACCATATGATTTATTTTCTCAACTTGTTAATTTTCATTCATTAACACCAACAAGTTATAGATTGACATGTGCGGTATTGAGAACAATGACTTTGAATAGAGAAACCATTCAACCATTTATCAGTGTTGGAATGATTAGAATTGTTAGATTTTATTTAGACAATCAATTCAAATCAGAGTATTCACAATTACAAGATTATTGGTTACAAATTGCCAAAAGTATATACAATGACAAACAACTTTTTAAGTCATTGTCATTATTGGATCAATCATTTGTAGAGCAATATTATAAAATGGGTAGATTTAGATTATGGCTACCAAAAGAATTACGTATCAATCCAATTGGTACAATAGTTGAAACGGTATCTGATGGAATTGGATATTATTTTGGTTTGTTTAATGGTACTACATTATTTGTAGGTCATTTAAATCTTTTATTTTCAGATCAAAGATTAGATTCGACCTGGTCTAGATACTTGGCATGTTCAATGTTTGAATCAACATTGACACTCTATTTCACATTTCTACTCCCACCCAAAGGAAAGATATATTATATCGCATCGGCTCTAACAATATCGATTATTTCAAGTTATCAAGAGAGAATAGTCATCCTTGAAAAAACAAGTAATTCACTTTATAAATCTTTTAAAAAGTATTATCAAACAAATGATCAAAATCATGATAGACTTTTTGAATCAACTATCAATCAACAAAATATTATAAATAATAAATCTATTATTTTAGATTATCAATTTTAAACATTAAAAAAAAAGAAAAAAGATATTTATTATATCTTTTTGTCAGCCGCTCAGACAGAGAAGTACAAATATAATTACAAGTAGATAATTGAATGTTATAAAGAATTAATTAACTATCATTTATTTTTGTTTTTTTGCTTTTTGGTTATTGCTTTGTGAAGTTGTTTTGTTATGTTGGTAGAGCTTGAAGTAGTAACTGGGTCCAGAAGGTATAAAATCAAAAAATCCAGCATACTAATATTTTTTTGTTCTGGGGTAGTGCCCAACTTTTTGTAAATGATCCAAGCATTTGAAATAGCCATACTGAGAATTCCAAACATAGCCGCTTGAGAATATTTGTGGTTTTTATTCTTAGACAAAAATCGATTTAAGTTTGAGTCTGCTTTATCCACACCACATTTATGAATATTGTAAGCTTGTATCATTTCCGGTCGTGTATCTACTACTCTTCCTGTAGTTGAATTTTTAATATATTGTGTTGGTGAGTTAGATGTGGCACCAATAGTCTCGCCAATTCTATATTGATTAGAAATGAAATTACACTTTTTTTTGTCATAGAATGACACTGCAGTACCATAATCCATGTTAATTAATTTGATATGGTTCTTGAGAAGAGAACTTTGTAATACATCTTTAAAAAGGGAAGTTGGTCGATTGCCTTGGCAAGAAAACACATACTTCCAACCTTTGGCATTAAAATACCGAGCAAGTTTGTCAGATCCATAATATTGATCAGCATAAACCACATGCTTCTTTGGATCATCAAAACAAGTCACTGTCAGGAAGATAACAATATCCGATGGTCTTGTTGGGAGAGTTGGGACCCAAAACTTTACTTTGTTATTGATCTCTTCTAATGCCCTGGTTGTTTCTTGTTTTAAATTGTTATATCTGACCGACATAACAGAGTTGTATTGTTGTTGAATTGATGTTGGAGTTGGAGTTGGAGTTGTAGTTGTAGTTGTAGTTGTAGTTGTGGTTGTGGTTGTGGCTGTGGTTGTGGTTGTGGTTGTGGTTGTGGTTGTGGTTGTGGTTGTGGTTGTGGTTGTGGTTGTGGTTGTGGTTGTGGTTGTGGTTGTGGTTGTGGTTGTGGTTGTGGTTGTGGTTGTGGTTGTGGTTGTGGATGTAGATGTGGCAGTGGTTGAGGTCAAACTCGTCTGACGTGATCTCGTCTGAGTGGAGGGTTGGGTCTACGTTGTCAGGAGTGTCAGTAACCATGTGGGACTCGATTTGTTCTTCCGACTCTGAAATATTGGTATCATATGCAGGGAACGGGTTATCCTTATCCGATCCTTGATACATGAAAAAGTTGAGCATATATCCCAAACTGTCTGCCAACGAGTAAAATTTTAAACCAGTAGAGTTTGGTTTGTTTCGGACATACTGTCGAAAAAGATATCTTCCCTTGAATCGGATCACGGTTTCGTCCACTGTAACATGAGTACCAGGCTCCCAATACTTTTGGAATGTTTTTGAAAAATAATATTGCCAAAATGTTACATCGACATAGAAATGTTTTTTTACTTGATAGTATCGTGTTCTTGACATTAATTGTTTAACTCTTTCACACCCAAATAATTCATGCTCTTTTTTCCAATAATTTGTGAGTTGGGGTTGGTGAATAATGCCAATAATGATTTGAATCTTCATAAAATTCTCCCATTCGTTTACAGTCAAATCACGATAAATGTACCTATTTTTCTTCCATTTGGCTCTGCTCACGATTGGTATGCCATTGTTGTCCTTCCCTGTTCAAGCATCTTGAGAACCTTTTTGTTGTAAATATCGAATCTTAGATTCGTGGTTTTGATAATGTAGTCCACAAACTCTGGATCTAAGTAGAACAATTTCAATATATCTTGTGGTGTTAATGTCGTAGAAACACCTCGTGGTTTTCCGGTTTCAAAACGTTCTATCCGCGGTGCTCCCATGTTTTGAAAGGCTTGCTGAAAAGCACCATTTAACACAGTTTGTGTACTATTCATATCAGATTGTGTTGATTGAGCACTATTCAAAACAGATTGTGTTGCTTGAGAAGTCTACGGCCTCAATAAGCGCTCGTCTTATATTATGCTCTAACCTACACTTTTGTCAGATCTTGTGAAGAGGCTACTTGTGTCATAAATACTTGATGAAGATGTACAAAAGAAGTAAGTCTTGTAATAGAGACGTTATTATTTATTATTTAAAGACAGATAACATCAAAAACAAAGAAAATATCTGGAACGAAGTGCTCAAAAAAAAAAAAAAAAAACCAAAAAAATGAGCAGATCTGGGGTTAACCCCAGAAGAACTCAAAGAGTTGTACTCCAAAAACATAGTAACTTGAAAGTAAACTTGAAAAAGGTACTGAAAAAGATATCGAATGTCACACCCACTTGTCATCATCGCATTGGCATTCTTTTTTTCGTTCGACTTTTTGCATCAATGATGAAAGAAGTAATAGTAGATAAATTATCATTATCTATAGATAAATGTAATGATTTGATCAATGTTGGAATACATTCAATACAATCATTTAGTAAATATGATAAGATACTATTTGTTGGTTCAATTGCTTTACCTTTTTTAATTAATTGTAATAAAACGAAAAAAACAAAAAAAAGAGAGAGAGATAGAATACTTAATCTTTTTTATTTTCTATTTTTTAGTACCAAATTATGGAATATTACCAAAACAATCAAATGATTGGATTGAAACACATTATAAACAATCCTTAATCAAGATTAGACAAGTTTATACAGCCATTCAAGCATCTGATTATTCAATTATGGATACTCAAGAGATTAGATTGATAGCCACCTCTGCTGTAAATAATACTAGATTGTGTAAAATATTGGCTACAAAGGAAGTGGTTTTAATGTTGTTGGAAATCATAGACAATGCTGAAAATATGTGGAAACATAGTAATCGTCATCAATTACCACTATCAGACACTACTATTCATTTATTTTACCTAACCCTCGATTCTGAAACTATAATGTTGGATTGTATTTCTTTATTAAATAGTATTTTACCCTATAGTATGTAAAGAAAATAGAAAAAAAGAAAAAAAGAAAGAATATTTATTTATTTATTTTTATTTATTTTTAATTTTATTTAGCAAAACCAGATTCAATACCATTTAAAGAATTTGTTCATCTACTAGTTAGACAATCAATTTCACCATCAAGTTATAAATTAACATGTGCAGCATTAAATGCAATGATAAAGAATAGATCATTGATGAAACCATTTTTAGAAGCTGGTATTATTGGTGCTGTTAGATTTTTTACTAGTAGAGAATTTAAATCTGAATATGCATTGCTACGCGATTACACAATTCAAATTAGCAAGATTACAAAAAAAGATATCCTCTTATTTAAAATGACAGTATTTGATCAAGCATGTTTGGCAAAATATTATCAATATCGATATCTATTGTTGATACCACAAGAGATTAGAGTGACACCTCATGGATTGATTTGTGAAATGCTGACAGATTGTATTGGATATTATGGTGGATGGGTCAAGCCTTTGGGTCTATTTGTAGATTATTTCTATTCAGATTCAAATTTCTACGAATCTCTCTACAAACCAATGCAATCTACAGCCAGTAGATATTTCTTTTGCTCTGCATTTGCTTCGTCGATACTGTTGTATTTTATGTTTCTAGTACCACTAAAAGGAAAGATTCATTATATAAGTTCGGCTGCAATGTCGTCTTTACTTTGCTATTATCAAGATAAATTGGTAACTCGTCAAAAGTTGGGTGGTTCATTGTACAAGTCTTTTAAAGAGTTTTTCCAAACTAGTAGTTTTGATAATCAAGATTCTTTCGAAAAGATTCAAAATGACAGTAATCTAAGACAAATTAATCATAAATCGGAAATTTAATAAATATAATAGATTGATTATTTATATTCTCCTAATGGTATTAATATGTCTTGTTGTGAGGATTCAGAATCTGATGACGAATCTGATGAATCTTGTTGAATTATAAATTTATCCAAATCATTATTATTATTATTATTATTATTATTATTATTTACATCTAATATATTATTATTATTATTTTTAGGTTGATTATTTACAATTGATTTTTTGTTATTATTATTATTTGGGATGACCAAGTTATTTTCATTTAATTGATCTTTATGTTCTAAAACGCCAAGTGATAGATCCATGCTAATATAGGTTTCTCCTTCTTTTACATTTTCAATGTTTACGTCTTCATTGTTTTCGATTTGTTTTTGTAGTTGTTTGTTTGCTTCCTTCAACTTTGGCATAAAGTCTTTTACTCTTGATAATACTAGAAAGAGAAAGAGTTAGAGAGAGAAAGAGAGAGTTAGAGAATTGATAGAGAATTGAGAGAGATTGAGCATACAAGAACTAGGTGGTAATCTATAAATGTTTGGTTTTGATTTGTTTGCATTGTTTGTATTATTATTATTATTGTTGAGTATAAAAGTTGAACTAGGTAATGTTGTGTCTTTACTCTCTAGATCTAATAGTGATGGATTAGATTGCTTTCTTTCATCTGTTGTTGATGATTGTTTAGTATTCATCTGTAATCTATATTTGTATATAAAAGAAAGAAACAAACTAAAAGCGAAATGAACCGAATAATGAAAACGACAAAAGTGGTTTTTATCAAATTTGATTTTTTTATTTTACTTTATCATTTATTATTTATTTATTTATTTATTTAATTATTTATTATATGTTAATTATTTATCTATTACCTCTTTCATTTTCACGTTGAATATTTCTAATATTGTTTGCTCGTTTACTGAAGCACTCTAGACAAAAATTACAGTTTTGTAGAAAGTTTTACTTATTACACAATTTTGCATATAATCCTCTGGGTCTTCCTTATTGTCCAAGATGCACTGTTTCGAGCAATAGGGACTTATGCATTGTTTCATAAGGTGTTTGCACATTATGAATTTGTCTGTCGCGATGTTGAAATGTTGAAAACCAACCAGGAAGAATATTAATGGTTCTATCGATTCTTGTCATTTTGATCCATCTCTACAGTTTCATAATCGATTTTTGGATATAATCTTTGGCTCTTGTTTGTCTTAAATCAATTTCATTGATATCTCATTGAACTCAATATACTCAATCCTGTTTAGGACACGTCTGTAAAGTATTTTGGATAAAATACTAACGACTAACCATCGTCAGTTAGTCGTCTGGATCAACAATTATAAAAGTATTAGAATAATCCAATAAAGAGAATCCATTCTATATTCATTCTATTCATTATTACTATAGTTATTAATCATTCTATTCAATTCACTTTTAATTATTATAAATATTATTTCTTTACAATCAAATCTAAAGCTTTTATTATTTATATACTTATTTATTTATTTATATATATATAAATATATCTTATTATATTATACCTCTCAACTAATTTTATATTTACGAAGTATCTATATAGTTATTACATCTCTCCTCTAAATAAATAAAAAGAATAGAAAGAAAGAAAAAAGTTTGTTAGTACAAAATGATTAGATCTTTTTCCAATTTTTTTTAATTTTTTTTATTGTATTTTCAAGGTTCTAATCTCTTTGGTCGCATTGGTAATTGCTTTGCCTGCAAAAGAATCATTGTGAAATGTTGCAGAGGCCTCTGAGATGGCAGCAGGAAACTGGTCTCTGACCTCTTGAGACACTTTACAAAATGATAAAGCTGAATTGATACAGTCTTTTACCCACATTGTCAGATATCTAGTAGTGTCGTAGGAGCCACCAGATCTTCCAGCACCAACAATTGATTCAATGTTGGAAAAATATCTCGAGTAGCGCATAATATGACGATGGAAATTGTTGACAAAGAATTCCTATCTGGCTAACAGACATTGTAAAGTCCTTCTCGCTGTCTTCGTCGATAATGGCAGGATACAATAGCTGACTAGAATCCCAGCCAAAGTAATAATATTGAAACAAGTTTTAAACACATAACAGACTTTATGCTACCAAAAGTGATACAATCCAACTTGCTTGTTGTAGTAAACCAAACCAATTTTCCCCGTATACATGATCTTTTTTTTTTGTTGTCTAAGTATTGTTCCAGTTATTAATGAAGAATAATTACACCCACTTGTCATTTCCTTGGAATGGCAATTGTGACAATATACTCTCAGAATGAAACACTGGATGTCAATAATTTTGAACAAATCATTTTGTTAAAGAAGATATTAACCATTCAAAAAAAAAGAAAGAAATTTTTTGAAAAATTAACAAAGGGAGGCACAAAGCGGGAAAGAGGTTTCAATGTTAGATATTATAGTTGATAGAATACAGTGATCGATGCAGCATAGTAATACTTTAGAGATGCAGGTGTCATGGTTGATAGTGGTTTCTATTTGTTAGGAAAGAAGGGACTGGGTAGGGAGCAGCGAGCTTGCCCCAGTTGGTGGAGAATCTGTTGAATAGAGCAGTCAATTCGAGGTTGGTTAGAGACCAACGTGCTGGTTGACACTTGAAAGTACCTCTTTGCAGTGTTGTACTAGCTTCAGGTACTCCAAATAGATCAGTTGTCTATATCGTCTGGTGGCGATTGATACCTCGTTTGGGTCGATCGAGTACTGCTTGTTGCTTCGGTAAGTCACGTTCAAGTGGTGGCACCAAGGAAGAGGATCGCGACAGCGTTTGCCTATCGTTGTGGGTGCTGTCTGTGCACTGTGAAGTTTAGAGCGTGCACGTTCCACTGCACTCTGTTGTCGGTCCAGTCGAGTAGCAACTTGCTGAACGTCGAGATGCGTGGTTGTATGTGGATGCATTCGCAGAGATAGTGGATGACTGGTGCCGTATGGGTAGCTTCTTCGAATATAGTCAGGCACGCTGCGCATTGGTTGGAGAATTGAATCTAATATGTACATCGATCCTTAAATGATGAAAAAGCTCTAATGGTTCAATGGAAGAATTGAAAGTTCGGATCTTTTAGACCCAGGTTCGATTCCTGGTTAGAGCTTAGGTTTTTTGGGTGGGCCTAAGCAACCTCTTTTTGATGCCTTTTTGTTCTCCTCGCGAGATGCTATCGTTTCATCTGGGTTTCATCAATTTTGGACAAATCCAGACTATAAAATAGTCGATTCTAATCAGAGGAATTGAAAGTTCGGATTTTAGAATCAGGTTTGTTTACTGGTAGGGCTGAGGTTTTTTGGGTCTTCGCAACCCCAAAAAAACAAAAAAAAAAGTTGTCTTCAAGTCAGCACCCCAAACTAAAATTGTCTTCTGGTCGCCCTTGAGAAAATGCATGCATGTGCTCCTGTCTGGATCGTAGCAATAGATGTCTATGGATTGACGCCCCAACTGTGTTCAAAATCAATAAACAAATAATTAAAAAAGAAAATATATTTTAAAACTCTAATCAATTAACCAATTTATTTACAAATAACCACCAAACAAATAAACAATGCACTGCACCCAAAGCGAGATCTTTCTCTCCTCAAACAGCTTGTCATCGGCGACCTGTGTCGACTCCCACAAGTAGGCACGTTCGCCCTCCATCTTTTGCTGGAGCTCGACATCCTCTGTCATGATGATCATCTGCGCCTCCAAATCCTTTTCGACGCTGCGACTGCCAAAGTTTGGTGAACCAATCAACGTAATACTCGGAACACTTGTCTGATCCTGCGAGGTAATCCACAATCCCTTTGCATGATAGGTCCAACCATTTCTAATATACTCTTCCACCTTGATTCGTTGCTCGTTACCGGTACGTTTGACCAAATCCAAAAATCTCTTTTCAATGATTGCATAGCAATCGGGTACAGCACTTGAAAGTCCCTTTGCTCCAAAAAAACCGTTTGCCTCTGGTGAACATGTGATAATATCCAACTTTGGTCTGCCTTGCATGATTAATTGTAGATAGTTTTTGGTCAAATTAAAATAGGGTGAAGTGATATAAAACAATGATTCCCGAGGTACAGTATTGAATATATAACTTGTACACACCTCGTCATGTCTAATATTAAATGGGCCCATTTGAATGGTTGGAAATATCCATGTATGACGAGACGACGACGACGACGATGAAGCTCTGACGTCAGAGGGAGAGGAAAAACTTTTCAAACCATCACTACTAGCCAAATAAAAAGTATCTGGTTGTAAAATGGCAGACAGTTTCTTTTCGGCAACCTCTTTGAAATCTTTAGATTGAGTGACTGGATCCAGACGACCATCATTTGGTAAATGTAAACGTCCGATCGATGGACCTGTAGCATTGGGGGTCATTACGAGTGACATGGATCCAACCGTTTCGACAATGGTATCGAAAAAACTAGCCAAAGCTTGACTCTGTTTGATGACAACATAACGATCTTGACGATTGGTAAAATAATCTTTTGACAAGTTGGCACCACTCATTACCAAATCATCATCAAATACATAGGTTTTGAGATGATTGACACCAATCGTTTCATTTACACGTGGTGGTAAAAATCTCTTTAAAAGACCATTTAAATCTGGTGTATGATACATACTAATTTGTACTCTATCACTAAATTGATTTAATAATGGTTGTAACATTGTTACACTTGATTGTAATGTAGTAGTAGAAGTAGAAGTAGAGGGAGTTGGAACATCTCTACTACCTCGAAGACCATCTAGTAATATATGAATTTTTAAATTTGGATTTCTTTCACATGCTTCAATCATTGATGTTACAATTAATGATTCCTTTTCTCCAATTCCCAAATACAATGATGCAAATGTTATTCTTTTTTTTGATCTTTTAATTCCTGACTAGAGAAAGAAAAAAGAAAAGGTTAGAAAAAAGAAAAAAAAGATCATATGTTTAAATATATGTTTTATATTCTTACAATTAAATGATTATAAAAATCATTTGGTTCTTGAATAAATTCTATATTATTTGGATTAACAGCAAAAGCAGGACCTTGAGATGAAAATTGATAAAATGATTCATTTAAATAATCATCTTTAAATACTCTTGATGATGAATTTGAAGATGAAGAACTACTACTACTACTACTACTATAGTTGTTTATAATCTTTGATTGTTTTGTTGATTGTTTTGGTAAAAGTATAGACTTTGATTGATATGTTGTATTACTATTCATCGTAGTTGTTGTTGTACTACTATTATTACTGTTGAAACCAGCTTTACCACCAATAACCATACATGCAGCAAATAATCTTTGTGGTTGAACAAATGGTAAAAGTCTAGGCCATACTTTATGTTTGATCATATTGAAACAAGCAATGAAAAATGTAATAATCGGATGCATCTATAGATTAAAGAGAGAGTCTCTATTCTATCTCTCTAGTAAAAAAAAAATGACAATTTTTTTAAAATTTAATTAAAGTAAATTAATTATACAGTAGCTAGATAGCAACTAAAGAAGAAGAAGAGATAAAAGATTTAATTGTTTTTTTTATGATGAGAAGAGAAAAATAAATATTTTTGTGGTGGTGGTGGTGGGGGTGGTGAGTAAGAGAGAGTAAAAGAGTGTGTTGATTATTATTATTGTTATTATTATTATTATTCCTTTGAAAGGTATGATTTTAAATGTCTATAGATATTTCTTTGTTGTTGTTGGGGCGTTCATGAATGATGTGCAAGTGTAAACAAGTCTTTTACCTTTTCCTTTTTTAATATAAAAATATATTAATAAACTCATATCTCGAGATAAAAAATCATTTTAAAAAAAGCCGAGTCCGTTGGTCATATTCAACCTACTTTTCCTTTTCCTTTTTTTTTTTTTACGTTACATGTTATTTATCTGTTTTTTTATGATTACTTTAAAATAATGTAATATGTGTGTGTATGTCGATGACACACACTCACACACCACGATTTAAATATTTGATTGTTGTTTGTTTGACTTCCCAAAAAAAATGGAATCAAAGCGAAAATTGAGAACCTGTTTGTTCTAGTTGTTTTATATATTTTTTATTGTTATTTATTTTATATATATATCTTTTTTTTTTTTTTACTTTACAGGATGATGAATGTAGAGAAATTAATATTAGATAATACAAATTATTCAATATCTATACAACAAGGAGAAAGTACAGGTAGATTTATACTTTCTAGAGAGACTATACAAAGAGGATCAAAAGTAATATCATTACCTAGGACTTCATGTCATGGAATCTATAATCATCTAGTTAGACAAGTTTGTCATACATGTCTGAAACATTCAACGCTGGGAAACCTAAAACTATCATGTCAAACATGTAAACAAGTTTATTATTGTTCAAGAGAATGTCAAGATGCAGCAGAAAGAGGTCTCTTTCATAATCATTTAGAGTGTTTGGTATTACGATGGTTGAGGGTACCGGCAGGATTTACAATGCATCAAGTGGCAGAGATTCGTATGGTGGTGAATCACTTTTCAAAGGTTGCCTATGGTACCGATGACAAGGCAATCAAACAAACAGTCGGTGAATTTAATCGATTCCCCAAAGAAGATTCAAAACTCATCATCAAGATGAGTGCCGTTGTAAAGAGAGCATTTGCAGGTTATCTTTGTGATTTGGACGACAGTCATATTTGCGAGGTCCTAGCACAATCAAATAGAAATAGTTTTGGTCTTTGGAAATCATCAGATGAACAATATGGTCTGGCAATGTATGCAACCGCTTCCTTTCTCAATCATAGTTGTTTTCCAAATTGTGCTCGTGTTCAACGTAACGCAGGTATCGATATCGTTGCCATTCGTGATATCGAGGAAAACGATGAAATCACCATTTGCTACATCAATGCTCGTGACAATGATACTGCTCGGAGAATGATACTCAAAGGTTGTTATTACTTTGATTGTCAATGTATTCGTTGTGATTACAAAACTTTGGAATCTAAAAAGTTGGAAATCTCAACCCTATTACAACAATCTATAATGTGTACAAATCCAAAAATTAATTGTTGTGGTTATTTTATTCCAAATCAAAATAATCAAAATAATAATAATTTTAATAATAATGAAATGGTTTGTAATTTTTGTAAATTTAAATCTTTTTAATTTTTTTTTTATTTAGATTTAATATAATTTTTTAAAGAATTAATAAAATCAGATTGAATTAATTTATCTGGATTTAAATTGTTACGACGTAATGATTGAAAAGAAGCTTCACGACAAATATTTTCAATATCTGCTCCACTATATCCATTTGTCATTTCACCAAGATAATTAAAATCAATATTGTCTAGATCGATTGGGATTGAATTTGTTTTTAATTTAAAAATTTCTATTCTAGTTTCCAAATCTGGTAGGGTAATTTCCAAAACTTTATCAAATCTACCAGGTCTTAATAATGCAGCATCAATCATATCTAGACGATTGGTTGCACCAACAACAATAACACCATTTAATTGTTCAACACCATCCATTTCATTTAAAAATGTTGATAATACACGTGATTGTGCACTATCTCCATTATTGCTGTCTGTCGATCGTTTAGAGACTATAGAATCAATTTCATCAAAAAATAATATACTTGGTGATGATTGTCTTGCCTTTTTAAATACATCTCTAATAATTGCTTCAGAGTCTCCAAGATAGGGTGAAAAAATACTTGCTCCAGACAGTGATATAAATGATAGATTTGATCGACTTGCAATTGCCTTGACCAGCGTTGTTTTTGAACATCCAGGTGGTCCATAAAGAATAATTCCTTTTGGTGGTGATAAATTAAATCTTTTAAATGCCTCACTATATAATAATGGCCATTCAATTGCACGTTGCAATTCCAATTTAATTTCTTTTAATCCACCAACATCATTCCATCCAATCTTTTCATTTTCATTTAATTGAATATTAAATGAAGACAATGATTTGTTATTATTAAATTTTAATGATTCTTTAAAATCTCCGATATTTATAAACATTTGATTTTGATTTTGATTTAAAAGAAAATGATTTAAAGTATCTCTAACTAGAGATTGAATATTTGCGCCAACATAACCAACCAAATTATCATTTAATAATTCTAAATTTAAATTTGGATCCAATGGTAAAGACTTTGAATAATACTTTAATATTTCCAGTCTTTGTTGAGGGTTTGGGATAGGTATTTGTAATTCTCTATCAAAACGACCTGGTCTACGTAGAGCAGGGTCAATATGATTTGGACGATTCGTTGCAGCTACGACAATTAATTTGCCTCTTGATTTGATACCATCCATCAGAGTGAGTAATTGACCAACTACACGTGCTTCATGTTGTGAACTATCGCTTCTTGGTGGGCATAGTGTATCCACTTCATCGATAAATAATACACATGGCATTGACGATTCCAAAGCATAATCATTGGCCGTTTCAAATACCCTTCTTAGATTTGCTTCTGTATCGCCCAAATATTGACCACCCAAACTTGATGCATCGGCCGTCACCAATGTCAAATTGAAATATTCACAAAAACTACGTATTAAATTGGTTTTACCAGTTCCTGGTTCACCCTTTAAAAGTAATCCTTTTGGTGTTTCAATTTGAAATCTTTCAAATCCATAAATCATTGGATATATTATCATCTCTTCTAAAAGATTAAATTGTTCTTCTAATCCTGCTACTTTTATATTATTTTGATTATTATTTTGATTATTGTTTGTTGATTTTTTTCTATTTAATAATAAATGTTTTAATCTTTTCTTTTCCAATTCCATTTCATCTATAATTTCCATTTGTTTCTTTATATTTATCAATGTTTTGTTTTTTATCATTCCAATCTTTGTATTATTATTATTATTGTCAGAGGTATAAACTTTTAATACTTTAAATAATAGATTATCACTATTACCAAATAAACATCCATTCATCAATACCTTATTTTTTATCATTTCTTTAATCTAAATAATAGAAATAACAAGTAAGTAACTATATCTTATATATATCTTTATCTTTGTGTCTTACAAATTGATTTTTAAAATGATGATTATTTAATAATTTAATATCAATACGATCAATAATTGATATTGATTCATTTAATGGATAGATACCATTAATTTTAATTGGGTATCTATTGATTGTAATATTTGATTGATCTTCTTTTTTACTAATCAATTGAACGATTGGATTACATTGAATGATAGTATCATCATAGATTAATCTACTTGTCCAACATTTAACTATAAATGTTATATCTACTTCTTCCTTTTCTTCTTCTTGTTGTTGTTTGATATGTATCATAATCCATTGTCCCAATTTAAACTTTAATGATTTCATTAAATTGATTGTCATATAACATCTTTCATTATATTCTATCAATGTATTGTTATCATCAAGATTAAGATTAGGAGGAAGAGGTATATTATCTTCTTTTTCTGCTTCTATACTACTACTACTACTACTACTACTACTACTACTACTACTACTAATATCATTATATATACAATTTGAATGTTTAAATGGGTATAGATATATATTACTATTCATACTGAGATATATGATAATGATGATCAATCATCAGTCTCGTTCGTTTTTCATTAGTTTATTTTCAATGTTTTCAATTCTTTTTGAATAATCTATTAATATTGTTTCAATATTATTTAATTTGTTTAATATTAATGTTTGTTGATTTAATAATTGATTTAATATATCGTTATTATTGATTGATTGTTGTTTTTGATCGATTTTTAAATCTTTAAAAGTTAATTTGATTGATTGATATAATGATTGATTTGATAGAGTTAGTCCAATTGGACCTTTAGATGGTACTTTTTTAGCATATAATATAAACAATCTATTTGATTGAAACCGTAAGCCTTTAATTTTTAAAGAAGAAGAAGAATCTTCTTTTTTAAATTGAAAACTTGATATCAATTCTAGGGTACTATTATTTTCTTCTTTTTGTTGATGATGATGATATTTGAAACATTTAATCCAAGTATTATTACTTGAAGCAATTGCTAAAATAGAATGTTCTATATTATATGTCATTAAATCTGGTACTATCATATTATTATCTAATTTATATTCTCTTAAGTATTGATTGTTATCAAATTTAAATAATATTAATTTTGATGTCATAATATTATCCTCTTCTTTTTCTTTTTCTTTTTCTTCTTCTTTTTGAATCATAAACATTGATTGAATAGTTGAACTTTTACTATTATTTCCAAATGTTATTATTTCATCTGATTCATCTTTTGGTGGTTCAATAATATTAAAAGTCTTTGTAGTAATAGATTCTTTAATTTGAATTAATTGATTTGTTGTTGTTGTCAATGTTGATGTTGGTAATAATCTAGTCATTTCAGTACCAACAATAAAATGATTATTATCTAACCATTGTATTGATGTATTTGTATTTTTTGAATTTAATGTATTATAGAAACATTCATTCTCTATTCCATTTTTAATTGACCAATTACAACTCCATATTTCTTCACTTGTACATCTAAATAATATAAATTAATTTAATACAAAATATTACTATTTCCTTGTCTTTTTTAAAAATATTTACACAATTATTTGATTACCATTTAAACTCCAATGAAATGATTTAATTCTTGATTTAAATGATTTTAATAATACAATTGAAATTGGATCAATCATAGTTAAATTTATAATATTTAATTGATTTCTTTTAGATTCAATTAAATAATCATTATAAATTGGATTCCACTTCAGATTATTATTATTATTATTACCAACATTATTAAAAGTTGATATTGTTGTTGGTTTAATATGATCATCTATTTTAAATTGATGATTAAAATTCTTTACTATTTTAGAATAATCTAAAATTGATAGTTTTCCTCTTGATTGATGACATGCTAATTTCTTTTCAACATTTATTACTATTCTATTGAAACAAAAACATAAATATTTAGAATAACTTATTTTATCTATATCTCTTTTTTCAATACTTACAATGATGATAAAGAATCATTACGAGTTGAATGAAATTGTTTAAATTGATCAATATGATTTGAATTTAAATAGATATAGGTAGTATTACTACTACTATTACCTATATAAGACCAAGGTAATAAAAGAGTAGACTTATCAATCAAAGTTAGATTGTCTAAATAGTTGACATATTGATTAATCAAATATACTTGACCGCCGTTGTTAATATCATTGTCATTGTCATCTTGTTCAATATTAATTTCTAAATGTATTTGATTATTATCAAATATATTACTACATGTAGTATCATCAGCAGCGGTTGTCATACTTGAACAAGAGATAGAATTATTTGTAAATTGTGATCATTTGTTTTTTTTAGAAGCACCCTTTTTAAAAATCATATTCTTTTTTTTTTTTATATATTATACTTTTAATTTAACTTACTTTTTAGAGACAGAGATAAAGAGAAAGAAAAGATGATAACATTCAAGATATCATTATTGTTGTTGTTATTTTCTTTTTCATCATTTACATTAGGACAAGTTAATCCAAATTCACAAGTATCATCAAAGATTTATAATATACCAAACTATGTATACCCATGTACTCGTATGTTGACTAATAATGGTGTAGCTGGTTGTACTAGTAAAGCAGGTGGGAATGATGGTGCAATCTTTCTCATTGATAGTGATGCATCACTAGACAACTTGATATCAGGTCCTAGTCAACCCGATAAAATCATCTTGGCTCTTGACCCTGATTATTTTAACAAGTAAGAAAAAAGAAGAAAAAGAAGAAAAGATATATTTGTACAATTTACTTATTCTCTCTTTTTTTATTTATTTATTTAGGAGTATAATTGAAAAAGTAAATTCAAAATCATTTGAAGGTATATTGGTGTTGACAGATAAACCACAATCATATGCCTATTCTCCCGATATTGCCTATCCAAACAAAGCATTTGGTCTTTATCCAAATTCAAATTTTACTTGGAATACTCTTGGTGATGGTCTATCTGAATTATCATTTAATTATCCAATCTTTGCAATTGATACAAATACAAGTATTGAAATTCGTCAAGTAAGAATAATCTTTTTCTTTCTTTTTTCTTTTTATTAATTTTCTTTTTCTTTTTCCTTTAAAGTATGGAGAATCAAATAGAAATGGATTATATCCAAAACATGGTGCACAATTAATATCATTTATGCAAGCAATTATGACATCTGAAAGTTGTTTACATAGAGGATTTTGTGCACCAATGGGAGGTTTAAGTTCATGGGCAACGTTTTCACCAAGTATTACATCGGCACAACCCATTTTAATGGTGATTGTACCAATGGATACTACAGCCTTTTTCCATGATATGGCAATTGGTGCTCAATCCAATACCTATGCTTCTGTCGTTTTGACTTCAATCATGAGATCATTGTCAATGGTTGATCAATCAACATGGAATATGCAAGTGGTATTTGCAGTATTCAACGGAGAACGTTGGGGTTATTTGGGTAGTACCAAATTTGTCAATGACATTGTCAATTTCAAGTGTTCAGAGTACTATGACGATACCAATACTACTTGTTCATCACCATTCAATTCGGATCTTGCTTTTATGAATATTTCATTGTCAAATATTCAAGCAATCCTAGAATTGAATCAAATTGGTAATCCACTCACAACCAATGCCAAACAACAACTATTATTTGCAATCAATCAAGTCAATCCAAATTCACCTCAATCAACTATTCGTTCCAATATAATGAGTGTTAGTGATAGATTGAATCTATCGGTTGGTTGCCAGGTTGCTACTGACGTACCAGAATTACCTCCATCCTCTTCAATGTCATTCCTCAAAGTATCACCAAACATTGATCATGCAGTCATTACTGATCATTTTGGTGCCTACACTAATAATTTTTATAATAGTCATCAAGATACCTCTAGTAATGTTAATCAACAAATCCTTCAAGATACAATCACCCTCTTTGCTACTGTCATTGATCAAATGGCTGGTGGTAAAAATAATATCACCGTTGATACTACTTTTATGAATGATATCTTTTCTTGTCTAACTCAATCATTTTCTTGTGATTATGTTGAAAGATTATTACCTGTTTATCGTAAGAAAAAGAAGAAGAAAAACAAACAAATATATATTTATAATTTATTTATTTATTTTATTTTTATTTTTTTAGCATATGATACATATCCATCATTTTATTCATCAGTTTATGGTACAGCACCAACAGCTCAATTATTAACTATACAAGCACAATTTTTCCATAATTTGTTTATCAATTTAACAAATTCAGTGGTTGGAGATGTTTGTTCAAATTCAAAGAGTTGTCCATCATCTGATTATTCATGTATTGGATCAAGATGTAGAATTTCAAATACTCATTATCATGAAGCCGTTTCTTTGGCATTTACATTTGATGGTTCAACTGGTAATTTCAGAGTTACAAACACTACCTATCCAACCTATACAGAATCCAATTGGGATTACACCCAAGTTAAATTCTTTTTGGTAGACAGTAAGAAAAGTGAAATCATTTTCCTCATTGTTGGTATCATTGAATTTTTATCAACTGTTGCCATTTTAATATTTTCAAGAAATTATTTATCAAAAAGATATAAATTATTATAAAAAAAAAAAGAAATAAAATGTAATATATATTGTTTAATTTTTTATTTTCTTTATTATTCTTGTTTATTTTCTAAAATATTAATCATATCAGAAAAATCTTTATCTGTTAATTTATGAATAGTATTACAACTATAACATCTAATTTCATTATGATTATCTTGTTTCATTGATTTTACTTCGTGTAAACCCAAAGACATGATATGATTTTTAAAAGTTGTAATATTACATCGACAATAGAAATCTACCAATGTACGACCTATAATGACTAACGGTGATGTATCAGATTCTGGTTTTATCAATTGAATGATATCTTCCAATGTTTTTGAATTCTGAAAGAGTTCCTTTTCAATTGATAAATCTCTAATACGATTTCTAACATCTTGAATGATATTATCAGGTGTACCTGGCATTGTTTGTACCAATATACCACCACTAAAACAATCATTATTGTCCTTTCCAATACGAGTTTCCAATTTAATGGCAGATGGTATTTGTTCAGACAAGAAAAAATACAATGCAAATTCATTTTCAATAGAGTAATCTACCAATTCCACTGATGATTCAATTGGTGTTTTGGCACCATACAATGTCTTTGTAATTTGAAATACTCCATTGGGTGGTTCATCATCTTCTCCCATCACCTTTCCACTATATTGTCTATCAATTGCTTCAGTCTCTTGTAAAAATCCTCTAACTTCTCCAACTTTTAATGATTCTGCATATATATACTAAAAGTAAAAGGTTATAAATAATTAATTTCTTTTTTCTATTTCTATCAAGATTTGATTTCATACAAAAGGATTTAAATTTCTAGATTTAATTTGGGCTTTAAATCTTTCTTCATCTTTTAAAAAGGATGAACATAGTGATACACCACTCATCATCTTTGCCAACAGAGAAAAGTATTGAGGTTTCTCATCGAGTTGATGTTTCTTCATTGCAACACTTGCAGTCTTTGAAGTATTGATAATTGCTATTCTTAATTGATCGGTATGTGCATTTACAACTTGATCTCTTTTTCTTAAATATTCTTTTGTATTTTCTGATATCGAAGAAGAAGAAGTATTATTATTATTGTTGTTTAACTTTGCCGTTTCATTTGAACAATAATAACGTCGATTATAATTGATAAAAGAAGAATAGGATGATGATCCTAATAATCTAATAGATTTATCATTAAATATTAATGATTTGATCATTCTATGCTAATTTATAACAATGAATGAATGAAGAGACAATGAAAATGATAATGACAACGTCAATATTAAATTTTTTTTAAAAACATTTTGTGATCATCAAAAAATAGATAATTGTTATCTATTTGGTTAATTGTTCTACAGATAGATCTCTATCTCTTTAAACTTTCAAGATGTCACATAGAATGAATTCAAATTCCAACCTATTCATACCGGTTGGAAGACCACCATATTATTTACAACCTCAAATGGTTAATCCTCAGATGATGGGTCATCATCATGCATTCCCACCACCTCCCAATGTATACTCTTATCATCATCAACAACAGCAACAACAGCAACAACAACAGCAGCAACAACAGCAACAGCAACAACAACAGATACATGCTATACCTCCACCAGTTCCTCAAGATAAACCATCTTCATCATCATCATCTAGTTCAACACCTGCTTCATCATCTTCTTCATCTTCATCATCATCAACAACAAATACAACAACTGTAAAGACCAATACACCATATAGTAATAATTTTACAAAGTATGATCAATTTAGTATACTTTTATTTCTATTTTCATTGTATTAATCTTTTTAACTATCTTTTACTTTAGTTTTGAACTTGCATCAAGGTATTTTTCAGAATGTACAACTAAAGAGTTTGTAGGACATAAAAACAAAGTAAATTCTGTTGTTTGGTCAATAGATGGTAAAAAATTTGCAAGTGGTAGTAGTGATAAAACTTTAAAGATTTGGAATATTGAACATAGTGTATGTAATATATAAATATATATCATTATTATTTTTTTTGTTAATTTAATTTATTTATTTTTTTTGTAGAAACCAATATTTGATCTAAGTCATAAAGAATCAGTTGAACAATTAAGATGGAGTCCTGTACATCCAGATTTATTGGCAAGTGCAAGTACAGACAAGACTATAAAGATATGGGATACTAGAAGTGGAAAGGCAACCGATACGATTACGACACCAGGTGAAAATATTAATCTTTGTTGGTCTCCCGATGGCAATATAATTGCTGTTGGAAACAAAGAAGATATTGTTACAACGATCGATCTCAAGGGTAGAAAGAACAACTCTAAAAAATATATGAAACAATATCAATATCAATATGAAATCAATGAAATTGGATGGGATCTAAAAGGTGAATTATTCATCTTGACTACTGGAACTGGTGCAGTCGAAGTATCAACTTGTACAACTAGCGATATTAAAAAGATTTGTTCTATTCTTGCTCATCCTGCTAATTTATATACTTTAGAATTTGATCCTCTAAAAAGGTAAGAACTTTATAGAAAATAGAAATAGATAATAATAATAATAATAATTATTAATATTTGTTTCTTTTTCTATTTAGATATTTTGCAGTTGGTGGAGCAGATGCTCAAATTTCATTGTGGGATATTGAAGAAATGATTTGTATAAAATCATTTGGTAAATTAACATCACAAATACGTGCTATGGGTTTCTCTTCTGATGGTCAATTTTTGGCTTATGCTGCTGATGATCCTTTTATCGAAATTGTAAGCAATCCAAAATTTCACAAATATTCCGTATTGTAATTAATTAATTTCTTTTTCTTCTATCTACTTATAGTCACATGTTGAAACTGGTCAATCCATATTTCAAGTACCAGGTGATACTGGTTTTGTAAGTATCAAAATAATACCATATATATTATTAATTCGTTCTTACTAATTTGATTAAAGAATTCTTTATCATGGTGTCCAAATGCTCCAATGATTGCTTATGCCAGTGATGATAAAGATAAAAAAGAAAAAGATGTTGGTATTGTCAGAGTATTTGGTTATCATTCCTAAAACATCTAAAATAAACCAAAAAACGTATCGATCAATCAAAAAGTTGTTTCGTTCTTTCTTATTCTTTCTTATTACTATTATTATTATTAATTTATTTCTTTGATGGTTTCTTTGGTGGTGCTGGTGGATCGAAAATACCTCCAAGCTAAAAAAACAAAACACGTTAGATCTCTTTCATTTGCATATATCTATAGGGTTTGATACATACATTGATCATATCCATTTCTTCTTGTTTTAATGCAAGTCTTTTATGTGGAGCTTGAGCGAGATATGTATAGTTTTTGTTCTTATTATTAGTATTTGATGATGGTGCTACAAAAGATGCAGAACTAGATTGTGAAGTAGTAGTAGAATGAGTGTTTACTGGAGCTCCTAATAATATTGATCAATCAACATATGTTAATAATAAGAATGACGTCATTCGTTCTCTCTCTCTCTCTCTCTGTTTGTTCATTTACCATGTCTGCTTGGGAATTTAATCAAAGGTACATGATGTCTAGCTCTTTGAAATAATCTTAATGCTTGAAATTGCATTGTATACTACGAATAATTAGGTAGATATATATATATATATATGTTACAACAAGTGTAATGAAAGTTGAAACGAAATGAAATGAATTCGAATCAAGTATAAATTTAATTTTAATTTTTTTGACACTTTCATCATCATTGCTCAAAAAAGGTAATCAATCTCTTTATTCTTTAATTTCACAACAACAAAAAGAGATAATTAATACATTACATTATGTTAACAACAAGAAGATTAGTAAATCAAATATCAAATAACTTGATTTATTCATGTCGATTCAAAACTGATTCAACGTCAGATAATAACCAAGAAGTGGTTTATCCTATATTTGGAGATAATGAAATTTGGGTTGCAAAGTTTAAATGTATATCAAAATCAAATTTCACTGGTAGAACCAAAGTTGATCTTAGAACCTATGTTTTTCCAGAAAAAGAGAATAGTACAAAGGCTGTACCATCACAAAAAGGAATTACATTTGACAAGCAAGAATGGGAAATCATTAAATCAAATATTGATGTAATTGATTCATGGTTTGATAATGATAGTGAAAAGAAATAAATCAATCAATCAATCAATCAACAAATAAATTAATGTACAAAATTTATATTTTTATTTTTTTTCTAAAATAGTTTATATACATATATATATATAGAATAGAAATAGGATAGTAGTACTATCCTATCCCCTGACTCTCTCTTTTTTTTTCTCTCTATTTATCATCATGATGTTTATTATAAGCCCAAGAAATGACACGTCTATCAAAACTAGCCGAAAAAATGACACTATCATCATTTGACCATGCAGTACTAGTTGCCATTAATTTGTGCCCATATTTGTATTGATCTCTCATCTTTCCTTTTCTGTTGCCATAAATGTCATACACTGAAATACGACCATCATCTTGTGGTATGGCAATCGATGAAGATTGACTTATCGACAGTCTATTGATTGATAATGGACAACGTATAGATGCTTGACATGCTTTAGTTTGTCTAATATCCCATACTTTAACTGTTCTATCATCTCCTCCACTAACTATAAAATTTGAATCATATGTATATGCTGCTGTATTTATTCCACTAAACAAAAAAAAAGAAGAAAATAAATATTAGAATATTATTCTTTTTTCTTTTTCTTTTCTATTTCTTACTCTGAATGACCATGAATTGAATCAATTGAAGAATTGGTAGAACTTCTATAATCCCAAATTCTAATGATACCATCTGTACTAGATGTAAGTGCATTATTGGTAGTTCCCAGTGAAGTAATATTTGTGAGTTTGTGAACCTTGTCCATACAGACATTGGTGGCTTGTGATAGATATTTTCCACTCTCGGTAGACCACCATCTTACTGTATTGTCCCAACTAGCCGTTACAATCATATTTGATGGTAACCATGCTGCTCCTACAACAGGTCCATTATGTCCTTTTAATTCCAATGATGGCTGTCTAATTACTACATAGGATTGATCATTTTCTTTTTCTTGTTTAAATTTTAATTGTTCTTGTTGTTGTTTTTGAATATTTAATTGTTCTTGTTGTTTTTGTTGATATTGTTGTTGTTGTTGTTGAATATTTAATTGTTGTTGTTGTTGTTGTTGTTGTTGTTGTTGTTGTTGTTGTTGTTGTTGTTGTTGTTGTTGACTTTGAATTTGTTGTTGTTGTTGAATTTGATGTCTTTCAAAGTTTTCAATTTCAGGTGAATGAGGAGAAGTTGATATTTGTTGATTCATGATTGGATAATTATCATATCCATCATACCTATTAAAGATGATTTCATCTGTTTCATCTTCATCATCTTCATCACTATCACTCTGGTCACTGTATTTGTGACGCGATGAAGAGTTGATGGGTTGATCATTATTATTATTATTATTATTATAATTATATATTACATCAGTTTGATCAATTGGATCGATGGGTCTCATTTGAATGAGATCTTGATCCACAGGATTACCTAAAAGTGGTGTCCACAATTTACTTCTATCTCGTCGTGCTTGAACTGGTGATTGTGGTTGTTGATGAGGTGCTCCAGCAGGTGAAGTAGAAGGTGGTGGAGGCATACCCATACCCATACCAGTACTACCTCCGATCATATTGTTCATTGAATGAGAAGGTATTTGTAGAGGCGGTGGAAGAGGTGATCTAGCACCAGAAGCATTTGATCGTTCTGTTGGGAATTTTAAAATGTGACAAGTTCTGTCGCCAGATGCTGTACAAAGTAGTCGTTCAGTTGGATGGAATCGAACGCTATTCACTGCGCCCGTGTGTCCAATATAGACATACGGAATCTTTGATCCGTCAACCGACCATATTCTCGCAGTTCTATCTGTCGAACAAGTGGCAAATGAAAGAATGTCCCAAAGACTAGTTGAAACCTCCCATATACCATCACGATGTCCGTCATAGTCTCTAATCTTTAACCATTTATGTGATCCGTCTCTTTTGCTTACTGTTCCATTGATTGTTTTTGATTTCGATGATGATGACGATGATGAAGACGACGATGATGATCTACCTTTAATCTTTGTTAATTTTCCTACTCTAGCTCCTAAACTTTCACTTGACAATATAATCGTATTCTTTGTAGATGTATTATTAATCAATGTTGATGATAATGGATCTCTCTCTTTTAATGGAGTCGAGGAAGAAGAAATATTTGAAGAAGGAGTCGTTGTAGTTGATGATGATGATACTGCAATTGTTGATGTTGTTGGTATTGTCGTTGCTATTGATTGTACATTTTTCCTTTTTTGTCAATTGTTGTTGTAATTGTATATTCTGTTGTTGTGATTGTTGTAATTTTTGTTTTACTAAATATACAATACAATATTAGTTTATATAATCATCAATAATAATATTATATATTTATTCTATTCGAACATACAATCTTGATTTTCATCCCAAAGTAAATCATATTCTTTTTCTACTCTTTGTATCAACTCTTTGAATCTTTCTTTTGAAGGTAATTGTCCATTGTATATCTTTGATAACTCTTTTGACATTCAAAGAAGAATTATTAAAAGTATTATTAAAATGTATACTAATAATATTATAATTATTTCTACTATTGTTGTATTTAAATATTATTATTATTGAGTTGTGTGTGGTGTGTATATATGTAATGTATAAACTGAATGAAATGAATCTGATGATTATTTACAAATACTTTGGTGTACAGGTACAAGTATAATATAAAAATAAATTAAAAAAAAAAACAATCTTGATTCTTCACACCTCGGACATCACTTTCAGAGTTTAAAATCTTTGATTATTATATTTTATAATAATCTCGAAATCTTATTTATTCCTTTTTAATTTCTTCTTCTTTTTTTTGTACTATTTCTATTTGTTGTTTCTTTTTTTCCTCTTCTTCTTGTTCTTCTTTTAATTTCTTTTCTTTTTTAAGTTTAGCATTTGCTTTCTTTTCTTTACGTTTTGTTTGTTTATAATCCAATTGAGAGTCGTGAATGGCAAGACCATTTTGTCTTCTCCATTCGACGGTTGCCTTTCGTTTGAGTTCTTTGGTTAATTGTTTTTTGGTCTTTTCGCTGTCTGGTTTGTTGTTGGGCATTGTTTCTTCGGCCGGTGCATAGTATCGTTCACGGAGATCTTCGTGTGCCGGTTCGATTTGTCCTAAATCAAATTTCGTCAAATTGTCCTTGTTGTGAGCGATAGGGTCAAAATCCAATACCTTTTTCATTGTGATTAATCTACGACCCCATTTCAACGACAACACCTGCAAACAATTAGATACTAATGCCAGACATGGATGTTTTGGTAAATCACTTTCCTTAAATTCCGGTGTTGTTGGCAACCAATACACCAATCTACCATTCATTACTAAATTCTTTGCTGCCAATTCTAATAAATCTGCCATAACATCTGGTACTTTATATTCACAATGTTCTGGTATAAATGACCATCGACTAAAAATATAAAATAGAAAAATATAAATAAATATTAAAAGTATATTCTTTTTGTTTTTCTTTTCTATTCTTTTCTTTTTTGACTTACAATCCTTCAGGAGGACGTTTAACTCTTCTATTTTTATCTGGACCAATTTTCTTGGCACCAGCTCTAATACCATAGGGAGGATCACAAACAATACTTTCAAAGATTGGAATTGAACGCCATGGTGGTGATGAATTATCACAAAGTATAGGTCCCATAAATTTATCTGATAATCCCAATTGTTGGAAATTTGTATCAATATTACATTCCTCTAAAATTAAAAGAAATAAGTAAATAAATACTTGTTTTTTCTTTATCTTTTTTCTTTTCTTTTCTATTCTATTCTTACTTTGTTTTTGCATAGCATGAATATCAATATCACAACCAAAAGTTTGAGCACCAAAAGCAGATGCAACTAAAACAAAACTACCAGTACCAACAAATGGATCGAGCATAAGAGTGTTTTCTCTTACATGACCCATATTAATAGAGATGATCGATAGTTCAGGATCCATTGATGTAGTACCCAAATATTTACGTTCTTGTAGATTGAATCGTGCAATGGCATCTCTTGAACCTTTGGCAACGGTTGTGGCCAAAAACATTCTAAGAGGTTCCTCTCTCTCATTGCCATTCAAACCATATTCTTCAAACAATGCCCAAGTAATATGTTCGGTACCTGGGACGGGAACCATCGACACTGATCCCTTTGACCAAAGTTGTGATGGTTTTAATCTATGCATTCTCTTTAATTGTTCTTCACGTGACATTCTCTTTCCAAACGATTCAAAGTCAAGCTTCCAATGTTTACCTTGATGATAACCAACCAAGTATTCTAAATCGTGTAGTGCTGCAATCTGACCCAATGCTTCATCATATGTCTTGCAATCACACCATACCTTGTAAAATCCTTTAATCAATACTGATCTTGATGCAATCTTTCTACATATTTCATCTGATTCTAATTCAACATATAAAAATGGTGTCTAAAAAGTAAAAGAGTAAATTAAGTATAAGTATCTATATATCTCTATATCTATATATATGTATCTATATGTATCTATATATCTAATTAAACTTACAGCAGTATTAATATCATCAGATTCAATCAAAGGTAAAAGGGATGTATCATAAGTAACAGTCGCACCAAACATTTCTGCAAGTGCTTCCATCTCCCTTACTCTAAAACTAGGGAATGAATGATAAAATACACACAAGTATTTTACCATCTCTCTCTATCTCTTTCTAAATATAAATATATATAAATATATCTAAGTATGTATCTACTGAAATACAAATGTACCGAAAAACGAGTAATTTTCATGATTTTGTCAATTTCATCCTCTCTCTTTTATTTTTTTATTTTTAATTAATGGAAATCCACTCTTTTAATAACATTATTCATTACAGCACTAGTAAGACTATTATCACTAACTACAGAAGCACCTTGAGGGAATCTAATATTATTGTATGAAAATTGTTCGGTCAAGTACCGAGCAAAAGTTTGACAGTTACATTTAGAGGACATTGTATTACCAAATTGTTTAATGTATTGTGGTACCCATTCATACATTTTAAATATCAAATAGGCATACCATTTATGAATATTACCAGCCGAATTCTTTGGATCCATAAACACCACCTTTTCAAGAATACCAAGATACACTTGATCATTTAAAACAAACCTTTCAAATCCACTTTGGTCATTGATGATAGTTGGCATTTCCATTTTACCCATATCTTCAATCGATAAAAATTTGGATCTTCTTGCTGATATTCTCTTTTGAAGGAACCTCAACTTTTTATCTTTACCAAAAAATGTAATATGAAATTGTACTCCTATTATTTTCTCTTCTGTTGATTCTCCTGCTAAATCTAATATTACACTATTAAAATCATCAATTCAAAAATCAAACAAAAATAAATAAATAAATATATTAATATAAATAAATAAATAAATGAATATATCTTTTATCTTTTATTTCTTTTTCTTATTCTATTTACCAATAATGACTTGTTATTTTTGAACCAATTGTAGCATTTTCAATGATAGGAAAACTCATCCCTAAATATAATTGTCCATATGTTTTACTATTTTCAATTTGTAATGGAAATTTAGATGCATCCTCTATTTCCTTTTCAAATAGTATTTCTCCTTTATCATCAACCCTATAGTGTTTTGAACTATTTAATCCCATTCCTAATAGTATTTCTCTAACTCTACCTCTAACTAGTTATATAATAACTATTTATTTATTAATTGAATTGAATGAATATAATGAATGAATCATGATAAATAGAGTGAGAGTTCATAAAAAAAAAGTGGGCAATGATTGATCAGTCAATCAATCAATCAAAAATACACAACACACCACTGGTGAATTCACAGCACACAGAGATATGAGTGGGTGGGTGGTTAAACACTCTCTTTATTTAATTTTTGATTTGATTTGACAATTAATTAATTTTTGTTTTTGTTGTTTTTTTTGATTAGTTAAAAAAAGAATCAATATTAAAGATAACCTTTTCAAAACAATTAGTACCAATAACATGGAAACCAGGCCAAATTATATTATTTGCAGCAAATTTTGATACTAGGAATTTTGAAAAAGACTGACAATTACATTTTGATGAGAAATTTGATCCGACTTGAGATATGAATTCTAGTAACCAATCATCCATTGTAAATGCAACTTGATAGAACCATTTATGTGACTTTCCAGTTAACTTTGAATAAAGTTCTATTTCTTGTGATAAAGAGTATGGATCTCTATCTGCAACCGATGCAGACAAGACTTTACCATTTTGAAAATCTTCAATAATAGTTGGATATGGTAATTGACCGATACTTGTAACTGAAACAAACTTGTTTCTTTCTTGATTGATTCTATTTTGAAGATAAATCAATTTTTTTGATTTACTTTCAAATGTAATATGCATCTCTATACCTCTGATATGAGTGTCTGTAGATTCACCACTTGTATCCAGCACAATGGTAAAATGTTTTCCAAACAAATCTTTAATGGAATTATTGAAATGTTGTTGTTTCTTGATGATAAATAGTGATCCTGCTTTCTTTTCATCTACCATATCACCTGGAAATTCTTCTCTTGGATCTACTATATGTTTTTTTAATCTTGATTTTGGAAATACTACATCATCATGCATGATATCATCCATTGACATGAATGATTTATTAAAATGACATCCTGGTCCCAATGATTGTCTTTTTCTCTTATACTCTTTTTCTTGTTCTTTTGTTAATATTACTCCCATCTCTCTCTCTCTAAGTAAATTTAAATTAAAATGAAGCTTTGTATTATTTTTTTCTCTTGATAAACCCAACTGCTTATTTTATTTTTTTTTGTAAAGGGTATGATTTGATTTGATTGCTCACTCCCACCTGCAATGATCACACATAATAAATCTTGACTCATTTATTCAATCACTATAAACCACTAACCCCATACACATATTTATCATGCTTATCACACAGATCACACTTTCAGACAGATAATTGAATGAATTAGCTTTCCTCATTGATTTTATGATCGATTATGGATAAAATTACTTTAACCAAATTTGATCCATACATATTTTTATTATTATTATATGTTTTAATTTATTCATCCATTTCCAAATAAAGTATCCTTGATAAACTTTGATTACCAAAAACGGGGACAGTAGCAGGCCAATTACAATTAATATTATTCCTTGATAGTTTGTTGCAAATGAATTGAGTAAAAGTTTGACTATTGCAAGTTGATGAATTTTCTTTGCCGTGGGAGATGACAAACTCTGTGACCCAGCCTTCAAGCTGTATCGCAGCAATATGATAATACCATTTTTGAACACGACTCAAATGTTTACATTGATAAATATCCTTTTTCATACGTTCTTTTTCATTGAGTAAAAGGTGATCTTCTATCTCTGTTTCTTCATAATCGATTATTTCCGATGGATATTCAAGTCTCGATACTTCATCAACGGATATGAAATTCTTCTTGTCTGATATGATTCTGTTTTGGACATACATCAACTCTAGTCCTTCCTTGCCAGTGAAAACAATTTGGATTTGTGCACCTACTATCGTTGAATCTGTTGATTCTCCTGCCAAGTCCACTACGACCATTGCCATTTGTTGACTCTTTCGAAGTATGTATATTTTACCAGACTCTTTTCGGTTGACTATTGATTGTGGAAAGTCATTGGGTCGATGAATATGTTTTTTGATTAAAGTGATAGGATCAACCACTACAATATTCGTATCCCATGAACTCCTAAGATTCTTTTTAGATGATGATGATGATGATATTTTACATGTTGAATTGCCCATTCTCTAGATTTGATTGATTATTATTGATTATTATTATTATTAGAATAATATTTGTAAAATTAATAGAAAGGTTGTTGAGTTGATGATTATAATAAAAAAGAGGAGAAAAGAATCAAATATGAGACACACAAGAGAACATAGAGTATTCTATTATCAACCCAACTTTATCTAACCTAACCACCTACTACACCACCACACATTAAAGTTAATTAATGATGAAAGCTGTGTATATCACAAAACACCCTTTGCAAACTTTTGTTTTTTTTCCTCTCCACCACACAATGAAGGAAATGCAACCAACCAACTCCAACTTTCTCTCTCTCACATCTAGTCAATGACAAATAAATTAAAAATAGAAAACCCACACAAATGCATTTGTCATGTATATAATTGGAGTAAGTTTTATTTTGCATCCACGTCCGATTGGATAGACTGTCAAACAGTGTGTTTGGGTGTTGATGTTCTATAAGGGGTAATCCCACCCCCCAACCCAACAAACACAAAATGACATTGTTTGGTGATAATATCTTTAAATTTGTTTATTATTGGCAATTTCATTCTCTTTTTGGTTAAAAACAAACAAACAAATAGATATTTTACAAATAATAAATAATAAATAATAATAATAAATATTATTTATATTTATTATTTTCCTTTTTTGTTTTTGGATTGATATATACGACGATTTGGATATCGATTGATTTCGTTTTTGTTGTCTATAATATCAATTAGCCTAGAATTGGTTGTTGTAGGTGATTATATTTAGTCGTTTAAAATATAGGTTTGGTTGATTCGATTTTAAAAATGACACAACTGGACCATCAATCTTTAAACCATATCAACAATGATGCTATAGCTCAGTACTACTTTCTCTCTCTCTTTATCTCTTGTCATGAAATTGATCCTGCTTATGTTTGTTGAACAATCGATAGGTCTGGTATGTGGCCCAAAGTCAAAGAAATATTTCTTTTTTTTTTTTTTTTTTTAAGATAGGCACTTGGTTTGTCATATCTTTTACTTTTGATTGAAATATGAATGGTTTATGAAAATATCTAGTGGTTCCGTTCGTTGAGATAAATTCGATACAATAAAACAGAGACATGGAATAAAATTGAACAGATTTTTTTAAAATAAGAGGTAAGGACTCGCCCTAAGAATCTGATTCCGTTCCATTTGAAAATGTATATATATCTCCTCCGTCGACTAGAAATGAAATCATCATAATTAACATCATTTAATTAACAACAAAACAAAACAAAATGAAATTCACCATTCTCTTATTCATTGTATTGTCAATATTTGCAATGACCGTTTCTGCCAAACCACAATGTTCCTTTACTTGTGGCGATGGTTCTAAAGTTACTCTTCCAGATTTGATGTAAGATCATTAATATGAAAACCCCCATATTTAAATCTTATATCTAATTTATTTTCTTTTTTTTTTTTTTTTTTTTTGATTAGTCAAACCAAAGAACATTGTCAATTGGCTATTGAATTATCTGAATGCCCAAAGATGAATATTCCATCTGGAAGATGTATCCCATGGTGCCCACCATGCAATTCTTGTCCACCAATGGATAATTTGGAAATTGTTTCCTATTCCTTCTCTGATGATCAATAAGTAATCATCGAAAATAAACTGCCCTTACCTTTGTTATAACTATTTCATTCGTCATCAACATGAAGAATTAGAAATGTTCAACAACATCCATCCTACTTTGCTAAAATCTTTATCATTTTTTTTTCCATTGTCTGAGACTTTGACCTCAACCAACTCGAATTTAAACGAGAAATAATTGGTAACTGCTGTGTTGTCAGACCATGAAGATTAGGTATCACGACCTACGATGAAAATTCTGTTCTTTGTAAAATATCTTGACCAGATTTTTTGTGAAAATCGAGGGCAGAGACACGCCCTAAGAATGGTATTCCGTTCCATTTTAAAATGTATATATTCATCTCCGTTGACTAGAAACGAAATCATCAACAACATTATCTTTATCATCCTTTCAACCAACTCAACAATGAAATTCATTATTCTCTTGACTATTGTACTTGCACTCTTGGCATTTGTTTCTGCCAAGCCAGAATGTTCATTTACTTGTAGCGATGGTACTAAAGTCACTCTTAGTTCTAAAATAACGTAAGATTTAACATAAAATAAAAAGAAGAGACTGAGAGAGTCTCAATCCTCATCAATCAATTAATTAATCAAAATATTAATATCTTTTTTCTTTTATTTTTCTATTATTATTTTAGTACTGAAGAACACTGTAAATTAGCAATTGAATTATCTGAATGCCCAGTTATGAAAGTACCAGTTGGACAACACTGTATCCCATGGTGCTATCCATGCAACCAATGTCCAACATCTGATGATTTAGAAATTGTTTCCTATTCTTTTTCACAATAATCAATCAATCAATCTAAACTAAACTAAATAAACCCACCCCTTTTGTTGTAATATTACTCTTCTCTATTCTTGAATTCATGAGAGAGGGAGAGAAATGTTCAGCAACACCCAACCTTTAAAATTAAATCGATCGCCATCAGAACACTTTGTACTATTTTCCTTATAATGAAAAGTTTGGTGAAGTGACAATGATGTGGAGCTACTTGTTCATTCTATTCTTGGATGCCCTTTCATATAATGACGCAATGACAACACACACAATGTTACAACAAGGGGGCTAGATCTACTCTTACTCTCTCTCTCTCTGTCTCCTCAAGTGTAGTACGCATTACATAGTCTGCAACCAACATCAACATATTTATTTATAATCTACATAACCAAAAGAAAGGAAAGGACGTACACTACAACTACAGTTTCATCATCTTTCATCTTGACAGTTTAAACTGTCTATCTGTTCTTCTATTCATTGCAATCAATACGATCTCGTCTTCTGCCAGCTCACTCACACCAAATAGCAAAAGAAAGAAAGAAGGGCAAGCAATCAATCGGTGATTGTGTCGCATGATCAAATTGATCAAACCCTCGCTTTATTCGACCAACCACCCTCTCTTGTCACATCTGTGAGTTTGAGTGTGAGGAGTCAAGCAGAGAGAAGAAGTAGTAGTATAGAGAGTGGTGAGTGTGGTGGTGGGGGGGGGGGGGGATGGCTGACCGTTGTTGATCCCCCAAGCCATCAGATATACCTTCCGAGCAATTGCTGTTGTTGTTGGATGGGGGTACGTGACCACACCCATCATTTAAACCTCACTCATTTGGATAGCTCGCTTATCTACAAACTTTTTGACTGACCATCATTATTTGATCAATTGATTGATTGATTGATTGTCATTGTCACTACTCCATTGTTTGTAAAAAAAATATATTTTAATATTCTACTAGTACTACTCCTTCCATACGTATCCTATCATCACCTCTGACCAATTTAAATATTTACATTAGAGCAATTTCGGTCATTGTCAACTTCATCATCATCAATCATCAATCATCAATCATCAATATTTTCATTTCACCCATCCAAAGTTGGAAGTGAATAGACCATTATTATTATTATTACCAAATTTAATCAAAATCAAAAAAATAGACATTTAAAGAAAAAATTCTAACCAATTAATCAAATTTATAAATATAGTAGTAATCTTTAAATCCTTTTTAAAATAATCATGAAATATTTAAAGAAATTATTTCAAAAAAATGGAAATGGTAGGAATGGAAATAATCAAAATCATGTTGTTGGTGGAATGAATCATCATCATCATCATCATTTGGATGAAGAAATAATTGACACTAATAGAAATATAATAGCAATGGAAGGAGAATCTGAAAAAATAGATACAATGGAAGGTGGAGGGTCATCAACTGTATCTGATCAACCTACATCATTGTCATCACTATCCTCATCATCCTCCAACACTGCAGTTGGTGTTGATCAACAACAATCAATATCACCAACAACTCTTTCTCCAATGGCTTTTTCACCTTTATTATCATTATCACCAAACTCTTCATCTTCCTTTTCATCATCACCATCCTCTCCACATTCATTTTCAAAACATTTTTTTAATGGAGTTATAAATCGTAGAAATAGTATGAATAATAATAATAACAATCAAAATAATAATCAAATTAATAATAATATAATTTCCAACAATAATAATAATAATAATAATATTCAAAGTAATAATAATAATAATAATAATATTTCTTCTTTAAACAATCAAACAACAACGACATTCTTTTCAATATTCCATAATTTTTATTTAATTCAATATATTTTCAACATGGTAACAACTATAAATAATATAGAGGGTGGAGAAAACTATTATCAAAATCAACAACGTAGTCGAAGTTGTAGTAGTAGTAGTAGTAATAATGGATACCACCCGTATACGTCAGAGGTAGACATTTCAGATAACCGATCGAGATCGAGTAGCACGAGCAGCAGCCAATTCAATTTTACATTGAAAAAGAAGTTTTCCTATTACACGCTCAACGACGTTCAGTGGATGTGCATCAACCTCCATTTCACATTATTGGCCGACAAGATTATTAATTGCAAATCTGGTGTCGAGTTGTATGGATGGAGTGAACATTGCTTTGAAATATTATTCTCAAAGTGTCCGATACTAGGACTCATTGAGAGATTGGTAAAGATTCGTAAACTTGCCAAATACTGGACCAATCCAACCAAGTTTACATCTGCCATTGATTGTGCGGCACTCAACCCATCACCACTGGTCGTTCGTATGCTTCATGAAAGAGGTGCCAGTGCCACACGTGCAGCTATCGACAATGCGGCAGGAGTGGGTAATCTAGAGACCGTCACTTATCTACATAATACTAGAAGTGAAGGGTGTACTGTTGCAGCCATTAATCGAGCCGCGGCCATTGGTCATCAACTCATTTGCGCATTCCTTCTTGAAAATAGAACAGAAGGTTTTTCAAACTATGCGATTGATCAAGCTGCCACAAATGGTCATCTTTTATGTGTCCAATATTTAATCAATCACTCTGCCACTACCAACACCAAACCCAGTGCAGGTATTCTACAACTTGTACAATCCAATTCGAATCGTCGACCATCATCTTCATCAACATCATCACACCCTCGCCAATTACTCATTGGTTCAAAAAATCAACCACTATCATTATCGACATCTTCACTACCACCTCCTCGTTCATCTTTATCTTCCTCTAGTACCAGTACAAATAATAATAATAATAATAGTAATATTAAATGTACAAGTGATGCAATTGATGGATGTTGTAGAAACGGTCATCAAGAAATAGTTGCATTACTTTTAGAAAAACAGGCACCTGTTTCAAATATGGCTATTGACTTGGCAGCATCGAATGGGTATTTTGGGATTGTTCAATTGCTTTGTGAACATCCATCAAACTATCCATCGTCTCAATCTGCGATACAAGGTGCGTCGGCAAAAGGACATTTTGAAATTGTAAAGTATCTTTGTAACAAGAGACCTCAAACATTTACAACTAGAGCATTCCATGCTGCATCTTCTTTTGGTCATTTAGAAATACTAGAGTATTTATTACAATTTGATAAACTTCAATTTCAACAATACCTAAATCAAAATGATCAACAACAACCTCAACAACAAATATACAAAATGCCAAATAGAGTATGGGATGTATCAATTATGAATGGTCATTTACATATTGTAAAATATTTACATCAATTACAATTAAAAAGTAGAGGAAGAGGAATGGAAGGAGATGGAGATGAAGAGTCGTCATCGTTGTCAGTTGATGTTGGGCAAATTAGTTTGACAGTTATTGATGATGCAGCAACTGAACCAAAAAACTATAATGTCATTCATTATTTATTGACCAATTTACTGTCATATGACTCATCAATAATGGATCACAGCCAATCACAATTCCCTGATCGTAATGCATACAACTGTCAACACCAACAACACCCAGTTACATTTAGCAAGACTGCTATTATCAATGCAGCAGAGAATGGTAATTTACAAGTACTATCATTATTGTACAGTTTTTGTGATCGATTTGGTATAGTCGATCCTTTGGAATTCAAGTACAACAAAATTGTTGCAAGAGGTTATGTTTCAATATTAGAGTTTTTACTTAATAACCTAAAACAACAACAATCAAAAGAAAAACTTTGTAAAGTACAACAATTATTTCCAGAAAGTTTTCTTGGATTGGCATGTGAATTTGGACATGTTGGTGTTATAAAATTTATGTATCAACGTGGATTAGCATCACCAGATACAACGTCTGATGAGGATTTGGTGGGAGCAGTTGAAAAGGCATCACTCAATGGATACTTTGTGATTGTTGAATTCCTAATGGAACATTATCCCAAACAATCCAAACTCGTTGCCAATTCCAAGTCAATAGAACATGCTTCAAATAGAGGATATGTTGGGATTGTTCAATACCTCCACGAACACCATAACATTCCTATCCCCATTCGTGCATTTGAATTGGCTAGTTCTAGAGGACACCTTCCAGTCATCCAATACATGGAATGTATCGATGCCAGTACCAACGAAGGTGTTGAATTTCATTCTGCCAACAATCATTGTTTGAAATTAGCTATGCAAAATGAACAATATTCAGTTGTCAATCATTTCAACAGTAAAAAGGATAGGGATGTTAAATCAATCATGGTCAACTCGAATTCTTCTTCATTTCCATCTCCATGTACATCTCCTTCACTTTCATCTTCTTTACCTACCAAACTTTATCAAATTATTAAATCTCCAAGATCAAATAATAAAAAATAAATAAGTACGTAGTGATAGGTGCACCTTTAGGTACTTGACAATATTAAAAGAAAGATTTATCTTTATCTTTTTCTTTCTTTCTTTCTTTCTATATTTTTTTTTTATTCCTTTTATATAATATAGATAAATAGATTGTGTGAATTGATTTTGGGGGAGGAGCAACGTTTGATTGTTATTATTGTTATTACATATGTGTATTGTTGTTGTTGTTGTGATTAATACTTTCTTTCATTTAATTATTATTTTTTGATTGATTTAATGCATGAATCCAAGATTCTAGTTCATCTGGAGATTGTGCAGAACAATAAAATATAAGATGTTTATCCTTTGATTTATCCAATGGAATCTTGATTTGGAAACAGTTGGTACGTTTCATCGATGTTGCAATATCAATTTCAGTGTCTGGTGTCAATACCAATTCATTGATCTTATTTTCCTTTGGTGATTTTGAATATGTCAATCTATTACGTTTTAATTGGAACCATCTAACTTTCCAATTCTTTCTAATGTGTCCTCTCTTTACCAAATATCCTTCTTTTGCTATATCATTAATCTAACCGACAAATAAGTAGGTGAGTAAACTATATATCTCAAAATGAGGGAATAAACTATACATACCTTGATAGTAATACTGGCAACTTCAGAAGAAGAAGAAGCAGAAGAGGAGGAGGTAGGAGTAGGTGGAAGAGGTTGGAAAAAGGAAGATGACGACGGCGTTGTTGTCGATGATGAATCGTATGTATTATTATTATTATTATTATTAGTGGTGTATGAACTGGTTGATGTTGCCGATGATCTCTTTTCAAGTGGATCAGAAAGTGATGCTATTATATGATGTTCTAATTTATGTGTATCGTTATTATTATTATTATGATGATTATGATTATGGTTAATATATGATGAAGATGGTGTTTCAATTTCAGATTCTTGTTCTTGTTCTTGTTCTTCTTGTTCTTCTTGTTCTTCCGTTGATATATGTTGTTGTTGTTGTTGTTGTGGTGGTGATGTACTGTAATTACTATTACTATTATTATTCTTTACTCTCTCCAAATAGATATCAAACTCTTCGACAGTAATTCTTCTGACATAGTTGAATGGAAAGATACCTTCTTGTCGATTGACATTAGTTGTGAGACCTCTCCACCACCCATCACTAGCTTCCTCTAATATATCAATGTAGGCACCTTCTACCAAAGACAGTTCTTCTTCCTCGGTGGCATCATATCGAAACACGACTACTGCCTTGTGTAGATCTGTATCATAAATGACTTGATCATTTACATTAATCAATGTCATCTCTCTCTCTCTTGATCTATTCTGTTGATAATCTATCTATTATCTATGTATCTACTTGAGGAAACGATTCCAACTATTAAATACTATAACTACCAATTACTTCGAGACCCAGACAACCCTTTGGTTAAAACCCATAGTCTCCCCCAAAAAATTAAAACAAAAAAATAAAAAAAGAAATTAAATTTCTTCTTTCGACAAGTCATCATCAATCTAGCAAGATCTTTAGTTCAGAATAATATCTCCAATTTACTTTTAATTTTTTTTTTTTATTTATTGATGACCCCCGTCAGTAATAATTATTGGGTTAACAACCAACCAATGAGAATAATAATAAATAAATTAAAATTGATGATCGAGGTGGCTAAAAGTAACAGATGTTAACCCTTCATTATAAAAACTCACATTTTTTAGATCATCATCATTCATTGCAAAGTTGGTTATCTCTTTATTATACTGTATACAGATAATTTAATTTATTCTTACTTACTATGGGTGTACAAGGATTTACTTCTTATTTTAAAGGAAAATCGGGTAGAGGTATCTATCTCACCGATGAAGCAAAGAAACAAAGTATGTCATATGATTCATTCAATTCAAGATATCTTGCTTGATACAGATCTAATACTAATCCTTTCAATTATTATTAGAACTGATTATAGGTATTGATGGTAATGCATTAATGTATTACTTGAGTGATAAAGTATTATCATCTGTAGGTTCTTATATCAATGTATGTATAAAAGTAAAAAAAAAAAAGGAATTTGATTGGTTGATTGAATCTCTAACCCTTTATACATTTATATAATTTTTTTTAGTTGTATGATGATATTAAAAACTATTTTGAATCATTCTTAAAGAATGGAATGGAATTGATTGTATTTATGGATGGGTTCACACCAATTGGTAAATTTAAGGAATTGGAAAAGAGATATGAATCAAAGTTACAAGATATTAAAGAATTGGTTGGTAATTTAATCGATCCAAATGCTAAATTCCCATTCACTAGATTCTTGCCTCCAAAATTATTGTTGGTATGTAAACAAACAACCAAACAACAAAAACACATTGTCTCTGTAATCAACTAATTAACTAATTAACAAATTAATTCAACTTTTTTACTTTAGAATGAATTTAAAGCAGTATTAAAAGAATTGGGTATTCATTATCATGGATCATTCCAAGAATCTGATAATGAAATGAAACAATGGGTTGTTGATAACAAAGGAAAGATCTTTGGTGTCATTTCAAATGATTCTGATTTCCTATTTTTCAATCTTGGAGAAACCTATTACTTTGCTCTATCTGATCTAAAAGTTGAAGATAATGAAATTTATGGTCTTGGTCATACTTCAAAACAAACTTCTTTGGCTCTTGGTATTGAAGAAAGAGTAAAAAACATCTATAAAAACAAAAAAGGAAAAAGAAAATCAACAAAACTAATTTATTTATTTTTTGTTGTACAATTTAGTATTTACCAATGGTAGCAACACTTATTGGTAATGATTATACTAAACATATTAGATCAAAGTTTAGAGGTAGTAATTATCAAAGAATAGACTCTATCGTAAAGAATATTGCAAATTATAGTGGTAGTTCAATCATTTCAATCATTAAAGATAATTATCATAGACTTCCAAAAAATGGTAAAAAACATATCAAATTAATAATAATAATAATTTATTTACTTTTTATTTTATTTTTTTTGTAGATGAAGAAATATGTTTAGATTCATACTTTTATTATTTACCACAACCAACCAAAGAACCAAGATCAGAAAAGGGATATATTTATGATGGATTATTCTTTGCCTATTCTGATCATAGAGATTTTAGATTTGTAAAGTCACAACCATGGTTTGAATACTTTTTCTCGATTGATTGTGGATCAAACTATAATCATTTGTCATTTATGCGTTCACCATATCAACAATCATCAGTCTATCAATTGGAACCTACTATTCCACTCTCTCGTTCGTTTGTATTCAAGACTGCTCCCATTAGAGATAGAATGTTTGGATTGTTGGCCTATGAACTAAAGACTAGTGTTCATTACACTGAATTGTCTCCAGATCAATTCACCTATGCCTCGGTTCAAAGAACCCCCATTCTCTCTGAATTTGGTGTCTTGGATTGTTGGAATGACAAGATTACTCTCCAAAGAAGATTACAAGAACTTTGTTTTATCTTTACCACTGATAAAGAAACTTCAAAAAGATTATCCTCTCAATTTCAATCAAAAGATTATCAAATGGATGATTTACTTTTAATTTTGTATGCCAAAACAAAACAAAACAAAAACAAAACATATTGCATTTATTAATACTTTTATATTTTTCTATAGATTCTTAAAATATTTAAAAGGATGTAATTTAATTCCAAATGCAAATAGAGAAGAACCAATTCAAGATTGGATGATTGATGCATTTATTTTACATCATGTTCTAATTAGCCATAGAGTAGATGTTGATAGATCAAACTTTGATTCAAACAAACAAACATTTGAAGCTATCCAAATGTTTGATTATTTCCAAAGTTTAATGTTTATGGCAACCACTAGTTTGGATATTTTGGCAATCACCAAAATCCAACATCGTAGACTCCTTCCACCTCATAGATCTTTGGATTGTGTTGTCTTTCAAATACTTTGGAGAGAAGCATCACTTAAATCCAAACAAAAGATTGTAGACCCTATCAATGATTTATTTAGCTCTCGTAAATCTGTTATCACCCAAGATATTGAAAATCATTTCAATCAACTTAGACAACAAATTAATGGTTCAACTTTATCATTTGATTATAAATCAAAGGAACAACAAGAAGAAAAAGAAGTAGAAAAAGAAGAAGTAGAAGAGGAAGAGGAAGAGGAGAAAGAGAAAACAACAACCACTACAACAACATCCAATATAGAAATAAGATTGGAAAATCTAAAGCTTTGTAATAATTAAAATAAAAAATACACTTTTTTTAATCCCATTTTATATTATGTTCACCAAATCAATCATTCGGCATTTGTATTAGTAGGATTAGAGAGAGAGAGAGAAAGAGAGAGATGAGCAACGAACATAATAATAACAATAATACAACAACAACATCTACAAGTAATACGGTAGCTGCAGCTGCTACTGCAACACCATCAATTATTAATACAGCTGGTATACAACAATTCAATGATCAACAATTAAAGAAAAAGGTTGAGATGGTGATTGACCTATTGACAACCTACTTGGAACAACCATTTGGTTTACACTCTGCAGCCATTGATGCTAGTACCGATGTCATACTTGATCAAGTACAACCACCTATAACTACAACAACTACTACCACTACTACAACTTCCATCCCATCATCATCAACCAACAACATCAAGAGCGATCATCATATCGGAAGTGGAACAGATCATATTCATATCAATATAAATGAAACATCAAGTCATCATAGAGATGATCTATCAAGTGTCAGTTCATCAACCAACGAGAAATACAATATCTTTTTCAAACCAATCTATCCAGGATCAAATACAACCGTTCACGATGTAGCTGCCATTGCTTCAAAACTATCACAAAATGAACCAATCAATCAATTAATCATTAAAAAGATTCTATCAAATGGATTTGCTAAATCGGTATGTAAAAACAAAGAATAGAGAATGAAAGAAAGAAGAGTATATATATATATCTGACACTCCTCTCCTTTTTATTTCTTTTTTTTGTAGAGAAAAGAATTATTATGTCAATGGTTTTATAATTGGTATAATCTTGATAGTTTAACATGCAAGAGATATATGTTATCATTTTTACCAGCAATGATATGGGTTTATTTATACTCCAATCCAAGTGATGTGATTGGATTAGAGGCATGTTTGTTGACAGTGTACAATAGTGAGTTGTTGAGACGAGAGGATAGGGATACGGTGTTTCAACCACCAGCCGTCCAACTACCCTCCTATATCTATCGAAGCGACGAAGCTGCTCGACTCAACAACAACAATGGCAACGGTGGTGGCGGTCTGACAGAAGCTGCATTACGTCAACTCAGTTTGGGTACGGGTGCAGGTGTTGTGATTGACAAGGCTCTCCCAAGAATAGAGAGTATCACTACAACCAACCGTAACCTTTTGCTTCGTACAGTCATTGGTGTGTATACATCGCATCTCGCCTACTACCCACATATTTCACGAGTCATCTTTTGTGAGATGGCAACTCGTATTGCTGCTACTGGCTATCCATTTATTCCACCTCAACAAGATGCACCCCCATCGCCAGACAATGAAGATGGTGGACGTGGAGGGTCGTTCTCGTCGGCCAGTAATTTCAGAATCGACGGTAGTGACGGTGAAGGTGAAAGCAGTTTAAAGCGCGGTCACGGAGACGGCTCTTCCAACCTACTCAAAGAAACCATCCGTCGTAACTCTATGATTGGTAACCTCGACCAAGTACTCGACGGTAGTGGCGGGTTCAATAGCAGTGGAAACACTGTCGACACACTCGAACGTATGTGGATGGAAAAGGAACGTGAGAAAAAGATGGACCACTTTTCATGCATGACCACCTTTCTAGAGTTTGAGTATAGTGAACTCAACAACCGTATCATTGACTTGGCTCAAGGTGGTACTACCTCTGAGCAACAACAGGAATTCCACCATCAACACCACCATATCCTCAGTCTCCACACCCTCCTCACCACACAACGTCAAAAGAGAATATTTATCGATCCTCGTACCTACCAAGAGATTGTCAGTGGTCTTGGATACTGTGCTTTTCAAGAATCAACCAAATCAATGGCCTCTATCGCTATCAAAGCCATCAATGATCGTGCTAGCTATGATTTAATCCCTGAAATAATGCTATCAACCAATTCTATTTTACATGTTATTCAAATTAATAAATCTTCTGGAGGAAAATAAATGAATAATTTAAATATAAATATATAAATATAATAATATAATATTTACCATATAATTTAAAGTTTAGATTTGTTTGTTTACATCTATCTCACCACTCAGGTATAAGCCATATTATACTATATTACATACAGAGTTACATTTGTATATGAAATAAAAAGTTTAATATGGCTTATACCTTGAATACATCTCTTGGGTTTGGCTGCTCTCTGGTGGGTGGAAAATAATTATATTACCTATAAAGGTAATAAATCCAAGCATTTTGAAGGCAAACCATATTTTCTATACCAAATATATATTAATAAAAGAGTCAAACTCCTTGCCGCAATGTCTCTTTGTCTGGCATACATGCTATGGGTGCAACCTCTCCGCTCGTACAGCGAAGCTTATGATTTTACTGCAAAAATCATAGGAATGGGTCCTGAATTGGAATGTCCAAGAAAAACCACCACTTGCTCTTAAACAGGAGGGTAAAAAAATTGGAATGAAGACAAGATTCGCACCTCTTATGTATATCTAAAAGTAAGAAAATATACACTTAATTCTTTTTATCGATTTCTAATTTATCATTTTTTTAGTTTTAAGCCAAGATGAAGTAGAAAAAATTTATCGATTCAAACAACCTCATTGACAAGAAGGTATGAATTACCAACTACTAACATACATTGCTGCCACTATACCTTTTGTTTCCTGTAGTGATAGAATGTATTGGCGAAAGGTTTGATTTTTCAAGTCCTTGAGTGATTGACTATAATGGATAGTGTGTCTTTATACCAGTGTAACTTTTTAATATACTAGTATTTGATCTCTTTGAGCTAGCTTATCATATATATACAAGTGTTATATATAAATAAAATAAAAAAGAAAAAATAATGGCACTTGGTTGTTCGACAATCATGAGAGGTTTGGATGTTCAAACTAACTTTTTAAAAGAATTTATTTTAATAATTTAAATAAATAGAGACAATAGAGGAGATGAGTACTGAAACATCACCCATGTTGGTTGATGATGTTAACATTATCAATAATAATATTGATCCTCCAAGTGTAGGTTCATCTTCAACTATTGAAAGTTTAGGAATCAACAACAATACAACATCACCTACTACTGCTGCTGCTACCACTACGACTACTACAACACTAACTCAAGAAGAAGAAGCAAACAATACAAGATTTACAATGGAATTAGAGTTTATTCAATGTTTGTCAAATCCTAGATACTTGAATTGTATGTTCTCTCTCTCTCTCTCTCAAAAGATGTCACATGACCAAACGATAGTTGATAGCTATGCTAACATTTATCACACTCTAGATCTTGCACAAAATCGATTCTTTCAAGATAAAGCATTTATCAATTACTTGGCATATCTACAATATTGGAAACAACCAGAGTATAGCAAGTTTGTAGTGTATCCTCAATGTTTGTATTTCCTCGATCTCTTGCAACACGAAAGATTTAGACAAGAATTGACGCACGTTCAATCGACTGAATTCATTCACGAACAACAATTCTATCATTGGCAATACTATCGAAACAATAGAATGGCTCAAAAAGAAGACCAACAACAACAACAACTGCAACAACAAACTACTACTACTACTACTATACAAAATGATCAACAACCACCTCAACCACCAACAGTCAATGTACCTTCTCTTTAAAAGGAATCAAAAAGGAATCAACCAATTGGATCAATCACAATCAATAACAACAAATTTGTATGAAGAATAAGAACGACATATAATCTGTTTATAGATTGATTGATTGATCAATCAATCAATCAATAAAAGGAAATTGGAATATACATTATTATATCCAATCAAAATATTCATAAATAAATAAATAAAAGGGTATATAATATATTTTAAGAAGTTTGTTGTTGTTGTTGTTGTTGTTGTTGTTGTTGTTGTTGTTGTTGTTGTTGCTGTTGTTGGTCATCTTCCTCTTCTTTTTCTTTTTCTTTATCTTCTTGATTTGGATAAAATGATTGTTCAATTTCTTGATAAAAGTTATCTCTTTCATCAAGTGGTAGGATTTGTTCCAATTTCTCAATCATATCACCAATTTTAACGACCATTTCCCTTGTCTTGTTAATGTTTCCCTTGATTTTGTCCAATACTTCTTTAGCCCCAATTTGTGTATGTGTAACATCGTTTGTCTTTAGCGAAACGATGGTTGTTAATCTTTTAGCTTTTCTAAATTCTACATCTTTCATCTTTTGAATAATTTCCAACTAGGTACAAAAAAAATACATTGCAATGTTAGAGAATTGCCAATATTACATTCATTATTATTATTATTAGTTGTAATATATGTATAGATAGACTACTTACTTGTTTCTCAAATATATAACCAGTTGAATTTTTTAAATAATTTTGAATATCTATACTAACATTAAGAGCACCTCTACCATCCATATCAGCCACTCTTAATGGATTGCTAGTAGGATTAAACCAAGAGTCATTATCATCATTTAATAATGGAAAAAACTAAGTTAATAAAATGTTAATAAAGGTAAAGGTAAAGACTTTTTGATTGATATAGAAAGAGAGAGAGAAAGAAAGAGAAAGAGAATCAATCAATCAATCAATCAATGTGATTCCTTACATACCTGAGGTGTTTTAGATAATCTTTCAAGTTCTGGTTCTAAATCTTTTGTTGTATTATCTGCTTTATGTATTGTTATAATTTCATCTTTAAATGTTGTTCCTATGTTGTTATTATTATTATTATTAGTTGATTGTTGTGTCTGTGATTGTTGTTGTTGTTGTTGTTGTTGTGATTGTGATTTTTGTTGTTGTTGTAATAGTTGATTTCTTGAATTTGGTTTATCTACAGAATAACTTGTATATGGTACATCTTGATACACTAAACTTGTACTTGATGAAGAGGTTGGTTGTGTCAATTGTTGTTGTTGTGCTTGTTGCTGTTGTAGTAATTGTTGTTGTAACAGTAGTTGTTGCTGCTGTTGTTGTTGTTGTTGTTGATAGTAATAACTAACATCACCTTGAGATTGAGTAGATCCTCCCTCTGCTTTACTCTCTGCTTGACCCATTTAATCTAATCTATCTATCTATCTATATATTTCTTTATCTGCTAGGTGGACTAGACTAAAAAATGATTCATTGGGGAACAGGAACACAAAAAGGCAAATGAACATTTAAAAAATTTTAAAAAGATCTTTTCAAACATTAATTCTGTGAACTTCTCAACTCTTTGATGGTAGTGTAGTGGACATCATCCTATTGTCTTGTAGGACAGAATATAGAGATAGATACTAGTATACTCATTTTCTGTGTGTCATTGATTATACAATATGATTTATTTGATTGTTCATGTGATAATATAATAATAATAAGCGCATGTTTGATGGACATGATTGTTGGCTTGGCTGGCAGCCATTCATAAATAAATAATAATTTGGGTTATTTAAAAATATCTATTGGGCTGCAGTGAACCTATAGATAGGCTATCTATAGAAATCTAGGGCTGATCTGGCCATCTGACAATCGATTTTAATGGTATTGATTTTAGATTCTCAGAACATTAGAGTAAGTAAGTAAGTAAGTGGCTGGCTATGACTCGCAATGATGTGATGGTGGAGGGGGTGGATTAAACTAAAAGAATGAGTGAGATCATTCTGCCCAAACGATAAATTATTCACCTGTTGCTCTACCCCATCTTCCTCTTTACTTTTTGCTTTGAGCTCCCTTCAATTATTATTCTAATCAGAAAAAAAAAAGTTGGGTTTCAAAATGGGTGAATAATTATTTTCATTTTTTGTCTTCAATTTTTTTTTCACTTTTTGCTTGCTCTGTCACCATCCCCCAACCAGCTCAAAAAGCAACAACACAAGAACAAGCACATCATTATTTTCATTAAATTATAACTTATACACATTCATCATGTAAGTAATAATAATAATAATATCTCTAGAGAAGAAATTGTACAATATAGTTGGGATATTCAAGACAGTTGGAATAAACAATATATATATAGTTTAGTAATCACACACTGTGATTATTATTATTATCCAGTCATCTAAATATACTATCCAATGGAATATAACGACTACTATGAGTTCATTTAATTAACTTTATCTTTTTCTACTTTTAGGTCTTGGCAATCATACGTTGACACTAACCTCTTAGGTGCTGGCCTCAAGCAAGCCACCATTATCGGTGCTGCTGGTGGTTCATGGGCTGCCTCTGCCGGTTTCAAGCTCGCTCCAGAAGAAGAAAAGGCTCTCATTGCCAACTTTGCCAACCCAGCCAACGCCTCTGCTACTGGTATCCTCGCCAACAAGGTCAAGTACTTGACTCTCAAGGCCGACCCACGTTCCATCTATGGTAAGCAAGGTGCTGGCGGTATCGTCTGTGTCAAGACTGTCCAAGCCATCATTGTTGGTGTCTACGATCAAACCCTTCAACCAGGTGCTGCTGCCACCGTCGTTGAAAAGTTGGCTGATTACCTCATCGACTCTGGTTTCTAAATAATTAATTGATATCATATATAAAATATTGTATTTCTCCAATAAAAAAATAATAATATAAAAAACTTGTATTTCTTAAACATTAAAAAAAAACAAAAGTAAAGAGTCGTAATTGTATTTGTATCAATTCATATAATCAGGTTCAAGATATTTTTATCTTTAGAATCTTGTCACAAGAAAGAAAAAAAAACAAAAAAAGTTCATGAACTTCAAAGTTTTGTGACAAAACTTGTAAAAGTTTGGCGCCAATTTTTCAAAAATGTGTATACTTACTTTTGAGACTTAACCACTTGATATGTTTACAATTGATATGTATGATATATATATATATAATATATGATTAGCGCAGATAGATAGATAGATAGATAAGACAGTCACATTATAGAGTCGAGTGTGTAAATTAAATATTAATATATAACAATAATAATAATATGCACTTTACATACAAAAAAAGAAATTCAACGTTCAAGAGAAGACAAAGTACTTCTCAAAGACAAGAAAGTAAATAAATAATAAATAGTTTGATCAGATGCTATATATGTTCTAACGATTACTACTATTACTACTATACTATAGTTCAATTTAACTTTAGAAAAAGAAAAGATAAAGATGAAAATGAGAATGATACATCTTTGACAACATCAACAACAAATGAAACGGAAACTGTAAATAATATTAATAATAATGATGGTGCTAGTGTCAATGATGATAATGATATTGATTTGACATCAACAACAACAACAACAACAACTACTTCGACTACTACAACTACAACAAACGAATCAAATCAAAAGATAGTAGTAGAAGATCCTGTTGTTGTTGAGGAAGATGAAAAAAATAATACATCAGTTGAACAAATGGAGAATGTTGAAAAGAATCTTAGTCAATTCAAGATTGAATCACCATCACAAGAATTAAAACTTAAACTAAAGACTCATGGTAATGATGGTGATGGTATGGACAATGATCATGACAAAGAGACATCATCATCATCATCATCTATCTTGGAAAATGATAATGATGAAATAGTAGTGGATCAAGCAAACTCTTTGATATCACCATCAAAGTCTATACCATTCCAATCAATGATTGAATCAGTTACTGGTAATAATGCAATGATGCTTTCACCATCATCTCCTACAACACCTGGTTCTTTATTGTATAGTTCATCCAACAGTACTAGCAGTAGTGTTACTACCACTAGTAGTAGTTCAATATCATCTCCATCAAAACCATCATCATCAACTGTCCTTCCACAATTGACACCAAAACAACATAAAAAGAAAATTAAAACAATTCATATGGATGATTCACCTTCATCAACTAGTTTAAATCAACAATTAATCGAACAACAAGAAAAAGAAAAAGAAGAAAAAGAGGAAGAGTTGGAAAAGATAGAAATCATTGAACAACCAGTCGAACCACCAAAAGTTGAATCACCACCAAAACCAGTTGTCAAAGTAAACATTACCAAAGAGAAAAAAGAAATTATAGATATTTTTAGAAGTACAATTTCAACACAATTAAATAATACTCCATCCCAATTTAAACCTTTTGGTAATTATCACACAGTAGTTTTATTTTATAATATAAATGATATCTAACCTTTTTTTTTTTTATAGTTAGGGAAATATGTAAAAATTTTACAATCGAAATATCAAAGTTGACAATACCAAAAATTAAAGATATTAATAATCAACATTTATTAGAGATTGTAAAACTTTCACCGCCTCCTCCTACTCCTACACCTACTCCAACCCCTTCAACTGCTGTTGATCAAATAGATCAACATAAAATATTTATTTACAAGAATATGAAAAATTTGGAAATGGAAATGAGAATTAATACTCTTAAAACTTTGTTGGAACGATGGAAACGAGAAGAGAAACAATGGAGTTTAATCATATCGGAGTATTTAAATAATGGTAAAGATAATATTATTGAAAAAACTCCTTCACGACCTACCAATAGAACCAATAATCCAATTGGTATTAATTCCACTGCAAAGAAACAACAACCACCACCATCATCTGTACAAAAGAAAGAAAATAATAATAATTCAAACAATATCATCCCATTTAATCTTTTTACTCCTATTAAAATTGATAATATCAAGGATCAAAAAGAAAAAGAAAAAGAAAAACAACAACAACAACAACAACAACAAGAGTTGGTTCAACAACCAGATTCAAATATTCAAAAAATTAAAAATGATTTGTTAAAATTGTCCATTCATGTAAGTAAACTTTTAAAACTTTTTAAAAAAAACAGAAAAGAAAAGAAAAAAAAAAACCTTTTTGGAAACTAACCAATGAAAATCAAATTTGTCACCTCTAGTTGGATGAAATTTTACCAAGATTGAAACAAACAGAACACAACTCTTTGGAAATTCAACAACACTATAGTAACCTTTCAAACCAATACCATCAGTCGTTTACCAAACAACACCCCAATATTAATCAACCAAAGAAACTAATGAAAAATTTGATGTTGTCATTCCAACTTGTTGAACAACATCATCAACAACAAACAGACAACATAGAGTAGTTGTTGTTGTTTTTAAAAATAAATAAATAAAGTTTTTGTGTGACCAATCAATCAACCAACCATGCAGAGGTGTAGACACATGTGATCGACAACACATCGTCGCTACCATTGCACTGTGACCAGTGAAATTTAGATATTTTGATTTTTTTTCGTGGTCATCATTTATTTTTAACTTTGTGGGCTGTCATCCCACCCTTTCACAACAACAACAAACACCCATCACTTCGTTTCATAATTCATATTTTATTTTACTTTATTTATTTATTAATTGTACAAAGATATATATATTGTTTATTTATTTATTAATTTATTAAACTAGACCTCATGGAGAAAATAATTAAATCAAAAGTATTGATGAAATATATATTCTCATTTACAAAGAGATGTAATAACTTTTTATGTAATCATCAGTATGACCAACTGTGCAAGGTCAAGCAATTGATCAAAGATAAGAGATATGCATTGTTAAAGGACAGATTAGAGAGTAAACATCAATGCTACATCAAGTACTCGACGATACTGTATGCTTGTGAGCACCTGACAGACGTCACTGTGTTTCAAAGATTGTTTGAACGATTTCAACCAATGTTTGTCGGTATTAAAGAATTGATGATTGCAGCTAGTAATAGTGGAAACATTAAAGTATTTAAAATATTGGAGCAACACTCACAGACAACAATACTATCTAAATTGAACAACCCAGGTCACAACACACCATCATGGAAAAAGGAAGAGTTGGTACTACTGATTAGACGTCTAATCAATCACAGACACTTGGAGATGGCTCAATACCTATTACAACAACATGGTCGAAAGATATTGGGAATCAAAAAGCCAGACAACATGGTCTACTCTGATCATTCAGACATTATCAAAAAGTTTGCTACCACTATCACTGCCAACACTTGGAAACATGACTTTGTCTACAACTATTTCATCGGTCTATTATATCATCAACAACATTTAGAACAACTTGACATTAACAATTGGAAATTTAAAAATAATCAATTCAATCAATTATTATTTACACTATCAACTTTAAAATCAAATTATCATCTTTATATAATTAATCATTTATTTGATCAAAATGATATAAATCTATTATCACCAATAATAATCATTAAAATATTAAATGTTCTACTTCAACAACAACAACAAAATAATAATAATAATAACTGTAATATTAATAATAACTTAAATAATTGTTACTTTATTTTAATATTGGAGATGATGGAAAAAATATATTCAAAGGAATTATTAAAACCTTCAAGATTACAAGAGGTGATTGATAAGTTAAAAAGTCAAAAGGATAAGATTATAGATAGAATCATAACTAGTGACAATGTTGAAGAGATGGAACAATACCTTGGACAAGATAGCAAGACTGTTGATTTATTCAAATTCCTAAACAAGAATCAGTTTTCCAAACTACCATTAAAACAATTCAAGAGACAATTGGAATCAAAGTTGGCATTGGTACAAAAGGATTCAGATCAACAACAACATTCACAGAATCTACATAAACAAGCAATGGAATTATTTCATTATCTGTTGGTTGAAACGAGGGTTCAGTCGGAAAAGATCAAATATTTTATTGATAATTTTCCATGTCTATTAGAGACGGTACCAAAATTGATCAAAACAAAGACAAATACATGGATTGATGATTTGGATATTGTTAAATCAATCTATCAATATTGGGAACAAAACAAGTGTACAGACAAATTTCAAATCAATACAAACAATCTTTACGTATTGGAATTTATGATTAATCAAGAGTTGTTGGGAAGAGGTGTAGCTCCATCTTCTTCAATCCCCTATAATTTGATAATCAAATGTTTTCAAATGGCAATTAAACTTGGTGATTTAGAATTTATTAAAAAGGATTTTCAACCTCCAAATATTAATTTAAAATTATCAACTTCTTCAACCAATTCAACCTCTTCAAATATATCCTCTTCTTCCTCCTCATCTTCATCTACTTCTTCATCTTCTTCATTTATGAAATACATTTTAGATCAATCAAATATAATTCAACAATTATTTATTTATAGTTGTATTTGGTCACCAAATGTATCGATTATTTATTATTTTAATCAATTTGTACATTTTAAAAAAGATGAAGAGTCTCCTAAACTACTCTTTGAATCAATTGGAAGACATGGAGAATTGGAAAGATTTGAAATGGTGTATCAACACTTTCAAGATCTCATCGTACATGGACGTGCCAATTTGACCAAAATACTCAAACAAGCAACACTTGCCAACAATCTAGAGTTGATTCAATACATTTTCCGTCAACCGTGGCTTGATCAACATGCAATGCCACCGACAATGATTGAAATTGTTGGATACAACAAACATTGTCATCGACAAATACTAGAGTGGTGTGCCAGCGAGTTTACCATTGAATGGAAAACAAAAGCACAAGAAATATTCTATCAACATTTACAAACTGGTACTCTAGAGTCGTTGGATTTCATCTTTTCAACCATCTCTTATGAATCCAACAAATCTTCATTCGACGCAATCTTTAATTCCTACCTATCACTCATTCAATCAAATAATAGATTAGATATTTATTCATATCTAACAAATATTAAAAAAGTTAATATAATAAGTAAAAATAAATTAAAATTAAGTAAATAGAATAGTTATTAAATCTATTTTATTTCCTATTTAATAAGACATAATATCACTATATTCTTTTGGTACATTATTAATTACAATTCTACCATCAAATGATAATGAAGCAAAGATAAAATTACTACTAGCCCAACAAACATTATAGACACTATCTTCATGTTCTTCAAATGTTTTGATGAGTTGATCTTCTTTACGTTTGTTCTTTTTACCACCTGTGTTTGTTGCAACTGGTTTTGGTGTACCATCTTCAGGTGCAGCGGCAGCGGCAGCAGCAGCTTCAGATATAGAATAGACATTCCACAATTTTACAGTATTATCGCTAGAACTGGTAATAACCAATTGATCGTGTACTGGATTATATTTGGCATTCCAAATCCAATGTTGGTGTCCACTAAATGATTTGACAGGTGTTTTGGTTTGTCTTGTATCCCAAAACTTTAATTTACCATCTTCGCCAGCCGATAATAAATAATATGCTCTATTTGGATTAAAATCAATCGATCTAATTAATTCACTATGTGCTTTATCAATTGCAAATGTTTCCCTACAAAAAAAAACAAAAGAATAAATAAATAAATAATTAATTAAATATTTGATTTGATTTGATTTGATTTGAGAATTGTCTCTTACTTACTTTGCAGTTCTAAAATCCCAACCTTTAATATTTACATCATTACAAGTTGCAAGTTGATTACTAATATTTGGATTAATACAACCTCCTGATAATTTATTTTGATTTCCAATCGATTTTAATACCTAGATAAATAAAAGCAAGCACAAGCAAGTTAGTAAAGAGTTAATAATCTATATATATATATATCGATATTTTAAACATACAGTTGGTTCAGATGAATCTAAATTTGACCAAATACGAATAGTAGAGTCATCTAGAGATACAACATAATCATTTGATTCAGAGGGATCACAAATGATTGGTTTAATGTATCCTTGATGACCTTTGAGTTCATAGACCTCTTCAATTGCCTTGTCATCGACAATCTTCCACAATGATGTTTTATATTCAGCTCCATTGTTGTTATATACAGTATAAAACTGTTGTGCATCATGAAGACATGAAGTAATCGACCATATCTCTTTTGGATGATTCAATAATGACACCAATTTAACTCCTTCATTCTCTTTTGCTTCGATTAAACATATCTAGGAAATAAATATATAAATATAGATAAATTAATATATTTATATTAGACAATCTAATCAATCAATCTAATGATCATTCTCTAGAGAAGTTTAACATACCTCATTTTCCTCTTTAAGTGCATTTGTTCCAACTAGAAATCGATTACATTCAGTTTCTGCTGCAACATGTGAAATTGCTCTAGCTTTACTTAGAGATAACCCATATACATTGGTTGCTATATTACTTGTATTATTATTATACATTCTATTATTACTATTACTTTTAAAATTATGATCAAATTCATCATACTTTAATTTTTTTTGAACTCATTTCATTGTTTGCAACAAACATAAAAGAAAGAGATATTTGTGTATTTATATATAGTACAGTACACTAAAGAATGAATTCGACATGATTTTATTCTTGTAGAGATTAGGTTAAATTAAGATTAGATTGGATGGATTGATTAAATGATCTTTCAACTGGGCTAGCAGTTGATCGATAGGGGTAGGGTTAGGGTTTAGGGTTAGAGATAATAGGGTTACACAATATCTTCATTTCCTCTATCAATATCTAGGTACTTGTCAGAGGTAGGATATGGTTGGTATTGTTGTTGTTGTGGAGTACTTTGGTATTGGTATTGTTGTTGCTGTACAACATATTGTTGAGGTGGTGGTGGACATGGAGTAACCATATCATTGCTCTTTGAATATGATTGTTGTAGTTGTAATTGTGGTGGTGGACATGGAGTATCACAGTATACAGCAATACCTTTCTTGGTAGCAAACGCATACTCAAAAGTATATCCTCTTGATTCAAACTCTTGATTCAATAATGTCTCTAGGTTAATATTAAACTAAAGAAAAGAAGGGGGAGAGAGAGAAAGAGAAAGAAGAGAGAGTCAATATTCATATATTCATATATTCATATCTTTATATCAAACATACAGATTTATAAACTTTAATACCAATAACTATAGTACTTGTTAAAAAGGTTAGAACCCAACCCAAACACATTCCTAAAAGGACATTTTTAGAGACTGGAAGGAATGGAACAGCAGAAACAGCACCAAGAGGCAAAACAAAGCAAAGGAGAAGGATTGGAAGAACTCTCTTTGTTATTCCCAATATATGTTTTCCATAGATGTGACGAACTTTATCATAGTCTTGGTGAGAGAATAATGAAGATAATGTCAATGGCATTTCTGGACGCAAAGGAAGTGGTATAACACCTGCTGGTTCCTTTGATTGTGTCATTGTTTGTTGAGATTAGATTATTATTATTATTAGATTAGATGAACGAATGTTTTTACAAAAGAGTAGGACAGATGAACCTCATCTTTAAATACTGTGGACTAAAAAGTCGGGTTTTTGGTTTTTCAGGACACCTATCGGGGTTGACCCAGGGCACCAAAGTGATGTGAGCAAAGCACCTACACAAACAAAGTGATCCAACCTATCCCAGGGATGATGATGATGGTGGTGGTGACTGATGATCAATTGATTTAAACTAAAAATTAATTTTAATCATTTGCAAAGGAGTTTTTCTTATTTTTTTTTTTTAGTTTAAAAAGGATGATGAATCCAATTTTTTAATTTAATTTGTTGAATATCTTTTTCATTAATGGAGCCCATCCAATTGAATATTTACAAATAATATATTAATATTAATATTATTGTTTTTTATTTTTTTTTTGGAATTGGAAAATGGTTTTCCATTTTTCTTTTTTTCTTTTTAATTATCTAAATTATTAATAATGAAGATGATAAATAAATAAAAGGAGAGGATTATATTATTATTAAATAGTATTATTGTTGAATAGATGGAAATTTTAAAATGGGTGGAATTATTATTAATATATTAATTTTTTTAATTAAATATTTATTATTAATTTTTTTATTAAAATAAATAAATTGAAAAAATATTTTATAAATTATTATTGTTGGGTAGGTTAGTAGTTTTAACTACTGTAGTTTTATTGATTGATTTATTCCAATTTTTTTTACAATCCAGCAGAGACCCTTTAAAAACCAGTTTTTCAAAAAAATTGATTTTTTTAAAACAGTTGAACCAACAAAAAACACCCGCAACAAAGAAAAAAAAAAAGAGAGAGAGGAGAAAGAGAAAAAAAATGACAAATAAAAGAAATATAAACGATGCTATCAATAGAGCAAATATACTTGTAAATACAGAATGTTTACAAGAAAGTAAAGAAATAAATCATAAGATAAAGAAAGTGTAAGTACTTCTTCTTCTCTTTTTCTACTTTCTTTGCTACCTACAAACTTTTTTACTATGAAGAGAAAAATTAAGGTGAAGGGTAAATATTTGTGAGAACGAAAATTGCTAACGAACTTTCAACTTTTTTTTTTTTTTACGTCACACCCATTTTTAGAAAATATACTGCGACTGAACACAACGAAATTGCAAACAAACAAATACTGGAAAACCAAGATGGACAAGAAAAAGATGAACAACACCTCCTCCATCTTCATAATGATGATGATGAGGAGGAGGAGGAATATGATCAAGAGGATGAGGATGAGGTAGATGGAGAATTCCAAATAATAAAAGAAGAGGAAGAACAAAATAATAATAATAATAATAAAGATCAATTGGAAGAATGGGAAGAGATGGAAGGACAATTAGAAGATGATAGTGATTTTGATTATTCCTCAGGTCAATTTGAATCATCTGATGATTCCTCCTCTTCTGAATCTGATGAAGATTCGGAATTGGGATCAAGTGAAAAACAAGAAATCATAAACTCAAAATTAAAGGATGATCCAAACTTGGATATCTATGAATTTGCCAAAAATCTAATCATTCAACACATAAACGAAAAGAAAAGTCAAAATATTAATCCAAAAAAATTTACCAAAGATCTTGGTTTTGTATGTATACACAAACATAAACATAAATGTATTCTTATTTATTTATTTATTAATTTTATTTTTTTCTATTTTTAGACATTACAAGTTGATGAAGAAGATGAAGATCCATGGGAATTAATAACAAGTTTTTTAACAAAAAGAAAAATAGCATTACATTTATTTTTCAAGTATATGAAGTATCAATCGTTTAGTCGTCCGTATCGTCGCAAGCTGGAGCATATCAATACGATAGACGACGTTGTAAATTTATTCAAAACATGTAAAAACATTCTTATCATTACTGGAGCCGGAGTGAGCGTGTCGAGCGGTATCCCCGACTTTCGTTCCAAGGGGGGTGTCTATGAGACCATCGAGAAAAAGTATAATCTGCCAGAGCCTGAATGCCTGTTTGACATACACTATCTCCTCCAAGACCCCAACCCATTTTTCGAATTTGCCAAAGAGATTTATCCAGGTCGTCACAAACCATCACCCACTCACTACTTTATCAAAGAGTTGGATGAGCGGGGCCTACTCCTTCGAAACTATACTCAAAACATTGATACGTTGGAACACGTCGCTGGTATTAGTCACGAGAAACTAGTCAATTGTCATGGTAGTTTTAGTACGGCTTCTTGTATCAGTTGCAAGTTTACAGTTGATTGCTCACAACTACGAGAAACAATTGATCGTCAACAAATCCCTTATTGCCAACAATGCGATGACTCCAAGTCGTTTATGAAACCAAATATTGTCTTTTTCGGTGAGAACCTTCCCGACCGATTCGACCATTGCGTAAGAGAGGATCGTCCCAAAGTTGATATGGTCATTGTCATGGGATCCTCTCTCAAGGTTCAACCAGTCTCTCTATTGCCCGAGTATATCAATCCAAACGTCCCCCAAATTCTCATCAACCGTGAGATTGTTGGTCAACCTCATCAGTTTGATTATGCTTATCTTGGTGATTGTGATACTTTTGTAAAGGAAATGAAAGAAAAATTAAATTGGTTTTAAAAAGTAAATAAACAAATAAGAATTCATTGTACTTTTTTTTTTTTTCTTTTTTGTTGTTTTGTTAACTTTATCTCTTTCTCCTCTAATTTATTAATTAAAAAAAAAAGTGCAAACCGTGAGAAGAGGATGGAGAAAATGATTATTATTATATGTGCAAGTATATATATATAGAAGAGGACCCAATTTTGCGGTGCTAGCAAAGACAATGCCCAAGCTCAGGAGTATTGCTCTCTATGGGTTGGTTGGCGAACCTCTTGTCAAGACAATACGAAGCTTTCACACAAATATAACGTTTTATGTGTGCCACTGCCTCCTCAAATCCACCAGAAACCGTGTCACCAAGATTCTACTTTCCTTTTTCTTTGATTGGAATGGAATACCCTGCCTAAAAAAGTCAAACGACGGCAGAGGGTCATATCATTGTCTATCTTTGTGGCTTTTTCGATGAAACCAGCAAACTTGGATATGGAAATCGAACAAGTTGATTTCCCAAAACTGAGAGATCCAATTATGGTACCAGAAAGTGTCGATAAACTTACTTTTGAAGCCATCCCAGAAATCGGTACATCACTCAATCACCTTCCACACATCAGAACAATCCGATTTAAGATTGACGATGAAACCTTTCGTCGCCAATTGACCCTTAGTAGCTGTTATGTTGCAATCACCAATTTTAATCAACCCAATATCAACAAAATTATTATACACTCTGCATATGATATTTTAAAAAGTGATGTTGATCGATTCAACGAAATAGGCCATCAATTTATTTCTTTGTAAAAAATTAATATTTAAAAAATTGGAAAATAATATTAATAATATAGATAATAATAATAGTAAATATCTTGGGCATCGAAACAATTCAAATTGTGTATTTAAAACCATTCGATCAGTTGTCAGTTACAACGCTAAAAATAATGGTTTTAAATTTCATGAACATGATTATCAAACCATTTCAAAAATCAAGTACCTAGAGACAACAGACATACCAACATCTCTTGAATTGTTCCCAAACTTGACCAAATTAGATATTAGAGATTGTTCAATTCCATACGATGCCCTCATGTTTCTTAAACTTGCAGAGGCATTAAAAGGAAAATCGATCACCAAACTCTACTTTCCATCAAACTGCATCAGTGCCTATTCGATACTATCTGAAGATATCAAGCTCTCTCTACGATGCATTGTAACCAATCTCTCACAAGATGTCAACTTGAACGAGTTTCCAAATTTGGTTGCATTGGTTGTACTCGATTGTAGCTCAACTACTATTGGTCAAACTTTAAAAAACTACCATCTAAAATCAAAAAGATTACAACCAATCAACAAGCAATATTAAGTCTCAATCTAACAACCATTTGTATCAACCATGCCGACCACCACCACAACTACTTTAAACAACACGAATAACTATATTGTAAACAACCAGAGCATAACAGGTTATACATATACACCAACAACAACTACACAGCAACATCCCCAAATGACGTTGCAACAACAATTCACTAGGTTGATGGCCAATCCTACAATGACAACCAATTCTAGTCACCGTCGATGATTATATATATAACATAGCCTTTTAATAAATCATTAAATAGCTATTTATGTATCTATTTAAGAATTCTTTTTTTTTCCAAAAGAGGAAATCTATTTTTTTTTTTACTTATTTTTACTTTGAGTGTTCAAGTCAAAGAGGTTGTTCATTTCAATACTCATTCAATAATAATACATAATTACATTGTTTCTTATTAATCTATAATGCATTATAGATACAACAACAACAATATACACATAATAAATGAAAAGAAAGGAAAGAGAGGACGTGGTGGATGATATCATCCGTGATGAAGAAGAATATACAGAGGAAGAGTTAAAGATAATTTATCGACAAGATATATGTTATCGATCAAGATTTAAACAACTACAACAACAAACAACAACAAATAATAATAATGATACACTGAAACTATATCATTGTAGATATTTAGATGATTCATGTGTTGGTGTTGGTGGTATAGCAGTGCTGCCATGGTTTATTATCGAGAGAATATTGACATTGGCATCTGACAATGCAAATTTTTGTACGTGTGTATACGATGATGCTCTACGAGATGCTCTAGAACAATTAGATCATAAACAATACAAACCAAATACAATCGATACCAGAGGACTTGCACACTTACAAATGCAACCACAAATAGAACAACATTCACTCGGTCGACAAGATATGTGTCCCATTCACCAATACAACTACGATATGGGTTACCGACCACCACCCAATCTTTATATAAGAAATTCAAGAAATGATAACCCCAATATTAGCATACATGTCGATATTGATAAACGATGGAAGCGACAGTCATTGGCACTGGTATCAAAAAGAGTATTTGAATTGGTATCGACCACTCTCTTTACCGACGGTGTTCATTTTTGGAGCCGACCAGAGACACGTACAATCACATCAAAAAGAAATACTGTGTCATCAAGAATCCAACCACTCTTTACTTGGTCAAACCCTTTCATTATTCATATCACAAACCATTTTATGTTGACAATGAAGCATTGAAACAAGTAAGAAAGGTACACATCCGGGGGGAGATCCCATCTGAGCCCAGACAATTGCCAATTGACATTATGACGATGCTATCGGAAGCAATGCCCAAGCTCAGGAGTATTGTTCTGTATGACCACGTTAAAGTGGTTCTCGTTAGAGCAATACCATACGCTTCCTTTAACAAACTCAGATCAATCAATTTTCTCAATGCCATTCCAACAAACTGCGTTTTCAAGCACATTGGGAAAACATTACTTGTACCTGGTACTCGTATCACCAAGATTCTACTTCCCTTCTTCTTTGACTGGAATACCTTGGATGGGACTGTCAAACGAAAACTAAGAGTCATATCATTGTTTTCCAGTTTTATGCAAATCAAACAAGATGATTTTCCAAAACTAAAGCATATACATTTTGGTGGACGTTGGACAGATACAATATCATTGGTACCTGCAAGTGTCGATAAACTTACTTTTGACAACTTCCCTCTATACAGGAGTTTACCCAATTATTTTCCACACATCAGAATAGTCAGATTTAAACGTTATAGAACCGATCCTAAACACCAATTTACAGTTACTAGTTGTTATAATGGTTTCAATTTTAATCTAACCAACATCAACAAAATTATTATACATTCACCATATGATATTTTACAAAGTTATGTTGATCTGTACAACAAAATAGGATATCAATTTATCGGTTCTTCAACAATGATAGATAATAATAATAATAATTGTAAAAAATTTATATTTAAAAAATTGGAAAATATTAATAATAATAATTATAATAATATAGATAATAGTAATAGTATTTCAACAACAAATAATAATCAACCATTTGAAAAAAGATTACCAAATTATGTTATGCGTAATATTATATCGATGGTTTGGAATCTAAGAGATAGATGTACATGTATTTATGAAGAGAGTTTTATGAAAAGATTGGAACAACCTGGATTGGAATTTTTAAACGATAAGGAATTTGTTCAACACTATCACTCTATCAAAAATGAATGTGCTGTTCATTTTTCAACAACTAAACTATTTACACCTCAACACCATACAATAGCAGAATCAACAAGATCAAAACTACAACTAGCACTCATATCTAAAGATATTTTCAGATTTGTATCTAATCATTTATTCAACAATATTATCTTTCTCAACAACAACGATTTTTATTTTCTTGATTATAATAATAGGTATCGTATGCATCGAAACAATCCAAATTGTGTATTTAAAACCATTCGATCACTTGTCATTCACACCCCTAAAATTAATTATGGTTTTGAATATAGTGAAGAGGATTATCAAACAATTACAACAATCAAGTATCAAAGGATATCAATGATACCACCATCTCTTGAATTGTTCTCATGTTTGACCAAATTAGATATTAGAGATTGTCCGATTCAATACGATGCCCTCATGTTTCTTGATCTAGCAGAAACATTAACAGGAAAATCGATCACCAAACTCTACTTTCCATCAAGATGCGTCAGTGCCTATTCGATACTCTCTCAAGATATCAAGCTCTCTCTACGATGCATCGTAACCAATCTCACACAAGATGTCAACTTGGACGAGTTTCCAAATTTGGTTGCATTGGTTGTACTCGATTGTAGCTCAACTACTATTGGTCAAACATTAAAACTACCACCTAAAATCAAAAAGATTACAACAGATAAAAAAGCAATATTAATTCTCAATCTAACAACAATATCCACACTCAAGATATTATACAACAAATGGGATTGTCTTGAAATTCTACCTATATTAAACCAATTATCAACTGCCAACCAAATCACAAAAGTTATCATTCAAATCAAATCGATTCAACCATTATTGGATATTTCCCAAACTAGTTTCCAACTCGATGGTAGTGTCTCCAAACAAATATGTTCAGAGGGCAATGTTAAACAAGCCAATAATCTAATCTATCGTAGAAAACCATTGTTGCAAGCATATATCGATATTGTTGTGGTTCCCTCCCAACAACAACAAAAAGAACAACAACAACATATCCCTTTATCAACACCAAAGTCAAATGAGGAAATTGTTAAACAACAAACCCAGACCATTAATAATAATAATATCAACCAACAATCAAGTGATAATAATAATGTCACAGATAATAATAATAATGGATGTTTAAATCGACCTAGACGACAACAACATCAACATCTACTACCACCGCCACCACCACCACCACCACCTACAATTATTCAGCGACCAAAAGTGCCACTTAAACAACAACAGGTCATGACAGTTTTACCTCAATCAAATAATCAACTACCTAACCAGCCAAGTTTTAAAACCAAGCAACAACAACAAAAAAACAAACATTACAACCTTTTAATAATAATAATAATAATAATAATACTAATAATAATGCCATTTCACGACAATCGCAACCAAATAATCAACAACTTGTACACACTCCAAATCAATACCAACAACAATTTTACTTGCCTCAACAAAGCAGATCACAACATCAACAACTTGTACATGCTCCAAACAGCCAACCCTTTTTAGTTTATCCTCAATCACAACAATATCAACATCAGCAACAACCAATGACTGGGCCTTCGATCATTCAACCAAATCAACAAAGCATAAAACAACAACAGCAACAACAATCCCAATATCAAAGCATAGTACAACCTCTACCATTACAACCACAACTTGTACACGCTCCAAATGGCCAAACTTTTTTAGTTTATCCACAACAACAAGAACAAGCAACGATGATTTTACCCTATTATCAACAACAACAATTTGGCACACCCCAACAAAGCATAGTACAACCTCAACAACACCAATCGTTACCCTTAAGTGATCAAATCTCAGGTCAACTCCATCAACAACAGCTGCAACAACAACAACAAACCCTAATTGGAGGAATTGGTCAACCTCACCAGCAACAAATGATCGATTTACCGACAACAAATTATCAATACCAACATACAAATCAGCAACCCGTATGGTTAAACAACGCCGGTATTGTAATGGGTCAGCAACAAGAACATTATCAATATCAACAACAACAAGTGCATCAAAACCAGCAATCAAACTATAACAACTATGAAATTCAAAATACCTCATTTACAAATAATAATAATAATAATTACAATTATTCCAATGACAATCAATTTGTATCAACCATACCTACCACCACCACCACAACTACTTTAAACAACGCGAATAACTATATTGTAAACGACCACAACATAACAGGAAATACATATACAACAACAACAACTGCACAACAACATCCTCAAATGATGTTACAACAACAACAACCATTCATTTGGGTCGAATCTTACAATCTAAATAATCAATAACCAATATTCCAGTCACCTCCGATATCTTCTAATAATTATTAATGTACCTCGACGAGGATACCTTTCAAATCACAATTTAATCGCATTCTTTCAAGCTCTAAAAAAAATGGTTCATTAATAATCATTGACAGTTCAGTACTACCACAACAATTGTGTGCCAGTATTCAATTTGGAAATGGAATACTATGATTTTGAAACTTTTATCGATGGACTAGCTCGTCGTTATTGTTAGAATCAAAGAATAAATTATTAAATAAAAACTTTTTTTTACTCTAGAGTACGAATTTCGTCATATTTTACTAACATAACGTGATACTTGTGATAGAAACAATAATGAAATGAAAAGAAAAGAAAGAGAGGACGAGGTGGATGATAATATTATCACCCTTGATGAAGAAGAAGAATATACAGAGGAAGAGTTAAAGACAATTTATCGAAAAGATATATGTTATCATCGATCTACAAATAAACAACAACATCTTACAACAAACAATAATAATGATAATAATAATAATGATATAACATTAAAATATTATCATCATAGATATTTAGATGATTCAAGTGTTGGTGGTGTTGGTGGTACAGTGCTACCATGGTTTATCATCGAGAGGATATTGACATTGGCATCATACAATGCAAATATTTGTACGTGTGTACACAATGATGCTCTACGAGATGTTATGGAGTTATTGGAAAGCAAACAATACGCACTAAATACTATGAATACGAAAGGACTAGCTCAATTACAAATGCAACCAATAATAGAACAATCACTCTGTCGACAAGATATGTGTCCCATTCACCAATACAACTACGATATGGGTCACCGATCACGACCCAACCTTTATTTAAGAAATTCAAATAATAATATCATTGGCAGGCGTCTCGATGATGGTAAATGATGGAAACGACAGTCATTGGCACTGGTATCAAAAAGAGTATTTGAATTGGTATCGACCACTCTCTTTACCAAAGATGGTGTTCATTTGGAACCGACCAAAGACACGTACAATCACATCCAAAACAAACATTGTGTTATCAAGAATCCAACCACTCTTTACTTGGTCAGACCCTTTCATGACTCATTTCACAAACCATTTTATGTTGACAATGAAGCATTGAAACGAGTAAGAAAGGTACACATCCAAGGTGCAGTCCCAACTAAACAACAACCTTTGGTAAAAGGTATTCTGACGATGCTATCGGATGCAATGCCCAAACTCAGGAGTATTGTTCAGTATGAGAGAATCGACGTGGCTCTTCTCAGAGCAATACCAAACGCTCCCTTTACCAATCTCAGGTCGATCAATTTTCTCAATGCCACTCCCACAGAAATGGCTTTCAATCACATTGATAAATTACTTGTACCTGGTACTCGTATCACCAAGATACTACTTCCCTTTTTTTTTGACTGGAATGACTTGGATAGGACGGTCAAACAAAAACTAAGAGTTATCTCTCTTTGCAAACAAGCTTCAATCGAATAGGCAAACCAAACAAGAAGATCTCCCAAAACTCAAGCATATATATTTTGTTGGTGGGCATTGGCAAAATCCAACAGCAGTACTGGTACCAACAAGTGTCGATAAACTTTCATTTGACACGAGACCAGGGAACGCAAAAGTACTCAATAACTTTCCAAATGTCACAATAGTCAGATTTAAACATATTGGATACGATCCTCAATCCCATTATACAGTTAATGGTTGTTACAATGGTGTCAATTTTAAACAAACCAATATTAAAAAAATTATTATTCATTCACCTTTTGATATTTTAAAAGGTGATGTTTCTCGATACAAAGAAATAGGTTACCAATTTATCGATTCAACATTGATAAATAATTTTAAAAAATTTATATTTAAAAAATTAGAGAATATTAATAATAATAATAATAATATAGATAATAATAATAATAATAATAATAATAATAATAATATAGATAATATAGATCATTCAACTACCACAACAACAAATAATTTAATAACTAATAACAATAATTTTGAAAAAAGATTACCAAATTATATTATGCGTAATATTATATCGATGGTTTGGAATCTAAGAGATAGATGTACATGTATATTTGAACAAAGTTTTATGAAAAGATTGGAACAACCTGGATTGGAATTTTTAAAAGATAAGGAATTGATTCAACAATACTACTCTATCAAAAATGAATGTGCTGTTCATTTTTCAACAACAATAAGATTATTTATACCTCAACACCATACAATTAGAGAATCAACAAGATCAAAACTACAACTAGCACTAATATCTAAAGATATTTTCAGATTTGTATCTAATCATTTATTCAACAATATTATATTACCCAATAATAATAATAATAATTATAATAATCAAAATATTATTAATAATAATAACTATCTTGCTCATCGAAACAATCTAAATTGTGTATTTAAAACCATTCGATCAGTTGTCTGTTACAACGCTAATAATAATGGTTTTAAATTTAATGAACAAGATTATCAAACAATTGCATCAATCAAGTACCTAAAAGCAACGGAAATACCACCATTGTTTCCAAACTTGACCAAATTGGATATTAGAGATTGCTCGATTCCATACGATGCTCTAATATTTCCTAAACTAGCAGAGGCATTAAAAGGAAAATCGATCACCAAACTCTACTTTCCATCAAACTGCATCAGTGCCTATTCGATACTATCTGAAGATATCAAGCTCTCTCTACGATGCATTGTAACCAATCTCTCACAAGATGTTAACTTGAACGAGTTTCCAAATTTGGTTGCATTGGTTGTAATGAATATTAGCTCAACTACAATTGATCAAACATTAAAACTACCACCTAAAATCAAAAAGATTACAACAAATCAAGAAGGAATAATAAGAATCAATCCTACGGTTCCCACACTCAAGATATTATACAACGAGATGGAATATCATCAAATTCAACCTATGTTGAACAAATTATCATCTTTCAGCCAAATCTCAAAAGTTATCATTCAAATCAAATCGTATTGTGATCTTTACAACACACCTTCCGAGTCTTGTTTCCAACTCGATGGTAGTCTGTCCAAACAAATTTATTCACAACAGGGTAATACTTCCCAAGTCAACAATGTAATCTATCGAAGAAAACAAAATATCAATATTGTCCATCTCAACAATCAATAGATAATAATATAAATAAATTAAATCAACCTCCACAACAACAACAACAACAACAACAACAACAACAAATCCCCTTACCACCAACACCAAAACCAACTCAGAAAAGAAATGCCAAAACCAAACGACAACAACCTCAACAACATCAACACCTACTACCTACAATTATTCAACAACAACAACCAGTTCAACAAGTCCACAATAATAATAATAATAATAATAGTGCGTTCCCAAATCAACCTCAGCAACCATCACCAATATATTCTAAAAATGGATCATCGAAAGTGATTTGTCGATTTGTAAATCTAAATTTTAGATGGGATTCAAAAGTTTTAAACATCCCCATTCCAGATCAAGCAACTTTGGAGATGGCTAAAATGATGTTTTATATCAAATTTGACCTTAAAAACTCACCAGAATACACCGAGAGTGAATACCAACACTTTAAGTTTTACTATAATGACCAACCAATCCAATCCCATTCCAAGTTTATCTATGAATTCGATCTCCAAGATGGACACTTTATTCGAGCAGAGTGGGAATCAAAGTGGAAAACGGTGCAAGTGCAAGGTTTTGAAATGGAGATACTCTCTATGAGAATCCAAGACGACACTCTGCTCGAAGACATTGTCAAAGCCTATTTCCAGGGTTGCCCCCCACCATATGAATACAAAAACTTGCGCGTAGAATACAACGGGGTTCGATTGGATCTTACTGGTGACGTTGGTAGCAGCCAAATCAAAAAAAACTCGTTCCTCAAAATTGTATCATCCTCTGACATTATCCATGTGCATGTTATACCATCGTGGAACATTGGGGAAAAAGAAATCTATGCACTTCACAAACAGACCACAGTCCTTTCGAAATTGGTAGACTCTTTTCTCAAAAAGCACCAACTCCATCCCAGACAAATCAACTTTACAAGTGCCTCGACCGGTGCTGTGATCGATCCAAACAAACCATCACTCGACCAAGGTCTTGAAATGGACTCTGTCATCCATGCCAATCTTATACTCTCAAGAATAGATGTAACCTACCAACCCCATACAGTACCATACTTGCTCAGCACCAATACTTGCTTTGAGTCTTTGATACAACGATTCTGCGAGAGACTCAATATCAATAGATCCACTGTGCAATTTGTTTATGACAATAAGAAATTGGTGCCAGAAGAAACACCAGAGCATATCAAGATGGGTCCACAGGCAAACATACAGGTTACATCAAACGGTACTACTGTTCAGCAATAGTTGAAGTAAGACTGATTGGAAAAGATGCAGGAAGCTATATCAAGATGCACACTCACAACCCTTTTCCACTCGAAATTCTCATGGACACCTTTTGTGATCAACACAAACTCAACAAACATGATATCCTCTTTACTTTTAATGGCATTAAAATACAACCAAACGATACAATAGTAAGCATTGGCCTACGGGACTCTGATATTATTGAAGCGAGAACAATCCAACACATTCATTAACAATAAATGTAAACAGACGGTTGGGTGATTATAATGTTTAAAACTATAGGAGATATATTGATCATTGATTTATTATTTTCTTTGATTCTTTACCTTGAAACCACCAGAGAAACCACCAGTATTAACATTCTTGCCCCATTTTTCACGATGTTGTTGTTGATGCTTTTGCATTGCATTACCATTGCCATTATTACGATTTGAAAACATGACTTTATCAATATTCTTTGGATCAAATCTATTTTCATAAGAACCTTTACCATGAACCGATTCATATTCCATCTTTGATCTAAGATTATTTGATTTCATTTCGAAATGGTTGACATCAGAGACATCAATCTTTCTCTTTACCTTTTTAACTCTTCCCTTGTCCATTTCTTCGTCGTAATCATCTTTTTGTCTTTGAACGAGTTTGAGAGATGGATCCATAAGTAGTTCATTTTGAGCCTTGACATTTTCATCTTGTTCTTCAATATCATCCCACTTGGCAACATTTGAAATACCTCCAAACTGATTTGGTGATTGTCTTTGTGATTGTTTGGCCAACATTTTTCCAACATTTAATTGTCTATTTGCATTTGAGGCAGCCTTGGCATCAATCATTGATTGAATTTCAGATGTTGAAACCTTGTCTTCCCAATTTCTAACATTAACTGTAGAAGCATTTGGTTGATTCAACTTTTGTTTCTTTTTAATTTCTTCTTGTTCTTCTAGTTGTTGAATATCTTCCAATTCTTTTCTTTTTAATACAGTTGTTGGTTTTTCAGTTGGAACAACCTTTGTATTGCTAGTGACAGTAGTAACTGTTGAACTAGAACTACTAGTAGTTGTAGTAGAAGTAAAAGAGACACTACTCTTTATAAAGGTAGATGGTGAATTGACACGTCTAGAGTAGAAAAGAATATAGGCACGTTGACCTAGAGCCGTTGGTTGATTGACCGATGACACAAAATTATCATTCATATTGTGCCATAAATTAGTGGATCCCTTTACATAACAATAATAATGTCCACTATTAGTACTGCCTCCTGAATGAACCAATACTCCATATAAATCATAAACTGCATCTTTCTAAAAATAAAAAAAGAAATAAATAAATAATTAATTAATTAAATATTAAATATTATTATTTTTCCTTTTTCTTTTCTGCTTACAGTAGAATTTGACATATAGGGAGATAAATCCAAAGTTGATTCATATTGAATTTGACGATTACTTTTTGAACCATTATAATTGAAACGTTTGAGTTGAATGGTAAGGATGGAAGGAGCAACATGAACAGTCATTCTTTTACTGGCACGAACCAATTTTTTACATTTGCAACATTTGTATTTGTTGGCACCGTCCAAATACTCGGCCTTTACAAATTGTTGCATTGCCTTTGTTATACTATCCGATGTGTGAATATCAACTGAAAGATCCATAAATGGATCAAATGTGTTGGATTCGTACGAACATTGAGTACATTTGACTTGACTCTGTAGATAGCCACCAAATATAGATCCAATGACAGTAGTCATAGAGTCACGTGGAGTAACAGATCCCTTGGCATATTTGGACAAGCAAACCTTTTGACAACCTTCCAAGATGAAACGGATAAACTCGTGAGAATCCTCTTGACGACCTAATCTAAATCCTGGTGCAAACTTTTTAAGATTGATAGCAATTTCCTTGGGAGTGATGGCACGACCAACACCAGATGGTTCATGTGAACGAACAATATGACGTTCAAGTGAGCAGAATATACAAAATCCTTGTGTCTTGCAAGTCTTGGTATGTTCATGTGACACCATATAGTTGTAGAGTGGTGGTGTATAGGTAAGACACTGAAGAACAGCGTTCATGAAACAAGTATTACCCAAATTCTCAAGACCAGGTCCAATCTTTTTAACACCTTTCCATTCCATCAATGATGGTAACTTTTCAACATTGAATAATACTTTTTTGGGTGGATGTAAGATATTATCGTCAAGTGGCTCTGGTTTTTTGACCATCTGTGTTTTAGTGGTTAATGAAGAGGATGATGAAGAAGAAGATGAAGTTGTAGTAGTTGTAGTTGTTGTTGTTGTAGTGGTTGAAATCATAGTCTTGTTGGCAAATGGATTTGGCAAAGTTGGAGTTGAGACTTGTTTGTTGATAGGTTGATACTTTTTCTTGAGCGCAGCATTTGGATCTACTTGTGTTGCCGATTCTCTAAATACAATGGCACGATGTAATAATGGTTTTCCACTATGTTGGAGTGTTGTTTCCAGTTTGTTCTTTTTCTCCAACATTAATTGTTTACTCATTTGACCAAGTTGTTTTGTTTTGGCTTCTTGTTCTTTTTTCGCTTTCAAATCCATTGCAGATGTTTCCTTTTCCTCCTCTTCCTCGGTCTTTTCTTTTGTGTATCTATCTTCCTCTTCTTCATCATCATCATCAACTTGCATTTTACCACTAATCTTATTATCATAATGAGTGATAACAGCAATTTCTTTTGTTTGTTGAGATTTAATATTATTGATATTATCTTGTAATCTCTTTTTAATTTGTAATGTCTCTTTACTAATAGGTAATAGTTGTTGTTGATGTTGTTTAAATGATGATTTCTTTTGTCTTGCTATCTTTCTATTTTTCATCATTGCCACTGCTTTGTTTGGAGATGGAGAAGATAAAGATGAAGATATAGTCAAGTTCTTCTTTCCACCTGTCAACACAGGTGAAGTAGGAGGACTATCTATTGCTACAGGCATAATAATAATAATATTATATATATAATAATATAGGTGAACTTATTTATCTCCCAACTTCGACACAAAGTTAGTGAATGTTTGGTAAAACAACCAACAACAACTTGCAAAATTAACCGAACGACGAAAAAAAAAAAAAAAAAACAAAGAAATGACTTGGATAAAGTTAAAGTGGGTGGATCGATAATAATTGTGAGAGACCGTCACAAGAATTCATAACAATACCAGTAGTACGACCATAGAAAGGTGTGAATGAATAAACAATTCATTCACTGCCCAATTTGACTAAACCAAGGACATTTAAATAAATCTAAAGCATGAATCTTTGGCAAAGATGATTATTCGTTTTTTTTTTTTAATTTTTGTTTTTTTTTTTTATGTAATGAAGACTCTAAAGACGAAAGATCACCTTTTCATTTTAGTAAAGAGCTCTTTTAACATATCTTACAACATATCTTCAAGAATGCAGTTCAATACAACAACAACAACAACAACAAAAGAGAGTAGTTCATTTGTAATTCGACCAATGAACGAATTTGACGTTAAAACTATATTTGATATACAAAAGGAAATGTTCCCAAGTGATGACTTTTTCGAAGAGTATCAAGTATTTTATACAAAGTTTTCATTGTTTCCACAAGGATGTTGGGTGGTCGATCGTATAGAAGAAAGAAATGATGTAGAAATTTCAACCATGATTGCTCACATTTTCGTTCATCCATGGAGAAAAGATGAATTCCCACCTTTAAATAGTTTTGAAAAACTTAAAAAAGGTTATCAACCAATTAAAGATTTATTAATTCAAAATAACAATAATAATAATAATAATAATAATAATAATAATAATAATAATAATAATAATAATAATAATAATAATAATAATAATAATTTTGAAAAAGATAATTTAGTATTTTATTTAAATGAATTGGGTGTAAGACCTATGGCTCGTGGTTATAATATTGGTTCTTTATTGGTTGAACATACTTTAAATTATGTTTGCAATTATCTCTCAATTCCTTTAGTGTATGTATAGAAATAATCAAACTATCATTGGTGGATATTAATATTAATATCTTTATTTATTTTAGAACATTGGTATCAGTTCAAGGATCATCAAAATTTTGGGAATCATTACAATTCCAAATTGTACAATTAAACACTGAAAGAAGGGAATATCTAACCACCAATTACGGCAAAGATGCCAAGTTTATGAACCGCACCTTTATCCTATCACCGTACAACCAAAAACCATCACAAATTAAAAAAAAATTACTCTTGTCAAAGCTTTAAAAAAAGAACCTATCAAATCAAATCACCCATACTTTAAACACACCTAAACACATGCATGTTGCAACTTGGCAAGACGAAAAGAGAATTTAGTCTCTCTTTTTCCAAATTTATTTATTTATTTTTGTTTTTTTTGTTTCCCCTCAACTAATGGTACAGAAACATTTAAATAGTTTAAATTCTCAATCAAACCATTTCATTATCAATTAATTATCTATCTATCTATTTTCCATCATCATCATCATCATGTTTAAATCTAAACCTATTTGTATTTTATTTATTTGTATTGTAGTGGTGGCTATAAATGCCTACAAAATCCAAACCAAATCACTCTTGACATTATTATCAGTTGATGAAATATCAAATCATCTATCACAAGAAATCATCAATCAATTAGCCAATGAATTTGATATTTCCAAATCATTCAATTCCACCTCACCTCTTGAAAATCTTGATCATTTTGGTTTTATCGTTTCATCCTCTATCATTAATAATCCAACTCATGTTGATCAATTAATTAAACAAAAGAAACCAATTATCTTTATGTATGTAAAGAAAAGAAAAAGAAAAAGAAAAGATAATATATATTCATTCCCTCTAATTAATTATTTCTTTTTTTTCTTTTTCTTTTTTTTTTCTATATTTAAAGTAATTTAAATATTAAAGATAAAGAATATTTTTGTACAAAAATAATGGGATGTAGTTTAAATCAAGGTGATAGAATCTTGGCATATATTCCAAAAAAGTTCCAAGGTAGAAATTCCTATTGTTTGTTGTCATGGCCAGAAGATGAACAACAAGAAACCAACAATCAAATGATCGAGTCTGCCGTAACCGATCATTTAATGGGTAAATTATTGGTTGGTGATTCACCCATCTCTAATCTCATCCCTCCATTAAATGACAGTATTCCATTTGGTTATTTTGAATTCTCAATCGTTGGCCAATTCACTCCTGCCCCAGTCTCTGGTGTCAATGTCCAATGGAATACATTATCTTTCCGTATTGATAATCATTTCTATATGTATAAAGATAATGTTTATGAAAATAATTATTTAGTATTATTACAAAGTATGTAATTATAAATCAAAAAAAAAAACAAAATAATAATAATATATAATTAAACAATTTATTTTTCTATTTTCTATTTATTTAGATGGATATGTATCACCATCAACAATGGCAGTGAATGATCTTTCAAAGGCATTGGGATTTTATCAATCATCATTCCAATTGACCAATGAAATCTTTTACAAGAATCAAACGTTGCCTTTGGATGGTACTTTTGGATTGGAATCGACTTCGCCAGCAACCGTCGATCAAAATCAACAAGTCACCAAATCAGCTACTACCACTACTCAAATTCATGTTGGTGTCACTGCAACTGGTTCGGGTGGTGATGGAAGTGCTAGTGTCACTCAGACCTTTGAAGCATCGACTGTCACTGTTCAAGACATTACCGACTATGGTATCGATGAATTGACTGATCCAGTTAGTATGAATACTGGTTGGGTGTGGCACCAACAATTCCCATACGATGTCTATTCATTGGGATGGGAGAATTTTGGTGAATGGTGGAAACAAGCTTATGATCCAACCAACAGTAACAACATTATGCCAGTCCCACCCCTCTCTACCGAGACACTTCAATTCACATCGTCGTCTGTATGGCGTGCCGACTCTTCTCTCATCGATGAAAATGATGAACTCTTGGTAGAGTTTGATTTCAATATCCAACATGTTGCCTCCCTCATTGCCATGCCCCACTTTTATGATAGTCATCATAAATTATTCTATCTTGACTATAACCCAGTCTATGGTGCTATCATCAATGCCAATTTTAATTTAGATTAAATAATAATAAACATATAATTTATTATAAATTATCATCAATCCCAAACAAACTAATTCATTCACTCTTCTTTGAGTTTAACTAACTACTAACTAAACTATTAATTGATTTCAACCGAACTGATAAAAAATAGATCACAGTATTATAATAACTATAAAGGTTTTTGAATTGGTAGGTAGATGTACATATCCCCATCTCGATCCCTACAAACATTGCACTTTCAAGCATGCTAAACCTCTCCCTTCCAAAATTAGCCAATAAAAATCTTTGAAAAAAAAACAAAAACCAAACCCAACCCAACTTTTCAAACCCAACTCTATTTAATTTTTACCTTTTTTTTCTGAACCGACTACTATTTAAAGTTCATCCTGCAGGATATTCTATTCAATATATTTAAATAATATAATAAATAATAATTTCAATCATGTCTGACGATGTTCAAGTATGTATAACACATAAAAAAGATAATATATTCCATCCATACCAAATTATAGTTATGCTAATTTTTTTCCCAACCTTTTTCTTTCCATTAGGCTTTAGTTATCGATAACGGTTCTGGTATGTGCAAGGCCGGTTTTGCTGGTGATGATGCACCACGTGCTGTCTTCCCATCCATCGTTGGTCGTCCAAGACACACTGGTGTCATGGTCGGTATGGGTCAAAAGGATTCATATGTTGGTGATGAAGCCCAATCCAAGAGAGGTATCCTTACCTTGAAGTACCCAATTGAACACGGTATCGTTACCAACTGGGATGATATGGAGAAGATCTGGCATCATACCTTCTACAATGAACTCCGTGTTGCTCCAGAGGAACACCCAGTTCTCCTCACTGAAGCCCCACTCAACCCAAAGGCCAACCGTGAAAAGATGACTCAAATCATGTTTGAAACCTTCAACACCCCAGCCATGTACGTTGCCATTCAAGCCGTATTGTCACTCTATGCCTCTGGTCGTACCACCGGTATTGTCATGGACTCTGGTGATGGTGTCTCTCACACTGTTCCAATCTACGAAGGTTATGCTCTCCCACATGCTATCCTCCGTCTCGATCTTGCTGGTCGTGATCTCACTGACTACTTGATGAAGATCTTAACCGAACGTGGTTACTCTTTCACCACCACCGCCGAACGTGAAATCGTCCGTGATATCAAGGAAAAGCTTGCCTACGTTGCTCTCGATTTCGAATCTGAAATGCAAACTGCTGCCACCTCTTCACAACTCGAAAAGTCATACGAATTACCAGACGGTCAAGTCATTACCATCGGTAACGAACGTTTCCGTTGCCCAGAAGCCCTCTTCCAACCATCATTCCTCGGTATGGAATCTGCTGGTATCCACGAAACTACCTACAACTCGATCATGAAGTGTGATGTTGATATCCGTAAGGATCTCTACGGAAACGTCGTCCTCTCTGGTGGTACCACTATGTTCCCAGGTATTGCTGACCGTATGAACAAGGAACTCACTGCCCTTGCTCCATCCACCATGAAGATCAAGATCATCGCCCCACCCGAACGTAAATACTCTGTCTGGATCGGTGGTTCCATCCTTGCCTCCCTCTCCACTTTCCAACAAATGTGGATCTCCAAGGAGGAATACGACGAATCTGGTCCATCCATCGTTCACAGAAAGTGTTTCTAAACTTTTTATTTATTCTCTCTTTTAAAAATATTGTTGTAAATTAATAAATCCCTTAAAATCAATCCCAATAATCTGAACGAGTAGATTTTATCCTCGTTTAGTATGGGTTGTATATACACAAACTAAAAAAAATATAATATAATAATAGTTTTTTTCTTTGACTATAAATCTCTTTATCTGGTGTATAGATATTTCAAGTTTTGTGATTTACAAAACTACCAATGTACAAAGATTTATATTAACAAAGAAACAAATGACTGTTATTATTTAATCTTTCCCAATAAATTATTATTGTTTTGTTATATATGTAAAGGTCTTTTTATTTTCCAGTAGATGGTACAGGACTACTACTACTAGTTGTAACTATAGTTGATGGACTTGAAATTAATGTATTATTATTATTACTATTATTATTATTTAATCTTTCCCATTCAGGAACCTTTCTACCATTTTTAATGTATTGATCCAAAGTTAATTTTGTTGGAATAGTATCAAGAGAACCAATCATGGAAGCACCCAACCACATTAATGAATTTGGTTGGAATGAATGTTTAATAAATTCAAAGTGGTTCAATAAACCTTTTAACTCTTCTTGTCCTCTTGGTTCTTGTTCCACTGTTGTACAACGCTTATTTAATTCTTGAATTAATCTAGTTTTAAATCCTGCAATCATTGTAGTACCACCAATTAAAACAATATTATGACATAAACTTTTTCTAATATCAATATCACACTAAAAAAATGAAGAAAGAGATATTAATCTACAATACTCATTATTTTTTGGATTTCTATTTCTATTTCTATTTTTACATACATCTAATAAAGAATTAAGTATAATAGTAATGATATCATCATTTTCATTCATTTCATCTTCAATTGTAAAATTAAAGATTGATTTGGCAATATCTAGTCTTTGTTGAGCATCAAGTTGAATTGATATATTACCTTTTAATTGATAGGTGATTGGTGATACCTTTTCAATTGGATAATCCAATGGTGCCATAACAGTACATCTAACAATAATATCTTCTACCAATTGATCGGTCAATAAAGAATGGTGAATCGTTTGTAATTGGTCTTGTTGAGTGATGATTGTATTATTGATAGTATTTTTAAATTGACATTTCAATTGTAATTCTTTCAACATCCATTGTTTCAAACTATTAAATCCTCTATTTGTTGTTTTCATTGCTTTTAATATTCCAACTCCTTCATATACCTAAATAAATTGTAAAAGTTAATCACATATGTTATTTGTTTGTTTGTTTGTTTATATGTTTACATACAGGTAAAACTCTAGTTTCATTTAAACCACAATCAATAATAAAACCAGTAGTTCTAATAAGAGGTAAAAGACAAACCAATGGATTGACAAATGATATACATGGTACATTGAATTGTTCAAACAACACTGATACCAATGCTTGTCTAAATAATCTAGGTACAAATATATTTTCAACAAGTATTATTTTTCTTTCTCCAGGGTCACATAATAAATATCTTTAAAAAAAAAAGATAAAGAAAAAGAGATTAGTAATTGTTGTCACAACCAAGATCTATCTATTCTATGTTTTGTTTGTTTCATACTTGAAAAAGATTTGATTTAAAAATATATATAATGATTCTTTTAATTGTTTTTGTAATGGTTGTTTAAATCTATCTTTATCTTTATCTTGTTGTTGTTCTTCGTTGTTATTTGTAAAAGATATTTCAGTACCACTTGATAAGAATGTTGATATATTTAAAGGTGATAGATCAGTATTGATGATGAATCTAGGTGTAGCTTCTTGAGTGTATCCACATTTTGTATATGCTCCTCCAATCTCTAATACAATTGATGATTTATCCATATTTGATTTCTATTCTTCGTGCAAGTACAAAGTAAATAAAGATACCTAAGTTTCAATGAAATTCATTGGGCTTTGTGATCATCAAGACTTTTTTTTTTTTTGATTTGATTTTTTACAATTTTTTTTTTAAATATATTTATTTATTATTATTATTATTAATTAATATAATAAATCCCTTTTTTGTTTTGTTGTTATTATTATTATTGTTATTAATTTAACATTGATTTAAATCAATCATTGGCGAGAGGTGGAGGAAAAAAAAAATAATCACATTTCTATCTTATCTATCTATTATAATATTTGTACATTTTACATTGCTAAACTTTCTTCTAAAGCTCTATATTCTTCCTCTTCCTTTGAGAGTTCAGGTCTGACGGTAGAGGCAGTAGGGAATTTGATTTGTGGTTCTTTGGTTGGTGGTGCCTTGATGTTGAGGAGTTGAGAGTCTAGTGATTCCTGTTCCAATTCCTCGAGTTCACGCAACAAATCGTCTTCGTCGTCCAATTGAGTGCCAAGTGGTTGAGAGATGGCACGTGAAATCTCTTCGTGTACTTCCATTTGTGTTTGAATCTCTTCGATCGTGTCGTCGACCTTTTCCACCGTTAAATTGTTTTGTAATTCCTTCAAGTGGTGTGCTCCACTTCTCATTGAATCCATAATCTCCATATTCATCTTTGCATTTTCTAATGCAAATATCTAAATTGAAAAAGAAAAAGATATATTGATTAATATTTTGACTATTATTATTGTTATTGTTGTTACATACTTGAGTTGAAAGTGTATCGAATGTTCCTTGTAATTTATTAACTTCATTTTGATATGTATTTCTTTGTTTAAGACATAATAGAGCCTCTGTATGGATAGATATGATTAGACAGATTAGTAAATCATGATATACTAATATATTATATAGGTTTTTGTGTTTCAAGAAACCTACCTCTTTTCTTTTTCTTTGCAACAAACATCTTTGCTTCTTCTTCCTTTCTATCGGCCTTTTCTTGTAAGAACTTTTGTCTCTTTTCCAACATCTCTATAGTTTGTCTCAATCTTGCGATTGTCTCCTGTGTATTTGGAGCTGATTTAGTTCTACCAAACAATTTCATTTTTCTCTATATTTATATCTCTCTAAAAAGGGATTATATGTGTAATGTTATTTCTTATTTCTTTATAGTTTTGAAGAAAAAAAAGTATAAGTTTACAATGTTCTCTTCTCTACTCTATTGATCTATCGCCTCTTCTATTCTATTCCCTTTAAACATACACAAAAATTGATAAAAGATTATAATCAAATCAACCAATTATATTTGTAATGAGGTGTAGTAGTAATCGTTATCTTTCAAAAAAGGTTGACTACTCTATAATGATATATAATACTGCTGCAACTATAATATTAATGTATGTTGCTGCTGCTATTGTTATTGTACTTGTACTTTAGACAAACAAACTAATATGAAAAAAAGGGTAGACAGAGTTAAATGAAATTAATAATAAACAAAAATATACAAAACTAGTTTGAGGGGTCAAAAAATAAAGTTATGAAAATTGAAAAAAAAAGGTTGCCCTTGAAAGTTGGGAATAGGGTTTTTTGATAATTAAGGTGATCCAAGGAAAGATTCTCTCTCTCTTTTTGAATTCTCATTTCTGATTGAATTTTTATGAAATCTTATTTTTTATATATTTTAAATTATATAATTTAATAAATAATTATTAGTATTTCGTATAGTTTATTTTTAGTTTTAGTTTTCTTTTTTTTTTTTTTTTGTTTTTTTGTTTATAGTTTTTTATAATCTTTGAAATTAATTTTATAACCTCCGGAAAATTTCTTATCTACCGTGAGCAGACGATAAATGGGCTGGCATGTCTAAATATTAATAGAAAAAGAAAGAAGAAAATTGTTAATACCAAAAAAGAAAATATTGGAAACAATAGGATTTTTTTTTTTTTTTTAGATAGAGTAGAAATAGAATAAAGAGTAGAAAGAATAGGGAGTTTCAGTTTCAATTTCAATTTTCATACCTCTACCCAAATAAATTATACCACATACACCACAAGTATATTTTTTGGATTGACAAATATCATGATGGTCTTGGTATTGTAGGTACTGGACAACGTTGTTACAGAGTGGACATTTTACATTTCTAAATAAACAATCCCTATTTTTGTGTTGAGGCAATTGATCATGGAAAAGTTTCACTCCACACAAATCACAATCCATTAATTTTCGTATTGGTATAGGTTGAGGTTGTTGTTGCTGCGTTTCGGCTTGATATTGAACCATGCCTCTATTATTATTATTTGTTTGATTATTATAGTTGATATCACGGTGGTTAGCATTAAAGTTTGAATGATTATTATTAATATTAATATCCTGTTTTCGTTGAGTTGGTGGTTGAGATTGGTTAGAAGATGTGAAATGATTATTATGGGTAGAATGATAGGAAGAATATGGAGTATTTTGAAATTTATCTATATAAATAATATATGGTAATATATGGGATAGAAAGAGAGAAAGAGAGAAAGAGAGAGTTTGGAGTAATTTAATTAATATTTACTTATGCTTTTATGGTGACGGTGTTTACCGCTGCCACGGATATTGTCGTTATATTGGGGGGTCTGATAACCTTCATAATTCTGGTTGTCATTGTACCCACCAAAACATTGATATCTACCTATGGCCGGATGGAAAGCTTCTCCAGATGATGTATTTGAATCTCTTGTGCTTGGTTGACGACTTGATGATTGTCTTGATGGATCATAATTATTATTATTGTTGCTATACAAATCTTCATAGTTGTAATTGGCTCTATAATCATTGTCTGTTGATGATGAACGATTTCTATTACCATTGTTACCATTATTACTATTACTTCTACCACCAGTACTATTACTATTGGGTTGAGAATTGTAATCCAAATTGGTTCTTCTTGGAGGTGGTTCAGTTCTACTACGGGCTCTAGTTTCAGCAGATGCTTGGTTTTCCTTGTTTTGCAACTCGATTGCCAAATCATGATCTTGGAGGTATTGACGTTTCTTTTCTTCAATATCTCTCCATGCCTTGTTTTGTTCATCATCAAAATTATTTAAACTATTTCCACTTTCAAATGAAACTCCATTTGATGATTCTGGGAAAACAGCTTCTCCTCCTACCTTTTGATTATCATCATTTGTTGTTGTTGTAGTTGTTGTTGATTGATGGAAAAATAATATTGGTTGTTGATGTTGATTATGATAAACTTGTTGATTTGCATATGGATTTTGGTGATATTGTTGTTGTGCTTGTTGTTGTAACATCATTTGTTGTTGTGCTTGTTGTTGTTGTTGTTGTTGTTGTTGTTGTTGTTGTTGTTGTTGTTGCAACATCATTTGTTGTTGTTGTTGTGCTTGTTGTTGTTGAGGTAATAAATCACTAAATAATGATTGACCACTTGATAAAAGTTGTTGATTATTATTCATTTGATTTGGTGCAGGTAAAGCCAACATTGGTTGTTGTTGTTGTTGTTGTGATTGATTAAAGAAACCATTATTACTATTATTCATTCCTCCATTACCATTCATACTATTATTCGTCATTCCATTATTATTCATGGCTTGTTGTTGTAAATGATATTGTTGTTGTTGTAATTGTAATTGTTGTTGTTGAATTTGTTGTTGTTGTAATAAAAGTTGATCCATCTTTTCAGTTCCTTGTTGTTGGTTCTTTTTGTCATGGATACTGGTTGGAGGAGATCTTGGTGTGGGTTGTTGAAGTGTAACCTTTTGATAGAATGAAGATTTCTCTTTGAGATAATGGTGTTGATCAAATGGTTCCTTTGAGAATGGTGGGAATGATTCCTTTGTATTGGCAGAAGCTGGTTTATCATTGAAATAAGCATTCTCTTCTCTAAATGGATTAAATGGTTTACCACCATCAGATGAAGATGAAGATGAAGAATTTGAACTATTAATCTTTGATGGTGTGGATGCAGATGAAGTATCAATTCTTGTTGTTGAATCATTATTATTATTGTTGTTTGACAAGACTGATAAACTTTCAAATTCTCTTGAGAGGGATTGTCTAGAATCAACATTTGTCTTTCTCTCTGATGATGAGTTGTTGACAGACAATGATTTTGGAGTCATGTGAGCAACATTTGATGATGATGGTGTGTTGGATGACATGGTCTTGGGAGAATTAGAGATACTGACAGCTTTGGGAGTTGTATTGGCCGATGCTCTCATTGGTGACTTTAACATGTCGGCCGATACACTCTTGTCCAACCATTTCTTGTCAATGTATTTCATCTTTATAAACTCTCTAACACGTTTCTCATCCGATGGCAATGGAATTGAAAACTGCTTATCAGTCCATGAATGCATCCATACCTCCTTTGCCTTTTCATTACCAGTACTCTTTAACTTTTCAACCTCTTCATCTGAAAACTTATCAGATGACAATGTCTTTACTCTAAATCCTAATTCTCGACTAAACAAACAAACAAACAAACAAATCAATATTAGATTACTTAAGTACATCCATCATTAATCATCATCATCATCATCATCATCATCTTTATCTCTACTTACTGAATAGCACCACAAACTGAACAAACAAAAGTTCCAAAAGTTGTATTTAAGTATCTTGGAAACTAAAATTAAAATAAAAGATTATTTGAATAAAAATTAAAATATTAGTTTTCTTTTTCTTTTTTGCTCTCTCCTCTTGTGCGCTCTCTCTTTCTATTTTGTGATTATTTATTTATTTATTTATTTCTACTTACACTATCTGTACAATCTGCACATTTACTATTTACATCCAATTCTCTTAGATCCCACAATAGGGTCTCGTTTTTACTCTTTTCCATCATCATGGTCATTTCAAATAATAAATAATATAAATAATATAAAAGAGGAAGAAGGTCTGATTTTGTTGTTGTAACTAACTTCTATAATAATAATATCTCTCTTCTCTGTGTGTGTGTGATATGTGTGTTGGTTGAGTGTCTTTTTTAAATTTATAAAAGGAAATAAATAAATAAATAGAATAGAATAATATTAAATTTTAAGACCACAAAATAATAATAATAATAATAAAGACAGTACTAGAGGACACTTCTTTCTACTATAGTAAAAAAAATACTTCCAATTGGAATGTTTAAAGTAATAATTATCATAACATGCCAAGAAGAGAAACAACAACATACATACATATAAAAATAGATGGTGGTAGTGTGTAGGAGGAGGTAGGGGGTGGGTATTCTTTTAATTCTAGTTTTTTATATTAAAAACGTCACCTATCCTTTTTTGTAAAATTCATTATTCATCATTCTAATGAAATTTTTTTTTCCAACCAACACCAAAAAAAGTAATCCAATTTCAACTCTTTGTCTACTTTCACAGAATCGTATATACGTAATACTTTTTGAAACTAAAAAGAAAACTAATTAAAATTTTTTAAATCTTTCATTTTTAGAGGGTAATATTATTATTATTATTATTATTATAAGTTATTTTTTATTTGTTATTATTTTTGTTATTTAATGTTTGTTGTGTTACAAATGAACATCATTTGGATGAGATGCTACAATACTTGAAGAACGTTTGTTTTTTTCTTCAACGATGACTTGTTTGCCGAGGAGAGAGAGGAAAAAGTTGGAAACACGAATGTTTAGACGGAAATGATAGAATACAAAATAAAAGCCGGCAAATGAAATCCAACCGATGATGAGGAGGATGAGAGGGACGAATCGGGCCACATTGTCAGACATGGCAATCCAAGAGGTGACAGTGGCAATGATACAAAACGTAAAGAATGCCGTACGCATTCTATTGACCCACGATACAATACATGGTTCCAACCACACATTGATCACTAAAAATACAACATTGACAACGCTGACTGCCACCAAATAGACGGCAACATAGGATGTGGCAAACACTGTCATGGCGGCCAATATAACCTTGCCCTGTACAAATATAAATACTACACGTGGCTTAAACTTGATATCACTAATATTTTGTGTCTGTGATTGTGCAAACGATGCCGCTGGATAATACATAATCAATGCTACCAATGAACATACAATAAATGGTATATGTACTTTTCTTAAACAATCAATTGATGTATTTGAATCTAATGTTGCCATATCATCCTTAAACTAATATATATAAGGTATAAATAATTAATTAAAATGATATATATATATTTAATTTATCTTCAAGTTACTTACAGTACAATCAATACCACCAAACATTGTAGAAATGACAGGTAAATACATTGTATTGACTAAAAACCATAAAATGGAATAAATCTTTTGTTGATACTTTGTTACAAATCCTGCTGTATATGCTTCTCCACTAAATTAAAAGGATTAAATATAAATATTTTGATTTGATTTGATTTGTTTTGTTTTGTTTTCTATAACCTACAATCTTCTTGTAAAGAAATGTAATAATAATCTAACAGATACAACGAAAATATAGGGAGAGAAAGCAATACCAAATAAAATCCAATACATGACATTAAAGACACTACCAGATGCATAGGGAACAGCCAAATAATTTGAATTTCTCAATGCCTCACTACCTGTATACTCTGCACCTTCATTCCAACTAAAACTACAAAGTTGAACAAATTCTATCACTATACCAATAATTGCTGTTACATTTGAGAAATTTAAACTTAATTCATTTCCTTCTGGATCCTATATAAAAATAAATAAATAAATTAATAATTAATATTTAAGAGAATATATTATATATATATATTATTTGGTTTAAGTTTGTTTTGTTTTACCTCCCAAGCATGTTGTTCACCACCAAGATAATATATACACCATAGACAAATAAAGAGACAAATTAAAAAGGTTGCAAAGAGTATACGAAAGAGTACACCGTTTGCATAGAGTTCGATCTTGTCAATGATACCAGATGGAATGGTGATGGTGAGAATGGCGACAATGATCGATGCTACCAAAAACCCAATACCAATACGTTTGAATGGGATGGCTGATCGCTTGGCATCGCCTGCCGCAACATCATCCTCAATATCAATGTCGGGGTCATCTTCAAGTCGGTTATCAAAACTCTGCGTACTCGTTGTTCTTGCTGTCGATGATTGTCCTGTCATGATGATTGATTACAAATAAATAAATATTATCGATCCTTCTAAACGATCGTTTTGTCTTTTTTTTAAAATAAAAAACAAGGTTAGTTAAACATATAGATAAATAACTCTCTCTCTCTCTCTTTAACCAACACAGTATCATTGTTTATAGAACATACGAAATATAGTTTAGAACTGTCTGTCTGTCTGTCTCTCAACTACAACAACAACTACTACTATTCTTGTGTAATAATACAATATGATCAAATACTACTTCTGCTTGTCTAGTCTAAGTGTTTTTGATCAATCAACAATCAATGATGGATTGGATGGTGAAGAACTATAGCTGTAGCTGTTGGGATACTACTGCTATTACTACTACTGTTGTTGTTATTGTCTACTAGTACAAAGAAAAAATGATGAAAGAAAGTGTGGACAGACTCTCTTTGGTTATAAATAGACCAATGGGGTGGGGATGGGCGATGTTTAAAATCAACCGAGAGGGAAAAATAAATCAAAATAATTTTTTGCTGCAGAAACAGATAAAAAACCGTTTGAATCATGAGGAGGAGAACTGATTCGTTTTTTTTTTGTCTCAGAGTTAAGAGTACATATGTATGTATGTATTTATTTACATGTAAATACACCATACATTTAATATTAATACTAAATATTAAATATTATTAAATGTTTGAGATGGTATTTTTTATTGTATTTGGTCATTGAGTGAGAAAGATATTGGTATTCATATTGATATTGATGGTCCGGTTGATCAACCGGAGATAAAGGAAGGAAGGCTCATCTGTGTCCCGATATCACTCACAGTTGCCCTGTGAATGTGGGACACAGTTGAACCTTCAGTGATCCCATACAGACTTTGAGAATATTCTCTTTCGTGATGGGGATTGAAGGGTAACCAAAAAAGAAGATGGATGACCTAATACTGCCATCAATATTTATTCAACTGATAGATCTAGCACAATAAAGCTAGCAAAAAACTCTTACCTTTTGTTGTTGTTGTGAAAAGTGGTAATATTAGTTAAAGATTATTATTATTATTATTAATCAATTTGGTCACCCACATATGATGTGCAAAGGATATGATCTATCATATGACCCGACCTGGTATTCAAATATCTATACTTGGATTGTGTCGCCGGCTTTGAAAAAGGAGAGATTAAATTTCGTATCCGAGACCAGGCAACTTCATCATAGAGGAGGGAATCTGATGAGATTCTTGGGTACCGACCATTGTCCCTTTTCACGCGTCTTGGATATTTTCTTTTACACATTTTAAAATATTTAAATTTTCGGGATGTTTTGACAAGCCAACGAGAGTCTCAAGCCCTCCTGTGGGTTTCAACAACAGTTGAGTCTTAATTGTTGATCAACTACACCCCTTTATATTATTTATTATATTCAAATAGATAAAAAGTAAAATGAAATCTGTATTAGTTATTTTAGTTTGTATTTTGTTGGCATCAGCTTTTGCTATCCCAACCACCATTGTTACCGATGTAACCAAACCTTCAATGTGTCCAGGCATCAAGTCTAAAATGATGTGCGTCATTGCTGGTCAAGTATGTACTAGATATCTAGAGATAGAGCCTCTATAAATATATATAAATAAATGTTAAGATGATAATCAATATTTCAATATTTAACACTTTCACCTTTTTTTTTTTTTTTTTTGATATTTTAGGTTTGGTAGGAGTAAAAAGAAAAAGAAAAAAAAAGTAACTATTACTAATATTATTATTATATTTTGATCTCTCTCTCTCTCTCTCTCTCTCTCTCTCTCTCTCTCTCATTAGTATTTGGGAGCATGGAAAGTGTATCGCTAATCCATTCACTTACGAACAACAAGTTGAAGAACCAACCACCCAAGATGTTGAAGAGGACCTTATTGGTAACAATGACTGGGCTTGTAACACCTTGAACACACAATTAAAGTGTGATACTCTCGGAGTACTCGGCGGTCATTGTTTCTGGTACGATGGTAAATGCAGAACCCTCTAAATAGTTTTGGATCATCAATTCAACCAATAAATAATCTATAGGATACATTACATTTGTAAAACTATAGTTATTTATCCAAAAGTTTCCCCATCACAAGATAATTATTGATTCCAAAAAAAAAGGGGTAATCTCAATAACAAAATATGTTTACGATTCGCATTATTAATTGAACACAAAATACAAATACAATGCATATTATATAATATAATTAACTAGACTGCGGGCTGCAGCGAGATGTCCATAAATACCTTAGAGGTTGAAACAACACGCAAAAAATCACCATAAATAAACAACAACTACAACAATAAGATCAATATTGATTTGATTAAACAATTCTAGTTTATTATTATCCAGAGTTAATTTAAGCGGTTTCTTCTTCCATGGCAGCTTCAGCAGTGGCGAAGTACTTCAAGGTGTAGACGTTCTAAAAAAGAGATAAAGATAAATTATTAGTTATTTGTATGAATATATAGTTATAAAATATAATAGAATGTATAGAACACAATGCATATTATATAATATAATTAACTAGACTGCGGGCTGCAGCGAGATGTCCATAAATACCTTAGAGGTTGAAACAACACGCAAAAAATCACGAATTTGCTTCTTCTTTAAGTACTTCTTGGTCAAGTACTTCATGTAACGCTTGGACATTGGAACAACTGATTGGACAACGATTCTGTTCTTATCACGGGTGATGGTGACAGAGGTACCGAGGTTACCAGCCTTACCGTCGACCTTGATACGATCGTGGAGGAACTTTTCAAAGACGGCGACGTCAAGGATCTTACCACCTGGAGCGTTACAGTCAATGGTGAACTTGGACTTCTTCTTGAGACCGGTCTTGTTGGACTTGTTGTTTCTCTAAATGAAATAAGTAAAAGAGGTAAGGTAACATTAATATTTTTTGTTCATATGTAATGGATAGGGGGTAGGGATAACTGATAGTGGTTTTGGGTAAACAGTAGATAGGTATAGTCAATTTTAAAACTGTACACGAGTGGACAATTAGAAAAGACATTGAGCCCTATAAACTGATACTTTGAATACTACGTCATCACTGGAGAGTAGGTGGTAGACAAACAAAGTTTGTTATTGTCATTGTAGAGATTCAATAGATGCAAGCATATGATATGAATCTCAAAGTACTTTGTGCAATAAATAACCTGTTTGATGCTAAAACTACTGCTACTACTACTACTACTAACTCTAACACATACTGGAACAGATGGCATTCTGGAACGAGTTGAACTAACTTTGGTATGTACTACTAACTAGATGCCAAGCGCGGCTCTATATGTGTATCCAAACGAAGAGAGCGACAGACACCACACAGCGACACACACGGCGCAACGAAAAACCGAAAACAAAAATTAAAAAAAAAAAAACATTCTAAATGACATTTTAATGATTGCCCCACTTTAACAAATCAGATGATCATCTCTTCTCAACATACACTACTATTACAATAGAAATAGATACAAAGGATGATAAAGTTAATAGTACAAGATGTAAATCAATCACAAGCATCTTCATCTTCATCTAATGGTAGTTCATCACAAAGAAGAGGAGTAGCATACCTTTGTTATAAACAAATGCAAACTCTTTCATTATCAATTGGTGATTTGGTTTTAATTCAAAGTATCGATAGTAGTGATAGTAGTATTGATGATAGTAATGAAAATAATGGATGTTTATTGACATGTTGGCCAGTTAAAAAGTTATCTTTAAATTGTATGTAAAGATGAGTATATATTTATATTGTATTGATACATTCTCTAACCATCTCTCATCTTTCTTTCTTCTATTTAGATATATTAATTGATAATTTTATAAGAGATAATATTAAAGTCAATATTGGAGATTCAATTCAATTGACAAAAATCATTTCCTCATCATCTGATATAATATTATTAAATGCATCAACAGTTTATATTGAATGTTTAAACGTTTCATATTCAAGTTATATTGAACAATTAAATCAACATGGATTACTGTCAACATTGGTATCATCACAATTATCTGGTTATTATTTTACACATGGAAATACTTTTAATTGTTGTTTAAATGGTAGACAAACAAAATTTAAAATTAATTCTATCGATAATAACAGTAAACAACAAAATATATTTTCAAAAATATTAGATCAAACAAAATTTAAACTAAACAATAATCAAAATAATAATCAAGTTAATAATAATGTTTCACCTGTTTCAATGATTGGAGGATTATCAAATCAAATGAAAGAAATTAAAGAGATACTTTCATTGGCATTTGAAAAGAGAGAAATGTTGAATCGATTTGGTATTAAACCACCAAGAGGTGTTTTATTGTATGGACCACCTGGAACTGGAAAGACAATGTTGGCAAGAACTGTGGCTAGTGAAAGTGGATGTACATTGTTTACAATGAATGGAGCTGATATTTTGGACAAGTATTATGGTGTAACGGAAAAGGCAATTCAATCTATATTTAGAGATGCTGCACAAAGAGCACCATCTATTATATTTATCGATGAGCTCGATGCACTCTGTCCCAAACGTGATCAAGCTACCACTGAAATTGAAAAACGTCTTGTTGGATGTCTACTGACTCTGCTGGATGGTATCAATTCAGATGAGCGAGTAGTTGTGATTGGATGTACTAATCGACCAGATGCATTGGATGGTTCACTTAGACGACCTGGTCGTCTAGACAGAGAAATTGAAATTGGTATACCAAATGCAATCAATCGACAAGATATCCTTGGTATAATATGTTCTCGTATACCTAATCAATTGACACCCGCAGATATTGGATTAGTAGCTAGTAAAACACATGGTTATGTTGGTGCAGATTTGGAATCACTCGTCAAAGAATCATGTTTAATTAAATTTCATAAATTAATTAAAAATGGTGAAATTCTAAATGATAAAGAAGAAGATAAAGATGCATCGTCTCAATTCTCTGTTGACCTCTCAGACATGATGATTGCAATGGAAAAGATTAGACCATCATCAATGAGAGAGGTGATTGTAGAAGTACCAAAGGTAAAATGGGAGGATATTGGTGGACAAGATGACATTAAAGAAAAATTAAAAGAGGCTATTGAATGGCCACTCAAACATCCAGCCGCTTTTGAACGAATGGGTATCCGTCCACCAAAAGGAATTTTATTGTATGGACCACCAGGTTGCTCAAAAACACTGCTTGCCAAGGCGTTGGCAACAGAATCTGGACTCAACTTTATTGCCGTCAAGGGTCCAGAACTCATTAGCAAATGGGTCGGAGAGTCGGAACGTGCAGTCAGAGATATATTCAAAAAGGCTCGTCAAAACTCTCCATCTATTCTCTTTTTCGATGAAATGGATGGCTTGGCAACCGAACGTTCCGGTCAAGGTAGTGGTGCCATTGAACGTGTCGTATCTCAACTATTGACAGAAATGGATGGTATACAACCATTGACCAATGTAACCATTGTAGCTGCAACCAATCGTCCAGATATCATTGACAAGGCTATCCTTAGAGCCGGTAGAATCGATAGAATCCTCTACATTTCACCACCAGACCAAAAAGCAAGAAAAGAAATTTTTAAAATCCATCTTTTAAAAGTTCCTCATTCAAATGATATTGATATTGATTTATTATCAAATATTGTAAGAAAAAAAAAGAAGATTTATTTAAATAATCATTAAACTTACATTTTTTTTTCTTTTTAGACTGATGGATATAGTGGAGCAGAAGTAACATCAATTTGTAAAGAAGCATCTGTTTGTGCAATGAAAGAAGATTTAAATATTGAAAAGGTTGAAATGAGGCATTTCCAAAGTGCCATTGGTTTGGTTAAAAAGGGTATTACAAAGGAAATGATTGAATTTTATGATAATTATCAAAAACAATCTAAATTACAAAAACTATAAAATAAAAAGAAAGGAGTTTAGTAATGAAGTTTCTAGAAATTATATTTACCTGATTTTTTTTTTGTAAGTAGTTTTAAACAAAATGAAAGAAATATATAAAGTTTAGTTTCCATAAATTTTTTATCCCATCCAAAAGAGAGAGAGAAAACAAAGAGTGATATACCAAAAACCACAACCAAATTAATTTTACTATGAATTGAATTGATCTCATTTTTTCATATTAGTTTCCATCCATTGATAATCCACATTTTTTTTCTTTTTGTTTCCAAATGGACCAAACCACCACCACCAACATTGTCAACTATGAATTTATTACCCTCACTCATACAATATGGATTCTTCTATTCTATTCTATTCTTATTCTATTCATTTCCTATTCTTTTTTTTTTTTATAAACACGACGACCACAATGTCCACTACCACAAACCACCACATTCAATTTGACCAAATTTGATAGCCATGTTATTTCATTAGCCATATATTTCCAAATAAAACATTTTATGATTCCAATACTATTGACCATATTCAGTTTTTTTCTTTTTTTTTTTTTAAAAACAAGTTTTTGATTTTATGATTTGATTAATATTGATAAGTTGATTACAATTTGATTTAGGTTGACATGTTGATGGACTATATAAATTTTTTTCATTTTTTGAAAAATATCTCCTAAACAAGATCAAAAAAATGGTTAATAACAATCTCCAAACTATTAATTATTATTATTACTATTGGTTTCTTACCAAATCTAAATTTATGGTGAATTTTTTGGGGAATCTCCACCACGTGGTGGACTACGTTCTCTTTCTTCACGACGGTATTCTCTGCTGTCATCATCGCCGCCACGGTAACGATCCTCACCGCCTCCTCCACGTGGTGGAGAGACTGGACCATTATTGTTGTAAGAGTCACCGCCATTACCATTAGAGATACGTGGTGGACTACGTTCTCTGTCGTCACGACGGTATTCTCTGTCATCGTCACGTCTGTCATCACCGCCATTACGATCGTCGTTTACACGTCTATCATCATCACCACGTCTCTCATCACTGGAAGCACCGCCACCACGTCTGAAACGATCGTTATCACCTCCATATGGATGATATCTAGTATTTAATGTACCTCTTGTATCTGAATACATTGGGTTTCTTGGTCTATAGATAAACAAAAATGAAAAAGAGTGAAAAAAATATGTATCAGTTGATGATTTGTTTCTATTTCTTCTATTGCTTCTCTATTTCTTTTTCTTTCTTACCTATCGGGACAATCACGAGCAAAATGACCAACACGACGACAATTGTAACAAGCAGAGTCACGCATAGCATTTCTTGGGGGTGAACGACCACGACCACGGTCACCGCCACGGTCATTGTAACGATCGCCACCACGATCGCCACCACGATCACCACCACGATCATTGTAACGGTCACCACCACGATCATTGTATCTGTCATTACCACCACGATCATTGTAACGGTCACCGCCACGATCATTGTAACGATCGCCACCACGGTCATTGTAACGGTCACCACCACGTGGGTATCTGTCTCCACCACGATCATTGTATCTGTCATTACCACCACGGTCATTGTATCTGTCTCTGCCACCGTCATATGATCTGCCACCATCACGTGGATCGCCTCCTCTTTCGCCTCTTGGACGCTCTTCCTTGGCACGCTCGAAAAAGACATGACGAGTATCAATGACACCTTCTCTTGCTCGGATGACTTCCTCTGCATCTTGTTCGTACTTCATCTCTACAAAGGCATAGTCACTAAACCCAGTAACAACGTCTTGAACTGGTCCAAACTTTTTGAAAAAGTCTTCTATTACTCTTTTATCTGTTCTATCAGTGATACCTAAAAAAAATATTTAAAAGTAAAGATAGATAAGATAGAAAAGATAGAAAAGATAGAAAGATAGATATATATATTATATATATGATAGAATAAGATATTAATATCTTTTATTTTTTTTTCTCTTTGTCTCTCTTTTTTTAAATCGTGTGATTCCTTTATACCTTTGACGTAAATCTTCATTTTATTCTTATTCTCTGTATCATGTGATTCCATCTTGATTGCTTTGTTTGTAGTATGAGGGGTGTGAGAACCTACTCTCTTTCGAAAATTAAAAAACAAAAAAAAAAAACTTGAAAAAAAAAGAGAATGAGAATATCTTTTGAGATTTATCTCTCTATATAGGGAGCTGAAAGATATAATATAATAATAAATTAAATTAAATTAAATATATATAAGATTAAAAAAAAAAAAAGATTAATAAAATTTTATAAATTATTTAGTGGTTGTTGAAAAAACTACAATGTTTAAATTTAGTAAAGGCGGGAACATCACCCAACTTTATAAATATTTTAATTCGAGTTGCAAGCAAAAAAAAAAAAAAAAAAAGATCAGAATATATATCGCAATCTTTATCAATCTATCTATATATATACATATATCTTTTGTAATAATAATATATAAAAGATGAATAACTCTAAAGAAGGATTGTTTACTCTTCAGAGTGAACAACAACAACAACATCAACCATCATCAGTATTGAAAAAAAGAGTATCTTTATATACTCCACCGACACCATCAAACATGTTTACTAGTAGAAGATCATCTGTTCAACCTACACCATCTTCATCAGTATCATCTTTAACCTCTTCTTCATCAACATCCTCCTCTTCTTTTTCACATATACCAATCTATCAAAAACTAAATGCAAACTTGAATACTATACAATCTCAATCAACTACACCAACCAACAATAACAATAATAATAATATAATGAATCAATTAAATTCTATACCTATTACACCAATATCAAAAAATCCAATGAATAACAACAAAAGTATTGGTACCAATACTGGTACAATTAAAGAAGAGACAATAACACCAATATCAATGCCAAAATCAATTAGAAAGTCTGTTACAATGTCTGCAGTAAAGACTATTCATTCTTATCCAAAATCACCATCTATTGCATCGGCTGAAAAGACACCACTCTATGATGATGATGATGCAGATGATAGTGCCCACAATCTATCATCTGCATCATTCCTAAACTATAGTACCAATGAACGAATGAATGGTATGGACGAAGACATGAATAATGTTTCAGCTGAATCAATCTACTACTCCAACTCTACCGCATCTACACCTGCTAGAATAAGACAAAAGAGTCCATTTAGAAAAATTAAAGATACAATTTCTTATCCAATTGATAAATACTTTGAATTACATCAAGAATTTATTTTATTTACAAATTCCCCTTTATTTAAATTAATAATGTATGTAAAAAAAAAAAAAGAAAAAAGAAGAAAAAGAAGCAATCAAAATACTAATATTATTATCTATTACTTTCCTTTTCTCCTTTTTAGTTTTGGATTTTGTGGATTTTTAAATTTCTTATTATTATTGGTATCATTAGACTTTTTAAGTAAAATGATTTGTGGTACCTTGTTGTTATTGGTTAGTGTAATCAATTGTTTGTTTTTCACATATTCAACAAAAACAGTTCAATTATTCCGTTATAAAGGTGTAAGTATATATATATATATATATAAATGCATAATATTCGTTTAATTAGTATTAATTATTTTATTTTCTAGAAAATTGATAATCCAAATATGTATGTTGATTCAATAACAACACCATATGGATCAACAGATAATATTGTTTTGATTGATGTTTGGAATCCACATTTTGTGAGTTCAACCATTGTCACTTATTTTTCACCTCTACAAGTTTTGATTATGATCATGTCTGGTCAAGAATTGGATAAATTCATCGTACTTTTGTTAATATCGATTCTATTGATATTTGGTATTCACTTTATACTCAAAATGTATGACCAAAAACTAAAAGATGAAAAGGTTGTCTTTTCTCAAGTATGTTCAGAATATAATCATTTTTACAAACCAACTCCTGTAACAAGATCAATTGGTGTTCAAGCTCCCTATTAAAAAAACAAAACAAAAAATAACAAACAAACAAATCATAAATAATAACAAATAAATATACTTTTTTCAAAGTTTAATTACAATGAACCTCTCACTGCAACTCGACTCGGTCTTTTTGTCATTGAAATTTTTGCCCGTTTTCAAATGAATTTTCATTTTTTTGAATTTTTTTTTTCAATTTTCTCATTCCTCACTATCCCATCGCGGTGCAGTTCCACCACCACCACAGCAGCTCTCTCTCGCTCACTCGCTCGACTTATCACTGTTTGTAGATAAGAAATAGAACTCTAATCATTCACCTCTGATTAATCACATTCTATCATGTCGATGTTTCCACCAAAGAAAGTAGCTGGCGATAAGGTCGAAGCCCCAAAGACCACCAAGATCACTGTCACCCTCACCTCCACCAACTCCAAGTCTTTGGAAAAGGTTTGTGCCAACATCATCGATCTTACCAAGAAGCACAAGGTCAAGTCTAAGGGTCCAATCCGTCTCCCAAACAAGACTTTGCGTCTTACCACCCGTAAGTCTCCATGTGGTGAAGGTACCAACACCTGGGATCGTTTCGAAATGAGAATTCACAAGCGTGTCATCCACATTTCCTCCCCACAAGAGTTCATTGCTCAAATGGTAAGATTATAAAAAAATAGAAGAAATAGAAGAAATAGATCAGTTTAAACTTACTCTTTTTATTACACTTTTAGAACAACATTGATATCGAAATGGGTGTTGATGTTGAAGTCATCATGGCCAAGAAGGAAGAGAAGGCTGCTCCAGCTACCACCACTGCTTAAATAAACCTTTGAGTAGTTAACTTTTTTTTCCCGAAAAACTCTTTCTTTTTTGAAGTATTACTTTTTATTTGATTTATTATTATTTACATATGGAAAAGGATTTGTTGTTGTTATTTATGTACAAAAATATTAATTATTTAAATATTTATGAATCTTGAGAAAATGGTACTTCTTCATCATCCATTTGTCCTTGGTCATCTTCATCTGGATCATTATAAAGGTCTTGAGCCAATGTTCTTGTTGCTGATTTTCTACTTGTTTGACTTTCATTCATTTGGTAAATCATTTGATTTTGTTGTGCTTGTTGTTGAAGGATAATTTGTTGTTGTTGTTGTTGATATAGATTTGGTTGTTGATGTTGATTTGGTGGTTGATATTGATTTTGTTGTTGTTGGATATTATTATTATTATTATTATTATTATTATTATTATTATTATTATTATTATTATTGTAATTGTCGCCAGATTGTTGTTGTTGCTGTGGAGTACCATTTTGTCTTTGGTCATATTGATCATAATTTCCAATATCATAAACACCATCATTTCCAAACTCTGATCTTTGTGAAGGTGTTCCTCTATGTGGACTTGATTGATAATTATTATTATTATTATTATTATAGGGTGGTGAAGATCTAAATTGTTGTTGAGAAGGTTGTCTTTGTTGTTGTTGTTGTTGTTGTTGTTGTTGTTGTTGTTGTTGTTGTTGTTGTGAAGGTTGTCTTTGTTGATAATTATTATTATTATTATTTGCAATAACCATTTGGTTTTGTGGAGAATATTGTTGTTGTTGCTGCTGTTGCTGTTGTTGATACATTTGTTGTTGTTGTTGTTGTTGATGCATTTGTTGTTGTTGATATTGTTGTTGAGGATAGGCAGTATGATCAACAGTAGTGTCGGCAGCAAAATAAATAGTAATAAAACAAGTATTACCAACACGTGATTGCAATGTCAAACTGTATTCCTCGCCAAGTGAGATTTGTGAAGGAGTGCTGTCATTTGGTAGTGCTGCAAGATAGGTTGAAATAGTTTTCAAATCCTTTAGTTGGAAAACAGCTCGCAATGGTAAATCAAATTGATTATCATATTTATCCAATTCATTCAAATCAACTCCAATCTCTGTATGTAATATCTTTTTCTTGTCTTGAATATCGGCTAAATTAAATAAAAAAGATGAAACAATTAGTATATAACAGATTAAACGATCATAATATATTAAATATTTATATATATATTACATACAATCACTTGGAGTAGGAGTTTTAAAGAAAATTCTTTCTTTACCAAGACCAAGAATGACTTCAGTAGTATGAGCAGAGAAATGAGAAATCAGCTCAGATAGTAGTTTTGGTTTAATTGACATTCGAGCTTGTAGTTTTGATGGGTCGCTTTGAGGTGTTCTTATTTCAGTCTTTGATTCAAATGCAGTTCGGTACGACTTGCTTATATGATCGTTGAATCGTTGATGAAACTGCACCTTGCCTTCACCAATATTGACTTCGATAATAAATTGTAATACATTTTGAGCTTGAAAGAATGAATAGCATGATCTTGCTTTTATACCAATACACACTCTGTTTTGTGGCATCTGATAGATCCCAAAGAACTCTTTACTCAATTCCATTCTAAAATGTAAGTTTAATGATGATGGTGTCAATGCAAATATACACTAAAACATAAATAAATAAATATTAGTTCCATATTACTACTACTACTACTATCAATATATTCTAATCTATTCCTAATCATACCTTGTTTGGAGTAAACTCCATTTCAATTTCATCACCAAGTTTACCCATACATTGCATACTCTTTGCAAACAATTTAAAATGTTTAGAAGGTATTTCTAATACTATTGGTTCTTGATCTGATTGATTCGATGATGGATAACTCATTCTTATCTATCTTAATATATATCAGTATATCTATATCTATCTCTATGTTGTGTGTTTCTAATTGGATACTTTAATTTACTTTTTTCTAATTTTTTGAGCATCATATGCTAAAATTCAAAAATTCGAGGAAAACTACAGTTTTTTTCTGGCGCTTTTTTTTTTTTTGAAGTTGTAACTATGCGACTTTATTGTACTTTACAAAATTAAACATTTTAATTTATCATTTTCATCATCAACAATTCTTTTCAATCTTTTATGTTGATATAGAAACTCGATGATATTGGATGGTCCTGAACATCTTGGGGTGCAACCTTCACTACGATTGAAATGTAGGAATGAAACAACTTCAAAGTGTTTGTTGGAACATGCCAAATCAATAGCCAACGGTGAGCAACCCTCTGTACGATTCAGATGTAAAAATGAGACAATATCTAGTCTTCCAATGCTAGCTGATTGGTCCATTGCAACTCTACTACATCCTTCTTGACGATATTTATGTAAAAAGGTAACTATATCAAAATATCCTTGTGATGCTGCCTATATAAATATACATGTATATGATACGAATGGATGGAAGAGTAAATATAAATGGATCTGGATTGGAGTTATATATGTATGTATATATATGTATATTTTTGAATCAGTCTTACCGAATCCATTGCATTGTATGAACAACCTTCAGTTCGATTTTGATGAAGAAAATCAACTATTGATAAAAAACCACATTCTGCTGCCTTGTCCATCGTTGCTTTGGAACAACCATTGGAACAGAGTGAACAATTGGAATGAATATATTTAACTATATCCAAATGACCGCTGGTTACTGCTCTATCAAATAATTCAGATGGATGACAATTACCACCATGATGTTGATGAAGTAGTTTGAGGATTTCTAAATGACCAAATTCCGCAGCCATTAGAATAGCATCTTTAAGAGCTGGTTGTTCACGACGAGTTTCTAAAATTAATTCTACTACTTTAAAATGACCATATCGAGTTGCCGATACCAATGAATCAGATGAACACCTCTCAGAGGTATTATCATAAATGAATTTAATGGCTTCAAAACTACCTTGAACAGCTGCCAAATCCAATGAATAGTTGGGTGATCCTGCTCCTACTCCTGCTCCTACCCCTTCTCCAGTTAGATTCATATTAACAAATAAGAATTCTAAAATATCTAATCTATTTCTATAAGTTGCAGTTGAGAGAGCTCCAATTGATTTAGTTTCAGGTCTGTTATAGTGTAGATACTCTACAACTTCAAGAAACCCGTTTAGAGATGCACCTTCCATTGCAGCATAGGTAGCACCTTCTAGACGATTTTGATCCAGGTACTTTACAATGTCAATAAAGCCATTGCGAGCGGCATAGTTCATTGCAGCCACTGTACATCCTTGACTTGTATTTTGGTGAAGGAATTCAACTATACTGAGAAACCCATTTTCAGCTGCCTTGTCCATCGCTGCTTTACTACATCCTTCAGTTCGATGTTTATGTAAATACTCTACAATCTCTAAATACCCATTTTCAGATGCCTTGTCCATCGCTGCTTTACTACATCCTTCTGTTCTATTAGTGTCCAAGAATTGAACCATATCTAAATATCCATTCATTGCAGCCTTTAACAAAAAGATAAATAAATATATACATTGTTAGTTTCAAATGGGATCAATTATAAATATATTATATTATATTATATTTCAAATGAATTCATACAGTATCCATTGTATTACTAGAGAATGCTTTTAATTGGTTATTATGAATAAATTGAATGATACCCAAATGACCATGAATCGAAGCTTCACAACCTATATCAACAAATGCTTCTTTTGCCAATTGAAAATAAGAGGATGTGGTGGAGGTAGAAGTAGTGTCATCATTATCATTGTCATTATCAATAGACAATATAGTTTCATAACAATATTCGATGATATTTAGATGACCGTGTCGAGCAGCCTTTCTTAATGCAGAGACTAGCCACCGACCGACTGGAATACCAGTTCTACCACTACCCAACGCTTGATTGTGTTGAATGAGTAATTTGAGAATATCCAAGTGACCATGATCGGCACATGCCTCATATGTTGACAATCCATAGCCTTCGGTACGATTGGCAATCAAAAAGTCGATGATATGTCGGTGTCCACTTGTTACGGCATTTGAAGCAGCCTTTACAGTACACCGCATCTTTGGATACCGACGATGTAGTAGTTTGAGTATATCAATATTACCATGATCACATACTGCATCCAATACAACATCGTCTAGAGGTTGATAGTCGGGTGACCATTCGAGTAGATGCAGTAGTGTTTCAATGTCTGCGTTGGGATGACAGCAGTACATATTGATGGCGTGTGATCGTAGCAATACATCACCACCATTCTTTCTATTTGGTGGAAGATAATGTTTGATAAATCCCCATGGCAGTGCATATTGTTGAATCAAACAAGTCAATGGTAATGATCTTGCAATCAACTCTTTTCCTTTCAAATAACCATAGTATTTTCTATATACTCCAATACCAACGCTTTGTTTACTTGATGACGATGATGATGAAGATGATGGAGGTAGACTTGACATTTGTTTAAATACAGTATTTCTAATATGCAATGATTTAAAGATATGATTAAAAGACGTAGTAGCATTATTATTATTATTATTATTATATAATACACGGTCGACCGTTGAAGAAGATGATGTTACAACATTTATATTATTATTGTTTGGAGACATATCTTCTTCTTCTTCTTTGTTGTATGTACTAGAAGAGTAAAAAGAAGTGCAATGAATAAGTTAAGTTGATTAGTTTTTTCACCAAACAAAACAAACATGATGACTCTTTTAAAGTACCTCTTTCAATCAAATCATTCAAACCACTTTTGTTCTTTATACCATCTGATGGTGGATGGAGTGATTGTCATCATCTTCCACCCAATTATTATTTATTATAATTAATAATAGTTTTAATTTTTGAATTATTATTATCGCAATTATTTATTATTACTTGTTACTTTTGTTACTTTTGTTCCATTTGTTCTTTTTCCTTTTCCTTTTTACTACCACCCATACAATTAGGAGATGGAGTGATTGTTTTGTTCTTTTCCCAAGATTCTGGAGTAGCAGTTTTAATACTTAGTGCGTGTACACCACCCTTTAATTCTTCTGATAATAGTTCATTCACCATTCTGTGTTGTTGAATCATTGATTTACCTTTGAATAATTCAGAGACTACAATTACCTGTTACATGTGTGATCGATCGATCGATCGATCGATAATATAATATCAGTTGGTCTCATTCATTCAGATTGATTGTTGTTTGTTTGCCAGACTTGACTTACTTTAAAATGAGTTTCACTTCCTTTTGGAACACTGTGCATATAACTTTCATTGTTTACTTCAAGATGAATGGGATTGAATTCTGTATTCAATTTACCTTCGATAGTTGATTGTTTTGGTCCTTTGCTAGTCATATTGTTTGTCGTTGAGAAATATCTAAATGATGATGATGATGACAAAGAAGAAGAAGAAGAAGAAGAAGATGATGATGATCTTAATACCCTATAAAGAAACATCTAATCTATCTATCTATCTATCTGTCTATCTATTCTATTGGTTAATAATATCATTAAAAATAACATCTATCTACTTTTTCACAGTGATGGACACCTGACAAATTAAAAAAAAGTATTATTATGTTCTTGTTGATTGTTTAGTTGCTGTATTGTTGTAATTAATATTAATATTGGAATTGAAAAGGAAATGATAGAAAGAGTAATGGAGGAATAGAAGCTATCAATGATTTAGTTACCACAAATGGATGAATTGTCTAGAAGAAAATAGATGTGCACTTATCTTTACTTTCAATAGTATACTCAATCTGTTCATCACAAGTCCGAATGAAGAGGTAATGAGGCCCTTCTTGTTAAAGAGATAAAGAGATACAAACACAAATAATATTACCTATACATTCAATTCAGTAACACACAAATCACAACCGATATAGAGAAAGGCATTAAACGATGGATAGAGAATAATGGTAAGCATCTACTCATACCGTATTATATTGACACTTTACAATGGATATAGTGTATATATTTAAAATGAATATGTCAATGTATACTATGTACCTTTGACGGTCGTGAAGCAAGTGGCAAGATCAGAAAGTCGATGTAACGTGTTGACCCACACAGGTTTCAGATCAGATGTTACGACTATACGTTTCATCGACTTTCTGATCAGCCAAACAACGTTAATAATTAATCCATCACTTTGTTGTTCTATAGAGGTATTCCATCTCATGAAGAAATTAAACAAAGGTAAATATAAACATTAAAAAAAAAGACATAATAAATAAAATAAAGACTTTTTGAAAAAAGGAAACAAATGAGAGTAGAGAGACTGAGTATTTTAATTTAAGATGACGTAGTATAATTATATATAAATATTATATTATATTATAGTTATTAGATAAAGCTATTAGAATGAATATTGATGAATCATTTAAATCAATATTGACAAATAAATATATTAGAAAAAGAATCATTCAATATGTACAAACAATCAACAAGTTGTATAATCATGGAATATCAATACCCTACAATACAGTAGATACATTTGAATGGTTGGTAGACCAATACTTTAATAAGAAAGCAAGTGCATCGTTGTTGGTATACAAGATTCAAAAGAATATAGGGCATATTCGATTACCAACCTTTGTAGGCTTTCAAATGATGGTTAATCTTGACCTATGTCTATACAAACAGATATACCTACACTTTCAAGATAGACTGTTGGAATACCCTTATCTGATGGATTCAGCTGCCAATAAAGGTCGATCAGATATAGTGGACTTTCTAATCGACAAACGTGCACCGTTTACAAGTCATGCTATCGAGAATGCATGTTGTAATGGGTATATTGGTATTGCTGATAAATTGTTAAATTGTGATTATATCAAACCAGAGTGGATGCCATCAACTCGTGGATACGATGGTGCTGCGCAGAACGGTCATTTGGATGTACTCAAATACTTGGATCACTCGAGTCGTATTGTACAACCCATCGAGACAACCACTCAATGCATTGATCAAGCATGCAAGAACAATAGAGAAGATGTGGTACGATACTTGATGGAGACTCGGACAGAGGGTTTCACAAGACATGCTATCATTCGAACGGTCGAGTGTGGCAATCTGCCATTGTACCATCATCTACGTCAGAATATGGCGTCACTGTCCCACAACCACTTTGACTCAAGTGAGATTCTCGGTGCTGTTATCATAGCAGCCGAGAATGGACACGTAGAGATGGTCAAACATATGTTTGGTACGATCGTTCAACAAAAGGATCTCGAGTACCCCATCGACACACACAAGCTTAGACAGGCGGTAGTACGTGCTAGTCCCGACCCACGAATACTACTCGAATACATGATCAAGAATGGGGTATTGACCGAATACTCATTGGTAGAAGACGATGATCTTATTGCAGTTGCCTCCAAATACTGTGGATTGGGTATGGTCAAATACCTTGTCAATATCAATAGAAACCGTCGTATTCGTCAAAACATACTGATTCAAGTGTGTGACCAACAACCATGTGCACTCGACGTCATCGAATATTTGTTTCAAGAGTGTCAAGAGCCACGTCGTAATCCAGAGAATAGCTATCGCACCGTGATAATGAGTGTCATTCGATATGACAATATTGAATTGTTTCAATTGATGCAGAGGTATCCACCGATGCTTGACGTTGCCACCAATGTGACAGATGACTATACGATGCAGACAGCAATCAGTGGCAAATACCGTATTGTCGAGCTCTTGCTAGACCACTTTAAAAACGATGAAATCAGATTCAACGCGATTGTCAGCAAGATGGCATACTCACCCGTCACAGAGTTGGCCAAGAGGATGGTCACTGATCATCGACTCAAACCAAGCTTGATAGCGTTGCGTACAGCTGTCATCAAAAATAATACTGAACTGCTTCAGTTTTACATTGACACGATGCAGAACAACCCCGAGTCCCATGAAAAGATCGACAACTATATAGTCTCAACACTGCTCTGTGATGCAGCTGAGAGAGATCGTGTGGCGGTGGTCAAGCTTTTACACGAAAAGTTTGGTATACGCCAATTGAAACCCGTCGCCTTGGACGGTATTGCGTATCGCGGACGTGTCGATCTCATGGACTTTTTGTTGAGTAACACCAAACAAGACGCTGTCAAGGTGACATCGTCCACCCTCTTGGAGGCGGTGAAGAGTAGCCGGTTGGATATGGTAAAATGTATTCTTAGACATCGCAAGGGGACAACGCCTAACCCAGACAGTCTCCAGGTGGCCATTGACAAAAACAATCTCCAAATGTTCCAGTTTCTCTGGACCAAGTTCTTCCAAAATGCAAAGGGTCGGTCGACAGTACCAAAGAACTATTTCGGAGGAGCTGCCTCTCAAGGCAACCTAGGTATTATCAGACAACTCCAACACCTTGTTCCCGACATTCAAGAATATGACAGCTTTTTAATCACATCGTTGTTGGTGGCCAAAACCGATGTACCAATGCTCACCCTCTTCCAAAATAATATAAACTATACCGATGTCTTGAGACAATGTTGTAAACACGAGAACCTAACATTCCTCAAAACCTATCTCCTCGACAAACCAGAATTCAATCACAGAGCAATCCTACTCGAAGCCATCCAGACAAAAAACCTCGATATCGTTAAAACCATCGTTGCAGCAGTTCCACCTAGATCCATTCTTGCAGTTCATGAACAAAGATCAAAATGGGAAACTCCAACAATTGAAAAATACCTCTCATTACATAAAAGTGCTAAATAAAGAAATACTATTATTTATTAATAAATATTGTGAGTGGAAATATATTTTATATTGAAGATAGAAGTTAACCATGACTTTTAAATATCTTTAAGAACTCTCCCGTCAAAAAATATTGATTAAAAATAATAAATAGTATTTTTATTTTTATTTGTTGGTGTATCTAGTATTGCACAACTTTCGGGATTACTGCAAAGATTGCCCATTTGTCCAGAGGTACATGTGGAGTCGCGGAACAAAAAAGAAAGATATCAACTTGCCCGAATTTAATGGGTAGATTTTTAACATTATTGGGGATGCGACCTTTTTTAATCCATTATTATTTATTTATTTATTTATTTATTCCGAATCACCTCCATCGAACTTGAACTTGAGTTGTTGCTCTTGTGACAAAAATAGATAGAATAGAATAATATAAATAACTTTAAAAAGAGATAAAAAAAAAAAAAAGAGATAATTTTTTTTATTTTTGGAACCTGATCTACTTGGTATCTCAATCCAACAAATTACGAAACAACAACCTTTCTTCTTCTTTTTAACCACCACATCGGTCAAGAATAGATAGAAGATGAATGATGAATGATGGATGGGCTATGAACTCTTTAACCCAGCCCGACAAATAAGCCAAGCATAGATACACATCACTCACATAAACAAACACAACCCATATTTGTTTTATAACATTGCAATGGATATATCTATGTGTGTGTATCTTTAATTAACCCAACATCTTTACGATGGGTTAGCAGGATCGATGATCATCTAGTAGTAAGTACCGATGGTGATGACTACACAATCACAACCAAGATTGAAGGGTAGAAAAGCCATCATAAAGATCACCAGCCGTATCACATCACATCACATCAATCAAGTGATCTTTTAAAAAAATATTTTTAAATTTGGTGGCACCTAACGAAGAAGCGAGTTACAACAAAAAAAACCAAAAGGTTTCGATCATCAACAGAAACCCTCCCTTACCACTCCATTCGCCTAATCACGTGATTAGCTGTTTCCTTGCTCTGTTGGCAAGCACCGATAGCCCCCTCATTGGCCATCATGCCCTGTGCAAAACTTAACTTTCTAAATTCCCCTCCATTTCGTATTTACGAATTTAATCTTCTATTCTTTGCTTGGTGACGTTCTCTCTCTCTCGACCTCCAAACAAACCCTGTTGCTACTGCTTGCTGATTGTTCATTTCATCTTTATAATTATTTTTCCTTTCAAATAATACTAGTCTTCTCTTTTCTTTTTCCTTTTATCTATTTTATTTATTTAGATCGGGTCTAAACAAAACCCATCAACCCTTATTTATTTTGTACCACTACTACTATATATTACATTACACACTATTAGAGAGAGAAAGAAAGAAAGAAAGATTAAATAAACACACACACACACACAAAAAGATGTTCTTTAAAAACAATAAGAGTAATATAATACTCTTATTAGTATGTCTTTTAACATTAAGTTTTTATGCTGATTATGCTGAAGGTAAGTTCACACCACACACACAACAACACCATTGCAACACGATTGATAGATCAAACACACACACAATTCACACCAATTATTCATTGTTGTAAAATTCAAAACGACAACTTTTTTCTTTTTTTTTTTTTTTCTCGCGCTGGTTTCTGATCACTTGCATGATCAGGTGATCCATCTACTATGATACGATAAATATAGTTTTCCAAATATTAATTAATATATTTTAATTTCCCATTCGATTCTATTCTATTCTGGTTTATAGCATCACATTTTAGATACAGTACATTGTCATGGCAATACCTTTCACCCAATACATTCCGTGTTACTGTCAAAGTAGCCTTTAGATACAAATATTTTGTTGAATGGCTTGGATCTTCTCCATACCAAGGTTTCACGTATGTAAACAAACTAGCATTTACATAGCATAGTCAGGCAGGCAGGAGTCATATGCATGCAATCATTAGCTAACTCTACTCGACTCGACTTGACTGCTTATATATTTATATTTTTGCTTTATTTTTTTAAATTTTTTAGATTTTTCAATTATGATTTAATTTTGGAATATTCCAAGAGAAATTGGTTGAATCAATTGGTAACATCTACCACAACCTATTCAAACATTGTATTTACAACAGAGTATGCTGATCCAATTGCCGATTGGATCACTGCTAGCAGTGTGGTTGATGTGACGTTCCCATCGGAAGCCGTGACATCTATGGGTGGTCGTATCACATACTATGGTACCAACCGTATTGCCAACCTCCAAAACAACGCCGAGTTGCCATGGAATGTGACATCGACCGTTCCATTGACCGGTCTCACCACTGCCAACTCATCGCCAGTCTCTGGTATGTTGCCCATTGTACCAGCCTACAATGGCCAAGCCAACTCGATCCCAGTGTTGGCATCGCACCAAGAGAACCCAAATGCCAACCTCAAGTTCTCGCTCTCTAAATGGACCGGTATGACTCAACCTGGTGGCATGACAATCGACGCCAACACCGGTGTCATCACCTACACACCAACTGCCGTCGGATTGTGGTGCGCCCAAGTTGTCGTCACCGAAACCAACGGTCTCCAATCGAGCATTTCCGTCGATTTCATCGTCAATGTCACTGCCAAGCCAGTCACCCAGGACCTGCCACCATACTTCCAGGTGCCACCTACCCCCGCCCAAGGCTCGTACGAAGACTTTGTTGTCAACACGGCCAAGTCGTTCCCCCTCAGAGGTGTGTCGCCCCAGTCTGGCTCGAAAGTCACCATCTCCAACTCCAACTTGCCCGCCGGCATGAACTACACCACGCAGACCGCATCCAACCCCAACACAGTCACCTTTTCGTGGGCTCCTACCATGTCCCAGGTCGGTGTGTACATTTTCTCTGCCGGTCTCGTCGACAACAAGGGCAATGAGATGGTTGGCGGTGTGCACTCGTTCTTCTTGCGTGTGTCGGCTGCTGCCTGCGGCAACGGACACGCCGAAGTCAACGGCTCGTGCACGTGTAACAACAACTGGACCGGAACCAAGTGCGACCAATGCAAGCCAGGTTTCTACGGTGCTCTCTGTCTCCCATTGCCACCATGCCAAAACGGCCAATCCAACGGCGGCACAGATGGTGACGGCAAGTGTATCTGCGACCCCGGGTACCAAGGTCCCGCCTGTAACGTCAGTATCGTCAAGTACTGCTCGCCATCCGACCCCAATGCCATCATCCAACAGTCTCAAATCGACTCGCTCTCTGCCGTCAAGCCAGACTTTGTCCAAGTGTCGTTGACCCCAACCGGATCGCAACTCCAAATCCCACTCCAACTCACCGGCAAGAATATCATTACTGCCGAGATCTTTATCCTCCTCGACACATCTGTCACTGCCGCCAACACTGCCCGTTACAAGCAGTTCATCACCCAACACAACTTGTTTAGAGCTACCTTTGCTGCCAACAGAGACGCCATTCTCTACGGTCTCGGTACATTCTCTGATTCGGCCAACCAACCAAACAGCTTCCAACTCAATGCCAACCCAATGACTGATATCACCACCACCCTCAACTCTGTCGCCTTGTTGACTGGTAGCCCATCGGCCAACATCCCATACTCTGTATTAATCGATGCCATCCCAAAGATTGGGTTCTCCAACTCTGGTACCATGAAGATTATCTATCTCGTCACCGACAATAACATTGCTCCAACCGACAACACCCTTGTTTCTAAACTTGTCAAAGCTTTGGATACCCGTAATATCTTACTTGGTGTGTTTGCACTTGATTCAGTGTCGTCGTATGCTCCATTGTTCTCGGCTGCCGGCGCTGGGTATTCGTACGCATGGCCATCAACCACCTCTGACTCGTGGTTCAGCTTGTTCATCACCAACATCTACACTCCAATGATCAACAATATTGTCGTCAAGGTTGTCTCGGATGAATACAGTATTGTCGCCACCCCTCCACCCACCACCTCGACCACCACCTGGTACACTGGTCTCTTGCTCCCAACCCCCGCCCCCACCGCCCTCACTCCAGTGGTCAAGCTCAATGTAGTCGGTTTTGACAAGCAAACCATCGCCGTCGCCATCAACCACGCCCCCACCACCAGCTCGGTCGCCATCACCACCGACGAAGACCAGTCCACCACCTTTTCCATCGTCGGCTCGGACATCGACCTCAACCTGTTGAATGTCGCACTCACCCAGCTTCCATCCAAGGGATCGATCAAGATTAACGGTGTCGTGATGGTTCTCGGACAGTCATACGCTCTCCCAGCATCCACATCCAATGCCTTTACCTTTGTCCCAACCCTCGACCAAAACGGTGCCGACGTTGCCAAGTTTACCGTGTCTGACGGTTGTTTGTCTGCCGCTGCCACCATCTCCATCCAAATCAATCCAGTCAATGACCCACCAACCTGTCAACCACTCGTCGTCTCAACCGACCAGTATGGCGCCAAGACATTCGTACTCAACGTTGCCGATGTCGATTCACCCGCCTTGACTGTCGAGTTCCAGGCCAGCGCATCGACCCTCCAATCACTTGGCTCGTTCAAGGATGCTACCACTGCCAACGTCGTCGACGGCACCAAGTACCCATCGACCACCCAATTCACATTCACCCCATACTCTTCTGCCAACGGGTCGGCCGCCTTCACCTATGTTGTTCGTGACCAAGCCCTCTCCTCCCAATGCACAGCACTTATCCAAGTCGTCCGTGTCAACGTAGCACCAACCCTGTCCGTTCAAACACCCGTCAACATGATTCCAGATTCCACCAAGGTCATTCCATTCACCGTCAGAGATACTGATAATGGCGAGACCCTCACCGTCACCATCGTCTCTGCCGCCCCTGTCGGTGGAGAGTTTTTCGGTCCACAAGGTCAATCACTTGCATCCGTTGCCTTCCCATTGACTATTGGCACCTTTGATGTATCATCAACCCACGAACAAACCAGTCAAATCTCTTACAAGTCACCAAACAGTCAACCAACTGGTGTATCCATCACACTCAAGGTAACAGACACAAGTGGTGTTAGCGAGACAAAGGTAGTACAAATCTCAATCACTGGTACCCGTGTCAACTATGCTCCAACCGCCACTCCAGCCGGTCCCATCACACTCGACCAAGATACACTCTCTCCAAGCTTTGTTCTCAACGGTACTGACCCAGACCAATCCAGAGGATACGACAATATCCTCGACATTGTCATCTCGTCCTATCCCAAGAACGGTCAACTCCAAACCCCAGTCACTGGCACTCCACTCGCCAACCCACTCAAGACCGCCCTCTCTGTAGTCTATGCCCCCAAGCCAGGCTACTTTGGCAGCGACCAACTCACATTCTACGTCGTCGACAGTCTTGGCAACGCCTCTCTCCCAGTCACCGTCCAAATCGTCGTCAACCACGTCAACCACGCTCCAGCCATCTCTGCATCGGACATTTTCGTCACTGGACGTCAAAACCAATGGCCAAACACCCCCATCACCATCGCTGCATCTGATGTCGACCAAGGAGACGTCCTCACCGTCTCTGTCACCCTTGTCCCAGTCGTTGGAACGATCCTCAAGTCTGACGGCTCTGCCATTTCAACTGTGCCAACTGTCATCTCCAACTTGTCCATCTCATACGCTCCATCAGCCACCACCTTTTACAGTCTTGTTCAACCATACACTGTAAAGGTATGTGATAATGCCGTACCATCACTCTGCTCGTCTGCATCTGCCAATATCCACTACACCTATGTCAACTCTGCTCCAACTGGTGAAGCTGTTAGCAAGTCTGGACTACAAGACCAATCACTCCCATTCAACCTCAAGGGAAGCGATTTTGAAGATGGATCCAACGTTGTATTCTATTTGACTACCTTGCCATCGTACGGTCAATTGTTTAGTGCTGGTAACTTGGTTACCTCGACCAGCCAACAATTGTTGGTCACCGGACTCACCTATGTGCCCAACGCAGGTGTCTCCAACGACGATACACCGGGTAAACTCGGACCTGTTGAATCATTGTTCTACGTCGTCTCGGACAAGAACAACACCAAGTCTACCAACTACCCCATTACACTCTTTATCGAGCCTGTCAAGCCACCCATCTACACTGGCGAGTCCAACTTTACAACTCTTGAAGACACCAAGTTGTCGATTGCTTTGAATGCCATTTCCCAAACTGGCGCCACCTCTTTTGAGATTGACTTTACCAGCTACACCAATAACGGTAAGATCTACTTTGTATCGTGTACTGCTAATGACCCAAGCTGTCTCACTGAGATTGACCCATCCCAAGACAGAACATTTGCTGGTCCACCATTCAATCTTGTCTACATCCCACCCGCCGACGCATTTGGAGATGATATGGATCGTTTGACCTTTGTCCTAAAGGAGAAGCATACATCCATTGAATACGCCATCAATATTAATGTCGTGCCTGTGAATGACCCACCTGTGTTTATGCCACTCACCTACACTGGCTTCCTCGACCAAGTACGTGCCATGTCGCCCGTCGTCACCATCACCGTCAACTCGACCTCTCTCCTCACTTGGAATGCCACCGACATCGACTCGCCATACACTGGTCTCGTGTCAAGTCTCCAGTCCAATATCAAGTCTGGCAAGTTCCTCACCTACGAGGGCGAACCCACCCCATCCAACACGAGCCGTGTCCTCGCCAAGGGCGACCTCATCCCACGTTCGGCCGACGGTCTCTGGCGCGCATTCTATATCCCAACACCCGGCCGTTTCGGAAAGGGTCATGAAATCATCGCCGTCAACATTATCGATAGTTCCGAGCTCTCCTCGGCACTCTACACCATGCGTGTCGATGTCAACCCCATCAACCGTCCTCCAGTCGTCACTGTCAACCAGTCATACTGGGAAGTTAACCCCAAGACCTCTGCCACTATCCTCGGTGTATCGGTGGACGACCCCGACTCGAACCAAAATGACATCTCCCTCACTTTGACCCTCACACCAGCCGATGGATTGATCGAATTACCACTCTCTAAAAACTCGTCGTCCTGTCACTACAATGGTACCAATGTCATCACTTGCAAGGCTCCCAAGACTTCCCTCAACCAATTCCTCACACTCATCAAACTCAATTTCACTCAGACCGAGAATGCCAACTACAGTTTGACCGTATTTGTCAGTGACCTTGGATTCGTCGGAGGCAATGTCTTGACTGACCAAAAGAACGTAGATGTCAAGATCCTCTCTTCACCCGTCAGCAAGCCAAACAACACCACCATTCTCTCTGTCGCCATTGCAGCAGCTGCTGCCGGTGCCGCTGCCATCGCGATCGGTGTCTGGAGACTCATGAAGGCTAGAATGCCCCCAACAGACGCCTTCTTTGGTGATGCTCCATTTGCCGATGCAAACATCAACAGTAATCCATTATACCAAGATTCTAATCGTAATCAAATGAATCCATTATATGAAAATGCTGCTTAAAAAAAAAAAAACATTAACAAAAAACAAGTAATAATAATAATAATAATAATAATATTTATCTCTTCTCTCTCTTTTTTAAATAATTTTCAATAAATAAAATATAGATAGAATATATACACCTTATAATATATTTTTTCATCAATGTAATAACTAACACAATTGTGGAGGATCCTCTGTCCAACCAATCGTGAGAAAAAAAGGAAGGGGGGCGAGGGAATGGAAGGCCAATGTTGATTTTATTCAACCAATCAAAAGTATAATGGGCAAACGGGAATAAAAGTTGAGTTTGAATTGTGATAATAGAAGGGATGGGATTGAGCCCAGTGAGCGACAAACAATTGTAGTGTAATTGCGAGATGAATCTGCAATGCAGCCATGCAAGTTAGTTGTAAGGTTCTACTTTAGATTCCATCAATCCGCTTCCTTTGCGGTATTTCATTGGGGTGTGTATTTAAATAAGCGAGAGAAGGAAGTGATCACAGTATGATTGTTGTGTGTTTAATTGATGGCATTGGGGCCGCCGATATTTGACAATCGCAAGGTTTTTACAAAAATGGAGTGCTCTAATCGCATGCTAGGTGGGGTGTAAGATGAGTAAAAAATAAAAGGTTGGAGGTGGATATTTTTAGAGGGTTGAAGTTTTTGGGCACCATTAATGGGAGGGTTGTTGTCAACAGACCAGATAGCAATTAGGGATCAATGCATATTTATCTTCGGATAAACCTACTATCCCGAACAAGTATTTGTTTCAGGAGGGAGACTCCTGTGTGTTTGAAAAGATGCGAATTGCCTGAGAGGAGGAAGGCAATACACAACTGAATCCATCCATCCGTCGGCAAGATATACTATAATCAAATTAAATTTAAATAATTAAATAAAATACTCATTCCCCTGTTCTGTCCATTATCATAATAGAACACCTCACAACACATTCTATTCTATTTTTATATATTATCCTATCCTATCTTATCTGTACATTTATTATTTATTTATTTTATTTTTTTTAAAAACCTTTAATTCTTAAAAATGGTTATTTTTAATAATAACCTTTTTTTGAAAGGAGTATTATTATCAATTGTATTATTATTTACTTTTTCAGATGGTGTGTACCATACCAACAACAAGATGTCGATATGCATTGCATAAACCCCTTTTGATCATTTTTCAAAATCTAACTAACCTATTCTCTTTTTTCATCTTTTTTTTTTGTTTGATCAATAATAATAATAATTATTTATAGCAACACATTTTAGATATGGTACTATTCAATGGACCAATGGGGCTAATTCATGGGCATTTACCATTCGTGCCAATATTGCATTTAGATACTCATACTTTAAACAAGTATATGGAGTCAACCCTGTAGTTGGTGACACTTTTACCTATGACACTTTATTAGTAGGATACACCTATGATGATTGGTTATTTGGTGATTCTTATTATGAAGTATGTATACTACCCCTCTCACCATATATATACATACATACATACATATATATACATACATATACATATTCTAATGAATTTCATTTTCTTTATTGTGTGTTTGTAGGAAAAATATTATGCTGATTTTACAATTGATCATATTGATCCAGGAGCAGATTGGTTAACAGCCTATTTATTCGAAACATATACTTATCCATCTGATTGTATTCCATCGTATGGATCAAAGATTGGATATTATGGAGGTGATCGTTTGGTCAATCTCAATAACAATGCAGAGGGTATGTGGTTGGTTTGGATGTCGGTTCCATTTGGACTTTCAACCACCAAGTATTCATCTTCACCAGTCTCTGGTATGTTGCCTATTGTGCCAGCCTACTTTGGTAAAGTTAACTCGATCCCAGTGTTGGCATCGCACAACCAATCGCCCACCAAGCTAAAGTACACCATGTCGACCTGGTCTGGCATGACCCAACCCCCTCAAATGTCGGTCGATGCCAACTCTGGTATCATCACATACAATCCAACCGCACTCGGTCTCTGGAGCACCCAAATTGTCGTCTGTGAGACACTCGGTGTCATTTCATGCACGACCATTGATTTCTTGATCAATGTGACCAAGCCCATCGTCACACCCGACCTCCCACCCTACTTTGTCACGCCCCCAACCCCTGCCGTCAACTCGTACGTCGACTTTACCACCGGTATCGCCTCGTCGTTCCAACTCAAGGGTGTGTCGCCCCAGGCCACCTCCACCGTCTCCATCTCCACCGCTGCCTTCCCCATGGGTATGACCATGTCGGCACAGACCGTGTCCAACCCCAACACCCAAACCTTCTCGTGGAAGCCAACCACCGACCAGGTCGGCATTTACGTCTTTTCAGCCGGTCTCAAAGATTCCAAGGGTTTGCAACTCGCCGGCGGTGTCTACAACTTCTTCCTGCGTGTCACAACATCGGTCTGTGGAAATGGACAACAACTACCCGATGGAACATGTATTTGTGATGCTGGATGGGTCGGTACCCAATGCAACCAATGTGCTCCCGGCAACTACGGTCCAACCTGTCTGCCATTACCCCCATGCGTCAACGGCCAATCAAATGGCGGTCCATACGGAGACGGCAAATGTGTGTGTAGTCCAGGCTGGCAAGGAGCAGCTTGCAACATTAGTTCAAGCGCCCGTTGTTCCGACACTGCCCCAAGTGCCATCATCACCCAGACATCGTCGGGATCGAGCTCCGTCTCTCCAGACTATGTCCAAGCATCGCTGGCCGTCTCTGCCACTGCACTCCAAGTGCCACTTGCCCTACTCAACAAGTTCACCATCCCCGCCGAGGTATTCATCATCTATGATCTCTCTACGACCGCTGCCAACAATGCCCGTTACAAGCAGTTTATCAGTTCGTTTACCAACTTTAAATCATACTTTGCAACCAAGCGTGAGACTGTTAATTTTGGTCTCGGAACATTCTCTGATTCCGCCACTCAATCCAACACCTTCCAATTGGCTGCCAACTTTATGCCAGATATTGGTCCCACCCTCAATTCCCTCACTTTGTTGACTGGTAACCCATCAGCCAACATCCCATACAACGTGTTGATTGATGCCATCCCAAAGATTGGGTTCTCCAACTCTGGTACTATGAAAATGATCTATCTCGTCACCGACAATAACATTGCCCCAACCGACAACACTCTTATCACCAACCTTGTCAATGCATTAAACAATCGTAACATCTTACTTGGTGTGTTTGCACTCGACTCTGTCTCGTCCTATGCTCCATTGTTTGCTGCTGCCGGCGCTGGTTCTGCTTACGCATGGCCAGCAACCTCTGCCACTCCATGGTTCAACTTGTTCATTGACAATATCTACACTCCAATGATTACCAATATCGTAGTAAAGGTCCGTTCAGATCTCACTGGACTCGTGTCGATCCCACCTCCAAGTCCATCAACTACTACCACCTGGTACACTACTCTCTTGTTGCCAACTCCAGCCCCCACCACCCTCTCTCCACAAGTCCAAATCAATGTTGTTGGTTTTGACAGACAAACCATTGCCGTTGCCATCAACCATGCTCCCACCACCGCATCGGTCCAATTTACAAACACTGAAGACACTTCCTATCCATTTGCCATTGTAGGTGCCGATATTGACCAAAATCCACTCACCATTGCCTTGACCCAACTCCCAGCACTCGGATCGATCCAAATCAACGGTGTCACCATGGTTCTCAACACCCAATACACTCTCCCATCATCATCGACCAATGCATTCAAGTTTGTTCCCAATGCCAATGCCAACGGAAATGATGTCGCCTTGTTTGCAGTATCCGACGGTTGTTTGGCTGCCAATGGACAGATCACCATCCAAATCACTCCATCCAACGATCCACCAACCTGTCAAGCCGCTTTGGTATCAACCGACCAAAACACAGCCAAGCCATTCACCCTTGCCGTCACCGACGTTGACTCTACCGGCTTGACTGTTGAATTCTCGTCGAGCTCGGTCATTCAAACTCTTGGATCCATCACTACTGGTGGCTCTGCCATTGTCGACGGTACCAAGTACCCATCTGGCAGTTCATTCACCTTTACTCCATTCCTCAGTGCCAATGGATCGGCCACCTTCCCATTTGTCGTTCGTGATGAACTCATGTCCTCGCAATGCTCAGTGACCGTCCAAGTTGTCCGTGTCAACGTGGCACCAACCCTCTCTGTCCAGTCTCCCATCAATATGATTCCAGACTCCACCCAATACATCCCATTCACGGTGACTGACCCCGACAACTATGAGACGTTGACTGTCACAATCACAGCTGCCAACCCAGTCGGTGGTGCATTCTTTGGACCCCAAGGAGAAGCCCTTACTGGACCATTCCCAATGGTTATCGGTGCCTATGATGTCTCCTTGACCCATTCTGCCATGAACAACCTCTCGTATCACTCTGCCAACAACCAAGATACCGGTGTATCCATTACTATCAGTGTCTCTGATACTAGTAATGCCGTCGATGCTGAGACTGTCTTGATCCTCATCACTGGAAACAGAACCAACTCTGCTCCATCTGCCACTCCAGTCGGACCCATCGTACTCGACCAAGATACACTCTCCTCTACATTCCTCTTGAATGGTACTGATCCAGATCAAACCAAGTATGATAATATCTTGGATATTGTCATCTCATCGTACCCATCCAAGGGTGTATTGGAAACACCAACAGGCACTGCCCTTGTCACTCCACTCAAGACTGCCCTCTCTGTAGTGTATGCCCCCAATCCCGGATGGTTTGGTGATGACCAACTTACATTCTATGTAGTCGATAGTCTTGGTGTTGCATCTTCTCCACAAACCGTTCTCATCACTGTCAACCACGTCAATCATGCTCCAGTCATCTCTGCATCCGATGTGTTTGCAACTGGTCAACAAGGTCAATGGTTGGATGCCCCCATCACCATCTCTGCCTCTGATATTGATAATGATGTCCTCACTGTCTCGGTCACTGCCCTTCCATCATCTGGCTCCATTAAAAATTCAGATGGTCTTGTTATTTCAACCGTTCCAACTGCCATTTCCAACTTGTCCATCACATATTCTCCATCGAGTACTGTGTACTACAACTTTATCCAACAATATACCGTTCAAGTATGTGATGATGACACTCCATCACTCTGCTCGTCTGCATCGGCCAACATCCACTACACCTACACCAACTCTGCTCCCACTGGTGAGGATAACAAGGTGACCACCTCACAAGACGTCCCAGTCAACTTTACATTGGCCGGCACCGACTTTGAAGACGGATCCAATGTCCTCTTTACCATTGTCTTGCTCCCATCGGATGGTCGACTCTACACCCAAGACGGTCTATTGATTGACTCTACCACACAAACCTTTACCAACCCCAACCTCCACTATGTCCCAGCTGAAGGTGTATCCAACATGGACACTCCAGGCCAACAAGGACCAGTCGAGTCATTCTACTACTCTGTCATTGACCAAAATGGAACTCTCTCATTAAACTACAACATCCAAGTGTTTATCATCCCATTCCGTCCACCCACCTACCACGGAGACACCAACTTTACCACGCTTGAAGACAACTCGCTCAGTATCAGTCTCAATGCCATCTCTCAATACGGTGACCCCAAGTTCTTTATCGAGTTTATGAGTGCTACAGCTGTCGGCAACCTCACCTACACTAGTTGTCCAAATGACGGTACCTGCTCACAGGCTCCACTTGTTCAAGGTGTCCGTTTCATCGGCCCACCATTCACCGTCGACTATAGTCCAGCTGCCGATGCCTTTGGTCCACAATTGGCCACCTTTTCGTTTAGATTTATTGACTCCAACACGTCCGAGGTGATCACTGCAACCGTCGATGTTGTCCCAGTCAACGATCCACCCTACATTCAACCAATCACCATTTCAACCGACCTTGGAACCATCCAAATGGGCAGTCTCTTGTCCATGCCAATGAACAGTACTGCCTTGTTGGTGTTTAACGCCTCGGATATTGATTCGCCATACTCGTCACTCTTGGCTCGTCTCCGTACCCAAGCCAAGGGTTCAATGCTCAGCTACGACGGTCAACCAACCCCAACCAACAACAGCGTCGTCATTAACAAGGGAGACATCATCCCAAGATCAGCCGATGGATTGTGGAGAATGTTCTATCAACCAACACCAGGCCGTAACGGTATTGGTTACGACGCCATCTCGTTTGCCGTCTATGATGACAAGGAGTTGATCTCACCATCCTACTCGTTGCGTGTCAATGTCAACCCCATCAACCTTGCTCCAGTCGTCTCGGTCAACCAAACCCACTGGAACCTCAATGCCAAGACCACCAGCACCAACATTATCGGTATCACTGTCGACGACCCCGACTCGCTCTACAACAACATCTCCTTTACCCTTGCCCTCGCTCCAGAAGGATCGATCGAGTTGCCATACTCCAAGAACTCGCCCAACTGTGATTTCAGCACACCCTCCAATGTCACTTGTACCGCTCCAAAGGGTACCCTCAACACCTTCTTGACCATGATCCGTCTCAATTTCACTCTGACCGAGGATGCCAACTACACACTGACCGTCACAGTCAGCGATCTTGGGTACATGGGTGGCAATGTCTTGACCGACCAAAAGACAGTAGACGTCTCTATTCTCCCATCGGCCATTTCCAAGACCAAGAATAATACAGTCGTATTGGCAGCATCCATTTCGGCAGCAGCTGTTGCAGCAGCCCTCATTGCACTTGGTGTCTGGAGATTGATCAAATCAAAGGCTCCACCAACAGACGCATTCTTTGGTGACTCTCCATTTGCCGATTCAAATGTATCATCTAATCCTCTCTACCAAGATAGTGGTAGATCTGGTGTTAATCCATTATATCAAGATATTAATTAATCAACATATTAATTAACATATTAATCCAACCCAATCATTTATTTATTTTAATCCCTTTGTCCGAACCATTTAAATTAATCAATCCCCCCATCTCTCCTCTATACTATACACATTCAATGACTAAATAGTCTTTATCTCTCTCATTTTTTATAATAATAAATCTTATCATATTAATAGTTTTGTAAATAAATAATTCATTATCATATTTATTTTCAATCTAAATAATATCAATCAAACCCTTTGTAAATACAAGAATATTAAATTATTATTATTAATGATCTTTCGAAAAAAATATGTATATTATTTAAATTCAATTCTATTCATTGTTATTTATATAGTTATATAGTTTGTCAAAAAAAGCAATGGGTTATGATGATTGGATGATTAACAATTTAAAATAATCCAATCAAATCGATATTTAATGATGGATTACCCACACACCCTCCCTCCCTTCTTCCCACTCATCAACGATACATAGAGTCTATCTAATTGTTACATACTCTTTAATATATTACTATTAGAGATAGATAATATTAAACATTAAATTTAATTAATAGAGATGGAAAGAAATCAAGAATCAGTTGTTATTACTGGAGGACAAGGATTTATAGGTAGTTGGGTAGCTAAATTATTGTTGGAACAAACCAATCAAGGTTGTAATAGTTACAATGTGATCATTGTAGATGTTAAACCAGATGATCGTATTCTTAGACAAGTATTGTCACCTTCTCAACTATCAATGTTGACTCGTGTCTATTTGGACATTGCCAACGGACAGGCTGTCACCGACATGGTTAGAAAATACACTCCATCTTTTATCATTCATTTGGCTGGTTTGCAAATACCAACATGTCGTGCCAATCCCATCCTAGGTTGTCAAGTTAATGTTATCGGTACTATTAATGTATTTGAAGCTGTTAAACAATTGGTAAAGAGGAAAATAGGAAAAGAATATATAATATACAATAGATCATTGATTAACCTTTTTGTTATTTGTTTGTAGGAAAAAACATGTCCAATTATTTATGCATCAAGTGCAGCTGTATCTGGACCATCAGAGGATTATGATGGACCAATTAATGATAATGCTTCACACACTCCTTTGACACACTATGGTGTCTATAAACAGGCGAATGAAGGATCGGCAAGAGTCTATTGGATGGATAACAAGATACCAAGTGTTGCATTGCGACCATTTACAGTGTATGGAGTGGGTCGAGAGATTGGAATGACAAGCTCGCCGACAAAGTTGATAAAGGCCATTGTCAGTACCAAAACAGAGTATACTATCCCATTTAGTGGTGATATATGTGTAAACTATGTCGAGGATATAGCATCACTGTTTATTCAATTGGGTCAACTCAAAGACACCATCAAAGGAGCTCATGTATGTAATATCACTGGTGATGTCGTAAGTGTCCAACAATGGGTCGATCTAGTCAAACAAGTAGCTGAAAAGGAAATGAACAAATCTATCAATGTCAAGATTGAAGGATCACCACTTCCCTATCCAACCCATTTCAAAGAAGATACACTTGCCAAACTACTCAATTGTCAATCCAATCAAGTTAAAACAACTCCTCCTATCATCGCCATCACCAAAACTCTCAAAATATTTAAATCTCTCTCTGATCAATCAATTTTAGAATTTAATGACCTATAAACGGAAATATATTAATAATAATTTTATTAAAATAGTAAAAAGAAAGAATAATAAAAAATGGAAATATTAAAACACAAATATATATATATATATATAAAACAGTTATATAGATAGGATTGTTGTTTTGGGTATAAAAAATGTATATATTATTTGTTATTTGTTATTTGTTTTTAAATTTTTAGTTGGCAGATTCATTAACCAAAAGTGGAGCAGATTCAGATGAAGCAGCATTCAAGAGTTTAGTGTTCTCCTTCATTGTGGCGGATGGAATATTGATACGACGGTTCTTGATATCGACGAGGATGAGGACGATACAGAGTGCACAACCGACGGCGGCAAAACAGGTAAAGATGGCAGAGGTGATGTGATAGTTTTTGTTGGTGTCTTGGAGGATGGCGTTGATGGCGAGGGTTGAGAGAGCGACGGCGGCGTTTTGGAAGGCAAAAGCGAGACCGTAGGCGGTACCGAGACGACTGGATGGGATGAGGGCTGGGATAGTTGGCCAGATAGAGGCGGCCATGGTGGCATAAGAGACACCGAGCATGATCATACCAATGTATGGGTTGGCGCTGGTAAATCCGAGTACAATGTGAGCGGCAGTCATGAGGGCGGTGGCACCGGCCATGAAACTGAGGTTATGACCAACACGATCAATCAAGAAACCAATGAGTGGTGATGGTGCAGCAGTGTAGTATGGGATGGATGTGAGGATGGCAGTGTCGCAGCCTGGGAACTTGCTAGCAAGCATGTTGTTGGCAATGGTGATAAAGACAAAGAGTGGGACGTAGAAAAAGACGACGACGAAAAAGATGAGCCATACCGACCCGGGGAACTTGGCAATATCCTTGAGTGATACGGCGTCGTTCTTGGAGGCTTCTTTGTCCTTGTCCTTTTTACCACGGATCAAGTCGAGACCGAGCAAAATAATACAAGAGATGAATGAAACACCACAGGTAATAGCACCAAACCACACGGCAAAGGGGATAGAGTGTGACTTGATCAATTCCGGTGTGACTTGGAAGTTGACAGCACTACCAATACGCGAGAAACCAAGTGTAATGGCAAAGGCAAAGTTAATGTCTGAACGTCCGTTGAACCATGTTGCGCAAAATGTCGATTGAGCCACCGACAATGATTCACCACCAAGACCAAACACCAAACGACCGACCAAAGCCAACCAATAGAGCTTATAAGAGGCAGAGAGTGAGAAAATGATTTGTCCGGCCATAACCAAAACGCAAAAGACCATTGCTCCCTTTTTCAAACCAAATACTGTATCGATGAGGTATCCACCAAAGAATACAATGACCATATTGGGGAAGTTATAAACTGAATAAAGAATACCATATTGTGTATCTCCAATATCATAATACTAAAAAAATAAAATAAGATAAAGAAAGAAAGAAAAGAGTCAATAAATAATAATAAATATGATTGAGTTGAATGTGATGTGATGATTTGATTTGATTCAACTTACGATTTCAAGTTCTGAAATAGTTCCATTTGGATCAGCACTAGTTGGATGTGGTACTGATGGGAAAGCACCTGGAATATCCTATATTGATGATGAATGATTAATGATGATTAATGATTAATGATGATATTAGTATACTCGTTTGTTTCGTTTGTTTCATTTCATTCGTTTCATTCGTTTGTTCTGATCTGATCTGATCTGATTGTTGTTAACATACATAAATATAATAACTTCCAAATGTAATTAAACAAATAAACAAGAGACCCAAATATCTGAACAAATGTTCAGACATTGGAATCTTCTTTTCTGAATCGGCTGACATTCTTGTATATGATGATTGATATTATTACGATAGATAGATAGACAGACAGAGATAGAATGACTAGTATAGGTATAGCAAATATAAATACTAATCGTCGTTGTCGCGGTATCGGTGTGAATACTAACTACAGATAAATACAAAGTAATAAATACTAAACTAATAACATTTGTTAGCTTAAATAGAGGTGGTTAGGGAGACCTCGATAGACAATTCTCACACCCATGTTTTTTTAAAAAACAACCAACAAACGATCGTTTTGCTTTTTAGAGTTCCCTGCACCCCTCAAAGTGTGAGAGAGTAGGACGGATTGATTCAATCATACCCTCTTACTTTGATGATGTATTACATCTCCTAGGAGAGAACACCCAATGGCATCAATTCCATTGACCCAAAGATATTTGTTAATACAAACGGAAAATTAATATCTCCCATCAAAAAAGGGGGCGAATCGAAGCAAAGAACGAGTCTTCAGAATGCGAATAACACATTTAATATAAACCTCTTTTTCTCACAAAAGGTAGGTAATAGATAAACATTAAATATATCGGATGGGATGGTTTCGAGAATATATATATTCATCCTCCCTCTTTTATTTATTCTTTTTAAATTGATTAATATGACAGTTCTATCAAGAGATGAGGTACTTAAATGTATAGAATCAGGGTAGGTATTGATCAACAGATAAGAGACAGCAGCAGCAGCAGCAGATTAGTAATACCAACATCTTCTGTAGTGAAATATCAATTAGTCCATTTGATCCAGATGCACTTGGCGGTGCCACATTGGATCTAACATTGTCAAATGAATTTAGAGTGTTTTCAAAAGAATCTGAAACCATTCTTGTCACTGATGAAACCAACTATAGAGATTATACCAAACATTTTGTACTAGGCGAAGGAGAGACTTTCATTTTAGAGCCAAGATCATTGGTTTTGGCCATCACCAAAGAGACGGTCTTCGCTCTCTCCCAACTATTGTGGTCTACTAGAAGGCAGATCTCGTTTTGCAAGAATGGGACTCTTTGTTCACTTGTCTACAGGTTTCATGCAACCATCCACCTCTAGTCCAACGGTTCTCGAAATATTCAATGCATCCAACAATCGTTTGGAACTAAAACCTGGATCTAAAATGTGTCAACTTATTTTTATGAAAATGGAAGGACAAGCTTCTTATACTGGTAGATTTAGAGATAATCATTTGTAACAAAATAATAATAATAATAATAATAAAACAAACAGATAATAATAATAATAATAATAATAAACATATGTTACTACTGCTATTAAACAATCACCTGATCAATATGGTGCGAGCTTGTGGAACAAAAACATTTTTAGCAGCCTGGTTTGTTGGTTATGAGATTAGATTATTCTCTCATTTCACAATTGTAGTATACTACTATTATGTGTATCATTCTGATCTATAGATCTGTCTTGGGTTGATTGCAAGAGGACAATGAAAAAATCACAAGAAGCAAAAAAAATAAAATAAAAAAAACATTTTTTTTTCCGTGTTTTGTTGCAGCTGTGATCATTATGCGTCTGAGAAGCAAAACTTGTTATTATTATTACATTAGACACAAGAAGAGTAATAGAGCATTAAAAGATGTCAAAGTGGATTAAATACGTAAAGGAAATCTTCACTCCAGGTCACTCTATGGAGTTCTTCCACAAGCCAGGAAATTCGCTCATCGAACGTGCTGAATTGAACGCCTCTCGTAAGGCCCTCCAAGACAAGAGATGTAAGTACCTACTATATATATATTCATTCAGCATTATATTTAAGTCATAGTAGTAGTAGCTAGCATTAGTATAGTCGAAGATAAAGAAGATCAACAAAATGGAATGAATACTGATGTGATGATGAGATGAAAGAAAAGAACAATCAACAAAAGAAAAGAATGAATGATGATGATCAACATATATGCAAACAAACAGATTTACAAAACAAGAGAGAAATTTTCATTGTAAATCTCTTTTATATATATATGTATCAATCATTCTTGATTGATGATTTGTTAGAAGATGAAGATCATCATCATTATCATCCCTCCCCCCTCTACGCTTGATCTACTACTACTACAATGACAATGACAGAAAAACTGTAGATGGAGATATATTATATTAGATACTAATATTTTTGTACTTTTTGACCTATAATAATAGCAAACGAATTTGGTCATGAAGTCTTAAGTGGATTCGGTACCATCAAGAGCCCAGTCATTGTTGAATCAATCTTTGACAACAGAATCGTTGGATGTGAAGGTGGTGATGGTGAAGAACACGACTTGGTCTTCCACAAGCTCACTGCCAAGAAGCCAATCATCTGCGTTGATTGCGGTCAAGCATTCAAGCTCAAGAAGATCAGCACTGAAAACGAAGTCATGTACTACTAAACACGCACGCGTTATATTATTATTTATATTATTTTCGACATAACACGGGTAGTAGTAGTTTGAAAGAGTTATCAGAAGAGGATTTTTTTAACAGCATGGTATATATTATTTAATAAGCACACATATATGGAATAACAAAACAAACAAACAATAATGATAACAATAACAGAAAAAAAAAGTGTATAAAAATGATGACTATTGTGCCTAGTATATAATAAATAAAAACAAAAATCTATAAACTAATCAATCATATCTATCTAATAATAATTTATTTGTATCCTGGAATAATAATAATAATTTTGGACAAAAGTAAAGTAATTAATTAATTATTTATTTTAAATTTAGTTAAACTTTTGAGCCTTTTGTGGATTTAAAATATTCTTGTTTCTGTTCTTCTTTCTCTTCTTTGGTGCTTCATTATCATTATTATCATTATTTTCATAGTTGTTGTTGTTGTTATTATCATTTTCATATTGATTGTCTTCATAGTTGTTATTATTATTATTTCCATAATTATTATTATTATTATTGTAATTTTGCTTATTATTATAGTTATTATTAAATCCAACATCTTGTTGTTTCTTATTATTATTATTATTATTATAGTTATTTCCAGAATATTCATTGTCATAAAATTGATTATTCTTATTATTATTCTTATTATTATTATTAAATTCAACATCTTGTTGTTTCTTATTATCTTTGTTTGAAATGGCATTCTTTCTTTCTGACCAACTCATAGTTGATGATTTTCCTTTTGGCGCAGTTTGTTTACCGGCAGTAAATGTTTTCTTTGACGATGTCAAATACTTGCTGTTACCACGATCGAAATATCTCTTTTCAGCTCTTTGATGATCATATCCACGAAGATGACCCTTGTATGGTGCAATAGAATCCAATGGACAAAGTTTCTCCAACTCTGCATCATCCTTGCTCAAAATATCTTCAATTGATAAACCATATGAATTTGCTTCAACTTGATTATATCTAAATCTAATTGGTGTATCATCAATCTAAAGAAAAATAAAGTAAAGAAAAGTAAAGTAAAGTAAATTAATAAATTAATATTATTATTTAAATCTATCTGTTTTCATTCATACCATATCTTGATAATCAATACCATAGTATTGATCCAACATTGCTTCCAATTCAGCCTTTTCTTTAGCCATTCTTTCATCATCCCATTCTTCACCATCATCTTCACCGTCATCTTCAAAGTATCCACTATCGGCCATTTCTTGGAGATATCCTTGTGAATCTTCATCTCCCTCTTCACCCTCTTGGTAATCTCCTTGTTCTTCACCACCATTGTATTCCTCTTCATCACCACCATTGTATCCCTCCTCACCTTCTTCACCTTCTTCACCTTGATTTGTCCATTGTTCTTCAACTTGACCTCTCTTTCCTCTACTAGTCAATTGTTTTACCAATAGAGTTGGATCCATTTTCTTGATTTCTTCAGGATGCATATCAAACATGGTTGATCCAGTGATTGAACTAACTTCCTTGATCTTTTCCAAGATCTCCTTTTTCTTTTCATTCTTTAACTTTTTCAACTTTTCCTCTTTGTGAACGGCATCCAATTTCTTCTTTTCCTTTTGTTTGTCTCTCTTTTCCTTTCTTGTAGAATTTGCTCTACGAAGTGAATCAACTTGACGTGGATTTGATGAAATAGTTGCTGCTCCTCTAAAACATATTAAATAAATAAATAAATGAAATGTTAGTTTCTATCTTTTACTTTTACTTTTTGTTTTAGTTTGATTTACTTACGGTTCTTCAAATCTAAAATTGTATCTATGTTCATATCTATCTTGTTGATTTAAATCTTGAGCATCTTCTTCTAATTCTTCTTCTAGTTCCTTGGTAGCTTCTGGAGTCTTGATATCGTCCATCCACTTTTGACCCAACAGATAGTCTCTGAGGAACTTGTCTTCATCGGTGGTATCTGTCTTTTTAGAGTCCCAGTATTGTTTGATGGCAGACATTTCCTCATCTTGCAACTTTGAATCAGCTTCCAATCTCTCACGGAATTGAAGGAAATCTTCATTCTCTTCATCCTGTTCCTTTTTAGATTTGGTACTTCTCTTTTTAAACAATTCTCCATCAGACGAGTCATCATCAGAGTCGTCTGAATCATCATCTTGATTGACAGCCGACATGAAACTTTTCTTTAAATGTTCTTCTTGTTTGACAAATGGTAAGTCTTCATAGTTTTCTTCTTCCTCTTCATATTCTTGTTCTTCATCATATTCTTGTTCTTCTTCATATTGATCTTGTTCTTGTTGTTCTTCTTCTAATAGTTCATCGTCACTATCATTATCACTTAACAATCTTTTCTTGACCAATTGACCGACGGTTATGTTCTTTGGATCGTTGAGTTGTTCCAATCTCGCCTTTTTCTTTGCTTCAGTCTCTGCCAAACCTCTGTCTTGATCCTCCTTGTTAAAGAATTTGAGGTCAGTGCTAACCTTTTTCTGCATACTGAGCAATGGCAACAACTTTAGGAAATCATCTCTCCATTCGTTCGAGTCAAACTTTGCTTCATCATCGTCACTACTTTCTTCCTCTTCTTCATCATCAAATATAGTTCCACGATTATCATCATTAACATAACTTGATTCTATAAAAGTAATATATACATATTAGTAAAAGAACATAGTAGACTATGTTTGATTATTTATACAACACATACCATGAGATGGTTCTGATTTCTTTGCAGCAGCTTTCTTTCCTTGTTGTTGTTGTGGTGGTTTCTTTACTTGTTCTTCCTTTTCAGATTCTGATGAAGATGAAACAGATGAAGATTCATTATCAGAGGAAGATGAGGATGAATCTGAATCTGAATCGGATTCAGAGGAGGATGATGATGAATCGACTACTTCCTCTTCTTCAACCTTTTTCTTCTTTTCTTCAACTTTCTTTTGTTGTTGTTGTTGTTGTTGTTGTTTTCCAACAACAGTATTATTGTTATTATTATTCTTCTTTGGAGGTGGCATTTTCTCTCTCTCTGTCTCTCTCTAGAACTTTAGTACAAAAAAGATAAATGAAGGGGAACTAAACAAACAAAGACAATTTTAAAATTAAAAATAATCGTGAAAAAAAGAAAAAACGAACGAATCGTCTTTTGTCAATTTTCAACTAAGTAATTACTTTCTCCTGCTCAGTATTGTATCATACACATTAGATAGATATATATATATATATATATAAAATGAATTTATTAACTACTAATGGTGTAAAGATATACAATGTATCAGCTGGTAAATCATTACCTGAATGGTTATCAGAAAAGAAAAGAGATGAATTGAGAAAGAATAAAGGTAAAGAAAGAAGCGAATGACTACTATCAAACTATCAATCAATATATGTATACTTGCTAATCTAATCTAATCTATTCATTAATATACTTGTAGAATTTAGATCTAGAGTAGAACTTATTCAAGATTTCAGTTTCGAATCATCATCACAGAGAGTTAAACTTACACCCGATGGACAATACTTGATAGCAGCGGGTATCTACAAACCACAGATTAAAATCTTTGAATTGAGTCAACTCTCAAACAAAGTAACAAGACATATAGATTCACATGTAGTACAGATTGAAGTATGTTTGATTATTAAAGTATTAAGTATTATTGATTGATAAGATTAGTTAAATTAATGTCTCTATTTCTTTTTTGTTTTAGATATTATCACAAGATTACTCTAAACCAGTATTTTTAAGAGCAGATAGATATGTAGAATTTCATGCAAAGAATGGATGTTACTTTACAGTTAGAACACCCAAACAAGGTAGAGATATGACCTATCACAAGGATACGTGTGACTTGATGATTGCTGGCAAGGGCAATGAAGTTTTTAGATTGAATTTGGAAGAGGGACGTTTCATGCAACCGTTCCAAACAGACCTGACAGACATTAACGTGATTGCACAGAACCCCGTGCATCAACTGCTGATGTTTGGTGGCGAGAATGGTGTGATTGAGTGTTGGGATCCGCGTATGCGTCGTCGTTGCGCGTCTCTCGACGTCGATGCTCAGTTGTCCAACGAGTACAATGGCTGTGAGATTAGCGCCGCTAAATTCGGGTCGGACGGTTTGACGATGGGTGTCGGCACGAGCACGGGTGTTGTGCAACTGTACGACTTGCGTACGAGCACGCCGTCGATGACCAAGTACCACCAGTACCAGCTGCCCATCAACTCGATCAACTTCCACTCGTTTGCCAATGTGCAGCGTATCATGTCGAGTGACGCCAAGTCGCTCAAGGTCTTTGAAAAGGACACGGGCAAGATCTTTATGGTGCTCGAGCCCAAAGACCCCATCAACGACGTCGTCACACTCGACGGCAGCGGCCTTTTGCTCATGCCGGGCGAGACACCCAAGATCCAGTCCTACTATGTGCCATCGCTCGGACCCGCTCCCAAGTGGGCCAGCTTCCTCGACAACCTCACCGAGGAGCTCGAAGAGGACAAACAACTCGTCTACGAAGACTATAAGTTTATCACACGTGAAGAGGTCGAGCAACTCAACATGGTCAACATGATCGGCACGGGCTACCTCAAGGCATACATGCACGGTTACTTTATCCACATCAAGCTCTACAACAAGATCAAGGCCATCCAGAACCCATTCGAGTACGAGCAGTACCGTGCCCAATTGGTGCAAGACGCCATCAAGGAGCAGGTCAGCTCGCGTGTCTCGGCCACCGCCAAGACGGCCGTCAAAACACCCAAGGTCAACAGCAAGCTCGCCCAACGTCTCGAGGCCAAGGCCATCGCCACCGAGGACGACGACAAGAGAGCCATTGCCGAGCAGACCACCAAGTCTATCATGTCAGACTCGCGTTTCGGCCGTGTCTTTACAGACAAGGCATTCGAAATTGATGAAACCTCTCAAGAATTCAAAAAACATAATCCAGCTGCCAAACTTGCTAAATTGGATTCAATTTATAAAGAACATTTCCAAAATGTTCAAGATGATGATGAAGATGAAAATGAAGAAGAAGAGGAAGAAAAATCAACAACAAAGAAAAATAATAATAACAAAAAGAATAATAATAATAATAATAGAATGGAAATTGATTCAGATGAAGATGAAGATAATGTATATGATCATGATTATGATAGAGATGAAATGAATAATGAAAAGACAAAGAAAAAATCGGTTGGTTTCTATGAAATGAAGACTGGACATACTCTATCATCGTTGACTGGTACCAATCAAAATATCGATATTCTCAAGAATGCACCACTTTCCATTAGAGTTGATACCCACGACAAGGGTATTTCCAATCTCAAGAATGCCAAGATCAAAAAGACTGACACTGCCGAAAATGCAGCTGCCGAAATTTCATTTATTCCTTCTAGTACTGGTAAAAGTAAAAGAGGTGGAAGTAGCAGTAGAGGTGGAAGTAGAGGCGGTAGTAGCAGTAGAGGTGGAAGTAGTAGAGGTAGAGGCGGAAGATAATTATAATAATAATAAATTTAAAAAATATAATCTAAAAGATATCAAAACCCTCTTTTTCTGTAGATCAGATTTACTAGTAAGTATATTATTATTTTAGGGTTAGCTCACCTAGTTGGAGGCTTATTTATTTATTGACATCAGTTGTTCATTGATGAGTTTAAAATAAATAAATCCAAACAAATATTTTTAAAAATATTATTATCATTCAACTCAACAAGTATAGATACATTCTCAAGTCAAATGATTCAATTAGCACAACAGCACGACAAGGAAATCAAGAAAATCAAAGTTGAAAGAGAAAAGGAGAAGAAATGAAGAGAATAATAGACTCTACCTTGACCAATGAAGAACCAATCAAATTAAATGTAGGAGGTGTAGTTTTTAGAACTACAAAAAAGAGTCTAACTAGAATCAAGGGATCATACTTTGAAACTCTATTCTCGGGTGAAATAGATATTAAAAGACTTAAGATATTTTTATTGATAGGTTTGAATCAAACTAGTATGGCATCATTTTTAACTTTATATTAACTATCATATTTTTTAAAAGGGATGTAACTCATTTCGGATCAATCCTAAATTATATGAGGGATGGTGATGTATTGGGGATTGATATGGATCATATTGAAAAAGAAATGAATTTCTTTAGAATATTTCCATCTCCATCTCCATCGTCTATCGTTAGCAATGTATATTGAAATCTTAAAGAAATGGATTGACACACTTCAAAAGGAAATAAATTGATATAAAGATGGTTGAAATCTATGAAATCAGTAACTTTATGGAAAACTAATTTAATTTATTATTTTTTTTTAGGGTACAAGAGATGGGTTCCAAGTTTCTTCATTCCATTTCAAATGTGATGGAAAGGGACCAACTATTACATTGGTCAAATCAAATAATGGAAATGAATTTGGTGGATACAATAGTCAATCTTGGAATTCAAGTACCAATACATATTATTGAATCACCGTAGGTAAGAGGAAAGCTTTGATAACTTGTGAAATTATCATTGCATTTGTTTTGGTCAACAATAAAAATGCCATGGTCCATTATTGGGATGGGTAAAAACAAATCGACTAGATGCTATTGGATAGTATTTTGTTGGATTGCCACCTTGTTCTTCTTTATTCTTTCATTGAAATCAATGACACCTGAAAACAAAGCATCAAAAAAAAAGAACTCTTTATTCCTCTTTGATGTTTTGAATAATAAACCTCCCACATCAAAAGCAATTAAATCCTCATCGATGGTTCTTTTCATTGATTCGAGTTGTTTCATCAGTTCTGTAGATCAAAAAAAAGTTGACTACGACAATGAGGTAGAATAGATTTTTTTCTATTTATTTCTTAGTTTAAATTAATATTTTAATAAATTTAAATAGTAAAAACTTCAATCTCTTCAACCTTGAAATTCGTTCCAGAAGTTAATGTTGTTTTTCCCCTTTCCTGGTGATGATAAATGTTTTATATTCACTAGATTGATAGGTATGTATACTAATTATTCTTTTAGAGTCCCTTTCATTCTTAAATATTATATTAACCAATAATTTATTAATAGAGATGGAACTCATTTTAGATTTATATAAGGGATGGTGATATTTTGGCTATTCCTATGGATCATAAATATGAAATGGCCACCCTTTTGTATGAAAATAAATAACAATTTAATTATAAAAAAAAAAGGGTTATGTATTCAAAAGAAACAATTGATACCAAGGAGTTCAATGTTTTCTATCTTACTGCAATATCTCTTTCAATCATCGTAATCATAACATGTATAATGCTTTGACAACATCAGAAATTGCATTCAAAAGTGATTTCAAACGATGGTTCAGGAACAAGTAAAAGAATGGGCTATAAAAGAAGTTCAAGTAAGAGAAGAATATGCCCAGATGCTTCTTGATAATGATGTAGATGGAGAGAGTATAGCAGTGTTTACAGAGGTTGATTTTGGTAAATGTGGCATAGTCGTAGCACCTGAAAAGAAGCTCTATCTGGCTGCTCAACAACTTTTAATTAAACAACAACAACAACAACAACAACAACAACAACAACAACAACAACAACAACAATCGCTATCGCATCAACACAGTAGTAGAGGTAAGTAATGATAGTTATACGTCTATCTTCTTTTTAACCACTCATATTCGACTTGTTGTTCGCACATGATTGTCATTCGTCAGATTCACCTCACCACTATTTGCTCTCGTTTAGTCACTCGGGTGTGTTGTGGTACAAGTCATTAATGATTAATCACACCATCAACCAACATTAAAGTCTTATCATATTTCACTCATCTCCCAATGATTTTATTTAAATTTAAAATAAAACCACACATTTTATTTTTTGTTTAATAATATTATAATATTTTTTTCTTGGAGTCTGATGATAAAAGCACTCATATGAACTGCAGCTGTTCACTATATACATTCTTTCTGATACATTTTATTTGTTCTTTTGCCATTCATCCACATATTTCATATTTATCTATCCAGTTCCATATATTATTCCCACCATCTTATTTTGAAACAAGAGTTATTTATTCTTTGCATTATCATTTTCTAATTTGTATTCTAATTTGTATTTTAGTTTGTATGATGACAGACCAACCTCCCCCATCAACAACAACAACATGGTCCAACACTCCAGTCAAGGAATGGACTACCCAATTGGCTAATGATTGGGTGAATGCCACTCTCGAGGACGCAGGTTATCCAAATAGCCTTTCCCTCAAAGTCTTGATCCCTCCGATCGCAGGTACCTGAATTTGGCTGTCGCTTGATTCAAGATTCTTATTTGATGGTTTGTTCTATGTACCCAATGGTACCGAAGCGGATCTCAAATCAGAGCAAAGCAAGGCTCTCCTTGATATGCTTTTCAAACAACTTGGTTCTCTCAACCCACCTCAAACTAATAGTAAGTAAATTAGACAACATTTAATTAATATTTACAAATACTGACTGAAATATTTCTATAGTTTCTCCTATTGCAGGTATGACACCCCTCAACAATATCACTCCTTTTTAGCAAACAACATCCCTTCCATTCATTATTCATTCAATTCATCACCCATCCCATTTCCTTTGTACCAAATCAAATATCATTCATCAAGCTACACCACTCTATTTTTATCACCCATCTCTTTTTCCATCTTATCCACTCCTTTTGTCAACATACCTAATTGCTACATCAACCAATCACCATCATTCAAATCTAGTCATTTTGTTTTGCTTGTAAATCTTTACATATTACAGGCCTTCACTTAATGTTGGTCAATCCATCTCCAACCATTCCTAATATTATATCAACCAATCACCATTAATATCACTTGATACTCAAAACCTCTACCTATTTTTAGTTTGGTTCACTCACCTCTGTCAGGTTAACACACTTTCTTTATCCATCAGATAATTAAAAATCACTATCATTGCTCCTCTTTTTACACCATTTCTATTTGATTATCTTTTGTTTTCAATGCACCACTCATCTCTTTCCTTTTAACCACTTGCTTCATTATTGTGCAACCAAACACTAAACATTTGTCATTTTGTTTTGCTTGTAAATCTTTACATATCAATTGACCTCTTGTCTTGTGTTCATTTATATATTTCTAATCCTTTGATCCAAACCAAATACCATGGTCCATTCACCAAGCCACACCTCTCTTTATCACTCTACATCCCTTTATTTTTATCACCCATCTCTTTTTCCATCTTATCCACTCCTTTTGTCACAACAATCATGATGATTACAATATCGTTCATTTTCTAATCATTTATTAGATCTAAAACAATTTGTAGAAAAAGTTCCCCCTGGCAAGGATTGTGTGGCCATTGGAGGGTCAAAAGTGAGTGCGGAGAGAAATGATTTACCTTTTAAAGGCCGAGCAGGTATCGTGGAGTATCTAAAGGCGGTCATAGGTAGAAATATGCTAAGCTTCACCAACAAGCGAGATAACAAACAAGATTACAGCATACCAACGGTCATTGGTGGCATTGGCATTGGTAAAACTAGAGTGGGAGAAGAGACCTTTATTTCTTTGGTATCAAATAGTGAGGTTTCTTCATGTTGTAAAAATTTTGACAAATTTTGGTAAGTGTTGTTGAAACTCAAAAGAGTTCACAATTAATTAATTAATATTATTTGGTTAAATTATAGGTATGTCAAATTTGATTTCGCAGCAAGCGATAAACCTTTGGAGGGCGAGAGAGCTTCACAGTTCATTGGAAGATGTTTGGTGTCACGTTTCTTCTATGGGACTTCTTCAGCACACGCCAAGACTAATATCCCAGAGGCCTCTGTTCTTGAGGTGGTCAACTTGATTGATAAACTCTATGTGGACCAAAAGGGAGAAAAGGCTCTTCTCATTCTCCATCTTGACGAGTATTTCATGCTTCCATTGCCATTACTCAACGAATTGGTTTCGTGCTTGGCAGATCTCATGCTCCATCCTCCCACAACTATCAGTGGCCAGTCCACTGTCATTCACAACATTTGTGTTGTTCCACTCATGACTGGCACTGATCTCGACTCTGCAAACACCTCCATATACTTCTCCAAACTAATCCCACGCGATGTCCGTCTTATCCCACTATCTGATAAAGATACGAGCGACCTTTTGGCGACGAGTGCCAATTGGAATACTCTTTCCAAATCTCTGCCATATCACTCACAGGTGGTGGTATCATATTTAGGAGGAGTCCCCCGAATTATAAAGGCCTTCTTAGATGCTTGTAATGGCTCCACACCCCTTCATGACCACATTCGATGGCTAGGGGAAGTTCTTAGGGTGACCACCAACTTAATCTCATCGAACTATAACATTCATTCTTGGAGCCAAGTTTTTGGGGCCTCGCTGGTCGGTCTCCGAACACTCCTCAAGATCGCGCTCTCGTCTTATGCCGTTAACCGAGGATATCCTTTGAACGGCAAAACCATTAGACAAGTAGAGTCAACCGGTCTCCTAATGTTGATCAAGGTTGGTGTTACTCCTGGATGTGGCAATTTTGACCACCCCTCCTCCTCTGACGATCAACAAAAGTACACAGTACATGTACCTCTGGCCCTCCTCCGCGCGATCAACCAGGAACTGAAAGATGTTGATGATTCGGTTTTGGATCCCTGCCTCTATTCCAACTCTGCCAACTTTGAAGTTCATATGATGCCCCAAATCAGAGTTTATCGTCAAAACCTTCTCGTCTCACTGAGTGACACCCCTGTTCAAGTGAGAGATTTGTACCCCCATGCAATCGGATTCAATTCGACTCTATCACTCACAGTTCCCATCAAACACCTCCAAATTGTTCATGACTCGGAGACTCTAGCCACAATACCCCCAACATTAGTATCAATTTTGGGAAGTGACCCACCAAGAGCCGTTGACATCACCACCGGAGTATTTGTTATCAACAAACGTATGGCCTCCCATGCAGATGCTATTGTCTATCACTCATCGGACTTGGTTGAAACGATCCAATACAAATCATCGGACAATACATCGCAACACTTTGCCCCAATCGCAGATTCACAAGGTGTAGTTAAGCTTGCCGACATCATCTCTGAGTGGAAAAAGATCGAAGGAAGCGTCACTATACCCAACTGCACAGTGCTTTTCCCTTTCATTTCCAACAAGCCACTCGCTGTAAATTACCAAAACAAAGAGCAAACACTCTTTGCCAGACTTGAAGAATATTTCTCTGACCCATTGAATGAGGGAAAACCTTTTCACAACTATGGAAGAGACTATTATATCCCAAGCAGAATTGTTCTTGTTGTTAACGAAAACTTCAGTCGTTATGCTTCGTGTTTTGCAACTCCCTCTCTATACATCCCATACAAAATGAAACAATAAACCACTTTTATGTTTATATTATCTCAAGTTCTAACAAACAACAATCTTTAAATACAGATTGTAGAGGAGTAAACAATTTAATTTGATTTAAATTGAAAATAATAAGAATTATTTTTTGAATTGATTTATTTTGTTACATTAAAACAAATTTACTAGGATAGTGATACCAAAAAGATAGAAATGATTAAAACAACAATTATTGGATAGTTTAAGCTTGCTTTTCCTTTTTGTTGATGAAATAGGTTGACAATAAGTACAATGAAGTGGTGACAGTGGTCAAAACATAGAAGGCGGTGGCACCCAATTGAGCACTGGCCGACTTGGTGACATGAGATTCTGGGTTTTGTTCAACATTTCCCATTTCACCTTCGTGGACGTCGGCACCTGGAGCAGTACTTTCGACCAAGCCTGGGATACTGATACTTTGACCGTGACCAACCTTGGCATCACCCAAACTAGTGTCAGTGGCACCTTCAGTAATGGTAACGGATCCATCGACGACGATATTGGTTCCCTTCAAGACTCTCTTTTCAGTGGTGAGGAGGACATCGGCACAAGAGTAGAAAGTGAAATCTTCATTACCACCGGAACGAGCATCAAACGACAATGAAAAGTATCCATTAAGCTTTCCAGTTTTGACGAGTTGGTCATAGGTTTCGGTATCATTCTTCATCGACACCATGTTGATGATTGGTTCAAGTTTGATTTCATAGGATGACTTGGTACTATTCATTTCGTTTTGGTTAAAAGTAACCATTTGAATACCAGTTGACGATGTATCCTTGAAGAATTGCAAAGTGTAGGTGTTGGTAGAATTGGATGTAGTTCTTGGATTCAATTGATAAATTGCAATCGAATATGGTTCCTTTACATTGATATAACTAGTAGTAGAAAAAAAGAAAGTAAAAGATAATTAAATTAATAAAAGAAACTTTAATATATTTAAATAAATATTATTATTTGTAGAGTTTGTATGTTACATACTTGACAGATTCAGTTGATCTTGGAAGACATGGAATTCTGATGTTACAACCTTTGGCATGGGTAGGATCACAAGTTTCACCTTCTCTTGGAATTGGTTTCATTAAACCTGCACTACCATAGACTGAAGACATCATCAATGCGCCCAAAACAAAAAAGGCTAAGAATATTCTAAGAATGAACATGATTATCTATTATTATTATTATTATTATTAGTATTTATAATTATACTATTATTATTATTATATTATTATACTATTATTTTTACTAAATGTAATATTAATGGAATATAAATGAATGAATAAAATAAAGTTGGAAGTTTGGAATTTATATAAAATCATAAAAGCTTGGTTTGGTACTCGTCTGCCTTTTCATTTACTGAATTAAAGAATTGTTGGTATAAAGGGAGCTGGGGTAATCGACACTGACAATATTATTTCCTTCTTTTTCATTCCATTGCCATCTGTGGACAGTAGTTTTAGTCCATGATCCACATTTAAATAACTTTGTACATTAAAGGTGACACTCATATGAAATCATGTGTGGTGTGTGAGTGTGGATGACTGAATCCATAAAAAATCACTCTCTTGTGTGTTTTTGAATGTGTGTGGTACCTAAAAAAGGAGGAGGAGTGTTTTGAAAATTAAAAAAATTGATAGACTAAGAAATAGAGAAAATTAATTTCTTTTTACCTCTAGAGATAATAAAAGAGATAATCTATATATTTGATTGACAGATGGATGGATGGATTGATGTTTAGATTTTATATGGGGATATAAAAAAATTGATCATTTTATATATATATGTACCATACACATTATAATATAATATAAATTATAATCTTTTTGGATTAGATTTGTCATACATAATATTATTTGATTGAATTATAATTTCTCTTCTTCTTCTTTTTCTTCTTCTTTGTCTTTGTCTTTTTGTTGTTTTTTGTTTGTTTTGGTAATGATATGGGGAGGAGGTGGAGGGGGAGGTAATATCTCTTTTTCCATTATCAAAGAGTGACCTTCTTTTTTTAAAACATTGATTCTTGAAGATGAATGTGCTTCCAAATGCTTATTAACTTTTATATCAAACTAAATATTTATATTTATATTTTTAATTATATTTGATGAATAGATTGATTGATTAATAATGATTGGTATATTGTATTAATATTAATTAATTAATTTTAATATTTTTTGCTTACATAAAAATCATGATAATCCAAGAATTCTTTATCATCTGCTTTTCTTAAACCTCTACCCAATTTTTGTAATGTCGTGTTTGGATCTCTACCACCACTTGCATTGATCAAGTGATGAACACGTACATCCAAACCAACATAACCAATCGACGAAAAGATAGCAACAACCTTGGTACCAGTTGAATATTTCAATTTGTGTAATACATATTCTCTCGTCTCGACATTGTCGTCACCTTTGACCCAATAGGCCGATGGAATGAGCTTGGCGAGTGCATCACCCTGTGACAATCGTTTGACAAGGATCATGATTCTGCCAGTTGGAATATCATCGACCAATTTAGCAATCGATTCATTCAAATAATCATTCTCTGCCAAAAATACATTCTCCATATCTTGATAGATATGACTTTTTGGTAAATTCAAATGCTTTGCAATTGGATATTTAATTGGATAAAAATGTATATTTGCTTTTGATAATATATTTACTAAAAAAGAAAATAGAATAAATAAAAAGAAAGATATATAAAAAATTATTATTATTTTTCTTTTTTCAAACATACTATCAGTTAAAGATTTTGTTGAAATATCACAAAGTAGGGTACCAAAAGTTGAAGTAATTTTGTGATTGTGAACTGGGTTATCGATTTTAAAAGGTGTAGCAGAGAAGCCAAATCTCGCATATGCATTATCGAATAATTCAAAGGCCTTCTTTGCCGTTGGTGAACCAAATTCATGAACCTCGTCAACCAAGAGTACCTTTGCATCTTTACAAAGATCTTGAATTTTATGTACAGATTGAAGTGTTGCGATGGTGACTGTATTTGGTTCGTTATAGTCTGTCGATATTCTACCTGGAGTACATACTCCTGTATTTACCAATGTTTCATATATTTGTGTTATCAATGATCTTTTTGTTACCAATATAACTGTTTCTACACTAAAATAAAATCATATTTAGTAAAATGATTGAGACACATGTATAATATAATATAATATATATATTTACTTTGAACCAATAGCTTTAATTAAAGAAGCCAAAATAAGTGTCTTTCCACCACCAGTAGCACATTTAATGATACCTCTATGATTTGATAATGCAAAATTGATACTTTCTACTTGATAGTCGTGTAACGTGACCTTTGGTGATAACAATGATTCATCAACTTGTTTTGGTTCTAAATCTTGTGTTTGTAAATCAAACAATCTTGTAGGTTCTTCATCATCATCAAGAATTAATTTCTTTTTCTTTTTAATTGTTGTAGTTGTAGAAGTTGTAGTTGATTTCTTTTTTCCTTTTTTTGTGTCTTGTATTATGGTTGAAGGTATTGTTGTTAGATCTTCATCACCAGGCAATACTTTTGAATAATCCCAATTAGAGTATAGGTTGGGAAGAGGATTACGTTCATCTATACGTTGACAATCGACATTCATTTCTCTCAGGTACAGAGAGATGATGGGAAGCAGACCAGTTGCAAATCGACCAGTCTTTGGTGTTATAAAAGATACCGATGGATTAAATTTGGGTGCACCCGTTTTAAACCTAACAAAGTTTGCCTTTGGTAATGTAAATGTCAGTTTACTACGAATAGCATCCATCACCATCGAATCTACATTCTTTAGATAACTATATCCATTTGTAATTCTAAGTATTGCCGATGGTACTTTTGTAGTTAATGAACTTGTCATTTAACCAATATCTAGATATCTATATCTATATCTATCCTATCTATCTATATATCTAAATACAAATACAAATAATCGTTTATTTGTTGTTTGAGAAAAGATAAAATAGAAAATGAAATATTAAAAAGTTGAAGACGACTATCATCATGATGACAACCAAATTCGTGGACGTTCTCAGAAATTGAAATAATAATAACAAGTAATATACTTTAGTATTTATTTTATTGTTCAAAAGTTACAGACCAATGAGCACTTTTAGTACCGGTATTGTATTTGACAATGACTGGAACACTGTAATATTTTAATAGTTGTTGAGCAGTGTCGTTGGTGATGGAATACTTGTCGGCGAGGGATTGAGAGTTATTGGTTTGTGGATCGGTTCGATACAGTTCATAAAAGTTGGACAACTCTTCTACATTTAATCGACCAGATATCATTTTATCCTTGGCCAACTTGTTCTTGATCTTTGATAGTCTCGTTGAGAGATCATCGTTTCTTGATATATCAACATCTGGTAAATCATCATTACTTTTATCTAATTGATTAAAATGTTGTCTTCTTGATGTAATTCTTGGACTACTACTATTTCCACTATTATTATTTTGATTATTATTATTATTTACACTATTATTATTATCATTTTTAAATTGAATTTGATTATTTGAACGATCAATTGCAGTGAATTGATTATTAACAGTATCAAATAGATTTGATCTATCGGTATCTTTGACAATAAACTCTTGATTGAAATCAATCTTGTTGAGAGCTTCCACCTTTTTTTGGTATTGTTGTTCTTCCCATTCAGCTTGTAGTTCTTCATAGGTCTTTGATTGTGCTTGTTCAAAGATGACAGGATTATGTTTCTCTTGTAGTTTAACCATATCCAATAGTTTCTTCATTCTATATTCTTGTTCTGTTAATTCATTTTTCTTCTTTTTATCTAAATCTATAATGTCATCTTCCTCTCCTTGACTCTTATCAACTTCTTCATCTTCTCCGTCAATTTCTTCATCATCTTCTTCTTCAAATTCCTCTTCATAGTATGCATCCTCCATTTCCTCTGGTAAATAAACTCCCAATTCTCTTAATTCTATCATTGATACAACAATTAGTACAACATACTTATCTTATCTTTCCTCATCCGTGAAATACACATACCTTTTGATAATACTGATGGTTTATCATCACCTTGTTTACTATCTATTTCATTATTTCCTCCTCCTCCTCCTCTTGACGATGTTGATAATGATCGTTTATAATATATGTTGTTGTTTGATATATTTGTTGTTGTCGACGATGATGATATACACAACATACGAATCATCGACTTGGTGTTATTGAGTACACCTACTCTTCCTGCTAATGATATCATTTTCCTTCGAAGTGATAGATGATATGTTTGTAATAGATGATATGATATGATAGGTACTACAGATATGTCAATAGTAGTGATTCATCTGACTCGCAAAGACAACCAACTATGATGTATTGCTGAATTTGGGTTTTCTTCCAATTTTCATGATCGAACCTACAAATTCGAAAATAATATTAATATAAGTGGGTTAACTTCATTCATTATTCTTTTTTTTTTGTAGTTGTAGTTGTATTTAAATATATATATATATCAGATACATACACTACTATTATTCCTCTTTTTTATTTTTGTATTTTTTATAGTTTATATAGGAAGAGATGAATAGTAATAATAATAATACAGTAATAGTTAAAGAATTAGATAATATATTATTTAAATTTGCATTGACAGATAATGGAGCACCATTTAATCGATTCTTGGACAGCAATCTATGTTTGGTGATTGAAAAGTTAAACAATGATGATGCATCGGTCAAGAAAAAGGTGTTGGAGGTGTTGAGCAATGTAAACAAGAGAACCATGTTTGCACCTGATCTAGAGTATCCTTTGGATGCTTTGATCGAGTTGTATCATCGTCCAACATCATCACTATTGGTCAAGAACTTTGCAATCGTCTACGTTGAAAAGGCATTCAATACACTTGCAAAAGAGAAACGTTCAACCTATCTAACATCAATCATCACCAATATATCTCAATTACCTTCTCAACATCAAGATATCTTTTGTCATATTATTTTAAATGTATGTATCGTTAACTGCTAAAGTTGGTACATGTATTCTTTCTTAAATTATATTAATTCTTGTTTTCTCTTTAATATTTTGTTTAGATTATAATGGTATTAAATTTAAATAATTTAATTGATAGTGAAAAAGATAAACAGTATCCATGGAGATCAAATGAAAAGGATTACAAGGTGGTGTTGGCATTCATGTTGGATTTATTGTTGGTGCCAACCAATGTGGGGTTAAAGAATGAAGAGGGTGCTGTTGTGGTGCCACCAGGACACAACCTGGCCAGTTTGCAACGTGTGATGGGCAAGAACCTGGACAAGTACGATTTCAAGGCGTTGAATGATCGCAAGATGGCAACACTGCAGTTTTGTGCGTGTGGATTGTTGCCAGACACTGACGTATTGGTACCTGTGATTGTGGCGACATGTGACGCCTTTCAAGATGTAAATAAGCGTGCCGAAGATATTATCAAACGTCTTCCAAAAATCAATTGGGAATCAGAACCACTCGTCACCAAATTGTACAGTATCTTTACGGGTGACACTACATCGGGTAGGTTAGCCGCATCAAACCAACTCCGTGAAAAGATTCTCATTGTGTTTTGCAAGTCTGTATTGGCTGCCAACAACTTTCCAGCTACTCTTCAAATCATTTTCGAAGCAGTCTATGGTACACAGTCGACTGTCAAGGTCAAGAATGCTGCCATGTCATTTGTACAGTGGGTGTTTCGTCATGCCCAAGACAAGTATATCGAGCAGACTGGCGCCGTCATTCTATCAGGTCTGTTGAAATTGATCGACTCTATGGACGGGTCTTCATCCAAAGAGGAAACCGAGTTGAAAGCATATGCATACACCTCTCTCGGTCTCCTCTGCAAACGTAACAAGAAACTATTCAATTCCGATCTAACCCTAGTCATGAAACTCATGTCAAAAGTTGCCAAAGAAGAATCTATCGTCTCTAGTGCCATTCAAGATTGTCTTGTCATGCTCAGAGAAGCATTCATCGATATCAAAGATGCAGCTCTTGCTGAAAATTTAATTCGTGTCTTGTTAACTTTTATTTATAATGTATGTCAAAAATGATAAAGAGAAAGGATAGTAGAGATAGATATTAATATTTTTATTTTGTTAGGGAGAATATTTAATTAGATTAATTGTATTACAATGGGCACAACATTGCTTTCCATTTAAAAATATTCAATCTAGATATTTTAGTTTGGTGATGGTTGGTGATATTAGACCTGATATTAGAGAGGAAGCACGTAGAGGTTTGGAACCATACAAACATAATGGAAATATGTTACAACCATGCAGTGAAGCAGATGATGAGGAGTACCCCAACTTTGAACATCTACTCGAATACATTGTACAAATGCGAAAGGAGATTATGGCCGACAAGAAAGCTAGTAAATTGCAGGGTGTGGTACAGTTGCTTGGATACACTTCATACTCGTTTGAACACATGTTGATCATGCTCCGAAAATCAATTCAAAAGACTGCTTGGGCAAACAAGACGACCGAACAAAAATACATCAACTCTATTCGTCCCGATCTTATCAGAGAGTATTTAGAGTTGATTGAATGTGCCATCTCGGCAAAGGCAGACGAGGATTTATACAATGTTGGGTGCGTGTCATTGTTGTATTTGTTGAATCTCAAGGAACACGATGACTCGTTTGTCAAGTTGCTCGTCGGCAAGATCGAGCAGATGAACGGATGGACCAAATCAGGTAAATACCAATCCAGAGAGTTGGTAGCCAAGATTATCGCCATTGCAAGCGAGCAGCAACCAGCCAAGGAACGAGACGACATGTTGAATGGATACATTACCAAGGTTAACGGTACCAAGGATGTCGTTGAAATGTACGGTCCTTTAACCAGCCTCTGTCACGTCTATGCCAAGCTGTCACAACTAAAGCTGACCATGTCACCATCTATTCACGAGGGTATTCAGAATACAATCGTCGCCAAAATAGAAGAGTTGTTGCAACACAACAATATATCCATCAAATTGTTGGCAATCAATAGTTTGGCACTCCTAGGAATCTATTCACCACTACCAATTGCATCGGAAGAAACTAAAAAGAAAATGATAAAGACTTTGATGAATATGGTCGATGGCGCATCGACAGAACGATCCATTCAAGAAGCTGCATTGGTTGCTCTTAGTTGGATATCGATTGGTGAAAAGATGACAGGAGACAAACGTCAAGAATTACTCGATTGTCTATTCAAACAAGTCAACAACAAGAATGAAGAATTACAATTCTCGATTGGTGAAGCACTCGGTATTCTAGTCGGTCATCAATTCCTCTCTCCTCTTCCAATCTATCCATTCTCTCCATTCTCTATTGAAGAAATCAACTCTTCATTATCAAAGGAAAAACAATATATTGGTGAACAAGAAAGTTCAAGTCAAAGAATGGTTTTGGATAATATTGATCAAACGACCGACAACTCGTCTGCCGAGGAAGAAGTAACCAAATTATTTAAAAGAATTGTAACATCATACTTTTCTGATAGACAATCACCAATTACAAGATGTTCAGCTGGTATTTGGATGCTTTGTTTATTAAAGAGTTTTGGACGATTAGATTTCATTCAAGGATTGTTGGCTGAGATTCAGAATGGATTCTGTTCATTATTGGCCGACAATAACGAGTTGACACAGGATATTGCTAGTCGTGGTATTACTCTTGTTTACGAGTCTAGTACAGACCCTGCATTCAAAGAGTTCCTCGTGTCAAACCTCGGAAAGACGCTGGCAGGCAAGCCGACTCAAAAGGCACCAGGATCATCCGAGTTGTTGCCAGAGGGGTCGGTCACCAAGACTGGCCAGGTGTCTACATACAAGGAATTGTCAAATCTATCGACCGATCTAGGTAAACCAGATATGATCTACAAGTTTATGAACTTGTCGGCTCATCACCAAATTTGGAACTCTAGAAAGGGTGCTTCGTTTGCCATTGTCTCGTTGGCTGGAAAGGCTCGTGAAGAGATGGCACCACTTATTCCACATCTTGTGCCCAAGATCTACAGATACTTGTATGACCCCAGTCCCAAGATTGCAGCGTCTATGCAGAGTATTATGAGTGCCATTATCGACCAAAAGGATATCTTCCCCAAGTACTTTGTACCAATCATCAAGGAGTTGTTGGCTGGTATGGGTACGAGTGCATGGCGTGTACGTGAGGCATCTTGTGCAGCTGTGCCAGACGCCATCTCGCATGCTTCTATTGAAGACCTCGAACCTTTCATCGAAGAGTTGTTTTACATGAACTTTAGAACACTCGATGATATTAAAGAGACGGTTAGAAAGGCTGCCGAAACATCTGTACGTAGTCTTGGTAGTGTAACGGCTCGTTTTGTCGACCCAGGATCCACAGTCTCTCGTGCCAAGGCACAACACATTCTCGGTGTCGTCATCCCGCTTCTGCTTACCAAGGGTATCACCAACGACTCGGCTGAAGTCAAGCAGTTCTCGTTGCAACTACTACTCAAGATTAGCAATAGTGCCAAAGACCAACTTTCCAAGTATGTCCCCGACATGGTACAAGCGTTACTCGAATCGCTGTCGTCGTTGGAGCCAGCAATGCTAAACTATGCAACAATGCATGCCGAATCGTTGAATCTCAAGCAAGAAGAAATTGAAAACCTTCGTGTCGACATGTCCAAGCGATCAGTCGTCAGCGAAGTACTCGAAGTGTGTTTGAAATATGTTACCCAGGATAATATCAGCCAGGTCATTTCGAATCTACTCCACCTTGTCCAGTTTAGTGTTGGTATAGTGACACGAGTTGGTGTGGCCAAGTTATCGCCAATTTGTTCCAGTCGCGTATCATCCAAATCGAAGTGGAGCCTGCACAAGTACAAAAGCTCATCAAAACCATGTTGCCATCGATCATGGACCGTTCACCAGTGACACGTCGCCAATTCATCCAGACACTATGCATTTGCATCAAAAAGTCAAACAATGCAACCATCAAACAGACCATCCAACACGTTATGGATCTTCCACAACTACAACAAACACAAAACGTCGAGGAGAATACCATCCTCGAAGTGGTCGGTCTCTTTTTCCGTGAACTCTACAAGATTGCATCGTCAGAGATTCAACCATTCAACAAGGATCTAATCCCATTCCTCTACTTTCAAAAGTCACATCCTAAAAAGGAAGTATCGGACCTCTACAAACAGATTTGGGACGATAACTCGATTGGCTCGATCCGACTATACACCGATGAAATTGTAAAGATCATCTCGATCAATCTGACTGGTTCAGCATGGGCATTAAAGCAACAAGCTGCTCTATGTCTGTCAAATTTAACCGAAGATATTAGAAACATGATGGAGAATCATTTACCTGTCGTACTCTCACTCTTGCTTCAAGGATTAAAAGGTAAGACGTATCCAGGTAAAGATTCACTCCTTGGATCAATGTCTACTATTTCATCAGTCTGTGCTAAATCCATTAAAGAACTTGGAAGTGGTGGACAACAAGTAGGTTCATCATCACTACCAGTTCCAAGTGCAAAGGAAATGTTATTGGCAATGTTACAGGAATGTAAAAAGATTGATATGGATTACAAGAGAAAGGCGTTGGTCAACTTGGCATCGATGTTGCGTTCATTTGAAGATATCGATATTTACCAACAGGTCAGAGAAACAGTCTACCAATTAGTATTTGAAAAGGAAAAGAAAGAGAATGCTAGTGCACTAGACGATGAAATGGACTTGGATGATCCCAAACAAAAGGCATTACTTCTATTAGTAAGAACCAATGCATTTGCAGTGATTGGTGAAGCCTATTCATCGGCATCGATCGATACTAAAAAGGCAAATATTGAAATTGGCAATAGATTGATGGAAAAGCTTGTATACCACATTTGGAATGAACAAATCTCTATTCTAACATCAATGAAACTATATGTACATGCTGTATTTACAAACACTGATCTATCCAATCTCATCGATAACAAGGAGCAATGGATGATCAATATTCTAAAACCACTCTTTGAGTGCATTGAAACCTCGAAATATGCAGTTGTCAAACAAAACTCACTCAATCTTATCGAGCAACTACTCATCGATGCCAAACAACATATTTCCAATGGTCAATTACAATCTATTAAAAGTATCCTCCTACAAAACAAAGATAGAGATAATACTCTAACACTTCAATTTGAAAAATTATTAAAACAATTGTAAATATTAAATAAATAAATATATAAATAATTAATTAGATCTCTTGGATTTACAAGTAATTTTTCAAAGTGATCCGAGAAAAATGAGGTAATTAATTAATCATCATCATGAACTAATCTATGCATTGAAGGGGAAAAAAATAATAATAACAAACAAAAATATCCACAAAAGAATGATGTCATAGACTACTGTGATGAAGCACTTATTAATATTCTCTCACACAGAGACCGAGACATTTAACTATTGTAACATTAACCCTTCTTATATATACATATATAAATATAGTTGTAATAACAACAAAGATTAGTATATATCCCTACTTATGGCATCAAGAGCATGTCAATTAACAAAAAGAACTTACCTAAGATCAACTTTGAGATTGGGTAACAAGTGTCTTGCAACTACAACAACCACTACATTTATACCTTCATATTCTAATAGTAGTACTACTACTACTGTACAGTCAAGTCAATATCAACCAACTATCAACAATAAGAGTTATTATTCAACTTCTTCACTTTCAACATTATTATCAATCAAGAAACATGAATCATCAATCTCTAAGAGATTATATAGTAGTAATAATATGAAACCAATTGTAGCAGATAATAACTTTGAAACGGTTGGATATAGTTTATTACCAGTAGTCAATAAACTACAAGAGATTACATCATTAATTGGTACAGAAATCAAACTACCACAGATTGTTGTTGTTGGTTCACAGTCGAGTGGTAAATCATCGGTACTCGAGAATCTAGTTGGTCGTGACTTTCTTCCAAGAGGTTCAGGTCTAGTAACTAGAAGACCACTTGTATTACAACTCAATAGAATTGAACCAGGTCATGCAGGTAAATATAAAGAAAAAGAAAATAGAATCAATAGAATCTATAGAATATAGACTAATTATTATTATTGTTTCTTTTAGAATGGGGAGAATTTGGACATACTGGAGATTCAAAGTTTAACTTTGATGAGATTAAAAAAGAGATAGAGATTGAAACGAATAGAGTTGCAGGAGGCAATAAATCAATTTCAAGTGAACCTATTATACTCAAGATCTATAGTCCCAATGTGATTCCATTGACATTGGTTGATACACCGGGTATTACACGTATTCCAATTGGTGATCAACCAACCAACATTGAAGAAAAGATTCGTGATATGGTCGTAGACTATATATCTAATCCCAACTCGATCATTTTGGCCATTTCAGCAGCCAACCAAGATATTGTGACGAGTGATGCACTCAAACTCGCCAAAGAGGTTGATCCAACTGGCAAGCGAACCATCGGTGTCTTGACCAAGTTGGATCTGATGGACAAGGGCGTTGACGCTATGGATATTCTCATTGGTAGCGTCGTCCCACTCAAGTTGGGATTTGTCGGTATCGTCAATCGAAGTCAACAAGACATTAACATGAAGAAACAGATTGGACAAGCCATCCAAGACGAATCTGCATGGTTTCAGTCACACCCCATCTACAATCGTATTGCCAATCAAAGTGGATCATTGTTTTTGGGTCAACGTTGCAACAAGATTCTCACCAAACATATCAGAGAGTCAATGCCAGGTGTAAAGAATCAAATCCGTGCACTCATCAAGAAATACGAAGAAGAGTTGGAACGTTATGGAGATCCCATCCCAGAGAGAGCAAGTGAAAAGTCTAGACTTTTGATTGACATTCTCAACAAATTTGCCCTCCAATTTAGATCCGATCTCGAAGGTGTCAATGACGAACAACTCACCAATCATGTCAATGGTGGTGCTCGTATTCGTTACATCTTTTCACAAGCCTTTAAAAATGTAAAGGAAAGACCTTTTGAATGGTTAACTGATCAACAATTAAGAGTTGCTCTTAGAAATTCTTCTGTATGTCGAAAAATATAAATATTATAATCAATCTAGAAGAATTAACTTACTCTTATCCTTTTTTATTTAAATTTTTAGGGAATTAGACCAACTATGTTTATTCCACAAAAGACATTTGATTCATTGACTAGAATTCAAATTGATAAATTAAAGGATCCAGCTTTACAATGTGCTGATACAGTATTGGATGAATTGTTGAGAATCTGTACTCAAGTAGATTCACAAGTATTTAATCGTTTCCCATTGTTGAGAGAACGTATTGTCGAAGTTGCAAATAATGTCCTTCGTAAATTACTTTCTCCAACAAACAAAATGATTAGTGATATGGTTGAAGCTGAATGTTCTTATATTAATACAAGTCATCCAGGTAAAAATTAATTTAAACAATCAAAATCATGAATAGAATATATATAGACTAATATTTTATTTTATTTTTCTCTCTAGTTTACATGTCAGAATTAAATAGATTATTACATTCAAATACTCAACCAAATAACAATTATGAAATTGAAATGCAAAAACAACGTGAAAAGGAACAACAATCACAATCACAACAAGGTGGTGGTGGAATATTTGGTATGATATTTGGACGAGGAGGAAAGGAATCACAACAACCACAACAACAACAAAAACAAAACAACAAAACATCTCAATCAAATATCCTCTATGGAATGGATGAAAGTTATACTGATGATGAAAGAAAACAAATTCATTTACTTAGTATGTTTAAAATATTATTTATTATTTTAAATATTATTATTATTCCATATACTAATTTATTTATTTTTTATAGAACGATTATTACATAGCTATTATGATATTGCACAATTTAATGTCCAAGAGAATGTTATTAAAATCATTACTCACTTTTTAGTTGATCGTTCAAAGGACGTTCTTCAAAGAGAATTGGCCACTGTATTATACGATGAAGCTTTGGTTGAACATTTGCTCAGAGAAAATGAAAACGTTGTTGCCAGAAGAAAAGAATGTATCTATAAATTGGAAGTCCTCAAAAAGGCTAAAAAATCATTATCTGTAACAGAAATGAATTCATTTATGAATCTTTAAAACAATAAATAATCAATCAACAATTTAAGTAATCACAACACTTTTTACAATTTTTGAGAGACTTCCAAATCCGCGTAGTGTCTAAAATTTCGAAGCAAAAACTAATTTAACACGAGGAAATTTAACCTATCAAAGTGTTATAGTTTTAAATAAATAAAAATCACAATAAACTAGACAGAGTTAGAAGACCATACATGAAACAACTATTGAAAATGGTTTTATTTTAAATTTTATTATTTTAAAATGGTTGGTCAAGCCCAATCACGCAGGGGATTCCAAGATTACCATACTCCTTGCGGAGATGGATGTAAATAAACTCATTAGCGCCTTCATTGTAGCACTAGGAAATGGATGACCATATTAAAATTTCATTTTTGGAGCAAGTGAAAAAACAATGAAAGAAAGAATGATTCAATTTATATTTGTTTTAATTTATTATCTTTTTTAATAACCCATTCTATCGATACCATTCGTCGAGTTATTTGGTTGATCGTATGGATGAGTTCTCATCATATTGGTATCAATTGGTTGAGTAGGAAGATATTGTGGAGCATAAAGTCCTGGGTAATAATTGGGTTGTGAATTTGTTTGTTGTTGTTGTTGTGCAGGTGGTTGCATTGGTTGAGTATAATTTACAGTTGTTGGGTATGGATAGGTTGGAATGTTGGAAATTGGGATTTGTACCTGTGGCAAGCCAGTAAGACGATCGACTTCCCTTCCTTGAAGTTGTCTAAGAAGCATTGCAAGTTGGAATAAATGTTTGATTCCATAGATTTGAACGTTGATTACAGTTAGACAAATAATAAATATCCACCATGTAAATGATTCGGCTGAAACAATAGTTGCAATAATAAATACAGCTACTGTAATTGCAAATATAACTACAGAATATACTGCATACTAAAATAATTAATAATAGTGGTAAATATCTTATTCTATATTATATTAAAATGCATTCATTTCTATTCTTACATTTAACATTAATAAAACATTCTTTTTAGTAATAGAATAAATTCCAAGAGAGACACTGAATATATGAGCCAACATTGCTACAAATACTAAAGTGAAAAATGAACCATATCCAGAAAACAAAAATAATACTATTCCAACAAGCTAAAAGAATTGAAATAAAAGTTAGAAAATGAATCACCTTTTCAAGAAGTAAATCTAAAAAATGAGACATACCAATTGAATGATACATATTATGTATCCCCAGACTGATGAACAAACAATTGAACTAATTTCTTCTTGTTCAAGGTGAACCCAATATCCTTCACCAATAGGATACATTAACTTGTCTTTATTATTCTCCTTTTCATCATTCATCAAAGGTTGATATTCATGTTGTCCAGGTGCAAAATATGGTACTGAATAAAGAACATTATTCTTTTTGTTGTTTGAAAAATACATATTCTCCATAACTATGATTATTATCTATCTATATTGTTTCTATTAACAATGAATAATATATTCTTTTATATTTAATTAAATTCGAAATTGAATAATTATTATTAATTGAATGAATTTAGTTGTTTTTTTATCTTGTTATTGTTCTTTATGTGAAAAAAAAAAAATTACTATTAGTAAGAGAGGAGATGACTCGTCGTACTATATTATAAAGACTGACTTTAATTTATTGATTAGTATCAACTTACCATATATATCTATTATTTATTTTATTTTTTAAATTTTTTAAATTTCAATTTCGAAATTTGGTATTTAATAATTATTGGTTCTCAAAAGAGAGAGGGAGAAATCTATCTATAATAGTTGGATATTTAATTGTCTTTGTCTTGTTTTCTATCTATCTATCTATCTCTGACGTTTGTTTTTATTCAGTATATTACAAACAAATACAAAATAAAAAATTTAAATTAAATTTTAATCTTCTTTTAAAATATTGGGGAGGGGTGGATCGATAATAAATCAGTCAAAAAAACGAAACAAGTTGACGTTCTATCTATCACCCCCTCCCTCCCTTGATATTATTATTAGTTCAAACACACCACCCCTCACTGAAAAAAAAAAGTTAAAAGTAGAGATAAAAATACTAAATGTTGGTTGGTGGGGGTTGAATTTTATTTGTATGCTGATCAACAAGTTGGATATTAATTTCCCAAAATAAAAATAATTTTATTATTTTTGGTTTGATTTAAAAATGGAACTTCTTCTTTTTAAAAGAATATGGTGATGGATGATTATCATTTTTAACATTTTTTTTTTTATTTATCTGTAATACAAATAACAAAAAAAAAAAAAAAAAAGAGACAGAGAGATAATAACTAATATAAAATGGGATACACACAAGCACTAAGTGTCTACCATTTCATACATCCTATCCTTGTCTCTTGATTCATTTGTTATATTTGTTTGTTTGATTTTTTAGATTGATTGAATAAATTTGTGAAGTTTGGCTCTGTATGCTTCATGACTGGAAATATGAACGGCAGTAGAGTGACGGTTGCTTTCAATGGTCCAGAGTTCCTTTGGTTCCTTGGCAACTCTGAATAGGGTTTCGGATTGGTCGTATGGGACAACTGGATCTTCGGTGGCTGCAATGAAAAGGATTGGCTTTGGACTGATTTGAGCGACGAGATTCTCTGGGGTGTCGTATTGTGAGAGGTTGTCTTCGGATGCGATGATCTTGTCCAATGTGATACGGAGAATGAGGTCGACCAACCATTGGGGTGGATGGGTTGGAAGGAGATGTTGAACGGGTTCGACAACCTTGAAGGTCTTGGCAACACCATCACTGAGATATCTGTAGATGTTGTGCTTCCAGGCCTTCATTGGTGAAGCATAGGCACTCTCGGAAATGACACCATCAATTAAATCACGGTCCTTGGCAGCAGCAATAATAACACTGCCTCCACCCATCGACATACCAGTGAGGATCAATTTCTTGGACTGTTCTGGATAAGTAGACTTGACGTATCGAATAGCCGAACGAACATCCTTGTGTTCTCTAAACGAGTATCCAATACCACGTTCGAGCGAGTCAGACTTGCCCATACCATCACGACAATCAAATACCAATGTCGATAAACCTTCTTCATGGAAATGATTCAATTGTTCAAACCATTCATATCTATCTTTTCCTGATCCATGAACAACAATAATTGAATTACCAAGATCTAAAAGGTAAAATTAAAATGAAAAAGTAAGTAAAAGTAAATGAAAAAAAAAAAAAGACGAGTCGAGAGTAGTCTGGTTCGCGAGCTGCCCATCCCAGAGTATACATATATTATATATGTTTTACATACCATTCTTTGAATCAGCTGGAATCCACCAACCTCTAAGAGTTTGATTAGTGTCGTAAGCTTTCCATTCAACCTCTTGGAATGAAAGACCGTGTTTGGTCATTGGATCACCTGATCCCATCACAATACCTCTCATCCATGGGAAATAGAGGAGTGCCTTGCTGACAAATACAACAAATACACCTGTCAATGACAATGAAATGACAAGCATAACAACCGACAATGTGACTATACATTGTGTCTTTGAGAATGGTTTCTTTTGTTTAATTTGTTCTCCCATTCTTGAAATATAATAATATAATATCTTCTTTGTACAACTTTAACGAATAATAATAATAATAGTATCTATATAATCTCTAATCTAAACTCTTATTTAAATAGATAATGTGAAATGAAACAATCGAACTGCCTAAATTAATTAAATGAATTAATTAATGGGGGAGGAGTGAATGAATTGTTCAACAATGACTATAGATAGTAGAAATCGTATTTTTTGTGTGTGTGTGTTGTTGTTGTTGTAGTGTTGCGTGTATGAAATAATATAAAATAGTTTTAGTGATTAGAGTTTTCACAGTATCATCATTCAAGGTCCCACTCAACTCAAAGTCGAAAGTAAATAAATTTAATGAATTAAAAGAGTGTCAAGAACATTGATGGTGCGATGGGTTTGATGACTTTGGCAAAGCGTAGTGCAAAAAAAATCGACCTCTCATGCGTCTTGCCCAAAATAGTATTCGTTCGTTCTTAGTTGCGAAACGAAAAAATAAATATCTGCAATCAATAAATAGATCTATTTATTTATCTATCTGAAAAAAAAAGATTCAAACAATTTGTTTTATTACAAATAATGTTGTTATTTGTGTCACTTTTATATATTTACAAATAATTTAATTAATCATAGTTTGTTGTAACTTTGATGATTATGTTTAAATTAATTATTATTATTATTATTATTATTATTATTACTATTACTATTATTACGACTAGGGTTATATACTATATATCTCTTTTGTGTGTATCTCTGTGTCTGTCTATTGTCTGTCTATCTATTTTGATTCAGTAGCAGACATTGTTAAAATTGGATTTGATGGGAAAATGATTGTTTCAGTGTTTGAAAATGCTTTGTAGAGTATTTCCAAACTTTTGACTATATTTTTAACCTTTGGGTAGAGTTCCTTTGCAACCGATTGGAGAGGACGTAATTCTTCTACTTCGACTTTTAACAATTCCGCCAACTGCATAAGATCCATATGCTTTTTAGATTCTTCCATTTGTAAATCATCCAAACTTGGTGTAGTATGTTCATAATCTTCTTGGTCGTCATCTTTATTGTCTTCATCATCCTCTTCATCATCATCATCATCACCATAATCATCATCGTCATCTCCACTTGAACGATACATGTTTTGATTTTTGATGGTAGCCAAATCTTCAAGGATTTCGTGAAGTTTATCGAGACGACTATCAAATTCCTCCGAGTATTGTTGGCTGGTTAGCTCAAAGAGCTTCGAGTAGAGAATGTCCATGACGGGAGTCGATAACCCGTCGGCGGCAGAAAAGGGCATGATATGGTCGTTGGTGTGTTTGAGGAGAAGGGGTATGAGTTGAGGGTAGAGTGTTGGAATGGTTCGTATGTACAACTGCGAGTTGCCATAGACATTAAGCGCATGAAACTCCTCTATCAGACGTCTTGTAGTAGGGTCTTGTTGGTGTACGGCCGACGAAATGATAGTACTGCACAACGATCGGTCATATGAGCGATACAAGTCGATTAAAATGGTGAATGCACGTGGGTCGCATACAAATCCATTCTGCGACGACCCCTCGCGGATCAACCCAACAATCGCCTGTGCCAATGCCAATGCAAGATCGCGACCGTGTTCTATACACAATCCGACCAACGATTCTTGTTTCTTGATAGTGTTGATTGGGCTGACGGGTCGTTCTCCCGAACCACCATGCTCGCTAATCTCGGCGTCTGAAGACGGCATGATCACATTATAGTCGAGTGTCTTTTCCGACAAGAGCACAAGCTTGTTGATTGCACACACGTATATGTACCAATGACTGGTAGTGTCGGTAATATCGTCTTGGTCAACCAGGTCGGGTCGAGTATAGCCGCGAATATCGCTCTCGAGATTTTCAAAGTCATACGCTACAAAACTATCCCAATTCTCCAAATAGTCGATTGCCAGTCGCAGGTTGAGACCGACTCCCAGATGCAACACGGTGTCTGTGTTGTTGGACAATGTAGCCTTTTCGATGAGTTTGATGCGTTTGATCATATCGCGTTTTGTAAAGTCCCATGTATTGGACAATACAGGAGGCCTCTTGCTTTTCATGTTACGATTTGCCAAATACCGGTACATCTCCAAACCAATAACAACCAAATGTGATAGTAACAAGAGTGTCTCTACATTGTCTCTGTGGTAGTTGACCGACGTTGGTTTATACTTTGCCAATTCTTTACACAATGTACAAACAATCGTAACCAAAACCTCTTGATCCAAACCCTCTTGATCCAAATCTGATACTTTACTTCTATATACTCTTCTTGCAATATTTCTTAATTGATTATAAATTAATTCTAATCTATTTATAAATTCTATTATATCATTATTATTATTATTATTATTATTATTATTATTATTATTATTATTATTATTATTATTATTATTATTTTGTTGTTGTAATGTATTTGTTGTAGTTGTAGTAGTTGTAGTTGTTGTAGTTGTTGTAGTTGTAGTAGTATTTGATAATGATTGAACAGATTCTAAAATATGATTTAAATCTACTTGTATATTTGGTTGTTGATTAACATTATTTTGATTGTTGTTGTTGTTGTTATTATTAGTAATTAACATTATAAAGTGATAGTTGTGTATATTGTATATATTATATTATATTATTGGTTCGAATGAAAGTTTAATTCTCTCTTTTCTCTTTTTTGAAGGTGAAGTTGATTATTTGCTAACTTTTGGTTAATTGAGGAAGAGAAGGAAGTTGAGTTGACTTTGTGCAATTTATATTCTTATAGAATGTGATTGTTGATGAGAGGTAGTGATAACTATAAGGGAGGGAGAGAGTAACTACGACTAACACAACAATAATATAATAGGAGGGTGAGATCACATGCAACTAAACTGATGAATGAATAATGTCTGTGTGACACTAATTTTATTGGTGTGAAAAAATCGCCTGACCAACTCAGAATTCTATACTTTGAATTTTAATACTGATCGATCGAAAAAATCAGTGAATTGAATCAAAAAAATTGTCACAGAACCAAACTCTAATTAATGAAAATATATTCCTTTACTTTCCATTCATTCAATCAGTATATTATTATACTTTATCATTGAAGGTGGTTAGTGGTTGGTGGTTGATTAACTAATCCCCCACAAGATATAATTTATACCAAATCAACCACCACTGGTGAAGTTGATATTGATGGTGGTATTTGTTGTGTTGGACTAAAGGAAATAAAATATTGTTGTTCAATATATCTGGTCTGGTTGGTTATCTGTCTGTTTTGGTATAGTACTATATTGATTATGGTTGAGAGAGAGAGAGAGAGTTTTTTTATTTTTATAATATGGTTGTTAATCGTTATTTTGAATGGTTTCATCAAATGATTGAGCTAAATGAATTAATGGAATGGAAATATTGAAATTTGATTAATAAACTGATCAGGGAGATTGGTTTTTTTTAAAGAGAGAACTTACCCAAAAAGGAATCATCAGTATACAATTCTGAAAAACCTTCCGATTCAATGACACTATCAAAGTAATAATTAGAGTCTGTGACCGTAGATTGATCAAATAAGCTGTCGGTAAAAGTGTAAGGGTTGACCTGCTTGATTGGGGAATTAAACATGGCTTTACTTGGTGTAAATGGTTGATGTTGATTGTTCATTATATATTTCAATGGTGATTGGAAGTTTGTTGTTGTGGTTGTTGTCGTTGTTGGTTGATTAGTATGATTATGGTTATGATTATGATTATTGGGTGTAGGATTTGTTGAATTAGATTGAGATGTAATATTTAAAGATGTTTGTTGGTGTTGTTGGTGTTGATTAGTAGTCGTAGTAGTGGTAGTATTTGGTGGAGGTGTTGTAGATGATGATGAAGATGAATTACCCTGTTGTTGGTGTTGTTGTTGTTGTTGTTGTTGAATATCAGCAAAAGGTGAATAGGATATAATGGTTGAGGGTGGTTCCCAGTAAGTCGTGTTGTTTGAAAATTGTACATTTGGATTTGGATTAATTGCAGCCGTTGTCTCTGATGACTGTGCACCAATGATATTATTATGATTATGATTATGATTATTTTGATTGGTGTTGTTTTCATGATGATGATGATGATGATGATTACTATTTCGAATAGGAGAGGGTGGTGCAATGGGACCACCATTGGCAGTATTACCAAAATCAATACTATTGTCCATTGCATTGACCACTTGATTCACTTGGTTCATGCTGATACTATTGTTGGTGTTGTTGCTCGTATCTTCATCGGTCATTGATGACCCGTTGGACGAGTCGGCCGGTGGTTGTTGACTCAGCAAAAACACATCGACCGGCATGCCAAGTTCATTGTTTAGATATATCTGGTACCTTCTATTAGGCGGTTCCATTCCTTCGTCTGGATCAGGCACCTCCAACTTTGTTCCAGATGGTGCTTTAATTGCTATCAATGTATCGTTTTTTATACCTTCAATCTCTCTAAGGTCATTATATGTTACAAAAAAAAGTCTAAAAAATAAATAAATAAAAGTAATTAATTCATTATCCAACAACTATTATCATTATTGATTGTATATATTTAATACATACCCACAAGATGTTGCTTCTTGTAATAAATGTTGAATATTCTTTTGGGTATGTCTATAGTGAAGATCAATACTCTCCTCTTTTTCAGTCATTTTCAAAATCTCTGTTCTTAAAACATCACTATGTGCTGCTGATGTTGACGTCGTAGATGTTGTAGAGGTGGTTGATGTTGACCTATTATTATTATTATTATTTTTGTTATTATTATTATTTGAATCTTGTTTTTGTAAATTTGATCTAGTTGTTTGAATTGGGGAATCAACACCTCTCCATTGTACTTGATTCTTTGAACATTTTTCAATCAATCCAACACCTTCCAAAACACAAGTGACATCATAAATTCTACGTTTAGTGATTTCAATCTTTTCAGCTGCCACCTTTAGATCCAATATACAATCTGGTGCTTGTTCAACCAAATCAATAAACTTTCTTGTCAATTGTACAAGTGAATTATCAAATCTATTTGATGGTTTTTCTTTTAAAAATAAAAAGAAAAAAGAAAAAAGAAAGAATATTTTAATAAATCAATCTTATAACCAACTCTATCTAGTTTGTTAGTTTACATACTTCTAACAGATGATGATGAAGATTGTTCATAATTTTCATCTTCAGTATCATCATCTTCATCATTGTCTTGTTGTGATTGTGAAGAGGATGGGGTTGGAGTTGGAGGGGGGGAGGAGCTGCATTTTTCTTTGATGCTCTAGTCTTGGGGGCTGCTGGTGCTGCAGGTTTGGCAACCCGCTTTCTCTTTTTTGGTTTTCCATTCTCTGTCAATTCTTCGTGCCCCGATTCGTCATCGATAGCCGGTCCACTCCCACCATTGAGTTCCTGTGATGAATGTGGGGTTGTTGACATTGACGATGCTCGACTAGATGATCCACTCATCTCTCTGAGCTGTAACAACCCCATTTGTATTTTCTTGTCGGTTCCATTCCCCCCACCACCACCAATACCAATATTGTTGTTTGGGTTTGGTATTGGTGGTGGTCCAGCTGCAGATGCCACCGCTGGCGTAATACTACCGCTTGCTTGACTCCCATTCAACGAGGCCAATGATTGTATTTGGTCCATAATAAAACTGGACCCAGGTTGTAGTACTCGATTTCCATTGGTATTGGCGTGGTTGTTTCCGTTTCCATTACCCGTTCCACCACTAGTCGTTACACCTCCTCCACCTAATATACCATAAATGTCTGTATTATGTTGTTGTTGTTGTTGTTGTTGTTGTTGTTGTTGTTGTTGTTGTTGTTGTTGTTGTTGTTGCTGAGGTGGTAATAATTGGGGAGGTGGCAAGGAGACACCATTGGCACCGCCATTGGTTCCATTAACAAAAGGTAATGGTCTATTATTGTAATATTGCACCTCTTGGTATGGAACTGGTGGTGGTTGTTGTTGTTGCTGCAACTGATGTAATAGTTGTTGTTGCTTGGTTGCACTTCTCGTGATTGGGTGTTGGTGAGGTTGAGTGAATTGTTGTGGAGGATGACCTTGAGGTTGTTGTTGTTGTTGTTGGATCTGTTGTTGTTGGTATTCCATTGGTGTTGGCATCATTTGTTGATTCGGATGATACTCTATTCCATTCTGAATGCCACCGCCATTGGCCGCGACCAAGGTGTTATTTGCAGCAGCAGGTGGCGGTGCAGTTTTCTTTGGTCTTCCTCTTGGAGGCATTTATATATATAGTTGATTTAAACGACAATGACGACGTTGACAATGACGATCGATAAAGTTGGTTTGTTTTGTTTGTATTATTGATCTTGGTTTTTTAATTCGTCATGTTCTATGTATCAGCTGATTGGAATTTTCTTGTTGAATAGATTGATAGATTGATAGATATATGTATATGTCTCTGGATCAATAAATAAATAATAAATAAATAATTGGTTGATTGGTTTGATGATTCTTTCTCTTTCTCTTCTCTATCTATATTTATGAATGGAATGGAATGGAATATATATTAATCATCAAGTTCAAGTTATAATATTAATTAATATAATAAATATATATTTGATTGTATTTATATAATCAACAACCATAGACAGACCACCACTAATAAACAACAATACTACTACTACTACTACTACTGCCACTACTACTATTCCAACACAACATAGTTCCCACCCAAATTTTCAAAAGGTTCTGCTCTGGTTGGTTCTTGTTCCTGAGATATTAAATATTGCTCATCCCATTTATTCCGTCCTATCCCATCCTTGCTTGCTTGCTTGCTTGCTTGTATCAAAGTCATTGTCGAGAAATGAACAACACCAAACAAACAACCCTAACTAGCAACCACTCAAAGTCGAAGGTGCCAACAACAAATTGAAGCAGACAACACCAGCTGCAATGTGTTTGGGGGGGTGTATTGTCTATTCAATTCAATTGACAATAAAAGAACACATTAATCTCTGTCTGCTGATGCAGCTCTTGGATGTAGATTGAACTGAACTAATCGAATTCTATTCTATTACATCATCCTATTTGTTTGAACCAACCAGTTGAGATGGTGGCTGGATTAGGAATAGAGTCTATGATTCTTTCAAAGAGGTAGGTATATAGTGTAGTAGTGAAATGCAGACTTAATCCAAATGGTATAAGATACAATATATTGTGAAAAAAAAATTAGAACTATCCTCTCTATCTTGTCTTCCTCCTCTTCAGTCTTTCTTCCTTCCTGCTCATTTTCTTTTCTATCATATGATGAAAAGAGGAAGACAAAGGATCCTATATCATGTGAACAACAACATGTAGATGTAGTATAGTGAGTGCCGAAACAACAATAATAGTTATTTTTTTCGTTCTGTTGTTTGTTTGCTGTTTGCTGTATGCAGGAAGGAGGGTTGTTGCTCTTGTGAGATGACAATGTTGTGTGTTGCTAGTGCAGAGGTGGGTAGTAGTAGGTATAGTAGTCGGGGACAACAACACAATATATGAGATAGATAAGAGGGATACGTACGTCTAGTAGTCTCTATTTCAACAAACGATACAATAAAAAAAAAAAGGAGGGAAAAAAACTTTTGAACAACCTCTTTCTCCCTCCCCTTTTTCGATAAATATTTTATTCTTTTATTTCCAATTGGCACGTGTACCCATTCCATCAATTGGATGAATGAATGAATGAATGAATGAATGAATGGAAGGATACCTTTCCCAAAAGTAGTAAGATTAGATTAATATTTAGATAAATCAATCTATTAATTATCATCTGATAATTTGGGTTGATAATAATTTGATTATTATTAATATTGTATGATATATATATATCATATTTATTTGGACTTTTTTAGTAGAGTTGGAGTTGGAGTTGGAGTTGGAGAGGAGAGGAGAGGATTTTGATGTGTGTTTTATTAGATTTTAAATCACTACCTGGGATTATTATCTAATTGTTTGACTGCAGAATGTACGATGGTATCGAATTTATCTACACATTCTCGGATGAGTTTGATTTTTAGTTGAAGTTGGACCAATATCTTGGTTTGGTCATTTAATTCTGTACATTTGTTGATTAGACCATTGACACTATTGATACTGTCATGTACCGATAGACATGTCATTTCATTTGACATTTTGAATGTATTAAATAATTCTACTGACATTCTTGACATCTAAATAAACAAAAAGAATAATATTAATATTAATAAGGATCCAGGTTCCAATTTGATTTGATTTGATTTTAATCATGTGTATTACCAATAATAAACTATAATTTAAATTTCTTGTAAGAGATACAACTGATTCTGCACATCTAATGGCATCTGTTTCAATTGATTTCAAAGTTGCAAATCCAACATTTGATAAATATGGAATATCTTGATGTTCAAAATACAATATATGTGATGGATCATTAATATTTGATGGTTGTTGAGATTGTTGTTGTTGTTGATTTCTTTTTTCAATCTCTTTTTCATCATCTTGTAATCTTTGTTTTTCTTTTAATTGTTCTTTTTCTTGTTCTTCTTTTTCTTCTTGTTCTTTTAAATCAGATGATGATGGATCCTTTTGTTGTTGTTGTTGATGTTTTAATGATACAATTGGAATTGATTTAAATTCAGTTGAAGGAGATGTTGGTAAAGATGATGATGATAGGGAGGGAGATGATTTTTGTGGAGTTGAAAGTTGTTCATGGTGTTGTTGTAGACTTGACAATGACACTGGAGAAGATAGAAAATTGGGGGATGATGTAAATGGTGATTGAGAGGGAGACACTACTGCAGACGATGAGTTACTGCCAGAGAGCGATGACGGAGACGACAAGATATTGTTGACGTCCGAGATAAGGTTTTGATACTGATCATGATATTTTTTCATCTGTTCTGCCAACATGTCTTTCTTTCTCTGATTCCTTTGGTGTTGTCGTTGTTGACGAGCCAATAACTCTTCCTCTGTCATTTCCTGTTCCAATAAACTGCCATATTCATCTTGGTTGGTACCGCCATTTGCTTGGTCTTGTCCATTGGCTGAATCTAGTGTAGGCGATGAATACTTTTTGTGATAGTGACCCATCATCTCTGCCAATCTATCCTCCCTCTCTTTTTGTTTCTTGTCTTTAACCTTTTTAAGTGTCTTGTCAATATCGATAAATGAGTTGTTGTCTCCTCCTCCACCACCACTTGTCCCTACCTGTTGTTGTTGTTGAACATCAGTAATAGTAGTAGTACCATCTGAACCACCCTGTTGTTGATCATTTGGTGTTGCAGTGTATGTAGTCGTTGTTGGTTTAGATTCATCTTTGTTGATTGACATTGTCGTCGTAGTCGTCGTCGATGTAGTTGTAGTTGATGTTGTCGATGATGCTATCTCCTCATCATCCTCATTCTTTTTAATATCTTGATTGGTATCTTCTATCTGTTGGTGTTGTTGTTGATTGTCTTGACTATTTGTATTCATTCATAAATCTCTATATATATCTATCAATGAATCTCCTGAATTGTCTCTCGAATGATGATAACTAACAAACAAACAAACTCACTTTGAAATAATGTCTCCTACACAACCAATTAAAATTTTTAATCAACCATCAGCTGCAACAACAAGCAAAAGTTTCGGAGTTTTCTAAAACCCCGGCAAACCCGGGAATTAATCCATCAATATATTAAGTATTATACTTATTTATTAATATATTTTATAATATATTTTATAATATATGTCTATAGTATGGAGGTATAGTATCGATACATATTAAAATAAATATCATCTATGAAATGGTAATTACGAAGGAATAAATAGAATAAACCTCCATAAAGGGCACCACCAAGATGAGCAGAATGACCAACTTTATAAGTACGTTGATCCCTGTTGTATTCCTTGTAGGCTTCATATGCCAAATACCCAGCAACATATAACCATGCAGATACAGGGACTATACCAAGGAATATAATCGTACCCTTTGGCCATAGAGTAGCAAATGCTACAATCATACCACTAATAGCACCGGATGCACCTAGTCCATAGGCTATATTACGACGCCATCTATCCCTTTGCACTGCTATTTTCTCTAATACAAGATAGACAAGACTTGAAAATACAGCTGCTCCAAAATACAATGACACAAATAATGGTGTTCCAAGAGCATTTATCATTAGTGGTCCAAAAGCATTCAAAGAATACATATTAGACTTTGAAAGAGAGAGAGTATAAATAAGTATATAGTATCGATGGAAGTATCTCCTTCAATTTTAAACATACGCATAAATGACCCAAATCCTTGTGAGAGAACGCAGCAGTAAGCAATGTATATGGTCTTTCTTCTAAGTTTCTAGGCGATAGAGTAAAGTTTTCGAGCATTTCAGTGGTACCGCTCTTCGATTGTCCTTTGACATTCCATAAAAGGAATACACCAACATTCACTGCAATGATGGCATACACTAATCCTGCTCCACTACTTGATCGGTATTGTCCACTATATCCACCACTATTGCCACTTTAAAGAGTCTACGTTTTTGTAGTGATGTTGATGATTGTGATGAAGATGAAGATAATAATGAGGAGATTGAAGTAGATGAAGAAGAGGAAGATAAAAGAGTTGATTTATTCAAACCTGAAAAGATTAGTCGTTTATCCTTTCTCGTTAACCATGATGTTGTTGGTGTTGATGATGATGGCAATTGATGACTATTATAAACACTATTACTATTATAAAGGTTATGGTTCCCAACAACATCAACAACATTAACACCTTGTTGCTTAACAATTGGGTTTGAAATGATCGATGAGATTGGTTTGAAACCAACAAATTTGTTAAGAGTATTCATATTAATACTACTCTTTACTATTCTGAATACATTCATCCTCTCTCTCTCTCTCTCTCTCTCTCTAATTTAAATCGATCGATATGATATACACTGCATAATCATTCTTCTTTGTGTATTTTGTTGTTGTTTTGTACAACAATGAGGATTTGAACTGAAACCTCATAAATTTTTGGCTTAACTTCAAAGCACAATAACAATTTCATCTCCCTTATTATTGATGCATTTATTGAAGGCATGGTTGATATGGCATGTGCACATCTATCTGCATTGGAAACTAAAAGGATGGGACAGTCCAATATTAGACATTATTTTAAAATAAGAGTTTATTAAAAGTATAATCAACCAATCTATTATATATTAATTTATTTGATAATATAGATTGGTATATACCTATATAATATTATATAGGATAGTATCTATTATATTATAATAATTTTTTACGAAGGAATAAATAGAATAAACCTCCATAAAGGGCACCACCAAGATGAGCAGAATGAGCGACTTTGGAGGTATGTTGATTTTTATAGTATTCCTTGTAGGCGTCATAAGCCAAATACCCTCCAACAAGTAACCATGCTGGTGCAGGGACTATACCATAGATCATAAATGTAGCCTTTGGCCATAGGGCTGCAAATGTTACCATGACACCACTAATAGCACCAGATGCACCTAATCCATAGGTTGGACGATGCCATCTATCCTTTTCCATTGCTCTTTTCTCCAAACCAACATAGACAAGACTTGAAAATGCAGCTGCTCCAAAATACAATGATACAAACAATGGTGTTCCAATAGCCATTATCATTTGTGGTCCAATAAAATATAATGATAACATATTTACCTAAACCAAAAAAAGTAATATGAGTAAGTACAAGTCAAGTCAAGGTGTATATAGGTGATTATTTAAGTTTGACATACGAATAAATGACCCAAATCCTTATGAGAAAATGCAGCAGTCAGTAATGTATATGGTCTTTCTTCAAAGTTTCTAGGTGATAGAGTAAACTTTTGGTACATTTCAGTGATACCGCTCCTAGATTGTTCATTGAGACCCCATAAAAGGAATACACCAACATTGACTGCCATGATGACATACACTAGTCCTGCTCCACTACTTGAGCTGTATTGACTGTATCCACTATTACCGCTACCACCACTTTGATTAAAGAATCTACGTTTTTGTATTGATGTTGTTGATGATTGTGATGAAGAAGATAATAATGATGAGATTGAAGTATATGAAGAAGAGGTAGATAATGTCGTTGTAGTTGATGATTTATTTAAACCCGAAAAGATTAGTCGTTTATCCTTTCTCGTTAGTCGATTGTACCATGATGTTGTTGGTGTTGATGTTGATGTTGATGGCAATTGATGACTATAAACACTATTACTATTATAAAGGTTATGGCTACCAAACTGAGACTGCTGCTGCTTAGCACTGATCGATGAGATGATTGGTTTGAAATCCAATTTGTTGAGAGTAGTATTCATATTGATACTACTCTTTACTATTCTGCTGAATACATTATTCATTCTGAATGTAATATGTTGAAATAAATAATCAATGATTCAACTCATTCTACTCTGTGTTAGTTTTGATCAATGACTGGAATGAAACATCACCATTTTTCATCTTTGCGTGAGTTCATGTAATAATAAAGATAATAATAATAAAGAAGAATAAATTCTATAAGTAAATCTATTTATTTATTAATTATTTATTTATTATTTAACATTATTTCTTTTGAAAATGTTTATAATAACAACCAACACAAACATCATAGTTGTTTGGAGAATGATAAAAGGTGATTTCAGTGGCACCGTATCTAGAACGACATACATCACAAATCCATTCACTGTGTTCATAGACTTCGAATGGACTGTTGACCTTGTGTAGTGGTTGTCCGTGTGATGGAACATTGATGGTGACTGGAAGATCCTTGGTAGCATTGTAGGTCGAAATGGTTGGAGCAGTGGTAGTGACAGTATTGGCTGTCGACGATGATGGTGCTCTGAAAAAATTGCCAAATAGGCTTGTGGTTGGAGCAGTGGTAGGAGCTGGCTTTGGTGGTGGTGGTGGTGCAACAACAGCTGGTTGTTTGGTAGCAAACATTGAAGTGAATAATCCTGTCTTGTTATTGTTATTGATTGGTTCCTTGTTATAACATTTGCTACAAATATCAAAATTGGCTAAGATTAATTAATTAATTAATTAGTAATTTGCTCGGTCATCTGTAATATATTATTATATTATACATACCACATATAGTACAATGATAAACGACACCCTTTACGTTTGACAAACATTTATCACATCTGGCTTCTGGTCCACCATATAAATCAACACAGGCCATTGCGTACAATGGGTGTGCATGAAGTGATGGAATGTTGTGTGGTTCCAATGGAAGCATAATTGGATTGGTCTTTGTACCACTCTTTTCGATACATGAACGACATAGATCGAAATTACCACATGAAGAACAATGGAATTGTTCACTAGTTCCGTAACCCTTTGAACAATAATCACAAAGCCATGTTGGAACACCCTTGTTTGATTGATAAATGTCCAATGGATTGACTTTGGTCAATACGTGAGGGTGTGGACGAGCAGCTCCCAGATTGGCAACAGGTTGTTGTGGCTGTGGCAATCTAACGTTGGGTGGGGAGATGGGAGGAGTACCCAATATTTGAGAAACACCTTGATTCAACTTGGCAATGGTATCCTTGGCAGTATTCAATTCTCTTTGAATCGAGTTGTTTAAAGAATTGAATGGATTGATTATATTGTTGTTGTTTTGTTGTTGGTTAGTAGTAGTAAATGGAGATTGGGATGAAGTGGAAGGTATATTATTTTGATGAATAGTAAAACTATTACCATTAATAGTTTGTTGTTGTGGAACCATAAATTGAGTTCGGACGACTGTTGGATTATTATTAATATGAGTATTCTTTAATAAATCACTAATATCAACAACATCTTTGTTACTACTACTATTATTATTATTTGTTGTTGTTGTTGTTGGAATAGTGAGTGGTGGTGGTGGAGCAAAGACTGATGGTTGTTGTTGTTGTTGTTGGCTGACTACTGGTGGTGTTGTACTCGTAGTACTGCTGCTACTATTGTCAACAGTTGACTTTCTATCTATAATTGGTGTAGTTGGTTTGGAAGATGAAATGACAGAGGAATCATTTCCAATTTGTGATTTATTCAGCTTGATGAGTAGCTTGGTGAGAGTAGGGTCGTATCGGAGGTCTTTGGCTGAACACACCTCTCTACACATCGGACAGTTCTTGCCCTTTTGCTCGAGCCATCCAATCACACACGACTTGTGAAAGCAATGAGAACAAGGCAAACGATGAGGTTTAGTATCGATATCATCCTCTACCACTTCAAACACCTGCATACATATACAGCATGACAAATCATCATCGTCATCATCCATCTTTTTGTTTAAAAAGAAGAAGAAGAAGAGATGCTATGTATGAATGTGTGAGAGTGAGTTATAACTCTATAAATATATATAAATATATATAAATATTATCTAATATTTGTTGTGTAACTTGAATAAATGATTGTCGAATTTTCTACTCTCTGCGACAACCTCACAGTATTGAAGTTTTGAACCCAAAATTCAAGGTTTGAATAAAATAAAACTTTTTTTTAATTTATTTGGAAATAACAAATTGAGCTCAATAATATACCCTTCATGAACATTCATATTATAATCAATAGTTTATACATTTCGTTCTTTTATATTACTACATATGTGATTATACAAACAACAAATAGAGAAAGATGAATAAAAGAAAGAATAGAGAGACCGATGAAAGGTTAATATCATTTGGTATTGGAGATGATTCATCGTCGTCATCATCAATGTTAGAGTCATTAAAGAATGAGACTATTGATACATCATTAGAAGACTTTAAACAACTACTTGATCTAACATACAATGTAACAAAGGAATGCGAAAAGAGTATGATGAATGAATGAACTTGCAAACTTAACCATGTATTAGTTATTTGATCAAAACTAACAATCAATCAATCAATCAACCAACTTGTCTTTACATTTGTATAGGGAGACCAATCAATAATTGTAAAGATAATCCAAACTGTTTCCATCATTTGGGTGGATTAAAGTTACTTGGTTGTGGTGAAGATGATATTGACTTGTTTGGTGAAAAGACAGAGGAAGAGGAGAAAACCTATGTTCAAACTAGCATTTTAAAACTACCCAAAGTCGATGTGATTAGACATACAAAAAGACCAACCCTCAATACTCCTTGTGGTATTCGAAACCTTGGAGCTACTTGTTATATGAATAGTGTCATTCAAACTTTATTCATGAACTCTCAATTTAAAAGTCATTTATTTAATATTGTAAATATTCAAAATCAACAAGTAAAAGACTTTGAAAAAGATGTAAAAGATGAAAAGGATTGTAATAATAATAATGGTGATAATAGTAACAATAACAATAATAATAGTAATGATATTAGTAATAATAATGATTTGACATCTACAACCTCGACGACAGAAATTGTACCTATAAATGATGAAGATAATTCAGCTACTTCAACAGTTAATAATTCACCATCAAACTGTACAGTTGTAAAGGATCTTAAAGATTGCGATATGATAGAGATCAAATCATCACCATTCCAAAAAGATGTAGTATTTCAATTGGCATATTTATTCTATCAATTACAATCAAGTCAAAAAAGTACAATTGATCCAACTCCTCTTGTAAATTGTCTTCAACTTCCAAGTGATTTACAACAAGATACTCAAGAGTATGTAATGAATTTGAATCAAATTCATCAATATTTATTAATATATATATTTTTTTTGTTTAGATTTTATAATTTATTTATTGGTCTTTTAGAATCAAAATTTAAAGATGATATTATTTCAAAATTATTTAAAGGATCTTACGATTATGTTACAGAATGTTTATATTGTAAAAAGCGCAGTTTAAATAATAGTTCATTTTTTGAAATCACTTTAAAAACAAATGTAATTATAAATAATATATATATATAAATATATACAAGTATTAATTGATTTTTTATTTATTTTTAAGGGATGTAAAAATTTTAATGAATCATTTACAGATTATTTGGCAAAAGAGAAATTAATTGGACAGAATCAAATTACATGTAATGAATGTCAAACGAAAAGAGATTGTCAAAGATCAATTGAATTTAAAAAGTTTCCAACTCATCTCAACATTCAATTGATGAGATATGAATTTGACAAGGATACATTCCAGAAAAAGAAATTACACGGCAATTACACCTTTCCTTTGGAAATTGACTTGTCTCAATATTTTAACAACAACAACAACAAGGAAAAGTCCTCCACCGCTATGGATTTGGATCATGAATATGAATTAACTGCTATCATGATGCATAAAGGTTTATCAATTTCAAGTGGTCATTATATTACTCATGTTAAAAATGATTTGTGAGAGAACCAAAAAAAAAGAAAAAAAAAGAAAAAAAAAAAGAAATATTTATTTAATTTATTTTTTTCTTTTTCTTTTTTTTTAGAACTGGAGAATGGTGGGAATTTGATGATGAAGATGTAAAGAAATTATCTGTAGAAAAGATTGGTAAAGATAGTTTAGGAGAAAAGAGAAAACCAAAAGAGATTAGAGAAGGATTGGTGTCATCAACCAGTTCCTATTCAATTATTTATTCAAAAAAGAATCGAGACAAGGTTGCTATACCAAAGATTGAAAATTCACATCTCAAACAATTGTTTGAAGACAATGAAAAGAGATTCGATCAAGTTTCTACTCGTTTCACAGGCATTATAGATGATGCCACAAAGATATTTAACCAAAGAAAGGAAGATATCAATGCGATTCACAACAAACTCGAGGTGCAAGAAGGAGAAAAGTATTATTGGATCGATACAGATTGGCTTTCAGATTGGATAAAGGGTCAAAGTGTTGCACCGATTGACAATTCTAAATTATTGTGTCAGCATGGACAATTGGCACCAAACAAGGTAGAGACGATGAAAAGAATTTCTCAAGTTACATGGGACTTTTTATATGCAGCTCATCAAGGTGGTCCTGTCCTCGATCAAGATGCACATTGTCAAAAATGTCTCTACCAGATTATTAGTGGTAAAAAGGATCATCACAATGCAGAATCTTCAAAAGATCAAATTATAAAATCAGAGAATCAAGAAAAGAATCGTCAAGAAGGTTACTATATCTCCAAGCATTGGTACAAAGAATGGTCAAAAAAGGTTGTCAAGCAAATTGTCAAAGACTCAACTCCAGTTGAAGATATTATATGTGATCATGGAGGTTTATCAATCGTCAAAGAAGACATGATGATTGTCAAAACTGAAACTTGGAGTTTTATTCAAACTCATTTTGCTCCAAAAGCAGAATCTATTGCTTCCTCTACGACTCCATGTCAAACTTGTTTAAAATTGGATAAAGAATCAACTGATCAAACAAATTCAATTAAAAAAGAAAGATCTAAATTGTAATTATATATAATTATAAATTATATTATATATATTTGTTCTAATTAATTTTCTATTTTTTTAGGAAAACATTAATAACATTAATTAAATCACAAAAATATAATTTTAATTTAAAGAATGGATCATTTTATTTTGTACCAAAGGAATGGATAAATAGATGGTACAAGTTTATCTATTCAGACAAATCAAAAGATGAAAATGATGTAACACCTCCTGGATCATTAAGCTTTGATAGTTTAATATGTCCACATAATGGTTTGGTTTATGATTTTGAAATTGGTAATTTTGTAAACACATTTGATCTCAAAGACATGTCTGTTCCATTTTTGGTTGTGCCACAAACCATTTACAACTTGATTCTAGAGGCTTATCAAGTGCTAACCGTATCCATTCATTTGGATGATGGTGAACTCTCATTTGAACCATGTCAACAATGTCATATTGCCAAGAATCAACAATTGGAATTTGATAAAACAAATTTCAAGGATCAATCAATCTATATTCATATAATCTCTTCAGATGATAATGAAAAAGATTCAAAATATTATATTTTCCCAACAAAAACTAGAAGATGTAAGAAAACTAAAAAAACAAAAAGTAATAATCATTTATATTTATTTTTAATTATTTATTTTAGTATATAAAAGAATTCAAATTTGGCCAGTTAATCATGATTATACAGTTGGAAATTTAAAGTTATTGATATGTACAGAAACTGAAATACCTACATTCCAACAAAAACTTTATATCAATGAAGGTGTTATGATGAAAGATGCCAAAACTCTTGATCAGTATAAAGTAGTACCAGATCAAATCATAGTTTTAAAGGAATATCAAGAATTGGATGGATTTTTTGATGATGGAGTGTCAGAAGCTGGTTTTAAAGGAACTATTTTAAATCAATAACAAAAAAAAAAGAAATGTAATCAATGGTTTGGATGGTAACAAATAAATTATTTACAATTTGTATATTTGGTTTGTTTATTATATAAATATATATATTTTAATATTTTAATTAAATAATACTATTAATAATATTGAAATGGTTAATGATATATAGGTTGAAGGAGAGAGTATATGTGCCCAAGATAGACAAGTGAATGATGAATCATTACAATCGGATAAATAATCATCATATTGGCTACTACATTTAACAGAACGACAAGATTGGTAATTGAGTGCATTATCGACCAGTGGACATTGATTCTTCCACATACATGCAAAATAGGCAAGGGTTGATGTTTGACATGTATCTGAAATGACAGCAATTCGTTGACAACTACCCATAGTGTCTCCTTTGGATTCGCACATACATCCTTCTACATATCCATCTCCTCCAAAACATGTACTTGATGAATTACAACTAACAGCTGAATCAGAATCCGGTTCAGTATAATTTACACAAAATCCTCCTTTACACTAAATTAAATAGTAAATATTAATTAATATTTTATCCTTGCTTTTGTTTGTTTTTTTTTTTTTTTAATACATACACCTAAACCATCACCGATTTTACATGCTTGAGGATGAGTACATGGAGAACCAATTCCAACAGAATACATTCCAATACAGGTATTATCTCCACAAACTTGACCAGGTTGACATCCATTGTCTGATGTGCAATTGCCCCCCTTGGCTGATTTCTCTGTGCAAATACCAAGATCACAAAATTGATTGTATTGACATTGCAAATCTGTAGTACAAGTGGTATTGAATAACTCACAGAATCCAGTTGCAACTGAACAAATTAAACCTCTTGCACAATCATCTGTTTTTCTACAAATCTCTCCTGCTCTAAAAAATTTAAAAAGAATATTATAAATTAGAATAATTGGTCAAGTATAATGTAGTTATTTTATATTTCTAGTTACCCTTTAAAGTAAGTACTGACACACATTTGATCAGTATAATCTCCGGTACTTGAATAGCATACTAGACCATCTTCACATTGGGCATCTGAAAAACACACAGAAGTCTCTGGGAATTTTGATTCGCAAATTGGCATTGCATAACCATAGTTGCAGTATAATCCATCTGTACACTTTTGACCTGGCGTACCACATGATTGTTGGTCTCCTCTACATTGAACAAGACTACAATCACCCAATGCACCTGAAATATTAAAAGTTACTATTAAATATATAGATATGACTATTATTGATATAGTTGATTTCATATTTTTGATAGGAAATAGGAAATATATATAAATATATTAGAAAAAAAAATAGATTATAAATAAATTTAAAAAAAACAACCAGACTTGTTCTTTTATTTATTGATAGGTAGGAGGTGAACACCAACCAAACAGCAATATGGTTATATATAATTTAGTGGTGCTGATGATGTGATTGATGGATGTGCAATTTTATTCTGTTTATATTAAAATATTTTATAAATCAATCAACCTCCATTTAACCATGGGAGTCACTCAATCACACTTCATTGTGTCACCACTACTACACCCCAATTGTTTTTAGTTCGTTGGAACACCCCCTCTCTTGACCAATTCACACCCCCCTATTATATTTTTTTTAAATCAATGGTTAACATACCACAAAAAAAAAAGTTTATCCATCACCACAGTTCTAAAAGACTGATCGGTTAACATTGTACCAAGGTGTCAAAATCTTTTTCTTGTTTTTTTTTTTTTTCATTTTGATTTGATTTTTGAAAATTATTGAAATATTGAAAAATTTTGGACCTGAAAAGGTTTTGGAGGGCTCCTACTCCAAAGTAACGTCCCTTAGATCCTTTAGATTCATTTCGACAATTGATTTTTTTTCAAAAAGACAGTTAGTTGGTGGAACAAAAAATCAATTTATATATTTGTAAAAAACCTTTGACCATTGTTTAGTTTCGAAACTCTTCTCCCTTTAACTACTATCCATCCAACCAACAAAACCAATACTATTATTATTATCTGTATCATTTTTTTTGTAATAACAAATAATTTATATTTTGTACTCTTTTTTTTTTAAAAGTTAAATCATGGTCAAAATAGTAGATGGATCAATTGTTAGGGAAGACAAGGATGAGAAACCATCCAACATCTCACTCTCTTCAAGTTGTCCTTCAGTAAATAATTTTTATAGTAACCATTTAAACAAAAGTTCATCTAGTATCAATTCCAACAACAACAACAACAACAATAATAATAATAATAATTCAAGTTCAAATATTTCACAAATTTTAACATCTCAACAACTACAACAACAACAAGAATATAGCTCAACCTCATCCAGTTCTAGTTTAGAATCAAACACTTCCACTACTACTACTAAGCAAACATCGGCAACTTTAAATTTTTTCTCACAATTGGTAGATAGCATGAACTTGACCATCCCAGTATTTGGATGTCAATTAAAGCTCAACTACTTTTCAGGCTTTTGTATTTTCAGCGGCATGGTATTTGGTGCTCACGGTTTACTTTGTTTACTACTCACCATCTACTTGGGAACTTTATTCAACACAAATAATACATCTTTATGTCAATGTCAAAATTGTCACCAAGTATCGTCACCCCAAACAAACAACAACGTTGTTGAACAACCACAACAAACACAAACCATTTCAAACAATTCCCCACCAAGCCCAATTTTCAAAGTGAACGGAATGAACGATATTTTAAAGTCTACCGATGATCAAGATGAAGAAGATTGTACAGACAACTCGAGTTCTTCCTCGTCTCCTAGTAAAGGTTATCATTTGTTCAACTCTCCAACTTTAAGAAATTCTGCAAATTCCATTAATGTTTTTGTAAGTACAAAAAACAAACAAGAATAATGGAAAATTTGAATCTCTTAAATTAACAATTATTATTATTTTCAATTTCTATCTCGATTTACTTTAGTCACCAAACTCGGGTAGAAGATTAGGATCATCAATTGATAATTCAAAATCCTTATAATAATAATATTAGAAAATAAAAAATAAAACGATCGATTGATTTATTTTTTAAATTGTATATATGTATTTAATTTATTTGTTTTGAGTTTTAGATTAATCGAATAAATTTTCATTATCAGCATTATTAGTTACTTCTTCACTATCTTGATTGGTTGATGATTTTTGATCAAATTGAGTCCAATTTTGGAAATGTGAAGGTCTATGTAGTTCATCGTAAAAGTTCTTTGGATAATCCAATTTGAGACCGTATGTCATATTGGCAGAATGTTTGACACCCATAAAGTTATAATTCCAACTACCACGATCGGGCACCATGTAGAAACCGAGGAATCTATCAGAGAGTAGAGTTTGAACCTTTTCATAGTGAGAAGGTTGGAATCCTGAAAAGTTTTGAGAGTCCTTGTTGGCACGAGCCCATTCGTAACCAGATGGAGTGAGACGGTAGGGCGTAAGAGTACATGGCCACGAGACAGAGACGGCGGCGATAATAGTCTTTTCGGCATCCCACGATTTGTTGTCGGCGAGTAGCTTGCCGTGCATGATGGCGTCTTGAGGTGACAGTTGTGGGAGTTCAGTGGGTTGGGTATGGATCCAACCGAGTGGTTCGAGGTCCTTGAGATGGTCGTGTTCAGGGAGTTGGTTGGGAACATTGACAAAGACGGGTGTACCCCATTGTGGCACCATGACAATACATCTAATCTCCTTGACTTGAGGATTGTCGGGTGGCGACACACCATACATGTAGCCCATGATTTGAGTACGAAGATCACCAATTGTAATAAACTTTTTGAGGATGTTTTTGGGAATGACATAGGTGATGGATGATTCCTTGGCAGTATCACAGTTGACGTAGATCTGGTTGGTACGGAGATGCAAGTTGGTGGCTGAAATGGCACGTACACGCCAGTCAGTCTTGGAAGAGAACACCTTTTGCTCGTGTGGCGAGGTGGTGGTCGAGATCATCTCCTCACCGTGCACGTTGGTGGTACGCACAGTCATTTGGGTCATTTGTGACGACTCTTTCTTTTGCTTTTCAATCTCGGCAATTTGGTCTTCTCTTTGTTGGGATGGGGCGGCAATCTCCATACCGAGGATGATATCTCTGATCTCACTCTGTGTCAACGATGCGACATTGACATTATTCTTTTTACCAAAATCGGCCAAGATGAGGTCCTTTAGCGCCACTTCGACCTTGATCCACTCTTGATCGGTAAGAGTTGGCCAGATGTGGTGTGGTTGGGTGATGGTGTTCTTGTCGGGCTTGAGGATGATCTTGGCACGCTCATTGTTGACGTGCAATGCACGCAGGATGAGGATGAGACGTGAGAAGGCCGTGTACGATGGGATCGAGTTGAGCCAATCGTCGTAGATGTTGAACAACACCATCTTGGGCTCGGTCGCCTTGAGGATAAGATCACCAAACTTTTCAATCTTGAGACAGGCTTGGAAGGGGAGTTGCAACTCACTGCCTTGGATGACAATGTTGGGGAAATCCAAAAGATGCACTTCGAGTGGATCGAGCATACCCTTTCTTGTAACGACGATTTGCTTGGGCTGTTCTTCAACAGGCAACGAACGAATGAGAGCGGCAACTTCTTCGGCTGTCTTCCATTTGGCAAGTTGGCCGAGACGCTTTTGACCGAGCCATACGTCAGTGTGAATGATCTTGAGGAACAACTGACCGGTTCTAGGGTTAAAGATAAAGATGGCACCATTGATTGGTTTGGTTGTCAAATTACCTTCGAATGTCTTGTGAATAGTGACACGGTAGACATTGGTATCGTCGACAAACCAGATAATCTTGTTACTAAACAACTCTCCATAGTTTTGTGAAGAGAGGTATGGTTCGGTTGGTTCAGACGAGTAGAGTTGCAAACCCTTACGGATACGCTCACGCAACACATAGAGTGCTGGATTGGACTTCATGATCTTGTCCATTGCCTTTTGAACGAGTGGCTTGACACCTGGGAACCAGTTACCAAAGGAACTGTAAATATTGTATGCCAAGTCAATACCAACTAGACAACCAGTTGGTGATGGGTAGTATGACATACTGTCGGTGGTATAGTCGAGGAACTTGGCACGACTGTAACGTTCAATGTCGTGACTGTCAAAGTCACCCCATTTGAGCTGTACGTCCAACCAGTACTGTGTGGTGCTGCCATCATACGTATCACGTGTGTCTTGTAGAACGGATGGACGTGACACTTGCCACTTGTGAGCAGCACGCAACAAAATATCTGCGCACGAGCTGTTCATCTTGTACGACTTTCTTGGATGGATTGCTTCCTTGTTGACGACTGCAATCTCCAAGTTGTCCAACTCTTGATCAAACACCTGACAAAGATCCATAACAACAGACTCGTGAATCTTTTGCCACAAATGAGCACGGAAGATTTGGATGAGCGAAATCTTGAGAGTGGGGATCTTACCATGCATAAAAATACCTGTCAAATCCAATTGCACCTGGAAACCAACATAGACGTTCTTTCTGTTGATGGTTGGTGACCACCAAAGTGTAAAACGACGATTGGGAATTTGATTCAAACCAGAACGCTGAGCATGTGTCAATTTTTTAAACTTCATCGACTCTTCAAAACCCGATGCCTTTTCCCAAAAGAGACCTTCCCAAGTGGGGAAGTAAGTGCCCTTGAAGAGGGTGTGTTCGAGGATACCCTCTACACCACCAAGTGCTTGGATGATATCGGTACGGTAGTTGTTGAGGTTCCAAAGTTTACCATCGTGACGTTGGTTGGTCCACCAGAACGGGTTGCTCTTGAGAACCTGGAACTGCTTCCAATCGGTTCTAACACGCCATCCCTTGTCATAGGCAAGAGTATGACGATTCTTTTGGAAGAGTGTCGAGATACGTGGAATACCACGGTCCCATGAATCTTCCAAATCTTCAATCGAAAGATTCTTGTTTTGTGTCTTGGCCTCTTCGTATTTGAGTGCATATTCAGCCCAGACACGTTGAGAGTCCTTGATCTCTTGTTCCCAAGGTTGGATGTAACGGTAGAGATTGGGAATCAACTGGTCTTCGTCGTGCGACATACCCGAGGTGAAATGGGTAATGCCAGAGTCGGTCTGCTTGGAGTATCTGAGATCCGACTGGGGAATGAGTACGTGTCCCATAGACAACATACCGAGACCACCCAACTCTTTGGGTGTGTAAAAGACAACTGGTGGGAAACGGTTTGGCATCTTGGAATTGAGTCCAATTTTGATACGTGTCTGAATCTTGTTCTCGCAACGCACCAAAATATCGAGCATTTCACGTGTGACAACAACCGCTTCACGGTAGTAGGTCATGAGACCGATCAACGACGTGTTCCACTTGTTGACAATCTTGGTAAACGTGGTGCTACCCGACGCCATCAAAATCATTCTAACACGATTCTCGTATCTGTCCATCGACTCCTTGTCAACACGTAAGAATGCCTGTGCAGTTCTCTCACGAGTGTTGATGTTTTGCAATGCCCATACACTGTCCTTGGGGATGATCTGGTCATTCGGTGATCGACACTTTGGTAGAATACGTACTTCAAATCCATTCATGCTAAACAGTAAGTTGGGATTATCACGAGAGTAGACTGATACAAAGCTGTCCTCCCACTCGATCGTTGTAAGTGAACGTGGCAGTCTATTCTTGATATTCCAAAAGACAGCCCGACCAAGATTCACGTCATGTTTCATCAGACGCATACGACAATCTCTTGGCCAGCACTTTTTGTTATTATAACCAACCACATTTTCATTGTTGGGATCTGGATGCTCTGACATGTACTTTTGGATCAAATCTCTAGTTTCATCTGATGAGAACTTGAATACAACGTAGAGCTTGTCGACATAACGTTGGTAAAGACGGATAGGGTGTTTGGTCTCGGTCTCGACATCTTTGTACGTGAGGAAGGGGTTGGGAAGTTGTGGAGGACCGGCAATTTCGCTGGCACGATTTAAACCAAGAATCAAGAGATCCAAAACAAGACCGTAAAACTGTACGATAAACGATGCAAATTGCAAACCACGAATTAAACCAAAGTTGTTGGTATGGTTCATATCCTTGAATGCAATGACTACATTGTTCTTGCCCGACATGTAATCGGCAAGATTCTGATCGACAATAAGACGCAAGAGACGATTGAGAAGTGTGAGATCAATCTTTTCATAGACCTTGGAGAGAGTAGTTTGCATGGCAACGACACACTCGCCGTTGGCAGTCTCCCAGATACCGTCGAGGTTGTTGATACCTTGACACCACTTGTGTACGAGTACTGGAGGTGGTTCATTGTCGGATGGTTTGACCCAGTTGGGGAACAACTGACGCTTCTCTCCTTCGTACCACAGGTATTGATCGAGATAGGCATCGGTAATCTTTTCAAAGGGGTCGATGCTGTAGACTGGCACAAGATGTGTGTAATAGTCCATAAACTCGATACCAACTTCCTTGAATGTACGCTGGGTGAGAAGGTGACGTTTGATACGTGCCAATGCCTCGTGTGGATTCTCGTACGCTTGTTCGACGAGTACTAATTCCTCACGCTGCGACTGGTTGAGACGACTCTTGACGCTGTATGCTTCTTTGAGACGTTCGAGTGCCAATGTGAGGATCTTGATGTCGTGTTTGTACGATGTTTGGGGGAATGGGATGGCCGAGAAACGACGCTTCTCGAGCCAATGCACGACGGTCGTGTAGATGGCAACACCCTCTTCGGCAGACACGTATGGACCGTCCTTTAAGTAATTATGTTGACGTTCCTGCTCAGCCTTGAGGTAGAGACGGGTAAGACGACCGAGATTCTTTTTGCAGACGGTCTTGTCAACGGTAGCACCACGTTTGATACGTTCACGGTTATAGTGTGCTACATTGGTCCACCAATCGGCCTTGTTCTTGACATAACGCAAGATCATGTTCTCGATAGGGACGGGCAGGCCAGGCACCTTCCATGGGATATTGGCCTTCCAACAACGCCATGCTTCACTGAGATGTTGCAAGATGACACGTGACTTGTTGGCTTTGATACCTTCGGGCATCATATCCAAAATGTCGTGCATGACGGCGGCACGCAGCTCAATGTCATAGTGCGACTCGACACGCTGCTTGGTCACTGTCTTGGCCGTCGTGTTGTACTGACGACCTTCAAACTGACGTGCCAACAAATTACCCAACCAACGTTCCAATAGTGGAACGATACCTCTGAGGAAAAAGATCCATACACGCCATGTTGGCGCCCAAAAACCGCAGCCTGGCCCCTTGGACACGGCACCCGTGTTGAAACGGTAGTAGATGAGATGCTTGAGATCCTTGCACATACGAATCTGACGCATCAAACGGTACTTGTATCTAAACATACCTGTCAACAGACCGATATGTGAAAAGAGGTATTGCAGACCGTCGGCCAACTGGAATGCCTCGGCGGCACCCAAACGGTACTTGACATGCGTGTCTACCACCAACTTGGTCATACGCAAAATCTCACGACACAAATGGAACGCATTTCCAAAACGACTCTTTTTACGTTCTTTGGTCGTAAGTGTCTTGATTGGTTTGAGATAAAAGTTGTAATCCAAATGTAGATAGGTCAAACTCTTACGATGAATGAGTAGATTAAGCATATTGTAACCTTGACGACAGAGTTGGAGACCAGCTTCAACCCAATCAATCTCGGTGGTTTGGAAGAACTTGGTTGCCTTTAATGCCTTGAACAAATACTTTTTGTTGAGTGATTTGGGTGGACGGTGATGCAACTTGTTCAGTACATAACACTTGAGTAACTTTTGGTACGATACACGCACCTTGACTGGATGTTGAGATGGACATCTCTCTTGATACCACGCCTTGACGAGTGGAACATCTTCGGCACGTCTAGTCAACCCTGATCTTTGGTTGAATGGTTTGGGTGCCCAGTACAAGTTGATACCATCCAACGTATTCTCGGTATTGACTTGTGCACTCTTGAGTAGGATAGGGTTGACATCTTCTGGCAACACAAAGTCGTCGTCTTCATCACCATAGATTGATGCGGAACGGTCAATCTTGTAAGAGGGGATAGGGTAGAGGATTGGATCGTACTGGAATCCGACAGCTTCAGGGTTGGTCGTCTTGGTAAAACAGTTGGGTGGGTGATGGTAGTATGGAATGCTCACTTGACGTGGACGGTTGTTGTAGAGGTACGGGAATGCAATCTTGTACTCTGTTCTGATCTTGTGACGGATGATAATCTTGCTAATATCGTTAAACTCGTTCCAATCCTCATCGTCGTCTCCCATGTCACGGAAAAGTGGCTCAAACTTTGGTCCACCCGGAATAGCCATATTCAGTGCCTTGGCAGTCAAAAAACTCTTATCATCAAACAAATAGAAATAATTTTGATCCGTCAAATCACTCAACAATGGTGATGCTAATCTATACAATGTTGACATGATTGGTAAATCTAATCTCCATTTTCTAAAATTAAAAGTAAAAGTATGTTAATATTATATTTGATGTGTTTGTTTGTTTTAGTTTATACATACTTGTAACTTGGACCATTAACAAATTTAGTATTAATTAAAGGTTTGTTATCATAGAACCAATCATAGACAGCTTTATCATCTTCAGGATCCAATTCCATTTGTACTGCATATTCAACTTCAACATCTAGAATATTGTCTGCATAGTCAAGAGGAGGCTCTTCATCATCAAAGAGTGGGAATTTGATACGCTTGAAATGCTTTCTGTCACGTTTTTCTCTCTTCATGGTGACCCACATTGAACCCCATTGAGCGAGATACACCGGTTCAATGACCAATGGAATCTCATTGACAAAGGTAATGGCACCGGTAATGTGATACAACACCTTTACATTTCTCACCTCTTCCCAAGGCATTGGCATGTTCTCCAACAACTTGAGAATGGCGTGTGGCACGTACTTTAACGCACCGAGATAGACACGCTTGTCATGACGAAACTTTCTATTCGACATGTCACCATGATCCTTTATAATCTTTCTCAAGTGTTCTGGTGGCATATCTTCTTTTGGTGGATCGACATAACCAAACTTTCTCTTTTCACTATATCTCTTTGAATTTATTTGTAACCATTTCTTTGCTAAATAAATATAAATAAAAGTAACAAGTATATAGGATAATAAAAGTAGTTAGTTAGTTTATCTTCTTTCTTTGTATACCATCTATAGATATCTATCTTACCTTTCTCTTGTAATTTAGAATCATCGAGTTGATTATTATTTTCGCTACTACTATTGTTAGAAGTAGTAGTTGAAGACATTGTTATAGTTGTAGTTGTTGTTTTATATTACTCTATTGAATCAAGACAAGAGAGCAATAACACTGTACCACTACTACTACCACTACTATACTTTTGTAAATTTAATAATAGATAGATATTTGATTGTTGAAACTTCGACTGTAGTCGTTTTAGTCGTTAATAATAGATATGATGAATAAGAGAGATTATAATAAAGAAAGATTGTTGAAATCGATCGATTGATTGATTGTTGATTGATAGACTATATATTATAAATGATATAGATCTATCTTCTCTCTCTTTCTTTCTCTCTTTTTGAATCAACTGATCAGTTTGGATCTTCACGAGCCGATTTCAGCTGATTGCTCCCACATTATTTTATTTTTAATTTTTTTTCATTGTCTCGATTCAAGAAAACTCCCCAAAAGACCTCAATTAATAAATTATTTATTCAATATTAATATTATTATTATTATTAAATCAAATAATATTGTTATTAATATTTGAAATGTATCTATTTAGTCATCGAGGATGTGTATTGTTGGGAGATGATGTCAGAACAAACAAATAGTGTCTGTTTGATTTTGAATAGTTTTTAGAATGCAATCGAATGTTAGGTGAGGTTCTGGAGGATTATTGGGTGAGGGTTCACAAGGTGTAAAAGGTTATACCTATAGACAAGGCCAACGAGTGGGTATAATCGTAAAATTAAAATACCCAATCATATAGCATTATTATGATGGATTGTTATCAACAACAACTTTAATTGGTCAATTTGTATTAAATCTCTTGCTATCTACACTGGTACAGGCCTGGAGTTTTTTAAAAATACGGCTTTTAATTTTCCATATATGGATTGTTTTATTTCCAAATGTGAAATTCAATTTTTGACTGCCAAACAAGCACATGGAAAATGGAATTAATATTATTTTTAATTTTGAACTTTGAATACCGCGCTCTTCATCTTTCTCTCTTCTAAAGGTAGTTACCAATTCTAAAATTCTTTTGATATAATAATTCTTCCACTTCCTTGGATCTAAATTTAATTTCTAAAAAGAACCAACCATCACATCTAAAAAACAATAATAATTATATTAATACACACAATTCACCAAACACATATAGATACAAACAACAAATAATAATTATTACAACATTTCCTACAATGAAGTTCTCTTTTCTAAAATATATTAGTAAAAAGAAACCATCTGTATAAATTAATTAGTATAGCTATTATTTATTTATTTAGTTATTTATATATTTAGTTTGTTTTATATTATTATATATATATATACAAATATACATACATACCTACATACATACAACTTAGACAACTAGTTTAGTTCAAAGTACTTTATAATACTTTATATTTTTTATATATTTTAATTTTATTTTAATTTTTTCAAGGCACTCATTTTTGTAGTCATGTTTTCACCAAAATGTTCAATGAACAAAAGTAACAACAATAATAATAATAATAATAATAATAATAATAATAATAATAATAATAATAATAATAATGATAATAATAATAATAATAATGCATCTGCAACCAAAGTAGCAGAGAAAAGTCCAACCAACTTTTCATTATCGTTAAATAATAGTAATAATGCAGTACATGGTAGATCGACAACACCATCGTCACCATCTTTAAAGGGTCGACAGAGTAGTGTCGATCTTGGTCAACACAGTAAACATAGTCCGTGTCTAGGAGGTGATCCTTTGACATGTGAAATTGCAACTTCATCTACTCCTTTATTGTCTCAATCATCGAACGCCGCCACCTCTGTGACAGCAGCCGCTGAAAAGAAAAAGAAAAAGAGAAAGAAACAAAAGGTTAACTTGTGGCATTTTATCACTAGCTATCAAATCATTGAAGGGTGTTCAATACTATTTATACTCTTTCTGATGGTTTTGTTATCGTTTGGGTTGTCAGTAAGCTACTTTTCATACACTCATTATCGACAAGAAGAAAACAAGAATATCGAAGCTGACCTTGAACGAACGACCAAACAATTGATACACAACTTTGACGTTGCCACTACAAGTGTATATTATGGTTTAAATTCCGTAAAAGTATGAAGACACACAGACATTCAAAAAACAACACAATAGATATCTTTCTTTATTATTGCAATAATTAATTCATTTTAATTAACCTTTTTGCAAATCATCCATCCATCCTAGGGATTGTATTATACTTTGCCAACATTTAATAGAACAGAATATTTGGTATTTCGAAATATATCAATGTACAATACAAAGACTGATATGAAGAATTGGTATTGGGTAGTTAAAGTATGGGACAAAGACCGAGAAGAATTTGAAAAGACAAATAATTTGGTCATCAAAGAATGGACTGGATCAAAGTTTGAAAGATCAGGAACTAAAGATTATTATTTCCCCATTCTTTATATTTATATGACCAATCATAAAACTGTACCTACTGAAGAAGGTTTTGATGTTTGTATCTTTAAATTTAAATATTTAAAACTCTTATTAACTATTTCTCTTCTCTTTTTCTTTCTTTTTAAATCTTAAATTTTAGGAATTAGTTGGATATGATTTACAAGGACATCAAGGATATGGAGCAACTATTGTAGATGCAATGAATAATCCTGGTATATCTTTATCATTTACTCAACCTTCATTATCAATGTATATGAATCAAACGTCGGATATCATTCTGCTGTCTACCCCTGTATTCAAGAATGCAGTGTTTCCACTAAACGAGGAGGACAGACTAAAAGAATGTGCTGGGTTTTCAATTGGACTATTTGTCATTGGTGACTTTATCCAACAATCTGGTGTCAATATCGATAACTTTATGGATATTGATCTCTTTATCTCGGATGCTTTTCACAATGTACTCTATCAAAGCTCAACCTACAACCTCAAGAGAACAAACAATGTCGCAGACTCTCCACACTTTAGCGGTCGACAACGATACATCTCGACGTTTGAGTTGGCAGACTCCAAGTTTTACTTTATCACCTTTTCGACAAAGTCATTCGAGGATATGAGCAGAACATCGTCGCCGGTATTGGTCGCCGTCATCTCGGGCGTACTCACCATCATTGTTCTGGTCTACTTTTGGGAGCAGAAACGAAAGCGTCACTACATTGACAAGATCATGAAGGAAAAGAGTGAATTGCTCAACAAGATCCTTCCCCAAGAGGTGTCTGTCAAACTCGAAAATGGAGAGGACGTCGTAGCCGAGCGATCCAACGCAGCCTGCGTGTTTTTCCTCGATATCGCAGGGTTCACCCGGTTCTCATCGATCCATACACCCGAGCAGGTCATCCAAGTGCTCATCAAGATATTCAACATTATCGACAACCAATGTGCCGCACATGGTGTCGAAAAGATAAAGACGATTGGAGACGCCTATATGGCAACTGTAGGCATTTCACCAAAGTCTGACGACATGAAGAAAAACACAGAGATGATGCTCGACTTTTCATTGGCCACACTCGAAGCTATCCAGCTCGGTGTAGCCAGCCATCTCGGTCTCAAGGTGCGAATCGGTATTCATTGCGGACCTGTCATATCAGGTGTCATCTCGGGTGACTCTAAACCACACTTTGACGTGTGGGGTGACACTGTCAATGTCGCATCGCGTATGGAGTCGACCGGTCTACCCGGCTATATCCACGTATCAGACCGTGTCTACCAGATCAGTCGCGACCACTTTGAATACTCGCACGAATGCAAAAAGATCTTTGTCAAGGGCAAGGGTGAGATGAAGACATGGTTTTTGGCCGGCAGACGTGACCCCAACACCCCATTCAACCGAGCACTCGATCTCGGACACAGTATCGACTCCTCACCAAACTACCGCGAAATCTCTCCCCTTGCCAGTAGTATGGCTGCGGGTGCACACCACCTTCCTCATGAAATGGACTATCTCAACATTGAATCACCAACAATCAGTCCCATCAAACTAAAGTTTAATCATAATATTAGACTTGTAACAATTGGTGATCAAGATATTATTCAAGTTTATGCACCATCTACAAGTAGTGGTAGTAGTAGTGGTAAAAGCGAGACATCAAGTAATATTAGTAATACAGATACATTAAGTCAAATTAGTAGTAGCAGTAGTAGTGGTAGCATTATTGAACAATCTCACCGACACGAAAAGAAGATACTACCAAAGGGTGATTGGAGTGGATACTCTGCACCTAACCTCCCTCAGGTCAAACACACATACTCCCCAATCCAACCTCTACAACTACAACAACATGGTGGATGTATGGGAGCACAAAAGATACTTGATAATGGGTTGATATATAGTCCCGATTCATGTGCACCTGGTAACCACCCACCCACACGTAGAAACTCACATACTTTTAACCATGTACACGGATACTTTGATAGTGCCAAAGACCACGCAACACACTTTGTAGAGAACCGGTGTCAGAGAAGAGACTCAGTGCAACGAAGTTACTCACCTCATGGTCTACGTAATCCATCACCTCTACAACTTTATAATTCTTCTAGTCCCGGATCACCCAAAATCATCGCACAACAACAGCAACAGCAACAACTGCAATATCAACAATTTCAACAACAACCACCACCATTATACCATCATCATCATCACAATTATTCGACATCACCACAACATCATTCACCTAAAGTTTCACCAATGCCAATTGTACTACCACCACCATACAATAGCAGTTTATCACCCTATCGAAGATTATCTGGTAGTGGTCCACAAGGACTGATGATTCATTCACCACCAATTGTCAACAAACCATCGACAATGGGTGGTGGTGGACAATCCACACCTCCTGGACAATACATGTGTCCTATTCATCACCAACCCGACGAAAGACCAGGTCATCCTCACCAAGACCCAGGTCAAGAAAAGCCAATCAACAAATCATCACCTCGAGGTGGCAAACAAACACAACAACAACCTCAACGTTGTCAAATGTGTAAATTCTCTAAAAACTATTACCAGAAACTTGGAAACTCTGCCTTTTTGACATCATTTTCACCTGCCTCATTCCAACATGAATGTGATGACAACAATAATAACATACATTCTCCAGTTGGAGGATTAGCTAAAAAGAATAATCATGATGACGAAGATGAAAAAGATTGGTGGAGTGTTTCAATTTAATATTAATACTAATATTAAAACAATCGACATTTTTGTAAATTATTATATAGAATAAAATAAATTAAATTATTTATTACCCATTACATTATTTTATTATTTATTATATTAATATTTAATTAATTTGATTGAATCAAGATGGAGGAATTAAATAAGTTTTGTTAAATGTTAAAATAGAGTCACGTAATCGTCTGGTTAAATCTACAATGACTTGTGGACGAAGTCGATAATGAAACCCAATTTCAACTTGAATACAGTCAATTGAATGTGCCAATGCATGATGAACAACAGTATATGCTCCGCTATAGCGAGGATGTTCCATGTGTTGATCTAGAGATGTTTTAGAGCGTGTCTCTGGTGGAGGTGGAAGACTACTACTAATATCTTTTTCTTTGGACAAAAGGTATTCAGTTGGAACACTTTCTGGAAAGATAGGTATCTCTCTTGCACGCAATCCACCAAATATACTATTGTCTCCAATGATTGCATCCACTCCATATCGTTGGAGTAGTGGTTGAACGGTTGTCATATTTTTGGTACCTCTTAGTATGTGGTCAGGACAATCAGATTGACCATGCATATCCAATAATAAACATCTACCACTCCATAATGGTTTATTGTCAGAACCATCATCAGATTGTTGTTGTTGTTGTTGTTGCCAATTGTTTTGACTAAGTTGTTTAGCCTTATTGATAAATGATATAATAGTACCATGGTATAAATCATGGTGTTGTTTCATGACTGTATTCTCATAGGCATTCTCTGCACTACGATTAAAATCACAACATGTTCGATCTATTTTAGAGTATATAATAAATGGCCTCTTTATACTTGTAGAATGACCAGCCATTTCATACTCCTTTTCAGCATCATTTTCTTTCCAAATTGAACAATTACAAATTGTAGAAGATTCTTCTTCTTTTTGACCATTATTATTATTATTATTATTTACAATACTACAAGCATTACAAGCAAATGCATTCATTAAAGCTTTAGCAACCTTGTCAGTATGATCGTCGCCATGTATAACTCCTTTCTTTCTAGTTTCTACACCTTTGATTTTAGTTGATCCGCTGTGTGGAAATGTTATACTAAGTCATAACAAAGTTAGAGTATTAATAACAAGTTGATCAATCAATTCAAGATATATCTTCTTCTTATTAAACTAACCTACATTACAGGTATATTCCCTTCACAAAAATAAATGTGTTCGTCATTTTGGTACATTATAATATCACAACCTAATACTACTACTACTGTAATATTACAATATTTATCTATTTTAATTATTTGTACAATCAAACTATAATAATAATAGAATAATAACAATTATAAGTCGACTTGAAGTTGTTATCAAACCGCACTGCGCAGAGCACTTCGTCGATTCGTTTTTTTTTTTATTCATTTGTATATCTATCTCTATCCTTTCATTCACACAGACACGCTTGGTAATAGAGACCATGAACCTGCTGTGATCACTCATGTTGAAAAGGCCTTTATTTTAAATTTGTAGACTCAAATTTCATTAATATTATATTATTATTTAGACACTAGTACTAAGTTAGTTGTTTGATGACCATCACCCGGTCAAGTCTATTGATCTAGACTTGACTCTATCCTTTCACCAAAGATGTGATTGGATGATCATCTACCTTGCGAGTATTTGCTTTCCGGTCTCTTCATGCTTGACTGTTTAGAAGGTTGCACAGGCACGCTTGGTAATAGAGCCCATGAAACTCGATGTGATAACACTCTCTTCTTTGATAAGCTCTTATTGCGAGAATTGTCATTATGGAAGACAATTCAGCTGATTTCAGTCATCATCTGAAAACCAAATTTAATTGAACTTTATTATTATTATCTAGTGTCTAGATTAAGATGATCGAATGAAGAAGAGGACAACTTACAAACTTACAAATTGATCACAAACCTATTCCTTCTTCTTCTTCTTCTTTTTTAACTCCCATCTTTTTCGTATCTATCTTCACCAACCCACCCACTTGCTCACTCACTCACCCTGTCACGCATACTTATTAAAGATAGATAGATAGATAGATAGGATAGGATAAATAGATATAAAGCCTACCTACCTACCTACCGACCAACATCTTTCATTCTTTTCTGATCATAAAGATCTTTATCAAATCTCATACCCTCTACAAGCAAGTCAACCCACACCACGTTCAATTTCAATCAATCATGAAAGTCATTCATGTAGGATGCTTCAAGAGAACTGACACACCACACAACACAACACACATATATATATATACATCCCACAAAACAGATATAATATGAAGAAGTACTTGGAATGTGAGTAACTGTGGTGGGGTTCGTATGTTGTGTGTGTGTGTATGATCAGTTCGTTCATGGTATTTTACTAACAGGAGGTAACCTCTCCTCTCCTCCTACACTTACTCCTCCTCAACAACAACGTTGTCATGTTGCTGGGTGAGGTGGGATTCATTACTGTGAAATGACAAATCAAGTAACCACAGACACATACACACAATCGGGTGGGTAGTATCATATGAAAAGAGGAGGTGCAAGTATATGGCAGATATTTGTGCCATATATCATCCACTCTCCTCTTTTCTTCTTCCCTCTTCTTTCTCTTCAATTCATCCATCCAACAGATGATGAGATGGATGAATGTAATGTGTAATACTACATTTAATTATTCGTTTGCAGCATCCATCAATCAGCCCATACCATCTGATGGATGATGATTGATGATGTTGGTGATGATGATTGTCTACTTCTAAAATTGCAATCTTTTGTTTATTGCTGTTATTGCTGCTGTTGATGATGATCATCAACAATTCCATCATCCTCCTCCTCCTCCTCCACTCTAGAATACAAATACTCTTGATTAAGAACACTTGACTCTTTTTATTATTTCTCTCTGTATCGTATTGTATCATCCTTCATCAATCGATCAAACCCAAACACCAAACACCAACAACTGTTGTTGCAGTTGTCGATAAATTATATTTATTTTTGGATGTGTAGAGTGGAACAAACAAGAAGGATGTATTGATTGTAGGTGGCACATAATATAATATATATATATATATTATATTGCTACCTCCTTGTTTGTTTTGTTGGTCTGGTGTGTGGTATTTAATTTCTAGTTGCTGTTATTGTTGCAGCAACGCTGTTGTTATTGTTACCATCGCCAAGTTACGACCATACGATGAGAATCATGCAGGCTGGCAGACTGGCAGGTAGTAGTAGTAGACTGATATAATAATTTATGATCACGATAATAATAATAATAATAATAATAATAATAATTATAGCCATCAGTACTACCAACTACTACTACTACTACTACCATCCAAATTAAATTAAATTAATTTAAATTAATAATAATTTGTATTTTGTATTTGTTTGTTTACTAAGATTCCAAATTGGCAATGTACTCTGTTTCATCAGTACGACGACTACTCTAGAGAATAACAGAGCAGAGAAGAGAAGAGAAGAGAAGAGTACTGATTTAATTATCCAAAGTTAAGATTTCCCATCACATCATAAAATACTAGTAAAAAAGAGAGAGTGAGACAAACAAAAAGGAACAGACAAATATATAATATCTAAAAGAAAAACACAAAAGAGAGAGAGAAAGAGTAGGATAATATAGCAGTCAAACTACTATAGCATATTTACATTCAAAAATGAATAAAGATGTTGGCCAATTAATTATGGCTAGATTAAATTATTGGTGGCCTGCAAGGGTAAATTAATTAATTAATTAATAATATTATAATAATTATATATCAAAATAATAATAATAATAATCATTTATTTATTTATTTCCATATGTTTGTATCTAGATATGTACTCGAGGAGAATTATTAATTCATCAAAGAGATGGTCAACCAAATAATAAATATGTTCCAGTTTTCTTTTTTGGATTTAATCAAGGGTAAATTTAAAATGAATATTAATATTGTACAATCAGACAGACAAAATGATATTTATTATATTTCTATTTCCATTATAGGATATGGATAAAAATGGATGATATTAAAGAATACACTGTTGAAATGTCAAAAGATTTCAAGAATCAAGAGTTTCCTTATGATTGGATAAATGAACTTAAAGATGTAATTATTGGAGCAACTAAAGAAGTTGATGAATGGAATAATCAAAGAGGAGCAGCAAGAAATAATAATGGTGGTCAAAAAAAGATTCAGAGAAGTGTACACTTTTTTGAAAGTGTTGAATTCATGGGAACTGGATATTGGAATTTAAATCGAGATTTGATTAAACAATATAATAATGAAAGACATGATCATCATAGTCATCATCGAGGAGGAGAGGAACACATGACAATATGTGATGATGAAGATGACCAATTGACAGACAACAACAACAATACATATAGTCATGCACAACATGGACAACCACTATCATCACAAGGTGACAGAATGACAATATGCGAGGATGATGATGATGACAACAACAACGATGACAATGATAATGAAGAAGGAATGGAAGAGAAAGCAAAGGAAAAGAAATTGATGAATATCAATATTTTAAATAACAAACCTGATACATTGGCCAATGCAAGGAGAATGAGCCAAGATGATATCGAATCGTATGAGAGTGGTGGAGTTGATTCATCAGAGGTGTTGGCTCGAATGAAGAGAACTAGAAACTATCCATCATCTACTTCTGCCAAGTATAACAACAATAGCAACAGCCATCAACACCAACAACATCTACATCAACATCAAGAACTTGACAACAATAATGACGACGGAGACGATGATGTCGATAGAGATGACGACCATCCAACATTCCATCAACCTACCAAGAAACAAAAACCTACTATCCAACTGGCACGTAGAAGTTCAACTGATGACAATGGCTCCATTGAGCACTATGACAGCTTGAGAACTGGAACTGGAGCTGGAGCTGGTCAAGACCCAACAACAACATCAACAACATCACCTCTTTTGAATTCACAAAGAAGATCTTTACTCATTAAACCTCCACCAAGATCTCCAAGTATAAATACTCCTACATCTACCAATACTCAACAACAACAACAACAAAGAATACCAAGACCAGTTTTAATTGCAAATAATAATAATAATAATAATATTAATAATGCACCTGTATCATCTCAACAACAACAATCAACTATTACTTGTATTACTAGACCACCAGGATCAAGTCCGACAATTAGGTCAATTACATCACCTGTTATAGTGTCTACAACATCATCATCTTCATCCTATCTTACACTTGGTAACAAGAGTGGTGTGACGGCCAGTTCACCCATTCTGTCGTCTAAAACACCGTCTTCTATCCTTCCAAAGAGGTCGCCTGTTTTGGGGTCGACCAATGGTAGCCGGACACCGACCATGTCAGGAGCGAGTTTGTCATCTCTTCAACCACCAGCTACAACTGGAGCAGCTGCGTCGCCATTGATCAACCCTAAAACACCCATCACTCTATCGATACCACGTATCCAGAAAAAGACAGTTGGTCCAACACCTACTACCCCTCACACCAACAGTGTCAATTCATCGACGGGTGGTATTGTATCACCATCAATGACATCTCAACAACAAGCTGCTGCCATATCATCACCCTTTCAACTACCACAACAATATCGTAAGAATGTATTCCCATCATCTCCTTCACTTCGTATTCCAACTAATATTGGTGGAGTTGGTGGTGTTGGTGGTGTAGGAGGACTACGGTTTCCACCTTCTCCTTTAATGCCAGTTGGTCCCATGTCTGTCATGACTCCTCCTCTTCCCGGTAACCCAATGATGTCATCTCTTGCAGGAGCAGGAGGTGGGATGGGAGGGCCAATCTCTGATAGTTTACCAAAGGTGCCTGGAAGTAGTGAAGATGACGGTGGTGGTGTGACAATCATCCCTAATCCAAATCATCCAACTGGTTCATTGCCTGGAACATCGGTGAATATACCAAATACTAGTACACCGATACTGGCACAGGGGTATCCCATGGTACCGTTCTTGTCTATTCCACCATTCAGTCTAAACAACTCGGTCAATATGGAGACTGTATTCAATAGTCCGTTTAGCGGGAAACTGTCGGTTAAAGGTGGTACTGATGTCGGGTTCCACGTAGAGTGCTCGATTATGGGTAAGACATTCTCTGGGTACTTGACTGAAGCTATCATGCCGCCAAATGTTAATGGTGGTGGACTTGCACCAGGACTCCCAACACAGACATCTGTCCCACCACCACCCATCTCGGGTATGGCACCACCTCCCAAGCAGATGCACAATCCATTCCAAATACCAACTATCCCACCATCGGCAATCCAACCCAACCAACTTCGAAGTAATGATGCCATCCCATACTATGACTACCATTTTGTTGAAACATATCGTCAATGGCAAGAAATGATGATAAAAAATCAAATGCAAAGATATCAACAACAACAACAGCAACCTGTAAACAACAACACCAACAAACCACCAACTGCTTCACATAATAATAATAATAATAATAATAATGTAAATAGTTCAACCAATTCAACTCCACAATACATCCCAAAGAGTGTACCATCAAGATCTACTAGTAGTACTACTTCATCTGTATCTGAAGACAAAGAGTCTGCCAATGAATCATCATTGGAGAAGAGTGGAGGGGACATGGATTCAAAGGCTCCAAATATCGTGTTGACAGGTGGTGATTCACCAACTAGCAGCGGTAGTGGTAGTGGCTCAGTTGAAGATAACCCACAATTCCAACACTTTAAACAAAATGCATTCCAAAAATTAGAGCAATACCAAAAACTACAAATATTAAATCTACTTGCCAAACAAGAAGAGAATATTGGTCATTTATCAGAATCGGTTGAAAAGGAGAAAGCATCAATTGAAGAGACCGCTAATGGTGACGAAAAAGAAAAAGAAAAAGAAAAAGAGAAATTGTTGGCATCACTACAACTACGTTTTAAAGAAGAGAATGATAAACTATTTTTAATACACAAGGAAGAACGTGCTAAACTCGACTCGACTCATTCTTACCAAGCATCAAAATTCCATAGAGAGGTTGAGAAACAATGGGCACTTCAACAAGCTAAATTCCATGGACATTCTCATGGTGGTCATTCCAATTCTGGTGATGGACAATCAAAGGTTGGATCAATACCATCTCCACTTGGGTCACCTGCTCTCACCCCTTTTATTTCACCGTCACCGTCTCCATCGCCATCGCTCTCTTCGTTTTTAGGGCATCCAGCTCACAGTCCACTCATTTCATCATTTGCATTACTTAAAAGTGGTAATAATTTTAGTCACTCTGGAAATATTAATAATAATAATAGTAATAATAGTAGTGGTAGTTCAAATCATCATCATCATAAATCATTTGCTTTAAATGGTCCTTCTTCATCATCATCAACTACTACTGCTTTGGCAGCACCAACATCTTCTACATCTACATCTACTTTACAACAACCATCATTAAATAATAGTAATAATAGTATAAGTAATAGTAGTAGTAGTAATAGTACACCTGTAACTAATAAGGGATTGGATGAAAAAGTAAATAGTAGTAGTAATAATGGAAATGGTGAAAAGGATGATTTGGGATCATCTACATCTTCATTGAATGAAGCTCATTTACCTCCACTATCACTATCATCCAATTCTCCTCCAAGATCACCCAATTCCCAACCAGCATCTACTACATCTTCTACTACAACAACAACGACAATAGAATCAACAGAAAAATTAAGAGAAAAGGAAAAAGAATTAGAAAAAGAAAAGGAAAAAGAAATGGAAAAGGAAAAGGAAAAGGAAATAGCCATAGGTAAAGAGAGTATTAAATCATCAAATCAACCAAATCCAACTATTTCAATAGAATCATAACGATTACGTTCATTTATCCTATACCAACAAAATAAACTTTCACCTTTTTTTTTTCTACTTGATACCTACAACGTACGCTACCTACTAAAAATACCTACCAAAAATATATTAATATATATATATTAGTATATATATACATATAGATTGTTGATTGATGAGATGAGATAGAAGGAAATAAATGGTGTACTTACCTAAAAAGATATCTCTTGTTCAAGAGGAGGAGGAGGGATGACACTTACTCTCCATTCTCCAAATGAAAGGTTGAATTTAATGATTACAAAAGTGATTGAAACAACCAGTCATGTGGTAAATGGAGAGTATCAGCTAGGTTACGGCGACAACTTCTTTGGTACTGCTCTGTAGAGCCAAGAGTCAAACATTGGATGGGAGCATTCTCAATCCAAAGATCTACCAAGTTGCTTTCCATTCCCATGTATAGCAATGGAAAGTTCTTTACGAATGCGTCGACTTTGGCCTCGTCATTTTCGGTGCACGATAACTCAGCGATGCTTGCACGTTCCATGTTTTCCAACGAACTTCCAGTTGGCATGATCGTGAGATCTCTCTTTACCATTTTAATCATTTGGTTTTAGTTGATGAATCTAATCTTTTTGACATTCTCTGCATCCAGAGATAAAAGTCTCTATTCCGTTTCCGGATCATAGTTGCGTTCAGATTCCTCTTTAGGTTCGACGACCTTTGACCTTTTCGTCACTTTTGATGTCTGGTTATCGAGAATAGTGCTCTTTCTAGGTTTTGGTTGTTCGGTTCTGCTCTCTCTCGAGACTTCTCCTTTTCTCGTCGTTGGCCTCACCGATTTCGAGATCTTTGGAGGATTGTTTAGGTGATTTGATAGATGATTTCGTCATTTTTAAATTAAATAATAGGCTTTATGTAATTATTTCAATTTATAACAATATTTAGAACTTTTATTTTAAATGTTTTAGTTTTTAAAGTAAAATGTAATAAAATGTTTAATGTTCTTATCTATCTAATCTAAATCTAATCCTTTTGTTTGTATATAAATACACTCTCTTGGTGAATTTGATTATTTATATATATGTACGCTTGAAAATCTACCATGATGTAAATTAACAAGTGACTATAAATATGAATAAATGAATGATAGTGATATGAGACTTGCATGAGAGTGCCTAATATTATGATCGTGATGGAATGAACTACTTTATTTATTTTAATTGTTTTCGTTTTTGTTCTTCCAAGGCAAATGAGATGGAATTTATGCTTGTATCGATTGTAGTATGACTTAAAATCTAGGAGATGTAACTTCAACCAAAATTCTTGTACAGCACCCAAAAGTATAAGACAACCATTTGAATCATTTACATACATTATAAAGGCAGCCTAGAATTGTTTGATAATCTTTAAATTTGAATTATTTTTTTGGATGCAACCAATATCACATGCATCAATCTTTAGAGCCAATGTTTTAGGTTTGACTGGATAAACCAAACAAATTGTTGTAGAACTATGACCAGGACAGGAAGGGATAATGAATACTTGATCCATGGAATCATCTAGAAAAACTTTTGTTCCAATCGATGCAGCATTTGTACATCCTAATAATGAGCACTGAGAATTACCTATTTCCTCTTTAATTTTTTAGTTAATAAAACTTTTGATCCAATTTAACAAATAGATAGAATATGAACCATAACTATAATTCTTCTAATAGTATTCCATACCTGTATTAATATTATATTTTACTCTAAAAAAGCTTGCGCTTAGACTCCATTGACTAAAGTAATTTCTATAACTATCTTTACATCCTTTTTTACAATTTTGACAACATTTATCTACATATCCTGCTAAAATGGTGTATGGACTGATAATGGTTCTGACTGAAGCATATTGATCGAGTGGACTATAAAATAAATCACAACTCTTCCAATTCTTTAATGTAACTGGTATTTTAGTAAAAACTTGACACTCTACTTTATTCATATCTATTTAATATTTCACATACACTCACAAAAGTAAAATATTAATGTATGGGGATTGATTGGTGTTTTACTCAAAATATTGAAAAAAAAAACAAAAAAGAAGTTCAAGTCTTTGACCTTTTGTTTGGATTGATCATCTCATCGCGTATAGTAGATTTTAGTGTTATATTTATATAGATATATATATATTTGAAGTACTTCGACTTTTGTTTAAAAGGTTGTTGTTGTTTGTTGTTGTATAATAATGTTTGTATCAAAGCTTAAAAACTTTGATGCCTATCCAAAGACTGCTGATGACTTTAACATCAAGACTTATTCTGGTGCTATAGGTATAGTATTAGTATCACAAGAGATAAGAGATTGAGATATGCATGTATTAACACTTTTAATTCAAATATCTATCTATCTATCTATACGTGTATAGTTTCAATCATCAGTGGTATCTTTATATTATGGTTATTCTTTTCACAGGTTACTATTTATATGACTACAGAAACACATCATGAATTGTTTGTAGATACAACTAGAGGTGAAAAGTTAAGAATCAACATGGATGTTGTATTCCATCATTTACCATGTGCATGTATGTACAAAAGATTGAAGTTGAATTGAATAGAATAGAATCAATAGAATCAATAGAATGAATCAATGATGGTAATCAAGAACAAAGAAATATTAATCAAATATCAAATACTTCTAGTCCTTTCATTAGATGCAATGGATGTATCAGGAGATCATCAATTTGATGTAGCTCACAACATATTTAAAAAGAGATTATCGCCAACTGGTATGCCAATTGCCGATGCATCTCCGCAGCGAGAAGATACGATAAACAAGCGAGTACCAGCTGGCAACGAAAACGACAAGGTTGATTGTGGCAGTTGTTATGGTGCTGAAGATCCATCAAGAGGTATTAGTTGTTGTAGTACATGCGAAGAAGTTAGAACTGCCTATCAAAAGAAAGGTTGGTCTATTCAAGAATATTCTGGTATTGCTCAAGTATGTTGAAATAAGATTTAAATAGTATAATATGTATGGTTTACTAATCTATTTGTTTGTCTATTTATTTGCGTTTTAGTGTGTAAGAGAAGGATTTACAAAGAATATAGTTGAACAAAATGGAGAAGGATGTCAAGTATATGGATTTATTAATGTGAACAAGGTGGCAGGTAATTTCCACTTTGCTCCAGGAAAGAGTTTCCAACAACATCATATGCACGTCCATGATTTACAAGCGTTCAAGGGATCGTTTAATCTTAGCCATTCTATCAATCGTTTGTCGTTTGGCAATGATTTCCCAGGTATCAAGAATCCATTGGATGGTGTTACAAAGACCGAGATGGTTGGTAGTGGCATGTTCCAATACTATATCAAGGTGGTACCAACACTCTACGAAGGACTCAATGGCAACAGAATCAGCACCAACCAATTCTCAGTGACAGAACACTACCGTCTCTTGGCTAAAAAGGATGAGGAGCCATCTGGACTTCCAGGACTCTTCTTTATGTACGATTTATCACCTATTATGATGAAGGTTTCCGAACAAGGTAAATCATTTGCCTCCTTCCTCACAAGTGTCTGTGCCATTGTTGGTGGTGTCTTTACGGTTGCTGGTATTCTAGATTCCATGATTTACAAAACTACAAAAAATCTAAAGAAAAAGATTGATCTTGGAAAAAATACATAAATCATATAGAATAAATGAATAATAAGAATAATAATAATAAGAATAGAATAGAATAATAAATAAATAACAAATAATTTAATTTAAATACAAATAATAATATTTCTTTTTCTTTTTAATTTATTAAAAAGTATAACTCTTTCTAATAACTAATTTAGGATTATTTAATCCATTGTTAAATGTCATATTGAATTTATCGGCAATCTTTGATTCTCCTTGGTCAGAGAATTGATTGTTGATATTGTTGGCATGGACAAATTCATCGGAGTTGGAGTCTGGAAGGAATTGGAATTGCTTGATGGAGCAATAGTGCATAGAGGGGTGGGCTGAAACTACATTTAAAAGGTTGGAAAAGGTAGGTTGATCGAAAAGAGCTTTGGATGCGACTTCATTCTCCTCGGGTGGAGTCGAGATGAGCGATACAGAGTAGATGGATTGATTGGATTGAATAAATTGGGTCAATAATTGAATTAATTCATTGGTGACATTGAATTCATTGCCCAAACGAATATGTAGGTTTTTAAGAGTTGGAGAAAGTTTTGCAGAGTTGTCCAATAATAGTCTCTCTAAAACCAACATATGATCCAATGTTGTATTATTTAATTTCATCAAGATTCTATCCATGACTGTTGCCATCTTTGAATCTATATGGACTAGTAATGTGTCAATATTGGAGTGTAGGGGGACGGTTGGACCGGGTGCAGTAAATGGACGATCGAAAACAATATTCCATTTGGTTATATTGGTTTGTGTTTTGAGTAGGTTGAATACTTCTGGTCTTGCAAGTAAGGCGGTTGAGCTAAGATCGGTGAGTGATGGGATGGTGGGGATACAGTCGACAAACAAGGTGTGTTCGGCCACTGTCTTTAAATTGACACGAATTGACTTTAGGTTGCTTTCGGCGAGATATTGGAATGGGATAGAATCGGAGGATGTGTCACTACGACCATTGTAGGTTGCCAAAAAGAGTGACTCGACGTGACGTGGGAGTGCACGGAATATTCTTTGATAGTGTGATGCATTGACATCCTTTTTAACAGAGATACCCAAATGCTTGACTTGCTTGAGCATCTGCATAATGTACAGGAATCCCGACAACCGGTCAACCGACAGATAAAAGTCGAGACTCTGTACATTGTGGAATAGTTGGTGGAATGGCATAGGCAAATCCAAGCGAACTTGACCGTCATCATCAACAATAAGGTCGGGTTGGAAATAAACCTTGTTGAGTGACAACTCGGTGATGGTCGACAATGAAGAATCCAATTTCTTCTTCTCGTAAATATCCTTTAACAATGCCATCGTAATTGATTGGTTAGATGCAGGACTAATATCAACTACTCCTCCAATTGATATAGATCGCAGTGTCGAGTATATCTGTTTGTTTGTCCAATCAGATACAGGTGGTTTGGTAGATGACTGCTGTTGCACAGTCGATGCTCCATCCAAAGAGGATGAAAAATAACTATTCAAAGATTCGTTATAATCCAAATGAGCAATACACTTTAATAGACAATATCTACTTTCCAAATGTCTACGAAACTCTCTATCATAGTTGATGTAGAGTGATGGAATGAAAAAGTGGTTGGTCAAATGACTGCATCTATCAAACCACCGCCAACACACCAATGCCAATTGTACTCTTGATTTGGCAGAATTTACATGTCTATCCATCCATTTTGTCGTCCAAAAATATTCAATAATCTGTTGTTGAATGATCCATGGTAATATTATTATTGATTTTGATAATGTTGGTTCTTTCATTAATAAAAATAAATAAATAAATAATAAATTAAATATATATATATCTCTCTCTCTCTCTAAAAGAATATTATAACTATATCTATTAATTAAAAATAAATGTTTTAATATTAATAAAAGTTTAAAAATAGGATCCTTTTTCCTCGTCCTAACTATAAATCCTACCTTTTAACAAATAATAAATCGGAATGAATGAGAAAACATTACATTATACATTTTCATATTTACAAATATTTGTACCTGTCCACAGTAGTTAGTCGGTCAGTACCATACCTGTTTCATTGTAGATTCTAAAGAGTAGTATTGAAATCCTGATTGGAATCGGCAACCACCACTATGAAACACTATTTTCACCCATCCCCCTCCACACACCAATACTACTCGTTTCGAATTCAATTCCAACAACACGATATGAGTATATATCATATAAATAGTAGGGGGGTGGGATATGTTTTTCAACGTACGGTAATAATAACCAAACAACCAATATTGTGCGCATTCCTAGTGCTATCACTGTATACAATTCTATTCTATACTATTTATCTTTAATTTTTCATACGATGGTTGTTTGGTTTCATAGTGTTGGTTGTTTGGTTTGTTGTTGTTGTTGTTGTTGTTGTTATTTGCCAAATATAGATTAAATTGATAATCCTATCTCTATCGTGATGATCAGGGAGAGACAACCAAACGTTAGGTTTAACTAAAAGGTGTAGGGATGAATCTTGAACAATCGCATGCATGCAACTATATAGCTCTAAGATAGATAGTGACTTGCCCAATCTTTTATCTTTATCCTTTGTCTCTCCACACCACAAACTTGTCGGTTTAATAAAATAATTCTATTTATATCTATTCATATGTTAGTCTATAGTCTATAGTAGTTAGAGTGAACTCCTTGATTCGATAGATAGATAAATAGATAAAAGTAAAACAAATAAAAGTATGTACTATTATTTATTTGTCTATTCAGTGCTTGTGAACGAACCATCGAGATTTGATTTTTTTCAAAGATCTCCACTCCACATCTCCTTGAGCCCAAACAACCTAACCCCATTCTCATTCTGTATCATCGTTGATCGTTTCATTCCCATTCAATACTTTTATTACTTGAAACTTCATAGAGTAGAAAGTAGAGAGGAAATAGGAACCGAGAAGAGAGAAACGAGAAAAGAAGACAGACGAGCTTTTTGACACACTCTTTTTACTCTATAGTCCAATAATCTCTATTGTTTGTTTGTTTGTGTGTGTGTTGTATACTTACTCATACTCACTTACTCTTTACTTTTACAACTACTGTATTATTATTATTATCACCCTCCTCCTCTCCAACTCACACACACTCACAACACACCACAACCATCAACATAACAATCTCATCATCGTGCATACACGCGCGCATATCGATAATATATCTAATAGCCATCTCACTTGCTTAATTCAGATCACAAAGAGTGAACACCACCAAGCCATATTATTATATTATTATTATCACTATCGCTTTGTTGTTTTATATATATATTTATATTCACACACAGACAAAGTTCACTCTATCACAAATCAAATCAAATCCAACCAATAGGAAAATTATTTATTATTCATATCCTGTCTTGATAGATAGAGAGATATAATTAATTGGTAACAAATGTCATCACCTGCTAGAACAAGAGCATTATCAGTATCATCTGATAAAGCTAGAAATGGAAATCTAAAAGATGTGGAAAACTATTACAAAAATATTAAAAAGAATTTAATCGATTTCCAATATGAATTTACTGTAAACTTAAAGAAAAAGGATAAAACTAGACAATTATTATATAATTTAAAAGAAAATACTATTCAAATTTTCAAGTATGTAAAAGAAATAATATTAATAATAATAATAATAATAATATTTCCAACAATTATTAATTTTATTTTTATTTTTTAGATTATCAAAAAAAGGAAATAAGAAGAGTAAATTAAAAAAATATCAAATGGATGATTTTGAAAGAATATGTAAAGATAGATCGGATAACAAATTATTGATACTCACTAAAAAAGGTGGAAAAAAGGAATTATTGTTATCATTTTTAAATCCAGAACGACGTGAATCGCTGTATGAATTGCTATGGTTGTCAAGAGGTGATAGAACAAAGACAGTCCCGAGCAAAGAGGAAAAGGCACCATTCGATAAAATTTCATTATTTATAACGACTTGGAATGTTGGTGATGCACAACCATCGGCCGAACAATTACATCATTGGATACCAAACAAAAATCAACATGATATCTATGTTATTGGTGTTCAAGAATGTGATTATCAACCCTCATTTAGTAGTAGTAGCAGTAATAGTAGTAGTAGTAGTAGCAGTAACGCTACTAGTACAACTGGTAGTTCAAATCCATCATCATCATCATCAACACCAATATCAACATCACCACCATCAACACCACCAATCACTGTAAAATCACATACACCACCTTCATCATCTGGATCACAAACTGATTGTGCCGAACATTGGTTTCAGATGTTATCCAATCATCTTGGTCACAATTATTTTAAATTGCAATCGATTAGTTTGGTCAAGATGCGTCTGGTGGTATTTGTCAAAAAGGAGCATTATTACAAGATCAATCATATCGAACGTGAAAGCGAGGCCACCGGTGTTGCTGGCATATACGGCAACAAAGGTGCAACCGCCATTTCATTTAAATTCCTAGAATCATCCTTCCTCTTTATCAACAGCCATTTTGCAGCACACCAAGAAAAGATTGAACAAAGAAATCAAAACTACCGAGACATTATCAAAGGTCTAAACATGGGATCGAAATCAAAGACTGACATTTTAAATCAATTCCATCATGTATTTTGGATGGGTGATTTCAACTATCGTATCGACCTCTTTCGTGAAGAGACACTTGTCGCTATCCAATCGAAAAACCTAGGTAAACTAGTTGGAAACGACCAACTTGGACGCCAAAAACTTAGCGAACGTGTGTTTGTTGGATTTAGAGAACCACCCATTAAATTTATGCCAACCTACAAGATGGAACGTAATACAGTCGGAGTGTACACAACAGAAAAGAGTAGAGTGCCATCATACTGTGACAGAATCCTCTACAAACCACTACCATGTGCGCCAATGACATCGTGCACACAATACGACTCTGCTACGACCGTCACCACCTCTGACCACAATCCAGTGTTTGCAGTCTATGAAACCTATGTTCAAAGACCGTGTCTCCCAACCCAACGAAATCAATCCAAATGTACCATTGAACTGTTGGATGTAGGTGCACTACAACTCGACCTCGATGAGAATGGCGCTCCACCCGACCCTTATCTCTTTTTCCATCCCTCAACATTTTTAACAAGTCCCGTTGAAACGGCTCATGCCTCGGCAAGTCGATGCCCAGTATGGGGTGATCTCCCACCTCTAGTTCCATGTATTTATAAGAAATCATTCCTTGAAAACCAACATCTACTCATCTCTGTGTTGGACTATAGAGAATCACCACCACGTAAAATAGGGTATGCCTCTATACCTCTTATGCTTGGATTTACCAAAGAGCCATACTCTTTTCAAACAAGAATCACCAAATATGGTGTCAGTTCTGGTATTCTATATGGCAAAATCCATATCATATCAGAAGATGAACAACAACAATTACTTTACAATGTAAATCAATTTCCAACTACTACTACTACCAGTAGTACTATTCCTACTACACCTTCAACTGCAACAAGTACAACAGTGGCTTCAACCTCTACAACTACAACTTCAACTGCTACAACCGAATCTAATCAACCAATTGTAACTTATAATTCTAATAATCCAAATCAAAATAATCAAAATAATAATAATGGAATCGATCCATCAAAACAATTACATCGTAGATCAACAAGAAAAAGTATCTAAACAGAATAAAAAGAAAAGAGTACTCATATAATTGTACAATACAATGAATATTTATTTATTTATTTAAAGAATACAAACAAAGACTAAAGTTATTTTTTGGTTGAGTAGATGGTCTTTGTACAAAAAAATTATTTATTTTTCTTATTATTATTATTAATTGTTGTTAATGATGAAAAAAAAAAGGTGTTGTTGTTGTAATAATATAGTATTTAAAACAAATAAACTATATTATTTAAAATGTAAGAAAAAAGGTATATAGAGGTGATTTTTTTAAAAAAAATCGTAGTAATTTTCGACTCGAGAGTTTGGTATACCAAGAGACACTCTTCTTTTGCAGGGTCGTTTAGTTCCATGAAGAGTTTGACTTGTTTTGTTGTTGTCTGTTTGATCCATACTTGAGACGCATTTGTTCTCTTCTGGCATCGGTGACTGGAGTACGAGATTCGTGATTCAAGAGACCACGAGACTCTTCGTCTTGAATGTGGTAGACCTTGGTCTTACGGCTACCGCAACAGCAGCAACAGCAGATGGTGAGGATGAAAAGGAAGAGGAGGACAGCAGCACCACCAGCAGCAATCAAAATAGCATATCTACCTTGGATCTTGCATTGCATCCACATGAAATCCTTGCAAGTGTCCATTGGCTTGGAACCATAGAAAGTACCGTCAGAGCAGATGGCTGAAGAGTCGCACCATACACATCCCTTGTCTTCAGTACATGAACTACAGTTGGTAATCAATGCACATCCTGAAGAGTTGGTTGCTGCATCTGATGATTCAATCGATGATGTTGATGCTGAATATACGTAACCATTAGCAATGGTTGCTATAATTATAAAAGGTAAATAATAATATAATATAATGTTGATTAAATAGGGAAAGAAATCAAAGGTTAGTACTAAGGTCATATAAACACAATTGTATTCAACTGCAAATATTGAATAATAGTAGTCATTGTTGTGTTGTTGTTTGCTTATTTATCATCGCACTGCGCTACACATACCAAACAAAAGAACTAACGATAAGATTAAAAGCTTATTCATTCTGTATTAAAGTAATGATAATTAATATATATATATATATAAAGAGGTTAAATAACAAATAAAGTATTTTACAAATATTTCGGCGAGATGGGCTTGGTGGTGTGTTGAGAAAGGCTGTTTTTGTGTCCTCGCAAAAATTTAAATGAAATTAATTCAAAAGGGGTTGTGTCTCAGAAAACAGAGGTGATGTCAAAGTCTTTATTCTTGGAGGTGGGCTGAGATGTGATCGGATGATGTCACACCCTTCAAATCAAAGAGAGAGTTTTGATAGTAACCCATCAAGCTCGTCAATGCTAGGAGTATTAGCATTGATATTATTATTATTATTATTTATATTATTGTTGGTGTTGCTTATTAAAGAGGTTACTAGTAAATTAATTTGTTGAACTATATTTCGATCATTATCACTTCCAAATTTCCAAACATATTCAGTTATACCTGATATAATATCTGATAGTTCTTGTTTCAAGTCTCTTCCTCCTCCTCCTTGAGAATTATAATTATTTCTTAATATATTTCTCATCCTCGACCCTGCAAGATCAATAGCTGTATTACCTTGAATATCTTTTTGTAATATCGGTTGATTATTTTCTACATAAACGATAATGATGATGATATTTTGAATAAATAAATTGAAATCAATCATAATAATATCTCCATCACATCACTTTTGTTTCTTTTCTTTTTAATATTTCTTACTTGCAGCAAAATGTAATATTAATTTAACCATTCCTGAATTACCAGTGATTGAAGCAAGATGAAGAGCTGTATTATAATTTGTATCTTGTAGTGTTGTATTGATATTGTTTTCTAGTAGGAATTGAGCTACCTGTATTTGATTACGACAAACACTAACATGAAGAGCTGATCTTTTCTTTTCATCAACATCATCAATGTTTACATGTCGACCATACAACATTGTCTTTACATTCTCTAAATGTCCATTTGAGCATTCACTTAGATATTGTAGTACTAATGTTCTTCTATGACTATCATCCATTCAACAAAAACAAATATAAAACATTTAAATCTAGACTAAACAAATGAGACAACAACAGTCCATCCTTTGTTTTTTTTTGTTAAAACTAATTAATTTTAATTATTTATATTTATATTTATATTATTTGTTTAATACTTTATTTGTTATCTTTTATTTATTTAGATGGATGATATAATAAATAATAAGTATTACCATTTGAATCACCAGTGACAATTTTGTTTTGACGACAGTCCATAGAGGTGATTGGAGAGTTGTGAATAAATTCATTTTCGATTTCCTCCTTTTCAATGTTGTATACAATGAGACTGGTATCCTTGCTGGCCGATACAATGTGTCTATTGTCAATGAATTTAATGGAAGAGATGGCATCCTTTTGAGAGGTGTTGATCGATTGGAATTGTTTCTTTTCCAAGTTGAAAATCTCGACGTTTCCTTCAAATGTACCGATTGCCAATAACTTGCTGTTGGGTGAGAATGCAAGTGATGTGATGTACTTGGTATCAGACATTGATCGGAGCGTGGTGGATGAGAGATTGGGAGTGGTCATTGTGAACTGGTTGGAACGACCAGCCGAGGCAATACACTCACCGTCACCTGAAAAGGCAAGACATTCAACCCAATCAGAGAGATGACATAGTTGATTGGTAGCCTTTTCCGACCATAGATGTACCTTGGTATCCCATGAACCAGTGACAAAGGTATCGAATTGTTGGAATGGTGCAATGGCCGACACCTTTTCATTGTGTACCTTGAATACTTGAGAGGTGAGTAGATCCTTGGCATAGACAACAACTTGTCCATCTTCACAACCAATCACTAGTTTACCTTCGAGTGTGAAAGCGACAGACGATGGAGCTGGACCAAATGAACGGATAGTCTTGACAATAGCATGTGTCTTGGTGTCGTAGACTTCGGTAGAGAGACCCTTGCGCACAACTGCGACCAATGAACCGTCGAGTGAGAGTGCGACTTGAACAACAGAGTCACCAGCTTGAGATGGGATGGCTTGGGGTGCGAGTTCCCAAATCTTGACACTTCCATCGTTGGATGTAGAGGTGATGAGCTTCTTGTTGGCACTGCCTTGGATCTTGTCATTCTTGGCAGCAAAGATGGATTGTGGGATGGAACTAGAGTGACCGGTTAGAGTCATGACACACTGGCCAGTGGTGGGGTTCCAACACTTGATGAGACCATCGTCAGACGATGAGAGGATGCGACCAGTGCCGTCACCCAATTGCACAACATCACTGATACGAGACTGGTGGTGAAGGGTAGTAATCTCGCTACCAAACTCGGGATCCCATATCTTGATGGTATTGTCAAAGCTGCAACTGACAATGTACTTGAGGTCGTTGGTGAAAAAGGCACGCTCGATTGAACCCGTGTGTCCCTTTAGTGAGAGCAACTCCTTCTTGCTATTCATACTCCACACCTTGATGTTAAAGTCCCAGCCACCTGAAACGATTCGCTTAGAGTCTGGTGCAAACGTGCAGAAATTGACCCAGTCAGTGTGACCGAGACACTTGCCAACCTCCTTGTAGCTGGCGGCCAAGTAGATGGTGATGGAACAGTCACGCGAGACAGTTGCAATGTACTTGCCGTTGGGAGAGAATGTGCAGCTCTTGATGGTGTTGGTCGAGCCTGGCAAGTGGGTGATGGGCGACAGTTTAGTGCCGTTCCAACGCCAAATGTTGGTGCGGTAATCGTCAGAGCACGAGATGAGTGTGGTTGTGTCGGAGGCAGTGTCGGTTGGGTTGAATGCGAGACAGTTGATCACTTCAATGTGTGCGTCCTTTTGGTAGTACTCGACGGATCGCTCGGCAATGTTCCAGACGACGATTGCCTTGTCCTCGGACGTGGATGCCAACCAACGCTCGTTGCCAGAGAGTGCGACACTGGTGATGGCACGGGTGTGGGATTGTGGCAGCTTGGCAACGAGCTTGAACGAGTTACCAATGACTTCGTAGAGACGGATGATACAGTCGGAGCATCCTACAGCCAACACGTTGTTCTTGGGACTCCACACCATACAATTGGCCCATGCGTCACCGTCCATCTTGATCTGTCCGAGTTCGCAGCCGAGTGTTGGTGTCCAGACCTTGAGCGAAGAGTCGTCAGAGCTAGTGACAAACTGCTCTCCATCCTCTGAGAATGAACAATAATTGGCCGACTTGCTGTGACGACCAATGACAGAGAGCAACTTGGACGATGCAATGTCAAAGAGCAATACGGAGCCGTCCATGGCGGTCGCGATCATTTGTTTGGCACTTGGAGAAAACTCGCAGCTCTTGAGCGACCCCTTGATCTGGGTCGACACGTCAATGACGTTGTTTGGCAACCACACGTTTCTGTTTACACGTTTAGCACCCTTTCCAAGGTTACTGTTGATGATCATGGCAACTTCGTTGATATTGTTGACGAGGTTGGCGACATTCCAAATCTTGATCGATCCGTCCCAACTGCATGTGGCAATCATCGTGCCGTCCTTGGTGAATGCACAGTGATTGACTGGCTTGTCATGTGCATAGATCATCTTGACGTACGAGTGTGTGCTGAGGTTCCACATGACCAAACGACCGTCCAAACCAACCGAAGCAAACAGGTTGGCGTCCACGGGTGAGAAACGTACACTTGTGACCGAACGGTCGTGTCCTCTGTCGAGAATATGTAGCGCCGATCCAACTACAACATCCCAAATAACAATCTTGTTGTCTAAACCACCGCTGACTAGTGTCTTGCCATCCTTGCTAAAGGAGAGTGAGCTGACCCAGTCGGTATGACCCTCGCCAAGAATCAACAACTCTGCGCCGGTTGGTCCTAACAGACGGATACTCGAGTCTTTGGCGGCGACAGCCATCATCTGGCCGTTTGGTGCCCATGCGACGGCAGTTGTTCCCTGTCCGAATCCCGAAATGGTCTGGATACAGCTGTCGCGTGTTTCTGGCTTGTTGTTCCACTCGACCCACGACTTTTTGTTGATCTTTTCAGCCAACTTGGCCACCTTGTGTGCGTGGCTGGTGGATGGCTGATTCATAGCCTGTTGGAAGACAAGTTGTGGAGACTTGGAGAGGATGTGTGCATTGGTCGAGAGCATTTGGAAAAAGTCGGTGATATTCGAGACGATTGAGAATTGCTTGGCTTTGGCCGAGCTCATTGATCCTGAGCTCTTTTGCTGGGTAGCGTTAAAGTTGATGGTGGTAGTGCCGTCGTCTTGGCCACCTCCAATGACCAAGAGATAGTCGAGTAGCAATTGACTGGTCATACCATGCTTGCACTTTTGTTCGACAAAGTTGAGGTTACAAAGGATCGATTCAAGCACTGCTGTCTGCTTGGAGTGGTAGTGATGGTAGACAATTTCACTGAGTGCTTTGGGGTCGGCACCATGGTAGGTTTGGTTGGCCTGTGGATCGGCACGCTCCATGTAAAAGGTGGCAAACTGCTTGTGGATACGTTCGGTCGAGTCGCTGGTAGTCAGGTACTTTTTGACGACCGCCAACTTCATTTGGTTGTGGAAAAAGTCGATTGTCTGGTCGTCACCATTGACTTGGACAAGAGACTGAATCGAACGGAATATCTTTGACCATATACCAATTGGCAGCAACTCTTCACCTAGTTCTCTACGTGCGGATAATACACGGAGATCCATTTCAGTGAGACCGATACGCGAACTGGCAATCGAGCCGAGTATACTACCAATCAACAACTTTCCACTGTCAGTTTCGAGACGTGTGAGAATGTCTTGGAAGAGGACTGCAAGAGTTGGAGACAGCGATTTGATCTTGTCAGTGAGCTCTTGGAAGCCACCAAAGTAACGAAGTTCCTCGCAGGCCAACACGAGGTAGAGGGGGTTGGATGCGTCGGCCTTGTTCATGAGCATCTTCATTTGGTTGTTGGTGACTGACTCGTCGAGACGTTTGCGGTAGTCTGCAAGCTTGGTAGTGACAAGTGTCTGTGAGTCACGTGCGTCCATGGGGTCGACGGTCACTTCGAGCGGGCCACCCTTACGACGCTTGAGGATACTAACGCTATGGTCACCATCAACCGATGTGATGATAGTCTTGACGGGTGACACGTTGGGAATCCAGTCGAGTGACTTGGCATTAAACTTGTTCTCAAGTTGATCAATACCGTCGATAAAGAGGTAGATGTTTGCCTTGACAGACGCCTTTTTCAAGAGTACTTGGAGATAGATCTTGAGTTGTTTGTAGTCTGTTGGGATGGCCGACACATCAACATCTGTTAAACCAGCCTTGGTGATGACTTGGTGACAGAGACGGTGGAGCATGTTGACTGCATTGGTCGACTTTAGTGTCGAGCCGACAAAATGGTGCAATACAACCATTGGCAACTGACTCTTGAATTTGTGACGACTCTCTTGACGGAACTTGACAATATCATTGATAAACTGAGCTACGAGCGTTGTCTTGCCACATCCAGCCTTTCCAGTGAGCAACAAGATGTTGGACTTGTTGGTGGATGACTGTAACTTGGATACCTTGGGACTAGTTCCAAACGGACGAATAACATCACAAAACTTGTACAAGCAGTTGGTTTCATCCTTGCGTCCAACAAACGACTTGGTCTTGAGGTCACGGTACACTTGCTCTTGTTCATCTTGTTGTTTCATCTCGTCGATTGCTTCATCCGACTCTTGGGTGTCTGGATACTGCTCTACAATCTTGGACCAAAGATCTTCGAGTACACGCTCGCTAAACTCTTCCAAACCAATCGTTTGTGCTTGGTTATCGACCACTTCAATGGCACGTGGACTGTAAGTGTAATAATTGCAGTTTTGTTTGATCTTGGTCTTGAGAGACTCGAGTTTACCTGCACTATCACTATCCTCACATTCAAACTGTGTCTTTAGCTCCTTTGGTACGGCTACGGGGTTACGAATGTAAAAGAGACAGTTCGAGTTGATACCAGTCGAAGTGTTGCAGAGGTTGGTAGCATGGATCATTTCCAACTCGGTGATGGAACGACCCTTTGGATAATTACGAATCCAGTCGTAACGAGGCTCCTCTGAAAGCTTGTAGTTTGTTGGTACCCAACCATAACGTTGACCTAGGAGACCGATAAAGAATGGACGGCAACGATCAACCTCGTCCAAACACAATTCAACCGATCTGTTCTTTTGTGCCTCGTCTTCAGTAATACCCCAACGCAAATCAATTTCACTGATATGTATCTTTCTCTTGGCACAACGTTCTCTCAACTCCGGAAAGATATGTTTAACCATTTGATTTCTTTCACCATGCATATCCAAAAAGGTAGATGATATGAATACTCTAATATTTCTCCATGGTTTAATATAATTGGCTACATTTCCTACCAAAGGTACAGTCTCTTCCTTTTTCTTCTTTTCAAGAATGATTGTTGATGGATTATTCTTGTTGTCAGTTTCACCACTGCTGGTTTGAGTGGTATTGATAGTGATTGATTTTAATTTCTTTAATTCATCAATCTTTTCAACATATTGAAGTTGTTGGTCGATAGCACCACGTTGAGCGATGAATTTAAGGATGGAGTCTGAGAAACCAGCAATGTAAATGTCATTCTTGTGAGCAGCGTTGGCATTTTGTGTTTGAGCGTTGTTTGATTTACCAGACAAGTTGATATTGACAAAGAGCAACGATGGGTTGAGCTCTTGACGGTACTTTGTCAAAATGTTGGCACGGTGTACTTGCAATTCCATCTGGACGGTGGTATGGTTGAGCAACAAGAGATTGTCAATACGCTTTTGCTTCATAATCATACTCATAATATAATCGGTTGGGAATAGATTATCATTTGCATCGGCATCAAATAATTGTTCAATCGTCTTTTTAATTGATTCCATCTTTGCAAGAATTGAATCTCCCAAAACCTCAGTAGAGTCGTCCTCTGAGACAGTTGACTCTTCTTCTGGTTTGTCTTGATCATAGACAGAATCAACCAACTTTTCAATTGGATGAAGGAGTGAGTTTCCAAGTTTATCCTTGCCAATTAAAATGACTTCACATTCTTCACAAACAAATTGACACATGAGACCTAGTAATAGAGCATTGTCAAGTTGAGTGTATTTGCTAGCATGTGGGTCTCTAGAGTTACCACCGCTGCTACCACCAACATAGACAAACACAACAGTTGTACCAGAGATTGGTTTAACATTGATGATGGTTGACAATTTGATGGCATTGTCAAGAGCTTGACGGTAACGGTCCAATAGATCGGCTGGTGGGAAGAACTCTGTTTTGATGTTCTTTTCAGTGGCGAGTGCACGCAACTTGGTGACATCGGTTGGAATCGAGTTGTAGGCAGCCAAGAATTGCATGGGGAAGGTGTTTTGCTTGCCAATCAATACACGATTCGATAGCATTCTAATGATATTATCGTGTACACGAGCATGACAACCGGTAATCAAGAGATTACGAAGATTACGGAGCATGGCCATAAAGGGTAGCTTGTTGGCATCGATCAGTTCAGTCCAAGTGGTCGACTTGTTACCCTTTTCAGAAAGCATAGTCTCCCAAGTCTCTGGGATTGGTAACTTCATTCTAGTACCTGCACGTTCAGCTTCAAAGTCACCTGGCAACTTTGTCTTTTGGTAATCCTCATAGGTGAGTGGATACTTTTTACCAAGAATACACATGATACTATAATTTGGCTTGGAAATATGAAGTACTCTAATCATTTGTTTTAATGATCCAGTTTGTTTCTCTTCAAACTCCTTTGTTAATCTATCCTTTTGTTCTGGATTCTTTTTAATCAATGACTAATGAAAAGATAAGTTAATATTTGTATTTTGTATATTTCTTTTTTTTTTTAATGCATACCTTTAACTTCTTTCTATTTCTTTTAATTTTACCTTCAGTATTGTATTTACCTAACTGATAAGTATCAAAATCAGTAAACTTATCAACCATTACATTTCTTAAAGATTTTGGAATAGTCTTTGAACTAAAGTTAGAAAAAAAAAAGAAAATGTAAAGGTTAGTAAACATATATCTATATTTAAAGGATACATTTAATATTTTGTTTCATTTTCTTACCTTAACAATTTGTTTGTAATGTTTGGGATTTCTAACCAATCTGATGGAAGACGAATAGTTGATTGGTAATACTTTTTGAGGTATGGTTGACAGGGAGGGATGACAGAAGCAAGTGCCATGAGATAATTGGCGACTGTTCGAATACCCAATTCCTGACGGGTGTACAATGACAACTTGAGAATAAACTCTGGGTCAAAGTAGGCGACGTGGTAGACATTGGTGATGATGTTTTCAAGTGCCGGTGTAACCTTGTTGAAACGTGGCTCCTTGATCAACGACGACGAGACAATGTTGATGAGCTCGAGCTTTTTCTCGCGCAATTGTATTTGGTCCAACATTGCAAATGCTCTGGTTTGAAGATCACTAAAGAATTGTGATTGTGTGAGACTGATGACATCGTCTTCAACGTGGTCGCCGGCGGCAGGTCTGGGTAGTCTTTGTGGTGCAGCTCCACCTCTTTGTCTTGGCGATCTGGCCGAGGTGGCAGTTGCTGGTCTTGGTTGTCTTTCTGTTGCAGATGTGGGTGCTGCTTGGGGTACTGCTGAGGGTTGCGAGTTGAATCCACCTCTTCCTCCACGTGATGGTGTTGCTCCGCCTCTTCCGCGGCCTCCACGTAATGGTGTTCCTGCTCTTAAAGTGCCTCTTGTTCTTCCAGTGCTACTCATTCTTTAACACAAATGTTTTAGTTTCTAAATTTAAATTTTAAAATGATGATGTTGTTGTTGATTTGTTTGTTTGTTTGCTTGATTGATTGACTGATTTAGCTTCTACTACTATTCTACTACTATTATTACAAAAAAAGATAAATCAATATATAATTATTCAAACTACAAATAAATAACAATAATGAACAAAAAAAGCTACTCCATCAGCTTGTATATACAAACTGTGAACTTTAAAATATCTTGTTTTTAAATCATAGAAAATTCTCAAATTCAGTGATGTAGACCACCGATCATCAAAGTTTACTCTTTAATTTTCTACAGTAGTTAAAAAGATAAGATAGACAAGACACAGACAGACATCAAGAGTCACACCAAAGTTCGAACTCGAGTTTCTGATGATTGATGTTACAGCATGTGGAGCTGTTCATTCCTCTTGGATTCATTGTTATGGTCCCTCATTGCGCAAGTCATCACGTAAATGGTTACACAGTGTTAAAGAAGATCATATTGGTCAAAGGTTACTCTTTTTGGATGTCACAGTCAAAGATTCCATATGATCTTCTTGATTTTGTGTAACCCATTCTGCTCTCAAAATATATATATTTAAAAGTATGTTAAATCATGCATATCAATCTCACCAAACCTACAAGAATTGCTCTAGAGCAGTTGGTGGTTGGCTAATTTAAAAAAGACAGGATAGGATAGGATAGGATAGGATGAGAGGTTTGAAATGAATGGATGTCATATCGAGTTCTAAATGAGTGATAAATTCAAACTCTGAAAGTTGGTACTTGGTTCCAAAATCATACCCATTTCCGATTCCATATGTTGGTGGTTCATTGATTGATGTTTTGTCTATATAATATATAAATTATTAAAAAAAAAGTAAAAATTATTATGAGTCTTGTTATTTTGAAACAAAGTATTGGCAAAGAGTATTTTTCTTGGTTATTTATTGTATATATGATAAATAGATTAGATGATAAATAAATATTTAAAAATAGGCAACCCATAACTATTATAAAATTTAAAAAAAATGATTAATATTAAAGGATTAACATTATATTATATTCTAATTAATTGTTTTGATACATACTTGATCATCATAATCTCCACCAAAGAAACCAAAATCGTTGCCATTCCAGAAAAGATTTTCAGTTTCATCCAATAGATTGACCAAATGGAAACCGGCGCGATGGTCTGTGATTTTAAACTTCCAACAGTAGGCATCGGACAGTTTGGATACGTTGTCGTCGTAAACCTCGACACTACCGGTAGTTTTATCATTGTTTCTCATTAGGTAATAGGAGCTATTGATGTATGGACCAAAGGAGAGGAGGAAAACATCTTGACCGCGACCAGTAGCGGGCTTACAATAAAGTCTGCACTCTTTTGGACACCCCTGAACCTGTGGGACATTATCTTCCACCATTCTATATCCTTTTACGGCGGGACACAAAATCAATCCAGTCTTGCAATGGACAATCTTAAAGGATCTATTTGATGGAATTTTATGAACCTAAAAAAAAAAATGAAAATGAATTAATCAAATCAATCAATCAAATCAATCGTTATTATTAAATTAATATATTTATACATACATCAACAGTATAAGAAAAAACAATCCATTGTTGATCGCCTGCACCATCGATAGATTGATAAAGAAAAGATTCACCTGGAGCGGGTTTGCCGGCTACAACTCCACCACCTGAAAATCCTAGTTTGATGAAAACGTCTCCACCGCTCATCCAATTGGTTCCAACATTGAATACTTGGGTGTGGCTTTCACTACCGATTTCTTGGGTCGACTGGAGATACAGGTTGTTGTTCTTGTAGGTCAAATATCTTGTTTGCTCCTTGTCGCCTATTTTCTTGGTGCTGATGAGCTTGATGTTGTACGGACCGCTGCTATCGGGTTGGTAGGCAAAGTACTCCTCAGAGTTTAACGGGTCGAATGGCTGAGTGAGAGCATCGACATTGGCGAGTGGGATGGCTAGATCATCCGATTTACCCTTGCCAGCACACATAAAGTGTTTAGTTTGTGCGTTACAGAATCGGACAAAATTGTAGTCTTGGTACTTGTCGAGATCGGGTGCAACATACTTGTAGTCGTCGACGGGTGGTTGTACTTGGCCATTGTCTGTTTCGATTCTCAAGTGCCACCATGGAGCATGGGTGAGATCCAACTGATGACATGGATCCATGTCTGCGAGGACAACAAGATTGCACGATCCATAAACACCTTCCTTTTTGGCGCCAAAGTACATGGCATCACCTCTTCCAGTTTGTTCCATTGTGTTTGGAATCTTGAATACCCATTCAAGTTCATCAATTGTCAATCCAATAACTGATCCAGCCGCAACACCTTCATTTCCTCCACTTTTTCCTGGTCCATAGGCCTTGGGGTCAACACCGAGGCTATCCAGTTCACGAATATAATCATCGCGATATTTTTCAAAATCGGTAACATTCATAATTTCTCCTGGTCCCTGAACACGAGTAGAAAACCAAATAGCACATGCGTCCTGTGTTTGTTTTTGTCCTGGTGATAAATTAAATGTTCTGTTTAAATAAAAAGGATTAATATTAAGGAATAGTAAGGGACAAATGTATAAAAATAAGAATAAGAAAAAGGGTATACTTACGGTCCTCCCAAAGCAAAGAATGTTACTGGAAATGAAAGAGCATTTCTTACCTATAAATATATTTATTTTTGATCAAAACAAAAAAAATAATAATGATTAGAGGAGGGTACTACTAATACTATTACGAAAGTTGGTCTATCACAATTTAAATGTGTACTTACTGTGAATTTTTCAACTGCCATGATAATATTCGTGTTGATAATGTTTAAACAATAACAATGAATGATTGTTCCTCTTCAGTTTAAATAGCTTTGGTGTGCGCTTGATATTTTTTGCCATGCACGTGAAGTTTCATTTAGAATGAAGATATTAAAGGTTGTGTGTAACCTGATCGTGTTTCCACATCCTCGGCATCCACTGCATCCACCACATTTGTTTGCATGATCAATGTTGTTTGTTTCTCTTTTTGGTCTTTCTTTGATCACATCTACAATGAACTCGTGGGGCTAGCACTGCATGTTGTGGATTATCGATCTGAATGTGATAATCTGAATGGTTGGCGAACCACAATATTAATATTATGTGTAGAGATATTATTTCAAGTTACAGAAGGTCGTGTCAGAAGTGCACAGTAGGGCACGTGCTCTATCTTTTTCAAAAAAAAAAAAGTAGTTAATGATCAAAAAACAAACAAAATAGAAATAGAAATAAAATATATTAATACATTTTAACAAAATATTTAATTAATAAGAGTGATTGATTTGTAAATTATTGTCAGTTTGTTGAAATGGCATTTGAAAGAGTTGAAACAAATTTGGTAACAAATTTAGAGTGTAATCTTTGAATGTCTGTAGATTTGAAACCAAGTGTCATGAGATGACTAGTTTCATCGATGATGATTTCGACAAGGAACCAAGGTCCATCATCTATTTGTTTGGCGTGATAATATAATTTAGTGACTCCATCTACACTACCATAGGCAAGACATTGAATACCCTCGGTCGTCAAAACACTCTCGATTCTATCAATCTCTGGCATTTGATTCAATTGTATCGACATTGCATGACCCTCTTCAAGTGACATCCACATCTCTTGGAATTGACCAGTATCAATCTCTGCTGCCTTTTCCAATGTAAACAGGCTAATTAAATTGTTGGTCGATGAATCCAATTGATGAGATACATCAACCAATTGTAATAATTGTTGTTGTTGTGATTCCATTTTTGGTGAAATATTATTATTACTATTATTATTATTATTATTATTTGTAGGTGGAGTACCAGTTTTGGTTGGTGAAATCAATAATTGTTCTTTGATGATTTTTTGTTTTTCCAATAATGTTAAAGGGTTTTTAATAAATGATGTTGAATGTTTACCATAAACTATTGATAATGTATTAAATTCTTCAAATATTTTATCCTTTTTAAGATAGAAAAAGAAAAAAAGTAAGTAAATTGATTTTCTTTTTCTCTTTCTTTTTTTTTCTTTTTTTTTTGCTTACTCTAATTTCTAAAATTTCATCTTCAACAAATAAAGTACTTGTACTATTATTATTAATATTATTATTATTATTTAATTTTGTATTAATGATTGAGGAAGTTTTTTCCAAATCATAGATTAGAGAACGATAATAGAAAAGGAATTGGTCACGTAAATCTGGACTACAATTTATAGATGAACATTCCTCTAATATCATCATCATGATTGGATAAATTTCACCTGATCTATTTTCTCCATTTTCTTTCTTTTTAGCCAAATAAATTCGAATCACTGCTATTAATAGTTGAATTTTGATGTTGGATGGTTGGTCATTGAATTTAGAGTCAAAGAATTGTTCGATAATGTATGGTATTTGTTGTTCAGAGAATGGGAATTCACCAAACATCCACAACAATGCTTCTATTGCATCCGATTCCAAATTGACATGTACCAAATGTTCAACCACCAATGGTAGTACTTGATCTGCTTGATTTGGATAGAACCTAAGAAAATCTTTCAATGCCGATACGGTATATGAAATGACAATTTCCAAATTACTTGAAAGGAATGTAGTGTAAATATCAAGTACTGTACTTGACAGAGATTCAATTTTTGCTACTATAAATGAAATAGCTTCGATTGGTTGTTTAATAAATTGAATGTCACCTTCAAATACATATTCACTTAATTCCTCTACAATATCTTTTGCATTTGTTTCACTTATCAATTCTCTTAGAATCTTAATTTTTAAATTTTTAATATAAAATGGATCTTTTGTTCTAAAAAAAAAAATAAAAAGAAAGAAAGAAATTAACTTTATATTATGTTCATTATTTATATTATATTTTTGTTTGTTTACATACCGACAATAAAAATATTTAAAATCATGTTTAAATAAATCAGGAGATCTACTCATCAGTAGATGAATATGAGATAGAATTGTAAATTGTATTTCATTTGAATCTGTATTATCCATCAATGTAATAAGTGGATCCTTTAATCTTTCATATACTTGTTCATGTATATTTGGTTCATTTTCAGTGATTTGAAGGAATAATTTAATAATTGACAATACCAATGCACTATTTGATTGTTTTAATCTATCATCAAATAAATTCTAAATATAAATTAAAAAATTAATATCTTTTCTTTTCTTTCTATTCTTTTATCTTTTCTTTTCTTTTTTGTATCATACCAAGAAATCAAAAATTTGATCTTCAGAAATTAATTTAAATCTTGTTAGAGTATTGATTATGGTTGTTTGACCCCATTCATTAACTTGTTTATATTTTGCCAATAGATGGTTGACTAGTGATGGACTGACCTCCCAATTTGGACTAATCTCATCCAAAGTCAAGATGGCATTGACAATGACCTGTCCATCTTGATCCATCATCATACCATAAATCTTTGGCATGTGTTCTTCAAATGTCTCCTTTCGTGCATCCACTGGTGATATATTGTACAATTTTGCCAATCCCATGATCGCAGTCTTTCTAACATATGCCGATGCGTCTCCCAATCCTTTTAATACTCCTCTAAATGAATAATCAAATGTTGTCATTGAGCTAAAGAAATAAAATTATTATTATTGATTAGTCATTAAAGTTTTCAATTTTTGTTGTTTTCAATGTTTGTTTCTCTAATATCTACTTTAAAGAACATAAACTACGTAATGCCAAACCTCTAATCATTGGATTTGGATCTAAACAATCTCTCTACAAAATGAATGATAGATATTAAAAATCAATAATAATAAATGATCTCTATTTCTCTTTCTTACACTTAGAGTATTAATAACCAATAGTAATAAAGAATCATTTGAAGAACCAGATACAGCATAGTTGCATAGATAGAGATATACTAATTTCTTGACGACGACATCAGTTGTATTGACAACCATGATAATGTCTGGGAATAATGGTGATACGTCAATACCCATAGTCATGTAATACACTACTCTCTGTAATGTACTCTTTATCTTTTCAGTATCTCTTTCGTTTGATGCATTCTTTAGTAATGTTCGAAGTTCACTAACTTCTCCTTTTTTTATCTCTGAAAAGTATGAATGATCTTGTTGTTGTTGTTGTTGTTGTGGTTGTTGCCTACTACCCATCTATCTCTTATATCTATGAAATACACTGAACTGAATAAATAAATTAAATGACTTTTGCAAAGATCATGGAATTTTTGTTTTCACCTTGAAGTGTGAAGTAGCGGAGTACACTCCACCCCCTTTTTTTCAAACCAAATTAAATTATATTTCTATTTTTTTTACTCCACATCAAAGTACACTCTTCATTAATCATTGTGATATGTTTTATTTATTTATTTATTTATTTCTTTATCAAAGAAAAGTACTATGAAAATACCAGATGAGTACAGATGATCAATGTATGTTAACAGATATGTGATACAAGTGTTCTCTGACTTATTTTGCTCTTAGACCCTAGTGATGACGATTATGAAGGTGATAGCGATTATGAAGTGGAAGAGATGAAGCAATTCTTCGGCAATATTCAAGAAACATATGAAGATAATGGTGGTTTTCAAGAAGAGGATGATGAAGAAGATGATGAAGAGGAGGAAGAAGAGGAGGAAGAGGAGGAGGAGGAGGAATATGATGGAATAGATGTACAACTGCAACAACAAGAAGGTGATGACGATGATCAACAAGAAGAGAGTAACAAAAAAAGAAAGAAAACATCAAAGACCCCCAAGACCATTCCTTATAATACTCATGGTATGCATTATGATCTGACTCTTTACAGTTTACACCCATTATATTAATACCTATCCATTCAAAACAACAACAATAACTATAACAAGGCATTAAATATGGAGAAGAATTGAAAACACGCGAATGCGATCATGTCCCAATGCGACTAGCGCCTCTTTGCGATTGTTTCATTGATAAAGAAAGAAATCCTCCTCCTGGACATAGATTCAGCTTAGAAGAAGTGGCTGCTATTGAAATAAGGGGTCCTTCCTATATCGTCGAATATATGGTCGATAAATTTCTTAACGATCTTGTTTTTCAAACCAATAAGTATGGTGTAATAAGCAGATATCGGTGGCATGTGGTGCTAACTATAAAATACTAATGTATCTTCTTTATTTCTATAGGTATATTGAAGATATCAGAGAGAAATTCGTGGAGAAAGAAAGAAAACCTTGGTTTTTAAAAGGACAACCCATTAATATAGTTCAAATGAAGGCATACTTTGGCCTATTCCTTCATATGGGTATAGTAAGATCATCTAACGTTCAAGATAGATGGAAACAAACAACTGATAGGCTCTCCACCTCAATGCCAGTCTATAAAAGTATTATGCCATTCCAACTCTTTAAAAGAATACATAGGTGTGTTCATTTTGAAGGCTACAGCATGGAAGATGGTGTCCCTACCAACTATGACCATTTGGTAGATTATTTCAATGGAAAAATTAAAGAAAAATATATTATGTCGAACTGTCAATCATTTGACGATGATTTGTATGGATGGTCTGGTCGTGGTGGTCAAAAAAAGAGAATTCCTGGTAAAGCAGATAAAGAAGGGAATGAAATATGGAAGTTGGTGGATCAGGACAATATATTTATCACTTCGAGTCTGAATACCACTGTAAAGGTCAGTTGAAAGAAGGTCAACAACTAAACCAGCGTATTTTGGATAAAACTATCAGTGGTATAAAAAATCTCACAGTTGATAAAGGAGAAGTGATTGTAATCGATGCAGGCATATTGGGATCTGTTAGAAATGCCATCAAATTGCATGAATCTCATAAACCTTCATCATATCAGTTAGTAGAAAGAATTGTATGGATGTTTTTAATCCAATCATCCTTGGTGACTTAATTAAAATCATTAAAGACTCTGAATCCTCTTCCTCCAACACTGATGAAGCTATTCAATCCCTACTTCGAAAAAGAAATGGAAAGAAATCTGATATATGTTATTTTAAAGATGGCGAATATATAAAATATGGATCATGTGAAGCTTTTACAGCCATTGCTTGGAAGGCCAAAGCTAAAAAGGTGGTCTATTTTCTCACAAATATTCCTTATCCTTTAGTGCCATTCAAAAAGAATGTAAAAGAAAAAAAAATGTAAGTAAAACCATCTATTACCCATCGTTTATTACTACCCATCACCACAGTTACTAACTTAATAATATTATTAGTATAAATGGCGTAAAATCGTGTATCACTGTTGAAAGAGATGTCCCACGTGTAGCTGAATGTTACAACTATTGTCATAACTTTGTGGATGCTACTAAAATGGTGATAAACAGATCTAGGAACATCCAAAAGCAGAGGTCATTTTTCCGGGTGATGCTTCATGATATTTTTTACATTGCCTTGTATGATTCCTATATTCTATACAAGCAAGTTGTGAAAGATACGCCTCTCAACTTTCAAAAATTTCTTTTAGGCGCCATCAATACATATTTTTTGCCACCACTAGATACTATTGACATCCGTACACCGAATGTATCAGCTCCTTACACATTTAATACCGTCGATCTAACTCCACTGATAAAATACTACCCAACACATCCCCAAGGAGCAAAGAGACCAAACTGTTATGATTGTAAAAATGGCATAAAGGAAAAGCGAGTGGAACTAGTTTGTCCCTGCCATGGCAATCCTTTCCATCCAGATTGCTCCGAAATCTTTCATAACTCCCATCTTACCTTTAGGTCGTATCCAATTACACAAGAAAAGAGGACACAAGTACCACTTAGTATTATACAGCAATCCAATGTTTCCCAATCTAAAAATAGCCAATCACAGTAGAAGCACCTACTCGTTAATGGTCACCACAACCATGCTGCCAATACGATTTATATACTCATCACCATGTCCCCTATTGTATCGTACGACCCTTCTTAGATTTGACCAATCGTCGATGACATTTGGCCTTCCTGCCATCTCTCTTACTTACTGTTGTCTATGTGCCACACTCCCTCAATATGGCTGTCCAGACAAAACTATCCACTTGGACATCTTGCATCGAGAAAAATGAATAATCTTGTGCCACCCTGTAAAGAACACATGCCCCTACCATATTCTTCAATTGCCTCGTTATTCCACAACAATACCCTCAACATAGCCTCAACGATATCCATGACATACCTCAATACATCACCTCTTTTCCAGGACATCCATCTTCTAGACGATTCAATCTCCTTTTACCAATTTTTGGATACTCACCCTTCCCATACCAAGCTATTGACCCAAAAAAAAATTAATCGATCCGAGGTTCACTTGCGCCTTGTGCCTCACCCACACTCCCCCCACCTACCCCACAGATACAAAAAAAACAAATAAAATTTTATTTTATGTAGTTCCTGAATTCAAAAACCACAACCACCTGGGGGTGGAGTCAACTCCGACTATTCACTTTTACAGGCTTGAAACCTTCACACTATAAGGGTTAAAAAATAAAAAAAGGTTGAACAAAGCTACTCATTCATTTGATGAATCATTCATTTATTCATTTATTCTCTTTTCTTCTATTATTTGTAGATATTATCTATCTATCTTTAAAGATTATTTTATAATCATAATAATAATGCTATGATCCCCAATTTGTATTAATCTCTCTCTTGATACATCTTTTTGTTTCTTTTCTAAAAATAGATTTGTATCAGATTAGGTGGTGAGACAAGAGATTCTATTGTGCTGACTATAGTTCAGCCAGCACCCTTTTCGCAAGAGTCTCTAGCTCCATCATCTTTGCCGTCATCATTGTTCTCCATTTCTAAAAAAAAAAAAAAAGGTATAATTTAAAATACACAAATAAATTAAACCTAAAAAAATCAACAGACGAGCACCTAGAGAAGGCTTACCCAATTTAGTGATACTACAGTGATCATTACCAAAATCGGAGTATCAACCGTTTTTTTTTTTGAATTTATTTTTAGTGGCCTTGCTGTTTTGTTGTTGCCTCGCGACATGGTGCCGTGTCAAATCCAGACCTTGTTTATTTTACAAATTTATTTATTTATATTTCGAAAATGATTAAAAAGATAATTGTTATTTGTATTTTAGCTAGTTTATCGATCGCTGGCTCTCGTGCTCAACAATGTGAAGGAATCGGTTATTATTATTCATGCGCTGAAGAAAGTCAACTCTGTTACCAAAATGCTAGCATCCGATGTGGATACGGGTATGTTTGAGAATTTGACACTACTAACTAGATTGTATTGTAAATTTAACGACTCGATCTAAATAAAATATTTTTAGATACGCATGTCTTCCAAACCCATTCACCAACAATCTATTCGCCTCCTTGACAGCCGAATTAGATGGTGGATCTTCATTTGAACCAGTCCCTGTCACTGTAACTATCAACGACCATGTGCATTGTTTCGATCAACTTGTTTATTGATTCTCCCTCTCTCTCTCAAATAGATTTGCATTAAATTAGGTGCTGTTGGAGACTCATGTATCTATGATAGCCAATGTATGGATGGTCTTGATTGTTATAACTCTTTCAACAATGGAACCTGTCAATACCCCAGATTTGCTCAATTGGGTGAAGATTGGTAAGAACAACAACAAGAAGAAGAAGAAGAAGACAATGCAATACCTCCTCTAAAAAGTACTAACATTGATATTTACTATTTATTTATTTATTTATTATTACTTTCTCTATTACAGCAGAAACGATAAAGAATGTTACTTTTATTTAAAGTGTGACCCATTCGAAAAGCAATGTGTTGCTGATCTTACAGAGTAAATATATCTCTCTCTCTCTCTCTCTCCACTTCAACATTTTATTAACCAACTATTTCCATAGAATCCAATGTGAAACCAATCTCCAATGCTCATATGGATACCAATGTAACAAAACCTCTAACCTTTGGTAAGTTTACTTTTGTACAATTTGGATTGAAAGTTTATTTATTTATTTATTTATTTATTTATTTATTTATTTATTTATTTATTTATTTATTTATCCAGTGGTCCAAGAGCATCATTGGGACAATTATGTGAGGACACTGAAGATGGATTCTCCTATATGTATTGTCAAGAAGACCTTGTTTGTAATAGAGACAGTGAAGGTAATCATACTTGTGTCACTCCATTCTCTATCGCCGCTGGAAAGGGTTGTGATAGTGGTGCCGAAAACCTAGCTGGGTAAGTAAATTAAATGACCAACCCCCTCAATTGCATGAGTGTAGCTATATCATCATATTAATTTGTTTTCCACTCCAATCTCTTAGAAACAATGGTTACTATATCTCACCATGTGAAGCTGGAGCTCATTGTTATATGGATGTATGTACCAAGCCCAACATCACTGCAGCATCAGTCAACTGTTCCACTGATAGCCACGTATGCTCATTTGTTGAATATTGTGCATGCAACAATGGAACTCTAATGGAAGGTGCCACTGGACAATGTACCTCATATTATATCAGCAACACCGAGACTATCAACAAGTGTGTTGAATACACCAACGAGCTTTTGAGCTGTCTCAAGGACAATAAGTGCTCAGGCTATACTCTCGATCCAGAAGTCGAAGGTACCTACTTTGTTGCAAACTCTTGTGGTTACAGACACTGTCGCAGTGAAATTTGCAACATCCAAGCTGAATGTACTGCTCAACCTCCAAGCCCACCTCCAACCTGTGGTGATACAAATTTGGACGAACTGCACTTTTGTGCCGACTATAGTTCTGCCAGCACTCTTTTCGCAAGAGTTTCTTGCTCCATCCTCTTTGCCATCATCATTGCTCTCCTTTTCTAACTAAATCATAATAATGTATTATTTATTGATTCATGAAATTTTTCAAATTTTTTAAAATTAAAAATAGTGGATCCCCATCCTTTCTTTGGCTAGCTTATCCTTGTTTAACAACAATAATTCCCTATACATACTATTTTTGAAAGGTTGGGGGTATCTAATACCATCACGGTTCAATGTGTCTGGCAGCAACAGACTTTTATGAAAGATATTGTATAAAGATGTAAAGACATCATTGTGGTAATCTGCTTGCTGGTAAATGGGTACAGATGGTAGCCATTTCATCATCATAAACTTTGTTAAATACTTCCATTTTTCAATTCCACACCATCATCTTTCAACGAGAGATCTTATTTCAGAAATTAAACAATTGGGTTCTATAAAAAAAGAAAATTCTTTTAATTTGCAATTTGAATTAATTATGAACAATTAATCTGTAAGTCTTGTGATCCGGTATTGGTCCATTTTAAAAAACAAACAATTGTTTATCATTTTTTTTATTATTTCTTTCATTTTTTTAATTACCACCAAAAGATATTGGACCTGATCTTTGACCACCAAATCTACTACCTCCACCATTGTTATTGTTATTATAACCACCACGACTTCCACCTCTATTATTATTGTAACCACCACGACCTCCACCTCTATTATTATTGTAACCTCTGTTTCCACCAAAACCTCTATTGTTGTAACTATTATTTTGTTGTTTTCTTGGAGCTAAAGCTTTGAGATCTTCAGGGATTGGTTGATTGGCACGTTCTAAAAGATCAATGACATCTGGGATTAATTCGATATCGTTGCTTGAAGTTTTGGAGATGAGAGAGTGAGAGTAACCGGAAGCGCCAGCACGAGCGGTACGACCGATACGATGAACGTAGGATTCGGATTGATTTGGCATTGAAAAGTTGATGACATCGGTGATGGTACGGATATCCAAACCACGCGAGGCAACATCGGTAGCGACCAAAATGTCGAGTTGGTCACGCTTGAAGGCGTTGATGATGGCGATACGACGGCTCTGTTGCTTGTCGCCGTGGATAGAGTCGATACGGGCGTTTCCATTGGAACGAATGTAATCGGCGAGCTTGTCGGCACCGCCCTTGGTCATGGTGAAAATGAGCACCTTGGCGGTTGGACGCTCGGTAAAGATGCCTTCGAGAACGTCGATCAACTTGGAGGTCTTGTCAGCCTCGGTCTCGCAAATGGTAAAGTTTTGGGTGATGTTTGGGTTGGCAGAGAGTTCACCGTTACCGACTTGGACACGGATGGGTGTCTTGATGAATTCGTTGGCAAGAGCCTCGACCTTTTTGGGCCAGGTGGCAGTCCAGTACAAAAGTTGGTGGTCTGGACGAACATTGGAAAAGATTTGACGGATTTGATCTTCAAAACCCATCTCGAGCATACGATCGGCTTCATCCAATACAACGTATGAAGTACGTTTGAGTGAGAGGTATCCATCATTGGCCAAATCAAGAATACGTCCTGGTGTGCCAACAACAAATTGTGGCTTGTATCTCATTTGTTCGATTTGTTTAATCTTGGGATCACCTCCATACAATGTTGCAAACTTTAATCCACATGCCTTTAAATATGGTGCCATCTCTTGTGCAATTTGTACACTTAATTCTCTTGTTGGTGCTACTACTAATACTTGTGGTCCAAAGTCTAAAGAAAAAAGAAAAGAAAAGAAAATTAGAAATAAAAAGATAGAAATTGAAATATTTTAATTCTATTCTTACATTTAACTTGTTTTTGAGCTAAAATATGCATAATAGCTGGAATACCAAATGAAAGTGTTTTACCAGATCCAGTTTGTGAAATACCTAATAAATCTCTTCCTGCCAAACTTGATGGCCATCCCTAAAAATAAACAAAAATTAATATTTATTTATATTTTCTATTTTCTTTTTTTTTCTTTCTACTTACAATAGTTTGAATAACAGAAGGTTTTTCAAAGTTTGTATTTAAAATACTTTTAATTTGAGCTGGGAATGGGGAATCATCAAACTCTGTGATTGGATTTGGAACGGCAGATTGATCACGAGAAGTGACAAAGATGTTGTTATCCTTGAAATAGGCGTCACGATCGGCTGGTGTCATGGATGCAGTGTTTTCAGATGGGACATAGTCTACTGGTTCAATGGCTGGTAATTGTTCCAATGACCAGTCAACTGGAGCAAGTGGATTTTGAGCATCACCTCCACCATTACCCATCATCTTGTTTGAACCACCACTTCTTTCAATAAATCCCATATTCATTGGTTCAGAGTCGTCATCTTGTTGTTGTTGTTGTTGTTTTTGACCAAATGAAAACTTTACACCATCTCTTGGTGCTCTTGTTTGTTGTTGTTGTTGTTGTTGATAACCAAAAGATGATTGATTTTGATTATTATTATTATTATAGTTATTGAATGATCTATTATTATTATTGTTGTTGTAATTGTTATTGAATCTATTCAACATGAAACTTGAAGAACCAAAGAATCTTGATGATGTAGTTGAAATAACTACTGCAGCAGCAGTAGTAGTATTTGATGTTGTAACTGAAAATACAGATGATTTTAATAATGAAAACATATTTGATCTTTTATCTCTATCTATCTCTGTCAATTGATTGTTGTAGTTGTGTGTTTTAAAAAAAAGTAAAAGTAAAAGTAAAAAAGGTTGAAGAGGGGAGAGGGGGGAAGGTAGTACTACTGAATCGATTGTATTAATATATTCAGTTTTGCAATGGATGATGATGATATAACACTTTTTAAATATAAATAAAAAAATATTATTTGTATGAATGCCGAGAGGAGAGCGTGTTGTAAAATAAATAAAAAAATGTTTTAATAATTATGTTGTGTCACAAACGAACGAAAGTTGCTCCAACTCTCGTCGAGGATCAGATCAGTTAAAAAAAAAAAAAAAAAAACAAAAATTCACCAAAACACAACTGCTTGTTCTAATATTATTATTATTATTATTATTTCTTTTAAATTTAAAGAGTGCTTATTTATTTAGAATACATAACCAAATTGACCACTTTGAGGGAAGAATTCTTGATCAACCTTGTAGATTTTACGTTTAGTCTTTAACTTGTCACCAAAGACGTCGGTGGTTCCTTGTTTTAGTTTTGGTGCATGTTCTTTGATGTAACGATCGATTTTCTCTTGACTGTCGGTATGGTATTGGATGACATATTGACTATGATCAGCTGGCAAACCTTCAATGTTTTGAGTGACCTTGTTAAAAGTAGCCTTTATAAAGAGTCCTTGTTCAAGATTAAGTATTTGTTGAATATGTTTTGGAATCCATTCATCCCATTTACCAACTACTTCACTTGGTACTAAACATTCTACTTCATAAATATAAATATTTGGCATGACTATAATTATAATTATTTCTTTCTTTCTATCTCTTTTTTATAAATTAAAAAATGAAATTGAAGAGACAAGTGTGTTGTTCAAAGGTCCACAATCAAGCTAATTTGGTTTTCGAAAATATAGTATCTTTTTATTTTAAAACGCGCAAAAAGAGAAAGATGAATAGATTACTAGTAGCAATAGTAACATTGTTATTAATAGTAACTACTACTACTACTACTATAGTTTCATCAACATCATGTGATTCTATACATCTACCTAGAGATATAAAACTACATCATTTATATCCAGACAAGGAATTATATGATCAGATTATATTACCACAATCAAGAGATGCACCCAAAGGTGATGCGATAGGTCATATAATAGATTCATCAAAATCACTCTTTTATCAATTACATAATCTACAATCAAATACTTTATACGCTATTAGAATTTCTCATACTGCTTCTGTAAGAAACAAACTATATAAATATAGATAGATATGATTGATAGACTACAAACTCATACCTTTTTTTTCTCTTTTTTAGAGCCCAGCAGATTATAAAATTAGATTCTATAATCCAACAAATAATAATAATAATAATCAAAATCAAAACAAAAATTATGATGAATTATTAAAAAAGAAACCAACATTTCAAAGAGATATATTAAATACAGAAATTATTAAATTTAAAACAGATTCAAATGGTGTACCATTTGATATAAATGGATGGAATGATGGTCAATGTATGATTCTAACAATTGAATCTTTTAATACTGGAATTACACCAATTAATAATAGAGATGATAAAGATATTAGATTGGTATCATTTAATTTAATAATGGATACTGAATTGTTTGGTGTACCTCCAGAAATACCAAAAATGGTATTCATCATTTTAATTTCAGTCCTCGTATTTTTCTTTGTATTTATAAAGAAATTATTTCCAAAAGTTAAAGGTTTACAATTATTAGTTTAAAAACTAGAAAATAAAAGAAATTATTTCTCTAATTTATTTTGTCTTTTTCATATCAATTAATTCAATTGTATCATTTGAATCGAATGAAAAAGAGGTATGACCAAATGATTTAAAGAATTGAGCATGTTCTTTGTTTGTATAACCTTGATTGATAAAAGCAGCCATACGTGATAATGCAAGACATTGTCTTACAAGAATTTGATAGTCTAGTGCTCCAGCAATCATTAACAATGTCATAAACATACCAGCATGGGCAAATACTAAAGGTCCCTCGCACTCTATAGTATGATGAATGCGATCTTTTGAAACCCTATCCTTTTTCATACACAGCTTTGCAGTAAATCCATTCATTTCAATCAACTTTAGGTAAGCAACCAATGCCTTTTCATAACTTGTTTCTTGATATGATACTGCAAGTCCTGTAAATGGATGTTGTAATTCTAATTGATATGGTCTTTCTGGATCATTATATGTATTTTTTAATTGTTTCATCATCTAAAAATAAAAATAATTAATAATTAATAATTAATATTATTTAAAGATTTAATATCTCTTTTTTTTTTTTCTATTTTTTTTTACCAATTCTAATTTAGGACCAAAAATTCCTGGTGTAGCATTATCATGATATAATTTTGGACGAATATTTTGAAAATAATCTTCACATATTAATTTACGTAGATGACAATTGGCTGCAGATTCTTGACTATCCAATCGACAAAGTTTACATTCACATAGACCAATATGATCTTTTCTTTCGGAATAGGAGAGATTTGATACTGATTTTCTTGAAATGAAAATTTCTTCTCCTGCTTTGAGACTTTGTGCCGCCACGACAAAGATATAATCACCAATATTAAAATAACCTGCATTTTGAATGCAGGCATGATTGACTAGTGTAAGCATGGGCCAGAGTCCCCAAGCACCAACAATTGAAATAAAATTACCACCAAAAAGAGCAAGTTGTGATATTTCAACATTTAAAAATTTTCTATCATTTTGATTGTAATTGATATCCATTTTCTCTGTCTCTTGATTGTTGATAAATTTAAAATCTTCTAGTTGTAAATTTGGATCGGCTTGAACTCGTTCTACCAAATTATTCGTACCCTCTTCAAATTGCATAATTTGTGGTGCAAATGCCAATATTGCTCTACATTGACGATGTTGATGTTGATTTAGACTCGGCATGGCCTTTGTACATTCTCTCAACATGTTTAATGAATCTTGTTGGTCGAAAATCAATTTCTGACTACTTAGACCTTTGACATATTTGACCGCCTTGTTTACAAATAGAATGGTTCCGCCCTGTACATCTCTAGTACATTCCAAACCAATTCTATCTGTATTGATAAATGGTGCTGTTTTGGTTCTGGTCTTTTTAATTCTTACTGGACCAATATACTCGCTAATATCAGTCTCTTCAGTTGCCTTTAGATGTTCTTTGAGTTCTTTGAATTTGAATATACCATTGTCTCGTTCCTCTAATCTTGCCAAACAATCTCGTACATTTAATTTCAACTCTTTATGTTCACTTTTTGGTTGTGTCTCTAATAGTCGATTATTACATTCCAATGCCTTTTCATACATTCCAACTGCATAATATCCTTTTGCCAATCTTGTCAATAATCTTGCAATATTATTATCTTCCAACGTACCAGATGCCAACAGTGGTTCACCCAATGCAAATGCTTCATGGTATCGATAGAGTGATAGTAATGCCGACAACTTGTTGAGTAAAAGAGTTTCATGTTGTGCGTCAATCTCTAATCCCTTGTCATAACATTCCAATGCCAATTCAAACTTTTTGTTTGTATAATTTGTATTTCCTTTTAATCTCCATTCATCAATTGGTAAAGTAGTTGTTGTTGTTGTTGGTTAAGGTTTTGGTTTACTTGTATTTGTTGTTGGTTTGGGTTGGTTTGTTGATTTTTTTGCCATTCTATCCTTTTAAATTTATCTTTATAAAGTACAGTATGCCTCGTGTGCTTATTCATTGTAACGAAAAAATTATTCAATTTTTTTTAATTTTTTTTAATTTTTTTTTCGAAACCTGAGCCAACTTTGACAAAAAAACATTTCCTCTAAATCAAATCAACAGCAACAGATAAACTGTAACTACTATATAACTATGTGATATCTATATATGAGGATTAGATAATATAATAAGATAATGAATGTTTATTGAATATGTTTGGGTTTAAATACTCGCTGGGAGCAGAGTAGTATGACACTATGCTCACATAAACTTTTTTTTTGCCGGCAAAAAAACAACAAAAGACTAGCTTTTCATCGTATCGATCGATGCACCTGTGGGTTATGAGCCCACCGCTCTACCACTGAGCTAAAAAGCTTTGCTATATATGGCTTGTGAGACCATGAAAAATCCGGGTATATATATACCCCCCTCTCTGCTGACGTCGTTGGGTACCGTCTAGCGTCCCACCTTGAGCGTCTTGACCGTAAGCCAGCAATGGAACCAGACAAAAGAGGAAGAGTACCTCTCAAACAAGTGTACCTCCAAAGGCTGACCATATCCAACGAAAAGTGGAACGTGTACGACCCGACCCCAGGCCAAAAGATCTTAGCAACCGATGACAGAGTGTATCCAATGAATGCACTAGCTGCTCTATCTACCATCGTACTACCAAAGGGTCGAGATCTGGTTTGGAAATACGTAACCAAATGTCTCCCGCTCGTCAGGGGTGACCCAGTCGCCTCCACCTGTGTGACGTGTGGCAAAGATGAATCCTCCAAGCATTTGTTCTTCCAATGCAAGGAGACCACGCTGCCAGTGAAGATACTGAAAGAGGTTACTGCTGCCAACAACATTCCACCACCAGTCTGGGACATCACCCTCCTCAACCTCAAACAAACTCCAATGACTATAAACTTGGTCGCTGCAACACTAGAACGAATATGGTTCCGACGTAATGATCTACGTCACCAAAGAGATGAACCATTCACTGAACAATACCTGCGAGCTAGATTGATAAGTGATATGCGACATATTATAAAAGTAAACTGGGACAAGACGTTAGAATTATGTAACCGATGGCACTTGGCTCTAATGAACCAAACCGACGAATCAGTAATACATACGATTACAGAACGAATACAAACTATCATCCTTCGATTCTCCTCCAACTACAACCATCCTACTGTCTACAAGATCGCACTACCTAGTCATTTAGAGAGGTACAAGACTCTGCGTACTCTTCATCTATAATCGTTCACCCTCAGCTTCATTCCTCTCATCCTCTTCACCACCGCCATCCTCTTCTATTCTCTCTACAACTATCAATAATAATATTAATAATATAATAATTCACTAAATAATATGAATAATAATAATTATATCAACCCAGTATTGTAGCCTATAGTGCTAGTGAGAAAAAAAAAAAAAAAAAAAAAAAAAAAAAAAATAATAGCGATATCTTTAACCAATTTATTTTTAGAACAAGCAACAATCCAAAACAATCCAACATGCTTGACACTATACAAAAAGATACATGATCAACGTCCATACAACATGTATCATAGACATGGACAAACCCCCAGAACAAATTAACTTTAATTCTTCTTGAGATAATCTTTATTTCTTGCTGGTCAATTAAAAAGTAAAATTAATAAAACTTTGTAACTTCTGAGTACTACTCTTCCCGATAGGAGAGAACAGGAAAAGAATTACTTTAAAAAAAAAAAAAAATACCCCCCCCCCCCCCGAGTTTGGAATTTTTCTGAAATAGAGAGAAAGAGATAGAAACAGAGAATTACGTATAGAGTACTATAGAACTTCTCTCAAACATCAACTATCTTCAACTATCTTCAACTATCTTTTATCAACATTACTATTTCTTCACACTCACTAAAAGCCACAACTAATTGCCCTAGTGTGCCCCCTTGTTCAATTATTTATAGAGAGAACAATATCAATAAAGATAATACAGGTTATTAGATATTGACACATTCATTGTTGGTAAAGAAAGTGACTCATTCGTAATATTATCACCAGATCAACCAACAACAACAACAACAACACAAGATGATATAGTAAAAGTAAAGAAACAAACAAAGAGATCATCAAAGAAAAAGACAAGTCACGATGATTTTGAAAATGATCAAGGTAAGAAGAGGCTACTAGTACAATGCTATCCGTTGAGTATAAATGTATATTAACTGTATATTTTCATGTAGATATAACCAATTTTACAGAGAATGAATTAAAATGTAAATTTAAACAAGAGTTGATTGTAATTTGCAATAGATTGGGTATACAATCATCAAATAGTCAATTAAAAGATACAATTATCCAACAAATCATCAAACAACAAGAATTTAAAAGCAAGATGGTTGACAATAATAAACCTTTATTCGATTACAACAAGGGATCACTCGAATATTCATTACCGTGGCCAATCATCAGTAGAATAATCACACAGTTTTGGCAGGAATCATCTATTTGTACTTGTTACTATAATCAACAAACAATAGATACTATAAAAGCAAACCAATATAAACGGTGTGGCGTAATGTGGCCAATATATCTATCAATGTTTGATGATAGTAAAGAATCTGCGATGCAATGTCCAATGCATAGATACCACTATTTAAATGATTTGGATCCATCAATCAATATTGCCAGACCCTTTACATCAACAGTCAATGACAAGAACAAATGGAGATTTCAACTACTCAACATATCAAAGCGAGTCAATCAATTCATATCATCAATTTATTTTGATAATATTTCATTCAAACTCGATCAAGAAACATGGAGTCATCTCAACAACAATCAATATTGTCCAATTAAATCACCAAAAATAGTTCATTTGTATGATACAAAAGATGACCTCTCATTTATTGGAGATCAAAATATCGTTGCAACGATATTTAATATGGTTGAAAACCTAACACTTGATAATGTTAATCTCAAAGCACCCAACAACAAGATTATACCAAAAGTATTCAATAATATCTAATCAATCACTGCTAAATATTCAAATACCACAACAACAACAAATCAAAAACAATTGGAATATGACCGATTATGTAAACCTCAATTCCTATCAAGTTTTAAGAATCTCACATCAATCAATTTACAATCGTATCAACCTTTAGAAAAAGAAAACAGAGAATCATTTTTGGCAATCCTATCAAAAACAATGACAAGAAGAATAACCAAACTATTACTTCCAATCGATTGGTGCCGGTCGGTAAATCTTGACACTAAATTCAACCTAGGTATTGTCAATAGCAATATTATTCCACTACCACAAATGAGAAATTTGAAAACATTCCATTATTACAACTATTCCTTATACCGTTCCTCATTTGATAATCCAAACCTTACAACTCTTGTCGATCATTCTTGTGGTGATCATGGGAGTGGGTATATTAGCACATTTATCAACAGTCTTCCAACAACCATTTCAACAATCAAGCTCAAACCTGGCACCTCTCTCTTTAAACATTTATTTTCGGACCAAACTCTTGGTTTGTTGAATCTCAACAAACTATTAATAGACTATGATTTTGAAATAACTGATCAAATAATCAATCATTTTGCAAAGTATGGATATCAATATCATGGGGCAAGATTTAAAGGTTCAACAACAAAAAGACAATTCAAATTTATTAAATCAACAACCAATGAACCACTAATTAGATCAACAAAATCAACTACTACACCAACTTTTCAAAATGAAATTGTCCTTAATAATAATAATAATACAACACTTGCCTATTTTTTAATTGAAAAGATTGTTAGATACTCTTGGAACAGTTATTATTGTACTTGTGAACAAATTACCAACCACAAAGACTCCATTAAACTACAATGTCAGCAACTATTCAATGCAAAATCAATATGCCCTGTTCACAAGAATAGTGATACACCAAAGAAAGATACCGATGAAAATATTCTTTATCAAAATATTAATCAACTTCGATTTGGATTGTCGCTTGTATGCAAACGATTATTTGAATTTATTTCAAAACATCTTATCAAGAATATATATATATATATCATATGCATATCAACACTCGGAAATCAGCAAGTACCAAACACATTTTTCAAATCCATATTGTTTGCTTGGTAAATCAATTGAATACCTTGTCGTGGATTTTAGTCAAGATCAAAATAACCTTCACCTTGATCATAGCTATTCAAATGTAAAAAAGTTTAATACTGGATGTGGGTTTGGTCCCACAAAAAATCAAGACTTGCTTGCATCGATTCTTTCATTTAAATCACTCACCGAATTGGACTTGTCTAATTGTTCAGATATAACAATTAACTATTTAATGGATAGTCTAAAGAACTTGTCACTCAGAAAGCTCTTTTGCGGGAATGAACCGCCTCAGTCAATGTTTAAAAAAGATTCATGTCTATCAAAGTCATTGGAGGCAATATCAATCAATTTATCATTTTTGAAATATCAAAGTAACCGACAGGTATTGTACAATCTTTCTCAACTCAGACATCTCAGAATCATCTGCACCAAAAAACACAAAATATCATACGCCGACGGTATTTATAGACGAGTTGCTCTATCCCTTCCACCTGGTATTCTTAAAAAATCAACAAATGATGCCTATGTCACGAGGATCATCATTCATAATCCTCAAATCAATCAATTGGTGATACTCGAGAATACTACACATTCCTATCGTGTTGATCTAGTCTACCACCAAGATCTTTTCCAACTGAAAATCCAAAAGATTGTCATCATATCAAGTAAACACCAATATTTGCAGTTTTACAAACCAAACAACTTTCAATTCATTGGTGCTTTTGTGACAAATATGGATCAATCCATCGGTTGCAAGAGAGTCTACATAAAAAGAAAAATAAATCAATCCAATTAAAATGTTAATTATTAAATTATGTACAAAAAAATTTATTTATTTATTTTATTTTGATTGTTTAAGAGTATTATTTAACCAATCCAAACCTTCATAAATACCATCACCTCTAGTAGCAACAGTTGATTGTATAAACCATTTTCTTTTCAAACCATGTAAACCCAATTCGTCTGTTAATTGAGCGACTGACATTGCATTTGGATCATCCATCTTGTTGGCCATGACAAGTAAAACAGAGTCTCTCAAATCATCATCATTGATGGCATTCATCAACTCTTCCTTTGCCTCGCCTACTCTTTCTCTGTCTGCAGAATCTACAACAAATATAACAGCAGATGTTCCAGAATAATAATGTCTCCATAATGGTCTAATCTTTTGTTGACCTCCAACATCCCATACTGTAAAGTTGATATTTCTAAATAAAAAAAGAAAAGAGAGAATTAATAAACATTGAAATGATGATATTAATAAATAATTCTACAGATTTGCATACTTGAATTCTACAGATTCAACATTGAATCCAATAGTAGGTATAGTAGTAACGACTTCACCTAGTTTTAAACGATATAAAAGTGTTGTCTTTCCAGCAGCATCTAATCCAATCATCAATATACGATAATGTTTTCCTTTACCAAAATTTGATAATAATGATAAGATTAATCCCATTGTGATATTTATATATATATGTGTTAGTTGTTTGTATTGAATGATTTGATATTATCAATCAACAACATGTTGATTATTTATAGTTGTCTTTTATGATCGAGTCATAAAGAGTAAAAGAGATCACCATCCTTAAAGTGAAAGTCTGATTGCTGAGTATTAAAATATGACTCAAAATTCGCTGAAGCTCAGTGACTCACGAAATTATAAAATTAAAAAAAAATGATATTAAATAAAGAAAATTTGGTGAATAAATACCACTTTTGTATATTTATTCAAAATAATAATTCATTTTATTCCTACCAACTACTCGATAGGGAATTGAGCAAAAAAAAAAAGATCCAGGTGCCTAAAACATAAAAAAGAGTGCACCAACCGAGAATCGAACTCGGATCGAATCCGTGGCAGGGATCCATTCTACCATTGAACCATTGGTGCTACTGTTGAATATTTTTCTGATCTCTGGGCCTGGACCCGCCCACGTGGGCGATTTCTTTTTTTTTTGAGGATAGAAAGCCATCTGACATCTCTAATACAATATGCAACACCTAAAGACGAGTGTCCACAATGGGGAGTAAATCGGCGCGAGAGTTGAGAGCGGCAGTCGGTTTTGGACGCACCCAAGGCTTAGGTTTCACCGCAAGTATGGTAATTTCGGAGTTGTTGCCATATTTGCGTCAACCTCAAACAACCTCCAATGACCATAAACTTGATTGCTGCAACCCTCGAACGAATATGGTTCCGAAGTAATGATCTACGCCACCAAAGAGATGAACCATTCACTGAACAATACCTGCGAGCTAGATTGCTAAACGATATGCGGCATATTATAAAAGTAAACTGGGACAAGACGTTAGAATTATGTAATCGATGGCACTTGGCTCTAATGAACCAAACCGACGAATCAGTAATACATACGATTACAGAACGAATAAAAACTATCATCCTTCGATTCTCCTCCAACTACAACCATCCTACTGTCTACAAGATAAAACACTACTCTTCCCGATAGGAGAGAACAGGAAAAGAATTACTTTAAAAAAAAAAAAAAAGCGATTTTTTTTTCTCTCATTTGGGCAAATTAGCTACATCGCTATCTACCTTCCTAACTAAAACTAATCACTATCTAACAACTACTACAAATTAAACAACAATAATATTAAATCATTAATTTAAAAATAAAAAATATGACTTCAGTGGTGATTTATTAAAAACAAAATTTTAACGATGGATATGGAACACAAATCAGAATCCGTGGCAGGGATCCATTCTACATTTGAACCATTGGTGCTACTGTTGAAGATTTTTCCGGCATTCCCACATCTTTGGGGATAGAGGCCAGACTTCGATTGGTCAATAGCTCAATGTAAGAGTGGTTGTCATTGTTTCTTCATGTTTTATACACAAAAAATTGGTGCTCATCGAAGTTGTTTATTCAACTCGTCTTTATAGCTAAATCAAATCCAAACGACATCAAGCAATATTAGATTGGTTTTAAGTAAATAAATAAATAAATAAATAAATTAAATATATTTTTACACCTTTGTATTGTTTAGTTGATTCAAAAAATTAAAGATATCAATCCTTGGATAAATGAATGAATGTTTCATCAAAATGTCAATTGATTCATGTTCTGTTCTATTTTGAATTAAAAATTCAACTATATTTAAATGAGCATTATCAATTGCCTAAATGTAAATAAATAAATAAAATGAATTAAAAAAGAAATCAATATTTATATATTTATATATTTAAAACATACATTTAACATTGCTTTTTTTTGAACAACCTTCAGTTCTATTAAAATGAAGAAACTATATATATATAATATTATATTAGTTTTTAATCTTTCTTTTTTTTCTTTTTTTTATTTTTTTATTTTTTTACCTTTAAAACATCTAAATTACCTTGAGAACAAGCCAAATCCATAATTTGATGATCAATTTTAGCCTCTGGTCTATTATCATGTAGATATTTTAAAATGTCCAAAGAACCTCTAAAGACAGCCTCTAAAAATTCAGAATTGTCCCAATCTGCCAATTCCTCTGGGTCCAATTCACTCCCATGACTCGCCAAATATTGATAACGAAAAGGATCTATATATTTGATAGCATCCAAATTATCACACCAAAACACACTTTTTAATATTAAAGGAGTCCATTCTACCTGTTGTTTTGCTAGTTTGTTTGTAAATAATTTGATGAGTGGCAAATTACCATTTGATATCACTCTATTTAGAGTATTCCTATGATAACCTTCTGTTCTATTGAATAATAAAAATTCAACTATATCATTATAACCACCTCTTACAGCTCTATCAATTGCGTCTGTTGAACAAATAGAGTCTGACGACGACGAGTCGACAGTTTGATCTCTATCTTGATAACGAAAATGTAACATTTTTACAATATCAATATTACCACTTCTAACTGCAGCATCAATGATACGAGTAACTTTAACATCTTTTGGCAGCCAATCATCCAATAGATGACCAAGAGTCGATACGGTAGCATTCTTGTGAGAGACGTATAGATTAGCTATATTATCACCACGCATATTGACTTGATCTATAGGTGGTAAATGATGAACCAGAAAATCCCATGGCATTGCATAGGTTTGAATTAAAACTATAAAAAATTGTTTAGACAATTCTCTACCTTTGATATAGTTTATAGTTACAGAGTTTTGATCATCTTGATAAACAGATCTAGTTGATGGTAATGTTGATAATGATTGAAATATATAATTTCTTATATATAATATTCTAAATATATTTATAAATGTTATATTCATGACGAGCAGGAGTAATCTTTAAAGAGTACTTGGTTTCGCAAAGAGTTGTTTTGTTTTTTTTTTTTTTTTTAATTTTTCAACTATTTTTTTTTTATGATGGTGATGTTCAAACACCCATCATCACAATTTACTATTATCATTAATTAAATTTGAAGAAGAGTCAAGTAATAATTAAAAAGTTATTTCGATTTGAATCAAATATTTGTATAGTAAATCAATCAATCAATCAATCATAATAGTATCGTATAGTTAGTAAATATAGATATAGAGTAGTTATATAAATGCCAGCAGAAAATAATAATAACAATAATGCTGCTACTGCTGCAAAACCAGCAGACCCAGTTAAAAAAGAACCAGCAAAGAAAAAGGATGAAAAGAAGGAAGATGCTTTGGTATGTGAAAAAAAGATAGATAAAGAGAGAGAGAGAGAGAGAAAGATAGGGAGAGAGATAACAACATTCTTTTTTTAAATATACTCATACTTTTACTTTTTTTTTTTTTACTTTTACCTTTTCTAGTCAGCAGAAGATGAAAAATTAAAAGGAGATTTAGAAATGTTGGTAGAACGTGTTAAAGATAGTAATCAAGAACTTGCTTTAGCAGCTTTAGAATCATTAAAGACAGAGATTAAATCATCAACTTCATCAATGACATCTGTACCAAAACCACTTAAATTCCTTGGTCCACATTATAATAATCTTACAGAATTATATAAAACCTTTGATGAAGGTAAAAAAAAGGTAAAAACCAGAAATATATATATATATAATAGTCATTCTATATCATTCTTTTTTCTCTTTTTTTCTAATTTCTTTTTTTTTTTATTTTTATTTTCTACTCTCTTTCTTTTTTTATAGAAATCATTAGCAGATGTATTATCAGTATTGGCAATGGCCAATAGTAAGGATGATGCCAGAGATACATTGAAATTCAGATTATTGGGATCTGGAGAATCGATTAGTTCATGGGGACATGAATACGTACGTCATTTGGCCACAGAGATTGGTCAAGAATACCAATTAAAGAGTGAAGAGACACAATCGGTCGATGATCTTTTACAATTGGTCGACGAAATCATTCCATTCCAAATGAATCATAACGCAGAGCCCGATGCTTGCGATCTTTTATTCGAAGTGGAACAATTGCCAAAGATTCTAGGTTTTGTCGACGATACAAACTATCTACGTGTTGCTCTCTACCTCACCTCGTTTGCAAACTATGTTCCAGGTCCTGATGATGTCAACATTCTCAAAATTGTCATTGATATCTATCTCAAAGCAAAACAATATCCAGATGCTCTTAGAATTGCTCTTAAAATTTCAGACAATACCCTTATTAATCATATTTTTACTTTAACTGAAAAGTATGTGAAACAAAAAAAAAGAGGTAGAGATATATATATATTAATTTTTTATTTATTATTTTTATTTTAAGGGATTTACCAATGTTACAACAATTAGCATTTATTTCAGCAAGACAAAAAGTATTACCAACAGAATTTGATGTTACACCAGTTGCCAATATCATTAATAATGCAAGATTGAGTGAATTTTTCCTCAACTTGGCAACCGATTTGGACGTTAGAGAACCAAAGTTACCAGAAGATATCTTCCAATCTCATTTGGATAGTACTGGTTCAACTGTCCCAGAATCTGCTCGTATTAATCTTGCAACTGGTTTTGTAAATGCTTTTGTTAATTGTGGTTTCTTGACTGATAGATTAATGTCTGATCCAGGTAAATTATAAATATTATTAATAATATTAAATAATAATATATTAATTTTCTACTCTTTTTTTTTTTTTTAGATAAACATTGGGTATTTAAAAATAGAGATTTAGGTATTTTAAGTACAGTAGCATCACTTGGTATGATTAATTTATGGGATGTTGATAATGGTCTTAGTAAATTGGATACCTATTTGTACAAGACTGATGAATTTATAAAGAGTGGTGCCATTTTAGGTATTGGTATGCTCTCTTCTGGTGTACGTAGTGAAATGGATCCAGTATTTGCAATGAATAGTGAACATATTACAAATCCAAATTCAAATATTAGAATTTGTACTATTCTCAGGTAAAACAAAACAAACAAAAAACAAAACAAAACAAAATAATTCCTTTATTTACTCTTTTTTTATTTTAATTTCTATTATAGTTTGGGAATAGCATATGCAGGAACAAAAAGAGAAGATATATCATCAATGATAACATCAATTGTTGATGATAGTTCAGTTGGAATGGATTTGGTTGGTATTTCAGCATTGGCACTTGGTATGATTTTCATTGGCTCTTGCAATGATGACTTGTCAACTCTGTTTGTACAAACATTGATGACTCGTGACAAGACTTCATTATCTAGCACTTTTTGTCGTTTCCTTTCTCTTGGTTTGGGTCTTTTGTATTTGGGCAAGCAAGACGAAGCCGAGTTGACACTTGAAACCCTCAAAGCCATTGAAGGTGCTCCAGGAGAATACGCTCGTCTTACTGTAGAGTCGTGTGCCTTTGCCGGTACTGGTAACGTACTAAAGGTACAAAACATGTTACACTTTTGCTCAGACGGAAAGGAGAATCCAAACCATAGTCTTGCCGTTCTCTCTATTGCCTTGATTGCCATGGGTGAAGAGTTGGGTGGTGAGATGTGTTTGCGTACCTTTGACCATCTCCTCCAAAAGGGTAATGTCCACATTAAGCGTGCCATTCCAATGGCTTTGGGTCTCTTGTCTGCCTCTAACCCACGTATTGCCGTCATGGACATTCTCTCCAAGTTGTCTCACGACCAAGACGTTGAAGTCTCTCAAGGTGCCATCCTTGCTCTCGGTCTCATTGGTGCCGGTACCAATAACGCCCGTGTAGGTGCTCTTCTCAAGGCTCTCGCTGTATTCTATGCCAAGGAAACTCATCTCTTCTTTGTTCGTATGGCTCAAGGTCTCCTTCATCTTGGAAAGGGTACCCTTACTATCAACCCTTATCATTCTGATCGTTCTTTATTATCACCTGTTGCCCTTTCTGGGTTATTAGTACTTTTACATGCTGGATTAGATATTAAAAATTGTAAAGAAAAAACAAAAAAAAGAAACAAAAAGAAAAAAGAAAAATTATATTAACTCTATTTTTTTATTTTCTATTTTTAGTGTTATTTACCAAAGCTCATTATTTATTCTATTCAATTGTTTGTTCAATTTATCCACGTATGTTGATGACTTTGGATGAAAATTTGAACCCACTTCCAGTATCGGTACGTGTTGGTCAAAGTGTAGATACCGTAGGCCAAGCTGGTAAACCAAAGACCATCACTGGTTTCCAAACACATACTACCCCCGTTTTATTAGGATACAATGATCGTGCCGAATTGGCTACCGACGATTACATTCCATTATCTTCAGTTTTGGAAGGTATTGTTATTTTAAAACCAAATCCAAATGCTTCAATATTATCACCAACTGTTACTAAAGCTTTGGGTAAAAAGTAAAAAAAGTAAACAAAAAAAAAAAAAAAGAAAGAGATAGCAAAAAAACAACCAAAAGTAATAATAATATCCAAAACAAATAAATAATATATTTTAAACAAACAATGATGATCAGATCCTCTCCTTCGATACCATGGTAGATCTAAAAAGATCTGCACAAAATTGCTCCGACAAAATTTAATGTTTTTGTCGTTTTTTGGGCATTGGCTTTTTAAAAAAAAAAAAATTGTGTGATGATGGGGAAAGAAGGGGTGTGTGATTTTTTTTGCACCAAACGACAGAACCCATCCATCACACACTCAACATTTTCTTTCATCATTCGCTCTCACACAGTTTTAAAAGATATATAACTATTTATCTATCTAATTCTTTAAAGAGATGAAACAAGATGTTATTATTATAGGATGTGGATGTATAGGATTATCAACAGGAATTATATTATTAAAGAGTGGCAAGGTGAATAATGTTTCGATTTGGTCTCGTGATCTACCACCCAATACCACATCAAACAAAGCAGCTGCAGTTTGGTATCCATTCCTTTCAAATCCACCCGATAAAGTAGGAAGATGGTCTCAAGAGACTATGGATTACTTTAAACTACATATCATCAATGATAAAAAGAGTGGTACCCTTGTTAAAAAAGTAAATGAAGTATTTAAACGTCCAAAGAAAGAAGATCCAGAATGGAAAGTATGCAAAGTGAAAAAAGAAAAAAAAGAAATAGATAAAAAGTCTAATTTATTTTGTATTTTTTAATTGTTTTTTTTAAGCCATATATACCATCATTTAGAAGAATTAGACAAGATGAATTACCAAAAGGATATGTAGATGGATATGCAATTGATGATGGTTTTGTTATGGATACTGATATGTATATGGATTATTTGGTTGATACTTTTAAATCACTTGGTGGTGTCATTGATCAACGTACAGTTGTAGATATTCGTGAACCAATGGTTCAAGCCAACATTGTCATTAATTGTACTGGTTTGGGATCACGTGAATTAATTGGTGATAGAACTATTTATCCTGCTCGTGGTCAAATCATTGTTATTGATAAAACTACTGAAAGATCTATTTTTGATGAAGAAGATTGTAAATATTAAAACAAAAGGAAAAAAAAAAACAATCCATTAATTTAATTTCCTTTCCTTTTTCTAGATATTGCATATGTTATACCAAGAATTACAAATACAGTATTGGGTGGAACTAATCAAGAACATGATTATAATACTGAAATTAATGAAAAAGATACTGAAGAAATTCTTGACAAGGTTGCAAATATCTCTGAAGAATTTCATAGAGTATGTATATATATAAATCAAATATCATACATGGATTCACAATTTCTAATAATATTTATATTCTCTCTTTAGAAAAATATTAAAATACTTGGAGTAAAAGTTGGATTGAGACCAGCAAGAGATGAAATTAGATTAGAGAGTGAATTCCATCAAGATGGAAGAAAATTACTTGTTCACAACTATGGTCATGGTGGAAGCGGTTTCACTGTTAGTTGGGGTTGTGCAGTTGAGGTTTTGAAACAACTTGAACATAATATACCAAAATTAAAACTTGATTCATTACCAATCATTCAAAGTAAACTTTAAAAAAAAAAATAATAAATATAAATATACATTGTAATACCTATCATCTATCTATATGTTTATAGAATCGAATGAATTAAACTCTAGAGTTTAGAAAGAAATATTAAGAGGTATGATTACTTAAATTAATAATCAATAACGCAGAGAGTTTATCATGAAAATGATGGTTTAATTTATTTATATTATTTGACCACAATCACTAAAAAGTATTTAGTAACTACTAATTTGTGGAGTGTAGAGTGGCATGTTTTCATATCTAGAGTATTGACCAGTGAAAGTGTTGAATTGTACGAGGGTGTTGGTTGCCGATGTGGGATTGTCAGTTGGCTTGCAACCAGAGCAGAGAACATTGAACTTGCCACCTGGATAAGATTCCTTGGTGAATCCAAAGGCACAGGATTGTGGAATATTGTTCATGTTGTAATAATAACCAGTCTTTAATACACCATCATCACTCTTGAAAATATTGGTGGCACAGATAGCAGCACCAGCATAGAAACTATTAAAAAAAAACACAACAAGTTTAATATATATATTCTAAAAATAATCATAATCATAATAATTATGATAATAATGATTACATACTCTGAAGCGATTTGTGATTCAGTGGCGATGGCAGCACCAAAGAGATTGGTACAGATGGCGGCTGCTGGAGTATTATCATTGGCTTTGACACTGAAAGTTTCAGTCAAGATACTAGTTGGGCCAACAGAAACCGAGTTAGCATTCCAATAACATCTGTTTCTCTATAAAATAATAAAAAAAATTGGTATTGTTAAAATCGACAAACAAATAATATTATGTAGTTTAAATGTTTTTAAACATACTTGGGATACCAAGGAATCCTTGAGCTGGCTTGAAACCAAAACAAATGAAACCAACTGCTTGGGTACCACCAACTGCTTGGAGTGCACCTTCAAATGGTCTAACAATAACATATTTACCAGCAGCTCCAGTACGGTCATCATGCAAATAACCAAAATATTCTATAAGATAAATATAATTAGATTATTTAGAGGCAATAGCTATATTTTATATTTTATATTTTTATTATACATACTCCATTCATAGCTAGATGGATACGGAATACTCATTTGAGAATCAAGTTCATTGTAGCTCACCTTTCTGCCACCAACTTGGGAGCATACCTCTTGGGCAAAGGCACCATTGTCATTGGCGATTGGCACATTTGACAAAAAGGTTGCATTGGGCATGTACAAGAAATATTCAGCACCTATTTTAAAAAAAAAAAAAAAGAAAGAAATAAAAAAGAGGAAAAACTATTGGGAGAAAAAAGATAGGAATTGCTTAAGTAGACTAATGCAAAGATGTTGATCAAAAAGTATGAATTTTATTCAGTCTAAATAAAATAAAGAGAAAAGTATAGCTTTCATATCACCTTGGGGTTCTGAAAAGTGTTTATTATGACAGCAGAGCATGACCATGTCCCGCGTGATCCAAATTGATGTCTGAACAAAGATATTTAAAAAAAACTGGTCAATCAGATTTTAATTGAAATGCTCAAAACGAAAGTTTTTATCGTCTTTTGATTTTAATCTATTGGCCAACCTCATTTTCCCTACCACGTCAGTAGTCCCAATAGTTCACCTTGGTTTGTGGGCATAGTGAGGTTTACGATAGGCCTAAAAGGTGATACATGTACCTTTGATAAAAAATAAGAAAACAAATGAAATGATTGGATCCCTTTGGCAGCTGAGAATCAGAGTCTACGTCAGCACTTTGATCCCCAATAGAATCCTTTCCTTTGCACTGTTTCCAGTGACTATGTTCAGTGACCAGTGACTTTGGGAAAAAAAGGAAAGCTTGTACAAAAGAAATGATTAGAAAATTAATTTAATAACAATTCTAAACCCATCAGATAACTATTTAAAGTGCTAATTTTTGTTTATTGATTCCAGTATAATAATTTCAATTCAACAAATACATTCTCTTCTTTCCTACCAACCACATCAACAACTAAACAACAACTTTTCTGTTATTTTCACAACAATGAGATTTTTACTTGCTCTTATTGTATTTGTCTGTTTGGCTTTCCAATCAGCTTATGCTCAAATTGGTAATTATAAAAGATATAATGTTTAATATTAGAGATACAGATATTCATAAACTAATATAATTTATTATTATTTCTCTTTTGGGAAGTCAAGCTGTTCATCGTGAGGTTGGAAAGGAAAAGGTTGTACAAGAAAGAGTCAAAAATGATTAGAAATTAAATTTAATAACAATTCGAAATCCATCAGATAACTATTTAAAGTGCTAATTTTTGTTTGTTTGATTCCAGTATAATAATTTCAATTCAACAAATACATTCTCTTCTTTCCTTTCCAACCACATCAACAACTAAACAACAACTTTTCTGTTATTTTCACAACAATGAGATTTTTACTAGCTCTTATTGTATTTGTCTGTTTGGCTTTCCAATCAGCTTATGCTCAAGGTAAATAAATTCCTTTCTTATCTTTCCGATTCTAATAATAATATTTGTTTTTTAAAAAATATTCTAACTCTTTTGTTTATTTTATTATTTTTTGTTCTATAGAATTCTTTTACTATCAACCAAATGGTAATTTTTCATCTGCTACACCACAAACCGACCTTGCCAATATTCATGCCAAGGTTTGTAAGCTCGTAGGATCCCAACCAGCAACCCTCTCTGTCTTTACCTCTGCTGTTAGTGCTGGAAACGACAACTCCAAGTATGAATGGGCCCTCTATGGTTGGATCAATGATCCAAGTACCACCTCTTACAAGTTGGTCAGACCAATTGCCCAAGCCGTTGAAATTTATTCTTCTAGTGTTGCCAATGCTGGTTTCATCTGTTTTGGTACCAAACCAATATTGGGATACCAAGGTGTATTAAAGTATGTTATTTTACATACAACAATTCAATTGCAATCATGATTTTTAAAAAAAATACTAATAAATTTTATTTTCTAATCTCTTTTTCTTAAAGGCGTAATGCTGGATACTGGACTCCAAATGGTGCCATCCTCAAGGAAGTATACACCGTTGCTCCTCCAGCTGGTTACACTGATATCAATGTTTTGGCAACTGATTGTTTCAATGGTGGTACTGGTGCCATTGTTGCCATGGTCAACCCTATCAGGGAAAACTTTTACCAAAACTCTTCCATCTGTGTCAATTCCTTGTATTTTGATAACCTTGGTCAAGAAGCCAGAGTTGGATATTACTTTGGTGTTAGAAACATTGCTGGATGTGCCTTTGGTTTCCACGACAATCCATACACTTCTGGTGTTATTGCTGGTATGTATTGAATGTATATTTACAAAGAAAATATTTTACTAAAAAAAGTATACTTTTTTTCTTTCTTTTTTTCTTTTAGCCGGTCTCTGTTATGGTCCAAAGCCAGTTCGTCCCTCTTACACCTATAACTCTAGAACCATCAATATCGGTAGTTTCAATAGTATGATTTCAAAATACTCTAGATTCGAGAATATTCCAAACGCCTATCTTGTCAAAAGTTTACCTTAAACTTTAAAACATATAAATAAATAAAAAAATAAATAAACATTTCTCATTCGAGTGAGTGGTATTATCTAATATATATATATATAATTTATTTGTTTTTAAATATTAAATGATTTATTTACAAAGTTATTTACAATTAATTGTTATTAAATAAAGAATTGATTATTTCTATTAGTTTTTTTTTAATTTGTTATCTTTTTTTTTTTTTTAGTTACTACCAGAACCAATCTTTTCTTCTTGTGATTTTCTCCTATTTAAATTTAATTTTTTTATTATTAATAATAGTTAATAATAGTAAATATATATCTAGTTTTCTCTATACATACAAAATTTCATCATCATATTTATTTCTTTCCCAAGCAGGATGTTTAGCATCTGGGATGATTGGATTTTTTAAGACAATCGGAGTGGATGCTGAAAAGGTAGCCAACATACCCTTGCTACCTCCCAAACCAGCTTGAGTAACGTCCTCTACGCTACCACTCTTTTCCATTCTTCTATTGCCTCCTTCAGTCAGACCTCTCTTTTTTTGTTCATAGCCACTTTGCTTGAGAGCATCACTCCCCAATACATCTCCCCACCATACCTTCCAATCTCCTGTCCATTGGTTCCATCCATAGTTTGTATTTTTTGACATTGTTAAATTGAGTATATATTTAAATATTATATAAAAAAGAGTATAGATATAAATAAATAAAGATTATCACTTGTTGGGGTTGATTAAAATGAATTAAATGAATGGTGTTTATTATGTTTTTATGTTGTTGTATATTGATTTAAAACAACAATGAATGGTTTAGTGGTAAGCTTTTAACAAAAAAATTACAAAATTAAATTAAATTTGGTGGTGTGAGGATAGTGGAGAAGAACTGAGCTAAAAAATTGACCTTTCTTTCCTTTTTTGGGTTTAATTTACTTTTTTTTATCTTCCTGAACATGTTAAAAGATTTAGAGAGGAGAGAGTACTTCGAAAATTATAATTGTCCTTTCATTGGGAGCTTCTAGAGGTGAACTACTACTAGTTTCTAGTCACATGTTCCATTTTTGGAGAATAAAAAAATATTAAAAAAAAAACATAGTTTTAATTTCTAGAATGGTTTAGCTGAGAGGAGGGGGGTACTATTAACTTGTCAGACTACCAATAATAGAATAGTAATCGTCGAATCTCTCTTGATGCAATTATTATTAACTATACAATTAAAGGAAGATGAAGATAATCAACCTATCATACCACCACTGTCATATACAATCGATATTGACAATATTCTATTCTCAGAGACACCCGTCAGTCGATTAAAAGAACTACTAGCCAATGAAATACCACCACTGCATCGTACAAGTGACAGATGTCGACTTGTTAGTGACATACAAGACTATATACTCAATGCGATCGTAACCAATGAACAACAAGATATAGAGTTTAAAGATAATGAATATATTGGTACGCCAACGTTGGCGTCTTTGACTCATACAACTATTGTACTTTTAAATGGTAGAGGATCAATTGATATGTCACATGAAGAGGAACCGATTCCATATGTGGTTGTATTGGTAAAGAATATATTTGGTAATGTTTGGCCATTGGTCATCCGATCCGATGACACTGTTGGTGATATTAAACGACGGATAGCAACCAAGATTGGAGTAAAGAAAACAAATCAACGTCTTATTTGTCAAGGTAGAAGTTTGGAAGATGGAAAACCTCTTCAATACTATCTAACAACAAATTTATCAAATCTTAATCAAGATCTTATCATCATTTATCTTGTACTAAGATTAAGAGGTCCATTTTAACAAACAAACAATGAAATTCAAACAATGTATATTTATTTTACAAATAAGAAAGTTGGATTTATTTATTTAATTAGCTTTTTAGATTTAGATAATATTTGATATGATTTTTTGTTGATTTGTTTATTTTAATTTTAAAAGAAAATAGATAAAATAACAATTGAAAAGAATGAGAGTATAGTATTTGATAATAGAATATTGGAAGAACCTGGAATCTTTTCAGATGGGAATGGTTGTTCACAGACACCAAAATTAAGGTAGGTGATGTTCTTTGCAAAACAAGCGGCTCTGGTTTGTTTGGAGCATTTACCTTGCATGTCACAAAACTGCTTTCTACAATTGACCATTGAACAACTGTTCTTTCCTTCATAGTCGGGTGTGTAGACACAGAACGCTTGGTCGACACAATCATAGAAAGCTTCCGATGCTAATTGACACGATGATAACTGCTCGGTTTGAACTGGAGTAACCAACTGACACACAGCAGAATTGGTGATATTTCCTTGACTGTCTGTATTGCAGAAACATTCTTCAAATAGATTGGAACAGTGGGAAGACTGACAATTGAGCGTACTTGGAGACTCTGTCGTATCGAATTTTACGCACTTGAATTCATTTGTACAACGAAGACCTTGAGAAATATTACATGCACTAATATATTGTCTATACATATAAGAATGAACTAGACAATCTCCCCCTTCTCCTACTGAAAACTTAGAAAATGAATTATATTAAAATATTAATATCTATGTATATATAAAATTTCTTTGTTTTTGATAATTACCATGTCTGAACAATATTTTTGACCAGTGACAGGACCATTACAAATTGAAAATTGTTTGCATTCATTTCCTTCATTACACTTTTCACCATTTTGTTTTCTTGTTAGACATTTATGGGTAGTAGAGTCACAGTATTTGCCAAACTCGCAATGGTAGAGACCAATCTCGCATTGGTATCCTTCCAATGTAGCGTTTTCACTCAATTGGACGACACATTTAGAGATTGTTGGATCACACTGTAAACCTCTATGGCAATCCCACTCATGGGTGCACTTTTCACCCAAGTTTGCAAATAAACCAGGTTGACAGATTTGATTGGGGCGACCATTACAATAGAGACCAGGTCCACATTGGTCACTGCTATTACATCTTGCTCCTTCTAGCAATGGTTGAATACATGTAGGTTTGCCTTGAATTAATTCAACACAGTTTAAATTACTAGTACATATCTTTGGATAATCTGATGGATCACTAAAAAAATATTTTTTAGTAATAATAATAATAATGAAATAATAATATTTGTTTTAATAAATAAAGAAATGAATAAATAAAAATATATATTTGGTCTCTTTTACATACTTGACTTCATGCATATCAGCAGTACATTCATCACCTATACCTCTACATACTGGAAGTTTACATCCATTTACATTGACCGTAAAAATGATTAAAATCAAGAATATTATAGGTTTCATATCTATCTATACTATACTAGTAGTTCTTTCTATTGAGATGAATATAAATAAAAATAAAAATAATAGTTGTAGATGATTGATGAGAGATTTAATTCAATCAATACAAAAATCAAAATCCCCACCACCAATACCACCACCACCACCACAACCTTGTTTAATTTAAAATACCATCACACACCAGTACTGTACATATGTACTACCACCTTCATCCCCATTAATTATATAAAAATATTAAGCATTGATTGTAACGGAAAACTGGGGGTGTAGATAAAACAATGAGGAGGTTCAATGGGTGGTGGTGGGAATCAATCTAATCTTGATTCATTTTGGATATTTATATAAATAAATATAAATGGAGAGGAAGATTACCTTGGACTTTCTCCAAAACCTTGATATTGTCTATAGAAATATTAAAAACAATTTTATTTATTTTTTTGAACCTTTCACACAAATTTGCACGAGAGTTATGTGTTCAATTTTAATTACCCTTTCTTTTACTTATCTTACCTAAAATGTTGGCAGAGAATACACAAAAGAAAGAAGAGGTAGAGGATTTAGAGTTTGGAGAGATAGAAGATGATGAAAGTGATCATCAACTTGTTGCAAAAGGAACAAACGTATCTGCAGCAGTATCACCTGTAGAGTCGACGACGACGACAAAGACGACTACTCCTTCTACCAACTCTACTACTACTACTACTACTATTACTACTACCAACGAGATAAATGAAGAGTTATCAGATATTCTAACATCTTTAGCTGATACCTTTATCACTGAGAACAACTTTTCATCCTTTGAAGATTTGTTTATGTTTATTGAAGAGGCCTATTGGTACTATATTGATATTCATCTCATTCAGAATCCTCGTCTACCTAAACCTGATTTCCCAAAGTTTGCAGAACAAAGTAATATCAAAATATTATCCTCTCTACTCTCCCTTTTCTATCTCTATCTCTTTGCACTAATACATTTTTCTCTTTTTCTCTCTCTATAGTATTAAAAAATAATGAAAGATTATTTCCATTACATGAAGCACTTTTATCTACAACAACCTATGAAGAGATGATCAAAAGATTCGAATCGTTCAAGAGACTTATCCCAAGATATGGATCAATCATTCTCAACAAAGACATGACAAAAGTTGTATTGGTAAAAGAACAATGGTGGGGATGGGGTTTTCCAAAAGGAAAAGGAAAGGAAGGTGAAACTGAAACATCTAGTGCAACAAGAGAAGTATTTGAAGAAATTGGTTATGATATTGGACCACTTATAAAAAAAGAAGATTATATTCAAAAAGAAACTCATGGGTAAATATAAATAGATATAGTAAATTCAAGGGTGTGTGTAAAGAGAATAGATTATTAATACATTTTTTTTTTTAGAGTTGTAAAGAAATTTTTTGTAATTGTTGGAGTTGATGAACAAGCTGATTTTGAAACTCATACTAGATATGAAATTAGTGTAAGAAGAAGAAAAAGAAAAAGAAAATATATACAGTTTATTTATTTTGTTTTCTTTTTTTGTTTTTCTTGTAGAGAATAAAATGGCATAAAATAGAAGATATACCATTAATACATAGTAGAGCATCACATCAATTTGCTGCAATTATACCTTATATTAAATCTTTGATTAATTGGATTCAAACAAAGAGAAAAGAAAAGAATTTACCACCGATCAATTTTGACAATGACAAGGATCAACATAGTGGAGGTGATGTTGATTTTGGTTCAATCAAACGATGGTCTCAACAAAACAAAAAGACTAAAAATGATGGTACCAATCCAACAAGAGCAAAACCACACGAAGAGGATGAAAGAGATGTCATCTTGTTAAACGAAATCGAAGATGTAAAATTGGGTGAATTTATTCAATCACTAAAGGATCATCTTAAAGAGATTCCTCTAAAGGAGAGTACTAGCGGTGGAACAAGTGGAGCTAGTGCTAGTTCTGCAACACCAAAACTCAACTCGAATCTTAGAAAAATGGGTTCCACTACTTCATTGGATGGAACAAACAACAACCAACAACAACAATTCAAAGTATTGACAAATAATCAATTAAACAAATCATTGACCGATATGACAAATAATAACTTTTATAATAATCAACAAGAAAATCAACATCAACAACAGAATAATCAACAACAGATGAATAATATAGATATTTTCAATTCTAGTCAACAACCTCAGTCGATCAATACTCCTTCCTCCGCAATGAATGAATTGGATTTAATTAATTTATTATCAAATTCAACAAATACAAATAGCTCACAAAATTCATTAATTAATAATCATTCACCAACTCAAATTATTCAACAAAGAAATAATAATATTAATAATAATAATAATAATAATAATAACTATATGAATAATTTTTCATTAAATGATTTTACAATGAATCAAAATAATCAAAATAATCAAAATAATATGATGGGTATGAATTATTTTAATAATAATCAAATGAATAATAATAATAATAATATGATGAATTATAATCAACTCCAACAACAACAATATAATAATAATAATAATAATTACTCTCTACAACAACAACAACAACAATTTTATAACAATAATATGATGAATAATGTAAATAATAATAATATGAATATGATGAATATGAATCCAAATCTTTATCAACAACAACAACCACAGAATCAACAACAACAACAAAGACAAATGCAAATGGGCAACCAAAATCAAATGTATAATATGAATTATTAATAAAGATTTATATATTTATATACAAAAAAAAAACATCATAATTTATTTGTTTTAAAAACAACTCTCTCTATATATACAGCTATTTAAATTATTGAGTTATTATTATTGTTGGTTGTTGTTCTGTGAATTCCATGGAATTCTTTTAAAGTTGAATGTCAGGTAGATTGTTTGGAATGATGGATAGATAGATATATATATATGGCTATATAAAATTTATAGGTTATTTTTAAAAAAGAGTAGTAGGTAGGGGAATAATTATTATATTATAATTATTGTTTGGTTTGTTGTTTATACAAGGTTTAAAAAATAAAGGATAAAGTAAAATAATAAAAAGAATACAGTGATTTCGACAGATACAAGTAAAGAGGTAAGGTTCTTTTGTTGACTACTCTGGACAATATCTTTTGACAGTTCCATTTCAGATACACCCAATGTTCTCATGATCTTTGATGATGAAGGGTCGCATCCCATGATCATCAATGCCTTTTTAAGTGCCCTCTTGTTGGACAGAGTGATATTCTCTCGAAGTCTTTTGATTTTAATCTCTTGTATTTCATTCTCTTCAGCCGATGCTTCTGTTATTGTATCTTCATCAACTCCAAATACATCCATCAACTATTAAATAAAAGATATGATTATTAAATTCCATATACTGTCTTTTTGTTCTATCCTCCATAGCTTACCTTTTCTTTTGATAAATTTAAACCAAGAGTCGATTGAGCCTTTTTAGTATCTCTTTTGTTGATTGGATGTCTTTCTTTGATGACTTGATTATTGACAGACTCTTCTTTGACCATCTTTAGCTCATCTTCTCCAATTCCCAACGTCTTTTTAATCTTGTCTTCTGATGGATTGAAATCGCCCAATACATCAATCACCTTTTTTAAACTCTCTGGTCTTGGTGCCATTATGTTGACGACGACGACGATGATGATATGTGACTCCTCTCTCTCTCTCTTTCTCTATCTATATAGACTATAAAAGTCTAGATTGCTGTTGACAAACACTATAGTGTTAAGAATAATAGTGTTATACTTTGTCACACAATAATATAATATTATAAATGTCAACGAGAGAGAGTATTGTTTGTTCTCTCTTTCTCTCCTCTTTCTCTCTTTGTCTTCTTTTTACAGCCTATTACAAAAACACAATAACTACTATTACTACTTCAACAATAAACAACAAGCTCATAAGCTATTGGGGAGGGGGGAGTGGGTTGATTGAGTGATTGATTGAGAGAGTGGTTAAAAAAAAAAAATTATTTGTTCGTGGCCTTTTTAAAAAAATAATTAATGATCGTAGTTGTTTTGTAGATTGAAGGTTTGTTTAAAGGGTTGAGGAGGGCAATTAATTAATATATGTTTACTTTTTATCTATCGTCGTTTATTGAATAAGGTTAGGTAGGTAGGTTTAGAATAGACTTTGGAGGAAGAGTAAAGAGATGAATGATCGGATCGATCGGAAATAATCATAATAATTATAATTTTTTTTTAATTCCCGATCTCGGTTGGTTAATTTAATTAATTATTAATTATTTAATGGGTCATTCAAATTAATCGGTTCTTTTTGATTTTAGCCTTGCTCTAGATAACATAAACAAGAGTACTAAAAATGTAACTCCAATTACTTCAAACAATACAACATGATAGATTGGTAACCCAAAAATGAGTTGTTTTTGTTGTTCTTGTTGTTCTTGTTCTTGTTCTTGTTGTTGAGAAGATAAATGATGATGATTTGAATCGATTGGGTTGGAAATACTACCATCTTTTGTTGTTTTGGTAGTTGATGCATTTGGTTGTTGTGGTTGTTGAGAGGAAATGGGAATCCTCGTAGGTGAAAGAGGGAGGGAGGGGATAATATTTACAATACGTGACGATTCATAAAGATAACCGTCTACACTGACGACAAGGTCGGCTGGTCCAGGTGTGGTAGGACCCAATTCACAAATTAATGTGGTCCAGTTGGCCAACCTGATTCGACAGCACTGTTGGTTAATCTCTACTGCAACATGTTTTTTAATAAATCCAAAATGACCATCCAATGTTACCATTCCTCCTGTCTGGGGGATTATATTTGATGATTTTACAATTGGGAAATCTAAACAAAAAATAAATAAATAAAAATAAATAAATAAATAAATAAGTATATTTCTTTTTCTTTTTTTTTTTTTTTTCTTATCTTTCAATTCTTTACCCAACTCTAAAGATATTCTCTTTGAAGCAGATTCACGACTATTTGAAACGACAATTTCATATTGTCCACGAGGATAGGTAATTGAGACCTGACATGTATAGACACGAATACCATCATATTGACCATTAAAACATTCAAATTGATCAAACATGACAGTGTGTTCGATATAGGTGTTGAAATTGACAAAGATAGTGACCATTAAACCATAGGCTGATTGGATGGCTGTTGCATCCTCCAAATTGATTCGAGTGAGTGATATCCTTTCAGAGATACCAAGATTCTTTGAAAATGTGATGACTTCGTCAAGTCTATTGAATGAAAGCTCACTTCTTTGATACTGTAGCATTTGGTTTGGAATGACAGAGTCTAGGGTATTTGGAATGGTATCACCTTCAAATGCCCAACCTAGATTATTGCCATGTATAATAACTCTAGTTCCATTGAATCGAATATCTGTAATTTGTACCACACATTCACTGTTTGGCTCCAAATGACTAACCGATATTCTTCTCTGTGGAATCGTTGAATAACATTGGAAACAACTAGCTACATTGACCATCTCATCTGGTGAGAATGCAGTATACTTTAAACTCTGTACACTACACAATGAATCTGGCAAATTAAAAGCAATATTTGGTTGAAGTGTTACCGATACATCTATTTTTAATCCCCATCCAAATCCATCTGGTATTGGTTCATGTACATTAAATAATTCTCTAAAAAAAAAAAGGATATTAATAAACTCAAAATATCAAACCTAACAAACAAACATAACATACATATGATTTAATAATGGAAATCTAATCTTGTTAAATATTGCTGGTACGTTGGTTCCATCATTTCCAATGATTACTAAATTTAAATTTTTAGATGTTTCTAAAAAATTATTTGGTATTAAATATTGTCTCTTTTGGTTTCTTAATCTAAAATAGTTTAAAAATTAGTTAATAACCATAATAATATTGATATTGATTGTAAAGGGATAACTTTAGAACTTACTGGAAATGAGTTAATTTTGGTAAATCACCAACTAAATCTAATAAATTGATGGATGGATTTTGAACCTTTGGTGAAATGATTGTTAATTTGGACAATTCTGGAAAATATAGATATTTAATAGTTGGATTTGGTATTCCTGAATATGAAAATTCAAGTAATCCTTCTAAATTTCTAAAAAAAATAATAATAATGGAAATGGTTAGTTTTTGAAAGGATGATGATTCTCTTGGTAGATTGTTGTTGTGATCCTTACATTTCCAAAACATGGTATCTATTATTTGGTCTACTATCACATTTAAATCCAACAATATTTCTTAAACATACTTCTTTGGCAGCAACAATATCTTTAATGCCAAGTCCATATTGTTTTGATAACCATAAAACTGATTCAGCTATAAAAAGAATAAAATGAATTAGAATGAATAAATGAATGACGACTATAATTAATTAATTAATTCTACTTTTAAAACATACCTTCTCTATTATCAATTGTATTTTTTGTTATTGGTATTGGTTTTATATTAACACCATTTTCATTATTATTATAATAATTATTATTATTCTGATTATTATTGTTATTATTAATGACTCTGGGAGGTTTGTTTGTATTTTTAGTTAAGGACATTTGACCATAACTTGGTGGAATCGTGAATATTAAAATTAAAAAAAGGATGATAAAGATTGAAAGATATACAAAGTGATTATGATGTTTAAAAGATTTTATACTCTTTTTAAAAGAAGAAGTAGAGTTTTCATTATTATTAGTATTATGATTATTATGATTATTATGATTATTATTATGATTGTTAGTATGATTATTAAAAGAGGATGAAGATGAAGGGGATGAGGATGATGATGATGACGAAAAAGAAAAAGATGAATAGTAATTGTGATTTGAGGTTTGTTTATACCTCACCATATCCGTTGTAGCCAAAACCAAAGATAATGATGATAATGCCTATTCATATATATATATCTATATATTATGTATATCTATATTATTATGTATATCTATATTATTATGATCTGCTGACAACACTCAAGGTGCTTAAACAGTTGTGCTGCTGCTGATTCTTTTGATTTAAACTCTTTAGATTATTCATCCCACTATCTATCTACTATGATCTCTTGCTGTTGTTGTTGTTGTTGTTGTTGTTGTCTATCTGAGAACAACCAATCAAATCAATCAATCAATCTATTTTCTGTCTGTCTGAGTTTGATGTATTCTGATGGGGAAAAAAAAGGGTACCAGAGTACTATATAGTTTTTAAGAGGAGGATGGAGTGAACAAGGATAAGAGGAAGAGAGACAGTAATAGTTCATGTGATTGGATAAGTATAGAGGAAGAAGGAGGAATATTTGGTTGGAGGCCAAGAAGAAAATTCAAAAAAAACTGTTGTTTGTGCTGACGTAGGTGCCACCTTGCTTGCGAGTTGTGTGTTTCACGGGTCGTTATTGGAATGTTCAAAGTTGTGAGCCCCTGGTTTTTTTGGTTGTTTGTTCTATTATTAACAACTCGTATCTTTCTTTAGAAATCAACAAGAATAATAAATCTTTCTAGATAAGTTGTTTGTTTGTGCTAATACAAAGATAAAGTAATAGATAGATAGATAGAGTCGGGGGTGTTGGGTTACAAGCATGTTAGAGAAGATTTTTCTTTCGGTCACTGCAAACCAAAGAAGAGTGTAAAATAATCTAAAAACGATGAGTTTGCAGTTAACCGTCACACTGTGAACGAAATTTTAGTATCGTGCTGATCGATCTCATCGAAAATTTTAATAAATTTATTTAATTATTATTGTCTACCCCCTTCCTTCATCATCCTCGTTAACACACAAAAGGTGTGAGACAATCATCCTCATCATCTTTCATTTATTTATACTTGTCATAGTTTATTTATATATATTTAGTATCATTATCATTGTAATATTAAGATTTTAGATTAGATCTAGAGGGAGATAAGAGAGAGATGGACGAAAATGGGATACCATTGGATCAAAGGAATAGTTATTATCAACCAAATGAAGCAGATCCAAATGCTGCAACTTTACAACAACAACAACAACAACAATTTCAACAACTTCCTGATAATAATAGATATTCATTTCATCAAAGATCACCATCATTACTACCAGATGAAGGATTCTATTTGTATACTACGGCACCAGAGTATATTGCATACTCTGAATTGAATATGAAGGAAAAGATATTAGAGAATATGTTTGGTTATACTGTACGTGGTAAAAAGGCTGCTATTCCAGATGGTTATATGGTCGATTATACGCGATTTGGTCAACCCTATCTATTGGCACATACTGACAAGACGGGAGGAGGTGATAGTAATGGTGAGCCGGTCGATCCAACTGATATCTTGGCAGCTGAAGAACACCAAAAACACAATTTGACAATGCGATGCACTACACAACAGATCGAGGAAAAGTTTGGTATTGGTATCTATCTCTACTTTGACTTTATCAAGTTTTGTCTACTCATCAATTCCATCTTACTATGTGGTGTATTGATCAATGTGGTGCCACATCTCTACTATGAAAATGATGTTAGTCTCTTTAAAGACTTTACGTCGACCGATATGGTCTTTGTTGCCATCAATCTGGCATCATACATTCACGATGACTACAAACAACTCTATTATTGGTCTACTGTTGGTACTATCATCCTCTCCTTTTTAATGGGTCCAATCTACGCACTCAAAGTTCACCATTACTTTAAAAAACAAAAACTAGAGGATTTTGAAGATGGATTTACTGGTGACGATGTCATTCGTGGTAACGAAAGAGTTAGTTCAAGATCACGTGCTTTTAGATTTGCTGTTAGTTATAGTGTATTTATCATTCTCATTGGTATCTCTGCTATTTGTACAGTATATGTTTTAAAAACTGTAAATAATTATCAATTTTTGGCTAATATTTTGTAAATAGAAAAAAAGAAAAAAAAAGAAAATAGAAACATGGAATACACATATATTAATAATATTATCTATTTCTAGAACTACATCATTAGTTTCAGCAATTATACTTAGAGTAATTAATGTAATTTATGAATTTATGTGTCTTTATTTAACAAAGTTGGAAGGTCATAGAACTTGGACCAATTTCAGAAATCATAATACTCTTAAATTATTTGTATTCAAGGTTATCAATGTATTGGTACTCTACATTTTACGTGATAAAATATTTAGAGATATTACAGATCAAGTGGTTCAAGCTGGTTGTCCACTTATTGATGTTGGTTCTCAATTCTTTTTCATTTTACTTATGGATTTAACTGTAAATATAATATAAGTATAATATAGATATAGATCTATATGACTAAACATTTCATTCACCATTTATTAATTATTTTATATTTTTATATAGTTACAAAATATTTGGGAAATTGTATATTCAGTTGGTATGGCAAGAATTGGTAGATGTATTGGAAAGAGAGGAAAGAAATCAACAGATTCTTATAAACCAGAATTTGATTTGGCAGAAGAATACCTTGAACTTTTATACAGACAATTTATTGTTTATTTGGGTATTCCAATCTATCCATTGGTAGCAGTGTTTGGTGTACTCTGTAATCTTGCCGAATTCTATGTTGACAAGTTTAGATTACTCAAAATCTGTCGTCGCCCACATCGTGTACAAGGTTCAATGAAGAGATTCCTTTCCTTTTATCTATTGATCATTGCTGTAGTGTCGGTCGTCTCTTATCCCTACGGTTCCGGTTGGGTTTTGGTTCAATTTGGTTTTGATCGTGGTGATTTAAATGCCAATTGTCCACAATTATTTAGTAATAATGCTACTCTTTTACTTGGTACTAATCAATTTGGTGGTTGGTAAAAAAGAAAAGATAAAACATTGAAATAATAATAATAATGCGTTAAAAAAAAAATAATAATAATACTTGTACTATACCAAAAAAAAAATATAAACAACAACAATTAAAATATTACTTTTTTGATTGGTTTAAAAAATAGACAGAGAGAGAGAAAGAGCACTTCTTCTTCTTCTTCTTCTTTTTCTTCTTTTAATATATATCCTTATTTACAATTATTATTATTACTGGTTATTTTGGTTTGGAATCCTTTTCCTTCTTTTCCTTTAACTTTTGTTTTAGTAATGCCATTTTCTTTTTTTGATCAATGATTGATTGTCTTTCATCTTTTGATTCTTTTGCTTTTACTTGTTGGCTATTATGTTTTTCTCTTTCCAATTGTGTTTTCATTTCCTCTTGTTTCATTGCATTGATTTTTGCTTCTTTATCTCTTTGTTCTCTTTCATCTCTTTCTTGTTCATCATCCCAAAACATTTGTTGTTGTTGTTGTTGTCCAGCATTCGTTGTGTTTTGATCTTTATAATATCGATTGTTGTTATTTTCTTGTCCATCATCATCACCAGTACACGCTTTAATTTCAAAATCCACAACATTATTTTCATTATATAAATCATAAAAGTCTATTGGCTTTTCATGTTTACCTTGAACTATATAATAACATATAATATATTTGATTAGCATACGAAAGAAAAGGATTGGACCATTTTTAGAATACATACCCAATTGTTGATAAATCTTTGCTTTTTCTTCAAGTTTCTTTTTTATATTATCATAGGATGTCTTGTTGGATTCATCTTTTAACGATTGAATATCTCTTTCATTTCTTTCTTTTGTTCCATTGTTTGAACCCAAACGATCATCATCATCACGATAACCATCTTGATTTTCATTTTCTTTAGATGATTTGTTATCAACAAATGTAAGTTTAGATTTCTTATTAGTTTGTATTGATTCTTCATCTTCTCCACTACCTCCGCCAGTCCTCAATAACGATTCTTTTACATTTCTTTCTTCATTGATAACAGCTGTTTTCAATCCTATAATCTAAAGAAGATATTAGTATCAACTTATATGAATATATTATGTACAACTTACACTAGATGATGATACACCTTCAATATCATGTTTCCTCTTCCACATCTTCAAATATATTTTATTATTTATATTTATTTGTTTAAAAAAAATGAAATGAACCAAACGAAGGTTAAAACGAGAGTGTTTTGAAGATCATTTTTCATTATTATTTAAAACTAATGTAAGTTGATAATATTTATTTATTTGTTAAAAACAGCAATATATATATATATATGATGAACGATATAGTAATCGGGATGATGGTGATACTTGAAGATGAAGAATGAACTTTGAATTGGAGCTTTAAGTATAGTCTGCTTTGTCTATTACGATTGATCACAAACAAGCGTGCATGCATGCTATGATTGTGATATCATCTAATAGTGATAAGGTTCCTCTATATTGGACACTCTGATGTCGGTTTAACGATCTTTACTTCCCATTGAATGACGATACTTTATAGGCAATTAATTGCTGACTATATATTACTTGAAATTTATTTATAATACATCCTTTTGAATAACGATCATCTACTATTCATTCTAACCATTTCATTTTCTCTTTTTTAAAATAGGAACTAATAATTTATGTGATTGTGAGTGATTTATTTACTCTTTTTTAATTTAAAACAATGGATATTTAAAACTTGACACAAAGTTGTAACTACTACATAGGCAAAATGTAAATAAATAATGGTGATACCAAAACAAAACAATTGTAAAAAGGATGATTCTTGGATACCTAAAAAGTTGAAAATATTAAATCTAAATATTATATATGGATGGATTAGTCATTGGTTAATTTTGGTTTGTTAAAAAAGTTATCTATCTATATTTCTATTTATCTATCTTACCCATCAATGATATAATTTAAACTAATTAATAGTAATGGTACCAAGACAATTTGGAATGGGTTGAGATCATCATTACAGATTCTGGCCAAAACGATTCTACCAACCAAAAAGGCAACGATAAAGCCAAAAGTGTTGATAAACATGTGTGGATTATTTACATAGACTTGGGTTGGTGAATAGATACCCCAAACCATACCAGCCAAAAATACAAATACAATTGGGATCACTTGTGAGACTGCACCTTTAACACTCTTTGGTCCCTTTTTAACAATTGTATTAATACTATATAAACGATTTAGAGTAGAGAATGATTAGTATATATGGTTCTTCTGGTTTGGATTTGACTTGGTTTAAAATATACTTGTTAATAATGGTAAGAATGGCACCTAAACTACTAACGAAAAGAGGAATATAAGTTAGAGGGATACCAAGATAGGGGACAGTGGTATGCCAAATTTGTGATCCAAAGATCATTGTGATGAGGTGACCACCCATCATAGAGTAATGGCCTTCAATGACACCGATGGCACCCAATTCCATGATACCAGTGTGGTATTGTTCCCATTGGGCCATATAAAAAGCTGCCAAGAGGATGAGCACGTTAAAGAGCGAGGCATAGGAGGGACCAGCCTGAATAGCAGTGAGAAAGCCCAATACCACTAAAAAGGTGGTGATGGCGTCACAACCGTGGTCAAACAACTCACCCAATCCACTTGAACTGTTGGTACGTCTTGCTTGCTTGCCGTCGAGTGCATCCATAGTCTGATACCAAAAGATGCATACGATATTCAACAATGATACCCATGCAGGTACATCTCCTTCAAGTCCAGGTGCATAATAATAAGTGACTAAATAAGATAAAATGATACCAAAAATCCCAATAATGTTACTAGATTTGGGCTAAAAAAAGTAGTAGATAGGAATAAAAAGAAAAATAAAAAGAAAAAGAAAAAAGAGACAAGAAAGATAATAATAATATTATTAGTAGATTAGTTTTGAATGAATGGGTTGGGTCATTTATTTAAATGTTGACTTACGCCATCCATATTGGTAGCCATTCTACAGAAGTTCTCCAAAATGGTTGTAATAGTGCTGATAGATAGGAATGATCAATTCCATTGTATTTGTATAGTTTAATGTGTTCTTTGGCTTTATCGCTAACATATAACCCCATTATTATTCTCTAATTCCTTTCCTTTCTCTCTCTCTCTCTCTCTGACTCTATCTATCTCTTTATTGTATTTGTTGATGATGATATAATTTATAAATTAAAAACAGACAAACAAAAAGATCCAAACCACCCAAATGATGATGATCCAATCAAGCACCTTTTCGAGAGGCTTTTTTAATTTAATTTTTTTTAAAATTGGGTATCTTCATCATTGCCGTCGGGTCAGAATTCCGTCAAATGTATATTCATCCATCACAATCATATCATCCATTATCTAATTGTTAAATATATATTTAAAACATACCAAATTGTTTGTAATAAGATGTGGAGAGATTGCATGTTGTGTTTTACATGTTGTTACATGCTTTTCTGAACCCAAAGTAAGCAAACAATTTAATTTTGTGGTCTGAGAGGGCAAACAGACAATCTAGTAGGTAGTAATAAGTGGCATGTATGCGATACAAGATTGAATGAAGATACCCTTCAGTAGATGAAGAAAAGACAAAATTGATTGTGGAGCCTTCAACGAATGAAGAGATCATCTGTACAAACAATGAACTGATACTCTCTACTTACCACATGACTGCCGTCACATTGCAATGAATCATGAAACTACGATACGACCTTTTATGTGGTAAGTGGAGAGTATCAGTAGTAGTATGATGTATCATCATCAATCCTCCAATTAAAAAAGGTATGTACTTTATAAAGTCTCATTCACCCAATCATTCTAGATAATTATCAATCTTTTTTTCTTGCACACCTCATCATGCCCAGAGAAGAGTTGGTATCATCAATTATGAGACTCTGGTTGCGTATTATGAGTAAGTGTGTTGTTTGAACATCATGTGATGTGATGCAGACAGATGAGAGAGTGTGTAGAATGAAAGCGATGTTATCTTCTCATCTCGTCGCTTTCCGATGGGATTCTTTTTTTTTTTAATTAAAATTGGTGCTGTGGGGGTCGTGTACGATACGGAGGGAGGGACGGTTTTCATAATGATATTATTAAATAGGGTTATATATATATATTATAGTATTTGTTTGTTCGTCGTCGTTGTCGTTGTTGTCTCACACCTCCTTCTTTAGATCACGTCGACGAATAGATTACCAGTAGGTAGTAGTTGCAATGCTACTTTGAATCATTGCCATTATAGTTCAAACCCAGATAGATATATACACACAGCGAGCTAGTAAACCAACAACAACCCTTTATCTGAAAGAAAACCAATAATCGTTTAAAAGGTAAATCTCTCTCTCTCTTTCTCTCTTTCTCTCCTAAACTAAAACACACACATGAACCTTTAAAGATATCATAGAAAGCTCCCCCTCAACAAAGATTATTAGATTAGTTAGTTAATTTAGCAAAAGCAAAAGCAAAAGAGAATGAATAAAAGAAAGAATGAGAAGAAGAAAGAAAGAGATCGATCACGATTACTCTTTTGATCAAAAGTGTGTGGTGATAACCCTCTAACCTAACCACACGGTTACCGTTACCAGTACTGGCTTGTCCACCCCCACTCATTTCACCAATCCAATCCCCCAACCCCCATACCTCCCCATCAATACCCCCTCCTTCCCTATCATTCCAACATTAAATTTAAATCATCATAAACAAATAAAGAAGGTGAAAGAAAGGAAAAGGATAATAGGTTATTTTTAAATTGAACTAGAAAAATAATAATTTATTACTGATCTGCTGGCTGGCTGGCTGCTCATCACCACCTCTATAAATATATCCCAACTTAACCTAAAAGAAAGATTTAAAATCCATTAAACCAAACAAGTAAATTCACTCATCATCATCATCAACATCATCATCAATAATTCATTTAAATACCAATATTTTAATTATTATTATTATTATTATTTAATTCATTCCAACCTTTTTATTTATTTATTTATTATCTTCCTTTTTATTTCTAGAGAGAGAGAGAATATGGTAAAATATCGAAACCATTTGAAATCGGTTGCAGTTGATCAATGGAGAGATAAATATCTAGACTATGAATATTTGAAATCATTGTTGGAGAATGAATACAAGAATGCACCACCATCACTTAATGAAGACACTCATTCAAATATGATGAATATTAGAGGTGGTGGTGGAGGTGGAGGTGGAGGTGCCAACAGCAGTGGACTGCTCAACCGCAGAAAACTACTGCATCAACTCATGTCGTCTCCCAACTCGTCTAGACGAATCATTAATGACGATGAACATCCAGCCGCCACATCGGCCACACCAGTAGTATCACCAAACACCGCCGGAAAAAAGCGACACCAACGAAAAGATAGTGACGGAGTAGACAGCGACAATGACGACATTGAGCTGCAAGTATTAAACCAACTCAGTCAATCGATGATGAGCAACAAATCGACCATGTCATCACCAACATTGTACAGTCACAGTCAAGGTGGATTCAGTAGTGGTCATTTAGATGAAATGGTCCTCAAATCTCCAACATTAGATGCAGATGAACATGTCATTGAAAGAGTTTTAGATGATAGTGATAATAGTGATCATCATGAACAACAAGAAGAACAAGATATGATGGATGAAGCTGGAAATGAAGATCAAGATGAAGATCAAGATAGTAGTCCAGAAGCCAAATCACCATTAAATCTTGTTAAAACTCCTTTATTAAATTCATCAACTTCATCAACTTCTTCAACTCATCATCATCGTCAGAACCATAAAAGTCAAAAGAAAAAGAATCAAAAACAACATTCAAGAAGATCATCTCTAACTAATAGTAATCATGGTAGTAGCCAAGATCTTTATGAACAAACGCAGAAAAAACAAGAACAATCAAATCATTTACATTTACCACAAATCAAAGAGATTGTACCACTTTCATTGGAGGAAACAGCATTTTCAAAAGAACCAAGTCCTGTTCATTTATCACCTGTTTTAAATTCATCTTCTCCTCTTCCTCCACCTCCTCCATCTTCTTTAAATGTTTCACGTCAACAACAACAACATGTGAGATATGCAATGACATCTCGTCCACAATCACCAGCATCACCAAGATCACCACAAATGGCATCTGTCATTCGTCCACCCTATCATAGCGGCAATCAACGTCATCATTCCATCTCTATTCCCGATACTACAGGTGTAGACAACAGACCAACATCCAATTCATTTGTACCCATTGAAGATTTAATTAGAGGACCTGCCTATGATACTTGTGCTTCACCTCCAACCACTTTGATTCACGAACCAACCTTCCAAGAGGAATTTCTCTATCAATTGGATAAAATCGATACCTTTTTCATTGAAAGATTTCATAAAATTAAATACAAGATTATAGATCATTGTAATATGATTCAATTTATTGTAAGAAAAAAGAAAAAAAAAAGAGTGGTAGATGGAAATATTATTATTATTATTATTTTACTAACATTTATATTTGTTTTAGAAAGCTCAATCTGATAAAAAAGTAAGAAATTCTAGAAATATTTCATTTATAAAGGAAGGATTTCAAGATAATTATAGAGTTTTAATTATGTTATCATCATTTAGATTATTAAACAAAGAAGGTTTTGAAAAATTATTGGAAAAATATAAAAAGGTAGAAAAAATATATATATTAATATTATATATTAATAATAATAGTATTTATATTTATATTTATTATCTCCTTTTTTTTTTATACTCTACTCTTTTTTAGTGTAATAGTATATTGACAAATAGTTTAAAAGAAGAATTGGAAATGAAAATATTTTTTGATGAAGATGAGATTGGAAAATTAATTCATCAAATTAAATATATTTATGCAAGATATTTCACTGGCAATGATAAGAGATTGGCAAAGAATGAATTACGATCACCTGTTGCTGGTGACAATAGAGGATTGGTATTTACGGTTGGTTTGCTTATTGGTTTTTGTATCATGTTGGGTGGACTTTCTATATACACCTATCATCAATACTATCCTCACGACAATCCACCTCACAATGCCCCATTGGCTTGGTTGTTATTCCGTATCACTCTACTCCCTGTACTTTTAGGAACTCTATTTGCTCTTCAAACATTTATCTTTGAAAGAACAAAAATCAACTATGTATTTATATTTCAATTAAAACCAGAATATTCAAGATCTTCTTTACTTTATTTTAAGGTAAGGGAAACAAAACAAAACAAATAATTTAATTTAGTTTTTCTAATTTCTTTTTTTCTTTTTATTTTCTTTTTATTTTTTAGTTTGGATTAATATTTATATCATTTTGGTTATTATGTTTATATTTTTATATTGATACGACATCGACACCATCAAATATAAGAATATCACCAATTATATTCCCCATCTTGTTTATGATTACATCGGTAGTGGTGATTGCATTACCATTCCCAGTGTTTGCACACAAGACTAGATTTTGGGCACTCAAGACATTTGGAAGAGTGTTGTGTGCTCCTTGGGTACGAGTCCATTTCAAGGATTTCTTCATGTCTGTTCAATTGCTCAGTCTTGGTGACTTTTTCTTTAACATTCAATCCATGATTTGTATTTTCAACTACAATGCATTGGATCCAGAAGAATTGTCATTTTGCTATTCTACCAGCTTCCTTGCTCTACCCATCCTCAATGGTCTCCCCTACTATCTCCGTATCATGCAATGTTTTAGAAGATACTATGAAACTAGATGTTTCTTTCCTCATATTACAAGTGCCATTCGTTCAATGTTTTCTTTAGTTACTTTAGTACTTGCTTATCTTGCTTTATTAATTAAACGTAAAGAAATAGAAAAAAAATAGAAAAGAAAATAGATTCGAACAAAAGATATTAATTTTATTCTATTTATTTAGATGATGCAAAATGGAATGAAATTAAAACTATTTGGTTTTTCCTTAGTATTGTTGGTAGTTTATATAAATGGTACGCTGATATGGCTGTTGATTGGGGTTTCTTATTATCACCATCAACCAATAAATTTTGGCCACTTCGAGAGAAATTAGTATTTTCAAAATATAAATTTGTAAGAATTCAAATCAAATCAAATCAAATGAATGATTGTTGAGATATTAATATTTTCTTTTTTCTTTTTAGATTTATTATATAGCAATGGTATTGGATTTATTCCTTAGATATTTATGGTTATTGGTATTTTTAATTAGAGATAATACATCACATCGTCTTGATAATCCATTATTCCTTTTCTTCTTGTCAATGGGTGAAGTATTTTGGGCGACACAGTTTATATTCTTTAGAGTAGAATCTGAACATTGTCAAACCGCCGATAAATACAGTGTCTATCATGACATTCCAATGCCATTCACTCAAGAATATAATAATTATTTGGATTCAAAGAAAATTAATCAAAATCAAAGTAGTTATAATAATCAAAGTAATAATAATAATAATCAAAATAATAATACATCTATTAATACTCCAACTCAAAATGATAATAATAATAATATTAATAACAGTAACAATAATAATAATATTCATAATAGTGATAGTATTAATAGTTTAAAAAATACTAATAATAGTGATAATTATACTCCAAGTTCCAATTCATCAACATTATCTCTCTTGGATAATACAAATAATAATAGTAATAATAATTAAAAAAAAGTAAAACCTTTACCTTTTAAACAACTCCCTCCCCTCCCAAAAGAAAGAAATTCACAAAATTAATCACAAAGATCGGGTTCATCTATAAATGTATTGAAATCCAAAACAAAAAGTATAACCTCGAAGATAAATAAATTCATTCCTTTTTTAAATTGTGACATCATCAAAAAAAAGAGATAAAAATCAAGATCTTATGATGACAACAATCTCTTGGAATAAGAACAAGTTTTTTCAAAGTGTTAATGGAACAAGCACAAAACCCACACACAGACATTCTTCTACTTTTCAATTGAGCTGTCGATATGACACTACAAAATAGGCAATTTCGTTCGACAGTCGTAATACGATTAACGATAAAAGACCACCACTTCTCCGACTGCAAAATAAATCATTTTCATTCATACCATCCTAGTTGCACAATAGTTGTAATTTTATTTATATATAAAAATAAAGAGACAGAGATAGATATAGATAAAGATAGAGATGAAATCACCAATAGAATTATACTTTGATAATAGTAATATTAGAAACATTGAAATACTTGAACAATGTCCTACCATGTACAAACAAGACGAAAGAGAAAATATAGAAAAGGATGTTAAATTTGAAGAATCACATGGTGCCTCCTCGATTGATAGTCCATCGATAACCAATCATGCTACCTTTGAAACATCATTTATTCTAACCAATTCACATATAATGAATTACTATGCTGCTTATCAAAGAGTAGATTTGGATTTACCAACTAAAAGGTAAATAGAAGATACCTATATACCTATATACCTATATACCTATGCCTATACTAAATCTATCTATTTATAGAGAAACATTTATAATGTCAGATGGAGGAACTATATCAGTTAATTGGTTTGAACTTGGAGAATACAATGATGATACACCAACTATATTAATACTACATGGATTGACTGGAGGGTATCATGAAAGGTATGTATCTCATAGAATTACAATTACAATTACAAAGTTGGTTTGACTACTACCAATCATTATTTTTAATATTAATATTGAATCAACTCAAAAGGTACGTTCAACATTTTGCACAATATGCACATCAAAAGTCTGGTTATAGATCATTGGTTTTCAATTATAGAGGATGTGCTGGTAATGAGGTGACAGCAGACAAGATTTATTGTGCCAACTTTTTGGATGACTTGAAATGGGTTGTTGAATGGCTCAAACAAAGATTACCAAATACCAAGTTGTTTTTACTTGGCTTTTCTTTGGGAGCATCGATCTTGGTCAACTATCTTAGTAGTGCTGGTGACACATCTCCATTTGTGGCACATTGCAGTATCAGTAATCCATTGGATATGAAGAAATGTGGTGACAATCTCAAATCAACAATGATCAACCAACAATTCTACAACCAAAGTTTGGCCAACAACTTGATCGATCTTTTCCAACGTTGGGGTAATCGTTTGGATTCATTTGCAACACTGGAACAATTGAAAAAGGCTCGTTCCATTAAAGATGTAGATGATATGGTAACTAGTAAAGTACATGGTTATAAAGATGCCGATGATTATTATGAACATGCTTCAAGTTGTAATCATATTGAATTTGTAAATATATATCAACAAAATTAAATAGATAGATAGATAGAAAGTATTTTTAATACTCTTTTTCTCTTTTTCTCTATTTTTAGATTAAAAAACCTACATTATTTATAAATGCAAGAGATGATCCTATTAGTCCTGGTAGTGCAATACCCTTTTCTAAAATCAAAAACAATCCAAATACGATACTCGCATGCACCAAGTATGGAGGACATTTAGGATTCATGTACAATCTTCACAAAAACCAACCATCATGGTCCGATCAAATCACTGTAGAATACTTTAATACCTTTTTGAAATAAATAAATTATACTAATCATTAATTTAAATAAGTATGTTGTTTGTTGTTTGTTTGTCCCTCCAAAGACACATTATGAGAATGTACATGATTCGTTCATTCAAAGCAGAAACCGTTGTAAATATCGAGCTCCAATGATCTGCAGTGGACAAGACGACGACGAAATTAATCGTCATAACCATATGATGGGCCGAGGTTGCAAGGGTACAAAGTTGTTTTGAAAAAAATAGTTTTGCAAGACCTTCTTTTTCAACCAAAATCGGGGGGATAATACCCTTTTCAATGGTTGCCCACCTCAGTGAGTCGTATGGTGGGTATCAAGTCAATTGAATTGGGTTCAACACAATACATCCATCTGTCCCTTCCTTCCCTCCCCTCTCTCTCTCTCTTTTAGAATAGTGATAGACAAAGAAAGAAAGAGAGAGACTATTCTAGAAGAATCCATCATATATAAATAAAATATATTTTGTTAACAAATCGCATAGCAGGGGGAGATCCAAAGATTAAAAATAACCCAAACCTTGCACAAAGTCAAGTTTTATTTTAGCTAAAACCTAGAAAGAGAAAGAAAGAAAAAGATTTATACAGAAACTACTATATATCTGTATCGTCGATATCATTCATATCTGGTTTGAAGCAGAAGCACAAGAAGGTTTTTTTATAGTTCTCATCTCAACCCAACCACACACCTCACCTCCTCTCTCAACCACCACCTTTGTATTCATTTTAATTTTGAGTCACAACAACCCATTACCTCATCATCCTCATCCTTCATCATCAACAAACACCTCTATATCATATATATAATCCATATCCCCCAACAACACAACAACAACTATAAATTATATATTTAAAATTTATGTATACTAGTCAACAACAACAACAACACAACCGCAACAACAACAACTTTTAATTCAACTGGTTTATAGAGAGTAGAGAGTGTAGAGTGTAGTGAGTGTTTCCACAGCAAGCAGCCTCTCCTGCCCCTAACCAGTTCGAGTTACTTAGTTAGTTCCTACTACACAACTCCTATATATTTATATTATAATTATTATTATATATCTTCTCCTTCATCCTCCCCCTGTATTATAGTCTATCTATCTAACAACAACAACAACAACCAGTCATATATCTTATTTTTGACTGGTATTTCTCAAACATATATATATATATATATATATATATATATACATACATACATAACATAAACATACCGTTAGTCAAAGAAGAAGAAGAAGAAGATTATACTATAAGAAGAATAGAGAGAAAAGAGAGATAGATAGCAAAGAATGAGTCACCCTTTGAGTCATTCGGCGCCACTGATACCGCATCACCAACAACATGTGGAGCATGCACTCCCACCACATATACTGCCGTATGGCTCAATGCCGCCACAACAAATAAGCTCTCCAACGGGCACACCGATCGGGATGAATGTAAATGGCATGCATACACCTCCCATGAACCATGGTCACATGTTTCAACAACAACAACAACAGCAGCAACAGCAACAACAACAGCAACAGGCACCTGCCGTTGCTCATCATGGTGTTGGTGTTCAACAACAACATATTCAAAATAATAATCAAGGAGGTGGTCCACACCCACAACAACAGCAACAACCTCAAATGGTTCATGTTGCACCAAATCAACAACAACAACAACAACAACAACAACAAATGATGCACCAAGATGCATTGAGACATCAACAACATCAACACCAACAATTTCAATTACATCAACAACAAATGCAACAGCAGCAAATACAACAACAGCAGCATCAATTACATCATTCTCAACAGTCACAACCGCAATCTCTGCCACCTCAACCCCAACCTCAATCTCAACCACAGCCACCACCACAACTTTCACAATCTACGTCTAGTGTTGTACAACAACAACAACAACAACAACCAATAAATACATCTACGAATGGTGGTGGTCCTCCTACAGTGGTAATTCCATCAACTCCGACATCAATACCAATACAACCACCACCTCCACCAACACCTCAAACACCATCTACACCATCAATACCACCAACACCATCACTACCTATTCCTCAAACCCCTATAAGCACTACTAGCACAACCTCTACAACTTCTACAGCAGCTTTGTTAGCACCAACGGTTGTCTTGACAGCCGAACAACAAAAACAACAAATACTTGGTGAAATTATGACAAAGTTGGCAGATTATTCAAAATATCATCTTAAAAGACCAAGTGATAACAATATAGGATTTTGGAAGGAATTTGTTGGAAAGTTTTATATGCCTGGAGGTATTTTCTCTCATACTGTTCATTTGGATTCAAAATCTAGAACTTATGGTAAGAAAAAGAAAAAGATGAAGAAGAAGAAGAGAAAGAAGAAGAAGAAGAAGAATCAAAATATTGAAACAAAAAAAAGAAAGAAACAAATTTGTTGACACTATTATTATTATTACTTTTTATTTATAGAATTAACATATGATGTTTTACCAAGATTCTATCAAGTTGCATATGATGCTTGTATAAAAGATTTTTCATTTTCATTTGATGACCATAAAGCTGATCTCATTGAAGGCACATTGGCATATTTGGAATCAAATAGAGCAAGAGTTTTGCTTTTATTTGATCATTTACAAGTATGAAAAACAGAGATAAAAAGATAAAAAGAAAATGAATATTCTTATTCTAATATTTTCTATTTCTATAGGTTCATTTAGATGGAACAATGAGAGTATATTTAGTACCATCAACATTAAAAATTGTAAGACTTCACTTTGAAACGCTATGTTATCAGGAATTGATACCAAGACCAACGGTAGAAAAGTTTTTGGTAGATAATCATATTAGCGCTCAAGCTTCGAAACTTTTAGAGTCGCTATCTCATTTGGCGCAGCAGACTTCACACAACTCTTCATCTCAAGGGCCATCGCCCTTGGCCACTTTGGCTGCTCGGGCCGAGGAGTTGGTCAAATCCCCTGTAAATGAATATGGCGTACCCCCTCTTATGATGCGTTGCTACGAGATTGCAGATATATTCAACGACTTTGACTCTTTGATGGAATATATCAAGGACAACAAGGATTCGGAAAAGGAACCAAGACAAGCCTTGCAAGATTTTGTAAATTTAAAACAACAACAATATCCTCAACAACCACAAAATAATCAACAAACGTCGGGGGCTGTACAAGGTAAGGTGAATAATAATAATAATAATAATAATAATAGTAATAGTCAACAACAATCCCATCATCCTCCACATATTACAATACCTCAACATCATCACCATCAACCTGCTACTCAACTACCACCACAACCACAACCACAAAATAGTCATCCATCTCATCACCAACAACAACCACCTCATTTCCAAGCTCCCGCTCCCCCTCCTCAACAACAGCCACCACAAACTCTACAACAACAACAAGGACAACAAGGAGTTCTTACTCCACAACAACAACATCAAAACTATATAATACTACAACAACAGCAACAACAACAACAACAACAGAATTACCATCATCATATACAGCAACAAATTCAACATCCACAAATGGTCGGACCACCTGGACAGCAGCAACAACAACAACAACAATTTATTCATCCTCAAATGAACTTTTACCCATATCCACCACCTCATCCATCCCAACAATATCACAAGTATCCACCTCAAAATGGACACGAGATGCAACAGCCTGCAGCTCCTCCTCCACCTGCTCCACCCTCCCAACAACCGCAACCACAACCAACAGCAGCACAGGCAGCAGCGCCAGCACCACCACCAGCGGCAGCAACACCTGCTTCCATTCCAGCACCGCCACCACCCCACGGAGGCAAGATAAAGTTTGAAAATAATAACAAATTCATGACCAATCCTCAACAAAAGAGAGCGCCCCAGAAAAGCACCTCCTACTCTCTAGACGATAAAAAGACTCATCACTATGATGCATCGCATCATCATGGTCACGATGAAGAGAAAAAAACAAAGAAAAAGAAAACAAGTGCTGCCAATAATAATAATAATAATAATAATAATAACTCGTCCCAACCAAATAGTACCTCTACAACACCAACTAGTGGTACTCCCTCTATATCATCTCAAAATCAATTAAATAACTCGAATAATAATATACAACAACCACCTCTAAATCATCATCATCAACAACAACAACAACATCAATTACAACAACAACAACAACAACATCAACAACATCAATTACAATTACAACATCAACAACAAATGCAACAACAACAACAACAAATGCAACAACAGTATTATCAACAACAATACACACAATCATATATGGTACAACAACAACCTCCTCCTCCTCCTCCTCCCTCTGCACAGCAACAACAACAACAACAACAACCAACATTTCAAACCTTTTCATTTCAACCACCACAACAAAGTATAGAAAGTCCTCATGTAAATCAGCTAAAATCCTCCTCACAAGGTGGATCCTCACCAAAACTACAGGCTCCACAATTATTGAATGATCAACAACACCAACAACAACAACAAAATAATTCACCAAACATTCATATACACAATTTTGAACCTACTCTTGAATCAATGGGAATTGATCAAAATAAACAACAACAACAACAACAACAACAACATATATCTGTAACATCTGTAGAATCACAACATCAACAACACCAACAACAACAACAATCAACCGATATGGAAAACCAACTACTTCCTGATACTTTTAAAAACAACCCAACTAGTAATAATAATAATAATAATAACAATAACAATAATAATTCACTTAAAAGAAGTTTGCAGCAAGTAGTATAAACTAATCATTATATTATATTATATATAAAACAACAACAAATAAATTATTTAAATTATTAAATTAATTTTTATTTTAACCATCAAAAAGGGATAGAAATATATATTTGTATAGAAATAATAATAATAATTAATTCTTTTTTTATATTATATTTTTATCTATAAACTGACCACGAGATGGACCACTATATTTTTGTAATATATCTAAAATGTCAGAGGACTGAAATTTCATTTTAATTGTATTGGTTGAACCGTATTTGTCATTGATTATTAAAAGATAAACTTGGTTTTTCTTGTCAAATAGTCTAATTTGTAATATTGTTTTGGAATGTCGATCCCTAAGTGCTCCCAAATGATTACTTGAAAGTATTGCCTTTTCAAAAGATGTTACATTTCTTTTGTTTCTGACAGAGGATAGTGGAAGTTCCAAGTAGAAATCATACCAAGGTTTAATTGGATTGTATATACCAACTGTCTGTAGATGATTATTATTTGGTAGTTGAGTAAAAAAATGTTTGTTGGTGACACTATTAAATATTTGAGGTATTCCAATATGACGTAGATTTGGTAATTGATTAAAAGGTACGGAAATAATACTGTCTAAACCAATAAGTTTGATATTTAATATTTCCAATGATGATGGTAATTGATCAATTGTATCTTGATCATAGTATTTTAGATATACTTTTTTTAATCTCGGTCCAATATCATTATTAATGTCTGCAATAATATTTAATTTAAGAGTACTGTGACAATATAGATGCTCCAAATGATAGGGTAGTGGTTGGGGTATAAAACATCCTTCCAATGTTTTAAGGGATACAGGTAATTTAGAGTACATGTCTACTATTACAGGTGGAGCCAGTCCAATGAATTCCAAGTTGCGTAATCCTTCTGGCAACCAACCATGAGGTATTGTTTTGGTGGGTACAGTAAAATTGTTTGAATAGTATGATCCATCGCCAATAGTGAGTGCAGTGAGCGACGGTGGTAATCGTATCTCTGAGATGTCTATCTGTTCGGCGATACCCTCTATAAACAAGTATCGCAATGACTTGAAAACCGTCAAATCACACGATGAAATGATCTTGGTGAGAACTAATCTAGGCAATGAATTGAAATAATAGTCTCTGTCCCTTGATATTAGGTCAAAATTATTGATTGGAAGAAATATACTTTCAGCCTTTGAAACTACTGTAGTGGGTAGTCTTGCAACACCGACATGATCGATGAATCTTCTTCTTAGGTCAAACAGTCGATGACATGTAGCATGCAAACATATTCTTTCAGCATCCAAATCAATCTGTTGAATGATGTATCTAATTACTACATTTGGTAATAGCAATAAATTGAATTGTACAACTTCTTCTTCTTCTAGGTTGTCCTCTTCTTTTTGTTCTATACCAAGAAGATTTAAAATAGAGCCAAATATACGTCTAAACATGGTGCTATATTCAATTTCTTGATAATATAGGGATATCTATTATTCTATCTTCTCTCTTTTATTCTATTTCCTTTTTTAGAAAGATATAGTCAAAGAGTTCTAGGTTGACACTATCACCCAAAGAATGGGACAGTCTGCGAGAGAGGGTGAAAAATCGATTTTAATTAATTATTTTTGATTTTATTGGGTGGTGACAACACCACTCTTCAACATGAACAGAAGATTCTTTGAGTTGACATCATCGACCCTGTAAAAGCGTGAGAGTAAAATGAGTTTTATTATATATTCAATTGTTATTCTCTTACTTTCATTCTATCTCTATACAATTTATACAAACAAACAACAACATTATAACATGGCAAAGCTTAAAGTAGGCGACGACGCTCCAGAATTCACCAGTCAAGATGGCAACGGTAACTCTGTTACATTGGCTCAATTCAAAGGAAAGATTCTAGTACTCTATTTCTATCCAAAGGATGAAACTCCAGGTTGTACCAAGGAAGCTTGTAGTTTCCGTGATAGTTATGAAGATTTTACTAAAGCTGGTGCTTCTGTAAGAGAAAAAAGAAAAAAGAAAAAGAAAGAAATAGAAGATTTACTAATTAAACTTTAATTATTATTTATTACCCTTGTTTATTACTTTTAGGTTGTAGGAGTATCATCAGATTCAAAGGAATCACATCAAAAGTTTTCAGCCAAACATAGATTACCATTCACTCTATTGTCAGATGATGGTTCTTTGGCTAAAAAGTACAAGGTTGGCAAGAACCTTTTAGTTGTTCCAGCCCGTACTACCTTTATCATTGACCAAAACAGCAAGATTGTTTCTATTCACAACTCTTTATTCGATGCTGAATCACATATCAAGGAATCCTTAAAGGTTATCGAAGGATTGAAATCAACTACTCCCACAACTACTGCTTCTGACGCTTCTGCAGCAAACTAAAAACAAAACAACAAACACAAACTATTAATAATCACAACCATTTATATTTGTATATAAATAACTTTTTATCCTTCTTTTCTTTCTCTATATATATGTTTTACTTTTGCGCGAGTGTGTTATCTACTAACACACACAAACACAATTTGAACAAAACGCACAAACTTCTCCTTTTAAATAAATTATTATTATATATTTAACATTCTTGTAAATTTACACATCGTGTTGTATTGATATGATCAAAAATGGAAGTTGATCATCATCGTCAGCACTCTCTTCAACAATTGCATGATTTAATTAAATTTTTAATTTCAAATGAAATCAAACCTGGGTGAGAACTGATATATCAGTTTAGTTTAGTTTGCTTGTTCTCACTACGTACATATATATATATATATATAAACCTAACTATTCATCCTCTCCCTATCTTTTATTCTTATTCTTTTCCCTCCTTTAAATTGATTAATATGACAGTTTTATCAAGAGATGAGGTACTTAAATGTATAGAATCAGGGTAGGTATTGATCAACAGATAAGAGATAGTAGCAGCAAGATTAGTAATACTAACATCTCCTTTAGTGAAATATCAATTAGTCCATTTGATCCAGATGCACTTGGTGGTGCCACATTGGATCTAACATTGTCAAATGAATTTAGAGTGTTTTCAAAAGAATCTGAAACCATTCTTGTCACTGATGAAACCAACTATAGAGATTATACCAAACATTTTGTACTAGGCGAAGGAGAGACTTTCATTTTAGAGCCAAGATCATTGGTTTTGGCCATCACCAAAGAGACCATCTCGCTCTCTCCCAACTATTGTGGTCTACTAGAAGGCAGATCTCGTTTTGCAAGAATGGGACTCTTTGTTCACTTGTCTACAGGTTTCATGCAACCATCCATCTCTAGTCGACAGGTTCTCGAAATATTCAATGCATCCAACAATCGTTTGGAACTAAAACCTGGATCTAAAATGTGTCAATTTATTTTTATGAAAATGGAAGGACAAGCTTCTTATACTGGTAGATTTAGAGATAATCATTTGTAACAATAATAATAATAATAAAACAAACAGATAGTAATAATAAACATATAACAACAAACAAACTATACACATAATTGTGAAATGAGAGAATAATCTCATAACCAAACCAAACCAAACCAGGCTGCTAAAAATGTTTATTTTTGAAAGCTCGCAAATTTTAATGTTTTTTTTAAATTTTTATTCATTGATGATGACATTTCGACGGGTTGTTACAACCTTCTAACCAAAGTAATCATAGCTCTCTAATAGAGAGACAAAGGGATCTCTCTCATCTGTATTCTTTTAACCTCCTGAACTGTGTGTGTGTGGTGAAGATTTCTTTTTACACCTCTAGATAATGGAATGAGGGGTGTCTTTTTCAAAAGTGAAAGAGTAAAAGTATATTACCGTTTGAAAATCCGATGTCGAAAAAGGTAATTCATAGTGACTGAAGAGAAGATATTTTCTTGACCGGTGATTTTTTATTCATATTAAATTAAATTAAAATTACAATAGAATATGCAAGCAAAGTTGTTTTCAATAAGGGTTTATGAATCATCTTTTATATTCTTCATTCATTCATTCATTTTGTATACATATATTGTTTTTTACTTCTTTTTTTTTTTTTTTTTAAGGTATAGTGTGTGTGTGTGTGATCTACAACTTTATTTGTTCATTGTGTACATATATATAGATAGATAGATAGATAATTATAGAACCAATCACAATCAACAACCTTTATTTTTAAAAAAAGATGGGATTACCAATTAAATCAGTACTCGGCGATGAGTATATCGATTACATTACAATATCAATTCCATTCTTTTTGATATTAACATTGATTGAATTTATCTATTCAATTGTTAGAAAGAAAAAGATGGATTATACAATCACTGATTCAATTGGAAGGTAAACAAAAAAAAACAAAAAGAAAAAGTATAGAAAAAAAACAAAGTTAAATTATTATTATTAACATTCTATTCTATAATTTTAGTTTTTCCACTGGATTAACAACTGTAATTTTGGATAAATTAGTACCTGGAACATTGGCAAAAAGTTTAGAGTTTATTTGTGTGATTTATATTTATAAACATCATAGATTATTGACTGTTGATGAAGATTCTAAATTGGCTTCGTTAGCATGTCTGGTTTTGGTTGATTTTGGGTATTATTGGTTTCATAGACTTGCTCATGAAATTAATGTTTTATGGTCATCTCATTCAACTCATCATTCAAGTGAATTATATGTAAGGAAGATAATATAATATATAAAAAAAAAAACAAATCACTCTATCAATCATTTATTAATATTTCTATTTTTCTATTTTTTTTAAAGAATTTAACAACAGCATTAAGACAAAATGCATTTCAACCATATGTTAGTTGGGTATTTTATTTACCATTGGGATTTTTTATGCCACCAGGTATATTCTTTTTCCACAAACAATTTAATACGATTTCTCAATTTTGGATTCACACCAAATATATTCCTAAATTGGGTGCTATTGAATGGATATTTAATACACCATCACATCATAGAGTTCATCATGGTCGTAATCCAAAGTATTTGGATAAAAACTATGCAGGTTTATTGATTGTTTGGGATCGAATGTTTGGTACATTCCAAGAAGAGGAGGAGGAGGTATTTTATGGTTTGGTTGAACCAATCAATAGTTTTGATCCAACATGGGTACAATTCCATAACCTATTCAAGGTTTATGAAAAAGCTGGCACTATGAAGACATTTGGAGACAAGATGAAAGCTATCTTTTATGGTCCAGGTTGGTATCCTGGACTACCACGTCTTGGTGATAACAATCTTTGTCCAATTCCAAAGGAATCTGAAAAACAAGGTCGTGTCGGTTATAGTCTACCAGGATTCATGGGTCTCTACATTTTTATTCAATTTTTACTAGTCTCTCTTGGATCGCTTGTATTAATGGTTGTTTTTGAAAAACAACTTGGTCATCAAAATATTTCAATCATGTTAACCTTTTTATATATTTCATTTACTACTATTGGTTCAATTAGTAGTAGAAAAGAGTAAGACAAAAAAAAAAAACAGGAAAAAGAAAACAAAACAAAATTAACAAATGTTTATTTTATTTATTTTATTTCTTTTAGATATGCAATGATATTTGAATTAACAAGATTAATTTCATTTATACTTTATACTTATGATACACCATATATGTGGTTAAAAGTAGTTAGAGGATTTTATTTATTCTCGTGTATTTATATTGTTGGAAAAATTCAAAATCCTTTCAAAAAACAAAAACAAGTCTAAATAAATAATAAATAGAATAGTCGTAGTATATATTAAAATTTAAAAACTAATCAATCCGTTTTATATACAATTTGAAATTATTATTATTATTATCTAAGCTGGTAATAATTCCTTTTCTTTTTTCTTTTCTTCTTGATCTTGTTTTTCTTTAAACTCTTCTTCTGCATCTTTCATTAAACTTTCTAATAATTCTTCATCTTCTTTACTAAATAATCCTTCTTGTTGTTGTTTTTGTTTTGGTTGTTCAACTACTATTGGTTCCTTTGTTTTTTCTGTTGTTGTTGTTGTAGTAGTAGTAGTAGTTTCTTGATTTTTAATTGGTGTATTATTATTACTATTACTAAGAGTTAATTTTTCCAAATCTTTTGTAAACAAATCAGTTTCCATTTGTTCCAATTCTTTTTCAAGTTGTTCTTCTTCATCAGAGGATAGATAATTGATATTACTTGACGCGGTCATACCAGTTTTAATAGCTTCATCAATTTCCTTTTGATCGGTCATTGCTTCTTCAAAGTCATCCATGACTTGGTAGACTTGATCGACAGTCATTTTTTCATTGACCTTTTTCAAGGTGCCCACACCGACACAGAGTGCATCGACAACCTGTTGGTTGCTATTGGCCGACTCGATACTCATCAAGACGTCGTGTATATTGTTTGATTGTTGCGTTCTCGTTTCGAGAATCGACTCTAGTTTCTTTTTCTTTTTGAGGTGGTGCAAAGCATTGTTCTTTTGCTTGACGGCGATATACTCTGAAATCTTGGCATTAGTAGCCTTGATGTCATCCATAAGACTCTTTTCCTGTGCCAACAACATGTCATAGGTGGCCTGTAGCTTCAATACACCATAGTCCGAGTCCATAGCCACCACCTTTTGTCCGTCGAGTGCAAACTTGACACCCTTGACCTGGTCACCCTGCACAATGTATGCAGCGCGACCCTCGCGGATCAACACACCCACCAACAGGGCAATCTCGTCTCTTGTCAGTTGTTGCTCTTGGCCAAGTATACTCTCGAGTTTGGCCAACGATACGATTGGTTCCGATGTGATTGCACTCTCTATTTGGCTATAGTATAGAGTCTCTGCCTTTTCCAACACCACACTCTTTACAATCAACTTTCGTTCTGCCCAAGGGTTACTTGCATTTGATCCTCCTTTTCTTGGTGATGCTGCTACAGACAAAGATGTCTGTGTGGCTCCACTATCCTTTCCTCCCCCTCCTCCTCCTGCTACCCATGACCACGACCACTGAAATGTAGGTACTGCTACTCTATTCCAAAACCATGACCATCCATTCAACACTGTATTAAATTCTTGTATAGTTATAATTGTCTTTTCTTTTTTTTCTATTTGTTCCTAAATAAAAATAAAAAATAAAAGTAAGTAAATAAATATCTTTACTTTCTACCTCTATTTCTTTTCTATTCTTACAATAATTTCAAATAAAGAAATTGGAGATATACCATCAACTTTGAAAGCATCTTGTAATTGGTTTGGTGTAAATATCAATAGATTAGCATCTTGAGATAGTTGAGTGATAGCCAAAGACCAAAAAGAAACTAGATTATCGTATCTCTCTGGATTCTGCTCTCTTGTACGTGGTAAACGACTGTACAACATCATCTTTCGTTCACTACCATTCTTTATCTCGTCCATAGACGATACTACCTTTTTTATTTTCTGATTCTTTACACTCTCTACTGATGTAATGTTGGTTATTCCTCCTCCTCCCATTCTAATAGGAGATACATTCTTATTATTCATTTCTGAAAGTAAATAAAAGTAAAAGAACAAGTAAAAATAATAATAAAATAAAATGAACAATAGCTCAAAAATGTTTAATTTATTTTTTTGTGTGACGAACTATCATTATTTTAAAATCTCCCTCCAAAACCAAAAAAAAACCTTTCTTTTACTCTTTTTTTTTTTGACAAAGAGAGAGAAAAGAGATATCTGTAATATAAACAAATAACAAATAATAATAAATTACTTTTTATTTTTATTATTATTATGAATATTGATCAATCAATGGAATGGGTTGTACACATTCAAGGTTTAGTATTACCCGACCTGGAACCAGGAATGGGAATGAACAGTTAGTTAACTAATTGTATATTTATCGTTGGTAGTTATCATCAAACCTTTTAAAGGTTATTATATTTAGATGGGTTTTTTAATTGGATGGATGGATACTCATTTCCTAAAATGCGATGATGACGATGATGATACAATGCGCGTCGTTTGAGCCTTTTTATCATTATACGAAAGATTATTAATTAATTAGGGGGTCTTCTAACTAGTCAAGTCTCAAAGTCTACGGAATGATCAGATGCACCAACAGTTGCGATGTTCAGCAGACTTGCACCAACTCGAGAGACGACAATTCATTTTTCGCTTCACATAAAAACTTGGCACCATATTTATATTGTTGTTAAAAAAACACTTCGTTTCCACTTGGCAAAGACCCCAACCGTTAAAATTGTTTAAAATTTGAATTTTTGTCTTATTTTTTCTTTGAAAGACATTTCACAAGGACCGACTGCACATACTAATAATTATTGAACAACAACCAATCTCTCTATCTAAAAAGTAAAAATATTAAAAAGATATAAAACTATCTACCACCAACCCATCATCCATCATCCATCATCACAGCACAGCTCCCAGTAGACAACACACAGCAGTAGCATCCTTATCTATCCTTATCTATCCTTATCCACATCCAATCTAAGGTATGTATCTTATCTTTGCACTAATCCTAAAAAACAACAGTTGTCCCTTGTCATTGTCACACACCAAGCAAAAACCAAAAAAAACATCATTCTGCAACCAACCTCACAACAACACCGTTTTCAAATAAAATGATATCATTCTTGTGTATAGAGTCATCACCTTGAACAGTCGCAAAAAGGCTATGATGTGGAAACCAAAAGAGAGAGATAATTATTATCTTAAGAAAGTGATCATTAAACGACACACTCCAATCATAGTAAACACACAACCGTAAAAGTAATGATCCATTTCTTATCGGCTTCGTCATTGCCTTACTAAGTGCACGAGTTTACCTCCCTAGTTTATTTATGATAATCAGAAAATAGAACAACACGAATATTCTATTCTATTCTATTCCATTTATTTTAATAATTTATAAAATTGATCAATCATCCACCATCATCAACTACTAGTTAACAAACAAACACCACACTTTAACATCATTCATTCGATTAATCTTAATCACTATCATTCATCCAACATCTTTGATTTATAAAATCATCATCCACAAACCACAAATAATAATAATAATAATAATAATAATAGTTTTAATTAAGTTAATTTTGTTTTAATATTTGCTGCTTCTGCTTTATATTTATTTGTTTGTGAAAGACAAACCCTCATCCATAACCTTTGCTTGACTAGTCCCTCAGATTTTGTTCAGTTCAGCCGACTCTTTTTGTTTTTTTTTTTTTTTTTCCTCTTTCAACTTCCATTTTAAACTTACACAATATATAAATCTTACCTAAAAGAAAGAAGAAGAACAAGAACAAGAACTAAAAGGCCTGTCTCAAGATATAACTCTTATTCTTACAACAACGACAACAACAAAAAGTAGTTATCCTAATAACACCTTTAATCACTCTTATCATCAACAACATCATCTTATCATTTTAGCATACTTTTGGTAGAGATTATATATATATATATATAACATACACATAAGATAACTCACGACTCTGTACATACAAATCATACAAAATACACATATACAGACAGACAAAAGTATTATATTATTAGTATAAGTGAAATCTCTGTTTGCATCTTTAATCTCATTTCATATTTCATTTAAATCATTCCCAAACCAACAGGACAACACATTAACTCTTTTTGAAACTATAAATATTATAGTCTCTTTATTCAAACTTGTACATACAACATAACATACAATTACTTTATTTATTTATTTATTTATTTGTTTTTGTTTGTCTTTTTTAAAAAGCAGTAGCAAGTAAATTTAAAATTAAAATTATTAATAATAATAATCATAACCAACCAACACATAAACCTTTAATAATGATAGAATGTAAATATTTTAAAATCAAATCACTTTATGTTTCACGTTTAAATCATTTTCAATTAAAAAGGACTTCTTTTCTTTGAGTTGCTTTGGAGTCGATAATCCCAAAGAACATCAATCAATCAATCAATCAATCAAATCAGACTCCTTTTTGTTGTTTCAATACTTTTACTCTTTTGGTAAGGGTCGTGGGTTGCTGTTGTCGTCGACACCCATCAATCTATCCATTTGAAACGTGTGATTTATAAATAGGTGCCAGATATCAAAAGAGGCGACTCCACCACTAAACTACAACGACAACTTTGACTTTTGTTTGTTGTGTGGGGTGGCAACAGACCAACAACAACAACAGACAGGCAGGCAGTCTATTTTATTCATTAAATCATTGATGATGGGTTATTTATTGGCGGGATGGATGGCTGGTGTGACGGGTGACCACCCCTCGAATTGTGTGTTGTTTGAGATTCACCTGTGTTTAAATCTCTCTACTAATTGATCATCCATCAGTCCATCAATCAAATAACCTTTTCTTTCCCCACTCGTCCACCCCCCCCCCCTCATACCTGTTTTATCAACCATCTATCACACATATAATATACACACACAATACATACATACATATAATCATACAATATTTATTTATATATATATTGTTGTGTTGTATATGTATTGTTGTTCAATCAATCAATCTATCTTTTTTTTTTTTAATATTATTTATTCAAATAAACAACTAATACTCGAGCACTTGACAATACCAAACCGAATGAACAACACAACAACAACAACAAAATATGTTTACGATTAATCCAACAATGATTGCATCTGAAAATACTAGTCACTTTTATCATCAACAGCAACATCAAAACAGTAATAATAATAATATTGATGTTAGAGGTATCAATCAATCAAATCAATCAATCAAATCAACATTACTTTACTTTTGTGTTTTTCCATTCCTTTCCATTTCGAATTAAAATGATTAATTATTAATGTACCTTTTTCTCATTCTTTTCTTTAGTATTAGATACAACTACGATTCCAGCCAATTCCAAATTACTATATAATACCAATCATCCAGATATCAATAGTGCCTATACATCGACTATTCTTTCACCTGTTCTTTCACCCATTCATTTGACACCTCTCCCACCAATAACAACAACAACAACAACAACAACTATACCAACAATGAGTAAAAAGAGGCCAATTGATTCATTGGATGATGGTTATTCCGAAGATATCAAACAAGAAGAAGAACTCATGCCATCAGCAGATGGATTTACAACAAATGATGATTTAATGTCTCTTATGACTTTTTTAGAGTATGTATCAAAAATAATAATATTATTTATGTTTTTTAAACTATAGCAACAATCGATGCATGACGACACTATATATTTGTTTATTATTATAAAACTAGTTGGATGTGTTTTTATATCATTTTATTTTAAAAACTCTATTTATATGTGCATTGTATTCTTGTCTACCACCCACACACAATCTACACACACAACACTAATTAAATCACAAAATATCCCATACCACTTCTACTGATTGATGATGTTCTATCAATCATTGGTTCTCAACGCCTCCCCCTAATCCATCAATCCATCCATAATCTCTTCACAATCTTTCAAATCAATTCGAAAATTGGTTTGTTTGATTTTCTTTTAAACAATTCCAACAAGATCAAAAAGTGAATTTATATATATATATATATATTAAAGAATTGGTGGAAATAATGGAGGATAAAGGAGAAGAGGTTTTATAACAACAAACAACTTGTAGTACTAGTTGTCCTCAAAAAAAATAATATTATTTTTTCATTGTAAACAAACTCTTTTTTTTTTCCACCAATCAATATTCAATTCAATTTTTTGTTTTAGCCAACCACACATCAAAGGAAGGTTTTCCAGTCCTGGTTGTACAAGAAGGAGAAGTTCAACTGCTCAATATTTTATTATTTATCTATTTTTTATAAATCTTTAATTTTACCATATTCTTTATATTTTCAAAGTTTTTTTTGTTTATTTGTTGTAAAAACATATAATCAATTAAATAATCTACATTATAATAACCATCAGTGATATTTGAAAACTGGAATTTTTATAATAATGAATTATTGTAATTCACCACACACCCCCACCACCAACACTCTCATTCACCATACAAATATTGTTGGTTCAAAGAAACCTTTACCAGAAGTGATTAATATTAATAATAATAATAATAATAATATGTTGGCCTCTTCTTATATTACGAAGGAAGCAGCAGCAAACAAGTCACCTATGCTCGACCCGTCACCCTCCTCCTCCTCATCATCATCGTCCACCACACCTCCACTGTTGTTGACACCAAATATATTATTAATTCCGAATCTCATGAACAATTGTAATAATAGTAATAATAATAATACTAACCTATATAATCATCATCATAATCACATAAATAGTCATGGACAAAATATCACTACCATAAAAACCGAGCCTGTTTCAACATTGCAATATCCACAACAACCGCAACAACAACAACCGCAACAACAACAACAACAAGTTCAACAAGTTCAACAACAACAACAACAACCTCAATCCCAATATATTCATCCACCTCCAGCCTATATATATAACGGAAACGGAGGTACCCTTGAAGATCAACAACAACAACAACAACAATTACAACAACAACATCAAATCCAACAACAACAACTTTTACAACAACAAATTCTTCAACAACAACAATTCCAACAGCAACAACAACAACAACAACAACAACAAATTCAACAACATGTACAGTCGACTATGATTCAAGTCCAACAACAACAACAACAAGTCCAACAGCAACAACAACAACAAGTTCAACAACAATTATCATCACCAAATAATAATAATCAAGAATCTATAATTATTACAACTAGTGGTATTAACGGTCAACAAACCTTGTCTATACAACAACCACAACAACAAATGGCACCACAACCACATCAACAACAAACATTATCAATTCAACCACCACAACAAAATATACCATTACCACAACATCTTTTGGTTGCTCCATTTGGAAATCAAGCACCACAACCACACCAACAGATCATAAACGAATGTCTAAAGTTACATTTAGCACAAAAGGATCAATTGGAAAAGATGAAGGTTGTACAGAAACAAGTCTTGGCACATCCCCAAACCGAGACGTTCCAAATGCTCGACAATGAGCAAAACACTCTAAAGAAGCAGATTGACGCCGAATTGACGTCTCTACAACAGATCGATCAGACATTTGTATTGTCACCCACGGAAATCCGTAATGTTGTTTTTTTAATCCACGAACTCACCATCCAAAGTATCCAACTCGAATTGTATCATGAAGAGCTCCAGCTCCTCGTCCGTCCACAGAATCCACCACCCACCATTGCTGCACTCGTCGTCATTGAACAACCCTTCCCAATGGTTATTACCAAGTGCAAGCCACTCGAAGATGATCCCGTCGTCGTCCAATTGCTCAGCGGAACACGTACCGAACTCCAACTCATTGGCAAGGTTCGCGCCACCATGATTGTAGAGAACCAACAAAACTCCAAGACTTCAGGTTCACCAAAGACCATTGAAACTGAAGTTGTATCGATGGATGAAGTACAACGTCTTGCCAAATACCATCTCAAGTTCCTCAATGGTACTCGTAAGAATCCAGTCACTCTCAAATTTGGTATGCAAGTCCAAGTTGTCGGTGGCACCCCTGTCAATATTGAAAGTCCACCCACCTCTCCCTTTATCGTCATTACCAACGAGTGTCAATACGAAGAGTCTGATGGAACCCTACTCAAAAAGGACAGTTTTGGAAACAATGCCGAAATCCCATGGGCATCGTACGCCAACAAACTCCAACGTCACTTCCTCAGAGCCACTAGACAAGACTCGATCAAACCAACACGTTATCTATCGCGTCACGAACTCATGTATCTACATCAACAATTCTTTGGTGGTCGTAGTATGGTTTCTCAGTCCATGTTTGACGCTTTTTGGAATTGGTTTGGAAAGGGTCTCCAAAAGCTTCGTTATCAACGTCATGTTTGCTCCATGTGGCAATCTGGTCTCATCTATGGTTTCATCTCTCGTCAAAGTGTAGAAGAAGCACTTCGAAATGAAGAGATGGGTACTTTTCTCATTAGATTTAGTGAAAGACATGCTGGTCATTTTGCTATTGGTTATAAAGTTGATGATCCCGATCCTGAAAAAAGAATTAGACATTATTTAGTTAAAGCTGATGATACTGTAAATATAAAAAATAGAAAAAAATCGAAAAAATAGAAATATATTAACTTTTTTATTTTAATTTTTTTTAGGCTGGAGCTAAAAAGACATTACCAGATTTCTTATCAGAATGTCCACAATTCACAAAGATTTTACAATTGACCATTGATCCAATAACGGGAGAACCAAGACTACGAAATTTCCCAAAAGATGTTGTTCTTGAACCATATTATTCTAAACGAGAAGCTTTACCAGCTACCAATGGTTACGATTCTTTACCAGTTTTAAATTAAACCTGGAAATTTAAAAAAATACCACCCACTTCTACTCACAACTCAACTTTGTTAATATCCTACCTTCCTCCTCATCTGACAAAATATTAAATTATTTTTTATAAAACTAGGTTGGAATCTAAAAGAAAAACAATGTACTTTTTTCATATATATACAATCAAAAAAAAAAAAAAGTACATATCCCTTTCTTTTATTCCTTTTTTATAATAATAATAATCGTCAATAGTAAATACAACACTCTTATAACAACCAAATATATATATAACAAAAAAAAAAACAAAAAAAAAACAAAAAAAACAAAAAAAAAAACTCTACACTTACTTAACAAAACAACAAACAACGAAACAATACTTGTATATAATTACAGACCAAAACCAAAACTTTAACCTTTATATCTTATACTCATTAAATAAATAAAATCCATTAATCAAAACATCAAGCGGAGAGATAGTACTTTATTCGGCCAACAGATACAGAATTGAAATATGCAAAAGAAAAGAATATAAATTAATAAAATTTGGTTGTGGACCATCTTAATTTTCCTTTTATTAATAATTACCAAAAAGAGTCATGATGTTTGAATTATTTGTTCAACAGTGGAATGAAAACAAACAACATTTATATATATTTTGTGTCAGAGTCATCAATAATAATAGATTAATTGATTCGATATTAGGGTTAAAATTATATTTTCGGCCAAGTTGTAAAAGAATTACCCACCGATATTGTCAATATAAACAAAACACATTGACATTGACACAAACTAATAATAATAATAAAATCATATTCAAACAAATAAAAAAATGTCTTGCGAGGTTTGGTTGTCCCCAGTGCAGCAACAAAGTTTTGTCCAAAATATCTGACAAAAAATTGATTTTTCGTTAAAGTTGTTCTTCATTGCAACCAAACCCCTTCACATCTGTTTAACAAATAAGATAGATATTAGTAGTTGTAGTAATAAGAGTTATCAAAACTTTGTTAGTTAGATAGATTAAACTATTTCTCGTCAAGAAAATGAAAAGAATAGTAATAATAATAGCAATTATATTTATATTGATACAACTCGAAAGTTGTATTGCACTTAATAATGGAGTAGCGCCTACGCCAGGTATGGGATGGTCAACTTGGAATAGATATGGATGTAATATAAATGAATCTGTTATTATAGACAATGCCAATGCAATGATTAAAAGTGGTCTTGTCAATTATGGTTACGAATATATTAATATCGATGATTGTTGGGCAGTAGGAAGAAATGAATCAACAAATGAATTAATTGCGTAAGTCATAGATAGACAGAGATAGATAGACTATCTATTTTAACTAACTCTCTGTCCTCTTTTTTTTTCATTTTCATTTAGAGATCCTGTTGCATTTCCAAATGGTATTAAATATATAGCAGATTATTTACATTCAGTTGGTTTAAAGATGGGAATTTATACAGATGCTAGCCCAATCACTTGGCAAAAACGTCCTGGTAGTTTTGGTTTTGAACAATTAGATGCTGATGTAAATAATCAAAAGAATTCAAAATATCTATTTAATAATTACATTTACTAATCTCTCTCTCTCTCTCTTTATTTTTTTAGACATTTGCATCATGGGGAATTGATTATGTTAAAGAAGATTGGATGAAACAATCATTTTATAATTGGACAGGTGATCCTATTGCATTGTATACTAAAATGTCAGATTGTTTAAATGCAACTGGAAGAGATATCTATTTTGCAGTTTGTGAATGGGGTATCGACAATGTACAAACATGGGCACCTGCCATTGCAAATAGTTGGAGAACAGCTCCCGATATCAAGGATGAATGGACTAGAATAATGGAAATTTTGGATCTTCAGCTGCCACTGACCAATGCATCTGGTGTAGGCAGTGGTTGGAACGATATGGATAGTTTGGAGGTTGGCAATGGTAACATGAGTACCATAGAGTACACAACTCACTTTTCTATATGGTGCATGATGGCATCACCACTTATCATGGGTAACGACTTGACAAATATGGATGATGACACCTTGGCCATCCTCTCGGCCACTGAAATGATCGAAGTCAACCAAGACACTCTCGGCATTCAAGCCTACAGAGTCTATCAAAACACGAGTGAATCGACTGAAATCTATGTCAGACCTTTGGACGATGGTACTCATGCCGTCATGCTACTCAACAGAAACGACAATGACACACTAAACATTGAGCTCGATCTCGGCTTGCTCGGTCTTCCAACCACCCTCAATTGTCTTATTCGTGATATTTGGAAGCAACAAGATTTGGGTGTCTATAGTGGTAGTTATATTTCTGATAATGTACCTCCTCATGGATGTGTAGTATTAAAAGTTGTTTGGATGGATTAAAAAAAAAAAAGATAGACAATCAATCCATTTCTTCTTTTGTAAATTAAAAACTCTCTTTAAAATAATAATAATAAACCAAATTTCACAATCCATTTATATTATATACTACATTCTAAAATGTCTTTTCTGTTGCTGTTGTTTTCGTTTCTATTTTATCTATATATATGATTTATTGAGTTGTTGTTACTTGTAAGATTAAACCATTCATCCTATCTAGATTCGCAAAGTCACTATCTTTATCTGTCAAATATTTATATATAACTTTATCATTGGTCACTTTTAAAACTACATTTGCATCTACTTTTCTAAACTTGAAAACATATCTTGTCTATATAAATATATAGATAATAGATAATAGCAAACATTGTTAGTTTGAAAGATTGTGTATATGATGATGATGATGCAATGCATATGATGATCACTTCTTCGTCAATCAATACAATTCTTCATCAATCAATACAATTCTTCATTCATACCTTTGCAGGATCTTCTCTAAATAATGTTTCAGACTTGTCATAAAACTCTTCAAAATCTTTCAAATATACCATGTTTTATATATTTATATAAATATGCTATCGATCAGAGTGATTAAATTAAGAGTTAAACAAAGATCTCAATTGAATGCAGTACAAAAAATTTAAAAAAATAAAAAATAATTAAAATTAAATACTCTATCATTGGTTCACTTTTTAAAAGGGTAATGAAGAATTGTGTGGATTGCTGGTAGATGGAATTGTATATCAAATAAAGAGCCCTAGTAGCTTGAATAATAAACAATTAGTTTGGGAAATATATTTTGTTTTTTTTTTCATTGGAAGTCGAAAGTGTTTTATAATGTATAGAAATGTAGCCTCTGATCTGTTCTCCACTTTTATAATCTTCAATGAATAGGCAATCAAATTTAAATTAAATGTATGAATAGGAAAGAGATTGACAAAAATATTTTAATACTTTGTTTCAAGGGAATGAGATGTAAAGGACTATTTTTTGATTAATCATTTGGATCATTTTAAAAAGAATCAAAAAAATAGTATATATCCATGAATTAAAAAAAATAATAGATCAAATAATAAATTGTATACAGTCCATAATCGATTTCGTTTTTGTAGAATGAAAAATATCTAGATAAGGTATGTCGCGACAATCCTTGACCTAAAAAAAATCTATTTACTCTGCAGACCCAAAAAACGATAACAATTAAGAATAGATCATCATTTGTCAACAACATAATGTTTTATTATTTATTATTCAATTTTTTTCAAAAAGAGATATTTATATACAAATAGAAAGAGATAGAGATAGAGAGAAATGAAATTCACAAATAATTTAATGATTATCATTTCAACGATGGTGATGATGATCGTTTACAATAGTGTAGATGGAGCATCATATGTTTCCATTCAAGAATTCCCAGATAATAATTGTACTGGTGAATATTTTGCACAAAACTATGCGATTGTTGGAACTTGTTTCGAACGATCAATGTATACATGTGATGGTGTTTCATCGACTCGTAACCTCTACAAAACTGATGATTGCTCTGGTAGTCCATGGCAATCACAATCATACAATATCGGTCAATGTACAGGCTTTCCTGAACTAGATCAAGTAGGCTATACCATCTGGGAATGTGTCGACAATTACACCATTCCCGCCAATAGTTCAAATTCAATTACTTATCTTGGATCGTGTGAAACACCATGGAATGAAAACCCAGTACTGTGGATCAATGCACTCAAGAATAACCACTGTTTTCCACAAACCGGTGTTCCTCCAGGATCGGGTATGGTTCGTTGCAAGAACAACAAAGGATTGATGGATTTCTCGTACCCACAACGTGGATGTAAAGGTCAGGCATCAACCGACTATGAACCAAACCCAAAGTATTGTGATGGTGATCTTGGTTATGATTTCGTTTGTTCTCATTAAATAGTAAATAAATAAATAAATAAATAATCATTTTTTTTTTGTTCTTTTCTTTTATCAACCAATCAAAATAATAATTTTCTATTTTTGGGTAGACGATTTTTTTTCATGGTAGGAAGACAAAGGTGTTTGATAGGATGAGGATTTGATGGAATTTGATGGCGAATGAATAGAAATGCAGCCACGTTTACTAAACTATGCTCTATCTTGTCGAGGGCCCTACGATATAGATAGTAATTGGATAGTTAAGTTATAATCAAGATCTTATATAAACTATGGTTAGTCTTATAGATTGTATAGTGTTATATAAAATGTAATAATAATGAATGATGAGAGCTGTTGCTCGTTTGTAGGTGCGTGAGAATTGGGATTTTGTAAAAATGGTCCATTCTCATTACACACGGATGAGTACTACACTAAGATGAAAAAATCCTTGGCACAAAACAACAAAAAGGTTGAGGCCCCATCGAGGTTCGAACTCGAGACCCCTTCCTTACTAGGGAAGTACAATAACCACTATGCTATGGGGCCTTGCTTTTTTGATGCAAAATTCTCCATTCCCCCTATTTATACCCCCCTTTTACAAAGACCCTATCTATTTTTAGAACAAGCAACAATCCAAAACAATCCAACATGCTTGACACTATACAAAAAGATACATGATCAACGTCCATACAACATGTATCATAGACATGGACAAACCCCCAGAACAAATTAACTTTAATTCTTCTTGAGATAATCTTTATTTCTTGCTGGTCAATTAAAAAGTATAATTAATAAAACTTTGTGACTTCTGAGTACTACTCTTCCCGATAGGAGAGAACAGGAAAAGAATTACTTTAAAAAAAAAAAACCTTTTACAAAGACAAATGCAAGGCACCCAGAAGCATCTGAGCTAATTAGGACTAGTCTCGCATCATTATCATCAAACTATTATAAATAAAGACTAGGATAGACTGGGGACTATCCAACCTTGTAACCTACTCGTCAGTTAGACTGACGACGTGGATAGAGCACTCGAAGAGTCTCTTAAAGGTTGTTCATTCATTATACTCTTCTCCCCACATATCTCTGTAATAACTATATAGATACTTGGTAAATATATAATTAGTTGAGAGGTATATAATAATAATATATAGATATATGAATATATAGATAGTAATAATGACTTTAGATTAGATTGTAAATGATTATTAATTATAGTAATAAAAGATGAATTAATGTTTATTGATTTCATTGGTCTTTTATAGTTTGTTGTTCGAGACGACTAACCGACAATAGTTTAGTCGTTAGTATTTTTATCCAGCATACTTTCTATATTTGGCACCAGGATTAAGTATGTTGATAATTAGATGAAATATCATTGACTAATCATTGAACTGTACTTTAATTTACAATCTGAATCCAACAATCTCTACCAACTGTTTATTACAAAGCTTGCTGTTAATATAGCCTTGCTTGATGATACTTCAAATTGCTTCCATTTAAATATACATCGCGCTCCCTAACGAAATAAATAAATAATAATTATTACCTATTCATCTTCTTATTCTTCCAATAATACATAAACATACATCTGATTTTGAAATCTTTGTTTCTCAATTCTGTAATGCCATTTTCCAATATTGAATTCGTTGCTCGCCTTCACTCGAATTGCTTGTTGGTCTTGGTTTGTTGTTTGGAAGTGGATGTTTCCTCTGTCTTTTCATCGTCGCCACTATCTGTACAACCACAGTCTAATCAAGTAGAGATGTTTGTTGACAACCTCTATACCTTTTCGTGTCATAAAAGTCGATCGTTTATGAGAGTGATAAGCTGTCCAATCACAGTCTCTGGTTTACCATTGACATCACCTGTTACCTTTGTTGCATTAATACTATTAAACATTCGTAACAGCTTGTACACCAACGAGACCATTCATCAACTCATTCATCTGCCCTCATGCAGTGATCTTTTCTCTAGAGGATCACATGTAACATCGTCTCGAAACCAAATGATCTATATGTAGGTAGTAGATAAAGAATATGTATTGTGTATTGTACAGATATAGTTGGATCGAGAGGTGGATGTGGAGTAGGACAACATTAAATATAGAGTAGGCAATCATTTGTTTTAATTAATACTTAATAATTGATTAAAATGAATTTAAAAAAAGAATATCATCACCATAGCGATCTCTACCTTTGAATTTTTTTAAAAATGGACATTCCTCAGTTTGCCTTCCTCTCTACGATGGTGTGGTCAACATGTTCCAATCATATTCAGATTCAAGCAACTCTGAAGCAACCAGCTCTGCTCCAGAAGAGTATTGACTGGGATTAGGGATTGCGCTTCCATCGCCACTGAAGAGGAAAGAACCAAACTCTTTGTATCTTTCTTCAAGGTCAAAGTCTCCCCATCGTTCTTTAGAATCATTGGAAAAAGAGATGTGGTTGGAGGACCAAGATCTATAGCCATGTCTCACTATTTGGTTCTATCATTGCATTCAAGATGTTGGTTGAGCGCCTCCCAAATGCCTTTTCACCGCAATCAAGTGAATCTCTTTGATACACGTGATAAAAGAAAGGACTCTTCTCCTTCTTTGTCCACCCAACAACAAAAGAAAAGCAAGGTTGATGCCCGAGAAACCAAGGAACAACAAGTCCCATCAGAGAAACCAAAGCCTTTTGCACTCTGGAGCACACCAATGCCAATATCGGCCGAATATGACTATGATCATAAAGTCGCTATCAAAAGAAAAGATGGAGAGGAATTCAATCAACCGTTGGTCTTTCAAAGTGGGGCTGATGCTATGAAGTGGTGTATAGATCCTCTGCTTTAAACCTATTACACCTCGGCTAAAACCCAAGAGAAACAAATCAAATATGTACCTGTGGTGTCGTATACTTTTGTTGATGAAGAAAATCAATTCGAATTTCCCACTCTTCACAATGGTGAATACCAAGGTCCATTTGATATTGTATGAGATCCTATTTTTGGTAATAGGTTATATTATATGGGATATAAACAAATTAAATTCATCGTCAATACTTATACCCATATTGTTAAAGTAGAGTTACAATTTGAATCGAATTTGTTTGCTGGACAAGGTGATCAAACAATATTAAGTATTTTGAATAAATAAATAAATAAACTTTATGAATATTATTAATATCAAAAGTGTATCTTTATCTTGTTATTTATTAAATTTAAATACAAACACTTATGATAAAAAAGCAGACGAATTTTATCTTTTTTTTTTTTTTTATAAATCTGGACTCTAGTCGTCGGACAATAGAGTAATTATGGTTTATTTGTTTTAATTTTAATTAAAATAGTTAGAGTTTCTGTTAGTATAGGGGCTTGTAGCCCCGTTGTTGGGTGGTATTGTTTCTTATATTATTATTATTATATTATTATTATTATATTATTATTATTATATTATTATTATATTATTATTATATTATTCTTATATTATTATTATATTATTATTATATTTTTAATTGTTATATTATTATTGCATTATTACTAGATTATTGTTGATGTATCGCTTGTTGGCTAATAGTTGGTGGTGATAATTGGGAGAGGGAGGGGTGTGGCGAGTTTCCCCCATGTTCTTGCGAACCTGGCGAAGGATTGTCTGGCATGTGTTTGGGTCTTGATTATTTCGTCAGTAGGGCTGTTGGCGATGGCTGTTGTGGTTTGGTTAACCAGTTTGGCGTGTTCGACGTAGATTATACCTTTGAATCTTGCAATGACCATCTTATCTTCGTTTTCATCAGGTGATATTGTCGAGTGATAGATGGTGTTGAGGTGGTGGTGCCATTCCTTTAGAAGCATGATAGATACTAGGGTTGAGTATCTGGTTTTTTTTTTTTAAAGTAATTCTTTTCCTGTTCTCTCCTATCGGGAAGAGTAGTACTCAGAAGTCACAAAGTTTTATTAATTATACTTTTTAATTGACCAACAAGAAATAAAGATTATCTCAAGAAGAATTAAAGTTAATTTGTTCTGGGGGTTTGTCCATGTCTATGATACATGTTGTATGGACGTTGATCATGTATCTTTTCGTATAGTGTCAAGCATGTTGGATTGTTTTGGATTGTTGCTTGTTCTAAAAATAAATTGGTTAAAGATATCGCTTTTTTTTTTTTTTTTTTTTTCTCAGCACTCTAAGCTGTAATAGTGGGAAAAATAAGTATTCTAAGTAATCATTATTATTAATAAAATTAAAATATTATTATTATTAATATTATTATTGATAGATGAAGAGAGAATAGAAGAAGATGAAGGTGTTGACGCAAATATGGCACCCATCTTCTTCTAATTTTAGTACCATACTTGCGGTGAAACCTTAAGCCTTGGGTGCGTCCAAGACCGACTGCCGCTCTCAACTCTCGCGCCGATTTACTCCCCATTGTGGACACTCGTCTTTACGTGTTGCATATTGTATTTGAGATGTCAGATGGCTTTCTATCGCGACGGCCCAGTAGGTCCTCCACTACCTTCCCGTTACTTGTTGCAGTCTGGCTACCCAATCTCCTGCTGAGAAGGGGAAACTAACCCGGTCATCCTTCCGTGGGGGTGTCCTGTCTCTAGATCCCTAGAGTCGGATGGTTTTTCTCCTCAATCCCCCCAATTGTGTCAAGTTAAACGTTGGCGCCAAAGGTAAAGTTCGAGGGCAGGATTCGAACCTATGACCTTTACGTTCCCGGGGTAGCACACTCCCGACTCACTTGCCACGCCATGCCCCTTGAGTATCTGGTGCGATATCGTATAAAAAGGGGCAAATCAATTTTGGCAAACTCAAAGGCCCCATAGCATAGTGGTTATTGTACTTCCCTAGTAAGGAAGGGGTCTCGAGTTCGAACCTCGATGGGGCCTCAACCTTTTTGTCGTTTTGTGCCAAGGATTTTTTTTTTTGCCGCTGTCATCTATGTGTAGTACTCGTTGGTGGCTAGCATTTCTATCCATTCGCCATCAAAATCCATCCAATCCTCATCCTATCAAACACCTTTGTCTTCCTGCTCTGAAAAAAAAAAAAAATAGGTTCCCATTTTGCCAAGTGTAAGACAAGAAAGTTGGCAATTGTGTTTATCCCAAACCTAACATGTCGTTGCATGAAAAATAATTAGGATATGAACCACATTTTCATATTTTTCTGCTTATGGAGTTCTTTTTTTTTGGTAAAATACACTCTAATATTTTTATAGACAAAAAGACCACCAATTACCAAATATTCTTAACTACGTATGGGTCATATCTAAATCCAAACCTAACAAGAATGAAAATTTCTCTTGTTTTATGTATAAAATCTAAATGGGGTTAACTCTTGCAATCACAAGAAATGGTCCAAAAGAGGTTGTCTCTATCCCAACATTAAGAATAGTATTGAAACTCGTGACGATATTATTTCTCGTACGTAGAAAGCAAGCGGTCGGTAATGTTCTTACCACATTGGTTGCCAATGAAAGTGGGTGAAATAGAAATTCATTTTTAATAAGATTACACAAAAAGAGGGGTTTAATGACATACAACGTAGAACAGTTCTATAAGTGTCCGTTAAATATGGTAAAATTTGATAAATCAAAGTATTATTTTTTCCATTCAGAGTGTCTTCAAATAAAAAAAAGAAACCCAAATGACCAAAAATTACCAAGCTTCTGGCGGCTCAATTTTCGCCCAAAAAAATTTCAGTCAAATTGGCAATTTGTAAAAGACGATTGTAGGGAGAAGTAGGCTTTTTCGAAATAGGGGTCATCGGTGGATTCTATGGTCGAGCGGTCTAAGACGTCAGTTTAAGGAACTGTTCATTTGGACCAATATATTAGTTTAGAGACTTATGTTTGTCATTATCTATGCTATTTTTAAAGTCAATATAAACACATTTCTAACAGAATAGAGGCAAAAAAAACCAAAATAAGTAGGCTTTTTCGGAATAGTTGTCAGCAGCGGATTCTTTGGTCGAGCGGTCTAAGACGTCAGTTTAAGGCACTGATCCTCCGGGGCGTGGGTTCAAATCCCACAGGAATCATCTAATCCTTTTTATCCTCCATTTTTTTTTTTTTTTTTTCCATTTTTTCCATTCCTCCTCCATTCCTCTCCATTCCTCTCCATTCCTCTCCATTCCTCTCCATTCCTCTCCATTCCTCTCCATTCCTCTCCATTCCTCCTCCAATCCTCCTCCATTCCTCTCCATTCCTCCTCCATTCCTCTCCATTCCTCTCCATTCCTCTCCATTCCTCCTCCATTCCTCTCCATTCCTCTCCATTCCTCTCCATTCCTCTCCATTCCCTCCATTCCTCCTCCATTCCTCTCCTCCATTCCTCTCATTCTCCTCCAATCCATTCCTCTCCATTCCCCTCCATTCCTCTCCATTCCTCCATTCCCTCCTCCATTCCTCTCCATTCCCCTCCATTCATTCCTCTCCATTCCTCCAATTCCTCCTCCATTCATTCCTCTCCATTCCCTCCATTCCTCTCCATTCCTCTCCATTCTCTCCATTCTCTCCATTCCTCCTCCATTCATTCTCTCCATTCCCCCCCATTCATTCCCTCCCATTCCTCTCCAATTCCATTCTTTCCCTCTTTCCCCTCTTTCCCCTCTTTCCCCTTTCCCTCCTCTCCTTTCCCTCCTTTCCTTTCCCCTCTCCATCCTCCATTCCTCCTCCTCCATTCCTCCTCCATTCCTCCATTCCTCCTCCATTCCTCCTCCATTCCTCCATTCCTCCTCCCCTCCTCCTCCCTTCCTTTCCTTTTTTTCTCCATAGCGCTGGTTGTTGAACCTCACTACGATGCTCTGAAAGGTACTTTACCACTTTCATGTGACCATTTGGAGATGCCCAATCCATAGCATTAAGAACTGTAAATATGATCAAATTTTGTTATTTAATGAATACTTTTACTCCATTCAATGCATTGTTACAAATACATACTTTAACAACCTCTAAATGGCCAAATCTAGCTGCACCTTGAGTTATATTAAAATGAAGAAAACTATTATTTTTGACACAGATATTAATATATTTAAATATAGATTAAACCAACCAACTAATCAACTCACCCTTTACAACTTTTAAATGGTTACCAATAGCTGCTCTATCCTATAAATTATAAAGATATATTAATAAATTATTTTAATTAAAGTTTATCTTTAATTCTATTGCTTACCATTGCCTTTGTAGTACATCTTTCCGTTCTATTCTGGTGTAAATATTTTACAATGTCAAAGAACCCAATAATTAACTCTCCGCTCTCTCCCCCTTTTTGTTACAAAAAAAAAAAAAGAAAATTTATTTATTTTGTTTTATTTATAACCAATTTCATTGATGGTTTTGAAGGAGAATTATTATTATTATTATTACTACCATTATTATTCTTTTGTTGTTGTTGTTGAGTAGTTTTCATTTTATCAAACAATTTTTTGAGTTCATCTCCACCAAGAGCAGTAAATCCAGAAGCATAGAGCCAAAGATGTTTCTCCAATTTGTTTTTAATGTCTTCAGTGCCTCTTTGGTGGCCCACAATCTTTGTAATCTCTCCACCCAAAGACAACATGTACTTTTTAGTTTTTCGAACCTTGGCCTCTCTTTCAAGATCAGAGAGATTCTTAAACTTGTCAAGATGTTTTTGAACTGGTTGTAAATATTGTTCACATTTTAACAATAATCTAGTATCTGGTCTTTCATCAGAAGAAGAAGAAACTCTCTTTTTTTGTTGTGTTGTACTAGTAGAAACCGAGGAGGAAGAAGTTGGTTTTTCTTCATCTGAATATTCTTTTCTCTTTCTACCTCTTTTTGGAGAATCTTCCATTTCTTCATCAGACATTAATTTTCTTCTTGATGGTGTTGATGTAGATGTTGTTGATGTCGATGTTGAATCTGTCTTTTTACCACGACCACTACCATTTTCACGTTCACTACCAAGTTTTGTAGGAGGTTGAGAAACTCTACCAGAGCTAGTTCTTTTTGGTGTAATTGGTGTATTATATTCATCTTCAGACTGATGTTCTGAAGCTTTTCCCCTTGTACCTCTTTTTGTTGGAGTCGATGAACCTCTTTTTGAAGAAGAAGAAGAAGTACTAGTAGTAGAAGTACTTGATGTACTACTACTGTTGCCTTTAGTACCACGTTTTCTTGGTATCTTTTCATCATCATGATCTTGATCATTTTTACTCTTTGAACCACCACGTGGTTGTGGTTTTTTGTTTGCCAATTTTGGTATAGTGATAGTGGCAAGAGGTTTCTTTTTAGAAATGATAGAATCTTTGGCAGATTTTAATAAAGAATCTACTCTACGTTGAAGAGAAGGACCTTTGATTTTTGTTGATGCCATGGCAGGATCTTCTTCAGCGCCGGCGACACTAATAACATTTTCCAATCCCAAACTAGTATCTTTTTGAATGGCATCCCAATTTCCATTACCATGTTTATAAATACCCATCAAGAGCATGGCATCTTCTTTGGCACCCCATTTAATTGCCCAAGTGACTGGTCTGACGGGGAACGTCACTCTAAATTGTTCATAATTGTTTAAATGAGGTCTAACCAATTCTTGCAATGTTTCCATTTCATCAACCTTTTGAATAAACTCGTTTGCATTGATATCAACTCCTGAATACATTATTGTAATCTTGTCACATTCTGGATTTTCTCTTTTACTCTTTTTACAAATTTCAATTACTTCTTTACAAATTTCTTCAATTATCTAAAAAATAAATAAAATAAAAAGTAAATAAATATTCTATTCTGTTCTATTCTATTTTTTTTTGTTTTTTGTTTTTTCTTATTTACTTTTAAATTAATTTGTTTTAAATTTGAATCTAATAAAATTTCTTTTGCTCTATGATAATCACAAAACTTTTTAAAAGATTTGATAAGGATTTTAAGATCCTTTTTGTTGAGGGCTGTAATTTCCTTTTTAGGGTTAATGGTGAGGGTAATAGATTCTGAGGCTTTTTTACTAGCAGCGGCAGCAGCAGATTTTGAAGTATCGATACGAGCTCTTCTTGGTGGTAGAAAAGTATTACCTTGATCGGGTTGTTGACGATCTTTATCTGGAATGATACTTTCCCAATTGATATCTTCCTTTTCCTTGGAGGTTGTGAAATTGGCGACACGGAACGAGTTTAACAACTCTTCTCCTGCAGTCAACTCGTTTGATTCTGATCGTTGTTCGGCACGAGAAAGAATCTCGTCAATGTCCATTTCGGGTTGTTGTTGCTGTGCGGCATCATCACTTTCTTTAAACAAATCCTCTGCACCAAATTTGAGAATAGCATCCAATTCCTCCTTGTTGAAAACTTGGCTTGGAGCAGACCCAGCCGATTTACTACTAGACGACTTGGTGTCCATTGATTGAATGACCAAATGATCAAGTACCATTTTCTGTTTGGCACGTTCCAAAATATCCTCTTCCACCGTCTTTTTCGTGACTAGACGATAAATATTGACTGCATTCTTTTGACCAATACGATGAGCTCTAGCTTCAGCCTGAAGATCGTTTTGAGGATTATAATCAGAGTCGAAAATAACAACAGTGTCGGCTGTCGACAGATTAATACCCAAACCACCGGCTCTGGTAGAGAGTAGGAAACAAAAGTCTGGTGAACCTTCTGCGTTGAAACGGTCCATGGCTTGACTACGCTTTTCTCTACTCATAGAGCCATCCAAACGTTGAAAGAGGAATCCTCGGTGCTTGAGATAACGAGCCAAAATGTCGAGCATACGAACCATCTGTGAAAAGATGAGTACACGATGCCCAGTCTCTTTGAGACGGATCAACAACTTGTCCAAAAGAATGAGCTTACCCGATCCCTTGATCAAGGCGTCCAAAGAGTCATTATAGTTTTCATTCTCTGCACTTTCAAATAGGTATGGATGATTGCATGTCTTTTTCAACTCGACGACGATATTCAAGAGACTAGTCTTTTCACCTTTGACTCCCTTGTTTAATTCTTGAAAGTTCTTTTTCAAAATCAATCGATAGTATTTCTTTTGTAGTGGTGATAGATCGACACGCAATATTCTTTCAGTCTTTGCTGGTAGAGATTTTTCAACCTCTTTTTTGATTCGACGTAAAAGATGTGGTTTGAGTTCGTTGTGAAGTTCGGCAATTTGATCCTTTTCCTTTAAATCTGACCATTGATCTTGGAAATCCTTTAGTGAATGGAATTTGTTTGGCATTAAAAAGTTTAACAAATTCCACAATTCCTTCATTGAATTTTGTAATGGTGTACCAGTTACCAATAATCTATTACCAGTCTTGAAAAATTTCAACACTTCATGCAACATTGATTCATTATTTTTTAATCTATGTGCTTCATCTACTGCTAAATATTCCCATTTAATTGATCCAAGTACTTGTTCTAAAAAAATAAAAATAAAAAATAAAAAAAGGTAAATTAAAAAGTTAAAAATGGTAAATAAATATTATTTGTTTTTTTTTTTTTTGTTTTTTTTCTTACTATCTTTTAAAATGAAATCATAAGTAGTTAGGAGAACATTAAAATTTAATTTCTTTTTACCATATTGATATTGATAAAATTCATATTCTTTTATAATATCACGACTACCAGCACTACCAGTATAAACAATTAAATTCATTGATGGAGCCCATTTTGCAAATTCTCTTTGCCAATTTTCAATAGTTGATAATGGTACTACAACCAAATAAGGTCCACTCATTTGTTGAACATTATATAAATATGATATAAATGATATTGTTTGAATTGTTTTTCCAAGTCCCCTAAAAAATAAAATAAAATAAAAAATATTAATATTTTTGTCTTTTTTTTTTTTTCTATTTTCTATTTTTTCTATTTTTTACATTTCATCAGCTAAAATAACATTTGTATTATTAAACCAAGAATGAATTAACCAATTTAAACCATCCATTTGATAATCACGTAGCTTTCCGGCAGAAATCCAATCTGGTTGAGTGTTGAATTTTTCAAAACCTTGATCAAGACGTTTTTTGGCCGATATACCACCAATATTATGAAGAGGTGTTTGAATACGTTCTAGGTATCGGTCAATTTCACCTTGGAATGGTTTGATATCTTCTGGATGTTCCCAAGTAACCTCTGAATAGGCAGATTTCCACCATTTGACAAGATATTGAACACCAGTTTTGTATTCTTCGGTTTCATCAATCTCTCGCTTTGCAATGATACGTTCAACGTTTAGTTTTTCGAGGTATTCTTGACGATCCAATTCCCTTGAAATGTCTGCCTGTTCAATATCCTCTCTTGATGCCTCCTTTCTCCATTGCTTTTGTTCCAACAGCGTCTTTACATAGTTTATAAGCTTCTTGTTACCCTTGAACGGTATCAATTTATCATAACTATCCCATGTATCATGAATATGCGCCCATCCTTTCCATTTAACCAAAAATTGATATCTTTCAACATTGAATGTAGTCTCTTGTTCTTCTTGTTGTTGTTCTTCTTGTTGTTGTTGTTGTTTGTCTGCCGCAGAAGAGGTTGGATCCAAATTGGCAACCGATGCTAATCGATGATCCATAATTTGTTCAATAATATCTTCTGTCGCTTCAAATGGTCCAATTTGTTTAACCTGTTGTTGTTTCTTTGCTTTACGACCACCATCATCATCACTATAATCTTCATAATCTTGTGTATCGTCATCTCCATATTCATCATCTTCTTCATCTGAACTTTCAATCTTGTAAGTCTTTAGATTACGACGATCTCTAAGATTGGATAATGTAATCGATTCAAATGCAGGTTTTTTCTTTTTCTTGCTTTTTTTAGAATAACCACCATCATCATCTGAATAATCATCATCATCTCCTCCACTATAACTTTTATCACTATCATCACTTGCCGATTGGAATCCCATTGATTCATCATTCCCTTCTCCTTGTTCTTCTTGGTCGTCCGAATCATCCTTTAATTCATCATACAATCTAACCGTTTGGCGTCTTTCTCTTGTTGGTCTAGTTTGCATTCTCATTGCTGCCAATTCTTCTTCCTTTCTCCTTTGTTGACTTCTTGATGGTCCCTTTTTTGTCTTTTTCTTTATTTCTAGAGTGGGGTGAAAAAACGAATTGATTAGAAAATGAACAATACATTTTTGATTGATTAAACAAAGCGAGCGTTTTTGTTCACCCACACACACACATACTCTTGGATTTTGATTTTCTGGTTGGACTATAATCAGAATCGGATTGAGATTCCTCTTCTTCTTCAGATGATGATTTCTCTTCATCATCTAATAAATAATCACTAAACTTGAAATTATTGGCTTGTCTTCTTGATGATGATGAAGCTCTTGTTGGTGCATATTCTTCTTCTTCTTCTTCCTCTGATTCCTCTTGATATGATTCGTCATTATCTTTTTTTTGTTCTTCTTGATCAGATTCTTCTTCTTCTTCCTCCTCGTCTTCTTCACTTGGTTCATAGTCATCATCACTTTCTTTCTTTTGACTAACGACTGATGATGTTGTTGAATGAGGTAGAGCTGGTGGAGGTGATATTTGTTGTTGTTCTTGATCATCAGAAGAGTCATCAGAGTCATCAGAGCCAGAGGAGGAGGAGTCATCCCCCTCATCACTGATCATATCTTCATCATCATCACCTTCTCTAATAGTACTACTACTACTAATACCATTTCTATTATCTTCTCTTATCGTTATATTATTACTACTACTATTGTTGTGATGATTGTCAGTACCAATGTTTATATGTTGAGATTCTTCATCACTCATTATTGTTGATGAACCAATATCAACATTATTATTATTATTAGTATTCCTATTACTACTATTACTATTATTACTGTAATTGAAATCCATTATGACATGAATCTCAACACATTAAATTAATACTAAAAAAAAAAAAAGTAATAATAATAAATTAACTAGTTGCAGAGTATAAAAAAAAAAAACAAAAACAAAGAAAAAGAAGATCACAACAAAAAAAAACAAAAAAGAGAGAGAGAGACGGAAAACATTTGAAACCGTTTATCGTTTAATGTGGATTTAATAATAATAATAAATTTATTTACAAAAAGACAAAAAGAGAGAATATATTTATATCGTAAGCAATATTACTCCCGACTTTGTACTTTTTTTCGGTTTGTTTGTGAAATCAATCATAAATATTATTTATATTTATAATTGATATAATAATAATAATTATATCATCCCCACCAATTTGTTTAAATCTAAATCCCTTACCTATAAATCATTAATAATATATTTTCCAACTTACCTTTTTTTGTTGTTTAAAAATCTAACCAGATTCGATTCTCTTTTGATGGGGCCCCTATATAATAAAAAATAATAAACATTCTACTTACTAAAATAGTAATGATCATTTTTTAAAAATAGTTTTTTTTGTGTGTTGGAAATATATTAAATGAAAAAAGGAGGAAGGATTTCTTGTCATTAGTTTAAATGTGCTTTAAAACAGTAATAATATTTTTGAAGCTTACCCAAAAAAACAATGACAGTCATTGAAATTTCGGAAAACGGCGCGAAACTATATGTACAAAAGGAAAGGAGACGAGAGAGGCAAGGCAAGGCAAGGCGTATTTGATAAACTAAACTAAACTAAACGAAACTAATAGGACGGCGACGATGACGATGACATTAAAGAAAACATTGAACCATAATTATATTCCATTGAATCTTGATTTTCTTGTTGGTTTTCTTGTTGTTGTTGTAAATTATATTGATCGATTAAATACTCTGTTGTATTAAGAGGAGCTTTTGGTATTTGAGAAAACATTGCTCTTAATTTAATTTGTTTGTTATTATTATTATTATTATTATTTTTGTTGATACGACGACGGTTATTTGTTGATTTAATAATATTCTTTTTAATTGATACTACTCTTCTATTATTATTATTATTCTTTTTACTATTATGATGATTATTATTGTTATTATTATTAATATTGATTAATGTGATGATTAAATTATTGTAAACCATTTTTTGAGATATTATAGAGAATGAAGAATAATTAATTATTTGTTTGATAGGTTGCTTGTAAAAAAATAATGAACACAGGTGATGAAAAACAAAGAGGTCATGTTTGTGTGCAGTACTCGCAAAAAATAAAAAAAAAATAAAAAAAAAATAAAAAAAAAACTTGGTGTCTTTGGGAATTTTCGTCAATTACAACTTCCTTTTTTTTATTAATGCAAGGAGAGCAGGATTGCATGTGACTCTAAAAATCAGTATATTCTTCCATTTCATCCAAATCATCTTCAGTAAGGAATTGGTTATGAAGATTATTATTATTATTATTATTATGACTGTGATTGATTAAAATGGGTGAAGTAAGAATATTTCCATTCATACTTGATCTAAGATTATTATTATTATTATTTGAGGTTGGAGTGTTGGTACTAGTTGAAAAAGAAAAATCATCAATTAAATTGGTTGTTTGATTTAATTCATGTTCATATTGATTATTATTATTGGTTGGAGGTGATTGTGAAAATATATCAATATCATCTTGATATATAAATGTTGTTGGTATCATTTTAGTATTTTTTGTAGGTGTATTATTATTATTATTATTATTAATATTATTATTATTTGATGATTCTGAAATTATTTGATTATTATTAATAGTTTCAATTTTTGGAGAAAAAGTAATATTGTTATTTGTATTACTACTACTAGTATTATTTGGAGTACCCATTAAACCATTCTTTGAGTTTAAACTAAAGAATGAGTTTTCTTTGAAAACAGATGGTTTAAAGGTGTTACCAGTGATAGGAGATTTTAAAATTCTTTTTAAAACAAAATCAAAGAGAATGGGATTGAAACGATAGATTTCATTGACCAAATCTCTTTCATCTGGATGAATGAGACCTCTATTGGCCAGTAATGTTGTAATGACTGCTAGATTGACAGCTGGTATTGGATAGTCGCTAGAGAATATGAGTCTGTCGTGTATGTGTTGATGGTCGAGTAGAGGCACCAAAGCATCGACTCGATGGTATGCTACAACTCCTCCGATATCGCCAATCAATAACTTTTCATATTTTGGTTCGTGCATCAATCTAAGGAATAAATGTAAATTTGGAATAAGAGGAGGTGGAGATTTACCACTAGTGTCATCATAGTCATAAGATTTTCCCTCGGCACCACAATGAACACCAACCACTTTAACACCCTTGTCCAATGCCCTACGTAAAAGCAAGGGGTTCCCAAGATGAGAGTCGCTGTCGGGTGGTTCAACCAACGAATGTTCCACCCCCGTATGTACAAACAATATGATATCATTCTCTACCAATGCCTCATAGAAATTATCACAAAGAGGTGAGCTTGGATCAATCCCCATCGATACTGGCATCCATCTAACATATCTAACTCCTTGTACTATCCATTTTAATAATTCATCAACACTATCTTTTCTATATGGATGAATTGATATACTTGGTACTAAATTAAAAATAAAAATAAAAATACAAAAGTTAATTAAATCAATCAATCAATCAAATGTATGTATATATATTTACAAAATAAATCAGGAAAATCATGAATAATATCCATTAGATAATCATTTGGTACATATAAACCAGTTTGATTTAATAGTTCAATTCCATTTTCATCATATCTTTTATCAAGTGATGATAATAAACTTTTACCAAACTATATAGATATATAAAGTAAAGTTAGTTATTTGTATTTATGGATTATATTATATTTTACATACAGGATAATGAGATTTTAATTCTCTTAATAATTGAACTAAACGAATAACATATTGTCTATCCCATTGTGATAGATCAGTGATTGCACAAGCACTAGTAAATGCTTTAAACTTGAGGTATTTGATAGGATGACTGAATCGATCACGTATCTGTTTACTGGCAGTACAATTTGTTTCCTCTCCAATGCCAAACAGATTGACCATGTGATCGACAATACACCCATTCTCTGATCGAATGAATGGTTCCAATGCAGTATCTAACATTTGTCTTGCTTGTACTGATAATACTTCTGTTGCTCTTGGTCTCCCCGTAGCTGCTATAGGTGGTAGTGATGATTGAGGATGGCCTCTATCACCATCATTCATTATATTATCATAAGAAGAAGATGCAAATGATGAATCTTGATAGATTGTTTCATGATGGTCATTCAAATTTGACTCTATTACTTGTTGTTGTTCTCGTTGTTGTTTATTATTATTATTATTATTAAAGTTACCTCCAATCTTTGATGACAACCAATCGAGTACCATAATAATAATAACTAACTAACTTTAGTTATCTATCTATCTATCTATCTATCTATCTATCTATCTATTTACAAATATTATCTGTCAAATTAATTAATTTGAACGAATGAATGATGATGATGATGATGATGTGTGTGAGCTGCTCACTTCTAAACTTTAATTTTTTTTTTATTAATATAGTGGGGCGTTTGGTCGTAGTCGTCTCTATTAGCTAAACAATTTTATTAACAAAGTTGATAAATCTGGTGGGAATAAAAGAGTCTCATCACTATTCCAATGAATGACTATAGATACTACTAGATATAAAGTTTAAATTTAGAAATATAGATTGATTGGATCATTCCCAGACTTTTGTCATCGTATGATGATATTTGCAGCAAGCTTGGCTCAATAGGAATACTCTGTAGCTCAAGCAAGAGGTTGGCGTCAAAAATATTAAATAAAAATAAAAAATTAATTGCAAAATTACACACACCCTAATTTTTGAGAAACTTTCCTCTCTCCTCCCCCTTTTCAAAAGAGTATAGTTATATTTTTATTATTACAACAAAAATAATAATAAATAATACATAATAAAAGAAAAAGAAGAAAGAAGATATAGAAAGAAGAATAAGTAATAAGAAGGTTTAGTAGTAGTAGTAGTATAGTCATTAGTAATATTTAATATATAAAGAGTTAGCACAACAACAACAACAATAATAATAATAATAATAATAAATATATAGTTAGTTAAATAACCTTAATCTCTCTCTCTCTATCTATCTATCGCGATGTGGGCACAAGAAGAAGAAGTAAGGAAACCATTACTTTCGGGTGGTTCCGATTACTATGGTATCGATGATGATAGTAGTTCAAAGAAAAAGTCGTCATCGTCGTCAGATGTACAAGGAGTGAGAAAGACATCATGTAATGATATATTGTTTCTCATTCTATTTCTTGGCTGCGTTGTAGCAATGGCAGTCATTTCAGGATTTGCATACAGTCGTGGTAATCCATCGGTGCTCATTCCACAAAACCAAATTATCAATACAATTGGCAACCAGACCGAACAAGTCATCACATCTGGCATTCAAAATGCCGTCGCTCAAATGCGTCAAAACAAAGACGTTCTCATTTACAGTGTCATCCTCTCTATTGCATTGGCTGCCGTATGGGTAGAGTTGCTCAAAAACTTTACCCGTTTCTTTATCTACTTGACTCTTTGTCTTGGTGTAGCTCTAGTAGTTTGTTTAGGTGGTGTATTTGTCTTTATTGGTAGAAAAGAAGATAGTGAAGCGTATGTAAAAGAAAAATAGATAGATAAATAGAAATATTAAAGAAAAAGGATCTAATATTTTGTATTTTGTATTTTCTTTTTTTTTAGAACACAAATTGTTGGATATTGTTTAATGGCATCAACCATTATATTGATAGCAGTTATTATTTACTTGAAAAAGTCAATTGATTTGACATGTGCAATGTTTACAGAGACATGTCGTGGTGTACAACGTAATCCATCGGTCTTTATTGTTGGATTCCTTGTCATTATTGCATTTGTTGGTTTTTTGGCCTATTGGACATCATCGTTTATCTATCTCTTTTCAATTCCGGGTCAAAGCATCACCATTGGAGACAGTAGTGATTCCTCAGACATTATTGGATTACCACACTTTAACAGCAAGATTCGTAATTTGATGTTCTTTATGATCTTTGCTTTCTGTTGGGTTACCTCTTTTATCTCTGCCGTATTCCAACATGTTGTTGCTGGTGCCGTCTCTCATTGGTATTTCTCTCGTAATCCAACTGGTGAAAGTATGTTAAAACAAAACAAAACAAAACAAAAAAGAAACATATTTATTAAATCAAATCAAATCAAATCTTTTTCTTTTTCTTTTTTTTTAGCAAATATTGGTAATCATAATGCTTTTACATCATTGGGTAGAGCTCTTTCAACTTCAATGGGTTCATTGGCATTGGGTAGTTTGATTATTGGTTTTATTGAATTCATGGGTGTCATGTTGAGAATCAGCAAGAATACCAACGCTGAAAACAAATTATTGGTATTTGTTATCAACTGTCTCCAATGTATCCTTTCTTGTGTTGAAGGAATTGTTAGATGGGTTAACAAATTTGGTTATATTTATGTTTGTAAGTATAAAAGAGAGAGAAAACAAAGACAACAAAAAGAAGAAAAACATCAATATTTATTTAATTTAATTTAAAATTTTAGCAATGCATGGATATAGTTTCTGTAAATCAACAAAGGATTGTTTTGATATGGTTTCACGTAATATGTTCTCTGCCATTATTATGGATTTCATTGGAAGTTGTAAGTAGTCAAAAAGAAAAGAAAAGAAGTATATTTATATATACATATTAATTTAATTTTCTATTTTCTTTAGTCGTATTATTACTTGGAAAGTTTTTAGTTACAGCAGGTACAGGTATTTTCTCAAGTCTTTTACTTTATGCACTTGGAAGATCATTAAAGGATAATGCCTTGACCGTTGGTTTGGCTGCATTGTTTGCATTCTGCATTACCAACATCTTTACTCACATTATCGGTATTGGTACCGACACCATCTTTGTATGCTATCTCGAGGATCTTGAAGAGAATGGACGTGATGGAAACCTCTACATCAGTTCAGATCTCCATGAATTGCTTCAACAAAAGCAATCCACTCTCAAAAAGAAAGATGTTGAAAATAACTAAAAACAAAATTAAATCAATCAAAATAATTTTTTCAACAACAACAACTAATTAATAATAATAATAATAATAATATTAGTAATAATTAATAATCCTCTCCCCTCAAACACATTTTAATTCAACGTATATGTCTAGTTTTTGTATATTATAAAAAAAAAAAAAAATAGTTTTAAAATAAATAAATTACAATTAAAAAATATCAAAACTCTGCATTACATTCTTTTTTTAGTATTAGTGTGAAGTTCATCATCATCATCATCATTTAAAGATAGAGATAAATATGAATATAGATACTATAGATAGTAGTAGTAAATCATTAACAATAGAAGATTTTATAGAAAAATTAAAGAAACATTATGTTTATGATGATATAACATTATCAACAAAGACAAAGACAACAAAAAGAGTTGAACAACAACAACAAGTTGATGATAATGAAACAATTAAAAAGAAAAGAAAAAAGTCTATTGGTAGTTCATCATTTATAGCACATGATATCTATGAAGCAAAGACACTTTGTATAGTAGCATCATCTCTATTCAATCAAGATCATCATCAACTGTACATTCATCAATACTTTATATCAATCATTGAAAGTCAAATGCATGATGATCCCAAACTTCATTATCATCAATCTTTATCTTTATTTTTAGATTTGTATGTATAAAAGAAAAGGAATTGAAAATATTCTTTAAACTATACTAAATCCTTTTCCTTTCCTTTCTTGTTTAGATACAAAAATATACAATATTATAATTATTTTATACAATTTTATTTATTAAAATTGATATCAAAACAAATTGAACAATTACCATTATACAATCGATTAAAAGATCGTATTACAAAGTTATTCTCTATTTCTGAAATGAATCAAGTAATGGAAAAAGAAAAAGAAAAGAATCAAGATGATGAAATGGATATGGACGGGTCATCTAGTAATAATAATCATAGTAATATTGGTAGTGATATAAATTATTTTGATTGGAACAAAATGTTATACAATGAATTGTATAGGAAAATTGGTCAAGATTGTTTGGCTAGTCAACAACATATAGACCTTTATTTAAAATTGGAACATTTATTAGATTCATTCTCATTGTTGCCTAGATTAATTCAATATGGAAAAGAGAATAATATCGATATCTACAACCAACTATTGTTCTCTTGTTGTGATACTTTTGATAAATTCAATCTATCACATTATTCAATTTTAATTTATCAATTAACAAATGATCAATCATCTTTAAATGATATTAATTGGGTAAATTAGAAAAAAAAGAAAGAATTAGAGATAGATCCATCATTCTCTAGAGTTGTTTGTGTATTAATTCTATTTTTTTGTTTATCTTTCAGTTTAAAGGTATAAATAATATAAAATCATTTAGAATGAATTTTGTAAATAATTTACAACAACAAGAGATAAAGACAATGATATTAGAGGATAAAGAGATTGAAGATATGTTGACATGTACTATAAATCGATTTTGTGTACCACGTATATTCCAAGTGACAGACAAGAAGAGATTCATAGAGTATGGATTAAATCGATCGGAATTGGTAGAGACTTGTTGGAGATTTACAGTGACTCGTCCCATCATCACCTATAGTGTTGTTATGGAGATACAAACATTTCTACAAAACCTGTCTCTTTCAGATCCATCAAAGAAGAATAGAATGGTCATTGACCTGTTTACCAATAGCGAAAAGATTAGAAACGATTATTTCGATAGACACAATCAAGACAAGGAAGATGTAGATGAGGATGATGAAGAATTATACGATTTTGAAATAGAATTGGGTATTTATATTTTAGCTAGTCTATTTTATATATCATCCTATAGATATTTTAAATTTTTAATTACTGGTAGTAGTTTTATAAACCAAAATCAAAATCAAAATCAAAATAATAGTAATAATAATAGTAACAATAGTAGTAGAGATATAATAACGATTAAAGATGATAATATTACAACATTTGATATTAAAAGTGGAAATCCATTATTTATGATTGTTCATCAAGTATTATTCTATTCAAATGCTGATGACAATTTTAAAGAAAATACCGAATCATTATACTATGACAAACAATTAAATGAAGCTATTAGACATTTGACACTTTGTATGGATTGTTATAGTGACCTTAACCAAGAACCTTGGTCCGATCGATTTAAATCAATCTTTTCAAAAACTTGGAATTCATCCGATTTTTATTGGATCAATACTAGTTTAGCTGATTGTCATTATTATTATGTAAATGAAAAAGAAAAAGAAAAAGAAAAAGAAAGAAAAAGAAGAAGTTTTATATTAATATTTATTTATTTATTTTAGGAATCATATTCAATGGCATTAACATTTTATAAAAATATTAAAGTACAATTATCAGATTTTCAACAACAAAAAACAATATTATCGTTGGGTGGAGATGGTGATCGATTAATGTCATTTAATCCAACCGATGATTTTTGGGTCAATCGATTGTTTCTTCATTTGGCAATGACAAATCATTCCGAGATTGAAGAATCTATCGTTTATTTATTAGAGACTTTGGTGACGATGCCACTCACCGATCAATTTGTACAATCACAACATACATGGCATACCATCAAACCCTATTTCACCAGTTATACAGATTCTGAGGTTATATTTTGGTGTGTCGATACTTTGGCTGCTTGTTATGAAAGACTTGGTATGGTTGGTGAAATGACCGTATTGTATCAATGTTATTGGAGCTACTATAAATCTCGTTTCCAAAAGATCATTCAAGAAATTCATCGTACCGCTTCAACTGCTACATCTGCCGCTCCAATCCAAGCTATCACCATTGTAGATACATCTAGTATTGATAACCCAACAGATGATGGTGTTCCACTTTCAAATATCTCTAAAAAAGATCTTAGAAAAGGTTATTTCTTTCCAAGATTTTTTGATTATATTTCAAGTACGACTAAAGAAAAAAAAGAAAAAGAAAAAAGAAAAAGAAAAAAGAAAAAGAAATAGAAAGTAAAGTAAAGTTATATTAATATTTCTTCTATTTATTTAATTATTTAGATATTGAAATGTTGGAAGAATTTTCATTATTATTAAATCAAGGGTATAGATTGGATATATTACCAAGTGGATACAAAGTATCTACCAATGGTGAGATTATTAGTATGATCGAACAACATATCACCACATCAACTAAAAAAGGATCAATGTCATTAGTATTCCTAATGAATAAATTCTTTAATGAAGAATTGGAACATTGGAGAGAAAGTAAAAAGAAAAATAATAAATAAAATAATTAATATTAAATATTTTCACCAAACCCAAAAAAAAATGAAGGTGACTGATTCATTTTCATTGTTTTGAAATTATAATTTATAATTAATTATTATATCAAATGTGAAAAGAGAAAGAAAGAAAGATAGAGATGGAATTAAAAGATATTCAATCAGTTGTTGTATGGAGATTAATCTTTAAACATTTAATGAACAATTCTCCAAAATCATTATCAAACTTTTCAATTGTATGAAAATAGAGAGAGAGAGAGAGAAAAGAGAGAAAGAGAAAAGAGAGAGAGAGATAGATAGATTCTTACCTATTTATTGTTATTTATTCATAGACATGTAAATCAATTAGACAAAAGATTAATGTAATTTATAATTGGAAGGAAATAGCATTAAAGAATTTACCTGAAGCGGTCAACATTGCTAATATACTAGGTATAAATGTTGATAAAGAACCAGAGCATTCACTAAAATGGGCATCAATGTATCAATATTATAGATTCATCTACCCAGCATCTAAATTTGGTCATATTGTTCATATGAATACACAATATCTTCAATCGCTCGAAAGTTCAAAGTTGGATGCCATTTTACCATTCTCTCATATAGTTCATTTAAATTTTGTTTGGTGGTTTGAAGTCGGAGAATTGATTAAAGATATTCCTGTAAATAATTATAAAGTATGTTAATTATTAAATGCAGATCTCGTATAATATTCGAATCTAAATTATTTATATTTATATATCTCTCTCTTTGTCTATTAGGTTTATTGGTTATTAAGAAATGATGGTCTAGTAAAGACATTACAATCAGAGGTAGAGATTGAAGGGTCATCAGAGCCAATCACACAAAATATGGTTGTTGAAAGATCACCAATGGAATGGAAGTATTTTAGAGGACCAGATATATCACCTGACCAAGATATCTATCCGCGTGGTTCATTGTTTTCATTGTTTTGTAGATTACATGAAAGAGATTGTGCTCGCACTAAAGGTAATCTAGATATTGCCTATGTATTATTGGTTCCATCAGATGATGATCATCATAAACCACCAAAAATATTATTTAAACATCCCAACCATGATGATGACAAGAATAATAATGATAATAATAATAATAATAATACTGATAGTCCAAGTTTAATGACAAGATTATTTAAATACTTTCAATAAACTAATTTAATTCTTTATTGTTTATTGTGGCAAATCACCTGTTGGAGGGTCAAGTAATGAGAATGTGATTGTAAGTGGTTGGCCCATATTGGTTTGACTAACAACCGTTCCTCTTGGTAGTGTGTACTTTTTTCCATTACGTTGAACCTTTGCCAAAGACATTGGTGTTACTTTTCCACCATTATGCCAAATATCTGGTCCTTCCAAGGTTGTTATAGTACTAACAACAAAAAAGCATTGTATAGGGGTAACAGCCTTATTATTTTGAACAGTAGCTTTGGAAAATAGAAGAAGAAGAAGAAGAAGAAAAACACTTGTCAATATAAGAGAGATATAGAGAAGAAGATGATAGATACATACCCAATCCACCCAAGAATGAAGTTCCTTGATCTGTCACAACTCTTAAAATAGTTGGAATTGCCCTCATTGTTTGTTATTTATTACAAAGAATAGAATAATAATATATCAATTAAAAATATAAGGGAGCTTCTTCAATTGTCATTGAGATCAGTTGATTCGAATTTCTCTCAAAAGAAAACAACCAAATCCAATTTAATTTCGTGCTTTTGTGGAACACGTGGGAGGACCCGACACCCTTTCGACAAGATTTTAACATTACATTATTTCATTTTCACGTATTCTTTATATTAAGGATACCTTTCAAAAATAATTAAATTAACTTTTTAATTAATTTTCTTTCACTCTCTGACATGCCTTGCTACTATGGTGTTGGAAAAAGGGATTGTTGCTCCAGAGTCGGTATTACTATCAAAGAGTCGTGCATTGATTGAAATGGCTTGGGGTAAGGTGGAGCAGTGGAAATTTTTCTTCAAGCTTGTTATCAAATGGAAAAAAAACAAAGATATCAGCGAAATGTCAAAACTTCATAATGAAAATATGGAAATATTGATGTGTTTACAAAACCTATTCAATGCCCCTCTCATGACATATGACATCACGGTCGTATCTTAGAAAGTTAGGCAAGCTGACCCTCCTATATGACAAACAAATATCCAAAATAAAATAATAATTTTTAATACTTTTAGGTGTTGCGGTTTTTTGTGACCAAACTTCACCAGGGAAACTCCCCATCCATTTGAACATCGCATATTCATTTTAATAAATTATACAAATAAATAAAAGATAATTATCTAGATGGAATTAAAAGATATACAATCAGTTGTTGTATGGAGATTGATCTTTCAACATTTATTTAATCGTTCACCAAAATCATTGGCTCATTTCTCAAGTGTAAATCTCTCTCTCTCTCTCTCTTTATTAATTGTATTATTTAACTTTCTATTTACTATTTTTTTTTTTATTATAAACAGACAAACAAGACAATAAGAGAAAAGATTAATGCAACTTATAATTGGAAGGAATTAGCGTTAAAGAATGTACCTCAATCAAATAACATTGCCAAGATTCTAGGTATAAATGTTGATGAAGAACCAGAGCATTCTCTAAAATGGGCATCAATGTATCAATATTATAGATTCATCTATGATGCAACTAAATTTGGTCATATTGCTCATATGAATACACAGTACCTTGAATCGGTTGCCAATGAAGATATAGCATATTTTTTACCATTCCCAGAGGTAATTCGTTTAAATTATGTTTGGTGGTACGATGTAGGAGAATTGATTAAAGATATCCCTGTAAATAATTATAAAGTATGTTATTAGAAGATAAAGAATGAAATGAATCAATACCATACTTGTTTTACTAATTCAAATGAATGATTGATTGATTGATTGATTTAGGTCTATTGGATGTTAAATTGTAACTTTACAGATACATATCAATTTGAAGTGGATATTCAAGGAGAAGAGTCCGAAGGACCACTCATAGTTGACAGAAAAGTTGAACCAACAACTGTTTATGTTAGAGAATGGAGTTATACTAGAGGTCCTGATGCTCGACCCAATCCCAATCAACATCAACTTGGTTCTACATTTTCAATGTTTTGTAAAATGCATCAAAGAGACTCTAGTTACACCAAACGAGGATTGTTCATTGCCTATATATTGTTGGTGCCTGATGATGATCTACTAAATATGCCAAAAAGGTTATTCGTCCCCACTCAACCCAAACCAACTAAACGTGCTACTGACGAAGACCGTTATCGTAAGTTGGCCAACGGTGAAGACTTTGATGATGACGATTATAACAGTGAAGACAATAATGATGACGATGATGATGATGAAGATTATCAAGATGACAGTGAAGATTGTGAAGATGACAGTGACAATTATGATAGTTGGGAAGAAGATGATGAAGAATATAGTGATTAATAGTTGGAATTTGTCCACAACCGTTGACAAATTATTTACTATTATTATTATATTTAACCAAAAAAATTATTAGTATTTATTTTCAAGTTTTTGGTTTATTATTAAGAATAAACAATTTACTTAATCATGATGAAAGTTGCTCATGATAGATAAACTCTTTGACTGATTTGTTTTTAGTGAAATAGGGAAATGTAGAGATCTCCAAATTTATATACAAACTGTGCAGACAAGATTAAATATTGAAGAGTGTCACTGTGCAACATGGCAGAGAAAAAAGATGGGGCGTCGTCACTATTACAAAAATTGGTGCCAATATCCAACACGGTGATTGTTTTGTTTGTCTATGCCTTACTCAAAGGCACGTGGTTGAGAGAACTGTAATGGAAGAGTTGGTGGCAATCATATGGGAGAGCCCTGGCACCAGGTCTTGGGTGATAGTCCCATCGGTCAATTGTAATTTAGTAATTGTATTACAATCAGTGTGCAAGTGATTTTAAAGTTGATTGTTTGTAGGTTTGGTAATAGTCTAATCAATTGGGTTTCATAGTCAAATGGCAAATGTTTTACTACTGTAGCAGCGGTAGTGTCAATACAACCTCCAAATGACCAATTTAATGTTTTGATATAATCTGAAGAGTAGATAGAGTTGACACTTGAATGGATTGACGCTAATATTCTACCATTCAAATGACCACCACCACCAGAAAAGTATATCTTTGTTCTCTGTCTAACAACCTTTAACCACCATTTACAAACCAATGCAATCTCTATCATCTCTCCAAACCCTATCTGCACGCTCTCTCTTTCTCCTCGTCTCTCCGTGTAACATTAGATTCCGATATTCGTCTGGCCCAAATCTATCATAGTCTTCATCTTTTTTTGTTTTAATCAATCTCTTTATAATATAACTTTGTACTAATAATGATAAAGATAGATGTGACATTATTAATATTAATAGTATAGTATCTTTCTTCACAAACAATAAAAAAAAAAAAAAAAGTTTGCTCTCGATCGAGAGATAAAATTGTGTAGAAATCAGATTTTACTTTATATTAGTTTGTTCAAAGATATATAGAGATAGAGATAGATAAAGAGAATGGGTATATTAGAAAAGATTAAAGACATTGAGTCTGAGATGTCTCGTACTCAAAAGAATAAGGCTACTGAACATCATTTGGGTATGCTCAAGGCCAAGCTTGCAAAGCTTCGTGCTACACTACTTGAGCCACCCAAATCATCGGGTAAGACTGGTGAAGGTTTCGAAGTACTTAAATCTGGTGATGCTAGAGTTGCTTTAATTGGGTAAATATATAAATATATAAATATATATGATGAAAGTAGTATCTAATATCTATAATGACTTTGATTCATTTGTGTATAGTTTCCCATCAGTCGGTAAAAGTACTATTTTAACAAAATTGACAGATACGCAATCAGCACAAGCAGACTATGAATTCACAACACTTACATGTATTCCTGGTGTCATTCAATACCACGGAGCAAGAATTCAATTGTTGGATACACCGGGTATTATAGAAGGTGCCTCACAAGGTCGTGGTAGAGGTAAACAAGTTATATCGGTTGCTAGAACCGCCGATCTTATATTGATGATGTTGGATTCCTCCAAGGGAGAGATTCAAAAGCGTCTACTAGAAGAGGAACTCGAAGCTATTGGCATTCGTCTCAACTCTCAACCACCCAACATTTACTATAAACTAAAGTCGGCCGGAGGTGTCAACTTTACAGCCACTCAACAATTGACAAAGGTTACAGAGAAACTCGTCAAATCTATTCTCCACGAATACAAAATATTCAATTGTGATCTTGTCATTAGATGTGATCCAACCGTCGATGAAGTTATTGATGCTATCGAAGGTAGAAGATCATATATTAAATGTTTATATGTAAATATCAAAATAACAATATATATAATATATATATATATTTATTAACCAAAACTACCTATCTATTATTTCATTTAGGTTTATAACAAGATTGATCAATTATCAATTGAAGAGACAGATAGAATATCAAGATTACCAAACTCTGTTGTTATTAGTTGTAATCTTGGTTTGAATCTTGATTTCCTTTTGGACAAGATTTGGGAATATTTAAGTTTGGTTAGAGTATACACTAAAAAGAGAGGTGAAGCTCCTGATTTCAATGATGCTGTCATTTTGAGAGCTGGTGCTTCGGTCGAACACGTATGTCAATATTTACACAAAGAACTTGCCAATCAATTCAAATATGGTATCGTTTGGGGTGTCTCTGCTAAACATTGTCCTCAAAGAGTTGGTCTTGCTCATTTATTAGATGATGAAGATGTTATACAAATTGTTAAAAAATAAAATTAAAAAGGAAATAATAATAATAATAATAATAATTAATAATTAATAATCTAAACAAAAAAGAAGAATCAAATCATTTATTTATATATTAAATGATTTTATTTAATTTAATCTAATTAAGTTGGTAAGAATAGTAAGACTTTGATAAAGTGGCAGCCCCGGGGGCGGTTGAGAAGCAAGTTTCAGCACAAACCAAACCAGTTATCGAGTAGACACCTGGAACATCACCCAAGGTGGAGAGTAAAAAGGAAATGGTATCTTTACCTGAGATTTGGTGAAGAAGTCTCTCGTATTGGAGGAAAGTGTTTCCTGATGGACCGGCAATGATGATTTGGGATTGGCCAGTACCGACAGTGACAGTGTATTGCATGGTTACTTGGATATCAGTTCCAACTGGAGCATAGGCTGGAGTAGTAGTAAAGTTGGTAATAAGAGCAGTTGGGTTGGAGTTGGTAGCACACAATTCGGCATATTGACAGACATAGATGGGGTCTGGGGTATCATAAACAATATAATTGGTAAATGAAGTATATCCAAATGCAAGACATGTTAAACTACATGAGGCAGAATAATAATCACCCAAAAGTGGACAAAGATTCTATATATAATAATTAAATAAAATTAATTTAATTAATTTAGTGATATAAAGTTTAAACTAAACATACTTGACAAGAATTAACAGATGTATTGGTGACTACGATATTTTGAATAGCACTGAATGAATCAGCCAAATTTGAAACACAAGTTCCACATGTTGGGGTATCTTGAATGATTTGTAATGAGTTACTGACTGCTACAGCAACAATCAATAAAGTTGCAATTATCTCTTTAAACATTTTCTATTAACTAGTAATATTATTATTAATTTTGTTGGACTGAATGAAATGAATTGATCAATCCAACGTGTATTTAAGAATGTATTCTTAAACCAAACACGGTATTAGATATTTTTTGAAAGATAGAAACTCTGTGAAAACCAAGACCGGTATTGTCTAAGAAGCACCCGTTTAGACCTAGTTAGGTCGTTTTTTAAAAAATCTCTGGAGATTTTTTTAGAATGAAAAGACGAAAAGCTTTGAATTGAACCAAATGATCCCAAACCTTGCACTGCATTCTTGAACACATCTTGGATTGATCAAACATTCATTTAACCGAGACCATTTTCCTTGTGTTCCAGGTATTTAGTCCTTTAGGTTTAGGGCGTTAAAGAATTTATATTTAATTTAGCCGAGGTCCAAATAACCTAATAATATTAGGGTTAATTTAAAGGAATAAATAAGAAATGACATAATGATGAACATATACAATTATCTTATACCAACTCCAAGATTCATGAAAGATGGGAGTCGAACCCTTGATGATAAATTTGGTCTAAATTAAGGAACAGTCCTGACCTTTTATTTTTTTTTTGATAAACATGATCATTTTCAAATAACATAGGCAAAAAACAATGAATAAGAATAATAATAATACAAATAGAATTATAGTATTTGGTACAACATGTATTGATACGGTTAGAATGATAGATGACTTTCCTAAAAAGGGGAGTTATATTGAAGTTGATGAAGAAATCATTGGTCTTGGTGGTGAAGCTTGTAATACATTGGTTTGTGTTATCTTTCAACTTTATATAGATAGATAGATGTATCTCTAATATTTCTTTTACTTTTTTTCATTTTAGATATGTTTATATCAATTAATAAGAGATGAAGAAAAGTTTGATTTGGATATAAACTATTTCACAACACCATTGGTAAATGATGCAAATGGTAGATTGTTGATGGATATCTTTGAAAAGAGAATTGGTAGACGTCATCAATCACTTGAAACACAATTCAATCTATTGGATAGTCAAAAGGATCAAGAGGTCATTACAAAACACAAGATGATCACACCAGTATGTGATGTCTATGTATCAAAGGATAGTGAAAGAAGTATGTTTGGTAGTGGCTTCACTGCAATCTATTCATACATGTTGGAACATTCAGAAAACATTATGAAATCTTTCTTTGATTTTTTAGAAAGAGATAATAGAAAGTATACAAATCAATGGTTTACACTTGATAATAATACACCAACCATTTCAAACAAACTTGTAAACAAATTGATTCAAGATCAATATTGTAATCTTTATATTATGGATCATCAAGTATCAGATGATATAATTGATCTTTTAAAAGAAGAGAAAGACAAAGACAAACAACAAGAAAGAGGTGTGAAATCATATATACATCAAACTAATACAAATTATTTTGGTACTAGTGGTGATAAACAAGCTAATATCGTAGCTGCAAAGGAATGGCTTTCTCGTCATCCAACGACCTTTTTGATATTGACTGATGGTGCACATGGTTTGGTGATTGGAGGTACATTGTATCATAGTGATGAAGGCAAATCATCATCGTCGTCATCATACACTGAACCAACACATTACAATGCTATACCACTTCCATCCGATCAACCAGCAATCGATTCAATAGGTGCTGGAGATGCATTCCGTGCAGGTATGTTATACTCTCTTGGCAAGGGTATCCCAATTGAAAAAGCAATTCAATTTGCCAGTGCTTGTGGAGCTCTCAATTGTCGTTACCGAGGTGGTTGTAATAATGTTCCAACTCTATCTGAAATTAAATCATTTTTAAATCAAAATGGAATAAATTGGTAATATTAAAATAATAATAATAATAATTAATAATAGTAATAATAATATTTTTCTACAATTGTGTGTGTATGTATGTTTGTTAGACTACAAATTTAATTCAAACACTTTTCTACTGTTCATATTCATAGTCACCCCCATACACACACGCTCACACATATATATTTATGGTCAAAAATCAAACATTATTTATTATTTACGTATTTCCAATCTCTATCAGTAGTAGTAATCGATTACTGATTGATTATATATATATATATATATTTATTCATCAAATAAATAATATTTCTTTTTTTTTCTATTTTTATCTATTTTTTGTCAAGATGATCCAATTATATAAATTAATATTTGTTTGTATTGGAGCATTTACATTGTTATCATTTTTCACCTATGTATCTATTAGTAAATCACATCATCAAGAAGTAGGCAATAGAAAGGGTATACCGGCATACCATACAAAGAATGATATCATTAAAACGAGTATGGGTGATGAAGAAATACTCAATGACATTTATTGGAATAAAGTAATGTCTTTGAAAAAGAAACAACATGAACAACAATTACTTCAAGAACAACAAGAATTACAAAAGTCTTCATCTTCTTCAACTTCTGCTACCACAACAACAACAACACCAACACCAAAACCAAAGAAACATCATCACAAGATAAAGATATCAAATAATACAACCAATACAAACAACTCTACCTCTACTACTACAACAAAACAAACTGAAAAATCATTAGCAATGATATCAATGGATTGTAGGAATGGTGGAATTGGATTTCAAGATAAATGTATTTGTGTTGCTCCATTTATTGGGTCGTCGTGTCAAGACATTGATTTAAAGAATAATCAATGTGTCATTAATCCAGATGATATTGCCAATCTCGGTCAATCAAATAGAAGTTATTGTGATGGTTATTCACAATCGATTCATTGTTGTTGGAATAAATACCGTACCGATAGACTCGATCAACCAATCGCACAAGAGTTGAATGAAAGAATCGAACAATTACTCTATAAACACGGTCCATGGAGTGAAAATGACAAGACTCTTTTATCTTATCTTGTTCAACATTTTGACAACAAGAAAGAACAACAACAAACAAATGATCTAAAAGATAGATATAGATTGGTAGTTGAAAATGCGAGCAATTATAGTTTGTCACATCGTAGACCGAATCTTGGGTTTGTCATTTCGTTGAATGACTTTGAATTGGATGTTGGTGGTTACGAGTTATTATTAAAGAGTATATATCGAAAGAAACACTACTATGTCGTTCATATTGACAAACAGGCAACCGACGAACAGGTCCATCTCTTGGCACAGACAACGGCCAAGTACAACAGAAATGACAATATAGTGATCATGGATAAACGATTCTTTGGCCAGGCTGGATCCATTTCACAGGTATATGCAGAGGTTGCTGCATACACCATTCTCTTTGACATGGTTAAAGAGAGAGAAAAGAAAGTGACGGGTGAGAATGGTCAACACGATTGGAGTCATGTAATCAATCTCTCACAATATGATTTCCCCGTCAAACCAATTCACCAACTCGAGTTGCTTCTCGGTCAACACATTGATTTCAATTTCCTCGAACAAGATGTGCAAAAGGATAATTCAAGATACCATCAAATATGGCAACCCAATTGTCGACGTGAAATGGAGTCGGTCCAAGATATTCACAAAAACCAACAATTGTGTGGCAAGTTTGAAATGGCCGCCACCTTTAATCGATCGACTTTTAGTGAAGGTTCTCAATGGCATTTTATCAACAAACATTTTGCTTCACATATAGTCTCTGATATCGATTCAATTGAACATCTATTCTCATTTAAACATACATTGATTCCAGAAGAAATTAGTTTCCAATTTATTTTTTCAAAATGGAATATATCACCAAAGAAACGTGAAAATTGTAAATTCAAAAGAATAGAACAAGTAAATGATAGATATATATATATATTAATCTTTCTATTTATTTTAATTTTTTAGATAATTATAGATATATACCATGGAATAATGAAAAATTAGAAGTTGGTGAAAATGATTTAAATAATTTCAAAATTGCAATGTTTACAAATAGAGTTTATAGAAATGAAATTAGAGAATCGATTATTGATAGATATTTAGATTTTAGAAATCAATTAAATTAAAATTAAAAATAATAAATAATTACAAATTACAAAACAAAAAAAAAAAACAAAAATAATCAAAAGATTTGGATTGATTGTCAAAAGGTGATCTCTTTTCATTTTCATTATAATTTAAATTAATGATGATATTAAATATATTAATAATTGATATAATAATTCAATTGATTGGATTAAGATGGTCAATTATAAACAAATCAGAGAAATATTATGATTTGGCAGGTACAAGTGCATTTGTATTGTGTACATTGTCAACTATATGGTTTGGTCATGCGTACTGTTCTACGAGAAGTTTGGTGGCTGCATTGATGATCATAGTATGGGCATCGAGATTGGGGTACTTTTTGTACTCTAGAATCACTCGATTCACAGACAACCCAGGTGTAGATAAAAGATTCGAAGGTGTACGTGATAAACCAAAGATCTTATCATTCTATTGGTTCATGCAAACACTTTGGGTATTCCTAGTCATAGTTCCATTACTCTTACTCAACAAAACACAATATCAAAGTTATCAACAATTCGGTCAACAACAACAACAACAAATAACACTAGACAATATCAATGATCACTTTAACAATCATAATCTATTCAATCTAGTTGATATTGGTTTAATGGTATTATGGTTGTTTGGATTCTCAATAGAGTGTATTGCAGATCTTCAAAAAAGAAAGTTTCATCTCAACCCCAACAATCATGGTAAATGGATTGCAAGTGGTCTTTGGAACTACAGTCGTCATCCAAACTATGTAGGTGAAATAATAGTTCATTGGAGTATTTATGCATTTTGTGTTCGTGGGTATCCATCAATCGATGGATCTTTGACATGGTCACTAGTAGCTTTGGTCGCTCCCCTCTTTGTCACATTTCTCATGACTAAAATATCAACTCCCATGTTGGAGAAACTAGCCGACAACAGATGGAAAGGTAATACTCATTATGATAGATACAAACAAACAACTCCAAAATTATTTCCTTTTCCAACAATAAATTAAAAAACAAAGAAAGAAATTATAATTATAATATTATATTATATTATTTATTTGTTTTATTTATTTATTTATTGACAATATTTAATATTAATTTATCAGTTTGAAAATCTTGAGTAAAGTTTTGGTAATGAGAACTTCTCATGGCGGTTGCATTCTCGCCATCGACCCAACCAGTGAGTAAGAGGATAGTGGTGAGAGCAGAGGAGTGGAATATTAATGGTACAAAGCCATGTGATCTGGTGAAAAAGTAGTATGCCATCATGTGACCACCGACAACGGTCGACAAACCTAAAAGTCTTGACCATGTTCTATTTAAATCGAAATAGAGTATATGTGTAAGAGGACCATGCGACGCATGAATCAAATAAGAGTAAAAGAAAAAGGCTGGTGTTTTCACCCATCCCATTTGCCATCCAAATATATTGATAAACGTGTCCAACAGATACACCTCTGACTTTGAAAAATGGTCAAGTGAAAATATACGATAGGACAATCGTTTTAAAAGCGAGTTGGATGGTTGGATTCTTTGTACATACTCTGCCTCTTCTTCAAAGCCATTATAATCCAGACAATGATTAGTGGCGTAGATGGCCATCATATTAAGTGCGATCCTTATTGTATTATAAGTAGGAATACCAGTCTTTTCCTCCAATACATATTGAGCCAATGTTTTGAATATCCCCGAAAAATAAATTGGTAATCTTATATCCTTTCTTTCAATCACTACTCTTGCCACTGCTTGCATCAAATAGAATTTAACTGGGTATGGTATTCTATGATTATCAATTTTTAATACTGTACTTAGATATGAAAATGGTATCTCATCAAGTGGTGCTAAACAAATAATAATTGATTAGTTTTTAAATATTATTATTTCTTTTCTTTACTTTACTTACCAACATAAAGTACATTTTCAATAGTATAAACTAAATGACCAAGAATATAACTATCAAAACTATTATAATGAGTATCAACTTGGAATTTAGTCAATGGTGATCTTTGGACTTCATAATCTTGAATAATTGCTGCATGATTACATAATATACATATTAAATTATTAATATCTGCTTCTGTTGATAATAGTCTACAAAATGCATTATTTTGACCTAAAAATCAAGTATAATATAATATTAGTGATTAGACCCGGGTCGATTTTGATTTAAATCACTCTCTTACCAGAAACAGAAGATATTCTTTCAAAGAAATCTAATTCCTCGTCCGTGTATTCTTGAAAGGTTGTTGATATTTGAGCCAAATCATATATTTTTGATGAAGTATCATGTGATAATAAATCTGGAATATTACCTTGAGTATATCTTAAAAATGGATCTAAATCAAACAAATGATTGATAATTAGAATATGATAGCAATATTTATAGTTGATCCAAAGGTTATTAACCCTAAAACTACACTACATACAAACTGAACAAAGTGTTACACCAGCCAACACTGAACATACAATTGCATCCTTTTTACCCAACGATTTCATAAACCCTGTTGCTATATCTTTTAAAGGTGATAGTTTAGAGTATAATACTGACATGATTGTTTCTATCTATCTCTATCTCTCTCCCCTTATCTCTCTCTATACGTTGTAAATAATAATAAATGCTTGAGCAGCAGATGATGAGTTGTCATAGTTGATGGTATAAAAATATCTTGTATTTTTTGCAAATTAATTCTTAAACTCAGGTCGTCTTTGTTTGTTTTGTAAAAAAAAAAGAAATTAATTATAACAAAAATTGATTCGGTCGTTTTTTATCGTTTTTTTTGTAAGCATCACAGTTTTATCACTTGTATATATATTTCATTAAAGTAAATATCAGAGAAAAAGAAAGAATGGGAGGAGGTAACAAGAGACCAATAGGAATAGAAAAGAGAAAAGCCTTTATACATAATCCAAACAGTAAAAAGACTGAAAAGATTGCACAGATGCCAAACGAAGGTCTATGTCAAGACTGTCATGATACTATCGAATGGAGAAAGAAATATAGAAAGTATAAACCATTGTCAATGGCTGGTAAATGGTAAGATAGAATAAAAGAATAGAAAGAAAAGAAAAAGAAAGAACATTATTTTTAATTATACCTCCCTCCTCCATCCCTACCCTATATCATTATATCTATCTCTATTTGTTTGTTTTATAGTGCACATTGTACTCAAAGAAAGGTTACAAGAGCTTATCATGAATTATGTGAAGATTGTGTAAAGAAATTAAAGGTTTGTGCTAAATGTCACAAGGCTAAAGAAATCGTTGCGTATGTTATCTTAGTTTTCAAACGAATATGTAAATAGAGTTATTAATTTTCAATCAATTTATATTTATTTATTGTAATATAGTGAAATAACTGATCCAAAAGATAGAGAAAGAGATGAATTAAAGTTAAAACATGCATTGTATATGATGACTGAAAGTGATAGAAGAACATTTTATAGAGAACTTGAAAAGGAAGAAAATCCAGAGAAAAAGAAGAAAAATCAAGATAATGAAGAGGAAGATGACGACTCTGATTATAGTGATGAAGAAGAGGAAGAAGAAGAAAAAGAAATCAAAAAGTTAACTAAAAAGACAAATGAAGTCCGTATCTTTAACAATGACAAGGTTAAAGAGGTTTTGGAATTGACAAAGAAACAACAACAACAACTACAAGACAAGGATTTGGATCAAGACGAAGAATCTTATAAAAAGATTAAAGAACAATTTAAATCTCAACAACCAACTCAACAATTAACTAAACAACAAGATGATGATGAAGATGAAGATGAAGAGGATGAAGATGAATTTGATGACGAAGATTTTGATGATGAAGATTTTGATGACGAAGAAGATGAAGATGAAGAAGATAACTAATAATAATAATAATAATAATTAATAATAATTAATAATTAATAATCAATAATATAAATACATTATTGTAATAATTTTTTTTAAAATATATATTTATATTTATTTATTTATATAATTTAATTTCCTTTCCTTTCCTTATATTTTAATTAGTTTGAAGGTGAAATGGAAACATTAATGATACTACCATTAATGGTATTTGAATTTGGAATGATATTAATAATATTATCACTGATAATGGTTAGGGTAGCTTCACCAGATGTGATTTGTGCATTGACTCCAGAAGAGTAGTGGAATTGACGGTTAAAGTAGATTTCAGTTGGTTGGGTGATGGCAGTGTTGATCTTGTAAGAGAATAAAAATTGTGATGTTGTAATGTCAAAGTACATAGAGATTGGTTCACCTGCGATGGCTCTGGCATAGGTACGAGACAGTGTCATTACCTTTTCAACATCTAGACTACCGTCGGCCAAATAGAGTGATTCCTCTGGTCCAGAAGTAGTAATATCATTGTAGAATTTGTATTGCCAATAGGTCCATGATTGAAGATGACGATCAGCTTGTTCCATCATATAGGTAATCATCTCCATTGATTTGGTTGAGTTTCCAATAGCACCAAATTCAGTCATAAATCCACCTCCTCCCAATCTCTTTAAATCTTTCATTGCTCCTGATAAAAATACTTCATTCTCATCTACATACAATCCAAAAAAATAAACAAAGTAAATATAATATTATTAATTAATAGTCTTTCCTTTTTGTTTTCTTTACTTACCATCACATAAACCAATATAACGAGGACCACTACCAGAAGTACCACAATAAATATGATATGATAGAATTTGACGATTATTATATTCGATACCACCTGGAGTACCTGGAGTAAATTGTGAATCGTAAACATCGACCAAAGACTTTTCAAACATGACACAATGTTGATCATCAATATCACGAATAGCTCTATTGATAGTATTGTAAAGTGGTGCTAAATTGACTCTATCAGCATGTCCCAAATCAACAAGTAATAATGGATCTTTATAAACATCTCCTCCCCACTTGAAATAGATAGATAAATAAAAAGGGTTGTTAATTATTATTATTTTTTCAATATACTTAAATAAGTTTGTTTGTAACTTACAGGTTCATTAATAATTTCATAACCAATAACAGTATTTGAATCAACAAAAGTTGTAGCTAAAAGTTGCCAATATTTAACAAATTCGTCTAGGATACCATCGACATTATCATAGAGTGATTGGAAGGCAGCTCCAACTTGATCGGAAAAGTAGTATTGTGCAAATTCTTTGGACAAGCATTGTTCGAGATTTGGATACAATGTTGTATTGTCGACTGGATATGGACTGGCAACTGGACTTGGGAATGCCCTAGTATCTGGGACAGCAACAGCCCAATCAGGGATACCTTCACCACAGAATCTTCTATTAATCAAATCTTGATGGAAATCAATAATAGTATAGATACCATTATCTCCCAATGTATCAACTATTCCTTTCATTACATTAACATAGGTTTGATTAAATTCATCTCTTTCTGGCTAGAAATTAAAAAAAGAAAAAGAAAAAGAAAAAGGAAAAGAATACAAAAGAAAAGAAAAAGGTAAGTATTATTTTTATATAAAGTGTACATTGTATTTGTTGTTGTTGTTGTTGTTTATATTTATATTTATTACCTCTACACCAGGCCACATAACACCTAATCTAATTGCATTGAAACCCCATGATACAAGATTATCAATATCCTCTTGACAAAGAGAGTTTTGAGGATCAAAGGTATCTGTATCGGGATGCCAAGGGAAGATTTTGTATACTGCATTGAGACCATGGAATATACGAACACGTCCATACTCATCAATTAGATTCTGTGTATTAACATCAACTTGAATGAATGCTTTACTACATCCAACTATTAAAACTACAAATAGTAGTAATAATAGTTTCATTTTAAAAAGATTATATAGATAGATAGATAGATATAACTATATTATATATATAATGAATGAAAAGTGTAAGATGTGAATGAAATGATAAGTTGGGAGTGTCTCTTTATAAAGATGAGACGTCAACGGATTTTGAAGGTGTAGGAGAATGTAAAAGAGGAATCTGTTCAATTCCCTATTCCCGAATAATATCTACTCTCAAAAAAGGAAAATTAATAGTTTGATGTGATGCAATGAATAAAATTTATCTTAATATATATAAATATAAATATATATAGATACAATATATTTAACTTTGTAACATTATTATTATTATTATTTATTATTACTCTTTGTTTCATCCTCTCTCTTTTTCTAATCTTTATAAAATTTGAAAAATAATCATTGAGCAAACAAACAGATTTATCTTATAGATGCATAATAATAATAATAAAGTAATTTTCAAGTGTTATGAATAGAATAGTGAGTGTATTCAATAGGTGTGTTTATAGATGATCAACAAGTATTTGACAAAGAGTGTGTGAAACCATCACGTAAACCACTCCAAATTAATTGACCATTGGAGTTTAACATAACAAATTCTGGCATACCTGGAATGGAAACCAAGTAGTTTGGTTGGGCATCGATAAACCCTCTAGGTATTTCTGTCGAGTATGTATTGACACATCCAGTAGATGGGTTGGTAACTGTGAATACAAACTGACCTACACTATTCCAACCAACCGATTTTGTATATTCCCTGTAAGAAGAATAATCAGGAACCAATGTGACAGCCTTTCCATCAGAGATGAAAAACTGTACAGTTGTCAAGAGCGAATAGGTATTTGTGTTGGCTACGATGATGGCATTGCTCAAGCTAGACGTCCAAGTGTTTCCTTGTTTGAGATAATTGGTAAATGATGGTGTAGGTACGTTAAATTGACCCCATGCAGCCATATTGGATATTCCATCATGTGTAATAAATCCCCAATTTACATCCCAACCATCATTTGGTGGAACATAGAGGTAACGAGAATAATCAATTGATTTTTCAGCTCCACACCAAATCAAATCACCTCTTTTATTCTTTGAACAAAAATTACCGTCACTTTGAATTGTCAATATATACGGTCCTTCAACTCTACCGGTACCATTATTATTTAACTTTGTCCATTTTAATTGTCCTGGGTAATTTGGGTTTTCTAGAACAATCAAACAAAAATAAATATTTTTGAGTTAGAGCTGCAACTTTTTAAAATATATTTGTTTGTAGTGAGTGATACATACGAACCCAAAATTGGATGTCACCAGTTGTTGTTATCGTTAGATAGTCACGACCATTTGTGATAAATTGGCCAGGTTCGATTTGGTTATTTGTAGTTGATTGGGAATCGAGGAAGTTACCTGGGATCAATGAGTAGAATCCAGGCATCGATGTACTTGTACCAAATCTACCCCACACCATCTTTCCTGCTGCGTTTTGGATCACAATACCCCAAGGACGGTTGTATGAACCTGGTGGGAGAATATTCAAGTACATTCCACCAAGACCTTGTGAATAGGTACAATAGGAAGGGTATCCGGGTCTATAGCTACAAAGATTTCCATCATTACCAAATACACCGTAAGGAACTGAACTGTATTGTGGTGTGACACCATCCGACGTCCACAAAGTGGTTCCAGCAGGAGAGACAAAAACAAATTGACCGGTAAACGTTAGCACCAAACTGTAATCATTGATGGTCAAGGTGAAACCAGGGCTTAAAGCTCTCCCATCACCAATAATAAATGCACCTTGTGTCAATGGAATAGTATTTCTATTGAATACAGGTGAAAGATAAGTACCTATGATAATAATGATTGATCAATCATTCAACAAGTTGTTAGAATTATATAAACTGATATACTAATATATAATTTACATACTTTGATATTTTCTATACATTTGGTATCTAAAATTTAGATCATCAAAAGCACCACAAGGTTGCATGTATCCATGAAGCTTTCCATCATTATAAACTTGTGCACATTTACCGGTCGATCTACTAACAATTTGGAAGATATCAGGGTAAGATGGTGATGTGATGATATTCCAAAACTGATTTGGATTGGAGCGGCTACAGGTAACAGATACGACATTTTGACCATTGAAATCTAAACACAAGTTGCTTGCAACATTGATAAACTGACCATTAATAGTGTATCTCCATTTCTGATTTGCAGTGCTTCCTCCACAGAGAACTGCATCAACATCAGATATCGTTGTGGTTAGACCTTGTAAGCAAAACTTTGAAGCTGGATTAAAAAATTGATATATCTCTTGAGCATTGCTGACAGAAGAGAATCCTATCAGCATGCAGACAAATATACATAATAAATAAGAGTATAACATCATTGGTTTTTTTAAAATGAACAATAAGATAAGATGATCTCCTTATGTTGATCAAACAAGAAGAGCAACAATAAAACAATTTTTTTTTTTTAGTTGTTCTTGGCAAAAAGCCACCTCGACAAATCATGATTGCATCGGAGAATACCCTTGTGATAGAGTAGAGTATAAAATAAATTAATTTAAAGTTCTAATAAACAATTAGAGGCTTCTTTTTTAAAAAAGTTAATTCAATGCATTAATTATTTAATTGCGACCCATTGCATCAATATCTTCATTTTAGGAGTATCATACATAAAATAACACTTTTCAACTATTGGGAAAGTGATATTCCTTTTGTGTATCGGGGGGTGTACTACTTGACTTGTCACATGCACCAAGGGCTCCTCTCCTCGTGCACTCTTGTGTCGTTTCGATAGATATTTCAAAAATTTGGTATCCATCCGAAAAACTAGGTGTCCACATGTCTTTATCCCATATCGGGTATAGTTTAATTATGACATGTGTCATCATATTCCGAATTTTTGCATCGACCCTCACGTGACATACCCTACCCAGAAAATAATATCCTTTCCACTGCGCAGTCCATCCTTCAACAAAGTATACAGTACAAAAAAGCAGTGGATCAGTGATTATCATCCCTTCCAGGGCTTTGTGTTAGCTTACATAGTTTTAAATATCTAAAGAAATATTCATTATAAATACCTGTACTTTTTGGACAATAGAAAATCATCATTAGTTGAAATTTTTAAAAACATATAACTTTTTTGTTTGTATAAATAATTTTAAAATGTTATCCAAAAAACACCACCACCATCACCATCATCATAAACATGAACATGTTCCTCATATCAAAAAAGCAACTGCACAACAAATGAAAGAAGCAAGGGAAAAGTACCTAAAAGAAGGAAAGAGGGTTCTAATTGGCGACCTAACTGATGCCCAAAGAGAGGCCATTCACCAAAGAATTGAATCTGTTGAAAAGATGCAACAAAAAGATGGTGATTTCTTAAGCTCCACCGATTGGGGTAATATCATTGGATTAGTACTTAGTTTTACTCCTTATGTTGGTTCATTCCTTAAAGTTGGATTTGGTGTATGTAAAAATTAAAAAAAAAAAAAATAATTTTAAAAATTAATTATATAAATATTAATCAAAGCTAATATCATTTTTAAATTTTAATATATCTTTAGATTATTTGGGGAAAAATCTTCTCAACTGATGGTAAATATATCACCCAAGATCAATTCCAATCAGAGATGGCATCTCTCTATCAAAAGATTGAAACCATGTTGAATGAGAAATTGGAGGATAGTGAAATGAATAGATGTATGGCCATGTTTATCGATTGTCAAAATCGGGGAAACAATTTCAATGATCTCCTTACTCTATTCGTTGATAGACATCATGCAAAAGTTGGTATGGTCCCAAACAAGAATGTTGATTACAGAGTTGAACCACCTGCTCATTTACTTGAACTTGATGATGACACACTTCTTCAAATGATCAGAACTCAATTCTTGGCTTATCGTGACTTTTTAGAAGGTAAATATTAATCTATAATTATATATATATATTTTATTTATTAAATTTTTAATCAATCACTTTTTTTCTTTTTTTCTTATTTTTATTTTATAGGTGCTCTTATCAACTTCTCACAACCATTGTATGCTCATATCCTTGGTAGTCTTTATGGAATGACGATGTTGATTTATTCCAATTTTATGAGAGATGCTTGTTTCCAAGCATCTGCATGGGGATTCCCATCGGATTATATCTATGGGTATGTTTTAAACTATTTAATTGTTTTTTTTTTTTATACATTTGTAATTAATTATTTTAATTAAACTTTAATAGGAGTGGTGATGTAAAAGGTATTCAACAAACTCTTCATGATAAAACTCAAGATTTCCATTATTATCTTGCAAGATGTAACCTTTACTATGAATTGCAACTCATCAAACCAGCAGTTGCTTGTCATCCAGCAATTAGTATGAATATTTATACTCTGAATTTACCTTTTCTTTAATTATACTAAACAATCAAATTAATTTATTTCTATAGACCTTCCAGATGATGGTTATAAATTGTTCGGTCAGATTAATAATCTCGATCTCTTTGAGTACTATTGGAGCACACCACTCAAGTGTATTGACAACCCCGATTCCAATGGAAACTTTCAATGTTTTGAACCAACAGGTGTATGCAAGATATTCAAGATTGACCCATCTAAAAGTTCAAACCCAATCAATGCTGACCCTCATTTTGATACTGTATCTGGATATAAACCAACTTATATTCCTTTTATGGCAAACTGTAAGTTAAAAAAAAAATATATTTATTTTATTCTATTAAAATTTCAATATTCTTCTTTTACTAATTGATTATCAATTATTAACTATTATAATAGCTGGTCCAAAATATACCCTCCAAAGAAGTGGTAATTTCTTTGTATATTTGACTGTCACCTTTGCAATTTATGATACACGTATTGGTAGTGAATGGGATCTTTTACTCAACGGTAAAAAGGTATTAACTCTTAATACTACTCCTGCAGATGATGGTTGTCTTAGAGGACCAAGAATGAGTTACTACTATGAAGAGTGGATGGTCTCTTACCAACAACAACAGGCATCTACTTATATTACCTGCAAGTTTGATTTACAGGATTACTTTTACAGTGTTGATGTTCAATTAAATGGAAATGGAGGATTACTTAATTCGGTTGAAGTATCTTACCCAAATTATCCTGGCAAGGATTTTGTCAAGGTCAACATCCCAAAGTTAGAAGGAAACTTGTCTCATCCAAAGAAACCAGTACAGAAATTTTAATCTAATAGATATCATTCTCTAATAACTGCTACAAATTAAATGAAGAGTTGAAAAATCCTCACCAAAACTTCAACAATTGTTTGAAAAAAACTATAAATAATTTTAAATAAAATAAAATATTATTAATAATCAATCAATAGATAGATTGTTTAAATGTATTAATGTAAAACTTACAGCTTGTGGTTTCTATTTCAATAAATGATTTTACTAGAGGGAACAAAACTTGAAAAAAGTTGACCTGATTTCATTTGGTATCTGGTCAACCAAATATCAATGTACACATTGGTCTTTTAAAAATGCAATTGTTTGATTGTTGAATCCAACTTGTTGTACCATTGGTAAACAATGCAAACTTTGTACCATACTCGAGACCTGTTAGAACCAAGTGAAGGGTGTCTGCGTCTTCTTGGCAGTCATGCTTGAAAGTTTGGTGTTTGAAGCAATCAACTTTGATTGTCTTTAATGGGTGGCCGCCCATTAAACACCAACAACTGCATCTGTACAGTGTCGGTCATGAGATGGTTGTTGTACGTGAATAGAAATACACTCCCTTGATACCTAGGTATTTCAGGCTCTCCCAGATTCCCAATGGTTGATATTTGTTTTGTGTTCATACCATATAAGCTTTGATTCGGTCTGGTTTCTAGATACCAAAGTTATTATGATCTCTTTGAATGAATAGAACTAAAGAGAGTGAAAGAGAGACTGAGAGACTGAGATCACCACCACACTCACAAATTTTAAATATTAATATTAAGTTAATAATTTTACAACTTTATTGGGTGAGAAGTTCACAGTAGTGTTAACATATTTTAAAACCCATATTAAATAGAATAATAATAAATAGAATAATATAGTATTTCATCTATGAATAGTTTATTATACTTGAATTCTTCAAGTTATTATGTTAAATATTTGTAATGAAGAGTTTTATTTCAACGGCATTTTAAATAACATCAATGTGTTCACCTATCAACAAGGTATAGTCCACCATTTGTTGTTGAATCATTTAATATTGTTTCGCCTGGTGATGAAACTGCATTTGTTAACAAGATGGATTCACTATCTATTGGAGAATTCATAATGATTGCAATCAGTTCAAGTCTACCTTTTATAAACGATTCAATCATTAGAGCTTGTTCATCGATTGGAAGTGTTAATATTTATCATCATCGAGTGCCGAATCGAACAAGGTGATTGCCATTGTCACCGTCGTTCCAGAGGGAAAGGATGGTAGTTATTTGGGTCTATCCGACACAACCATTGAAACGATCAAGCAGACTCTAGCAAGCCGATATATCGATGAATTTATTAAGGGTGGCGCTAGTAAATGGATACTTGTTTCAGTTTTGGAAGCTGGCTACGGTGGTCGTGTTGTCGTTAGCGAGTATGCAACATCTGCCAATACTTGCACTGTCACTTTTTATCCAGAACCTTGTGGAACTTTCTCTGATTTTCAAATATCAGTAGGTTCTTGTAATAGTGTCTATTCAGGGGCACAAAGTTATATCTACTCTGATTGTGAATGGACACGTGGTGGTGGGGATGGATTATCAATGGTAGTTTTTGCTAATCAATACAGAGGTTCAAACTTTATGAAAATTGTAGCAGACGACCGCAAAATCAACTCTCAATTTGAAATTGCAGTGTCAAAAGCTGCCGATTTCATTTTAAATCGAATTCCTGTTGGACCATTGGTTATAATGTCTCTGAGTATATCACCATCGTCGACATTTACAATTCCTCAAGACCTAATAGATGCATTAAGAACTTTGGGTTCCAATCTTTGTAGTAAAATCAATAATCAATCATTATATGCATTGATTGGAAGTCCTCCTGGTTCAGTTCCAGAACAAATATCACAGACCGGCCCTGTATCTCTATCAGGATGTTTTCATTTATTCAAAAATCATTTGAAATCAAAGCAATTGGAAAAGGTGTAAGTAAAATGCATTTTATCCCTTTAATACTTTTTTTTTATTAATATTTTGATAGGTTGATAAAAATGGAGGAGATAGTTATACAAAGTTTTTTATTAATTCTCAAGAAATTGAAAAATCTACCACTCCAAACTATCCTGCTGTTTCATCAATGAGAATATTAAAACAGAATAATAAGTACTCTGATATTATGACTCTATTTTAATTAATGATACCAATGAAATCAAGATAAATGAAACCATTGTCGTTGGATCACTTTCTAGTGACAATGTCAAAGTTGGTACAATTTGTATGTACATAAAAAGAAATAATACTCTAAATAATAAATATTAATATCATCCTACATAGTTAAAAGTATAAAAGTAAAAGAGACAGTATTTGAATTTATTAAATCATTACCAAAAGGAACAAAAGTTATTTGTCAAACAACCAGCAATAATATATCTAGTAACAAACAGAGATTAGCATTTCAAATGATTGGAGGATGTAAATATGATATGAAACAACCATATGATGCTCTCTACACGATAATTGGCATAAAAGGATCTTCTCCGGGATCAGCAATGGAGATGCATTCAGAGATCAAATCAAAGATTGGAATGGGTTCTTTTGAAAGAGTAAATCCTTTGAAGAGACGGAACGAGTGACCACATAAATTACATTAATTAATCAAGTTTAATTCATTAAAAATATATATATTCTTTGAGGGAAAAAAATGAACTTCAAGAAACAAAATAAAAGAGAGATATGATTACTGATCTTTCATTCAGTAGTTTTAATTATCATTTGTACAAAGAGATAATAATTCAAAAAGAAACAATGACAATCAAGAATCAATGTATTATTATATGGGTAGAAGGATGCTTATCAGATAGTTTTCAATCAATCACAGAGAATAAGAAATTGAATCATTTAAATAAAGTGGTACAAGAAGGTTGTGTAGGTCAATTATTAGTTTTAAACAACGACACTAATAGTAGTACTAGTATATCAGAGTTTAATCAAGTATTGGGTTTCAATATTGATCAAGATATTACATTTAATCATTTCACTAAAAGGTAAAATAAGAAACGTTGGTCTTCTTTTTGATGTGTTACTAATAACAAAAGTGATTGATTCCCTACCACCTAGATTTAATAATTTAAAGTTACAAATATATACAAATGATCAAACGTTTAATGATTACTATCGCAGTAAACAGTTCAATATTAAATATTTGGACAATGTTGTTGACAATGCAGCAGCAAATGAAATCATATCTAATGACCAAGATGAAATGTTGATTCTACATTTAAAGTCTACATCACTCGAATCTGTAGATCAAATCATTCAATCTATCCAAAATGCAGATAAAAATAAGGATGAACAATACTATTATATCAATATACTTGCAAATTATAGTAATCAATCATCGGTGGTTGTTCCATCAGTCAATGACAATACTATCCCAGAATGGTTTGTTCCTCCTGTTCAAAGTTATCAAAAATATGATGGTAAAATGGTTGAACCAAGGTACCGTATATTATATATTGTCTCTCATTCATTCTCTTCTAACTATATTTATATTTATATTTATTTATTTATTTATTAATTTATTAATTTATTTTTTAGACTTTTATCACCATGGTTTGGTATTTATTGTCATCCAACATGGACAAGAAAAGATTCATGTCTTTATTTCTCAGATTCTGAATTTATCAAAGGATCAAATGGAAAAATATTATTATTACAATATCTTAAGGATCTCGCATTCAAACTTGGTAGAATCCCAAAATATGGTGCCTAAATTAACATATAATATACTTTTTAGTTTAATTTAATATATTTATTAAATTGAAATTTGAACCAATAATTGTTGAATTGTAGATTTAACAGTTGGAGTGATTGAATCCAATTTAATAAGGTTTTTAAGGGAAGTGATGGCATCTAGAGATTTGATTTTCTGACAGATGGATTCGTCTTTGGTTTGTTGGTTGAGAATTTCGAGGAGGGTAGAGACTGTTTCTTGGTTAAAGGCAGTGTCTTGTGAAGAAAGGGAAGAAATGCTTTCCTTGAGTGCTGATACAATTGATTTCCAGTGATGTTCATTGGTAATGTCAATGAGGGTGCTATCGGTTTTGTAGAGTTGATTGACACCTCTTGAACCTTCACAACGAAGAATGGCAAATGGTGCGTTCAAAAGTTCAAAGAATGGACCTACACAATCTCTAGTGAGGTTTTCCTTTGTTGATTCCTCTGATAATACATTTTTCATTTCAAGGAAACGTTTAAGTATTCTTGTCGATTCGTAAGCTACACGTTTATCCTTTGGTTTTTTCTCCTCTTCCTCTTCATCTTCTTCTTCAATTGATGCTTTGGTGACTCCATTGGCTAAATCCAAGAGAGCTTGAAGGTTATAACTGTCTTGCATAAATAGGATATAGTTTTGGTCAGAGCAAAGAGTAACATGTTTCAACACACCAATGGCAGTGTATTGGATGACTTGGTTTTGTACTCTCATATTAGTGACAATACAATCCATCAAATCCTTGCTGATAACAGTTCCCTTGAATGCACTACTTGGGTTGGTAATATTACGAATGGCTGCCAATATCAAATGTTGAATTGGTTGATGATTTGGATATGTTTTCAAATTCTCTGTCATCTTTTCCAATACTTTTTTTTCAAGTAGAATTTTAATATTTTTTTCTACAACATAAACAAACAAATAAATAAATTAATTATATTTCTTTTTTCTTTTTTCTTTTTTCTTTTTTTTTTAACTTACCATTAATTGAAAGATTACCAATCAACATTGCAGAACTAACCATTTGTTCAGTATCTTGTTCATCAAACATATCTATGAATAATTGTACATGATCCATTAATTTTTCGACTGAAGCATCTTCCAAAGAGACATAGGCGAGTGCTCTAGTGATGAATCTCTTTGTTTTGGCCAAATCCAATACTCTGAGAGTTGTCTTTTTGCTTTGTTGACTAAATACTGGTGGTTTGGAACCAATGATTTTGATCATTCGTTCGATAACATCACCCTTTAAAAAGTATTCCCTCAATTGATCCTTTTCAGCCAATTTTACAATAGCTTCAGCAGCCAATGGTGCAACCGATACTTCTCCAGTGATTTCATTGATCTCCTCTTCATCCAATTCATCAACCAATTCTCTTGTAGGCTCAGCTTGATCAATTAAATTTAATATTTCATCAATCATTCCTTCATTTAATGTTTCTTTTTTTAATTTTTCTATAAAATAAAAGAAATAGAGATTAGAATTGGAATTTGATATAATTATTATTCGTTTCTTTTTGTTTACCATTAATTAAAAATGAAGATAATAAATTAATTAATTCTAAAGCAAAAGTATTATCAATCCAACCATCTTGTTTAATAGATTGTTTTAGCTGATTGAGAAGAATGACAAGATCTGAATGTTTGATATTGGTTTGATTGTCAAGATTATCTTCGACGACATTTTTGAGTGCTTGTGTAGCCCATTGTTTGACATCTTGTGAAGTGTTGGAGTCTGCGAGCAATGAAAAGATAATGTCAACAATACCAGTCTCGTAAAATGCACCTTGAAAGAATTCAGAACACGATGAAATGTTGGCAATGGCTGCACAAGCAGTTTTTCTAAGTGATGGTCGTGTAGTTTGCTTTACAAATTCAACCAATGTTTTGATAATGGTATCAACATCTTTATGATTCTGAATGAGTTCTCTATTGTCTTCATGTTCAAAACAAAGATTACCCAATAGTCTACATATCATTTCGTTGAGGTGTCCTCTATTATTGTCATCACTGTCTTTGTATGGTTGAATCAACGATACAACAACATCCAATATATTTGATTCCTTTGCAATGATATTTCTATTCTCTTCAACTCTTGACCAGTCTGCCAATGTCTTTATAATCTCTCCGCTACCAACTATATCATCCTTTTTAATTAATTCTAATAATCCTTTAATTTGTTCTATATTAACTAAAAGAAATATTTAGATAAAGAAGAGATTAATCATCAGAACAAAAGACTATACTTCTTTCTTTCTTTCTTTCTTTACCCTGATCATTATCATTCAAGTTTAATGATTTTAAATAATTACTAACGCTATCCATCCTACTTTTCTATATCTCTACACAACAATAAATAAATTATACAATGATTCAAAAAAAAAAAGTAAATAATAAATACTTTGGTTGGTGATCAAGTCAAGCTTAAAGTTCATTTTCTTTCACACCCAATTTTTCATAGAATGTTTTTCGAGACAACCAAAAGTATGTATGTATACTATGATGATTTATTTTTAGACTATTTATTTTTGATTATTTAATAAACCTAAACAATTTAAATAAAAATCAGATACAGCTTCTTTAAAAGGACTTTTACCTTTTAGTCTCATTAATTTGTTGAGGAACAATTGTTTTTGGTCAAATGTCACCTTGTTGGAAGGGAATCCATCAATGCTAAGGAACTTTAATGCAATGGGTCTAAATATATTTGGGTACTTTGATACGAGGGCAAATATGGTCTCGGAAACATATGGTGATACACTTCTTGGTATACCTCCTCCAACTGCTGTCAATAATTGTTTGATCAATAATTCTCCATTTTGATTTAAAAATTGATCCAATTCATTCTTTATATTTATATAATAATTTGATTCTTCTTTTGTCACTAAAATTAAAGAAATCAAGGTAAGAAAAGTATTCTATTATTCCCTTTTTTTTTCTATGTTTCTTACTTGAAATTAAAAAAGATAAAAATTGAAAACAAGGTCTTGCTGTTGGTTTATCATTGATGAATAATAGATTGTCTAGTAGGATTTGGAATAGTAGTGTACTTAGACCTTGAGGGATTGACAGTACATTGTATTTCAAGGATTGAGTGATAAAGGCAAAGAAATCTTTGGTCAAGTCTGGTTGAATGGAGAGGTTGTAAGAGATGGCGGTTGGTTGTTGTTGGTATTGATTGTTGGGATGATGATGGTATTGTTGTTGGTGTCGTTGTATGGATTCGTTAACATGACGTTTCCAAAGATCGATCATTATGTTGGTGAGTGTAGTGAGAGCTGTGCTAACATAATCGTGGGCGTTACCAAGTGACAGACATCCCACTCCAAAACTCATTGTAGAGATGGCAGCACAACTTGGATGTTTTAAAAACAAATTGGTCATTTGGAAAAAGATGGTTGGCAACATTGGAACAATTGCATTCTTGTTGCAAGAGAGTATAATTCTTTTACATAAAAGACAAACATTTTCCAAAATTTCATCATTATCATTATTTGTAATTAAATTTCTTGTAATTGGTAAAATGATTTCTACTATTGGTAAAATGATTAAACTATAATCAGATGTAATAGTAGTTGTATTATTATTATTATTGTTGTTGGCAGGGTTGAGAGGTGGTGATTGTGAAGGTTGAGATTCTAAACCATCGTCAATTTCAAATATTTTCATAAATCGAATCAATAGTTTTAAAGAATTGGTGATTTGAGTGGTTTCGGTTGGATTTAAATGTTGCTTGATTGATAATTGATTTAAAATGGTTATATGTGGTGTTAATAATGGTGATAAATTATTTAAAATTTCACCTGGATTTAATACACTTGATATTTCAAATAATCCTTCAATTATATTCTAAATATAAAAAAGAGAGATTAATAAAATATTTCTACTTTTCTTTTTTCTTTTTTCTTTGTTTTTTTTCATACAAAATAAACTGTTAAATTTGTAATATTTAAAATTGGGGAACAATGAATAATTAAATCTTTTAAATTATTTGATAAGAGGGAAGCACATTTTTTGTTTTTAGAGATGGAGAGAAAAGAGTCAGAGGCAGAAGTGGCAAGTTCGGGGTTTGAAAATGCAGGGATGAAATCACTGACTATTTTGTAGAGGTATTGAGAACTCTTTTCCAAGAGGTTTGCGTATTTACCGGCGAGGATAATGGTTGATTTGACGAGTGGAGTGGAATGGGCGGGCAATGCACCGAGCAATTGAAAGAGTTGAGGTACAAATGAAGTGTCGTCGTTGGATGATATACCCTCTGAGAGGAACCCCAAAAGGAAGATGGTCGATTCAATGGCACGCCATCCATTGACTGCCATGATATTATTGTTGTATTGTGAAATATCGTTCCAAAGCATCGACAATAATATCGACTTGGTACTCTCTTCCAAGATACCATAGATACTGAGTAGAGAGTCACCGACAATGTTTCGTAGTCCAATGAATCGATCAAACTCTGCACTTGCCTCTGCTAGTAGATTCGAGTCTGAGTCCAATGGATACATACACTTGTCTCGATAGATTGGAATGAGGTTTTTAAGAAACTTGTAAAATGAACTGACGTCGACATCATTGTCGTGCAGTGAATGAATCTCGGTGATGACAAGTGACAATGGTTCGCAACTCTCCATGTCTCCCTTGGCCACCAAATCAGAAAATGCGTCCAAAAAGGCATCGCAATAAAGTTTTGATGCCATCAAGAGTTTGGGATGTGTCTCTGCAATCTGAGTAAACAGTGAAAAGATGTGATGAAATATTTGTTCATTCTCTTCCAATACTGCCAACTGTGCATATCTTGGCAAGGTTTCCAATACCCTGCCAAGCATCGTATTAAAAGTGGTTGGATATTGTTTAAAGTGTTTGCCACCCATAAATGTTACAATCTCTGACAACACCGACACAAACTCTTCCACCAATTGTGCGTCTCTTTGTACTGAATCGAATCCATATTGCATTACCAACGGACTTGTTAAAAATGATGATGGCGATATATTAAATATAATCCAACTCTTTAAACATTTTAATGAATTATTTTTAATCGTTGAAAGGTTAAAGTTATTATTTTGATTATTATTATTTTGATTTTGGATTGACAATAAATTTGATAATAATTTAATGATTGAATCAATTGAACGATTAAATCGATTTGATACTTGAGTTCTAGCATCTTGTGTAATAAAATCACATTGTGTGACTTCAAATGGGAGAATAGTTAAAAGTTCCAAGATAAGATTAATATTTGGATTACTTGGATTTAAATAATGTTCTATTATATATAATTCATCAGTTGGTGTTGATGGTGAAGAGGATGAAGAGGAATCTTGATTTGTTTGAGTTAAACCCAATTTTAATATATCATAGATTGGATTTGGCCAAAGTGTTGGTACTGCATGACATGCAATCACCGATACCGATAGAACCAATCTTGTCAATACTGTACGATGAAGATTCAAAGGGTTTTGAAGTATTTGTAAGATCTGTCCGAGAATAGATGATTGAAGCTCTGTAGACATGGACGACCACTCGCTCTTTAACTTTGATTCTATAGTCGATGCTCCAAAATACTGAAACTCTACCTGTCCACCTTGATACAACAGTTGTTGTGATAATGTCCACGCTTGAGGAGATCTCTGAAATGACATTAACCATTCTTGTGCATCTCTCATCACTACATTCATTTCTTGTTGTGGATGATATTGTTGTGGAAAATAAAATGATTTTAATACCTTTTAAAAAGAAAAGTAAATGAATGAAAGAATAGTGTTAAAAAGATATCATCATATGATTGATATTATATATCATATATCTATCAATCTCGATCTATCTCTTTCTTCTTCTTATCTATTTACATTTTGAACATTTTCAATTGAATATTGCATTATTGTATGTATAAAGAAGAAGATAGATGTGTATGTCTACTTATCTATCTATCTTCATAGTCGCCTATTTTTACAAATGAGTGTTTATTTTCTTCGGGGGTTTTGAAAATTTTTGGTTGAGAGAGTGGCCTCATAATCTATTTATTTGTAAAACATATTTCTCTCTATGGTCTTCTTTATTTTTAATTATTCTTTTACCAATCGATAGATCTTTTAATTATCTATCAAATGGTTGCCAAAAAAATTTGCGAGAGGTTCACCCTTTCCGTAAAGTCGCCTTTAGCCATGGGCTAAGATGAGGTCTAGAAAGCATTGTTTGGAAAAACAAATGATATAAACAGAAAGAGCACAAAAAGTTGTATCTATTGGTGGCATTGGATCGTCGTTTCAAAGATTATTCAAATAAAAAAAATGGTATTCTTCAAAGCATATCTCATAGTGACTCTCTAACCAGAGGTGTTGTGGACTGAATGGAATAAAGAGTTCGGTTGAGAAGGAAATGAAATGAATACCATTATAATCAAATGCATAATAATTATCATCATTACTTTCAACTGGCATTAAAAAGGTTCTTCTATAAGCTGCAAGGTCATAGAAAATATCTACAATAAATAATAATAAATTAATTATTATTATTTCATTTCAAATTAATTAATTAATTAATTTACTTACCATGATTTCCTGGACAAACCATGTACTATTGTGGGGCCAACATCAAAAACTACGTGCAACATGGATCGATACCTTTGGATTACGATGAATCAAATAAAAAGACAAGCACCAACACAAGAGGTGTAGGCGCCTTGGATCTTCAACATTATATGCACTAGTGTCGGCAGTGCCACATCCAGGAACGCTAGACAAGATGGTTAGTTTATTTGGAATGGATCAATAATCAAATAATTCAGAAGTGGTCAATCTCAAAACAATTGTGAATGCTCAAGAGTATTGGTAGCTTAATCTCATATCGATTCATGGTTATTTATTTGGTACATACTAGTATTATTGTAATTGGCTCTTTTAAAACCCATCAAGGCTAGTGGTCACATGACAATTTCGCATTCGTTCTATCAAAACCATCCATTCTAAAAGATAATAAATAAGTAATAATTAGTAAACAGTATTTATGACAGTAATTTTACAAGATACATATCTTTACAGTTTTTAAATGGACCAACTCGTCTCTAATCAATTGATTCGATATTTAAAGTATAATATATATGGCATGATTAGTTGAGGGTTTGATAATTGTATTGTGATGAATTTACTTAACTTTGTATTCTAATACAGGTGGGTAGAGTTGATGACCAAACAACCACCTTTGTTGCTATAATACAAGTTTTGAAAATAATTTATGTTGTGAATATATACATAACTTTAATAGATCGGCGGTTGATTAAGAAGAAGATCAATCGGTTCTAAAAATAGTAAGGATGACCTATGTTAAAAATATGTATTAGTAATTGAGTGGTGGTTGTAGTATATAAACTACTACTATGTTGAAGTCTACATGATACTTAAACTTTATCATTTATGGGTAGGTATGGATGTATTGTTTGATTAAATATTGAACTATAAAGCTGTAAGGGATAAATAAAAAGAGGAAAAGAAATATGAGTAGAATCAATAGAGCTACCATTACTCTTGTCTCAATCACAATGTTTCTCATTCTAAAAAAAAAACCAATAATATATAGATAATAAATAAAATATTAGTATCCAGACCCAAGCCTGGAGCTGCAAGCAAATGCCCATTGTTAACCAAATGACAAGTTGAACTCCGTTGGCTATCTCTTCATCCGCATCGTCATAAATCATTTCTATTATGAGTCAAGAGAACTATGACACCACTGGAAAACAACTTCTGTCTTTGCTCATCACTCTTTCTGACCACCACTGCACTATTATTAATCCACATCAAGCAGTATCTGATGGGGAGAGTGGTCTGAAAGAGTGATTTATATGGTATAAAACCTTTCTAACTATCTAGACACCCCTCACCCACTCATAGTTATTATAAAAAGGAATACTACTAAATTTATGAGTCAAGAGAGAGAAAACTATGACTTGAACATCAGAGTGACATCACCCACACTCTCACCAAAATTAAATTAATTTATTTTTGCAACAGTGAGACTAGTGACGCTTGTCCAACGATTTTTTTTCTTTTTTTTTAATTTTTTTAATGAACAAGAGATAGATAGTAATTATCATACACATACACAATTCAAGTCATTTATTTATTTATTTATATATTATCTTTTATTTTTTAATCTTTTTTAATGTCAAACAATTCTCATCTTTGGTAGGTGATCAAACATCTCAACCACCACCAGCTAAAACTGACAATTGCTAAAAGAATTAACAGCCCATAATTATGGGCTCCCAAACGTCCACGCCGTGTGCTGGAAAGAACAAGGCTCCAAACGCCAATCGACCATCAATCATCTTCAAAGAGGGTGAATCGTTACCAGACTCTCAATTATCATACACTTCATACGTAATGAAGTATTCAACAATTGTGAGTAACGAAACTCAAAAGAAAAAGAAGAAGAAAAAGAAATCAAACTCTTCATCATCATCATATTGGACGTTCAAATCTATGGACATTACAGATGACCAATCATCATCATCATCATCATCATCATCGTCATCATCATCGTCATCGTCATCGTCATCGTCATCGTCATCGTCATCGTCAACAACGTCCAACAATATGGACACTACAGATGACCAATCATCATCAACAACAACAACAACAACAACAATATCACCAGTACCAACAAACGACGAACTAATTCAGAGCATTAGAAAGTTGGCCAATTTTATTGGAAATCAAACAACAACTTTTCTCAATCTAATAGCCACCAACAACAAGTGCTTTGAGTCAAATGGAACACCTGTTCCATTGTGTTAAGATTTTTTTCAAAACACAATGCAAGCTTACTGAAAAAATAAGATCAAAATATCTTATCATCCATTCAATCGAAGTTCTGTCAAATCTAAAAGTGGTGAGATTTTCTTTTAGTTGATCTAAAGAAAAAAAAAAGAGTTAGTTTTTGATTGATTCTATATCTTTTCAGTAAGCTTGCATTGAGTTTGAAAAAACTTTGCTCTTGGAGGATCTATCCAATGATTCAATTTACTCATTGTAAGATTTTAATTTATTTTAATTACCATAGTAGTGGTGGTTAGTAGTGTCCAAATTGGTGACTAATTTAATTTAATTTAATTTATTTTAATTTATTTCTTTGTAGATGCTTTTTCATGAAATATATACTCTTATGGTTAAAAGAAACACCAAGTTTCTTTTAGAGAAAATCTCTTGTCATATGGGAAAGGCCATCAAAAGTTTTGAATCCTGTTTGCCATCTCTCAAGTGTATGTATACATTTTATAATATTTGTTTTATTTTAATTATTAAATAATTATTAATTCATTATTTTTTTATTTATATATTTATATATAGTCAATGTCCTTAACCCTCAAACATTCCAATCTAGGCTGAAAAGTATTGTGATTATTTCGATATCTATTTCGAAGCCATCAATGATCCAATCGTACTATCTTGGAAGAGGAACTTTGCTTTCAAAAAGCAAAAGTTGAACAAAGAGTTTTACCAACAATTTGACAACTACATTCTTGATCTCTTTAAAGATCATTTCCCAACCAAGTATGCAAGTATGAACGATTCTGAAAGGAATCAGTACATTCAAGACAATACAATCATATGTATGTATTTATAAATCATTTTCTTTTTTCTTTCTTTCTTTTTCTCGTTTTATAACATGTTATTAATTAATTACGTTCTATTATTCTTTATACTTTTTAGCAACATTTTGAGTGTTTCTTTGACCAAGAGAGGGAAAACCTTGACCATTACGACCTCGGTGAATCTCACGAGGATCCTGCTGTTGATCATTTTCAATTGGAAAAGGCCCATCTCAAGCTTCGAAAAGAAAAGTGCTGCTTACCTATCAGCGAAGCGTGTCGACAAGCCAATGGTGATAGTTTCCTTCGATGCAGTGACCACCGGCATCGTTTGGCACTCATAAAGCAAGAAACTCATTCAAAAGAATACGAAAAGTCGTTGGAGTTCCTCCAATCCATCGATGCTTTCGACAACAAACTCCAATCGCACAATCTTTTGAATGAGGTGGTGGTAGGTCAATGTCGAACAAGGAAGGTGACACCGTCAGATGTTGCCGGTTCGGAGACTGAATCGCGTCAGGACTCTCAAAAAGTTGCCTCGACCCAATCGTCTTCGTCATCAACAAAAAAGTTCGACTATCGACACGGACAGAATAAATATGGTCCAGAGATTAGAAAAGCAAGTAAGTCCCTACACAACAAGTTGATGCCTCGGTTTTTACCCTGGCAATTAATTTGTTTTTCCATATCTTAACGGACGGTGACCATTTTTCCAAACTTTAAAAATACCAAGTAGCAGCATATTACGTAATTAACATCCCGGTTGAAACTTTTTCCACAACCAGTGCACAAAACACGTTTCCAGGGCACAGCCATTCTGTGCTTGTTGTGTAGGGACTTACTTGCTTTTCTAATCTCTGGACCATATTTATTCTGTCAATTTTTTTCTCCTCATTTTGAAATAAAGGCCCAAATATATTAAAAAAAAAAAAAGAAGACAAAAAGAAGAAAATTAAAATTTAAAAATCATTCTTTTTTTTATTAATTTATTTATTGAATTACATGTTGCAGAGATAAGTGTAGTACTAACTAGTTTGTTAGTTTGTTAGTTTGTTAGTTTGTTAGCTATTAGGGTCGAATACCTTCAACAAATGAATTGGTGATATCATCGAAATAGACAGATTTCTCGGGGTCGGAGGAATAGGTAAGTGTGAGAGCTTCGCCACTGACGTTTGAAATGATGGAGCCGTTGTTTTGGACAGATGATACATAGACCGATAGAGTTACGATGGGTGTATAGTCTACCGATTGGTTACGTAATACAGTGGTCGCGTTCAACTCACTGTCGACTAGTTTACCGTTGACCGTTGCAGTTTGCGTCAATCCAAAGGTAAGTGCCTCTTCGTAATGGTTGACAATCGAGTACCCCTTGGCCGCCACCTCATTGGCTTGGTCAAAGAATCCAGAGTCGTTGAATGGGTATTGGTGTCCCTTTGATACCGATGGAATGGTCGATAGACGTGAAATGGTGGCACCACCTTGGATTTGAGAACCACTAGCATAGAGACCATAAGTCCCCTCATTCCACTCGACACTGTTGTTCAGGAATGGTTTGAATGATATCCATACAACATTAGACACCTTGTTATTAACTGATTTAACAATGCATACTTTTTCATCTGCCGATTTCAAAGCTGCTAATCCAGCTTGACTAAAAGAAAATTTTAAAGAATACTTTGACATTTTTAATAATAGTATATTATATTTATATATTTGTTGATATTTATAATTATCACTACTCTACAATATTAATAGAGTATTTATAAAAAATACCCCCTTTCATTTTCCTCTCCTCTTTGGAATCTATTTTCCATCCAACAACAACCCCAACCCAATCCAACAATCAATCACTCAACTCACACAAAGGCATACCATCATATGATCGAAACCCATTGAAAGGGATTTATGTTTATCGTTAGGCTCTCCTTTGATTTAGTTGATGGGTGCAAACCAACCAAAACAAAAAATCAAACCCGACACCCAATCGCAGCTTTGCGGAATTGTCGGTTTTAGACCTTTTGACCAATTCTGATGATTATGTAATTTCATTGTCATTCCTCATTACTCTTTAAAGACATGACAAGCCGACCAACCAACGATCAATTTAACTATTTCTACTCACACACACAATAATAATTGTAGTCATGCATGGTAAAGTCGGAATTTATGGACGGGGGTATACACCAATCTTAGATCAAAAGGAAGAACCCCTTCCCTTGTCTTGTTACCCATTCCAGACCAGGGACAAAAGCAGATTTTGAATTAAATTTTATTTTCTTTTGAACAATTCATTCATTCACTACTACGCTTGTTTAAAAAGAAGAGGAAGGTTCTTTTTACCTTATTTGTAGATTTGTTTTAATATATATTGATTACACATACACATATACACATACACATACACATACATATTATTTATTTATTTATTTATACATGTTCAATTTAAAGTTTGTTTCAGACATTTACAACAACAACAACAACAACAACAACAACAACAACAACAACAACAACAATAGTATAACAAACAACAAATAGTAGTAGAAAAAGAGGAGAATTAAAATTATAATAAACTAACAACAAATAGACAGACAGACATACACACATCACACAACACACCACACATTAATACTACAAAATATATTTACAATATCTATTTTTTTATATTAATTTCTTTTTTGTAACATCAAAAACGACACATCAATTCAACTACTCTATACACTCCTACGCTACTACTACTAGCTACAATACTTGTTAATATCGGGATTTCTCTTTTATTCTTAAAGAGAAATCAAATAGTATAGACAAAAATAGAGGACTATTACAATTTATCGACTACTTTGGAATCAAATTCACAACTACTCTCAAGACTTGATTCCAGAATGGTTGGCATACTCGTAAGTAGTAAACCTAAAGTTGATTGGATTCTATATATTTATTATTGTCATTAACACATTGCACTTGATCTCTTTATATCTTTAAGGATGAAGCAGACATTTATAAATGTAGAAAGGTGATACCGAGTGATCAAAGTTTTGTAACAGGCTTTTCATTGTTACTCTTATCGAATAGTAATACAATTAGTCATGCAAACTCTAAAATAAGAACTTATAGTTCAAGACCAATTGCATTATTATTGAGTAATCAACAAATATTTTTAGTTTCAAGAGTTCAATCGGATTCTTCCACCACCTCTTCAACAAAAGATAACAACAAAAAACAAACTTCTTCTTCTTCTTCTTCTTCTTCTTCTAAACAACAGGAAGATGAAATTGAATTAATTGGTAGTTGTAATTTGAGTGAAATAAGTAAAATTCAAACTGGATATCTTCATTCATCGGGATCACACAAGAAAAAGAAACAAATACCAACTCTGACCAACCCACTTTCATCATCACCAACCTCTGCATCACTTTCTTCAACGGATTTTACAACATCACAAGACGATATACTTTTAAGCGACAATCGAACTTCACCCGGTCAATACTCTCTCAAGATTAGCCGACACAGCCAACCATCATGGACCATGATGACTTTTTCACCGTCGGACACGCCACAGATCCAAAAGGAAAGAGTATCGACCATTGCAAGTTCAATCAAATCATTGGTTCGTGAATCCATCATTCAATCTCAACTTCAAAGTCAACTTTCTTCAGAAGAAAAGTTGTTTATTCCTTTAGTTTATTATCAACCAAATGATAAATATTTTGTATGTTGTAACAGAAAGTAGAAAAAAAAAAAGAAAAGAAAGGATTATTTATTTATTAATTTTTAATTTCTTTCTAGGTTGAAGGAGAATTACATTTAAATCTTCAAAAAATATCATTTATTCAAAAATATGTTAGAGATGGTAATTTAAAACATTTATCAAAGGTACATGATAATTTTAGTTTTTCTGTAGATACCATTTCAATTTATGAATGTAAACAAATACCAAACTCTAAAGCTTTTAAAAAATTTAGTCAAGTTAATATATTATCTCAAGGTAAAGAGCCTTCAGAATTAATATCTTTTTATTTTCCAATGGATGAGTAAGTAAAAGAACAATGAAAAAATAGAGATTTAATTAATATTAATTTGTTTTTTCTTTTCTTTTTTTTTTTATTTAGAGTACCACAAATAACAAATAGTATAATTAGATTAATAACAGAAAGTCAAGATATTGCAGATCAAGTTTATAAAGAATCATCAAACAAAAATAATGATTCAACATCAACGACAACAACTACAACGACACCAAATAGAGGAACGGGACAAAAATCATTGACCGATAGTGATTTCTATTTGGTTGATGAAGAGGATGAATTTGGTAGTGGTGATAGTAGTAATGGTAGTACAGGGAATCTTGAAAGAATAGTAGAAGATGACTATGGACTTACAAGTCAGGCATTGACAACTACATTGGAAAATAATACACCAACACACAAACCAACCAAAAACAATTTCAAAACCTCTTCCGATATTTTATCTTCAGACGATATTCTATGGTTACAAAGCTTTTTACCGCTTCGACACAATGATGATGTGTTTGAAATGATCTACTCGACCAACAAACACGGTATAAGCATCAAAACATTTTTTTCACGACTTTATAATCGTTCACCATGCATCATGGCCATCAAAGACGACCGTGGCCAAGTATTTGGAGCCTATACAGCCGATCCTTGGAACACTGAAAAGAAGATTCACTATGGAAGTGGAGAAACTTTCCTATTCAAAATCAACGACCACGCAAATAGAAACAAGTTTTCATGGACTCGAAAGAATGATGATTTTATGTTGTCAACCAAAGAGGCATTTGTATCAATGGGTAGTGGTGGTAAAGGTGTTGGATTGTGGATTGATGAAGACCTATTCTATGGAAGTAGTAATCGTTGTGCTACATTTGACAATGAACCTTTGGCATCGACCACCGACTTTAAAATTATGGAACTCGAGGTTTGGTCTCCTCTCAAATCAAAAAATGCCACCTCTGCTCCCAAAATGCAAAATGCTACTGATCTCTTTGGTACTAGATTTACTTATAAACCCCCTCCAAAAACTATTGGTTCTTATTATTAAATAAATTAAAAGAATCACATAAAAAAAAAAAAATAGAATCAAATCATAATCCATGTATTGATTCAATCAAAATCATTCCCACAAATGTAGGAAAACCACCCTCCTCTCCCTCCCTTGTGAATCTATCATAGACTCAAATATTTAAATCTTATTTGTTGTGTATCTGTATACAAAAGTAGTACTGACTGGTTTTTTACTTTATTTATCTTTCTATAATTTAATTCATAGATAATAGTATCATGGGTAAGGTATCGGATGATAAATCAATTAGCAATTCATTGTTGAATCTAACTCTTTAATCCATTGTATTCTTTTACTCTTATTTATATCTAGTGGATAAAAAATATAAACTGGTTGATTTAATTACTCCCAAGACTATGAATAATTGTCCAAACACTCCACAAGATGAAAAAAAGAAATACCACATCAGGTATGTCTATGAATTAAAAAAGTATTCTTTTGGAAAAAATATTTAAAAACAAAGCTGATCTAATTTTCTTTTATAGTAAAATTGTTTTTATATCTTTAACAGCAATTGGAATGATCCTTTTTGTTCTGGTAATGGGATTTATGATGTTGAGCTACCTTAAAATGAATGAAAATCTTCAACAATTGTTAGACACAAACAAAATGTTGACCAAACAAATGAATGATAATATTCAAAGACAAGTGGCGAATCATATGTTGGAACAAAAGAAAGGATGGCAACTGGTGGGTGCTACATATGACATTGAAGCAATCATGAAGCTATATCCACCCACTTTGTATGAATATGGTTATACTTACAACTCCAAAACTATCCATCAGTTGATCGTATCAACATGGAATGACGGAATAAGAGTCTATAATGGGTGATGTGACAACAGAGTTTCACATGGGAAAAGCAGTGTGGTTAAAAGGACTAAAAGACCAACCCCAAAAAGATAAATTTATCCATTTCTACTATGCCCTGGACCAAGATGGTAAATACAGATCAATAGCATCAAATGGTGAAAGCTATGGGGAGTTGTATGTTAGGGAAATTCGTTAAACCCGAAAAATAAATCAATAAATAAATAAAATAATTTTGATCATCAGCTCCAAACCAATCAAATAATTTCCAACATAAGTACATTCCATTTTACTTTTTAATTTTTACTTTTTTATTATTTATTTTTAAAGAGCATTAAAAGAGAATAAATGGGCTTGTTCTTGTTTTGCCTTTTCATCTTGATTCTTTTCACGTTTGTAAAGTAGGAAAGAAGTAACAGACAAGATGATAAGAGTGACCAAGAAAGCCAAGAGCACCCAGAAAAAGATACCACTCGGGTTTATAAAGAGTTCGAGTGTCCATGTGGTTGGATCCGACGGACGATAGGGGATGGCAACAACTTGGCTGTTGGGGATTGTGCCAACCCAGTTGTTGTAGTGAGTGCTTTGGTTGAGTGTGACACCGTAAAAGATTTGATCGATATAGTTGCTGGTCCTACCTAGACCAAACATGTTGTAGGGTGTCAAAAGTGAACTATGTGAAGATTGATACATTTGTGCGCCGATTTGCATATGTGTCTTGCCAGAAATGTCGCTATAGATAAATTTAAAGGTGCCACCTGGGAAGTTGACGCCATAGGGCTTGGGCGATGGGAACTTGTCTCCCGTTGGACACATGGTTGTGCACACGCCGTTCAATCCCAATGTCTTGAAAAAGAAGGCGTCGTTGTAGAAATTGTTAAACACTGCTCTAATGCCCTTGACTCGTGTCACAGGGTCAAAGGTCATGACCAAGAAATCGGCAATTCCATCCTCTCCCAAATCGACAAACACTCCCATGACGGCGTTATTGATTTGTACCAATGCATCAGTGCCGTCGTTGACGGCCGAAAATCCACGACCTCCCACTCCAGTACCACAAATTTGGTCGGTACATCCTACATTCTCCCACAACTCCAAATGTGATGTTCCACTGCTATTGGTAAATGCTATCAATATATCTGGGTATCCATCAATATTATAATCTCCAACATGTATAATCAATGGTATACTTTGTTCAATATTTGAATATAATATATTTCCATTAAATAATTCATTTGGTATTATTAATGTTTTCTAGAAAAAAAATAAAAAGATTAATATATATTATAGTGTTATTTATCTATCCTATCTATCTACTATTTTGTACATACACCATCAGGAATTTTAGAATTTGAAAAATAAAATGAATTATCAGCTTGACATAGTTGATTTTGTGGACGACAATTTGAATTTGAAAATAATGAACTAGGACAAACTGTTTTTTGATAATTATAAACTAAATAAATTGTATTGACTATAGTACAATTTTCCATTGGCCAACAAACTGGGAATAATATATCTAAATCTCCATCTCCATCTAATAGAAAAAATAAAAAAATTAATACTAAAAAAAATACTTTTGTTTCTTTTTTTTTTCATACCAAAATCAGTAAAAGTAACTTGACCTGCACCTTGAGGTAAAGGTAAAATTTGAAACAAGGTGAAACCATTTTCTTTTTCATTGATCCAAATTTCACCTTGAAGATTGTCATCTTCCGATGATCCAGTGACAACAAAAAGATCGGCCAAACAATCACCGTTGATATCGGCAAAACTGTGAGAATGGTAGAGTGAAAGTGGTAAAAGTGAAGGTGCAATGGTAGAGTTGACTGGCATTGCACGAGGAGTGAGTGCGTCGTCTATGTTGAGCCATAGTGTTCTGTCAAACCCCTCAGAGGCACCAAATAGATCGACATGAAGATCATTGTTAAAGTCCAAAGCAAGTACTTGTGTAAGTGAAGGTGGTAGAACGGTGGGATCGGGGTCGATCGAATCGTAATGACCAATATATAGAGATAGGAATGGTGTGCCAATGTCGACAGAGTTTGATTGTCCTTGAATGATAATATCTAAAGTACCTTCATAACTAAAATCACTAGCAATTACATTCGTTATGGTTTCATTTTCTGTTAGAGATATTACCAAATCATCTGATGCATCATATCTCCATCCTTCTATATTCCATAAAAAGATTTGTAATGTTGTTTGATTTTCATACAAGAAAAATATATCTAAACTATTAAAAAATAAAGTAAAAATAAAAAAAAAGAAGAAGAAGAAATAGAGTTAGAGAGAAAAAGAGATAGATTAGATGACACGTGTCATTTTATATTTATATAAATATATCTCTGTACATACTACTTGTCAGCATTAAAATCACCAAAAGCTACAATGGTACCATTATAGTTATTAAATCCTATATCATTGAGAGAGTATAGTTGAGAGGATGAGAACTTTGGTGCATTTGTAAAGACTGGTTTAAAAAAGTCTGTTGAAAAGTCTCCGTTTACTACTAATACATGTTGACTTGCTATTGTTATAATGACTATAATAAAGGTTAAATAATATATATACAAGTGTGAAGATAATGATGATGGTAATATCTTCTTCATTTCATTCACACACATAAAACAAAGAATATAATATTCTCTGTGTAACTAATTGAAAGAAGAAGCAAAGAGTAAAAATAAACAAGAGTGAGGTACTCAGATACTTTTAGTACAAAACCTTTTCTCCAATTTTTGAGTTTTTTTATTTTTTCTTTTTTTTTCGTTTCTTCATTCGTCCAAAGATCACAATGAATGAAAAAGCACTATCTGCAGATCATAGTTTCTATATAGTTTTCAATCAAAAGAAGAAGAAAGAGTAGAGAGAAATGAGAGAGAAATTAAATATATTATTCAACCTTAAAGCTATCACCTTTAAGTTTTTCCCAGGTGGTGTTTTAAACAAATCAATTAGGTAAAAGGAATAGAAGAGAGAAGAGATAAAATTGAAGAAAGATAGACAAAAAAGACCTAATCTATTGATTATATTGCATCTAGATCATTTATGCCATTGACAGCAAATAGTAGAGTTAAAAAATTATCACCAGATTGTAAAATTGAATATGTATTGACAGAACAAGAATGTGAACCTGAAATCAAAGTTAAATATTGTAAGATAGAGAAAGAGACAGATTAGATAGATAGAATTGAATACATTAACTTAGACTCTTCTTGTTTTTAGTTAATGGATTTGAACAATCAATCTTTACACAGACAATGGATCTAAGTGGAATTATCGATACCATCCAAATGAAAAAGAATACATTGAAAATTGAAGATATTAAAAAGTTACCTGAAAATGAAACAACTTTGGAAGAAATCTTAACTCCAGTTACAAAGGTAACAACAAACTCTGAAACAAACATACCAATCAGTATTGAAACTAAACTAATACTATTTATTATCATTTTAGAAAAAAGATTCTGGTGCTAAGCAAAACTTGCGTAAATAATGGTTGGATTGGTATAATCGATTATTATTTCTCAATCCTCTTTTCTCCTCGATATATATAATTTATTCTTTCTCTTTCAACCTATAACAAAACAACATAATACCTCAATGTAGATTCAACTTTAATTTGGAAATGATGATTGAATCATCATTCCTCTTTTCTTTTTTTTTTAGAAAATAAAACCATAACCTCGATCTTTTTCCAATATATATTGGAAATAATGTAAAATGGAATACATTTAAATGTATGTTTGCAATGGAATTGGATTTATTATTATCTGACAATTATACTATAATTGGAAATGATCATTTGTTTCTTTGGGAGGGAGGTATTTCTAAGATATCTTCTTTTGAAAATTATAATTTTTTGGTAATTATGTATGTATGTTGGTCATACATAATTGTATACAACTAATGAATGGATTTCGATCTATCTAATTGTTGGGTGGTTTGATTTCTACATTAACATCATTATTGTTATTGTTATTATTATTATTATTATTATTATTTGGACTTTGTTTACTTGGGTTGTTTTGTTGTTGTTGGGTGGTACTGGTTGATGTTGATGTCAAACTTGGTGATTCACCTTGTGGAGTCTTTTTCTTGATATTGCTTGTTGTTGATTCTTGAGTTTGGGTTCTATTATTATTATTAGTATTATTAATAACATTATTATTATTATTGTTATTATTAATATTACTATTATTATTATTATTATTATGTTGTTGTTGTTGTTGTTGATGATGATGATGATGATGACCCGGTTGTTGCTGTTGTTGTTGTTGTTGATGATGTGAATACCTAGGATTTTGATTATAATATCTAGAATTATATTGATAGTATGTTTGGTTTTGGTTTTGTGGTTGGCCATGATTATTCTTTTGTGAATATTGTTGTTGCTGTTGTGATTGTTGTTGAGACTGTTGTTGTGATTGCTGGGATTGTTGTGACGATTGCGATTGCTGTTGTTGGGGTTGCAATTGATGTTGTTGTTGTTGGGGAGGGGAGTGGGCCATTTGATAATAGTATCCTCCATTGGGAGGGGGTGGAACAGGGGATGGGTAGATATTGTAGGGAGGGTACATTACATAGTTGTTGGGGTAGTAGGATCCGGCCGGAAGAATACGAGCTGATGGGGGATGTGATGGATGTTGGCCATAGTAATAGTATTCCTGGCCGTCCGGAGTCATGTACCCATACGATCCATAGGGAGGGTATTGTTGGTACATTTGATGTTGTTGAGGTGGTGGCACTGACGATGTTATTGGTGTCTGTGTAGACTGATCACTATTATGATTATTATTATTATGATGATTGCTATTATTGGTAGAGCTTGATGAAGAGGTTGAATTATTCATTGATGATGATTCCGAAGAATGGTGAAGAGCAGGTGGGGGAGAGTATGTACTAGATGGAGAGGTTGAATTTGAGATGGATGGGCTACTAGCCGAGAGTTGTGGGGATGGATGGGTTTGAATAGGCATTGGTTGATTCAGCAATGCCATTGGATGAATCGACAAGGCATGACCAAATTCTTGTTTTGGTGATCTCGATTTATTCTCTGCCAATCTAACATCCACCCTTTTACCAGCTATGATATGTTGTTTTTGATCACTCAATACCACAGGGATGAGTGTTTCATCCCTAAATGTAATAAATCCATATCCTTTTCCAACTCCATTTTTTTCATACAACATTTTACAATCTGTTACTTCTCCAAATTGTAAAAAATATTCTTTTAACGTTACTAAAAAAAAAATAAAAAAAAAAGCAAATTAATAAAATATAATAAAACAATTATTAATAATTGTTGATTTAATATTTACATAGAGGAAGATTTTTTGGTAATCCACCAACAAATAATTTTTGTTTTGGAGGTTCTTCAATGATATCTTCTTTTGGAATTGCTCTTTTAATTTCCACTCTTTTATCATCAATGATATGTTCCTTTTCTAGAATCTCTTCAATAATATCAGGTTCTCGAAAGGTGACAAATCCAAATCCTCTACTTTTAATATTCTTTTCATTGCTTTTAATTACCAATGATTCATTAATTTCACCAAAACTTTGAAAATATTTTCTTAACATTTCTATAATATAAAAAAATTAATAAGAATTATTACTATTATTATTATTATAAAGATTCTAATATATGTATATTACCACTAGTAGTTAATTTTGATAATCCACCAATAAAAATCTTTCCAGAACCTCTTGGACCAACATGACCATTTTGAATTTCATTTACAATGTCTTGACAGTCTCCACCACATATATTGATATTGGTATTACTACAAGTTGGATGATTGTGGAAATTTGGCGAATTTGGTTCTGGATCCAAAATAGGAGGAGATGTTGTCGATGTAGGATCTGGGCTGGTCACTACACTGTTTGGTTGTGGTGGTGGTGGTGGTTGTTGTTGTTGTTGTTGTTGTTGATGATGAGGTTTATGTTGTTTATGTTGTGGTTGAGATTGTTGTTGTTGATTATTATTGTTAATGCATTGTTGTTGTTGTGATTGTTGTTGTTGATTTTGGTTTTGTGATTGTTGTTGTGAATGTGAATGTTGTTGTGATTGTTGATAAGAGTATGAAGGAGGGTGTTGTCTTTGGACAGGACTTTCATTGGAAGTTTGGGTACCACTAGAGGATGATGATGATTTTGTTGAAGTTTGGTTCATTTTAAAAAAGCAGTCTATTATATATTGTATTGTGATTCATTTGATGTGACAAGGGGTATATTGTCTTCTATTTTAAATGTCAATCTGATTGAAAGTGTCGAGACTCGGTCCGATAACCAACCTCGAGCTTTTAAAAGTTAAACCTAAATTTAAAATCATTGTTAGCAAAAAAGAAAGAATTAAACAATCTAATTCCATTTTGATATGATTCGATTTGATTCTATTCGATTGATTGATGTTCCAATAGTTGTCGAATATGTCATTTTCATTTTTTAAAGTTATACAATAAGGAGAATAATGTTATTGTAAAATGAAAAAAAAAAAAGAAAATTGTTTCTTTTTGACCATTTGCCCAAAAAAAGAAAGAAAAAGAAAATAAATTAAAAAATATTATAATAAATTGGATACCTCCTTTGAATATATATATTGGATAGTTTTAATGATGATGACGGTGATGATGATTTCTTACTTTAAAAAAAATGTGTCTTGAATCTAAAATGATGATTATGTTAAAATTGATCAAACTCAATTTAAAAAAATAGAGATAGTGAGAGAGAGATAGATAAAAAAAAGATAACTTTAGAGGAAAAGAGGATATCAATTCTAACTATAAAAAAAAAAGGGTAAGGAAAGTAATGAATAAACTAAAGAACTCATCAGCAAGGTTCATTCCTTTATATGGCAATTTTAAATCTAATGTGCCATCATCATTTATAGTTAAACTAGATGAAAAATATAAAATAGTCGACAATAGCTGATCAGTCCAAGTCGTCATACTGGTTATCGTTTTCCTTACTTTTTTTTTTTTTTATCCATCTTTGCCTACCTTGTCATTTCGTTTAATAATAAAAAAAAATAAAAATATTATTATTATTACAGTAAAAAATACTCTATTGGTCATCTACCTTTAATAAATCTATATTCATCTAATTTTATCTATCTTTTCTATCTTCTATCCTACTATAATAATATTTGTACAGTAATAATAATAACAAATAACTAAAGGGTAATAATATAATATAGTTTTTCATTTATTTTGTTGTTAGTTAAAATCCATTGTTATACATATGTCCTCTTTGTTGTTGTTGTAGTTGTTGTTGTTGTTGTTGTTGATGCGTATTCATTAGATATTGTGAATTTGGATTAATATTAATTGGGTCAATTGGTGGAGGAAGGTTATTATACTGCTGATGTTGTTGTTGGTACATATTAAATTGTTGTTGATGAGGAGGAGGTTGATAAATAATTGGATTTGGAGTGGGAGTTAGTAATACCATTGGTGGTTGTTGAATGGAAATGATTGGAGGAGGAGGTGGTTGTTGCATTTGTTGAGGAGGGTATTGATGATGATAGGATGGCATCGATTGCAAAGCATTTGATTGGATAGGAATCATTGGCGAATTGTCGATAAAAGGGTTCACAGGTGTCAATCCTGCTGCTGTAGATGGCGAACCATACGAAGACGAAGTGGTGGTTGTCGTAACCGTTGTAGTTGATTGAACAAGAGTTGGAGGTGGATATGATAAATTTGCATTGATCACATTATCATATGGGTTATGAGGTTTGTTATTATTATTATTAATAACAGGACCAGATGGAGTTGATGGTAAATTATTATTAAAGTGTGAAAACAAGTCAGCACTTGTGAAATCATCGACTAGTTGAGGTGCTTGGTGTTGGTGTTGCATCATTTGAGGCTTATTAAATTGATGTGAAGAAGGTGAAGAAGAGTAGGGTGATGGTGTATGACTACCTGATACATTTCCTCCTCCACCAAAATAAGATGGTGATGAAGCTCTTGAATGATTAGAGTTTGGAGTTGTCGAAGAATGATTACTTCCAAAATCAACATCTATCAAATTCTTTGATGGAGATAAACTATTAACTCTTTGTTGTTGATTATTAGTATTTGTATTTGGTGCAACAATTTGATCGATTGGAACAAGTGGTAATGGTCGACTACCTCTTCGTTGTGGTACTTGAGGTGGAATCATTGATTGTGGTTGTGATGAATGACTTGAAACAACAATTGGATTACCTACTCCTACTCCATTATTATTATTTCCATTGTAAGTATCAATTGAATGCATTGAATGAGATTGAACTAATGGTTGTTTGTTTTGTTGTTGTTGTTGATTGATAGCAAGAGCACTTAGGCTTTTAGTTAAATTTGCACCATCTACAACATTGATTTTGTCTTGTTGTTCGTAGAGTTGATGACGAAGTTGACGTTCCTTTTCCTTGTCGACTTTGAGTACTTGAAGTTGGAGGTAGGTGCTGACGGGTCTGTGGTCACTCTCGAGTATTTCGGCGTGGTTGTAGTAGAGTTGGCGGAGGTCGTGGTCCTTTTGGTTGCGCCAGAGAATACGGTCGGTCCAGGCAGGTGCACGTTGTTTGGGTGAGGTGTCATAGTTTTTAGACTTGAAATCGTACTTGTAGGTTGGTGCAAAGAGGATGTTGTCCTCTTTATATCCTTTAAAGACGTTGCCGAGCTCCATGTTCTTTTTGAGCTGATCGTTGTTGTATAGGAGGGCATAGTTGTTGTTGATGACACTACGACGAATATCATCGTCGGCAAGATCGATTCTAAAGTTGAAATCACCAAACCAAAACGAGTAGTCGGACGACTCGATACGGTACTGGCTCTGACGTCCAAACCGCGCCTGTTCGTTGATATCTTTGTAGTCGCTGATACGGTCTTCGACATTCCCATGTCCAGCTGCAAAATGCGCAGTGACAAAGGTAAAGGAGGTGTCGTTGAGCAAGAGTCGGACACCGATGCCACCCTTGTTACCGGCGAGACCTTGGAGCCCGACCTTGATGATCTGCGACTGCACCTCTCTAAAAGACTGGACTATATCCTCGCGCACATAGATACACATCATCAAGCCGACCAATTGGTTGCTCTGCAGTTGTACGTATCGCACTTTTGGATTGACACGTTCCAACGAGCTTTGAATCGTCTCTTCCCACTGCTTGATTTGTGATCCCGTGGCGATAATCTGCTGAGCTGTCAACTCTACCACCTCTTGAATACCGAGTACGTAGAGATCGGGCGACGGATAGTTGCCGATGCTGAGCCAAGAGTCGAGGTTGAATTCGCGGCTTGGTACACCGCCCACGTTGTACGTGCCAATAAACACATTCTTGTATTCCTTTTGCGAGTACTCTTGTTTGCGGTCTGCAACCTGCTTACGAATACGGTCGTCTGCGCCACCCTCGCTAATTGATTTGGTCGCGTGGATGCCGAGCAGTTGATCGAGTACATCCTGTCGTCCATTGTCTTTAAAGTTGTTGACGTAGATTCGCGTCATTGCCTTTTTGCCGTCGGCCAGCATACCCTTGATACCATACTCACCCTCACGCGTCAACGTGGATTTGAGCGAGCCCGAGCCGGCGTACTGAATCGAAAGTGCGTCGCCGTTATCGGCCCACACAATCTTGAGTGCCTGCGCAATGTGTCCAAACGAGTCGAGCGAGTCGTGGGGACGCAGCAGCTGCAGGTGCTTGAGGTGAATCTCCATTAATTTCCATCCGACACGCGCTTGCACAATGTTGGTGCGGTCCAAGCAGTCTTTGCAGTTGGTGCGGACCGTGCCGACCTGCTCGCTGTGCACCTTCTTGTCGGCATGCGACATGAAAAAGTAGCCAACTGGAGGGTGTGCCTGCGAGGGGTTCTTGTGGTCGATACGCTCGATCAAGTGATCCAGCGTGTCCATGCGGTTGCCATTCTTGAGTTGCTCGTGCAGATCAAAGCTGTAGTAGTTGACAGTGGGGCTCTTGAGGATGGCCAGCTGCTCCTCGTAGGCGCGCACCAAGTCCGACTCACCCACCTTTAGTTTGGAGAGCAGGTTGATGATGGCAACATTACCATACTTGTTGAGCTGCTCCTTAAAGTGGTTCTGGAAGGCCGGTGTCGTCGCCTGCGCCGTTCGCAAAATCGATATCTTTTTCTTGCTCATCTTTCCAATCTTGCTCAAGTTGGAAATCGATATCTTGTAGTCTGTAAACTGCGGTGTGCTCTGGTTCCAAAACACCGGCACCGATCCACGTGTCTGCACAAATGCCAACACACCCATATCCATGACCGACACGATCTGCTCCGTCTCGACAAAGTTGGCCACATTACCATCATCGTCGACACCACGTGTGTTGAATCGCGTGCCCGCACGGAACCGACTACGTCTACTAATCAACGTGTATGTAACATTGCGACCCTGGATATCGCCCAAATTGGTGTGACTGACGAACCCCTGGATGATGGGGAAACACCAATCATACAAGCGGTACGCAATAAAGTCCTTTTGCAAATGCTTGTTCCAGTAGAACCGCTTGTCCACTCTATCCCAAGACGGCTGGTGTGCTTTGGGGTCGAGCACCTGACTCTGGTAGCTTCGTGTCAAATCATAGCTCGACCCATTTGCCAACCAATAGAAATGTCCGCTATTCAACAATGCCATCACCTGCGAGAATGGTTTCTCCTCGGCTCCCTCCACAGCCTGTGCATTCATCGTGCCGGCGCCCCGACCCGTTGTAAACGATATAAAGTCTGTTTGAGTCACCTTTCTAATCACATTTTGGTCATTCCCTGCAGGTCCATAGTTTATAGATCCAACAACATCACTTTGTGTTACAATTACCAAATATGATTCTAAATAGAGAATAGAGAATAGAGTAAGTAAGTGATGAGAATACCCCAAATGTTTGTTTATATATATTTTATTTACCTCTTTCTATTCTAAATATACCTAAACATCCATAGATCATTCTTCCACGATCTGTAAATGTTAATTCATTCTTTGGTACTATTTGCATTGAAGAGGAATCAGCACGACTGATTGTTAATGCCTTGTCGCTGATATTATCCTTTCGCATTATAAAATGGTTGTCTGTTACAAACAATCTATACATTCTTTACTTCTTCTTCTTCTTAATGTATGTATAATACATTCAAAAAACGACGACGATATGATGATATTAATAAATAAATAAATAAATAAAAGTGTAGTATTACAACGTTGCAAGTAATAGATATAATGATATCAATCTAAAATATCTCTTTCTCTGTCTCTCTAATATAAAATATAAAAGAACTAAGAAAGTAAATTAATTAAAACTACTTTTCTCTCTCTTCTCTCCCCTTTTGTTTAAGAATGAATAATAATTGAAACTATTAATCACTAATATTTCTATCGTTGATAGTGAATCGAACTTATATTGAACAGATAGTGTTTTTGGTGTGTGTGTGTTGAGTGAGATATAGTGTTGTGGTAGTAGCAGTAGTAGTGTTGGGTATGGTATTATAACAACACTGTCTTTAGTACTTTAACAATAACAAAATAGAGATAGATAATAATTAAAAGAGGAGAAAAATGTAATGTGATAGTTATAAGTGGTCGTCGTTAGTGAAGACAAGAAGACTATTGTTTGTTCATTGAAAAATTCAAAAATTACAAAGTTGGTTACAAAACTACCATTTCCGTCGATCACTATTAAAATCAATCGTTAAGTTTGGTTACAATAATAATATTTGACGACAAGATCTTGGATGATATTGATATATATCATATATGATAATACTAATGTATATCGATTATGTATTTTGTTTTTGTTTTGAAGTTCACTCCCTGGGTCTGTGATTTTTAATCTTTTACTTTTGTTTTGAGTTGACAATAGAGATAAATTGTTTGTTTATATATATATATCTCTCTCTCTATATATATATATAATGCCAACAATAATATTATTAGATGTATCACTGTCGATGGCATCATCGATATCACATTTAAATGAAGACCAACAAGAATGTACTATCAAAGATATGATGATCATGGGTATTATATCATTCTTGCAATCGTTGGAGAATAATCTTAGTACGTTTATGATGGATTTGGTGGCACTCATAACATACTCGAATACACTGGTATCGGTGGTTCCATTCACCAAGGATCTAGAAAAGATCAAGAAACAGTTGGTCGATATCAAACTACAAAACAAGACGAATCTGGTCGATGCTTTGGTTGCTGCCGTTCAATTGGTACAGTCATCAAAGCTAGCCTATGGACATGCCGTTGAAATACTCGTCTTTACAGACAACTCTTCATCACTCAAAGACAACCAATACATCCTCAAACAATTGTACATACCCTTTATTCATTACATTCATTTTATATCAATCGATCATATTTCTCCAGATTTACAAGTAAATTTAAATCAAAAGAAACATGATCAAATAACAACAACAACAACAACAACAACATCTGATAGTGTTAAACCAACAAATCAACAACAACGACAACAACAACAACAAGAAGATAGTGATGATCAAAATTCAATAACAAAATCAATTACACTTTATAATAATAATCTACATGGTACAATGTATATAATCAACAAGGAATATAATAATATAAAATCAATATTATCAAATATAATAACTAATATTTTACAATCTCATTGTATGTATAAATCAATCACACAACATATCAATATCATTTGTACTCATACCTTTTTGTTGATTGTAGATTCATTTTATCGAGGAATGATAACATTTGGTCATTTAACATCACCTTTTACATTGTATCCATCAATCTATACAATCAATTCATTTGTAAAAGATAGATTTAAACTTCCATCTCAAGATATATCAGCAGCATCCAATAATAGTAGTAATAATAATAATTTAGAACCAATCTTTCCAAATACATCATTTGATAGATTCCCTTCACATGTATCAATTATTGGATTTTTACCAAGCAAGTCATTGAACAAGGTTGATAGTGTGACGAGACATGTTGTCATTCCACTGATCCCAGATTCACAGCCGGGATCTACTCCACCTCTATGTCCAGTCTTACATTATACACTAAGAGCACAAAAGAAAACAGCCATTGTATCAATCATTGATAAACAGTGGTATGGACTATTGACGGCAGTCGTAGAGAATGATACACCTGTCCTCATCCTCACTACTCTTGCTCCTCATTCCAACTTTTCAGATATTGTACTCGAATGTGGTATCGATCAAATGGAAGTTGGTACACTTGGTAATTTTGAATCAATCCAACAACAGCAGCAACAACAGCAACAACAACAAAACCAACACCAACAATCTAATCTACCATCATACAATAATATACTAAATGGAGGTAAAAACTTAAATAATTTACCAGTGATTGATCAGTCATTTGCTAGACTAGACAATATACAAATGGATATTCAAAAGTTACAAAGAATTATTAGAACCTCGCCTTTTAGAATTGATACTTTGGTCCTTGAATGTGAAAAGATTAGACAGACTGCATTGACCTATCAAATGCCATCACTCATGACTGCCATACTAGTCGCCATCAAAGAAGAACTCAATCAATCACTCTCAACAATGAATATTAGTCAACAACATGCTTCCATCTTGCAAGCTCTATTATATCGATTGGAACTCCCATCGGCCATTAATGTAAAATAGATAGAGACATTTAAAATACCCCTTCTCTAACCTCCCTCCCTTTTTTTTCTCTCTTTTTAATATAGGATGAATTGGGCATATAATATAATATATAATGGTAACCATTTGATTGATCAAGTTCAAAAAAAAATACCCCATGACACAAACACAAATTCTTCAACAAATCATTTATCATAAACACCCTTATAATCAGATTCAATGTCACTCACATAGCATAATATAACATAGTCAGTAGTCGACTGTCTATAGATCACTTCTGTATGATGATGATGAACCACCACCCACCACGAATTCACTGTTTTAAAACAGTCAATGACACAATGTGTGTGTAAAGTGATCATGTTCACCTGAGCCAAGTGAACCCACCATTTTGCTAAAACAGGGTGCTGGTGGTGGTAAAAAGAGAAAGAGAGAGAGAAGAAGATAATTATAAGTTTAAACTTTCATATTCTGAATATCATGTTTGTGCGATTTCTAAATATATCGCAGCTTTGTGTGTGAGAAAGAGAGAGAGTGTTGTTATAATATTTTTTTTGTTTACCATAATCCCATTGTTATTATTGCTGTTTTAAAAAAAATATAAATATATTTTAAAAATACAACAAAAACAACAATGGCCACTATTCAATTCAATTCCATTGAACGACACGCCATTATTTTTATTCTAATATTAATTCAAATCAAATCAAATCAAATCAAATCTATTTCTATACTATACATCCCTGTGATCCAAACATAAAGGTAAAGAAGAAGGTGAACCTCAATGTTGGTTTTTTATAATTTGGATTAAAGAAACAATCTTAGAAATATATTTATACATTTGTTAGAATCTGTAAAACCACAACCAGTCAATCCAAAGGTTGTAGATGACAATATTCATCATCATCATCACCAATGATTGATGACATTGACAAGTTTAAAACTTTTGATGTTTTAATATTAATATTAATTTTAAAATTAATGTAAACATGGATATTATTGTCAAAAGGTAGATAGATAGATGCAGCAGATTAATATTCACACCTACCACACACCGTCATCCCACAACATTGGCGTGTCACCCACCACCATGGTGGGTGTGATTTGCATTTATTTGTGAGTGTGTCAATCAATCAATCAATCAACCAACACAAGTCAACCCCCCACCCTCACTCTCTTTCCTCCCTACCAACCACCACCAACAACAACAACTAATCAATCACAATCAATCAATCAACACGACGACACTGCTGGATACGCTATAATATTGGCCAATATTATATGTATAAAAAAAAAATGGTTGTTTATTTATAACTATTAATTGAAAAATTAATCGATTGTTTGTTTGTTTGTTTGTATGTATGTTTTTTGTTATTGTCAAAACGATCGTCCAGTCAACCTCTTGCTAACCATCGGCTATTTTTTTTAGTTCCAGCTCATCTTATTCATCATCATCATCATTCATTATTTTAATTACTTGCAATCTCTTTGTTGTTTTGATTGTTATTTATTTATTTGTATTATAAAACGTTCGATTTAAATATAATGTATGTATTAAATAGAGAGAGATGGAGAGAGAGAGAGATAGAGTAAGACATTAATGGAATTATCCAGACATTTGATATTTTATTCCTCATCAAAAATCTATTGACCAAACTTTGTCATCAATTAATTATCAATCCATTGTTTTTTTTGGTGTCTGCTATTGGCAAACTATAATCGGTCAATTTATTTATTATTGTTCATCATCACCATCACAATCCTTATTCCTTATTGATCATAGTATATTAGTTAGTATTTATTAACCCATTGCTTTTCTATTTATATATTTTATATAAAATACCAAATTATTATTATTAGTTTTATTCAATTGTAAATAATTTTGTACATTATATATATTAAAACAAAAAAGAAGTCATGGAATCACCAATTCAACATCATCATAATCATCATAACCAACAACATCCAAGTGTCAAATTTAATGACAAGGTAGAAGTCCAACACATTACCATTCCTCCTTCACCAACACCATCGTCTTACAGTGGCAATCATAGTGTGTCACGTTCAGAATATGAAAGAGTTGAAAAGAGAAACCAATTTTTGGAAAAGGAATTGGAATATGTAAAGGGAGAGGTTCAATCCACCAGAAGAATCCTAAGTGAACGTGAAGAATTACTTCTCCAACTACAATGGGATCAAGATGACCCTAAAATAGACTTGGAAGGACAAAAGAAAAAGAAAAAGTCCAAGGAAAGATACCAAACCGAAGAGAAACAACAAATCGATAGACTACGCCAACAAATGCGTCTCATGGAGAATGCATTGGCTGAACGTGATCTCAACATTTCTCGTCTACACAAGGAACTAAACGACACCAAGGTTGTCCATCAACAACAAATAGAAATGCTCCGTCAACCAGTCCAAAGAAGCAAGACTAGCTGGGGATTCCGTTCGTCACCTTCTTCCTCTCCACTAGGCTTTAAACCATCGCCAGGTTCTAGTCCAGCCATCATGGACACTAGTCGTATCAACGGTGGAAATTCACCAATTGGAACACCCATGGCTCCAGGTCCCAACTTTCAATCACCATCATCCTCATCACCAAACAGTCCAGCCACCTCTTCACCACTCGCCTCCTCCTACGCCACTGCCTCCTCTCCAGTGCTAGACTCTAATGATTTCAACAAAAAGATGAATAAGAAACCAAGTCTCTTTTTCACCTTTAAAAAGGATAAAAAGAAAACTCCTCATTCAAATATTCAAGATGCTAATTGGAATCAACCTACTACTATTGCAAATTAAAAAGAAAACAAAAAACAAAAAAAGAAATAAGAAAAATAAGAAACCTTTCTTATATCTCTTTTTCTAAAAAGTATCAATACAATTAACACATATTATTTGTAATTATTAACCAAACCACAATATTATTTCATCATAATAAATTAAATAAAATAAAATACCTTTTTTTAAAAAAATTATAACAACAATGAAGAGAGGGATGAATTGCAAGGGCTTGTCTCTGTTTTGTTGGTCATGTGTCATCGTCGATCTGAGATTATTATTTTTTCAAAAGCACCATTTTCACGTAAAATTGTAGGCGGAGTGGATTGAGAGTAGGTTGGTTGGTTGGATGAGCCATCCATCATCAGATTATGTGGAAGCTCTTGTTTTTATTTAAAGAACAGTGTGGTTATCTGAGAGAGGGATGAGGAACTTGTCTATTGCCCTCTACTAGACACGTTCTATTTTCCTCATTTCTTATAAACATTCACACATTTTCATTATTATTGTTTTTGTTTTCCTACTATCCACCCCACTTTCACTAACCTTGTTGTTGTTATATATCTCAATGAGAAAGAAAAGAGAGAATTAATTATCTACTTTTTTCTTTTTTTACAACCACCCACCACCACATCACCCTCACCTTACATTCTTTCTTGTCGCCAACCACAACGAAAGAGAGAGAGAGTCAGAACATTGTGTATTTGACATCCACAAAACAAACATCATTCTAAATATTCATTATTTTCGTCAAATGATCATCATCACAACAACCTGTTTTTTAATTTAACTTATTTATTTATTTATTTATTTCTGTATAACAACTCTTTAAATTATTAGAAAACAAAAAAAGAGTAGTCGATCATCCATCACCATTCAACAGCAGACAGATCAAGATCATTATTTTATTCTCTTTTCTCTCCTTTTTTATAAAAACAATTTGTACAAAAATCAAGATATATATCTTACAACGAAAAATATCTTTTCGAAAAGATTTTTTCAACAATTGCTATTAACGACATCGAAACAACCAACGATCTTGTCTTGTTTTCATTTTTCGATTTACGCTTAAACAACACATACATATTATTTATTTGTAATTCATATATATATACATTTATATTTAAAATTTTTAAAGGATGTTAAAACAAACAATAACAAAATGGAATCAATCATTGGAAACATATAAAAGTGGAAATATAAAAGAATCAATTCGATTGTTGGAATCGGTTGATCCCACCTCCAAGATATTATATAATATGGGTATTATGTCATTTAAAGAGAGCCAGTATAGCAAGGCAATAGGCTATTTTACAAGATCGATCGATTTGGACAAATATTTGGCATGTTCCTACTTTATGATGGCGGTCAGCTACCACATGTCGGGTGACTCGAACCATGCAATCGTCTATTACGACGAGACACTTGGTAAACTACGTGGACACGAATTTATAGACTACAAACAACTCGGACTAGACTATAAGTTGTTGGAATGTGAAGTATTGTTTAACAAGTCATTGGCACTTGGCAAAGCCGGCCAACCAGTTGCCAACCAAGCCCTACAATGTAAAACACTCCCATCAAACGACAAAACATTTTCCGATACTCTAAGAAGACTGGCTCAAGGACAAACTTCATTTCAACCTCGAGTAGCACCCATGGACATTCTTTTCCAACCCCCCAAAGTTAGTGATAAAGGTCCTCCCAAAGTTGAAAAATATGAACCTAAATTATCTGCTTCTCCTCCTCCCTCTAGTTCATCATATGCATCATCTGCTCCCACTCCCACTTTATCCTCTTCCCCTTCACCTTCACCTTCATCTACCTCAAATAGTATTATTTCAAATATAACCAATGGGTTTGGATTATTTCAAAGTTCAAGTTCTAGTTCTAGTAGCGCTCAACCACCACCTCCTCCAAAAAAACCGTTACCTTCTATTTCTTCTTCTTCTTCTTCTTCCTCTTCGTCGTCGTCAATTCCAGCAGCACCACCACTACCAACCACCAAGAAATTACCGTCACGACCCATATCAATGGTGATTAATGAGATTTCTGTGACGATTAAATGTTTTTACCAGGATCGTCGTTTGATCCAAATCACCAACAACTGTACCATTTCAACATTACAACAAAAGATTCAACTAAAGTTTGGAATCGATTATAACCTATTATTTAAATACCGGTCTTCAAGAGACGACTTTACCTTTATCACCACTCAATCAATTCTCACAAGTGCTCTATCCATCCCCATTCAAGAACTGTATCTTGTTGAAACACGTGATGAAATTAATCAATTTGAACATGACGCTAAACCTCAATTACCAACCAATAGTACATCAAACCAATCATCACCACCAAAACCAACTGTACCACAAATCCCATCTAAACCACGTTTTCCTCCTTCTTCTTCTTCTTCTTCTTCATCACCATCATCAGATGTATCAACACCATCACCACCACCAAGATTTGGTACATTGCCAAGAAGAAATCCAACCTTTTCATCACCAACTCCACCATCTACACCAACCACTCCGTCACCAGCTCTATCAAATATTCAAAAATTCAATTCTCTTGGTACTAGTCCTAGTGGACCAACTGTACCACCACGTAATGGTACTTTTAGTGGTAGACCATCACCATCACCATCATCGGCATCATCCAATGGAGTTGCTATTCCACCCAGACCTGCAGGTACATTAAAACGACCAGCAATGGTAAACTCTTCATCTCCACCAACCAACAACAACAATTTTAAAATTCAATCTTTATCGGCATCAGTACCACACCAACAATCCAATGACATGACATTTGATGATTCTCAAATCGAACCTCCTTACAAAGTTTGTTTTTCTCCTTCTGGTGAGAAATTTTATCTCAATCTAGATACTGGTCAAGTTTTTTGGAATGTTTCAGAATTGGAATATTAACAACAACAAATATAACAAATATATAATATATATAAATATAAATATATAGATAGAACAATATAATATTAATATTAAAGAAATAAATACAGTAACATTTATTTATTTTTATTTAATTAATTATTTATTTTTCTATTTTTCTATTTTGAAATTAAAGGTAAAATATATTGATTAAAAATAGTTTGATTTGATAACCAATGAGCATGAGCAATACCATCAATCTCTGTCAATGTTAATCTACCTTCTTTATAAAGTGTTTGTAAACCAAATGTATCATTGATATAAACATCCCTTTCAAACATTGGTTGTAAATTTAAATTACTATCAAAAAATCCAAATAATTCTGATATCCATGGTACTACTGTTCCATCTATAATAATAATAATGAAAACAAAAAAGATATTAGAATATTATTATTTATATTATTATTTATATTATTATATATATTATTTTTGGGGTTTTACCATCTTTTGAACCAAAACAATGAAATGAACCAATATTAATTAAATTTTCTTTATATTGTGGAATTTGATTTGGTAATTCTTGGTTGATACTTGGTAGGAATACATTCTCTGATAGATATCTATCACGATTTTGAGGATCATGCCACCAATTGGCTACTGAAAATGATTTTTGAAATGTTTTGGTATAAAATAAATTGGTTAATTCCCATTCTGTTAAATTTTGTTCCCATCCACTTAATGGTCCTAATCCATATCTAAAAATAAAAGAAATAGAAAAAATAAAATAGAGAATGATTAGATTATAATTTGAATGGAATCTATTTAAATGTTTTTTCTTACATTCCCATATGTACACCAGCCAATGATACAAAAGTATTAACTGGAAGACCATATAATTCAACTACTGAACGAAGGATCAAGGCACCTTGTGAATGTCCAACCAAATGATACCCATTTGCAAAACTTTCATTATTCTTTGTAATATTTTGAATTAATTGATAAACATCATAAATTTGATTAATCATTGCTTGAGTTGAATCAAATCCATTATCAACACTTTAAAATAGAAATAGAAATAAAAATAGAAAAAAAAAAAAAAAGAATTAATTAATTTAATTATTACATTCTTTTTTTTGTCCCCATTCATTCATACTTTAATGAAATTGCAATTTGATTTGGGTTATTTTGTTTAATCCAATTAACATAATCAGTAAAGTCTCTATAAGTACCTGCTGTATTTGATAATGCAAACCCATGTAAAAGAAGTACGGGCAGTGGATCAGTATCACCACCATCACCATCCTCTGATCTACTTTTACCTCTTACATCGACAGAACTAGAGGTGGTGCTAGAAAATATAAATAATATTGATAAAAATAATATAATTATTGGTGTATTCATTTTTGAAATGAAAAAAAAAAAGAAATAATACATTTAAATTAGCTCCAATGAGCATTTTGAGCTCGGAGCTTGAATTCATGATCGAAAATGGCGAGGATGCACACCTTTTGCAAAATGCCCACGAAAAATGCGAAAAATCGCATTGGTTTTGGGAAGGCTCCTCCCCCCCCAAAACAGATGAGCCGGGTGATTTTTGCAAACATATTCCAACAAAAATATCTCTCAACGAGATTCAACAACTATATAACCAGGCAAACTTATTGAACAAATAAATAAATTAATAATTTTTTATTTATTTATTTATTTGATCCTAAAATTAAACAAATATTGAATTGATTAATTGAATCTAAAGTAGATATATTACCCAATCGTTTTCAGACCGAATATCGTCGTCTCTTTTTTTCTCTTTTTTTTTTTTTTTTTTTTTTTTTTTTATGATTTGGGTTATGGGGGTCAATATCTAACTATCTATCTCTCTCGAGAAGCCTTGGCCCAACCATTCCAAGTCAACCATACTCCCATTGATCAACCCATTTTTAAAATCAATTCCATCGATCATAATTAAATATATAGATATATAAATATACAAAGACAAGAGAAGAGGTAGTTGACTATACTGTGATATATCCCAAATTTTAATTCATCTTCGTCATCACCATCGCAAAGATCATTTCTTAAAATCAAGTTTTTTTGAATATTTAATTGAAAATATTTTTGTCCCTCCTCCTCCTCCTCTTTTATATATCCTCAAACAGATCATCACCACCCTTCTTTTTTGTTTTTATTTGTCAATAGACCCAACACGAATATACAACAAATATATAATATATATAAATACCAACCATCGTTCAAAGTGATATACATATTTGTATCACAATCACCGTCACCATCCATTCCCTCATACCCTAATTATTATCAACCAATCAATTGGTTGTTCTGCTGACATCAAAAGGTTGGAAGAACAGGAAAGAAGGAAAGAAGGAAGGATTAAGATATTCAAAGTTATACAACTATCAAAAAAAAAAAACAAAAAACCAAAGTCTTTGGGGCGTCAAAAAAAAAACAAACAATGAATAATAATTATTATTACACCATAGTCGACGATAATATTAATCATCATAGTACTAGCAACAATAACATCAATACGACGAGTAATAATAATAATATTAATATTAATAATATTGTCAATCGTAATAATAATAATAATAATAATAATAATTATTCTCATCCCAACGTTGCGATCACTACCTACCCGAAACCTTCGTCCCACAGCTCATCATCGGCATCATCTGCCACTCAAGTACAGACGCAACACAATAATAATAATAATAATGATTTTTCATCGTCATCGACTATACATCTAAAGAATAATCGAAATAATAATCAAGTACAACAGATTCAATCAAATACTACATTTATACCAAATCAACAACAACAACAAAATCAACAGCAGCAGCAACAGCAACAATATCATTTAGAATTATTTCGTAATTCATCTTTACCTGCTTTACCTTTACATAATAATCAACAACAACAGCAATATATTCAACAACAACAACAACAACAACCATCACACCAAAAACAATCTAAACAACAACAGCAACCTATAGTAACATCATCTGTTGTTAAAACTTTAAATAATAATAATAATAATAATTTTGTAGTTTATTCACAACCTTTGAGTAATAATAATAATAATACATCATATCAAACTACGACAACGACTACGACGACGACAAGACAAGTTACAACCCAGCCAATCATACAAAATAACACAACATTGTATCCAATACCAAAAAAAACAACAGTCATGGCCGATACCAATGGTAGCAGTAGCGGCGGTAATAGTGGTAATGATCAATTATCATCGTCAGGAGCAAATGTTATGAATAATATGAGAAATGCAATATCTGCTTCCCAATCATCTTTACATTCTTTACAACAACAACAACAACAAAATAATAATAATCAACAACAACAACAAAATAACTCCAACTCCAACTCTAACGACTCTAATGACTCAAACTCAAACTCAAACTCCAACTCCAACTCCAACTCCAACTCCAACTCTAACAACTCTAATGACTCAAACTCTAATAATAATAATAATAATAATGAAAGTATACTAGATATGATAAGATTTCGTGGATCGACAGTGCGATTTTTAAGAATTTACGAAGATGCTATAACAGAAAAATTAAATACAAGAAACAATCAACCAAAACCATATAGTAGACCTGCATCTCGAGAAAATAATAATAATAATAATAATAATAATCAAAATAATAATAATAATGGAAATGTAAAATCACCACTTTTAAATTCTCAATCTCAATCCTCTTCTTCTCAGTCTTTTAATATTTCCTTATCAACATCTGCACCATCAATTCCAAATAATATTTCCGTCAACAATAATAATAATAATAATAATAATCTTAATGGTAATTTGGATATTGATACAATATCAATTCATAATAGTATGAATGGTATAAAAAATGGTTGGAATGCATCGAAATGGGAGAAATGTGAATCGATGATATCACATTTGGACACTCCAAGTTTTACAACTATTCCCATACCAACGGAAATCTACAATTGTCCAGTATGGGGATGTAGCCATATTTTTTCAAAGTACAAAGATATTGAAATTCACTTTTCAATGGTTCATTCTAATCGACGTCATGGATTTCACCCACTGGACTCTAGAGGTGTTGATCTCTTGTCATTGTCTGAAATTTCCGATCAAATGGTATTGGAACGTTATTCCAAAACCTCATTGCCCTTTGTCACTATTGGATTACCCAAATCTTGGCAACACGATGATATTTCAGTTCAATATCTTCAACAACAATATGGTGACTCTATGACTCTATGGAATATTGTCGATGAGTATGGTCGCAATCGTCAATACATTGGAGATTTTTCAAAGTTTTGTTCAGCCACTCCACGTGCCTTTAGAAATAATTGTTGTGTAAAGGTTCATTGGAATATTCCATCAACTTGGGAATCATTACCTCACTTTTCACCAAATTATCTAAGTCTCTATAACTCTGATAATAATAATAGTGGTAGCGGTAGCAGTGATCTTTTATCAGATCAACTTTTAAAATCTCATATATTTTTGGCTGGTTCTGGTTCAATCATTTCACTTCATAGACAATTTTCAGATTTATCTATTATTTTATTACAAGGTTTACATAGAGTAAGAGAAAATAGAAAAAAAGAAAATAGAAAAAGATAAAATAGATTATAATATTTATTTATTTATTTATTTATTTGTTTTTTTAGGTAATATTATTTCCACCAAATAAAATGGTAGAGATGGCATATCAAAATAAACAAATTCAAAATAGTTCAAATGGTAAAAAGAACAAATATATTTATTTTGAACCACAGTTATCAAATGACGATGTTGATTTGATTGGTAAATATTCTGGAAGAGTAGTTTTCTTGAGAGCAGAAGAAACTATCTTTATTCCTGCTGGTTGGTATTTTCAAGTTACAGTTTTAGAAGATGGTAAGAAAAGAAAAAAAAAAAGAAATGAAATATATTAGAATCAACAATATTTATTTAATTTTTTTTTTTTGTTTTGTTTTTGTTTTAGATTCAATTTCAATTCATTATCAAAATATTAATCAAAATAATATAGAATTTTATTTACAACAACCATCATCAAACAATCAACAATCATCAACAAACAATCAACCAAATCCAACTAGTATGAAACAATCACTTCAACAACAAGCAAATTCATTTAATAGTAGTAATTATGGTGGAACATCATCAACGGGAGGAAATATCAACAATCATTACTCTTTTGGAAATATTGAATTTATTAAAACCATTGTTGGAGATGTTTTAAAGAGATCGAATCATTGGATTAAAAATCAAAGCAATTTTAGAGGATCAAGTGTACAAATCCTAGAGACAACAAGCAAACGTTGGAACAACTATCAATGCTCACTCGATCAAAGAACAGCCTATAGTCAAATCAGAGCAACCATGTATGAATGTCATACCCTCATATCTGCTTCCTACCTCGCCATCCAAGATCGAAAATTGGATGAAAAAATTAGAACCGAATTCCAACGTCTTGTAGAATCACTTAAAAAATCAACTCATGATTTAAATTATATTTTGATTGGTATGAGTGGTAGTCCTTTTATTTAAAATTAAAAGAATAAAATAGAATAGATAGAGAAACAAGAGAGTACAGATTCAACCAATCGTGGATTTTTTTAAATTTTTTTTTTTTTTTTTTTTAGTAAAAGTCATACGATGATCATCGATCTTCTTTTGAAAAAAAATGCTGCAAATTGAAATTATTGTATAACTATCTTATCAACAACTCTTTTTATATGAATAAATAGAACAACAAACAAACAAACAAACAAACAAAAGAACAACAAACAACAATCAAATTTATAATGATGATCAAATCATCCTAGAAGAAATTGAAATACTTTTTGTAGTAGAGAGAAATACTCTATTATTATTATTATTAGACAACACCACACCACTTTTTTTACTCGCAACAACACTTTACTCTACTCTGCTTTCAAGATTTTTTTTTCATAATGGTTAAATTGTAGGTTAATGGTTAATACTACTGTTTTGTTTTTTTTGAAACACTACTATTATATTTATTTATATTAACAATGAGTGATAGAGGATTTAATTATTTTAGAACATTAGTATCAGGACAAAAAAAGAGATTTACAAATGATGGATTCAATTTAGATCTTGGTTATATCACTGAAAGGATTATTGCAATGGGATATCCAGCAGATTCATTGGCAAAGGTCATTCGAAATGATATTTCACATGTCTATGATTTCTTTGAAACCTATCACAAAGATCATTGGAAGATTCTAAATGTGGCACGTGAAATTTCATACAAACATACAAAATTGGGTGGCAATGTTGTCATTATGGCATTTGAAGATCATTCTCCTCCTCCTTTTTTAACATTATTGGATATCATAGATTGGATGGATCAATGGTTATCATCTGATCAAAGAAATGTTGTTGCTATTCATTGTAAAGCTGGAAAGGGTATGTCATAGAGAAAAAAGAAAAAGAAAAAAAGAGAAAAGAGAAATAATATCTAATTTTTTTTGTTCCATTCTTTTTTTTTTTAGGTCGTACTGGTACTATTAGTATGTTTTATCTAAAAAAGATGGAAATTCATTATACTTTATATTTATATCTTTCTTTTTTCTTTTTTTTTAGTTTCATGTTATTTAATTTATATGTTGAAAAGAGATTGTCAAGAAATATTTGATACATCGGATTCTATATTATTAAATACAATCAGTTTTTTTAATTCAATGAGAAGTATCAATGGACAACCATGTGTAACAGTACCATCACAAAAAAGATATATTGGTTATTATATTTCACATCTCAAAGGACTTGTACCAAAAGAATTAATCATTAAACCTCCACTTTACAAGATTACCTCTATCGAAATTTGTAGTAATAGTTTTATAACTTCTATAGAATTACATAAAAATTATAATCCAAATATTAGATCATTACCTTTAATATTTCATAAAAATAATACAATTATAATGTAAGATAGAAAAAAAAAAGAAAATATTAATATATACTTTTTATTTACCCTCTTTTTTTCTTTCCCTTCTTACTTTAGTGGAAATGATAAATATATGAGATTTGAATTAAAACATATAATTATTCAAGGAGATACAATGATGAAATTTAATATGAGTGATTCAAATACATGTGTATGTAGATTATTTTTCCATACTTCATTTGTAACACCACCAATAGATACGAATGGCAACAAGACAACATCGATCGTTTTCCCAAAAATGCTATTGGATGGACCTTCACATGGATCTTTGGAAGATAGTAGTATTAGTAGTAAATTCAAACCAGACTTTCAAATTAATTTACATCTTGAAGCTGTCAATGAACCATTACAACTATCATCCCAACAACAACAAATAGTTTATAATTCACCAACATTTGCAACAAGACCTATAACTCATCCTCAAATGAGTCAACAACAATCTTTATCATCATCATCATCATTTAATCTACCGCCTCCACCAGTACCTGATAGAAGTAAAAAACCTATCCTTCTTAGGGATACCGACACAAATGATGATATAGATTCTTTGGATTATATTTTATAATATTATAAAATAATAAAAAAAAATACAAAAAAATGGCGCCAATGATTATTTATTTTTATAAAAATCATCTTTTTTCTATTTCTATCTTCATTTACATATATTTGCAATAAATAATAATAATGTAGAGATAATAATGTTTAAGAATAATATATTTTATATTAATAAAAAGGGGATTGGAAGATTACAACAAAATATTATTCAAACTAAAATCATATCAAATGGAGGAACAATTTGTCAACATATTACAACACTAACAACTCATATACTTGTTCAAGATTCTACCTCTATCATAGATCCTATCACTCTTTCATCTGATTTTAAAGATTTAATTTTATCTGTAAGTAAATGAATGATAAACATGTTTATATATATATTAATATTCTTTCTATATATAGAAATCAATTGTAGGATATACAATCAATTGGTTAACATTATCAATTCAAAAAGGTGAAAAGATAATTGATGATGCAAAGTTTTTGATACCGTTACATTATCAACAACAACAACCGATTGATCAATCTACACCAACAAAGAAAAATGTACATTATAATGAACCAATAGATGATATTACAACAAGGCAATTAAAAAGATCAAAAAATGATTCTTTTTCTTCTTCTTCTTCTTCTTCTTTATCATTTTTACCAACTCTATCACCTATTAAAAAATCATCATCATCAACAAACTACTATCAAATACCAACAAAACTAGAAGATATTGATATCAATTCATCTTGGTTATCATATCAATCATCAAGTGATGATGAATCAACAAAATCAATTGATAATTCAACAATTGATTATTCATTTGTATCATTTGATTCAGATGGAGAAGAGGACCAATTAATTTCACAATCATTAATTTCAAATAGTTTATTTACAAGTCAATTACCATATTCATTAAAATTTCAACCAAATCATCAAGAAGAAGAAGAAGAAGAATCAATTAATAATAATAATAATAATTCAACACAATCATTAATTAAATATACAAAAAGAGCAAAAGGATTTGCATGTCAAAAAGGTACAAAAATCAATTATAATGAAAGTATAACATCGGTATTGGAAAAACTATTGGAAAAGGCATTGGGTGATGGTGATCGTTGGAGAGAGTATGCATATAAACGAGCTATTGGTATTTTAAAAGGTTTAACCTTTAAATTATCGTCATCAAAAGATTTGGGTGACATTCGAGGAATTGGTCCAAAGATTAGAGAAAAGATTGATGAAATTATAGAAACTGGAACTCTTAGACGTGTTGAAAGTTCTCTATCTGATACTACCAATCAAATCTCACAAGCTCTATTGAAAATTCATGGTGCCGGTCCAAATACAGTTAAAAATTGGATGGCTGCAGGTGTCGTATCCATTCAACAACTAAGACAACACATTTTAATTGATCCTCTATTCTTGACTTCTCAACAACATATTGGTCTAAAATATTATGAAGATTTTTTAACTAGAATTCCTCGTCTTGAAGTTATTAATATTGTCTCTATTGTAAATAGATAGAAAAAAAAATAGAAATATAAATTATTAATTTTTTATTTAATTTTAGATTGAAAATGTAGTAAAAGAATTGGATCCAAATATAATAATGGAAGTTTGTGGATCATTTAGAAGAATGAAAAAGGATTGTGGAGATATTGATATATTGTTTACTCATTCAAAAGGTGAAATATTGAATGGATTGTTGAGAAGACTTACTCTTAAATTAGAATCTATCAATCTCCTCACAGATCATCTAACTAGTGTAAAATCAGATAGTGACAAGTATATGGGAGTTTGTAGATTGGGTCCAGATGGTCTACATCGAAGAATTGATTTTCAAACCATATCCAAAGAAGAATGGCCTTTTGCTTTACTTTATTTCACTGGATCCGATCACTTTAATCGTTCGATGAGACTTTGGGCAAGAAGAAATGGTTTCTCGCTCAGTGAATCTCATCTGGTCAGGAGAATGGGTAAAAATGAAAACGAAATCAAAGGTGACCCTATTCATGCTTCTTGTGAAAAAGATATCTTTGCTCTACTTGGTTTGGAATATCGTCATCCTCAAGATAGAGAGGTTTAACAAATAAATTAAAATAAATAATAAAACTTATTAGAGAAGAAAAATAAGAAATCATCAATGATGATCGGAAAAAACCGAGGTCAAGGCCGCAAATTTTCACATTCGCTCTCGTGAGATGCTCAGATGGTGAAGTGGCATCACAAGAGGTTGTGGTCCTCTTATCCCAAGTTCGATTCTTGGTCTGAGCACGATTTTTTTCAAAGCTTTTTAAATATTTTTTCGGCTGCAACCTTTTTTCGCATGCCCTCTTGTTCCCCTATTCATTTTCTATCGATCTATCAAGGTTTCATTCATTTTCATCAAAAAAATAGTATATTGACGAGTTTTGTTTTAAAAAAAAAATCAATTCGACTAGTGGGTCTTTTTTGTGTATTTGATTGAGTTTATAAAAGGAACTACTGATGGTGTCATCCAGATAGTATTGGTTATTTTGAAAATAAGAACCAAAAAAATATTACTTTTCCAAAAAAAACATTAAAAAAAATTAAAAAAACAAAAGGTATCAAAAGCGGTTGACCATTATTGTTTTTAAGAATGATGGTCTAGGCGGTACAGGTCATCAACCAAATTTGCTAACGAATCTTGGTGTCCTTTGCAACATCATTCAATTTCTGTAACAACATCATTGCAAAGATCAACGTGGACAAGCTCAATAGATATGCTGTCCTCCAAACTACAAGATATCATATGATAAATGCATTCTAAAGAGGCCTAACTATTCAAATGAAAGAATGATTCAATCACTCTCAAGTCAAGGGTCAACATTTCACATGAAATGATATTTCTCATGTCTATGATTTCTTTGAAACCTATCACAAAGATCATTGGAAGATTCCAAATGTGGTAGGTGAAATTTCATACATACAGAATTGGGTAGAAATGTAGTTATGACTACATCAATACTACCAAACCCTTGCTCCATTATCAATGAATCAACAAATACAATAGATTTGATATTTTCCCTTGGTTATCAATTCAATCCTTTTTAAAAAGTATAAGAATAGATATATATTTATCAAGCAAGCAAGCAACGAAGAATGTTACCAAATTAGTAATTTATTTAGTTTACATGTTGAAAAGAGATTTAAAAGAAATATTTGTATTCTAAATTATTAAATACAATCAATCAATGGACAACCCACATGTCAATACCATCACAAAAAAAAAAGATATATTCCTAGCTCCAATAGTGCTGTACCTCCCTCGTCACACGTTTTTATATACTTTTTTGTTGGTTGCAGATGACCAGAAGGATATAAATACGAGGGTGACAAGTTCACTGACAACACCTAGGATACAAGGCATAAAAGCAAGAGTTTGGAAAAAGCAAATTGTGCGATCTAGAGGTCCAAAAACTATCAGTCCACAAATACAAAGGAGGACAAGTGATGAAACTGTAAGATGAATGTAATATTATTATTGATTGATGCAAGTTACTTTCAATATCTATTTTATACCTTGGCTCTCTTTGTTGGTTTTCTTTTTTTTGAAAAGCCAACCTACAATTTTTTTTTTCCACATTTTACAAAAATCACCGTTTATCGGTCAGGTATGGTCAGAAAAGGATAAAACCTTTACCAAACGATAGATAATGACGAGGACAAGGCGATGCAACAGATAAAAATTTTGGGGGAGCTTTTTTTGATGAAATAAAAAAAGATTTGCTCTACTGAGATTCGAACTCAGATGACTGGATTCAAAGTCCAGGATACTAACCCTTATATGATAGAGCATAGGAATATGCTCCAAATTTTTGACCCTGGGGCCCCATTTCGCCTCGCCCGCCCTCAGAAATGATCTACGTCACCAAATAGATGAACCATTCACTGAACAATATCTTCGAGCTAGATTGCTAAAGGATGCGACATATTATAAAAGTAAACTGGGACAAGACGTTAGAATTATGTAATCGATGGCACTTGGCTCTAATGAACCAAACCAACGAATCAGTATACCATTACAGAACGAATACAAACTATCATCCTTCGATTCTCCTCCAACTACAACCATCCTACTGTCTACAAGATCGCACTACCTAGTCATTTAGAGAGGTACAAGACTCTGTGTACCCTTCATCTATAATCTATCACCCTCAACTTCATTCTTCTCATCCTCCTCACCACCATCATCCTCTTCTATTCTCTCATCATCTATCAATAATAATATTTATAGTATAATAATTTACTAAATAATAATAACACAGTAATTTTAACAACACAATATAAAAGCCCAAGCGAGACAAAAAAAAATGGAGATATCTTTTTATTTTTAGAACAAACAACAATCCAAAACAATCCAAATTGCCTGATACTATATACAAAAGATACATGATCAAAGCCTATATAACATGTATCATAGACATGGACAACCCAGAGAACGAATTAACTTTAGTTCTTCTCGAAATAATCTTTATTTCTTGCTCGTCAATTAAAAAGTATAATTAATAAAACTTTGTAACTTCTGAGTACTTCTCTTCCGATAGGAGAGAACAGAATAATTATCATGTGTGTGAGATTAATTAACCTTTGTTTTCCTTTTCTTTGTAATTATGCAATAGATTATTAACTATGTATATTATCTTGTTGGTTTAATTTTTAAATTAATCTTTAAACATGTGGACAAGCTTGTGAGAATAGCAAATGTCACATACGACAAGCTTATGGAATTATCATCCAGGTCTTTTCACTCTCTTTTCTTCGAACCATGCGAATGCGACGTACTGAACAAAGGAATTTAAACCGACACTGAGAGAGTAGTGCACTTTCAAGTATTTTGTATCTCTCGACCAAGAAGCCAGCAAAGACGAATGATACCACCAGGTAAAATATTAATATTTTTGAATTCAATTGTTTTTAAAGCCAAGGAAGAATATTTTTTTAATTTTAAACAAAGTAAATAGTAAATTAGTACTTATTAAATCAAAATAAACCTGAAAGATAAGTATACAAGGTGTAAACCAAAAGAAAGAGGGTTCACCAAAATTGACCAAAAAAAAAAAACCGGGAATGATTTTTTAATCTTTTAGGGATCAGGCTTTGTTGGAAATCAACCAAAACTCGTTTTTTCGAGTAGATCAAGAATATAGCAAAAAGAATCAAATCTATCCCAAACACGCCAAAAAAGTGTGGACCAGAAGAGCTGGCAAAAAAAAAAAAAAACTGGAACTGATTTTTTAAAATTATTGTTTTGGTGATCCAGTTTTGATAGAAATCAACCAAACCTCGTTCTTTCGATAGCCAACGATGAGTAGATCAAGAATATAGCTTTACTAAACTATGCTCTATCTTGTCGAGGGCCCTACGATATAGATAGTAATAGGATAGTAATAATCAAGATCTTATATAAACTATGGTTAGTCTTATAGATTGTATAGTGTTATATAAAATGTAATAATAATGAATGATGAGAGCTGTTGCTCGTTTGTAGGTGCGTGAGAATTGGGATTTTGTAAAAAAAGGTCCATTCTCATTACACATTCCCTACCAAGCTAGAAACAATGTTTCAATTGAATCAACTTGATAGATACTTATTTTTTTTTATGATTTTTGGGGTTGTTCTTCAACTGGTATTCATAGGCTTCCACGAGTGATTTAGTCTTGTTGTAAGCCTTGAGAACGACCTCATGTATCCAATTGTTGTGGTCTTCATCTAGTCCATCATACTTTACCAAGTATTCGATTCTAGATCCGCGTCCATACTTTTGGTTTCTTTTCCCAATGATTTCCACAATGTCTTGTACGTCAGTGTCGACGCCATCTGCATCCATAATATAAATGTCTGATACATTTACTGTACGGTTTTGACGATCGCCTTTACGGTTGTTGATTTTGATTGATACATTGGTTGGGCTGATAATCTTTGTAACTTTGAAAGGACCAGCATACTTTGATCTCAACTTGTAGTCGTTTTCGTTCAGTTCTGTTTTATGTGTATCTAGAACAGCCCGCTTGACTTTAACCAGGTCACCAATCTTGTATTCGCATGACTTGGCTCTTCCTTTATCGTATTGTATTTGATTTCTGATCTGAGCTTCCAGCATGTTTGATTTCGCCATTTGGCGATAGGTTTCCATATTACGACGATAGTCGCTGAATGGCATGCTCAGTGCATTCCATGGCATAATCGGTTCGTAACCCATTACGATTTGATTGGGTGTATAGCCGGTGCTTGTGTTGATATTATTGTTAATAATCGCTTCGATTATTTGGTAGTCCCTTGCCCATTGGTTTTTTTCATTAGACATTTTTCGGATTGCACTCAAGATTTGCTTGTTGATAATCTCGGTCTGTCCATCAGCCTGGGGCCGATGGGGTTGAGTCATTTTTAGTTGAGTACCAATACTCTTCATAGCTGCTTGCCAGAAGTCACTAGTGAATTTCGGATCTTGATCGGAAACGATATTCTTGGGGACGCCAAATTGGGCGATAATAGTTCTACCAAACCATTGACCAACTTCTTCCGCAGTGATGGTTTGCATACAAGGGTGTATCTTGACCATCTTGGAAAGTCTATCGACTACGACGATGAGATTGTCTTCGCCCGTGGCTGCTTTGGGTAGGGACAAGAAATCTATTGATATCTCTTGCCATACACCATCAGGTATTGGTAATGGTACCAATAATCCTTGCTTGAACTTTTCGATATTATTCTTCTGGCATTCGGTGCATGAGCGGATGTATTTTGCTATTGATTCATTCATCTTGGGCCAGATGTAGTGGTTTGATAGTTTTTTTGATAGTCTGTTTCTGCCGGCATGACCAGAGTATTTGGATTTGTGTGTTTCGTCCAACAGTCTTATGATATGGTCGTCGTTTACAATGACCACTCTTTTTTGTTCACCATGGATCCAATAATAAATACCATCGATATTAACCATATCTTCTCTATCTTTAATTTTATCCAACCAAGTTGTTGTTGAAGGTTTCAATTTTGGGTCAGTGTAACTAGATATGATCTGTTTTATAAATTCTGAATCCCAAGGATTAAAGAAATCTGGGGTTCTGGACAGATAGTCGGCCATGTAGTTACTGTTGCCATCGATAAATTTAGTGACATAGTTGAAGGTGTTGAGGAATTCACCCCAACGAATGTGTCTACCGTTACCAGAATCTTCGTATAAATTAAAATGCAGCATGTTCTTATGATCTGTGTAGAGCACGAATGGTTTTGCTCTCAACAGGTAGTCGAACTTGTCCAGTGCATGTACTACTGCTAATAGTTCACGATCTTTAGTATCATAATTTCTCTGGGCCTGGTCAAATTTTTTCGAGTCAAATAAGATTGGCCGTAATTTGCCTGTCCCATCGTCTTGGGCAATCATTAATCCGCTGCCCACATCAGAGGCATCTGTGTAGACCAGTAGTGGTGAGTCGTCGCGTGGCGACATTAGGCATGTGTCGGCTATCAAGGCTTTTTTGATGGTTTCAAAGTCTTCCAAGTCCGTTTTTGATAGTTTAATTTTCCTTGGATTGCCCTTCGTGAGTTCTTGTAAGCGATGAATGCTTGGTCCTACATGTCCCATGAATTGACGATAGAAATTGATGGCACCAAGGAATCTTTTGAGTTCCTTTATGGTTTGAGGGGGAGGCATATTAACGATCACTTGAGTTTTGTTCGTCAATTGTTTGATCTCTTTGACGCAGATCAAATCTCCGCCAAAGGGTACTTCCTTTAGGAACCACTTCATTTTATTTGCATTCGCGTATGCGTAGTTTTCACGCATGCAGTTGAACAGCTTGTCTAATTTTTTCAAGTGTAGATCGATGTTGTCTTCAGTTCCAATCGCTAGGTCGTCAACATATCTCTCACAATTGATTTCCTCCTTCTCGAGTACGTCGTTGATCCAACGGTTGAAGAAAGCACCAGAGTTTTTCAGGCCGAAGCATGCACGTGTAAACATGTAATGTTCACCGCCATACGAGAAGGTGGTTAAGTATTGACTCTCTTTCGACAGATTTATTTGGTGATATCCGCTTTTTAGATCGATCACCGTCTTTCTTTCAGATTTACTTAACCTTTCTTTTCCTTCTTGTAGGTTTTTCTGTGGGTATGTATCTGCCACTGTTGCGTCGTTCAGTTTGGAGTAATCGACGATAAACCGCCCTTTATCAGGTCCTTCCGTCTTCCAAAATGCTGGTGAGGATACAGGAGTATTTGGTGGTGGTCTTACAATAATACCGGCATCCAACATCTTTTGCAAGTTTGCCAGGGCTAGTGCTCTTTTATTTACCGGTTCTCTTCCATAGTTGTTTTTGAATGTGATATTTTCGCAGCCGGGTAGCAGCTTGATATCCATATCATATTTCGATAGAGGTGGTGGAAAGTCATTTGGAATTTCAAGTACAATTACGTCCAAGTTCCTAGCGATTATGTCTCTAATTTTCTCTTCGTATACCTTATCGTAAGTACCATACTTGGTCATGTCGATTGATTTAGGGTCAACTGGAATGGGTTTAACCCTTTTTCCGTTGATCACTCTAATGTGAGGGTTGGTACCAACAGGAGATGCTGGGGAGGGAGTAGTAGGAACGGGTGTAGAGGAGGATGAAGGGGATGAAGGGGATGAAGGGGATGAAGGGGATGGAGGCACCATTTTCGCTCCTGCTTTGCCCTCGCTCTGCTCCTTTTTGTTACCATTATCCTCGGTAATTAATCCTTTTGGAATTTTAACCTTTTCCTTTTTCTTTTCTTTGTCCTTGTTATTCTCTTTGACTATAATTTTGGGTAGCAGCTCTTGTACCACGTTGTTAAATGTAGGTGTACTTGGCTTTCTGAGCAATAGGTTACCAGTGTTTTTTGATATTGTCGGTAAAATATTGGCTGTTGCTTGGTAATTGTTTCCGTTTACATTTACCATGAACTTCATCCATGGTAATGAGTCATAGAGGTGTAGCACTGGTTTTAAAATTGAGAATGCATTTTCTCCGAGTACAATGCCGTCTTTTAACTTTGTGATGAACATAGGTAACTTCATTTCAATCTTCCTATCGTTCTTGTCCACTTTTGCGTTGAATGTAAACGTGATATCACCTTGGTGGTCAACCTTGACCCCTTTCGCGATTAGGGGGGTTAGTTTGGCATTACAGACTGACGTTTCCATGTCTAGTTCCATGGCCAATTTAGAGTCCATTAGAGACACTTGACTACCCAAGTCAACCAATGCATTGATTGTTTTCTCTCCGATTGTGATAGGGAGGAGGAACGATTGACCTTTGTTGGTCAGACCCTTGACGTTGTAGCTTTCTACTTTCTTGTTGTCTTGTCGGCTTTGCCGATCCCACGGCTTCTTACGACCAGTGTTGTTGGCATCCTTTCCTTTCTCTTCCGGTTTGGCGTCGTTTGTCTTTTCTTGTTTGTTGTCGCCACCCTTCTTTTGTTGTTCTTGTTTGGGGGTGAATGGTTTCACGAACGTTGTTTTGGTCGCTTTCTTTAGAAGCATCTCCTCTAGTGCCAATTCAAAGGTTCCGTACCACGGTTCGAATAGCTTAGGGTCGACCTTGCTCTCGAGTTGAGCAATTTTGATCATTCTTGATTCCTTGAGTGAGTCTACATTAAACATGTATCCAATCTCTAAACTTTCCAGTTTAGGCCAAACAAGCTTGGTCACGACATCGCCGTTGACCTTTTCGACTTCAACCAAATCTATGATTTCATCCAAGAATTCGCTAAAGTTTGAGAGATTGTCTTTGAGCTTGAAGTTGGAGAGACGTTTGGTCATTTCGTCTTTAGCGAGGATAGGGCTGTATAGTATTTTAACCACCCATTCTATGAAGCCAGTCCATGTAGACAGTTTGGCTTTTTCCTCTTCAGTTCCGTCCATCATTTTATCGTTGTACTTTGAGTCGATTCCTTTGATGGCCAGTCCGGTTATTGTGTGCTTTGCATTGGCGAATTGCTCTGCACTGTTATTCTCGATCATGTAACAAGCCACTGTTAGTTTCTTGATTGATTTCTTGATTGATCTGGAATTAATTGTTTCCAAGATCGGTTTGATTTTGCTAGCCTCGATTCTAATCGTCTTAGACGAGGGTGCGAGTGGTACTATTGCAGGTTGTATCACTTCTTTATTTGCCTGTTTCAGGTCAGCTGAGGACAAGGTGTTGATGAGGGTGGATGAGGAGGATGAGGAGGAGGGAGAGTTGTCCTTTCTGTCCATTAACTGTAGTTGGAGGTTGAAATTGTCCTCTCTCAGTGCCTTGTTCTCTTCCATAAGATCAATCGTTTTTTTCATCTTATCTGAATATAGGTTGATGTTCCCTTGCAATTCTGCGCAAGTACCTTTCATTATTTGTAAATCGTTGTAATGTTGGATTTTTGCTGATGCTGCATTTCTGTATTCACTATCCTTTAAGTCCAACTTTTCCTTAGTCATAGCCAAACATATAAATAGTTTGTGTATGAGGGCCTGAGAATCATTGATCTCAAGGTCCGATAAGTTTAGTTCAGCATTTCGCAGACGTCTTGCGACATCTAGAATGTTAAATGTACTATCTTCTGTATTAGTTGATGACATTATTCTACTCTGTATTGTTTTATATTAACTCTGTTTAATATTAAAAATAAAGTTTACTAAACTATGCTCTATCTTGTCGAGGGCCCTACGATATAGATAGTAATAGGATAGTAATAATCAAGATCTTATATAAACTATGGTTAGTCTTATAGATTGTATAGTGTTATATAAAATGTAATAATCTTTATTATTTAGTTACCTTATATAAACTATGGTTAGTCTTATAGATTGTATAGTGTTATATAAAATGTAATAATAATGAATGATGAGAGCTGTTGCTCGTTTGTAGGTGCGTGAGAATTGGGATTTTGTAAAAAAAGGTCCATTCTCATTACACATAGGCAGCGGCAGGCAAAAAAAGATCAAAACAGTTGCCTTTTGGGCTGCCTTGTGCCGGGATCGAACCAGCGACCTTAAGATCTTCAGTCTTACGCTACTACCAACTGAGCTAACAAGGCTTGGATGTTTCCAAAAAAGAAAATTGAAAATTTGAGCCCCGATGCTTTTTTTGACGATTTTTAAGGTTTCCATACTAAAATTTGGAATCTTTTTCTGTTGATTTTGGACATCAAGTGCCTTGTTAGCTCAGTGAGCATAATCTTTAAAACCATACAAGTTTTTTGTCAACTTAATGTTCTTTTTGTCAATCCAATGTTCTTTTTGTAAATCAAAGGAAATTAACTTTTTTAAGCCTCACATACCTCCACCCAAATGGAACAAACAAGTTCAAGTTTCTATTCATTATCTTGGATTAAAAATATATTTTGCAAGAATACCTCGATGTTTTATTTTGAAACTCTTTTTTAGTTACCCTTGGATTGAATCAATTAAATTGATTAGAACTCTATCTAGTTTTAAATATTTCTTTATATTATAATTCACAGATGTCCTACTATAGTCCCATCTTCTTGTTTCATTCAAGAAAAAAAAAGAAAATTAATTGAAATTGATAGAAATATTTTCATTTATTTATTTTTATTCATTCTCTTTTTAGTTTAATATATTCAGTGATTAAAGATGTCCGACTATATTCAATTCGATAATTAAATGAACCAAACAAATCATCTGGAATGTTGAATGGATATTCGTAGCCATAGATAAAATTTTCGACATGATGACATTCCAACGAGAGTTTTCTGACAAGGTTATTGAATCTTGGAGAGAGTTGTGAAATGTCAAATAAACAACCTCTGGGTCTATAACTTGCAGCGATCTTTAATGTTTCAACAGATTGGCTTTTAGGAAGAAAATCAATGTCCAAAGAGTGTGATGTTACCTTTGTAATGGTGTTTGGTAATGGTGGAGAATGGATCGGGTAATCGTCGACAATAACAATGTGTCTCACATTTGGGAACTGACAGAGATCTTGCCAATTAGAGGCAGCAACAGACATTTTGGTAATTGATTGTTTCAATCCGAGAAAAAGTTGAGAGTAGACACCAAGACTGTTGGATGGAAGGCAAAGTTTTTGGAGAGGCAAGTTTTTAATTTCATTCAACAATGTTAAATGATCAATCTCGATATTCGAGCCTATAAAGTTCAATTTAGAGAGATACGTGAGTTGTCCAAGATTGGAAATGTCCAATCGTAAATTGTAGCGGGATGGAATTTGTGAGATATAAATGGTCGTGAGATTTGGTAAATGTTTGATAATGTCTTTTAAATCATCTCCATTGGCCAATAGCTTGGTAATGTGTAAAAGATTGTCTTTTATAAAGAAAATTCTTTCTAAAACATTGCTGCAACTTATCAAAGTTGTCAAGTGTTTAAAAGCAACACAATATGGATTTGCAGAGTGAGCCGAGGTAGAGGCGAAACACTTTTCAAGTTGAATGGTAGAGAAGCAATTTCCACTGATATAATTAAATATATCTTTGTTGATGAGTGCCAATTGTAATTTGGATCGATTACTGTCTTGCAGAGAAAAAGATAATGGTACATATGGAATAGAATGTGAGAAATGAGTTGGACAATTATTCTTCATTTCATTGAAACGTTTCATTTCCTCTTGTTCATCTAGAATATCATCTCCCTTATCAATCCATTTTAGTACAGTTTCTTTTTCATAAACACATGTACAACGTTCTCTTAATTTAAATGTCATTCCAATTATTTTATAAATTATAAATGTTGGTAAAGAATTATTAATCTTTTGATTTTGATAATTATTATTATTTTGATTATTATTATTTTGATCATTTTGATTTTGATTTTGATTTTGATTAAAATATTTTTTTTTAATAAAAAATAATTTCTTTTGACTTGATTTTAAATTATTTGATCTATTGTATGGTGATGTTCCAATATGATCATAACCCAAATCATTAAAATGGTTGATATCTGATTGACAAACATCAAATGATGAAAGGATGATAATAGTGTTGACATTTTTAATCGACAGACGAGTGTATTGATCAGATTTGGTCGAGTGGATAGTTTTAAATTGTATTGTTGAGATGTTGGTGTGTAAAAAGTCAATATCGAGAATGGGTAGTTGAAAGTCGAGGTATGTAACTTTGGCAACACTGTTTGGAAGATGGTCATGATTGCGATCATGACTCATGGTGTAGACATGTCGCAAGTTTGGAAAATCAGCAGAGACTAGTTTGATTTTGTCTCCATGAGGATAAAGGAGCGAGATGACTTGAAGATTTTGTTTGACCTCTTTACCTAGACTGTTCCAATCGAATGGTTGTAAGAGGATAATCTTTGTAAGGTTAAATGTCGGTTGAATAAGACTACCAATCACAAGTCCTTCTTGTTCCACTTGCATTTGTCCCAAGCCAAAGGTTCGAGGCATCACCACACGGGCATTTATCAAGTTGAGTGATGGAATGGTTTGTAGAGGGCCATTAAAAAGGTCAATCAAGACTGATCTGTCAATATCGCAGTTTAGAGTAAATGATCTGATATTTGGCATCAAACTGACGAGATAAGAGATGGAGGCGGTATTTTGGAGCAAGAATGGCTCGCATATGTGTAAATGCTCGACATGCTCAAAAAACTCTTTGGCCAACGATGTTTGGGTTCTATTCATAAAGAATAGTGATGGTTGTGAAGGTTTGGAAGGGACTATGATCAATGTCTTTGGCTTTTTAATGATACAATAGTTGTTGGTGACGTGATACCAAGTGTTTTTGGTAGAGTTTATCACAACAGTGGTAAAGAGTTGCGTTGCAATAAATGAAAACATTCTCTTGCATAGCAGTGCCATACTACGCATCCATCGACAATTCTCTTGTTCTACACCTTTGTATTTGTGATTGTAAGAGGAAGTTTCTTGTGCAGTATAAACAAATTGGGGTTTGCGTCCAGTGACAGTACTGCTGAAACGATGAATAGAGCATAGTTGATCTCCTGTCAGCGAGTGTTGTTTCACCCTTTGTTGAACCACAAATTTGCCGTGCAACTCTAATAGGTGACGAGGAGGATCATCGTATCTGTCATTTGGCATGATCGATGATCGATCTTGATGAGTCTTTTTGAATGCATCGCTATTGACACAGGTACATAGAGCACGTGATGCCAACTTGAATATACGTTGTATTATTGGCCATGGTAATGTATACTCTAATGCATCTCGATTGTATTCGTTTAAAGGATTGATAGATCCTCGATGAAGATTTTGACCATCTCTAGACAAAGCATCAAGCTGATCAATATACATCTGATTCTCTAATCTTTCATTTTCATTCTCTTCAACTATCTCTGGTTTTATCCTTATATACATGTTGTCAGTTTAATTTATTAATACTATAATAGACGAGGTTGATTTGGAATATATATATAATTGTTGATGAGATCTAAACAAAGTGTCGGAAATTTCCATGACCCATTGTCGAAAAAAAAACAATTTGCAAAGTTATCTTGATAATTACTAGCGATGAAGAGAGTTATGTTTATACTCTTTATCAATATTATTATAATTTATAAATATATAGATCACCTTGACACCTTAAAAAATGTCTGAATAAAGACTATAGTTTGTTTAATAATATTAATTCTTTTTAATTTATTTCATTATATTTAACAAGAGTTGCTATTGATTGAATAGATAGATAAGATAACATTAAAAAAAAAAAAAAAAAAAAAATAAGAAAAAATAATAGTAAAACAACTACTTTTAATTGTACAAGCGTTTACTATGTCTCTATATTGTATATACTTTATTATTTGTTATTTATCCAAGCTTGTCGGGGCTTAAAAAATTTTTTTTTTTTTTTTTTTCACCTCTTCATCACACTGCAGAAGACATATTGTTTATTTTTAAATTAATGATTTAATTATTATTGTTGTTTAATTTGAAGTAGTTGTTAGATAGTGGTTAGTTTTAGTTAGGAAGGAGGGAATGCGATAGGGTGTAGCTAGTTTGCCCCAAATGAGAGAGAATTTACTAAAGTTTGCGATCAGTTCGAGATTAGGACCGACCATCGATCAGGTTGACATTTAGCTAGAATCGACTTGCAGTTTTGGATTAGTTTTAGATATTCAAGATAGATTATAGTTTTGAATCTTTTGGTAACGATTGCTACTTCGTTTGGGTCGAGAGAGTAGTCGCGATCGTCGTCGTCAAAGTCGAATTGCACATTCAGGTGGTGGCACCATGTGCGGTGGAAGAGTATAGCAACAGCATTGACATAACGTCTGTGATGTGCTCTCTGCTTGGTGAAGTTGAGAGCGTGGACATTTCACTGCACTCTGTTGTCGGTTCAGTCGAGTTGCAACTTGCTAAACTATGGGGCTCGTGGTTGGACGTGGATACATTCAAACAAATAGTGTATGATTGGAGCTGTTGCATATTGTATTGGTGTCTCCTGCTGGCCGAATATATGGTTGGTCCACACCCTGCGGTACGAGATGGGGTTGTTGGAAGGAAACGATTCATCGTCCATGCCTTTTGCGCAACTTGTCCATGTCCCAGAGGCCGATGCCTCCCTTTGTCCAATGGAGTGCTGCTCTTGGGCGAGCTATGCTATTTTTGTATTTATTTGTTTTGACTTATGTAGAAGATGATGGCGAGTAGAGATACCAATTAATTAAACTGTTCAGTTCACTAATCTCTTCAGTATTTAGTATGTGAGTATGTTTTGACAATTGCATTGCTGAAAAAAAAAAAAAAAACCGAGGCCAAGGCCGAGAAAATTATTATGGGCATATGTAAGCTGCTCAGATGGTGAAGTGGCATCACAAGAGGTTGTGGTCCTCTTATCCCAAGTTCGATTCTTGGTCTGAGCACGTTTTTTTATGCCCTTTTTTGCCTCGCTGTGTCATGAGTTGCCTTGCGTTGCCAGCCTCTTGACGCTGCCTCGTGTTGCCAGCCTCGTGGTGTTTCCCAGTCACTGGTTCTTGATGTTGGTCTGAGCACGTTTTTTTATGCCCTTTTTTTTCCTCGCGCTGTGTCATGAGCTGCCTTGCCTTGCCAGCCTCTTGATGCTGCCTCTAGCTGCCAGCCTCGTGGTGTTTCCTCGAGCTGCCCGACCCACCATTGAAATTAATTTATCTAAAGACTTTTGATTATCTTTCCAATTGATTTATTTTTTTTTAGTTGACTGAGCCAACCAATCTTGATAACCACTTGGTAATATACTAGGAGCAGTACTCTTGTCCAATTGATACAAAACAATATTGGGATGAATAAATTGCAAACTATAACGTTGATTCATTAAAACATTTGATTTTATAAATTGTAATATTTGGTATCCAACAAACATACATTCATTTGGATTCTATAATTAAAAAATATAAATAAATAAATAAATAAATAAATAAATAAATATTAACATACCCAATGATTTCTACCAATGATTGAAAGTTGATGAGTATTATAATGTTTAATTTCCGTAACATTAAACTCTTCATCACGAAATCCACATACAATGGTTTCAATGCCAGCCCAAAAAGATTGCATCCAAAAAGCAAATGTCTTGAATCTTTCAAAAGTGTTGATTGTTTTATCATTATTTAATAATCTATATGTTTTTAATTCTATATATTTTCTTTCAACTCGTTCTTTTTCTTGTTCTTCTTCATCTCTATTTCTTTTTAAATTATCTTTTTCTTTTTCTTTTTCTTGATTTTCTTTTTTCTCTTTTTCAATACAATCAATTTCAGCAGCCAAAATGATATTAAATTGATTTGCCAAACGAGTTTTAACAATTGAACAATACTTTAGAGTTGTTTCTCTAGAGGTTGCCAATTCTTCAAACTTGAAACCAGAGTATATCGATTTTGCATGATTTTCATCACTATAACCAATCTTTGCATCCATTACAATACCAAGATGAATAATATCATTCTTTGTTTCAATATCTATTGTCCATGAATCCTTGTTTATATAAGATCCAAATATTTTGTTTAAATTATTTCTATATGTTATAAAATCAATATCTCTCAACTAAAAAAAAAAGAGAGAGAGAGAAATAAATATTAGAGTCTAGTTTTACTAATATGATCTCTTTCTATCTATCTATCTCTATTTACATTTATATTATTTGATTCAAGAGTATCTAGTATTGGATCAAGAGGTGAAGGATTATTATTTAAAGGCATTGATTTTAAATCAAATCCTTCTACCAAGTTTATAGGTAATTGTTTTGGTTCTTTAAATTCATTCTAGATAGATGAGCTACTTGTTAATATCAATATAATAAAGTATATATATATATTCAATTCTTCATACAATGATTGAAGGGAATCTATTATTATCATCATCATAACTAAAAGTTGCAATCTCTTTAGGTTTTGTTATACTATATTGTGATAAATCTTGTTGTTTTTGTTGTTGTCTTTGATTAAAATTTCTACGATCATTATTATTATTATTATTATATCTATTCTGATTATGTTGTTGTTGTTGTTGTTGTTGAGGTTTTAAATGATAAATATTAACTGATTTAATATGTTTCATTATTTCTTTTATTATTACTTTTTGAAAATGAATATGAGAGTGAAGATCACAGCACTTTTGTTTTATGATGATTTTAATTATTTATTTTTTAATTTTTTAAATCTTTTCTCTTTTTTTTTTACTATTTCATTTGATTGAAAATAATGATTATAAATTAAAAATGTAAAGATTGGTGAATGATCAGAATAAATATATAGAATTTCTAGAATTTCTACAGACGATAATAAATCTTTTTTGAAAAATGGTTGATCGACCAACATTTTAAAACAAGACAAACTATCAGATCCAATACATTGTTCTAATGCATATTGAATATGGTCTATTTGATTACCAGAATATTCCAATAGCCATTTCAACATTAATGGGTGGTGATGTGAGATTGCCCGATCTAGATATTTTTTATCGATTTCTACCAAATCTGGATACCTTTCAAACACGTGTTGAACAAATACCAATTGATTATTTTCAATTGCTTTTTGAAAGATTATATCAGAGTTTGGTTGTTGGCAATTGAGCGTCATTAATTGATCAAATTGATCAATGTCTCCATTGGTTGCAATGTTCATCCAAATATCTATTCTATATTCTAGTTTGTGATTGGTTTGTTTAGCATATTGTTGGATTAGGTTGTAAATATCTTGATGTTGTTTTTTAAATGAAGTCGATATTATTTCAGATAGAGTTGTTTGGTTTGGTTTAAATGTTGATTGTTGAAATAAAAGATAGTTGACAATGCAGTATATTCTTTTTCCTTACGATTTTTAATATAAACTTTGAATAAATGTTGTGGTTTAATTGCTATTTCTATATCATCTAGCAATCCAAAATAACATATATTAAATAAAAATATATACCATTGTGATTGTTTTGTTGATAATCTACTAATAGTGTCAAAATAGTTTAAACTGTCATATGACAGTTCTTTACGATTAATTTCATATTCAAAATCATTATATATTCCAGACTCTTTTTCTTCTTTTCTTCTTCTTTTCGTCTAAACTCTTCTACTTTTTCATCATCTTCTATTTCATAGAGTATTTCATTAAATTCCACAGTTGAAACCAATGATATAACTGATTGATTTGCCTTTTCTACCAATTGATTATATTGATCCATTTCAAGATGAAATTGTAATACTTGTTTGATAAATCCAATTTGATGATTGAGATCTGTATCCTTGTTGACACCTCGACATAGCAAGCCTTGGATATAATCAGTCATTATTATTTCTTCATATTTATAATGACCTTTACGATAGGCAAGTTTCAATAGTTTAATATCTTGAGCATGTAAAAGTAATAGAAAAAGATCTGGAAACAGCTTTTCCATTTTACTTTGTTTTTGCTTGCAATATCTATAAATAGTTTTGCACAATTGACCAAATCCAATCTATTATATTTATACATCATTGATATTGAAAAATACATATTCTCTCCCAATTTAAACTTGTAGTCGTTCTTTTCCAAAAGATAATGTGCAACTTTATGGTTTAAATTTTTAATAGACAAGAATATACATTCTTCAATGTCAAAAGTTACTTGAACTGGGATGGTATTGGATGCAAGCATATCAAACATTTCTTGATTACCAGCCAATGCAACATTTTCTAAACACTTTGGATGACAAAACCATTCAGGTTTCTTTTCAAATAGATATTTAAATAATTCTATTTGTTGTTGTTGTTGTTGTTGTTGTTGTTGTTGTTGTTGTTGTGGTTGTGTTGAGTCTTCTCCACCTCCCCCACCATATAAACATATTTCTTGAGTTGTACACAAATAAATAAATAAATAAATAAATAATCTTACTCTTGTTTTGCGCAATCTTTATAGTATTTATATCTATTATACATACATGATGATTGATGTTTGGTATTCTTTTAACACTCTTTTTAGTAATATTAATATCTGTACTGTCCTCTCTATCACGCAATGATCCCATCTTTGAGAGAGAGAGAACTATAAAAATACATAACGCATGATCGTAATAATTATTTTTTATTATTTTTTAATTTTATAATTCATTCAAATAAGAGGAGGTGAGTTAGGTCTTGCAAGTTGATCTTTTGATTGAATATAATTATTATAGATTAAAAATGATAGGATTGGTAAACTATTATCAAAACTAAAATCCAACTCTTATGAAAAAAGAATGATCGACCACACTTTACAACATCAAGACAGGTTGAAGTATTTCATTATCCATTTTGTTATTCATTAATTTTATTTAATAATTCCTTAAAATAAAAAGGAATAAAACTAGGTATTGAAAGTTGATATTTTGATGTAATATAATTATTATCAATTAAAAAGATAAGGATTGGTAAATTATCGCAATCAGATTCTAGAACGATATGATTTTTTAAAAATGGGAATGCAACAGAGTAAAATTGATCCAATAACATTTTAAAACAAGGCAAGCTACCATATTGAATACATTCTTTTAATGCATGTTGAATAGATTATTTTTTGTCTCCATTTAGACGGCCACGAGTATATTCCAATAACCATTTCAACATTTGAGGGTGGTGATGTGAGATTGCCCAATACAATAAAAGGTTGTAATCTGATAATATATTTGCAATCAAATCTGGGTACTTACCAAAGAAGTGTTGAACAAATGCCAGTTGATTCTCTCCAATTGAAATCCTAAGCATTTGATAGAGGTGTTCTGGATTAAAGTAATAGTATTGACTAGAGTCCATTAATCGATCAAATATCTCATCTTTAAAGAGATATATGTATACAAACAAAGAGTTTGTATTTATTTATTATTATTATCTCTTTTAAAAGGTGAGAATTGGCAAAAGAATTTGTTAGTCTTGACAAAAGAAAGTAAACTTTGAAGTAGTTTTTTTTTAATTTAATTTTTTAAAAAATTAAACCCTTTGTTTTATTTTATTTTTTTAATTTAATTCTTTTAGAGAAGAGGATTGAGAAAGTAGATTTGTTGATGCAATATAATTATTATCAATTAAAAAGGAAATGATTGGTAAATTATCATCGGTGCATTTTATGATTTGATCTTTTAAAATTGGGATGGCAACAGAGTAATGTTGATCGACCAACAATTTAAAACAAGGCAGGCTACCAGTTTCAATACATTTTTTTAATGCATGTTGAATACCTTCTTGGTATCCATTTTGACGAGAGAATTCCAATAACCATTTCAACATTTGAGGGTGATCATGTGAGATTGCCCAATACAAAAAGTTGCCAACTGACATTGTTGTCCAATTTGGATACTTGTCATTTATGTGTTGAATAAATGCTAATTGATTATTGACAATTGAAAAACGAAAGAGTTCATTGAGGACTTTTTGCTTCATACGGTGACCATTAGAAATTAATTGATCAAATTGTTTGATATCTCCATTGGTTGCAATACGTTTCAATAGTTTCATTTCATATTTCACAGTTGTTTGTTGATTGGTTTGTTGTTGTTGTTGTTTAACCATATATTCATTGATTAGCTTATGAAGGTCCAAGAATTGTTTTTTAAAAGCAATAGAGATGATAGAGGAGAGTGTCTCTTTGGTTGGTTGAAATTTTGATTGTTGAAATAAAAGATAATTGACTATATCTATTTGATTCAACTTTGTTGACATTTCCAATTGAGTTTGATACATGTCTATAATCTTTTCTTGATGATTTGGATCGTTGCAATTTTGATAAATCTGTTTCATCCATTGAAAACTTGCTTGTCCAATTGAGTCATCATAGAAATACTGAACAATTGCTACTTTTGATAATATATCAAATACTTTTTGACTGAGATTCTTGCTATTTGTAACCTCTAATACATTTTCACCAATTTGTGATGGATCACTGTCACTGATGAGGGTGATGATCATATAGAGTAGGTGATAATAACCAAACCTTGTGATATATTCCGCAATGATACTATTTGTAGATCGGTCGAATAAATTTGGATAGCGTTTGTATAAGAGCTCGACAAGACCGATACTCTTTTGTTTATAACAAAATACTTCCAAAGTAGTCTTATCAAACTCGCTAATACCATTGTCGATGAGATATTGCATGATTTCCAACGATTGATAAGCATCGTGATGTCGGGGATAAAAGACTGTATCTTCATCTAACAAACCCAATAGATGAGCTGCTTTTACATGCTCTAATCTTGCATTGGCTACAATATAATGACACCCAAAAATCTTTTCGACCAATCCAGTATATTCTTTTTCTTTTCCATTTTGAATATAGACTTTGAATATATGTTTTGGTTCTGTTGGCCAAGAATATGTTTCATCATCACCATCCACCAATCCAAAATAACATATATTAAATAAAAATAGATACCACTGTGATTGTTTTGTTGATAATCTACTAATAGTGTCAAAATACGTTGAATTTTCATCACGTTCTACTTCTTCTTCTTCTTCTTGGTCATGTTCTGCATCGCCATATTCTTCTTCTTCTTCCTCATCATCTTCTTCTTTATCATCTTCTATTTCATAGAGTATTTCATTAGATTCCACAGTTGAAACCAATGATATGACTGATTGATTTGCTTTTTCTACCAATTGATTGTATTGATCGTTTTCGAGATGAAATTGTAATACTTGTTTGATAAATTCAGTGTGATGATTGAGATCTGTATCCTTGTTGACACCTCGACAAATTAGGCTATGGATATGTTCGACAATATCATCTTGTTCATATTGATAGTAACCTTTACGATAGGCAAGTTTCAATAGTTCGATGTCTTGAGCAAATAAAAGTAGTTTGAACACTTGAGGAAATAAACTTTTCATGTCTTGATTGTTTTTACTTGCAATATCAATAAATAGTTTTGCGCAATTGACCAAATCCAATCTATTACTTTTATGTTGTATTAATGATATTGAAAAATACATTTTATCCGCCAATTTAAAGTTATAACTGTTCTTTTCCAAAAGATATCGTGCCATTTCATAGTTAGCACCTTGAATAGCTCGGAATATACATTCCTCAATATTAAAAGTTACTTGAACTGGAATGGTATTGGATGCAAGCATATCAAACATTTCTTGATTACCAGCCAATGCAACATTTTCTAAACACTTTGGATGACCAAACCATTCAGGTTTCTTTTCAAATAGATATTTAAATAATTCGATATCTTGTGAACCATATAAACATATTTCTTGTGTTGTTTTATAATTCCATTTTAAATGATGTTCATTTAAATAATCTTTTCTATTATTGAATGATGTTTGTTGATCTTGTTGTTGTTCTAGATGTTGTTTCAATTCCATTTCCTCTCTTTCAATTCTTTCTTTTAATATAGTAATAAAACCACAACGTAGATACCAAGTAATATCATTTGGTAGTTGATTGATCTTGTATGATTTAATTGATCGTTTTAAAGGTGCTCCCAAAGATACAATCTTTCTAAATAAAACGATATTACAAAGTACACTTTTAATAACTCTATCATGTTGTTGTTTATTCAAATCTGTACTACATTCATTATTACATCCCTACAAACAAACAGACAGATAGATAGAAAGATAGAAATGTAAATAAAAGGTCGGAATGTAAACTGATTATAATTTATACATACTTGATGATTGATGTTTGGTATTCTTTTAACCTTTTTACTAATATGGAAATAAGTATTATTATGTCTATCGTACAATGATCTTGCCATCTTTATAATTCTATATCAACAACAAACGAGAGTGAACAGCAGCTTGAACTCATCAAAACCTAGATTTGAAAAAAAAAATATATTAATTTTTTGTGCCCCTGTTTCTTGTCAAAATCCAAAAAACTTGGAAGCTGCAAAAAATAAAGGAAAGAAAAGACAGAGCCTAAACAAATATCTCTCTTGAGCTAAAGACCTCGTTCTCTTTGTTTTTTGTTCTTTGTAGAATCAACATGTTATTATGTAATATGTGCTTGTGTATTATTATTATTATTAATTTAATTTTTTTAATAAAAAAGAACAAGAAGAAGAGGAACATTTTGAAAGTTGATTTTTTGTTGATGTATAATTATTATCAATTAAAAAGGAAATGATTGGTAAATTATCATCGGTGCATTTTAGAATGGTTTGATCTTTTAAAAATGGGATTGCAACAGAATAATATTGATCAACCAACAATTTAAAACAAGATAAGCTGCCTAATCGAATACAATATTTTAAAGCATATTGAATATATTCTTCTTGGTCTCTGTATCTATATTCCAATAACGATTTCAACATTTGAGGGTGGTGATGTGAGATTGCACAATCTAAAAGGTAGCTGCTACGCGATATAGTTTTCAAATCTTGGTACTTGACAAACAAGTGTTGAACAAATACCACTTGATTATTGGAAATTGCTAAACTAAATATTTCATCGAGGTGGTTTGGGGAGATGGCATATTTGTTCTTTTTACTATTTTCCATTAATTGATCAAATTGTTTGATATCTCCATCGGTTGCAATCATTTTCCATAGGTTCTTTTCATATCTCACATATGTTTGTTGATTGGTTTGTTGAATGTATTGATTAACTATGTTATGAACCTCCAAGAATTGTTTTTGAAAAGCAATAGAGATTAATTCAGAAAGAGTCTCCTTGGTTGGTGTAAAAGTTGATTGCTGAAATAAAAGATAATTGATTATATCTATTTGATTTGCTTTGGTTGATAATATTAATTGAGTTTGATACATAGAGTCAATTTTGTCGATATGATTTGATGGTTTACCATTGCAATTTTCATAAATCTGTTTCATCCATTTAAAACTAATTTGTCCAATTGAATCATCATAATAATAATGAACAATTGCTACTTTTGATATAGCATCAAATACTTGTTGAGTGAGGTTCTTTTTATGTTTTTTTCTAACCTCTACTACCTTTTCACCAATTTGTGATGTACCATCATCATCATCACCGTCACTGATGGTAATCATATAGAGTAAGTGATAATAACCAAACATTGTGATATATTCGGCAATCATACTATTTGTAGATTGGTTAAATAAATTTGGATAGTGTTTGTATAAAAGCTCGACAAGACAAACATTCTTTTTGTCACCACAAAATTCTATCAAAGTATTATTGTTAATATCGCCAATACCAATGTCGATTAGATATTGCATGATTTCCAACGATTGAGAAGCATCACGTTGCTCTGGATAAAAGAGTGTTTCTTCATCCACCAAACCCAATAGATGAGCTGCTTTTACATGTTCCAATCTTCCATTGCTTGTGATATACTGACAACCAAAAATCTTTTCAACCATGATAGTATATTCTTTTTCTTTACCATTTTTAATATAAACTTTGAATAAATGTTGTGGTTGCTTTGGCCAATATCCTTCTTCACCTGCCACCAATCCAAAATAACATATTGTAAATAAAAATATATACCACTGTGATTGTTTTGTTGATAATCTACTAATTGAATCAAAATACGTTGGGAACCAATCTTCATCTTCTTCATATTCTTCATAGTCATAATCTTCTCTAAACTCTTCTACTTTTTCATCATCTTCTCCTTTTTCATAGAGTATTTCATTAGATTCCACAGTTGAAACCAATGATTTTACTGATTGATTTGCCTTTTCTACCAATTGATTGAATTGATCGTTTTCGAGATGAAATTGTAATACTTGTTTGATGAATTCCGTTTGATGGTTGAGATCTGTATCTTTGGGCATACCTCTATACATTAGGTCATTATGGATATGGCGGGCAATACTATATTGAGTAAATTTATAGTAACCTTTACGATAGGCAAGTTTCAATAGTTTAATGTCTTGAGCAAATAAAAGTAGTTCAAATACTTGAGGAAACAGCTTTCCCATTTTTACATTGTTTTTAATTGCAATATCTATAAATAGTCTTGCACAATTGACCAAATCCAATCTATTACGTCTATGTATCATTGATATTGAAAAATACATATTCTTTCCCAATTTAAAGTTGTAATTATTCTTTTCCAAAAGATATCGTGCCATGTCATAGTTAGCACCTTGAATAGCTCGGAATATACATTCCTCAATATTAAAAGTTACTTGAACTGGAATGGTATTGGATGTAAGCATATCAAACATTTCTTGATTACCAACCTTTGCAACATTTTCTAAACACTTTGGATGACCAAACCATTCAGGTTTCTTTTCAAATAGATATTTAAATAATTCGATATCTTGTGAACCATATAAACATATTTCTTGTGTTGTTTTATAATTCCATCTTAAATGATGTTCATTTAAATAATCTTTTCTATTATTGAATGATGTTTGTTGATCTTGTTGTTGTTGTTCTAGTTGTTGTTTCAATTCCATTTCCTCTCTTTCAATTCTTTCTTTTAATAGAGTAATAAAACCACAACGTAGATACCAAGTAATATCATTTGGTAGTTGATTGATCTTGTATGATTTGATTGATCGGTCTAAAGGTACACCCAACGACACAATCTTTCTAAATAAAACGATATTACAAAGTACACTTTTAATAACTCTATCATGTTGTTGTTCATTCAAATCTGTACAATATTCATTATTACATCCCTATTTGATTGATAGATAGATAGAAATAAAAAAGAATATAAAGTAAATAAACTACTCTAAACCGAATATATGGATGTTATCTATTTATACATACATGATGATTGATGTTGGGTATACTTTTAACCTTTTTACAAATATTGAAATAAGATTTACTAGTTCTGTCGTGCAAATATCTTATCATCTTTAAAGAGATATATGTATAAAGAACTAGTATATTATTATCTTTTTAGAAGGTTCTGGTAGAAATCATACTGAAAAGAATATAAAGGCAACTGTAGAATCAAGATCGTGTTGTCCTTGTATGGATAGTCTGTCTGGGCAATTTTTCATGTGGTTGCTTTCAATAGATAATATAAATATTTATTTTATTTATTTATTTATTTACTGATTTAGGAAATAGGATCATTATTGGGAGTTGTATTTGGATCTGTTATTGTAGGTTGTTTGTGGGTATGGAGATTGATTAGATCATTCTTTGGTGAAAGAGTAGATGAATTGAAAAGGATGAAATCGATTGGGTATCTAGTTCCCTATGTTGAACAGCTTTGTGCAACTAAACCAACGATTAGAGTCAGTTGTGAAAGTTATCATGGGAGACAAGATACAGAACAGTTACGATGTCAACGGCAAACCCATTACGAGAACTGAAACCTATCAGGTCAAGGAAGTCACCCACACAGATTCCACTCAAATGTATATCTATGAATGGGCAGACGTCTCCCCGCCAGTTGACAGCACCATCACAACCTTGTTACTCCAAGTACACTTTACAAAGTTCTATATACACATGGACACTCAATCTCGACAGATTCTTGAATCAGTCAAGGAAGAAATGACCCAAAGAAACAAAACAAGAGACACTCACTTTACCATTTATGATGGTATAAATATCGCCAACTTTACAAACTCTAGACTCTTTTGTTTGGATGAAAATAGAATCCCATGGTATGCCAATACTTTTTGGTGGGCTATTGTTAATGTTTGTATTCATTCGAGAAATATAATAATAATATAATATACACTTGATTGATTATTATTAACACCTACCAACCTTTTTTGACAATTGATATTATCGGATGATGATGTAGATTACATTTTTATGGTTCCCATGGGAAGTTGCTTATGGATCTAATCTTGCAACTGGTCAATTCGATGTTTTGAAACGTGTACGTATCACTGGTACATATGATGAGAATGGAACACTCCAATTAGTCACCATCTGAATACTAGTGCACAAAATAGTAAACCCAGCCAATGATCCCAAATAATTCTTATCAAAATTATATTGTATCATCAATCTTTTTTTCCAACTAATAAATTGAAAAAAAAAGAAAGTTATCTTTTTTTTTTTTTTCTTTTTTTTTCTTTTTTTAATGATCATCCAACCATACATACCCATATTTTGTTACTTTACCACATCTTATTGGATTGGTAACTTGGGTTTATTCTTTTCTTGAAGCTGTTTTAAATGAACCTTGAGGAGTTGTCTGGTTTCAAAATGTCCTTTGTTTGTCAATTGGTTGATCAATCTTTCAAGTGAATCTATTGATAACCTACCATCATCACCAAATTGAGAGAGAATCAACTTGACAATATCATAGCGTCCATCATTTGATACAGTTCGCAGTAGGGCAATATCGCATTTCTCTTTTCTTACATTGATTAGAAATGACGCCATTTCCAAGTACCCTCTACGGCAAGCCAACTCTACAGCTCTTTTAGTACACCCTTCACTTCTATTAAAGTGTAAAAACTAAACATAAATAAATAAATAAATAAATAAATAAATAAATAAATAAATAAATAAATAAATAATTAAATAATTAATTAATTAATTGTTTTTTGTTTGATTATTTCTACATACTTTAACAATTTCAACATGATTGTTTTCAGATGCCTTGTTCATAGCATCGGTAGTTGCACCTTCAGTACGACGCTCATGAAGGAACTTTACAATATCAATGAATCCATTTTCAGCTGCCTTGTTCATTGCCTGTGTAGTTGCACCTTCTGTACGACGTTCATGAAGGAACTGCACAATTTCAATGTGTCCGTTTTCAGCAGCCCAATCCATAGCATCGGTCGTTGCACCCTCACTACGATGTTGATGAAGGTATTTGACTATATCCATGTGATTATTTTTAGATGCCTCGTCCAATGCCATGTCGGTTGCACCTTCACTGCGATGCTCATCAAGGTACCGTACAATATCCAAATGTCCGTTTTGAGCTGCCCAATTCATAGCATTGGTTGTTGCACCTTCTGTACGATTTAAATGAAGAAACTTTACAATATCTATAAATCCATTACAGCTACTATAGTCCATCGCATCTTTTGTACATCCTTCTTGTCTATGTTCATGTAAGAACTTTAAAGTTGAAATAGAAAATAATAAATATATAAGTTGGTTGTAATATTATTATTGTAAAGTGTATTTGTTTGTCTAAAACATACTTTAACAATCTCTAAATGTCCATTTCTAGCTGCATGATCCATAGTTTTCCTTGTACATCCTTCAGTTCTATTAAAATGAAGAAACTATATTTAAACTTTAGAGTTAATATATTATATTATATTATATTATATTGATTTACCAACTCGACTCACCTTGACAACTTCTAAATGTCCATTTTTTGTTGCTTCGTTCTAAAAAGAAAGGAAAAAAGGTAGATTAAATTTAATTAGTTCTTATTATATCATTCATAATATTATCTTACCATTGCAACTGTTCTACATCCTTCAGTTCTATTAAAATGAAGAAACTATAATAATAATATTATTATTTTAGTTCAAAAACAAATATTATTAATAATTATTTTTACAATACAATATTGTCTAATCACATCATATATATATATATATATATACATATACATACCTTTACAACATCTAAATGACCATGTGTTGCTGATTGTTCCTTTATGATGATTAAATCAGTATTGAGAGATCAATTAATTATTTCTTTTCTTTTTTCTTTTTGTTTCAATTCTTCTTCTTCTTCTTCTTCTTCCTCTACTTACCATTGCTTGAATACTACAACCTTCAGTTCTATTGTAATGTAAATATTTTAATATTTCAATGAATCCATTACTACAAGCAACGTCCATTGCTATTGAATTGGCTCTTGCGCCATCGATAGAGTCTATTAATTTGACAGTTGAGAGATAACCATGATTTGACGCCACAGACATTGCTTCAACGAGAAATTGATCATCTTTGGGACATCGCTTGATTAGATACTCCAACACCTCTTGATTTGTTACAGCACTGCCACTTTTTAATCGCAAGTAATCCCAATCAAAGTCATCCATGATGGGTGACCACTCCAATAGACGCAATAGTGTATCCAATGTTGCATTTGGGTGTAGACAGTATCGATTAATCACTCGCTCTCTTCTACTGACTGTGAGAATTTGATTATCATTATCATCATCGTCATCATCTTTATCAACTTCAAGAGGTAGATAATGACTTATAAAGTTCCATGGCATTGCATAGATTGATATCATTTCAAGAAGAGGTAATTTGATGATATCTCTTCCTTTTAATGACAATGATTGCCGTCTAATATTAGTACCATTATCACTATAACTTCTACCTCCTCCTCCTAATAAATATGATTGGTATAGTTGATTTGATATATTACTAATATGATTGAATATCAATTGTCTAATGTATATAGATCTGAATACAGAATGAAATGTTACAATGGTTGTTGTTGTAGTCATTTGTTATTATTAAGAGTAGATTTTTAAAAAGAGTAAATTATTTTATGTAGTTCTTTTTTGTTTTTTTTATTTTATTTATTTTAAATGAACAACTCAATCTAAATGGAACATTCAAATATAAATAAATGGGATAATATTTTTCTTGTTTTAGTTGTTGTTCTAGTTGTTGTAGTTGTTGTTTATGATGATATATATATATATCATATAGTATGTATATACATAGAACATTCCACCTTGAAGTGTTTGTGTTTCCAATACCAATACATTCTTATTGTCCAAGTCTAATCTGTGAATTGAAAGTCTATAAGTTAAAGATCTTTTCACTACCTGTGGCAACATTGGTGTGGTTGATTACTTCATCTAATCTAAATATCTTTTAGTCATGCATTGGTGAGGTATTTGTACGCCCAACTCTAGTTGTTGTGAGGATTGCCCATGTTTGTTCCTCTTTTGTTGTTTCCTTGTCACGGCTGCGTACGTAGATATCGAGGTGGACTAGTGATGTCAATGAAAGTAATGTGTCTCGTTGAAGAGGTACCTCTCCCAGTATCACAGTGAGCGACGTCAGACTTTTTGTCAAGATAGGAATATACTGATCGCTCTCTGTCCGTGATCGGTATTTGTCGAGTTCCAAGTCACTGAGATTGCATACAGTGGTGATATCATAGCGCTCGTTAGTGGAGTTAATCATCAATCTTCTTAAAGCACTACTATTATATAACTTCCGACATGTCATCAATAAACATATTATATCTCCATTATCATCAATCTCTGATATAATAATAAATGATAATAATCATTATTTATCATCATTAAATTAAAAATTAATATTAAATTAAATAGATAGATAGAAAGTGAAAGAGATGAGTAATTGAGATATAATATGTTTGTTGTTGACTTGTAAAAAGTTATATCATAATAGTAGTTTAAGAAGATTGATAGATAGATAGATAGATAAATTAAATAAATAATTAAAGTGAAACAAAAGAAATGAACAACACCCCTCTCTCTGTCAAAATGTGAGAGGAAAAAAAAAATTAAATTAAATTAAATAGTACTTTTATTATTATAGTTTGTTTGTTTGTTTGTTTGTTTTAGTTAGTGCCCCCAAACTACAGCAGGAGATGTAGCTATTCTATTAGCAATGGCAGAGAGAGCAGTGATGACATCGGATGAGTCTGTAAAGGGAAAGTAGTGGTCAGTGTTATAGCCTGCAGCCTGCGAGTTGGTCGAGAGGGAGGCCATGAAGAGTTGGCGGTCGGTCCAGTCTTGGTTGGTGACGGTGTTGTAGATGTTGACGTATGGCAGGTCTTTGAGGGGATTGGCACCCTTGAGAGTGTAGGTAAAGTTGAGGATGGCAGAGGACAGCACCATGATATTGAGCTCTTGGACGCTGGTCAAGAGGTTCTTATTGGTGAGCCACAGCTCTTGCGATGCGTCGATCGATGCTTGTGTGAATCCTAGTGCAAGCGAGCTGTTTGGGAAGTACCCGTGACCGAGTGGGATGAGACCGGCGGCAGCATCACTTTGGAGCGACCCAAGTCCGAGCTTGGTCATATAGGTTGTGAATGTATTGGTGAGCGAGATGACTGCTTGTTGGTTATCCGAGATGAATCCCCATTTAGAGTCAGTGCCATCTATCGTGACTATACCCACCACCTCGGTCGGGTAACTGAGGGCATAGGTCTGCACGAAAATAGAGCCCCACGACCAACCAACCAACACATATTTTGTGCCCGTCAAGCCAGCTACGCCAAGACTACCGTGTAATCTAAAGACATACTCTTGGGTAGTGACAGGTAGAACGTTCTTGTCAGACCAACCGTACCCAAAACGGTCCATAAAGCAAGCCTTGCTAAAGTTCCAAGCGGGCATATTAATCATAATGCGTGGGATGACCGACACCCAAGCCGTCGAGAAAAAGGGCAGACCGGCGTCAAACAGAGCGATGGGCCCATTGGCATTTGCAGTAGTCACGTTGCTGTAGCATCTAATATGCATGCTCAGACCTAGATATGACGGGAAATAGTCGACTCCAGGATCTCCGGCTCCCAAATACGAAGTGGCTACATTGGGTGTCGCCGATGACCAACAACACATTAAAAGAAGAAGAAATATAGATATAATAGATAGTTTTGTTGACATTTTGATTGAGAGATAAATATGGTTGGTGAATGTTGTGTAAAGTAGTTGTATATTGATTGAATGCAAGTAAGGAAGAGGAGTCTTTTAAATAGTTTTTGGGTTATGTTGAAAATATATAGATTCCACCAACCAAATTGTGAGAGCCTACTATAGTTGCCTCCTTGAATTGGCCTGCAAGCGCGACACGATGCCTCTCTCGCGCGCGGTTTGAAAGGGATGGAGGGAGGGAAGGAATATTTGCAGCGACAAACCAACATTTTGCCCTCTTTTCATAGGGTGGCTACGAGCAAGGCAAGGCTTGATTCGAATATCGTGATGGTCATTTGGGGGCTGAGGGTATATTGTTTGTCGGTCACATAATAGTCGGTTCTACATTTGATTTGCAGACAGATCAAAGAGGGGCAAATAGGGGCAAAGAAAGGAGGGATAATAATATAATTATCTGACATCCCCTTTGCAGACTGACTTTTTGGGATCTCTTCCTCTTTAAGTAAACCGTAATATATTGGCTCAATATTAACAATTTCTTTAAAACTGCTTCAGTGACGGGTTGCAAGATGAATCATCATTGTTGGGTGGTGGGGTTACATGCTCTAATAGATGACTATGATAGGTGTGGTTGTTATTTATGCTACTGTCTCTTCATCATTGCTACTTTGTTTATCTTTTCTTTTAATCAGAGATTATGTATCTCTGTTATGTTGGAGGTCACGATGTTCGAGATTAGATTTAACAAATGATGTTTCCTCTTTAACTATCCTATCCTCTCTCTCTGTTCGATGCTGTTGATGGGTGGTGGTGGGTGTTAACACTGTGCATTGTGTTCTTTAAAGAAAAAAAGAAATAAACAAATTTGGTGCGCACACGAACCACGATCTTTTTTCGGATTACATAACTTGAAATTGCCCATTTACAGTCAAAACCATTATAACTGGTTGACAATCTCCCCAAAAGATGCCCATTTTGCCAAAAGAATGGAATCTAATAATTTATCTTACTAAACATTTCGTTCATTGCCTTGTTTATCTATCGAGGTGCGATCGTATGGTGTCATGCAATTTGAGTATGAGACTATTAGATCAACAGATACCAATCTCTTTGATCACAACGGTCATATTATTGTGCATTAAAATAATAATTATTTGAAACCCTTTAATTATTCAAATTTGATTTGATGTAGTATAGTTGTTGGGTTTTATTATTATTAATTCTTTGTTATTTGTTCTGTTTTTTTAATTTAATAACAACAATACTTGTTATTAATAATCCAACCAATACAACAAATAATTGAGCTAGATCAAATAGATATCGAGGTGAATGATATCTCCAAATAAACATACCTTCTCGATCCGCTATCAAGATGGATATTAACTTTTTCATATTTAATTGATACCAAAATAATACCATTAAAAATAGTATCATTAAATGTTTTTTAAATTCTAATCTACCATTATTATTACTGTTATTATTGAAAATAATAATAAATATTGGAATTGATAAGAAATAAATAATGGTAGATGAAAAGGTATTTAAAAGTATCATAAATGCTGCTCTGATTTGATTTAAACCTTGAAATCCTATAAATGCACAGTCAAGTTGAAGTGACCCCAAACCATATTCATGACCAGTAGAATGGAAATGGAATAGTGATAAATAAAATAGAGTTGTAATTGTCACTATCCAATGAGTAGTTTGAAATATTGAATAGATCAATTTCATTTGACCATTATTGTTGTTGTTGTTGTTTTTGATCCAATCCTTTTTAATATTGATCATAATCTTTGCAATTATTATATATTGTACCAACATCCAAACAAATCCAACCACATTCCTCGGACCCAATAATGTACATAATAATATAATCATTGGTATTATTATTTTTAAATATTGATTTAAAAATAAATTATCATTATTACAGTTATTATTACTATTATAGTTATTATTATTAATGATTATTTTAATTATTGAATAAATGGTAATTGAATAAATAATCCAAACTGGGAATGATTTGATGATCCAATTTGGTTGAACATCATTTAAATGTTTGATTGAATCTAAAATCCAATAAATAGTCAAACATAATAAACATGTTGAATATTTTAATTTGTTATTATTATTTTGATTATTTTGATTATATATGTTATTAAAGATAAAATAAAGGGATGGAATAGTCCAACACCAAGTAATAAAATTATTAAATGATAATTTGAGTATTGAATCAAATGTGAATAGATTTGATTCATTGATGGACTCGATATTGTATAACCATCCTTTGTAAAGATTGATATATTCTCTACTTGATAAACATATCGATCCAAACAACAAGACAAACCAAACGATTTGTTTGGCAATCTCTTTTTTCAAAACTCTATTATAGATTGGTGTAGGTAATAATGAAAGGATTGATAACAATCCAACTGGAATCCCAATGACTTTTTTAATTTGCGTATAAATAAAGTCATAGTAGGATTCAATGTTTTGCATTTTCAAAAATGAATCATTGATTAATTGAAAGGGAGGATAGGTAGCCAAAAAGAAAACTAAAACTAAACCAATTGTCATGGCTACTGTTCTAGTTTGTTCTTTTAAACGTCCGATCTTGATTCTCTTATATTGTTGAATGTTTATAGTATTGAACCAATTTTGACATATAGTAATGATTAATCCAATATTTGTCCAAATAACCAAATGACCAAGTAATATAAATCCAAATGATTGTTGTTTGCTTTCACCAAAATAATAATGAAAACAACTTGAATAAATTGCAATCATACTATAACTTATAATCCTTATAAATGGAAATAGTATTATTGATTGATTTTTTACTCTTTTTTCTTTTTCTTTTTCTTCTTCTTCATTTCTAATTGAAGAAATTTTTAAAAGAAGAATAAAAAAGATTGATAAAGAAATAGAGATAAAACAATAATAACCAAGATACATTAGGAAAAGATTAAAAGTTGCCCATTGATCAACCAAAAACCGGTAAATATAAGTTTGAAAATTAATATAGGCCAGATAGATACTAATATATTCAAACTCTGATACTGGTTGGTTGGATTGGATCGATGATGAAACTCGACTGTATCGTTGATCGGCATCATCGAGAATACCATAGAATTTGGTAAGGGTTTCAGAGTTGGCAGCCAATTCTGAAGATGGTACTGCTTGTCGATAAGAGTCTACATAACGTTTGATTGACCATGTTGAAAGTCTTGTCGCATCCAATAGAGTAGGCCACGACTTTTCAACTCGAACTTGTCCGTTTGGTAGCGTCTTGGAGGTCGATATAAACAATTCAGGAATAGCCTTTCCCAAACTATTATAACCAATTGGCACACCCATCAACAATGAATAAGTTGATATAAAATCGATTTGATCAACTTTTCGATCGACTGTTGCCTTGGGGTCATGATTAAATAAATTGTACGGTATGCTTGCATTGATTACTTGATTCTTTGCATAGAAAAATAATGCTGCATCTGTCTCTTCTTTACTCGATCCTGAATGTGTCCCTTGATTTGTCATTCCATGGTCTCCCATAATTACCAATAATGTATCATTATCCATTCTTTCAATTATCTAAATAAAATAAATTAATAAATTAATAAATAAATTAATAAATAAATAATTTATATTTCTCTTTTTTTCTTCTTTCTATTTCTTCTTTACTTACATCTTTAAAATAAAGATTAAATTGATTTAATTTTAATTTCATTGATGGATTATATGGACCGTGACTATGACCAACATGATCAACACCCAATAAATGGCCAATAATAATATCCCAGTCATTGTCTACTATTGACTCCTCTGCAGAAGAGGAGCGGGTGTGTTGTCTTTTTTGTCTTCTTTTTTCTTTTGATGGACTACGATGTTGACGGTTACCACGATCAAGGTCGACTTCTTGAATTTCTCTTGGATCGAATGGTTTTGTATTGGATTGTTTAAGTGGGGATAGCATCTTGTTGGTTTGATCCATTACACCGAAATCAACAGTATCCAAATCATGTACAAAAAATGAAGAAAAGGGATACGACTTGTAAAACATCTTTGGATACATGTTTGTCCAAGTATCATCACCTACAAACACTGTCCTCTTTTTTCTAATAGTGTCAGTGAGTTGACGGATAAGATTGTCCTCTGCAACAGCTGGACTATTGAAATTTGAACCAATGTCGATAAAGGTTGGTAGCGAGCCTGTCGTAATACCCTTAATTCTTTGTGAGGTGACGGTTGGTGGATCAGCATAGAATCGGTACAACAAAGTGTTGTGTGGTTGTGTGACCAAGAGGTGTTGTATATGTTTCAATTGGTTGTTGGTCATTATTCGGTTGGATTTGGTTGTGGCTGTAGTGGTAGTGTTCACGGGTGCAACAAAGTCATATCGAAGTGCATCGACAAACAAGAGAATACTACGATTGAATCGTGATGGCATCCAACATGATGACTTTGACTTGACCGAGTCTTGTGAGGGGTCATTATGATTCCACTTCCATTCAGACGGTTTTGTATACTCTGACAATAACGGTGTGGTGTGACGGGTGTCTTCTCGAGCAAATGGGAGTACATCACATTGACTGTAAAGAGGCAACTCGAAACGCATCAAGAAGAAGCCGCTGAAAAAGATGTAACTTGCAATGGCCGACACCACCAGATAGTATGTCAAAAAGATTGATATGTTCCATCGTCGTAGTTGAGATGACCGTCGTACCAATGTCTTTAGTATACATTCTTCTAGAATACCTTGAAATGGATACACATACATCTGTCTATACATCGACATCAAGTATTGACTGTATTGATAGAATAATCGATTATTTGCAACAGATCTAGAGTCATCTTTATCATCATCATGATCAGATTCTTCTCCTTCCTGACAAATGATTGCTTGATCATCTACATCGACATTGATTGCTTCCATCTCTCTCTCTCTCTCTCTTCTTGCTCTTTGCTGTAGTACAGTCTTACAAGTACATGTTTATCTATCTCTAGTGATGGAGTGGTTGAAAATAATGGCACCTTCATTCTCTGCTGCAGGCTCTTCTCCTTTTTTTTCTCACACATTTTTAATTACATAAATTGGATTATTATTATCACCTACCGAGCCAACGATACCTACAACTGCTGTTCAATATTGTAAAATTGCACCACCAAGTAACAGTACTTAGGACATCAAAAGAAGGATGGCGATATATAACGCTTTTCCGAATGTTAAAACATTCCTTGGATTCTATTTCTAAAAAGAATAAGTTATTTGTAAATAAAAGATAAAAGATAAAAGATAATATTTATTTCAACTATCAATATATATAGTTTAATAGTCATGGATGGATGGATGGATGGATGGATAAATGTATTTATAAATTTATCCAATCAATATAATAATTATCATAATATAAAAGAGGGGGGTCAGGAAAGGGTAAAATAGAGGTCACTGATTGTTGCAAAATAACCAATACACTAACTATCTTGAACCGACTATTTAGAAAAAAGAAAGAGAGAAAGTTTGTTTTTATTCTTTATTAACCACAGTCCTGACTGCACACCATCAAAATATCTCAAAATAAGAGTGACTGACTGGTTGACTTGTTAACTAACTACTTTCTTTCTGTCCGTTGATAATAATAATAATAATAATAATAAGAATACTATTATTATTATTCGTGTTCTAGAATTCTATCCATTAGATTAATCTCCTATTATTCATTCCTCTTTCTCCCCCTCCCACTCTTTCCTCTAACGTTTTTTTGCTATGGTTTAAAAATTAAGAGATGGAAAGTATAAATGTATAAAAAGGCATAATTACTACTTACATTTTATATAAACCATCCATCCATCCAAACCAAAATAAAATAAACAAACGTTTATAATATTATTTTTTATAATCAATTTTCAATTCTCTAAAAAAATGAACAAATTAACAATCTTTATGTTGGTTGCCATTGTTACCATGCTCTTTGTATCTTCCAGTGTACTAGCCGAAATCAATCAAAACAATAGTGAAAAATGCAGTGATTGTATAAAACAAGCCAAAACCAATTTTGAATCATGCAAGATTAGTGACATTTCTTTCTCCTCTTGCTATAAAATTTATGGTTTGGACTACCAAGTTTGCAAAAATAAAGGATGCTAACCCCCAAAAATTCTATACAATCTAGAAATGATCATCTTCATTTCCATTCTAAAAAGAATATCAAAATAAATATTTATAATTGAAATCTAAATTTTTTATATTTATTTTTCCATGCTGTCAGTCTCAGTCTCTGTCTCTGTCGCCACTGCAATTGATGAAAACAATGAAAGTTGATTGTTTTTTATCTCAACAGGAGTTCCTTATAAAGTGCAAGGCAGAGAACAAGCGTTCCTCCACATGTTATTTCGAATTCCGTACCTATCAAAATAATTGCCTCAACCTAGGATGCATCTTACCCACCTAATGACATGTCAAACAATCATCAATTTATTTGCTTTTATCTGTACCCAAAAGGTGAGGAAGAAGAAGAAATAGAGATATAAACTTTACTTTGTTTACTCTTTTAAAAAAACTACTTTTGCTTTATTATTATTTCTTTTTTCTTTTTTTCCATACATATGATGGAAACCTGATATACCATTATTAATAATAATCATAATAATAATAATAATATTGGTACTTGAAAACAATTGGTTGAAAAAAAAAAAGAAATAATAATAATAGTTACCCCTCACAATGAAAATAATTATCTCTTATAACCACCTTTTTATTTTAATGCAAGGTGCGTTTCAATGATGCAACATTGAAAATATCAACAAGACAAGAAATGGTTGGTTGGTTGGTTGGTTGTATGAATAGTATTCCTCCTATTCAATTCATGTTCAACAAATAATATCCCTCTTCTCTCATCTCATCTTTGTCTCCATCTCTGACAACTATAGGATCAGAAGTAGTGTTGTATAGGGAGCACTTATTTTGGACTAGGTTACAACAACATACCACTACTATACACCTATATATATATGGGGTGGTATCAAATGGTTATCCAATGAAAGATCTCTTGTCTATTGATAATAACAAGCGCAAATGATTTATGGTTTCTTGGCACAATAGAATGACAGAAAGTGAGAGATAGAGAGAGAGAGAGATAGAGAGAAAGCAAAGTAAAGGTATAAATAGACTATCAATTCATTTGGTTAAAATATCAATTCTTATTACATTTGATAAATCAAACAAACAAACCTTACCTACCTTTTAATCCTCTAAAAATGAACAAATTAACAATCTTTATGTTGGTCGCCCTCGTTGCCATGCTCTTTGTCTCTGTCTCTGTCGCTACTGTCGATGAAACCAATGACAGATGTGATGATTGCTTCAACCTCGCCATTGCCAACTACAACCAATGCAAGGCTGGTGGCCACTCATTCAGCACTTGCTATGACCTCTACCGTTCCTATGTTCAAGCTTGCCGTAACCAAGGTTGCAATTAAACCCCCTTTGCATCCCAATCAAATATCATTGTCTATTGAAATGATAACTAATTCCATTTTAAAATGATGGAATCCCTATTTTTTAGTATTAATAAAGATATCACAACAAATAGTAATCTATATTATTATTATTATTTCTACTCTAACTCTTAATTCTATGTACAAAAAAGATAATTCTCTCTATATCTTATTATTATTATTTCTATTATTATTATTATTATTATTATTATTTCTATTATTATTATTATTATTATTATTATTATTATTATTTAACTTTAAATCTTTTCAAAAGAATTTCATTGTCTTGATTTTGTAACATACAAAAATGATTTGGAGGGATTTCATTTTGCATTAACCAACCAAGGAACCCATGACTTGGTTTTGATACTAACATTTCTTGAAATGTATTGGGAAGCATTGTAAATAACATTTGTGCAAACAATACAACCTCTTGTTCTTTTTGAGGGATAATATCTTGACCATTCAATACTTGGATACTTTCCAGACGAGGGTTGTGTAGAGCCATTGATTCTACTACTTTTTGGTCTCTTTTGGCCACCCAATTTTGAATTCCCTTGCAACTGGTGAATACTAGGTTCTCAAGATTTGGTAGGAATGGTAGATACAATGACATGTCTGTATAGTCAACCGAGAGAGTTGTCAAATTGAGTATGGGTTGTGTTGGAACCTTCCAAATGAGATTAACAAATTTGAGGTATGAAATAAATGGTCCTTGATTGAGATGAAATGAAACTAATTGATTGTGAAGGGGTGGAATTGGAAAAGGTGATTCTTTATCACGAGATCTTGGTATTTCACATTCATAGATAATTGAAATAGATGTGATATTTTGATTTTCCAATACAGAGAGCAATTCAGATCCAAGTAAATCATTGATCTCTAGAGATCTTAATAAAGTTGTTTTCGAGATAAAATTGATCAATGTCTGACTTGGAGATCGAATTGTGGCTTGACCACCGGTCAACATAAAGGAAATTTCGTCCATCTCGAAATCGATCACTCTAGTATTCATTGAGCAACAGAGGTTGGTGAGGTTGGGCAATTTTAAAAGTAAAGGAAAATTAAAATCTGGTTCTATATTTCGAAGAGTAATTGATGACAAAAGTGGAAAGTTGAATGATGAAAAGATAGTTGATCCAATCGACTCTGAAACTAATGGAGTTGTTGTTAATGTTGTTGTTGTTGTTGTTGTTGAATTAATCTTGTTTAGATTCAATGATAGAGAGGTCAGTGTAGAGGATACTTGTTTGATAAATATTGTCACACCTTCATGTTCCCAAGAATCTCTGATTGGTTGTGCAATCACCAGTTCTTGTAATTCTTTAAATGACTTTGTATCAAGTAGTTTGTACACTACACGGTCAAAATGGGCTGAATGTTTGTAGGTCAGCTTGCGAAGCGATCCACCTTGTTCGGTGATCAGTTTGAATAGTCCCAATCTCTCTGGTAATGCGTCGTGGTCACATATGGCGAGATGTGTTACATTTGAGAACATAGAGTAAGCAGCAGCACTATTTACACCCATCAAATTGTCGAATGGGTTATTAAAATAGGAGTTTTGTGAAGCTCTATTATTATCTTTTACATTAAATGAAGATTTTATCCTAGAAATGTGTTTTAAAAATACAACACCGATTCTCAATCTTATAAAGATATTCAAAGGCTGATCCCTTGTCTAGTATCTTTCTAAAGATATATTGATCAGAGAATTCTTTTGAAATGAGTGCAAACCATCTCCAACATACAGTTGCCATTTCAATCATTTCACGTTGATAGAATGTCTTTGCATATTTTGCCTTCCACATATGCTTTATAATAAGTCCCTCTATTCTATGTGGTAATGATATAGCTATAGTTATTGTTGTTATTGTTTTTGTCTCTTTTGTTGTTTTACAAAAGAGACATATAGATAAATAGATAGATAGATAGATAAAAAAAAATATTTGTTATCTCTGCAAGACAACCAACTACAAGAATGAATTAAAAAAGTAAGTCCGTCCATTTTATACCACAAGCTTTTCTTCCATTCATTGAACTATAATGAAGCTAACATAGCTATCTATCTATGTACATGTATTCATATTTAAGATTTAATTAAACTAGTAAATAAATAAAATAATTTTGTTGTTCAAAAAAAAATTGAAAGTTGAAGTTTGATCAAGTCACGAATTCATTCAATTTAAATTAATATCCTTTTCACGTATACAGATATATTAATATTTATATATTTGTATTATATTTAGAAGTTGAAAGATGATAATGTCAAGATCACTTTCAAAAGTAGTCAATACTACTGCTACTACACACTGCTATGGAGCTAGATTGATTAGTAGTAACTTCTCTTCTTCTGTGAATAGAGCATCATCAACATTTACCACATCATCACCATCGTCATCATTTACAACATCTTCATCTACATCTTTATCATCAACACTTTTAAAGAATCATCATACTATTTGTAACAATATATCAAGTAATAGAATTCAACCATCATCATTGATGATCAATAGTTATAGTCATCGTCAAAGATACAACTTTAATTTATCAACAAAAACAACATCAAATCAAAGATATAATTATAGTAGTAGTAGTAATACAAATCAACAACAACAAAATAATAATAATAATCTAACAACAAAAAATATCGATAATAATGGACAAGAAAAGAATCATGATAGATTCTATAATCAAGAAGATATAACCGATAGATTAAACAATCATTTTAATAGAAAACAACAAAGAAGAATATTATTTGCAAGTGGTGGTAGTTTATTATTAATATCAAGTATTGGTATTGTTGGCGGTAATAACAATAACTCTAACAATGAAGGAGGAATGTTTTCAAATTTACAAATTAAAGAGAGTTGGAAGGTATTGGGAACGATTATAGCAATCAATGGCATTATTTATTTACTACTTCAAAACCCAGCATTCTTTGCAAAGTATGGGTCACACTTTTTGTGCTCAGTGTCCAATGTCACGAGTCACCCACTCTGTCTGGTACTCTCCAACTTTAGTCATCTCCAACCACTCCACTTTCTTTTTAACATGGTTGGTTTGTGGTCGTTTGGACAGAGTGCACACGACTATATGGGTACACTGCCCTTTTTAGCGTTGTACATGGGTGGTGGTATGGTAGGCTCAATGAGCAGTATCATACAAAAGTTGATTGTACGTGACTTTGGTATACCATCCATTGGTGCAAGTGGTTGCATCTTGTCGGTGGTTGCCGCCAGCATCATGTTTGAACCAACCAATCGAGTGTCACTCATCTTCTTCCCATTTGCCTCGTTTGAGAGTCAGTATGTGCTGTGGGCACTCATGGCCTTTGACGCACTCGGTATTGCCTTTCTCAGTCGTTGGACAGGTTGGGATCATAGCTGTCACTTGGGTTCGATGATTGCTGGTGTCGCCATTGCCGACTCGTATCGCTACAAAGCACGTTTCCAACACTTTACAGGTACCGGAAAGACATGGGTCAAGGACAAATTCACCTATGAAGGCTCGTTCAAGGACGGTGCCATGGATGGCAGAGGCGCACTCCACAGAATCCCCGAAAACGATGTATACAAGGGGACTTTTGTTGACAATCAATTTGTTCGTGGTCTATTGGTTCGTAATGGTGAAACTTTTAATGTTGAAAGAAGATAAAAGAGAGAAAAAAAGAGAAAAGAGAAAATAATAAATACTTTTTTTTTTTTTTTTTAATTTATATATACCTTTATTATTGTTCTTTTTCTTTCATCTATCTACACACAACCAAACATTACTTTTTTATTATTTTATTCTTTATTCTCTTTACAAAGAGGGGGAGGAGGAGAGATACAGAATAGTATAATAAAAAAATAATGATGGAGTGTTTGAAAACATTGCTTGTTGATGATTGCTTGGTCTTGTGATCATCTATATGCTTTTGTTGATAGATATATAACCCTGGCCCTTACTCCAAAAAATGTGGGTCCTGTGCTGAATCGTACATGGTTAAATGGTTATATATGTTCGGGGGGCTTGAAACGATCGAAGAAGTTGACTTGATATACTAGTATTAATTAAATAAAAATGTTGCAACGGGGGACGAATGGAAAAGAGAACTACATGGCAATTGTATGATTTCTGCAGAAATAGGAGGATGTGAGTATAGTATAGCAAACAGTTCAAAAAAGATAAAGTATTTCTAAAAATATATTAAAAAAAATGAGAACACTTCATTTTCTTATGGAAATTGAGGGGGAAAGAAAAAATAATTTAAAACATACAAAATATATTTGGTTGATGGACATATATAAATATATGTATATATATATATATATATATATATATATATAATTATCTGTTTAGATGAATATCAAATGTAAAATATGTGGATCAGAGGAATCAACTAGTATTTGGGAATTTAGAGAACATGGTATCAACAAATGTATTCCGATGATTGAAAAGTACTTTGGTTTGAATCAACAACCAAAAGAAGAAGAACAAGAAGAGAAAGATAGTATAAAGAAAAGAAAGACAAGAAAAGAATGTGAAATCATTGATACTACAATAGTGAAAAAGATAAAGAGTAGTAGTAGTGGTGGTACATCTACAACAATAACATTTCAAAACATTATAAATGTGCCATTTGTGAGAATGGTTATATTCAATCATGTTGGTCAACTATCAAGACTTTTAAAGGCAAACAACTCGGGAGTCGGTCGTAGTATGAAAGGAAAGGATATAATCAAGATACCACATTTTGGAATGATTACTAAATTTGGGATGCCATGGAACTTTATTAAACATTATCTACCACCAACTGATAAAGTACTCGTTAAACGAAGACATTATGTTATGAGTCAATATTGTGCAAATCAAAATGCAACGTTGGGAACACTCCAACATCTTTTAGAATGGTCTAAAGATTACGATCCACTTGATCCCTTGGAAGAATGTCATTTAGAATTGGTCCAAAATGTAGCAAGGGCTGGACACGTTGATATTTTGACCCTCCTTTTAGATAGGTTCCCATACCTTGATTTGAATGGATTCAGTTCAATGCGAGGTGCTGCAAAGAATGGGCACTTGGATATGGTTTGCCTCCTTTCTAAAAAAAAAGATTTCAAACTAATTTGTGAATCTGCAATGTATGAAGCTGCTTCCAATGGACGCTTAAAGATCGTCAAAGTATGTATACATAAAGACAAACAACATCAATCATATTATTATTATTCTTACCAATCCAATTTAGTTTTTACATTTCGATTGCAAAACAGAATGTAGTGAGGATGACCTTAATGGTGCAGCTAAAAATGGTCATTTAGATACTCTTAGATGGTTATATCATAGATATTGTGGTGATTATAGTGGTGGTGGTGGTGGGTTATCGGCAAAAACTTTTGATAAGGCATCAAAGAATGGTCATTTAGCAACTGTACAATGGTTGACCTACATGAAAACAAGGTGCTCGGAAAAGGCTATTGATAGGGCATCCCAGAATGGTCATTTACATATTTTACGTTATTTACATTCGAATAATATTTTTGATTCAACGACGGATGCTATGGATAATTCAACCAAAATAGAAATAACAAAATTCCTTCACTACAATATGTATGAAGGAGCAACAACCAATGCAATGGATAATGCTGCATCTTTAGGTTTACTGGAAATTGTACAATTTCTTCATGAGTATCGTACTGAAGGGTGCAGTACCCAAGCCATGACCCTAGCCGCAAAGAATGGCCATCTTGATGTTGTAAAGGTATGTAAATAGTCAAATTCACTCTGTGTAGACACACTCTTTTCCAATTTAAATATCAACTTTATAATTGTTTCACTCAGTTTTTATATACAAATAGACCACAAGATAGATCTACTAGGGAGGCATTGAACAAGGCAATCAAAAAAGGTCACAGAGACATTGAAATCTATCTAACATCTGGTGATGATGAATTGTTCGATATTACCCTAGATTTTGACATTAGATATGTAATCCAAAAAGGTAGAATGGATCTCATCACATTGTATGAAAGAAGATATCTTCAAGAATCATTAGATGCTCAAGAAATGTATCTTGCAGCTTCTCATGGTCAACTTGAAGTACTCAAAGTAACTTTTAATTAACTTTGGAGTGATGATTGTGTAACAAACCATTAATTTGTTAATTGTTTTTTTCTTAAAGTTTCTTCAATCTATTTTAAATTTAGATCCTATCCCATCTAATATTATGGACATTGCATCTACCAAAGGATATCTTGAAATAGTTAAAGTATGAACAAAATTAATTATTATTATTTTGTAAAACTAATATTTTTTTTAATTTAATTAAATTAGTATTTACATTTTGAATGTAATAGTAAATGTACAATTGAATCAATGAATGGAGCAGCAATTTACGGTCATTTGAATGTAGTTAGATTTCTAGCAGAGAACAGGTCAGAGAAATGCTCAGACAAGGCATTAGAATGTATTGGAGAATATCCAAACTATCAAGTCATCGAATACATCTTGTCCAACAAGTTGATCCCAAAAAAAAACATTTTATCTGGACCATTCATTCAGGCCATGAGATATGATAATGGCCAAACATACAAATATTATGAAACCCTAGAAATGGTTGATCACTATTACAACAACGACTCTTCCTCTTCCTAATACCCTCACTAGTATAATACCATCACTCTATTAGATTAGATGTTTTAAATATTTTATTATAATTTTATTTTTATTGATCAGAATCAGAATCAGAATCACTATCGGTAGCGGCATCTTCATCTTCATCACCAACCTTTTTCTTGTTAAAATTCTTCTTTTTGTTCTTTTTCAAAGTTGGATCGTTTGATTGACCTTGTGGAGCCTCGACACCAAATGCAGTTTGGATCGACTTGAAACGACGAGTGTTTACAACACGTGGAGTAACATTTTCAGAGCCAATGGCCAACAAGTAGGGAGAAGAGCTGAAAAAGGAGAGAGAAAAGACTTGCTCACCAATGTTTCTAGTTTCCATGAGCTTGGGTGTTCCCTTGGCAGACATGTCCCACAACTTGACAGTCTCATCCTCACCACCGGTGGCAAGGAGTTGAGCTCCAGTTGAAATGGAAAAGGTTGAGCATCCACCATCGTGAGCCTTTAATTGCCAGACTGGCTTGCTGTTACTACCGAGGGTAGCATCGTAGCATGTCAAATTACCATCCTCAGTGGCAACGAAAAACTCCTTACCATTGTGTGGATTCCACAACAACGATTCAATCTTTTGTGTCTTCCAACGGAAAAAGGTCGATGGATCCGATGATCTAACATCACAAATCGATACAGATGAATCATGTGATCCAATTAATAATGCTGTCTTTTCCATTCTATTCCATTCTAATGAAATAATCTAAAAGGAGGAAAAACAAATTTTTAATTAATTATTAAATTTGTTTAAGACTATATCTTTGATTTAACATACATTATCTTTATGATGACTAAAAGTATTTACACATTGTTGTTTAGAGATATCCCATACTTTGGCAGTTCGATCGGCTGAACCAGAAGCCAAAACATTACGTTGTTGAATATTCCATGACAATGATAAAATACTATCAATATGACTACCTGTAGTTGATACTCCTTTTTTCTAAAATAACAAAAATAAACAAATAAATATCTAAGTTAATAAATGAATGAATATAATTATTATTATTATTATTATTATTTGATTTGTTTCAGTTTACCTTTTTCTTTCCTTTTTCAACTTCAGATTGACCAAGAGTTACGGTTGGATAGAGATTATCGATGACATCGAGATCCCAAATATCGATTGAACTTTCAAAAGTACCGACAGCGACAAAGTTACCCTTTTCGTTGGTTTTGTTGAGTTCTGGGTTTTGATCCATCCATGCAATGGCGAGTGGCATGGCAGCGAGAATAATGTCGTGGTGAATGTAGAGATTGTCAACCTCTTCTTCGTAGACGTATACATTGAGATGTGAGAATTCCTCCTCGTCGTTGGCAACGGCGGCAAGAATCAACGAGTCGGTTGGACGGATAACAATATCCTCCAAATCTTCGACCTCGTCTTCATCACCATCACCAACACCGAGGTATGGGTCTTTGTCTGGGTTCTTGTAGTACATCAATCCCTTCATTGCCTTGTTTATAAACTTCATTCCTTTTGCTTCTTCATCCATTTCTTGTTCTTCGTCATTGTCATAATCATCCATATTATAACGTCTATTGAATTCATCTTCTGGATTATTTGACTTTGACTTTTCCTCTTTTTCTTCTTCTAGTTCCTCTTCCTCTTCATCTTCTTGTTCATCTTCTTCATTATCTTCATCATCTTCATCTTCAGTGACTACTTCTTCCTCTTCTTCATAGTCAGAGTTATCTTCTAAATCTTGAATATCGTCTTGAGCATCTTCGTCGATGCCTTCAGCTTGCAGTTTCTCTGCTTCGATATCTGTATTATATTTGGTTGGGATTGGCTTTGCTGATCCTCTTGGTATCCATGTAATTGCTGAAATCATCCTTTATATATACAATGATTCTCTCTCTCTCTATCTCTTTAATCTAAAAACACAAAACAACAACAAAAAAAACGAGTACAAACTTCTTTCGGTCGTCTCCCCACCCAACCATCGATTTTTTTTTTTTTTTAATTTATTTTTTGAGCATACCTATACAACACATAAGATGCTTGCTTGTATAGGACATATATATATTTACATAATATTACACAAAGTATTTATAAACACAATGTGAATAATGTGTGACTATGAGTACTTTGTGATTCAGGGAAGTATATTTGGGTGGGAACTTGAACTTCTCAAATACCAAGTCAAGCATCCAATCAACTTACTTAATTTAGAAATCAATGTCGATTTTAGAAGAGAGAGAGATAATGAATGTACATTCATAAATCATGATCATTATTATTCGATTGGCTCTTTGAAAAAGAGGATTTTGATGAGTCAACGACTCATTCGCCCAATTGTATTATTGGGGGTGTGCGAAAAGTACTCGAAAAAATCGATTCCATTCGAGGACACTCCTCATTCTGAAAAGAGTAAAAAAAGATTTAAAATAATTTTTTGATCACTTTTAGACCTGCAATCCACCAGACCAAACTAAACTCTCAATGCTACGAAAAACCAGTTTATTTATAAAAACCCACTACTACGACCTTGTTTAAAAAAAACTAAAACTAAAACATCATTTTTTAAAAATTTACTAGAGATAGTAAAAAAGTAAAAAAAGAGTAAAAGTAAAAAAAAAGGTAACGAAAAACTAAAATATAAATATACAAATATACGAAGACTATTTTCCTTTTTTAGACACACAAAAAGCTTCCTTTCCTTTCTCTTTCTCTCAACTCATGACTGCCCTGTCTTGTCTTGTCTGTGATTTCGATACCAATATTATTTAAATTCATTCACACACCCCATTATATTATATAAATATATATATTTTAGCATTTTTACCACCACACAATATACACACATACAATATATTTAACACAGACAGAATGATTTTAAAAGGGTAGACTTTCATATGAAGTGTGTTGTGTTAATATTTTAATTTAGTAGTAGTAGTAGTGGTGAGCAGAGCAGAATGTTATAACAACAATAGTAGGTAGAAGATGGACAGTCCATATTAATAATATTCTATCCATCCATCATCCATCCATCCTCTCGTCTATCAAGAGGTGGTGACAAATGGAAACAATCTGTTTGCTATAGAGAGATGAAAGATGGAGATCAAGTGGTCAGCTGCTGAGTTGGTTGAATGAATGAAATATCATTCTTCCACTCTCCTCCTCTGTCTGTCTCTCTCTCTTTGTGTCTGTCAATAACTTATAGTACTCCTTCCTTCACTTCTATCTATCATAACATAATATCGTACAAAACAATTACATTACCTTCATTCATTGTTACTTCACAATCTCAACCAAATGTGAATGTGAATGTGAATGTTAAAAGTTTGACAAAGCTAAGCTAGTCAGACCGGTCAGTCAACCCAAGGGTTGTTGTTGTTGTGTTGAGTGATGATATCATAAACAAACTCTCTTGCTTAAGCTATATATAGAAAACAAGATAGATTCTTCAAATAAATTTATCACAATTCAATTGTTTATTGTTTCTACTACTCATATATTTATATTATATCTATTTTTTTTTTAAAACCAACAATAATAATATTAATTTAATATCTTTTTAACAATTATAGATTTTTAATAATTAATATTATTCAACAATAATAATAATAATTTAATTTTAAAAAAAAGCGTACAATCGATTGTAGCAACATTAATACATCATCAAAATATCCCAACCCAACAACAACAACAACAACAACAACGAATAATTTCAATTTCCATACCTTGTTATTTAAACAAGTACAACAACCATTTTACAAACCATGTCTTATAATCAATTTGAGGAAGTTTTACTTCCACAACATTTACATGTTATGGAGCATATTGACTATGAAAATACAACAAATAATTCAATTCATCAAAGATTAATGTATGCTATAAACTAAATAGAAATGTAAAACATTGAGGAATAATAGTTTATTAATTCCATTTATTTTTTTAGGAATGTAATGAGAGAATTGGTAGATGATGAATTTGATGATGAAATTACATTTAAAACATTGGTTGGAGGTGTAACCAATACATTATTCAAAGCAACATTTAAAAATAGCGAGGGAAATTATAAAAGTATTATCATTAGATTATATGGAAAGGCAAGCGAAAACTTTATCGATCGTAAACAAGAGTCACATATCCAAAGACTATTAAGTGACAATGGAGTCGGACCAAAATTCTATGGAACCTTTTCAAATGGTTGTATCTATGGTTTTGTCGAAGGTGATCAACTTCAATTAGAGGATTTAGAAAGTGATAATATCCTTAACCTCATTGCAATGGAAACAAGTAAATGGCATTCAATGGCTTTAGAAGGTTTAAAAACCGAACCAACTACTTTTTCTTATTTAACTTCTTGGATTGGTAAATAATTAAAAACAAAAAAAAATAATAATAATTAATATAATATTAACTTTTCTTTACTATTTTATTTTTTAGATTCAACAAAACAATTATTATTAAAAAATAGTAGTTTTGATTGTGGAATTGATATTGATTATTATGTAAAAGAGGCAAATTATTTAATGGAATTTTTAAAATCAAGATATAACCAACCACATCATATTGTATTTTGTCATAATGATTTAATTCCTCGTAATATGATTTATAACAAGGAAAAAAGTAAGTCAAAAAAAAAAAAGAAAAAGAAAAAAAGGTCAGAGTCTAATATTTATATTTATATTTATTTTATTTTTCTTTTTTTAGATATTGTAAAATATATAGATTTTGAATATTCTGGTTATAATTTTAGAGGATTTGATTTAGGCAATTTCTTTTGTGAATTTTCAGGATTGGATTTAGATTATACTAGATATCCAAGTGTACAAAAACAAAAACAATTTATTCGATATTATTTAAAGGCATTACATAGTTTGGACGACTTGTCCAAGGTTGATGAAACCGAGGTACACCAACTCTACGTTGAAGCCAACCACTTTACATTGGCCTCACACCTAATGTGGGGATTCTGGGGCATCATCTCACACTTTGGATCGACCATTGATTTTGATTACATTGATTATGCAAACAAACGTTTCAAACAATATGATCTTGTAAAGAAAAAAGTTTATTCTATTATTTAAAAATAAATAAATAAATAAAAAGAGAAAAGTATTTTTAATCATACATATTATTTTAATTATAATAAATATTATTTTTTGAAGTTAATCGCCTAAGTTTGGTTCCAACACTATTTTGTAATATTTTAAATGATGTTTGTTTTTTAGCTATGATATAGGTGAGCACGATTAGACTTGATGCTCCAACCACACCCATCACTACACCAACAATTAATTTCCATTGTGTACTTTTGTCTTCATCTCCATCGCCACCACCACATGAATCACCGTATCCATAACTTGAACGGTCAATTAATAATGCACTAAAATCAGGATCCATTAATATTATTTTGGCTTGTGGTAGACTTATACCAATGGTTGCCACTGATTCCTTGTCATTGGTTCTTGTTAAATTGGAGACTTCTGTTTTTGAATAGGTCTTTCTACCATCCGATACACTAAATGATAAGAACCTTCCAAAGAATTGAATATCATCTTGTACAACTCTAAGGTATTGTAGATTACCGTCGTTGGCTGAATTCTCCAACGATTCTATAGGGTTGATAGAATCATCACATCCAACGATATCTTGTTGATTGTTGATGGTTGTTGTAAATAATATTCTAAGATGAGACATGAGGTTTTGGAATGGCCAATTGGTTATATTGACAGACATTTTGATTGACCCACCAGCCAATTCAATATTGTCACCACCAAAAACAATGGTTCTTGGAGAGTTTGAAAATTCAATGGTCGATAGTAAAATCAATTGTGGATACTCTGGTACAACCAATCGATAATCCAATGTTTTAACATTATTATTTGATTTTTCTATCATAGTCCAATTAACCGATGGTAATTCCATTACAACTTGATCATCAATATCCAATTCTTGAATTGACATCATATTAAATGCAAATGAATAATTGAAATATTGAAATATTGCTGATGGATTGATTTCATTTTCTATAAATTCTATTTGAGGTGGTACTAAAAAGAAACTGAATATTAATATATATATGTTTGTAATAATGTTCATTATTTTGTTTTGCATACCATTAACTCCTTGTAATTTACAATCATCAAAATAACCTTGATCACAAACACATTGTCCATTAACGCAGGTACCATGATTATTACAATTATTTGTACGATTGATACAATTATCAATACTATTTGATGGTATTGGATATGGAATATAGAGTAAAGAATTGGATGAATAATTTCCATTTTCGACAACCAAATACAGAGATGATGGTCCTGGTAATGGAGTTTGATCAAATTGACATTTAATAAAATCAGATGTTGCTTGTGTTATACTACAATTAAAACTTTCAGTAGAGTTGATGTTTACAATTGAAACATAATTTCCTCCTCCAACGTTTACATTTTCACCAAAATAACCATTTAAAATTAAGTTATTTGGTGGGTATGTTAAAGGTTCCAATGATATTGATGTAACAATTGTACCTAAATAATAAATAACTAAAGGATTAATATAAAAAAGAATAAAGATATCTTTTGGTTTTTTTTGTTTTAAACCTCTTTCTTTTACCTTTTGAAATAATGATTGAAGAATTGGTAGTAACAAATGAATTTGAAATAAAAATGGTATGATTTCCAATTGGTAGATTATTAACCAAACAACTCATTGATTTATCGATATGTTTTGTTTGTAAACACAAGTGTTGACCATTAATTGAAATATTTGATGGCAAATAATCTGTATTTAAATAATCAAATGTAATGTTCACCATCCATTCATTTACATTAAAATTGTAAAGTGAAATATCTAATGGATTAAATCCAATTTCTGTAACTGTAATTGTCTTTGTAAAGTTTGGATTGCCTGCCAAAAAACTAATTGTTATATTTTGTTCTAATATTCCATTTGCATAATTATTATTTTGAAATCTAAATAATAAAATAAAATAAATAAATAATTAGAATAAATAAAAATATTAATAATAATAGTTTTATATATCTTACGTCATTTGTTTGTTTGGACGATCAACTGATACTAATCCTACAACATTTGTACCCCAACCTAGTCTATCACCACTGACTGTATACAACCCTTGTACAGAATTTACATTATAATTATCAATTATAACATCTAAAAAAAAAAAAAAAAAAAAAAAAATTAGAATTATACATATTATTTAAATAATAATTAAATAGTACCTACCACAAACAAAGTCAGTAGGTTTTACCAATGTTGTTGAAAGTACAGGTTGAGGAGAATAACACCAAAAACACGGCGGTATATCTGTAACAGTAAATGAAGTATTTCTAATATTTAAACTTGCAATTGAACAATATTCATCTGGGATTAATCCACCAATACCAAGATTATTACCAACAATTAATTGAAGTGTTTTTGGATTATTTTGAAATAAATTTGTTGGTAATGATCCAGTTAAAATATTTCTATCAAAATTACTATAAAAAACAAATTAGACTATTAACCATTATTACTTGTTATTATTTTATAGTTACAAAATTTTAGCTTTGGCAGGGAATGGAACATTTGGGATAGATTGTAATTTACCTGTCACAATTTTTAAATTTTGAAGAGCTGGCGGGTATGAAGTAAATGTTGGTGGTGTTTCAAAATATTCAATTGTTCTATAATTAAAAATGTTAATATATTGTTTAGAGTCCGATTGTTATGTTTATCTTACAATGATTCTAAATTTATAAATTGAGTAATATCAGGATTAATTTGGAAAGATGGTCCTCCAACTGTTAATTGTTTGACTGATTGGGGATAGGCTATAGTGGGATTAATAAAACCAGTTGATGAAGTATCTGTTATCTCTGATAAAATCATTTCAACTGGTTTGTCAACATGTACTGTTATACCTTCACTACCTTGTCCATATATTTTCCTACAAAAAATAAGAATAACTATTTGGTTAAATTTAAGTTTTAAATAAATAGATCATTTTTTACTTACAAATCATTTAAAAGTGGAAAATTGACTTGATTAAAATATAAATGTAATGGTTGACTAGAAAACATTGTCAATGTAAGTTTGGTCAAATTGGGTAGGGATAGGGATGAATCTATGATTGCATTAGAGATTAGACCACTGACAATCGATATGGTAGCGATACTTGGGTTACCATCCAAGGACCTGCCAATATCGGTTAGATTTTTAAGTAAACTAAATGACAATGTGTTCAATTTAGGAAATGAAGCAAGGAATCCAATGGGAATAGAAACAATCGATGGATCACTGGCCAATGAAAGAGTAGTCAGTTTGGGAAGCCCGCCAATCTTGGTCAACAAATTAATGTCTGGATTAAAAGGTTGATTGGTTGCTGCAGTAATCAACATTGAAGTTAACTCTGGGAATTGTAAACCAATCATTGCAGGATCTGGTACATTACTTGGTGCTGTATAAACTGTATTTGTAAAAAATCTAAAAGTAGAAGAAAAGAAGTTGTATAAATATTTAAATGTACAAGCAAGAGAGATAGAGATTTATGTATGTATGTATGTACGTACATTTCAGTAATATGTTTACCACCATTAACTATTTGACATTGAAATGGCATTGATGCACAAATCGATGTTTCATCTTCACTTATAGTAGATCCATATAATCTAATTAAAAAGATAACACTATTTACTATAAAATAAATACAAAAGTTTAATTAGAATCAATCAATGAATGAATGACTTGATGAAAGATGTATATGTTTACTCACATTCATTATTTGATAAGAGTTGAGCATTGATGAAAGTAAAAGTACTAGTGTTGAAGATCACTACCCACAATGTAATAATCGAAACTAAAAATAGATCAAACTTGATCATCACCTCTTTTTCTATGTGTCAATAAAAATATTTCTAAAAGAGATAAATAAACTTTGGTTGGTGTATTACAAAGAAGGAGTAGATGATGAACCTACCCCTTTCTCCATCTTTTAAAAGATGAACAACAAAAGTTTGATGGGTTAGGGTTCGCCCTTTCCCGATTGAATGATCGCTCAGGTGAGCCTAACATCACTTCAAACAACACTTTGAAAAAACCTTTTGTTTGTCACACGTGGAAAATATAATATCTAAAAGATTCTAAGATATGTTTCTAATCGATTCTATTAATTGAATGATATCATTTATTAGATATTCTTTTTGAATTAAAAGATTTGACTATAGAAATTTGAAGGTAAAACTGATTTAAGTGCATGATTATCCTTTTCATCTAATGTCCAATCTAGTCTTGTATAGGCATATTTATCATAACATTTGGTCAGAGCAATGATTACATCTTTGGTTCCATTTCCCATTCTCATTACATTTTTAGCATCTCTTGAATATTGTTGAAATGTTAATAAATCTAAATCCAATGGTAGAGGTGAGTCGTCCTTTTCTCCAAGGACATGACTTACTTGAATAAAAACAAGTTTCAAAGGTGGAATTAAAATAGGCCACATACCATTCTCTAGTTCCATTAATTGTTTAATATTAAAGTGTTGAATGTAATTTTTGTTGGCTTTTAAAAGTTGAACAATCATATTTACTGAACAACAAGCAGAATATAAAAGACTTGGATCTCGATTGAATTTGATTAATCCAAATTGATTGATTAACATCGTTATGCAACTATTGATTTGTAGACTTGTCATAATGTTTGGTCCATATGCTCTAATCATTTTTTTAGCGTGTTGAAAAGGATGAATTTCGGTATAAAATCATGTCGTGTTTCATCAACCAAAGTAGAAAAGAGTTTTTTGAAAACTTTTAATTCTTTACAGCGCACCTTTTGATCGATATAAATGGATAGGATGACAGGAAATAGAGAGACTGAATTGGATTCCAACAGAGAAGGAATCATACTTTTAACATAGGGATATAGGTATTTTCCCAATTGTGGTTCTAACCCAACTATCAATCCAAATACATTGTTTTGATTTGAATCATCTACCATGATGCGGAAAATGAAAGGTAGGTAAATTGCAAAATGCTTTGCACCAAGTCCCTTGATAAAAATATCAAACTTTTCTGTAAATGATTTGATGAGCATTGGAGGTGGTACAGGCATTTCCTCTTTTAAATAGATCATAAAATGAGAAAATTCTTTTCTAACCATTCTTTTGTGTCCAAGTAATACAATGGTTGAAAATATTGACATTGCCTCCAATTTTGTTTGATTCATAAATATTGTATTGTCTATTTTTTTAATTATATCTAGTATTTTTTTCAATACACTTACATATTTCTAACAAAAAAAAAAAAAAAAAATAAATAAATTTATATTTTTCTTTTTTTTTTTCTACATACATGATTAAATTGATCAGTATCTAAAAGATATTTTATCAAAGTTGTATAACATTTAAATATCTCTTGGTAATCACAAAAATGAGGTGATTTTATATTCATTTCCATCAATGAGAATAAAGTTTCAGAGTGTGTAGATCCTAGAATAGATACATCATTGAATAAAATGGTCATTGTAGAGATTGATAGACAATTTCCAAACACTTGTCTCAATTTGGCAGGATCATGAGAAAACTCAGAGTCCTGTCTATACTTTGCTTCTAGAGTGGATAGTATATCGCGCACAAGAGGAAGATATAGTTGAAACTCTAGAGTTGCCAAAAAATGATATCTTGTACGATGATTTTGATGTTCCAATACATTCATAATAACTGATCGCATATCAATCTTGTTTCTCCATCTACGATTCATATCATTTACTACCATTAAAATATGATCACGTACACTATTACCCTCAATCATATAAGCATTATTTAAAAATTCAATCAATTCATTCCATTCTCCTCCTAAATTTTAGAAAAGTAAATTAAAAAAAGAGAAATTAAAATAATATAATAATAATTATTATTATTCTTTTTTCTTTTTTTTCTTTAAGAGAGTATACATACCATCTTGAAATATATAATCTGAAATGATTTTAATTAAATTTGAAACATCAACCATACAATTTACATTTTCATAAAGATAAAGTATTCCTTTTAAATTTGTGATGAATTCGTGTTTAAACAAAGGTGGTATAACTAGGTTTGCATTGTATTTAGATGTTTTAGAGAGTTGTTCATTGTTTTTTTGATCCTCCTCCTTCTCTTCCTCCACCTCCTCCTGATCTCTAATTGATCCTAAAAGTGTGAATGCCAAGGTAAGTCTCCATACAAACAAGTCAGTAGTTTTAAATGCAATTGATTCTACCATCATAATCATCTCCAATTGCAATGTACAATAAAAATAATATATATTAATTAATTGATTGATTTGTATACGTATTATTATTTAAATAATTTTTAACAAACCTTTGGAATACCATTTAGTAAAAGATATGATACCCATTCGATTATTTGTTGAGGATTAACTTTTAAAAGATGATAAAACTCTTTATCATATTCATTTGGATCAGTCAAACCATCAATACCATTTTGCATCTTTAATATTAATTTAATAAATTTAAAAATAGACAATAATTATTAGTATTATGCTTGTCTATCACATATAGTGATAGTCATGTTTTTTTTTAATCACATTCACTCCATTCAGTGCATGAGTGTTTAATAAATGAAGGGGGACCTAAATTTTCGAGTATTAAATACATTTTTGAAAATTATACATAAAATAGCTAGGATTCAATACGTATACGTTGTAATGAACCTCTGGAATATCGAGCGATGGATTGGTAATACCTATAATATCAACTTTAATTAAACAAACTTGATATGATAGAAATTACCAATCCATCATGATACGGCTAAACAATACTGGGTCTTGGGATTCCTACTAAACTCTCGACAGATAGAGTTTTTCTTACTTTATATGATTCTCTAAACTGTTATACATCTGGGTGTATTTTATGTTTGTTTCATCCAAATTCAAAACATCATGAAAAATCAAGAAAGAATGTTGGAAAAGTAGGAGCATTGGTTTGCCAGTGAAATACCTAAGTATAAATAAAATCAATCCTCATATTTTTTTTTAACTAACAATTGTCTTTTTAAAGGTCCACTATTAATGATATCAGAACTTGACTTACAAGATTTGCCTATAGAATTACTCCACAACTAGCTCCTTGGATCTTTGAAATTCGAGCTCAAACACATTTGGTTGGTAATATCTAATGCAGAAAAGCTGATGCTCCAAAACATTGTCCACCAAAACCATGATATCATTCGATAGTATTTATTACTATATAGATATTCCATTTAATTCTATTGATTTTAAACTAACCCTTTTATTTTTTATGAATATAGACTTTAGAGGATTTTATCTGGATCATAGCATACATTTTTTAAAGATATTGGTCTAAAGTACAGAGAACATTGGTTTCTATTCTAATAGATTCCAAATAACTGTACAGTTTATGAATTCTTCAAAATGGAATATAGATTATTGTTTAATGTTCACCACAGCATTAGTGAAGGTAATTATGTATCAATAATCTATAAAATATCTTTGTAACAATATTACTTTCAACTATCTTTTTACTTTAACTAAAGATTACGTGTGTCGATACGTTGAGTTTCCTAGCCAACAACTCCCATTTTTATCTACTAGGATACTCTGATCTATATATATATATATATTCTACTACTATTCTAGAATAACTTAAACTTCAAATACATCTTCTCTGGTCCCAACTAAAAAAAAATTCATAAAAAAAAAAACTTCGATTGTTCTTCATTTATTTTGTTCAAAAAGATTCATAGTAATTATATAATAAAAAATTATTAAATACATTTTGATTGATTGAAAATTAATTAATTAAAAGTATTCCTAAAGATTTATTTTTTAAACTAATTAGTTTTGGAAAATGAAAATGAAAATGGAAAAAAGAAGAGTGAAAGGTTAATACCAAATAATAATAGAAATGTATTTGTATATACTTACTTGTTGTTGGTTTCCAACGGTAGCGGATTTTACTCCACTTCTCATTGTCGTAGATTTCTTTGCTTTGCCATGTTGTTGTTGTTTAGCAGCACCGGTGAATTCAATATTAAAGCTATTATAATTTTGTTGTTGTTGTTGTTGTTGATTTTGTTGTGAATGTTGATTATAATCAAATGGAACAAATGGTTGTTTTGGTTGTTGTGATGTTTGTTGAGGTTGTTGTTGAGGTTGTTGTTGTTGTAATTTCTTATTTAATTTTGGTTGTTGTTGTTGAATTGGTTGTTGAAGTTGTTGAGTTGTTTGACTTGTACTTGTGGTATCCAAATTCATTGGAACATTAGTGGTAGTGTTGGTACCTTCTGGAATCCAACCAATACCCTTCATAAAAGTGATTGGATCAGCATCGAGTAAATCATTTTTCTTTTTAGATGCACCTGGTTCATTGAGTTGGTTGGTTGAACTAGTAAGTATATTGATTGAACTAGCGTTGTTGGTGTTGGTGTTTGTGGTGGTTGTGTTGTTGTTGTTATTGTTGTTGTTGTTGGGGATAGTAGATCCACTCTCTGTCCCTCCAATACTTGTATTGTTTGGTGTTTCTTTTAGTTTCTTTTTCTCCTTGTTTCGTCGACGGTTGAGGTTGGACAACTGGTAAATCTCCTCCATACTCTTGGGAATCTCCTCCTCGCTACCACTATCCGACAACTGCGTCTCAATCTCCTCGTCATCTGAACGGATCGACTTGAGGTCGACATCATCATCGTCGTCATCGTCATCATCGTCACCGTCCTTGTTGGCTCCTCCTAATGCTTCAAACATTGAGGATTGATCCTTTGATATACTTTGATTATTTTGACTATTATTATTTTGATTATTATTATTATTTCCGCTCGAGTTATTACTATTATTACTGCTACTGCTACTGCTACTACTAGTAGTAGTACTTGTTGTAGTAGTGGTCATTGTGGTGGTCATGGTAGTAAGAGTTGTCAACTCATTGATGGGTTTGTAGTTGGGGGCTAGTGAAGAGGCGTCAAACGAGGACTCGACCATAGTAGCTATCTTTTTGTGTTTTTTGGCGACATAGTCGTCGTTGCCCGACTCGTCACTGCTATCAAATAGAGAGTTTGGTGCGGGTACACTGGCAGCCTGGTTGGTCTGGTTGGCCTGGCTGAGCGAGGTGGAGCGACGGGGAGTGGGTGAGATGAGCGACTGGAGGGGAATGGGCTCGAGTGTCTGCTGCTGTTGTTGTTGTTGTTGTTGTTGCTGTAAAAGGTGGTACTGGTGGTTTTGGTGGTCCAACCAGCCGGCCGTCCTGTACAGTTCGTGCGTAGACAAGACTGGGCTCTGTGAATGCGAATGAGGGTAGATGGGCGACGTGGACGGGGTTGTTGGAGGGTTGCTGGCCGAGAATGCCAATGGCTGTAAGACTGTGGGGGACACGACTTGAGCTGGAGCAGGGACAGGTGCCATGGCAGGCACAGGGTTGAACCCACGAGGTGGCTGACTCTGACTAGACCCCTGTATATTATTGAGTAGCTTGTTGTGCAAGTTATTACTGTTATTGGTGTTGGAGCCTTCTAAAATTTGATGAATAGAGTTATTTTCTTCTAGACGAGCTTTGAGAATATCTTGTAAGAGTTGATGAGCGTGTTGCTTGAGGAGGGGAGGGATGGGGTTGCAGCAGGCGAGTAGGTCGGCGATCGAGGTGGGCTGCTTCTCGACGATGGTCGTCATCATGGCGTTGGGCAGCACGTAACGGATGCTCTCGTCCTCTTCACGGGCCAACTTCTCACGCCACTGGAAGAGGATGCGGAAGACACGCAGGTTGACACCTCCGTAGCTAAGACTATTCTTTTTGCAAAAGTCAATGTGTGAATTCTCGTCAAACAAATCCTTGTCGTATTTTAAGAGGGACAACTCACGTGATCGACGCAGCACCTCGTTGAGGAGCGCCGACCCCGTGCCAAGCTTGGTGCCACGTGCTAGTAGCTCGTTACGCAGACGGTCGTAAATGTAGAGCAGGTAGTGAGTGTCCTCGCGGGCGTATTTGGCCATCTCGGCGGGAACGGGTCGTATACGCCAGTCGGCCAACTGGAACTTTTTATTGGCTTCGACCGAACAGTAGAAACGCAGCAAAAAGGCGAGTGACGCCGACGGGTACTCGAGCACACGACTGGCCTGCCCGGTATCAAACATGTTGACAATGTACAGTCCAAAGTCACGTTGCAACCACTTGATGTCGCTCTCGGAGCCATGCAAAATCTTGACGATGCGAGGGTTGGTGAATGCATTGTTGAGCAAGTGCATCGACGACCTCAAGGCCAACGCGTCGATCAAATAGTCTTCGGTACGTGTAGACACTTGCATCAAACAGACAAACCCCTGGTACGAACGGTAATTATGTGCCTCCAAATCAATAGCAATCTCTTCGACATGGCTCAACTTGTCGGCCACAATCATCAACTGTTCGCGTGTATCCACCCATGTCAATGGTGCATTATCCAATCCCCTATACAACATCTCCTTGCTCGATACCAATTGTCTTGGCTCATATTGGTATTGACTAATCTCATACTCGTATGGATGTGGAATAACAACCTTTTCAAAATCCTTTGATTTTACCGTTTTTTGTGATTCTAAAAATATTTTTCTAAATACTATAAAAAAACAAAAACAAAAAGGTTAATATACAAATATTAAATACATATGTATATATACATTTACATACCAGGATCTAATGGTTTTAATTGATTTGGTTTCTCTGTAATTTTTGGTAGGAATGGGTAATTTGAATTATCGACCTTGTCTTCAAATTTAAGTTGTGGACGCATAATATTGTGACCGTAAAACATATTCAATTCTGTTGTTTTACCAATGGTTGTTGTGGTTGCCTGTGTCGTTGTAGTAGTTGATGATAATATAGTATTGGTTTGAATTAATCTATTTGGTTTATCCATTTGATCTGTTAGATGGTCCTAAGGTAAAAATAAATAAAATACAAGTTAATAACTATTGTTTGTTTTTGTTTGTTTTGATTGTTTCTTTCTTACCACTTTATCAATAATTCCATCAACAACTTCTACAATATTTGTGAATCGTTCAGATACATCTTCGACATCTTCATTGTCATTGGTATCGAATAGAGGAGAGTGTTTTGGGTTCTCTGATTGTACGAAATTATCGGTGAGGTTTAAAAGACGACGTCCAAACTGATTCATCTTTTCACGGAATGCTGGATAGGTCGAGTAGTAGGAATAGTCTTCGTCAATAGGCAATTGGTTGCTAATCTTGATGGCTGATATCAAATTTCCATATAGATTCTTTGAGAATACTTCTAAATTGTTTTGATCAATTAAAATATCACCACCAATATTATTATTATTATTGTTGTTGAGGTGCTGTGATTTGCTACCTTGATTTATATTATTAAACATTATTATATTATAATATTATATATAGAAAATATAGATAGATAGGTCTCTTAAACTATTTCTCTTTCTTATTTGTAGTTGTTGTTGATCGTTTAAAAAAAATGTAATGTAATTGATGATAATAGATTGTTAAATTTAGATCTAAATTTTTAAAAAAATATTTATAAGTATTTTGTTTCGTTCGGTTTTTTTTTTTTTTGATCCAATGTATCGTAGTAGTGATTAGAACAAAAACACAAATAGAGGTGAGTGATTAGAATGGGGTGGGGGGGATGACAATAATAATAATACAAGGCAAGTTAACAAAGATCTTCCTCTCTTTGCTTGCTTGCTTACCTGTCGTGTCGACGACAAGACAATAAATGGATAGATAGATGGATGGATGGATGGCTGCTGTGACTGACAATAACTTAGTATTGTTATTGTTGATTCCGATGATGATATGATGATTTCGATGATTCCGATGATGATGATGATTTTGGGTAAAGAAAGAAAGATTGCAAATGAATGAATGTTGTTTGCTATTGTGACTTTTTACAAGGGAAGCTTCTTCCAGCTGCTGCTGTTGCTGCTGCTTTTGCTCTCTTGTATCCAATATTCGTATTCTTGTTTGAAACACAACTACCATTAATATGATGAATGAATGATGTATTGATTGAATTTGAATTTGAATTGATTGATTGATTGATGAAGATAATTTAATATCCTCCTATCATTCATTCATCATCCATACTGATTTCGTTTCTGCTGTGATGAATGTAAAAGTTGAGAGAGGGGGGGAGAGGGGGATGAATAATGTTGTTCCAATTTGGGTGGTGTAAGGGGGTGGGTGTGATGATATTCAACCACTCTCCCATCTAATCTATGCTATCCATGTGTATCTATCCATCCATCATTATCATCATCATCATCATCATTATCATCGTCGTATGGTTTGTTTTATTGATATAAATGAGTGAGAGATTGACAATTCAATCATCGAGTATAACATATAGTGGGGGGTGGTATATATCGTATCGTCCGCTGATCCTACTTTTAATAACAAATATACAGTATTTGTGTAGTACTCTATGTGTTGTTGTTGTTGTTGTGTGTTGATATTGATGATATACTCCAAACTAATATTAGCTAGCTGCTATGAGGCACTGATGATAAAAGTTTGTTGCTGTATGAATGAGATGAATGAATCGTGTCTTGAATTTGAAAAACTAACGGTCATTTTCCCTCGCTAACGAAAAAAAAAAAAAAAACAAAAAAATTAAAAAACCAACGGTCTTCTTCCCTCCTTCTCCAATTTATTTTTGTATGGGAGAGAGCAAGGTGGAGGAGGGAAAGAGAAATAAATTTGAATTGGGTTTGCAAATCTATAACAATATTTTTTTGAAATAATAATAATAATAAATACAATAATATGAATATATAATATGAAACTATAGGGTTTGTAAAGTTTTGTTTATTTCCTTTTTTTTTTTTTTTTTTTTTGTAGGTTTGGTTTGGTTTGGGCTCATTCATCAATTCGTAGAGATGGAGATTGTTGTGATCCATCTGATAATGGAGGGGATGATGAATTCGTGTTGGTTGTTGTCGTTGTTGTTGTCGTTGTTGTCGTATTGTTGGTTGTTGTTGTCGTATTAGTATCTGAATGTTTACATTTATCACATAAAATATAAACTGTTGGTTTTGCTTTTGATTTCTTTGTAATAATATTGGTTTGACTGGTTGAATTACTATTACCAATACTTGTTGTTGTTGTTGTTGTATTTCCATTGTTGTCATCTTCATTTTCATTATCATTTGTTGATGTTTCATTTAATGCCGCTGCCGCTGCTGCTGCTGCTGCCGCCGCTTGTTGAGAATAAGGTCTAATCTCCATATATTCATGTTTTTCAAGGATGATAATGTCCTCTGGAAGACAGTTGATGCAAAAACTACTAGGACAACCTTTACAGATAAAGAAACTGCCGGTACCCGACTCGTTGGATGGTTTACGACACTTGGAACAAGAGTGACGCGGACACTTCCAACTACGTGGTGTATGTGACAGTCCTGCACATGATCGATGGTATATCTTGGGACACGATCGACACTGGACAATGCTGGTACGACCCTTTTCATCTTCTTCAGCCTTGCACGTAAAACAAGTTCGATCAACCAGGTTCTTGTGTCTCTTGGCCGACTTTCTCTTTTTATCTGGTGTAACTGATGTTGATGAAGTGGATGATGACGAAGAAGTGGTAGAGGAAGCAGGAGTAGTAGCAGTAGTAGTAGTACCACTACTTTCATTAGAGGATGTTGTACTGGTACTAGTTAGATTAATTGGAACTACACTGGATTTGAATTTCCAAGGGTCGTAGGATGATGGAAGGAATGAATCGGATAGACTGAGCGATGGAGACGACGTGGATGGCGACGAAGTGATGGGCGATTGAGAGACTGGGGTGGGAGCACTCGACGACGACGGGGATGACATGGGAGCAAAGATAGATGGCGAAGAGTACGAGTAGGATGGTGACGACGCAATACTGTTGCATGGTCGAGGAGACACCAATTGGGGAGTCGAGATGGAACTACCAACTGAAACTGGGAACCCACCACTAATTGACTTTGACAGTGTTGGGACTGTATTGGATGATGTTGATGGCGACGACGACGATGATGATGAACTACCACCACCACCGCTGCTACTACTTAGTTTTAAAATACAAAACTTCATCATCTCTTTGAAAATCTCAATTTTTGTCTTGTTATTTGATGTTGATTTGAAAAATGCATAGGACCATTCTTCAGTAGTATCACATGTAATCAATGAAATGATATTACTGTTTGGATAGGCAATGGGTGCAATCGATAATGGTGTGCCGTGGATGTTGATATCTACATCTTCCGTCTGCTGCTGCTGCTGCTGCTGGTCATCGTCTTCATTAAACTTGACAAATCGGTCAAATTCAATTACTATATCATCCAGTCTTGCCATACCAACCAATTGTTGTTGTTTCATTTGGACATAGGTTGAAACAATTATGGTCGGTCCCATCGTTGACGATGACTTATTTTTTTTAGTAGCCACCTTTTTCTTTTTCTCTTGCATCATTGTTTTTAATTGTTCAACTTGATCAATATAATTAATTGACCTAATGACATTAAAATATGAATAAATTTAATATTAACATATATATATATATATATAATTAATTATCTTTGGTGTTGTTTAAAACCTATACTTACTTTTGTAAAAGAAAATCTTTTAATAAAGATAAAGTTGATAATGAGGAAGTTAAAATAATAATTCTCATATTACTTGAGAATATTTTAGATTCTACCAAAATTCTTTCAATCATTAATAATTTTCCAGATGATTGATCAATCTTGCTATTATTATTATTATTATTATTGTTATTGTTGGTATTATTGGTGTTGGTATTATTATTATTGGATTCATAAAGATTACAACATTTCATTAAAGATAATTGTAATTCTGAAAGGAGGATGGACTGTTCCTTTTCAGATTTCTTTGGGTCTAGAGCATTTGGAATATTGTTCTTTAATAAATTACGATAGATATTCTTTTGTGATTCCAACATTGGTACAAATAAACCAAGTTGATTTGGTGTTGCCAATGATGTTGATAAAGTCGATAAAGTTGACTTGTCCTTGTCTTTGACACCAAGACGTTTAGAGATCTCGCCAATATAGTGTCTAATGGATTGTACATTCATATCATTGGCATTATTAGTTACTCCACGTGGGGATCCAAGTGGCGGAGGTAATTTGGGATCAGAGTCGACCGATGATCTCATTCTTTTCTTTGCCAATACTGTTGGGATTGGTGGTGGTGGAGGTTGTTGTTGGTTTGTGGTTGTAGTTGTAGTAGTTGTTGGTGTTGTTGTACTATTACTATTACTATTACTTGCAACCAAAGGATCATCAGATATAAAGGGAGGTGATGGTGTGGAAGGCGTAGATGGAGGTGACCCAAAAAATGGTTGTTGGGGTTGTTGAGGACTATTTGAATAAACTAGTGGTGGAGGAGGTGGTGATGAAATGACTGATGTTGGCGTAATGAATTGTTGTTGTTGTTGTGGTTGAGGTTGAATATGTTGTTGTTGTTGTTGATGTTGTGGCGGACGTAGTTGGTGTGTTGGTGGTGAAGTGCTAAGGTAATAAACGGCGGTTGTTGGTGGGGGTGGCGATGCGGGATTCTCATGATGATGATGGCCAACTGGAATACCAACTGGGACGGAAACCGGAACGTGTGATGGAACTGGAGGAGATCCAATAGGTTGTCCCGTCGGTACATAAACAATTGGTGACATGGGATGATAATATGGTATGTGATAAGTTGGATGAATCGTTTGTTGTTGTTGTAAATGTACTTGTTGTTGATGTTGTTGAGGTGGTGAATGCATTTGTTGTGGAGAATGCATTTGTTGTTGTTGTTGATGATGGTTCACAACAGAGTAACCAATAGGAGGAGATGGGTTACGTGCTTGAGTATCATCATTTTCATTGGACAGGAATTCATCATCAATAAACTCATCACTATCATCATTTTCCATAAACTCATCATCATTTTGTTGTTGTTGAGATTGGATCGTTTGACGTTGTTGTTGTTGTTGATGATGATGTTGATGATATTGTGGTTTCGCATTATTCGTCGTAGTCGTCATCAATACGCTTGCATCAGAACCATTGCCATTACGACCTACCATTTGGCCACCATAGTTGTTGTTACTGTTGTTATTGCTATTGTTATTGTTATAATATTGATTATGATTCGTACCGTACGAATCACCGAGTGGGAATGGTAGGTTATGAGACGAGGTTGAGATGGAGTGTCTTTTGACGACGTTGGTCGTATCCAATTGACCATCGCTAGTGAAATGGGCGTGTTGAATATTGGTAGCATTGGAAAGATGGTGTGGATGCGATTGTGGATAAGGATGCGAATGCAACTGTTGTTGATGTTGATGTTGATGTTGATGATGATGAAGTGGTTGATGATGATATGAACCTACAACACCAACTGGTAAAAGTGGTGGTGGCAATGTTGGATCATTATTACCATTATTATTATTATTATTTATATAATAATGTTGTTGTTGTTGTTGTTGTTGTTGTTGATGATTGTCCATGATATATTTGAAAAATGATCATAAATATATGTAAAAAAAAAATAAAGGGTTGTTTAAATAAATAAAATAATATATTAAATTAAAATAATATATTTTAAACAAATAAATTAATGGGAGGGAAAAGGACCGATAAGAGAATTCTCTCGTTGATGTAATTTTATACAACAATGGGAAGGAATTTCTTTTGTAAATGGAAATGTAAAATAATGACGAAAAAGAATGGGAAATGATGAAAAATGAAAATAAATAAATAGATAGTATTATATATGTGAATAATTAATTGTTGTTGGAATTATTATTATTATTATTATTAGTATGTATAAATAGACAGGTTGATTATAAAAAGAAAAAAGAAAAAAAATATGGATGGATGGATGGATGAATTGGCCTAGAAAAAGGTGGGCAACAAGTTTGGTACAACAAGTTTGGTTTGTTGCTTTCTTCTTCTTATTTTTGAGGCTCGTTCTTCTTTATATGGTACGTAGTGGTGGTCGTGATCGTAGTCAATGTTGTTGTTTCCTTGTCAACAACAATGAAAGGAGTAATGGTGTCGGGCAGCTCCTTGACCCCTTTCCGCCTGGTTGGGTGGTTGTTCTTGTTGTTGTTGTTGTTGTTGTTGCTCGGGTTGACTGACAGATGTATCAAATGATGATGATGATGGCAATCGAGATTCAGTGTCCAACAACAACAACAATAATAGAAGCAGAAAGGGGCTTTTTATATAAATACAAAGGTTATAAATGTTTTGTTTTTTTGTTTAAAGTTTAAAAAAATAAATAATAGATGATGGGTCTTGGATTAAAAAAAAAAAAACTAATTGTATAGTATTGATAATGATGATGGGAAATTTAAAAGGGTGCTGGGTTTTGTTGTGTGGAAAGGTTTTTTGTGGCTATATAAACTTTTTGTTATAAATAATTAATAAATAAGGTTTAAAGGTGAGGTGAGGTGGTAATAAATAAATAAATAGGTTTTTTAAGATTGAATAAATAAATAAATAAATAATAATAACAATAAATATGTATGTATGAATGTATGTATGGATGTATGTATGTATGTATGTATGTATGTAGAGGTTGCGAGGTTATATAGCCGATAAGGAGTTATAAAAGATGACTTGGAATTAATTGAATTTGTGGATGGATAATACGAATGTTGATTTGATTAATTTAAATTGATTTGAGATATATTCGAAACTCGATTAGTGTTGTGTTTGTGTTAGGCTTCTTATTCTTTTAAATAATATAACTATAACGCGGTATGAAAGGAAATATTAATATTAAGTTCAATCACCTGATTTTTCCAGATCACCAAAAAAAAATCACCCAATCTTATCTTACATTAATCTTAATCTGATTTTGGTCTTAAAAAAAAAGTATTATAATGTTACTATGTACTGTATATATATACTGTATTGAATTAAATAAATATATATAAATAAATAAATAAATAAATTAGATTGGTTGTTATGTTATTGTTTTGTTAATAAATAAATAAATAAATAAATAAATAGTATTTGCGCAGTCAACTCTGTATCAGATGATGAAGATGATGGTGATGCTAAAGGTTGACTATGTTGTATTATACAATTATGATGTAGATGTATTCTTTCTTCTTGTTTATAGTCGTCGTCGTCGTCAATCGTGTACTGCTTGTTGATATGTGTATGTATCGTATCGTATCGATTGTTGCTATATAGATATACAATGAATGATTGTTGTGATTGAATGAATGATTGATTGGTTTAAAAGAAATAAAGTGTGCGCTCTGCTCTGTGATGGTTGTGTGGCTAGCTACTATGAAAAAAGAAGAGAAGAGAGAGTGAAAAAAGAACACCAATAATAAAAACAAAAAAAAAAAAGGAAGACATTAACCTTTTTTGGACACAAACGAGAGTAGAGTGACACTCCATAACAAAGGGACACTGATATAGAGGGCGATGCGGGCTTTAAAAATTGTGAAAACTAGTTTCTATTCCAGAGTACACCCGCTCAATCGTGATGAATGGGTGAGTGTGTTGACCACAAGATCCCCCCCTTTTCTTCCACCAATCCATCATCATCACCGCCATTGATTGGGAATTGCCGATTGATCAAGATTAAAAAAAAAAAAGTGATTTGTCCTCTTACCTGTTGTTTGTTTTTCTCTGTGTGTAGTTAGTTAGTTCTCTCTCTGTTGTTTTAAAAAAAATCTATAAATAAATAAATAAATAAATAAAAGTGTTATTACAAAGTTGAAGTTAAGATCTATCTATCTTGTGTATTGATCATATGATATGTATGACGAACCTGCAAAGCTACGCTGTGGTATGGATGGAACGGAAGGATTGAGGAGAAAATAATTAAAAAAATAATTTGGTCCTTTTTGACTTGGGAGGATAAATTTTGTTAAAAAGGGTAAAACTTGGTTGTTTGGTGTTAAGCTCTTGTTCTATTTAGAAGGTGGGGTCCACGGCAGTGAAGTGTTGTTGGAGTTCTTTTTGGAGGTATCTTAATAATAAATATTATTATTGATCTGGTCTATGTTGAACTCGAGTCGGTCGGGTGGACGTAGGTAAAGGTATGGAAGGTGGGTAGATAGTTATATATATATATATGTGTGTAAGTATTGATATATAAATTTATATATATTTGTATGTAGATAGAGGTTAGAAATAGATAGATAGATAAAGATTTATTTGTATATATATATATATGTCTATTGCAAATGGAGGATTGCGTGATTTGAGTTGTTGGTAATTATTCGTGTTGTGGTCACCTCATCATCGCCAATCATCTAATTGACCAATTTAATTAAATAATATCATTAGTCAAAAAATGACGAAAGAGGGGTGTCGATCAATCAACAAGCCTTTCTCTCTCTTGAGAGCCACTACATCGTGGCAACAGGGGTATGACCTGCAAACAAAAAACTTGTAAACGATCTGAGATCACAACGAGAAAAATATCGGGGACGATCAAGGATGGGGATGTTCGTTCATGCGAGATGCCACGGGTCAATTTTCGCGCGAAAAATGTGACGGTGCCCAAAAAATAAGGCTCATCGCGATTTCAGCCTCACTCGGCTTGCCCTTTGTTTATGTCCAAGATTCCCTTTTATACTTATTCGATCGTGTTGTGTGTCTATTGAAGAACCGCCCCGTATAAGTGTTGTCTTGTCGTTCTACAATTCATAGAGACAGAGATCTCTCACATCGTACCCTGATGTTAAATCATGATATCATAAAAGACACGAAGATAGACTTGTCACTTCACTCGGGTAAACAAGTATAGGACAAATAGAATAAATTCTTTTTCGAGCTGGATAATAGAAACATCGAAAAAAATTATATAGAGTTTCAAATATTTCCATTTTTGGATTATTTTTTTTGTTTTTTTTGTTATCAAAAGAGGAAATAATACAAAGTTTTTACCAGATTCGAGAGTATTGTAAAATCATATGATATCATAAATCGATTGACAAACGAAATAAAAAGAAATAAAAGATTTTATAAAAATAAATAAACAGACAGATCTTTGCTGTGCCTGAAAAAAATGATAATACCAAGGAGCGATTTAAATCTATAAGATACACACATTGTATAAACAACCTTCTGCTGGTCCAGTCAACGAAACCAATTTTACAAAAAATAGACTATCAATATTTTAAGATAGAAAAAGATTATCAACAACAAAGAAACTAGAATAAGATAAAAGAATAGTTGGATAATTTAGAAAAATAACAAAAGGGTAAAATTAATTAATTTTGTCTATCAGGTTAGAACAACCCTCCTGCATTCACAACATCTCATCATCATCAGTCACACCATCGTTTCATTTATTTCCAAAAGTAGTAGAAAATAATATTATTTTCTGTACTCTTTGAAAGACAAAGTTAAGTTTCATTCTTTTCAAGACGAACGATATTTTCCTCGATCGATTCATTTTATTTGATTTTTTTTTTAATTTTTCCCCTATCATAATACTGTCCATGTCAATTGGATATTTATAGCTATTCGTCGTACGACCCAAGTAATCTTATCCCCATTCCTTTTATCAATTATTATTATTCTAAAGAAGTAAAGTAAACTATTCAATCCTTACCCCCATTTTCATTCATTCATTTGTATTGTTTTTTTTTTTGTTGATTCGTTATGAAAGTAATTAGTGTTACTTTTTACTCGCACCTATCCTTTTTATCTCTTGTTGTGGATTTGATCTTATCTGTATCAAATTTCCTTTTTTTTTTTTTTTTTTTCAGTCAAAAGACGAGAGATAAGATAAGATAAGAAAGATACAGAGATCATTCCATCGTAACGATTAATTAATGGTGTGTCTATAGTATAGTTAGTAAACAAAGAAAGAAAGAAAGAAAGAAAGAGGGGAGATATTTATTTATTTCTATCAAACAAACAAACATCAGAGACAAAACGACGTGCAGACAAACTAAAAAAAGTTCGACACCAAAAATCTATCTTGCTTTCTCCCTCCCTTCATCATCAAACTTTAGTTTGCATAGTTTTATTTTTATTCATCTTTTAATCGACCACTACTACTACTAGTAGATTAGATTAGATTAGACTTTCTCGAGACCTCTTTGAAAAGTGAATATCATTCCTCTTCTTCTTCTTCTTCTTCTTCTTATTTATACACCACTCACCTCACCTCACTGTCACTACTCTATCTCTATCATCATTCATTTTCACAGTTGTGTCTTTTCAACACTAGTTACAACAACAACTTGCATCATCATCTAAGATAAACACATTGATAGGTTAAACTGACTCTTTTCTTCTCCTCCTCTCTTCCTCTTCTTCAAAATAGTCATCATCATCATCGTAGATTTATATATATAAACTAAAAAGAAGATAAAAAAAAAAGAAAGTAGTAATCATGGGTATGGATGAGAATGGTATTTCCGATTTAGAATGGGAAAGATATTATAATGCAGACAATACTATATTTACATCGATGAAAAAGGTTGTTTCAGAACTCAACGCAGTAGTCTTTTTGGTCTTGGCAACCAACTTGTTCTTTTTGGTTCGATTCTTTTATCAACATTATTTCCTCAAGGTATGTAGTCTTTATTAATATGAATGAATGAATGAACGCGAATGAATGAATGTACATTGGATGAATGAATATACATTGGATGAATGGATAGATGATGGATTTATCTTTTTATCATTTTTCGATCATCGAGAATCATCATTCCCATCTCTCAATTAGGCAAATATATATTGATACATAAAATTGATCCATCATTATATATATAAATATATACATATATTTTTATTATTATTATTTCCTTCCTCTTCTCCTATCCTCTTTTCTTTTTTCTTTTTCTAGCCACTTGCATTATCTTACAACATTAGAAAATCTAATGTTCCAAGATTCCTTGAAAATGGATGGTACAGTTTATATTACATTACATTCCAATTGTTTGGAACCTATGTCTACATGCAAGAAGGATGGTCTATATTCCCAACAATGAATATTTGGATCGGATGGCCAGTCCAACCTTTTACGTAAATATCAATCAATTATTGAAATATTTATTTATTTATTTATTGACACCTTTTTCATTTTCCTTTTTAGTACACTATTTAGAACCTATTATTTGTTGGAATTATCATTTTATCTACATTGCACGATTGCATTGTTTTTCGAAACTCGTAGAAAGGATTTCTATCAAATGCTAACGCATCATATTACCACCTTTTTCTTGGTCGGTGCCTCGTACTGGTACAGATACCATCGTATTGGTCTCGCCATTCTTTGGATCCACAACATCTCTGACATCTTCCTCTACAGTGCCAAGGCACTCAACTATATCCAAAAGGAGACCAAGGACCCAGCCGCCTACTTTCTTGCTGAAATGTTATTTGTTGGTTTCGCTGTCACCTTTTTCTTTGCCAGATTACTCTTTTTACCATTTGTTTTAGTTAGATCAACTTTGTAAGAACAAAAAGAAACAAAAACCAAACAATCAAACATATATACTAATTAATTAATTAATTTTATTTTATTTTTTAGATTTGAAGCATTTTATGTATCAACTCAATTCCCATTATTTTATCCAACAAATGTTGCGTTGGTGACATTATTAATTTTACATTTGTTCTGGTTCTATCTTGTGTTGCGTATTGTCTTTAAGAAGTTCCAAGGTGGTCAAGTCGATGATATTCGTTCCGACTCTGATGAAGAAGAGCCAACTCCAAAGCAAGAATCCAACACCAAGGCTGCCGTTGGATTGGAAGCTGAAAAGATTACCAAACATCTCAATCAAAGAATCAACGCCAAATCATCAAATGGAAAAGAATCACCAAAAAAGAATTAGATCTATCATAATTTAAAAAGAACAACAAACAAAAAAGAAAAAAAACAAAAACAAAAAGAAAAAAGAAAATATATTAAAAAATACCTTTTTTTTAAAAAATAATAATAATATTTAATAATTAATAATTAATAATGGGATTCACACATAATACATACATCTTTCGAAAAGTGATGCATTTTCAAACAAACATAATCAAAATAATCAATAATATAAAAGGTGATAATATAAATAATATAATATATCACCTTTTTCCAATGAATCACACAACAAATAAAATTGTGCAACCGATTGTATAATATTTAATCAAACAAACAAAAACAAGTTAATTAAATTAACTATTCCTATATTTTTATTCTACTTTATCTTTAATGTCTTGTTGAGTATTATTAGTAGTATTATTATTATTATTATTATTATTATTATTATTATTATTATTATTATTATTATTATTATTTGTCATTAAATTTGCACCATCTTTTTCTTTTTCTTTTTCTTGTTGTTCTAAAGATTTTGTAATTAATTCAATTGAATCTAATCTTTCCATTAGAGATGGATGAGAATAATAATAGAGTGAAAAATATTTATCGGGTTTGATGTAGGTTCCAGGGCCATGCATTGACAAGAGTGCCTTTTTCATTTGTAGGCCATTGACGATTGCAAAACGATCGGCGGCATATTCAAAGTCACGTCTAATTAAATTGGTGACAAATCGAAGCAAGTTTGCAAAAGTACTGTAGAGATAGGAAAAGAGTACCAATCCAACACTTGCATCGACTCTACTAAACCCAAAACTAGTATAAAATACTTCCAAATTAACTACACTTGAAAATAAATAAATAAAATTACCCAAAAATATAATTTGGATTGCTAAATGTTTAAATGAGTCTAAAAGAAAAAAAATAGAAAAATAAATAAATTAATATAAACTATATTCTCTTTTTCTATTTTCTTTTCTATTCTTTTACGTTTAAATTTATGATGACCAATTTCATGACAAATAATTGATAATATTTCATCGGTTGATAATTGTTTTACTAGGTTATCGTAAAGTACAAATGAACTTTTCCAAAAACCCATAAGGAAAGCATTGGAATGTGAAACTCTTTTGCTTCCGTCGATGGTGTAGATTTGATGAACGGGAGCACCAAGTTTTTCAGCCAATTCCAAGATTTCACTTCTTAACTCTCCCTCTTCCAAAACCGAAAAGTTATTGAAAAGGAAAGCAAGCGAAGGGTACATGTCGGAAAAGAATAGAGCGACGGTCGATACAAACATAATGATAAATAACCATTGATATGGGAATGCTCGATAAAACAATGCCAATGTAATAGCCAACAATGGACATCCAATTAATAATGATACCAAAAACATCTTGATTTGATCAATAATTAATTGTCTAAACCAATTATTACTTTTCTTTCTATTCATATCTTGTTTGTTTTCTTTGTTGTCTTCTTCTTCTTCTTCTTTTTCTTCTTCTTTGTTTTCTTCTTTTTGTTCATTTTGTTGTTGTTGTTCTTTTTGTTCTTTTTCTTCTTGTTGTTTAATTTGATCTGCACGATCAACAAGACCAACACGATACATTTCAAATGGTAGACGAATGAGTGAAGAGGCAAGACTGATGAGTAGTAGGTATGATATACCTCGAGTGACCTCGTGACTAGAGGTGACACCGAGACGATCAAATACCTTGGCGTTGAAATGGTAGAGAAGAGGGAGTACACCGGTTTGCAACACGATACATTCCAGTATAAAGCCAATGGTAGACTCGGTTCTCGAAAAGTTCAACAACCCCAATATGTTTTCAATGTGGTATTGTACATCGGTCCAGTTTGCCGACGGACTACGATACTGACGCATCGTAAACGATTGTCGAATATCAAGATACAACTCGAGGAAAAAGATAAATGTATTGCATCCCAATGTCACATGAAACCAAGGTACAATCTCCAACAATGGTGTAATGTTGAATGCTACCATTGCCAATACAACTCCTGCACACCATATCCATACTGCTTTTTCAACTATTGTCATCATCTTTAAAAGTCTAAAGTAAATTTATGGTTTGATTGATATATGATAATGATAATGATAATTGATTGATTGATTGATTGAATGATGTCGTTTCTATATACACATTATAAAATAAAAGAAAGAAAAGAGATATATATATATATATATTTACAACTACTATATAGTAAGGTTAGGAAAGAAATAGTAGAGAGACACGTGTGATCAAATATTTACAAAAGCTCCCAATATAAGGAGGAAGAAGAGTCAGGTGGTCATCAGATGCACTAACCGTAATTCTGCAAAGAATCATCAAAAAAAATAAAAACAAAAACCGATTTCTTCAAGAAATCTTCCAATATTTATTTAATTGAGGATTTATTTCTTTCTTATTTTTAATGTAATATTAAAAAGAAATAAGAATAAATAAATATAATTAATTAAATTGAATTACTAACCGATCAAAAAATATTAATATTTGATAATTTGTTTGTACAAACATAGAAATAAAATGTAAGTTGATGGAGGAGTGAAATCCATTCGTGGATGGTCTAGAAAGAGATCGATTGATAATAGTATGAGATTAAGATTTACAATTGGAGGATGTTCATCGAACCCTCAAACCCTCCGTCGACCCTTGACTACATATATACATCTGTTGTTTTGAAAACTCGCATGAATCTAATTTAAATGGATGTCAGCCTCCGGGGATATGCTATCTATCGCCATAGGGGGCATCCTCTATGTGTGAGTGAGCTGATCCATATTTTGCGTGTTAATACGGTTAGGGTTGGCAAGTCTGGTCAGTCGACTTTTGGTCAATATTGAAAATGTTTTCAAAAAGATTACCTAACCGACAACCCAAAAAAGGAAGGATGGTTTTTTTCACAAGACCATGTAACTTCACAGTCACTAGTGGAGCCACCCTCATTAAAATTGTGGTTCAGACCGGACCTTATCAACCGGTAGTCTAGCCTCGACCATACACAACAAACATTCCTTCTTCTCACAAGTCAAACAACTAACAAAAGGATGTACTATTATAAGTTGGACTCCAACAACAAGAAAAAGAACCAAATAAATCTATCCACACCGCTCACTAGTAGTCCAAAAAGGTTTGTTTCTACCAACAACATTATTATTATACACACTACACTACACTATCGAGAGATTTAGGTCTCTTTTATTTATTTTGTTCATTGGGTAATTTCCATCCTGTGGATTTTTTTAATTTGTTATCATTATTATCACCTCATCGTCACATCATCGGTCGACTACCAATCCCATTTCAGGCCATTCATTCATCTATCCATACACCAACTCAATTTCATTTTACTCTTTTATAAAAAGGTCTGTTCCTTCCTAATCCATCTCCCTCCCTCTCTTTGAGATTATATTAAATTCGCACACACAAACAAACAAACAAATAATATTAACACCAACATAATAATAATAATATTTTAAAAATCTTTAACTTTATGGTTTAAAAAAAAAAAATCTTATTACAGCAGCTCTCCTTTCTTTCTCTCTTTCTTTTTTTCATTCTTTTCCTTTATCTTCTTCTTCCATCCTTTTCTTTCCAAATATAACAACAATTTGAAAAAGGCAACATTTTTTTGAATCAATATATAATCATGTGTATCGACAATAGTATCAAAAACTTGTACCAAACCATCACAACATTGTCATACGACGTCGACGAATAACACACACTCACTTTACCAAAGCGAGCTGCCAAGAAAAAAAGGTAAAAATTACTATTTATATTATTTCTAGTTTGGTTTGGTTGGTGGGGTTTTCATCCTCTTTTGGGTTGTATCATTATTTTAATCATCACACCCTATCCATCTATCCATCCATCCATCCATGTCTTGAGTTGCTATTGTTTTTTGTTGTACTGTTTTATTTTTCTGCCATCCAATTAAGTACAGTACCACCCCCACATGTGTGTACAAGGTACAATTTGAAATCACACTATCCGAATGGATGGAATTTAATTTATCACTCACATCTGGGGGAGATAGGTAGGGTAGAGTATCTTTCAAATATATCATCCACCTCCACCTCCTCCTATCAATCCATCCATAAATCCAACGACGACGACGACGATTTTCATCTTTACTGAAACAGTAGTAGCAGTAATAGGATATGAGTAGTAGTAGTAGTAGTAGTAGGAACACATGTTCTTCCCTAATTCTATCCGCTCTATATCCTTATCCTTCCATCTATAGTTTATCATTCCATTCACTCGAATAGCATTGTTTGTTGCTGCTTGCTACTACTGCTGCTGCTGAGCCATTAATATCATCAACCTGGATCATTATATACCTGGAACAGCTACATAACCACTTTTACACCTTCCATCATCACCATCGAATCAGCCACATACCAAACAATACTAATGAAACTATTTTACTAGTATTATAATAATAATAATAATAAATCATAATTTATTCCATTCATTCTACATACATACACCCCTCGTCGTGCATTTGTTGTATGGACATTCTACTACTCTTTGAACTAAATACCACATCACTTCACATCAAAGAGAAGAAGAACAACAAGATAAGATACAACAAGGAAAAGAAAAGAAAAGAAAAGAAAAAAGAATAGGAAACAATTTAAAGTATAATATATATAGTAGTAGTAGAGAATATTATAAAGACTCTATAGGAAAAAAAAGAATACTTTAGATTTTAAAAAAAAACATTTGTTTGTTTTTCTCCCTTCAAAAAAATTGTTTTTTGTTTTTTGTTTTTGTTTTTGGCGACAATACCTTTAATTTGGTAAATAATAATAATTTCCTTTGCTTCTATTCGCCTGGTTCTCTTTTAGAATACCTCCTCTTTTTTTTAATAATCACGCGCAATATATATATTATATTTATTTTGTATTTATCGAAAAATGCGGAACGAAAATCTTAAGATTTCGAAAATGAAAAAATATATAGACATCCAAAATGATTAACTCTTTATTTTTTTTCCTTATTAGATAAATCTTTATATAATAATAACAATTATAATATTTTTATTTAATATATAGCATTAAACAGACAGAAATACATACAACAACAGATTTTTTATAATGAATGATATAATTAGTCCACCACATGTTAAATTGGTGGTGGAGGATACTAGTTTAGCAGATATGTCTCCGGCTACCTCTACTACTAGTACAACAACTTTACAAAGCGATAAAATAATTGCAAACTCGAACAACAACAACAATAGTAATAATAATAATAATAACAATATTCAAGTCGAAAATTTTCCAGATGTAGTTTCATTAGCTTCAATGTCCTCTTCTATGGACAGTACTTTATCATCTTCTACTTCGTCAATCAATAGTATAGATGCGATGAATAATAGTTCAAACAATTTAGTATCGGCAGCTGCCATGTGTCAACACATAAAAAGATCCAAAAAAAAGTTACAAACCTTGGAAATGTATCAAAACAACTCGGCGGCAGCAAATTCTCTAGAAAGTGTAGATGAAGATAAATATTGTCCTTCTAGTATACACATTTTAGTAGTAGACGATGATATTACACAAAGAAAAGTTTTACAAAATTTATTATCAAAGGTTTTTTATAACGGTATGTTGTTTGCTCTGTTTCCAAATGTATAAAAAAAAACAAAAAGATTAAAAGAAAATAATAATAATAATAATTAAAAAGAATTTATCATTTATTAACATTATATTATATTTATTTTATTTATATTTATAGTAACATTGGTATCAAGTGCAGAAGAAGCATGGAATATGTTGATTTATGGTACGACCAAATTTGATTTGGTTTTGACTGATGTTATGATGCCACAAGTAACAGGGTTTGATCTTTTACAAAGAATCAATGAACATCCTGAAATTAAAAACATTCCAGTGATTTGTATGAAACTAGAAAAAAAACTAGAAAAAAAAAAAAACAACAAACAAACTAGAACAACAACAAAAGATATATTTATAAAGTAATCATTTATTAATCTTCCTCTTCTTATTTGTTTTTTTAACTTTAAAGTAATGTCTGGAACTGCTTTAGACTGTAAATATGCAAATGATACTATAAAGATTGGTGGACAAGATTTTGTAACCAAACCAATTGCCAAGGAACTATTAAAGAAAAAGATTGATATCCTTTTAAGAAGCAAACACCAAAAGAAACAAGAAAAGAAATACAAGGAATCTTTGGCATTGGAAAAGGTGAATCGTGAACGTTTGGCAAAGGAGATGGAAGCCAAAGAAAATGAAATCAAAGAATTGACTAGAAAGATGAATGAAATGGCTCATATCACTCGTGAAGAATTTGAAACTCCTTTGGCCATCATCACAAGAAACATTGAAGAATTAATGACTCAATCAAATCTATCAGATACTGTCATTAAAACAAAATTAACTTTAATTTTAAAACAACTTGGGTAATGAAAAGGAAAATGAAAAAGATATAGATAACTATAGATCTAATTATTAATTTATTTTATCTTTTTTATTTTTTAGATCATCAAATATTTATAAACCATCATTTGAAAAGGTGATGAATAACAAGTCAGTTGATGAAGTGACCAAATCATTTTTAAAGACTGGGTTTAGTAACGTTCCATCGCCAGATGATGATGGTCTTCATCAAAGACCATCATTTCCACAACCAATTGAAATGGATAGTGCCAAGGAAGGTTTAAAGGAATGGGAGTTTGATATCTTTAAATTCACCGATGACCAATTACTTCCAATGTTGGTTGAAATGTTTGAAAACTTTCAACTATTGGAAACTTTTAATATTCCAATTGAAAAATTACATAGATTTATTATGACTGTACATAAACATTATTGGTCTGGAAATAGGTAAATATATATAAAAAAAGAAAATAGAAATAGAAAAAGAAAAAAGATTAAGATAATAATATTTATTAACTATTTATTTTTATTTATTTTTTTGTTTTTAGATATCATAATTTTATTCATGCATTTGATGTTACACAAACTTGTTATTCATTATTAACAAAGTTTAAAGCAGCAGAATACCTAACCCATTTGGATATTTTGTCATTATTAATTTCATCATTGTGTCATGACCTTGACCATCCAGGTGTAAATAATACTTTTCAAATTAATGCACAAACAGAACTTTCATTAAAATATAATGATAATTCTGTATTAGAGGTAAAATTTAAATTAAATCTAAATACTATATAAAATTTCAGAATATTAATATTCGTTTTATTTTACCTTTTCTAGAATCATCATGCAAGATTAGCATTTAAAATTTTAAGGGATCCAGATTGTAATATTTTAGAAGGATTGTCGGAATCCCAGTATAGAGAAATCAGAAGATCTATCATTCAATTGATTTTATCAACCGATATGTCATTCCATTATGAATACATTAACAAATTCCAAAATCATCTTAGTCAACAACCATTTGATAGAAACAAATCTGAAGATCGTCAATTATTATTAATTTATTTAATCAAAGTAAGAGAAATAGAAACAAACAAAAAAGAAAAAGAAGAATTATTTATTTATTTAATTTATTTAATTTATTTATTTATATTTATATAAATAGTGTGGAGATATATCAAATGTAGCAAAACCATGGCCATTAAATCATCAATGGTCAAATAGAATTGCAGATGAATTCTTTGAACAAGCTAGTTTTGAAAGAATTAGAAATCTACCAGTTGCACCATTCATGGACAAGAATCAAACGACCAAACCAAGAATTGCTGCCGATTTTATTGATTATGTTGCTGGTCCGCTGTTTCAAGGATTGTCAGAGTTTATTGTTGATACAAAGATACTGATCAAAATCATTGGTCAAAATAGACAAGCTTGGCAAATTCAATTGGACAAGATCCAAGATGACAAGGATAAACAAAATGAAGATGGAACCACTGACAATGACTCTATAGTGTCGGTACCAAGTATCAATGTAGAACCAAATTCAGAGTCGGAAGATTCAACTCAATCATCCATCTCTACCACTTTTGGTGAAGATTATCTTTACACTCCATCTCCTTCATCAAGTATAGGTGATTCTGAATCTCCTCGAAATGAAAATACTATTAGTAGTAATAATAATATTAATAATAATGATAATCATATTGTTCCAAATGCAACAACTACAACTGCAACACCCATTACAACAACGCCACCACCAACAACACCTTCGACAACATCAACCAATTACAACTTTATGTTTAATAATTTTTGGAGAGCTCATTGAGGTGAGGGATTCCTTCATATTTCATTATTAATATATTTATATAAATTATTTATATTTTATTTATTACCTATAATTAACTTTTAATTATTATTTGTATTATTATTATTATTAGTTATTCACAACTAGATATATATTTTTTTTTTTACACAACTAAAAAACATTATTTCTATTTTATTAAAACTATCTAATACTACTTTATAGAGTTATCAACCCCAAAACAAAGTGGAGTTCATATCGATACCCATACTTTTGATTTGATTATATCTATTTAAACAAACCAAAAAAAAAAAAAAGAATGATAGAATTTAATAAATAAAAACAAAAAAGAGGTATCTACAAGTATGATCACTTCTCTTTGTTGTTGTACAAACAAAAAATATTGAACGATTTAATTTTACCATTTTTATGAGTTCTTTTCTTTAAGTAGACACTAAATTATAGTAATATTAAATATTCTCTCACTACCTACTTTCTACTTTACTATACTTTACTTTCTACTTTGAAAATCAAAATTTTTGGTGTTTCAAAAAAGTTTGTTGTTCACCTGATCGACTGATCAGATATTTGGTGAGGGAGACCGACTGACAGATTTATGAGGAGGAGAGGATGGGTGGGTAGCAGCGGCGGTAGCTTTATAAAGCCTTTGTTTTTGGTGTTACAGGCATTCAAATATTCTCTATCTCTTAAAAGTATGTAAACAAATAACTTCTTCCTCCTCCTTTTATTAAACTATATACTGTACGTGTGATGTTGTTAAATATTCTTTACTAACTATCTATTCTTTTTCAGATAGTAGATTTAAGTTGAATGTTGTGTAGAAGCAATATTAAATATTAAAAGTGTTACCCATGTTTGTCAGGTGACATCGGTAAGGTGACAATAACTTTTTTTATCCCTCTATAGAGATGCTATGAAAACCAGATGAGTTCATCACTTAGTCTAAATCACATATGACCTGTATGTTCTATGTTCTGTTGTTGTATCATTATAATTATTGTACTAAAGACCATTTTTGGTTGGGTATCATATCTCTTCTTGTGTCGCATGGTTTTTACATAATTTTTCGTTCTTAAACGAAAACGAACGAGTAGACTTCCCATAAGCCTCAGAGCATGGAAAAGTACCATAGGTAAAGCATCAAACATTGTATTAGGTACCTAAAACTTTCTCCTACTATCCTTGAGATTTCTTTGGGCTAATTTAAGGGATCAGACAAACATGTAGGAAGAAAAACCACCAGCTGTATCGTATCTACTTGTTATGACTACTCCATGAAACAACGAGTTCGAACATGCCGCACAACACACAAACTATATAATTTAATTTAAAAGACTATAAAACAATAATAATACTGTAAAACGAGCGAGATCTATAATGTCATGTGGCACATATGTCATGTGACACATATGTTATGTGACATAAACTGACCTCAGAGTATCGAAAAGTACCATAGGCAAAGCATCAAACATTGTATCAGGTACCTAAAACTTTCTCCTGATATCCTTTAGACTGATTTCTACAGTCACACATACAACTATATAAAAAATACTGAAAGAATAAATAAATAATATTGATTATGTCACAAACCGAATGAATGCAGGTATCATATGATCGTTCGTTTTTTTTTTTTTGGTTATAATATTCATTTTCACAAATATTTGTTTGTTGTTTTGTTATATTGTACAATGATATCAAAAAATATATTAAAAATTGGTAATAGTTTACTCAAACAAGTAGCACAACCATGGACCAAAGAAGAATTAAAAGATACAAAGAGAGTTGAAAAGTTGTTGGATTTGATGGTAAAAGAGATGCGAGAAAACAATGGATGTGGTATTGCAGCACCTCAGGTAGGACAAGGCAAACAACTGTTCTTGTTTGAGCTGAATAGTGTCGATACGCATCTTGCGTGTCCCAACTTTCCGCTGACTGCATTCTTTAACCCTACCATTGAAATTGTCGAGGATGACGTACTCATCCCATCGCTTCAATCGGCACAACCCATCAAGAGAAACAGCAACTATCAAATAACAAGTGGCGGTCCCGTGTTTGGCAAGACGGGCATAGCAGGCAGCAGCAAGAACCTCTTTAACCTCACCAAATACAAACGATCCATGCAAACACCACTCGTCACTACACCCAAGAAAATAACAGCCAACAATACAATCGATGTTTGGGAGTCGTGTCTATCGGTACCTTCATACTATGGACGTGTTACGAGAGCTCGAAAATGCATCATCAACTTTTGGGATATTACTGGTACGCCTCGATCGATAGAGGCCGATGGTTTGATATCCGCCTGTCTTCAACATGAAAACGATCATCTTTTGGGTCGTGTCTTTTTCGAACGTCTACAAAATAGTGTAAACGATCTAGTACATGCTGACGAATTAACTCATGAACAAGCTACTCATGTATTTAGTTTAACTGGTGATTTTCAAATTACCAAATAAAAAAAAAGAAAAAGAAAAAAAGAAAAAGAAAAAGAAAATTATTATTATGTAAATCAAAAAATAGTAGTATTTAGTTTTAATGGAATTAACTAAAATTAATTAATAATTGACAATCTTCAATCATTATTCTATGATTTTTTCTCTTAAAACTAGATGCTGAATGAATATCATTAAAAATGACAAATATTTCTTTTTTTTGATCATTAATTGTATATCTCTTAAAAAAAACAAAAAAGATAAATATTAATTAATTTGTATATATATGTTTTGTTGGTTTGTTAGTTTACATACTTTGATTCCATTTTCATTTTCAAATAAATGTTTAATTTTTGAAAGTGAAGGATAGTTTGTAATGGTTAATTGTTGAGATGAATTGGAAGATGAGGTTAATTGATTGTTATTGTTGGAATGATGATTGGTTGATGGGGATTGGTGGTGGTGGTGATGATTATTTACATTTCTTCTCGATTGAAAAGGTTGAGATGGTATAGGTGGTGATTGCATAGTTGGTGAGGTTAATATTGGTGATAAATGATGGTGTTGATGACGTTGATGTTGATGATTCATTCTATGTGGTTGTTGATTATATGGATTATTGACCATTAGATTATTGGTCATTATTTGATTCATTACAAGTGTTGCATTTGCAGCAACAGCAGCGACAGCTGGACCTGGTAAACCAATTGGTGACGATGATCTAGTTAAACCACCATATGGTGGAGGTTTAAAATGATTGGTAATATTGATGTTGTAATGAGGATTGTTGATTCTGGGATGATGATTTAAAATAGGTGATGTTTTCGTCGTAACCATGGTCGGTGTAGGTACATTTGGTTTTGGTGTAGGTACTGTCATGGTTTGACCATTTGCCAATTGAACAACTAGTGGAGCAGGAGGAGTTGGTGGTGGTGGTGGTGGTGAGGGGACCTTTGGATGTGGTAGTGTCACCATTGTAGGTGATTTCAATTGTGATGATGGTGGTGGTTGTGGTACTACTCTAACATGATTATGTAAAAGAGGAAGAATTGGAGGAGAACCAATTAATGTTGGATGTACCATTGTCTTGTTGTTGTTTACACCATTTCTTAACATTTGATTTGGTTGTGGTGGTGGTGGTGAGTGTATGGGACTATGTTGATGATGATGATGATTAATATGTTGATGATGATGATGAAGAATTACTCCACCATTATGACGAACACCTGGTGGTGATACTATATTCGGTTGAACAACGCCACGTTGAAAAGGTAAATGTTGTTGTTGAGGGATTAGAGGTTGATGTCCATTTATCATTGGAGAGTGACGTTGTTTCTTGAATGGTTGTTGTTGATGTTGATTAGCACCATTCATATATTTCAAAGGAGGTGTCAATGGTGGAGACTCTCTATGATGATTTCTATAAAGATGTGTATTATTATTTGTCACTGCCATGGGTTTAAAATGATTTGATTCATTGGTTTGTTTGATAATAGGCTTTTCACCTTTGGGTTGCTCCTCGGTAATCAAACCTTCTTCAATAATTGATCCTTCTTCTTCAATTGATCCTTCCTCTTCTTCTTCTTCTTTAATTTCACCATCATTCAATTCTTCTTCTTCCAATGATCTTTTTCTTGTTGTTGAAGATGTTGATATTTCATCTTCATCTTCATCTTTTATAACTTTTACTTGAAATTCTACTTGCAATTCCAATTCATCGTCAGATAGACCATAATCGATTAGGTCATTGTCATCGTAATCTCCATCGTCGTCAATGTTGTATTGATAGGATACAGGTACTTGAACGGGCTCTTCTTGAGTTGTCATGTTGTTGTTGTTGTTGTTGTTGTTGTTGTTGTTTGTTGAGTGTACAATGTATAAGGGCAACAAGATAAAATAGAAAACGAGGAACAAGTGGATATATATGATATGATTTGAATTTGATTCGATTTGAGATTGATTGTTCTAACTGATAAATGGTATATAGTATATGTATATATTGATATATTGTAAAGAGATATATAATGATTATATATAGTTATAGTTATATAGGTAATACGAATCAAAACATTGTTATAAATTATGAATCATTTGGATAGCAGTAGTAATTATAAAATATAGCCAACTTTAAAGTAATAATAATACTTATAATAATATCGATCTTGATAATCATCGATCGAAAAGAAGAAGAAGAAGAAGAAGAAGAAGAAGGGATAGAGTAAAAGGAAGAAGAATAGAGGGAGGGAGGTGTGAGGGAAATGAGGAAAAGAGAGGCAAGATAAAATACAGAGTGCCAATCGATACCTATAATCCTCAAGTATACTTTATACTACCCATTATGTAACCTCCTCCTCTCAACCTCTTGTCGGATGAATGATGATGATAAAGAAGAACAACAAGATACATCATTATTCAAAAAAAATATAAATGGGTCATTTACCTTTTTGATATTATATAAACATATATACACATATATATTAATAATTTGTACTGTAATAACTAACTAATTAACCAACATATTTGTTTCTATAATAAAAATAATAATAATATATAGATATCTTCTATTATTCTTTTTACACCCACTTGTTTTTGTTTGCAAAATTGGTTTTTTTTGCAAAGAGGAAAATAAAAAGTTTGGGGTGCCCCAATTTATATGGGGAATATGGGGGTAGACAGTTCAATGCAAGAATTTATTAAATAGGGATTTGACGGAAGAGACAAAGGAAGGATTTTGAATAGTGGTTGACAGTTGGGATGATGAGTTGGTATTGCTTTCATAGGCTATTCTTTTAGCTGGTCTGTTATTTTCATCTCGCATTTCGCCAGTAGCCACATTAATTTGGTTAAAGGTGTTATAATTGTTAACTTGGCTCAGGTTAACATCTCCAGAGTCTGATTTTTTTGGCTGTCTTCTCTTTCGTGTCTCTTTTTTATAATGAATAACCAAGTCTCTTTGATTTAAATGAAAATTAGGTTAGTAAAAAATGGGTAGTAGTTGTTATCGTTTAAACTCACCGATTTGTGTCGTCGGTCCAGACAGTGCCTGTACTCATCTTATCTCTCATCATCATTGATCTTTGCTTGTGTGGTAAAGAATCTGTCGTTACCAATGCATTAGAAGTGGTTTGAACAAGAGCAAGAGCCTTTGAAGATTTTTTTGTTGCCTTGGGTGGTTTTGGTATCAATCCCTGATCTTGTGGTGAGAGTGGCGAACAATTAATGATACCTGACTTGTTCCAAGCAGCCATTACGTTGGTTGGCTTTGTTGCTTCGACCCATGCAAAGTATGAAAACTGTTGGTAGTGTTCGGGTGCTATTTTAAAGTTGGGTTTGTCTTGAAGTTGTTTTAGTATCATATTCTTTAGTGATTGAGAGAATGATGAAAAAATGACAAGATCCAAAGGTTGTAAGATATGTGTCATATTGGATGGAAAGCTCTTAATGTGAACCTTGTTTTCATTGGCCCATTGAAGTAATTCAGGACTAAAATTACTTCCATGATTGTCGACCAAAAGTAACTTGTCGCCAGGTGTTGTCAGCTGTTTAACAAAAAATTGGACACAGTCTAGCTTGATTGACTCATCTACCTATATACGATTAGTTATATACAAGAGTGTGTTAATTAATTATAATATTTAGATTTTGTAGAAAAAGAAAATTTTTAAAAAATCATCTTACATAGCCACTCTTATTAACTTCCAGATAGCCATTTTCATTTTTACTAGTAATGGACCAATTCTTTTTGATTGGGAACTGCAAAACGTAATAAGGCTTTAGACTACCACCTAATCCTGTTATTCCTCCTACCAATGTAAAGTGTTGGGACTGAGTTTGTTTAAAAACTTTTGGTTTGAGTGTCTCCCTTGCATTTTTATAAACAAACATGACAACCTGTGACAAAGACATTGAATTATTAGTAAACTCTAATCAATTGCATGTGTATAATCACTACTGTCTATAGTTACCTTTTGTTTAGTATCTGTGAAGAGAACTCCCTTTTCATCAATGTTGAATATATTTTCTTGTTTGATACCATGTTTTATTATGAAATCTCTAGTTTCCTTGATCCATGCGTCAGAACCACCTTTTTGTTCAGCAAGTGCCCTTTTATAATCTTGAGAGCGAACATATCTAAGCTTGAGATCTACGTATCTCGATCTAAAACCTCTCCACCAAGAGTCTGACAGCATCTTTTCTCTCTTTGTGCCCGTTCGCTCTTTCCAGAGATTGAGTGCCAAAATCTTGACATCTGTCTTTGTCATTGGTCTATTCTGCTGAATAGATATCTTGATCTTGGCTATTATCTTTTCCTCTTCCTCTTGTGTAAGTGTCTTTTGACGAGGTACTATAGATTTCTTCTTTAGTGCCCTCGATACTTCATATTCTTCTAATCCCAAAACGAAGCTAATATTTTTGTTGCTAATCTCCCCGTGCTCTAGTCTAAGCATCACAGCTGCTTCCAATCGCTCCTTTTGTTCTCTCACCAAGACCTTTTGTAATGTTAGCCTTGATTTACATTCCCAAAAGACTGTTAAAACACCTAAAATCTCTCCATACACCTGTTTCTGATCTTGCTTTGTGCTTGCTAATTCCTCCATTTTGACTTTATCTTATACCAATAATATCTATATATATGTGCTGAATATAATAATGACATTCGTTTGTTGTAAAAAACTTTTCTATTAGTTATTTTAATCTTGTACTCCAACTACTACCCGTAACTGCCATAGTAGATGGGTGACTTAAAGAAATTAAATTACTCATTGCAAAAAAAACCAATTTTGCAAACAAAAGATAGTGGGTGTTAGTTGTATGATGTGATTTAAAAATAATGGTTAGGGGTGAAGATTCTTGTGACAAAACTGACAAAAAAATGAATAATATGAATTAAATAATATTGGTGTGGGTATGTTGGATTATTATCTTTCGAGTATGAGGGATTTAAAAATGATGGTGTCATCATTGACCCTTCTCAACACAGGCCAGTAGATAAAATCAATTGTTTGGTTATTATAATATATTATTATTTTATTTATTAGTATATATACTGGATGAATGGGATGAATGGAAGGGATTATTTAATTGAATTTAAAGGGTCATTTAGATTTGATTGATTGATTGATTGATTATTGACTAGATGGTTCTAAATCTCTAACACGTAATATTTCAAATTCATCTCGTAGTCTTTCAAAAATTCTTTGAGCCACTATTTTTTGTTCGGTTGATCCTAGATTAACCTTGTCGGGATGAACCACCATAATGGCCTTTCTATAGTACTTTTTAACTTGAGTTGGTGCCACCATTTGTCCACGATTCACCTTTTCCCATCCACTTCCTTCCCACAACACCTCGTGAAGTGTAGATATCAGCATACGGATATCATTCTTTTTACCAGTGCTTGCCTCTGCCCATCTTTTAACCTTTTCCGAAATGGCAGGTTCCAATGTTTCACGTTCAGATTGTGCCCTATGATCTACATGTGGAGAAAAGTTCATTGATGGTGGTGGTTGAGAGTTTGGCATGAAAAATGATGTAAATTGTTGAGGTTGTGTTCCACCTCCACTTCCAGTTGATGATGTTGTTGACGATGGTGGGAAATCAAAATCTCCAAATATATGATCATAACTTGATTTGTTTTGATTTGTAGGTGGAGGAGGAGCAGGTTGAGATTGAGGAGGTTGTTGTTGTTGATTATTATTACTATTATTTTTATTGTTCCATTGTTGTTGTTGAGGAGGAGGAGGTTGTCGTGTTTGTTGTTGTTGTTGTTGTTGAAAAGGTGGTGGATTGTATGAACCATTTGATGGTTGTTGTGGTGGTTGTTGACGTTGATGAGGAGATTGGAATTCATATTGATTAGATGATGATGGTGAATTTGTATTTGTAGCATTTGTCGAAGAGGAATTTGGTGTTGGTTTAAAGGGTGATTCTTTTGGAGTTGAATTTGGAGTTTCATACATCCAATCGTCACCAAACCCAGATTTTGTTGTTGTTGTTGTTGACGATGATGATGATGTATTATTACCATTTGTATTATTATTATTATTATTACTATTACTATTATTACTATTACTATTATTACTATTTTCATCATCCCAAACACTAAACAAATTTTCATTTCTAGAATCATTTCTTTTGGTTGATGGCGGTGATGAATCTTCACTACTCGACCCACCAGTTGGACTATAAGGTCCATTATCATTCATATTCATATTTCTAAATTGTCCATGTAATGGTTGTTGTTGTTGTTGTCCACTACTACCACTTCTTGGACGAGTATGACTATTACTATTACTGTTTACTGAATCTTTATAAGAAGGAGGTGGGGAAGGATAGACTGGTGGAGGGGTAGGAGAACTTGGTCTATTGTGTTGTGGAGGTGGAGTGGATGGAGAGGTTGGTTTCTTTGGTCTATAGATATCAGCTAGTTCAGGGATATCAAGTTGATAAGTGTCTACCATTGGTTCGATAAACCCTAGCAAACCCTCCAACAATACCGAGTTGCTTTCGAAAAAGATACAAAATTGTTGTACAAGTGTAATAATACTATGAACGATCAATTTACATCTAATAAATGATCTTGTTTGTATATGATTGTTTGTATTCTTTGATGCTTGATCAAATTCCTCTTTTGCCATTCTAATCTTATCCATATCCCTAAAATTAAATTAAATTAAAAAAGTTAGATACTTATTTATATATCTCTTTCTATCTATTTCTATTTCTATTCTCTCTCTTACGAAGAAGCTCTTTTAGTTGAATCATAATCTAGGTTTAATTTCTTTCTCTTTTCCAATACTTGTTTTGTTACTTTATTCATTTCTTTGTCTCTTTTGAATGGTATCACAACATTTGTATCCAATGATTCAATAGTTGTTCTTAAATTATCATGTCCAATTGTACCAAATGAATCGTATAACTAAAAGTAAAAAGTAAAAAGTAAAAATATTAATATCTATCTATCTATCTATCTATTTATCTTCTTTTTCTTTATCTTTTTCAATTTACTCTTTGAACAGAATCTTGAAATCTAATTGAAAGATCACCAGATTCAGGTGTTGTTCGTTTAAAGAACTTTGATAATAAACCTGTAGAGAATTCCTTTTCATCTGATAATTCAGAGAGTATAAAGTTGCACATCGAGGTGGCGAGTGCACTGTTTGTTTGACACATTCTCTCCATGTTGAGCATAGACTGTTGTGTCGTCTCTTCTAGGTGGTTCATAAACTCACCCAATCGCTTTAGATTCGATAGGTTGTTATCCAACACCTCGTCATGTGTCTTGTCTACAGCTCCCATCTTTTCCAGAACGGTTTGTGTCGCTCTCCTTTGAAATTCAAACATCTTTTCTGCTAGTGAATCCATTCTGTAGATAGTCTATCTATATTCTCTTTCTCTGAGTAGAACCTATAAATAATATATAAAATGAAAATAAATAAATAAATAAATACTGACTGCGTACTTCTTGTAAAGTTTGTCTATTTTAATTACAGCAATAAAGTTTGGGTTTTTTCTTCTTTTTTGTTTTTTTTTTTCCCCAACCCGAATAAAACCAACCGAACTTCAACCACTTTTCACTTTATTTTTCTTTCTCCAACCACAGATACTATCTGTCAATGAACGAGTAAGTTAACTATATCAATTCATGATTAAATACTTTTAATTTTTAAATGGGATCTTGGTTTTTTTTAAAAACAAAGGTAATATATAATCACTTTTTTTCAAAAACAACACTATAACAATGTTCATAAAAAGAATTATATTTGCTAAAAGAAAAGATATCTTTCACATTAACATTTAATGCAAACAATGTAAAATTTCCTGACGTCCTGTGTAAGAAGGCCTATCCAGTGTGAAAAAGAACTACAATGAACTACAGGAAATGCGTGATCTATCCGTATACTACATGAATTGTAAAGTGTGGTGTTAAAAGTATGCGGATACATCACGCATTTACTGTCAGTTCAATGTCTGACATGTTAGTCCACCCAACCAATATTGGTTTGTATAGTAAAAAAAAAAAAGGTTTAAACAACCAAAATGACAAAGTTTATATAACTACTATACCTTTTCATTACAAATACAATTTTAATTTAATTTATTTTAATTTATAGAGTTATTATTATTATTACCATTTTTAATGTTAAATTGATTTACAAATGATTTCATATCTTGATAAACTTGACTGGTTAGTTTTGGAGTCGCAGTGGTCATTTTGTCGAAAATGAGTGCTTCAAGTTTGGTCAGCTGATTCAAGAATTCATCGTGATCATAGTTGGCTTGAGGAATCATCATTGCCGTGCATGATGAAAATTTAGATTCGGCCTCCTTGGTTTGATGGTCCTTGAAGAATTCATTCGTCACCTTTACAGGATCGAGAAGGAATGCCTTTTGCTCTGCATTACAATTACTAAACAACGTTTTGTTGAATATTAAGATTAGGTGTGGTTTTGGTTTAGTTGGTTCAGTAGGAGTAGTAGTTGGTTTGGTAGTAGTACTGGACTCGGTCGGAGCAGCACAATGAATTAGTAAATTAACAATGGTAGCTCTTTCTTGCCATGAATGATTGGTGACTACAATCAATATATCACTAAACGAGTAGAGAAATTTTGGATAAAAGTGACGAATAGTTTCCTTTCGAATTTGTTTCTCTGTCTTTACTTTTTTTCCAACCAAAGTAGAAGAAGAGGAAGGAGAAGAAGAGTTGGTTGATTTGGCCAATTGAAAGTTTAATAGGAATGGATCAGTACCTCCACCACCCTCACTATCAACAATCATAAAGTTCTTTCGATCAACACCTTTTTCTACACATCCAGAGTATGAATTCAAATCAGCAGATGTTGAATGTGAGTCAAAGTAATACCCAGGTATTGGTTTATCAAATTCTTTATCTTTAATTAATGATCTAATTAATGTTGATTTTCCTAAAACAAACAAAAAGTAAATATTAATATATATAATCCTTTTTTCCTTTTCTTTGTTTCGATACATACCAGACCCAGTTGGACCAATAAAACTAACAAAGAATAAATTCTTTCCAAACATATTATTATCAATATCACCAAACCATTGTTTCTCTCTTTCTCCCCATTGAATAGTTGGGAGATTATTTTGATTATTTTGATTATCAATATTATTTTGATTATTTGTAAAATCCAAATATAATAATTTCTGTAATTTATCATATTTTAAGAATGATTGTGGATTTTGAATTGATTCATCTTTTGATTTCAAGTATTTTCTTTTAACATTTTCCTTTCTAATTTCCATTCGATGTTTTGATGCTATAAATTCTTTATCTTCATCTATTAATTCTGAAAAACTACCACCAATACTGTTTTTGTTGTTACTATCTTGGTTTGATTGTTGATTGTTATCATTATTATTATTATTATTATTATCTTTTTTATCTTTTAAAAGTTGAAGTTGAATTTGAATTTGATCCCATTCTAATTTTTGTAGTGCAACCAATTTATCCAATTCTTTTTCTTCATCTTCTTGAATATAGGTTGGTATCTTTATATTGAGTTGTTCTTCAAATTTAAGACATAATTCTAGATTGTAAGATTCTCTTTCTTCGTCTGTCAGTTTGAGAATATTCAATATCTTGATTCTCTTATCAAAGTCGATTGACTTGTGGTGTCGTGGACACTGTTTCTCTTTGTGTGTGTCACATCTATATCCTGGACAATTAATACAATAATGCGTCACCTTTTGTTTACACTGTACAAACTTGACTCCTCCTCCTTCTAATCTTTGAATCTCTATACATTCAAACTCTTTATTATCTATTTTAGTTTCATAGGTCTTTGGTGTAAATTGTTGAATAGTTGTAGTTGTAGTAGATGTAGTAGATGTAGTAGTTGATGGAATGGAGGAAGGTTCCATCATGTGATAGGTGTTTAAAAAGTACAATTAAAATGTTTAAAGTTAAAGATCTTGAAGATCACTGTGTGACTCCGATGAGCAATATAATTTTCTTTTTATTTTTTCATTCAATTTTGATTGATTCTATTTTTAAATAGTGATCCGGATACCAATACATTGTTATTATCAGCGTCTAGTCTTTGAATTGAAAATGTAATGGTGATTGATATCGATAGCCATTGATACGCAAATATCTAACATTGGTGATTGATTGATTATTTCGTCGTGTGTAAAGTGGATTGGTTTGTTTGTCAGAATGATGGCTTGATGATCTGATCATCCGCCAACTAAACATACTACTATACTACTGCTGTATCTTATTATCTACTGTCGTGACATACATTAAAAATGATCAGTTGAATCCAGTAGCTTTTTGCTATTAACTGTATGAACATGTGCATTGTAGAGAGCTCCTGCAAGTGAATCTCCAAGTTGTTCAGTAGAATTATTAAAAAAGGAAGCCAGGTCGATCTGGAGCTCCTGTGTGTGGATCTTGTGCAGAACCATTGATAAGATATACTTGGAGGCCCACTTGAAACCTACTTGATGACCATCGCTGTCAACAAATGAACTAGCTTTCTGCTGATTTCGTCTGTATCATCAGAGGGCAGAGCCAAGTACCGCTCTGATAGACTCGATTGCCAGAGCTCGATAAAGCAATCTCTGATGACCTTGGAGAGTGGCCAACTGCAGAACGTATCGTGGGATACCTCCCCACTTTTCAAATCTGTCCTTGATGATTTCATGATCCCTGTGGAAGCATGCCTTGTTGGCGACAACGATCTCTTCAAAGGTCCAATCTGGCATGTACCGGATGTCGTGTGTAGTAGGAGAGGCTCGGAAATCTTTGTGCACGCTATCTTTGGATGGTGAGGAGAGCAGGACGGTGAAGGTTTTTGTGGGATGTGGTGATACACCATCGACCAAGTACCAAGCCTCTGGTCCTGCTTCGTTGAGGATACCTATGATATCTCTCGATTCTGTGACTGTCGGGCTCCCATCTATGTATCTGAATAGAACAGCTGTGTTGGAGTCGATATGAATACTGTGTAATACGATTACAATCTTGTCGTCTCTGCCCAACATGTACATGAGATAGCTGACCCATTGCGATTTACCGATTCCCGCATCACCAGTTATGTTGACTCCAAATACCTCACGTTCGACCTTCATCTTGGCAACCATCGAGTACGATTGCTCGTAACATTTGCGTACCATTATTGACTTGGTTTGAATAAATGGAGAAGCAAATGTCAAGATATCATCTTCCAGTTTTGCCTCATTTAGCGTCTCCCAAAATACGTCCAGTGACCATTGTTTGATACTACCACCTGTAGTTGAAGAATAGAAAAAAAGAAACAACAAATTTATTGATTAGTAAAATTCGAACCATTTTGTAATGAACCATGTAGGGTCGGGTACCTTGAGGATTGTTCTCAACAGACTCTACCTGGAGTTTTGTGTTGTGATCTAATGTTTGTGACATAACAAATAACTAACCAACTAACTAACTAATATTATGTTAACATAGTTATTATTTGTGTGAACATAAATAAAAAAAGAATAACAATAACTTTCACCTTGAACCCCTGATTCATAATTAAAATGTTAAAAATCAAAACACTCTGAGTGAGAGAATTTTGCAACAGTCTCTCACAAATTTATATGAGTTTTGCGAAAAACCCAGCGCAGTTGTTTTGACTTCTCACAAATATTAATGAATTAATTTAAAATCAGATTTTTAAAACAAAAACATTTCAACAATATGATCCAATTTATTTATAACCATGATATGGAATAATAATAAATTAGATAATGATAATAGTAGACTACTTGTCATAGTGTCTGATAATACTTTTAAAAATAAACAATATTATTATTATTATTTTTCAAAGTTCAAGACAAAAAGGTGGAGCTGTCGATGATTTATTTATATTCGATCAAGTTGTTTTGGTATAAAACTCCAATACAAATCAAATGGAGATGAAGATTTTGAATCAATATATAAATAAATTGGATCATATTTTTGTTGTTGTTGTGATTGATTACTGTTGATTGATTTTCTATTTTGAGTAATTATTCCACCTGTCAATGATTGTCTTTCCAATACCAATACATTGTTATTTTCACTGTCCAATCTTTGAATTGAAAATTGTAAATTTAAATTGTGAATAGATAGAGATAAATATCTAACATTGGTATGATTGATTATTTCGTCTAATCTAAATGCCACTTTTGGTACTTGATTAAATAATTTGCAAGTTAGATTGGTTGTATTAATGGGTAGCCATTGTTGTTGTTGTTGTTGTTGTTGTATTTGTTGGTCAGTGATTGTGACTCTAGAGGTGAATGAAAAGATTGGGTAACCAGTTGACCATGGTCCAGGTGGTAGTTGTAAAGGTAAAAAAAGATATTTGATGGTCGGTGGTACTTGAATGGTATATTTACCTACCATATTGAGTAGGTTGAGTGTTTCAAGATTTGGTGGAAATAAAGGTGGAAACTCTAGATATGTTTCATCTTCTGTCCAATTAAATGACCAAACTAGTTTTTTTAAATGATTCTCCTGATCAAACCCTGTCGGATCAATGTTTTTGAATTTCTGTCTTAGTTTGACAAGTGATGGAGGTAGTTTGACAGGTTCATACTCTCCAAAAATAGTTAGATGAGTAAGAGATGATGGGAATACAACTTGTCCAAGTATAGATTGACCAATAGTACATGATTTATGGATTGTAAGTTTTTCCAGAGTTGATGGAATCAAATCAGTTGGAATGATTACTTGGCAATCAAAAATAACTAGTTTCTTTAGAGACTGTGATGATAACGATATATTGATATTTCCCTTCAATAATAAACTTTGTTTTACATTTAATTGCTCCAATTGTGGCATGGTGCAACGAGATGGAACAATTACATAATCACTCTCAATGTTGAGTGTTTTGATTGAAGGAGGGATACTAATCTCGATGACTTCCTTTTTTGTAGCATATCCACAACTAAACTTGAATGCCTTGAGATGATTTAAAGAATCGAGATCAATGAATGGTTGTTCATTTACTTTACACCCTCTTAGATGTATTCCAAGGTAGACCAACGATGACAATGAAATGAATGTATCTCTTGGAGGCATCTCTTTTGATGTTAAAGAGAGTGATGTAAGACTGTTTGGTAATAGTCCATGTCTAATCCCAGACAAACCATAACTTTTAAGAGTTAGATTTGTAAGAGACTCAAACTTGTCTCGTCTCATATCTTTGAGTTGGTATCCAGAGGATATACCAAGATAAAGTGACTTTAGTGCTGTGTGTTGACCAATATTTAGCTTGCGTGCATTAACTCCAAGTCTTTTTAGATGAGGCAACTCTGAGATACGGTCAAGATCTACACCCAACTCTCTATCTTCACTTTCGATGAATAATGTTTCTATCGATGACATGTCATAGAGAGATGTAGTCATTGTCGATAAAGATTTGTACTCTTTAACCAATACTGTTTTAATGTTACTTTTATCATCTCTCTTATCTACATAGATACGTTCTTTTATCCAATCTGGGTATAAAGATGGACCACTTGTTGCACCAATCATACTATAGTCATCAGGTACTATCACCTGATGATTAGATATACTATTCTTTAATATATCATTAAAAGAGTTGAGGTTGAATCTAGTAGCTGTTGCTATAAACTGTTTTGATTCATATCCATTGTCAGTGATTGCTTCTATACCTTTAAAATGAATCAATCTCTTTAAACCACCAACACTACTACTATTTTGACTGTACAACTTTTTACAAGTCAATAATAAACATATTATATCAACATTATCATCAAGATCTGATATGATATGTGATAATAATAAATTAGATAGAGATAATAAACTTGTCATTAATATATTGATTTGTAATGAATAAAAATGAACTAAAGCAAAAAAAAGACCTTGCACTTTATCTCTTTTTATTTTTATTTTTTTCTTTCACAACACACTCGAAAATGAAATTTTTATATTCCCCGGAATTGCCATTTTAAATTAATAAAATTAAGAATAAAACCATTTTCAATAGTTGTTTGATGAATGTTCTTCTAACTCTGTCTAGTTTATCATTATTTTTTTTTATTAAAAACTATAGTAGTTTGATTAAATCATGAAATTTCCTCACGTTGTGACTTATAAACACCTTTAGTTTGTTGAGCAAGTGTTTTCTTCTCTCTTCATAGTCATTACCTTCATAGGTTCGCCCCTCTGCTGCAGCCTTTGCAACAGTAAATTTAAAGCCATGTCTAATCTGAGCGTTTTGGAGAGTACTCTTTAACCAATCATGTTTTACATGTGCCAAGTACTCTTTATCTTCCTCCTCATCATCTTCCTCTTCATCGATGATGTCGTCTTCCTCTTCATCATCTTCCTCTTCATCGATGATGTCGTCTCCCTTTTCGTCATCTTCCTCCTCTTCATCGTCCTCCTCTTCATTTTCTTGCTCTTCTTTATCTTGCTTCGCTAACCTTTCCTTTTCCTTTTTCTTTTCTATTCCTCTAGATGTTGTAGCTTCATATGCTGCTTGCATAATTTTCTCCAACAACTTGGTATCGAAATGATGATTGGAACGCTTGACCTTTCTCTTTACATATTTATGTTTGCACTCGAGACCAAAATTGGCAATTCTATCAATGCAACCATATAGCTCCATAAATTGGCCAGTATGGTAAACAAATGCATGGATATATGAAGTTACAGCCCTTTCACCAAACAATTTGACGTAATTATCTCCGAATGGGCGAGAGAATTCGAGCCAAGATTCACTTGTTACATTAAGCTTGTCATCTTCGCAGTATTGCATAATGGAAATAAGGGATCTCAACTGTTCCCATAAGAGTGTAAGCTGCAAGAAAGATCAAGAAGTCAATATCATTAATCATCAACTAGTTGCTTATGGTAATACTTACTCCATCAATGCTTTCCTTGTCAACGCCCAAGTCATGTAAGCTTTTTAGAATCATTTCGTAATTGTCTATGATATCTATACACTTTCCATAATTGAAACTGATATAGTCGACTAACTGATATATATCTTTTTTACACTCTTTAGATTCGTCCACAACCGTCAGTTTTAATTTCTTACAGACCTCTAAGAATTTCTTTACCATCAGCGCCTTTTTTGCTTGCACATCCTTTCCAATTTTGATTGATGCAAGTTGCTTTCTCTTTTCTGCCAGTTTTTTCTCTGCTCCTTTTTTAAGCTTGCCAATTTCGATAGACTCCTTTGTTAGCTTGATATATGTTTGGGTATGTTTCCGTAACATCTTTCTAGCCGTCACTATTGCTTTGGTTGTACTAATTTTTAGATTTTCTACCTTAATGATCAACCCTTTTAGATCTTTGTGTCTGTATGCCAACAGATCGCCAAGATCCCCATACTTTTTTATCTCTTTGACAATTGGGGCAGAATCTTTGGTAAACTGCGTAATTTGCTTTTTCAAAGCGGCAGATTTGTTCCTGGCATTCTTCTTTTTTGTGTCGCCTACGTTCGATGCAATGATGGCAGCAGACTTTGCTTGCTCCTTTTTTAGGTCAGCCTTTCTTTTCTCGATTCTCTTTAAGAGCTCCTTTATCATCCAAGATAGCTTTTTTCTGATGAGATTTGCCCTTGATACTCTCTTTTTATGAACAGATGTATGTTGTGTACCTATCCTTTGGTTGATCGATTCTAACTTTGTTTCTTCATTTTTACATCTAGTCTTTTCCTTGACTTCATTTGGAACGAAAAAAGTTGCTGTTTGTTTGAATATTTGGCTAGTTACCGCCATGTCCATATGTAAGCTACAGGGGGGGCAATGTGCCGAATCCACATCAACTAGTGGTTCATTGATCTGTCCAAATTGCTCTGATGGTCTCACCACATCCTCTTCGTCTTCCCCGTTGAAACCAAACTCTTCCAGCTCTACATCTTCGTCTTGCTGTTGACGTTGCTCTTCGTTGCCGTTTTCCTCTTCTCTGTCATCATCTTGGTCATCGTCAGAATCTGGCTCTTCGTCAAAAGAGATGTCTGATTCATTATCTGATTCATTGTCTGAATCAGCATCATCACCGTCGGTACGAGTTGGTGCCACTCCCATTGATTTTGCCAATGCCCGCAAGGTATTGAGTTCGTCTACCTCATTTTGGCTAGGGGGATCGCAACAATCTCTAAATTTCCATTCCCCAATCCCAAAATTACCGGTTTGTGTTGTATGTACGTAACACCAAGCACAACACCAGGTGCTATTTGGAGCATACACCTTGTTCATTCCTTTAAGAACAGTAAGGCAGTAATAGTCAGCTACAACGATTAGATTGACTTTGTAGAAATGACCATCGATTGTTATGCCCTTGTCTTTGTACATTCTATTTATCATTGCAAAGATAGGTTGCAAATCTTTCTTCATGCCGGGATAGGTTTCCTTCCCATAATAGGTCAAAAAAGGGAGGTTGTGGTCTGGTGATTTACAATCAGCTATTGACTCTCCATCGTTGGCCATTTCTAATGTTCCTAGCATAACATTCCTGTTATTGGATGCTACTCGAGCAGTATCAAAGGCAACTTTGATCTGTGTGGTTTTACCCTAAACAATTAATTGGTAAGAAGCAACTCTACAAGAATATCTTTTAAATTTATTACTTACTGTTCCAATCTTTTCATTTCTTGTCAATAGATCCTTGATAACTTTTTCAAACTTAATGTATATTGCTTTTTCTCCAATTGGATTGATTTCATGTCCATCGTTGAACTTCTTCAGATCATCGGCAATAATTTGCTTGATTTTACTAAAGGGATACTCTTCTTTTGTAAACCATGGAAATATTTTGTGAAAAAGACCATAACACTTTTCTGTAAATAATCCATCTTGGTACATCTTGGCAAGCATTTTTAATCTGACTGGTCGCAACGTTTTGTCCAAACCTATAGGCGCATCAATACCTTTCATGTCGTCAAAACCACCTTCTTCCATTGGGTCGTTGTCATGACCAGTTGCCATTTCATTCTCTTCTCTGACATCTTCCATTGGTTCATCGTCATGACTTGTCAATTCTCCATTCTCTCTGCTGACTGAACCGTTTGTTGTTGCTCTTATTTGGCAGCAATCGGGAAAGTTGGTGCACCAAGGATGCTTTTTCTTCAAGTGTTTAGCCAGTGCTTCAGCACCAGATATGTAGGAAAGGAAACAATTGTTATGTTTGCACCTATGTAAGAAGTCTTCTCCTAATCCCTTCTCATGTTGATGACCCTTATCGTCTCCTTTGCAACTGCTATCCTTGTAGCAACAGCTGTGCTGACTCGTCTCGTGATTATCCCGTTTATCTTTATCTGCGAAAGGACGCGGAAGTGCTTTGTTACACTCCAAGTTGTAAAACTCTTTGCTCTTAGCGCACCCTGTGTGTTTGCAATAATAATGTAATTTCTTTCTTGTCATTTATTTACTTTACTCTACTCTACTTAAATAAAAAAATTGAATGATCGACAGTTGTGTTGATCTCTTTGTTCGCTCCAACAACTGATCAGCGAACCTAACACAGAGTTTTTACCAATTCCCCGGAAATGGACGGCTCATAAAAATTTTGAAAATGTGTTGTGTTTAGATTAAAACTCCATTTTAAATCAAATGGAGATAAAGATTCTGAATCAATATATAAATAAATTGGATCATATATATATTTTTGTTGTTGTTGTTTTCTTTGTTGAGTGATAATTCCACCTGTCAATGATTGTGTTCTAAAACCAATACATTGTTATTTTTTTCATAGTCTAATCTTTGAATTTTCCATTCATAATCTGTTGTGGAATTTGTACGTCACATGACAAGAGATGAAGAAACTTGATGGAGGATGGGATATTTACAGAGATGCTGTAGATGTCTTCACCCTCATAATATTCAGCCCTTAACATAAATGTCTCGAGACAATGTAGACCTTCAAGATTGATGAATGGTCTTTCTTGCACACCATAAGTTCCAAGGTCAATCGTGAGGGATACTAGCGACTTTAATGAAAGGAATGTATCTGGTGATAGTATCTTTTTAGGTCTCACAGAGAGTGTTGTCAGACTATTTGGAAAGACTGGGTCTGGTCCAGACTTGATTTGTAAACCTTAGATCTGTAAGAGATACCAATTTAGTTAACCCCAAGTCAACTAGTGAACAGTCGTCAGAGATCTCCAACTCTAGTGACTTTAGTGATGCGTGTTGACCCGGCTTTAAATCTCTTGCAAGGACTATTAGTCGTCGAAGATGAGGTAGTAGAGAGATACGACCAAGATCAACTTTTGAACGTACGTCAAAGATGAGTATAGAGTGACTCGAGTACTGATGGTGTAGCTTGCTTGACCAATGCTATTTTGGTACCACTCTTGTCAGCAGAGATACGTTCTTTTAGCTAATTTGGATAGTATCTCTGACTCTTCTTGTCAGGTAGTATATATGCATGTTGATCCACTATACTATTCTCTAATATATCTTTAAATGATAATAGTTTGAATCTAGTAGCTATTGCTATAAACTTGAATGATATATCTTGAATGTCTTCATCGATTACTTTGATTCCTTTAAACTGAATCAATCTCTTTAAACTACTATTTTGAAACAGTTGTTTACATGTAAACAATAAACATATTATATCAACATTTCTTCAATCTCTGTGATAATAATAAATTAGATAAAGATAATAGACTTGTCATAGATGTGATAAATAAATAATGAATGTAACTGAGCTTCAAACCTTTTTTACTCTTTCGAAAAAAAACATTCCATTCTTTTATTTATTTTTTAATATTATTAAAACTCCATTTCATTTTAGAGTATACATCAAAATATAAATAAATTGGATCATATTGTTGTTGTTGAGAGTTGATTGATTTTTTTTGTTGAGTAATTATTCCACCTTGAAGTGTATCATTTTCCAATACCAATACATTCTTATTATCACTGTCCAATCTTTTAATTGAAAAATGTAATGGTGGTTGATGGAAAACAATGATTGTTAAATATATAACATTGGTTTGATTGATTATTTCATCCAATCTAAACAAAACCTTATAGTACAACATTCTCATCCGCATATAACATGTTAGATGAGTAATATTGATTGGTAAATGTTGTTGAAAAGAGGTGATCTTTTTGGTAAACTTTGATCCAATTGAATAGATTGGTAGTCCCTTTAGATCTTTCTTTTCTACTTCATGGTTGGGTTTTAGTGCCATTGATAGATATTTGATGGTTGATGGTAATTGGTCGACATCCATGACAAAGTTATCTCTGATATTCAAAAGGTCGAGTGTTTCAAGACCCAGTGGATAAGAGGTTGGTAATACAATCGTATCTTGTCCTCCATTGGATTCCAAAACTAGTTTGTTGAGTGATTCTGGTAGATTTTTGACATTCCAATTGTTCTCATATCCTCTCAAGATGGATAGTTCGGTGAGTGATGATGGTAATACAACTTGTTCGAGTACATCTGCTTCTATGTATTTATAAATTGTAAGTTTTTCAACTGTCGATGGGATGATGATATCGTGTCCAATGTAATCATTGAAGGAAATAGATAGTTGTTTGAGACAAGGTGACGATGACAATAGACCTAATCCTCTGTGATCATTCAATCCAGTTTCTCGTACATGTAGTTCTTGCAACTGTGGTAATGTAGATTGGGATGAGATATATGCACATCTAGACTGGAGACCAAGTTTCTTGATTGATTGAGGTACACTAATCTCGATACTATACTTTTCCTTTTCAAAGTCATCACTAAACCCAAGTGTCTTTAGGTTGTTCAAACAATCAAGATTGATAAATAGTTTCTTTTCTTCTTGATTGTTGTTTACGTATATTGCCTCTTCTTCTTCTTCCTCTCTATCTTCTTCTTCTTCTTCCTCTCTATCTTCTTCTTCATCTTCATCATCATCATCATAATCTTCACCATCTGTTTTTTCATGTGTTGTTAAATCGAGGTTGATGAGTGATGTTAATGAAAGGAATGTATTTGGTGGTGGTACACCCTTTGATATGATAGAGAGTGATAAAAGACTGTTTGGTAATAGCCCTGGTCCAATATTTGTAACATTTTTGTATGTAAAGGACAGATCTGTCAGTGATACAAACTTGTCCAATCCAAAGTGACAAAGAGGGTATGTGGTTGAGAGATGGAGTTGAAGAGACTTGAGTGATGTATGTGTACCAAGCTTCAACGAGTGTACACAAAGTACAAGACGCTCTAGTCGAGGCAATAGTGAGATGGAGGTAAGATCCACTACTTTAACATATCGATCGGTAATGGATAATGTCTCGATCGATGACATGTCATAGATTCTCTTTAATGATGTCTCTACCGATTCATAATAATGTATCAATGCTGTTGTAATATTACTTGTATCTTCTCTGTTTGGTGTGATACGTTGTTGTACCCATTTGGGATAGTCGTTGATATTGTGTAGTGGATCTTTAATGAGATTGTTTTGTTCGGGTACTATCACCTGATGATCAGATATACTATTCTTTAATATATCTTTAAATGATGATAGGTTGAATTGATTAAAGGTTGATTTAAACTGTTTTGATATATATCCATTGTCATTGATTGCTTCTATTCCTTTAAACTGAATCGATCTTCTAACACTACTACTATTTTGACTGTACAACTTTTTACAAGTTAACAATAAACTTATTATATCTCCATTATCATCAATCTCTGTTATTATACTATATAGTAATAAATTAGATAAAGATAATAGATGAGTCATGAATATACATATACATGAATAATTGAAATGAATGCTGACAACTTTTTTACTTTTAGGGAGCGTAGAAAGAGTGGTCATCATTTAGGACTTTGAGCGAGGCTTTGAAAAACTTTAGTATTTTCGATTATTTTTATTTTTTTTCGAGCAAAATTTGCCACATGAGGAAAGAGATGATGTTTTTTTTTTTTTTTCCACAAGTGACATATTATATCATAGAATGTAGAAATATGATCGATTGTAAAAAAATCAAGTAGTTTTAGATTCATTTCAACCCCTAAATGATTAAAACCCAATTTTGCTCTCACTACGAGTTTTGAACTTGGAAAATAGAATTAATCAAAACTCCATTTCATTTTAGAATCCTTGATTATTCATCCAATCTAAACAAAGCCTTAGATTATAACATTCTAGATGAGCCCATACTTATAAAACAAGTTTGATGAGTAATATTGATTGGTAAATGTTGAGAAGAGTAATCTTTTTGATAAGATTTGAACCAATTGAATGGATTGATAGTTCATTTTTTCCTTTAAAAGTTTCATGATTCACTACAAATCGGTGGATACTGAGTTCTGATGATCATAGCACAAACAAGTGAGAGATCGGCAGATCGTCAGATCAACAAAAATTAAAAACATATAAAATTAAATTTAACCCACAGTAACGGTGGGATCCTGACCGCACTCTATATCTGCTGGATGATCATTTATCTGTTATTTTCTATCGTTTTCATTCCATGATTGAGTCAATTCGGGTGAAAATTTTTTTACTATTCTGGACTCTAGTCGTCGGACAATAGAGTAATTATGGTTTATTTGTTTTAATTTTAATTTATTTCTTATTATTATATTATTATTATTATTATTATTATTATATTATTGTTGTATTATTATTAGATTATTATTGATGTGTCTCTGGTTGGCTAATAGTTGGTGATATTTGGGGAATTTTTTTTTTTTTTTTTTTTTTTTTTTTTAAAAAAATCTTTGACCTCTTCATTACCGCTGAAGTCTTATTGTTTATTTTTAAATTAAGGATTTAATTATTATTGTTGTTTAATTTGAAGTAGTTGTTAAATAGTGGTTCTAGTTAGGAAGGAGGGAATGCGATAGGGTGAAGCTAGTTTGCCCCAAATGTGAAAATTTGGGGTCAAAAAGACCAAATTAGTTAATGAGAACATCTAAAAATTGCTCGTTTAGCTCAGTCGGTAAAGCACGGTGCTAATAACGCCGCGGTCGCAGGTTCGATCCCTGCAATGAGCAATAATAATAGTGTTTTTTTCTGTGCCGAGGTTTTCTCGTTGGCCTTTTTTTTTTGTTCTTTCGGCATTGTACAACAAGACTAAATCACTCGTGGAAGCCTATGAATACCAGTTGAAGAACAACCCCAAAAATCATAAAAAAAAATAAGTATCTATCAAGTTGATTCAATTGAAACATTGTTTCTAGCTTGGTAGGGAATGTGTAATGAGAATGGACCTTTTTTACAAAATCCCAATTCTCACGCACCTACGAACGAGCAACAGCTCTCATCATTCATTATTATTACATTTTAAATAACACTATACAATCTATAAGACTAACCGTAGTTTATATAAGGTAACTAAATAATAATGATTATTACATTTTATATAACACTATACAATCTATAAGACTAACCATAGTTTATATAAGATCTTGATTATTACTATCCTATTACTAGCTATATCGTAGGGCCCTCGACAAGATAGAGCATAGTTTAGGAAAAACGCACAGGGTTTTTTTAGGGTTTCCTGTTGCTCCAAAAAATTTCCAGCATCGTCACACATCCTATTCTCTATCTCTTTCTAAAAATCAAGTCTCGACATAGACAATATATCCTTGCCAAGGATGTTCATATTTTTTATTCTAAATGACATCTATTAGTTTAATATGAAGTAAATTAATATTTAATTATATCTAGTTGATTCAACAATTGTAAAAGAAAAAAATAAATGCTAAGTTTTTCATTTTCGATTCTAAAAGAATTGTAACTTCAAGAATATTTTAAATAGTTATTATCCTTGATGTCAATTTTATATTCACCAAGCTCTTAGAGAATGTACGCGCGATATTAATAGTAAGATACCTCAAGTGATCGTCCTAGCTGGCCGTACCTTGATTTGGTTGGTTGGGTGGGTGGGTGTTTGAAATGTCATACCATATTCAAAGGTAGCAATAACAACCACATCATCACATCGTCAACAACAACAACAACAAGAAGCACCACCAACAACAACAACAACAACATATGCATTAAATCACAAAATAATCGTCAACTAGTTTGATGAGCAGTAGCAACAGATTAATCTATATAACAATGAAAAGTCAATCTATGAATATTTATTCAAATACCATCATCATTCTAAAAGCAACAATCAAAATGCCAATGCATGTCGATTTAAATGAACATGTACTAAAGTATTATGGAGTTGTAAAGAATCAGTTTGGTCAAGAATCAATGGTATTGGGTATGAAAAGTTATGATATTATCATGTTATCTAAACAACTATAATCTAAACAAAAGAATAATAATAATAATAATATTATTATTGAAGGTAAGATTTTATTGCAGTGATACAGATACGTCAAAAGTATCAATAATCATTGACTAATATCTTTCATATTCTGTTCATTGCATAGTTTCCATTTTATAGTCGACATACAGTCTCTTGTGTAGCTTGGGAATATATATATATTTATATAAATATAAAGCCTGTTTACCAACACTACCGCAGTTTTAGTGATCGTTGATGGTCTATAATCTGTGATAACCAAAAGGTGTTATACAACAATAGTGTTGACGCCGTGTGTCACATTAGGACTGGCATTGGTCTCGACTCCAATGTCGTCGTTGACAAAGACATTCATTTGTGTTGGTATACCAATCGTACTCATGACATTCTTGCAGACATTGGACATCAATGTCGGCGACATACAGTCTTTTGGAAGGATTACTACCTCAAGGTGGTAAATGATAATATATAAAGGAATAGGTTCAAACAGACAAATTCAGCATCAAATCCAACTGATCATCGGCAACTACAGGAGCAGCTTTAGCTACTGCAACTGGAGATCCCACAACATCAGCACAAACAACTACAACGACAGGTACAGCATCATCCACTCCAACCCAACTACAACTGGAAAACTTCTTTGACCGATTCATCCACCAACAACCACTGGAAGTGCATCGATCATCAGCCTGTACAGGCTGGTCCTCTCAAACTACAACCCTGAGCTCTCTGGAGCAGCATCAGATACAGCGGTTAATTACATCTACAATAGCATCAAGTACCCCACCACATCTCAAAATATTTCCAAAAAACTATCAATCAAACAATAGGAAATAATATCTTTTTAAAAAAGTTGCTGGTAGTTACTTATATAAATGATAACATTACAGTTTGGAATGTTGGAGACATTAGATAGGTAATTGAGAGATCGAGAAGAAATAGGATCAAGAGGGTGACTTTTGCTCGAGAGAGGGATATAACACCTAAATATCTACATGTTTGAAAGATTGTTAAACATTATATATGGATAAATACAAACTCTAATAATAATAATAATAATAATAATGACACGATCAGGAAGCAAAGAAAAATCGTTAGAAGCTACATTAATCGTTACAGATGGTACCGTCGATGGTGTCGTTGTTAAAGATCCTCTATTTCAAGGTGTTTTAACAATCTTTCAAACTTTTAAACCACACATATACTTTCCTAGACATGAACCTTTAGACGTTGTTTTCGCTTTGGATGAGAACTATGGTCGACACCACAATATATTCAGTAATAAATATCCAGTTGTAGAAATGGACTTTTAAAGAACTAGTATAGTATACTATATTTTTATTAAATAAATAAATCCATAACAAAAAAGAAACACTTTCTTTTTTTTTTTTTTTTTTTTTGATAATTATATAACCAATTTACTTTTTCATTTACATTTCCATTTTCATTTCTTGATCAAGCCAAAATATCCAATTTATAAACCACTATTCTACCAAAAAAGTCTGTACTTTGTTTAAATACAATTTTAATTTGTTTAACATTTTCAATTTTCATTGGGAATGACTGTAACAATTAAAAATAAATGTTAATTACAATCCAATATATATATCTATCAATCTCTATTAATCTTACTTGAAAAGTATTAATATCATCAGGAAAGAATTTAGAAATGAAAATAAATTCCTTTGAATCCAATTGTTGAGCTAGAACCTCACAATCCTTTCCAACAAAACCACCTTGAAACATAATCTTGATCTCTGAAATATTGACCATTCGTTCAGTACTCGAGTCTAGAGGATCAACAAATTGAATCATAACCGATTGAGGACTACCTTGATGAGAATTCCAACAACTTTCATCACTACCATCAAACATATTGTCCTTTCCAAACTCTTTAGAGTTTTTATTCAGTACTGAACTAACTCTACATTTAAATGATCCTTTATCTATTAATATTGACATGACTAGGTAGGTATGGTTGGTTGTTGTAAATCAATTAAAACAATTCGGTTAATTGAATGATGATGAAATGAATCACATGATGTGACAACATCATCTCGATTTTTTTCGAAAAAACAAAAAATTCAAAATAAACTAAATATTACGAGGTCAATCTAAACTCAAAGTTCCCAAAGAAAACGAGTACAAAACAAACAAAAACCCAAAGGGATAAAAAGAACAACAATCTATAGAGATAAAAAAAGTGTGTAGAGGAGGAAAACAACACTACACATAGATAGATATAACAATAACTACAACTATAACAACATTATAATAGTAATATTACCTTTTTTTTTTTTTTTTTTAAACAAATTAACGAATATGGTATTATTAAGAGAATATAGAATACCATTACCAATTTCAGTAGAGGAATACAAGGTAGCACAATTATATATGGTTGCAAAAGTTAGTCGTAATAGTACATCACATGGAGAAGGTGTAGAAATTGTAGAGAATAGAGTAAATTTTGAAAAAGAAGAGAAAAGAGAGAGGTCAACAAACAACAACTGACTAAAAAAAAAAAAAACTATATTATATTCCCCCTCTTCCCCTTCCTTCTTCTTTCTTTTAGCCATTTAATGATGGAGCATTATCAGGACAATTTACACATAAAATATTTCATCTTGGTAGTCGATTACCAACTTGGATGAGATCATTTGCACCATCTGCATTACAAATTGAAGAAAAGGCTTGGAATGCTTATCCTTATTGTAAAACTTATTATACTGTAAATGGAAATAGAAAAGAGAAAAAAGAGAACTTTAGAGACTTATATATATATTATTATTTAGTGTCCATTATTAGGTGATAGATTTTCATTATCAATCGAAACTAGATATGCACCAGATTCTGGTACTCAATCAAATGTATGAAAAGAAATGAAAGATCATGACGAAAAAGAGATATTAATTTTATCCTTTTTATTTTAAGTGTTTAGGATTATCAAAAGAAGATTTGAGTATTAGAGAAATTGATATAATTGATATAGCAAGAGATCCAGTTGATCCATTAAAATACAAGGTTGAAGAGGATCCAACCATATTCCAGTCACAAAAGACTGGTAGAGGCAAATTGGAACAAAACTGGATGAGTACCTCTTCGCCCATCATGTGTAGTTATAAAGTTTGTAAAGTTGAATTTAGATGTTGGGGCATTCAATCACGAGTAGAACAATACATTCAAAAGAATGCCATCAGAGATATTTTGTTTATGGGTCATCGTCAAGTATTTTGTTGGATCGATGAATGGTTTGGTATGGATATGAATGATATTCGAAAAATGGAAGAACAAGTTAAATTGGAATTAAAACAACAATTACAACAACAACAAATTCAAAGTATTATAGAATAAAAAATAGAAAAAAAAAAAATCAAAAATCAATTTTTGAGCAAAAGAAAGAAAAAGCATTAAACATGTTTAAAATTCATTAAATATTTTTTTTGTATTATCCCCCCCTCCTCACTTCTCGCATTGTAAATAATAATATATGTTGTATATTTGTATATAAAATAGTAAACAAAAAAAAAAAGTCAATTAATAAATGATTACTATAGAAAATAAAAGTAATAGTAATAATAATAATACTACTTTTAATAATAATAATATAACTCAAGGTAATGATGATGATGAACAAGGAGAGTCTTCACAACAATCATCATCATCATCATCAACACTATTACCTCCACCTATACCTCCACCACCTCCTCCTCCTCCTCCTCCTACAATAATAAGATCAACAAACAACAATACTAATAATAATAATCAAACAACTGTAAATAACTCTTCTTCTCCTTCTTCTTCACCTTCTACTTCTCCATATTTTGATAATAATTTAAATGAAATTGTAATATCATTAAAAAGAATGATGATAGTTGATATAAATTCATTTGCAGTTACATTTACATTAATAGTTGGACTTGCTGTTGTTGGATTTATCAATTTGGCAAGTCATTCATTGTTGTGGATGTGTGCAATGGTTGCACTTTTTGTAACTCTATTTCAAGTATGGTTTGCTATTCGAGAAAATCGTCTTCTTTTGGCACCAAATAATATGACCTATCCTGGTAATCATCATTCTATTTGGGGTGTAAATAGATATCACAACAATAGTAATCATAATAATAATAATGGAAATGTTCATAATGGATCATTTGTTCAACCATTAAATAATCGTTTTCCTCATTTAATTAATGCTCCTTTAAATTTACAATTAACTTTAATTGATAGAGATTTTAATTCAAATGGCAAGTAGAAAAAAAATAGAAATCAAACAAATAACTTTCCATTTCTTATTCTTTTTTTTTCTGTAGATTATGAAATGTTATTAGCATTGGATCAAGATAATTTAAATTATGGAGCAGCAAAAAAAGAAGAAATTGAATCATTACCAATGCATACAATTAAAAGTGATAATGATATTGAACATTTATTTTCAGATACGCAATCCTCCTCACAACAACCTACTTCATGTTCAATATGTTTAGATGAATTTGAAATTGATAATCATTTAAAAACATTACCTTGTTTACATCATTTTCATTCAGAATGTATTGATAAATGGTTAAAAATTAAAGCCAATTGTCCAATTTGTAAATCTTCCCTAACCTAAAAAAATAAAAACAAAACTTATTTATTTATATTATCCTATCTTTTTATTTTTTTATTTTAATTGGTATCCATTTTATCAGATGATTTTTTCTTTTCATTCTTTAAAGGAAGAGCAAGGATAGCCTTTGATTCTTCATCGACGGAATAGGTAGAACTGACAAATGGAAGTGGGAGATCATTACAGGTGATCTTTACGTTACCAGATGGAAGGAGGAGGATGGTAGCCTTGAATTGGACGACGGCATTACCGGCGGCTTCATAGAGGACTGGGAAACTGTTGACGAGACCGTGGCTGGTGAGTTCACCGAGACCGAGACGAGTCTTGGTTTCGTCGGTAAAGGCACGGAGGGTGAATGGGAGGGCTGGGTAACGGAGGTTAATGTCGTGCAAGAGATCCTTGGAGGCCTTCATCTTGAGTTGGTAGTTTTGGTTAGTGTCACGCTTAAAGACAGTGGTACGTGAACCCTTGTCCTTGGACTTGCCGTCACCGGTCGACATGACAATATCGATACAGTATACTTCGTTGGTTTCAAATTGGTGTTCGTCGGCACGTTGGTGACCGGTTGGGGCCTTGGAAAAGATGATCTTTTCACCGTCCAAACTCCAACGCTTGAGATCGTGCGAGAGAATACCGGCCACTGGAGTGACGTGGTAGGCGTCGGCAATCTTGGTGATGGCCTTGGTGACATCGGAGCTCTTGTTGCCTTCCTTGACGAGACGGATGGCAGCTTCCATGGCAAAGTGAGCGGCGCAGATAGCGTCGGCGGTACGACCAGTAAGTGGTTGACCGGCATCACCTCCACCAACAATAATAGTGTGGGCTCCCATGGCGACGTAACCGTCAAATTGAACACCGAGGTCAACCTTTACAATGTCACCCTTTTTGAGAAGAGTTGGGGCTTCACTACGGAGTGGTGAAAAGTGACCAACGCAATCATTGATAGAGACACAGGTTGGGAAAGCAATACCCTTTTCCAAATTCTTACGCTTTGTGAACAACTTGGCGCATGCAGATTCGATAAAAGCATCACCAGCTACACAAATGTCAATAATCGATTTACCTTCTTGACAAAGTGCAATCACTTCCTTGATTGCTTGATTGCAAACTTGTGATGAAGTCATATAGAAATTGATTACGCTATCATCTGATAAATCTTCAATTTCATGTTCTTGATCTGAATCATTGTGATGTTGTTGAATTTGTCTTGATTTATGTGACATGTTTAAAATAAATATATAGAAAATAGATATAGAAAAAAAAAAAGAGATGATAGAAAATTCAAAATTAATTGTAAGAGATTGTGTGAACAGAGAGTGACGAGAATGCAAAAAAAAATTTGAACGAAAATAAATAAAAAAAAATTAATGATGATCAATGCAAAAGGTCAAAGTGAGAGATTGATTAGATTCATTCTTCTTTGAGATATATACGCAACTCACAATGATGATTAATTCATTAAAGAAATATACAACATTTGGAAATATTAGAAATGTTTCTTCACTTTTCACAGCAGCAAACACGACAATTTGTTCAAATGTTTATAGTAAAAGATTTTATGATTTAGAAGCAGGTGATCTTAAAAAAGGAATGTTAATTGAACATAAAGGAAAGTTATTAGAAGCTCAAAAAGTTGAACATCAAAAAGTTGCAATGAGAGGTGGTTTTATTTTGGTAAATATAAACAAAAAAAAAAAAAAAAAGAGTACTACTAGTAGAAATAAACAAATATTAATAATTAAATTACTTTTTTTTTCTAGGCTGATTTTAAAAATACAATTGATGGAACAAAAACAAATATAAAATTTAGAAGTGCAGAAACATTGGAAGGAGTTGATTTGGAAAGAAGATTTTATTCATTTGTTGAAACTAAAAAAGATGGTTCGATTGTTTTCAAGGATTTGGATGATGAAGATGCAGATGAATTTATAGTTTCATCAAAGGAATCAAAATCTTTGGGTGTCTATTCTCATTATTTAGAATTGTTTAATCAAGAAGAATCAAAATTTAATTTTATGGATTGGAATGGAAAGGTTGTCGATTTTAGAGGACCAACTGAAATTCAACTAGTAGTACAATCAGTCACTGATTTACAAAATGCAAATGTATTGGGTTTTGCAAATGGTAGAACTTGTAGATCTCCTTCTCATATAAAAGAAATTGGTACAAAAGTTTTAGTTCGTTTACCTGAAGAAATTTATATTACAAAGGTCTAAGTGTAAAATAAAAAAAAAAGGAAATGAAAAATATATATAGTTTTTACGACGGTTATTATTAGTTTATTATATACAAGAGAGAGGAGAAAAAAAAATGATAAAAAGAGATTGTTTAATTGACCATAGTAAAACCATCCAAATCATCATTATCACTACTACTATCATCCATAGTTGTGTTATTATTTAGGTTTAGATTCATTTTTGTTGTTGGAATATTATCTTCTTCTTCAAATTCTTCAAGATTTTCCAATTCATCATCACATTCTATTTGATAATCTGGAGAAGTTTCACCGATTGATAAGATTGGGAAACCACTTGCTTCAATTTCTTTAATTCTAATACAAAATTGTTCAAAATCTTTATAGGTATGACAATAAAATCCAAATGCCATTGATGGATCAATTTGTGAGAAATGCATTTTTTGTGGTATACAATCATGATATGACTAAAGAAAATATAAAATTAAAAAAGAGTTAATAAATATTATAGTTTTTTTCTATTTTTTTTTTTTCTATTTACATTTAAAAAATTTGAATCAAAAGGATGAATAGTATCATGAACAAAATGAGGATCTAAATAAATGATATGTTCATCTTGAAATCCAACAAAATAAAATGATTGTTTTGGTTTACCACCAATGAGACCAATACTTGAAGGCATTTGTAACATTGCCTTTATACCACTAAAATAGATTTCATTTAATTTATCCAATCCCAATTTAACTGGTACCAAAATGATTAATGATTTCCAATTACTTTGATTACTATTATTATCTGTATTATCTTCCTCTTCACCAACTAAAAAAGATTGATCTTCCATTGAATTTCCTGTACTTTGTGATGGTACAAATAAATTTGGTGATGAAGGAGAGGTTGTTGAAAATAATTTGATTCCTGCTGGTAATGATAGTGATAATGGTACTCTTGCCGGAGCTGATTGATCATCTCTGATGGTACAAATTTTTGCAACTCTATCTTTATAAACTACACCATCAGATGGAACATACATTGCAATTGAAGATGAATGATGAGATTTTACAAGTAGTTTTAAAACTACAGCAATCTTTGTTGGTGCAAACCATTCATCGACATTGTTCCAATCGTCTTGATCATCAGAATCAATGTCAAAATCCTTTAATTTACTATTATTATATTTGGTAATGATCTTGTTTTTATGTACAATTTGATGAATACTATAAAAATTCTCTTTTGATGGATAATCACAAAACCATGACATTATCTTTTTATATTTTGAATTTGTTTTAATTTTTTCTCCATATGGTATATTTTCTAAAAATAAATAAATAAGTAAAAAAATAAAGGATTATTATTTTTCTTTTTCTTTTCATTACCATTATTATAAAAATGTTTTAATAGAGCACGAGCTAAAATCATTTGACCAGTTCTCAACATACAACCCCAACCAATATCAGTTGTGATACTGGTATTTTCGATTGATGGAAAATCTTTTCGATAACTAAACCATAGAATTGATTTAAAATCTTCTAAAAATCTTTCAACTTCCATTGCTTCATCTGTAATATTACAATAGTTTTTTTGAATCGTTATATTTTGTGGTTGTTGTTGAGGAGGAGATGATGAAATTGTACTATTAAATAATGAATTAAATATTCCACTTTTTGATGATGAAAATGATGAAGAAGAAGATGATGAAGTAGAGGAATAAAGTATTTGTGATTGTGATGTTAAAATTGGTTGATGTTGAGGTTGAGTTTGAATCAAACTAAAATTTTGATTATTATTATTAAAGGTTAATTGTCTTTTTCGATTATAACATTGACCCATCATCCATATTGGTGAATTTGTAAATGAAGGTGGAGATGATGGATAATTTCTATAAATATTATAAAATGATATCATAATCTTTTGTTTTCCACTCTTGTAAAAGTCTAAAAACTTTTTCTTTTTCTCTGTCTTATTACTACTACTTGAGTGACTTGAGTGACTAGAGTGATGATAAATATGATTATGATTATGATGACCAATTTTCATTTCTATTGGTTGTTGTTGTAGTTGACATTGTGAATTATTTGAATGGTCTATATAATCTAAAAACAAAATGTATAAATAACTCTATTTCTCTATATTTATCTATTTCTCTCTCTATTTACCATTTGAAATAGATTGTTGTTTACTAAACATGTTATTAGCTATGTGTAATAAACTATGAATGCTTCACTTTTTTTTTTTTTAATAAATAATATATATAAATAAGAATGACTGTCGTGGTGTTTACATAAATATTATTTCTCTGTTGTTGTTGTTGTATCTAAAATGAGAGCAAAGAAGAAGAAAAAGTGTTTTTGAGTGGTGTGTTTAAAATTTTGAAATTTTAACCAAACTGAAACTGTTAAATAACTAAAATAACTAACTTATCTCTCTCTCTCTCTCTTTCTTTCTTATCTATCTTCTTTTCTCTCTCTTTATTTTTAATATTATCAAACAACTGCGGTTTTTTGGCTTGCAAGCCCAAGAATTATTATTTTTTTTTAAATGAAATTAATTTTTTTTTTTTTGTATTCACTGGTTGTGCGTCGCGCACCAACGATCGAAATCAAACAACCCAGATTAATAGCACCATCTCCTCCTAAAACTCAAAGAGAGATAAGGTTATTTTTTACTTTTACTATTTATTTTATTTATTTACAATCAAGTCTTTATATTTTCAACTTTTTTCCAACATTCTATATTACAAACAGGTAGATTATTTTTAGGACAATTATAACGTTTAACATTATTACAACCAGGTGCAGAACATGTTATGATTTTTGGCGTAGTCGTCATTGTCGGATTAGTACTTGAGAATTGATAACCATTTGGAAAACTAACAGTTTTACCATTTTCAATATTATCATGAATTAATATTGTTGGTCCCATTGTTTTTAATAATATTTCCTAAAATAAATAAATCAAATCAATATTTGTATCTTTTACTTTTTACTTTTTTTCTTTCTCTTTACTCTTTTAGTTGGTTTAATGATTATATCCTTTTCAGATAATTTTTCAGTCTTTCTATTTAATAATTGATTGACTACATCTTTCATTTCAGCTTCTGTTTCTGTTATCTTTTTCTGTCTTCTTGCTTGTGCCAATTCATGTTTTCTTTGTATCTTTTCTTCTGACATTTCTGACTTTTTCTTTATATTTAATCCTTTTAATAGAATAGAAATGGATGAGTTATTTGATTGTTTAATCTATCTAAATGTATGTGCCTACCAAATTCAGATATATCAATTCCTCCATTTTTTGCTCCCATTTGTCTTGATGTAAGTACTTTATCATCATCATCATTATCATTGTCATCAATATCTTCAATTTCAATATCACTATTACTATTACTACTATATTCAATATCACTATCTTTATTTTCTTCTCCTTCTTCTACTTCTTCTTCTTCTTCTTCATCATCATCATCATCTGAAGATACTAAATCCTTTTCTACCTTTTTTGTTGTTCCTCCTCCTTTTTTCATTATTATCTCTATGTCTACATTAAATATGAACTTGAAACTACAGTTTTTTTGAAAATATATTTAATTAAATTTATTTATTTTATTTTTTTTAAATTTTAATAGAAACATTTGTTAATTTAAAAGTATTTATACTTTGTTGAGTTGATAATAGGTGATTACCTAGGAGGGACATGAGGGAAGATAATTGAAGATCAGAATCTAAAGATTGATCATCTTCTTGATCGTTGGCTGTAGCTTTGACAGAGGTTAGAATTTTGAGTTGACAAGCAAGTGTTTTGAGTGTACCAGTACCTTGAAGTATTTTACTTTGAAGTGTAGTATTTTTACAAGTTGAAGCAATCGATTCGATATCCTTGCAATATTTGTTGACCAATTCCGATAGTTTTCTAGCACTCATCACCATATTTGGTTTCTGACCATTTCTAACAGATTCATAATAAACTCCAATCTCTTGTGCAATATCTTTTATACTATCACCTTGACCATTAATTTGATTTTGAACATTTAATAGTGTATCTTGTAATCCTGGATTAAGTTTTTTTTGTTGTTGTAAATTATTATTTGATATTGATTTGATTAAATTATTATTATTACCACCCAATTTAATTAATGGTTGTTTTTTCTCTTGTACAATAAATATTTGTTGTTTTTCTTTTTCTTTTTCTTTTTCCTTTTCCTTTTCTTTAAAGTTTGTATTTTGAATTTTAATATATTTATCCAATTTTTCAGGATTTCTACTAATATTACTAAAATCATTTGATTTTATAGTTTCTATAACATTTTGAATATGACTATCAATTTCCAAAGTAATATCAATCGACGTCGATGGTTGTTGTGATGGTTGTGATGGTTTTTCCAATTGATTTTTTTGTTTTTGATTTTCAACTTGATTCTCTAAATGATTAATAGTTAGAGCCAAACTAAAAAGTATAAAATCTTTTTCTGCTACCAATTTTTGTGGTAATGGTGTTGACAGAGTTTTTGTTGATCTTGTACATTCTTTGATAATATTGATAGCTTCTTTTTGTTGTTCCAATAGAGTTGATTCAATTGAATTATTTGATGCTTGTTCTGTATCCAATTGTGATAATATTTTACTTGATAAATCATCAAGTAATGAAAGATTTGTCTCTACAGAGTTTTGATCTCCACCGATATTAATTGAATCATCCAATTGAACTAATAAAGATTTATATTGTTTAATTAAACTATCAAATAGAGTTGTTCTTGAACCAACCAATTCATGAATAATGATAGACATGGGAGCAGACATTTTAATTTCCAAAGATTCCAATTGTTGACGACGTTGTTGATCGGTTGGATTGAGAATTAGGTCTTTGGCAGCTTTGATCATTTCTGGTGCAAGATTATCAATTTCCTGAACAGACTTTTGAATGGTTTGTTTTTTGCTATTATCATTGATGGTGGTTGCATCTTTTTGTAATTGTTGTTTAAGAGATGATTGATTTGCCAATAATGATTTACTTGTTGAAACAATCTTGTTAAAATTACCTCTAACTGCAAATAATGCCAAATCTCTTGTATTTGTTTGATTTTGATAGAGGAGGTAAAGTGAAGTTTCACGTAATTCTTTAATCAATTGATCAATTGATTTTTCCAACAATGGTATAAATGATTGATAATTTGAAATGTTTTCTGCTGGGTTTTGATAAAATTCTCTTGAAACATTTTCAAAACATAATAATTGATTATTTTTAGAAAATAATTTTGATTCCAAATCTAAAATTGCTTGTCTAATTTTTAATTGTCTCGATGGATCTAAAAATGACAATAATTGACCTGTCGATTCTTTAACCAATTCATTTCCATTGAATAAAATTTCATTTAATAATTTTCCAATTTCCTCTTTTTCCAAAGAATTTACTGGTTTTTTTAATTGATTAGTCAATTCTTGAGCAATTGCCAAAGGTGGTTGAGATAGAGGATTTAATTGTTCACGAATACTTTCCATATTTCTAGCAATTTGAGAAGCAATATGAAAAGATTTTTGTTGTAATTGAGCTTCAGTAGCTTCATCTGTTGCTTGAAGTGCTTGTTTTATAGTTGACAATTGTTGTGGTACCAATTGAGTCAATTCTTGATTGGTTTCTGAAGTTTGATTACCAATCAATTCTTGATGTGATTTTACCAATGCTCTCGAAGTATCAACTATACCTTGAGTATCAGAATCTACTGTATATGATAATAATTTGTTTAATAAATTTTTTTCTTCAATTATTAATTTTGAAATATTAAAAGTATTGGATGGAGTAGCTGAAGTAGAAGAATTATTATTATTATTATTAACTTTTGTATTATTATTTTTTGGTTGAATTTTATCTAATTGAATGATTATATCATTAATTAGGGTTTCATAACGAGCACGATTATCTTGATCATTTGGATTTGTAGAGAGATGAGATTTTGCTAAACTTAGAGTTGGAAGAAAACCAGCAATTGAATGATCAATCCAAGTATCCATTGAAGGATCAGTAACTGATAAAAGTAGGTTACTACTAAAAGCAGCACGCGAACTAGTTTCAACACTATCACGAATGACATCAATGACGGTTAAAAGTTGATCAATACCAATTTCCTTGTCCAAATATTTAACAGCAGCTTCAACTTGTTGTTGTAAGGAGGTTTGAGCAGTTGATAGAGAATTTAATAGCAATCTTTTCTTTGGTTCATCCAATTTACTATTAGAACCACCAAGATGATCATTTGCCATACGTATTAGATCAGTTTGATATTGAACAATACGTTGAATACTATTTGAGATCAAGTCATCACTATTCATTTCATTTGCAGTGACTAGATGAAATTTTGCATTGATTTGAAGTGTATGAAAACAAGCAACAGGACTTGTCCAATAAACCAACAGAGGATACATTGCATCCAATACTTCTTGACCATTATTTCTATTCATTTTTACCAATCGATCAATTAATTGTTTTAGATCTGTTCCTTTTCTTGTAGTTTCACTTGGACTTGCATCAATTCTTTCATTTACAAATTCATTAAAATGATTTATAAATTGTGTAAAAGAATTGGCAGAGATTGATTTACGACCAGTATTTTTTGACAATGATTGATAAGCTGCTACCAATTCAATATCAATATTTAAATGTAATAGAAAATCCAATTCTACCATTGATTTTTTAACAGTTTTCAAACATTTGTTGAGTATTTCTTCAGAATCTACTGTATTTCTTTTTCCACTTGTACTAATTGCCGTTTGAATTGAACTTTTAAATAAATTTATACTAGATTCTATTTGTTCTTTTAATTGAATTGATAATGTTTTTGTTGAAATTATATTTGCTCTTGCAATTAATTTATCTTGTTCAATAATTAATTGTTTTAAAATTGAAACTGATTTAACAGCTTCACTTTTTTTTAAATGATTAACCAATTCTTGAAATAGAGTTAATATCATTGCTGATATTTTCCTATCTTCAGATGATTCATTTAATAAAGTTTCACCATCTAAAAATTCTTCATCTTTTAATAAATCATAATTTGATGATGATTTTGATAAATTTCCAATTGATGAAGATTTTCTAATAACACCATTATTATTATTATTATTTGTTTGTTGTTGTTGAAGTTGATAATTAATTAAATTGATTTGATTTGTTAGATCATTATATTTTGAAATCATTTCTTCACCATAATATTCAATTTTTTCTAAATCCCAATGATTATCCATCATCAAACATTCATTTCTTTGTAAATCTAGAAATGATAATAAATCACTTATTAAAGTTTGAAAAAAGATTAATTTACTTTTATCATTTTTAATTTGATCCAATGACTTGATGGTTTGAATTGGTATTTGACATTTGTTTGATATATCTTTTAGAATTGATTCAATGGTATGATGATTTGCATTTTCTTTGAGAGCATTGATTAATTTTCTTTGAACAAGACCAAGATCTGATGAAACAGATTCTGATAAAATTAATACCAATTGGCCAATCGAGTTGTTTATATTTTCCAATTCCAATTGTAATGATTGATTATTTGAATCTTTTAATAATTTTTCAATTAATCTTCTTCTATTTGATAATAATTTTACTAAAGAGTCTATTGACTCTTTTAATAATAAGTTGTTATTATTAGTTTGAAAGGAGGATTCAGAATTTGCAATTGAAACCAATTCTGAAATACCAAATTCCAATTCTTTAATCATTTTTTCTACCTCTTCAGTTTGACCAGATAAAATAGATTGAATGATTTTTTTAGCAGTACTACGTTCTTTTAAATGAATAATATTACTAGTAGTTTCATTTGAAGGTTCCATTAGAGCTGATAAATGAGCAAGAGGTTCACGCATTGATAAATTACATTGATCCAATTGACGACGATTTTCAACATTGCTAGTATCACGAATAAAACTTTTAACCAATTGTAATTGTTGTGGTAAAAGATTGGTAACTAAAAGAACAGCATCTTTTACTTGTTGAGGATCACTATCTACCAATATTTGGTCCATTCTATTTGCATTTTTAGTCAATGTTTTAAGTGCTCCAACTACGATTGTAGGATCCGATGATTCTGAAATGATTCTCAAACATTCATCCTTTGATCTAATTAAATCTAATAATTGTGCATCTCTACTTGTTGCCATTGATTGTAAAATCTCTTGAACTTTTTCCAACCGATCAACCAAATTATTAATTAAATTTGTTGGTATAACATTTAAATTGTTTTCTTTTTCTTTTACAATATCATTTATAGATTCAATATATAATTTAATATCTCTTTGTAATTGATTAGAAGAATCTTGTTGATTTGATAAAAGTTTAAAATGACTTGAAAGAAGATTTGAATTGGATTCTAAACTTGATGATAAAATATTGACTATATTTTTTTCTCCTCTATATGATGCTCTTAGGAGATCACTAACATTTTTTGATGTCATTTTAAATATTTCTTCATACATGCTTTGAATTTGTGGATCCACAATTGATGAAGAAGAAGAGGATGAATTAGAGTTGTTTGAATTATGTTTTTGTTGATTTTTTCTAATTTGAAATTCTTGATTTAATTTATCATTGATTGATAGGATTGAATTTAAATTTGAAGATGATGAAATATTTTGATTTGATTGTTTAATATCTTTTAATAAAAGTGATAATGTTTCTTTAAATTGTTGTTTTGTTGCATTACTATTATTGGTTTGATAAAATAATAAACTATTATCAATTTCATCCAATGATAATAATGTATTTGTTAGGTCAATTAAAACATTTCCATTAGAGACTAGTCTATCTGAAGTATCTGACCATTCAGACTGTAATGTTGGTATCTGTTCATCTAAAGAATGTTGTTTTAATAAATCACTATAACCAACAACCTTGCCAATAGCAAATTGAATATAATCTGCAAATTCCTGCTCCCTTTCCTCTACAGGCAAACGATCCAAACATCCTTCTACTGCATCCAAAGCCACTTTACTAGATTGATTCATCTTTTTAATCTCTGCTCCATAAACAACATGTAATATCTTTATAGTCTCTGTACCAATCACTCTACATCCTCTATTTAAACTATTCCATGAATCTTCCAATGTTGAATGATTTTCAAATTTTGTTTCTTCTTTAAATGATATTAAACTATTATTTAAAACTTAAAAAAAAGAAAAAATAAGTAAAGAGAGAGAGAGAGAGATAGAGAGAGATAGAGAGAGATATATATTTATATTTATATTTACTATTTGTTGAATCTAAAATTTCATCTCTAATAGATGGATATTCATCATATTCTTGACATGCCAATGTTGTTACTGTATCTGATAATGCTTGTGCTGAATTAAATACTGCAGACTAGATATAAAAAAAAAAAAAAGAATAATGATGAGTAATCTATATCTTCTTCTTCTTCTTTCCCTTTTTTTTTCTTTTTACAATTTCATTTATAGGTAAATCAGCATTTTTTGCTTGAAGATTAATGATTATTAAAATGAATCTACTTATATTCTCTGACAATTGTTCTAATAATAGTTGAGCTATTGATAAATAGGATTCTTCTCCCATTTTTCAACAATATATATATATATAGTACAAATAACTAAAATATGATGATAAAGATGATGTGGGGGGGGGAGAAGAACAAGTATAATATTTTGTTCACCTGATCAAACAAAAAAAAAAACAAAAGATTTAAAATCATCATTATTGGGGGGTAAGAAGATATTTTTATTTTTGGCTATTGCCTATGGTGAGGATGAGGCCGATTTTCAATGAACAAAGATTTTTTAATCGACCTACAGGTTTGTCTTGAGACAAATAAAGTTGTTTTTTTTACATTCTCCGACCTGTTCGATCATTGATTGGATGAAAATGATCAGTAGTTTTTTTTTTACAAACTATATTCATATTCATATTTGAATCAATATCCATCATAGTAGTATTAAAAGTTTGATTTAAAATTGAAAGATTGTTTTTACCATGGTTTGATAGATTTTTAAAACATTCTATTAAAAAAAAAACATATATATTTATATTAGAGACAAAAGAATAAATTTATATTTTATATTTTATATTTTATATTTTATATTTTATATTTTATATTTACCAAGTATCATTTTTTTTAGACAAAGATAATAATAATTTAAAATATTTATATCTTTTTTTGTTTTATATTTTTTTTTTGGTGGTTGTGGTGGGTGAAAGGAAAATAATTTATTTATTTGTATTTATTTATTTGTATTTATTTTTTTAAAGAAAATGATCTATTTTCAATAAATCTACCTTTTGATTCCCAATAACAAGAACTAGTAAATGGACCAAGACTTTCATAATAACGAATACGATCTATTGACATTGCAGACATTGGTTTGGGGACTGTTAACTGTTGACGTAATTGTTGTTCTTTTTGACGACCAATTGATTCCCAATAACTTGAACTTGTAAATGCTCCCAATTTTTCATATTTGGCCCTATCAGCAGAGGTCCATTGAATATTTCCACTTGGTGAAGTATAGGTGGGGGTTGAAATTTCATCTACATTGTTTGATAATTTTTGAAATAGTGGTATATAGTGGTTACCTTTTTGAATCCATTGCCAAACTTGTGGATCTACATGATTAAATGCAGACAATACTATCATTGATAGTAATACTGCCAAGATGGCTGGAAACAATGCTCTAAATGTTTCATTAAATGTAATCCTTTGGATATGTGGTCTTGGTGGATATGGCCCTGTTCTACTTCTATCAATAAATTGTCTTGGAATAGAAGAAGATTTTGGAATAGTAGTTGTTGTTGTAGTAGTAGAACTACCACTATTTAATTTAATTGTATTCATTATTATTATTATATGTGAAATTATTGGGATGAAATGAAAACAAAAAAGAAAGCGATAGAAGATACTAAAGACTCTACTTTTTATTTTTTTTAAAATATTATTATTCCATTTGAGGATTATTAGATCTTTTTTTTTTAATAATTGTTTAAACCATGGTTCGGTTAATTTTTAACAAATTATTTCCATTTTTAGACCAAAATGAGATCCAAAAAAAAAAAAAAAAAAAAAGTAAAAAAAAAAAGATTTTTGAACAGAGAGAAAGAGGAGAGATCACCATTTTTACACACAACTTCTTCTTTGTGATCATTTTGTTTTACTATTACTTTTACTTTATCATGTCAATCATAATATCAGTATTAAAGAATCAATATTTATTTAAAAAGATTATAAATTATCAAAGAGATGAATATAAATTTTTAGATGTATCAATATCAAAAAATATCAAGACACATTATCGATATGATCAAATATTATTAGATTTGGTTTGGGTTATTAAAAACAAACATTGGAATCTTTTAAGATTTATATTACAATCACCTCTAGAAAGATCAAAAGTATCATTTAAAGATTTATTCTTTCCACAAAACAAACTCATATTATCAATGACAAGTATTGATAATTTAGAAATCATCAATCTATTATTATCAACCTATCAATTACAATTTATTGATTATTTTACCTTTAATAATAATAATAACAATAATATTAAAAGACCATTAAAAATAATATCAGATTATTTTTTAAATTTAATATCAAATCATGGAAATTTGGAAATTTGGAATTCATTTATCAATTTTTTTAACTATAAATAATTGTATCTACAAACAAAATATCAAAAAGAAAAAGAACAATTTGGTGATTGAATATTTTATAAAAAAGGATAAAACTTGGTTAGAAAAAGCTTATAGTTTTTGTATTACATTTGCAAGAAAAGATATATTATTTTATCTTTTATCAAATGTAAAATATTATTTAAAAATTAAACAAATTTCAAATACTAGTCATAAACCAATTAATCACAAAACAAGAAAATTAATAATAGAAATGGCAAAGGAATATAAAACAACAACAACAACAAACCTTTATTCAACAAAATTATATATTCAATTATTTTATAATACTAGTTTGGAATATATTATTTTAAATGATTGGAATGATCTTTTAAAACATAATTTTAATATTAATAATATGATTCAAACTATATTATATAATAATATTTTATCAACAAATTATGATCAAGATTTGGAAATAATTAAATTACAATATCAATCTTTTCAATTTATTTTTAAAAATTATCCAAATCAATTTAATTTTGATCAATATAATCAATCAATTCAATCTCTATTTAATAATAATAATATTTGTAATATATATATGACAGTTTGGATTATTGGAATTTATTTTTATTTTACAAGAATATTACCTTTTCAATTGGTTTGTGAAAGATTGGTATCTTTGGTTTTTAAAAATTTCAACCTTTTTAAAAAAGAAGAAATTTTTCTATATTTGACCAAAAGTTGTGGATTATTTAATACATGTTTATTTGGTCCTTTTTATTTTCAGATTCAACCATTGATTGAATTATTTTCATTTGGTCATTTGGTACATGAATCTTTAATCAATCAATTGGTATCAAATTCTCGGTTTGATTTGGCAAGAGGATGGTTAACAAATTCAATATATGTTCCCAAGTTTAAACCAAATTTAGAAACAACCATCACTCTAATGTCACTTGGTCATTTTGATTTGGTTGATATTCTTTTTCAATATAAATCAAACTATGATTTTATATTTTCAAATCTTGACACCATCATCAAAGTAAATAGTTTGGAAATGGCAAAATATTTTAAACCAATCAATATAGATCCAATATTTGAAAATGATGATCAATTGGAATTTGTAAATTATCTATTAAATCTGCGCGACTTGATAGATTTTTTTTTAAATGGAAAAAAATATAATATTTTATTTAAAAGAATGGTAAATGCTGCTGTCAATGATAAAAGAAAATCAATCATTTCTCATTTATATTGGTATTTTTTGGAAAATCAAAATGATAAATTTAAAGATCAAGAAATGGAAACCTATTTTACAATCAATATTGACAAGATGGTAAAAGAATTTGATTTTCCGTTTTTAGAAAAGCTGATGGATCTTGGTTTACCTTTGGTGGTGGAAGATGTGGAAACTTGGAGATTGGTTGGTTTACATGGTTCGGTAGAGTGGGTAGAGAAAATACTATTCAAATATACAGCGCCAACGTTTAGACAATATCCATATTTGTCGACAACAAGATTGGCTGCTGAAAATAATTTAAATACCGAAAATAGATTGGCTATTTTACATTTTATTGATCATTTGGATAAATAAAAAAAAAATAGAAATCATTTAAAGATGAATTAGATGTAGCTTAAGACCTTTTCCAATCGATTTTAGAGTCAAATAAAGGTCAAAAAGCGGCAAAACTTTTTTTTTTTTTTTTTAATAAAATCTTTGACCTCTTCATCACCACTGAAGTCATATTGTTTATTTTTAAATTAATGGTTTAATTATTATTGTTGTCTAATTTGGAGTAGTTGTTAGATAGTGGTTAGTTCTAGTTAGGAAGGAGGGAATGCGATAGGGTGAAGCTAGTTTGCCCCAAATGAGAGAGAATTTACTAAAGTTTGCGATCAGTTCGAGATTAGTGACCGACCATCGATCAGGTTGACATTTAGCTAGAATCGACTTGCAGTTTTGGATTAGTTTCAGGTATTCAAGATAGATTATAGTTTTGAATCGTTTGGTAACGATTGCTACTTCGTTTGGGTCGAGAGAGTAGTTGCGATCGTCATCGTCAAAGTCGAATTGCACATTCATAGTGGATTGGAGTTGTGTGTGTATCCCCATCGAATACAGTGTGGCATGCGTAGCATATTGTATTGGTGTCAGCTGGGGTACGTTTCATTATTCTGGCAAAGAAACGAAAGAGGTGTCTCTTGCTGTTGTGCATTTGACGCTTGCCACGACGGCAAATATTTGCTCGATGTTGGTACCAAAGAGAGCCTCGATCTCTCTTTGACCGACGGTCTTTTGGTTGACCTTTGGTAGTCTGGTTGCTTGGAGAGCAGAGTAGATTTGCTTTAATTCGATTGGTGTATTTGGTTGGTCTGGTCCCTCCTTGGCAGAGATGTGCTTTGGAAGATAGGGTCCAAACTCGGTGAATGGTTTGTCGTACGTGGCACGATACAGATGTAACCATGCTTCCCAACATGTTTGGAAGTATGTGGAGCTGTTGGAGAGGGTGCCTAGGCGTAGGTACTCGCCGAGTATATGGTTGGTCCACACCCTGCGGTACGAGATGGAGTTGTTGGAAGGGTCGGCAAGGAAACGATTCATCGTCCATGCCTTTTGCGCAACTTGTCTGACGTCCATGTCCCAGAGGCCGATGCCTCCCTTTGTCCAATGTAGTGCTGCTCTTGGGCGAGCTATGCTATTTTTCTATTTATTTGTTTTGACATAAGTAGAAGATGACGGCGAGTAGAGATACCAATTAATTAAACTGTTCACTAATCTCTTTTGAATTTAGTGACTCGATAGGCAAAACGGTTTTTTTTTAAGCATCATTTCGTGGCATCCACCTGTAGGGTGGAGCAATACTCTTTCGATTGCGAAGTTTTATTGATTGAAGTCTTTGTTTGACCAGCAATGGGAACTGAGTTTCCAAAGAAGAAACAAGCGATAGGCAAAACGTTTTTTTTTTTAAAGTAATTCTTTTCCTGTTCTCTCCTATCGGGAAGAGTACTCAGAAGTTACAAAGTTTTATTAATTATACTTTTTAATTGACCAGCAAGAAATAAAGATTATCTCAAGAAGAATTAAAGTTAATTTGTTCTGGGGGTTTGTCCATGTCTATGATACATGTTTATATGGACGTTGATCATGTATCTTATTGTATAGTGTCAAGCATGTTGGATTGTTTTGGATTGGATAGGCAAAAGGGAGGGGAAGTTGGCGGGTATTTTTGAATACCGCACATAATAACCGTGGCCGGTTAGCTCAGCTGGAAGAGCGGCAGCCTTCTAAGCTGCAGGTCGTGGGTTCGAGCCCCACATTGGTCGTCCACTTTTTTTTCGCTGCTGGCCATGGGCCACCAAAATTATAAGAAGGAATGAAGGAAGGCGTGGTACGCTGCATGCCTTTGGTGTCACTGCGAGAGTGTCAGAGAACAAGGTTCACCCTGCATTCCGAAAATACATAAAATATGAAAAACACAAATAAATAGAAGTCGCGACGAGCTTGGTGGATCATTCTTGTTTCCCCAATTCGTGTAGCTAGTTATAATTGTATATCTATCGTGTAGAGTCTTGTTCAGTCTAGTTTATTGTATCTTGTCAGTTATCTAGTTATCTTGTTTATCATCATTGTCATTATTAGCAGTAGATATTATATACACCATACACAATATTACAAAAATCCAGTCAATTTGGTCCCTTTGAGGCCTTATTATTTAACTAAACACCTGGCTGGCACCATTGCGTTATTGCTATTGTGATAATATTGCAGCAAAGGAATTCCACAGAGTATTGTGGAAGTTGATGACCTTTTTGATATTGCAGCAAAGGAATTCCCTGACAAAATCTAGTTCTTCTTCATCTTCTAAATATCACCTTTCTATTTCTTTAACCTCTCAAACATCTATTTAAATAAAAATACAAAAAAAGGAGATTATTGTACTTCTATTTTTACATTTACTAATTTTAATTAAAAACAATAAAAAAACTTTTATTTAATTTAAATCAATACCAAGAGTAAATACATTACAATCAAGAGGAAAAACAAAATCCATTTTGATGGCCTCTTCATATACTCTTTGATTCTTTAATTGAACGATAGCAATTGGTTTTCCACTATCATTCTTTTCAATGATACAACAAGCATTTTGAATATGATTAAAATGTTTAAATACTGTTTTTTTTGCTTCTGTGATGGTGTTGCTAGTAAAGTAGATGGATAATGGTTCAAGTGGATCGATAAAACAAAAAGTAAAATCCATTCCCTTGTATAAAGATTTCTTTCCATTTGCAATAACCAATTTGTTTTTGCTCTCGACAGAGTCTACCGAAAACAAAAAGTAGCCAACATGTGCTTCATAGTCTCGGTGTGTGAGTAAGATTCTTGCATTGACTCTAAACACTGCTTTCAAGATTTCTTTTGATTTCATCATTGCTCTTCTAGCACCTTCACTATCTGATTTTTGACTGGTAAGGAAATAAAATGGAGGAGTAGAAGTAGAAGTAGTACTAGTAGTAGAAGTAGTACTATTAGTAGAGGTAGTACTAGTAGTAGAGATCGGACTAGTAGTAGAGGTAGTACTAGTAGTAGAGATAGGACTAGTAATAGAGGTAGTACTAGTAGAAGGGTCTACCAATAATGACTCGTCATCTAGTTGGAGTTGAATCCCCTCTTTTGTTTCTTCTTGAACATCCGTTTCATCCATTTCGTCCAATTCATCCAATTCATCCAATTCATCCAATTCCTCTTGTTGCAAAGGCTGAAGAGGTTGATCAAGTCCAAATATATTTGTCATATCTTGATCCACATTTGACATTTCCAACAAATGAGATAATCCTTGGTCTCTATACTGTTGAATCATGATCTTGGCATCTTCATTGTATTGACCTTCCAAACGTTGAAACTTTGTTCCTCCTCTTAGATGGGTCATTAAAGTATGCTCAAACTCGGATGGCAACTTTTTTCTCTTTTCCAAACTTGTTGCAACTATTTGTTCAATTTTCTCTTGTCCTTGATTAGAATCCAAAAGATCTTTAATTGATGGTTCAGTAGTAGTAGTAGTAGTAGTAGTAGTGGTAGTAGAGGTAGTAGCAGTAGTAGCAGTAGCAGTAGTAGTAGTGATGGGGGCGATATTATCCAATGAAAAGTCTTTAAAAAATTGTTGAAATCTTGATTTGAAATCACTATTATTAAACAAAAAAAAAATAATAATTACAATTAATATGTTATTATTTGATATATATATATTTTTAATTTCTTACACATTTTCTAATCTTTTTTTTGATTTATCAATGACCATTGAATTACAATTACCATGAATACTCTCACGATCATGAAGAGTACAACCTTCATTGATTGAATCCAAAATCTTGAATGCACTAATATCATTTAGGTAATTTGAACTGTTCATTGCTACAACAATCAAATCGTTGATTGACTTTGCAGGTTCAAAACCTTCCAGAAGCTCGGCATTTACACGATAAGGTTTCTTGGTGTTGAAAAAATCTCTTTGCAATCTTGCTTGAAGAACATTAAAAGTAAAGCAATCTCTATTTTGTATGTTGATAAGAGTTGGAAAGAGAAAAGGATAATGCTTGATTCTTGATTCATCGGCAGAGAGAGCAAGATTGTAACAAAATTGTGAGTATAATCTGACAATACTTGGTAGAGATGCAAAAAATTCCTCTTTTGAAATAACCTCTTCTACCTTGCATTGACGACAATAGATATCGTAAAGATTATCCTCAAGTTGAGTTGCATTCTTTTTGATTTGTCGAATGTAATGAAACGGTGGAAAAAGGACAACAATGTCAACCTTTAGGTAAAATTGACCAAAAAACAATTTAAAGTAATCTTCATTACGAAACGCACGTTCCAAACTAACAAGCCAAGTGACAACTCGATTTGCACCCTGTTCCAATTTAGATAACATTGAATTGGCAAAAACAGAGTCAATCGACTTCCAATCATGCAAATCTCGAGTGGTTGTATGAACCTTGGAGTTGTCAAACTTGGAGCAGCTAATATCTACTAATATATAGGATAGGGTGAAACAATGGTCTCGTATACAAGAGGTAGTTGTTGGTGCATTGACGAGATGGATGTTTCCAGTTTCAACAAAACTTTAAAGAGAATTTGTTTATTGGATTCTTGTGAACGAGTACGATGCCGTTGAATTGTTAGTGAATGCAAACACATAATTTGAACCAGCGGGAATGATTGGGGTGACCCCACCAACTGGAGAGATACGCCAATTGATGGTACCGTTGACAATTGATGAAGTGAGTCCCCACATACTGACTGGCAGGATATTAGGATCAAACCTAAAGACTGGATTAACAATATCAGTGGATCCATCGTTGGTGAGTGTACCAACGACATTGGTGTAGTTGAATCCTCCTGCGATCCAATATCTGGTGATATTTAACGAGATTGTAGGATGTCCCAGCTCAGTTCCAGTCCAGCCATCGCAGAAGGTTTCGAGATCGAAGGCAAAATAGCTATGATGGTAGATGATGATGGAGTCTATCGTGTCAAATTGGGTCCATGGAACAGAGCTACCGGTGGAACAGTTTGGTTGTTCAGTCAATGGGCAAATGACGTAATGAGGGAATTGATTTGGATCATTTGAATATTGGTCAAACCAGACTTCAGTGCTCACGTGGGTGTAGGTAACATCGGATCCTAGGAGGTTGAACACTGGCAATATGGGGAAATCATTGCCCAATCTGTGCGGGCCTTGGCATCGGTAGAAGGTGTGATTGTGACGAAATATTCCGCAATCAGAGAGTTTGATTGTACAGGTAGGATCATCCTATGGTCTGAAATTTTGTAATCTCTGCCCTTTTTTGTAAAATGGCATCTATTCTGAATCCAGATTTTTTTGATCATGGACAAGACATAACTGTTTGGTTGATGAGAATTAAAGTATAATATTATTCCTTTACAACACTACTTATAAAAATGAAGAGTCATTTTTATGTATTTACAGTGCTTCTATTGTTGCAGTCTCTTCTTGCACATGTCTCAATTGCGGTATGTTTAGTTTTTTTGTGTATGAATAGCCAAGATGTCACTAATCGACTTTTACTGATTTGATTCAATTTTTAAACCATTCAAGGATGTACCAACAACTCTTAACGTATTTGATACAAGTGATGGAGTGTATTATGCCGTCAACATATCAAGTGGAGAACTCATCAGTAAACATCGCATAGATTTATTCAATGGTGACTTGGTAGAATTGAATGGTGTCATTCTGCCATTGTCGGCCGGCGATGACTTTCTACTCATTGGAGGCAATATCACTGATGTTGGCGAATCTTATATTCCAATCATTTGGTCATATAATGTATTGGTATGTAATCTTTTTGACATTTGAACCAACAATAATACTTATTCTTCTTTATCTCTTAGAGCAAGACAATTGTTCAAAAGTCTTTTATAAAAGAAAAGTTTCCACAATTTGATTACCAATGGAGTCCTCAGATAGCATCATATGATTCAATCAACAATATAGTTTACTTGAATGCTGATTTAAATGGAGGGCCTGTGTTACTCAAATTTGATTATAACCAACAAAAAGAGTAACTATATATTACAATATTTAATGCTTAAAGAATTGTAGAACCTAAATATTAGTATTATTTTTAGAGATGTAATGACTTTACCAGGTGATGGATGGTACATACAATCATCGTACAATGAGACAACCAATACATGTTATATGGGTGGTCAAAATGAAGTAGCAAATCAATATGCTCAGATGGTAGTTGCCACCTATAACTCGGTGACTGGAGATACAACAACAAACACCATTAAATTTGATATTCCTGATAGTTGTTACTACTCTACGGTAATGTATCAATACAACTCACTATTCTATTCTGCATTGACTGCTGGTACGGGTTATTGTCCAGGGTATGTATTTCAAGTCGATATTGTTGGAAACACTACGACTTTAATAGCCACCATCCCAACTGTTGACACCTTTCCAATCAATGGTGGTAAGAGTTTTGTATTCGATCCCGTCAATGGCTATCTAGCCATGGTTGCCACAAACTATGAAGATTTTTCAAAGCTGGAAATTTGCATGGTCAATCTCAATACCTATCAAGTTGATCTCTATGCTATACCAAACGCACTTGTCCTTCAAATAAGAACTGAAGACGAGTTTTTAATGACCCTTTCCTAATTCAAATAATAAAGTCAAAGTGCTTGTTGTATCATTGAAAAGAATGATAGTGAAAACCCTACTGTTTCATTTTATAGAAATAATAAAAAAAATGAAAAGACTTTGTTAATTTAATGTTCAATGTCATATGATTAAATTTCAACGTCATAGATTAGGAGGCAATAAAAATTTATTCAATTCTACTCATAAATCAGGAATCAATAAACAGCTTTTTTTTTTATATTTAAATGTTGGAGAGGTATTTTGTTGGTCTCTTTTAACTCATTAACAAACTATTCTTTGATTTTTCAATGATTGATGCCAGCAGCAACAACAGGTTGTTTAGTTAAATAATAAGGCCTCCAGGGACCAAATTGACTGGATTTTGGTGGCCCATGGCCAGCACAGTGGCAAAAGTAGCAACAACAGGTGCCAGCCAGGTGTTTAGTTAAATAATAAGGCCTCCAGGGACCAAATTGACTGGATTTTGGTGGCCCATGGCCAGCACAGTGGCAATAGTAGCAACAACAGGTGCCAGCCAGGTGTTTAGTTAAATAATAAGGCCTCCAGGGACCAAATTGACTGGATTTTGGTGGCCCATGGCCAGCAGCGAAAAAAAGTGGACGACCAATGTGGGGCTCGAACCCACGACCTGCAGCTTAGAAGGCTGCCGCTCTTCCAGCTGAGCTAACCGGCCACGGTTATTATGTGCGGTATTCAAAAATACCCGCCAAGTTGCCCTCCGTTTTGCCACGAATGAACCAAACCGACGAATCAGTAATACATACGATTACAGAACGAATACAAACTATCATCCTTCGATTCTCCTCCAACTACAACCATCCTACTGTCTACAAGATCGCACTACCTAGTCATTTGGAGAGGTACAAGACTCTGCGTACACTACATCTATAATCGATCACCTCAACCTCATTCTTCACATCCTCCTCAACACCTTCATCTTCTTCTATTCTCTCTTCATCTATCAATAATAATATTAATAATATAATAATTTACTAAATAATAATAACATAGAATAATTATATAACACAATATTACAGCCTATAGTGCTGAGAAAAAAAAAAAAAAAAAAAAAAAAAAAAAAAGCGATATCTTTAACCAATTTATCTTTAGAACAAGCAACAATCCAAAACAATCCAACATGCTTGACACTATACAATAAGATACATGATCAACGTCCATATAACATGTATCATAGACATGGACAACCCCCAGAACAAATTAACTTTAATTCTTCTCGAGATAATCTTTATTTCTTGCTGGGTCAATTAAAAAGTATAATTAATAAAACTTTGTAACTTCTGAGTACTACTCCTTCCCGATAGGAGAGAACAGGAAAAGAAATACTTTAAAAAAAAAACGTTTTGCCACGAAATGAGATGCTTAAAAAAAAAAACAACCGTTTTGCCGCTTTTTGAACTTTAAATGCCTTTATTGAACTACAAAATCGATTGGAAATGGTATTTAATATATATATGCTGTTGTATAAACAAATTGGAATTTTTTATCTAATTTTTATCCTGAAATCAATTTACAATTAACCAAATATTTATATTTTTTGAACAAACTGATCCAACAATTTGACTGTAAAATTAATTAATCCATTGGAAATTGTTACATCCCAATCATGAATATGAACATTGTAAATGTATCTGCCCTATATTCACTCGAATTTATCATCCTGGTCATTTAAAAAAGAACCTTTTATAAATGGTAAAAAGATGTAAACTTAGATCATATTCAGTTTCAAGGGTACCTTAAAAATGATCATTCTTTTCATCATGGTGACCATATATATATAACCCTTTAATTATAGCTAATTTTATTTCCAAAAATGTTGAATGTACCTTGTGATCACAATGGTTAAAGAATAAACGAAAGATCATTCCTTGTGTTCACCCATCAATATACTGCACGTAGAGTTTTTATTATAGATCAAATAAAAGAGAGCTGAGATTGGCTGTTGAATGTCTGCTTGGTAAAACTCGTTGATCAAAGTTCTACCACCTACAAAATATCTATCAATATACCTTGAACTAAATCTGTCAAAAGCTTATCGAATAGGCTCAAGGATATACAAAAGTTTCAACCAACCATCCTATAATAGTCATCCTAGTCAACTAATTAGATAGAATATTATATTATTAAACTATATCATTAAAATCTATTTGAAGAACGTTTAATATTAGATTAGGTTTGTTTTGTAAATATTTCATCATAATCTTCATTCTATTATTTTTAGTCTAGATCTGTTTGCATTATATATATATATATATATTTGAATCTAAATGTGATTATAAAACAATCCCAATGAACAAATGCGATTATTAAATGATTACAAAAATTAATTAAAACGAATTTTTGTTTTCAACCAGAAAAAAAGATGATTTTTTTATTTTTTTTTCAATTTTCAAACTGATGCACACCATCAAAAAGCCGAACGAGGAAACTTTATTCATTCACATTTTCTTTTATTTGTACGTATTTTAGTATAGCAGTAGTTTAAACAAACAATTGGTTTTATTATATATAAATCTCGAGATGATGATAGAAAAAAAAATCTATAGTCAATTCCTTTAACATGAAACAGCTATGATTAATGATTCAATATATCTGACTCTTTTTTTATTATAATCTTCCAATCAAATATATAAATATATAAATCAATTATAATTCTCTCTTTGCTAACTTTTTTTTCTTTTTTCTTCTCCTTCCTTCTTACAGTTTATGATGAAAACAAATATAAATAAAACCAATTCTTTTTTTTTTTTTTTTTTGTAAATCTAAAATCTAGTAGATATCTAATCTATCTATGTGTCTTTTATTTGTTTATTTTAAAAACCAACAACCAAATCAACACAATCAGAAATTTCATTTGGAATAGTAAAAGAACCTTCTCTCTTGAACAAATAATCAGATTCATCCTTTGATTCTGGTTGAGTGAATTTGTGGATTTGAGTAGCAAACAATTCTTGAGTCTTTTCAATCGAAGTATTAATCTTGAAACAATCCTTTTCACGAGTACTTTCAATTCCCTTTGATTTAAGGAAATTTGATACCTTGTCAAAATGTTCTTGTGATGGTTTTGTCATTGATTCTACTTCATCTTGACTTAATAATTTACCATACTTTTCAGATTTTGGATCAGATACATTCTTTAACTAGTAAAAAAGGATCAAAAAAGAAAAAGAAAAAGAATTATTTAATAACTTTTATATTTTTGGTTTGTTTTAGTTTACATACTTGTTCTTCTAACCATTCTTTATTACGAAGTTTAAGTACAATTGTAAAATGAATGTTTGATTTTAAATCTGCTTTACCTAAATCCTAAAAAATAAAAATAGAATAAGAACAGGAAAACTATAAACTATAAACTATTATTTAATTAATTTACCTTGGTATATCTAGCAAAATGAGGAATTCTGTTAAGATGGGTTGTTGGAATATTTAAAGTTGACATTTTTGTTATAAATATTTATATTTTAATAAAATAAATGATATAATAACTATTGTAGTTTTTCTCTTTTATTTATACCTATTTTATTTCATTTTTGTAATAACCACATTTCCCTAAAATATAATATTATATTCTCGATAAATTCAATTTAAAATATTAATGTTATTTGAACTTCCCAATTTATTTTTTAAAAAAACAACAACAATGAATTAATAATAAAAGAAGAAATATTTTCTTCATTTACCACACACACCCTTATTTGTTTGTTTTTTTTTTTTTTCTTTCAAATCAAATAATCGATTATTCATTCGATTGGGGGCGATTTCATATTATTAGTAGACTATTATCTCTCTCCTTCTCTCTCTCTCTCGTGATGGCAGAAGTTAGCACAAAGTGATTAACAAAAAAATCACACACTTGGAAAGACGAACACACACATAAAATATATACAACATACACACAATCTAGATTAGACACACACAACTTAACTGCTGCTGATGCTGATCATTTAACCACTACCACTATTACAATCAATGTATTGGCCACTTGATCCTCCATCCTCCTCTTTGTGTGTGTGTGGGTGTGTTTTAAACTTTTACACATCATCAGGCAGGCATTATACATAAATCAACGTTATAGATACTTTGATACCAACACCAACAAACATCCCAACTCACTCCTCCTACATCACCATCTTATCAAATTTACGTTTTTATGAAAAAAAAACTGGATGGATTGATGGATTGATTCGATTATATATCGGTATTCCCTATACCATTACCATCACCACCAACATCATCATCACCACCACCACCACCACCACACATGTTGTTGAATGTTGTTGATCAACATACCCTTCCTTTTTCCATTCACAACAAACATTCTCTCTTTTAACCAACCAAATCCATCCAAATCAAAACAATCAAATGACACGTTTGAGTGTGATTCGTGTGGAGAAGAGAACAAGATGATGATCATCGTGTTGTGGTGGGTACTTTAACCTCCACAGTAATGGAACTGGTATCTAATTTCTGCGCAAATGGATCAACCTAAAGCCATTTTCAAAAACACACACCCAACGATTTATAGTCATGAATTTTTGTGTAGAGATAAAAAGGTAAAAAGAAAAAAAAAAAAAAAAAAAAGAAAAAGAAAAAAGAAGGTATGTGTGCCGTCCCCCTCATCATCCTCATCCACTTTTGTGTGCCCAAGATAATATATTACTCTATATTCCCCATCCGTTCCACATCAATATTATATATCAAGAGAGTGAAATGCGATTGGAGGAGCAGTAGCATGATATTTTAAAAAATTATAAAAGCTCAACTTTTTTGTGTATTTATGTTTTTTTTTTTGATTGTTGTTCAAAACTCTTTTTAAAAACAAATAAATAATTTTCGAAAAAAAATGTAAGTCAAAGATAAATATATAAAGATATTTTTATATTAATCCAATTTCTTTTTTTTTTAGGGAACAAATCATTCCATCACAATATGATCAATTTAATTATTATAATCATCAATTTCAAAAATTCTCAAATCCCAATAATAATCAAAATATTTCTTCTCAACCATCAAATGTATCAACAACAAATAATATTAATAATACCTATGATAGATCAATCTTGACTTCATCATCTCCATCTTTACAATCTCCTTGTCTTTCTTCTTCTTCTTCTTCTTCATCATCATCATCTTCATCATCATCACCACAACAACAATCATTTTTTCAACAACAACAACAAGTACAACAACAATATCATCAACAAATGATTTTTAATTATAATAATAATAATAATAATCAAAATAAATATCAACAACAACCATATCAACAACAACAAAATGGAAATGGCGGTATACCATTTCAATTATCACCAACATCACCACCACATCATCCAATGTTGACACCAATTATAATACCAACTTGTTCATTAATTTCTCAACCATTGTCTCCAACAACAAATAATAGTTTGATTCCAAATCAACCATTTTTAATGTTGGATTCATCATCACCATCAATTCAACCAATCCAAACTCATCCATTTTATCCTCAATTTTCAACAACAATTGATTCATCCAATTCATCCTATTCTCCAACACCACCAACTTCACCAGTTTTAAATATTTCAAATTCAATGATGCAACAACCACAAAGAAAATTATCTCTATCATCAAGTATTATTCCACCACCACCACAATCTCCTCCTATTCAACCATATCAACAACAAATCAATGTTTCAAATACACCAACACCAACAACTTGTACTCCTACTCTTACCTCTACTACATCTACTGTTCCATCTACTGCTTCAACGATTTCATCATATAATCATTTTAGTGCATATCCACAATCAACAAATTCATATGATACACCATGGTTTTGTACAATTAATTCAATGTCACCAACTAGTGGTGGCGTTCCTTTGCCCAATGTATTTTCCAGTTTCTCTACACCACTGTTTCGAAACTTTTATCACAATATTGAATTTTTCATACCCGATGCTGCCATGCAAAAGAAATATAATAATCAACGAGTCTATATTGCCGACAGTGTAGGATACAGTGGAAACGCCAAAAAATTCATAAACTCTCCTCAACCAAATGAAACTGCCCTCTATCTAGAGGCTCAAGTATTGGATACTGAATTCAACCCTCTCCCACAATGTACCTTTTGCAAGGAATATTTTCAATCTCGTTTCTATTTTGCCAATAATCCTCAATGCAAGGAACGTTTGGTATTGGTAAAAAGCAATGTTGCCTGCTTTGTTCAAAACTCTACCTTTTCTGTTCAAATCAAAATCATGTGTTGTTCAAAACATCACAACAACAATAGTATGGTCATTCATCTTTGGCTTCGTGATTGTCAAACAAATCAAATTGTAATGTCTTGTGTTTTATCTTCTTTTATTAAACAATGGAAAAGAAGTAAAACTCCAAATATCAATGTCTTTTAAAAAAAAAACATAAAAACAACAAAACTATAAATATTCTAAAATCAATTAATATTCTCAAATAATTCTACTAGAGAATTATATAAAACCAAATCTTTGTAAAATAAAAATATCATATCTATTTATTTATTTATTTTTTTATAATCAGTGTGGGATGCTTAAATGATAAAACTTGATTTAAATGGGACTGTAGAAATAAATATTTTTAAAAAAATATGTTTATATTATCCAGAGATCATTTTGGAGGATTTAAAAAACCATCATATTATTTATTTAATTTTTTAAAGACTTGCATTAATAATAAATGATCTAGTTTCAGTATAACCATCAAGACAAAACATTGATAAATCACGGCCTTTACCAGATAGCCCCAAGCCGCCCCATGGCACACTGGCGTCTATGACATTAAACGCGTTTATCCAAGTTAAACCTACTTCCAATTGATCACTAATCAATAAAGCAGTATTAATATCTTTTGTATAGATACTACCAACAAGTCCATATTCTGAATTGTTTGCACGTTGAATGACTTCGTCGGTATTGTCAAACTTTAGTATACACATGACAGGTCCAAATATTTCTTCACGTGCAATGGTCATTTCATCTTTTACATTTGAAAAGATGGTTGGTTCGATATAATATCCGACGGTTCCATGTCGCTTTCCACCAATTTCAAGTTTTGCTCCTTCAGCTTTGCCAATTTCAATATACTTTAAGACAGTATCAAATTGAAGTTTGGTTGCTTGTGGGCCTTGATTAGTTTCTTGACTTAATGGATCACCCAACTTTCTAGTTTTAACCAATTCCAACATTTTGTTTATAAAGCTATCATAAATTCCACTTTGAACATAAATACGAGAAGCAGCACTACAACATTGACCAGCATTCCAAAATAATGCATGATAACAATCCATAACAATAGAATCTAATTTGTCAATCGAGTCTTGAAAAACAATGATTGGAGATTTACCACCCAGCTCCAATGATACATGTTTCAGATTACTATTGGTAGCAGAGATTTGAACCATTTTACCAACACGTGTTGAACCAGTAAATGCAACCTTGTCAATATCCATATGAGCACTAATTGCATTACCAACAGTATCACCACGTCCATTGATTACATTGACAACACCAGGTGGGAACCCAGCCAACACCAACAATTTAGCCAAATAGAGTGTGGTCATTGGTGTAATTTCCGATGGTTTAATGACTACTGTATTACCTGCTGCCAAACAAGGTGCCAATTTCCACATTAACAATTGTAATGGTAGGTTCCATGGAAGGATCATACCAACCACACCCAAGGGGGCTTGTTTAGTGTATGCCAACAGTGAACGATTGGCAAGATTTTCAGTAGCCGATAGAGGTAAAGTTTTACCAACAATTTTGTCTGTAAAACCTGCAAAGTAACGAATACAATTGACTACTTGAACAATATCGAAATTGAAACTTTCAAAGATTGGTTTACCAGTATTGACAGTTTCAATACGAGCAAGAATCTCTCTATCCTTTTCAATCAAATCAGCCAATCGATTCATCATCTTTCCCCTCTCCATACCAGATATGGTTCTCCAAGGACTACCACGTTGAAATGCTTGTCTCGCCGCTCTTACTGCCATATCAACATGACCTGTACTAGCTGCATGAAAGTGTCCCAATGACTCTTCTGTTGCTGGATTAATTACTTCTATCGATTCATTTGATAATACCCATTCATTATTTATAAATAATACATTTGGTATTTCAATCAATTCATTTAATATTTTTAATTTCTTGTATAAAAAAAGTAAAAGTAAAAGTAAAAGTAAATCAATAAAAATGAAGAGAGATACTTAAATGTTTTATATATATATACATACAATTGATGGTATATTCATTCTTTAGTTTCAAATTATAATAATGAAAAAAGAAAAAAGAGATGAGCAGATCATCATATCATCATTGTTCACATTTTTTGTGTTTTTTTAATTAATTTTATTTATTTATTTCATTTCATTTGAAGTTCATTAACTTTGGACTATCCAAGTCGACCCGACAACTTGCGTAAACTATAAGAGTTGATGATCAAGGTTAAATAGAAACAAATTACACAAGTTATCGGATCGACTTTACTCAATCTAATTAAATCAACTTCATAGAGAGATCTAAAAAAAAAAACCTTTTGTAAATGAAAAAGAAAAAGAATGTTAGTTTTTTGATTTAAAAAAGAATATGAATAAAGAAAGAGTAGATAGATAGATAGAAAGAAGTGTATTTGATCAGTGTAACTATGATAAAGATCATCATGGGGTATTTCAAAGCGATAACCTAAAACAGGTTACCACAATGAATATGATACTAAAAGTTTTTTTGTCATCATTTAAAAAAGATAAAAAGATAGAGAAAGAGAAAGAATATACAATGTATATAGATAATTACCTTTACAAAGAATGAATGAATAAAAAACAAGAAAGTTTTTCAATCATAAATAAAAAACCGAGTCAGACGACGACACAACAAAAAAAACAAAAAGAATTAAAAAAAAACAGTTATCTCTCTCAAAAAAAAAAAAGACCAGAGCATAAAAAAAAAAAATAAATACAAATAAAAATAAACAATAAACATTCACTATTCAAATCAATCATAGACTATAGTCTATGTCTAATTCTTTTTCCAAGGAAGTTTTATTTTTTTGGATGGGGGCGAATCTGATAAGGTCAAACTAGAGTCAAAAAAGTCAATGAACTTCTTTTTTTTTGACGACAGGATTGTCTGATGACACTAATTTTTTTTTAATTTTTCTTTTTTCACTCTGATGATCAAGCAAGAAGTTGTTTTTGTTTTGCTTTTAAACTCTTTTTATAACTTTTGTAGTTCATATATACATTTATATACATTTCATATATATAACATAAAAGATGGGTTTCCGTTTTTTAGATATTGTTAAACCATTCTGTCACTTTGTACCAGAAGTTGGTCAACCAGATAGAAAGGTAAAAAAAAGAAATAGAAAGAAGAAATGAAAAAGAAATGAACATCACATGTGAAACAAGTTATACTCAAACTCTTTTATCCATTATTATTATTATTTTCTTAGATTCCATTCCGTGAAAAGATTTTATGGACAGCAGTATGTTTATTTATCTTTTTGGTATGTAGTCAAGTACCACTTTATGGTATTAGATCGACCGATTCTTCAGATCCATTCTATTGGATGAAGGTCATTATGGCCTCCAACAGAGGTACTCTTATGGAACTTGGTATTGGACCAATCGTTACCTCTGGTATGGTTATGCAATTATTGGCTGGTGCCAAGCTCATTGAAATCGATCAATCTGTTAAAGAAGATCGTGATCTCTTTGGTGCTGCTCAAAAGTGTAAGTAAATGACAAACAAAAGAAAAAACAAGTAGTTTTTTTTCTTATCTCTCTCTCTCTCTCTCTTTGACCAAGTTTTGACTCTTGACTTTTTTTTTTTTTTTTTTTTTTTTTCCATTTTAGTATTTGGAGTACTTATTTGTATTGGACAAGCAACTGCTTACATTTGGTCAGGAACCTATGGAGATCCAGCCTCACTTGGATTTGGAGGAGCCTTTTTAATTGTTTTACAATTATTCTTTGCCGGCATTATTGTAATGTTGTTGGACGAGTTGTTACAAAAGGGTTACGGTATTGGCAGTGGTATCTCATTGTTTATTGCCACCAACATTTGCGAAAATATCATTTGGAAGACATTCTCACCGACCACAGTCAACACTGGCCGTGGCACCGAGTTTGAAGGCGCCGTCATTGCCTTGTTCCACTTGCTCGTCACCCGTACCGACAAGGTCCGTGCCCTCAAGGAAGCCTTTTATAGACAAAACCTCCCCAACATTACCAACCTTTTGGCCACCGTCTTTATCTTTATGGTTGTCATCTACTTCCAAGGTTTCCGTGTCGACCTCCCAGTCAAGAGCACTCGTATCAAGGGCCAACAAGGAAGCTACCCAATCAAGCTTTTCTACACCTCCAACATCCCAATCATTTTGCAATCTGCCCTCGTATCCAACCTCTACTTCCTCTCGCAATTGCTCTACCGTCGTTTCCCAGAAAACATCATCATCAACTTGCTCGGCTCGTGGAGAATCTCTGAATATGGTGGTCACATGATCCCAGTCGGCGGTATCACCTACTACATCTCGCCACCACCCAACATGGCCTCCATCCTCTCGGATCCATTCCACGCCCTCATCTACATTGCCTTTATGTTGACCTCGTGTGCCCTCTTCTCCAAGGTCTGGATCGAAGTCTCTGGTTCGTCGGCCCGTGACGTTGCCAAGCAATTGCGTGACCAACAAATGACCATGAAGGGTCATCGTGATTCCTCCCTCGTCAAGGAACTCAACCGTTACATCCCAACCGCCGCTGCCTTTGGTGGTCTTTGCATTGGTGCTCTCACCGTTATTGCCGATTTCATGGGTGCTATCGGTTCTGGTACCGGTATTCTCTTGGCCGTAACCATCATCTATCAATACTTTGAAACTTTCGTAAAGGAACAACAAGAATTTGGTGGATTATCTGGTTTATTCTAAAAAAACAAAACTTAAATTAAAATAAAAAACGATATAATAAGAAAACTTTTGTAAAACAAATAGAAAAGAAAAAAGAAGAAAAAAGAGAAAAAAGAGATATGTTACACAAAAAATATATATACAATTTTTTTATTCAATTACATTTAATTTCCAAATATGATCCGCTGGATTATCAATTGATTCTTTTTCCAAACCATAAACTATTGTACCAAGTAGAGTTTTTTTAACTATACTAAATAATCCATAGATTAAATTATCTGGATTAATAGTTCTTTCCAAACATTTCGATCCAACAAAACAAAAATCAATTTCATTTTCATCCAATGATTCTATTATCCCTGATAATAAATTCATTCTTTCTATTTGTATTGTTATATATTGTGTCTAAATAAAAAAAAAAGGAAAATAAATAAAAAAGGAAATGGATAGATATATATATATATATATATATTATTTTAAAGATTATTCTTACTCTTAATAAATCCAAATAATTTTGAAATTTAAATAATGTTAATTTTGCATTATTCTTTTCTTCATTTAAAAAATCAAATGAACTTGTACTAGATAATCATGTGGATAATAAAGAGTTAATACTTTTTATTAAAGAAATCTTTTTTCTTTTTTTTTTTTTTTTATATAACGTCATACGCAGTAAATAAATATAATTCATCTTTTTCTTTATCAAATCTAGTTAATAATTCTTTAAAGGCTCTATCTGTTGAATCATCAGAATCAATGATTAAACCATATCTATAACCTTCAATCTCTTCATATTCAGAGTTTGTTTCATTTGTATTGGTATTGGTTACATCGGTTGCTGTATTTGTTTGTTCAGATACACTATTTCTATCTTCATTGGTATAATCTTCATCATGATGAACATCTTTTAAACTATCAATAATCTCTATATTTACTTGACCACCAGATGAATGAGGAGGTTCATTTTGTTTCATCATCATATTATTTTGTCTATTATCAGTTGTTGAAGTTCCATCTTCTTCTTCTTCTTCTTTCAAACTACCACTATGTTGTTGTTGTTGTTGTTGAGATGTAATAGTACTATCATTACTACCCATCGTATTTCGGTTTACTATAGTTGTAAGAATCTTCTTCTTTTTTTAGAAATAGATTGTACGTGTTGTTTGTTGTTGGTTGTTACTATTGTAAAAAAAAATTAATTTGTTGTTTGTGAGTGTTGTTTGTTGTTGTTGTTGACTATTTTACATCTCACCCTCTAACACAGTCGTCAATGCATTGAGTTAGACAGGCCAGGCACTGAGTGTATCGAATACTGAATGGTAAAAGATGTGAACAAACTCTTTATGAAAAATAAAATTTAAATTAAATTTTCCTTTCTAGGGAATAATGAATTTCGAATAAATTTATTGCTAGCAATAATAAATTAATTTATATTTTGTTTGGGTAGAGAAGGGTACTACCCTGTAATATACTATTGCTCTTGTTGTGGTAATTCCGTCGTCGTTTAATAAAAATTAATAATACTCTACTTGGAAATCTAAATCCTTTTAAAAAGTATCCAAAAGTTTACTAGTTTTTTTTCATTACGATTATTCAAAAGAGATAAAAAAAAAAATGTCAGAAGATAATAAAAGAAAATCAAAGGGTTCAACAGCCACTGAAGAAAGTGTTAAAAAAGCCAAAGCAGTTGCCGAGACCAATGTAGATTTCAAAGCACCATTGGTTGATACTTTCCAAGCTCCAAATGACGGAAATGCACTCCTCCTCAAACTCATTCACACTCGTGTCATGTCGGTCAAGACTCGAGAAGAAATCATCTATTCTGCTCAACGTGATGATAATCTTTGTTTGGTATTCAAAGGTTTAGCAACTAAAAGATTTTTATCTGTTCCTGTATTTACTCAAGGTGGTATGTAAAGATAACAACAAACAAACAAAAAAAACAAATAATTATTTATTTATTAATTTCCATTTCCTTTTATTTTTCTTTTTCTTTTTTCCATTTAGAAAAACATAAATGGTTATCATTTATTGATTTATCTGATATTGTAAGTTATGTTACACAAAACTTTACAGAAGCCAAGATGAAGGAGTCGGAATTGAAGGGATTCTGGCATTTGGCCGATGAAGAAGAAGCATTCAAGAAATTAAAGGTTAATGATGTGATGCCATTCCCAACCAAGGAGAACAAGTTCCATCCAATCACCTCTGACTATTCATTGTTTTCAGTGGTAGAAATTATGGCTCGTGACCCACATGCTCATCATATTGCTGTATTGGACAACATGACTGATCGTAAATTGCTCTCAATTTTGACCAACTCTCAAATTATCAACTTTATCTACTCGCATATCAACCTTTTGGGTTCGAAAAAGGATTTGCTTATCAAGGATTTCCGTGGATTGGGTAGTGAAGTATTGACCATCCAAGAGTCAAGTCTCGCCATTGATGCCTTCAAGTTGATGCATGACAAGCAAGTCAGTGGTTTGGCCATTGTAAATGCCCAAGGTAGTTTGGTAGACACCATCTCTACTCGTGACCTCAAGGGTATGGCTACCGACGGATCTCTCTTTTGGCGTCTCTACAAGCCAGTCTCTGACTTTATCGAGTACCTCAAAAACGATAGAACCACCCTTCGTCCACGTAACCCAGTCTTTTGTCTCGAGGATGAAACCTTTGAAAGTATCCTAACAAAGCTCTACACCAATCAAATCCATCGTATCTTTGTAGTTGATTCGGTCTCTTCCCAAAAACCAATCAAGGTCATTTCAATTGGTGATTTACTTCTTCAAGTTTTACCTTTCTAAATAAGAAAAGTAAAGGAAAAAAGTAGATGGAAAAAAAAAAATGAATAAAAAAAAAAATAGTTTTATTTTAAAACAAAAACTATATACTACTAAGGATAGGTTGATTGTTGTTTTAATATAGTTGGTCTTCTGAGTTTTGAAATATTATTATTAGTACTTGGACTATTTGGTTGAGTATTTTCTTTTTGGATTGTTATATTTGTTTGTTGTTTACTACTACTACTACTAGTTATAATTGATTTTCTTGGTTGTAATAATTTTTTGGGTGATTTTGAAGCAAGTACAACTGATTGTCTTGGTAAACTTGATGATGATGATGATAAAGATGAAGATGATGATGGTTTTCTAATTGATGAATGAATTGATGATCTTGGTTTTAATGTTGTTGTTGTTGTTGTTGATGGAGATGATGGTATTTTTGGAACTATTGTTGGTTGTTGTTGTTGTTGATTATTATTAAATTGTTTTTGTTGTTGTAAAATGGATTGTTCAAATGAAAATATACTATTATTTAAATCATCAATTGCACTAGTACCAGTATTATTATTACTATTATTATTATTAGTTTCATTGGTCATTGAACGTTTGTTTAAATTTTGAAGAGCAGATAATTCTTGCATCTTTAATTCATGATCTTTTTGTTTGAGTTGTGCTTGAAAATCCATGAGTTTTCTCATTCGTGTCTTGTAGTCTGTTTCAAAGCTGATGAGCATCTGTTCGGCAGCTTTTATCTTTTCTTCGTGTTCTTCAATCACTAGTTGTCGATGATCTAGTGCTTGTTCACGATCCACCATCGATTGTTGTTTCTGTTCAATGACCAATGCAGCATCGCACAGCTCTTTTGCCAACTCGTTCAACCGTGTTCTCTCTCCTTCCACCTCGTTTTGTATTTGCTCCAATTTCATCGATCGATCTTCCAATTCAAACTCTTTCTCTTCCATCTTGAACTCTATCTCTTCCAATCTCTCCTTTTCCAATCTTAATTGTTCCTTTTCACACTCTAATTGAAATAATTCATCATTAAAATTATCCCTTAAAAAAGTAAAAGTAGAGAGGAAAGACTGTTAATCTTGATTCAAGATATCAAGTATATATATATATATATTTCTTTCTCATTCATTCTCTCTTACATTTCAAGTTGTTCTTCTTTTTGTTTATTCATTTCTTCTTCTTCTTTCTATATTTATAAATGTATATTGATTAACCCTATATTTGATCGTTCCACATTCATTCATTTAATTTAAACACAAAACTTGAACTGGTTCAATTTTTCAAAATGGGCGCCAAAGTATTTTTTTCAAACCTTTCACAAGATATTTTACAAAAAAAGAACAAACAAACAACTCTCCCAAAAAAGTTACATCAAAAGACATGTGCTCAACAGCTGAAGCTTCAGATAATTATTTTTTTGTATTTTTATTGAATTTAATTAAGCTCGTTGATTTGTTTGTAACCCTTTGGGGCTTGATGACTACTTTGGCTAATTTTACCAAACTTAGTTTAATGCACATTTTGAATAATATTCATCAATCAAACAGAAATAATAATAATAATCAGATACAATAAGAAACAAATAATCAACAACTCTCTTTAGCTTACATGTTGTTTAACTACTATAAATAGTGTAGGTATAGGCCGTGTAGATCTAGGTCTTAGAGGCTCAAAGTCTAAGGGGTTTTAGTCACCACACAAAGTGTGTTTCTTTTTTTTCGAGTGTGTGTGATATTTGTCAAGCTTAACACACACAGGGGCTTTCATTCGTTGTATTAGCCCCACCCTTGACTCACACACCCACCACAACACACACACACACACACGGGTCAACCCACCAACATGATAGTGGTCTTTGTGTGTTGACCACTAGACACAACCAACCATGGTTGATGATATTTTTGTCAAACATCCAATTCTTTTTCGTTGTCATTATAATGAGAGAATGAAGGGAATGGCCCTTGTCTCTCTGATCATCATCATCATCATCATCATCATCTTATCAAAGATTACTCATTTATAATTATTACTCTATTATTATTATTATTATTATTATTATTATTTATTATTATTTGTTCTAAACATTCTCATCCACAACAATAATTATAATTATAATAATTCAAGTTCAAGTATGTGTTTTATTTTATGATAATAAAACAATTCCAATTCAAAATCGAATTCATTGCCCTCGCGATTATGGATAATAGTTTATAACATTTCATTCATTCATTTACACTTTTACACTTTTGAGGTAATGGTTCATGGTTTGGTGATCGATGTAGATGTATTATTATTATTATTGTTATTATTGTTATTGTTATTCGTGTAGATGACAATTATAACTAAACTCTAAAACAGATCAAGATCAACCTTGTATCACCGCAATACCCTTGTCGATCAGCTCAACCTCACAACAACAACAATACTACAATTCGTTGAAACCCAGAACGTAAAAGGAGAGAGACAAAGAGACAGACAGACACAGGAGTACACTGACATTGGTGACATTTCTGTAAAGTATTAAATATATCATCACATCATCAAGAGAGTAGAGTACTCAAGCTCAAGCTCTACTCTACTCTCATTTTGCCCCAACCTATTCAATCATAAAACAAACAAATCAAAATTAGATCTATCACACCCCATTATTAGAGCTTTCTCCAGTCTCGGAATGGGTGATTCCAATCATTTTTCCTTTTTTAGATTGCGTTGATTGAATTCCCCACCTTTATTAAATTGGGGGCGACAACCAAACACACACTCTGTGATTTATTAAACCCAAAACAACCACACTCCATTTTTATTTATTTATTATTTCAACACACACACTCTTACTTATTACTGCAAGACATATATATATATATATGTATATAAATATATAAATAGAATTCTAAAGAAAAAAACAAAACTCTATATATTAAAAAAAAAACTAAAAAAGAAGAAAGAAAAAGAAAGTGTGTTGTAAACAACATACAATCAAAGCAGCAGCAGGTAAATAAGAAGATCTATCTAAACTCTCAACTCTCCCCCCCCCCCACACACTCACGCACGCACTCACTCACACAATATAGTTTGTAGAGTGTTTGTTGTAGTTGTTTGTTTGTTTATGAAAAAAAAAAAAAAAAAGTAGTAAAAAGTAGAGTAGAGTTAGAGTAGAAAAAAAAAAAAAAAAGGTTAGCATGTATACAAATAATAATGGGAAAATACTCTACTCTACTCTACTCTACTCGCTCCCTCTATCATTATTTTTTTTTTTGTTATCTTCATCCAATCAAAAATTGAATTTGATTGGTTGAACAGTACAGCAGGTTGAGTAGTACAACTAAATAATTAATTCATGGTCAATTACGAAGATACAGAGAGCGTACTCTGACCAGAGAGGGGGGGGTATATATATATATATTTTTTGATCAAACAAAATTGCATCCAGTCAATTCAATCACTCGTTACAATCAAAGCAAACCAAAACAACATATGGATGGATCAGGATGATGGTTTATAATTTAATTTGGTTGGCTGGTTCATTCCCAACCCTCTTGATTGATCTCCCCACCCATGCATCCATCCATCCATCCATCCACCCATTCCAATGCTTATCATCAACATATCAACATACCATCACCACCCACTCAAACAATCATACTACCATTTTTTTTATCTATATTTAATTTACACACACACTCACACTACAACTACAACAACTATATACCACCACCACCAACCACTCACTATCATCAATGGTGGGTAGTGGTGAGGAGGAGGAGGTGGGGGTGTGGTAGACAGTCGGTCAGTGTTGTTGTTTTGTTTGTTTGTGTGTGTGTATGTGTGTGGTTGATGTGTTTTACCATGGTGTAATACAATATATACATAAGAGAATAAATTAAATTTATTTATTTTGATTATTATATATTTTTTTTTTGCATTGATGCTTCTCCTCTCTCACTCTTTCTTTCTCACACCTCCAACAACCAACAAACCAACAACACACATTCATTAAACTCTCTCTCACTCTTCTCTCTCTCTCTTTAACAAAACACTACTTCATCTGATAACACAAACATCTTTATTTATCAAACACATAACACTTCAAAACAACAATCCAGCTTCCAAAGTCCCCAAGTCTCTTTGCCAGTTTTATTCTAGACTAGCACCAGCACCAACAGCAAAAGGACCAAAAACCACATTTGGCCCACTCCCCAAGATTGCTGCTTATTTGTTTGTACGAGGTGGGTGCATCACAAATCATCATCATCACACATGCCACAATGTGTGCCGCCACACATACTACTACTTTTCCCACTCAATCCATCACATACACATATTTATTGTGTTTAGCCCGCGTAGTGGGCTCACTTTTATATATATCCAAACACATGTGGGACTAATAGTCCACACGTCCTCCATTAATATCTTGTCTCTCTCTCTCTCTCGCACTCTCACAATTTTTGTTTTTGTTAAAAACTCTATAGAGAGTTGTTGTCATTGTCATTCAATTCCTAAACTACTATATTCATTTCCTTTGGTTAAAATGTCTTTTTGACTTTATTTCCAAAGAGGTTTAGTAGTTTTTTTTTTTTTATTAAAAAGACCATTCATCCATTTTTGTGCAACGATTGGATAGATTTTGAAATCGTCGTCGTTGCACTGGAATATCTGTTGAAAACCATGATCATTGGACATTTGGTCATATTTTGCAAAGCGGTTCCCATTTGACATTTTGATTGATTATAATTTCATCTTGGTTGTCCAATCAATTGCAGTTTTTTCAAAATTTTCATTTTTTTCCTATTATTTTTTTTTTCTTTATTATTAATGGTTGAGTATACAATATCAACTCCCATCCCATCTAATAATAATATTATAAGCAAAAAAAAACCAATCCATCAATCAAAAAGAGAGGAATTGAAAACAAACAAACAATTATTCCATTGTTTTTTTTTTTTGTTTTTTTTATATTTATATTAACATTTCTATTTATCTGTTTTTCCCAAACAAAAAAAAAAAAACAAAAAAAATTGTACTTTATTATTATTGTAATATTATAATTTTCATAGGTTTTTATAACCCGTACGCATGAATTACGGTTCTTCTTCTCATAGTTCCCAATCGATTATTGACTCTATCGATCATAGTCATCCATCATATCCACCTCCTCTTTTACATCATCATCATCATCATCAATATCCTCATCATCATCATCCCTACAACAACTACCACCACCACCACCATCTTCATCAACAACAACCACAACCACAACCACAGTATTTTTATACTTCACCACCATTACCACTACCAAATCATTCAAGTTATAGTAGTACTACCCCACCACTTCCAACCACTCCAAACAACAACAACAATACCAACAACGGTTCGTCAGTTTCATCATCACAGAGTAACACTCCAAACTTAAAATATCCATCTAGCAGTGACATTGATTTCCATTCCTCATCTGATCATTTCCAGGGTCAATCTACTACTATTACTAGTTCATCAGACACTGTTAATCATTTCCAGAGTTTAAATCTTCAAACTTCTTCTGACAATAATAATCATTATCATTTTGGTAAATTTTACCCTCATCTCATTCATTCATTCATTCATTCATTTAACCATACATAATCTATCTCTTTCTCTTTTGTAAATTACTTTTACTAATATTATTATTATTTTTTTTACTCTTATTTATTTTTTTGTAGAAAAAGATTTATTAATTCATTCATCAAGTCCAATACAACAAGGATCACCATTAAAACTTTCCACTACTACTGAACATACTCGTCATTTACAATATCAACGTAATAATAGTAGTAGCAGTATGTTACCAACATCCAACTCTGCTTCGTCACAATCAGCATCGTCACCTCAACACATTACATCGGATTTGACTCACCTCCCACTCCCATCGATCTTTCAGCAAAACCCAAACGCCGCATCAAGTATGAATCCACCCATTCTTTTTTCCCCATCGGCTTCGCTGACGTCGACGCCCACCTTTTTGTTGCCACCTTCGTCGCAGTCGATGCTGTCACACACTAATATATTCCCACAGGACCAACCATACATGGGCATGGATGTAGGTGAGTTCCAAATGCACAACCAACACTATTCGGCCCCATATCCCTACCTCTATCTCCAACAGACCACTGCCCAACACGTTGCTCAACAACACCAACAAGCCCACCAAGCCCATCAACAGGCCCAACAAGCTCAACAAGCTCAACAACAAGCCCAGCAACAGGCCCAACACCACCAAATGTCCAACAACAACAATAACAACAACCCATCGGTGCATGGATCGCCGACCGCTGCCGCACCCAAGATCAAGAGAAAGAGCAATACGGAAAAGAAACATACCGACTCGAATGGTTCACCATTGGTCATCCCCAAGTGCACACGTTGTAACGAGTCGGCGTCATGGCGTCACGACAAGCGAAGATGGTGGTGCAAGGAATGCAAAAAGGCATTTACACCAGGCATCACCAAGTCACCATCGGCCAGCACACCATCACCACAACCCTTGCTCCAGTCACCACTGCCAATGGGTGGCTCACCACTTCCACACTGGGATCCACAGCTGCCAAACAGCATTCAAAATACACCACCATCGGTGCCACAAATGACCGCGTCACAGGCCATCTGTCCCAACTGTAATAATCCAGGTGGCTGGAAGCACGACAAGAAGAGATGGCATTGCAAGACGTGCAAAAAGCCATTCACTCCATCCATGCACGACTCTATATCCGGTATGCCATCATCGCCCACTTCACCCAACAAAAAGAAGCCAACCAAATCCAAACGATCGTCTACACCCACCTCGTCCATCAATTCACCACCATCGTCTATGGGTTCACCAAACTCGGTCTTTCCCCTCCCACTCATTGCCACTAGTGCATCCATGTCTATGCTTCCTCAAAACATGTTGTCCTATGGCCCCATGCAAGGGATGCCACCCCACGTCTTTATGCCACCCATCTCTCCGGCCAACATTAAATCGCACGACATGTTGAGAACCAGCTCAACCTCACCCACACCCAACACTCCCCCCTCCATACCATCGCCAACCATCCTCATGAGTGGCGGTCACCACAACATGCCAAATCCCCTCATCCCCGGACCAAGCAATCTTTCGCCAAATGGAACGCCAAAGAAATCAAAAGGATCGAAAAAGGAAAAAGAAATGTCCGAAGGTGTCCAAGTCCTAGTCAGTTGTGTAGATAATCATAATTCCCTCTCTGATGTAAATAGATCAAATGATTCAGCCGAAAGCTGGAAAATGAATTCTGGTCAACAAAAACTTTTTGATCAAAAATACCCTCAACTTACAAGTTAAAAAAAAATCAAATCAAAAGTAAATCAATCAAACCAACCAACCAATCAATCAAAACAACTCCTGATAGATAATATATATATATATATAAACAAAAAAACTTTAAATCAAACCAGTAATAATAATAATAATATAATATACTCCACACATAAACCAACCAAATCAAATCAAATCAAATCAAATAATATCATATAATTCCCCAAATCACCAATAATAATAATATTTCAACCAACCCAAAATTGTAAATTTCCAAACATCCATCAATCAGCCATCAACAAAATTTTAATATATAATATATAATTATATAAATCCCTCCTCTCTACCTTTTTTAAATTAAATAAATGTATAAAACTAATTAACCAAAAAAAAAAAGACTATTATCTATTATATCTAATATTCTATTTATTATTAGTTTGGAGGTTGTTTATTAATTTTTGATAATTCTTCTTTTGTTCTCCTATTCATTTCAGCAACTTGAGCATCCATAACCATTTTAATTTTTTTATCTTGAACTTGTTTATTATATGTACATATAGGCCAATAACATCCAGCTACCAATGCAAATGTTATAATACCAAAATCTGCTGATTTGATTCCTCCTACACACAAAAAGAAAAGAAACGAGTTAATACAATGAAAGATAATTCTATTGATTCTGTTCTTTCTCTCTTTTTCTTTCAAAACATACTATGACTAGAGAATACAGATGATAAAAAGGTGACAGTTACACCTGAACCTATACCATAGAGAAATGAATCTTTGAAACAAGGTATTCTTGCTGGGTTGTATCTATCCCAAAATCCTTGTGGTTCATTGCTTATAGGGTACAAGTTTATATTTTCATTTTCTGTTATCGATGTATTTGATAATCCTTTTTCTTTATCACTCTCACTCATTTAAATATATATATATCTTTTGTATAATAAGTTTTAAAATGCGATCATTGCAAATTTAGTTGCAGAATGAAACAATTTAAAATTTAATCAAAAAAGATCATATATTAAACATTGAATGAATATTAATACATCTTTTCATCTATTAAAGAGTTTTGTAAGAGGTAAACAAAACAAAACAAACAAACAACACAATCAATCATATCTTATACTTATCTTTCTTTTTAGCTCCAATATCAAATAGTATACATCCAACATTAAAACAAAATGCTGCATTATTGATTGAATATGGAGAATCTTTATCAAATACTATAGTATACAAGAGTGGTCTTGATGTACCATTACCTGATAAATCTCAAGTCCTAATTCGTGTAAACAATTCTTCAATCAATCCTCTTGATAATGAAATGAGGTAAATATTATGATAAACCAAAAAAATATACCTATTCTTTTAACTCTCTTTTTTCTTTTTTTTTTAAAGAAAAGGATATGCAAGAAATATAGTAAATATTAAACAAAACTTACCAATGATATTGGGAAGAGATTGTAGTGGTGAAATTATAAATGTTGGGAGTGGAGTATGGGATTTTAGAGTTGGTGATTTGGTTTGGGGTGCAACTGCACCATTTTCAAATGGATCACATGGAGAATATGTATTATTGGATGAAAGTGAGATATCATTAAAACCAAAAAGTTTGAATCATGAACAAGCTGCATCTATTCCATTTGCAGCATTGACTGCTTGGAATGCAATATACAATGTGGCCAACATCTCGTCAAATAGTAGAGTATTGGTCAATGGTGGAAATGGTGGAGTTGGTTTCATGGCAATCAATCTATTGAAAAAAGATATTCAATGTAAAGAGGTTGTTGCAACTTGTCAACCAAAAAACTTTGAAAAGCTACTCAAAGCTGGTGCAGATCGTGTCATTGATTATACTCTAGACTATAATCAAGTCAAGGATTTTGACATTGTTTTAAATTGTGTTGATGGTGGTGAAACTATACAATCAAAATGTCTATCTACTTTAAGGTCAAGTGGAGGACATTATATTTCATTTAATGGTCCAATTGTAAATCAAATAGATAATAATGGTATCATTCTTGGTCTTAGTAATTCATTTTTAAACAAACCCTCCTCTAGTAATGATTCAAAACACAAGATTGATTATTCATTATTTGTGCCATCAGGAAATAATCTTTCAAAATTGGCAAAAATGTTTGACAATCAACTTTTACATTTAAATGATATCAAAACTTTTAAATTATCAGAAATTCAAAATGCCTACAATTATTATCAAAATGGTAAATCAAATGGCAAAGTAGTTTTAGATAATAAACATTAAATAAATAATAATATTATTTATTTTTCCTTTTTTATCTACCAAAATAAGATGAAACATTCCAAATGGATGCTTTTTTTAATTTTACAGCTTCTGTAGTCTTTGCCAATTCTTCTGGACTGAATTGCATTAAATTTGATATAACAGGGATGAGTGATTCATCTTCCTTTTCAATAAATTTTAAAATGATATTTTTCAAGTATTCCATACTAGATCCTTCACGTTTTGTCATTCTTTCCAAATTTCTAATCTCTTCTTTTAATAACCTTTCTTGTTCCAAATGTTTCTTTTCCATCTTTTCTCCTTCATTTAATAAATATTTATAATCATTAATTTGTGTTGTTAATTTTCTTAATTCTTCATCTCTATTTGCTTGACTCTAAAAGAATAAAAAAAATTAAAAATTAATATCAAAAGTTAAAACTTTAAACTGTTTTATCTATTTTTCTATATATATTTACTCTTGCATAATGATCAAGGATTTTTTCAACTTCTAAAGGAATTGAATCTTTTGGAAATTCAATCGTACGAGAGGTTGATTCTTTTGAAATTGGTAATAAATGTTCAATACTAAATGGAACAGGTGTTTCATTTTCCTTTTGATCATTTTCTTTTTCATTTTCATTTTCCTTTTCGATTTGATTTTCTTCTTGTTCTTCCTGTTGTTCAGTTTTAACTTCAATATTCATTTGATCTTGTAAATTTTTAATTGTTTCTCTTTGTTGTACAATTAATCTTTCCTTTTCTCTCATTATTGAATTATTATTTCTTTTAAAAAAGTTTAATTGTGATTGTAACTCTATAATTTTTTCTTCTTTTAATTTTAATTCTAAAAAAAATAAAAGGATTATGTTAACATAAATAAAATAAATAAATAATAATTTTTTTTTTTACCATTTTGATAATTTGGATTAATTTGATCTTCTTGTTCTTCTTTTTCTTGTTCTATTTCATTTTGAATCATTTTTTTTAATTTCTCTTTACTATTTTTTTCATCAAGTTGATCTTTTAGAGATTTAATTGTATTTTCATATTTTGCATTTTCAGAATGTAAAATATCCAATTGTTCTTGAATGGAATGAATGGTTTGATCACTTTTGTTTTGATTTTGTTTACGAGTATCAATTTCCAAAGATAATTTTTCCAATTTTTCTTTATAATCTTTAATTTCCTGTTCCAATTGACCAATCGTTTCTTCATGTTCTTCTTGTTCTAGTCTATTACTTTCTTTGTTTTTTGTTTCCTCTTCTTGTTGTTCTTGTTGTCTAAGAGCATGAGCAGCTTTAATTTTATATTGATTAAAATCTTCTTGAAGAGATTTCATTGAAATACCAGTAGATGATAATTGATCCTCCAGCAATCTTATTCTTTGGAGATAATAATCTATATTTCTCTTCATTTCATGATACTCTGTTTCCATTGATTCATTATCATCTCTACTTGATTCTAATGATTTAATTGTTTGATTTAATATTATTATTTCATTCTAAATAAATAAATAAATAAAATAGGATTAGAGATGTATTACAAACAATGATTTGGTGTGATTATTTCTTTCTTACAGATTTATCAATAATTTGTTTTTTTTGTTCAGATACATGTTTTTGAGCACCTAATAATAGATTCTTTAATTTGTTTACTTTATCATTTAATGTTACAATTTCATCACCATCTTGATTTTTGTTGTTATTTTGGTTGTTTTGATCAATTATTTGAGATTGTAAAGTATTAATTGTATTTTGATCTCTAATTGATTCTTCTTGTTTTGTTTTGATTTCATTTCGAAGTTCTATCATTTCTTGATTATGATCTGCCAATAATTCCTCTATTTCCTTTTTTTGTTTAGATAAAAATTCGATAGTATTATCCTTTTCTTCCAAATAAGTTTTATATCTTTCTTGAAATTGTTTACCCATCTCTTCCAATTGATTTGATAATTCTTTTTCTTTTTCCATTATCAAATCAATATTATCAATATTATTATTAATATTATTATTAATATTATTATTATTATCTTGATCATCATTTTCTTGTTCAATTTCCTTTTTAAATTCATTTTCATATTTTTCCAAATCTTTATCATTATCATTTAATTGTTGTTGTTGTTGATTCTTTTCTTTTTCTTTTTCTTTTTCATTTTCTTTTTCTTTTTCTTGAATTAATTGAATATTTAAATTATCAATGATCAATTTAGATTGTTCCAAAGATTGTTTAAATTGATCAACTTGTAGTTGAAGTCGTTTTCGTTCTTCTTGAAAGATTTGTTTCTCTTCTTGAAATGTTTCCATCAATGATTCTTCAATGTGATTCCTCATTGTTTGTTGTTTTTTCCTCGTCGTTTCCAATTCATCTTCCAACGACTTTATCATTGATTGTGACATTTGTTTGTGATAGTTTGATTCCTCCTCCAATTGACTCGATCTAGTTGTAATCTCTACATTTTCCTTTTTAACTTTTTGATAGACAGTCTCTACCTTTTTAATATGCAATGCTTGTTTCTTTATAAATTCTACCAACTCTTCTCTTGTTGCCTTGTCGATTGATACTCCTGCTGCTGATGATGATGATGACGATGATCCATCACCTCCTGAAGTTGATTTAACAGGTGATGATAAATTTGACATCTTTTAAACAAGCAACTATATATAAATAATATAGAAAAGAGATACCCGAATAATAATAATAATAATAATTCTAATGATTCATCACAAATTTAGTTCATAATTTAATTTAATTTTTTTAATTTTTTAAAAATTTTCAAAGGAACAGATATTCAAAAAAGTGAAGTCAAAGATCATGTTATAACTAATCGGATATACTTAACAATTCTTCTTATTTATATTTGTTTAATTAATTATTTAATGTCTCAACAATTTGAAGAAGTTATATCGATTTTAGGGTGTGGTAATATAGGTCTATCGATTGCACAAGGTCTAGTCAATTCAAAAGACTTTGATGCTAAAAAGATCATTCTCACCAAGAGGTCGGTATCTACACTTGCCAACTTTGCTAACTTTGGCTACCAGGTGACTCGCGATAACCTAGAGGCCGTCAGAAAGTCGAGTATTATCATTGTGTGCGTGACACCTGCACAACTCGACCAGTTGCTCGACGGCATTGCAGCGGCCATCCACTCGGACCACATTGTGATCAGTGTCGTGTCGGGTGCCAGCATCGCCGACATTCAATCGCGACTCGGGCAAAACGTGTCTGTGGTACGTGCCATGCCCAACACTGCCATTCAATTCTGTCAGTCTATGACTTGTCTGGCTGCACGTAGCAACACGTCTCCCATTGGAACCGACGAACAAGAGGCCAAGACAAACCGCGCACTTCAAGTCACCGACCACATCTTTTCGCACTTGGGGTCATGTGTCACATTGGTCGAGGAACAAATCGTTCCTGCCACTGCACTCTGTGCTTGTGGAGTTGCCTTTTTCTGTCGTGCAATCCGTGCCGCCGCACAAGGTGGTATTGAAATCGGGTTCCACGCCGAAGACGCCATTCGCATTGCCGCACAGACTGCCAAGGGTGCCGCCACCCTTCTACTCGACGGTGGTCACCACCCAGAGTTTGAGATTGACAAGGTAACCACTCCACAGGGTTGCACTATTGCCGGTTTGAACCAAATGGAGCATAGCGGATTCTCGAGTGCCATGATCAAGGGTATTGTCACCTCTGCTGAAAAGGCCGCTTCCTTGTACAACTCTAAAAAATCTAAAAATACTTCTACCGCTCCACGTATGGCTCCACCTCCACCAGTCGTCGAAGCTACCGTCCAAGAACCAAACGCCCATTCTACTCTATCATCCTCATCGGCACCATACCATCCAGCCAGTAGTGAAAAGAAATCATATAATGAAAAGAAATCATCATACAAAGGATCAGGAGGTGAAGAACAATCACCATCATCTTATAGTAATTATAAAAATGATGATCAACAACATTATAATAATGACAAAAATAATAATGGTAATGGTAATAATAATGGTAATAGTTATCATGGTGGTTATAGTAATGGAAATAATGATCGTGGTGGATTCCCAAAAAGAGGTGGTAGAGGTGGAAGAGGAGGAGGTAAGCCATTTAGAGGAGATGGTAAACCATTCAATGAAGATTTCCATCGTGAACGTTTTGGAAATGATCGTCATCAACAAGGAGATCAACAAGGAAGAGAAGGAGGTGAAGAACCATTTTTCCAAAAACGTAGAGCTTTTAAAAAAGAAGCAAAATATCAAGCAAAAACAAATCAAACTACCTCCTCCTCCACAACAAATCAAACAACCACCACCTCACAACCACCAATAACAACAAATAATAATAATCAAGAACAATCAACTGCCTAAAATAATAAATGTTATAAAAAGTTGTGTAGAAATATTTCTTAATTTGGAAAAAAATTATTATTTATTTGTTTATTATTTCTGCCTATGTATTATTATTTTATATAAACTTGTATTAATATTATATATATCTTTTATATTAATTATTATTATATTATCTTTTTCTTTTTTTTGTTTCTTTTTTTAACTATGAACAGCTCTCGTTAAATTTGAATATACAACATTATCATTTATATGTACATTTGAAGTTGATTTGGTTGGTGAATTTGAAGGTGACAAGGTGACTGGTGTCCAAATAGATTGTTGTAAACTTTTGGAAAGTTGATCCAATTGATCAAAAATGCCCTGTTCGACGTCGTTTGATTCGATTTGTTTGCGACTGGGAAGTGGTAATAACTCTTGTTGTTCGGTAGTATTTCCTCTGAGAGGAGAGTTACAATGTGGTTTGGGCTTATTGATTTGTCCAGCATTGATTTGATTCAAAGTGTTGGAGATTGTGGGTGGTGGTGGTGGCGATCTTAAAATACTGTTACTAGAGGTACTATTGCTACTGCTAATACTATTGGGTGGCGGTGGTGAAAAGGCTGATATCGGGGAAAGTCCTCTGGTTGGAGACTGTGAAAGGAGGTGGACACTACCGCCGCCGCCGCCAGAGGCGTGATCATCAAAACCAATATTGATGTGCTTGATGATATAACCCATCTTTTGCGGTCGGTGGTAGGTAGGGTGTTTTTGCGTGGCAGAGAAAGAGGATGAGGATGACGAACGCGAGAGTGACGAGAGCGACGACAACTCATCCAAGCTGTCGTCTTCGGTTTCGTCGTCAGAGTCGAGATCGCTCTCGAGGTCGTCGTTGGGGTTATTGGCACCTCGCGTACGCGGCGAGGGCAACGGAGAGGGTGCAGGTGATGGCGCCAACACTCGAAGAGGGGGGAGTGCCGACGGAAGCAGCAGTTTTCGGTTGAGCAGACTCTTGAGACGCTCGGTAATCTCTTTGAATGTTGGACGTAGTGAAGGCTCAAATTCGACACAGTCGAGTGCCAGCTTGAGCAGTGGTGCCGGACAATCCTTGGGTACCTTTGGTAACAACACATCCACATCCAATCCATACTTTAAAGATATCGGTCTCAATTGTGCCGATGTCTCTAATCTTGTTATAATCTCTGACAATACAATTCCAAATGAAAATACATCACATTTATTATCATATGGTTGTCCTAATATTACTTCTGGTGACCTAAAAATAAATAAGAATAAATAAATCTAGATTCTTTCTATTTCTATTTCTTTTTTTTTACATACATCCAATTATTTGTACCACAAATAGTTAATCTATGATTACCACGAATACTACGTTGAGCAGAATTGGTTGATCTAGCAAAACCCATGTCACAAACTTTGATTTTCCAACATTCGCCAACCAAAAGGTTGGAACTCTTTAAATCACGATGAATGACATTACGAGAATGTAAATAAGTCATGGCACATGCAACATCGTATGCAATCTTTACTCGAAGTGGCCAACTCATTTCAATCAATTTTTCGCTTGTAATGTCTGGTTCTGGTATACTACTACTTCCAATATTAACCTTTTTATGAATAAATGATGAAACTGGATCATCATATTTTGTTTTAAATAAATAATATGCTAAATCTCCCCCTAAATAGAAAAAGTATGTAAATAAAATAAAGATCTAATTTGTTTTTATACTCTTTTGACATACCTGAAACAAATTCATTTACTATATATACATTTTGACCCCTTTCAGCTACACCAATTGGAGTTAATAAATTGGGATGAGAAAATCGTAACATGGCAACCTCTCTCTTTATAAACTTTAAAAGGTCCTTGAATTTATCACTATTTGGCGACAATGCAATCTCTTTAATCCCAACGGGTGTTCCAAAATATTCCCCTTTGAATATTTTTCCATATGCACCCTTTCCAATCTCTTCACCAAATTCCAAATCATCAAAATTTATCCTAAATGCATCATTTCCATCTGGTATACCATCAAGTGATGTATCTAAAAAAATAAAATTAAAATTAAAAATAAAAATGTAAATATAAACATTGAATCAAAATGTTTGTTACTTTACAACTTACCTCCACTATTACTATTAATATTTAGTATATGAGTATCTACTGGTTCCATTGTTTCTATATATATATATTTCTCTTTTTGTTTTACTATCTAGGTGGAAATAAAATTTGGGAAATTTGATTATATTAATATTAAATATTACGATAATCAAATATATTTGATGATAATGATGGAAATGGTAATAATCATAAAATCATCTAGATATTGTTTGTTGTTATTTGTACTACTGTTAACTGTTGTTATCGGGTATTATTATTATGTATCACAAAAAAAAAATAACAAAGGAGAATTAAAATTGTAGTTGGTACAAACAAACAACAATAACAACAACAACAATTAATAATTTATGTAAACTAATAAATTATTCAAGTATTTTATAACTTTTTTAAAAATTACCAACAACATTGACAATCACAGCAAATTATAATTGTGACGGATTGATTGATAGAATGATGATATGACCCTAGCTAGTAGGGGTCTATATATCATGTGATGATAGGTGTAGCGCGCTACAGTAGTGCAAGTAGATGATGATTTTTTTTTTGTTTTGGTGTTGTTGTTGTTGGTGGTAGTTGTTAGGGATAAAAGATGGAGTTGTTCTGGTATTCTTTGGATGTCAGAATCCATCCATCCAATCCATTCATCCATATTTCATTCATTCACTCATGAATTAATATTTGCGTGATACGATATGTTTTCATCCAACAAAAATAAACACACCCCCCCCCTCCCAACAATAACAACAACGTTCTTGGTGAGGTGATGGTGGTTATGAAAAAAATTGGGGGTGGTAATTATTATTATTACTGTCTGCATATATTATATATATGTATAAATATCTATATCATTCTAATTATCTGTTTATATATATCCATTAACAACTACCCCTACTCTTCTACATGTCGTTCTATAATAAAAAGATCTACAAGCTAATCAATCGGATCACATCACCATCCATCCATCCATCCATCCACCCTACACTATTACTACTACTACTGTTATTACTATTTCTAACCTTAACCCTAACCCTAATTAACCCCCTATCTTCCTCCTCCACGATGCTAACTTGTTATACATCTTGTATTGGTGGTCAGTTGAACAAATAGTAGTTGTAGCAGTAGTAGTAGTAGTAGTTGTACAACTACTATTGGATTGAATGAATATTTTGAGAGAGTCTTTTCTCCTCTCTTGCTATCTTTTGTAAGAGACTTTTGATCCGCTGATATTCTGATTCTCTTTTTTGCTTGCATACGAAATAAACTAACTTCCAATCCAATCGAATCCAAATTATTATCATCATGATTTGTGGTAGTGGAGATGGGATAATAAATCGACAGATTGGACGATTTACCTCGATATTATTATACGTTATTCCTTAATTTCTTTAGTTGCTATCTTGTTATTTGAAGAATTTGTGAAGAAATAATGATCATTGATCGATCAAATTTGATGCTGATGCTGTTGTTGTTGTTGTTGTTAAGATGATTAGAAAGGTAGAGTTCATCCCCATCAAATTTGATTGATGTTGATGGTTGCTCAATGTGTTTGTTTTAAAACACACTATAGTAGAACCCGCCAGTTGAACTGGTATGTTTCCATTTCCCTCCCTCCCATCCTGCTACTCACCACCACTTATAAGTGGTTTGTGTGTGTGAATTGAGTTGGTATATATGTGTGTGAGGTGTGTGGAATTTTGTTGTACCAGATCCAGCAATTGATGATCGATCAAAACCCTCCCCTCCTTGATTTGTGTGTTGTTGTGTGTGTGCTACTGCTGACAAACTATATGGTTTGATCGCCAGAGTCATCATTCTACCTAATTAATCTAGAATAGAATACGATTCGATTCGATGCGCGATGCGAGATTATTCAAGGTAAAGGTGGTAAACCAGTTGTAGGTGGCCTAGGTGTTGTTGTTTTTTTAAACAATCAATATACAATGTTTGTTGTTGTTGTTTATACCTTTTTGTTATTGTTGTTACTGTTTTCGTTGTTGTTACCAAGCATACTCTTTTTGTTGTTTCTACTACTAGTTTGAATGTTCGTTGTTGTCTAAAATTACAAGAATAAATAAAGTGTAAATATAAAAATACAATAGATATAACAAACAATTTGTTTTGTATGGTTGGTATGTGAGTTGTTGTTGTTGTTGTTTGTTTTAAATCTATATCTACTACTACTAATAACCTGAACTTAATGTTTCTTTCGGTTATCCAATCCAATAAATGTAGTAGATAGGATATAGGATATGTATGGGATAGGGGATAGGGTGACTATATGGGGGGGTACACAATTCAATGTTATTGTTGGATTAATTATCAAAACATCCTATAAACGAATTGTTTAATTGGATAATATGCGTATATATATATATATAACTCCAAAATAGCATTGTCTGTATGTGTTTGTTATTGTCGTTGGAATGATTCAACCCAAAAATAGAAGAAGAGGAAAAGAAGAAAAATAATGATAGATCAAGAAGAAGAAGATAACCATCCATCCTTGTGTTTTGTGTTGAACATCATATACATATAATTATGGATCCATCCCCACTCCATTGGAAATGGATTAATTTGTGGTGTGTGTGTGTATATATATATTTATACACACTGTTGTGTTGTGATTGTATACAATGGAATAATGTGGGTTGGTTGTTGTATGTGTTTGTTGAGGAGGATAGGATAGGATAGTAGGGTTGGGATCATGTCCTTATATTATTCTTTTAATTCTAATTTGATTGTTGTTATTACCTTCAATTTCAAACTAAACTAAACTAACTGACTGATTGAGTGAGTGTTCTTCTTCTTCTTTTAAACTGCTTTGCTCTCTCTCTCTCTCTCTCTTTGTAAGGGTGCTAAACTATTATACTATTCTTCTTGTTCTTTTTTCATTCATTTGATTTGCTCATGTGATTGATGATTATCTTTACAATAAATATATTTGTTTGTTGTTGTTATTTGATAAGACCTATTATATATCTCTCTCTATTGAGTGTGCTTGTTGTACTTTTTTTGTGAAAATAGTATCTTGGTCTTGAGTATCTGATGATGGGTAGTGTAGATTAATCAAAAGGTAAAACTTTGCTCTTTTGTCCTTCTTCTCTCGTTCATCAGGGGGGGATTTTCGATAATTTTATATATTTTATTTTAATTTAATTTTATTTTTTTGACTACACCCACAACCAGAGTAAGCTTTTATTCGAACGGCTCGATCAAAAACGCGCAACACTCGGGTCTCGAGATACGCATCTCTCTCAACTACTTATTATGTTATTTAACAAAATGATTTGGTTGGTTGGATTGGATTGGATTGGATTTGGTTGGATTTAAATTGATTTATGATGTAATTTGGCAGTATGTTGATAGATTGTACCACGGGCATTACCAAATACAAGATATCCTTGATGATCAAATGAACATTTAGTGAGTTGGCCAACCTTTGGTACCTTGACCATCGACACAACGTTGAGTGATGGGTGTTGGATGACTCTGACAATCTCCTTTTGTAGCTCAGACACTGCACATAGATATTTAGAGGTTGGATCATATGCCAAATCTGTGATTGGATAGATAATCGAAGAAATTGATTTCAATGGTGTTGGTGTTTCACTTGTCATACTTGATTTTATATCATAAATATTAACAATTCCACTTTCAGATCTAAAATGTTAAATAATTAATTAATATATATATACTTGGTTGGATTTAATATTTTGTTTTTTTGATATGAAGATAGTTTACCCAGTAGCTAAATAATTTCCATTTGGTGAACAACAAATAGAAGTAATTGATTGAGTGCTAACATTACCAAGATCCTTGAAACGATGAGAGATACGCATAGTCTTGATATTAAAACATGAAACACTACCTTCACTGGCAACGTAGAGGGTGTTTCCATCGGGTGAGAATTTAATGGCAGATACATTACCCTTTGACAATTGAATATTATTGACTACGGTATTGGATGTATTTGAAATTAAAGAAATCTTTCCAAGTGAATCTTCAATTGCATAATAATTAAATGATACTGCAACTGATTTTAATGTATTTTTACCAACTAAAAATAAGGAAAGAAAATAAACAATGGTTAATAAAACATATATATATTTTCTAAATGATTATAGTTATATTTTCTTTTCTGTTTTTTTCTTACTTCTCAAATTAATTTGTTTTAAATCTTTAGTTTCTGGATTAAATAAATAATAATGACCATAAGTTCCAACGATGAGAATGTTATTGGTATTTGGAATAAAAGATACAAAGTTTGCTTTGAATCCTTGTGGATAGGTGAATGAACAAATGGCTCTCTTTAAAGTACCTTGTCTATAAATATGCAGATTGGTTTGTGATGCTACACAGGTAATATTGAATTCATTATTATTGTCGATAGCAATCACCTTTTTACTCTCATGGAAAACTTTAAATGTTTTGACTGCCAACACTGAATAATCGATATTTGCCTTATCAGTGATAAGTTTGGTAACATTTTGGAATACCTTTTCTTCAACTGCATCATGATTATAATCTTCCAAATCCTCTTCATCTTCTTCTTCTCCATCAACTACTGGTTTTGATTTCTTTGCCCATTTTGGCATTTTACTTTAATTGAGAAACAACAACAATATTAATACTTTACTTTTTATATAGTTTGAATATTACAATACATACGATAATGCCTTTTTTTGTAAAACAGTATTTTCATCATCATCATCCATCCAAGCAGCAGCGCTTGCTTTCTTGGTATTGTTTGATGATTCATTATTTTCTTCTTCTTCTCCTTCATTCTTTACATTGTCTTTTTTGTTGTTGTTGTTGTTGTTGATGACTTGTGAACTAGTTTGATTATTAATCTTTACTTTTTTCTTTGTTGGTTGTAATGCATTTTTCATTTCATCGTCTTCATCACTATCACTTTCACTATCTTGTTCCTCTTCATCTTCTTCAATACTATCCTCTTCTTCGTCTTCATCTTCATCTTGTTCAATACTATTTTCTTCTTCTTCTTCTTCTTCAAAGCTGCTACTTTGTTCTTCTTCTTCCTCTTGTTGTTTTTTAGCAAGTATCTTTGCCTTTGACTCTTCTACTACTGCAGCAGTTGCCTTTACATTCTTTCCATTTAAAGGTCTTTTCTTTTGTATGTTGTTCATCTTTACTCCTCGTTACGGTTTGATGTTTTGATACAAATTAGAGATACATGATACTCCTCATAACAATCACTCAATCAGACGACTCGTCTTTAGAAAAAAAAAAAAAAAAGAAAATAAAAAAAACGACAAAGTATACTTTTCGGAAGGTGACAAGGACTAGACTTGTCCATACTTTTATTATTATTACAAAATATTAAATTTACTAAAGCATCTTTTACATGATTTGAATAAACCTTTCTAATGAATAAATTATCTTTTGGTATGTTATCGATATCTTCCAATTCAACTGCATATCTTGAATGAGGGTTGCCTTGTGGGTTCTTGGTCCACAGAGTTGTACGGTGTAGGTCGGCTGTGAATTTATGGTTGGGTGAAAGATGTTTAATCGATTGGAAGTAGATTTCATCGGGTATAAAACTAAACTTGAGTGATAGTGTTCTCTCGATGCCAATGATATCGGATATCATAAAATGTGATAGTTGGTAGGTCAACATATGCCATTGTGTACCTTCACCTATATCCTTTCTATTAAAGAAAGAGTCTAATCCATCTACCCCACAATCATATATTTCAAATACATCGGTTTCATCATTAATCCAATGTACTGTCTTTGAATTCATATATGCATGCTAAAACAATAAATAAATAAATAATAAATAATATTAATATTAAATGTTTAATTATTGTATGTTTGTTTGTTTGTTTGTTTTTACTTACAATATATCTATAATATTGATGATAAGGTTTCTCTTCTAAATAATTCATATTTTGGTTTGAACATAACATTAATTCAAGTTGAGATAGAGGTGCTGTTGGGAAATCATTTAAACTTAGATTAATGACATGTGACCATTGGTGTTGGTCTCCTCCTCCTCCTCCTAATTTCTTTCTTTCGTTGACCATATCAAACAATGATGTATAAGAAATTAATTCCATATAGACTAATGAAATATCTCCCCATTTACCTTTAATTCTATTCTCCAATACTTTGATATTATTAGTTGCAGAATTGTCATTATAATTACCAACAAAATCTTTAATCTTTTCATAATCTTTATCTGATACTGATTTATCAACTAAAAAAAAAAAAGATATATTTCATCATTGTTAATTTAGATTTGTTTGTTTGTTTGTTTTGATTTAATTTGGTTTACATACCATGAATAATATAATAATGTTTAGTTGAATATAAAACCTTTAATAAATAATCGAGTGAATCCAAATCTGGAGAATGAACAAAAATGGTGAATGCCAAAGGAAGTCTTTGATCAGCTGATGATGAACAATCAAATGGATAAAGATGATGTTGAGAATGTAATGGTTGTTGATTGGTTGGACCACCAGTATTAGTTATTTGGTTTTGATATTTTGGATGAACGATTCCATTCTTGTTTGTCGATAAAATGGAATTAAAGAATGTCAAATCATTTGAATCCCAGGGTCCATACAAATCCATCAAGAAATGAATCTTTTCAGACAGAGATAGATTCATGTCATTTGATACCTTTAAATCTGACATTCCAATGAGTTGTCTTTTCTTTGACCAACAACAATATTGCGATACGTCACCACCATTTTGTATATTGTAAGCTTGTGTACAATTGGATAGAGATTCATCTACATGTTCACAATTATTACCAGAGTATGTGTATGGGCATGTACATTGTTCTTGAAATTGTGTTTTAATTCCACCATTTTGACATGCTGTTACAACTGCACCATTATTATTATTATTATTGTGATTTTTTGATAGTACTCCTATTATACTACTACTACTAATAATAGCAATCGATACCAATACCAAAGAGACCAAGCTATTTTTGAATACCATTATTTAGTGAAGCTAATTACAATTTGTAATCCAAGGTATAGTTTGTTTGTAATTAACCAATCTTTAGTTTTAATTATTATCGATACTACAACAACAACGACGATTTACAATTTGTAATGTTATTTACAATGAATGATTATACTTTTGACAATGACGGTCATAGGGTATGAAACAAGTCTGTCTGGAATGATGTTACCATAAAAGTTTTCGAATCTTCTTGTGTGTGTGTGCCCACTATCTAAATACCCCTCTCGAAGATTTTGTGAAACCATCTTTCTGTTTGTTGGTATCTATCTAACCCCACCCACTGACTGGAGTGGTATACATTCTTATCTATTCTTCCTATCTATCTATCTATCTTCTATCTAGAAAAACTTTCTAGTACGCTAGTTAGGTAGATAGATATAATTATATCTATTATTCTGTATATCTCTAATAATTCACTTATTTGTTGTTTGAGGATTTTTTTAAAATGAAAAGCCCAAAGTGGGTGATTGGTTTAAATTATCTTTATTAGCTCATGAGTGTCAAAGATAACAATAACAATAATAATAATAATAATGTGTTATCTACAATAATAGATATTAGTTTAAAATGTAGAAATAGATTGATTGGAATAACAGATGAAAAGAATGAACAAACTACTACTATGATTCTAGAGAACATTAAAGATGACCAACAATTCAATATCATTGCAATACTAGAGTTATTAAATCAAGAGTTATTACCAACACTCGAGCATCAAACTAATACTACTACTACTACTAGTACTATTAAGCTAGACAGTAGAATCGATAAACTGTATAGAGATGCATGCATTCATCTACAAAGGTTGATGTGGGATTACCTACACATTGGAAATTGGAAGGACGTCCCAATCATGTATCGTGATCTCTATAGTTATTCATCAATCATATTAACTTTAATTGATGTATATAATAATAATCAAAATAATAATAATCAAAATAATAATAATCAATATAATAATAATATTGATAATCAAAAAAAGGAGATTGTTAAATCATTAGACTATGCTCTACTAGTTGGTGGTAGATTATTTCATCAATATATTATTGATTTGATTGATTTAATATCTTCATCCTCTTCATTGTCCTCATCATCATCTTCAAATAATATTAATATTAATAATAATAATATAGATAATAATAATAATGGCGTTGAATTTAAATTGGAAAAAGAAATGGTAAAAGAAAAGATGGTAGAGAGAATTAGATTACCATCATTACAATCATTTAAAAAGGATTTTATGGAGTTGGATAGACCGGTGGTTATAACAGATGCAATGACTGCTTGGCCAGCATGTACGACACGACATTGGAGTGATTTGGATTACCTTAAAAAGGTGGCTGGATTTAGAACGGTTCCTATTGAAATTGGAAGAACCTATTTGGATCAAGATTGGTCTCAAAAATTAATTACACTTGATCAATTCATCAATCAATATATATTAAATCAAAATAGTGATAATAATAGTAAAAGTATTGGATATTTAGCACAAACACAATTATTTGATCAAATACCAATACTTCAAAATGATATTATTATACCAGATTATTGTACACTTTCAACAAATAATAATAATAATACAAATAATAATAGTAATAATGTTAATAATAATAATAATATAGAGGAACAAATATTTATGGTAAATGCCTGGTTTGGACCAAAGTATACAACAACACCATTACATTATGACCCATACCATAATTTACTTTGTCAGGTGGTTGGTAGAAAGTTTATTAGATTGTATGGCCATGATCAATCTGATAAATTGTATGCACACGATCCTGTCAGCGGACAGGAATCATCAATGCTTAAAAATACTAGTCGCGTCGATATTGAATCACCCGATTTCGATAAATATCCCCTTTTCAAACAAGCATCAACCTACCTAGACATTATATTAGAAGAAGGTGAAATGTTGTATATTCCTCCAAGATGTTGGCATTTTGTTAAATCATTGTCTACTTCATTCTCTGTTAGTTTCTGGTGGAATTGAAATAAACTCCAAGAAGAAAAGTGTATCCCTAGTAGCAAGTACAATAATATATTTATATATATATATATATATATTATCAAAAGATTTATAAATCTTTAATTCTAATACCTATTATTTCTTTTTTTTTAATCTTCAAAAGATAAAAATAGAATATTGCTTAGAACTCAAAAAAAAAAATGCTTATCATCATATAGTAGTAAATATTTATTTATTTAGAGTTTATTTATTTTCAAAACTTAAAAGATGAATATTCTTGATTCTAAAAGAAAAGATAATCTTTTTAAAAGTTTATTACAATCTATTTACTTAAGAAAAAAGATATTCAAACATGTTGAAGAGATTCATCGCTTACTACTTGGACAAGATGGATACTTAAAATCACAATATGCTCGCAAATCACATCAAATGATTACATTAAAGGAATTTATCATAATGAATCGATTGGATTTATTTATTAAACATTTTGATACTGTTTATCCATTAATGATGGATCCATTAATGTTAAATGATAAAGATAAAGATATTCGTTTTAGTTTCGAGGTAAATAAATTTAGAAAAAAAATTGATTACTTTATTATATTTTCAATCTTACTAAAGTTTCTTTTCTTTTTTTAATATAGAACAAAAGATTTAATTTTTTAATTAATACTATTTTTGAATATGATAATTCAACAATATTTGATTATTTATTGAAAAAATTTGGAAGAATCAATCATTCTACTCTTGAATCTTTTTTATCAAAAAGAATTCGTCATTTACCGAGAATCTCAAGAGTTTTAATAAGAGATGGATATCATTTGGTTCACAAGAATCTGGAAGATTTAAGAAACCCTCCAACCTTGATTGGATCAATCATTGATAGTGCAATCATAAATGGTGACTTTTTAATGATCGATCAATTATGCAATGATTGTATTGACTCGAAAAAAGGTAGTAGTAGTACCAACAACCATCCTTTGAAAAAAGTCGTCAACCAAATTAATTTGATCAAAAAACTAGACAAAGAAACAAAAAAAGACAGTCTTTCAAAATATCAAGTAATATTTGATATTGCCAAAAGATTACTAGAATGTGGTGTAGATATTAGAGTTGGTATTTTTTCTAGTGTTATGGATCATGATTGGGAAAATGAAAAACTTGGTAACCAAGAAATTTTAAAATGGATAAAAGATAGTTTCAATGACAAAAAAGAGTTTGAAGATTTGCTGGATAGTCAATTTTCAGATATTGAACTCTTTGCTTCAACAAAGACTCTAGAGCTGATTGAATTCCAAATGCCACCACGCATACTCAACGTCACTCACCATTTGGCGACATTGGCCGCCCAATATGGAAATCTAGATTTTCTTTCATATGTCTCCCATCGTCTCAAAGATTACAATTATCTTTTCAAAAATCCTCAACTTGAAATGCATTGACTAGTGGCCATTTGCAATGTGTCATCTTGTTGAGTGACATTTTACTTGGCGTCGATAAATGTTGGTTGCAAACCATCACAAAAGAGATAGATCCATCGATCATGTCATTGGATCTAGTCAAAAGATTATTTGAGAATCCAAATATTACTTTTGACCTTCATTTCATCGTTTTGTTGGCAATTGAATCAAATCAACCAGAAATATTAGAACTCGTTTTAGGCAAATTCAAATTAAAAAACCTAGTCAATTCCACCCACATAAAAAGAGCACTAATGGTCAGCAACCCAGGAATTATTCGTTTAATGTTGGACTATTACCCTATTCGTTGGGATGGATGGATTCCCCCTATTTCTAGATTCAGTTTCATTTACTACGAACCACTTTTGGCTTTCTATTCAAATGGTCATTCCATCATTTTTGATTCAATGTCCATTTTTTCAACTTATTTGACAAACCCTGAAAAAGAAAAAATAGTACCAATGTCAATAGATGTCGTTAGATTGATGATCAACCATAATACAAAAGTGGAACCTTGGATGATATTGTCATGTGGAATTGGATTACAGAAACCGATAAATGAATCAGACCTATCATTCATTTCAACAACCGCAGTTCCATTAGTCAAAGGTCTTGGTGGTTATGAACGTTCATTTACCTATTATGTAATTGAAGAGGTTTTAATCAATGCAACCAAGAATGGAGATATGAAATTGCTTAAATGTCTATCAAATTATATTTGGAGTTTTGAAGCAAGAATATTCCAAACTGCAGTAAGAGAAAAACAATTTAAAATTGCTTATTATTTTGGTCAACTATTCTCTAATGTGTACCCTCATTCAATCAACAGATATTGTATTCAATTTATCTTGGTCTCATTTTATGATATTGAAAATGATGATGATTTTGATTTACTCTGGAATCTTTTCAAACCTCTTACAACCAACTCGAAAATGGTCACTGAAATGCTTGTTTCCTCTACAAATTATGTTTTACAAAACCTACATCATATCTCCAATACAATTGATAGAATCATTCAATGTTATACTAGATTTTACAATGGTCCAGAAAAGGAGCAATACCAAATGGAACCACTACGATTGGATATATCTACATATTGGGAAACATATAACCTCTACTATCTATTCTCGAAATATAGAAATAATCCTATCATCCATTTAGATCACTTCCAATTTGAATACTATTTTAATGGTATGACCGATTGTGGTTTAATTCCTTATGAATAATAATCATCGATCATCAATCACAATTATAAATAAATAAATAAATAATTTGCTCCCAAGATTCTAAATTGAAGGTGTTGATCTTTGACGTCATTACATGTTCATTCTCTCGCTCTCTCTTTCTTTGCCTACTCCTCTTTTTTTGAAAAGTCAACACACTCTATGTATTCTATTCCTTTATAGAGGGGGCCAAAGATTGAACTACTACTTGCTTGTTTATCTGAACTGCTGCTATACCTTCTTTTTGCCATCTCTTTTGAAAAATATCTTGAATGTTTGGACTTGTGATTTCAATACCTTGTCTATACCTATAAATTATTTGTAATATTCCCTTAGGGTCTAGAGATAGATAGACACATCATCAAGAAGGTCGCTGTATACATCACTTGGGGGTAAAAGAAATCAGAGAATGAAGTGTCGACTCGACCTCTTGCAAAACAAATAATTCCCAAATTATATTTTAAATAATATAATTTAATTTGATTTTTTCAACAACAGTGTGATTTAAATAGTATCAATTCTATATTGTTTTACACCACAACTCACTATACTATTCAACTTTTAATTACAAAAGTAAATATATATAGTATTAATCAACAACAACAACATCAAGTTATCACTTCCCCTCAAATCTTTAACAAACAAAGTATATTTATAAAACAATGGTTATCCCAGGAGGTCTTCACAATGTCAAGCCAGCCGATGCTGAAGTAGTCAGTGTTGTCAAACAAGTCAAACCATTACTCGAAGCTAGACTTGGTCAATCATTGGATATTCTTGAACCAATTTCATATTGTACTCAAGTATGTATACAAACAAACTCAAGTCCCATCCATCATTCTTTTAAATTGATTTCCTGAAACTAATCATTCCCTCTTTTTCTTTCTATTTTATTTATTTTTTCTTTTTAGACTGTTGCTGGAACCAACTATTTTGTAAAGGTTAAAATTCCAGAAGGATATGCTCATCTCAGACTCTACAAGGGTTTCGATCAAAAGGTATCTGTTGCTGGAGTTCAAATGAACAAGACTCTTGATGCTCCAATTGATTACTTTGACCAAAACTAATTAAATTTAATTAGTAATAAATATATATTATTCAATAAACATATAAAAATCATCTTAATAATAATAATAGAACAATCTACTGCTACTATGGAGTTTAACTGATTTAGATTAGATTAGATTCTCTAGATTCTTCAAAGATCTTTAAATATTTAAAAATGTTCCAAAAAATAATAATAATAATTAAATTCCAAACTTGTCTAAGACTCAAATCATAGTTTTTAAAAATACTCAGATAATAATGATAGTAATAATAATACTCAATTTATCTATGAACGACCAAGTATTAAAACAACTTGCTACGAACAAGAATTTTCAGAGTTGACAGATTCCCAGAAAACATACTTTATCATACAGATAAACCAATCACCTCTACTCTCATCACTCAACGATGTGGCAAAGATGGGCATTCCAATTAAAACCATCCTTGACATGATCTTTATCCCAATCGAAGATGCAAAAGTTTGGTACAAAGACTCCATTAAAAGAACAAATGATTGGCTTGATGCGTTGGCTCGGTTAGACTATCAAGTTTCGAATAATTAATAATAAACTATATCAATAGATAGATAGATAGATAGAAAATGTGACAAACCAATAGTCATAAAGAAACAATTTCCTTAAAAAAAAGAATTTGGGAAATAGGACAGATCACTAGGGTTTTTTTCATGAGGAATAAATTGTTGATTGTTGGAAGTGATCTTGAGAATAATTTAATATATCTATTTAGATATCACCTGTTGTTTGATACTGAATATAGGTTTATGGGAATTGGGTGTGGAGAAATTAAAATAAAGAGATAGTTTTAAACATTATAAATCTTTTTTCTGATTTCCCATAATTCATGTTTAAATATTATCAAGTGGAATGAATATATCATGATCATGGATGATATCATTCTCAAGATACCCTTCCTACAAATCAAACAAATTATCATAAGACAATCAAACCTAGGGATCTGTTTTATATTTATATAAATATTATGTTTTGTTTGTTTTAAATATAAATATTTATTTATTTATTTATTTATTAATTGATAATATAGGATTGTTAAAAATAGAGTATTGATCTTTTTGAATCCATAAATGAGAGGATTCATTTGAGATAAAGATTACTCGGTCTAGACCAAGAGAACGGTAGACAACCATGAGTAATTTGAGTCTTGAACTTTAGTTCAAACTAGGCGCCCCTAATTTGATACACCATCGGATGGTATGAGTAGAAACCATACCTATCGTATCGATTGACAGACACAGGACCATTGTGATAAATAGTTTGTGTGTGATAGACATGACATTGGGTGTTGTTGTTGTTGTTGTAATTGACGAGAGATTCATCAATTTGGGATTTGGAAAGGGTAGGTTTGTTTTTTACCAATCAACATACATGCATACATGTTATGTTATGTTTGGTAAATAATAAATAGGAGAAGGGGGTAGGAGGTAGTAGTGATAAATGACAAAGGGAAGGAAACAAAAATAAGGTAAGGAATATTAATCCCAATCTTTGAAAATAGCCAAAACACCTCTAAATTTAATCTATAAAAGGGAAAGAGAAAGAGAGTAAGCTTTTGTTGTTTGATATTATTCTTTTTGTTTTTTTTTTTACATACCAATTCAACAGGTGTGTCAGCAATAAAACAATGATTAGAGTTGTGTTGACAAGTTAGATAATCACCAGACGAATATTTAAGACATGATAATGGTGTTTGATGACTAGTCTTGTCGATTGTTGTTGTTGTTGTCGTCGTCGAAAATGACAAACTTGTTTGATTCTTTCCTTTTTTGTAGTTTGACTGTTTGTTGCTGCTGCTGCTGTGAGTCTCGACTTGACAATGATCATCTGACTTTAATAAAGTCTCTGATAAATCATCATCCTGATTGTTGTCACAGTCGCCACCATCATCATCGTCTGATCTCTTTCTCTTTCCAAGGTGAACATCTTGATCACTCTTTTCACCACCTTTGATGACATCATTAATGTCTCCATTGTCATCAGTTTCATCGTCACTGCTACTACAAACTTTTTGGTCTTCGTCGTTGTTACCACTATCATCGTCGCCATCATTGTGATTACTCAATGAACCATCCAATATAAAGTATAAATCATTTGATTGATCGATTCTGATGAGTGTACCAGGTTGAACATGTACCTTTGATGCACATGACAGTATCTGTGATGCTTGTGATATTCTACAATTTCTAAATGGTAGTGCATCTATATTACTAACAATTGTCAATACTTGAATCGATTCCTTTCTATCCATTATATGATTATTAATATCTAATGATGAAGCTGAAGATGAAGAAGATGAAGAACAACTATTATTTTGTGATAAAAGAGTTGTACGTGGCATTTTTATATAATACTATAATGAATAATAATAAATATCTATCTATCTATCTATAACTACTATATATGAATATAAAAAAAAAACAAAAGAGGATAAAACACTTTAACCCAAACTCCACAAAAATATTATTAAAAAAGGTAGTAGAAAAAATCACTGGTGGTTTGTGTGTTAGAGAGAAAGAGAGAAAGAGTTTGAGGGAAACACAAATGAAATGCCTTTACGTGAGGCAGCTGCTCATTGTGCACCTGACCTTGCCTTGTTTCAAACAACAAAAAAAAGAAATAGAAAAATCTTTCAAAAAAATCGGGGATCGAGATTGTCAATGGGAGGGGAGGGGACTACGATGAGGATTGAAGCAAACGTGTGAAATGAGGATAGTCTCGTTGAGGTGGATGGGGTCAAGATATCTTCTCTTGAGAATAAGGAAAACCTTATAGATCTCATTAACAAAGGTTTGTAGGGTTAATATATTAAGACTCCTGGTAGGTACGACGTGTAATTAATTGTGTCTGTTGGCTGACCCTTTCATCTATATATTGATATTCCACCCTTTAACACCACTTATGATGATCACATGATGTTATTAATAGTTGGATTAATTAATTAAATTAAATAAAGAAGTATGTAGTTCTAGTTATAATATATATTATATCTTCTTACTAAAGGGGGTCAATTTACTAAAGGTGTGATTGTGGTTGGTGATGAGGAAGAGAGAGAAAAAATTAAATAAAATATTTTTTTTTACCATCGGGTTTGGTTTGTCGTTAGTGACTCATTCTTCTATTTATGTATAGCTGACGATACACAATTATAATTTACTTTTTAATTTAAAACCCTAGACATCAGCAAAGATTCTCTCTCTATCTCTCTATTTCATAGTTTAGATATAAAAGATTGGTTATATAGTAAGTAAAATGATCACAACAAACACACATATGAATCAACTTGCATCATTAATAACAATACAACGACCAGCAGCTAGCGAAAGAGAAAGAAAAAAGACAATGAAAATTAGATAGCAACAAGAAGAAGGGAAGATGATTAGGTGGGTTATCTATCCATCACAATAGTAGTGATCGATGTGATGTGGTGGGCCACCACTCAAAACCACCCTATCCATTCATCATCATCAAAATAGAGAGCAGCAGAGTGAGAGAATAGTCGCTCACTCACTCATTGTGGTGGGTGTGATGGTTGTTTAAAAGAGAATTCTTGCTCTTGCTCTCTCTCTTTAAAAAAGGTGGACAAGATCAAATTTGACAACTTATAATAGTAATAGGAGTAGTTTATATTCTCCTTAATTAAATTTGTACAAGAGACACTTATATAGCTACACTATAAAACAAAGAGAAAGAGAGAGAGAGAAAAAGTAATAGATTTCGAATTCGAATCATAATCATCTTTCATGCGATTCCCAGGATTAAATGGTGATATTGAATCGATTACACTTCCAATCAATTTAAAATATTACCAAATATATCAACAAAAACTTAAATCTGACTTTGATTTAAAGAATAATAAGAATAATAAGAATAATAAGAATAATAAGAATAATAAGAATAGTAATAGTCATAGTAATAATACAACAATTGATATTAGTGTATCAGAGGAAAAACAAGAAGATCATCATAATAATCATTCAACTCCACAATCACCATCATTATCAACCACTCCAACAACAACAACAACTTCAATTCAACAAGAGGATCAAATTTTAATATTTGATATTAAAAATTATAATAGTGAAACAACAACACCAATCATATTTTGTTGTTATGATAAAATGATATCATTCTCAACATTGGCACAATTTCCACAGAATATTGACTCTGATATCTTTGTTTTAAAGGAATACGATAGATTGAAAATGTTACAAGAACAACAAGGACCTCGTCATACAGAGATCCTTCTCCGCAAGGAAGACAATGTTGGTGGACGTAAAGCACTCAAGGAAAAGTTTGTCGAGATTTATGAAGCTTTCTTTAATGGTGAAGATCCTTCTGAAGGTCAACCATCATTTTGGGAACAATTGTTTCTCATCAAAGTTAATGCTCAATTTTTGGAAAGATGTATCATTTTAACTTCTGAAGATCATCTTTTAGCTTTAAAGGTAAAAAGAAAGAGAGAGAATATGATTATTTGTTTGTTTGATATTGATATTAATATTTCCTTTAATTTTTACTATTATAGCCAAATTTAAACAAAATATTTACACAATGTTGTCATTGGTTAAGAAATCCAAATACAACATCTGGTAGAATTACACATATTCTAGAGACTCTTAGTGTAATGTTGAATAGTATTTTTAGAAAGAAATTTAATAGTTTTGGTTTTGATGTATTAAATATACTTTGCGGAATTGAATCTGCTGATACAATCTTTAAAGAATTAATTGAAGATTTACAAAAACTTTTGGTTAATCCCGATAGTATGTAATAGTAATAGAGGAAGAAGAATATATATTGAAATCATTAATTTACCTTTTTTTTTATCTTTTTTATAGTAAAAATTAGAATTGGAACTATAAATTTATTAAATATTATAGTAACTGCAACAGAATTTATTAATCAAAATACATTATTACAATTCTTTATGGTAGTTAATATATTTGATACACTTGTTGATACAATGATTGATAAGGATTTACCAAAAAGTGCAACCATGGGAGCATTATCTTTGATCATTTATTTGTCAAATTTCCAAAAATATGAAATTACCAATCCCTACAACAAGAGTATTGCTGCTCTCGCAAACGAAGAAAAGATCAGAGGAATCGTTACAGTTTTAACCAAATCACTTCAAGATCAAAACAAATTCTATTATGAGCAATATAGAGAACCAAATCAAACGGTTACATCTAGATTTACTGGTTATCTTAGTAGTTGGATTTATACTCCTGAAACTGTTATTGCTTGGTAAATAGGAAAAAAATATGAAAAAGATATGAAAAAACAAAAAGTACTAAAGACTCTTTATATCTCTTATAATTTAGTGCACCAAGTGATACAGGATCAAGTTTAATGATGTTATATGAATTGATTTATCAAAATGAAACATTTATTAAACTTTTATCAACTGGAGCATTGGCAATATCCTCATGTCCAGAGATTATAAAAGAATTTTTCGTTTATTGTGGTCATTTGGCATCGGACAATTCAATCAAAGAATCAAAGAATCAATTTACAAAGTTGTGTTTAAATATTTTAATTTGTTTATCTGAAAGAAGAGAATTGGAAGATTATTTCCATGATGTTAAAACTACTTCTTATATTTTCATTTATTCAAAGGTATGAAAGAAAGAAAAAACAAAAAAAAGAAAAAGAATTATTAATACATGTTTTTTTTTGATTTTCTCTCAGAAAAATTTATATCCAGATCCCAAAGAATTAGAAAAACATCCAATTACGACCTATGTAATTAATATTTTAAATCAATTTATGAAATGTAATTTGAAAGCAAAGAATGGTGATATTCAACACAAGATTATTAGTTGTATTCAAAGAGTTGTATCTTATAAAAAGAAAACTCAAGCCAGATTACCAATCAAATGGAATGAAACTTGGTTATCTCTATTCTCCTTTATCACTTCAATCATGACATCTGAAAAGAATTTATTATCAGATTTAATTCCAATTGGTATTGAAGTAAGTTTTAAAAAAGAAAGAAGAAACACATTTATTTTGTTGTTTATTAATTTATTTTGTTGTTTATTAATTTATTTAATCTATTTCTTTAGGCAATTAATTTATTTAATTTATTTATAAATTATGGAGATTTATTTTTACCACAACCAAGTGATTATGATGATTTATTCTATGAATTGATTCGTGGTAGCAAGGTGATTGAAGAGTTTTCAAAGTTGGTAGAGGTCGAAGATCCAACTGGCAACATGACCAATTCACTCCTCAATATAAAATCAATCATTGCTCACTTTTCTACACACATTCAAACATGGAACAATGAACATCCAGAGGAGCCATTGACTTCTGACATGGTCATAGCCATCATCAAGGACAATTACGAAACTCTACGATTAAAGCTTGCTGAAAACTTGGACGTTTACGAGAAATATGTAGAAAACTCAAATGAAGCAGTCTTTTATAGACATTATATCCGTTTCTTAATTCTTGATACAAAGAAAAATTTAAATCTTTCTTTATTGGCTATTAGTAAATAAAATGGAAAAATAAATAAATAAATAAATCAATAATTAATTTCTAATCTAATCTATACATCATTATTGAACAAATTTTTTATTTATATACTATATTGGTTTAAATTCCCAAATGGGAGGAGGAGGGTTTTCTTTCTTTTTTTTTTTAGTAGCTGTGTATGTGTTTGGTACGAATTAATTATTTATGTTTGTTTGTTTTGTTTGTTTTAATAAACCTCAGAACATTTGAGTGATTGAATTGCTAACCCTAATAAAATTAAGAATACTAAAAATGTACAGTTCCTAATGAAAGAGAAATAAGAATATTGGTAAATATTTTATCCGCAGGCGTTATTATATCAATATTATTTGGGGGTTTCTTACTTTGCTTCAAAATAGATATGACCATCTCTCAACATTTCAATAAGATCATATGATTGAGTGACATTGAAAATGGATTGAATCTCTTTGCACTTTGGATGAGATTCCACCAACTTGGTCAACAATTCTTGTTGTTGGAAAGAAGATGCAGATGATGATTTGTTGTTGTTGTTGTTGGTGAGGAGATTGATAGGAGCCAAAGAACTAGCCTTTAATAAATTATTAATATGATTTGATTTTAAAAAGGAAGTCAATTCCTTTTCAATAGATAAACTTGGTTCATTTGTAGTGGTGGTGGTGGTGGTTGTAGTTGTAATTGGAGTAGGAGTAATTTTATCAATCGGTGCGCTTGTTGATGATGATGGTGTTTCATTATTATTATTATTATTATTGTTGTTGTTGTTGTTAGTTTCAATGGTTGTCGATTGGGTGGTTGTAGTAGTTGTAGGAGTAGTTTCAATATCGTTATTTTTAATTTCATTAATAACTGGTGAAGGGGAGGAAGGAATATTTTCATTATTATTATTATCATTATTATTATTTACATCGTTGTTTATAGTAGTAGTTGTTGTTGTATTATCCAATAAAATACTATTACTAGTATTGTTATTATCATCTTGATTATTTTGATTATTATTATCTTGTTGATTACTTGGATTATTATATTCATCAATGATACTATCTTTTAAAATAGTACTAGATGAAGAAAAGATGGTAGAGGTGGTCATGATATCAGAAGCGATAAAAGATGAAGAGAGTACACTTTCACCTTTTAAGAATGCATTGGTATTGTTTGAAATTTGGACAACCTTGTGACGGATCTCCTTGAGCGATGGGTCACTCTCGATTGTTCTTCGGATAGTGTCCTCTGAAGTCTCTGTCTTTACGTCTGCGAGCTTCTTGAGGATGCGATTGGTGACAATCTCCATACAGTACGAAAGAAAAGTGTACATGAAGCTGTCCTTGGACTGGATTTCGATTGGTTCGTAAAAGTCGACCAAATCGCTAATGGTCACCTTTTTGCGCTTGATCATTTCGTGTGTCACCTTGTAGACGAGTTCGGTAGGGAAAAAGAGAGAGATGGACTGGGCAGTGGTGGCACTGTCGCGTGGAATGATTTCAAACCCTTCGACATCTTCATCTTCTTCGTCGTCACCGTCATTTTCACCGTCGCTGTATGGCTTGTAGGCTGGCAAGTTCTTCATCGATGTGTGTTGAATTCTACCTTGTGACTGATCAATAATATACTCTGACATGTCATATGGAAAGATTGCTGCAACTGCCTCTTGTACAGCTTCAATTGTTAATGATACATTATTACCGCTACCGTTATTATTTTGTTGTTGTTGTTGTTTTGATCGTTGAATAGCTTCAATGACAATACTATTTCCCAAGTTAATTAAAAAGGTATTGAAATATGATATTCCACTATTTGTAATTTCTAATTGTGGATTAACAAATACACCAATCTTTTGAATAGATGATGAATATGATTCCATTTGTTGTTTCTTTGTTTTTTTGTTGTTTGTAGTGGTTGTTGTTGTTACTATATTATACTATATACTCGTTTACTTGAATAAAAATATATGTAAATATAAATTGTACAACTATATATATATATATCGTTATTATTATTTGTTATAAATGAATTGAATGAAAGAGAGAAAAGAAGATTTTCTTTGCAATTGAATTGCTGAATGAATTAAAAAATCAAGAAATAATGAATGCTGCAAAGAAAAGAAATTTTAAATTATGATAATTATTCTTCTTCTTTTTCTGTTTGACTGTTATTTTTATTGTTCTCTTTGTCTCTCTATTCTTTTTCTGTACTATTGTTATTATTGTCGATTAAAAATAAAAAAGATAGATAAAAGAAGAGATAAAAGAAACAATGTTTTTGTAATTAAAAGATAATGTAAAGATAAATGCAGCAAACAACACAAACACAAAAACTAATAGAGCGACAGTGCTGCAAACAAAAACAAAAATGTATTTATTATTATTATTATTATGTGGTGTGTTTTTGATAATATTGATAATATACTCTACTATTATTATTTATTTGTATTTTGTCTGTGATGATTTGTAAAAAAGGGAATGAAATTGAATGAAGCAAAGCAGTAGTAGTTGGAAAGGAGGAGGGGATGAAAAATTAAATACGTGTTCTTGATCAATCAAGGAAATTCGAGAAATGAGAGGAGAGAAGAAGGAGGTTTTGTTTTTTTTTTTTTAATATTTAAATAATTACACAAATTTGATGAATCTATTATGGTTAGTTGGTTGGTTTGGTTTGGTAGGAGGTTATAGAATACTATACTAGTATACTCTTGTTTGTTTAATTTCTACTATAGTACAATTTTGAAATTAAATAAATTCGTACGAATGGTATTACTCTCTTTCTATTCCTTCTCTCTCTTTATTTTTCTTTCTCTCTCTTTTGTCTCGTCGTTGTTGGTAGTAGTAATATTTTATTTACCCCACCTCTCTCTCTCTCTTGGCGACAATTCAATTTCGGTGACTGATCATCGCAACACACTTCGCTGCTGACTATTCAAAGTCGACGTGGTGACTACATACTCATTAGCTCACACTTCTGTTGGGGTGACTCTCCTCTCTAAAATTTTCACTGATTGAAACCTTTGGATTCCAAGATATTTTGGCAATGACTCATTCAATTTCAATCAATTATACAAATACAAATATTATAATATTATATGTGTGGAATTCTATAGAGAAAGAGTTTATTATTTTAAACATTTGTTGGAGGAGGGTGTAATTATAGGATATAATTTGATTGCGTTGTTATTGTTTACAAAAAAAAAGAATAATATAATATAATATAGCTATAGACATGTTTGTTTGTGTAAAACACAGGTTGATTTTATGGTTCTTTTAAAAACGGACTTGTTTGAGGGGAAAAGGGTTGAGGGTTGAGGGTTGGAGAGTTGGATTGGATTGGATTATATATCTTTTCTTTTGTTTGATTATTGTTATATAAATAATCAAGAAGTTGTGGTTGGATTAAAATTATTTTATATAAATAATTATATTTGTTATTATTATTATTGTTATTACGTTGTTATTATTAGTTTACTTTTTTCTTTCTTTCTTTCTTTTTTAAGTTGATTTCCATTCCTTTTTCTTTCATTTACTTTCTTTTTGTTTAAGGGTGTTAACTATAAAGACCAGCTCTCATAATACATTGAGTGAAAATAATATCTTTAACGGCCTGGAATACAACACGGATATTATCAGTATCGGTGGCACAGGTAATGTGAGAGTAGATTGATTTGTTTTCGTTTTTGTTGATTTGCCAGAATCTCTCCTTGATGTAGTTGGCGCCACGTTCAAAGTCCTTGCCACCCTTGTACTCGGGGAAGGTGTCAGAGAGGTCGACGGTCTTGATCTTTTCGCGGAACAAGTCCGACTTGTTGAGGAAGAGGATGACGGGTGTGTTGACAAACCAGCTGTTGCAGACGTCGCCAAAGACACGCAACGACTCGAGCATACGGTTGGTAGAATTGTCTTCGTACAAGAGCTGATCGTATTCAGAGAGAGCGACACAAAACACGACGGCAGTGACATCGTCAAAACAGGACAACCACTTTTTACGCTCACTACGTTGGCCACCGACATCGACCATTCTGAATCGGATTCTGCCAACTTCAAAGTTGGTCTCGTGCACACCTCTGGTCATGACACGGGTGTGGAGGATGTCTTGGTCGGTGGGCGTGTAGACGGTCGACGTCATTCTATCAATATTATCAAAAAAGTAGGGTGCTGAGTCGGGCAGTGTCGAAAACTCGGACACTCTTTTCATGGCTTGCTTGACACCCGGATCCATCCAAAGTGCCTTGATATGTTTTCCTTGATCTTCATTTAATTGATTCCAATTTTCTGATGTTACCATTGATGATTGTAATGATGTTAATTCTTTTACCATATTTGCTGCTTCCTAAAAAAAGAAAAAAAAATTAAAAAAAACAAAAAAAAAGTCTAAGTATGATGAAAAAAAAAAATATAATATTATTATTATTTCCTTTTCCTTTTCTACTTACAATATTTGATGGATCAATATCCATACCAATTCGAGTCATTCCATCTAATAATATTCTCATATTATCTAAAATGTTTCTATATATGATTGGTTTAAACTCTTTACGTTCTTCGTTACTGTAACCACTTTGATGGATAATCTTCATTTGCTTGGCAATGGTTGATTTTCCAGATTCTCCAGCTCCAAGTAAAAGTAACTTGACTTCACTTTGCTTCTTTTTTCTTTCCTTTTCAATCGAGAGATTGATATCATGATTGGATTTGGCTCCTTCGCCACCTGATGAACAAACGTTACCCATTGTTTATGTTATGACTTTTTAGATATATATATATTTAAGTGTTGTTAAAATTACAAACAAATAATAATTTAATTATTTATACTAAAAAAAGAAAAAACTAAAAAAAATAAAAAAAAAGAGTAAGTAAATTAAAAAAAAGTAATAAGAGGATGAGATAAAAGGAGTTTGATAGTGATAGGTAGTGATGATGATGATAATAATAATAATATTAAAATTGATGATGTTGTTGTATTTTTGTATTTTGATTTTGATTATTATTATTCTGTCTTTTTGAGAAATACAACCAAATATAAAATATAAAGAATTGAATTAAAGATTGATTGGACAATTATTAACAATAATAATAAAATACAATAATCCTTTTGGATCTGGTCGATATATAGGGTAGAGGTAGAGTAGAGTAGAGCAGAGTAGAGTAGTCTAGTCCAGTCTAGTTAAAGCATGATGAATGGATTGATGAATGGATGGTCGTGGTGAGTGGTATTATAGATGGTGGTGGGGGAGTAAGTGGAAAAAGATTTGATTGATTGATTGATTGATTATAATTTTGTTTTTGTTCCACCACCACGCACTACTATACCAATCCATTAAACACTACTAAAAATGGGGGGGATCGAGAGAGCAGTCTAGAAAAGTGATATCATATATCCAAAAAAAAAGATCATATGATAATTGAATTGAAAAAAAGTAGAAGATCTCTTCTATATGTACATATTCAATTTCTGTCTATATTCCATCCGTCCATCCGTCCATCCATCCCATCTACTATTACTACTATTACCACTACACATTTACTTATTTGTTGTTTGGTTGTTTGAAAGGGTAGTCGTCGTTTGTGATGATGTAGTGATATTACTACCTATTTTGGTCATCATTTGACCAATTGATTATCGTAATCAAATAAATGATTGGTTGAATGAATGAATATATAAAATGAATTTGAGGGATATGAGGAGGAGGAAGAGGAGGAGGAGGAGACTGTTTCTGGTTAACTCTTTTGTTGTCGTTTGTTTAAAAATATATCAATCTCTACTACATCTTCTTATCTAAAAGACATTAACTACAATTAAACTTTACCTCTTCTTCTTCTTCTTCTTCTTCTTTTAGTTTTTGTTATTATTTCCTTTTTAAAACAAAATAAAAAACTTAAATATTTCCTTGATGTTGGAATGGTATTTTGGAAAAAAGATTGTACAATTCCTCCTTTTTGTTTTGTTTGTTATTGTTTGTTATTGTTTGTTTGTTATTATTGTTTGTTGTTTGTTGTTGTGTGTTTGGTTTGATAAATTAAAACAACATAACAATAAGATAATTTTAGACTTTAAAACTGGCATTGGTTTTTTTGGTGGTGATATGTCTTATTGATTAATTGGCTTGGCACCAATATCGTATGTAGGTAGTAGTAGTAGGTAGCGATTATGTATGTAGTGTGTTTTGTTATTTTAATTTTAAAAAACCCCCCTTTTGGTGGTGATTGCAATCAAATCAAATCAATTGATTTGTGTGTGTGTGTTTGTTATTGGATTATATTAAATCGGTGATGTTATTTTTAAAATTCCATTAACATCATCATCATCATCATTATCATCAACCAAAAATTTAATATAATTGTTGTAGTTGTTGTTGTTGTTGTAGGATCCAATTAGGATAATTGGTTGATGTTCAAAAAGAGGATAGGATAGGATAGATATGGATGATGGATGCTTTGAGATTTAGATTACCTTACTTTTTTTTTTTTTGGAATAATTTCTTTTTTTTCAAAGGTGGAAAAACTTTTATACTTTTACTATTACTACAAATATTATTTACAAATTCGGGTGGGGTTAGTTAGTTGGTTTATTTGGGATATTATGATACAACAACAATAATAATAATAATAATAATAATAATTTATACAAATAAATAAATAAATAAATAAAACTTTTATACAATGATGATGATGTTAATGGAATGGATGAATTAATTTGGCTGGATGAGATGTATAGCGATAAAGGCTCAGAGTTTGAGAGCTCTCTTTTAGAGTTTAAAACCCTTTATCAATGATGTTTAAAACACATTATTGGTGGTTCGTTCAAGGATGGTTGGAAAGATGAAACGAGATAAGTTGTGTAAAAAATTGTGTGTGTGTTTGTGTTTGTGTCTGTCCGTGTGTCTAGCAGCAGAGCAACTGGATTCGTTGTAATAATAATTTCAACCCCTTCCTCCTCAGAGCCAATTATACCTACACATCACTCTTTTTTTTTTTTTTGATATATTGAATGATTTTCAATATTAATTTATCATTGGATGGTTGAGTGAGTGAGTGAGGAGGAGGAGGAGGAGGAGGAAGTGCTTGTGGACTGCGCGCACACAGGTAGGAGCAGTTTTAATTTTAGAATGGATTGGTAGAGAGGGGGTTTTCATTTCAAGCCAGATGAATTCATACCAATTGAATCATTGCAATGATGATTATAAAAATAAAAGCCGCTAAATCTTGGATTGACAAGAGTGGGTGATGTGTGCTATATGATGATGATCCTATTCACTCGAGGAGTTGAATCTCTATCATCACCCCCATACTCGATCTCTATATGTGCTGATCGACTCACTCTACTCTCTGTGTTTATGTGTGTGTGGGTAAAAATAAAAAACGGTTGATTGGTGGTGATGGCCAATGTCAATGTTGGGGAAAAGAGAGTGTTCCCCTATGTTTTTTTATTGGAACTGAAGAGTCCTACAATACATCATTGATCTAGAGTATGGAGAAACACATCCTGAATGTTTATGATTGAATTGAATTGGATGTGGAAATACTTGATCTGGTTGATATCCAAAAAAGAAAAAGAAAAAGAATGTCATATGACACCAAAAAATAGGTTCCTCTTTCTCCCTCTTTCTACCTCTTTCTTTCGTGTCATCTGACATGAAAATGTTTGTATACACCTTCTTTATCTTACTCTCTCTCTTGTTGTTTTATCTATCTGTTATTGTTGTTGATGTCAATGTGTAAAATGATCGATGATGAAATGTTATGGATGGTTTGAATAGAGTAGGTAGGTAAGGTAGGTAAGATAAGAGATCTGGATTGATCGGTATATATTTAAATGGAATAAAAAAGAAATGATTGTTTTTATAATCCTGTCCTCTCTCTCTCCCAACGGTTTTTCAAAACCAACTAAATTAGTAGGGGGGGGATTTCCGGAAGGATATTTCGACTCCTTATCTAGGTCTTTTTGAAAAATCTTTGCAATGAGAAGAAGGATGATCAGATAATTGGCACTTTGTCTTGATCCCTTTTTTTTTTTGGACAACAAACAACACAACAAAAAAAGATAGATGGATGTGTCACATGTCTAAATCGAGTGGTTCCTGTGTGACCCGTGATTTCATTCGTTTTCTTCTTACCAAATATGTCAAAATTCTTTTCTCTGAAACTATTCGTATACTAATACTAATACTACTGTTACTACTGTTACTAATAATAATAATAATACTATGTGTTGATGATTGTGTTAGTTGATTTTGTTGTGTTTGCTGATCAAAATGTTTGTTATTATATTTGATCTGCTGCCTGGGGTTGATTGATTGAAACTAAAATAAATAATAAATAAATAAATCTATATTACAGTTAATAAATAAATAATAAATAAATAAATCTTGTTGTTGGTGTTGTTGTATTGTTTTTGATGAAATGAGGAGATGGGTTTAAAGAAAGAAGATGATAGCAAGAGCAGAAAAAAGAAAGATGAGATATTTCTCTTAGTCTTTGTCTGGTCAGAGAGGGTGTCAGCTGTTTTAAGAAACTAGTTTATTTTTGTGTTGTGATCGCCAATGAATGGATGGTTGGGTTGGTGGTCTGGTTGGTGTTCCCACACTTTTCCCTTGCTTTGTTACAAATCTGTCTCTGTCTCGACGAGACAGGTGTAGTGTCGAGTCGATAGTAGTAGGTACTTACGTTTGGACAAAAGGGAGAGGGCCGACGACTGCTACAACAAAGATAGGGAGAAACAGTTTAAAAAAAAAAAGTGCCTGAATGACTTTTTGGTTTGACTATGATGAGATGTGTATGGAATGGTACTGTGAGCAGGAGGTAGGCGGATAAACTTAAACTACTTTTACAACAAGTTGGTTTGGAGATAGTACTAGAGTAGATGGATGATAAAACAAAACAAAAACGACAAACTGCTGGGTTTTGTTTTCGTTTTTACCCAAATATCTTCGATCTGTTTCAATGTTGCTATGAGCAGCGGATAAAAAATGAAAATCAATAATAATAATTATTTTTTTTAAAAATATATAGAGATGGTTTCACTGAATTATGCGATGATGGATGGTTTTAACGACTATCGAGGCCACAGCCCCTTTTTTAGCCCCCTATTTCCACACACACTCGGTTGACGACTAAAGAGGCAATCACAACACAATCATCTAAAACTATAATTATAAACAACCTTCGATTCATTCAATCAATACCCTTCTTGGTTTTAGTGGCTTTGTGTTCAAGTGAGGCAGCCTTCTAAAGAGAAGCCATGCTAGGTGGCAATGGGGGTTTTCGTTCGGTCAATATGGATGGGCCAATAGAATTGAACGATGATGTGTATCTCCGTGTGTGTAGGTTCACAAAGTCGAAAACTCTCGTCAAGACGAATCGAAGAATCTGATCAAATCTTGACTCGTTGTCTCACATTTCTTGAATCTTTAAAAAATGACGAGTCAATCTTGTTTAGACCAAAAGAGATCACATGATCTTAGTAGTTTGACGACCTATTGCAATCAAAACTATGGATATTATGTTCTATAGAATAGTTGTTCTCTTCCTTTTTTCTTTATTAAATTTACATCAAACATCTAGCTTAGCTGCTTCCTCATCCTCCCTCCCTTTTCATCAATTGCAAGGTACCTAGATGATTGATTGGTTTGTGTTGTGTTTGTGTGTTTATGAAACGACTTTGGAACTTTTAGACCCAAGAAGAAGTCTCCCTTCTTTTTCTTTCTTTATTTTTTTAGACCCAATTCAAATCGGCTTGAATTTGGAGAACATCAGTATCATAGTAAACATTGAGCATGTAAAACTCCATGGCTGGTGGGGCAGTAACGGTAAAGGTTGGGATGACGATGACACCTTGTAGCATTTGCAAGAGTTGAACGAAACCAGTTTCATCGACTGTACCGATATTGGTGTTGGTTACCAGAGCAGCTGGGGAGAGACCTACCAACGTGGTAGCAAGTAGAATTTGGTTAGGGATGTCTCCAACGGTAGCATTACTTTTGAGATCAATCGCTACTATAAATTCGACGGTGAATGCATCGATTGGTCCACTCGACGCTAGAATATCAAATTGTCCAATAAATTGGATGTTGGATAGCGTAACACCGGAACTATTGATCGATGCACTTGGAAGTGATGATCCTGCAGTCAATGTAACTTGTAGACCTAGATTTGGATAAGCCGATAGACCTGGTGCAACTTGTGAAAAGAATGAATCAGATGTATTTAATTGTACTGGACTTGATGATGGTACTTCTGATGCTAAAATAAAATTAAAAGTAAGTATCTTTTTCATTTCTTTTTTTCATCTTTTCTCTATTGTACATACGAGAAAGAGTTATAGGGAAAATAGATTCAAATGGTAAATAGGCAAGTGATTCAAAAATGTAAGGGGTTAGGGTGAATGCCATATCAGTGTCAAAGTTTTCGAGAAGTGATCTGTCTGGCACATCGGTTGGTTGAACTGGGTAGGTGTTTACGGTACCCGATGATGTGGAGACTTGGGATGTGCCAGCAAATTGAATGGTCATGGTTGGAGTCATAACAGAACGATTACTCGATTCAATAATACTTCCAGTCAAATCAAGATAGAAATCATTTCCATTGACCGAGAAATCAAGTTTATATTGTGGATCTACCCACATTGCTTCAATCTTTGATGCATAACTATTTAATTCATTCTAAACAACAAAGAGAAATAGAAATAGATAGAAATAGTTAATATTTGTTGATTGATTGTTTGTTTACTTTTTGTTTGACTTACAGTTACACCTTCAGTAACAGTTGGAATAAATTCATTAGCAACCATACTAGCAATATCATCAACTGGAATGACACAAATAGAGTTGGTACATTGAACAAAGATGGAGATGGTACCTTGGTTAAAGAGCATGGTAGTGTTGATAGCTTGGAATGAGACTTGTTGGGTTGTATAGTCAAAGGTAAATGAAGTACCGAGTACGATTGGATCAGAACTATTACTGTTGGTGTATACTTGGATCCAACCATCTTCACAAGGATTAAAGATAGTCTTTGCACAGATATGATAGTTCCACTTTACATTGAATCCAATGTTTTGCCAACCCAACTCAAATGCAGTGTCTGTAGTACCTTGAATCAAAAAGAATTCATCCAATGCTAAACTTTGTTGAAAGTTTGAAAAAGTATAATCAGCACTACTACTTGACCCAGATTGTGATGGAATTGCATAAGAGTTGAATGTATTTTGTACTTCTGTTGTTATCTAAAAAAAAAAAAAAGAAATATAGGTAAAATTGTTAAATACAAACTAGTACTAAATCTATCTATCTATCTATCTATCTATCTATCTATCTATCTATCTATATATATATAGATATATACATACTTGTGATCCAACATCACGAATCAATAAATCACTTAATCCTATATAAATACCCGATGGATTATATGGAATCTGTCCTAATACAGTTTGTGATACCAATACTGCTACTACTAGTAAACTAGACAATAAAAAAATGAATGATTTATACATATACATTTCTTCCTATCTATCTCTTTCTTTGATATCAAATATAAATGTTGTAAAAGTAAGATGAGGGTTTACAAACATAAAGGTTGATCACCTCTGCTTGTGGGGAAAGGTCCGATTAAAAGTTTAAAAATTAAATTTTAATTCAACACCAAAAAATTTCCGACAATGTAATGAAAAATAAGGAGCAGGGAGGGATCACTTCTCCTAAGATATTTTTTGGTGTTGAATTAAAATTTAATTTTTAAACTTTGATCGGACCTTTCCCCACAAGCAGAGGTGATCAACCTTTATGTTTGTAAACCCTAATGATTCAGAAATGTCATTGGAACAAGGAAGAGAATAAGTTGAGAGCTCCCATGGGAATATAAATAATTCCATAATTATCACATCATACATAACATTATGGAGTATTATTTATTTGTTTTGTTGATGATTATTATTATTATTGTTGTTGTTGTTTACAGTATTGTTTGTATTATTGTATTGTTTATATTTTTGTTGGTTGTATTTAAACATCATTATTAATATTTTTTTTAAAAGGGGTGGAGATAGAGGGTTAGAGATCTCTTTTAAGTTCTATAATGAGAATTGGCTCTAACATATTCTTCAGTTAAATCACAAGTCCACATGGTGGCATGTTGTTTGCCCATACCAAGATCGACAATGATCGATACGTCACCGTGCTCTAGGATGGCAGCGGCTCTCTTTTCGTCTTTTTCGAGTGGTTGACCATTCTCGAGGAATTGCATGCATACCTTTTGGTCATTCTTTTTTCCAATTCCGATATCCTTGCCGTCGCCAATAGAGAACCACATTGACACCTTGAGTGGATCGATATTGACACCACTGTATCCAACGGCTGCCAAAACACGACCCCAATTGGCATCGGCACCATAGAGTGCAGTCTTGACAAGCGATGATCTCGAGATGGTGTCTGCAATGGTCTTGGCATTGACTTCAGTATCAGCACCAACCACATTAATACTAACAAACTTGGATGCACCCTCTGCATCACGTACAATCATCTGACACAATTCAGTCATCACCGATCTAATAGCTTCTTGCAACTTGTTAAAATCTTCGCTACTATTAGAATTGATCAACTTATTATCAGCTTGTCCATTTGATACTAATACAACTGTATCATTTGTACTATAAAGAGGAAAGAAAATGGAAATGGTAAATAAATAGAGATGATTAATCAAATGATTGATTGAATGTTTTTACCTCATATCACCATCAACATTGATAGAATTAAAAGAATAGTGAACTGAATGTTTCAAGATTTGATTTAATACATCTTCACCAACAGCTGCATCTGTACAGACTGTACAAAGCATAGTAGCCATATTTGGATGAATCATACCGGCACCCTTACAAATACCAACTATATTTGCTTCCTTTCCATCGGACAACTTGATAATCTTTTGTGATAATTTTGGTACTTTATCAGTTGTCATAATTGCTTTGGCTGCCTACAAAACAAAAGTAAACAAACAAATTAATAATTAATATATATCAATATTATTATATTGATCAATCAAACACATACAGATAACCAATCATTTGGATTTAATTTAGTAATAGCTTCTTTAATACCCTTTTCAACTTTGTTCATATCTAATTGTTGTCCAATAATACCAGTTGACTAAATAATAATAATATAATGATTTAATGGTTGTTTGTGTTTTATACTTCTTCTTCTTCTTCTTTTTCTTCTTCTTCCTTTACATACCATAACAAAACTTGGTTGTTTAACCTTTAATGTAGATGAAGTTAGATTTGACATTGTTTTAGCATTGGTCATACCTTGGTCACCAGTGCAAGCATTGGCACCACCACTATTGATGATGAGTGATTGGAAACCAGTGTTTCTATAAGTGTCCAACAACGATTTACTGAGGAGTACTGGAGCAGCCTTTACCTTGTTCTCTGTGAATACAGCGGCAACGTTACAAGCACTTTCAGAGTAGATTACACAAATATCACTATTACCATTCTTTTTAAGTCCACATGCTGTAGTTCCCGTCTTGAATCCTTTTGGTCCCTAAAGAATATTAATTGAAATCAACTCTTAGCACATTTATAAATAGATATAGATATGAGATATGATATATTTATACCTTTGAGACAGTAGAACTAATGTATCTAAATGAATAGTTGATAGTTTTAGTAGTTGGGTTACTTATCAAATATTTAAACATCTTTAAAGATAGTGTGCGTATATATAAGTATATTTAATATGTATAAAAGATACAATAAAAAGTGATAAGAGTACAAAAAAAATACAAAACAACGATTTTGATGACGATGATGGTAATGAATGAATGAATTATTTGTTATAACTCTTCAGCCCGACCAATGCAAACCATCCCCGTCGGAGACTGCAACCATCCCTCCTCCTCGTTCACCCAAAAACTTGTGATGAAAATTTAATTTAAATTAAAAAATTCTTGGGTGTGAAGATGCATTGATCGTCTCTTTTGCTTGATTATAATCGAATTCTTACACAAATCACACGCACACACGCAAATTTGTAGTTATACCTACCCTTATAGATTATATAGATCTTTCGATACCTCTTGTCAAAAGGAACGACGACGACGACGGTCGACATTAATGACATAGAGATACTAGTAGTATTGTAGTAGGTAGCAGTAGTGGTGGTAGTGTAAATAGATCGGTGGTCAAACAACTATACTCTATAATAGTTATATATATATAACGATATATATATATATATATATATATCTCAAGAATGAATTCAAGATCACAACCAATAGGTGGAGGTGGAGGTGGTGGTGGATCGGGAGTGTCAACCATAGCAAGAGGGGAGACACTCTATCGAGACCAACAATACTTTCAAAAACAAATAGAAACAAAGACCAATCAAATGTTGGACAGCTTTCACGAAATCATAAAGATCAGTAAGATCAATGATTCTCCTCAAAATGTATCTGAAGTATTTCAAATGGAAACAAATACTACTAGTATTGTAAGTAAAATATAAAAAGAAAGTATATACTAGTATATACTATATATAATAGTAATCTAATTTTTAATTGTCTCTTAAGTTAAATTCAGCAGAAGGATTATTAAGAATCATTGAAGAGTTGAAACAAAACATTATATTAAATGATTTCTCAAACATGATGGAAGAGGTTAGAGTTCAGAATGAAGTCTATAAAAAGATGAATGATCGTACGACAAAGAGAATCAAGGATCTCTCAGATGACGTATCTCGTGGATTGGCAGAATTAGAGAATGAATATTATACATCAGACTATAAACAACTAAATACATCAACAACAACAACAACAAAGGAAAAGTAATCAACCACAATATACTATACCATTCCAAGCAAGGATACTTGTTGATTCTATTGGGACAATCAAGTTCCCTTCTTTCTCTTGTAACGATCAACTATAAAGAACATTGACAAAGAGAGAGAGATATAGAGATAGATAGGGATTGGGAGCTTCAGAATCTAGATTACGATCGATCTCCACAAGAGTAGGGACCTTATTTTAATTTCAGGAGAGAAAATAAAAATAAATATAAATGAAATTGGGTCAACAGTTCCGTTGTTGTCTCTGCAGGAGGATAAGAAAAAGTGTTGTTGAACATTAGTAATCCATCTCTATTCCTTTTTTTCAATTTTTATAACAACAACAGAATCAAGTAATATTGTATCACATCCCAACTTTCATATATATAGATGGGGATGATCGATATCACCAATCTTACAATCACAGTGTATTATTAGTATATTTTTTAAAAAAAAACACAATTTTGATTTGTATTTTAAAGAAAGAGAGAAAGAGATAGAAATATATATTGTACTGTAGTACTACTATATTATATATATATATAAATTATTGTAATTTAGATTTTTTTTTTGTATATAGTAGTTTAGTTTAAATATTTATATATTTATATATATATATATATATATATATATAGTACAAATGTCACAATCAAATAATACAGGAGTTATATCAAGTGTAACATCAACATTATCATCAACAGGATCATCATTATCATTATCATCTATAAGTCCATCATCATTGATTGTTGGTGGATCGAGTAGTAAGATTATCGATGCATCGAGAAAAGGCAATGTGGAGCAGGTGACCAAGCTACTCAGAAAAGACATCAAAAAGGCAGAAAAGAGAGATGAAAAGGGAGACACTTGTCTACACAAGGCTGCCATGTTTGGACATTCCGAGTGTGTAGAAGCTATATTGAAATGGGCAATGTCATCCAACATCAACATGGCTACACCATTGGTACATGCCAAAAACAATGAAGGTTACACTGCAATCATGTACGCAGCTCTGAATAATTGGAAAGAGTGTGTAAAGATACTCTTACATTATGGTTCAGATGTAAATGAAAGATTACCTCATAATCCTGGTGTACCTTTATCTTATTCAATTAATAGTATGTAAATCAAATCAAATTAATATAGTCAATAGAATGAATATTAATATTGATTATTTAAATTAATATTTATTTAGATGGAACAGGATCATATGTATGGAGGATTGAAAACTTTTCAAAGATTAAAGATAGGAAAATATATAGTAATACATTTCAAGTATCTGGGTATAGTTGGAAGTTGGTAGCCTATCCAAAGGGATCTAAAACCGATGAGAATCTATCACTTTACTTGGAGGTTGCAAATCATGATTCTTTACCTGACGGGTGGAGTCATGTTGTTCATTTTTCATTTACCATTAATAATCAAAATGAATTGAAAACTATTGGTACAATTGGTTCAAGTGGTAGTAGTAGTAGTAGTGTTGGTGGTAATAATAATAATAATGTAAATAATAATAATAATAATAATAATAATAATCATAGTCATAATAATAATTCAAATGGAAATGGATTTGGTGGAAATGGATATGGTAGTAGTAGTAGTACATCTACAACATCAACTTTATCAATTACATCGTCATCATCATCAAATAAAGATGGTAATAATAGCATAAATAATGGTGGAGATTCTAAAAATAAGAAAACTGCAAGAGATGTAACAGCTCATAGATTCCATAAACATCATACCGATCTTGGATTCTCACAAATTCTAAAAAAAGATGTACTTACTAGTAACAAGAAATCAGGGTATCTATTAAACGACACTTTGGTCGTTGACTTTAGGATAGAGGTTATTCCTCCCATCTATATAGAAGAGGATAATTCAATGACCTACACTTGGAAACTTCAAAAGGTTTCAACACTCAAGGACAGGGCTACTAGTCAACCTTTTAAAGTTGGTAATTGTAGATGGATGATTGCAGTCTATCCAAAAGGAAAGAATGGAAACAACTATCTATCAATCTATCTAAAGGTTGCCGATAGTGAAACATTGAAAAACTTATCACCCGATTGGTATTATCTTGTAAATTTTAAATTCTCAATTATCAATCAAATTACTGGTCAAAAAACAACTAGACAAGGTAAAAGAAAACAAAAAACAAAAACTAACAAAAGACACGAATTTAACCTTTATTTTTTTATTTAGTTGAAGGTAAAAAGTTTAAACATCAAATTGAAGATTGGGGATTTCCTCAATTTATGAAATTACAATTATTAAATGATGAAACTTCTGGATTTATCAATTATGATGATGATTCAATGCTTATAGAATTACAAATGGATATTGTAAATGATTATTCAAAACCAAAAAAATTAAGGGTAAACAAATCAAATCAAATCAAATAATCATCAATGTACTACTTTGATTTATTTTAATATTAATATTTTCTTTTTATTTATTTATTTTAGGAAAATCAACCAGATAGAGGATTAACATTATTACATTGGTTTGCATATAAAGGAGCTCATGATTATATGAGATTATTATTATTGGGAGGAGCCAATCCAAATGTAACAGAAACAAGAGGTAGAACACCATTGGATTGGTGTTCTTATAATGGAGATGTACAGGGAGCAGAGATTATGTTGACAACTGGAATGGCAGATGTAAATTGTCGGGATTTAGAGGGATATGGTCCTTTGCACAAGGCAGTGATGAATGGTCATCTCGAACTATCAAAACTATTGATAAAGTATGGTGCCTATATCAATGCAAAAAACCTGTTGCGTGTTTCTCCACTCTCTCTTGCCGTTAGAGTTCATAGACTATGGTGTTTTGAAAGTTTGATAAAGAATGGAGCAGAGATTAACATGTCTGACAAGAGTTCTAGATCATCATTACATTGGGCCGTTTGTATGGGTGAATCAAAACTATTTTCAATGTTGTTAAAATATGGTATTGAATCTCAACCCCAACAACCCCAACAAATCAATAATAATAATAATTTTAGTAATAATAACAATACCAATACTGGAATTAGTATTAAACAAGTAATTGAAAATAATGCTTGTGTTATTGATGATGTTGCAGTTAGTAGTGAGCAAGATATGACAGAGATTAATGATATTCAATCCGAAGGACATGACCATATACAGGCATTTGGTGAAAATGAAAGTAGTGGAGACGACTCTGAAGATTCAACCATGAATCATATGCAACAAATATCAAGTCCTACCAATAATAGCAATAATATCTTTGAATCTACCTCTTCTTCTACTCTTCTCTCTTCAAACGCTTCTTCAAGTAATACAACACCAACCACTACCACAGCAACAACAACAACAACAACAACTATATCAACCAATTCAATTGATGAAGGTCAAATTTCAATTTCACCACTTCAATTAAATGCAAAAGATTCAAATGGTTATACACCTCTACATATAGCCATTATAAAGGGTAGATTGTATTTTGTCAAAAAACTGTTGGAAAAGGGAGCGGATCCTAGAGTATCCACCAAACAAAATGAAAATGCTCTCCACATTGCCATCACCTCTAATGAACATACAATCGTTCAATTGTTATTAGACAATAACCCGTCACATGCTCAAGAATTGCTCAATCAATTTGATTCAAAGGGTCGATCACCCCTTCACCGAGCAATCATCAACGGTAATCCTCCTCTTGTCGAACTTTTAGTTTCAAAAGGTGCCAACGTTAACCTTTTCAATCCAAATACTTCATTGGAATGTACCACTTCTCCATTGGCAGATGCTCTCAAAACATCTGACATTTATTGTATTATTTTACTTTTACAATATGATGTTGATGTTTATAAATATACTAGAAGTTTAATGAAACTTTTATCAAAGAAATGTAAAAAAAAAAAAAGAAAAAAAAGAAATAGATAAAACATTATACTAATTAATTTTATTTATTTATTTATTTTTAATTTTTAGTAAAACAATTACAAACAAGAGATATTGATAGTATTATACCAAAATGTGTAGATAGTCGTTTAGGAAGAGAATTAAAATATTTGGTTAATAATCAAGGTTATCATGATGTAACGTTTGTAGTTGAAGACAAATTGATTTATGCATGGAAAGGTATTCTTTGTGCCAGATCAGACTATTTCAAAGCAATGTTTGAAACACCACTTTTGGAAAGCTCTCAATCCAAGGTTAAAATGGAATCGATCACTCATACAACATTTTTATTGGTGATGGAATTTCTCTATACAGACAATATCGATATTGGTGCAATGGGTTTGGATGACCTGATGAATCTTCTTTTTGCTGCCAATCGATTCATGTTGACCCGTTTAAAGCAACTTTGTGAACGTACCATCATCTCTCACCTGACTGTTGACAATGTATTCAATTTTGTCAAAATATCAGATCTCTATGGTGCAGATACTCTCCTCTCAGAGTGTGTATGTTTTTTGTCTGACAATTTCTATCTGTGCAATGATACAGAAGATATCCTTAAAATTCCTAGTTTTAAACAAAAAGTACTAGAGTATTTTAAAAAAAAGGAATAATAAATAATTGTATAAATGTCATTAATATTATATCGTACAAAAAAAAATAATGATTTATTTATTATATTTTATTTTTATATATTTTTGATTATTTTAATAATGAAGATCCAACACTTTCATCAAAATCATCAAAGTCATCCTCTTCCTCGTCTATAAAAGTTATTGGTTTTTGTGGAGGTTGTATAATGTTATTGGTATGACCACCAAGCGTAACTGTACTAGAGGAGGTGGTTGGTATGTTATTACTATTATTAATATTATTATTATTATTATTATTATTTGGAGAAGCCAAATCATTAACTTGATTCATTCTAATTTGTTGTCGTTGATAGTTTACAAAATCTCTGTTTTGTTCCAATTGTTGTTGAAGCATATTTCTACGTCTGATTTCATCTGTCGTACTACTCTGTGAACGTCTGTGTCCTCTAGTATCGCCACGAGAGTTTGGTGCCACCATGCCCATGGTAGACGATGAAAGTGATCCTGGTCCTCTATTGGCTGGTGGTGGCATTAAATTACCTGCCTGATTCTTGATTGGATGTTGGTACATTGGAGATTGTTGATCAAATGGATTGTTACTACTACTGGCACTATTAGTACTGGAATTTAATATATTTGGTGTGTTTTGTCCTCCAGAGTTGGAATAACCAAGTTGTTGATGTGTTCCCATTGAATTGGATAATGTTATAGGTGGTGCTTGTAAAAATGAAGTATTTTGTTGTTGTTGCTTATTATTATTATTATGAATTGATAATTGTTCAAATTGTTGAGTTGGTAATTGTTGTTGTTGTTGTTGAGATGGTAATGGTGGTAATTGTTGTTGTTGTTGTTGTTGTTGTTGCTGTTGTTGTTGTTGATGATGTTGAGAAGATATTGGTGGTAATTGTTGAGCTGCAATTTGTTGATGATGTTGAAGTTGTTGGTTATAGGCCATACGATTACTAAATGATGGCGACAGTGGAGGAGATGGTGATGGCGTGAGAATAAGTGTATATAGACGGGCGTCATCGAGTGATGCAGAGTGAGGGAATCCACGAACCAATGGTACATTTCTCTTTGACATGACTGGAGAATGTGGTGCAGTTCCAGGATTATTATTGTTACCATTATTATTATTATTATTATTATTATTATTATTTACATTATTGGGAACAAAAGTGGGAGGAATATTATTGGCTGAAACTCTTGGTGATACTATTGGAGTGGATGGATTGGCTCCAAAGTTATCGTCAAATGGATTAAAAGAGGGTTCATTGCTTCCCGTATCAAATGGATTATTGGTACTTCCACTTCGTCTGAGGACATGTGGATGAGATCCACTCGAGTTGAGTGATGAGGGTTGGGTGTTGTTACCACTGCCTGTTGTGGTGGTGAGGTTAAAGATGGGTGGCGACTTTTGAAGTGTTGGGAAAAAGATTTCAGAGGCAAATGGAGGGAGTGAGCTCAGTTTGTGGTAGTTTTCACGCAACATTTGGTGAGACGAGTGGAATCGTGTGATGAGACTTGGCAACACATCGGCACAACTGTCCTGTGCCGATATTCTGGTGAGTACGTTGAGACACCCATTGACAAAACAATAGATGGCATAGGATTGTGTGTTGAGAAGTGATACGCTTTGCGTGATCAATGGCAATGGCATCGATGCCGAGGCATTGGTATTCATCACCAAATCGGAAACGGAATTTTGTGAATGGAAAACTTGTTCGAGAACTGACAATAATGATGCCACTGTAGTAATACTGATTGGATGCGAAGAATCTAATGAATCTGGACTACCCCATCTTGTTTCATCAAATGGAAATCCTCCTTCAATAAAATAATTCTTTTGATGAAATAATACCAATTTATGTGTCAATAATGAATATTGTGATAAATATTCACTAATTAATGAAACTAAAAGAAAAAAGAGAAAAAAAGAGAAAGAAAAGTTAATATAGCAAAGGATTAGATAATATATTATTATTTTTTTTTAGTTACATTTTTCTTTTTGTTTTAACCAACCAAGATGTAAATTATGAAATAAATCTCTATTATCAAATGCATCCATTTTAAAAGGTTGTTGACCTTCAATTAATAATTTATGGACTACAATTAAAGATTTTAAACAAACAACTGGTTCTCTTAGAGGTCTTTTTACAATTTCTTGCATTATTCCTTTTGGATAGGTTGAATATATTTTTAATTCTAATAGAAAGAAAATAAAAAGTTAAAAAAATGTATCAATTAATCATTTTTTTTGTTTTTTTTTTCATACTTGAAAAAGATTCAGAATCAATTGTAGGATCACTTGGATTTGTCAATATGATGATTAAATTTGTCATATCATCAATTACAATTGGAGGAGCTGATTCATAATTGGTTTGTACTGCTGAACCATCTAAATTGAATTGATCTACTTTTCCACCATTTACTTGTTGAACTGGTGTAACATTTGGAGTATTTTTGTTAATATTGGCACGTCTCTTGTTGGCAGCACTACTAAACATTTGTTGTTGTTGTTGTTGATTTTGATTATTTGGTGATCGTCTACGCATATGTGGTGATACCTCTTCTTCATTAAATTGACTACCAGATAATTCAAAATCATTAAATGCAGACATATCAATTGGTGATTGATGTTGTTGTGGATGAGCTGGTAGTGGTTTGGTCGATGACGACGGTACTGATGGCAAAGGTTTTTGATGTTGTAATGGTTGAGATAATGATTTCTTGTGAGCTTCTTCTCTTGACGTTGATAATGAAGACTGCTGCTGTTGTTGTTGTATTTGTTGAACTTGAGGTGGTGATAAATAAGGATCAGATGTAAAAGAGTTGATGTATTGTGACCCTCTTCCAGGATAGAGTGGATTCATTCCTCTCATTCTCATAGTGGTGTTGGTTACATAGTATATATCTGGTCGTTGATCAACATCGGGGTGTAACATGAATCGTATGAGATTGATAATATCGGAAGAGTAGGGAGAGGGTGGGATGGTATAGTTTCCGTTGAGAATACCGAGGGATCCAGCCTCTTCGAATGGTGTCGTGTAGAATAGTAGTTTGTAGAGCAGACAACCCAGTGCCCATATATCGACCTTTTCGTTGATGACGTTGGATCGATACAAATCAATCATTTCAGGCGACCGGTATTGTACAGTTGTGTGACGTGCTATATCGTCCTCTGCTCTCTGCATCTCTGACTTGTTTTTGAGATTGACAATTTCCTCTGTTGCACTACCAAAATCACATAGTTTGTACAGTCCCGTCTCTTCATCCAACAAAACATTCTCTACCTTTAAATCTCGATGAATGATCAATGGTTGTACCGAATGCATATGCGCAACCGATTCACAAATATCTGAAAATATTGCCAATATCTCTTGTTCACTAAATCGATTGTTTTGTCTTTTCATCATTAAATCTACTAAATGTCCTCCTAAAAAGAAAAAAGAAAAAAGAAAAGAAATGTTAATAAATATATATATTAAATATATATTTATAACATCACTTACCAGAACAATATTCCATTAATATAAATATTTCATTTGATGATTTTGAATGATGATAATCCAAAAACTTTACTATATTCTTGTGATTTAGTTTTTTCTAAAAAGGAATAAATTAATAATTAATATTTGTATTTATAACATCGTCATTTCAATATTCTTACATTAATATCAATTTCATGTTTAACTTCAGCCAAACCATCGTTATCACGAACCATGATTCTCTTTAATGCAAAGTGTTTAGATGTGTGTGAGTCTTTAACTAAATATACATATGAAAAACCACCTATAATAATAATAATAATAATAATGAAAATGGTAAACAAAGACAAGAACTCTAATATTTATGTGAAGACTAAATAATATGATAAATGAACATCATACCTTCAGCAATTTGCTTGATTACATGTAAATTATACGGTCCAATCTTGTGTGATTTACTCTGATGGTTTCCCATCACCTTTTTTAATACATTCATTTTCTTTCAAAAAGGTAATTTGACCCAAAGTCTTTAAGTGAACTTGAATCTCTCTTTTCTTCTTTCTCTCTTTTTGATTATATATATAAATATTGCACAACTAACTAACTAATAGTTGTCTTTGTTGTAATTATACATTAATATTTTGATTGACACTTATCTATCTACAAACTTCTTCCTTCTTTTTCTTCTTTTTGTTTAAAAAGATATCTATATATGATGATGATTATACTGTTGTTATATATATAATATTATATAGTTCTGTCTCTCTTTCTCTATCTATGTATAATCAAACAAACAAGTAGTCTGCAAGTCTTTTTTCAATAACACTAAACCCATCAGTCTCTGAGTGCGTGAGTTCACATCGAACACACACAAACATTTAATTTTATTTTTTTGTTTATCAAATTTTACTTGAAATGACCACTAAAATCATTTAATTTGTAAATAATAAAAATAATAATAATAGTAAAATAAATAAATAATAAATCATTCATTGTCTCAGAGTATGTTGTCGTGAAGCAGGACAACCAACTAAATAGAAATAATAATACCATGGTATAAATAAATTTTTAAATTTCCAGGAAGGGAGGCAGGTAAATTTAATTTGTGTATAAGATCAAAATGATGAGATAGCCGGATGATGTTCAACAGATCTATCTAGATCCAAAATAGGGATATATATATGAACGAATGAATGAATGATATATCTCAAGTTAAGATGGGTGTTGATGAATGATATTTCGTTGGGTGGATTTTAAAATTTGAGAGTTGTGAAAAAATACTCATAGATTCAAAGGTGAAAACTCCCACCAAAATGGTAAAGTATTGAAAAAATTTGGAAATTTCGTTAAATATGAATCTGGATCCTCCACACATCCCTCCTTTATACTTGAGTATTTTATTTTTTATTTAATTTTTTATTATTATAAAAACTCTCCCTTTCTCTCACCCCCTAAATAATAATAATTATAAATATTATAATAGATATATACAGACATATTATTGTATTTATATATTAAAATAATAATATTAATACTAAATAATATTCCAACCAGTTTTCAACTTTTAAAAAGATAAATAAAGAAAAGGTTGTTTAAATACTAGTACTATTTAAAGCAATCCCTTTTTCTTTTATTTATTAAATAACAAAATAAATTAAAAAATACCAGCTGAAGATAGTAAGAAACCAAAAATGGTCAAAGTATGTAGAGAAAATGTAAAAAAAAAATAGAAATAATAATAAGTATTTATATCAACTAATAATAATATATTAATATTAAATACTAATCTAGGAAAGAGATTATTATGACAGATTAGGGGTCGACCCTGGAAGTACTCAAGATGAAATAAAGAAAGCCTATAGAAAGATGGCAATTAAATACCATCCAGATAAAAATCAAGGTGATAAAACTGCTGAAGAAAAGGTAAATATAGATAATACAAAAGAAAGGCGAATATTTATATTTATACTTTATATTTTTAGTTTAAAGAGATTAGTGAAGCATATGATGCAATTGGAGATCCAGAAAAGAGAAAGATGTATGATGACTATGGAAAGGATGGTCTCAAGGAGGGAGGATTCCAAAGTCATACAGCCGATGATATTTTCTCACAATTTTTCAATATGGGAGGTTTCTCTGGCATGTCAGATGAAGATGCTGATTTTGGTGGGTTTGGTGGTTTCTCTGGATTCGCTCATAGATATGGTGGAAAGAGAAGTAGATCGGTTAAAGGTGCCGATATCCATCATGAAATGAAACGTACTCTCGAAGAATTATATAATGGAAAACTTGTAAAATTATCTATTAATAGAGATATTGTTTGTACAACTTGTAATGGGTAAATATAAAGAAGAAAAAAAAAGAAAAAAGAAAAAAAAAAGAAAAAATAATTATTAATATTTTGATTTATTATTTATTTAAAATTTATAGTACAGGAGCAAATAAACCAGGATTAAATTCAATATGTACAAAATGTAAAGGTGCAAAGGTTGTATTGGTAACAAAACAACAAGGTCATATGATTACTCAAATGCAACAAGCATGTCCTCAATGTCATGGAACTGGAAGTACTCTCAAGGAAGAAGACAAATGTCCAAAATGTAAAGGCAAGGGAGTTACGGTTGGCCAAAAGATTGTTCAAATTCAAGTTGAAAAGGGTATGAGAGATGGTCAAAGAATTGTATTAAATGGTGAAGGTTCTGAATGTGTAAGTATATTAACAAACAAGGAAATGTAAAAAATATAAAATATTAATTATCTTTTTGATTTTTCTATTATTTTTTATTTTTTTTTTCTAAAATTAATTTTAGCCTGGAGGACCACCAGGAGACGTAATAATGACAATTAGAGAAAAACCACATGCAATATTCAAAAGAATTGGAAATGATTTGGTAATGGAAAAGAAGATTAAATTAATGGATGCGCTGTCTGGAAATAGTTTTGTTATTCCACATCTATCTGGAAAGAAGCTATGGGTCAACTTGTCAAAATCAGATCCTCCCAAAACAGGTGACCAAAGAGCTATTATGGGTGAAGGTATGCCTATTCTACGTCAAGAAGGTCATTATGGTAATTTGATTGTTCAATTTGAAATTGAATATCCAGTCTTGACAGCTGACCAAATAACCAAATTAGAAGCTATCCTACCCAAAACACCTGCACCAACAACCAGTAAATCTGATTGTAAATCGGTTACTTTGGAAAAGAGATTTACTCCAAGTAAAGATCCACAACACCATTCAGGTGGTTATGACGATGATTTTGAACGTGGTGGTGGTCATGGCATGCCAGCTGGTATCAATGCTCAAAATTGTCAACAACAATAAGCCAAGACAATACATCAACATCATCATCAAACATCAATCTTTTATTTAATTTGAATGTCTCAAATTAAACTACATTGAATCATGAGATTGATCAAATACAAACAAACAAAAAAAAATAAAACATTTTATATTAATTATTTACATTCCATCAAAAATCTAGAATACTCATTCTCGAACGACTTGACTTCAGCTTTGTGTGTAATACACTTTTTTTTTTTGTAAAAGACATAGATAGACATAGATAGTTTTAGAAAGATAGATGATAAATAGATTCATTAGATCAACTATCATATCACAACAACCTAAATCAATTTATACTTCTTTTACTTCATCTTCATCTTCATCTTCTTCATCATCATCTTTTTCTTTTAATAACAAATCAATTTTAAATTATATTTCTAGAAAGATGTCTACTACTACTACTACTTTTACTTTACCAAATCAAATGAAAGCAGTCAGAATACATCGTACGGGAGGAGCAGATGTATTACAATATGAAGATGTCAATTTACCAACGATCAAGGACAATGAAGTATTGGTAAAGAATGAATCGATTGGTATTAATTTCATTGATACTTATCATCGTACTGGATTGTACACTCTACCATTACCATCAACACTCGGACGCGAGGGTGCTGGTACAGTGGTGCAAGTTGGAGCATCGATCAAAACACTCCAGATTGGTGATAGAGTCACCTATTTTTCACCGGGCTCTTATGCTCAATACACTGCCGTGCCAATCGCAGTGTGTCACCATATCGATGCATCGTTGGATGCTCAGACAGCTGCTGCATTCACTCTGCAAGGTTTGACGGGCCACTATTTGGTGAGATCGACCTTTGCACTCGCCGCCAACCACACATGTCTTATTCACGCAGGTGCTGGTGGTCTCGGCCAAGTACTTATCCAGATGGCCAAGATTATTGGTGCACGTGTCATTACAACCGTATCGTCCAAGGAAAAGGAAGAGTTGGTGTTGGCATTGGGTGCCGACCACGTCATCAACTACAGCTCGACACCAGACTTTAGCGAGCAGGTCAAGAAGCTAGCCAACGACGGCAAGGGTGTCGACGTTGTCTATGACGGTGTCGGACAAGCCACTTGGCAACAAAGTCTAAAGTCACTCCGTCCACTTGGTTATCTCTGTTTGGTCGGTAATGCCTCTGGACCCGTTCCACCCATCGATCCATTGATGCTCAGTGCCAACGGATCACTCTTTGTCACCCGTCCAACACTCGCCGACTACCTCCGTGAACCTGGATCCATGCAATCTAGATGCACCGAAATCTTCAAATGGGTCAGTCAAGGCAGACTCAAACTCACCTCCAAAACTGTACTCCCACTCTCACAAGCCGGCGAAGCTCATATTCTCCTTGAAAGTAGAAAATCTAAAGGTAAATTATTATTAGAACCTCCAACCAACTAATTTAATAAATAATAACAAATAATAATAATGTATATTATAAAATCATGATCAATTTTTTTAGAGATATTTATTTAGTTTACTTTATTTTAAAAGAAGATTTGATTGTTTACTAATTAAGGTAATTGATTTGAGTGAATGGTGATGAAGAAATACTGGATAGAATTGTATATATTTATAAAAGAGAGTAAAAGATTATTATTTATTTATTTATTTTGGTTGAAAATCAATTTTATATTATATTATATTATGTATGTTTATGATTTAGGAAATTTAATCCAATCACAATTTTTTTTTTTTGTTGATTGAAACCAAAATAAATTAATTTGTTTTGTATATATATGAAATTAATTAATAATATTGTCTCTTTAGTGGTTGTGGACTTGGACCATGCATAGTTGGTTTTATATTGTTGTTGTTGTTGTTGTTGTCATCATTATTTTCACCAACAGGTCTTTTACCAAGACTTGACTTTTTTGCCAACGCCCAAACACTTTCTTTTCTTTTGGCAGGGGCTGCTTTACCAGAAGTGGTTGGTGTTGTTGATGTTGTTGTAGAAGAGGTACTTGTTGAATTTGAAAAAAGAGCTGATTTTGGTCTCATTCCACTACCAAAAATATTTCTACCCAAGTTTGGTGCACTACCATTATTATTATTATTACTATCACCACTACCCAAAGGTTTATATCTACTCTGACTACCACCAGATGAAAATGAGAATCTTGATTTTTGTTGTTCTTGATGTTCCTGTTCCAACTTTCTAGTCAATTCTTTTAATCTTGCAACCTCCTTTTCCTTTTTCTCCTCGGGCGACTCTTCCTTTTTCTTTCCTGCCCAAAGTTGAGCTGCAAACTCTGCATCATAATCTACACTTGAAGATGATTCAAGTGATGAATTTGATTCTTTATCTGTTAAATAATCCATTCTAATCTTTATAACAAGTTTTCTAAAAAATAAATTAAAATAAACAAAAAATTAATATTAATATATATTTTGATGATTCTATTCTTTCTTTTTATCTTTTTGTTTTTTTATCTTTCATACTTGACAGCTTTTTCTCTTTCCTTTTTTAAATTTTGATCTTTTAAAGTATGAATTGTTTTTTGTAAAGTTTTAAGGATATCATATTCAATTGGTAGTTGAAGTTTCTTTACATCGGTTCCCAATTGAAGTAATTGTTCATAACAGTCGATAAATTCCTCTAGATCATACTCTAGCTCGTTGTATTCCGTGTCACCTTGCTTTTGATGGTACAACATGGATCTTGCAAAAACAGTCATATTACGTTCCTTGGCATACGCTCTTTTAAGAGTAGATGCCGTCGAATACAACTTTGAAACGAGCTCTGAATCACCAGTTAGTGATCTAAGTGTTGTTGTGTTTTGATAGATTTTAAAGATTTGTCTAACCTCTTTTTCATTGTTTACAAAATCAATAATACTTGTTGTCTTTTTATCTTTTGATATACGTGATAAACGACTCAATGTTTGTACTACATTTGCTCCACTAATCTTTTTATCAACATACATCATACATAACTTAAAAAAAGAAAATTAAATTAAATATTAGAATAATTGATTGATTGATTAAATATTTTTTTCTATTTTTCTATTATAACTTACACTTGGTTCATCAAAACCAGTTTGTAATTTATCGGCAACAATTAATAATCTAATTCTACTATGTTTATCATCTTGTAAAGCTTTGACGATGCCTCTATGTTTATCGGAACCATAGGAAGCATATTTTCCATTGACTGAAGAATCAGACTCTAGAATGGTTTTACCATCGATAACAAATGGTGAAAATGCTGCAATCGTATCAAATTGTTCTGTTGGTGGCAATTTGGATACAATCTCATCTATAATCTTTTTATAGTCTAGTAGATTCTTTCTACCTGAACATACAATCATTCCTCTTGCTTTTAATAAACCGGTATCATATTTCTTTTTAGTTTCAATAAAATGATTTAATATATAAATACATTTTTCTTGAATTGATCTCTAAAAAAAGTAAAAATGGTTAATCAATATATATATATATATATCACTTTTTTTATGTTTTATCGAGACATACCTTATCATCTGTTTGTTGAGGAACATCTTGCATTGTAAAAGTACTATCATCATCATCATCATAATAATCTTCATCCCAATACTTTCCATCATATAAATGACTTAAACCATAATCTGATTTAATTTGAAATGAATTAAAATTTTCAATTACATCTAAAATCTAAAAATAGAAAGATAATGATAAATTAGTTTCTATACTATTACTACTCTATCTATTTTATATTTCTTATCTCTTACTAATTTATCTTTTAAAGCATCTTCCATTGAATAAGTATAGAAAGGTTTTTTATCTCTACCATTTGAAGATACACCAAACATTTCCAAACATTGGGGAGTGGGAGTACAAGTAAAACTGAAATAGGTGATTTGACTGGTTTGTCTAGTCTTGCCAACCAAAAACTCGTGTAATTTTTCAGTGGTGCTCTTGCCATGAGAACGATGAGCCTCATCGGATATAATGGCCACTGAATTGGTCTTGAATGAAAAATCTGCGTTGCCATTCTTGTTGGGCAACAATTGAGCAAACTTTTGCATAGTCGTAATAACGATTCTTCTCTTGCCATACGATATCTCTGATTGAAGTTGTTTGGATGATTTGGGTCGACAATAATTGGTTACTCCATTGGCCTCTAAAAACTTTACAATCACATCTCCCAATTGTGCATCCAATTGACTTCTATCATTCATAATTACAATTGTATCAAATTTTAATTTATTATTAATCTAAATAGAAATAAAATAAAAAAAGATTAAGATTAATACTTGTATATTTAATTATATCTCTCTTTTTTATATTTTCTCCTCCTCTTTCTTACTTCTAATTTATAAAGACAATAAACAAGTGTTGCAATGGTAATACTTTTACCAGAACCAGCAGCATGTTGAATTAAATAATTATATCGTTTGCCTTGGAATGAATCAATGTGTTTTGGATATGCCAAATCTTTGACAACGTCTCGAATAGTCTTCCATTGATGATCTCTTGGTGCTAGATTGTTCTTGTTGGCAAATGACTTTTTGATTCTAGTCTCTAGGAATTTATCTAGATTATTTGAACTACCAGTCTCCCATGGATCCCATGTAATATCATCTTGTTCTTCCATTGGTAGTAGTATTGGTTTTAGTTCTTCTTCTTCCTCATCTTTTACATCAATAACATCATCATCATCCACATTAAATACTTTAAGTTTATCAATCGATGTATTGTTTTTGTTATTGTTATTTTCGTCTTCGTCATCATCTTCAATTTCTTGAATAATATGTGTTGTTGTTGTTGTTGTTGTTAGAGATAGTTTTGTTGGTTCAATCGATGGTGTTGAAAGTGCAGATGAAGTTGTTGATATAGATGTAGGTGTAGTTGAAGTTGTAGTTGTAGTTGTCGTTGTAGTACTATCAATCTTTTTGTTGTTGTTGTTGTTGTTGTTGTTGTTATTATTATAGGTTGTAGTATTATAGGTTGATAAAGAAGGAGATGAAGCAATAGACTTTGAAATAGATGGAGTTGTCGAAGATGAATCTAGAGTAGTAGCAGGTTTCTTTCTTGATACAATCTTTGGTAACGATGTTACCGATACTTGAGAATACCCATAATCATCATTATAGTCACCCATCTCTATCTATCTATCTATCTCTATTCTATATGTATCTTTGTTTTATAACTGATTCTTTAAATTGACAACGTTGTCAGCAAGGGGAGAAAAAAAAACAATTTTAAATATTAACCTTTTGAAGGGAAATTGTGGCATTAAATTATAATAATATACTATAACATAGTCGTTTGTTTAATATATATATAATAAATAATAAAACTCAAAGGTTGTCAATGTAGTGATATTGAAGTACTTTTGGAAAAAAACAAAAGTTGGGAAATTTTAAATATATATTTTCAACACTAACAAAAAAGATAGGATAATGAACAACTCAAGTATAAACATAAATAAATATATTAATATTTTTTGAATTAATTGAATGAATTTATTTCATTTTTAATTTACAATTGGAATAATAGTAATAATTGAACAGCTGGCTATTCTCAATGTGTGTTGTTAAAAGATATAAATAAATCGATGAAAGATCTTTTATCATCCTCTATCCAGGGATGGAAGGAGTCGTTTAAAAAGACGACGCTTTCAAGTTGACCTGGTCCAAAAAAAAAAATTAAAAAAAAATTGAAAAAGTTTCATGATCATTCACACCTTTGGTTCGATTTTTTGCTCACAACCATTCCTCTTTTTCATTACTATTATTATTACTCTTTAACGCTATAATATATCACAGATATAGAGAGAATGATGATTAAATCAATCATAATATTTATGGTGTTGGCCATTACCTTGTCGGTTGCCACATCCGAATTCGCATACTATGTCGACCGTTCAGCCGACATTATCATCGAACCAAAACAACACACTGTAAGTTCAACAACGAACAACAAAGACAACAACAACAACGACAAACAAGAAGAAGAAGAAGAAGAAGAAGAAGGAATAGATAGAGTACAGATTATAGACTTTATAGATAAAAAGAGAGATGGCTATTCTTGTCTTATAAGATTCTACTCCTTCTTCTTTTCTTCACCAAAACATTTTGTATACGAAACATGTTTATTCTAATGTATTCCCTTTTACATCTTTATTAGAACTCATTATTATATTTAAAAGGAAACATTTTCAACAGTGTCAACTTTGATAAGATTAAGGATACTCAAATCAGCACTTTAATCTCACATGTTATGGGTACACTCCCATTAAACAATGAAGACAGAACTGGTTTCCCACAAGTTTCACTCTTTAACAAACCAAAGCTTAACCTTTTCTTTGCTCTCGATTCAGTTTCAAAGGGTATATATATTAGATACAAATACATGTATATATATTATTTTAGTCTCACACTTTACTTATTCCTTCTTTTTCTTTCTACTTCTTTTCATTTTACTTTTTAGAAAACTTAAAATCATTAACATTTTTAAATGGAGAATCAGTTCAAATTGAAAAGAACTTTTATCCAATGGATTCAGTATCTGAATTGACCACCATTTTCTCTGGTGTCACTCCATCTGAACACGGTATTGTTGGTGCCAACTGGGAGAACAAGTATGCCGAAAAGGTTGAATCTTTTTCACGTGGACACTTGTCTAGCAAGATCAATTTGGCCGATGTCCAAGACCGTACCTTCCAAGGCAAGTCTATCATTGTATCGAGCTCAAGCAACAAGCAACTCGCCGGCGCCATCACCGCCCATCCAAAGCCAGCCCAACCATTCTTGGGTGCCGATGCACGTACTGTCGAAACCTTATTGTACAGCCGTGAGTTCCGTCAATTTGTCTTGCCAGAGGGATGGAGAGCCGTCCTCACCTCGGGTTCGCTCAAGATCACCACCGCCGCCGGCGAGTCTGTCACTGTCGACATTGACGCCGAGCCATTTGACAGCTTGCTCACCGAGTTGGCCGTCGTATTCAACACTGTCAAGGCACTCGGATCCAAGGACTACTCTGAAGCCGTTAATGACGCCATCCCAGACCTCGTCTCGTTTGCCTTTGGTTCACTCAAGTCTGTCGACCGTCAAGGTGAATTCTTTACCATTGCTCTCGCCATGATCGACCGTGCCATGCAATCTTCATACGACCAACTCTCTGGTCTCTACAGCAACCGTATTGCCTGTGAAGTCGTCGTCTTGAACGGTGGTGAAACCATCGTCGACAAGGAAACCGTCGACCAAATCAACATTGTCGTTGGCAAGCACACCTACTCGTCACGTATCGTATCGTCGCCATCCATCTACTTGCGTCCATCCTCCAAGAACCAACGTGAAGAGATCTGCGACCAATTGATCGCTTCCGTCGACAACACCAAGTTCAACGTTCACTGTGCCACCAAAAACTCTGTCCTTATCCGTGCTCAACCAGCCAACCTCGGCGAAGACGGCTCCTCATCCGACGCTAGCAATGAAAGCCCAGCCCAATCATACGCCGACATGATCGTCTCCAACCAAGTCGCCGCCTTCCAAATCTTCCTCTTCTTCCCAATCGTCTGGGTTCTTTTCATTGCTGGTGGTTTCCTCCTCACCATGGGTATTAGCACTGACGCTCAAAAGGATACCTTATTGTACAGAAACACTGGTAGAAACCATTAAAACTATAAACAAAATAATAATATAATAAGAATTCTTAAGAAAAGAATAATATTTTTTTAAAAACAATAATAAATAAAAAAAAATTACAAATAATAATTAATTATTATCCTTCTTTTCTTTTGATTGTAGGAAATGGAAACATCCGAATTGACCGACAAAAACAAAAAAAAAAACGAGTACTAAAGTTTTTTCGTTCGTCAAAATACAACAAAAAGAGATTCATCTTAAATTTAATTTAGTTTAGTTATCAATCTCTCTTTTTTTCTTTATATATATATACTCATAAAAGATGAGACAATTAAAACATACAGAGCAAAAGTTATTAAAAAAGGTGAACCTTGTTCACTATAAAAAGGAGAGTCCAAGAGATTTGCTTAATATGCAAACTTTTGGTATCGCCTCTAGAGAAGAATATCAACAGTAAGAGAAGAAAAGAAACAACAAAGGAATCATCATATAGATCAACAACATAATATCTTAACATACCTATTTAATTCGTTTAGTTATGTAAAACTTGTAAATAGTATTCAAAAATTAGTAAATTTAGTAGGTAAACTACCAGAAGGAGATCCAGTAAAGAAACAAGTTACAGATCAATTGGTAGAGAAATTATATGATATGGGTGTTGTCGATGAAAAGGTAACTGCTTCATTGGCCAAAGTTGGTGTATCTCATTTTTGTAGAAGAAGAATCCTTTCAATGTTGGTTCAACATAAATTTGCTCAAAATCTTACTCATTCAATGACTCTTATTAAACATTGTCGTATGTAACAAACAAAGATAATGAAACTTGATAAACCAAATAGGCGAAATAGACAAAATAGATTTGATTCTAATCTCTCTTTGATCTATAGATGTAAGAATTGGACCAGAAGTTGTAACAGATCCAGCCTTTTTAGTAACTAGAAAATTCCAAGATTTAATGACATGGACAGATCAATCATCGATGAAAAAGAAGGTTATGGAATACAACAACAATTTGGACGATTACGATTATCACAATTAAAGAAGAATAAATCGATTAAAATTAAAAACAACAAGAAAAGAATGGATTAATTTTGGATTAATTTGGTTTGGTTGGATGATATATCTACAAAATATACTATTTATTGCGCAATAAGAGTAGAGAGTAGAGAGTACTCTCTCTCTTTCTACTCCCTCTTTATCTTTTCTCTCTCTATAATTACTTAAATGATAGAGAGAGTTGATGGAGAAAAAGTAGATAGTAGATATATAGGGGGTGAAAATATTATATACAATATACAAAAAGGAAGGTTGGTTGGGTTTGGATTATAATTGGATTGCTACTACTATTTTTACATTATCATTTCCTTGTAATAATCTGAATAAGAAAAACCAGTATTGGAATCTGATTCTTGGTGTTGATCAAGTTCAAAGTGATCCTCTTCAAAATTTGAAATGGGCGATGGACATGGTTCTGCCAAACTTAATTCAGGTACACAAAAGCCTAAAATAATAAGAGTAATGAGTAGAGTATTAATATATATATATTGGGGGATATCTAACCAATTATTGGTTTCTTGATTTAAATTTTCGTACTCTTAAAATCATCTTCTTCATCATTTAAAAGATAAGAGTAGGTTGGAGGACATTCTAAAAGTGGAGTCATGACAAGAGAGTGTATTGTCTTGTCTGATATCTTTGCACCAATCGATAAAGGGATAGGGGGTTGTGGATACATTTGATCAAATACAATGGGAGGTTCTTGTAGTTTGATATTGTTCTTTTCCGAAACCAGTACCTTTGGTGTAATGACTGATGTGATTTTTGGTTTTCCTGCTGATATCTTTCTCTACAAGGTAACATTAGTATTTTGGAGTGTGTATTAAACATTTAATTTATATTTACCTTTAATTCATGTGATCCAGGTACAAATAAAAGATTGGATAGTGGTGATGTAGTAGAAGATGGAGTGGATGATGTTGTCGAGGATGGAGCAGTTGTAAGGATTATCTTTTTATCTTTTAACGATGGTAATGATCCTTTGTTGGTGACATCACCAAGAGCCTTTCTTGGAGCAGATGATGAAACGAATGACTTTTGTTTCAAAGTAGTAGATGGTTGAGGCATAAACGATAGGGGAGCAGATGCATTACTCTTTTTCATAGAGACTGCATTCTCTTTCTCTCCTCCCATCATTGACAAGTTTCTCATTCCACCTGATACAATCATGATTTCTTTCAATTATAAATATATATTTTATAATAATGGTGAGGTATGTTGTTTGTTGTTGTTGTTGTTGTATGTATAAATACAGTTGTGTAATAATGATAGGTTTAAATGATTATTATTACTAAATATTGCTTAATTAATTAAAATATGAAATGAATAGCTCGACCAGTTTTTTTGATGGACATCCCGCCATTTAACGGTCATAAATTCAAATTTTTGCACTATTAAATTTAACTTCAGGTGCTGGCATCCAAAAAAAAAAAAAAAAAAGATGGTTACTGTTAAGCAACTCATATGAGTGAACAGATCTCGAGGTTTTCATTGATAATTGAGAGTTTGATTGCTGACGAGACCTTGTAAGGATACTTAGAGTACCTGGGGGCAAGCCCGTCGAAATAAAAACATGTCTCTGCGTTATGGGTTGGGGATTGGGAAAAAAAAACGGCATGCCGGTGTATTTCATATTTTAATTATTCCTTTCTGCGAGCTACAGATAAGCTTAATGTTATTGTCAATGGTGGACAACCCTCAAAAGGAGCATTCAAGTATTGGATACATTGTTAAGGAGGCATCCAGGTACCAATCTTTAAATTGAATAATGATTCATTGTCAATTAAAGACCACTGGTGTAACATCATCGAAAACACCAACAACATCGAGGAGTACCGCCAAGCACTCGCCATCACACAACTATCGAGTTATTTAAACAAATTATTAGGTATTATCTAGCGATCATCAGCTGTAGTACAAAAACGAAAAAAATCAGTTTTTTTTAATACCTAATAATTTGTTTAAATAACGATAAGTTGATGATCATATTGGAAGGATGGGTAACAATGAATTGAAGACTTGGGAATCCCAACACCGTTGTTGTGATGCATAATCGACCCGTTTTTAAAAGTATGTATCTTAATAACTACGTTAGAAAGAGTTATTAACCAAGATTATAGGTATTTTCATCATGTTCAATTCACTTTGTTCTAATCGCATTTAATTCTGATCTGCTGTGGCCGTTGGTGTTGCTATAGATTCAGCTGATTGAATTAAATGCGATTAGAATGATTGAATCATGTTCAAGTGGTCTGGTCGGCTCCTTCCCTTTTTTAACTCTGCTACAGTGTTGCAAGTATACATATATACATATCATTTCTAAAAACATAGACAATTTATTTATTTCTAATTTATTTATTTATTTATTTATTTATTGGAATAAATCATCAGTTAAAAGAAAAGATGGTTGAATATTATCATCGGCGAGAAAATCGAGTGGATGATAGATGAGGTTACCTCTAACCTCTGACAGTAAACGAGTATCATCAATGGAAACTGGTTTCTTGAGACATTGATTAAACTCGTCGCATGTCTTTATCGAGTTTTTGGGAATGGCTGCAAACACAGTGTCATAGATACGAGTATTTGAAGCTGCTGTTGCTATCCATACACCAATATAGAATGAACTATCGATTGGATCCGTTAGATCAATACCACCAACTACACTTGATTCAATGGCTTCCGAATATAAACTTGACAATGATCTTGGTTGAAGTTTTGGTGAATCAATTTCAGAAACATAAACTACTTTGTTTATCGTTGTTGTTGGTGGTGGTTGATCATGTTGTACCTTTTGTGGTGGTTGCGATGATGGTATTGTTGTTGGATTTGGAAGAGGAGCAATAAAAGATGTTTCTTTAATTAAAGAATCCTTTTCCTTTTCTTTTTCTTTTTCCTTTTGGTTGGTAATTTCCTTTTGGTCTGAATTATAATCTTCAATAATAACATTTTCAGGATCTATAATATTCTTGGATACATTGACCACTTCAAATATTTCATTCTTGTCTGCTCCCACTCTATTCTCTTTTTCCTTTGTTATCATTTGGGAGATCGGCGAAGAGAGGGTAAGTGATGAAGGAGGAGGATCAGATGATGACGAGGGAGAGTAGGACATTTGTGAAGGTGGTTGTTCAGTGGCTTGATTGATATTTGCCTTTCTCGGCGAGTGTTGTGGTGAATCCAATGGTGACGATGGAAGTGAGGAAATGGGTGTTTTGTTTGATGATGAAGGTCCTTGGAAACTACTACTACGATGATGAGATTGTTTTGGTATTCTATATTGTGAGTTGATTGTAAGTGGTGGACTATTAATTGGTAAACTATTTGAACTAGTGTTTTGATTACTAATAATATTTTGATTATTATTATTATTATTTTGAATATTTTGATTATTATTATTATTTTGATTAATATTTAAATTTGTATCTACATTTGGATTTACAGTACTACTATATGAAGAGGAGGATGGAGAAGAAGATAGAGATGAAGATATAGATGAAAGGATAGAGGAAGATGAAAATGATCCAGATTGATGAATACTATTGAGTTTGTGTTGCATATTGAGTTGTGATGAAGCTGGAGGTGTTTGAAGAGGTGGATGGTCAATATGTGGGAGTAGACCAATATGTTCTTTCCAAAGACGTAGACGAAAGTTGTATATTACACGACTGGCCATATACTCCTTGCCATTCATTCGTGTCTTTATCATATCCTTTTCGTCTCGAATGATAAATGCCAGCTCACTGTCACGCTCACCGTTGAGTGAACGATCGTTGATATTGGCCGAACCGACAATAGCCACACGATCATCGATTACCATCAGTTTCGAGTGCACATAGATTTGCTCAGTGACATAGTTGCCCTCGAGACAGGCATGTGTACGCAAAGAATAGAATCCAATGTATTCACTGAGATCTTCGTTTGGAAACTCTCTCTTTAGTGTCTTGACAATCGAGTTTTCATTTCTGATCAGCGTCAAGTACTGCCAATGCATCAAACCACGAATATGCGTCTCTTCTTGGAACTTGCCATCCTGTTGTGACGGCAACACGATAATGACACGAAACACTTCACGTTTTCGAATGGCTCTTTTAATACGCTTGACAATTTCAAAAGATATTTGGTTCCATACTCCTGGTGCATGTGTAGAGACAAAGTTTTGATTTTCAATATAAATGTAATGATTGGCATCCTCGATTGCTTGTATATAGGCAGTGTGGATCGAACGTTCATTACGGCCACCACCAGACCATTCATCCATCGATCTAAGTAATTGACATGTACTAGACCCATTGGAAATGAGTGGTGTCGTATTGAAATAGAGTGGTGGATAGTAATCGTCTCTATGATGATTCCATCTCAACACAAAATTCAATGCTACATCTCTTGCTGCCAATCCATTCACTCCAACCATAATATCATGCCATGGCATACGTGCTATCTTTTTTCTATCAATTGAATCTTCATTTGGTGCAAATATATCTCCCATTTCTCCTAAACATGGATTATACTAGTAAAATAAAAAAAAGTAAATAATAAATAAACTATGTTCCAAAATAATAATAATAATTATTTTACTTACATAATCTTTTCCAGGCCATAAAGTTGAATTTACATCAATTAAATGATGACACCAATTATCATATCTACCAAAACAAAAATCAACACCTCCAACAAATGCAATTTCTTGATCAACAATTAATGTTTTTTGATGATGTGACCAATATATTGGCTAAAAAGAAAAAAATAAAATAAAATAAAGGATAATAATAAATATTAATATATTTTTTGTTGATTATATATATCATATTAATACTTACAGTAAAAGGAGGATGTCTAATAACTTTAATATTATTATGAAGTTCTTCTAATTTATCTTTTGCTCTTTTACTTCCTTTAAAGGTAGCAATTTTAGTTTCATCCCATAGGAGGATAAATATCTTTACACCTTGTTTTGCCTTTCTTTGTAATAAATTATCTAATCTATATTTAATATCAAGTACTGGATACCTAATCAAATATACTTCTGGTGATAAAAACCATGCTGTTATAAATACTTCTCTTGTTGCATCTAAAAATAAATAAATTAAAAATTAATTAATTAATATTGTTGTTTCTTCTTCTTTTAAATTATTATTATTTCTATTTCCCTTACTTTCGATAGCTAAAGCAGAAGCAGCAAAATAATCATCACAATCAACATAGAGTTTGGCGTTGATATTTTCACGTGGTGGAAATCTTGGTTGATTGGGATCAGGATTATCTAATGGTGTTGAAGTTGGAATGATAGAGTTTGGTATATGATGATTACTACGTTGTTGTTGATGTGGAATATTATAGGTAGTGTCTGTTGAAGTAAAGGATGATCCTATTCCTGATCCCGACATTTGTGGAGTAGATGATGGAGTAGTTGAAGAATCGGGGATAATCATATTTAAAAAGTTTGTGAATCCATCAATTGGTTCTTCAACAAATGATTTAGTGCCAAGCATTTCATCTAGTTGTTTGAGTTCACTTTCAAGTGATGTCTTTCTCTTGGCCAATTCCATTCTAATCTTGTATACAGAGATTGGATCGTCGTCAGAGTTGCTGGCCGACTGTGTCGCCAAATTAAACTTGACCGATTTGAGGTGTTCAATCAAGAGCAATCGATTTTCATCCAACTCTTTCAATGTCTTTTGAGCGTACTGATAGAATGCTGGAAACTGTGACTGCGAACTCGTCGGAGACATTGATTTGAGTCGTACCATTGTAGATGGTGTTTGGGTAAGATTACCACCTTGCAATTCATTTCCATGTGTTGATATTGATGATGCATTATTCAACTTGTTAAATGATAATTGTTTTTGTAAATGACCATGATGTGATCCTCCTCCTGATGCTGATGCCGCTGCTGCCGCTGCTGCTGAAGATGGTGGAAGTAGATTCGATGATGTAGTAGTACTTGTTGATGATGTTGTGGTTGTCGATACTACTGGTGGAGGAGTTGGTGTCGATCCCAAAGATGACAGTGATAATGAAAGAGAGTCAAAAAAGTTTGTTATTTGTTGTAGTATCTCTGGTTCCTTTTCTTTCTCTTTATTATCAACATTTGACATTTCTCTCTACTCTATTTATTGTTGTAAGAGAGTCTCAAAACTTGTGTAAAGTATAAATATACTTGTATATATATATAAAATAAAAGAAATATATATAATGAATAGATACTAACTAAACTATCTTGAATAATGATAATGATAATAATAATAAGTGTGCGTGTGTGTTGTAAATGTGAGTGTGTATTGTATTGAGAAAAAGAGTTCAGATAATGATATCCCTTTTGTGTTTAATTAGTTAAAAATAGGTGTCTGAATGTATTCCTGAACAAGTTCACTGTTTTTTGAAAATGAAAAAAAAAAGAAATCAAAGGTGCCTGTTCCCGTTGTTCCTTAGGAACCGAGATATTTTTGTTGTTTGGGTGCCGAACCTACCTTGAAAATTCATAGGGCAAGTCAAAGCAACACTTGTTGTGACCAAGAATCTAGTGACTTCTGATGATCATTGATTTGTTTGTTTGTTTGTTTGTTTGTTTGTTTGTTTGTTTGTTTGTTTGTTTGTTTGTTTGTTTGTTTGTTATGTACACATTATTCCATCAAAAAGATGGGCAAGTAGACTATTTTACATTATTTATTATTGTTTTGGTTTTGGTTTTTTAATTAATTATTCACAAGTGTTGGTATTATTTCTTATTATTGTTTACTATTTACTATATTTACTATTATTATTATTATTATTATTATTATTTTTAAATTGGATTAATGGACTCTTTTTTTTTTTCTGCTAGGATCTTGGACCAGTTGAAAAAACAATGTCACTAATCATAGTTTCCAGCTCTTCTTTAGTGAAATGAGTTTTTTTTGACCATTTGAACTTTCTCAATCGACGGTCATACGATGGAATGATAATGTCACCATCTTCATAGATGGAACAGCAGTATCGATCGCCATAAGATTCCATTGGTGGACTATTGTTAGAGTAGGCTGTTGATGGTTTGGCTGATACAAATGATGATGACGATGATGACCCAGATGCAGATGACTTGACATTACCTACTGGAATAGTCTTCCAACAAGTAATCAAGAAATTATCAAGTTGGATAGGATGATAAAAAACGTATTCACTGCTTCCCAATGATCTTTTACATTCCATCTCCAATGCACATGTAAATTCTACCATGATTGAATAATAATATCTTTTTTTGATGGTATTGAAATTTCAAATTGACAAAAAAATGAAATGAATGAAGAAGATATAATTGGAGAAATAGAATTAAATTATTCTATATTATCAACAAATCAGAGAGAATGAGAGAGTAAGTGTGAGTGAGAAAGATAACAAACAAACTAAACAACCAATGAAATTCCCAAGAATTCGTCGAAACTAATATAAATATATTTTTTAATTAAAAATTTAAAGAGAGTTGCTTGCTTGTTCTTGTCTACGAATGAATAATAAAAATGGTGCGAAATGGGGGAGGAGATGGGTAAGGGTGTACCAATAGCAGGTGATTGAAATAGGTAAGTGGGTAAAGGTAGGTATGCTTTTTAATTATGATAATGAGGTGAGGGAGGGAGAGATTGAATAATTAAATAAATAATAATAATAAAAACTCGAGTTATAACTGATGATTAATACTAAAAAAAAGAGGATTGATGCTTTGTTTGTTTGTTTGACTATTTGAAATGAATAAATAAGTATGTATTATTCTCTCTCTTTTGTAAAAGATAAAGATAAAGATATAAATGAAAGAAATGAATGTGGAGAATGATGAATGAAAATGAAATGAACAGTTTAATATAAGAGGAGGGTGAATATAAAAATCATCAGCTGCTCAAGCTTAGTCTTGATTGAATTAAATCAAATCCATATAAGGCATTTTTGCAGGGATCTTTCTATGGGTTTCGCTGTGGTCTGGTTTTGGGCTTGACCCCCACCTTCCCCCCCTTTACCTACACCATAACTGTTTATTTTGGATCAAAAAAGAAATTTGCTTTGCAGAGTTTATCAAAAAATCCATTTTTTTTCAAAAGCAAATGGTTTGGTGGGTGCCTTTGCCAAACAACGAATATTCTATATTTCTATCTGTCACAGACACGTAGATCATTCAATTCTTGTGTTATCTGTTCATCATATTCTTTATCCGTCTTTGCAGCGAGTAAGTACTCATAACCAAAGGGTATGACCTCGAAATAAGAGTTTAGGCTCTTATTTTAACTTATTCATAAAGAGTTAGGTCCAACTCCTAAACAGCAGGACGTGGGAGGTTCATCTTTTTTTTTACACTTTGAGGACGATGAAAAATGAATCGGAGTCTTGCCCTTTGATCAAATAAAAATTTCAAAGATTTACAAATAATCTTTTAAATAAATAAATACTACTTTTCACCTTATTCTTCTTCTTCTTCCTACTCTTTATTGTTTTAAAGAACCACGGACGGTTTAAAAAGAAAGAAACAAAAAGTAATAATTAATTGTAATTATTACTTTGCATCTGTCACTCGTTTTTTTGAACGACGGAAATTCGTCTCGGTCAAGACCTTTTTTTGGTAATAGTATCGTCATGATTGATCATCATACGGGCTTGCCAACTGTCACCATTACTTTAATAGAGTCTCGACCTTTAAGTTATTTGCCTCTCTTTTGCTGCAGGATAATTGATTCAATAATTGAATATACTCTAGAATTTGTTCTTTGGTTAAAGAAGTGCTCGTATTTGCATTTGTCAAGGTCGTCAAAATAGAGGTGGATACCATCTTGTCTAAACACGTGTTCACCATATTCGTTTCTTTTATCTCTACATTATTATTATTATTATTATTATTTGAATCTGGTTGTGAACTAACGGTTAAAGTGTCAACTTCTTCATCGTCGTCAATAATGGTTTCTATCATTTGGTTTTGTTCATGTTTTAAACCATTTTTTAATAAATCCATTTGGCTAAGAATAGAATAGAAAAGTTAGTAATTAAATAATAAAATAAATCATTATTTACTTTACTTACAATTGATGATAATGTTTGTTAATTAAATCAGTTTGAACCAAAATTAAATGATCATTTATAGATTTTGTAATGGTAGCTTCCAATTCAAATGGTTGTCGGTAAAGATTATTTGGAGATTGGTCATTTGAAATGGTTATATATTTAAACTCTGATTGTAAGGTTTCTAAAGAAACTACTGATTTTGAAAATGGACTTGCAATAATACCAATAAATGGTTCAATATTATCTTCCTTTTTATATAATTTCTAGAAACAAAATATTGTTAATATTATAAATTACTTTTTCTTTTGATTTGTTTTTTATCATACTTGATAAGATGATTGAGTTTCAATATCACGAATTGAAGGAATGGGAGCAAAGTTTGGATGAGAATGATACCAACCAACAATTTCTAAATCCATAGAAGTTGCCAAATCACGAGCTGCTATGAGTGACGCTGGATCCATGTCACATTGAATATCGCTTGATATAGAATTGCATGGAATTGCCAAGCTGATGGATATGTGTTTGATAGTGTCATCGTATTTACCACACAGCATACCAATAACCTCTGTAGAGGCCATATGTGAATGAATGTCCATTGTCACTAGTGAATTGGTACTTGCATCTAATGTGAATGGTGCTTTGTTTGATTGATCATTGTATTTACTACATTCAATCAATGTAAAAGGATCCAAGTAATCATATATTTCTTCTTCTTCTTCTTCATAATCGTCATATTCATCATCATCATCATCATCAAATTCTTGTTTCTTTTTCTTTATAGAATGTTCAATTGTTAAATTATTATTTTTATGATGGTGGTTATGGTTTTGATGATGATTTTGAAGATGACCCAATTCTTTTCTTTTTCTAGAACCATTGGCTTGAAAATTAATAGCTCCAATTGATTCGAGGAATCCATGTACACGTCCAATTGCATTTACATCTCCACATTCTTTAATCTCTCTTCTAGCAATTGTTTTTGACAATTTTATAGGTTTGATTCTATTCCAATGATCTACAATTGCATTTCTAATCTTTAAATATCTATCTGGTGTTTTTGAAGGTATTCCTTTAAAGAATTCTTCACATCCTCTAATCTCTATTTCTATTATTTTATTTTTTGGTAAAATCTATAAAAAATTAAAGAAAATAAATATTTAGTATCAATACTCCTATATACATTGTTTATATATTTATATGTTTACCCTTTCAAAAGTAGGATATTGATTCGTTTCTTCTCCTTCATATTTTTGATCATTTTCTAAACTATGATCAATAGTTATATTATTGTTGTTGTTATTATTATTATTTACAAAATTATCTACATTTTTACAAGTATTGGTGATTGATTGTTCACCATCTTCTATATCAATATCAATATCTTCATCCTCTTCTGAATGATTACCATTATTATTATTATTATTATTATTAAAAGTTGTTGAATTGGGTTGTTTTTTTCTTGGACTCTTTACTACTACTACTTTGTTTGTTGATCCATTAGTTGTTTCATTGTTACTAATAGATTTAAATTCATCCAATAATTCCATATCACCAGATTCCTTTAGTTTCTTAAAGAATATTCTTGCATGATTCTTTACCTGCATCGATGTTCTTGTTTTAATATGTTCTGCAATCGATATCCATTTACTTCTACCGTATATCCTCATCCCTTCAATGAATAGTTCATGTTCTCTATCACTCCATTGTGCATTATGTGATGGTAGATTATTATTTGTTGTCTTTTTTTGTTGTACAATTTCTAAATAAAAGAAAGAAAGAAAATAACAGTTATTAATAACAGTTTAACTACACCTATAACTCACACATTGTATTACATACTATTAATATCAGAGATATTATGTTTCTTTAACTTTTGTTGTACTTTTTGATGATGTGATTTGATTTGTTCAACGGTTTTAGTCTTTACCAATGTTTGTATCTTTCGATAGTCTTTATCATATAGTTTTACACCTTGAACATACAGACTCTCTTCTTCATTGGTCCATGGAGTTCTAATTGCCTTTGCTTTTGATTTAATAGGAGTCGGTGTTTTCATTATAGGAGTAGTTGGAGGTGGTGGTAATAAACAAGGTGAAGAGGAAGATGAAGAAGAAGATGATGAAGAAAGGGTCGGAGAAGAAGATGATGTAATGGGTAAATGGTGAATCGTTTTGGATCCCTCTTGTCTATACTTGTGGTTGTGACGAGTAGGAGGTTCATCTTCATAGGATGAACTACCACTACTACCACTACTATCATCATCTTCACTACTTGATGTTTGTCGTTGTTTAGTATTACCAATGTTCAATGAAATGGTTTTCGATGATATGACAGGTCGATGATGAATAGTAGTATTAGTAGTAACTAGTACATCATCTTCATTTGATGATGATGAAGAGTACCCACCACTACTACTACTACTATCCTCATCACTACTACTACTACTACTTTCATTGCTACTTGTTGGCAATGGCGGTGATGTCAATGTTGTTGTTGTTGATGTTGTAGTTATAATATAGTTGTTACTATTGTTAAATATGGATAATGATGATGATGGTGGTGGTTGATCATCATCATCAACCTCTGATATAATGTCTACATCTTCTTCCATATTTTATTAATTAATTATCATTCGTCGTAGTATCTGTATATTGTATTACAAAAAAAAAAAACGATAATAGTTCTTCATCTTTGTCAGATTTCCAAGAAGCTAGAAATACGATATATTAAATTAAATTAATTTATTTTAATATATTAACTATCTTTCATAAATTGATCATTATTATTATCATTATCATCATGATCATCAAATTTAGTAGTAAAATAACGTTCTTGTATTTCTTGTTTCTTGTCAAACTCCCATTTCATCTCTCTTTCATGTAGTTCCATGATGGCGGCATTGTTGGTATTGAGTGAGTTATATACAAATCCGTTGCTCTTGTCGATGGCTTTAACGAGATCATAGACACTTTCCTTGTCCAAGATATTGAGTGGATGGAATGCAACCAAATTAAAATCCTCAATCAACGATGTCAATGCTTTGTTTAATTTGCCAAATTGTGGATGTCTTTTATCGGCATCCAAGAATGTATGTAGAAATCCAAGATCCAATACATCTGTATAATATTCTAATTGGAAATCTAAAAAGATAGATAGTTTAGTCACAAGTTGTTGTATTCATTACATTATTTATATATATATATATATATTTACCTAGTTCACCATTCTTTTCTATTAAATCTATTTTTGAGAATACATTGACATGTGGTAATGCAATACGAAGCATAGAACTCAACGATACCAACAATACCGATATATAATTACTTGGATTTTTACAATAGAATGAATCAAATACTTGTATCACTGTTAACTATATATATATATATATATATCAATCAATTGTTAGAATCTCCATAATTGTCTACTATTCTATCTATCTATCTATCTATCTATTTGTTTAATCAAACATACTCTATAAGACCAATTTGTAATTTCATCAAATATTCTACTAACAGTTTTATCGTGAGTGTACAATTCAATCTGACCGGGACAATCAAATATGATATAGTGATCGGGTATCTTTGCAAGTTCCTCTTTTAACCAATCTAGATTCTTTTCCAGATACTCCATCGAGTAGAGTAAAGCACCGTTGGGTCCCAACTCTTCGTCTATCATTAGTTTCTCAAAATCGATCAAATCTCGTACATCGATCGTTGCTGTATATGGTATCGTCTCATTTGCTGGGTCCAAGTTTACAACTGCTACCTTTCTTCCTATAGATGCTAAGAATTGTGACATTCCATTACAATATACTGTCTTTCCTAATAAATTTAAAACATCAACGTCAAGTTAGAAGAGAGAGGAAGAAGATATATATATCTCAATTGAAAAAGATAATAGAATAGATAAGATTAGATACGTACCACTTCCTGGTGGACCTATAACTATTTGACCAAATGGCATTTCTATATCTATCTATCTGTATCTATCTCTAAAATAATAATATTATCTTTTTAATAAATGAACTTGTAAATGAAATGTTTCATTTTCATAGATCACACGAATCGAATATTATTTTCGTCAATAATATATTGATTAATATTATTCTAGTTTAGTTTATAAAGTTTATGATGTTTTAAATTTATTATTATAACAAATTATGAATCACAATGCAAACATGTAATCATAATTTAATCGTCTTTTATCCAACCAACCAACTATTTCTTCCCTATCTATCTCTCATTTTTTGGTTGATAGTATATTGTTTGTTTGGGAGGGATTGGGGGGAAATCAATAATGGATGGATGGATCGTATAGTGAAGTTGTTTGGGGGGAAGGTGTGTATCGTTCAATTGTGTTGTGTTTTAGACGAGTTTCTTTGCCTTGAAGAAAGACTTCAAATGTCTCATTTGCCACATACCAGTGAGGACGAGAATGATAAGTTGTAAAACAGACCACCACATGACTCTGCTGTTGGTGCTTTCAGAGGTATTACGGAAAACAACTTCACGTCCCTTTTGGTAACTTTGTTCCTTTCTAATTTGTGTAACTCTATCGTTTAATCTCTTTACTGAAATTTCAAGGTCTAAAATTTAAATAATAATAATAATGGTTAGATCAAATCAATTGGTTATATAGTTGATTCTATTCTCTATTCTATTCTATTCTATTTACTATTTAAATGTTCAACCTTGGCAATTTCTTCGTAATCATTGGCGTTGGCACCAACTTGAATATCTAAATGTAATCTCTGCATCAAAAGTGGTTAATATCCATTATTCTTATTATAGTGTCTGAATTGTCTATATCTATCTATCTATCTATCTATCTAACATACTGTCTTGACTTGTGGACCGAACCATTTTGATGGATTGGTTGAGACGCAAATCTTGTATTCACCTCCCATTGCTGTTTGGAAAGCGAATCTACCAGTTGAACCCATAGTCTTTGAAAGTACTTCACGCTTTTCTGGGTCAGTAACTAATACTGTCAATGCTATAAATATATATAGATATAGATGTAATTGACATGTTAATATATGTATTTGACTGAGTCATCTTTCGTGTTGACCAATGAATTCATTCATCTTGTCTGCTTCTATGTTTCTGTATGTACCTAAACCAGAGTTAACAACACCATTTTGTGGATTCATATCTTCCAAGGTGAACTTTCCTACCAAGAGAGTATCCTTTGGATTCTCTTCAATGTAACACTTGACAACACCACCATTCAACTCCATGTAGAGTGATTGACAGCTTGTAAAGAGCAATGAAAGCAAAGCGAATAAAATGAGTGATTTACTGAACATCATTCTCCTTTTTTCTATATATAACGTCTATATAAATAACTATTAAACAAAAGAGAGAGTGGTAGATAGACAGAGATGAACCTCACTAGTATTTGAACATGGAGATGATCATCCATCAAAAACACAATTTTTTTTTTAATTTTTTTTTGACTCATCATCAAGTCCAACTTGTCTCTCAAAGTGGATGCATTGTCATTCCTACAGGATAAATATATTTATAGGTATCATAGTAATATCAAACTGTGGATCCCCTCATATGGTGATCCTTTCGTGATAATTAATTAATTAATTAATTAATTATCTTTCCATTTGAAATTGTCATCCACGAATCATCATGTCGTTTGCAGAATCCAAATAATAATCAATCATATATATGTTGAGTTCATATGATAGATATAGTGTATGTTTGTTTGTTTGTTATTGTTTGTTGGTATAAACTAATTGGCACGATTCGAATCATATGCATTTATTAATATTATCATTATTATCGTTTGTGTTGATCTTTAGTATTTGTGTTGTTTTATCCTTTTTTGTAAACCTGTAATGATGATCTATTAGTATTAGTATACTTCTTGTTCATTGCATTATAAACAATCACATACCATCATATCTAAGGGGTTTATAATCATTATACAAGTAAAAAAAAAAAGAGTGAAATGAAATGTTGTTGTTGTTGTTTAAGTTTGTTGATAGATACATCTACTTTTGATGATCACTCATCGTCTATTGTTATTATTCTATCTCTCTATATATATATTATTATTACTATTACTATTATTGTTATTATTACTATTTAGTGATGAGCATCTTTGCTTGGTGAGATGACATCAGCTAAACCTTCAATGACACAATATGCAGTAAAGAGAACGACGGCTGGCTTGAAACCAGGCAAGATGTTGTTGAATGCTGGCTTGAATACCTTTGCGTTTCTCCAGTTGTTTATGCTACCAAATACCATTCTATCTATCTAATCTGATCTATCTTTTGTTATATGTGTGTTGTGCTTGTTTGTAAAGATAATCAGATTAATATGACCGACTGAACAAAATGCTTTTTTCAATTTTTTTTGAATTTTTGCCGTTTTGTAGTTTTCTCAAACAAACTGTAATTCTTCATGAATAGAATATATATCTACATATATTCAAATAATTAAATTAAACACAGATTAGGTCTATAATAAACTATTGGTTTTTAAAAACTCTAATAAAAAAAAAAAAGGTGGTTGGAAACATTTTAAAAATAATATTGTTTACCAAACTCTCTATTTTTATTGGAAAATAATATTTATTATTATTGGTGAACAATTCCCCATCAAAGGAAAAGAAAAGAAAGAAGAATAAAACATTAGTATCCAACTATAATTTTAAATTTTAATGATTTATTATTTTTTAATTATTTACCAATAAATTGTAAAAAGTAGTGGTTTTGATATTTTTTCAATACCTGCTCCTTTTTAATTTAATTGGCCCGACATTTATATTATTATTATTGAACTTTGATTTATTTATTATTTATCAATCAATCACATATACATAATCAGCCAATATTCATTCTTCATCATATCGATTTAAATCAATCAATCAATCAATCAAATCAATCAAATCAATATAGAAACAGTCCACCAATCAAATCGTAATCAGTCAATTTAGACTAGAGCAAAGTTCATTGATATACTCTCGTTCGTTCGATTAGATTCGACTCAATTATACAATATATCAGAACAACAACGATAGCAACTACAACAACAACAACAACAACAACTACACTCAAACCCCCCAACGCACTAGTAGTCCAGTCATCCATGTCTGCAGCAGGTATGAACATATCGTCATCATATGACGAGATTAATAAGATCAGATCAGATCGGATAGATTATGTAACGACTCTATAGATTTGTCAATATGTACATACATACATACATACATACATGACCAACCCACTCAATTGCAACCACCCATCTTAATTAATGTAAAAAAGGCAGCCTTTTACTAATCTAATCTATTCCTAATCTATAACTAAACCAAATTTGAAACTTTTGTCCAATATCAGTAATTGAATCTCCTCCTCCTCAACAAACCAATGGGTTGAATGGAAGTGATGGAGTCGTTCATACAACAGACATTGGTCGCAAAAACATAAAGATATCGTCAGACATTAGCAAGACTTTGTACTATTATGTGGATCTAACCGCCAGATTCCTAGATACTGAACAATTCATTGATATATCTGGTTTGGGTAAAGGTGAGTAGACCAGACCAAATATATATATTGACAGATACTAACCATATCGATCAATCAACAGCCGTTTCCAAAGTGGTGGCAACAATAGAAACTTTAAAATCCAAAGGTGTAGTCCAAGTTGAAAGTATGGAACAATCAATTAATTAACAATAGTATAACCAACTAATACGAATCTTTATATCTTCTAAAGAAATTCACACTGGACTAAACTCTAGTGTAGAACTTGTAGTTACAGTTTCAAAGGGACCTCTTCACACTGAATATTTAAAGTCAATGGAAGAGAGAAAAGGAAAACCACATTCACCTTCTTCATCAAATGAGGATGATGATTAAGCGTCATGAATGAATGAACAAAGAAAAAGAAAAAGAAAAAAGAAAAAAAAAACAACAACTTGTATATTGATAATATTAATATTAATTTAACCAAATCATCCCATCCATCCACCAATCCAACTCATCAATCCAACTCATCTATTCACTTTTATATCAACATTTCAACATGTCATTTCAACTTTGATACAAAAAAAAAACAAAATTTGTAACAATTATAATATTGTATTTATCCAAAGAGTAGAATAATAATAATAATAATAGGCAACCACTTTCCACCATCAATCAAAATTATAGGCAATCATTTAAATTTAAAAATAATAAGAAACCATCTCCATTGTAAATTTTAATCAAAAACAACAACAATCATATATATCCAAAACAATCCTTATGTTTTGAAATATAAATATAAATATAATAATAAATGTATATAACAAATGACACTCTCTCCCTTTTTTATAATAACATGTAATTATTATTATTATTATTATTATTATTATTATTATTATCCAAACCATTATAAAATTTATTGAACTTAATCTAATAATTCTATTTGTTGTTGTTGATTTTCTTGTTCAACTTGTTGAAACAATTTAGCTATTATAATAGTTAACAAGAATAAAAGGGCAAATGTACGATTGGAAATAAAGAATTTCATACATGATTGTGGACTATTGAAATCGACACTCAACATTTGATAGGCTAGGTGTGATGCACAGACAGCCGATCCAATATAATATTCCAAAGGCATAGATGATGCATATCCAGTTGCCAACATGGCAGCAACGGTCAATGCAGAGAATGCACTAAGAATGACTCTACTACGATCACCAAATGCCAATGCGGTTGATTTTACACCAACCGAGACATCATCTTTTTTGTCCATATGAGCATAGATTGTATCATAAACCATTGTCCATGAAATACCAGCCAAATACAGTGGTAGTACAACCGACCAATCACAACTACCAACCACCGCAGAATATCCAACCAATGCACCCCAATTAAATGCCAATCCCAATACAAATTGTGGATAATAGGTAAATCTTTTCATAAATGGATACATAATTACAATTGGTACTGATGCCATTGCTAATATTATTCTAAAAACATAATAATAATAATAAAAGAGGTAAGATGATAATGATCTTTAGACCTTTGGGTTAATTTGAATTAATCAATCAATGATTCTTACGTATAATTATTAAAAGTTAAAAGTATACCAAAAGAGGTTAATAATTGAGCAGATAATAAAGCAAATGCTTGACGATGACTTAGAGCACTTGATGCCAATGGTCTAAGTTTGGTTCGTTCCACCTTTCTATCAAACTTGTAATCGGCCATATCATTGATGACACATCCAGCCGATCTCATCATAAATGCACCGGCCGTAAACATGAGCATCAACTTTAGATCTGGTAAATGACCAGGGTCAGCAGCCAAAGCAGTACTCCATAAACATGGATAAAGTAACAATAGTGTACCAATAGGTTTATCCAATCTCGACAAAAATATATATGGTTGAATTGATTTTGGTAATTTACTAATCCATTCTGGTGTTGTCGTTGATATAGTAGTTGTTGTATTTGTAGTTGTATTTGATGAAGTTGATAAATATCTATTATTATTATTATTATAAAGTTGTGGTTGATTATTATTATTATTATTTACATGTATGATTGATCTTTCTTTTCTAGTTGCTATTAACAATGATGATTTGTTTTGATTTGTAAAGTCTCTAATTAAGCGACGATTGAAACAACTAGCAGAAGCAGTAGATGATAAAGACAAAGAAGTAGAAGACGAGAATAATGAAGTGAAATGTACTGCTGTTGCTGTTGCTGGTGTAGAACAACTAATATCTTTCTTTTGTTTTAAACTGTAGTCGAATCTATTTGTAGTAGCAGTAGTCGTAGTCGAGTATGAAGATTGTGTTGATGATTGTGATTTTACCACAAAAGATGGTGCTACCAAACTGCGACACAATGATCGCGATACCACCAACATATCTATCTATCTGTCTATCTGTCTATACCCTTTTGAAGAGACTAACAAAAGTAATAATAATAATAATATCTTTAAGGTCCTTCCTCCAATGAATGATCAATGTCGGCTAAAGTCATTGTAGTTTGTTTTATCCGACCGACTTTTAAAAAGACACAAAGATTTTTGTGTTTAGAGGTTTCCATTGCGTAATGCTGCTGCAGAATCACTTCAAAAGAACACGTTTCGATGATGATACGCGTCAAACAAATCATTTCTTTTTTTTTTTAGCCCTGGTAATAAATAATAACCAAAACTATGGTACCTAATATTCGAGAGACTTTTAACTAAAATTGATTAATTGAGTTATAAATGAGAGACGAATGTTGGTATACACTCTGTGACAGTCCCAATGACCGACCCGATTTCTCCAGATTTTGGTGTTAGGGAAGACATGCTACGTCACCTCAAACTTAAAAATCGGTTTTTTACTTTGGTCTCAAGCTTGAGAATCTTGCAAGAAAAAATCAATGATTCATCGTTGGTTGTGGGGATGACAAAGCAAATTGTAATTGATTTTTTTGAAGTTAAGTTGCAAAAAGCGAGGAACAGGAAAAAAGATTGGAAGTTTTTTTTTTTTTTGTTCATCTTTCTTTTTTGATATAGACAGACAGACACAGAGCATATAGCTTCATTACAGAGAGAGAAATAAGCAAACAAAGAGAGAAAAGCACATTCATCAGCAGACACAGATTTGATTAAAGAAAAAGAGAGTAGGTTCTTCAATACATCAACCCACAACACTATAATGACAACAACAAACAAACACTGCAGTGTTAAAAAAAAAGAAGAAGAGCAACTTTTTGAAGGACTCACACAACAACAACAAAAACAAGCTTGTGGTGGGGGGTGAACCCAATCAAAAGAACAAACAACAACAAACAAACAAACATCACGATCACATAGATACATATGTGGTAGTTGGCGATCACATTCTCTCTCTTTCTCTACTCATGGCTCACACACACACAGCAATGAAGAGATTCTACTCAACTCCTCTCCTTTACTTCTTTCTATTATTATCACCAATATAACCATAAGCGTGGTTTAATAATAATAATAATAATAATAATTAATAATAAGCTGGCATGGCATCAGGCTACAACCAACAACCAACAACATCCATCTTCACTTTTGGTTTTATATTTTATCCAAGACGCGAAGAATCAAGTAATATAATATAAATAATAGTACTATTATTATTTATTTCATTAAAAGGTACACTACCTACCTACCTACCAACCAACTTTGTTGGTACCCAGATAGAAGAGAGAGTGGGAAACACATCTATCACACCACACAACACACTCACAGAGACACCATGCCACCTTCACCACGCACATTGTGAATCATCAATTCAAGTTTTATTTTGGTGATATTACAGATAGAAAAAAAAACACACATATATATATATATAATTTATATTTATGTGTTTGGTGTTGTGAAAACAACAAGAATAAAAGAAGAAGGAATTAAAAAAAGGAGGGGAGGTAGGATAGATAGATACATACAACACATACAACATTAGTAATAGTAGTAAAGTGATATATAGACATTTATATAAACCAACCAACTGAACAAATAATTATAATAACAACATACATACATCGAACAATCCCAAAACATAAACAACCATACTGGAATATCACACCAAACCACCCACCATAAATATTTAGATTATTCTTTTTTTGGTTGTTGTTTGTTCTTGTTCTTCTTTTTTCTCTTTATTTATTAAACCGTTGTAACGGATAATAATACTACTCTAGTTTTGATCATCACACTCATTACAATCAATCAATCAATTCTAATGTTTACTTTTACTTTGTTTTAAAATCAATTCACACTAACTAACTTTAAACTTTTTACCCCCTAATTTACTTTCTTTCTTTCTTTCTTTTAAAAAAAGAACAAAAACAAAAAGTCTCTCTTTTTCAATACAATACAATAACAACAACAACAATGGAGGAGTTACCTATAGAGATAAACATGGAGGCAATGACATCTAACAGCTTGTTTGATGTCAACTACTTTCTCGCTGATATTGGAGGTCTCCAACAACAACAACAACAACAACTAGACAACACTAGTACATTTATGGTCGACCACCACAATGGATGTGGTATTGCACAAGTTGATTCACAGCTCCAATTGGAACAATTCTACCTTCAACAACAGATGATGGATATGACCAACAACAACAACAATAACAATGCTATTGGATGCATTGCTACATCGGCTACTCCACTTTCATCACATTCATCACCTATTGACTATGCTTCTGCATCTAGTCCTACCATTTCATATCCAAGTTCACCATCGATGGTTGTGCCAAATGGTCATTCTAGCCCATACGACTCTTCAATGAGTTCTTCACCTGAACATCATGGTACAAATAATAATAACAATAATATTGACGTAAATATGATGATGAATGGATTCATCTCAACTAACACCGATAATAATAATAATAACAATACAATTGTAATGGATGATAATACAGCAGCAGCTATACAACTCTTACAACAACAAGAGCAAGAACAACAACAACAACATACATCCATTTCATTTGCAATGAATAATGATGGTCTCAATAATAATAATAATAATAATAATGTACCAATCTATGAAGAATCATCAATTGATGATAAATTAAAGAGTATCTTTGATAGAAAGGGGTCTGTTGCTCCATCCCTCTCCACCACCACCCCAACCACCAACACCATCACCTCTATCCCAGCACCAATCTATTACCAAGCCTATGACGACGATAGTTCATCGGGATCTGAAGGAGATGGTAGAAAAAAGAATAATAAGCGTCCAAATGATCAAACTCGTTTCCAAAATCGTATGTCAAATCAAAAGATGAAAGAAAGAATATATTAGTAGAATATATTAATATTAACCATTTGTTTGTTTACTTTACTTTACTTTAGTTGTTCACCCATTGACAAGAGATGAATTATTCAAGATTAGTGGAAAGGAAGCTATTCAAATTGAAGCACAATCAACTTCAACACCGGAAGAAGAACGATTGGTAAAGAAACAAAGAAGATTGATCAAGAATAGAGAGAGTGCTCAATTGTCGAGAATGAGAAAAAAGATTTTTATCGAAGACTTGGAAAAGAAGATTAGTGACTTGACAACTGAAAATGTTAGTCTTCGTGATGAAGTTTTGTATCTTCAAGGTATCATTAAACAATTTGCTCACGCCAGTCCAAATCTATTGACTGAGGTACAACAACAACAACAAGCTCAGCAACAACAACAACAACATCAACAACATCAATATCAACTTAGACACAAGAATGTAAAGGCAGCAGGAGTTTGCCTACTTATTATAATCTTTTCCATTGGCATTTTCCTTAATCCACAGCCTTCGCAACCATCATTTTCACTCACTTCTCCAACTTCATCTATTCCAAGAACCACCAGAGACATCTCTGCTTTGGAACAACCACACCTTTTAGACTCTTCTGCCACCTCTTCATCTGCCATTGTCCCACAAGACGACACTTCTCTGTATATGTTGTCTCCTGGTCCGTTCACACCTTCCTCCTCGTCATTGCCTTCGTCTCCCCGTCAACATCATGCCATCGGTGCAAATGATGAACTAAAGAGTCTAGTATTGACAAAGAAACGTCCTGCTGAACACTCGTCACCATCGTCTTCGTCGACAACAGGTGGTGTTGGTAGTGGTAGTGACACAGCAGCATCAGTTCCACATCACAAAAAACGTATTAGAATCTTGTCCAATCAAGATGGTGATGATGATGATCTTGTCGAAGTCGATAATAGTAGCCTTGTCTATAGTCACGATCCACTCTACAATCATAGAGTTGTAGCTGAATTGGCCTCTCCATCATCAGTCAATGGATTCTTTGAGACTCCACAACAACACTCTTCGTACATTGTTTGTAGTGATGCTCCACGTATCATTTCACAAAACATTACACAGACCACTGAATCCATTTTCAATTCCAACTCTTCGTCACCATTGAGTATTGGATTGTTGTTGCCAGCCGAGTCACTTGGTCTCAACGTCTCTGATGACCGTACCATCCTTGAAATCAGTTGTCTCGTCTCCAACATTCGTGTTTGGAATCCTGCAGCTGCCACTGCCGCCGTCGTCAATTCCATTTCTGAACCAGATTCTGTAGATATTCATCATCATCAACAACCACAACAACAACTTATTATTCATTCACCATAAACTAAATAATCAATCAATAACAACAACCATAATAATAATAATTTTTTCCCTTTTCTTTTTAAAACAACAAAACCTTAAAAATTATATGTAATATTTTCAACAAACAAACAAACCAACCAACCAACCAAACTAGATAGACTATCTTTCAAAAATAAAAAACCCTTTTATTTAAAAACAATCAATGTGATTTATTAATTAATTGTTTGATTTATAACAATTAATATAATTTAAATTGTGTTGTTGAAAAAAAAAAAAACGAACGAGACGAATCAAAATCGTTAAAAGTAAAGTATTTTTGTTTGTTTTAAAATACATTTCATACTCTGTTTGTTTTATTATTAATAGTTATAGTAGTTAGTAGTAAAAGATGATGATTAGTTCAAATAAACCTAGATCGTTGGGTATGTCAACAGAACATACTTTGACAGGTAGATCTACCATTGGCAGAAAGATGATGGAGAAGATGGGGTGGAAGGATGGTATGGGTCTTGGTGCAACCAACGAAGGTGATACAGAATTTATCAAGGGAAAGATGAAGTATGCAAACTTTGGTATCGGTGCAAATGCTACCAATACTCGTGCATCCGTCTTTATCAATGCTGACTATTCCGTATCATCTGTAACTCATAAAGGCAAATACGGTGAAGATTTCGATGATCTTTTATATCGTATGAGTAAATCAAATGGTCAACAAGAAGAAGAAGAAGAAGAAGAAGAAGAAGAAGAAGAGAAAGATAAATCAACTAAAAATAAGAGAAAGAACAAATCAAAAGAAGATAAATCAACAAAGAAAAAGAAATTAGAAAAGAATAGTGATAATGAAACAAGTAGTGATAGTGATAGTAATAGTAATAGTAGTGAAAGTGAAAGCGAAAGTGAAAGTGACTCTTCTAGTTCATCTTCCTCTTCATCATCTGATAGCAGTTCAGATTCAGATAGTTCATCGGATGATGACTCTTCATCAGATTCATCATCGTCCGATTCAGATTCATCATCTTCTGAATCAGAAGTAGAAACCAAAAAAGTAAAGACAAGTGACGAAAGCAGTAGCAGTGAAAGTGAAAGTGAAAGTGAAAGCGATAATAATAGTAAAACGAAAAAGGCAAAGAAATCATCACCAACCACAACGTCTGACAGTAGTAGTAGTGACTCTGAATCTGAATCTGACTCTGACTCTAGCAGTGTTAGTAGCAGTGACGATTCGGACTCTGACTCCTCCAGTAGTGAAGAGGAAACTAAAAAGAAAAAGAAATCCAATGATGATTCCAGTTCAGATAGTAGCTCGGACAGTAGTAGCGACGATTCAGATTCCAGTTCCGATGATAGCAGTAGAAGTAGCAGTAGCAGTGAAAGTGAAAGTGACTCTTCAAGTAGCGAGGAATCAAGTAGTGAAGAAGAAAAGAAGCAACCAGCAGCAAAGAAATCTTCTTCTTGGGTTGGAAATATTAGGTATGTTTAAATAATAATAAGAATAATTAGATTATTGTTTTGGATAAAACTGGAAACTAATCATATATATGTAAATTATGTAGATATCATAAAATTATGAAGGCCAAGAATGTCAAAAACTATAGTCAAGAAGATTTAAATGCAATTTTGGGTATTCGTCCAGACAAGGCCGAAAGAGGTGTCAATTTTCATGAAAAAGTTAGAAAGGAAACTACTGAAAATCAAAATGTAATTACTCCATCTCCTACCTACCTACCTACCTACCTACTATTATCTCTCACTTTCTCTCTCTCTCTCTCTTTGCTTTTATTTATTTCTAACTCTTTTTCATCACTTTATAGAAAACAGGAAGCAGTCGATTTTTCACAAAGTCAGAGACTCTTGTCAAGTTTGATTAAGCATAATAAAATAAAAGAAATAATAACGATTCGTTTTGTAGATAATATTATTCATAGTGTGTCGTCGTCATCCGTCTTGTCTGTGCCATAAACAAAAGTCAATTTTCGATGGCTGAGTTTCCTAGGAAACTTGGGAATCCCTCTAGATATGTTCATTATTGTTTAATGTTTTTTATTTAGATCATTCTAACACAATCAATCTTCTAGATCCAATCAACAGATAAGATATATTGCCTTTTTTCTAAAATGCGAACCGATTAATTTTTATTCAACCCAAAAATTGTAAGAACCCACTTGGAAAACAGCTTATTGATTGATTATGGATCTTCACCACCACCACCACCACCAATCAAAATGTTTTTTAATATTAATAATAATAAGATCAATATTTTTAAGGTCTCATTCCAAAGTTGATAAGGTCTCATTCCAAGGTTAATGTCGATGCAAAATCAAAACAAGTTTGGGCATTAATTGTGATCGTATAAAGTCTAGACCAAATAATCCAAAGTTGGTGGGATGGAAATGGAATGGATCAAGAGATTGGATATTGGATATTTTAGAATTAATATTAAAGAGATTGAGAAAACAAAAAGGTATTTAAACAACAATTTTAACATTGTTTTTAAATCATCAAATCAAATCAAATCAAATCAATCTAAACAATTAACTTAAATATGTCATCAAAATCTTTATTTCTTGCAGTTTTATCTGTTTTATTATTAATCCAATCCAGTGTATTTGTACTGGGAGCTACATTCAATGCCGAGTATCAATTACAACTTGTCAATAATGTAAGAGCCAAGAATGGAAGACCACCATTGATGCTCAGTCCATGTCTCCTTAAAAGTGCCCAATCCCATGCAGTCTACCAAGCCAGCACCAACACAATGACTCACAACTCTCCACATGGTGGTCTTAGTGCTAGAATGAGTCCATATGGAGCTCAAGGTATTTCTGGAAGTGCAGAGTATGTAAACTAGAAAGTTTAAAAAAAATCATCCTTTTCAATTCTAACCAAAATAATTTATTAAAGGAATGTAGCTTATGGTCAAAAGTCGGATGACGATGTTATGAAGTCTTGGGAAAGATCAAGTGGTCATCTCAAGAACATTCTTGGTGATTACAAGTATTTCGGTCCAGGAAAAGCTGAAGGTTCACGTCCATACTGGTATGTACTATACGCTATTAATACAATCAACAAAACAAATTACTAATATATGTTATTTATATTTAAATTATATTTTAGGACTCAACACTTTGCCAATTACCAATCATGTAATGGAGCATCGGCAGCTCCATCCAATGGTGGTGGTAATGATCAACCAAGAATCCGTACCCCAACAAAGAAAGCTAGTAGCACTTGTGACAATTAAATTAAATTAAATTAAATTAAATAAGTGTTGTCTAACATCCCAAAAAAAAAAAAGAAAAAGTTGAAGTATTAAAAAAAAAAAAATAAATAAATAAATAGTACTCCAGGTTTGAAAAACTTTAAAAAATAAATGTGTCTGGTGTGTAATTTCACATCTGATCGGTTCATTCATTCATTCATTAACACATTTAAAATAGTATCAAAATACATATATCTCTATTCTATATATCAAGACTTGCTTTTGTACATAATAATAATAATAATAATAATAATAATAATATTCAGTCGATAGAGAAATAGAGGGAGAGAGATTTACTTACTCTTGAGTAAAAGATCTATAGGATGTCAGAATCATCATCAATAGATACTTTATATTTTATTATATACTCTGCGATTTTTGCAGTGTTTATAATCTATCTATTATTCTTTTCATCGTTGACATTTGGTTTCATTGTATCAAAGGTTGTATCTACCTTTTTACTACCCAAAGATACCTTTCTCCGAGTCAATAGTTTTCACATATCACTACTCTCGGGCAAGATTGCCTTTAGAGGTCTAAAGTTTGCAACAAAGAACACATGTCTTAGAGTGGTAGAAGGAACTATTACATTTAGATATTGGAGTAAAAAGACTAGATATTCATTAACTGTTAATGGTATAGTACAAACAAACGAAATAAATAGTCTTTGTATTTATTTATTAATCTATTTTTTTTATTTATTTTAGATGATAGTCCATGTAGATTAGCAATTCATTTAGAAGGTGTAGAATATTTAGTTTATAATAATAGTTATAGATATGATCAAATTGATAAGATTATTAAAGAAAAGAATGGTGAAACTGTTCAACAACAACAACAACAACAACAAGAACAACAACAACAACAAGATGGAAATGGCGATTTCCACAACAACAACAATGAAAATGCACAAAAGATTATAGAAGATTTAAATTTACCTTCTGTAAAGGATTTTGTTAGACCAATGTTTTATAGAGTATTCCCTGCTTCAAGTTTATCGGTTAGAAAGGGATGTATTATGGTTAGTAATCCTGAATTACCAACGATGCTTGTTATTACATTTGACAAGAGTTCAGGTGTCTACACTACCGAAGAGACTAGTGTTGCTTTGGATTACTATCGTCAATGTACTCAGGTTGAATTACAAAATTGTAAAATCAACCTTGAACATAACAAAGATTATAATGGTGAAGAAGAATTATATGTTGAAAGACCTCAAAAAGAAGAGTAAGAAAGAAATATCAAATAATTTTAAATATTTGATTTATTAATTCTTTTTCTATTTTTTTTGTTTCTATTTTAGTTTTGTAACTTATGCATTTGAAAGTTTTAAATCAGTATTTAAGGATTTTAGATTTACATTTATCAATACAGATGAAAGTTATTATGAAACAAGTGATTTACCAAGAAGAAAGGATAACAACAAGAATAATTCAACAAGAAAGAATCAAGAGAATGAAGAATCTGAATTGGAATCATCAACATTTGATTATGGTAAACATACACAATTGTTGGTATCACCAATTGTTTCGATCAAATATTATAGTGATGTACCTGGACCGGTGGTGACTAATGTTGTCGATTACGCTGGATCAGCACCGCAATGGGGTATCGATATCAAACTAAACAATTGTATTATTTATTATGGGCCGTGGGCCGATCGTAATCGTACACTCATTCATAAATTCTTTTTCCCTCCCGATTATGAGGCACCACAAATATACCGACCCGTTATTGGAGAACAACGTCAATGCGCGAGTTTTGACGTTCGTATTGACTTGCTCAACAATTGTACGTTCCGTATCCCATTCCGTGAACTCACCAAAGACAATGAACGTCGTCGTGCAGGTGTCACTATGACCAAAGAGGAAATGATGGCGAGAAAGCCTGGATGGGTTGATATTCGTCTCGAGGAAAACTCATTTATCGATATCAAGAGTCCAATGCTCATGTTAAATGAACGAGGGAGTAACCTCAAGATTGATCTCGCTCTCAACAAGTTTGCCATGGTCACTAGCATCACCAACACTACACTCTTGACAGCACGTCAATTCAACGTAGTGTGTGATGTCCACTATCCATTGGTTTGGAATCATCTCACAGAATGGAATACATCCTTTGCCATTGTCAAGCCACAAATCTATCTCTTGTCTGATCATATCACTCTCTTTAAGGATCTAGGAAGTGATTGGTCAGCCGGTGAACCTGCCGATATCACCATGTTTATTCCAAAAATATTTAAATTTGATTTTAGTCTTTCAAATTTTAAATTATTTTGTAATGTAAATGAACAAAATATTATTAATCAACCTAATAATTTAGATGATAATGGTAAAAGAAATAGAAAATAGAAAAAAAAAAGAAATTTCTTTATTATTTTATTTATTAATTTATTTTTGTTTTCTATTTTTTTTTTTTAGCACATTATGTATTTACAGGACCATTTATGAAATCAAATTTAATATTACCATATACAAGTTTTCAATCACCAAAAACAGAGATTACATTTGATGTTAGAATTGATGAATTGGCATTAAAATTAATTCTTCCACTTTATAATACGATTAGACAACATTTGGAAGATATTGAAATGGAACATCTAGAGTCATTGGATCATAGTCAATTACTTCATGAGAGTGAAGATATGACAGATTCAAGTACAAACTCTTCATCCATTCCTCATGTCAATAGTTTTACAAGTGGTGGTGGTGGTGCGGCTACATATAAAAGTAGAAGAAAACATATCAAGGGTTCTTCACATTTTATAACCTCTGAAAAGTTTACACTCAATGGAAAATATTTATATCATTCAAAGGTTGATAGTTCTTATTTAGACTCTGTCGTTCTAAATATTCATGGTACAAGTCCAAAAGTTAAATTGTTTGGTTTCTATGTTCGTTATTTCCTCTTTCTTAAAAATAACTTTTTTGGTTATACTAGTCATATTATCAATCTCGAAAAGTACAAAGACAACATTGAAAAACAAAAAGAAAAACAAGAACAAACAAAAAAGAAAAAGAAAAAGGAAAAGGAAAAGGAAAAGGTTCAAGAACAAGGTGTAGAAAAAGAAGAAGAAGAAGAAGAGGAAGAGGAAGAATCGGATGAATCAGAATCAAAAGAATTAGCAAATGGTTTAGAGATTTATGTTTCATTAAAATTGGAAGATGCATCAGTTTATTGTCCATTGGGATTGTATAGTTCAAAACAACAAGCAACTGTAGCATTACACGAATTCCTTTTAGAGATTAGATACCTTCCAACTTATCTAGATTTATATGCCGATTTTAGTCCAATGGTTTTAAATATTCCAGTGTCTGGAGACGATGAATTGGAATTGTTGAAAATGTCAAATCTTGCCGACAACACTGGTATTGGTGGTTCTGCTGAACTGTCAAGATACATCCAAATCAATGACTTTACTTTGAAAATGCATTTCCTCTATGGTCCACAACAAGGTGGTGAAGCCAACTATGCCGATTTTGTAAATGTTCATATTGGTGCAGTCAGTGGTCACGTACTAGTCTCTCAAATCACATCGTTGGGTATTTGGATTGAAAACTTTTTCTTTCATCTCACCAACAAGGACAATGCACTCTCTACAAAGTTGGCAAGCAAGAATGACCCAGTCTATTCCATCACCAAGCTCAATGTCGACACCATCTCACTCTACCTCTACTCGAGTGAAAATATATCCGAAATCCGTTTTGCCAATGGTGTATCGGTTCATATCAATTCTCTAATTGATCAATTGTCACACAACAAAGTAAAGGTTGAAGTACCTGAACTTTCATTTAAACATTTGGTTCCTTGTATTAAAAATAATAATAATAATAATAACTCTAGTTTTGAACAACAGTATACTACTGGAAGAAATCGTCAACAACAAAAACACTATAACAAGAAATGGGCAGAAGTTGGAGAATTGACCATTTCAACCAATCTCAGTATCTACAGCAAAGAACCAAATTGGTCAAAAGATTCCAAACTACAGCGTCAATTCCTTAAACTGCATGATAGCGAAAATAGATTATTATCTTTTCTTTGGTCAGAACAAGAAGATAATGATTTAAATGATTGTGATTTTATTTTACCTTCAATTTTCTATCAACAACAAACTAATAATAATCAAAATAATCAAAAAAATAATAATAGTAATCATTCTAAAAATATTTCATTTACTCCAATTAATATTATGACTCCTCCTCCAAAATCACAATCAACCTCTACTACCTCTACAACTGGTACAAATTTTATGTTATCACCATCAATGAGTATGCTTATGCCTCAACAACAACAACATACTCCTGCTTCTTCATCATCACCAAATGTAAAAGAAAATTCAATTAGTAATAGTTCATCAATATCATTTACTCATGGTCAAAAATTACAATCAACACCAAAGTCACAACAGCAAGGTAATAGCTCATTCCTCTATCCAATTGGTAGTAGTAATCATATATTGAAATGGAATGCAAACAATTCACCAATTAGTCAAATGGGTCAGTATGGTGACTTTTTCAATCAAATCAAACAATCCAAATCAAATTTGGATATTGGTGGATCGACCACCGTCTCAAAACCCACTGGTAGTAATGATAAAATAGGTATACGTAATTCATACAATCAAGCATTGGAAACTATTTCAGGTGATGAAGATGAATCACTCTATGTATCAGATGAAGGTGAAGATTATCAAACTCCAGAATCATCACTTCATGAACCAAATTCTAGAATTCTCGGCGGTCAAGAAAGTGATAGTGATAGTGGTGGTGAAGCTTTTGAAACTGATGATGAATTGTATAAAACTACAAATAGTTTTATTACAAAGAGTCAAAGTTCAAATATTACTCTTCCAAACAGTAGTAATAGACCATCAGTTAGAATTATATCAACAAGTAGTGGTAGAAAATCATTAAAGAAATCAAGAACTGGTATATTTGAACCAAAGATTGAAGAGGAGGAAGAGATGATTGAACCACCAGATCAATCCCAATCTCAATCTCATCAACAATCAAAACAAAGAAATTTGAATCCATTGATTCAATCATTACGTAATCATCTTCGTACCTATTTCTTTAATCTTTCACAAGCAAGAATGGATGTATTTGGTTTGACTAGTCGTTCAAGTTCTTTTGTTGAATGTGCGAGTGTACAGAAACGGTCGTCTCTAAAGTCATCATTGTTTGGTAAACAACCACCTCCGGTTGAAGGTGTCAATGTTCATGATAGTATCCATTTGGAAAGTGATCAAGTAGAACTACAGTCATCATACATGTCATACGTATCAAATGTCTTGCGGTGTCTACCACCGATCCCCAAGAGAACCAAAGACAGTCGATTAATGGTTTATAAAAGTTTCAAAACAAATGAAATCGATGTTAATGACCCTCAACTCTATCGTGTCGACAATGAAGACCTCGAAGATTGTGATCGTCATGAAAAAGAGTTTGGAGAACATACTGCCACCACAACCATCTGTATCGATTCTATGCGTGACATTGAACTATTTGCAACACCAGTCATTGTCAATATTCTCGAAGAGTTGGTAGAATCTTTTATCGCCAAGGATCCATCGATCGATTATATGCTCGATAACTTCCAACTTCGTTCCATCTCTGAACAATTTAAAGTCAAGAAATACCTTCACAACAAAACAAGATTGACTCTAAATATTCACAAATTTAATCTTCATTGGATTCAATCATTACCAATCAAAAGTCATAACTCTACTACTTCTACTACTAGACTTTCTCATGAACAAAAAGTTTATATTACAGAGATTGAACTTGATAGTATTCATTTTGATTTATCAACATGTGCCAAACAACAACATCAATCTGATCAAAATCATAATCAAATTCTCAACGATCATACCAACAACAATAATTTGACATCACCTTCATTTACGCTGCCAGTGGAAGAATTTTGTTCATTTGAAACTCTGCTATCTATAAAGTCTATACATGGTTGTATGAGAGTAGATGAAGAGGCCAATGAAAAGACCGATCAAAATTATATTCCAGAAGAGATTTTATCAAAATATCACAAGAATCATCAACATTCTGGTCATAGAGTTATTGTATCTATTGGTACTGATAATATTATGATTCAAGGTAAATTTGATGATCATCAAGGTGAAAAGATTACATCATCCATGTTGGCATCATCATCTTGCAGTACTCATGTACCAAACAGTGCATTTTCGGTAACATTTGGAGAGATTTCATTGTTTTTAACAACTGATTCTCCATCTGTCATGTTTAATGTTGTTGATACAATGATCTTTCATATTAGTAAATTGGTATCTGTATTTGAACGTTACAAGGAATTGTGGAAACGTCAATTACAAACATTGATTGGTGAATTATTACGTTCTCGTAGCAAGTCTATTAGCAATGGACTTTTACAAAGATCACAAGCAATCTCTCATCACTACTATCCACATCATCATGGTGGTAGAGTAGAATTTATTCCACCAGACTTTAAAGAAATTATTGGTGATGAAGCATTGATTCATCGATTGGGATGGAAAGACATTTCGACGTTGCGTGAATTTATGCGATCTGCCGAACGACCAAATGTGGATGAAGTGGTTGCTGACGTGTCACTCGCCAAACAACACGACTCTTATCGTACCTTTCAAGAACTCATCAATGAAATCTACGAAATTGACGAGGGTGGTGAACTGATCCTCTTGTTCCAAAGCCCACTCATCAAAAAGGTGTTTATCATCCCACCTGGCAAGAGTACCTCGTTTGACATTAACCTTGAATTCAAGTTTGAAGGTATCTTGGCAGCCGTTATGAATGGAAAGAATAGTATCACCATCTCTCCAGACAGTCTTGTCATCAAATCAAACAATCAACTGTCGATTGGTAGATTCACCGGTGGAGCAGTCGCCAACTATATCAGAGAGTCTTTGGTAGAGAGTTCTCAACTACTACCAAAATCAGTGTCACAGTCTAGTGGTCGCAGTGCATTTGACATTAATTTCTTTAGTCAATGTCAAAAAGTATCACTCAAAATCTCTCCCGATCTCTTGACATTTGTTCAAAATACGGTCGATGAAATCATGCATATCGAAGGTGATTTGTTACGTGGTGAAGAGTTAATTCTAGGATCACATGATCTAGAATGGAAACCAATCCGTCCATCTGTTCAATTACAAAAGGAAAAGGAAAAAGAACAAGAAAAGGAAAGGGAAAAGATAATTACAAGTCCTTTGAATTTGCAAAGTCCAATTATCCCACCCAGTACTGCTGGATCACCCAAATCAAGACACAAGGCAACCAATAGTAGTCCAAATCTACCAACTCGTAATAGTCTCTATATATTGACAAACTCACCAACAACTTCAGCAAATACTTTACGCGACAATCTATTATTGAATCCTACACCAAGTGAATCTGCCTCACCTATTAGTGAACCATCACCAACTCTTTCACCAACTGGAACCATGCGTAAAACCGATTCCTATGAAAGTGCTCAACAAAAGAGAAAGAGAAATCGTGTCATTCACAGTAGTAGCAGTAGCAGCAGTGTCAATAATAACCATTCATCACCATCACTTACCATTACAGTACATGGTCATTTCTCATTTAAAGAACTCAATCTAAGAGCAATGACTGAAAACAATCGTAAAGGTGTCATGAGAATGCTACTTCGTGACCTTTCCTTTGTATTTAATGAATTTGGTAAATCAGATTCTAAAAAAAAGGCTGGTGGTGAATCACGTCCCAATGGTGATTACATTCATATGATTCATAGTTGTATTTTTAATGTTCCAGAAATTCAATTACAATTATTAGATCAAATCACTGAACCAACAAAGTCAACAAATAAGAATAATAATAGTAGTTCTTCATCCAATCCTTTAAAGAATATAAATTATGAAAAACCAATAATAGAATTAAATATTAAAAATTTAATGTTTAATGAAGTATTATTCAAGACTGGAAAGAAAAAGATGAGACAAATATCAAGTGGTAAAAGAGAAGAGTATATTGAATTTTCATTCAAATACGATCTAATGTTGACATTTGAAAAGGCAGATTTACCATTTAAAATGTCACATCGATTCTTGCCAAAGTTGAAAGATTTCCTAAAGGAATGGACACCAGAGAGTCCAAACAAGATGGCAGCAGATCCTATCCTTCCAAAGAGTACAACCAATAATAATATTATTGGTAATCTCAAATTCCCACCAATACGTTTTAAATTGGACCTAAAAGAGATTTTGATTAGTACCGATGCTCTATCTTCGTTGCCAGTCACCTATCACATCTCTCGTATTAGTGCATCTGCCAGTCAATTCTCACACGACGATATGGAGTTTCAAATTCAATTGCATCAACATCGTATTGCATTCTCTAATCGATCAGTCTCTAGTGATCCATTCCTTTTACCACGTATCAAAGCTTTTGGTGGTGTTAAAATTGATCGTCAATCAAAACTCAATGTATCTGCAAATCTTGAAATTGGTTTTATTCAAAATGTTGTCTCTATCGAATTGTTGGATAATATTTTAGTTCTTCGTACAATGTTATCAAAAGAAATTGATGACCTATTAAATAATTTAATTACAAAACCAAAACAACCCACTACCAACAACAAATCTAAACCAACCAATAATAATAATAATAATAATAATATTTCTTCATCTCCTACTTCATCTAATTTTATTTCATTAATTAGATATAATTTAACATTGGTATTAAGAGGATTTGAATTATTATTGGCAAATGATAGTAGTTCATTATTGGTTTCGACAGGAGCCATCGATGTTAGAGTATCAAATACTAGTAATGTTGAAATGGGTAACCAAATTGTCAATAATAACAATACATTTAACTGGAAGATTGGTCTTCGTGGTCTTAGTTTGATCCTAACAGACCCCACCTTTACATTGGCAAGTGAAAACATCAACAACCTGCAAGGATACAGTAGAATTCAAAGCATGAAATCTCAAATTTGGGCTGGTATCATTACTGATATATCTCTACAGTCATTCCCATTGGCTAGTAGTGGAGGAACTGGTAGCGGTTCAAACTCTGGTAGTAAATTATTGGTTGGTCAATCAAATCATACACCCATCTCTAGTGGTGGAGGATCGTCCAAAACAAGTAGTGGTAATTTATTGGGTGGAATCAAGACTAGTCCACTTGAAAAGGCATGGGTAGTGATTAGCAAGACTGTTGTTACATTCCAACCATGGGCAATTGACAAGGCAACCAATTTATGGTTGTTTTATTATCGTGCCTATCAAAAGACATCGGCTAAATTGGCAAAGATCAAAATGCCATCTGCCGAACAAGTTAAACGTGCCCTCGACACTATCGACATTGGTTCAACTCTACCCATCAAACAAACCAATCTCTCTCTACACATCAAGATTGAAGACACTTCTGTCTGTATTCCATTCAATAATCATGAACAACAATTGGAATTAAAAAGACAACAAAAGATTAAGATTGATCCTAATAATAACCTAACTTGTTCTGCTCTTATTGTTTCACTTGGTTTATTCTCACTCGATGGTGTTGCCATTAAACAATTATTAGAAGAAAAGGAAAAACAAAAAGATAAAGAAAAGGAAAAGGAAAAAGACAAAGAAAAACAACCCTCTTCTTCTCTCCCATCATCTTCAAAAGAATATCCAATGAAAGTTTATGGAGATTGTAAATTTAACAAATTCTCATTACAATTTGTTGATAATTATCATCCTGGATGTTTGGACAAGATTCATACGTTGAGAGCAGTTAATCGTGCTGTTATTGACAATGGAGATTGTCAAATTGTCAATGTAGTCTCTCCTAAATTGGTTCAATGTTTTGTTCAACTAAAAACATCTGGTCTATTCCTTCATCTCGATACCAAACTATTAGATTATATCGTTTCATTCCAAGATTTAATTTATTTGGGTCATGAAAAACTTAAAAATTTCCAAACTGAACAAGATCAAATCATGGCCCAACAAACCAGCAGTTCTGGAATAAATCATTCAACACCTCATAGAATCGCGCCAGGAGATAAATTAAAATCTTCATCACAAATTAATTTATCGTCGACACCAACAACATCGTCATCACATAGATTAGAGATTGAATTTTCTCTAAAAACATCGGTTGGAGAAGCAAGACTTATTAGACATACACCAGAACAAGATGGATCAGTAGCAGACTCACCATCGTTGGATGGTAGCTTTGATAAAACAGAACGAGTTGCAGATGATAAATTTAAAGATTATCAAGAATGTTTCCAAATTCCTCAATTATCAATCTCTACCACTCATGTATTCTCACCAGTTCAACAGAATCTAAAGAGATCAAAATCAGAAACCAATATCATGTTATTTTTGGAAAGTCAAGAAATCAAACTCACTCCTTATTTTACACATTTTCTCTATGACCTTGTTCATGATGCTCCTCAATCATCCTATCATCAACAATTTACTACTCAGCAACAACAACAACATCAACATCAACAACAACAAAGTCAACATAATTTACTTTCAGAAGATACAAGTTTGGTAGATTCAAATACAACACCAGGTTCTGTAACATTTACAATTCGTATCAATCCAACCAAAGTTTTATTGGATGGTGTTGATCATATCTTGGCAGTTGTTGAAATTGGAACCATTGATATCTTTTTCTCTTCAATTATCAAAGATACTGCTGCCAATAGAAGAGTCTTATTAATGAATGGAACGGTTGCATTGAATAATGTGATTTTTAGAATTCTACATAGTGGTAGTAGTGAAGAAAGATTAGGTATCCTTCTTAGAACCATTCAAATGAATATTGGTACTTGTCATGGTATCACTGACAAGGGACCAGTCATTTCAATCCTTTTCAACAGTGATAGTAGTCATGGTTTTGTCAATTCAAAATATTTGGATGAAATTTTAATTTTCTTTGGTGTTTGGATTCCAACAAAATATTCTAGAGATAGTAGCTCATCGTCACTCGCAGTATCTGCTGCTTCTTCACCAAAATTACAACCTCTACCAACAACAACTCTCCCACTACCAAATTCAAAGAGTCCACAAATTTATGTTACAGCAAAAATTGGTTCAATTGGTTTGGATATTGATTTCTTGCCACTCAGTAGATTTAATATGTTGATTAATAATATATGTGCAGTCTATTCACCAAATGAAGAAGAAACAAGAAATAGTAAAATATTCTTTTCATCTTTTTATACTGGAGCCATTTCTATCCTTTGTCATGGTAAATTGGAAGGAAACTTGGAACTAGAGGGTATAGCATTGGTTGGTGAAAGAAGACCATTTAAAAATACTGGCAGAGACATTAATATGTGGACAGCGTCGATATCACCTGTTAGAACATCGTTTGATTTTAATCAATCTGAAATTCTTGACCTTCGTTCGGGTGACATTTTATTCAAGTTTTATGACATTCCACTTGAAAACAACCAGCTTTCAATTAATCTAGACATTTCTTGTTCACTCTTGCAAGTACAATTGTCATGTGAAACAATTGAATCGATTGTAGAGATTATAAAGCGTATTCAAGAAATCATTTCGGACAAGGTACGTTTGGCCAAAAACTATCTCACTGGGAGGGGTGGTATTATGGATCGTAGTCGTGTTAAAAAGATTATCGACACTTTGGACCAAGTTGAAGATGACACTATTGTTCCAGTTGTCATTGGTCAAATCAAGGTCAAAGGTAACAATTTCAACCTTCTCCTATTTGGTTTTAGTATAAAGGATCCAACATGGATTAGCTTTACCTTGGAATCTTATCAATTGGTATTGGATCAAAGTCGTAAAAAAGATGAAACACATCGTCAACTCTCTATCCTTCTCGGTCAAAACCACATCTCTAAAATGACTGAACAATCTGCCCTTCAAGCAACACCACTATGGGCACGTGATCCATTCTCTAGACGTGCTGTTGAAACCAAGATTGTTAAAATTCCAGTTGCCAGTCTAATCATGTTTACAACAGAACACCAAAACAATAATATCGAATTTTATTATTTGACAGAATTTACAGATTCCATTGCCATCTCTGTCAATCTCAACCTTTACAATGATCTTCGTGAAATTGTTCAAACTTATATTCAAGCTGCTACCAATGATGATAAAGATAAAGAAAAAGAAAAAAGTACAATCAAATCTAAAAATCATAATCAAAATCAAAATATTAGTAATAATAATAATGTTTCAACAACACCACCAAAAGATTATACTTCAACATCATCAGAAATGTCAAACTTTATGTCGATTAATAACTTAACAAAAAGTTTTGATAATAGACCACAAAGTTTGATGGGAAAAAAGAAAAGAATCTTTTTGGAAAAGAAGTTCCAACTATCTCCTACACTCAATGTGCTGGGTGAATTGACTCCAAAGATTACAACTGTATTTGGTTGGTTGGGTATCAAAGATATTAATCATACTATTCCCTATTATACTCATATTGGTCTAACAGATAATTTAGAATCTGTTCTACTCTTGTTAAATTCTTTTTCAAACTTTTTAAATACTCATAATCAATTAAATGAACAAATTAATAAAAAATAGAATCACAAGGATTAAAAAAACTGGATTAGTCCTTGTACAGAATGATTGTTCAAAATAAAGATGATGCTTGGATTTTCAAGTTTACCATTATCATCTCCAACAGGTTTAAATCAAAATAATTGTATACAAGAAAGAAAAGGTTTTTTATATAATATATATATATATATTTTTTACTATACAGTGATCCCAAAATAATTCAATGTTTTATTATAATAATAAAATTGTATAAAACATTGAACTATAAAAGAGATGAAAATGATTGACCAAATATTTTCTTGTAGGTGATCAATAAATTTAAAGATGATGATGTTGTTTGAGATCTTGTGATCCCTAGTAGGATTCCCTACCGGCTGTTACCACCAGTAAGGGTTATAACGTGGTCTACATTCTGACATATCTGATGGTGATGCTCCAAAACCATCATTTGTGGCTTGTACATTACGTGTACCTTTTCCATTAAAATTTCTCTTCCACCATTCTATAAAATATTATATCATATCATATGATGTGATATGAGTTAAAAAAAAAAAAGTAAGTAAGTAAAAGATCAAAAAGAATTTATATCAATAGACTTGATTTGTTGTTTATACCTCTCATTTTTTTGATTATCTATTATCCGTTTTTAAAATTGATCAATTTAACTTTTTATATGCGATACTATTTACAAAGGGGGGTTTATTGTTAATGTTGATTTTAAAAGAATATATATATATATATAAAAACACAACAGTTGCAAACAATGAATCAAAAGAAAATGGGGAACATGACAAGTCGAAAGCAAAGGGTCATAGCCTAACCTTCTATGAAAGATTGTTTTTTTTTTTTTTTTTTTCACGAACCGAAGATTTTTCCTCGTATCTCTTTGTTGAATCTTTCCTCGACAAAAGAAATACAGGATGATATCTCCTTTTTTGATTCTACGATGGGTTGAACCCCTTTTGTACCTCTACCTTACCCTTTTTTACATTTACAAATAATATTTATTTATTTACTAATTGATTTTATATATTTTTTTAATTTGAAAGAGAAACAGCCATTAAAGAAGCAAAGATAGTCATGATCATCTTTGTTTTAAGTTCAACGATATCTTCTGGAAGGGCAAAGATGACGGCACCAACCTTACGAGCAGTGGAGACGGCGAGCTTGGCATTGAGGAGGTTGTCAGCAGCTGAACCAGAGTGAGCGACGAGCGATTGATCGACTGAATTTGGACGAATAGCTTCAATGAGGTCGAGGATTGGGATGGCATTGGTGAGTGCTTCATCCTTAAAGTTGTTGAAACCTTTCTTGCCATTGTTTTTGAGTGTGGTGTTGGCCCAATCAATGATATCAGTATCATTGATGGGTTTACCAGTTCCGCTGAGTTGGTTGATGATCGAGATGATATGAGCTCTCATCAATTGGAAGACAATCGACAAGATTGGGTTCTTGTTACGATCGTAAACATTCTTGCCATCAATACCAACCAAAGAAAACTTGGTAGCCTTGCCGAGTTGGATGGCATAGTTGCAGTTTTCGAGTTTCTTCATCTCGGCACCCATAGCCTTGAATGGTGGGTAGTTGACTTTTTTGTGATCGACCAATCCTGGGAAGATCTTGTCAAAGAGTTGGATCAAAACCAAACCATCATAGAGACCTTCGTAGAGGTTGTTGACAAATGGGTCGACACCAAGAGAGTTCATCCAGTTACGGAATGCCTTTTCTTCACGTGTCTCTTCGATAATGACTACATCCTTGACTGGCTCGAGAGCTGGATGAGTGTTGAAGAGGTTTGCAACAAAAGCTAAATTCAACTTGGGATGACCATTGACAATGTCACGAGCCTTGAGGAACTTGCGACAGCCAAGCTTGTCGGCATTTTCGAGGACTAGACCAGCACGCTTCTCGAGGTTGTTTTCTTGGAGAGCACGAGTATCAACACCAGCATCCTTGGGTGCGATTTGCTTCAACAAGACGGTATAGTTTTCAGAGTCTTTAATGTCACCGGTAAAGTTCTTGACACGACGTGGATGACCGGCGGCAGCGAGATGATAATTGAACCAACGCAACAAGATTTCTTCAACTGGCAATCTGAGGAGATCTTCAATGGTCTCTCCATCTTGCAAGAGACGGTAGAGTTCTGGGTGATTGGTAAGATTGATCTTGGCAAAGAGACCAATCTTGATGATTTGCCAGACGAGACCCATAATCAAATGAGCTCTTCCCTCCATGAGATCGGCCGCACCGATGTTGACGGTAGAACATCCAATAGCCTTGGCAGAGTTAACACAGAGTACTTGGTTTTCATTGACACGGAAAGTATTGAGATTCTTTTTGTTTAATACACGTTCATCAATAGTCTCTGGAACAGAGTCATTGATAAGTTTGCACAACAACAAACCATCATAACATGCCTTAAAGAATGCTTCTCCATCTTCTGGAATGGGAAGTCTATCCTTCAAGTCTGCATCCTTTCCAAGACAATTATTAATCCAATCGATAAATGCATGAGTTTCATCATCTGAATAAGAGTGAGTAGTTCCAGATGATGTACTACCTGAATAACCTCCAATTGTATTGACTTGTCCTACTTTTTTTACAACTTTAAAATTTTTATACATCCCAAATAGAAATAGAAATTAATTAATAATGAATAATGAATAAATAATAAGACATTTTTGTAAGTTTTGAAAGAAAGAAAAAAAAAATGTAATATTATAATATATATATATTATTTTATAGATAAAAGATAAAATTTGTTACAACGAATGAAAGTAGTTGTGGGTATAGATTTTTTTTTTTTACAAAAGATTAGATAGCAATGAAATATATATATATATATATATATTATTTGTTTGATTTGTTTTTACATACCATTAGCAAATGATGGTGAACTAGCAGCAGTTGATTTCTTTGAGATTTCCATAACCTTGATGAATTCTTCAAACTCGATTGAACCACTATTGTCAGTATCAACTTCTTTGATCATGTCTCTTACTTGAAGACCAGTAACCTTTTCACCAAGTGCATTGAGAATCTTTGTCAATTCTACTGCACTAATGGATCCATCGCCATTTTCATCAAACTTGTTGAATTGTTCTTTAAATTCCTTTACTTCGGATGCAGAGAATGTCTATTTTTTTTTTAAATCTAAAAGTAAAAGTAATAAGGAAAGGATTGAAATGGTTAATATGTGTTTTGAATATATATATGTCGGTCCCTCTTTTTATTATTCACACAACGTCTAGACTTACATATGTTACAGAATAAATAGAGATATAAAACTCTTTACTGATTATATATACAATACTTGTTGTGATGAAAGACAAGGGGATACTTGTTCAACTTCCAATGAAATTTTTTGCAAATTAATTAAATCACTTTCTTTTCTTTGAACCATCCACCCAATTTCAAAAAGAGAGGATGGGGTGTGCTGCTCTTTTTCAAGAGAGAGAGATCTTTTAATAGCCCAAATCTGACCAGCTTCATTATTACTCCAATTATGGCTCTCTTGTAAAGAAGAAGAAGATTGAATTTTCCATTCATTTAAAAATATGTAAATAAAACAAAACTCTTTTCTTTTCTTTTTTTTTATTTATTTATAAATATTACTCTTTTCTTTTCTTTTCTCTTTTGTTGTTTTCCCATTGCTTTTTGTTTTAAAAAGAATGGAGTAATAGTACTATCACTGGTATCATAGCACTAAACAAGAGTGTTAACATTACATAGTTCTCTTTACAATATGATACAAAATTAAATCGATTGGTTTGTTTTGATTTCTTGTTTGTTTGACGTTGATTATGATGATGGTGATGATTACCTCCTTTTTTATGTTTAATAGGAGTAGTTAGAATATTATTATTATTAATTCTTTGTTTTGATTGTTGTAATTGTTTTGGTGAAATTGGTATATTATTATTAGTAGTATTATTATTATCTATTTTTTCTTCTTCCTCTTCTTCTTCTTTTTGATTATTATTATTTTCAATACAAGATGTTTTAGGTGTGATTATTGTTAATGTTTGTTGTTGTTGTTGTTGTTGAAGTGATTCATCCAAAGAATCCTCCTTTATATTTTCAATTTTCTTTTCTATTATCTTTTCTTTTTCTTTTTCCTTTTCTTTTTCCTTTTCCTTTTCTTTTTCTTCTTTTTTAATTGGTTTCTCAATTTGTGGAGATTGACCAATAGTTGCAAGTGAAGGTGATGAAACAGAAGTCAACATATTTGCCTTGTATTCAATACCAACACTTGGTATTGATGTTGGAAGTGACTCTTCAACATTTGAATGTGATTTATAATGTCTTGATGAAGAAGAGGAGGATGGAGTTGATGATGGTAAAAGAGGTATTGGTGGTAATGAATTTGAAACCAACGTCGTTGTTTGAGTTGTTGTTGTTGTTGGTAAAACTGATTCCAATGGTATTGACAATGGAATTGGTAGTAAATCAACAGATGTTAAACATATAGATGGAGTGGTGGTGGTGGTTGGGGTTGGGATTGTGATTGGGATTGGGAATGCGTTTGATTTCTTCTTTTCCATTGGTACCTTGAATTGTTGATAAGGAGATGATGAACAAGAAGAAGAAGGTGATGGAGATACCAATGAAGATGTTGAAATACTCTTTTTATGAGAGAATGCCTCTTTTTTCTGTTTGTTTGGGTTGTTGTTGTTGATGTTACCATTTGCGTTTGAATTTAATGATTGAGCACTATATTCTCTTAATAATTTAGGTGATTGTTGAATTGTGTTGGTTTTGACGGTACCGTTGGGTAAAGGAGAGGGAGGTGCCATCGACGGTGACATGGTTGCAGCTTGTTTATGTGATGTATATTTAAATATTCTACCTTGAATAAAACTAGACAACTCTGTCGATGTCTTTTCAATCATTTCTTGATTTTCACTTGATTTGTTCCAAATACTAACAATATGTCTATTTGGTCTAACTGCCAAAACAAATCCACACTAATTCAATCAACAAACAAGTAAGTACATATATCATAATAATAATATAATATCTTTTGTTTTTTTTTTAAGACTTACAACATCAAGACCAAATTCCAATTGTTCACCAATTAAAGTTAGAATGGATCTCATTACAATATTACTTGATTGTTCTTTTGTACACATTAAAGAATATTTTCCACCATTTTCATTGGCTGGATCCTCCCATGTCGGTGCAATACCAGCTTTAAATAATCTTAGATTGGCACCAATTGGAAATAATGAAACATCTACTATATTATTCCAATATCTCCAAAATCCCTAAAATAAACATAAATTAGATTAGAGACAATTGTATAGTTTTTATATATTTGTACATACTTGAACAGAATTAAATGAACCTAAATTCTTTATATGAGATTGATAATCATCACATGAAGCACCTTTTGGTACACCTTCATCATAATAAAATACCCATTCACATTCCAAATATATTTCCTTTGGTTCTTCAACCTCCTGGCCACCTCCACTTGATTTTATATTGTTGTTGTTTTCATTATTGATTGATTTTTGATTCAATTCTGCTTCATCAATAAATAAAGTTGAAGGTGATAAAGTTGTTCCATTACTATGATCAGGTTGATATTTTACATTATTGGTTGTATTATTACAAGATGCAGAGTCAATTGTTGCTTGATAACTCATAACTCTTAATGATTATGCGTTAGAATCTCCTCTTTTCTTTTCCTTTTTTTTTTTTTAAATTAAAGATTTGGTTTGTTTTTGTAATCTTATTATTATTATTATTGTTTGTCTATGTTGTATTTGTAATTTAAAATGAAAATGAGTTGGAGTTGGAGTTTTGGTAATCTAATATAATATTGTTGTATATATCTTTGATATTTGTTGGTTGATGATTACTATTATTACTACTACTACTACTTATATTGTACAATTATATGACTGTAAAGATGAAGAAGAGAATGAGAAGGAAGGAGAAGGAGGAAGAAGGATATTAAATTAATATATTATATTAATATATTATGTTGTTTTAATAATAAATAACGTGAGAGAGAGAATATAAAAATAAATAATGTGATGTATGTATATAGTGTGTGCGTGTGTGCGTGTGTATACACTTATAATATATGTCTAAAAAAAGATGTATTGCAACAATCTTGTGTTTAAAAGAAACAAAAGAGTGTCAACTTTGAACAACCAAACAAACAAGAAACAAGTAAACAAGTAAATGACAACAATAAAGCGTGATAATAATGTATTGTATTATTAAAGTAAAGAGCACCCCCTTTTAACCAACCAGCCAACAAAACTTTACTGTGAGGGGTATGGGTAATGAAGAAACTCAGCTTCTCTCTCTCTCTATCTCTCTCTCTCTCCTCTTTACTTTGTTTGGTCGTTGTAATGAATAAGCGTAGCTCAAATGACTACCCCTTTTTAAAGTAATGTGACTCAGTGTGTGCTTGTGTGAAATGAATTGGTGAGTGGTGGTGAAAGAGTGGGTTCAATCAGATGAAATGTATATTTGCTGCAATGAGTGTCTATATCTACCTCTTTGTGTCTCTCTCTATTTTGTAATGTAATAATACAATACTTCTTTTATGCTACAATTTTACTATTAACTCTACTTTACTTTGCTCTACGCTAATGATGTTTGTTTGATTATAATAAAAAGTACTTGATTATTTTAATTTACCTTTGAAACCCAAGAATTTGATGGTTTGACTCTTTCTATAATAAAAGTATGTTTGTTGTTTTGTGTATGTTTGCTATTGTCTATCCTTGGTCTATTGAATGATTTTTTTTGTGTTAACAAGAAAATAATGTGAATGATGGTGAAATTTTGGTTGGTTCTTATTGATTGTATTGTTGTGATGTATGCATAGGCAGGTATGGAGGCGGATCGTTGGATGATGAGGCAAGTTAGAGATTGATTTCTTTTTTTAAATTGACTTTTCGACAAGGCCACGAGGTGACGATGTTTATCTGATTTTTTAGCAATAACAGTTGGTTGGTTGCCGTTGTGGATGGATTTTTAATTGGTCTCTTTCAAAAAAAGTCATCGCCACAATAAGAAAGTACTTTGGGAAAGAAATATCTTTATCTATCTGCTGTCTTTTTATTGTTACAACTTTTCCTTTTGAATTTTCTATCTTGTTTTTTGAACATCCTCACATTGACCCTTAACTACACACCATGTAACGAAAAATATTAATATCCCGATTGACCATTGGGTTAACCTTGTACCATCTGTAACATCATTCAATCCCTTCTATATCTATCAGGTGATCATGGTAGTACGTACTCTATCTCTACCTCTCTACTTTTTTTTTTTTTTTTCCTTTTTTTAAACACAAATGATTTATTTTTTTTTCGTTTTTTTCTATTAATAAGATATTGGCTATTGTTATTTTTTTGGAGTAGGTGTAACAGCACCTCTTTTCTGTAAAACAGGGGCTGGTTGAATATTTTGTTGAGCTTTTTGCTGTTGTAATTGCATTTGGTAGGTATCTGATGCTTTTGGGATAATTTCTCCAACACCAACGGCCCCATGAAAATAAGTGTACTTTGATTTCGATGGAAATGTCGCGTCCCAAGAGTTACTATTAATGTCATATATAAAATTGGTTGGATGTTTGCCACCAATGAGATAGATTTTGGGAAAGTTATTGACAAATCCAAATACAAGGGACAGACCAAATTTACCATCACGGACTGGTACCTCTGCAAGTGATTCTGCTTTTCTTGTAAATACAGAGAATCTACAAAACTCTGTACTTGTAAGAAAGTAAATGTATTCTCTTTTATCAAAACAAAACCCTTCAACACGTGAAGAACTATTGTTAAATTGATAGATTTGTTTTGATGACCCGTCTGAAATACTAAATGCTTCAATGTCATTCACCATTGTATATGCTTTTTCTGGTTCTTTATGGGTACCTCCAATCACATAAATGATACCATCTAGATAACAAGCAAAACAATAATAACGAGGACGTTTGAGTTGACCGAGATTTGAACATCTACCAGTCATAATATCAAATCTATCGACACGACCCAATGTATTATTATTTTGGATACCACCAACTAGGTATATATAACGACCTTCATCCCAAACGGCTGCCATTGATGAACCACCAGTGGTTTGAATATTATCCAAGCAATCCCATTTACCAGAATAAAGATCCATTCTTTCATAGGTTGACAAGGAGTCATTACCACCAAAAATGTATACATAATCTAGGATTGATACAACAGATGATGATGAGCATGCACGTTTCATTCTTGAACCTTCTGCAAGCCCCCATCTGTTTTGTTGAATATCATATACCTCTACCAATGATAAATGTTGTGTATTCTCCATTCCACACAAACAGTAAATATATCTAATTGTATTCTCTTTGATATATTTCTCTGTACTTTCATTACCTACCGACAAATCATTTACAACGAGCTCACATGCCTGTCTAAGATAATTCATTGATTTACTAACAACTGTATCATTTACCATAAATTCATATTTGGTTGGTTTTGGTGGTGGTGCTGGTGTTGTTGTTGTTGTTGTAACTATTACACTTTCTGTATTATTATTATTATTGATGGTTGAGAGAGGAGGAGTAGGAGATTGTGAAATTAAATGATCATTTTGTTTTGAGACCAAAAATATATCATTTTGAACATTTAATTGATTCCACTGATCCATCAGATGACCAAGATGAGTGTATTCAAATGAGGAGTATGCAATATCATTATTAAGATTGTTTGAAATGAATTTGTTGATTGATGATTCTCTATTTACTTCATCGATGAAATCCTCGGTGGTCATTTTAATCACGTGGGGGTTGATTGTATGAAATTGAGCACCTGATATGTACTGTGTCGAGAAACTAGAGTTGGCAGGCATAGGGGCAGCACCGTGCTTTTCAGAGGCATAGATCTTTGACACTGTATCAAATGTTGGTGTTTGACTTGCAAAATACTTGTAGTAAGTGTCTGGACGGACAATGGTTTTGGGCGTGATCGATACTGGTACTATCTGAAGGCTTTCAGGTTTGTTAACAATCGGTACCTGAAGGCTTTCAGATTTGTTAACAATCGGTGGTGATGGTGGTGGTAGTGATGGAGAGGGTGAGGTGCCCGAGAGATCGTACTTCTTCCAACCAATCTCTAAATCTTTAAGTCTCTGTATCTTGTGTCCATTGTGTGTCTCTACGATACAGTCACCGCACACAAACACGTTGCATTGAGTGCAGAACCATTTCAACGACTCTTGCGAGTGTACAGTACACTTTTGAGAATCGATTCCTGATGAATTGGGTGGTGACGATGCATTTGGTTTTGTAGTAGATAAATATGTTGGTGAGGTCATATTGTTGTTGTTGTTGTAAAAAATTAATTTTTAAAAAATATAAAAAATTAAAATAAATGATTATATTATTATTATTATTATTTATTATTCTTTTTCTCTGGATATTTATTTTTTTCTTTAAACTTATTATTTTTTTTCTCTTCTTCTTTTCGTTTTAAACTTATAATTTTAAACAAATTCTGTCTATATGATAGTTTAAATTTGAGTCATGTTGATTCGCGTTGTCACCTTATTATTAATACCAGATTTGGAAAAAAAAGTCAAATCAAAGGGCCAAACAATATTGAATTTTTAGGTTCGACATTCGATTTTTTTTGTATGGCTCAGAACGTATAAAGTTAGTTTGGTCATTTGTTAAATAGTACAATTATTATTTATCCATCTAGTATTGATATATGTTTAACAATAGGAACACCCAAGAAGAAGAAGAAGATTACTGACAAATTTCATACCCAATTACACAAGTAAGAATAGAATAAACAAAAAAAAACAAAACTTTTTAAAATGGGATGAACACATTACTAATACTTCCCATTTGGTTATTTAGCATCTCTCAAGTTTAATCATCCTTTATCATCAATCAGTTCAGCAATCTAATCTCAATTCAGTCTAAAGTATAATACAATAACCCAACAACCCAGTCGCAAATACCCAACTATGATTAACCCAACTGTAAGTTTAACCTTTTTTGTATCAAATTTTCAAGTCCAAACTAATTTTTTTTAATTTTTTGTTTTTTTCAAAAATCGCAACGCACTGTATAGTTTGAAATGAACAACAACAACAACAACAACAACAACAACAACAAAGACAGTACTATCAACATTAGCACAGACTTTAAGCACTTTCAGATTCAGATTCAGCATCCGAACAAGCGTAATGTAATGGCCACAACCTCACCATCATCGGCCATCACCAAATCAAATGCATCGTCACCCAATTCATCGGGTATAGATGTTCAAAAGTGCGGTATACACCCAGAAGAGTCGTTAAAATGGTTCTGCACTCAATGCAACGTGTTTGTGTGCGGTGACTGTATCGTAGAGACACACAATGGACACAAGATACAGAGGCTTAAAGATTTAGAGATCGGTATGCGAAACAAGTACGATCTCTCGGGCAACAGAGTAGTCTATCTTTGGGACGTGCTGAAAGCTACCCTTCCTCATATAAAGTCATATGAAATAACAGAGAATGATATCAAAGCATTCTTTGCAGAGCTGCACAATTCACTCAGCAATGAAGAAGCAAAGTATCTAAAAGTTGTTAAAAAGGAAAAGATATCTTATATCAAGATGGTTGAAAATTGCAAGACAGAGATGGAGATGATCATTGATTTTAGAGCAATCTTTGAATCAATTGGTCTACCCACTACTACTACTCCTGTCGACAATCAATCAAAAGCAATAACTGCTGCTGCTCCATCACATGATGATAGTATTCCAGCTGATGCTGCTACTCCTCCACCATCGCCATCATCACCACCATCAACCTTTGCCATTCCCAAACCTGAAAGCCTTCAGATAGTACCAGTATCGATCACGCCCAAAACCATTGTCCGTCCAGAAACCTACTACAAGTATTTTGGAAGTAAAGAACCAACATTTGATACAGTGTCAAAGATCTATGCCTCTGAAAAGCACGGTGCTGCCCCTATGCCTGCCAACTCTAGTTTCTCGACACAGTACATATCAGGTGCTCAATTTCATACAATCAACCCCCACGTGATTAAAATGACCACCGAGGATTTCATCGATGAAGTAAATAGAGAATCATCAATCAACAAATTCATTTCAAACAATCTTAATAATGATATTGCATACTCCTCATTTGAATACACTCATCTTGGTCATCTGATGGATCAGTGGAATCAATTAAATGTTCAAAATGATATATTTTTGGTCTCAAAACAAAATGATCATTTAATTTCACAATCTCCTACTCCTCCTCTCTCAACCATCAATAATAATAATAATACAGAAAGTGTAATAGTTACAACAACAACAACAACACCAGCACCACCACCAAAACCAACCAAATATGAATTTATGGTAAATGATACAGTTGTTAGTAAATCAATGAATTATCTTAGACAGGCATGTGAACTCGTTGTAAATGATTTGTCGGTTGGTAATGAAAGTACAGAGAAATATATCAAAGAGAATACAATTAGATATATCTATTGTCTGTGTGGAATGGAGAGTACACAACATTTATCATTGGTAGAAGTTTATGATATTCAACAAAACAGATGGGGGTTTGCAGAAGGTTCAAGAATGAAACGTGCATGCTCATCATCATCTGTTGTATCAATCCTCGATTATGTATACATTTTTGGTGGTAATGACTCCTTGTCAACCTATGAAAGAATGGATCTTTATTCTGGTAAATGGGATTGTTTGGATAATATTCAAACCACTGGTGGTTCATCAATGGCAGCCGTTTGGGATGAAGGTCGTTATATATACCTAGTTGGTGGTATCCAAAATAATAATACATTGGGTCGTGTCGATAGATTTGATATTATGACTGGTAGATGTTCAAATATCGGTCAACTCAAACGTCCTCGTTATTATTGTTTTGCTTGTTATCTAGATGGTATCATTTATGTAATTGGAGGTACCCATAAAGAGCCCGAAAAAGCATATACAATGGTCAATGACATTGAAGCATTTAGTATTTCAGACGGTTCATCAAAACAAATCTATCAATTTAGCAATAGCTCTTCACGTGTTGAAGGGTTTTGTTTTGATAAAAGAGAATACATTTACTTTCTTACAAGTACAGAGTTTTGTAGATTCTCTGTATTTACAAGAAAAGCAGAATCACTTGCAGAGGTACCAGTCCGTGATGGTAAATTTGGTCTGTCCCTTGTATTTGGATTTGTCAATAATCTTCCTAAAATCTATCTCATTGGTGGCAAACATCCGACCAATTTTATATATGACATTAATAGTAACTCTTGGGACGCGACATTTCCATCGAAATCAAAGTACACTTATTTTCATGGTGCTGTTGGAGTTGGAGAAATTATCCCAAAAGCATCAGATACCTACCAAATGCAATTACAACAACAAAAAGCTCAACAAAATACTCAACCAGCCCCTGTTAACAATTAGGTCACCAACCAATAAATGGGGTTGCCTCCCTTTTTGAAAAAAATAGAGAAAAATTAATTTTTGTTTAAATATTTCTAATATTATCTTATGGTACAATAATATTAAAGAACTTTCAATATTATTTTAATTTGAATAGATTTTCGGCGCCTAATTAAAAAAAATAATTAATTATTTTTAAATTAAAAAAAAAAATGCCTTGTCCAAAGACTGGTCATTCGAGCGGGGCTCGGGAAACTCCATTGATCTGAGAAAATGAAAGGAATGATTAAATTGGGTCTTTTACTATTAGAGACAATAAATATTTGATTCCTTTGATTTTCTCGTTGCAATTGTACCAAACCACATAAATTCGAATCAATGTGCTTATGCAACCATTATTTTTTTTTTTAAATTTTCATAAACACAAGAGAAATAATAATAATAATGCCATTATTCGAAACTATAACAGTTGATATAGAACAACTAAGAGAGACAGTATCAAAGATATGGGGAGTAGAGATTGACAAATGTATCAAAGCATCACAGAATCATACCTATCTTGCTAAAGATGGTGACAAACAATTCATACTTCGAATTACACCCGACCCCAAACAAGATAGAGAAGCAGCAATGGAGTTGGAAGTACAATTCTTACAATACCTTGTAGAGAATGGTCTGCCAACATGTCCACCCATTCAAAAACTAAAGGGTCAATCTGAAAAGGATACATCTTCATCATTGTATATCGCCAAGATTGATACTTTGTTATTAGTAGTATTTAGCTATGCTGATGGTGAACCTGTAGTCTATCAAGATTGGAAGTGGTTAAATACAAAAGAGATTGTTGTTGCTTTGGGTAGATGGTTCCATCAACTACACACTCTATCCAAAAAGTATTCAGCTACACCGTCATCATCAACGGCCACTTGTCTAGCAGCTGCACGTAACTGGCGTAAACTACATGGTGGTGTACTCGAGACTGTCATTGTCGACCCACTAGACCAAGCAACTGTCACTGACCCCAACCAATTTGGTATCATTCACGGTGACGTTAATCCAAGTAACTATTTTTGGAACGCAGACATCTCTATGCCCGTCATGTTTGATTGGGATCAATTACAATCATCTTGGTTCTTGTATGACCTATCCGCTCCCATCTGGGGTGTTGTAGTCCTTGAAAAGTCTGGGTCTGACGGTAAACCAGTCCCAGGTGCTTCAGTCTCTCAATATACAGATTGGCTACTACAAGGTTATGAAGAACAAGACGGCGGTGTCAAAGTAGACAGACAAGCACTAGATCGTATGGTTGTCATTAGAAGAGAACTCTATGTCCGATTCTGTAAACAAGCTATCGGTGAACTACAAGATGATCATCCAATGTATAAATTTTGTAAATCAATGGTTGATTTATTTGAATCAAATAAAAATATTTAACAAATAATAAAGTACTACTACTTAATCGATCGATTTCCTAATCAAAAAAAATCTTGTTAATAATTATTGTGCGTGGGGAGATTTGAATTAAAAATTTTATTTACTTTTTTGGAGTTCTTCTAACACCCCCCCCTCTTTCTTTCTCCTCTCTCTCATTCTTTTTTATTCTTTTATACTATTATTATTATTTGTACACTATTCTTTTTTTTTTTTGTTTTTTCTACAGTTATTCGTTTTTTATTTATATATTAATTTTTTTTAAAAGAATAATGATCAATAATGATATTATAAAAGATGATGATGATGATTTAGAGACTGTTGCAACAAATGTACTAGTAGACGAGGAGCAGCAACAAGATACATCCAATAAACTAGTAGTTTTGGATATCAATTTTACACCAATAGTAACACAAGAAAAAGAAGAAGAAGATGATGAAGCAAATGCAACATTGACAGAAATGTCTAGTATATCATCATCAAATTCATTGGTATCAGCTGAAGAAACTGAATTGGATAATACCAGTGATCAATCAACTACTACTTTACAACCAGAACAACAACAACAAATAACAAATGAACAACAACAAAAAGATCAAAAGAAAACAATACCAATTAATCTTGATTTCTTGGATGATTTGGTTGCAACTGTAAAAGATTATAATAAATCTTCTACCTCTTCTACCTCGTCTACCTCTACAACTTGTACTTTGAATGAACAAATTACACCATTATCATCACCAAGATTAGAATATGTTTCACATCCAACCATTGCCATTTTACCAACATCATCATCACAAGTTGGATCATCGTCGTCATCATCATCATCATCGTCATCATCATATGAACCTTATGAAGTACCAAAGAAATCTTTACCTCCTATTCCTCAAACGACAAATCATTCAAGATCACTTTCTACTTCAGTTTTGGAAAAGGATGAAAAAGAAAAGAATAATATAACTACTGATCAATCAACAACTCAACATCAATCAACTCCAAATACTCCAACTTTATTGGGTGGCCAAAAATCCATATCTACAACTACAACCACAACTATATCAACTCCAATTCCTAATCCAACTCCAACTCCTACCAATCCTCCAATACAACAAAATTCTGGACCATCATTTATAAAAAGAATTTTTAGAAGAGATTCTAGTAAAACAAATGTTAAAATTTTAGAAGAATCTCAACAAATAACATCACCACCAACTATATCAAGAGAAAATAGTGGTTCTTCTACCACTTCTACTGCCGCTACGACGGATGGATTTTTTAGTTCAATTGGAAGTTTATTATCAAAGTCTGCACCATCAACACCTGATGCAAAAAGAAATCAACAAAATCAACAAAATCAACAAAATCCTTCCATTGAACCATTTTCATTATTATCTCCTACTACTACTACTACTCTTACTACATCACTTTCATCACTACCATCAATGGAGACATTTGCAAAATTAATAGAAATTAGTGAACCATTATCATATGAAGTATTTTTAGAGAAATTGGAAAGTGCAGCACATATAAAATCATCGATTGATAGTTTTGTTTCCAAACTAAAGAATCGAAAAGGATTGGCAAATGATGATCTTCGAGAGGCATTGATGGATTTTGTCTCAAATACTATGCATTCACTTTCCAACGATGAGAGATGGGCCAATTCAACCAACGATGAAATGGTCTACACCTCTCATCATCTTCAACAATATGTCATTGAAAAAATCTATGACTATGTATTCCGCGCCACCCAAGACGAAGTTGAAAAGGATCAAAAGTTGGCAGACACGATTGCCCACCTCTACTTTATTCAACCACATCACCTCGAAATCATTGTCAATGAATCGAGTGAACCCATGTGGGACGAGGCTGCTGCTTTTCTTCAAAAAATCAATACCACCAAGAGTTGTCGTCACAAAATGATGTATATCGTAAAATCTTGTAAATCTATTCTAAATAATCTTTCATCTCAAAGCTCTGGTGAATCTCATGGTGCAGATTCTTTACTTCCTCATTTAATTTATGTAGTTTTAAAATCAAATCCAACAAATTTAAATTCAAATGTTTCGTAAGAAAAGATTAAAAAAAAAAAAAAAAAAGAAAAATTAAATAATTATTAATTAATCTCTTTTCTTTTCTACTTAGGTTTATAAGTAAATTTTCAGATGCAACAGATTCTGAAGCAATTTATTATATGACTCAATTGGTATCTGTAATTTATTTTATTGAAAATATTAAAGCAGAATCTTTAAAAATTGATAAAAAAGAATTTAATAGATTAATTGGAAAGAAAAAGAAAGAAGAAGAAGAAGAAGAAGAAAAGGAAGAGGAAGAGAAGAAGAAAAAGAAGAAAAAGAACTTTGATAATTTATCAAGATCAATTATATTTGATGATGGAGCATTGGCATCATTGATTGAAATGTTTCCAGATTGTGATAATCAATATTTAATAGATTGTATAAATTATATAGATACTAAACATCGTCACAAAAATCCTCCTCAGGGACCATTGTCTATTGCAGAATTGGTAAATCGTGTCACAAATATGATTGCTGAACATCAAGGTTATCTTCAAGTTTCTCCAAATTTAAAATTAAGAGGAAAAGGAGATAAAAAGAAAAATCAAAATAATCAAAATAATCAAAATAATATGACAAAATCAACTTCATTTCAATCTTTAAATATTAGTAAAGAAAATAATAATAATAATAATCAAAATAATAATACAATTTCAACAAATACTGCTTTACAACAACTTTTAGGTCAAAAGGAAAAAGAAGTAGAACAATTAAAACGTAAATCCCAAAATGATGAAATGGAAATAATAGAGTTGAAAAAGAAATTACAACAGGCTAGTGCAAAGAATCGTAAATCTGGGGAAATTGATTTGGCTAGTTTACAGTTTGGCAATGCATCGTATGATCAATTGAAATTGACAGATCTACCAAAATTGTTCGAGGAATATCAGAAAATGTTTGCGCTGGTCAAAAATGTTCAATCTCTTGGTAAATAAATTGTATTTCATTTTTTAATCTTACAAGAGAATGGATTTGGTAGATGCTACAGTTGTCGTGAGACGTTCTTTCTTGAGGGCAAAACAAGAGGAAAAAAAAAGGCAGAAGAAAAAAGGGGGGAGGACCAAAAAAAAAAAAGGGGTGTGTGAAAAATGGAAAAAAAAGGGTGTGAAAGGGGACTGTTGTTGGAATCTATGTCCTGGATGCATTCTGGAGCCATGGCTAGGTATCCAGGTTATATTCATATTTTTTTTTTTTACTACTAAGGTGGGTATCCAGGATCACCACTAGAAATTTTATTTTGTTTAGTTTAATGATTAAATGAGATAACCTTTGTGGCAAAGAGTTATTTGGCCTACAGCGAATCCTACGCCGATTCCTATACGTATGGGACCCTTTGGTCACCATCTATTTACAGTAGAGTCGGGGGATACCTTTGTCCATTTTAGTGAAGTGATTTCATCGCTACGGTCGCCTCGGTTGGTTGTCTTTAGGCTGATTAATTGCATCCATGATTAAATTTGATTAAACTTGATAGAATCCGTGATGTTGACAGGTCTGGTGGCAGTCTTTCAGGATCAACATTGCTATTATGGTCTGTCGGGCCATAAAGAGTGACCATTCTCCATTAGCCAGGTACTCGATGAGTGGTATGGTTGATGAGGAACAGAATAAAGCTAGGTCGAAGCAGAGTTCTAAAACAAAAATGAAAAAAGTCGGGTTTTTTTTGCGCGTGTCCGTTTAAATGATGAGACTTATATGCAAAAAAATCGTACTTTAGTTATTAAGGTAACAGCAACTTAAGTAATGAGTGAAACGAATAATAAGTTGCTGTGCTCTTGCTTCTAGGTTGAGTGGTTTTGTTTATAATGATGTATGTTTGAAAAGATACAAGAAAAAAAACAACTGAGGTTATATTCATATGAAGCGCCGGACGTACCGAAAAAAATTGCAAAATGAATTGTATCGGTCTCTGCAGGGTTCGAACCTGCGCTCCCGAAGGAACATCCTTAGCAGGGATGCGTGTTAAACCACTCCACCAAAAGACCGTTCGAGATGATGCCAGTTGCAACATCATCGTATTTATACGACTATCACGGATGTGAATGGTAGCCATTGAAGTTAAAAAAAAAAAAAACATTTATGCGCTCAAGAATATCACCAAAGGGGGCCATGCATGGCGTGGCAAGTGAGTCGGGTGTGTGCTAGGACACCCCCACGGAAGGATGACCGGGTTAGTTTCCCCTTCTCAGCAGGAGATTGGGTAACGGGAAGGTAGAGGGGGACCTACTGGGCCGTTGCGAACAGATCTGACATCTCAAATAAAATATTCAACACGTAAAGACGAGTGTCCACAATGGGGAGTAAATTGGCGCGAGAGTTGAGAGCGGCAGTCGGTCTTGGACGCACCCAAGGCTTAAGGTTTCACCTCAAGTATGGTACTAAAATTAAAGAAGATGGGTGCCATATTTGCGTCAACACCTTCATCTTCTTCTACTCTCTCTTCATCTATCAATAATAATATTAATAATATAATAATCAACTAAATAATAATAACAAAATTGAATAATTATACCAACACAATATTACAGCCTAAAGGAAAAGAGAAAAAAAAAAAAAAAATAGCGATTTTATTCATTTTTAGAACAAGCAACAATCCAAAACAATCCAACATGCTTGACACTATACAATAAGATACATGATAAACCTCCATATAACATGTATCATAGACATGGACAAACTCCCAGAACAAATTAACTTTACTTCTTCTTGAGATATTCTTTATTTCTTGCTGGTCAATTAAAATGTATAATTAATAAAACTTTGTAACTTCTGGGTACTACTCTTCCCGATAGGAGAGAACAATAAAAGAATTATTTTAAAAAAAAAAAAGCATATCACCCAACAACGGGGCTAACAGAACCTCTAACTATTTTATATTCTATGGATTTTATTACAAAATTGGATTGGAAACTCCATTGGAAGGTGAATCAAGATACTCTGGGTAATAATTATAATATTTTCAATTATTATTATTTTACTCTTTGCAACTTTAAACTTTGCAATTAAAACTTTTCATTTTGATTTTCCTCTTTGCCTTTGTTACTCGCTACTTTGCCATTAACTCTCTACACTTTTCCATTGTTACTTTTCACTTTGCCAATTTAAACTTTACAAGTTTTATTTATACCACCGAAACTCTTTCCTACTCTTATTCAATCTTTTGGTTTTTGATTAAAACTAATAAAACAAAAATGAATTTTGATTTTAATTCATTCAATAGTCCTTAAATAAAAAGAGTTAATTTAATATCTTTATGGGGTGATATTGAATACATCGAGTATTTATATTGTTACCTTTTTGGAATTAAATCAGATGCAACCAATCCAGAATTTCTGATCCTATGGTCTTTGGTATATAATTGAACTCAAAAAATACCTAGTTAAGATTTTTTCTTACCTTGTGATTGGTCATTTTAGGATGCGGAGGAGTAGGAGGAGGAGGAAGAGATAGTTTTTTAAGTTGATATCAAAACTTTAATCTTTTCTTCTGATAGATTATGATGTTTTAGCATTGAGCCAAAAGATAGAGTATACCATCTCTTCTGTCTCCGATTCAAGATTATTGTGTTTAAAAGTATTAAACAACTTGTCAATTGGTAGATTGATGGTAGATTTTAATGTTTCATCAAGTAAATAGATGATTGGTTTCTAATCTTTGTTTCAAAAAAAAAAAAAAAAAAAAAGAGTTGATAAAGATCCTCAATATCCTGGGTAGTACAAGTCAAACATATGTAAAGTATTTTGGATAAAATACTAATGACTATCTATCAGGATCAACAATTATAAATAATCCAATAAAAATTAATTCATTCTTATTCATTTTTTTTCTATAGATTCTTAAGTTGATTCATTTTATTTAGTAATATTTATTTTCTATCAAAGTAACTTTATCTATTATTAACTGTATCATTGAAAGGGTATAATATATTCATAATTGGTGATTGCTTCATCACACAAACCCCAAATCACCATTAAAACATTCCTTTTTACGAGCGTGAAATCTCTTTGGAGATGTACACCCTCCTCTTTTCAAAGGATAAATAATTGTTATTATGGTTATTCTTATATTAGTTGTTGTTGTATTGGAAAATAAAAATAAAAAACCAGTCTATTTCTTTTCGCTTTAATCGTTCTAGTTCTTGTTGTATATACCACTGTCATTGCTTTGATTGTTATTATTTGACTATTATTGTTTGATTATTATTCTTTTTGTTGTCATTCTTTTTGTTGTAAACTTTCTTTTTAGATTTGTCATTATTTGTTTGGTTGTACGATCTCTTCTTCTTCTTCTTCTTCTTCTTCATCTACATCATTTTCTTGTTCAACCTTTTCCTCCTCTCTCGAAGATACGGTTCCACTATTTTGGTGATATTCCTTTATCAATTCATCACATTTCAGTTCTCTTTCATTTATCCATCTATATCGATTTCCATATGGCCGTGATAGGTGGGGAGGAGTGGTTGATATTGTTGACTCTCACTCTTTCTATTAGTGTTGTCAACCTAATCCTTTACATTTTGATCAATTATTTCATTGTTGTGATGATTGCAATTATTTTAATGTTATAATGTTATAATGATTGTAATGATTGTATTGTTGTAATGATTATAATCGTTGGAATAATTGAGATTGTTGGTTGTAATGATTGTAGTCATTGAAATGGTTGTATTGTTGGTGAATGTGTCAATACGAATGATTGTTGATTGACCGATCCATCATTCAACCTGTCACACAACAACCACCTGCCCACCTTCATTCAATAACAATTATCTACCTACGAAACAATAATGATAAAGTTAACATTTAAGTATATGTTTTGTACATTTATAATATTGCAAACAATTCTCTCTTGATCGATACTATCATAAAATCTATAAAAATCATTAGAAATACTATTAGAATAAAGCATACATAAGGTGTATTTTTGTAATATTACCTAATTTAAATGTTTGTAAAGGATCATCTGAGGAGGTACACAATAAGACATAGTTAATCAGCTTATGATCATTTCAAAAAAAAAAAAAAATGAAAATAATTATTGATGTAATAACATTAACTATTTATACTCTATCAAGCAATCTATGTTTGAACAACTTTTAGTTTCTTTTCTTTCTCTGAATCTATGTACAAATCTGATAATGTATTGTTTTTAATATCTCCAATTGGATCACCTTGTTGGTGGATGTTTTAAAAATAATGTAAATCTTTAAAATATTGGTTTCCATTATATTATTTTATTTTAATGTCATTCTTCCAAAAAAAAGGTTTGGGGTGTGTGAAAAAGGTTGCCAAAACTCAGTAAAATTGTGGTTCAAAATTCAGATCTCTCAGAACGCAAAGGGGAATGTAGGGGAATGACGACATAGCAAGAATCAAACCAAAATCGATGATTCCACGACCAAAATGCACCAAATCGCTACGCTTGAGCGTATAAATACGCAGAAATGCTCTTCCTTAACATCGAAATTTCGCGGTTCTTTGGTGGAGTGGTTAACACGCATCCCTGCTAAGGATGTTCCTTCGGGAGCGCAGGTTCGAACCCTGCAGGAACCGATCAGGCTTTTTGCAATTTTTTCGGTACGTCCAGCGCTTCATATGAATATGAAAAAATATGAATATAACCTGGATACCTAGCCATGGCTCCAGAATGCATCCAAGACATAGATTCCAACAATAGTCCCCTTTTCACACACCCTTTTTTTTCCATTTTTCACACACCCCTTTTTTTTCCCTCTTGTTTTGCCCTCAAGAAAGAACGTCTCACGACAACTGTAGCATCTACCAAATCCATTCTCTTGTAAGATTAAAAAATGAAATACAATTTATTTACTTTGTAGTTGTTGTTGTTGTTGTTGTTACACTCGGAGAAATAATGAGAAGATGTTGTCTTTGTGTTTACAACAATTGCTGCTGTATTTTACATTATTACTCTTTATTTATACAATTATTTAAGCTGTTAGATTGAAAGCTAAAGTGTCGCGAGTAATGGGTGACAGAGACAACACGCATTGTAAGCTCAACAGTCAACTCATGAGTGAGTGAATTGTGTCTAAAGATTGCACTCTTGTATTGATAGAGAAACATTTGGCCATTTTCTCTTACCTCCAATCTGATCTGGTATTTGTTGTCAAACAATTTTGGAAGAGATTGCTTTTTGGATGGATTATCGATGAAATGATAGTTTTTGATTTGAATCTTTCTACATTTTACAACCTCTTCTGTTCCTTCCACATACCTATAATTTATTTTTCTTGTATAGTGTTTGACTGGACCCTGTGAGAGAAAATGATATTCCAGAGATTCCATGCACACATACCCAAGTTTAAGTGTGAATGTTTTGTTTGCGCTTCGAAACACACGATGTGATATAATTGATTGAGCACGGACCATACACACTTGGAAATCAAGAAACCATTGAATGAGTTGATCTGTTGATTTAAAGGCAATATTGTCACCATCTTCTCCTCCATCTACTCTCTTGACCTCCAATTTTAACGGATGAGTGTTCTCTAGAGATCGATCGAGAACAACTGCAAGTGGGCGTGGATGAGATGAATACCACTCTTCAAGTAGTTCGAATATTTCCAAGTCCTTGGGTGACAACCCCTTTCTTGTTACTTGAATCATCAATAGTCTTACGCTTCTTGGGAGAAGATGAAAGGGAAGAGGAAGAATCAGTCGACGACACCAACTTGGGTGATACTGAGCAAAGAGTCCTGTGGTTCAGTTGAAGAAGAATGTTGCATCGCAATCGATTATCTTCACCAGGTAACGATTGATGACTCCTCTGTTTGAATGATTTGAAAATAAATAAAAAAAAAAAAGGCAAATGATCATTTGTGCATCGAAATTTAATTTAATTCAAAATAAATAAATAATCAAGTGGAAATAAATAAAATTATTCCCTCCCTCTTTTGAATCAACGAGTAAAATAAAATATATAATATATCTATCAAATATATAATATATATTTTATTAAAGGTTGGTTCATATAGAGAGGAGTTATGAATTATTATCGAAATTTTTCTATCCCCCCCTTTAACAACAACAAACAACACATACATCAAAAACAAAGATATCTGTGAAATCACATACATATAAATATATATATAAATATTTGTACATATATTAACATGAATAGAGAGAGTAGTAGCTAGCATTTAGGAAATCATTTATTTATTTATTCAGATTAAGCATTTTTAGTAAAATGCAAGACATTGATTTTCAACCAAATGAAAAAGAACAAAAAGAAGTAAAAGAAGAAGAAGAATATAAACCAAAGAATATACTTTTAACAGGTGGAGCTGGATTCATGTAAATAAAGAGATCTAGATAGATAGATAAATAGATAGATATACTAACTCTTTGTTTCTTGTTAGAGGATCACATTTAACAATACATTTATGTAAAAAGTATATTCAATCAAATGCTAGGATTATAGTATTAGATAAATTAGATTATTGTTCAAGTTTAAAGAATCTATCTGAAATTGAACATTACACCAACTATCGATTCTATAAAGGAAGTATATTGGAAAAGAAATTGGTTAAACAAATCTTGACCGATGAATCAATCGATACAGTGATTCATCTGGCAGCCTATTCTCATGTAGATGCATCATTTAAAGATTCTCTAAAGTTTACAAAAAACAATATAATGGGAACTCATGTACTACTTGATGAGTGTCGCAAGTATGGTGGTATTCAACGATTTATCAATGTCAGTACCGACGAGGTCTATGGTAGTCAACCAGAACAAACCGACATTGACGAACAATGCAACTATCGACCAACCAACCCTTACTCTGCCAGTAAAGCTTCGGCTGAATTACTAGTCCTATCATTTCATCAAAGTTTTTCTTTTCCCATCATCATTACTCGTTGTAATAATGTCTATGGTCCAAATCAATTCCCAGAGAAATTAATTCCAAAATTTATAAATCAATTATTAAATCAAAATCCTTGGTAAGAAATATTAAAAAAAGAAAATTAAAATAATTATTTATTAATTTATTTATTTATTTATTCTCTTCTATTTTTAGTACAATTCATGGTAAAGGAGATAATTTAAGAAGTTTTTTATTTATAGATGATGTAATAAAGGCATTTGATATTATATTACATAGAGCAAAGATTGGAGAAGTATACAATATAGGAACGGAATTTGAAATTTCAAATATTCAAGTTGCAAAAACATTAATATCAATGGTTCTAGGAGTGACAGATAACAGTCTACAAAATAATTATATAGAATTTATAAATGATCGACCATTTAATGATAAAAGGTATCATATAAATAGTGATAAATTAAAACAATTGGGTTGGTATCAATCAATATTTTGGAATCAAGGACTAATTAAAACAATTGATTGGTATAAATCAAATTTAAATTATTGGGAGCAGTAAAATTACAAAAAGTATAAATAAATAAATATTTAATTTATTCTTATTCATCATCACCTTCATCATCACTATTATAATCATCTTTTTTTTCTTCTTCTTCTTCTTCATCATCATCAAATTCTAAATGAAAAAATAAATGATTAATAAAAGATATATATTATATTTTTCTTTTTTTTCTTTTTCCTCTTACGTTCTTCAGGTAATAATTGATCTTTAATTTGAGAATCTTTAGCCAAATCTATAGCCTTTTCACCATCTTTATTTCTAATTTCAATGTCAGCCTTGTTGGCAACCAATACTTTGACAGAATCCAAACGACCACGAGCTGCAGCCTTGTGAAGAGCAGAGTCACCAACCTTGTTGACAAGATTGAGGTTGGCACCTGCTTTGGCAAGAACATCAACTACATTGGCATGGCCAGCAGTTGCAGCATAGTGAATAGCACCATTACCCAAATGATCTTGACTATCGATTGGTACTGCCTTTATACGAATCAATTCATTTATATCTTGAACTGATCCAGATTTTGAATTGGCAAACCATGCATCAATATATGATATCTCTCCTGATTCAATTGTATCTGTCATCATCACTAAAAGTATTAAAAAAAGTATATATATATATAAATAAGTAAAGAGAGAGGGAATAAAAACAAAGAAAGAAAAAGAACAAAGGTCTGATTCAAACTGTTAATTAAAGTTTGAAAAAATCAAAAACAAAAAAAAAAGAGACCCATTCATTGAAAAAAAAAATAGCTTTGGACTGCATAGTACCATCGATCATTAAAAAACAAACAAATAATAACAAATAAGTGTTAAGTCAAGTCATCATCACAACAACAATGATCATCAGAGTTTAAGATCTATTACAACTCACTCACAGAAACAGAAAAGGTTGGGTTTAATGATCATTTAACCCCATCAACCAATTATATCAAACTACTTCACAACACACAACATAACATACTACCCCATTCATCAAAAATGTTTTGATTATTATATATTATATCAATCACACACTCTAGAGGTGTAATCAATTTTTGAAAGTAATATGTGTTTCTTCTTCTTCTTCTTCTTGTTTCCTCTTTATTTTATTTATTTTTCTATATTTTTTATTTATTTCTATTTTTTTTAATAATAATGATTGATAATAATAAATCAATATTTTTAATAAAATCAAAACATAAATTAGATAGTATAGTAGAATATACAGAGGATGAAAATAGTTGTACAATTATTGAAAAGCCAAAAAAACATGTTGAAAAGATTGAACTGTCTGGGAGACAGTTGTTTAGGATCGAGCAGGAATTGGAAGGAATTAATCTGCGTGCAATATCAAGTTTAAAGGCAAACGGTAATTTGTTTGGAGAGGTACCATTGGCTGTTAGAGATATGATGGGATTGCATACACTGTCATTTGGAGAGAATCGTATCATCAAAGTACCGCCATGGATGAATGGTAGTAGTTTTCCTAATCTACGAAGATTGGATCTTGGTCACAATGATATAGATGTTTTACCAGATCATCTATCACAACTATTACAATTAGAGTCGTTGGTATTATCACATAATATACTTTATTTGGTACCACCAACTAGTCTACCACCACATCTTATTACATTGGATCTTGGTCATAATTGTCTAGAGTATATAGAGTTGCCTGTACTTGATAGTTTAATCTCACTAAACGTTTCAAATAATCGGTTGAGACTTATTGACAATTTACCATACCACGTATCACATATTGCATTGGAAGATAATTATTTGGAAACTATAGATACTAGAATGTTGGCTCGTTGTGGACGTGACATTTCAATTAGTTTTCAAAGAGCATTTCGTGATGTACAAATGGAAATTATATTCACTTGTGCTTTGGCTAGATGTCCATCGTTGGATTTGTCTGGTTTAGGATTCAAACAAGTTCCACCTTGTCTTGGTACTCTATCACATCTAACATTATTAGATCTATCTGGTAATGGTTTAAAAAGTTTACCTCCTGAACTTGAACAATTGGTCAACCTCATTCGTTTGGATTTATCTTACAACTTTTTATCTACGTTGCCATTATATTTAATTAATTTTAAAGCATTGGTATTTCTTGGATTACATGGTACAATTGATTATTTGGTTAATCCACCAAGGAAAATAGCTGAAGGTGGTATTGGAGAAATTCAACGATACTTTGAAGACCTATTCCTTGGTGACCCAATCTATCGTGTCAAACTAATGATTGTTGGTCAAGAAAATGTTGGTAAAACATCACTCCTCAAATGCATGAAATGGAAAAAGAAAATTGGTAATCGTTCTGATCATCTTGGTCCAAATGTCTCTACAGATGGTATAGATATTGAAGATATTAAAATTAATCTTGATATTCAATCAATCATTACAAAAGAAAAAGATAAAGATAAAGAAAGAGAAAAAGATAATAATAATAATAATTTATCATCAATATTATTAAATAATAATTCAGAGAAGGAATTATTATCAGATATAAATAGTAATAATAGTTTAGTAAATAGTCCAATGAAAAGTTTGGGAGCAAATAATTTATTGGCAAGAAATAATAGTGGTATAGAATCTTTATTTTCTTCAAATATTAATAGTAATGGTACAATAACACCTCAACCATTATCAATTTTAACTTCTCCTTTAATAATTCAAAATAATAATCAAAATAATAATAATTTAAATAATTCTGGATCAAATAATAGTAGTACTATATATTTATCAAATAGTAATATAAATAGTAATAGTATAAATAGTTCACCATTGGTTGGTCATATACATAGTAATCGTGATAGTAATGGTCATCATCATCCTCATCATCATCATTCGATTTCATCATCCAATAGTACAACTACAACCATTACACATAATCAAAAAATTACACTTTCAGTTTGGGATTGTGCAGGTCAAGAACTTTATTATACAACTCATCAAATGTTTTTAACAGATACTGCACTCTATGTTGTGGTTTGGGATCTATGTAAACCAGAAGTAAATAGTAAAGTAGAATTTTGGTTACATTCTATTAGATCTCGTTTTGAAGATGCTCCAATCCTTCTTGTCGGTACTCATCTTGATGATTTCCTTTCAACTCATACTGAACAAGAATTGGATCATATTTTAGAAAATATTTATTCAAAATATTTTAGAAGATTTAGATTAAAAGTAATAGAAAAAAAAACAAAAAATATATTAAAGAAATTAATTAATTTTATTTTTATTTTTTTAGGGAATATGTGTATTAAGTTGTTTAAATGGTATTGGATTTGATAGATTTCAAGAATTATTAAAAAAAACAATTATTGATTTACCTTCAGTAAAACAAAAAATTCCTGATCTCTATATTAAATTGGAAAAATTAATTATTAAAAAACGTTCAACTATTTTACCTCCTGTTCAAACTTGGAAAAAGTAAAAAATAGAAAATAGAAAAAAAGAAAAATATATTATATATTTATTTATTTATTTAATTATTAATTAATTTATTTATTTTCTTTTTTTTTTAGTTATTCACAAATGGTATTATCAAATTTAGATTTTCATGATGAAATTCATGTTAAAGTAGCAACCAAAACATTGGTATTATTAGGATGTTTAGCATTTTTTGATGAACCTTTATTAGATCATTATGTTTTCCTTGATCCTCAATGGTTAACAAATGTTTTTTCTTCAATTATTACAACTAAACATAAATTTATTAAAGATGGTATTTTAAATAGATTGCAAGTATTAATTAATTTATTTATTTATTTAATCAATTTTATTAATACCTTTTTTTTATTATTTTAGGGATTTATTACAAATTTGGAAACCACCAAATTTTTTAGAAGATGAAGGATTACATAGATTATTAATTAATTTATTAGAAAGATTTGAATTAATGTTTCCATTGGAACCTGAAATTAATATTGAAGGTATATCTTCACCATTGTTATTATCAAAAAAAGGTTTTATAGAAGAAACAAAAGAAAAAGAAAAGAAAAAAAGTTCAAGTCAATTTTTATTATCTCCAATTATCAAGGACAATAATAATAGTAGTTCACAAAAATTACAATCAACATCAAGTTTAATGAATAGTCAAACAAATCTTCACGGTCCAACATCAACTACTACACCTATTTCTAGAAATCGATCAAATTCATTAGACCAACAAAATTTACAATATTATAAAACTCTTAAACCCTCCTCTACTGGAAATTCAACACCAACAGGAAAAACATCACCACCTACTTCAACAATCATTAATAATATTTCAACATTTAATTTACAAAAATTTATAATACCATCACAATTACCAGACAAGAGACCACAATTTGATTTACTTTGGTTACCAAGAGATCAATTTAGAGTAGAATATAATCGATGGTTTCATCTAACATTTATACCAATTGGTTTATTTAGTCGGTTGTTGATTAGATTGTTGGTATCTAGAGAATTTATAATGAAACCAAATTTGTATTGGAGAAATGGATTGGTGATTGAAGCTGCTCCGGCTGGTACAATGGCTGCTTATGGTCATGTTCCAGCAACTGCATTGGTAGAATTACATCCTGCCATGATGATGATAAAGATTGCAGTTCGTGGAGATAGACGTGCTGGTCGTACCATGGCTGCCAAATTACTTCGTCTAATCGTAGAGATTACAGATATCCTATGTTCATCTTGGTATCATTTGGAATCGGTTCAATTGGTTCCTTGTCCTCACTGTATATTCAAGGCAAAAGCAAACACTACACTATTCACTCTAAATGATTGTGAAGCATCTGCAAGTCGTGGAGAATGGTTTGTTTGTTGTGGTGAAAGAAAGATTGCTCTAGATTCATTTGTACCAGATGTTGCATTTGTCGATTTTTGGGGAAGTACAAGTAAAAAATTCAACTATGACAATATTAAATTGGAAAAGGAGAAACGAAAGATTATCATCTTTCCAGGTGACTCTGAATTTCGTTCCTACTATGGTTATCTTTCAAATGATCATCAAAATTTTGATCAAATCCTAGATGAAGAAACTAGAGAAAAGGAAAAATCTTTAAATCTTCAAGTTATCATTAATTGTACAATCATTGAAAAGGATGAAGAAAAAGAAAAAAAAGAAGAAGAAGAAGGAAAAGATCAAGACCTATCTACTTTATCATGTTTGGATATAAAATTTGATATAAAGAATCAAAATATAATGGTTAGTGGAACGATTACAAGAGGAGTAAAAGAAATTCAAAAGGAAATAGTTGTACCAAAATTAATTGGACGTGGAGCAAGTGGAAAGATTTATAGAGCAGAATTAAATGGAACAACGGTAGCTGTTAAACAATTGGATGTGGTTGGTGAAGATGCACCAAGAATCTATTCAGAATTTCGTAGAGAGATTCATGTAATGTCGGATCTAAAACATCGAAATGTTGTCAATTTATTGGGATTCACATTACATCCTTTTACAATGGTTATGGAGTATATTGATGGTGGTGATTTGTACCGTTTTCTACATAGTCCTGCCGGTGATGTATTAAATGATAATTGGAATCTTAGATTACAATTGGCTCTAGATATTGCACGTGGTATGAATTTTCTTCATAGTGTTACACCTCCTCTACTTCATCGTGACTTGAAATCTCCAAATATCTTATTGTCATTTCAAAAGGATAAAGAACAACCACAACAACAACAACATTTACGTGCCAAGGTGGCAGATTTTGGTCTAAGTTCAAGAATGTTTATTCAATCTTTAAAACATAAATTGAGAGAGTTTCCAGTTGGTAATATTACTTGGGTGGCTCCTGAAATTCTTAGAGAAGAAGAGTATACTGTAAAGAGTGATGTTTATGCTTATGGACTCATCTTGCATGAACTATTGACTCGTCAACATCCATATCGAGAATACAATTATACAATGCTGTCACAATTGGAACAAGCGGTACGTGGTGGTCTACGTCCATCAGTTCATCCAACCTATACAAACACTGTCCTTGGACACGACTATTGTGGTCTAATGAGAGATTGTTGGGACAATGATGTCAGCCACAGACCAACCTTTGCAAAAATTGTTCGTCGTCTTGAAAAAATGATGCAACGTGAAAGTATGTCTACTCTTTCCTCCTCAACTTCCTCCAACTCTGCTTTATCAAGAGCTTGTTCTCCTCAATCCAATAATTTAAATGTTCCCAATAACAATAATAATATTTCACAACAATTAACAATACTTGGATCAAAATCTTTATCTCCATTACTTTTGTCAATTTCACCAACTGGAACTGGTAGTATTAGTTTAAATACAATTATGAATAATCTTTCTGGTATTGGTCCAGCAAGTCAAAGTTATCATCATTTAAAACAATCTATTAGTACTCATCAACAAACAAGTAATACTTCTACTACTTCTACTACTACTACTACTACGAATCAAGAAGAAAATCAACCAGTTGGGGGACAATTACAACTTTGTATTAGAACATCATCACCAGATATAAAGGTGAAATCATTGTTGTGGGAGAATAGACGTGTATGGGGTGGTACCACAGATGGTAGTATACTCATTTGGAATGCAGAGAATGGTAAACCAATTGTATTTGAATCTAAATTACATCGTGGTGCAATCAATTCATTGTTAATGGTAGATGATGAGAATATTTGGTCGTCTGGTGAAGATGGATTCATTCGGGTTTGGAATGCTTGGCGTTTGAATTGTGATGATCAAGTCCGATTCAAAAGTGATATGATTAGTAAAAAGAGTAGAAGTGGTGGTATGTTGGGTAGGAAATCTTGGAAACATCGGTGGTTTACCTTAGATAGACGTGCCAAAACACTTAGTTATCACAAAAAACCAAATGACAAGTCTCCCAAATGTACACTTCAATTGGCTGATTCTTGGATTGAAGATCTTGCTACCATCCCCACATCAAGTAATACTACAAGTAATATTTTAAGAATTGCACTAAATATTGTCATACCAGAAAAACGTAGAATGGAATTAGGATTTAAAAATCTATCTGAAAAGGAACAATGGGTAAACTCTCTACAACGTATCATCAATCAAAACAAACCAATTTTTGAAATTAATTTAAATGAAACGAATCAAAACGGTAATAATATTGGTGGTAATAATATAAATTCATCAACTTCATCATCATCAACAACATCTCTACAACAAACAATATTTGTTGAAGATAATTATTCAACTTCATCAAATAGTTCAAATAATTCTCCAACTACAACATTTATGCACAGAAAGAAATCAAAAAGTAATAGTAATCTTTCAAATTTATTACCATCATCATCAAGTCAATTAATGGTTTCTTCAATGTTATTGGTTGAATGTGGTGGAAATAATCAAAATCAAACTAATCAAAATCAAAATCAAAATAATCATCAAAATAACAATATATCTTCTTCTTCATCTGACATTTCTCATCAAAGAGTATGGGTAGGATTAAATAATTCACCAGTGATACAAATTTATGATATTAAATCACGTACACTGTTACATACAATTGATATGTCTAAAGAGATTTCTGAATGGAAATCAACGGATCGTATGATTTATCATCAAGGATTTGTATGGGTTACTTGTTCCAATATGATTGGACATATCGATCCAAAGGAATATGTAGTGGTAACGGTTCATGCTACCGAACATACTCAACCAATCCATTCAATTGCTTCAATCGATCGATCAGTTTGGGTTTCTTGCAACGACTGTTCGATTAGTGTATGGGATGGTCAACAAGGCTCAGTCATTAAACGTCTAGAAGTCCCCTCTCCCATCACCAAACTCTTACACTTTAATAGTCATGTATGGGCCTGCTCAATCGGTACAATCTACATTTATGACCCTCTCACCTATACAATCAAAAAACAAGTAGATTGTAAACAACATGTAAATAGTATCACTGAATTAATCAAAGTTTTTCAACAAACTGTTTGGTCTTCTTGTAATACTCATAATATTTGTATTTGGTCTTAAAATAGAATAAAAAAAAGAAAAGAAAAGATAGATTTATATTTATTTACAAAGTTTTGTTTTTTTTTTGTTTTGTTTTTCTCTATTTCTTTTTCTATATTTAATGATCAGACATTACAATTTGTTCTAAAAGATCATTTAATCCAATGACGCCACAAAGTGTATTATGGTCATCAACTACAAAGATTCTATGAACTTTGTTTTCTGCTACTTTTAATAATACCTCTTTAAATGTATCTGTTTTCTTACATGTAATTAATTGTTTTGGCTAAGTTTAAAATAATAAGTTAATTAATTTGTTTCTATTTTTTTTTCTTTTTTTTTTCTTTCTATTTCTTACACAAGTAGCTAAAGTTTTAATAACTTGTAAATAACTATTAATTGGTTGATAGAGAAGATTTAAGTATTGACCAGAAGATTTAATGAGGACAAGGTCATGATCACTAATGACACCTTTTAATTTTTGATGAGAGTCTACTACCGCTACACCAGAGATACCCATACTGGCAATCAATTCAAATGCATCGATTGCCTTTTTATCTTCAGTGATTGATATGACTTGATTCTTTCCAAGTGCCAATGTTTCAATTGGTCTTGAACCCAAACTAGTGAGATGATTGTCCATACCAAATAGTTGAGATGCACATTCGATGATTCTAGACAGAGAAATGATATTGCATAGGTCACCCTTTTCATCGAAAACAGCTACTCTATGAATATGATTCTTTGACATTAATCGAGCGACATCATCCAACTTGGACTCGGCATTGACAAAAATAAATGGTTCCCTTTTCGATTTGTTGGCAATATCACAAACCTTGTTCTTTTGGAATAAACTTCTATCCGTATTGTTTTGTAGATAGGTAGACATGTCTCCTTCATCCTGTTGATTATCAGTTGATAGAATCTCCAAAATTTGATAAATAACATCAATCATTGAAAAAAAGGATACAAATCTTTTTTCTTTTTCATCATAAACTGGTGTTGATAATATATTATGATCTATTAACATCTAAATAATTAAATTAAAATAATAGGTTAAAAGGGTTAAGTAAAAAAGGAATATATATATATTTATAATTATATTTATATTTATATTTATATTTATATTTATATTTATATTATATTTACTTTGAAACCTTTGTCAATTGGATCATTTGACTTGCAAAAAAGGATTTTAGATTGATCATTTGGAAACACCGGTGACGATGCTTTTAATGTATGTAATAATTCCATATTATTAATGTTTTTTTTGTTATATTATATAAAAATTATTAAGGAAGCATGATAACAAGAGAGAGAGAGGAATAAATAATAGAGAGAGAGCAGGAAAAAAAAAAAAAAAAAAAAAGAAAGAAAATTAAAAAAAAAAACCAAAACTAGTTTTGGAAATTTACTAAATTTGGGTACTCTTTGAAAACAAGATTCACAATAATAAAATTAGAATAACAACAAAAGCTAATCCAATAAAAAGGTTGCTTACTAAAAAAACTAAACAACAATAATCATCATTCTCCCTTCATGAGAATTTCGGTATTATTTAGAGTGCAATGGAACTTCACAAAGATAGGAGATTTTTTGGTTCTCTCTTGATTTTTTTTTTTTCACTAAGTCACCATGAACTTACAAATTTATTTAATATTTGATATATATCTATAGAGAGATAAGAAGATCTTTTAGTATGTATATCTTTACATGTTAGGCTTGATCAACACAACACATTTATTACTATATATAGTCACAAAGAGTGAAGAAAGAGAGTACAACACACCAACAACAATAACAAACCAATAGATTGTGGTGATGTTGTTTTGTGTGAAGTTATTGACAACAGCAGCAGTAGAGTACTCTCTTCAAAGAGAAGCATTTTAATACCACACCATTTCAACGTTTGTTCTTCCCTCTTCTTTTTTTACCCACTCCCATTCAAAAGCATACAACATACTTTACTACTACCAACCCAGCTCGTCTCTTCTCTCTCTCTCTCTCTATTGAACTGACTTTTTATTTTTTACTCTTGTTGTTTATTTGTGGTTGATTCGTGAATCCATCCTACTCAAAAAAGAAGGGAAGCAAGGAAGAATGAAGAAGCGATGTTTTTAAATCTTTAATTTATTACTTTTTTCTTGGTTTAATAATCCCAATTTACATATTAAAATTTTATATACATATATATTTCATCATACAAACATACAAACAATACAATTGTAATTTATCAAATATAACAGATAATAACAACAAACACCCGTTTTTTTAAAACATATATATATAATTTTATATACACCTAAATAAAAAAAGAGAGAAACTAACTACAACTTTTTAATTTATTATTAATCAATAAAACTTTTAGTACACAAAAATGAATATTAGTATGTTGTTGTAAATCAGTAGTAGTTGAATTTAAATATACATATTTGATCAAATCATATTAATCTATCTATCTATTCTTACTTTACTACTACTTACTACTTTACTTTAACTATTTATTTTTTTAGGGACAAGGAAATCAAATCATCGTGCTGCCAATGATACAGTATCAGAGACAGAATCATTTGAAGAATTATCATACTTTATCCCTTTATTAAAGGAGAAAAAGTCAGCTGTTAGAGTTGGAGCATTAAAGAATATTATTGAAGTAACTTCATTTCAACAAAGAACTGATCAACTTCATGAAATGTAAATAGAATAGAAATATATATATATATACCTAATAATAATTAAACTAATATAACTATTTAATTTACTTTATACATTTTAGTGAAATTGATTTAATTGATGTAGTATGTGGAATATTAACAACACCAAACAAAGAGGAAGAAGAATTAAAATTAGCAATTCAAGCCATTGAATTATTATCGATTCATACTGGTACACTTAGACATGACTTTTTCAAGCGTGTCAAGGGATTCCTTTCACCAATCATCACTGACAGTACAGAGTATCACAGCGTTGTACTCGTGTGTGGTGCCATTGAAGCACTCTCTGTCACCTGTCTCATGAATTGCTCTCAACCAGACTCTTATGATCATACCATTGAATTCATTGCCGATATTATCAGAACCGAAAAGAACAAACAAATATTAAACAGTGCTCTCAAAGCTTGGATTTTATTATTAACAAAACTTGATAAATCAAAAATTAATCAACATTTAGAGTAAGCAAAAAAAAGAAACAAAAAAAAAAAAGAAATAAGGAAATAGTAATAATGATTATTAATACTTTATTTTATTTTTAATTTTAATTGTTTAGATTATTAGATAGAATTTCAGAATTACCATCATCTGGAAATAATGATCTAAGAATTACAAGTGCAATTGCAGTTGCATTTTTGGTTAGTGAAATTGATCCAAGTTCATTATCACCAGTTGAAGGTGATAGTGATTATGAAGATGATGATGAAGACTATGACGAAGATGAAGAAGATGAAGAAGATGAAGGATCAAGTCATACTGATAATGGTCATAGTGCACAAGAATCAAATATTCAAGATGAAGAAGAAGAAGAAGAAGAAGAAGAAGAATACTCTGATTCAGATTCCGAAGATTATGAAAATTATGATGGTGATAATGAAATTATTCAATTGGTAGAAGATTTGGTATTAAATAGTTCAGAAAAGACAAAGGCCAAGGTTAGATCAAATGCACTTCTTCGCAAGGTATTAAAGACACTCAAGGCTGGTGATCCACCACGTGAATATCTTCAAGTCACCTCAGAGACCTACTTTTTCGAAGGATGGCGCGCATACATCCAACTCCATCAATTCAAAAAGGTTCTTCGTAACGGTCTCACCTTCCAATGGAATCTCAACAAGGATCTTCGTTCACTTTTCAAAACTCAATCATTCTCTAACCATGAAATGGAAAGACATCGTCGTTCCATTCAACCAAGTAAATCAAAACAAAGAACTCAAAGTTTAAAAAAAGATCGTAGAAATACTTCTGCTGTTTATGCTTATCATCATAATGATGCATAAATTAAAAAATAAATAAAAATAAAACAAAAAGTAAATTAAATATATACAAATAATATTTCTTTTTTTGGAATTGTTTTTTATATATATATATTTTTTTCCTTTTTTTGGAAACTAAACTAAACTTTTGTTTTTTTTTTACTTCCAGACCAATCCACTCTACTCTCTCTCTCTCTCTTTAAATGTATTGGTTAAAATAATAATATATTATTGATATTTCAAAGAAAGATAGTTTGTTCATTTTTAAATATTATATTATATTTATTTAATAGAGAGATAAAAAATAATTATGGATACAAAAAATAATAATAGTAGGAGTAGAAGATATTCTACACCAAATTTATATGAAAATTATACATCACCAAATATAAATAATACATTTGCTGAAAGTACAACACCAAAAAGAGTAGTTGTACCAGGTGGATATTTAGAACCTATCAATAATTTAAATGAATATAAATTGGATGTATTCAATGACACTCCTCATCAAATCATTGAACATCCAAAACCAAATAAACAATTATTTATTCAAACTGGTAAATAGATCTAAAAACAAACAAATTATCTTTTACTAATTCTATTTTCTTTTTTGTAGCAAATAAAGTAATAATTAATAATAATCAAAATCAACAATATTATAAACAACAACAAATAGAAAAAGAAAAATTAAAAGTTTTAAAAAAAAAGAAAAAGAATTTAGATCATCCAAATCACAGTCGTCATAATCATACAACTACTTCAACACCATGGTCAGATTCAATAGATATGAATAATATATTCCAATCAAAACCACCGCATAATAGTGAAAAGGCTAAAGAGGTGTTGATCAACATTCAAAGGGTAGCGTTGGATTTCAATGGTATTATGGATAGAAATGATCAATCTCTTAGATTGGTCATTTCAAAGTTAATGACAACTACACGTAATCTAGTGGAACTTGGTAGTTACAAGGAATTGGCAGATGATATACGACTGATTGGAGAGATTATCATAAAGAGTGGTTACTTTTTAGAGATTTGTAAGCTGTTTGCAAAGCTACTGTCTGAGCTAAAGAATACAGATGAAACGATTCATTTTGTGTTGGAGTTTAAAAAGATGGTTGGTGTCATCAACAATCTGACAAAGGCCATTGAAGATGAATCACAAACCATTGAAATGTTTACCATCGAGGCAGATCAACGACAAAAGATTATAAAGTCTCTCAAGAATCTACTCAACTATATACTTCGAAACAAAGAGATGATATTGATTGTCAAGAATATAGAGAATCTTAGAAAACAAGTACAAATTGCAAAAGAGGAACAAAAGAAATCATTTTCAAGAGAGGCTTTACAAGAGGTAATGAAGGATGCACCGATCCTCAATGAAATGTTGTTGGCCGTACAAAGTATTATTGGTAGCAAGTTAAATGTCAAGTTGTTAATGGCCAACATTAGAGATTTAATAGCATTTGTCAAAGTGAATCAAGGTTACAAACAAAATATAGAAGATGTAAACAAAATAGTCAATCAAATCTATTCAATGGAGGATTTGGAGATGAACGAATCGATGGAGTTTAAAAGTAGAAATTTAATTGATCGTTTTGAACAAATGTTGATTGAAATTTGTGCTCTTCCATCGGTCATTGAACTACGTATCCAACTATCACTACTCACCACTTCACTCAGACACGATGAACTTAATCTTAGATTCATAGAAGATTTGAAAAACCTTTTCCATAGCATGTTGAAAAAGGATTCAAAATATCGTATAGACTATAAAGTTTTAAATCAATTAAAAGAATTACTTATTCCTTATTTAATTAACAAAATTAGAATTATTCCTTTACCTACTATTACAAATATTAATCAAGAAAGTAAGTAGAGAAAATAAGAAAAAAAAAATATAAATATTAGAAAATAAGAAAATAAATATTAATTAATTTTCTATTATTATTTTTTAGATTTAAAAGATAGACCAAAAACAGAATTTAAATTGGATGGTATTAATATTAAATTTACATTTTTGGATCCAAAATCAGTTCAATTTGGTTTGGTTACTTGTGTACAATCAAATCCATTTTTATTAAGTGGTACAGTTTCAACTTTATTCACTATTGAATTGTAAGAAAAAGAAAAAGAAAAAAAAAGATTTTTAATGATTAATTATTAATTATTATTATTTCAACTTAGAACAAATATACATTTAAAATTGGAGAATTTTCAATGGTATTTTAAAAAGAGAACTATACCAAGATTAAAAGATGAAGGATTTGCTACAGTTTCAACTGGTACCAGAGGAGTTGATGTAATTATAAAAAACAAATTCTATCCAAGTTTATTATTTTTATTATTATATGTCTACTACACATAACATTACATTTTTATCAATCCCCCAAGTATCAAAAACAAATATATATCTCTGATGTGATTAACATTTCTTTATTAACCTTTTCATTTTTTTCTATTTGTAGCTTAAATTTAAAATAGCATTTTCAAAAGATATGGTAAAAGATAACAAATTTCTTCAAAATGTAAAAACAAAATGTACTATTTATGATACTAGTATGTATAAATAAACTAAAAATTAAACATCCATCCATCCATCCATACCTTTTTGTTAATTTCTTTTTCTTTTTTTTTTTATAGAACTTGAAATATTAAAAAGTAAACATAACAAATTATACAAGACAATATTTAAAATGTTTGAAAAAAAGATTAAAAAGGAATTGGAAAAAGCAATTGAAAAGAAATTGACAGAATTGATCATTAGAATGGAACAATCGATTTATGAAACATTATGTAAAGATGAATCGACAAAGATTAAAACGATATCTGCATTTTCAAATCCAGATGGTTCAAGGGTGACTACTACAACTACTACAACGACTACTTCCAATTCGGCTTCTGCTGTCCCTTCAACTTATTCTTCTTCGACCTCTTCCTCTGTATTTAATACCAAAGAAGAAAAGAGAAATAAGATTCTTGGTAGAATTCATACAGAGGTACCGAGATCATCTGAACTTCGAAGAGTTAGAGAGAGATCAAAGACACTACCAGATTCCCCAATATCTCCAATGATAGAGACACCACCACCCACAAAGATACTAGGTCTTTCATCACCTGCTTATTTCTCAGATACACCTCTACCAACTCAACCAGCCTATGTATCAGTTACAACCACACCAATTGCAACCACCTCCAAATTACCAGTGCCTGCACCAAACTCAACAGTCATTCTAAAGAAACCATTTGATGAACAAATACAACCACCCCTTTTACCAATTGGTGCACAAGATACCAATAGTTTTATGGTTCAAGATTATAATTATGAACCAAAACCAAAAAGAACTCTTAGTTTTCAACCTCAACCAGTAGTAGTAGCAACAGCTGTTGATAGTTCATCTTCATCTTCACCATTAACCTATAGTAGAAATGATTCATACAATAAGGATTTTCAAGAATTGGATGATATCTTTTTAAACAAGACCAATCATGGTTTTTTCATACCTCCAACAACAGAACCTCCACCTACAACACTTTTACACGAAGTTAAAGAATTAAATCCAAAATTGTATCATCAAATTACAAAAGTTCAAAATGAAATATTAAAAGGTAATCATGATCTTCATGATCATTTAAATCATGATAGTATTATTTAAATAAATTAATAAATTAAAAAGAAAAAAAGAAAAAAAAGTAGTGTCTTGGAATCATTTGATTATTTGTGTGTTCAAATATACTATGACTCATCTATTATCTTTATCTAATTTATTATTATTACAAATTATAACAGATATTAATGATAATGGAGATACAATATGTTTATTGTTAACTTGTAAAAAGTTATTCAGTAATAGTAGTTTAAGAAGATCAATTGGGTTTAAAGGTATAAGAGTTTTCAACGACAATGGATATATATCAAAAGAGTTTAAAGCAACTGCTACTCTATTTAAACTCTTATCATTTAATGATATATTAAAGAATAGTATATCAGATAGACAGGTTTTACTTCCTGTACCTGACCAATACAAAATTGATGACTATCCACAATGGATAAAAGATCGTATCACTCTGAACAATAGAGTTGATAAAAGTACTGTTACAACTGTTTTGGTAAAGAATCCACAAACGACAACATACCAATCAATCTATGACATACCATCAATCGAGACACTATTCATTGAAGATAAAAAGGTTAGTTTTGGTAGCATATGCTCACAGTTACCTAGTCTCCAACGACTTTTGATTCGGACAAAATGTTTGGATCTATCCCATCAGGATCATCATCATCAACATACAACGCTAAAGTCTCTTCAACTACATGTATCTACCACAAAACCATACCCACTCGTCGACTTGGGTCTCACCAAATTGGTATCATTGACGGACCTAAGCTTCAAGAGTTATTTTGTAACAAATATCAAGTCGGGTATATTTCCAAGTAGTTTGACATCTCTCACCATAAAACTAAAAGAAATACCTCCAAGAGATACATTCTTGTCATTGACATCACTTGTCAAACTAAAGCTATTCTTTACAAACTGTCCATCACTTGAACAACAACCATACATTGATCTCGACGGTCTTGCCAACCTAAAGAAACTCATAATCAGTGACCACAACCCAAACAATAGCTTGTATGACCACTACATTGTGAGTGTCCCACCATCTCTCAAGATTCTTACACTCAGGTTGTATGCCAGAGGAATAAAAATCCCATCACATTGTTCAATGCCACAGTTGGAGAAATTATATATTCAAGCAAAAGAATTGATTGATGGAAGAATCAATCTACAGTCACAGTTCCCATCTCTCAAGAAACTGGTTATTGATAATTGCAAGGAAATCATTCCACCCACCATAGTCATCCCATCAACTGTTAAAAGTTTAAAAATCTATCATTATGCATTCCATTCTATACTCGGTCGAGTTGTATTACCACCATCACTCACCCATCTTAGCATATTGGGATTCTATGAACCTGTTATACTACCCGATTCACTCATCAAACTAAATCAGACGGTCAAGGGCGGTACACCATCACTTCTTCAACCAAATTTGAAAAAACTAGTTTGGGGAACTGATAGGAAAACCACATCACAAACAAACATTGTATTACCACCATCCTCCAATAACTATCCACCCAATCTTGAAACACTCAATCTAGTTGATCTAGAAGGTGAATATACGATTGACACTATACCACCAACCATCAAATATCTAACAATACCTTTGAAACAAAACACCAAACACTACCTTACACTTTTAAGCAACCCTCCAATCTATTCAATCAGTTCAAAGATATCCAACAACAAAACCATCGTATCCCAACAACAACAACAATGGTTACCACTCAATACCACTCATCTAACTTGCCAACTTTTGTGTTCATTTGTTGAATCAAAGTTGGCATTTAGATTAGATGAAGTAATCAACCATACCAATGTTAGATATCTAACTCTATATATTTCCCAAATATCTTCAGATATAACATTTAATTTTAAAATTCAAAGATTAGACAATGATAATCTAAATGTATTAGTATTGGAAACACAAACACTTCAAGGTGGTATAATCACTCAAAGAAAATGTATCAATAATCAACAACAACAACAACAAGAATATGATCCAATTTATTTATACTATAATCCTGATTCTCCAAACACTCCATTTGAATTAAAATGGATATTCTCTTAAAAGATTAAACTTAGTAAATAAATAAATAAAAAATCAAACAGATATTTTCATTCTTTCTTTTTGTGTATGTTCATTAAAATTTTAATTTAACTTTTTAAAGTATAATTTTTGTTATATAAAGAGAGAGAGAGAATGAATAAAAAGATAGTACTTGTAACAGGATGTTCATCAGGGATAGGTAAATCATTTGTTAGAGAGTTGGGGTCAAGAAGAGATTACAAAGTATATGCATCAGCAAGAAACTTGGATTCAATTAGATCATTAGAGAATGAAGGTTTTGATATCGTTGAATTGGATGTAACAAAGATAGAATCAATTGAAAAGGCTGTAAACTTTATCATTGATAAAGAAGGTAGAATTGATTTATTAATTAATAATGGTAATGTACAGAAAAGAAAGAAAAGGTCTTACCTTTCATGATCATTTGACTTTGTAAAGAACTAGTGCTTTGTATTTACTTTTTCATTTCTCTGTGTTGATTAGCTGGAATAAGTGATTATTCACCATTGGTTGAATTGAATAATCAAGATGCACATAGAATCATGGAAACTAATTTCTTTGGTACTGTCAATACAACCAATGCAGTTGCAAAACATATGATTGCTCAAAAGAGTGGTGTCATTCTTTGTGTTGGTAGTATTGTTGGTTTGACATCAACTCCATTTGCTGGAATGTATTGTGCTTCAAAAGCTGCTGTTCATTCTTGGTCTGGTAAATATTATAAATTAATATTAATAATATTTATATTAATAATATTTATATTACTTTCTTATATTAATCTATTTTTCATTTAGATTCATTAAGATTAGAATTAATACCATTTAATATTAAAGTGGTAGTTGTAATGCCTGGGTCAATTACATCAGAGATATCAAATAATGCCAAACCACAACTTGAACAATTATTATCAAAGGGATCACTATACGATCGCATCAAAGGTTATTTGATCGAACGTTCAACAGCTTCACAAGATGGAGCCATCTCTTCGGAATCATTTGTCAAATATACATTGGACAAGACATTGTCACCAAAACCACCAGCTAGTTTCTCGTACGGTCCCAATTCATTCACTTTTAATCTCCTATACTATCTACCAAAATGCATCACTATTGCTATCTTTTCTCGTAGATTTGGTTTAATTAAATTAAAAGAATTGGTTAATAATAATAATAATAAATCTGAATAAAAGAAAATAACAAAATACTAATATTCATTTCGAAAAAAATATCTTGTAATTATATTAGTATTCACATCACATGATGAGTAGTCTATTAAAGTTATCTAATCTATTATTATTATATATTATATCATCTATTGACAGTAATGGAGATATAATATGTTTATTGCTGACTTGTAAACATTTGTATCATAATATTGGTTTAAGAAGATCAGTTCAGTTTAAAGGGATAAGAGTTATCGATACTGACAAGAAAGAGGTATCAAAACAGTTTAAAGCAACATCTACTCTTTTTAAACTATTATCATTTAAAGATATATTGGAGAATAGTATATCACATCAACAGATCGTTTTGTCTTCTGATCTGTTAAAACAAGATGACAAAGACTATCCTGATTGGGTGAAGCAACGTATCACTTTGGAGAATAGACAAAATAAGAGTAACATTACAACTGCTTTGGTAAAGAATGCACCAATATCACAAACACTCTATGACATACAATCAATAGAGACACTATTCATCTATCATCAATACCCAGAGTATGGTAGTACATTGGATCTTGGCTCCGTCTCACTCTTTCAACATCTCCAACGTCTTTCAGTTTGTGCATACGGGTTGATTCTTGGTACTCATACAACACTCAAGTCACTTGAATTAAGTATCACTACTGAATGCCCACTCGCAGACTTGGAACTCACCAAATTCGTATCTCTGACAAAACTGATCTTTAACAATCCTTTTGTCACAGATATAGGACCAGGTCTATTTCCAAGTAGTCTAACATATCTAAATATAAGACCAAAGGAAATACCTCCAAGAGATACATTCCTTTCATTGACATCACTAGTGTACCTCAAGATTGGTCTGTATCACAGTCAATCCATCAAAAGTGAACAAGACCAACAACAACAACAACCATTCATCGATCTCGACGGTCTATACAACCTAAAGACACTCATGATCGACGATGACAGCTTTCCACCAGAGAACAAAAACTATTACATCGAGATGAGTGTTCCTCCATCACTCACCATTCTTAACCTCTTGTCAGTGTGCATAAAGATCCCAACTCGATGTACAATGCCACTGTTGGAGAAATTGGATGTACAACTAAATGTATTGATTGATGGTGGTGGTAAAATCAATCTAGTTTCACAGTGCAAATCTCTCAAGAAATTGGTTATTCATAATTGTAATCAACCTATTCCACCCATGATCATTCCATCCAATGTCGAAAAGTTATCTATATATAAATTCACAAAAAAATCTTTATTCTCCCAAGTTGTATTACCACCATCACTCACTCATCTATCAGTCTTTGGTAACTTTGATGAACATGGGTTTAAACTACCTGATTCACTTGTCAAACTAAAGTTGATGAACAATCAAGTTGCATTCCCATCACTTCCTCAACAATTAAAAAAACTGGTTTGGATAGGCAAAACACCAAATTTGGTTTATCCATCCGACTACCCACCAAATATTGAAACAGTCAAACTAACCAACATGGCTGTTGCCCTAACAATAGACAACATACCACCACCCACTAAATATCTATCACTCATTTTGAACAAAGACCTTAAAATGACACCAAAGGGACTTTCAATCTTTTCAATAGGTTCAAGGTTAAACAAAAAAATAATAGATTCCAACCAACCACAACAACAACAACAATGGTTGCCATACAATACTACACATCTAACATGTGATCTTTGTGGAGCTTCTTCATCAAAGGTTGCATTTAGATTAGATCAAGTAATCAACCATACCAATGTTAGAAATCTGTCAATCTCTGCTTATGGTTTTACATCTTGTAGAGATATATTAATTCAAAGATTAGACCCAGATAATAGAAAAGTATTGGTATTGGAATCACATACTCTAGCAGGTGGAATAATCACTCAAAGAAGAAAAACAATCAATAATAATAATCAACACCAACAACAACAATATGATCCAATTTATTTATATTTAAATATTAGTATTATATCTCCATTTCAATTGGATTGGGGATTCTTAGATGACAACCAAATTAAGAACCTTTGATTAAATAATAAATTAAAATATATTAAAAAAAAAAAATCCATCTTTGCCTTTTTTTTTTTAATCTCATTTGAAGATCATTCATTCACCACATGACATACAATGACAAGTCTATTATCTTTATCAAATCTATTAATATCACAAATCATATCATCAATTGATTATAATGGAGATATAATATGTTTATTGCTTACAACTAAAAAGTTATATCACAATAGTAGTTTAAGAAGATTCATTCAATTTAAAGGAACAAGAGTATTCGATGATAATGGTCATATATCACATCCCTTTTATGAAACAGCTCTTCTATTTAAATTATTTTCATTTAAAGATATATTAGAGAATAGTGTATCAGATAATAAAGTGTTACTACCTGAAAAAGGAACTCACTCATTCTATCCTCAATGGATAAAAGATCGAATCAATGTAAATAGAAATGATCAGAGTACCATTACAACTGCTTTGATGGTTCATTACGAATCAGAATCATTAAAGTCACTCTACAAAGTACCATCAATCGATACTCTATTTGCTGGCCATGGTTATGACAAACAAGGCCAGTTGTTTGATCTTGGCTCCATCTCTTTGTTACCAAATCTCCAACGACTTGTAGTTAGTGCATACAAGTTGAATCTTGGTCCACACACAACACTCAAGTCATTGACACTACATATCGGCACCAAATACCCACTCGCCAAGTTGGGTCTCGTCAAATTTACATCGTTGACCAAACTGTCATTTGAAACCTATTGTGTGACAAATGTTGGTCCAGGTCTTTTGCCAAGTAGTCTTACGTCTCTCACTATGAAATTGCTAGAGATACCTCCAAGAGATACATTCCTATCATTGACATCACTCGTGACTCTTGATATCACACTGGAAAGTGAAGCAGTTGCAGAAGATATGAAAGAAGGATGCATCGATCTCGACAGTCTATGCAACCTCAAGACCCTCTCGATCATTGACCACACCTATTCAGTATGGTGCTACATTGAGGTTAGTATACCTCCTTCAATCACCATTCTTACCTTCAAGTCGGCATTGATAAAAATCCCAACCTTATATACAATGCCACTGTTGGAGAAATTATATGTGACTGAAAATGTATTAATCGATAAAAGAATCAATCTATTGCCATCAAAATCGATAAAGAATCTCGTTATCTATGATTGCGACCAACCTCTTCCGGCCAATAGCATACCATCCACTCTTGAAACGCTATCAATACATAAAACCAACAGAGACTCTAGAAATCTTCATGTACTTGGAAATGTTGTATTACCACCGTCACTCACACATTTATCCATGTTGGGAGATTACGATCCCGTCAAACTACCAGAATCACTTGTCAAACTAGAACAAACATTGGATCAGAAAGCCACCCAATTTGACCTTTCACTTCCTCGTCATTTGAAAAGTCTGTGTTGGACAGTTAAACCAATATTCTATCCGGGAACCACAAAGTTTGTGTTTCCAACGTCCTCCTCGTATCCACCTGATCTAGAAACACTCAAACTATTCAAAATTGAAGGATGCTTTATTGACACTGTTCCACCAGTCACCAAATATCTATCAATACCTTTGCAACATATAGATAAATCGGAATATGATCATCCAATCTATTCACTCACATCAGTCATCTCTGAGACTACTACTTATCAACAATCACAATGGCTACCACCCAACACCACTCACCTTACCTGTAGAATTTTGGATAAAAGAAAAGAACCATACAAGATCATCTTTAGATTGGATGAAATTATCAACCACACCAATGTTAGACATTTATCTCTTATCATCACAGAGGTTACCCATCAATTTACAATTCAAAGATTAGACCCAGACAATCGAAGTGTATTAGTAGTACAAATAGAGTCACTTCAAGGTGGAATCATCACTCAAAGAAAAACAATCAAAAAAAACCAATATGATCCCATTTATTTATATTTTAGTAACTCTTTTATTCCAGATTTGGTCTGGAAAATTATTCCAAAGTAATCAAATAAATAAATTAGATTTAAACAATCTTTTTATTATTATTTTCCATTCACATCTTTTCTAATTTCAAAACTCCATGCCAAAGAAATTGGAGACCATCCTACACCCAAATATAAATAAATGGGATCATATTGGTTATCTTTGATTGTTTTTCTTTGAGTGATAATTCCACCTTGAAGTGTTTGTGTTTCCAATATTAATACATTTAGATTGTCAGAGTCTAATCTTTGAATTGAAAATTGATAGGTTGTTTGAGAAAAATGAAGAGTTAGATATCTAACATTGGTGTGATTGATCACTTCATCCAATCTAAAGATTGTTTTTGGGGCTATCTTTGATTCCCTTAGGTAACAAGTTAGATGAGTGGTATTGAGTGGTAGCCATTGTGGTTGGTTGATAATTTTAAATATCCTCGAGCCGATTCGATAGATTGGAAGGTTTTCTGGAGACAGATTTTGGTCCAGAAAAATTGATAGATATTTGGTGGGTGGTGGAACTTTGATCAAAGAATTATCATCAATAGTTATCACTTTAAGTGTTTCAAGATTAGGTGGAAGAGGATGACCGGATGAGAATAATTTTGGGAGACTGGTTTCCCAATCCACTTCCCAAGTCAGTTTTTTCAAATTTTGGGGAAGATTAAAGAGTTGAGATTGACTGTTGAATGTTTGTTTTAATTTGACAAGCGATTGTGGGAACACAACAGACTCACAATGCTGTCCTTTGATGGATAGATGAGTAAGCAATGGTGGAAATTTAATTTGACCAAGTATTTTTCTTTTTAAAGTGTCTTTATCGATTGTAAGCTTTTTAATAGTTGATGGGATGATGACGGGTTCAGTGCATTGATAAATAAAGAGTTTCATGATTGATGGACACTGTGATAAATTGATTCTTCCAGTAACCAATATGCTTTGATACACATAAAATTTCTCCAACAGTGGCATGGAACATCGTGACGGGATAACTACAGATGAAGACCAAATGGTAAGAATCTTGAGTGAAGGAGGAACACTTATCTCGATGCTACAGTTAATGTCCTCATCTATTTGTATCAGGAAATAGTCAAAATTGAATACGAGTACCTTGAGGTTTAGTAGACTATCGAGATCGATGTGTGGTTGGTCTTCCACCTCTATATCTTCCTTCAGGCCAATCTTGAGTTTGACTAATGATGTCAATGAAAGGAATGTATCTCGTGGGGGTACCTCTGTCAATCTAACAGTGAGAGACGTAAGACTACTTGGAAAGAGACCTGGTCCTATATTGGTCAAAAAACTACCTTTGAAACTCAGATCCGTCAACGATATGAATTTGGTGAGACCCAAGTCGACGAGTGAGCATCTGGTGGTGATATCTAGTTTTAGTGACTTGAGTGTTGAGTGAGGACCAAGAATCAGCTCGTCTGTACGAACTGACAGACTTTGAAGATTTGGCAAGTACTGTGAGATCGAGTCAAGATCCACCACCTCCCCTTCACTTTGATGTTGAATGATGAATAGTGTCTCGATTGATGGTATCGTTTCATAGAGTAACTTTAATGACTTTAGTTTGGAATACATCAACAAAGCAGTTGTAATGTTACTTTTATCATCTCTATCTTTTAAAGTGATACGTTGTTGTATCCAATCAGGATAGTCTACAAAGTAGTTGATTTTGTCATAGTATAACCTGATGATCCGAAATACTCCTCTCCAATATATCATTAAAAGAGAATAGGTTGAATAGAGGTGCTGATGCTATAAATTGTTCTATATCTCCTTTTTCATTGATAGGTACTATTCCTTTAAACTGAATCATTCTTCTTAAACCAATGCTATGATACAACTTTTTACATGTTAATAACAAACATACTATATCTCCATTATTATAATAATATCTCCTCCAATAATATCTGTTATTTTTATGGTAACTTTTATTTAAAAAAGGTTATCAATAACTTTGAAGTCTAATTCCTCCCTTCTAGTAGTATTAGAAGGTGTAAGAAATGGTGTTACATAAATGAGTTTATATGACAACTTTCGAAACCAACATTATTGTTATAGGTTCCTTGGTTACCCATCAACCTAGCCGATTATCGACTTTTCGATGGCACCAACCCATCACTGTGACTTTTTAGGGTCGGCAGCTGGTTGGTAAGAGTTGGCCTTGCGGCAGCAGCTAAATAGCAAAGACGTCCAGCAGACAATTGTCTTTGATCAATATCTGATATCAATTTATATTAATAATAGATTTGATAATCGATCATTGAATATTCTAGAAATAAATGAGAAGCTCGAGTATTTATTTAAACTTTTGTACTAGCCATCATGTGTAATATATATTGATGAATCTATTATCTTTATCAAATCTATTACTATCACAAATCATATCATCTATTGATGATAATTTAGATATAGTATGTTTGTTGTTAACTTGTAAAAAGCTATACTTTAATAGTGGTTTAAAACCTTACAAGGTTTAAAGGGTTTGAACTTTTAACAAAAGATGGACACATATCGGTTCAGTTTATATCAGCAACTACTCTATTTAAACTTAACTCATTTAAAGATATATTGGAGAATAGTATATCTGATCAACAAGTCATACTACCTCATATAAACAACAACACCATAGAATACCAATACAGATTTGATGACTTTCCAAAATGGATAAAAGATGGCATCACTGCAGTTAAAAGAGACAACAACAACAACAACAACAACAACAACAAGAGAAACATTAAAACTGCGTTGATGACAGATTACCAACCAACAACACTACAGTCACTCTACGAGATACCATCAATCGAGACACTATTCATCTAAGAATCATCCTTCAGCGCTGGTGAGGTCGATCTTGGTTCCATCTCTTTGTTACCCAATCTCAAACATCTTTCAGTTCATACATACGGAATGGTTCTTGGTGCTCACACAACACTCAAGTCAATGAAACTCAGTGTCACCCTCAAATACCCACTCGTCGACTTGGGTCTCACCAAATTCCTATCATTGACAGAGCTAATATTCGTCAATTACTTGGTGTCAAATGTTGGGCCTGGTCTATTGCCAACTAGTCTGACTTCTCTTACTATACGACTACTAGATATACCTCCAAGAGATACATTCCTCTCATTGACATTGCTCGTCCATCTCGAGATCCAAGTCCATAGAGAATCAATTGATCCAAATCGAGATGAATTCATCGATCTTGAGGATCTACCTAACCTCAAGACTCTCATCTTTGATGGTGACAATGACATAGTTTCAGAGGGTGACAACCAACCAATCACTGGGATTAGTGTACCTATGTCACTCAAGATTCTCAAGCTTCGATGCAATCGTTCACAAATCCCATCTCGTTGTGTCATGCCACTATTGGAGAAATTGTATGTGAATCAAAGTATATTGATTAGTGGAAGGGTCAATCCAACATCACAGTGTCCATCTCTAAAGAAACTAGTTATTCTAGATTGCACTGAACCTATTCCACCCAATAGCATCCATTCCTTACCGACCAGTGTCAAAAAGATTACAATACATAAATGTTCTGGATATGATATACTTGTGAAAGTTGTATTCCCACCAACACTTACACATCTATCAATCATGGGACTTTACGAACCTATCCAACTACCAGAATCTCTTGTTAAATTAAAACAAATGATTAATCAAGCTTCAATACCTCGACAATTGAAAAAGCTTGTCTGGGCCAATCCGCACATTGGCTGGGAAACCAACAAATCACAATTAAAGTTACCATCCTCCAATGACTATCCACCCAATCTTGAAACACTCAACTTGAATGGCATTGAAGATGACTTTAAGTTTGAAGTACCACAAACCATCAAATATCTATCCATATCATTGACACATGGCCATAACCTGATGCCATACAACCAGCAACCTCTTTCAATCTTTTCAATCAGTTCAAAGATCATCACCATCTCTCAACAACAACAACAACAACAACAACAATGGCTACCACACAACACCACACATCTAACTTGTGACATTAGGTCTCTGTTCCCGGCACTATTTAGATTGGATGAAGTGATCAACCACACCAATGTTAGTACTTTACATCTCTCTAATCCACATTTTCTTTTTAATTTTACAATTCAAAGATTGGATGCAGACAATAGAAATGTATTGGTATTTGAAAGCCAGTTTCTTATTGGTGGAATCATCACTCAGCAAAGAAAAACAAATAGTCAACAATATGATCCCATTTATGTATACCTAGACCCTCTCCCAAGTTCTTCATCTCCATTTGAATTGAGGATTTACAATCAAACTTTAGTAGATACTTTAGTCTTAAGTAAAGAATAAAAATGAAATTTAAATAAATAAATATTTTCAATGTTTAAAATTGATGATGTTGAAGCAGATCACATTCAGTGTTATAATATTAGAGATTATGTATTTATAGAATGAGTAAAACAGAAAAGAATAGATTCAAAGAATCTTTAGATGTAACTATCAACTTTACATATATACGAGATCAGATCACATTGAATCAACAACTTACCTAATCAATATTCTAAATAGAAAGTAAATAATTTAAAAGAAGAAGATGATGATGAAAAAGAAGAATGTACATTAGAGTTGATCGAATTGATTGTAGAGATACAAGATCCAAAAGGATTGATAGATGATTTAAAAATAACGACAGAAGAGATGATGACTTGTGTAGACTTGATAGAAGCTATTGAAAAGAGATTACTACAGGTCGACGAGAATGAAGACTATCGTATCTTTGTAGTTGGGTGGCTACTTAGTTCAATTGTACTGAATCAATACAAATCACTTGATCAACATTACAAAGAACAATTACAATTTAGAATCAAATCAAAGTACATGATGTTTATAAGGTTTAGAACTTTTCGTGACCTTGGTAAATTATCATTTATATTAAATGATTTTGATAAATTAGAATTGGATAATCTTTTAATTAATCAATTAAAAAAAAGAGTAAGAGAAGAAATGTCGAATTTATAAATATACATCTTCTAATATAAATATTTATTTATTTATTTATTTATTTATTTATTTATTATTTAGACATTATTTAAATTATCAGAAATGATTAAAGATATTAAAAATGAAAGGAATGTACTATTTGCATTAATGGCAATAAGAGCATTAATTTATACTGGTAATGGATGGGATTGTATTGATGATATATTAAATACTGGGATCGTACCAACCATCCTAACCATTGTAACCGATTCATTTAATATTATAAATGAATTTACAAATGACAAAAATATCATCAACTATAACCAAAATGAAAAAGATACATTAAATTTAGATCATTTAAATTTAAAATTTAAATTAATGTATTTAAACAAATCAAAGAAATATATTCATCTTGTTTGTGTAAGAAGAAAAGAAAAAAAAAGAATAATTTAAATTATTTATTTATTTATTTATTTATTTTTTTTTAGAATGAATCATCAAAAGTAATTATAAATATAACGACAACAATGGATGGTATAGAATCTATCGCAAAAATGGATATAATACCAATACTTTTTAAAATTCTTAGTAGTTATTCAAATGTAAATCTAAAAAATATAATGCAATGTGCATTATTTATGGTTGGAAATATAACTGCAACCAAACCAGAATGGCGAGATGTTATATTAAAAAAACATGGTTTATTAAAATTGATCATGGAGATGGGTAGAGACGAGGCGGTCATGTCACAACTATCTGATGAAATATCAAATATTTTCGGATCGGTCATACGTTGTGTGGATCCACCAATAGAATGGAGAGAGATTATAGATTATATGTTACCATTTGTATGTCAACACTTTTTATCAAACGAAAATACTACAAGAAGTGTCACCAAGTTTTTGGAAGGTCTTTCGAGACACCCGTCATTTGAAATTGCTGTGTTCAGACAATATCGCTTAGACAACTTTTTGTTGGAGAGTTTGGCAAGAGACATTGACCTATTTACAGATGATTGGTTCTTTATTTTAGAGTCTGCTCTTTGGGCTATTACAGGTATATCGGAAAAACAACCCAACAATACAATATTCACCTATGAACGACTTTTCAGTACTTTTAATCGATTACTAGTACTGGTAGACAATTATCAAATCATTGACCACATTTTATATACAACATACGAATTGATACGTAATACAACAAAAGCAAATATTATCAATAGTAATTTAATCAAAATTCTTACAACTAAAGTTTCTAAACTAAATAATAATAATAATATAAAATCGACAACAACAACAAAATATTCAGATTCAGATCCATTAAGTGTTTATAGGTTGATAGATAGGAAATTTATGATTGACGATCCGTCGGCCTGTCAAATGCTTTGGAATCTTTTAGCAATCTTGGATGGAATGTCTCCTATGGAAATTGGAGAATGTGTTTCCCAAGGTATTATTCTCCTACTCGTTACTCTATATCGTTCTGTAAAGACAACAGATACTTTTTCCCTCATTGTAGATTGCCTACGAATTATCATTCACAATGCAGATGATGAATTGTGTCAATCTCACTTGTTGGAATTAAATTTTCTAAATCTTCCAATACTACCGATAGACACTGCAAACGAAATAGAAATAATGAAAGAATCAATTAAAGAATTTTTACTTGAACAAATAAATTTAACCTAACCAATGTACATATGTAATTAAATACTTTATTTATTTTTATTTTATTTTATTTGTATTAAATTCAAATAAAGGAATATTTGTAATATTAAATAGATTTAAAAATTCTTTTTGATCAATTAATGATTGTCTTGATGATTTGTTGATTATCTTTTGGTTGCCCAGAAAATCAAAAGTAATTTTAAAGTATTTTCTAGACAAGTTGTAAAGATCCTCTATAAATTGAATATCTTCAAATAGCTTTGGATGTTTCCTCTTGATTGAGCGGACTTTTGTAACGAGGCCAGACTCTGTAAAATGTACATCTCTTTTGATTCTTGAGTAAACAAATTGGATAATGCTAATATTTTTGGTCTCAAAGGCAGTTTCTAGACTCTTTCGACTGAATGTTCCTGAAATCCTATACATCTGATCTACCAAATCCAAATTGTTGCTATCGATTGCCAAATTGTGGAAATCTTCTCTTTCTACCCAACCTTTGAATTTTGATCCACACTTTGAGAGCATCTTGATACTCTTATACTCTTTATCTTTGAACATTTGCTTCAAGGTTTCTATTGATCTCCAATTAACTTCTCCAGTGTACACTGGGAGATAGGCTGTGACCAATGTAGCCTCGACACGTACATTTGAACAACTAGATGCACGTTCAATCAGTTTGGGGTAATCCTTTTGACCAATGACCACACCAAGTAGATCTATTGCATAGTTGAAACTCTTGCTCCCTTGACACCACATTACATTTTTGAGAGTCTCTACTGTTGCAAATCGATCCTTTACTCCTTTCTCCAATAGAATACTGTGTAGTGCTACCAACATCTCTGGATGACGTGAGAAACAAAGATCCTTTGATACATGGTCTGCAAAGTAGTTCTCTACAAAAGGTCTATCGAATTGATTGAAAATGTCGACATATCTTCTCAATACATCCTTTGAAGAAAAGAATTCTTGATTGTCATCCAAACTTAGTTGTTGTTTTGTAATAACAGGGTCAAGTTTCATTCTATCCCTGACCACTCCCATGTCTATACCAAGTCTGATCGATTCTTTTAAATTGACTTGATCAAAGGTTATACGACAATGTCGATTGGGGTGTATTGTTTGATGAGTTAACCGAATCCATTTTATAATCTCTCTTTTTAAGATTATATTTCTCCATATTTTAAAGAATACAATGTTATTACTAGACATTTTTTGAACATATAAAATAGATCAAAGATGAGGACTGTAGTAAAAACATGATATTCCTTTTTTTTTATTTTTCTGTTTCATTTCTCTTTTCTTCTTCGATTTGAGGAGGAGCGACTAAAGATGGAATCTCTGTTGGTTGTTGTTTTATATTATTATCATTGTTTAAAGGAATATCTATAGTTGATGTTGTAGTTGTTGTTTTATCTTGATTAATTTCTTTCATTTCAATTTGATGATCATATTGAGGAATTGATTTTGATCTTCTATCTTTTTTAATTTTAGGGAAAGCTCTAAGAACAATACAAACATGTTTGATAAAGTCTCGAATACAATACATTCCACTACCAAATTGAATCATTTCTGGATGAAGATTAAAGAGGATTTTCTTTCTGAGGAGTTTGTGACGAACCGCTTGAAAACTAGTATCCAGTTTGTTAAAATCATCGGCCAGTACCTTTGGAATATCCTCATCGCCATAAGGTCTATTCATATTATATACCAATGTTTTAATATCCTGATTTGATTTTTTCAATTCATCCAATAATTGATTCAACGATGATAGTATTGGATTCATTGACAAAATGATTTCATTACTAAAAATCGAATGAAATGATGCTTCAGTTGCCACCAATCTTGTAAATGTTCTACTTAGAATTTCAATCATTTCAAAATATGGTGCTGATGATGTTTTTGGTTTTAAAAGTAATTCTGATCTTATATCATACTAAAAAGAAAAATAAATAATAAATAAAATAATTCTTTTTTCTTTGTTTCTTTTTTCTATTACTTACAAGAGAATTTTTTTGTTTTGATAAAGCCATTCTAATATTACGAATAGAAGTAGCAATTTCTTGATTTTCTTTTTCTTGATTTAACTTTTCTTGTTCCATGTCTGTTATTTGACGACCATCTACTCGTAGACCATTTTCAATGATTCTGATAAAAGTATTACACATGTTTGAAGTGATTTCATAGAGTGCAACTTTACTCTTTCGATAGGTGAAATAGGGAAAGATGAAAAAGGAGATGATGACCACCCAAACGACACCGAGCACAATGTGGAACGATCTCAGAACACCGATATAGTAGGAAAAGGATTGATAACTACCATAGGCAACGATAATATAGGTAAGGCCGGCAACGGCACCAGCATAACTAAATCGAACGTCTTGTTGGATAAAGGCAACGTTGAATACCCAAACAAAGGTGACCAGCATGAGAATGACAATCTTGGGAGCAGTAGGTACCTTGTCGACAATGATACCAACTACAAAACCCAAAAGTGCACCACACAGAGTACCAATGACACGATGAATACCACGAGTGATGGTAGCTCCCAACGATGGAGACATGACGAGACCAACCGTTGCACAAGCCCAAACACCATGAACTACAAATTCATTGTATCTTCGTCCTTCAAAATACCAAAATCCAATCACTGCAGAGGTAAAACCAATCGACAATTGTAATGGGAATTGCCATTTCTTGTTTGCAAAAAATAAATTATAAAAGTATTCGACCGATGTTTTAAATATTTGTTTTAAACTTGATTCCCTATTTGAAAAGACCCTTCCAATTCTAATGGCATGACTATAAAAGTAATTTGGTAGAGCCAATAAAATAATTGGGAATCCATATTGAATAATTTCAAATGATGTTGTATATCTTCTAATATTACAATTAATCTGATAAATAATATCGGTAATTTTACATTGTTGACGTGAAAATGAAAATATTCCAAATATAAAAAAATGTACTTTTGTTATTTCTATAAAATAAAAAATAAAATAGAAAAAAAGAAAATTGTAAATAAATTATATTATTTTTGTTTTGTTTTTTTGTTTAATCTTACCAGAAGCAGGTAAAGTTGGAAGATTTGATTTTTGATATTCACCAACAACTTGTTTATACATTTCTTGAGATACTGTTAGGAGAGCTTCCGTTTCATCAAAAGATTCTTGTAATAAATCTCTTGTTTTTTTTGATAATGATATTCCGTCTGGTTGTTTACTATCGATTGGACTGTCTTTTGGTGAATATCGTTTTCTAATCACCTCGACCATGAACCCAATTTGTAGATAAATTTCTTCAATCATACTATTGAGTAATGGTAACATTGGAAGTATAATCTCTTTACCAATCAGTGGATTGAATCCATGTTGAACCGACAACTTGATAGATAATAATTGTTTGTGATTGATTTCCAAAAGTGACAATAATTGTTCAAAATGAGGCATCAACGTTGCATTCCATTTCTCTGCCCTAGAATCAGCCAACAATAAAGTCAATCTATTGATTTCATTTGTCAACTTGTTGTCCATTTCATGTAACTCTTTTTCTCCTGGTATTTTAATTGATGATGTTAAAACTGCCTTTTTTCTCTTTTGGCCAGTAGAAATGGTGGGAGTATCCAAAGTTTCGTCAAACTCTGAATAAGTTGGTGTAAGAATTTCAGCTCCCAATCTATCCATTCCTGTTGATCTTGTAATTGGTAATCTTGCGACATTACCATTACTATCTTTTAATGATGATGGTTGCGGTGATAATGATGATGGCGGAGGAAGTAATACTGTATCAGATGCCTTTATACTTTCCAAAATACTAGCATCTACAGTATTTAAATTACTAGGATTATCTTTAAATTCTTTTAAATTGTTGTCCTCGTCCAATACCATGAGTTGGTTATCGATGGTTTCGGGGAACATGGGAAAGTTGAAACTATAGTTTTTGACCAATAAGACGGCAGGCTCTTCCGAGTTGATACGAGCTTCCATCTGATACCCAACACCACGGAAAAAGTGTCTGATAGAGTCGAGAGTCTTGGCACTCTTGTCGACAAACAGACGGGTCGATAAGATGGGAAGGACAAGCATACCGACAATAGTAATCGATGCCATGATCATGAGACCAATGACAAAGTTCTCCCACAGCTGCTGATTCTTGTCGTGCAGTGGTGAAAAGTACATGAGGATGGCAATGTCAATGAGACATTTCTTGACGGCTAGTGGTGTGAACCAACGTCGTCCGACCGACAGCGATGCAATGATAAAGGTGAATATAAAGGTTGTAATGAATGTAATCCACCAGTGTCGATGTGGAATAATGAGAAAGTTGAGATAGCAAAACAACGTAGCAACACCTGTACCCAGTACGACGATCGTTCCATTCATTACACCGGTCCACGTCGACAGTGTATTGGCAATGATGACACAAAACACTGGCACCAAGACCAAAGAATTCTCGTTGAACCCAAATGGTATAAACACTACAATCGATGCTACCACTGTAATCAATGCCTCTTTAAATGCTATCAACCCCTGTAAACCAAATAGTCTTCTCTTTGTACTACTCGTTTCATCTTTTGGTTGTTTATGATTATGAATAGTTTGAACTTTTGGTATTGTCATATTAATATTATTACTATTACTACTGCTATTCATTATTTCTTCTTCTTCTTTTTGTCTAATTATAGACTATACTAAAAGGTAACCATAATAATAATAATAATAAAAGATAAAAGATAAAAAGAGAGAATAAATAAATAATTATGAATAATTGATGGACAATGAAAATGAGGGTGACTTTAGTAAAACTTTTTTGTTTTTATTTTATTTATTTGTTTTTTTTTTTGAACTTACTTACCTTTCGGTTCGGACTATGTTAGAGATAACTAGAAAAAATACGATATTAAAAATAAATATTAATCTTTTACTTTATTTTTCACCATCTCTTCTACTCTGCGACAGAGTGAGGGTATGTATATGTATAAAAGATATCCTTTACAAAAGAGGTGAATGACAATGATTTAAAAATATAGAAGGATGATGAGGTCATTTCGCCTTGTTTTTTTTTGTCGGAGGTGCGAATAGGGGATCTATGCATTAGATCTCTTGAAAAGGAAATGATTCTGATCATCTTCAACTGACAGCCTGGTAGTTCTGATTTTTTTGGGAACTACTTCCTTTTTACCACCCCGAATATATAAATATCACACAAAGTGACACATCATGAGATGTGTATATATGAAGAATACATTTAAGGATCTTTAAGATATTTAATATTATATCATGATTCATTCAAACAAAATCATCTCATATTAATCTAATCTTCTTCTTACACATTTGAATATCTCATTTTCTATAATAATAATAATAATAATAATAATAATAATAAATAAAAGTCTCTTTATCTTTTAGTAAAAGTTTGAAGTAAACAATCTCTAAAGATGAAGTAGTAATGTAATGAGCAAGTTGCTCTTGTGAAACGAAAAAGAAAAATTAAAAAAAAAAAAAAAACGAAGCGAATGACAGAAAGATGATGGTGATGATGTTTAAAAATTAACTATTAAACTAACTCTTTTACTCTTATTCATTTGCAATCAAATAGACAATATAGTAGTATATTTTTGTCTATATTTACATCTTCATCAACAACCAACATCTTCTTCTTCTATTATATTCACAAAGTTATAGTTTTAGTTTTCGAAAACTACTTCTTCCTACTATCAACTCAACACCTCCTCCTATTTTTTGATCTATCAAACTTTAAAGATATAGATCAATCAATCAATCAATCAAACAAACATAATCTTATTTTAAAAAAAGATTCCAATATATATATATAATAGAGAGAAATGGAAACACCATGTCCAGAAAGAGTATGGGCCGATACAGGTATAGCATTTTCAATGGGATGTATAGGTAGTACGATAGCAAATATGGTAAGCGGATATAGAAATGCATCTCGTGGTGAGAGAATTATCAATTCGTTTACATTGGTTCGTCGTTATGCTCCACGTCTCGGAGGTAACTTTGCTATTTGGGGTACATTATTTTCAGGCTTTGACTGCTCACTCGCATATATTCGTAAAAAGGAGGATTATATCAATCCTATTGCTGCTGGTGCTCTCACTGGTGGTGTATTGGCTGCTCGTAATGGTTGGAAGGCTATGGCAACCAATGCCGCCATGGGTGGTATCTTTATCGGTATCATTGAATCTGTACAACACGTCGTCGAGAAGCACTTTTCACAAAAGAAGTTTGAGGAAATGCAAGCTCAAACCTCTGCACTTATAGAACAACAAAAACAAGAATTGGAACAAATGCAAAGAAATAATAATAATAATAAAACAAAATATGGTGATGAAATGCATTGATTAATCAAGCATCAACATTTTAAAAAGAAAGAAAGAAAGATATAAGAGGTATACATACACAACTAACAACAAACAAACGAACAAACGAACAAAGTAATTATTAATAATGAATAAAAACAAATATATTAAAGTTTACTATTAATATTAATATTGGAATTGTTGTTGGATAGAATGGTGATACCAGGTAATTGACGACCTTCTAATAATTCTAAACTTGCTCCACCACCTGTTGAAATATGGCTAACATGATCGTTGGGTGTCAGTGCTGCAACAGAGTCTCCTCCACCTACAATCACAGTGGTTTGGTTGGTTGTGGTAGCGTGGACAAGAGATTGTATAAGTGATTTGGTGCCATGGGAGAATGGCTCCATTTCAAAGACACCTGGTGGACCGTTCCAAACGATGGTATGGGCTTGTGCAATGACCTTTGCATTATCTTGGATGGTCAATGGACCGCAATCAAGACCTCTCCATCCATCAGGTATACCTTGCATGTCAGTGACCACCATTGTATTGGCAGTCTTGTCAAACTTGTCTGCTATTAGAAAATCTACAGGCAAGTAGAGTCGCACATTATTCTTTTTGGCCTTTTCAACTATTTGTTTGATTAAATCAACCGAGACATTGGCATCAAATAGAGAATCACCTATCTTCATTTGATCAATCACCTTTTTAAAAGTGAATGCCATTCCACCACCTATAATCATCATATCAACTTTATCTAATAGATTGAGTATCAGTTTGATCTTGTCTGATACTTTGGCACCACCAAGTATAGCCAAGAATGGTTTGACTGGTGATTCTAGGGCAACTGCAAAATACTTTAATTCTTTTTTCATTAATAGTCCAGCTACACGTACTCCAAGATCAATACCAACAATTGAACTATGTGCACGATGAGCTGCACCAAATGCATCGTTTACATAAATGTCTCCAAGTCTAGTCAAAGATTTACGAAATTGTTCGATTGATTCTTTTGATGGTTTAAATTTTTTACCTGAACCTTTATCAATGCCTTGACCTTCTTCTTCTGGATGAAATCTAAGGTTTTCCAACAACACTATACCTCTAGTTTGTGCACACCTATCTTCAACCATCTGTCCAACACAATCATCCAAGAATACAATTTTCATCTTTAATTCAGATTCCAATACTTTAGCAACTGGCGCAAGACTATATTTCTTGTTTACTTGTCCGTCGGGTCTACCCAAATGACTCATTAAAATAATAGTCTTTGCTCCTCTATCCATACAATACCTAATAGTAGGTATTGATGATACTATTCTAAATGAATTGGTTACTTTACCATCTTTAATTGGTACATTATAATCAACTCTAAATAAAGTTAATATTAATTATTTTCTTTAATTTCTTTCTTTTTCAAACATTTCATACCTAATTAAAACTCTCTTTTCTTTTAGAAAAAATATATTTACATTATCTAAACATAATTTATTACTAATCTTGATTGTTGACATTCTATATTTTACTAGTATATCTATCTATCTCTTTTCATGATAATGTTTAAAAACACACAATGTGTTGTTCATCACTGTTTTAACACAATGTGTGGTGGGTGGGGCAATGGAAAATAGAATATTATAAATATTATATATATATATTTTATACAATTAATTAATTTATTTACTTATTTCTACTTCTTTTATTTTTCAGAAAGAGCAGTAACACCAGGTAATTCACGACCTTCTAATAATTCTAAACTAGCACCACCACCAGTAGAGACATGGCTAACCTTGTCTTCGGCGTTGTTGTTGGCAACACAGGTGGCAGTCTCACCACCACCGATGATGACTGTGGCTCCGTTGGCGGTAGCCTTGACGACATCGGCGACAATGGTATTGGAGCCTTCGGCAAACTTGGAGAATTCAAAGACACCTTGTGGGCCGTTCCAGACGATGGTCTTGGCCTCGGCGACAACCTTTGTGTTTTGGATACGGGTCTTGGGTCCACAATCGAGACCCATCCAACCTTCGGGGATACCTTCCTCGTCAGTGACGATCTTGGTCTCGGCATTCTTGTCAAACTTGTCGGCGGCGACATAGTCGACTGGGAAGTAGAGTGAGACGTTGTTCTTTTTGGCCTTGGCAACGATTTCGACGACGAGGTCGGCAGCGCTGTCTTCGCAGAGTGATTTGCCAATTTGACGATGCTCGATAAACTTTTTAAAGGTGAATGCCATACCACCACCAATGATCATGCTGTCGACCTTGTCCAAGAGGTTGAGGATCAATTTGATCTTGTCGGATACCTTGGCACCACCGAGAATAGCGAGGAATGGCTTGACGGGTGATTCGAGTGCCTTGGCAAAGTACTCTAGCTCCTTTTTCATCAAAAAGCCAGCAGCACGTTGTGGCAAGTTGACACCAACCATTGAGCTGTGTGCACGATGGGCAGTACCAAAGGCGTCGTTGACATAGACGTCACCGAGCTTGGTAAGCGATGCACGGAATGCCTTGACAGCGTCGTCGGTTGGCTTGAACTTCTTGCCGGCCTCGTCGACACCTGATCCCTCTTCTTCGGCGTGGAAACGAAGATTCTCGAGTAAGATGACGCTTCCAGCGGCTGGGTTGGCACATGCAGCTTCAACCTCTGCTCCAACACAATCATTCAAGAATGTGACCTTTACACCAAGATCCTTTTCCAAAATGGGTACAATTGGTGCAAGTGTATACTCTTTTTTGACTTGTCCGTCTGGACGACCCAAATGGCTCATCAAAACAACACTCTTTGCTCCCTTTTCAAGACAATACTTGATTGTTGGTAATGATGCATCGATTCTTTGTGTACTTGAAATCTTTCCATCTTTAATTGGTACATTAAAATCAACTCTAAAAAGAATATTTATAAGAAGTATAAGAAGAAACAATATGTTATTATTACAAAACTACAATGACCAAGGATGGCTATAGTGACTTGTTTGATCAATGTTATTTACCTGATTAAAACTCTCTTTCCTTTTACATCGACTTGATCAATGTTTAATTTATTACCAATCTTGTTTGTTGACATTATTTATATCTATATGTATTTGTATGATGATGATGAAAATAATTAAATTAAATGTTAACCTCCCGTTTTTTTGTGGACAAAGAGTTTCATTGATTGAAAGAATGATTTTTTTTTTTTTTTTTTTTTATTGATGTTCACTGATCTATTATTACTTCCTAATTTGGTTAACCTTGAAAAGAATATTATTTATTTATTTATTCATATTTTTATCAATATTGGACGAATAGTGGACTGATTCTTCTTCTTCTTCTTCTTCTCCTTCTTGAGTTACCAATCATCATTATCATTGCTATTGTAATCATCATCTTCATCATCATTATCATTGCTATTGTAATCATCATCTTCATCATCATCTAAAAAACACCATTTCAATTCATATATCTGTGGACTAAACACCTCACAATCAGCATCTAAATATAGTTGAATGGGTTGGTATTTTGATTTTCTTTGTTTGATGATTCCACCTTGAAGTGTTTGTGTTTCCACGACTAATACATTTAGATTATCTGCGTCCAATCTTTGAATCGATAAATGTATATTTAAACGGGACAGGGTGATTGATAGATATCTAACATTGGTGTGATTGATTACTTGGTCCAATCTAAAGATTCCCTTTGGATAATCGTCTCTTTCTTGGTCATCCTCAAGGTGGATGTGTAGGTGAGTGGTGTTGTGAGGCAGCCATTGTTGTTGACTGAGGATGGTGGTTTTGTTGATCATTGAACGGATTGAATAGTATGAAGGGTGTTTGGCCACTGATTGATTGCACCTTGATGCTTGTGGTTCAAAGTCATCGATAGATATTTGGTGGGTAGTGGTATATCGGTTCTAATGGAACTAAAAGTATGGAATAGTTTGATATTTTGTGTTTCAAGATTGGGTGGATAGGGCAATGGGAAAACTATCGTATCCTTTTTATAACATTTCAAGTCCCAAATTAGTTTTTTTAGTTGTTGAGGAAGTGGAGAGACTGGAGCTCGTCTGATACCTTGATTTAATTTGACTAGTGTGTCGGGTAGTTTAATTTATACATCCTGGTGGTATCTTCCCCTGACGGATAGGTGAGTGAGCGATGGCGGGAATGCAACGATTTGCAAAAGTATATCTTGGTCCTTGAGTTTAAAAATTGTTAACTTTTCAAGAGTCGATGGGATGACATTGGGTGGAATGGGTTCAAGGCAATGACGAATAGACAGTTTCTTGAGAGAGGGCGATGAAGACAATAGTTTGATTCTTTCTTTAACCAATATACTCATTGTATGTGTGAAAGTAAATGACCAAGATGGTGAGTCTCAAAACTGTTAATTAGGCAAAAATTAGTTTATTTAAAAAAAAAGAATAGAATTCTATTTAAAAAGTTGTTATACTGAATGAAATACATATTACATATCAAAACACCATTTATAATCAAATGGATTAGAATCATCAATATTTAAATGTAAATAAATTGGATCATATTGTTGTCGATTATTGCTGATTATTCCACCTGTTAGTGTTTGTGTTTCCAAAACTAATACATTTCTATTGTTGTTATCCAATCTTTGAATTGTAAATTGAAGGGTTATTTCAGTTGTACGAAGAGATAAATATCTAACATTGGTGTGGTTGATTACTTCATCTAATCTAAAGACTTGGTGTGTACCATATTCTCTTGGGTCTACATCATCACCACCACCACCACCAACATGACAAGTTAGATGAGTGGTGTTGTGTGGTAGCCATTGTGGTTGGGAGATGGCCATATCTGTTAAACTAGTGTTGATAGAATAGAGTGGATTGTTGAGCCATGGCTGTTTCTTAGATTCTGGGTCAGGTGTCAAGAATATAGTTAAATATTTGATGGTTGATGGTATATCCATTTGAAAGTATCCTTGGAAATCAAAGATACCAAGTCTTTCTAGATTGGGTGGAAAAGAGGTTGGTAAAAACTCGACCGCATCACTTACCTCCCAAGACACTTGTTTTAAATGTTGAGGAAGTGATTGTTCTTCAGTGAGCATGTATCTTAGTTTGACGAGTGATGGAGGGTGTTTAATAGTCTCGTAGTTTCCAGTGACGGCTAGATGAGTGAGGAATGGTGGGAATACAACATGTTTAACTATATTTAATCCTGCTGTGTAATTATTGATTATCAACCTTTCAACAGTCGATGGGATGATATTTGGTGGAATCATTTCTTGACAATTATCCATAACTAGTTTCTTTAGAGATGGTGATGTCAATAGACTGACACTGCCAGAAATTAATACACTTCCATGAACATATAATTTGTCCAACTTTGGCATTGAACATTTTGATGGGATTTGAATCGAATTGGAATAGAGTTTAAGAATCTTGATTGAAGTAGGTACACTCATCTCGATACGGTGTCCAATAGTCTCTATTGGATCATTTCTATATTCAAACAAGAGTGTATTGAGGTTTGATAGGCTTGAGAGATCGATGAATGGGTGGTCTTGCACTCCCTCGTATTTTACTCGACTTTCAAGATAGATCTCGAGATTGACCAACGATGTCAATGAAAGGAATGTATTACGTGGTGGTATTTCCTTTGGTCTAAGAATGAGTGATGTAAGACTACTTGGCAATAAACCAGGTCCTATATCAGTCACAAAATGATTGTTAAAGATCAGCTTTGTCAACGATACCAATTTGATGAGACCCAAGTCTACGAGTGGGTATTTGGTATCGATATGTAGTTCAAGTGACTTGAGTGTTGTGTGTGGACCAAGATTCAACTTGTATGAATCAACTACAAGTCGTTGAAGATTGGGCAACAGAGAGATGGAACCAAGATCCATTGCCTTTATTAGTTTAGGTTCGTCATCGTCAATGAATAGTGTCTCGATTGATGGTATGTCATAGAGTGACTTTTGTAGATCCTTTAGTTTTGGTGAATACATCACTAAAGCAGTTTTAATGTTACTCTTATCAGCTCTATTTACAGTAGAGATACGATCTTGTATCCATTGATGATCGTAATTGTATTTTTCTTTGTCTGGTAGTATGATCTGTTGATCAGACACACTATTCTTTAATATATCATTAAAAGAGAAGAGGTTGAATCTAGTAGCTGTATCTACAAACTGTTGTGATAATTCTCCATTGTCGTTGATAACTCTTATACCTTTAAACTGAATCGATTTTCTTAAACTACTATTTTGATACAACTGTTTACAAGTTAACAACAAACATACTATATCTCCATTATTATCAATCTCTGTTATGATATTTAATAATATTAGATTTGATAACTTTAATAGATGAGTCATAGTTGTTGTGAATAGTTTTAAATGATTCAAATGAGGACAAAATTGTGGCAAACATTTATTTTTGATTATTTATTTACCAAACCTCCAATTAAACTCAAATGAAGAGTAAGAGTTGTTCTTATAAGAAAATCGAATGCAATCACATTCTAATTTGTGTCGATTGATTATTCTACCTACAAGTGTCTGTCTTTCCATTACTAATACATGTCTATTGTCTGGGTCCAATCTTTGAATTGAAAATTGTCAAGTCGCATCAGTTTCATCACCATCTCCAATAACAAGTGTTAGATATCTAACATTGGTGTGGTTGATTACTTCATTTAATCTAAATTTCAACGATACTTGGCTAGAGATAGTGAGGTAACAAGTTAGATGAGTTGTATTTGCTGGTAACCATTTTTGCGGTTGCGGTTGTTGTAATTGGTCTGTGATGGTTTTAGGGATCCTCGATTTGATTGAATAGATTAGATAACCATCATGACCAAGTTGGATAGGGTTCAATGGTATCCATAGATATTTGATGGTTGGTCCATATTGACCTTTTATAACTAGTTTCTTGAGTAATGGTGATGAAGACAGAACTCTAATCTCGGACTTTAAATGCCAACAACATCCACCCAACTTGAATGTCTCCAAATTTTGTAAACTTTGAAGGTCAATACATGATTCGACTATATCGTCGGTCCTGGGCCTCTTGATTTTGATCTTGAGTGTGACAAGTGATGTCAATAAAGTGAATGTGTCTTTTGGAGGCATATCTATCTGTCCCAAGGTGAGGGATGTCAGACTGATTGGCAAGATACCAATGTTTCATCGTCTGCCAGCAGAGAGACAAAATTTGGTTTATTTTAGTAGACATTAAAATTAATTGAAGATGATATCAGGTCTTTATTTTTCTTTATCTATTTAGCCAAACCTCCATTTAAATTTAAATGGAGAGGTAGATGTATCCAAATATAAATAAATTGGATCATATTCTTGTTGTTGTTGATTATTATTATTGATTGATTTTCTTTGTTGACTGATGATACCACCTTGAAGTGATTTTGTTTCCACTATTAATACATTTCTATTTTCTGTGTCTAATCTTTGAATTGATATGTAAAAGATGCAGGAACGAGAACAAGAAATAAAGAGAGATCTAACATTAGTGTGGTTGATTACTTGGTCCAATCTAAATGCGACATTTGAATCTGAACCGCGTCCTAGTCTGCAATTTAGATGAGTAGTATTGAGAGGTAACCATTGACCGTGTGATTGAGAGATGAAAGTGTCAGATATCCTTGAGCCGATTGAATAGATTGGAATGTTATTTGAGAACCTTTTAGGTTCAGGGCCCATTGCAATCGATAGATATTTGGTGAGTGGTGGTATAGTTTCAATCAATAAGCCAACCTTTTCAAAATAGAGGTTGATTGTTTCAAGATTGGGTGGATAGGATGATGGAAACACAAAATCGCATGTCGTATCAACTCCCCAATTCAGTTTTTTCAGATGTTTCAATTGTTGAGGAATGACAGTTTGAATGTTTAGATCGTACCCCAAGGTGGAGATTGAGTCTGGTAGTTGAACGTGCTCATAACCTCCAAAGATGGATAGATGAGTGAGTGATGGTGGCATCACAACTTGCGTGAGTACATCGCGTTGTTTGGTTTTTTTATCTATTAATAACTTGACAACGGTGTCGGGTATCTTGACAGTGGCTGGAATAATGCCAAGACAATCTAGAATATCTAGTCTCTTTATCGATGGACATTGTGATACTAGATTGATTCTTTCATCAATCAACAAGTGTGCTGTCACGTCTAATTTCTCCAACATTGGCATAACACATCTCGATGGGATTTGTAGGTTTGAAGATTGGATGTAAAGAATCCTGAGTGATGGAGGTACACTCATCTCGATACAGTAACCGTTGTTGTCGTCCTCCTTTGATGGATCATTATTGTCAATAAACTTGAGTGTCTTTAGATTGGATAGACTGTCGAGATTGATGAATGGTCTTGATTGGCCTTGTTCACTTGTGATGGGCACATTTACAAATGTCCTTTCCTTGTCCAGGTAGATCTTGAGGGCTACCAACGACGTCAATGAAATGAATGTATCTTGTGGAGGTATTTCGGTTGGTCTTAGAGTGAGCGATGTTAGACTTGTTGGAAATAATCCTGGCACGATATTGGTCATTACATGATTATGAAATTTAAGTCTAGTCAGAGATGTGAATTTTAAGAGATTCAAGTTGGCAAGAGAGAATATAGATCCGATATCTAGTTCAAGTGACTTTAGTGTAGAGTGGTGACCAAGATTCAACACGTCTATACGAACTGATAGTCGTTGAAGATTGGGTAACAGAGAGATGCAGTCAAGATCGACAAATGAACCAATACCATCTGTGGAATCTTCATGGTCTTTGATTAATAGTGTCTCGATTGATGGTATCGAGTAGAGCGACTCTAGTATTGTACCCATACTTGCTTTAGAATACATGACCAAAGCAGTTGTTATATTACTCTTATCTTTATCAGCCACTCTATCATTTACATTGATTCGTTGTTTTATCCAATCTTTAAAGTCTTTTGTTTTTTCATCCAACGGTAGTATAACCTGTTGATCAGATATACTATTCTCTAATATATCATTAAAAGAGAATAGTTTAAATTGAGTAGCAGTTGCTATAAACTTTTCAGATATATACCCCTTTTTAATAAAAGGTCCTTTGCTATCAATAAGTCTTAGACCTTTAAACTGAACCAATCTTCTTGTACTATTAATGTATAACTTTTTACAAGTTAACAATAAACATATTATACTTGCATTATCTTGAATAGATGATATGATTTGTAATAGTAATAGATTTGATAAAGATAATAAAAGACTACTACTATTCTTCATCATCTGCGATCGTTGTAAAAAGTAAATGATTCTAATGCAATGATCAGCAAGTCAAGTCATTTGGCTCTTCACACTTTTTCAAAATTAAATAGAAATTAATGATTTTTTATATAAATATATATATTATTATATTTTATTTCTATTTATTATTTATTTCTATTTAATTTTGAAAAAGTGTGATAATAATAGAATTATAAAAATAATTTCTATTTATTATTTAATCTATTTTTATATATTATATTTCATCATATTCTTCTTCTTCAAAGTATTCAAATGTAAATTGATCAAAATATAAATAAATAGGATAATAATCTTGTTCTTGATCATCATATGATTCGAATTGAGAGATTATTCCACCTGTAAGCGATTGTGTTTCCAATATACTATAATAATATATAATATAAACATATTATATCTGCATTATCAATCTCTGTTGTTATTTGTAATAATATTAAATGAGATAACTTTTCAATCATCTGAATTAGAAATATAAATAATTCAAAAATGAAGTAGAGCCTAAAGTTTTGTCTTTTTTTCCATTCAAGTGAAATCATATCCAAATAAATTGGATCACATTGTTGTTGATTATTATTATTATTATTATTATAATCTAATTTTCTTTGTTGAGTGATTATACCACCTTGAAGTGATTTTGTTTCCAATACTAATACATTTAGATTATCGGGGTCTAATCTTTGAATTGTAAATTGCAATACGCCGCAATTATACAAAAATTAGTGTGGGGAGATCCAGAGCCAGAAGCGTATCGGATAGGTTGCTTGAGAAAAGTGAAGAGTTTGATATCTAACATTGGTATGGTTGATTACTTGGTCCAATCTAAATGTAGCTTTTGATTTTCCTATTGATCGATCCTTTAAACCTTTTAGACGACATGTTAAATGAGTGGTAGAGAATGGTAACCACAACGATGGATGTGACCAAAGTGGATATGTTTCTATTCTTGGTGATCGAATAGACCATTTTTTGATGTTGAGAATATAATCGATAGATATTTAATGGTTGGTGGTATTGGATCAATCATGAAGGGCATGTGGGGCTCTAGGAGTCAAGCTTTTCGAGATTTGGAGGATAGGAGGCCAATGAAAACGTTGAGGTATAGACTGTACAATCACAATACAACGAAAGTTTTTTCAAACCAAGAGGAATTTTAAATCGAGATGACCTGACTGTATAAAGAAGTTTGATGAGTGTTTCTGGTAATTTAATATATTCAATGATTGGATCGCCAATGATTGATAGATGAGTTAGTCGTGGTGGAAATAAAACTTGAGAAAGTATTGGACACCATGTACTTTTATAGATTTTAAGTTTTTCAACAGTCGGTGGAATGATTATGTTGGATGGTGGGTCATAACAATAATGAATAACTAGTTTTTTGAGAGACTGACATTGTGATGATAGGTTGATTTGATCGTCGATGGTGGTGATATCAAGTACAAGTGACTTGAGTGTTGCAAGAGTACTAAGATTCAACCCAAATCCACGAATTGAAAGATGTTTAAGACTAGGCAATTGATGAGAGATGGAACCAAGATCAACCTGACCAAAAGTGGATGATTGGTTGATGAATAGTGTCTCTATTCTAATCAAGAATGTTTACAACTAAATAATAAACATATTAAATCTCCATTATCAATAGATGATATTATATGTAATAATAATAAATTTGATAAAGATAATAGATTACTACTACTACTACTAGTCATAAGTATAAATTCTAATTCTTCGCAAAGTATACTTTTTGAACGCTCACACACATTGAATTTTTTTTATTTATTATTTTTTATTTTTTTTTTCAAAGACCTAAATTAATACCAAGCATACCAAGAATACCATTTAAAAGATTTTCAACAGTATTACCATTTTGATTAAATTGATCTTTGGTAATGAAAACACTTTGATTGACAAATTGAGGGAGGGTAGAGAGTTGGGAGATACCAGTGTAGGCAAGGTGTTCACGGTTGGCTGGTGCAATAATGTTGAATACGGTGGAGGGTGGAGCGAGTGCAGGGATGGAGGTTTGGAGACGAGCGACGAGACCGGGGAAATTGGATGATCCACCGGCCAACACGATATTGTTGTACATGGTGGCTCGATCAGCTGCAGCAACAGAACCAATCGATTCAACAATACCAGCTGGAAGACTACTATCTGCAATATTATTGAGAGAAGGATTAAACAATAGTTCACCAACATAAATTTGTTTGTTGTTGAGATTGACATCTTGACCGTCACCAAGAGTGAATGATCCAGATTGACCAGTAGCAGCGGCAGCTGTAGCGGCGTTTGGTGCCACCTTGCATAGTGTCTCTTTGGCTACTCTAGTCTCATCAATCTCTCCATTTGAATTGATAGTATTTGGTTGTTGTTGATTGATTAGCTTGACCAAGTAGTTTGTAACATCTCGCCCACCATAATTGAGTTTGGTGACGGCTTCAGTAAGGATTTCACTGTTTTTGATGGGTACAATGTGAATGGCAGTATCACCGACATCGACGAGTAGGCCTGTAGTACGTCCGGTAGCATAGAGAGCCGCTACCTGTTGATTAACAAATGTGAGTTTGACCACTTTAATAGTGTCAAAGAAGATTCTAGCAGTTTGATCACGCTTACTGGGTGTGTTGCCTGTACACTCTGAGACGATCATTACAGCTTCATTCTCGTAGAAACGGAGTGTGTCGTAGTAATTGTCATTCCAAAACCTCTCCATATTTGGAAAGTCTGTCACCAGCCCTCGATTCATTGGATACGTCGGTGGTACCCAGGTCGGGTCAGTGCCTGACTGCCATAGACATAGCTGGGTGGTGGCCCTCCTCCCAACATTCCAATCACTCCAGTCAACAAGGAAATCACCCCAACCACCGTCTGTACAATGTTGGATGGTTGTGATTCACTTGCCACTCCAAGTCTAGTAAATCCAGATCCAGAGTCAAAAATTACAAATGGTGCATCGTCTCCCATAGTTTTAGAAAATAGAAAACTAAATTTTAAATGATTATTAATTAATTAATTATTATAAATGATTTAATACTTACTTTTTTGAAAGTTGGAGAGTATTTATAGTTTTGGTATATCTCTACGGAGTGTACTTTTCTTTTTTTTTTTTTTATCATTCCATTCCATCTCCATCCAATGGAGATGTGTGATACATCTCCATCCAATGGAGATGTGTGATACATTGTAACAACAAATACATTGTAACATATAATATACAACATTCTTATTTACTATTCACTCCATTCATTGCATACCGACAACGAATTCGTTTGCGCTGCACAATGTCGGCACCGTATTGGCATAAATGTCAGAGGAGAGTGCAAAACAATAGTTTCTTTGTTTGTTTGTTTGTAGTATATTGTCAACTGATACATTTTTATATGTTTATAGGTGATCGCAACAACCTATATCCACTCGGACGAGTAATGTTATCATTATCAGTTGTAACCCCTTCCCCCCTCCTCATTGATAACTGTTATCACTGCCCCAATCCTATTGTATTCTAAACTTGCAACGTAGGTGATTGTTGATAGTGTCATTCAATTATCAAATTAAATTAAATGAAATCAAACATACCTGGTCATCGAATGAATGTTGTATTATCATTATTATTATATTATTATTATCGTCGATCGATCGTCACCTGACTACTACAATCACATGACATTTGAATAATCAATGGCACGTGATTACAAAAAGATTTATATAAAACTTTTTACATCATTGATCAAAACTATAGGTTAACTATATTACTATGATAACTATGTACTATTCTTTCTTTCTTGTTCTATGTACTATCACTGATTCACCTCTTCTATGAATTTTCCACACTTTTCTTGAGAGAGATGATTTTTTTATTTTTTTTAATCTTTTTTTTTTTGTTTCATCAAAACTAATTTAATTTGTGTTGAGCAAGTTCTATTTGTTGTTATTGTACTTGTAATCTTAATAATTTTCTAAATTTGTTGTTTTTAATATATATAATATAATATATTAAACTCACTCTCACTATCTTATCATCAAAACAACAGCAGCAGCAAGCAACAGTATAAACTTACTTAGTAGTACTAGTATACACTTATATATATATTAAATAGAGAAATGGCAGACGTAGATGTAGAACAATCATCCTCATCATCAGCACCAAAGGAAAAGGGTGGAAAGAAAAAGTTTGAAGTAAAGAGATGGAATGCTGTCGCCCTCTGGATTTGGGATATTGTTGTAGATAATTGTGCTATTTGCCGTAACCATATTATGGATTTGTGTATGTTGATTCAAACAAACAATACAAACAAAAAGACTACAACAAACAATACTGCAGGAGTAGACTACTCAATCAAATCATATTCGATTAGTACAACAAGAGAGTTACATCATCAATGATCTTGTTTTTTTGAATCATTGATGAAAAAAAAAATGAATGAATGATTTTTGATTCTAATCAATCCTTTTCCTCTCTCTCTCTCTCTCTCTCTCTCTCTCTCTCTATTAGGTATCGAATGTCAAGCAAATCAAGCATCAAATACTTCTGAAGAATGTACAGTAGCATGGGGAATTTGTAATGCAAGTATACAAATATATTAAACTGTGATGGACAGACAACAGCTCTTTTGAGCTGGACCTTTATAAAAGATAATTACTGACACTACCATTTCATTCCATTAGCATGCTTTCCATTTCCATTGCATTTCACGTTGGTTAAAGACCAGACAGGTTTGTCCTTTAGGTATGTTTATTTTTAGACTGCTGCCTTAAAAAAAAAAAAAAAAAAATCCGCATATTAACCTTTTTTTTTTTATTCTTTTACTTTTTCTACTTCTTCCCATGCTTTCCTATACTTTTATATATCTATAGACAACAGAGATTGGGAGTTCTTAAAATACGTAGTGGTCGATGGCCATAGAAGAGAGATCAAAATTATTTTGAATTTATTACTAATATTCGATTATTTCTTAAAATTATTTAGGGTCGTTAAATTTTTCAATGGGACCGTGGAACTGGACATATATAAATATTATAATAGAATATTATACCAATTCTTGAAAAATGTATGGTTCGATTTCTTAAAATACGTAGTGGTCGATGGCCATAGAAGAGAGATCAAAATTTTTTGAATTTATTATTAATATATTTTTTAGGTTAAATTTGTCAATGGTACTTTGGAACTGAATATAAATAAATATCTAATATACACTATAACCAGTTTTGAATATGTAAGAGTCCTCTTTTCTCGTCAGAGAGAAATTAATATTATTTTTATTTGGTATTTAAATTGGTTCAGTCTCAAAGATGACTTGTCATGCAGGATCTTCGAAAGTGTCAACAATCAATTGTCTAAACTCAATCACTCTCCGCGAGACTAGAAGATAAACAATCGAAAAAACTACTGTGACTGGGAGGGAGGTACCTCTCAATGGCTGTGATAGGAAACGGGTGCATCTCTTGGCTTGACCTTGGCAACACGGCAACGGAAGTGGACAATATTATTGTTAATACTCTTATAAGACATTTCAACATGTCTTTGTTGAAGAATCAAAGACACTTTCAGTGATGTGTCGTCAAGTTTGCTTAAAGATGGTAGTACCTTTCAACCAAGTGATATGCAATGACTTATAATTTTCTTTTAAATATACAAGTCGAAGTGTTGCAACTCCAATCCAATTGATTCTCAAAAGTGATTTAGTAAAGGCAAGAGCAAAAAGAATCTCTTCACAAATAGAAAACAAATGTGATTATAAATGAATGGATTCAAAAATTTTTAAACATTATTTAAAACATACATGTGATGGGTGTAGAGATGATCTCTCGATGATTATTATTATACTTATTTTTTAATTGTATTAATTTTTTTTGAGCTGACTCTGTTATGGAGGCTCTTCTATTATCTTTATCTAATCTATTATTATTACAAATCATATCACAGATTCATAATAATGGAGATATAATATGTTTATTGTTAACATGTAAAAAGTTGTACCAAAATAGCAATGTCAGGAGATTGATTCGATTCATCAAGATAGGACCTATCGATACTGAATCTAGATACTTGTCACCAGAGTTTAGAGTAACATCTACTAGATTCAACCTATTATCATTTAAAGATATATTGTTGAATAGTATATCAGATCAATATGTAGTTGTCGATGACAAAGACGATGACAAAGACGATGACAAAGACTATTATACAGATTGGATACAAGATAGTATCAACAAAGCAGATAAAAGTAAAATGACAACTGCTTTGATGGTTGGATACGAATCACTAAACTCAATCTACCAAATACCATCAATTGAGACACTATTCATTCATCACCTAGATAAAGGTAGTGTAGATCTTGGTTCCATCTCACTACTGCCCAATCTCCAAAGACTTGCAATTTGTGTACATAATTTCAAGAATCTTGGTCTCCATACAAATCTAAAGTCACTTAGACTAGGTGCGATAAATATCAACCTAGTCGACTTGGGTCTCTTAAAATTCGTATCGCTGACAGAACTGTCTTTGAACCTAGTGACAGATATCAGAGCAGGTCTCTTGCCAAGTAGTCTCACATCACTCTCTCTGAAAACATCAGACATTCCTCCAAGAGACACATTCCTTTCATTAAAGTCGCTAGTGACCCTCAAGATTAGATTCAAAGATGATATAATTTTAGCTACAAGGCCACCGGCTGTCTCATTATTCATCGACCTCTTGACACTATGTAACCTCAAAACCCTAATAATCGACCCAACACCCTACTTTATCGAGGTGAGTGTCCCACCCTCTCTCAAGATATTAAGCTTTTGGTCGTCATGCGTACAAATCCCATCCCAATGTCCTCTACCTCGTTTGGAGAAATTGGAGATTCGCGAAATGAAAAAAGGATTGATCAATAATAATAATCTAGTATCACAATGTCCATCTCTCAAGAAACTAGTTATTATTGGATGCAACAAACCCATTCCATCCAATATGGTACCATCGACTGTAGAAAAGCTTACAATCTATAAAGATCATTATGCCAAAAATAATATATTCAGTAAAGTTGTATTCCCACCATCCCTCACTCATCTAACCATCAATGGGCACCACTATGAACCTATTCAACTCCCTCTGTCACTCGTTAAACTAAAACAAATAGTTGATGAACCAGCACCATCACCACTTCCGAGTCAATTGAAAAAACTAGTTTGGAAAGTAAATTGGATAACCAATATTTCAAATCAATTGTTTCCATTATCTTATCCACCCAATCTAAAAACATTCAACTTGATAGATATAAAATGTGACTATAAACTCGAGACTATACCACCAATCACCAAATATCTATCAATAACATTAACCCCAGACCCCAACCATTTCCAATCCACTGTTATCTTTTCAATCAGCTCTAGATTAAAAAATAATATCATCTCTCAACAGTTGTGGTTACCATTCACTACAACTCATCTAACTTGTAATCTTTGGTTCTTTGGGTATAATAATAATAGCCAAATATTCTTTAGATTAGACGAAATAATCAATCATACCAATGTTAGATATCTAACTCTTGTTAAGCATCCTGAAACCTTTCAATTATCAATTCAAAGATTAGACACAAAAAATAGATGTGTATTAGTATTGGAAACACAGACTCTTAGTGGTGGAATAATCACTCAACAACCAAAGAGAAAATCAAATAATAATAATAATAATAATAATAATAATAATAATAATCAACAATTTAATCAAATTCATTTAGATATAGGTAGAACCAACTCTAATAGATTTAAATTGGATTGGAGAATTGATAATAATATAGTCGACAGTATTGTTAATCAATAAAGCAATAAAAATAAAAAGAAATAATTAGATTAATTTAAAAAATGAAAATGGGGAAAAAACATTTCTCTCTATCTCTTTTTCTTTTTGTTTCAACACACATATGACTATTGACAAGTTATCTAATCTATTAGTATTACAAATCATATCAGATATTAATAATAATGGAGATATAATATGTTTATTGTTAACATGTAAAAAGTTTTACAGTAATAGTAGTTTAAAAAGATTGGTTCAGTTTAAAGGAATAGGACCAATCAATGACAAGGGATACATGTCTGATCAGTTTATAGCAACATCTACCCTCTTTAAACTATCATCATTTAAAGATATATTATTGAATAGTATATCACATCAATGTGTATTGTTACCCGACGATGAAAAGTGCAAACAGATGGACTATTCACAAATGTTACGCGATAACTTTAATGTATTTCGAAACTACCCAAAATGGATAGATGATTGTATCTCTCCAAACAAGAGAACTGATAAAAGTAACATTACAAATGTTATGATGATGGGTTCTGTCGACATAAAATCATTAAAGTCAATCTACGCCGCCAATATGTCATCATCAGTCGAGACACTCACCATCAATGACCTAGACCAAAAAGCATTGGATCTTGGTTCCATCTCGCTATTGACCAATCTCCAAAAACTATCAATTCGTGGTTACAAATTAAAGAAACTTGGTATTCACTCTACACTCAAGTCACTTGACCTACAAATCGCCACCAACTACCCACTCGCAGACTTGGGTCTAACCAAATTCGTATCGTTGACTCAACTCAACCTTTCCGTCACCAATTATGGACCAAGTCTATTGCCAACCAGTCTAACGTCACTCACTATTAGACTGACAGAGTTACCTCCACGAAATACATTCACTATATTAAAGTCACTAGTCAGACTCAAGATCAACGTGAAAAGGGAATCAATAGATGTAAACAATGGCGTTGAAACCCCACCAATCCTAGATCTCGACAGTCTATCCAACCTCGTAAAACTAAAGATCACACACTTTGACCATACAAAAGATGTTGACTACTTTTTCGAGCTTACTGTACCACCCTCACTCAAGATTCTTGACTTTTGGACGTATTGCGTGAAAATACCATCTCATTGTCCAATGCCACTATTAGAGAAATTGTATGTTCACGAAATAGCCCTGATAGAAGAAAAGGTCAGTCTATCATCATGCCCATCCATCAAGAAACTGGTTATATATGAATGTCTTGAAATCATTCCAGCCACTGTCATTATACCATCAACTGTCAAAAAGCTTACAATCGATAACCAAATCAACCAAGATATACTTGATCATGTTGTATTCCCACCATTGCTCACTCATCTATCGATAAAGGGAAATCACTTTTATGACAACCCTATTCAACTACCAGAATCACTCGTCAAGTTAAAACTAATGAATATTAGTGATCCACTTCCACAACAATTAAAAAAGTTGGTACTTTGGACATCACGTTCTAGACCCAAATCAACAAATCAATCGTTACCATCCAACTATCCACCCAATCTCGAAACACTCAACCTATCCAACATCAAAGGTGACCATACGATTGACATGATAGAAATACCACCACACCTCAAATATCTATCATTATCATTAACTCCAGTTCTTAATGATAATGATCCAGACCTAACGCCAAATAATCTTCCAATCTATTCAATCATCTCTAGATTAAATAATAATAATAATAATAATAATAATATCTCATGGTTACCGCATCATATTACTCATCTAAATTGCCGTTTAGTGGATATACAACATGATACACTAGTAAAGGTTTTTAGATTAGACGAAATAATCAATCACACCAATGTTAGGTATTTATCTCTCAATGAATCAAATTCTAGAACCTATCAATTTTCAATTCAAAGATTAGACGCAGACAATCTAAATGTATTAGTATTGGAAACACAAACACTTCAAGGTGGAATCATCACTCAACAAAGAAAAACAAATAATAATAATAATCAACAACAACAAATAATATATGAACCAATTTATTTATATTTACATCTAAAAAGTACTACTCCTTTTACATCAAATTGGAAAATAACAATAAATAAATAATTTAAAAACTACTAGTCTAAATGTTTTAACTTTATTTTTTTGTATCAGTTGAACAAGATGACTAGTAGTTTATTATCTTTATCTAATCTAATATTATTAAATATAATATCATCTATTCAAGATAATGGAGATATAATATGTTTGATGTTAACTTGTAAAAAGTTATATCAAACTAGTAGTAGTTTAAGAAGATCTATTATCTTTAAAGGAAAAGGTGTTATACCCATCACTGAAAGAGGTATCATATCAAATCAGTTTAAAACAACAGCTACTCGGTTTACACTATTATCTTTTAAAGATATACTAGAGAGGAGTATATCGGATAGACAACTCATACTACCTGAAAGGGTAGATAGAGAGTATTCCTTTCCTGATTGGATTTACCCTTACATCACAATAGAACGAGTAGATAAAAGTAACATTACAACTGCTTTGGTGATGTATGACATACATGCCTATCTAAAGTCATTCTACGCTACGGTACCATCAATCGAGACACTATTCATCAATGACGAATTATACAATTCAGAATTGGATCTTGGTTCAATCGATCAGTTACCTAATCTCAAACGACTTTGGGTGAATGCAGACAAGTTGAATCTTGGTACTCATACAACTCTAAAGTCACTTGCCCTAAATATTGGTAACACTATGACACTCGTCGATCTTGGTCTCATCAAATTCGTATCTCTGACAAAACTTAGTTTCAAGAGTCATTGTGTTTCAGATATTGGTCCAGGTCTGCTTCCAAGTAGCTTGACGTCACTCACTCTTAGACCAAGAGAGATACCACCACAAGATACATTCCTTTCATTAAAGTCGTTGGTCAAACTAAAGATTTTCATGGCTACCAATGAAATGGACAAAGATGTGGATGACAGACCATGTATCGATCTCTCGACTCTATCCAATCTCAAGCTACTCAAAGTTCATTACGACAATCAAGACAATGATGATCATTGTATAGATCTGATAGTCCCTACATCACTCAAGATACTTTATCTTTGGTGTGCATGCTTACAAATCCCATCACAATGTACAATGCCACAGTTGGAGAAATTAATTGTACATCAAAGAATATTGAATGGTCTAAAAATCAATCTACCATTACAATGTCCATCTCTAAACAAACTAAGTATCATAGATTGTAAAGAAATGTTACTGGCCGATATCATTATCCCATCAACAGTCAAAAAGATTACAATCGATAAGAAATCAATAGTCGATAATATACTCGTTCAAGTTGCATTACCACCAATGCTCACACATCTATCGATCAAGGGACACTCCTATGAATATATTCAACGGTTACCAGACTCGTTAGTCAAATTAAAGCAAACATTCAATAGCTTTAAAGCTCCATTCTCATCACTTCCTCGTCATTTAAAAAAATTATCTTTACAAGTACAGTGTGATACAGATTTTGTATTACCATCTGGTAATCTACCGAATCTAGAAACGCTCAATCTATTTAAAATGATTGGTGACTTTAAGATTGGCGCTATACCACCCACCATCAAAAATCTATCGATATCTTTGAACCCTAAAATAAGCCCAAATGGGCTTTCAATCTTTTCAATCGGTCCAAGAATCGATGGAACCGCTGATGGACAAGTGTCACAATGGTTACCATACAATACCACTCATCTAACATGCCACCTAACCAATTTTCAAATGGGTATAGACTCAAAGGCTGTATTTAGATTGGACCAAGTAATCAACCATACCAATGTTAGATCTCTAACTCTTGATGTTTCAGAGATTTATTATAACGATCAACCTCTACAATTTACAATTCAAAGATTAGACAATGATAATAGAAATGTATTGGTATTGGAAACATATTCACTTATTGGTGGTATAATCACTCAGCAAAGAAAATCAGTTAATAATCAACAACAACAATATGATCCAATTTATTTACATTTCAAGAGCTTCTCTATAGATCCATATGAATTTAAATGGAGTTTTGGTGAAACACTAAAACTAAAAGAATAAAGAATAAAGTAGTAGAGAGGATTAGATAAAGTGGATGATGAACTAGAAGTTGAAGGAGTATTGGTAGTAGTGGTTGAAGTTCCAAATGTGCCGGTGCAACGAGCATAGGTTGGACAACAGCTGGTAGCAGAACAAGATGGGGTGATCCATTCACATTTACCTCCTTGAGCTTCACATTTGACTTGGACATATTCATATTCTTTTTTAAAAAATATAATAAAATGTATATCATCGTTCAATAGGATCTCTTTCAAACTAGAGCAGTGGTTTTGTTTTTTTTTTTAATAGATTATTAAATCCTCCCAAACAAACTAATCGATTTTGTTTTCCAAGAGAACAAAGTTAAACCATTATTGAAATTTAAACATTGCAAGTTGTTCCTCACAAAGAGACAACCAAAAATTCATCTTTACTGCATGAGCTCCACATGATGTTAATGTGTTGTAATGTACTATTATTATACTTTATCGATTGAGTGGCGACCTTTATTGGTGTTATTATTATTATTACTTTGGACCCCATTGCTTCTTCTTTGGTGTTGTATTAACTGTTGTTTTTTTTACAGAAATAGTTCCTTTTTGTTGATATTCATCGACAATCTTTCTAATTGTTTGAGGTGAGCATTTGTATTTACGAGCTACTTCTGCAAGTGAACGACCTTCAACCAATACAAGTTTTATGATGTTTTTTCTCTTTGTTTCTGTTAATTCTCCTGTTGCCATTGTGTGTTTTTATTGGTTTGGTTATGTTTGCTTTGAATATATTTAGTTTGATTATCTCTATCTATAGCATCGCTAGTGTTTTAATTATCACTGAAACACTCAAAGGTGGACACCTTTGATTCAATCACTCTTTTACAAATGGAGGAATTTTAAATTTATTAGTTTGATTGAGCTGATCCTTGTTGTACAAGAGGTTGTTGTTGTTGTTGAACCAATTCCTTTAGTTTGAGTAAGCCAGCATTTTTAGTAAACATTGAAATACTAACCCATTTTGGTAGATAGTATAGGACATTGAATGTAAAAGCATTTGGACCATATGAAAAGATATGTGGTGGATTATCTACCAATGTCTTGTCCAAAGTGTATTTGACAAATACATCTGATGGCATATTATTAATCTTTAAAGTACGTGCCAATAAATAAGTTTTGATTTGACCATAGATTGATCCTTGTGCAAGTAATCCCTCCAATTGTGGTTTGGCATTATTTGAAATCTCTGAAACAATTGATCCAGGTATCACCAAAACTACTTTAATATTAAATGGTATTAATTCCATTCTTAATGTATCTAAAAAGAATCAAAAAAAATTAATTAATTAATACTGAATAAAGGTAAATTATTAATTAATCAATTTACTCACCAGACCAAGCATGAATAGCAGCCTTTGAAGCACAATACATTCCAGTGAATGGAGTTGGTGATAGACCAACAATACTACCAACATTTAAAATGATACCATCTCTTTGATTGACCATATACTTTGCAATGACATTTGTACAATTGACAGTACCAAAGAAATTAGTTTCCATAATCTTGTGTGCTTCTTCATCATCCAATTCAATCAATGGTGAATAATTACCAACTCCAGCTAATCAAACAAAACAAATTAAATTAATTAACTATTATTATTTTCTTTTTTCTTTTCCTTGTTTCTTTCCTTACCATTATTAATTAAAATATCAATTCTACCTTCCTTTTCAATGATTGATTGTACAGCACTTTTAATTGATTCTAATTTGGTTACATCTAATTGGATGATTTCAAAACCTTCACTTTCCAATGATCTAATTGAATCCAAGTTTCTTGCCGATGCATATACTTTGTAGTTTCTTCTAGACCCAAAATCTTTAACAAATGATTTACCAATACCTGATGAACATCCAGTTACAAGAACTATCTTTGTTTGATTCATTTTTTTTTTTTTTAAACTATGTAGAATTGTTTTAAGAGACTAATTGAATAAAAATGTTCTTCTTATTTCTTCTTACAACTCTCTATTGCTTGCATTGTTTAAAAATGCATGTTGTTCTGTGTGTATCAACTAGTTGAACGACCAATGTTATACTATACTATCAAAAGAAAAAGAGATATATAAAATATTAATACTTGAATTATTGATTTATTTACATTAAAAAAGTCGTAATTCTTTTGATCTGTTCACGAATCTATCCGAGTTGTCCAATTCCACACTGACAAATCACCTTCACATTAATAATACTTTCCCACCCCCTCCTCTCCTCTCCTCTCCTATCCTCCCCATCTAATCTGGCGAGTACCTTTTAGTCTTATACCAAAGTTTACAAGTTATAATGAGTCGTCAAATGTCTAATGTTTGTTTTCGTCTGTTGCAACAAGATACATTGATGTCTATATCCGATATACTATTCTCTAATATGTTATATCTTTAAAAGAAAGAAGTTGAATCAATCAATTGACTACCCACCACCGCTGGGGTTGTCCAATTTTTTTTAATTTAAAAATATTAATTTATTTATTTATTTATTTAAATAATTAATCAAATGCGTTCGTTGGGTATCTCAACAATCGAATCATCCAATCAGATTGGATTTAAATCATTTTCAAGTTAACACCCATCTATCCACCCCCATCTATATCTATCAGATGCAACTCGCAAAGAGAGAGATGGAGGGAGGGGGCAACCAAATAAGTAATTAATTAAATTAATTAGATCTCTCTCTCTTTCTCTCTTCCACCGATATCACACTATATTTAATTTTCTTTTCAAAAATATTATTTAAAGCGGGTGCGATGTGAGGTGAGGTGATTTTAGTAAATTATTTTAAAACAACAAAAAAAGTATTAATATTACCAAACAAACTACTATTAATAATCTCGAGGTAATTATCATCATCCATCACTCGTGCCCCACATTTTCATAAAGTCTAGACATTCATTCATAGTTTATCAGAATAGTTTTGATCATCTGTCTGACAGCTGCACCTCTGTCCAAACCTTGCTTTTTTTATGAAAAAAATTTCATTTCTTTTGAAGAGCTCAAAATTCAAATAAATGTTTGGTTGGGTTTGAAAAATTTTGCTGATCAGTGCTTCTGTCTCTCTCTGTCTGGTCTGTCTGTTACACACCACACCATTATTGTTATTATTATTGTTAGTAGTTAGTTTGTTAGTTAGTTAAATTTTTTTATTTGTTGTACATAATTTTAACATTTTTATTTATTTATTTATTCAACTTACTAAGCTACCTTTATATATATTTATTTATTTAATCTAATCATCAAGTCTATAAACTAATTAGTTGTTATCAAACATCGCCACCAATCTTGTAATAGTAATAGTAGTAGTCGTAATAGTACCAACAACCAATATTATTAAAGAGAAATGTCAAACAAAGAAGTAGAATATTCAGACTCTGACTCTGTATCCGAGTCGGAAGAAGTCAATGAACACGAAGAGGAGGGACAAGAACATGACGACACTCCAGACATTATTGTTCCAGAGAGAAAGTTCCTCAAGGAGGACGAAGACTATTCCGTCCCATTCCCAGTCATGCGTGAATGCTTGGTTCTTCTCTTGCAATCACGTCGTATCCTCAGAGACATGATGTATTATAGATTCAAGATGGACAGATTCCTTTCTGGTAATCTCTCTGTCTTTGAAATTCAAAACCTCCTTCACTCTCAAAGAGAAGATAAGGAAAGTGATTGGATTGCTGGTATGTAAAAAAACATAAAAAAAAAACAAACAAACAAATCAATCAAACTATATATCTATATATACCTATATATATATCTATTTTCATCTCATCTTATGTCAAAGTAGTATACTATTTATATACTTCTTGACTTGGGTTGTTTGAAAAAAAAAAAAAAAAAAAACCATCTCTCATACGTCACATCACTTTTTTTTTTTTTTTTTTTTTTCTACTCTTGTGATTAAAATCACTATATTAATACATTTATTTTTGATTTATTTTTTTTAATTTTCTTTTAGAGATTCAAGAATTAAAAAGAAATCTTGTTAGTGAAGTACGTAGAAATCATACACTTGAAAGAGATCTTAACCGTTTGGACAAGAGAATTGCCTTGCTCATCAAGAACAGAGGTAACATTCAAGATGTATTGGCTGACAAGGCTGGTTTGAAGGCTCAAAAGCACAAGGGCGACCAACAAAAGAAGCCAGAACTCATCAACGATCCAAAGAAGCTTGAAGCCTACCAAAACCTCTTTTACTTGTTGCAAACCGAACCAAAGTACTTGGCCGGTCTCGTCTACCTCGTCCAACCCGAGCAGATGGAGTCGTTCCTCTCGACAGTCATTTTGACCTTGTTTGGTGATGCCTTTACTCCAAGAGAAGAGTTCCTCTTGCTCTCGTTGTACCGTCTCTCTGTACAAAAGGAAATGTCCAACATTGCCACTGTCGGTGACTTTTTAAAGGCCGATACTGTCGTACCCAAGATGATTATCACCTACAACAAGCGTAAGCAAGGTACCGACTATTTAAAGGCTGTCATTGGCCCAATCCTCGCCAACGTCATCAAGCAAGACCTCAACCTCGAGCTCAAGCCATCGGCCGTCTACATCTCAATCATCTCTGAGAATGAGATTCGTACCGGTGAAAAGTCGACCTTGGACCGTCACGTCACCGACGAGAAGGCACTCGAAATCCCAGAGGTTGCCAAGATCATCAAGGCTCGTGTCGAACAACTCACATCCATCTGTGACCAATTCTTGGAAGGTATCATGAACTCGCTCAACCGTCTTCCATACGGTATCCGTTGGATCTGCAAGCAAATCCAACAAATTGCCGAAAAGAACTTTGCCAACTCTACCCAAGACGAGATCCTCAAGGTTATTGGTTACTTTATCTACTATCGTTTCATCCAAGTCGCCATGGTGTCGCCGGAAGAGTACGATCTTGTCGGCCGTGAGATCCACCCCACCGCCCGTAAGAACCTCATCAACGTCTCCAAGGTACTCCAGACATTGTTCAATTTTGCCCAGTTTGGTGCCGCCGAGAAGCACTTTGTCCCATTGAACGGATGGATCACCTCGCACATTGCCGACATTAAGCAATACTTGGAGGAGATTATCGAAGTTGGCGAGCCAGAGGACTACCTCCAAGTCGACAAGTACATGGAATTGACCCAAAAGACCAAGCCAGTCATTATCATCTCGTTGCCAGAAATTGCCTACACACATATCCTCATCTCCAAGAACCTCGACTCTCTTGTCCCCAAGGGCGAGAAGGACGACGCCATGCGTATCATCATGAAGGAGTTGGACGAATTTGGTCCACCACCCGAAATCTCAAATGAAGATGACCGTGAAGTACAATTGACCTTGACCAACAAGTTCCAAAAGTCAATCGAAGAGGAATTGTCACCGGGCGAATCATTGCTCTCCCAGACCAAGGAAATGGTCATCTCGTTGCTCCGTGCCCTCCCATCACTCCCAGAGCAAAAGGAATCAGAAGACTCTGCACCCAATCTCGTCGAAGTGTTGAACCGTGCCCGTCAATCCGACCCATCACTCGAACCAGAAATCAAAAAGATTTTGGACAACCTCAAGAAGCTCGAAGAGTACAATCTGACTACCCACGCCGACAATTATGCCTCGTTCCTCAAGGCTGTCGCCCTCGAAGTCGTCAACAGAGCCGAGATTCGTGAACAACAAAAGAAGGAAAAGCAACGTCTCACCACCTCGCTCAACAATCTCCGCAAGCATCAAAAGTACCTCAACGAACAAATCACCCAATACAACCAATACCTCCAAGACTGTCGTCTCAAGCATTACCAAAACAACAAAAAGAGAAAGTCCAAGAAGAAGGGAGACGGTGCCAAGGTCGGTCCATTCAAATTCTCATTCTCAGATCTCGCCAAGAAAAAGGTCATCGTAGACTCTGAAGTCCCTGCCATGACTCGTAAGAAGATCAAGTTCGTCATTTCTTCTGATACTGTTGGTGTTTTCGATGTTTCAGCTAAAATGGCTGGTATTGGTAAGAATAAGAAAAAAAAAAAAAAAAGAAAAAGAAAAAAAGAAAAAAAAAAGACTAATTATTTTATTTCTATTTCTATTTTTATTTTTAGATGTCCAAACAATGAGATTAGAACTTGATGATCTTCTTGAATTAAATAGCATTGGTAATACTACTTTGGAACTTGACCAAATTACCCTTGATGTTAATATGACAATCCATCTCCTCAATAAGTTGTTCATGGCTTAAACCAACCAACCAATCTCTCGCATTTACACGTAATAATATTAGTAATAATTGTTGTCATATTATAAAACCTTTATAAAACTAAAAAAAAAAAATCAAAAAATCAAAAATCAAATAATAATAATTTAAATATATATTTAAAACGATCCAAAACAAAACTTTATTCATTATCCTTTTTTTTTGTAAACAAATAAATTAAATCAATATTTTAAAAACCTTAAAAAAAACTACAAGATATCAGATATCCGGATATCTGATATATGCATATTAAAAAAAAGGTTCAATGAAAAGTCTTTTGAAAATATTTTTTTTGATCAGATTTTTTTTTACTACAACAAACAAGACAATGAGACGATTTTTCAAAAATTCATTAATATAATATATAGTATTTGTACTATATATATATATTTATTTATATATATAATGGAGTTTAATTTTACCAACTTAGAATCAAGAAGATATGGATATATTTATAGAGGTAGATCTATTCTATTGAATATGATGATGATGCAAAAGAGGGAAGGTGGTGGTAGTATGTTTCATCAACATACAGACACCAATGTAATAGATTGGGGAGTTGATGCAGTCTATCAAGTGTCTGGTCATATAGCAGTTAGATATCAAAACTCTAGATCGATTGTATTGTTTGATGCAGTGACTGCAAAGCATCAATTGACAGAGTCACAGTCACAATCGATTGAATCTCAGTTGCTAGCAAAACAATATCTACAGTCACCGTCGACCAACCCTTCAAACTCTCCGTTCCCATTTTTGGCATGTTCATTTGCTTCACCTGTCATTCGATTGGCATTTGAAAGATCAACTTCTGCTCCATCTTCTACTACAACTATCTCTTCAATCAATAATAATAATAACAATGGTTTAAAATCATCAACTTCTTCATTACTACCATCAACACAATCAGATCCAAATCCACTTAGAATGTTTGTATTTGAACAAGACGGAAGTTTACATGTATTCGAATGGAATAGTGTTGATTATAAATGGCTCTATATCATCAAACTATATCTACCATCGATTGTTGGTCCTGAACAACTCGTATCGGCACCCATCATCAATACACAATTATCCCTTTTACATTGTGCTGTACATTCAGCATCAAAAGGAGTGTCTATCTTGTGGACCATCAATAATACCCTATACCTAAGATCACTATCATTTGACAAAATCAAGAAAAAAGAAGGTCTTTCAATTATTGCCAAACAATACCCCTATACCACAACATCTTCTACATCTTCTGCAACTTCATCAACTACAACTACACCAGTCAATAGATCACCACCTTTATTATCAACCTTTTCATCTTCATTTAATCAAAAAGAAAATAATAATATTAATAATATTAATAATAATAATACTATAAGTTTACCGATGGTTGAAGAGATATATCCATCAAATCTTTCAATTAGTGGATTAGAAAGTTATACATTTAAAAAGGATTGGGAAGAAATGATTTTTGATCCATCAACTAGAATCATTTCAAGTAAACTTGGTGCTTGGTTTGTAACAAAATCATTTATTCTTTTACATTCAATTAGAAATAAGCAATGGTATATTACTTATTTAAAAAATCAACAAGATAAAGAAAAAGATCAAAAACAAACCTCTTCTTCTTCTTCTTCCTCTTCAACATGTGATATTCATATTAATAATAATAATAATAAGAATCAAATTGAAGAAGATTCTTCTACTTCTTCTTCTTCTTCATTATTAGTTTCATCACCACCAACAAATATAATTGATAATAAGAATAGAATAGTTGAAATATTGGATTGTTGTATTCATCCAGTTACTCAAGAATTAATGATATTGGAACCAAGTGGTAGATTATTGACTTGTGATACTGGAGAAAGAGAATCATTACGTATTCAACTCATTACCGTTTTACAACCATTTAACAATTGTGCCAGGGCAAATGCAAAGGAAGTAATTCGTTGTATAATGCATCAAAATGCATTTGTTGTACTCAAAAACTCGACAGCTTCTCTGTTTGATGTTAAATGTGGTCAACTAATCACAACCATAAATAGTCCAGTCGATAGTGCAAACTTTAATCAAACAATGGGTGGTGGTATTTGGACACAAGCACCAGTTGGTGTCGTTTGGGGTGCAGGTGTTTGGCAAAGAGGATCTGGTATTTGGGAACTTCGTTCAGGTTCAACTCTTAAAGTAATCGAATCACTATCAACTCATAAAACAACTGGAGTTCAAAATCAACCATTACAACCGCAACAACAACAACAACAGAAAATCAATTTTAGAACTACTGTGGGATGTGCACCAACAGCTTGTAGACAATGGGAAATGCGTAGATTAGAAGCAAAGTATTTATTAGATATGGCACTCAAAGAAGATGATGAGGATTTAAAGGTTCAAATTTGCAAGGCACTCTTGCCAAAACTTGAAAACCCATCCCTCATCATTGCACTCTTGTCTTCATTACAGTCAGAGGTTAGCTCATCTTTTGTATATGACGAACTGAAATCATTCCTCGATCGTTACAACTATACAACAGATACCAAATCTCAATCAAATACACCAGATGATGAAACTCATGCCATCAAAGTTAGAAATGCCTTCCATCTTCATACTCCACTCAATCAAATCATGGTACCTCTATTGACTGATTATTTAGAATTACAAAGATCTGCTAGAGAAGGAGATAATAATAATAATAATAATAATAATAATAATAATAATAATAATAATAATAATAATAATAATAATTCATCTTTATTTGATTTTGAGGATAATATAATATTTGATCAAAATAATGAAATGATTGAATTGTTAAAGAGAAAATCACCAAATCAATTATTAGAGAAATTGGAAAGAGCTTTGGGATTGGGAGCTATTGATTTCTCAAGATATGCAGATATATTTGGTGGAGAGACTGATATTGTATTTCCTCAAATCAATCCAATTCTACTTCAACAAGAAGAGATTTTAAAGGTTAAAAACGCACCAAAACACCTTCACCTACACATCCATAGTCAAAACCATTCACCATTGGTAGAAAAGGAACATGCATCTTCTTTGGCCAACCCATACTATCCATTATTCCCACTATTTGAAACCATGTGTCAATTGTATTATACCGAGGCACCTCACAAGTTGGTTCCATTTATTCGTATCGTTCATTATTCGTCTGTCGAAAAAATGATGACAGCTGCCCAGGAAATGGCCAACCTAGTCACCATTCCTGCATCCTCTATTCAAACCACCAAGATCCCTCAAAACGATCACTTTACTAGAGCTCTCCTCACTCTTCCAACCAACTATCCATCAACCAATGAACATACAAGAATTGAAGCTCGTTTCGATATACTATGTGCTATTGGACATACCGCAAATGCTCTTCGTCTCTTATTATTAACAGATTGTTGGGAAAAAGCTTTAGAAATGGTTAAAAATACTGCTTATTCTGATAAAGATCATTATATTTTATTTGAAGTAAAAAGAAAAAAAAAAAAAAAGAAACAAAGAAAATATATATATTAATACTTTTTGATTTATTTAATTTTTAGATTTTAATTAGTTATTGTATTGAAAAAAAGGATAGTAAAAAATTAAAACAATGTTGGGAAGTAATGCCAAAGAATTATTCAGTATTTAATTTATTTTCAATTTTAAAATCAAATATATTTAATAATAATAATTATAATGAAGAAAAACAAAACAAAAATAATAACATCAACAACAATGGTCAACCAGTTTCTCCATCCTCTTCATCATCCTCTTCTTCCTCCTCTATGTCATTATTACAAATAGTATCAAATAATCCAAATCAAGATTTAACCATTGATATGTTTAAAGGTCAATTATTAAAAATGTTTTTATCAAAAAATCAACATCAATAAATAAAAAAGAAATGAAAAGAAACCTCAAAAGAGTTGGTACAATTTTGGAAATATTTTATTACACAATTTAAAAATATACAATCAATCTAATCTCTATCAAGACCATTGAATTGATTTTTTTGGATTATTATTCCAAATTTGATTATCCATTTGAGTTCTCATTTTTCTCATTTCCTCTGCAAGATATCTATTTAATTCTTCTGCTTGTTGTAATTTTGATTTGAGGTCTTGATTGTCGCGTAATGAATTTTGATAGTTTACTTCTGCTTGAAGAAGGCCTGATTCACGATCGGTTACATCTTGTAAATGTCTTACGAGTTGGATCTTTTCTTCTTCATATCTCTTTACCGTGTGATGCATGTCATGTTTCATGACCGCCAAATCCTCTTCGAGATTGTTGATTCTTTCTTTGAGTTTATATTTTTTGACGACCCAGTTTGGATCCTTCATCTTTTCCTTGGGCGTTTGATCTGGATTAAATTCAGATGGTATGTTTGGTTTTTGTTCCCTTTCAAATTGTTGTTGGAAAACATAGAGTTGTTTGCTACTAATACCAATACGACCGGCAGTGTCCATCAATGTGATTGGGTCAATCTTTTCCTTGGCATTGGTTCTAAAGTATTCCATCACTTGTGAATTGTCTGCGCAGGCCAATAAATCGTCTTGGATGATTTGGAAAATGGCCAATCCCACTGAAAAGAATGCCTCCACTCCTTGAAGTAGGATAATATCTATGATTCTCTCTACACACTCTTCTGACAAATGATATGAAAATGCTGTCAAAAACCATGGTGATGCAAAGATTGTATAATCCAAATCAATCTTTTCCAAATGTTGATGTAATTTTGGAAATAATTCTTGTACTAATTTACTTATTTGATAAACTCTTAATTTTAATCCTCTCATTCCTAAATAAAATAGAAAAAGAATTAATATTAATATTTCTTTTTTGTTTTTTTTTTTCTTTTCTATTATTTACCAATAGTATAAAAATCTCTCATAACACCTTCAAGTAATCTTAATAGGATATGAAAAGTTTCTTCTTCTTGAACTTTTTGAACCATAATACTACCAACAAAAGAAATACCTTGACAATAACCCAACTCTGGATCGTAAAGTGAGATGGCACGTAAGACATTGGCAAGAGCAATGGAATAATTGTCACGTAATTCACCAGATACTTCACAGAAACTTCTTTGAATATCTACATCAATTTGTTCTTCATGTTCGGAATGATGTTTCAATATACTATGATAAAAACATTTATGATGATTACTACCTCCACTTGCATTTAATATATTTGTTGTCGTTGTTGTTGGTGATGATGATGATGGTGATGATGGTGATGTTATATTATTTTGTTGATTTTGTTGATTTTGATTTTGATGATTATTTTGAGATTTTAATCCAGGCGTATTGGTAGGAGTAACAGTTGATGGTGTACTAAGAGGTGTAAGGATTTGAGCTTTATCAACAAGATTATGTTTTGTGGTTAAATCTATACAAGCTGGGATGGTAGTCAATTGAGGGATCATATTGGATAGATGAAACCAAATGGTTGGTCTGAAACGATCGGGAATACCTTGGTATACATATTTGGTGAGGAGTGGTCTGAAATGAGGTTCGCTCCACTCACTCCAGTTGGATACGATCATTAGCCAAGTGGCATCGGTTGCGACCGATTGTGAACTATAGGCTAGATGAGGGGGTAGAAAAGTAGGGGAATAGATGTTATTATTAGCTGGCATGATCAAAGATTGGTGTTTGGGTGTCGACGAGACGGAAATGCCAATGATCCCGCTGCCGCCAAGATCGATTTGAGAGCTCGACTTTCTGGGGTATTGACCAGAATTGTTTAATGATGACACTCCTCTATTTCGATTGTGTAGAATAGAGGTTTTGAGAGGTGATGTTACAGGGATGGGTGATATGGGTGCATAATGAGAAAGAGAAACTGGTGGTAACAGAGATGGATGATATTGTTGTTGTTGTTGTTGTTGACCACTAGTTTTAATTGAATCAAATGATTTTGACATTTGTTGAGGTTGTTGATTCGATGATGGTAATGGTGTTTGTGGTAATGATTTACTAATATTTAAATTCTTTGGTTCTTTTTTTCTTGAAAAAAGTCCAGAGAATATCCCCTTTTTTTTAGTCGATATGATTTCTTCAACATTACTATTATTATTACTATTATTTTGATTATTTTGATTGATTTGATTGATTTGATTATGTTCATCTTCGTCATGATGACTTGGTGGAGGGGAAGAAATTGGTAAAAGATCAGGTTCGCAAGGTAGAGGTTTATATTGATTTCTAAACTCTTCTGGAGAGGTAAGGGGAGATGGTTGTGCACTTGGATTATTGCTAATCGATTGTTGATGATCTGAAAGTGAAGCAGTTATCGAGGACATTGAATCCATACTTTCAAAATACTTTTGATTATTACTTGGAGAGGATGAAGAAGGTGACATTGACCCAGTTGAAGAATCTCCTGGTGACAATGATATTAATGGTGATTGATCCTTACTACTACTACCAACACTAACATTACTATTACTATTATTCTCTTTAATGATTTCTTTTTCCTTGTTGTTTGCGATAACCAAATCTCTATTATTTTCTTTATCCCTGTCTTTGTTATTTTTACTCTTTTTTCTTGGTGATATTAAAGATAGAGGAGAATACCTTGAAGGAGACGACCCCTCCTTATTTTTTCGAGGAGAATTGGCACCACTTCCACCACCGCTGCTGCCATTGTCAACATTGAGCATTGCGATCGATGGAACTTTCTTGACCCTGACATCACAATCGAAACTGGGCGTCATATGACCAGTCACAATCAAAGTGGTTGGCGTAGAAGCAGAGGAAGATGGAGATGGTTGAGAGGATGATGGCGGTTTGATTGAAACCGACGATGATGGGAAAAACATTTCAATTTCATTTGACATGGAAATAAATAAATAAATTAATTAATTATCTCTCTAACGTAGATAATTAATTGAGGAGAGACGAAAAAAGAAGAAAACTCGTGATGACGATAGAGAGATAGGTTGGAAAATTAAATTGAATTAAATTAAATCTAAATATACTAAAGTAAGTAGTCGGTACAAAAGAGAGATAGAGATGTTAATAACAATGTTAAGGGATAAGGACTTCAGGATGTGGTAAAAGGAGGAGATGGAATATTTCAAGAAGAAGATAATAAAATCATCGCGCCATTATAACAAGACAATATACAAAAAAAAAAATAGAAAGAGAGAGAGTATGGGCCATATTTAAATTTGGGGTTATTTGTGGAATTATTTGGTAATATATATATATGTACCAATTGTTGGGTAGGTATCCTTCCATTGTTTGCGCATGCGGTAAAATATTATACTTACACCAAGACTGACTGACTGAATGACTGACTGACTATAGCTAGCTCTACCAATGAGACAGCTTAAACTTTAATTAACCTGCGGGAGGAGGAGGGGCTAATGTGTTATTGTTGTTGTTTACTTTTTGTTGTTGTATCTATTTTAATGATACATTGGGACCAATATACATTACAATAGCAGCGTCGACGGTAGTATCAACAAACAAATAAATAATTAAAATATATTTATAAATATTAAATTTATAAATATATATTATTGAATGTTGTAAACCAATCTACTTCTATAACAAACCCATAGTAGCGTAAGAATACACACTCTCTTCTCTCTATCTCACACACATATATGCAATACCAACAACAAAAACAACAACAGTATCAGCATCAGCATCAAAAGTTGAATTAAACACGCTCTTTCACCATCTCTCTTTCTTTCACTCTTTGTTGTTCTGTCTGTTTGTCATCATCTACTTTGCTAATGAGAGACTGGCTGGCTATAATAGCTAGCTATAATTATTTTTGTCGCGACAAACAACAAACATAAACACACACACGCTCACAGATTATTCTGTATCATTGTGTGCGTGTGCTAGTGGTGGAGAGAGTGAGAGATGTTGATTAGACACTGTGTTTCAACATTTTGATTTGATATTATCCAATTTATTCCAAAGAAACGATGCGATGATAATATATATATTATTATTATTATTATTATTGTTTGAAATAATAATAATTGGTTTGAATTGTTTGAATGGGATTTGCTGACAAAGCAAAAGTAATACTAACCTCACATCTTTTAATTGGACCTGTTGACCTATTACCACTACCGCTGCTATGACTACTATTACTACTTGGTGATGTAGAAGATGACATTATTATTATTATTTATTACTATATCTATATCTATATGATGATTTGATTATTCAGATAAGATAACTCTATCTATGTATTATCTATCTATGTATATGTATAATTAATTGAAATAAATGATGATGATTTACATCTAGCTAGCTGTCTAGTTGATCAATAATTAATAATAATGATAAAAGGAGAGGTTAATACAAAAGATGAAGGATTATTCCTCTGAAAACGTCGACTAGGAAGAATTTAAATTATATATTGCAAGTCGACTTTGATATTAAAATTAATTTAATTTTAATTTATTTTTTATTTTTTAAAAATCATTAATACTCTACTCTGCTCACTCTACTCTAGCCTGCTGGAGAGGAATAGATAAAGATAATAATAATAATAATAATAATGATTTGACTCAATAAATGGTGTAATTTAAACTTTAAACTTGAACTAACTTGAGGTCAAATAAAGAGAAAGAGAGATAAGAGAGGATGAGAACAGTGAAGATTATAATGATAGAAATAAAGAAACAAATGTTTTGTAACAAGTTATAAAAGAGATATATAGACTCCAACTATTACTAAACTTGCTTGTTATCAGAGACACTCGACCGAGTCCACACTTTAAAAAAAATATGCAAAAATTTTTTTTTTTTTTGGTTTGTGATCAGCAGGCAATGATGAAAGAAAAAAACGACTACTTATTACATTCATCTGATCTTTAACCCTTACCCATCCAACAACTACTTAGAATCAGTCAAGTCCCAATTACATTGACTATTTGTATTGTAGAGACATAGATATATCGAGAGAGAGAGGTAGAGAGGAAAAGAAGAATAATAGAGAAAGAAAAGAAGAAGAATAAGAACGACTATTTCCTTTTTTTTTTTTTTGTTATGCATCATATTTACACAGCAATACAACGATCACAATCAAAGATTAACTCAACTCTAATATCATAATATTATATAATATCATATAGAAAGACCTATTATTTTGAAGAAAAGAGATGTATAGAGCTTGCAATTCTATTATAAAGCCAACTATTCGTAGTTTGGCATCATCATCTACACAACTTGGATCGGCAGCTTCAACATCGGTTGGTAGAAGCTACTCTAAAAAGAAGAATCAAGAGGTTGAAGATGACGACGATGAAGATGATCACAGTATCTCTGAAAAACAAGATCGTCGTCGTAAACAACCTCAGGTCCAACAAGAACAAGATGACGATGAATCATTGGATTTAAGTGAAGAAGAGTTTGATGAAGAAGACGAAGAGGATATGGAAGACGATGAAGAAGACGTAGAATACGATAGATCACTCAGCTACTTTGAAGATTTCGAAGGTATGGACAAGGATGTCATGATTGACAAGGACTACAAACCAAAGATCGAGATAGTGGAACGTGCCGTCGAAGAAGATATCGACAAGGAAATTGCCAACATTGATATGCGTGAACTCAAGCTTATGCGTTGGGACAATAGCGAAGAAGATCTCGAACTCGCTCGCAAGGAATACTTTTCAATGAAGAATGCTTTCGTTCTCGATGAAACCACCGAGCAAGTAATGAAACGTATCAAACAAAAGCAACAAGAAGAACTCCCGGGTTCCAAATTCCAATCGGTTCGTGTCAACTATCAATTAGTCTCTGATACCAAAACTACTCAAGTTGCTAAATTATTGGATGGTTTTAAAAAAAAGTAAGAACAAAGACAAACAAACAAATCAAATATTGCAATATATTAATATTAACTATTCTTATTCTATCCTATAGATTCGAAAAACCATTAGTTGAATTATACAAAAAGACAACTGAACAAGAGAATATCAAGATTCGTGAAAAGAAACGTTTGATCAAGACACAGTTAAAGAAAAAGGTGAATACTAGATTGAGCAGTTTGGAACAACAGTATCGTGATTTGGTCTATGTCAAGAATGCATTGAGTCATCATCGTCTCGACAAGCAACGTTTGGACGACACACACATTGATGAAGCTTGGGACCGTTTGCTCGAGCGTTCGCATATCCTCGATCCATTCAATTTGATGCGTGAAGTCATGTCGGACGAGTACAACGATCTCGGAGAGGACTTGGAGTTTACCGAAGCCTACGTCACTCAACTTGCCATGGTGCCATTTGACTTTGCCAATCCACGTTCCTACAATTCGATTGCCAAGTTTTACGATACTATCATTGACTCGGTCGACGAGCAGTCATTGGCCACCCCACTCCAAGACATGTCGTCGAGCCAAGAAAAGATGCTTGCCGAAATTGAGAGTTTGCGTAATCTCGGATTCCAATTGTCAGGTGAAGAATTGGAACAATTCATGCAAGACAATCAAGCTCGTTATGACGGTCTCGTCAAAGATGCCAAGCAATCATCCGATCAAAAGACTGCTGCTGCCGCTGAAGGAACTACCGACGCATCGTCACTCAAGGAAAAGATTAGATTAGCCAAGATTGATAGTCAGTTAAAGGAGGAACTCGAACGTACCATTGACAATATCGAGTACAAGATTGAAGTTAGCAAGGATTACACCATTGTTCCAACCATTAATGACGCCAAGTCGCCCGGCGAGATGTTGGCCAAGTCCAAGTCAGCCTTGGAAAACATCAAGTTTAATCAAGAAGAGTATCTCAAGATTGCACACAGCAAGGGTGACGAAGAGATTGTCAAGGAGGAAAAGACCGAGGGTGCCGATGGCTCTGCCAACGTCCATCAGATCCGTCACGAGATCAACGTTCTCTTGGCCAAGCGTGGTCAATTGCTCGAATACGGCAAGCCAATCGGAAACATTGACGAGCGTGTCCAAACTCTCAAGTCTCAAATCCACGAGATTGAACAAGCTGCCAGCTCCAAGAAATACCTAGATCTCTATGAAGATGACCCCAACGAATTGTCAGAAGATGCTATCAATCAATTAGACAATTTTGATGACGACGAACAAGTCACTACTACCTCGACCACAACCACCGTCCAAGTTGAAGGTGAAGGTAATGCTGAAGCTCCAGCTACTGAGGGATCAGTTGATGGAGAACCTGCTACCGCTACCACAAAGATCAATGTTGAAGAATTGATTGAAAAATTAAACAAAGATGACCGTAAACCAGATGACAAGATCTTGGGTTACAACGTACTCGTTGACAACCATCCAGATTTTAGACAATTGGCCGACGAGTTGATCGACACTATCGAGAATGATGTCGACAAGGTTGCTCAAAAGTACGCCAACGCACCAATCGACGAAAAGACCGCCTCTGACGTAATCGAAGAGCTCTATGGTATGCACAAGGAGAACAATATTTTCAACCCACGTGTCATCAAGCACGACCAAGAGATTTTCCGTGACGCCTATGGTGATGTCAAGATCCCAGCTGCCATTGACTTCCAATACGACACTACTCACCGTGACTTGGTCGATCGTGACATTTTGTTCAACATGCCACCCAAGGACACCGATCTCGTCCGTATCCTCTCGTTGCAATTATCCGATTTCGGTCTACTCAACAAGGAAAAGGTTTTGCAAGAGGCACCAGACAACGTTCCATTCCCAAGAGCCACCGTCGAAGCCAACCCACACCAATTCCCAGATATCATGGAACACATTGAGGAATACGAACAAATCAAGGATGAAGTTGAAGCCAACGCTACCTCTGGTGTACCACCACAACTTACTAAAGATAGTAGTAGTAGAATTGGAGGAGAAGGAGAAGGAGCAACAGAAAATAGTACTACTTCTTCTACATCTGAACCATTCAATAGTGATGACATTTATGACAGTCGTCGTTTATATACCAATCTTTTACCAATCTTCCAAGAAAATGGTGTGTTGGCCGTACCATGGAAGAAGCGTGCTGGTCGTCGTGTATCAGTCGACCCATACGTGCGTCCAACTGCACAGGTACGTACCGAAGAAGAGATTGACGAGGAACGTAGCATCCGTAAGGAGTTTAGATCGCATGATGGATGGTTGTTTGGTCGTCCATTTGATCTCGCCAAATACCGTCTCCACGGTCAAGAAAATGAAATGCCTATCCAGCCAGCCGACGATGCCGACATTGACGACCCATGGGACGACCATCTCAATCAAGAGGCCGAGACCTACCGTTTCTTCCAAGAAGGTCGTGGTGAAGAATGGTTTGGCCCCGAGCGTGTAGGCGACGCCATGATCGAGCGTCTCAACACTCGTATGGACTGGTACCCCCGTGAGCACTTTGCCACCTACCCATTCCAATTTGTCATCTCTCGCAACACCCAAGACCAATACCACGACGATTTCTGGAGCAATAGAAAGGTGATCATGCGTGTCAATGTCGCTGCCCTCGACTTGCCACCCGTCGTCGAAGAACGTCTTGCCGCCCTCACTCAACGTCGTTACGACCCCAAGACCCGTGTCCTCCAACTTGTCTCCAACAATCATCGTTCACAAGACCAAAACAAGCATCAATGCAAGGTCCTCTTTAACAATTTGCTCCACGAGGCCTATCTTGCCGACCCCAACTTTGTCTCGGTTCGTGAAGACCGTTACATGGGCGAGCCATACACCCCATCCACATTTGTACCATCCCAGGCTGCTACCGAAAACAAATCCTATCATTTCTTCCGTCTCACTGGTTTCCCATCAGGTGACAGTGAAGTTAAATTGAGACTTTTACAATCTTTACAATCAAAATTAAATTAAAACAAAACACATAACAAATAACAAATCAATTAATTAATTAATAATATCAATATAGAAAATAAAAAACCTTATTTTATAAATCAACAAAATTAATTTTCTTACTATTTTCATAGTTTCTTATTTATCAACAAATATAAAAAAAAAAAATATGATGCCAAGATAGAAATGAATCCCCAAACTTTTTTAATAACCATTTAATTATTTGTATGAATGAATAATAGTAATAGTAGTACAATTTGTATCGATTTGGATACTTATTCAGATCGAGTATTTGAAAATGACAATGATATTAATGATCATAACTTGCAAAATGTAAAGTAATAGATACATAAACTCTTGATTGAATTTGTATAGGATTACTAACTTACTTTATTTTTATTTAGTTGTTTAATAAAACTTTAATTCATCATCAACATGATGATGATGATGAAAGGGTTGATGAAAAGAAGATGGATATGGTCGATTCAAGATTAATCTATTTTGCATTGGCAGGTAGTCAATCATTTAATCTTCATCAACAAGATAGTGATCAAGACTTTATTGGAGTGAGAGAAGCAAATATAGAGGATGTACTGTCATTACGAGGTGTTAAAGAGACCATTCATCATCTTAAACCTGATATTACAATCTATGAACTTAGACATTATGCAAAATTATTGTTACTTGGTAATCCAAGACAAATTGAATCATTATATACTGATAAATTCTCTTTTCAATCTGGTATGTAAAACATTATAATGATTGATTTAAAAATTTATTTATTATTAACTTGTCTTATTATTTTCTCTCTTTAGAGGAATGGAAAAGAATTATAGAAAAGAAAAAGGAATTTATAACTATGGTAACAATTGATCATTATTTATCAACTATTAAAGCATTATTGTATGGAATTAATAGCAAGATTAAAAAGAAACAAGAAAAGGAACAGAGAAGAGCAAATGGACAAGAAGATGATAAGAAAAAGGAAAAATCAAAAAGAGAAAAGAGAAGTGTAGAAAATAACAAGGTACAAACTTTATTGTTGGAAAAGAAAAAGGAAAAACAAGAAATGTTAATGATGGAATTAGAGAGTCGACAAACTGTACATAAAAAGGCATATCATGCAAGTAGACTCTTGTCAGAGGTAAAGAGAATGATCGATGGTTTGGAACCAATCGTTCAATACACCGATGACAGCCAAGAGCGAGAGAGACTATTGGAGATTAGAAAAGGAGATTTTAATCATCAAGAAATGCAAGATCAATTAAACAAACAGTTTAATGAAATGGAACAAGCTAGAAACCAAATGACAAATAGTTACAGTCAAGAGGTTGATATTAAAATGGTTAGTGATTGGTTGGTTTCAATTAGAAGACAATCTATTAATAGATATCAAGGATATCGTTATTCTTGGCCAAACGGAGAGACGGAAAAGAGTGAAAGTCTAAGATTACAAGCCAAACAATTAATGCAAAAACATGGAATCATTGGTGAATTAATCTATGTTGGTGAATCTGGAAGTAATTTATATCATCTTGACAAGACTATGGATAGTGAACAAGATATAATTGGTATTTATGCATCTTCAACTGATGAAATTGTATCATTGTTACCTCCACCAACTAGACTCGATGTGGACAATATATCACCCAACCTAGAATACATTCCAAGAAACAATATCAACTCTAGTAAATCAACATCTCCTCCACCCTCTGCAAAAAAGGATATTACCACCAAAGGAATGATTCTCTATGAAGTTGGACAAGCTATTCAACAATTGATTCATGGTCACTATCGACTCTATGACTGTTTGTTGGCAGACAATACAAAATATCAATCCTATCAATCACCTGCTTGGAAGGATTTAGTAGCAAAAATAATGATCAACAATAACCATACAATTGCTATTGACAACAACCATAGTGTCGATACCAAATTTACAAATCTATTTAATAATAGAATTTATGCACAAAATACTTGGGGTATTGCTCAAGGAGAATATCTTAGAGCAAGAATACTACTTGGTCTAAAAAAACCTCCTCCAAAATTATCAAAAAAGAAACAAATGAAATTGGAAAAAAGGATTCAAGAACAAGGCAATCAAGAAGAACCTGTACAAGAAAAAGAAACAATTGGACCAAATGTTACATTTCAAGATAAATTGGCAGCTTGTAGATGTTTTTATATAGCATTTAGATTGTTATGGTTATCAAAATCTATTTTACAAGGTAATCAAATTAATTTACATTTCGATGACAATGAAACAACAAAAGATCAAAAGGAATTACTATTATTATTTAAATATCCAATTAAAGATGAAAATCAACAATCTTTAAAGATTAGAGATGAAGAGTTGGTGGAAAAGATAGATGAATGCAGAGAATTGATCGAATCATTAATATTACCATTGGAGACATTTAAAGTTTTTTTTAGATCAGATGACATTGAAAATCAACTACACGATTTATTTAATCCATGGTTAATTAAAATTAGATTATCAATGTAAATAATAATAATAATAAAATAGTACAGAATAATATATGATACAGAATTGAAACAAATAATCGATGATTTAGGAACATTCACCATTCATAACAATTTGAGTCCAATATGGATAACCTTGTGGTGATTTAACCATTGCAGAACCAAAATATTGGTAATTGCCAAGTAAATTGTTCTTGGTGCTAGTTGTCGTGAAACCTTGAACAGCAGAGGCATCAGTATTGAATCCACATCCAATATTTCTAAATTTAAAAAAAAAGAATTAGTAAAATTAAAATTTTAATTAAATTAATTTAATAAATAAAAATTGATCAACATACTGAGTAGCAGTGCTAACGTTGGGACATCCACGAGCTCTAATTCTATTGGCAACTGAACCCTCTGGATCAGAGTTGGTGGCGGTGTTGATGGAGGCTTGGTATTGAGAGTGAGCAAGGGCAGCTTGAACTAGGCATGGGCACAAGATAAATACTGGTTTGTTATTGGCAACTCTGAAAGTGTTGACAAGAGAAACATGAAGAGTAGTGTTGGAGAGGTTTGGTCCAGTTGGAGTTCCACTTGTTGATCCAGATGATGAAGAGGTGGAAGAAGTTCCACTGGTTGGATTGGAACTAGTTGATAAAGAGGTGGAAGAAGTTCCACTGTTGGCACTTGAAACACTAGAGGTAGTTGGTTTGACAGTAGTCGAAGATGATGAAGAAGAAGAGGTTGGAACACATGTTTGATAATTTGCAAATTGTTGAGTCCAAAATGGAGCCCCATTTGATGATGATTGAGCCATACCTGCACCAAAATATTTATAATTTCCAATAATATTTGCAAAATGGCCTGGTGAAGCAACCCATGCATTCATTACAGTGTCATCGGTTTGTTGTCCCATTGCAACATTTCTAATTGAAAAAAAAATATTAATAATATATCTAATAATTTTAGTTTAATGTTTAAAACATACTCTGCGACACTAGTCATTAGTTGACACCCAAATTTAATCATTCTGTCGAATAAACTTCCGTAAGGTGAGTTGTGAGTCATTGTAATAATGGACAATTGGTAATTTGATTGGGCTTGAGCACTGAGGAGGAGGCATGGACTAAGGACAAGTGGAGATTTTCCATTTTGAGCTCTGACTTTGTTGACCAAGGACAGTTGGTATTCGGCATTAAAACTGGCAGCATTGGTAGTAGCACAACCAATAGTTATACAAATTAAAAATACAATTAAGAAAGAATTAAAGGATGACATTTTTTTTAAAATACAGTTGATTGATTAGAATAGGATTTAATTAAATATTAATTTTACAATTTGATGATTAAATAAACTCAATCATGGATGTTTAAATAGGAGGGTTTTGGTCAAGAGGCCACAATTAAATTAAATTATTTTAAAATATATAGTTTGATATCCAACCATCCATTTTCATTTTTCGTCCATGCTTCTCTCGTTGTTGTCATTTCTTACATTTTAAAATAGGTCTTTTTCCACGGTACGTTCCTGCCGAGACAACATATTAGGCAATTCAAAAATGATTAATAGAAAAGACGGATGGCATGGATAGCATGGATCGTTGAATTGAGTTATAAATAAAATTGTGGATGCGTACAGGCAGAAGAAATGACACCTACATTCAAATAATAGTCATATGAACGATCCTATACTGACATTTTAAAAAGAAAGATGTTTGAATGTATGAGCCATCCTCTATTGTCGTTTGGTTGATACATACTATTATTGACTACTAACATCACCAACTATTATTATCTACTCACCTTTTTCAATTTTTATAAATGGAAATGTCTAAATAAGACCTTTGATCAAATGGTCCATCAATTAGTCCTATCATCATAATGATTTCAAAAAAAAGAAACGATACAAAGAAGAAGAAGAAGGAAGAATCTAAAATTGAAAGTTCACACTCACTCTTGGTTATTTTTGACTGATGTGAAGAAAGTGAGAGTGTGGTTGAAATGGCAAACTAGGGTTTTTGCTGTTCCAATTGACCACTGGTGTTTGCATCATCATCAATCATAATTTAGTGTGAGTGTCAGTGGTCACTTAAAAAAACCATCCTTGTACAATGAAGTTTTTTTAAAAACAAATAGATAGGGAGGTAGAGTCAAAATTGACAATGAACAACACCAACACCCTTTTCTTTCTTTTTATTAAATTAAATATTTATAAATATAATTGAAACCTTTTTTTTTTTTGATGGTTTGGTTTGATGGTTTTAAAACTTGACTCCTTGGCAATCAAAATCGTAGAGACAACAATTACTGAACTTCTCCCAGACACCATTCTCTGAAGATACCCAACATCCCCATTCATTCTGGTAAGAGCCAATCTTTTTGCAACAAGAATCGGTAGCATTACCATTATGTTCTTCTTTGGGGCATTTACTAGTTCCATCTTGCATTCCACAAAATGTAGAATTTGTGACCATTGTAGTTAAAAAGAGAAAAAGAGTTATTCCAACCAATACTATTATTATTGATGATTTCATTTTAAATTAAATTATTATTATTATTATTATTATTCTTTTTTTTTTAAAAAATGGGAAATCAAAGAATGAATATTAATTAGTATTATTTAAATTTGGTGTCGGTTTTAAATTTAATCATCACCATCACCATCCCTTCTTCTTTTAATTTGGATAAGTTACGAGTGTTTAAAAATAGTTGATATTTAATCTTTAATCCCAGTATGTGATTTTAGTAGATCCTTTTTTTTTGTATTTTACTAAATACACCTGTGATGGGTATCCATACGATTTTCAAAGATCACACATTTGGTAGTTGACATGTTTCAATCTATCCCCTTAACCATTCACTCGTGGAATGAATATGGAAATAAATGTATATATGTTGTTGAAAAAATATTAATGATTTTATTTAAATCATAACTAATATTATTATTGTTGAGTGTATTATTATTATTATTATTAAAAAACTCCAACAACTTTGAAGAAATAAAAAAAAAAAGAGAGGAGGAGGAATGTCAAACTATGGCATTTTATGATAAATTAATTGATTGATTGACTCTATGTAAATAATTGGGGGAGAGGAGGTATTATAAATAAATTTATAATTATTATTTATAATAAATCCTTTCTAGTGACAAAGCCAACAACTTCGTTTCTCTTGTTGACAACTGGCATATGTCTTAAACCCATCGTTCTAAATAAATTATATCCTTCACCAAATGAAAATGTTTCATTTGCTACTACACTACTAAGATTCATATCTTTTTGAGATAAATTAATTATTAATAATAAATTCTTTTTAAATTTGTATAATAAATTATTATTTTCTAAACTTACATGGTCTTAAATCAATATACATATTTTCGATATCTTCTTTTGAAATATTCATTTCATGAATGGGAGGGAAATGTCTGGCAAGAGCCTGAGCCATAACCTTGTAGTTCATTCTTCCGTCGGCAGGAATATGGCCATAGTCGGTGGCCTTTCCCCAACGACGTTGTTTGACGTTGCTGTTGGTACGACGACGTCCATAGTTGGGGAGTTGAGGTTGCTCGTGGCAAAAGATGTGGTAGTTGAGCAAGATGATGAGCTGACTACGCAGAATCAGTCCACAGTAGATACCTTCGTCGATGAGGTCGTCGCTGACCTGTTGTGGCTTTTCGATGACGGGGAACCCGTGGTGTTTGTTGGACTGCAACACTTGAATGATACGTGACACCTTTTCAACCTCGTACAATGAGATGACCTCGGTCTTCATGACGTCGGTGATGCCAAACTTGATCATCGATTGTGGTGGTTGCGATGGCAGGAAGGGGTAGCACTTTTGCTCCATCAAATGCTCGTAGATTGACTCGTTAAAGATGTCACCCACCCATTTGGCAGTCATGACCGACAAAATGACCGGTACCATGTACTGCGTACCTTCGGTCAACTCGACCATGATAATGGCCAGCGAGATAGTCATACGTGAGAAACCAGCCATCATAGCACTCGAACCAACCATCGCGTAGATGGACGGGTCAATTGGAGGGTAGGCACGCGAGAAGATCTTGACACCAATCTGGCCGACAAGACGGCCAAACGTTCCACCCACCAACATCATTGGAATAAACAAACCAGATGCAAGCATCAAACCAGATGTGACGGTTGTCAAAAAGAACGACATGAGTGTAAAGACGGCCAGCGTCTTGATGGAAAAGATGTTACCCGAACGACTGTACAACAGACGCAAGGCAGCGTCGAGCGAGTTGAACGACAACCCAGCCATATCATTGTACTCGGTTTCCTCGCAAAAGAAGCGGACAAAGGTTGTGTCGTTTTGCAGTGGGCTGTCCCAAGGTGGTTCAACCGACTCGATCGAACGACACGTGGTAAACGAAGCCGACATGTACAACATCGTACTCGAGATGGTGATAAACACAAACACCTCAATGATACGCCAGTACACAGACTTGTTTTGGAAAAATGACGAACGCCACTTGGACAGACGTGCGTTACAGTAGACGAAAAAGGCACCCATCAACCCTCCGCACACGCCAATACCCATAAATGCAATCAACTCGACGTAACGGTACAAATACTCTTGTGAGAAACCAAATGTCAGCACACCATAGTCGTGCAATTGTACTTGGAATCCCTGTAAAATGAGGTTGGTTGTAAACGTGGCGATCAAACAAGCAAAGAAAGTACGCCATGTCAACTGACGCGACCAAAACGATGATGCTTCTTCAAAGCCAAACAGCACACCTCCAATAGGCGCACCAAAAGCAGCTGCCACACCAGCAGCAGCACCCGTCGAAATAAAGTCACGACGATCACGGTCATTGTGATATTTCCACAGTATCTTTGGGTACCATTTGAATGTCTTTGATTTGACTTGTCCTATAGCTCCTCCAATCATCGATCCAATGTGAATCATCGGGCCCTCGGGTCCCAATATTGCACCGCCTAATTTTTTAGGTTAAGGTTAATTAGTTAGTTGTACTTTAGGTATAAAAATACGTAGTTAGTAACTTACTAGAGTATGCTAGAATGAGTGATATCAACTTTCCAATCATTGTCTTTATATTCATTGAATGTGGAATTCTAATACCATTTAAATATCCTTTAACTTCTGGTATACCGGATCCTGCTGCTATTTGCTAAAAAACAAAAATAATAATATAAATATCAAATGAAATCACTTTACTCTTTTTTTTGTTTATGTATACATACACCAACAGGAATAATAACAAGTGAAGCAGTAATTGCAAATAATACATTGATTGAATAATAGACTAGAAATCCAACCGCTTTTTGACCATTTTGAATGTATTTCTCGGATGATTCATATTTAAATTCTTGTACAGATTCTACACATGTTTTTACAACATAGGCTATTGCTCCTACAGTAACACCAATCATAAAACAAATAAACCATTTACCAAATGTTCTTAATATATGACTCTAAAAACAAATAAATTAAACACGGATATTAATATATAGATGAAATGGAGGATATTATTCTATGTTGTACATACAAATCTTGATATTTTTTTATGAAAGTCTCTATATATTTGATTGTCGATGATGGGAAAATCAAGACTTTCATAGTCTGACATTTTGATCTTTTCCAACTCTGTGAATGTATGTTTGCCTCTGACATGGGTAACACTTGTCTTGTGTTGGTATGAGCCATAGTTTATGTTTTGTGGTTTGTTGAGTGCTTCCGTGTCACTATTGCTACCACTACTACTAAAATAGTATGGTGATCCTGCATCACCACCAGTTGCTCCAGCTACACCAATACCTCCACTACTATTGATAGAATCGGTATCTATAAAGGTTGCTCCACCATCAATTCCCATACTATTATTATTATTATTATTACTTCTTTGTCCTAATTTTATATGTTGTGATGTTGGTGGACTAGTACTAATATTTATACCAAAATGTGAATTAAAACCACCTGATGATGTTGATGTTGGTGGTGATATATTATTATTATTATTAAAATTATTATTATTATTTTGTTGTTGTTGCAATTGTTGTTGTTGTTGTTGTTGTTGTTGTTGTTGTTGTAATTGTAATTGTTGTTGATTTAAATTAAAAGGATTATTGTCCATATGACTATCAAAGAATCCATTATTTTCATTATTGGTATTGTCATTATTATTATTATTATTATTGTTGTTATTGTTATTATGATTATTATCGTTATCATCAAAATCATCAAAATAGGATGAAGGTGTTGATGAACCTTGTCTACCCATTTTACTGTCGTTTTAATCTATTGTCTTTTTAGAATTAATCCTCTTGTTTATATATTCTCTATTGTTTGATTGTTATTTTTGATTGTAATGTTTGATTGATTGTGATTGACTGATTGATTATGATTGATTGTCAAATAAGTTTCTCCACACTTATATGAATGGTTTGATTTGATTGGATAACCACCAAAAGATTGTCAGATGAGAGAGAAACAACAGATCAATCCGTCTGTCCGAACCGAATCACACACACAAATCCAATAATAAAAGATTTCTCAATCTCTTTTTCTTTCTTTCTCTATTTAATCTATCCAACTCTCTCTCTCTTGTTGTTGGGGATATGATTATTATTATTGAAAGTTTATTCTTTTTTTTGTTTTGATACTACCAACTACTAATGTACTATATATAAAAGGAAGATGAGAGGTTAATATAAATATATTTATACAGGTTAAATGAAGAAGAAAGGTGAGGAGAGGAGAACATAAATATAACAATAAAGGAAAGAAGAAGAAGAGTGATTTTTAAAAAAAGCGTGTCTAATATGATAGGTGGGGGGTAGTGTGAGCAATTAAATATATATAGATAGAGTTATTATCTCTATAGATTCATTGAAACAACAATAACAATAACAATAACAAGAACAAGGATAATGATATTATCACAGTGATGTATAATTTTATATTTACATAAATATATATATTATATATATATCTTCGATTCAGTCGATTGAAAATAATGCAAATGTTTGTTTCCTTTCTCTCTTTTTTTCGAGCAATATAAATTAATTTTTGGAAAAGAAAGAAAAGAAAGAAAGAAGTAAACAACAAGATAAGAAGCTATGAGCGAACTTTTACTCTACTCTACCACTATTATTATATCATCATCATTCATTCTTTAAGTACCCTAATAGAAATATTTGTTTTTTTTTTTAATATTATTTAATGATGAGATGGTACTAGTAGTGGTGAAGTGAGGTGAAGTGGAGAGTCGTGAAAGGAAAGGGGTGTCTCCACGATAAAGATAAAGATGATGAAGTTATTATAACTCCTCTAGTTGATTGAAACAAAAGAGAGACGTGGAGTTTGCTTTGTTTTTGTGTTGGTTGGCATAAACACTACTACTGATGGTTGTTGGAATATTCCTGTTTGCTGTAATACTACACCTACTACTACTACTACTTCTACTATTGATTAAATGTGTCTGTCTACTTTATTATTATTATTAAATCTTGGTTGCAATGATACATAGAGTTTGGGAATTATAGAAAATAGAATATATATCTGGTGGGATACTATTATTGCAATTCTGAATGAAACACAATTTAATTGTTTGTTTGAAAGATCGTCGTCGTCGTCGTCACCGCCTTCGTCGTTGTCATCGTCGTTGTTTTAATATATTATAAGTATTGTGGTGGGAGACGGGTACTAACCCAGTTGGGGCTCGCTCAGTCTTTCTCCTTTCCTCTTAAACTTACTTTGTTGTTGTCTCTGGGGGATGATATAAAGTGGGTGTATTTTTCTTCTTACTGTCTTTCTGTTTCAACTTTTACTAAAATCAATCACACACACAACACTATGTTATGCGATGTTGTTTAACCTACTATACTATGACTATGGTAAAGGCCAGGTGCTAGATATTTGTCGCAATTTCCAAGGAGGAATCTATTCGCCAAAGAAATATTATTTTTCAGTTCAGTAGTATAAAAATCTCATTTGAGTAAACGATGTCGATGTCGACAACCGATGGTTTGTATCTTCAAAAAAAAAATAAAAAATAAGATCTCAAGAAGAAGAATATTTCTACTCTATATTTTTGGTATTGTTTTTGATATATATTTACATGGTTGGTGTGTGATTGATTTTATTATAAATTAATTAATTATTATAGGTAGACAGGCAGGGAAGGGATGTATGTATCCTTCTAAATATTAATATAACTTTTAGTTATAATATAACCTTTTTTTTTTGGAATGGAAAAAATAAAATAAATAAATTTGGTATACTACACTAAGTTGAAGGATGAGAATGAGGATACATCTCTCTCTACCATCAAGGAAGGAGGGAAGGAAGGGTTGAATCTGTTTGTTGGTGACTAAAACATCATAATATGTTACTTTTAAAACTATAATTTACAACAAGAAAAAATATTTCTTTTTTTTTTTTGGCGTTAATGTTTGGATGGTCATTATTTTCTTTTCTTTCTTGTTGGTTGATCTTTTTTTTATATTATTCTCTACCATGATTATTAGGAGTTATTTAAAAGGAAATTGATATTTTGTGATTTCTCGTCTACAGTTGTTGAATTCGCATTATTATTTTGGTTATTATTGTAGGCCTTTTGTTGAATTTTTAGTAAAGCTATTTGATTATCATCTTCACCGCCACCACCACTAAATAATGATGGGGAGGGACTTTTTGATGATGACGTCGATTGATTAAAAACATAATCTTGTTGAATATTATTATTATTATTATTATTTGATTGTTGGAGTAAAGGAGAAACAGTTCTAGAACTTGAAGAGGTTATTGTTTCATTTAAAATGGGTGGGGAAAGAGGCTGAGGACTCTTTCTAACAAATTGTTGTTGTTGTTGGGGTTTTGAAAGGAGAGAGTCATTGCAATGTAATGAGGGATCAGCCATTGCCTCTGGTTGATCAGGTGATGCAAGAGTATCCAATGCACGTGACCAACTACCAAGATGAATCTTATTATCAGGTTTCAAATCATCGCTTGGGCGGTTAAGATTTGCAACAATTGATTTATGATTATTTTTTGGAGCTGAATTATTATTATTATTATTATTATTATTATTAGAGTTGTTTTGAAGTAATGAAGTATTAATACGGTTATTATTATTATTATTGTTATTATTATTATTTGATTCATAAGAATTGTTATATTCATGTTGTTTTGGAGAAGAAGATTGATTCTGTTGGTTTGATGATGATGATGATAAAGGTGGTGATTGATTAGAATGTCCATGATGATGTTGTAAATGTTGAGCAGCTTGTTGTTGTAATTGTTGGTGATGTTGTACTTGTTGTTGGTGCATTTTGGTAAAGAATTCGTCCATCTTGAGTCGATAGTCTGACATGTCTTTGGCCATGTTTGTCTCTATTCTGTCTAATCGCGAACAGAGATTGCTCACAGTGTCGTACAATTGCTTGATGATATTGTTGGTGCTGGCAGTCGATGAAATGGGACTATTGCAAGCATTGCTTACACCAGCACCACCATTAGACTGACCCCTACCAACAAGTGCGGTGGGAGTAGATCCTCCAAAGTTCACCTTTGGTGATGATGGATGTAAATGTGTGCCATATACACTTGTCGATGACGACGACGATGACGATGTTGAATTATTTGGTCTTAAACTATTTGGTGTATTAAATTTGTTTATACCAATATTAAAAGATTGTTGTTGTTGTTGTTGTTGTTGTTGTTGTTGTTGTTGTTGTTGTTGTTGTTGTTGTTGTTGTTGTTGTTGTTGTTGTTGTTGTGAATTAGTATTGATTGGACTAAGTGGTATGTTTGATGATGACCCATTTTGATGATTGCCATTGCTAAAACCAATGTTTCCATTATTATGATTATTATTATTATTATTATTGATACCATTACCACTACTTCCAAGTCCATCAGAGTTGGTAGGAGATGAAGAGTTTGAAGAAGATGTGGGGGAAGGGGTGACCATGGTGGGAGTGGTTGGAATGTCCACATGGATTCTTGGTTTTTTCAAACTGATAGCAGCTTGTTGCTGCCTTCCAATAGTTTGAGGAGTATCTTCGTCGTCGTCATCTTCGTCTTCGTATGGACGTTTTTGGATCACCGAGTTTTCCTCAAAGTTGTAATCCATATCTTCGCGGTCCGAATGACTACCACCCATATTGGATCCTTGGATGACATCTTCAAGTTCAGCAGGTTTACTTGATGTCCAAGGATTAGTGTACGATTTCAATTTCCAATATCCATTACAACCCAATTTTTGAATACCAGATGTAAATACTTTAGAATGTGATAATGCATCCTAGACACAAAACAAAAATAATTTAATCAATATTAAGTTTAGTTTTCATTCAATGATGTCTTTTATACTACTAGATAAATACTTGAATCTGTTTTTTCCATTTATGTGATCTATTTTTCTTTGGACAAAGAATATCCCAATGACACAAGACATAGTTATAGACATCACGTTTTAATGAAAAGAATTCTTGTTGATTATGTTGTTCTTTAAGTGAATAAAACACAACCCATAAGATTGTAGCCCTAAAATATGTTAAAATATGTAATAGTGAGTACCAACGTAATATGTCTGCATGTAATGAATGAATGATTTGTTTACCATGATGATTTTGGAGTAAGACATTGAGGAGAATCTTTTTTACAAAGATCACAAATTTTGCCAACTTTCGAAGCATCGCATCCACTGCCTCCTACACCTGGTGATGATTCGTAGACTTCGCGTGGGTGCATCGACGACGGGGTAGATGTAGTTGAAGAAGATGACAATGACGAAGACATTAAAGACGACGAGGTTGACATTGGTGATGAAGTCGTTGATGGTGACGATATAGGTAAAGGGGGAGGATACAATGGTGATGGGTAATGTGGTGATGGTGATAATGTATTTAATACCAATGGACTATGATATCCAAGTGATGTAGAGTTAAATTGTTGTTGTTGTTGCTGTTGTTGTAAATAATGTTGTTGATGTTGATGTTGTTTTAATTGTTGGTGTTGTTGTTGTTGATGTTGTTGTTGTTGCTGTTGAACGACTACGGAAGGAGGAGGTTGTTGAAAAGTGTAATTATTACTGTTTGTGAACGAAGAAGTATTCGTCGGTAAAGGAGATGATGGTGGTTGAGGTGAAGAAACAGGGGAACTCGATGTTGAAGGAGTTGTCGTCGTTGATGATGTTGATGATGAAGATGAAGAAGAATGAATACTACCCAATGATGTTTGGGAAGATGAGGAGGAGGACTGCAAAGTTGTTGTAATTGGTTGTTGTTGTAGTCTTATTGATCGATGATCCATTCATTATTCTACAATAATGAAAAAAGAAAAGGAAAGGAAAAGTAATAGGAAAAGAAAAGTAATAATGTGAATAAATTAATTTCTTCTTTTAGTTTTAAATTTTGGTACTTTTGTATTATTATTATTATTATTATTATTATTATTATTATTATTATTATTATTATTATTATTATTATTATTATTCTCTTCTTCTTGTTATGTGCTAGGTCTATCTATCTATCTATCTACGTGATGCACCCACATATATAATATATATAGTATATAATATATAATTTATATAAATTAACAACAACCAACAAACAAGGTACAACAAATACAAAATAAGCGCAGGTGACTGCTAATTTTCTGTTTTAATTAATTAGGGGGTGGTGGTGTTGATGGTAGATCGTGAGATGAGTGGTAGTAGTGGTTGTGGGAAGTGAGTAAGTGTCAGCTGGCACTTCTTCTTGATGTTGTTAATTAAAACAACTACCTCCTGTATGTCTGTGTGTGTATGTGTGTCAGCTGATGACGGTGGATGATGATGTGGTTGGTTGATGAACGAATCGGTCGTTCAGTTCAGTTCAGTTCAGATGATTGCATTAATTAATTAATTAATCAATTAATTTCTATGTCTATTATCTATTACTACTATTACTATTACTATTACTATTATTGGTTTGTTTTTGTTTTACAGTAATGCTATCTACCCAAGTCAAAGTCTATAGTACGATCTATGTTTGTCTGTATGTATGTATCTCTCTTTGTTTTTCTTATTATGATTATTAATGACACGAAAAATGGTAGTGGTGTGAGAGATGATGAATTTTGGTTTGACAAAAAAATCAAAAATAAAGAGTTCGATCGCGCAAAACAAACAATTGTGCCGTAATGCGAAAGTGGGTGATGTCGTGCCCGAAGCCGGCATGCGCAAAAAATCAACGTTGATTGCATGCGCTGCGTCACTTTTCTTTTCCCTGGATAATAATGTCGTCCACGTATTTCGACCGTTGTCGTCAAGAATCACACCCATACATTACATGATATCTATTTATCTATTTTCTAATCTGATTTTTGAAATCCATTCTTTCTTTAAATAATATAGTATGTATAGGGGTATAGGAAAAGAATCTACAAACAACTGTTATTATAAAGTGTCATGACAAATTATGGATTGTTATTTACGCTGAGATGGATGTAAACAGAGGGGGTTGGTTGGTCGAGAGGCTCGAACAAAAGGAAATGGGTATACCAATCGGGGGTTGAATCAATGTCAGTTCATTGGTGACATTCACACTTGTCTTGGAGAAATATATATATATGATTGATTATTATATTTTTTTTTTTGGATAGCTGTCTTTTTTTTTTATCTCTTTCTTTCTCTTTGCTTGGAAATAATTATTATTATTATTGTTGGTTGTTTGTATGTATGTATGTATGTATGTATGAAATAATTGTGATGTTGTTGCGGATTTGAATTATACGTATAGTGACTGACTACTAGTAGTATGCTCGCTACGACTTACTACGTCGTAGTGGAAAAGAAGAAAGAAAAGAAAGGGGGAGATGGAAAACACAGCACAGTAGAAGTGGGTGGTTATATCTATATTGTTGTTGTACAATAACAAAGAAAATGGATAATAATGATGAATATTATTATTATTATTATTATTATTTGATTATTATTGGATTTTTGGTATAGGGTCACAAAATAGAAACAAAAAGGAAGAAGAAGAGGAATCAATCAATAATCAATAATCAATCATCATCATCATCATCAATCCAATCTTGAGGAAAAGGGGAAGATAGAAGAAATAAAAGAGCTAAGCTAGATTTGATTTGAAATTTTTAGAGGGAGAGCAAGCAGGCACTAACAACTGGTATATAACAGTGTGTTGTGTGTGGTAATGGTGATGGTGGGTGCTGCCACCTATGCAACCCACCAATCTGCTGATGATTCTGATTAAATATTACGCCTACTGCTCTAGTTAAACTGTCATTCACTACTTTCTTGAGTGGAAGATTGATTGATGGTGGTAGTAGTAGTACTACTGTTATTGGTGTTGTGGTGGATAGATGGGTGGGGGAATGGATTGTAGTATGGCAGGCAATAGCAAACTTTAATTATTTCTATTGTCAACGTCGACAGCGATATCGCGCATTGGATAGGGAGAACGAGAAGGCACATTACTCGGATGGGAGGACGGGAGGGAGCGTTCCCATATATATATTCTCTACCTTACCCTTGCCCCCTCATACTCCAAGTAAAACATGCTAGTCAAACAAATGTTTAGTTATCACACCCAGCCACCCAACCACCCATTCACCACATTGCAGTGCAGTACAGTGCAATCATTATAATGGTTTGGTTTGGTTTGGTTGGATGAGCTGGATGAGATGGTGGTAAAATCTACAACACCGTTAGAGATTTGATGGAAGCGATGTCGTATAGTATAGTATAGTACTCTCTCCTCCCTACTTTTGCTTTTAATATTCAAACTTCCAGTTTTTTTTTCTCTCTTTCTTTCGCTCTCTCTGTCTCTCTCTTACCTTTGGTTCCCTTTGTTGGGTATATGGATCGCACGCAGTGGTTGGTTGGTTAGTTGGTATAGATGTATATATATGGTACTGGCAATAAATGGATATGGATACGGTGCTGGATATGGCGACTGGTTTTTAAAAATGAAGTTAGAGTTAGAACTAAAGATGAGGCTATATTTAAATTGGATTGATGGTTATTATGGATAGATGTATGGATAAAACAACAACAACAATTTAAATTTGGTTGGATAGATGTATGTAAAGATTATAGGTTGAGTTGATAAATTAATATTTAAATACTTGTCACTGATCCTCCTCGTCTTCTTCCCGCTGCTACTACTACTAACTACTACAATTTAATTAATTAATTTACATGGATGGAGATCTATAGCCAAGCTCGGTACCAACCATCTTTCGTTCATTCATTCATTAAATTCCTTTAAATGACTAAATAAAGTGGATCAAGTAGATAGACAGACAATCAACTCAATACAGTATTATTGATCTATCATTCTCTTTTCTCTTCTCTAGTTTGTTGAGATATAAATCATGATGATAACCCCTTCACAAATCCTATGTGAGGAACACACAAGAGAGATGATGGATGAGATACATGCGATTCCACTTTTATAAAATCGTATTGGACTGGTGTTGTTTGAGGAGGATAGTATCTAGATCTCGGTTGACAAGTGCCAATCATGCATGATTATTCAATCATTATAACACACGGTCATGTGCATGTGATCATATATGATATAATATGGTTTATTATATATTTATACTATTGATGACACATACAGATTTAATCTTGGTTACCTCTTAGGACTTAGTTGTACGCGTTGATATGAAATTTTGAAAGAGATAGGCAGATAAATAGATAGATAGATAGATAGTTGAGAGGGAAAAAGGAAGAAGAAGAAGAAGAAGATGAAGATGAGTATGAGATGTTGTTTGAAACAAGCCCGATTAGTTGAGTTGGTGGTGAGGTGAGGAGACTCCTCGCATAAACACCCAAGACACCCACCACTCAATCGATTGTCCTTTGCATTGTCAAAGAGGTATTCTTTTGCGGAATACGACTGGGTTACAGATTCATCTTGAACACGACTTGTTTGGGTTGGTGCGATCAAATGATGGTACGCCCTACCCCTTCCCTGCTCCTCATGATGAGTTTAAGCACTCTCGGCCACGAAATCCGCACCCATGAGATGCGCTTCTCAAAACGGGTAAAAACAAGTTGAATTGATGGTTACTTACCGAATCTCAGATTAAAATGGATTCTTTAAAAGAGGCGATCGGTGAACTTTCGTTTAATTACAATAAAATTGTGGATGGACAAGGATGGAATCCACTTCGCAAAACTATTTGTTTTTTTTTCTAAACCCGATCAGAAATGAAGAGATACAATACACAAACAACTAAAAATGCTCTACTCCTCTACTCTCCTATAATCTCTCAATGTCACATAAAATATCTAAAAGATACTACAATACTCACTCATCACAAGCAGTTAAAGCTAGAAGATGAGATGGATGATATTATTATTATTATTATGATTGTGAAGGGTAATGAAATTTCATATGAATGCATTCATTCTAAAGAAAGATGGACAGACTACAATGTATTCGTATCGACAAAGAATTGAGAATTATCGTTGTGCTATCTATTCTTCTTTGTAAGTCGTTCTAGTTGCCCATTATATACTACTTGATGCGTGTTGTACATCCAACTCTAAAGTACAGTACTGCAACACAGCACTCTCTACAACTCATATGACATAGTGTAGTAAGTTAACAAACTATAGAGTGATCAAAGCATCACGTGACCTTCTTCCTAAACTTGGATTACTAATCCATTCCATTTCATATTAGTATGACAGCACTCACACACACAAACAGATAATGAATGGATATTAAGAATTAATCTAGAGGTGGGTTATTATTATTGTTATTATTATGCCCCACTACAAGTAATACGTAGAATGCATCGTCATCTGAATTGGTTAAGAATTCTTGATTGATTGATTGATTTCATTCTAATTACAACGACGATACAACATGATAAGAGTAAGAGAGTAAGAGTAAGAAGAGAGAGAGAAAAAATCAGATGAGATGGTTTGGTTCTGGAAAAAAAAAGAGGGAGAAATTGTTAACATGTGTTTCCAAAAATACTCTATTCATTCATTACCTCTACTAGTACTACAATGACTCATTCCAATTCACACTCATCCTCCCCCTAAAAAACAAACAATCAATCAATCAATCTGAACAACAACAACAACAACAAACAAACAAACAAACAAACACTAATCCAACCCCCCAACAAAAACAAACAAACAAACAAACAACACCAACAAAGATATATAATGAAAAATCAGAGTGGTACTATAGTGATTTCGCACACTTTTATCCTGTTTCATCTTTATCCTACTATTACTCCATCTACAACAAATTTATTTCAAACCACTCACTCTCTGCGACTCACACAAATAATGTGATTGTTGATGATCACACGATACAGTGGGCTGCTATAGTGATTCAAAAAGAAGAAGATCAACAACAAACACTGCCAAAAAGTATACTGATGAATCAAAATTCACACACACCCCATACAATGCAATCAATGTATCTAAACACTATTGGCACACACACACACAACACACATTTCTGTTTTGGATGCATATGATTTTGATTTTGATTTTCATTATATATCCATTAGATAAGTACTGCTCCTGCAACGAGTCATGCATATGTTATCGTGGTATGGGTGCCATGAAAAGAGATGAATTGTTACCAATACAAACAAGAGGAAGAGTAGAGTAGAGTAGAGTAGGTTGATTATACTACTACTACTACTGAAACACATTGAAAATTTATTGCAACAGCAACTAGTGAACATTAACAAAAATACCAAGAGAGAGAAGGGGGTATGATATATATCAAACCCTATTGATTTGGTCACTGAATGCAATATCATCATCAATATTTTTTTAATTAATAATTTTGCATTGTACACAATCAGCAACAACAAACAAGAGGATCATATTAATAATCAGTTCAACAACAACATTCAAATCATTTCATTTTCGATAGTAATAATTAATTAACTTAGGAATACTTACTATATATACAAAGTAAAAAGTAACTTTTATTATTATTGTTAGATTCAAATCACAAACCAACCGAACCTTATTATTTGTAAAACAAAAAAAAAAAACAACAAAAATGAGGATGATATTAGCTTTAATGCTTATATATTTCACAGCCAACGCGCTGGCTTGGGCTGATGGTAAGTTAAAATATAAACAAATTATAAATAATAATAAGAATATTCTCTCTTTCTGGAAAATAATACTAAAACACTTTTTCCTTTTTCCACTTTTTTTTCTCCTTTCCTATTTTTAGATTGTGCTTCGATCACAAATGTTGATCAATGCAAGAATAACCCATCGTGTATTTCGCTGTCATATTTGACCTGTTGTGGTAAACAAGTCGACTATTGTGTACAGAATACTGGCAATTGTCAGACCAACGTCCACTGTATGCAAACGCTCACCAAGCAAGCAGACAATGTTGCCGAGTTTTGGAATAGCTGTCCACCAGCCAACGTACACTGGATTCCATACACCCCACAAAACTCAACCTGCGACCAATTGAGATGTGAAGCTCAAGGCGCAACCTGCGAATGGATCACTCCATCATGCCCAGGTACCAGCTGTTGCCCAACCTATGCTCGTTGCACTGGTGGTTCATCGGGATCATCGGGATCATCGGGATCATCGGGCTCATCGGGCTCATCCGGCTCATCCGGCTCATCTGGATCATCTGGATCTTCGACTGGCCAATCATGTTCAAACACTCTATGCCCACCAAATACCAACTGTCAATTGTGGGACGGTAAGCCCGTTTGTGTAGCCGGCTCATCTGGCTCATCCACTTCCGGCTCATCTGGCTCATCCACTTCCGGCTCATCTGGTTCATCGACTGGCGACGCCTGTCAAGGCAAGCACTGCCCAGACGGATTCTACTGCTCTTCTCAAAGCGGCCAAGCTGTCTGCTGGCCAGGACACCCCACCAACCCACCCACCCATCCACCAACCAGACCACCTGGAAACGACTGCGAGGACATTGACGACCCATGGAAGTGCAACGGACACCACCGTGAAGGCGAACATGAAGGTTGGGGAGGTCACGACCACCGTGAAGGCGAACATGAAGGTTGGGATCGCGGAGGTCGCGACCACCGTGAAGGCGAACATGAAGGTTGGGATCGCGGAGGCCACGACCACTGGGAGAACAACAAGAGATGCAGATGGTTGAAGTTCAAGGACTGCTGCGGCAAGGAAAAGGGCTTCTGTGTCAGCACATTCGGCAAGGACTGCAAGGTTCCAAACCCAACATGCGCCAAGGAGGAAGGTACCGGCAGAATCTTTGATCTCTGGTCGTGCTGCAAGCCAATCAAGGGCTTCGACTACCACAAGCCACACAACGTCTCATGTCACGAGCTCCAATGCGAGAAGCAAGGTAAGCACTGTGTCTGGGGTCAAGACCACCACTGCACCAGCAGATGTTGTCCACCATCTGCCAAGTGTATCGGTCCACACACCACCTCGGCCTCGACCACTGCCACCACCACCTGCTCGACCACCGCCTCGACCACCGCCACCACCACCGCCTCTACCACTGCTGATCCAACCGGTCGTCCAACATCTGGCTGGCCAACTGGTCATCCAACATCTGGCTGGCCAACTGGTCGTCCAACATCTGGCTGGCCAACTGGTCGTCCAACATCTGGCTGGCCAACTGGTCGTCCAACCTCTGGTTTCCCAACCTCTGGGTGGCCAACAGGTCATCCAACCTCTGGTTTCCCAACCTCTATCGCTCCAACCTCTGGATTCATCACCCGTGCTCCATCATCTGGTGCCTGGACCGGTGACGACTGGACTGAAGATAGTGATGATGAACCAATTTTCACCCTTGGAGGTGGATGGTAAATTTAAATTTAAAACCAACACTAAACATTAATCAAACGCATTAAAAATATTAATCAAAACAACAACAACAACAACTACAACAAGTAATTTACACCATTATAACAATAATCTTAATAACTATACATTATTAAACAAATATACTATTACTTTTTTTCAAGAAAATCATAAAACAAAAAATAAATTAATCAACATTTAAACAATAACTATACTGAGAAGTCTCCTCACCTAGTTTATCACATATACATGTATGATTTAAATTCAAAAATCCAATTAATATTATTTCCAAAAAAAAAAAAGGAAAACATAAATAATAGTTGTAATGTATTTAATTAAATTATATTTATTTATTTTATATTTATCTTTATCTTCTATTTACTTCAATATTTGTATTTTTCTTTAATGATTCAATGATTGTAGCCATTGGATCTTCAGAATCGGATATTTTAAGACCAAATCCTTTTTGACTTAATCTCTTTGATGGTGATTTTTTGAACGCAGTAATGATGGTTGAAAATACAGTAAAGAACTTTTCAGTACTATATTTGTATAATTGATTATTATTATTGTTGTTGTTATTGGTGGTGTTGGATACTGTATTTCCACTATTATTTAATAATGGAGTTGTATTTGCAGATGATTGATTATTATTAATTGGTTGAGTAGACGAGGAGGAAGAAGGTTGATTAATTGGTTGAACAATATTATTGTTTGAATTTGATGGAGAAGTAGTGATGGGTGAGACGGGTAGTGCCATTGGATTACTGCTAATGTTGGGCATAAAAAACTCGACCAGTTCATTAAACAGTTTGGCAGTCTCGACAATATGCGCACGGACCGATCTCAGACTTGTGTAGGCGTGGTTCATAAACTTGGGTACGATGATAATGTAGGGGTCTTCCGAGTCGGTCGTGTTGACAATATCGTTGACATCGGTGCACAGCTGGTCAAACTGGTCGACTAGCTTGTTGAGCTGGTTGGCAACATCAACTAGATTGAGAAGGGATGCACTGGGAACACTTGGGATTTCCAAGGGGAGGTTGGCAAACTTTGGAAAGTTGGTAATAAGCATCTTGATGGCAAAGTCCATTAAAGAGCCACCGCCATGGTTATCCTTGATCTCGAGGATCTTGTAGACAACATCGAGGTTGAAACCATCTGCTTGTCCTCTAAACTGGTTACCGCCATTGAGGTAGTTGCCAAGTGACAGTAGGATCGAAAAGAGGTAGGCGACACTCTCACTCTCACGAATCTCGTTTGATGCGTTGGAGATGGTCATCATCGAGTCGTAAACTGCCTTAAACATCGAGTCAAACTTGAGCATAAACTCCCATGTCTTGAGTCTCTGCTTGACCTTGGGGAAACCATCAATCATCAGACACCAACGTTCGGGCTTGTCTAGCACAACGTCGTCTGACAGCTCTTGGATGGCAGCCATCTCCTCGGGTGTCGGGATGTTGTTGTAGAGTGATGTCACCTGCTCGAGTGTCAGCTTGGTTGTATCCATCTCACGTATTGCGCGGATCAAGTTCTCGTCTGACGGTAGTTTACTGCACATGATCGAGATGGTGTTGCTACGTTTTTGGCTCAACAGACTGACCACCTTTTGCACTGGTTTCTTGCCCGGTACCGATGGCGACGACCCTACAGCAATCAACTTTTCAGTGTACAATGAGAACAAGTCCATAAACTGGTCCTCGTCAAACGACACTTGGGGAAGACCGTCCCAAATAGTCTTTCTTGATCCGTGGATAATATAACGGTTCCAATAAAGTGGTTTCATACGTTTCTTTGGTGCGATGACTGGTTTGGTTGGTTGACGACTCTTTTTAGTGGTTGGTTGTGGTGAGTTGGTGTTGGCAGTGGTAGTAGTACTGCTGCTAATACTACTACTGTTGGTAACATCAAACAGGTTAAATGTACCATTACTAGTGATTGGCTTGGCCAATGGAGTAGAGGTAGTGGGTGTTGGAGTGGACGACAGTGGTAGTTGTTGTTGTTGTTGGGGTGTAGTACCCAATGGAGGTAATGCAGCCGATGTAGATATATTCGAGAGATTGCTTGCCGAGTTGGTTGGAGTCGATGTGCTAAAGGGAAGTGCAGCAGTGGGAGTGGATGTTGCAGTGGGGGTGGATGGCTGACTGCTATTATTGGTTTGTTCGGATATAGTTGGCAGTTGAAGTGCCATTGGGATAGCACCACTGGTAGTCGTTGGTGAATGAGGCGATGTAGGTGTCTTTGAACTAGATATTGGAGACAACATGGCAATTCCATCACGTGTAGCCGAACCAACACCCAACTTTGATGGTGACTTTATTTCAATGTCATCTTCATCATCGTCATCTGCTTCCTCCAATGTAGTCTGATCAAATAATACCGATGTATTTGGTGATCTAACATACATTGATTTTCTAAATGCACTTGTAAATTTATCACTTCTCTCTGCAAAAAATAAATAAATAAAGACATGATCGTTAATTAATTATTTGTTTTTCCAACTTTAGTTATATTTATATATACATACTTAGGAATGATATATTAATAGGACCTTCACCAATAATTTCATTCTTTCTTAATATATATTCATCGTATCTTTCAGTTGGTGCTCCTGCAAAAATAAGTAATTCATGAATATTAATATTAGTTGCTTATTTGTTTTTTGACTCTGTTGTTGTTTGATATACTACATACTATAATTAATGTAGCTGCCATTTTCAATAGCAGATTTAACTGCATTTCTAAGGAATCGTAGTTCATTACTCAACAATTTAATGAGGGGTTGTTGTTCTTGGTAGTGGAGTAGTATCATTTCAAGGTCTTGTTGAGAGTGTTGACGGGTGAGTTCATTACGACGACGGTTGCCGTCGAGACCGATACCAGCCATGGTCTGGAACCGAGCGAGTTGTGTTTTAAAGTCAGAGTGAGTGACGTGGTCTTGTGCCTTGAGTATCTTGACGATACCCAATGCTTTCCAGCCGGATAGGAGTTTTCTGACTTTACGGGGATTGGGTGCATTCTCGAGCAGACAGTTGAGCAATGTTAGGGTGTTTAACTGTGTTTCCATATCACCGCTGGTGAGCAGCGAGATGAGTGATTGGTATGGTAACGATTGGTCGGCAACAGCTGCATTCTTGGCTGCACGATGTACCAAAGAGTAGCCGTCAAAGTTGCAGACTACAAACAGTAGTTCAAGAGACTGTCTACACACACTCGCCAAGACAGTCGATGCTGTGAGACTGTAGAGACGATCGATTAGCTGTGGACGGCTCATCACCTCGTCAAGACCGCTGTGGTAGCCCATGAAACATCTTAGTGCCGTCAAGGCATAGCTCTGTGTGTTTCCATGACTCTTGGTGATAATATCGAGCAAAATGTTGATACCACCCTTGGAGATAAATTCCTCGACATACTCTACGTCTTTGAGTTGGTAACGTATGTTGAATATGATGTCTTTGGTGGTGGGTGACTCGGGAGAGTTGGATTTCAAGTTTTCAATGACTCGTTGTGCAATGGCTTGTGGACGCATACGCAAGATAAATCCACCGCGCTCGGCCTCTACCAGACGCTCAGGCGTCAAAAATGCATCTTCAATGTACTGTAGCGACAGTGGGTTCTGCAACGCATAGCTGTTGACCTTTTCAATGGGTATTTTAAAGTGTGTCAACAACACCTTGATATGATCCTTGACGGCCGTGTCACCGTCGAAAATATGACTCACCGATTGACACGATTGGTGATTCGATGGTCTATGTTCATTGCCATTTAAAAACTCAACTTTAATTTTCATCTTCTTGAAATGAAAATAAGATTGACTAACTGAAGAAGGAGGGGATGAAGTTGCAACTGGTGTACTAAGTATAAATAATTGAAAATATAAACAAGTTTCTTCTTCTTCTTTAAATAATAAAGAGTATTTGTGATGGACACTTCACGCTTAAAAAATGTTCGGAACAAAGTTTTGTTGTTCTTCTTCCTGTTGTTTTGGGTTGTTGGTTTGGTAATGATTTATGATTGATATAGATGGATTAGATGGTGGTTGGTGGTTGTTGGTATTGATGTTATTTTTATATTTATATCCAACAATTGTTTTTTGTTCCAGCTAATAGGTGGTAATTCTGATGTATGATGTATGATGATGGATTGAAGAGAGCAGTGTTGGATTAAATTGGATTGGATGGATTGGGTGGTGGTAGTGGTGAATAAGTAAAAGTACGTGTGTATAAATAATAATAATAAATATATTTATATTTGTCCAACAACAAACAAACAACAATATATATATATATACTTTGATGATGATGTACTATTAATTTCTATCTTTTGTTATTATATATTGTTGTTGTTGTTTTTAATGATTGATTAATTGATTGATTGATCAAATATAGAGTACCCTATATATCACCACACACCCCCAATCAACTTTGATTTAATTCTTTTTAAATAAATGTTGTTTTGTTTGGATGGATATCACACACACAACACCCACCAACTCACACCACCATTGACATTAAAACCCAACCCAACCCTGTGATCAGTCAAGTTTGCTTGTTGCTTGGTTCATTCACCTTGTTGGACAGGGGAGAAAGAGGTGGGCATACATGAGTATGAAGTATGAATCATCCCTGCAGAGAGAGAGAGAGAGGAGGGTATTGTGTGTGGTTTAGCAGTGTCTGACTTGAACCAGAAAGAGATCCGATCCAAGGTGCACCTTCCCCTATTATGTTATGTTAGGCCTTCCAACACAACATTAGATAGTAGACAGGAAGAGGAGGAGGGAGGGTCCTCTATATAATCTGTAAAGAGAGAGATGTTGTATGTTTGTTAGAGATCGCGAGCAAGGATGAAGGAGGGAGAGAAAGACTTTGTCTTTGTTCATTTTGTATCATACCTTTGAATTTTCATATGTGTATGTATAAACAATGAGTTCTCTGATCATCATCACATAATCATTATGACTCTCTCTCAAAAAGGGGCAGAGTGATCATGTTTATGAATTATGAATATTACTAAAAACATAAATTATTATTATAATAACAATTCTCGAGTTTTCATTTGAAACAAAGGTCGTCGAGAAGATGGGTTTTCGTCTTATGAGTTTTTGTTTTATAAAAAGATTATTATTGATATTATATTATATATATATTATCTTAGATGAATAGTATTACAACGAAATCATCTCAATTAATATTACCTAATATCATCAATCGATTGAGTATCAGCAGCAGCAGCATCAGCAGCACAGCAACTGCATTCAATCTCATAATAGATCAACAACAACAACCAACAAGACACCACACGACAACGACAGCGCTTTCTGCAGCTGAGAATCTATTCACAACGGCATCTAGGTCTAATACAGAGATGGGCAAGCATCCTTCTGCCCCACATAAACAAAAGTGTATGTCTGTTCTGTTTATTGCAATGGCAACAATGAAGCATCCATTATTAAATGCCCTCTATTATTATTATTATAATCTATATAGTTAAACGTCCACCTAAAAACAAACCATATCAATCTCCAATACTCGACCAAGTTGTCGATAATGATATTAATGACGTTCATAGCAATGACCAACAAGAAATGGGAAATGATTATAACAACAACGTAAAACGTCAATATCCTAATCACTTTAGTCGCCAACATCAACATCAGCAACAAGGTGTAAGAACCGTCGAATCATATTCAAACAATGATGACAACAATAGCAGTGGCAGTGATAACAATAACAATAACAACCAACGTTATAATCGACGTCAATACCCTAATAAGCAATTTTCGCAACAACAACAACAACGCGAAGGTTATCAACCACAAGAATACCAACAACAGCAGCAAGATCAATATCAACCAAGACGGTTCCATCAACAAGGAGGTCACCAACAACAACAACAACGCGAAAGTTATCAACCACAAGGATACCAACAACCAAATCAATACCAGCAACCAAAACGATTCCAACAACAAGGAAGTTATCAACAACAGCAACAAGGATATCAAAATTTCCAAGATCATGGCCAATATCAACAGTTTCCACAACAACAACAACAACAACAGCCATTCCAATCCTACAATAATAATAATAACAATCAATCATCGTCACTAACAGGAGGGTATGGAAGATACAATGATGATTTTAATAATAATAATAATAATAATGGAAGATTCAATAATAATAATAATAATAATTCCTTTGATAATAATCAACTTTTTAATAATAATATTAATCAAGGCTATAATCCAAGAGTGTTCAATAATAATAATCAAAACCAACTTTTTAATAATAGTTTTCCTCAACAACAACAACAACAACAAAGGACCGTAAGAATGTACAGCACCAATAATAATAATAACGATTTAAACCAACAACAACTGTATAATAATAACAACAACCAAGATTTAAATGATGAAAAAAATGAACAAGTGGAGGATGAAGACGATGATGAAGAAGAAGATGTTACGATAGATACAAGTAAAATGACACCAAAAGAAATCAAAGCTGCAAGATTATTAAGAAGAAAAGAAAAAAAGAAAAAGAAACTTCTTCTAAAGAAATCAGAAAAAGAAAATGAAACTAAAAGACAACTACAACAACAGTTTAATGGTTTTAATAACTCTTTCAACAACAACAACAACAATCAATTCCAATATCTACAAAAACACCAACAACAACAACAACAACAACAAAATAACAATAACAATTATTTTAACAATTATAATCAAAATCAAAATCAAAATCAATATGGTTATCAAAATGGTTATATGGGTAACAACAATAACAACAACAACTACAACAACAACAATAATAATAATAGATTCGTTAATCATCAATCAGCTAGATATATTCACAATAGTCATAATAATCATTATAATAATAATAATAATAATTACAATAATAATAATAATAATAATGACTTTAATGAACCACCATTGACAGAGGTGGAGAGAATGAAAAGATTTTACAAGGCAGCAGGAGTATTTATCGTATCGAGGGATCCACAAGGCAAGCTGGTTATTCTTTTGGGATGTGAGGATAGAACACACAAGAAAAGATCAGAACCAGAGGTGTACCTGCCATTTGGAGGTAAACGAGAGCATGGAGAGCAATTGGACGATACAACAGTCAGAGAATTTAACGAAGAGACAGCTATGATGTTCCAAGATCGATTGGAAGAGGTTAGAGAACAATTGGGAGAAACACCCAAATACGAAAGACTATGGTTCCCACATGCCAAATACGCACTTAGCTTTATCGAATTGCCATACGATCATCAAATATCAGATACCTTTTTAGAACGCTTGAAAGACAATACAAGAGATTGTGACCAGATATCAATCGAATGGGTCGATCCTCTCGAACTACTTCCAGCACTTGGCAATCTACCAAGATTCAAAAGATCAAATGGTGAAATGGGACTATGTGCAGTATTCTTTGGTCAAATGGTAAAGACAGTAGTCTATCACATGAGAAAATTATTCCCAGATTTTGAACAACGATGTAAAGAAGCAACGGAAATTTGTATAAAAGCAAAACAACAAAAACAACTAGAACAACAACAACAAGAAGATTTAATTAGATCAAGTCAAGAAAGAGACAGTAGTCATCAAGAATCATCAACATCATCACCAACGTATTAATATTAAATTAAATCAACTAAAATAAATTCACAAGGGTCGACTAGACACCTCTGCTCTCTCACAGCGTTTTTTGCAAAGATCAATATGTCTCAAAGTAAAGTGTGTATGATTTACATATCTAATTAGATAATTATCTATCAAATGATTACTATGCTATGTAGTAGTAGTAGTAGTAGTAGTAGTAGTAGTAGTAGTAGTAGTAGTAGTAGTAGTAGTAGTAGTAGTAGTAGTAGTAGTAGTAGTAGTAGTAGTAGTAGTAGTAGTAGTAGTAGTTGAAAACTAAAAGAAGATAGAAAAGATAGATAATAATAATAATTATTATCTTATAACTTTTCAAAAAATGGTGTATAATAAATTAAATGATTCACAACAACAACAACAAGATGATAAACAAAAAGAAAAAGGTATGTATATAGTATATATGTAGTATAATGATGTTACAGTACCTAAACTAACATGTATACTTTTTAGCAACTGAAATATATAATCAAGGAGTTGAATTTAGATTGGAAAAGAAAGATCTAAGTAAGGCATTTGATGCATTTAACAAATCAGCAAAGTTGGGTCATGTAAAGTCACAAACTATCATTGGTAGATATTATATGGGTAAATTCAACGTTGAACGTGGCGTTGAATCATATGATCGAACACAAATAGACAAGTTTATAACTAAAAGAGGTAGCATTGAAAAAGCAGTGAAATGGTTGACAAGAGCTAGAATGCAAGGTGATGCAGATGCAATGGTATCACTTGCAAGACTACATCTCAAAGGTGCATCTAGAGCAATAGCTCTTAAAAAGTTTATACCGGCACCAGAGACTGCTCGTGTATGGCTACTCAAAGCAGCGGAACTCGGTCATCCACAGGCAATGTATTATTTGGCTAGATACGCATACCACGGTATAGAAGGTGTAAATGTAGATGTACATCATTTAAACCGATACAAAATACCAACAAACAACAATGCCAATCAAGGTCAAGTCTTTGAATTGTTACAATCAAGTTCTCAACTTGGTAATAGAAAAGCTACCTATTACTATGGTGTCATGTGTAAGAGCAGAGGTATGCCAAATGAAGCACTTGAAAGTTTTGTATTGGCATCGGCTGCTGGAATAGACATTGCAACCATCGCACTTGCCAACTGTCATTTTACAGGTTACGCAGGACTACCCGTAGACATTGACCGTGCAATAGGTATACTTGGACAGTGTAAAGGTATTGTCTATGGTTTGCTTCCATTCAACCTATTAAGAATGCGACAATTGTCTAATCAATCCAACCCAAACATCAAGGATCCTGAACAACAACTACAAAGGGATACCAAGACACTTGAATTCTTGCGTCAAGGAACTAGAATAACTTCGTTTGCTTATTTTGGTTGTAAACGGTCTGTTCTTAATGAACACTTGGTGTTGGATAGAATGTCGGTTCTTCTCAATGACAAGTTAAACTATTACTCTCAGAGTAAGATGGCTAGCTATAATAACACATCAAATCCCGAGTACATATTTCTTCACTTTCCTTTACTTGCCATGTGCTATGTACATGGGTACGGAGGTGTTGAAAAAGATTTGGATCAAGCATTACAGTATTTTCAACCAACTCATATTTCCGGTATACCAAACCAGTATCTATGTGAAATTGCCAAGACCTATCTTCAAAAGAATGACCCCCACTCTCGAGAAAAGGCAATAGAAGTACTTGAAAAGGCAGTGTCTTGTCAAATATCTGAAGCAAGTTATTTGATGGGTTTGTCTGTCATTATGACCAACAACAGCTCATTATACACTTCAGAGTTACATAGACATTTGACCACGGCAGATGAGTTGGGTCATCCATTGGCATATCGTTTAATCTTCAATCCAAAGGATACACCAACAAATGTTGCATTTGAATTTATCCGCGTCAGAGCCGAACAAGGTAATCGATCTTCATTTGCACAGGTTGATCTCGGTCTATGTTATCGTGATGGTTTGGGTGTAGAACGTAACCTTGAAATGGCCGAGAAATGGTTCACTCAATCTGTACAACAAGCAAATAATCAAGCAAGATATTTATTGGCAAAATTATTACTTGACCGAAATAACAACAACAACAACACCAACAATCATGATGAAATGATGAATAGAATCAAGAAATTATTAGAAGAAAGTTCAAATCATTATTTATTTTCAAATTTCGAATTGGCAAAGTTGGAAAAGGATAAAGATAGAAAAATGATATTATTTAAATCAGTTTACAAACAATGTAATTTTATCGATCCTTTTGATACACTCTATACCTATGGAACTAGGAATATGTTTGTAGATCAAGCACCGATTGTAATGGCAGAATGTGCCATGGCAATTGCAATGTTGTATCAGTCGGTTCACAATGATGCCGAGGCGTTGGTTTGGTTTCGTCGTGCCAAAGGTATCACTGGCGGTGAGAGAGAGTACCAGATTGCACACTACCACGGTCTCTTGCGAAATGAAGCCAAACAAGTTAAATGGTTAACCAAGTCAATTGTAGTCAACCCACATCACAAACAATCAAGATTCAAACTTGCAATGATTCGATACGAACAATCAAAAAGACCAAATTTGATGGACATCTCTACCGATCAAGATGTATTTGAATTGTTGGTAAAATCTGCAGATGATGGATTTGCAGAAGCACAATTTCTAGTTGCCAAGTTTATTCTCGATAGAGCATACGTTGTTAATATCAACAAATTGGATCAAAAGAAACAAGCAATTGATTATGCTCTTGGTGCATCTGATCAATTTCCAGAAGCATATTTACTTATTGCTAAAATGTATTATAGTGGTATGGGAGGTGCCGAACAAGACTTTGTTAAAGCATTTGAATGGTACATCATGTCGGCCGATCGGAATAATGATGGAGAATCCTATTTTATGCTTGGAGAATATTATAGACAAGGAATAGAGGGTGCTACTAAAATAGATGTTAAAAGAGCACGAGATAATTATGAAAAGGCATCAAACAAACAATATACTTTGGCCAACTATCAATTGGCTGTGATGTATAAATATGGGTATGGTGGAGTAATAGACACAAAAAAGGCAATCGATCTACTTGAACAGCTGCTGCAACAACAACAGTCTTTGTTGAATCTACACCCATTGGCCAATTATGAATTGGGCCATGCATTATTATACGAATCATGTAATGATAGTAATGATATTGGTTTATCCACTTTTGAAAGAGCAATAGAACTAATCAACAAGGCCAACATTGCTTTAGAATCAGTCGATATCAAATACATTGATTCAAAATACTTTAAATTTGGTAGAATGAAAAAACAAGAAAATGATTTGGTCAAGGCCATACAACTGTATCAAGAACCTGCAAAAAAGGGTCATGATCATTTAGACTCTTTATTGGATCTTGGAGAGATTCATCATCGATTGGGAAACATTCAAGAGGCGTTGGATTGTTTCGAGCGTGCTTTTACAGTTCATCAATCAAAAGTGGCAAGCTTTGGTATTTATAAAATTAAAAAGGAAAATGTCAATCGACAAGACGAAGCGTTTGAATGGTTACTCAAAACTGCTCATCTTGGAGACACTGATGCAATGCTGCTAGTTGGTGAATACTATGACACTGTACTAGTCGATCCCAATCAAGCAATGGATTGGTACAAAAAAGCTTCGGATCAAGATAATGGTCGAGCATGTAATCAAATTGCATTGAAATATCATAATGGTACGGGAGTTGTTAAACAAAACAGAGATATTGCATTCCAATTCCTTACTAGAGCAATTGATCAATGTGGAGAATATTCACAGGCAACTTTGGTTGGTGAATACTATCAACATGGATTTGGAAATGATAGTATCATTAATCCAACAGCATCCCTAAAATATTTTAAAAAATCATATAAAATGAATCAAGATAAAGAAGCTCTTTATCGTGCTGCAATGTTACTAAAGAGTGGTGGACAAGATGGTATTAAAATCGATTTGGAGCAAGCATATACCTATTTTCAAGAGGTTTCTGATCTTCCACAATCCATGTATGAAATTGGTATGGCTCTATTCCATGGTCATGGTACCAAACAAAGTTATCAACTTGCAAAAGAATGGCTTCAAGAAGCTCTTGAAAATGGTATAGAAAAATCATCCAATCCTCTTCAAATAATTCAACAACTACAACAACAACAAAATAATCAAAATAATCAAGTAAAATTAGAAAAAGAAAAGAGTAGTTTAAAAGATGATTTTGAAAATGCAAGAAATCACTTTTGGGAATGTAAAACTAGTAAATGTACTATTGATCATTTAGATAATATTAAAAAATCGGCAAATCAAGGTCACCCAGAATCCAACAAATTTTTGGGTGATATTTACAAGTTTGGTTTGGAGAAAACACCGATTGACGTTGAAAAGGCAAAGAAATATTATCAAGAAGCTGCATTGGGTGGTTTTGCAGACGGAATGTTTATGTTGGCCATGGTCATCTTGGAAATGGGTCGAGACGATGCACCACCAAGCATGGCAATCAATTGGATTGAAAAAGCAATGGAAAAAAACCATCCAGAGGCTTTGGTATGGATTGCTGAATGTCATCGATGTGGTTCGTATGGATTCCAACAAGACCTCTCCAAAACAGTAGCATTGTATGAAAAGGCTTCAAGGATTAGTATATGTCCTCAAGCCGATTTGGCTTTATTTTATTTATATGTCGATGGAATTGGTTGTCAAAGTGATGAATACATGGCTTTCCAATCACTCAAAAAGAATGAAACCTATCAATCGGATCTTGGATTGATCGAACTTGGTAATTGTTATTTTGACGGTATTGGAACTATTACAAATGACACTGAAGCCATGCGACTCTACCAAAACGTTATTAACAAACAAGATACCACCAATATTAATATTGGTGTTGGTAGTCAAATGGGAGTTGCTCATGCCTACAATCAAATTGGTCGAGTATATTATTTTGGATCCCCCAACTACCCTAAAGATTATGCAAAGGCAAAACAATATTTTGAAAAGGCTCAACTACTTGGTTATGATTCAAACCTTGTACAAGAGAATATTAAAAATGCTAAAGACAAGGAAAACCAACAACAACCAAAATATCAACAACAACAAAAGATATTTGAATTTTTTGATGATTTCTTTCAACCAAGTAATAATATTAATAGAAATAATAATAATAATAATCATCGTAATAATAATAATACAACCTACACCTTTTTCAATGATTATCCAAATATTCGAACCTTTAATATCAACAAGGATGATTTTTCAAATTTTTTCAAACAACAAACAAATAATAATAATAGCAATAGAAATAATAATAATAATAATAATCATCGTCAAAATGCTTCTCCAAATATCAATGATGTATTTGCTACTTTCTTTTCAACAACTACAACCTCTACAACAACTACAACAAATAATCGTAATAATAACAATAACCATCACAACACCAATGATTTTTTTGATGCCCTACATGAACAATTAAATCTTGGTAACAAAAATAGAAATAATAACAGTAATAGTAAAAAGAAATAATCAAAGATTAAAAAGTATGGTAATAAATCATACCATGTTTTATTAAAAAATTGTTATTATTATTTTCACCAAGGGTTGTTAGTATCCGAACCAATTAGATCATTATTTTTATTAATATCCTTATCTTTTCCAATAAGATTATTATTCTTGGATGGACAATTAATTGGAAAATAATCATTATCTTTTTTAATATTAACCTGCTCTTGGGGATGGTGTACACCATTCATGTTTGGTTTAGACTGTGAATGATAAATTGGTTGTTTTGCTGGTGGATGATCTCTTTTCCTATTTAAATTCTTTTTCAATGATAGATCATACTGAACTAAATCTTCATCATAATCATCGTCCTCTTCATCTTGAATATCAAGTTGTTTTTTGTTTTTGAATTTTTTCTTTGCATGTACCTTGAATACACACATAAAAGATACTTCCGAAGGTGAGGTTGTCATTATTTATATATGTTAATTTGTGAGAAATAATAAGGTAAATATAAAATGGAAAATGAAATGAATATTCTAGAAAATATATTATAATATTAATATTATTAATTTTAATTATAATAACCAAAAATATATATATTTTTTTTGTTTTGGTTTGGTTTATTTATATTAATCAAAATTAATATAAATTTGATAATTTTCAACGATTGGGAGGTCAATATCGATGAGTAAAACTTGGTTGACTGAATCGAAAGTGTAGGATGAGATATTGTTTGTGTTGTCCAAGGTGATATAGGTTGGTGACTGAGTGATACCATAGACGGTGATGGTAGTCAAACTATTTGATAAAAAGTAGTTTGAAGATTCGATAGAAGATGTTAAAACAAATGAACCTGATGGTTGTTTTTGGACATCATAACGAATGAATGTGTAGTTGTCATTTTCATAAGTGTCAATAGAGATACCGTCGTCCAAAAACAACTCACCTGTAGCGACAGTGGTATTGCCAAATGGACTGGTGGCTGGAATGGCGATTAATAAGTGGAATGGCAGAGTTCTGGCCACCTTGGTGGTAATGGGTACCGAGTCGGCTGGTGGGACGTAGGAGGCTGTTGGTTGAAGTGGCATAATGACACCACCTCTGACATGCACATTGATGACGTCGATAGGAGCGTCCAAGGTGAGTGTCTGACCAACAGAGGCAACTGGTGCACCAGTGAAATAGTCAAACCATGAGTCTTGGGGGAAATAAGCTTGTACAGTGGTAGCACCCTCTTGGAGGACAGGTGAAACTAACAAATGCCCGCCGACGAGGAACTGGGTGTCTAGGTTATACGTATCGCTGTCCAACGGGTACTCCATCCAAAGTGGACGGATAACAGGACTGCCACTAATATGTGACCAGTGGAAGAGTGTGTAATAGTATGGAAGGAGGGTGTATTTGTTGTTGACACCAGTGATGGTGGCATCAATAACCTGTTGACCAAGTACATATGGTTCTTGACTGTTCATACCAATAGCATTGTGGTTTCTAGAGAATGGATAAAACACTCCGAGTTGTGTCCATCTAGTACACAACTCGACGGTCGTGTTTCCATTGAATCCACAAATATCAGCACCGACAAGATTAATACCGAATAGGTTCATTGCAATGATACCCGGGATCGACCAGTACATCTCTACAAACTCGCTAGCATTGTCGCCGAGCCAGTGGCCGTTGTTTCTGCCAGTACCTGGGAATGTCGAACGACTGATCAACGTCGATCGCTGGTTGAGCAGCTGCTTGGCAATATCTGTCGTGACCATGCTCTCCATAAACCCATACAATGACTTGGCGTCATAATAGTTGGTATTGTTGTACTGTACAGTTGACATGTTGATTGAATTAAAATAGATAATAGTTGTACCTGGGACATATGGTGGGTTGTTTGGATCGAATGCATCCGAAGATGACTCTGACTGGCTTGCTTCAAGTTCCTCAGCAATACCTTCTTCCAACCAAGGAATACAAGCATTACAGAAATTAGCCAATTCATTCATATCCAACCAAATGCCATCAAATGGAACCATCTCTCTAAATGCTTGGAATTGTTCCAACCAGTATTGCGATGCATTTGGATGGAAGAAATCGGGAAAGATGGTGGAGCCGGGCCACACCCATCCCACTTGTTGCTCACCACTAGTGGTCTTGAGATAAGCGTTGCTCTGTACCAACGAGTCGTACGACTCGTATCCCTGTTGATTGTGGATACCAGGATCGACAATCATCATGTAATGTTGGTTGTTTTCGTGGAGTTGGTCAATCAATGCACGTACAGCGGTCTGGTTAAAGTTGACTGGGTCAAGTGTAAAGTCCATATACGCGTTCATATAGTCAATGTCATTCCACATGGTTTCAAGTGGGATACCGTGCAACGAGTAGTTGGCGACGACTTGGGCAGTCTCTTCGATACTGGTGTATCCCCAGCGACACTGGTGCCAGCCGAGTGACCAGTAGCTTGGCATAAATGTGCGACCAATAATCTGTGTGTACTGTTGTACGACCGACACTGGAGTTGGACCAGTCACGATAAACATGTCAACAATACCACCAATCATCTTGTAGGTCAATGCATTGGGTTGCATGACCACGTCCATGGCATTAGAATTAAGCATAAACACACCATGTGCATTTCCACTAGTACCCAACAATTGCAGATAGAATGGATGTGATCCATATAGATTGGTATACTCTGTACTTGCATTGGCAACACCCTTGGCATACATTGTATAAGTTCTAGTATTCTCCAATCTCAATGGAGCTGCTCTCTCTCCCAACCCATACAAATTTGGATTCAACTCTTCAAATGTAGTTGATAATTCAATATAATAATCTGAATACTAAAATATATAAGATATATTAGTATACGTATAGATCTATATTACTGAATATTTTAATGTAATGTTTACATACCAATAAACCGTTTGTAGTACAATCAACAGCAGATGGAGTTGAATTGAATAATATTTCACCAGTTGATTGACGAACAACAGCGAAACCAAATGGAGAGGATGTGAATGATACTTTGTAGTCGGTGGTCGATGGTTGTGATTGAGGGTATGGCAAGAGATTGACCAAAGGGACTTCCCAACGCTCGTTCTTGGGATCATAGATTTTGAAACGAACCATTTGTTCGGTGTGATAGTAGACATCGAATGCCAATACATTCAAATTATCACCGTATCCCGATGATGTTGTGGCAGCTGCCAACTGACCTGTATATCCATACTTGGTCTCTTGAACATATGATAGAGTGTATCCTGGATTACAAGATGATGGTTGCGATGATGATGATAATTCATCTATTTCAATCTTGACTCCATTTACAATTGAAATGACTTGAGCTATCGATAATAAAAATAATAGCACTGCAATGAGATTAACCAGCTTGATCATCTTCATCTTTGTGTGTTGCTAAAATAAAATAAAAAAATTAAATTAAACTTAAGTTCATATGCGTACTCTTTTGTCAACACTTACATTTGTATCTACAGATAACTATCTTTCTTAGCGCTTAAACTATTATAACAACAAACTAATCACCTTTCTTCCATCGACACTCATCAACGCTCAATCCCATCCCTTCATCGATTCACAGCAATTGCTATGAATAAAATATCATCGAAATTATCGTGAATCCCATCGATCCCGACACGGTTTCATTTCCCTCGTTTTTCATTCTTCTTTGTTCTCTCACAATCAATCCTCTTTCTCTTATCGCATCTATCTTTTATTTATATATATGTATAACATGTAACAGTTCTAACAGTTAACAACAAAAGTAAGAACAGGTGTAGTGAGACAGGAAGGGTCTTTCGGGTGATAGGTATGAAAGGAGCAACAATAACATAATGCGACACTCACCCGTCCGTTCCGTTGTAAATCGATTAATGTCATCACTTTGAAGACGGTTCTGTTGTGTTATGAATTTCTTGGTTTCCAGGCAAGACAAGAAGTATCAAGATTTTTGTGTCGAGCTCAACAGTCGTGTATACGAAAAACCTTTCGAGGTTCTTCTTGGGCCGCATTATACTCAATTTTTGGACGTCATCGAGATTTGCAGATGCGAGCTTAACTGTTGAAAGAATTGGTTTTAATATTTTTATGCACTGGGCTTCACCGAACGATAAATCAGTGTCCCTTCAAAGGCACTGCAGTCGACAACGAATGACAGTCATTCTTCATTGTATCATTCATTTGTTTGTTTTTCAATTACAAAATAGAGAGAATGAAATCCCTTCCAATATTCATTTTATTGGTAATTTTGATTGCATCAAATGTCAGTGCTCAATTTCAACCACAAGAATGTATGTTGTTTAAACATAGAAAGAAGAGAACAAGTAAAGAAGTCAGTAAATAATTAATTAATTTAATTTAAATTAAATAGTAAACTCGGTGATATGGTTACTCAATCAATACGGAGTTGCTACAATTCCACAAACCGAAGCAGGAATTTGTGCTAGCAGTCCCACATTCACTTGTCAAATGGGAACAGATGGATTTAATCACATCATTACAATGTATGTATTTCAAAATAATAATAATAATAATAATAACAACAATCTCATATACTGATATTAACTTGATTCATTTATGTGATTTATATATGCCTCAGTGAAATATTAAGTTCAGTTTATCAAAACACAGGCGTACCACCACCAATCACTGAATTTTACTTTCCATCACTTACCACTTTTAAATTGGATGTAGCAAATACCGTTGCAGACCCTGGACTCAACATACTGAGTCTAATGAAAAACATTCCACTTCTCACCTCCATTTTTATCCATCGTGATCTCTTTACCGATATTCCTACAGGATTTGCAACCAACTGTCCTTTGCTGGTGGATTTGTATGTATATATATATATATATTTCTATTTTGATAAATGACATACATTCAAGAACATCCATCATCTTATTTTTGAATTCTTTCTTTCTTTGTAGGAAAATACTCCAAAATCCAAACTTAGTATCAATTTCAAATTTCTTTAGTCAATCAAACATTCAGAAAGTTATTATACAAGATTCTCCCATTTCCTCGATCACAATTGATCAAACCACCTATGTACCCAACCTCATTAGCTTTATTATTGATTTAGTTGTTGATGTAGACTTGACACTTACTTTTACCGAGGCTGCATTCCCAGCCCTAGTATCTATGTATGTAGATAAACTTTGGATTACAAATTATAAAGGTAGCCCCTAACTCTTTTTCTAAATTTAATATTTATTTATTTAGTAATTTCAAAGCAACAAGTGCAACCAAAACAATGAACGTCATATTTGATCTCCCTGTTAAATTTGTAGCTTCCTATGTTCAAGATAAAAATTCATTGGGTGCTATTAACCCAACCTTTTCACATCCAGAAACCATTATAGGTCTTGCATACGGAGGTCCAAACTATGTTTTAACACCAAGTAATCTTGATTTATATACCAGTTTGGATAACCTGTAAGTAGCATAGTCCTTTACAAGTCATAATTATAGTTGGCATTTATTAACAAGTCTTTTTATATGTATAGTCAAATTCTTTATACTACTGTGACCACTTTCCCAGTGACCCCTTATCCAAAAGTACCATACTTGTAAGTAGTTAGAGGCCCGTTTTTATTTGTATAAATTCACTAATCCATCATTATTTCAATTTATTGTAGTACTGTATCTCATGGTAATTTACAAAGTTTACCATCTGTTCCTATACCAATAACTGCACGTGATTTGTACGTACACATATATGTAGCATCTATCAAAGATGATTAAAATTTAAAGTAAACTACATTTACTAACTATCTTTTGATAATTGAATACTTTAAAATAACTATAGTTCTTTTAGGGAGAATCAACTTACAGGAGATCTTCCAAGTAATTTATTGGCCAATAATCCAAATAGATTAAAATTGGGCTTGTTTGATAACCCCGGAATTACAGGTACTTTGGGACAAGAGTATTGCTACATTGAATCAATTTCAATTTCTAATACTGGCCTCACTGCCATCCCAGATTGTTTTTGGTGTTATATGATCAGTCAAGGATATGCTTTTGTAACTGATCTCCAAAAACCAGCTACATTGGATTGCAGTAAGTTTCATTTAAGAAATCTATCATCATTTCATCACGAAATCATCATACCCTAACAATTCTCATTACTTTTTATTTATTTATAGCTGTAACAGTTGACAATTTAAATTTATTGTCAGTCAACGGACGTTATAATGTGACCGGCGATTTAATAGGGTGGGGAAGAGGTATTGATTATGTCGAAGATTTTAAACCAAATAGGGCATTAATGTATGTATAATCAAAAATAATTAATAATTATTTATTTATTTATTTATTTATTGATTGATTTATTTTTAGATTCAATGATCCTTCTTTTCAAATTAAGGGATTAAATTATAATCGAATGATTACTTTTAGTAGTACTGATTTTACATTTAATATTACTGAAGTTGGATTCGCTTGCTATAACCAAATGTTGATGAGCAACAACCTTTACATGTTTGAATATAAGATTACTTGTCAAAATTTCAATCCAACAATGCCACCAACTATCAAATTGAAATTTAGTGGACAAGAATGTGTCATCTCTAAATATGATAATGTTAAATATGAAATCTTTTGTCTTTTGGTCAATCCAAAAATAGGAGCCGACACTTTTATTATTGCAAATCAATACCATAGCAACGAGATTGTGGTTTTTATCAGTCAAAGTAATTATATTATAAAAGAAGCATAGATATACCGATGAAATATGGAAACATTTATATTAATATTAATTTAAAATGTTTTAGATCCAGTTGTCACATCGTTTACTTTGGAACCTCCAACATACCCACCAACCTATTTGAATATGTATGGTTTATTTAGTTTAAATACATCACCAGAAAACACTGTCATCTACTTTAATTACACAGCACCTGTGATTGAAGAATGGTTCATGTGCAATGTTACCTTTGTCAACACAACCTATTTGAGATGTATATTTACTAGAACACCAGACCCTGGTTTCCAAACCATGTTTATGTCAACCGAATCTACCGCTGGTCAGTTCCAATCAAATACCATTCCATATATCCCAGCTCCATTACCAACCATTGATAATTGTAAAAACATGACCAATAACTGTCATGGACATGGTACTTGTGTAAATGGTCAATGTCAATGTGATGAAGGTTGGACTGATTTTGATTGTAAAATCGAAAAAAATCCTGGTATGTAATAATAATAAGACAAAGAAGAAAGAGAATACATATATTATTCTAGATCTTGTTCACTAATTTATTTATTTATTTATTTATTAATATTGTTAATTTATTTATTATTATTAGCACCTGGAGTTATTATTCAACCAAATTATACAGATCCAACAGTTAATTTTACACATGGAGATTATTCATTTTCATTCAATTTAATTTCAATTCAAGAACTGGATTATGAAAACAAGCTCATCAACGAATTGGCAACCGATAAATGGAATGTGACTTCAAACAACTCGACTGATTTGACAAGTATCTCTTATCTTTTCAACAATCAAAACAAATCTTCATTGTACGACTACCTTGTTGTCAAATCAGTGGTTGAGTTTTCAAGCAAACCAAGATCAATCGATTTTGGTGGTGACCTCATCCAAATATCAGCTGGATCAATCAAGATTGGTGTCAACATTACCAATTGGCCATATAAATCACTCATGTCAACACTCAGAGTAGTATTCTCAACTGTTATCAATAACAACCAATCGATTGTCGGGTGTGACAATTCGGTCAACACCATTGACACTTTCCAACAATCAGCAGACAATGGAACACTTCAATACCTCAGAGTTGTCAAAGACGATGTTCAATTCTTTGGTAGATTCCTTGACTTTATGGTGTCTGATGGAAGAAAGACATACTCCAAGACACAAGTTATGAATGTGACTGCTTATGGTGATGCTGCCAACAACCAATCACTAGCCATCATTGGAATACATGTACCTCAATGCACTGTTTGTCTAGTCGACCCAGATTTCAGTGCATTGTTAGTTGACCGTACCAACTATGATACCAGTGGAACATGCACAACATCTGAAAAGAATGAAAATTGGAAGATTATAGTTGGTATTGTTGTAGGTGTGGTTGGTGCCATCGCAATATCTATTGGTACATTCATCTTTGTTAAAAAGAATAGAAAGGTTAAAAAGTTTAATACGATGATGGAGAAAAAGTTACAAGCTCTAAATGCTCAAAATGATTCTAAAGCATAAATAAACAAATAAATAAATGCTTACGTTGTATTTACATTACCTTGGTGGTGACTTGCTTCTAGAACAGTAACAGAAACATATAAAATTCACAAGACTTTTAAAAGTTGATTGATTAAAGCTCTTGGTAATTTATCCCCTTTCTCTTCTAATTATTATTATTCTATCTTTAGACTGTACTAAAAAACAATGAGACACCACCTTTCCTCATTTATTTTTAATAAATCCATTTTTTTCTATCTCATTGTAAGAAGCACACAACAACTCATCATTTCATTCACCGACCCTTATGACACCTAATCCTTCACCTTCACAGAAATATCACGAAACTATCGTGTATCCCCCATTTCCTCATGTTTCCTAATTCAATCCCAGATCTTGTACATCATCTATCTATCTATATTTCTATAACATGTAACAGTTCTAACAGTTAACAAACATTAAATATGAACATAGAACAGGAAAGAACACATAACTCAAGGAAACAGGAGATCGGTATGAAAAGGGGCAACACAATGCGACACTCACCCCTCCGTTCCGTTGTAGATCGACCACTACACTTTGAAAGATGGTTCTGTGTGTGAGTTCTTGGTTTCTACAACATAGGGAGTATCAAGATTTTTGTGTAGAGCTCGTCAATCGCATCCAAAAAAACCGTTGAAAGCTCTTCTTGGGCCGCAATATAGTCGTTTTTTGGACGTCATCGAGATTTGCAGATGCGAGCTTAGCTTTTTAAAGAAAGATTAATTAATTCGTTTTAATGTTTTTACAAACTGGTCTTTATTCGGGGCTCGGATCGGATGAAATCGGTTACCTACTCCTATCATATTTCAATACCACTTTCATCATTTATCCATTCTTCATTATTTGTTTTTTAAAAAAAGAGAAATCAAAAGATTAGGAAATGAAATCCCTACCAATATTAATTTTATTGGTAATTTTGATTGCATCATATGTCAGTCATTTGAATGCCCAATTTCAACCACAAGAATGTATGTTATTTAATACCCAAACAGAGCAAGCAGAGAAAAAAGTAGTTAATAATTAATTTAAATTAAATAGTAAACTCGGCGATATGGTTACTCAATCAATACGGGTTCTCATCCATTCCACAAACCGAAGCAGGAATTTGTGCTAGCAATCCCACATTCACTTGTCAAATGGGAACAGATGGATTTAATCACATCAAAACAATGTAAGTATTCAAAATAATAATAATAATATGAACCACCAACTCTTCTGATATTAATATAAACCATCCCTCCATTTTAAAATACCCTCACTCAGTGATCTTAGTACAAACTATCAAGATATTGGTGACCCTCCATCAATCACTGAATTTTACTTTCCATCACTTACCACTTTTAAATTGGACGTATTTAATCTTGCAGTTAAAGACCCAGGTCTCAACATACTGAGTCTGATGAAAAACCTTCCACTTCTCGCCTCCATTTATATCCATGCCGATCCTCTTTCAGATATTCCTCCTGGATTTGCAACCAACTGTCCTTTGTTGGTGGATTTGTATGTACATCATCAACATAAAACTTTCATTCCCACCGGTGGAACATCAACTAATCACTTTCTTTGCTTTGTGTAGTCTATTATTCCAAAATCCAAATTTAGTATCGATTTCAAATTTCTTTAGTCAATCAAACATTCAGAAAGTTATTATACAAGATTCTCCCATTTCCTCGATCACAATTGATCAAACCACCTATGCCCCAAACCTTATAAACATCGAAATCAATGTGCGTGTTGATGTAGATGCCACAGTTACCTTTACCGAAGTTTCATTCCCGAAGCTAGGAACAGTGTATGTCACAATAATGAATCATCGTGTGATTAAAATTCATTTAAATTGTATTAACACTCTCTTTAAAATATTTAAATATTTAGTAATTTAATAGCAACTAGTGCAACCAAAACAATGAACGTCATATTTGATCTCCCTGTTAAATTTGTAGCTTCCTATGTTCGAGATAAAAATTCATTGGGTGCTCTTAACCCAACCTTTTCACATCCAGAGACCATTATGGGTCTTGCATACGGAGGTCCAAACTATGTTTTAACACCAAGTAATCTTGATTTGTATACCAAAATCGAAAACATGTCAGTATAATACTTATCCTCTAAAAGATATTTATAGTTTTGAATTTATTAACAACTTTTCTTTTTATATATAGTCAAATTCTTTATACTACCTCGACCACATTCCCAATCACTCCATATCCAAAATCAATTTCCTTGTAAGTTAAAATTTAATCGTGCCCCCGTTTTTATTTGTATAAAATCACAAATTTATTTATTCTTTATTTTATTTCTATATGTAGAACTGTGGCCAATGGTAATTTACAAAGTTTACCATCTGTTCCTTTCCCAACCAATTCCTTTCAATAGTATGTAACACAAAGATTAATTAATTTAGTCGACATTGTCGACATAACATATACTAATCTGGATGATTATTTAGTACTTTTAATGATAACCAACTTACAGGAGATCTTCCAAGTAATTTGTTGGCCAATAATCCAACATCATTACAATTTGGCGTGCATAATAACCCCGGAATTACAGGTACCATGGGACAAGAGTATTGCTACGTTAAAACAATCGCATTGACTGGCACAGGTATCACTGCCATTCCAGATTGTTTTTGGTGCTATATGATCAGTCAAGGATATGCTTTTGTAACTGATCTTCAAAAACCAGCTACATTGGATTGCAGTAAGTTTCATTTAAGAAATCTATCATCATTTTTCGCGAAAACATCATACCCTAACAATTCTCATTACTTTTTATTTATAGCTGTAACAGTTGACAATTTAAATTTATTGTCAGTCAATGGACGTTATAATGTGACCGGCGATTTAATAGGGTGGGGAAGAGGTATTGATTATGTCGACACTATTACACCAAATAGGGCATTAACGTATGTGTAATCAAAAAAATTCAAAAATGTTAATATTTATTTATTTATTTATTTATTTTTAGTTTCATTGATCCTAATTTTCTATCAAAAGGATTAAATTATAATCGAATGATTACTTTTAGTAGTACTGATTTTACATTTAATATTACTGAAGTTGGATTCGCTTGCTATAACCAAATGCTGATGAGCAACAACCTTTACATGTTTGAATATAAGATTACTTGTCAAAATTTCAATCCAACAATGCCACCAACTATCAAATTGAAATCAAACGGACAAGAATGCGTCATCTCTAAATATGATAATGTTAAATATGAAATCTTTTGTCTTTTGGTCAATCCAAAACTAGGAGTCGACACTTTTATTATTGCAAATCAATACCATAGCCAAGAGGTTTCCGTTAGTATCTACCAAGGTAAGTAGTCTTTCAAATATATTAAAAATATAAAAGCATTAAAATATTAATATTAATTTAAAATTTTAGATCCAGTCGTCACATCGTTTACTTTGGAACCTCCAACATACCCACCAACCTATTTGAATATGTATGGTTTCTTTAGTTTCCATACATCACCAGAAAACACTGTCATCTACTTTAATTACACAGCACTTGTAATGGAAGAATTGTTCATGTGTAATGTTACCTTTGTCAACACAACCTATTTGAGATGTATATTTACTAGAACTCCTGATCCTGGTTTCCAAACCATGTTCATATTGGCTGAATCTACCGCTGGTCAGTTCCAATCAAATACCATTCCATATATCCCAGCTCCATTACCAACCATTGATAATTGTAAAAACATGACCAATAACTGTCATGGACATGGTACTTGTGTAAATGGTCAATGTCAATGTGATGAAGGTTGGACTGATTTTGATTGTAAAATCGAAAAAAATCCTGGTATGTAATAAGACAAAGAAGAAAGAGAATACGTATTCAAATTGATCACTAATTTTTAATTTATTTATTATTATTAGCACCTGGAGTTATTATTCAACCAAATTATACAGATCCAACAGTTAATTTTACACATGGAGATTATTCATTTTCATTCAATTTAATTTCAATTCAAGAACTGGATTATGAAAACAAGCTCATCAATGAATTGGCAACCGATAAATGGAATGTGACTTCAAACAACTCGACCGATTTGACAAGTATCTCTTATCTTTTCAACAATCAAAACAAATCTTCATTGTACGACTACCTTGTTGTCAAATCAGTGGTTGAGTTTTCAAGCAAACCAAGATCAATCGATTTTGGTGGTGACCTCATCCAAATATCAGCTGGATCAATCAAGATTGGTGTCAACATTACCAATTGGCCATATAAATCACTCATGTCAACACTCAGAGTCGTATTCTCAACTGTTATCAATAACAACCAATCGATTGTCGGGTGTGACAATTCGGTCAACACCATTGACACTTTCCAACAATCAGCAGACAATGGAACACTTCAATACCTCAGAGTTGTCAAAGACGATGTTCAATTCTTTGGTAGATTCCTTGACTTTATGGTGTCTGATGGAAGAAAGACATACTCCAAGACACAAGTTATGAATGTGACTGCTTATGGTGATGCTGCCAACAACCAATCACTAGCCATCATTGGAATACATGTACCTCAATGCACTGTTTGTCTAGTCGACCCAGATTTCAGTGCATTGTTAGTTGACCGTACCAACTATGATACCACTGGTACATGCACAGCATCTGAAAAGAATGAAAATTGGAAGATTATAGTTGGTATTGTTGTAGGTGTGGTTGGTGCCATCGCAATATCTATTGGTACATTCATCTTTATTAAAAAGAATAGAAAGGTTAAAAAGTTTAATACGATGATGGAGAAAAAGTTACAAGCTCTAAATGCTCAAAATGATTCTAAAGCATAAATAAACAAATAAATAAATGCTTACCTTGAATTACATTACCTTGGTGGTGACTTGCTTCTAGAACAGTAACAGAAACGTATAAAATTCACAAGACTTTAAAAGTAGATTGATTAAAGCTCTTGGTAATTTTATACGTTACATGTTGGTCTGAACTATTACTCTGTTTACTGGATTGTTGCGGTGATATTATTATTATTTGAACGGCAGTGACGGCAATTCGATGAGGAATGGTACTGGTAGTGCCCTTTATTTAAAGTTGATGGTATTGGATGACCATTCATGTATTCAATGGACATCCATGATTGATTGACTGTATGGTGTATATTGTACGAATAGGTTACTCGAGATCGATTAATTAAAATAGAAATATTTGAAATAAGATGACGGTGATATGATAGAGGGAATTCGGTGATTGAGAGGTTGATGTAAGAAATTAAACAGGGAAAGAAATAAATAAAAAATACTATTACCAGTATGGATGTTTTGATTGTTTAATATATTTATTTAATAAATAATCTTGTTGATTCGATAGGAAGATTTGAAAAACGAGTATTATCTGAAATTAAAGATTGAAAAATAGTATGGAATGATTTCTCTAGATTCGTTTCTTGAATTTGACACTGGACATGGGATATCAACTTTATGAAAAAGTTTGATTTGAAATGTGAACATTCGTTGAATAGATTTAAATATGGTTCCAAGTTGTCAACATGGTCGAGTGGTAGTAAATTGAAAAGTAATTGAAAAAGTTGATATCTTTGATTGATGATAGAGTATGATAAATAATAAGTTGGATTATTCGACTCTAAATAAATTTGAATTATTTGTTGATTTGATAATTGATTTAAAACTCTACTTGATAATTTTAAAGTCTCTTGTTGGTTGTTAGTTGTGGATATCTCGTGATGCTCCAAAGCTCCAAAAAAGTCGACTCCATTTTGATGACATGGTTTATCCTTTCCAAAGAGATGATAAATTTCCAATGATCCAGCATATCCATCTAAATGATCGTATCCACTCATGAAACGTGGGTATCTGTCAAAGAGATATTTTAAAATCTGCAAAGATTGGTTCGAATCTGTTCTTGAAATGAGTTGGTATGTCAATTGGATGAGAAAATCATCAATGTTGCCAACACGATTTTCAATGATCCATTTTGTTTGTTGTAAATTGATAATATGGAATAATTGTAAACCTTCCCATCTTGGTTCTCCAAAAATAATGGTATTTTGTTCGACAATGAGTGGCATAACCTTTTCAACATCGACTTGTTGATCTTGTAATTCCAAAGTTGCAATTTTATGAATATAACCTTGAAGATTGTAAAAATGATATGCGTACAAATGTTGAATTAAAAGTGATGTAAGGTAGTCGTTGCCTGGGATATGATTTGGATGACGGTCTTGTAGTTCTAATCTTTTAGATTCTACATATTCATCGAGTGAAGGACCAGTGGTTCGTTCTGGGAGAATGACAGAATGGTCGTGTCCATTGGGTGCAGACATGTTTCCAGATAGTGAATGGGTATAGATAAACTTGATGTATTGAATTTGTTGTTGTACAGGCACCATATTGTGAATATATGTAAGAATGAATCGATACCATTTATATTGTTTGTTGTCAAGATGTTTGGTATCTCCATCAACCAATAGACTGAAATCTTGTAATACTACAACCAAATAATTGTAAAATGTGTGACTCTCTAGTAACCCAGGATACTCCTCTCTAAGTAATTGAATGGTATATATTGAATCTTTAGTATTCACTATATTTTCCAATAATATATAATACATTTCATCCATTTGTTCTTGAACTATTTCCTTATTAATTACACCAGTTTTGATTAAATACTTTAGTATGTGTTGGTGACCACCTATGATTGAAGCAGTGTGTAATTGGTATCTTGATAATACACATGGAGTTGATTGATTTAAAAGTAATTTTACAATATCCAAATTGCCACCAATACAAGAATAGTACAATAGATTATCCAATGTAAACAATGATTGTTGAGAATGATAGATTTTTAAAAACAATTTAAAATCTACAACTCTTTCACAAATCAATTCGATTGATTTTGGTGAAAACTCTAATTCTTCATGTCTGTCAATCTTGTCACTCAACATTGACAAATGGTTGTAATACACTATCTTTTCAGCATCCTTCCATTCATTGTATTGTTGTAGATAAAAAGTATCCTTGTTCATTCCAAATGGGTAGGCATTCTCCTTGACCAAGTTTTGTTTGAATATTCTAGGTGGGAACATCACGAGGTTTGAATAATCTCGATCATCTCTATCGGCCAATAATAGTTGTTGATGTATTTCATTGATTTCATTTTTAATTTTAAAATGAATATATTGGTTGTTTATTATTTCTAAAAACCTATGTATTTAGAAGACGGAGGGGGGATACAGTTAATTGGATTGTTTTTAAAAAACAGAACTTAGAAAGAGAAGGTAGAACCACCAATAGAATAATACATACAAATTATTATTAATGTTATTCGTCATCTTTTTTTGTTGATAAGTAAAACTAAACCAATTACGATGTGCGATAGTAGATTTATAGAAAACTATTCAACCCAAAAAAAAACAAAATTGAAAAAAAAGTATTCTTTTTAATTAAAAATCAATTATTTTACAACGTACTTGTTGACAGTATCAGGTTCGCAGTTCTCAAATCTATTATTAGATCTCATTTTTGAATTCCTATTTGGACTCGATTTTATGAACCAATCAAAAAGGAGTGATTTTCTTGGTTGAACGTTGAAATCAAACAATACAAACCTATATTTGTTTCTCTTCACACAAATTAGTAGGAGAAACAATTTTCGTTGACCACAAGAAACTACAACTTACTTCTCACAATCTCCAACAAATCAATAACTGGAAACAATTCAATGAAGTTCCCAAAGACATACCTATATTTAAATGGTTGATCGTAATACCTGCATTATTGTACTGATTCATTGGGGTTTTCTAATTTCACAATACCAAATTATAAGCAATAGTATTGACTTTTCTTTGGTTTGGTTGGGTCCATTCTGTTAAAAAAGTAGAGAACTTGGGACATGTTAGACCCAACCAAACCAAAGAAAAGTCAATGATTTCGATACCAATTCATTCTGGACAAGGATATGTAAGTATACATACACAAATCTCTATTTAAAAATATATTTAAATAAAAGTACATTTGTTCATCAATAATTATCCATTGATATGATATCTATCTCTATATCAATTTTTTGGGTTTAAAGTTAATATTTATTTTAATTATTTAATTTATCTTTTTAAAAAAAAAAATCTTTTTTATTAAGTTTACTTAATCAACATTTGATTTATCATCTTCAACATTTAAAGTTTCAAAATCCTTTGTATTGATATCGTTGAGACCCAATTCTTCGTTTTGGTCAAAGGTTCTTTCATAGATGACACAGTCAAGGTTGGGATCTGGGTCTGGGGCGTAGAGGGATTGGATGTAGCTGTTGGCAATGGGATCATCGATTTCAATGGTGAATGGCTTTTCACCGGCAATGTATTTCTCGAGTGTGGTTGTGATTTCCTCGTAACGAGCACGAGTGGTGGCATCGGCAGAGTCACCACGGAAGAATGGGTTCTTTTCCAACTCTTCCTTGATGGTCTTGAGGAGACCCTCGATGGTTGTGAAACGACCACCCAAAGAACCATGGGTAATCTCAACCTCGAGTTCTGGCAAGACAGCATTGGCAGTCTCTGACTTTAACACGTCTCTTGAGAGATCTTCGATCGACTCGACACGCAATGTGAGACGCTTGCCAAATGGTTCAATGGCGCCTCCAGGCTTGATTTCGTTGCTCTTGTAACCACAATTCTCGCACGAGAATGCCATCAATACGACATTCTTAAAGTATGGGATATCGGTCATCACCATTTTTATGGCACCCATCTCTCCACAAAACACACATGATTGAGGCAACTCCATAATCTCTTCGCTGTCCATTGTATTGTTATCGCCGTCGCGACGTAATGACGATGGCACTTGCTTGTTGTCAACTACAATACCAGAGGAGGAGGATGGCACGGATGCAGTTGGGTTGTTGATAGCATCCTCGGGTCTGGTGATACCAAGATCAAGGTTTTGTTGTGCGTTTCTGATATAGTGGGTGACAGTGAGTGCAGGGTCTTGCTTGGGAGCCATTGGGTTCTCAATGTAGCTGTTGCCCGATGGATCGTCAACGATGAGCTTGAATGGCTCTTCGACACGAATCACTCTCTCCAAACGTTCGATAAATGCACGTAAACTGTTGTATGTCTCTTCGTCACCATCCTCCTTTCTAATGTCGGCTGCTTGGTTCAACCCGACAACCGATTGGTTCAAGAAACCCTCGATTGTGTTGAGTGACCCCTTTTGAGTAGACGATGGAATCTCAAAGTCCAAAGATGGGATTCTAATAGTTGCAGTATCCATCTTTACAAGTTGTCTATTTAAATCCTAAAAGAAAAGAAAAGAAAAAGAAAGGGGAAAAGATAAACAAAAGATTAGAATTGTACAATTAAATATTAGAGTTTCTTTGTTGTGACACATACTTGTGGTTTGGTAATGTTAAACTCGATGTGAACACCCTTGTCGCCGATAGCACCTCCGCTCTGTACTTCGGAACTCTTGAAACCACAATGCTCGCATTCAAACGACAAGAGAATGATCTCCTTGAAGAAAGGGATCTTTGTCAAGAGGATCTTGGTGATACCGTCTTCGTGACAGTTCATGCAAAGACTCTCGATGATCTGTACACCAGTGGTATGTGATAGATCCTTGAATTCATCTCCTGCTTGAATGTCTTCTTCTTTGTTGTTATTATCTGACATTCTTTATCTTTATCTGTTGTTATTTAATTAAATATTATTATATCCTTTTTAAGTTCTTCTTCTAGGTGTCAGCTTGTTCGTCGTCTTGTTCGTTTAAAATTTAATTTAAAATTTCTATTTCTATTTTTTGTTTGTTGGATTATTAGTCAGCTAGCTTGTTGATACATCTATCTTTTCTTTTATAGTTCTAGTTTAGTAGTTATTTTAATTGATTACGGTTTTGTAAAGGTCTAAAGTTTAATGGTTGGTGAACAACTGCTGATGGCAATATATTTATATCTATCCAAAACAAAAAGTTTTGAGAATAATAATAGAACTGATACAATGTCAGAAATCGGGTAGAACTGAACGAAGAACAAACAACAACAAACATGAACCTAAAGCTCAAAATATTACGTGTGGAATATCCAAGAGTTCTCATTTCTCTCTCTCTCTTCAGAAAGCAACCAATCAAATTGAACTTCAATTTGAAGAAACTACTTTCGGTTGGAGATGAATGAATGGATGGATGTGTGGTGATATGAATCATGAACATCATCATCTTCTTCTTCTTCTTCTTCGCTCATCTTCACCCACCCCCCCCCCCCCCCTCTCACCCACATGTAGAGTGCAATGGATGGAATTGATACTCACATCACATGCACGTTATCAACATCTCTATCCATTCATTAACTTTAATTAATTTATCCAAAGAAGAAAGATAAAAAATGGTATTAATATTTTATATTACAGGAGCTACAAAGGGAATAGGAAAGTCTATGGTTGAAAAGGTGTTGGCAAGAGGTGACAAGGTGGCAGCAACATCAAGAGACAAAAAACAATTAAATGATCTATTTGGAAAGGATAGTGATAAGTTTTTGGCATTGTCAGTGGCATTGGCAGATGAAGAGAGTGTCAAGAAATCGATAGATGTTGCTGTCAAACATTTTGGTACTCTGGATGTAGTCATTAATAATGCTGGCTATTCTCAAGACGGACCGGTAGAAGAGACTACCGACCAGCAAGTACGTGATAACATGGACATTAACTTGTTTGGTGCTTGGAATGTTATTCGTCACAGTGTTCCTATTCTTCGTGAAAAACGGTCAGGTGTCATACTCAACATCTCTTCCGTAGCAGGTACCATTGGGTACAGTGGATTCGGTTCATACTGTGCAACTAAATTTGCTTTAGATGGTATGACTGAATGTTTAGCAATGGAATTAAAACCATTCAATATTAAAGTTGCTACTATTAATCCTGGGTATATATAAATATATCAATATATAAATATATAATATATATTATATATAATAATAACAATATTTCTTTTTATATTTCTTTCTACTCTAGTTATTTTAGAACAGACTTTTTAGCAAACCAAAAAAAAAAGGTTGCAAAGTCTGCTGATTATCAAAGTGTCTATGACTTTTTGGATATGCATATTCAAATCAATGGAACACAAAGAGGTGATCCTAATAAATTGGTTGATGTCATCTTTCAAGTGATCAATCACAAAGGTGATATTCCAAATCATTTGTACATTGGACCAGATGCAAATGAAATGGTTGAAAACAGTCTCAATGCCAAATTAAAGGATCTAAAAGCTTGGAAAGATATTACTACCAAAACTGATATTGATGGTTATGTTGATAAAAAGAATCAATAGACTACAATACCATCATCCATCTATTTCTATTTCTATTTCTATTTCTATTTCTATTTTGTTTAAATAAATAAAAAATGTTATAATAATAATACTTACTATTATAGCATTTTTTGAATTCTTTTATTATTAGATTGAAGACGATCATTGGCATAATCGACACGACCAGTGACACGATCCAATTGTTCAGATTGACGATCGGCTTCATTACCAATGGTACTAGCGATACCGTGGATATCACCCAAGAGAGCACTGATCTCGTCGAGGTCCTTGTCTTGTTGCATGAGAGCCTCGCGGACATCCTCTGATGCATTCTTGACGACATGTGAGACACCAGAGGTGTTGGTGCGGCCAAAGAGGGCTTGGTTTTGTTGTTGGCGACCGACCGATGGGATAAACTTGATGGTTGGGTTGCCATAGGCAAACTGCTTGACTCCGGGCTCAAAGATGACTTTGGCAGCCTTACCCAACTTAAAGTTACTACGCAACACAAATTCATTGACAATGTTTTGAATGTACGACGAACACAACCGAATACGATTCTTGTTGGTCAATCTGAAATCAATGTGTTGGTGACGTGCTCTAATCACAATATGTTCAACTTGGTCATATCCATAGGTACCATTCATAGTTGCCTTTTTATTTCCATCCAATACAACAAATTTATCTGCTGTAAATTGCATATATCCTGCTTGTACTAAAATATAAACATGTTAGAAATATATCTATCTTTTTCTTTTTTTTTTTTTAAACATACAAAAGTCATTTGGTAATTTTTCCAAAATATCAATGTCTACGGCTGGATCATCACGTGGACGAACCTTGAGACTACGGTCGACTTGGTCGTGTGATGGTCTCTCACGATTAGCAGTTTCATCTTTACCCATGGCATTGGAAATCATACCACCCCAAGACTCCATACCTTTGAGAAGACGATCACTTCTATCAAGATTACCATGAATATTTTCAACGTTGCGTTCAATATTATCAATCAATTCAGCTTGATATGAGAGTTCATTCATCGTAGAAATACCAGTCTCTCTGGTTTCATAGGCAATTCTAAGTGCTTGTTTAGTACTCTCTGTATCAACCTTTGTTCTTTGTTGTTGTATTTGTCCATTATTATTATTATTATTACCACCATTAAATCCTTGAGCACCACCACCAATATTACTGCTACTAGAGTTATTACTACCACCATTACCAAATACTCTTCCGCCATTAGAAGAATTAGAAATTCCACTACCACTTGAATTTAAAGAGTTGGTAAATTGTCTCATACGTTCATCTTCTTCAGAGTTTGGTTCGTATGTCATTGGTGGATGTTTCCAAAGATGATGTATTAAATTATATGTTTCATCTCTACGTAATAATGATGCAAATGCAACCTAAATAGATCAAATCAATTAATAATCACAATGATCAATGAATGAATGAATGAATGAATGAATGAATGAATGAATGAATGAATGAATGAATGAATGAATGAATGAATGAATGAATGAATGAATGAATGAATGAATGAATGAATGAATGAATGAATTACTCATTTGATTGATTGATATATTATATCATCTCTTACATTTGATTCGGCAGTTGAAAATACAATTGTATTTTGGATAAACATTGTACTATCCTTTTTGATTTCATTGACCTTGCGGAATGAGATACTCTCATTTGACTCACCCAACGATGGGATGAACGAGACAAAGTTGGCAGAGATATAGATCTTGCCGGGGATGAGAATACCTCTCTTGAGTGAACACGAGTAGTCTTGAATGACAGACTCGGTGTCTGGGTAGTTAAATGTACGTCTAACCAAATCAGACTTTGTCTTTAATGCTGATGCTTTATCGTCTGGTGAACTCTTTAAATAATAATTAAACATTAAGTAAGTATAATGTATAAAAGTAAAAAGTATTATATATTATAATTATAATATTATAATAATGATCTATCTTCTTCTTCTTTGTTGTAAATATAATAATATTATATATATATTATATTATATACTCACCATCTTTCTTCTTTATATGTTGTTGTTGTTATTGTTGTTATTATTGATTAATGGCAATGAGAGCAACAAAAGTCTGTGTTTTGGGGGAATAAGAGGGGGGATAATCGACGATTTTGTTTTAAAGAAGTATCTCTGAACCTTTCTGACTTTGTCTAAATAAATAAATAAAACACACACAACACGTAACTGTCTATCTATCGATCTCTATTAAAGAATGAGAATGTTAACTCTATGAGTGCCTTTCTTTGCTAGTGCTTATTGCAATTCTCCCACGACCTCATTTTTCGAGAGAAGCTCCCATCAATATTTTATTCATAAATAAAAATCTAATCTCGAATTGGTCAATGACATCACGTGATGTTTGCAACATTGAGGTGTGACGGGACTGGATGAGGGATTATGTCCACGGACACACACAATCCTCACTCATCGATGCGCTCTTACACACACCGAGATTATGTGTTACAATTGTGTCTTGTCTTTAAAGATACTACAAACCAAACAATAGAATACAATAAATTAAATAAAAAAACGTTGTCGATTGAATTGAATCAGATAATCATACTCTCGAGTTGTTCCACAACCAATCAAAAAAATGCAATAACGGATAGTTGGTAGATAGATAGAAATAAAACCTCGATCTCCAAAGGGGTCTTAGCCTCAATAAGTGCAGTTTTTTTTTGTATTTATTTTTCTCAACCTGATTTTTTGAAAACGTCTGTTTGTTTGTTTGGGTAAAATTACTAAAACGGAAGGAAATCCTCAAATGTAGTAGTAAACTATCCAATAACAGATATTATTATTATTATTATTATTATCGATAAGTATGAAAAGTTTGGGGGTTGGTTGCAAGGGGTGGAGGCGTCGTTGTAGAAGGGCATAAATCTTTGAATCTCCTCCATTGATTCACCCCATACCGTCAGACCACGGTTGGAAAAAAAAAAAAAAAAAAAGTTCAAGAGACGAGGATGATGAAAACAACTTTTTTTGTTGTCAAAGAGAGAGCGAACAACTAACGACCTGTCAGCAACAAACCCGTGTTGGTTGGTGAAAAGTTGTTTGTTGCTTGGCAGCCACCAAGCAAGCAAGCATTGGTTGTTATCACCATCGCCGTCGCCATCGTTACAGGGCAGGTCGGGTTGGGAGAAAAAGAGAGTTGTGATTGTTGTTTGTTGTTGGGAGCTTCGGCTGGCTTGTTGTTGAGGCTTGCCCAAACACAAAAATATTCAGTGTGCGACCAAGATTCATGAGTGAGTGAGTAAGCGTGTGTTTGTGTTGTTGTGTGGGATAGGATAGGATAGAAGGCTTTACCTACCGATACACAACAACAACAAAGAAAGAAACTGGTTGTTGTCAAATAAAGAGAGAGAGAGGATATCCACCTACCTTTTCTTTGTAACCTTTTCCTCTTTTGTTTTTTTGTTCGTTATTATTATTTATTTATTTATCATAGCTATCACTTCACGTAGTGTAGACATAATATTATATTATATATCTCTCAATTATTTATTTGTATTATTATTATTATTATTCAAAAGTACAAAGAAGAAAGAATAGTAACAAAGACAAAGAGACAGAGAGATTTTCAAGATTCAACAAAGCAGCAAAGCAAAAAAAAAAGGTATAATTGTAAAAGTTGGTGTGGCTGGAACCAATCCATCGCCCACAACCTGCTAGCAGATAGAATTCTATTGTTTGTTTGTTTTGTTTTGTTTGTTACACCATCTATATAGTCATCTATCATCCATCATCTATCAAGTAGTAATAGTACAGTACAGTCATCAAAGCTTTTTGAAAGAATAAGAAAGAAAGAAACAGACAAAGAGAGAAGCAAAAAAAAAGAAGAAGAAGGGGGTTTGTTGACACAACCCAATACCTTATCATAACAACAACAATCATTCGCGCCCTTCTCTTCTTTTGATAGCTTTCCTCAATAGCACCAGCAATAGTAGCATCACGAAGCAATAATTAATAATAATAATAATAATAATAATAAGCAGTAGCAGTCGTGCTCGGTATCTTGAGACAGTAAACGTCCGTCGTCAACAACAACAAACAACAAACAACAACCATCAACTTGAAAAATAGAAAGAAAAGGTTTGTGTGTATACTCTTCATTACTTGTGTGTATGTGTGTTTGTTTGTTTGTTCAACCAACCAACCAACCAACTCACTCTCAGCTCAACCATCCATCATCGTGACCAGACCATCATAAATATATATAATATATTTTATATATATATATATATATATATAATAATCATTGTCAAGGAAGGAAAGGACAGTTTTATTATCATCATATCAATATCCTACATACACAATCAAAGATATAATAGAGAGAGAGAGAAACAGATAAACTATAGTACCTTGTTAAATTAATTGTATGTGTCACGAGTAGGTACTATTACCTATTATATTATATTTTAATATTGGTGTGATGCGATGTATTGTCAATGACAAAAGGGGAGTGAGAGAGAGAGAGAGAGGCAAACAACCAACCATCATCTCTCTTTCTCTGTGTTCAACCCATTCATCCAACTTTTCATCCCATCCCATCAAGCCAGTGCAGTGACAACAAAAGGGTATATAGAGAGAGGAGGGAGATCAGATTACAAATAAATAGCACTGAAACAGATTATAGTATACAAATTGGCGATGGATGGTTGTCATGGTTGAGAATGAGTATGGGAGAGACGAGAATGTATGGTGGGTGGTGGGAAGTTGTAGATGATAGATGGAAGAGGGAAGGAAGGATGTGGTGTGGTAGTAATAGTAGTGGTGATGGATGGTTTTGAATCAGAACCCCACTGGATTTATTCATCTATCTTGGAGATGGTTGACATCGAACAAAAGGATGGCATGCCTTTATCGTGCTATGCTTCCACCACCACTCTCCCTCTCTTTCTTTCACTCACTCACATAACATTATTATCATCTCATCCTTTCAAACCATCATCAACCCAGTTGCATGCTTTCAATATCACGCTCTCTCTCTTTTGATCCTTCTCTCTCTCTCCTTGCTTCCCATCCCTCAATGTAATCACATAAAGAGAGAAAGAAAGAGAGGGATGGAACAAAAAAACAAAGAGAGAGAGAGAAAGAGGAGAGAGTAAGGTCGGCAACAACAATAACAACAACAACCAACAAACCAAACAACCATCACATCATCCTGCTTTTGCTCAACTGTAGCAGCTGTCAGCGCTACATACAACAAACAAACACATCTATAGTTCAAATTAATAAATTAGAAAAGGTAGTAGTTATGTGACACAGTAAACAAAAACAAAATAATAAGAGCGCAAAAGAAAGAACACAGACACAGACAGAGACACAGACAGAGAGAGAGAGAGATTAATAATAAAATAATAATAATAATAATAATTATAGCTAGTATGAACCCAATATAATTATATTTATATTCACACTTTATCCAATCCATCCATCCTCCCCTCCTCTTCCTCATCCATCATCCATCATCAACGACGATAATAGAGTACATATATATATTTATTTATATTGTTGTTATTACAAATCAATCCAACACTCACATAGAGAGAGAGATAGTATTAATAGCACAAAAACTAATATAGAAATAGATATAGTTTCAAAAGGTAGAATAGAATTCATCATTAATAATAATAATAATTGACCAAACAACAGCCAACCAACTCAACCAACCCAACCAACAAATAATATAAATATTTATATGATATTTGTTGTTGTTGTTGTTGTTGTGTGGTCGTCACTGATATCTTTGGTCGGTCAGTCAACAGAGAAGCAGAAACAAAGAGAGAGACAGTACAGTTGGATACACACAAGGTTGGGTGGAATTTACTTTATATATATATACAACACAACAAGCTTGACGATGACATTACCAACAACTATCGCACTGTTATAACAGTAATGCCTTCTTTTTCCTATTTAGAGGTATCACTCTCTTGACGACCAAGTGCGTGTGATATCCACCATCAACCAACCAACCAACCGACCAACAAAACAAAACAAAACAAAACAAAACAAAACACGGTCGAGTACCACATCAAAAGATCAACACAACACCACAAATAACAATGCTACTACTCCTCTACTCTACTCTACTCTCCAACAGTCGTAAAAGAGGATATCGATGTGAGGAATCAAGCAAAGAGGAGGGGAAATGAAGAGGAGCTATTATTATATTCTCTCACTCTCTCTATCACTCCACTCTTTCTTTTTCTTCTTCTTCTTCTTGTTCAGTTGAAATCATAATAGGGACAATTAGAGAGAGCAGTAGCATCATCTATCTAACCAATTATATTGGATGTAAAGGTACAAACTAGCCAAAAGATAGATAACAATCAAAATCAATCATCACAAACAATCACAGTAATTTGAGTAACAAATGGTGATGATGCTGTTGAGGGAAAAAGATCATTCCTAGATAATATAATAATAATAATAATGTTGTTATTGGACATTTAGTATCCATAATTTTGTTCATATATTCTACACCGTTTTATGTGTTTGTGTTGTTATTTTTATTGTTGTTGTTGTTGTGCTTTGTGTTTTCATCATGATTATATTATATAATAATAATAATAATAATTAATTAATTAAATTAATAATTTAATTCCTTCACCAACTAACTTTTTAATTCCTTTTTCTCTCTCTCCTTTTAATTTAATACTAGTCGATTGATATTTTTAGAAGTCAACAATCACACCTCTCAACACATTCAAACAACAAACAAACAAAACAACATATCATCATTTAATTACCCTTTTGCTTTTTTTTAGAGATATTAAGCAATAATAGCATCAACCAACCAACCAACAAACCAACAAACTATCCCACAACAAATAATTAATTAAAAATCCAACAGCAATATATATTTTTTTTCAATCACAGAGAGAGAGGATCATTAAATTTAATGTTTATACACTCCAACAAATAATAACAAGAATATATTTTTTTTTTTCAAGCAGGCAAACAAAACAAACAAAAAAGAAATTTCAACAAACCAAAAAATCAATTCACAATTTCAAGAACATTACACTACAATTACGATAGATAGAAAGATAAATAGAGCTCAGTAGTAACTTATTATTATTATTTGTTGCAATCAAATACCAATTTCTTTCTTTATCATCGGCACCCTTTAAAGGGGTTACAAGATATTTCCTCAAGGAATCAAACGACGATGACAGAGGTCGATAGATTACAACATCACCATCATCATCATTTGGAGTTCACTCCAACAACAGCAGCAAGAAAGATGATGATGATGAACCATAATCATAATGGTGGTGGTGGTGGTAGTAGCGAGATTGCGTCTCACCTCCCAAACCACTATTACGTTGGCAATAATCATTCCTCGTCTTCTTCTTCTTCCTCTTCGACATCGACCGCGGCAGCAGCAGCAGCGGCCATGTTCATACCCTCAATGGTTACCACTATCAATGGTGCCAACAACTCTGGTAACAACAAATATCATCATCATTTACAAGTCGAGGATTACAATAGCAGTGGAAGTACCAGCAGTATATTTGGCCACGAAGCATTGTCACCTCCAAATTCTCAATACATGATGGATAATTGTGGTAACAACAACAATAGTAGTAATAATGGTTTTAAAAAGAGAAAAAATATAAATGACAATGGTTTATCATCACAACAACCACAACAACCACAGCAACAACAAACCCATATTTTGATAAATAATAATAATAATAATAATAATAGTAATGTCTGTATTCATGGAGATGATAAAATAATTGATCAACATAAATATTATGGCAACAATAATAATAATAGTAATTTAAATAACAAGAAAATGAAACAACATAATAATAATAATATTAAAATCGATAATAATAATAATAATAATATGGTCATTATTGGTCATATGTTATCAACCAATGATTTAAATGATTCAAATTTGTAAGTATTCTGATTGAAACAGGGTTGGCAATTTCAAGTACCCTATTTTTTATTGGTCCTAATATCGATTCTCTCTTTTCTTTAGTAATACACAAAATTATATTTGTTCATCAACTTCTACATCACCTCCCATTTTCCATGATAATGAGAGTTGCACCACCACTGTATCATCAAGCCAACAACAACAGCCATACCATTACCATCAATTCCAACAACCATCATCGACTAGCCAACAACAACAACAACAACAACAACAAAATTTAAATACCACCACACCTGTTTCAATTTACCAACCAATAATAACTCAACAACAACAACCAAATATTTTAACAACTCAACAACAACCAAAACAATCTAGTCGAAAACAATCAACTAGAAAACAACAAACACAATCCAAACATTTAATTTTACCTCAACAACAACAACATCAACAGCAGCAGTTGTTGCCACATCAAATAGTGACAATTGCACCACAAACATATGCAGCGGCTAGTTCATCAACATCTACATCATTCCAACCACCTCCACCTCATATTATAAACTCTTTTATTTCTTCGCCACCAACACCCATTTTACATAAACCAATTCCATCCAAACCTTCTCCGCCATCCATCACCACCAACATCCCCACTGTCAATAACAACCTGCATCCATCACACCAACAACCAACCAAATCCAACACCACCTCTTCAGCACGTAAAGTGGTCGACCAATCCAGTAGTAGTAGCAAGACATATGGATCAAGCAACAATATCACTCCCCACATCAAGTTGTCTGACAAACTCAATGCATTCAAGCCGATTGTCAAAGAGTTTCCATCCAATGTATCCATGGGCAATATAGGATTCCCTATACTCAATTTTTCAGCACCATCCAATCCCACCTACACTATAAATCGACCACATTATATTTTATCACCCTTTTTCCCTATTGAAAAAGATATCATCCCTTCATCTTCATCATCAACCAATATTATCAACAACATCACCATCAACAACAACAACAACAACAATCGTTTAGATTTACAAAATAACAACAACAATGTAATTAATAACCATCTGTATAATAATAATAATAATAATTTATCTGTGAATAATAATAATAATAATAATAATAATCATTTAAACAATAATAATAATAATAATCATTCACCTTTATTTAAACATAGTAATAATAATAATAATAACCAAACGACAACAGAACAACAACAACAACAAAGAGGAGCAAAATCTAAACAAGAACAACAACAACAACAACCACCTTATACAGTACAAATCCAACAACAACAACAACAAACCAACAACAACAACATGACCAACAATAACCAGAATAATCAAAATAATAATAACAAAAAGAAAAAGAGATTGCAAGGTTACTGTGAATGTTGTAATAATGAATATGAAAACCTAAAATCACATTTGGAGAGCAAAGAGCATAGATCATTTGCTGAAAAGGATAAAAACTATAGAGCGATCGATGCGTTAATGAAACAGTTCCCTTTTTCATTTGGTGATCAAATATCATTACATCCACAATAATTAATAATAATAATAATAACAACAACACAACATATTTTTTTTTTCAATAATTTAGTTCTTTTGTACTTTGGAAGTACCTTAGAAATCTAGATTTACTCACAGACCCTCTGCAGCAAGACCAAACAGAAATCCCCAACTCCCTTTCAAATTTGATTGATTTAAATAAATCAAATAATCCCAAAAAATTCAATGCATCTTTGTAATGCTGAGAGAAATTCAATCTTATATATATCCAATCTTTTTGACTTACTTTCTAAATTATTTGAACCAATAAAAAAAGATATTATCTTGCTTGTAATAATAATTATTTTATTTAATTAATTTAATCTATTTTATTTTATTATAACTGTCCATTTTTGCAAACTATTTTTTTATTTAATTTAATATAACTATACACGATGATCAAGTAGAGCAGAGTAGAGTAAAGTAGAGTATAATCATTCATCATATATATATTTAAAAGCGTAAAAGAGTGTACAAAGAAGGGTAGAGAGAGAGAGAGAGAGAGCAGATATAGATAAATATGAACTTCTTCTTTAACTGTACATCTTGTAATTGTAAATTTAACTTTCAAGAGTCATATTGTAAATATTGTTTAACGAGGTATGTCTGCATAGTAGATAGATATAGTAGATAGTGAGTGTAGTACAGACTTATTAATAATGTAAAATGATATCATATGATGGTGGTGATGATTGTATAGAATAAAACTAGATCAAACAAGAGTATTTGAATTGGTTGATAACATTATAGAAAAAAAGAATCAAAACAACTTGATAAAGACATCAATAGAAAACTATATAGAATCAAATAAAATACAATTAGAAAGAAATGAAAAGATATCAAATATAGAAGCAAAGCGATTTCATATTGATCAATTGAAACAAAGAATTGAATCTATGAAAAATAATATAGAAAATGGTAAAAGATAGATAGAGATAGAATAATATATATAATATATTCACAAACTTTCTTTGTTTTAGAAAATAAATTATTAGATGTAAAGAAGAAATATTTGGTTACAAGAAGAAATATATTAAAAAAGAACAAACAATCATTTGAAGAAAATGATACAACTGAAGTTGACAAGTTACCAAATACAATTGAACAACTGAAATTAGATTGTATGTATATATTTATTTGTATATTGTTATTGTTAAAATAATTGAAAGATTTCTAACTTGTTCATTACCAAAACTAGTGATTGATTGTAGGCAAAAGTTGGAACAAAAGAAAAAAACAAAGGTGGAATTGATATCGAATCATCTCTTGCCCATTATGAAATCACCGACTGATCCCAATGAAGTCATTATTGTAAATATTAAAGTAAACGACAAAATCCTCCAACAAAGTATGTATCCAATCCAATCAATATTATAATATTATATTATTATTTGATTTACTAATAGTATTATTATTATTTCTTTAAAAAGAGTATCCAAAAGATGTGGTAGCGGCAACATTGGGATACACTGTAAAATTAATTGAAATGATATCTATTATATTGGGAGTAGTATTACCTCATAGAATGAAATTTATAGGATCTAAATCTGTTATTCAAAATGTAGATACTCCTACACATAGGATTAAACCTGCTGGTGGTGGTGGTATTGGTGGTTCGTTGGGATCAATGTCATCAACGTCGACGACATCAGCTACTAATTTATTATTGGTTTCTGGTGGAAATACAGGTTCACAATCATTACCTTCTTCTGTTGGTAGTGGTGGTATACCCAATACCACATCCTCTACAACTACAGTCTCCACCATTAAACAAGATAAACAATTGGAAAAGAAGCAAGATAAACAAGAGAAATCACAACAACAGGATAAACAACAACCATTTTTACCTTTATACTTTAACAATAAGGTAAAATCTAAAGATTATCAAAAAGCATTGTATTTGCTTGGTGAGAATATTGCCTATCTCAGATTTCAACAGGGATTATTGACCCCCAAAGAATCACATTCCTACTTTCTTCAAAATATAATGGAATTGATCAATTCAAGTAACCTTGGCAAGAATGGACCATTTACCTATGAGAAAGGACTAGACTCTGCACATTCACCAACATCATCGTCTATGATCTATACCAACATTATTGATGACGAAGAATCAAAAGAAGACTGGGAAATCATTAATTTCCTTCCACCACCTCCCAACAATACAGAAGATATTGAACATATGGAAAGAATATTAAATGATATTGTTGAATAAACCAAAATGATCAACCCATTATCAAACAAGTACTTGTATTATATATTAATTTGAAAAGATAAAAAGTAAAGAATGTTTTGCTTGCTAAAATTTAAAAGATAAGATTTCTTTCTCATTTAAAATTATATAATATTATTATTTTTTGGTTTCGATTTATTATTATTATTATTGTTGTTTTAGTTTGATTTTAAGTTTGTCAAGTTATCTATGCTTTCTTCCAAACTCAAGTCAACCTTTAAACTTTCTTGTAATTCTTCCAATTCTTTGAGACCAGGAGTTAGAGAGACGGCACCAACCAAGTTTTTGAAATAGTCGACACGCTTTTGTACGTCTTTTCTTTCATTGTCTGCACACTTTGTCAATATATATAGTTCTTTGCGGAGACTGTCACGTTCGCCGAGGACAGTCTTGATGGCGGTCATTGATTTTCTGACCTTTTGGAGACGGAATGGATTGGTGAGCTTGTGATCCTTTGCATTCTCACGCTCTGACATTAATTTGTTACGTTCCTTTAACAAGACAAACCATAACTTGTGGAGATCTTCAAATGACTTGCCACGGAGATCTCTTGCTTCCCATTTCTTACCGGCCAATGGGTATGTTCCCTTTGGGTACTCATGTTCGAAAAATTGTTGTAATCCTTTTGCATCGCTGCTTGATCTTGTTATGAATGTAGATGATGTCGATGATGTCGATGTATTGGTCATTGAAATCATTGATCTTCTAATCAATGATGATGTTCTATATAATAATGATGATGATGACATGATTCTTCTTGATATTTCTATTCAATTCTAATTATGTTATTTGAAATCTAGATTGATATAATGAAATGATTAGTTTATCAATACTATATGATGGTATGCGATACTCGTCTATTGATAGATCATATCTATCATATCTGAGCATAGTCGTCAGAGTTTGATTTGAGATCTATGCTGCACTGTGACATACCTTTTGGTTGATAGCTATATACAAAGAATGTTGATAATGATGATGTTGACAGAGATATAATATATCAATCTTTTCTTTTCTTTAAATATCAGCAAAGCTATACACAAACAATCAAATGCAGATACACAAAGTAAGTAAACTTTCGTCTTTCTCTCCTTTTTTTTTGAATTTTTTGTTTTTTTTTTTGTTTCATTGACCCCTCAATGATCATCCTCTTGATAATAACAAAACAGACACGAAAGAAGATAGAGTAGTTTATAAACAATGTACAAATCATTATTATCTAGAACATCATCATTGGTGTCTAAACAAGCTACTATGATCACAAGAGCTGGTCATAGAAAGCCAATCACTTTCCCAGGTGGAAAGTATGACGGTGAAGTATGTAGAATAGTAACAGTAGAGTAGAGCAGAGTAGAGCAGAGTAGATCAATTAGCAATTAGATAGAAGGGTGATGCACACAGATTACAACACTTAGTTACAGATAGAAAGAAAGGAATGATAAATGATCATTAACAAAAAGAATATTTGTTATGTTTACTATAGTTAAATGAAAGATTCGATGAACACCCAGATATGATGACTCCAGATGAAGATGCATGGGCTGATAAGAACGTAACTCCAAGTGGAGCTTTGGCATATTTTGGTGGTTTTGCTGCATTCTTGTTTGGTGTTGGTTTAACTTGTTATATGTTTGGTTCACCATTACATAAGGAAGTTGTAATGTATCCCAAAAAGAAGAAAAAGAGGAATATGATGAAACGCATCATCTTAATCATCATAACTCAGTTATTAATTGTTTCATTTGTTGTATATAGGTCGAAAGAGATATGCCATTCAATCAATTATATTTGGAATATGGAGGTGATCCAAACAAGGTTGATACATTAGATGAAAAGGCATGGAGAGTAAGAATGGGCGATAGACAAGCTATTTTCCGTCAAAGACATAGCATTTAAAATAATAATAGAATAATAATAACAACAAACCATATATAATAATTAATATCCACCAATTTTAAATTAATATCAATATTATTAACATGTATATTGATATTTGTAAAACCAATAATAAAACAACATAATCGCACAACAACAACAATAATAATACTACGTTGTCAATCATTGGATATCGAAATCAAAAAGTATCCATCCATCTATCTATCGATCATTATGATAATCTATATAGATGGGTTTCCATTTAAAAAGATAAATACCTCGGAAATCATTGGATACTTTGAAATCTCTTTTCCACTTTACTTTTACTTTGGGAATAGATGTTGGGATTTGCCAAATCGTACTGGTACCCAATTTAACCAGCAGGATGAATCCATACTACTACCGACCAATGAACGAGCAAAGAGTTGATCTGATTGATCGGAGCTTGCAAATATATTTCCATTGAATGTTCGACCAACAACACATCAGATGAGATCAAAGTAAATGAAACCAAAAGTTGATAGATATTTCAGCCATAAAAGATTAAAGTGGGTTGATTTGCAGGTCAATCAATCCATCCCTAGCCCATTGCGACAAGGCGATAATGTTTCGGGTGTCAAAAAAAAAAAAAAAAACAAGAAAACTCGTTGGTCCTCTAGAGACCCTCCACAGAGTGATATATCTAAAGTTTTATCTTTTTTTTAAATCACTTCACATAATAATAATAATCAATTTCAATTTTAGCTACACACACACAAATACATAAACACAAACAATCAAACAATCAAACAATCAACACATAACACGCACACACACACACACACTTCGTGAAACCCAATTGCCCAATCGAAACTCGTATCTAACTAAATCAAAATCATTCATTTTAAAAGAAACACTTTGTATTTTTAATATTTTATCTCTCATAGCACAAACACACACACACGACAAAGACTTCTTCAAGAAAACAGTAGTAGTTAGTAGATTACCCAAATATTCATTTAAAACTTAGTCACCGCGCGGAATAACATAATACAATACAATATATATATAAATAGAAAGAAAGAAAGAAAGAAAAGGAATGAGTGAAACACCAAACAATTCAAAAATAAGATTCAATGACAAGGTCACAAACATCAATGTTGGTGGCGAAGCTGGAGGCATATTAGAAGAAGCTGTGCACAAGGCTTTGAAGCAACAACAACAATGTGGTTGCTCTGCTAGCAGCGATGAAAATTCAAAATCATGTAATAATAGTAACTGTAATAATAGCGCAAGCGGCGCAGTCGTTCAAGACGGATGTAATAACAATAATAATAATAGTAATACCAACAATGCCTCTTCTTCATCTGTAAATGGTGGTCAATCGGCAACACAAGCAAATAATCAAAGAGTTAGAGAAGGTTCCAAATCCAATGGATCAAACAACGCAAACGTCAGTGGAATCAGTAAAGATTCTATTCTTTCATCGATTCCAAAAGACACTATGGAGAAAATCAAAGAATGGAAAGTAAAATATGCCTTTATTACTAAAGGGGCAAAGTTGGTATCTACATCCAAACAACATAAATTCAAAACTCCAGTTTCAATTGGTGAAGCTGCTTATTTTTTGGGTATGTCTAAAAGATCAAAAGAAATAGTATCTTTTATTAATTGTCCATTTTTCCTTTTTTTTTCTTTCTAGCTGAATCACAAGTTAAAGATTCAACATTGGTATTTTCAAATGATAATAGTCTTATATTTTCAGATGGAATTTTTGTTGATCTTGATTTAATAGATGATGATGATGATTAAACAATTTAATAATTAAAAATAAATCAACACATATAGAATATATATATATATTATATAATTTTAAAATATATATCTTTTTTTTTTTTGGAATGGAAAAAAAAAGATCAAAAACAACCAAAAGGATATATGGTAAATTTATTTATATTGTAACAAATGTGCTATATGATGTGTAATTTTGATTTATATATATATACGAAATAACTATTATTATTATTATTATTATTATTATTGAATTAAACTATATAATTTCCATTATTATTATTATTATTATTATGATTATAAAGTAATGGAGAGTGAGGAGATGATGGAGTTGAATTCCCATCATTTTGAAACATATTGTTCTGTTGTTGTTGTTGTTGTGGTTGATAAAATTGATTATTAATAAATTGTTGTTGATGTTGATGTTGTATTTCTGGAATATTATGATGTAATTGTTGGTGTTGTTGTTGTTGTTCTTGAGTTACAGGAATTGATTGATGGTGTATATTATTATTATTATTATTATTTGATTTCTTTTGTTCATTTGTTGATTTTAAACTATTAGTAGAATTTGAATTGGTTGTAGCAATTGATTCATGATGATTATTGCCTACACTATTATTATTATTATTATTATTATTATTATGATTATTTAAATTTAGATTTGGAGATGAATTTGAAGAAGGACCACTGCCACTATCATTAGTAGGTGAACCAATACCATTGGCAGCATCTTTTTCCTTCTTTTCCAATTCTTCTTTTTCCTTTGCCGTAAGGAATCGACCTCCATTTCCTCTTTGTCTTCTGAGTGCATGTTGGTGTCTACTTTCATGTTGGTATGGTTTTCTTTTACGGATTTTGTTTTCTGACTCTGTCTTGGCGCGTGCAGCACGGCGCTTTAATATTCTTTGGTATTGTTTAGCATTGACATAGAGTGGTTCCTCTTGCTTTTGGTATGCAGCCACTGCAGCAGCAGCTGCGGCCGGGTGGTGATTGGCAACGCCGCCGCCATTGTTGTTATTTCGATACATGTCCATCGTCGTAGCAGATGGTGGTGGTAGTGATGATGATGGTGTTGGTGTTGGAGATGTTGTGATGGAAGCTCTTAAATCGTCATCGGATGAAGATGAAGAGACGGGTTTCATATGATGATGCGAGTCGGGCGAGTAGTGTTGTGGGTGTTGTCCTAAAAATAAATACAAAAAAGATCTTGGTTAGAATTGGATGTTCAAAGTGGTAAGCCTCTTTCCTTTTGTGGCCTTCACCCTCAACCCAAAAGAGGCAAAAAACATCCTTTTTTATCAAAGCAGCCCCATGTTGCATGCGTGGTTTGTCCTCTTTTGGAAGTAGGGGGGTGAAGGATCGAGTATATATATAAAGGGGATCATGATCGTCGTTTATGATCTAATAAATCATACCATGTTGATGATAGCCCCCACCAATGTGGTGGTGTGGTTGTTGTTGTTGTTGTTGCTGAAGATGAGGATGATGAGAAACGTGGTGATGCATATGATGATGTGGGTTATACATTGCTCCACGATCTAAATAAACTGCTTGGTAAGACATAGATTGTATGAACTACTATATCTCTATCTCTAGATTAGATAAATAATGTCTTCTTGTTCTTAAAGAATGATCTCCCCTTATTCTACAATCTTCTTTTTGCTCTAATTCTTTTCTAAATCTCTGGTTAGGGGATGTATGAATGACCCTAAATATAACTTTTTGTTGTTTATAAACAGAGAGAGTTCTCTAAAATATCTCTCTGTCTGTGGGATAAAGAAAGAGAGGAGGAGGAGGAGGAGGGATGGGGAAATGCTTTGTTTGCTCGATGCAAGGTTTAAGAGGGGACAGAGTCTATTTTAAAATAAAAAATTAATAAAAGGGATCGATCTAATGGTTCGGGTTCATAGATAGAAGAAAGAAAAGATGGGAAGGGAAGGAAAGGAAAGGAAAGGATGTTTTTGGTTTAACAAAAAAAAAAGATATGAACAACAATGAAACTATGTCTATGTTTGTGTTCCGGATTAGGAACAACAAGAGATTACTATAGTATTTGCAACCAAGACAACCGTTTCAAGATATTTCTGAACAAATCAAAACAAGATGTATGAAGGGTTTTTTTAAAGTTGGCTCGACAACCTGAGGTTGCTTGTTTTGCGGTTCCCTGCAAACGGCAAAATATCTGTCCCGACCAGTGTGTGTTTTGATCAAACCGTCAGGCAAACAGAGACAGAAGAAGATAGATGCCCAGACTTTGATTGTTGGTGAGGATTATTTTCATGATTGAATTTGATGGCGAGTTTGATGTTGTCATTTCAAAAGAGAAAGATTTGAATCTCTCTTGAGATGGGAGGGAGTGGTGTCATGACATGGCTCCTCATTGCAATCCTTACCTTTTGATATTCTTGGAATAAGTATAGTACTCTTTTGATTGTTGTTTGATCCACCCCACAAACGATAGAGACGATACAGACGATAAAGTCGAAACAGCAACAGCAGCAGCAACAACAACAGTACCTTGCAATTAGAAATGAAACCAACAATAATGGGGAAAGAACAACAACCAACATTAAAAAGTAAGCAGGAAAGAGGACAAACAAGGGAGTGATGATTGATTCGTCTCCTCTCTCTCTTTTTCTTTCTCTCTCGGTATCGTATACCATTCCAGAATATGATACCACCCCTAACCATATTCCATATACATATTTATAAATATAGGTGGTATTGTAAGAGTGGAGTGGGTGTGGATTGGAGATGTGTAAAAATGTATGATAAAATTAAATACAACATATATTATATATTATATATATGTGTGTATATAGATAGAACAAGAGTAAATTGTTCATATCATAAATAACAAACTTGTGTGGAAAAGATTTCACTTACTCTCTCCAATGTAGACTGGTCTCCTCTCTTTCTCTCTTCTCTCTCTGTGCAAGATAGATATTACCAATATTTGATAAAATCTAATTAGATTCTATTTGATTGGATTTGGTTGAGAGGGGAGGGAGGGAGGGAGGGGGATACTACCATATGATAATGGTCGACTTTTTCTAAAATTACACAACAAATACATACATACAACAAGAGAGAATGACAGAAATAACTGGATTGCTGGGTGTGTGTTTACTTTGGATATGTGGGATATGTGGTGTGGGTGGGATACTAATATTGAATGGATTAGGTTTTCCGACCGAACAATTGTTTTTTTCCTATTATTATTATTAATTTCGAATTTACCAAATAAAGATAAAGATATGGACGGGGAGACACAATAGAAAATTAAAATTAAAATTTAAACCAAACCACGACTCACAAAGATATGAAGGAGATAGATAGAGATAGATAGATTTAAATTTGAATTAATTTCAACTTACTAATTAAAAAATGATTTAGAATTTGTACTATTACAACTACGACTACAAATATTACTATTGAATATTACTATTGAATATTATTATTATTCTTTTTCTTTTTGGAATATTTAATATTGAAATATAAAAAGTATGTTGTTGTTCAGTGGGAATCAGGAAGAATAAAATATTATTGTTATTATTATTAAAGTATAATGAAATGTCTTTTAGATGTAGGGGGTCGTCTTAAAAGAGATTGATTGAGAGTTGGTTAAGAAATGATAAATAAAATAATTTACCTAAAATCATATGTGTGATAATCGATACGACCAATGGTTTGGACAAGAGTCTTTCAACCGGTTCATCTGGATTTTCCATTTCCATTCCGATTGGTCAAAATTGAATAAAAAAATAATTCATTTTTAAAATAGTCAATTGACCACCCTTTTCATTTCTTTCCTTTGCGCCCCATGGGAATTTTAAATAAAAATCACAATATTGATAAGTAAGTTTGTTGATGTTATCAATTGAGAGAGAAAGAGAGAGAGAGAGAGTAAATGTTGTTGTTGTTTGTTTTTGGGTAGAGGTGCCAGCTGGCAGCTGTACTCCTCTTTTCCTCTTCCTCTTTTATTATTATTATTATTATTATTCGGCTGTTACAGTTGTAGTCGTGGTGGTGTTGTCTTGTTCTTCATCATGTTGTTCCAATAATTGAATATACTTTTGAATGGCTTCATCTGACTCTTGTTCAGTTTGGATGAGTTGGATATTTTCAAATCCTTCGGCGGTCGAGGGAGCAATAAACATGCTTTGGAACTTGTCGATGATCTGGACACCTTCCTCTCCCTTGGGGATGGTGGGGTGGTTCTCACGCACGACAATACGTTTCTTGCATGTCTCTACGTCTGGTTTGAACCAGAGAATGTGGATGTTGGTGGCACCGTACATTTGTGCCAACTTGATCCACACACGTCTCTGTTGAATGTCAAAGTTGCATCTGTCGACAATGACCGACTCGCCAGCCTTGAGTTGTGTAATGAGGATATCCTCACACTTTTTTCTTGTACCCATCTCGTCTTGATTCACACGTTTCCATTTACCAAGCTCGGTTAGTTTTTGTGCAAAGTAACTCTTGCCACTGGCTGGATACCCAACTGTCAATATGACGTGTTTAACAGCAGCACTGGCACCAGTAGTAGCCTGTTGATCACCAGCAGATTGTTTACCTGGTTTAGCACTGGTCTTGTAACCACTGTTAAACTCTGGTAATACTGCCAAATCCATGATATCGTCTTCCCATTTTGCCCAAGAGAATTCGTCGAGATCGAGCTCGCGACGAAGCGACTGTTTGTCGACGGCCGACCCCTTTTCACGCAACTCTTGTGCAATCATGAGCACCTTTGTCTGGATGCCGCTGTCAAACTGCTCCCAATGGAACTTGTCCGTGTCGGCTGGTTTGATGGCCAAGATCGAGTCGTTGACCAGTTGCTGCCCATTCTCGTCCAATATATACAACACACGTCCCTCTTGTAAAAAGTGGTTGTACCAATACATATTCTCTGACAGTCCATTATCAACTCTAAACTTTTTGTTCACTTCCAACAAACTCTCCTTTATATCCTTTACAAGATTCGATAGGTTCTTTAGTGTTGATGGTTCATCCAATGTTACCAATCCCAAAGTTGGATCGGCAGCAGCTGACTCGGCAGCCAAAGGAATAAATGGTTTGATGAAACCATCATTTGAAATCTCGAAAAGGGGTTGAAGATTAGCTGCAAAGTTGTATTTAACAATATGGGCAACACGTGAGCCACAAAGTTCAAATACCATCGATCTACACGACATACTAGTCTTGAGTATTTCCAACAAATTCTTTACCATCTTTGAATCGTCTTGTGGAGATGCCAAGATATCTTGCACAACCTCCAATGTATTACTCTTTTTATCGTTTGATATAAAGTTTGATACACGTGGTCTTGCAGATACATAAACCTTTCCATTTGCATCGAAATATTTAAAGAATTGAATATTCATTCCTAAAATTGAAAGAAAAAGAAATAAAAGAGAGAGAGTTAGAGTTGACTTGGGTTGTTCTTCTTCTTTTTCTTCTTCATCTTTCTTTGTTTCTTACCATTCCATTTATTTGCCAAGAAATAAGATTTAAAAGTAGTATTTGGTAATAGAGATGGTTGGTATTTCTTGAGTTTAGGTGCTACGTGGATGTATTGACATTTGGTGAGTTCGACATTGTTTACTCGCAAGATAATAAAGTCACCTGATTGTTTGACAGTGACACCTTGAATGGTGTTTGCGTCATTCAATGGATCGACAGCTTGGAATGGTTGAACATCCTTTTCACCAAGTTTAAACTCATCGTAGACATATTGCAAACTCTCCTTTGAGATGGCACCCAATGTTGGTGATGATGGTAAAGTGAATGCATTCTTTTTGTTTTGTAGTTGTTTTGGATAATATGGTTGTTTCTTTGGTGATGATGAAGAAGCAGAAGGAGAAGTTGATAATGGAGATGATGTATTTGGTGTTGTATTCAAACTTAAAGCATCCAAGAAACTTGTAGCTTGGTTGATAGAAGCTTGTGTAGTAGCAGTAGCAGTAGCAGTAGATGGTTCCATTCTATTGTTATTGTTATTATTGTAGGTATAGTATTGAGAATTTGTACAAGTTGTTGTTGTTATTGGTGTTGTTGTTGATATATTACAAAGATGATGATGATTATTTAGATGAAGACTTGGTGATGATGTAGTAGATATTTTGATTTGTGTTGCAGCTGATATTGAACTTGTTTTAATAAACTTATTAAGCATTAATATGCATTCATATATCTTATAAGATGTTCTATAGTATGAAAGTAAAGTAAACAAAAAGTACAGAGCCAAGAGTCTTGTGACATGACTCTCCCTCCAGCTGGGTCGATATTTAAATTATCAAATTTCGCGCGATTTTCTCACAATAAACAAAAGAAGAAAGAAATTTGATTAGTTGTCATTATAGGAATCAGATTCCTTCCTTCTCTCTCTTTCTCTCCTCATCTCACCCCAACACAGTCTATCGATCCACCCAATCATCGAAATAACATTGGGATGCATCTCAGAATCTCTCTCTCTTTTTGACCATATGGAATGAATAATGAATGCGATACAATATCTTCTATTTTGAATGAGTAGCACTACTCAAATGGTTACAGATAGATATCTTTTGTTTCGGAATTTGAGGACATGTCTCAAGATACACTTTTGCTGAGACTATGAATGAATGAAGTGAGTGCAAGCGATGCTGCAAAGGTGAGTCTTGAATGACCAAGACACAGGCTGAAAAAATAAATTAATTAAATTTTATTTTCAATAACCATACTTTGGGTGTGAATACAATACACTCTTTGACAAACAAACAAACACACAAGTAATAGTAATAAAGAAACAATTACGGTTTAATACTACTATATTAAAGAGAAAACCCTTTATATTGGAGATCATTATACCATACATTACATATAATAATAATAATAATCAATCAATCATCAATCATGTCACTCTATCCTATCCCAGGTCAAGATGAACCAGACCAACAACAACCAGATTCATACTCTTCTACTACTACTACAACTACGACATCTGCAAGATACGAAGATCTACATTCTGTAGCAACACCAACAACACCAACAACTAGCAATAGCACCAATACTAGTACTACAGCTGCATTTGCCAATTTAAACATTGCTCATACTCCATCACCAAACATGTACCAATATTACAAGACTCAGGTTGTATCACCACAACTTCTTCAACAGCAACAACAACCACCACCACAACATATTGATGCATACCAACCTCCTCTTCCACAACAACAACATCAACAACAACAACAACAACAACAACAACAACAATATACACCACCACCAACAACAACAAATAATAATAATAGTGATAATACATATGGATACTTCTTACCAAAACAACAACCATCACCAGCTGTGATAACATCACCACAATCTAATTCAGTGGCTTCAAATGGTTCTATAGTCGCTCCAACAGTTACATCACCGGCAACTACTACAACTACTACAACCTCAACATCTACTCCAAGTCCAAACTCTAGTTTGAATGAAGAAAACAACAACAACGAATAATAATAATAATAATAATAATAATAATAATAATAATAATACCCCATCACCTTCTGGTTCGGTAACAAGTATTCCAAATAGATCAACTTCACCATTGATCCAATCAAATCCTCCTACCATTTCACTCCCAATTCCCTTTCTCAAGAGCCTGTCTTCTCCAACTTCGACTTCTCCAAGTACTCAACAACAATCATTGGTCGAACAACAAAAGGTCTATGAATTGTTAAAGACTATGGTTTGTATTAAATAATCAGTTGATTTTAATGGAATTGAATATAATATTAATATTAATATTTGATTGATTAATTATTTTAGAGTGGACAACTTGAATCTGTATTAAATATTGTAAACAAGAGTGCTGAAAGAATGCAAACATTGGAGGAAGATCTTAAATCTGTAAATCAAAAATGTGATTATTTGCAACAACAATTAAAGCAACAACAATCATCATCTCCAGCCCAATCACCAAATCAACAACAACAACCACAACAACCACAAGGAGTAATTTATTCACAAACTACATCTAATTTCCCACCAACTGTTTCTTATGGATCTGGGGGTGGTCCAGCTTCACAAATATTGGAGCAACAACAACAAGGACAAGGACAACAAGTGTTGCAACAACAACAACACCCACAAGCTGGATCGATTGCTGTGCCAATCAATCAACAGGGACAACCAATCCAAATGTTCCCTCCAGCTCCATTCTACCCCGTTAAGCCAATGGCATATCAACCAGTTAGTTTTGCACCTGGTGTATCACTAGGCCAACAACAATTACAATTACAACAACATTTACAACAACATCAACAACAACAATCACAACAACAACAACAACAACAACAAAATAATGGTAATAATAATAATCAATTTGTAAAAGATGCACCACCAAGTTTCCAACAACCTCAAAACAAATTACAACAAATCCAACAACAACAACCACAACACTTACAACAACAAGGAGGTTATGTTCAACCAAGTCAACATAGTTATATTTTCCATCAACAACAATTACAACAACAGTTACAACAACAACAACAACCATCGCCATCTCAATCACAGTCACACCATTCTCCACAAGCCCAACAACCACAACAACAATCACAACAACAACAACAACAACCACAATCAAGTGGAGCAACACCACTTCCATTCGACTGTCCAATGTGTACTCGCAAGTTTGCAACGGAACCAGAAATCAATCAACATGTAAATTCTCATTTTGAGGAACCTCCTCAATCTTCATCAAAACCATCAGCTTCTAGAAGAAACTAAAATTATACAATTATAATTATAATATCATTGTGTTTACCAAACTTTTAGTTTAAATTAATAATAATAATAATAATCAATTTTGTAAAGAAAAAAAAAAAAATCAACAAATTATTAGTTTTCTATAATCCCCTTTTTTTCTATATCAATAAATAATAATAATAATTAATAATTGTATAATTAAATTATAATTTATATTTCTATATTGTTTGATTTTATTATTTAAAATATTATTTATATTTATATTAATAATATAAATTTACTGTGTGTGTATGTATGTGTGAGTGAGTGAGAATTGATTGATAGATATTATAAATGTAATAAATCAAATCAACCTAGATTGATGATGATGATGATAGTAATTGTAATTATTATTATTGGTACGGAATTGTATCTATACTTTGGGTAGAAGAAAAAATTTTGATTTGTGAATTGAAATGTTATATCGAATTAGTAATATTTGTTATTGTTATTGTAATTGTTGCTGTTGTAATTAGATAATGATTTGGGTAATGAATGTATCATAATGATAGTTTTATCTAAATTGAGTAAAAAAAAAAAGAATTGATTGATTATATTTGTTGGAGAAGAATGGTGGTATATTTAAATGATTTAAATAACCTTGAAATATTTCAAAAGACCAAGTACAATACAACCAACAATAATCTAGAATATTTTAATGAATTGTTAATATATTAATATAATTTTCTATCTATCTATCTTTATATATAATATATCTATTTATATTCAAAGGATTACATACAAGAACTACTAAAGTAATAATAATGGTCAATCTCTTATTTTGCCACCAAAACTTTCTCTTTAGTTGAACAGAATTTGATTTGAATTGAACAGATTCAGCACGAAGCTTTTCAGTCTTATCTACAATGATTTCAATCTTTTCACCTCTGTTGATTGTCTTTTCCAAAGTGTTGGTCAATTCATCCTTGACCATTGAAACTTGATCCTTGACCATATTGATTTTGTTTGCTCCTGGGTTTGAATAGAATCTCTACAAGACAGACAGATAGATTATGGTTAATAAATATAAAGAAGATTTACAAGGCGATTGTTTGTTGTTTGTTGTTGTTTTAGTTGTTGCTTACCATTCTTTCCTCTAAAACTCTTCCAAATGGATCATATGTAGATGATGGTGTATTGAATGGGAGGTTGTTTCCATAAGATGAAGTGAATCTAGATTGAATGTCCATCAAGAAATCAAATGGGATGGCAAAACCAAGCTTCTCATGACAAAAGCAAATGAATACCAAATCATTCTCAGAGATATAATGAAAGTTGTGTCCACCAACTTGATAACTCTTCTTTGCATATGGTGCGATCTTTGTTAATAATCTATATATTGTGAGAGAGAAAGATAGATAGAAATATACATAATATATAATAAGAAAACAACATGACGATAATATTGTTTGTTTGATGATAACAAATCATCATTGTTTTTGTTAATATCTTTGCGCGTGGAATATCTTCTTTGTTCTTGTTCTTTTGTTTCATTTGATTGATCAACAACATACGCTCTGGCAGTATCAACATAACTAGCACGTTCAACGCATTGTTCAACAAGTACTTGTCCTTTGTAACCAATTGAAGCGTATAAAATCGTCATTCTATTATTTGTATTTGTATGTATATATTATCTATCTGTATGTTGTTAGTTGTTTGTTGTTGTTTGTTGTTTCTTTTCCTAAACACTCCTTCCTAATGATTGATGATGATGATACAAAAGTAAGTATAAAATATAAAATAATAAAATGAAAGACAAGCGATAACAAAGGGAAGGGGAAAGAGGTATTGTTTTCTCAGCTTATGGAGTTGGAATAAAAAAAAAAAACAGCACACCGCGATTCTCACTAAAAAATCTTTGTCTCTTATTGGTCGATCATCCAGCATATTAATAGGTTATTTCTCTCCCATCATATAAACAGACTTTTATACGTCGAGTTGTTGGACAATTATTATTCATTTCATTGTATGTTGGAGAACTAGTGATGAAGTTATGTTGTATACATACCTTATTTGGTTTGTTTGTTTGTTCTACTCGATCGACGTATAAAAAATAGATAGAGAAAGAGAGAAAGAGAGAGAGAGAGAAAACTTGCTGCTTTAACTGAAATATTTAGACTAGACTTGAAAAAGTAATTAATGAATCAAGAGAAACACAACACACGAACAGTACTGGCTGTGGAGCCAATCAATCAATCAATCACAAAAACAATAATGGACATAGAAATCCTTGGTTAACAGGAGGTACTGAAATGCACGTGGACTACATTTTTTGAAACCCAAGCGAAACAAGCATTCAATGCTTATTGAACTTCAAACAACAACCAACCAACCCCGTCTATCGAACTTCGACACCATCTATCTATCAATCTATATTTTATTGGTCAAGTCGATTATTATCATACCAAAGATCTTTCAAACCTTATTTTATTTCTTCCTTTTTCTCTTTTCCGACTTCATACCCTCTCCCTCTGCCTCTTGATTTACGAGAAGAGATTGTACGATTTTTGGTAATTGGAACGATGATCGTTTGGTGTACAGTCTCCTTTTTGCCATATTTGTAAATCAGAGTTTAACTGTACCCAATATAACCCTCGATCTTTTAATGCATCATGATGGGTTAGAGTAAAAGGTATGAATGGATGAATGATCATTGCAGCGGGTTACCTTTTCTAGTCAAACATAACACATTGTTATGTTGCAAGATTGATGATGGGCGACCCAAGAATATCAAAATCAGCTATCCTATCCTTTTGGTTGTATGCCATATATCAACTATAATTATACGCCCCATCCTCTTTACTAATATATCCATCACAACGACTTTTTGTTGAATCATGATTGGGTTGGTATTTTTGTTAACATTACAGGAGGAGGATCTACGAATGTTGGGAGGGATGTATTTAAAGCATCTAAAAATTGGAGATACAAAAAACTAGACTAAAAAAGACTGTACAAACAAACGTATTCACCTACCTACCTCCCAATGATTTGATTAATTAATTTCCTTCCTCGTCGCTCTATCAAAATCTACTGCAGTATTCGACAACAATCCATTTCTGTAAAATATCTATTTCTGTTTGACATCTGTGGCAAAGCCCCAATCAATTTGAAGCTTTTTTAGGGTTGTGTCCCCCAAAGAGATTGAAATGGACCGTCCAGATGATGATGAGATTGACAAACATAGCCCCCTCTCCACAAGAATCAGTGAAGTGTAATGACAACAGTTCCTGATCAGGTATAGTGGCCACCTTGTTTATTAATCAAACCTCCCGACTTTATTAATGATGCATATCTGTTTCCTTTCCTTCAACTAAAAATATGAAGCCAAAGGGGGGGTTGGATTACCTTTGATACCTACCTAGGTATGTATCCATGGCATTCCTCCTTTGAGATTGTGTCTAAACGACTTACGACTCTGTATACAGTCAAAGGACAGTTCCCTCCTCATTGCAGCCCTTCACAACCATCAATCATCATCTTGCAAGCTACAGCATGCTGCAGAACACCCAAAGCTATAAATCTGTCACTTCTTCTTTCCCATCAAACAAACCATTCATTCCAATCAATCTATTCAATCAATCATCCCAACTACAACACAATTAATTTAACATCTTTTTATTTATCTATCTATCTATTTATCTATCTACTATTTCTTTTTTTGTTACTTTTAAAAATGATGATGAAAATATCAACTTTATTTTTGATAGTATTGTCTTTAATAGTTGGAACTTTTGGACAAACAAGTGTATATCCAGATGTATCTAGTTCATACCTTGGAGCTGGTGACCCCGGTGTATCATACTTGCCCTCGTATCTAGGTCTCAAGTTACATTTACGTTGCTACTCTAATGTGACTACTGCCAATCAAAACGGTCCAATTGCATTGTTTGATGCAGGTCTTCCATTCTTTTCTACTGCTTGGGTGTCTGTTATTCCAGCGGTCTTGACCAATATGCCAGCTTGGAATATCAGCAAAGCTTGCTTTATGGATCGTTATGGCTACGGTTGGTCCGACGCATCACTCTATCCCATCACAACACAAGACTATGTCTTCCGTCTCCACGGTTCACTTCAAGTTGCAGGTCTCACTGGTAAAAAGTATGTCTTGGTTGGTTGGTCTTGGGGTTCGATCTTTGTGCAAGCCTTTTCACTCGCCTATCCCAAAGAAGTAGTCGGAATTTTGACAGCTGACGGAACTGATTCAAGATGGGGATTCATCTCTTCCAATCAACAAGCTATCATCACCTACACCAACACTTACACCAATCTCATGACTCAAAACAGTATGGACACACTCGAACCAAGATGTAGAAATGGTGAGATTGGACTTGGATACGGATGGTTCCCAGATCCCTTGGTTAGTGCCGGATACACCTCTGAATCGATTGTTTCCTCTCAAGATATCTTCCTCACCAACAAATACCTAAAGACTGCAATTCAAGAGTACAATATTATGGTTATCTCCTCTGCCTTGCTCAATTTCACCTATGTTCTAAAGGGATCGACTCTCAAGGATCTTCCCTATGTCAACATATATGAAGCCTATGATCCAGACTGGCAATCCCGTCAACTCTATATGACCTCGCTCTCTAGTAACTCGGCTGCCTATCTATACACGACCGATCATTTCTTCCCCTTCACTAATAGTCCCGCTATCGTCTCTGGTCTCACTGCACTTACTCAAAGAATTGCTACCACTCCAGGTGTTTTATGGGCAAATGGATTTTAATCAAATAATAATAATTTAATTTTTAATTACCCAACTTGGAATTAAATTATTATAATAATAATCAATCTCTCTCTCTCTCTCTCAGACCCACACAATCACATTATTTATTCAACTAATAACTATCTATTACATCTAAATAACTATTATCTTATCAAATTAAATTAAAATAAACCTTTTTTTTGAAAATGGAAATTGATTTATTTATTTATTTGTTCATTTATTTAATTTATAATTTATTCAAATGGAATTCCAGTTGTTTTTGGGTAACCAATAACATATAAAGAGAATATTGGACTTGGACTTGATGAATAATTGGATGCTTCCTTTTTGTTATAAAAGTGTTTGTTTGGTACAAACTCTTCATTCATCAATGATGTTTCAGGACCACGGTGAAATTTGTAGACCATGTCTTGAGCATTTGGTAGATTGAATGATCTAATGGTTTCAAGAAATGGTTTCCAAATAGATGCAAACTTTTCTTCATTGTCAAAATAATCCATAAAACAAGAGAAATGTTGAATGGTTTGTTCATGTCTTTTGATAATCTTGGGACACCAATCTTTTATAAATAATTCATCACAACTACCATACAAACAAATCTCTTCCAATGATACTGGTATCCCTCTATCTTCATCTTTATCTTCATCATCATCATCATCTGGACTGTCATCATCATCATCTGTGTTGTTGTTATTGGAGAGAAAAGTCAATGTTTTATCTTCAAATTCATTGTCCAATGCATTATAGATAAATGATCGTAAATTTGGTAAATGTAACATGATCACGATATAGTCTTCATCATCTTCATGGTATGATGTTGCAACACCTGCCAAATACTCTATAGATTCTAATACATTATTTGCTATTGTATGGTAGTTGTTGAGTGTTTGAATCTTTTGATGTACATCATATGTAGTTGTTGTTGTATCAATGTCCAAACAATCACAAGGTTTGAATGTTGTTTCTGTTTCCTTGTTGTATTTTTGATCAATGTCTGTTGCATACTCTAGTATCGGGTTGAGAAAGAAGTTTTCGGTTGATATACCAACATGGGTGATTGTCTTGAGTGGACAGTACGGACTGATCAGATGATCAAACACGTCGAGACAGGTATCAGAGTCGGGTGATAGAGAGCAATATGGTCGATACACATGTGTACACCATTGCGACACATATCTAAAGAATCTCCAACACACTAGATCCAATTTGATATCATTCGAGTAATAGACGATCAATGCTTGTGTAGTATGTGGCAAACTAGCTGCAAGTGTCAAATTTACTCTATCCTCTCTCCAAAACTCTTTTATCTCCGCATCATCCGTTGCATCATCACCATCACCTCTTCCTCTTCCTCTTCTATTTCTTTTGAATATATTAATATGTTCTCCTTGAGTATTTATATTTAAATCCATTTCTCGAAACAAAGAGAAATAGAGACTAGTCTCTCTCTCTAACAAAAAAAAAAAAGAATAAAATAAAATTAAAAAAAGATGAAGTTTGCCGGAGTTATCACGATGATGTGCGTTGGTTGGGTTACTTTTCATATTTATTGTGTTGTATTAATATCTATATATCTATATTTATCTATATTTATTTATATTTATTTATTTTTGTATTATTACTATAAATATATATATATACGACGAGATAGAGAAAGATGAGCAGTTGTCATCAATGTGACTGCAAAAGCTTTCAGGCTAATCCGTTCAAGCCAAAGTACTGTGCGATATGTCTACACAACCACACTCAAAGCTCTAGTTCGCTACAGACACTTGTAAAGAACGATAGTGTGGGCAATGCATCCCCTCCTCTTCCAAAGAAGCCTAGCAGCGGTAGCAGTGCAACAAGTGTTCAACCACAACCACTCACCAAATCCAACTCATTCTCTTCACTTCCATCAAATGGTGGCGGCAACAACAACAAAAAGCCACTACCACCTAAACCACCTGCATCATCATCGTCATCGACAACATCTAGTCTTGCAAGCAGTACTGGTAGTGTTGCAAGTAAGAGTGCTAGTTCTATCAATGTATCATCATCGTCGTCGGCAAAATCTACTGCAAGACCAAAAGCACAAGATTTCACAAAATCATCTTCATCTTCATCATCAACTTATTCATCCTCTACAAAGTATAATACAACTACATCTGCATCACCATCAAGAAAGAATACATCATCTTCATCATCGATTATGAGTAAGTTGGGCTCTTGGAAGGGCGCCATTCAAGGAAAGGTGTCAAATTTGATGAATAATGATGAAGACGAGACTGATCAAGTGATGGAGATCTCGGGCCCGACCGACTATAAACACAACACTCACATTGGCATTACAAATACTGGTGTCATCGAAACAAAGAATATTCCAGAGGAATGGAAACATATCTTTAAGAGCGTCGATCAAGCTCTTAAATCTACTGGTAGAAAGGGTGTCACTAGAAAGGAAGCTGCTCTCATTCTCAGTGCTGTTCTAAGTAACCAAGCTGCTGCTGCTGGAGGACAATCCCCTAACCCAACCAGTCCAACATTGGCAAATAAACCATCCAACTATAATAATAACAACAATAATAATAGTAATAGTACCAGTAGTTATAACAAACCAACAACAGTAGCATCACCAAGTATAAACAACTATTATTCATCTGTTCAACAACAAAAGCAATCGACTCCATCTAGTCCTTTACCAGCAGTACCAACCAATAACAATAACAATAACAACAATGTACCACCTCCACTTCCACAAAAACCATCACCTCCATCTCCATCTGTTGCAGTTAATGTATCGTCGTCACCATCATCGTCATCATCAAATCAACAACAACAAGAGATTCAACAATTATTGGAAAAGTTAAGAGCTAGTGAAAGTAAATATAGAACATTAGAACAAACATTCCAAAATAGTGAACGTGAGCTTGGGTCGTTGACAACCAAGTACAAGGCGTTGGAGAGTGGCAACCAGATATTGGCAAGCGAGCGTAAAAACATGGAGACTGAATACAACACGTTGAAGCAATCGTTGCAAGGCAGCAAAAAGACAAGCGAGTCTGACAAGAAGCCTTTGCTCGACAAGATTGCTTCGCTCGAGGCTAAGCTTGCCGACTTGGACACTGAGAAGCGTTCAATGTTGCAGAGCGATGACACCAAGGACAAGCGAATCAAAGAGTTGACAGGCAAGCTCAAAGACGTCGAGCAGTCGGCATTTGACCTCTCATTGAAAAACAAAGAGGTTCAAAGCGAGTTGGACACATACAAGACCTCTTTCAAGGCCGAGCAGGGACAGGTCAAGGACCTCGCCGTACAATTTGTGCAAAAGGAAAAGGACTTGAGAGAGGGCATTGAAAAGCAGTACAGTGGTAAGCTTCAACAACTCAAGGACGAGTCGGAGCAACTAGCCACCAAGCTACAACAAGCCGAGACCAAGGCCTCAAAGGCCGACGTTGAATTACAGTCGCGTCAAAGAGACGTAGCTACACTTGCCAAGCAAAAGGACGAGCTCCAAAAGCAGTCTGATTCCTACCGTGACAAGTGCGACAAGTTTGAAACCGACTTGGACCAACTCCAATCGACCCTCAAGAACCTCAAGAGCACACATGCCCAGTCACAGGCTGTCATGGACTCAACCACCAAACAAACCGAAGATTTTAACACCCAAATCAAGACACAGAACCAAACCATACTCAAACTCAACAACCTCGTCGACGAACAACAAATTCAACTCGACAAGGTCAAATCAGAGGCCAACAGTCTTCGTCAACAACTTGCACAGTCACAACAATCTGCCAACACTCAACAACAACAATATGCTCAACAACTCGAAGACACAAAGGCAAAGATGCAACAACAACATGCCCAACAACTCGAAGACTCCAAGGCAAAGATGCAACAACAAATATCCACACCACCAGCATCACCACCAGTTGTACCAAATGCACCACCCCCTCCACCTCCTCCTGTGGCTCCACCTCCACCACCTCCAACAACCAACACCAACACTGGCAAGGCTCCCGACACCAACAGAGTCGCATTTTTGGACAGCATCAAAAAGCCAGACATTGTTCTCAAGAGTGTTAGAGATTCAATGGTCATCAAATATGATCCAGCCCAAGACGCTGATCCAAACAATATGGTCAACATTTTGGTAAGAGCTCTCATTGATCGTAGAGCTGGTATGAATGAAGAAGAAGATGATGAAGAAGATGGCGATATGAATTGGGATGATGATTAAAGCAACTAACTTGTATAAAATAATAAATTTATTTATTATTGTATTATTAAATACCACATATCCCTTTTTATTTCCTTTAATTAATCCTTGTTTGATGACATTTTACCAATGTTCAAAATACAGAGAAAATTTATGGAAAAGTATTTTTCTACCACCCAAAGTCCCATAAGATTTGGCAAGCTATTAAATTTTGATACATTCATATTGTTGTAAACAAATAAGTATACTCAAGGCCTCTTTCAGCTATTAACCTACTATGTTATTTATAATCAAGTGGCGACCCACTATTCTCGAAGAAGAAACCCCCCCCCCCCCCCCGAGGCCTGTTTAAAACCTTTTTTTTTTTTGATTTTTTTTTACATTTATTTATTTGATTTATTTAAATTACTTTTACAATGTATTATTATTACTATAAAGATAATTTAAACTATGAATTTTGAAACGAGATAATAATATATGGATTTGATAAATATCCCAAAAATTACAATTGATTGGATGGATTGGACATGAAGCGAGTAAAATGTACGTTGGAAAAGTAAGAGCTTGAACATTCTTTACAAAGTATAGGATGGTATCATATTGTTTGGACTTTATAGCATATAGAAATGCTTCTGGTGTTAATGCATTTTCAAAGAGATGGGGATATGTGTCAATCATTTGATGCAATGGCAAACAGGGTGCTGCTATGAGAATGTTGGCATCAATCTTTGGCAGAGTGCCTTGGAATTTTTCTTTTTCCAAATATTTTAATACATCTAGATCCTTGTTGAATAGAGAGCATAATCGAAGGGAATCTTCTGTAAATTGTACATATTTCAGTTTCATTGCATCAATCTCTTTGATTAGGTCGATGTCTCCAGTTCCACAAGCCATGTTTCCACAAAAAGTTTGGTCTGGTGTTTTTCGAATGAGCGTCTGTACACCTTGTTTAAAGTGTGGTCGATTCTTAAAGTTTGTTGGAAATTCTTGGACGTTGGTGAGATGTGGTGCTTCTATATTGTTGAATTTTGAACGAATCACCGTTTCCATGTTCTTGGGAAGATTTTTAATAAATCCATCATAAGCTGGGATCTTGGTGAACAAGGTTTGATCACCATCCCAATAGATGAGTGCGTTGACAAGATGTTCCTTGGCAATGATTTTCTTTTCGAAAAAATATTTTAAACAATTTAAAGAGAGATCACTTGATGAACCAGTCTCTTTTCTAGTCATAGTATTTTTCCACAAGAGTCTAATGGCAAGTTGATTTTGTTTGTATTCTCGGTCTTGATGATTTCCATCTTGTTTGATTAGTTTTTTGGCCAATACAAATTCGATCATTTCAAAGTTGATTGTTTTGATCGTCGACACTATAGACACTTGTTGTGATACTTTTAGATTGAGATCTTGCAATAGATGTGTCAATGTTTTTAAATCACCACGTTCAACCAGTTCTGTAGGGTTGAATACTTTGATTGCCTTTTCCATTGCCAATAAATGTTCGACCGTTCCAATCCTCGATCGATTAATATAAATGTCTAAATTGAATCGAACCGAATCTGTAAATGGACATTTTGGTGATAATACAAATGCAATCATTTCATCTGATAATTCCGTATCAGGAAGAAATGGGATTGATATGGCGTACTGTGATGTTTTTTTTGAAGTTTCTATAGTGTCATTTTTGTATAGATCAAATGATAAAACCATATCAATGATATCCATATTATTTGAACATACTGCCGAATAAATAACCTCTATCTCACCATTGTGATCGATTGGTAGGATACTGTCCTTTGTATTTTCGTCCAACAACATTGATAAAATATCTTTGTTTCCCTTTTTAATTGCAAGGTGAATGGCCGTATGACCAATACGACTCGAACCAATTGTTTCATCCAAAGGTTTTGAATATGTCTGCAAATGACACTTGTCCAAGAAATAACGGACGAGACGTACACTACCCTTATCAATTGCTCGATAAAGAGGGCTAGTATAGTCATCGGCAAATGACCACTGCTCGCTGTCGTTTTGAACCAAGCAATCTTTGTTGTTTTGCAACTTTTTAGATAATCAAACATTTCAATTGCTCTATTCTCCTTGTCTTTGTCCTGTGCAGCACCATCGATTATATTTATAATGGTTTGTGTGTTCCATTCAATGGCTAGAGACGAATCCAACAAGTATTTGAGCAACTCCAAGTTTAAGTGACGTGCTGCTTGGTAGGTTGACTCGACCGAGACGAGAAACTTGAAATAATGAACGCCTTTGGATGTGAATAGACGATGAATGAATTTGACAATGTCTAGGCGGTTTGCACAGGCAGCGGCATCGATTGGTCGAATGGGATAGATCGAGTTGTAAAAGTTGCTTGCCAAGTGTGCCAAGATACGACTGAGCATCTCTACATGAATCGAGTAAAAGGTGACAAGACTGAACCGCACACCTTCAAAATCCCCCTTTGCAGCCATCACATGCAACGGTTGTGACATTCTTTGAAGGAATGCTTCACCCTTTAAAATTGTGTTATCACGATGCCATAGAATCTTGCATAGTAGATATCTATTCTTTAACATAAGAGTTGCCAACTCTTCTTTTGATAATGTCATTTAAATGAATGAATAGATAGATAGATAGATAGATCTATCTATCTCTTGAATTCTATACAAACAACTATCTTTAAAAAAAAGATGAAAAGTCAGATCGAGTAATTTTTGAGAAAATAATAATATTTATTTCCTTTTAAAATGCCAAGTTATAAAGCATTGCAATTAAAACCATTAATATTGGTATCAATATATAAATAACAGTATTACTTTTGGAACTACTACTACTACTACTACTACTATTTTTGTCTGCGTTGACATTGCTATTTTCTGATATTTTATGTTTGAATCCATTATTCTTGTTGGTTGTTGATCTGGATGTTGTGGCTGTTTTAGAGTCTGTCAACTTTGATGATCTTTCCAACTCTTGTTTGGTAGATTCAAATGAATGAACCCATTTTGGTTTTTTTTGTTGTTGTTGGTTGTCATTGTCACTACTAGTAATTACTTCTTCAAGATTTAATCCTAATAACTCTAATAATCTATTTTTACAATCTTGTAGAGGTTCATCTTCATTTAAATAATCACAAATGTCAATATGATCTACCCAACCAATCGACACACGTTTTGGTAGTGGAACTTGAAGTGTTGGACTATTAACAAAACAAGTAAAGTACTTTGAAATCGATCGGTTGTTGGTGATGATCTGATCAAACAATGTCTCTAACCTAGAAATGAATTGTCCAACCAAATCTTGATATAAATAATTGATTGCAGTTTCCAATGTTTCCTTTTCATTTATATATGCTTTACATTCAAATATTCCACTTTGAATCATTAATTTAAATGGTTGTGGTTGTTGAATATCACTATAATCAGCCAATGTAGCACTAGCTATTGTTATTGGTGTCGTTGATATGGTTGTAGGTTGATTTGATAATTTTAAAATTGGTTGATTTAATAATAAATCAATTTGGTGACAAGAAGAAGAAGAAGAAGAAGAAGTACCATCACTATTACTATTATTCTTTTTAATATTCTTTACAAGTGTTGTAGGTGGTAAGATTAAACTATCATCACCATTTACCAAATACATTGAATCCTTTAATTCACTAGAATAATACATTGATTCAATTTGCTTTTTTAAAACTATTTCCAAGTCTACCGCTGTACTATAATAATAAATAAATTAATTAATAAATTATCTTAAAAGTTAACATTATTTCTTTCTTTGCTCATTATTTTTACAACATACTTGTTTAAATCAATATCAAGTTGAATGGATAAAGATGTAACCAATTTAAAACAAGATAGTGTTTTTGAAATATTTGGTGATGGGAATACTATATTATCTGATTGTTGTTTAAACTTTTCATACTTGACAGTAGTCATATCATGTGATTTAAGTATATATTGTTTAGTTGATCTAAGATAAATCAATACATGCATATTTTCAAGTGTTTGTGAATAAACTATAAATAATTAAATTAAATGAATATTGTCAATAATCAAACTAACCAACTACTTCCTCTCTTTGTCTCATACATTTTCTATCTGAAATCAAACTATCTCTTATTGATTTCAATATCTTCCATAATAATGAATCATTTTTAGAATCTGTTGTCAATGTTGCAATTGATGGTACTGATAGATAGATACCGACCACTGAAACACCTCCATACATTAGTTTAGATACTTGTCTTGCATGTTCAGATATCCAAATCTGATCGAAATCTTTAATTGTCTTGTACTTTGTTATTTGATTGTCTTTACAAAGAAAAAGACAACATCTTTTTTAGTAAGTAACATGATCTTATAGTATAACAGTCATCATCATCATCAATCATCAATGTGTACACATACCATCACCATATAAAGGTGGAGTTGGAACAGACCCAATAAATACTTGATTCTGTCCTATAATCAATCCTTGACCAATCTCATCTCCTTTTACTTGTAATTGATCCATCTTTTGTTTCACGTAGATAGATAACTAAGTATAGTATACTTGAAGTCCTACTACAGTATCAATACTCTAGATGAGCCAGACCTTGACATGATTTTAATTTAATTTCTTTTTTTTCATTTTTTTTTTCATTGAGTGAGTTGGTGATCATTCGTTTCTTGCACTTTATGAGGAGTAATCAGTATTAGTTTCAAACTATATAACTATATTAGTCTAATTTAGAAGAACAAGAATGAACCCACTCATCCAACTCAAGCTCAACACCACCATCAAGCAAGCAGTCCACTTTGGTAAGACTTGGGGTGTCACTCTTTCATTCTGGGGTGCTACTGCCTCCCTCGGTCTCTTATACGTTGTTCAACCAAGAATCATCTTCAAGCACCTCCCACTCATTGGCGACCAATACTTGACTGCCAAGGATATCGAACAACAAAAGAAGCAACAACAAAACTAAATAGAATCAATACAAGAATAATAGATAGAATAGAATCATAATTAACGACCCAATAATAATAGTATTAGGATGATTTTTTTGTAAACAACATACACAACCATCAGTAGATGTATAATATATGAACGAATGAATGTAGGTATACATATATAAATTGATATCTTTTGAAGATAGATGACTAATCAATCATATATGATCATCCTACCTACCCTATTCAGCAGATAGATATTTATATAGTCAAAGAGAGATGGCGAAATAAAACAAAATAGTATTATAAAACAAACATAGGAATAGATATATATTGAACATTATAATGTTATTTGAAATAAGAAGATATACTTGGTTACACATACATTAAACAGATATTACAATTTATTGTTTGATTTGTTAATAACATATATATGATTTATATAGTTAAAATGGATGGCCATAAGAAGGGTTGGTTGGTTGGATGGTTGGATATTAATATATTAATTCAAAAACTACGATATGTTGTTATGATTTACTATTACTTGGTTATTATTATTATTACTTTAAGGTTAAAATTGTTGTTATATACAAAAAAAAAGGGGGAGAGATATAGGGAATAAATGATGATAGATTCGATTTAAACTTTACTCGTCTGAATCGTCTTCATCATCTTCATCATCATCGTCATCTGAATCATTTTGATTATTTGTTGTACTATAAGAACTCTTATAATTATCACCATATGCATTATCCCATTTAGAAGGATCGGTACCACCAAATACACTGAATGGAGTAGCAAACGATGACATTAGTTCCTTGCCAAGTACTTCCATCGATGACATGACAGTCTCGGCAACCTCTGGTTGTGCCAACAATTGTTTGTCGTGTTCCTTTACAATGTGTGGTATTTTGGATTTGATGAGTGCACGATCCAGAGTATCTGGCAATTCTTGGAGATAGTCCAAATAGACAACCTTGTGTCTCCAAACCTTTTCACTCAAAAATGGTGACATCATCATAAACAATACCTTTAACCATGTTGATGGATGAAGTATATAGAAATGTTTTAGATTCTTTTTATAACTAAATGAATCAATGAATACAACTTTTAGTATTAGAAGTTCAACTGTATAGTACACATCGATCCCATGTATTCATTCATTCATTCATTTTATATAACTTACTTTCTTGGTAATAATTGGTATGTCTTTAATAACCATGCACGGTCAGGTGTACTTTCTTGAGCCAAACCATGGTGAGAATAGATGATACTATAATGACCTCCAGTAACCAAAGGTTCTAATGTTTTACTAAAAAAAAGTAGAGAATAAGAAATGAGTATCATTACACTATTATTGCTACTGCTACTATTGTATTACATACCACATATAAGACATCATTTTATCTAAACCACTAATACCCAATGGTAGTTTATTAGCCAATACCAAGTAGACGGGATGACTCTGTTCATCCAATCCAACGGGTATAAAGCAACCAGACTGTGCAATATCACCAAAGTCTTGAGCACTTGCTTTCTCCATTAACTCTTTATAAGCATCTGTTACTCCTTCCAACTCGCTTACTCCAATCGTTGCTGCTGTTGCCATTTCTATTTCTATTTATATATTATATTATATTATATTAAATTAATTAATTGTTCTCTCTTTAAAACTATATAACTATAAAACTATTTATAAAAGAGTGCTGTGATTATCCTTCCTTCCTTCACCTTGCAAGAGTATTATTGACTGTGAATGTTGTTGATTTGTGTAAAGGGGAAGTAGCTATAGTAACAAACAAACAAACAAACTTCACACACAAATAAATAAAATTGCTTTTTGAAAAGTGAGGTGTGTTGTCATCGGTGATGAAATTGCTTCGACGACATGTCGCCAAATGAGGTGCCGAAAAAGGAAAGTTACAATTTTTAAATTAATTTATATAAATCTTTGTCTAGACGAGAGGGTCTCGGTTTGATTGAGTGGAGGAAGTTTAGATAGATTTAGATTGTGGTGATATCTATCAAACTATCAATTGATCAATTAATAACTAAATATTATTTATTTCTTTATGAATGAATGAATGAATGAATGAATGGGAATGATAAAGGAAGGTGAGGTTGAAGGTCTCAAAATCAAAGAATGTTGGCGAATAATAAAAAAGGTTGACAACATGATCGTTTGAGCTAATAGACAAATGAGGACAACCTATGATGGAATATATACGCAGCAGCAACAAATTATTAATTTAATTTATTAAAAATTTCATCTAGAATGGGTTACAATGAAACGACAACCATTACAACTTTCATTATAACGAATAGTAGATAGATAGATAGATAATATAGATAAGAGATAGTAGAGAGAGAGGATGTTTAAAAAATTAAAAGAAAAAGCATCAGCAACTACATCAAGTTTAGCTGAAAAGGCATCAGCTGCTAGTACAAGTGTATCAAATAAAGTGTCGACCAAAGTAGACGAGGTCAAGGAAAAGAGAGCACAAGATAAATTGACAATCGTAGTACCACAAGCTGAATCATCTGCCATCAAAGGTGGATTCGTCGTTGCAATCGGTAACAATGAATCAAAGCAATTGGTACAAGGTCCAAAGGGCAGCACAAACTATAAACAAATGACTGCTATCATCCCTTCCTTTTTAGTTGATATTGCATATGTTAGTGTTGGTCATGATCATATTTATTTTGTTTCTAGTAAGTATAAAGAGAAGAATGAAAAGAGAGTAGTCGATAGAGTATCTAATTAATTTATTGTTTTTCTATTCAATAGAGGATGGTAAATTTTATTATTCTGGATCAAACAAGGATGGACAATTGGGAGCAATGTCACCATCAAAAGATGATCAATTGGTACAATTTACCAATTTAAAGATTGGTGCCAAGAGTGTTGTTTGTGGACACCATCATACTATGTTTTTGTGTGATAAGGGTGCGTTGTACAGTACTGGACGTGCTGATATGCTTGGTATCAAGACGGATGAAAACAAGTATTCTCCCAACCAAGTCATAACCCTTGCCAACAAAAAAATTGATCTCTATGCAACTGGACCAAAGCATTCCTATGCTGTTGATGATACTGGCAATATCTATGCATGGGGACGTAGTGATCTACTAGGTCTTGGTCAATTTGTAAAGGTTAAACAAATCTCTGTACAACGTAAAGAACCAACCCTAATAGAACACACTGGATTCTTAAACTTTAAAATTGTTCAAATTGCTTGTGGTGATGAACATACTCTTTGTTTATTACGTATGTTGTTGGAGTAATAACAAAAAAACATATTACCAACATGACATTGTTACTAATTACTAACTTTTGTTTTGATTGATATTTTTTTAGAAAATGGAGCAATCTATGCATGGGGTAGAGGTGAAGAAGGACAGCTTGGTAATGGAGTCAAGGAAACGAGACAATCACCAATTCCAATCGACTCACTTGCAGGTCTTAAATTAAAATCGATTAGTGCTGGTGCATTCAACTCGGCAGCGATCACTGATGATGGTGAATGCTATGTATGGGGTCAATACCACAAGTCTATCCTCAAACCCGAGCCACTCAATACTGGCGACCGAAAGGTATTGAAAAATGTAGCACAAATCTCTCAAAGCGGATACTACAATATTTTGTATACAACAACCAATGACGTCTATACATTTGGTATCGATTATAAACTATCTACAGAAGCTGCATGGATTCCAACCAAACATCACATCGATGATCCATTCCTCCTAACTAAAAAAATTACTCAAGTTGTTGCTTCCTCTTCTAATTTCTATTGTATGTATTATTAATAATAATAATGAAAAAGATTTATATTATATATTTAATTAATTTATTTATTAAATTAATTTATTTTTAATTTTAAAGTGATTGTTTATGAAGGATCATCAATGGAACCAAAATTCAAAATTGATTATACATTGGGTAATGATAAGACTAAATCACTACAACCACTTGCTCCATCACAGTACAGACAAAACATGAATGCTTTGTTGGCCAAGCCATCCAAGCCATCTACATCATCAACAACCACTTCAACAACGTCAACTACATCAACAACAGCCTCTAAACCAATAGGTGCAGATACATCTAAACGATCATCATTGGATAGTGATAGTGATGACGACGATGATGATGAGGAGGATATTTTATAATTCATACATTCATTTGTTTCCCAACCAACCAACCAACCAACCAACCAACCAACCAACCAACCAACCAACTACGCAAAAATTAATTTATTTAAAATTATAATTATTAATCATTGATTGATATTTATACCTCCTTTAGCAATATTGATTGAAATCAATACTCAAATAATCTAATAAAATATTAAATTTATAAAATATAAATAATTTGTTTGAAAGGATTGTGTAAAGCTACTATGAACTAGTAGTTTGATAGAATAATAAATTTTATTATATAATACTATTATTATTACTATTACTATTATTAATCTGTTTGTTGATCTTTAAAAATTGGAGGTGATTTTAAATCTACAATATTTAATAACTTTAAATTCAATTCCAATTGTTCACCTCGCTCACTTGCTCTGACCATTTTAGCTCTGACCACAATACCAACATAGATAAATGATGATACAACCAATGTAATGATAACAATCCAAGGCAAAGAATGCATGCTTATATGATGTTGACAAAGACCAATCACCCAAGGAATGGTAATTTCTCCACCCACAGCACCAATCACCATGAATGAAGTTGATTCACCACTCACTGGCATATTCAAGTTTCGAGGCAAAGAGAAACAAGTTGGGAAAATAGATGCCAATGAAATACCCAATCCAGCAGTCGATATAATTAAAATAACTGATGAACTTTTAAATAATACCAATAATATAGAGAAAAATAAACATCCACCAATATCCATCATTACCATTTGCTTCAAAAAAAAAAATATAAAAGAAAATAAATAAATAAAGAAGAAAAATTAAGTTAATAATCAATCAATCAATATTTTTCTATTTTTTTTTTTTAATTAATTCTTCTTACATGAGGAGTTAAAACCATTGAAACAAAAACACCAACTAATCTACTAATAGTAAAACTTGTCCAAAAGAGTGAATTTAAAAGAGCAGCTGATTGATCCTCGAAATTGAGATTTAATTTAGAGTAGGTGTAGATCCAACCACCATAACCAGCCTCTGCACCAACATAGAAAAAGAGGAATATAGACACAGCTATAATAACCTCGAGACGTAATCTCTTTTCACTCGTTGAAACTACCTCTTGTGATTCTTGATCGTTTGCTACAATGTCTGGTTTGACAGGTGGCAAGAAAAATATTGGCACACCTGCTGCAAACATGATAATCGACAATACCAAATACTGTGTAAACAATGATGAATTTATCATAAAACTAACTAAAAATGGTGCCAATAATGCTCCAACACCAAATGCAACTAGAAAAGAAATTGAAATTTAAATTAATAAATAGTAGGTAAATAAATAAATATATGTATATGTAATGTTTTACACATACAATGTAATAATTGCATAAATGGATTAACCTTGTCTTGCCAAACCCAAACAATCATTGTATTTAAACCTGAATCGATTAATCCAGCAAATCCACCTTCAAAAAAGAATATTATTCCTGTCAACCAAATCTATTGTTCAAAAAAACAAATAATCATAAGTTAATTAATATTTTATACCTTTATGTGATATATATATATTGTATTTGTATTTGTGTATTTGTTTACATACATTATGAGATAATGGAATTAAAAATAAAGCAACAGCCATTAATATTGTGGCAAGTCCACATATTAAATTACCGTTTGGAACACGGTCATAGAAACGGCCACTAAAACTACCGAAAAAGTAGCCAAGTCCTCTTGCACTGAAAAAGTAACCGACCTGATCCAATGTACTGTGAGTATTGGTTGATAGACTGAGTAGTGTCGGACCAAGACTACCAACACTAATACCAAGTGACACAAAACAAAGTAGATAGGATATGGTCAGAGTCAACTCTCTCTTGTATATTTGAGCATCGACTCTTAATTTGTTGCAATAGTTTAATATTCGTTCATAGGGGTCGAGATTTGCCATTCGTAAAGAGGGGTCTTGTTGTGAATCTAAAAAGTCATTCTCGTCCAAACTAGACACTGACATTGACGACGACGACAATGACGCATCCTCTTCACTCTCCATCTCCATCTTTGTTACATTTCCACTACCACTAAGCATTCTCATTTCTTTTTTAAATCGTACCATCTTTGTTGGTGATGTTGCTTGGCTGTTAACATTAGAAGAAGAAGTAGATGAAGAAGAAGGAAGTGGAGATATAAGTTTAGGTGAAGGTGGAGGTACAGTTACCATCAAAGATGGTGATGATGCAACTATTAATTCTACTGGTTGTTGTTGTTTACTATGTATTATATTATTATTATTATTATTATTATTATTACTATTTCTATTATTACTACTATTATGTTTATGATTATGATCTGTAAATACATGTGTTACTTCCTTCTCGACAGTTTCATTTTTAATATTATTATTACTATTATTACTCTTTTGTATTAAATTACTACTACTTGATTCATCCTCCTCTTCTTCATCGTCATAGTTATTATTATTATTATTATATATTTCTTCTTCATCATCTTCTAAATTACTACTATTACTACTATTACTATTATTGCTAGTATGTAATATGACACCATTTTCAGTGGTGTTGTCGGTGTCGTCTTGGTTGTTGTTTTCGTCTATCATATAGTCATCTTCATCATTATCGTCATGACTGTCCATGTATCCCATATTGATGTATATCTTCTGTCTGTCTGCACTATAATATATAATATATTATATTTTAAATATCTCGTTTCAGCAGCAGTGTTTCAACTTTAGACGAGTACTCTTTAATTTCGCAAAACAGCTCAACACCGTCTCTTTGCCTTTTTTTTGTTTTAATTTATTTTAATTAATTTATTTTTTGTGTAAGCCTCGTATATGCATCACCACACAGATACATCATACAACTCTACTCGATTCTCCCCTCCTCCCCCCCCCCCCCCCCCCCCTAACCCCTTTTTAGAACGAACATATCTATCTATCTATCTATTCATTCATAATTGATTTCAATCGGAGGATGAAAGAATGGATGAATGACTGAAGTTCAAGGTCGCTCGTCAAAGAGACAAGAGAAGATTGCTATTGCTTTGCAATCATTCTTTCTTTCTTTGTCGGTGAATGGCCTTCTCGCGCATCTAGTTTCATCTTGCTTCATTCCGAACCTCCTTGCAAAAAATCTTTTTCTAAGAATCTTAAAAAGTTTAGCGTGACGTGGGTTGTGGAGATTATCTTTATCATTGTCTTTGTATTTGCATTTGTCACTTCATTATCTTTAAATTTATTTGTTTACAAGTACCTCTTCTTCTTCTGATACTTTTTTAATAATTATCTCATCTCTCTTAACATCTATCAACTTTGTATATTTCACTTTAAAAATGTAAGTGTATTCTCTTGTCTGAAATCATATGATTTGATATTAACCTTTATATATTATTATTATTTTAATAGGGGAGATTTATTATTATTTAGAAAAGTATTTGAAAAGGAAAGTAGTAGAATCTTTCAACATGTACATTATATATCACAAACAAAATTGATAAAGTTGGACTTTGATCAATTGTCTTTGAAATACAGAAGATCGTATATCTACAATTACAATCAGTTGGTTGATGTAGATTTGATGATCAAACATGGTTTCATCACCGTGTTAAAGGAAAAGATTGATCGTGGAGAGACACTCAACTTTTCAAAAGACTCTATTCTATTGGCTTGCTCGGTCAAAGAGGAGACCGGTCTCCTCCCCAACTCTCTCGAGTCATCATTGGTCTACAAATTATATGAAAAACATCCATTACTGTTTAGTAGCAAAAAGGTTGTAAACAGAGTACGTGATATCGTCACTTTCAACTACCTACTTGAAAAGTTTGGCAAGTCAAAGATCGACATTGTCAAATCATTCCTCAATGGTTTGAAAAAGGAGAAATATGATCAAGGTGACAGGGAGTTATCGGTCTATTTATTGGGACAGATAGACAATGCACGCACACGATCTGATTTAAAGTTTGATTACGGTCAATTAAAACTGGTGCTGCATAGACATGACATTACTGGTAATTGTCTAAAGTTGGCGTTACTTTATGACAATGATTTGGTCGTCGACAAAGATGTATTTATAAAGTCGTGGGAGAGTGCCTACTACAAAGCAGTGTCAGTGTCTGCCATGTGGACACAAACAAGAGTAGAGCTGATCGGCAAGCCAATCACACCAAATGTATTCTTTCACTTGGCTTACCTTTTACCCGAGCATATTACCAGGGATGGATTGGCTGCCAGAGACCCCGTCCCCTTTATCTCTCATCTTCTCGGTCTCACCAAGCAAAACTGGATCGATACACCGGCACACGTACGCGGCGGGTATGTGAGATCAGTCATACACGCACTCAACGCCAACTATGTATCATACAATCGTAACGAGTCAACTATGGTGTCGGTTACCAATTTCATGTCCGATACCAAGTTTGCCAGTTTCTCCGGCACTCCATTTGAACAGATGAAATTGATGATTTTAGAGTTGGTCATGCTCTATCCACCACACACGGTTAGCGAGATTGCCATCAACTATAAGCCGGCGTTGGTCGATTTGATTCGCATGAACAATACAGAGGTCGTAAAGTTCTTGTTGGATCTAGAGTTACGCGTCTTTTTCAAACAACATGTATTTGATTTGGTGTGTGGCTATGGGTCACTAGAACAGGTTCGTTTTGCAAGATCGTATCTCCTCCAGGAATCAACCCTCGTTGTTCCGCATATCCATCGTTTCAGTAAAAAGGCACTCATCAATGTGTTTAGAACACGTAGTGACGAGCACGCATTTTCAGTTTACCAATTCCTTGTCGATGAAAAGTTGTTTGCCAACAGACCTGAAACAGTGCTAGAACCAATCAAACTCTTACAAATGTCCATTTTCAATTTTAATTTGGAAACTATCAGACATTTATTCAATGTTTTGAAAACCAAATACAACCCACAACAATTGGAACTAGTACTATTGGATTCATTGGTTATCCCCAAAGAAGTGGTAGAGTCGATCTTTATCAATCAATCACAACAGGGTATTATCAATACCATCGACTTTATCTTTACCAACCTTTGTAACCATTTCAATCAATTCCATTGGTTTTCAGTGGCTGCGCGTCTCGGCAACCTCGAGATATTCCAGTATCTCCACTGTCTTCGTTTGCAGGCCGAGATCTTTTCTCCCTCACACTTTAAAACCACTTTGGCCGACGATGCTTTCCTCGATGGTATCAATGACAACCTCGTTGACTTTATTCTAAAGAACCGAAAGGAGAAGCTTGGTGAACCGTCACTCTTGATGATTGGACAAAAGGGGTCACTCAAACAACTCGCTCAATTCAACCTCACCATCGAAGAATTAAAGGTTGTATTGGGTCAAGCCATCCGATGTGGTAATTATCAATTAGTTTTGCATCTCCAACACCTTGCAGATATTGCTGATAATGACAATGAATTCTCCCAAAACAATTTGTATTTATATATTAAAAGTTTTGGTGATATTAGAGTTTTACAGTTTGCATTGGACAACAAAAAAGTATTGGGTGATATTCCACCAAATTTGGATTATGCACAAAGTGTGCATATGAAAGCCATACAAATGTCGCAAGTCTCCCTACTCTATTACCGTGCATTAAAGTCAAATCGTTTGGATGTTGCCAAGTTGTTGTATGACAATTATATAACTCTATCAGTCTCATCGTCTGTGCCAATGCTGACTCTTCGTCGAGTTCACCATTTAATTTGGATTGGTCGATTGGATGTCCTCACCTATCTCGACTCTATTGGATTGTTAAACAATTCTATTCTCGAGGGATTCGATCTATTGCACAGTGACTCTGTATCTAGTAGTGTCATTGAAATGATAGAGTCAAAATATGGAATCATTCCAAATCGTCAAACTAAAAAGATAGTATCAACAACACCAAATCAATCAACACTAAAACAAAAAGAAGAGGGTATCGATGTAGAGATGAAAGATCAAATAGATACATCAGTTATTTCAAGAGTATTTCAAAATTCATATTTGGTAAAGAGTATTTTAAGATTTACTCATCCATTTGGACGGACTACTATCCCATGGAAAGAGGTGTGTTATAACTTGGAAGATTATTTACAATGGCCACGACGATTGTGGGCATACAAGCTCAAGACGCAACAACCAATGTTTGTCACGTCCAAGGGTATCCTCAGGTTTGTGACACATTGCTTTGACGAGGAGTTGTTTGGACTCTTGTTTGGAAGATACAAGGATATGTTTGACTGTCCGTCTGTCCTCATCCAAGCTGCTCGATTCGACAATTTAATGGTTGTCAAAGCATTACTGCAAGAGTTTACTTTTGATCCAGAGTATTTCCGATTTATCGATATCGACACTCCCTATATCCGTCCACATACATCCAACGGTCCTCAAATGCTTGTTCCCAACCAGAGAACAGGTTCGGCTCTCACCATTTCTCACAACAAGTTTGGTTTGATGTATTTGTTTGCACATTTCCAAAGAAATGAAAAGGTGATGGAACACCTCAAGCCCACCCCTCCAAGAACGACACTATCCACACCCGATCAACAACAATTGACCGACCTCAAAAACAGAATCAACTTGCGCAAAATGGAAATGCCAGCAGGCGGGGATACAGAGTCCAACCAGCTACTTGAACACCTCCATCTCCAAGCCGATCGATTACAACAAATCGTTGACACTGAAAATGCTTATAGTAGATTACCACAACATCACGTGTCGGCATTTGGTACAAAGTTTTTGCCAAACCGTCAACAAAGCAAAAGCAAAACCGTTCACCACTCTCCCTCCTCCTCCTCCAAGCCCACTAAAAATCTTGATGTGTTTGATCTATATTATGATCAAAAGCAAAGTGCCAAACTTGTAAATCCATTTGATATATTCTTTTCGCAGCAATTGGAGACAAAGAGACCTAGTGTGAGACCGAACCAAGTTGACTATACACGAGCACTCCAGAACGGAACCATTCCATTGCTCCGTTGGTTGTTTAACCAACAAAGTCCACCTCAATACTCCACCTCGAACATTTCGTCTCTAACCTTCCTCCTCCACAACCTAAGGGCGTACGAGATACCCAACAACGTTCAAGTCAGCAATACTTTGTTTTCATGGTTACAAAAAAACGAACATTTACTACTCGGTAATCCACAACTCGAGAATTCCATTTTGATGCCACGCGTCAACTACAACTACAACACGACCAAGGTTGTCTTTTTCAAGTCTCCAATAACCATCCAATTCAATGATAATTGTTTGCAACCCGGTCCTGATATGTTAAAGTTGTCCAAATTGTACCTCTTTGCCAGTATTAATCCAGTCACCTTGCTCAACCAAGTCATCCAATCACCCAATTCCGAATCGACTGTACAGTTTTTGCTTGGTCACTTGTACGAGAAATTAAAGTCACTTCCATTTGCTCTGATTGGTAATGTCCAACCAAAGATTGAGTATGGTTTGGATATTGTCAAAGCTTTGATGGTCGAAAGATTAAAGGAAGAGGGCGAGGCAAAAGAGACTGATAAACTAGGCTTCCACGTAAGAAGGGAGAGATTGCAAGAATGGCACCGCCAACAAACGGCCGATTTACAAAAAACTTTCCAAACCCAAATTCAAGTATCTATTGATCAAGAACAAGACGAAAGAGCCAAAAAAACACTATTGCTTCTTCACAGTCAACAACATGCCATTCAACAAAATCTACATCAACAACAACAAATAGAATTGGCTCTTCTTCAGCAACAAGAACTACAACAACAACACCAACAAAACAATCCAGGTACAACCATGGCCAGTCAGGCATTTGGAGATGGAGGTAGAGGTGGATTTGGAGGTAGAGGTGGATTTGTAGGTGGAGGTTTATTGAGAGGTGGATTTGGAGGACCTATCAATGCAAGACCAGGTCGGGGCGAACCAAGATATGGATTTGGACGTACAACAACCAATCCTTTGGAAAGTCAGTTTGTCACCATTGCAACTTACCAAAAAGCACAACAGGCTGATGGTGGATTCGACTTGGACCAATTTTTCGATCAGTTGATATCAGGTCATTTTGGTGATACATCCCTCCCCACCGCCAAAGCAGTCATAACAAACTGTCTTCATTTCTACCTGTCTATTGGTGATTTGCAATTTGTTCAAAAGTACACACAGTTATATCCATCGTTTGATGACGTGCTCAAGAATAGTTTGTCAACCTACCAACTTTTGCCATCGGCCACTTGGGAGGTGAGAAAGTGGGTCTATGCTAGCAAGGCCGAAAAACAACTGTCACTAGACTCTGATCTTGTCGATATTGGTAGAATGGGTGATTTGGAACGTTACCATCTGATGGCCGAGGTTGGCACACTTACAGACGCCAACATTGAAACAGTCCTCAAAGAAGCCATCAATTACTCTCAACTTGAGATGTTGCGCTACTTTGAAGAGCACGGACCAAAGCCTTCAGACATGAAGCCAGTTCACCGAGGAGGAGGAGGAGGTTCCTTTAGAACTGGGCCAATGTCTGCTCATACTCTCTTGTCGCCTCTCATATCAAAGACTCGTCCTGTTACCCAAGAGTTTATCGATTTTTGTAGCACCACTGGCTTGCTTATGACCAATTTAACTGTCCTCACTCGTGTCATTGCCCTGTGTAAATGGGATCTATTGATGTTTTATTTCAAATACAACCCACAAACCATCACTAACAATTGGCATGGAGTCGACTCTGTAACAGTCCACGATCTCAAGACAATCTTGGCAGCATTCCCAGGTATACATAGAACACCTGATCTTAGTCGTTTCGAATGTTCAATCTATATTAAAAAGATTATCAATCAATCATTATCTAATCTCCCTCAAACTCAATCTTGAACACACATTCATTAAATAAAACATTTATTTTAATACCAATCTTAGGTTAATCATCCACAAACATAATTCATTTATTTTAAAAATTAGTGAGTACTCTTAAATAAATGAATTATGTTTGTGGTGCATCATTAAGAAAGGCAATCAAAAGTTTTGAATCCTGTTTACCATCTCTCAAGTGTATGTATACATTTTATAATATTTGTTTGTTTTATTTTAATTATTAAATAATTATTTTGTTTGAGTTTTACAACTTGAGCTTCTTCTACTCCAACCTCTTTGAAACCACGCTTGATATCGATTTCTTGGCCTACTTTTACCTTTTGAGACAAAAATTTATATGTAAATCTAATGGGATCAAGTTCATAATTAACTTCATGACTGCCCATGTACATCTAAAATAAATAATGATCAAGTTAAAAATGGTTTCTATAGGTAGGATATGATAGGAGGTTAAAACTTACACTTTTGTTGGTAAAAACAAATTCATTATAATCAGAGAAACCTGCAATATTTTTATAGGTATCATAGTGTTTTAATGAATCCAAAGAAAACTCTTTGATCTCTAATTGTACACAATCTTTTTTTCTTCCTTGTGAACACTTGTAAAGGTTATTTCTAACTGTAACATCTGTCACCACCTTGATAAAATCTTTGCCAGTATAAATATCATAACATTTTGATTGTTGAGCTGTGATGTTTGAGAGATCTGCAAAGTGTCTGTCAACATCACTCTTTCCATGATATTGTGCAGAAAACTGCCATTCCACTCTATTGAGGCTTTGTGATGGTGACTTTTTAAGGTCAATACAAAACGATAATATCTCGGCAGACTTGAAATGTTTTGCTCCATCACTCCAAAAGAAGATTTGTGAAAAGTGTCTAGCTTTGAACAACTCTGATGTGGAAAAGAATAGCTTGATACTATGAATCACATATGACGAACAATGATTTAAAACATCTGAAAAAACATCAAAATGCTCTTTAACCACTTCATTTGTCGCTGGATCTCTATGGTAAATAACCATTCCAAGAATGCTTCTTTGTGGTTTTCCATAGAAATTTTGACTGAGTTCTTCTGGTCCCATTCCAAGTGCAATATTCTCTTTAAAGTCCATCAATACAATGACTTGATCCTTTGTCAATGATTCCTTTTTTTTCTCGAAATCCTTTTTTCTCTTTTCAACAAATTCCTTGTGAATTTTACAGGTTTTAAAATCTGTATCTTCCTTTTCTGTGAGCGTGGTCTTTTCTGCTTTTGCCTTGAGCACGTCATATAGATGGCAATATGGACAAGTATCAGTTCTGTTGTTGAAGATTTCAACATCAGATGGTACAAACTTGTAAAATGTACTGCGATGGATTGGTGTCTTTTCATCATTGTCTGAACAGTCTTTGTACTTTTTCGCAATAAATTCAACATAATAAGCATATGCCTGTGCAATTGATTGGCACAGTAGCTTTCTTATTGGTGTCGATACTCTTACTGTCTTATTGTTGGCATCCTTTTGGTTCTTTGTGCTACATTTTGAAGAAGGTTCTGTAATCGTTGTTTGAGCATAAAATTCTTTAATATCCTCCATTATTTTCTTTTTGTTGGCATCTGTTTTATTGATATCAGATCGTCCCAGAGCCTGGCAGAATTGTGTATACTCCTCTGCTCTAATGTTTCTACCAGGTCCATATTGTTTTGCATGTTTGTTGGCGTTTGTGAATGCACCATTTGCAAATTTGAAACCAAAATCTCTTAGTTGTGAAGCAGTATGAAAAGGTGATACCGATGATAATATTCTTTTAAAGAAAGGAATTAGTATAAATGAACTAGAAGTTTTAAATATAATAATATATGCAACTTACTGTGTTTTTGTAAAATGATTCTTTTTCCCATCTTTTGCTTCCTTGTGCATCTTTCTAATGATGTTGAGACAACTATAATCTCTTGTAGCCATAAAAACTGTACCATCGTTGTAGATCTTTTCTCCTTTGGGATCGAGCAACATCTTGATATCCTCTTCCATGTTTAGATATGCTGAAACTTCTTAGAACCTCTGATTGTAGTTCTTGGTCGCCACCTGTATGTCTATTTAACGTGGATGATATTTGTTTTCTAATGCGTTGGACTTGTCTTAATGGGTATGTTGGTTTAACGCGATTGCCAATGAATGGTTGAAAGACTGCTCCTGTTGGTGGTGTTGTGATTGTTTTTGTTGTTGCTACTGCTGCTGCTGGAGATGGAGAGATTGTTGTTGTTGCTTCTGCTGCTGGAGATGCAATGATAGTTTGGGTTGCTGTACTCATGATTAATATGCTTAAAATAAAGATAAAAATATATCTATAATATTGATAATTCATTAATGATTAAAGATATTATCAATTTGATTAAATAATTAAATGTTTATTGATTACTAATAGACATATATCTTTTGAGGGGTAGGTTGCTGACTTAGAGAAAAAATATTTCAAAACCATGGTTGAAAATCGAAAGTAAAAACCACCCTCCTTTCTTTCCTTCATTCAAAATAAACACTACTCAAGTCTTCCAATTTGCCTCTTCTTTGTTGTTTCATAGGTAGAGATCTGATCTGGTCATTATTAATCCACATCAAGCAGTATCTGATGGGGAGAGTGGTCTGAAAGAGTGATTTATATGGTATAAAACCTTTCTAACTATCTAGACACCCCATCTCCTCATCATTCTCTTCACTCATATTAATATTTAAAAGGAAAAAAATAACTACTAAATTTTATGAGTACCCCCATCTCGTCGTCATTCGCTTCACCCTCACCCACTCACAGTTATTATAAAAAGGAATACTACTAAATTTATGAGTCAAGAGAGAGAAAACTATGACTTGAACATCAGAGTAGTGACATCACCCACACTCTCACCAAAATTAAATTAATTTAATGATTAATCCCCAACAAAAGCAAAAAGATAGAAATTAAAAAACATTCTCATTTTTTTTAATGAACAAGAGATAGATAGTAATTATCATACACATACACAATTCAAGTCATTTATTTATTTATTTATATATTATCTTTTATTTTTTTAATCTTTTTTAATGTCAAACAAATTCTCACCTTTGGTAGGTGATCAAACATCTCAACCACCACCTCTTTTTCCTCCACCTTCTCAACAATCACCAAAAGGTAGAAAGAAATCATCCAATAAACCAAAAAAAATAACTAAAAAGAAAAAAGAAGAAGGAAAGACAGTAACAACAAAACACTCACCATCCAAAAAAGATAGTTCTACTCAACCTTTATCATCCAACTCTTCAACATCATCCTCTGCTAAACGCAAGCTTTTTAGCTTTAGTGAGCCACCAACTGATGACTCGCCAACAGTTGGCCCACCTCCTCCACTGGTTGGAAAGAAGCCCGTTCCAAAGTCAAAGGCTGGGAAGCCTGCTGGAAAGAAGCCCGTTCCAAAGTCAAAGGCTCCAAACGCCAATCGACCATCAATCATCTTCAAAGAGGGTGAATCGTTACCAGACTCTCAATTATCATACACTTCATACGTAATGAAGTATTCAACAATTGTGAGTAATGAAACTCAAAAGAAAAAGAAGAAGAAAAAAGAATCCAACTCTTCATCATCATCATATTGGACGTTCAAATCTATGGACATTACAGATGAACAATCATCATCATCATCATCATCATCATCATCATCATCATCATCATCATCATCATCATCATCATCATCATCGTCATCGTCATCGTCATCGTCATCGTCATCGTCAACAACGTCCAACAATATGGACACTACAGATGACCAATCAACAACAACAACAACAACAACAACAACAACAACAACAACAACAACAACAACAACAACAACAATATCACCAGTACCAACAAACGACGAACTAATTCAGAGCATTAGAAAGTTGGCCAATTTTATTGGAAATCAAACCACAACCTTTCTCAATCTAATAGCCACCAACAACAAGTGCTTTGAGTCAAATGGAACACCTGTTCCATTTGTTGTTAAGTTTTTTCAAACTCAATGCAAGCTAACTGAAAGTAAGTCAAGAAAAAGAAAAAGAAAAAGAAAAAGAAAAAGAAAAAGAAAAAGAAAAAGAAAAAGAAAAAGAAAAAGAAAAAGAAAAAAAAAGATAAAGAATCAATCAAAAACTAACTCTTTTTTTTTTTCTTTAGATCAACTAAAAGAAAATCTCTCCACTTTTAGATTTGACAGAACTTCTATTGAATGGATAATAAGATATTTTGCTCTTGGAGGAGACGCTATTTTTTCAGCAATGGGTAAACATCCGGTACCTCGTATTGACACCGTGGAGGATCTATCCAATGATTCAATTTACTCATTGTAAGATTTAATTTATTTTAATTACCATAGTAGTGGTTAGTAGTGTCTAAATTGGTGACTAATTTAATTTATTTTATTTTAATTTATTTCTTTGTAGATGCTTTTTCATGAAACATGTTGCTCCATTTTTGGAAAAAGAGATGCAAAAGAGACCCAAAATGCTACAAATGCTTCAAAAGTTGAGACAGTTCCGTTGTAACAATTCAAAAAACTGGGTCAATGTGATTGTGATCAACGTTAAAAATAATATCATGGTTTCAACATGTATGTCATATAAATATATAAATATAGTTTTATGATCATTTATATTTTCCCTATTATTAATTCTTTTTTCTTTTTCTTTTTCTTTTTCTTTTTCTTTTTCTTTTTCTTTTTCTTTTTCTTCTTATTCTAGATAACCATTTAAAACAGTTATTAAACACCTACAAGGATAGGAAGATAAAGGATCTTGGAAAGAACCAAGAAGAAATTAAAAAGGTTAAAAAGTTGGTTCGTGATACTATTTATAATTTTTCTAACACTAGATTAAAAAGAGCTGAGAAAGACCAACAACCAGTTCAAGAAGAAGGTGAAGAAGATGAAGAAGGTGAAGAAGATGAAGAAGGTGAAGAAGATGAAGAAGGTGAAGAAGAAGAAGATGAAGAAAAGAAAGCAGACCGTGTTGTCACATATGATCTATCCGATGGTGTCTACAAAACCATAGAAATCCTTGGTGGTAAGCAAAAAAAAAAAAAACAAACCTATTTAATATAATATTCATATATTAATTTATTTTCAATCTTTTTTATTTATTTATTTATTTATAGGTTATAACCAACAAGTTATTGATGAATATAACAACTTATCAGATGACAAGAAGAAGAAAAAGGAAGCAAAATATGACAATCGGGTGAGCAGAAGAAAAAATATTATCAAAAAGAAAAAGGAAGATGCTCACAAAAGAAGGGAAGCTATCATAAAGGAAAGAAGAGAAGCTTCTATCAAGTTGCAAAAGTCCCCAAATACATCTTTGACAGTTGATGATTTGACAAACTCACCATCTTCATCACCCAACACATCTTCACCACGCAACCCAAAAGGTAAATTCAATCAAAGAATGAAACATGACAGCATTCGAATCCGCGAGTTGGATGAACTGAAGAAGATCACAATAGAGGCAGAAAAAAGAAATGCTGATCTCCAACAGATTAGCGATACCCGAACACCAACACTCTCTTGGGTAGGTTAAATATATTTATGTATCTATTAATTATAAATCAATGTATTAACTTTTATTATTATTCCTATTATTTATTCATTTTAATAGATTTGATATCCAATTCATGTTTACAAGAGAACATGCTAAAAACCTTTTGAAATGTTTGGGTTTAAAAAAGGCCAATGTCGAAAAAGATCACGAGGTTAACCCAAGCTATGCCATCGCCACTCTCTTCCCAGGCTTGTACAAATACGATCCAAGGCTTTTCACAAACACCAAGAGGGTGTATCTTCCGGCCACACCTCCCACTGATGTTGAAAAACAAAAGGATGAGGAAAGGAGGAAAACAAACAATGACAATAGATTTGCAAGCGTAAGTATTTCAATATTTATTACATTCACAAATTATTATTTCAATTACTAATTTTCTTTCTTTAGGCATTAAAGAAATATAAAGGTAATGAAGATGTGGCAAGGGTAGCTGCTACTTTGCAAACTGGAGAAAAGGCAAAGAATGCAATTGAACAACACAACAAATTGCATGGTTTTAAAAAAGGATCTCATGATAAAAATCGAGCACTTCTTGCAAAAGGCACAATACCTTTTTCGAAAGAAGAAATGTTTCAAGAGATAGTAAACAAAGGAGTAAAGTATGAAAATACCTCAACTACCACTACACCATCTACTTCTTCTTCTTCATCATCTTTACCATATGTCACAGTAACATTCGACAAGAAGGTGTCTGTCACCACCAATGGTGCATCAGCCACCGTGACTTTTAGAACAATCAAGTACAAGCCTGGGAACAAACCCAACAAGCTGTACAACAAGCAAGTTGCAATGGAGAAAGAATTTGCTGGAAAGTCTTTGAAGGATGTCATTGCCATTGGTATCGATCCCAACACGTGCTCAATTACTGTCGTTAACAATCACGATGACAAGGTTCTGGACATGAGAATGGATACTCTTATGGTTAAAAGAAACACCAAGTTTCTTTTAGAGAAAATCTCTTGTCATATGGGAAAGGCAATCAAAAGTTTTGAATCCTGTTTACCATCTCTCAAGTGTATGTATACATTTTATAATATTTGTTTGTTTTATTTTAATAATTAAATAATTATTAATTCATTATTTTTTTATTTATATATTTATATATAGTCAATGTCCTTAACCCTCAAACATTCCAATCTAGGCTGGACTATTATGAAAAGTATTGTGATTATTTCGATATCTATTTCGAAGCCATCAATGATCCAATCGTACTATCTTGGAAGAGGAACTTTGCTTTCAAAAAGCAAAAGTTGAACAAAGAGTTTTACCAACAATTTGACAACTACATTCTTGATCTCTTTAAAGATCATTTCCCAACCAAGTATGCAAGTATGAACGATTCTGAAAGGAATCAGTACATTCAAGACAATACAATCATATGTATGTATTTATAAATCATTTTCAAAAAGAATATTAATGTATTAAAAAGTGTATATATATTAATATGTATTTTTTTTTCCTTTTTTCCTTTTCCTTTTTTTTTTTAAAATAGTTTTTGGAAATGCCAAATTTGGACACAACACTCGTGGCAAGGTAACAACATTTGCAGCCAAGACTGTTGCCAACAAGTTAAAGTCCAAACAATATTCCGTTGTCTATATTAATGAATACAACACGTCAAGAGTAAGTTTCTTAAAATTATCATTTTATTTAAACATTTAATTAAATTTATTAATTCTCTTTAAACTTTTTAGCAACATTTTGATTGTTTTTTCCACCAAGAGGAGGAAAACTTGATCCATCATGACCTCAACGAACCTCATGAGGATCCAAAGGATGATTTTCATCTGGAGAAATGCCATCTCAAGCTTGGTAAAGAAAAGGATGGAGGCCAACCGACCAATCTCCACCAGTGCTCACCTATCAGCGAAGCATGTCAATCCGCTGCTAAAGGTAATAGTTTCCTTCGATGCAGTGACCACCGGCATCGTTTAGCACTCGTCAAGCAAGACACCCATTCAAAAGAATACAAAGAGTCGTTGGGGTTCCTCAAATCCATCGATGATTTGGACAAGAATCTCCAATCACACAATCTTTTGAATGTGGCAGGTCAATGTCGAACAAGGAAGGTGACACCGTCAGATGTTGCCGGTTCGGAGACTGAATCGCGTCAGGACTCTCAAAAAGTTGCCTCGACCCAATCGTCTTCGTCATCAACAAAAAAGTTCGACTATCGACACGGACAGAATAAATATGGTCCAGAGATTAGAAAAGCAAGTAAGTCCCTACACAACAAGCACAGAATGGCTGTGTCCTGGAAACGTGTTTTGTGCACTGGTTGTGGAAAAAGTTTCAACCGGGATGTTAATGCAGCACGTAATATGCTGCTACTTGGTATTTTTAAAGTTTGGAAAAATGGTCACCGTCCGTCAAGATATGGAAAGTCAAATTAATTGCCAGGGTAAAAACCGAGGCATCAACACAATTTGGGCTCTTAAAGGTATGATTATATTTATTAAATATTCATTTTTTGAGTCATACTAACTCTCTTTTTTTTTCAAATCTCTTTTGTAAAAATTTTCAATTTTTTCTCCTCATTTTGAAATAAAGGCTCAAATTAGTGAGTAATTTTCAAATAGCGCTCTGAGACTAGTTGTTCACTCAAAAATAAATAAACTTATAATAATAATAATAATAATAATTACATTTATCTCCTATCTCTCTCTCTCTCTTCATATGCAAATATCACAACAACAACAAAAAGAGGATAAAAGAGAAAAGAAACCAAACATTTTCAAAGCATTGTTACAATCATCTTTTATAAGATACCAAATCTTTCAAAATGTAAAAGAGATACATCAAATCAAGTTGTTACCTACTATACGTAACCTTAGAGATGTTACATTTGGATATTTGATAGAGAAAAGATTAGATAGCTACTATGAAATCAAGATGAATGATCCGTCGTTGTATTGTATCGGTGACTTTGATGTCAAGTTCTTTGCTTACAACACTAGCTGGGAAAGATTCATGCAATTTTGGGAGTTGGCAGTGACCACACCGACACGTCTAGAGATTGATGCAAATGCAATCAACAAGCGGTCATACTCTCTCACTCTAATCAACCGAACCTTTTACATGTTGGACGAATGCTGTAAAACAGGTAATCTTGACATTGTCAAATTCCTTCATCGCTCTCGGTTCAACTATGCCTTGGCCGATCAATACGCCATCCAAAACAAGCACTTTCACATTCTCGAATACCTCTACACTGAAATGCACTTTTCAAAGTCGCAGGTTAGAGACGGGGCCAATTTGGCTGCTCGATACGACTGCTTTGACATATTCAAGTTCATCCTTGACAAACATCCCGATGCTTTCTATGCCTACCACCATGTACTGTTTAGGAATGCGGCGAGGTACGGACGGTTGGATATGGTGGTCCATCTCGACAAGCTGTTTCGAGACGAGCTGATCAATACCACCTTTAATCTCTACGAAGTGTTTTCAGAGACGGGGTCAATCGAGGTCGTAGAGTTCTTTATCAACCAGGGGTACCTCAAACCAGAGAGACTGACTACCAGCCACTATCTATGTCATCTTACAGGACTGTCGTTGCATAGACGGTATGATTTGATTCGATGGATCAACAAAAAAGCCAACCGTCCAGACGACACCATGGAAAACGAAGACATACTGACACGTATTAGAAAATCGTTTGAGTGGAACGATATTACCTGGCTCCAATACTTTGTAGAAAAATATTATCAAATCTATTTGGATACGATCGAACCTGAAGTATTGTCTTGGAACGCCAAACTGACACCATACCACATCATTGAACGTATCAAGCTACATTCTCACAACTATGTAGATTCATTGGACATTATTCAGTATCTACATGGCAAGGGACTATATTCATGTGATCAAGGTGCCATGGACTTGGCAGCAGGAAAAGGGTTGTATGATGTAGTTTTATTTTTACACTCTCAAACCACTGCCGGCTGTACAACGTTGGCAATGGATGATTCTGCTCAATACGGCCATTACAATATTGTAACATGGTTACATGCCAACAGAACCGAAGGATGCACGAAAAATGCATTGGATCGAGCTGCGACACACGGTCACATTGAAATTGTAAAGTTCCTTGATCAACACAGATCTGAAGGATGTACAACAAGTGCAATGTTTGGAGCATCTTTCAATGGTCACATGATCATTTTAAAATATTTAAATGAACGCCGAAGTGAAGGATTTTCAATCCATGCAATCTCCAATTCAAAATCAACCAAAGAAGCAATCTATTATTTGTTTAATAACAAACATAATTTAATTTCAACAACATCAACCTATTTAAATATTTCAGAAGCTATATCAACATCACTAAATCATGGCGACTTGGAATTATTTAGATATCTGATGGCAATTGCCAAGGAATCGTCTCAACCAAATGACACGGACAGTCAACATCAATGTTCATATTCACTCTATGCCAAAAATGTTTGTTGGAAATACCCTCAAGTATTAAAAGAACTCATTAGAGGAATGGGAGATGCAAAAACAAAAAAGAGTTTATCTACTATAGAAGAATATGTAGTGATTGAAAAGACAAAGGGTTCATTTGAATCTCTTTGTTTAATCTCTAAATACCTAGATTATAGTTATGAACATTATCAAGCTGTTATTCAAAATTATAATCATCCAAAAATAATTTATCATCAATTATCTCCTTCTAATTTATATTTATATTTAAATAATTAATAACAAATAGTAATAATAGTTATTTATTATTTAGAAATAAATTAATAGACAGAATATTTTTTATTTTTCTTTGATTTTCTAAAATATAGTCTAATGGGAGTACCGATATATGCATAAACCTCTCTTATACTTTTCAAAAGGTAACGGATAAAAGATGCTTCAACACGTTCTGGATCATTGACAAAGAAAACCATCGATGGAGGATACCCTCTAGTTTGCATTGCAAACTTCATCTTTAAACTCTTTTTACCACGTTTTGGTAATATATGTTTAAATGTTGCTTGTTTAATAATACTTAATAATTCTCCAACTTTTAATCTAAATAAAAATAAATAAAAAATAAATAAATAGGAATTATAATACTTTGATTTAATTTAAAATTACCTTTTTTCTCTTTCAAAAAATACTTTAATAGCCAAATCTAAAGAAGTTGGTACACAGAAACCAGTGGTTGCAGATGTAAAGATGACTGGAACATGATCCAGGAATGTTAATTTCTTTCTTAATTCATCTTCATATTCCTTTTGTAGTTTTGAAAGTTTTGGTAATTCTACGTCTGGTGGAGGTGGTCTCGATTGTTTTCCTTCATTTTCTGCTTGTTCCACTCGCTTCATGTATTTCCAATACGACTTTATAAACTCTTTTTCTCTTTTTGCATTTTCTTTATCTTCGTCTTCCTCCTTTTCATCGTCATCCTCTTCATCTTGTTCATCTTCTACATCTTGATCATCCTTTTCTTGTTGATCCAATTCTTCCATTTGTTTAAATTCATTTTCAATTGCGCTATCGATATCTTTAATTTGTTTTGATTCAAATGCCTCCTTTTCATTCTGTGGCCAAAAGTCACCATCAAATGAGAAATCTGATGATTTCATTTGAATCAATTCTTCTTTCTTTCTATTTAATTGTTTAGGTTCTTCATCATCGTCATCTTCATTGTCGTCTTCATCTTCTTCATCTTCTTCCTTTTCATTTTCTTGTTCTTTTTCTTTTTCCATTTTCTTTTGTTGTCTTTTTGATTGTTTTTGTTGAGTGACTGTATTATTACTGTTACTATTATTATTATCCTTTCCATTTCTATCCTTTTTATCTTTTATAATATCATCAAGGAAATTAAATCTATCTTGGTATTGATGGAAATAGGCTTGATCTCTTTCCTTTTGAGCTGTGCGTTTGTTTTTGGTGTAGAGGTCCCATTTGTTGACCAGGATGATGACACTTTTGTTTTGTTCGGTGATGAAACCGGCTATTTTAAGGTCTTGCTCGGTGAGCCCGACGGTAGAGTCAATGACAAAGAGAACAACGTGCGATCGCTCAATGGCCTTCATTGCCCACAACACTGAACTCTTTTCCAAGCCTACTCTGTGCGTTGCACGACGTCTGATACCGGCAGTGTCGATAAGAGTAAGATCGTGTTTGTCACGCCACACCAAATGGCAATCGACGGGGTCGTGTGTAGTGCCAGGCACGTCTGACACGATCGATCGCTCCTGTTCGATGATTCTATTCAACAAACTGCTCTTTCCAGCGTTGGGTTGTCCGACAATCGATATCTTGATGGCACCAGGCAACGACGGGTCATCCAACTCTAATGGCATGTCTGGCAACAACTTTGTGATACGTTCAAGTAAATCCAAAACACCGTGGCCGTGGATAGAGGACATTGGAAAAGGTTCACCTAATCCAAAACGAGTAAGAGTTGTTTTCATATCTGTTTCAAAGCCTTCAATCATCATATGGCTGTCTGCCTTGTTGGCAACCACCAAAACATGTTGACCTTTTTGTTGTCTATTTCTTAGCATACGTGCCAAGTCACGATCAACCTGTGTAATACCAGTACGATAGTCTACAACGAAAACAATGACATCTGCCTCATCCATAGCAATAGTAGCCTGTGTCTTGATCATCTGTGAGAATTGGTCTTGTTGGGTGGTCGAATCACCAACCATACCACCAGTATCAACCACTTGAAATTGCTTTCCATACACGATTGCTTCACCATAGTATCTGTCTCTTGTAGTGCCCGGGATATCTTCTACCAATGCCTGTCTCTGAGACTCTACGATTCGATTGAATAGAGTTGACTTTCCAACATTTGGTTTACCAACCAATGCAATCAATGGTTTACCCTTTATACTTTTAACTTTTGCTCTTATATATTGTTGTTGTTGTTGTTGTTGTTGTTGTTGTTGTTGATCAGTTGTAGTTGTCGTCGTCGTACAATATGATGATCTTCCGATATTACCCAAATGACTAATTGGTTGATAATTATTTAATCTATTATATGATGATGGTGTTGTTTTTGTTGTTGTATATATATTATTATTATTATTCTGATTATAACCAATGATGTTATGATTTATGTTATATGACGACGGTGATATTAAACTAGTACCTTGAACGATCGTTCTTCCACAATAACTACTACCCGTCTTGTATCCTGTATGTTGTAGTGATTTAAATATTGTATTCATAATGATTGATTGATTGATAAATAATATAATATATCTATCTTTAATCAATACAATACAAAAGTATTAATGAACTTTCGTAGAAAAGACATCTCGTCTGAATGAACCCCTGAAATGTTGACAAGCGAATGCAAGATCAACAAACAAATTTTATTTTTACTCCAACCTTGTTACTTATTTTTCATTAATATACATATATATAAACCAACTAACTAGACTATATCTATATATTGAGAAATAACAAGAGAGTTAAAGAAGAAGAAGAAGAAGAGGAAGAATAGCAACTAAAAAAGAGGATTTATATATTTAACAGATTGGTCAACTCTGCAGAGACATAGACTGTTGGTTGATAGACAGATGTCTACTTTTGAAAGATTATTCAATAACTTTTTCACCTCTTCTAATAATAATAATCAAGTTGTCAACAACTCTAATAACTCTCCTGCAAGAAACCCAGATCTACCAATCTTAAAACGAAAATCTCTTAGGTATATTATATTATACATCTCTTTCTCTCAAGATCATCATACTGACTGATATGAATTCTTTTAATATATATAGTAGTAGCGGTAGTGAAGATACAATTGACAATATAGAACCTGAACAAGTTGTTGATCAACAATCTTCACCTCATCGAAGAAAGCGAAACAAGCATTACTATCAACCGATTGAATTGCATAATAATTTATTATCTAATCCTTTAGGTTTGTAAACAATAGATATACATACGTATAGACCAATTACTTATTATATATTCTATCTTATATATAGTGTACTTTACAAATAAAAAGGAACAAATAACTAGTCTATTTTCACTTGGTAGTGTTGCTAAAGTACTATCGGGTTACTTACCAAACAATCCCCTACCTTTAATATTCGATTCAAAGAATCAACAAGACGACCAACAACAACAACAATCATCACCACCACTATCAAGGAGTAACAACAACACCAATAATAATAATAATCCATACACTACACCAATTAAACGTCATCACCACAAAAGACACAACAGAGAAAACAAGAAACCTATTTTCAAAAATACCTTTAAACCAACTATTATTGATCATAATAATACTAATAATAGAAATAACCAACATCATAATCATCAACACCAACAACAATTTCAACAACAACAAACAAGAGAAAGTGACCGTTTATACTATAGTGATAGTATAAATAATTATTATTATAAACATCAAGAACAACAACAACAACAACAACCAACATTACCAATACCAACAAATACAATTGATCAAAGTATACTAAATTCATTTAAAAGTTACCAACAAAATACCATGTCTGTAAATAACAACAACAATAATAATGATGGTGATGATGACGACTCACAACAACAACCTGTAGAATTAAATGATCAAATGAAACAATCATCTGTTTATAAACCAAAATCGGGACAATCATTTGTTGATATTTTGGTATGTTCATATTTCAAATTTGCATCATAAGAAAAAGAATCACATTTATTTACCTTTTTAATTCTTTTTTAGAAAAAGGAACAACAATCAAAAGAATTTAAAGAATCTATAGATCAATTGGTTGAATCATATACTGAATCTTTAACTCTAAATGAAGATTTATTTTCAAAATCACTTCCACCACCACGACAACAAAATTATTTATCAACATCATTAAATAACAATCAAACATCATTGAATGGGTCACAATATAAACCATCACCTCGAAAATCAATTTCAAATCTATCAACTTTACAACAACAACCAGAACAAAGTATTGATAGATTCAATTCACAAATAGGATCAAGTCATTATAATCCATTATCAATAGATGATTTATCAAGTTCCTATTCTTCAATATCAAAATCATCACATTCCAACAGTGATAAAAATAATAATGGTCTATACAAATCTTCAAATTTAATATCAAGGTATGGAATTATAATTGTACAATTTATCAATACATCATGATACTTACTAATTATCTTTTTTTTCATTTAGTTTAAAACCAATTAATAGAGAAATTGAAAGTATTGGGGATAATGAATTATTTACATCAAAGGTAATAGAAGAAAAGAAACAAACAAGAGATGAGGAGATCAACCAATTATTATCAAAACTACAAGCAATGTCTGGGACTAGTAGCTATAAAATACTTAAACAAATCGAAGAACGTCGTGAAAAGGAGAAACGTATGAAACCAACAGCTCGTGAATTAAACGACGACGAACAACAACTCTACTCTAAGATTATTTCAACGACAAAACGTGGCGATGACAAGGTGGTTTGCGAATTTGATGAAACCATCAAATTGACGGGTAACGATGTAATTACATTGAAACCAGGTGGTTGGCTCAACGATGAGGTCATCAATTACTACCTCGAGTTGCTAAAGAAACGTCAGGTTGACTGTCCCGATGAAACACTCAAATGTCATTTCTTTAATACATTTTTCTACGCTCTCATGACCAACAATAAGGGTGGCTACCAGTACCAACGTGTGCGTCGATGGACCTCCAAGGTGGACATTTTTTCATTGGACAAGGTCGTCATGCCCATCCATTTGGGTGCTCATTGGTGTTTGGCAGTGGTCAACCTCAAGGAAAAGCGATTCGAATATTACGACAGTTTGGGTGGCGACAATTACACGTGTCTTGGTCATCTCAAACAATGGCTGACAGATGAAATGGTCGACAAAAAGAAAGAAGGGGTCATCAACCTATCGCAATTTACAATGCACATTCCCAAAGACATTCCACATCAACTCAATGGATTCGATTGTGGTGTATTCACATGTAAATTTGCTGACCTTAGCTCAAGAGGATTACCACTCAATTTTACTCAAAAGGATATTACCCTATTCCGTAAATTAATGGTTGTAGAATGTTATTATAAAAAATTATCAAATTAACAAATCAAATAAATAAATAATAAATTGCCTCAACTTATTAATAATATTAAATAATTATTTAATTATTTCTTTTTTATTTAACCAATTTTGATTGATTAAATTGAGCAAAGAAATATTTTAGATACAAAGTACCAAGCATAGTTATTTTCCAACCACCCTTAAATGTAAAGGTATCTTGTTCAAGGATAGCATTTGCAATGGTCGAAAGACGAGTTTGACGTTGTTGATTATATCTTGCAAGTGACTGTTCAATTTGATTTGGATTAGAAGTTGATAATATTTCTGCCAATTCATTTGCATCTTCAATTGCTGCTGAATATGACTAATAAATAAAAAAGAGATAAATATTATTAATAAATCTTGTTTAAATTAATTGATTAATTTTTGAACATACTTCAATCGAACCTAAAGTGAATTTATCTGCAGCTTCACCCATGAGAGCAATATTTCCAGAGACAAAATCTTTTAATCTGATTGGATCAAATCTTTCTAATTTCATATTTTCAGGTGCACTGTCTTGGAGTGCAACGACAGTGTGTGCACCTAGATCTTCGAAATCGCACATGGTGTGATAGACCTTGTTTCTTCCATTGTCTGGATCTTGAGCAGTGTTTGGTGGTCTGATAAAGGCACCGGATATGGCAACACGTTCATTTGGAAGAGGGAAAGCAAGCATACGCTTGTCCTTGGCAAATTGACGGAGTACCATTGCTGGGAAGACTGGTGGACGATTAGCAATGGTCGAGAATTGGTAGAGGGTGTATGATTCCTTGGTCTGTGGAACACGGTTTAAAATATATTGTCTAATATGCGATACAGTTGTGTTGGGTGGTGTATTGGCATTGACAGTGTGTGAATGGTGGTAATCGAATGGATCAGCACCTACTACTAGATCATATCCAATCCTAGACCCAGTGTCCATGAATGATACTAATGCTTTTCCATCCTTGTTGTTGTTATTTTGTTGTTGTTGTGGTTGTTGTTCGATTGATCTTATCTTTTGTTTACGGATACGAACTGTTCCTTCTCCTAATTGAGGGGTTTGGAGACACTCGGATAGAAGCGATTCGATTAATGCCGACTCGGTCATAGTGAATGGGAGGCGGATGGGAGAGTCACTTGGCGAACACTTTTCATAGGCGAGTGATCCATACTTGTCTCCGTCTCTGCTGACCGTCAACTGGTTGTTGATATTGAATCCCTTTCGATGGATGTTATCAAAGACACCGTATTTTTTGAGTATGGAAGCATTGCTGAAAGAAATAAAATAGCCTCTGTCCAATGACTGGAAAGTTGGTGTGTAACATGAAATGGCCGAAGAAGACGATGCCGATGATATAATTGGTTTGGTTTCAATCAATTCACTTGAAATTCCTTTTTTCTTTAAAAATAATGCTATATTATCCAAAAAAAAAAAAAATTAATTAATTGTTGTAAATTTAGAATCTTTAATGAAGATGTCATGTCATGTCAGTCACCCCTAACCCTAACTCTAACCATCAAATTTCCATTTCACATTTAATATATGAATCTGATTGACAATGATGATAGATTGGAATAGATTGGTTTTGATTGGATTTGATGATGTTCACATTAATCTTTGTCATTCCAAATGTAGATTGTTATGACACAATATTGGATGGTTTGAAATGGAACTTTCCGTTCTTATTGCCAAATACTCATTAATCCAATCCAATTAGTCCAATCAGTCCATCTATCCAAACATGATCTATAAATATCAATTGTCGGGGCATCATTTTACAAGTGAATGTAGAAGGGAGTGAGGAGGAGAAGGAGATGTAGGTTATGGGTGACAATTATGTATGTGTAAGAGTGTGAGCGAGTGATTGATACATACCTAAAGAAACACCTCCAACATCATTGCCATGGATTAATATTTTCTTATCCTTGTATCCTATATAAGCAGTACTTGTGGTTGTTGCATGTGTTTGTTGTTGTTGTTGCTGCTTTTGATCAGAAATTGTATTATTTGAAGTGGTCGATGTTGATGATGCGTTTGGAGATGCAATAGTGGAACTGCTAGTAGAAGCACCACTACTAAATGCTCTTTTGCTGCTTGTATTCAGTGTTAAACCACAGTCATAGGTTCTCTTTGAGTTTACTTGTACAATGGTTCCAAAATTGTCAATCCTCGATCCTGTTTGGCGATGTCGTTGTACTGATGATGATGATAAAGTTGTGTCGATGGTCACCGCGGTAGTGGTGGTGGTGTAAAGATTACTAAAAGTAGGAATAGAACTTCTCCCAACTACTTTGGTGGTATTGTAAACCAATTGGTGTTGCACTCTTAACATGACTAATGAAATTGAATCAGTTCAATCAATCAATCAATCAATCAATCAGTTGCTACTGTTATTATCGACAATGAAGGAGATAGATGGAGGGAGTTGAGTTGAAGTTGTTGTTTTGAGGGGTGGTTCAGAATGAATCTACAAGTGACTAAAATAGGAATTAAGATAAGATAAAGATATAAGAATACATCACATCTTGATTGGTTGTTTGTTATCTTCACGATACCTACATAGACGTCTATGATGCTACCTGCAATGCAACGTTGCAAATTATGTCTCGAAAGAAAAGCAACTAAAGGCAAGTTGATTGACACAAACAAAGGTTGGGGTTGGGGGGTTAATGAACTTGAACTGAATGATTGGGGTGCCATATGATCATTGTGTGTTTGATAAAAAAAAAAAAGAATTCAATTCGATCTCGTGTGTAGCCATCTTTATTATTCCACACAACACACAAACAAACACACAACACACACAAAAAAAAAAGATAATAATGTGTTGATAGTGGTGGTTACATGTACCCACTCTTATTTCAAAAATAGCAACAAATACTTCAAACAACAACAACAAAGAGACATATGGTGCAGATGCATACTAAAGAGTGGGAATGGTGGTTCCCCATCTAACAATTAGAGTAACCATCCTAATCTGGTACCAGCCTCAAACTACTACTCTGGCTGGCTGCTAGTGATGCTGCTGCTGCTGCTGCCACTAACCATCGTTTCAAGAGAGAGAGAGCTACTTGCCATGGCAATCAATGAACGCATGGGTCATACTCTATCAACAAAGGTGGAACGGATAGTATGAATTGGTGTGAGAGATAGATATACTCTCAGCTACATCTTTTCTCTCTCTCTCTCTCTCTTTCTTACCCCTCCCACCAACTCTATCTTCTACATTCACTCATCCTCCTCATCCTCCTCCTTCTCCTCCTCTGGTTGCAACCAACTTTAAATACTATATTGTTTGTGTTTGTTGTTGTTGTTGACAATCAATCAATCAATCAATCAACCAACTATAACCAACCAATAATAAATCACCTCACTCTCCATAATCATCATCAATTTAATATTCAACCAACCAAGGTTCAACCAACCAATACCATTCCTTTCTTTACAACCTACACCACAACATATATCTAGCAGAAGATTAAAAAAAGAATTAAAAGAAGGAGAAGGAGAAGAAGCAACACCTTCAATTCACTCTTTGGATCTCTTTATTGCTATCATTTCAGTAGCTACCTCCCACATACACACTCACTCATATACACCTACTACCAACTGCAACCTAGGTAGGTGGCGATCACTCTGTGAGGTAAGATTAGGAGCATCCTTTTATTTTAATACATTACTACTTTATTGGCCAGCTGCTGACATCAATTTAATTAATGATTGGATTGTCAATACTACTACTATAATATATTATAATATACAGCAGCTGCTTCCTTTCCTTTTCAATCCTATCCACCAATACCACCAGCACCAGCACCACCAACTCACACACAGCGATAGCAACAACGATAATAACAACATCGATAAGATAGCAACCATCACATCATTATCATCATCAGCATCCATCCATCTCTTTATCTATCTTCTATGTATGTTGTTGGTGCTCTCTCGAAAGAGGAGGAGAATTTATGAACACACTCTACCACTACTCTACTACTACTACTACTCCTACTATAACAGCAGCCAGTACCAGCAGCAGTAGCCAACAACAGTAGCTACAATTCCAACAAAAACCACCTTGCAAGAGATAGAGATCAATAATAATAACATCAACCCCACCAACAACAACAACAACAAATATTAATCCCAATATATATATATATTTGGTGGAGTTTGGGCAAACTCAACAACAACACCAAAAAACCATCAATAATATTATTATTATTATTATCATTATTATCATTATTATTATTATTACCAATCATTACATTTGCTGTTGTTGTTGTTGTTGTTGTTGTGAAAATTATCATTTTCAGATGAGATATACACTTTTAAATTACTATTTCCTTCACTTCACCTAGCTACCTCACACCTCCCCACCCTTCATCTTCATCCTCCTCATCCATCAGTCCATCAATCCATCCATCCTCATTTCCATCTTGATCCAATTCATTCATCCATCAATCATACTAATATCCTATCCCTCTATATATATATATTATAAACTTCGATTATTTATTTCCCTTACAAACAAACAACCAATCTCATCTCTCACAACCACTACCCTACCATTACCACCTCCCACCATCTTAGGAAAAGAGAGAGATACTATTTAATCGTATCAAAAGTTGACAGTCGATCGGAATCGTATTTGAATCATCATCATCAATCTTACGCTTGCTTCTCTTCTTGCCAAATCCGTAGAAAAAGATTAAATTCGAATCGATAAAGAGAGAGAGAGACAGAAAGAGAAAAACGGTACACCCACCACACTCGCAGCAAACCAACTCTAAACCAGTGCTGGCTATTTGCAGCATCTCTACCCTCCTCAATCCTTCCAACCATCAACCATCAACCATCAAACCTCCTCCCTCATTGGATCGATCAATCAACCATCCTCCTCACCAGGTCGCACATTATTTATTTACCCGCCCACCATCTCAACTTTAAAGCAACCAAACAAGACAGCAGCTGCAGCGACATCATCATAAAACTACATCGTCTCAAAAAAAATCGACATCACATCCACATATCATATCCACCAATACAAAAAAAAAAAAAACTGGAAGGAAATCAACAAACTACAATCAACAAAACTAAAATCGCCAAATTAACACAATGATGGAGTATGTATATTATCAATTATTATCAAATATTATCGAATATTATTATTATTATGTGTTTCGAAAGTCAGAAACACGTTATGTAGCTTGGTTTTTTGTCAATTATCAAATGTCGCGCAATTGATTTAAATTTGCGATGGCAATCGAAAATCAATCTTGTCAAACAATAATAATATTATATTATTTTTCTCCATCTTTTCATCTATCCTCACTCCCTCCTTTTTGTGATCACAACATCTTACCATTCATTCATTTCAAACAACACAATCAATTTTTAAATTTTTCCAAGTTTTTCTTAATATTTTTTTTCCTTTGCACTCTCTACATATATGGCAAGAAAACAACCATCTTAATTTGTGACTGGTCAATTTACATAAATCTTGATTCGTACTGGTTGCTAATCACAAATATTACTAAAAATATCAACAAACACCTTATCAAAACCACAAACATCATCCCCACACCACCCACAAACACAACATCCATTTCCATCACAAATCAATCGATTGAATCTAACCATTGTTTGCTTGTTTTTTTTTTAACATAATTGGTATCTAAATATTTAAATACACGTTCACTTCGTTCCTCACTCCTCACTCCTCCTCCTCCTCTTATTTCTCAAATTATTTTCCACAATTATATATTCATTTCGTAATTACACAACTCTCTTTCTTTCTTTCTCTCTGTCTCTTACTTTGTTTCTTTTTTTTTTTTGTGAATGACAATTTTAAATAGAGAAAAATATAAAGTTCAACAACTTACTAATACAATACCAACTCAACTATTATTATTATCTAGTTACCATCATTTGACCAATTCATCACCAACCCCTACTTCGCCAACTTCGACACCAATATTAACAACGGCATCTAAAAAACAATCATTGTCTATCCTCGCGGGCAGCAGTTCCAATCAGCAGCAGCAACAGCAGCAGCCGGGCTCTTCCACCTCCTCGACAGCCGGCGGCAACCAGATTCCGATGGGTCGCGGGTCTTCTCCCAACACATCGACCTATGCTCCCATTGCACCCATGCCAAAACACAGCATCCCGTCAATGTCCCCGTCATCATCTGCAAGCTCACCCACCCCATCGTCCACATCATCTACTCCATCCTATATGCCTTCACCATCAATGATGACCAATCAAATCCTTGACCAACAATCTATTCCTCCCATTTCCAATAGTAATAGTAGTAATAGTAGTAGTAGTAATAGCAATAATAATAATAATAATAATAATAATAATAGTGGGAAATTTTCGACATCCTCACATCCTTATTTACATCATCCCACTCACCATGGGACAAACCGATCACTTTCTCCCTCCCCACCACTTCCTACCCATCCTTTCAATGATAAGGCAACATCATCATCTCAACAACAACACCTCCATGGACATGGGCGTCAGTATCGGCAACATGCCACCATATCATCGCCACCCCAAAAATTCCAACTTCCCTCAATCGACCCATCAAATGATCACCCTAGAGGAAATAGCAGTAGTAGTAGTAGTAATAGTAGTACTACTATGACAAACAATGGAAAACATTTTCAAAACGATAAGGAATCTTTTGGAAAAATGAATCATTATCAAAATCAATATGCACATCCGCATCAACACCATCCTCATCAACAACAACAACAACAGTATCAACATCACCAAACATTGATTAGTAATGAAGAAGACAACGATGACGAGGTATCACATTTTTTACCTCCAGCAAGAGGATCTTCTTCATCAACATCAACATCGACCACTACTAATCCCATGGTGATGAGTCCTATTCCAAACAACAATAATAACAACAACATCAATATAAATAGTGGTAGTGGAGGTAGTAGTAGAATTAGTTCACCTCCTCCATCGCCGTCGGTTGGCACCATCCACTCGTTACATACTTGGCAGAGCCATCCTCATCCAGGATCGCCACCCCCACCCGAAATGCCAACACCGCCAGCCGAAAAGAAAAAAAGGGGGAGACCGCCAATCCCCCGTATTCCAGAATGTGCCATGTGTCACCGAGGGCAAACACCCGAATGGAGACGTGGACCCAATGGAGAGAATCTTTGCAATGCATGTGGTTTACAAGAGTACAAAAAGAAAAAGAGTCAAAATCAAAATAATAATAATAATAATAACTCTAATGATATTAATAATAATAATAATAACAACAGTACCTCAAGTAACAATAATGAAGAAAGAAAACCATCAAATAATAGATTGAATAATAGTGGTAATAATATTCCTACTATAAATAATCTACATGATGGTCCATCATCTTCTACAACAACAACAACTACGAATCATCATCATCATCATAATAATAATAATCATAATAATCATCAACATACTCTACCAATTGTAACAAATTTAAATAATAATAATAATAATGGTAGATTAATTAATAATAATAATAGGAATAATAATAATAATAATAATTATGGAGTTGAGATGATTCAACCATCACATCATCAATCATCATCATCAAATCAACCACAAATATTACATCAGGCACCAGCACCAACAACAGCTGCAGGAAGTGGTATGAGTAGCGGCTCTTACCATTTCCATAGTAGTAATTTTCATAATATTATAGACGACGATGATGATGATGATGAAGATGAGTTTGTCCCTCCACTTCCTTCCCATCCTGTTCAAATGAAACGATCCGATGCCCATAAAATGGGTATTAAATTTCTAACCTAAGAGAAACAACAATAAGAACAAAAGTATAAAAAGGATTTGGTTTGACAAACAACAATAATAACGATAACAACAATAATTAAAACAAACAATAACTTTGAATTGAACACAACAATAACAATTGGTTTGAAGTTCTATAAAATAATGGACCAAGTCAATTTTTTTAATCAACCACATAGAAATATACAAGGCAAACATGCACGACACCAATTTAAATAGAAACACAACATCGCCAGCCCCCCCATCGATTCACCAATGCACTCCCGAAACAATTATACCAAAGAATTCAATTCTCCATCGCAATCAATCACCTCAAACACCCATTCCAGCAAGCAATCAATCATACCTATTCAATCAAATTCCAAAACACTATCAAATAAAATTCAAATTACTCGAATCTATGACGGCAGTACCCCCCTTCTAAGCGGTCAATATATTGTTTGAGTTCAATTATGATGGAAGGATGATTAAAGTACCAAATTGTAAATGTTTAACACTTTCGACTTCTAATTATATCTACTTTATTTATTTCCAGTGTCTCATGCAATATATTTATCTGCTTTTTGTTTATCAATCGATCGAAACTCGGTTCAATTCATGGAAAGCAATCATTGTGTGATAGGATCTTCGCAAGGTGAGGTAAACCAAAATATCAGTCCATAGATTACCCCAACAACAACAAATGAAACTAGGTTTGAAAATTGATTGGCACTCTGATACCACATCCACTTGTGTACATATATAAATTACAGAACCTTTTAAGGGTGAATATATTGTTGTTTGAGTTCAATTGTGAAAGAAGGTTTAATTACAGGTTCATCTGAGAATCTTAGAGAATATTGGTTCAGTGTGCATGCTCCTGTGGCATGACAATGAAAGATAGGTAGAACAATGCTAAATCCGATCTCTGATGTCAGCCATCATTGAACATTTACTACAAAAATACCATAATTGGTATCTCTATAATTGTTTATCTTTCAATTCTATTTTTTAAACTTAATTCGTGATTAACACCCACTATCTTTTGTGGGTGTAAATTATTTATTTTTTTTGAATAGTATTTTTTAAAAAAAAAAAAGAATTTATTCTATTCCTTCCTTCACCCATACTTAAAGATCATAGTTTTAGTTCTACTTCTTGATATATAATATTTTATATTCAATAGAGAAACTTAAAAAAGATTGACGATAACCCTTATTAGTTTACAAACAAGAGTTATTCTTTGTTTTTATATATTCCCCTTTTAAATTGTACTTTATTCAACTATTCTATTTAATTCTTTCTCATTGTGTATCCACTACTTTAATCTTCAATTACAATAGATATTATAATTCATTACTTTTTTAATATGTCACACCCCAAACAAACATTTCAAAATACTGGTAAGTTCTCATTCTTCTCTTGTGATGTAAATAATAGTAATTTATTTTTTATACTTCTTTACTCAGCTCCAAAATATTGGACCATTGTTCAAACATCAGATTGGTTCGAAGATTTCAAGAAAAAGAGACCAGCAGCAAATGATTCGAAATACAAAGAGGGATTCACCAAAATTTTGTGTGAAGGTTCCCAACTTGTTCTTATGTCCAAAGAATCATTCATGTCGAAATTAGAGGATTTTGGAATCGATTTATATGATATTCTAACTCTTTTGAAAAAAGGTATGTTATTTAAAACGACCAAAAAAAAAAAATCCTCACCCTTGTCTTTATAATAGAATCTTCTAATACTGCTCCTGCTATTCTAATGTACCCAACTGGTATGAGTCCATCACTTGAACAACCTACTAGATACCTTGAGGCTCTCCCACACACCTTCATCAGAGAAGCAAATACTGATCATTCATCTAGAAGAGGTGAAGGAATTCATTTGGGAGATTATTCAGTTGTTGATAGAAATCAGAAATTGGACATACTGATGAGCGACCTCAAGAAACACAAAGTGATGGTTATTCGATGTCCTCCAGAGTCAGGAAAAACATCTTTTTGCCAACTGTTAGAACACCGTGCCCAACAAACTTATGAAAAAATGGTTGTAAGAAGAGTTAGCATGTCATGGACAGGACCAAAGTCATTGAATGGAATGACTGAATTCGATTCATTTTGGACCTATTTCACAGGAGAAACTCTCAATGGGTTGATTGTCGCTTCGAGAGAGCAACCCGTATTGATCATCATTGACGAATGTCAATTATCTTATGACAATAGTCATTTTCAATATCCTATTTGGACAATGTTAAAATTCATATTGAACAACATGCCACATTTTCTTCATATATTATTTGTTGGTGCATATGGTTACGATAGAGTCCAGGGAGCCGGTACTCCTATTAGAGACCTTGAATCACTTGGTATTGAATTTTTAAATTTCGATGCAAAAGAGTTGGAACTGGTGTTTTCAAAATCAAAATATCAAATTTCTCTTGAAATTCAAGACTTGATCTGGAATTGGACACATGGTCATATAGGGGCAACCTATTTTTTCATCAAAAAGATCATTGCACAGTACCAGAACATGTTACATTTCATCTAGCAACTTTTATCGCGATTTTCAATCAATGACTAGATCATATACAGACCTTGGCTCTTTAGATGCCACAGATATGGAATTTATTCAAGTCTTGGTAGTAAATATGGTAAATGAAAATAGCGCCAATTTCGATGTGGAAATGTCAACACCAAAAGATAGAGCATCGCTTATCAAAGCAGTCAAGAATGTCATATTAGTCGTTAGAGATGATAGAATTGACATTTTTAAAGAAGACGGAACGGACAGGGACAAATACGAGGTCCAATTTAGCTCCCCTGTTTGCAAAACCTACTATATTATGCAGTGTTTGGAGTCTCCAAAAGAATTAAGAACAATGTACAAACCAAAAAATTTAGCAGACCTTCTCCATCACACTATATCCCGAATGAGACCATGGGTGTTACAACATTCAACCATTGGACCGAAAGTATTTTTTTTTATTAATTTCAATTTAGCTCCAGTCCAAAGTAACTTATTAATCCTTCTAGTGATGGGTTTCTCAACGAATCTGCCTGGTACATGGAGTTTTACTATTCTGCCTCATCTTTTATGAGTTGTTTTGTTCTCCCTTCGTATGGAAAGGGTAAGATAGCTGGTTGCGTGGATTTATTTGTAAATGGAAAGTATCAATGGGCCATAGAATTCACATCTGAGGGTGAAAATGTCAAAAGACACAGAGATAGGTTTTTGGCACCAGAAAAAAACCCAAAGTACAAGGACCAAGGTGCCTACTACAATGTTGGTCTTGATTGGGTTGTAGTTGACTTTAGACACCCCAAGAAATCACTCCAAGTATCTTCTATGCACGACCATGTTTGGTATATCTTCTATTCAGATGATTACCAAACCTATACAGTCTTGGTAAAGAATCAAGACCCCACCCTTCCACCCCACCAGTGGGAAATTAAATGTTCAAACAATCAACAAAGAATTTAAATAGCACAAGGAATCAACATGTTCTAAATATTGTTAAAATTTAATCATAATAAATAAATCTATGAATCCAAATAATATAGTATAGTACATCAATGAAGAAACGAGATTTGGTCATTTTAATTACTTTTGATTTGTTTGGTTTTTAGTTATCACGGAATGATTTTCTAATTTTACCCAATGAAACTGATGCTCTCTCTTTACGATACCTCATATGCATGGCTAGCCTCTTTCTATAATGATAAACTCCCCCTGCTATTGCTGCAAGTGACACGATCCCTACAACGACACCTACAATGACACCAGTCATTGTCTTTGACATTGATGAAGATGATTGACACTCTGACACCAAAACAGAGTACTTTGATCCACCCTTTTGACTTGATACCTTGCAATTTGGTTCATCATCTTCTTTACCAGTATCTGGATCATAAGTAATAATATTGATCTTTGAAAAATCACCATTTGATTGACCATAATTCATAACTGGAATATTAATTGGTTCATTCGATTCTGTTAAATTCTTTGCAACTCTAATTTCAATAGTTCCACTAAAGTTTGCATTATTACTTATATTCACTTGAGAAATAGAAATTAATAAATTTAGTATTATTAAAATTTCTATCTATCTATTTTTTACATACATTGAGAGAAATCATCAATAGTATTAATTGTAACGATAATAGTTGAACTATTATTTTGTTCAAGACTACCATTAATATTTAATTTGTCGGAAGTTTGAGAAACTGTACCAATAGAACCACCACTTTGTTGAATATCACCATTGATTTGACCTTGACCTTGAATGGCTCCACCTTGAATATCGATAGTGTTGTTGGATGACATGGATCCACCACCAACAATGATAGAACCCTTCTTTTGGACCACCTTTGCAACTTTAATATTATTTCCTTTGACTTGGAGTTTACCTTGATTATTTAATTGAATACCAATTGAAATATCGGCTGTAGAATCAAGAGTACCACTGTTTGTTAATTCGAGTGGTGTATCTTGGATTCCCATAGCCGTCTTTTGTAATTGAACCTGACGATATTGTTCAAAGAGTGGATGTTGTACAGTTGGAATTTCAATATTTCTCGAGAGTGTAAAAGTACCTGCATTGGTAATCGAACTACCAGGGAATGTATAAATATCCGAGTCTGAAATGAGATTAGCTCCACTTTCAGTCTCTAAATAGGTGTCAATTAAAACGACACTTGAATCTGCAGAGTAGGTAAAACTACCACCTTGAACCAGAATACCACATCCACTACACGAGAAATTAGTTCCAGGAAGGATAATTAAATCCCCTGCAACTACTGCAATAGCTGAATCAATTCCAATAAATTGTCCTCCATACTATAGTATAGAATAAATAATTAGTCCAACTTGAATATTATTATTTGTTTATAAGTTTATATTTATATTTACCTTCATAGATTCATGAGTACCAATAACTGAAAGATTTAATTTTGTATAATTGATTGATATGAATACACCTGTTACGATGAGCCATGAATTAGCTTGTAAATCTACTACACCGTCACTAAATATATCACCCATGACAGTGATGTTGGAGGCAGTGGCTGTAAGGAGAGATGATACTGCAATGGTACCTGGTACTTCGACGATGGTGGTGAGTAGGTTGATGGCAGTATTGTCAAACAAATAAATGTCTCCAGTCACTGATAAATAGGAACCGATAACAGTGACGGTAGATTCATCGTACAATGACAAACCTTCCTCCACATAGAATTCACTTTGAATCGATAGTACCTTTGTCTTGTTGTACATGATCAAAAGACCTTCAACATAGATAAAGGATTGTTGTTGGATGGTAATGGCAGAGTTATTGGTCATGAGCATATGTCCCTTTAAAAATACCGAAGAGTCATCCTCTATACTAATATCTGTGTTACCGGTAGCCAAACAACTACCAATCGTACCTTGAATATCCAAAACTGAATTGGTAGCTGCTCTAATCGATGAATTACCCATAGTAAATAAAATACCTCCACTTATCGTTACCCAAACATGATCAACAAATGTAAACCTTGAATCCTAAGAAAAATAAATAATTAATAGAAATTCTAGGGTTACTAGTTCCTTTTAACTTTCTTCTTTGTACATACAGATAAAAAGATATGACCATTTTTTAAATTAATATCTGAAAAGACATCTCTTGCAGACAAGACTGATCCATCGGTTACATTGATCGATGTACCAATAGAGTTGATAGCAGTATCATATAGGTATAGACTAGATTTATCGGCAAGTTTAATAATACCAGAGTTCATATTAAACACTGATTTACCTGCTGGTGCAGGATCAGAAAGTGTCATATTCATAGTAGAATTTAATAAATAGAAATTAATTCCAACTCCTGTAAGATTAGAATCAATCATATTTGAAAATGAATTCTAGAAAAAAAGAAATAAATAAATAAATATTTAGTTAACTCATTATTAAACTGATATTGAAATATTCATTTATCAATGTATATATTGATAATAATTATACTTACATTTAATACAACATGACTTGTCATTAAAAATGATGATTCCAATATTCTTAAATAATTTGATATTCTTGATACCTACAATAAAAAGAATTTATAAAATTGATTAATATATATAAATATATATATATATATTATTGTATTTAATAATATTAGAGTTTAACATACAGTAAAAACTTGATCATTTTTAAGAGTAACTTGTGAGATATTGATACTTAGGTAATTTGTATCAAAACTCCATATTTGACAAACCGATGAATTAAAAACATAAACGCCACCTACAGCATCGGGTACCGATACGATTCTATTGATATAGGCTCTATTTCCCATACCAAGATAAATAATACCAGTAGTGTTTTGAGTGACAAGAGAATCATAGGCAGCTTCATAAATATATAAATGTCCCATTACATTGGTTCTATTTGCAAATGACCAATACAACATACCAGAATTATGGTATAATGATGAGTTACTAATAAATAATAGATAAATCAAATAAGTAGGTAAGTATTAATTATTGATTGTTATTTTGAATTAAAAGATAACTTTACGGTCCAACAGTAACTTGAGTTATATTTCCTGTTTGAAAGAGGAACATTGTAGTTTGTTGATTTGCAATGTCTTGTGGACCACCACCAATAGTTAATGTTTGCAATGCGATTTTACTGATTGAAGGTTCGGGTTGATACGTTGTTTTGACGGTAACAAGGCCTTGAATAAGTGCATTGTCTTGTTGGCCAGGTACAGATGCAGGATTCCAATTTGAGGCTAAATGCCAATTATCTGATGATTGACCTGCTGACCATACTATATCTGTTGCATTCACCGTTAACAATAACGTTGACAATAACAACACAGACCATAAAAATAATAGTAATAGTCTTGTTGTTGTGGTGATCTTCATCATTGAAAAAAAACTTAATTTCTTTTTTTTTTTTTGATTATTCTAAAAACTATTGTTATTTGTTGTGTTGTTATATCTCTCTCTCTCTCTTTCTTCCCCTTTTCACACAGCTAATAATTATCACTTGTTACATTGAAAGATTGATCAAAAAGGGAGGAGCATTGTTCAAACCCCGAAAAGTTTTTTTTAGGAAAGATCAGAAAACACGAGCCCTGCTTGATTTGTTTGTTGATCGAAACCGACCTTATTTCGAGCTAGGTACCACAAATCTTTGAAAAAAATTATAAAAATAATTTTTTGGGGGCGAATCGTGGTACATGCAAAATTCGCAAAGGGCAGATCCGATCTTGGTACCAAGATTTACATAGGAGGAGTATGTTTATTGGTACATTTAATCATTGTTCATTGTTTGTTATGATGATCATGATTGGTGAATAAATAATATGTGGTATGGTTAGTTTGATATATTTATATATATATTTTTTTTTTTTTTTTTGGAAAATTGTGTGCGCGTTGCAATATAATTATGTTTTTGATTTTAAAAAAGAGACAGATTTAAGGTGTTTGTGTAGAAGATGTTGATGATTTTCTTAAATTAGCCAATTTAGTTGAGAATTTGCCACTTTTGTATCTTGCAAATCTAGAAATTCTATGACGATAGTGTAATGAAATACCGACGACGACGGCAGCTGCAACAACACCTACAACGACACCTACAATGACACCAGTCATACTCTTGGACATACCAGATGATTGACACTCTGATACCAAGACAGAGAATTTAGATCCACCCTTTTGACTTGATACCTTGCAACTTGGTTCATCATCTTCTTTACCAGTCTCTGGATCATAAGTGATAATATTAATCTTTGAAAAATCACCATTTGATTGTGAGTAATTAATAATTGGAATTTCAACTTGACTAGATTCCGTCAAATTCTTTGCAACTCTTATTTCAATAGTTCCACTAAAATTTGCATTATTACTTATATTCACTTGAGAAATAGAAATAAATAAATAAATATAATTTGGATTATTAAATTTCAATTTGTCTCTTTTTTTTTTTTACATACATTGAGAGAAATCATTAAAAGTATTAATTAAAATTAATATAGTTGAATTATTAGTTTGTTCAAGACTACCATTAATATTAAATTTATCGGATGATTGTGAACGTGATCCAATGGTACCACCACTTTGTTGAATATCACCATTGATTTGACCTTGACCTTGAATGGCTCCACCTTGAATATCGATAGAGTTGTTGGACGATACTGATCCACCACCAACAGTCAATACACCACCACTTTGTACGTATTTGGCCATATTGATATTTGTGCTGTTGACGATATGAAGGGTTCCTTGATTATTGAGTTGAACTTCGATTGAAATATCGGCATCTGATTGTATGGTACCATTATTTGAAAATTCAATGTTTTGGGCATTGTTTGCATCGGTTGCACCACGTTGCGTATTGGAAGAGGCAATGAGAATATTCTTTGACAGCGTGAAATTACCATTGTTTGTAATGGAGCTGCCTGGGAACATCACCAAATCACTCTGAGCAACCAAACTACTACCATCATCATTGACAATGGCTGTATTGTTGAGTGTAATAATCGAATTTTCAGCATACACAAACTTGCCACCATAAATAAACAATCTACAATAGTTGCAAGTAAATGTAGTGTTTGGTAAAATCACCAAATCTCCATTTGCAACTCCAAGTGCTGATAAATATCCATTAAATGTACCTCCATACTAAAAATAAATAAAATAGATAATTAATTAAAGGGGAACATAAATTTCTAATTGAGTGATTTAATTGTTGGTTTACATACAGTCATTTTACCATAAGATACAACAGCTGAACCTTGAGCAAGAATGGTAGAGTTGAGAGATTGGAGTTCACCAATACCCAACATGGATGAATTATAAAATGCCATTTGACCAAGATCATTGAATACATTGCCAATGACAGTGACACTTGAATGTACAGCATTCAAAGTAGAGGACATAGTGATTGAACCTGGAATCTCAACAATTGAATTGATAAAACTAATGGTAGAGTTATCGGCTGCTAATATTTGACCTTGTACGACCAAGTGAGAATCGGCAACTTCGCATCGACCATTGTCCAACAAGATAAGAAACTTTTCAATCAAACTCTGGCTGTTTGCGTAGATACCGAAAACAGCATCTTCAGCAATACCCAATGTACCTCGAACATAGATCGATGCATTATTGTATCCATAGACGGTAGCCTGATCACTAGCCATAAGATATCCCATAATGAAAATATTTGAATGACCATGAACAAAAATCTTTGAAGTATTCAATGCCAAGAAATTTCCATTCGATGAACCACCTGCAATCACCAAAGATGAATTATTACTACCAATAATAGTTGAATTGTATAATAATGTTAATGATCCATTATTAATTCCAACTACACTTTTTTCAAATTTTAATGATGAATTCTATTTAAAAAATAGAAATAGAAAATATAGGTATATATATATTAGAATGTTGTTGTTTGAAATGATTGGTTTGGTTTATATGTATATCTATTTACCTTTAAAACAATTTGACCATATTCTAAAGATACAACAGAGTCTGTTAAAAATAGGTATGATAATTCTTCAAGTAGGAAATTAAAGTTTGTGGTATGCATTTGAGTAGTTTGCATGTTTAGGAACGAAGCATTTCTAAGTAACAGGCCACCTTGGTCTCCTAAAAATTGGGGTAGGTTGGTTGGAGATGGATAAATGGTGGCTGATGAATTATATAATGCCATATATGAGTCTGTTACATTAATAATTGATCCATTTGAATAAATAAAAGAGTCCTAAAAAAAAATTATAACAAAAAAAAAAAAGATTAGGTATAAACAATAAATTAATGGGAGAGAGAATGTGAGCCGGATGGATAGATGGATATATACAGTAAATAATACATCTTGAAATGCAACGAAATAAGAGTCCTCTAATGAAAAGAAACCATGAATCTTTGATTCTTGTTGTGGCCATCTAAGAATCGAAAAATAAGATCCTTGTGCTGCAAGATAATCTGCATCGATATACAAAGTCTCTACTACTGCGTTTGAACAAAAAATGGTTCCTGTACTTATCATAACTGTTATAAATGATGTTCCAGCTGAAAAAAAGGAATAATAATAAAAGGTTAGGTTTATAAGTTATATACAACAATGGATCAATGTTGATCCCTCCTCTGCTTGCTTGACATACCAAAAACCAAAGTTGCATCAACTCCAATATTGACAATTGAATCTACTCCAGCATTGATCATATATAATTCTCCACCAATAAATGTATCATAAATAATTGATTCATAACTATTTGTTAAATAAACTGTTGATCCGCTATAAATTGAAAACAAAAAAAGATTAATAAATCATCAAGTATCAAAACTATTTTTGTTTTTGAAAAACTTATAAACATACTAATAAACAGATAAATTTTGAGAAATAAATAATGGATTGGAAATAAGAACAGATGTAGTTTCTTCATTTACTGAACCAACTTTCAATGAGGAGATATTAACTGGTACAATTGGACCTCCAAGTGTTGACACTTCTACACCTTGTCCATTGATAAACACATTGTCTCCAAAAGCTGGTAAAGATGATGGATTCCAATTACCTGCACTGTACCAAACATTTGTTGTAGTTCCTGCATTCCAAACTTTGTTTAAAGCATCAACTTGGTTTGTAGCAATAATCACCGCCACTAAAACTAATAATACAATTGAAATGATTCTCATCTCTTATTTCCTCTTTTCTCTTTTCTCTCTCTAATGATGATTATTTGCGTTATAGAGGGATAGCCCTTTTGTTTAAATTGACTATTTCTATTCTATATATATTTGAAAAAGGAATAAAGGAGGAATGAATGAATGATTGTGAATGATGAGAAGAAGATGAGTTGAGGCGACAGTGAGTGTATTTATTGTTTGAATTATCGTTCGTGATCAGATGAATCAACGGAAAGGAGGAATTCTCGCCAAACAAACAAATGTACTTTCAAAGGACATGGTGCCGAGGCCATCGTGCCACTGTTTTTATCAAAGAAAAAAGCAATTCTAAAAAAAACGAAATATCGTGATTCTCGCAGCCATCGTGTATCTTTTTAAACCGCACCTTTACCCAGTTTGTTTGTGTTGGTGTCCGCATATGGGCTGCAGGCATGTCTGAAAGAAAGAAAAGAAGTTCCATCACATCACACATCACTCTTCAATACATTCATTTACTAAATCAAATATCTCTCTTTGTTCTAATGCAGCCATTAATCTTTCTTTATCATTTATCTGTTTGTTTACTAGTAGAGAATAGAGTTGGTTAATATCATATGATACGTCATCATCTTATTATTATTATTACTATTACATACTATCGAATTCAGTTTGATGAGAACCAGGTTGAACATAGACAGTAACCTTTGATTGTTTTGGTAGAGATGTTTCAATTTTTTGCCTTAGACAAAGTGCAATAGTTGGTACTAGATGACAATGAGGTACTGTAGGTCTAATATAAATGGTTATATTACAAACTTGTCCATTGTGTGCACCATTGTCATCAGTTGAAACAAGGTTATCTTCCACTGTTATATATTCTTCTTTTACAACATTCAATTCTTCCAATGTATTTGGGAATTCTGGATCTAAAATAGATACATAATATATAATAATCATCAAACATGTTAGTTCCTCTTTTCATTCAGCAGTAATTCAACATTCATTTCATTTACCTTTAATTGATCTGATTATATCTAATGTACATAAATAAAAGAAGAATGAATATCAGCAAACAATGGTATCTAATTCTCTTCTCTCTATTCTCTCTCATTCTTACCAAAGATATCAATTGCGTCTATTAAATTGTATTGCGTCATAATGATGTTTTGTTATTGTTATCGATAGATATATATATATATTGTTGTCTCTACTCTCTCTTTAGTTGTTATCATATGATTGTTTGTTTGATTTAATATTCCATTTGATATTGTTTCTCTCTCTCTTTCTCTTTCTCTTTCTCTTTTGTTTCTATGTATAAATGAATGAATGAATAAATGTATGATATATTGTGTATATCATTTAAATAATGAATGAATGAATGAAGATTTAAAACATGATCTTTCTTTTATAAAATTGATTATTTTTTGTAAATTTCATTAGTCAAAAGAGTAAAACAAAGATTTAGTTTGTTCATTTTTTAAACTATGATTATTTGTTTATTTATTTGTATAATATATTTAAATATAAAATGGTGAAGAAGAAGTTGTAGTAGTTACTAAAGTACACTACACTATTAGATATCAGATATCAGATATCTATCTATCTTTTTTAGGCATGATTGTAATCATCATACTTGGCCTTTTCATTGGCCCAAGTTTGAAGATAGATCTTGGCATTCTCGACGATTGGTAATTGCTTTGGATACCATCCGAGAACGTTGTGTGCCTTGGCTGAAGAGACCTTTTGGGAGATACCGACAAATTCAGAGAGGAGGTCTGCAGGCTTGACAAATTGAACCTTGGTGAGTGTCTGACCGAGACCTTGAGCCTTGGCAAACTCGAGTAGCAAGTCGGATACACTTTCATTGTAGGCATTGACGATAAAGACTTGTCCTCTGACGGCATCGGTTCCATTCTTGGCTGCCAACACGTAAAAGTTGGCAAGATCTTGTGGATGGACGTATCCATGGTACTGGTTGACAGTACCTGATGTGGTGATGACACCGTCCTTGGCAGCAGAGATCAGTTGATTGTAGTAGGGTACGATACTTGGGGTGACAAACGATGGTTGGACAATAACGGCACCTAACTTTTCATAGTCACGTTGGAGACCTGCACGCTCAACAAGGAATGGGTGTGGATTGTAAGGAGTGTTTTCAGTGATGGCACCATCCAACACTTCACCATAGACCGATGCACCAGAGGTGTAAAACACCAATTTAGAGTTCTTGGCACTCTTGTCAACAACAGTCTTGATGGCTTGGTACACTACAAACTGTGCCTTTTGGTCAGCAATCTCATTGACAGCTTCAACAATAATATCTACCTTTTCAGCGATCCCAGTCCATTTATCAGTTTCTTTAATATCACCTACAACAATTGGTGTGACTATGAAAAGAAAAGAAAAGTAAAATAAGAAAAAAAAAAAAAAGAATATTATAAGTAAGTATACAATCCAACAAACAAACAAACACATGTGGTGTGGTACCCAAACATACTTTGGTTAGAGAATAACAAGGCAGCTTTGGCTTGAGTTCTAGTTACACCGTATACTCTATACCCTTCCTTTACAAATGATGTGGCAACAGCCAAACCAACAGACCCAGTTGAACCTAATACAAGAACAGATGACATGATGATTATGATGATGATTAATTATTAACTTATTAAAATAGTTGATATTATTATTATTATTATTGAATGATTTGATGAATGTTGGTAAATGATCATGGTTTAAATAGCCTTTGGTTTAATGATTCCAATGTTCAGAGCTGGAAGAGTTTATTAAAATAATATATTTAAAAGTGATTGGAATCATAAATGATATTTTTACTATTGCGTCCGAAAAATCACCCCAAATCTGCTATGGTCGTCTCAGCTCAACTCAATAAAAATCGTCCCTGTTCTCGTCCTTGCTCAAAAAATAATCGTCCTGCTCGACCAAAATTGTGAACTTCCAAACAATTCCAAAACAATTCCAACCAACAATGCAATATGTTTTTAAAAAAGGTAGTCGATGTGTAAGCAACTATTCGTTTATTATTTATTTATTTATTTGAAATTATACAGTAATTTATCTCTCTTTAGAAAGAATGGTGGGTGTTTTGTTTGTTTGTTTTAAAAAAAAAATGTACAATCAATTGGGTGATAGCTCTATTATTAGAGTATCAAACAATTAATTATTAAAACCACCTTTTGGTAATAAAGGATCAGTTGGAGAGGATGGGATTGGTTGAATGTAAGTAGCACCAGTGTAAAAGAGACCTGCTGCTGGTGGGCCTTGTGGCTTGCCTTCATTGACGAGTGGCTTTGGTGGTTGAACAGATGATCCAACAATTGGTTGAATGTATTGATATTGTGATTGTGGTGAATAGGCTGGTGGTGGAGCTGTTGGTTGTTGAGCAAATACTGATTGTTGTTGTTGTTGTGGTTGTTGTTGTTGTTGTTGTTGTGGTGGTGGATTAGTAAATGGATTATATGCACTTAATGGATTAGTGTAAAATGGGTGTGATGTAATTTGACCATATGGATTAACAACATTATTAGAGTTGTTGGTAGCTTGTTGTTGTGGTTGTTGTTGTTGAATCAAATAAGATTGTTGTTGTTGTGGTTGTTGTGGTTGTTGATGTTGTAGATGTTGTTGACGTATTTGTTCAAGACTTTGTTGGATTTTTCTATTTTGTTCTTGACGATCAAGTTCTCTTTGAATCAAGTAGTGTTGTTGTGGTTGTGGTTGTGGCTGTGGTTGTGGTTGTGGTTGAACAATATTTGAAACATTAACATATTTACTAAAATCTTTAAGGAGGTCTTGGAATTGAGCAGAGTTTGCAATTTCCTTTTTTTGTTGTTCATCCTTGGCAGTCAACTCTAAAAAGAGTCCGTTGATACGAGCAGCATACTCTTTCTTGAGTTGTTCGTCGAGTTGCTTCTTTTCCATTAGTTGGTCGAGACGGACGCGTTGCTCCTCTAGCATGATTTCGAGGTTCTTTTTCTCTTCCTCGAGGGCACGTGCACGGGCATCACGTTCGTTGGCTTCGGCGAGGATGGCACGTTGACGCTCTTGTTCGCGGGCTTGTGTGGCGAGGTATGAGTTGAGCTCCTCTTCACGCTTGCCCTTGAGAATCTTCTCTTCCTCTAGAGCTTTACGTTGTTCGTCGGCACGACGACGGATCTCGGCCTCTTGCTTGATACCTTCATCACGGATCTTTTGGAGACGTTCCTCTTCCACCGACTTTTTGTTGCGCAATTCTAGTTCTCTGAGGAAGTAGTTCATGGCATTCTCGCTGTTTTGACCAAAGTCGCGGAGGATCTTGGTGTAGTGTTCGTCCTTGAACGAGTCACCAAACACCTCTCTCAGCTCCTCGACCAGCTTGCGCTCTCGCTTTTTGGCGTCCTCTTCCTTTTTGCGTGCCTCCTTTTCAATCTCTATCTTCTTTTCCAACTGCTTTTGTTCATTCTCTAGTGTCACATGACGCTTTTGTAGAATGTCAACGGCCATGTTAATGTCCCAATTGTAACGATCCATCGTAGAGTATAGGAAATGGTCTCTTTGAAGCAATGGGAACATGCCAATCACCTGATCAACTATCTTTTTCTTATCTATTATATTAACACTCATTGTATCTCTCTTATCTATCTACTATTTATCTATCTATCTGTATATATCTCTATGTCTATGTATATAATTAGTGTAAAATATACAACTACAACAATAAAAATAAAAATGGATTAAATTGAAAGTTGTACTCAACCCTTTGCACCAAAATAAAATTGAATAAAACTAGAAATAGTCACGAACCCCATTCTTTGAGAATTTAAGCTGAACTGAAGTTCTTTGATTAGTGCGAACCATCTATCTTAAATCTCATTGTCCGTGTATATATATATATATTGTACATATGTGTTAGATCGAATGGAGTCTACATCGTCATCATCATCGAGTGAGAGATTAAGTACATTAATAGATTTAGCAAGATGTGGTAAACTTAGTAACCGTGATCGTAGTGATCTCATGTCACTCTATTCACTCAGTATGCAAGCTGCAATTCAAGGCGATAAAGATCAATTAGTACAATCATATATTCAACAACAACAACAACAACAATCAAAAAGAAACAATCAAATTGTTGAACCAATAGAAGTAGTAGTAGTAGCAGAAGAGAAAGAAGTGGATGAGGATGTGGAGGAAGAGGAACAAGTTGTCGATCAAGACATCATCGATAAAGTTGATTCAATTCAAGTTTGTGATGATACCAACAACGACGACGAGAATCATAATCAACAGGAGGAAGAAGAAATAATAAACCAAGAGGAGGAAGAGGAAGAGGAAAAGGTTCCAAAGAAGGAGTATATTTGTGATGGTTGTAATTGGTGTGTAGAGTTTATATCATCGTCAAAAAGTAATAATAATATAACTTCATCTTCTTCAACTACTTCTAAAACAAGTGATGTTTGTGCGAATTGCAAGTGCTCGCTCATTTATCATATCACCATGGATTCAGATGACGATGTCGATGATGATAATAGAGAATACAATGAGGATTATGAAGAAGAGGAGGAGGATGATGAAGACGACAGTTCCTGTTAGAGATTTATATAACCACATTAACAACAAACCATCAAAAAAACAAAATATTAATAGAAACAAAAATTTAAAATAACATTAGAAGCGACAGTCAACAACACAACATGCTTACCCATACAACAACAACAAAAACCTTCCATCTTAAATTTTAATTAACTCCATTAATGAGAGATCAAAAATTTTATATAGTCACAACTGCGTGTGATTGTGATAGTGGTTGATACACCCACCCACACTGCACTACCATTAAAAAAGATTTAAGATTGAAAAATCTATAAAGTGAAAGAGGGGGGGTGGTGTGAGATGGATGGGATTGGGAGAGAGTGGTGTTAAATCCTTTCTAGGGTTTCACCCTAAACAAGACCAACCCACCAACCCCCCATCTCTCGAACAAACAACCAAGCAAGCAAACAAACCAACCAACCATCCCATCCATACACATGCATACACATTCATGCAACATCCATCAAATTATCCCTCTCTCTATCCCTCCCTATCCTATCCATAATCATCAACATCTTCGTTCTTAAAGTAGAGCTTGCAGGGAAAGGAAAGATAAGAAAAGGGAAGAAAGAGGAAAAGGATAATTCAGCCAGCCATCCATCCATCCATCCATCCATCCAGCCAGCCAGCCAAGCAACCAAGCAGACAGACAAACAGACAGACCAGTGATAATGACAACAAGACAGACACAGACATAGACACAAACAAAACAGATGAAAGAAGCACACCGATAAATAATAATAATAATATTATAAAACAGAGAACACACACAAAGAGAGAGAGAGAGAGATATAGATAAGAGAATAAAAAAAAAAGAAAAAGAACCGATTCAAATAATTGTATTAAACACAATAAGTAGTAGTAGTATTAGTATCATCATCATAGGAAGGCATCGATCAGGAACAACAACAACAACAACAACCAACAAACAACTGCAAACATCATTTTAAAACATTTTTTTTTTTTAAACAGTCAAACAACAAACAAACAAACACTAGTTAGTATATTCACCATCATCACGCCCATCTTTAGCAATAACAGACATCAGTAGCAAGCACTGCTGTAGTTAGCTATTGATCTGATTGCCAGAATAGTACTATTGATATATATATTCCAGATCAAACACCCCTTCAATCGATTGAATAGCAAGCAAAATAATTATCCACCCTGCTTATAATTAATTAATCAATTCAATTCCAACCTCTTGATCAACAACAACAACAACAACAACAATCGAAAACAAAGGAAGGTTCAACAACAAAAAAAAACACTATAGCATTAATTTTTAATCCTTTCAGACAGTCTGATCACATATAACAAAATATCATACGACCACAACAACAATAATAGTCAACATCAATCATTAATATTATTACTATCCAAATCAACAACCATAAATATTTATTATTATTTCCAACAACAATCAATCAATCAACCTAAATATTTGGAATAATTATCTTTACGAATTTGGACATATTCTATTCTCTCTAGGAGAAAATGGATATTCCAAACAATGGTAATGGTGATCGATCACCACTACCATTGCAACAAAACAAACAACACTCTGTAGATATATTTAAATTAAAAAAGAAGAAAAAATCATCTCCTTGTAATAATAATAATAATAATAATAATAATCTTCACCAAAGTTTTAATAATAATAATAATAATAAGAAATGTCAATCGAATGGAGAAGAAAAGAAATATACATTTTTTCAAAAGGTTGGATTATTTTTTCAAGGAGTATTGAATGATTTCCTAATGCCAAATCCAAAATGTTTTAAAAAGACATCAATTTATCGTCGAGCAAGATTATTGACCTATCTATGTATCATTTATTTTTTAATATTTGCCATTGGATTGGCAATGTTTGATCCACTCTATCCAATCTTTATCTTTTCAGTGGTTGCCATGTTTGCCATCTACGTCTTGGCAATGCGATCCATTCGTTTTACAATGACCTGTCTATTGTATACTATTATCCAGATGATCATCTATATTGCCATTTGTGTCGTCTATTTTACTCGACTCAATGCCCAAAAACAAGAATCACTCATCTTTTACCACTATTTCAATCTATTTGATTTGGTTGGTGTATTGGTCACTTCTACCATCCTATTCCCCTCCTTTTGGTTTTGTGGTTCAATCCTACTAGTCATTAATCTTTTAAATTGCGCTTTAAATTTATTTATTCATTATTATTTAATTGTTTCTCAATCAATGGCAAGAATTATAAATATCTATTTCTAAAATCCATTTTAATTAATTATTTTTTCTATTACTTTTTTAGATATTTCAAAATATTATAATATCAGTTGCAACATCATGTTTATTATTATTTTATTCTTATATTACATCTGTGGATTTAAAAGAAATTGAAGAAAGAGAAGAAAGAATTAGAAGTTTATTTAATCTTAGTTCAGAAGCTTTGGTCATTCATAAAAATGGTATCATTGTAGATGCAAACTCTACCTTTGAAAATATGTTTCAAGTTAAATTGGATTCTATTTTACATCCAGTTGTATGTAAAAAGAAAAAAAAATGAAATAGAAAAGAAACAAAGATAATAGTATTATTAATATTTGTATTTTTCTTTATTTTTTTTAGGCAGCAGCAATTGGGGAATTTTTACCAAATATTGAACAATATTTAAACAAATCAATGATTGATATACATGATCAAGCATCATTTTCATTGCTTGATAATAAAAAGATTATAGAGACTGTGGCCATAAACTCGTCCGGTGAAGAGTTTTCAGTCGAGGTTCGATCACAAAAGAAAGAGTTTTTGTCAAATCCAGTTGACATTTTATCGATCATTGACACTAGTGCGAGACGGAAATTAATGGAAGCAGATACGGCACTTAGAAAAGCAGAGGCTGTCAATGAAGCAAAGATTAATTTCCTCACCAATGTTAGTCACGAGGTGAGAACACCGATCAATGGTATATTGGCATCGGTCGATATTCTGGAAAAGACCAATTTGGATAATACACAAGGTGACTTTTTAGTCTGTGTAAAGGATTCGGCCAACTATCTCTTGGATCTCATCACTGATATATTGGATTTCTCAAAGATTGAATCTGGAAAGATGCAACTACAACCGGTTGAATTCAACATGATTACAATGCTTGAAGAGACAATGAACATTGTATACAGTACAACCAAAGAACGTGGATTGGAACTCATTCTGTTTGTTGATCCTGCCATTCCCATCATTGTAGTGGCCGATCATTATAGAATCAAACAAATTCTACTCAACTTTCTTTCAAACGCCATTAAATTCACTTCGACTGGACAAGTAGTCATTCGCGTCAATTTTGTATCATGTACACCGTCCGTAGCCAATCCATCAAGCACCGAATTCAAAATATCGTTCGAGGTGGAGGATTCTGGTATTGGGTTGAGACAAGAACAAATTGAAAAGTTGTTTACCGCCTTTTTACAATTTGATAACCACGGATCGAGAAACTTCCAGGGTACCGGTCTCGGTCTGAGCATCAGCAAGAAACTGTGTAATATGATGGGAGGAGAGATTACAGTCAAGAGTACGTATGGCAGTGGATCGACCTTTGGATTCTCGTGCAACGTGCTATCGGCATCTGATTCGTGGACCTATGGATCATTGTCGAGTTCATTGTCTCTGCGATCGGATAACCATGCAATGATCCATACCAACAATGACAAGTTTAGTTGTTCAAAGATCAAGGGCTTTGTCGTGTACAATAACGATCAGTTGCGCAAGTCGGCCGTCCAACTATTCAGTATGTTGGATGTCGACCTGACACCCGTCGACAATGAATCATCTCTACTGTCAGTGTTGCAGCCGGGTGGTCTGCTGGACAGCGGCGCCAAAAAGAGCAGTCACGGAGACACTGACACTTATTTAATATTGGTGCCAGAGTCATCTGGCAATCTCGACGAGTACAAGAGACTGTGTGGTGCGTGGAACGACACTAATTCAAATTCAGCAGCCATTCGATTACACTGGATTTTAATTAGCGAGAATACTCCCGACTACCTCGACCCCTTCTTTTCGTCGATTCTAAAGATGCCACTCCATCTCCCAACCGTCGTAGAGTCACTCTACTTTATTCAAAAGGTGCCTATTCCTTTGGACCTCTACTTTTTACTCACCAATTTCAAGGCCTCCAAGAACGACTCGCTTCGAAGCAGCCATGACAAAGACTCCAAGGCCACATGCACCAGTCTCTCGTCGTCGTCGACCAACAATACCTACTCGTCCTCTCTCACATCCAATCCATCGTCTACGTCGTTTGCAATGGACGACTACAAAACAGCAGAGAGAAGAAGACACCTAACACACCAAAGAAATTCAAGTTACAGTGACCACGTTGCCATCACTCGCGGTTTGGTCCAAGTCAATCGTAGTCCACGTACCAACAGCGATAAAACCAATGAACCTCCAGTCACAATCATTGATCTATCTGGTAAAGAATCAACATCGGTTGGTCATCACCAACTTTTACATCATTCGAATCAAAATAACAATAGTAATAGCAACTATAGTAGTTCACTTCCTCCCATTTATATTAAACCTGCCGAAAATCATCGAATCAATTTACAACAACCACCGACTTCTCATCATCATAATCTTAATCATAATAATCATTTAAATTCATCCAATCAAACTACTCCATTATCATTCTCACCACCTCCACCTCCTCCACCAATAACAGCCGCAACAACAACACAATCATCAAATTTATCAAATAATGTCGGTCATGGAAATGATGATTTGGAAATGAATAATAATAATAGTAGTAGTAGTAGTGGTGGTGGGGATGGAAATTCCCATTCTTCATCCAATTCAACTTCACCCATAACATCTCCACCTTTTACATCATCATCATCACCACCAACCATCAATGTATCTACTAGTCAACCAACACAACCACAACAACCAGTCCTAAAGGAACAAAGATTATCATTACAATCAACACCAAGAAGAAATAATAGTAATTTAAACGAAGAAACGATTGGTGATAGTCGATCCTTGTCATACAGTTCATTCACATCCAACGTTTCCATTCCATCGCCATTGGAATCAACACCGTCGATGAATGGTGTACCCGTATCACCATTTATTCAATCACAACCGCAATCTCCTTATCAACCGCAACACCACCAAAAATCATCATCACAACCATCTTCACCAATTGTTATAAATAATGACAACAACTGTAATATTCTCCAACTACCAGGTGTCGTTGGACAAAGATCACCTATTCTTTCACCACACCTAACAACATTGTCGCGAAGAGTCAGTATTCCCCAGTTGGACTTGGACTCTCAAAAACAAGAGTTTCATCGAAAGTCTCGCTCTACTCTGACCGGTAGTAACTCTACCATTAACGAATCACCACGTCTAACAAAACCATTCAAGATCCTACTCGTAGAAGATAATCTTGTCAATTGCAAAGTATTTACAAAGTTTCTTCGAGATGGTGGACACAGTGTTTCGCATGCCTGCAACGGTATCGAAGCCATCAATGCCATCAAATCTGATTATTATCCAATTATTTTAATGGATTGTCAAATGCCATTAATGGGAGGTATCGAAGCAACTCGAGTCATTCGAAAGTATGAAAAGGATAATTACTCGTCTGACAAGCGTTACAAGAAATGTTTTATCATTGCTCTGACTGCCAATGAAATATCGGAACGTGAAGAATGTTTCGCTGCCGGTATGAATGATTTCATTCAAAAACCAGTCCGTGGATCATTACTCTTACTTTCTGCTATTGAAAAATATATTAAAAACTTTAGTGATGAAGATTTACAATATTTAAGTTCAATTAAAAAATAAATAAACAAACGGACGGACGGATAAATAGATAGATAGATAGAGAATATTTATTTAATTTAATTAAAATCTAATTACATTATTATTATTAATATTTTATTTATTTATTTACAATGATCTAAAAATATTTGAATATTATCTTTCATATGATCAGTTGAAGCAGGAGATACAGTGGTAACAGATGAAATTAAAGCTTTCATGGTTTGTATAAATGTTTTGGAATAGGGTTGTTCGATAATATCCAATACTTGATTTATAAAATATCTAACAAGAGAAGGATCGATTTGATCCAATTTTGCCCAACTTTTAATACTATTTAATACTGGTATAACATGTCCCAAACTAAATAAAAATACTAAATTATCTATAATTGTTTTTCTCATTTCAAGCTATAAACAAATAAATTAAATATTAATATTTAATTATTTCTTTTTTTTTTTTCTAATTTACTTACAGCAGTTAAAGAATCCAAATCAGTTTCCAATTCAAAATAATTGACAAGAGTATTTAAAACTAGTTGTCTATGAAGTGGATGTTTCATTGATATTTCTCTAAGAAATTCAAGGTAAATGGGTGTACATAGTGTATTGGCGCTAAGGTTATTCGTGTTCATCAAATTATATTGAATCCATTGTAAAATACCCATTGATATGATTGGGTATGATATTCCTTCCTTTAAAATGGGATATACACCTTGTAATTCTGTACCAATTGGATTTGCTTGACATATAGCTTGTACTTTTTCAATTGCTCTCATTGTTTCATTCATTTGTGCTTGATCTAATTGTTGTGTTTGAACTGGTGGTGGTTGTTGTTGTTGATTATCTGATTGTTGTTGTTGTTGTTGTACACTGGCAGCATATGAAATTAAATAAATCCATTTGGATTTGTGCGCATTTTGAATATTTTTTGATGGATTAAATAAATCATTTAATAATAATTCTAAATAAATAAAAAAAGATTAATAAAAAATAGGAAATAATAATAATAATTATTATTATTTCTTTGACATTACCTAATAAACTTGGAAATCTTAAAAAACTGACAGGTGGAGGATTTGGTTTTGTATATTCATTGTATAGTTTGATGATATCACCAGTTGATGCAGAGTTTGCTGTTAGGACAGAGGTGAGAGTTTCATAGATGACTGGATATTGAGAGACATTGTTGATCATCAATGATACCTTTCTTGCTATTTTACTCTTTTTATAGGCTTCGTCTTCCAAATCTTGTGAAATTCTTTTTAGATTCAATGCATTGGGATGTTTATGAATCAAGTTTTGTAAAAATGATTGTGCATATAAATATGTATGTTGACTACTACAACATGATTTCTAAAATAGAAATTCAAAGTATTAATTAATACAAAAAGACATTATAAAGTATTATTATTTCTTTTGAAAATAATCTTTCTTACTTTAAATTCACCAATCGCATCTTGTAATTCAATTTCATCCAATTGTATTAAATGAGTCAATGAATCTAAAAATACTTTGTTGAATACACTAAAATAGGTTGATGCAGTACTAAGTGATGCAATTTCATTTTGGTATCCTGCATCTGATATTTTCTAAACAAATTGTATTTAAAAAGGTTAATTTATATTCCAATCTAATACATCTCTGTTTACAACATACTTGAATGGCAAAATTCAACATTAAACAATTCTTGTGTACTTCTGACAAGTGATAGATTAATGATCTCCAATCTGCATCTGCAATCATTTCATCTAACCATTGTGGTGGTGACTAAAAATAAATAGATTGATTAGAAACGTATTGGGCATGATTGATGGTTCATTCATTCATTCATTCGTTCATTCATTCATTCATTCATTTCCAATTACCAACATACAGATAAAAAGATAGTATCAGCCTTTTTAGGATCAAACTTATCAATGATAATATCCTTTAGATGTTTTTTAAACATTGCATTAACTTGATCTCTTGATACACCAGATACAGATAACCAATTACAAAGTAGATTACACATTTGAGCATATCCTCTATAACTTTCTGATAGAAATCGAATAACATCCTATGATTGATTGATTGATTGATTGATTGAAAGAAGAATAGTTAATGAATTGTGAATATCAATCATACTACTACTACTATTAGTTGGTACATACAGGAGGAGATCCTCCATTGGTTATATAATCTTTCATGACCTGAGCAATCTCTACGGTCATGATAGAGTCTGGTTGTTGTAGTTGATTCTCGCACTTTTTTCTAACCTGCTCGGGATCGTTTGGATCATAGTCTGGTATTGAAGGAGGCGCTCTTCTAACAGATGCCGATAATGGTGTTAGAGGTGATTGACTAGGTGATTGAGGTGATGCATAGGACAATGAAGGTGATATAGGTGATGATGATACATCTCCTCCTACTCCTCCTATACCACCAATATTAATTCTATGTGGTGGTGATATTGTATTGGGATTAGATGATGTTGTTGATGATGGTGAAGACATCATAAATAGATTGATTGATTGCTCTTAACCCAATAAATTAAATTAAACTAAAAGTAAGAACTTCCTTCCCTCTTCTCTTCACAACGGATTTTTTATTTTTCAAATTTAGAATGAACACTTTACTTTTGTTCGAGGTCAAACCAAACGGACATTTGTCCATTCCTCATTCTGATCATCACACAAGTACTTGCATAGCATAGCACTCCACTCTTCATATTGGAAAACCGATATCAGCTTACAAAGAAGAAGATGTCCACCTACAACGTGGGAGGATTACATGGGAAACTTGGTAGTGAGGATTCAATCATTTCCGAATCTCAAGTAAAGAAGTTGAACCTGTCTACTCTGCCATTCGAATCTAATCTTCGCCCTATCATCTCCAACAAGATAAACAGTCTTTTTACTACATGTCATATCTCAAACGTATTAGATGTTTCTCGTCGAATATGCAATGCAGATATCAACATGAATAAGCCAAGTGACAAGCGAATATATTACATCAAGGAACACATCAAACAAAGGTAACTTTAATATAGATCAATCACAAACAACAAACTACCAAACTATGATACTCCATCCATCCGCACCCTACCCTCCTCATCTTTAACTACAATATTCTAGGTTTAAATCGGTGTTTTGTGGCCTTTGAAAGATGATATTTGTTTCCCGTGGGTTGAAAAGGTCGCCACTCTACAATGATTGGCTTATATACTTATCTTCTAGTTCTGAAAGTTTGTTCCTATTCTCAATTTCATTCGATAGCTTATGTCAATGATTAGCCCCATGCTGCACATTGGTTGTATCCAATCTGATCAGATTCATGCACCATGGGGCTGATCATTGGCATTGGCTGGGGGTTGGACACAACAAAATCGTATTGGTATCCTCAATTGCCCTCCTCCCCTCCCCTCAACTCAAGGTGATGCCATTCGAATTTCAAGCAAGTTGGACACTCAAAAAGGTATGTATAACAATCAATCATATTTATTTACTTAATTATTTTTAAACAATTAAATAGGCATGTTATAATGTATAGATAGATGGATAGATAAATAGATACCACAGTTGTTATCTCTGTTCATACTCATAAATATGAATCTACTTTGACCATAATCAAATATATATTTTGTTTTTTCTAAAAAGATGATGAAAATATATTTATTTAATTTATAATTATAGTTTTAGTTTAAAACTACTAAACAATTGGATAGGAAGCAGAAGTAGCGATACCACAGTTGTTATCTCTGTTCATACTCATAAATATGAAACCGTGTGAGCCCCAGGTCGACCCCCACGAGTTCTTGACTATCCAGTAGTCACCGTTGGATGAAGGTGTCTTGACCATTCTGTTGTTGAATACAACCATCTTTGGTCCGGATCTACCACCAACGTTGTTTGCAAGTGATGATGGATCACCAGAACCATATCCAACTACCAATACACCATGATCAAGATTAACAGATGAACAATCCTTTTCATAATAGATTCCATGAGAATAGAGTTGGAATGAACTAAAGTTAAAAAAAAAAAAAAATTATAAGTATATAAATTAATAATTATTATTTAAATTTATAACATACTTGTGACTAGCATCGATAGCAACGGATACTGGACCAGCATTCTTTACAGCATCGGCCAAATTACTTTCATCACCAGAGGTAATATTCTTGTACGATGAGATGGTAGCACCAACATTGGTCTTGTTAAAGAGACACTTCTTTCCTGTTTCAGCACTGTATGGATATGAATCTTCGGTATCGATACCTTCATTTTTAATAATATAATCCTAATTAAAAAGTAAATTAAATAAATTAGTATTTAGTTTGTTAGTTTTGGAGTTCTTTTAGTTTAATACATACAAAAGCAAGATTCATTAAACCACCTTGACAACCCATATTGCCTTCTGATCCACTGCAATCAACAAGGTTTTGTTCAGATAATGGTACCATCTTTCCAGTAGAGATGTAATGTGCCCCTTCGACAGATCCAGTTGTTGAGAATGACCAACATGAACCACACTATAAAGAAGAGAAAACAAAAAAAGAAATGAAAAGAAAAGAAAACGATAAATAAATAATCATTGATTTGATTGATTAAATAGTTTGATACTTACTTGACCTTGATTTTTAATTGGGGAAACAGCACCTTTAGCTCTCCAATCAACAGTAGCACCAGAACTATCGGAATCATCGTCACCAAAGACTTTTCCGAAATTGTTTGACATTTCATGTGTACCTGGGGTTCCCAAAAGATGACGAGCATTGATACGAGTACCAAGGTAGAGTCTACGATACTCTTGATTGGTGATATCGGCGAATTGGTTCAACTCGAGGACAGTTGGCAGTTTCTTGGAGTTCCATTCATGGACATAATCCATATTGGTCTTGAATACAGCAAAACGTTGAAGGAAATCAAATGATTCATAACTTTTTTCAAATCTATGAATCCATCCTTCAAACTCTTTTCTGTATTCCTCCTCTTCAAAAAAGATTCCTCCTCCACTACCACCTCCCTTTACAACCGATATAATTAAAATTAGACCAAGTAAAATTAATTCACCTTTTCTATACATTTTTGAGAAAATTTAAAAAGAATAATTGATAGATAAAATTATTATTATTATTTAAAAAATATTTATATTTGATTGATATTGATTTTGATTTTGATTGAAAAAAATTATATAAATAATAATAACTCTAGAGATAGATAGAGAAAAGACGAAAAATAGATAAAACAACAAGAGACAGACAGTAGGGATAGGATATTGGTAACAAGTAGAAAAAAAAAGAAATGTAAATTTAATAAATAAATAAAATTCCTCTTCCTCTTCCTCTTCATCCTTCCTTGTTTTTTTGAACCTACAAATTCAAATATGGAAGCTCAATATTTTTCAATCCGATCCTACCCTATCGTATACTATTAATACTACCTCCTACACTATGTATTCTTTCTTCAAAATAATCACACCTGATAAATAATCACCATCCTACTGAGTAGATTGAAAAAAACCACCAATCAACTTTGATTTTCACTCTTCTTTACCACCCCACCCACCCACCAACCTAACCTATCAAACAAACACCCAATTGTGTGTGGGTGGTTAGTGAACCTACAGACAACAAGCCATTAGGAAAAGGAAAAAGAAACTTCCAAATCATAATTTTGATTCCTTGGAATCAAGAAGTACATCTTTCATTCATTGCCAAGCTGCTCAAGTCAGAAGAAGTGTGCTGTTAAACAAATATTATTATTCTGTACAAACTCGAATTTTTTTAATTTTTGAAAATGAGACAAAAAAACGAACGAAAGTCATTGCGAGAAATGTGTAGTAATTTAGTGAGAGGAGAAGATAGTTTAGTTGTTAGTGTGATATATATATAGAAAGAGAGATATATATATATATATAGTATTATATAAAGATGGCACCAACAGCAACAAAGAAACAACAACAAAATAATGCTAATAATAATAATAAAAACAAGAGACCTGTAGAAACAACACCAACTATTAATAAGGTTAAAAAGGTTAAATCATCAAATACATCTACATCTACATCTACAAAAACTACAACATTTGATCAAATACCAAAGATTCAAAATAATTTAGAGATTATTAAAGATATCATTGATCAATATTTTGAATCATCACAACAACAATCAATTTCTATTACAAAAGATATTGAATCAACCATAGTACAATTATTACATCATAATCAATGTTTATGTAAAGTATTAAATGTAAAGGAGAATAACAAGATTGCATTGAAATGGGTTCAATCGATTGCATCGATGATTCGTAACAAGGAAGACAAGAACGTTTCGTTGTTTGGTTTGACCATGTTGGTAGAGACCATTCGTATTGCAAACTATGAACTCATGGTGGAATACCAAAACCAATGGTGTACATTGTTGACCGAAGCAGCTACCGATGCCACTCGTAAAGGTACTGCTGCCGCTGACAAGTACCAACTTGTTATGGTTGCCATGTCACTCTTGGTTGACAAGTCTGCCCTATGGAATGATACACGTCGTTCAATCACCTCCAACAATACCATCAACTCTTTTATTACTTCTGCAACTGCTCCATTTACCAATACAACAAACGCAACAAATACAACTAATACTACTTCATCATCAAATGCTGAAAAACTATCAGGAGTGTTGGCAATTTGTTCATTTATTGATTCATTGGATGCATCGATTAAACCATTTGTAGGACGTCTTGAAGTGATTGCCTATTCTTTGTTGTTTGGTTCGGACTCACAATTGTCAGAGGCTGCTACATCGCTCATCTCACGTCTGCCAAAATGTATTGGTGTGTCGGCTGCCGATATTTACTGGGGTGTCTCTTTGAACAAGATTATCACTTCGATGGATGTGTCGGTCGATCGTCTATTCAAGGGTATTCCATCGGACAAGAGTAACCTCGTCCAGTCACGTGTCGTCCTCCTCCCCAAGAACGCTGCCACCGGTGCCATCGAGGGTAACGATCAACTCAACGCTCATCTCACCCATCTCATCAACATTGCCACGCCAGCACTCCCAACCACCCCCTCTCAAATAACCGAACAAGAAACAAGATCATTCCAAAACCTCACCTCTTGTCTATCAAGTATTCTCACCACCTCTACTTTGACAGCTTGTCAACTTCCAATTGACCGTATCATCAAATTAATCTCGCGTATCTTAAATATCGGGTTTACTCAAATCTCTTCAAATCCTTACAATGTAACTATATCAAATCAAATCAAAACAAACAATATTATATAATATTATACTTACCCTTTCTTTTTTATTTTATTTTTTTGAAGGACTTTACATTAATTCAACAAGTATCGATTATAACTAAATTACATTGTTCAAGTTATCAATTATTATCTATTTTATTCAAGGTATTGAGAAAGGCAATGGTACCATTTATCAAGACATTGTCATCTACATTGTTGAGACCACTACGTGTCATGGAATCATACACCAATCTCAAGATTCAAAAGGATTTGTTTGAAACGATCAAAGACGCGATTGAAGCAATCGGAGCCAGTTGCAGCGACAGTCTTGCCGTCCCCTTGGTACCCATCCTCTTGAAACAAATCCTTCCATACATCCCTGAACAACAACAAGCAGCCATCCAAGAGAAAAAAACTAAAAAGAAGGGTGCTCAACCCGAGGCTCAAATGACTGGTCCCGCCCAACAACAAACCGTAGGAAATGTAGATGCCACCAAGATTCATGATGGATCTGACCACCAACTTCGTGTGTCTGCCCTCCAAGTACTCGAATCTCTCCTCATCAATGCCGGTTCCTTATTGGGTAGCAGTGTTCGTACACAAATCGATAGTACCATTGTCTCACTCGTCATGCATTGTCAAACTCTACTTGTCAAGAAACTCATCTTTGTCAATAGTTCTTACCAATGTGATACCTATCGTTCACTGTTGTACAGTTGTATGCTCCAACTTGCTATCAAGCCAATCAGTGGTATTCCACCTGTCCTCCCATACACCATCCGTCTCATGTCCAATGGTGCCAGTACCGACAACTCTCCACAAGTCCGTTCAACTTGTATCCAAGGTGTCTCTATCTGTGAATCAATCATCCATCCACAATGTCCAAATCTTCAAGCTCCAACCATCCATTCAAATCTATCATCTTTAAAGAAATCAATTAATCAATATCAATTAGAAAATAACAACAGTAATAATAATAATAATCATTTTTTTAATCAACAACAACAAGAACAAGAAATAGATCAAGTTGAACAAGATGAACAAGAATCAGGATCAGATGAAGAATCAGGATCTGTATCAGATGATGATGAAAAATTAGATATCTCTTTAAATGATATAGATGATGAAGATGAAGAAGATGAAGAAGAAGAAGAAGAGACAATTATTTCGACCACCAGTAAAACAACAACAACAACAACCTCTGGAATGAAGAGTGGATTATTTAATGATTTAAGTTTTAATTCCGCCACCTCTGCTTCTTCAAAAAATAATAATAATAAGAAACAACAACAACAACAACAAGACATAAGTGAAGATGAAGATGAAGATCTTGACTTTGACATTGTTGATGAATCACCATCTGAAGATGAAAATTAAATAAATCAAAATAAATCAAAATAATTAAATCATTTACATCTCGATTATTTCGTTGTCACCGATTTAAAATCCCCATTATCCACACCCACCACCACAACCACAATTGTAATTTATAAATAAATATATATTATATTTTAAATCGTTGTAGGGACAAACCAAAAACAACAACAATTAAACTGGTACGGTCATGACAAGCTAACTGACAAACTTGAACAGTCTCCTCCCTCTCCCAACGATTGACAACGTCGTTTGGATTCTATTATTAATAAAAGGGATTTTGGATGGGATAGAAGAAGAGGGTTGGGATTACATTAATGTAAAAGGTAGTTGGATTACCCTCATCATCTAACCAACCAACAATTCTCAAGATACTTTACTTGCTTTGCTTAGCAGATATCTAGTTTGCTCAATAATTTTTGAGTTTTTCAAAGAACGTTGGTCAGCCACCCACCGTAAAATCCAATTTGTAGTTGAAAAAAAATTATTGTCTTTAAAAAAAAATTATTGTCTTTAAAAAAATTCGAGTGAGCTCCTATAGATTCCACAAAGACACTTACATATCATTCACATTTTTCACATCTTTTTTTTAAAACAAATAAATAATAAACAAGCATCACACAAGATAAAATGGCTGAAGTCAAGAAGGGTTTACAATTGGAAGGCATCCGTATGTATATTATATATAAACCAACTGCGACATATCTAATATATATTAATTCCATACAATCCGATATACAACAACAATTGTTGGGAATTGTGTTTATATCGATCGGGGAATAAACATATCAGATGTAATTTAAACATATTCATATCTCTAACATTCCTATCCCCTCCCCTAATTACTTAATTACAATACTTCTTCTTGTAGAAACCAACCAACACAAGTCTGGTACCTCTTTCACTGAAAAGTTGAGCGGTGAAGCTCTTGCTTTCTTCTGTGAGATCGCTGCCAAGCCATTCTCTGAACAAGCTGTTGCTTTCCTCAACGCTTACTGGTTCGAAGTCCATGACCAAGCTGAATTCATCTACTCGTAAGTCTTTATATATATATGTTACTTATCCTATATCAGAGTTTTAGGTGGTTGGTAGTTATAGTACTTGCCAACCAAAAAAAATCTGTTTTTTGGGGGTTCTGTCAGATTCATGTAAAAAAAACCGATTTTTTTTCTAACCCAACTTTTTTTTTTTTTTTTTTCCCATTTTAGAGTTGCATGGGATATTATCAAGTACGCTGATATGCATTGCAAGGGTATCCAACTCGTTTACAAGTATGATGAAGGTAACGATTTGGACTTTGATATTGGTCTCTACTTTTATGAACAACTCTGCAAGTTCTGCGAAGACTCAAAGAACCAAGCCAAGTTTGGTGCTGAATACAACCGTTCCAAGCCAGAGATGTTGACTGCCCTCAAGCGTAAGCAAGAGCTCAGAGACAAGGTCGATGTCAACTTTGATGGTCGTGTCTCCTTTTTGGAGTTCCTCCTCTACCAATACCGTGATGTAGCCAATCCAGCTGATTTCTGCTCACGTTCAATGGGTCACGACGAACATCCAGAGATCAAGAAGGCTCGTTTGGCTCTTGAAGAAGTCAACAAGCGTATTCGTGCCTACGAAGAAGAAAAGGCCCGTCTCACCCAAGACGCTGCCGGTACTGGTGTCAAGGCCCTCGGTGCCAAGAACATGTTGGCCCAAATCGAGTCATCCCCACTCAAGGAAGAACTCAACAAGGCCCTCATCACTGCCGAAGCTGCCGTCCGTATTGCTTGCAAGAAGTACGGAGGTGTCGCTTTCAACGGTGCCGGTGGCAAGGGTGGTCAACACTCTTCCGAAGGTGCTCTCTGGTGGTTGAACCGTGATTTGACTGAAAAGAAGCTCCGTTACGGTCCATCAAAGGCCCAGTAAATTGTTATCATCCCCAAATCACTCTGCTGTGTGTCCCCCCAAAGACTCTTGTAAAGAAGAAAAAAAAAAAGAAAATTATTTATTTGTTTCATATAAAACTACACACCCAACTTTAAAAATCCTTTTCTACACACAAAACATATTTTATTAAACAACAATAATAAAACTTTTGTCGTACAAAAGGTTGTATCAAAAAATAAAAAATTAATTGTAAAACAATAACTTAAACATAAACATAATTAGATAGATAGAATATTTAGTTATTTTTTATTTTACTTGCAAGATTATTTTGATTTTGGAAATAAAAAAAGAAGAAAAGAATAAATAAATTTGAAATGAAATAAATCCAAGTGCAAAATATTTCCAAGACAAGTGATGGAAAGAATCTAAATGTTGTTTCATGGATTATAAATAATAGGATGGTATAGAGATATGGCATACCAATCATATGTGTAATGATTGGTAGTGTATAGAAATACCAACATAGAAATGGTGAATATAATCCTCTTGCAAAAATAATTGCAATAAAATTTGTAAATAATAATTTAAATATTCTTGACCTATTATTATTAGTGTTAATATTATTATTCCTACTATTCTTTAAAAAAAAGAATAAGATTGAAAAGATTAAAATAGATAATAAAAATAGATTAAAATAATTTGATTGATAAATGATACGACCAACAAATTTAAAGTTTCTTGTTTTTTCCCATAGTAGTGTTCTGGAAAAATCGTATGCCAAGGTTAGATAGCCAACCCAATTGGTTAGGAGGAATGGTAGTCCAATGAGTAATTGTATAAATCCCATCCAAATGATAAAGAGACTAGTCTTGACAAGACTGTATTGTTCTAGTAGGAGAACTAAAAGTGCTGGTGCAAAGAATACTGTGTGCAACTTTAGTGATACCACACAAGAATAGATTGTACAAAATATAAATAATTTATATTTCCCATTCTTAGAATTAGATATAAGTGCTAATAATCCAATATGAAGTAATAGTGTTGATGGGAAATCATTAATGACAACTCGTACATTATACAAATGTAATCGATTAGAGAGTACCGGTAAGAATGCTAAAATAGTTGGTAGTTGTAATCTAGTGCACAGTCTTTTAATGACTAAAAAATTGATAGTCTCCATCACTGTCCAAACTATTTGGTATCTTGATAATGACTGATTTGTAAGATAATTGAAAAATGAATACAAATAGATAAATCCACTTGGGTATGTACAAGGTCCATGATAATGCATAAATTGATTATAATCAAAATTATATCCTTTACCATTATCATTAAATTGTTTCAAATGATGAATATGAGCAGGCCAATCATTAACATAGGTTGGTTGATATTTGATTTCATAAATTGATAACATTAGAATCACCAATACAGATATATAAAATATAATCTCTTGAATTAAATGACGACGATGTGATGGAATGGGAATATGTGATATTACGAATCTCTCCAATTGAAATATTCTTGGTGTCATTAAATATAGACATATTACAATTGAAATGGATAAAACAATCCACCACCAAGGTAACAAGATTAAACCATATCTTTCCAAACCAATTGTTTCTTCTTGGGTTGGAGGTGGTGGTAGATAATAACTAGATATTCTAGTCATTGAATCACATTCTGGTGCTGTCATTAATGACTCTCTAAAAAATAATAATCTATCATTATTTACACTTGCAACAAAATAATAATATTTTAAATTAAATATTTCAATTGTTTGAATAGTTTGATTTAATTTAATTATACTATGATTTCTAAAAATAAATAAATAAATTAATTAATAAATGAAAATAGTAATGGGATGTCATTGTGGATGTACATACTGGTATAGATTATTTGTAAAATTAAAACAATAAATATCATTATTATTAATAGTTGGGTATATAATAATTAATAATTTTGAATCAATTGATAATTTCATGGTTGCTCTTTTTGAATTGTCATGTTGATTGGAGGGAGGATTGATTAATTGTAAAATATTAAAATCAATTTGATTCTTTTCAAATGATATGATTGTAATGTATAAATGGTTATTCATGACTGTTACTATTATTGGATGATTGCATTGATTGGTTGAATATGATTGATAATGTTGATTGGTTGATAAATGTATAAATCGAGTATCAAATGATTCAGAGATTAAAACCTCTTTAACCATTTCTAATCGATGATTAAATAGAGTGATTCTATCAGGTTGACAAATTAAAATGGATTGATGACCAATATTTACAATACCAATAATATTTGAATTAAATTCTTTTTTCTCCCAGACCTTATTATTATTGATTTGTTGAAAATAAATATTATTGTCAATTGATAATATAATTGATTGATCTCTTGTCATTATTAAAGTTGGATTTATATTACTATTACTATTTTTCTTTTCAAGATGAATAGTTGAATATCTTGTTAAAACAGAGTTTGGTAAATCTTGATTCATCCATATATCATTATAATTATCTTCTGGAAATACAATATTAAATCTACTATGATTTGATACATTTTTGTTGTTGGTTTCTAGTTTAATATGTTGGTAAATATCCAATTGATAAAATGTTGGTGATTCCATCAATACAAGCAATTCTTTATGATTATCTGTCAATATACAATCAATGACATTGCTATTGTTGTTACCAAGATTCAAATCCAATGATCCATAATATAAATGAGTCCAACTTGGATAATGATTTGGATACATCAATATCCTATAAAATCTTGCAACATTATTTGAACAAGATACTATATACTCTAAATTATTTGATATCGATATTGATGACAATGTCTGTGTATAGTAATCATTATCATCATTATCATCATTGTCACCAAGTCCAATATCAACTGATTTATTCCTTGTCACTATCAATAAAGAAGTTAACTTTAATTACTCGACACGATCAATATTCTTCATTCAGAATACATACATATCCATTCTTTGACAGGACTATAATCAATAGGTGACAATAGTTTATTAATTGATAAACCATTTACTTTTGAAGAATGGTCCAACCATTCTAATAGAATAAAAAAGATAAAGAGGAAGATATATTTATTGTAAGTAATCATGATTATCATTAAAATTGAATCAATCAATCAATCATTCATTTCTTACCTACCTTTTATAATTAGTGGTTAAATGTAATCAATCATTTAACGTTTACGTCTACTTTCTATTTTAAAAGTTATAGATCCTTTTACAAATATCATATGATTTTGAATTAATTAATTTGTGTGTTGTTGTTGTGATTGTTGTCTCTATCTGAAAATATTAAATTACTTTGATCATCATGCAAGTCGGTGGATATTAGATAATCACTATAGTAGTGGTAGGAGTCATCAATCGTAATAGTGTATCTTAGTGGTTTCTTGTTTTAGAACATGTTGCAAAGAACCCTATAATTATTAATTTCTTTGGTAAAAATTTGAGAAAATCCTCAAAGATTCCTATTTTAACCTTCTTCCTAAGCTCATTTTCTAATTATTATTGTTATTATTATCTTTCACATTTATATATACTCTAACTAACTATCTATATGGATATCATTATTATTCATATTCCTATTACTATTAATATAACCCATAATTATTTTTAATACATTATATATATATACAAAAACACCCAAAAATGATAACCGATGTTAATATAACAAACCTTACAATCACAGAATCAACTCCAGATACAACCAATACTATCACTACTACTACGACAACAACATCTGGAGTAGTAACAACCGATACTTCTTCTTCTTCTTCTGTTTCAAACAAGGAGGAAACAATCACTACAACAACTACTTCTTCTACTACTGAAGTTGATGGAGAAGACAATGAAGATTTATTAGAAGTATCTGATAGACAGTTGGCATATGTTCACAAGATCATTGACTTGGAACCTATTGTTGGTGCAGATGTTATTGAAATTGCTACTGTACTTGGGTGGCGTGTCATTGTCAAGAAGGGGTTATACAAGGTTGGTGATTTAGTCGTTTACGTTGAAATTGACTCTCTCCTTCCACCATGGAACTACTTTATCTCTGATCGACTTGATAAATGTAATTTTAAAATTAAAACTATTAAAATGCGTGGACAATTATCTCAAGGTAAACAAGATAAATAGATAAAGATATAATGTAATCATTCTAACATAGTTATTTGTTTTTAATTTAGGATATTGTATTCCAATTAAAGAATTATTAAATCATCCACATAAACAATTAAAAGCTGTATATCATGAAGAAGAGAATATTGATAGTGGAGTAAAGGAGATTCACCGAGTTGATCGTGAAGAGACTGTATTAAAGATTGAGATTGGATCGAATGTGACCGAGTTTATTGGCATTAAAAAGATTCAGGATCATCATGGAGGTGGAGGTGGTGGCAACAACATCTTTAAGCGAATCAAGAGCAATGGGATGTCACCATTCCCCAGCTTTTTGGTAAAGTCTGATCAACCACGTATCCAAAACCTGCCACACTACATGGAGACCTACGAAGACGTTGAATTCGAGGTGACCGAGAAACTCGAAGGATCAAGTATCACAGCCTACCACAACAACGGAAAGACTGGTATATGCTCTCGAAACTATGAACTCAAGCACACAACAGAGACGGCTGAATCTGAAATATTTACAACTCTTGTTGGACGACTGGATATTCTCAAACGTTTGGAAGAGGCCAAGATCAATGTCGCCCTGCAGGGTGAAATCATCGGACCAAAGATCCAAGGTAATATCTATGGTCTCCCCGAGACACAGTACAAGGTCTATGATATTTATTTGATTGATAGTAATAGATATGCCACACAACCAGAACGTGTCGATATCATGAACACGATCGGACTCAAATGGGACGACCACGGTGTTCCATTCCTCGGTGTCCACAAAATCGGTGGCAAGAAACTATCCGATATTTTAGATATGGCCAATGGATTCTCCCAACTCAAAGGTTCCAAACCAAAAGTATTACGTGAAGGTATTGTATTTAAATCAAATACTCTCAGACATGATAGAGTCATTCATTTTAAATCAATTTCAAATCAATATTTATTAAAAAAATAATTAAAAATAATTAAATATATAAATATAAATATAAATGATACATATAAATAAATAAATAATAAATAATGTACATGAATAAAAAAAGATAAATTAATTTAAAAGATATATTCTTATCTTTATTTTCAATTTTAAAAAAAAAGTCAAACTCTGGTCAAACAATTAATTCCTTTTTTCTCAAGTCTTCACTTCTTTACCTCTATTTCTCTCTCTCTTTCTTTCTCCCTCTCTCTCTTTGAGAGAAAGTTGTAGAATGACTCATTAAAATAGTTGGACAGTCAATTCCCACATCACCAAAGGTAGGTTCGTTTCGTTTGGTTGGGGAGAGTGGGAACTTTACAAAAATAAATTTATTATTATTATTTTTTAATTTATATTTTTACAAAAGAAGACAAGGAGAGAGGAAGATTCACCAAACAAATCATAGTTTTTGAATCGAAGAAGAAATACAACAACAACAACAAAGACAAAGACATTAAGATGACTTCAGGTGGAGAAGATATCACTGAGGAACAATTCACAGAGATTGTTCAATTCATTGATCACAACGGTGATATAGTGTAAGACGACAAATACAAAACAAAGTGAACATCACATCAATGATGATGTATTGTATGATTGAATTCAATATTTGATACTAATAATATCTATGATATGATATCACTACTACTACTACGACTACTACTACTACTACTACTACTTTATAAACTAAATATTTAGTAATGAAGAGAATGATAACAAGAAATCATTCCTATCATGTTTATCATCAAAGACAGACTTTTTAGAAAAGGGTTTTGATTACTCGGTTATTGCTATCTTGGGTCCTCAAAGTAGTGGAAAGAGTAAGAATCGATATATCTATAAGAGAGAGAGAGAGAAAGAAGAAAAGAGTCGTTAGTTATATTAATAACCAATGATTCGTTCGTTTGTATTTGTTTATACATATTTTAGGTACATTATTAAATATATTGTTTAATACAAAGTTTGCAGTAATGGATAGTCATACTGGTAGAAAACAAACGACTCAAGGTGTATGGATGGGTATTGCCAACGTTGAATCACCAGAGACTTTTCTTATTCTCGATGTTGAGGGTACTGATGGTCGTGAGCGTGGTGAAGACGAAAAGGCATTTGAAAGAAAGACTTCACTCTTTTCACTTGTCCTCTCTTCTGTTTTAATCATCAATATGTGGGCTCATGATATCGGTCGTTACAATGCTGCCAATATTGGTTTATTAAAGACTGTCTTTGAATTAAATTTACAATTATTCCAAAAGTCAAGGTAAAAAGAAAAAAAGAAAAGAAAATTGAAACAAACATACAATACTTATTTACTTATTCTATTTATTTAAATATTCTATAGTACACATAAAACTTTATTATTATTTATTATTAGAGATCATGATGGAGAAACTCCATTGGAAAAATTAAGAAATACAATTCTTGAAGATATCAAAAATATTTGGAATGAATTAACAAAGGTTCGTCGAAACCTTATTAAATTAATTTATATCATTCAAGATTGATATTAATTCTTTTCTTTCCTTTTCAATTTTAGCCAAAAGATTTTGTAAATTCAACAGCACATGATTTCTTTAATTTTGAATTCACATCACTTCCACACAAAGTGTATAGCAAGGATAATTTTAAATTGGAAGCAGAAGTATTGAAAAAGAAGTTTTTGGATCCTACCAATGCCGATTTTATCCCCAAGAAGGAGTATCGTAACGATATTCCAGCCGATGGTTTTTACAAGTTCTCCAACAATGTCTGGGAGACGATCAAGGCCAACAGAGATCTTGACTTGCCATCACAAAAGGAAATGTTGGCATTGTTCCGTTGTGACGAGTTTGTCGATCAATCGTTTGCACAGTTTTCCGTCGACATTGCTCCATTGAAGGAAAAGATTGAAAAGGGACGTATTGTTGACAACTTTGGTGAGAGCACTAAAAAGATGGTTGCTGCCTGTCTCGAACGTTATGATGTGCCATCTGCACGTTACCACTCTGAAACAGTGTCCAAGAAGCGTCAGACACTCGACAGTCGTCTCATGGAGATGATCAAGACACTGTTTGACAAGCAGATTGAAAAGCTCTATGAAAAGTCGGTCGAATTTTACAAGAACCTCGTCCAAGAGTCATCCAACATTAAAAAGGTGTCTGCAGCATCTGAGAAACAGTCGCTTGAAAGTCAATTGATCCCTCACTTTTCAGTGTGGTCACGAAACATCCGTCAAAACACACTCGACTACTTTGAAAAGATTGCCATCGAGACTGTCTACCCAGAGTCTGGCTGGTCATTCATCTCGGTGCAACAAGAACTCGATGATTTCATTGCCAAGGAGATATCAGTACTCAAAGAGAACCAACTCAACAAACTCTCCAAGTTTATGAAGGATGGTTTCTTCCAACAAATCACACCCAATCTTACAAAGATCACTGAACACGCTCAAGATGATATGTGGAAGAAAATTACAAACCTCTTTAATGAAAATTTATTCAAATTTGAAACTACTTATAGAAAGAGACTTACTGGTAAGAAAGAAAAAAGATAGATAGAAAAAAAAAAGAGATATTAAAATATTTTAATTAATTATTTATTAATTTTTTTTTTTAATTAGATTTTGATACAAAAGAATCAGACGCAGAAGACACAATTGAAATGTGGAAATTAAATACAAAGGAGCAATTAAAAGAAAAAATAAGAGACAGAGCTCAATTATTACCATTAAGATTGAAAAAGCGTTTCGAAGAAGGTTTTACCCTTGACTCTAGAGGATTACCAAGAAAATGGTCAAAGACTGATGATATTGATTCAATTTATCAAGAAGCAATGTTTAATGTATGAGAGAAATAGAAAAAAAAGAAAAAAAAGATTAATTTATTAATTTATATTTTTCTATTTCTTTTTAGGCAGAAAAATTGGTAGATTTATTCTCTTATATGAGATTACAAGAAGAGGAATTTGAATTAACATTCTACAGTAAAGATACTCAACCAGATGATGACGATTCATTGTATCTTACTTCATTGAAATCACCAACCAAATATCCAGTCAATTACACCAATATTGTTTTACAAAACGATCAATGTAATCAAATTATTGATGATTTTAGAAAGGATACAAAGACTGATTTAATTAATGCTCGTCATGAACAAGTAAGCTAAATCAACAAATAATAATATCTATTTATATATATATATATATTCCAATTCTAATTTATTTTTTAATTTTCTTTCTAGTCGAGAACATCATCAGTTGGAGGAGTACCACCATATATGATTTTACTTCTTTGCGTATTAGGTTTCAATGAGTTTATTGCCATTCTTACCAACCCATTATTATTCTTTTTAGTGGTGTTGTTGGGTGTTGGTTTCTTTGTACTACATAAACTCAATCTTAGTGGACCATTTATTGATTTCAGTAGCACTTTATTGGTATCGTTTATGAACAAGATCAAGGATGTTGTTTTACAAGTCGAACATCTCTCGGCCAATCATCCAGAATCTTCTGATGCTGCCAAAAAGAAAAAGGATTAAATTAAATTAATCAACACTAAAAATAACATCCACTAACCCAAATACTAGTAACAACAAAAATAAAAAGCAAAAGATTGATATGATCAAAAAAAAAAAAAAAAAAAAGAAAATTCTTTTTTTCCATACATATAAAAACCTGAGATCAACTCATTTATCACTAAATTTAAAGTTTTAAAACAATTAATTAATTGCACAAGTGGAATGTATGTTTTGAGATATACTTTTAATATCAAACTATAAAAAATGAATTTTTGATATAATCTTCATTCAATTCATCTTATTCAATGATGGCACATCTATTACAATTATCTAATCTATTACTATTACATATTATATCAGATATTGACAGTAATGGAGATATAGTATGTTTGTTGTTAACTTGTAAAAAGTTGTATAGTAACAGTAGTTTAAGAAGATTGATTCAGTTTAAAGGAATAGTACATATCACTGACAATGGAAAGATATCAGAGCAGTTTAAAGCAACAGCTACTCAATTCAAACTATTATCATTTAAAGATATCTTGGAGAATAGTATATCTGATCATCAAGTTGTACTATCTGATCAAATCAATTACCAACACTATCCTCAATGGATAAAACAACGTATCACTTCAACAGACAGAGTCGATAAGAGTAACATTACAACAGCATTGGTAACAGATTATAACCAACAAACACCAAAGTTACTCTATGACTTACCATCTCTCGAGACACTATTCATCAATCGTCAAAAGGAGCTAGATGACTATACCTCGGGACATCACAAAACTAAACAAATGTTGGTTGATGATCCAATGGATCTTGGTTCCATCTCATTGTTACCCAATCTACAACGACTTGAAATTCGCTCATTGGATTTGAAGCTAGGTACACACACAACACTCAAGTCTCTGAAACTCAATATCTATAAATCCAAATACCCCCTCGTCGACTTGCAACTCAACCAATTCGTATCACTGACAGAGTTGACCTTTGAGAGTTTCTGTGTGCGTGGATTTGGAGCAGGTCTGTTGCCAAGTAGTCTGAAATCGCTCACTATCAAACTGAAAAAGATACCACCAGATACATTCCTTTCATTGACATCGCTAGTCAACCTCAAGATCTACCTTCAGAATAAAGAGCACAAGAAAAAAATACAACAACAACAACAACAACAACAACAACAACAACAACAACAACAACAACAACAACAACAACCATTCATCAATCTCGAGAGTCTGTGCAACCTAGAGGTACTAAAGTTGTATTACAAAAACTACCGAGACGGCTATGGTCTAGAGGTGAATGTCCCTCCCTCAATCAAGATTCTTGGTCTCTGGTCCAATTGCGTAAAAATAGAATCACAATATACCATGCCACTGTTGGAGAGATTGTATGTGCAACAAAACATATTGGTTAAAGGATGGATCAGTCTATTGTCATCACCATTGCTCAAGAAACTCTGTATTAATGAATGCGACAAAGTGATGCCAGCCAACATCATCCCATCAACTCTAGAAAAGCTTACAATCCATAAATACCAAAGCACTTCAAAAGATATACTTGGACAGGTTGTATTACCGCCATCACTCACTCATCTATCCTTCAAAGACAACAAATACGAACCTATCAAACTACCAGAATCACTCGTCAAACTCAAGAACATAGATAAAGCTCCAGTGACTCCAATTCCTAGACATTTGAAAAAACTGGTTTGGTCAACTTACAGGTCCAACACGGAAATCTTGACCAATTTTGATTTCTCCTCCTATGCACCTAATCTTGAAACTCTTAATCTCCCCCAAATAGAATATGCTCAAAGCTTTCCCACCAACATATCACCAACTATCAAATATCTATCAATATCATTTGGAAATGTTCCCCAACCTTTGTTTCCAGGATCCTTTTCAATCAAATCCATTTTATCTAAAAACATAGTCTCTCAACAGCAATGGCTACCACACAATACAACCCATCTAACTTGTACAACACGATCAGAGAGAAGTTTGCCTTTTAGATTAGATGAAGTCATTGACCACACCAATGTTAGATATTTAACAATCATTGTTATAGACTGTGGAAGAAGTTGCTCTGGTCCCATCATATCTCGGTCTCCTTCTACCTTTGAATTTTCAATTCAAAGATTAGACAATCTAAATGTATTGGTATTGGAAACAAAGACACTTCAAGGTGGAATCATTACACGACAACAAAAAACAAATATTTATTTAAATACTTATCCATTTAGATTGAGTTGGAAGGGTCCTGAATATCAATACTACAGGAGGAAATCAACCTCGATACGTTGAACTGTAAAAAACAATAATAATAATACATTAAACTATTTATTATTATTATTTATTATTTAAATAAAATACTATCACTATTCCACCTTGTTGCTGCTGTACATCCATTAATAGTACTATTATTATTCGTATTATTATTAATATTATTAATATTATTATTATTAGATTCTATTAAATGACCAGTACTTAGAATTCTTCTAATATTAGTTGAAGAAAGAGTACCAACATTTGGGGTTTGAATTTCTGGGATTGCGTGTAAAGAGAATGGTTGTAGTGATCTTTGTTGTCGTATTTCATTGATTTTGCTGCCTGATTCCAAGAGGTGAAAGGGTAGTATGAGAGCATCGTGTTCTGTTGCAATCACAGTCATTGGACAGTTTGCAATGTTGGAGCATCGTTCATTTCGCTGTATCTCTAGATTGGCATGATTAGGTGCAAATATCGACAAAAAGTCACGTACACCCTTTTCTCTTTGATCGGGAGATTGTCCAAATGAATGTAGTTGTTTAGAAGGTGCTTTGCAGGGTGACTGAGGTGCTGATGGTTCCAATACAGCCACTAAAAATCCTTTACCACTCGTTATTGCTCCAATCGATAATATGAATCGATGTCCATTGTGAAGATGGTCAAAATGACCACCAGTAAATACATTATCGTACAATTGAATAGATGTACAAGTTGAAATGGGTTTTGCCAATGATGAATAACAAGATGATGATGGTTTACTTTGATGAAGAAGTGTAGGAGGTGTAGATGGTGGTGTTTTATCTTCTTCATCATCTGTTGTTGTAGTTGTATCATCATTATTATTATTATTATTATTATTATTATTATTATTATTATTATTACTTTCATCAATAAATGTTGAAATGTCTGTGAGTGGAATGATTGATTGAAATGGGTCTTGCCGACTCTTTACAATTGATTCATTCAATTGGGATAGAGTATTTGATGAAAAGATATGTTTTACGGGTCCGATATGTGATTGTATTCGATCGATGATTGATTGTATTTCTTTTGGTCCAGTTACACTAAACCCATTCATAATCTTTGACTTGTTGTTGTTGTTGTCACTCGAGTACAACTGAGGTAGTAATACCATTGTTTTGACTCGTAGTATAAAGCTTTGTTTTTCATATACAACATTTGATAGTATTGAATAATATCGTTTCAAGTCATCGGTAACTTGAATAATCTAAATAAAGAAGAAGAAACAATATGTTAGAGAAACTATAGATAGTATCAATCGAATCAGCAGAGATAGAGAGAGAGATTGAGAGAGACACATACATTATAAATAGGTAACCCTATTAGACATATATACACATTCAATAGATCAAAGGTATTGTTACAATGACTGTCATAAGACCTCTGTATTATATTTTTGATCATCAAGTATATATCTCGATCATTATCAATTTCATGATCTAATAATACAATGATATTACTATTACTATTACTACTACAACTGCTGCTATATGATGATGTTAATGACATCTTTAAATATAAATATATACAATTTAAAACAAATAAATAAATAGTAAATCAATAAATTAAATTAAAGAACAAAACGAATGAACACAGCACAGATATCTGTGACTTTGTGCGCGCAAAGAAGGAAATGAGTCAGAATTGGTGGGGTCGATCCCTTGACTCATCAAAGATTTTTTGCTGCTTTTATTTAATATACAAAATAATGATGTCTTCTTCTATTTTATCTGTATCTTGTAGAGATAGATAGATAGGTTGAACTTCATCTAATCTATTACTATTACATATTATAGCAGAGATTGATGGTAGTATTGGAGATTGTAAACATGTAAAAAGTTATACAGTAATAGTGGTTTAAGAAGATTATGGCGGTAATACAACATCTTCAGTTTAAAGGAATAGAAGTTTTTGATGGCTATGGACACATAACACAAGAGTTTAAATCAGAAACTACTCTATTCAAACTCAACTCTTTTAAAGATATATTGCAGAATACTATACCTGATCATTAGGTGATATTAGTGTCTGATCAACATATCGATGTCAATTATACCAGCCAATTTCATCCCGTCGACAGTCAAATATCTTACCATAATCTATGATTAAGTGATAAAACCTATACAAGTTGTATTCCCACCATCTCTCACTCGTCTGACCATATTAGGAGAATACGAACCTATCCAACTACCACCAACCATCAAATATTTATCAACAACCTTGGAATCACACCGTCTAAGGTATCCAGATATATTGTCCACCAATTTGTGGTTAAGATTAGATGAAGTAATCAACCACACCAATGTTAGATATTTAACAATCATCATTGACGAGACTATCTTTCAATTTTCTATTCAAAGATTAGACAATATAAATGTATTGGTATTGGAAACAGAATCACTTCAAGGTGGAATAATCACCCAAAGGGAATCAATCAAAACTCAACAACAACAACTATATGAACCCTTATATTTAATTTTGGAATACCCATCTGGACTGTATTGGAGTTTCGATGATGACGATCCCAGTTCTTGGGATTTAAATTAATAAATTCCCAAGGTGAAAAAGGTTCAATAATCGTCTAATCTATCTTATTTAGAATTACTAAATTTATGCATATGATAGATATCCAACTACGAATCATTTAATGTTTAAAGTGACGGTGTGATGATGTAAAAAATAGTGATGAAGAAAATGATTAGGATGATTCTCTATATTAAATAATCCACTCTTTCTTTTCTCTCTCTCTCTATCTTTTACATCGAGTAAACATTGATCAAAAGATCTCTCTTTTTTGTAAAACTTGAAAATATCTTTTTAATTTCTATTTCGAGGTCATGTCATGAAGATATCATATGCTCACCATATTTTTACTTTATTCAATCACACACACATATATATATATATATATATATATATATATAATGACTAGTCATCTATTACAGTTATCTAATTTATTATTATTATATATTTTATCAGAGAGTGACAGTAATGCAGATATAATATGTTTGTTGCTGACATGTAAAAAGTTGTATCATAACAGCAGTTTAAAAAGATCGATTCAGTTTAAAGGAATAGAAGCTTTTACAGACAAGGGAAAGATATCAAGACAATTTAAAGCAACAGCTACTCTATTCAACATCACCTCATTTAAAGATATATTGCAGAATAGTATATCAGATAGTCAAGTTATATTATCAAGAGGTAACTTTCAAAACTACCCAGAATGGATACAACAACGTATATCTGCAGACAACAGAGTTGATAATAATAATAAGAGTAGTATTACAACAGCATTGGTGAATGATTATTACCAACCACCACTCGAGACACTATACTCTGTACCGTCGATCGAGGCAATATTCATTCACCAATACAGAGATGATCGATTAGATCTTAATCATATCTCACGCTTACCCAATCTACAACGACTATCAGTTAGCACAAACAAGTCGATCAGTATTGGTAAACATACAACACTCAAGTCACTGACACTTGATGCTCAGGGCAGCTACACACTGTCAGTTGCTGACCTGGGTCTCACTAAACTAGAATCGCTGACAGAGTTACACCTCAGTAGAGAATGTGTCTTTACAATTGGACCAGGTGTATTTCCAAGTAGTCTGACATCACTCACTCTTTCACCGATAGAGATACCGCCAAGAGACACATTCATTTCGTTGAGGTCACTTGTCTACCTCAAGGTTTTCCTGCATCAACCCACAACAAAGAAAGAGAGTTCAAAGGACAACAACAACAACAGCAACAAGAAAAAGGTGGTGGTTGTGATGGAACAACTATTCATTGATCTAGATACTCTAGTCAACCTCAAGACACTCGATATTGGTGGATCGGTCAGTGACAAAAAGTACAACATCACGACGAGTGTACCACCCTCCATCAGGATTCTTACTCTCTTCACTGACGGCTTACAAATACCTACCCGATGTACTATGCCTCTGTTGGAGAAACTAAATGTGCAAAGTTCTATTCTAATTGGTGGAAGAATCAGTCTACTGTCATCACCATTGATAAAGAAACTGTGTATGACCTATTGCAATAAAGTCATTCCATCCAACATCATCCCATCAACCCTCGAAAAACTGACAATCTATAAATACGGATCAAAACCTGTTCTTCATCAAGTTGTATTCCCACCATCACTCCTTCATCTAACTATCAATGGGGACTATGAACCTGTCAAACTACCAGACTCACTAGTCAAACTAAAACAGTTGGTCAACATTCCTCCAGCGTCACTCCCACAACAATTAAAAACACTCACCTATTCAATGGATTTTTCAACAGAGTTGACTCACTTTGTATTCCCATCCCCTTATCCACCTCATCTTGAAACACTCAACTTTGACCTCGAAATTGATGGTGAATTTACAATCGACATACCACCAATCACCAAATACCTATCTATCACTTTGGAGTCAGATCCTCTCAGACGCCCAAATAAATACTTTTCAATCAGTTCAAGGTTATCGAAAAGTATCATCACCCAACAACAACAATGGTTACCATCCAATACAACTCATCTAACTTGCAAGACTGCCATTTATATCTCAACCAATGGATCGTTTAGATTAGACGAAATAATCAATCATACCAATGTTAGATATCTGTCTCTTTATGTTTCCGATAATACATCCTACGAATCAGATACACTATTTCAATTTTCAATTCAAAGATTGGACTCTGAAAATAATAATGTATTAGTATTGGAAACACAATCACTTCAAGGTGGAATAATCACTCAAAGAAAGAAAATTAATAACACTCAACAACAACAACGACATCCTTATCAACAATATGAACCCATTTATTTAAGGTTTGATTTTGGTTCTTCCAATCCATTTGGATTGAATTGGAGATTTGCCAATGCTGAAGATGATGTTAAAGAAGATGGAGATGAAGGAGATGATAGTGATAGCGATGATAGTGATTATGATATGAACGATGACGATGAAAATGATGATGATGAAAGCAATGACAATGACAATGACGATGACGACAGCGATGACAACGACGATGAAGGTGATGATAGTAATTAATAAATAATACTATTGAAAAACAAGATCCTCTATTTGAGGATCAATCGAAATCCTATCTTTTTTTAAATCTCTTTTTCGTTTTTTTTTTTTGGTTCGAATATCATGATGATCTTCAATTCATTCTTTGTCTTGTTCATTCAATAATGACACATCTATTACAGTTATCTAATCTATTACTATTACATATAATAGCAGATATTAACAGTAATGGAGATATAGTATGTTTGTTGTTGACTTGTAAAAAGTTGTACAGCAATAGTAGTAACATTGGTGGTTTAAAAAGATTGATTAGGTTTAAAGGAATAGAAGTGATAGATAACTATGGACGCATAACACAAGAGTTTAAATCAGCAACTACCCAATTCAAACTCAACTCTTTCAAAGATATATTGGTGAATAGTATATCTGATCATCAAGTTGTACTATCTGATCAAGTCAATAATCTTCCAGACTATCCCCAATGGGTACGCCAACGAGTCACAAAAGAGAACAGAGTCGATGATAGTGTTATTACAACAGTTTCGCCGATATATTATTCAGAAGAGACGCTCTACTCTGTACCATCTATCGAGACTCTATTCATCATCTATCCATCCCAACTTGATAATACTAGTAAGATGGATCTTCGCTCCATCTCGCGCTTGCCTATTCTACAAAGACTTGAAATTCGTACGGGTCAGTCTTTTCCTGGTCCACACCCAACACTAAAGTCTCTGACACTCGGCCTTTCCACCTCCTACCCAGTCATCGACCTGCAACTCACCAAATTCGTATCGTTGACAAAGTTGACCTTTGAGAGTGCCTATGCGAAAGATATTGGACCTGGTCTCTTTCCAAGTAGTCTTACATCACTCACTCTGAGACTGGAAGAGATACCTCCAAGAGATACATTCCTTTCTTTGACTTTGTTGGAGACTCTCAAAATCGATCTGCAAACTATTTCAACGGATATGATCGGGAAACCATTCATCGATCTTGATAGTCTGGTGAACCTCAAAACACTCATTATTAGTAGTGATGGATCAGTAAAGAATAGTAGCATCTCGATTAGTATCCCTCCTTCAATCAAGATTCTTGACCTCAAATTTATATTGGTACAAATCCCACCTGATTGTACAATGTCACAGTTGGAAAGGTTGGATGTGAAACAAAGCGTGTTGAATGGTGGAAACATCAATCTATTGTCACAGTGTCCATCTCTCAAGAAACTAGTTATCTACGATTGCAAAGAATCCATTCCATCCAATATCATCCCATCAACACTTGAAAAGCTTACAATCTATAAATCGACTATATCGGGAGAAGATATACTTGGGCAAGTTGTATTCCCACCATCTCTCACTTCTCTAACTATCAATGGAGACGACCAAGAGGTCCCTCAGCTCCCAGATACAATAGTCAGCCTCAAACATTGGGTCCTAGATGCTCCACTGTCACTTCCTCAAGATTTGAAAAACCTGACCTATATTATGGATTGGAGAACCAGCATGGAGCATTTCGAGTTTCCAACACCGTATCCACCTCATCTTGAATCACTCAATCTTGACCTCCAAGATATTCATTACTTTACTGTCCAAGTACCACCAACCATCAAATATCTATCAATAACCTTGGAATCTGGATCTCGCAAACGTCCAAATAGATTGTTTACAATCAGCTCTAGGCTCCCGAAAACATCACCTCCCAACAACAATGGCTACCACACAATACAACTCATCTAACTTGCAACTCTTCCGTTGGTACCTCAGAACAGGTCTCGTTTAGGTTGGATGAAATAATCAACCATACCAACGTTAGATATTTAACTCTCTGTATTTTTGAAAATCAAACTTTACAATTCTTAATTCAAAGATTAGACAAGGACAATCTAAATGTATTGGTATTGGAAACAAACACACTTCAAGGTGGAATAATCACCCAACAACAACAATCTCATGAACAATATGTACCAATTTATTTACATTTAAATACAAACTCTTCCAATCCATTCGAAATTAAATGGAGTTTTGAACAAGATTGTGATTACAACGAAGATAGTGACAATGAAGATAGTGAAGACTATGACAACCAAGATAGTGACATTGACGATGGATCGGTTGATTTCGATGATGAATCGTTTTTCGCCATCTTGGCTGGTGGTCGTGACTAACTGAATCAGAGCTCTGATTAAAAAATTAATAAATAAAAAAAAATAATAATAAAAAACCACAAACTTTTTTGTTTAAAAACCACAAACTTTTTTTTTTTTGATGATCTTTGTTATTCATTCATCACATGATGACTAATCTCTTAAAGTTATCTCATTTAATATTATTACAAATCATAACAGATATAGACAGTAATGCAGATATAATATGTTTGTTGTTGACTTGTAAAAAGCTGTACAGTAATAGTAGTTTAAGAAGATCGATTCAGTTTAAAGGAATAGTAGAACCTTTTTTTGATGTCAGCCAGAGAATAGTATCTCATCAGTTTAAAGCAACAGCTACTCAATTCAAGCTCTTATCATTTCAAGATATCTATGAGAATAGTATATCGGATCATCAGGTTGTACTGACTGATCGTAAACATCACAAAAACTATCCTCAATGGATAAAACAACGCATCACTACAGACAACAGAGTTGATAAGAGTAACATTACAACTGCATTTGTATCATATGGTTACCAAGTAATATCACCTCAGTCGCTCTACTCGATGCCATCACTCGAGACACTCTTCATTTACCAGGGTGGTGCTCAAGTGGATCTTGGTTCCATCTCATTGTTACCCAATCTACAACAACTTGAAGTTTGTGCAAAAAGGCTTATTCTTGGTACACACACAACACTCAAGTCTCTGAAACTAGATATCGATACCAAATACAGTCTCATCGACCTGCAACTTACCAAACTCGTATCGTTGACAGAACTGACCTATAACGACAATTATTTCGATTCAGGGATTGGAACAGGTGTATTTCCAAGTAGTCTGACATCACTCTATCTGACACTGCAAAATACACCGCCAAGAGATACATTCCTTTCATTGACATCGTTGGTGAATCTCGAGATCCACCAGAGAGGGCATGTTGATCATGAAGAGGAGCATAAACAACACAAATACATCGATCTAGAGACTCTCTGCAACCTCAAGTCACTCACTTTTAGAGACTATAGAAGTGGAAAAAGGTTCATCTCACTCAACGTACCTCCTTCAATCAAGACTCTTGTCATCAAAGATTTTAGCATCTATGGTGAATGCGTAGAAATTCCACACCGATGTACTATGCCAATGTTGGAGAAATTGAAAATTAGAATGAAATTATTGACTGAAGGTAGAATCAGTCTAATGTCATCACCATCAATCAAGAAACTCTCTATTTACAATTACAAAAATAATGTTATTCCGGCCATCCCATCGACTCTCGAAAAGCTTAAAATCGAGAAATCCTATGGGATATTACTTGGACAAACAGTATTACCACCTTTTCTCAAACATCTATCTGTCATTGGTGGAGAATATGATCCTATTCGACTCCCGGAATCACTTGTCAAACTCAATCAGAAAATTGATGATGAAAATGTTCCAGTGTCGCTTCCTCAACATTTGAAATCACTCACCTTTACAATGGAAGTAGTACGACCTACAAACTTTGTATTTCCATCCAACTATCCACCTCATCTTGAAACACTCAACTTTGACCTTTCAGTTGAGCAGGATCAAAAATTTAAGATATTCGATATACCTTTATCTATCAAATACCTTTCAGTTACCTTGGAACCATACATATATAGGTCAGGTTACTTTTTTTCAATCAGTACTAGGATTCCCAAAAGCATTATCACCCAACGACAACAATGGTTACCATCCAACACTATTGATTTAACTTGCCAACTCCTTATTTTAGATTCAAAAAAAGCTAATTTTAGATTAGATCAAGTGATCAACCATACCAATGTTAGATATTTAAATATCTATCTCGATCAGAATAATGACAACACACTATTTCAATTTTCAATTCAAAGATTAGACCCAAACAACAACAATGTATTGGTATTGGAAACACAATCACTTCAAGGTGGAATAATCCCTCAACAAAGAAAATCAATCAACACTCATCAACATGATGATCCTATTCATTCTCCGCAATTTAAATGTATTTATTTACATTTTGATGTTTATGATACATTTGAAGTGAATTGGAGTTTTGGTCATGACAACGAGGATGATGGTGATGATGAAAGTGTAGATGATAGCTGTTCTAGTAATTATGATTAGAAGATTGATCAAATAATCAAAATGATTTTGATTTTAACAAAAATTTAATTACTCCATTAATAAAATAATCAAATCAAATCTGATTTCGATGAAAAAAAGAAAGAAGAATATTTCCAGCCCTGGGACAAGAAATGAACATCATTTTTTAAAGTTGTTTTACAAATCGGACCAGGCTTTTTTCAAGTTCATTTACATTTATTTAAACATGTTTGAAAAGTTATCTAATCTATTATTATTACAAATCATATCATCTATTGATGATAATGGAGATATAGTATGTTTGTTGTTGACTTGTAAAAAGTTGTACAGTAATAGTGCTTTAAGAAAGTCGATTCAGTTTAAAGGAATACAACCAATCAATGATAAAGGAGAGTTATCATATCAGTTTATAGCAACAGCTACTCTATTTAAACTCAACTCTTTCAAAGATATCTTAAAGAATAGTATATCGGATCATCAGGTTGTACTAGTTGACAGAGACAATCGGTATCAAAATTGGATACAACAACGTGTCTCTACAAATAGAACGAGTGGTAAAAGTAACATTACAACTGCTTTGGTAATGCATAGCTCTCAACCAACAATGATAGAGTCATTATATGCCATCCCATCAATCGATACACTATTCATTAACCATCATCATAAAACAGTTGATCTTGGTGCCATTGCACTACTACCTCGTTTACAACGACTATCAGTTCGTGCACACAAGTTGGTTAGTATCGGTCAACACACAACACTCAAGTCTCTAAAGATTGGTATTGTCACTAAATACCCACTCGCCGACTTGGGACTCAACAAATTCGTGTCATTGACAGAGCTGACCTTTTCCAATTATTTTATGACTGGAATTGGACCTGACCTACTGCCAAGCAGTCTGACATCACTCTCTCTTAGATCAAGGGAGATACCACCAAGAGACACATTCCTTTCTTTAATATCGTTGGTGACTCTAGAGATTGAGATGGAAAGGTTTGACACAGACATGATTGCTGCATTCATGCCCGAGCAACTACTCATCGATCTCGAGAGTCTACCCAACCTCAAGAAATTCACTTTTAGTGACAGTCTTGATCACATTACAAAGGACCTATGTAATCTAGAGATTAGTGTACCTCCTACACTCACTATTCTCACCATCTGCTCATTGTTTGCTAGTATCGCTCCTAGATGTACACTGCCAAAGTTGGAGAAATTATATGTTAAACAAAGTACATTGATTGATGGAAGAGTCAGTCTATTGTCATGCCCATCGATAAAGAAACTATGTATTTATGATTCATGTGAAGTGATGCCATCCAATATCAATATACCATCGACTCTTGAAAAGCTTAAAATCTATAAATACACTTCAAAAGAAGATATACTTGGACAAGTTGTATTACCACCATTACTCAAACATCTAACTATTATGGGGAATAACTTTCAAGTTGCCAAACTCCCAGACTCACTAGTTAAACTAAAACTGAGGGTTGACAAGATACCAATATCACTCCCACAACATTTAAAAAAACTATCCCTTTCAATGGCGTCGAGATCCAATCCAAAGATTGTGTTGCCGTCTCCTTATCCACCTAATCTTGAAACATTGGACTTACTCCTAATCGAAGGTGACTTTGTTATCGAACATATGCCACCAATCACCAAATATCTATTAATACCTTTGAACTCTTACCAATACGACACTCCAGTATATTCAATAAGTTCTATATTAACCAAACGCATCACTTCCCAACAACAACAATGGCTACCACAGAATACCACTCATCTAACTTGCCAACTAATGTGTTTTTCTCCAACCAAGGTGTCATTTAGATTGGATGAAGTAATCAACCACACCAATGTTAGGTATCTATCGATCATTGCTTTTGATGCCACATTTCAATTTTCAATTCAAAGATTGGACTCTGACACTCTAAATGTATTGGTATTAGAAACAAAGTCACTTCAAGGTGGAATCATCACTCAACAAAGAAATTCAAAAAACAATAATCAACAACAACAACAACAACAATATGATCCAATTTATTTATCTAACCCAAATTCTCCATTGGAACTGAATTGGAGATTTTCAAAGTAATCATTAATAAATATTATATTGTTGTTATTATTATTAATACTCAAGATCATTGGTTCTCTTGAACCATCCAGATTTAATGTGTACTTATTGGACGCCTTTTTGCAATGGTTCATCATCAGATTATTGCATTTTTTTTTTTTGTGACACGTAAATGATCATCAGGGTTAGGTTTGAGCATTAGTATCACATGATGTCTCTACTATTACAGTTATCTAATCTATTACTATTACAAATCATATCAGATATTGATGATAATGGAGATATAGTATGTTTGTTGTTGACTTGTAAAAAGTTGTACAATAATAGTAGTTTAAAAAGATCGATTCGGTTTAAAGGAATAGAAGTTATCAGTGGTTATGGAGAGATATCAAAAAAGCTTAAAGCAACAGCTACTCAATTCAAACTCTTATCATTTAAAGATATCTACGAGAATAGTATACCCTATCATCATGTGATACTGCCTGCAGACCACCAATCAGACAATCAAAATGATAGCTTGGTTGAGTATCCTCAATGGATACAACAACGCATCTCTATAGCAGACAGAGTCGATAAGAGTAACATTACAAATGTATTGGTGAGAGATTATCAAGCAAAATCAATTCAATCACTCTACGACGAGATACCATCGATCGAAACACTATTGTTTAATAAGCCCAATCAGACACAATTATTACTGGATCTTGGTTCCATTTCACTATTGCCTCGTCTCCAACGACTTGGAGTTTATGCACACGATGCGATTATTGGTCCTCATCCAACACTCAAGTCACTTGACCTATATATAGATACCAAACACAGTCTCATCGACTTACAACTCACCAAACTAGTATCACTGAAACAGTTGACCCTAACCGATGCTGTGTCTGGGATAGGAAATGGTCTCTTTCCAAGTAGTCTGACGTCACTCACTCTGACACTAACAGAGTTGCCTCCAAGAGATACATTCTATTCATTAAAGTCTCTTGTAACCCTCTATTTCCGCATGGACAGGAATTTAACCGACACAGAGGTTGAACATCCATTCATCGATCTAGAGAATCTATCCACACTCAAGACACTCAGTATCAGTGACAGTAATCACTCCACACAAGTTGTCAAGTCCTACATCTCGATTAGTGTCCCCCCTTCAATCAAATTTCTAAACTTTTGGTCAATATGCTTAAAAATAATGCCAACCCAATCCACAACTGCTACTACAACTATCTTGATGCCACAATTGGAGACATTGTATGTACAACAAAGATCATTGATTGAAGATAATATCTGTCTAGGGTCATGCCCATCTCTCAAGAAAATAGTTATTGGCAATTGCTTCAAACCCATGCCATCCAATATCATCTTCCCATCAACTATCGAAAGAATTGGCATAGATAAACAGTGTGAACAAGAATGTACAATACTTGGACAAGTTGTATTCCCACCATCTCTCACTCATCTAACTATCTTTGGTATGAGCTGCGAGTCTGTCCAGAAGCTCCCTGAATCACTCGTTAATCTAAAACAGATGATCAACCAATCACCTGAATCACTTCCTCGAGATTTGAAAAAACTTATGTTGGAAGTGGAATGGAGAGCCCCACTTGAACATTTGGAGTTGCCATCCTCATGTCCACCTAATCTTGAAACACTCGACCTCCTCCAAATCAAAGGTAATATTACCATTAACAAAATACCACCAACCATCAAATATCTATCGATTGTATTGCCAACAAAGCTTAATATAGGGTTAAATACCAGCCCAGTCTATTCAATCAGCTCAAAGATAACCAGTATCGATATCACCCAACCACAATGGCTACCACAAAATACAACTCATCTAACTATCAATGTAAATAATGCTACAAAATATCCATTATTGTTTAGATTAGATCAAGTAATCAACCACACCAATGTGAGATATTTATCTATCTCCATTTCCACCGCATTCCTTCAATTTTCAATTCAAAGATTAGACGCAAACAATCTAAATGTATTGGTATTGGAAACAAAGACACTTCAAGGTGGAATAATTACTCAACAAAGATTGAAAAGAAAATCAATCAATCAACAACAACAATATGATCCGATTTATTTATGTTGTAATATCAGTTCTACCTCTCCTTATGAATTCAAGTTTACCCGTTGTGACCCTGAAATAAAAACTACACAAGGATGGAATTGAGTGTAAAATAATAGTGAGAAAATGGAAAAATAAATAAATAAATAAATAAATAAATATTACTAAATATAAATATAAATATAAATATAATAAATAAATATAAAAGATGATCAAACTTTATTAATTTAAAAATACAAAACAATATTATTATTATTTAATATATGCCCCATTTTAGGATTAAAATATTTTACAATGTTTTTTGTGGGGTTCAAGCACTCCATCTTTATCTTTTTCTCTCACTCGCCAGACATGTCAACCAACCCTATCAACAACAGAACAGCAGAGTGATAAGAGATGCAGACAACAGATTAGTTGATACAAATTTACACAACATCACACAATCAATCAAATCTTCTCAGCTTTAACCAACAACAAGAATAATGATATTGTTTCATCATCTTCACCAACAACCAACAATATTAGATAGATAGATAGATAGATTGTTAAACAAGTTCAATTTGGGTGTGACGTCGATTCAAATCGTTTAGATATTACAGTTGATTGTAATCTAATGATTTGTGGGATACAACAACAACAACAACAACAACAACAGAGTTTGTTGGAAATGATGTAGATGGCCACCTGACATCATTGGATGATGTTAATGATAGTGATGATGACTGTACGGCTATTGATATGATAATGATGATCATGCATACATACATACATATGTATGTGCGCTTACCCATTTATTATAAATACGCATGCACGCACGCACGCACCTCACTACCCACACTTACACATGTACAGCAAGCAAGTACGTTAGTTAACAATTATTAATATCTAACGTCAGACATATCATAAATATGTTATGTATACCTAAAAAGTGGTTGGTTTAACATCAACATCATCATTGACTATTTACACTTACCGTAGTCTTTTTATTACCAATTAAAGGATTATTAGTAAATCTCATATGTTGATCAACCCCCACAAATTGTGTCACATGTAACATATATAAATATCCTGTGCTATATATGTACTTGTAGATTTACTACAATCAATCAATCAATCAATCAATCAGTCTTTACAATCACCAACAACCTCTTCCTCTTCATCCTCTTCTCTCCTCTCCTTTGAAGACCATGGTCACACAAAGATATAAATATCCAGACTTTTGGTGATTGTCTTTTGAACATCATTTACGATAATCAACTATTATAATAACTAGTTATTTATAACAAACAAACAAACAAACAACACCAACTACTATTATTTATTTATTATTTATTATATTTTTAAAAAAGATAATTAATTAAAAATAATTAATTAATTATTTAAAGAATGAGATTAATAATAATAATATCATTATTTATATTTTATTCTTTATATTGTTTTAACTATTCAAATGCTTATAGACCATTAGGTAAATATATAATAATAATCAAAAATTAAAAAAATATTTATAAATAATTATTAATTATTATTTTTTTCTTTTTTCTTTTTTTTTATTTTTAGATTGTTCAAGATTAACATATAAAGAATGTTTAAGGGAAAAAGATATGTGTTCACCATCATTTGGAGATAAATGTTGTGATGATGAACAAATATTTAAATGTATTCCAGCCGAGCATTGTGACCCAATCGATGATATGCCAACCCCACGTACATGGTGTGTAGAGTATTCCCGTCATTCCTTTATTCGTTACAACTCTACCTGTTTCTCACATCCAGATCGTGACTTTTTCCTTCCAAATACCAAAAAGTGCTCCGACGTTGACTGTCCAAGTGGATTCTTTTGTCGTGACTATGGCAAAAAGGACAAGAACGAATGTCATGGTACCTCTGAAAATGAATGTTGCAACTTCCGTTCCAAGTGTATCCCACGAGACAGTGGAGCACGTCCATCGGTCAAACCAATGTTTATCAGCCCAGAGACTGCCAAAAAGATCGAACAGATGGATGAGGGCATTGAAATTGGCCAACCAACCAAACCACAACAAGTCACCTGTGCCGTCATTCTCTGTCAACCAGATGAAAAGTGTGTCGAAGCTACCCCCAAGACTGCTGCCCACTGTGTTAAAGGTGTCGTTCCTCCACGTTCAAAAGATGTAACTACTGACCCAGAGGTTCAAGTAGTCGCATCGGATGAAGAAGAAGAAGAACAAGAAATAGAACCTGCTACACCAGTGGTAGTTGTCAAAGAGGAAGAAGAAGAAGAGGAGGAAGAAGAGGAAGAGTCATCAGAGGAAGAAGAAAAACCAACAACCAAACCAGAAGTTTTGGTTGAGGAAGAGGAAGAGGAAGAAGAGTCATCAGAGGAAGCACCAACAATGAAACCAACTATGAAACCAACAATGAAACCAACCATGAAACCAACAATGAAACCAATTACCAAACCAACAATGAAACCAACTATTCCACCAGTCACTGATGAATGTGAATGTCCAGAGGGAACTACATGTTTAAAGGAGGATGGAGAAATTAAATGTGTTGAAGAGGAAGCACCCAAACCAACACCCAAGCCAACAAAGACCACCAAAAAGCCAGTTCCAACCACCAGACCATCCAAACTCGAAAAAGTCGATGAAGAAGAGGAGAAGCAAACTTGTGACACTCTAATCTGCGTCAAGGGATTCGTATGCGTTCAAGATGAAGAGTATGGTGCTAGATGCAAGCTCGCCCCCAAACCAAAGCCAACCCCCACACCAGAACCAAAGAGAGCCGTAGGAAACTGTAACACGACCGAGTGCGTCTGGGGATGGTTGTGCAAGGAGACTGATGAAGGTCCACGTTGTGTACCACCTCCAACCCGTCCATCGTGTCTCAACATCAAGTGTGAAGATTTGGGTACCTGTTTGACCGATGATCTTGGTGGAGGCCATTGTGTGCCAAAGTCCAACTGCTCCAAGATTCAGTGTGGTGGTAGTCAAGTATGCGTCGACGACATTGAAACCAATACTCCCAAGTGTGCTAGCAAGGACCAAATTGTCGGATGCTCCAAGATCCGTTGCAAGAATGGTTTTGACTGTGTCGAGGATCCAAAGGCCGGTGGTCGTTGTGTATCGAGTATCTGGTGCAACCACGTCAAGTGTGCTCACTTTTTCAAGTGTCAAAACGGAGCTTCTGGTGCCGAGTGTGTGCCTCTACCAAACTGTACCACAACCAAGTGTCCCAAGGGCAAGCATTGTGAAAACGATCCAGAGTTGGGCGCCCACTGTCGTGAAAACTCTCGTATCACTTGTGCCGTCGTACTCTGTAACAAGGGATACCACTGTGTCGAAGGTGAGGGCGGCCAAGACCCATCGTGTGTCGCCAATCCAACCAAAGTCACCTGTGACACGATCAGATGCCAACGTGGCTATCACTGTGTAGACGCTGGTACCGGTCCAGAGTGTGTCGTCAATCCCACCTGTGCCGCATCCCTCTGCAAGCCAGGTACATACTGTGTCGATGACCCACTCCTCGGTGCCATTTGCAAAAACGCCACAAAGACTGCCACATGTGAAACTTTGGATTGTCGTGATGGCTACATTTGCAAGGAAGGTCTCCATGGAGCCGAACCAACCTGTGTCAAAAAGAAAAATGTAACCACTAGTTGCGAGAATGTTCAATGTCAAGATGGAACCCTCTGTGTCGATGACAAGGAGAATGGCAATGGTGTGCTCTGTGTCCCAATGGATTCATGTTGGTTCACTATTTGTCCAAAGAATTTTGATTGTATTGAAAATGATTCTGGAAAGGGTATTTGTACAAGAAGATCATGTTCAACGTATGTATATAAAAAAAAAAAATTAAATAGTAAAATTATAGAATATTAATTAAAATATTTAATTTAATTTAGTCTTAAATGTGCTTATCCATATGTTTGTATGACACCAAAGGTTGGTGTACCAGAATGTGTTTTAATGAAAAAATCCTAAATCATCAACTTGTTACAAAACTAAATAAATTTATTACCAATTAAAAACTTTATATGCTTTTTTTTTTATGAATTATTAATAATGATTGGAATCTAGTTGGTTGAAATGGAGATGAACACAAGAAGGAACCGTGGTTGATAAATGTAAATTAATGGGATCATATTGTTGTTGCTGATCATTGATTTCTTTTCCGATCATTATTATTTTCAGACTCTTTGAATTGTAAATTCAAATGTTGCATCAAAAGCAATAATAGATTATTGGAATAAAAATTGAAATAATAGAATAACTGTAATAATAAACTTGTCATTGATTATTGTATTGCTGTGATCATCAAAAAATAAAAAAAATGATAAACAATTTTTTTTTTTTAGTGCTACCAAATTATATTTTATCTGTGTTAATATTATCATATAATTTAGACAACAACAATCCATCTATTTTATTAAACATTTAACTTTCCTTTTTCCTTTTTAAATTTACTTTTTTTTTGGAAAAACTCCATTTCAATGTAAAAGGAGTGACAGTACCAGTTCTATAATGTACATAAATACTCTGAAATGGTTGTTGTTGTTGATTGTTGGCTGATTTTCGTTGCTGAGTGATTATTCCGCCTTGAAGTGTCTTTGTTTCCAATACCAATACATTTAGATTGTTTGCGTCTAATCTTTGAATTGAAAATTCAAATGTGGTTGTAGAGTAGTCAGATAAACAGAGAGTTAAATATCTAACATTGGTGTGGTTGATTACTTGATCTAATCTAAACGACCCTTCATCGCCTTTTAGTTTGCAAGTTAGATGAGTAGTATTGGATGGAAACCATTGTTGTTGCTCGGTGATGATGTTTTCGGGAATCCTAGTACTGATTGAATAAACTTTTCTCTCAGAGTCCAAGTATATTGATAGGTATTTGGTGATTGGTGGTATGTCGATTGTAAAGGCACCTTGGCTATCGACCAGATCGAGTGCTTCAAGATTGGGTGGATAAGAAGGGGATGATGGTAACACTAAATGTGTAACATTGTCTTTGTTGATTTCGAGTGCCAGTTTTTTTAAATGTTGTGGGAGTGATAATGGAGCATCGTTGATAAGCTGCTTTAGTTTGACGAGTGATGGAGGGTGTTGGACAGGCTCGTAGTGGTCTCCCACAATAGTTAGATGCGTGAGTGATGTTGGTAACACAACTTGCCTAAGTATACGTTCTCCTTCGGGATACGAATGAATTGTAAGTCTCTCAACACTAGATGGAATGATATCGGATGGCATGGGTTCATAGCAATCTAAAAGAACTAGTTTCTTTATCAATGGTGATGACGATAGATTTATTCTTCCACCAACCACTAGGGTACCATCCACATCCAATCTCTCCAATAGTGGCATCGTGCAATGGGTTGGAATTTGTAATCTATCCGAACAAAGGTCACCAAAGTCAAGAATCTTGATTGAAGGAGGGACACTCATCGAGATGTTGTGTTTTGGGTCTGGTTCACGACGGTGGTACGTTACATTGGCCTTCAGTGTCTCGAGGTTGCACAGACTCTCGAGATCAATGAATAATTGTTGGTCGCCGGCTTCTCTTGAACTGATTTCCAGCTTGATATCGAGGGTCACCAACGATGTCAATGAAATGAATGTATCTCGTGGTGGTATCTCCGTCAGTCCCAGGGTGAGCGATTTCAGACTACTTGGCAATAGTCCTGCACCAATATCCATCGCAAAATAAGTGCTAATAGTCAGCTCTGTCAACGATACGAATTTGGTGAGACCCAAGTCGATGAGACGGCAAGAGAACTGGCCACCCCTCATTATTGTGAAGTTTAGATCAAGAGATCTGAGTGATGTGTGGTGACGGCTTATCTCTAACTTTCCAGTTGAAATCGAGAGTCGTTGGAGACAAGGCAAGAGTGAGATGGAGCCAAGATCAACTACTGCATTACAGCGACAGCTAATGAATAGTGTCTCTATCGATGGTATGTCATAGAGTGACTCGGGTTGTGTTGGTGAAAGATCAGTACGAACCAACACCAAAACGGTTGTAATACCACTTTTATCAGCAACTCTGTTCTCTGCATAGATGCGTTGTTGTACCCATTGAGGATAGTCATCATCATCATCCAATACATTTAGTATCACTTGATGATCCGATATACTATTCTCCAAGATATCTTTAAATGACAAGAGCTTGAATTGAGTAGCTGTTGCTATGAACCGCTCTGATTTGTATACTTTGCCACTCATACACAACATTCTTGAAACCTGTGGTGGATCATTGATTGGTGCTATTCCTTTAAACCTAATCGATCTTCTTAAACTACTGTTACTATACAACTTTTTACAAGTCAACAATAAACATATTATATCTCCATTGTTGTCAATATCTGATATAATATGTAATAGTAATAGATTAGATAATTCTAATAGATGACTGGTCATCATGTGATGAAACGATCAAGACCGCTCTCGTTAAAAAAAAAAAAAACAAAAATAATAATAATATTAATATTTCTTTGGGTCATGACCCATCATCTTGACTTGTATTTTCGTAAACCATTTATTATTTATTTTTTTAGTAATAACCTCCTTTGATCTAAATAATTTAAGACCCAATAAACGCAAAGGGGCAACCCTGCATGGAACGGTCCTTTGCAAAAAATCAGTCTTTTCAAGGATTTAAAATGTGTACGTAAAACGAAATCGAGATCGGGAAGGGATCAGGACAGATGAGATTTCCAACAACATTATAAACTCATTCTCAAAGATTATTTTTGAATCACTTTTTTTCCTTGATGATCCATCATCTGATTTAAAACATATATAAAAAAACAAGAGATAATAATATACATATACATATACAGATACATATAATTTTTTTTAAAAAAAGATAGAGATATATTTTTTAGACAAACACCTATTTTTCAAACAAACAGAATATATTAATAACAACAATAATTAATTTGTCACGAGACTATTTATTTTAGATATAAACAATCAAATTTTTTTTTGTACATACCAAACCAATCACAACAAACAAACAAACAAACAAACAATCAATCACAACAACTCTTCTCTCTTGTCTCAAAGTATTCATTTTTTGTTGCAAGGGCATCGTTTTTTTTTTTTTTTTTGTTGATCAACCCTAACATCGATTTTCTGCTCACTCTAAAAAGGTAACCAACCATCCTATCTAGATCTGATTAACAACAACAACAAACAAACAACTCTCTAAAATAATTAAAACTAACCAGTCGTCGTCGTGTTATATTTATCATCATCAATCGGGTTATTTATATTTCTTCTATTTATTTATTTGTTGTAATACATACATCTATTTATAGTTAGCTACTATTTATTTATTTATTCATTCATTCATCACCTGACACATTCTATTATTATATAATTCTATATTAGTTAGTAGTTATAAGCAACACATAATCATTGATTACTTTAAAGCAAACAGTTAATTAAATTAGCAACAAACAAACAAACAAAACACAACCGTCATTCTCACATATATATATTTATATTTACAAATATCTATAATTAATCACATTACCCCATTTATATATATATATACTCTTTTATTGATAGATCGATCATAACAACAAACACAACCCCAACCCCAACCCCCCAACAGCAGCACAAGACACAATATCAATGAAAAGGAGTCAATCAGAAACAGTATTGGGATCACCCCAACCTGTTGACAGTATGCTTTTGGGAGTGCCAGATAACCTTAGTGAATCGGATGGTCTAGCACTGCAACAACAAGAAGAAGAAGAAGAGTCTCACAATATGATGACAGAGGAGGATGGAGAAGGAGAGGAAGCAGCTGACAACAGCAGCATGCTCAGCTTTGATCGCGGCGTTGATAGCAATAGTAACAACAATAGTGACTATGGTGATAACGATGACGAGGGGGTGTCTGTCGAAGACGACGACGATGGCACACCAATCAACCCCAACACCTATCAACCCTCCCACCACACTTTGATCAACCACACCCAAAATATCAACAACAATCCTATTTCTGCTACTACTACTACTGCTACTGCTGTTTCCGATCAAATTAATAATAATAATAATAATAATACTGCATACACAACCACCAATAATAATAATAATAATAATAATAATAATAATAATCAACAACTACTTTTAAATTCTTCTTCTTCTTCTTTAGACATTAATCATGATGATTTAAATAATATTAATAATAATATTAATAGTCTTGATGAATTAAATCAACAACAACAGTTACTACTACAACAACCAACATATATTAGTAGTACGGCAGCTTCACCATCGAGTAGTATTAATTCTAATATTTCATCGACATCGTTGCCATCGTCACCGGTCACCTCATCGATGACTCCATCACCGTCTCCTCAACCATCACCACTTCTCTTTACAAGTAATATACTCATCAATCCATCAATGGCTACCAATATTCCACAGGGATCATCGTCGACGATGATGATGGAAGAGTACAAGAAAAACTCTGTATTTTTAGTACCCGAGCCACCCGGCATTGCCACTTCGCAACCTCAACAAATATCACCGTCAAAGTCTAAAAAGAATAGATCCTCCTTTTTACCATCGAGTAGTCGTGGACTAAAGTCTTCGCTGTCTTCATCGTTTTTGTTTAAAAATGTGGATCCTGATGCTTTGGGTACTTCAAAGTCTCAAAAAAAGTATGGGTCTTATGACGATCGTGCTCATCTTGTCCCACCACCACCTTCATCACACAGCTCGGCTGCATCCAGTGCATCTGCACCATCGACACCAGGTGATGTGTCTCCAACCGCTACCACTCCGGGTGCCGTCACACCAACCAAAAAGGAAAAGAAGGGTGTTAAAGGGTTCTTTAAGAAATCGACTAGTAATAGTAACTTGTGTGCCGAGATTGATGGACATCCATCGGCCTCATCATCTGCCTCCTCGCCATCTGGCATGCCAGTATTGAGTGGTAGTCACACCATCTCAACTGCATCGGCCAAAATGTATACCAATGCCAACGGTGGAGGTAGTGGTGGAGACTTGTCAGGCTACAAAAAGCGGTCGCTTGGCAACTTGTTTAATCGTAACAAAAAGGAGAGTTCATCGGGCAGTCTTAGAGACTCTTCCAATTCCGTCATTATACCAGCCACCCCATCAACAACTGCAGACGCTCCAACACCACTCAACAAGATCAAGTTGTCGGTTTCTGAACACGACCTCCTCAGTAAACTAGAAGGTGAAGATGTTGGTGGTACAAGTGAAAAGTCTGCAACTGCATCAACAGCCACCGAGTTAAACAACAACAACAACAGTAGTGGTTTATTGGATCAAAAACCATCACAACAACAAATTCCAACTTCAATATCAAAAGCACTGCCAAGATCTAGTATGATTGATTTGGATGGTAAAATAAGTGAAACATTGGCAACATTGACTGTTGGAGGTGATATTACCGTCATCTCGGCATCAGCACCTGTTGTACCGGTTGAACCTTCCCAACCACTATCTGAAAAGGATCAAGCTAAATTATCATTGGAACGTCAGTTGATGCGTAGAAAGACAGTTGACGAATTAAAGTTTGATAATATCATTGATCAAGAAGACTTTGTAGATGTAGACAAGGAACAAAAAATGCGAGAGATTAGAAAACATAAATTATTTGTTGGTACTAGACCTGCCAAAAAGACATTATTTTATAATTTTAATGAAAAGGAAAAGGAAAAGGAAACAACAATATCACAACAACCATCACAACAATCAGTCGATGGAATGGATCATGCCTCTTTGGCTCAAACACCAACACTCAATTCAATACTTCGAAAGCAACAAAATGATGCAATCGATAGGTGTTTTGTACTTATAACTCAATGTCCCGGTTGGAAACGAGACGTTGATCATGTAAATAATAATAATAATCAAAATAGTCAAAATATCAATACTAATAATAATAATAATGCAATGTATAAAAGTGGAACTTCATATTTATTGGAAGAATACGAAAATGAAATTAAACATTATTCCGAATCATTTGTTGGTGAAAGTAAGTAAACAAAAAAAGAAAGAAAAAGAAAATAATTAATATTTATTAATTTATTTTTTATTTTAGAACATAAAAATTTTGTATCAATAGACCATGCACAACAACCAAATGGTATCGGACCTGTAATAATTAGTATTAAAAAGGAGGCAGAGAAAATGGCAAAACGAAAAAAGGGTAAAAAGGATCAACTTTTGGGAGACCAACAACAACCACAACAAAGATCATCGGTGACATTGACATCATCACCATTACAACAACAACAACAAGGAAACACACAAATGATGTCAATGGAGAGAAAGTATAGAGTTATCATTAGATCACAAGATGGAGAGGATCGATTCTATCTATCTTCTGGAAAGGCTACTCCTGTCGAATTGATGAATACTTTAAAGTCGTTTATTGTCCCACTCTCCAACCTCACCTTTAAACAAATCAAAACTACAAATGAAGTCAAAAAGATGTTAATGTATTGGGAGAATGCCCAAATGACCAAGGAATACAAATTTGGTTTACTCTATCGAAAGGCTGGTCAATTCACAGAGAATGAAATGTTCTCCAATACTACCGGTTCTGCAGAGTACCAAGAATTCCTTGATTTCATTGGTAAAAAGATCGAATTAAAAGGTTGGAATCAATTTAAAGGTGGTTTAGATGTTAAAAGTATGTAAACAAATTAAAATCAAAATCAAATAATAATAATAGTAATATTTAATTTATTTATTTATTTTTATTTAGATGATACAACAGGAAGTCATTCAGTTTATGCAACAAAACAATTTGCAATTGATGAAAATACTTTCAAGGCATCTATCATGTTTCACGTGTCTACATTGTTACCATATTATGCTCACGATTCGCAACAGTTGGAGAGAAAGAGACATATTGGAAATGATATTGTTGTTTTGATATTCCAAGATCATGGATGTCCTCCATTTGTACCTTCGACCGTCATTACCGAATTTACTCATGTGTTTGTTGTCGTTCAACCCGTTCCAAAGGAGGGTGGAGAGAAAACAACAAGATACGCCGTTTCAGTAACATCCAAAGATGGGTGTGCCCAATTTGGTCCAGCATTTTCATCGACCAAGATCTGGAGAAAGGATAGCAACCTCTGGGATTATCTTATCATAAAGATGATCAATGCAGAAAAGGCTGCATTCTATGCACCAAGCTTTGCAGATAAAATGAGAAGAACTAGATTAGTATTACTTAAATCAGCTTTGGATAAAATGGATACTTATTAAGTACAACACACACATATATATTTATATTTATACTATATATCCTATACAACTAAAAAGAAATAATAACAAAAAAAATTAACCAAAAATAATTTGATATAGTAATTAATTAATACTGCCCCCTTCTCTCATATATATATATGCCCCATAATAATAAATCATCCATGTAATATAGATAATTAAAACTTTGGAATTATTTAGTTGAGAATTCTTTAAGTGTCTGTGTTTGAAATACCAATACATTTAGATTGTCTGCGTCTAATCTTTGTGGTTGTTTTTGTTGTTGTTGGAAAGACTACCAGACAGAAATTGATACCACATTAATAATTATGATGATTTGATTGAGAATTTTTTATTTGTATTATAATTCATATTGAGAGATATTTGAAGGATATGTCCCTGAAAAGTCAAGGGTTTGAAATTATGTAATTATTTACCAACTTTTTTTCCTTGGAAACTCCAATACAATTTAAATGGATCGTACAAGTCAACATCAAAATGTAAATAAATACTCTCATATTGGTGATGATGATATTGTTGTTGTTGGGTGCTGTTGATTGATTTTCTTTGCTGTGTGATTATTCCACCTTGAAGTGTTTGTGTTTCCAATACCAATACATTGTTGTTGTTTGGGTCTAATCTTTGAATTGAAAATTGAAATGGTGTCGAAGAAATAATGATAGTTAGATATCTAACATTGGTATGGTTGATCACTTCATCCAATTTAAATGACCCTCCGACTGATTGATACCTTTCCCAAAGTCCACAAGTTAGATGAGTTGTATTGTGTGGTAACCATGGTTGTTGTTGGGAAGTGATGGTGCTTGATAGTCTAGAGCTGATTGAAAAGGTTTGAGGACCATTTGTGGCATTTTTAGTTCTGCTCACTGACATTGATAGATATTTGATGGATGGTGGTATATTATCAATTGTAAAGTCGCCTTTGATACTGATAAAGTTTAGTGTTTCAATATTAGGTGGGTAGGATGATGGATTTGTCATTTTGGTTCTATGGCAATCTTGTTCCCAAACTAGTTTCTTTAATTGTTGAGGAAGTAATACTAATGATTCATCTTGGCCTGTTTGTTTTAGTTTGACAATCGAGTCTGGGATTTTGACAGGTTCATAGTAGTCACCGAGGAGGGACAGAGAAGTGAGTGATGGTGGTAATACTACTCGTCCAAGTATAGATTCTTCAATGTATTTATAAATTTCCAGTCTTTTGACAGTCGATGGGATAATGAAATTGGATGGCATGGGGTTGAAGCAATCGTGAATAACCAGTTTCTTTATCGATTGGCATGATAATATACTTATTTTTTCATCAATCAATAAGCATTGTCTGACATTCAACCGCTCCAATAATGGCATTGTGCATCTAGGTTCGAGTTGTACAGATGTGGACAAATGAGTAAGAGTACTGAGACAGGGAGGTACACTAACCTTGATGATGAACATCGGTTCCTCTTCTGGATCGTTGTTGTCTGTGAGAGTGAGTGTCTTTAGATTGATGAGAGACTCGAGATCGATGAATTGTTCCCCCAAATCCCCTTCCAATGCACCCTTATCAAGATCGATTATGAGGGTCACCAATGATGTCAATGAAAGGAATGTATTTCGTGGAGGAAGATCATCTTTTAATTTTAGAGAGAGAAATGTCAGACTGCTTGGCAATAGACCTGGTTCTATTCCTATTGCAAAATAACTTTTAAAGGTCAGCTCTGTCAGTGACACGAATTTGTCGAGACCCAAGCCAATTAGATTGTATGAGTTTTCGATGTCGAGTGTCAAAGACTTGAGTGTTGTGTGAGGACCAAGTTTAAAATATTCTGCACGTACTAAAAGTCGTTGTAGATTGGGTAATCGGGAAATGGAGTCAAGACTCAAGTTTGTATCGTTTTGGTGGTTGATGAGTAGTGTCTCGATTGATGGTATCGAGGAGAGTGAGTCTATTAGCATTTGATATGCATATGTATGTGCATAGTTTGCCAACACAGTTTTAATACTACTTTTATCAACTCTATCCAGAGTGATGCGTTGTTGTATCCATTTTGAATAATTTAATCGATCGAATAGAAAAGATGGCATTCTCTGATGATTCGATATACTATTCTCCAAAATATCTTTAAAAGAGTTCAGTTTGAATCGAGTAGCTGTTGCTATAAACTGTCTTGAAGTATACCCATCGTCGGTGATAGCTTCTATTCCTTTAAACTGAATCGATCTTCTTAAACCACTATTACTATACAACTTTTTACATGTTAACAATAAACATACTATATCTCCATTATTATCAACATCTGATATAATATGTAATAGTAATATATTAGACAATTGTAATAGACTAGTCATTTTGAAGGACAGTCATATATATAGATAATTGAAACAGTTTATTATTATGAGTATTATTAGTATTTGTATTAATACCCAAAATTATGAGCAGAACCACAAATTAGCCAAAGATGGTTGGCATCTGACGATGATGTTAAAAATTTAATGAATTTTAATTAATTTTTAATAAGACAACTGAAATTTTCCGTTGATTATTTTTTTGATGATGATGCAACGATGAACAAACAAGCAAGACAACAACAGACTAGTATTAATAGTAGTAGTAGTAGTAGTAAATACAAAGTATTGATTATTGTTATTAGTTTATTTATAGGTTATATATCATACTATATTTATAATAATAATACTTTTACAACAACAACAACATCTTCACGACGATCATCACCAACAACATTATCATCTGATCAATATCTAAGATACTCTAAGATGGATCCATCATCTCTATCCAATCCACAAGATGCCAAGGTCAACTCACTTCACTTGGTTTTAGACGTTGAGTTTGCTACCTCACGTCTTGTAGGTTATGTCGACGTTCGTTCAGTTCTTCAATCAGACTCTGTTTCAACTTTAATCCTCGATTCAAACAATCTTGAAATCTCAAAGGTTACTGATCTTGAGAACAACCCAATCAATGTAAGATAAGCATAATAATATATAATGTCTTTTGATTTACTAAAATATCTACTCTATCTATTTATATGTCTAATTTTTAGTTTAAGCTTGGAGCTGTTCACTCAATCTTTGGTACACCAGTTGAAATTGAAATTGCTGAAGGACAACGTGGAAAGAACAAAGAGTTTAATGCTCGTGTCTACTACAATACCACTCCTTCCTCTGTTGCTCTTCAATGGTTAAAGCCAGAACAAACTGCTGGTAAGAAGCACCCATACTTGTTCTCTCAATGTCAAGCGTATGTATAAACATAAATAAATATTAATATCTATATCTGTACTAATATACTTTTATTTATTCTATAGAATTCATGCAAGATCATTAGTACCATGTCAAGATAGTCCAAGTAACAAGGTTACCTATTCAGCTCAAATTACAGTTGATTCACCATTGACTGCTTTGATGTCTGCCTTGTCAACTGGTAAAAAGGAGAATGGAGACAAGACAGTTTTCACCTTTGAACAAGATATTGTCATTCCAACCTACTTGATTGCCATCGTTGTTGGTAACTTGGACTCTAGAAAGATTGGTCCACGTTCACATGTATGGTCCGAGCCAGAGACAGTTGCAGCCGGTGAGTTTGAATTTGCCAACACTGAAAAGTTTATCGCTGCCGGTGAATCGATCCTCACCCCATACATTTGGAAGAAATACGATGTCCTCTTATTGCCACCATCGTTCCCATACGGAGGTATGGAGAACCCAATGTTGACATTTGTCACCCCCACTTTGATTGCCGGTGATCGTTCACTCGAGAATGTCGTTGCTCACGAGATTGCCCATTCGTGGTGCGGTAACTTGGTCACCAACAAGTATTGGTCCGAATTTTTCTTGAACGAGTCGTTTACCGTCTTGTTGGAACGTAAGATCATTGAACGTTTGACCAACAATGAAATGTTCCAATTTGAAAGTATCAATGGTTTCAAGCACTTGCAAGACGACATTGACACTTTTGGTCATGATAACCCCTTGACTGCCCTCCGTCCAAACCTCGACGGTATCGATCCAGACGATGCCTTTTCCTCGGTGCCATACGAAAAGGGTTTCAACCTCCTCTGCTACCTCGAAACATTGGTTGGCGTCAAAGACTTTGAAGCTTGGCTCAAGGCTTACATCACCAAGTTTGCCTACCAATCCATCACTGCCCAACAAATGAAGGACTTTTTCGTCGAATACTTTGAACAACTCGGCAAAAAGGATGCCATCGCCGTCGTCGATTGGGAAACCTGGTTCAACGCTCCAGGTCTTCCACACACTTGTTGCAAATTCGAATCAAAACTTGCCGATACTGCAAAGGAACTCGCTAAAAAGTGGATCTCTACCAAAGGTGAAGGTTTCAACAATGATTCTGAATTTAAACAATTTAATTCTGCTCAAATTAGTAAAGAAAATAGAAAAAAAAAAAAAAAAAAAAGAGATAAATATTCTAACAATTTATTTTTGTTTCTTTTTTATTTATTTAGTTTTATTCTTGGATACATTAATTACAGAGACTGAAAAGGAGAAATTATCAGTTGATGTTTTGGAAAAGATTGATAATCTTTACAAGTTGAGTGAAACCAAAAACTCTGAATACAAAAACAAGTGGTACACTTTGTGTCTTCGTCATGGCATTCAAAAGATTGAACCATTGGTTGTCAAGTTTGTCACTAGCCAAGGTAGAATGAAATTCACTCGTCCACTTTACAGAGAACTATTCAAGGTTAACAAGGATTTGGCTCAATCCACTTTCAAGACTCATCGTCATTTCTATCATTCCATTTGTAGTAAAATGGTTGCAAAGGATTTGGCTCTTGAATAAATCAAAATAAATAAATATATAAAGTAAAAGATTATTTATATAAATCTTGGACATATGTCCTTAACAGATAATACAACTTTAAAATATATGTTAAAAATATATTATTATATTTTAATATTATGTTTAAAATAATAGAAAAACGTAGATTTTAGCTTTTTAACAAAAATGACTGTTTTTGTGTGTTCACATGATTCTAATCTTTGGACATGTCTCTATTATCTTTATCTAATCTATTACTATCACATATCATAACATCTATTGACAGTAATGGAGATATAGTATGTTTATTGTTGACTTGTAAAAAGTTGTACAGCAATAATGTTAGAAAGTCGATTCAGTTTAAAGGAATAGGAGAAGCAATCGATTCTGACAAGGGACACGAATCAACCAGGTTTGGAGCAACGGCTACTCAATTCAAACTCGGATCTTTTCAAGATATATTGGAGAATAGTGTATCTGATCAACAGATCATACTGTCTAGTGACAATTACCAAACAGGTCGCTACCCAGAATGGATACAACAACGTATCTATGCAGAGAAGAGAAATGATAAAAGTGGTGTTACAACTGCTTTGGTCACGTATAACCGACCAACACCATCAGATTTAGAGACACATGTAAAGTCACTCTACTCTATACCAACACTCGAGAAACTATTCATCTTCCAAGACGAAGACAGCGTAGATCTTGGCTCTATCTCGTTGTTGCCTAGTCTCCAAATGTTGTCGGTTCGTTCAGACAAAGTTCATCTTGGTCCTCACCCAACACTCAAGTCTCTTAGATTAAATCTTACCACACTCGACTCACTCGCCGACTTGGGTCTCACCAACCTAGTATCATTGACAGAGTTGAACTTTGAATGGACGAGTGGATTTGTGAATAATGTTGGACCTGGTCTACTGCCAAACAGTCTGACATTTCTATCTATTCAAGTGTTGGGGGTACCTCCAAGAGATACATTCCTCTCATTGACGTCGTTGGTGACCCTCGATATCTACCATGAGAAGCAAGCAATCAGCCAAGAGACGGAAAAACCATTCATCGACCTCGAGAGTCTATCCAACCTCAAGACACTCACATTCCTTGACAACGACGACCCATCAAATAACACCAACTATAGTATCGAGATTAGTGTCCCTCCTTCACTCAAGACTCTTAGATTCCCATCCAAATCAGCACGAATCCCATCCCGTTGTACCATGCCACTGTTGGAGAAACTGTATGTGCAACAAAGATCATTGATTGATGGAAGAGTCTGTCTGTCGTCATGTAACACACCATCGTTAAAGAAACTCACACTTTACAAGTGTCGTGATATCATCGCATCCAATATCTTTTCATCGACTCTTGAAAAGATTACAATCTGTAAAAAAACTGATCAACCTATACTTGGACAGGTTGTATTCCCACCATCTCTCATTCATCTAACTATCGTGGGAGACCACTATGAACCTGTCCGACTCCCAGACTCACTAGTTAAACTAAAACACACTATCAAGACTCTTAGTGACGCACTATCACTTCCTCAACATTTAAAGAAACTGATTTGCTTAAAGTCTGTGTTTCCATTCAGTTGTAGTAATAACTATCCACCCAATCTTGAAACACTCAACCTCACCGATATCAAAGGTGACTTTACAATTGACAACATACCACCAACCATCAAATATCTATCAATAACCTTAAACCACACCCCCAACATATCAAATAGCCCTCCAATCTATTCAATCAGCTCAAGAATATCCAAAATCAACCAACTACAACAATGGTTATCAGTCAACACTACTCATTTAACTTGTGACATAATTGGAGTAAAGTATGTAGCTGGCAGGTATAACAAAACAGGTGCATTTAGATTAGATGAAATAATCAATCACACCAATGTTAGGTATTTACAACTCAATATTTCCAATACTACAACCTTTCAATTTACAATTCAAAGATTGGACAAGGATAATAGAAATATATTAGTATTGGAAACAAAGACAATGCAAGGTGGAATAATCACTCAACAAAGAAAATCAGATTATGATGGTGATCCTATTTATTTAAATTTTCTCTTCTCTTATAATTCATTTGATTTGAAATGGAGTACCAAATTGGAGTAGGTAGATTGAATCCTTTCAGAGAGAGAGAGAGAGAGAGAGAGAACCCCTTCAAAGTGAGTGTTAAAAATATAAATTGTTATTATTATTACTATGAATATTTATTCTTTTTTGTTTTTTTTTTGTCGTCCATTTGATTCTAATGATCATCGTGTAGGCATTGTACACGTGTGCGTAGCAGAGATCGAGCTGTGTAAACAGAGTCGACACGTACTTGTAAAACTCTTTCGAGATGAGCATCAGCGACAACTGGCGACGGAACGCAAAGCGTTCTTCGGCAGGCTCGCTCGGCACCTGCAATCGCCAGCAGTATGTCAATATCTTGATGATCGTGTATGGCGGCAACGAATACTGCACCGTGCCACGGTGGTACCCGTCCATCTCCTTTTTGGCCTGCTCTTCGGCACGCATCTTGACTTGAAACTCGACAAACGCGCCTACAATGTCTGCCTTTTTCGTGCGACCCGTCAGCTTGACGTTGAACGCCTTGCACAGGTTCTTGAGCGTCGCAACAGTCATCTTGGTGAGCTCTGGCACGGTCAGCTCCAAGTATGTTGGGTACTGCTCCCTCAACCTTTTCAAACTATCGTCCAGCTCTTGTTGAGATTGTCTCACAATACCCGGGCGCAGTGCCATACCCGCATGCATAAAGTTGTTCCAAAACACCGTGTTGTGCAAATGATCATCATAATGACTAGTCTACTATTAAATTTATCTAATCTATTACTATCACATATCATCTCATCTATTGATGATAATGGAGATATAGTATGTTTATTATTAACATGTAAACAGTTATATAATAATAATAATGTTAGAAAGTCGATTCTGTTTAAAGGAATAGGAGAAGCAATCGATACTGATAGTGGACACGAATCGATACACTTTAAATCAACAGCTACTAGATTCAACCTCTTGTCATTTCAAGATATCTATGAGAATAGTATATCGGATCAACATCCTATACTATCAGACCAAACTGCAAAAAAAACATACAAGTATCCTGATTGGATACAACAACGTATCTATGCAGAGAGCAGAGCTGATAAAAGTGGTGTTACAACTGCTTTGGTCATGTATAACCGACCAACACCATCAGATTTAGAGACACATTTAAGGTCTGTCTACGAGATACCATCGATCGAAAGACTGTTTATCCACCAAGAGGAGAACAAAGTAGATCTTGGCTCTATCGCACTACTGCCTCGTCTCCAATCACTTTTGGTTCGTTCGGACAAAGTTCGTCTTGGTCCTATCCAACACTCAAGTCTCTTATATTAGACCTCACTACACTCTACTCACTCGCCGACTTGGGTCTCACCATCCTCGTATCATTGACAGAGTTGACCTTTGAATGGGTAGGAGGTTTTTTGAAGAATGTTGGACCTGGTCTACTGCCAAACAGTCTGACATTTCTATCTATTAGAGTGATGGGGATACCTCCAAGAGATACATTCCTCTCATTGACGTCGTTGGTGACCCTCGAGATCTTCATTCAAAAGAGACCAATTGACCAAGAGACCGAACAACCATTCATCGACCTCGAGAGTCTATCCAACCTCAAGACACTCACATTTAATGATAACTATGAACCAACAAAGAACACCAACTATAGTATCGAGATTAGTGTCCCTCTTTCACTCACGGTTCTTACCCTCTGGTCGGAATCGGCACAAATCCCATCGCGTTGTACCATGCCACTGTTGGAGAAACTGTATGCGACACAAAGATCATTGGTTGATGGAAAAGTCTGTCTATTGCCATGTAATACACCATCGATAAAGAAACTCTATCTAAACGATTGCAAAGAAATCTTTCCGGCCAATATCACCATCATCCCATCAACTGTCGAAAAGATTACAATCTGTAAATCCACAAAAGAATCTATACTTACTCAAGTTGTATTCCCACCATCACTCACCCATTTATCCATCGTGGGTAGCTATGAACCTGTTCAACTACCAGACTCACTGGTCAAATTAAAACAGCTCCTCAAGACCCCAATAGTATCGACATTTGAAAAAACTAGCTTCGGTAATGAATTGGAAAACTTCAAATTTAGAACTCCCATCCTCCCATCCACCTCATCTTGAAACACTCGACCTCATCGAAATCATAGGTGACTTTGCGATTGAAAATATACCACCAACCATCAAATATCTATCAATACTCTTGACCCTAGACATATCAAAAGGTCATCCAATCTATTCAATCGGCTCAAAAATACCCAAAACTATCACCTCCCAACAACAACAATGGTTACCAGTCAACACTACTCATCTCTAACTTGCGAAATTGACGCAAAGTACGGAGCTGGTAGAATGTATACAAAGTGTTGCATTTAGATTAGATGAAGTAATCAATCATACCAATGTTAGATATTTACGACTCAATATTGCCAATACATCAACCTATCATTTTACAATTCAAAGATTGGACAAGGATAATAGAAATGTATTGGTATTGGAAACACAATCACTTCAAGGTGGAATAATCACTCAGCAAAGAAAATCAAAAAATAATAATCAACGTCAACATCATCAACAACAACAACAACAACAATACCATCCCATTTATTTAAATTTGCTCGTTTCTGTCAATTCATTTAAATTAAAATGGAGCACTGAATTGGAGTAGATACTAGTAGTAGAATAAATTGATTGATCTGTGGCAGAGGATTTGAATAAATTAAATTAATTTAAAATGTGGCTAGCGATTATTAAATTTAATAATAATATTTAATCGTCCATTTAAAACAACGTATATCTCATGTCTCCAACTTAAATTAAAACATAAATCTTCAAATTTAATTAAATTAATATTAATATGAATGGAATTCCTTTCTCAAGAGTAAAAGTTTCTTAATTTTTTGTTGTTTCTTCATTATGACTAAGAGTCTATTATTACAGTTATCTAATTTATTACTATTACAAATCATAACATCTATTGACAGTAATGGAGATATTGTATGTTTATTGTTAACTTGTAAAAAGTTATTCAGTAATAGTGCTATAAGAAGATTGGTTAGTTTCAATCGTTTTGAAGCTATCAATACTGACAATGGATATGAATCAGAACAGTTTCAACAAACATCTACTAGATTCAACCTCAACTCATTTAAAGATATCTTGGAGAATAGTATATCTGATAGTCAGGTGATACTGTCTGATCAAAAATACAAAGACTATCCTCAACGAATGACTGCAAATAGAGACATAGCAGATAAAAGTGGTATTACAACTGCTTTGTTAAAGTACCTTCAAAAACCAATTTTAAATAGTGATTTAAAGTCACTCTACAACGAGATACCATCGATCGAGACTCTATTCATCCTGCATTTCGATAAAACCATTGTAGATCTTGGCTCCATTACAATGTTTCCTCGTCTCGAACGACTTGAAGTTCGTGCAAGAGAGTTGTTGAATCTTGGTCCTCCCCCAACTCTCAAGTCTCTAAAGCTAGATGTCTCCATTGACTCGCTAGCCGACTTGGGTCTCACCAAACTCGTATCATTGACAGAGCTGAGACTCCACCAGCATGGTGGTTCAGTGACAGATGTCGGACCGAATCTCTTGCCGACCAGTCTGACATTGCTATCTATCGTAGTGGTGGGGATCCCTCCAAGAGATGCATTCCTTTCATTGACATCGCTGGTGACCCTCGATATTCGCCTGACCCAGAATCGAATAGACCAAAAGGTGAAAGAACAACGATACATCGACCTTGATAGTCTATCCAACCTCAAGACACTCAAGCTCAATGATCGTAGTGTTCAGACATATGATAAAGATTTTTTAATCGAGATTAGTGTCCCTCCATCAATCAAGATTCTTAGATCCACATGTATACGAATCCCACCCCATTGCACAATGCCAATGTTGGAGAGGTTGAATGTGCTACAAATCGCATTGATCGAGGAAAGAATCAGTCTATTATCATTACCATTGATAAAGAAACTGGTTATTTTGGATTGCCAAGAAATCATGCCATCCAAAATCATTATCCCATCCAATGTCGAAAAACTCACAATCTATAAACACTCTAAAGAATATATACTTGGACAAGTTGTATTCCCACCATCACTGACTCATCTAACGGTCTTTGGAGACTATGAACCTATCCACCTCCCCGAATCACTCGTTAAATTAAAGAAGAGTATCAGAACTCCAATGTCATTTCCTCATCATTTGAAAAAACTGGTTTGGCAAATGGGTACGGATGACTATAATGATTATAGTTATATCAGAGATATAAAAATTTTGGTGTTGCCCTCCAACTATTCACCTCATCTTGAAACTCTTGACTTGACCTATATCAAAAAAAATACTATTATTAACATACCACCAATCACCAAATATCTTTTATTATACTTGGACCCAACGCTTGAATATTGTATGGGGTCAAATAATATTATATATTCAATCAGCTCAAGAATAACCGTAACCAATCCCAACAACCAATCACAATGGTTTCCACCCAATACAACTCATCTAACTTGCTACATAGGTCATCCCAGGAATACCCAAATCCAAATGGGTTATTTTAGATTAGATGAAGTGATCAATCAAACCAATGTTAGATATTTATCAATCGTTGTTTCTGAAAATACAACCTTTGAATTTTCAATTCAAAGATCAGACGCAGACAATCTAAATGTATTGGTATTAGAAACAAAGTCACTTCAAGGTGGAATAATCACTCAACATAGAAAATCTCTTCCACTACATCATCATCACCTATATGAAAGCAACATTTATTTACATACCAATAACGATCAACAACAAAAACAACAATATGATCCCATTTATTTACATTTTCTATTCAATCATTCATCTCCATTTGAATTGAAATGGTCGATTGATAAAAGAAGCTAACCTGTAGTATGAATTAAATAAAATGATTTTATTCAATGGTTGGTGAAAGAATAGTAGTTTTGGTAAAAATAATAATAAATTTAACAGACCCTTAACATTACACAACCATGTGATTCGACGTTATAGGCGACATAGGAATCTGAATAGGTACCAATGTCGGATTGTTGCCATAGGTCACGGACAGTGAGCTGAGTACCCTCTTGCACCCAGATATCTGCCCACTGCAACTCAATGTCTGCACTGTTAGTGTCAGTGTTGAACAATACGACAGCCTTGCTGCCATCGGCAAGTGGACGTGCCCATACTTGTTGGAGACCACCATTGTATGAACGAACCAAGGCTCCTTGCTTTCCTAAACTATCCTGATTAATAGCTATGACCTCTGGTGCCGTGAGAATAGACAATGTAGTCTGATCAATTGTTCTAAGATCATTACCAGCAATCAATGGAGCATTGAGAATACTCCATAAAGAGAAATGTGAAATATATTCGGTTGTTGTCATACCTCCATTACCAACTTCAAGCATATCTATTAAATTAAATTAAATTACATTAGTATTGTTCACTCTTATTGTATATTAATATTAAATTGATTGTATGATTTACCTGGATCATTCCAACCACCAACTTGAGAGAATGAAGATATTGGGATTTGTTGGTCGAGATTGCTAAGCATCGAAGCCCAATTATCCTTGATGTCTCCAGTGGTTCTCCAACTGTTACCAACACTGGCACCCCATTCCCATACGTTGGCAGTACCCCAACAACAGAGACTGAAAAAGATTGGTCTACCAGTAGAGTTTAATGCCTTTGACATGATTGTATATCTTTCCAATTGATCATCACCTTGAGTATTACACCAATCTTCTTTCAAGTAATCAATACCCTAAATCGATAATAATTAAATGAATAAATAAATTCGATGAGTGATTTTGATTGATTTGAACATTTACATACCCAGGAAGCATAAGTTTCAGCATCAATTTGTTCATAACCATAGGAACCTGGACGACCTTGACAGGTAGCAGTACCAGCATCAGTGTAAATACCAAGCTTTAATCCAAGAGAGTGAACATAATCGGCAATGTAAGCAATACCTTGTGGGAATTTAATGGGATCTGCCTGTACCACTCCACTTGAGTTTCTTGATACTGCCCAACAATCATCTAGATAATCGGAATTGTTACTATTAAATTAAATACTAGGTTCTTTTTTCGAGAGAGAATAAAACTATATATACCAATGTTAATATAACGATAACCAGCCTCTAACATTCCATTAGTGGCCATAGCCTTGGCTGTTTGCATGATGACAGTCTCATTAATATCACATCCAAAGTAGTTCCAACTATTCCAACCTAATTGAGGTGTATTGCCCAATCCATTATCTATATAAATAATAAACCAGATAGATTAGAGATAAACTATTAATGATTAGATGATGGAATAGTCGATCTATTATTATACATACCAATTGCATTGGTGATAGTAGCTACAAAAGCTAAAATAAAGATAAAAGAGATAAAATAAAGTTTCATTCCTCCTGTATAATTAAAGTGTTATTGGTTAGTTAATGCGAATGAAATGATTCTTAAATATCTGTTGACGGATGAAATGGAGTTCCATTGAGATTGCTGCTGCGGCCGCATAAATAAATTTAATTTAATGGTTTGGGAACTCGGAGCACACCTCTTCAAACCCGGGATTGAAAATATCTCCTCCTCGAGGTGTTCAACAAAATATCTTCTCCTCTCCTCTCCTAAAGAAGTAATCTATCTATCTAGTCTAATCTAATCTAAAATAACTATAGTAGTTTTGCGGAAAGTTAAATTTACAATACTTTATTATTACTACTATTATAACTATCAATTGGTAGGATTGTGTGTGATCGTAAAATCTATAAAATATTTGTTTGTTTGTTTGTAGATAATAAAGATTTGGTATGGGGGTTAATAACTGTTGTTATTGTGTTTTTGTTCATCATTCATTTACAATGAGGTCATTTCTCTCTTCTTCATCGTTTGATTCTTGTTGATGTTTTTGATTGATTGATTGGTTATTGATTGATTGATTGATTGATTGTACTCGTTCTGTTTTGTTTTGAATTGATTTGATTTACATACACTTATAAAAGAAGGATGATAATAAAGCTACCCATGGTTAAAAAAAAGGTGATATATAGAGAGGTTAGTTTAGGGCTTGGCTGGGAAGCAATCGGTAAATGCTCTACCGACGTGCTTGTTTTCAGCATGTAATCTCAACTCTGGTTCCTTGGCAGTGCACATGAAACTTTGTCTGCAAACGTTGCACATAATGTTCTTGGCAGCTTCGTTTGACTTTAATTGAGAGTGAGCCTTTGTCTCTCCAGCTGCTTTCTTTAAGTTTCTTTCACGCTTTTGTTGAGCTTTGGCACCGTTTCCTTTTTAATTGTAACGTAATGATGAGATTGATGATGATGATTAGTAACTCTAATCCTTTTAATTCTACTCTAATCTAATAATAATAATAACCTACCTGAAGGCATTCTGTTCTTTCTTTAAATATAGATAAATATAGATAAAATATAATAGAGTAGCAATGTGTGTAAAAGGTGAGAAAAACACTGACACAGAGAGGGTGATCGAGTGGGCCCTACCGCTTTTTTTTTTTTTTTTTTTTTTCTTGAATGATTCGTTATGTTTGTGAGTTTTATGGTTTACAACGAATAAGAGTAGTAATAATAATAAATTTTAAAAGTGTATTTTTTTTTATATTTTTTTATTTTGGGAATTCTTCTTCTGGTATTGTTTGTTGTTAAATAGATATCTTGTTTGGTTTGGTTTGATTTGATTTATGCTGTGGGGTTGATTTGGGGGTTAGTGGATGTTGGGATAGTAGTTGTTTGATATATGAGATGGAATTTGGTTGAGATGAGATGAGATGGGTGGGGTTAGTTGATTTGATTTGATTTGATGATATTTGGTTGAGGCGTGGCGATTTGAAAAATGATGGTGGTTTTGTTTGAGGCGAGGGTATATGTGCATTGATTTGGTTGATTGGTTGGTTGGTTGAGGCGAAAGTGATGATTATTTTGATTGTGATGATTTTGGTTGAGGCGTATATGTTTTGGGTGATGGGTGAGGAAAAAGGTTGGTTTCTAGGAGGAGAGAAGATGATTGATTTGTTGATAATTATCAAAAAATATTGATGTGGATAATGGTATTGTTGTTGAGTGTTTGTTGGGAATTGTTGTGTATATCTATTATTATTATCTATTGTTATCTATTATTATTATTGTTATTATTATTTTTTTGATTGATTGGATTTACTTTTTTTTTTTTGTTTGTTTTTTTTTTTTGATAATTACAATTGTCTACTTTTCATAGTTATTGTTGTGTACCTAATTGACGATGTATGAGGAGGATGAGGTGGAGGATGTGATGAGGAGGAGGAGGAGGAGGAGTAATGTGTATGACATTTGATTTTTATCCATCTGTCTTTCTTCTTATTCTCTCTCTCTCTCTCTCACTCTCTTACTTATTGTTGTTGCTGTTGTTGTTGTTGTTGATGTTGTTGATTTTTTGGTGCAGCTGGGATGACAGAAGAATTGCTAAATGATAGACGAATGTTTGAACCTTGAACTGGAGCATTATTGACAATGGCAAGAGCTTCCAAGGCATGTTGAACAGATGCGAATTCCAATAGACCAACAATCTTGTCGTTTGATCTGGCGGGCACTGCAGGTGAGGCAGAGGCAGCAGAGGTGGTTGTCGCAGATTGTACAACACCATTGGTGGTGGTGGTGGCGGCACCAGCGGTGGTTGATGTGGTCGAAGTAGTGCTGGTACCAGGGGAGGAGGAGGAGGGGGTGGAGGTGGAAGAATTATTATTATCTGCTGCTACCTGTTGTTGCAAGGTAAATGTTTTAAAAGCAATTGGTATATGGGTGTTCATCGAAGCAAAGAGGTGTTGGAATGTCGATTCTGTGAAGTCTTTTGGTACATTTGAAAAGTATAGGGTTTGCGAGGGCTTGTAGAGATGCTTGTACGTCGAGATGGAGTGCGAGAATCTCTTGAATGGGGTGTGGGTGTAGTTGCGACTGTTGGTGACCGATTCGGGGTTGCTCGAGTCGGTGATGGTATCGTGCTTGGAGCACATGACATTGAGTGGTTGGCCAAACAGAGTGATCTGATTGTAGTAGTTGATGATGGCGTCGGCCTGCAAAGCATCCTCCATCTGCACCATGACACTATGGCCACTCTTGACAATCTTGATCTTTTGCACGTTGCCATAGATACACGACAAGTTAAAGATACGGTCATAGCTCATACTCTCAACCAATCCATAAATCATCACGGTACTACGCGGTGAAATGGCAAGAGAGTTTTTGTCAGGATTCTGTTGTTGTTGAATTTGTGGTTGGTGGTGTCTTGATGGTCCAAATGAATTATTACCACTATGGTGGTGGTTGTTGTTGTTGTAGGAAGATGAATTACCTCCACCAACAAGACGACTTCGTACTGGTGGTGCTGCTAAACCTTGTGGTGGTGGTTGCGCAATACCTGTTCGTCCATTAGTTATTGGGATGCCATTGTTGCTATTGTTGTTAATGCTATTATTGTTGTTGTTGTTGTTGTTACCATTAGTTTTATAATAGGAAGGAGGGTTTTCGCTTGGAAGATTCTTGGTATAGTCACGAGTGCGGTCATTGTTTAATGTGACATTGAGACGATCGACCTTTGAAATCTCGATTCTGAGTACACAATAGCCGCCTTGGTACAACATTGCACCTTGCAAGAGCTTCTTGGCATGGAATGCTAGTTCGGGACTGCTATATTCAACCAATGCTTGCAAGTTGACGGACTTGTTAAAGATGACAATACGCAACACTTCGCCATAGAGTGAGAAAAAGTGATTCAAAAGATCGACATTGACTGTCATGGTAGCATTCTCGATTGTACACAGTAAAATATTACCAATTGGACGATTATTTATCGTTTTACTATTGGAATATTCAAATTGAAGTGGTTTGCCATGGAATATAATCGGTGTTTCCCTTGCAAATGCAATGATTCTAGATGCTGTCTCTACTGAATCAGTTTCAACCAATGCTTGTAATTTACCTAAAATTTTTACTATAAAGTATAATAAGAAAATTGTTAGAAAAGTGTATAGATATATATATATATGTCTTTTCTTTTTCTTTTTTTACCTGCTACAATTGGTCTTCCAAAACTATATCCTTTAACAAAAGCCAATAATTCTTGTTCTGTTGCTTCAGCTGGTACTGATCTAATATATAATACAGCAGATGGACTAAAATATCAAATCCAAAGGTAGGTGTTAGTTTTTTCGATGATGATTCTGATGATTTGGTATAAACACCATCTTTTAAGTACTTACCCTTCAAAACTATTGCGATTATTATTATTTTTATTATTGTTATTGTTATTGTTATTGTTATTATTATTATTGTTATTGTTATTGTTATTGTTGTTATTGTTATTGATATTATTGTTATTGTTATTGATATTCATTTTTGTGTGTTGTGTATTATTATTATTATTAAATAATGATGATTATGTTCGTTATGTTATATTATACTGGGTATTATTATTATTAAGTTGTACAACGATATATCTGGATGCTATGTTATAAAGAGAGGTTGATAAATGTGTGATGAGTGATGATGATGGATAATATAATATAATTTTATATTATTTTGAAATCTGTTGGTTTAAGTTTTAGTTTAATGATCTTGTTACTAATTATTATTATTATTATTATTATTATTATTATTATTGCTAATGATAAAATGGAGTGAGGGAATGAAGAAAGTCGTTGTATGTGAGTGATGGTGATGTAAGAGTTATTGTCGTTGTTGTAAAAGTGATGGTAAGGAGAGAGGTAGGTAGGTAGGTATGGTTAAGGGTAGTTGAGTGTTGAATGTTTGTTGAGGTCTCTCTCTCCTGTGTCCTAGTCGGTTTGTTATCTATAGTGTCTTAGATATCTGATGAAATCACTTGTTGTTGTTGTTGTCTAGTTGCTTATCTTATCTTATCTTATCTTTTTTGTATGTATAGATCTGTAAAAGAGAAATAGAATATTTAAATATAAATATATAATACAAAGTATAATGATATAGTAGAGAGAATAAATAAAAAAAAAAAGACACAAACACAAACAGACACAAACAACCTATACTATAAAGTAGTATCTAGGGCTAGCTGCAGATGATGAAGATGAAACAAATAAAAGATATAGTGGTGGCACAGCTGCTGTCTAGAATCGAGTTGGGTTGTGTAAAAATCATCCTCACCATCACCTGATGCGTGTGGTGGTTATTATTCATTCATTCATTCATCCATTCATTCATTGCAGGGTGGTCGACCCTTTTCAATAAAAAATGATGATGCGAACAAATAAGAATGGGGAAAAAGGAGTGTAGTGGGGAGACACAACAAGCTCATTGGTTGTTGACTTATGACTTACTGTGATATGATAAACTAACTGTTTTGTCTGTCTGTCTGTCTTATTATGATAAAAACTAAAAACTAAATAACTATGCAGACAACGTTGCTTGCTTGCTTGTTTACAATAACTCTTATAGTCTTTAAAAAAAAGTTATTTTAAATTGTTGTTGTTGTTGTTGTTGTGATGGCCTCTGTCTCTGCTGTCTCCCTTATTATTGTCAGTCAGTGTAAGCAAAGAGTGGGGTGGGGGGTTGGGTGCCCAGCTCATGACGGAATGTCATATGAGGGGGGGTCTATATAGGCCAGCCTCAAGGTACTCTCAACAAAAACAATGCGGCGGTGTGCTCAATTCAAAAATTTTAGAGTAAATATAGTAACAGTGTCGGACAAAAGAGGGTTGCTGGTGGTTCATGTCAGCGTGTTAGGGATGCGATCACATGTTGCTAGTGAGGGACCTCGAGGGCCAAACCCGCGATATTGGCGCCCCAAAATTTTTTTTTTTCGATAACCTTTTTCGAGATGTAACATCATTGGTTTTAATGATGAAATGAATCGATGGAATGGCTGGTTGATTGGTTGATTGGATGGATGGGTCGAATCAACAGTAACAACACAAAAAACAAACCTACGTAGTTGATCGTGATGCAAAAGTGAACTGGTCGGTCGTTTCGATGGATGGGAAAATATCTTTTCAAGATATACCGAGGAGGAGAGTTAATTGGTTTGGTTTGGTTGGATTGATTGATTGGTTTGGTTTGAGTTGAGAGAGGATTGAGATGGGTGGAAGGATGGAAGGATAGAGGATAGATGAAAGGTGAAACAAGTAGTTGTGTTTAAATGATAAATGAAATAAAATGATCATGTTGTGTGATCGTTTTTATGACATCGATTTTGTAAAGTCAATGATCGATTTAAATTAATACATTCTAGGTTGGATCGTTCGACGGGTTGTGTGGAGTTAGTAGTGGGTGGGCAGGGAGATGTGTAGAGGGGGGTAAGGGTTGGATGAAAAACCAATTTTTGAGTGACGATGAGGATGTCTGTATGACCATTTTGAATTTATATATACTTGTTATCCCCATAGCCTATAATAACAATGTAATGAGGTGGTGGTGGTCAAGTGTATTTCATATATGTTCATCAAACAAACAACATCATCAATCAATCAATCAATCAGTCAATGACCTCTCCCTTGCATCGATCGTTTCACATTCCTTCTCCCCTCACCTCACCTCTCCTTTCCTTTCCTCTCCTCATGTGATTGCAGTCTTGATTAATCTCTTCTTCACATTCATACAACAAATAATTGTAGAACAAAAAAAATCAGTGCCTTCTGTTTTATGCCTTCTATTTTGTTTGTGTGCATATGATATGTGATGTGATTGACAATATACATAAATGTATGTTTGTCGTGTTTATATTAGTTAAATCTGGTGATTAACGATTATTTGGTGATCGTGGTGGTTGGTTGTTGTTAATAAGGGGATGAGCTAGCAAGAGGAATGGTTGTGACTATGGCTACATATCCATACATCCATACATCCATACATCCATACATCCATACATCCATACATCCATACATCCATACATACATCCAATACAAATATATTATATAATATAACACAATGTGATTATATATATATGTAAATAATAATTATTTAATATGTATAAGGATGGATAGATAGATATTTACAAGATGTGTGTTTTGTGAGATTTGCTCTATCAATACTATAATTTATAATATATAATAATATTTACTTTTGACTGTTGTTCAACTATAGTTAGTTCGTTAGTATAGTAGTATATTAATAATACAAAAAGTGGTGTTATGTGTTGTTGTGGTCGTTATTGTTGTTATTGTTGGTATAACTCTTCCTTTTATATATATATATATCTAGTCAATGTGTGTTGTACATGCGTTGATGATTGATTATGTTGGATGCATTACACTACAAACAACCTCTATCATGATCAATCCTTCTTCTTCTTTGTTTTATTCAAAATGATGAAATTGTCAAAAGAGAAGCCACCTTTTTTAGGCAAACGCATCAAAGGGTCATCTAATTTTTCAAGGGGTATGGTATCTTTAAAATCCTCTCTAATTTTGGTTTTTTTTCAACAGACAGGGAGGAGGAGAATGAATGTTGTGTTGTGATGGGTAGCCAGCTAGATAACGTGACAATATTAATAAAAAAAGGTTGTCTATCCAATCCATCCTACGTTGCTATTGATTGAGTGTTTGTTTTGATTGCATGGCGACACACTTGACCAGATAAAAGAAAAGAAGAATTGCGGGCTGCTACGGGTGGATTTATTTATCACCACCACAACTTAAGGTTTGGATCGTAGGAAGGGATAGGGATAGGACCTTCACTTTAATTCTTGTTTGTGGATGTTGTGTGGTTTTGGGCTGGGGCACTGCCCAACCTATGAATCTCTGAATTGATTCTGATTCTTCAATTTCGATCAACCTTTTCTTTAAAATGTGATTGATTGATTGATTTACTGACAACAGAGGTAATTATCATATATATGATTGATTATTCTGTTGTTGTACAATTTAGAAAAATAAAATCTTTATAAACAAAATTTGCATTAATGCAGGTCTGTCGAGTGTAGTTAATGTTTGTATTAATGCAATTGTAAAAGCATATCATTACAATTGAACCATCACAATTTGTGTAATCACTGTTTTGATACAAGTTGTTGCAACGTTGGTTGTTTCAAGTTGTAAAAGGTCCATCAACAAACAACCCAAGTTGTCAACACAAGTCTATTAATAATAATAATAATAATTTAACATTGCAGTACTATTTTCAAAGATTCTTTGTTGACATGTGTGTGTGATTGAGGTGAATAAAGCGTCACATCCGACGACGCTCAGAAAGCCGATGCTCTTTGTCGCACAGGAGAGGAGAGAGCAGAGAGAGTGATCTGGGGTCGAGAAAAAAAAAAAAAAAAAAACTGATCTTATTTGAACGGGGGTCTTCTTCTTGTTTCCTCATCCTCCACATTACTTATTTATTATTTATTTAACAAACAAACACATACAGAACAGATATAGATCTACATATATATATTATTTATTGATTATTAGTTTAATCACCAACACCCCTCACTCACACACACAATTGTAATATTAGGATCAACAACAACAACAACAACAACAACAAAGAAAAGAATCAACCCACTAACCCTCAATTCGAAAAAGGTATTGGTCCTGTGAATCTTGAGTCTTGATACCTACCATACATTACTAACTCTTTCTCTTTCTCTCTCTCTCTACCATCCATCAAACTATCTTATCTAAACTCAAAAGTGTAATATTAGTCAAACAAACAAAACAAAACAAACAAACAAACAAACAACCTAGTAAAACCAAAACTATCACGACGAATACAATATAGATAGAAAGATACAGAAACACGAGAAGAGGAACAAACAATAGTACTTACTATTGTATAGAGAGAAGAAATAGTTTAGCAGTCGAAAGGTATGTGAATAACAAGCAACAAGCAAACAACAACAAACCATATCTCATCGTGATAATATGTACGATGGTTATGATAAATGATAGAAACATGTTAACAACAATGCATTTCAACCAACCTTTCAATTGTACAATCGCATTGATTCGACTTTTGATTTGATTTGAATTGGATAGGTTGTTGCATGCATGCATGGTTAGAACAACCCATCCACCACTCATTCAGAATGTTGCAACACAAATCTAATTACTATCACTATGGTGTGTGTGTGTGTGTGTGGTATGGTATTGACTGCAAGTGTTGCACGTGGTGTTGGTGGAGGGGGGGTATGTCAGTTTTAAAAGAAGGATGACTATGACACACAGTGAGAGAGAGAGAGAGAGAGAGATACAAGGAGAGAATGACAGATAGATAGATAGATAGACAGACTATTATAATCCACATAAATCGTTTATATTTTTTTTGTGCTGTATATATGTTGTTGACAGGTTCTTAAAAGTGTGGTTTTAAATATATATTATATGTATCACACACGGTACCAAGATATACATATTATTTTCCACAATTACCGCACACGCTAAACCAAACCAACCAAATCAACCAAATCAATCAAATTATACACAACTTTCCATAGTTGTTCATTCCCCTTTTCTCTTCTCTCTCTTTCCTATTTCCATCCATTATTATCATCATCATCATCTCTTTTTATATTTGTTTAAAATAATATATATATATATATAATCACTATCACTTTTTTGTTTCTCTAAATATAGTACCATCAAACAATTAAATATTGTTATCTATCTTTTCCATTAATTAATCAAATTCCATCCATCCATCAAAATAATCAATCACACTAATCTTTTTATTTTTTTTAATTGATTCCTTTAATTTGGGGTATCACAACTACTACTACTACTACTAATCAATATCAACCCATTGTCATATTTGGTCATTTATCTATTTTTTTGGATTTATTCCCCTTTTCGTTGTTTGTGAAATTATTATTATCTCTGTTCAATACCTCCCCTCCCCTCATTCTCATTCTTCATTCTTCTTGTTATTATTATCATCATCATATCATTCTATTTATTTGATCATCAAATAATTATCATCAATATCATTATTATCATTCGAAAATGAATCAAATCATTTATTTAAAACAAAGATATCGTAGATATTCAACGTTGTTATTAACCAAGATTAATCATATTAAAGACACCTCGAGTAAGAGATTTAGTCAACATTACAATCATAACAATCAAAATAATAATAACCAAGACGACTACGACGACGACGATAATATAATAATGGAAGAACCAAAAGAACTGGAAACGCAAGGACAATTACCTGATGGTGACAATGCAGATGCTGGATCCGTCACCGGTGATGAAGATATCAATGATAATGCTAGCGAAAAGAATATGAATGATGTTGCAGCAGGAGAAGAAACAACATCTGATAATGAAGAAGGTGATAATACTGGCAAGACAAATAATAATAATGATACACCAGGCGACAAGAAACAAAACAACAAAAAGGATCAAAAGAAATTTGAAAAGGAAGAAAAGGAACGTTTAAAACGTGAGGAAAAAGAGGAAAAGGAGAGAGTCAAACGTGAGGAAAAAGAAAGAATCGAAAGAGAAAAAGAGGAAAAGGAACGAGCCAAGCGCGAGGAAAAGGAACGTTTACGATTAGAAAAAGAGGAAAAGGAGCGTCTCAAACAACAACAAAAGAATGCTGGTGGAAGTAGCTCTGGATTTTTAAAGTTTAAAAGAGAGCCATCGCAAATCAACATTGTCAGAGATAGTTCTCCCTCGTCTTCACCATATGGTTCAACTCTTGACCTTCATGAAAATATCAACAAGGATGAAATAGCTACACTCACACAATCACCATCGACATCTTCATTGGATGAGACGACTGGTGCTAGTAGTGGTGGTGGTGGCGGAGGTGACGCAGTTGCCAACAAAGACCAAGACACAAATAGCAGTGAAATCACAGATGAAGCTGTATCTTCAGAGGATGGTAATATCTCTTCTGGTGCAGCTAGTCCATCTGTATCACCTGCTCCACCTGCCACTGTAGTAGCAGCTGCTCCCACACCCACACCAGAAGTCACATCACCACAAGGAAAAGGTGGAAATAAGCGTGACCAAGTTGTCATCAAAGTAACACGTGCATTTGCTCCAGTCGTACATCAAAACGTTCTCGAGGAAACTGGTGAAACCAAAATGAGAAACAAAGTAATCAATGAAATCATCAATACTGAAAAGGATTATATTTCAGATCTTAAAGTTATTATTAATGTAAATATAATACATTTCAAACAAATCAAACAAATAATTTATAATATATATATTAATATATTTTATTTCTCTCTTTTTTTAGGTTATTTATACACCATTAAAAGAATCAAAAATATTACAAGAAAAGGATATAAGTACAATATTTTCAAATGTACAATTCTTGTTGAGTGTAAATGAAGTGTTGTTGGCGGATTTGGAAAAGGCGGCCAATGAGAATTTGGGTGCTTCGATTGGCCCATGTTTTAGATACCTTGCCGACTATCTCAAGATTTACTCGTCGTATTGCTCCAACCAGCAGATTTCACACGAGCACTTGATACAGTGCTCCAAAAAGAACCCATCGTTTAAACAGTTTCTCGACGAGAAGCAGGCGTTGCCCGAGTGCCGTCAGTGCCATCTCGACTCGTTTTTGATCAAGCCAATCCAACGTCTATGTAAATATCCCCTCCTCATCCGTGAACTCATCAAAAACAGCGATGAGAAGCACCCCGATCTGCCATCGCTCGAGGGTGCCTATGCCAAGATCCAGGCCGTCGTCTTGCTGGTCAACGAGAGCAAGCGCAAGGCCGAGGTGCAACAGCAAATGTGGAAGATCCACGAGCAGCTCGAGACATCGGAGAAATTTGACTTTTTGACGCCTACGCGTTACCTCTTGCGCGAGGACACGCTTCGCGAGCTGACCGAGGATAGAACGGCCGTCGCTGGTCGCAGCCATTACTACCTGTTCAACGATATCATCATGCGTACGAAAAAGGACAAAAAGTCAATCAAGCTCGAGACGCTCTTTGTCGTTGCGTCGATCACCATCAACGATGTTGAGAACCGCAGCTCGCACTTTTGCAACACATTCGAGTTGGCGCAGATGGGTAGCGCCGGTCGCAAGTTCACTCTCATGTTTGACACGTACGAGCAAAAGATGGAATGGATGACCGAGATTGAAACACTCATCCGTCCCTACAAGGAAGAATCGATGCGTGAGTATGAAAAAATGCTCGATGAATTTGAACCTGGGGGTAAGCTCAAACGCAGCACTATCGCCAGCTCCAACCCTGCCACTCAAGCACAAGACCCGTCACCCAAGTCACTCTCGCGATCAGTCACTGCCAATGTCCTGGCCAACACCTCTTCCAAACATCTACCTTCTGTCCCCTCCAAACCTCTTCCCCCACCACCACCCAAATCAAAATCAGTTGCCAATATTTCAGAGGTAGTCGTTACACAACCAGCAGTGGTTGTAGTTCCTGAAGAAGTTGTAGAGCCAGAGGTGGTAGTTGATACTACACCCAAACCACCCTTTTCAAAACCAAAACCACCCGCAGGATCAACATTTAAAAAGATTGTTGCACCTCCCAGACCAACCTCGTCGCCCGTGACTCCAACTGCTACTCCTACATCTACTACACCGACTGACTCCCCAACCTCTTCACCTGCGCCAAGACCGGTTCTCAAGCCAAGACCAATGTCGGCGGTTAATTCCAATTCACCAGCCAATTCGACCACACCAACCGACTCGCCGTCCAATCCAAACAGAGGAAGACCATTACCATCTCCATCGCCAGCGCCATCTCCATCATCAGCACCAAATACACCAACTGTTGCACCAGCAAAAATATCACCTCGTCCAACTTCACAACAATTACCGTTACATTCTGATGCTACCCCACCCATCCCAACTAGACCAACCTCTGCTATCATCAACAAACCAAGCGCTGCAGTATCATCTACAAACAATGGAGAGGATGATGACGAATCTACACCACCAGTCCCAACGATCAAATTCCCAAAGGGAGCAGCTGGTTTTAAACAAATGGCAGGTTATTCTCCCAGTTCATCCAAATCCTATTCTACGTTTTCATCACCAAAGTCTGCACCTGTAGTCTCTGACAATGGTCCACAAAGAGCTCAAGACGACTCATTTAGACCAACACCCCAAACCAGACCACCAGTCCTCCCACCCACCCAATCATCAGAGTCTAACGTTTCCCGTGTTATGCCACTTCCACCTGGAGGAGCTCCCGCCCGTTCAACATCGATGAATTTTAGTACCAATAACGATTCTTCTTCTTCTTTCTCTCCACAAGGCAAGTCAGTTGCCCCTCCATCATCAACAGGAACAGTTCCTATTCCACCACCACGTAATCCAGTACCAAGAAAGTAAAATCATAAGTACTTTTTTTTTTTTTCCTCCTCCTCCCTCCCCTATACACAGTAACAATAATAATGTTCAATTAGAAGAAGAAGATCGATAGATAGATAGATATATTTAATATTAATATTAATAATAATAATTTAAACAAATTGGATCAGATTATCCTTTTTGCTCACTCACCCCCTATATATACCCGGCACAATCATCATCATTATCGGTTATCTAACATATGGATTTGTATTTTTAATCAATAAACCTTCAATGATGGCCCCTTCCAAGTTTTGCAACTTGGTAACCACCAAAAACCCTATTTATATTAACACATACCAGGCAGGCAACCCATATGCGATATTTTAAAGAGAGATATTAAAAAATATCCAATTATTTTAATTTCTTTTGCAATCATGATGGGGAAATTTCTTCGGGCGAAGCACGGAAGAAGAATCGCCTGCCCGAGGGTTTCAAACACTCACTATATTATTAAAATAGTAGTTCAAACAAAAGAGAGAGAGATAAGAAAGAAAGAAATGATAAAATATTATTTTAATCTTTTAATCATCTTTTTGATCTTTAATAATGTGATTTCACAAAATATGCCCCAACCTGAATGTATGTAAAAAACACAATTAAATTGTAGTGCAATGGTTCAAGTGGTGGGGGTTTGTGAATGATAATAATAACACTATATTTTTATTTGCTATCTTCTCTGCGCTCTTTTTAATATATTATAGTACAATCAGCACAATGGCTCATCAAACAATATGGATCTGGTATTGGACAAATAGAATCATCGATATGTGCATCAACACCAATGTTTAAATGTGCAGTCATTAATGGAGTAAATCATATTACAGAGATGTATGTTAATTAATTTGTGTTTGAACGCAGACATGAATTAAGAATTTGATTGCTAATCTATCTATCTACTTACCTATTTATTATTTATTTGTATCACACATGTATGCAGAGATATGACAATTCCCACAGTTGTAAACACTGGAGCACCTCTATCTACTACTGTTTTCAACTTTCCAGAACTAATTAGTTTCAAAGTTCGAGGTGATGAAATGAATGGGTATATTGGTGACATTAACCAAAACACTATTTTAAAATTCAAAGATCTTCCAAAACTACTTAGTATCGCGTATGTTTTGTTGTTTAAACAAACAATCTCTTGGAACCAACTAATTAACTAATGAACTATATATGTTGTTTATAAACTCTTATAGAATTTCATCAGATAAATCATTTGTAACAGTGCCAAGTGATTTCCCAGTCAATTATAATCTAACAGCACTCACAAAGGTTGATTTTGGAGCTTCTCCCATTGCATCGATTCCAGGATTCTTTAATCACTCGTCTCTTCAAGTTATACAATTGACAAACTTGCCTCAACTAACATCAATCACACTCGACTCGTATACACGGCTTCCAAAGGCTGGATTATTGATTATCCACGTGAACCCTGTCACTCCTCTAACACTTGATCTTCAACAAGCTAGTATACCACTACTATATATGCTGTAAGTGTTGCAACAGTCAATTAACCTCAACTCATTATAATTAACAATCTACTAATTACAATATAATAATTTATTTTTGTCTACATAAAGTTTAATGACTAATACTGGTTCTGGAATCATTAATGTTAATTTGAATATTTCAAATTCTCTTGCAACGTTAGTATTTAATTATATATATATATATATATATATATATAAACTCCAACTAAAAACTATGATTTATTAACATCAACAACAACAACAACAACATTGTCTAGATCATTTAACACTGTAACAGGTGCATATCATATAAATGCTATTGACTATTCAAAAATAAATGAATTGTAAGTAACCAACCAACCAAAGGTTTTGTGATGAGTAGGAATTAATTAACTAATAATCCAATTAATATTTTGATTTTACAAATGAATGTTGTAGAGCTTTATATGGCATAACTTCAACAGTGACACCAGACCCAATAACTTGGCCAAGTTTAAGAACTTGGTATGATAGCAATTTAGGGTTTTGATCCTGTCCATTTAATATTAATGTCGTTTTTATTTTTTATCTAGGAGATATTTTTATACATTACTATCAACCTATCCCTTTTCAGTATTTCCTCCACAATTACTAGTCTTTGGATTAATCAATTCAGCAGCGATATCTATTCCCACCAACATCCCACTATCCTCTGAACTCAAGGCATTGTAATTATTATTATTAACAATTAATTATCCCAATTATGATATGATCTAACCACAAACATTTTCAATATATATATATTTATATATATATATAGAGTAATTGCACAAAGTCAAATTACAGGTCCAGTGCCATGGGAATATTTTGAAAATCAAGGATCAATGTTTTTCATAGATATATCGGGTAACCCTGGAATCACCGGTGTTGTACCTCCTTCCATGTGTTCGTTCAGGCTATATGCTCTAAACACTGGAATCACAGATCTCCCAGATTGTTTTTATTGTTATAAAAGCTCTCTTAAAAGTATTATTCAAACAGACCTCTCTGTTCCAACTAATTTCCAATGCAGTATGTAATTCAAACAAACAACAACAAATATAGATTTCATGTTTAATTTATTCTAATCAATTTTTGATTTTATCCTAGATATAACGATTACCCAGTATACATTAATATTTGTTTTTGGAAAGTCAATGATCCAAGGTCATAATATTGGGTATGGATCTGATACTGGTAGATTTAAATTGGACCCAATCCGTGCAAACGAATTATTAACGTAAGTATGCTATATTTAAATATCTAACCAAACAACTAACCAACTAAAAAATCATCTATATTATTTATACATTTAAAAAATAGGGTTACAGATTCTATTCCACCTCCAACACCTCTTCCAATGTTTGATGTTACAATCCAATTGGATGCCAGTTACCCTCAGTATAATTTTACATTCTCATACCTTGAGGTTGGGTTTATTGTTAGTAATCAAATTCTCCTTACGTTCTTTCCACAGGGTCGAGTTTTATTCAGTATTCCTTACTCGAAAATACAATTAACCGTTTCTCATGTTGTTAGTATCAATGAATCTTTGACACTCCTTCCTACAATAGTTGGAGGTGGCTATATCAACTTTACATTGACAACACCAAATGATGGACAATCATCCATTCTCGTCTCAAATGATTACTTTTATTCTGGTCCTTTATCATATCTTTATACTCAAAGTATGTTCTATCTTTACTTTCCAACAACAACAACAACTTTACTTATTATTATTATTATTTTTCTAAATAATCGAATCTAGAATACCCAATTATATCTTCAATAGATCATGTAATGTTACCACAGATTGGTAGTGATTTTACATTCTCAGGTTTGTTTGGAAGTATTTTGGATATTAGTACAGCACTTGTTTATTTCAATGGTGATGCTACGATATGTAAAGTTGTGTCGATGAATGGAAACAATATGGTGTGTAGAGTACAAAATAATTTCAAAGGAGGTGTGACAGCTATATCGACCAGTGTCGATGGATTCACTTCTAGGTCTACCTATGGACTCAATTTAAAGACTCCATATTCCGAGTGTCAACAATTCAATACTGCTTGTCAACTACATGGACAATGTAATATAGATGGTCAATGTCAATGTGATACAGGTTACTATGGTGTAAATTGTACAATTGGTTATCCAAAATTAACTTCTGGTAGTTATGTAGATAACACAACAACTAGAATCATTAGTTTGTTTGGTGATTTTAGTCTAGAGCCATCAAATGTTACCATTACAGTTAATGGTACTTGGACATGTACACCGTTGGTTACTTTACCAACTATGGTTAATTGTACCATTCAACCAATTCCAACAACAACTGGGTTAGTGTCGGTTGATATTAGTGTCAATGGTTCAACAAATAATGCAAAAGGGTTTATTTTATTCCGTCCCATTCCAACCACTCCATCCTCTTCTGAACAATCATTGGACTCTTCAAGCTCTGATTCATCAGAGACACCAATCAATCAATGTCCAAATAATTGTTTTGGTCATGGTGAATGTATCAATTCAAAATGTAAATGTTTTGAAGGATACAATGTACAAGATAATTGTTTGACAAAGATAATCAATAATACAATCACACCCAATACAACAGCACCAACAACATCATTTGATATTGATGGAGTCGATTTCCAATTTGAAATTGTTGCCATTCAAGAAATAGATGTTGACAGTAATATTGTTCAAGAATTATTGACTGATAAATGGAATGCAACCATTTACAATGACACTCAAACAACCACAGTCAACTATCAACTAAATACTACATCAACAACAGTAGCAGCAACTACAATGGTCAGTGCAACGATATCATTCTCATCACAACCAAGAGATATTCCATTTGGATTAGAGACATTACATATCAACGCCAACAGTATCAAAGTATCAGTGAATATCAGTGATTGGCAATACCAATCATTCTTGACAACACTACGAGTAATATTCAAAACCACACTATCAAAAGATCAATCATTTGAATTTGATTGTCAACAACAACAAATCGACAGTCTTCAATTCGATCAATTGTCATCATCGATTCAATATCTCAGAGTTGTCAAAGATAATATTCAATTCACCGGTCGATTCATTGATTATGTATTGTCAGATGGTAGACCATCATTTTCAAAGACATATTTAATCAATCAAACAGACAACCAAGACAATGATCAGATGACAACCATATTAATTGGAATCAGTACACCACAATGTCAATCATGTATTTTAGACCCAGATTTCACACCATTATTAATCGACAAGAGTGAAGATTCTGGTTGTGAAAAGAAATCAAATGCATGGAGAATAGCTGTTGGTGTATCTATTGGTGGTGCTGCTCTCCTTGCTGCTGCATTTGTTGTATTTAAATATAGATACAATATTGCCAAAAAGGCAAAAGCTGTAAAATCACTCCAAAGAAAACTACAAAAGTTTGAAGGTTAATTAAATCAATAATAATAATTATAAATAAATAAATAAATAATGTATTACAAGGCTAAATAAAGAAATAAAAAAAAAGGAAGCAAAGATCTTCTCAACAGGTAATATGCGCCGTGTGGCATCGCCTGCTTTTCAAAGATATTTATATAAAATCCATCAGATATTCAATTTCATTGGCGAGCTTCTTCCACGGTGGCTTGTTTTGTATTGATGCATTCTTACAACCCTCGTTTCTATGTACAGATAGAATTTATTTATTACATAATGATAAAATATAATCACTATCATAGTGTTTTATTCTTTTATTTCACAGTGGTGGTGTTGATCACCACTATTAGTCGTGTGGGGTTAGTTCGATCACAATCACTATCACCGACAGAACGTAAGATTTACCACAATGCAAACACACCCCTTCCCTCACTATTAATTAATTATGAAGTTATATAAATTAAATTCTCATTCGATTATTCTTTTTTTTATTTATTATTTATTTATTTTATATTATTTAGTTGCATCAGCTCAATGGGTAATACAACAATATGGATTAGCTATTTCACCACCTGATGAAGCCACAATTTGTGCAGCAACATCGTTTACATGTATAATAGATAATGGAGAAAAGCATATCACTATAATGTATGTTGATAGATATAGGTTAATCATATCATATCTTATTTATTAACTTTATGATTATGTGTAATTATATATAGATCGTTCCCAGGTAGCACATACACACCATCAGGAGCACCAATTGATGGAACTGTATTTGATTTTCCAGAGTTACGAACTTTTAGTGCCACTGCCAATTTTGGTAACATTGCTGACGTCAACCAAAACTCTTTATTGAAAATCAAAAACTTACCAAAATTAACAACACTACTGTATGTTTGTGTGTGTATGTGTAATATTGATATGAATATTAATAATACATTCAACTATATTATTTGTTTTATAGGTTCCGAAACGATTTATCGATTACAACGATACCAACCGATTTTCCAGTGGCCTATGGACTCGCTTCATTAGCTGATTTATCATTGTTCAGTCTCCCATTTGCCTCAGTTCCAGGGTTTTTCAACCATAGCGCCATAAAGACAATTCAAATGGCAAATTTGGTCAATCTACAGACTCTTCCAATAGACCGATTCATCCGACTTCGAAACATAACATATTTGTCCATTGATTTAAAACCCTCTCAACTAACAATCGATTTTTCTAACCTATCATTTCCCGCCCTTACTATTTTGTAAGTAAATCAATCAATCAATCAATCAATCAATCAATCAATTAATTAATCAGTATACACACGAAAAAATAAATAATTAATTTCATTTATTCATATTTAATCTATAGGGCGGTTTCATTGACAAGTGGAGTTTTAAATGTCAATTTGAACTTGCCTTCTATTGGCTCATCCGTTGCATTTACCACATCAACTGGTACATACAATGTAAATGTGGTCAACACGACCACCATTAAATCATTGTAAGATAATATCAACATCAATATCAGAACACCCTACCTACCCTACCACCCTTGTTTATTTCCTTATTCATTTATCTGAATTTAATTTAATTTTATTTAGAATTATTTATGGAGATGCTTCAACAGTTACACCCGATCCAGCAACATGGCCTAATTTGGAGGCTTGGTATGTTTAATTAATCTAATTTCAAGCAAGCTCAAATATTCTTTTCTCAAAACTAACCTATATTGTTTTTTTTTTTTTTTATAAAAAAAAGGACAATTGGAGGCAATGCAAGTCTCACTACCTACCCCTTTAGTCAGTTTCCAGACAAACTAAAAACCTTTTCAATCTTAAATTCACCAATGTCGTCTATTCCCACAAACATTCCTCTTAACCCTGGTCTTATGAATTTGTATGTTGTACTTGCATTCAAATCCATTATTTAATTTAGACCATCATTTGTATTTATTCTTTTCTTTTTCTTTTTCTTTTCTTTTCTTTTCTTTTCTTTTCTTTTCTTTTCTTTTCTTTTCTTTTCTTTTCTTTTCTTTTCTTTTCTTTTCTTAGAGGACTTCAATCACTTCAGCTCACTGGTGAACAACCATGGTCATATTTTACAAATCAACCATCTGGGTTTAAATTAGTTTTATCAACAAACCAAGGTATCACTGGTACTGTTCCAGCTTCCATGTGTCCCTATTCCCTTCAAATCTATTCAACTGGAATTACTGCTCTGCCAGATTGTTATAATTGCTATTTTAACTCTCAAAAGGGTATCATTGCAACGAGTCTCCCACTTCCAAGTGGTTTCCAGTGTCGTAAGTACAACTTTATTTACCATAGGTATTACTTTGTTATTTTACATTATTAATCATATAACCCTCCCCATTATTATTCATAAAAAAAGCTATTACCATTGATTCATTTGATTTGATTTTCATTGATGGTTACTCAACCATTACAGGTAAAAATATTGGCTATGGTAATAATAGAGGAACATATTGGTTGACTCCTATTATCGGGAATTCAAAGTTGGAGTAAGTAAGATACAATTAAATGAAATTAAATTTATAGTACTAACTAAAGCCAATCAATCTACTATATTTTAGGGTAAATAATATGGATTATAATCCGTATCCTGGTCCAGGACAAGCAATATCTATTCAACTTGATTCCAACTATCCAGCATACAAGTTTGATAATTTTACAGAATTTGAGGTTGGAATCAAACTTGCACAAGTGTTTTTTAATAGTATTCTACCAGAAGGAAAGGTCACGTTCAGAATCAAACATCAAGCTTTACAAATGGCACTCACTCATTATGTGAGTGTCAATGGATCAGATCCCGTTCAAGTACAATCGGTTGATTCTCAATTCTTGTATACCACTCTGATCACTCCCACCGATGGACAGGCTATTTTCAATGTTTCAAATAATTATACTAATTATGCTATTGCCTATAATTATCTACAATGTAAATATCAATTAAGATTAATCTATTATTTTATTAAATACTAATACTACTTTTTTTTATTTATTTATATAGATTACCCATTAGTAACCGATATGTTTCCAGTTACCATTTCAAAGATTGGTACAACATTTACCTTTCAAGGGAACTTTGGAAACTTTTTGAATGTTAGTGCTGCTACTATCTCTTTTAATGGTGACCCGACCATTTGTATTGTTACTGCATTACAAAGCAATTTTTTGACTTGTATACAAGCCAAGCATACTACTGCAGGTCCAACTATAATCTCAACAACTATTGATGGATTCACAAGTAGGAAAACGTATACTGCCAATATTATAGAAACACCATTGTCTCAGTGTCAACAATTCAATACAATTTGTCAACTACATGGGCAGTGTAACATAGATGGTCTGTGTGAATGTAATACAGGATACTATGGTGCAAATTGTACAATGGGTTATCCAAAACTATCATCTGGTAGTTATGTAGATGATACCCCAACAAAGACAAGAATATTTGCGTTGTATGGTGATTTTAGTATTGCTCCATCAAATGTAACAGTCAATATAAATGGTACTTGGCCATGTACAACAATTATTACTCAACCAACTTTGGTGACTTGTGTCATCCAACCAATTCCAACAACCATTGGTTTGGTGTCGGTTGATATCAGTGTCAATGGTTCAACTAATAATGCAAAGGATTTTATTTTATTCCGTCACATTCCAACTACTCCATCCTCTTCCGAACAATCATCACACTCTTCAAACTCTGATTCATCAGAAGTACCAGTCAATCAATGTCCAAATAAGTGTTTTGGTCATGGTGAATGTATTAATTCAAAGTGTAAATGTTTTGAGGGGTACAGTGTAGAGGATAATTGTTTGACAAAGATAATCAATAATAATACAATAACACCCAATACAACAGCACCAACAACATCATTTGATATTGATGGAGTTGATTTCCAATTTGAAATTGTTGCCATTCAAGAAATTGATGTTGACAGTAATATTGTTCAAGAATTGTTGACTGATAAATGGAATGCAACCATTTACAATGACACTCAAACAACCACAGTCAACTATCAACTAAATACTACATCAACAACAGTAGCAGCAACTACAATGGTCAGTGCAACGATATCATTCTCATCACAACCAAGAGATATTCCATTTGGATTAGAGACATTACATATCAATGCCAACAGTATCAAAGTATCAGTGAATATCAGTGATTGGCAATACCAATCATTCTTGACAACACTACGAGTAATATTCAAAACCACACTATCAAAAGATCAATCATTTGAATTTGATTGTCAACAACAACAAATCGACAGTCTTCAATTCGATCAACTGTCATCATCGATTCAATATCTCAGAGTTGTCAAAGATAATATTCAATTCACTGGTCGATTCATTGATTATGTATTGTCAGATGGCAGACCATCATTTTCAAAAACATATTTAATCAATTCGACAAAATCAACCAATGATGAAGATCAAATAACAATATTAATTGGAATCAGTACACCACAATGTCAATCATGTATTTTAGATCCTGATTTCACACCATTATTAATCGACAAGAGTGAAGATTCTGGTTGTGAAAAGAAATCAAATGCATGGAGAATAGCTGTTGGTGTATCTATTGGCGGTGCTGCTCTAATCGTTGCAGCTGTTATTGTCATAAAGTATAAACTACTTACTGCCAAAAAGGCAAAAGCTGTAAAATCACTCCAAAGAAAACTACAAAAGTTTGAAGGTTAATTAAATCAATAATAATATTAATAATAAATAAATAAATATATTATTACCAGGCTCAAAAATAAATAAAGAACAACAAGTATACGAAAAAAAAAAACGGAGGCAAAGATCTTCTTCTCGACAGATCATATGCGTGGTGACATGTCATGTGGCCTGTCAAGAACAAGAAAAAAACGAGACCAAGATCGCAGAATCTGAAGATATTTATATAAAATCGATGCGATATTCATTTTTTAGAGAGACTTTTTATCCTCATCACCACACTCGTTTCATTCTACCACAAGTCATAAACAACAGACAAAGAATCAGATAAAATATCACAGCAACGAATAAAAATAATGATAAAATATAATCACTATCATAGTGTTTTATTCTTTTATTTCACATTGGTGTTGATCACCACTATTAGTAGTGTGGGGTTAGTTCGATCGCAATCACTATCACCAACAGAACGTAAGATATATTATGATAAATATTTTTTGAAACACAACCCTCCTTTTTCAAAACTTGTTTTATTTATTTGTTTTGAACATGACATGACTTGATTAAATTCTCGCTCACATTATTCATTTTTTATTTATTTATTTAGTTGCATCAGCTCAATGGGTAATACAACAATATGGATTAGCTATTTCACCACCTGATGAGGCGACCATTTGTGCAGCAATATCACAGTTTACATGTACAATAGCTAATGGAGAAAAGCATATCACTAGAATGTATGTTGATAGATAGATAGATAGATCATATGATCAAGAGATATTTGTAAAGATTTATTTATATCTATAATATCGCTCATATTAACAAATATGTAATTATAATATAGAGCATTCTATTTGAGCACATACTCACCATCAGGAGCGCCAACAGATGGAATTGAATTTGATTTTCCAGAGTTACAATCGTTTCGTGGTACCGCCAATCCCAGTTACATTGGTGACGTCAACCAAAATTCTTTATTGAAAATCAAAAACCTACGAAAATTAACAGCACTAGAGTATGTAAAATAGGGCGAAGAAGATAGGAAGAGGAAGAATGCTTTAACAATTTATTTATTTATTTTATTTTATTTTATTCAGACTCCAAAATGATTTATCAATTACAACGATACCAGCAGATTTTCCAATGGCCTATGGACTCGATTCTTTGGCTAGTCTGTTACTGTCAGGTCTCCCAACACCCTCGATACCAGGGTTTTTCAACGGTTCTAGTATTAGAAATCTTCAATTGTCAAATTTTGCAAATCTACAAACCCTTCCAATCGACCAATACCTCAGACTTCCAAATGTATCATATTTGACCTTGGACCTAGGTCCCCCATCTCCATATACAATCGATTTTACTGACCTATCATTCCCCGCCCTTTCTAATTTGTAAGTAAATCAATCAATCAATCATTTCAAATCAATAAGTCTGGACACTAACTAACCTTTTGAAAAATTTCATTTAAATTATTTTTATTAGTGTTGTTTCATTGAGAGATGGAGTTTTAAATGTCAATGTCAACTTGTCTCTCCCTGGAACATCAATGGCATTCCATACATCAAATGGTCAATTCAATGTAAATGCGATCAACACAACCAGCATTCTATCATTGTAAGTGATCAATATCATCATCATCACATACTACAATGGCCCATTTATTTATTTATTTGTTTTTTTTTTATTTAGAAAAATTTTAGGTACAGCTTCAACAGTTGCACCCGATCCAGCAACATGGCCCAATTTGGAGACTTGGTATGTTTAATTAAATTAATCCTTCTACAAACAAACAAACAAACAATTAACAAAAAAAATAATATTCCTAAACTTTATGTTTTTAAAAAAATAGGCAAATTTCAAACAATCCAAGTATCACTACCTACCCCTTTAGTCAGTTTCCAGATAAACTAAAAGATTTTTCTCTCATAAATTCACCAATGTTGTCTATTCCCACAAACATTCCTCTTAACCCTGGTCTTATGGCTTTGTATGTTGTGCAGCTAACCCCCATTCAAATCCATTTAAATCATCATCAATTAATTTATTTTCTTTTCTTTCTTTTCTTAGAGCGCTTCAATCGCTTCAGCTCACAGGTGAACAACCATGGTCATATTTTACAAGTCAACCATCTGGATTTAAGTTAATTTTATCATCAAACCAAGGTATCACTGGTACTGTTCCAGCTTCCATGTGTCCCTATTCCCTTCAAATCTATTCAACTGGAATATCTGCTTTGCCAGATTGTTATAATTGCTATTTTAACTCTCAAAAGGGTATCATTGCAACTAGTCTCCCACTTCCAAATGGGTTTGTTTGTGGTATGTAAACTTGTTGTATAGGTATAGGTATACCAAATGTCTATCACATTATTAATCATACCCCCTTCTTTATTCATCAAAAGATATTACCATTGATTCATTTGATTTGATTTTCATTAATGGCATGTCACTCATTACAGGTCAAAATATTGGTTATGGTAATTCAGGAGATTACACATTGGTTCCTGTTATCGGAAATTCAAAGTTGGAGTAAGTCAATAGAGATAATGATAGTTTGTACATCGCACTAACAATCCAATCTACTATTTTTATTTTAGGGTACATAATATGGTATATGAACCATATCCTGGTCCAAAACAAACGATTTCTATTCAACTTGATTCCAACTATCCAGCATACAAGTTTGATAATTTTACAGCATTTGAGGTTGGAATTCATCTTTCACAAGTGTCGGTTGGTAGTGTTCTACCAGAAGGAAAGGTCATGTTCAGAATCAGACATCAATCTTTACAAATGTCACTCATTCATTATGTTAGTGTCAATGGATCAGTACCCATTGAGGTAGAATCGATTGATTCTCAATACTTGTATACCACCGTGACCACTCCCAACGATGGTTTCATTATTTTCAATGTTTCAAATAATTATACTAGTTTTGGTATTGCCTATGATTATCGACAAAGTAAATACGATCAAAATAATTTATAAATGTAAATGAACAAAATAATTAATAACTATACTTATTATCCTTTTATTTTATTTATTTTATAGGTCATCCATATGTCAATTATATGAATCCAGTTACCATTTCAAAGATTGGTACAACATTTACCTTTCAAGGGTTTTATGGATACTATTTGAATGTTAGTGCTGCTACTATCTCTTTTAATGGTGATCCAACAATATGTATTGTGACTGGATTAGAAACCTACAATTTGAATTGTACACAGGTCAAGCATACTACTGTAGGTCCAACTATAATCTCAACAACTGTCGGTGGATTCACAAGTAGAAGAACGTATACTGCCAATATTAAAGCAACACCATTGTCTCAATGTCTTTTGAATACAATCTGTCAACTACATGGGCAGTGTGATATGGATGGTCAATGTCTATGTGATACAGGTTACTATGGTGCAAACTGTACAATGGGTTATCCAAAACTATCATCTGGTAGTTATGTAGATGATACCCCAACAAAAACAAGAATATTTACATTATATGGTGATTTTAGTAATGCTCCTTCAAATGTTACTATTATGATTAATGGTACTTGGACATGTACACCATTGGTTACTTTACCAACTATGGTTAATTGTACCATTCAACCAATTCCAACAACCATTGGGTTAGTGTCAGTTGACATTAGTGTCAATGGTTCAACAAATAATGCAAAGGATTTTATTTTATTCCGTCCCATTCCAACTACTCCATCCTCTTCTGATTCATCATCTGATTCATCAGAAGTACCAGTCAATCAATGTCCAAATAATTGTTTTGGTCATGGTGAATGCGTCAATTCAAAATGTAAATGTTTTGAAGGGTACAATGTACAAGATAATTGTTTAACAAAGATAATCAATAATAATACAATCACACCCAATACAACAGCACCAACAACATCATTTGATATTGATGGAGTCGATTTCCAATTCGAAATTGTTGCCATTCAAGAAATAGATGTTGACAATAATATTGTTCAAGAATTATTGACCGATAAATGGAATGCAACCATTTACAATGACACTCAAACAACAACAGTCAACTATCAACTAAATACTACATCAACAACAACATTGGCAATGGTCAGTGCAACGATATCATTCTCATCACAACCAAGAGATATTCCATTTGGATTAGAGACATTACATATCAATGCCAACAGTATCAAAGTATCGGTGAATATCAGTGATTGGCAATACCAATCATTCTTGACAACACTACGAGTAATATTCAAAACCACACTATCAAAAGACCAATCATTTGAATTTGATTGTCAACAACAACAAATCGACAGTCTTCAATTCCAACTATCATCATCGATTCAATATCTCAGAGTTGTCAAAGATAATATTCAATTCACTGGTCGATTCATTGATTATGTATTGTCAGATGGTAGACCATCATTTTCAAAAACATATTTAATCAATCAAACAGACAACCAAGACAATGATCAGATGACAACAATATTAATTGGAATCAGTACACCACAATGTCAATCATGTATTTTAGACCCAGATTTCACACCATTATTAATCGACAAGAGTGAAGATTCTGGTTGTGAAAAGAAATCAAATGCATGGAGAATAGCTGTTGGTGTATCTATTGGTGGTGCTGCTCTAATCGTTGCATCTGTTATTGTCATAAAGTATAGATTAAATGTTAACAAAACTAAAAAAGCAGAAAGGAGAATATCACAAAAATTAAAAGCTCTCAACTAAATAAATAAAATAATATAATAAAATAAATAAATAAAATAAATAAAATAAATAAATCTATAATGATCTGTCAAACAGTTCGATCGATTTACTGGTCAGGGACAGACGAACCCAGTGGTTGTACTGGCTGTTTTTTTGCCATATCGAAGATTTTTCGTATTTTTTTTTATGTAGGTCGAAATTTCGAGCTGTTTGGGAATCTATGTTTCGACTTTTTAGCCGACGGGTTTCAGTGTTCGATCTTATAGTTGTCCTTCATCTTATTTATCACATTAAAGAAGAAACAAAGATAGAATAGAATAAGAAATGATAAACAACCTCTATCGAAAACCACTACACACAAGCACAATCATTACCTCAGAAAGAATGTAAGAATAGACTAATTATAGTTGATTCAGTTGTATGGATCATCAAACAATATGGATTATCTGTTGGGATGAATGAAGCAACCATCTGTGCTGCATTTTTCTGTAATATTTTTAATGGCACAAAACACATTACAGTAATGTAAGAGAAGAAAGAAAGAGAGAGAGAAGAGAAAAGAGAGAGAGAAAAAACCTAGCGAGACTTGATATGTTAACACCATACATATATTATAAATATATTTAGAAACCTTTCAGCGGGTGGAGCAATCACAACATTGGGGCCACCAGATCCATCGGATGTTTTTGACTTTCCTCAATTAACTGGATTGAGTATTACTGCATCTACTAATCAATTCATTGGTGACGCCAACCAAAGCATCCTTACAAAACTTCAAAATATACCACTTTTGGCTACATTATCGTATGTACAATCTACCTACCTACCTACCTACCTTGTTGTTTTATTAAATGACGACTGACATGCCAATCCAATCAAATCCCATAGGTTAACAAATGATGGCTCATTGACAACAGTTCCAGTTGGATTTCCTTCTACTTTTGGACTGCCTTTATTGAAACAAATTAGATTTGTTCAAAGCCCACTCGCCTCAATTCCAGGCTTTTTCAATCAATCGACTATACAGACACTCACTTTGGAGAGGTTGTCATATCTCGTTGATTTTGGAATTGACTCTACCGTCACGCTTCCAAATCTTGTAAATTTAAATTTGGGAGTGGAAACTCCCTCTGTTGTTAATACCATTGATCTGGTGAAACCATCCTTTCCAAAACTTAAACAAGTGTATGTCTCTCACTCTCTCTCTCTCTCCCACTATGTTTAGTGTATACCTATCGAATATTAATATCAATTTTAATTTCTATTTTCTATTTTAGAATAATCACTTTATCAAATACTAATTTAAATGTTAACCTTGATACAGAACCTAATGCAATCGTGTATGTATTAATTAATTAATTAATTAATTGTCACATCATCACTTTCAATTCCTAATCGGTTTTTTTTTCTATTCTAGTCGATGCATATCAACAATCAACTCCACCTTTAATATTAATGTAATCAACACTCAAAATATCGTTGAATTGTAAGTAAACATTATCAACAACTTGGTTGGTTTTTTAATTTACTTACTAATTTTATTCTATTTATTTTATTTATTCTATTACTATAGTTTAATTGGTGGTGCACAGTCTACAGTTGTACCTTCTCCAACAACTTGGCCAAATTTAAAAATATGGTATGTTTTAAGAGAACCTTTTTTTCTATTTAGAATCAATGAATTAATATATTAATATTTTGTGATTTTTATTTAATTATTTAGGGATGTAGTGAATTCACCATTAACAAACACATACCCTTTTTCGGTATACCCACCACAAGTAAGGTCATTTGGAATGACTTTATCAGATCTCACCGCCATTCCTACAACTCCTCTCTCTCCTTCTCCTGGTCTCACTAAATTGTATGTACCAACCAACCCTCCCTATCTCTACAATTATTTATCAAGTTTTCTTATACCATAACATTTTGATTCAAAAAAGATCATTTTTCCAGTCAAAGATAACAGGTGATATACAATGGCAATATTTTACCAATCAACCCAACGGTTTTGAATTAGACTTATCTTATAATACTGGAATAACTGGAGTAGTACCAGACTCTATGTGTCCCTATAAGCTTAGAATTTCTCAAACAGCTATCTCTAATCTTCCAAGTTGTTATTTTTGTTATTATCAAAGCAATTCTATAATGATCATTTCAGATGTTCCAGTTCCTCAAAACTATGTTTGTGGTATGTAATCAACTAATAGTTGAAAAAGAATTGAATAGAATTTATTTATATTCTAATCTTTTTATTAACCCAATTAATTTATTTAATTTAAATCAAAAAGATATTACATTTGAAAGTACGGATTTAATTTTCTTATTTGGAACTGCTATGCTTAATGGTTCGAATATTGGGTATGGAAATTTATACACAATTGGAAGTCGTCAAATTAATTTAGTACCAACAATTCCAAACAAACAATTAAAGTAAGATTTTGCGAAATAATATTATTTAAAGTACTTTTGCAAAATGACTGACCACAATCTTTCTTTCTTGATTTTATTTATCTTATTTTAGGGTTATTGATAGAGGATACCAAAAATACCCGGGTCCAAAAGGGATCATGTCGATTCAACTCGATAATAAGTACCCGGCCTACACCTATGACATGACTTCACTTGAAGTTGGGTTCAATATTACCGCGGTATCTATCGTAACAATCCCCCAGGGTATTGTAACGTTTAGGGTGAGACATACAGCTTTACAAATGTCTATCCCCCATCATATAGCTGTAAATGGATCCGAGCCAGTATTGGCAGTGGTCGACACTAATTTCCTCTATATCAACATCACCAATCCACCTGACGGTCTCATCACCTTTACCATATCAAATAGTTACTTTACTGCTCCACCAATTACCTATAATTATACTCAAAGTATGTAAACTAATCAAAAGTAATCATTGTATTAAATACTTATATTGATTAATTAATTAATTTTTATTTTAATTTAGGATTTCCAATTATCAATTCTTTTACATTTCTCAGTGGTGGATTGGCACAGGTTGGCTCAGTGTATCTTTTTAATGGTATATTTGAAGCTGGTGTTGCCAATGCATCAAGTATTTACTTCAATGGTGATGCAACCATTTGCAACATTACAAGTGTCGTTGCAAACACTATTCGTTGTACTCAATTGAAAAATATTGTTGGTGGTGCGACAACGATTACATTATCTGATAATGGGTTCATCTCTCGTTCGCCATTCCAAACAGTCCTAAAAACTCCATACTCGCAATGTACACAGTCTACTTGCCAGATTCGTGGTACCTGTGATGTTAGTGGCGAGTGTGTTGGATGCAAGACAGGATACTATGGTGTAAATTGTGCAAAGGGTTATCCAAAACTATCGTCCGGTAGTTATGTAGATGATACCACAACAAAGTCAAGAATCATTAGTTTGTTTGGTGATTTTAGTCCCGAACCAACAAATGTTACTATTACAGTTAATGGAACTTGGACATGTACACCATTGGTTACTTTACCAACTATGGTTAATTGTACCATTCAACCAATTCCAACAACAACTGGGTTAGTGTCGGTTGATATTAATGTCAATGGTTCAACAAATAATGCAAAGGATTTTATTTTATTCCGTCCCATTCCAACCACTCCATCCTCTTCTGATTCATCAGAGACACCAACCAATCAATGTCCAAATAATTGCTACGGTCATGGTGAATGTATAGATTCAAAGTGTAAATGTTTTGAAGGATACCAAGTAGAGGATAACTGTTTAACAAAGATAATCAATAATAATACAATCACACCCAATACAACAGCACCAACAACATCATTTGATATTGATGGAGTCGATTTCCAATTTGAAATTGTTGCCATTCAAGAAATAGATGTTGACAGTAATATTGTTCAAGAATTATTGACAGATAAATGGAATGCAACCATTTACAATGACACTCAAACAACTACAGTCAACTATCAACTAAATACTACATCAACAACATTAGCAATGGTCAGTGCAACAATATCATTCTCATCACAACCAAGAGATATTCCATTTGGATTAGAGACATTACATATCAATGCCAACAGTATCAAAGTATCGGTGAATATCAGTGATTGGCAATACCAATCATTCTTGACAACACTACGAGTAATATTCAAAACCACACTATCAAAAGATCAATCATTTGAATTTGATTGTCAACAACAACAAATCGACAGTCTTCAATTCGATCAACTATCATCATCGATTCAATATCTCAGAGTTGTCAAAGATAATATTCAATTCACTGGTCGATTCATTGATTATGTATTGTCAGATGGCAGACCATCATTTTCAAAGACATATTTAATCAATCAAACAGACAACCAAGACAATGATCAGATGACAACAATATTAATTGGAATCAGTACACCACAATGTCAATCATGTATTTTAGATCCAGATTTCACACCATTATTAATCGACAAGAGTGAAGATTCTGGTTGTGAAAAGAAATCAAATGCTTGGAGAATAGCTGTTGGTGTATCTGTTGGTGGTGCTGCTCTTATCGCCGCATCTGTTATTGCCATAAAGTATAGACACAATCTTACCAAAACTAAAAAAGCAAACAAGAAGATGTCACAAAAATTAAAAGCTATCAATCAATAAATAAATAAATAATAATATTAAGTGTAAAGAAAAGACATCTTTGCTCATGGTGGTATTCATAGCCCTTACTTTTGGGCAATAATAGAGACACGCCCTGCAAACATACTGAAACGTCTGTTGGTGTTTTGACCCGGTTTTCGTGGACAAATCGAATGGCTTTCGTTTTAAACAATGTTAGATTTTTTTAGATTTTTTTTAATAGAATGTTTTGGTCAAGATATTATTTGTCGTCTGACGACCATCACAAGTTTCACGATATTTCCCAGCCGATGGGTTTCAACAGTCAGATGAACCATAGTCGTCTTCATCATCATCTTTAACATTTAGAAGAAAGAATAAGAAGAAATGACTAATTATTTGTTGTTTATAACTATTGTTGTTTGTTTTGTGTTTTTCACAACCTCTACGTCACAAGCACAATCATTATCGTCAAGTGAAAGTAAGAAGAATGGAGTAGAATAAGAATAGAATAGAGAAAAACAATAGAAATAAAAGTTTTAACATCATTTTAACAATCAATTTTACTTTATTGTTACTATAATAATTATTATAAATATAGTTGCATCAGTTGAATGGCTCATAAAACAATATGGATCAGATGTTGCAGTGAATGAAGCAGCCATCTGTGCAGCATTTACCTGTAATATTATTAATGGAAACAGACATATTACATCAATGTAAGAATGAGAGCATTCATCAATCAATCCAACAAATCACCAAAGATTTTATATCTTTGCTAATGAACATGTGTTTTTTTTTTCAACGAATATAAATATATAGGTCCCTAAGTGCCAGTTCACCAGTCACAACAACACTGGGACCACCAGATTCATCAACTACTTTAGACTTTCCTGAATTAAAGATACTCTCTCTTTATGGTAGTGCTGGTGGATTCATTGGTGATGTCAACCAAAACACCATTTTAAAAATGAGAAATATGCATCAATTAACTTCATTATCGTATGTATCACCTATTAATACAAAAAAAAAAACAACAATACATTTAACTGCGCCAAACTAATCAAATATTTAAATATCACTACTAGTATCTCATATGATAACTCATTGACAACGGTTCCAGTTGGATTTCCTTCTACTTTTGATTTACCTTTATTGGAATATATTTTATTTGCTCAAAGCCCAATCACTACGATTCCAGGTTTTTTCAATCAATCGAATCTACAGACAATTAATTTACAGAGAATTCCATATCTAGATGATCTCCAAATTGACAATACCATTTCCCTTCCAGATCTTGCAAATCTCGTTCTCGAAACTAATATTCCCTCTGCTGTGAAAACTATTGATCTTATAAAATCCTCTTTTCCAAAACTCCTTTTTTTGTATGTCACATTGAATGCATGTATAATCGTCATTGACGATAAAATAGATCTATTTATTTATTAATTTATTTCTATTTTAGCATGTTCACTTTTTCAAATACTATTTTAAATATCAACCTTGATATGATACCAGGTTCAGTAGTGTAAATATTAATTATTAATTAGTATCAATATTATCATCATCAATTTACCTAATCTTCTTTTTTTTTCTATTTTGACAATAGTCGATGTAAATCAGGATCAAATGCAACCTATAATCTCAATGTAATCAACACTCAAAATATCATTGAATTGTAAGTAAAAAAAAAAAGAATCCTTTTTAAACTCGAAAAGATTTAACCTCTATTTCTCTACTACTATAGATTGGTTGGTGGTGCACAGTCTACAGTTGTCCCTTCTCCAACAACTTGGCCAAATTTAAAAACATGGTATGTTTTATTTAATATTAATCATTGAAAAATGAATATATAAATATATTTATTAACAAATACGACCTTTTTTTTTATAGGGAAGTACAGGATTCACCATTAACAAACACATACCCTTTTTCAGTATTCCCACAACAAGTAAAGACATTTTCAATGACAATGTCAAAAATCACCTCCATTCCTACAACTCCTCTGTCTTTAAATCTCACTAAATTGTAAATATCAACCAAAGAGAATACACCATTCAAGTATGTTGCTAATACTTTTACTACCATCCTCTTATTTTGAAAAGATCATTTTCACAGTCAACGATAACAGGTGATATACAATGGCAATATTTTAACACCCAACCCAACGGTTTTGAAATAGACCTCTCTTTTAATACTGGTATAACTGGAGTAGTACCAGACTCTATGTGTCCTTATAAGCTTAGAATTACTCAAACAGCTATCTCTAGCCTTCCAAGTTGTTATTTTTGTTATTATCTAAGCAATTCAAATATGATTACCTCAACCATCCCAGTTCCTCAAGACTATAATTGTAGTATGTAATCGAATAGAATTTACACCCAACGCAATCTATTTTATTAATAACCTTTCCAATTCTCTTTATATAAATTATTTTAACACAATATTTTATTTAATTCTTATAGCTATTTCATTTGAAAGTTACGACTTGGTTTTCTTATTTGGATATGCATATGTGAACGGTACCAACATTGGGTATGGAAACCAATATCAATATGGAAATCGTCAAATTATTTTGCATGCTACAATTCCAAACAAACAATTAATGTAAGATTATATAGATTAAAAGAGTAATAAATATTTATTGAAAAACTTACCAAAAATCTCTCTTGATTTTTATTTATATTTATCTTATTATAGGATTAGGGACTCTGGATATCAATCATATCCTCCACCCAAAGGATATATTAATATTGAACTCGATAGTCAGTACCCACTTTACACCTATAACATGTCTTCAATTGAAGTTGGTATGGATATTACTTCAATATCTCTATTAACTCTCCCCCAAGGTATTGTAACGTTTAGACTGAGACATGTTGCTTTACAAATGTCTATCCCCCATCATATAGTAGCAAATGGATCTGCCCCAGTATTGGCAGTGGTCGACACTAATTTCCTCTATATCAACCTTACCAATCCACCTGACGGTCTCATCACCTTTTCAGTATCAAATAGCTATTTTACAGCTCCACCAATGACCTATGATTACCAGCAAGGTATGTATAAACTAACCACTGATAATTTGTAATATTTTAATTTAAATACTAATATATATTTTTGTTTAGGATTTCCAATTATCAATACTTTTATGATTTACAGTGGTGGTGATATGTCACAAGTTGGAACAGAGTATCTTTTAACAGGTACATTTGAACCGGGACTTCCAAGTGAATCAAAAATTTATTTCAACGGCGATTCAACCATTTGCAACATGACAAATGTCTCTTCAAACACTGTTCGATGCCTACAAACCAAATATATTCAAGGCGGATCGACAACGATTACATTTTCAAATAATGGGTTCCTCTCTCGTTCAACATTCCAAACAGCCCTCACCACTCCATACATGACATGTATGGAATCTGCTTGCCAGGCTCATGGTACTTGTGAAATTAATGGAGGGTGTGTATGCAAGACAGGATACTATGGTGTAAACTGTACAATGGGTTATCCAAAACTATCATCTGGTAGTTATGTAGATGATACCTTGGAAAAGAAAAGAATCATTAGTTTGTTTGGTGATTTTAGTGTTACACCAACAAATGTAGCCATTTCTATTAATGGTACTTGGACATGTACACCAGTACTCACTCAACAATTAACAATCAACTGTTCCATAGGTTTGATCCCAACAACCATTGGTTTGGTGTCAGTTGGTATTAGTGTTAATGGTTCTTCAGCTTTTGCAAAGGATTTTATTTTATTCCGTCACATTCCATCCATCCCATCATCTTCATCCTCTTCTGAACAATCATCTGACTCCTCCAACTCTGATTCAACTGAAGTACCAATCAATCAATGTCCAAATAATTGTTTTGGTCATGGTGAATGTATCAATTCAAAATGTAAATGTTTTGAAGGGTATAATGTACAAGATAATTGTTTAACAAAGATAATCAATAATAATACAATCACACCCAATACAACAGCACCAACAACATCATTTGATATTGATGGAGTCGATTTCCAATTTGAAATTGTTGCCATTCAAGAAATTGATGGTGAAAATAATATTGTTCAAGAATTATTGACCGATAAATGGAATGCAACCATTTACAATGACACTCAAACAACCACAGTCAACTATCAATTAAATGCAACAAAAAAAACATTATCAATGGTGAGTGCAACAATATCATTCTCATCACAACCAAGAGATATTCCATTTGGATTAGAGACATTACATATCAACGCCAACAGTATCAAAGTATCGGTGAATATTAGTGATTGGCAATACCAATCATTCTTGACAACACTACGAGTAATATTCAAAACCACACTATCAAAAGATCAATCATTTGAATTTGATTGTCAACAACAACAAATCGACAGTCTTCAATTCGACCAACTGTCATCATCGATTCAATATCTCAGAGTTGTCAAAGATAATATTCAATTCACTGGTCGATTCATTGATTATGTATTGTCAGATGGTAGACCATCATTTTCAAAAACATATTTAATTAATCAAACACAATCAACCGATGATGAAGATCAAATAACAATATTAATTGGAATCAGTACACCACAATGTCAATCATGTATTTTAGATCCTGATTTCACACCACTATTAATCGACAAGAGTGAAGATTCTGGATGTGAAAAGAAATCAAATGCATGGAGAATAGCTGTTGGTGTATCTGTTGGTGGTGCCGCTCTTATCGCTGCTGCCTCTGCCGTCTTTATTCATCGATACAATGTTGCCAAAAAAGCCAGAGCTGTAAAATCACTCCAAAGAAAGCTACATGATTTCAGTGGCTAAAGGAAACGCGCGTGACTAGACTAGACCTTAATTCCATTTGCAGGGACATCGAATAAAATCAGAGAAAATAATGAATAAAAAGAATGAACAAATTCAAGTTCATAAACGAAGAGGTTATAATTCGGGTAAAAATCCCGTTGTTACCTCCTAATAGATAGATAATGAATTGGTTTTAGAAACCTCGATCACATGATCATGCCCTCATCACACAGAAGAAAATCCTCATTGCTATTTATTGTTTATTGTAAATATCTCGATTCCAAGCCAAGACGATATTTTTATTCACAAATTTTATTGGGTGGTACCTCGGGTATCTTCATGTATTTATGGGGGGTTTTGAACAGCAGACGCGTGGTACTAATCGTTTCATTAAATATCAACTTGACTTGAAATCAAGGCAACAAAGAATCTGACTTGACCGATTGTCATATCTTTCTTCTACACTTTTTGTGTGGTTTTTTGAAAAGACAGATAAATTATCTCCACCTCTTTGATGATATCATTTGATCACATGTTTCTGAAGAATCATTTTATTTTTTAACGTTTTGTCTTTATCTATCTATCTCTATTTTAAAATGATGAGACATTATTTGTTACCGCAATGCCTATTTTTATTTGTTTTCGTGGGTATTGTTAGATGTCAGGTTTTGCCGCCAAATGAATGTATGTGTGGTGGATTCATCATCCACCAATGAAAAAACTGATCAGTCCTTCACCTCATATTCTAACATAATTGTTTATCTTTGTACCTTATTCTTTATTTATCTCTATTATTTATTTAATACTATTATTACTCATCATTAGTAAACTCTGCAATTTGGATTATTCAAAATTATGGATCCTCAATAGCACAAAACGAAGGGGCTATATGCAATAGTAATGGTCAATTTGTTTGTACCGATATATCAGGAGTAAACCATATTACAGAAGTGTATGATATCTATCTTTTTTAATGATCCATTTTTATACATCTATTTTTAACAATACTTCCTTTATCTTTTACAATTGCTTTATATTAGAGCATTACTTGTACAAGCTTATCAAAATGTTGGTCCCCCAGATGCAAACCTTCTTGTTTTTGATTTCCCAGAGATAAAACAATTTACAATCAGCTTACCGTCATCATTACAAGTAGGAGGAGCATTAAATATTCTTGAAAGAACAAAAAACTTTCCAAAGTTAGGAAGTTTTGTGTATGTATTAAATTTATAGATCAGTCAATTTAAATATGATTCTTAACTCTTTTATTTTTTTTCTATTTTATTTTTAAAGTATGAGATATGATAATGCTTTGACTATTATTCCTAATGATTTTCCAACAAACATGCCAATGATGACATTACTGATATTAGAGTATTGCGCATTTACCGATATTCCTGTATTCTTTAACAACACTGCTGCAATACAAGTCAGCATTCGAAGTAATACTCTAAAAACCGTAAACTTTGGTCAGAGTTTGTATCTTCCTAGATTGGGATCGATTGAAATTGACCTTTGCCATGACACACCACAAACATGGGATTTTGGAGCTTCATCATTCCCAGCCTTGTATTTTTTAACAGTAACAAACAAAGTTGCCCTTCCTCTAACCATTTTCATGCAAAAGGCGATTCAAATTCTCATTGGAAGCACAACCCATGGAAGTTTTCATTTTGGTATTAGCAACCCTTCTGAAATTAAATCTATGTATGTACAACAATATATATATATATATTTAAATATTATTTAAAGATCAGAAACAAAAAATTAATGAATTCTTTTTTTTTAAAAGTGGAATAGATGGAATTTCATCAACTTTGAACCCACCTCTAAGTAGTTATCCCAAACTTGAATACTTGTAAATATTCTAATATATATTACTTTTTTTTTATGTGTCTGTTTCTAATATTTTTTTTTATTTTTTAGGACAATGTCAAATGGAGGATATACATCGTTCCCATTCAGTCAATTCCCGGAATCGTTGATAGGTCTTACTATGACCTCAAACAATTTTACTTCCTACCCACCTATCCCTGCATCTTATAAGATGATCATTATCGATTTGACCGAAAATACTATTTATGGAGACATACCTTGGCAATTATTTAATAATGTATCAAACATGAGGCTTGTTCTTGATAAAAATCCCCTTGTCACTGGATCTGTCCCATCTTCATTTTGTTCAAACAAACTTTTCATTTCGGGAACAGCAATTTCTGGTATTCCAGGCAAGTAAACTAAAATCACAATCATGAACCAAATTATATTAATATTTATTATTTAGATTGTTATTACTGTTATTATAGAAACAATCAAGTTATCAAAACTGACATTCCTTTGCAACCTGGTTTCGAATGTCGTATGTAAAACAAACAAAAAACTAAATAATTATATTATATAATCAACTAAACTAACAATTGTTTATTTATTTATTGTTTATAAAAAGAAATCTCTTTTGAATCAACAGATTTGATTTCTATATTTGGACGTACTGAAATAAAAGGAACAAATATAGGATATGGATCATACAATTTATTCCCAAAAATTTCAAATAGTGAGCTATAGTATGTATTAGATAAACAAATAATTAAATAAATTAGTAGTGTATACAACTAACATTTTTTTTTAATTATTTATTTTTATTATTATTATAGTTATGTAGAACCAATTCAATATGGTCCAAGAAGAAATATAACGATTCAACTTGATGAATCTTATCCCGAATATACATTTGACTTTACAATTTTGGAGGTTGGATTTGAGATTCAGTCAGTGACCTATACCCAAGTACCAATTGGAATTTTAACGATTACTATTACATTTTCGTATTCTAGTGCTGATGTTCCTCACTCTCTCTCAATTAATGGTACAGCTGTTTTGAGAAATGTTTTGATTCAGGGTAATACTCTTGTCTACAATCTTACCAATCCTGTAGTATCGGAAAGCTACGTCCTTTTTATCTCGAATCAATATTATAATATTACACGACCACCAATGGCTTTTATTCAAAGTATGTCATCAAATCTAATCAAAATCAAAGAATTCTTTTATTTAAATTAATTAAAATCTTTTTTTTTTTTTTAGATTATCCTCTGGTACAAGGTTGGATATCAAGAGAATATTCTAAAATTGGTGCAAGTTATTCATTTAGTGGACAATATGGAACAAACTTGATCGACCCAATAGTTTATTTTAATGGAAACTCTTCCATTTGTAATGTTACCTCTGTCTCTGAGACTGTTGTGATATGTACACAGGTTGGTTATGTAGCGTCTGGACTAACCAATATAACTGTCTCTGTAGATGGATTTACCAGTGCTCCAGAACCATTTATATTCTACAATATGGAAACAGTTTGCCAAGTGACCACTGCCAATTGTTCTGGTCATGGTGTTTGTAGCCCAGATGGTATTTGTCTATGTAATATTGGATTTTATTCCGATGATTGTTCAAAACGTATGTATAAATTTTGAAAAAACAAAAATATTAATATTAAATTATAAACTAATGTGAATCCTTGTCATTTTTAGTTTTAGAATATCCATTATTAACGTCTGGATCATACAATCAAAATGATAGAAAGTTGATTACTTTGTATGGTGATTTTGGGCCATCTAATCAATCAACAGTAACAGTTGTTATTAATGAAACGTTGCCATGTACTGTTACATTCTTTTCACAAGAATCATTGAATTGTTCTCTTCAAAATAATCCTTCTCCAGGATTGGTTTCTGTTTTTGTCCAAGTTAATTCGTCATCTGTTACTGCCAAAAATTTCATTTATTTCCGTGCTCAATCAAATGGTGGCGGTAGCAGCTCAAGTACTGGTTCTTCATCAACAACCACTACGTCATCGTCAACAACCACCACTACCTCGACTACTTCAACAAGTGGAGGAGATCCACCAATATTAGAATGCCCATTTAAATGTTTTGGTCATGGTGATTGTGTCAATGGACAATGTCAATGTTATCAAGGATATGTAGTTGATGACTATTGTTTGACCAAGATTATAAACAATACAATCGAACCCAATACAACTGCTCCAACCACATATTTCAATATCGATGGTTTGAAATTCCTTTTCGAGGTGGTTGCTGTTCAAGAAATTGATTTTGACAATAATATCGTCAAAGAAGTATTCACTAATAACTGGATTTCATCGGTTGCTAAAGACAATGTCACCGAGACAACCACAGTTCACTACCAACTCAACAGCACAGCCATGGATCCAACAACCAATGTTTTTGCAACCATATCCTTCTCTAATCAGTCGCGTAACATTCCATTTGGTGATCAAACCCTTTCCATTAAACCAAACAGCATTAAATTGTCAGTTGAAGTCCATCAATGGCAATATGAATCGATCTTGACAACCCTTCGAGTCATCTTTAAAACTACAATCAACAATGACCAATTCATCGAATACGATTGTGACAAGCAAAGTGTTGACAGTTTGACTCTGGATCAACTGTCATCATCGATTCAATATCTTAGAGTCATCAAAGATAATATTCAATTCACTGGTCGTTTTGTAGATTATGTCTTGTCGGATGGTAGACAAGCATTTTCAAAGACATCTCTCATCAATCAAACAGAGTTGAATCAAGATGAATCTGCTATCCTCATTGGAGTAAGCACACCACAATGTCAATCATGTATCCTTGATCCAGATTTCTCTCCATTATTGATTGACAAGAGTGAAGATTCTGGTTGTGAAAAGAAATCAAATGCATGGAGAATAGCTGTTGGTGTATCTGTCGGTGGTGTCGCTCTTATCGCAGCAACCATTATAGTTATTAAATTTACTAGAGATAAAGCTAGAAATGCAAAGTATCTAAAAACAATGCAAGATAAATTAAAAAGATTATCATCTCATGATTAATTAATTAAATAAATAAATAATATTTAATATCTTTAAAAAGAATATAATATATATTTATCTTTTTTTTTTTTCTATTTTTTTGATTACCAAGAGCCATCAAGAGTGAGAGGGTTTTTAAATTGCTTCAAATGAGTATCCAAAAGTTGTAAGGAACGTGTGTATAATTGTTGACCAAATGCAGAGTCATAGGTTTGTCCAGCCGACTTGGTGGCACGACCGTGGTCAAAGTAGAGACCACCTTTGGCGTTGGATCGCTTGTCAATGGCGACTTGGACGATAAACTTGGCGCAGTAAGAGGCAGACTTGAAGATGAGGTGATAGAGCGACTTTAATGGACCGGGGAGCGCGACAATCTCGCTGGCAAAGATACCTGGATGGATCGAACTGATGGTTGCCTTGTTAGTGAGATGACCGGCAGCATCAATACGACGTTGGAGGTCGTAGGCAGAGACAATCTGGCAGCCCTTGCTTTGACAGTATGTGGCAAAGGTGGCAGAAAGGTTCTTGGTGAGATTGTCAATATTGATCGATGAGAGGGTGTGTACCGACGATGACACGTTGAATATGTTGCATTGACTTGTCATCAACACGTCGAGCATTGAAAGAGTCAACAAATGATGACCAAGATAGTTTGCTTGGAATTGAGTGTTGTACTCTTCGGCACCGATACGTGTCATTGGTGGTTGGTTCACCTTGTCCTCCCACAACCACATGATACCAGCGTTGTTCATGAGTATGTGACATGGAAGACTACGTTCCTTGAATCGCTTGGCAAACGATACAATCGAATCAAACGACAATAGATCCAACAACATGTATTCAATCTTTTGATTACCACTTTCTTTTTTAATCTCCTCAACTGCTTCAATTGCTTTTCTTTCTGTTCTACATGCTAAAAGAAGAATAGGTTAATAAACTAAACTAGTAGTATCTTGTGTTTTAAGGTAGCACCTTCTTACTTACCCAAAATAACATGTGCATTCAAAGCAGCAAACTTCTTTGCAATCTCTTTACCAAGACCTGCATTTGCACCAGTGATGATGACTACCTTGTCTGCTATATCTCTTAAATCTTCTTCACTCTAAATAATAATAAATAATAATGTAATAAACACCTAATGAGTCAATATGCGATCTCTCTCTGCTATTCATCGTCATCATCATTGAACATACCATCTTGATAGTCTTTGGTAACGATTTTATGACATAGATTGCAATGATAACAATCGTAAAGATTATTAATGTTGTAGTATCTATCATCAGGTCTCTACTCTGCTCTACTCGTCTCTCTCTTTAAACTTTCTATTTGTCTCTTGATCGAAATGATGTTGACTACTACTTTTTCGTCATCGCCAAAAAGTTATAAAAAACATAACAAATCAATCAATGAATTGATGATGAATAGTGCAATCATTCATTTAAAGTTTGTTTATACATAGTAGAATCTTCTTCGAGGAGGGTCGAGGAAGTGTGTGTTGTGTTTGTCGATAATAATTAAAATCATTATTTCTTCATTTTACCTCCCTGCTTGGCTGTATGTGTGAGTGGTTTTATGAACAACTATTATGTTTTTTAAAATTAGTTTTTAGAGAGACAGATAAGTTAACAAGAACAGATAAATAGAATAGAGATAGACCAACACAAAAATATTCAAGATTTGGTGATTAACAGTTTAGAAAACTACTCATAGGTCCGCAAAGATTCTGTTTCTTTTTTAATTTACACAACATGAAAGAAATCATTGAATGTATCAAACAATGATAAATAGTGCAACAAAAACCATTATCAGAAAATGGCCTTATGCTCACTTAGTTCTACTCGCTGAACATTATGGAAACTGAATCGTTCTGGATGTAAGCATGGACATGTTAACCAACACGTATACAACTTGCTGAGCATGTTCATTCTTACATCCAGAACTACTTCAGCTCCTCCTCCATCCGCGTCACATTTGTTCCCTTGATTACAATCTCGAGCCCTTCCCTCACCCAATGTTCTTATCAAAAAAAAAAAAATTAAATAAAGATACAATTTTCCCCTCTTCCTCTAGTTTCTAAAGTGCGAGCCTATAGTTCTAATTCTCTTTATCTCTTCAAACAAACCCTTGTCATTATTTGTTTCGCTTCTTGATGACTTTCCAAAAACGGAATTTTCACAATTTTTTTCTATTTTTTTTTTGACGAATCGATTGAGGTCAGACATTCCACAACATCAACACGATGTCTCACGTTCACCTGCAAACGTACAATTATGTCATTGAACTAATATATTTATACAGATAACAATAATAATAATAATACACATGCAGTATAACAACATCTTATTGAAACTACTCTGTCTTTATAACATTACTACTACTTCATAAACAATAATAATAAAGATAGATAGAATTCACTATTTCGAAATCATACATATATATATAGTTTTTTAGCTAATTTATACAATACAAATACAATTCAATACACTACTTCATCTCTCTAATTTATTAAATTATCAAAAACAACTTTAATCACCTCTCTCTCTAGTTCAAAAGTAATTAACAAAAGTGTCATAATTACTTCATTCCTTTTTTGCACAACCGTTCAAATAAACCGATAATCACACCCTCACTATCTTTTGGTTTATTATTTATCATCACTACTATTTATACTATATTAAATAATCATTATACAATTACATACATACAAACAAACAATGCCTTTATTCGAAACATTATATCATACATTCAAGTAAGTTCTTATTTGTGATCTTTATAATTCATTATCATTAATCATTCAATTCAATTTAATTGACTTCTTCTTCTTCTATTTCTATTTCTTTTTATTACTTTTTAGACATAGTTGGGATGATATATCATTGGCAAGTTGGATGAAATATCCATCACCAGAAAGACCAGATGTATTGAGTGTAGATATTATAGAGAAGCATTATGACCCAGAGACTGGAATACTGCGATGCAAGCGATTGATGATTTGCAAGGATCATACACCTGCGTGGCTCAAGGCGATTCTCGGATCGACCGAGTACTTTTTCGTAGAGGATTGCGAGGTGGACCCTCGACAGAAAAAGATGGTGCTCACATCCAAGAACATCAACTTTGCCAACATACTCGGAGTCGAGGAGGTGTGCACGTACGTGCCAGACCCCCTCAACGACCAATTCACACTATTCAAGCAAGAGGCCAAGATCACGTCGTCAGTGTTTGGCGTCGCTCGAAAGATGGAGTCATTCTGCTTGGACAAATTCAAGAAAAACTCGACCAAGGGTCGTGGTATCATGGAAGAGGCTATCCAGCGTGCCGAGGCACTCAAACTCGATGCTGAAGAGTCGTTCAAAGACATTGAAGAGAGTATCGACAAGGCTATCAGCTCGGTTAAAAAAGAGGCAGAAGAGTCATTCAAAGACATTGAACATACGTTTGACAAGGCAGTTGACTGCGTGCACCACTACAAACACGAGGCAGAGGAATCACTCAGTCGTGTCGAAGAGACCATCGACAAGGTCTTGCAAGAGGTCAAGCACGAGGCAGAGGACAGTCTGGCACTCATCGACAAGGTCATCGCCAATGTAAATAAGGAAAAAGAGGTCATTTTTAATTTAGACAAGGTCTTTAAAAGTTGGCGTGCTGAAACAGAAACAAACCTAGGTGAGGAATTTAAAACTTTTAAATATCAATCTTCAAGAAAAAGAATTGATGAAATTAATTAATAAATTAAATTCAAAATCAATACACTATTTTGTTGAATATATAAATATTTATAGAAAAAGATATTATTATTATTTACCATCAAAAAAAAAAAAAAATGAATAGACTTTTTGTCAAGTTGAAAGATGTTGTTGTCTCATAGTTTTCTTCTCTTTTTGTATGTTATAGTATGACTAGTCTAATATTAAAGTTACCTAATCTAATATTATCGCAAATCATATCAGATATTGATGATAATGCAGATATAGTATGTTTGTTGTTGACCTGTAAAAAGTTGTATCATAATATCAGTATTAGAAGATCGATTAAGTTTAAAGGAATAGTACCTATAACCGAAGAGGGAGAGATATCAAAGCAGTTTGAATCAACAGCTACTCAATTCAAACTCAACTCATTTAAAGATATATTGGAGAATAGTATATCGAATAGTCAGGTGATAGTAGGAGGTGAATACAATGACTATCCAGAATGGATACAACAACGTATCACTCTAGACAGAGCTGATAACAGTAGTAGTGGTGGTGGTATTAAAACAGCAATGGCAATCAATAAATTAGCATCACCACAGTTATTCTACGACATTCCATCGATCGAGACACTCATCATTGGCTGTCGCCGTAATACATTAGTGGATTTTGAATCCATCTCTCTCTTGCCTCGTCTCGAACGACTTGATATTCGTGCAATCGAAGCTAATATTGGTCCACACCCAACACTAAAGTCTCTCAAACTAGATGTCGACATAGAATACAATCTTGGTGACTTGGGGCTAACCAAGTTCGAGTCGCTGACCGAGCTCAATTTCAGGAGAAGTTATATAACAGGGTACGGACCAGGTCTCTTGCCAAGCAGTCTGACATCACTCACGATAAGACCGACAGTAGTACCACCAAGAGATACATTCCTTTCGTTGACATCGTTGGTGTACCTCAAGATCGATTTTGATCTGGATTTTGATGATGAAGAAGAAGATGATGTGAAAAAACCATGTATCGATCTCGAGAGTCTATCCAACCTCAAGAAACTCACTATCAAAGGCCGCGGAAATAGAGATGATGACTTCACTATCTCGATTAGTGTACCTCCTTCACTCAAGGTTCTTACCCTATTCTGCATGTGCGTACAAATCCCACACCAATGTACTATGCCACAATTGGAGGAATTGTATGTTCAAGGATTCATATTGTTAGCTGAAAGAATCCAACCGAGTCTGTCGTCATATCCATCTCTCAAGAAACTCTTTATAAATGATTGCTATGAACCTCTTCCAACCAATTTCCTCGTCCCATCCAGTCTTGAAAAACTGACAATCTTAAAATACGAGGACACGGATATACTTGGACAAGTTGTATTCCCACCATCACTCACTCATCTAACCATCGTGGAAGGACCCCCCGAATCTATTGTCCACCAACTCCCAGAATCACTCGTCAAGCTAAAGATGACATCTAGAGGGACACTATCACTTCCTCAAACACATTTGAAAAAATTGGTTTGGGGTTATGATTCAAAGGTCAAAGCTTCAGATTTGGTATTCCCAACAACTTCCAACTATCCACCTCATCTTGAAACACTCAATCTGGTCAACATTGAAAATGACTTTACAATAGACATACCACCAATCACAAAATATCTATCAATCACTTTGGTCAAACCTAAACCACCAAATATCCCTTTAATCTTTTCAATCGGTTCAAGAATAACCAAACCTCCTATCAACCAACAACAACAACAACAACAATGGTTATCACCCAACACCACTCATCTAACTTGCCACCTAAGTGATGTCCCAAAGGGTGCATTTAGATTAGATGAAATAATCAATCACACCAATGTTAGATATTTATCTCTGGTTATTGAAGAGATCACTTTAAAATTTTCAATTCAAAGATTAGACGCAGACAATAGAAATGTATTGGTATTGGAAAGACAATCACTTCAAGGTGGCATCATCACTCGGCAACGAACATCAATCAACAATCATCAACAACAATATGATCCCATTTATTTATATTTCGGTTGTACTCCATTCTCTCCATTTGCATTAAAGTGGAGTTTTGGCAAAGATAGTGCTAGAATATAAATAATTAAATAAATACCTCGATTCAAGACAGTGCTAGAATAAATAAAAATAATTTAATTTTTTTCGAACTCTAGTAACATGTAACATGTAAATTCAGAGGTTCTCTTTTCATTCACTATCATCTATGACGAGATAATAAGTATTAATACACGATCGTCTATGTCGAGTCTACTATTATCTTTATCAAATCTATTATTACTACAAATCATAACAGATATAGACAGTAATGGAGATATAATATGTTTGTTGTTGACTTGTAAAAAGTTGTACAGTAATAGTAGTTTTAAAAGGTTGATTGGATTTAAAGGAGTAGAAGCTATCAATACTGACAGAGAAGAAGAATCAAAACAATTTATAGCAACAGCTCGTACTCGATTCAACCTTACCTCATTCAAAGATATCTATGAGAATAGTATATCTGATCATCAGGTGATACTAGGCAACCAAGATGACTATCCTCAATGGATACAACAACGAATCTATTGTGCAGACAACAATCGAGCTGATAAAAGTGGTATCACAACCGTAATGGCAACAGATGATTACCCGTTACCATCACTAGAGACACTCTACGACATACCATCAATCGAGACATTATTATTGATGAATCAATTCGTTGTTGATCTTGGCTCCATCTCACGGTTACCTAATCTCCAACATCTTTCAGTCAGTGCAAACAAGTTGAATCTTGGTCCTCATCCAACACTCAAGTATCTAAACCTAGATATCGATCAATTTGTGATTGGACCAGGTGTATTTCCAAGCAGTCTGACATCACTCTCTCTGATGCTAAAGGAGACACTTCCACCACGAGATACATTCCTATCATTGACTTTGCTCGTGCACCTCAAGATCTGGTTTTATTTGCGAGGATTGGAGGTGAGGAAAGATCCACCGTGTATCGATCTCGAGGATCTAAGCAACCTCGAGACACTAACTCTAAAAGGGTACCCCTTAAAAAATAACAAAAACTACGACACCTTGATCAAGATGAGTGTACCTCCTTCACTCAAGATTCTTGAACAAAATTGTTCGTATGTACAAATAGTACACCGACGTTCACTGCCACTATTGGAGAGATTGTATGCAAGTGAAAAAGAATTAATTGATGGAAGAGAGGAGGGTCTATTGTCATCACAATCTCTCAAGAAACTAGTCATTTATCAATGCGATCAAATCATTCCAGCCAATATCATCCCATCAACTCTCGAAAAGCTTACAATCTATAATAATGATGAAGATATATTTGGACAGATGGTATTCCCGCCATCGCTCACTCATCTATCGCTCATGAATGAAGTCGACGATAGGGATCAAGTCCATCTTCCCGAAACTCTCGTTAAACTAAAGTATAGAGGCACACTGTCACTTCCTCAACACTTGAAGAAATTGGTTTGTCCGCCTGCAATTCAATGGTATAACCAATATAATTATGCCTCTTATCCACCCAATCTTGAAATACTCGATGTTATTAATATCAATGGTGACTATACTCTTGACAACCTTCCACCAACCATCAAACATCTGTCAATATCGTTGACAAAGACCCGCTGTTCAATCAGCGAACGGATACCCAAAGCCATCTCTGCCGACCAACAACAAAAACAACCACAATGGTTACCACTCAGTACAACTCATCTAACTTGCGACTTGAATGATATTTCTGCGCCACAAGTGTTCTTTAGATTGGATCAAGTAATCAATCACACCAATGTTAGGAATTTAACATTAATCGATGACAAGACAACTATTCAATTTTCAATTCAAAGATTAGACCCAGACAATAAGAATGTATTGGTATTGGAAACAAAGTCACTTCAAGGTGGAATAATCACCCAAAAAAGAAAATCACAAAGAAAGAGGAAACCGAATAATCAACAACAACAACAACAACAACAAAAACAACAAAAACAACATCAACAGTATGAGAAAATTTATTTATATTTTGATATTGATTCGGCCTTTCCATTTCAATTCCAGTGGGGATTTGCCAAACGCATGTACAATTAATTCCAAACCAAATCTGCAAGTCAAACAGGATAATTGCAACAAAATCTATTACTATTACATATAATAGCATCTATTGACAGCAATGCAGATATATTATGTTTATTGTTGATTTGTAAAAAGTTATATAGAAATAGACGTATTAGAAGATTGATTAGATTTAAAGGAATACAAGTTATCACTGATGATGGATTCATATCACAACAGTTTATAGCAACAGCTGATCTCAATTCAACCTCAAATCATTTAAAAATATATTAGGGAATAGTATATCTGATCATCAGGTGATAATGATCCGTATCGTCTTGCTCAATGGATACAACGCATCACTAAAAAGAACAGAGACAGAGCTGATATGAGTAGTATTACAACAGTATTGGTGAAAGATTACCCACTATTCATCAACTACAAATCTGGCCATGATTATAGAGTAGTAGATCTTGGCTCTATCTCAAACTTACCTAGTCTTCAAAAACTTGTCGTGCAAACTCGAAACTAGGACTTCATCCAACACTCAAGTCTCTAGCACTAAATGGAAAGGTAGAACATCAACTAATCGACATGCAACTCTATAAATTCGTATCGTTGACGGATCTAACATGTAGCAGTTGTTTTGTGTCTAGTGGGATTGAATGACAGTGACAATGACGATGATGAAGAAGAAGAAGATGATGATGATGACAGTGACAGTGACAATGACGATGATGATGATGATGACAGTGACAGTGACTAAACTAAAATAATAAAAAATAAACAAAAATAAATAAATAAATAATTATTTAAAAAATATTAGGCGACATTAAAACATGTGCATCGTCTTTTCAAAGTTTAATGTTTTTACATATTTCATCATTCAGAATGTTCATGACATGACTCTACTATTATCTGTATCTAATCTATTACTATTACATATTATAACATCTATTGACAGTAATGGAGATATAATATGTTTGTTGTTGACTTGTAAAAAGTTATACAATAATAGTGCTTTAAGAAGATCGATTCAGTTTAAAGGAATAGAAGCTATAGATACAAATCAACAAAACGAATCAAAGCAGTTTAAAGCAACAGCTACTCGATTCAAACTCAACTCATTTAAAGATATATTGGAGAATAGTATATCGATTCATCAGGTCATACTGTCTGATCAAATATTTAATCGAGAGATCCACCAATCAATTAAAGATATCTTGGTTAATGATCTGGATTATATAGGACATGACTACCCTCAATGGATACAACAACGTATCTATGCAAACAGAGACAGAGTTGATACTCGAAGTGGTATCACAACAGCTTTGGCAACCTATGACCTACCAAAACCAGATTCACTCTACTCTATGCCATCTCTCGAGACACTCATCATCAACAACGGGACCCAAAAATCGTTTATAGATCTTACCGATATCTCACAGTTGACCAGTCTCCAAAAACTTTCAATCAATGCACACCAATTGAAGCTAGGTCCTCACCCATCACTCAAGTCTCTGACACTGGACTTTGGCGCAGCTGCAAAGTGGGTATACCCACTTGCCGAATTAGGTCTCACCAAGTTCGTGTCTCTGACAAAGTTTAGCTTCAAGAGAAGTTTTATCACAGATATGGTACCAGGTCTCTTGCCAAGCAGTCTGACATCACTCTCTATGCGACTGATGGACAATGTACCTCCACGAAATACATTCGTTTCATTGGCATCACTCGTTAAACTCAAGATCGACTTTACACTGCCAATACCAAGAGCTGGAAATAATGAATTGCAACAATGTATGGACCTTGGAAGTCTGGGTCATCTCAATAAACTCAAACTTGAGGGAAATTGTGGTAATGGCACTACATTGAACCTCGAGATTAACTTACCTCCTTCACTCAAGAATCTTGTCCTCTGGTCAGATCGCATACAAATCGCATCACATTGTACGATGCCACAGTTGGAGAGATTGGATGTGCGACAATGTGTATTGATGAAAGAAAAAGTCAGTCTATCTTCATCCCCTTTGATAAAGAAACTTATTATTCACAATTGCACTGAAACCATGCCAGCCAATATCATCCCATCGAGTGTTGAAAAGCTTACAATCTATACAGACAATTCCGATGATATACTTGATCAAGTTGTATTCCCACCATCACTCACTCATCTGACCTTCAATGGAAGTCACAATGAGAAAATCAAACTCCCAGAGTCACTCGTTAAACTAAAGTACCTGTCATTCAGAGAAGATGCTCCAGTCTCACTACCTCGACATTTAAAAAAACTGGTTTGGGGTGTTCATCAGCGGACCAAAGCTCCAGATTTTGTATTCCCATCCAACTATCCACCTCATCTTGAGTCACTCACTCTGGTCAAACTCCAAAGTAACTTTACTATACCACCAATCACTGAATATCTATCAATAGACTTGGGCAAATATATGAAAATCTATTCAATAACCTCGACAATAGCCACCAATCAACAACAACAACCACAACAATGGCTACCACCCAATACCACTCATCTAACTTGTCAAATTGGTGACATAACGGGTGTGTTTAGATTAGATGAAATAATCAATCGCACCAATGTTAGATATTTATGCCTCATCATTAAAAAGAAAACAACCTTTCAATTATCAATTCAAAGATTAGACGCAGATAATAACAATGTATTGGTATTGGAAACAAATACACTTCAAGGTGGAATAATCACTCAAAGAAAGACAATCAACAACTCTCAACAACATCAACATCCCATTTATTTACATTTTAATACACGTTACTCTTCATTTGAATTGGATTGGACATTTTCCAATGAAGACGTAGATGATGGAGACGATGAGTGATTAATGGAAGTGAAGATAATAAATCATTAAAAATAATATTTAATATTAACATGCTAGCATTACCATGATGATGATCCACAATCTATTTGATTCTTTAAAAATAAAATTATTAAAGCAATTTGTTGGTTTGGGAAAGAGATTCATTATAAACTACTATAGTTTTCTATTTATTTATTGGGTGATTTTTGTTTGTACGTACTTTTGAAGGATCTGGTAGTATTTGTTTGAATGGTTCTTGATGTCGATAGTTGGTAACATTTGTGACTGCCAATCATCAACATCAAGAACCACTCAAATACTTTGAACAACAATAAGTTATCAGTGCGTGTCGAGCATCATACAATCGTCATTACGAACAACGAACCAATTGAAACATATTCCTTCCATTCTGCAATTTGATCACCGTTTGCTCCATATTTGCTTTTAACAAAATCTGATACTAGGTTTGGAATATTTCTCAAGAGATGATGGTGGTTTACTTGTTATTATTTTGTTGTATTTCTCTTTTTATCGCCACCGACCCTGGTTTTTCTGGTTGTGATAGACTGGGGAATATCTTACCTTGTTCGAATGACACCGATAATAACATCGTTGAGGTTGTTACTCTTGTTATGTATCTCTATCATGAATCTATCATATCTATCTATTTATCTATCTATGTATTATTTAAAAATTTCGAGAAATACGAAAGTACAAGTTTAAAAAATTCTTGAGGATCAGAAAGAACAAAGACAGAGGAGAAAAAATAAATTATTTAATTAATTAGCTTCAAAGATTTTCTATACTAGAAGTTAATACAAATGTCTTTTATATTTATCATATTATCAAAACAAGATGGAAATGTTATCTAATCTATTACTATCACAAATCATATCAGAGATTGACAGCAATGTAGATCTAATATGTTTGTTGTTGACTTGTAAAAGGTTATATAGTAATAGTAGTAGTTTAAGAGATACAATCAAGTTTAAAGAGATTAGAGCTATCACTGACAAGGGTCATTTAAGTGAACGGTTTGCAGCCACAGTCAATCGATTCAACTTGAAAGCATTCAAACAAGTATTTGAGAATAGTGTGTCTGATCATTTCGTCTCTGTAGATGACGACAGCATGGTCGCTTCACAACTCTTGTCGTCGTGGATCTCTACTCGTCTGACTCAAAAGAATGCTAGTGTTAAAGCAGCGTTGTTGGTGGTTGGAGAACCGTGTGTGGAAGAGTTGATCGGTGCTCGATTAGACGACTACATCAACCAACGTACATCGTCACTAAAGTCGCTTGGTCATCTCGACCTTCCAACAACAAAGGAATTGTATATTAAATACTTGAACAACCTTGTATTGGATCTTGAATCGGTCGACTTGTCACCGACTGTGGAGCACCTCTCGGTGTTTGCATACAATGTCAAGATTGGGTCACACCAACACGTCAAGACTCTGACTCTAAACCTCACCACTCCCCTTCAAATCCCGTTATGTGAATTGGGACTGGACAGACTTTCGTCGCTGACCACTCTGTCTCTCAAGAGTGACTTTGTCTCTAAAATCAAGCCTGGTATCTTGCCAACCAGTCTGACGTCACTCAGTCTCAAGGCACGAAAGATACCGTCAGATGACCTATTCCTGCCATTGAAATCGCTCGTCCATCTCAAGATATCGTATTGTTGTTCTATGATCATGGCCGAGGACTCGAAAGAGTATTGTGTCAACCTAGAGTCGCTTGGATCACTCGTCTCTTTTAAATTCTACGAGGATGATCTTGACGTCGATGATCGAACACGTATAGAGGTTCGTCCACCCCCGTCACTCACCAATCTCTGTCTCTTGTCACCAAGCGTGCACATTCCTTCGCCGAGATATAGTCTACCACTGCTCGATCGTTTAAGCGTGCCGTTTGGATCACTTGTTGGCGGCAAGGTCAGTCTCTTGTCGTCTCCATTACTCAAGACACTCATCATGACGGATTGCGATGGTATTGTGCCAGCTGGACTCATTCCACAGTCTGTTGAAACAGTCAAAATTTGCAGTGGTCTGCAATCCAATACACTTGAACCTGGATCCATCCCATCGTCAGTCACCAATTTAAGACTTGACCTATTCCACGGATCAATGACGTTGCTACCCGAGTCACTTACCAAACTAGATATGATTAGAAGTATGACCGAGGATACGACCACACTGACACTTCCTAGTCAATTGCAGCACATTAAATGGAGGTCAAACTGGGGTGCTCGGACATTATTGCTCACCCTTCCAACTACGTATCCCGTCAATCTGCACACACTCAATATGCTCAATTTATCGGGAGACTATCGAGTCAGTGTGCCACCAACGATCACCTCTCTCTCTATTCCATTGTTTGAAAAAGAATCAATCGAGGATCGGTCAGACGCAATCACTGTTTTTACGATTGCCAAAAAGATAAACATAATCAACAATCTTCAACAACAACAAGAATGGTTACCCAACAGCACCACCCATCTATGTTGTCGTCTCTTAAAAAAAAGAGAATCGACTGTCAATTTTAGATTGGACCAAGTGATCAATCAGACCAATGTCAAGCAATTAGAATTTCAATTGGGTGGAGAGATTTACAACTTTTCAATCAAACGATTGGATCAACAAAACAAAAGTGTATTGTTTGTAGATTCGAAATCATTGTATGGTGGAATCATTACCCAAAGAATATCATCATCATCATCAATGGTGGATGGTCAATCATTTGCACCAATCTATTTGTATCTCTCTGAATATGATCCAACCAGAGTTGGGTGGGGTTTTGAACCTCTTCAATAAATTGGATAAATAAATAAATAAATAAATAAATAAATTGTTAAAAATAATAATATATATAACAAAATTAATTCAACTCTCTTTATAAAATATATATATATCATTTTTTGCTCGAAATATTTAATATCTCCTTTCAATTTGTTGTACTTTCAGTGTTGTACCCATCTTCATTAAAACGTCAAACGATGGAAAAGTTATCAAATCTATCTTTATCTAATCTATTACTATCACAAATCATATCAGGTATTGATGATAATGTAGATATAATATGTTTGTTGTTAACTTGTAAAAAGTTGTATTATAATCGTAGTTTGAAAAGATCGATTAGTTTCAATGGAATAGAAGCTTTCAATAACAAGGGAGAGACATCAAAACAGTTTATAGCAACAGTTAATCGGTTCAATCTCATGTCATTTCAAGATATCTTGGAGAATAGTATACCTGACCATCAGGTAATAAGTAGAATGTCTGGAGAACTTGATGATGATAAATACCCAAAATGGATACAAGATAGGATCATTTATGAAAACAGGGTCGACAAGATAGGCATCACAACAGCTATTGTCGGCTACTCCTTTCTAGACAATGATATTGAGTCATCACAACAACAACCCCTCTATGACACGGTACCATCGATCAAGACACTATTCATCTGCCACTACGATACTCTGGATCTTGTATCTTTTCCACTACCACCACAACTCCAACACCTCTCTGTTGATACTGAAGGGTTAAAGTTTGGTCCTCACACATCACTCAAGTCTCTTGTAGTGGGATACAAAGACGAAACTCATCTAGACAGGTTGGGACTCACCCAATTGGTATCTTTGACGGATCTTAGCATCAAGGGTTACAATACTTTTGGACTTGGACCAGGTCTATTGCCAAGCACTCTGACTTGTTTATCTTTAAAGTTGATAAGTGTACCCCCACGAGATACATTCGCTTTGTTGACATCGCTTGTCAAACTAAAGATCAGCTTTTCAATAGATCAAGTGGAAGAACACCCACAATTCATCGATCTAGAGGATATAAGTACTTTAGAGACATTCAAGTTTTTTGAAAATGCAGGAAACGACATCGAGATTAGTCTACCACCTTCACTCAAGGTTCTTGACTTTTTGTCCTATTCCACGTTCATCGCGTCAAGATGTACCATGCCACTATTGGAGAGACTATACGTTGATTCTGACCAATTGATAAGTATCTCTGCAATGTCATCACCTTTTCTCAAGAAACTGACTATTCGTTTTTGCCAACAAACCATTCCAGACAATGTCATCCCGTCCACTCTTGAAAAGCTAACATTGCATCAATACAAAAAAGGATGTCTTGGAAATGTTGTGTTGCCATCATCGCTCATTCATCTATCCATCAAGGGATATTACGAACCTGTCCAACTCCCACAATCACTCGTCAAACTAAAGCAAGTGGGAGACAACTTGTCTCAGGTACAACTAAATAGCCAAGATGCATATTCTGTGATCCCATCATCCTGTCCACCTCCATATCTTGAAACACTAAACCTTTTACCCACTTGGAATCTTACTATCGTTGAGGATTTACCACCAACTATTAAATATCTATCAATATCATTAATCCCTGCAACTGAATCCTCTTCAATCTATTCAATCGCCTCTAGTTTTAACGAATCCATTATCACCCAACAACACCAATGGTTATCAACCAATACTACACATCTAACTTGCAGACTTTCCATGCCGAATCAAATTGACTTAAAGAAAGCGATTTTTAGATTAGATCAAGTAATCAATCACACTAATGTTAGATATTTGTCAATCAACATTGGTAAGATACCATTTCAATTTTCAATTCAAAGATTGGACCCTGACAATCTAAATGTATTGGTATTGGAAACAAAGTCACTTCAAGGTGGAATAATCACTCAACATAGAACAAAATCAGGTGATCAAACTAATCAACAACAACAACCTCATCATCAAAAATATGAGAGTATTTATTTATATTTTGATATAGATTCGGCCTTTCCATTTCAATTGAAATGGAACATGGAACACCGCGACCAAAATTTAAAATAAAATAAAGGATTAATCCTTCAATTATAGATCTCTATTAGTTAGGTATCGATTGTGATAATATTATTGATGAGTCAGAGAGAGAGAGAGAATTCTTTTGTTTTTCTTATTTCTTTAAACATCTTTATTTTTGATGTTCACCATAGAGATATAAATATTCATAGTTATGCAACACCAAATTTGTGAATCATAGTATCATCGTCATAGCTTTTTAAAATCACAACATACAATTAATTAATAAGAAGTTTACAAAGAAAGAAGAGGTTCAACTTAGGAAATAATTAGAAATCATCAAAGAAAAGGTACTGAAGGGTTAAAGTTTGGTCCTCACGCATCACTCAAGTCTCTTTGTTTAGAATACGATGACCCATCTTGTCTAATCAATGACTTGGGACTCGACCAATTGGTATCGTTGACGGATCTATGCATCAAGAGTTACAATGCTTTTGCATTTGGACCATGTAACTTGCCAACCAGTCTGACATCTTTGTCTTTAAACTTGACAGAGGTACCTCTACAAAATACATTCCGTGTGTTTACATCGCTTGTCACGCTAGAGATCAGCTTTTCAAAGGAGCAAGAGGAAGACCATATATCATTCATCGATCTCGAGGATATGTGTACTCTTACGACATTCAAGTTTATGGATAACGCTCGATTCATGAATCACCGCCTCGAGATTAGTGTCCCTCCTTCACTCAAGGTTCTCCAATTTATGACTGAAATCGCGAGGGTCTCATCGGAATGTACTATGCCATTGTTGGAGAGGTTGGATGTCAATGCTCCCCGATTGATGGATGGAAATATATCTGTATTGTCATCACCACTGATCAAGAAACTGACTATTCGTGATTGAGTTGGACCCATTCCAGCCAATGTCACCCCACCCAGTCTTGAAAAGTTAAAAATATATAGATACGTCAAAGAATATATTCTTGACCAAGTATTACCATCGTCGCTCATACATCTAACGATTGTTGGAGTGTAGAATATGTCCAACTCCCACGGTCACTCATCAAATTAAAGCAAGTGGACTCTCGAGATCAACCTGGAGGATTTCCAAACTCACTCAGACGCATGTTGGAAACAAAAGATACAACAATCGATTCGATGGTCTCGTCGTACCCACCTCGTCTTGAAACACTCGACCTTTCTCTATCTTGGCACTATACGATTGAAGATATACCCCAACCATTAAATATCTATCAATATCTTTAGTCCCTGATAGAGGCGTATCGAAATTTCATCCAATCTATTCAATCAGCTCAAAGTTAAACAAACCTATCATCTCCCAACCACAACAACTACCACCCAACATTACACATCTAACTTGCAGATATTGGGCACAATTTTACACTACGGTGGCATTTAGATTAGATGAAGTAATCAATCACACCAATGTTAGATATTTAGATATCATCTTTTCCAATCTACAGCATGATCAATTTTCAATTCAAAGATTAGACCCGGACAACAACAATGTATTGGTATTGGAAACAAAGTCACTTCAAGGTGGAATAATCAATCAAAAAAAGACAACTAGCTATCAACAACAATATGACCCCATTTATTTATATTTTGATATTTGTTAGCCATTTACATTTCAACTCAAAAGTAAAAGTTAATGATAATCATTAATCATAATATTATTATTATTACTTTAGTACAAATTAAATAAAATATTATTATTGGAAGGAATAAATTTAAATAAATTTTAAAAAAAAGTATTGATAAAAAATTGTGATGATCATCAGTTTTGTCGACAATATTTATTTATTATAACATGTCGATGGAAAAGTTATCTAATCTAATACTATCACAAATCATAACAGATATTGGTGATAATGTAGATATAATATGTTTATTGCTGACATGTAAAAAGTTGTATCATAATAGTGGTTTAAGAAGATTGGTTAAGTTTAAAGGAATAGAAGTAATCACTGATACGGGATACGAATCAAAGCAGTTTAAAGCAACAGCTACTCAATTCAAACTCAACTCTTTTAAAGATATCTTAAAGAATAGAATATTGGATCAACATGTGATATGTCTACCTGACCATCACAATGATCTCTATCCTCAATGGATTCAAGACATCATCTATGATATGAATAGAGCCGATCAGAGTAACATCAAAACAGCTATGGTCAAGAATTCTCAAACAACATCAAAACGACTAGAGTCACTCTACTCGATTCCATCGATCGAGACACTATTCATTGAGGAAAAAGATAAAGATGTAACGGTTGATCTAAACATCCCACTCTTACCTCGCCTCCAACATCTTTCAGTTCGTGCACAAAAGTTGAATATTTGTCAAGATCAAGCTATCAACACAACACTCAAGTCTCTAAAACTAGATGTTGCCACCAAATACACTCTCAGTGAATTGCAACTCACCAAATTCGTATCTCTGACAGAGCTGACGTTTAACAGTTATTTTGTTACAAATATTGGACCAGGACTCTTTCCAAGTAGTCTGACATCTCTCACTCTGAGACCAACAGAGATACCACCACGAGATACATTCCTTTCATTGGTGTACCTCGATATCCACCTGTCAAAAGATGAAATAAAAGCAAAGGTACAGGATCAACGATTCATCGATCTCGAGAGTCTATCAAAGCTCAAGACACTAGTCATCACTGACGACAACTTTTTAGATCAAGATAGAAAATACTGTATCACGTTTAGTGTACCTCCTTCAATCAAGGTTCTAACCATCTGGTCTGAATGCGTAGAGATCCCTTCGCAATGTTCAATGCCACTATTGGAGGAATTAAGCGTTCAACAAAAAACATTGATTGATGGAAGAATCAGTCTATTGTTATGTACATCGATAAAGGACCTGCTTATTTATGAATGCGCTGAAATCATACCAGCCAATATCATCCCACCAACTCTTGAAAAGTTATCAATCTATAAATACATAGATGAAGATATACTTGGACAAGATGTTTTGCCGCCATCTCTCACTCATCTATATATCAATGGAAAGTATGAATCTGTTAATATCCCACAAACACTCATCAAACTAAAACAGGCATTCAACAATGACCCACTACCTCAACATTTAAAGAAATTGGCTTGGGAATCATCTGGATCTGATTCCCAATTACAAAAAAATGTTTTATCTTCCTCCTATCCAACTAGTCTTGAATCACTCAACCTCATCGAAATCGATTGGAGGTGTACCATTGATAACATACCACCTGTGAAAAAGTTATCACTGCTCTTACCCCTCCCCAAGGAAAATTGGATAGCCGACATTCCAATCTATTCAATTACATCTAGAATATCAGTCTCCCAACAACAATGGTTGTCATCCAACACCACTCATCTAACTTGTCGGCTCAGTACACATCTCTCAAAAGGTGCATTTAGATTAGATGAAATAATCAATCACACCAATGTTAGATATTTACGATTAATCATTTCCACTTCGGTAACAACCTATCAATTTTCAATTCAAAGATTAGACGCAGATAACAACAATGTATTGGTATTGGAAACAAATACACTTACAGGTGGAATAATCACTCAAAGAAAATCAATCAACAACACTCAACAACAACAACAACAACAATATGATCCTCTTTATTTATATTATGATATAGGATCTCCACGTTCTACCTCTCGTGATGAATATCAATTAAAATGGACTTTTGATCCTTCCAATAAATTAAAATAAACCATCAATCAAAATAGACTTTTGGCCTCTTTTCTGATAATATACAATTATTTTTTATTTATTAATATTCACTATTTATTAAATTAATTTCCCCTTGGTTTTCTTCTTCTTAATTTAATAGTTTGCTCTCTAATTCTCCATTTGTTTTTCTTTAAAATATAAACGGTTGCAATAACAAGTACTGTTGCTCCAACAGCACTACAAACGACAGCAATGACAATGACCTTCCAATTTTCATTCTTTTCCTCTTCAACCATCTCTCCATTGATACAAGTGGTTGTAACTTTTTTATCCGTTAATAATAATGAAAAATCTACAATTTAAAAATAAATAAGAATTAATATATTAATTTTTTGTCTCTTTTAAATTCTTTTTTATCTTACCAGGATCAATAATAGCATAATTTGAAAAGATTGGTAAATGAATTCCTACAAGTGCAGTATTATTGACTGAATTTGTATTATTATTGGGAACGATTGAATTTTGGATAGAGACTATACGATCATCGACGATTGCATTTTGTTGGAATCTTGCATAGAGTACATTTTGACCGACTGACAATTCAATCCATGCCAATAAATTATTAGAACTATCGAGATAGCCAGCCTCTTTGCTTGCACATTCATCCCTACCGATACTAGTGTTGAACAACAACACCATGTGATTGAGTTGACTTGCAAAGACATAATTGGAAATGGCAACGGAATATTTAACAGATTGACTTGGGACCGTAAAATTTTGGTTGGCAAAGTTGTAGGTTTGTTCCATCTCTAAGTATTCCAATGTAACATTGATTGTTGCCTTGTCCCCTTGTATTGTGGTGTTGTAGAGGAACACTTGCTTTTCAGTACTGTTTAATGTCAAGTTGTAAGGTGTCCAATTCAATTGCTTGTAGGATACAACCTCTTTATCATCGATATCCATCTCTCTAATTTCAACCAATGAAATTGTTGTAACAATTTGGGTGGCAGTGATTGTGTTGTTGGCGTCAGTTTGATTGGTGAGGAAAGAGGTTGTTGGAACGGTTTGATCGATGGTTGTCTTTGTGGCATTGTCAGTTTGACCAAGACAATCGGATCCAATGTATGGCGATGTGCATACACAACCAGAACTTGTGCAATTTCCACGACTGTTACAGTTGTTGGGACAAATAACGGCTGGCACTGGAGGAGGGGCATAAGAGGCAACTGTAAAGTTGGTGACCGTCGATAATCTAGAGTCAACCTGCACGTAAATACTGCATACTGGCGATGTGAGTGGTCTAGAGACATGGAAAACAAGTTGATAGGCAAATGACTCGACTGAACAGGGATGATGGCACCGCCATCACATTGGATGAAACCCTTGACAGTGGCCAGTTGCAGTGGCGATCCAAAAGCATCACCCTTGACGACAAGCTGACCAACACCCTTGGAGTCTTGAGTCAATGGGTCGATTGATGTAATGACGGGGTCTATAATATCAAAGGTTGGGAAATAAGCCTTAAAGCCTAGAGATTCGAGATCATATGTTGAATAACCATTAAAGTTTAGATTATTGTCAACCAGTCCGTAAAGTGAAAGTCCAAAACCACCACCTAGAACAAAGCCGTATGGAAGATCAATGATGGCGGTATAGGTACTCTGGATTGTGTTGGTAGCACCCTGACGAGTCGAGTTGAACGAGAGTAGATCCTTGGCACTGTTGAGTGCATATACTACTGGAATGTGACGTGCTGACAGACCAGAGGTACCCTGCTCCTGGACAGTATAGTCGACCTTGTATCTGTATCTTGGGATGACCTCGATGACATTCCAAGCAGTAACATCGGGAGGTGTATTATCGACAGTGGGTGTACATTTGATATTGATCAAATCAATACCCGAGAGTGGATTGATTGAATCGATACCATAATATGGATCGTAGGTCAAAAGTTGTTTGGTGATGGTCACTACTTCTAGTCGAGAGACTGTATAGTTTTGAGTCTTGCAATTGCTTGCGATTGGAATACTAATTTCAAAGATACCAGTCGCGTTTGGAAGCACTGCAAATTGATAAGGTAGTGGATCCTCTGACCCTTGGATCACAATCTGCGCCGAGGCAAACAATGCATAGTCAAATATTACTCCAGTCCATGAGATGACACCTCCTGTGCCACCAGGTGTAATGACAACCTCTAAAACCTTTGCATTGATTACAAACTTTGGTCCTGTAGCCTGAGTATACAGACCCTTGTTTACGATGGTGGGACCGTCGACTGACAATACTTTACGGAGACGTAGTAATTGAGAACTAATGTCACGATTGATCAAGAGGAATGGGAGTTCACCTGGGATTGATCCGATAGGTACGTCCCAACGAATGTAATAGGCGTCGCCATCGTACCGACCCGTCACAATCTTTCTTTGGGTGGCCATACCATTACCCAAGACAAGTAGTTGTGGTGACCATCTCGATTTTACAAATGGTGCAGATACTAGATCAAATGCAATCCAAAATGGTTGTGTCTGGGTGGTAACATTGATAATATCGATGTGGGAATAGGCAACATTTCCAATATTGAAAACATCCATGCGCGAGATGGTATAAATGTTTGGAATGGTCTTTAGAGATTGATTCTCATCAATGTATAGTGCATCCATACTATACTCTTTGACATTACCAGCAATATCATAAATCAATATAGCTGTCACATAATCTCCAAACATACTAAATGATATCTCTTTACTAAACCAACCATCTCTAACCGTTCCATTTAACAAATCATTAATTGTTAATTCATTTCCAGCAATGACTATCTTTTTCACACCAGATCCCAAATCTTTAATCTTTAATTTAATAATACCACTATTATAATCTAAAAATTGATAATTTATATTTAATAATTGTGGTGCAATTATATCTTCATCTAAATTATTAAAAAAAAAATTAATTAATTAATAAATTAAATATTATAACAATTAATTATTATTATTTTAGTTTACATACTACCAGTAACTGATTTTTGAACAGTTAAAAAATTTGAAGTACCATAGGTTTCGACTGTCAACTTGAAGGGAGAGAATTGATAAAATGATGGAATGATAAGGGAGAGGGTATGTACATAGCTATCTGCATTACCATATCCAAAAGAGAATGGGAATGTATGATATAACATTCTTTCTCTCAACTGATCATCCACTGTCCAAGTAAGTGTGGATGGTGAAAGGTTTTTAGTCGTAGAAAAACTCATCAATGCTGATGGATTAGTTGGTAATACTGCCACTGTATTATTACTACTAACAATACTATTAATAAAATATGTACTTGTCATTTCTAAAATAAAAAAGAAAGAAAGAAAGAGATATTAATTTAATTTAATTTAATTTAATTAATTATTTAATTTAATTTAACTTACTTGTAAATGTTATAGTGTATTGTCTATCTACAAAGTTTGAAGTGCCGAAAGCTTGAAGCAGTAAAATGTGCGTGGCAGGAGACTGCGTATAAAAGTAGAAGGTGTAGACACCCGATGTACGATTACCTTTGGTGGGGAAAAAAAAGGCAGCTGGTTGTTGGGTGGTCAACACCGATGGACCAGTCATTTCTACTTGACAGTCAAATGATGAAATTGCACCTTTATATCCATACGCTGTAATACTACTTGGTGGACAACTAACAGTTGTTTGTACTAAAAGAGATATATATATATATATAGTGTTAGAAAGTTAGGGGGTTGGATAAGGATGGTTTATATATTTAAATATATTTGTATGTACATACCAGAACTACTAAACAATGATGGTATAGTCGCCTGAGCAGATAGAATCGATAACATTTGACTAGAGGTTGTTGTTGATGTTGAGAATGTAATTTCATAGATTCTAGTTCGAGTCATTGGGGATGTGTGACGATCTGCAACCACTCTTGTTGGACCACAAACAGAACTAGAACAAACAGTGACGGGATCATATAATATTGTTGTTTGTATATTAAAAACACCTTCATTTCTAATTGAATCATAGAAATATCCGTAATGTGTTATTGAAGGATCAGCATCTCCTACAAAAAAAAATAAAAAATATATAATAATTAATATTATTATTCATTATGATATATTATATTTTATATATATATTTAGATCTACTTACCAACAGTACAAATCAAAGGAGAACCTGTATATGCTAAATTGTAGATAGAAGTAGTGGTTGATATTGTTATATTGTCAGGTGTGCCAGTGGCATTACCAGTGGTTGGACTTGGTACAGAGACTGTACCGTAATAGTAGATTTTGTCATTTGCATCATTTGTAAAAGATGCAATTACATTGTACAATGAACTCTTGTACTGCACTTGCAAGATATCTTGAGCCGGGTTATCATTTAACAAGTTGACCGATATCGTCCAAGTACAAGGCTGCGAAGATGATTCAGTAAACTGTAACGGTTCTTTATTCACTATTAATCCACCGATTGTAACTACACCATAAACATAGTTTACAAATGATCTATTTGTCATACACGTTAACAGTAATGTGAATAATAACAGTCTTATTAAAGGTGATTGTTTCATCATCTTTTTGCTATTATTATTATACGTAGTATATCTCTCTATCTCTAATATTGTAACTCTTTTATCTTATCTCTTTCTTCTCTCTTTAAAATAACTACTAACTACTTTGCTGTTGCTCAATACGATGGCAACCTTCATCATCGTCACTGTCTGTTACGTTATGAACCGGCAACAACAACCATCTCTAATAATAATTAACAATGATACTGGATATGCAGAAAAATATCTAGTTGAGTGCACTCGCACGTCTTTGTACACTTCTTTTCTGTCTTCGAAATTCTTTTATCTTTTTTCATCGAATCTAAATCAGCAGTTTGTACCCATAGATAAAGATATAGAATAGGATAAAGATGTATTATAGTATGAATCTAGAAATATTTCTAAAGTATCTTAATTATTGTGTCTTTCTATCCCATCAAACAAAGATATTTTCATTTTTTGGCGCCATCGGACTTGAAGTTGTATAATGGTTTTAGTTGTCCAGACACCCAAGACAAAGGATAAAAAATATTGTTTCATTCATTTTGTTCAAAGCAATAGTTATAATATATAATTGAACAAAGCCAGAGATGGAAAAGTTATCAAATATAATACTATCACAAATTATAGCATCGATTGACAGTAATGGAGATATTGTATGTTTGTTGTTGACTTGTAAAAAGTTATATTATAATAGTGCTTTAAAAAGATCGATTCAGTTTAAAGGAATAAGACCTATCAATGATAGAGTAACAACAACGACTACTACTACTACTAGTCTATTCAACATAAACTCATTTAAAGATATATTGGAGAATAGAGGAGGAGGATCCGCTGATCAACTTGCAAAAGGAAAGAAAGTGAAAGCAACATCACTAGAGTTAGTACTCGTCGACAGTGACACATTATCATTAATCGAAGAACTAGTCATAGATAACGGTGAAGATGAAGAAACAATAGTTGACCTTGGTTCCATCTCACAGTTGACACGTCTTCGACATCTTTCAGTCAAAGCACACAAGTTGATTCTTGGTCCTCATCCAACACTCAAGTCTCTGACACTAGACACCTTTTACGACATTGACTTGGAATCCACCAAATTCGTATCGTTGACAGAGCTGACCTTTGACAGTTATTTTTCTGGGTTCCGACGAGGAATCTTTCCAAGCAGTCTGACCCATCTCACCGTGAAGCCCGGGGAGATACCTCCACGAGATACATTCCTTTCATTGATGTCACTCGAGTACCTCGATATCGATCTGCAAGGAGTGAGTATGGACGACGAAGACGACGATGACGACGACAACGATGACGACGAGGATGAAAGAAAAGAATTCCTCGATCTCGAGAGTCTACCAAACCTCAAGACACTAACAATCTTTGACGACAACACTTATAACTACGGTCTCGAGATTAGTATGCCTCCTTCCATTGAGATTCTTCTACTCCATGCTGAATGTCCACGAATCCCACATCGATGCCCAATGCCACTGTTGTACGATTTGTATGCGCCACAAAGTATGCTGATTGGTGGAAGGATCAGTCTAGCGTCATCACCATTGCTCAAGGAACTGACTATTGACCTTTGCGTTGAACCCATGCCAGCCGATTTCATCGTCCCATCCTCTGTCAACAATCTTGCATTTATCAAATACGCAGATGAAGAACAGATTCTTGAACACTTTGTATTGCCACCAACTCTTACTGAACTATCGATGCATGCAGAATACGAACCCGTCCAACAATTCCCAGAATCACTCATCAAACTAACAAAGACAATCAACCAGGATGCACTACCACTTCCACTTCCGCGTCAATTAAAGAAACTGAAATGTAAGTCAGATGGGAGAGACGATGGACCTTCTGATTCCGACAAACCTGAAAGTGTTTTATCATTGGACTATCCATCCAGTCTTGAAAAACTCAACCTCATCGATGTCCCATGGGGATACACACTCGGTACCATTGAAAACATACCATCTGTCAAAAATCTATTAATTGCATTACGTCAACCAGAGAAACCTTGGGAGATATCAGACTATCCAATCTTTTCAATAGCCTCTAGAATATCTTTTGGCACAGATCAACCACCATCACAACAACAACAGCAATGGTTATCACCCAATACTACACATCTAACTTGCAGATTCATTACTCGTCAAACAAAATGCTTGTTTAGATTGGATCAAATAATCAATCACACCAATGTTAGATATTTATCTATCCAAATAGATGACAGAAGAAATCATGATAAACAACCATTCCAATTTTCAATTCAAAGATTAGACCCAGACAACAACAATGTATTGGTATTGGAAACAAAGTCACTTCAAGGTGGTATAATCACTCAACAAAGAAAAACGATCAACGCTCAACAACAACATAGAAATGATCCCATTTATTTATATTTTGATAGCAATCAATCAAAAAGTGAATCAAAAATCGGGTCATATCAATCTGTCTCTCCAGATGCATATGTATTCAAATGGAGTTTTGAACCACTTTGGAAAGATCAACCCCAAACTTCCACTCATCATAAAGTGATCACAAAAAAGACAAAGAATAAATAAAGAGTAAATAAAGAATAAATAAAGAATAAATAAACATCAATCATGATGAAGCAACTATTTTATATATAGCAAAGAGAAATAAACCCCACAAAAATATGGTCCATATAATTCAATTTCATAAAAGCAATAGTTATAATTGAACAAAGTTCCTAGAGGAGGATAAAGTAGAAGGAAAATAATAAAGTAGATGAAATAGATCTTGTAACATTATTTTATGACCAAAAAGGAGGAGTAGTTGATTTGTTATTATTATTAATCTATTAAATTGATAAACTCGGTTGGCAACAGTATTTTCATATTGTTTAATTGACTTTAGTCTTCTTATTCTTTGTTTACCACCAAATTGATTCTATAATTATTATTGAGGAGAATTAAATCATTCCACCACCACCATTACTCTTGATGTTGGTGCCCTCTAGATTAGATTAATAAATTAATTCAATATTTAAAATAGTAATCTATCAATCTTGACAACCAATGAAGCTTCTTTTTGTTTTCCTAACCCTAGACTTTACCAAGTCACCACCAATAATACTCTGTCAGAGCTACTCTATTTCATTTAACCTGATTGTTTTGTTACGATCACCACTTTCGATCACAACCATCACTAGCAGGCAAACAAAACCAAATGCTCATTTCTATTAAAAAGATAACATACTATTAGTAATCTTGATCAATCATTATTAAATGTTTTTGATTAAGTTGTTTATTCAATTATCTTACATGAGGATAGGCACACTGTGACAATTGTCGTTTAATTTGTTGGTGTTCTTTGTTAATATTGTTATTATTATTTACTATCATTATTATTATTATTAAGAGCATTCATTGCTGTAACTGATTGAACAACTTGTGATGCCATCGGTAAATGATGAATAACAAAGAGATAAAAACTGATTAAATAATTATTCTCACCAAACATGAGAGAAAAAAAATATCTCATGTTTGGTGAGCTCATGTTATCTTGTACCAAGTTGTGGATTCATTAAATGTATTACTTATTCATAATTATAGTATGACTAGTCTATTAAAGTTATCTAATTTATTATTATCACAAATCATCTCATCTATTGATGACAATGAAGATATAATATGTTTGTTGTTTACATGTAAAAAGTTATACAATAATAGTAGTAGTATTAGAAGATCGATTGGATTTAAAGGGATAGAAGCAATCAACGAGAATGTCAAGGAATATATATCAAGAAAGTTTATAGTAACTGCTACTCTTAAAGGATTTAATCTCAACTCTTTCAAAGATGTATTGGTGAATGGTATATCTAATCATCAGGTGATTCTAGGCAAATACGCAAACAAAGATATTCCTCAATGGATACAACAACGTATTTCTCTAACTGATAGAGACAGAGATGATATGAAAAGTGGCATTACAACTGCATTGGTAAACAACGCAACACCAACATTAATAGAGTCACTCTATGACGACACACCATCTCTCGAGACACTATTCATTGACGACAAACAGACTGTAGTCGATCTTGACCGTATCTCACTATTACCTCGTCTCAAACAACTTGAAGTTCGTGCAAACCAATTGATAATTGGTCAACACACATCACTAAAGTCTCTAAAGATCGATGTCAGATGTGATCCAATCGACATGTGTCTCACCAAATTCGTATCGTTGACAGAGTTGACCTATGTTAATAGTTTTGTGCATGATCGTATTGGACCAGGTCTGTTGCCAAACACTCTAACCTCACTCACTTTGACACTGATGGACGCACCACCACAAGATACGTTCCTTCCATTGACATCGTTGGCTAAACTAAAGATAGACTTTCAAAAAATTTCAATGGAGGATGTAGAGGTGGACGACCAACCAATCATCGATCTCCAGTCTCTAAGCAGATTTGAGAAACTCAGTTTCTCCCATCCCTTCAAGAGAATAAGGTATAACCTCGTGTTTAGAGTCCCTCCTTCCATCAAGAGTCTTGGATTTTTCTCAACAGGAGCAAAAATCGCACGGGATTGTCCGATGCCATTATTGGAGAAATTGTTTGTCGCGCAAAACACATTGATTGATGGAAGAGTCAGTCTAATGACATCATCAACATCTCTAAAGGAACTATGTATTTATGAATGTAATGGTACCTTTCCAGCAGCTGCTGGAAATAGTAATGATACTTTTATCATACCATCTAGTCTTGAAAAGTTAACAATCTTTAAACAAGAATCTAAAGTAGATGTGCTTCAACACCTTGTATTACCGCCATCTCTGACTGATCTAACTATCATGGGTAATTACGAACCTGTTCAACTCCCTCAATCACTCATTAAACTAAAACAGGTATTCAACAAAGATACTCCAGTATCTCTTCCTCAACATTTAATTCAACTGGATTGGATGGGAGTATCCAATACACAATTAGATCTACCATCCTCTTATCCACCCAATCTTGAAACGCTCAATCTACTCGATATCAAAGGTGACTTTATGATTGACGTACCTTCAACCGTTAAATATCTATTAATGCGGTTGGCCATACCACCTAAACCATGGCAAAATGATATTCTTGTCTTTTCGATAACCTCTGGATTAACCAAAAGCATCAACTCTGTTGGCAACCAATCACAATGGTTGCCGATCAATACCACCCATCTTACTTGCAACTTAAATACTTTTGTCACACATATAGCATTTAGATTAGATCAAGTAATCAATCACACCAATGTTAGATATTTAAATATCAATATTTCGAGTATCAATTATCAATTTTCAATTCAAAGATTAGACCTTGATAATAACAATGTGTTGATATTGGAAAGACAAACACTTCAAGGTGGAATCATCACTCAGAAACGAACAAAATCAATCAACAATCAAAAACAACAACAACAACAATATGATCCAATTTATTTATGTTTTAATATGGGTTATCCACTTGTTCTAAATTGGACTTTTGACCTAAATAGAAACAAACAAAAAAAATAAAGGACGTGGATAAAATTATTTTTAAAAAGTGTGTGAGGTCATACTAAAAGAGAAAAAAACTCAATCCTACATCATCAAAATCAAAGACTTTCCTCAATGGATACAACTTGCAGACAGTGGTATTACAACTGCTTTGGTTAATGATTTCAAACCATCATTGATAAAGTCAATCTCTGAAATACCGTCTATCGAGACACTATTCATCAATCAAGAAGGTACTATGGATCTTAGTTTTATATCACTATTACCTCGTCTCCAACGACTTGCGGTCAGCGCAGACAAGGTTAAATTTGGTCATAACACATCACTCAAATCTCTGTTGTTGGAAAACACATGTGACTGTTCGAGGTGCCTCCAAGAGATACATTCCTTTCATTGACGTCGTTGGTGTATCTCAATCTCCAGTTGGTGGCAGAAGACGACACCAAGAAAGAAGAGGAGCCATGTATCGATCTTGAAGATTTACATACACTCAAGACACTCAAGTTTAAATTCATTGATGATACTCGAGATAAAAATTATAACCTAGAGATTAGTTTACCTCCATCACACGACACTTGACTTTAATTCTAAAAGTGCATACATCTCAACGAGATCGACCCTACCAAAGTTGGAAAAGTTGGGTGTTAGTCAAGTAGAATTATTCAACAGTCTATTGGTATCACCTTTACTCAAGAAACTAGTTATCTACAATTGCAATGAAATCATTCCAGAAAATAAGATCCCAAAGACTGTCGAAAAACTTACAATCTTTAAACTCGTTTATAAAGATATACTTGGACAAGTTGTATTCCCACCATCACTCACTCACTTCCTCCACATTTGAAAAAGATAGTTTGGAAACCAGATGTCCCAATCAAAGATATCTATATTAAATTTCCACCATCTTATCCACCAACTCTTGAAACACTTGATCTCATCGATATAAAAGGTGAATATACCATTGACAATATACCACCATCCACCAAGCATTTTGCCTATATCCATTCTCCAACAGTATTCAAGGATCTCATTAAAAATGGGTTATCATCCAATACAACTCATCTAACTTGCCTGGTAGATAGTGATCAACATGGTACAAAATTTAGATTAGATGAAATTATCAATCAAACCAATGTTAGATATTTAAATATCATTCTAGTCGTTATCGATTATTCAACTCGCGAATATCCCGAAATAACCAGACAAACACATCAATTTACAATTCAAAGATTGGACTCTGACAATCTGAATGTATTGGTATTGGAAACACAGTCACTTATAGGTGGTTTTATCACTCAACGACAGAGAAATGTAATGAAACCAAAATCAAATCAACAAAAACAAAAATATGATCCCTTTTATTTATGTTTTAATATTGGCTGTGATTCGAATGAAATATACAATTATAAGATTTTATTAAATTTTCAAAAGAAACAAATTAAAAGAGAAAAGACCAAAACGACTATAAATTAAAAAAAAAATAATTAATCAAATAAATAAATAATAATATTTAATTTTAAATAATAATAGTTAATTATAATCAACTCTATTTTGCTTATAATGGAAGTTGTCAGGAAGAGGATAGAGTTGATTTTTTCTGTGCCTAAATTGATTGACAAAAAAAAAAAGAGTCAGTGGAAAAGAAAAGCTAAAAATGAAGTTCAATCTTTTGGCGCCATCTTCAAAAGGGAAACTCTAGAAAAAAAGTGCACCCCTTTGCTTTGGAACAAACAAAAAATACTTTTCTATTACACATTATTTATGTAATACTTTTATAAATATTCACACACAAAAGAAAAGTATGACGAGTCTATTAAATTTATCAAATACAATAATATCACAAATCATATCAGAGATTGAAGATAATGGAGATATAATATGTTTATTGTTAACTTGTAAAGGAATATATCAAAATGATAGTATTAAAAGATCGATTCAGTTTAAAGGAATAGAAGCTATCGATACTATCAATAGATGTGTATCAGAGCCGTTTACAGCAACAGCTACCCGATACAACCTCAAATCATTTCAAGATATATTGGAGAATAGTATATCGAATCATCAGGTGATGATACTAAAAGAGAAAAAAAAAAGGTATCATTCATATAACGCACCCACAATCATAGACTATCCTCAATGGATACAACAACGTATCAGTCTGACTGATAGAGATGATGATAAAAGTGGTGGTATTATAACTGCTTTGGTGAATGATCCCAAACAATCACCATCTCTAGAGCCACTCTCGGTGGACATGCCATCTCTAGAGACACTATTCATCAATCAAAAACGAGGTAAAATGGATCTCGGCTCCATCTCATCATTACTACCTTGTCTTCAACGACTTGCGGTCAGCGCAGACAAGGTTAAATTTGGTCATAATACATCACTCAAATCTCTGTTGTTGGAATGTGACCAAAACTCCTCTCTAACAAAGTTTGGTCTTTCCAATTTGGTGTCGTTGACCGAGTTGACTATCGAACCTTCTTATGTGTGTGGATTGGTACCGGGTCTCTTGCCAAGTAGTCTGACATCAGTCACTATTGGACTGTTCGAGGTACCTCCAAGAGACACATTCCTTTCATTGACGTCGTTGGTGTATCTCAGTCTTCAGTTGGTGGCAGAAGACGATACCAAGAAAGAAGAGGAGCCATGTATCGATCTTGAAGATTTACATACACTCAAGACACTCAAGTTCAAGTTATTTGATGATACTCAAGATAAAAAGTACATCTTGGAGCTTAGTGTACCTCCATCACTGACGACACTTGACTTTAATTCTAAAAGTGCATACATCTCAACTAGATCTACCCTACCAAAGTTGGAGAAGCTGTCAATCAATCAAGTACAATTATTCGATGCCCGAGTCAACAGTCTATTGGTATCACCGTCTCTCAAGAAATTGGTTATCTACAATTGCAATGAAATCATGCCAGCTCATATCATTCCATCAACTCTCGAAAAACTTACCATCTTTAAACTCGTTTATAAAGATATACTTGGACAAGTTGTATTCCCACCATCACTCACTCATCTATCCGTCTTGGGATTGTATTGTGAGGAGTTAACCCAACCACTCCCAGAATCAATCATCAAACTAAAGTTGTTGGTCAATACTAGAGGTGCACCCAAATCACCACTCCCTCAACACTTGAAAAAGCTGGTTTGGGTACAACCAGAAGACACCAAAATCAATGGTGCCTCTGTAAAGTTTCCATCCTCCTATCCACCAACACTTGAAACACTTGATCTCAGCGACATCCAAGGTGAATTTACCATTGACAATATGCCACCGTCCACCAAGCATCTCGCCGTCGACCTTCCACCACTCACAGGGTATGAGGATGAAAAACACACAAAACCAGTTTACTACTATTCAATCTCCTCTCTATTCCCAAAATCCATCCTCGATCAACAACAATGGCTGTCACCCAATACCACCCATCTAACTTGCCAGTTAAACAGTGATGATAGACGTCATAATAGTCGAGTAGAATTGAGTTTGTATGACATCATCCTCTATACCAATATTAGATATTTAACTGTCATTGTCTTTATGTCAAGAGAGCAATTACACTCGAGTGTATGTCATGAAACGACCAAACGAACCTACCAATTTTCAATTCAAAGATTGAATCCTAAAGATACATTGGTTTTGGAAACAAAGTCACTTCAAGGTGGAGTGATCACTCAGACAATCCATCAACAGGGATATTATAATCTAATGTCTTTATTTTTTAATTCTACACCCAAATCAAATTGGTCATTTTTTTATGTAACCCTTGACTAAATATGGAGTAATGACGGATAATAGGTAACAAACGATCAATGCTCAACAACAACAACAACAACAACAACAACAACAACAACAACAAACATATTAATGCCTTGATCCAATTTATTTATATTTTGATATTGAGAGCTTCTCAAACAATCCATTCAAGTTGGCGAGATTATGTAAATAAATAAATAATAATAAATAAAAAGATAATATATTTTGATGAGGTTCATCTTGGAGGTTTATGTATTTATTTTTCATTTTTTTTCTCTATCATTATATGTTCATGACATGACTCTACTATTATCTTTATCTAATCTATTACTATCACAAATCATATCAGATATTGATGATAATGCAGATCTAATATGTTTTTTGTTGACTTGTAAAAAGTTGTACAGTAATAGTCGCATTAGAAGATCGATTCAGTTTAGAGGAATAGAACCTATAGATACTGATTATGGAGAGACATCAAAACAGTTTATAGTAACTGCTACTCGATTCAACCTCAACTCTTTTAAAGATATATTGGTGAATAGTATACTATCTAATCATCAGGTGATACTAGGCAACCAAGATGATCTTCCTCAATGGATACAACAACGAGTCATCTATCAAAAGATAGTTGACAAGAGTAAGAGTGGGGACATTAAAACTGCATTGGTCGAGTATACTTCTCCCCTGTCTCCAATCTACTCGGCACCATCAATCGAGACACTATTCATTAACGAGTCATATGATCAATCGGTCGATCTTGACAGTATCTCACTCTTGCCTCGTCTCCAACGACTTGAAGTCCGTGCTGGTAGATTCAATATTGGCAGACACACATCACTCAAGTATCTCAAACTAGAAGTTAAGACAGAATCCGATGATGGCATACCGTTCATCAGCAAGTTTGGGCTCAATGGCCTAGAATCACTGACAGAGCTAAACATGAGGTATTGCTCTCAAATGACTGGACTTGTACCAGGTCTATTACCAAGCACCCTGACATCACTCACTCTTAGTCTCATGAAAGTACCTCCACGAAATACATTCATTTCATTGACATCACTTGTGACCCTCGATCTTGGCATATACACCCAAGATGGCCTTGGAGAGGTGGAGGAAGAACATGTACCACATGAAGATGAATATGGAGAGGTCCAAGAACAAAAACAATATGTGGATCTCGAGTCTCTACATACTCTCAAGACTCTCAAGTTCTACCTCTTTGACCAACCTCACCCCAAACTCGAATTATGTGTACCTCCATCACTCACGACTCTTGACTTTTATTGTAGATCCATTGTCCAAATCCCATCACGTTGTACTATGCCATCGTTGGAGAAATTATGCGTGCAACAAATGGTATTGATTGATGGAAATATTAATCTGTTGCCATGTACATCACCATCAACATCTCTAAAGAAACTAGTTCTTTATGATTGCGATCAACCTATCAGGCCAGGCAATACATACATCCCATCAACTCTTGAAAAGTTATCAATCTATAATGAAAATACAGAATCAATTCTTGGACAAGGTGTTGTATTTCCACCATTACTCACTCATCTGACCATATTGGGAGGAGATTATGAACCTAATGTTCACCATATTCTCCCAGAATCGCTCGTCAAACTAAAGGTGTTGGTCAATAACCATCTCGATACAATCTCACTTCCAAAACATTTGAAAAAACTGGTTTGGATACAACCGAAAATCAAAATCAAAGATATTGCGTTTCCATCCTCATATCCACCCAATCTTGAAACACTCAACCTGGGAAATATTAAAGATAAATTTATGATTGACAATATTCCATCAACTATTAAATATCTATCAATCTCCTTGGAAATTGACAATCAAAAACGACATTCAAATAATGTGTGCATCTATTCAATCTGCTCTAAATTTACCAATTCCATCCTATCCCAACAACAATGGTTACCAATCAATACTACTCATCTAACTTGTCACCTAGATGATAGAAGAAAATCAAGTTTTAGATTAGATCAAATAATCAATCACACCAATGTTAGATATTTAACAATTTCTATTTCCTACCGGCCATATATCTTTACAATTCAAAGATTAGACACAGATAATCAAAATGTATTGGTATTGGAAAAAGAGACGCCATTAGGTGGAATAATCAATCAAAGAAAAGCAATCAACAGCACTGAACAACAACAACAATATGACCCTATTTATTTATTTTTTGAGAACCATTATTCTTCTCATTTGACAGTGAAATGGAAATTTGGATAAAGAAAAATAAATAAATAAATAAATAAATAAATAAATAAACAATGACAACTCGTTTATTATCTTATCTATTACTATTGTTGTTGCAATAGTTGAGGTGGTTGGTTGATTACTAGAAGATGTTTGATAATTATTATTATTATTATTGTATAGTTGAAGAAGATATTTATGTAGCATTCATCCTTGCACATGTGGGTATGTTGATGCAATTAATAGATTGCAGTGATTTCAAATGCCACTGCACTGACTCGCACGTGCAACCAATCAATGCTTTCATTCCAATCTTTCGCTCTTTGTTAATTTGAAGCCGTAGCATGTTTTCATATTATATCAACATCCTGATCATCATCTTCTTCAAACTATCTTGTTATTATTATTAAACTGATCATATCTCTTTCTTTGTTGGTATAAGATATTCACGAGAAAACATTTGTGAAATTTTAGCAAAAGCATAGATCAGAAAAAACAAAGAAATAGAAAAAAAAATGTTTGTTCTCAGGGACAAATAAGACACTTTGTATTTTTTTTTTATGTTGCTACAAATATAGTATGACCAGTCGACTATTATCTTTATCAAATTTATTACTATCATATATCATATCAGATATTGATGATAATGGAGATATAATATGTTTGTTGTTGACTTGTAAACAGTTATATCATAATAGTGCTTTAAGAAGAGGATCGATTCAGTTTAAAGGTGTGACGGCTATAGATACTGATTTTGGAGAGATATCAAAACCGTTTATAGTAACAGCTACCCGATACAACCTCAACTCATTTAAAGATATATTGGAGAATAGTATACTATCTTATCATCATGTGATACTAGGTAGCAACAAACATGATGATCTACCTCAATCGATACAAGAACGAGTCATCTATGAAAAGAGAGTTGACAAGAGTAAGAGTGGTGACATTAAAACTGCTTTGGTCGTGGATACTTCTCAACTGTCACTAGAGTCAATCTACTCGATACCATCCATCGAGACGCTATTCATTAACGAGTCATACGATAAATCGGTCGATCTTGACAGTATCTCACTCTTGCCTCGTCTCCAACGACTTGAAGTTCGTGCTGATGGATTCAATATTGGTAGACACACATCACTCAAGTATCTCAAACTCGAAGTTACGACAGAATCCGATGATGGCATACCGTTCATCAGCAAGTTTGGGCTCAATGGCCTAGAATCACTGACAGAGTTAAACATGAGGTATTGCGCTCAAATGACTGGACTGGTACCAGGTCTATTACCCAAAACTCTGACATCACTCACTCTTAGTCTCATGAGTGTACCTCCACTAGATACATTCCTTTCATTGACGTCACTTGCCAAACTCGATCTTGGCATATACATCCATGATGACAGAGAGGAGAAGGAAGAAGATGGAGATGATGTAGAGGAGGAAGTTCAAGAACAACAACAACAACAACAACAATACATGGATCTCGAGACTCTACATACTCTCAAGACTCTCAAGCTCGACATCTTTAACAAAACTCACCACAAACTCGAATTATGTGTACCTCCATCACTCACGACTCTTGACATTTTTTGTAAAGAAGCATTCATCCCATCACGTTGTACTATGCCATCGTTGGAGAAATTGTATGTGCACCAATCCCTTTTGATCGATCAAAGAATCAGTCTAGAATCATCACCATCTCTAAAGAAACTAGTTCTTTATGAATGCGATCAACCTATCACGCCAGACAATACATTCATCCCATCAACTCTTGAAAAGTTATCAATCTATAATGAAAATACAGAATCAATTCTTGGACAAGGTGTTGTATTTCCACCATTACTCACTCATCTGACCATATTGGGAGGAGATTATGAACCTATTGTTCACCATATTCTCCCAGAATCGCTCGTCAAGCTAAAGGTGTTGGTCAATAACCAACCCGATCCAATCTCACTTCCAATACATTTGAAAAAACTGGTTTGGATACAACCGAAAACCAAAATCAAAGATATTGTGCTATTACCATCCTCATATCCACCCAATCTTGAAACACTCAACCTGGGAAATATTAAAGATAAATTTATGATTGACAAAAATAATCCATCAACTATTAAATATCTATCAATGCCATTGGAAATTGACAATCAAAAACGACATTCAAATAATGTGTGCATCTATTCAATCTGCTCTAAATTTACCAATTCCATCCTATCTCAACAACAATGGTTACCAATCAATACTACTCATCTAATTTGTCACCTAGATGATAGAACAAAGTCAAGTTTTAGATTAGATCAAGTAATCAATCACACCAATGTTAGATATTTAACAATTGCTATTGCCTACAAACCATATATCTTTACAATTCAAAGATTAGACACAGATAATCAAAATGTATTGGTATTGGAAAAAGAGACACTTCAAGGTGGAATAATCACTCAGAGAAAATCAATCAACATCACTGAACGACAATATGATCCTATTTATTTATTTTTTGAGAACCATTTTACTTCTCATTTGAAAGTGAAATGGAAATTTGGAAATATATAAATAAATAAATAAATAAATAAATACTAGTCTATTATCTATATCTAATCTATTACTATTTATAAACAATATTTATTTATTTATTAATTTATTATTAATTTTTATATTTAATTTAAATATCATCATGACGTTTTAAATTTAAATAGAGATAGGCAAAAGCATGATCGATAACATCATAGTTGTAATTATCAAATTCCAAGTCGAGTAGAATCTGTCGTTTCAAACAAGTTGTGATTAGAGGAAGGTGACAATAGTTTTTGACACCCAACTCGAATGCAAGAAGCGTGATGAGGAGTACGTTTTGTCGCATATCTTGTGCCCATTGCTTTTTAACATCCCAATGTCGAATGGCAAACGAGCCCATAACGTCGAGTGCCTTTTCCGGTGTTTTCTGGCTATGTATGTCACTCATCAAGAGTAGGTCTTTTTCATGATACTGTGATCTGTTTTGATCCATAATATCACAAACAACCATCTCGGTGATCAGAGTAAGCGTGGTCATGGTTTTGACATTGAGTTTGTATTTGGTGGGTCTGTACTTTCTGATGGTATTGTTTTCGAGGTACCATGTCAACTTTGACAAGTCCCATACGATTGGGAGTTGTTCATCGACAATACCAAAGTAACGGTTGTATGTATGCATAATCTTGGCTGTCAAGTCTGGTGTACGACGTGGAATAGATCGGTTTAGTCTGACGAGACGTTCCTTGATAATATCGGCAATTCTGTCACGACCAAAGCCCGGTAAACCCATTGTGTACCCGCCGACGACGAGCATGGTCGCCATTGTGACATAGGCTGGTACCATGTGCTTGTTTGTAATTTCAAATGGTATGGTACACATGGGATTGTAGCAGCAGAAATAGTCGGCGTCGAGGTTACCCTTTGCCACATAGGTCTGAGCCTTTTGGTTTGGGTTGGGTATCAAATCGAGCATTTCAAACATAAGCTTGTTGCAAAATTTAATATACACGGGCAACAATTTTGTTTTGGTGGCTTCGGACGTGTCAGAGGCACGAGCAAACCCAGCGTCACTTAGATACTTGTCCAATGTTGCTTCGTTCCACGGTTTCTTTAGATCCACTCCTTTGACATCAACAATCTTTCCATAGTTGTATGGGTAGTCTATTCCATCGTCTCTTACAACTCTTGTTGGTTCTGTCAATAGTTGAGCCGGTGTTGTTTTCTTTTTCTTTTTCTTCTTTTTCTTTTCTCCTTCTGGTTTTGGTGGAACTACTTGTGTTGTAGTTTTAACTTCTTCTTTTTCTTCTTCTGCTGCTGTATCTAATTTAATACGTATTTGTTCACTAAAGAAATAAATATAAATAAAAAAAAGAAGAATAAGAATACATGTTCAGCTGATTATTAATATTATTAATATTTTAGATAGCCAGTTTAACTTACAATGTATTCATCAGTTACGATAGTAGATGACTCTGATGTTCTAAAATTATCACAACTGCCATCACAGCAATGATGTTGATGATCTCCTTCTTTTTTACTCATATTTGATAATAATAATATTTAATACTTTCTATCTTACTTTAGATACTATGAAGAGTAAGATACATAGTGCATTGACAACGTTCACCCAATTAATTTAAATTAATAAAAAAAACCGAGCCACCTCGAAGTTCAGAATAAATGGTTATACTATCTCATGAAGATGACTCTACTATTACAGTTATCTAATTTATTACTATTACATATAATATTAGATATTGACAATAATGCAGATATAGTATGTTTGTTGTTGACTTGTAAACAGATATACAATAATAGTATTAAAAGGTTGATTCAGTTTAAAGGCATAACACCTACTGCTAATGATAAAGGAGTATTATCACCACAGTTTATAGCAACGGCTACTCGATTCAACATCAACTCTTTTAAAGATATATTGGAGAATAGTATATCGAATCATTATGTTATACTACCTCGAGAATTCCATGACTTTCCTCCATGGATACAACAACGTCTATCTCCAAACAGAGCCGACAAGAGTGACATTACGACTGCATTGGTGACCTATTATCGATTAACATCACTACATTCACTTTTGGACATGTCATCGATCGAGACACTATTCATCAACCACAAACACGGGAATACAATAGATCTTGGTAGTATCTCACTCTTGCCACGTCTACAACGACTTGAAGTTCTTGCACAACAACTCAAGCTTGGTCCTCACCCGTCACTCAAGTCTCTAAAAGTGTATATTAACAATCCATTCGATCTCGGTGACTTGCAACTCGACAAATGCGTATCGTTGACAGAGCTGTCGCTAAAGAGTGAATATATGTCTGGGCTCGAACCTGGTATCTTGCCAAGCAGCTTGACATCGCTCACTCTGAGTACATTGGATTTTCCACGAGACTCATTCCTTTCATTGACATCGCTGGTGTATCTCAAGATCAACATAAACCATCTGGGCCCAGATGAAGAGATAGAAGATGAGGGGGTGCAAGAACAGCTATTCATCGATCTAGAGACTCTATCTACACTCAAGACACTCATTATCAGAGACTACCATGACAATGACCCAACAGAGGATAGACAGTACGGTCTAGAGATTACTGTACCTCCATCACTCACCATTCTCCACCTCATTGCTTCATCCATACAAATCCCAACTAAATGTACAATGCCACTATTAGAGAAATTGTATATCCGACAGAGTATTCTGGTTGGTCTTAGATTTAGTCTATCATCATGTGGTCCATCACTCAAGAAACTAGCTCTTTATGAATGTCTCAAAACCATCACAACTATCATCCCACCGACTATCGAAAAGCTATCAATCTATAAATATGAGGAAGATCCTATACTTGACCAAATTATATTCCCACCATCTCTTACTCATCTCACTATTAGAGGATTCAACGAACCTGTTCAACTCCCTCCATCACTCATCAAACTACACCAAAACATCAACAAAAATGCTCATCCACTTCCACAACATTTAAAAAAACTAGTTTGGGATATGGATGAGAAAAGAACATCCTCTTCTAATTTTGAATTCACAACATCCTATCCACCCAACCTTGAAACACTGCAATTATTTGATGTTGGTGGTGACTTTACAATTGACATACCATCAATCACCAAACACCTATCAATATCGTTGACCAAACTCCCTCAACTGGATCTTGATTCTCCTTCAATCTTTAAACTGAAAAAAGACGAACATCCAATCTTTTCAATCGGCTCAAGAATATCCAAAACTATCTCACAATCACAACAATGGTTACCAATCAATACGACTCATCTAACTTGCAATCTAAGAGACACTATGTATAACTTGAATGGTGCATTTAGATTAGATGAAGTAATCAATCACACCAACGTTAGGTATTTATCTCTTCTTGTTTCAGATCAAACATTTCAATTTTCAATTCAAAGATTAGACCCGGACAACAACAATGTATTGGTATTGGAAACAAAGTCACTTCAGGGTGGAACAATCACGCAACAAAGAACAAAATCAGATGACACTCAAACAAATAATCAACAACAACAACAATATGATCCAATTTATTTATATTTTGATACTGGTTCTACTTCTCCATTTGATTTGAATTGGAGTTTTGTCAAAAGAAAGAATACTATTATTAGTGACCACTAATCGAAATACAAATAAAGTTTATTAAACTTTCTAACTTTACATTACCTTTCTTTTTTTTTTTGTTTGCGTGGGTCTCTCTGCAAGTGAACATATCATTTTTTAAAGACAGCTGGCTGTTACACATTAGTTTAATTAATCACATCGATGACACATAGTCTACTATTATCTTTATCTAATCTATTATTACTACAAATCATCAGATCTATTGACAGTAATGGAGATATAATATGTTTGTTGTTAACCTGTAAAAAGTTACACAGTAATAGTGGTTTAAGAAGATCGATTAGATTTAAAGGAATAGAAGCTATAGATGAAGACGAGGGAGAGATATCAAAACAGTTTAAATCAACAGCTACTCGATTCAAACTCTTAGCATTTAAAGATATCTTGGAGAATAGTGTATCTAGTCATCAGCTGATCCTACATCGAGTATTCAAAGACTATCCCCAATGGATACAACAACGTATCTCTTTAGATAGAGCTGACACGAGTAACATTACAACAGCATTGGTGACATACCATCGATCATCACCACTACCACTAGAGTCACTCTACGACATACCATCAATCGAGACACTATTCATCAACCAAATTACCGTAGATCTAAATCATATCTCATGCTTGTCCAATCTCCAACGACTATCAGTTCATGCACACAAATTGAAACTTGGTCCTCACACAACACTCAAGTCTCTTAAACTGCGTATCGACCTTCCATGCGATCTCTGTGATTTGCAACTCAACCAATTCGTATCACTGACAGAGCTGACGTTGAGGACTAACTTTGTGTCAAAGATTAGTCCAGGTATCTTGCCAAGCAGTCTAACATCACTCACTCTGAGAACGATAGAGATACCTCCAAGAGACACATTCCTCTCATTGACATCGCTGGTGTATCTCAACTTGGATCTGAAAGGAGTTGAAACAGAGCAAAGTGTATATGATGAAGTGATGGATGAATGGGATGAAGTTGACGAGAAACAACCAATTCAACAACTATTCCTCGATCTCGAGAGTCTATCAAATCTCAAGACACTCATAATCGGTGACGACAATGACCCAACAGAGGATAAACAGTACAGTCTCGAGATTACTGTACCTCCATCACTCATCATTCTCCACCTCTTTGCTTCATCTATACAAATCCCCACCCGTTGTAAAATGCCATTATTGGAGAAACTGTATGTACAACAGTGTATTCTAGATCATGATAGACTCTGTCTATCTTCATCATGCGGTCCATCACTCAAGAAACTAGCTCTTTTTGAATACCTCGACCATCCAGAAAATAAGATACCATCGACCGTTGAAAAGCTATCAATCTATAAACTCTATGATGAAAATATTGACCACTGCGAATTCCCACCATCTCTTACCCACCTATCTGTCAAAGGAGGCTATATTAATGTTCAACTACCAGACACACTCATCAAACTTAAACAACACGTCAAGAAACATCATTTTCATCCACTACCTCGACAGCTCAAAAAACTCGTTTGGCATTTTGATAGGGAAGGAATGACCTCTAATTTTGAATTCCCATTCAACTATCCACCTCACGTTGAAACACTCCAATTCTTTGATGAAGGTGGTGACTATCGTACAGCAATACCATCAGTCACCAAACACCTATCAATAACATTGACCCAATTCCCTCCAAAACAAAAAAAAACACTCTCCATCTTTTCAATTGGATCAAAGTTGGCTCTACCCATCTATCATTCACAATGGCTACCATCCAATACAACTCATCTAAATTGCCACCTAAAAGACACACTGTATGATCATCATGGTGCATTTAGATTAGATCAAGTCATCAACAATACCAATGTTAGATATTTAAATATCATTGTTTCAAATCAACAAACCTTTCAATTTACAATTCAAAGATTAGACAAGGATAATATTAATGTATTGGTGTTGGAAACAAAGACACTTCAAGGTGGAATAATCACTCAGCAACGAACTAATTCAATCAACAAACAATACATACCCATTTATTTATATTTTGATACTGGTTCGACCTCTCCATTTGGCTTGAAATGGAGTTTTGGAAAAAATTAAATAAAGAGTTCTAACCACATTATTACTTTACACTTTGTCATTATTACTTTTCCCTTTGTTTGTTTTTTTTAATAAATTTTACCAATTTTTTCAAAGCTTCGCAGGAGCAAGGGTGATTTGGCTTTTTTTTGGATTTTGGCTCAAATGCTTCGTTTTTCATTTTTCTTTAATCAGTATGCATTTTGGAGCGAAAAGCAATTTTTTTAATTTTTTTAAAAAAGAGATAAATGTACAGATAGAGTAGAGATAACACATTATTTGTACTCAGATGAATTGATTGATTTAAATTGAATTTTTAAATTTTAAATTTGGACCATATATAGCAACTCTGGTAATAAATTAATTAAATTTGCTGCCCCCTTAATTGGGCGGCGTCGTGCTCCTCCTCCTGACAGGTCAAAAAAAAAATTAACGAAAAATAAAATAAATAGGTCCTTATTTCTGACCCAAAAGGTCTGAAATAACAGAATGAGCTTTTTGCTACTGCGAAGACTGATCATGACCAGGTGATGTTTTTTTACTCTTATTAGAAAGTTTAATGATTACACACGATGACTAGTCTACTATTATCTTTATCTAATCTATTACTATCACAAATCATATCAGATATTGATGATAATGCAGATATAATATGTTTGTTGTTGACTTGTAAAAAGTTGTACAGTAATAGTAGTGTTAGAAGATCGATTAAGTTCAAAGGAATAGAAGTAATCGATAAAGAAAATGGAGATATATCAAAACAGTTTATAGCAACATCTACACAATACAATATCAACTCATTTCAAGAAATCTTGGAGAATAGTATATCTGATCAACATGTGATGATACTATCTCGAGAAATCACAGACTATCCTCAATGGATACAACAACGTATCTCTATCTCTGCAGACAGAGTAAACAAGAGTAGTGACATTACAACAGCATTGGTGACGAAATATCAACCAACACTATCGCCCCTAGATTCACTCTACGACATACCATCAATCGAGACACTCATCATCAACAAAAATACAACTGCACTCGATCTTAACCATATCTCACGCTTGCCCAATCTAAAACGACTATCAGTTCATGCAAAAGGATTGGAGCTTGATCCTCTTCCAACACTCAAGTCTCTAAAACTGCGTATCGACAATACATTCAACCTTGGTGACTTGCAACTCGACAAATTCGTATCACTGACAGAGTTGACGATAAAGTGTTATTATGTCATAAATCTTGGGACAGGAATCTTACCAAACAGTATAACATCTCTCACTCTGAGACCGTTATATATTCCCTCACGAGATGCATTCCTTTCATTGACATCGTTGGTTTATCTCAACATAGATCTGAAGGGAGTTGAAAAAGATGATGAACAATCCATTCAACAACTATTCATCGATCTTGAGAGTCTATCCAACCTCAAGACACTCATAATCAGTGACGACAGTGATTCAACAGAGGATAGACAGTATAGTCTAGAGATTACTGTACCTCCATCACTCATCATTCTCCATATCTTTGCTCCATCTGTACAAATCCCAACCCGTTGTAAAATGCCATTGTTGGAGAAATTATATGTTCAACAATGCATCTTGGTTCATGGTAGAATCAGTCTATCTTTATCATGCGGCCCATCACTCAAGAAACTTGCTATTTACGAGTGCAAGGAATATCTCGATACCAATCCAGACAATATGATCCCATCGACCATTGAAAAGCTATCAATCTATAAACTCTTTGACGATAATCTTGAAGACTGCCAATTCCCACCATCTCTTACCCACCTATCTGTCAAAGGAGGCTATATTAATGTTCAACTACCAGACACACTCATCAAACTTAAACAACACGTCAAAAACAACAACAACAACAATCATCCACTACCTCCCCATTTAAAAAAACTAGTTTGGCATTTTGATAGGGAGGGAATGATGACCTCTTATTTTGAATTCCCATCATCTTATCCACCTCACATTGAAACACTCCAATTCTTTGATGAAGGTGGTGACTATCGTACAGCAATACCATCAGTCACCAAACACCTATCAATAACATTGACCCAATACCCTAAACAAAAAAACACACTCTCCATCTTTTCAATTGGATCAAAGATTGCCAAACCCATCTATCATTCACAATGGCTACCATCCAATACAACTCATCTAAATTGCCATCTAAAAGACACAATGTATGATCATCATGGTGCATTTAGATTAGATGAAGTAATCAACAATACAAAGGTTAGATATTTAAATATCATTTTTTCAAATCGACAAACTATTCAATTTACAATTCAAAGATTAGACGCAGACAATAAGAATATATTGGTGTTGGAAAGACAGACACTTCAAGGTGGAATAATCACTCAGCAACGAACAAAATCAATCAACAATCAACAACAACAACAATATGATCCAATTTATTTATATTTTGATACTGGTTCTTCTTCTCCATTTGATTTGAATTGGAGTTCAAAAAATATTAATTAATAAATAAAATAAAGTCTTATTTTTTTTTTCTATTTGTTTTCTTTTTCTCTTTTATTTGTTATTTGTTATTTGTTTAATGATCTACACAAGATGACTCTATTATTATCTTTATCTAATCTATTACTATCACAAATCATATCAGATATTAACAGTAATGCAGATATAGTATGTTTATTGTTAACTTGTAAAAAGTTGTACAGTAATAGTAGTATTAGAAGATCGATTCAGTTTAAAGGTATTGAAGCTATAGATGAAGACAAAGGAGTGATATCAAGAAAGTTTTTAACAACAGCTACTCGATACAACCTCAACACATTTAAAGATATATTGGAGAATAGTATATCTGATCATCAGGTGATAATACGCAAACAAAATCAATCAGATTGGGGTTACCCAAATTGGATACAACAACGTATCACTGCAACAGACAGAGTCTATAAAAGTAGTAGTAGTTTTTCAACTGTATTTGTTACAAATTGTAAAGAAGTATCAGTGATAGAGTCACTTTACAACATACCATCAATCAAGACACTATTCATTGATAATGAATTATTTACAGTAGATCTTGGCTCTATCGCACTCTTACCTAATCTACAAATACTATCAGTTCGTGCAAACAAGTTTAATATTGGTATTCACACAACACTCAAATCTTTTACACTAACAGTCTATACTGTCTATACACTTGGTGACTTGGGATTAGACAAATTTGTATCGTTGACAGAGCTGACACTCAATAGCTTTGTCAATGAGATTGGACCAGGCCTATTACCAACTACTCTGACATCACTCACTATTAAACCAAAGGATATTCCACCAAGAGATACATTCGTTTCATTAAAGTCACTATTGTACCTCAATATACGAATATTCAAGTACGCAATAGACAAAGTGGTACAAGAACAACAATTCATCGATCTAGATGGTTTATCCAAACTAGAGACACTATCTTTTATTGCAATGGGTGATAAAAAAAGAGAAAAGAAGGACTGTATGTCGATTAGTGTACCTCCTTCAATCAAGACACTAACAGTTTGGTCAGACTCAGTACAAATCCCATCTGATTGTCGAATGCCACTATTGGAGAAACTGTGTGTGCAACAAAGAGTATTTATTGATGGAAAGATTAGTCTGACATCATGCCAATCTCTCAAGAAACTAGCTATTTATGCATGTGTAGAACCAATGCCAGCCAATATCAACATACCGTCCACAGTTGAAAGGCTTACCATTGATACACATAGATCCACTCAATCTATACTTGGACAAATTGTATTCCCACCATTACTTACTCATCTATCGTTTGATGAAAACTATGACGTCGAAGGGTCTGTTCAACTACCTGAATCACTCATTAAACTAAAACAAACGGTTAATCTCGAGAGTATCCTTGGGTTCGTATGGGAATCACAATATTTACCTCCATCTTCATACCCAGCCAATCTTGAAACACTCAACCTACTCGAAATCAAAGGTGATTGTACCATTGGCAATTTACCACCGACCATCAAACATTTATCAATGCGTTTGACCTTCCCATTACTCAAAGTTGCATTGAAAATATATTCAATCAGCCCCACGATAAACAAACCAGTCATTGATCAATCACAACAACAACAACAACAACAACAACAACAACAACAACAACAACAACAACAACAATGGCTACCACACAATACAACACATCTAACTTGCAACCTCCAAAACTATACCCCTGGTTCCGGATTTAGATTAGATGAAATAATCAATCACACCAATGTTAGATATTTAAATATCACTATTACAAACTCAAACTATCAATTTTCAATTCAAAGATTGGACCCAGACAACAACAATGTATTGGTATTGGAAACAAAGTCACTTCAAGGTGGAATAATCACTCAACGACAGAGAAAATCAATTGATCCAATTTATTTATATTTTGAAACTAGTTATGAATCTCCATTTGGCTTGCCCATGAAATGGACAAGTACTTTTGACCCACAAAATATAATTAAAGGTGTATAAAAAAAAATAAAGAAGAAAAAGCTTTTTTTTGTTTAATTATTTTCTTTTTTTTTCTGTTTTGACAAGCCCTCTTTTTTGTTTTTTACTTTCATTATTTGTTCATGACATGATGAACAGTCTATTATCTTTATCTAATCTAATACTATTACAAATCATAACAGATATTGAAAATAATGGAGATATAGTTAGTTTTATGTTAACTTGTAAAAGGATATATCATAATAGTATTAGAAGAGTGATTCGATTTAAAAGAATAGAAGCTATTGATACCAAAATTGGAAAAATATCACAACACTTTATAACCACAGTTAATCTATTCAACATCAACTAATTTAAGATATATTTGGGAATAGTATACCCCATCATCAGGTTATATTTAATAATCTTGATTTTGATGAACGAGACGAAGAATATCCTCAATGGATAAAAGAACGAATCTATGCAGACAGAGCTGACCAAAGTGGTATTACAACATTTTTAGTGCCAGATAATTTAATATCAATGCCATTACACCAAGTCTCTGACTATTAATTTCAAAATGATGAACGGTACCCTATTATCGACTTGGGACTTGCTAAATTCGTATCTCTGTTGTCATCCTCATCACTCAAGAAACTGTTAATTTACAAGTGCTTTGACATCTTTCCAGCCAATATCATCCCATCCACTATCGAGAGGCTTACAATACGTATCTGGACCGAAGAATACACACTTGATCAAGTTAGTGACCATCAACTTTCGTTTAATGAGTGATTTTGGGAACTTTTGGTCATCCTTGATGTAGAAGTCACAATGTGCCTTGATAGTTAGATGAGTAAGTGATGGAGGCCATCTCTAGAATCCCTAAAAATCTACAATGGGTGTCACAATGGCTACCATTCAATACTACTCATTTGACTTGCAACCTTATTAACAAAGGGGATCCAAAGGTGTCGTTTAGATTAGACCAAGTAATCAATCACACCAATGTTAGATGTTTATGTCTCATGATTGCCAAGACAACTATCCCTCATCACAAAACTCGTGAACACATATTGCAATTTCCAAGAATATTTTTTTTTGTTTGACCTTTGAAGCAAAACTTGGGTACAACTCTTTTTGTTGATATGATTACACAATTTCATGATGACGAGTCTATTATCTTTATCTAATCTTTTACTATTACAAATCATATCAGATATTGACTGCAGTAATTCAGATATAGTATGTTTATTGTTGACATGTAAACAGTTATATCATAATAGCAGTATTAGAAGATTGATTAGATTTAAAGGAATAGCAGCTGTAGATGAAAACAAAGGAAGGATATCACTACAGTTTATAGCAACAGCTACTCTATTCAACCTCAACACATTTAAAGATATATTGGAGAATAGTATATCTGATCATCAGGTGATATTAAATATCCCTGATCTAGACAAATACTATCAATTGAAATGGATACAACAACGCATCTCGTCTGCAAATAGAGCTGATAAAAGTGGTATTACAACTGCATTGGTCACTAATGTACTATCAATACCACTAAAACAACTCTACTCGATACCATCAATCGAGACACTATTCATTAATCAATACGGTGATTTGGTAGATCTTGGTCATATCTCAGTCTTACCACAACTACAACGACTATCAGTTCATGCAAAGCATTTGATTCTAGGTCAACACACAACACTCAAGTCTCTTAAACTAGATATCACTACCGATTGCACACTAAGTGACTTGGGGTTGGATAAATTCGTATCGTTGACAGAGTTGGAATTGATTAATTATTTTGTGTCAGAGATTAGTCCTGGTCTGTTGCCAAACAGTCTGACGTCACTCACTCTGCCAACGTTTGATATACCTCGACGAGATACATTCCTTTCATTGACATCACTAGTGTACCTCCATATTGACATGGACAATGATTCATTGGAAGGAGTGAATGAACACCCATTCATCGATCTCGAGTCTCTATCAACCCTCAAGACACTCAAAATATATGCCGGTAAAGATGAAGGGGATATCAGTATATCTATTAGTGTACCTCCTTCACTCAACACTCTTGACCTCTGTACCTCAAATGTACAAATCCCCACTCGTTGTCAAATGCCAATGTTGGAGAAATTGTATGTTGAACAAATCTTATTGGTTAAAGAAAGTATCAATGTTTTATCACAGTGTCCATCGATAACGAAACTAGTTATCAACGATTGCTTTGCAATCGTGCCAGCCAATATCATCCCATCGACTCTTGAAAAGCTTACCATTCGTAAAGACACCATTGTACTAGGACATGTTGTGTTGCCACAATCTCTCACTCATCTAACTATTACTGGATACTATGAGCCAATTAAACTCCCAGAATCACTCATTAAACTAAAACAGACAATCGACATTACATCTCCAGCTTTGCTCCCTCAACATTTGAAAAAACTGGTTTGGTTCAAATCTCCAAGCCAATACACTTTGGCACTCCCATCATCCTATCCACCTAATCTTGAAACACTAGATCTCTCTGGTATCGAAGATGAATTTACCATCGATGTACCACCAACAATCAAATATCTATCAATATCTTTGTATCCATTATCAAACATCGGGCAAACAAACCCTCCTCCAATCTATACAATCAGTACAAAGATTAGCAAACCTACACAATTGTTGTCACAATGGCTACCACTCAATACAACTCATCTAACTTGCTGCCTAAAAGAAGTTTCAACAAGGGAGGTGGCATTTAGATTAGATCAAGTAATCAATCACACCAATGTTAGATATTTATCTATCGTCAGTTATTCAAAAACCTATCAATTTTCAATTCAAAGATTAGATTTGGACAATAGAAATGTATTGGTATTAGAAACAAAGTCACTTCAAGGTGGAATAATCACTCAACAACAAAGAATATCAATCAACAACACTCAACAACAACAACAATACGATCCAATTTATTTATATTTTGATATTGATCATGGTTCTTCATTTGGTTTGAATTGGAGATTTTTCCAAACAATGATAAGAAAGAATTAGATAAATAAATAATAAATATACCATTAAAAATAGTATAACATTTTCTTCTTTTTTTTATGCAACCAATTTTGTTTTTGAATGATTGCAAACACCAATGACTCTACTATTATCTTTATCTAATCTATTACTATTACATATCATATCAGATATTAACAACAATGGAGATATAGTATGTTTGCTGTTAACTTGTAAAAAGTTGTATCGTAATAGTGCTTTAAGAAGATCGATTCAGTTTAAAGGTTTAGAAGTGATAGATACGAAAAAGAGAGAGATATCAAACCAATTTATAGCAACAGCTACTCGATTCAACATCAACTCATTTAGAGATATATTAGAGAATAGTATATCTGATCAACATATCATCATTCCGAGTCAATGCTCACTCTTTCCTCAATGGATACAACAACATATCTCTCTGATTGATAGAGCCGACAAGAGTGACATTACAAAAGCATTGGTGATAAATTATGAACCAACACTACTACAACCACTTCTCAACTCTATACCATCAATCAAGACACTATTCATTAAACAATACGACCAAGATATGCTCGATCTTGGTCATATCTCAGTCTTACCACAACTACAACGACTATCAGTTTTTGCAAAGCAGTTGAATCTAGGTCAACACACAACACTCAAGTCTCTTGAACTAGATATCACTACCGATTGCACACTAAGTGACTTGGGGTTGGACAAGTTGGTATCGTTGACAGAGTTGGCATTGAATAATTATTTTGTGATGCAGATTGCTCCAGGTCTGTTGCCAAGCAGTTTGGCATCACTCACTCTGAGAAAGTTGGATATACCTCGACGAGATACATTCCTTTCATTGACATCGCTGGTGTACCTCCGTATCGACCTGGACAGGGATTTAACTAAAGGAGTGAATGAACAACCATTCATCGATCTCGATACTCTATCCAACCTCACAACACTCGAGATATATGCCCGAAAATACCTAGATCCCAGTGTATCGATTAGTGTAAATGTACCTCCCTCCCTCAAGATTCTTAACCTCTGTAGCCCATATGTACAAATCCCATCCGATTGTCGAATGCCACTGTTGGAAAAATTGTATATTGAACAAAGCCTATTAATTAAAGATAGAATCAATCTATGGCCACAGTGTCCATCGATAAAGAAACTAGTTATTCGCAATTGCTTTGAAACTTTTCCACCCCATACCAACATCCCATGTACTCTTAAAAAACTTACCATTCGTAAATCCCCCAATAGATATATACTTGGACAATTTATGTTGCCATCATTACTCACTCATCTAACTATTACTGGAGACTATGAGTCAGCCATACTCCCTCTATCGCTCATTAAACTAAAACAATCATTCTATAATACACCTCGAGAATTGCTTCCTTGGCATTTAAAAAAACTCGTTTGGTTCAAATCTCCTGACCAAGAGACATTGGTATTCCCATCATCCTATCCACTCAATCTTGAAACACTCGATCTCTTTGGTATCGAAGATGACTATACCCTCGATGTACCACCGACCATCAAATATCTATCAATATCTTTGAACCAGCTACAAAGAGCCATTCCAGTCTATTCAATCTGTTCAAAGATTTCCAACCCTACACAACTTTTACCACAATGGCTGCCACCCAATACAACACATCTAACTTGTTATTTAAAAGATGTTTCGACAATAGAGGTGGCATTTAGATTAGATCAAGTAATCAATCACACCAATGTTAGATATTTAGATATCATCATCAAACTTTCAAAAACCTATCAATTTTCAATTCAAAGATTAGACCCAGACAACAGCAATGTATTGGTATTGGAAACAAAGTCACTTCAAGGTGGAATAATCACTCGAAAAAGAAAATCAATCAATTATTTATATATTGAAGCTGGTGACTCATTTGGGTTGAAATGGAGAATAATATAATATTTATATATCCAACACTTTGAACAATTTAAAAAAATAAAGTGGTTTAAAGGAATTGATATTATCGATACAGATAAAGGAAAGATATCAGAAAAGTTTATAGCAGCAGCAACTAGATTCCACCTCTTCTCTTTTAAAGATATATTATATAATCAATCAGAGAAATCAATATCATTGCATTCATTTCCATTTCAGTAGCGGCTCCTCCTGTCCATTGGAATTTAATTGGAGCTTTAGTAATAATCAAAAATAAACAACAGTCAAATGACAGAGTCTGTATCATTCGGCTATAATAATCAGATATAGGATATCCAAATAATAACAAAGTTGGTTTTGAAAAAAAAAAAAAAAGAGAAGAACAAAAAAGGAATAAATAACGTGATGGCACAACTTCTTCTTGATTCTTATCTACATATTCAATCACAAGAAGTAGTAGTGAGTGGATAGAACCTTAGAAATAACCTGTTAATAATTGTAAACTTTTGTTTGATCCAACCAAAATTTAAAAAAAATAATCAATACTTTGTTACTTTGACACCCAGTTCGCAATGATCACACAAAGATGACTAGCAGTCTACTATTACAGTTATCTAATTTATTACTACTACAAATCATAACATCTATTGACAATAATGTAGATATAATATGTTTGTTGTTAACTTGTAAAAAGTTGTATAGGAATAGTAGTTTAAAAAGATTGGTTAGTTTCAATGGGATAGAAGTGATAGATACTAAAAAGAGAGCCATATCAGATCAGTTTAAAGCAACGGCTACTCGATTTAACCTCAACTCATTTAAAGATATATTGGAGAATAGTATATCGAATCAATACGTAATACTCTCAACCCAAACCAATCATAGTGAATATCCCCAATGGGTACAACAACGTATCTCTGCAGACAGACCCGATAAAAGTGGTATTACAACCGCACTGGCAATCAATTACATACCGTCACAACAGTCACTCTACGACATGCCATCGATCGAGAAGCTATTCATTTTCTGTCGCCACGGAATACATCTAGATCTTGTTGGAAAGAGTGGTGACCACTCGACGTCTGCTGTCTCGCGACTCTTGCCACGTCTCGAACGGCTTTCAATCCATGTACACAAGTTGGATGATTTGAAGCTAGGTCAACACACAACACTCAAGTATCTGACATTGAATGTTGCCACCAAATACCCTCTCGTCGACTTGGGTCTTGACAAATGTGTATCGTTGACAGATCTTAGGTTCTCGAATTATTTTGTGACTGGGATTGCTCCAGGTCTGTTGCCAAGCAGTCTGACATCACTCACTCTGGCATCAATAGAGATACCTCCAAGAGATACATTCGGTTCGTTGACATTGCTAGTCAAACTAACTATCCATCTCCGAAATGGGTCAACTTTGAAGGATGAACCATCATTCATTGATCTCGAGAGTCTGTCCAACCTCAAAACACTCTCGATCAGAGATACCCCAGTACAGAACAAAAAGCATGGTATTGATATGACCATTCCTCCCTCGATCAACATTCTTGGATTCTTTTCTACATCTGTACAAATCCCATCTCGTTGTACAATGCCAATGTTGGAGGAACTGTATGTAAATCAAAGAGCATTGATTGATGGTCAAATCAGTCTATCACAGTCGGTGACGTCATCTCTCAAGAGACTATCCATCTATCATTGTTATAATACCATTCCAGCCAATATCATACCATCAACGATCCAAAAACTATCCATTCATAAATTCATTGAAGGTCAACCGATACTTGACCAAATTGTATTCCCACCATTACTCACGCATCTAACCATCGTGGGAGACTATTATGAACCAATTGTACAACCACTCCCTCAATCACTGGTCAAACTAAAGATGACAGTTAAAGAAGCTCCGGTATCACTTCCACAACATTTAAAAAAACTGGTTTGGAGAGTGGATGGTAGAACCAAAGGACAAACAGATTTTATGTTTCCATCTACCTATACACCACCTAATCTTGAAACACTCAAAATAGCCCATAGAATAGGTGACTTTAACGTGACCATCAATGTACCACCAACCATTAAATATCTATCAATGACATTGGGTCAAAACTCCAACCTGTCACCAAGTATCCAAACACCCCCAATCTATTCAATCAGCTCAAAATTATCCAACTCTATCATCTCACAAACACACCAATGGTTACCACGCAATACGACTCACCTAACCTGCCATCTTCATAACCATGCTTCAAAGGTGGCATTTAGATTAGATCAAGTAATCAACCACACCAATGTTAGATATTTAACTATCATTTTTTCAAATCAACGAACCCATCAATTTTCAATTCAAAGATTGGACCCAGACAACAACAATATATTGGTATTGGAAACAAAGACTCTTCAAGGTGGAATAATCACTCAACAAAGACAACCAAAATCAATCAATCAAACAACAAATAATAATCAACACCCTCAACAATCTCAATATGATCCTATTTATTTATATTTTAATCCATCCTCTGATGACTCTCCATTTGATTTGAATTGGAAATTTGGTAATGTAGAGTAGACAATATTGTTTGTCGACGACAATGATAGAGAGATGGATGAAAACTCTCAGAACCATTAGAAAAAATCAAGAACCCTTTGATTTAGTGTGGAATACATATATTTAATAAAAAAGAGGAAGACTCAAAGAAAAGAAGTAAAATCATTTCTTTTTTTTTTTTTTTTTTTTAATTAAATTAATGCAACCCCAACCACAAAGCTTTAAAACCATTGTACAACTGACCACTTCAAATCAACTTTTTATTTATTTAAACAAAAACAAATATCTATCTATCTATCTATTATATAATACATAGATAATAATATTATTAATAATAACATCATTCTATTTAATTAATATTCTATCTCTTTTTTAATTTAATTTTTCTCAACAAAAAAATGAATGACCCAATGGTTAAGAAGTGTAAGTGACAATACAATAGAGATAGATATATATATATTAGGATAAAAATAGATATTAATGTATATCAATATTAAATAATGATTGTGTAGACAATGCAGGTACGAATAGAGCATCAAGTGGTATCAATCAAAAAAAGATTGAAGAGGATGAAGGAGACTTAAAGTTACCACAACTCAAAGCATCGGTGCCACAAGCGATTCAAAGAGCACGTGTAGCATTAAAGTTGACTCAAAAGGAATTGGCAGTAAAGATCAATGAAAGACAATCAGTAGTCAATGAATATGAAAGTGGTTCTGCTATCCCAAGTATTGCCATTCTTATCAAACTGGAAAAGACTTTGAATGTAAAGTTGAGAGGAAAGGATATTGGTCATCCATTAAAGTAAATTGTAAAGAGTTTACTTTTAAAAAGACAAAACAAACAAACAAATAATAATTATTTATAAATATGTATATACTACAAAACAACAATCACCTCCTCCCAAAACTCTGTACAAATCAATCGATCAAATTAATAATTAAAAATAATGTATATAATAATAATAATAATAATAAATCAATCATACTATCTATGATCATGATACATTTTTGTTCATTCAAATTCAAACTACTGTGTCGTAGTAGTTAATTTTCTTTAATTAAAATTGGTTTGGTTTGTATATTTGATTAATTTACTAGTAAATAGATAATAATCATAAATAATACAAATTGTCAAAAATTGGTACATGGATAAAAGAAATCTTATCCAGAGACACTTGAATGACAAGTTTAACTTCATTGCCATGAGGAAGGGTCCATAGAGTAGGGTTGTTAGACACCTACAACATGTTGAAACGTTTTCAAAGTTTGCTCTAGCAGTGATACGCTCTCTTGCGGTCATTGTATACCATTACTTAACAACCCCTTGACATGAACAAAGAAACAATAAACTTATGAAACCGCGAGTATTTGTGGACCATTCCACAATGCAACCTCCAAAATTAAAATAAATTTTTAAATTAAATTCATCCCTCCTTATCGTTTCTTTTGTTGTCTCACCTCTCTTCTCATCTCTCTTTCTTCCTTTCTTCTCTCTCTTTCTTAATTATAAATTCATCATTAAATAGATATATTAGTGTTATATCTCTATCTTATCTCTCTCTTGTGTGAATAAAAATATGGTTGAAGTGCATCGGTTTGAAGACAACCCAAAGTGTGAGGAATGAGAGGGCAATTAATTCGAGCATTTCAAAAACGAAAACAATTTTAAAAAAAAAGAATTTTTGAAAAATTTTGGAAGACGATTGCTGTCACGCCAGCCGATGGCTTGATAGTGCGCCTCTCAACATTGAATCTATCTCTTTTTCGATCAGAATATCAAGTATATATCACATAACATAGAAGAAGACAGACGATGAGAATGATGAATGAGAGTGGTGGATGATCACCAGACAGACACAGCAAACATTCAATCATATCATCACGTCAAAGAAAGAACAAGTAGAATATAGAGATTAACCCAACCATCACTCTCCCTACCACCTACATTACTTTCTCTCTTTTAGAATGCCAAACGGAATTCAAACCGCAAGAAAGCTTAGACTTCATCGTCAAGCCAACAGATGGCACGATAAGCAATACAAGAAGGCTCATTTTGGTACCGCCTTGAAGGCTAACCCATTCGGTGGTGCTTCCCATGCCTCTGGTATTGTTGTTACTCGTTTGGGTATTGAAGCTAAACAGCCAAATTCTGCCATTCGTAAGTGTGTCAGAGTTCAACTCAAGAAGAACGGTAAGAAGATCACTGCTTTCGTTCCAGGTGATGGTTGTCTCAACTACATCCAAGAAAACGACAAGGTTTTAGTCGCTGGTTTCGGTCGTTCTGGTCACGCCGTCGGTGATATTCCAGGTGTCCGTTTCAAGGTCGTCAAGGTCTCATCTGTCTCCCTCCTTGCCATCTACAAGGGTAAGAAGGAAAAGCCAAACGTATGTATAAAAACAAAACAAAACAATCAAACAATATCCATACATTATATTAATATCTTTTTCTCTCATTATTATTATTATCATCAACAAATAGGTCTAAAAAATTGGTTTGAAAATAAAGCAGCTCCTAATTATAAAATTAATATTTTAACATTATGTTGTGTGTACACATACAAAAACAAATCTATTATTTATTTATTTATTATTATTATTTCTTGAGCATTTCTTACTTGTTATTTTTATATTAATAATATATTCTATTTCTTTTTATTTATTTATTATTTGTTTGGAAGTGGCGTTGATTTTGGTTTCATTGTTGGGAAAAAGATAACATCACGGATAGAGACATTATTGGTTAGAAGCATGACCAGACGATCGATACCTAGACCCCATCCACCAGTTGGTGGTAGACCATAGTCGAGGGCGTTGCAGTAACCTTCATCGTAGATTTGAGCTTCGTCGTCACCTGTAAGACGGTCTTTGGATTGTTGGATGAAACGGTCGCGTTGATCGGTTGGATCGTTGAGTTCAGAGTAGGCATTGACCAACTCTTTACCGCCAACAAACATTTCGAATCGTTCAGTCCATTGAGAGTTGTCACGATGTAGTTTGGCAAGGGGAGACATGGCACGGGGATGGTCGACGATAAAGGTGGGTTGGACACAGAGTGGTTCGAGATAGTGTGATGCGAGTGCATCGAGGATACGAGTGGGTGTGTGTGGCTCGGATACACGTACATGATGTTTCTGACAGATACGTAAGAGATGAGGGAGGTTGTCGTAGGACATGAGGTCTTCTGGTAGTTTCTCGCCACTGAGTTCTTCAATCTTTGGGATAAAGTGTAATCTACGGAATGGAGGTGTAAAGTCGATTTCAATGTCATTGTCTGCTGGCAGTGGTACACGATAACTGCCGGTAATGTCATAGACCATTTTGGAGATGAGGTCTTCGGTGAGTGCCATCATTGTGTGGTAGTCGCCGTACGCTTGGTACAGTTCGCATGTTGTGAATTCAGGGTTGTGTGTCAGATCGACACCCTCGTTACGGAACTGCTTGCCAATTTCAAACACCCTGTCAAAGCCAGATATCACGAGTTGTTTGAGATAGAGCTCGGGTGAGATACGCAAGAAAAGGTCGAGGTCGAGTGCATTGCTGTGTGTTCGGAATGGCTTGGCCATAGCACCGCCCACATTCGTCGACAACACTGGCGTATCCACCTCTAAAAACCCACGTTCCACCAAGTAGTTTCGGAGGAACGATATCATCCTCGACCGAACAATAAACGCGTCTCTAATCTTGTGTCCATTGACCAAGAAATCCAAATGTCTCTTTCTATATCTTGTATCCTTATTGATCAACCGCAATGGAATTGGTTTTAAACATGGTGTCAACAATGTAATCTCTTTTGGTATAATTGATAATTCTCCAACTTTTGTTTTACTTGGTACACCCCTTATCTCTGTCAATCAATAAAATTAATTAGTAAAAACAACAAACAATATATTTACTATCTCTTTCTTTACTCTCTTTTTCTTTCTATTTACATACCAATAATATCACCTCTTCTTAAAGTTTCAACGATTGGTTGAAATTGATCCTTGTTTGCATAATGTTTGAGATCGGCCATGATTTGTAGGGAATGTCCATTTGTCATGATATCAATAAACGATAGTTTGGTACTGGCAGTACGAACAGATACGATACGACCTGCAACGACCGTCTCGACATCAGCTAGTTTCGATCCTGGTGTAAGCTTTGATTCAAATTCTGCACGATAACTCTCGGTTGTGTGAGTATGAGAACGTTCTTCAGCAGCATACACCTTTTTGCCAGATGCCTGTTCATAGGCTCTGATCATATCACCACGTTGTTCTTCAAACTTTTCTTCAAATGATTCTCCATCTTCATCATCAGAATCCAATTCTCCAATGATATCAATTCTACCAACTTCTTTTAATTTTGAACTATTACAATATAATCTAGTAGATGTCAAAGTTGATGTAGTAGTTGTAGACGTCGACGTAGTAGTATTACTGCTTGCAGCCAATAAACTATTTGTCAATATTCTAGTAGTTGTTGAAGTTGATAATATAGATGATGAAGTTGATAATAATAATCTTGATAACATCATTCTCTACTCTACTCTACTCTCTACTCTCTCTCTTCAACAACTCTTCAACAACTCTTATATTCAAGATGAATATGGTCCTCGTGTTCTTACTCAAAGATCCAACTGTACAGACTTTTTAATTTTTTGAAAAAATCACCAGAGTTGGAGCCAAGCAATATTACTGATGATGACCATTTTGGTTATAAATATATTATTTACATTCATTATATTATTTGAATATTAGATTAGATTAGATTTAGATACATCATCTAATCAAAGAGATTATAAAGTAGTAGATAATAATACATACATTCAATGATAAGGAGAATAGTGGATTAATCAACAAAGAGTTTAGTACTGTATATATTTAGAATAGTTGTTGTTATTATTAAAGTTTGTTAGTTAATAGTAGTAGTTGGTCGTTTCTAGAAAGATAAAGAGGTGAGAAGAGAATGATGCAACAAGGATCATCGACATCTTCACAACCACCTTTATCCTCCTCACAACAACAACAAGCAACTCTTCCTTCTTCTTCTTCTTCTTCTTCTCAACAACCTCCATTACAACCATCAACATCTACATCAACAACGACATCATCACAACATCAAAACTTAATAGCAAGAAACAAGTTTATAATTAAAAGAGAGTTGGATGAATCTGATCAAATAGAAATTGTAATACATACATAGCCTATATATTAAATTTAATGTGAAGATCACCATCATAATTAATATTCTTTTTTTTCTTAGTTATGGAGAGATCAATATGAAAAGATTGAACAAGTATTAAATAATGGAACAGATAATGATATACATATATTTTTAATGGAAAGAGTGTCAGAGAGTAATGAGCGACATGTGGATGTTACTATAGCCATTCTCTATGGAATATTGGTTGGTACTAGTAATTATGCTGCGCTGTTTAAATACATTACACTAGTGACAAAGGATTCATTGACCATCTTTTGTGCACATTTGAAACGACTCGTCATTGAAAAGTATCACAAGATGGCTGATCTACCTCGAACACAGGTTCTATGGATATTGAATGAACTCATCGTCTCTAATCATCATGACGCTGAAGCTATTTGTGCTCTATTAATGAGGCAAATGTTTGGTGGTAATATCACTACCCGTAACATTCAATTAATTAATTCAGTATTAACTTTATTAAATAATAACAAGTATGAAATCAAAAGAAATCATATTCATTTATAAATATTCATTTATAAATACTTATTAACTAAATCATTTCTCTCTATTTCTTTTCTTTTCTTTTCTTTTTTTCTAGACAATGGTTAATTAGTAAACCATCATTAATTCCAACAGTACTTTATACATTTTTAAGATTGATTCAAGATCATTTTAAACCTCAATTTCAACAATTAAGAGATCTTGAAACTGCATTTTGTATCGATTTAATTAGAACAAAGGTTAGTCTATTAATATATAAATATATATATAAATATAAAGATAGATCTATATTATTTACTTTTTTGTTTATTTATTTATAGTTTCAAGAATGTTTAACAATTGGTAGAGATTTATTTAGATTATTACATTATCTTAGTAATAAGGCACAAGAATTTGATTTGCTGTGGAGAGATATCAATACGAAACCACTGTTATTCAACGTATCAACATTTACAGATATATCGGTTGGTGTGCGTATCCCAACACCCAAACATTTTCTACAATCTCGATTGTCACCAGAGATGGAGGGACAGATACTATATATTCTCAAAGAGGTCAAGTTTGGCAACCAAAAAAGATACCAACAGTGGTTTGTCACCAAACACTTGCCAACGATCGAATCGGAAACATTGATTCCCGATCTCATCCGGTATATCTGTTGTTTCTATCACCCACCAAACCATGTACTCTGTTCAGACATTTGTCCAAGATGGGCGATTATTGGATGGTTGTTGAAACACTCGAAAGACGAACGATGTCGAAACTATGCAAAGTTGGCTTTGTTTTACGATTGGTTGTATTATGATCAACGTATTGACTCGATCATGAACATTGAGCCAGCCATGTTGCTCATGGCATGTTCCATCAAAAAATACTCAGACATGACTGTTGACTTGGTCGAGTTTATCATCAATGTGCTGCTCGAGGGGTACGATCCTAGTCGTCGCGACCAAATCAGGGGTGGTGTCAACTCGGCCTTTTCCACCGTCCTCGAAAAGGGTGTCGTGCCAACACTGTCTCACATGTTTGCAGTTGATTGTCTCGGACCACAGTTATTTGAAAAGTCCAAGCAATATTTCACCCATTTCATGCTTGGACAACCCGGTGTCCAGCCTGCACCAGGTCAAACACAATCTCCCAACCTCTCTTCATCGGGTCAGAATATAGGTGGACCTGCTCCCATGTCTTATTCGAGTCAGTCACTCGTCTCACCACCATCACCTCCAAATGTACCATTGGCCAACAATAACAACAAGGAGAAAACTCCATTACAACAATCAACTGGTTCAACTTTACCTCTTCAACAACCATCACCACTTCATTTGAAACAACCTCCAACTTCTTATCCACCTCCTCATAGATTAGATAATAGTTTAGGTGAAATTAATAATAATAATAATAATGTAACTTCTAATCCATCTACTTTGACGTCAGCGACACCAACAACTAGTTCATCCCCCTCGGGTACATCACCATCATCAAATGTAAATATAAATAACAAGAGAGAAAGAGAGGATACTAGTATTACAGCCAAACCTCCACCACCCATAAGACAAAAAGAAGATCATCCAGTCAACAACAACAATGTATCACCAATAGCTGCACCGGCATCACCAGTAGCATCACCACTTACACCAACTATAGTATCACCACCAAATCTCATACAATCATCTTCAACAATAACAAATGCTCCATTGACTCCAACTATGGCACCAAAAACACCATTGGCAAGCTCAACAACCTCTTCATCAAACAAGTTACCAACAGCTCCTTCTACTTCAACACCATCCACTCCAACTAGTTCTTCACCATTATTAACAGAACCACATTTGAATTTTGAAAAACAACCTCCTGCTCCAGCAGTCGCAGCAGCTGCAACCGCACCACCTCCTCCATCATCATCATCGAGCCCATCCATTCCAATTGTACAAGAAACCAATAATATAGAGGAACAGAATGAAATAGATCAAGATGTATTAATGGATGATAATGATGAAATTGAAACAATGACAATTGATGAAGAATGTAGAGTAGAGGTACCAACGATTCTTTTAACACTTGGATCAAAATCTGAATTGCAACCAGTTAATTTGGCATCAACACTCAAATTAATTATGAACAATTTTATTGGTCAATATTCAAAAATGTCAGAGTCGTCACAAAAAGAGATTTCCAATACCTTGGTTCAATATCTTCACACTTCGCTTAAACCATTATTTGAAGATGGAGCTCCAACACCATTGTCAATCTTTAGTACCTTTCAAGTTTATCATCATCTCTTTAAATCTTGTTTCCCAGCATTTACAGTGACCAATGAATCTGTTCTCTATATCCTTAAAGAATATGTTAAATTGGAACCATTACTTGGTAGTTATCTTTTAGTTTGGTTGATTATTACTTCTAGTGGAGGTGTACATCTTACACCACAAGGAAATTCCTATATCTTTTCCAACAATTCTAATCATGGTGATTATTACGAAGATTCACAATCTAATGCGACGACTACGACGACAAATGGTGGAACAAAAGATAAAATAGAACAACATTTATTGGATCAACTTTACAATAATAACAATCAAGTTGAAATCGAGGAAAGGTTAAAATTGGATAGTTTATTCGAATCAATTGTAGATAATAATAGTACTTCAAAACAAATATTTTTACCTTATTTAAAATTAATTAATACATTAAATCAACAAAATAATAATAATAGTAATCAAAATTTAACACAACAACAAATAATGCAACAATTAAATCAACCAAGCAATAATAATAATAATTATTTAGAATATTTAATAATGGATTTAAAGAGATTACAAAGTTTGGGAATATTATTTTATGTATTACCAATGGTATATAGATACTTGCCAATGATTACAGTTGGTAATGTTGACATGATTACATTGGTCATTGATTATATAGGTCCTCAACAACTTTATAGAATGTGTAACAAAATGTCAATGGGAGAATTTAGAATGTTTGGTAGTGGAAATCCCAATGCAATTATTGAATACAGTCTTGGTATGGAGTCTTTTGAACAGCAATATATTTGGAGACTTTTGGCTTCAGAAGAGTCTTATCACCACATGATTGTCACTCGTATCTTTCCTTCAATCATGACACGCATCGATCCAATCAACAATTCAGAGGTCCTCCTTTCACTTGTTCAAATACTCAAAGATACTACGGCATCCAACAAATTATTTATGGAGATTATTGGATTGGCACCTTCATATCACATGCTCTCATTTACCGTCTTTTCATCGTGGATTCAAAAACAATCCACCTCTTTTGCATCGATCATCTATGACATTATCATTGCCAATATCAATGAGAAAAAGTTTATCATTGAACGAATCTTTTCAATTATGAATGTATATTTTAAAAAATATGGTGACCAAAGTAATAATAATATTAGAGCATCCAATAACAAGGGAGGGAAATCTGATAATGAATCAGTGGATAATGTACTAAGTTTAGATTTAAATGATCGTATTTCCAGAATTATGAAAACAAACAATCAATATCAACAAAAATACTCTGCACTTTATGCCTATATTCAATTACAACAACAACAACAAACTTCAACCACGACAACTCCTCCTCACTCTTCATCATCATCTTCCCAAGTTTCTTTAAATGCATCATCGAAAAATTTATCATCACCTGTATTACAATCAAATAATAATCAACAACAACAGCAACAACAAAGTCAAGAATTAGGAGATGCACCAAAGAAAAGAATAAAGAAATAAATAAAAAAAAAAAGAATACGAAAAATTAAACAAATTATATAATTATAAATTGTAATAATATATTTTTATATTATTTTAAACATGATATTTGTGGTAAGTAGTAAGTAAGAGGAAGGAGGGTTGGTATTTTTTGATAATGGGGAGAGAATGAATGATATCATTCATTCATGTTGTAAATATATTTGTTTGATTTAGTTTTTTGTTGATGATTCATCACCACCTTCTTCATTGTCAGCACCATTATTACTAGCAGAGGTGGTTGGTTTTCTTTGTTTGATGGTTGATGAAGAGTTTGGTGAGGTTGGGAAATTGGTAGAGTCTAGTGGAGGTGGTGGCGATGAGGAGGTGGAACAACTATCGATATCGTCGAGTTCACCATTGTTGCTATTGTTGTCGTCCATGCCACTGTTGAATCTCTTGATAAAGTGAGATGCAAAAATCTTTTGTTTGGCTTCAGCAAATCTAGAACTTGGTTTAAAGTACTTGAGATATCCATCCCATGGTACATTAATGATGCCTGCTCTCTTGGCAATCATTGATTTTACTCTGTTGGCAAATTGAGTTGATGATTCTCCTGGTCTCTTGGTTTGTGGCTCCAAATACCAAACATCACACACCAATGCCCAACTTGTCATCAAGTTAAACATATGTCTTACAAATGATTGTTTCTTTGAATTCCAAAATGCATCAACAAATAATGTACTAAAAAAAAAAGATTAATTAATTAATTGAAATGATATTTGTTTTATATTTCTCTATTTTTACTTACTTGTATTTAATAGCGATAGGATAAACAATTGCATTTGGTAAATCAAAAGCACCCTTTTTAAACATGACACAATAATTATTATTTACACAAACACCTTCAGGGAAAATTAATAATGGATCCTTGTTTTCATCTTCAATATGTTTTGAAATACTATATTTGAAAAAAAGGGTTAGAAAGATAGATTCATTTGTTGATTGAATTCATTTATGAATACATACAGTTTTGCAATAGCCATTCTATCTTTGGCTTCAGCTCTATCAAACCATAGACACCCAATACAAGACAATAAATAATCTTGAATAAAACCCAACAGTCCTTTATGTTTTTGTCCTACAGATGCATAGTTGAATTGGTTTTGGAGTACTACTACATCCATAACAGTGGTGTGATTGGCTACAAAAATTTGATTCTTTTTTCTAAGTGGTCTAACTCCATGATATTTAATTACGCCTGACCATGACATAATAAATACTATACATAAAAATCTTAAACATTTTCTCTAAAAGAAAAAGAAAAAGAAAGAAAGAAAGAAAGAAAAGGGATAGGGTTAATATGTATATGAAAATAGTTTGTTATTTTTAATTATTACATACTTGATAGTGTTTCTTTTGTTTATCATTTTTGATAAAAGTAGAGACTGAAACGAAAAAGAGTGCAAACAAGAATGCACCAAACACTAAACAAGTTAATCTAAGTGGGAATAAAAGACAGTATCTAACAAATGCACCAAATAACCATGCAGGGTACAAATAAATATTCCAATTCCATGGATTGATCTCTGGTGATGTAAAACATTTTGTAAATTCATCATCTACCAATACTTCAACGCCATCACTTAGAAATGGTGCAACATCAAATAAATTAAATCTAAAAGAAGATAAATGTAAGTAATCTGTTGATCATTCATTCATTCATTCATTCATTCATTCATTCATTCATTCATTCATTCATCTGATTTGTTGTTTGTATATGCACATACTTGTTTGATCTACTAACTTGTCTATTTAATTGTTTTAATAACTTGTCTTCAATGGTTTGTTGAATTTCATCAACCTCTACAGATGTTACAGGAGTAAACAATGACCATGGATCATGACTTACTTCAAGACTATTTATAGAATATAGATTCAAATAAAAAAAACAAAAACATGATGATTGATTCGTTAATATATATACTATAATGATTGAATAGATAGATAATCGACCATCTATCTATCGATCAATATATCTTTGGTTAGACTACTACATACCTTGTTTGTTTCTTTTTGAGCAGCTGCAGATTGTGGAGGAGGAGATGATGGTGATGTGGCAGCAGCAGCAGCAGCAGTAGTTTGTTGTTTATTTGTATTACTCATTTTCTAAAACTAAACTTTAACAAAAATGCATTCACTCTTTTCTTTTGACTCGCTCTTGTTCTTCTTCTTTTCTGTCTCTCTTCTCTCTCTCTTAATAATAATGATAATAAATAAAAATATGTACAACAGAAGAACAACAAACAACTTTATTATCTTGCAAACTAATTTGTGTGTTGATATATAAATATTTTTATTTTAAAAATCTTTTTGGGGCGTCCAATTAGATTACAGAACTTTAAGAAAGATCCGATGATCTTTATTGTTTATTTATAAATAGGTTTGTTATTATTATTATAATTATTACTGTATATATCTACCTTTTATGATTTGATCAGGGGTCACTTGTTTGTCAATTTGGTAGTTTATTCCAAGCAAAGATGATTGTTGTTTGGGATGAGCTAGCAAATTGACAAACTGTGATTGTCGAGTCAAGAATGGGCCTGTGGTACATTTCTCACTATGGCTAATAACATGTTTTCTGTTAAAATATGTGGGCGGCACTGTTATTACAAACCGAGTTGTAATAGCCGAGTCTAAAGTTGTTTGATTTTCATCTTGCGTATGCACTGTCCACCTAGAAAATAATACAGATTTGAGCAAAGTTTGGAATCATAAGATTTCTTAATAATATTTTCTTGTACTTTGAAGTTGACAGATTTGTTGCACCCTATTTCGTTTGCGTCAACGATATATGTAATCTTGTTTAATGTTTCATTATTCCTCCATATATATAGTAACAACAAGTACTAATTGTAAACTATTATTGTTCTGTTTGTGTTGGTGTCTGATGAAGCTACTCCCTTCATCACGAGACATACATAGTCATATCCCCAGAGCAGAGGGGTTCTCAGAAATTTTCACTTTACTCATTTTTTTAATATTTATTTAATTTTTATAAATATTATTTATAATCACTCTCTGTTGAACTTTCACTAGCCAATATATATATATATATCTCAAGAATTTATATATATATATATATTTCTATTCTATAAAAGAACTATATATATATATGGACGATTTAGCTGAACTTAGAAGACAAAGACATGCACAGTACTTGAGACAATCACCACCAAGTACTGAGGGAGATACTTCACCACCACCAACTATAGCATCCCCTCCAATACAACCAGCAGTAGTAGTAGCACCACCACCACCTAATATTGTTAATCCCAACAACGCAAATTTGATTGGAGGACATCCCAACCCATTTGCAAACCCTCATGCCCCACCTATGATGCCACATCCTTGGTTCAATAAAAAAGCTGCTGCTGTCTCTAGTTGGTCATCTTCAAGTGGTCATAGATTAGGCGATGGCACAGAGTCTGAGGAAACAACAACAACTACGACAAATAAAAATGAATCAGATGATGTACTTGAAGAAGAATTAATGGAAGAGGATCAAGAGACAACTAATCAAATGGTTCAACCAACAATTGAAAATGATGAATCATTTGATGATGATGGTGATAATTCAGACAGTGACAATGAAGATCAAGACAATGGAGACGAAGATGAAGATATGATGATGCCACCCAATGGTGGAATGATGATGCCTCCTGGTGGATTTGTACCTGGTATGGGAATGATGCCTGGTATGGGATTTAATCATTTCAATCAATTTCAAGCATTTGGAGGTACAGGTCACACTCTTCAAGAATTGAATCCATCGTTGGAAAGTTCAAAACCAAAGGAAAAGGGAGAGATTGCCGATATGATCAAAGATAGAATCAGCTCATTGCCATCGGATCAAGCTGAATTGTATCCAAAACCAGCACCAAGGGTCTTTGAAAGAGACATCAAAAAGCTTGTCGACATTTGCTTGTTGCAACTCATCAGAGAGCTTCAGACACACCTTTCCAAACTCAAAATACTCAGTCCTGAGCTCGTCTACCGTATGATCGAGTTGATGAAGGACAAGGGAAGACGAGTTGAACGCAAGGCAATGGATCAACTAAAGGTTGCTGGTGTACGTTTGATGGATATGCATTTGGACCATCAAGATTTACTTGTAAATAATAACTTTGTGTTAAACTGTCTTCCAGGATTTGTTTATCTTCATACCATTTCGTTTGTTGGTTGCTCTAATGTCACCGATACTGGCATGGAAGGTTTTAAAACAATGACCAACTTAACCTCTTTAAATCTTACTGGTACAAGAATTTCTGATGTTTCTTTAAAATTTATTAGAAGTAAGAGAAATAGAAAAAAAAGAAAAGAAAAAGAAAGAAAAGAAACAAATAAGTTGTTTATTAATTTTTAAAATTTATTTTTATTTTTTAGGATTAACATTATTAAGATCATTATCTTTAAGAAATACGGGAATTACTGAAAAGGGAGTTTTATTATTATCACCATTATCAAAATTGGAATCATTAGATCTGACCAATCTTTTATTGACTGATACTTCGATGTTGACAGTTGCAACCTTTTCAAATTTAAATACTTTGTTGTTGGGCAATGCATTGGTCACTGAAAAGGGTATCAACGATATTTCAAATCTACCAATCACTACACTTTCTTTACTTCATTGTAAAAAAATTAATAATGCTTCTATGGTTTATTTAACAAGTATGTAAAAAAAATAGAAAGTAATAATAATAATAATAATGTAAGAAATATATATATTTATTTATTTAATATCTTTTAGAATATCAAAATACATTGGAATCATTAGATATTACAGGAACGATGGTAATGGGAATGGGATTTATTCATTTAAAGAGATTTAAGAAATTAAGAGATCTACAATTACCAAATAGATTATGTATCACCGATGACACTATCAAACATTTGGATTCTCTCGAATTTATTTCTAAACTTCATCTTTCCGATTACACTCAAATCACATCAATTACCTCTATTCCAAATCTTAAACGACTTGTTGATTTATCATTATCAAATACTAAAATTTCAGATGATTCAATTCCAACTATTCTTAGTATGTAAAAAAACAAACAAACAAATAATAATAATATTATAAATACTAAATATTACTTTTTTTTAATTTTTTTTTAGAATATTTAAATTTAGAACATCTTAATTTAGATAGAACCAATGTAACTGATTTTGGAGTATCACAATTGGCTGTATTACAATTAACCACACTTAGCCTTAGTTCAACTAAAATCAATGGTACTTGTTTCCCTGAACTTTCTGGCATTACTTTGTTAAAGTGGTTGAATGTCTCGAACAATGAGATTGACGATGCCAAAGTACCTGCATTATTTAAATTGCCAGAATTGCAATTCATCGATCTTCGTGGAACCTATGCCTACAAATCAGCAAGAGAATTTAATTCATCTGTCACTGTTCGTGTTCCACTCCCAATCGTCGTACAAGAAGAAATTGATGAAGAAATGCAAGACAACGAAGATGAAGATGATGGTAATGCTTTTTAAATCAAATAATAACAAGACAACTTTGAAAACAAACCCCCAAACCAAAAAAGAATATATCTATCTATCTACTAGTAATAATAAATCATCACATAATATTATTATTATTATTTTTTGTAAAAATGAAGAGAAAGGTTTTTTGAAAAATTAATATTATATTATTTATTGTTTATTATTATTTAATTTATTTATTGATCTAATGATCTCTTTACACCTTTTTTGGCTGGAGCAGCCGATGGCTTTTTAGGTGTTGATTCTGTGGATTTCTTGGTTGGGGCGGCAGTGGTGGTGGTCTTTTTGGTTGGGGCTGGGGATGATTCGGTGGCAGCGGCGACTGGAGCTGGAGCTGACTTCTTGGTTGGAGCAGCAGTCTTTGTTGGAGTAGTTGATTTCTTTTCAGCAACAACAGCAACTGGCTTCTTTTCAGCAGCGACAACTGGTTTCTTTTCAGCAACAGCTGGCTTCTTTTCAGCAGCCTTTGTTGGGGTGGTTGATTTCTTTTCAGCTGGAGCAGCAGCAGTAGCTTGCTTGGCAGCAGCAACTGGCTTCTTTTCAGCAGCAGCCTTTGTTGGAGTGGTTGATTTCTTTTCAGCTGGAGCAGCAGCAACTTGCTTTGCAGCAGCAGCTGGCTTCTTATCAGTTGAAACGACAGTCTTTTTATCAGTATCATTCTTTTGTTTCTTTACAACCTTTTCTACTGGTTCGGCGGCGGCGGCAGCGACAACAGCAGCCTTTTTGTCCTTGGTGGCATTTGAAATGATGGCATCCTTGACAGCCTTTGTTTGGGTGAGGTAGATTGGGAAAGATGGAGAGTTTTGGTTCTTGATGCTGAGTTGTGAAACACCACCCATTCCCTTTCCGTCTTGACCACCGGTGATAGTCTTTAAGACGGCTTGTAAATTTTCAATCATTTGTTCCAATGTATGTTGTGATCCACCAAACTTGACACTGTAATTTGCTTGTCCAATCTTGGCTGAAGTGGTCTTGTGAATATTTAAAACTTTTTGTACCTTTTTCTTTGTGTTTACCATTCTTGGGTTTCTAAATAGAAAGAAAATAGAGAAGGTCAATATCAATTTGAATAAACATAGTTGTACTTTTGTTATTTTTAAACATACTTGGTACCTTGCTTGAAAAAGGTTTTTCCTAAAATATCGTAGAGAGCAGTCTTGATGGCCTTGTCACCAATGAAAATATCGTGAGAGTCTCTTAATTTACGTTTGTCTTCGTATTGCTTGGCAGATTCTTTAATTGATTTGAGTGACAAGACAGTCGATTTAAACTCTGCATTCTCTTCCAAAGTAGATTCCAACTTTTTCTTATCGTCTTCGTTATTGTCTACAAAGATACAAACTTCAACCTTGCCAGTATATAATGAATTTGGTAATGGACTATTGAAAATAATAATAATATCTATTAGTATCTAGATAGATAGAGATAGTAGAGATATCTCTTGTTATACAGTAATCTACTTGATTCGATAATTACATATTTTTAATCTTTTCCTTCATCTTTTTTGGGTTATGATTAACTATAAGGTGGAAATCCAAATCATCTTCAAACAATTGATCGGCTGATTCATCCTTCTTTGCTGATAATAATGCCTTGATGGCTTCCTTTGACTATTATATTGTAATCGAATCAAATTGATTGAGTTGTGTAGTAGTATTATTGATAGAGGATAGGATTGAATGAATGAATGAAGAGAAATTGGTTAGTTCTGTAAAGATAAACTGTATGAATAGACTAATCTAATCTACAATGACAATGTACAAACCTTTTGAATGATATCTTCCATTTCTATTATGTCTAGATTATATATATGTATATTTAAAAAAAAGGTGAATAAATAAGATACGGCTCACGACAATTTAACGAGAGAAACGAAACGAACGAAAGTTTTTTTTGAATTTTTTCTTTTTTTTTTTTTTTACATACCAACAGCTTTGTTGCTTTACATTTTTATAAGACATGTCTATCTTCATGTCTATCTTCATGTCTGTCTAATAGTTATTACATGTTATAGTTATATTAGTTTTATTTTCTCAACACACGTTGCATTTCTTGAGAACATTCTCATTCTCTTCAATATTGGTATAATAATAATATGAATAATGATAGGTGATGATGATAATGATGGTGATTACGGAGTGATACTATTAATAAAAGTAGAAGAAGGAAAGAGATAATTCAGATTCGTCGATGATTGCTAAACACTGGTCATCCGGAACCCACGACAAGATATTTTCATCAGAAATGGGGTCCGTCTGCGAACGGGATCCCGATGTCAACAATTGATTTATTTTAATTTTTAAATGCTTAGGGATTGTTCGACGTCTGTTTCGAAATCATTCATTGTGATTCAAACGGTTGGTCTTTTTCAACTAAATTTAGTTTTGTTTATAAACATAGGATAGAAGAATGAAATCATCAATATTATTAATAATCGTAGCAGTAGTTGCAACATTGATGGTTGTCAACTCTGTTGGCATTAATATCAATAGTCAACAACAACATCAACAAATTCATAATAGAGTATCAAAAACAAGACAACTCAATCCAAATTGTACAACACCAAATATTACAAGATTACATCAATACATTGATGCCACTGTTGCATCGTATGGTTACTGTGAGGGTACTGAATGGGCCTTTTCCGATTTTATCACAGAGCCATTCATCGAATCCTACAACGCCAACAATTCACAACAAACTGCTTCGACCATCAAGTTGTGGGTACTCATTGCAGTTTTACAAGATGTCCAAAATGGACTTTACTCACTCGACACTGTCATTGAATGTTCAGGTCAAAACCTAACCATCAATGGTTGTTTGGCTCTCATGATTGGAATCTCTGATAATTGTGCTACTTTTGATATGACCAAACAAACTACTTTAACTCATGTTAATGAAGTATGTACATAGAAAAATAATAATAATAATATTAATAATCTAATATTTATTTTGATTTAGGTATTTGCATCATTGGGAATGACAAATAGTCAATTCCATGAATGGTGTTTTACAACATGTCCAGGATACACTAGTCCATGTCCAAATAATGATGGTACGGGACTTGACAATGTATTGAGTTCACATGATGTTGTTCACGGTCTCCAATTACTCCATTCATTTGAGGCATTGCCTGAAAACTATACTTACCAAGCCTACAAGTATCTTTTGACTGCTCATGGATGGACACCCATGTTGGGTCTATTGGTACCAGCACCAGTTGCACACAAGCAAGGTTGGCTCCCAGCCGACGAAGGATTCATCCCCTTTACCGAGAATGACGAGGCTATCGTCTTTTCTGAATGTGGTGATTATGCTGCCTCGGTCATGATTACTCGTAACTGGACTAATCCACAAGAAGACAACTACGCTTTAGCATTGGGTGCTCAAATCGGTAGACTCGCTTATTGTACAATGGTACCTTTTGGATATGCCAACGATGGTATTGCATGTGAACAAACTTGGTCTCAACCATTACCTTCTCCAACTGGTTGTTAAATCAAATCAAATCAAAACAAATCAAATCAAATAAAATACATTAAATTAATAGTATAAATAATCAACATACATACACACATACACACACAAACGACACACACACACACGACATTGTAAATAGAACTGTTTTTATTTTATTTCCTCCCTCCTCAGTGATATTAATATTAATATTAATTAAATCATTTTCAATATACATTATCAATATAAATCTAATCTAATAGTAAAGTAGAGAGAATGAAATCATTGTATTCTATATTTGTTCATACGAAAGGACTTTGGTCTAATAATACAACACATTCAAATAGTATATGTGCGCCCTTTGATTTAGAGCATTGTCCGACTGTTTCGTTGGAGAGCGAAGTGGATCAATATCTAAAACTTAAATCTCCGATTGATCAATTAGTTATGATTGTATGTGTAATTTTTAAATAATTATTTAATCGAGAGAGGGGTTTTACTAAAACAATAGTTACAGAATTCTAGTTTCGACAAGGTAATAGATACAGAAAAGGATAAAGATGCTACATTTAATGTTAAACCAATTGCAGTTTATAATAAATATCTCGAGCATATAACTACCTCTAGACCATGTAAACATACTGTAACCTGTTTCAAAGGGTTTGCACCTGGCATTAGATGGGATCCTAAACATATAATAGAGTATGTATTAATTTGATCCAAATAAACAAATATTTTTATTAATTTAATTTTATTTATTTAGATGTGATTCAGTAAATGAAATTACAAGTAAATTTAATTATAAAGATGATATACCAGATGAAACAAAAATAGAAAAAACAATTGATCTTGGAATTGGAACATACACGATATATCAAACAGTCATTGTCTATGGTATTAAAGTTAAAGATCCACGAGTATACTATCTCAATCCTCCAGTTTATCGAGACGACATATTTGCAACACCAACCAAAAATGCAATCTACGAACCTGTTAACTTTTTTGGTACAGTTGTGAAATATTTCGATGGAAAAGGTGCATCTCGATGGAAGGAATTCCCCACCCAATTTGACTAGTTCTAAAGGATTCCCACCTCACCACTCACTCTACATCCTGTCTTGACAGGGTTATTAAAAATAGTCCCCCCACCAATCCGTGTCACACGGCCCCCTTTTTAAAGAATTGTTTTTTTAAAAAATAAATAATGTAGGCATTTTGGTTGAAGGAATAAATATTAATATAATATATATTCAATTATCTATCATATATATAAATATATTAGAATGTATTCAATTATTCAAGATTATGCACCAACTCTAGTTTGTTACAAAACTTTATTTAATTTCAATTTATTCGAGAATAATGACCAGGATCAAAAAGATTTAGATACATGTGAAGTTATTTCTTCTGAATATGGAGTAGATAAGAATTTAAAGATGAAATCACCAATTGATCATTTTGTAATGATTGTATGTTTATAGAATATTTAATCGAGAAATTTAAAATAACTCTTTTTTTTGTTTTTTTGAAGGATTCCAAATTTAGTTTAGGTAAAAAATTGGATGATAATCCAGATGTATCATACTATGTTAAACCAATAGCTGTATATAATAAATACATTGATTTTGTAACAACTCAAACACCATGTCAACACAAGGTGACCTATTTCAAAGGTTTTCCTCCTGGTTTTGGTTGGTTTCCAGAATTTATCCAAGAGTATGTTGGAAATAGAGCTTATTGTAATTAAATATTAATATTAATATATTTTATTTTATTTCTAAAGATGTGATTTAGATAATGAAATAACAAATAAATTTAATCAGGATGATATACCAAAAGAAACAAAGATCTATACGACTGTCGATATTGGAGTTGGAACCTACACAATTTTTCAAACAGTCATTGTCTATGGAGTCAAAGTAGATGATCAATCAGGTGATTATACTCAAGTCATTCCAGTATACAGAAACGATGTATTTGCAACTCTTTCAAATATGGTTGACAGTGAACCATTTTCAAATTCTCAAGTAGTAACATACTTGGAAAAAAAAGGTTCGAGTAGATGGCAAGAATCAAATAAATAAATAAATAACTCCAATATAAGTTGTTTAGTCTTCATTCATATTATCATCAGTATATTCTTCCATACTTTACAGTATTTTTAATTTTTAATAAGTTTGAAAAGTATTTTTTTTTTGGGATAAAGAGACTTTGAAAATTTTCACCATCTTTAATTCAATCGTCGATAAACAAATAAGTTTGATAAATAATTATACATTACATTTTAAAATGTCAGTCGATACTCAAGAACAACAACAACAACAACAACAACAAGATAATAATAATAATCAAAACAAAGAATCTATAGAAAAAGAAACAACAAATGAAATATCTGCAACAAATACAGAAACAACTGTAACTACTACGACACCGTCTGCAGATGGTCAACAACAACCACCTACAACAACAACAAAAGTAATCACATTTGTATCATTTTGCGCATTTAAAGTACTAGCTGGAGCTGAATACATTGGAGAGACATTGGCTAGTATCTTTGGTATCACTGATTCAAAATATCAATATCACGTCCACGAACATACAATGAAACAAGAAGAAAAGAAAAGAAAATTGGAAAGAGATGGTATAGAAATCTCTAAAATGGAATCTGGTTCTTCTTCCTCTTCTACAACTATTACAACAAATGAATAAGCAACACATATACTTGTATCATATAACGCGAATCTTAATAAGAAAAAGATGACACCTACAGCTCTCTTTTTTTTCTTTGTACATAAACTTAAACCAAGATTATATATATTTATATAAATATATAATCATTTTCAATTTACTTTACTTAAGGGGAAAAAGAATATTAATATATTATATGTTTATTATTATTATATGTTTTGGTATTATTATATATTTGTTAATGGAAGAAATAAGGACTTTCTTTAACCTTTTCAATGTCGAGATGACCTTTTTCAGGAACTGGAGGGATATTGACTGTAGGATAACGTTTGGTAAACCAGGTATGGAGATCATGTAGGAGGGGACGTTGATGGAGTTCAACAAATTGTTCACGAATGATAGAGTTGAGATCGTCGGTGGTGGCAGCGTGAGTCCAGAAACTGTCGTGAACCGAAGCAAAGGTGATGTTGGCGCGACTGGCTTCGATGGCAGTGAGGAACATATGGGTGGAATCAAGACTGTGAATGTAGTTTGGTGGGAATGCAGAACGTTGTTGACGTGAGCAGACGGGGAGATGCTCTTCATCGTCGACGAGGACAAACTCGTTGGCGATGGTTTTTATGCTAAACTTGCCACCCTTGCGGTACGGTTGGACGACTGGCAGGCCAAGAGGGGTGTACCAGGCAACACACTCGCCCGACTTTGCAATAGCACTGGCACATTGGCTGAGCCAAGCCATAATGGAACGAGCACCCAAAAACATCTTGTCGAGTGACTTGAACGTCTCTTTGGCGAGATAGGATGATGCTTGGAAGACAAAGTCGTCGTCCATTTGGTACTTTTCCTCGAGTGCATTTTGGATTTGTGCACGTGCACCAATATAGGTGACACCATAGACTGATGTCATGACGGTCTGTTTGATGATCTTTCTCTGTACCTTGCCGAGGAGGGCTTTGGCAACTTCGTGTCCGTTGGCCGCGTCGTGCTCGACCGTCGCCGACACGAGCTGTGCTACACCGCTGTACACGTCTTGTGGTTTGGGACTGGGCAATAGGTTGACCTTGAACGCGCCAAACTCGTCACCTCCGAGTGCTGCATAATGCTGCAGACCGTTGCACGAGCCGTCTTGGTGGAGTGGCAGGCTCGACATGAAATTGGCGGGGTCGCCACTACGCACGGCGTTGGCGAGCTCAATGCACGTGGCCAATGCCTGCCATGGTTTGTCGGCAGCCAACCACCAACGGGCGCCGTTTAATGGGTTGTCGGCCGAGTCGTACACATCGGCCATATGCGAGTCGACAAACGCGATACGGTCGTCAAACGACACCTTGTCCACGCCCGATAAATTGGCCAAATGCACCTTGAGCCACATCAATCCACGAGCACCCAACGGTTTCTTTTCGGCAAATGTCAACATGGCACGACAAAAGTCTGATCCGAGGTGATTGAGATGTGGTGGGATGGGATAGGAACGTCCACGGAAGTCGACGTTGTGGGGAAAGTAAAAGTCGTGTTCGCGCAGCTGCTTGCCAACGTCCAACTTGTACGACAAATCGCAACGCAGCGAATGCAAGTCGTGGTTGAGTTGCTTGACCTTTTTCACAAGCTTGGCGTGCTTTTTACGTTGTTCGGCAGACTCTGAGTACTCGGCTGCCAGCGGCAACTCATAGTCGAAACGTGACGGCAAGTCTCCAATACCGCCTCCACTCTCCCACGCCGCCAAGATAATATCTAAAACGGGACGGTTGATGTTCCAAGGCACCTCGCCGAGGATATTGAGACCCTCGTAAATCTTGGACAAGTCGGCCGAGATGATCGACGATGTCTGCAGTTTGGATCCATTAGTACGCATGATAAAGGTTGGGTAGTGCAGATAGCACCCGTTATTTGGGCTGTCCCACGGTTCCGGTGTCACGACCATTGGCAACAGACGTGCATTGGCAACTTCGCGTAAATCGTGGCCATCCTGGATCAAACTGAGTACATTCTGGTGTAAATGGAGTGACGACACTCTCACACCTCTGACAAACCGATAGTCAATGTAGAATGCGGGTACTTGCTCGCTCTCGCCGTCATTGATCTGATACTTGTTGATAAAACACGATTCCATGATACAACGCAGGATAAACGTGCCAATACGGAATGCCATGCCCGTCTCAAACTCCATCGTCTCTTTAAACTGTTGACGCACTGCATTCTCGATGCTTCTAGACGACAACCCTCCATAGGTTGACGACAAACGACGGAATGCCTTGGGGTCAGATTCTTTGAGTTTTTCAAAACGGTACTGTGTGTACACCAACGAGCCCACCGTCATGGACACCGAGTTGGTCTTTGGACCACTCGTCTTTGAAAGAATCTCACTCACCGTACCATTCAATCCCAACAATGCAATCTTTTTAATATCCATTCTAGTCATCATCTTTTGAAACTCTTCCTCTATTCTTTGTTTTGTATCTTTATCTTTACCTTCATTATATTTTTCTATCATTTCATTAAAAAATTCTCTTTGTGACTAAAAAATAAAAACAAAATAAAACAAAACAAATCAATCAATATTAATATTATATCTTTGTGTTTGATTTTGATTGGATACTTACAACTGAAGGAATTGATAAAACTTGTTTTTCTTGTTTTCTTTTTTTTGATGAAGAATTGGATGTAGAATTGGATGATGTAGATGAAGAAGTAGATGTGGAAGGTTGTACATTATTATTATTATTATTATTATTATTGGTATTAGAGTTATTATTATTATTATTATTATTATTGATTAAATTATTTTGATATTCTTTTATGAGTATTTGAATTTCTTGTTCCATATAAGAGAATAATGGTTGTTGCCATTGGAATACAACATTTTTAATTGGACGTAGACCAGATCCACGTGAAATGGATTGAGTACTTGTCACCAACTCTCTGTATCTGTCTCTGGCTTGTTCAGTGACTTGTAATTCAAACTTTGTTTCCAATTCTACCAAACTTTGTATTCTATCCAATTCAGATTGATCAAAACCTTCTTCTCCACCATTGGTATCATCAAAACCGGCCGATCTTTTCTTTTTCAACATTGATTGTTGTAACATTTTCAATTGTTCATCAATCATTTCAATCTCTTCTGCATAATTGATACCTTTTTTCTCGGTAGTTTGAGTAGTTGTAGATGTTGTTGTTGGATTAATAGTTGACATTAACTTTTGTATTGAATCTTTCATATTACTGCTACCAACACCACCATGGTTCATATCATTGATATCTTGTTTGTTTGAAGATGCTTTCAACTTTTGAAATGCACCTAATAAATCTGATGTTGAAGATGAAGATGAAGATGAAGAAGTAGATGAACTAGAAGAAGTAGATTGATTCATATCAAATGATGTAGATGTTGAAAATGATTTTAACATTGTATTTGTTAGACTATGTTGATTGGTCCATCTTTTATTATTATTATTATTAGTAGTAGTAGTATTAGTTAATGAAGGTACTAGTAATCTTGATATCGAAGAGGAGGAGGAGGAACCTATCGATGAAGATAGTATTCTTTTACTAATATTCAACATGTTGTTGTTGTTGTTGTTGTTGTTGATCTATTGAAATGACTATGATGATTATGTACAATGAAAATATTTATATTTAAGTGTGTGTGTATGTGTGCGTGGTTCTTGCAGCAGATCTCCCTCTTTTATCTGTACTTATAAGTACACGCAACAACAATGGATTTAAAGAGTATACTATCTATGGTTCTCGTAAATTTGCTCAAGTCATTGCAAACGTCGTCCTCGTTCGTTTCACAAGACAAGTTTACTTTTTTTTTTTTTTTCAACGACACTTTTCTTTTTTGAGAGGAGCTGTCTCCCAACCTCCCAACTTTTCGATCTTCAGTTTAATCTTTCGATGCTAATAAAAGCGATATGACACATATAATTTAAATCATATTTACCTCATCATCATGTATACAGATATAGAGATTTAGATATAGTAGATTTAGTATCTAATCATCTCATCATTCACTCTTCGATTAATTAACAACTAGAGGAGGAGATGTGAGTGCAATCAAACCTATAACTCTCAAGAGAAAAAGATAGATAGAGAGAGAGGGGGGAGGGACGCAATCTCGATCTCGTTGTCTCCTATATAATTATATACATCTAAAAGGAGAAGAGACTCTCTTGTGTTTTTAACAACACTTTGCTATTTTTGGAAGAGAGATACACAAAGAATTTGGATTGGTGTGGGGAGCGGGTGGTGGGGTAAACTCTCATACCTTCCTCTTAAGACCAGCAGAGGGAGATCCAAGCAAATGAATGAATGAATGACATTTGATCATTCATCCAAAATACTTTCCTTTCTATCATTTTTAATATATGCTGTTGGTTGTGCGTCAGGGAGAGCTCTCAACAATAAACTTTCTCTAAATATTTATTAATAGAGAGATTAAAAAGTAAGAGAGAGATTAAAAAGTAAGAATAATCATCATCATCGTCACAACAGGGCTAGCTATACATTTATAACATAACAATCATCTATTATTATTATATTACTTTTTTTTTTTAGGAGGGAAATATTTAATTAAGTAATTAAATACTTTTAAAAATATTTATTTATTTATATTCTTACTTATAATAACCATCTCATTCTCATCTGAGATCAACACATAAATCAATCAATCAATCAATCAATCAATCAATCCAACCACTAACCACCACCATTCACCCCACTCACTACTACCCTATACCCACACTTAGGTAGTCATTCAACCAAACCCCCTTCCTCTCTCTCTCTCTGTTCCCACCAACCCCACAATAATAATAATAATAATAATAATCAACAACAGTTAAAACAAAACAAATATTTATTTTATATACACTAGAGTAACCAATCCATCTTACTTTTTTGGTCGCAAAATCAAACCAAAAATTAATAATAATAATAATAATATTATTATTATTATCACATACAACAAACAAAACAAACCACCTTTTTTCTTCCTTGTTCATTTTTATTAGTAGTAGTAGTAGTAGTAGTTAGAGTAGTTCGATTTGGGTTGTATGTATGTATGTTGGTTGTGTATGTTTTTTTTTGTTTTTAACAACCAAAAAAGATAAAATAACAACAATAACAATAACAACAAGATTGATGTTGTGTCCATCCATCCAATAGATAGAAAAAGGTAATTTTTAACCAAATATATTTAAATTTATTGATTAATTAAACCAACAATATACCATATTATCAACAAACCCCTCTCTCTCTCTCTCTTTGTCTCTGTCTGTCTGTCTCTAATTAAAAGAATTCTTTTTTTTTATTTTATTTAAATTAAAATATAGAGAATAGAGAATAGTTATGGTTGATCATAACAGTAGTAATAGTAATAACAGTAATAGTAATCATAATAATAATAATATTGATAGTATTGATAATAGTGATATTGGTAATGAAATAACAATGATGAAGCCGATTAGTGGAGACAAGATCATCAACTTGCCAAAAGAACAAGAATTCTTCTTTAAAATTCCAGAAATGAATTTATATTTTCCGACAACTATTACTACTACTACCATGACGACTACTACGACGACTATGACCAATGGTGGCACTACCACCATGAATGGGAACCATAAACAATCAAATTCAAATGGAGCAACTATAGAGGAAGAGTTGGACTCTAGTGATTTAAAAGAATCATTATTACAAGTACAAAAGAATATAAGATATTTTGAAACTTCATTATTTAATCTACAACAAAGTATAAAGGATTTTCATCATCTTGATAATATTAATAATAATAATAATAGTAATAATAATGGTAATAATAACATTAATTCTTCTTCATCCTCTTCATCTTCATCTTCTTGTTCTTATAAAAATATAAATAATGTATTAAATGATTGGTTAAAATATTTGGAACAATTACAACCAATGTCAAATCAAGTTGAACAATATATAACTTTTCAATTACAATTACAATTACAACTTCAACACCAACAACAACAACAACAACAACAACAACAACAACAACAACAACAACAACAACAACAACAACAACAACAACAACATATTGGTAGTAATCAAGATGAAGATGAAATATTGTCATCAATTGTAGATCAAGATGCATATCAAAAGAGTCATATGAGAAAGAGTAGTAGTAATAGTAGTATTGCCAGTTGTACAACTCCTAGAACATTTAAAAAATCGGTGGCTTATTTGGTACAACCGATGGAATTTGAAATTGAACGAGTCGAATTGATTGAAATTGCCGAAGTTGATGAAATTGCATATGCCAAACAACAACAACAACAACAACAGAAAAAGAAACAAGAAACTACTATTGATGAAGATGAAGAGGAAGAAGATGACAAGTATCATACTCCATTCCTTACAATTCATTCACCAGGATTTAATTTATTAAAACAATCAAGAAAATTGGAAGATATTAATAATAATAATAATAACAATGATAATACAATTGGTGAATGGGATACAACATCATCATCATCTGAAGGAGAATCTTCATTATTATTATCTGATGATTCAGATGACGATGAACAAAATAGTAAATTGGCAAAACTTGGTGGTATATCTTATATTGCTACATTTAATCATGGTACTAGTGAAGGTACTGGTATGATTAAAAAAGATCCATCACAACCATCATCACAACTATCACAACAATTATTAACAGTACCAAAAAAGATTGTTGAAGAAGAGGAAAAGAAATATTCTACACCATTTTCTCCATCATCACCACCAATGTCTCCATCACCAATGGCAGCATTGGCAACGAGCGAAGAAAGACGACAAGAAGAAATCAAAGAGCAACAGCCACTCTTGATTCCACCTGGTAGTATACCGACCGACCGATCATTGATGGAGATTGCTCTACAAAAGATTCGATTCAATATTATGAGTGACGCTATGCAACATAAAAAGGGTACAGATATGTTGAATGCAATCATTAAAGAAGCTCCTCCTTTTTATAGTAATGGGTTTCAACAAGATAAAGATAAAGAAAAGGATAGAGATAAAGATAAATCATCAAATCAACAAACTCATCAAATTACATTAAATGAATTGGAATCACCAAGAGAAACTTATTTATCAAATGAAGAAGAAGATTTATCAAATATGTATCATATTTATAAACCAATTCTTCCTCTTAATAATAATCAAAATAGTAGTAATAATAATCAAAATAATAGAAATAATAATCAAAATGATTTAAAAATGTCAAAAGTTATAACATTTTCAAATCCAACCAATCAAAATCAAAATAATACAAATAATACGAATAATACTTCAATTCCAGTATTTAAATTTGTAAAAGAAAAAGTACCAAAGTTGATCAATCAAACACCAGCAGAACAAGTATGTTCACTCTATTATGAAGAGTATATGCAAACTGGAGATATATTGGAGGATGTAGATTGTACAGAGTCTAGTCAAATCGAAGATACCGACTGCTCAACCTACGACGATACATTTACCTCTTCGACCAATATAAACATTAAACAATCGACCACTACCTCTCGAATCGAACAAATCCAACAACAAATTCAACAACATCAACAACACCAACAACAATTAATTTCACAACATCATCAACAATTACAACAATTACAACATTTACAACAACAACATCAACAAGAAATGGTTGATAATAAAGAACTTTTAACAAATAATCAAAATAATCAAAATCAAAATAATAATAATATGAATCATAATCCAATTTCACCAATATCACCAAAAATGATAACACCAACAAGACATTCAATGATTGTTAATAATAATAATAATAATTTACAACAACAACATGGTAGATCATTGTCACACAATGGCGTTACAAGTTCAAACACTAAACAATGGAACAATGGAAATGTGGGTAAATACTTGAAATTTCATATATTTGTTCCTACTCATCCTCATATGAGTCGTGTAGAGTTGGTCATTGAAGAGGATGTCTCTGTAGAACGAGTCATCAATGAAGTATTGGATCTTTGTATAAAGGAAAAAAGAAAAATGCAACAACAACAACAACAGCAACAACAAAATTTTTCTCCTCCTCCTCTTTTACCTCCAAGTAGTAATAATCATAATATTTATTCTCCTCCTCCTCCTCCTCCTCCAATCACTACAAACACTACAACTACCACTAATAATAATAATAATACTTCTGCTACAGCTGCACAATCATCTGAATCTTCACCAACAACTGTAAATACAACTATTGATTCAATATCTACTTCACCGATGGGATCAACATCAACGGGGGCTAGTGGAACGGCCACGCTGACTTTTCCCTTTCTTTCATTCTCGACCAATGCACGTGCATACATTTTACGCATTGCCAACGAGGATGGTGTCATTGACGACGACTATTTGCCACTAGAGCGAGGGTTTGAAATTAAAAAGGCAAAGAATGATCGATTCATGTTGCAGCAGAATCCTCGTTGGGTGTCTCCTACCACGTTGCCTCCACCCTCTCCTTCGACACTCAACTCTCGTGGTGGTGCAGCTGGGTTGGGTCCACGTATCTTTCGTGTTCATATTGCCGCGTCGACACCGCTGTCGACTGGCGAGTTGTCCAATCGTCACTCGCTCGGGTTGATTGGTACACACGGCTGTAAAGATTCAATTGCTTTTCCCTATAACCCTACTACAACACTCGCATCACTCAAGAGTACGATTTGTAGAAAGGAAAAGTTTATAGAGGATTTATGTGTATTCATGTCGATGGCCAATGAAGTCATTTGCACTGAATCAATGACACTTGACGAGTATGGAGTTGGAGACATTAAACTGGTACATGACCGCGTTAAAAAAAACTCGATTCCCAAATCTGTATCTTTTATCCGCGAGTCTGGCAATGCACCACGACCCATCACCAAGCTACTCGGTCCACTCTTTTTCTTTACACCCGATTCTGCTGCCGAGTTTAAACAGTTCCAAGTGACCAAACTCAACAAATTTGGTGTCAAACAAGACCGCTTTATGGGTATTGATCAAGACCGCATCGTACACACAATCTGCACCGAATCCAATACTCCGGCCGGAGGATCACCCATTAGCAACGGAAGTGGAGGTGGTGGAGGTGTCGGAGCATCCAGTGCAGACAAGTCCAACAACAATAACAACAATAGCAACAAATCCAAGAAATCATTCATCAAAACATTTAGTTCCACCCGTTTGAAAAAACCAATTCAACCAATGTCAGAAATCACCTCTGTCGGTTTAATTAGTACAAAACCTTCAAATTTTTATATTAGATGTATTGATGGGAAATATTCTGAATATTCTTCTCCTGATTCAGGTAAGATAGAAAAAGATAGAAAAAGAAAATTAAAAAAGTAATGAATGAAATATTAATATTTATTTTTATTTATAGAGGAAATTATTGCAAAATTATCTGTTATAATTAAAGAACATAGAATGAAAAGAAGAAATTTACAATAAATAAAAAAAAACAAAAAGGTTTGATTTATTTATTTATTTTTTTTGAAACACAAAAGTGTGAGTCGTTCACTTTTCATCTTTGATCTTTTTCAACTCATCAATCAATCAATCAAATATATAAATTTTCTAACCCTGTCAACAAAATATATTGTAGTACTAAATAATAGAATGGATCAACAACAAAAGACAATAAGTGAATGTTCTTTCTTTTCTTCTTCTTCTTCTTTTTATATAAAAAAAGATGATTAAAATATTATTATTATTATGGTTACCTCTTTTTTTAGTTTTATTTTTTATAACTTCAAATCAAGCAAGTAATCTTTGTCAAATTACTGATAGTTCAAGATCACAATATTATAATTTCACTATACCGTATGTCAAAAAAGAAAATACCTACCTATCTATCTATCTTTTATCAATTTATTAATTTTTTCTCTATCTTTTTTTTTTTTTAGATCAAATTATAATTATGAAACAAATATAACAGATAATGAATTTGGAAGTTTTAAATATTTATTTAATCTATGTGGAAATGTAAATGATTGTCCAAACAATTCACAATCTTGTCAAAAGTTTTATTATGATTATCCTCTTGTTCAACCTCGTATCACTGGTTTATTATCAACTGGTGTTGTTGTTGTTTTATCAGAAGGTCGAGTTGAATATAATTATCAATCAAATAACATTAGTATTATTAATAATAACGATAATAATAGTAATGATTGTTTAACAAGGTATTCAAAATATACACTATTATGTAATAATAATACCAATCGATATTTTAATGATATTCAATGTTTTACATTTTCATGTACCTATACATGTATAGTTAAAACTTTTTATGCTTGTCCTTTACCTTTACAAAGTATGAAAGAGAAAAAGAAAAGAAAAAAAGAATAATGAATTAATTAATTATTCTTTCTTTTTTATTTAGAATATGAATATAGATATAATGAAACTAGATTAATTAAAGGATCAAATATAATAACTATAATTGGTAGATTTGGTTTGGATAGTTCAATTTTGGATTTAAAGTTTAATAATACTATACAATGTACAATTATTCAATTTGGAGAGTTTCAAGTTCAATGTACAATACCATCTTATCCTCCTTGGGGTGGAACATCTAATCTTGCCATTAAAATTGGTAATGATTTTATTTCAAATACAAATATTCAATTTGATCCAATCCTTTGTTTTAATACTTGTTCAAATAGAGGTATTTGTAATCTTGGTCAATGTAATTGTAATTTTGGTTGGTTTGGTTCTTATTGTCAATATAGTAAGTAAAAGAAAGATATAAAAAAACAAAAAAGAAAAAAGAATATTTGATTAATTAATTATTGTTTTTAGGATTTAATTGGCCATCAACCACTTGGGCTTCTACTACAACAACAACAACAACTGGTTCTCCAAGTTCAAGTAGTCAAAGTAGTAGTTCTAGTTCTAGTTCCGATTCTAGTTCGAGTAGTAGTAGTTCTGATTCTAGTTCAAGTTCCGATTCTAGTTCTAGTTCATCAGATTCAAAATGTACATCATCAGATTCAAATAGTAATTCATGTTCAGGTAGTGGTAGTAGTAGTAGTAACTCTTCATCATCGTCAGATTCAAGTTCAAATAGTACATCATCATCATCAGATTCAAGTTCCTCCAATTCTACTTCTTCTTCTTCTTCTTCTTCTTCTTCTTCTTCTTCTTCAAGTGATGATCCAATTTCAAATCATACAGCCAAATGTAGTTTAAAAAAGGGATCACTTGAAGTTGTCTATGATGGAGATGAATATATTAAATGTACGACTCGTGGTAAAAGTAAATGTGAATCACCTGGTGGCTATGAATGTGAAACACCTACACCAAAAGCTACTCTAAAGTGTTCTGCTCCCAAACAGATAACATGTAAAGCTGCCAATGTAATATGTAGAGTTGGAAATATGACTTGTTCCTACTTTGATGATGATAATGATCCATTCTCTTGTACTTCCTCTTCTTCTTCTTCTTCTTCTTCTTCCTCTTCCTCCTCTTATTCAAAATTATCCAATTATTATTATACAATTTTAATTATAATTGTAGGCATGTTTTGGTGTTGACTGCACTTGGAATAAAAATAGGCTTACCATTTTTTTTCACTGATCAGGATTGATTGCATTTAAGTGATAGTTTAAATTTATTATTACAAATGTAGGGAATAGTGTCTACTTTAAGATTATGATAAAAAAGATTTGGATAGAGGGAGAGCATGTAAAAAAAAGGAACCTGTTTAAAAGGATGTAACTATACTTTGATAATTAGGTTCTAGCCAGTGATTTTTCTAGACCATGTTTTAATGTGTTGTTTAGTTTGAAATCAATTAAAAATTGACAAAAATGTAGGAAATTGTGTCTAGTTTTATCTTTGACATTTTTTATTTTTTCATGGAGATTTGTGTTGATGGTATAGTTTAGGTTAAAATTGATAAAAAATGTAGGAAATTGTGAAAACTACCACAATATCATGAAAAAACTTGGATCATAGGCAGCGGCAGCAAAAAAAAGATCAAAACAGGTGCCTTTTGGGCTTGTGACAATATGGTTTTTTTCCAATGATTTTTTTTCTAGACCACGTTTTAGTGATGTGGTTTTGGTGAAAATCGATGAAAATTGGATATAAATGTAGGAAATCGTGTGTACTATTAGAAAATCATGAAAAAACTTGGATCATATTTACTAAACTATGCTCTATCTTGTCGAGGGCCCTACGATATAGATAGTAATAGGATAGTAATAATCAAGATCTTATATAAACTATGGTTAGTCTTATAGATTGTATAGTGTTATATAAAATGTAATAATCTTTATTATTTAGTTACCTTATATAAACTATGGTTAGTCTTATAGATTGTATAGTGTTATATAAAATGTAATAATAATGAATGATGAGAGCTGTTGCTCGTTTGTAGGTGCGTGAGAATTGGGATTTTGTAAAAAAAGGTCCATTCTCATTACACATTCCCTACCAAGCTAGAAACAATGTTTCAATTGAATCAACTTGATAGATACTTATTTTTTTTTATGATTTTTGGGGTTGTTCTTCAACTGGTATTCATAGGCTTCCACGAGTGATTTAGTCTTGTTGTAAGCCTTGAGAACGACCTCATGTATCCAATTGTTGTGGTCTTCATCTAGTCCATCATACTTTACCAAGTATTCGATTCTAGATCCGCGTCCATACTTTTGGTTTCTTTTCCCAATGATTTCCACAATGTCTTGTACGTCAGTGTCGACGCCATCTGCATCCATAATATAAATGTCTGATACATTTACTGTACGGTTTTGACGATCGCCTTTACGGTTGTTGATTTTGATTGATACATTGGTTGGGCTGATAATCTTTGTAACTTTGAAAGGACCAGCATACTTTGATCTCAACTTGTAGTCGTTTTCGTTCAGTTCTGTTTTATGTGTATCTAGAACAGCCCGCTTGACTTTAACCAGATCACCAATCTTGTATTCGCATGACTTGGCTCTTCCTTTATCGTATTGTATTTGATTTCTGATCTGAGCTTCCAGCATGTTTGATTTCGCTAGCCTCGATTCTAATCGTCTTAGACGAGGGTGCGAGTGGTGCTATTGCAGGTTGTATCACTTCTTTATTTGCCTGTTTCAGGTCAGCTGAGGACAAGGTGTTGATGAGGGTGGATGAGGAGGATGAGGAGGAGGGAGAGTTGTCCTTTCTGTCCATTAACTGTAGTTGGAGGTTGAAATTGTTCTCTCTCAGTGCCTTGTTCTCTTCCATAAGATCAATCGTTTTTTTCATCTTATCTGAATATAGATTGATGTTCCCTTGCAAATTCTGCGCAAGTACCTTTCATTATTTGTAAAATCGTTGTAATGTTGGATTTTTGCTGATGCTGCATTTCTGTATTCACTATCCTTTAAGTCCAACTTTTCCTTAGTCATAGCCAAACATATAAATAGTTTGTGTATGAGGGCCTGAGAATCATTGATCTCAAGGTCCGATAAGTTTAGTTCAGCATTTCGCAGACGTCTTGCGACATCTAGAATGTTAAATGTACTATCTTCTGTATTAGTTGATGACATTATTCTACTCTGCTGTTGTTGTTTGACAATTGTACTATGTATTGTTTTATATTAACTCTGTTTAATATTAAAAATAAAGTTTACTAAACTATGCTCTATCTTGTCGAGGGCCCTACGATATAGATAGTAATAGGATAGTAATAATCAAGATCTTATATAAACTATGGTTAGTCTTATAGATTGTATAGTGTTATATAAAATGTAATAATAATGAATGATGAGAGCTGTTGCTCGTTTGTAGGTGCGTGAGAATTGGGATTTTGTAAAAAAGGTCCATTCTCATTACACGTTCACCGGCAGCAACAGGAAACCCTAAAAAAACCCTGTGCGTCCACCGGGAATCGAACCCGGGACACTTCCTTGGAAGGGAAATATTATACCATTTAACCATGGACGCATTGCACATTGGATGTTGGACAGGAAAAAAATCGCGGTATTTATACCGGATTTTTTTAAAAAATTGTGTAGTATTTTATTGTTTATCAGTAATCATTGAACAGTTTCATTGATCAAGACTATAAACGAGTGAGAGTCAAGAGGTCTCTAGTTGGACCTCGTGTTTGGACCAAGATATTTGTTCAAAAAACCAAAAAATAATGAAAAAAATCGAAACAGGCCAAAGAGTCTTTGAAAAAAATTAATCTTGTCTGATTTAAAATAACAACGTAAAAAATAAAACAGGGACACTATCTTGGAAGGAAATATTATACCATTTAACCGTAAACGCAATGCACATTGGATGTTGGACAGGAAATTTTTGCCTCTATTAAATCGACCAGGTAGCCTTTTTGAAAAAATATTAATCTAGTCTTGATTCATTCGTTCTAAACAACAACAACAACAACAAGATGGTTTATTATTAGCTAGTCTGATGATTTGATTTGATTCAGTCCATAAACAATTTTATTTACTTTATTTTGCCTCTACCACCAAAAATTTTAAAACTCTTTGTCACCACCAACATGTTCACAAAGAGCCTAGGATCCTTGCTGCCTCCCACGACGATACATCAATGCTGTCGCCATCCTCTTTCACTGCAGCACATAGCTATGACACCTGAATATGTGCAATTCAACCAACATTGTGTTTTCCATTTGAACAATGTCATGGCTTAGAGTTTTCAATGTACTCTTTTAGTTATAGAACGTGATCTGAACCATTGACATTCTCTCTCTCTCTCTCTCTCTCTCTCTCTCTCTCTCTCTCTCTCTCTCTCTCTCTCTCTCTCTATCTCTACTATTATTACTATCAATATTATTATGATTTATAATTTTATGTTGAAATTAAATAAGAGGAGTTATTATTATTATTATTATTATTATTATTCTGAATTAATTTGAATTGTAATTTGATATAGGGTATTTAAAATAGTTGATCCATCAATATATATATCCCAATTGTGTTTTTATTCATTTGTATACCCATTGGTAAACAATGATTCCATCAATGTTGATAACACCGCAATAAGAAATACTCTATAGAGTACCCCGAACCACGATTGCAGACTGCTCTTTTAAAGTGAATCTTTTCAACAACTCTTGTATTGAATGTTGCAGTATAGTTGATTGTGGGAGGACAGTAAAAGTGGTAGCCTTTTTGATGATGCAATATCGATCATTAATGTGATCCCACACCTGATCGGTTGGTAAACAATGTAGGGGTCCATGGTAAGCAATACTCCAATGCACCTAGTCGATTGTAATGATCAGTCATTTTCTCGATCGACACTTGTTCATCCTCCTTTGTTTTCTTTCATGTTTGAATCTATCTTTTTGATGATCAGTGTCTTTTTCTATTGTTAAAAAGCTATGTTGTTGTTGGGTACATTAAGGATCCCATGTAGTGCAAATCAATTTCCCCAATGTCCATTTCACCGACGATCTCCGTCACATCATTAGAGCCATCCAAGAGTTTGTTATTCCTCGTGGCTATTTGAACCTCTATGTTGACCCACCATCCATTGGAAACAACGCCTATCGCATCCCACTTTGTCCCACCGATACTGTTATTCTTCCTGATGGTACTCACCTCTATGCAGAGATCAATGATCAACCAAACGATGCCAATAATGCGACTAGTCATGACTATAACCCGAACCATCTTGATTATTACAACTATAATGCTGGTACAAAAAAAAAACAATTATAGATCAATTGATTAATTTTCGATTGAAACCTTGGAATAATTTTAATCTGCTCTTGTTCAAGATAAATATAAATAGTTTTAGTTATTTTCTAAATGGATTATTTTAAGTTTTTTTGGATCATATGGAATCATAATTATTGATGTCATTGGCAATTATGAACATTGTGAGAGAGATGAGAGAGAGAGAGAGAGAGAGAAGAAAGAGTTAAACAACTGTACAGTTACCAGTCAATTGGATTGATGATCAATCATCCCACCCCCACCATTCCACCAATACCACTACTGTATATTGATCATGACTTTCAAAGTAATGATTTTTTGACCTCGTTTAAATAGAAATAGATACTTGGTGGTAGTGTTATTTAAAAAAAAAAATCACTACTTGCCCACCATCACCACTACCTTTTTAAAAACAAAAACAACACCCCCCCCCCCTTATCTTCAACCTATCCTTGATTTACGTTGGTGATGATGAAGATGATGGTGGTGTTGGTTGTTTAAAACCATTACCATGACAAAAAGAAAATATAAATTTTAATTGTTTTTTTTTTTTTATTTCCATACTTTGAACTAATCAAAGAATTCTGATACGTATGTATCGTCGTCCAGGACGACATCATGATCATGGATGTTTTTGATGTTGATCTTTTGTTACTCTATAAACAAAAAGCAATTCCAAGAGGTACTTTATCATCATATATCATATATCATATATCATATATCATATATCATATATCATATATCATATATCATCCACCTTTATCATCATCATCATCAACAACAACGCTTCCAAAAAAAACAATTATCCTTTTTTTTAAAATTAAAAGAAAAGAGGATACAAAAGGACATTCAAATTCCACCTCATCATCCTCTTCTTCCTCCTCCTCCTCCTCTTGTCCATCATCACATTTAAATAACAATCAACAATTATATTTAATTAATTATTCTCTTTTCAAAATATTTTTAGTAAAAGGAATAATAATAATAAGAAAACAATTTTAATTATTATTTAATTAATTTTCATTGCAACGACAACCAACAAATCTTGTTTCAATTAAACGACACTAGTTTAATCAACGACAAAAAGGTAAACTATTTAATTCATATAATATTCCATTCATCAAACAAACACACACACACATCTAGATTAGACACCTTTTTTGATGATCAAGCAAAAAAAGAATCCATCCTAGCCTCTTATCATCACATTCTTATTCTTATTCTTATTCTTATGTTACTTCTTTAAAAGATCTTATACTTGACTCTATACCATTTTTAGAAATTTTTTTTAAATGATCGTTTCTCATCTCAATGTCAAGATGAGGAATGACTCTTTGTGATATTTTTTCGTCAGATATCTTTTTTTGCATCGAAACAAAAAGTGGGGCTCAACCTCCTTTTCATCGTTCTGTTGCAAGTAAACGATATCTTTTTTTCAAGCAATCGCCCAAAAGATCAACGTTTTTGATGAATTTTAATTAATTTTTTTTACATTTTTTCAAAAGTCACCACCACGCACACTGATCAAAGCTTCTTATCTCATTGGAGGAAAAAATATCTCAACCTCTCTTTTTTTTTTTTTTTTTTTTTTTTTTTTTATTAATTTATAAAGAGAACATACAGACAGACATACAGACATAGACATAGAGGCTGTGTGTGTTTGGTGTGTCTTTGTGTTTTGTTTCTATAGTCTCAAAAAAAGGAAGCTACTATATAGTAAAAGGTGAAAGGTTCACCTGACCACCACCCCTATATCGAACCGATTACTTGTTGTACAAAATCTCAAAAAGCTTTTTCTTTATAAAAAGTTTGTTGTATAGATAGATATCTATATATCTCCCACCACTGTTTTTGTTTCTATTTTTAAAACTTTTAAATCATCATCATCATCATCATCACAACACCACTATTTAAATAACATAACGTTTTTTTTTTTTTTCTTTTCATTCACCCGCCACTCTCTTTTTTGTTTGTTTATCAAAGAAAGAAAGAGAGAGAGGTGCAGCTTCACACACACACAAATTATTTATTATTTATTTATTTATTTATTATTTATTGTATCTTTAGCAGCAATCTAATACAACAACAACAACAGTAAAAGTAATAGTACAACAACTTTGTTTTTTTTTTTTGTATAGATCATTTATAGGCTTTTTAAACATCATCATCATCCATACATTATTTATATTTATTTATTTATTACAATCCCAAACCGACATTCAACTCTCTCTCTCTCACACACACACAGGCAAAGCAAGAAACCGAGCTTGCTTTTTTTTTTTTGATCCCAAACCCATCTTATCTTTTTTGGTTTTTGATTCATTCTTTAATCGATCATCGATTTCGTGTATAGCAACAACAACATGTAAGTTGCAACGTAGGCACGAATATTCAATTTAGATTACTGACAATTATTTCTTTATTCATTTTTCTTTTTTTTTAGAAAAAAATGGAACAAGTAGTTTCAACAGATTATTTATTACAAGATAGTTATCTAATTGGTGGATATCACGAATCGATAGAATCACCACAAATGCCAAAGGTTCTAGAGCCATCGACACCCACATTTTTTGGAGGGTCGACTCCATCTGGAGCAGATTCTGGTTTTCTTCAACAAGTTTCATCTCCACCAACCAACAACAACACCACTTCTTCACCACCAACCATGCAAATGATGAACAACAACAACAACAACAACAACAACAATTTAGTTTCATCATCCAATCCAACTCCATTGTTGGTTTCTCAACCACCACAACAACAATTTCAACAAAATCCATCACCATCAGTTTATAATCCACATTTACAAGATCCACAAACTCATGAACACTTTTTAAACCTTTTGACACAAATCAAACAAACTCAACAAACTCTAAGTTCATTCCAAACCAATCATGAATTTATTAATGCTCAAACTGCTGCTGCAGTTGCTGCTCAACAAGTCGTTTTACCCGCTGCAGCAGTGACAATAACAACTTCTGATTCAGTGGTGGTGGTGGAAGAGGATGGTAATAGTACTGATGCATCATCTAAAACGAATCATATAACCAATACGATTGCATTGGCAGCAGCAGTTACCAATAAAACCAAAGGTAAATCTACTGAAGCAAACTTGACCATATCAATGCCATCAAAAAAGAATATAAAAGCATCTGCCATTGCATCACCACCAAATTCACCTAGAAAGAGTTCTCGAAATAGCAAGGTCAAACATAAAACGCAACAAGTTCAAAATCATATTACTCAAATTCAATTACAACAACAACAATCGCAATCATCACCATCAACATTGGTCAATACATCATCATTATTGACTTCACAACAACCACCAACATTTAAATTATCTGGATCACCTGTTAGCTCACCACCTCAATCACCACTTACTCCACCTCCAACAACATCGGGTAAAAAGAATAGTGGTGGTAGCAGCACTAATAACAACAGTAGATTAAAGAAATCGACATCTTCAACTTTAACCAATAATTTTAACAACAATACTAATAATAATAATAATGTAAATAGTTCATCTTCATCTTTAAATAATAATTCACTAAATACAAGTGGAAATGCAATCAAGAATATTCCTGATGGTAATCTTGGTCAATCAACAGCTGGTAGTGAAGACAAGAAACATATTTGTCAATCTTTTCTTAAATACTATCTCAAAGTTAATCCTGCCCTTTCAACTCCAACTCTACGTCGTTCTCTTATTCTCTCTCTCTATGTAAATAAGATTCCACAAGATCTAAGATATAGACGTCCAAATGATATGGCAAATCTTTGTGTTGTATTATATGGTTATTTATATTCTTCTTTAGATGAGGTAAGAAATAGAAAAAACAAAAAAAATTGAAAAGAAAACTCTTATATTAATTTATTTTTACTTTTCCCTCATTTAGAATACAATTAGAGAATTTATAAATACTCATTCATCATCATCAACAAGAATAAAAAGAGATGATAAAAAGAAAAAGAGAAAGAGAGATAAAGAAGGACAAGAATCTGGATCGGATGGAAAGTTTTCACCCAATTTGGATAAATCATCGACAGTAAAGTCACAAAGATCATCATCATTGGATCAAGACCCACTCTGGCCAGGTACTTCAAATAGTCTTCAAACGACCACCTCACCAACCTACAATTTCTATGGTTCGAGTACCTCTCCAGAAACAAACGGAGTCTTATCACCCAATGCTGCTACAGGTGGCTCTACCTTTTTCTCTGCTGATCAGACTACGGCTATCCAACAAGACATAACGATGGGTGGAGCCTTTGTAAATAGTGGTCATTCAATTTCCAATCAACCACCACCAACTCAACCATTGGAAGATAATGAAAAAGAGGTATCACTTCACGAGGCTTTTATCAATTGTGTAAAGTCATGTAATCTTTTACCATTCATCGAGTTTAAGCCTGTCCAAGAACTTACCACCATCCCAGATTTCCCATTGTCTGGCGGCGAGTGTCTCTACGCCTTTGAAGATCTCGTTCGTTGGGAAAATGAAATCAAAGATCAAAAACTTTCAATCAAACAAAGTCAACAACAATTACAACAACAACAACAACAATTACAACAACATCAAAATCAACAAACATTACTTCAACAGCAACAAACATTACAAAACCAACAGAAATCAATTTATCAACAACCGGATCATATTTCACTAACAGCTACACTTCAACAACTCCAACAACAACAAAAACAAATGCAAAGTTCATTAATTTCTTCTCCATTATTGACATCATCATCATTGACTTCACCATTGATATCGTCATCTTCATCATCATTTCAACAACAACCTCAGCAACAAATGTTACAGTCAAATCCATTATCACCTACTCAAATGCTTTTCCAAACCCAGCAACAACCTATACAAAATCAACAACAATCATTACTTTCACCACCAATTTCATTTGGTTTGGAAGAAGATTGGAAAAATTTAATTGTTGGCGGTCAACAGCAGCAGCAAGCTACCAACAGTTTAATGGTTGGAAATGGTGGTGGTAATGATATGCAACAAACAATGGCCATTTCGAATAATCCTAGTATTACCAATTCTGTATTGATCAATGTCTATGAAAACGAAGAATCTTTTGTCATCTATGCAGCCATTCCACATAGTAAACCAAATAATCTTCGAGTCACAGTCAATCAGATGGAAGTCATTATAGAAGGTACCATTTCTCTTCCCGAGAGTGTCTATCTTCCCAATGGCTCTGATATGCTCATCCCTGTATCCTATCCATATAGCCAAAAACAAGAATTTGCTGTTGGACCCTTTACCAAAATGATTCCCCTATCTTGTCCTGTCAGCTCTTCAGTTGTAGGTAAAAAGGAGGGTATTGTTGTCATCATTGCAAGAAAAGAAATTTTAAATCATCAATTTGGTTATTAAAAAAAGAGTTGTAAAAAAAAAAAAAAAAAAAAAAAAGTAATAGCTCACTTGGTAAAATCAAATAACGCTTAATTTATTTATTTATCTACTATTTATTTAAATACTACTATCTATTTATCAAACCTATTTATTTATTTATTTCTCTCCTCTCACACAACACATAATCTATAATATCACACTTTTATAAATACTTTATTTATTTATTTTAATTTATTTAACCCCCCTTTCAATTTTACTAATAACAAAAATAACAAATAACAAATAACAAATAATAATAATTAACAAATAATAATAATAATTCAAAATGTAAAATAAAAAAAAAAAACTATTTTTTTTTTAAATACAAATAATTGTTTTGTTTGTTGTTGAAATATTTATTTTAAATAATTTTGATTTAGTTTGATGATGTACCTGTTGCGCTTGGTTGTTGAACAAATGTAGTGGTGGTGGTAGTTGAATTACTAGTAGGTTTCTGATCAGAGGATTTTTCATAGACAGTAGTATAGGTAGTAACATTTGATTTTGGTGAAGAGATAAAGGTTTGGTCAGCAGACTTGTCATTATCATGTTTGATCATTTCTATATTTTTTGATTTTGGTGAATCAAGAGTCTTTGGATTTTTTGGAGAAAAATCAGAATCGGTAATGTCTGTAATACTAAGATCCTTGAGTGAACGATTAAGTCTAAACTTGTTGATTCTTTGTTCTCTTTGATCCCAATAGTTTTCCAAATAACACCATCTAGATCCAAAGTTTGGATCATCTACACGTTTGAAATACTTTGGTTCCCATTTCTTTCCACTGAGTTCTCTTTCCTTTCTCTTGGCTCTTTCTCTTTCCTCAATCTTTGCCTTTTCTCTATTTGCCAATTTATTCTCTCCATACTCTAAATATTTTCTATCTGGTCTTAATCTTGAATCAGTTGGTGGTAATATTGATTCATAATCTTCTGACATTTCTAAATTAAAAACAAATTAATATATATATAAATTACAATTACTTTTCTATTTTTCTATTTACCATTAAAAGATTGAATAAATTTACAAAGTTTCCATTTGTTTTTTTCAATTTCTGGATCAGGTTGAGCCTTCCAAATGGTAAATTCATCACATTTTGTACCACGATCATCCAACTTTGTGATAATAACACATTCATTCCATTTTCCATTGACCAAAAATCTCTTTCTTCCAAGTGAATCGAAAATCTCTCCAGTAATCTTCTTGGTTGAACCATCGAACCAACTTGACTTTGAAAAGTTAATAATAGCCTTTTCACCAGTCTTGTGATTTGTAATTGACAAGGTTCCATGATGTTCAACCCACATTCTACCTAATAAAATATTATGACAACATGATCTAAAAAATTTAAAAATATAAATAAGTTTAAATAATAAATAATTTTTAATTATAATTATACATACGCAGGTACTTTCCAACTATAATAATCATCATGATCTAAAAGATAAAGATGATTATTACCTTGACTGAAAATATCAACAGAGTTTCCCCAAAACTTTGTAGTAATATGAGATTCTTGTTGTAATCTAAACTTGCTACTTGTAGTTTCAGCAATTCCAATAGCTAAAATAGATAGATAGGATAGATAGATAGGTTTATTAGAAATAAATAAATAGAACTTGTTTTTATTATTTTTTACATACGTGGGTGATGAGAAACTTGTTCACAAATGGTTCTATAATTTCCTTCCTTTGGAATATATTCAAATGTTTCACCAAGTAATGGATTAAATGGTTTTGCTATAAAAAAGAAGAAAAAGAAATTAATATTATTAATAATATTTCTTTATAATATCTGATTTTCTTTTTTTTTACATACCAGTTCTAACATAGGAACTAAAAAGAGAAATATTAAAAGCAGTAATATAACACATTCTATCCAATGAATTTTCCATTTCACAAGCCTTTTCAATGAGATGAACAAAACGAAGTGGTTCTACTTGAGCTTGAAGTACGGTGATGGGTTCGAAAAAGTAGACTGGCAGAGAGACAAGAGACATTGTATCCTTTCCAATGAGACCACTAACTCTGCTCCATAATCTCTTTTTGTCTTCTGGAGCATCCATATCCATGTTTGCATTGCTCATATTCTCTTCATCAAACTTTTCAATTTCATCGTCATTGGTTGAAGGTGAGTTTGGTTGTCTGGTACTTGTAGGAGAACCTTTGGATGCTTTTGGTGACCTTGACCCATCCTTATCTTTCTTTACTAATTTCTTAAAGAATGACATAGTTTAAAAAAACAAGAAAGCTAAACAAGATGAAAAAGAGCTTGTTAGAAAATGTTCACATTTTTTTATATTAATTATTGTATGGTATGATGAAATCATTTATAAATTCAATCCAAAAAGAAAGTATTGTTATATACTCCCTAATTCAAAATTGAATAAAAGAATGAATGGAGCGACATCTTGTGTGGGAGTGAGTTGAAAAAAAATAGTTTTCAAAGTGAGAGGAAAATATGGTATTTTGTTTTGTCTTGAACCTACATTTTTCAAAAATAATAATATTATATTATAGAGGGATTATGAATAATAAATAATTAAAAGAGTAATATTAAATAAAATTTGTTTGTTACTTGTTATATATTATAAGAGTTTAATTAAAAATGATTTTGAAAAAAAGATAGGTCTCTAAAGATGATATAACCTCTAAAGATCAAATGGTGGTGTAGTGTTCGATCCAAAGGATGTACACAATAAATTCATTCTACACAATATCTATAAGAATTTTAATTTTAAAAATACAATTCTTTTTACTAGATTCCACTTTTTTACTTTTTTTGGAAGTTGTCAAAAGTTTCTACAACTTTTTTCATTGTAAAGAACAAGAGTGTAAATCTTTTTGAAAATATTTTTATCGATTCTCTCTATTACTACTAGATTTGGTGAATCAACACCTTGGCAAGGGATCGATTCAAACGGTCATATTATTATTATTATTAAATTATTAAGATTTACAAAACGAGTGATTTATTACTTTGTGGATAAATAAATAAAATAAATAAGAGGAGTTATTATTATTACATATTAGTTTTAGTTTTTAGTTGTTAAGATGGGATGATTATTTTTTTTTGGGATTATGGAAACAATTCTTGATAATGTCTAATTGCATTGGTAACAAGAACGGGTGAGCAATTGATGGTTGGCATGATACATGTCAACATATTTTCCTCTGTCATTTTGTTGTATGATTGATTCTCTACAATATGTTTTAATAATAGTAGAAAACATTTCATAAGAGAATAAGTTACAGAATCTAAACTTTCAAAAATAAATTTATATTCTCGAAGTTTTTCTTCCAATGTTTGAGTTTGTGCAACTAAAAGAAGAAAAAATAAATATTATTATTATTATTATTATAATTATTATTTCTTTCTTTTTTTTTTTACATACGAGAAATCGAAGTAGCATATTCACTCAATTCAGGAGGAATTAGATGATGTGGAAGTTTTCTAAAAAAGTATTTGACAATACCAGTGACTGCATGAATGTCGGCTTGAGAAAGATCGACATCTCTACCTTGTTCAAAGAGAGATTTTAATCTTTCAATCTCTACCATACTACCAGAGATTCTAAAGATACCTTCTTCATAGACTCCATTCTCTAGGATATGATTAAAACATTTATGAAGAATCCATGGCATTGGTAACTCTGAACCCATAAATACACTTCCCTTGGCTTGTTCAACCATCATGGCTGCCAATGGAATTCCAAAAAGTGGTTTAATTATTTCAACTGGTGTTTGAATTGGGTTACCTGTTGATCCAGATAATGATTGTTGCGGTTGTTGAGTATTTAAACCATTTGGTGGACTAGTAAAAGATGTAGACTTTTTACCTTTTTTAAGTGTATGATGATGTTTTGATGATGAAGAAGAAGAAGAAGAATGATTTTCATGATTATTATTATTTGTTGGAGGAGCAGGAACTTTACTTAGTACATTTTGAATTGATTTCATCCATTCATTACATTCATCATCATTTTCACTTGATAAAAAGTATGGTTCACGTCTTTCAACTGATCCACTACCATGTTTACTAGATCCATCATGAATGATTTTAAAACAATGTTTTCTAGTAGAGTTTGGTACTCTAACCAATTTAATTGATCTATTTAATGGTATCATACCATTTGGGAAATTATCCTAAAAAAAATAAATAAATAAATAAAATTAATTTTCAATTCTATTTGTTTTGTTTGTTTTTTTTTTACATTTGAATGTTGAAAATAAAATAGACAATTTTCTTTTAATACAAAATATCTTTTTTTCCAAATTTTTAAGATATCTTCACCACGTTTATAAAGGTAACCTTCTTTAACTGTATGATTGTTATTGGTAGAGGTTGGGGTGATACCATAGAGACTGATGGCACGATTGAGGATCTTTTCCTTTTTACCGAGCAATGATTGTTTTCGGTGGTTGAGATAGGTTCGTTTCCAGTTTTGAGTTGGATCAAATATACTGGCTGGTGTTGCCAAGTGTTGAGTGAATCGAATCCAAAGAGAATTGTCACTAGACATTAATTTCCATTGTCTCGTCACTTGTGAACATTTAAGAAGTTCCTCTGGTGAAAGATACGAGAAAATGTATATCGAGAGATGGTTTGGTAACAATGAAAAGATGTCTTCTTGATGATGACTAATATGAATACTTCCTCCACTTGCTGATAATGATGAATAAGTTAGATCTATTTCATCTACTCCTCCACCACTACTATTAGTACTTGATGATAATGTAGTCGACGAAGAATAGAGATAGGATGAAGAATTGGATGGAGAAATTGGATGCGAGGAGGAGGGAGAAGAAGAATAAGTTGACATACTCAATGGATGCATACCACCATTATGAAATAAGATAGTTTCTCTAGCTTGTCCTCCAACTCCACCTTGACTATTTGAAACAAATAATATTTCATTGTAACATTCTTGAAGATACGATATTTGTTGATGGATTTGAGTCAAGACATAGTTGGTTTGGTCATTGTCAAGTGTAGGTTGATGACGCAATAGTAATTGTCTGATTTTAACCGACGAATAGGATGAACGTGACTGTTGTTGAGTTGTTGGTTCAAGTGAGACTAGATTCTTTAAAAAGTTGTCAGCTGATTGTTTCTTGACAGGACTAAGATTATCATCAAAACTCTCATTCAACTCGTTGGGAGGAGATGGTGGCGAATTGACCCATGATGTATTGTTTCCACTTTGATCTACGATATTATCACCACCATAACTACGTGCTCTATTGTGTGATCTAATAGGTGATGGTGCTGGTGACTGTTGTTGCGATTGTTGTTGGTATGGGTTATGTCCACTACTAATACTAGATTGTAGAGCAACAGATGATGATGGTGGTAATATACTAGTTGGAGAGGATGGTGATGATGTTGATGATGAAGTTGAAGTTGAAGATGATAAAGATGTATTTAGATTATTATTATTATTGGATTTCCAAGTTGTCAAAACATTGACCCAATTCAATACGGTTGCTTCATCAGCTGCTCTAAATATCAATTGGCGTTTACGAGAGGGTTGTGTTGGTATCGTAGATACTATAAACTCTAATCTAATAGATGGTGATTGTTCAATAGTTGCATTATCAATTGGTATCGTTTTAATTTGGTATCCCGCAGTCGTAGTATTATTACTACTATTAGGTGTAGTAGAGGTAGCACCAGATTGATAATAATAGAGACATCCATCATTGGGACTAAACCATACCCATTTCTTTTTATATATCTTTGGTATAGTTGCTTTATTTGATTGTTTCTGTAGGAATGCTGACAACTATTTAGAAATAATAATCGGGATGAGTTGGTAAGTTAGGAATTGTCTCATTTGAAGGGTCTTTTATATTATTCTCTTCTCTTGTCTTACCGATTCAATACCATCAAGAGATGGTTTAGGTTTAATAGAAGATGTAGTTGATGCTTTAGTATTTATCCATCCCTTGACAGGTGGTTTATTATTACTACTACTATTGAATTGCATTCAATACTACTAATCTGTTATAAATTACAAATAAATAAATAAATAAATAAGGTTTATATAGATATATGATACAATCTCAAAAGAGAGATAAATAGATTAAAAGTGTGTAAGGTTGCTGTGTATGTATGTAAGTTGTCTTTTATCTTTCTTTTTTTACTTCATCTCTCTCTCTTTCTCTTTCTCTCTCTTTCCCTTTATGCTTTAGTGTTATCTTTGTAATCTCTCAACGTTATAGTAACTACAATGAAGGTGATGGTTGAAATGGGTTAGAGGATTGGGTAAGGAAGGATTACAAAAAGATTATCTTTTTTTTTTAAAGTATTTAATTTTGGTTTGAGGGGTTGTTTAAAAAAAAATATATTTTCGCAAAAGCAATCGTAGATTGGAGCTCTTTCATCACATCACACTGACAAGATAGTTGCGTCATTCGTATGTGATATGATATCGAGTATAGTCAATGCAATAGGATCTAAAAAGTCAAATGCAATCAATCATTCAGTTGTGTTTATTCATGGATTGTTTGGTAGTGCATCCAATTGGAATGTTATCAATAAACTATTGACTACTAAGCTTTCAGCTGCTGCTGCTGCTGCTGCCGAGCAACAGACAAATATAAATTATGATGTAGGTATACTATAATATACCATACTATCAATATATTTTAACATCACGTGAATTAGTTTCATTTCATTGACCTTAGAAATCATGGATCGTCATTACACTTCTCAGAGATGGGTCTAAATCATTTGGTAGAAGATTTACATGGATATCTAAAAGACAAGAATATATTAAAGAATTTAAATATATCTTATGGTCGAGATGGAACAACAACAACAAAACAAAATAGATTGTCTATAGTTGGTCACTCGGTTGGTGGAAAGGTTGGTGCTTTATATTCACTTTATAATCCTCATTTGGTTGATGGTTTGGTTTGTGTTGATGGTATGATAAAAGAATTAATAATAATAATTATAATACATATATAGTATAGTATTTATTAATTTATTAATTTATAGTTGCAATGACAAGTTATGTTGGAATTCATAATCATAATTCAAAATTTGAAGCAATGATTAAAGCATCTGAAACATTCTCTGATCCAACAACCAGTCGTCAATCAATTGAATCTATAATGGAATCTTACCATTTAGATAAAGGTGAAAGATTATATTTATTAAATAATTTGGTTGAATCTACCAACAACAACAACAATGGTCCAAAATTTAAATGGAGAATTAATTTAAAAGTAATATTAATAAGATGGAAGAAAAAAATCCCGTCATAGTTAATCATTATTTATTTATATATTAATTAATTAATTTATTAATTTATTTATTTATTTTTAGACACTTTATAAACACCAAAATGAATTACTATCATTCCCAGATAAATCAAGTTTAATTTATAATTATTCCCAAGACCTCGAAGATCCTTCATCCACCACACCAACATTTAAAAAACCAGTATTGTTTATTGGAGGTAGTGAAAGTCATTATTTAAAGTCACCTCATTCTGAATCCATAGGTCAATACTTTCCACAACACAGTATCGAATTTATCAAAGGTGGTCATTTCTCACATGCTCAATCCCCTCGTTCATTTGTATCCCTTTTATCAACTTATCTTGAATCTATATAGGAATGAATAAAAACATTAATCCAACAAGATTGTTTATAGTCATGAATAGAGTACTCTATCTGGCAAACACATAGTTTACAATATTTTTTTTTTTTTATGGTAATTTTCCAAATTTAGAAATAATTTTTTTAGATTTTACTCTTTTTTTTTTTTTTTTTTGGTTTATAGTAAACACCACCGTTCATTTTGTTGAAACTAGTTTCCGATAATTTCAATTTATTATTAATTATTTTAATTTATTTATTTCAACAAAAATACAAAAAGGTAATTAATAATAATAATAATAGTAGATTTAAAGGAATATAATATTGATTTTTAATTAATTTTTTTAATTCTAGATGAATGAACAACCAAAATTTTTAAATCCCCAAGTTTCAAAAGAGGGTAATGTACAAGTTTATACATTCCAACCAGAAGAACCAGAATTATATACTTATTCAAACGGAGTATTAACACATCACAACAAACCAGAAGAAAAAGATCCCCAAACCAAGTCATTCGATAAACCAATCCAAAAGTCATTTGATAACAAACCAACATCATCAAATTCTCCAGTACTCAAAGAATCATTAAAGAAAAAGCAAGATCAAGAAGGCCAAGGCACAGTACTAGGACAAGCATCAAAAAAGGGTAAATCCAAAAAAGATAAAAAGAAAATGGATAAAAAAGATCAACTTGAACAACATGATGAAACAAAACCATCAAAAGGTATGTTAATTTTTTAAAAAAATAATTTGTTTATAATATTATTATTAACAAAAAAAAAACAAACAAAACCAAGTCAATAATGAACCATATTATTTATCAACATATCTAACATTATTTATTTTCTTTTCATTTTGTATATTCATTGTTTCATCACAATCATTAATATTCTCTATTATTTTTAATAATGATAATGAAAATTATGATATTTTAAATTCAAATGTTGATGATCAAATTATTCTAAAAAATAATCTAGATATGAATCAAAATGGTCCAGGATTAAAGGAAATTCATCGTAATCCAAATGTTGGTAAAGAACAATACTTTACAAGTTTCCAAAAATATGTAAACAATTCTGGTCAAGATCACCAATAAACTCAAACCAACCAATCTATTTTTTTGAAAAGAATATTTTAATAGTACATTTATTTTGTTTGTTTATTGTTTTTTTTTTTTTGTTTTTTAAAAAGAAAGATATATCATATATCTTTTTTGTTTTGTTCATTTAATCCCAATCTGAATCATCATCAGAATCATCATCTTCAGAATCTGAAGGAGCCCAAGCAATTCTTCTTGCAAGAATATCGGCTACATTGATAGCACCTGAATCCTTTGAAGCGACTGGTTCAGGAACGGCACGTTCTTCCATTGGTTTGAGTGAACGACCGGCAATGATGGACGAGAGGAGATCGGATCTGGCGTCTTGAGCCTTTGGTTTGATTTCGGTAGCCTTGAGATTGGCACCTTCGAGTGCAGAAGCCAATGGATTCTTGGCCGACATGGGAGGAGGTGGTGGAGGTGGAGCTGGTGCGGGTGGGGGTGGAGGAGGTGGAGCAGCGTTGGATTGGATGACCGACTGTCTCGAGCCGGCGCCCATACCAGTTGGTGGAGGAGTGGCGTAGTGGTTTTGTGCACTGGGAGGTGGTGGTGTTTGGAAATAGGCAGACGAGCTTTGTGAAAGTGGTGGGGGTGGCAATCCACCATGTCCACTAGCAGTAGGATGATAATGGTGGTCTTGTGGAGGTGGGGGTGGTGGCATGGCATTGAAACCTCCGCCGGCACTACCACCACTGTTGTGGACGGCTGGTGGAGGGGCTGGGTAGTTGGAGGGAGGAGGTGGCAGATGGTTGCCGTGGGCAGCAGGCTGCATCGACAGATTGGAGACGTGAGCCGAGCCTGCAGTGGGAGCAGACGAGGGTGCGGCGGGCGAGTCAAAGGGGATGAGAATCTTCTCACCAGTGACGGGATCGTAACGCACCTTGTGCACACGTTTCACCTTGACCTCGCTCGTCTCGGCCGTCTTTTCAGTCTTCTTTTTGAGACGGGCCTCTTTACGCTCACGACGACGTTGACGGGCCTCTTCACGCAACTTGGTTTGCTCGGCCACCCACTCGTCAATGAAAAAGTCGGGGTTGGTGTAGAGCTTGAGACTCTTTTGATTGTTGTCCATGTAGGGGTCGAGTAAATGCAACTTGGGTGGTGCCTGACATCCCTGGTACACCTCCTTGACGGTGGGTGGTACCATTGTGCTGAGGAACATCTGATGCTTCTCGGGGTTGTCGGCGTGGTACTCGGCACGCGGATGGCTGTTCAACACATCGATACTGCTTCTCTGATGGTAGCTCTCTACAGTTGGGATCATCTGGATGAGTGGTGTCATACGCTGATTCAGATTGTTCAATCTCTGTGTAATGGCTGCCGACTCTTGTGTAAGCGATGCAAATATGCTATTGGCGTGACCAGCCAACACCATCAACTGATTGATGATACCAACCGTACTATTTTGCATCACAGTATCTACAATTGCATCCTTTGATGTCACATTGTCCAATGATGGTAAATTATTCTCATTTACCGATGGTAAATATCTTGTAATTAATACCATCCCTTAAAATATATATATATATGTTGTATTACTTCTTCTTCTTCTTCTTTCTCTTTTTGTTGTGTGTTGGGGGTGTTGTGAATAAAGATATTATTCTTTGATGTGATTATTATTATAGTTTGTTGTTACAATGATGATGATGATGATGATGATGATGTACAAATATAGATATTACAACAAAAGAGATATATATATATATACAAAAGATGATGATCTTCGTTGCTATGATGATGACCGATCTTTCTAATAACCTATCTATCTATCTCTCTCTTTTAAAGTGTATTTAATACACTCATGTTTTTCATCACAAAGATCACCTTTTTTTTTTTTTTTTTTTTTAATTTTTTTTTTTAATTAAATTCAGGTGCACTAAAATGGTTGGGTACTTGGCCTTGTTATAATGTATTAATAATAAGTATAAGTAGATAGACAAATCATCAAACTGTTTTGTAAGTTTGTATTAATACTTTGTGTTTATTTTTATTAAAGTTTAAGCATGTTGACTTAATCTAGCTAATTTTGATTTCATTTGTGCATTGTAGTATTTTGATTTCTTTACTTTTTTATAATAGAGGATTGATCCAACGAGTATTGCAATGGCTGCAATACCTCCTACTACAACACCAACAATAATCTTCCATTTGTCGTCACTGGATGAACAAGTGTCTTGTTCATTTTGGCCGGTTCCAAAATTGGGTTGGATCAGCGAATTAAAGGATGGGTCCAAACTACATATTAGACATCTTGGCATATTAATACCAATATAGGCATCTGACAATGTCTGGTTAGACGATGACAGAGTGTTTTCAATGACAGTTTGATTAATCAATTCATTCTTGCTATAGGTCTTTTTACCATCAGACAAAACGTAATCGAGAAAACTACCAAAAAAGATGTTTTCGTTTTTGTATACCTTTAGGAATTGTACATTGTCTCCGTCCAGTCCTCTAATGATCGACTCTTCAACGGTTGGTTCAACACCACACCCATTGTACTCTGCCGGCGTGTTGATCGACAATTGCGTTCTATAGACCACTCTGAGATGATTCAAATTGCTTTTGAACATCCAATAGATGATATTGACCGATAACTTAATCGAGTTGGGTAGGTATGTCTGGTTGGTACCACCAAATGTAATGGTTCTCGAATGATTAGAGAATTCGATACGGGCATTAACCATTGGCAAAAACTCGGTATGATTCAACTTGTAATCGTAAGACTCTACACCTGCAATTGCCGTGTCATTGGTACTGTTTGTATAAATCCAATTGTTGGTCAATATCTCTCGAACGATCACATCATCCATATCCAACTCTTGAATAGCAACCATTGAAAAATTAAATTGATATCCATCAATTCCAAATGTTGCCGTTGGATTTGTTATATTTGGTTTAAATTCTCCTCCTCCCTCAACTAAAAAGAAAATAATATTATTAGATAAAAATTGATTATAATTATATTATATATTTGTTTGTTGTTACATACTAAATTCACAATTATCACCAATATAGTTGTCACGACAAATACAAACTCCAATGTCATTACATTGACCTTGTCCATTGGTACAATTATTGGTGGTAGTGATACAATGTTGAGTTGCATTGATTGCATTGATAGTGAAAAGAGTGGCAGATTCAAATGTGTAACCATCGACCACTATACGAACTGTCTTTGGACCGATTGGTAGTAATTGTCCAGTTGGTGTACCAACATACTGACAAACAAGAGTGGTTGCATTAAGTTCCAAAATTGGACAATTCTCACCACCAATAAATGCTGATGGTTGATCGAAATATTGACCAAATTGACCTTGGAATGTTACATTTCCACCATATTGATCTAATGAATTTACAGATGTTGATACAGGATATCCTAATGAAATAAAATAAAAATAAAATAATTAGATTGATTGATTTTGGTTTTCTTTTTCTTTTTCTTTTTTGTTCTTTTCTTACCAATAGCATAGAAAATATTTTTTGAATTTAATGTATAATCATTTTGAATTGTAACTTTTCCAATCATATTGAGTGAATTGAGTGCTGGAATACCTGGTACATTACAGGTAATGATATAGGTGGTTTCTGAAGCATTCACATTGATACATGGATTGTTGTCAAGTGTGATATTGAATGCATACGTTGGATTAAAGAACCCCATGTTGAGAGTTACTTTAAGACCACCTGGAATCTGTTCGATGGCACCATAGTTAAATATCAGTGTGGCATAGTCATAGGTGATATTGTAACTGACTCCAACCGCAGTAGAGAATACTACATCTACCCATTTTTGATAGGATGGAGGATCGGGAACTTTAAATGTTAATAATTCATTTGGAATGATCGTTTCCAATCCATCGGTTGAATCACCAGGTACTGCATATCCAAGATTCTTTCCTCTAATAGTAAGTTTAGAATCTGTTGTTATAATAAATGTTGAATTTAATGAATGTGCTAAAGAAAAAAAAAAACAAAAAAAAAAGCCAATGTTAATAGAGTGTTATAATTAATGTTTGTTTACTGCAATCAATACATACGACAAGCAAAATTACCTGGAATAGGAACATCAAATGTAATTTCATTGGGTAATACATTTTTGTAACAATAGGCACAATCTGGTAGACTAGTGACACCAGTTCCTTCCAAGCCCATAAAACGTAGACGACAAAATTCTTCTGGGACAGATCCTGTCAATCCTGCATTACCTTCCAAATCAATTGCAGCTTTAATTGCATTATTACCTGATACAATATCCAAAGGAATGGTTCCCGTTATCTTATTGCCATTCAATACTCTAAAAAAAATTGAAAAAGAATGGTTAAAAATTAAAATAAAAAAGAATGAATAGATAGATATGTATGTATGATATTTACAATGCAGAACCATTTGATAATACTCCATTTGGAAAGGTTTCCAAATCACCATTGATTACACCCACTTCACGAAAATTGGTTACATTGAATGGAAGAGATGATTCAACTTGTCCATCAGTAATACTATATAAAACATAATGGCATTCATTAATAGTGTAATTATTATTATTATTATTATTCGTATATTTCTTACAAAGTTTTAAATTTTGCCCATGAACTAGGATTTACAAAATTATAACGAATATATCTTTCATTGAGTTGGAATGTTTTATGTTCTAAACGACTTTATATATATATGAAAATAAATATTAATATTTTACAGACTATAGTTTTGTTTGTGCTTGTAACGTACATTGTTTCAATATTTGGAGTATTAATTGTAAAATTAAATTGAGTTCCATCAAGTAAAGCATCAATTTGTTTAAATAAACTATAGTGTTTGAAGATATTAAATAAATTTATAAATATATTTCGATCAGAGAGGTAATAAATTAATTGTTTTCTATTACTTACAATGTTTGAAGTGAGTTTGAAACAATATTTATATTCATTTGAATAATAACATTTGTTCCAGTTGTTGATATTCTCCTACAATAAGATAATAAATAAATAAATTGATTAGTTTGTGTCTATAGCTACATATGTATATAAATATTATCTGTTTATAAAATTTCATACAAAGATTTAAGAGCTGGGAAATTATTTGGTAAAAGGTTAAATTGGAAATTATTTCCTTCTGAATATGGGAATTGTCTAAAAAAAGAAATAAATGTTAGAGAGAGATGTGTAACAATCGAACCTTTAAAGGTCTTTTTTGTTTTTTTTTATATATACAATGTTTGAATGGATGTTGAATAAACAACTAAAGGATCAACAATCAATGATTGATTAATAGGATTACCATCAAGGATTCTGTGTAAAATAAATAAATAATATTAATATTCGGTCATTTGATTTGATGGATAGGATAGAATAGGAAAGTTTTTCTTACACAGTAGTAAGTGTATTGCTTTTAAATAAATCCATTGGAACATTTGATATCTTTAGTTTTGTTAATGACCTATATATATATATATATATAGATAGACAGATAAATATTAGTATAGTTCCTTGATCAATACAATTAAATATATATATATACTGCCAACATACAAAGTCTCCAACTTTGGAAATGATTGACTAAAGTTGATTGGTATTGAAAGCACATTCAAGTCATCATGAATACTAATAGTTGAAAAAGGTTAATCAATTGATTAATAATTACGAATAAATAGGTTGTTTCGATATAGATAGATATTTGTTTAAACATACACCAAAGATTGTAACGATTTACAATATTTCATAAACATTGAAAGAAGATCAAAATTAAAACTACCCTTTGCACCATTGTATTTAGTGAGCGATGGAAAGTAGAGATCCGTAAGTGATGCATTGGGTGCTGGTCCAGTTGCAAAAACTGATGTAATTAATCTAGACAGTAACCAGAAAGTTGTTAGTTTAGTTGTGTGTGCACTTCTAAAAAGCATTGAGAGTATTGATCAAAAAAGATACAAACATTTCTTGAAAATGCTTTTCATTTGTAACAGGATCAGTTACACAAACTACATTGGGAAAGTATGAATTACAAACATCATCTGATAGACTATAAGATAGTTGATAGTATGAAATAACCCATTGAAATGAATCAACTATAAATCATAATTATAATATAATTAGGTAAGTTGTGTGCGCTCTACATTATAATATATGATCAGTCAGAGATGTACATACGTTCAAGTTGTGGTATATCTTGGTTTTGTGCTTGACCTAAAGAAAACAACAATTGAATGACAATGATCAAAACAGCAAACCACCTCATAAAAGATAAAGTTTTGTTTTGATTAAAAGTCGACATGTCTTGTCTCTCGAATATCTGTATCTTTCTCTTTTGTTAATAATAGTAATAATACTACAAAGGTTGTTGTTGAGGTAGACTGATGTTGTTGTGGACTGTTAAGAAAAGAGAAAAGAAAAAGGAAAAAGGATAAAATATGAGAGTTTCTACAAGAACAGGGCTAACTCTCTCTTTTCTTTGGCAACCATCAACACAACACCATCAATGATCTAGATATCCAGATAGATATTTAAAACGAACGTCGAATAAAATATCAGGGAAACCCATTTGTTTTAACATTAAAATTTTAAGGTCGAGCTCGACTCTAAAAACTCTAGAAGAAAAACAAATAATAATATTATTTTCATCAACACAAGTGAACGCTCGGCATCACTTTGTTAAAAAAGGTTTTATAATTATAATACAACACAATGATTATACAAAGCATGTAGGTGAAGATAAAATGAAATCGTCCGCCACAAATTCAAAGTGGTGAAACAATTTAATCATCCATATCGATCAAAATATGCATCAATTTATTTTCCCAATGTTTTCAACGAACCTTCGAAAAAATCCGTATCCAGACGATTAATTTAAGCTTGCAGATGACTATAAAAGTACTTCATTCCGGTTTCAATTCAAATCAGTCTAATATACAATTTACAAAATAATAATAATAATAATAATATATATATATATAATAATAATAATAATAATACAATCATGTCTTACGAAGTTCAAGTATGTATTTTTATAAATACACTCTTTTCGATTTATGCTAATATTTCCTTTTTCTCTACTACTCTTTTTTTTTTTTTTTGAATATTTTAAGGCTTTAGTTATTGATAACGGTTCTGGTATGTGTAAGGCCGGTTTTGCTGGTGATGATGCACCACGTGCTGTATTTCCATCGATTGTTGGTCGTCCAAGACATACTGGTGTTATGGTTGGTATGGGCCAAAAGACCTCATATGTTGGTGATGAAGCTCAATCAAAGAGAGGTATCCTTACATTAAAGTACCCAATTGAACATGGTATAGTCACCAATTGGGATGATATGGAAAAGATATGGCATCACACTTTTTACAATGAACTACGTGTTGCTCCAGAAGAACATCCAGTCTTGCTAACCGAAGCTCCACTCAATCCAAAAGCCAATCGTGAAAAGATGACTCAAATCATGTTTGAAACATTTAATACACCTAGTCTGTATATAGCAATTCAAGCTGTACTTAGTCTCTACGCATCTGGTCGTACAACTGGTATTGTCATGGACTCTGGTGATGGTGTATCTCATACTGTTCCAATTTATGAAGGGTATGCTTTACCACATGCTATCCTTCGTTTGGATCTTGCTGGTCGTGATCTAACAGATTATATGATGAAGATCCTCACTGAACGTGGATACTCTTTCACCACAACTGCTGAACGTGAAATAGTACGTGACATTAAAGAAAAACTTGCTTATGTCGCCTTGGACTTTGAAGCTGAAATGCAAATGTCTGCCATTTCCTCTCAACTAGATAAATCATATGAATTACCGGATGGACAAGTTATAACCATTGGTAATGAACGATTCCGTTGTCCAGAGGCACTGTTCCAACCATCATTCCTTGGTATGGAGTCTGCAGGTATTCACGAAACCACCTACAACTCCATCATGAAGTGTGATATTGATATCCGTAAAGACCTCTATGGAAACATCGTTCTCTCTGGTGGTAGTACCATGTTCCCTGGTATGGCCGACCGTATGGCCAAGGAACTCACAGCACTTGCTCCATCGACCATGAAGGTCAAGATCATCGCCCCACCCGAACGTAAATACTCTGTCTGGATCGGTGGTTCCATTCTTGCCTCACTCGGTTGCTTCCAACAAATGTGGGTTTCCAAAGAGGAATACGACGAAACGGGTCCCTCCATGGTTCACAGAAGATGCTTTTAAACAAACTCTATATTGTAAATTGAGAATTGTATATTGTATAAATCAACATGTTGTAAATAGTAATAATAATAAACTCACCAATCCCCCAACATCTGACAGAGTAGATTTTATCCTCAGTTTGATTAGGTTTTTGTTTTTAAATATAATATATAATAGTCTTTTCAATCTGTACATGTCTTATCCATTTCAAAAATATTTCGTAAATACAAGCTTTAAATTGAATTAAAAAAATACTTTTCTCTTTCTGATGCTTAAAATTTCAATTCTAATGATGGGTATCTTCAAGTGTTGTTTGTTATTAACATCTCAAATTTACAAGTCTAAAGAGTACCATGATGGGTATAAATATGTGCACTACTCCTTCTCCTTTCTAACAATAAAGATAGATTAGAAAGTAATAGATAGAATGGTAGAAAAAAGACAACAACACCAAGAGGTAGAAACGATTCCTCTAGCATACCCAGACAATTATTCATATGACCCTAGAACGAACAAGTTAACAAAGACTGGTAATCATAGATCTAAATTGGTACTCAATCCAGAGGCAATTGAATTCCTCATGAAAATAGATCAACCAATTGCAGTTGTTTCCATTCAAGGTCCTACTAGATCAGGCAAGTCGTACATCATTTCTACACTACTAGGTGGCAGAAGAGATGCATTCTCGATCGGACATTCCACCTCGTCACATACCATGGGTATTTGGATATCAACGACTCTGATCCAAAATGATGGCTTTGCAGTACTATTAATGGACTGTGAAGGTGCATTGGCTGTAGACTCTAACCCCAACAACGATGTTGCCATCATGTTACTGTCGGCTCTTCTCTCTTCTACTTTTATATACAATTCAAAAGTTGTACCAAATACAGCTGATATCAATCAATTACAGTATGTTGTACACAGAATAAGAAGAATAATAATAATAATAATTCAAACCAAATTAATTATTTCTTTTATTTCTTTTATTAATAGTTTTATGGTAAAGTTGATAGGTAATATAAAGACAACAGATGAATCAAAGAATAGATCGATACAACCAAATGAATTGGTAAGTCATATGCCAGAGTTTATTTGGTTGTTTAGGGATGCGTTTCTGGTCCCTACCAACGATGGCGTGCCTTGTTCACTTGATGAGTATGTCATGAAGAAGGTATTCCGCATTGACCAAGCTGGAGACTCTGATGCCATCAGATTGTCAAATACAACTAGCAGAGTCATTCTAAACTACTATAGAGGTGTCAAACCATTTGCCCTAGGGATTCCTTGCAACTCAAACTTACTTCAAGATGTTGCAAATCTAACCGACGATCAATTGAATACAGATTTTGTAAAGACTAGAAATGAGTTTATCAAATACCTAGAAACAAATGTTCAACCAAAGGTTGGTGCCAATGGATTACCAATTAAAGGTCCAAGTATGTATTAAAATGAAATGAAATTAAAATTTAATTTAATAAGATAAACTAACCAACCTATTTATTTATTTATCCTCCTCTTTATATTATAGTATTGGTTGAATTAATTAAAGCTTATACAGTATCAATTAATACACCTGGTTCAGTACCATTAATCCAAAATACATGGGATGCTATTGTTAGTACTAAATTGGTTGAAACTCTAAATATTGCTGTCAACCATTATGAAACAAAAATGGTTGAAAGATTAGACAACAAACTACCTCTTGAAACCGAAGCATTATTAATTATTCATAATTCTGTAATTTCTGAAACAAATCAATTAGCTATTGGCAAAATTGGATCACTTGCTGAAATTGATCAAATTGATCAATTAATTACAGATTTAAAGGTAAATAATAATATAATCAATTTTAACCTATTTAATATATTTATAATTAATTTTCAATTTACTAATTATTATTATTTTTTTTTTTTAGAATAAAATATCTGAATTTACGGTTGAACAAGAGAATGGTAAAGATAAAGTTAGTATTACAGGAGGTATACTTTTCAAATGGGTTCAATTAAATAATGAGGCAAGTTTGATACAATCACGTCAAGTAATGGTACCAATTGCAAAACAATTCCAACAAGAGTTTATGGAGAACCAAGATAGAGATTTCAAAGAGGTATTGTCACAATTGCCAATTGTAAAAGGTCCATTTTTACTAAGAGCTATTGGTCCAATGAAACTCAAAGTTTGGAAAGAATTTGTAGATGAGGTGTATCGTCAAGAGGAACAGTTTAACCGATTGAAACAACACCAACTGCTATTAATAGAAGAATCAAAAAAGAATATGAACCTACAACTTGAAGCAGAGGCTTTCAACAATACACTTGCCGACACTGAAAAGATAGTTTGTCAACAACAAAAGGAATTCAATGATTCTATAACCGCCATCGTCAACTCACAAACTCAACATTTCAACGAGATGAAAGAGAATGCAGAGAGAAATCGCATTGAATCTGAAGCTCGTCTAAACAACCTTATTCAATCAAATCAAGCGGAACAAGAAAGTTCAATTAAAAGACACCTTGAATATATGAAACAACAAAACCAAGAAATGGAAAAAACAGCTGCTGAAATTGAAAGATTAAAACGCAGTGGTGGTGGTCGTAGAGGATTTAGAGTATTTGGTGTCAGATTATGGTAACATTATCAAATTAATTAATTTTATTAAATAAAATGTTTTGGAAAAATGTAAAGAATTATTCTATTCTTTTTTGTAAGTTTATATATAATTATATATGTGCGTTTTAAATATTATTATTATTAGTCGAGAAATAAATTATTATTATTAAATTAGTATATTATGGAAATAAATATTATTATTATTATTATTATTTGTGTTTTGAGATTTGTTTAAGCTAAAACAGTACAATTGAAAGCTGATAACATTTGGAGATTAGTAGCACCAATACCAGCTGAACCATATAAACGAATGGTATCACAAGCTGGAACTGATGGTAAAGTGCAAACAACTGGAGACCATCCATAGAGTGACTTGCAATATGGCTTGATATTAGTCTTCATTCCATTAAGTACTACTTGTTGTTCAAACCAAATCATTGTCATTGGTGAATGTGTAATAGTAAGTACTTTTCCATTTTGTACAATTGTATTAACTAAAAATAGAAAAAAAGAAATTTTAATTAGGATATTTTTACTTGAGAGTATATATGTATCTGTTTGTTTAGTTGATACATACTACCACAATATGAAATTGAAATAAAAGTAAAGAGGAGGACTATAGACAAGATAATTGATTTGTTCATTTTTAAATATTTGATGGATGGATATTAATTAATTAATTTGTTTTTGGATGATTGATTTAAAGATATATATTTATATTTAAGTGATTGATTTGATGATTTATCTAAATGAAACCGTCTTGTATTTATATGTTTGGTTTGGCCAAAGGAAAGGGTGAGCTCACTACCACTCGCGAGAGAGATCTCTCGCTCTCTCGCTCTTATTCGTTCAAATTAAAACTCTTTAAAGCATGTATAGCCAAGAGATGTATGCCAAGATTAAAGATATCGACGATTTGAGCGATCCCCTACGCCAACGATCGTTGTTACCATGCTACAATGTTGATAAAAATAACTCTTGGTCATCGAATCAATGGAATGATCGTTTGTCATAGGTACCCTTGCATATATCTACAAATAGCACAGTCGTGTACCTGTGTGTGCGCGTGTGTGTGGTTTACTTTAAAGTAGTGGAGAGTGCCAAATATTTAGCCTTAAATGTCTATTGACAATCTAAAAACGACGTTGGTGATATGGTTGATTGATCAGTGATTTGCTGCTTTGCTTTGTTGTTATTGTAAAACAAGAAAAAGTAAAAGGGTGGGTAGACAAGAAGCAGGCGGTTGAGTACCATGTCAATGGTTGGGTGACAAAAGTAGGGTGCGTGGTTGATGTAATCACAACAATCGACCACCCCTACTCTCGGACAACATTCTACTAGTGTCAACCACCATCCACCTCTTGTTGAGGGTTATGGGGAGTGATGGTTAGGGGTAGGCAGAAGCTATTGATTCTTTCAATCTGTCTTGAAACCTAGGGGTGATTGAATATCCCTCCAAACGTAAATTCAAACGACGCGACTTTTAATAATCCCGATTGAAATCACAGAGAGATAAAAAGAGATAAACCAACAACAGAAGTTGTAGTACTGCATCAAAGATCATCCATCTTTATCTTCTGCTGAAGCTGTAAAAAATTGTGGTGTGTTTCAAAAAAAATCAGAAACCCAGATAGATTTGCAGCTGATCAATCTTTTAACAGTTTGACAAAAATTATCCACTATTAACTACGGATAAAAAACACACCTCCCTCAAACAAGCACACCTCCCCAATGATTATGGAAAAGGGGGGATGCAGTATCATGAATCGATTGACGATGAGTATTGGCATTTCCTCTTTCATGTTGAGAGAGAGAGATAAAAAGTGAATCCTATTCTTATCGTTTCTAGAATAAGGAAACAATTGTTAAGGACAAATAAAGGATAGATATTATCTCCATTAGCTTCTATTTGCAGAGATAGTTTTAAATGGTAAATTGTTAAAAATAGTTGTACAAGTGCAATACGATGGGGAGAATAAAGAGAGTATGACAGTGTTGCAGATCTTTTAGAAAAACTGTTGGGCAGAACCATTGCAACATTTGCCATCATGATAGGAAGGAATCGTATCAAAGTCAAGACATCCAATCTTTTGTTGGAACGAACCACCAATAAAGAATAAGGAGCTGTATTTACTTAGACAAGTCTTTGTGTCATCTTTATTTTATGAATAATTGTTTTTTAATATAAAAATAATAGTTCCACATAAGTATTCCTCCTTTATGTAATTGTAAATAAATCCTTCTCCGAATAGATGTGGGGAGCTGCTTTACGGAAAATATTTTCTCTTGTTCTCCACACCAAATCATCATCTAATCCAAGCTCTGCACATTTTCCAACTACGTGTGTTAAACGGGACAACATCTTCGCAGCATTTTCGCTTGCTGTTTTGAGTTCCTCGTTATGGTTGAATCTTCTGTTGACCTCGGTGTTACTGTATAACCCGCCTATCTTCTTCATTGAAGTAATTGTATTATCGATACACTTCTCTTTGCCACACACTGAGGCAAGCTTCTTGTTTGATTCTATATACTTGGTGGTGACTTTCTCTAACCTTAATCTAAGAGATAAGTGTTTTCCCCATGTCTTGGTGTTTCTTTTGTTATTGAATGAGGGGTTGAGTATTTTGATTGTAGCTTTAGGTACTTTTTTTTGTTTGTTTTGAAGACATGACAATATTATAAGATGGTGAGAAGAATATATTATTTCTTATTAATTTAAGAGTAGTGTTGTAGGATTATTCATCAATTCTTTTTCAAATCTTTTTCACACATCAATTCTTTATCACTTCATAATAATAATAATATTACAATGGCACACAAAGCTTTGTTCGAACCTTACCGAAACCCCGTCCGTCAGACAGCAACCAACCGTCAGCTATATGCCATAGTATATGACATTGAAACCCCTCCACCAGCTCCAGAGTAAAACCCAGCCACCTCCTCCCCCCTGGCCACAGAGACGCAAACATACAAAGTAGACAAACATTCTACAATCGTATTGGGGCAGCACTCTTGGCCATGGGTTACACAAATGACCAATATTCAATGTACACACGTGAGTGTACGGAGGCCCAAGCACTAAATGATGCGTACACCATCCACCTTCGTGCCAAAACCCAATGGATGCCATGGTGTATGCTCAGATTGCACGTCGTCAAGCTCATTACCCAGTAATCTGTTTATCCACTCGCCCTCCATGTTCCTGTCCCCAATCAAGGTGGTGATGAAGATGATGGAGATGATGAAGATGATGGAGATGACCAAGGGGACACTAAGGGTAATGAATTAGATAAAGAGTTGGCACAGAAAATGCAAATTAAAAATACATAAATATTCTACCAAAGCTCTCCCTCGGGAGAATTCATTACTATTCCAACCATGCTCTTATAAAAGAGCTTATCCATAAATATAATTATAAATAAATCTTTTTAGAATGATTTTTTGCCTATATCATTCACTTCTATTAAAAGGCAACTAAAAAAACTTTATTTTAATAACTGTTGGATTCATCATCGGTGTTGTAGTCGCTATCTTCGAAATAGGATCGAAAATCATGATTGGCAATAAAGGTCGTCATCATATTCATAAACCTTTTCACTAATTTGTTGCATGCACCACCACCAGTCACACATCGTGTATCCACAACACTCATCATTATAAATAGAGATTTTCTTACTTACAAACATTTTTCATTCTTTTGTACCTACCTACCTACCTGCCTTGTAGTATTAGTATAAACCCTACCCTTCAAAGATTTCATTTCTTTGTTTAAATATCGAATATGATTCTGATGGATCAATCAAACAATGATATCTATCATGACTTTATAGGATCCAGGAAATAATATTATAATTCTAGAAATGAAGTAGAAGAAAAAAGTAAAGGTAATGGGAAGAGATAGAGAGATAGAGAGTGTGTGTGAGAGAAGAGAAGTAATATTTACAATACTACAAATATTTCTTTCTTTTTTCATACCAATATTTTTGAGAACTCACTATCATTGACCCACTCACACAAGTTATGATTGGAAAACAAAAAATACAGAGATATAATTTTGAAACCAAAAACGCGGTCACCTTACTTTTCACTTTTCAACACATACAATTATAAATAAATATTATTATTCGTTTGTATTTTTATTCTTCTTTTTCTTCTTACAGTCTACTACTAGCTACTTTCTTTTTCTTCTATTTACTTTCTATTAGATTATTTATTTATTTATTTATATTTATTGTATTTAGTTGTTATTTTTCTTTTTTTCATTTATATCTGTATCACTCTTAACAGCAAACCAAACAATAATCACATCAACGTCTTCTTTTTTTCATCATCACTAGTTAGTTAGTTATTCCTTTCTCATCATCATTATAGTCGCGTCTTTTTTAAAACAACCTTTATATATATTATTACAACAACAAAACATACACACATATATACAACTACAACTATATAACTCTACAATAGTATGACAGTACATACAGAAAAGACAATTTACGATGACTATGAAATTACAGATATTATTGGAGAGTATGTAAAGTACAACGATGAGCAGAGGTAGTTTGTGGGGGAGGAGTATACTGTATACTGCAAACTGCAAAGATAAGATAATACTTTTTAAAAAACCTAAAGTACTAACCTTTTTCTTTTTATTTTTCTTCATTTATCTTTAGGGGAACATTTTCGACAGTTACTTTAGCATATCATAAAAACACATTAGAGAAATATGCAGTAAAGATTATAGACAAGGAATTTTTGAATAGCCATCGACGAGAGATGGTGGATTGGGAGATATCGATCCTCTCGAAATGCGACCACCCTAGTATTGTCGAGTTTATAGAATGCTACGAGTCGGAGCAAGACATTTGCCTGGTGCTCGAGTGGGTGCCGAGCGGCGACCTCTTTGATCGAATCATCAAGGGAGGGGTGTTTAGCGAGGACGTTGCACGAGCAACAATGAAGTCGATTCTGTTGGCAGTCGAGTATCTGCACGACCGATCGATTGTCCATCGAGATATCAAGCCCGAGAACATTCTTTTTCAAGGCGAGGACGGAGATGTAAAATTGGCAGACTTTGGCCTCTCCAAGTACTACGAGGAAGCGGTGGGTATGGACACGGCGTGTGGAACGCCAGTGTACAGCGCGCCCGAGATTAACAACAACCAGGTCTACCGAAAGGGTGTCGACATTTGGAGTTGTGGATGTATATTGTATTTCATTTTGTTTGGCAGACCGCCTTTTTACAGTGACGACGAGTCTACCGTCTATCGACTCGTCTCACAGGGTACCTGGGAGTTTCCTCCCAACACCACCGTCAGCGACGACGTCAAAGACTATATCGGCAAGCTCTTGGAGCAAGACCCGTCTAAACGTCTAACTGCAAAACAAGCTCTCTCCCATAAATGGATGGGAGATTCAAACTACTACAACAACAACCATAACTACAATTCCACACGTATCATAGAAATAGAACCATCATCTTCAGTATTACTACCTACATCAAATCCAGTATCATCATCATCATCATCACAACAATGTGGTCTATCGTCATCGTCGTCGTCGTCGTCGTTATCGTCGTTATCGTCATCAATGGCACCAGATCTCCATATTATCGAATCATTCCTAACTCCACAAAAACCAGAATTCATTCCCACATCTATACGATCATCTTTACAAAGATCTTTTGAACAACATATGCAACAACAACAACAAATTATGCAGCAACAAACTAACAATATTAATAACAGCAATAACTATAATCAACCAGAATCAATACCACATATGAGACTAAGTTCTCAGAGTAATTCAACTTTATCTCTTTCATCATCTTCTTCTTCGATACGAAATTCCAACAGTACGAGTAGTAGTAATCTACTCAAATCACCTATTCGAAATTCTAGTAATCAAACAACAATTCCTTTGTCGCCCCAAAAGTCTTCACAACCTATATCTATACAAAACTCTCATTTAAGAAACAGTTTAAACTCTTCAGTTGATGCTTTTAGAACAAACAATTCACCAACAATGTTTAATAATCCAAATGTCTAACTGTGTATAAATAAACCAGACAAACACGTACCTTGTAAAAACAATAATAAACAACAGAGGAAAAAAGAAAAAGAACAAAAGAAATATTTTCTTGTTTGTTTGTTTTTTTTTTAAAATAATATATAAATAGACCTCCAAAATATAATGATTCTCTTTTGTTTTTTGTGTAGTTATTTATTTTGGCAATTTTTAATTTAATTGGTAGTAGTAGCATTGTTGGTAGTTGTGGTGGTGGTGGTTGATGGAGATGGTTTCTTTAATTCATAAAATAATACATAGGCTTCAGTAGTTTTAACTTGATGTTCTTCAATCTTGTGATAGGATGAATCACTAATCATATACCATTGATCTCTATTTTTAATAGACGCAGTATAATGACCTGCTCCCATTCCTCCCATATGATTCTAAAAAATAAAATAAATAAATAAAATAAATAAAACTATTTCTTTTCTATATCTGTTTTTTTTTGTTGACTTACAGAGACAGCATAAAGTTGATAAATTGGTGGAATATCAGTCTTTGATAATACCCATTTTGATAAATCAAAATTATCAAGTGGGAAATCAACATAGGATAAAATCTTTTCATGTCTATGATGGAAATGGAATCTCTTTAAATGAATAATAAGAATTTTTGGTAAAGACCAAAGTTCCAATTTTTTGTCACCCTATAAAAAATAAAATAAAAGAAAATAATTATTAATATCAATTATTATTATTATAAATTATATATATATATATTTGTTTCGTACTTCATTATGTTGTTTACATTGTGGACAAAACCAAGTATCATTTGGACCAAGTTTTTCCTTTTTGGTGAACAGAGATAGACAATCATTGAGATTAATTTCTGAACGCATATCTTTTTTGATTGTAACGCTTGCGTCATCCTTTACAAATGGCGAACCTTCGAGGATTTCACTGTCACAAAGATACTTGAAAATCTCTGGACGCCAATCAATGGTGACATTGTTGCAGGCTTCACTCCAAAACTTGGGGTTTTTGAAAATGTCTTTCAAGACTCGGTTGTCACATGGAATTGGACAACCGTTGCAACCGCTGGCACAACGATCACAATTATTGCCATAGCCATTGGTACTCTTTAATACAAATGGATAGATGCATTCTTCAGATTCATCATTGTCAGTGATTGAACTGGAATCATCTTCGTCGACTCCATATTGACTCTCTGAATCTGGACTACTACTAACTGGACTCTCTGAAGAATCTTGTGAATTAATACTTCCATTTTCAGTTGTAGTAGCTGTTGTAGTTTGTGATTGTTGTTGTTGTTGTTGTTGTTGTTGCTGCTGCTGTTGTTGTTGTTGTTGTTGTGGTTGCATATGTCTAAGTAATTCTGCTTTCCAACCTCTCTTTACACGATGACCAACACGTTCCCAAACCATTTTATAAATTTCTTTACATGTAATTTCGGCAAACTTTACCAAAATAACATATGGCATTAATAATAAATGATTTTTCTTTCTATGAATTACATGAAGTCTTGAATATGAATCACCTGCAACTGGTAATTCATATCTAAATAAAATAAAATAAAAAAAAGAATTGTTTTAGTAACTTTTTTTCTTTTTTTCTTTTTTTTTACATACGCAATGGTAATATCTCTATCTTTAATAAATGATAAATTCTTTTGATCACTTAGAAAAGTATTGATTCTATTATTGTAAATTTCGGCCAAAGCCAAACAAGGGGTATCAACACCACACGTTTTGGAGAGTTCATTACGAAGTGAATTGATATAGTCGCGCTTGTTCAACTTTAGACAATATCTGACTGGATCCATAGCATTGTTTAAACAATAAATTCCTTTTGGATCTGGACCCACAGTTCCGGTTGGCTTGCATCTAAAAAGTAATACTTCAAATACTCTTTCTGTTGGAACTGGAATTGGTAAAGTAACATACATAAACGTATCAAAAGTAACACTAACTTTTGGACATCTACTACAATTTAATGTACTTTTATATTGTCCTAAAATGAAAAGTAATTAATAAAAAAGGTCTTTAGAAACGACATGCTATAATCCTTGATATATTGTTTACCTTGAAATAAATTTACAACAACGGATTGATTTCTTTTTAAATAATTATCCCATTGTTCAGATGCTACAACTGAATCTTCTCTAACCTCATTTGTATCTTCTTTTTCTTCAATATATGGTTTCTTTAAAACTCTAAAGAAAATAAAAAAAAAAAAAAAAAATAAAGTCATTTTAAATTCCTTTTTCTATTTTTCATTCTTACTTGTTTAAGTCTTCATGTAAACCATCCAAAAGAAAAGATAAAAGTTCTTGAGAATCTTGTTGTGAAATACCACTAAATTGAGGGGCATATTTACCAATGATCCATTTAAGGTTCTTTGGTGCCACATTGGTTTGACCACTCCACATATCCTTCATTAATTTACCAAAATGTTCTGCAATTTGACCTTTCATACCAAGTGGATTTACCTTGTTGATATCACCAATATATTTACCTGTTAGGAAATATTCTACAAATGGTGTTGTATGTGCTAAACACTAAAAAAAATTAAATATTTAATAAATGTTTCTTTGATTTGATTTGATTTAATTTTTTGACATACTTGTAAAGATGAATTCATAAAACAAGTATTACCAAGATTAGTTAGACCACATGCACCTCTATGCATATAAGCTTGTTCGTCAGATGATGATGATACAATTTGCATATTGGTGTTGTTATTATTGTTATTATTAATAGTTTGTGAATCCAATGGTTGTAAATTGGGAGAAGCAATATTGGATGGAACATTATTATTATTTTGATGATGTGGAGGAGTTGGAGATGGTGGATTAGAAGAAGAACCTCCAGATTCACCAGTCTTTTTATTACCATCCTTTTTAAGATGATGAGTAATACCGCTAAACTTTTTACCAATCTTTGAAATGATTGATTTCGATTGTTCACCAAAATAAAATGATATAATAGTGATAGCTTCAAACTTTAAATCTTCCAACGTACAATTGAATTTCTTTAACAACTTTTGTTTGGCTGCTGCCCCAGCAGAACTGTTGCTGCTACTACTGACACTCTTTTTGTTGTTGTTGTTGTCTGGAGTGATCTTGTACAAGGTAATCTTGGCCGGGTCGAGTAACTCTCGCTTTGCAATGAAATCTCGTACGTCGTTTAAATGATCCTTTCTACTACGTTGGATGATGAATGAGTAGACTTCTCTCTGGTTTTGCTTTTGGTACTCGTTGACCGACGACAGAGTGGGCGAGAGGTTTGGCTGGTTCAGACACTTGATCTTGATGAGGATGGGTCGTACCTCGACATACTTGTCATTCTTTAGACCTAGGACTACGACCGATCTCTTGATGGCTGGCCCGCCGCCATACCACTGCACCAGCAGTTCCCAGATCCTCTGGTTGATGATCTCATAGTCGTCGCGCTCGACCTTGTTTTCGGCAAGGATAGGTTCCTTCTCAGAGTCCATACTAGCAATAATATCTTTATTGTTGATCGACTCTGGCTTGGGAACATCAAACTCGGCACTGAGCTTCAAGTTGATCATTCCAGCAGCAGCAGCAGCAGCAGCAGGGGTGCCCTTGTAGAGATCCGAGTTGACACTAGACTTTGGGCTACCATCATCGTATTTGACCCAACTCTTCCAATGTCCCAACCAACGTGCACTAATCAAATAGACAGTCTCTCCTGCCGACACTTCTTCTTTCCAATTGTCTCTATATAATTTTCTTTGTAATAATTTTTCTTCATTTGTATCCAATAAATTATTTGTTGAAGGTGTAGTTGTTGTAGTAGAAGTAGAGGTTGTAGTAGAAGTAGGATCAACTACAACGACGTCATTAACTTTAACCTTTACTGAATCATTATTATTATTATTATTATTATTATTTGTTGATGATGATGAGGTTGTATTTTGATGTTGTCCACCTTTGTCATCAGTATCATTGGAATTAACCATGGTCTCCTACTTTTAAATTAAATTACTTTTTACAAATATTATTACACTTCAAGTATAATGATCACTTTCAAGAAGAAGAAGAAGAAGAAGAAGAAGGAAGAGGAATAAGAAGAAGAAGGGAGTAAAAAGAAGGAATGGTGAAAGAAAGCCAACTGTCTCTCTCTCTCTCTCTCTCTCTTTGCTTTCTCTTGTGTTGGTTTGTTTCTATCTTTAATCTATCAACAAATTTGTTATCTATTATCAATGTGACAGTGTTGTCGTCTGTCTCTTTTCTATAGTGTCACTTATCTCTCTTTCTTTCTCTTTCTTTTGTTATTTCTTTCTTCTCTCCCTACTTAATAATAATAATAATTTAATAATTAAAGAGAAAGATGATTTCTTGTTCTATGTCAGCGTCCCTTCGATCCCATTTTTTTTGTGTTTGTTTGACTTCAACCTTTGGTGGATGATTTTTTTAATCAGTGAAATCTACTCTTTGAAAGAAATGATCAACTATTATTAGTGCTTTTTCTCGATTCCTAAAACAAGCTCAAAACAATAAAGAAACAACCAACTTTAAACTCTTCATTCATCATTTGATTAAAATATTTATTAAATTCAATAATAATAATGGAAAAATAGAGGGAGTTGTCGATGTGAACAATGATCGCAATAATATTATGGCATTCAAGAAAGAAAGAAAGAGAACCTTTTTTGACCAAGTAATAGGTAGTATATCAGTCGATATTGACGATGATCATCACAACCAACCGATCTTGGGTTGGGGAACAAAGTGTTTCTTTTTTTTTTTTTTTTTTTTAATGTGTTTTAATTTAGTGATAATGCAAAGTTATATTCCAAAGATATATATATATTGATTCGTACACATACATACAGCATGTAAATGTAGACCAATATATTATGTCTGCCTCTACAATAACATCATCATCAACACCAACCAATAATAATAGTAGTAGTAGTAGTAGTAGTAGTAGTAGTAGTAGTAGTAGTAGTAGTAGTAGTAGTAGTAGTAGTAGTAGTACCGCTGCTTCAACGACTACACTTGAATACGATACAGATGACTATTATCACAGATTGGATACTACCGTATATGAAGATTCATTGTACAATGAAGAAGAAGAAGAAGAAGAAGAAGAAGAAGAAGAAGAAGAAGAAGAATGTCTCTTTGAGACAAGAGACAAACAAGTTGCAGAACAATCAGAAGAATCATCTTTACACTCACGGACCATCATTGTTCAACAAGACCACCAACCCTCAGTTGATGAAGAAAAAGATGAACATTGTTATCAACTTGAACGTCTTGAACAACAACAAAAGCAACAAGAGCGAGAACGACATCAACAACAACTACTACAAAAATATACTTTTTCATCATCAACTTCATCTTATAGTTATGTTCCTAATAGTAGTAGTAATAGTAGTAGTAGTAGTAGTAAAGAATATGTAAATACAACAACCAATAATAATAATAATAATAATAATAATCACCATCATCATTTTAATAGTAATAATAATAATAATAGTACAACTGTATATACCAATAATCATTTTATTAATAATAATAATAATAATAGATTCAATCCATATCAATATCAAAGTATAGATGAATCATTATTAGAAGCAGAACTTTATGAACAAAGAATTCAACAACAAAGAAGGCAATTACAACAACAACAACAACAACAACAACAACAAGAAAGATTATCACAATTTAGACAAAGAGGTGATATCATATTACTTGTAATATTTTGTATCATTATAATAGCCGATTATAGTGGGTTGGTTGATCATCTATTCAATGCCAACAACTGGTTGTCTATACCGGTTCATTATCCACCTCTGAGACCTTGGCAATGCGACAGATCACCTTCAGTATCCGACGAAGCATCACAGTTTCTTGGCAAATTAAATCAACCTCTTCACGAACAACAACAGGATCGACTTGTTCGATTCGGTGGCGACGAAAGATTGGCCAATTTCTTTGACCAATATACATTTTACAATAACAAAGGAGATGTAGAGAGTACCATTAGGGTACTCTTTGATATTCTAGCATATTATCCATATGATTGTAGCGCAAGATTTAGAGCCGGTCAATTATTAGTTGCTATTGTAAGTAAAAGGAGAAAAGAAAAGAAAAGAAAAAAAAAGAAAAGAAAAACTTTTAATATTTATTCTAATCCTTATTTATATTCTTATTCATTAGAAAGATAAGAATCAAACCAATTTAACACAAGGTGAACATATGTTAAAGTCAGCGTTGGCATGTGAACGATGGATCAAGATTCCATATATAGAGGAATTATATTATTTCTATATAAGTAATCATAGGTATCATGATGCACTAGATATTATATCTAGAGCTGTCATATTCTATCCAAATGATTCCAACATTTTAAAACTCCAAAGCAAAATTGTTTCCATCATCTCGCAATTCAACAATTTTGATTTCTCAAAGGATTTGGGTTATTGTCATTCTTATAGTCAATAACACCATTTGAAAAAGTACAAGTATAGTTGGAAGAATAAATATTAATTTAGTATCATTGCTAAGAAATATTCCAAGGCCACCCAGATAAGATATCTTATCTTTTTTTTTGCCAGAATTCTGGTTGTGTCTTTTCGTTGTTTTTTTTTTTTTACGAAAAATGTTGATGATCGTTGGTCAACTCACTCGGATTGATGAGCCTCACAAGTCAGTATTATTATCTTATCAATCACACACAATTTATTCAATACAACAACAATGAGTAACAGTAGGCTAGAGAGTACTAGTACTAGTACTAGTAGTAGTAGTCGTAGTAGTAGTAGTAAGCACCAGTGCTACTGGTATCTAGTGATAATGATAGTGACACTACTCAGTTGCCATATTTCACTATCAAATGCTCAACAAACTCTCCCCGATGATGAACGTATGTATACTTAACTTATCGTTTAAGTATTATATTTATAATGATATTGATCCATATTTATTTAATTATCTCTTTTAATAATTATTCGATCCTTTAAATTGTCTATCTATCTATCAATCAATCTATTCTCAAATGAACAGTCCAATCAGCTATTTTTCTAATACAGTAAGACAACGATAAACTTTTTGGTTTTGGAAGAAGAAGAAGAAGTCGTGGTGATGATTTCCTAATTTAAACTCTATCTCTTTTCTATTGTTGTTGTTGTTATTTAGACAATATGGATTATTAATACCACAGAATCAGTCTCTATGTTTAGCATCAAGTCCTGGTGTAACATTTACTTGTAGCAACCAGACATTTGATGGACAATATCGCATCGTTAAAATGTATGATAAAGAGAGATAGAGAGAGAGAAATTAATTTATTACTAACTTTCTTTACGATATTCTCCTACCACAATTGTAGTTCTGCAAGTGTAGTTACTTTTACCAATGGTGGCAGTCCATCATCCTCTTTGACATCATTGACAATGCCTGCTTTGAAAAATATCGATATCAATGCTAATGGGGTTGCCAATCCGTCGATCAATGTGTTGGAGTTACTCAAATCAGTCAAAAGTCTGGAAGAGATTTACTTTCAGAATGATCCATCGATCAAACCACTAAGTGATTTCAATAACTTTCCTAATCTTACCTATTTTCGTTTGTCCAATCTCTACAAAACTCCATTTATAGTACCTCATGGCTTTCTAAACAACTCTATCAAACTTGAAGAAATCCATCTTTCTTCTCCAGTTACATCTATTACGATTGACGATTCTCTCCACTTTCCTTCTCTCTTTCGTTATAATTTTCATTCCAATTGTACCTATGGATCACACCATATCAATCTAACCTCCAAATCGTTTCCAAAGCTTAGGAGTTTGTAAGTTAAAAAACAAACGATTCAAATTTGTCGACTAGTCTAACCTCGAGTTAATTAATATCACTAATGTATAATTATCATCCTATTTAGATCTGTTTACCCTTATGGCGGATCAAACACTACTATCTATTTGAATACGAATACCCCCAACATCAAAATGGCTTTGTAAGTAGTACTACTTTGATTGATTTTTATATTATTAATAACTTATTCATTTTATTTGATTATGTTGTGATACAGATCTTGCCATACTGTTATAAATAATATCCAGACTCAGTGTCATTTAAGAATAGGATATCCATCCAGTATAGAATCATTGTAAGATTAATAGATAGATAGATACACTCTGTCATTCATAGCAACGATTGTTGTTGTTGTTTTTAACATATTAACTTATTCCCTGTTACTTACTAAATTTATAAGGTATATCTCTGGAAATCAATCGACAGTTCTCCCATCGCCTATTTCTAGTAGTGCTTCGTTATATTCAAACCTCCAATTTTTATGGATGAAATTTATGGTGCTGACCTCGTCATATTTTGTCCAGTTACCTCCCCTATTGTTAAGATTGTATGTCGGATATTTTGATTGATTATTGTTTGGCCATTACACTTAATACTAATTTATTTCCTTTTTTGTATTAATTTCGTATTCAAGAGAAATAGGAGATAATAACATAGAGAATTTAACAACAAACTTGCCAGACAGTTTAAGATATTTTAGTATTGCGAATAACCCCAACTTTATTGGTCCCATTACTGAATCATTCTGTGGAATAGGTAAATCGTTTGACATTCGTTTGACTGCAGTTTCATCCCTTCCAGATTGTTTCTGGTGTTATAAAAATGCTTCATTTATCTATACAGATTTGGTGGTACCTCCAGGTTTTACTTGTCCAAGTATGTTTCACCCCCAACAAACTAATTAGTCTAGTAACTAGAGGTTTCACTCTGAGCTTGTCATACTTACTTCTTCTCATTCTTTCTTTTACTACTTCTACTTCTACGACTACTACTACTACTACTACTACTACTATTATTGTAAAAAGTTACTATTAGTAACAAAGATAATCTTTTAGTTACCGTTGGGATTGCTGCTACTATTACTGGTATGGGTCTATTATTAAAATCTTCAAAAGTATCACGATATACCATATCAATAGTTATTAATTACTTTGTATTTTGTTGAATTTAAAAAACCCCTCCCCTATAGGTAACAACATTGGATATGGCTCATACCAATCAAATTATTCTATCATCCCAAAAATACCAAATCAAGAATTGTCATTCATATATTCGGGGTCAACGCCAATACAAACTATTCCGACACTAGTTACAATCAATTTGAATCCACAACAAGTACAGATGATGATGGTCAAGGGTGATATCACTGTTGTTGGTCAACCAACTAGTTTACAAATCAACCCCAACAACACTACTATCTATTTTTTATTGAATTATAGTCCATACCTTAATCACACAATAACAATTGATAACAGTACTGCCTGTACCAATCTAACAAATACCTCTTCCAACCAATACCAATGTACAACACCTCTTCTATCAAATGGAAAACATCAATTAATAGTTTCAAACTCTTACACTCAATCACCGCAAGTACCATTTACATTTAATTCACTTACCTATCTCTGTCAACAATCAACCAATAATTGTTACGGAAATGGTCAATGTGGGGTTGATGGAAAATGTATATGTACCAGTAATTCATTTTATAATAATTGTTCAAATCGTATGTATTTATTATAGTTTATTAAAAATATTTTAATTATCTTAATATCACTAATGAATGATTCAATATATTAATTATTATTTCTATAGCATACCCAATTATAAGTTCAGGAAATTATAATTTGACAAACAACAAGAATGTTCAATTGAATGGTGATTTCGGACCATTTCTCATTTCAAATGTATCAATCTTGATTAATAGTACAATCGAGTGTGTTGTTGAATCAGTATCACAATTCCAAATCAATTGCACACTTGATCAACAACCATCATTTGGATTGGCTTCAGTTCAACTGCAATTGAATAATAGTTTAAATACAACTGCAAGAAATGTATTAAATCTTCAATCACCACCATCTCAAGGAATATCAAAATCAGAATGTGAGTCGATTACATTTAATTGTTATGGTCATGGATATTGTGATGATAGTGGTAAATGTCAATGTCAACATGGATACAGTGATATTGATAGTTGTTTGACTAAATGTATGTATAATTAATTGAATAATTAACAATTAAAAAATTTGGGTATTAATATTTTATTTATTTCCAGACATCAACACAACGATCACACCAAATACAACCGATCCAACAGTATCATTTGATGTTGATGGACTTGATTTTGATTTTCTATTTGAAATCGACTCTGTCCAAGAATTGGATCTGGATGATAATATTGTCAAAGAATTATTTATTTCCAATTACACTTGGAATGTAAAAGCATCTACCATTGATAATAACCAAACCAATATTATTAACTATCAATTGGATACTTTATCCTCTTCATCATCACACCAACCAGCTCAAGTATTATCAACTATATCATTCTCTACACTTGCAAGAACCGTTGAATTTGGAGGACAACAACTATTGATCAATGCCAACTCTATCAAACTAGAGGTCAATATCAGCAAGTGGCAATATTCATCGAATCTGGCAACACTTCGAGTTGTATTCAAAACATTGATCAACAACAATCAATTTATCCAATATGATTGTATCAACAAGGATATCTCATCATTCAGTTATGATTCATTGTCATCGTTGCAGTATCTCAGAGTAGTCAAAGATGGTATCCAATTCAATGGTCGATTCATTGATGTTGCATTGTCTGATGGACGACCAACCTATTCACCAACTCAACTCTTATCATCAACACCAATCAACGATGAACAATCGATTGTAATGATTGGAATTGTATTTCCACAATGTCAAGAATGTATACTCGACCCTGATTTCAGTGCATTGATTGTCGATACCAACAACAGTGGTAGTCAATGTGGCAACAATGATAATTCCAACGATAAATGGAAGATGATTACTGGCATCGTTGTTGGAGTAGTTGGAGCTACCATTCTATCAATCATCATCTTTTATAGTGTCAAGAGATTCAAGAGATATTTAGTTCTCAATCGTAAATCAATTGCCATGTCTAAACTTAATAAATAAAAAAACAACAAAAACAACAAAAATAAATATATTATTTCTTTTCAAGTAATTATAGGTATCCATGATATTCCAACATTTTAAACTTGCAAAGCAAAATGGGTATTCAATAACATCATTTGAAGTACAAGTAGTATAGTTAAAAGAATAAATAGTAATCATGATAGGACAGGAGGAATGATTAAATAAAATGTGCTACAAGTTGTAAATAAATGGAGAACATGAAAATGAAAAGTAGTCAGTCAGTCACTCTTTGCTACCAACTATAGTTGCGCAACTACATTGCTCATGACTTTTACCATGACAAATTAAGTTTTAATCTTATCTCTTTCATCTTTCATCTTTTGTGCCAGCCATGTCAGTCCATTCAAATGCATTATTATTTGCATTGCATTCAATCTGTTTTTGGCAATGCATGTGTGTTTCCTACTGTAGGAGTAATACAAATTCACTCACCACTCGTTCAATTTAAACCCCCCCCCTTTCTCTCTCATTTGAAATAAATATGGTGGTGAATGAAATGAAAAGTGGAGCAGAGAGTAGAGTAGGGAGTACAACGCAGGAATAAATATAAATAAAAATCTATTGATGTGAACGAATGCCACTAATGTTAATGAATGTTTGGACATAACAATAATAATTATAATCACATAGTAGAAGAATAAAAAAAAGTAGAGTGCAAGGAAGAAACTATTTTACAATTAATTATTAAAATTATTTGTTTTGATAATAATTAATTAAAAAAAATTAATTGTAAAATGGATGGACACAGTCATGATATGACTTCAATGTCACACCATCATGATATGTCGTCAACGTCACACCATCATCAAGTGTCGACAGAACATCATCATCATCATCAGGAACCGGCACCGACATTTGATCATTCTTCAACATCACAGAGCCATCATCATGTAGACCCAAATTGTTATAAACCTGGTGATCAGCATCATCATAATCATCCGCCTGATAACTGTCCAACAACAAACGACTCTGCACCATCAATTACAGACCCTTCTTTGTTCTTTTTACAACAACAACAACAACAACAACAACAACAACAACAATCTTCATCATCGTCATCAACTCAAAGGAATGCTCAAATACCAGCCAATACAGTCCAACCACCATTGGTTCAAAGATCAAAAGGAAAGGAAACTGAAAGATCACAAATACCTATTTTAGAGCCATTGGATAGTTATGGTTTGGAAGCATTGATGTTAAGACAGGCTAATCCTTCAATGAGTGACAAGGAAATCATTGATAATATTAAAAATTGGCAAAAAGAAACAAAGAAATACCTACAATCAAATGAAAATGTAATCAATGAGGAAATTGAACATATGTTGATGTGTGAAACTTATTGTATGTTTAACATAAATACATTGAATTCAAATTCAAGTTAATATTAACTTTATTTATTTATAAATATGTAGTTAGTACAAATGAAATTAAAGTATTATATAATGAATTTATTAAATGTTCTGGAGGACAAGCATTTATGACCAAAGAACAATTCTCTCAAGAATTTACTCCATTTCTTAAAAGTTCTGCATTGACTGATTCTTTATTAAATGCAATTGATGAGTATGTCTAAATTTAATTAATCAATTTCAATCAATGTTCTAACAAACTTGTTTAATTTATTTATTTAAAAGAAATGGAGATGGAGCAATTGCATTTACAGAATTTGTTTGTGCTTTATCAATTATGACAAGAGGAACAAAAAATGAAAAGCTTAGATGTAAGTGACTATAGACAACATATTATTATTATTTTTAATAATCTTTCATTTTTAGTTTGTTTTATGGTTTGTGATTTTGATAGAAATAATTTTGTATCAAGAGAAGAAGTATTCCAAGTAGTTAGTACAACAAAAGAATTGTTTGCCAAATTTTTATTTGTAAAGGATAGATTTGGATCACCTCATGAAGCAGTTTCATCGATTTTCAGTGGAGGTATTTCAGGAAATGGTTCAAAATACCTACAAGAAAAGACTGAACTTGATATCATTGATTTCATTGAACGTGGTAATTTGGAAACTGATATGGCTGGTTGCTTTGGTATGTTTGATTATTTTTATAACAAATTTGTTCTACCTTGTGATGAATTGGTAAGTAAATCAAGAAATACATTTTGAATAATAACATTATTTAAATTAATTTATTTTTTATTTTTTTAAGTTTGCAAATGAAACATTTAAAGTTGATGGAGTTGTAACTAAAGTAAAACATATGAGATTATTTAGTTCAAGACACAAGAGAAGACTTAAAATTAAAAAGGCGTTTATTGTGGTCTATGATATCAACCTGAATAGACAAGAAAAGAAACCATCACGTGTTATCTTTTTACCTGGAGCTACTGTCAGAGTACTGCTAGACCCACAACTATCGGAAGAGAGAAAGAAACATCGTCATCACTTGCATCGATTCGGAAGAAGAAAGAATATATCTGGTTTTTATTTGGTGTCTGGAGAGTATGCTCGTGCATTTTATACTGAAACTCCAGAGGAAGCTGTCCAATGGGTCAATGCAATTCGTCACTATAGTAGAGTAGGTTACAAGTTCCAATCATTTGCTCAACAACACATGAACAATCAATGTCTATGGTTTGTCAATGCCGTCAATTACTATCGTGACTTGGCCAATGAAATCATGCAAGCTCGTCGTGAAATCTTTATTGCTGGTTGGTGGGTATGGCCCTATGTCATCCTCCAAAGAGACACTAAAGAGTTGATGGAAAAAACTAGATTGGATCGTTTACTAACTGCAAAGGCAAAAGAAGGTGTTAGAATTTATATTTTAATTTGGGATGAAAGTAATATTGGTATTCAATTAGTAAGTAAAAAAGAAATACAAATAATTGTATATAATTATTATTTATTCCTTTTTATTTTTATATTTTATAGGGAACACATCATACAACAAGATGGTTAGAAAATTGTCATCCAAATATTAGTGTAATTCGTCATCCAAAGAGATATCCGCTGTCATGGTCACATCATCAAAAGACAGTCGTGATTGATCAGACAGTAGCTTATATAGGAGGTATTGATATATGTTTTATGCGATACGAGTTGGATACATTCCCATTGGTTGATTTGGATGGATCGTTATTCCCAGGCAAAGACTATGGCAATTTGACGAGCATTGTTATTCGTACTGGGAATCCTCATCACGATCAATTGAATAGAAATGAAATGCCTCGTATGCCATGGCACGATGTTCACACCAAGATTGTCGGTCCTAGTGTTCACGATGCTGCCACTAATTTTATCCAACGTTGGAATCATGCCATCACAACAAAGGCTGCCAATTCAAGAAGAAAGAGATTCCTCACTCCAAGATCATGGTACAACAAGACCGAAGAAAACAAGCAAGATGACTCGGGACAAAAGAATCCATTCAAGAATGCCATTTCCGATATTGTTAGAAATGTTGGTAACGTTAGTTATGGTGAGGAAAAGGTCACCCGTTTCCATCGTGTTGGCGATCACCCCAAAACACGTGAAGAAATATTAAAAGGTGCATCCAAACACTCTACCCCTTTTAACAATAATTTAAATGATGATGCAGCATCCAAAATTAGACTTGAACAGGAAGTTGACCAAGAAGAAAAAGATAGAGAAGAAGATCAACAAGATAGACAACAATCATTGAATGTTCCAACTGGTAGAAAAGATAGTCAAGAACAACGTCCAAAAGACAATGAAGAAGAATCAGATGAAGAAACTACAACTACAACAACTACCAACACTAGCAACAATGATTTAGGTATATCATCGTGTAATGGATTTTCAACTCATACAATATTGGATTACCCAGAAAAGGAAGCGTATCACAAGATGTATAATCTTGATGTAGCACATGGTACATGTATGAACCAGATTGTTAGAAGTAGTTGTCAATGGTCAGCTGGATCGGATACTGAAGATTCCTGTTACAAATCATTTGTTGGTATCATCAAGGCGGCCAAGAATTTCATCTACATTCAAAACCTCTTTTTCGTCAGTAGTTGTGGTGCAAAGCTGCCCAAGAATCGTATCGCCATGGCATTGCTCCAAAGGATTCGTTTGGCCATTATCAACAAACAAAATTTCAAGGTCATTGTCCTCACCAACATCAATCCTGCCGGTGATATCAAAGAGCAGTCGTCTCGTATCGTCATTGGATGGACTATGCAAACCATCTGCCGTGGTGGACAATCCATCTTTGAATTGTTGCACAAAGAATTCCCAGATGTAGACATTTCAGAATACTTTGGTGTCTTTTCATTGAGAAACTATCAGGTTTGCTATGACCGTGTCTTTAGTGAACAAATCTATATCCATAGCAAGGTTCTCATTGCAGATGACCGTGTCGCAATGATTGGTAGTTGCAACATTAATGACAGAAGTATGCTTGGTGCTCGAGACAGTGAAATTGCCAATATAGTGATTGACCGTAATGTCAAGGAAAGCACCATCGATGGTAAACCCGACCAAGTCAGAGAATATGCTCATTCGCTTCGTATGCATCTCTGGAAACTTCATCTTGGTATTAGCGATGCAGATGCAGAAGGAATCAAAGAGATCATTGACCCTGTACGTGCATTTAATGCCGTTTGGTTGAAACGTGCTCGTTCAAATAGTGCAGCCTACAAAGAAGCTTTTGGCGCCAATATCCCGGAAAACCAAACCATCCTACCTCCAAACCTATCCCATCCACGTTACTTTAGTCGTAATGATCAATTGATGGAAACCCTATCACAAATCAAAGGTTTCCTTATTGAATATCCCTATGATATGTACAAAGATTCAGATCTCCTAACTTCAAATTTATTATCACCAGAACATTTTGTTAATACAAGTATTTTTATTTAAATTAAATCAAATCAAATCAAAAATTAAATCAAATAAACCAATAAATCCATTCAATATCCATATTTTATATCTTTAAATTAAATTATTCTTCTTTTTTTTATTTTGATAATTTATTGAACTTTATTAATTCTCTTTTTGACAGGAGTAGTCTTTTTCTCTTTAACTTGTTCTTCTTCCTCTTCCTCTTCAGATGATGATTCTTCAATTGATGGAGATTCAGTTTCAGCTGATGGCTTGGATGAAGAGGATTGGGCTGGTGGGATAACAACGGTGGTGGCGGCTGATTTCTTTGAACCACCCAAACCAATACATAGTAAAATGGGGACAAGACCAGCTACCAATGACAAAGCAGCAACGTATGGTTGAGCCTTTGCAAATTCAACGGCCATTTGACCATATAATTGGGCAAGAGCGAGGTAATCGGTTGGAGTTTGGAGCTTCTTGGCCTCTTCAGCTTCAAATTCAGCTTGGAGAGCCTTTTCCTTGTTGTACTTTGGTTCCCAGTTTTCTTGAGCGATACGGTCGGCTTCATCACGGTCGTGGGTGATGATAAAGTTGTCAAAAGCGATTTGATCGGTGGTGGTCCAGATTTCGAGACCGATGGCACCAATCTTTTCGACGTTGTATGGGTTCTCTTCGTTAAAGTAGTCTGGGTTGGCAATTTGACGAGCCTTCCAGACACCCTTGTAGGCTGGGTTGTCGATACGTGGAGCGACCCATTTACCCTTGTAGAGTGGGTTCTTGATGATGGGTGCTTTCCATTCACCGCAGTTTCCGTCTTGACACTTTGGATTGGGGGCAAGTGGTGCTTCCCACTCTCCATCATCTTCGTCATCCCAACCTTCTGGCTTGGAGACAGTGACATCTGGAACGAGTTCGGGTTCGTCATCGAGCCATCCGTCGGGCTTGGTAGCGTCAGTGTCGACGATGGTGGCTGGTTGTGATTCGTCCCAGTCGTCTGGCTTGCTGGCGGATGGGTCGTCCATCTTGGCATCATCGATCCAGTCGGATGGCTTGGAGTCGGTGGGATCATCGACTTCCTTGGGTGGGTTAAAGGCGGGAGTAAACGAGGTGTGGAAGTTACCTTCGAGTACTGGAGAACGGTCGACATAGACAGTGAAGGTGTTGTCTGGACGGATGTGCAAGGTGTAGAGATGAGACAACTTGTCGGTACGAATGGGTGGCTTGGCGGTGATCAACTTCTCTTCGAAAACACCAGACTTGGGGTTCTTGTGACGTACGATAAAGTGGATACGGTTGTCGCTACCGCATTTGTCTGGACCAAACATGATCGAGTATGGTGTGTTACGGTCGACAGTCTCAGCGTCCAAGTCGTCGGTGGCTTGGTACAACTTGACGTAGGCGCCACCGCACTCGAGTCCCTTGGCGAGACGCACTTCGTATTGCACGATGAGGTCGCGGTCCTTGTTGTCAATTGGCTTGGCCAACACCGAGGTGATGGCGTATCTCTTTGATGCCAATGGCAAGATCATGGCATTGTCAGTCTCCTCTACGAGGAATTGTGTCTCTGGTTTACCAAACACAATGTTGGCCTCTGAGAACTGACTCTTTACCCATTTCGAGTTCTCTAGTGTTGCACTTTCAAAGTCGTCAAAGAACAATGTATCCTTTGATGGTGTAAATGATGATGACGTTGATACTACTAATCCACATACTAATGATAATACAACGATTATCAATAGATTTCTTTTTGATTCTTTCATCTCTAAATATATATATATACAAATAAGTTATAACTTAACTAACTTGAACAAAGAAAAGAGAGAGTAATAAAATGAGTATGGTGTGGGATGTGATGATGAACAACAATGAGCCTAAAAAAGTAATTTTTTAAATTAAAATTTTTTTTCTCTCACCCTAAAAGTCAGGTGATGCGTCATCACCCGATCAAAGTTTGTAGATTTATAGATATGTTACAAGTTATATAAATATTTAATTATTATCTACAAATATGTTATAAAATTACAAGTTATATAAATATTTTTATTATTCAAAGTGTTTGTGGTTGTATATATTCATGAATGTATACAATCAATACAATAAATATGTTGTCTCTTTAAATTGGTTATGGTGACTTTAAACGATTTAATTTGGTTTGCATCAAGTTGTTGTGTTTTCTTACAACTTTAAGCTTTTTGTATGTTAGGATCGATGCAACTACGATCGCTGCCGCCCCAACAACTGATCCAACAATAATTCCAATTAATCTAAAATCAGTACCATCATCATTTGATTGACAAATTGAATCAACTTTTGAATTATCTTCATCATCTTTATCAAATAATACTGAGAAATCTAAACAAATATAAATAATAATAATAAATATATGATGTTAGAAATTGTGGGTTTGTTAATGTTTCTTTTTTTTCTTTTGTTTTTTTCTATTTACATACCAGGATCAATAAATACAGTATTTGAATAATGAGGAATATTAATTGAAATATAGCTAATTGAATTATCATAGTTTGTGGATGAGTTGGAATTGGCTGTTAATTTGGTCGTAATGGTTTGTTGATGATCATCGATTTGAGCAATATTGATAAATGTTGCATAGAGTGAAATATCGTCCAACTTGGTCTTGTACCATTGATATTTTGATTGGCCATCATTGATTTCTCCATTTTCAACTGATCCACATTCCGAGTCTGCTTGGAGACTTACTGACATGACCAATTCTAGTGTATTGGTGTTTTGACTAAAGTCATAGGCATCAAGGGATATACCATATTTGACTGTGGAGGGATCCATTTGCAATGAACGATCGAGAAAGGTGACATTGGTTTGATGAGAGAAATATTGGATGCTAACTCTGACAGAGGTTGGTATGGTCGACAACAACGATGTATTGTAACGAAGATTATAATCTGCTCCAACATCAGATTCGGTACTGTTACTCAGATCCCATAGATCAAATGGATGAACACTGACAACTTGATCTTCCATATCAATTTCTCTTAGTTCGATGATTGAGATTTTGGCATAGACACGTTTCAAAGAGGACGATGGAGTTGGTGGTGTACTATTGTACTCAGTATCTGGTGAAGTTGATCCGTGTTTTGGATCAATCACAACGACAGAACTTGCACATCTCGGGCCGTAGAACCCAGCATTACAAACACATTGACCAAACAGACCACAATGCATATTATCGTATTCACAACCACTCGATGGACATTGGAGAGGTGGTATAATACTTCCTCTTCGTGGATGGAGGTATGCAATATTTGAGTTTTCCGAGTCTGTCGAGACGAAATAGAGGGGGATTGTATGGTCGACTGGAGGCAGATCGGTAAATACAACGTATCGATTATTGACAGAAGATGAGCTGGGAATGTATGCAACAAAGGTACCAGTAAAGTTAAACATAAATTGTGCAACTTGGTTAAAATTGTTACCATAGATTGTAACACTTGTATTGCCACTAGACTTGTCAACAGTGATAGGTGAAAGACTGTAAATGGATGGAATGGCAAGGGTGGATGGGACGACAACAACAGTATTAGGGAATATCGTTCCACCATAGTTTAGATACTTGTCAACTGCATTGGAGACAAACAATGACAATGTTCTATTCATACCAAAGGGTACTTGGTAATTGAAATAGGCAACACACACGTTTTTAGCGCTGGGGCATACAAGATCTCCATCAACAATTGCAAGCAACTCTAATTCATCAAGAATATAGAGTTTGGGTGTATGAGCAAGTGAAATGTCTGATTGAGTATCTTGTATCGTTGCACTAACCGATAGTATTTGATTTTGTGTTGATACTATTGATGATGGTGAAGTTGTCATTACTTCTGGTGGAGTTTTATCAACAATAGTCTCAATTGCTTAAAAAACAATTAAAGAAATAAATTAATTAATATATTTAATAATAATTTTTCTTTTCTTTTTCTTTTTCTTTTCTACATACATTTTGTAACATTTAAAATAGGGATGATTGGATTATAAAATGAAGTTGATTGTATAAATTCATTACTACTTATACCGGCAAGATCGACCGTTTCAATTGCCAAAATGGTATAGATCTCTGAACGTACGATATTTTCTAAAACTGGAATCTGAACCTGATAGGAACCTCTATAGATTGTTCCATCAATGAGATTTGATTGATCAAATTGTTGAGAAAAGTTATAGAATGGATCAATGAGTCTACCAAGATAAATGGTTCCATTCATAAATCCATTAATCTCATCTTCAATTTGAATAATAAATCCATATCCAAATCCAGATGTGGTTACATTAACTATTTGTGGTGGTATTAAATCTCCTCCTAAAAAAAAAAATAAAAAAAATAAATAAAAGATATTAATACAACAATTTTCTTTTTTCTTTTTCTTTTTTTTTCTTTTTTTTTCTTTTTTTTTCGACATACCATTTGAAAGAATGTTAATTAAAGCATTATTACCAAAAGTTTGATATAGAACATTAGAATCATATGATTGTCTGAAATCAATTGGTAAATAATATTTTAGTGTCCCTGGGAACATTGATTTTGGAATGGTAAAGGTGATAACATATGCTTGCATAGCTTCTACCCAAACTCCTCTAAATGTGTCTTGTGGACCAACCTCGGAAACATCCTTTCCATTTAATATGATAAATGTTGGTTGATACATGATTTTATCTGCATCATGCAAATTGGTAAAGTTGATCACCAATGAATTGGTTACAACTGAATTTGAAACATCAACAATATTTTGGGTAAAATAAAATGTTGATATTTGTGTTAGGTCATATGCTATTTAATTTAAAATACATTAAAATTAATTTGGTTAATATGTAGAGAAAAGAAAAGTTGATTTGATTTGTTTACATACAAAATACACTAGGTGGGTAATTATTCAAATGATCTAATCTTGAATAAAAAATATTACCTGCTCTATCGATTGCAGTGATTAACCCAAATGTAGGATCCATTGGAACGATTGTTTGATAAATTCCACTGTATCTATCTCCAGAGATCAAATTGGAATCATTCAAAGAGACGGCACAATCAGAGGTGGCACTTTGAATACATAATCGTTTAATACCAGAAAGGTCATCAAAAGCACTGGCTGTAATCAATAACATATATCCAGGTAATAATTCATATGATACATAATCGATCGTTGGATTTGTAGTATCTGAAAAAGAGAAAAAGATAGAGAAAGAGAGAAAAAGAGAAAGAGATAATTAAAACAATATTAATATATTATATATATATATATATATATTTGTTTGTGTTTTAAAACAAACCTAGTTCAACTGATAGATTGGTAGTTGTTGTTTCTATTCCTTTGAATACAAGAATGATAGGATCTGTATAATCAAAAGTTTGTGCAGGTAAATTAACTTTGAATTCACGATTACCACTAGTTGGATTTGTAATCACACCAAATGGATGTTGTAAGAGGAAGGATTGTGAACCAATCTGTGCCAACACATTGTTGATTCCATAATCTATCTCTATATTGAATCTACGGACTTCAGCATCCGATGAACATTGTTGTGGATTTGGTGAAAATGCAGGATCTAAATAATAAAAAAAATGGATAAATATATAAGTAAAAGAGTAGAGTGTTATAGTACGGTTTCTTAACTTACTATAGAAAGTGTATGAAAAGAAAGTACCATTGCAGGTAACAAAATTATCAAAGTAATAGGTTGTAAGGATTGAATCTGCAAAAATCTTTGATCTTGAGATCAATGTGGCATTGGATGGTAGACCACCAACTGGATAGGCCATGATATCACTTTCAGTAGAGAAAATATCTTTAGGATAGATACGAACTGTACTCTCTCTATTACTGATATCAAAGTTACGAGATAATATCGATGCCCAGAGAGGTCCATCTTGCACTGTATTGTTGAATGGAGTGACAGGTAGAAATGATTCTTGACCTGTAGTATGACGAGGAGTTGAAGTAAAGAATTCCAATGAAATCTCTAATGGGAACCCACTTGGCAAGATTCGAGTTCCTCCAAAAGAGGCACCCATCATATCAATCGACGTGATGTTTAGGATAAATGTGGTGCTTGGAAAGTCTGCCAAAGCAGCTCCATCAAAGTCAAAGTAGACCTCAAACAACGTTCCATTGGGAGATATCGAGATTGGTCGGATACTCTCCACTCTAAATGGATCTTGTGTCCTTGTTTCTGGATCACGGCCAATATCATGTACAAATTCTTTGATCAAGAAATGATAGACTCCCAGAAACCCACCAACTGTAGATGGTTTTAATCTTTGATCAAATGTTTCAATTGTATATGGTGGTAGTGGTGGAGCTTAGAAAAGAATAGAAAAGAAAAGAAAATAAAAGAAATCAAACCAATTAGTATAAAGTAAAATTGAAGTATTAATAAATCATTTATATATATATGTACATACAAACACAATTAAAAGCACCAAGATTGTATTGAAATGATTGGTCATCGATGAGAATGACATCGATGAGACCCAAGTTTAGTTCAATTTCGTAGCGATAGAATGCGTTTGGATAATTGATTGATTCATCTGGAGAGATGGTACTAAAGTCGAACAAGGCACAGTTGGGACAAGTAAAAGAAGGTATTTGCTGGTCAAAGACTATTTCAATCGATAGATCACATTGATTACGACTAGCAGCATAGGTGAACAGTGTATCTCTTCTCGATATGATATTTCTTTGTTGAGCATCTCCTACTCTCACCAACAACACCGCCACCACTACCAATATGAATAACAAATAGTTTGTTTTCATCATCATTTAGTGACTCTCTCTAATGATAATAATAATAATGTACAACTAACTATATATTAAATAAATAAAGATAATAAATAAATAAAGAGAGGAAAGAACAACAAACAAAAGAGAAGAGTACCTAGCTACCTTTCCTCATTTTTTTCTACTTTTATAAGATAGGAGAGCCACCATTATCGCAAATGGCTTTGTGAGTTGACAACAACTAACTAACTGTTGTTGTTAATATCTTCTACCACCCCACAATTATAATAGTAAATTGATATTTAAAATAACACCGATGATTGCTTGATAGATATTATGCGTGCATCGGGGCAATAAAAGGGTTGATGAAGTTAATGATCGCAACCTCCCCCATCTTGACACCAGTATCTTGATTTTTTTTTCGAAAAATATTAAAATTAAATTATGTTTTTCTCCCTTTTTTATTATTAAACACTATACACTTACACTCTACCACACATCATATAGTCAAAGAGATAAGTCAAAGAGATGAACTACGACAAACTAGGAAACAGTCGATGGTGATGTGTCGTCAATAGTTTGTTTGAATTGATTACATGTGACAGTACATTTTCTTGACAACTACAACTGGGCAGTAAGTATAGTATATACGACGATCTAAAAAATGTAAACTACGATCTATCTCTTCTATTTGTTAGCAGTCTAATTAATAATTTGAAGTGAATGCATTACATATCATAATACTAGTACATTGGTTATAACTACTATGGTTGTAGAAAAATGGTACACAAATGACCCTTATAACCGAATGACCTCCCTGTCACGATCTTCCCAAATGAGAGATCTGAGACTCATTGGGCAAAGATCTTGATTTTAATATTTGGGTTGGTTGTTTGAACCGACTCGGTTTCCATTTTTTTCGAAAACAGCAAAGGCCCAGACATGCCACCAACCACCCCCTTCCTGCACTCGTTGCCATCCTTTATTTTGAATTATTTGTTTTCAATTTTTCACAATGCAATTGGATGAAGGAATTTGGATCACTTCTTTGGGGGGATGTGGGTCACGTTCATAGTGATCTTAAAGAAACAATTTTTTGTTTTTTTTGTAACCGAATGAATATTCTCCATTGTTGGGGAGAGTTTATAGAGTAAAAATATATCTTATATCTTATAAGAAACATATACAAGAGAGATAGAGATAGAGATAGATAAGAGATAGAGATAGAGATAGAGGAGAGATATAGAAGAAAGTGAGAGAGACATAGACATTTACATTTACAAACAATTTAATTTTTTTTAAAAAAAAATGGTAGTAGAGGAAGAAGAGAAGAATCAATTCTTTTCAAATCGAATTCACCAAAGAGAAATAAATGTCACAGAAGAAGAAGAAAAAGAAGAAGAAAAAGAATACAACAAAGGAAAATATAATAATAATAATAATAATAATAATAATAATAATAATAAACAACAAAAACAACAAAAACAACAAATCATATCAATTAATAATTATTTTGGTATTTTTAAACAAGTATATCCATTTCAAAATAGGATTGAAAATTGGATTAATAATAGTAATAGTAGTAATAATAGTAATGGTAATAAAAATAATAATAATAATGCAAAACAACAAAAACAAAGAAGAGTATGGAATATAACCAAGTTTATGGTTTATTATATGGTTGTTTTGACAGCTGCCTGTTACCTATTTTTTAGTGGTTTCTTTTTAGTTCGTTTCGAGTTACCCAATAACAGTCAATGTTCAATACTTCCAACACCAGAATCATCATCTCAACACCAATCATTACTATCAGATTTCAATATACCCAATGAATGGAAATGGAGTCATTCCCAATCACAAAATGGTCAAAGGGGAAAGAGAAGCATTAGACAAATCATGTTGGATGCCATCAAGATTTAATAAAAGTATTGTAATATTGGTAGATTCACTTGGGTATAATATGGTACAACCAGTTGACAATGAAACAGCCACTAAATCAGACTTGAAAGTTTACAATCGATTAAAGTCACTTCAAAAGTTAATGGTTGAACAACCAAAAAACACATTGTTGTACAAGTTTTATTCGGATCCTCCAACCGTCACATCCCAAAGAATCAAGGGAATATCAACTGGATCGCTACCAACTTTTATTGATATTGGTGGTAGTTTTTCTGGTGAACAAATTCTAGAAGATAATTTTATTCGTCAATTGACTACAATGAGAGACAACGATGCAAAGAATCCTCGAAAAAAGATGGTCTTTATTGGTGATGATAGTTGGCATACTATGTTTCCTGGGACATTTTACAAATCACATCCAATCTCTGCCTATTTGACAAATGATTTTCATACAGTCGATCGTCATGTAATGCTTCAAACACACAAGATGCTTCCACACAGCCCTACAAACAACCAGTTTAATCCAAATGTAGATCCATTTGAATGTGCCGAGGAGCACCCTACTCCTCCTCCTACACCTGCCGTCGCAACCATTACAAATACAGCCACCATACCAGTAGCTCTTCCATCCTACGGTCACGTTCACAAACAATTTGAACCAAGACCAACCATCACCGAAATTGACAATGACTGGGACATCATCTATACACATATGTCTGGTATAGATCATGTGGGTCATATTTACGGTCCAAAATATAAAACAATGGATTATAAATTAACTCAATTTAACAAATATTTTGAAGATGTAAAGAAAAAAAGAAAAAGAAAAAAAGAAAAAAAAAAAGAAATATATATATTTATTAATTTAATTTTGTTTGTTTTTGTTTTTTAGATGATAGAAAGAATTGATAATGATACATTATTAGTTATATTTAGTGATCATGGAATGACGGAAAGAGGAGTACATTCAGGATCAAGTGATTTAGAGACTGGAGCAGCTCTATTTTTATATTCAAAGAGTCAAGTCATTAATGCTAGTATTCCATTCAACCAATTTAATACTGATCCAAATTCAGATGTAAGAGTGGTCAATCAAATCGATTTTATATCAACTTTCTCATTATTGATGGGTGTTCCTATTGGATACAATAGTTTGGGTACTGTCATACCAGAGTTATTCCTATCAATCAAGGATGAATCGACAAAAGAGAAACAAAAAGGTGGTGGAACTTCATGGACTACGTTATTGGATGCAACAAGACTATCGACATGGTCAACCAAGAGATTTGTAGACTCATACATTGAAGCTGTCCCAACATCAGAATTGGCATACAACTCTAAACAACTAGCAAAGTTAAATGAAATGTTGGAAGATTCTGAAAAACAATACACAAATTTCATAAAGATTCTATCTGAAGGTGGTCAAGTCGATGATTTGGAAGCATCTAAATTATACATGGACTATAGAAACTATCAATCTTATATTTACAAATTCTTGGTTTCAAAATGGGCTACTTTTAATGTACCCCTTATGGAAACTGGTGTATTTTGTTTGAAGATTGTTGGTCTGTCAATGTTGGTCGTACTCATTTCAACAGTCTTCTATTATTACTTTGTAAAGAATAGTTTAGATGATCAATTTGAAAAGAAAATCATCAAAGATTCAGTGTTTTCATTTAATAGTTTTTTGGCCTATTCAATGATATCAATATATACATCGATTGGACATTATTCGGGTCCATTGGAATCTGGACAAATATTACAATTTAAATTCCTATTTTTGGCTCATTTCATAGTTTGGACTAATATTGGTGTCTTGGTTACAATCATTAGAGAATATTTATTGTTATTCTTTTTTGCATTGATTACTGGTGTTACAACTATTGTTACATTTGCATTCAATATATCAGTGGCATTCACTTTATCGACTTTAATACCATTCATTAAAAGATTAATGCTCAACACTAAAAAAGATGATATTATGAAAATCAAAGCAAGTGTAACTAATTGGTTACAAGTACAACTTCATCCATTTCCAAATAGATTACTCAAAACTCTTAAAACAAAAGAATCATATAATATATTTTTGGAGATGGTATTGAAACGATCGCATGAATTACTAGTATTGGTTAAAAAAGTGGTTGAAAGTGATCTATTTAGATTCTTCATTTTCGATCCCGTTCGTATTTGGTATTTGGTATTGATTGGAATAGCGGCATTTAATATCAACTATCAAATGATTGATATTGCATTTGATGATTACCAAAAAATTGGAGAAACATTACGATCACATTACCGAAGAGCTAAGAAAATTCTTCCCAGCTTTAAAGTCGTTGGCTTATATGGCACTCATTCCTCAGTCATTACCAAATATACCATCATCATTTGATATTAATAGTATTAGTATTGGTACCTTAAAGAGTTTGTGGTTTTATGTATTGGATTGTGGTCAACAATATATTTGGTTTTATTTATTAAAGAATAGTATATTCTATGCTGGTAGAGGTGATATTAGGAAATACGAAAAATATCTATTCAACTTGGAATCAATCAACAAATCCAACTGGACAACTCTAAAATCAATCTATCAAATATCATTTAATAATTTTATAACTTGGGGTTGGATAATCCCATTCTTTTATTTCCTCTATTTCTTTTTTATTCATTGGATCAATTTAAATTGTAAAAATAATATTAATAATAATAGTAATAATAATCATACTTCACAACTCAATAATAATAATAATAATAATAATCAATATTATTATTCAAAATCAAAACATTTAATTATATTAATATGTTTGGTTATTTATTGGACACAAAATTCTATTCGACATTTAGTTGAATTTCATTGGATCGTTAGATCATACCCTGTTTGGATTATATATGGTATTGTTTTTACTTCAATTGGCAAAAATATTTATACTCTAAATTATAATAATAATAATACAAATGATACAAATAATACGAATAATACAAATAATAATAATAATAATCAACTATTACCTCAACAACATAATCAAATATTATTATTTCCTTTACAACAATCAAAACAACCATTATACCAATTTTTAAATAGATATATTCAATTTGTGACACCAATCATATTATTGTTATGTACATTACTTGGATCAGCCAATACAATTGGTTTATTTTGGATGTTGTCCGAATTGACCATTTTTGGAATATTTATGGTTAATATCAATAGACAATGGTTTAATAACAACAATAATGGTAATAGTGGTCATAGATTAAAAGTCAATTCAGTCTTTCAAGTGGTACATTGGATATTGACAGTTGGTACTCTATTTGGATCTTCACTATTCCATTTCCATACTACTGGACATGATTATGCATTAGGTCTATTACATTTCGATTGTGCATTTATTGGATTCCATAATCTAAATCAATTAAGAGGTGGCATTATGATAGTTTTAAATACCTATTCATCAACCATAATTCATTTATTATCATTACCAATATTTATTATTTGTTTTACTATTACAACAAAATCAACTTCAACACAAAATAATAATAATAATAACAAACAAGAAGAAGAAGGAAAAGTAGGAAAAGAAGGAAAAGAAGAAGAAGAAGAAGGAAAAGATAACGATAAATCATTAGTAAAAGATGAATTAAAAAACAATTATAAACAATTGGTTGTCTATTTAATGGTCATTCTATTGTACTGGAATAATATGCTAAAGGTGATGAAGTTCCTTATCATTCAAAGAGAGAATTTGTTCTTGTGGAGATTATTTGCGCCAAGATATCTATTTGATCTAGGTCAATTCTCTATTGTAGTTACTTGTTTGGTCATCACAAGTATCATAGTAACTAAAATCAAACAAAATATTATTATCTCTAAACCTCAAATAACAATAAAGAAATAATTGAATTAATATTTATTTATTTATTTATTAAATTAACATATCTGTTTATTCATTTATTAAGTTTAGACACAACAATAAAACAACCATTATACCTATTTTAGGAACAATGATACCAAATCCCATCTTTAAACCAAATATCTTTTGATTTTTTTTGCTTAATATTAAATTAAAAGAGTGAGTACTCTTCACTCCTAGCTGACTACTTTACTTTACCATGAATTGTAAATGTGATGGATGCTGGTTTGGGACAACAACAATAACAAGACATGTCAACAACAACAACAACAACAACACGAATACTTACACTACCACATCATATTGTCAAAGAGATTATAAAAGATGAACTAAGACAAACTAGGAAACGGTCGATGGTGATGGGTCTAGTCTGTCGTAAATGGTTTGAATGGATTACTGATATGTACAATAGTTATCATAATGGAAGAAGTGTATTTTCACCTGTTATTTATAACTTAAATACATCAGCATCATCATCATCCTCTACTGCTACTACTACAACTACTATAATCAAAAATGATTATTGGAGTTATTTTCCCCATCTACTTAATCCTTTTTGTATGTTAAAATCTATATTTTGTTTTAGATTAACAAACTCTTTGGATTCTTCTCAATCCTCATCTTCTTCTTTATCATCATCATCTTCTTCAACTTTAATTAATAATAATAATAATGTAAATAGTAATAATAATAATAATATTAATAATTATACAAATTCAGAATTAGAATTTGTTTATAAATGTATGTTTGAAAGATTATGTCAAATTGAAGTAATGAATTTACATGAATCTATGAATATACAAGCACAAAGAATGGTTAATACAATGGCGAAATACCACCAAACACAGACATTGTCATTGTCGATACAGTCGTGTCCTACATCCATGACATTCCAAGAGGTCGTTGTACCACTACGTAGATTTCTTCGTACGTTGTGGGTATCACTAGACTCTATTACTATCAATGAAGCAAAGATCATTGGTTCGTTTATTCGAGAGTGTCCACACATGGAAGAGAAAACATTGATTGCTGGAGGTGTACTTAATTTGGATCAACAAGGTGGTGGACAACAACAACCACACAGTATATTGACTCAATTCATAGAATCAATTGGTTTACATACTACAATCAACCTATTCTCATTCGACATTAGATACGGTGATTTTGAAGTACAAGCACCTAGATTTGCACATTTTCCAAACCTTAAATACCTGACTGTCACTAAAACAGCTGGGTGGTCTCGACAACAATTAGAACAACTGTCAGTTAGCTGTCCATCTATATCCTATCTTGGAAGCAGGGATCTCTCGGTTGAAGTACTACCAGTGCTTTCAAAACTGCCATGTCTCAGCACGATTGGTTTGTTCCTGCCACACTCATCACCCATCTACCAACAACTCCAACTTCAACCAAACTCTATACAGTTACCGGCCAACTTGGATCGTCTTGAAGTATTGGTAGAAACACAAGAACATATATCTAGCTTTTTCAAATCATTTAGTCATCGACCACTTGATAATCCCCATACATCATTGACACACCTAGAGATTCGTGCCGTCGAGTTGAATGAATTGGTGCCAACAGTAGATCTAGGTGATCTCAGTATCTTTGTCAATTTCTGTACCAAACTAAAGACACTCAAAATACATGGATACTTTCACCAAAGAATCTCTGGTATGGAACGTCTCTACCAATCACTCCATCAAAACCAATCATTGGAGCACCTCATCATCGATTTCCCGTGTTCATCCGTCGAAGAAGTATTGGAACTATTCGAATTGCTCACTGTCAACAACTGTATCAGTCGACTAACATGTATGAAAACAACAGCGCTTACCAAACAGATACAAGAACTAAATCCATCATCACACATCCTACACCAACAATACAAAATATCATCTACTCATTCAAGTCATTTCTTTGTTCGAAAGATTATAAATAAATAATTAAAAGAATATATATATATTATTAACAAAGAAAATACTACTACTATTGTTTGTTTGTTTAAATGATATTGCATGATGACTGATTGATGATGATGATGAAGGTAATTATATTTATTATTGAGCTAGGTTGAACTTAAGTTTTATGTACCTGGTCAGTTCTCTTTCTCTTTAAAAAGTAATGTGTTTTAGTTTTCGTGCATATCATCTGTCTGTCTCTGCAGAGCACTCTCTCTCTACTCGTTGTTCAAAGAAGAGAGCTTGGTTCTGCAACATTACTTCCTTTTTTGTTGCAGTTGAACCCTCCCCACCTCAAAATTAAAATTGAATTTAATTTTTTGTTGTTGTTGTTTGAGTTGGAGTGGAGTGAGTACTGTTATTAATCTTCGGGAGATCAGACGTTGTTGTTGTTACATTATATAATATACACATATACTAGTAGTTTTTTTTTTTGTTCGTGCGTGCGTGTATTTATAAATATTATTATTATCATATATTTATTGTATATTTTTTTGTGTTTGTGTATAGTTAGTTGTGCAGTTAGTTTTAAGTTTTATCATTTTTCTCAAACCATCAACAAAATATTAATATTAATATATACACCAAAGATAGAGAGAGAGAAACTTTCACAAGTCTATATAATATACACACAATAGAGAATAGAGCGATAGCACATATCGAGACAGAGAGAGAGAGAAGAGAGAGAGTTGTAGTCAGTAGTAAACCAAACCAACTAACTTGGACAGTTACAAAAGGATGGGTAATTCAGCTAGTAAAAGAGGTGGTGATCAAGACACCAAATTTACTTTAGTCACTGGTATTTACAAGGACTGTGATTGGGATCCAAAGGTTATTAGAAAACTAGTACTCGATAAGAAGATATCTCCTTTATATCCTGGTGTAGATACAGAAGCTCCTTCATTAGAGGAATGTCCTATATGTCTATTGGTATGCAGCGGTTGAACAACAAGTACATTACAGTATAATCACTCATCACTAATCATCCTTTTTTTCTCTAAAACTTTAAGTTCTTCCCATGTTTGAATCGATCAAAGTGTTGTAAAAAAGGTATTTGTACAGAATGTTATTTACAAATTAAGAAACCAATGGCAGAGTTGAGTACTATATTGTAAGTTAAAAGAGAGAGAGAGAGAGAAAAAGTAGTATTGATATTAATATTTAATATTTTGTTAGATGCCCATTTTGTAATCATTCATCTTATGGTGTAGTATATACTGGACCATTATCACAAGAGGAAGTACAAAAAGATGAGATTGAAAAGGCAAAAGTGTTAGAGTTGACGATTCAAATGAAAAAAGAGGAGAATGAAAAGGCCAAGGTAGGAGGGTTTTCTCCGCCAAAGACATTGGTTCCACCTCCTATCGTCTACTCTCCACCACCTCCTCCACGAAACATACCACCTTCACGCAACACTAGATCGTCTTCTCAATCACATTCACAAAACTCTTCTTTCCAAGATATGATCTACTCTGGATCCTACTCTGAGAAAGAGGTTGAGGAACTTATGGTTTTAGAGGCAATTAGATTATCTCTTCAACAACAAACTCCACCACCACCATTCCCAACTACGACCGCATCAACCTCCCCTTCCTCCTCTATTGCTCCTACTAATACTGATAATAGTAGTAGTAATCATATCAACAATGGTAATGATGATACTACCACAACAACTACAACCACCACCTCAACTAATAACAACAACAACAATGTAAATAAGAATGAACAAGATGAAGAATTTTTAGATGAAATTGAAGATCTAGAAATGAAACTCTCAAATATAGAAATTGAAATTGATCAAATGGATGAAAAGAAAGTTGACCAACAACAACAACAAGTGGAACAAGTAAAAGAAGAGGATAAAGAAAAAGAAGAAGAAGAGGTAGAAGAGGAAACTTCAACAACAAATACAACCATACCATTACCAAAACCAATAGATAGTCAAGTTGAAAATACTCAAGCAATTGGAAAACAAGAAGAAGAAGAAAAAAAGAGTAAAAAGAACTTTTTTGCAGAAGATGAAGACTTTTCATTTAATGTATCAACTGATGCTTTAAAGAAAATCTCTGGTACTGGTGACAATCATAATAATAATAATATGAATAATAATAATGTAAATAGTGAACTTGTTAACAAATCCGATAACAATAAGTGTAATAATAATGTATCCAATAATAATAATAATAATAATAATAGTATATTTGAAGATGATGATAGTTATAATATATCAATCAAATCACCATCCAAGACGGTTCAAACCCTAACCACTGTTTCTACAACTGTTTCCACTTCTACGACCACGACCACCACTACGACCACCTCTACCACAACTACTACAACCACTTTGGGTGACCAAGAAGCTTTACTCGCTATCACCTCACCACTTGCGACTGGCAAGGAACCAATCACATCTACCAATACTGGTGGTGCTACTCCCAGCAGCAACAGCAATCTTTCATTGGGGTTGATTACAGGTGGCGATGACAATCAGAGTCTCTACCACTCGAATTGTGCAACCGTCTCGACTAGTATACTAGACGATCACAGTAACATAGATGTAGAGTTGCGTAGTGAAGGGTCGATATTTAGTCGCGAGGAAATGACAAGTCAAGACGAATACTTTTTGGAGCGAGAAGAGGACACTGACCCCATGAACTTGGGAGGGCAGGGTGTCTCGGGTGCTACCCCCTCTGGCTTCTCTCTCTTTGATGAGAAGCTTCACAGATCACTTTACAACCTCTCTCACTCGAGACAGTCCTCTACCAACAGCAACGCTTCTGACCTCTTGTCAACAAAGTCACACCTCAAGAGCAAGAGTAACAGCAAATTGGGTGGATCATTCTACAAACAGAGCAAACAAGAGAGCACAAGCGATACCATCAGCGTACACTCTTGTTCAGACGATGGAATTGGATCAAGTGGGAATTCTTTGATTATCAACTCTATGATGGTGATTGGTGCAAGTGGTAATAATACATCATCACCATCTGTTCCCAACAAAGAAACACCTCTTACTACAGCAGTCAAATTGGCAAAGACCAATAATAGTAATATGAATATGAATATGAATGAAAGATTGATCGCTTCTTCATCTGAAGATTCGATTCAAATGGAAACATCTTCAATCAACTCTATGGCTACCACGGCAATCAAGACAGACGATCTAACTACATCATCAGATCTTTTTTTAAATAATATTCAAAACGAACCAGAAGAAATCAAAGAGGAAGAGGAAGAGGATACAGAGGACAGGGAGCAAGTGGAAGAGGTTGGACAACAAGGCATTAATAATAATAATAATAGTAATAGCGAATTAGAACAACAACAACAACAAGAGGAACAAGACAATGAAGATATTCTAAACAAGAATGAATTTTCAACTCAACCTTATTTAGTTAATAATACAACCTTGTCAAATTCCTTAAATATTTCAAATGATTGGTAAGAGAGACAGAGAGAATCAATTCATTTCCATACATACACACAAGTGATATTTTAAGAACAACAAAAAAAAAGAAGATAGAATCCTTCATTTTTGAATAATAATAATAATAATAATAATCTACAGTACTCATTAAACCAAATTTTACCAACAACAATAACAATCAAGTTTATGTAAATCTTCTTCTTTTTTAAAAATGGATAATTTTAATACAATGCCATTTATAATTAATTAAAACACAACACAACAACAACAACAACAACAAAGCATATATCGTTCTCATATTTCATTATCATAATAATAATAATAATAATAACTTAAATAAATTTTAGAATATATCTATGGACAAGAATATATTTAAAATATTATTCTTTTATTTATTTATTTACAAATGGTGTTTGGTTTTGATTTTGATTTTAATTTTGATTTAAATATTTATATATTTTATATTATTGGTTGTTGAACTTTAGGATTATCAAGATAATTAATATTTACAACGATTAAATGGTGTTGATGATTGGGAGGTGATTTTGATTCTACAGTTACCAAATTATCAATGTTTGTAAATGGTGTAATATCTTGTATGATGAGACTATGTCCATTTAATAGTTTACACTCGATATAGGTACCTTCCATACCTTCGTAATGAATTTTAACATCACCTCCAAACGAATAAAATACCATCGACGATGATTTATATGGACCTGATGGCATCATTGATATACGATGTGATGTCTTGATGGCCGATGGTTGTTGTGGGATAGGATTGAGTGTTTGTTCACCAAATTCATAGACGACACAACTGTGGTCGCACACAGAGTCGCGTGTAAATACGTTAAAGTCATGTGCCTCGTCTTTGGGGTGTGGCTGCACAATGATTGGGATACGAGGATGATGTGGAATCACTGGAGAGTTGACTCCATCATCTTCAATGTTGTTGAAATTACTTGCACTCTCGGTTTGTGCAAATGATGATATCACTGGTGTTTGTTGGCTGTGTAGACCAGCCGGTGACAACATGGTCGGTGTTTGTGATGGAGTAAAACTATTGGTAAATGATCCTTGTGACATTGAAGGAGACACTGACAAACTTGAAAAGCTTGAATTAAATGGTATACCAGAAGTAGCAGCAGGACATTGACTTTGAAAGATAGAATCGGTATCCCAGCCTCCATTAAACGTGTATGGTCGAAAATAATTTAATTGTACACATATATTTGGTTGTTGTTGATGAAACAATGCAATCTTTGTTCCTTTTAGTAAGATCAATGTTCGAGTATACCCTTCAAATGCTGAAAATGGTCCAACTTGTTGAATCACAGCTTTAGAAAAAAAAAAAATGAGATGAGAACTATTGTATCAATATATTGATTATATTATATTATACAACCAGCACGTCATCATTCATTATACATACCTGAACTAACTCTCCATTCAAAAGGGTCTTGAACAGACATTCCTTGAGGTTCAACATGAATTTGTGTAGATTTGCCTTTTCCATTCTTCCACACTACCAAGTTGTAAGAATTGATTTCCTTTACAATCCACTTCATTTTATTGATTGATACTACAAATCTACTAATCTACTAATCTACTGCTACTACTACTACTAGTTATTGTAAATGTTGCTTTGAATGAAATATTAAAATATTATTGATTTTCAAGTTTATTCATCAAACTGTAACTGTGCTGTGAAGATAACTAATCTAAAAGTGGAGTGGTCGTGGTTAGGGTTATTTTTTTGAAAAGGGTAAAATATGAATATTAAATTTAAATTAAATACATCGGACCATGTTTGGATGTTGGATATCCAAACACCATGACTAGGCCATATATATCCAAGACGTTAAGTCATTCTCATCCTGGTTGATACATTTAATTTAATTTACCAACAACTATCGTAATTAAAAGGGGTGGTGGTGGAGTACTTACAACCTATTGAAATTAACCTAACCAGGGCGCCTCTCTCAGAGAGAGAATCATATTATCTCTTATTATCGTCTAATAATTATAAATAATACAAGACTATAGGATTCTCTCTGTGAAGATACTCTTTGTTCACTTTTTTTGTTCCCTACAGGTCTATATGCTAAGGGTGAATGACTCTAGTCTAAAGTTAGGGGTATAGTTGAATAAAAGGTATGTGTGTAAACGAGTATTAGTCTGTTTGATAAAAGTCTATGTTCAGATGTATTAATAAATGATAAGCTTTGCGGATTCGTTTGATATGTAATCTTCTGTTGAGAAACGTGACCATCAGTCAGATTACCCTTTGTCTTTTTGGAAACATTGCTATTGAGTCAAGGTTGAGCTAAATAAACTTGAAGAATTTTCTTTATGTTCGTTGGTTGGTTATGATTACGACTACTAATAGATAATAATGATATGACTTATACAACCTTGATGATGATGAGATGATGATAGTTCACGAATGGTGAGTTGGTTCACTTCCCTCCCTTTTTTTTTTAATTTTATTAATCTTGGTTTCATTTGATTTGTCCCATTTATATATATTTATATATATGCCGATCGAGCATAGATAGATATAGATATAGAATAGAAGATGCCACCTAAAGCAACACCAAAAAAGAAGACTAAAACTGAAGAGAAGGAATCAGGAGGAGGAGGATCAGATACTCCGGCCTTGCCAACCAAACGAACAGCTCTCAAAACAAAAGCTAAAAAGAAAGATGAAGCAGTTGCAACAGACACACAACAAACCAATATCCTTTCATTCTTTTCTTTAAAGAAGAAACCTGATGAAGTCGTTAACAATGATGATGATGATGATGTTAACATCAAGAAAGAACCAACTCTAGAAAAAGAAAAAGAAAAAGAAAAGGAAAAGGAAAAGGAAGATACTAGTACTACTACAACAACTAAAGCAACTAAAACAACTAAAACAACTAAAACAACTAAAACAACTAAAACAACTAAAACAACTAAAGCAACGAAAACAACGAAAACAACAACACCAACAAAAACTATTGGAAAGAGAAAATCAAGAGATCAAGATAATGATCAACAAGAAGAAGAAGAAGAAGAAGAAGAAGTAGAAGTAGAAGTAGAAGATGATAAAGAACCAAAAGATATGGATGTGGATGATAGTAGTTCAACAACTACTTCTAAAACAAATATTAAACCATTGGCAAAGAAACCAGCGGCTAAATCACCAAAAAGAGTAACATCGTATCAAGCCACTGAACAAGTGGTTGACAGAGGACCTGGAAAACGACAAATCAAACAAGGTGGTTTAATGGCCTTGTTTAGAGCTGTACAAGATCAAAAGAAAAAAGATGATCGTGATAGTAGCAGTGGTAGTGACAGTGGTTCATCTGAATCTGGTGAAGACTATGAAACAGAATCTGACAATGACGATCATGTAGACACTGAATCAGAAGAAGATGATGATAAAAAAAAGAAAAAAAAGGTTGTAGACTCTTCTGCGTCCTCTTCAGAGGAGGAGGAAGATGATGATACAGATATGCAAGAAGATGAAGAGGAGGAAGAAGAATATAACCCAAGATCAAGGTCAAAGAAACCAGCAACACCTAAAAAACCAACACCAAAGAAATCGGCAAAATCAACACCCAAGAAACCAACACCAAGAAAACCATCAAAAGCAACATCTAAACGCGAAAGCTATCGAAGAAAGACTCCAAGAGTTGGACCTATTCAATTGGCATCGGACCCTCAATACACTGATGAAACTATTAGACTATTGGAAGAACATCTACCCACATTTACATTGATTGAAAACTTCCAAGACTATCTTCAAACAGATACCGAGTCTATCGAAATGCGATACGATGCCAAAAAAAAAGAAGAATCCTTTAAATTACAAAGATTCGAATCAACTTTGAATACAGTGTCTGATGGAGAGGAAATTTTAATGTTTTGTGGTGGTTCCATTAGAGCAATGGAATGGTGTCCATTACCAAATAATTCTAGTACGTGTTAACAAAAAGAAAAGAAAAAAATATATTTATTTATTTATTTATTTATTTTATTTTATATTTTTTTAAAGAAATGCAATATTTAGCGGTAGCATGTAATAGAAATGTTAGATATTCACATTTATATATAAAATTACATCAAGGTAAATCAATGATACAGGTGTGGGAATTTAATACTGAGGAAGAGGATAGTATTCCAACACTTTTATTTGGGTTAGCACATAATGGAGAGGTTGTTATCAGTATGAAATGGATTCCAAATGGTTGTTTATCACATAAATCAAAAATAGATAGATTGGGTATTTTGGTGGTTGCTTTTGGTGATGCAACTGTAAAGGCATATAGTATTCCTCCTCCATCTGAAATTAAAAAGTTGAAACAGAATCCAATCGTTTTAGATATCAAACCATTCTATGATGTCAGTGTAACAAGATTTGATCAAAAAGTTAATCTAATCACTAGTATGGATGTAACAATTAAAGATGCAAATATTTTAATCTTGATTGGTTGTATAAATGGTAAATAATAATAATAATAGTGAAATCTTGAATCTATATGATCATATACATACATACATATTTATTAACTTTATTCTTTTTATTGATTTAGGATTAATTTTAATTTTTGATCTTCAAAATCTAAATATGAATCCAATCTTTGCAAAAATGACTGATAAATATGTTATCGATCTTACATGGTGCCCTCATGATAGTTTTAAATTTACATCTTTGCATATGAATTCAAGATACCTTTGGGATAGACGTGAACTATTACCAGTCACTGAAAAGGAAATCAACAATTATACATTTTCCAACAAGTTGTTGTGGCCCTCTACCAAATTCCCAATGATTCTCGTCGCCGAAGATGATTTCCTAAGAATCAACCATGCTTTTAAAATGCCAACCATTGGTGTCAAAGTGAGTGATTTCCAAATCCTCGATGTAGATTATTCACAAAATGGTTTGGTTGCAGTATCAACTACAAATGGTGAAGTTTTGGCTTATTATTTAAATTTTTTTAGAAGAGATTATACTGTAAGAAAAATAGAAAAAGAAAATAGATAATTTATATTTATTGATATATACTTTTTTTTTTTTTTTTGAATCAATATAGTCAGAACCACTCATTCATTTAAAAGAACAAACATTAAAAGATAATATTTTAGAATTATCTCGTGATACTTATACAACCGATTTTCCATTAGAATATGAAGCTCCGGCATTTAGAACTGGAACTGGTCTTTCTCAACTCAAACAAGTCCATCAATTGGACTTCCCATCGACCGATCTTGCAGTCACTAAACTTTCATGGAACAAGAATGAAAATGCAAGTAGGTGGTTAGCATCTGGTAGTAAACTTGGAATCGTTCGAGTCCGTTTAATTGATCAACAATAAAATTGAATCAATATAATGAGATTAATTAATTTATAACCTACATCAAGATTTGTTTTTGTTTTTTTTTTTTTTGAACAACCACCAAAACGGGTAATTTAAATTATTTGATTCATTCATTATTGTCTTGATGTTAATCAGATTTTAAGATTAGATAGATAGATAGATATATTTTAGATGAGTGAACAAGTATTGGAAGTAGTCACTCTTATATGGTCAAAAGGATATATAGATAATCGAGATGTACAACATTTCATCAAATCAAATAGATCAATCTATGTAGATTGTATTAGGAATAATACATTGTATAGGACTATATCAAAACTATATCTGTTGAAATATATTACATTGTTGTGTAGATTAAAGTTAATACCTTCAATCTATACCAATAATAACAACAATCAAATTAAAGCAAGATCATTACTACCACTACCATTTGTACATAATGCACAGATCATTCAATTCATTCAACAACAACAACAACAGACACCGTTTGCCGAAACACCAAAGATTGCTCATCAACTGGGTGAATTGATCGAGATTATCGATTGTTACATACCGTCGCACAGCGATCTATTAAACTCTCTTTCTCACAATGAATTGTACACCTCACTATTGCAATCATCGATTGTTACCGGTACAAATAGTAGTGGAAAGAGACATAGTAGTCGTGAAGTATACCATCAACTATCATTTATTGATAGATTACAATCTTATTTAATCTTACAACCCAATCAACCAAATCAACAACCAAATCAACAACAACAACAAAATCATTCAAACTATTTAAATGTATTATCATTAATATTAAAGGTTATGTATACATTTCAATCTTTAAACCTATTTAAAACAACAAATATACCTCAACAATCAACCAATAGTTTAAAATTATCAAATCAAGCAATTGTTCAATTTCAAAACCAATTACCAACACTTGATGCTTCTGTAATCCTTCAACTCTTGCAAATAGCTCCGTGTTGTAATGGAGAGATTTCACCTATTCCTTTGATGACGGCGGTCAGTCGAGGAAACGCCATGGCACTTAAACTATTGCTCTCCATCCCCAACATGTACCATATTCATAGTAAAGTGGCTGGTTCACAAAGAAATGCATTGTTCTATGCCAGTAATAGAGAGGTGACACTCTACTTGTTACAACAACGTGTTAAAACAGATCAACCAGATGTCTATGGAATGCTGCCAATACATCAAAAAGCATCGACTGGCACAATCGACGTTATCAAGTGTCTGTTGGACGACACAACCATCAACACTCAAGATTTGGCACAGAATACACCTCTTCATTGGGCATCTTTAAAAGGACATTTACCAGCTGTTAAACTTCTCATTAGTTCAGGTGCAAGAAATAATATTGTCAATGCTCAAGGTCGATTCCCTATTCACAACTCTGCACTTGAAGGACACTTGGAAATGGTCAAATACTATATAGATTTCTATAGTCGATCTTCTTTGAGAGGGTCAATGAAAGCAACATCTATTCAATTGCCAGACAAGGAATACAACACACCTATCGATCTATCAGTACTACATAACCATTTTGCATGTACCTTTGAAATGCTTCGTTATGAAGGTGTCATTGTTCCAAGCTCGGAAATCGATCTTTCACATGCCAGTCGTATTGGATCTGGTGCTTTTGCTGATGTCTATCAAATTCGTTGGAGAGATAGATTGGTAGCCGTTAAAAAAGTAAAATATCAAAAATTAATTGAATCTGGTAAATCAGATCATTGGATTATTTCAAAATTCATTTTAGAAGTTGCGTTAATGGTGTAAGTCAAAAAAAAGAAAAAGAAAAAGAAAAATAAGAAATATTGATATATTTATTAATTTTTCTTTCTGTTTTTTAGAAAATTATCACATCTTCAAAGTTTTGTAAAATTATATGGTACAGTTATAGAACAAAATGAATTAATGTTGGTTTTAGAATATTGTACACATGGTAGTTTATATAATATATTAAATAGTATTGGTAATGATCAAATTATAAGTTCATTACCTTCAATCAATATATTGGCTCAAAGTTTAGCAAATGGAATGGCCTATCTACATGGTTTATCACCTCAAATCATTCATAGAGATTTAACATCTCAAAATATTTTATTGGATTCTTCTGGTTCTGCAAAGGTAACAAACAAAAACAAAAGGATCATTTGTTCTTGCTTATACTTTTTTTTCTTTTTATTTTATTTAGATTGCAGATTTTGGAATATCAAGATTTAAAAATGAAATTGGTGATAAAACAATGACATCTATTGGAAATCCAAGATGGAGAGCACCAGAAGTAACAAAGGGACAGAAATATAGTGAAAAGGTAGATGTTTTTGGATTTGGTATGATTCTCTATGAAATGTTTACAAGACGATATCCATTCCACGAATTTGAAGCCATTCAAGCTTCATTTAAAATAGCTGGTGGTGAAAGACCAGTTGTTCCACCCTATGTTGACAGTAGGTGGTCCAAACTCATACAAAGATGCTGGGATCACACTCCCTCGAATCGTCCATCATTCCTTGAAGTCACCACTATCCTCCAACAACTACCTATTGCCAACATCAAACTATTTAGCGATCCTGTAATGTCATTTTTTGGTTCAACCACTACAAATACAATAGCAACAAATACAACAGATATACCAATGTCAGAAACATCTGATGGATCTTATGAAATAGACTAAAAAGGTAGATATAATAAATAATAAATTGATTGATTGATTTATGTATAGAATAATTGTATGATTTAGTTGAATAAAAGATTTTTTCTAGACTCGATGACTTCATTGTCTTTGGTAGATATAACCAACTCTACAAAAACTAATATGGCACATAAACCTTCCAAAGTAAAGCTGGCAATATTGATTGGAATTGCATAGGGATGGTCAGAATCTGATGACGATGAGCTTTTTGTCGTAAGCATGTCAGTGTAGCCTCGACTCCAAATGATTGATTGGAGAATAACAAAACCAACAAAGCAAATACTACTAGCGGCAGTTAGAAAAAGTCTGGCAACAGTAGACAGTGTTCTTGGCTTGCTATTTTGACCAATAGAAAGAGCAAGGAACTTTATAATCGGTGATATAAAGAATAGATACCCAGCTGCAGTACCATGAATAGCAATCAAAAATAAGTTATCTCTACCTCCATTAAAGGAAGCAGTAGGAATCAATCCTATTACTATGATAGAAATATAACAAGATGAATTAATTGCTTGTAACCATGATCTACTATATCTAACTGTATCACTTTTAATAAAACATATTCCTTTTAAAAATAATTAGTATGAAAGAAAAAGAAAGTACTATCGGTTTAGTTACCTGCTGATAGTAGAGAAGCAAAGAAAATTCTACCCGATGCTTGATTAAAATTACTATTTAGAGTAGAAATGGTTGATGGAAACTCTACCCAATCTCGATTTAAACTTCCAGAACATATGGACAAAATAACTCCCAATATGCCACACACAACTGCCAATACTTCATATTGATAGGGTGCAGAATTATTTACAAATGTCACAAACCTATCCAACCTGGTTGTGCGGGTACTAGTTTCCAAACTTGTAATGGTAGTTGTTTCTATTACTTTTTGATCGTCCTCATCGTAGGATCTTGTAATTTTAGTGTTGCTACTACTGCTACTACTACTTTCATCAATCATGATGTTTCAAAGGTATATAAACCTATAATTTTATAAAAATAATATAAATATAAATAGTAATTAAATTGTTAAACTTACTTTTTCAACTCTCTCTTTTAACAGAGAGAGGTTAATTTATAATTATAAATTTAATAAATTAGCTGTTAATATTATTATTAATCATCATCCCCCTTTCATTCCATTAAAAAATGATCTAATCCTTAATCTATAAAATGGAATGAATATATATATTTGTTTTCCAAAAAGTAGATCCATCATCATATGTTAATGAGAACAAAGGTGGTGTCAATTCCAAATGATAAATATATATAAGTTGTTTGCTCTGAGAATAAATGTCTTGTTTCCTTGGAACATCTATCTATCTTGTTTTTTTTATATTATAACCAAAACATTTATTATACTTTTTAAACTTGTTCAACTTGACTTAATGGTTCTTGTAAATATTCACGTAATTTGGTAGCCTATAAATGATTGATTGAATGTGTTTAGTACAACAGTTAAAAGGCTATAGATAGATCACTATACTCTCTGTTTTCTCTCTATCTTTTTTTTTTACCTTTGTCTTTAATAAACCAAATTCAACGGTAGGTTCAGCATATATACATAACAATAATTTAGCAACCTTTGTGATAACGAGTCTTCCTTCTTCGCAATCAACGAGTTGGTATTGGAGTTCGTCGTTTCTGTTGTATGATGTCCAAATGCTAGATGAAATAGCTGATACAATCTTTGCTGTGTTATGATCATTAGAGTCTGAGCATGCAATCAATGAACCATCTTCTTTCATTAATCTATATATTTATATAGATAGATAGATAGTAGAGTTGAAAGATTCAATTAGAGGGGAATGTTTCCTTTCGACTGTAATTCGAAGATGATGAAATGTATGTGTATCTATCTTTCTATCTTTATTCGTTCTAGTGTTTGACACCTACAATACACCCTTAACATCGTTGCTATTTGAGGCTTGTTGTAAAACTTGTGGAATAACTTTAGATCTTAACATTCTTTCTTTTTCTTTCTTTGTATATATATATAAAACAAGACGATATTTATCACTAATATTAAAGAATCCAATCGAATAGTCTTCCTCAAGAATGAAATTTTTCTATTTTTTTTTTTTTTTATAATATTTATTTTTTTGATTAATATTAATAATATAATCTCTGGTCTATCTATCTATAAATAGACCATAATGCAATTCTTCCATCTTTACCAGCTGATGCCAAAACATTGTCACTACTAAAGTCTATTGTGTAGATACTTTCAGTGTGATTCCTGAGTATGGCCAATGGACAATGTTTACGGAAACTAAATATACGAACTCTTTTATCCCATCCCGCTGTTGCAAATATTCTACCATCTCCTCTTATCTTTACATCTGCTATTCCATTATGATTAATTACATGTTTTTGTACAATATCAAAATTTCTCTAAATAAATCAAATATATATAAAATATTAATAATTAATAAATGGATCTAGAATTATATTATATAAATCTACATACTGATTCGAAATTTGATTTAAATTCAATGATACTTGTATCACCTGATCCAGATACACCAGAATCACTTTGAATGTCAAATGATAGTAATGGCTCTTGGTGTAGTTTGGGTGTTGCTATGATTGGTTGCTCTAGGTTTCTCGAGTCCCACATATAAAGTCCACCATTTTCAAATCCAGCATATAAATTAAAATAACCATGATCAATGTGATTGACCATTTTCATACTCATCGCCATTCCAAGTTTATCTGAATCACTACTTCCATTTACTTTTGCAACCATTGTCTTTGAACCTAGATCCCATATTTCAACTTGTCCTCCAACTTCATCTGATGATATTGATATTAAATTATTTTGATCATTAACACTACTATTATTTATACTTAATCTATCTAAATTAGGTATATTATTATCTACATTATTATTATTATTATTATTATTGAATATTGGTAGAGCAGTAATCATTGAAGTGAATTTGCCAAGAGATATTGAATTTGTTTCCAATGATGATACAAGTTGTAAAGATGATTCTGCGATTGTCCATTGTCGTATCGTTCCATCACGCCCTTGACTAAGTAGTGTATTAAAGTGTGTTGATTGTAATGCCAATGTACCACCTTCAGGATGTGCACGTGCTACTTGAGCAACACACTTCTTTTCTTCTATATTCCAACATCTTAATTCTCCATCACCTGATCTAATATATAGATATTAATTAGTATCTATCTATCTATCTATCTATCTATCTATCTATCTATCTATCTATCTATCTATCTATCTATCTATCTATCTATCTATCTATCTATCTATCTATCTATCTATCTATCTATCTATCTATCTATCTATCTATCTATCTATCTATCTATTTCAACGGTATAAATATTCAGTGTAGCATACCCAGAGAATAATAGATTACTATTTGACCGATCAAAAACGATCGAGTTGATGAATGATCTGTGACCCCTCAGTACAAAGAAAGGATCAGGTGCAGTCTCTGTATCCAGTGTAGGTGAAACTGACATTATCGATCTTAAAGATTAATTATATGGTTATTATGTTTAATGATAATTATATCGACCGACCTACCTACTAAACCAAACCACAAATTAAAATATTAATTTAAAAATAATCATACCGTGATCCATTTCTCAAACCCACTCCACTCCTTGTTGGTTGGGTATCTATTTTTAATTCATTGTATTTGTATGTGTTTGAAAGGCATATCTATAGATAAGATGCCAATTTATCAAAGATGGGTTTGGTACAATCACTTGTTTCATGTCAGCCACCAACCTTTAAGATTGTAATGATGGGAATGTATATGGTAGGCAAAACAACCATCTTGTATAGATTAAAAGATAACAAGACTTCCTCTCTGAAAGATACTCCCTATACAAATCCTTCACTTGGTTTTAATGTTGAAACTATAAAGTATGTCATTCAATATATATATATCTATCAATATTGTTGTCTTTGTATTAATACTTTTTGTTTGGGTATTTATTTATTTAGAGTAAACAAATCACTTCATTTGTATATATGGGATGTTTCTTCGTTGAGTGCAATCACAAAAATTGTATGTACATTCAATTATCTATAGATACTTACAGATCAAACATAGTGATTGTTTTAGAATTCTCTCTAACCTTTTTTATTTGTTTATTTAATTAAAGAGATATCAAATATTTCCAGGATGTAGAGGGATTATATATGTTTTGGAATCAACAATACTTGAAGATTCAGAGAAACTGACAGAGACTAGAGAGGATTTATTATCAATTGTTAAAGATGCTGAATTGGATGGACAACCATTACTAATTCTTGTAAACAAGATGGATATGGATAAATCATCCAACATTATTGATCGTATCACTACTTATTTTAATTTTAATGAAATGATTAAAAATGGAAGAGCATGGTCAATCTTTCCAATTACAGCAACCACTGGACAAGGTCTAAATGAAGCAATTCATTGGTTAGATAATCAATTAACAAATAGTATAAATGGAACTAAATCAAATCATTAAAACAAGATATTGGATACTATAGTATGGATTGTATTTTTTTTTTAAAAAAAGGTGTAAATATTATATATATAATTATTTATGTATTATTTATTTATTATGTTTATTGAATTAAACATTTTGGTTTTAAACCATGACTATGTTTAGCTTGAGCAAGTTTTTGATTTTCTTTATAGGCTTGTACACGTTGTTTGTAACCAACGGGATCGATCTTTTGCATGAGTAGATCCTCCAAGACAAAGATGGTTTCAGGGTTCTTGACAAAGATTTTGGTTTTGCCCTCTTCGAATTCGTCGGCTGGAATGTCTTTGGTGACACGCATGAGGGCTTCGACAAACTCGGGGACACCGCGGGGTGGCTGGTCAAAGATCTTGCCGAAACGGTCGAGGAACACGTTTTTGTAGTGACGGTAGGCGAAACCGGAACGCTTGACCTTGACGTTTTCGAGGAGACCGAGGTACTTGACTTGATGCTCGACACGCGACGATACAAAGGACATGGCCTGTTTCTTGTCGTTGGGCTTGATGCAACGGATGTAATGGGGTGTGCACGACGAGAGACGCTGGACGAGGTAGTTGGCAGACTGACGAATCTTGAATGATGCGGTGGTGGGTGCCTGCTTGTTGTCCATCATGTCCTCGGGGAAGAGACCGGCGATAAACGAGTAGGTGGAAGACTGCAAACAACATACGATCGATGCATACAGATTATCGTTGTTTTTGAAACAAAACTCTTCGATCGAGTAGGTGACGTCACCGGCATAATGCTTGATGGTGAACTCGTCGGCCGAAGAGCCCGTGTTGGAGACGACAAAGTGTGGATGCTGGATTTGGTGGATCAACTTTTCGATAAACTTGGTGTCGGCGGTGGCCGAGTCGACGGCATGCACCGTCTTGCAGACATCATCCAACACACGCATGATACCGGGTGGCTTGTTGCCCTCGATGAGGTCGCACACAATCTTGTTGTCGAAAAACGAGATGTCCTTCCATTTGACGCCCTCCTCGTGGTACTCGCGCTGCTCGCCACGAACGGTGAGGTCGATAAAGATCTGTTGGAGACGTTCGTTGACATAGTTGATGCAGAACTGCTCAAAACTGTTGCGCTCAAACACTTCAAAGCCGTAAATGTCGAGCACACCAATCACCTTGGCCGTGCCGTGGTACTGCATGGCCGAGTTGATACGCGTGACGATAAACTCAAAGATACGGTCGTACAGCGTCTTGGCAAGCGCGTCACGCAGGCCGGCTGCCTGGTCGGGGTTCTGTGGCACCGAGTACTGTGTGTGACGCACCGATCCCGACTGGATCTGACGATGGTTGAGCGACTGTCCGAGGAACTGGGGGTCGACACCCAGCAGGGTAGCTGCCCACTGGAGTGGGTTGGTGTCGATGACCTCGGCGGGTGGCTCTCCCTGGAACCGGATGTTACCAACGTGCAGGATAGCAGCCAACATACGGAAGATCTCGGTCTGCTCCTCGCGCGATATGCCAACTGTCTCCATGGCCTTGCACACGTCGCGGAACTCGGCGCCGTCGTCCACATCCTCGATGGTGGTGCACTTGCTCTGCGACAGGTAGTAAAAGGCGCTCGAGTCGGTCAACCCCCACTCGCTCTTGGTAGCCTGGTCCAGGCCGGCCAACAACTGGTAAAAGATGTGGAAGTTACGCTCACCCTTTTGCTGGAAGGTGACACGTGTCTTTTCGAGCAAAAACGTCGATATCTGACCACCGACCGGTGCATTGTTGTCGTCGAATTGGATCTCCAAATACTTTCCAAAACGACTGCTGTTGTCGTTTCTGACAGTCTTGGCATTACCAATAGCTTCCATCAATGGGTTGGATTCGAGGATAACCTTTTTAATGTGTTCAACATCAGTGGTACGACCACCACCGCCGCCACCTCCGCCGCGACTGGATGGGGGTGGGACACGAGGAGGGGGACCGCCGCGACCACCACCTCCACGTGGAGGAGGAGCACCACGACGAGGTGGAGCATTAACAGTTCTTTGTGGACCGTTATCATCTCCTCCTCCATATGAAGAGGAAGAGGATGGAGGTGGAGCTACACGAGGTGGAGGACCACCGCGTGGGGGTGGAGCACCACGACCTGGAGGAGCACCACCACGTGGAGGTGGAGCACCACGACCAGGAGGGGCACCACCACGTGGAGGAGGAGCGCCACGAAGAGGAGGAGCACCACCTCTTGGTAACATCATACCTGGCATGGCTCTACCACGACCTGGCATACCACCACCACCATTATCATAATCATCACTACCACCATCATATTGTGGAATACCTCCTCCACCACCACCACCACTAGCATTTGACATCATCGCACCATATGAATTGTTTGGAGATACAGCTGTTACATATTGAAGAATCAATTTAGCAGATACAGTCTAAAAACAACAATATTAATATTAGTACTGATTGTCAACAACACACTTTCATTATCATATATAATATACCTTTCCAGCACCAGATTCACCTGAAATAATGACACATTGTGATTCATTATCATCTACCAATCTTCTGTAGGCACGTTCAGCAAGAGCAAAAATATGGGGTGGAGCTTGCTCAGCACCACTGGAATTTTGGTACATCTAAAAAAAACAAAGAAAAGAAAAGAAAAAAAAACTATTAGAAAACATGTTGGATTCGGGCGATGGATATATTGATAAATCTATATTTATATGTTTACCTTGATAAACTCTGGACCAGTGATTGGGAGTTGTTTGTATGGATTGACAGCAACCAATACTTCACCAATATTGGTGTAAATCATTTCTCTGTCGAATCTAGCGCCAATCTGACTGGTAAGTTCACTGTTTGATGGTGAACTGACCAATACAAGATCATCGACACCTGATGAAAATAATCTAAACATTTCTTGTTTTTTTTGTTGTTGTTATTGTTATTATTATTATTATTATTGTTCCTGTTAAACTTTTGTTTTGTGAATGTGATTATATTGTATATGTGTTTAATAAATAGTATATGATGGGTATATAGTGTATGTAGTTGATATTATACAAGGAGAATGACGTAATTTATAAAAGTACAATAATAAATAATTAATAAATAAATAGAAATAAATAAATAAATAAGATAAATAGGGAAGGGGATCTCTTTTAGAGTTTTTTGTTTCTAAACAGAGAGAAAGGTTGGGTTTAAAGAAAATGGAGGACTATTCTTCTTCTTTGCTTGTCGGTGATGATGGTTGGATGAATTGATTATGACAAAAAATTTATAAAAAAATCTTGTTGGCTTCAATTTAAAGTTTTTTGTTTTGTTTGAATGGATTCCAAACTGTTTTTGTCTATTGATAGATCTATTTTTATAACTATATCGTACGTGTAGGTTTACTCTTTGTAAAAGTGTTAACACTAACTATACAACAAATAGATAAAAAGAGAAACAAACTTAATATTAATTAATTAATATTATATCGATTTACTCGATCAAAATTGATTGGTGTTTCGTCGTTGGTTTGTGTGAAAAAAAAGTTCTTTTATCTGAAATTGTCGTGTTGGATTGCATCGTCCCTGTTTTTCAATGAACCCAAGCAAAAATAATAAATATTAATATTTATGTCATTAAAAATATATTGATTGGGTTGCGTAGCGTCGAATACTATAATGGTCAATTGAGGAAGATGTGGGGTGCGGATCCTATTATTGGGAAAAGAAGCCTATATAGGTCAATCCCAAGTTTTTGATTTTGTTTATATACAACAATGTCCATTTGACCAAAGGATTGTTTCCAATCTCCAAGGCCAAAGGGGAAGAGGGGAGGGGCTTTTTATTTTTTATTTTACATTGAAGGTGTCGAAGGGATCTTCTTTATCAAGTACTGTTCAATTGGATTGGTGATTGGTGTCGTTAATGAATGTTTGGTTTTTTTGGTAGAAGAAGAAGAAGGTGATGACGAAGTTCCATTGCTATTTTTGGTTGTTTTAAATTTTTTATGGTTATTACTGCTGCTGCTGCTACTGGATGGAATTCCATTTACACTTCCTCCATTACTAGATGATCGAACTGAAGAGGGAGAATATATATTACTACTATGATTGGTGCTACTATCATGGTGTTGGGTATTAGTATTTTCTTGTTGTTGTTGAAGGTGGTTGTTGTGATCACCATTCGAGCTACTTTCGTGTTTTGTAAAGTAGTCTGTTATTTTTGAAAAATGTGAAGGATTCGGATCTTTCTTACTATTATTATTGCTGGTGGTAGTGGTGTTTGTGTTGGTGGTATTATCTAATATTGTTTTGTTGCTGTTGGAAAAATATTTGTCGCTATTATTATTATTATCCATATCAATATCTTCATCATCATTATTATCATTATTAGTATTATTTGGTGGCGTTGTTAAAATTGATGATTGACTATCTCTATTTTCATTATTAATAATTAAACTATTTTGACTATTATTATTATTTTCAGTGTTAGTATTTGTTGTTGTCGTTGATGATGATGCTTCTGATGATGATGATGATGGTGGTGATGTTGGAGGTATTATTGATTGTATTATTAAATTATTATTATTATTATTTATATTAACTATATTATTATTATTATTATTATTATTATTTATATTTATATTATTATTATTAATATTATCTAAATTTATATTTAATTTTAAAAGTGGAGGAGGTTTAACAATTGGTTGATTTTGTTTTAATAATAATTGTTGTTGATCTCTTTGTTTTTGTTTAATAAAGTCTAATTTTGTTTGATGATCAAGTGGTATATAGTCTATGTATGTGCCTCCATATCTTCCAATCCGTATTCTGCCCAACAGTGCCGGTAGATTCGGACTGACAAACAAAAAGCCATTGTTAAAAGATGGATATATGGGTGTTCCGTCGGGTCGTTTCTTTGGCTGTGCGGTCTTGTACGCATCTGTTTGGTAGATGGCCTGCAACTGCGTTATGTGGCTGTTGGCGGCGGATTTGGAGGGGACGCCCTTTCCTTGACCAAGGTTCTGACAAAGCTGCTTACGACGACGTTCGATTGTCTCGTCGTCGGTTTCGTCGTCGTCGCTGCTGGTGAGCGAAAGCAGCTGGCTGGTGTGGTCGCCTGCAAAACTGCACGTGTAATAGTCTGCGCTGGTGGGTGGAGGAATAGAGTCATAGTAGCTTTGCGCGACATGTCGTTGTTGCTCTGTGAATTCTGATTTTTCGCTACTTGGAACCTCGGCCATCGATACATCCGACGATGACTTTGGTGAAAGTAGGTGGTGGTGAGGATCGCCGCCATACTGTCGCTCGAGCGACTGGGTGGGGAATTGACCGGGTTGGACGATAAAGTGGCGGTGGCCCTCTTGACGGGCCTTGCCGTTGCCAAGGATCATCGTCTGCTCGTAGGCACCAAAGCTGGGCCCTCCGCAGATCGACGCTTGGCCGATTCCCGATGATGTCGGCGTCGAAGCGATAGCGCTGGAGCTCCCCTCGTCATCCCGAACGCGCTTCTTGTGGTGGCCGCTCCCGCTGCCCTGGACGGCGTCGGCGGCGGGCTCGGGCTCGGTGTCGGGCTCGAGAAGCCTCAGCGCGGCCAGCTGCTGCAACTTGGTGTGGATCTTGTCGACCACCGACACATAGTCGTGCTTGAGCTTCTCACGCTTCTTGATCATCTCGAGCAGCGTACGCGCGCGTTCCATCTCTTGACGCAACGCGCTCATTTTGTTGAGCGATGCGCTGTCGTTCTTTCGCGTCTTTTTCTGTTTGTTGGTTTCGGGCTCACGCGCACGGAACGCCTTGTAGGGGTCGGGGTCGTCGCGGTCTGGTTGACGCAGCAGACGGTACAGCAGCGCCGAGCGCGTCTTGCGCTTCTCTTGCCAGTGGCGGTGGATGTTGGCGACGACGCCCGGCTTGTATCCGCGCAGCATCTGCTCGGCGCGCGACAAATCGCACACACCTCCGGTATGCAGACACTCCTTTTCGAGCTTGTCCATGGCGTATTCGAGCTTGTCCATCGTCAGCGTGGGCGTCTGCTCCTTGGCAAAGCGCTCGTCGTCGTCGTCACCATCATACTCGACAATCTGGTCGAGCTCGTCGTCGTTGCGCAGCGAGTACAGCACATAGGTCGACCCCATCGCGTATGGATGTGGATTGGCGGCATCGTCGTAGCCGTCGACAATCTTGACCACCGGAATGGGAATCTCGGGCAACGGACTGTCCGTCACCTTTCTCTGTGTACTGGCGCTGAGCAGCTCTTGCAAATGCAACTCTGACTCTTCGTTGGACTCCATACCCGTGGGCATGAGTGGCACCGCTCGACTGTCGTCATCGTCAATCTCTGTACGAATAATCGGCAGTGGCTTATTCACATCAATCGGACGGGGACGAAACGATATCTTGCTCAATTTGGTACCTCCATTTCCACTCATCTTTTTCCTCTTCTTCTTCTTTCTCCCCAAATCTCTCTCTAATTGAAAAAAGTTGGATATTTAATACTTTTACTACGACGTCGTGTTGTTAACAAAGCAAAGTGGAAAACAGACGTTGTTAAAGAATGTTCTCCAATCCAATTACTTTTTGCAAATAGACTAGTGTTGTAATTTTTTAAAAGAAGAAGAAGGATGAAGTATAATGGCTTGGTAACAAAATGTGTTGTATATGTTGCACAAATAACAATAACTTTTTGTTTTGTAATTGATAAAATTGGTTCACCAACAATAATGTAATAATAATAATAATATTCAATAATATAATATAATAATAATTAACTTTACATGATTGAATCAATCAATAAATAAATAAAGATAGGAAAGAAAGTTTCTTTGTTAGTTCTGATCATGATGTTTTATCTATTTGTATAATTAATTAATTATCTATCACAAAGAAAATAAAAAATGATGATGATGATGGTGTGAAATCAAGCTTGTTGGGTGCAGCAGCAGCAGTAGAACTGAATTATAATTATTATTAAATGTTCATTATTATTATTATTAGCAAGATATCATCCAATAGCGGATATTGGCTAGATGAGCGCGATGAGAGCACCCCCAGCCACGCTGTAAATTTTTTTAATTAAATTAAAAAAAAAAAAAAAAATTTAGTTGTTTTTTCTCCTCCATACAACGCTCATATTAATCTCTCTCTAACAGCTGCTCGCTATAGTCTGTCTCAATTTTGTTGTTATTTGATGGTAGACTGCCTGCAAGCAGCCTCTTTTTATTTATCCTATCTGTTGATTGTATAGACTATAGTCTGTACGCTTTTCTGTCGCACGGTGAGTGCAAATGAGTGAGAATGAGCAAGAGACACAAAAGTAGACACACAAAATGACATGAAAAAAAATAGAAAAAATAATACTATACACTGACTAACTGTAAATACCTACTAGTATGATTTTGAGGACTAGAAACTTATTCTCTGAGACTAGTATGTAATAAATAAATAATAAGGGGAGGAGTGTTGTTGTTTGTGAGAGAGAGTTTTTTGTTGTTGTTTGTTTTTTTTTTTCGACTCGAAAAAGTTCGTTACAAACCATTTTTATGGATGGAAGAAGTGGTGTGGGCGCCAAGAATGAAAAAAAGTTTGGTTTTTTTTTTTTTTTTTTTTATTAAATTTTGGAAAAGAGATGAACTTCAGGTTTCACAATTTACATCCTTCCTATAATCACTATTAAAATTAATATTTATTTTTTTTAATTTTTTAATTATAAAAAGACAGACTTTGAATTAATTTCCAACCACCCATTATTTTCAAACTGCTTGTTCCATGGATTTTTTAAAAAATAATTATTTTTTTTCTAATTTTGGAAAATGACACTTCTTGAAATGAAAGCAATGCAAGAGATGACACTTTAATGTAGTATAGTTCATCATCATCATCATCGACAGACAATCAGTAGCAATTATCATGTCGCGGCATATACCTACTGAGCAGCGACCAAGAGGTAATGGACATGTTGGTGAGAATGGTTCTAACCAACAACCACAACAACAGAGGCAATACAGTTACCAAAACACATTCTACGATCATGGTGATGAAGAACAGGATGGTGATCATCATCATCATACTAACCAACAACACAACAATCATAATCAACATAATCAACATCATCAACCACAATACTTTAGTCATGGTGTTAATGGTACAAATGGTGTAGTACACGAAGAGAGACAATCTCCTCATCGTACATACCATCATAATCAACAGCAGTTTCAACAACAACCAACTCAACCAAATATTGTACAACTTTCAACTTTTGATTCAATACTTTATGATTTGGAAGATACAAAGAATGAATTGAGAGAAACAAGACAAAACTATTTGAATCTATTAAATAATGTTCATCAAGTGACTGCAGGACAAAAGGAAATGGATAAGTTGCGAAACTCTGAATTGGTATCACGTGCACACATATCGATACTAGAAAAGGAAAAGGAGCGATTCATATCAACATTGGCGTCGGTCTGTTCAAATGCATCTGACTTGTCTAATCTTCTAGTCAGTTTATTGTTGACCGATGAGAATGGGAAACTTATAGTCAAGATTTCCGATGATGAAGATGATGATGATTATAATGACAGTCAAGAGGACGACCATACTGTAAAAAATGATGGATCTGGTGGACAACACATCCAACCATTGAGACGATTGGAGAGTGTTATTAGAAAGGTGGCAGAGTACCACGTATTATGTATAAATAGAGTGGACCATAATGAAATGGTTCAAAGAGTCGAGAGACAACTACAACACACTAAATTGGAGTTGGACAAGTCGCAAATGACAATTCGCAGCGAGCGACTGTCTATCGACCAACTAAGCGAGCAGCTGTCACAGAGTGCCGGCCAGGGACACAATCTCGAGAGCGAGATGGAGTTATTGCTCCAACAGCACAGCGAGATTATCCCAGACCTTCAAAAACTAGAGTCAAAGGTGGAGCGAGTATCCGATGATTTTGACAAACAACGGATAGAGAGCGAACAAACCATCACCAAATTAAAACAACAGTTGGCAAATGCCGAGTTGGAACGTGACATGTCCCGTAGAGCATTGGGACGCGCAGAAGCTGAAAATAGACAGCTCAAGACACACCTTGAACAATGGGAGCATACTGGTCACCAAATATACAAGGGTATTTGTGGATTGACAGGTAATAATACAAGTGAAACCGGTAGTACTGGCATTCCAAATAATATAGATATGAATCATTTTGCACAAACTATGGTCAAGAGTGTTCAAACGACACTTGATCGAGAACACAACAGGAATGCACTACTATCAAGGAATATAGATACATTAATCAGTACCGTTTGGGAGAGCATTCATTTACCTCAGACTCGGCTCGCCGATAATCTAAAAAGTTTGGATTCTCAACAATTCCAACAAAGTATAGAATTTTTAAAAACTGTCATAAAAGAAACCATTGTAGATATGTTTGAAACAACTAATAGAAATCAATCCGTATGTTAATTAGTTAATTAATAGTATAATAAAAAAGAAAGAAATATTAATATTAATTATTTTATTTATTTCTTTTTGGAAAATTTTAGAAAAAAATGGAATTATTAATAAGACAAAATAATGATCTAATTAAACTATTACAAAATAGTAATTAAGATGATCCTATCAAAATGGTATACTAACTAACTAACAAACATAAATATAGAAATAAATAAAAAGAGGCAAGAGGGTAATCAATTGATATTTATTATTTATTAATACAACATTTAAAATTCATTAATTCTTTTTCAAAAAATTTGATTCTTGAAAACTCATCAAACATGAGGGCTCTTTTTTTCTGACCTTCGTCCTAAAAATAGGATTGACTCATCAATTCTTTTCAATGGGTTGCATGATTCATTCATATTAATATCATGTCATTTAACATTTGACATGTCACAAAGACTTAATACAAAATCATTTATTATCATTTTGGTTCTATTGTTTAATATCTTTTCGATTTACAAATTTAATCAAAAAATTAATCAATCAGATACTACTACTACTACTACTGTTACAACAACTACATCATCAAGTACCGAGAACAACTTACTTAAAATGGAATCCAAATCATATGACTTTAAGAATCAAGATGGACAATCAGACACTTTGTACTATTTAGAATACAAACCACCTAGACCATCCCAAGACTACCGATATCCCGTCTTTATCTTTCTTCATGGTGCTAGTATGTAATATAATTATAATCATACTATTTTACAATTCATTTCAATTGGGAACTAATGATCTCTTTTTAAAAACAAAAGGTAAATCTGGTAAAGGATTAGAGGACCTAAATACAAAGCTTAGAACTGCGGTCATTCCAAAGTATATTGAAGGTGGACAATGGGGATCATTACCATTCCTAGTGATCTGTCCTCAATCTAGTGATGGGTGGACATCTACCAACATTGTAAATGTGTTGGGTGCCATCAAAACTACCTATAAAGATATTATAGATGACACAAGAATCTATCTAACCGGTCAATCCATGGGAGGAGGTGGTATCTGGAGATGGGCACTTGCATCAAAGGAAATCGATGATATTGCTGCTTTAATTGTTATTTGTGGTGCTGCTTGTAAGTGTTCGACGCCACAACAACAATCCTATTTCTTTTTTGATACTAACTATTATAATTTGTATTATATTTTCGTAGCACCACCATACAAGATTGATTCAAATGAAATGGTTTCAAGTAATATACCAGTTTGGGCATTTAATAATGAGAATGATTCGACAGTATCAGCTCAAACCTCTCAGAGATGGGTAGACATCAATAATCAGATGGGAATTTCACCACCTAGCAAAATAACCATATTCAAAGGAGTCACTGGACATGATGCTTGGACACAAGCTTTCAACCCAATCAAACAAGATAATCCAACCTATGTATATGATTGGTTATTATCATTTACCAATATTAGAAAACATAATAGAACAGAATAATCAATAATAATCTTATACTATTGTATATATTGTATCCTATTTTTCCCATCAATTATTAAAATAATAATTCTATTTAGTTCATACTCATAGTATTTCAATTTTACTTTTAATAATATATTATTTATTTCTTTTATTATTATTAATTATTATTATTTTATTATATGTTATGTTAGTAGACGTAGGAATACCATGTTTGTGTTATGGTTGTTGAGGGTCAACTGCCATACTACTACTGCTATTGCTGCTACTAGGAGGAGTTGTAGTGGTAGTACTGAAAACAGGTGATATCATTTTCTGAGTTAACGGTTGTTGTTGTTGTTGATATGATGGAATACCGATCAAAGTTGGAGTTGGTGTACTGGTCAGAGTTGGAGTTGATATTTTTTGTGAAGGTGAGATGATGGCAGCGGCGGCAACCGGTGAAATAACACCTCCAATGTTGCTGGTCAAAGATGGTGTATTGGAACCAGTTGATGATGATGGTGTCTGTGGTGCTAATAATGGGGCTATTTGTTGTTGTAGTTGAGGTGACAATGATTTCAATATGGTTGCTCTTTCAACAAATGCTTGATTTTTTAAATTTTCAGCCTGGAAATAAATAGAATAATTAATTAGTTTTTCAATATATCAATAATAATTAATAGTATTTTTTATCTTTCCTTACATTTAATCTTTCCTTTTCAATATTATCATTAATATCAGAATAATATTTAAGTTTTAATTCCAATTTTTTGGTTTGAGCATTGATCATTTTGTAAACCAGTGATTGGATTTCTCTTTCCTCTGCGATTTTGAGTTCTTTTGCCTTTGCAACTGCTACGCCCAATGCCTTTTCCGAAGCAACACTGATTTCCCTGCTATTAAAGAATTCTGGTGGAATCTGAGGTGGTGGAGACATGACTCCTTCAGCAGTTGAGGCAGTAGTAGTGGTGGTGGTTGTGGTGGTAGACGTCGTCGTCGTTCCATCATCCTCTGCTGAACTATTATCCTCTTTTTCTTTTTCCTTTTCTTTTTCTCTTTCCTTTTCTCTTTGTTTTTCTCTTTGTTTATCCTCTTTTTCTTTTTCCTTTTGTGCCTTTTTAGAGTCGAGTAGTGATTGCAATGCTTCCTTGGCAGCATAACTAGCCAACACGGAGCTGGCCATACTTGAAAGATGAGATATTAAAGATATGATTGGATTACCAATAGTGGAGTAAATGTCTGGTTCATAGATTAGATCTACATCTGTTGTTTTCTGTTTATGTTGTTTTGGTAATGGTGTAGATGATGTAGTAGTTGATTTGCTAGTAGTTGATCCATTTTCAATTTCCTCATCCTCTACTATCTTTTCTTCTTCTCCATCTCCATTGACTTTTTCCTTTTCATCTTGTTGTTTCTTTTCATCTTGATTATAGAATGGATTAAAAGTAACATTGAATTGATCGACCATATTATTTAGGTTACAAAAGTTTTCGAGGTAGATATCTTCGATTGGCATTCGAACAAAGTGTATCATACACTCTTCTCTTGTTTTTGTTTGTACGTGATCAGAGACACTTCCCCAATTGTCCGAACCATAGATTTCAATACCCTCAAGAAGTAGGAGAGTTTCGAGATCCGTCCACTCTTCAGGAATAGTCGGTGTGACATTGAGCTCTATTCTCGAAAAGTCGGTTGATTGACAATAGGATGGGTACTTGCCACTGTGGAAACAATTTGCACAGAGATCCAACACACCAAAGTCAAATGGGAGACCTGGACTGTTAAAGACGGGTTTGTTGTTGAGATGGTATCTTGCCATACTACACCCTTTGCCACAGGATGAGCAATTGTAACGAATCATAGACTCTGACTGTCCGTACTGGTTGGTGTGGCTGGCGTAAAAGGTTGGCATAATGATTGGTTCTGGGGGAGGGGGTGGTTGGGGTCTTGGACGATTTTCATCTCTATTACCCTTGGTCTTCTTTTGTTTCAGTTTCTTTTCATTTTCGTCAATTTCTTCATCCAAATCGCCCACTTCTTCTTCGTCTTCCTCTACCATTTCCTCGTCTTCTTCACCCATTTCCTCATCCTTTGTTGATTCTACCATTGATTCGTCTTTGTCTTCTTCATTTAAAGTCATTATATTTGATTGAGTTTTCTTTTGTGGTTCGTCCTCTTGGATGGTTGTAGAATCTGTGATTTCTCCATCTTCTTCATCATCTTCTTTGGTCTTTGAATCAACTTGCATATTATTTTCGAGATCTTCAGATACAGAAATTGATAGTGTTGTTGGTTTGGATTCCTCTACCATTTTGGAATCCTCCTCCTCTACTGGTTTAATTTCTTCCATCTTATTTTCTTCCATATTTGTCGTTGTAGATGTAGAAGTAGTTGTAGTTGTAGATTCCTCTGGTTTGATAATATCATCTTCAAGTTTCTTTTCCTCTGCCTTGTTGTCGTTGTTCTTTTCCTCTTCAACCAAAGTTTTGGGATTATTATTTTCAATAACCTCTTGTTCTTGTTTGGATGATTCATCACCTGTTTCTTTGTTTGGTTGATCTTCTTCTTTTTCTTCAGGGATAGTAGTATCACCAAAAGTAGTAGTTGGATTTAAAGGTGCTTCCAAAGATGATTCCAAAATTTCTTTTGGTTGTTGTACTTTTTCTACTTCCTCTTCTGGTTTCTTTTCTTCAAAAGTGGTAGAAGTAGTAGTAGTAGAAGGAGAAGGAGAAGTAGTTTCCAACTTTTCTTGTACATCTTCTTTTGGTGGTGAATCTGAGCCAGTCATTGTCTCTGGTCCTTTTTCTTCTGGTCCTTTTTCTTCTGGTCCTTTTTCTTCTGGTCCTTTTTCTTCTGGTCCTTTTTCTTCTTGTTGTGGTTCTTCCTTGTTTTCCACTACCATTGTTTCTTGGGTATCAGTATTGGTTGTCAAAGATGATGATGATACTGGTTCTTCAATTGGTTGTTCAACAGTAGTAGTAGAAGTAGTCGTAGTAGGAGTAATATTATTATCATTGGTATTATCGCTATTATTGTTATTATTATTATTATCAATCAAATTTTCGATTTCTTGTAGTTGTTGTTTGTTCTCTAGAAGTGGTGAATTGGTTTCTAAATCTTTTTCGGCTTCTGCTGCTGTTTCTGGGACAGTATCAGTTTTATCTTGTTCCATTTCAATGTCATTATTATTTAATACATCTTCTTTGGTGGGTTGTTGATTTTCTACAGATTCACTATTATTATTTACATTATTATCTACATTTTGTTCTTTTTCTTGTTGATTTGGTTCATCAACAATTTGATCGATATTTTCTTCTACTTTTTCTTGCTCCTCTTGCTCTTGTTGTTGGGTTGACCCAGTGACAAGAGGTTTTTCTTTAACTTCCTCCATTTCAATATCATCACTTGTGATTTCCTTTTGTTGTTGGTCGATTTTTTCTTCCAAGAGTTCATCTTGATCCTGAGCCATTTCATCTTGTTGGTTTTCTTTATCTTTTTCTTTTTCTTCTAAAACCTTTTCCATTTCCTTTTCTTTTTCCTTTTCCTTTTCCATTTCCTCTTCAATCTCTTTTTCAATATCTTTGATGACTTGATCTTCATTTTCATCGTCTAAAGGTTTATCATTTTCCTCTTGATCCATTTCGTCTTGTTCCTCATCTTCCTCCTCATCTTCTTGTTCTTCTTGTTCTTGAATTTCTTGTTGTTTTTCTTCTTCAATGATTACATATAAATCTTGATTGACAAGTGCAGGATTTGGAGTTGGAACGATTGGACCATAAGGAGAACTAACAAGATTGATCAAACCCCAATACTCGAGTAAGCTATGGACCTTGAAAATAAAACTAATGTTTCCTTGGTCTTGGTCTTGGAGGAATGCATTGTTGGCGTCTGTGAGTGTATAGTATTCGAATGGTCTGGCTCTATAGGCATTGACCATGTGGTCTCTGTATTGTTTGTAAAGAGGTAGATTCTTTTCAGTGTCTGTTTTGAGGAAATCTACCATTTGGTTCTTTTCAATAGTGTGTACTTGATCGAGGTCAAACCAAGGACACCCGTAATGCAGAGGAACGGTAAATGGTGCGGGTGGAGTATCCTTCTTCTCCTCCTCCTCCTCCTCATCCCCCTCTTCCTCCTGCTTCTCACCAACCACGTGGTCGTAGAGTGGAGGCATCATTTTGATGGTAGAGGGGATAGCGATGGATATATTGGTAGCGACAAGCGGTTGAATGATAATCTCTTTGGGTGGTGCCGACTTTGACGACGATTTTCTCGACGACGAAGACGGTCTAGAGGAAGTGGCTGGCGCAGGTGTATGGATGGCGTTGGGGTTGGAAATACGGTGTACAACGTTGGCAGGTGAAGGTGGAATAGGGATGAGTGAGGTGGCAAGGACGGTAGAAGGGGTAATCATGGGGAGAGGTTTAGATACCATTGGAGGAGGTGGTGCAGTGGTGATGGGAGTGACTGTCAATTTTTGCTCGGTTGCAGATGGTGATTTCAATAATGATGAGGGGGTGGCATTGGTGGATGTAGTAGAGGTGGTGGTGGTGGTAGTCATAGCGGCAGTTGTTGGTGACGGACTAGCAGGTGAAGTGGTGGAGGTGGAGGTTGTCGTTGTTGGTTTATCGGTTGTAGAAGTGACAGCGATGATATCATCTTTCTTTTGTCTTTTGATGGGTGTTTTTGATGCTATTTGTGAAGAGGTGGTTCGCTTGTTGGATTCGTTCAACTCGTCCATACTTGCATCTCGCTTTACACTTTGTGGAGATCGAGGTGACATGGGTGATGCTTTGGATGGTGAGGGGCGTGGTGGACGGAGCGACCGCTTGAACGGTGTCTTGTGTTCTTCATCCTCTTCCTCATCAATGATCTCATCGTCATCGTCGTCATCCTCTTCTTCTTGCTCGTCGTCCTCTTCCTCCTCCATTTCTTCATCTTCATCTTCCTCTTCCTCTTCAACATCGTCCTCTTCAATCTCGTCGTCCAAGTCGTCAAGTAAATCGTCTTCATCGTCTTCATCCAAGTCGTCTAGATCGTCCTTTTCCTCGCCTGATGTCTGATGATCATTTGATGACATGGTTACAGTCTTTGACGAAGTAGATGAGTGTTGTTGTTGTTGTTGTTGGGGAGGTGTAGGAAGTGCAGCTGGTGGAGATAGTGGTGTTTTCCGGGGTCGTCCACGTCCACGTTTCACCGACAATCCAGTACCATCACCAGATGTGACGGGTGCAGAGGTCGACTGTGCCGATCTACTACCGCCACTATTGTTGGTATTGGTGTCATCATTGTCAACTTCATAGTCTAGCTCGTTCATCCATTCGTTATATATTTCCAAATCTGTAATCCATCGCGGTGTGACCCTCCACGGACCCTGTCTCTGTGCAATTGGTTCGGGGTCATCACCCTCGACTTCAGTGCTCGACACCCATTTATCGTACGAGTCTGGGTAGTACCAAAAATGAACCAAACTCAAATCACCTCTGTGTTCGAGAGTTCTGAGATAGGTCTCTGACTCGCTTTCATTGCTCATCGCCAAGCTTCCAATGTCCTCGTTTGTCACGATATGTGTGCATTCTCTCTGGCTCACGAGATCCTTTACGATCTTTCCACCATGTTTCTCAACCACTGCCTCTAATGTTTTGGCTGTTTGTTCCTCTATACTAGGTTCAATATAAACATTTGGAAATGTTAAATATCCCTTTATCTTTTTAAACAAATTAAATGAATTAGATAATCTATATGTTACTCTACTCTCTCTCTACTTTTGCATACCTTTAACTCGTTATTAATCTTTTTAAGCATTTCTATATTCTTTTCCAAATGTTCATTAAAGTCTATCTTTTTCCAATTGTTGGCTAATTTGTATTCAAACATGATATGTAAAGTTGTATATACTACTCCATTTGGTTGATAATCTTGGAATAGTTTAACTGGTATTTTAGTTCCTATAGATTTCTTGATACCCTATATATATGAAATAATAATAAATCAAGAAGAATAAATAAATGATGCATTTCTTCTTCATTTCTTGTCTCCTTACACTCTTTCCCAATATATCTTCTTGAAATTGCATAAATGAACCAATGATTAAAGACAACTCTCTAGTAGATTGCATCTGTACTAATGGTGGTTGAGTCGATTGGAATGCTTGAAGCAAGTGTTCTTTGATGGGTTCAAACTTTTTGGTTACTGCGTCGTGACAGTAGGTCTGTAGATCTATAGTACCATTTCGTAGTAGTGTAATAGTTGAACCAACACCACTGCCACTACCATTAACAGATATACTACCACTTGTGTTGTTGGTTGTAGTTGTAGTTGTAGTAGTGGTAGATGTTGAATCTTGTGAATTCATATCTATCTCTATCTATGTCTGTATCTATATTGTTGTGTAGTTGTAATGTGATGTAATGTAATATGTGATGTGATGTATTTCGCGATTTGATGTTATGTAACTAGTTATTATATTATTATTATTATTCTTCTAACATCATCAACATCATAAATGAGATAACACGGTGTGATGATAGGATTGATCTGCTCTCTCTTGTCGTTCTATAGTATATGTATGTTGTATGTGACCAATCTATCAATCTATCTATCGTTTAGATCGACAGCTCTCTTAATTTGTCTTATCCTCTACTTTTTGAACTTATTGTTTTTGGCTGTTAGAGGTTGTGAGCAAGAGAGGGAGTTTTTTGAGTTGAAGGTTTGTAATCGAACTTCTTTTTTTTAAAAGCTGAAAAATGGAAAATTGCCTCCAAAAATATTAGTAGGTACAAGGTGTCACTTGTTAATTTATTATTAAAAGAGATATAGAAAGAGATAGATAGATAGATAGGAAGGAAGAGAGTTGTTAAACTATACTTGCATATAAGAATGTCAAGTAAGAATAATAATAATATCATTACTCCTACACCTACTAGCGCTAGAAAGACACCAAAGATATCGAGGGCAATGCTTGATAGAGTAAAGAATATTAAATCTACTTTTCTCATTGACGTTGACCAAGATACTACAACTAGTACTGCTACTGCTACTGCTACAACTTCTACTAGTACTACAAACACAAAAGATAAAGAGGTTATAGAGATACCAGAGACACCTATCCAACAAAACAAAAAGAAGAATATCGATCATTCATCTGAAGTTGAAGATATCACAAAATCAATCTCTAAGCAACTTTCCATATCAAAACCACCAAAACAACAACAACAACAACAAAAAGAACAAGAACAAGAACAAGAAGAAGAAGAAGAGGAAGAGATTGTTACAAGAAGAAAACCAACAAGAAAATTAGTGTTGGAAGATAGTGACGAAGACGAAGTTGACAAACCTCTCAATATCATTGGAAAGTTGGAAAAGGAAATGGACAAACCAATGGTTCAACCAGAAGAACAAAAGCTGGAAACGAAAACAACATCAACATTAACGTCTATTCCAAGAATATTCAAGGGAATGGAAGAAACTCCTCGACCACCACCATCAAAGGAGATTAGTATCGATGATGATGATGATGACGAAGATGAAGAAGGTGAAGAAATAGGATCTGAGGATTCTGACGACGATCCATTTGAAGACGACAACGACGACGATGACCCATTTGAAGAAGACAAAAAAGAGAAACCAACCACATCCCAAGAAGTAACCAAACCATCAAGATTAAAAAAGTTACAAAAGGCCAAAGTAGACAAGGATGAAGAGGAAGAGGAGACACAAGGAGAAGATATTGGATTGGAAGACTCTGAAGATGAAGAAGATGAAGATGACGAGTATGATGAAGATGACGAGGATTTCATTGATGATGATGATGACGACGAGGACTATGAAGATAGTGAAGAAGAGGAAGAAGAAGAAGAATATATTCCACCTCCAACAAGAACAAAGAAATTAAAACCAACTCAATCTCAAAAGATGCCAATCATGATAGAATCAGATGATGATGAGGAGGATGAAGAAGAAGAAGAAGAAGAAGAATCTGAGGAAGAAGAAGAAGTATCAGAACCTATTAAAAGAAAGACAAGAAAAGGAAATAATACAATCATTAGTACTATTTCAAAAAAGAAACAAATTCAAGAGGAAGAAGAAGATAATAGTACTACTACACCACCACCAACAACACAACAAGATGAATATGAAGATCAAAGTAATGGATTTAATAAGAATCTTAGAACTGGAAAATACCATAATTCTCTTCAATTTGATGGTAGAGATTTTATTGTACCAGCTGATACTTATGACAATTTGTTTTGGTATCAAAGAGATGGTCTTGATTGGATGTGGAGATTGTTTTGTAGAAAAGCTGGTGGTATTTTGGGTGATGATATGGGTCTTGGAAAGACAATGCAAATCATCTCTTTTCTCAAATCCATGCATCATGGCAAGTTTATAAACTATTCTCTTGTCGCAATGCCAGTCTCTCTGATCGAACATTGGGTCAAAGAATTTGACAAGAAGAAACCAACCATCAACGTACGTGTCTATCATGGTGCCAACGTAAGAGAAAGAGAAAATAATCTTGAATATATCAAGAGAAATGGTGGTGTCCTCATTACCACCTATGGTATGATCGTATCCAATTCTGGTCCACTCAAAGAATATAAAAGAAAAACATTTAAATGGGATTATATTATTCTTGGTAAATATTATTAAAACAAATAATAATTATAATATATATAAATGATACTAATTGATATTTATCTTCTCTCTATTTAGATGAAGGACATAAAATTAAAGAAACAAAAACAAAGATTAATAAGACTATTAGAGAGTTGACAGCCAACTTTAAGATTATTATGACTGGTACTGCCATCCAGAATAATTTGAAAGAATTGTGGTCATTGTTTGATTGGGTTTGTAATGGTACATTGTTGGGATCAATTCGTTCATTCTCTATGCATTTCCAAAACCCCATTCTTCGAGCCCACATTTCAGATTCATCATTTAATGAAAAGAAGATGGGATCTGCAGTGGCAGAGTCACTCAGACAACTTATTGCACCACATTTCCTCAGAAGAGAAAAGAAGGATGTTTTCCCTGCAACTAGTAACAGTTCAGCAGAGCCTGAAAATAGATCGCCACCAGTAGACATGGACAATACAGAAAATGTAGATCCAAATAATATTCCATCACCAACTTCTTCTATTTCGTCATCAACCTCTTCTTCCTCCACCTCTTCCTCTACCTCTTCACATATTGTAAAATCACTTAAAACAAAGAGAATGTCAGTCAAGGGAATTAGAACTAGAAAGAATGATTTTGTATGTTGGATTAAAATGGCACAACCACAAATCGACCTTTACAAGGTATTCCTTGAATCAGCAGAGGTCAAGAATGCCCTCAACAAGACTTCTAGTCCTCTGGCAGCTCTGACTGTACTCAAAAAGATTGCTGATCATCCAGCACTCATTCACGAAGAGATGAAGACTTGCAACACCCCAGAAATGCTCGACATTATGAAACAAATTGGTGAAAATCAAACCATCAAGTCATTGGTTAGAAACTCGGGCAAGATGCAATTCCTCTACTATCTCTTACCAAATCTCAAGCAAGAAGGTCATCGTATTTTAATTTTTAGTCAATCTGTTAAAATGTTAAATGCTATTCAACTTTTATTAGATACTTTGGTATGAAAAAAATAACAAACAATGAATAATAATCGTATATTTATATCTTTTATTTCTTTCTATAGAATTTAAGTTATCTTCGTATTGATGGATCAATTACATCAACAAAGGAAAGACAAAAAAGGATCGATGAATATAATAATGATTCATCCTATTTTTGTTTCCTTTTAACTATTCAAGTTGGTGCTCTTGGTCTTAATTTAACTAGTGCTGATAGAGTTTTAATTTGTATGTAAATCAATAGTAGTAGTGAATTAAAATTATTAATTAACCTATTTAATTTAATTTATTTTTCCAAATATTTTAGTCGATCCATCATGGACAACAGTTGATAATCAAGCTGTTGATAGAGTATATCGTATTGGTCAAAAGAGAGATGTAGTTGTTTATAGATTGATTACCTGTGGAACTATTGAGGAAAAGATTTATAGAAAACAAGTATTCAAGGGTTCGCTTATGAAATCAATGCTCAATCAAGACAAGGGTCAACACCGATATTTTTCAAATGAAGAACTTGGTCAAGTATTCCGATTGGATGACCCAACAGAATCTCAAACTCAAAGGTACCTTGAAGATCTTCATTCCAAAAATAGAAAATCAAGTCCAGAGTTGGATATCCATATTCAATTTTTAATGAAATTTAGTATGTATCAAAAAAAAGAAAAGATAATCATGTGTATTTATTTATTTAATTTCTATTAGAAATGGTATTTGGTATTAGTGATCATGATTTATTATTCTCTGAAGAGGTTGGAATTGATCATACAGAAGAGGATGTTAAATCTGTTCAAGGAAAGGATATGACTTTTACTCCTTCCAAACAACCAAGTAAAAAGAAAATTACTATTGTAACAAAAGATACTGTAAGCAACTATTCATTTTTTATTAATATTCATTGTTAATATTAATTGTTACTATTTTTTTTTTATAGCCTGGTAAAAGTACAACACAAGTTAACAAATATATTTATCTTAATGATGAATATGATGATGATGACGATGAAGAAGAAATGATTGTTGACAGAGCTCCAACTGGAAGTGGTTCCTCTTCTTCTAACATGACAAGTACATCATCTACAACAAGTACTTCCAATACCAAACAATATTCCAATTTAAAAACATCATATGATATTGAAACTGGAAAAGAAGTCATTCACATTAATGAATCCCCTGTTAAATCAGAGGTATCATCTCACTACCAACAACAACGACAACAACAGAAACCATACCCTTTAAATACTGTATCATACAATCCCCCTGCTTCTATTTCATCAGTACCAAAAGTACAACAACAACAACAAAAGACTGGTGTCGTTTCAGCTGATAGAGCCATCGTTATTCAAAAGTTTAATAGTCTTGTTCAAAAAGCAAAGTATGTTGATTATTAAATCGCTGATAATTCTCTATTCACAGATTATTAATATTGATTTCATTTCTCCTTCACTATAGTGAATTATATAAGCAAGGTCATAAGCATAGAGCATTGAATTCATTGTTGGATGCCAGTCAAATTGATGAAAGTCCAAAATTAAGGGAAATGATTTCAAGAATCTTTAATGAAATCAATTTGGAAAAGAAAGAGTAGTAGTTTCTAGAAAATGCGAATAAAAATAGTGTCTAAAACCACTATAATTTGGTTTTTTTTGTTTAATTATTGATTGTCACCGTCATTAACCAAAAGTTGGAGCTTGGCAGTAACCTTATCCTTTCTGTTTTTCATTTCCAGGTCTGGTATTTTGTTGTAATTGAATGGGTCATGAGAGATTGGCAGTTTTAACACGCAACTTCCAATAAAGTCATCAATCAAAGTGTCTTGGTCCCAAATCTCAAATGTCAACTCATCACTTTCTGGAGTCAAGATAGTACATAGAAAAGAGTTCTCTTTGAATACTGGAGTCAATGTTTTCTCGATTGGCTTTGTCTCTAGAATTTTCTTTAACTTTCCATCTTTTCCTTTTTTAAAAACCTTTACATATGGGTCACTCAATCTGAAGAAGAAAGAAAGAAAGAAAAAGGTTAGTGATTGTGTGATCAAATGACCATTTGTTTATCTATACCCATTTGAATCGGTTCCTTTAAAGATGGTTGCCTTGAAAATAGATATATTATAGCGTCTACCAACAATACTTTTTTGTGGTTTTACCAAACCGTTGGCCTAATTATATAAATTTAAACAGTTATTAAAGTATTTGTTAATATCATTTCTTTATCTGTGTTTTTTAAGCTTGTATTCTTTTAAGTAGTACCTCTCCAATTTCTCTAAAAATGTTCATTTGATCGGGTGTATTTTAAATGTACAATTAATTAATTATGAGTAATAAATGATACAAGATGATTTGAACAATGATGAAAGAGGTCCTTAAAAATCGATATGATATCCTCTTCCGAGTTCACACATTCATGTGGAGATGGTGCGAGGGATCGGAAACGTGCAAGACCCAATTTTGGTCATGGCCCCTCGAATTCAATGAAAATCATGATTGACACATATCGACATCAAGGAATAAGTAATTAATAATTAATGTAAAGAGGTAATTGATACAACAGTGATTATATAATATATTAATGATTTCTTGTTTTAAATCTTTAAAGTATTTTTAATCAATTTCTTTTCATCTTCATACTAGTATTAGAGATAGATATTTTTTAGTTAGAATCTTTATATCTTTTATAACAACTTTATACAGATATATATATATATATATATAACATACGAATTCTTGAATAACTATGTCAAAGTTTGCTTTATCGACTACATTGGGATACAACAGAATAGCAGTTTGAATTTTGGGTTCACCATCTATAGATATATAGGAGGGGATAAGATCTAATTAATAACTCAAATCATCAATTACCAATCAAATCAACATCATTTGAGAGAAATAGAGATAATTACAGTGTTGATTTTGAACCATCTTTTTAACTTGTTGAGAGTTGAAGGCAAATGAGTTTGCAGTTGTTCTGATCAATCTAACTCTATCTTTGTCTTGAACGACACCTTTTAATTGGTCTTCAAAGTTTCTAATGTCCTTGTCTGTGATGAGATCCTGAAAGGGGTTTGAGGAATTCAATTCTAAAAGTTAATAAACTATAGTATAGTATAGTTAAGCCATAATATTGTATGTTGTTGTTGTTGCAACAGTTACCATTCTTGTGTATTTATCTACTGAATTAACAAATAATTTTTTTTTTGCCCAACCCAAAGCTTTTACAACATTTAAAATAATAATTTATTAATATTTAAACTAAAGAAAGAAAAAGGAAAGTAATAGTAGCAAAGTGTAAAGTTAAAATACTACTACTAGTATAATCCATAATTTATTATTACAACTGGAAAATATATATATTAATTTAAATTATCTATTTAAACTATTAATCATTTTCTTTGTAAATTATTTTGGTTGTTGTTGTGATTTTGCAAAAATCTATAATAATAAATAATAAATAAATGATCAATGAATCAAAAGTTAATATATTGTTTAAAAATATCTTTTGGGTTATTCTACTAGTTTACCATTTTTTGAACTTCATAAATCATTAAAGTAATACCAAAGAGTGGACTGATGATCATAATTCTTGGTAATAAACCCTTGGCAAAGGCCTTTGGACCTTCATTTTTCCAAGTTTTGTTTATACAATCCATGATACCAGTGTAGGTTGGATCACCAGGTTTTGGTTTGACTTGTACTCTAGTCTTGATGACATCCATTGGAGTTGAAACGGCAGCAGCAGCACTACCAGCCATAATACCAGAGAGGAGAATCTTTGGTAGGGCAATATGTCCATTTGGCTCTGTGAAATATTCTTTGATTCTACCATACATTGAAAAGTAGACCATCGAGAAGGGAACGTCTCTCAAGAGTGTGGCAGCAGTACCCTTGTACAAACCTCTGATGCCAAGCTCTCCAACCACCTCTCCCAACGTTGCTCTCTTGCCACCCTCGCCACCAATTTGCATTCTAATCTTGACAATCTCCATTGGATTGGTAGCGACGACCTGACAAAAACCAGCACCGGCACCAGCCATAACCTCTTGTACCAAGGTAATATGTGGACGATCACCTTGCAAAACAGTACGCAAGAGATCATTGACGGCAAGTTTCAAAGCCTTTTCAGGTGTAATACCAATCAAGTTGGCTGAAAGACCTCTGTAGAGTGATCTTACACCTCCTTCATTCCTTATAATCTTTGAGAAACAATCGATGATACCATTGTATGCTCTAGTACCATCGGCATTAATCTTTTGGTTTTGAAGTCTAGTCTTTACCATGTCCATCGGGAAGATGGTTGATGCACCAATGATACCTGCTACACCACCTGCTACTAAATTGGCCCAAAATGGTGGTTTCACTACTTCTTGTTTCTAATAGGAAAGCAAATATAGTAGGTAGTAGTAGTAGTAGTTTTAAATTATACATATATGTAGTGATTGATTGTGATTAAAAAAACAGTGTAAGTAACAAAGATTGATTGATCAATGTTTTTTGAATGATTATCACATACCTTTGTACTACTCATATTATTATTATTCTTTATCGGGGTTGATATATAATGATTAATTATATATGTATATGCAACTATAGTACTCTGTTTGAGTAAAAATATCTTAAAGTGTGTTGGGTTTGTGATCAAAAACCAAAAGTTCAAAAACATTAAGTGACCATTTTACAAGAACGGAAGTATATATTGCAAAAACCCATAATTAATATACGATTGATGTTGAGATGGAATATGTCATAGATAAAAGATTTATCTCTAGTAGGGGGTAGGACTTTATTTGGAAAACAATGAAGACTCCATCATCAAATCTCCAACCTGACAACCTCAAATTTACAAACTACAAATAATTTGACACCTCCCTCATTATTGTATTTTATTTTTTAATGGTGGTAGTAATATTCATTTATTATTCATTCATTTTCCAAACAAAGTCTTGACCCTACTAGGGATATATCAATCTTTTGACGATAAAAATATTTAAATTTAAATTGCATAGATATAGTAAATCAGATTAATTAATAATTATTATACCTACAGAATGGATAAATATTAAAATTAAAAGTTAATAAATTAAAATATTGTAAAGAAGAGTTATCTAGTACAGTAGGAAAGTCAAATGGTTGTAGGAAAGAGTATTTATTTGGTTGTACATTTTCAATATATCTTGAATACTTTTCTTTAACGTATAATTTTGTTCCTCATTCTAAATGATATATAAATCTACATATTCTCTTATATTTATAGATAATAATCATAAAGACAATATAGAATATCCATTTCTTGGTGGCCATTGTTTCAAGATGATTGTGATGATTTATGTATTTTTGGTTATTATTTCTAAAGTTATCAAAAAAATACATATATCATCACAATCTATCTATCTTTCCAAGTGTAGACAAAAAAAAAAAAAAAAGGTAATGATTCTTAAGATTAAAAAATGAACTAAACTCTTTCTTTCTTTTTTTTTTGTTCTTTCTTTCTTTCTTTCTTTCTTTATCTTTTTAGGTTGGTTTTGAGAACCCATAAATATTTATATTATATTGTTATTTATTTTATTTTTATTTTAATTTATTGTGGAAGTACTAATTTATTTCCTATCCATTTACTTGATTTTGGAAAAAAAAACATAAAGGTAATTAATAAATTATATATATATATATATTTTTCTTTTCTTTTTTTTTCTTTTTTTTTCTTTTCTTTTTGTTTCCATACCTCTTAAAATAATAATAGAAAAAGTCACAATAAAGGATAGTTTGGACGATACCGGCAATCATTACCAAAGCACCCTTGAATTCTCTTTCGGTGAATATTCTAACGATCCAGTTTAAAAAGTAAAAGGCTCTGTACCCACCCAAACAAATGATATAGTTGGAGGTGATGGCTTCGACCTCACCAGTTCTTTGGAGGAGGAAGAGTTGGGGAAAGATGGCAACAGCCTCCAAAAATACAGAAAATGTCCACAAGATCTCCATGAATGCATTCGAGTTGGAGTCACCGTCGTAAAAGATACATCCCAAGAGGAAGGATGGAATGATGAGGAATAGAATTCTAAAGTTGTCGTGTTCCTTGTCATAACTAAACTTGTATTTAGTGGTGATCAAATAGATTGTATAGAATGATGAGCAGAGAAAGAATAACTTCATGCACGTGTTATATAGTGAAACAAATGATGTAAATAGATCCAAGTATCTAGATGCAAACACAATACCAAATAATATTTGACTCTTTAATGAAATACCTAAAAGGTGATAAATATATAGAGAGAGAGAGAGAAAGAGGAATGATTAATAATTGTAAATAAATCAAGTCATAGGTAACATTCATAAACTATATACTTTACCTGCACAAGACTTGTCTGCACGAATCTTAAACAAGAGTAAAAGAATACTCACTAAATGGAGCATATCTCCAATTAATCTAAAGACATTCATTCTATTTTAAACTTTACTTATTATTATTACTAACTAAACTACTACTACTACTATAACTATATAGGATGTATAAATGGATTGACAAACAAACTAAATCTATCGATGACGATTATACTATACTATGTTTGAATGACTTGACTATATTACTACTATTAATAAATATGAACTAATGAATTCGAACTAACTTGTTGATGTGTCATCATAACCTTGTCCGTCCTTTTCAGTGAGCTTCACTACCACATCCAATTCTTTTTTAAAATTTATTTATTTTTGTTTTTAAACATGTCTTTTGTCTCAAAGACAGTATGAGTCATCTTATCTCTCTTTATAGTTGGGTAGTTGGTTGTGTATACAAAAATTATGTCTCAAACATACCATCATTCACCTAATATAAAGAGTGAAGATGATCATCATCATCATCATCGTCACCACTATGACAGTAATACAATTACAAGAGAAAAGATAGAGACATTGTTTCTATTACGAATGTTTGATAATGTTATCATTCAATGTTTAACATTATTAAATGGTAATCAATATATGGATATGGAATCAAATAACAACAATAACGGTAGTGGTAACAATACAACAACTAAAAAGATTAATTCATTATTAGAGATGACTGATGGATTACAACATTCATGTGCAGAATCATCATCTTCGTCATCTTTATTGGATACATGTCAATGTCAATGGATAATTGAATTACTAGTACAATCATTATATGAAGTTGGTAGATCAGATGATGCTATTTCATTAGTATATGGTTTCTATTTCAATTCTTTATTACCTTTTAATGTTTTAATCTTAATGTATGTTACATATTACAATCAATATAGAAATATATTTTATTTTTTTAACACCTATTATATATACTTTTAGAACACATTTATTAGTTGATAATAAACAATATAAACAATCAAAATATATAATAGAAGAAGCATTGAATAGAAGAAAGGTAGTTGGTAGTGATTACTATGATCCAAACGATGTCGATGTTTTAACACAAGATGGTTACGACCAATTGGTGGAACTATTAATCTTTCATGTAATGTTTAGAATGAATGAAACTGAAGAGGCTAAAAACTACCTACTCTTGGGTAATGCCTCTCATCTGTCACCTCATAAACTTCAAGGATTTACACAATCACTTCAAGAAATGATTCAAATCAAAGAGATTGAAGAAAAGAATCAAAAGGAATTACAATTACTACAAGAAAAGGAAAAAGAAAAAGAAAAGCTTAGACAACAACAATTACCAAAATCTTCATCTTCTTCACCTTCCATTTCAAATTCACCTTCATTTTCAAATTTAAACTCTGTAAATAATAATATTAATAATAATAATAATGAAGATCAAAATAATAATAATAATATAGATAATAGTCAAAGAAAAATGACAAATAGAGAATTATTGAATCGATTTATTCAAGGTGGTACAAAAGAAAAGATGGAAATGATGATAACATTATTTAAAAATTCAATTGTAAAGACAAAGAGAGCGATTGGAGAGACTGGTAGTTTGATTGTACCAGATAGAAAGCGAGTTCGAAAAATGTTACCATTATTGATTTGGAGTACAATCATCTTTTTCAGTATAAGACATTTGGTAAAAGTTTTAAAGGCAAGAAACAAACCTCTGCCTTTACCAAATGGATCGAAAATCAAACCAACACATAACAACAACAACGCATCATCATTGGTAAAAAGAAGAAACCTAGGATCATCATCATCGAATAGATTTAATCAAAATAACAATTCTCAATTTGGTTCACCATTTGGTAATATTTATAGATCATTTAAGGAACTTATATCATTAATTGTTAATTATCGTTATTAACCAAACTAAAAATTAATAAATAATTAATTATAATTTATATATTTATACAAATATATTATATTATATATTTATTTACTCCCAAGAAGGTAAATGAACACTTTCACGTGATGATGTAAAATGATTAAAATGATGTTGGGTAATAAGAGATTTGTCCAATAGATATTGTAGGATGGTATAATCTGTGATACGATGATAATTATTGGTTTCTTTCATTTTAGATTTGACAAAACTATTCAATGCACCATGTTTCATTAATGAGCATGTACAATTGGTAGTGTTGTGTACGTTGGTGTGATGATTGACGACATATTCAACCAATGCTTTAAATACATCCAAATGGAAATTTACCAATGAATTGATAATGGCGAGTTCAAATTGACCAGAGATATGGTTTACTGATGATGTTTGTAAAATGTGATTCAACGTATCGACATTACCATTGATTGTGCAAAGTAGGAAACTAGTCGTTCTAATGGTACCAAACGATAAACTTGTTTCTATTATTGGTAGGATATCCTGTTCAATGTATTTAGCCAATCTAACATTACCATGAGTTAATGATGACATGTAGATATCGGCTAAATACTGATCGTTCATTTCGACGATCTTTGATATCCCAACAAATGTCTCGATGCTTCCAGATTGACCTATTGCAACGAGGTTTTCGTTGGCAAGGATGATGGGGTTCTTTTTGCAACGTGGAGATTCAATGATGAATCTAAAAGCTTCTACATTTTGTGCATTGATTGCATTCTTTATAAGACTAGTTACAAAATTGGGGTAGATGGGAATGTCGTCGGGAATGGTCAATACCATATTCTCCAAAGTATCTGGGTATCCATGATAACAGGCTGTTACCATTAGATGTTCTCTGGCCAATCCACTGAGTCGTCCCATTGGGATGGCATGTGATAGATTGAACCAATTCTCGACGACTGTGATACGATGTTTATCAGTTTGATAGAGTGCACTTGACAAGTAGGATATACTCTTTTGTGCTGCCTCGTACATTGCAATTTGAAGTAAATGTTGCATCATCTCTACATTTTTAGAGGACAATGATTCAATGACCAACACCATTGGATCGACGTATTCTCTCCACTTATCTTTTGGACCCTCTGCCATCATCCAATCAATCATATCAACGTGACCAGACTTTGCAGCACCCATCAAGAATGCACGTTTAGTCCCTTCTCCAATCTTATTGGGTGGTGCCTTTTGCCATAAATGTTTGGCCAATTCTTTTGAGAATCTAGGGTACAAGTAGAGTTGGTTGAGTACCTCTCTACCATACTCTTCTTCAACGGCCATGAATTGTTGGAATGTTCCTCCATAGTCGGCAATGGCATCGGCCAATTTAGCAGCCTCATCACCGATTGGAAGAATACCAACACTCATCACAAATCTGACTGCCCAATCTGATTGTTGATAATGATGTATAATATGTTTGATTGTCATGTCATAATCTATATTTGATTTTTTGTAAATGTTTGTATTTAAAAATACAAATACATTCATTTGTTCGTGGCTTTGTACAAGACAGTCTAGTGTCTGTCCACTACTCTGCTCCAACACTTTTGATAGTACATCTCTTGTCTTTTTAATCTCTTCTTGCAATGTATACTTTGACTTTGTGTGACGATTAGCAATATATACCATTACCTCTAGATAGATGGTTGGAAGAGTTGGTGCAAGAGTCGAAGGAGAGTTACCAATTAGTGACGCGATATGACTAGCCAATCTAGGTACGGTCGTGTCAAATGTATTAAAGTTGTGTGGTACCGACACGTACTGCTTGATGGCTGCCAAATCATCACCAAACGCAGCAACCAACTCGCTTGCATCACTCATACGATGTTTGACGTTATCTATTGATCCATTGGGATACTTTTCGGTGGCGTTGACTTGATACAGTTGCTTTGCAAACGATAGACGGTCAGGATGCTCCAATGAAAGTGTTTTTACAAAGGTGTGACCTTGCAAGAGACGCATAGGCGTTTCCTGTCTGAGAAACACATCAAAAGCATGTTGATTACCACCAATCATTGCCTGACTGATCAACTCGCTACCGTGAAAGTGTTGACGAAGATGACTGTAGAAAAAGTTAAACAACTTGGGGTCGTGACATCGTCTAGCCACAATATTCATATCGCTGCTAACCACATTAACATAATGCGACCCAGTCTGCAATATATCCTTGGCTAGATGAAAATACTCATTCTTGAACAACCAATATCCACTGTTGATCTGATAGTATTTCTTTCTTCTAGTTGTCTTTTCCTTCTTGCCAAGTGCAATATCTGATTGATCGTCATGTTCATCCAATGAAGAATCCCATGCCAAGAATCCATCTCTTCTTAATTCCAAGTCTGCCTGACTTGCTCTTTCCTTTTTCACAGGTAAAGGTAATCTACCAACCTCTACAAAAATATAATGTACCAATACTTTATTCTTGATTACTTTAAAAAATTCTATATCTAATCTATTATTATTATTATTCATTTTTAGTTGTTGTTGTTATCGTTGTTATTGTATACATATACAATATATATATATATATATATATCTTTAACAAACAAAAAGAAAGTAAAATGTCTACTTTCTTCTTGAAGCTATTTTTTTTTTTTTTTTGTTGGAACAACTTCCATCAGTTTCTAAAAAAATTCTGGATTAAAAGGTAAATATCTGATATTATCATTGTTCTTTTGCCCAAGATACTGGGATTCGTGTTGATCAATAAATATTGGTATTGGTGAACCTATCTATACATCATGTTGGTTTATTTATTTATTTAAATGCCTATGGGTCGATCTTTTCTTTTGATTTTAACTTTTTCATTTTGATATCTGAAGATGTAGCAGCACGTCTAGCAACTGATTTTTTAGAAAACAATTTCTTGTAAACTATAACACCAACAGCTGATCCAATGACGAGTAAACCTCCAGCGGCTGCCAATGGTACCCAAAACTTTTTCTCTTTGTAAAATGGAATTGGTTGTTTGGGACTATAGTAGCCAGTCGGTCGTATGACATTCAACTCGATCGTCTTGCATAGAAAATTGGATGGTGGACATAAAATAAAAGAACCAAGTGATGAAACCCATATCTCTCCTCCTTCTTTTGGACATACTACTCCACATGTCATATTCTCATGATTTACTTGAATTTCCAATGTTCCATTTTCTAAACATCTAAAAAAATAAATAGAGAAAAGATTGTTAATATATATATTATTTTTTATCTAATTTCTTTTTTTTTCATTTTAATTTCATACTTGTGTTCAAAACAACTAGGAGTTGAAATATATTTATCACGAGATAGTTGTAAAAAACATCTTGATGACATTCCACCATTTAATGTGCAAAGATTACCAGTGTTGTTGCTAAGAGCTGCAGGAAGTTGGTAGAATGGACAATAGTCGGCATTTTGTGGACCACCTGCAAATTTATCTTGTAAATGCATTTGATATGGTTGCAAGTCGTCATAATATTTGATGTTGCAGTTGGACATTCCTCTTCGATCAGGGGTGCACCCCATATTATTTGGTGAATTGCAAAAATAACCTCCATTGTCTCTCTCGCCAAGCCTTATGTGTTCGCATCGTCCATAAACAAAATTACATCCTTCACCCTTCCCCCATAAAAACTCTTGGGCATAGGACGGATTTATATAATACCATCCCATGTCTTGTAAAAGTGCCAACGTTAAAACTGACAATGTCATTGTTAATGAACTATCTGATGTCATGATTTCAGTATATGCTATTCTTGATTCCCAATGTGAACCTAAATGTATATATATATGTTATAGTTAGTAAAAATGGATGATATTTTTGTTTTGTTTTGTTTGACTCGACTCTTACAATCAGTATTTGTATTATTACAATCTTCCAATTCAACACCATCAAGATATGGACAATCAAAATGTTTTCTGGCAATTTTGACAACTTGAGGAGTAGAGATTTTACGGACGGCTTTGGTGACAGTGTCATTGAAAGGGTTGACACCGCGAAGTGACGAGTTGACGACGGGCATGTCATGTTTTTGTCCGTCAGGGTCGAGGAAAAGGTTATAGAGTGCCGAAGAGAACCCCAATACATGTATGGTTTCGTGAAGAGCAGTCTGTACAGCTCGTTGAAAGAAAAAGTTTGTCTTGTTGGCATTGCCCACTGGTGCATCTCTGAAATAGGATGGTGCAAAATTGATGAAACCAACGAGTGGACGTCCCAACATACCGTCAGTAGTCCTGTCAGAATCACCTCCATACCAATCAAATGCACATGGCATGCCAAATGCAATGGCGACAGTCTGTGGTCGTGCGGTGACATAGATCAATAGATCCGTGTTGGGCACACCAGCATTACTACCCTGTGACATGTAAAAAGGCAGTGATATGTTGCCGCATTTCCCCCCGCCAGCTCCATTCCAATTGACGTTGGGTATGAGGAGGGGACCATCTCTATATGGAATCTTTACAAAACTACCTACAATCTCTGCGGTGGCTGGTAAAACGTGATGTGAAAAATATTGTACAAATGCAGGTGTCACGACATCGGCTTCACGACACAAGTATAGACAGGTAGTGTTGGGACACCCCAAATATGAATCGAGCACAATAACTTCGCCCGGATAAGTGCACTGTGACCCACATGCCACAGAAGTGTTTAAATAGGATGTATTATACTGAAGACGTAGTGACTGATATCCACTATCATCATATTCACTGTCACCAGTAGGTAATGGAAAGGTTGTTGGATTTGTTGGAAATGGATTATAATTTCTTGGATAACATCCAGATGGTAATGATTGTTTAGTTGTTGAAGTTAAAGTATTATTATTATTATTATTATTATTTTGCCTAGATTGTAAAGTTGGAGAAGAAGAAGAAGAAGATGAAGAATTGGAAGATGAAGAAGTTGAATTTGAAAAAGTATTATTATTATTATTATTATTATTATTATTATTATTATTTAAAGTATTATTATATATGATATGTCGATTATTGGTATTGACAAAGATAGGAATAGTTTTTGATAATTCGGAAATATCATAACATGATTGAAATAAACTGTCACTTGAAAGAAGATGTTGGACAGTTGAACTATTGGAAAGGAATAGTTTCTCCAATGTCTTTTTAGTCGTCGTGTTTGTAAATTGTAGTTTTTGTTGTTCTAGTTGTTCTTGTTGTTGTTGCATCGGTTGGTTTTGTTGGTTTTCAAAAGAATCTGGAGGATTATTAAGATTATCATAAATTCTCTTGATTATGTTATCGACATGTGAATTTGCATTACTATCATGTGAACATTTATGGTCATGTTTGTGTTCTTGTTCTTTTTGTTGTTTTGTATCATCGTTATTATTATTATTATTATTATTATTGTCCTGCTGTTGTTGTTCTAGGATTTCTTTAAAATTCAAAAAGACTTTATCCTCTAACAATCTCTTTGTATATTTGTCTATAGTCGATTGAATGACATCATTCACTTGTTGTTGATTTAGGTCTTGATGATGACGATGATGATATTGTCCCGTCGTCGTATATGTCTTTTTCGTTGTTGATTCCTTTTCTTTTTTGGCATCGACCGACAATGCTTGTAATAGTAATAATACACCAAAGAATAGTAATAGTAAACTAAATATATTCCTCCTCTCCATCTATCAATATATATATATATATGATTCTATTATTATTATTAGAGGAGGAAGAGGATCTGAATGATATTGATAAAAAGTTGACTCTTTTTTGTTACAACTCTATTACATTCATAAACTCTTATTATTATTATTATTATTATTATTATTATTATATCTATCTATCCGTCCGTTATGTATGTTATATATTTTCTGCTCTATTGAATGTTCTTGTCCTTGATTTGTTTGTGTTTTGAGAACGTTCTCCGGAGGGTGGTGTGTTGATTATCTGAAACGAGACAAAGTAGTTTAGAAGAAGAAGAAGTGATGATGATGATGATGGACGGACGGACAAAGTAGAATTAATTAATATCTTTGTATTCTATTGCTCTAATTAATTAATATCTATGTTTATGTTTATGTTTATGATAACCTACCACTTGTTCTAGAATCTACTATACTACTATTACTGATATTACTACTAATCTCTTGTCTTGTGATTATTTCGTTGCTTTTGTGTACTCGAGTTATTTGAATGAATGAATAAGTGAATGAATGAATTGGGGGATGGGTTCCAAGATATGTGTTATGATGTGGTGGTACAATAGGTCAGTTTGTCTGTTTGTTTGGATGTCGATAGAGAGCTCTCTGAAACCCCAAAAAAGTCTCAATTTAATTTAAATTTCGGTTCGAAAAAGGTAAAACTGCTAACTAATCGACGAAGCCGAGTTTTGTGAGTTCTGTGTGCACACACAAAAAGGTAAATAAATAAATAATAAGGTAATAAAAGAAACAAAGTTTAATGTTTGTTATGATGTTACATAATTAGAGAATCAGAAGATCAAAAGGATAAGGATAAGTTGGTGTACCACACTCTCTAACTCTAAGCTTGTCCGAGTTTGGTTTGAGTGTAACAGGTGGGTAAGAATGATACGTTTGATGCACCAATTTTTATTTTATTTTTTTTTGGTGAAAGGTGTCACAAAAACTGTTGGTTGTGTGGGTTTTTCGAGTCTACGAGTTTTCGTGTGTATTACAAGGGTTGGATCACCTACGATGATTCGAGAATTTGAGAGATGAGCCCTTAGTTTAGTTTAGTTTAGTTTAGTTTAGTTTAGTTTAGTTTAGTTTAGTTTAGTTTGTGGTGGTATTGGTATTGGCAGAGGTGGGTTTACTAGCACTATAGAGATAATTGATTTGTTTCATGGGTGGTGCTTTACTTGATGACTTTTTGGTGGTGGTGCTGTCGCTTTGTTTGGAGACTTGTAGTTCTTGGATTTGGACGGACCATTCGGCTTGGTCATCCATATAAAAGTATGGCTCTGCGCAGGTGTTTCGACTGACGACGAGGAGGAAGCCGCCGGGTTTGAGTACTCTATACATTTCGCGTAACAGTTTCTTGACCATTTGATTGTCGCCTACTTCAAGGTCGAGTGTTGATAGGAGGGCGTCTACGGTACCCTTGTCGATGATACCGTCATAAGTGTCGTTGGCAATACCAGTGTTGGTGGCATCGCCAACACGATACTCTAACCCATTCTTGATACGTGTGTTGGTGATCTTGGTGGCCATACGTTGTTGCATTCGTTCGATGGCATTGTTGCAAACGTCAATATTAAGTATCTTGGCATCGATGTTTTTATCCAATTCAACAATCAATTCCTCTGCCAATAAACTATTCCCACATCCAACATGAAGTAATTCTAAACTATTGTTTCTATTACTATTACTATTCTGTTGTTGTTGTTGTAGTTGATAATAAGGTGTAATCATATTATTGAGAAGATGATCTCTTATATGACTATAGTCGACGTACCATTCATAGACGTCACCTTTACCTTCACCGCTTTCATAAAACACCTCCCAAAATGAATAGGATGCAGGTGATACATTGTCCTCGTCCTCTTCTTCAAATTGCTTTACATTCTTTTTATATTTATTATTTGATTTCTTATTATTAGACATCTAATGTAAAAATGAATATATAAATATATCTCTCTTTTTAAATAACAAACAAATAAATAAACAATAAGATCAACATCAGAATCTTTCGTCTTTTTTTGGACTTTGAAAAAAAAATAAAAAAATAATATTAATTAATTAATTAATTCATATCTCTATGATGATTTCCAACATGTTGATGATCAATTTGTGATCTAATATTTGAATCTAATAATCTAATTAATTCCTATAGAATGAAAATGGTTATTAATACTATCATTTTATGTTTGTTTGGTCATATTACTGCTGTCAAGTTTCTTACATTTTTTTCATTTTCCAATTTAATTAACTCATTTCTATACAATTCAACATAATCAATTGATTTCTTTAATTCATCATCCTTTTCTTCAATGGTTGATGATTGTGTTTGGATTGTTTTATCCAATTCCTTTTTTTCAAGTTCCCAGTTTTGTTTTTCATTCTTTAGGTTCATAGTGATCATTGACAATTCATCAATTGTTTGTAGGTATTTTGTCTTTTCATTCTCTTTATCTAAAAAGTGTTGATTCAATTTACCATCTTTAAACAATACAAAAAAAAAAATTATTAACAATCTTACACAATGAGCAAAAAAAAAAAAATCTTACAAGAATCCTTTAAAAGAGTATATTGATTCTTGATTTGATTGATTTGACCTTCAACTCTAATATAATTTGATTTATACTCATTCAAATATTTATCTTGTAATTCCATTCTTGACTTTAAAGTTTCCAACTCTTCCAATTGTATTTGATTACTTTTTTCCAATTGTTTATTTTCAACCTAAATAAACAGAGAGATAGAGAGAGAGATGGAGATAGATAGTTAAGAAGAAAAAAAGAGAGAGGGAGAGGAGAGAGAATATAATATTATATTATTGTAATACGTTTAAATCATGTAATTTATGTATCAAAGTTTGTCTGACTTCACCATCGATTGAATGTTTGTTGTGATAGTCGACAATATCATTTTCAAGTTCAATGATTCCATTCTTTAGATGGTTGATCAATGTATTCTTGTTGTCTTGTGTCTCTTTAATATTATTCATATTCATATTCTTATTCATAATTATTATTAGTAAAGTTGAACAAAGAGAGTAATTTTAGTAGCATGCTTCAAGTGTGTTTACTGGTTTGGTGAAGTTCAATAAAAAAATAATTAAAAAAAAAATTAATATTTTTTGTGATGATCATCACCCCCAAATTAAATCATTAACAAAACCTTTGTTGATTGTTCGTACATATATATTAAAAGAAAGAAAGAAAGAAGATGGGCAGCAGAGCAGGTACCGCAGGTTACGATATGAGTATCGTTTTCTCACCACAAGGAAAGTTATATCAAGTTGGTATGTAATCTCGATAGTGAAAGTAAACACAGATGAGAAGATAACCAGAATCTAATTCATTATACTCTTTTATATATGTGTATATATATATATTTATATCTATATCTACTTTATAGAATATGCATTCAAGGCTATCAAGTCTGGAGGTTTAACTTCAATTGGTATTCGTGGTAAAGAATGTGTAGTTGTTGCAGGTCAAAAGAAGATCCCAGTATGTAAACACAGACATAGATAGTAGATATATATATAGCTAACAGTATTCAATTCATTCACTCATTCATAATAATAGGATAAATTAATCGACCCATCAACAGTTACTTCAATTTATAAGATTACAGATTATATTGGTTGCATTGAAACTGGAATTGTTCGTATGTATAGATAGATAGATAGACATTTAAATATGTTCATTTACTTACTATTTATTTATTTGTTTAGCTGATGCTAAATTACATGTAAGCAGAGCAAGACAAGACGCAGCTGCTTTCCATCATAAATTTGGTTACCAAATTCAACCAAACTTTATGGCTAAAAAGGTAGCTGATTATGCTCAATTATCAACTCAACATGCTTCAGCTAGACCATTGGGTGTTTGTAAGTCTAAAATATAAATATATATATATATATACAACTACATATGACGTATTTGTGTGTATTAATCATTTTATTTGTTTTTTTAATTTAGCAATGATTCTTATTGGTATTGATGATGATTTGGGACCTCAATTATTCAAGATGGATCCATCAGGAGCCTATTTTGGATACAAGGCTACAGGTGCTGGTGAAAAAGAACAAGAAGCTACCAACTTTCTTGAAAAGAAATTTAAATCAAATCCACAACTTACACAAGATGAAACCATTCAACTTGCCATTTCGACTTTACAAAATGTTTTGGGTGCAGATTTGAAGGCTAGCGATATTGAAATTGGTATTTGTACAATGGAAAAGAGAAAGTTTACTTTATTAACAGAATCTGAAATCGATAGTCAATTGACTAAATTGGCTGAAAGAGATTAAAATTATATCAATATAAATAATAATAATAGTTTTAAACAAAAAAATAATAATAATAATAATAATAATTACACCAATTCTTCTATAGATAAGCCTAGATAGAGAGAGAGGTGAGATCTTGGTAAATAATATTGTACAATGAAATAAATAAATAAAAAAAGTAAGATCAACTCCATCCATCATCCATCCAATGACCTGGAAACAATAATTACATTTACATTTTGTATAGATTTTGGATTTATTTTTAGAAACGGTTACACAAAAAAGGATATAAAATATGGTTGTTATTATTATTTGTCATTTTAGTTGTATGTATGTATGTATGTATTATTGGTCGCTGAGATATTATTGTTATTATTATTATTATTATTTTTCTTGTTCTTCTTGTTGTTGTGGAATATCCTTATCTTCTAATTTAATACCTTTGGAGTTTTGGTCAAGGTTGATAACATGTACCCATGAATTGGACTTGCTGCCACGGAAGAGGACGGTAAGGATAATGTAAAAGACAGCATCGATAACAAGACTGAAAATGGTGACTGCACGACAACGGACCCAGTTGTTGAGGAAGTGTGATGTGATAATGACAACTGGCAACAAGATGAACCAAAAGCTGAAAACAGCTGCGATGGTTTGGAAGAAACGTTTCTTGAGAATATCGTGGTTGTGCTTGGACGATGAACGACATACAGTGCAAAGGAACCATCCAAAGATACAAAGGAACATGGCTAATAGAATGTATCCTGGTACAGTGTCATAGTAGAATACGTAGGTCTTTAATGGCATGTAAGTGGCGTTTGGCACGAGATAGATACAAACACTGGCAATCAAGAAACAAACAAAAATAATTGCACTAACAGCTCTTGATACAACTGATCCATAGTGATGTGAAATGGTCCATCCTTGTGCCAATAATAATAATACTAATATAAAGAATGCTCTTGAAATTACATCAAATGCTAAAAAGAAAAAGAAATAGAAAAAAAAAATACAAAGTTAGTCATTTTTCCAAATGTTAGTTCCATTTCTTTTGTTTGTTTGTTTGTTTGTTTATTGTTCAACTTACTAAAACCAGCAACATAAATTTGATTATTACCATGATCTTCTTTCAAATAGATACCCCAATAAATTAAAGAGATGAATAAACCAAATGCCTTGATTAAAACAACGACAAAGAATAGTCTCATGACTGAAGACTCTAATTGACGACGCCACAAGAATAGAATATTAATGGCGACACAAATCAACATCATGAGATAAAAGATGAAAAAGAATAGTTGAGTTTGGGGGATACCGTGTTGATCGGCACTGATGGCACGATCGAATCCATCCCCTTGATTCTTGAATACGATTTCGTAGGAAGAGATGTTGATTTGTGGTGCGATGACAGATGTTGGGATTCTCTCGCAGTTGGCAAAGGCAACGTACCACCAACGATCACGTTGCTGGTTGACTGGAACCACTCTTCCGAGGAGAGTCGAGTTCCATCCAATGACAGTGCTGGCAGCACCGATCTTTTCGTAGCATGAAAGGTCACGTGATTGGACTTTACCCCAATTCTTGGGAGAGTCAGAGTACAACAGTAGTTTGGTGGTTCTCGAAGTTCCAAAGTCTACATTGAGTGATACCGTTGCACCATCATCACTTATACAAAATTTATCGATAAATACCCAATTACTTGTTGTTGAAATATCTCCTTTTAATGTCAATCCCATTGATGTACTTATAAAAAGTACTATTGAAATTATTATTATATTTAATAGTATTTTCATTTTCGTAAATATGATATTATTATAAAATATTCTCTATCTATCTATCTATACTACTGATTAATTAAATAATAATAATAAATAAATAAATAAATAATTTTGTTAATTTAATAATTCTGTTACAAGTGGAAAAGAAAAAAAGAAATAATTGTAATTGTGATTGTTGATTGTTGATTTCTATCTATTTTTAGGATCCCAACAATATATATAAATGTAAATGTATTATTTCTTTTTTAGTAATCACACCTTTGAAACAAAATGAAATGTGATTATTGTATTGGGTATAAATATTCCAAAATAGATTATGGATGAATATAATAAATAATGTGAATGCCTCTAATGGATATCTTACTGTTTTATGGTTTTGTATTTTGGATAAATAAAATATGGTGCAAGAGATAAAATATGAATGTAAAATAGTTGATGTTGTTGTTGTTGTTGTTGTTATTGTTATTGTTATTGTTGTTGTTGTTGGTTTAAATATAAATGTGATCACACAACATTTTAAACACATCAACAATCATAACCATAACCACACATACACACATATATACAAATACAGAAAAGAATCCAAACCAAAAAAAATCAGTATACAGTGATGTGAGAGTAGGGAATGCAAGGGTTCTCACTCACTATGTCTATCTATCTCCTCACGCATAATCAATCAATGGATCGTATTCGTCGATAAAAATATACATGATGTTTGGGATCACTCCCCTCCTTCCACCCACCTTTTGGAAAAAATAAACTAGGTGTGTGAAAGAGGATCGAGTAGTGATGGAGTGATTGATTGTATACCACTCCTTTTCTATTTTCGTATGTACCCCCAAAGAGTATGAATATATATTGTTTTTTACTCCATCAATCACTACACTCTACCCTTCTCCCTATTCACATTGTATGTAATCTCTCTCCTCCTTTCCCACTACCACTCACTTTTTCACAATCATTGTAGAATAATCATCGGATACTTTAGAATACTCCAATCAGAAAATGGTTGGTGGTCTTGATCTTTTATTGGATTAGAGTAGGATTGTTATTGTTGTTTGTCATTATATACAAGGTAGGTTCTTCAATGATTGAAATAAAAGGAAATGATTTTGAAATGGTAATGTGACTAAATCCATTTACCCAATCAGATACTTTAAATCCTTGTAATGTCATTTCCTCTTTAAAAGGTGTAACTAAAACATCATAATCTTTAAATTGAACTTCATATTCTTGTTTGGAATACTTGTAGTTTGAATTCAATTCACCAAATCTTGAAACTCCAGACATTGCTGCCAAATTATCAATATGAATTGATAATGATTCTTTCTTTTTAATAGTAGTAGTGGTTGTTGTTGTTTGTAATAATTTCATATTATTTGTAAAGTTTGAATAATTTAAAATATGATTGTGGTTTTCTTGATTCTGTTGATTCTGTTGTTGTTGTTGTTGATACAATGGTTGTAGTTGTAAATTGGTTGAATGAAGTTTAGTGAATATATCACCACCACTATAATTCTTTGATGATACATAAAGGAATCCCATAGATATTATTAAATTAATAAATAATAATCCCATCAATCCAGTCCATAATATTAATTTATATTTTTGTAATTTTGTGAATCTAAAACAACAATAACAAAAAAAAAGATTAATCAACTATAGTTGAACTTTTTAAAATACAATCTATCTATCTATACATACAATGATTTAATACCAATTGAAATGGTTAAATTAAAAATTGGTACAACGTAGAGAATAAATCTTAATTCTTTGTGTGGTAGAAAAGAATAGATAAAGATGAATGATACAATTGGGAGGAGATAGGGAAGAATGATTTGTCTTTGTTTGGTAAATGACAGAGCTGGAATGAAAAAGAGTGACCAAAGAAGGAGTGATTTGGGAATAGCAGATTTAAAGTACCAACCAAATGGAAGTACACCCCATTCCGAACTCTTGTTTTCCAAAGTATTGAAAAGAAATACTTCCAACTCTGGATACAATAAACGATTCCAAAATAATGAATCAATGATAATACTTGAAATGATACATATGGAGGCTGAAATGATTCCAATCTTGATAAAATGACCAAAAGCTAGAGAACGATTTAAAAGTTTTGAAAAGATGATTGGACCTGACAAAATGAGTACCTCTGAACGAAATAAAAACATTGCCATTGACAATAATACAATCATTCCAGTATTATTGTTTTTCAACCATTTAGAATAGGCAAAAATGACAAGGATCAATGCAAAAGTATTGGGTAGAGTACGAGAGGAATAGAAAATAAAATGGAATTGAGACATTGTGACTAGTGAGAAAAAGTATCCTACATCACTTCCAAATGCTTTTCCAATGGTTCTACGAAGATGAGAAATGGCAACCAAACTTGACATTCCCAAAACAAATCTACAAATGTAAAGACCTGCCAATTTAGTGAATCCAAACAATTGTGATAGTCTAACCAATGGGTAAGATAAAAATGAAATAAATAAAGATCCAATAAATGATCTTGGTACAACTCCTGGAAATTCTAAATGATCAAACTAAAGTTAAATAATTAATTAGTATTTTTGATTTCATTAATATTAATTAATTTATATTTATATTATAAAGAGTTACATTTTCAATATTTGAACCATGATTTAATAAATCATGGATTGCTTGAATATTAAAACTTTCTTCAACTTTTGTAAATGGACATGCATAAATATAAAATATCATAATTACCAATAATGGTAAATCTTGTAAATAATTTGATATTATTCCTTCATTATTATTATTATTATTAACATCATCATTTATTTTTTGTTTATTATTATTACTATTATTATTAATACTATATTGTTGTTTTGTTGATTTTGAATATGTTGATGATGATGAAAAAGTTGGTGAAGTTGGAACAAATTTATAATATGATTTCATGATTGATTGTTCAAATATTTATATATATATATTGACCTAATCTATAATCTCTCTATTGAAATATAATATATATACATAAAGATCTTTTCTATTCCGTCTTTGGCAAGTATACTTACCTCTCTCTCTCTTCTCTCTCTGACTCTCATTCTCATCCACACACAAACACACACAAGTTTCATGGCCATCCAAAACTCTTTATTTTTTATTTTGTGTATAATTATTACACATTCTTTAATTAGTCATTGGAGCTCTTCCAAAAGTTCATTGGAAATCAGATAAAAAAGGTTTACTTTACAAATGTGGGTAGGGAAAAAGGTGGAAAAATGATACTGCAGTGTAGTGTTTGTTGTGTGTTAAGTTTTTCCATTATTTTTCGTTGCCACGAAAATCATTCTTCACAACCCCCCCACATTTAATAGTGTGTTGGTTGGTTTGTCAACCTTTGCTAAAGAGTAAAAAGAATTGAACATATAATACCTACATACATAAATGTATAAACATGTTATGTTTACTAGATGCTAATCTCTTCACCAAGTCTATTGCAGCCTATGATATCATATGCATGATGACGAGATACCTTTAGTTGATTAGATGTCTTTTAGTTTAATAAATACAAATCGCCTAAAAGTTGTATCCTCTTTCTTTTAACTTTTCGATTCAGGACACGAAAGAAAGGTCTCGTCCGGTTTTCACGGCTGTTTGTAGATGATATTTTCATTGATTGTAACCAACCGACCTATTTTAGGTCATTTCTTTTTTTTTTTTTGTTTATTATTACGTTGGTTTGTCCCTATCTTGAAACAAACAAACTCGCCCCCCCCCCCCCCCCCCCCCCCATCATTGTTTGTGACACATCATCATCATCCTTGTCTCTCTTTATTCTATATATATATATATTCTATTCATTATCTATTTCTCGGTATTAGATAACAGATATAGTTACACTTCTCCTCTCTAACAATGAACAAAGAAAGGAAAAGATTTTTATTGATTCTTGCGGTCATAACATTCATAACGTTTACCATTTATTTGTCTTGGAGTCCTTCAAGTGAATCATCGACAGACTATCAAGGTAAAACGAAACAAGTACGATTGATTGAAGAACTACAAAGCAAATTAAAAGAAAGAGAAGCAGAAAGAGATAGATTGGCAGCACTAGTTAAAGACCAAAGAGATAAACAAGACATTAAAAAAGGAGAAGAAGGAGAAGAAGGAGAAGAAGAAAAAGTAAAGGAAAAAGAGGAAGCGTCAGTTGATCAATTTAAATCACCAAATTTGGGTATTCGTAATTACGATAGAGTATTGGATGTTACAAACAAGGCATTGGCATATGCATTCTATGTGACTGATGATATTTACTATTGTGCTGCTGCAGCTACTGCACATCGTCTAAGACAATGGACAGACTATGATATCGTGTTTATCTTTATCACAGCCAACTCTTATACGCCCGGCTCGCACATTACCAACAAGCTCAACAAGCTAACCAACATTAAACACAAATTCATCGACTCTTCGATTCAGGCACGATTCCCAGGCCAAGACTCAACGTGGAGAGACTCGCTCAACAAGTTTTATGTCTTTACTCTGACGGAATACGACCGTATCATCTTTTTGGATGCCGATACTGTCGTCCTCAGAAACCTCGACCATCTCTTCTTTATACCCGACTGCACATTGGCTAGTCCACGTGCATACTGGCTCGATAACCAACCATTCTTTACCAGTTTGCTCATGGTACTCAAGCCATCGCAACACACATTTGACGCATTGGTCAAGGCAACCGAGACCAGCAGAGGTTGGGATATGGATGTTCTCAACGACTATTTCATCAAACGTCCAGATTATCTCATGTTGCCAGGTATCTATGGATTGCTCAATGCCGAGCTTGCATTGGGCGAAACACATTGGTTTGGCGACGACGTCGAAGACACTTACAATAACAAGGCCTATCTCTACCATTGGTCTTACTTTAAACCATGGAGAATCAATGCAAATGATCAACGTGTAACCAATCATGGTAGAGTTGTAAAAGATACTTATCATGAATATTATATTGGAAAGGAGAAATATTGTTAAAAAAACAAAACAAAACAAAAAACAAAACAAACAAATTTAGATAATATTTAGAATAATAATAATAATATTACAAACAACAAATAAAAGTAGGATATGTTGGTAGTACAATTAATTGGCTATTTAAATAGATTAGGTTATTGATTTATTGATTTATTGATTGATTTATTTATTTAACAAAAGTTGGCGGTCTTTACAACGTTGTTGGTGCTGGATTGGAAACGTGAACTAGCAGCAATTGACATGTAGTAGGATACTTGATTGGTTATTTTAGCAGTAAAGGTGGTCCATTCGACAAAATAGTAGGATGTGTAGTCGTAACGGGCAAAGTTACCAGACATGACAGTGTTGGTTGGGTCGATGGTAACGTTGGACATCAATATTCCACGCTTTCCACCAATCCAAAGGTATGCTTCATAGGATGTATTGTCAGCTGAAAGTGTCATATTGAAAGCTTTGCTTTGACATTGAGTTGAATCTGGGTATCTAATCCATTGACCTTCAGCATTAAATGTGACTAGAATATATTGAATAAATAATATTATTTATTTAAAATAAATATATTAATATATCATGAAAACAAAAAAAAAAAGTGAGAGGCCCTCACTCGATGTTATTATTACATACATCCTTGAGCCAAAGCTAAGGTTGAAATTAAAAGGACAACAACAACTAAAATCTTGTTCATTTTCTTATGTGTATTTGTATGTATGTGTATATGTATTTTATAAATGAAAACTAATCTATAATAAAAAGAGTGTTGATGATGATGTGTGCAAAAAGAAAGATTAAACAATTTCAAGGTGCTTTGGAATTAATCAAAGGTCGGAAACTTTTAAAGACAGACTAGGTTCGTGATCAGCATTAGTCGTTTTTTGGTCTGGTTTGGCATAGAAAGGTTGTAAATAACTCGAAACTTGGGAACTCTATAAAAATCGAGCGACGACTTGACCAGAAAAACGACGAAAATTGTAACGGGTCAATCGAGCTTAATTTATGATTGTTCGTCATCCAGTGTTGTGTGTTGGTGACCTCAGCACCTTTTCTTTCATTTTAATAGATATTGTTGTTGTTGTTGTTTATTTATTATACATACATACATATACAGATACATTTATTTTAATTAAAAAAACAGAATGACAAAGATTATTGCTACAATTCTTTTGGTTTTGGCTCTTGCTATGGTCTCTCAAGGTATTTTTTTTTTTCCTATAGTGATTAAGAATCAATCAATATATCAGTGCTAATATAATATATATATGTTCTTAGCATACAACATGAATGGCTTATGGTATACGTTTGGAGACTTCTACGGATGTGGATCACTCAGATCAGTAGCTACCAATCCAAGTGGCAACAACTATGTTTTTGTCAATATCAACAATAGAACCGAAGTTTATTACACCATCAACCTCGCTGGTAACACCTGGACTGGTACTGTTGGATCTTATATCAACAACAAGCCAACTGGTATCTTTTACCCAATGTCTGGTACCGTCGACAGTTCATTCTCTTTGTCTGGTAGCAGCCCAGCCTCTGGAAATTGGCAGGGAACCGATTTTGCTATGACTCAAGTTAGTATGTATCGCACGCACTCATATATCACAACAACTCTTTAATCAAAATCATCAACAATACTAGTACAAATTAATTAATTCATTTCCTTATTTTCTTATACCTATAGATCCATGTTTCAAGTAAACTTCATAACAAAATAAAAACTATTTGTATTTAGAAAGAAATTATTAATAATTGTAGTTGTATATTATATATATCATATCATTGAAGATATCTCTTTACTTTGGCTATCTTTAAAAAATATCAATAACAAAAAAAAATATAAGATAAAAATAAGAATAATAATATAAGGATAATTATTAAAATCAATCGATTGCTTTTAAATTGATAGAAAAATATAATCTAGATTTAAAAACTTCTTTTTTCTACTCTTGGGATATCACCATTATATGTTTATATGATTAACACGATGGTGCACCAAATTTTGTCTTTTTTAATCAAATTAAATATATTATTTTCTATCGAGATGTATTCAACATGGCTGGCTTGTCCTGCTTGGTGTTAGTTTCTCTTGGTTTCATTTTACCCTTTTTTTCTTTGGAAGGGTCACCTTTAATCAAAATCCTATCTCACACGACATTGATTCATCTAACTATTATTGTTAATAATGCCAACTACCGTTCATTGGCACCCGCGATCCATCAGCCAGAAACTATGACCAATGGCTTATCATAAGGAATTGCAATCAAAGATCATATCTCCTTACCTATGATCAAAGGCTACTAAAATCATTCACCATCTTATCCATCACCAATCTTATTTGTGTTGACCAAGCTTGGTCTTTATCGTTATCCCCTCTTTATTTCATAAAGTTGTTCATTTAATATATTACTATCTTTATTTCCTTTTATTACTGTCGAATTCAGAATAAGAAATTGCTGAGACCTCCTTCATGACCTTCCACAATAGCCCAGACCTTGGCCTTGTTTCATCCATCATCTGAAACCCATGACCCTGTCGATATCTCAGACAGGCTCTCTCATAGTTCGGGCATCATTTGGCCTATCCCTTGTCCATCCAGAGCCTATGAATTACCTATAGCTCAGTCGACCAAGAACCGGTATATTTATATGTCATTGGCACCGAATAAAAAATACAACTCAATACCATTCGGAAAAAGAATATTTGAATTTATTTCAATTTGGAATATATATTCGCTCGTCCACATCTGCAAGCAATAGATCACGCTAATAACTTGTTTGAAAGGTGGACTTTGGTACACTTTCGGAGACTTCTACGGATGTGGATCACTCAAATCAGTAGCTACCAATCCAAGTGGCAACAACTATGTTTTTGTCAATATCAACAATAGAACCGAAGTTTACTACACCATCAACCTCGTCGGTAACACCTGGTCTGGTACTGTTGGATCTGATATCAACAACAAGCCAACTGGTATCTTTTACCAAAAAAGATTCCACATTGAAGGAAGAGTTTAGAATATCATAAACTACTAGAGTATTAATAATAATAATAATCTATTGAAGAGAACAACAGAAACGACATTCCCAAGTGTGGGTGTTTTAGTGCAGACCACTTCACAATAAAAGAATTTTCCAAATTATTTATAAATAAAATTAAATTATATTAAATACAGATAAAATTACACAAGCAAAGGGGGTCAAACAAACAAAACAAACAACAAAGACTAAAGATTAAATATATTTAAATATCAATATATAAAAGAGAGAGATAGATAGAGAAGAATGTTAATTAAAGAATAGTATGTTGTTATTTACAGTTTGATGATGATACAAGATGATCTAACTTTACACTCTTTACTGAACACTACTACTACTACTACTACAACTTTTTCATAGTCGTATAGTATTACCACTGACAGTTGAAGAATACCAAGTGGCGCAATTATATATGGTTGCTAAAAAGAGTAAAGTTTGTATCACCAATCAAATGTATAGAGTTGAAATGATCAAAAGCAATTGAATTCTTTTTGTTAACATTTCATCATGATGTTTATAGGAATCAACAAATTCAGGAGAAGGTATTGAAATTGTTCAAAATGAACCATATGAGAATGATAAGTCAAAAGGCCAATACACCTATAAAATCATACATTTAAAAAACTCTTTACCAGCCATTGCTGCTGCCATTTTACCAGCTAGTGCTCTTAAAGTTGAAGAAAAGGCTTGGAATGCTTTCCCTTATTGTAAAACCGAATATAGTGTATGAATACATGTCAAAGTAATAATCATAATAATCATATAGCACATAGACTAACTTCTTGTTCTTTTTATTTAGTGTCCATTCTTTGGTGATAGACTTGTTTTATCAATCGAATCTATGCATAAACCTGGAAGAGGTGAAGAAGAAAATGTTTGTACAATAACCATACTTATATATATATATATAATATATATGGATCATTTATTAATTTATATATTTATTTAGGCACTAGGATGTGATGCAGCAGTTTTAAAAGATAGAGTTGTAGATTTTATTGATATTGCCAATGATCCACTCGATAAAAAGGATTATATTAAAGAAGAGGATCCAAAGTTATTTAAATCAGAAAAGACTGGAAGAGGACCATTGGATGGTGATTGGTTCAAGACTGTTGATCCTGTCATGACTTGTTATAAATTGGTAAAGGTTGAGTTTAGATATTTTGGTATGAATAATAATAATAATAATAATAATATTGTCCAACTATCTTAATATTAATATTAATTAATTATTTAGGACTTCAAACAAAGGCAGAAAATATCATTCACAAGATAGGTGTACGTGATGTCCTTCAAAAGGCACATCGTGCTCTCTTTTGTTGGATTGATGAATGGTTTGGTATGACTATTGAAGATATTCGTAAAATCGAAGCTCAAACCAAAGAAGATATGGCAAATGCAATGAAAGATCAAGAAAACAACGCTGCAAAGAAATAATCATCAAGTTATTTCTTTTGTTACTCTCTGTATTCTTTCAAACAACAACCAACCAACCAACTATTACTACTTACAACTACAAAAAGTTGTTTTGAATAATATTATATATTTGTATACAAAAAAAAAAAAAAGTAATAATAAATGAGGTATTACCAATTTAATTTAATTATATAGATTTATTTATTTTTTAAAGTGTATAGGTCTTTGCCATAAAATCAATCAAGAAATCATCAGCGATTTGGGTAAGAGGAATATTACTAATTCCGTTGTACATGGCAGCTGACCCCTTGTTGGCGAGTGATGGGTCGCCAAGTACAACTTGAACAGCATCTTGGAGGTGTCCAATAAAAGTAGATTCAATACCAACATGACTTGGTGTAAGTGTCATGTGAATGCAAGATGGTTTATGTTGTCTTTCCAATTTCCATCCATACTTTGATTGCATTACATCTGCCACTGCGTGAATGTTTAGTAAAGGATCGGCACCAGATGAAGGGGAGGCACAAAAGGCAATGATTGACATGACCGGGTTACCAATCACTTGTATGCCCTTGATACTTTTAATTCCCTCTTGGATGGCTTTGGATGTCTTCATAATGTTGGCAACATTGCTTTGGAAACCTTTGTGTCCTAGTGAGACGATCGATGTCCATGCAGCGGCAATATTACCACCGGCACGTGTACCAAGCACTGATGGCGACACAAATATGCCACCTGGCCAGCCAGTGTATGCCATAAATTGGTACTTGCGATAGTCGTCACTCTTGAATAGGATGACAGACGACCCTTTTGTGGCGTAGCCATACTTGTGAATATCGGCAGAGATGGATGTGACACCGTCCACTCTAAAATCAAAGAGACATGGCAACTTGTAACCAGCACTCTCTAAAAATGGTAAAAAGAAACCTCCAATACAAGCATCCACATGTAATGGTAAGGAATATGATTTGGCAATCTTGGCAAGCTCTTCGACAGGGTCCAAAATACCGTGTGGGTATTGAGGAGCAGAGGCAACGAGAAGGATGGTGTTTCGGTTGATTGCTCTCTTCATCTTTTCAATATTGACACGATGGCTATTGTCATCAGTGACCAATTCAATGTATCTCAATTTGATTCCAAAGTATTTGGCAGCCTTTTCAAATGCTGGATGTGCAGAGATGGGAAGTACAACCTCTGGCTTACTAATACCTCTGTTTTCGAGTGCATAGTCTCTATAAGCCTTCATTGCCATTAAAATACTCTCTGTACCTCCACTAGTCATAGTACCACGACACAACGAATCACCATTCAACATATTGATTGCCATTTGTACAACTTCCACTTCCATTCTACGTAAACTTGGAAATGCAGTTGGATTCAATGCATTCAAATGTATAAACATATTCTGTGCATCAACTACCAACTTTTCATGTTTCTCATTGGTTGGATAAACATATGCAAATAATTGTCCTTTTCCTAAAAGAATAAATAGTTAATTAGTTATAATTGATCATCTTGTTTTTGATTTGTTTTTTTGAATTCATACTAATATCAACATCAGAATCATGTAATAATTTTAATCTACGCATGACTTCTTTGTTTGATAGACCATCTTGAGGTAATGAACGTTGTTCTTCCAAACCTTGGATAGGAGGGAAGGAATCCTTGATGACCTTGTCCACTTCTGCTCCAATTTCGTTGGCAATCTTTAGATGATATGATGGGAAGAGTTTCTTGGACCAACGCCACACTGTCTTTTTAACTTGATCCACCGAGAGATTTGACAACTTGTTTGCAAAGTATCCCAATGCAATCAATGCAAATATGTGTTCATAGATTCTAATCTTTGACTCGTTTGATAAAAATATTGTAATCCTATCATCAAGTGATCTAATATATTTAATCAATTCATCAGCTACTAATATTGTTGCTACTCCTTTATTCATTTTATAAATATTATATATAGATATGTAAGAGAGAGAAACTAAACTATAGATTATGATCAATGAAGGAAATGGTATTAAAACTGTTTTGTAAAATGAAAGGAAGATACCTCCTCTTTTACAAAATATCTAATTAAATTTTAAATTGAAAGATTCTTTGTCTTTCTTCATCTTCCTCTTGTCTTTTTATTTCTTTTTAGGTGTAACTTTAGAAACTACAGTAGGTGGAGGAGGAACTATAAAATCATCACTATCTTCATCATAACCAAGTGATTCAGGATCAATACCATAACCTTTGATTACATATAATTTGGATGTTTTGGAGATACCAGCTAGTGGATCTTTTGGTTGACCACCACCCATTCCACCATCTTCATCGTTATAGTTGATTTCATCTTGATCTTGATCATCAGAACGACTACTTCTACTAGAGTAACTGTCAGAGTCATCATTCCAATCACGACTACTTTTGAAACCTACTGAACGTGAATCACGGTAACTACTGGATAGCGCACCCAATCCATCATCCATACCCTTGTTAGCCTCTGCAATATGAACATGTAGACGGTTGATAAGATCACGACAACCTTGTTTTACCTTTTCCAACTCTTTCTTTTCATTCAATTCATCCTTTTCTTGATCTTTTGTTGGTACCAATGATTGAATATCAACACCTTGATCCACTAGTTTTTGTAGTTGTTTTCTTTTAGCCTCTATCGATGCCAATAATCTAATTCTTTCTTGTGATGCTTCAACTAATTTCTTGTCCATTTGTTCTTCCAATAGACCAATTGTTGAATCATCATCCAATGTCTTTATCTTTTTCAGTGGAGATTGAAATGATGAAACCAAATGATTCTTTATAGGTGATGTTGTAGTTATAGAACTGCTAGCAGTTGTAAAAGAAGTTCCCAATTTTTTAACAGGAGTTTTCTTTTGGTCTAAATGATTTGATGCCAATACCTTCTTTTCATTCTTATTTACATTTATATTATTATTAATATCTTTTCTTTGTTTCTCTAATTGTTCTTTTTCCTCCTTTTCCAATTGTTTTTGTTTATCATATAATCTAAACTTTATGTATTGTTGATTGACTTTTGTCCATTTCATAGATGAATATAAAGTTATCTTTGTTTTGTTTTCATTTAAATATAATTTCGTCTCGTTTAATATCCTTTTATTTACCAATTCATCTATATCTTCTTTTAATATTACATTTGCCTAAAACAATCAAGTATTAATTAATTAATAATCTCATTCATTAAGATGTTGACATTATCATCCAATGTACATACTTTAAAATGTGATTGTAATTCATTCAATGTAACAGGTTGATTTAAATTGTAAAGAAACTCTATTATATCATTGGCTTGATCTGTTTTGCAATCCTCACGCTCTTCTGATTGTGAAAGATAGGGTAAATGTTTAAATGGATCTATAGTCTTTGGTTTGGTTGTTGTTGATTTTACAGTTGTTTGCTTTGAAGGCATCTTCTTTGGTGAAGCTATTGAAGTTGATACTGAAGATTTCTTCTTTGTAGGAGGGGGAGGAGCAGTAGTTGAGCTACCTATAACAGGCGATACAAATGATTTAAACGAAGATGCACCATTCTTTCCTGTCTTTGTTGGTGATGATGTTGATGTAGATGCTGTTGTTATTGATTTTACAGGAGATACAAATTTGTTAAACTTCTTTGTTGACATTGTATAATTGTGTGAACAACCAATTAAAACTTTGAATGAAATGTAGTCAAAAAAGTCTCCAAAACAACCTCAAATTAGTTTTTTTTCTTCGAATTATTAAATGAACCCTCATATTAAATAAATAATATTATCAAGATAATCTATCTATAAGACTTATATATATATATTATATATGTTGAAATATAAAGTGATCAGCTTTCAATTTATTTATAATTTATAATTTAAATAGATAGATATATTTAATGTATTTAAAATAAAAGGTTAGAAAGAGATGGGATGGGATGGGGTTGGGAAAGGAAGGAAATGATGGGATAAGGGTAAAAAAAAGGATTTAAATTGGTTGGATTAAAAATATTGAATAGATATGAATATGTATATGATTGAAAATGGTTTCTTGTTTCATAATGGGATATGTCAATTTAATGGGCAATTGACATGTTGTTTGACCCTCCTCTTTTGGTACTCTTGTCACGTCCTTGGTTGTTGTTGCTGTTGGAAGTACTGGTCGAAGAGGTTTGTTTGTTGTTGGTTGTTTCATTCTTTTTGGGAATTACTGCTTTACGACCACCACGACATTTAGTAGGAGCTTGAACAAAGTAATCATCTTGTTGTTCAACCTCGACCACCTTTTTTTCCTTTTCCTTTTCCTTGACCTTTTCAGGAACAAACGTGATTTGATCAATGAATTCTCCATCCTCTCCTACTTGATCATAGGAATGGTAGAATACATATCCTGTCCCTCCATCTTGGTCGTCATCGCCATCATCAACACAGTCATCTAATTCACCACGACCACTAAAATCAAAGTGTTCAATCACTGGTGAATGGCCAAAGTACTGTTGCTGCTGCTGCTTTTGATGATCTTGAATACTACTAGCACTGTTGCCATCATTAAACGATGTACGTCCGCCACCTGGAGATGATGGTGAAGCATCAACAATGGGTTGTTGTTGTTGTTGCTGCTGAACGACGACATCATGCTTGATGACGGTTGACTTTACGACCACTGATGATAGTTGTTGGGGGAGAGCACTGGCAAGGTTACTGATGTTGTTGTTGTTGCTGCTGCTGTTTAGTCATAAGTCTGAATCACTAGAATCATCAAAATCATCTTCGTCATCGTCTTCGACATTGAAACCAATGTTATCAAAGTCGTTCAACTCGGCAAGATCAATCTTGTAACGCAACATGCCACCCAAGCCACCGAAACCCTTGCAAAACTGCGATCCTTCTGGCGAACGGTCGGTAACCAACTCAATGTTGGCGCCAAACGACTTGTAGTTGTTGGCAAGCCATTCGACCAAGGGAGTAGTTTCGATGATTTCATACTCGTTGCCAGTCTCCTTGTCACGCAAGAACGTTTGGTCCTTTTCCTGGGCCTTGGTGAGGTAGAGAACCTTGTCCTTTGGATCACTTGGTGTCTTGAGGACATAACGGTTGATTTCAAGTGCCTCCCAGACAATGATGGTGCTGACAGCACCCATGTCCAATGCACGCAACGAGTCGGCTACACCAAAGCAAATCTTGCCAGTGTCTTGAGCAATCTCCTCGAAAAAGCCAGAAATGAGCTTCTTTTCTTGGATCAACTTGACGTTGGACAAGACCTCTTGAGACAACTCGATGGCTTGGTTGAAACCATTGTCACCACCATAAGAAATATCAACAATCTTGATAATCTTGTCACGAAGACGTTGATCAAACATGTCCGAACCACCCAATTCAGTCTTAAAATCAGCACTACCTGCAAGAATTAATCCTGATACATTTGACTAAAAAATAGAAAGTTAATAACCTTTTTTCTATCTATTTCTTTTTCTATTTCTTTTGTTTGTTTGTTTTAAAACTTACTTTATCATTTGTAATATAAAATTGAGTTGATAATTCAGCAACCTTTCTAACATAGTTGTGACGTTTTTCAAGACGAAGACGAGCAAAACGAAGAGCAGATTGACCACCTCTACCATGCTTTTTGGGGAGATCGACAGTGATACGATGAAGAACGGTACGGGTGCTACCAGAGAGCAGACCAAACAGGGCACCGTTACCATCGACAATGATGAAACCAAACTTTTCGTCGGCTTCCAACAATTCGGCCAATGGCTTGGTGTGGAACTTGCTGTCACAGAGGTACAACGAAGTGTTGATTGGCTTGAATGGTTCAAAGTCAATGGTCACCTTTTTCTCCTTTGGATCAAGAATCGTTCCACAGTAGATGGCCAAACCATTCTCGGGTACACGATTGTAAAGTTTCAATCTGTTTTGAGTAGAGGTAATAGCATCTTGCACCGATTGTCTGTTTACTCTAGACTTGATGTTTGAAGCTGCTCCATACTCTTCAATCAACATCTTTGAAATCTTTGGAATTTGATCACCTGATCTAATAATTAATGAAATCATTGATGTCCCATTACTAAAATAAATAAAAAAAAAAGAAAAGAAGATAGATATTGATTGATTAATAAACTTTATATTTTTGATTGATTATATATATATTTACCCTCTTGCACTTTCAAGATTCTTGATTAACTTTTTAATCTTCCATTGCTCAACTTGAGCATCCATCTCTGCATCTTCAATTGTAGACATTTTTTTTTAAAACTTGTAAAGAAAGTAGAACTTAAAGTTGATTAAACTAGTTTGTTTGTTTTTAAAAGTAAAAAAGTTGTAGTTGTATAATTTGTAATTTGATTATGAATAGTAGTAATATATAAAGATATAATATAGTTTGAATATTTAGATATATATACAAATATATTATAATATAGAATTAATGATTATTTATAACTTTTTATGTTTGACAAACAAGAAAGATATCATCAAAGTTGGAACACCCCAAGACAGGGAAGGAAAATTTTAATAAAAAATATTAAAAAAAAGAAAAAATGGGGAAAAACGACCGAATCCAGTTGTATTATTTTCAATTTATTTATACATATACAATATTAATATTAAATGTGTAAAGTTGTTATTTATATTTCTTCTCCTTTACAATATCAGCTTCTTTGACTTGTTTAGTGTCAAAATAATCTGAAGTTTCAGGACGGTTGATTCCTGATTGAGGTATGTAGGTTGCTCCCTTTTGTTGTTGCTGTGGATTATCTTCATGTTCATCATTGACCATTGAATTAATAATACTTTCGGGTACTTCAAACACTTTGTGTACTCTACCAGTATTGGCTTCTATGAGGTTAATGTTGGTGACAAGGAGAAACTTTTTAAATGGTTTGTTTTTGTTGTTTTTCTTTTTTTTTGTAAAGAGTGATGATAGTGACCAGCTGCGACCAGGAGTCTGGATATTTTGTACGAGGTTGAGAGGACTCTTATAGGCGAGTACTTCAATGACAGAGTTCCCGTGAACATGGTTATCGGGGATTGGAAAGACACATTTAAAGTATTTCTCGGTGAATGGTGTAGATTGGTTGGTCACGGGATTAGTGAGTTGTCTAGTAACCTTTTGTTTGTCAAAATCACATTCTTTGATATGGGGTAGTTGGAAAGGTGTACGTGTGATGGCTTGTATGGCACCGCGATGCTTTTGAATCTCTGACATGGCAGTCTCGTAAAACACATTGTAATTGTGTACCTTCCACCACAAATGTGCAATCAAGATTGCACCGATCGGTCCCACCGTCGACATGATCAAATCAAACGACAGTCCAATCAAGGGCAATATAACGGCTCCCGTCACACCAAACACCGCCATCAACCCAGACGACAGTATATTCCAAACAATTGATTTCGATCGAATATGTATCAACCGTCTTCCAAGTACTTGTCCCAACTGATTACTATGTAGAAATAGGTTGGTTCTATTACCATTGATTGGTATAGAGTTAATTGAATGTTGTTTATATTGTTGATTTTCATATTGATATTGATAATGATTATATCTTGATGATGACAGTTCACTACCGCCACTACCACTACTATTATTACTATGACTTGTACTTGTACTATTTCGATGATTATTAATATAGTTGATTTGATGATGTTGTTGTTTTATCCCTTGAACAAGCAAAGGATGAAATAATATTCTATTTATTCGATTCATTATTATCTCTCTCTTCTTTTTTTATTATTTTGATTGTTGATATCAAGTTATATTAATTAAACTTGTGATGTTCAACTAAAATGAATTAATTAATTTGTTTCGAAATAAATTAATTTGTTTCAAAGTTCATCTTTTTTTTTTCGAAAGAGATAACTACGGTACGGTGTCGTCGACATACACACACAGCACATACACATACTATACTACTACCCTCTCAAAATGAGTGTGTGAGTATACTCAATGAATGAATATGATCTGATGGTTTGGTGGTGGTGGATGATGATGATGAAAGTTCATTACAGACATTATCATTGAATTAAACTAACAACAGACAGATAGATAAGATATTTCTTATTCTTATTCTTCTTCTTCTTCTTCTTCTTCTTCTTTGTATTTATATATTGTATAGATAAATACATACATCATAAGAGAGAGAGAGATGAAGTTATTTATTTGTATTTTATTCATCTCGATGATGATAATAATGTTTATGACATTACAAACTGAAGCAGTTGTATGTTTTATATTCCAATGTAATTAAGCAAGCAAACAAAAGCAAGCAAAGAAAAGAAAGATAGAAAAAAAAAATACAATACTTTACTTAATCAAATTTATCTTTTTTTTTGTAGCCAGGAGCAGGTAGATTAATTACAATTAGAACAGTGAAACTTGAAACATCACATGAATACCAAGCCGATCTAGATGACAGAGTGATGCGTACCGATACTCGCAACTTTTGGAAGAGAATGCAGAGCAATGACAGCGATATTCTCGAATCAATAGTGTCTGATCCATCAGTCATAGCCATGATTGACAAGGTTGCAGTGTTTTATCCTCCCATTTTAGAGAATACAGAGGATCCAGATGAATACCATGCCGTCGTATTCAATACGTTGGAAGACTTATTTGTGGAATGGGTACGCGAGGCTATACGTCCTCAATTTACCTATAGTATTGATGCCGTCATTGCAAATTATTAGACATTCAACCAACCAAAACAACCAAATCAACCAACATATAAATATAATATACTGTCAACCCTATTACCCATCAAAAAATAATTAGGGACTTGTGTCAATATCAATTACTTTTTGAAAAATGATCATTGAGCAAATGGAACCAATATAATCAAGGTAGCCACTAAAGATCAGATCATACCAACAATGTACATTTTATGTGTACCGGAGGTTGATTGAAAAAATGGTGAGATACAATATCATTGTTGGCAGAGACATGAAACCAAACACAAAATGTCCTCCTTTCTCAATCTATGCAAAAAAAAATGTTTCAACAAAGTCTTTGGGATTTAAATATATTGTTAACAATATAGGGATGATACCAACAAATTTGTACTGGTGATGTTTAACTTTTGAAATTTACATCATAATCGAACATTCCAACATCACACAAATTATGATTCTACTCAAATTGATCAATCATACTTTTGAAAAAGCATATGGGTTTTTTTTTTTTTGCATAGGGTCAAGTTGACAATGCCAATTCACACACCTTCATTTTCAACACGGTCAACATTATTAACTACTATGGTGACCCTTCTTTTTCATTAATGCAATGACAAATTGAAGTCAATCCTATTCTCTATTTAAAGGTCTTCAGATACCACGCATAAAGTTCAATCAATTGTTTTAATTGTTGATATCCAAAAAAACAAAAGTAAATATTTATTTATTAACTAAACAAATACTCTTTAAATATTTCTTTTTATTAATAATATTATTTTTTAAAAAGAAAAAGAATGAAAATCGCAATTTATTGAGTATTGGTGATTGTATTATTGGCCATGTGCACTCTATCATCGGTTGAAGCCAAAAAGAAATCCAAGAGAGAAAAGCATTCAATTAAGGAGGTGTATCAAGCCAATGAAAACTACCATAGGGATGAAGACACTAGACCTTTTGTTCCTGGAACTGTTCTCGATCCACCCATCGATTGCTACAAGGCATGTCATTCTGGTCCAAATTGGAGAAGTCTAGTTTGTGATGTCATTCCTGCTGCAGGTAAATTCCTCAAGGATTACTGTAAACAATATGAAAACCCAACCAGACCAGACCTACAATCATGTCGTGACAAATGTACCTATTATGCCAATTTGATCAAATCAGGTTTCAAGGATCTCTATCCACCAAGATATAGTGTAGCCTGGCTTTGGTTTTGACAAAAAACAAAACAAAAACAAAAAAATTAATAAATAAACAACAATTAATAATTAATTAATTGAATCATACGTACTAGTATTAATAATAAATAATAGGATTCTAACTGACACCAAATTTAAATCAAATATCAATTTATAAATAAATTACTTTAATTTGAATATCTTTATTTTTTTTGAATTTATTAGTTCATACTTAATTTTTTTTTCATTCATTATTATTTCAATTTAAATCATGTTTCAAAATATAATAGCAAGAAAACCTTGTTCTAAATTGGTGGATGGATTGACTACAAGCAGTCAATTGGGACGCCCGTCGTTTGAGAAGGCATTGTTACAACATGCGAGATACCTCGAAGCGTTGCAAGAGTGCGGATGCAATGTGGAGGTATTAGATGCCAACGAGGCGTTCCCCGACTCGGTCTTTGTCGAGGATGTGGCGGTACTCACACCAAAGGTTGCTGTTATAACTAGACCTGGTGCAAAGTCGAGAGTGGGCGAAATAGATCTACCAGACTTGCACGTTGCAATCTACAACTATTACCGTGACCGAGGGGTCGAGGAGATTAAGCATCCGGGCACACTAGACGGTGGTGATGTGTTGATGGTTGGAGACCACTACTACATTGGATTGTCATCAAGAACCAACCAAGAAGGTGCGAATCAACTCATTGCAATATTAAACAAGTATGGTATGAGTGGAGAGGCTGTTCAAGTACCCGAATCATTACATCTCAAAACAAGTGTCTCGTATCTAGGTAACAACACATTGCTTGGATGGAATGAGTTTAAAGAATTAGAGCCATTCAAAAAGTTTGCATTCATCACTGTCGATTCCCTCGACGAGCTCTATTGTGCCAACAGCGTCGAAGTCAACGGCACCATCATCATGCCAGCCAACAACCCCCACACCAAAGCCAAACTTGAAGGACAAGGCCTAAAGGTCCGAGAAGTAGACACTAGTGAATTTCAAAAGTTGGATGGAGGTGTATCTTGTTTAAGTTTACGTTTCTAAAAACCACATACACACAAGTAAAGAAAGAAAGAAAGACAACCATCATCATGATCAGATCTATTTGTCCACTTACAGATCTCCAATTGATTGGATGGATGTCAACCTCCGAATCCCACCCCATCCTCCTCTTCCTCATACTCCACATTTTTCAAATCATTTCATTGATAGTTCGTATTCTTATAAAGTAAAACTAAAATAGTAGTAGTCTGTTCTTTTTGGTAAACTATATGTGTGATATACCCTTGTACTTCTATTTATTCTATTTTTGTTTTTTTTTGTTTCGATCTCCAATGGATCACTGTGTTGCAAAACCCCGCAATTGTGAACATCCACTCCTACCACCAACCCTTGTACATGTGTCTATATATTGATTGAAGAGAAAGATGTCATAAACACTACATCTCTGCCTGTGTGTGTGTGTGTGTGTTAGAGAGTGCTCACTCGTCATCATCAACAACAATGCCAACTAAAAGACAGAATGTCAAACCCTAACCCTCATCCCCCAACGCGAGAGTGGTATTTAAATAATAGAAGAATAGCTAGAAGAAACAAAGTGAGAGATAGCTTTTTCTCTCTCTCTCTCTCTCTCTACAACCAACAACCCAATCAACACTGATCAACCAACACAATTCAACAGTATTCTCTAATCTACAACTACAACAATATTATCTCTCTTATAAATCTATCTTTTTTTTTATTTGTACAAATATATATATATATCTATATCTAATCAACTCATGCAAGACTCTTCAAGTTCACCATATGTGCCATGTGTGTGTGATCCATCTGTAGTATGGCCAGACAGAGACACATCATCTTGGGGCGATGATTGTTTTGAACAAGGTTGCACTGCATACAGTGCATTATTCTTTCTCATATTTCTTTTGCCAACGGCAGAAGGTAGTCGACGTATTTGGATGAATCGTGCCAACTATAGGAACACTGTATTTATCAGTAATTTCCAGTTGACCTTTGGATGTCTATTGTTTACCATCCGACAGATCATGATGCTGGCCAAAGTCACCGAACCCATCTCCTATGCGGTACTCTTGACCTTTGGTTTCTCCTTTTTCTTTTCTGCCTATCTCTTTATCCTCATGTCATGGTGTGAAATCATTCGATCCATCAACTTTTCAATCATCATTCAAAGAGTATTCCCAATCATTAGAATTGTTATCATTTCTCTAAATGTTATATTATTTGCTGGTTTTACTGTTAGTGTTATTAGTAAGTAATAATAGAAGATATATATATTTAATTAATAATTAATAATTAATATATGTTAATTTCTTTTTTTTTTTTTTTTGTTAGTTTGGTGGCCATACAATGTAACCAATGCATTTAATAGTTTTTATGGATTTGGAGTAACTTTGGGATTTGCTATTTTTGGTTTCATCATTTATCGGGAATTCCAAAAGATTAAAGAGGCTAATCAAGCCAGTCAGAGAGGTCGAGAATTGTCGTTACGTGTACACCGTGTGGTGATGTTGTCAGTGTGTGTGTCGCTGACGGCCATCCTGTTGACACTGGTCATGATACTTGCTTCTATCTGGTTCCCAGGTTCTGCTCGTGAAATGGTTGGTTGGCTGTTTGTCAATCGTTTTGCACTCGCTTTGTTTAGTTACACAATGTATATCTGTCTCAAAGGAAGTCAAGGTAAAAAAGATGAAGAGGTTCAAAAGAGGCTTGATGCACAGTGGGTCAAAAAGAACCAAGAAAACATATTCACCAATGTCTCGTCCAATGGCAACAACAACACATTTGATAGTGGAGAACAATTCCCAGACGACTTTGTCTACCAACCACACCAAATCATCGATACCAATGGTGCTCACCACACCGCTGCCATCGGATCACTTGAATTTACCGATGATTCGCTCACCAACATTACAACGCCACCTCAATCGCCACCCAAATCAATCGAATTTGATGCTGCCTCTAGTGACATTGAAACATCTCAGTCTGAACCATAGAGAGGGTCTCCTTATCTTTTTTTCGTCGTTTGCTAAAGCAACCAACCATCCGTCGTCAACTTTCGTCAATCTTTAGCAAAAGAGCAAAACCAAGGAAAAAGGTACGAATCCCTAACCCCGACCATCTATCGACGAATACATACTAAGCGCAGTGTTTATATGACCCCGCGCAGTGACCTCTATTAATATAATAATATATGAGGGTCACATCACTCTATCATCATTATTGTGTTATAACAAACAACAACAACAACACAACCAGGCAGTTTTAATATACCTCTTTCTCTATTTGTACAGTATACCTTTTTTTAAAATAAATATTTAATATTTATCTCCATTTGCAAATTAAAATAATAAGATCAATCGTTTCTTCTTATCTTCTCAACCCAGAGTCTGCTGTGCTTTGTCTTAAAAATTCAAACCCTCTCTCTCGAAACCTAACCTATAAATTTAGTTACTAAATTCTATTCTTTTTTAAAACTAAGTTGTTTCTCTAGTTGAATACTTATATATTTATATATTCAACTTTCCTTCTTCTCATTTATTTATCTATATATAAAAGTAAGTAGTAGTTTTAAACAAATAAATAATCTTAACCAAACAAGTGAGCTTCAAATTTAATTTATAATTATTCTTTTTTTTTTTTTTTTTTTAAACTCTTCTCTTTCTTTTAATTTTTCTATTTACTTTTTATTTAGATGTTAAGTTATTATTATCCATTTTATGTTACTAGAACATTAAGAAATTTAAAGAATTATGTTTGGTGGACAGATGTAGTGTCACCCGATCAAATTCATATCAATTGGATTCAACGTGTCTTTAACGACTATTACAAGAATCGATTCGGAGTGGAGGACTTTGCAAAGTACTACAAGATTGAGTCATTCTCGGTGGTCGGTGACAATGAAGATGACGCAGTGACACAAGGTATGACATCTAAAATCACACGTGTCAAGATGGTGTGGAAGCAGCTTCAAGACAACAATCATGCCTTTATCGAACCACCAAGCTCGGCCATTATGAAGTCTACTCATCAATCATTGAATGCATACAAGGTTGCTACTAATCTCAATAGTCAAAGAGAGGCATTGTTCTATGGTCGTCTTTCAAAGCAATTGTTGACCGATGATGTCATGCGTACACTTCCAGAAGTCTATCTCAGCTATGCACCTGCTGCCGATAAATGCAACTATGTCATTTTCATGGAAGATTTATCGGGTGACAAGGCAGAGTCTGTTTCCAAGCTACTTGGTAACCAGTGTTGGGGTGACCCAAAGTGCAGCAACCGTGCTATTGATTCGTTTGAAAAGAGAGAAGCACTCCAAAGCATCTTTTTGGCCATGGCTGATTTACATTCGGCCACTTGGAAGAATAGAGATCTTCTTGCCTACCCAACACAAGAACTCAAGTTTGCAAGCTGGATGCGTGGAGAAAACAAGGAAGAGTGGGAAACTGGTATCAATCACATCGCAAGAGAATGGACCAAAATCAAAGAAGAAATGCCCAAGTCGTCTATCAAATGGCCACAATCGATTGTCAAACTCTTTGATAATGCCATTGCCAATTCTAATTGGCAACGTTTTAGAGATACCACTTCACACCCCAATTTTGCCTATAGTCTTGTCCACGGTGATTTCCATGCTGGCAATATGTTTTGGAATATCAATTATCAACAACAAGTCAATCAAGGTTTCATTCAACATCCATCTAAAATATTTATTGTTGATTGGAGTGAAATTGGTATATTTTGTATGTATAAATTATACAAACAAACAAACAAATATTTATTTATTTTTGATTTATATATATATATATTAACTTTTTATTCTTTTTTCTTTTCTTTTAGGTCCATTCTCAGAGTTGGCACAATTTATTATTTCAAATGTTAATCAATCGGATAGACACCAATATGAAGAAGAATTGTTTAGATCGTATTTTGATAGACTGGTAGAAAACGGAGTTAGAAACTTGGATTATTCCCAATGCTTCCAACGTTACAAGATGGGAGGTATTGAAAGATGGATTCAATTCATTGTCATCCTCAAGTCAAAGTGTAACGACCATGCAATGGAATGGTTTATTCATCAATTGTCATCATTTGTCGAAGCCCATGAAGACTCTATTGATTTAAATTCAATCCATTTATTAACTTCCTATCCAATCCAATAAATAAAAAGTAAATAAAAGGTAAACTATAAACTACTAAAATTATAGTATTTATAAATAGTTTGTAGTTTTTTTTAATTAAAAAAAAAAACTGTTCCAGAATTGACCAGTCACAATCACCCAAAAAAAAAAATCTTGATTCATGAATGGGCAAACAAACCCCTCTTCCATTGAAAAAAATATCATCGTTTTGAAATGTTTTGTTTCAATGCGAGGGGGTTACTGTGTGTGTGGGTTAGGGAAAAGGAATGATACCGAACTCTTATTCTTGATGATTGTTGGTGTGTGGGTGTTAGGGGTATTGATTCAATTTTGCGTTCCAATTCATTCAATCCATGAGAAGGAAGCAAACCTTCCCTTCCACTTCTTTTCTTTTTAATTAAAATTTTAATTAAACAACCTTTTGAAAGTTTTTTTTTACAAAGAATAATAATATAATATAATTATTTTTTATTACCATAAAAAGTAAGCAAGTTTTTATTTATTAACAAACAACAAACTAAAAACTACCAAACAAATTTGAAATCAAATAACACAAACAAATAACACAAACAAATAACTCAAACAAATAATAATAATAAATTATAAATTTATCACAAATAGTAAATTTCAAACAACCTTAAAAAAGCTATACAAACAACACACATCATATACATCCGATATCACAAAGAGACGATAATTATCGTATACATACAACTACAACAACAATAGCAACAATCAAATACGACATCTTTTTTTAACAGATACAGGGTAAACAAAACAAAACAAAACAAAACAAAACAAAACAAAACAAAACAAAACAAAACAAAACACTATAGTGTGGGTGGGTATAGGGCATACCAGTAGAAAATTAAATTGGCTTTGATACGATACGATTCATTACACACACATTTTAACTACAATAGTATACACAACAACAACAACAAAGAGGAAGCGTATTTTTCATTACACTCTACTAGTAGTTTCACATTCAATTTCAATTGTTTGTTGTACATTTACATTCATTATTATTATTTAATTTATTTAATTTCATCCATCCTCTTCCTCTTCCAAAATTAAAAAGTTGATATTATATATCTATATCTTTTACGGTATTTTAAATTAAATAATCGTAAAATAACAAACAATTAACAACCAACCAAACAAACCCACAATCTCGACACACGATAATTGTAAATAATAGTAGATAACTAAAAAAGTCAGATTTACTTGTTTGTTACTACCAGATTGTCAAAAAGTAGTAATAAGAATAATAATAATAATTATTCATATCGTTTATCAAATTTCCACATTCTCTTTCTCACTCACAAACCAATTCCTATTTATTTGTTTGTTTGTCTAACATCAAAAAACAATGATTCAACAACCATTTCTTGTACGGTGCCAAATCCATCTCCTTTTTCTTTTTCTTCTCAAACAAACATTCTTTACTATAAACCTACATTAAATAGATTATAACTAACCTAAATATATATTTTTTTATCTTTGATTTATCTAGACTCCATCAACTATTTTAAATAATATTAATAATAATAATAATAATAACAAAATGCAAAAAGTAGAAACTACAACCACCATTCCAGCAAGACCAGTTGAACAACCGGTCATGAATATCATCAAAAAGAGACCAGCTGATTTGTTACAAGATTACAACAAAATCACGACAAAGCACTAAAAATGATAATCTATAGATACTTTTGGGTTGAAAGAAATAGGGACAAAGAGTTAAAATACCCAAAATACAATCACACAAATGCGCATTTCAAATAATCAATAATATCTTATTACACCAATCAACCAATCATCCAACCAACAATCAATCAATCAATCAATTTCTTCTCTCTTTTTTGGTTCACTTTGTATCCACATATCCCCAAATCCAATTATAATAATTTCCTTTTTTTTCATTGTACATTATTAATTAAATCAATAATAATCAACTTTATAATCTATTCATTTATCAACAAAAGGCCTCATCATCCATCATCTATCAATGAAAATGTGGGTCTGAATTCAGATCGAACTTATTGTTTCAAATGTTTTAAACATTTATTTATAGTTTGAATATATTAAAAATGTATTTAAATAATATAAATAATAATAAAAAAAAACAAAACAGCAAGTCAAAATTAATTGTATCCTTTTATAACAAAAAAACAATAATTCTTAAAATATTTATTTATTTATTTTTTAGAATTATTTATTTATTTATTTATTTTAGAATTAATTCTAATATTCCTCTGGATAGGTACCAAGATTAAATTTAATTCTGTCAATATAATTTTCAATTGTTTTACCATCTTTGTTGAATTCCTCTCTTGTGAGGAAAACAGTTTGGTTTTAAATTGGGGAAGTTTAGCAATGATACTAAAGACTGCACCTGGACGATAGGCAACTGTAATTGCAGTTTTGAGACGAGCTGCTAGACCAGGGAAATTGGATGATCCACCAGCCAATACAATGTTGTTGAGCAACGATTGTCTGTGAACAGATACACTAGATTCAACAGAGTTTATGATTGCTGATGGTAAACTTTTAGTTGAAATGCATCAAGGCTGGATTAAACAATAGCTCTCCAACATAGATCTGCTTGTTACCGTTGGATAGTGTGATTGATCCAGATAGACCGTTGGAGGCGGCTGCAGTGACAGAGTCTGGTGCGACCTTACAATTCTTCTCTTTTCCAACTCGGACATCATCAATTTGAAGTGTAGTGGTGACAGAATTGGGTTGTTTTTCATTGATGAGTTTGAACAAGTAATTTGTTATATCTCGTCCGCCATAATAGAGAGTCTCGACACCGTTGGTAATGATGTATCCATCTTTAATAGGAACAATGTGGATGGAATGGCCACCAATATCTACTACCACACCTGTGTTTCTTCCGGTTGCATAGAGGGCTGCTACTTGTTGATTAACAAAAGTTGGTTTTTGCACTTTGAGAGTGTCAAAAAAGTATTTGGCCTTTTGAAGACGTTTGGATGGAGTGTTTCCTGTGCACTCTGATATGATGGCCAAAGCTTCATTTGGCATCAAACGCAGTTTGTTGTATGAACAGTCAGACCAGTATCTTTCCATGTTGGGAAAGTCAGAGACCAGCCCCCTCTGCACAGGGTAGTTGATAGTGTAGCCAGATCGGGCATCATGTCCATAGAGATAGTTTGGCGCAGTTCCAATAATATTGATCACACCAGTCAACAATGAAACAATTCCTACAATGGTTTGGAGAATTAAGGATGGATTGGGGTCTATATCTCTACCCAGTCTTGTAAATCCAGAACCATGGTCAAAAATGGTAAAAACCATTTGATCTCCATTTCTTATTTAACTATAAATGATTAATATTTTTATTATTATTGATAGTTTGCTGGTTGTATTAAATTCCATTGTCAATAAATATTAAAATGAATTCATTAAACTTTCAAATAATGATCATAGTAGAGTAGTAGAGTAGTTGTCATTGCTATATTCTCACTCAATTATGGTTACCCGATCCACTATCCATCTTGGGATCCCAATTGCTGGTTTTATTTCAACAACAATATGATGATATTGTCAATTTTGATCAAAATCAATACATCAACATTCTTCATCCGAGAATGAATCAATATATTGTCAATGATTTCAATATCACCATGTCATTGTTCACAACACTGAATGTTGTTATTTAACAATGATATATTGATATTGAAATCATCGACAACACTACTTAGAAACCACGTTTTATTGTTATTTTTAATTGTAGGTAAAAAGCGATGAGTGGAGTTGAACACACACTACAAAAGATACTAGTATGTATTAGTATCTTTGCTTCATTCTTCTTGTTTGTGTTTTATTTGTAAGTGCTTATCATCGCATCGTAAAGACCAATGGTTGATGATGATACAGATACACTCACTCACCTTGGAGTGAGGTGATATGTATACCAATACCAATACCAACCAATAATAAATAATAATTATACATAGTAGTGGGTGTAGAGAAAGATAAATAATATAATATATGTATATATAAACTAGAATCTGATGATCAGATTAGATTAGATTAGATTTAAACTAGATTGATTTCAAAGAGTGATAAAGTGTCGGCGGCAACATCTCCTTTGAATCTAATGGTAATCGAGGTAATATAGTCGGATGTAACCTTGTTGACAAGGCCATAATCAACAAGTGCCCAAGTATATGGTTGCAATACAAGTGCATTTGGATTCAATACAACACCATTCACTTCAAAAGAGTACTTTGATCGATTGGTAGACATGATGTTAAAAGTCATTTTACTAAATTGTTTCCATTGGCATGGAGTTCCGTTAAAGAGTAACTATAATAGTAATAGTAGGTAGTAGTAATAGTACATTTTTAATGTTAAATAATTAAATAAAATAGAGAGAAAGAATTAATTATTAATTATCTCTATTAATTAGGACGTGCGAATATTATATGATCAATGATGATGGATGATGGATGATAGATGGGTGTTGTACAGAAACAACACAACAGGCAGAGAATGTCTTTTTTTTGACTATTTAAAAGACAGGAATGATGATTGCCAATATTGGCAATGTAATGATTGATAAGAGATGGTAGCCACTTACTGTACAATAGGAATTAATCTTTCTAAATGACATTGAGAGCCCGTTGGCAGATGATACTGAACCATCAACACATGCAACTGACCATCCACTCATAACTCCTGTATCTTTGGCGATTGCTCCATTTGGACATGGTTTGGGTGGTCCACTTTGATACGGAGCTTTGGTAGGTGGCTGAGTTGGTGGTTGGGTAGGTGGCTGCGTTGGTGGCTGGGTAGGTGGCTGAGTAGGTGGTTGAGTTGGTGGTTGGGTTGGTGGTTGGGTTGGTGGCTGGGTAGGTGGCTGGGTTGGTGGTTGGGTAGGTGGCTGAGTAGGTGGCTGGGTTGGTGGCTGGGTTGGTGGCTTGGTAGGTGGTTGCGTTGGTGGTTGGGTAGGTGGCTGGGTTGGTGGTTGAGTTTGTTGTCCACCACTTCCACAATCAAACAACTTGTTAAATTGTAATCCAGAATCATTAATTTGTTCGGCAACAATTTGTCCATTCATAGTTGCTTCAATTGATTCCCCGAGGATAGAATTAATTTTCAACTTGTATGGTGGAGTAATTGGAAACGGAGCAACAAAATAATTAAATGTAGTACGTTCAAGTTTCACCCATCCGCTACCTTGGTACAATTCAACAGAATCTACTCCAACTAAAAATAATCAAAAATAAAATGTAAGTAAATTCGAATGATGACCCTTGATTGTATGATATATTTTATCTATGTATTACTTACCTCTATGATTAAAAACTAAAAAGGCAGCCCAGAATTGATGAGAACCATCTTTTGTTTGAATCTTTATATTACCATTGACAGGACATGGAATCTTTGTAAAGGTCAAACCACTAGTGATGGTACCAGTGGTAGTCCACAACTTGTAAAATGCTTTTTGGTTCATATCGAAATGGTTCTTGTCACTGTCACACCAACCTGCATCTGGACATTGATCAGTGACAATTACATCAAGTGACTTGGATTCTAAAAACAATCTATAGCATTGACCACATTGATAAGTTCCATTAAAAAATTTAGTATTCTACAAAAAACAAAAAGAAAGAAAAGAGAATAGAAATATATGTTAGTATGTATTATTATTAAATGTTTGTTATAGTTTAAATACTTACAAGAGCAACAATATTATCTGTTCCTGGACCGGTTGGACCAAACAAATCTTTATAACCACAATTTCCATTTGAAACGGCTGTATACCAAGTGGCAGAGGCAGATCCAGATTTATCGGCTTTAAATGGACAACTCTGTGAATATACCAATCCAATCATTGTGCAAGATAATAATAATAGAGATATTATTAATTTCATTTTTTATAAATAAATAAATAAATAAATAAATAAATAGTAGTACAAGGAAAAAATATTATAAATAAAAATAAAATAGTTTAATATTTGATTTGTATTAAATTGAACCAAAAGTACAAGTATTTATAGGATGGATTGTTGGAATATAAATATAATTTTAAAAATAATAATATTGGAAGTGCAAATTCATATGTCGTGGACGCCAGAAAGAAAAGGAAGAGTTGGTAACAACAACCAAAAGTGGATCTTTTGAATGATCACTCTCAAACTAGCTATCTAGCTAGCTAGTTGGTTGGTTGCCAATCACCTCTCACCCACATGAATTTCAATGACATATTGATATGATAGAGCCACCACCACTACCTCCACCACTTACACTTAGATTTATGGTGGCATTATATCTTTTAAAATTGATCTAACGACAGTTTCAATTAACATGACTTTGTTTGATGGCTTGTGTTGGTTGAATCATTTATTGGTTCATACCAAGAGTTGCTTCTGCTGCTGTTAATAATGTCTGATGATGCTGGCTACTACTGGAAAAAACAGAAGAAAACAAAGATGTTTTAAAATAAAACAGCAACAAACCCTTTGGAAAAAACAAACAACAGTACTTACTACCACTATCTACTAGAACAAGAATAGTCAGTCAACACGACATCCCACAACCACATCACACCAAAATTATAATTTGTATTTTTGGCATTCTCCACTTCTTGTAATTAAATCCTATCCAATTTCCAAAACTTAATTATCCACCTTTTGATTGAATTTTCAAGGATCACCTTGTGTTCAACAAAATTGTGTTGTTATGAACATACATCCCACCTTTTCTCTTTCCCCACCACGCCCACATCCATCAACAACAAGCACACTGATCAGTCAACTTTCAACAAAAATCGAACTAGTGCATCCAAAGGGTGATTCACACACAAAAATAATTAAGGTGGATCAATGGTGGTGATAGTAGTGGTGGTAGATAGATATATCTGATGGTAACAATAGATCAACACACATCTTGACCAAACGATGACATACCTATCTATATTTCTAACTGACGGTTCTATTTTCAACGTTCCACCTCCACTTTCACCATGGTGAAGAATGATTGATACTTCTTCTATTTTGAAAATAATCAATAAAATACTTTAACCAAACACAACAACACTTAAAAGAGATAAGGATTGACGATTGGATAAAAAGTTAATAGATTTCTTTTTTAATTTTCTTGTTTATAAAGTATGATCATACTTAAAACTCTCACACTCCCACATTTGCATATACACACAATTGTAAGTGTAGTGGGTAAGGACTTGCTTGTTTGTGTTAAAATTTAATAAACAATTTTAAATTGTTGCTTTATTTGAATTTTAGTTTGGTTTGGTGTATTATGTATGGATAAATGTGGAAAGAAGAGGAAGATGATGTGTTATTTTATTTTTTTAAAATTGATTGATTGATTTATAAAGGCAAAGGTGAAGTGATTGATGACCAAATATGATTTCTATAGTTGGTTGAAATTGTTGATGATGATGATGATGACGAAGATGTTGATGATGGATGTTGAAGTTGCTTGATGATCGTCATTCTTTTCTTTAGGCACAAGATTGTTGTTTGGTAGATGATTGTTGTTGTGACGAACCTTCTGAACCTCCACCTGGAAGTTTCAAATGCTTGTCCAATACTGGTTGTACCTTTTTAAACATTGGAAGACAAGCGAGATCGTTGGTGTATCTCTTGATGTTGTTGTATTTCTTGTTGTTGAGGTCTGGAACAAAACCGAGTGGAAGGTAGACAAACCAAGAGTACAATGCCATGTCGACGATGGTGAGTTCGTCATTGACGGCAAACTGCTTGTCACAGAGGTGCTCTTCAAAGACGTCCAAGTAACGTTCGATGTTGCAGCAGTGTTCTTGCAAAAACTCCTTGGGAAGCTTTTCACACTTTTCACCTCTGGTTGTCAACACTTGGTCACGGTACCAACGATAGTAGATGTACGATCCCATGTGAGTGGCCAATCCCGATTGATGGCTCATGAACCAAGAAATGTAGTCACAGAAATCTCTTGGATTCTTGGAGTTCATGTTTGGACAAAACTTGTCATACTTTCTGGCGAGGTACACTAAAATGGCTCCACTGTCAAATACATTCAATGGTCTTTCACTACCTGTTTCATGGTCAAGTAATGTTGGTACCATACTAAATATAAAATAGAAAATAATAATCGTAAATATAAATATATTAGTAAATGAGTCATTACTAACAAACAACAATCTTTCGGCGTTGTAGAACTTACCAGAATGGATTTAATTTTTTAAATTCAGGTTTGAATTGTTCACCTTTCTTAATGTCAACATCATGTTGGATACAGTCTAATCCCAAGTGTTCCATCATGAGAAGGGTTGACCATTGTCCAGGACATGGGCAGCAAAAGAGTTCCATTGGTTTTTTAGATTGCATGATTGTTGGAGAGATGTGTGTAGAGTAAGAGAATAATATAGCAAATGAATGATAATTATCTATCTATCTATGTGTCTGATGATTTATTCATTGTGTGAGAGACTTTATATTATAGTTGTTGGAGACGAGAGAGAGAAGGGTCTGATGAATTCAATAACCACATTATTATTTTCATTTATGTTAACATGCAATTAATAGAACAAATGGTTATGTAGATTACCTAATCTAGTCATTATGATTTGATTGTGAGGTAGTTCATTATTGGTATCTACATATCTATAGATGAGAAGAGATCGTACTTCAACAACAAAGAGAAGAAAGCTACCATCTAATTTTTGAACTTCAAGTCAATTTTTTTTTTGAATTTTTTTGATTTTGTCCGCACCATTCGATTTTTTAAATTATTTATTATTGCCTTCAAATTTTTGTTTTTGTTATTAATAAACGGTTGTTTTTGCTATCATTTGGTTATTTAGTTAGCAGGTAGAGAGAGAGAGAGAGATAGATAGATAAACAGATAACAACAACAACAAGCTAGCTTACAAGAATAATAACAATTAGCAGCAGTTTGGTCAACAACACAAAATAGATACAGAAAAAAAAAAACTATAGTAGTGAAAGATGTCAGACGATGAAGTACATTCTGATGATCGTGACGATGATGATTTAGGTTCCGACGATGATGGAGTAGATTTCCAATCTGAAGACGAGAATTACTCGGATCAAGAAGAAGAAGAGGAAGAGGAGATTATACAAAAACATAAGAAGAGTAAATCGTCGTCGTCATCGTCATCATCATCAAGATCATCATCAAAACAAAAGAAAAAACCAACACAAAGAAAACGTGGAGCATCAGATTACTTTGAAGATGAGGCCGATGAAGCCGACGAAGACGAAGAGGAAGAGGAAGGTGAAGAAGGCTATGAAGCCATGCTCGAGCAAGGTCGTCAACGACACGAACAGAGACGTCGTGAAGCTGAAGACTTTGACAAGCGTAGAGACAACCGTACACAAGCCGAGATTGAAGCCGAACTCGAACAAAAGGCCAATCGTTATGAAGAGGAAGCCGATGGCTACGTCGAAGACGAAGAATATATGGGTGACGCAGGTCTCCCCAACCAAAGCTACTGGAGAATCAAGTGTCGTCCAGGCGAGGAGAAGCAATTTGCTGCATCGATCATGCAAAAGTTCTTTGCCACGCAAGGCACACCCGACAAGATCCTCATCAAGTCAGTGTTGGCACCACCCCACATTCAAGGTCAGATCTATATAGAAGCAGAGCGTGAGATGCATGTCAAGCACGCAATCAGAGGTATGCCACAGATCATCTACTCGGGCATGATGATGATCCCCCTCAAAGATATGATAGAGATCCTCAACAGACCTCGCAAGTCTACCGATCTCAGTCGTGGTACATGGGTACGTGTCAGACTTGGTAAATACAAGGACGATCTTGGTCAAATTTGGGATTATGATTCCGAACGTGGTAGATGTTCAGTTAAACTCATCCCAAGAATCGATTTAACTGTTACTCCAAAAGGTGATGATAAAGATGAAAATGGTGTAAGTAAAAAAAAAAACAAAAATAGAGACATATATATTGAGAGTAATAATGTTAATTAATCAATTATTTTGTTTTGTAGGAAAAGAAATCACCATTTAAAAGAAAAGCAGGACTTAGACCACCACAAAGATTCTTTAATGCAAAGGAAATGTCAGATGTTCAATCAATTTCAAAGAAGAAGATATTTGGAGAGACGTTTACCATATACAACAATGAAAAATATAAGAATGGATTCATCTACAAGGTGATGAGAATCAAGAGTATCGTATCGGATGGTGTAACACCATCGTTGGAAGAGTTACAGAAATTCCAAGACAGAAAGGAAAACGATGACTATAATAACGACGACGAGGAAGATGACGACATTGCAATGGACGGTTCATCTTCTTCGGCATTTGGTCTACTCGATGCAAGTGTCATTCCAAAATTATCAACCAGTACCATCCAATTTACAAAGGGTGATACTGTCAAAGTTATCGAAGGTGATCTTAAAGGTCTCATGGGTAAAGTTGAATCAATCGATGATAAATCTGTTATCATTTTACCAATTCATGATGGTTTAAATGTAAGCAAAGAAGAAGAAGAAGAAGAAGAAGAAGAAGAAGAAGAAGAAGAAGAAGAAGAAGAAGAACTTTAATTATCAACACACAAAAAATATTTATATTGTTGACTTTATTCTCTATCTCTATATAGGAACCATTAGTATTTCCACCATCAGAATTACAAAAATATTTCAAGATTGGTGATCATGTCAAAGTTATTACTGGTCGTTATGAAGGTGAAACTGGTTTGGTTATGAGAGTGGAAGATATGACAGCATATGTATTATCAGATATGAATCTTGGTGAACTCAAAGTACGTCAACAAGATCTCCAAGGTTGTACTCAAGTGTCAGAGGGTAGATTGGAATTGGGAAATTATGAATTACATGATTTGGTTCAATACGGACCACAAAAAATAGGTATAATTGTAAAAGTAGAAAGAGACTCTTTTAAGATTTTGGATGAAACAATGAATGTCTCGACTGTAAAACTTCAAGAAGTATTAAACAAGAGAAATTTAAGAAATGCTACAACCACAGATTCACAATCCAATTCATTGGTTGTAAATGATGCTGTTGAAATTGTTGATGGACCATATAGAGTAAATATATTTTAAAATTAAAAAAGAAAAAAAGAAAAAAGAAAGAAATATTAACTCTTTTTATTTATTTTTTATTTTAGGGAAAACAAGGATCAATTTTAAGAATATCAAGAAACTTTTTATTCTTAAAGAGTAAAGATGTATATGAAAATGGAGGTATATTTGTTGTAAGAGCCAACTATAGTACATTGAGTGGTGCAAAGAATAGAGTGGGACAAGGTTATGGACAACAACAACAGCAACAACAACAACAACAATCATTTAATAATGGAGGTGGTGGAAGAGGTGGAAGAGGAGGCTTTGGAGGTGGAGCTGGAGGAGGACGTGGTGGACGAGCTGGTGGACGTGGTGGACCTGATAGCCCGCTCAACAAGACAGTCACCATTACCAAGGGTAACTGGAAGGGTTACGCTGGAACAGTCAAAGAATGTACTGAAACACATGTCCAGATCGAGTTACAGGCCAAACCAAAGAGAATCACTGTGCCACGTGGTGATATCCTCATGGAGGGCGCTCGTCAACAACAAGACCAATGGGATCAACAACAACAGATGCAATTGGCCTATGCCAGTCGTACACCAATGCGTGAGGAGAATCCAGGTATGACACCTATGCGTACACCAATGCGTTCCAACAACAACAGCGGTCATCACGACCCTTGGTCGAGCTCGGCTACACCCATGCGTTCAACTGGGTCGTCCAACTGGTACTCTGACGACATGCCATCACACGGCAGTGGTTCCAGTGGTGGTCACCAATCCAACAACTCGAACAACAATAACAACAATAACAACAACAATAACAATAATGATTGGTCGACTCCCCAAACATCGTATTCCAACTTTTCGCCATTCAACCCGTCCACCCCAGGTTCTGATATGCACAATCGACACGACTACACCACACCCATCAGCATTCCAACCCCACAGAGCTACGAAACACCCACACCGTCCAACTACCACTACGACCAGCAGACCCCGCTCGACGTGCCACAAAGTCCGTTCACGCCACACGCTCCACAGACACCTGCCACGCCAAGCACCCCATCCACCAACGAAGACCAAGAAGACGAGATTGACAACTCGCCATGGCAAGGAATCGGCTTCCAGGTCACCTACAAGGCCAACGGCGACTTGGGTGTCGTCACAACCAACAGCAACGGTTTCTGCAGTGTCGATTTCCTCAGCACCAACAAGAAAATGTCCAACATTGCCCAATCGGAACTCGAACTCGTCGTTCCATCCAAAAAGGAACTCGTCGTTATCTTGCGTGGTCCACATGCAACTCAAACAGGCAGTTTGTTTGTTATCACCACTGCTCAATCCTATTCATCTGGTATCGTCAAGATGGATACCAATCTAGATTTCAAGGTACTTAAAATGGCTAATCTTGGTAAATTAAATAATCAAGAACCAAAGTAAAAATAATAATAATAAACTTTAAATATTAAATATTACACATATTGAAAGTTCATCAGTCAAGCCAATATTATTTTTAGAAACTTCAAGTTGGTAAAAAAAAAAAAGAATAAAAAAAAAACAAAAAGAATGTGTGTTCGCGCTTTTTGTCGTTGAAATCAACTTTTTCTCCAATTCAACTTGTTTGTTAGGAGTGATAACTATCTACTATCTTTTTTTTTTTTTATTATCTCTCTTTTGTCTATCTATTTTCGATTTGTAGTAATAGTAGAAAACACACGTTCAACATCAGCAAAGAAGAAGAATAACAAAAGAGATAGGAAAGAAGAGAATGACAGATAACACGAAAAAGTCATCCTATCATCCTTATGGTAACAGACCCAACAACAACAACAAGAGAGACAATGAAAGAGAAAGAGAAAGAGATGATGAATCTTCTTCACGTGGAGTAAACAATAATAACAATAACAATAACAATAGCAACAAGGGATGGATGGGCAAGGTCTCAAGTATTGTCATGAAACCTTTATATTGGTTGTTCAAAGACTATGAAGAGTATGAATCGACGGGTAACATCACCTCTTCCGATCCATTATCATCATCTGCCATTTATATTTCTCCTGCCAGAGATAAACGATCACAACAACAACCATCAAAACAACAACAACAACAAGATGAAAATAATAATAATACTGTAAGTATATATAGTAATATATTATGATGACTAGATATTAATATCAATCTTTTATAGGATTCAGATTACGATAGATCGATTGCAAATGTTAAGTCAAACGCAGATCTAAGGGTTGATCCAAATGCTTTTAAATTTGAAATCAACAATGATTACAATCTTCAAAAGGAACAACAAAAGAAACAACATCAACAACACATGAAACAACAGCAACAACAACAACAAAATAGATTGACACAGCAATCGGCTTCACTGATCAATTCAAGTTATTTAATGAATGGAACCAACAAATCACCTGTTATCAATGGTACTAATAATATTAGATCTTCTCAACTACAACAACAACAACAACAAAGATCGTCGACAGCACCAAAACCATCATCACCTACATCAAGTATTTACAATAGCAGTTTGTATAGAGGATCATCCAGCAATCTCTATGACTCTACATCACCCAATAGTTCATTTGTTTCACCCAAGACATCAACCTCCTCGGCATTGAACGAGAGCTTGCTCAACTCTTCAAACAATTTGTTCAAGCTTGGAAAACGCCATGTTAGAGAGCAATATGACTCTCCTCAAAAGCAGCAGCAGCAATCACCTTCGTCTATTGACGATGCTATGGACCATTTCTATAGAAAGAGACTTAGTGCTGCCTATGGCGATTTGGATGGTTCAGTATCCAGCAACACCAATCCATATACTAGCAGCAACAATAACAGATCAAGATATCAACAAGAGGACATGCAACCACTCAAGAAAAAGGCAACCTATCAACCATTAACTGATTCCTCCATTTATGGTGGTGGTAGCAGCAGTAGCAAATTCAATTCTGGATATGACTCTTCGATGATTAATCCATCGATTATTGCATCGACAAGTGAAGCTGCCAAACGAATTTTAATGCATCTCGATTCATTTTCTAGCCCAGTCCTAAGTACAAGCAGCACTTATTCCTCTTCCTACTCTATTCCAAAGAATGATCCACTTGCATCTTCTGCTTTATTCAAGTCGAAAATCTCTCAATATGTACCAAGTAGAAAATACAATCCTTATGGAGTATCTTCAAAATTATTTGTATGTAGATCCAATACCATTTATTTTAATTCTGTTTATTAACTTTTTTTTTAATATTTTTTAGGAAAAGAAACCAAAAAGTGAAAAGGAACAAGAACAAGATAAAAATAGTATTCCAACAAGTTCAATTCCATATTCATCAGTGTCACAATACAGAAAACCAACACCATCATCAACCACTAAAAAGGCAGTGTCATTTGATGCTTCCATTGTTTTGGAAGAACCAACAACATCAACAACAACAACACAAAACAAGGGAACTTCTATTTTATTGGCAAATGGTACATCATCATCGGCAGACAAGGAAAGACCAATTGATACATCATTTAATCCATTCAAACTTGTATCAAAGGAACAATCTTCATCCTCTGCACCATCTCCAACCATTTCATCTACCAACTTTATGATGAATGGAGACAAGTCATCCAAGGTTGATGATTTATCAAAGACTATCGTTGCCCCACCATCGCTATTTGGTGATTCAACCAACAGCAGCACGATAAAGTCATCGTCACTTAAAAGTACAAAGGCAAGTGACTCTAAGAAATCATCAAATCCATATGATAACAAAAAGAGAAATAAGCGTGAAGATGATGAGGAACCAGAGGAATTCATTGCCCAATCCATCCCTCAACTTGATAGTATCAAGGTACCAGCCTTTACAGTTGGTTCGTCATTATTTGGTGGAAATACAACAGTTGTTGGTGCTTCTTCATTGACTACCCCTGCATTACCTTCATTGTTTGGTGGAGCTTCGTCATCCTCGTCGTTGACCACTACTCCATCAACATCCTCATTGTTTGGTAATCTATCATCTGACAAGGAAATAGAAAAACCATCTCTATCGTCACCGCTATTTAGTAATCTAGGTTCTGACAACAAGGAAAAGGAAAAGGAAAAGGAAAAACCACTTACCGTATCTACTTTGTTTGGAGGTGCACAACCAGCAACAGCAGCATCATCGTCATCAACTGCTTCCTCAACCACTTCATCGTTATTTGGAACTGGCACCCCTTTGTTTGGTACAACTACATCATCTGCTGCTCCTTCAGCATTGGGTTCTGCCATTTCAAACTTTGGTAAGGAAGAAAAAGAAAAGGAAAAAGAAAAGGAAAAGGAAAAAGAAAAAGAAAAGGAAAAAGAAAAGGAATCTACATCTACTCCTGCCCCTGCATTACCATCACTTTTTGGAAATACTGGAGGATTATTTGGTGCATCTAAATTAAATTTACCAGCTGGTACAGTGACTAGTCTTTCTTCATTGCCAATTTCGACTACTCCTGCCCCTGCTGTTCAAGCAAAAGTATCGGAAAAGATTAAAAATGCTCCACCAAGTGTCGGTCTCTTTGCAAGTATTGCTGCATCCAAACATGAAGAGGGAGATGGAGATCAAGACGACGACGGATCCGATCTTTCCGAACACAGTTATGGTGAAGAAGAAGATTTCTACGTCCCACCCTCTGATGAAGAAGATGAAGTAGAAGAAAAAGAAAAGGAAGCTCCTCCAATGTTGTTTGGAGGATTGGGTGCTTTCCCATCAACATCTACCTCTGGATTGTTTGGCTCAACCCCACCTCTTTTCGGTACCATCCCAGTTGCTGGCAAAGATAAGCAATCCCCATTATTTGGAAATACTACAGTATCTCTATTTGGACCCAAGCCAGATGATAAAAAGGATGACAAACCAGCAGCTACAACACCATCATCATCATTGTTTGGAGGTGCTACAGGAACATCTCTGTCTGGAGCAAAACCAGCCGATGAAAAGAAGGATGACAAGCCAAGTTTAACATCACCATTGTTTGGAAATACTGCAGGAACATCTATATTTGGAGCAAAACCAGCCGATGAAAAGAAGGATGACAAGCCAACTGCATCATTATTCGGTGGTGCTACCTCCTCGCTGTTTGGAGGATCAAACTCCCCACCAATGGAGGAAAAGAAGGATGACAAGCCAACTACATCATTGTTTGGTGGTGCTACTTCTACCCCGCTGCTTGGTGCACAACCTGCAGCAGCAGGTGCTGCCGATGACAAAAAGGATGACAAGCCAATAACGTTTGGAAATGGAGCTACACCATTATTTGGAGGTTCATCATCCTCTAGTACCACTTTATTCCCATTTGGTGGATCCTCTTTATCATCATCAACTTCCTTGACCTCCTCTGCCCCAACAAGTGGATGGAGTTGTGCATGTTGTGAGACTGTCAACAAAGAAACAGATAAATCTTGTTCTATTTGTATGGTACCTAGACCAAAGGAATCTGCTGCTAAACCAGCCGCTGCTGCCTCTGCCTCTGCTACAACACCATCATTATTTGGTGGTGCTACATCGAACTCGCTGTTTGGTACACAACCAGCAGCTGCCGATGACAAAAAGGACGCCAAACCAATAATGTTTGGTAGTGCATCCAATACATCATTTTTCAACAAATCAGATGATGAAAAGAAAGACGACAAACCAATAATGTTTGGTTCGACATCAGCCACCTCATTATTTGGAACAACAACTGCCACAGAAGAAAGTAAAGATAAACCATTATTTGGAAATGGAGCTACACCATTATTTGGAGGTTCATCATCATCATCTAGCACCACTTCATTCCCATTTGGTGGATCCTCTTTATCATCATCAACTTCCTTGACCTCCTCTGCCCCAACAAGTGGATGGAAGTGTGCATGTTGTGAGACTGCCAACAAAGAAACAGATAAATCTTGTTCTATTTGTATGGTACCTAGACCAAAAACCTCTACTAGTACTCCATCTAGTACATCCCCTACCACTGGAATGTTTGGTGCACTCTCTTCATCATCATCAGCAACAACTACCACACCATCATTATTTGGTGGTTCATCATTATCAACAACTGCTACACCATCTAGTTCATCCCCTACCACTGGAATGTTTGGTGCACTCTCATCATCATCATCGGCGCCAGCAACAACAACCACACCATCATTATTTGGTGGATCTTCATTGCCTACTTCTAGTGAATCTAAACCATCATTATTTGGTGGATCATCAAGTGGTTTGGATAAAACAACTTCACCAACTATTTCAATGTTTGGAGCATCTTCATCCCCTCCAGCAACAAACACAACACCTCCTATTGCATCTCCATTTGGATTGGGACCTCAACAAACCATTTCTCCGTCCAACTCTTTTAGTTTAAATCAACCATTTGGATCATCAAGCACCCCATCAACATCTGCAGTCCCATCAAACCCATTTGGCACTGCTAGCACAATCAACCCATTCGGAACATCCTCGACAACATCATTAACAACACCATCATCATCATCATCATCAGGCACACTATCCTCACTTTTTTCATTTGGTGGATCATCAGCAGCAGCTGGAGCACCAACATCAACATCGACATCCAATCCATTTGGCGCTTCTTCAATGTCCTCTGCCATCCCATCGACCAGCAATCCATTTGCTTCTTCTTCTTTTGGACAATCTACCAGCACACCAACCACATCATCGCCACCCAATTTATTCGGATCTGCTCCCAACACCCCTGCACCATTTGGAGCTCAACCACAAACAACATCACTCATGTCATCGGCATCCTCCACCAACCCATTTGGCTCTGTATCATCATTTGGTTTATCTAGCGCACCAACCACCGCTCCTCCTGCCCAAATGCAACCATTTGGTCAATCACAAGCCCCATTTGGAGCAACACCATCTGCTATCAATCCATTTGGTCAATCACAAGCCCCATTTGGAGCAGCACCATCTGCTACCAATCCATTTGCCACCGCCAGTTCACTTGGATCGTCACAATCGACCATGAATTCATTTGGAGCTGCGCCCTCTAATCCATTTGGAGCACCATCTGCTACTAATCCATTTGCTGGTGCCAGTTCACTTGGACAGTCTCAGCCTTCCGGACAACCCTTTGCCTTTGGTGGAGGTTTGCAAGGAGGAGCACAAGCCCCTCCAACCCCAAATATGTTTGGTGGAGGTTCTGGATTTTCTTTGGGTAAAAAACCAGCCAAGGGTAAAAAATAAAATCAAAAAAATAAAATTAAAATTAAAATAATAATATATGAAACAAAAGAGTCTATTGATATAAAGAGATAAATAATAAAAATTATTTACTTTAATTCTCGGGATATACTCCTTTGGAAAAAAAGAAAACAATCCAATAGTTTTAGATTCCCAACAAATTAAAAAGTATCTAGATTCTTCAAGATGGATCTTGACAATTCAATAGGATCACTATTTTTGTCGGGGCAAAGATAGAATGGTTCGTTTCACGAAAAAAAACAGTAGGAACTTTACCCAGCAACTTTCGGGGTGAAAGATGTTTTTTTTTTATTTTTTTAACTTTCTGAGTTCCCAGAGGCGCCATTCTTCACACAATTTGGCCTCTTCAATTTACTTTTTATTTTTATATACATATACAACAATATACACATACACAATACATAGAATGAACAAGTTATTATTCGCATTGTTTGCAGTTTTCTGCTGTTTCGCTGTAGCTTCAGCCGATATTTGGTCATTTTGCGATGGTCAAGACCCAACCACTTTCACCTTCCAAGTTAGCACCTTGACCCTCACTCCAGATCCCCCAGTCATCGGTATGAATGCTACTGTCAACGTTGCTGGTAACTTTACCGAAGAAATCACTGGTGGTTCATCTACCTTTGTCGTCCAATACCAAGTCGGTAACTCTTGGATCTCCCTCCCATCTTTCACCTCTAACGTCTGTGACTCTTATGAATGCCCAATTCAACCAGGTCCAGTCACCAGAGTCGAATCAATCTTTGTTCCATCATTTACTCCACATGTATGTAATAGATAGATATAGACCTATAGATAGAGATAGTTTTACTAACTAAAATATTATTATGTTTTACTTTTTAAAAAGGGAAACTATCGTGGTCAATTAGAAGTTACTGACCAAAGTGGAAACACCATTACCTGTATTCAATTTGTTACTTCAATGAACTAAATCATCATTGATACTTTTTATCATATTACCCACCATTTTGACTGATTGATAAATGGATGACTATATATATAGTACATATCTTTTTCTTTTTTTTTTTTTTTGAAAGAATATCAATCATTGTCGAATAATAATGAATAAATTACTATATCACATTTAATATTCTAAAAAAAAATATTAATCAACTGTTAACAGTATACTTGTTGTTGTTGTTCGATGTCTGTCTATCTATCTATCTAATTCTTGTGCCAAGTTCACAGTAGTCTGAAGACACAAAACAAAAACCCCACCAATAATCAAATAATAACCCGTGTGGGTGTTGAATATGGTAGAATAACACTCACTCGTTCAAATTTTATTTATATATAATCAAATATTTATTTTTCCATCCACTCTTCTTCTCCTCCTCTTGCTCCTTTTTTGTTTATCTATTTAAATCATAATTTACTACTTGTTTGGATCATTAATAAATTATATAGTTTTAGAAAAAGTTACCAACCAACATGGAAAAGAATACAAAATTAATTTTAATAACATTGTTTTGCTTGTTATCAGTTTCATCAGCTGATATATGGTCATATTGTGATGGAGTTGATCCAAAGTCATTGACCTTTACCATCTCTGCTCTTACCCTTGCACCCAATCCTCCAGTTATTGGCCAAGATGCTACCGTCAAAGTAACAGGAAATCTATTGCAACAAGTGACAGGTGGTGCATCTACATTTGTAGTACAACACTATGTTCTTGGTCATTGGATCACACTCCCTGCATTCACCAACTCTGTTTGTCAATCATACACCTGTCCAATTCAACCAGGTTCAATTACTCATCAACTTTCCATTCCAATCCCTTCCTTTACACCACATGTAAGTCAACAAAAAATAATCATGATATTCTTTCTAAATTTAGTATATTAATATTTCTTTTTATTCCTTGTTACAGGGACTCTATCGAGGTCAATTATTGATTGTTGACCAATCAAATCGTAACATAACATGTTTAGAGTTCCAAACTAATCTAAATTAAATTATTTTCGTTTTGATGATCACCCACTCTCTCTCATCAATCAAATTTGATTGTTATTAAAATAAATAACTAATTTAAACATAAAGGAAATCGATTTGATTTGATATAATTACTATTAATAGGGATTTAAAATACTATTTTATTCAAAAAATGTATTCTTTTTTTTTGGTTTGATAAAAGGGGAAGGAAGGGAAGGATTACTATTTGTTAAATGTTGTAATAATATTATTGGTTGATGTTGTTGGGTTTATAGATCTTTTCTTTTAATCTAAAGATAAAGTTTCATTGAACTTTTTCTTATAGATGGTAGTATATTTTTCACAATTGGCGACACCTTGGATTAGATTGTTATCTTCAAAATATTTGTAAACGACAAAGAATAGATTATTGTCACTCGATTCATTGGCAATACGAAGGATTGGTTCTGGATCGCATTTTGTTTTTGTACTTCTCATGAATCGAATGGCCAACAAGACTTGTTTCTTTTCCAAAAGTGTGTGGATAATGACGTTTGGCATTTGAAGCCTCTTGAACATATCCAGTGATAGTTGCAATGCTGGTGGATAAGTCTCTGAAATTGATAATAATTTATAGGCAATATTTGGTGAATCCTCTACAACATGATATTGTAAAAATTGATGAAGTTGTGAAAACCTTAAAAAATAATAAAGAAGAATAAATAATAATGTTCCTATCTCTTTCTTTTTGTTTTTGTTATCTATTTTACATACATATTATTATTAATAAATAAACTTAATAAAAGAGTGAATATTTTATCTGAAATACCACAATGACTAAAGTTTAGAGATCTAAGATATTCTGTAATGATTGAAATTAAATAACGAGAATCGATTTCACTAGATTTTGTTGGTGATTTTAGGATGAGGGTTTGTTGTGGTTGAGGTTGATGTGGCTGGTGAATATGATTAACTTTGAGCTCTTCTTCAATCTTTTCATAGATTGGATTAAATACATGTTCGAAAAGATCTTCAGAATTTACAATGATATTGGTTGGTGCACGTGAAAGCGATGCCATGACCATGGGTGGCTTTTGCATACCACCAATTTCCTCACCTTCACTGACTGTAAATGTACTTCTAATACTTTGACTGGTAAGTGTTGGTGAACGGTTGAGTTGTTGTAAAAATCCAGTAGATGGTTGTTGTTGCTGTGTAGGTGGAGGGGTGGTGATGGTGTTGTTGGCGGATTGATTTAATCTTCTGGTTGACCCAATGTTTAGGTCACTACCTCTTGCAGCGGGAGTATTTGTTTCTTGTCTTGTCTGTACATCTCCCATCAGGTCTTCATCTTCATCGTTGTTTTGGCCCGACGTACGAGGAGTGGTGTTACCAAGAGAATGGTTGAGTCTTGACCCCATGGTCGAGGTGGCACCAGTATTTGAATCCATCTTTTTAGCAGTCAGATGCTTTTGCAACATCAGAGTGTTATTTTTACCGGTCATGATACGTAGATCATGGTTGAGCGAGTCGAATATCTTTCCAAACGACTCTAGGGTATCCTTTTTAAACTCGACCATGGTTTTGATGTGTGCGAGCAACGCCTGTTTGGCACTCTGGGTTGAACGCTGTTGCAAAAAGGGGATGATCTTGTCGGCAATATCCACCTGGAAGAAATGAGCAATCTTTTCATAGTTGAGACGCACCTCGAAAAACTGTCCAGTGGCACTATCGAAAATATAGTTGGGGTGCACATAACGCCAAGTGCGTGCATACAGCGACGGCTGTTGTTGTTGCTGTTGTTGCGCATTCTCGCGTTGTTGGAGCAAAAGTGAGGAGGATGAGGCAGTGATGCGTGGAGTGGCACCCGATCGCGGACTGCTAGTGTTGGGTGACGATCCGTTGCTGGGACTGCTACCGTCACTAGTGGTGGTCGAAGGAGATGAAGGTGATGGTTTGTAGACCATTGGGATGGCCGAAATGGGGAAATCCTCTTTAAGCATTTTTAGATCATACACTACACTCAATTCATTGTAATGAACAATGATGAGATTATCTACAAACTGTATATTGTTCTTTCCGGGCAGAATCAATTGGATCACCTGAGTACGATAGACAGTCTCTGGATTAATCTCATAGAATGAGATTTGAGTATTGTCGCCATAGATGCAATAGGTCTTTCCATAGAGTAGAGTAATATACAAATTATTAATGTCCAACAAAGTCGATGATTCAATCGCAAACTTTGGTAACTTTTCTATATAGTTGCTTGTAAATTTATATGGTTGTATAGAATTGTTCTTATCTCCTCCATATGATAATAATATACCAGATTTTGACTAAACAAAAAAAGTAAATGTAAATAAATTAGATAGATTAAAAATAATACCACCAAACAAATAATACATACAGAGTATATAAAGCTTTGAATCTTGATTTTAGTATCCTTTACAAGTTTACATTGAATGTTATCACCGTTTGCAATGATTTGATAAAGTTCCAATGATGTATTTGTAATGATCAATAATGATGTTGAAATGAAATAGAATCCCAATATAACAGTTCCTTTGGTTGATTTAAATTTAGTTGTTTGAATGATTCTTTTACCATCCTTTGTATTTAATATTTCCTACATTAATAATAATAATAATAATGACGGTTAATAACTTGTCACTAGTAACATATTTCGATCAATGCTGCTTGCTACTGCTGCTTTGATTGATTGATTGATTGATTGATTGATTGATTGATTGATTGATTGATTGATTGATTGATTGATTGACTTACAATATCGGTATCATTAAACTGTGCTGCTGTGTATATACCATTTGATGAGAACTTTGCATCTTTGATTGTTTTATCCGAGCTAAATTGTGATGTATAAATTGTAGTTGATAAATCCTAATTAGTAACATATCTCTATCTCTATCTCTCTGTCTATCTCTCTTCAAAACACATACCAATAGAATACTCTTTCCTTTGTCGATAATGATACATAACCAAAGCCATTCTGACCTGATAGAATCACAATATTAAGATAGTCGTCTAATGAAAGGAATGTTTCATTTCGCTCGATCCTTAGCGATGTCGATATCAACTCGACTGACATTTCTACTACTACTACTACTACTACTAATTTGAATCAGAAGAGGACAGAATGATGATGTTGATTTTTAATACAATTTGGTTGTCCCTCTCTTTAATTTTACTTTGTGCACCTCACCACCAAAGATTTTTTCCCACCCATTTTCTCCAAAGTATTTTACTTTGATAGTTTCGACAATTTTATTAATAATATAAAAGATTTAATTAATAAATAAAATAAACTCTATGGCAAGAATAATCCAATGATATAATAATAATAAATTATAATTTAAAGATCTTGTTTCTCTCTCTCTTTTATAAAAGTACCCTTCTATTTTTAAAAAATATTCTAAAATTCGTTGAATTTAATTCATATTTGATGTTTGAAGGAAAGTAATCCCATCCTAACACTATGGGTTTTAGGTAGGTTAGCTTGTGAATAAGAACCCTTTCCTTTTGCATAAATATTCATGATCAACACAATTCATTTATTATTCATTAAAGAAACAACAAAGAGATAAAGAGATAAAGAATGGATTCTTCTTCTTCTTCTTCATCTTCATCATCTTCACATGGAGTAAGAAGTAATTCAAATAGATATATAATTAAAAGAAAATATGATTTTAAAGTATCGACCAAGTCAGAGACATTGTCATTGTTACCATCGATCATTCAATTAAAGATATTTAAATATGTTGCTGAACATACATCAAATAGTCAATTGTGTCAAGTCTATGGATTGGTATGTTGGAAGTGGTTTGGTTACGTATCAAACTTTATCGATAGCAAGTCTAGAATCACTGATCGTGTCATACCATCTATCATTCCACACCTAGTTGCCAAGAGAAATCAAAAGAATTGTCTCATACAATCAATCAATACTATGGTATTTGATCAATACGATCATATTGCTTTAGATGTACCTTTTAAATTTACAAATTCATCTTCTTCCTCTTCATCCTCATCTTCCTCATCCTCCTCTTCATCATCATCACAAATTCAAACACATAATAGAAAATCATCAAAAGATAATATTATTAGTAGAAAATTGACAAATGATGAGATATCAATGGTTGAAACATTCTTGTATAGTAAGCTTGATTCATTACAATTCAATCTTTGCTCGAATCTAGAGATATCAACAAACTTTGAGTCGATTGTAGATGGTATTAAAAGAACGCAGGGTGCAATTAGTGCGCCAGACAAGGGTATTAAAAAGATGACCTACTTTAACAGGGCTGCTTTTTTACTGCGCACCATCACCTCACTCGACTGCGTCACTCGTAATATGACCGAGATGTCTATTCAATGCGACCATATCAACCTGCATATGGCAGGCTCGCTGGCGTCGTTTGTAAAGGACAGACGAGAGACGCTGGAGAAGCTGACATTGTCGCTGTTTAACATTCCAGGACTGATTGTCGACTTTTTCCAGGACGTCTTCTCAGTCACCTATCCCAATGTCAAGTACTTGCATTTTGGAAGCATGGACTATGTCGAGCCGTTCAACTGGTTGTTGCTGCCAGGTGCATTCCCCGATCTCGGCGAGATTGGCGTGTATTGGCGTAATTTGACGTTGCCAGACTCTGGAGACTACCAAGAGTCACTCGTCACCTTTCTCCAAGGTATACGTAACCCGACATATCTACGTACATCGCTCATTATGACAGCATCCATGATCAAAATGCTACCAATGGCAAGTCAATTTTTGAAACTTAAATTCCGTATCATCAAGTCGTACGATATCCCAGTACTCTTTCATCGATCACTGTGTCACCTATCGCTGAGCTTTATGGGTGGCTATGTATTCAAAAAAGAGTTTATCACACAGATATTCCAGGGTATGGCCGACAATAATCCAAATATCAAGACACTCACCATCTGGGACTTGTCAATGATCAATGCCGAACAACTACTCATTTATTTGCAGTCAGAGGCTGCCAACAGTCTCGAGGAACTAGTACTTTGTGTACGTGGATCGGTCAATGATGACTACTCCAAGTTGGCCAACAGCATTTCATCTCTACGTAGCCTAAAAAGATTGGAATTCAAGGGAATCGGTCCACTCAACACTGCTCGTTCACAACAACAATTACAAGACATCAAGTCTATCCACCAACATTCAAAGTCCATTCAAATTATCCAAATCATTCTTCCAAGTCCAGAGTTTTCTCCCAACTTGGATTTAACTTGTCCAGAAGATTTTGAAATGTTGCCTTTACATAATGATGATGAAACCAATAATAATAACAATAACAATAATAATAATAATAGTAATAATCAATCATCTACACCCTCAAATAATAATTCCAGTCACTCTCAACGTAGAATTACTATTCCTTTTTGTAAAACACAATAAAATTAAATGTATTTTATTAATTTGAAAAGATAAAATAATGGTATTCATTAAAGGTGAACACAGAAGTTTATTTCTGAAAAAGATAATTAAAGATTGAGGTTTTAAATTACCAAGGATTTAAAACGGGAAACACTTTCTTATTTTTGATTTCTTTTTCCTCACAGGAAGTTGTTGTTCTTGTTGTTGTGGTTGTGGTTGAGGTTCTTGTTGTTGTTGTTGTTGTTGTTGTTGTTGTGGTTCTTGTTGTTGTGATTGTGGCTGAGGTTCTTGTTGTTGTGGTTGTGGTTGAGGCTCTTGTTGTTGAGGTTCTTCTTCTTGTGGTTGTGGTTCTTGTTGTTGTGGTTGTGGTTGTGGTGGTTGTAATGCGATTACTTGTTGTAATGCTAGCTGGAAATTTACTAGTAGTTGTGGTTGTTGTGGCTGCAATTCAATTACTTGTTGTAATAATTGCTGAAAATTTATTACTATTTGTGGTTGTAATGTTATTGCTTGTTGTAATGTTTGGTGTATTTGTTGCGCATGTTCCATTGTGAGATCTACAAAGTGGACGTAGCTCAAACCAGATTCTACATGTGATGAAAAGAAAGATAGAAAGACAAAATGAATAAAAAAAAAGGAATGAAAGTTAGAATAAAATAGTTTTGGAAATGTACATTTTTTCCTAAAAATTGTTGTTCATACCGGTGGTGCCTGTTTGTGGGGTAGCAGTAAGGTTGGTCCCAAGGACGTGGTTGTTAGATCCATTGCCTGATGAGGTATTGAGATCATTGTTGTTGTTATATTGTTATTGTTATTGTTATTGTTAATATCAGTAGTATTAGTGGACATTGTGAATTATTAGAAGGATTAAAATGAAGGAAATGAAGAGAAATAATATGTTTAAATAGAGAATTTAAATCCTCAACTAGTTGGGTAACTTTTCTTAATCATAAATTAAATAAAATCAACTTATTCTATCGGTCTAACCTTCCTACCTGGGCTAGGGTGATCTATGACATAAAGAAAGGAGTGGCATATATATATGTCAATTTAATCCTAATATAAAAAATGTCTAATGGTCATTGGTTCGTCTGGTAGAGGGGATATTAGAAAATAATTAGCTAACCCCAACAGAAGTATGATTCCTTCTATAGTTGACCCCCAATCTAGTATTAGTTCTGGCAAATTGATTGTGTTTGTGTACCCACTCCCATAATCCATATTCTTGTTTTCTTTTTGGGAATATTATTTTAAATTTGGGAATTGATGGAAAATATAATTAAAAAGAATTGCAAGTTTATTATTTTCCTCTCCTACCTGATATTTTTCTATAAGGCTGTTTTTTTGGTTCTTCTACTACCTTTTTTTCTTCTTCTTCTTCTTCTTCCTCTACTTCTTTTTCTTTTTGATGATTTGTTTTAATTTTCTTATTTACATTTCTAGTTACTTTAGTTATTTTTGATTTAGTTTCAGTCACCTTTTTCTTTTTAATTGGTGTTGTTGGTTCTTCCTCTGATTCTTCATCGTCTGTTTTGTATTCTTCCTCTGAATCAGATTCAACATTTACTTTTTCTTCGTCATCTTCCTGTTCTTCTTCCTCCAAATCTTTCTTTTTGTTTACCAAATTTACATTCCATTTGGAAATGGGAGGTGTTGGTTTGTTTGGACTTGGCAACACTATATTATTCTTGTCCTTCTTTTTGGTTGTAACAGTTGTTGTAATTCTAAGTGGCAATGATGTTGGTACAAGGGTAGTGGTAGTAGTAGTAGTTTGTTTGGAATCTTCTTCATCTTCACCAATATTGAAATTCATTTTAATGACAGTTCCCATACTTTCATCTTCGTCGTCACTTGCATCACGCTCATCATCACTAAGGTTTCTATACAATGGTTGTTCGTTGAATCTAATCTTTTTCTTTTCCGATTGGAATGGAGTTGTACTACCATTGCTTGAAATTGAAGGTCTAAGTGCTGATTTCAATGGTGTTGCATTATTGGCACTTACAGCCATTGCCAAATTAAATTTAATTGGTGATTGATCAGATGATGATTGTTGTTGTTCTTGTTGTTGTTGTTGTTGTTGTTGTTGTTGTTGTTGTTGTTGTTGTTGTTGTTGTTGTTGTTGTTGTTGTTGTTGTTGTTGTTGTTGTTGTTGTTGATGGATAATCAATGATTTCTGAGCAGACATGGTTTGTAATTTTGATGGAGTGACTGATAAACTCAATCTACCACTAGTTTGGAATGGACGTAATGGTGTAGTAGTAGAGGTGGTGGTGGGTGTTGAAGAGGATGCAGCGACATTAAGACGACCAGGTGTAGATGCTCTTGATGGTGTTTTAAGTTGAGGAACTACAAATTTGGTCATGTCAGCCTTTCCAGGTGTAGTTGGGATAATCTTTCCAAGTGAAGCTCTCTTTTGGGCAGAAGGTGGTAATCCTCCAACATCTCCTCCATCTATCATGGCCTTGACTGGAGACTGCATAGCAGCCTTTTTAGTTTGAAGGGCAAAGTTACGTAGGTCAAACTCGATTTCCTTGGCCAACTGTTTGTTTGTGGCCATAATGTCGTTCATCTCGGTCTTGTAGTCACGATACAACTCACGCAGATACATCATGAGCTCACGGATAAGAGGTGACCGTTTCTTTTCGAGCATGTGCTTGAGTTCAATGACAATGGGGACGATGTTTTCAATGACGTTCTTTTTGACAATCGAGGTGAGTAGTTTGCCCTTGGCTTGCTCGGCAGCCTGCTCTTGCATGGTCATCTCTTCGTCGCCGTCGCCAACTGCACGCGTCATGGCGTGCAACTTGATCTCTTTGCTTGCGAGTACGGCCAATGCGTCATAGACCACACCTGCGCAGTCTTGCAACGCCATCTTTTCGTCGGTGACCTCGGCCAACACATCGTGGCACAACTTGCTGGCCAACTGGAAGCGATGCTCGTCACCCATGGCCGCGAGGAATGTCTTGTAGATAGTCATACGCTTGTGACGCTTGCTGTCACCGCGCAAGGAGAACTCGTCCGTCTCACCCGGGCTGGTGGCGGCCACTAAAGCCTTGTTGTTCTTGGTCGAAAAGACAATCTGACTGTGCATGGCTGCAAGATGGTTGTTTTGGTTGTTGTATGTGTGGTGTGCACGACACTCGTTGAGCACAAACACCGTCTCGATAAAGTACCCGTAAAAGATGTTGCTTCCAGCAAGTCCAGTTGCCGGCCCCTGCGCCTTGGTTGTCGCCGAGCCGTACTTGGCCTGCAACACATTGGTCAGACAAAAGTTGGCAAATGCACTGACCTGTGGCGACGGGTCGACGAGCGCCTCGACAAATCTAAAAAACAGTGATCCACGCCACTTGACATAGTCCTCTTGCAAGAGACGCGTGAGTAGGATAAGAGTCTGTCGACGCACCATCTCGCTCTTGTCACGCAGACACTGGGCAATGTTGGGGATATAGCTATCGACAATTGCAGTGTACCGGATACACAAGTCACACATGACAATCATCACGTTGTTTCTGATGACTGGTGAATCACTCGCCTCCAACTCTTTGGCAAATGTAGCTATACATTTCTTGGCCAACTTGTCGTCACTAAGACATAACTTGCCAAGTGTGATAAAGGCGTGTGCTCGGATTGACTCGGGAATCAAATCACCACTTCCCATCAATCCTTGATTAGACTTTCTCGAGAATGCCATTGTTGGAGCAATCAACGCTTGAACCAATGTCTTGATACGTGATGGAATCGAAACAAAAGTACCAATCTGTACAATCTCTCCAATGACAAACAAGTATTGTCCAACCTCTGTAGTTGTTGGAACACGTACCTTTTTCTTCTTTCCTTTTGTAACCACAACAATCGCCAATGGATCAATATTTTCATCTTGTTCCATCTTTTCTTCCTGTTCTTCTTCTTCTTCTTCTTCCTCTTCAATATCATCCAATTCTTCTTTTGTTGGTGGAAGAATGTATCTACCCAATTCACTATCACAAATAGCCAATACTTCCTTTGTCCATTCACAAACTGCCTTTTCAATTTGTTGTTTTGTTTTTTCTTTGTTTAATCTTTGTGTTAACTAAAAATAATAATATAATTATGATTAATTAGTTATCATGATTATATATATATATATATGTTCTTCTTTAAATCTCTTTCTTACATTAACCAAAACAGAAATAAATAATTGAACATGAGTTGGTAAATATTTAAATGATTTGACACGATCTAATAAATCTTGTAACAATTCTTCAGCTTGATTAACTGTTAAAAATGAACATGAATTATCCAATAATACAAGTAAATTTGATGTTAATGCAATAATATTATCTAGAAATTAAAAAAAAAAATAAGATGTTAGCATGATTCAATAATTTTGATTTATCTTTACTCTTACCTTTTTTAACATCAACTTTATCTTTATAAATATTCCAAGTTGATAAAATGAATGGATGATCTAATTTGTCTGGATTACAATTACCAATTTCGGCAAGGAGAGCCCATCCTCCAATAGTTGTGATAGTGTCGTTTTTGGCATCATTTTTGATCAATGTTTGGAGACACTTTATCATTTGTGGAGTGATGAGTTTCTTTTGTGACAATAGAAAACATGCTTTGTGTAGGAATGGTGTCATTTCATAGGTAAAGATATCATCCAACAACCGCCATAGATAATGTTTGTAGATGGAATTACCAGATTTGGAAGAGGCTGATACTTCTACAATAGCATCAAATATCATTTCCTTGACCATATCTAGTGTCTTTTCAGAGACTGATGTTTCCTTGTCGGCGAGTAATGGGAGAACGGTCGATCTCCAAGTATCAACCACACGAATATCGTTGGTAAAATGCTTGAGGAATAGAGTCAAACTTGATGCTACTTGTTTACGGATCAGTGGTGAAGAGTCGTCACGTCGCTCAGTCAGTACCGATAAAATGTCTGAATTACACTTGGCCGATCGATCCAACTGCAAACTCAACACTTCCAATACTTGAAGTGCCGATTTTCTAACACCACTCTTTTCATCGTCCGATCTCTTGGCCAAAAACGAGATGAGAGTAGTCGAACTGGAACCCGAGGTTGATGCATCATCCAATCCAAAAATAATCTTTAAATGTGTTGATAGTCTTGATACGACCTCTTGATCCTCTAATAGTTGTGCCAAACAACTCAACGCTTTGGATCGAACCATTGAAATCTTATCACTCGATCTTTGTACCAATATATTTAGGAATTTACAAATGTTTCCTTCTGTAATAGAGTTGATTGGTACTATAGCTGAGCTAGGTAGGACTGCAACTGCAGTATCTTTGTCTTTGTCTTGTGCAGCTGTTGGTTTTGGAGGAGGTAATACGACCTTGTCAAACTCTAACAAATCTTTAAATTGGAGTAGTGAAAGTGCCAACTCGACCGAGAACTGTCGATAGTGAACCTTGCTGTTTCTGGCATAGGTCATGAGGAAGTTGGCCAACCGCGATATCATCATTGGCGATCCGATCGCCGCCAAAACACGTGATACACTGTCCACTGTATGTCCTCTATAATCTGCCTTTTCCGACACATGAATACAAACATGTTGTAATAATATAAATATATGATCATGTGATGCTTTAATACTATTAAAAAAAAAGAAAAAATAAATGTAAAGTTAGTATTTTTTTTTTTGATTTCTTTTCTTTCTTTTTTTTTGAATGATTCCTCATACCGATTACCAATCTTTACTATAAACTCTATAGCCATATCACGATCAATGACAAGTTGACGTGGGAGGACTGATGGAACGACAAACATTGATTTGGGGGATAGCGTCAACACTTGGATAAACTCTTTGAGGAGAAGAGGGAGTACGTCGCCAGCAGCACCGTGTCTACCGCTGACCAACGTGTCCATGATCTGGTAGGTAGTTTTGACAATCTCCATTTCCTCGGGATCGATATTAGCTCCACGTGTACCGCCACCTCGTCCACCTGTCTTGTTGGTCGTCTTTGGTTTCTTAAAGTTGATGGTCTTGCCAAGTGTTGTTAGCGATTCGGCAGTGTGTACCAACGAGTCTGGTGATCTATACAATGTAAATCGGTTCAACCAAAACTCCATATCATCCAACAAACTCTTAATCAATTCCAATAATCTTGATGGACTTATTGACTCTTGTCCTGGTTGTTGTTGAGATTGAGATTGAGATTGGGATGAGTTTTCATCATCTTCTTCATCACCCATTTCAGTATCTTCGTCATTGGTCTTGGTAGCAGCCTTTTTCTTGGCAGCTGGTTTGGCAAAAGGGTCATTCTTTTGTCTGACTTGTGTTTCATTCACCTTGCATGCTTGCACTAGTTTCAAGACGGATCGGTAAGTCAATGGATGGAACATGGTATGATGCATAACACACATATACAAATACACCGACGATGCCACAAACTGTACTTCCTTTCCACTCTCCTTACTATCGATGAGCCAGTACATCAATATTGATAATGACTGTATTGAAATATTTGATGATTGTATAAAATCCAAGAATACATTGTTCATTGGTTCTTGTTCCTCTTCTCCTCTTTCTTCAGTATCTATATTCATTTTCTCTTCTTCCTCCTCCTCTTCTACTTCTTCTTCCTTCTCTTCTTCTTCAGATGATGATGATGATTGGTCACTGTCATCACTATCATCTTTATTCTTATTTTTCTTATTATTCTTGGACTTGTTGTTATTCTTCTTCTTCTTTGTATTGGTTGATGTTGCTGTTGTCTTGTTTTTCTTTTCTTGTTGATGCTGAGTACCATCGATCTTTTTCTTTGGTACAGTTATTATATTGAGTAGTGGGATGGCAGCAGTTGACTGCTTGAACAAAAGGAGTATGTTGGTGAGTGTAGACACACCGAATCGCGACGCTACAATATTGAGTGTCTCGCGATCGCCACTTCCCAAGTCATCGCCACGCCACACTGCATTGACCAAGTCGTCAGTGATATCATTGCCAATCTCCAAGAGTGACTCTAATACATCTGCACTAACATGGTTGTTATTATTGTTTGACTTGGTTGTTGTTGTTTTCTTTTTAACTCCTCCCATCTTCTTTATTTGAATGAGATTAATATATATATACAAATCTACTCTATAGGAGTAAGTAGTAGAGAAGAACTATAGGATGGGGGTAGGTATGTAATAATGAAACTATAATGAATGAATGGGGTGGATCGTCTTCTGCTCTATTATTTTTGGCGCCAACTTTTTAAAATCCAAAGTAAGAGTACATTGTGAAGTTCTTGAAAAATGTTTGTCCGTTTCAATGAACAAAAGTGTTGTGTTTGTTTGGTGCGGGATAGTAGGATATTATCTCCCAATCCAATAACCACAAAACAAACCACAAATCTTAATCTAATAATCAATCATATATGATGATCAAAAAAAAGATAATAATGTTTATCAATCTTGAGGGTGGGATGACACCTTGAAGAACATTCAATTATTCTTTTATTTATTTATTTGATCAACTCATCTTACATCCATCACGCACGTGTCTTGCGTGTGCCTTGTTGAAACTACCGTTTATCGTCACATATTGTATTGGTTATTATTGTTTTATCTGTACGTGTTTCTGTCAGAGACCGACGGACAGATATCACATGACAGCTATTTTTGACAGCTGAAACAAGAAGAAGATGACGGATCCATCCACCGCGCGAGCACCACTGAGACACCCTCCAAAACTGTTTTTTTATTTTATTTATTTTTTTGATCAAACAATTCAATTGGATAGTTTTATCACCCAAAACTCTAGTCCTCTTTGAATACCAACAACATAAACAAGCCTACCTTTTATCTTTTGTTCGATAAGATAAGAAAGAAAGAGAGAAAGAGAGAGAGAGATATATATACAGAGAGAGACATAGATCATCACTCGATCAATAGTACTATAGGTGTAAACAAGGGTATGTTGGTACCTCTTTTTGAAGAACACATTGAACTTGATTGGATTGATTTTGGATCGTTGCCGTCACATCATTTTATCGTATCACACGAGAATAATAAATAACAACAACGACATCGACATCGATAGCGACATCGATAGCTCAAGCAAGCTAACTAGCTTCACAGAGAGATCTACAGTACATACATCTAAAACACAACGATTCGATCAGATCAAAAAGACAATCACACCCAACTTTATAAGCACAACCCATTCACCTCACCACCTCAAAGTCAAGACACAGACAGGCGTGTCATCATCCATCACCCACATTTCACCAACCCACCCACCCACACCATCATCATTAAAAACACAAAGCTTGTTTGTTGGGTGACAAAAAATTAATCTTCGAGCGAATCATTCAATCACATGTTTATTGTGCTTATATATGTATATCATTATTAATATTAACTGTATATCAATCAGTCAGTCAATTAATCAATCAATCCATCATCATCCACATATCATTCATTCATTCATTCATTCTGATAATAATATATCATAAATCTATATAACATATATAATATTATTATTTATTAATCATACATTCTCTCTTCTTTATTCAGCAGCAGCAGTAGTAGTAGCAATAGCCAATAACAGCAATAGCAACATCTTTATTCACAACAACAACAACAACAACAACAACCATTGTACTATTATAATAGAAAGAGACATATATATATATATACATCATACATAGTTATATAACTATCCTCTATCCTTATCCAACAACAAAGAATCCGTCAGTTTGCAACCAAATTCAACCTTTTTTCGAATTTGATTTATTTTTTTAATTTTTTTTTTTTTGTAATATCAGCCACCTTACAGAGACAGATACAAAAGTTTGTTGTTGTTTATCATATAATAATATATCACAACACCAAGTATTAGTTAGAGTAATAGTAGAGTAAAATAAACCATGTCAGAGGAAACAAGTAAAAACTTGGCCTCGTCAATGGGTCGAAGAGGAACCTTTTCAAAGGCAAAAAGCTTTAGAAAGCCTGGCTTCAACTTGGAGTCGAATCAGGCATCGTTGTCAAACGGTGGTTCTCATACATATAAATATCTAAGTATGTGTAAAGTAATGTGTGAATAATAGTTGGTAGTAGAGTAGAAGTAGGGAGTAGAGAGAGCAGAGTATAGGAGGTAGGAGAATGGATTAAAGATATTAATACAACTTGTTGATTATTATTATTATTATTATTATTGATTTAGATGGAGGAGAATATACAGGACCAGAAGTTAGTAATATTCAATCACCACCAACAACACCACGTAGAGATAGATCATCATCGATAGCATCCAATTCGTCGACATCGTCGGTTGGAGGCATTACATTTGACGACGAAGATTCAAAGATACCCGTGTATTTGGGATCGGATGGAACATTGTACAATAAATACTATATAGCAGTCAAGATACTCGGTATACCGGGCGGCAACGATGAGCAGCCATCGGGCGCGACACCCAACAACAACAGACCAAAGCCATTTACAGGAACAGACAGCATATTCACATCGTTCCCGTCAGAGCACGGTGGCTTTGACAACTATTTCGATTACGAGCAATCAGTGTTGGATTGGAATTCACAGGTTGGCAACGCACTCAACAACATTAAATTGCCGATTGCTATGGGTCGCACCTACAGTCGTCCACGCATCACGCAGGGTAACGACCGCATCAGAAAGAACTCAGAGGCATCAAACGACGATTCATTTTCAACAAACGATAATGCGAGCGACCCAGCTGGCGACACACACCCACACCACGGCAGCAGCGGCGGCGGCGGCGACAATGAGTCAAAGCACAGCGATGGCGCACCGACAATCGGTCTTGACTCGCGTAGTCGTAGTGGCTCGGACGCGTCGACTGGCTCGTTTGAGGGTAGTGGCCAGATTGGCCTGGACGGCTCGTCGCCGATCGACGGCAGTCCCTCGAGTGGCAGTCTAACAGGTTTGGTCAACGGCACGCGCAGTCGCAGCAACAGCTCCACTTACTTTGACCCGCGTATCAACCGCTCCAACTCCTTGTCGCCCAAGCAGTCGCTGCAGTCGCGTCTCGGCGACAGTGGCGACTTTAAGCTCGGGCGTGGAGGCAGCGTCATGAGCATGGACGAGGACCGCTGGACGCTGTCCAAGGATCCCTGGGAGGCACAACTCATCCTGCAAGAACCCGTCCCCGAGTTTTACAACAGTTTTGAAGAATACGAGTTTGCGATGCGCAATTGGGCGATCGAGGTCATTATCAAGACACCCGTCCTCCCTCCCCATGCCAATCAACTCGGTCAGCTGCCAAACGGCGGCAACAACAGCGGTGGCAGTGGCGGCAGCAATAGCAGCGGTGACCAAGCATCCAACAGCAAGCAGGGTGGTGCGGGTGGCGCAGACGGAGACGCTGCGTCCGGCCACAAGCACGCTGCCGCCAGCCGTTCGCTCAACGCGGTCGGCACCGACGGCCTGCTCGACATTGACATCAAGCAGTGGATCGTCCGCAGCGGACTGATCGACATGACACCCGAAGAGCAGCGCGTCGCCGAGCAACATCTCGACGTCATCGACCGTCTTTTCAAGGCGACATTTGGTAATGGCGGACGCTTCTTTGACAGCGTCGCACTCAAAGAGGACAAGCAGTGGCAAAAGATGCCCAACGGCGAGGGCAAGATCAACCTCATCGACACGTTTGACAAGTGGTACCGTCGCAAGCTCAACTGGCATCGCAACTCGCTTGCCAACTACAAGGGCGGCATCTGGTCGGTGCATCTGCTCATGCCGGCCATTCCAACCGGCTGGAAAGAGTCAAATGTGCGCAAGCAGGCGTTGTTGCCACCACTCCCCATCCGCGCGCTGCGTCGTACCGACATCCAGTCAGAGGCAGACGGCAAGCGTGTAGACACGACCATCGTGTCGCCCGCCATGCCCATGGACTACACCAAGATCCTCAAACCCAACATGAATATCCAGTACATACTCGGATTTTACGAGAGTCCGTCTGTTTCTACGACCAGTCCATTTGCACCAACCGCGAGCATCTCGGCCGAAGAGACACGCCAGTACATCAAGATTGCACGTTTGTACGACCGTCGTCTTGTGCACTCGTACCGCTTTGACACATTCTACTCGTGGTCCAAGTACCCACAGGCTGCTGGCTTGCCCAACACCAACCAGCCACCCGATGTACTCGCCATGCTCCAGTCGCAGAAACAAGATGTCGAAGCTATCCTCATCCAACAACCATTCGAGTTTAGTAGTATTTTGGCACTTGTCAACACTGCCAGTGTCTACCTCGACAAGTTCCAAGAGTGTTTTGATTTTGATACGTCGGTTGGAATTGCCGCGCACTATGCTGTCGCACTCCCACCCATTGTCACGCAGATTGTCGCACCCACCTCACCTGCCTCTCCCGGTGGCGCCACCACCCAAAGCTCACTCGGTCAATCCACCTCGTCGATGGCCAACCCCAATGCCATCAACAACACGGGCAGCGCGATTGGCAACATGTCGGGTTCATCCCCTAACCCAATGGGAACACCCACCAAGCAGTACAGTAACACCCCCAACTCGCCACACCACCTCTTGGCCAGTCCCCCCAGCCGATCCGGTTCGATTGGCAGCTTCACCTTTGGCAGTCCTGCGTCCAACAAGATTCTCCTCTCACCATCATCGCACAATCCAAGTCTTTTGGCAAACATGAGCAACAGCAGCACAGGTGTCGAATCTCCTCGACCATCGCATCACTCTAGAATGGAACAAGTACAACAACAAGAGAACAAATTGACCAGCGGTGTTGGGTCTAGTGGCTCGCCATCACAAAGCACAGGTGGTAGTCCACGTTCAACCACTGCCACCTCTCCTCTTTTCAACACTCTCACCTCTGGCTCTGGTTCTAGTTCACCCTACACCACCAACTTTTACAACTACATCTCTAGTCACACCTTCCCAGAAATCCTCACCATCTTTGAAAAAGTTAACAGTCCATTGGCTCATGCCAAACTTTCCTCCCTTGTTCTTGCTTGTTTAGCTTCAGATAAAGGTTCCCTTTTAATTGAAAGTATTATTATTTCAAAAGGTAAAGTAAACAAATACAAAACAAAGTACAGAGTATAAATAATTAATAATTAATTTTCTTTTCCTTTTTTTTTTTAGATATACAATCATTATATAGAATTGCTCAAGCAACTACCTATTTTGATGTTGTACCACTTGATTTATACCCATACCCAACTCATTTTAATCTTGTCATGACCTCACAAATTGCAAAGGGACCAACTCAAGAAGTAGTTAGATTGGTATTTATGTATTATTATTTAAATATTATTCATGAAAGAGTACAATTCTACTCTTCAAATCCATCTGTAATATCTTGTATAAACTCTTCTAAAAAAGTATGTAAACACGTTATAGTTTGATAAAAATCATCATCTCTCTAATCTAAAATTATTTATTTATTCTTTTTTAGGAAACTGCCGAAAGAATTGGAAATCAAATTCAATCCGATAAAGAATTATTATCCAACATATTCAGAGCATTGGGACGTAAATCTTCAACCATATCACATTGCTTCTTATTTGTTCTTGTTCAATTAATGAGAATGACTGATTGTCCTTCAGTTATCGTATGTAGTCATAGAAAAGCAAACTGTTTAGATGATGTAGTTTTAGAGTACTAAATTGTTTATTTCATTTTCTTTTTTTTTTAGTCATTCTTAAAATTAAAAGATAGTATATTACCACATTTACGTGATTTATGTAATAGTAAATTCCTTCATTCACAATTTGCAGCCAAAAGAGTCTTTTCGATTTTACAAGAAGACGGATGGAAAGAATTCCTCTATGCCGAATACTCTGAAAAGGATGCATTGATTTCAGATTTAATGTTTGCCAAGGAATTGACACCAAGCAAGCTCAAGATTAGTATATCAAAGGCAGGTAGTGCCCACCAAAACAGCTCTACCACCACCTTTTCCAACAAGGGATCACTACTCAGTGACTTGGCACTCAACATGTGCATCAGTACTCTTGACGGCATCAACTCGTCTGCTCAAATCCCATCGGTTAGATTCCTCCTCAACGACCAGTTGTTTTTACAAATCTACAACAACATCAAGTCTAGTGGAAAGACTGGTGACCGTAACCTCGAAAATCTATCACGTCTCTTTGCCTACATTTGCAAGACTGCCGTTCGTTTCTCCATGATCAAAAAGAGTGATCAAATTAAAATCAACAAAAAGAGCACTACCGAACAAGAAATCCTCATTTCACCACCATTCATGTTTGAACTGCTAAGTTTGGTTACTACTTCTTCAAATGAAAAACCAATTGTAAAAAATTGTATGTATTCAAATCGAAGAGAAGTTCTCAAAAAAGTTGATTAAAATAATAGTTCTAATTTATTTATTTATTTTTTTATTCCCATTTTAGATATGTTGGAATCATTAAGACATTTATTAAAACAACCAGAATTATTTGAAATATTAAAGAAGGAAGCCAATTTGTACAACAAATTATTAATTGTATCATGTCGTGAAGGCAAATATCCAGAGTTTAATCGTAATAGTTGGAGACTCTTTTTCCAAATCATTAGATTGCATCCAGGACACATTGAATTTTTGGAAAAGAGTAAATACCTGTCACAGTTTATCGATATCATCAACACGAACGCTGGTCCAGTTGTTCTCTCCAACTCTCTTCATTACCTCACCAAGCTCTTTGCCCTCGTTCACTATGAGAACCGTCGTGCAACCCTTTGGAAGGGATCAGTGTCAGACTCTAAGCACACTGAAAAGGATGTCAAGACACTGCGTGACTTTTTCACTGAACGTCACATGTTTATCAAGATCCACATGGTCTATAGACGTTATGTAGAAAGCTTCCCAGGTCGTCCATTTGTCCATCTTGTCAACCTCTACCAAGCCATCTCTACTTTACCAATCTGTCAAAAGTTGTTAAAAGATACAACAAAGACTTCAGACTATAAAGAAGGTTTTGCAAAGATTTCAAAATGGTTCAAGGATGAAAGTACTCCAACTAAATAGAATTAAGTAAATAGTAAAAAGTAATAGTAATCCCCTCCCCCCTCCCCTTTAATTTAAAATAATAAAATAAAATATAAATAAATAAATAATACATAATCTATCTATCTATCTAATATATTATTTAATGTCAAAATATTACTATTACTATTATTTTATTTGTGATTCTTTATTTATTAAAGTTTATATAAATTATTAATTTTAGTAGTTTTGTTAAATTTAAATAGAGTTGGACAATTAGTTTCAATATCCGATTTAAAAGTTGATAATGTTTCGGTATGTCGTAAAGTGAAATAAAGTAATTCAACGATTTCATTGGTCAATGGTTGTGAAGATTGGTTTTGGTTGATGATTTGGTAGAGTTGTTGTTTGGCATCTCCACTGTCGTCTGCTCTGGCTGAGCTCCAAGTTTGGAGGACAATTCTCCAGAATGAATAGGCAGCATATGCCTCTTGATCCAAGGCAATGTTTGGACTACCACTACCAATACCAGCACCCAACTCGTTACTTGGGAAATGAAGGAAAAATAGTGGGATCACTTGTTGGTTTAGTTCATAGACATGATCATTGTTGGTCTTGAGATTGGACAATAACTCTAATTTGTGGAGTACTAGTTGAAGGTAAAAGTGATGACCTTCAGACTTGAAATCCAAAGCGTCTTGGATTCTTTCTTTTACATCGGATAGTGTCTTTTCAACCAATTGTGTTTTGGTAGAGTTGTCATTGCTGACAGCGACAATGTTGATAATGTCATGGAGACGATTCAACAATTTGAATAACCATTGTACCCCATTTTCCTTGTAGACTTGTGCAGTGAGAGCAACCTCTCTTTTCGAGTCGGTCTTGTATTCTTGGTAGATCGATTGGTCGAGTTCAAGACAATACTTGATAGTCTCTTGTACTTGGTCGGTATCCCAAACCAATCCTTGCATGACGCTTACCAACTGATGGATGACATCCAACAAAAGAGACTTGTGTTGTGGAAAGAGAGTACCGATCAACTCAAATGATGATTTGACACCTTGGTGGAATAGGTCTTGAGTGTTTTTGGTTACACCTTCCTTGTCGATAGATATCTTTACAATCTTGACCAAAATGGTAATTGATGCGATGGATGGCTTGGTAGCAGCCACCTTGTATACTGGATCGATGACAGACTGCAAGTAGGGGTACATGACAGCAGTGTCGGGAAGGAGTGCTACGATTCTTGTCAAATAGGTTGTCTTGGCCGTGTCGGGTGTCAATTGGTTTTCTTGTGACCATTCAACAACTGGTTTCATCAAGGTTGGAATACTCATTGCAACATAGTCTCCGTAGAATGTGAATATTTGGACGAGTACTTGAGCCCATGTATTTCTCTCATTCAAAGTATTATTAAAATGATCTTCCATAAATGTAGTAAAGTACTTGTTGAAATGATTTCTACCCAACAATGATCCAAATTGCATGAAAAGTGCAAATGCTGCCATATCATTCAACTCTTCCTTTGATTCTTTAAATGAAATAAATCTATCCAACAAAATAGTAAATATTTTTGATCCAAACTAAATAAATAATTAAAAGTAAAATAGAAATTAATAAATAATAATAATATAAAGAGATATCTCTAGAAATATGACATACATTTAAAAGTTTAGATGGATCAACCTTATCAATAATATTGGTAATATAATTTAATGAATTTCTAATAAACATTTCATTGTCAGAGGAAAGGAGTGATTCTAAAGCATCGTACAATTGGTTCAATACAATATCATTTGAATAGTTTCTGGCGGCGGTATACTTTTTATCGGCTGGTGACAAGATGGCAAGGATACAAATACAGTATTCTCTATCTACCAAATCTTTGAATGTTGTTTGTTGCTTTTGTTTCTTTGTCTCTAAAACAAGGTTGACGAGATTGATTGCTCTTTGTTGTGTTTCAGCATCCTCTTCTCCAAGGAAATAACTTCTAATGACCTTACCAAAACAGGAAATATCCAATATGAAATAATCAATCAATGTAGCACTCTCTATTAATTTTAAAGAGTTATCTCTAAATGATTTTCTTGCACCATTGGTTGATTGTAATAATCTGGTTCTAAATTCACCCCAACTAGCTAAATAACAGAATTGATAAGTAAGAATGACATTATTGTTTTCTTTCTTAACTTGTGTAACTACTACTACTTACCTGTTCCATAGCCACCGAGAAGACTGGTCAAAGTTGATATGATTGCATCTCTTGAGTTATCAGATAGACGATGGTGATACTCTTCATCATCAAGTAGATTGAATATTTCCAACAATGTATTACCATGTTCCGAATTAATATTTGGCAACTTTAATGATTTATCTGCTAATTTACCAATTAATTTAATTGATTGGTTTTGAACCTAAAAAGTAAGTAAATTAGAAAGTATGTAATAAACAAAGTAAGTATTATTACATAATATGAAACCAACAATATAATTATTTAGTAAAGTACTACAACTACTACTATAATGATACTCACATCAAGTGAATCAGTGTTCTTGACGAGATATGTTAACCATAATAATGTTTCATAACATTGATTGATACAAAGATCAATGAATCTTTGCTTTGCATTACTCTTTTTGTCTGGTTGTTCTTTAACCAATAAATTGATTATTTCGATGAAGTCATCTGATGGTGGTGAAGTTGAAGTTGTTGTGGTCTGACTCATTATTCTTTAAATTTTTTTTAATTTATTTGTACTTTGTATTATATATATAAATATTGGTTGTTTGTTAAAGTCTGGATGACATCAGCAATAGAGATTCATCTTTGTTTTCTCTCTCGGTTTATATATTGGAAGAAAAAGATCTTTATTATGAAAGAAAAATCATGATAAAAGGGAAGCTCGACTTTGGTATCTCAGATGAGCTGTCAACATTAATATCTTCTTTGATAGAACCCATCAACAGGACATTTTCGAGTTGAATCGTCCGAAACAGAAGCTTAATTACACGTCAACATCATCATGTATACATATAATTCGCAAAACAATAAGAAAACAAAGATATGACCTAACAATTAGATTATTTTATTTTATTATTTCTTTATAGTCATTTAGAACTATATTCTATTCTTGACGTTTGGTAGTTGATACTTTGGTGGTAAGGAATTGATCACTACAAAATTAAAGACTGACCTGGTGCTGCATAGTTTCGAGTGATAAGGAAATCTAAATTATCTGACTTGGTAATTAGGATTTATATGCTCTCTAGCATCCCTGGGAAGATGTTCATCATCCTTGTAGACGAACATTGGTGGTTGATACTTCTTCTAAAGTACTCTTGCTTGAACTGTGGGTATTTATATATATCCCCAAATCAATATGATTTAAAGTAATGTACAAATATTATTATTATTATTTTATTATATATTGTTGTTTTGTTGTGACCTAACCTATAAATTATTATATATTATATATATTATATATTATTACATTTAAATTAATTAATTTAAATGTCTTGAACTTGTTCACTGCAGTAGTCATTATTATTATTATTATCATCACCACAACCTTGTTCAATATCGTTTGGAGTTGTTGAAATATCTTCTTCATTCAAGTCGATAGTTGGGATTGATGGGGAAGTGGCCAAAGGTGAGGAAGGGGTACTAGGTGCCTTGGTCTGTGTGTCATAGACCTCGATCGTTCTTGAATTGAGTTCACGACTGGCAAATTGTGAATTCATTCTTGATGCTTGACTTGATGATTGACCCTTTGATAAATCAATCTCATTGGTGCTGTTATCGGAATTGGCCGAAATTGTATTATGTGCTCTTCTCAATAATAAATAATTTTTAAATGTTCCTCCTCCTAAAATAAATAATACAACTACCATTTGTCCAACATCAACAAACATAGTTATCTAAATATATAAAAAGTAAAGTAAAGTTAATATAAATCATATATAGATATATAAATTATTTGTTTTCTCTCTCTCTCTCTCTCTTTTTTTAACATACAAAAGTTGAAGCTGGGAAATAAATATATTTCTTGTCTAAAACAAAATTAAATATAATGTCATGAATGACAATGATAATGACACCAGTGATACCTGTTCCAACCAATACTCTAGTAGTATAAATATTACGATCGAAATGTTTCATTTTTGATTTCTTTTGAGATTCTTTCATTGCATTTGAAAACTTGATACCGTTGAACGCTTGCATAGTTGCAAAGGCTATGATGAAAACAAAAAACCCTATTGCCTCCAATAAGGTTTGGTCTTGGAAAAGACAAATTATTTGAACGACAGCCATCCAAATGAAATACAATACTGATAACATATAACAGAATATTCTTACTCTTTTAGTATTATGTAATTTAATTTCTGTACTTATATAATATGTATACAATAATGACATCCTAGGAAATATAAATAAAATTTTGAATTAGAATATGACCACAGATAAATATATATATTTAAATTTGATTGATCCATTATTCATACCAATATCCAGAAATAAATACCCAAGCAATTAAAACAAAATATACTCCAAATGCAAAGAAGAAATAATATAAACTTCCAACTGCATAATCTTCTGGATATCTATATCTAAGTGCATCACCTATGATTCTGGCTGTTTGATTGAAATAGAATTTGATTTGATTAGTTTACAAACAAGTAAGAAAATCCAATTCGTTTTTCAGATCAAACTCTTGAAACATACTTGCACAAAAACAAAGAAAATTACAAAAGACCAGAAATCTATTATTGGTATATAATCGTCTTGCATTGGTCCATGTATGATAGACCTGTGCGGCATTGATGATAAAGAAGATACAATAAATCGTTATACGGATACCCCAAAATGCGTACATCAATCTATCGGTTGCAACAGATCCAGTGTATGTGAATTCTTCGTTGTCAGACATTGCTGCTCCTACGCCACTGTCTAGTGTTTGGTTGAGTGGTGTTGCTGACATTTTAAATAAATAAAAAAGACCAAGAAATTATATTTCTTTCTTTGCTACTTTTTATCTGTATCTATCTATCTATCTATCTATCTATCTGTATAAATTTAGAACGAAAAAGAATAAGATGAGGAGAACCTACCTACTACCTTCCCTCCTCTTTCACAAGAGAGAGGAGAACTCAGAAACTGTTCGATTGGTTGTTTGTGTTAACTCGCCAAGTAGATTTACAAGATGGCAAAGTTGAATGAATCCATGCGAGAAAGAGGGATGATCAAACAGCCGCGGTTTAATTCATTGAATACCACCGACGGCATCAAGGCGAAAAAGGGGGGGTATAGAGGCTAAAAAAATAATCGAGAACTTTGAAGATATTAATAAAAACACGGTAAAAAGACAAATTTAATAAAATTTTTGGCTCTTGAACCATGAAAAGACCATGAACCGACCTGACCTTATTTTTTGTGGGCACCATCGCCCCATGGTGCTAACTGCAGTGGATCAGAGTGCTCAAGTGTTTTCGATACCGTACCAAAGCGATCGTTCACCATCGCCCGATTGATATGATACCAATTCAAAGATGATTTTTCATTGACAGTACTGTCATACCTACCCTAATCTATTAGAAGTATACAGTGTTGTTTATTTTATCTATAATTAGCTAGTACTCTCAAAAAGAGATTAGTGGTGAGATGGGGAAGGAACCAATGATTGTTTGTTCAGAGTTAACATGAGTACAGTTCCTTGCTGAGTTTACTCGACAGATAACAAGATAAATATATTTATATAATTAATAGTCAAACAATTCTACATAATTGGGTGATGGAATTAGAGACTTGTGTTTTCGTTAAATTTAAACGAATGAAAAGAGAATAGTCTGTTTTTTTTAATGACTCGACCGAGTTTGCCGAAAAGAGTTTAATATCGAATTCTCATTCATTCATTTATTGTTGATCAATTCACACATCTAGATTTATATCTACCTCTATCTTTACTCATCAGAATGATTGAATTATTCTTTGAGACTTTAAAAGTCACAGATGATACAACTCAGATCAAAGCAGCACTACAAAGTTTCTTTAAAGAGTTTTGTACCACCAAAGCAGACACTTCAAAATACATTCAATCTTTTACCTCTGGTATCATCGATCTCGTTCAATACCTTGAATCAGTCAACCACAACAACAATGCCACTATTGATTTGGATTCAATCAATCTACTTAGAAAGTCAACTATCTCTATTGGTTTGGTAAGAAGAAGATAGATACAACAATATTAATAATAATGCAATACAATACACCTAGCTAACTATCTTTCTCTATCTCTATCTCTTTTTTAGATTGCTCGTTATTCACCATATGCATCATCATTTAAAGAACATCTAAGAGACATATTTGCAAATGTCGTAGAACCTTTATTATTATTTAAGCCAACTGCTGCATCTTCACAATCAACATTTGTAAACTTGTCAAATGAAATATCTGCTTTAAATGTATGTACGATTGTTGTTAACATATAAAGTAGAGGAAATGATCAACCAACCCTCCCGTTCTAATTATTGTTAAATATATATATATATATATATATATATATATATATATATATATATATATATTTAGATTGAAGCATTAAAATGTTATTCAATGATGTTACAGTCATGTTATGATCAAGAAATGATGGATCCAATGAGTTTTAAAGTAATGGATATTGTACAAAAGAATCATATCAAGAATATTAAACCAATCGATCCAAATACAGTTGATTTAAATGCACACAATATCCACAACTATCTTAATCAAATTATAAGCGATTTGGTTGCTACGTTGATTCAAGTGTCTCCTGGATTGATCATTGAAAATAATACGTTGATTTCCTATTTAGTAGATTCCTATTTATCTTCACCAACCTCTGCTACAGAGGATCAAGACAACCAAGAACTCATTAGTATTTTGGGTCACTATTTACAATTGTTTATCATCAAGAAATTCCAACCTACCTCCTCTTCCAAACAAACTTCTGGATCAATGTCAAATGGTCAACAAGAACAAGACGAAGAACAAGATGGAGATGAAAATGATAGAGATTACTATAGTAAAACGGTTATGGTTCACTCCAAGTCAATAGAAAAGTGTCGTAAAGAGTTTGCAAATGTCAATCTATTCAGAGACACTAAAGTTTTGGTATCAGTCATTGAAAGAATTCAAAGCAAATTATTGGCTACACAAGAAGAGGTTGATCCATCTCTCCCAAAAGGAGGAAAGAAGAGTGGTGTATTACCACCAACTAGTTGGAATGAATCCTATATTATTCTACTTGGTATCATTTTATCATATAGTTGTATTCATCCTACAACAGTTAATGGAGAATCAAATGATATTATCAACTTTATTTTTAATATATTTTTAAATAGGTATGAAACAGTCAATAATATGTAATACCATACTTTACTAATTCTAATTTATTTTATAGAATTGAACAATTAAATGATCAATTTAAAAATGGAGTAATTGGTAATACAAATCAATTCCAAACTGTTGATAAGATTTTAAATACATTGTCATTTGTATTTGCCAATTTACCAACCTCTTCCAATGACCAAGCTTTACAAAGCTATTTACCAAGATTTTTGGATATTTTCATTGATTTGTTTAGCAATGTTAAAAATAGATTAAAGGAACAAACATCTGCAACAACTACTACGACGACAACACCAGCATCAAAAGCATTGAAAAAGAACTTTATCTCAATGAGAGAGAATTTATGTAAATGTTTGGGTAGTATGCTTAGAGTTTACAACCATTTCTTTGCACGTGCACATGACTTTGTTTCATTCTCTCATGTATTGGCAGAACCACTTGTCATGGCAGATTTTATTTATTCTCTCCACAGACAATTAAACAACAATGACACTGATTCAATGGATATTGAAAAATACAAAGATGACTACAGCCAAGAATATTTCCCAAAAATATTTACTTCTTTAATTTCACAATTATCACTTAAATTTAAAACTGTAAATATTAAATATAAATATATAAATACGAATCTAAATTTGATTATTAATTTATTAATTTATTATTTACTCTTTTTTTAGAATATTAATTTATCAAAATCATTTTTAAAATCAATATTACATATTTGTTGTTTTGAACAAAAAGAAATATTACCATATGTTGAACGATTGGTACAAGTTTTAAAGAATATCTTTGTTGTAGAAGACTTGGAAACATATATCACCTATTCCTATGAATCTATCCTTGTACTATCTAAATTGGCAACCTCTTCATTATCAGTGTCCAATAACCAAGACTTTGAAGTCATTTGGAATATATTTATAACTAGTGTAAATGATCAAACGGTATTCCATCCATTGACAATGGACGTAATCGATGAAATCGACCAAGAATCAATGATAAGATCTAAATTTGCTCTCATTGAAGAATTGTGCGTCATTATCAAATGTAATCATCGTAATCAAGCCAAGACAACCACAGAGCTTGCAGAACCATTATTCAAATATTTAGATGCACATGTTGGTGTTGAAGAAATCATTTTCGATAGTGATTTGTTCCTCAGAATGAGTGAATTATCACTTGTCAAATCACTGCTAAAATATCATGGCTATGGTGAAAATGAAACCACTCATTTTACCAAATGTCTCGAATTAATTGACAAGGCTGTCGAATCTGTCAAAAGCAATAGTAATGATGACGATGAATTTATTGCAACCATTGTTGATCATTCTTTAACCATCTTAAACAAAATACAAAAGAAAATATCGACCAACAAGAATAATAATATCTATCAACAACAAGAAAAGATAAACTCTTTACAATCATTAATATCAAAAATTAATAAAAACAAATAAATAAATATAAATATTTGTTACATACTATATATGTTTACCACCGATACTACATCTAATCTAAATCATCAGGATTGGGATAATAGATGGTTTATGTAAGATGATGGGTTGAATAATAAAGAGAGTGAAGAAAACAACCCAATTTCCATTTTCCGCATTATGAAACCGAAATTAAAAGTTTAATTTATTTTTAGATTGTCAAGAGAAAGAGAATGCATGAATATTTCATTTACTTTTACTTTGTACAATAGAGCAAGATAGAGAGATAATATGAGTAATAATACTAATCTCAACAACAGTGGAAATAACATAAACAACAATGAAGCTGGAGTTTATAGAAAAGCAAGTGACAATATGTCAAAGTATGTAAAAAGATCTACACCGACGGTATCGTTCTTTTGCCACCTTCCCTTACTAACTCTAAGTGATATTTATTATATACTCTTGTAGAGGAACAAACTCAATGTTTGATGGGATAAAGAGTGCTGTCACTATTGAGGATCCAGATGCTCCACAACAACTACAAGAGGAAAACGAAGCTGGTGTTATTGACCATTTAACAAACAACTCTAACAAACCAAAGACCGTTGTCGATGGAGCAATGAAGGGTGTGCTATCAGTTGGTAGAAATCTATTCAATGGTGTCACTGGAATTGTTGTACAACCATATAGAGGTGCCAAAAAAGATGGTATGTATATAAGATGACAGATGGTGGTGGTGGACCTTTTATTAATATTTACTCAATCTCTCTCTTTTCCAAGGTGTTGCTGGATTTGCAAAGGGATTAGTTAAAGGTGTCAGTGGAGCAGTATTACTACCAGTTGTAGGTGTATGTGAATTTGTATCCATGACAGCTCAAGGAATTGTCAATACTCCCTTGACCATTATTGATGCAATGAAAAGTAAGGGAAAAAAAAAAATCAAACAAACAAACAATCAAATCATATAACTAATATTATTATTATTATTATTACTATTTTTTTAGATGCACCAAAAGATGAAGTACAAGTTCAAGTTACAGTAGTTGAGAAACCAATATTCTTTGGATTATCATTGACAGAATCAATGGAAAGAGCAAAAGAAAAGAATGTTCCACATATCATATCGATTTGTATTGCCTATCTAAGTAAGATGACCAATGTAGAGGGTATCTTTAGAATTAGTGGATCAAAGACTGAAATTGATAAATTACAATTGGCATTTGACAAGGGTGAGATTACATCGATAGATTCTCTCACCAATAATCCATCCATTCGTATCTATGTACATGAAGTTGCATGTATCTTTAAATCCTATTTTAGATATCAACCAGAATCTATTGTTCCTCCTCAACAGTATGTAAAATAATAAGAGTTGCCTGCCTTTGCACATGTTAACAGAAACTAATTATTTTGATATTATTCTTTAGGATTAATGAATTTATGAATTTACAAGCCAAAACAAATGTAGACCCAGTTGAAAAGGTGGCCAAACTTAAACAAATTGTTTTATCAATCCCAGAGCCAAACTATAGTGCTCTCTATCACATTATGGAATTATTGACTAAAATCTCTAAAAACAGCAAGGAGACTTTGATGACTCCTAGCAATCTCTCTATTATTTTTGGTCCACCTCTACTACGTCCAGAAAGTTTGGCCGATCTTCAACAAGTAGCCAATTGTAACACTGTCATTTTCCATCTCATTTCATTCTTTGATCAAATTTTTACAAAGGTAAATCTATCATTCTAGTATTGATATATATCCAAATCAAATCAACTAATATTATTTTTTTTTATAGAAACCAACTGACCATTTTGTATAATAATAACAATAATAATAATCACCAAATATCACAACCATTTTTAATTATAAATATGTATATATATATATCGTTTGTATTTTTAATCAATTCAAATTTCTTACTTTAATCCCAAGATGATGGTGGTAATCAAATCAAATGACCAATTTTTTTTTACTCTATATTTTCCTTTTTCAATGGTTTTGATATGATCATATCTTTTACATCTGTGATCATAACAATGGTGGTTATATCTTTATTTCTGTTATGTTTCTCTTAAATAGCACAATATAACAAGGTTTGATGGTAATTGCAGTAAAACTCGAAAAATAGTACTGGGCAAATAATTTAGATTTTGCAAAGTCGACTCAAAGCGATTTTTTTCACTATTTTTTTTAACATTTTTTTTTCCCTCTGACCTTCTGTCTCGTCAAACAAAAACCCAAGTGCACATTATTCCCTTTTGTTTTTGAAAGTTAAAGAAGAGAAATAATCATGGCCGAATTCAAACCAGATGGTGATTATCAATTTTTTTTATTATAGTAGCACAGTAGTATAGAAGTAGTAGTAGTATAGACGTCTTTCGATTCAGTATTAGCAACACACTCAACACACAAACACACAGTTACAGATACAGCAATTCATTGATTCAACCCCCATATTGTTTTCGATCAAATGAGAATTTAAAGATTATTATTATTGTTATTATTATTTACTTACTCTGACAAAAGTTCAATATTGTTGTTATGTGATCGATCACATGTTGAATATAATAGTAGTAATAATAGCATATACGAAATCTAGTCGTCACTTTGATCATCAATCTAATAATTTATAATATAATAATAATATATAATCACACTTCCACAACTATAGTCATCAACATATACATTGCTACTACTCCTGCTACACTACTACTGCTACTATAATATGTAATTTTTTTTAATCGTTCGTTTATACTAACCTTAAAAAATACTTTTTTTTTTTATAATATTACAGAGTTAGCTTGCGTCTACGCCGCTATTTTGCTCCACGACGATGGTATCGCCATCACCGTATGTATCTCATATATCTTTTACTTTATCCATTCAAAATACTAATCAATTTTTCCATTACCATTTACTATTTGAATCATATAGGCTGAAAAGCTCAAGACTGTCCTCGACGCTGCCAACGTTGACTACGCCACCCACTGGCCAGTCCTCTTCTCACGTGTTCTCGCCAAGAACAACGTTGATGACTTGATTGCCAACTTTGCCGCCGGTGCTGTTGCCGCCGCTGCCCCAGCTGCTGCTGCTGCTGCTGCTCCAGCCGCCGCTGCCGCCGCCAAGCCAGCTGCCAAGAAGGTCGAAGAAAAGAAGGAAGAATCCGACGACGATATGGGTATGGGTCTCTTCGATTAAATTTAATAAATTTGTAAATCGAACTTTTCTTATATAAACAAAACAAATCAAAACAACGTTAACTGTCATCTCTGGATGGCATACTCTATTATTATTATTTATTACTTATTCTTTAATGAGTTTTTTATGCCATCTGATGTTGCAGACACGCAGTAAATCGATTTGCCGAACATCACACCCCGATCACACATTGTGGCTCCCCGACAAAAACAATTCGAAGCAAAGAAACATATCTTACACAGCCACAATTGTTGTGAAAACTGTCTAACCATTTGATCATTATCATTTGTTTGTTTTTATTTATCTTTTTATCTGTGTATAAATATAATTGTAAAATAATAATAGTCTAGTCTAGCCAATGTTTAATACTAATCCCAATAACCGTCCAAGTTTCAGTGGGCCCTCAATCAAAGGTTAGTGATCAATATAAAACACACGATCAAAACACAATTGTACTTACCTCTTACTCAATTCCTCCATTCATCTTGTAGCTTCGTTTACAACCACAGTCACTCCCAAGGGATATGGACCATACAGACCATGGCCATCAAGAGGTGATTGGGATTAATGAGTTCCAATTAGAATGGTAGGAAATTTAAACCTGTTCCTTCCTCCTCATCCTATTTGTTGTATTGTACATTTTAAATATTTATACAATAAATCACTTCTTTTAAAAAAGTCAATCTTAATCACAAGATTATTCTTGGTCTGTTTCTCTCGGAACGTCTCGCAAGATAGCGACTAAAATATCTTAATTGTCATCGCTTACATTTTTATAATAAATTTAAAAAATAACAAGCAAGCTCGGGGCTTCCGCATTGTTATGGGTTGCTTTGGGTTACCCAGAATCATTATTCTAGAAAATTATAAAATCATGTACAAATCAAATAGTGTTAGTGGTCCAGTCCCTCCACCTCCTCCCCAACGTAAGTGATGGTACATCCTATTCCATTTCGTTCCATTCAATAAAGACTAACATGCTCCTCATTATTATTAGCCATTCGTAAAGTAGGATCACGTTATAGAGGAACTAATACCCAACCAACTACTTTCTACAGTTAAACCAATCAAATCCATGGTATACTTAATCTATTTATAGCGTACCAAAGTTATGCAATAAATCATTCTTCATTTTTTAAAAAAAGATGGTCAAATCCAATTACTACTAGTGTTGTAATTGTTTATTCTATTGTGTCGTTGTTGTCGAAGTTGTTGAAGTTGTTGAAATATCACTGTTATCTTTTTTTTCTTCTTCTTGTTCTTCTTCTTGATTTTCAAAATGATTGTAAAGATACTTTATCAATTCCGAAACAATCTTTACATTTAAACTATTTCCAATTAATCTAAAACATTGTTGAGAAGTAAGAGATGGATGGAATTTAAATTCTTCTGGGAATCCATGTAATCCTAAAAATAATTAAATAAAATTAGGGTATTAATATTCTCTTTGATTCTTTTGTTTTTTTAGAATATTATATATATATATATATATTTAAATATTACTTGTAATTTCTTTTGGAGTAAAATAACGTAATCGTAAAGGTAAAAGGGAATTTGGATCTGATGCATCGGGTTTTAATGATTCGTTTAATTGTAAAACGCTACCAGTTCCTTCAACAAATTTTGAATAGGATCTAGTAAAACAATTGGTAGTCTTTTCACCCATTGTTTTGATATCAAACAACATTCCTCTCTTCGATAGCAATGTCTCTTGAGGTATTTTAAATTTTTCATAGGTTTCTTCTGGATTGGTGGTATCTAGGTATTGTGAAATAGCCGATGGCTCTATTGTTTTAAATGTTGGTATTTCTTTTAATATATTGATTTTTCTAATAGTTGGTTTATCACTCAATTTTGCCTAAACAAAAAAAAAAACAAAACAAATAGGTGGTTAGAATCCAACCATTTAAACCAATTCAATCATCGCATATTATCATACATACAATACAAAAATATCTTAATCTTTGATTTGGTAAACCAAATTGAGTTGGAGAAAGATGAAATTCTTGATATTGATATTTTAATCTCATAAATGTTTCTATTAACAGTTCTCTTGCATCTGATTTCTAAAAGTAACCAATAGTGGTGTTAGAGGAGGAGAGCTGTGGGAGTCGTAATCTTTGACTCTAAAGGTATATGTATTGTTGACATACTTCAAAACCAAAGACATTTTCTATTAAAATATAGGTTGGAGGTGATTCCAGTTTTCCAAGTAGTGTAAGTAAATTGACAAAGCTATTGGTTCTATTGTCTTCCAAGCCCTTTTCTAGACCTACACGGCAGAATGGCTGACACGGGGGAGACTATAAGTGGCAATAGATGGAGAAGAATGAGTATTAAGACTATAGCCTTGCTGTTGTTGGTTTTGTTTCAATAATCTAATAATTTTTTTTCATCATACCATCAACCATGTGTTTGCTTTGTAAGACTCTAGATCCTTGACTGTCAATGCATCAATGCTTTTCTAATAATAACAATAAGGTTCAGTATCAATACTTGTTTGACGATAGGGGGTTGGAAGATATCTGATGATTCGTTTTCAACATCGTTCGTTCGACATGAACATGACTGACTGGTCGTGTGTTGGGTTCATTCATTGTACATACATTATTTACAACAACATTCTTTTTCTTACTTTTACTATTAGTAGTGTTATTGTTATTATCAGTGTTACTCAATGAATGAATACTATAGTTGTAGCATGTATTCGCTGTCGTGTTAATATCAAACGATTGTTTCACGGTGAAAGGTACACCAGATAGCTTTGCAGAGTAATACATCCCACCAATTCCACTAAAGTACTCTATGATATTCATTGTCTTGTTGTTGTTGTTGTTATGTATTTTCACTCTTCTAATATCTCTTTCCTTTCCGTATCAAGTATGTACAATGAACGAAAGAAACTTAAAAGAATGGGGGGAAGAGGTGTCGATTAAAAAAGATTTTAAAGTCAAACAATTATTTTTACCACTTTAACTTTGTATGTGTGGGTTTATTCAGTCACGATCCTTTCCTGATACAACCAAGTTTAAAAAACATGGGTGGGGTAAATAAAATATTTAAATTATGTTATACACACACAATAACTTAAATTATTTGTATAGTATGGTGGCATATGGGTTGTGGGTTGACAAAGTGAGAGATAGGGAGGGAGAGGGGAATGGATAGAGAGTGAAAAGAGAGAGATGAAGATTTTATGATCCTGTTCCATTACATGTATGTCTATTTAATACTGTATTAATTGTTGTTGTTGTTGTTGTTGTTTTAATTTCACCATTGTTCTTCATTTTATTAGCATTGACTAGAACAACACAAATAAATATTTATTCTTCATTCAATACTATTAGAGAAGAGATAGATTTCAACAAAAGTCATAACAATATTTTCTTATTTATTCATTTCATTCAATACTTTTTTCCCTTCCCTTAAACTATTAATAACTCTATCTAAATAATAATAATAATAATAATAATAATAATAATAATAATAATAATAATAATAATAATAATAATAATAATCATGTTTGATTTATTTAAAAAGAATAATAATAAACAAAAATCATACTCTTCAAAATGGAATGAGAGTGAAATATTAAATGGAAAATCTGAACATAGATTCAAAGCAAAATATGAAAACCAATCAGTTTTAATTATATTAAATGAATTGGGTTTAGAAGTTGTAAATGATTCAACAAATGTATGTTCCTTTTTTCTTTTGGTATTTTATAAAGATTACTTATTCATTCCTCTCTCTCTCTCTTTTTATCTTAAAGAAATCATTTATGGAATTTCAATTGGGAGATATTAAAACATTTGGATGTAGAACAACCAATTCAATTTGGGAGATTGAAGTTAGAGAAGAAGCCAATAGATTCAATATTTACAAATTTCACAATGTCAATGGTAGACATTTGAATTGTATCACTTCCAATTTCCTTCAAAACCTTAAATTTGAAAGAATGATAGAGGTTGAAGCTGTCAAAACTCACAAATTATCACCTTCTATTTAAATTTAAATTAAATTATATATATATATATTTCCATTTCATTTTTTGTACGACCCTGGTGCTTATGCCCATTAACTATAATTATATTATTAGAATAAAACACTTTAAAAACGACCATATTCTCCAATGCTATCCAAATCCAAATCCAAATCCATTCCAATCAAATGATCCATTGATTATTAATTATTGTTTAAATATACTTTTTTTTTTTTTTTGTTTATTATTATTTTATTGTGCAGCAAATGAAATTACCATTGGTCTATCAGAAGTAACTTTGAATCCTTGTAAATGAGACATTGCCAAACCAGATTTAATATCATCGTCATATTCTACAAAAGCAACACCCTTTCTTGCTGTTGTCATGTTTACACTTTGGAATCCAGGGAATCTAAAAATAGATATTTGGTAAGTAAATCAAATTCAAATGGTAGTTATATATATATATATATCTGTACATACTGAGAGAACAACATTTGTATCATCATTTCTTGACAATTATCAGGAAGATTCTCAACAAATAGAATTCTGTTGGGAGGAGCTTCACGTGGAGCAACATTGCCAGATGGAGTTGAAGTAGAAGTGGTCTTTGATTGTTTGGTCGATTTTTTGTTGTCTTGCTTCTTTGCCTTTCTCTTTTCTTGTTCCGTTTCTCTTTCTCTCTTCTTTTCAACATAGGTACCATCCAATTTACTTACTGCATCGGATTTATTTTTACTATATTGTACATTCTAAAAGTAGTAATGTTGTTAGTTTAGATCTAAGTGATGTGATGTGATGTTCATCTTTTTTTTTTTCAATGATCAATCATTCAACCAATTCATTGCATTCATTAGGGTGCTTACAATATTTCTATCAAAGAAAGAGAATCCATTCATTTCACGTAATGCATTTGATGCAGCTGTTATATCTTGGAATACTATAAATGCTTGACCTTTCATCTTTTGTCTTTTAGATGATATAATTTCTAATATCGTTCCATATTTGGAGAATAAACCATATAATTGCTCTTTTAATTCTATATTATAGGTTGATAAAGAAAGGAAAGAATAATATCATTAGTATATATCATTACAATAAGGTCAATTCAATCGAATTTGGTTTGGGTGTGGTTAACACCTCTGACGATCATTTGATCCGATCTGCTTTGTTCTTTCTTTGATATGATGATGATGATGATGATGATCATACTTTTCTGAGATAACTTTTCATTAATGTTATTAACATATATAGTTTGATTTGGTAGGATATCTGTTGTTTCGGTAGTTTGATCAACTTTAACATCCATTACAGTATCTGCAGCTGTTTCGGTCATTATTATTTGTTATCTATGTTTCTTTTATATTTGAAGCCTCAAATATAACACTATATGTACAAGTAGAGAGAGGAAGAAGAAGAAGAAGAAGATCGCCTGATGTTGTTGAATACAAAAAGGAAGAGATATGCGATGCTAAATTAAAATAGTTACAGAGTCGACGATTAATGATCACCATCCAAACCCCCCCAATGAAAATTTTCATCCACATTGAATCTTTTTTCAACAATAGTTGTTTAAAGTTCATCAATAGTATTATTCCACCATCCAATATATCTATGTCTCGAGACAAAACAACACAACCAACAACAACAAGTATACTACGATAGCGTATAGGTGACACGGGAATGACTACTACTGCTATCCCATAACAATTTTATTATTATTAAAATTGGAATAATTATTATTAAAATTACTTTCATTTGTTAATTAATGTATGTGTAATGAATGTATATATAAGATATTAAATAATGTTGTTATATATATATAATATGTATTGATGAGAATGATTCGATTAATAACTATTAATGATTCACAGACAAACCACTTCTTCTTCTTGAATCCATTTCTAGTTCAATTCTAAGACGTCTCTTTTTACGAGTGATGTAGATACTGGCGGCAACCATACCTACAACTAGAACAGTTGCTGCAACTGCTATGATGGCAATAGTAGCTGTTCTCAATCCATTTCCAGATCCTCCACCACACGATGATTCTCCTTTACCTGCTGGATCAATGAGTACTAAAAGAAAAATAGAAGAAGAATAAGTATTAATAATGGTCTATAGATATATATATATATATATATTGAATATGTGTGTTGGCATACATGAAAAATCAGGATCAATCATTGAATAGATACTATAATGTGGAATATTAATACCAATTTCAGTAATGGATGAATTAGAATTATTTTGTTCATCGAGGATGGTATTGGTGACAGTGGTTGGACGACCATCGATCATTCCCTTGCGAATGAATCTACTGTATAGGATTTGGTCGTCGACCTTTAGTTGGAGCCACATGACTGATTTGCCAGTTGGATCGAAACCATAGTTTTTGGAGCCGGAACAAGAGTATTCTTCATCGTCTAGGGATGCAGACATGACAACGACCAGTCTATTCATAACACTGGCGAAACGATAACTTGATAGGTAGACAGAATACTTTAACGAGTTTGGACTCATCACCATTGTATCACCGGCAAATGTGTAGTTGGTTGGATTGGTAAAATACTGGACAATGACGGTAACCTCTGTGCTACGGTTCTCGAGTGTCGCAGAATAGTAGTATGTCAGGCTTGCCAACTCTTGGTACTCGTCAGTCTTGTTTGTAAACGTCCAGTTTGCCAATGTAAAGGTCCACACGATATGATCGTCAGAATCGACCTCCATGATTCTAGAAATGGTCAAATTACCCTTTCCAAACAAACTAGATGGATCTGTTTGATTGTTGATTGGTCCCGATGTATTAGTGTTGACTGGGAATGAACAGTCGCTGCTACCCCACCCAACCTCACATTGACATCCAAGTACTGGGTCACATGTACCATGATTTGAACAATTATTTGTACATGTAATAGGTGGTAAAGTTGGTTCTGGTGTTGGTATGTATGGATCTAAATGAAAAAAAACAAATTAGTAACTAAAATTACTTTTTTTCTATTTTTCTTTTTTTCTTTTTTTCTTTTTTTTTTTGTTAAATGTTTCCTTACCAGTAGTATTAAATGATAATTCATTTGAATTAATACCATTTACAATGACTCTGACAGTAGCTCCACCTCTTGTAATAGCAGATAGATTAAATACTAAAAGAGTACCGGAAAAGAAGACAGTGGTAGTGTTGATGTAACCAAGCTTGTCCAAATAATCAAATTGACCAACCAATGATAGATTGTTACGACCAAACCAATCACCAAATAGGGTAATCAATCCACCATCACTAGTGATATTAGAGACTGAATAGATTACTGGTAAAGTCGATGGAGTAAAGGTGGTGTTGATAAAGAATGGCAGCGATCTAAGGTTGAGATCGGCAGCAGAGAAACCAATATTGTTTAGATGGTAATCAGAGATACCATAAATAGACACCAAAGTTCCACCAATTCCAAATCCATATGGTAAATCAACCTTTGCATTGTAATTGGCACTCAACATTCCAGTGGCAAAAGTTGGGACAGTTTCAACTACCAATAGTTCATCATACAACGATGTTAGATAGATTTTTGGGATATGACGAGTATCCAAACCACTAGTACTATCAGAAACATTCAAACTAAAATATATTGTTCTATTTTCACTTGATACATCTATTGCCTTTGGATAGAAATCAAATCCTGTCATTACTGGTGCAACATTATCAAATGCAGCTAAACCAACAAAAAAAAGGTAATTAATTAGTTAAAAGCAGTTAATGGTTAATTAATTGTTTACATACCTCCACAACCAACATCAAGATAATAATAGTTTTCCCATGCAGATGCAGAAAATCCAGCTCTGACATTTTGGAAACCCATTGCATTTAAAATGGTTCTATGACCCATGGAATCATAAAGAGTCATATTGGCGATTTTAAAATTTTGTGATCTACATTTTGGTGGTAATTTGATTGTTGCCTATAATATATATAGATAATAGAAACAAAAAAAACAAATTAGTTTACTTATATTATTTTTTTTTCTTATCTTAATTTCTCTTACAGTATAACTTGTACCATCAAAATTATCAGAATTAATTTTAATAATGTAGGGTAATGGATCTAGATTTGAAGAGACAACTACTTCACCCCAACTAAATGCATTGGTGCCTTGGTCTTTGATGGTAAACTTCCACCAAAAGCTTGGTGCAGTGTTTCCAGAGACAACGTATTGATTTCCAAAAAAGCCATCATAACCCAATACGCTCATACCTGTGAATATGGGACCTGCTTCATCGGCACCTGCACTGGTCACATTTAAATAGGCTTCTTTTCCGACAAATCCGACGAGTGATCTTGGGGTCCATGCAAAAGGTCTCACAAAGATAGAGTACTCTACAGATCTAGCGAATAGATTCATTGGCAATTTAAATGGAATGACATAGAGGTCTAGAATGGGATCATAGTGACCTTCAAACATGTAATCGTCTGTCCACTCCTTGTCAAAGTGTGTCGTAAACAATTGCATCTTTGGTTTAAAGTTTTTATCCAAATTGCTTACATTGAATCTTAATTCACTAAACACAATCATATTGGTAGTTGCAATATTATTTTCCCTAAATTTAAAATAGGTAATATTTTGTGGATAATAACTACCAACTAGCAAATTAAAAAAAAAAAACAAATTAATTATAATATTAATATCAATTTTTAAACTTATACTTTTTATCTATAGAGTTTACATACAATAATTATAAGGGATATCCGGTAATCTATAAGCATTGAAACCAAGATTTGATGTTTTGGTATAAGTTGCCATATTACCAGCTTCATCATAGATACTTAGAACGTTGCCAACTAGATTTGCATGTGTAAACTTGAAAACGACTTCAAATACACCATGATTCTTGTCACCAAATACAAGATCGTATTGCTTCAATTGAATGGCACCTCTACCTTGTCCAATCAATATTCTATAAACACCACTTAGGGCATCAGTGGCCTCTACTCTTACAATGATTGAATAAGAATCCAAAGGTAAATATTCAACATTGGTAACAACTGGTGGTATGGAATCTAAATACAAAAAGGATGTTAGTCATATATACCAATTGAAATACAATATTATTATCTTTTTTTTTTTTTTACATACCAACCAATGCTGGAGCAACAATAGTGGATGTTTTGGATGAAAAATAGGGGAATGATGTAATGTTCATTTGTGGAGCTCCACCTTGAAAAGGTGATAATAATTTTACGGTTGTAAATTTAATGTTGTTTCCCATTAAACCATTTGTTAATCCATAAGGATACGGTAGGGAAATAGAAAATGGTTCATTGGCGTAGGATATGGTCGAATTTCTAACTGGTGAAAACGATGTAATACTACTATTAAAAAACATCATTCTAACACCATTTCCTCCTACCATTAAATTATAAACATTTGTTGGAAATGCAGATAATGTTGCCACTATACAAAAAAAAATAATTATTATTAATATTAATTAACTTAAATATTGTTTTTAATTAGTCAAGTACTTACAACTTGGGTTGTTGGAAGTTTCTTGAAATGCCTCTGCATATTTTGAATCAAACTTTGATATAGAGTAGTATCTTCCCTTGGTGGTATCAATAGTCGAAATATAGGTGGCAGATATTGGGGTACCTAGAATGGGTCTAAAATCTGGGAGCCAACCAACAGGCAAGGTAGTAGTATCATATAAATGTTGAACAAAGGATTGGTTTCCATTTGGAGAATTCAAGCCAAATGTAGCTGTTACTCTACAATCGCTATCCCCTGGGTACCCTTCACCCAAAGTCCATTCAAAGGGATCTAAAAAGTAACCCTTTAAAGTTACTGTTGTTGCTCCTACAATATTAAAAAAAATAAAAAATAAAAAAGTGTATTAGAGTCAAATAAATATATATATTTTTTAATATTGTAATTTTGATTCATCATTTACCATTTAAAATCCATGGAATAACAACAAAAGATGAAGAGTTTCCATTTAAAGAGGTGACAGTGATCAATGATGGAACATGATAATTTGTCTTTGACATGACGTATTGTACTCTGACATAAAAGTGACTGTAACCAGTATCGAGCAATGATATTGGTGTAACAGTGCATTGAGTATATGCTGTATTGTTGATGGTACAAGTATATGTTGGTGGTGGTGCATAATGTTCCATATAGATTGGAATAACTCCTGTATTTACTGTAAATGGATCAAATAATAATCTATTGGATTCCATTGGACCAAAAATTGGCGATGGAATTGCTTTAAAGTTTCGTAAGTATATGATTATTCTTTGGTTCTTTTTTCTTTTTCTTTTTTTTATAAATACCAAAACAATTATAAGTGACAGTGATGGTATCATAGGACAATGGAGCTACTGTATTTGAAATAGTCAATTCTATTGCCCATTGTCCGATTGGAAAGGTAAACTTTACTGGTACGACAGAAGTATTACTTGAAAATAAAGTCTCTGTGATGGAGTCAATGAGTACAAGTGTATCATTGGTTGTAATGGTTCTTGTTGCAGCTCCCAAAGTTTCAATAAACTGAAATCTAAACTCTACTACTGAACATTTGTTTGATCCATTTGAATAAGACCCGGATCCCTTTGATATTTGTGTTGGGATTGATCCTAAATAAAAATAAATAAGAGAAAATAAATAATTTATAAAACAATTAATTGGGAATCAAACTATTAATAAACCTATATTCTATTTTTAAATATCAATAATATTTTAAAATTTACCATTTAAAGGATTAATGAAAATTAATAATACAAAAAATAAATATAAATAATGAGGTTTCATTACAAATAATAATAAATAAAATATATACAATTACAATTACAAATAAAATGATAAACTTTACAATGCAAGGAAAATAAAAAGAAAGAACCTCAAATCAAAGTCAATGGAAGCAATTGAACGGGATTGGAGGATGTTTAGGAATATGGGCGCAAAAAGCCATTTACTTGATATTTAAAACACATCATTGGTGAAGCGCTACACACATTTATTTAGGCTTTATAAAGAAACACCCTTTTGTTGGGTAAAATCATTTGATGACATCGTAGCATGATCGGCAATTGGCCATTCGATGATACTACTGACCATTCAGCAAAAAAGGGATATTTAAAAAAAAGAGGTGTTTGAAATTATCGGGGCTCCTCATCGGAATTGTAACCTTCCCTCCGTATTAATTTTACAGCAAAGTGCGAACAATAACAATATCATACCAGCAATCTCGGGTATACCCGAAAACAAATAAAGATAAACTTGTACTAGAAATAAATTGATAAAGATATAATATTACTTCTTTCTATCTTTGATTGTTTGTTTGTTTCTGTTTAAAAATTCAGAAGAATAACAACTGTATATAATTTTTTATTATTATATAATTTAGTTGGATCCCAAAACCTTGGCGTTGACCTTGGACTTGATGGCGTTGACACGAGCCATTCTTTCCTTGAGGGTCTTCTTGACATCCTTGGCAAACTTGGCGTCGGCCTTGTAAACCTTCTTTTCCTTCTTGAGGGCAGATGGGTCCTTACGGATGGAAGCATGAGCCTTGGTGTACATGGCTTCAACATCCTTTGGAGCAATGTTGTTCTTGATGTATTGGCTGTAGTGCTTCTTGTATGACTCTTCGTCATCAGCTTGGAGTTGCTTCATGTGTTCAGAGACGTGAGCACCAAAGATGTGACCACGGAGAACGGCGGTGTTGAGCTTCTTGGATTCAGCATCGAAACCGACGAAACGGGTCTTCTTGTGTGGGATGTTGACACCACCATCGCAAGCACCCTTCATGACGGCGAATACCTTAGCACCAGTGGTGGTACGGGCAAGACCGACATCGAGGAGAGCCTTGAATGGACGTGGCTTGTCTTCGACGGCAGTGACGTTGAAGTCGTCACCAGTGACCTTTTCTTGACCCTTGTAGAGATCGTTCAACTTGATTTGGGTAAGGAGACGACGAGCCAAGAGGAGACCGGTAGCGTAGGCGGCGGCGTAGTTGGTGAGACCGACTGGGACACCGAAACGTGGTAATTCGGCAGAGGTGGCTTCACAGAGGACGAAATCACCGACAATCTTGGAGTAGATGATTTGGGCAATGACCTTCTTGTTGGTGAAACGAGCAACCAATCTGTACTTTGGAGCGTTGTACTTGTTCTTGTCTTGAGTGATCAAACGCATACGTTGTTGGTAGTCAGTCTTGCATTCACGACGACGTCTGTATTGGACTTGATAACGCTTAAAGTAAGCCTTTCCTTTGATAACTTTGACGAAACCCTAAAAAAAAGATAGAAAAAAAGGTATAGTAGAGGATAGAGAGGATTGATTAGGAGAATGTTCAGCAGATAATGGATAGTGGATACTTCTTTCCCAAGATTGGGGTTAAGAAGTGTACAAAGCACATACCATTTGCTGTATCTTCCTTTATATGATCAATAAGAGATGAAAACGAATGATAGTCTTTTCAAGTTTTTGTGTAGCCTCGTGTCAGACCCTCCAACAGACAACATACGTTTTTGAAAAATTCATTAAAAAATCGAAAAAATTAAATTCCCTCTTGAATCGTGCAAAATTTTTTGCAAGAACCGACAGTGACAATGTTGGTTGTTGAACATTCAAAAATGAACAAGAGGGAGGGAAAAATTAGGATCGAACATATTAATAATAATAATATGACCGTTGAAGAATCGTACATGGTTATTAAAAAAAACTAAAATAGAAGATTTATTATTATTATTATTATCATTGTTATTATTGAGTCTTCTTTTCTCCAGCAGTAGAGGTGGTTGGTTTGCTTGGACGTGGAGCTGGTAAGACGAAACGAAGGAAGATAAAAGCAGCAAACAACATGATGACTGGGATATAGTTAAAGTTGCTCCAGAGAACAAGAGTTGGTTCAAGACTGAGGAGAATAAAACTAGCACCAAACAAATTGAGCCACCAGGCAGTGACGATGGTACCAACGATATCGTAGATCTTCTTTTGTGGTTGGATTGCCTTTTCTTCGGCACCAGTACCCTTGACAAAGTAAGGACGGATCTTACGACGAATGTCCTTGGCAACTTCGGTGAGGAAAGTGGTACAAAAGAAGAAAATGTAGTAACCTGGATAGAATCCATGCCAAAAGGCAGAGGTGACATAGGTGAGAAGAGTGGCAGAGAACTTGGGTTTAGAACCAACTGGTGTAAGTCTAAGATATACATAGTTCTTTAACCAATCACTAGTACCAATATTCCAATAAGTTGAAACATCTCTAATATTTGATGCAAGTTCAACCTTTACTGGGTTGACATTTGTAATTCTATCAAATCTAAATAGAAAAAGAAAAAAGAAAAAAGAAAAAAGAAAAAAGAAAAAAGAAAAAAGAAAAAGAAAAGAAAAAAGATTAATATTTGTGTTAACTCATCATTGTTGTTGTTTGGATCAAAATATTCTTCTTCTTCTTCTTCTTCTTTGTCTCTCTACTTACCTGATATTATCATTCTTATCAAATCCATTGTAACCAATACCAGTTAAAATAGCACTACCTTCAGAGATGTACCAACCAAAGTAATATTTGAATCTAGTAAGGGCAATATGGGCATGAACTCTAATGAGTTGTAACCAAATTGGTTCCATGGCAAATTGAGTGGTGACAAAGTAGCTTGCTGGGTACATTCCTGAAAGAATGACACCTGGGAACATAAGTAATGAAGTCAAGAATGTCTTGAGTGCAGCTGTACCAGTCTTTGGTAATAAACCATTGAGTCTCTAATAGATAGATAGATAGAAAAAGGGATGGGGGTTGAGTATATATTTCATTTTGTAGTATAATATATATTATATTATATTCTTATATTTACCTTATCAGTAAACATTTCCAATGAAGTGAACTTTAAATAATCACTAATTTCAATGGTTGGACCAGCCAAAAAGGTTGGGAAAAAGTAAACAAAACCAAAGAATTCTAATAATGATGGTAAAGTCTTGATAGCCTTTTTAGCTTGATCTGGTGTTAATTCCTATACAAAAGAGAGAGAATAATTAATAATCAATGTCATGACATGTGATTTCGTTGTTTTAAAACATTACATTTGAAGCTCTTTGACCATCATAATAATTCCAAGCAAATGAAGTAAGCTTGAGAGTGAGAACCATTTGTGGTGAAGTGTAATCCATCTTCCAACCCATATAGTCGGTATACATACGATACCAATGACTGACAGAGAGGTAGATCATTGAGAAGGTAAAAGCAATGAGATGTGAGTTTCTACGTGGCAAAAAGCTGACGATCAAGTAGACGACGAGTGAACTAATAAAAGAGTGAATCCACGACCATTCACCCAATGACCAATGACAATAGAGGATACCCAAAAAGACACTCATTATATGTTTCAATGTAGAGTTTGGTAATCTCTTGTAGAGTGTAGCAAGTGGGTATGATGCAACTACACATATTAAAAACTTGACTTGGTCTATTGGAAACCCAAATCCTCCCAAATATGAATCAATATCAGACATAATGTTTGTTGATGATAATGATGTTTCTATCTATCCTATCTATCTATCTATCTATCTCTATTAAAGTTTAATATAATATATAATATATATATAGTAGAAGAATATATATAATAGTTATACAATAAATATATAAAACATAAAGCAGAGGAGCTGTCTCTCTTCTTTCAATAAACCGTTTGGGAACCTCGTGTTACCCTTTTTTATGAAAAAATCCAATTTAATCATTTTTAAAGTCAAAAAAGGTTCTCGACTTTTTTTTTTTTTTTAAGATCTTATTTTTTGAATAATATTATTATTATTTAAAATTATGAAGGAGTTTACTTATTACACGTGTTATTTACTTATTCATTTTAGTTAACTAAAATATTTATTTACTTTTACTTTTAATTTACTTTACTTTTATTTATCTTTTGAAAAACCTCGTAGTACCTCTGCAAAGTTTTCATCAAATATTAATTTTCCTTCATCTTTTTGGAGTTGAGCAAGACGTAGGATGGCAACACAACTGACTTGACCGGCATCGACCGCCAGATCAAGTGGAGTTTTGCCATCCCTGTTGGGGACGGATAAGAGTTGCACGCCTTTCATTATGAGTAATATACATCCAATGGAATTGCCTATCTGTGCAGCGATATGCAATCCAGTGTTTCCGTTGCTGTCTAGAGTCGAAGATTGCGCGCCATTTTGAATCAACATGCACATGTTTTGTGATTGTGCATTGACTACGGCATTATGCAAAGGTGTTTTGAATGAATTAGAGCCTTGATCCAAAGCCAACGAATTTGGATCGGCGCCACTTGCAATCAACTCTAGTAGCAAAAAGGTGTTGCTCTCTCCAGCCGCCTTGTACAACATCTTGTTTAGCTCTTCCAATGGTCGTTCAATAAACGACACAAACAATCGTTTGTCATACTTGTCTCGAATCCATCTTGAACGAACATCAAAAGTATTGTTTATCGTCGGTTTTACTCTATCTACTGGTACATTTGATTCAAATATTTTGTTTACTCTTTCATTTCCTATACATTTCATCATCTAAAATAGTAAAATAAAAAAAAGGTTAACATTAATGTCCTTTTTCTTTCTATATATATATATATTTTTTGTCTTTTCATTACATTTAATAATTCTGGTTCCCATTTATCCAATACTAAAGATCTAACTTTTGTTATGTGTACACCCAAACCTCTGTGAATGCCCGAACAATCTATACAAACAATACTTCCAAAATTAATGGATGCCCAGTCGGGATCCTTTGCATTGCAATCACAACAAACGGTATTTGAAGGGTCCAACGATCTAAGAATGGTGAGTGGCGTATCATTATCATCAATTATTACATTATTCATTAGATTGTATTGACTGTTACTATTATTACATGTGATTGCAATATTATTACCAGAGGTTGTAGTTTGTAATTTACTTGTTGGTTTTGAATCTTCTAATAGAGAAAAAAAAATAGAAAAATAAATAACGGTTAGATGAATGATATATAGAGTATGGCTAGTTGGTTATATTGGTTATATTATTATATATACTTGGAGAAATATTATTTAATAAATTGGCAGTAGAATTTTGAATGACTTGAATCCATTCCATCATACTTTCTTGAGAATCTGCTTGAAGGATGATGGATCGGTCTGGAGAAAGTACTTCGAAACAATTTCTACGATCGAGATCCTCTCTCATTCTAACGGTCGTCAAGAATAGATCAAATACATGTGAAGGTGTTGTTTCATTTCCATTACGATAGTATGATAGTTTACCATCTTCACATGAAAAGAAACGTCTGCTGTAAGAGTAATCTGATCGCTTAAATAAATACCCTTTCTTTGACAAACTATTATTGGTACGATTCTGCATAAAATGAATACCACCATTCACAGGACTTCCAGGTGGATGTGATTGAGTTGGTGATGCTGAACTTAATGTTTTCTAGAAAAAAATAACAATTATTATTATTGATGTTGAGAGAGAGTGTGTGTGTACTTGTGTACTTTTTTTGATTTGATGATTAACTTACACCAATTAATTCCTTTTTATCATGAGTTTGTCTTTTCTTTTCATCTTCATAGTGTTTTCTAGTTGATTGTAGGTAGGTTGAAAAGATTCTCATGTGTGGTTCCAAATCACGGAATAATTCATAACCTTGGTGGAAAAAGGTGGATTGTGCGTGAAGGTAGACAAAGAACAACTCGAGGAATTCGAATCGTCTACGTGCCTGTACTTCATTCATTTTTTCGACCATATCCAACCCATATTGAACACGTGATTTGTAAATGTCGTTTACCTCTTGACCGACCTCTTCAATCTTGCTATTGTTCTTCTTTTTGATCTGTCCCAATTTACCAACTGCAACCTCGTGCAATTGACTATACTTGTCATATTTCTTATAGTGTTCTTTGACTTGTTTCAAATCATTTTCTGCAAATTCTTGTAATGGATTATGAATTAATGCTTCCATTTCAAAGTGCTAAAAAAGAAATCAATGAATGAATAAGTAAAGAGCTATAGCAACCTTATTATTATTCTTTTGACATACCAATACTTCTCTATAATTACAAATCTCTTTTAATGCGTTTGTGAATTTAATCATTCCCTTTTCCAATAGTTCATCATTTACCTTTGCATCCAATCTATAGTCCAACAAACCATCAGCAAATGATTTAAATGATGAGTTGTATTCTAAAAAGAGTAAAAGAGTAATAATTATGTATGATGATTAGATAAATATATCTCTTGTGATTTATAGATCATGTGATCTTGTTCCTGCTTTTTGATTGATTCATACCAATACCCAATTCACAACTTTGTTTTGCACTCTTTAATATCTTTTTGATACCTGAACCCAAATCTTCAATGTTGAGCTCAGTGTCTTTGACTTGCTTTTTGAATTGGGGAGAGTCATCGAGGGCATCCATCAAGGGAATGGAACCTTCAAATGTATTGAGATAGTTTGGTTGTTGGTTTTGAAGTTGCTGTTGTTGGTACAGTGTCGGTGTGGTTGTCGATATGTTGCTGTGTATGAGAGGGTTGCTTCCTCCCGATATTCCAGGTGATAACCCTTGTTGTCCACCACCTGTAGCGGCGGTACTTGGAATAGAAATATGACCGCTGCTATTCATCTTGTTGATCTTTTATCTTTTATCTTTGATCTTTGTTGAATGAATTGTTAACTAGTTACTACTACTACTATTGTTGTTTGAAGGGGTTGTTGTTGTTGTTTACTACTTGATTGTTTGTTTTGATCAAACAAGATTGTTAGTGCTAGGTTTGGTTGGTTGCAAAAAAAACAAAAAAACAATAAATAAATAATCGTGTTGTTAGTTGTGGAGGGTGAGGAGGAGATATGATCTGTGGTTGTTGTTGCTTATGTAGTTGGAATATTAGAGATATGACAATGAATAAGAGATAATGATGACAATAATAATGATAATGATAATGATGATGATGAGATAACAATAATATAGGTAGGTACTATACACACTATTTACACAAACTACTGACAAAGTTAAAACTAAAAGATGGTACAAAGAAAATTTATCAAGAGGGAAAACAAAGGGTTGTTGCTTTTGGTGATCAAAAAAAAAAAAAGAGACGAAAAAAATCAACCAATTAAAAATAGACCAATTCAAAGATTGAATACCATTGGTTCCCTGCCCTCCCTCTCAAACGACAACACCAACAATTTAGATAACTTTAGAGATATAGGTTTAGGTTTATTTAGAAGTATGATCGGTCTGATCTTTCTAATTTGGTTATGAATGTGGAATCTATATATTGTTGGTGCTTTTAAAAAGAACATATAGTATGGTACGCTAAAGAAGTGTTGTTTGTATCATCGTGATGAAGATAATAAGTAATGGTGGTACTCGAGTTTTGTTTCAAATTGTACAATCGATATGTATGGTGCAAAGTTATATAACACACAACTTTGTAGATGGTTTTAACATTTCAACCATACCGACCGACTGACCGACTGACTGACTGGTAGTTTGCACCATCTTCTCACACTCCTATTGCAAAGCACACGCACACACATACACACACATAAGTAGATGGATACAACAACAACAAACACTATAGCTAAATCTCATTGATAACCACCCCCGATTTCATCAATGAAGGTACTTTTGGTGAGAGAGAAAGATCATTCAAATAGTGGTCGGATAGGATTGGATTGGATACCGCTACACTAACACTTTTTTGAGTGTAGGATAGGAGGATAAGAAGAATGCTGAATATTAATAATGTATACGACAATAAGTGACCTACCTACCTTTACAACAACATTGTTTTTCAACTATTTTAATCTTAATAATATAGTTATTTAAATATACTATATTTATAAACAAATATTAAATATCTATTTATATATATCTATTTATATATTTAGAAATGAATCCACAAACACTATTAAATCCAAATTGGTATATTACAGGTAGTTCAAAAGGATTGGGATTGAGTGCAGTCATTATATTGTTAAAAAGAGGATATAATGTGGCTGCTACCACTAGAGATAAACAAGGACTCATTAAAAATGTTAAAAAGGAATTAGAGAATGACTCGGTCACACTTGGACAGTTGGAATCTCGTTTCCTACCACTTCAAGTTGACTTGGTCAATGAAAAGAGTGTCAAAGAATCGATCGATTCAACTATCGCCAAGTTTGGTTCGATCGATGTTATTGTAAATAATGCTGGTTATGGTTTAAGTGGTGCTGTTGGTAAATATATAATATAATAGTTTAAATATTAATCAATAGAGAATTAAATTAAATTAAATTAATTTAATATTATTTCAACTACTATTACTATTACTACAAAATAATTTAATTAATTAGAGGAACTAAGTGATAAAGATATTAGAAAACAATTTGATATTAATTTCTTTGGTATGGTGAATGTTGTACGTGCAGCATTACCACATATGAGAGAATATGCAAAGGATACAATTAACCATCCACTGGGAGCTAGAATATTTAATATTGGTTCAATTGGTGGATTCAGTGCAGGTATATCATTTAGTGTCTATTGTAGTTCGAAAGCAGCTATGGATTGTTTGACAGAAGGTCTACAAATAGAGTTGGAACAATTTAAAAATATTCATGTCATTTCAGTGATGCCAGGTGTCTTTAGAACCGATTTCCTTGGAGGTTCGTTGGAGCAGACCACCAAACCTATATCAGCATACACAGATGTACGTGACAACATGCATGAAAGACTCACCCAACACCATGGCCACCAACAAGGTGATCCCAACAAAGCCATAGAAGCTCTCATTAAAGTATCTCAATACCCTTCACCACCCAAACGTTTGTTCCTTGGTAGTGATGCATACCAAAGAGCACAAAATAAGATTAAATCATTGACTGCAGAATTGGAAGCTTGGAAAGAGGTAAATATAAATATAAAACAATATAACATTTATTGGGTACCAGAGATGGTGTGCTAACTCTGTTTCATTTTTTAAACAGATTACCCTTAGCACAGACTATTGACCAATAAAGTAAAGTAAAGTAAAGTAGAAAGAACTGGGTTGTGTCCTTGTCTCAACTGGTGCTCAAAACGAGTCGTTGCAACAGACTAGTCTAGACGCGGGACGGGTTTTTAGCCCCACCAGATTTAACATCGCGGCTAAAAACGAAAATAAGATCTGACCTTTTTAAAAAACAAAATAAAATTAAATAAAATATAACGTAGTGTTTTTAGCGAATCCGCAACGTGGCGTCACCTTTCCCGTTATTTGAACAGTTTTGGGTAAAAAATCTGGTACCCTTTTGGGCGCAAGTAGCCTCCCTTTGTTTGGGGGTGACGAAATCGTCCCCACCCGTAGTAGCCAAAGTTGTTCTTCGCTTATCAAAAAGATGAGATAAGTGTCTCTTGCTTGTTCCTATTTTTTTTTTAATTATTATTATTGTTTGCATCACCAGCTCTTGCTCTTTCTCCTCTGTCTCGACTATTAATATTTTAGTCGTCATCATATCTTCATATTCCATATCACTCACTCACTCACTCTACTATTTATTTATTTATTTATTTATTTATTTTAAAAAGAGATAAAAAGAATCAAGAATTAATTTAGAATTTGTCAAAATCAAATTAAATGATGTTGAGACAATCTATTTTATTATTATTAATAGTTGTGACACTATTTTTATCAGTATCAAATGCAAGACATTCAGACAATATAAATGACGCATTGGGTAAACACCATAAAAACAAAAAAGATAAATACGACGACCATGATGACAGAGATGATGTCATCCAGATAGATGGAGATGGACTCGAACCACTTTATGTAAAGTTGTCATTGACTGAAAACCCAGGAGAAATGATGGTTGGTTGGTTCACATACAATATCATGACTGCACCACAAGTTCAATACAAGGGTGACACCAAAATGGCCACTGTCAACGCTCACAAGATCCAACAATACAAAGAAAAGAAATGGACTGGTTGGTCATACTCGACCCTCTTGACTGGTCTCGAGCCAAACACTCAATACATTTACCAGGTGGGTGACGCTTCCAGCAATGGAAAGTGGAGCAATACATTTAATTTCACCACTCACGGTGCTCCAGGTACCAAAGTCACCCCATTCTCTTTTATTGCTTATGGAGACATGGGTGCTGGAGGAGCCGATTTAATTACCATTGGATATGTTATGGAATACATTGACCAAATTTCATTTGTACTTCATGTTGGTGATATTGCTTATGCTGATCTTCATAGTACTGATAATTTCTTGTAAGTCAAAAGAAATAGAAAATCAAATTGAAAAACAAATTATATTTATTAATTATTTCATTAATTTTTTTAATAGATTTGGAAACCAAACCGTTTGGAATGAATTTATGGGTCAAATTGAACCAATTACTTCATCAGTTCCATATATGACCACCCCAGGTAACCATGATGTATTCATTGACACGTCAATCTATAGAAAGACATTCCATATGCCAACCACCACCTACTCTAAGAGTACTTGGTATGGATTCGACTACAATGGTGTACACTTTGTATCCATCTCATCTGAGCAACTCTATATTCCATTCAGTGACCAACACGATTGGTTGGCCAACCATCTTGCACAATTCCGTCAATCCAATCCAAATGGTTGGCTCATTGTCTATGCTCATCGTCCAGTTTACTGTTCAGCCGATTACACTTGGTGTAAAGATGATCCAATCAGATGTATGCTAATCAAAATAATTATTTTAAAAATTTATTTATTTATTTATTTATTTATTAATTAATCCATTCTTTTATTAGATTTATTCACAGAAAGTATTGAAAAATTATTATATCAATACAATGTTGATGTTTATATTTCTGGTCATAGTCATGTTTATGAAAGATCGTTACCAGTTTTTGACAAGACTATCAAGGGTACCTATGAGGATCCAAAGGCAACAGTTCACATTGTAGTCGGTACAGGAGGGGCACAAGAAGCAATCCTCAGCAACTGGTTACCACAACCACACTGGTCGTCTGGTGTAAGAATTTCGTCGGCTGGTTACGGCATGCTCTCGGTCTTGGACAACAACCAACTCAATTTCGAATTCTATGGTGATTACAATAATACTGCCATGGATTCATTTTTCATGAATAAGGGTACTTTTAATTAAACCCCAATAGACATTGATATTGGAAGGGGGGCAGGTATCCTCATTATTAATATATTCAATCAAACCAATCAATCATTTTTAAAAAAAAAGTTTAAAATTAATTAAATAAATATATTTAAACAAAAGGCATAAAATATTATACAAAATACAATATAACAACAAACCCTTTTTAACGACTTCACGAAAAAAAACTTCTTCTTCAACAAAGAGATAGTTTGAATCGTATATTTGGTGATTTCTAACTATCTATGTAAATTTATTATAAATTAATAAAAAAGTATGATACTTTATTTTGGATTATTATTGTTCTTTGGGACTTCCTCTTGATCCAATTTCAATTTTACAAGTTCTTTTAAATACAGTGTTTGCCAACCTATTGGTTGCTGGTGATTGTGAATTTGGTGAAGTATTTCCATTATTATTATGATGATGATTATTATTATTAAGATTCCTACTACTATTATTATTGCTTGAAAAACTATTATTATTATTATTATTATTGGTGGTATTATTTAAATTATGATTGTTGTTAGTATTATTATTGTTATTATTATTTTCTTGTAAAATATGATTACTACTTGGTTGTTGTTGTAAATTTAGTAATAATTGAGTTCTATTATTCTTTCTCCAAGAGAAATTGTCAATCTCTGGACCGTTTTCAAGTATTGATACAATGTGAGAAAGTTTAGCATGACGAGCGAGATCCAATGGAGTACCACGTTTCGAACAAATGTTAAACAAAGCGCCATGAATGAGCAAAGTGTTGACTACATTGGCACGACCGGTTGTAACGGCATAGTGGAGAGGTGTCTCACCACCCTGTGTCAACGAATTGGGGTTGGCGCCATTCTGGAGTAGCAGAGCGACCACATCATTGAGACCCTTAAAGGCGGCCGAATGTAGTGGTGTTTCACCGTGTCTAGTGCCATTGTTAATGTCGAGACCCTTTTCGAGCATCATCAAGACGGCTTCCTTTCGCTTTTCAGTGTATGGATGTCTGACAAAGTAATGGAGGACAGAGGCACCGTCACGGTTCTTGATGTTCACGTCAATGGTCGGCACTTGAAGCAGCAATTTACAAATATCGGCGTTGCCAGAGTAGGCGGCCGAGTGCAGGGGTGTCCAGCCGTTACTGTCAATGTTGTTGATCGTGTCCCACTCAATCTCGAGTATCTTTTCAACCTTTTCAATCTGGTCGGCTGCAACGGCCACATGCAACATGCTCTTGGACTCGTTGAGAGAGGGTGTAGCCTTTTTCTGGGTGACCTTGAGTGTGAGCACCTCGGTAGTGGTGCCTTGGTCCGAATAACAGTCCTCGCTTGATCCCTCGGTTGACTCGTCCCACAACTCGACCACAGTGTTGAGCTCGTTTTCAAGACGTGCAAACGTGTTCATGACGAGACCACCAATCGGTACGATATTGAGCACCTTTTCATTCTTGGCATCCTCGAGACGTTGCATCTCTTGGAGGTAGACGAGATCCGACAACATGTCTTCAATCCAAATAATAGTCTGTTGGTCGTGGAGATGAGCGGGTTGCTTCTTTTGCTCGTCCAACAACTTGGTGCAAAGTGTATTGTGAAATTCTGATGGCTGGATATCAAAGTGTTCGCAAATTACAATTCTTGCCTTTTTAATAAACTCTCCAATCACTGGATAGATCTCTTCCTTTAGTTCTCTGACAAGTTGTAGAGGTGAGTTTAAAAACTTGTTGGATTGTGTAAGAATGGGTCGGTCATTAAAACTACCAACTTCACTACTTGCACTTGTATTTGCTCCAGTTGCTAAATCTGTCGTCGTCACAACAACTGCAGTGGTGGTTGTTGTTGTTGTTGCTATTTGTTGTTGTTGTTGTTTGTTGTATGAAGATGCGTCAACTGGGATACTACCACCACTTGTTCTGATGTTACCAATTGTTGCTTGATCATTGCCACTATCACTCGTGCGAATATAAGCACCAATCTTGGGAGTTGGAGGTGATGGTTTGACATCATCAAATTCATTTGTTGTGGCTGTACTACTATTACCACTACTATTATTGTTGTTTGTTATACATATGCTACTTGATCGACTCAATGTATTCTTTCTACTTCCACCACTAGTATTACTAATTGTATCAGCTGTTGCCAAGTCTACACCACCATTACTATCTGATGTATGGTCATCTTGTCCATCACCCAACTTTGATTCAACATCATCTTGAATTTGAATAATTTCAATGACATGTTCACGAGGATCAAGAATCTTTTGGATGAGGATAAGATTAGAGATGACATCTTTCATGTTGGTTGGTGGTTGTTCAATGTAGTTTTCGGGTACAGCTACAAAGTTGTACCCTCTCTCTGAGAGAAAGTCACTGACACGGCTGTCGATACGCTTTAACCACCATTCAGTCATTTCCTCCTTCATGGTACCGTTCATAAGGTTACGCTTTTGGATCTTGAGTTGATCGAGTACCAACTCGCAGTCACCGAGGAATTGCTTGACCTTGCTACGTGCCAACGCGATATGCTGGCATCCACGCAAGTCGGCAATAGTCGTTTCGTAACGAGGCATAAAGAGGAAGCGTTGGTCAACCGTCGCAACGTGTGCGTCGATGCGCTCTGTCATCTCCTTTTCAAGTTCCTTGTAAAAGGGGTGGTCGGGTGTATTGTACAAAGTGGCCAACGTGCTGTGTGTAATCTTGAGTCTCTCCAAGTCAAACAGTGTAAACGACGATGTATTGAGCAAGAGGTTAATGTCGACACCAAGTGACAAGAGGTAGTTGATAGTCTGTTGCTTGCTCTCTTCCAAAACTTGTGAAAAGAATGTTTCGGTTGGCTGATAGATCAATTTCTCAATCATACGAAGATCGCGTAATGCTTCAAGTGTCTGTTTGTTGAGTGGCAAGATATCCTCAATGCCAACCACCACTGTCTCACTCTCCTCTGCACTAAACCACAGGTTGAGACTATAATCTCCACGTTCACCAGTGTATCTGGCAAATTGTGCCTTTGGTTTGAATGACTTTTTCTCCAAATACTCTGGTACTGAGAAGCTTGTCTTTTGTGTCTTTACTTGTTGTATCCATTGATGTGTTGTATTATTATTAGTATTGGTAGTAGGTGGATGTGTAGGAGTGATAGGAGTGGTTGTAGTACCTACTACTACTCCCTGTTGTTGATGTGGTTGTGGTTGAATAATATGTTGTTGATTATGATGGAATAGGGTAGATGATGCGTTACTAGAGTAAGAGGATGGAGCAAATGAGCTGACACCTGAACTGTACAATCCCTGTGTCGACGCGACGCTGTTGGCAATAGATGACAAGTTGTCGGCTGATGTGTTTGTGTTGCCGTTGACATTGCCGGCACTGGTGGGACCACCACTAGCGCTACCGGCCTGACTTGTGCTCCCAGTAGAGCTGTTCATCGAGCTCTTGAATCCGATGATAGTCTTTTTCATTGACTTGCTCATATTGTGGTAGTCGTGGAAACGGACGACTACAAGGTCTCCCTTTTTAAGCTTGTCTACACCACGCAAGATAGACGCGTATCGACGCACTGCCTTGGCAATTTGCGCAGTATCAGACAACGCACTCCAATTGATAATATTGATGAGCAACTGCTCACGTGTTGTAGAGATGGTAGTTGCCTGGAATGTGGCGCTGTCTTCGATGGCTGTCTCGCCACCATGTACATTGTCCTTGCCACTGCCCTTTTCCTTGTCCGTCAACTTTAATATTTCATAGTCACGTGCCAACTTGTTCAACAAGTCGTCGTTGGGGATAAGCCCAACAACGCAGCTGTCCACATCGGTTGTATAATTTGTCAAATAGGCGACCATCTGATGCGACGTATCAACGAGCACCTTTTGCTTTTCAATCATCAGTCCCTCGACCATACGCAAGTAGTACTGTATCAGCGACAGATAGTGCTGTGCCTTTGCCTCTGTCAGCAGTGTCTTTGTCTTTACCATACGCTCTCTAAATATATCTGCCAATGACATTGCCCTCATTGTTCTACAATGATTGATTGCATTTAAACATGGTGATAATTGATCCTACGAGTAATAAACAACAACAAACATATTAGTTACATTCATACTACAACTTTAATAGTAATAATAATAACAAAGTTGGTGACTGATACATACTTGAAATAAATAGAATACACTTGCAGCCACCATATTTTTATCTTTTGTATTCTTGAATGATTTTGACTCAACCTTTACAAAACTACTTGACTTGTTGCTGCTGCCGCTGTTATTGTTGCCTTTGAGTGTACCACCCTTTTCTAGTTTGTAGTCAAAGTCACCTAGTACCGAGGAGCCAGTACTGAGTACTCTGTGGCCACTTGGCAACGTCAGATTGTCCAGATACTTGAACAATTCACCGACATTGCTTATGAATTGTTTCTCTAGATTGGCTGCCTTTATATTAACTGATGCCATCTGTTATTATTGTTGTAGTAGAGAGAGAGAGTAGTCAACTACTACTCTACTACTCTATCTTTTTCTTTTCTTTTCTTTTCTTTTTTCAAGTCCGATGACTATTCAGATCGATCTACTTTTCTGTTGATTTAAAGTTTTATCTGTATGTCTTCTGTATGTCTGTGTCTGTATATCTCTTATCTGTTTGTTGTAATTGAATTGTGTTGCTCTAAGATATTAAACAAAAAACAATGTGTGTTGAGAGAGAGAGTGATAATTGGTGGTGAGATAGGGAAGAAGGCTGTTTGTTGTTTAAACTGTTAGGGGGGGCAGAAGGGAAAAAAAAATAAAAAATGGTGGGCGGCTTGATTTCCACGGTTTTTTTGGCTGTTGATTTTTTTGGGGGATGGATTTAATCGATTTGAAATCAGAGTTCTTTTTCTGTTTTTAGAACTCAAAAGAGGGAGGAGGTGATGCGAAAAACAACGAATCTAAAATGAATCTCCTCAGTTAATTAATAAAATAAATAAATAAATAAATAAATATAAATATATTTTGTTGTAATATATATAGGTGTAATGTTAGTGGATTATTAGTAGTATGAAGACTATGTATGATCTAGTCGAGCGAGTTGAGTTGTTATTAAATGAATAAATTAATATAAGAAAAAAAGAATAATGTGATGTCAGATGATGATTGAAATCAAAGGGGCTGCAAATATACGATGTTGGAAATTAAATTTAAAAACAGAACAATTGTTCAAGCGACTATTCTTGAGGAAAATGTTATCAAGAAGCTCATGGAAGCCCAATCTTGGTTTTTTTTGGAAAATAAAAACAAAAAATCAGATCACCTCGATTGTGATGATGTCAAGAGCTCCCCCTTCCACATCATCGTCGTCGGTGTTTGCTTGATGACGATTGTAACAACAGGGAAAAAGATTAATAAAATTATCCTTAAAAACTTGAGAATTTTCGAAACCAATTGCCTATTCAAGCGAGATACTATTCCAATGAACTTGTCTTGGTGATTAAAGTACAATCATCAATATAACCACCAACACCTTGGTTTCTCTCTGGTTAAACTAAAAGTATTTCTCATGCTTTTCCTTGCTTTTGATTCATTATGACTGGACATATATTACAATACAATAGGTGCCACATCATGAGGAAAGAGAAATATATATAAAAATAAATAACATCAACGATTCATATTTTTAACTACTTGATTGATTGATTGATTGATTGATTGATTTGTGTTTTTAAAACTGACAAGGGTAGTATATTTTTATAGTTTTGTTTTTTGTTTTTTTTTTTGACTAATTATTAATTATTATTATTATTATTATTATTATTTGGAGTTGTTCTTTATATTCTTTTGATTTAAATATCCCAATCAATTGGAACGTAAACATATGGGAAAAACTTTTCAGAGGCATCTTCTTCACCCTTGCCAGAGATGTGTTGTGAACCTAAATATTTGAATTGGTCGAGGAGGACATCACGGAGCTTACGATCTTCCTTCTTGTGTGGCTTCATGAGGATGGCTTGGAAGTTCATTGGGATACCAAATCTCAATACGGATTCGACAAATACACGCAATGCCTTCAAGTGAATCCAAGCAACAAAGGATTCTGGGAATTGGATACGGCACCATCTGATGAACGATGTCTTGTAGTTCTTTTGATCTTCGGACAATTTCGATCTTTCTTGTGGCTTATTTTCAGTCTCTGTCTTGAAATCTCTTACTACCCACCTAAACAAAAAGAATATTATTATGGTTAGTCATCACATTTCTCATTCTCATTCACTCAATGTTCAATATTTATATTTCTATATACTACATACTTTCTTTCTTGACATTTGATTCTAAAGTTGTCATAGAACTTTCTAAATACACATACACCATAGAGAACATAGTCATTGTCTTGTTCAATCTTCTTTGCCGATCTCATGAGAACAAACTTGGAGAGTTCGTCAGAGAGGTTTTCGTATGTAGCCAAAAATTCCTTTTCCATCGATTGTGGAATAACAATAAATGCAGTTGTAAGATATTCAGATTGAGTATTATTTTCAGTGGTAATCAATTCATTTAAACTTCTAACTTGGAGATTACCTCTATAATAAATAATAATAATAAATTGGGTTAATATATAAAGATAACTGGACAAGTAGGTTTGTTGGTTTTTGTTGTTTCATACAATAATTTTCTTTCTTCAGCAACAACAGAAGAGGTAAGTGAATTATAATCTGTCAACTTGGCTCTCAAATCTTCATCTAATTTAGCAACAGTCTACGATATGATGTATCAATATTAGTATATATGTTGTTATTGTTTGTTTTTTAAAATGTCATTCTTACGCTTTGAATCTTATCTACAATCTCTTGAAGAGATGACTTTGGATTGAATTTAGCATCATCCCATTGGAACTTTGAAAGGTACTGTTGGATGTTTTGTCCGTTGATTGACAAACCTTTTTCCTTTCCTGGCTTTGAACCAACAAGATCGGTCAATTGCTTGCTAATCTTCTTTGAGGTCAATTCTACAAAGTTATCAACCTTTGCCAAATCGTCATTTAAAGCAATTAAAGAGTTTAATGTTCCAACTCTGAGTGCTGGTATCTAGTGTAAGTAGAGTTTTGATAATATTAGATTAAAGAAAAGTGTTAATAGTTTATATATATATATAAAGTTGGTTAAGTGATCGATCGAGATATAGATAGATAGTAAGATAGATATAGAGATATATTGATTCTTCAACCATTCATTCATCCTATCCTCTTTTGGATCTTTTTGTTCTTCTTCTTTCGTCTTTTTTTTTTGTAGTATGTCGATTATAATATAATACTCGAATGACGAATATATCTTTTGTTCTAATTATAAACCAAATATGTTTTTAAACCAATTCATCAATTCATTCTCTATATCTATATTCTATATATCTATATCGTCGATCCTCTATATATATATATATATATATATCTTGATGCCTACATTAAATTTAACATTCTCTGAAAGTGAATTCTCTTTGGCAGTCTTTGTGTTGACAATGTCAAAGATATCGGCACCAGGTCTGTTTGGTGCAGAGATTAACCAGAATACTTGACTTTCTGACATCTTGTCTATATGTATATTATTGTTATATGTTGTATTATCGTATCAAATCGGAGAGAGTTGTTGGGAGGGAGGGAGGGAGGAGGTTGATGTGAAGAAACAGTTGGTGTTGGTTATAGAGAGTTAACTACGACTGACGACTGACTGTTTGCTAATAATACAATGTACTCTGTGAATAATACTAACTAATAAACTAGAGCTAGCTTGTGTTGTTTGTTGTTTATTGAGGTCTAGGACTGTTGATGATATTATTATGTTTATTAGTAATAATGGTGGTGGCGTGGTGTGAGAGAATAGGCGTTTTCAAAAAGATAAAAAAATCTTTGGAAAAAAAAAAATTCAATAACCTCTGTTGCCTCTCACCCAGGGCTCCTCTCTCATTCCTTTTTCTCTTTCGCTTTTTCATTCAGACCAAAACAACACGACCCTCTACCAGTATCATTCACGCGATTTTTTTAAACACAACAACAATCAAGATAAGGTGATACCTATCTATTCTAATTATATCTATCTCTATATTTATGCTGTACAATTTTATTTAATATTTAATATATGAAAATATATTTATATATTTTTTTTTTGATTGATCGATTGATCGTTCAATCTATCGATTGGTGGAACATGCATGTACCATGATTTGTCATTATTATTGGCTAATAACGATATTTGTATAATTACCACCACTTTGGTGAAGTTGTTGTTGGTGTCCTCCTTTTAATGGTAATTCTTTGGTACCTGAAACATGCATCTTGTTGGCACCATCCACTCCATCTTCTTCATCATCTTTGTCTCCTAATTTTTTAACACATTCCTTGTGAATACGATTGGTTACTTGGATTTTAAGTTCTTGAAGTCTCTTTAATTGTAATTTCAATTGTTCTTGTTCCAACAATTTCTGTTCTTGTCTAATTTGTTGTTGGAGCTTTGCAACCTCTTCGTCATCTGGCTTGTCTTCGTCTTCTTTTTTGTTATGGTCAAGGTCAAAGTAAGCAGTCACACGTGATGTACCAAAGAAGGACTGTTTGACAGGCTTTTTTTTGGCCTTGTCTTTTTCAGACTGTGATTTGGAAGTGTCAACCTTCATCTCGTCGATACAGTCCTCTACAGCATCGTAACTGCCTCTATACACCTCTGACGTGTATCCAGCCTTGTCAATACGTTTGTAGATACTTCTAATGATAGTTGACATCCATCTACCTCGCTTCATCGTATCCATGAGAATCTGGGTGACAAAGCTCAATACTCTTTCAAACTCGTCAAAGTTGGCATCTTCCAATTGACTGAAATACTTGGCTTGTGTTTTACCAAGAACCTTTTCAATCTCGCCAACCTCGAGGTTGATGTCTAGCCATCCTGCAGCTGGACCAGTTCCAGAGGTTGTGAATTGTTTGAGATCATCGTCGGGACTATTGGCAGTGGCAGCTGGAGTAGGAGTTGCATTGTTGATGGTTGTTGTCTTGGAGACAACTTGGACTGGTGGTATTTGTATCTGAGTGGGGTCGGCCAGTGCAGCGATAATGGCATTTTGGTAAGAGTCTACTGACAGAATGGGATCTTTGAGTGTAAAGGTTTTAGAGACTATCACATCAAATGTACCAAACTGACTTGCAAAGATGAGGAACTTTCTCATCAATACAAATCTAAACTTTAAACAAAACTTTACTTTTCTATCATCGATCTTGATAAAGTGTGGTTTCTGAAATACATTGACCGATATTCCATCTTCTGCAAACTGTTTTGCTATTGTTAAACTTTGATTAAATAAATCAAATAAATCTTTTACTCCTTGTGGAATTGTAAATGGTAATTTTGGTGTTTCCATTATTATTATTATTACTTTTTTCAAAAAAATATATTATTATTACTATTATAGGTTAAATTTGAATTAAAAAAAAGAGAGACAATGAATGTGGAGGTATAATATCGCAATCTGTCCAAGAAGAGAGCAAGAATTAAATTTAAAAGAATTAAAAAAAAAAGAAATATCTGTGTCAAAAAGCATACCTTGTCACGTGATCATCCGGATGACCGTTTGGTTGGCTACCGACTTCAACGCATTAAGATTCTTTGAAGAGAATGGTTAACCAATCAATCAATCTCCAATGAAACCACTTTTTAAAAAGACATTCATTTCTGATCTAGATTTGATTTAAGATAACACGTTAGCAAGATACAAGAAAGGATGAATAATATCTTTATACAAACACTAAGAGCAAGAGAGAGAGAGAGAAAGAAAGGATGACTTATCTTATGTTTTCGATCGTGCAGTATTGTCTAGACCAAACCATCATAACCATGATCGATCATAAAACATTTTCCAACAAATAGGGATGTTCATATATAGTTTATACTTGAAAATAGAGTATATAATATAAATATATAATATAATAGATGGATCATCACTCTATGATATCTTTACTATGATCAAAATCATCTATAAATGAATGAATGAATGAATGAATGAATCTAGTGGTACACAAAAATATTTTAACAATCGACCTAAGATTTAGTTATATCTTTTTTATTCAATAAAAAAACAAAATAAATAAATATTAATTATCTGATGTTTAAAATGGTAGAAGTAGTTTTAAAAGATAAAATCATTGGGTTGGTTGATCCAATAATGGTTTAGTTTAAAAGGGTGTCCTCCAAAATGTATTATGGATCACTATTCACTTTTCTTACAATACTAAATAAATAATTAAATAATTTAATTATCATCATGTCTAATGTGTACTTCCAACCACCTCCTCCACACCCTAGTAAGATTGATCAATTATAACAATATAGTTACCATATAAATATACCTGCCTATTTACTTTTGATTGGACACTAATCTTTTTTTCTTTTTCTTTTTCTTTTTCTATACTAAAAAAGTGAATCATCATCGTAAAAGACAATTACCATTATTATACCCAATAGTTGAACAAATCAACCTATTCTTTAAAGTAAGAGGATTTGGATTGGAACATTTACCAATTGTTGCATCTTATAGTGATATTTTATTGGGTGTTGCATTGCAATTGGTGAAAATTAAATCTTATATTGATAGTTTTTTTGGTATCATTGCTCGGTATGACTCAAATGTTGTCATTGGCCAAATCAATCTATTTATAAAGGATTTAATCGAGATTAATAACAGTCAAACCCAAGTACACCAGAAATTGTCTGATATCATTTCGAACATTCCCAACAACAAAGATGTAGACATTCTAAACAACATTGTACCTTTTCTACAATTTGAAATCGATCTAATATCATTATTGAAATCAATGAGTGAATCCATGTTGAAAAAGAATTATGATTCTATATCCAAATCTATCCAAAATATAATCATCCTATTTGATCAAAATAATTCTTTTTTTAAAATCTAATTAGATTTAATAAAGGTCAAAATGTCTGATATTAATTTATTGTTTAAAACATAGAGATTGGATAGAGCATGATGGTGGATGGATGGTGGATAGAGCATGGATGGTGGATGGATGGATGGTTGGTGGATGGATAGATGGTGGATAGAGCATAGATGGTGGATGGTGGATGGATGGATGGATAGATGGTGGATAGAGCATGGATGGTGGATGGATGGATGGTTGGTGGATGGATAGATGGTGGATAGAGCATAGATGGTGGATGGTGGATGGATGGATGGATGGATAGAGCATGGATGGATGGATGGTGGATAGAGCATGGATGGTGGATGGATGGTGGATAGAGGACAGACGGATGGATAGTGATAGTGGATGGTTGAGGATGGATGGATGGTAGATGGATAGATAGATAGATAGATAGATGGATGGATAGTTGATGAGGATGGATGGATATGGATGGATGGATGGATGGATGGATGGATGGATGGATGGATGGATGGATGGATGGATGGATGGTGAATAGAGGATGGATAGATGATGGATGGTTGATAGAGGATGAATGGTGGTGGATGTGGATGGAATGTTATAGAAATATAAGTCTTTGATTTAATTATAATTAAAAAGATATTTAATTTTATTGGTTTCTTTGTATTAAGCAATCATTATAATATAAAACCCAACTATAATCCTTTGCTGATGTCAATAAAATAATATTACGATATTCAAAGCTGGGTTTTTGATTCTATTTTAATGAATTGAACCATGATGCATTCTCGATTTTCCACTTTATGTCGGACAATGGGCGATGGTCGATTATGCAATGGTAGCAGAGATTGATAAAGACAGATGATGGTTGACTATAGTCTACCAAGGATAATGGATGGATAGACAATAGATGGATGATCAAGAGATGGTAGATGGTGGATGGATGGCAGACAGAGGAGGACCACTATCTACCATCCATCATCGATTTTCTATCATGTATCAACTATATAGTACATTGCTGATATCCCCTAAAATATATAATTAAAATACTATATTAATATAAATTTATTATATTAATATTATTATTACCTTTGAGTTTGTCTTTATGGAATCTATCTTGATCAATCTATTCCAATACTAACATATCATATTGCATCAACTAGTATATCTATCTCTATTTATATATATATATATATGTATGAATATAAATTGATATGTGAGTAACAAGTTTAATTATAATTATAAATCCAAGAAAAATAAAATAATAAATGGTCTGATCAAAAAGTCAGAGTTGGTGAAGTGGTGTGGGCTTTTTTATTTTATTTTTATTTTAAAAGTTTTAATTTGAATAAATTTAATTTACAAACCCATAAAGCATCTTTGGATGAACACCTTTATAAAGACACATATTGCTACAGTTGTAGTGTCACAAATATTTGTTACAAATAATTATTACAATTCTGATGATGAATTAATTAATTTTAAATTCGTCAGAAAAACAATATTGATTTGGAGGGTAAAAGAATTAATTAATAAATAAATAAAAAATAATAAATAAAAAAGAGAGGGAAAAAATAGAAAAAAAGAAAGATAGAAATAAATAGAAAAATATTGTTTTGGTTGTTCCCATGTTTAGACCATGGGAACAGTCCAAAAAAAAAAAAAAAAGCCCCCCAATGCGAAGAAAATCGACTTACACGGGGGCGAACCTGGGAAACCCTCTGGGTAAAAGTAATTTAATATCTTTTTGTAAAGGAAACCACTTGGGTAAAAGTAATTGAATATCTTTTTTGGGGTATAAAAGCCTAAGGACGTGGAACATGGATGGACGATGATGGACTGGACAACGGACATGGACGATGGCAAAGGAAAATGTATAAAAAGAAAAGAGTAGGAAGAGAGGGAAACCACTTGGGTAAAAGTAATTGAATATCTTTTTTTTAGAAAAGAAGAGGATTGTAATTGGTTGTTGTTGTAATTATTATTATTAGTTATTGTGGTTGGTTATTATTAGTTTTTGTAGTTGCCAAATTACTATTATTATTCGTTATTGTTTTATTAAGATGTTGTTATTACCAAAAGAGTTGAAGAGAATAATGATTAGTGTACCTATAAAATAAAAAGAAAAAGAGACAGTAAATTTATAACTAATTATCAACATTTGATACAGAGTTAATTATGTTGGTCTACGAATGGTGGTGATTGTTGCTTGGAAATTGGTACTCTTGATCACTGGATTTGGGACGGGCGACTGACTAGAGGATTGGTGATGAATGAATGATTGATTGGTGAATGAGGGGTGTGGATTGGAGTGATTGGTAAAGATTGTAATGTTATTATGATTATTCTTTGTTGTAATTGGAATGTTATTATTTGTTGGTGAACAATGAGGGTGTTGTCTGTCTATGTAAGAGGAATGGTTGTTGTTGTTATTATTATTTGTTGGTCTTGTGTTGTTATTTGTTTTTGTATTTTTGTTATTATTGTTGTTATGATTATGATTAATATTTTTTGTTTGATTGTTGGTTGAGATGAATGTTTCAACATGGTTGAAGCATGAAAATGATGATGATGATGAGTTGGTGTTGAGATTAATATTTTTGCATTTTATGTAGTTATTGTTATTATTGTTGTTATTATTTGCATTATTTAATGACTGTGGATTGAAGTGGTTGGCAAAGATTGTAATATTATTACTATTATTATTGGTTGGTGAACAATGAATGGTTTGTCTGTCTGTGGAAGAGGAATAATTGTTGTTGTTATTATTATTGTTATTATTATTATTATTAATATTTTTTGTTTGATTTCTAGTTGAAATGAATGATTCAACATGGTTGAAACATGAAAATGATGATGATGATGATGAGTTGAAATGTTTAGGTGAAATGGATGATGAATGAATTAATGAATAATTATTATTATTATTTGATTGATTACTATTAAAAAGAATTGATTGGTTTTTAACATGGTCTAAACATGTTAATGAATTAAATTTTGTGCTTCTACTGTTCGATTGAACAGACTCCTCCTGATCTAAATTAATATTGTTGGTGGTTGTTGAATGATTTGGTGATTGACAATGAAACAAAACATCACTAGAGTTTAATGGTAATTGAGAATGAGATTGAGACAAAACATTTAAATTAAAAGGAATTGACATTGTGGATGAATTAAAAGATAAATTATTGTTATTATTTGAGGATGGTGGAGTGATTTGTGAATGTGGATTGTGAATTGAATTGTGAGTGTGGATTGTGGTGAGGATTGTATGATTGATTGGTGATGATGGTTGTTGTTGTATTGTTGAATGATTTGAATGATTGGTTCCGAAACAGTCGAGAGAATCAAAATAATTGTTGGTATCTCTAAAAATAATAAAAGAGGAATCAGTAAAATGCTTTAAATTGTCAGAGATTGTTACCGCGTTGTTTTGTAATCTTGAAACGTTGGAGTGTCTTGAAAATGGTCTTGTCTTTGATATTGGACACATTGAGATTATTGTTGTTGGATTGTTTAATGTGTCTAAGTAAGAGGAATAATTGTTGTTATTATTATTTGTTGGTCTTGTGTTGTTATTTGTTTTTGTATTTTTGTTATTGTTGTTGTTATTATTATTATTAATATTTTTTGATTGATTGTTGGTTGAGATGATTGTTTCAACATGGTTGAAGCATGAGAATGATGATGATGAGTTGTTGTTATTATTGTTTATATTATTTGCATTATTTAATGGCTGTGGATTGAAGTGGTTGGCAAAGATTGTAATATTATTACGATTATTATTGGTTGGTGAACAATGAATGGTTTGTCTGTCTGTGGAAGAGGAATAATTGTTTTATTATTATTATTATTATTATTTGTTGTTGTGACGTTATTATTATTATTATTTGTATTTTTGTTATTGTTATTATTATTATTATTATTAGAAGATTGTCCAATGGTTTGAGGATTGTGGATCGATTGGAAATGAATGTGGAGGGTGGATGGATTGGTGAGGATTGTGAGATTGTTTGATTGGCAATGAGTTAAAATATTACTTGAATTAAAACATGGAATCGATGATTGATGGCCATAGAAGAATGAATTATTATTATTATTATTATTATTGATGGAAATGATTGGTTGATGATCGAAACATGGGATTGAATTTGTTGTTTTGTTGTTGTTTGATTGAACATCTATAAGAATGTGGTTGTTGGTTGTTGAGTGATTTAATGGTAATTGAAAATTAAAAGGAATTGACATGGATGATGTATTAAAAAATAAATAATTATTATTGTAGTTAGGAACGAATGAATGATTTGATTGACATTGAGTATCACTTGAATTATAAAATAAAATGGTTGATTGATGGAAAGAAATACTATTATTATTATGAATTGATTGATGTTCAACATGGTTGAACAATGAGATTGTAATTGTGTTGTTGTTGTTGTTGTTTTTGTTGTTGTTCAATTGAAATGACACCTCATTCTGCTCCTCCTCTTCTGCTAAAAGAAAATGGTTGGTTGTTGAATGATTAAAGAGTATTGGTGATGATTGACAATTGGTTGAAACATCACTTGAATTAAATGGAGTGTACATGTATAATGAGTGAATAAGTGAGGCTGATTCATTGGTATTATTTTTGTTGTTATTATTATTATTTGAGGATGGTGGAGTGATTTGTGAATATTGATTGTGAGTTGATTTGTGAATGTGGATTGTGGTGAGGATTGTGTCATGATTGAGTGGTGATGATGATGGTTGTTGTTGTTGTATTGTTGTATGATTTGAATGATTGGTTCCGAAACAGTTGAGAGAATCAAAATAATTGTTGGCAACTTTGGTATCTATAAAAATAAAAGAAGAGGAATCAGTAGAATGCTTTAAATTGTCAGAGCTTGTTACCGCGTTGTTGTTGTTTTCTATTCTTGAGATGTTGCTGGAGTATCTTGAAAATGGTCTGGTCTTTGATCTTGTTGAATTAATTGTATTTGGTAATAAATATAATGTTGATGATGATGATGATGATGTGGAAGTGTTTGAAGAGTTAAAATAATCACATGAAAATGGAATAGGCGAAATCAATGATGATGAATGAATTAATGAAAAATAGTTATTATTATTATTATTATTATTCGATTGATTATTAATTGGAATTGATTGATGTTTAACATTGTCTAAACATGTTAATGAATTTGTGATGTTTATGATGCTTTTGTTCAATTGAACAAACTCTAAAAGAATGAGGTTGTTGGTTGTTGAATGAGTTAAAAAATCACTAGATTTAAAACATGGAATCGATGATTGATGGTCATTGAAGAATGAAATATTATTATTATTATTATCTAAGGGAATTTTTTGGTTGAAATATGAAAATGGGATTGCACTGTTGTTGTTCAATTGAACAGATTCCTCCTCCTCTAAGATGAGATTTGATTGATGGTTAGCATTGAAACACGAGATTGAAATTTGACTGCTGTGGAAGTCCTCCTCCTCCTCCTCCTCCTCTAAAATAATATGGTTTTTGGTTGAATGATTTGAGATACACAAAACATGGCTTGAGTTAAAGAGAATATTGTCTGAAAACGATGGAAAACTACGAATTGGTAATGGATAGCTAAAGGAAATTAATTGATGTTCAACAAGGTTGAAACATGAGATTGTGGTGTTGCTGGTGTTACTGTTGTTGGTTGAGTGATTTAATGGTAACTGGAAATGGGATTGGGACAAAACATTAAAAGGAATTGAAATTGATGAATTAAAAGATAAATTATTATTATTATTATTTTTGTTATATACAAGAATAAAAGTATGGTTTGATGGTAAATGACATTGAGAAACAATATGATTTGAATCAAATTGGGTTTGTGAAATAGATGAATCGATATCGTTATTATTATTGTTGTTGATGTTTTTGTTGTTTTTGTTATTTTTGTTTTTGTTAAGAATGATTGGATGTTCAAAATGATTAAAAGATGACAATGAAACGGATGATGGCTGCATCATCATAGACAAAGAAATATTTTTATTTTGGATGATAGTCGATTGTTGTTCAACTTGGTTGAACAATGAAAAAGATGACAATGAATTGGTGTCGTTGACAAAGACATATTGGTTGTTGCAAGACATATTGGCAAAAACAGATGATACAACGATACACAAAATAAAGATGATAATTAATGGGTTCATGATTGGATAATTAATGTAAATAAATGATTTTTGGTTGTTGATAGGTAGTAGTAATGATTGTGTTGCTGTAAGACTATAGATAGATGGTAAGTAGAAAAAAAAAAAAACAAGAGAAAGAGAAATGGTTAATTAAAGTTTAAGAGTTTGAGTTGGATATAGTATAGAGAAGGTAAAAGAGAGGGAGAGAAAGAAAGAGAGAGAGATAATAGTAGAACACTATTATTATCTGTATATCATACGATTTTTGAAACAAGTTTCATAAAAGAAATAAAGTGGATGATCAGTGGATAATATAGAGTATGAGAGAGAGACTGAGAGAAGGTTGGTTAGGGTACCAAGAAATACTAGGTAATATTATTTAAATATTTTTAATATTAGTTTGTGTGTGGGTAGTGGGGGGTTTATATATATCTGATGCGAATAATTAATTTTCATTGCTGGATGATGGTGATGATTTTGTGGGTGGTGGGGGTTTCTTGTCTCACAGTCTGTCTGTCGTCTTAAACGAGTTTGACTAAAAAGGGAATGCAATCAACACACCCAATTAAATTTGATGTTCATTGGCTGTCTGCCGCACACTGACACGCACGCACAAACTCTAACAAACGAGTGCTGCACTAAGCAGCAGCAGCAGAGCGCGCATTGCAAGTTCAGTAAACCATGTGGTGCTGTCATGATTGATTGATTGATTGATTTCCTGTCGATGCAATAGTAATTACAATCTTGGAGAAAGACAAATATATAATCATAAAAGAGTCATTCATTTTGGTCAATCATATTAATAAATAAATAAATAAATAAATTAAAATTGTCAATTGAGTTCCAAAAAAAAAGAAAAGTGTAACCTGTACTATATTAAATGCTTTTGTAATTAACCAATATACTATACACTATGATAGTACATACTACTGTAACATACAGTAGTATGTACTATCATAGTGTATATCTCATAAATGAGATATTCACTAGGTATTGTGTAACCTTACTTAAACGACAACAAGTATCGTACGACATAAGTATGTTTTATTTTAGATGATCAATTTTGTAGTATATTTATTTATTTAATTTTTTATAGTTTTAGACCATATTCTTTAAGACACAACCTTCAAAAGCAAGACCAGGACCAAAGGCAAGAGAGATAGAGTATTGAGGTAGTGACTTTGAATGACGAGCATGTTCGAGTACAAAGATGACCGATGCACTAGACATGTTGCCGTAGTTTCGGTAGATGTCCCACGAGTGTTGGTTCTGCTTGGATGTGATGCCAAGACTCTGCTCGATCGACATGAGGATAGCCTTTCCACCAGTGTGTATGAGGAATTCGCATTCCTTGGGTGTGAGGTCTTGTGTTTGACTCTTGTTCTTGGCCAAGAGATCATTGACAAACGACTCGATACCACCTCCGATGTGGTGCGGGATGGACTGGTCGAGACCGAGGTCCCATCCATCGGTACTAATATCCCATGTCATTGTGTGTGCAGTGTCTGGTACCGATCTAGTCATAGAACCAATCACCTCAAAGAGTGGGTGTTCGTAGATGGTTGGGTTACAACCGAGAATGTAGGCGGCTGAACCGTCGGCAAAGATGGTCGACGCTACGATTTGGTCAACACCTTCCTTGGTCGAGAAATGGGTGCTACATATCTCTGTGCAGACTACCAGAACACGGTTCTTGGGATGTTTGCTTGCAAGTGGTACAGCGGCACGCATCGACGAGAGACCGGCTAGACAACCCATAAAATTGACAGATAGACGTTCAATATCCTTGTTGAGACCGAGACGTTGGATCAGCACAAAGTTGATGTCAGGCACGACGACACCAGTTGATGACACAGACACAATGTGAGTAATATCTTGGATACTACCACCCCACTCTTTAATGGCCTTTTCACAGGCACGTTGTGAGAGATCGGGTGCACACTTTTGGAACTGACGATTAACATCATTGATATTTTCATTCTTGCGATGACGTAGAGCAGTCTCTTCGCGCAATGGATTACGGTATAGGTATCTAGTGTTGATTTGCGATTGCTCAAAGATCTTGGACACCTTGTCGACGACCAACGGGTCGCTCGAAAAGTCCTTGGACATGACGGCCGACAACTCTGACTGCTTGAGTGGCTCGTTGGGCACAGCCGTTCCAATACCCAAAATGTATGGGTTGTTGTTGCTTGTTGGTGCAGTCTGCATCAAACTTGGTGACATGATTGATGATAGACGACGGTTGACAATGGCAGCTGGATGTTTCATTGGCGATGACGACGAGTTGGTAGAAGCAGCGGCGGCAGCAGCAGCAGAGGCAGCAGACAATGGTGGAAGTGGAGATGCGACAGACGATGGAAGACTGTGGTTGCGACTGACATTGGCAGAGATCTTGGGAGACCCAATCAAATGGTGTTGCTTTGGTTGTTGCATAGGTTTTTGTACCATTGGAGATGACTTTACCTTTACTGGCTCTTCTGCAACCGGTGTGGTTGATCCGACCACCATGTTGGGGTTGGGCAGAGATGCAGGGGTTGTAGTCTTGGCAAGAACTGGTTTCTTGGTGACTGCTGCTGCTTTAGCAGATACTCCAGTCGATGGGATACCCTTGGCTTGTACAACCTTTTCAACAAGATCATTGATACTCGAAGAGGAGAGTTGAATATGCGAGAATAGATTCTTGTTTTCAAACTCCTTGTCAATCCATCCCTTGAATTGGACGGTCAACAACGAGTCTAGACCATAGTCCTTTAACTTGGTGTCTAGGTTGAGCTTGGACTTGTTGATCGAGAGTAGGTCGGATACCTTGTTGGTCAGCTTTTCAAGGACACTTTCACTCGTGAAACTTTCCTTTTGCGATGCTCCACCTATTCCTCCATTCGACGATGATGAAGATCTTGCATTGCGTTCAGAGCCAGCATAGATGAGATGCTCCATCTTGGGACGCATGTGTTCGTAAGAGTCGAAAAAGAGTGATGTGACCATTGGCGTGATGACGAGTTGGTAGAGATTCAATGCGCCGCTAGTGTTGAGCACGTTGGATTGGTTGAGTGCTGCTTCTAGAGCACCAAAGAACTTGCCGATCGAGAGGACGGGCAGTCCACGACTGGCAAACAACGATTGGATAGCTTCATTCTCGGCGACCTTTCCACTGGCGTCGAGGGGACCCCAGTTGATAGCGAGTGCAGGGAGACCGGCTTGACGACGGAAGTTGGCGAGAGAGTCGAGTACGGCATTGGCAGAGTTGTAGGCTGCCTGGTCATAGTATCCAATCACACCAGTAATCGACGAGAACAAGATAAAGTGTGACAACTTCCAACAGTTGATGATTGACAGACGATGCAAGTTGATAGCACCCAACACCTTTGGATTGTGGACATTGGAGATGTTTTCAGCGGTCACCTTGGAGATGGGCACATCGTCATAGACAGCGGCCAAATGGAAGACGGCGCGGACGGGTGGTGCGTTGGCCAGTTTGTTCTTGACGGTCTGGGTGAGGTTCTCCATGACCGACACGTCGCAGCTTGCAAATACAATGTTGACCAAACGCTTGTGTGGCTCTTTCATCAGCTTTTCAAGCTTCCACTTTAACGAGGACTTTGAAATGACGATGATGTGAGACACCTTGGAGTGTTTGATGAACCAGGCAATGATTTGCAACGAGATACCAGTCTGGCCGGTAATGATGATCGTGTCCTTGAGGTCGACGAGATAGTTGGATTTGGCAACCTCAACCTTTTCATTCTTTTGCTCGTGATGCAAAATGTCAGAGCAGTCAATGATGATCTTTCCAATGTGACCACGCTCGCCAAGTGATTCAATGGCTTCCTTGGAACGTTCAGCAGCGTATACTTGGATGGGTAGTTTGTTGAGCTTACCCTCTGCGACCCAACCGACGATGGTTTCTAGCATCTTTTGGAGTTGCTTTGGTTTCTCGTCGATAAGACGTTCCAAGTCAACACCACAATACTGAATGTCTCCCTTAAAGTTACCCATGTCTAATGGTTCGTTGGCATAGATGTGGGTGACGGACAGATCGGCGATACGACCAAACGACGACATTGATTCAAAGTTGGATTGGGTGTACTCGCCAGACAAAGTGTTGACAAGACAGTCGATCTTTCCTCTAAGCTCGGCGGCATACTCTTTGTCACGAGTGCTGTAGATATGCTTGATCATAGAGCCATACTGTTGGACAAGATAGTTCTTCTTGTCCTTGGAACCGACTGTTGCGTAGATGCTACCGTCAGCAGCACCCTTCATCTTGAGCAGGTTGAGACAGGCGAGACCGACACCACCAGTGGCCGAGTGGATCAGGGCAGTCTCGTCCTCGTCCATGTGGTTGACCTTAAAGAGCGAGTGGTAGGCAGTACAGTAGACGACGGGCAGCGATGCAGCTTCAGAGTACGAGATGGACTCTGGTTTCTGGACAACGAGGTGTTGCGAGGTGGTTACATGCGATGCAAGACTGTGACGGGCAAATCCGAGTACTTGGTCGCCAATCTTCCACTGGCTGACAGCAGACCCAATGCGAGTTATGGTGCCAGAACATTCTAGACCAAATGGTGGGTTGTAGATATCACCCTTTCTAAATATCTCGGCTGGCAACAATCCCTTGTAAAAGAGGTTGTCTTTAAAGTTGACACCGACTGCTTGCACCTTGATTTCAATGTCATTGGGTGCGAGTACCTCGGGCAACGTGCAGAATTGGTAGTCGAGACTTTGCTTGGACTTGCAGTAGAGCTTGTCGACGTTGGTCTCGTAGGCGACCTGCGATTTCTTGGCGTCGACGGGCTCGATGAGTTGGCGATTCTGGAAGAGACGTGGTACCAAGACAGCACCGTCCTTTTTGACGATATACTCCTTGTCGGCCATCTCCATCGATACGAGCTTGATGATGAATGCCAAGTCGGCAGTATCCTCTTCTTCAATGTCGATCGAGTAGATTTGGAGTGCAGTGTCTGCGTACTCGTTCATAGCAGTACGGGTCAACCCAATCAACGAGGCATTGAGATAGTTCTTGCTGGTACGTTGGGCACACTTGGTGAGCACGACAATCTTGGGGACATGCACACCTCTCTCGGCCATAGCTCCGGCCAGTTGGAAGAGCTTGGTGAGTTGGTAGGTCACGAGTTGGTAGTTTCCATTGAGTGTCTCGACACCAGTCATAAAGAATGCAATCGAGCTCTTGGACAAGCTTGCTTCAATAGTCTTTTCATCTTGGAGTGATGGGTTGCGGAGTAACTCTGTTTCAATCACATCGACTTTCTCTTGACACAGTACGAGTGAGTCACGGAGATACTTGGAGATGAGAGACTTGCGACCTTCGATAGTTGGACTGTTGACACCATTGTTGGTGAGACCGTTGGCGAGTGTGGCACTACCTGGTACAATCATAGAACAGTAGGCGACAGAGTCACGACTGACTCTAAACTCGGATATACTCTGCTTTTGGGCGTGTACGACAAACGAGTGGTCTTGTCCAATTTCCTTTTCTTCAAAGTTGATAAATGACACTGGGTAACGGAACCCACCAATTTGGTTACACAACAATTCAGACCATTCGTTGGGACGGATGGCACAATGCTCGGTACGGAACTGGTCACTAAACTGCCACCATTGATGGAAACATCCAAACACAATGTCAGAGAATGTCATCTTGGGTGAAGGTTCGATAAACATTAACCAACCATTTGGTGCGAGCATATCGTATAGTTGACGAATACCCTTTTCCAAATCAGCAACGGCATGCAATACATAGGACATTACAATACAATCATAATCGGATGGAAGGAATGATTGAGAGGCATAGTCGAGTTCAAGATTCAGTGTCTTGTAAACCATCTTGATACATCCATTACTCTTTTCAATCACCTTTTGGAACTTGGATTGAATGTCAGAGTTGATAAACGATGCTGAAATATCGGTAAAGGTGTAGACAACCTCGACACCGGACTTTTCATAAGTAGTACCTTCAAAGAGTGATGCCAACTTGGTCAAGAGCTTGGTGGTGAGTGAACCAGTACCACCTCCAACTTCGAGTATTTTGATCACCTTTTTACAGTCTTGGTCAGACTTTGTGACAATATTACCAATGGCCTTTTGGATTGTGCTACCAACTTGCTCCAAATAATAGTCAACGGCTGTTGAAGAGGTGTAAAAGGAGCTGAGAAGGTTATTCTCAAACAGCGAGTGACAGGCAGTGCTGTCACCTTGGAGCAGACGTGGAATGATAGAGGTTGCACGCTCGATCAATGTCAACTCGAGATTGGCATCGGGATACTTGGCAAGAACCTTTGACTTTAGATCGATGGGAGACATGGATTGATAGTCTGCAGCCGATGGCACCAAAGAATGGATTTCAAACAGTCTTGTAAGGAAACGAGTAAAGCTAGTGTCGATACCAACTGACTTCATGTATTGTTCCATGGTCTGTGCATTCTTCTTGGTCCAGTCCCATCCACTGATAGTCTCTAATGTCTCTTTTAACAAGAGACAACAGTAGTTGACAAAATCAGTGTCTACAAGTACTTGACTCTTATCGTGTAACTCGGTCATCGGATCGGCCATGATAGAGGTTGGGATGGGAAGAGATGACTCTTTGGATTGCCAGTTGATAGTGTAGACTTGGTCAGATGGCTTCTTGATAGTGTTGACCTTGTACTTTTCCAACGATTTCAATGTGAAGCGACCAACCTCTACAATGACTTGACCGTCCTGTCCAATCAATTGACAGGTTGCATGCACCTGGGTAGAGTGATCGGTTGGGTTGAGTATACGAGTGTAGAGATAGAGTTGGTCAATTTCATCGGTTTGGTTAAAGAGGGTCTGCGGATAGACTTGCATCTTGTCGACTCGTTCAACTACAAAATGTTGGTTGCTGTCTTCTAGAATACCCAATACGCCATGGAAACAATTATCCAATACCATTGCATTCAACACTCTCTTGTAGTTGTTTCGGTGGTTCTCAATGACCTCGTTGCCATCAAAGCTGAGCAGACACAGAGATTCAAAGTTTGGACCAACCCACAACTTGTCAATCACCTGGAAGTGTTTGCCATAGCCGAGACCAAGTCGAACGATTCTATGGTAGAGTTCGGAACGATCGATTGAACAAACATCACAATCGGCCTTGAGTTGCAACAAATCAACCTTGGGTACAGATGTGAGACTTTGGAGGATAGTGTCGTTGAGGATCTGGCTCGATGACTGTGGGTTCAGTTGGATCTTGGCCTTGCACATTTTACTCCATTTCTTTTGGTTGATCGAATCCTTTTGGTAGAATTGGAATTGGTATACATTCTTGGAGATACGATCGATCGTAGTCTGGAGATGTTGTTGCTCACCCTCGACCAAAAAGAACGGGCTGAGAAACTCGATGGATTGGATGAGGATGGACGTGTGGGCAGCTGTCAGTTGGTCATTTGAATGCTTCTCCAAGTACTCGACTGCCTCTAGGATAATGTCGAGGTAGCCTGCACCAGGGAAGATGGGCTTACCACGCACCTTGTGGTCCTTCAAGTAGGCATAGCAGTTCTTTTTGACGTCAATGATGGTTTCAAAACTCTCCTGCCCGTTCAAGTGTTTCTTCCAACCGATTAAATCGATTGTTGGACCCTTGAGACGGAGGTCGTGACTGTACAACGACTCGTTCCAGTACTGGGTATCACTCTCCCATTGATAACGGGGTAGGATGTTGGTCACCTCCTTCCAGAGATTGGTCGATAGGATAGACTCATCAAACTGTGTGCCAAAGTCAATATTGACACCTTGACAATACAACTGTGCCACCGACGAGTAGAATGTCAACAACTCATCCTTGGAACGGTGGAGTGCCGACATTACGTTGGTACGCAAACCGGCATTACCACACTTGTTGATGAGATAGGCGAGTGTTGGGTGAGGAGTGATCTCGAGGTACACTAGACGCTTGTGTTGGTTGCTCTTGGTGTACTTTGATAGATTGGAAATAGCCTTTTCAAAGTGGACTGGTTCACGAAGGTTCTTGTAGATGTATTGAGCATCGACTGGGGTGGTTTGGAGATCACCATAGACTGTCGAGAACAATGGCACCATTGGACGGAATGTGGATGGCAGATCGGCCAATGATTCAAGTACCTCCTTTTTAATGGCCTTTTGGTAGGATGAATGGAACGAGCATGGAGACTTGAGGAAGGCATTAAAGATACCCTCCTTTGTAAGCTGGCTGGCTAGTTCTTTTAATCTATCCTCCTTTCCAGTGACGACGATTGATTCTGGAGCATTGTAACAGGCAATCTCCAAATCATGGAACTCATTTCCATACTTTTCGTCAAATGATTGCGAACCAAGACTGATGGCCAACATCTTACCGCTTCCAATAGTCTTGTTTTGCAACATACTTCTATAATATACAATTTTAATGGCTGATTCTAATGAAATGGCACCTGAAAAGTATGCAGATGTTACTTCACCAAAACTATAAGAGAGAAAAAGAGTAAGTTAAAAGTTAAATAATTAAATATAATATTATATATTTATATATTTATATTTATATTTCTTTTTAATTAATTTATAGTTACCTATGGCCAATAACCATTGAAGGTTGAATACCAAACTTTCCATAAAGAGCAACCAAACCCATTTGAATTAAAAATAAGGCAGGTTGAGCAATGATTGGAGTGTTGATGGTGATTTGATCGTCTTCGGCAATGGAACCGATCTTTTCCCAAACACTATAGCCACAGTACTTTTTCAATAGGTCGTCACAAATGTCAATAGTGTCTTTGAATACTGGTTCAGCTTCATAAAGCTTTCTACCCATTCCATTCCATTGTGGACCTTGACCAACAAATACAAAGCAAACTGGGATATCCTCTCCAGGTACATTGTCACTGCTAGAAAGAACATTAGAGATGGCTGGATTGGTTCCTTCGAGGTACTCTTTCCAATCCTTGGCAATGACCACCTTACGGTGAAGTAAATTGGCCTTCATGGTGGATTGATGTAATGCAAACTCTTGGAAATTAATCATATGATGATAGTTTGTATTATCCTTTACCTCTTGTTCATATTTATCCAATGACCATTCAGAATTTGAACTTGTAGGAACCATATAATATTTTTCTTTTTCAGCTCTAGAGGAAAAGAGAGTAATCAAAAAAAAAAAAATAACAAATTAATTAATATTAATTATTATTATTATTATTTTTTTTTATAATATTTATATTTATATTTATAGATTTAACATACAAAGAATAATCAGGTTCTTGATTAATATATTCTTGAACAACTAAATGACAATTGGCACCACCAAATCCAAATGAATTGATACCAATATTTACAATTTGGTCCTCTGGGAACACTTCAATTTCATTTACGACTTGGATGTGGTATTGATCGAATGGAATCTTTGGATTGGGTTGGTTAAAGTGGATACTTGGTACCAACATACGATTCTTTAACATCAGAGATGACTTGATGAGAGAGGCAATACCGGCAGCAGATTCCAAATGACCGATATTGGTTTTGAATGATCCAACTTTCAAGGGAAAGTCTTGTGAATGGTTACTAGTAAAAACGTTAGAGAGAGCTCCAACTTCGATTGGATCACCAACAGGAGTACCAGTTCCATGGCACTCTACATAGTAAATATCATTTGCAGCAAGCTCACTCTTCTCAAGTGCACTTGCGATATTTTTGGATTGTGATTCACCCGATGGTGTTGTCAAAGATGACTTGTCAAAAGATCCATCTTCATTCATATTTGAACCAAGGATGACTCCATAAATTCTATTTTTATCTTTTTCTGCTTGTTCTAATGATTTTAAAATCACCTAAACAAAACAAAACAAAAATAGATTAAAACAGTGGTTTGTTAGAATAATGAAAATATATAATTATTAATTATTTTTTTTTTTAGTTATATATTTTTCAACTTACAATTCCAGCACCTTCACCACGAACATAACCATTGGCATCGGCATCAAAAGTTTTACATCTTCCATCTGGATTGAGAACTCCTAGACTGGAAAAAGCAACACTGGTCGATGGGTCCAACAAGGCATTGACACCTCCACAGATGGCAACTTTACAATCGCCGTTGGCGATGGATTGGAGACCCAAAGAAACAGAAGCAAGAGAGCTGGAACAAGCAGTATCGACGGTAAGCGATGGACCACGGAAATCGTAGCAGTAAGAGATACGGTTAGATATGATCGAGGCATTGCTACCGGTCATGGCATAGGGGGATTGTTCGGAAACGTCCTTGTATTGCAACTTCATGTAGTCGTGGTTACTGACACCCATAAAGACACCAGTGTCGGTTCCTCGGAGAATGGTTGGGGAAATTCCAGCATCTTCGAGTGCCTCCCACACAAGTGTGAGCAGGATTCTTTGCTGGGGATCGATCAATGGAGCCTCTTTGGGAGAGATGCCAAAGAATAGACTGTCAAAACATTTCCATTCGTTCATGTTGAGGAAACCCCCATATTTATTATTAATCATATCAGTGTCATTGTAGGTAGAGCTCCAACGGTCCTTGGTAACAACAGATACACCGTCGAAACCTTGAAGCAATTGACTCCACAACTCTGTTGGAGTTTTGGATCCACCTGGCAATCTAAAACCAAGTCCTACAATGGCAACCTTGTTATTATTATTATTAGTCATTATTATTATTTATTATTATTATTATTATTTATGTTTGTTGTTTGTGTAAGTTATTAAACAATATGTGTGTGTGGTTGAGGGGGGGTATTTATTTAATAGATTTAAAAAATGAAAAAATCGGAAATAATAATGGAAAAAACTGGAAAATAAAAAAAAAAAGAAGTATTTTTAAAAAGTTCGAAAACTAAATAGTATGTGAAAAATTAAATGGAAAAATAGTATATTGGAGAGAAATGTGATGATTGAAGAGTACTATTTATTATTGTGTGAACAGATAACTGTGAAATAAAAATAGTATTTTTTTTTAAAAATTATATTTATAGAGAGAATAGAAGACAACGCATTTAATTTGTGCTTGAAAACGAATAAGAATGTGATGACTCCAACCCTGTTCAAACCCTAATCTTGTATTTATGCAGCCACTGTCAATTGACCAAATATTTTAAAGAAATAAAAAAAAAAAAATTAAAAAAAAAATTAAAAAAAAAAAAACTATCGTGCTCCACTGAAAATCTGTGTTTGGCATCTGCTACCAGCCAATTCAGAATGAAAAAAAAGACGGTTATCAGTATTCACTTCCTTTTTTAGATTTAAGAATTCTTCTCAAATAATCTGATAGGCTACGTATATAAACAGTAATCCATATTTTTGGTTAAAATATTGTCTATTGCAAACGATAAATAAAAGTTTTGAACCCCCCCTCTAGATTTTACCAACCCGTTTTAATCCCGATTCTCCAAATCCCTTTATCCATTAATGGTTCTACTAATTAATAAAGACGATGGCGCAATGACGGTATTGGAGTGTCTGCTGAGCGTGCTGAGAGGTTTATCATTTTGTGACCACTCATTAATTACGAACAGAACCATCTCCAAAACAATCTGTTTTACACTTACTAGACCATGGTTGAGATCAACTACTTCATTGCCAAAGGGTACTTTGTTGTTGTTGCCAGTGTCAAAAGAGAGAACCCTCCATTTTTTTACCCTCGGTTCAGACCACCAATTAGGAACACTCATCTTTTAGCCAAGGGGTGATGATTATTCATTCCTCAACCAAAGAGAGGAGAGTGTAGGGTGAAAAGCAATGGAGAATAATTTGATACAACAACTAAAAAATCGTCCAATTTACTATACCAATTTAATTTAGATGTTGCTTTTTCTTGTTCTTTTCTTCTTCCTTTTAGTTCATCCCTACCAACACCACTGTTTCTCCCTACTAGTTTAGTTTGAGAGAGTATATATAAATATAAAAAGTGTGATCCATTTAGTATCAAATGTATTTAACCACTTTTCTCCTTTTAATTTAAAAGTGTCGATTGATTGGGCAACTGTCAACAACAACAACAACACCACCACTTCTCCTACTAGCTACTAGCAGGGGCTGCTTCTTTTGTTTGTTGTCAGTTGAGTCAACGACCACAATAACTCTTCTCTTTTCCTTGACCCCGTCCATCCCAAAGAGGCATATCTTGTAAACATTTAGTCACACATGTCTGTCGTGTTTGTTTGATTCAAAAAGTTATTGTTGCTGCTGCTGCTGATGTGTTTGATGTTGTTGCAAACTACCCAATTTGTTGGTTCACGTGTGTTTGTTGTTATTTGGACACTCCCTCTTGACGACGTTCCTTGGTTTATTGGCAGTTTTGTCTGTTTTACTATTTTGGTTATTATTTCTTTTGTTGTTGCTGTTGTTGCTGTTGTTGTTGTTGTTGTTGTTGTTGGTATTTCAGTGATATATCTTCCCAATAATTATAATATGACTCTTTATTCTTCCAAAGGTAATATTTTAAATATCGATCCCATTTTTCCTAATTTAAAAAAGAATATATAAAGTTAGTAACAAAAACACTTTATAGCATTTCAGAGGGTAAGGAAGAAAGCAAAAGTTGTGTGTGTCTGTGTGGTTTGATCATGATCATGATAATAATAATGATCATGATGGATGATGATGATGTGTAGTGGTTGTAATGGATGGGGTTGGATATAGAAGTGATAAGTTTTCCGATGGATTTCATTTATCACTACCACCACAAGTTGGAATATTAAACTTTATCAATCCAACACATGGGTGTTGTGTTGGCCGATCAGATCAATTATTTTAATATTTAGATAAAACTAGATCCAATGGTGATGTATGGAATAGAATAGAATAAGATAGAATGGAAGATTGTGTGTGTGTGTGTAAGAGAGAAAGATACATACAGTATTTGTACTGATACAAGAATAGAATTTTTGATGTAATGTGAGACAGTTAAATGAAGCATAGGAACGATCGTTCTCACATTGTTTGAGTTCTACCAAATGCTCTGAACAGGAATCCACTACCTGTTTAGTCTTTTTGTCGGCAGTGACGATAGCATCAACCATTTTACATCTCTCATTGAATTGATCGGGATTCAAGTGTAGATAGTCTTGATAGAAATCTTTAAATTCATCAAACTCTGGTTCAGGGAATCTATATCGAGTCATTTCTTCCTTCTTTTTGATTTCTTCTTCTTTTGTTTATATAAATTACAAATATTAATACAATGAATGAATGAATAAATGAATGAATGAAAAGATAATGAATGATAAACTTTTAAAGCTAATACTGTGAAAAAAAAAAAGATATAATGGAGCTCTTCAAAATTGAGTGGTTTCAGTATCTAAGTTGTTATCTATTCTTCTAGAGAGAGAGTGCGTGTACGTATGAGTGTGTATGGTTGTGAGGAGTTTGTTGGATGGTTGAAGAATAGAAAGGTTAAATTAAATATATTATCTATGCGTAATTAAACAGACAACATCGCTTTGCGTGCATGCTCTGACGGGAAAAACATAATGTATTGCTCTTTCGTTCGTTTTCAAAATCAACATATATCGTATTCATTCAAATTATCTATCTCTATCTATCTGCTATATTAGTATTATTATAATTATATGAATACGTGTCGAACATAACTTATTGTGACACATCATGTTATTCAACAACATCACCAAATATATTAAATGCAATAATGGAGCAAACACACTCAATGCATGTTTTCTGAAATCAGTGACGACATCATCATCATCAACAACAAACAACTATAGATACAACAACGTCAGCAATGGGTGTTATTCAAGTACGATAGTAACATCAAATAATAGAATATACAACAATAATAACAACAACAGATACTATACTTCGTCACGACCCAAAGTGATGGTGATTGCTGGACCAACGGGTATTGGTAAATCGAGGATTGGTATAGAGATTGCAAAGCAGATAGGTGGTGAGATTATCTCTGCCGACTCTATTCAAGTATACAAGAATGTTAATATTGGGAGCAACAAGCTACCCGAGGACAACATACAACATCATCTCATCGATATTCTCGACGTCGGTCAAGAATATGGTGTCATACAATTTTACAACATGGCAATGGATGCGATCAAGGATATATTGAGTAGAGGCAAGGTGCCCATTGTCGTCGGTGGCAATGGCTTTTACGTCAAGTCGCTGTTTGACGGCCTGTCAGGCGCCGACGACGGTGCACCCAGCCACGACAGACTAGTGTGCGACGGCATCGAGCAGCGTCTGCGTTCAGAGAACAACTGGTACAAGATGTTGTCTGTTTTACGAGAGATTGACCCTGAATCGGCCGACTCGCTTACACGAAACGATTATCGTCGAATGGCCAAGTCATTCTACGTGTACTCGCAGACTGGCCAAAAGTACAGCAGCTTCAAGAAGCGTGACCCGGGGCCTGCCGAGACACTCTACGACTTTAGATCATTCTATGTGACTACGCGTCGAGACTTTCTCATGTTTTTACTCAACTATCGGTGCGAATGGATGATCCAAGACGGACTCGTCAAAGAGGTAGTCGACCTACTTCTCAACGGTATGTCACCCAGCGATGCTGCCGCACGTTCCATTGGATACCGTCAGTGTGTTGAAGCACTCCTCACGCCCATGGACACCCCCATCTCCAAAGACCACGCCACCAACTTCCTCAACGACTTTATGTCTAGCACCCGAGCCTACTCTAAGCGCCAAGCCATCTGGTTCCGAAAGTGCGAGCGTACCCAATGGGTCAATCTCTCACCACTCCCAGAAGAATCTCTCTCCATCTTTAACGGTGGTCAAGATCTAAGTAGTTGGAATCCAAAATCAAAAAACTCTGTTCCAACTGGATGGTCACCAATCTCTCCTCCATCTCCAACACTTTCAACTGTCGAACAGTATGTATTATGATATAGTAGTAGTAGTAGTAGTAGTAGTAGTAGTAGTATAGTAGTTTTTTTTTTGGTGACTTACAAAATATACTTACCCAATTATTTTAGTATTTTAGAACAATTTAATCAAACGCCAGAAGGATTTGAATCGGCAATTAATACAGAGGAATCTGAAGCTTTAAAGACCAACTCTAAACAACTTTTAAAGGTTTGCAAGGAAACCAAACACGAATATCTATTATTTAACCAATCGACCATACTTCCACTTGCCAAATTGATTCGTAGTGGACGACAATACATCTATGAAGCAAGACCAGAATTATTTACTCCACAACTTAACCCACATTTAAATGGAACTGCAACCAAAAAAGGAGATAGAATGAACCAATAAATCATCCAATATACATAAAACATATCATTCCTCTTTTCTTTTTCTTCTTTTATCTATTATTACACACTATTTATTATTTCGATCCATTGTTATTGCTATTGTTACCAGCAGCGGCGGCGGTATTATTATTTGCATTATTAGATTGTTGTTGTTGTGGTTGTAAATTAGCATTTTGCATTAAATCACTGATTGACTTGTCTAAATCATCGATTCTACTTCCCATTTCATCAACTAATTTGAAAAAGATAATAAGTAAACTGAATGAATATTATATGATGTTATCAATAACTTTTAATTCATACTTCTCTTTAAAATAGATTCTGACATTGTTTCAAATCTAGATTGCTAATATAAAAGTAAGGATGTTAGTATTTGTTTAAAACAAGCTTGTTTGTAACCCTTGAATAAGAGATTGCAGTCTCTGTATGTACCATTTGCTCTAAAAGTGTTTGAACGAAATGTGACATATCTTGAGAACTAGTGTCAACATCTGATGGTTGTTGTTGTTGTTGATTGTTGGTTGGTTGATTACTCATCTTATATCTGTCTATATATCTATCTGAACTCTTCAAATTGATATTACAATGAAAAATAATCTTGCCATTCAGGTGTTTTTCATAGTATAGTTCAAAATCAAATCTTTTTTTTAAATTGTTTAACAAAAAAAAAAAATAAAGGATATTTAAATATAATAATATATAATAATAATCAACAAATAATAATAATAATTTTCAAAATTTCTAATCATAAATAATATAAATTATAAATTAATAATGATTATTGTTTATTAAAAATAAATAAAGTATGAAAAAAAACCAAAGAGCTCAATTTTGACAAAAAAACGAACGAACGAGAGGGGACAAAGTTATATATTCTCTCATTGATTTAGTTTTTTATCGCTATCTTTCTATCTATTATTATTTTTCTATCTATCTTTGTACATATTTCAATAACAACACACAGAAGAAGAAGAAGAGAGAATGAATAAAGAAGTAGCCAAGAAACAGATCTTTGTCAAGAATCTTCCATTTGCATTCTCAAAGGATGAATTAGATACATACTTTTCAGATGTCGGACCTATCAAGCGTAGTTTTCTCATCAACAGACCCGGTCAGAACTCATCTACCACTGGAGAGGCTTTCTTGTGGTTTGCTCTCGACGGTCATGCTGAGAAGGCTGTCACTGAAAAGAACGGCACCATGCTCGGTGGTCGTAAGATTATCGTTCAAATTGCAAAACCAAAGATCGTAGAGAGACCAACCAAAGCAACAACAACAGCCACTGAAACTAAAAAGGATGGTGAAGAACAAACAACAACAACTGGAGCAGTCGTAGAAGTTAAAAAGGAAGACAAGAAAGCTGCAGCTGCAGCAGCTGCTAGCTACGTAGTAGAAGTTAAAAAGGAGACGGTTGTTGAAGAAGACCCAAAGGAAAAGAGAAAGAGATTGGCAGAAGAAGAAAAACAGAGAAAGGTAGAAGCTGAACAAAAGAAAAAGGTTGAGATGGATAACAAGAGAGCTGTCGAAATTGTCATTGTCGTCAAGGACTTTGTCTCGGACAAGAATGCTATTTGCGACCTCGTCAAACTTCCAAAGAGTCTTATTGCCAAGACATTCACCATTCCATTCTCCAACGGAGCCGTTCGTATCATCTGTCGTGACGAGCGTGCCTGTTCATCACTCCTCTCTGCCTTTGCAAAGACCAAATACAATAACAAAAAGATCATCTGTCAAAGAGAAACTCAATACTTGAAGCATTGTGAAATCATCCTTCGTAATCTTTCTGAAAGTGTATGAAACAAACAAATTGTTAATAATAATAATATTATTATTTAATTCGACCAGTTTATTAATTAATTAATTATTTGTTTATTTATATTATTTATTTTTAGGTTACAATGCAAAGATTAGAAGAATTATTTTCAGTACATGGTGAAATATTATTAATCAAGATGCCAACTAAATTATCAGCCACTGGAACACAAGTAAACAAAGGTTTTGCATTCATTTTATATTCGAGCAAGTCAAGTGCCGAAAAGGCATTAAAGGACGTAAACTCTACCGATATCCAAGGTAGACCATGTGCCATCGATTGGGCTCTTCCACAATCTGAATACTTGCAAATAGTAAAGAAAAAAGAAGAGGAATTGGCCAAAAAAGATAAGATGCAAGACAGCGATGATGAATCAGACGACGAATCAGACGACGACAAACCAAAGGGTACCGTCGATTTTGACAGTGACGAAGAAGATGAAAATAATCAAAAGTTTGGTGATAGTGATGATGAATCCTCATTCAAGGTTGGTGATTCTAAAATGAATGTCAAGGGATTAAAGAAAATGGATGTTGATAGTGAAGATGAAGAGGATGAAAATTCAGAAGATGATGATGACGAAGAACAAGATGATGACGAAGACTCTGACAACTCTGACGACTCTGATTCAGATTTGGATTCAGATGAAGAAGAGAAAAGAAAAAAAGATGAAGAAAAGAAAGAATTGGAAAAGAAAAAACAAAAGAATGGTAATTATTAAATATTTAATAATAATAATAATAATAATATCAAACTCTAATATTAATCCCAATTTCTTTTTATTTTTATTTAGTTAAAGAAATTAATGAAGGAAAAACATTATTTATTCGTAATTTATCATTTGATACAAAGGAAGATAGATTGAGAGAAGAGTTTGAAAAGTTTGGAGCGATTGAATTTATCAAGTTGGTTATGGATCATGCAACCAACCGTTCGACTGGAAAGGCATTTATCAAGTTTACAAAGAAGGAATATGCATCTGCTGCATTGGATTTTGCTGCCATTCAAACCGTATACGATACAGCTAGCGACAAGAACCTCAAAAAGAAGGATCGTAGAAAGAAGGATTCACTCGACATGTCTGCACTCTTACAGAGTGGTATTGTCGTTGATGGAAGAAATTTGATTGTCGATGCTGCCGTCGACCACGAAAAGGCTGGCAGTCTCAAGGACCGTCGTGCTCCAAAGCTCGACAAGCGTAACAAGAATCTTTTGGATATTGGTCGTATCTTGCCCGAGTCGGAGCAAGGTCTCGAATTCACAGACAAGGATTGGAAGATGCGTGATTTGGCCGACCAAGAAAACAACCACAAGTTCAAGGTCAATCCAAATTACTTTGTTTCGCCAACTCGTATCTGTATCCGTAACTTGCCATTAGAGGTTGGAGACAAGCAATTGAGTCGTGCCATCAAGCAGTTGTTGCCCGAGTCCAAAACCAAGGTTGTCTTGCACACCAAGATCGCCGTCAACAAGGAACGTATCACTGGCAGCGGAAAACCAAGATCGCTTGGATTTGGTTTCGCCGAGTTTACAGACCATCAATCTGCCCTCAAGGTTGTGCACGGTCTCAACGGCAAGATCGATGCCTTTGGCAAGCCAGACAAGGGACATCGTCTCTTTGCCCAATTCTCCATCGAAGACGCCAGAACCGTCAAAAAGAGAACCGAATTCCTCCAAAAGATCAAAAAGGTCAATTCGGACAACAAAAAGAAGACGAGAAAATTGATAAAGGAACAACGCGACCGTGATGCTGCCGAAGGCAAGGAAGTCGACAAGACATTGTCGCGTGGACAAAAGCAAAGAGAAAAGAGAAGAAAGCAACGTGAGAGTGGTGACTATGCCGCCGTCGAACAAGCTCAACTCGCCAAGGAACACAGAGAATTGCTCAGAAAGAAACGTGAATTAGAAAAAGAAAACAGAGAACCAGTCATTCCACAACACATCATCGAAAAGAAACGTGCCAAAGAAAATTCAATCAAAACAAATCCAAAGGGTGACACTACAAACTCTTCCTTTGACGACCTCGCTCAAAAATATGTTAAAAGAAATTATGATGACTTTAGTAAATCTGAACAATCTCAATCTTTACCATCAATTAAAAGAGATACAAAGAAAAAGAGATGGTATGAATAAATTAAAATTAAAATTAAATAATAAATATTATAAATATATAAACAAACCAAACAATCAAACAATCAAATATACAAAAGAAGAATCACAAGACAAGAAAGATATTACAAATTAAACTATTAATTTTTTTTTTATTCTACTGAGGATACTCATGATTCCATGCAAGTCAATGACTGATGAATTGGTTGGTGAGTATGATTGTTAATCAATCAATCAATTGTTAATCTACCACCATCTATCCTCCATTATAACCACCACCGTTGCCCCTTCCATAATTGTAACCACTTCCACCACCAAAGTTGTTTCTTCCCTGGCCAAAGCCTCCACCACCACAATATGCTGAATGGTTGATTGATAGTTCACTTGGTGATCCATTGGAACTTACTAGGTTGTCTTGGGAATTTGATTGGCTTTGGTTGATCCTGGAATAAGATTTGAAAGATTCTCTTCAAAGAAAAAAAGAAAAAAAAAAGAAAATAATTAATAAATGGAATATAAAAATAATATGTAAATACTTACTAAATAACATTGTTAAAAATAAAAAGATAACTGTTAATGTTAGGTATGATAATTGAATAATTTTTAAAGATAATTGGATAATTGTTTAATGATTATAATACAACATAGTTTACAAATATTTATAGTCACTTGTTGATTAAATATTTTAAAAAATCCTTCTAAAAATCCATAACCCCTTTTGATGTTTCTAGTTTTAGAAATGAATAGTTACTAATTTAAAATACCAAAAAGAATTAAAAAAGGTAGTGTTAGAAAATGATTGGAATGGATAGTGTTGAAATCGTAGTTTGTGTAGAATGGTTATTTTTTGTACATAAATAATAATCGATAGATTGCTTTGTGTTTATTAAGTTGGCCAAACATATTGGCCACGTTGCAAGGGTGATATCGTGTTTATTGAGGTAAAGCACCATTAAAGTTGGCTAAACAGATCAGCCATGTGGCCAATGTGGCTACACATTTATCCATTTCTACTGAATCCAGTTTGTCGACACCATCTCCTTCAGAGTGATGATACCAAAAATATTGAGTCATGTTTGTAAGCAATGAACCACCTGGAACACCAGCAGCCACAAGTGGATAGTTGTCAGTACCAGCTTCACCAACTGAAACTTGATCACTTCCAACACCCTTTAATACTTCGCCTAAATCAGACAATGCCTTGATTGTATTGTCTGATGCACCTTGCACACCGATTCCATAGGGTTGTGTAACACCTCCATCAGTCTCGATTGAAAAAAATGTTTCATTTGCATGTAATAGTGCATAATTGGCACCTCCAGCTGCTCCATTCTCTTCATTGGTCCAGGCAACCACTCTAATAGTACGACGTGGTACGATACCCAATGCTTTGATGAGTCTGACTGCTTCCCATGCCACCATGACACCTCCTCCATCGTCCATTGCTCCTTGACCAACATCCCATGAATCAATGTGACCGCCAACCACGACAACCTCGTCTGGTAGATCGGATCCAATGACATCACCCATCACATTGTGTGAAACGGCCTTGTCTGGGAGTGTTTGTGCTTCCATATACAAATTAACGACAATTGTCTGATTAAGATTCTGTAGTCCTTGCATTAAATCGGCATCTTCCAATGTAACGGCGGCTGCTGGGATGGTAGTGGTTGCCGTTCCACCAGTATGTGGATTACCCAACGAATAAGGTGCAATCGAGCGCACCAAACAAGCAATAGCACCAGCCTTGGCGGCAGCAGTTGGTCCATTTACTCTATATTGTACCGTTGTTCCATAGTCTGTAAATACAACGTTAAATAGTACAATCTTTCCAACTGCCAACGCTGAATTATTTGTCAAATCATCAAAACTTGTTACAACTAATACTTCTCCTGTTATTCCCTAAAGTTAAAATAATATAATATGTTAGAACAATGTAGATGTACATGTGATCGACTCTACTTACATCTTGACTAGTAGTATTGATTGAACCACCTAAACCAAGGATATTTAACTTTTTAAAGTATGGTGATTGAATGGAAGCATATTCATTGCCTCTGACCCAATGTGTCACATTGACAGGTTCTTTGTGTACATTGGCAAGTCCATCAGTGATCATCTCTTGTTCCACCCAATTGATTGCATTTTCGAGTGCAGTCGATCCAGACAATCTATTACCAAACAATGCACACATGGTAGCAATTCTAGAATACGCCAATGTACCCTTCATCGTTGCATCGATAATATCCTTTGAATAACTCTCGCATTTGTATGAAAGATTATCTGTTTTGTTTCTATGTGACAATATAACTACTGGAATGACAATAGTAGCAACCAACAATAAAACTACTACAATCAATAATGTGTAACATCTCCAATTTGATTTCCATTTCTTCTTTCTAAACAAAAAAAAAAGAGACAAACAGATTAGCACTTTGATATACTTAGATAGATAGGGTTATCTATTAATATATATTTATATACATACGCTCTCTCAAAAAGAGATTCAGAGTGTTTATTTGGATTAATATGTTGAGGTAAAAGAAGATTATGTTCGATTTCTTGTTCACCAAGAATAGAGTATTTAACTGAATCTATCATAATTCTATTGTATATATGTATGTACTAGTACAATCTCTCCTTCTTCTTCTCCCTCTGATCTAATCTTTGAATTAAAGATAAATAACTTTGTTGTCTTTGTTGGGTCGGTTGAAAGAATAATAAATAATAAATTAAAAATAATAAGAAGAATTTTAAGATGTTTCTGTTTTGATCAACGGACAATCTTCAAACAGATTTTTTTGTTTAGATATCCCGAATGTTGTCGATTTTATATATATATACAATTAATTAAGATTTATTCTATTCTAGAGATCTATGACTACGGGGACCACAAAAAAAGAGGGAAGTTTAGTTTAAGCACCTTCCTTTGAATCCTTTTCTTTGGATGGTGTATCCTTTTCTTTTCCATCCTTTTCTTTTCCGTCCTTTTCCTTTCCATCCTTTTCCTTTTCAGATTTGTCCTTGTCTGCAGTCTCTTTTCCTCCTCCTCCTCCTCCTCCTCCTTTGCCTTTGGCAGCATCTTTACTAGTAGATGTTGATGGTGCTGGTGCAGCAACGGTTTGAGCTGATTGAGGAATAGTTTCTGCAAAGTATTCTGGTTTTCTAATGTTGAATCCATAGTCTTTCAAACCTTGAGAGAGATCATCCATTGTCAGTACCAACGACTTTTCCTTCTTTACCTTTTCACGTGTAGGTGCTTGTTGTCTAATCTTACAGTACTGCAAACTATCATCTGCAACACTTGATATAAACTTTTGAGTTGCCAATGATATCAATCTCTTTCTACAAATCAAAAGTAAAGATATATATTAATCTCTTTTCTCTATCTCTATCTCTCTCTCTCTCTCTATATAATTCATTCCATACATTCTAATATCGTTACATTCAAAACCTGTTCTCTGTAAATAATAAGTTATCACTTCATCTGGTATCTACAACAATCAAGAGTATGAACAACAAACATATGATTAGTTTTTCTCTCTACTAATCAACATTGAACAAACCTACAGTTGGTACATAATCTTCCAATGAATTGATGAATTCATCATAATCTACTTGATCTAAATCCATAATACTATATATCTAGACAAAGTAATGTATTTAATGTGAGACTTTAGTCACAACTATAGTGAATGAAGATTGAAACAAACAAGATTCGAACCCAAAAAAAATATATTAATAATTTTTTTTTTTTTATTTGGTGTCTCGTGGGATGATGATATAGAGAATGATATCTATTTAAATTGACTATACAGACTCTATACTTATACAAGAACAGAGATGCTCATTGTCATGCATGTGATGGTCTATTCGGCGATGATGGTCCTAAGGGAGGCAATGGCAAAGATGGTTGGGGGAGATCGGATCACCCTGCTTCGTACCTCGTTTGATTTCAAACGGTTCAGACAGTACGTTGTTGACGATGGCGCGGACCATAGAGCCGCTCAAGAGGAAAAGGGATAGGTTGACCATGACTGAAGGTATGCCAATATGGATTAGCGTATCTCTAATTGCCTCATTGGATATCGAGTCAAAGGCCTTGTGGAAATCGTTTAGGGTAATAAACCCTGATTGTCTGGTGCGATTGTTATAGTCGATCACTTCTAGTCACAGATTTGTATGCATTGCTGTGCAACTTACCAACACATTCAAAGTTCAAGTATGTATAATGGTTAAAAAAGAGACTAAATACTGATCACTACCCAAAGAATTGGATGATGATCTCAATTCAAATCTTTCCAATGATTTAGAGTGACATCCTGGATAGCAATCGAGATCAACTATACAGGGATTGAAGAAAATCACCCCTGCTACTTATAACCTTTCAATTTAATTTTTATCGAGTTAACTCGTGAGTATCTCTTTTCTTCTAGCATTTGCCCTGAGAGAACAAGTTTCGTTCGTCTCTGTATGGTCGCAGATTAATCAAGTATGCAAATTGGCGCTCGTGTACTGTGGTTTGTAAATTTTGGGTCTCGGTCCAAGACCAACTTTTTTGGTACGCCATGCATGGTCTTGCCTGACAGGGTGCCATTTTCAAAGGTACCGAAAGAGCTCAGAAGAATACCTGGAACGAGACCAATCAGACTTTAATCAACCGCACCAAATGTTGTTGATGAATTAATCGAATCTTTTGTATGGTTGATTAAAGTCTGAATGAATCGGTCACTTGCCTTTGTTTATTAACTTTGATTAACAAACCGTATGTATATTCAAATATAAATAATAATGATTTCCCCAACACATTAATTTTCCTTTCTTTTTTTTTAGTTTCCAAGCATCATGATTAATTTGTTGGAATTAAATATTTATTTGTTTAAATATTTATTTATTATATTTATTTATTTATTGATCACTACGTTGATCAGCAATCTTTAGAGAGGAAATGTTTGAAACGGCGTCATCGATCTTGTCACTGTCTGGCTTTTCGAAAATCTCTTCAAATGTCTTTGGAATCTCTGCAATCATGTCCAATGTGATGGTGGATCTACGATTCTTTTCAAAGGCATTGTATGCACAACGACGAACAAATGTACAACCGGCAAATGATGCCAATAAAGTACTTGAATAATTATTATTTACATTGTTGTTGGTGGTGGTGGTGATAGTATTGTTAATAGACGACGAGGAAGAGGAGGAATGAGAGTTATTTTTTTCATATAAACAAGCCCAAGCGTACATTGTACCAATAGCACCTGCTAAAAGGTCACCTTGTCCACCACATCTTCTTGGCATTCCATCACTCGAGCATACAACTGTTTGTTTTCCATTGGTAATTATATCTTCTTTTCCTTTTTGAATAATTGTTACATTTCCTAAACTAAAAAAAGGAATAAAAAGATTAATTAATTTGTTATTGTTTGTTTGTTTGTTTGTTTGTTTGTTTGTTTGTTAGTTTGTTTGTTTGTTTGTTTGTTTGTTTGTTTGTTTGTTATTAACATACTATTCTGATAGTTTCTCTGCAGATAGAGTAGATGATGATTCAATATTCAATTTTGATTTGACAGTATCTGACAAACCCTTAAATTCCATGACATTGGGTGTGAGAATAACCTTTTGATTATTTTTAATTATATCAAGATCATTGCAAATTAATCTAAGTGCGTCCTATTTGTTGTACAACAAATGGAAAATAATTGATTGATTAATAAAGGTAATATATAGTTGATTGAGTCGTATACATACACCATCTAAAACCATTGGTAAATCGATATCTCTGGCAGCTTTGATGACTTGAGTGGCACAACTCCAAGCACTAGCAGATCTACCCAATCCAGGACCAATGATCAATACATGTATACTGAGCAACCATGGGATAATATCTGATGGGTCGTATGATTCGAGTGGATGAACAATCAACTCTGGACATAATGTTTTGATGGCAGTGGCAGTACCACCCTCTGTTGGAGCAAAGATGTGACATATATCAGATCCAATTCGAAGTGAACTGATACCAGAAAAGTATGGTGCTCCTGTATACTCCTTGCTGCCTCCCATGATGGCTATTCTACCAGCTTGTCCTTTATGCATCGATGTGCATAGTGTTGGTATATATTTGGTGAAACTTTCAATTAAATGTATTGCTGTTGAACTGTTCATTCTGGATATCTATCTATCTAATCTATCTACTATAACTCTTTTACTATTACTTGATCATTGCCTTGTTAACAACAATGAAGTTGGGCTGAATCGATTTCTTTCAATTTTTAAAAAAAAGGAGGGAAATCAAACCAACTCTGCATCAATCTTGCCGTTACACCCCTTCATCTATTTTCACACACTGTCACTGATTTCCTAAGTCTCCTTTTACCCATTGTCCATTCCATTTAGTCAATTGGATATTTAATATTAAAATATCATATATATATCAATTTATAAATATATAATATTATTTTATTTTTATTGTCCTTTATCATAGTTGCATAGTTTATGTGATGATTATAATCATCATATAATATGGATGGGACGAATAAATATCGTGATATGATAATAGCTAATTAGATTTAGATTAGATTTGGTTCACAGTGACACGACATCCACACCCCCTTTAATTTAGGTTATTAAGTTTGTTTGGCCTGGGGGACACAAACAACCGACTCGCATCATTTTTGATTCGACTTTTACAGAAGTTATTAACTATTATTTTCGAAAAGAGAATTATATTAATTTATAAATATCTATAATATATTTATACAACCAAACCATAGTTATAATAGAAGAATGGATATAGAATTCAAATTTACACCTGTATTAAAGAGTGCAGTTGATAGAGTCATCATTCATAGTCAAACATTGGGTATTGACAAGGAGCAATTAGCGCTACTCGAAAGTTTCATAAAGCATTCAAAACCGGGCATACCATATGCTCTCATTAAACAAATATCAACATACTTGAAACAAATATACAATACAACAACTAATAATACTACCGAGAATGAAAAGAAACAAGACAACAACAACAATCCACCATGTTATTTACAAGATTTATTAAAAGGTTCAACTGTTTACATTCAACCTAAACCAATTGTTCAAGTATGTTATCGTAGCTTATTAATTGTATTCTTGAATGAGGAACTAATTAGATCTATTGTCTATTTATTTATATAGGAATCAGCAGAGATAACAGCAAAGAGAATATACTTACAAAACAAATTAGAGAATCAAAGATATGATAAGATGACAAAGAATGTTGGTGTAAAGCAAGAAGAGGATCCAATGGAGTTGGGTGATTTCCGTTCGCAATTGTCGATCGGTGTCAATATATTGGTCACCTTTTTCACATTGTTGGCATGTGGTCTGTTTGTTGGTGGCAAGTATTGGGACAGTTATCTCATTGGTCTTGCTTTTGGACTTGGATGTGGCATTGCTGGTGTCGCTGTTGAAACATGGCTCTACGTTATCAAATCCACTGAATCACAAATGAAAAAGACAAAGGATGACAAACTAGACGCTAGAAAGAAGTTTATCGAAATTAGAAAGATAACAAGAGAGATTAAGAAATCAAATGAGAAACCTTTATTAACTGCTGCTGCCGATTCGCCGTTGGATGAGCACGCCATTGCATTCTCCTAAACTAAACAAACAAACAAAAGTAAGGGAGGTTTAAATAATATTAAATATTAAATATTATTAATAATAAATAATTTATTCTCAAATAAGAATAATAATTTAGAATATATATGTCATTTATATATACATAGTTCTAAATTATGCATTATTTATATTTATTATTTATTATTTATATTTATTTTATGGATTGAAGAAAACTCCAAAGTCTCAAAAGAAATGAAAATAAGTTTTGATATTGTCCTATTCATTTTATTACTCTCGATCGAAGGTGATAAATAATATATACTACTACAAACATACATACAATATAATGGACCACTCTGAAGTTGGAAAGAGAAAGAGAGGAGGCGAAGAGGAACAAGGAGGAGGAGGTAGACAGATGGACAGAGACAACAGGGATTATGGTCGAGGAGGATCATATGACAGAGGAGGTAGAGGTGGAGGTGGTGATCGTTACTATAATAATAATGATCGTAGAGGAGGAGGATACTATGACGATAGATCATATAATAATAATAGACGCTATGAAGATAGACAACAACCATATCGTGGTGGCGGTGGAGGATACTATGATGACAGAGATAGAAGAGATTATAATAGAGGAGGAGGATACCATGACAACCGTGATAATAGAGATAGAAGAGATTATAACGATCATTACAACAACAGTAATAATAATAGATACAACAACAACAATGACAATAGACAACAATCATCTAGAGATGGTAGAGACAATAATAATAACAACTCGAATCAACAATCACCACCATTACAACCAGCAGTAGTATTACCAGTAGTACCACCAAAAGATCCAGAACAATTGGAAAGAGAAAGGGAAGAGGAACGAAAACGTGAACAAGAAAAGTTGGAAGAAGAGATGAGAAAGCGTCGTGAAAAGGTGGAACAATGGAGAAAGGAGAAGTTGGCAGCTGAAGAAACAAAGCAAACATCTGCAGATGTCACATCTATGCCTCCTCCAACAGCCGTTGCAGCAGCTGGAGCAGCGGCACCACCAACAAGCAAATGGAATTTGGAAGATGAAGATCAAGAAGATACAAATGCAGCAGCAGCAGCCGCAGCCGCAGCAGCAGCGGCAAAAGCAGCGGCAGCAGCATCATCAAAAATGGAAGAAGACGATGAAGATCCTCTCGACGCATATATGAATCAACTTGCCAAAAAAGAATACCAACAAACACAACAAAAACAAGAACAAATCAAACAACAAAATGAACAATTACAAGAACAACTTAAACAACAACAAGAAAAGAATGAAAATGGTGATAATACAACAACTGTTGCAATGGATACAGCTGCTGCATCTCCACCAATCAAAACAACAATTACTATTGGACCTATATCAATACCAAAGGGTGAAGTTTTAGGAAATGATGGTGAATTGGATGGTGAAGAGGAAGAAGACGATGATGAAGGAATAGAAAATGGTGAAGAAAAGGAAGTTAAAAAAGGAAAGAAAGAGATCTTGTCAACTGATCATTCAAAAGAGGATTATATCGAATTCCAAAAAGACTTTTATGTCGAAGTGCCAACACTATCAAATATGACAGAAACTGAAGTCAAAGACTATCGTTATGAATTGGGTGTTAAAATAACTGGAAAGAATTGTCCAAAACCAATTCAAACTTGGGCTCAATGTGGTTTATCTGATAAAATGTATGTAAATATATAGATAAAAAAGAGATAGAGATAATAATAATAATACAAAGATATATTAATATTTATTTTATTCTTTTTATTTATTTTTTTGTTTAGACATGCATTACTTAAAAAATATAATTATGAAAAACCAACAACTATTCAAGCACAAACGATTCCAGCAATTATGAGTGGACGTGATATGATTGGTATTGCAAGAACTGGGTCTGGTAAGACATTGGCTTTTCTATTGCCAATGTTTAGACATGTCATGGCACAGGAGAAACCAAAGCAAGGCGAGGGTATGGTCGGACTGATCATGTCGCCAACTCGTGAATTGGCATTGCAAATCTACAGTGAATGCAAAAAGTTTAGCAAGATATTGGGATTGCGAGTGTGCTGTGTGTATGGTGGTGCCAACATTGGTGAACAGATTGCTGATCTAAAGAGAGGTGCTGATATTGTAGTGTGCACACCTGGACGTATGATTGATATTTTGTGCGCCAATAATAAGCGTATTACCAATCTCAAGCGTGTGTCATTCCTCGTGTTGGATGAAGCCGATCGTATGTTTGACCTTGGGTTTGGTCCACAGATCATGTGTGTCATTGATAATGTGCGACCGGATCGTCAGACGGTCATGTTTAGCGCTACTTTTCCCTTCAAGGTGGAGCAAGTGGCGAGAAAGATTCTGACACGTCCACTCGAGGTGATTGCCGGCGGCCGAAGCATTGTGTGCAGCGATGTCGAGCAGGTGGTCGAAGTGCGACCTGAAGAGACGCGTGTCAGACGTCTTCTAGAGCTGCTGTCGGCGTGGTACCACAAAGGCCAGATCCTCATCTTTACCAACAAACAAGACACGACCGACAATTTGTACAAAAACCTAAGTATCGCCGGCTACCAGTGTCTGTCGCTACACGGCAGCAAGGACCAGACCGATCGTGACGAGACCATCTCGGACTTTAAGTCAAAGGCCAAGACCATCCTCATTGCCACACCGTTGGCGTCGCGTGGGCTCGACGTCAAGGACCTCAACCTGGTCGTCAACTTTGACTGTCCCGATCACTTGGAAGACTACGTGCACCGTGTCGGAAGAACGGGGCGTGCGGGCAACAAGGGCACCGCATACACCTTTATCACACCCGAAGAGGAGCGGTTCGCGCCGAGTATCGCCAAAGCGCTCGAGCAGTCGGGCTCCAAGGTGCCCGATGAGCTCACCAAGCTCTGCTCCGACTACCAAAAGAAACGGTCCGAGGGCAAGGAAGTGCTCGTTGCCGGCAGCGGTTTCCTCGGTCGTGGACACAAGTTTGATGCAGCTGAAGAGGCCAAAAAGAAGGAAGAGAGAAAGAAACAACGTCGTGCATATGGTATCGATGAGGATGAGGATGAAGATGAGACTAAACCAACTCTTGAAGAGGTTGCTACTCCCCCTCCCACTGCATCTACAACCGACTCGCCAACCGGTGCTACAACATCGACCACATCGCCAACTGGCACGACTGCTACCACCACTACGACAGCAGCAACCGATACAACAAGCACGGTTTTGGGAACCGACCCAACCATGTCTGCTGGTCAACAAGCACTGTCACAAATTTTCGGAGGCAATGCGCCACAGATGAAGGCAGAGGATGCCATCAAAGCACTCCAACTCGCAGCTGCTCAGAAAGCACAGAAAATGCAACAAGTTGCTCAATTGGCAGCAGCACAGGCAGCAGCATTGGTCAATGCCAACTCACCCGCCTCCTTTAACGATGATCTTGAAATCAACGACTACTCACAACAAGCACGTTGGAAGGTCACTCACAAAGACTCGTTACTTCACATTACAGAAATGACCCAAACTGCCATCACCACCAAAGGTACTTTCTTCCCACCCGGCAAAACAGTACCAGCCGGAGAAAAGAAATTGTATCTCTTTATCGAAGGTCCATCAGACGCCCAAGTTAGAACTGCAAAGACTGAAATCAAAAAGATTCTAGAAGAAGTTCATCTTATTTCTCATAATGAGAAAGGAAAATATTCTGTCTTTTAAAATCAAACAAAGAGACAAGAGAATCATTGGTATAAATCAATTATATTATTTATAAATATCAAAAGATTTAAACAATAAATGTGATAAAGATGGTGTTAACATTCCTGGTACCAGGAATGTCCTGAAAACTTAAAAACAAAATTGATGAAACGACACCTATACGGATGACACTTTTGATTGGTGAAAACAACACCATTGTTAGGTGAAAAAACACGAGAAAACAATCCTATCTCCTCTCGTGCTTTGCAACACCCACACATTCACACTTTATTCATTCGAAAAAAAATTAATATTATTATATTATTGTTGGTGTTTAAATTTGATAGCAATTCAATTGTTTTATTTTATTCCCAAATAAATATATTGCTTCATTCTTCTTGACAAACAAATAAAAAAGAGAATAATACTATGTGAATACAATGATAGCTAGTCCAACTACCAATTCACCTATCCAATCATCTCCACCATCTTATCTAATGGAGATGATTAAAGTCGTCAACATTTCACCTAGAAAGAATAACAACAGTAGTAGTAGTAATAATAGTAATAATAGTAGTACCAGTAATAGTTTCAACAATAATAATAATAGATTACCTCATATTTTAGAATACAAAATATTAGATCACTTTTGGAATGATACAATTGTAACTGATAGTTCATTGTTTAGTGATAACAATAATCAAAATCAAAATCAACAAACAACTAGGAATAATAATAATAATAATAATAGACCTCTAACTGAAATAATAATTCATTCAAGTAAAAAAGATTTAATGGATAGTTCATTGGTTTGTTGGAGATGGTTTAATCATTTATATAAATTATATAGTACATCTCCTTCTTTTGTTTATGGTGATGAATTATTTTTAGATGAGTCAACCAATAATACAAATAATAATAATAATACAAATATAAATACAAATAACAATTTATTTAATCAATCATGTAAATTTAAACATTATAGAATTGATCATTATTGTGATCAATTTACCGACGATTCACTTGTACATTTCAACGATGACCAAAGAAAACATTTGTTTTCTAATTTAACCAAACTCGATATATTCAACTACCTCTTCTTTGATGGGTTAAAGATGCCAAATGGAAGAAGGTCACTACCCGAGGGCTACGCTAAAAAGAAGGCGTCATCGAGTAAATTGATCAATGGTGCTGGAACTGACAGTATCATCCTATTCAAAGCTAATTTGGCAAAAGTGATTGGAGATATGGGCAAGCCATTACAATCGATTAGTTATATACACGACAAGGAGTATCTTGATCAAACATTGGCTCAAATGATCAACGAACCAAAATGCTACCAACAACTACAAAACTTATTTGTATTTGCATTGTTGCCATCAGACATGGTGATTGAAAAGGTGGAATCGTTTATTCGATTGGCATCAAATACTCTTACTAAATTGGTTGTAGCACTTTGGATACCGATCGACAAGGTTGAAGCGATTCTTCAACTAAACTTTCCACATCTCTTGGAACTTGGGTTTGGCAAACATGACTTGTTCAGATTCCCCTTTAAATTGGTGAATCGACATGCAGCACTTCATACCTTTTCATTTCATTCTCAACAAGACTATAGAGGTAGTGTGTCGGGTGGATTAATAGACTTTTTCAATACTACAACGATCGAGTTTCTCAAAACTCCCATGTTGCATGCTTCCGAATACGACTGTCTCGTCAACAACAAGGCAATCAAAAAGTGGGAAATGTCAACTCTATTCTCCAACGGACAGACCTATGGATTCAAACCATCACATCTCCAATACCTATCACTCAAGATATACTATCCAACCGTGTCGATCAGCTTCAATATATCCAACCCTAACAACTCACCAACACAACTCACCTGTTTAATGGTAGAAACAAGTCCAGATTCCATACCAAATCTCTTGTCATTCCTACCACTCTGTAAATCTCTAGAAACTCTTTCAATTAAAACATATATAGAAAATAGAAAGAAGAAATCTCTAAAATCAACTCCTTTTCAAAATATGGTAAATATTAAAACAAAACAAAAAAAACGAACAATAATAATATGATTATTAATTTGACAAACTCTTCTGTTTATTTATAGATTGGAGATAAAACATTTTTTGATTTGCTTTTAGATTATATTCCATCGTTGAGGTTATTACATATGGATAGACATTCATTTGATCTACCATTATTTAATAACCTTGAATCATTTTTTGGCAATCATAAAGAAATCCAAGTTGTAACATTTGATTTTATTTCCAACGATAGTATTCCATCGGAAATTCAATCGAAATTGTATCATCCATATTTTAGAATTATAGTACAAACAAAATTTAAATATACTTTTAAAAAAGAACCTATTACTACTTTACCTAATCCATTCATTCAACAACCTCAACAACAACAACAACAACAACAACAAAATATAATTGAGGATAATAATAATAATAATAATATTAATAATATAAATAATGTTTCATCTCCGTCATCATCACCACTACTTTTAGTTGATATTAATGGAAATGGTAATACTTCTCCTCCACCCTCCCCTCCCCCTACTCCTCCTTCTACTCCTACACCTGCTTCACAAACACAAAGTTCAAAATGTATTATACAATAAAATTAAATTTTGTCCTTGTCTCTTTTTATTTATTTATTAAATGTACAAAAGTATGAATGTTTGTAAATCTTTAACCATTTTTAATTAAATAAATATGTTTATTAAACAATGTGACAGGTGGACTCAAGCTGCCTGTCTGTACTACTATACATTAAATAGTTATGAATTGATCAACTCCTACCCACTTTTTCCTACCTCATTCTTAGTAATAATAATAATAATAATATAAATAGTGATTCATCTTCTCCATCTCCCCTGTCTTCTCTTCGAATGGACTGACAATTTAAAGATGGTTGTATTACCTTTTTTAATCAAAAAAGAAAAAATTAAAAAAAATCGACCATTTTATGTATTCATACATTGACACTTTCAGTTGTTTGTTTCGATAATTCATCATCCATCACGTGTACATTAATCAATTCTTAACTATATTTTAACCATGGTGTATTACATAGTTAGAGAGAGTTAAGTTACTCTATGCAGATTCAATTATCTATTCAACCAGATTTCTTATTAATACAAATATGAATGAATCTACAATAATACGTCACCAGACAGCAAATACTCTCTAGTTTTGAGATAGATTAAAAAAAAATGGAAAAGAATAAATATAAGTATAAGCTCTCTTTAGCTGGACTAGCACCAAGTTTATATGTGTACATTCATATACAGATATCTATGTATAGATCTATCGCAAGATCGACCTCTCAAGATAAAGAAAGAGTATGTATAACCCTACCCAATCATCTATATATACATGACCGCGATCAAAAATAATAGTAAGAACAATTATAACATCAATAATATCAAAAATATTATTAGTAACAATTAAAATTGTTACTACAACAATAATAATAATAATAAATTACAACAACAACAACAACCTTAAACAACATTCTAAAACATTTCTAAAACAATAATCTAAAACATTCTTTTATTCTCTCCAAATTTGCAATGAATCAGAAATTTAAACAACAAGATGATATCGCAATTGTCGGTATTGGGTGCAGATTACCTGGTGGCTCAAGAACACCACAACAATTCTACGATCAGTTACTCCAAGGTCTTGATGGTATCACAACGTCGACACCAGACAGATGGTCGAAATCATTCAGTGATCAGAATTTCATTAACACTGACAACCAATAATAATTATTTTTTTTTAAATCCGATCACACTACTTTTGATACTCTCACATATATACTTTCAAACCAAATTAAATAAAACTTTATCGATATCATTTGTTTCCTACTCGACGATATGATGGATCCTCGGTGGTTTCTTGGACATGAAAGAATGGACTCATTTCGACCGTCACTTCTTTATGTCACTCACTGCCGAATCTCAAGTGCTGGAGCCTCAAATACGTCTCTTTTACACCATTGTTTGGGAGGCTTTGGAAGATGCTCGAATTGATCCAGCATCAATGAGAGGCTCCAATACATCGGTATTCATCGGTCAGATGTTTGAATCTAATTCTCCAATGCAAACACACGACATCACAACGATGAAGCCGATTCTCAGGGCCGGCAGGTCAGACACTGCGCTCGGGGTAGCCTACCAATATGACTTTCGTGGTCCTGCCTACTCGATAGACACTGCTTGCTCGTCATCGCTGGTTGGAATTCTCCAAGGAATCGAAACCATTCAAAATGGTGAAAGTGACGTTTCGATCTGTGGAGGCATGAACTGTTTCATCGAGCCAACCGTCTCTATCCACTTTTCTCAGACCGGATTGGTTGGAAAGGGTGGCAAATGCGCTTCGTTTGACTCATCAGCCGATGGATATGTTCGTAGTGAAGGTGTTGGTGTAGTTGTTCTCAAGAAACTATCAAAGGCTATCGAGGATAATGACAATATATATTGCGTCATCAAAGGTGGTAATTGCAATGCCGATGGTAACTTTGAAAAGACATCCCCAACTGCTCCATCACACGCTGCACAACAAGTCAACACTAAAACAGCACTTGCCAAGACAGGACTATCGCCATCTGACATTTACTATGTCGAATGTCATGGAACGGGAACACCCATAGGTGATCCACTAGAAGTACAAGGTATAGCAGGTGTATTTGGTCAGTCACACACCAAAGAACAACCACTCCGAATTGGTTCGGTTAAAAGTAACATTGGTCATACTGAGAGTACGGCCGGTGTTGCTTCGATCATTAAATGTGCAATGATGCTAAAGAATAGAATGCTCATCAAGAATATCAACTTTAAAGAATTAAACCCAAAGATTGATCTGTTGGATGGTAAAATCAAGATTGTATTGGAGAATGAACCTTTACCAGATAGAATCATTCGAATGGGAATTAATTCATTTGGATTGACCGGTTCAAATTCTCATATCATTATTGAAGAATTTAAATGTCAAAATAATTCAAATAATGATTCAAATGGTAACTATATTAGTATAATATATTCTTAAATATTCTAGTTTTAATTAATTTAATTTAATTTAATTTAATTTAATTTAATTTAGATTCTTCTTCTTTAGTTTTAGATTATTTAATTCCATTTTCAGCAAATAGTCAGAAATCATTGGATTCATATGTTGATATGATCAAGAATAATGTTGATTCATATCGAAACAAAATGTCATTTGAAGATTTTGTTAGACATCAATCACAATCGACCAATCATCCAGTTTGTAAAAAGTTGATTGTTGCCAAAGATTGGGATTCTTTTGAATCAGCAGCTACACTAGTCTATGAAAAACAACAATCCTTTGTTTCAAGCATGTCTCAATTAAATAAGGCAGTAACCAAACCAATTGTAATGGTATTTTGTGGTCAAGGAGCACAATGGAGTGGTATGGGTGATCAACTATACCACCATTACAAAGTATTCCGTGACTCGGTTGACCATGTCGATCAATTACTCTATCAACACTATCAATATTCAATCATGGCTCAACTCAGACAAAGCAATGAAAAAGATATTCACCATCCAATTCTTGCTCAACCATCAACCTTTATCATTCAAGTAGCTTTGGTTAAATTATATCAATCTTTTGGAATTGTTCCATCAATCGTTGTTGGTCATAGGTAGGAAGAAAATGAATAATATTAATTTAACAAATTAAATGATTGATATATTATTAACATCATATTATATTTTTATTTTTATAGTTTTGGAGATATAACGGCAGCATGGTGTTCAGGAATTATATCTTTGGAAGAAGCTTCAAGAATAGTTTATCTTAGAAGTGTAGCTCAAAATATGACTATTGGAAGTGGAAGAATGTTGGCAGTATCATTGACATTTGATACATTCAAAGAGAGATTCCAACAACAATTACATAAGCCATCACAATATGACTCTATTGAATTGGCATGCTATAATTCGGTTGATTCAATTGTATTGGCAGGTGATGAGGAGCAACTCGAACCAATCAACCAACAACTCAAGAATGATAATATATTTAGTGCATTCCTCGGAACACCATGTGCATTCCACTCAACAAAACAAGAATCAACAAAAGAGTTTATATTTAATCATTTGGATAATAATATTAAATATGAATGTGATCGACCAACGATTCCATACTTTTCAACAACCACATCACAATTAATCAAATCATCATCTGAATTTAATGCACAATACATTTATGATAATCTTAGACAACCAGTATTATTCCAACAATCAATTAATAATATCATAGACTATACAAAGAACAATGGTCCTTTGCAGGAATATATTTATTTAGAGATTGCACCACATTCAACTCTATCATTCTATTTGAAAGCATTATTATCATCATCACAACAAAAAGCAGCAACCATTTTATCACCATTGAATAGAAAAAAGGATCAGGTTGAATCAATTCAATCATGTCTATCGCAACTCTATTTTAATGACGCCAGCGTTGATTTTACAAATCAATTAATATCAACGGCAGGTGACAACGGATGGAAGGATAGAACTAGATACTTGCCAAGATATCAATGGGATGCTGAATATTTATGGTGGGAACAACCAAAGTTTAAAAAGATTAGATTGGAAGGAACTTCAACAACATTGCTTGGTATCTGTGACGACCAACCAATCTTGGCCTTTGAATCAACGATTGATGTTGCTCGACCATCGTATCAATATTTAAAAGGTCACAAAGTCAAAGGAAAATATCTGTTCCCAGGAGCCGGTTACATTGAAAATATTATCAATGCATTCCCAAACAAAGATATTCATATTCACCACCTCGAATTTATTGCACCATTCTTTCTCAAAGAAGGAGCACCATCGCGATTGAAATCATCATTTATTTCATCATCATCAACCGACTATCAGGTAGTATTCCAATACTATGATGACAAAGTATCGAAATGGATCAAATCATCAGTTGGAAGATTGTCAATCACGACCCCTTTAATAACCAAGAATCTTGTCGACAAGTATGACAATGTCGATAAACTAAAACAAGAAGCATACAACATTGCAACAATGACACAAACAGACGTTTATCAAAAATTGGCCAAAGTAGGATTGCTTTATGGTGAAACCTTCCGTCGAGTCAAACAAATATCGTTCAGTCAAAGTGGTTCGATTTTATCTGAAATTGAATGCAAATCTAGAAACCATTTTGAAGAATCAAACACAGTTTTGAATGCATCTGTATTGGATTGTATTCTTCATTCCAATCTTGTTCAATTCAAAGGTGAAGGGAGTCAGTGTGAGTTGGTATTTGACAGAATCGAAGATTTCCAAATCTCGTCCAACAATATACCTCGACACCCTTGTCAATCGTTATTCAACATTGCAAAGGCATCACTAAAGATGAAAGAAAAACAACAAAGAGGAAATGAATTTAAAGGATCGATTGATATCATTGATCACGATGGAAACATTATTATCAAATGTAGAAAGATTGTTTGTACATCTTTGACCAAGGTTGTAAAAACTCACCAAGCCAAACACCCATCAAAATTCATCAAACAATCCATTTATCAACCAAAGAATTCTCCATCTCCTCCTCCTCCTCCCCCAAGTTTGTCTTCATCGTCTCTCAATGTTTTTGAATATTTGGAAGGACTCGTAAAGTCGTCACCTTCAACCCACAAAACCCTAAGAGTATTGGATTTTATTCACAATGAATTCATATCATTAGAGATCATAAGTTGTTTTAGTTACTTGGTTACCTTAAGAGGAGACATTATGATCGATTTTATCGCACCAACCAACAGTGTTATCTCGATGGACCTCAAAAGGGATAACCTGTCTGTTAAATTCTATCAAGATTACAACACATCGTTCACATTAAATGACCAGGGTTTCCTTTCAAATAGTTGTGATATCGTTTTGTCAACAATCGATCTTGTACAAAACAATAATTACCTATTATCGGAACTATCACAACTGTTAAATCCAAATGGTCAACTCGTTTTCATCAACAATAATGATAATGATTCACCAGATGAAAATGATAGAGAATCGTTCATCAACAACAATATCAAATCAGCTCAACTCAACATTATTCTTCAACAGCCAACAACGATCAACGGACCAAAAAGCAATCAAGTCTTGTTAATTTGTCAAAAATCATCAATTGAAGAAACTGATATCAATAGATATGATCATTTATTATTCATTACACCATCAAGTTCCTCTTCCTCCTCTTCCTCCTCAAGATTGTTAAAAAGATTAATTGAACAATCAAAGAAAATTCAGAATAATATTTGTTTATTTTCAGTTGATGATATTATGGATGAATCTAAATATCAGACGTTATTGGATTCCATTTCATACAAAGATGGTAGCAAAGTAGTAATTATATATTTAGAATCAGTGGAAGAAATGAAAATTGATAATTTAGAATTAAAATCAATGCAACTCATTCGACTACACCAAATAATTAGAAAGGAACAACTACCAATCACATTAATATCATTAATATCAAGTCAGCTGAATCAATGTTTGATTCCAATATGCAGAGAATATGAACGTCCTTCTGGACTATTCTTATTTGACTCTGTTTCAATGATTATGGATGATCAATGCACCAACCAAATCTCGCTCTCTCAAATATTAAAATTTGCCAACCATCAACATATTGGAGAGAAACATGTCAAATTGGACTACATCAACAATTCCATTCAATTATCTACTGAAAGATTCATTGAAACACCAAATGCATTGGAATTGGATCAAAGTTTCATTATTACAAACAAACAAGAGGCCAAAGTCAAATTTGAAAAAGATAGCCACTATCATCTAAGACCAAAGGTTGAGATATTAAAAGACAATCAAGTTGAAATCCAAGTCAAAGCTGCTTCAATTAATTTTAAAGATTTAATGATTTTAGAAGGTAAATTTATAAACTGTCAATAATAGTGGTTATTTAAATATTAATTTTTAATTATTATTATTATTTTTATTTAGGTAGAGTAGATCAAAGTTTATTTACTTCTGGTGATTTGAATGATCCACCTCTTGGGCAAGATTGTTCGGGCGTAATCACAAGAATTGGCTCAAAAGTAACTAAATTCAAAGTAGGAGATGAGGTTTGTGCCTATACATCATCGTTTGCATCGTCAACACTGACAAGGGAAGATTGTATGGTTCACATTCCCAAAGGCATGTCATTCACTCAGGCAGCATCTTTACCAGTGGCAATGGGAACAGCATACAGTATATTGTATAAAAGAGCACATATTGAAACATCGGAATCAATTCTTATTCATGGTGCAGCTGGTGGCGTTGGATTGGGAATGTTAAACCTTTTAAAACACGGTCAACATAGAGGAAAGATATTTGTGACGACTGGCTCACCCGATAAAAAAGAATACCTAAAACAACAATACGGAACCTTTATTACAGCTATTCTATCGTATGACAACTTTACGCAACCCATTCTAGAAATGACACTTGGAAAAGGAGTCCACTATGTAGTCAATACGCTCGACTATTCAAAAATGCATGCCAATTTCAAGTGTCTCTATAAAAATGGAATTCTCTTTGATTTGTCAGTTGATCAATTCTTCCAGGTCGATGATATTGCTACGTTGCATTCCATTACAACTCGAAATTTATTCAATCTCACACCCATGTAAATGAATTGATCGCCAAGGGACTAGAGCTACCCCCCTATCAAGACTTTTCCATATCATCAAATCACCGATGCATTGGATTATGTGAGATCAAGAAAACATATTGGAAAGGTGGTGGTTGACTTTGAAAATGTGGAAACAGAACTGTTGGAACCAATGTTGTCGGAACCAAACAAGAAACCAATTGAAAGATTGAATTACAGTCTCGATGGTATCCAAGACACTCTTTTAATCACTGGTCAAACTGGTGTAGCCATTGAATCACTTCAATATATCATCAAACATTCACCCAAACTACGTGATATTATCGTTGTCTCATACTCGGCACCAAAATATGAAATACAATTATTGGACAATGACATTAAAACAAAATATAAACACCTACAACTGCATTACTTGCAATGTGATATTGGAAATTACAATCAACTAGCTTTATCGATTCAACAACTTTACCAGAGACATTCAAACATAAAACCAGTCAAATCAGTTATTCATTGTGCAAACAACTATGTCTTTTCATTGTCTGACGATTTGACGATGGATGTCCATCACCAAGCACTTTCGGCCAAAGCAATTGGAGCTTGGAATCTTCACACTCTATTTGAACGGTTGGATTGGAAGCTGAACCATTTCCACACAATGTCATCGATTGCTCAATTTGCAGGACGAGAAAGCTTTAGTTACTCTGTTGCCAATGCATTCCTTGACAATTTGGCACAATATCGTCGTAATCTTGGATTGCAAGGCACTTCTATTATCTGGGGATCGATTGGATCGACAGGAAGGGTTGCCATTGACAAGGGATCAAATGAAGGACTTTTGTCTGTTGGTTTCGATATTATGCCTCTTCATAGTGTCTATGGTATTCTTCGTGCATGCTTTATCAATGATCACACTCCATTTACGGTTTTACAATGTACATCATTGTCAATCAACAAATTTGTTTCAGCATCGCCAAACCTCTCTCATCTCTTTTGTCTTATGTCCAATGTCATTCCAAAGAACACCATCCACAATAACCTGTCTGCTTCTCTCCAAGATAATATAGAAAACAAGATTCTAGAATTCATTTCAGAGACCCTGTCAATTGAAAAGCACCTATTAAGCGGTGACACCAAACTCAAAGACTATGGTGTAGACTCGATGATTTCCATTCAAATTAGAACATGGATTGAAAACGAATTTAAGAAATCCAATTTTCTAAATCAAGCCCAAATATCAAATGGAACAATCAACTCTATCATTGAAACTATAAATCGTAATTTAAAGTCATAAATAATAAATTCTTTAGATTGTTTGTTTATTTATAAAACTGGAAACTTTAATGGATTGTACTTGTGGTGAATTGTTACAGGTTTTCTTCGATATGCACTGCCAATAATATCATTTACCAATTTTAAGATGGTTGTATTTCCTTTTTCTCTTTCTTGTTGATCAAACACTAAAATGTTTGGTGATACATACACATCCGATATCCAAACCGTTGATGAAAACCTTTTGTAAAATAATGATTTGTTGAGTTGAATATAGACTAAAAATTCTTTACAGTTCTTTATCACTTCTTGGATATTATATAATGATCTATTCCAACAAATTATATCACTATTATTATTATTATTATTATTATTATTATTATTATTATTTGTATTGATACTATTATTTTGATGGAATAATAGTCTGACACAAAAGTCAATGGTGTTTAAGAGTCGTTGAACGAGATTGGTAATGATAGCACCCATAGTGGATCTTTCAGAAGTATACTGTTTGGCAACTCTTTTAAAAATATCCACATTGATACTGACTTTGGCACCTAGTAACCAATATGGCGAGATGGTTTCAAAGATTTCACGGTCAGAGGTAGACAATGCAGTAAACACTCGATCGATCAAATCCATAGATGAGCAAAGCATTAGTTGTCGGTGGAATCTGGTTTGTTGAACGGCTGGATACTGGTGCAAAGGTTTGGTTTGGTCTACCAGATCCACCAACTCGTACAGTGACTGATTAGAATGCTCAAACATTCTTTCGAGATTGAGTAATGTCAATTTCAACCGACCAACCGACCAAACATACTTTAACATTGCAATATAGTTGTTTATAGTATTTTGACTTGCATCTCTTGTCAAAATATAGTCTAGTTGATATTGCTCTTTACGATCACAATCAACCTCGGCATGACACTCCAAAACATATTTAAGTATTTCCAATGATACATCATTTTTTAAACAACAATTAAATGCATGGTTATAATCAAACTCTACCATATTGTTATTGTATTTGTCAAGTACCAAACCTTTAAAATATTTTAAAGTATCAATATTATTTGATTGTACAATTGAACCAAATAACTTTGATTTGATTGGTATTAATATTGGTTGGTTTGATTCTTTGGTTGTTGTTGTTGGTGATCGTGATTGATTTGGTTGAATAGTAACCTTTTCAGAGTTGAAAAGGATATCTAATAATTTGTTTGATTGTATCTTTGGATGAATTGAATCCACCAACCATTTCCCATCATTATCATTTGGTGACAGTTTATCCAATACCATTGAAATAGTTCCCAAAACCATTTCTTTTTGTATCTTTTCTTTCTCTTCGATTTGATTTAATATTTTTAAATTCAAACATGAATTTAATGTTTTACAATTAGTTACTTTGTTGTTGATTCTATTCAAAATGAGTTGAATACATTCTTGATTTCCATTCCAAATGGCAAAGTTTAAATGTGATCCTGTAACGATTGAATTATTACCACCATAATTTGTTAACAAATATTCCAGTAATACCAACTTTGAATATTTAATACATTTAAATATTAAATCATCCAAATTAAATCGATATAAATTAAATTCCTTTAACATTTGTAATGTTAATATGATTAATTCATCCGTTGATGTAGACGAAGAAGATGAAGTGGATGAAGAAGAAGAGGATAAAATATTCATATCAAGTCTATACAATTTAATTATATGGTTGATTAGAGTATTACAAATGATTGGATGTCGGAACATTAATTTAGTGAGTTTTGAACTATAGTTGAATCCCAAGACATTTGGATACTTTTCGTGCAAGATGAATGCCGTTTGGATGATGATTAGGAGTGACTGCATGTTTACTCGGTTGGCTGATTCTTCTTGATCGCTTAGTGGTCTTGGTTGTCTGCCAGATTTAACGGTTGAAATAATCTTGTATCGGTAATGATAGTTTGATCTTAAAAAGTTCTTGCATAGTTTGGGATCAAAGGTGGCGTGGATGGCGAGATACCTCAGTACCAGAGGATTAGCCAATCTTGTTGCAGTGTTCCACAAACTACCATAGCTTTTGGTGTCGTTGAGATGTGATGGCATAAGCAGGTTGGTGTTTTTGAGAAACAAGTCACCTCGACCGTACCGTACAAAGAGGTCAAGTGAATAGGAGAACTGCAAGTCGTGTGTAGACATTGGGTTGATAAAGTACTGATAGACGAGTGTTCTTCTATTGTAAGCGTCGCTCACCTCGAAACAACAACCTTGTCTCGCGCCATCTTGGTGTCTCTTTCTCTGTTGATTGTTTCGACTGATTCGATAGTCCATCATACACGCCACATTAATCCATCTAACCAATTCAAATATCCTTCTCTTAATCACTACATTGTTGGTAACTAATTTAAATAGTGTTTCTGTTGATGAACTATTACTATTACTAATCCCACTACTACCGCTAGTCGATGACACTGTATCATAGTCACATGATGTTGATGTCATAATGATCATCATTCTCCTTCCTTCCTTCCTTCTCTCTCTCTTTCTATCTGAACAATACAATAAACTTAATATTAATAACTACATCTTTCCTCTCCTCCTCGCAGTCGAACAAAGTAACAATATTCAATAATAATAATAATAATCTGAAACCATGGTCGTCGTCCATCTGATCTTTGTGGCGGTTTGATTTTTTTCTCCAAGGAGATAATATCCAAAGTCCGCCTCTCTCTCTCGTCTATATCAGACATATCTGTATCTACTATTCTCGATTCCTGCACTTGGGCATCATCTGATCATTCATGGGTGAGCATGATTCCATCTCTCTCTTCTCTCATTAACACATTATTAGTTGAACGACGAAGAGAGTTATGAATGAAATCATGTTGAATTCTCTTTAATGAAAATTCCCAATAATCGTTATTGCGTTGGTCAGGCAACAATGAATAGACACCATCATGATCATCCAACTGAATCAGCAGATGATGTGTTAAAACCCCTAACCGAAGGGTATAAATATCTATTCCAAAAAGCAGTTTTTTGTGAAACTAGAGTTAGCTAAAAGTTAGAAACAAAAAGGAAATCAATGCCAACAAATTCATTATGCTCTTTAAAAGCTCTTAACCCATCTCATCTCTCTGTGTATTTAAATAGCCCCTTTTAATAGATATTTATAGAAAGAGAGTGATCATACACCCAAGCAAACTCTATAGATTGATCTAAATAGAAAAAAGAAAGAACAATCTAGAGAGCACACTCAATTTTATCTGCAGTTTTATATTGAATACCATCCTCTTAATCATCTAGTCGTCGGCCCTAATATCTTTGACTACGAATCAAAATAGGTTTATCCCTCCTTCTCAATCAACATCATATATATATTTTCACCAATCATTGTAATCTATCTAATCTATTTGTAACACTTAAACTTTGTAAGTTGGTCGATCTGATCATTGATCGAAAATTGTGAATATTAATATTAGTATCTTTTAAATTTAGACTATATACTATCTCTTGTACATACAGACATGTCTCAAAATAATAATAATAACAACAATAACAACAATGAGCATGGAAAGGTATTCTCATCTGTATTTGCTTATTGGGACACAAAAGATAAAAGAGTGGCTCAATCACAAAGATTAAATGGGTTTATGAGAAGAGCTCCACCACAACAACAACAACAACAACAACCAATAAACCAAAATAATAATAACAATAATAATCAACAACCAACACTTTCAGCAACTGTTGTAAATGAAGGAATTGTTGTTGTCCCTCAACAACCACAACAACAACAACAAACCTCACAATTAGTTCCTGATCAAGCATCTGCTCCCATTCAAGAACAAGATCAAGTTCAAGAACAAAAACAGCAAGAAGTTGAAAGTAAAGTTATTGAAATTAAACAAGAACAACAACAACAAGAACTTTTAACAATACCAATAGCTCAATCATCAACTGGATATTTAAATCAATTACCATTAACATCACCAGATAGTGGCAGTGGTAATGATGATTTATTGGTTGGTGAAGAACCTCTTCGTAGTGGAATCACAACCTCTAGTAGATCAAACTATGATAATTTCAATAGTGCTCAACCAGTCGTTAATCCAAATCCAGATGATTCAAACATTGAAGATATGGTAAAGAGAGATTCAGAGTTGTCACAGCAACCAACCCAATACGGATCTGCCTATGGTTCTGCCTATGGATCCGTATATGGTACTGGTTATGGTTATGATACCGGTGACTATACAGACGATGGAGATTTGGGTGACACTTATGATCCAAATTTAGAGCGTGACATTTCACAAGAGAAAATGTTATTGTTGGAGATTCTTTGTGAAAGAAACTCACTCTCTTATATTTCAGGAGGAGATCATCATCACTTTGATGAAATTCAACAACAAAAACTATTTGCAGAAGAAACATCCGATCTTTTGCATCATCAAAAAAATTTATCTCAAAATATTAGCTCTACATTGGCCAATAAGGGTTATTCAACTCCATCAGATGCTGGTCTAATTAGTGATAACAATAATAATAATAATAATAATAATAATAATAATAATAATAATAATGTACCAGAAATTAAATCATCAACCAATTATTATGTAAGTTCAGCTTTACAACAACAAAGTAATAATTATTCTCATCCAAGAGCATTGACTGAAGGTCGTGAAACACCATTCCCAACCTCTGATGAAGATGTTCTGACCAGTTGGAATAGTCAATTCCAAAGACTTCAAGAAATGGATGATTGTTTGGAAAAGTTTGAAAAACTTTCAAGTTTAGAATCTGATTTTGTTTATGCTGCTGAATCGTATGTTAAATATATATTATATTATATATTATATTATATTAATTAATTGTCATATTATTAACACTCTCTTTCTCTCTTTTTCTTTTTCTATTTCTTTTAGATATGGTAGAATTATTATTTCAGAACATTTACTATCAAATGAATTAAAGACAATTAAACCGGTTAGTGTTGGAGGTATTGCAGGTGGAGAGAAATACATTGTACAAGGTATTTTGTTCAAGTTTGCCGTTGAAAGTGATACCTATGGTTTGTATGGCTCGGATGAGAATGCTGCCAAGACGGCTGCCCATGAACTCAATGGATGTACAGCCTTTTTGAACTGTGGTATCAAGGGTCTTCATGTACCACTCATGGCCTATATTGACTATCGTGGTTTTAGATTGATGGCAATGTCTCTGCTACCAATCACCAAAAAGACTTTGGTCTATGGATCAAGTGATGCCGGTCAAACTGTTCACACATCAAACACCATGTTTAACCATTTGTTCACATCGGCTGCCAAAGTACTCAATCTCAAGCCACACGTTGTCGAAGACTCTACAGGCGGTGAGTTGCGTACCATCTATGGTCCCATTGATATTGAAGGTCATGTTGGTACAGACGGACGTTTCTATCTTTTAGATTACGCCCGTCTTGCACCACCCGAGCCACCCGTTCACAGAGGTGCCTATCTCTACCGTCATATGCGTCTCGAGTTTGTGCGTATCTATGAAAAGGCTCTTTGCAGTGACGCATTCTCTCCCATGACCCCCATTGGCATTGAATTGCACAATGCAGAGGCCAACGAGGCCTACACCTTCCTCAACACCACCATTGTCCCCAGAGTGGCCAGACATCTCAACAATATGGACTCTAATCACATCTATGATATCAACTTTGCCAAGTTAATGCACAGCGAAGGTCTCAATATCCGTCTGCTCGGTAGTCTTCGTCGTCTCTCTCCCAAGCTCTCCACCAGACATTTCCTCATGAGAGAAGCAATGACCAGAACACTCAAATGTCTAACAAGAGAATTATTAAGAAGAGAAATGAAGAAAACTCATTTACCTTCTGACTATCCTTATAGAAGTAAGTAAAAGTAACATAGTATATAGATTATAGTTCCCAATTTATTAATTAATTTTATTTTAGAAATCATATTAAACTTTTTAAATTTAATTTTTGGAAAGAGTGATGGTACTAAACAATTCTTGAATGATATATTAAAGGTAAAGATGGAAAGAAAGTTTAAGGATCTTTTCAAGAAACCATTGTATACTATAGCAGACGATGAAGTGGATGAAGGTGACGATGGATCAAAGGTACTTCAATTTGACTATGAAGTCGAGGAGAATCCATTCGAGTGCTTCTTGGACTCTGGTGCCTTTAGATTCCAAGTGTTTAAAGAGTATACTCAGTCGATTGGTGTTACCATCTCTTCGCAATGCAAGGATGATTTCAAGAGAAATTCATTTATTACATTTGTCGAACCAGATATTTTGGACATGTCGACCAAGATTACTAGACTCAACCTTATTGACTATGCCGATGGTATGGCACTCTACTACAAGTCGATGCTCTTGGACAAGGAAAATAATGCACGTAACCGTTTGTTGTCCATGTCACGTGGTCGTCTAGAGCAATCCTTGTCGTCAGTCTCGACAAACTATGCCGCCGTCTTCCAGTTGGGTAATGTCATTCGTTTGATGGCCCGTCTTGAAGATGGATCCCATCGTGCTGAACCCTACAAGTTGGCCGAACGTACCTATGGATCGTTGGAGAAGCTTCGTGTCGAACAAAACCTACTCTACTTTGCCAAGATCTACAGAGGCAAGACGATTGTTGAAAGAGCCAAGTTTGAAGCCTTCTCGACCGAGACCTACCAAAGTTCCATCACAGTCTTTGAAGAGGCCGAGGCACTCACCTCTAACAAGGCAAAGGCCAAGTATTGCAAGGGTAGAGCGTATGCCGCCTGGTTCAAACACGACGAAGACGCCAAACAAAACCAAGAAAAGTTTGATAGAATCATCGATACATTCAAATCGGTCTTTGTCGACGAGCCAAATCATGGAAAGGCCTATTTGGCACTTGGAGAGACCTATCTGTTGTACCGCGGTTTCCATTCATTGACAGACGATGAAATCTCGGAATTCTACAACAAGGGTCTTTCTATGAACCCAAGATTGATTAGAAGTCTCAGACCATCGATTAATATCCGTCCATGGATGTTTTTCAATATCTCCAAGACCTCCAAGACCATGAAAGAGTTGGTCACCCAAAAACTCAAAGAGTCGGAAATCCTCAAGGTGCCAAGCAGTGTTGAATTGGGTGACGCAGACTTTGACTATTTCTCTGAACTTCAACCCAGAAAAGTTATCTTCCAGACTGGTAATGAACCATCATCCCGTCACCTTTTAAATTTCTGTCGTCACTTGTCCAAGTTTAATTTCAGAGAGACCACCTTTTATGAAGAGTCCTTTTCGTTTATGGCAAAGATCTCTACACTCACCTCTATGAATCTCGGTAATACCAAGGGTATCAACGACCGTTGTATCCCAGGTCTCCTCGTCCCCACTCTTCGCAAGCTCAAGTTGTTTGGCAATGCCGATCTTAACGACGAGTCACTCCAACTCATCTGCGACAAGGTGCCAGACCTCGAAGTACTTGATCTCACCCAATGCGCCTTTACCAGCGACGTTATCAAGGAGATTTGCAAGCTCACAAAGCTCATCAAGCTCGGTGTCCCCAAGACTGCCACCTCTGGAATTGTCAAGCAACTCTTGCTCGCCTTGCCCGCCCTCACTTCACTCGATTTGTTGGAATGCACCAACGTTGCCGATGAATTTTACGGAGTTGCCTTTACTCACTCTGAATCGCTCAAAAAGGTCAGAGGTGCCGACTCATTCCCATACTTTTTATTCCAGACTCAAGTCTTTAACATTCAAACACCAACACTCCGTCCAGAGTTGAAATGCAACATGGGTCCAGACAAACACAGTCTATTCTCGATTAATCTCAACGTCTTTGGTGTTGCACCCAATGTCAAAAACATTCAATTCTTCTTTAACCGTGCACACTCTTTCGTCAAGTTCCGTAGTCACTTGGCCTTGCAATCACGTGCCAACAATGATTTGGTCAAGTTGGCCAGTTTCATGATCTCTGAAAAACCATTCTTTACCGTCAACATTCAAAAGATTGTCAATCTTCGTGACTTTGCAGTCTCGGACAGAAACTTTAAGGTCCAATTTACTGGAAACATCACCAAGTTTGAACTCATGTTTAACGATACCAAATACCAAGTAAACTACACCACCCAACCAACCATCCAAGGTCCAGCCTTTACCTGTACACTCCACCAAAACAATGACCCCATCATGATCATCTCCAACACCAAGTCTATGAAAATGAGTATAGAAATCACTATCAAGAAACCAATTCTATCTCATATCTTTGCTTTCTTGATGAGTGTTTGTCATCCTTCTGTAAACAGATAAAAAAAAATCAAATAACAAATAAATAAATATTATATATAAATATCTTAAAACCCCCAATATTTGATTACTTAATAATATCTTGCTATTTTCTTCAAATTGTTTGATGATTTCCAAAACCCATAACGATCAGACAATGATGATTTTAAACAGTGATGTGTCCGATAATACAGTATATTCTCTTTTGAGGAAAGGGACGTTATTTGGAAAACAATGAAGACTCCATCATCTAATCTCCAATTGACAACATTTCGTCGATACAAATTAAATAAGCTACAAATAATTAGATACCCTTCCTTTTTGGAAATTTTATTTGTGATAAGAAACAGAATGAGACCTTGTGTTGAATACTATATTTTAATATAAAGAATTAATAAAAACATAAATAATAACTTGAATGAAATTAATTTTGAACAGTAAACAGCTAAACTTTGCTCAGCAAACAGCTTCCTTTTTATTATTTTTTTTCGAAAAATAATCAACGCCATGTATCGAGTTCAAGGATTACCTCCTCACGTTCTACCACGACGGGAGTCATTTGAGGGAACCCGAAGTCAAGGTATTAAAATATATATAATTAAAAGTTAACATATATATCTTCAACATTTAGCAAGAGATCTTGTCATCGTTTTTACTAAAGGTATTAAAAATTACTTTTAAGATCACTTTTAGCAAGAAATCGAGGTCATAACAGTCGCAAACTATGTCTATCAAAAAATCTAGGATACCAAGTTAAAAGCTACCAATGTAATAATGGTGGTTTGTGTACTTTTAGATTGCTACGGTCAATAGATAACGATCTAGAAGCACACAATCCATCATTCTTGTACATTTGGATATTTTTAAAATTAATTTAAAACAAATATCAGAGGGGTATGTATGTACATCCTTTAGTTTTACTTATAGCTACTTTTGTTCAAAACAGATAATCAAAAAAGAGAAACAAACGATGGAAGATCGAGAAAGATCACGAACTGATCGATCAACGAATGAATCTAATACTACTACTACTACTACTGCTGTTGTGACACCAACCAAGAATGCAATAAGAGGTTTCATATCGGATATATCTGATAAATTGATTGGAGCCAAAAAAGATGATCTAATTTCTTCACCTTCTCCCAATATTATGTCCCCTCCTACTACCATTAATACAACATCAACAACACCATCACCAACAACAACAACCAACTCATTATCATTATCATCAAGTTTGATTACACCCATATCCCCTCCTCCAAATCCTTCTCCTTCTACTGCCCCTCCAATCGACTCTAGAATTCAAGCTATCGAGAAACAAACTAAACTACCACGTCCATCAATCTCTGAAAGATCTAAATCTTATGCTAGATTGGATGAAATTCTTCAAAACATAAATGTATCGGCGGTAGAGACAGACACTGAAGATCCCAATACATTTAATAGTTTAATCTCAGAGGAGGAATCATTCAAATCAGAAGGTTATTCTGCTCTTTCTAGAAATGAATTGCTTCGAGTACAAAATGAAAGATTAAAGAGTATGCTATTGTTTCTTTAAAAACAAGTTATCATTCTAATCATCAATTGATATGTTTATGTGTAGGTGAAAATATTGATTTAAAGAAACAACTGAATATCATCATTCATGATAATGGTGAACAACATGAAAATACATTATATTTAAAATCGGTGATCCAAGAACAGGATGAATTCACCATGAAGCAAGATTCTGTGGTTCAAGAACTAAAAGCAGGATATGTATCGACACTAGAGAAACTCATCAACGATGAGACTAAATTTCAAGAGGATAAAGAGAAATTGCTAAATGAAAATCAAAGTCTTAGAGATACTATAGATATTTTAGATATAAATGTACATATCTAAAATTAATTAAAATCGTAAAAAGACATCGATAATCTACAATGATTTATTAACTATAATTATTTATTTTTTGTTTTAGGTAATTGATTTAACAAGAGAATTAAGAAAACAAAAAGATTATTCAATAGAAGCAGTTGTACATAGATTAAAGAATGGAATCACTCCAAGTGGAATAGAAAGGTTAAAATCAATACAAGAAAAGGAGAAATTAATGGAACAAGTAGCAAAGCTTTATAGTTTGGATTTTAATGATGATCCACTATTCCAAGTTATCATTTATTTTAGAGTAAATATTATTATATTTTTCAATCATTCCATTTCCTTTAACTAATATAAATGGTCATTTACCATTATATATATATATATATAGAATATATTATCATGGAAATTATTTATTAAAATGTTGAGAAACAATTATGATGCATTGGAATATTATACTAGTTATTGTAAAAAGTATGAAAAGTTTGAAGACTTGATAAATATCTACAAAACAATTAGGAATCCATTAGAAGAAGGTTTATCAATGGTCAAACAGGCAACCACTGAATACAAGCACGATACTACATCACAAATGATGATATTAGAGGAAACATCCAAATTCTTTTCCTCTTTTCAACATCTATCTTTTTATCAAGAATCTCTTTGTATTTATTTAAATTCTTTAAAGAATGGTGTAAATTTGAGTGTATGTATATTTATAAGATAAAAGATTTATTTATTTTAACCTAATATTTACTTATTATTAAACAAGTTGGATGTAAATTTGATTAAATTGTAAACAACAATTTAGATTACAATGTATTATTATTGGAAGAGTCAAATTTTTTAGTAGCTATATTATAATATTATTATAGGTGTTATCCCATTTCAACCAATAATATATATTATGATATATTACAGAATAAACATTTTCCCTAAACGATTTACTTTGTCCATAAAATATATGTAACTCTAATCAACCTTTTCAAAGTTAATTTCATTCAAGTTATTATTTATGTTTTTATTAATTCTTTATATTAAAATATAGTATTCAACACAAGGTCTCATTCTGTTTCTTATCACAAATAAAATTTCCAAAAAGGAAGGGTATCTAATTATTTGTAGCTTATTTAATTTGTATCGACGAAATGTTGTCAATTGGAGATTAGATGATGGAGTCTTCATTGTTTTCCAAATAACGTCCCTTTCCTCAAAAGAGAATATACTGTATTATCGGACACATCACTGTTTAAAATCATCATTGTCTGATCATTATGGGTTTTGGAAATCAAAAAAAACAAATGGTCAAACCCAGCAGGAAAAAAGCAAGATATATATATTAATATTTTTTTAAAAGTGATTAATCAAAATGTTTATTCGCCCATTCTTGTAAAAATTCTTGATGTTGTTGTTCCAACTTATTTTGGAATGCCTTTACTCTATCGATTTGTTCCTGTTTTAAATTATCATCTATTAAATGTTTTTTCCTTTGTTTCTAGAAATTAAAATTTAATAATTATTAATATTGTGTAAATAGTGGCTGACTATGAATAACATATTTATATTTATATTTATATATTTAACATACTTGAATCTCTTGATAATTTGATTGATAAAGGAATATAATATAAAAGAAATGAAAACTGGAAAAGTCAGGCCATAAAACATTTAAAAAGTTGGTACCACTAAAACAAGTTTGCCACAACATGAAATCACTTAATCTATATTCTCCACTTGTTCTAACTAGAATATCCAAATCATCTGGTATATATAAACATTTTTCAAATAATTCTTGGTTTATATCCCTACAATAAACCAATTAAACGTGATTAATAACAATTTTTTTTAATATAATATTTATATTTTTTTATATTTCTATACATACTCTGGTAATAATACATTATCTTTAACAGCATTTGAAATAGTATTCATAGAATGTAACATTTCATTGTGTGAAGTATAAGACATACAAACATTGAGAAGAGCACGAGTATTGTGTTGCGTGGCCAATACGGCTCTTGCCAAGATTGATTTTGTCTTTTCGGGTATATATGATAGATCGCCGACCACTCTGATACGAATGCCCATCTTTTGAAGTTTGTGTGTCTTGCTAATCATCTCTTCAAACTTTTTGTTTGCCAAATCCATGAGATACTCTACTTCTTGTTTTGGTCGTTTAAAGTTCTCTATTGAAAATGCATAGACCGATATAATCTCTACACCAAGAGCCAGTCCCCATTGACAGAGATCCAACATCTTTGTGAATCCCAATTTATGACCTTCACTCGTTTCAATGTGTAGTTTACGTGCAAATCTTCGATTTCCATCCATAATCACACCAATATGTTTTGGTATTGGTCCATATCGAAGTAGATTACAAAAGAAATTAAAGTTTGTCAAGTATATCCAATCACCCAAATATCTATATGCTTTTTGAAACAAGCTCAATGATGATATTTCTCCAGTTTCTTCTATTACTGCTTCTTGTAATTGTTGTATATTTGTTGAAGTTGTAGTTGTAGTAGTTGATAGGTCTGTAGTAGTGGTGGTAGAAGTAGAAGTATCTTGTTTCTTTTCCTTTTCAGATTTAGTATTACTTTCAACTACTCTATTTGATTTTTGGTCTATTGTATTATGTTGAATGATAAGTGATGGTTTATTCTTCTTTTTGGTTGTACTTGACATTCTTTCTATTCCTATCTTGTTGATAGTTTATACTACTACTACTACTACTACTACTACAATGATAATTATCTATCTATTTTTGAATGACTCGACAAGAGGTGTGAGTCACATGCACGAGTGAAACAAACACGATTAATTAAAAAGTCAAAATTGTTTAATATTATGACTACGATTCTATCTGATTTATTAATAAATATTTATATTTATTGTCAGTTGGTCGGTCGGTCGGTCATATCTCTTGATCAGAAGACCAATTATATTTATAAATTACTCGGTTTCTCGGATCTTTACGCATCGGCAAAAAACGAGTGTCATTCTACTCTTTATTGCGACAGTGAACGATTTCCCACGCATCCCTTCACTAAAATTAATTTGAGAGTGCTGCTTGTTCACATCAATTTTGCTTTTTATTGTCTCACTATTATCTAGTATCTCTTCTCTCTTTCATATATATCTTATCTATATCTAACTACAAATAATGGAACTTAATCAATTAACAGCAATATCACCAATAGATGGTAGATATTGGGATAAATGTAATAGTTTAAGCGAGTATTTTTCAGAGTTTGGTCTTATTAAATACAGAGTCTATGTAGAGATTGAATACTTTATCAAGTTGTCTACGATTGCAGAGGTCAAGCCATTGCAACATCTCTCACAACCAGAGACACACGAAAAGCTTCGCAACATCTACAAAAACTTTTCATTTGAAGATGCACAAGCAATCAAAAAGATTGAAAAGACGACCAATCACGATATCAAAGCTGTCGAATACTTTATCAAAGACAAGATGGTAGCCATATTGGGTGCACAAGAGGTAACTGATCTGCAAAAGGAGTTTGTTCACTTTGGTCTCACCAGTCAAGACGTCAACAACACTGCCATCCCATTGTCATTGGTAGAAGCTGTTGATCGTACCTATATGCCTCTGCTCAACAAACACGTTGTTGACCCATTATTAGAGATGGCTCGTTCGTTGAGATCCGTTCCTTTGTTGGCTCGTACCCATGGTCAGCCAGCTACACCAACCACACTCGGCAAGGAATTGATGGTGTTTGCCGAACGTCTCAGCAACCAAATCCAACTGCTCCGTCTGGTTCCACACTCGGCCAAGTTTGGTGGTGCCACTGGTAACCTCAACGCACATACTGTTGCCTACCCCTCGGTGCAATGGGCCGACTTTGCCGACTCGTTTGTGCAACACCTCAACCCACGTCTTAAGCGTGCTCGTTTCACCACACAAATCGAGCATTACGATTGTTTGGCAGCACTACTCGACGCTATGAAGCGTATCAACACTATCCTTATTGATATGTGTCGTGATATTTGGCAGTACGTGTCGATGGAGTATTTTGGTCAACGTGTCATTGCCGGTGAGGTTGGATCATCCACCATGCCACACAAGGTCAACCCAATCGATTTTGAAAATGCCGAGGGTAATCTTGGTATTGCCAACGCACTCTATGAACATTTGGCTGCCAAGTTGCCCATCTCTCGTCTCCAAAGAGATCTTACCGACTCGACCGTCCTACGTAACCTCGGTGTGCCAATGGCCCACTCTCTGCTCTCATTTGCCTCTATCGCCCGTGGACTCTCCAAGTTGGTCGTCAACGAAGCCACCATCAAGCAAGACCTCGACGCCAACTGGGCTGTCATTGGTGAAGCCATCCAAACAGTCCTCCGTCGTGAAGGCTATCCCAAGCCATACGAAGCCCTCAAGGAATTGACTCGTGTTTCTGGTGGTAAAAAGATTTCTCATCAAGATCTCATCGTCTTTATCGATACTCTCAATGTCAATGATCAAGTTAAAGATGAATTAAAACAAATCACTCCATTTAATTATATTGGTCATATTCCTGAATTTTAAAAAAAAAAGAAATCAAGAATAACAAAAATAAATAAATATTATTTATTCTGAAGAATAACTTTCTTGTTTGGTTGTTTTGTCTAATTTCTCTTGTAAAAGTTGTCTCATCATTTGTGTTGATAATCTAAACAATGGAGGGTATGGGCATTCTCTTTTCTCCATCCGAAGGACTCCATACGAAGCAAATTCTAATGCATATTGAATTTCTGAACCTTTAAAGATGGGAAATGTTAATTCAAAATGTTAACTTGATGAGTTTGTAGGGTTATTTACATACCTTAAAATGTATATGGTTCTTGTGTACCAACAATTTGTGGAATGATAAGAGAAAGATTTGGGTTTGATGCAATCCTAGATTCAAGTCGACGGTATTGTTCTTGATCCATGAACCTTGAAATGATGCTCACCCTTAGTGACAACCAAACACCAAAGTTTATATGTCTATTGTGTTTTGAAACTATAAGTGGAGTGTTATCGTCCAATACTATACCACATATACCCAACAAACCAGCATATCCACCTATAGTGTTATAGATATCCTCTAAAACGTCGTCGTCAATCTTTAACGAGTGGTCACTCGCCCATCTTTGGAGAAGAAGAGATACCTCTTGTTTTGGAAGAGGTGTTATCAAGATTATATTGTCATATGTAAAGGGACTATCGATACTTTTGAATTCAAACCAAAATTTCTTGTCACTGGCAAGTGCCATAAGTTGGGGTGTGCCAAAGCCAACCACACTCAAAAACTTTTGGTGATAATTGTGTATATCTCCCAACTGACCCAAGAACTCTTGTGTTTGAATAGGGTCACACTCTAGGATCATTTGAAACTCATCAATAAGCAATACAACATTCTTTTGTGGATCATCATGTTGATTTGCATGCCTAAAGAAATGTTTGGAAAACTCTTCAGCACTGGTGATGTTTGGTGATTGTGGATTGGTGATATTGATTTGTACCGATAGCCATGACCAAATATTTGTAATTGTTGAATGGTTCATCTCAACTCTGCAAAATGAATAGGATGTGGAGGTATTAAATATAGTGGCTCAATATTGTCTTTGCTTATGTCTAAATAAAAATGCGTACGGGATGACAGTGTATCCTTTTAACACTAATTCAGTAGATACTGCTTTTAAATGACTAGTCTTGCCACTACGATAAGCACCTTGAACAAGGTAGCACCCCCCTCCATTCATCGCACCATTTAATATTTGATTAAGTTGCAAACTAGAAAAAGGGACATGATAGTGCACTTGATCAGAAATAGGAAGCCCAAATGTCCATGTTTTTCCTACAATCAAACAAAAGGAATTGAAAGAGATTAGTCAACGACGAGAAAGATATGCTATTGATTATGAGTGATGTTGTCATACCTAGTGTATTTTGTTGGGGCTGGTTGTTAAGAGCTTTGCGAGTGTAGGTCCTTAAAATTTTAATGTACTTTCCGACTTTAGTGATTCTCTCCCAATCACTATCTGTCATGTCGTTTGTATCCTCTACTGTACGATACCTGTTGGTATCAAGTTGTTCTACTATTCCTTGTTTGTCATCTATATCAATTTCACATTCCTTGGAGAGTACCCAAGCTTTTAAAGGTGAATCAGACATGATTACTATTATCTCTATCTAACTGTGTCACACCAGGTCAAGATAAAAGTGGTGAATGAAAATTATGTTTACACAAAAGATCTTGAAATCATGCTCAGATGTCAAAGTGAAAGTGCAAGGAATTATTATTATTAGTAATATTACTTTTTAAAAAGAATCAACCTCAAGAGCTTAGTTGTAGAAGGAAGGAAGGATTTGATTGTTAGTGTGACCAGACTCTAACAAAAAGACAAGATGTTTAAAAGCTTTGTAAAGAAATTTGAAGAAACGTAGTGTATAAATTATAATGATTACACATGTGATTAATCAAAATAGTGATAGTACTAATCCTCTTACCCTTTGTGATGATGATGATGATATATATAGAACTGGTTCAATTAAAGGAAGTATATTAGGAAATAAAGATCAGCAACAACAAACACCTACTACAACCACAACCACAACAACAACAGCAGCAGCAGCTACTGATACAAATAATGTACAATCAACAAATAATAATAATAATAATAATAATGCATCACCAACTATAACACCTGCAACAACTACACCTGCAACATCATCACCAAACTCATTATATAGTAATTTACAACCAGTAGTAGATGTAATCAAAGAAAATGTTGTACAACCAGTAACCGATGTATTAAAGATGACCGTTGTAGATGTTGAAACACTCAAAGAGTTTACTGAAAAGGATATCACAGTTGCACTTCAAAATATGACAACATCTGTTACCAATTCAGTGGCTTCATCTTCATCTGCAAATCTACCATCAATCTCTCAATTAAAAGAATCATTACAAGATGTTGACCTATACAATGGTTCACTCTTGCTTCGAACCTATGAAATTAAATTAAAACAAATTAGAACAAATGGTGTAATATTGGCTGAAAGAGCTGAAGTATGTAAATTAATAATTAATAACTATTAATTATAGTTGATTATTTGGATCTAATCTGATATTAATGTGATTAATTATTATTTAAAGGAATTAGATAAAAGAATATTCCCATTGGTAAAGACATGCACAGTCCAAGCAGAGTCTTGGAAAAAAGCACAATCAGAGTTGACAAAACTCGATGATATGAATAATATGGTTGAATCGATTACACTAACTTTGGACTCTTTGGTATCAAAGATTGAAGCTTTGGAAATTAGTCTATCGATTGACGTTGAAAATTATATTGATAATCAACATCAAAAATGGAAAGAACAAAAAGAATTGGAATTTAATAGATATGAAGCTTCAAAAAAGTAACAAATATCTAGCTAGCTAGCCAGCTTGTCCATCGTCCTATTATTATTAGTTGTACTAACTTTCCTTCTTTATTTATTTTTAGAGCTGAATTAATTAAATTAGAGGAAGATTTAATAAATGCTTATAATAGACATGAAAGAGAAAAGGCAGCAAAGGAAAGAGCAATTCAATTGGAACAAGAGAGATTGGCTAGAAGAAAGTTGGATGAGGAATTACAAAGAAAAGTAAAGGAAGAAGCTAGTTTGAGATCAAATCTAGACAAGACTATTCAAAAACAATTAAATGATTACAAGACTAGTGGTGTCATACCAACAACCTCCTCTAGTAGTATTGGTGGTACCACTGCACCTGCAACCGATTCTAATCAACCAACTACTACAATCGAGCAAATAGTTCCTGAAGATAGCTCATCTGATCTAGAGAATTTCTTGGCTCCAACCCCTCCAACCACTTCTCCCACCCTTACCTCTCAACAACCAGCAGTAATCTCAACAACCGATAATTTAACTCTTACTCCATCATCCGAATCAACTAAAGAACAACAACAAGTGGTGGTTGAAGAGAAAGTAGAAGAACCAGTTCAAAAAGATAATGAACAAGTTGAAGAGAAAAAAGAAGAAGAAGAACCAGTTCAAAAAGAAGAAGAAAAGAAAGAAGAATAGAAATAATATCTTTTAAAATATTAGACCACTTTCATCGATATATAAAGATTTCGAATTTGTAATTATTTATTTTTTAAAAAGAAAAAGGTTATATCATTATCATTATTATGATTATTTGTTTAATTAGTTTGATTTATATGACCCATTTTACGACCTTCTTTAATATCACCTTTGGCATAAATATGTAAATGACAACCCTTGATGGATAGGTGTTTCTCCCAAGTTTCAACCTCGGCACCTAAAAGGTTGGTCATTACGATTGGGTGTTGTTGAGCGGCAGGTTGTTCCAAATATTCCTTTTCAGTGATTCTCTTCATCAGGTCGACACTACCCAATGGTAGTCCGCAGATACAACGGACCAATTGTTCAAATTGGCTAGTGACGCAACCTTCAATGGTCCAGTGACCACTGTTGTGTGGTCTTGGGGCCAACTCATTGACCAATAACTTGTAGTTGCCATCGGCTTGCTTGACGACAAAGAGTTCGACAGCCAAAATGCCAACCAAACCGATACCCTTTCCAATCTTTGTAGCGATTTCCTTGGCTTGAGCGTGAACGGCGGGTGGAAGTGGAGCAGGAGCAATGGTTTGTCTGAGAATGTGATTACGATGTTTGTTGGTGACCAATGGGAAGCAGAGTTCGGTAGAGTCGATAGTACGTGCGACAATGACAGATGATTCACCTTCAAACTCTATGTATTGTTCGAGGATGGCTCTTTGAGCACCTGTTTCATTGGTCACCTTTTTCCAGGCCGATTCAAGGTCGACTTGATCGGTGATCTTTACTTGTCCCTTGCCATCATAGCCCATAGTATTGGATTTGAGGATGGCTGGGTATCCAACCTTTTGGATGGCAGTCTTGAGAGTGTCGAGCGAGTCGATTGGCTCAAAGGCGGCAGTTGGTACATCCAAACTTTGGATAAAACGTTTCTCTTGGACACGGTCTTGACAGATACGGAGTACCTTGGGGTCTGGGAAGACACCAACCTTTTTAGCGAGGTATTCAACTGGCTCAACCATGATATTTTCAAATTCATAGGTGACAACATCGACCTTGCTAGCGAAAATATCTAGATTGGCATAGTTGTTGTAGTTGGATTTAGTAGTCTCGGTGGCAACGTGCGAGGCTGAAGAGTCAGACTCTGGACAAAATACATGTGTCTTGTAACCGAGTTGAGCGGCAGCGATAACAATCATTCTGGCCAATTGACCACCTCCAAGAATACCAATGGTCGATCCGGGTGGAAGAACGAGCGATGGACGAATAGATGACAAGACAAAGGCAGACAATGGGCCCTTGTTGTTATGCTCGATGGTGTTTGTAATGACATTGGGTGATTGTGAACGTACTGGTGATTGAACGGCAGCATTGGGTGATGATGATGAATGTGGATGTAAATGATGGGATGATCCAACATGTGGAAGTGGTAGTGGTGATTGTATAGTTATATTTGATTGAGATGATGATGAGGAAGGGTTAACTACCTGATGTGCGTTTAGAATAGATGTAATATTGGCAATTGGTTCACTTGATTTGGGTGTGACTGTTTGATGATGATGTCCAGCGTTTGTGACATTATCAGATGGTGAGTCTGCAACAGCATCAGTTTGATTCTTTCTAAATGTCTCGAGACTAGATTCAATGGCTGGGTAGAATGGCGAAAGAACAGAAGCGGCCAACAAGGCAGCATTGGTGGCACCGGCAGCTCCAATGGCAAGTGTGCCGACTGGAATACCGGCTGGCATTTGGCAGATGGACAATAAACTGTCTACTCCACTCAGAGCCTTTGATTGGACTGGTACACCAAACACTGGGAGTGATGTAAGGGCAGCAACCATACCTGGGAGATGAGCAGCACCACCTGCACCTGCAATAATAACCTTTAATCCTCTTGATCTTGCAGACTTTGCATATTCAAACATTCTATCGGGTGTTCTATGTGCAGATACAATCTTTGTTTCATGTGGAATACCAAGTTGTGTCAATGTATTGGATGCCAACTTCATAACATCCCAATCAGATTGACTACCCATAATAATTCCAACCATTGGTTTGTTACTATTAATTAATGATATATTTGTTTGTTGTTGAGTTGTAACAGTTGGTAATAATGGTTGAACTGGTAATAATGGAATAGAATCGGATGAATTTGGTGTGAAATTGGATTGTTGTTGTTGTAATTTTTGTTGAATATGATGAGATGATGATGATGGTTGTGGTAATGGTGAATATAATGGACTTGGTGATAATATATTATTAATCATTGTTGTATGTCTCTAAAGGTTTTTAAAGAAAAATAAATAAAGTATTAGTAACCAATTATGATAATTAAAAGTGTAGTCAACAATAATAAAGTAGTATGGTTTGAATTGATTTTAGCAAAATAATATATTTGTTTTATATTTTTTATAATCATCATATGTATGATTATTATTATTGATTGATTGATTGATTGATTGATTGATAGAGATAGAGGAATATAAATATATATATATGAATAGTTTTGAATTTATACCGATGGAGTATGAGCAATGAAATTGCTATTAATTGTATAATCAACCAACTTGTTTGATTGATTGGCAACCCAAGTGTAGTTGTCTATGAGCATTTGAGTTTGTTCCTGAGTCAATGTTCCAACCTTTGGAGCACCTTCCTTGATTCCAAGATTACGATATACTTGTTTATCCTTCATAAGGTTCTTATCACCATGCAACCAAATTCTCCATGAATCATTATCGACAACATCAGCAAGAATAAGCTCACCTTGTGGTGTAATACCAAATTCAACCTAGTAAAATACAAATATAAATAAATTAATTAGTAATCTAATGTTTTCAAGTCAATGTTTCATTTGTTTCATTTCTATACCTTAAAATCAACTAAAACAACATCAAGTGATTGCCAAGCCTTTTCCAAAGCTTCAAAAGCAAGAGTAGCAACATTTCTAATATTTGAAAGTAATTTAGAAGTGACAGCAACACCTCCAATCTTGAGGTCCATCTTGAGAATATCTTGTTCGGTGACCAATGGATCATGATTTTCGTCATCCTTGAAGGTAAACTCGATCAAACATGGATTGAATCTTGACCCTTCAACAATTTGTGGATTTCTCTTTAAATAACTACCAGTTGCCAATCTTCTAACAATCACTTCTAAAGGAATCATTGAACATCTCTTTGCAATAAAACTAGTCGGTGATTCCTAAAAAAATTAATATAAATATAAAACAAATTAATTAAATGTTATATTTATATTTATATACTTTGTGAATGTTTAATATTGTATAAGAGTTTGACATACTTGACGAATAAAATGAGAACCTATATTTGATAAATGTAATACTCTGAATACATTGCAAGCAGTAGTAGTTGAAAATGCACCTTTACCTGGTAACTCGTCACGCTTTGCACCATCACCAGCAGTGATTGATGAATTTGATACAACTAGTACATATTGATCGTCTTTATTGAATTTAAAGATCTCTTTAGTTTTCCCCTTTGCTAGAAATGTAACATCATTTACATCGAATATCTTGTATGATGATGATGCTGTATTATTATTATTATTGTTATTTGACATTATTATTATTATTTTTTAAATATATATAGATAAATGGTGAATTAAATAATTATATGATGAAATGAAGTTGTTCAATAGATTGTCAAAGTCTACTTCTGAGTGTGTGGGGTGGTTAAAAAATGGATGTAGTTAGGGTAAAAGAATGTGTGAACGCGTAAAAGTAAAAAGAATAACAACGAAAGGATCACACCTTTGATTATTATTTTTGGTTTCTAATTAGAAATAAAAAAAAGAAACTAATATAATAAATTACTTGTTCCCAATAAGCCGATACTTTGACCTTTTACAAAGATGATTTTACACTTTTTGTTCTTTCGTCATCGTCGGCTTTTTCAGATGATCAGCAAAAAACCGGCATCGTCGACTCTAAAGTGCTTCCCTCGTTTGGAACGACGTCTATCTTTTGAATGTTCCCGCTGCCGACACAAACGAGAATGAATACAAAAGTATTCTATTCTATTATTTGTTTGTTTTAGTTTTTTGGGGGAAAATATATTTTATTTTTTTTTAAAAAAAGAGTTTTGGAGATCTATGGAAGTTGTTTTAATTTTGATTTAGTTTGATTGCTTTTTGTTCTTTTTGATATAGTTGAGGGCAGAACCATTCTTGAACCATTCGATTTGACCTTCGTTAAAGGTGTGATTGAGGACGACTTCAAATTCGTTACCAGACTTGGCATTCTTGACGATCATCTTTAATGGGACACCTGGAGCGAGCTTCTTGAGACCGACGATAGAGACGATATCGTCACCGGTGATCTTGTTGTAGTCGGCTGGGTTGGCAAAGGTGAGTGGGAGGATACCTTGCTTCTTGAGGTTGGTTTCGTGGATACGAGCAAACGACTTGACAACGATGGCACGGGCACCGAGATGACGTGGTTCGAGGGCAGCATGCTCACGAGATGAACCTTCACCATAGTTTTCGTCACCAATGACGACCCATCCGACACCACGCTTCTTGTAGTCACGAGCGACGGTTGGGACTGGGGCAGTCTCACCGGTGAATTGGTTGAGGACGGCGTTGGCCTTTCCATTCTCTGAGTTGATGGCACCGATCAACATATTGTTAGAGATGTTGTCCAAATGACCACGGTACTTGAGCCATGGACCAGCCATCGAGATGTGATCGGTGGTACACTTGCCTTGGACCTTGATCAAGACTTGCATGTCGGTCAAGTCTTGGCCGTCCCATTGCTTGAATGGTTCGAGCAATTGGAGACGGTCAGAGGTGGGGGCGACGGCAACCTTGATGTTTTCGGCGTTCTTGGATGGAGCTTGGTAGGTGTTCTCGCCAGCGTCGAATCCACGGCTTGGGAGTTCGGCACCGGTTGGAGCGGTAAACTTGAACTGGTTGCCGTTGGCGTCGGCCAACGTGTCGACCAATGGGTTGAAGGTGAGCTTGCCAGAGATGGCCATGGCAGTGACGATTTCTGGGGAGGCGACGAAAGCGTGGGTTTGTGGGTTCGAGTCGTTACGTCCGGTAAAGTTACGGTTGTATGAGGTGATGATCGAGTTCTTTTGACCCTTGACAATGTCGTCACGCTTCCATTGGCCGATACATGGACCGCAGGCGTTGGCGAGGACGACACCACCGACCTTTTCAAAAATCTCAGTGAGACCGTCACGGGTGATGGTGGCACGGATCTGTTCGGAACCTGGGGTGATGGTGAACTTGGCCTTGGAGACGATGCCGTGGTCGATGGCTTGCTTGGCAATCGAGGCGGCACGTTGCATGTCTTCGTAGGACGAGTTGGTGCACGAGCCAATCAAACCGACGAGCAATTCCTCTGGCCATTGGTTCTTCTTGATGTTTTCGGCAAACTCTGAGATCTTGTTGCTTCTGTCTGGGGTGAATGGACCGTTGACGAGTGGCTCGAGGGTGTTGAGGTCAATCTCGATGATTTGGTCATAGTGGGCGTTGGAATCGGCAACGAGGTTGTCCTTGAAACCGACGCAGGCCTTGGCAATGTCTTGACGACCGGTGCTGTTCAAGTAGTCGACCATACGCGAGTTGAATGGGAAGATCGAGGTGGTGGCGCCAATCTCGGCACCCATATTACAGATGGTGGCCATACCAGTGGCAGAGATGCTGTCAACACCCTCGCCATAGTATTCTACAATGTATCCGGTGCCACCTTTGACGGTGAGGATATCGGCCAAACGGAGGATAACGTCCTTTGGTGACGACCAGCCAGACAATTTACCAGTCAACTTGACACCAATAATCTTTGGAGCCTTCAACTCCCATGGGAGACCGGCCATGACATCGACGGCATCAGCACCTCCGACACCGACGGCAATCATACCCAAACCACCAGCATTGGGGGTGTGAGAGTCGGTACCAATCATCAAACCACCTGGGAAGGCATAGTTTTCCAAAACGATTTGATGGATAATACCAGATCCGGGTTTCCAGAAACCCATACCAAACTTCTCGGCAGAGGTGGCAAGGAAATCATATACTTCCTTGTTGACTTCCTTGGCAGTGTCCAAATCAGCTTGACTTCCCTTGTAGGCTTCAATCAAATGATCACAATGAACAGTGGTTGGACAGGCAACAGTTGGTAAACCAGCTGACATGAATTGAAGTACTGCCATTTGTGCTGTAGCATCCTAAGAGGAGAAAAAATTTAAAAACAAACAAACATTAGTATGTCTTTCTTTCCTTCCTTCCTTTTGTTAAGTGTTTGTTTTAATAACGACTACTACTACTACTACATACTTGCATAGCAACACGGTCCGGTAACAAGTTAAGGTAAGAGACACCTCTTTCAACCTTGACTGATGGATCTTCCAAATGACCATAGAGAATCTTTTCAGCGAGGGTGAGTGGCTTGTTGTGATGCAATCTGTATTCCTTCAACTTGGCGTCAATTCCCTTAAAGTTGAGGGTCTTGGTCTCCAACTTGCTCATTGGTGGAGCAACAGTTGAGAATGATCTAGATACATATTTCTACAATAGTAAGATATATATATAGTTGATTGATTGATTGATTATGATTAGAAACTAATACTACTATACTGACTGATGATCAGCCATCTGTTTGTTTGTTAGCTAACACTTACGAAGGATTGGGCAACACCCTTTCCTGTTAAAAAACTCATTATATAATCTGTATTATTATATATTCTATAAAATGAGGTAGAGAGAGAGAGAGTAGGTTGAAGAGATAGGATAGAATAATAATGAGATTTATATATGATTATGGTAGTATAGTGAAAAATGTATGATTAGTAAAAGTGTTCAACTCTCTTCTGGGTTTGAAGTTGAAAAATCATTTGTGTGTTCATCAGTAACAATGATAACAGAGTAGCAGATGTGTATTGGGTGTGTGTTATTGATTGCAATGGAGTTAATTGAAGAGGGATTGTTGTTTGTTGTTGGGAGAAGGAACCGATTGATTGATTGATTGATTGATTGATTGATTGATTGATTGATTGATTGAAAGTGGTTATATAAAATAAAATATTACTATTATTGTTGTTGTTTATGAATCGATCAGTTGATCTTTTTTGTTTAATATATATTTATATAAATATATATATTTATATATTAATTATTGATTATTAAATTAATTGATGAACAAGTACAAGAAGAAGAGTGTTGCTTATATCTAAATTAGTTTAGGGGGGGTACGTAATCATGATCGTTGTTTGTTGTTTGTTGGTTGTTTTACGAATTCGTAAGTCGTCATGTCGTGATTACCCGATATATACACATCTATCTATTGTTGAATGAATCAAGTCGAAAGACTCGACAATGTCAATATCGGTTTACGTAATACGTAACCCACAAACGTATTGTCGCAGCAATGCATTGATTGATGATGATGATGATGATGAAAGTGTGATGGATGAATGAATGGTATCTGCAGAATAATCTTACCCTTTAGGAGGGAACCTATGGGAAATGAATGTAAAGTCGACCGTAATAATGATGTTGGCTCATCAACACTGCGAACAGCAAAAAAAATAATTGAAAAAAATAATCATCCCAAAGAAGAAGCGAAAGCGAACTTCCTCCTGGGCATTTTTGTTGTGGTGGTAGATTAATTTGCATCCCGACCCGATCAAATAAAATCAGATAGATAGATTAATAAAGATAAAGTAATAAAGAGATAAAGTGACAGATATACATATTGTGTTGTTTTTATATTATTATTATTATTATCGTATTTTTAATTTATTTATTTAACAAAAACTGTTGCTACCGTATTGAGTGCAAGCAGTACCGTTGGTGACGGCACAGGCAGAGGTTGGACCACCACAGGCACAGGAGATACAGAGACCAGCACATGGGAGTAATGGCATGATGCCACTGGAGCATTGTGGGAACATGGTGGCACAGAGGAAGGCCTTGGTGGCAGAGGCACAGTTGGCAGATGGGCTGGTGAATTGGGTGAATTGGTTGTACATGTCAGAGATCATACCGTCGACAGTGGCAAAGTCTACAGCTGAACCGGCAACTGGGTAGTTGACTTGGTTACAGAAAGTGAGGGCTGGAGCACAAGAGCATCCTTGTGGTGGGTTGTTTGGACAGACGTTGGCTGGAATTGGGGTGATTGGCTTGGGGGTTGGGATGACACAGTATGATGGGATTTGGAAGGCTCCGGATGGGACACCAGCAGTGAAATCGGAAAAGTCCATGATGGTGGTCATAGAGGCTTGTGGGTTGGATGAGGTCATGTTGGCACGGACCAAGTTTTGGTTGGTGGCAGCGTCGACGTAGAGGGTGATGAAAGCTTGATCCATCATGTTAAAGTACCAGACGGTGACTTCATCATTGTTAATGTCGGTGGTACCTTCGTATGAGGAACCTGGGAGGACAGAGTATGAGCTTTGTGGGTCGGTGATTGGGTCGACTTGACAGTTGGAACCGTCATAGGTAAAAGAGAACATGAGATCATAACGATCCAACTTGGTTTGGGAAGCACCCCATTGGCTTACATCGACTCTTTGGGCTTGTTGTCCAAGTGAAAAGTAAAAATTTCCTTGGATTGGGAAAGGCAACTTAGGAATAGTAAATTAAACACATGTTAGTATATAACTTGAGAGAGATAAAGATAAAGAGAGAAAAGACATACTTGGTCATTGCTAATTTCAACGGCAGAGGTGAAAGTAGTTGGGATTTGTGGGTAGGTCTTTTGAGCAGCGGCAACTGCAACAAGCAACAAAGTGGCTAAAACAATCTTGAACATTTTATGTATGTGTGTAATAAAGTGTAGGATACTAAATAAACAATGATCGTGTGAGTGTAATTAAAAAGCTTGGGCTGACGTGCACCCGAGACGACTCGGTGAAAATTAATAATTCGAAAAAGGCTCAGCTAAAATTCACGTGAACCTTGGATTTTTGTGTGACCTCGAATCAAGCCCCAAAAGCTCGTAAAATCAGTTGTTTACAGACAGATACTCTTAAAAAATCGTTACCCCCCAAACTCTCAATAATCTTCTTTCGTTTCGTTTAATAGCAAAGGGGTAGATGTGCGCTCACTGGCATGCCTGTTTAGTCGTTTGACTACTTGATGAAATCGATCTATGAAATGTTACCCTAAATTTGGTTCGACTGACGTCATGACCACGACCGTGTAGATGACCAGACATATATGGGTGGGTAGAACCAAGACCTAAACAGACCAAGACCTATGAATCGTCGTAAAAATATTTGTTCCATGGAAACTTTTACCAGAGAGACACAGAATTCAGAACAGAGAACAGAGAGAAGAGAGAAGAGAGAGAACAGACAGAACAAGTAGATGAATAAGATAGAAGATAAAACCAAACACGGAATCAAAAAGTCAATTAAGTATTCATTACTCTCGTTGATACATATGATTTGATTAGTATCATAACCCTAACCTAACTGTTCTGTTGTTTGATCATCAATCATAACCACAATGTTTTTTTTAATGTACCATCGTTGTGTGAGATTTTCAGCTCCCAGCGTTTTCAAAAAGTAACATGGGTTGTGCAGCATTATTCACCAGTTCATTCATTCGTATTATACACATACATACATACATATATATACCTCTCCTCACTCTCACTCTCATTCTTTCTATTCACTTACCACTACTTACTTACTTGCTTGACCAACAACCTTTGAAAGAAAGGTATAATTATGAATATTAAACAAGAACAACAAGACCAACCAAAGAGTATCACCATTGTTAGTTTTTATAAGAGTAATAGTAATAGTATATTTAATTAGATTATTATTATTGTAAGTAGATGAGATAGAGAGAGAGAGAGAGAGATGTAGAGAGATGAATTGGAGGAAATGACTTGTTATTAAATTTACTGATGTTTGTTTGTTTGTTTGTTTGTTTGGTTTACTATAGACATACCTTATTTTGTTATTTTTTTTATTAAATGATTGAATATTTAAAGAGACCTTTTGAATGGTCATTTTGGAGAAAATGTTTGACATTGGCATTGGTCTATGTTGACCAAAACTACTTTTATCGATTACATTTCTTGTACATTGTAATGGTTGGTTTGTTGGGTGCATGCGTCATCAGTCTGGCCGAGAGAGACCACAGGTTCCTCGACTGTCTCTATCACTCTTATTCGGCGATTACTTCGACGGGACTGGCGTCGATCGATATGTCAAAGGTGTCGGCGTTTACACAGGTGGTCACCTTTGTCTTGATGCAATTGGGGTCGTCGGTACTACTGACTCTACCAGTCGTACTCATTAAACGTCATTATCTCAGAAAGAGATTTGCAAGACGACTTGAAAAGGCTCGTGTTGCAACATCATCCCTATCCGACAACAACAACAACAACAACAACAACAAACCACGTAGAAAACATAAACAAAAGGATCCTGCCAAACAACCATTACAAGGAACTGTAGACATTACACCTGGAGATGATCATGATGAAGAGGAAGAGGAATCAATCCCAGCAACAAGATACAACTCTGAACCAGATGATCATATTGGTATTGGTATTGGTATGGTTATTCATCATGATCATGATCATCACCATGACTATCACGATGGTATTGATGTAGTTCAACATCATTTCAACTTGGATGAACATCGTAGACATGAACATGAGGATCACCATGACGATGACGATGATCACGACAATGATGACGAGGACGACGATTACATTGACGACGATCAAGATGATAGTATGGTTGGACTAGAACATATAGTTGATTCTCCAACAACAAAAGAGTCGTCTGGTGGAGTATCAACAATAACAACTTCTGCAACAACAGGATTAGTCCACTCGATTGAGACTAATTTAGAGTATAGGTCACTTGGAAAACTACTGTATATCATCCCACTCTACCAATTGATAGTGTATGCAATAGGATCTACTCTATTATACATCCTCACATCTGCAACCTCTGTGCATAATGTCATGCTAAAGAATAACGTTGCATCTTGGTGGTGGTCTATTTTCGAGTCAGTCTCTGCATTTAACAATTGTGGATTCGTTCTCTTTACCGACAACTTGGTACAATTGAATAATAGACCTCTCATACTCGTAACCATCTCCTTTTTAATTGCTATGGGTAATACTTTATATCCAGTATTTTTACGTATAATCATATCTGTTTTAAAAAAGGTAAGACCCAAACAAACAAAAGTAATCATATTATATTTATTTATATATTTATATTTGTTTGTTTATTTAGGTTTCAAAAGATCCAGTTCCATATGAACACTTGGCAGAAAACCCTAGATCACTATACACACATTTATTCCCAGTCAGACAAACCGTTATATTGACGATTGTTTGGTGGGTATTCACCATCTCCCAAATGTCATTAATGGCTATCTTGGAAACAAACGATAAGGCATTTGAAGGTATATCTTCATCAAATACATTCTTTAATTATTTCTTCCAATCTGTTGTATGTATACTATAATTATTTTTAAAAACCAAGAATGGAATTACATTTAATTAATATGTTTGTTTTGTTTTGTTATTTATTTTTTTTAGTCAACAAGAACAGCAGGATTTAATTCAGTTGATATTAGTTTATTATCATCATCGGTACTTATATTATTTGTTGGATTGATGTTTGTATCTTCATATCCATTGGTCATTTCTCTAAAGGGATCGGCAGTCAATGGAAAATATTCACAAGACACGGAACTAAAGACTAAATCCGTCATGAAGGATATCCTTATTCGTGATATCTTTATCATCTATGTTTGTATCTTGTTGATTGGAATCATTGAAGAACACCGATTGGATGACGCCGGTAATCCCACATTCACCGTTTTTCACATCATTTTCGAGGTTATCAGTGCGTTTGGTTGCGTCGGTCTCTCGATGGGCTTCCCAGGTGCCGTTTCATTTTCCGCCATTTTAAAGTCGTCTTCCAAGTTGGTCATTATCGTTGTCATGCTCCTCGGTAAACACAGAGCACTACCAGACTCTATCGATACTGCCGTCGTCATCAAAGAAAAGGCTGTCATTTCAAAACTATTCCTACGACGAAGAAAAGCAAGACAGTTTTTATAGGATAGATAGATAGATAGATAGATAGATAGATAGATAGATAGATAGATAGATAGATAGTACACGCACCTCATACACACCTCTCACCATTTCTAAAATGAATAAACCCTTGAACTCTATACATCTGGATCACACACCCAAACCGTCCGTAATATTAATATGTGTAATTAATTGACAATTTTAATTTATTTATTTATTTATTATGAATAAAGATGAATGATTCTTTATGATTATATATAGATATATATATTTATCTTTCTCAAAGATTGTAATTACTATTGCATCGACAAACAATCAATCAATCAATCAATCAATCAATCAATCAATCAATCAATCAATCAATCAATCAATCAATCAATCAATCAATCAATCAATCAATCATGACAGCACCAATAGTTAACTGAACTTGCAACGCACGTTGCTGCTGCTACTTAGTGCAGCACTCGTTTGTTAGAGTTTGTGCGTGCGTGTCAGTGTGTGACAGACAGCCAATGAACATCAAATTTAATGTGGGTGTGTTAATTGCATTCCCCTTTTTAGTCAAACTCGTTTAAGACGACAGACTGACTGTGAGACATGAAACCCCCCACCACCCACAAAATCATCACCATCATCCAGCAATGAAAATTAATTATTCGCATCAGATATATATAAACCCCCCACTACCCACACACAAACTAATATTAAAAATATTTAAATAATATTACCTAGTATTTCTTGGTATACCCTAACCAACCTGCTCTCTCTCTCTCTCTCTCTCTCATACTCTATATTATGCACTGATCATCCATTTTATTTCTTTTATGAAACTTGTTTCAAAAATCGTATGATATACAGATAATAATAGTGTTCTACTATTATCTCTCTCTCTTTCTTTCTCTCCCTCTCTTTTACCTTCTCTATACTATATCCAACTCAAACTCTTAAACTTTAATTAACCATTTCTCTTTCTCTTATTTTTTTTTTTTTTCTACTTACCATATATCTATAGTCTTACAGCAACATAATCATTTCTACTACTACCTATCAAACAATCAAAAATCAAATCATTTATTTTACATTCATTATCCAATCATGAACCCATTAATTATCATCTTTATTTTGTGTATCGTTGTATCATCTGTTTTTGCCAATTTGTCTTGCAACAACCAATATGTCTTTGTCAACGACACCAATTCATTGTCATCTTTTTCATTGTTCGACCATGTTGAACAACAATCAAATATCATCCAAAATAAAAATATTTCTTTGTCTATGATGATGCAGCCATCATCCGTTTCATTGTCATCTTTTAATCATTTTGAACACCCAATCATTCTTAACAAAAACAAAAACAACAAAAACAACACCAACTACAATAATAATAATAGCAATAATAATAACGATATCGATTCATCTATTTCACAAACCCAATTTGATTCAAATCATATTGTTTCTCAATGTCATTTACCATCAAACCATACTTTTATTCCTATCTATAACAACAAAAAAAATAATAACAATAATTTATCTTTTAATTCCTCAGTTTCAATTTCTATTCCTTTTAATGTTTTGTCCCAATCCCATTTCCAGTCACCATTAAATCACTCAACCAACAATCATATTATTTTCTATGGCGACAAAGAGGAGGAAGAGGAAGAGTATGTTCAATTGAACAGCAACAACAATACAATCTCATGTTTCAACCATGTTGAACATCAATTAATTTCACACAATATTCACTTTAACTCAAGCCATGTTTTGTTTATCTCAAATCATTCAACAACCAAAAACCATATTATTTTAGAGGAGGAGGAGGAGGACTTCAACAACAGTAGACCAATTTCAATCTCCTGTTTCAATGTTAACCATCAATCAAATCTCATCTTAGAGGAGGAGGAGTCTGTTCAATTGAACAGCAACAACAATACAATCTCATTTTCATATTTCAACCAATCAATTCCCATAGATAATAATACTATTTCATTCTTCAATGACCATCAATCATCGATTCCATGTTTTAAATCTAGTGATTTATATACTCGTTCAACAACCAACAACCACATTCTTGTAGAGGAGGAGTTTGTTCAATTGAACAAAAGCAGCATAAACATCATAAATTCATTAACATGTTTAGACAATGTTAAACATCAATCAATTCCAATTAATAATCAATCAAATAATAATAATAACTATTTTTCATTAATTCAATCATCATCATTGATTTCACCTATTCCATTTTCATCTGATTATTTTAACTCTTCAAACACTTCCACATCATCATCATCATCATCAACATTATATTTATTATCAAATACAATTAATTCAACAAGATCAAATACAAGCCCATTTTCAAGATACTCCAGCAACATCTCAAGAATAGAAAACAACAACAACGCGGTAACAAGCTCTGACAATTTAAAGCATTCTACTGATTCCTCTTCTTTTATTTTTATAGATACCAAAGTTGCCAACAATTATTTTGATTCTCTCAACTGTTTCGGAACCAATCATTCAAATCATACAACAATACAACAACAACAACCATCATCATCACCAATCAATCATGATACAATCCTCACCACAATACACACTCACAAATCAACTCACAATCAATATTCACAAATCACTCCACCATCTTCAAATAATAATAATAACAACAAAAAATAATCCAATGAATCAGTCACACTTATTCACTCATTATACATGTACACTCCATTTAATTCAAGTGATGTTTCGAGCAATTGTCAATCATCACCATTACTCTTTAATCATTCAACAACCAACCATTTTCTTTTAGCAGAAGAGGAGGAGCAGAAGGAGGAATCATTTCAATTAAACAACAACAAAAACAACAACAACAACCACACAATCACAATCTCATTGTTCAACCATGTTGAACATCAATCAATTCATAATAATAATAATAGTATTTCTTTCCATCAATCAACCATTTTATTTTATAATTCAAGTGATACTCAATGTCAATCAAATCATTCATTCATTCCTGACAACAATAATAATTATTTATTTTTTAATTCATCCATGTCAATTCCTTTTAATTTTCAATTACCATTAAATCACTCAACAACCGACAACCACATTCTTTTAGATGTTCAATCGAACAGCAACAAAACAACAAATCCAATCTCATTTTTCGATCATCAACCAATCATTTCCATCAATATTAATAATAATAATAATAATATTTCATTCTTCAATGACCATCAATCATCGATTCCATGTTTTAATTCAAGTAATATTTTAACTCATTGCCAATCAAACAATCTCACAATCCTCACCAATCCATCCACCCTCCACATTCATCTCCAATCGATCAACAATCATCAAACCATTGGACAATCATCTAATAATAATAGTATCAACAAAAACAAAACTACAAAAACAAATAATAACAACAACACAAGACCAAAAAATAATAATAATAATAACAATTATTCCTCTTACATAGACAAACAACCCATTCACTCTCTATCAACCATAAACCATCCATCTATCCACCATTCACTATACATCTATCCACCATCCATCTATACACCATCCACTCCATCATCCATCCACCATCCATCTATACACCATCCCTATCCATCATCCATTCATCCATCCACCATCCATCTATCCACCATCCATTCATGCATTAATCCAACCATCCACTATCCATCCATCCTCTATCCAACCATCCACCATTCATCCATCCTCTATCCAACCATCCTCTGTTCATCCATCCGCCATCCATCCTTCATCATTTTCCATCTGCCCATTGTATATCCGCTATCAATCTATCCATCTATCCACCATCATTTTCCATCTTCCCATTGTAAATCCGCTTTCCATCTATCCATCCATCTATCCATCCATCCACTATCCACCAATCATCCATCCTCTATCCAAGTTATTAATGTAAATATTTAAAACATTTATTATTAAAAGATGTTTATATATTTAAAAATTGAGACAGTCTCTGATATAAATAGATTTATTCAATGATAAAAGACTATAGTCTTTTTGAATTCGACATCCAACAATATTTTTTAATCGGTAAGGTACCATAATCGTGATCTATCCTCCCTCAATAGTAGAATCAATAGTCAACCAATTTTTGGTAACTATAAAAATAGTAACAATCGTTCTAAATTTGATATCCTACTTTATCAAACTGAAATCAGAATTTCCTTGGGTTCTAGACAGTATTAGTGTATTATAATGCCCACATCGTACAACCTCACGGGTCATATTTTGTCAGTCTTTGTGAAAAAAAAACCATCACACATGACCTTGCATGGTTGTCAGTTTTTAATCAATTTTATTTAATTAATTACATTTTATTCATTCATTCCATTCTTTATATAAAACATAATTTTGTTTGTTGTAACAACATATATAATATATAAATTGTAGTAATAAAAGAAATAGAAATAGATAGATTAGATAGATAGAACCCTATACGAAAATTAGGAAAGAAATATATTAAAGAATGATGATGAATGAAACAACAACCAATTCTAATGGCAGTGGCAGTGGCACTACTACTACTACTGCTGCTCCACAACCAATTCAATCAATCGTAGGCAAAGAAGATACAAAGCTTGAAGAGTTGCTCAAGATATGCAGTCGAGTACAGGTGTTTAATGTTCAGGGTGAACCTTTGTTTAGACACCCTCCAGTAGGTACATTTTCAAAGGACGAGTTCAATGAATGCTTGTCACTCTTTGATAACTCGAGCAAGGCAATCTCTCAAGGTATAACAATTGAAGGTTCTACATTTGAACTGTACAGAGCTTTCAATGATTTGGTTGTTGGAAGAAGAGGTGATGAAACCACTGGAGAAGGAATATCTTTTATGAAGGTAACAACTTACAGCTTAATTTAATCTCAACCCTAACCTATCAATAGGTTTCATTCACTAACATTCATATGTTTATTCATTCACATCAAAAACCTACCAGGCACAATCTAAACAATCACAGGAAATATTTATGTTGGCTACCTATCAACTACCAATATTATCAGCCAGAGTAATGCCGTTAATGAAAGATTATTTATCCACTTATCAATAATCAACAACAACTACAACAACAAAAATATAATAATATAATAATAATATAATAATAATGAATAATTGAATCACATCACAAACCAAACACCCAATCCCTTTAAATAGAACATACTGAACCCAACCAATTTGTAAATAATAAACAATAATATTAATAATACGCTCAATCAATCGGTTAAATTGAATCCAGGTTGTTGAAATTATAATTATACCAGAATATCAGATATAGTCCATGACTCAAAACGAACCAGAGTTTGGTCATAGTTAGTTAGTCTCCAACTATGCGAATGGTGCTTTGTCACCATGATTGACTCGTCAGCAAAAATGCTTTTTCTTTTTTTTTTGGATGAAAAAAATAAAACTATGATATGATGGTCGAAAGTGAACAAACATAGTCATTTAAAAGTAGATAAGATATATTAGAGAGTATATAGATAGAGATATTATATATAAGATGTCTAGTATCGTATCAAGAAGATATCTATGTTTGGCAGTTGCCATGATAATGATGGTGATGTCTTGTTTGATGGTCAACACCGTCACCCAGGGAGCATCAGTCATTGGTATCGACATTGGTGCACAATCCTTCAAGATTGGTTTGATTAAACCAGGATCATTCGAAACTGTTCTCAATGAACAAAGTGGTAGAAAGACACCAACTCAAATCGGTTGGTTTAGAGATGAACGTGTATTTGCATCAGATGCATTTAATATGGTATGAAACATAAAAGATGATGAATATATATATGTTTTACTAACATCTTTCTCTTTCTCTTTCTCTCTATCTATCTAATCTATCTATCTTTATCTTTTATGTTTTAGTGGGCAAGAAACCCAAAACAAGTATATTCAATGTTTCAACCATTATTAGGTACTGTCTACAGAGAAGGAATACTAGAAGAAATTGGTTTGGGATCACTTGGATACAGTGTGTCGAATGACACTCAACGTAATACTTTTGCGATCAAGTATGATGACGAGACCAACTATTCACCAGAGGAATTGCAAGCCATGATCTTTAGAAAGGTCAAAGAGTTGGCATCGGCATCGACACAATCCAACGTCAAGGAATGTGTGATTGCCGTCCCACCCTACCTCACCCAACAACAACGTCAAGGTGTTCTCGATGCCGCCTCATTGGCCGGTCTCAGCGTACTCTCTCTCATCAATGGTATCAATGCTGCCTCGATTAATTTCGCAATGGACAGAACATTTGACAAAAATACCACTGCCATCTTTTACGATATGGGTGCCAAGTCGACCAAACTCTCTTTGGTTCAATTCTCTTCTACCACCATTCTCGATACAAAGACTAAAAAGAATAAGACTACTAGTATGTAAAAAGAAAAAACAAAAAAAAAAAAAGATATAGACAAATAAGATCAATCAATCTAACAACGTCTTCTTTTTGTTTGTTATGATTTAGCTCACAATGTTGTAAAATCAATGGAATGGGATGAAAATCTTGGAGGTATTGATTTTGATATGGTTATTGTCAATCATTTAAAGACATTGATCAAGAAGCAACTCCCAAGTGCAGATACAACCGATAAAAAGTTAACCATCAAGCTTATCAAGGAAGCCAGCAAGATGAAGGAAATGTTGAGCGCCAATCAACAAGCCCACATTTTCATTGGTAGTTTAATCGATGAATTTGATTTCTCTGCTTCAATCTCTCGTAAAGATTTTGAAGATCTAAGTGCTCCATTATTTGAAAGATCAATTCTTCCACTTCAAAGATTAATTGAATCAAATGGTTTAACTCCAGTATGTAAAAAAAAAAAAAGGAAAAAGAAAAAAAGTAATAAGATTATTTACCTCTTTTTGTTTTTTTTTTTCTAGAATGATATTGATTTTATTGAATTAATTGGTGGATGTACAAGAATTCCATCAGTTCAACAAGCATTAAAGACATATTTAAAGAGAGATATATTGGATAAACATTTGAATGGTGATGAATCTGCTTCATCTGGAGCAGCATTCTTTGCAGCTGGACAAACCCATTATTTCAGAGTAAAGGATATTCGTCTCAAGGATATTACTCCATACGCTGTCAATGTCGACATTATCAACAGTGAAGGAAACAATGTTGATACTCCATCGACCGACGGCGGTGCCGACGAAGAGACTGCCACCTTTGACAATCCAAAGGCCTACTTTTTCAAAAAGAACAACAGAATCAACGTCAAAAAGACTCTTTCCTTTAGCACCACCCAACCATTCCTCCTCAACGTCACCTACCCCGAACAAAACGTCAACATTGCCGTCTACAACATCACATCGATCCCACAAGCCAGCGACAGTCTCAACTTTACCGGCAAGCCAAAGATCCACTGTTCGTTGAAACTCAACAGCAACGGTATGGTTGTTTTAGAGCGTGCCGAGGCCGAAGTCACTATTACCTTTAAAAAGTTGAAACCAAAGTCTGCTCCAGCCACACCATCTGACATTAAAAAGGACGAGGATGACGAAGACTCTATCAAAGAGTCACTCGAAGAAGACATCAACCCAGACTTGGAAAAGGAAGAAGAGGAAGCCAAAAAGATCAAGGAGGAAAAGGAGAAAAAGGACGACGAACCAGTTCTCTTCCTCCAACAAGAGTTTGAATGGATCACCAAGACCCAACGTATTCCACTCAACTATACCGTCTCTTACCAAACCGTCCTTCCTCTTTCCAAGGACCAAATCTCTACCCTCAAACAAAGACTTGACGAACTCGACAGCAAGGATGCCGCCCTCAGAGCACTCCACAATGAAAAGAATACATTGGAATCACTCATCTATGACCTTCGCGACAAGCTCGAGGGAGAAGAGTATCTCACATGCTCCACCTCTCAAGAGAGACAAGACATCTCTGACGAACTTGACAAGGCATCCTCTTGGTTGTCCGACGCCCAGGACAATGATCTCACCGATGTCACCGAATACCAAGCTCAAACCAAGAACCTCAAGAAAAAGATTGAAAAGATTGTCAGTAGAATCAACGCCAAGGAACAACTTCCAAAGGTCTTGGATGACTTGTCAGCTCTTGTTGCCAAGGTCAAGGTCATCATGTCCAATGTCACCAAAGACCTAAACATCACCGAAGAAGAGGTGAAATTAAACAATGACAAGATCAACACTATCGATAAATGGGTTGTTGAAAAGAAATCAGAATACAAGGTTGCAGATTTCTCAAAAGATTTATCATTCACATCTACTGATGCAAAGTTTAAATTGTAAGTTAAACAAAAATAATATCAATCAGAATATTTATAATTTCTTTTTTTTTTTTTAGCTATACATTGGAAAACTTAATTAAAGAATTGGCTAAAAAGAAGAGAAAGCCTGCTCCAAAGAAACCAACTACCACAAAGACAAAGGATGAAAAGACAAAGGATGAAAAGACAAAGGATGAAAAGAAAGAAGATAAAAAGGAAGAAGAACCAATTCCACAACAACCACTAGAAACAGATGAACCAAAACATCAAGAACAAAACGATAGTAGTGAAGCTCCAGATATTGAAGGAGATGACCAACAAAATGATAAACCAAAGCAACATGAAAGCCATGGTCATGATGAACTTTAAAAAATAAATCCAAATAATAATAATATTAAAAATCCAACTAAATAATAATAACTATTATTTTATCCATAGTTTTTCCATTGATAGTTTTTTTTTTTTGATTGATTCTTTATATTATAATTTTTTTATAACATTTTAACGTAGTATTATCAAAAGTGAAAGTTTATTGTCGTCTCTTTTCTGCAGCCTTTGCTTCCAAAGCTATTTATAGAATTAGATAGTAGTTAGTATAAGATTTAAACTGAATTATGTCGGCCATTCATTCTTTTGATTTACTTACCTTTCTTTTCTTCTTCTCTCTTTTTGGCTGCTTCTTCTCTTTGTTGTCTGATAACTAATAATCTTTCATAGTCTGCAGCTTGTTGTTTGGCCTTAAATCTTTCGGTGGCTTGTTGTTTGGCAAGTTCTTCCTTTTGACGTCTGCTAAGCTCTGCCTTTTGATCGAGGTTGACATCGCTCAACTTCTTTGTTACGTTTCTCAAGTTTTGTCTATTTGGGTTGACTACTTGTTCTTTTGGAGCAGCAACAACCTCTTCGTCAGATGATTCCTCTTCTTCTGATGATTCTTCTTCAGAGGATTCTACTTCTTCTTCCTCTTCATCTGATGATTCCCACTTCTTTCTACGGATCTCTGCTGCTGCCTCTTCATCCTATATTTATTTGATGATTCGAAACAGTTAACTAATCAATGTTCATTCCATACTAATATTTTCATTTCCACGATGTAATAACTGTAGAAAGCTTTATCTCTCTCTCTCTTCTCTCTCTTTTGCTAGCTAAATGGTTTGATTTATACATACACCAAAAACTTGAACACGCTCAGAACCTCTGTGAGCATTCTTGTTTCTCTCCATCACTTTCTTTTGTTGCTTTTGGTTGAGATTTTGTTTCTCTCTCGCCATTCTCTACCTCTCTTTCTTTGTTCTTGGTTTATAGAATAAGAATATATATATCTATATTGAGAATAAAATAGTAACACGAGTAAAAAATGAATTGGGAATCAGAGTTAGAAAAAAAAAAAAATTAAAAAATAATTAAATTAATTCTTTTTCCCAATAAATATTGGAATGTATATCAATCTATCTCCCTTGGTTCAATTGATAACGATTAATGAACAAATAAGGTAAACCATATCACACACTTTAATTGATTGAAATTATTTTTTTTTGATCACTCTTTTTGTATTTGTTTTTTTTTATTGATTATTTATTTATTATTTTCTATTAACATCATTATATTCAATATAGAATTTCATCTTATTTTTAACAATAACTTTGATTTCTTGATTTAATTTGAGTTCCTTTTGGTCTTCGACAGATTCAGCCAATTCTTTGTGGATTTCTTTTCCATATGGATCTCTTTGACGCAGCTTTAATAGTTTTTCAATGATCACCGTTTTGATTCCCTTGGTCAAATACATGACAGAAACACCTTCGATAAACTCTGTAATCTTTGGATTTTGGACGATGGCATTGTCGGCGACGATGAGATCATAGAATGACTTGGAGATGGTCGATGGCCACTGTCCAAAACGTGATAGTGTCTTGATACGTGACTTTGAGTCTGGATAGCATCGGACAACTGCTTCGATCAAATTGTAGTTGTGGAATCGGAAAATGTTAGGGTCGGAAATATTACTTTCGATAAACTTGATGGCGAGCTCGGGACATTCGTTAAAGAGTTGGGTGACGGTGGTGGTGATGACCTTGGTCTTGGTCTGAGCAAACGCTTCGTATACTTGGGGGTCTCTGATGATGTAGACCCACAAATCACTGAGGTTCGTGTTGACAGAGAATGGTGCTCCTCCAAGATGAGTGTGGCGATAGATTCGAATGGCAAGGGCAATACCCGTTTGGTCATTGTTGGTTGGCATCTTGAAAAATTCGGTTTCTGCAGCGAAATATTCCTGTTTTTGTTCCAATAGATAGGATTCTACTAGTGGCAAGTATCGTTGTGGGTTGGGAATACTGCTGAGCTCATTGACCAGTTGTTGACAGAATTCCCTGTCCTCTACGAGGAATTGGGACTGTGTCAATGTCGATATTTCTAAAAATCTGACCATATTGGAGGCAAACACTGGTTGCTTGATTGTCAACATCTTTTTGAGTAACAAATACGACCACAATGTATTCTTTTGTGCAAGTAGTTGCGAGAGAACCTTGTTGCTGATGGAAACCGAGTTGGTCCAAAGCAGGTCATTGGCAATGAGTGACACGGCCAAGAACCCCATGTTAAAGTCGTGGTCCATGTAGTTGAGGAAGATTCCTGAATCAAATAGACTCTGTCTGACGGTTTGTTTGACATTGAAACAAAACTTGAGAAGCTTGAGGAAATCATATCCTTGTTCGGCCACAAGGAACTGATAACTTGCAAGCATCAAAGGGTGCATATCATGCACATCGTAGCGATGCTCGACAATGTCTTCGAGTGCCCATATCAATCGTTTGGCATCCTTTTCTTCATAGTGCTGTCTGACACGATTACGGTCATTGATTTCATTCTGTGTTCTCGATTTTAAAAGGAATGGTTTTGGCTTGGCAATCAAATAGGTGCCATCTGGTGTATGTCCTTTGATGAGGTGGTCGTGTGCGCTCTTTTGAATGTCGGGGTTACTTGTTTTGCCAAATTGGTCCAAGTTGATTTGGGTCCAGTGCATCAATGTGTTTTTGGCAATCTGACGATCCAATTCCTTGGTAGTGTCGGCAGATAGGGATAGTTTTTCCAATGCTTGACTCTGTTTTTCAAAATACTTGATAAAGCATTGAACGGTGGGCTGGGTGAGTTTGATCTTGAATTCGAGTAATAAATTGATCAACCATCTGTGTGCGAGGTCCATACGATCATAGTGCAAATAAATGGCAACCAAACGATCGATCACTTGGTGTTGTAGTTTGTGGGCATCCTTTTCCTCCCACGACGATCCAGTCTCGTCTTTTTTATCATACAATGCCATGAGTCTATCGATAAACGACTTGCACATAAATTCGCCGTCGGTAGCTTCGTATTGATAGTAGAGGATAATGTTGGCAATGTGGAACGAGATATCAACCTCTCTTTCCTTTTTGGCAAACATCTCCTTCAAGACGGCCTCGTGCACCGGTATGTTTGGTGCGCTTGGTCTGTCCTCGCGGCCAATCATCGCCAAGAGGCGGAGCATTGTTTTCTTGGTTGGATGGGGTGTTTCCAAATAGATGCGCGTCACTTCATCGGGGTCTGACGTCGCCTCGACCAATGCATCGACAATGTCGGAGGCGATTCTCTCGCGCTCGACAATTGGCAACGACAAGTAGAAATCAATGGCAAAGTCTCTGTCATTGTCGAGCAACATCTTGGTGACGGTGTTGGCCGACTCGCTAAACGGCATATTCTCCTCACGGAGCACTTGGAACAGGCCGAGTGGGTTGACGCGGTTGGCCAAGAACGACTTGATCGATGCAATAAAATAGTTGGTTGTGATAAAGTCGACGTTGTGCTTTATGTGCTTTTGGAAAAACTCTATGGCTCGCACTGGCGTGGACACGGTCGTAAAGTATCTAAAGATCGTGTTGAATGGCTGCACAGACATTCTCATCTGCTCGGGTGTCATTGACTGGAACACCTCTATCGCCTTGTCGGGCTCGTCCAACAAGATAAAAGACTCGATGACCATATGCACGACTGCACGGTCGCTCAAAAACTCGGTTGGATATTGTTTTTTGAGACCGTCGATAGAGCTCTCCAAATGTTTTTGACCCCATTCCTTGTGTCCCTGTGACAATCCATATCGCAGTTGTATTTCATAGGTACGCAATCCATAAAAGTATCCAAGTGTTGCAAACATTGATCTAGTATTCTCGTATTGTTGTTTGTCGTCGATCGATGCATAGTATCTTAAAAAGTAATTTAAAATGGTTGAGCTGACAAGTTTCTTTTGTTCAACCACTCCTCCTTTTCCCTTTACATTCTGTGGTTCACATTTAATAGCCCATTCATAAATTTCATTCACCAATTCTACACATTCTCTATTTTCCATTGATGATACTAAATATGATCGAATCCTAGAAATAATTAAATTAATTAAATTTGTAAAGATAGATAGATAGATCTTTTGACCAATAACATACATGTCATGAGTTGAATTGAAATCCTTTTCAAGACTTTTCTTAAAGAATGATAAAGAAGTGATTTTTTCATTTGAAATAGTTGGTTGTTGTTTTTCAGGGGTACTAGCTAAACTACGGTTGCTTGGTGTAACCAATTCAGGACGAATCACTCGTGGCTTTGAAGGATCGTCACGATACTTGTCTACAATGGTTGGTGCATTTCTCTTGAATCTACGCAATTTTGAATCCAATCCAGAGAATTCTTTAGAGTTGTAAATATTCTTTACTCTATCCATTCTTGACTTTTTACCTTCGTAGTTGTTATATCTTTTTTCACTACGATCAAATGATGATGATGATCCTTTGTCTCCATCACGACGTTCAAAAGACTTGTTTCCATCACGACGTTCAAATGATCCTTTGTTTCCATCACGACGTTCAAACGATGATCCTTTGTCTCCATCACGACGTTCATACGATGATCCTTTGTATCCATCACGATGTTGGTAAGATGATGATGATGATGATGACCTATTTCCATCACGATGCTGATATGATGATGACTTGTTTCCATCATTATTATCTCTTCGATTAAATGAACTACTATTACTACCACTACTATTATTACTGTCACGACGATCTTGTGAGTTGTTATTGTATGACTTGTTTCCATCTCTACGTTCGTTTGATGATGATGATCTGTCTCTATTATAATCGTTGCCACCAGTCTTGTACCCAATCGAGTGTATATATGAAGGAGTATAACTACTACTGCTAGTCAAAAGTGTGCCATAACTTGTAAAGGTAGAGGAGTCAGACAATGATCTCAATGGAATACTGCTACTGCTACTAATGCTGCTGCTCACTATTCCCTTTGAGCCAGAGAACTGTAACAATCTCTGAAGTGATCCACTTATCATCATAACCTAACTTGATGATAATTGACTATTACTACTGATCGAAACAAGATTGAGAGTCGAAAGAGAGATATATAACTATAACTATGCATTTTCTCCGAGTATTTTGTTCGTTTTTCATTCTCGCAATTTTAATTAATTAATATCTCTTGGTTGTGTTGAGTTGTTGGTTCGTTTGGTTGACGAAAGGGTTTTGTTTGTTTGTTTGTGTGTGTTGAGAAAGATAGAGAGAGAGAGAGAGAGATAGATTCTCATCGCGATGTATTGTGTATTATGGGGAAAAAGACAAACAACAAGACAAACAAGACTACACTCTCAATATTTTATGGATTTGATGATTGATCGATTCGAATACCCTTTCAATCCACCCACTTCTTTAATATTTTAATATTAAGAATAAGAATAATTAATTAATTCAAACCATTGGATTTGATTCTTTGATCCTAGTAGTAGTAAATTCTTTTAAAAATATCTATTTATCTATCTTTGACACACAGACAATACTTCCCAAACCCAGAAAGAAAATTAAAAAAAATTAAAAAAATTAAAAAAAAAAAAGCTAATATAAAATTTGATTATTATTGTGTATTCTCTCTCTTTTTACTTTAAGACCAGACGCAGCAGCTGACATCATCAACAACATCTCAACCACATTGTCATATCTTGCAGACTATAGTTTTTATCGTCCTTTCTCTCTTTCTTTGTTTGTAGTAGTAGTAGTAGTAGTAGTAGTTTGTTTGCTTCCCCAAGTGTACAACCAACGAACAGTACAAACAAGCAATCAAAAAGATAAATCAACAACGTCACCTGTTACTCAGTATCTACTTAAGAAGAGCAGCAACAGGTAGAAGCAAGTTTAATACAAGTTATTATAGTCGCGATATCAACAGCAACAATCATAATAATAAAAATAATAATAGCAGTATCAGTTTAATTGACAACAGCAATAACAGTGATATAGTAAAAGTAGTAGCAACTAGCAAACCTTTGAATTTTAGTAGTAGTAGTAGTCGTAGTAGTGATCATATTCATTGTAACAGAAACCAGCAGAATATCTATCCTCCTCCTCCTCCTCTTCTTCTTCTTCTTTGTCATCACTATAATAGTAAAAGTAGTATTAGTATTAATAATAGTCAATACAGAAACAATAACAATAACAAATATATAATTATGGATTCAATGAATAGCCGAAGTAGACTTGTTTCATCGTCAAGTGATCAAACAGAGTTTACATCAAGTACTAGCAGCACAACAACCACCAATACGGGAGCGATCGATTCACCATCGCTCTCATCGTCATCGTCATCTACTTCTTCATCCACTTCTACCTCTCCACTGTCGAATGGCAAACCACATGCACCATCAAGAAGCAGCAGTCAGATTTCATTGTCTTCGTCACAACCATCGTTGAATAGAGGCATATCAATGGGTGCCATACCAACAACTAGATCAACCGCCGATATGCCTCCACCCCCTCTTCCACCTAATCACGAGCGTCTACTCCTCCCCATAGCCGATCTGCGACTTCACACTGAACAAAGAATGAAGGAGGAATTTATGACTTTGGAATCGATCTATCACAACAGCATTCATGTTACCATTGAAGGAACTCAAAAATATAACACATCAAAGAATAGATATACAAATATTTTACCATGTACGGAGAGAGAAGTTAATCAGACGACGATCGTCGTTTGATATATCATGCAGGTCAATGGTTCATTATACTAATCATTCCTCTTATATTCTTTTTTTAATATATTAATCTAGGCGATTTAACAAGAGTTAAACTTGAAAAGGTCAATGGACAAGAAGGATCAGATTATATTAATGCAAATTTCATTGATGTATGTGTTTTTTTTTTGGCTAAATACACTTGTATTCCACAATGGTTACTAACTAATACCATCATCATCATCATTTAGGGAGAATATGATAGACAATATATTTGTACGCAAGGACCTTTACAAAACACAATAGCAGACTTTTGGAGAATGGTTTGGGAAAACGAATCTTACATTATTGTAATGCTCTCCAAAGAGCTCGAAAATTGTAGACCAAAGTGCGATCGTTATTGGTCAGAGACTGATCCCGTCAACTTTGAAAAGTTTTGTGTAAAATTAAAAGAGATTGTTAGAGATGAAGAACGAGAAATTATTACTAGAACTTTTATACTAACAAATGCCACTGTATGTATATTGGAGATAACAACAATGATAGTGACCATGTTTACTTATTAGTCTTTCTTTTTTTTTTAATAGAATAATGAATCAAGAATCATTACACATTATCAATATGAAGGATGGCCTGATCACAATGCACCAAATGATACGGAGCCACTTAGATGTTTATTACATTTAATCAACCAAAATCAAAATGATTTACCAGAGAAGGATCAAGCAAACCCAATAGTTGTGCATTGTAGTGCCGGTGTTGGGAGAACAGGAACATTTTGTACAGTCCATATAATGATGAGCAGAATTGATAACTCTCCGTTAGATAAAGTAGATTTCAACCTTTATAGTGTAGTAAATAATCTAAGAAAACAAAGACCTGGTATGGTCCAACAATTGGAACAATATCTATTTTGCTATGAGGCAATTGAAGATGAATTAAGAGAAAGAAATATCACATAAAAGCAATAATAATAATAATAATGATAATGATAATAATAATAGTTTAATCAAGAATAATAGTATGATAATAATAATAATAATAATAATAATAGAATCTCCAAAGTAATGTAAATTGATATTTTAGATCCAAACAGATTCCCTCAAAAGGATATACAATCCCATTCACACAACATCTTATTGTATTTCTCCACCCATCACCAACACCAACACCAACACCACTCCAACATCAAACAAGGTAGTACACCTTTATTGTCCCCTTATTCAACAAGCTAATAATAACAACAAATGAATGATAATAACAACAATAACAACAACAATAATAATAATAATTTAAAATAACTAGATAAGAATAAATGAATGAATACTTAATTATATAATTAAAAAAAAGAAAAGGAGGAAATAATTTCCATTGACGATGCGTTTATATAATTGTATTTTTATACAATTCCTAGTTTAATGAGATCTATTCTTTTTCTTCCAAACTTTTAATACTTCATTATCATTTTGATGCATACCAATGATACCAACCAATCTACAAACTGGTGCTAGAATGATATCAAAGAATGGGAAATAGAATGGAGTGAGACCAGCTGACAAGATGACACACATTTTTGTGGTAATGTCCACTGCAATGTGATAGTCTCCACTTTGAACACCAGTGACGACAGCGTCGGCAACCACCTTTGGATGTACTGCCTTGCCACCACCCGAGATGATCTTGGTTTCTTCTGGTTTGGTGAGATTCTCTTGTGCATAACCTGGAGTGTCGGTATCGGGTGGATAGACGACTGAAAAGGTGATTCCGTATGGAGCAAGCTCGCTTCTCATGGTTTGAGCGAGACCGCATACGGCAAACTTGGCAGGACAATAGGTGGTGTAACCTGGAACACCAATAACACCACAAGTCGATGAAACAAAGACAATGTGTCCACCTCCATTCTCGATCATATGTGGGACAATCTCTTTGCAAGCGTACAATGTTCCAAAATAGTCCAATTGCATGGTGGATTCAAACACCTCTGAGTCTTGATCCAAAAAGTATCCTGGAACAGCCAAACCGGCACAATTAACCAAACAATCAACCTTTTTACTTTCAATAATAGATGTCATCGTAGTCTTTACATTTTCTTTCTTTGATACATCACATGAATAAACTTCAATCTTGCTTTTATATTTCTGTTTGAAGATGAATTGATCAGAGTAAATATAATATCTTAATCTATCTATCTATCTATATTCGAATTGATTGACAATTACCTCATCAGCACCATCAACAACAGCTCTCATCTTTTCTAAACTTCTAGAGACGATTGATACTCTAGATACATCACGACGAAGTAAGCTGTAGACCAACTCTTTGCCAATACCGCTAGAACCTCCAACAACCACTACATGTTTACCTTTGAAACTATAGTTTTTCTTTCTGTAGATACCATACAGTGCAAGAGATGCTATAAGTGCTACTATAATATAAATCATCTTTCTCTCTCTCTCTCTCTTTTGTTTTTTATTAATAATCACTTTAATGTGTACACAAACTATGAAACCCAATTTCTTTCAATTTAATTTTCATTATTTGTTTCTTTTCATAATATATTATAATTTTATACTTATCTTTTGCTTTTTCAAGACTTTGGGGACTCACAAGAATGAAGTGGATAGCATTTAGGTCTCTTGTCGGTCAAGTCCAAGTGGATGATTAGATTGAACCCTAGGTTGAATACGTGGGAGTTACAAAGGAGAAAGGAAGTTAAAGATTACGTTCACTCAATTACACAACATCAAATATCGAAAGGACTCAATTGTACAGTCTGGAATTAATCCAAAGACATCTTACCAAGTATGAAAAGAAGTCGATCTACCATACTTCACTTTGTTAAGAGTGCACGTATGTGATGTAGATCTAATGGGTCTGGCTATGGTATTCCCGTACTTGTACGATTCGATGTATATGGATGTAGACGGCTAGTATATTAACCAGTTGATTATACTCGATAACAAGTGATTATTTAACTTGGTTGATTCAATTCATTTTAATTTGAATCTCCTACATCTTTATATTAACCTATTTCTACTGCTTAACCTATGGTCTTGGGCTGATTCAAGATGTATTGAAACCATTTAAGAATTGTGTTGATCATTGTTTCACTATTTGGCATACTTGTACCGTTCCCATTCAACCAACTAATTCGATTCGAGTTGACAAATAGTGAAACAATCAACTTCTAGTTTGTTCAAAAGAGCTCCCACTGGGCAGTATCCAACATATCTTTATCAATTGTAATTATTCATAATCTATTTATTATTAATATAATATAAATCCTTTTTTCTTTCGAAAATATATTATAAATATACACCTTCTAGCCCACATTCAAATTAGTAATTAGATGAATAAACTTTAGATTTATTTAAATAATCTTTTGTTGGTGATACGCCTATTCGCTTTTTGGCTATATATATATATATTTCCAAAGTGAGCGATGATCAATGTTCTTGTGATTTCAATAAGCTCTGATGGTAGACAAGCTCAATGATTCCACCAATATTGAAACCAGCCGAATTAAATGAATGGTCATTCCAATCCGAGATTGCATTGTTAAACATAATGGTGGCATCGAATTTATACCAATTGGTATAGACTATTTGAACGTCACATTTCTTGACAATAATATCAAATACATTACCCCAATCTTGACCGTTGAATTGAGCGAGACCATCAATAGCAGTGAATACACTGGTCTGATGACATGCGCTAGTGGCAGCCTTGATAGAGTTGATACTGTTTGCAAAATGATTGAGACCAGTCTTGATGTCTGTGATTTGGTTACTAGCCAATCCACTTTCAATTAGTTTTAATCCTTTACCAAGTTGCTCTGTAAATGATTCATCCAAACCAAAATCATTCAAACATGATTCAATTGTTGGATCTACAATTTGACGCTAAAAAAAAATGTATACTATATTAGTTATCTATTTATTGCGTGTGCCAGCAAAATAATAATATTCCTCTAACCAACTTACAGTGACACCAGATACAACACCAGACAAGAAATCACCTGCTCTGAATATAGGTTTATGTGATGATGATGATGATAAAGATGAATCATCGGTAACACTCGCGATGCCAAATTGAGCAGACTGATCCTCTCCTTGTTGTCGTGACACGACAACAGAGTCACATTGACATGCCAACAATAATGTACTACTGATCACTAAAAATAATACTACAAATGCATTTATCTGTTGTTTCATGATTCTTTTAAACTATTACTTGTGGTAACTATTTGTTTGAATCTACATCATCTGACGTAGTTTTAATAACTAAATGAATTAATCGCATTTAATGAATATAATCATTGATGCCTCGTCACAAACACAAGTGTCTTGTCATCATTTTTTTCATTAAATTATTTTAATACATTATTTTTCTGAGCTCTCTGTTGAGATCATGGACAGGACAAAGGTGTCACACGAATCTCAATGATGGCCAAGATCAGTTCCAATTCAGGCGTTCGTCTGGTGACCTCATCACCTGTAGAATCTTCAAAAGAAAGTTCTTTCTCTGGTGCTTATTTTTAATATTACTATTTCCCAAAGAAATTACAATAACCCAATAGATTAAATTATTATTATTATTATACCGGAATCTATTTCACTCTATCTTTTATATTTATCAAATGGGATGCAGTATAGATTGGCCGACCCTTTCATTTTTTTGTGAAGTTAGATCGGATTGAGTGCCATGGGGTAAAAAAAACACACAAATATCGAGAATATCTTGCCCAACCATCCGAGCTCTCTGTTTTAAAAATAATTGGTGTCTGTTGATATTTCTCTATGTTTATGGGGTAGGGATCCCTTTGCGCAAAGTGCGCTTTGTCGTTCTGTGCGGAAAGATCGATTCCGAAATGTTCTTTATCGCAAGCCATACAACTCACCCTGCAAGTGAGCATTTTCTAGTTTGAAAGGTCACCTGTTCTTATTGGCTTGTTTTTATGCAGCTGCCCGAAGAAATCACCGCAATGCGAGCATGGATGGGAAATAATAACAGCACACAATGATATTTCCATTCTGCCGCTATTCTTCACGACCCATTATTACCAAGGTAAAAAACATACCATCTTGCACCAAAATTAAATAACCAACCTCCTCTCTTTGGTGCCAACCAAACAACATCCGTCATCGCAATCATTGTCTACACTTTTTCAAACATAGAGATTTAGTAATAATATTATTTGTAACAGTAGTAGTAGTTGTGTAATAGTATAGTAGTAGAACAGGATAGGTGGATAGTCAAATTTTTTTCATACTTTGAAAAAAAAAAATGAATTCTCCTATTCTGTCATTGGTATCATTCCTTTTAGTTTTCATCCTATTCAATCAACAACAAGTAATAGTAGATGGAGAGATAATAAATACTGTTAAATATATACAATACTACAATGGTCCATACTTTAATCCTACTTTGATGACTGGATGTCTCATGCGATTCTCTGTCTATGTCTTGCTAGACAATGACACTTATGTTCAAACCATCAACCATCTTGCATCACCACAAGTAAATTTTACCGATGTCGAGGATCGCGGATCCTTTGTTATCGATGGCTACAACTATCAGCAGTTTGTAGTGGAGGTGTTTACGCCTGTCGTAGGATACACCAACCTTTACTTTGATTTAGTCGATCCCCTAGACGTTGTCATCGACTCGTTCTACCAAGGTTACGAGTGCTTCCAACCATCTACTCCTAGTGGCCTCTTGCCCACCTCGTCAATAGTTCGCACCGCCGACAAATTCAAAAGTGTCATCAGTATCAACTATCCCTCAAAAACAGAGATGTTTACGGTCATGAATATTGCACCAGACTGCAGTACTTCAACCTACGACTGCTCGATCAAGCTTCTCTACTCGATATATAGAAGCTGGGCAGTCTACAATTCCTTTTACCAGTTGGAGTTTTCTCCAAAACAAATCAAAACAACCACCATCCAATTATCAATCAAAGATGTCAATGGTACTTTGGTAAAAGATATAAGTGGAAGTTTACCTTGTAAGTAATATAAATATATATATAAATATAATAATTATACTTTAGTTATTTCCATTTATTTATTTTACTTTTTCTTTTTCTTTTTCTTTTTAGCTACTCCAAATACCATTTCTACATGGACTGGAGTATATAATCCACAGACTACAGGACAACCATCTGGACTACCACTACCAGTTATGTTGAGCTTAACAAATATCAATGTGTCCTCTTTGGTCTACGCCAATTCACAAACTGGTAGCATCTCTTCACGTCTTGGATTTATACCAATCTCACAAAACTATAATTCCACTGCTTTCAATGCCATTGCCGTCCAACAAATCATTGCCGACACGACCTATTCCATCAACACGTTTTTGTACGACCAGTCTAGCCCGTCGTCTCAAAACGCTGCATTCAGTTACCAACAATTACGACCAGTGGTTCAAGATAAAACAAACTACACAACGCAATATGATATTAGAACATTTAATTTCCAAAATTATTCGTTCCAAGTATCAAGTATGAGTGGATACCTTCAAATACCTATTACCTTGCCTATTCCATCCTATCCCTTTGGGTATAAATCTGGTGCTGCCAATAATTATGTATTGGAATGGTTTAGATTACAGCATACTTATAATACTTCCAAGACCTTTGTCCCTGAATCAAACAAAGGTAAATTTAAAATCTCCCAACCATTTTATTTTATTATTATTATTATTATTTGTATTATTTACTCTTATATTTTTTTTTAAATAATAGTTTCAATGGCTCCTTTTATTGTAGATTTTAGTGTCTATAATGTAAGATCGTATTGGAATGCCTATGATAGATTATCGTGGATCTGGGAAATCGATGTCTTTGGAGTATCGCCAGGAGTAATCTATTCCTTTGAAATACCAGAATTTAATGTCAAATTGTATCCATTGGATAATTATAGGGATACAGGATATTTATTTGAGTTCCATATGGCAGTTTCGCTCTCTCGTTTAGAAACTGGCTCCTACACTATCATTGTTTGTGATTTCCAATCCAATTGTAGAACATACTACTCTGGAGATCATGTTGTAAATTTTTATAATACCGAACAAAACTATCTATGGGATATCTTTGGTTTGTATATGAACATTTTTAAAAATAGTCCTTGTTTGACAAAGTTTTAACCAGACCCCCTCTTTCCTCTTCTTCTTCTTATTCTTCCTTCTTTCTCCATGTCTCACTATAGACAAGAGTTTAATAGGTTCCTATTCGAGTGTAAATTCAATTACCAATTTGGTCTTTACCAATCGTAAATATGATGTGTCTCAACAATCTCAAACTGCGACTGTCTATGTTTATGAATCCAGCAACAGAGAATATTTTGATTCATCGTGTCCTCCAATCCTTGAACTCTTCCCAACAAACAGTGATGTCCATAAACTCAAGAAAATGACATACCTAGGTTACTATGATGCTTCACTTCAGTTGTTTGTTGTTAATTTCACCATCCCTCAAGGAATGTTACCTGGTATTCTGGATTATAAAATTTATCAATGTGGTACTGTTTTATTTTCAAATATTCAAAAAACACTTTACCCAACTTTATCAAATTATACTTTGGAAATCATCTCATGTAAATATATATATAAAGAAATAATAATAATAATAATTACTCTGATATATAAATCTAACAATTAAATTTTTTAATTTATTTAGCTGGTATTACATTAGGACCATTGGTATCTGATTTATTATTTACTAAAACAAATAATACACATATCAATGTAACGTTTGTAATTGATAGCTCATATGGTCTGTCATGGTTGGAATGTAATATTACAAGTCATATTGATCCATTACCATACACACTACGATTAGATGTTGAGGGAGGTGTAAACAAGCCGATCGTTCCCGGAGGAAAATCATATATGGCATGGCTCATAGTAGATCCATCTTCAAAGGCACAAACCTTTAGAATCGAAAGTATCATTGCCATGGATAGAGCTTGGAACCATGTCGATTCTAGTCTTCCAAACAACTATCCCCATCCACTCGTCAAGGTATCCAATAAGAACTCTTTTGCCTACATCCCATCCTCTCCCATCACAACCTCGCCAACCCCGGTCAACATTACCAACTTTAGGGCAGTATTACCTTCTAGCAGCCAATCACCCGATAGAAGATGCAACATTACCTTTACAGTGAATAATAATAACTCCAAACTGTTCAACCGTCATCTTCCAGTGGTTTATTTTGATGATGGTTTCGCTATTGTCAACAGTGATCCATGTACTCTAAATGTAGTTGGATCGTTAAACAACTATACTTGCACGCTCAACATGCCATTCAATTATGGTCAATTAAATAGAACAATATTAGTTTCCATCTATGGGTTCATGGACTTGGATTATAATTTCTATGGCTTTACGACCGATGATTTATTCTACATGTTTGGAATAAAATCGATCTACACCCTCTCCTATCCCTCCTCGAATGCAAAACCAACCTTTTTGTCTGGATGTACCCCACCCATTACAAGAGACGGAGGTTACTGCATGCTTAATGGATACAATATAGATGCCAACATGGATTTATATTGTAGCACCAACCTAAACGAAAAGTTTGAGTTGTATGTCGATTATACAATTTCGAGACAAGCAATTACCGTTTTCATTGACCCATTCAAGGGAGACTCTCTAAACTGCTTTGGTGTAAGACCTTTATCTTTATACACTACCAACAACTTTACCATTGTTCCCGTAGGTGTAAAGCCATTTGTTCCTCCACCTCTTCCTCTTGCATGTGGTAATGACACTACTATCCCCGGTGCAGTCCTTTGTTCGGGACATGGAACATGTATCGAGGCTGTTGGATGTAGATGTCTTGGAAAGTACTCTGGTCAATACTGCAACTCTACCATCATCGATGGAGTTGATAATATCTCTAATTTCTCAAACCCAAGCACCGATATTATCAAGGGAGCCGATTCGTTGGCCAGTATTTCATTACTTGGTCTCAGAGAACTAGCCTTGGATGGTACAACCGTCAGAGATATCACACTTTCCAATTGGACATACAGCAACTCGACCAATAATGAAACACTTCGAATTACTCACTCCTATTCGGCCAATGTCGACGGTCACGAGAATGCATTGGTTACAGTATCAATTGCATGGTTCCAAAAGAGTGAGAATATTTCATTTGCCTCTCAAATACTGTTTATGACACCTTACACTGCAAAGTTCTCAGTCATGGTCACCGAATTTCCATTCCAAAACACTCTAAACACCCTTCAAGTATTGTTCTCATCAGTCATTCGTGGTAACACATCCCTAGGTGTCGGATGCTCTGATGGAGGTGGAATTGAAAAGCCAACAGATTTTGATCAATATCTTTCTTTAGATTTAAATGAACAAAGTTTATTATCGCGGTTCCAGCCATATGGAATTGTGTATGTATCATAATATTAATAATTATGAATTCATTCTTTTTTATATTAACAATTCTTTGTTCTCTAGTGACCAAAGAATTATATTAATCAAAAATGAATTATTATCATTTGATATCAACGCTGATAATATTACTGCAATTGTAGCTTTGAATGTTCCACATTTTACAACTGTCACCAGTCTGGACCCAGAGTAAATATTAACTATATAATTATAATAATTAACTTTTAATGTAATTAAAAATGTTTTACTAATAATTTAATTTAATTTAATTTTTGTATAGTTTTTCTTTATTGCTCAATAGTAAAACTGGAAATGGAAATGGTTGTGAATCAGATAGTTCAAATACCAGTATGTCAATTAAAACAATCGTAATTATAGTGGTAGCTACAGCTGCAGGAGTCAGTATTGCTATCGCCTCTGCCATTTTGATCAAGACCAAGATTTTAAAGAAACGTGACGCTAAACAAGTATCATCAAAGCTTAACAAAATAGCTGCCAAACACAATGCATAACCCTAAAACTAAAAATATTAATATTCCTTTATAACAAAATAAATTTATTGTAGCATCAAGCAGTACCATCGTAAGAAATATTTGTTTGGTTGGTTGTGGTTTGGAAGTGTATATAGAAATATTTATCATTGTCTATCTATTTATTTATTTATTTACTTGTTGTCTCAAAACTTTAATCTCTTCCAATAAAGCAGAAATGGTTGTATTCATTTGAGAAATAAGAGAAGAAGTAATCTTTTGTTCCAAGTCTTGAATGGCATTTATCATTTTGGTAGAGTCATTATTTTGGTTCTCTCCCAACAAAGACATTGAAGTTTCAATTGGGAATAATGATAAAGAATTATTATGTTCAATCTAAAAAAAAAAAAAAGAAGAGATGGATAATTAATATTTCGTTAATTATATATTTAAATTTAATATATATGAGTCTCATACCTTGTAAAGAGCATTAAGTTCAGAATCAGAGAATTGGTTTTGTTGATTATTGATTACACGTTCCTTGAGATAGGCAAAGAAATAGAGGTAATACCATTTGTTGTGATCATCTTCTACGTGTTTGTGGAAATCGATACCTTTCTTTTGGAAAACTTCTCTTTCAATCGAACAAATAAAACAATAATTTGTCTTGTAATCTTCAGTTTGAGATCTTTGATCACGCAACTGTCCAAAAGTATCGACAATAATACCAAGTACCACATTCAACAAAATAATTGTTGTGATGATATAGAATATTACATTGAAAACTGTCCAAGCAATTACCATTCCAGCTCCATCATTTGATTCTCCAAAGTCATGATACTCTAAGAATTGTACTAATTGACCATTTGATGGAATACTATAAAAAAAATTAGTTAATAAATTAAAAAAATAAAATATTTATGATATATAATAATTGTGTTTACTTACCCAAAATAAATATTTGTAATAAAACATTGGAAAAAGGTATTACACATTTTTGATACAACGCCATCGTCAGTACTTTGATATCTATCAGAGAAAAATGCATACGAGAAAATTGATAATAAATAAGTTGCTTGAATAATAAATACACCCATTAATAACAGAGTTCCTTTGTTCATTGCCAATGCCTAAAAAAAAAATAGAAATAGAAAAAAAATATTAGAATCTATTATATCAATATATATATTATATTTTTTGGTTTTACTTACCTTTATAACAATACCAAGAGCTTTTGTTTTTACAGTTACTTGGAATAGATGGAATGCGAAAAAGAATGGGTGGATTGCCAATCCCAATACAGAAAATACAATTGCAAGTATATAATATACAGATTTGGCATCGGATGAAATAAATACAATATTTAGAGAAAGGAATTTATATATATTAAACCTTGATCTTATATTTTGCTAAAAATTGGAAATGAAATGTTAATATATATTATATAATTCGGATTAATTATTTTTTTATGTGTCACTTACCATTCTTTCATGATTTGTTCTCAACATGAAGGATCTTTCATTACCAAGGTATTTCATCCAACCTCTAAATAATATGATTGAACCATAACGAATAAAATAGGATATACAAGTTAAAAGGGAAAAGAGTAATTGAAGGAGACCGAGTGGATAGATAACTGCGTTGTATCTTGTTGTTCCAAAATCCTTTTTAAAGGTAGAGTATGGGTCCATAGAATAGATGACGAGGAGAACATTGATGATGCAAGCCAAAAAGAAATTGGTCCATCTCCAAATTTCAATGTTGGTCGCCACACGATAGGTAAGGGGTTGAGATTTGAGTTTAAAGAGGTGTTCTAGATCGATCAACTTGTTTTCCGACCAATCCATAAAAGAGTCTAGCTTTTCGGTTGTTTTGTTCCAGTTTATGTGATTGTTGATAAAGTATTCCTCGAGGTTCTCTTGGAAGGCATTTTCATCACTTCGAATCTTTGACTGCTCCCTATCGTCGAGAATGAGACGACGACTATAGGAAGGGATTGGAAAGTAGATACGTTCCAACTTTCCATTGTGGAACATTTCTACACGACCGATTCTCGAACGACAATGCTCACCACAAGCCAACAAGCATTCAGCCAAACGACGGTTATGAGACTTGTCGTTATCGGCTAGGATCTTGACCAAACGGAAAGACATACTGGCCAATTTAATGGATCCTTCGTTGTGTTCAGATTTTGATTGTTGGAATATCTTTGTGTTTTCTTCAATCACTGAGAAATCCATTTCCTCAATCATCTTGGCAATGACTGTCGGGTGCTCACGATCGACAACATGCAACAAAAAGTCAATCACTTCAATCTTGAGGTTGAGATAGAGATCGTGTTGTTGCTGCTTGGCGTCGTTGGGAATGGTCTTTCTGAGAATATTACAGACGGCCTTACACATTTGGACATTGGTGACTGCAATTTGATTGGCCTGGGTGTGTTTGACGATTTCCTTCATGCAGCTAAAGAAACGGAGACCGAGATTAATCGACTCTGGGTCAAAGTCAACGATGGTCTCGAGGATCTTGAGGAACTGACACATCTCTTTCAAGAGGTCGTACGACTTGTAATTGTCGGGTTGAAGACGAATATAGTTTTTAAAGAGATTCGAGCTACCTTGACAGAGCAATTGGAGTACTCTAAAGATATTGGACATCATCAAAAACTCTTGACTGTATGGGTTGTGGTCATTGTCAGTCTCTAGCGTCGAACGTTCGTGGTACATGCCAATGGTCTGGCGTCTTGCACCCAATGAAAGATTTCCTCCAATGTTGTGTTTGAATGTCTCTAGACGGATGTTTCTCTTGGTGTCTCTAAGATTGCATTTGGCACGCTCCATCATCTCATAGATGTTTCTAAAGAATTGAATGTCTGGCGACGAAGTAAAGTACGATTGGATGGCATCCTTTACATGCTCGTTTGGCTTTGGATTGGTGGGATCTGACTGACCCTCTAGCAAAACCAACAAGAGTGACAATGCCTGTTGTTGAACCTGGTAGGATTTAGATCCAAGCAATCCAATACATGCTTGATGGCAATACATCTGTGTCAGCTGTTCTTGCATCTCTTTTTTGTTGTGTGGATGACAGTCCAAAACAGAGAGGAGGATTTGAGAGCAGTGCAATTTGAGTTCGTTGTTTTCAAACAAGGTGTTTCGAAGTTGGAACACTAAAATCTCGAGATAGGTATTCTTTTTCGAGGCACCATTGACAGAGGAAGTGCTGGATGCATTGGAGAATGTTGACAGTGTTAAATTGTCTCGTTGGCTGGTCGAGTATGGGTTTTGGTAGAGTGGTTGCGAAGGTGTTTCACGCATAATCTCTGATTGCATGAGTGAGTGTGCCTTGTCACGCTCGATGGCCATCAGTGCAAGCTGTTGGTAGCCACGTTCCTTGATCAATCGGATGATGGGGTGTTCTTTGGATACTTCATTGAGATAGGTCGACTGCTTGGACACGAGTGCAATCGAGGTGACTGGGTGGTCAGAGACCGTATCGCGACGTCGTGACCATTTCGAGCTGAGGTGGTCGAGACGCACGATAATCTCTTCGAATCCACGAATCACCTCGGATACTGACGAGATGGACGATGATGGTGCGGCGGTAGGCGAGATGGCACTTCTGTCCATAGCCTTGAGCAACTTGACCAAAGAGTTTAGCAGAATGATCTTTTCCGATGGATCGAGACCCGAGAGAATCGGGTTGATACCTCCACTCGAACCACTGGCATCGTCGGGAAAGAGTACCTTGTTTTGTTGCTGGAGAGAGGCACTCGATGCTGTAGTGGGGATGGGTAGACTTTCATCGACACTGTACAATTTGAGTAGGCTGCCCATCAACAAACTACTGTAGTGGATGTGTTTGGGTGTCGCCTTGTCATAGTAGAAACACTGGGAATAGAATCGCTCCATAGTCGATACCATTGGTAAAATAACCATACGACTCATCAACAAAAAGTAGTCTCTTGACATACGATGCAAAGCGTGGCACGTATACAGATGCTGTAGCTGGTTGGTGAACTGGCTGATCAACGTCCACAAGTTTTCGTTGAGCTGTAGTGCCAACAAATCACCCTTGAGCGTGTCACTGTTAAAGTAGACCTCGTGCAAAAAGGCAAGATACGTAGTCTTGAATCTAAATGGCACGTTGCTGTCGAGGTTCTCCTTGTTGTCGTGGATGAGCAGCGACGATTCGACACCAGCTGCATTGTTGCTAATGACGAGAATCGAAAGACAGTCGTACATGGAGATAAAATCACGACAAATGATTTCCGTGGGCACATTACGACCGTTGCTACACGAAGTCAACAACCAAATGAGCTCCATGTTGACCAAAAACTCGCGTGGCAATATTTCAGTGTTGAGAAGCATGTGTTTGGCCGTGGATCTGATCAACTTGGGTCCACCACCAAGCTTGAGTGTGTTGTTCATGGTAGACGAGAGCGAACCTGCCAATTGAGGATCCTCTAGGTTCTGAAGGGCCTGAGCAATGACATCGTTTAATGCAACTTGGAGACGATGCGACTCTGACGTGTTGACATTGAAAAACTTGGTCATAGTAGCACCCTTGCTGTCTTGCATTACCTGACGAACGGTGTCTAATGGTAACAACCACTTTGACACTACAAAGAAATGTTCCTTGATGAGATTAGAAATGGCAATTTGAATTTCAATGACTGAATTACCACCTGGCACCATAATGACTTGAAGGAACTTTAAAAATACTGGATCTATTTGCATAATACTCTCTTGTTGAATGATAAATTCAACCAATAATTTCATATAGGGAGTTTCACTAAACTTTGTACATAGTTGAATATTATCTTTGAAAATCTCCATCAATGTCTCTACAGTTCCAAATATGTTGCCATAACGAATTAAATGACCAATTAAAAATTCTATATAGTTGAATAGTATCTTTTGATTGTCTGTATTGTTTCTACAATATGATCGTAAAAACTCATAACATCCTCTAAAAATCTTGGCAACATAATAACTATTATTATGTGTACTACTAATATTAATATTTGTTAATGATGATGATGTCGAAATTGTATTATTACTATTATTATTATTATTATTATTACTACTACTGTTTGTTGGTATTGAATTATTATTATTATTATTATTATTATTATTATTATTATTATTATTATTATTATTATTACTAATATCTAAAGTAAAATCAACAATATCTTTTAAATCTTCCAAAGAACAACCCATTTTTAAAACACCAAATAATCTTTTATGAATATCCATCATTCTAAACATATCTTGATTATGTTTGATACGATTGAATTCACCCGAAGAAGAATTGGGATCGAGGTTACAAAGTTTGGTAAAATCTGTTAAAATACGGAGCACCTCTTCAGTGTCTTGATGACTGAGAGGATTGGAACAAAACTTTGTCAAATCTTCCATACGTCTGACTGATTGGTCATAGATACTATTGGCAACGTTTGAAGAGAGGATCATTAACTTTTTAACTGGGTTGCTGAGGAGAGCATAGTGACTCTGGTACTTGTAGATACGTGTCAAGAGGTCGAGTACCAAACTTGTCAGTACATTGTTTTCATGTTTGAGCAATGAAAACAATGTATTGGTAAAGGTGTTTTTGTGTGTCACCATTGCCGATCTCTGAGCTTGTGTGTTGTGGTTATTACTAGAGGCCGAGGTTGTAGGACTACTTGGTCGTTGTCCTAAAAAGGTGCCCATCATTTTCTTGATGTTGGCCTCTGCCAATCCAGCAGCCTCAAAGTTGTGTGTGGGCGACGAGGCAGCATTGCGTATAGAGTCGGTCTTTGACATTTCGTAGAGGAAGCCTTCAAAGACTGTCTTTTTCTGGAGACTGAGCATAATGTGGAGGATGTTGAGTATCTCTATCTTGATGGATACTAGAACGGTACTGTCGTCCTCGAGTAGTCTGCTTCCACCCATGGTGCGGCCAAGATCGACTTGCACGGCATGGTCATTACCCTCGTTTTGCAACTCGAGGATATCACGAAGACGGTTGAGTAGCAGCTTCTCCTTGCGCTTGAAAAAGCCAAACTTGAATGCGTATCGAACGGCAATAAGGATCTTGTAAAAGAAACGCCACTGTGAACGCTGTCTCTCGGCCTCGTGCGACATAAACATATTGTTCCACGAAAAGTTTTCTGGTCTGAGAACATAGCTCATGAGGAATTGTGAAATGTTGGATGGATCAATATTGTGAATTGGATCGTGTCCGAGAAACGTGGTAAAGATCTCGTCTTGGTCGAGCGAGACGGTCTGCGATGGAATACGTGGCGATGTGCCATATGCTGGGTTGGCACCGTTTTGCAATGGCGACATGCCCAGATCGTTGGTTGAGTTGGAGTGCTTGGTGCGCAATCCACCACTCTGCTGTTGTTGGTGTTGGAGGTTCATCTGGTTGGCAGTGGATGCGACCGAGACTGATATCGGACCACCCCCTCCTCCCATACCCAATCCGTTGGGTGAGTTGACTGATCCGCTGCCGTGTTGGTATCCCGACGGTGCCTCCATGGTCAGAGGATTCCAGAGATAGTTGATCTTGGCATAGGGTTTCTGAGGATAACAATCCATAAACACGTGGATGACGAGATGTGTGTAGCTGCCACGCAGACCAAATGGAAGATTGTCGTCTTTGAGACAGAGGAAGCATTCCTTGTACGAAGCAAAGTTGCCAATCAGACGAATACCATTGTAGTTTCGTCCGCGACTGACATTGGCGTACAGTGCCAACGACTGCTCAAAGTAACGTTGACGATCCTCTCTACCGCGATTCATAAACTCGGCCATGGTCATCCATGTACCGTCCACTTCTATTTCGACGCTCTGTGTGACACGCGTACGCATCATCAACTGAGGGTTTTTTTCGAGCAAGAGACTGCACAGGTATTGTTGATTCTTGACGATGGGGTGTCCATTGCAATGACAAATCTCTGACAATAGCTCCATGTATCGTGGGTCTTTGGTCAACTTCATATTATCGATAAACTCGCTGACCTTGTCTTCAGTGATGCTTCCAAGTAGTATATTATTGTTTCGGTAGATATCGAGCAAGATTGAACCAAGACCAAAGGCAATCATCTCACTTCGTAGATGGATCGGTCCGGCAATATGACGGAAATGTTTGTGTACGGCAATCGCATTTTTGATGTTGCTCTTTACAACGAGCTTGAGAAGTCGATAGATGTATCCAATCAATGGAAACTCTTGACGACGATCAGAGGTGGAAAAGAAACGTGATAATAGATCCATCATGGTATTGATGGCAAATGGTGATGCCAATAGATTCTGATGCGTTGTGATTGGTGTACCCTCGCGCTCCAATGCATCGAGATCTGATTGTGTACAAAACTTGATCAACTCTACCAAAATAGAACGCACCTCTTGAATGGTAACCTTTTTTCTCATCTCTAACAATCCATTACCACCTCCCAAATAACTTTGTAGTTTGTTTAATCTTACAATCACATAATTATAATCATCCATTTGTGATCTTGGTATTTGTTTAATTTGAAAATCATCATTTTTAAAATGTTTTTTTGTTCCTACAAGCTAAACAAAATCAAAATAAATAAACAAATCGAATATTAATATTTAGATCCTTTTTCTTTTCTTTTCTCTTTTCTTACATCTCCATTATTATGAAAAGTTTCATCAGAAACAAAATGTAACCATTGTTTTGATAAAGATTGGATTCTAGCAAAAGAACCATATGTTACAGCGGCTTCTGTTGCCGATTGATCCTTGGAGATGAAACAAAATGTGGAATGAGGTGAATACTTTTCACTCTCTGGTACTAATACAATTGGTAGATCCTTGTATGGATCGACTGGAACACCACTCACCGACGATGTATTGGCGGTGACTGGTGATGTTGGTAACTGTGCTCCTCCTTCTTCTTTTATCGAAGAGGATGAACTGGATAATATATTATTGTTATTGTTATTATTATTATTGTTGTTGCTGGTAGGAGATTGATCTTTGGTATCTTGTAAGCTATCTTGTTTTAATGAAAAATAATATTTGGTGCCAATAAGTTTGATCCAAAAAGGTTGACCATATTGAATATCTTGGCTTTGTTGTGTGAGGGAGAGTAGTGCAGTAGTTGATTGAAATGGAAGTGGTGAGTTGACTCCACTCGAAGACTGCTGTTGCTGTTGAGCTCTACTGAGTATTGTGGCGGCACCATTATCAATTTCAATTTCAAAGATGGATCGAATTGATTGTGGTGTCGATGTTTTATATGTAAATGTGGTGCTTGATTCATCGGTTGCAGTCTTTATAAAACCACCTTCTCTGTGAAATAATCTAAATGGCTCGCCAGCACGTACGACGTTCAAACCCATCTTTCCCTCAACGTCTGACAAACTTAATTTCCACGATGTTCCAGAGTCTGACAATCCAATCTCAAAGAATCCCTTTTCATTAAAGAAATCAGTCTCGCGGAGAAAGAGACCAGTCTTTTCGTGACGCAACATGACCAAGTCGTCTTGACGCACCTTTTCACCGTCTTGTCTGACGACACCTCCACGCGGTGCAATTTTAAAGTAGCACTTTTGATTACCGTCTCCACGGAAACCAACGATTGAGTGGCCGGCATTATAGTATTTGGCAAAGAGGAATTGATTACTTTTTGGATGGAATAGTTGGATGATCTGTCCATATATGAGATCACGTCCTTCTAGTTGAATAAGTGTCGTTTCGTTGGCTGCATCTTCAATGTCTTGATATTCTTCCAATTGTTTGAGTTCTGCATCCTTTTCATCGGCTCCAACGACACCTCCACCTCCGACAACCGATCCCGATGGACCCTCACGTTGTGTCTTTCTCTTTGTCTTTTTCTTTAGTGCCTTTCTAGCAGTGTACTGTGTCATTGGATGTATCTTGAACACACATTCCTTTGTCTTTGTTGGATGAAGTACAGCACTATCATGAGCCTTGCTAAAATATCCTTCTTCCTCTTCTTGTTCAGAGAAAAAGGTTACCAAATCTCCTGTTTTAATTGATAAATTCTCATCCATCTTTAGATAGAGGGGAGAAGATATAGAAGATTTTTAAAAATAAATAAAATACTACAAGTTGTTAATATCAAAGCTTATTTACTTTTATAATACTACTATGATGACTATAGTTACTTTTGTTTCTTTTTTTGTCTGTTTTATTATATAGGTTCAAATCAAATGAGATGAGTCAATTGATTGTTGAGTTCTATAGGGATTGGATAATCTAATCCAATCTAATTTTGTCTGGTTGGTTATTATGTCTTGTTTGTTTGTTGTGGGTATATATACAAATGGGGATAGGTTGGTTTGGGTTGGGTTGGGTTGAGATATATATATATTGTCCTAATCCCTTTCAATCTTATCTAAATAAAGGTCAGGGGGAGGAACTACACCTTGTGATTATTACAACGTCATTAATTTTATTACAAGGTATAATGTGATAGATAGTATAGTGATAGTAGTAGTATAGTGATAGTGATAGTGATCTATAGAAATCTTCTCCTTCACTTTCTCTCTTTAAGATTATAAATCTTTGTTTAAAAATAACACTTCTTTTTCTGTGACCCCCCCTTTGATTTAAAAAGTCTTAATAATTAAAATGTTTTTTTGGTTTTGAGCAGACCGGTTCAGATAATTCTTGGGATTGCCTTTCCGTCACGTGTGTGTGGAAAGGCGCTGCGACGATATCGTCGTCCCACCCAAACAAAACTCGCATCTCTCACTGTACACTCTCTGATGGGTTTCGAATTCATGTCAGACAAAAAGAGTCGCTGTTGATTTCGGGTCAGAAGCGCCCTATCGATAAAAATCAATCGCCGCTCAAACCAAACCAAGCCATCGATCATATTGGATGGAATGGATAAGTAAGTAAATAAACTAGTCTAATAACACCTAATTAAAAGATAAAGAACTAAGCAAATATATCGATCGATATTTGCTAAACAAAATTTAGATATTTAACAAAGAAGAATGCAATATTATTAATATTCTTGTTCGACTGCTGTGTGTTCCGACACCACACAATCCGATTTATAAATTAGTTATCACACACAACAATCAATCGCGGAGATTAGATAATTAGGAAAGATATAAACGGATAAACCGGGATAATACTGAATGATGAAAAGTAAAAACACTCTTCAGGTGGAGAGATTCGATTTTTTTTCAAATTTCTTTTTTTTTATTTTTTTTGTGATGACATTCCGCTTGCAGTCAGCAGCGATGCACATCAAAACAATTGTGTCTAGACATTTATTTATTATTTATTTATTTTATTTTTTAAAGAAATATATATACTACATAGAAAGATGAGAATCTTCGCTATTACAATCACATTAGCAATTTTATTAAATGTTGCTTTCGCCATCAACATGGGAGCACCAGTTTTGAATGACAAGTTTATCCAAAACCACAACTCAAAGAACGCCCCATGGGTCGCCAAGAGAAACGCAAGATTCGAAGGTCACACCATCGGTCAAGTCATGGCTATGATGGGTACCAAGAAGGTCATCAACAACAACGCTGCTCCATCTATCAAGATTGTCGATGCTTCCATCCCATCCACTTTCGATGCTCGTGAACAATGGCCAGGTTGTGTCCATGCCGTCTTGAACCAAGAACAATGCGGGTATGAAATATAACTACACACAACTATATTCTACTATAGAGAGAGATATATATATATAGACATCTAACCAATCATTCCTCATTCTCCTTTTTATCATTTAGTTCATGCTGGGCCTTCTCTTCAAGTGAAGCCTTGTCTGATCGTTTGTGTATCGCCTCTAAGGGTCAAGTCAACGTTACCCTCTCTCCACAAGCTCTCGTTGCTTGTGATGATATCGGTAACCAAGGTTGCAATGGTATGTGATTAACAATAATAATAATATATTATATATATATATATATTTTATTTTTATACTAATAATATTCTTTTATTATTTAAGGTGGTGTACCACAATTGGCCTGGGAATACATGGAATGGAAGGGTCTCCCAACCTTTGAATGTTACCCATACACTGCTGGAAACGGAACTGATGGAACCTGTCAACGTCAATGTGCTGATGGTTCAGCCATGACCTACTACCGTGCCAAGCCATTCTCCATGACCACCTGCAACAGCGTTGCCTGTATCCAAAACGAAATCATCACCTATGGTCCAGTTGTTGGTACCATGATGGTCTACCAAGACTTTATGTCCTACTCGTCTGGTGTCTACGTCTATGACGGAACTGCTGAACTCCTCGGTGGTCATGCCATCGAAATTGTTGGATGGGGTACCGACGCCACCTCCAAGCTTGACTACTGGATCGTCAAGAACAGTTGGTCTGCCGCCTGGGGGGGCCTTGATGGCTATTTTTGGATTCAACGTGGTACCAACATGTGTGGTATTGATCACGATGCCAGCGCTTCTCAAGCCAAGCTCTAAATTTTGGCTACTTTTGGATTCAACGTGGTACCAACATTTAACAACAGCAACACAAAGTTTTGTCATGTCAGTACTTTAGAAAATCCAAAGCTTTGAATATATATACACTTTACATGTATGAATAGCAAATCAAAATAAATTAATTTAAAATAATATCATAAAAGCTAAAATAATTTATGTTTTTTTTTTTTTTCTATAAATCCTTTTATCTACCCACAACCCACATTCTATGATGAGATCATCAGTTTGGTCGACGAACGATGTGACTTTAAACCGCTGGTATCGATCCGTTTAGGGTCGATCCATTACCCTTTACAAATGCGTTTGAGCGGTTTATCTTAATACCATCCTCCGCTTTTCGTTTTTTTTCAGTCAATATCTTGATATTTTGTAGATTCGAATCAGATGAACGAGACGAATATGACCCGACTTTGTTTTTGGAGTTGGTTAGAATGAACAGCTGCTTTATGAATCTAGATTACTGATTCTACTCTCCGAGCTTCATATCAGTGTTATCAGTCGTCTCAAAGATGATTAATCATTAAACATCATCAAACCAAGAAAAACAAAATCATAACATTCAGAGATAGAGCCCTTAAAAAAAAAAGAGATAGACAGACAGAAATGAGATCCAAATTCTTTTCAATGATGCTATCTCTATTGATAGTTTTCATATCATTTAATTGTATAAATGCACAATTTCAAGCACAAGAATGTAAGATATGAAAATCATCAATCATCATCAATCCAGTTCAACTATATATAGTTTTATTTAATTAATCAATTTTTAATTCAATAGTGTCTTCAATATATTGGATAAGAGCACAATACGGTTTGGAATATATTCCTCAAACAGAGACTGCAATTTGTTCAAGTATGGTATTCTTTTGTGAAATGGGGACTGATAATTTTAATCATATTGTTTCAATGTATGTGACAACAAAAAGAAAAAGAAAAAGAAAAAGAAAGAAGAACCAATTAATTTAATCAATTTTAATCTAGAAATGTGAATAATATTATATATACAGATGCGGGAGCTACACCATCCTTGACAGAATTTTCATTTCCAGCACTTACTGAATTGAAAATCAATGTTAAAGGTATAACTCAAGTTTATGATCCAATGTTAAATATTTTAAATTTGATAAAGAATATTCCACTCTTGACGTTGGTCGAAATTACTGGTGATCAGTTTTCATCTATTCCTTTGGATTTTCCAACTGGTTGTCCTTTATTCGTAAATCTGTAAGTGGTATAGACAAACAACAATTTCATATATCTATATCCTGACAAATAATATTTTTTCACACAATATATAAAGCAAATTAGACTCTTTATCCAATATGGTTTCGATTGCCAATTTATTTAGTCAATCCAACCTTACAACGATCCAAATATCCTCGACACCAATCAACTCAATTACCATTGACCAAAGTACATTCCTTCCAATGCTCAAGATACTCTCTATTAGTATAATTTGTAATTTGCCTCAAACCTATACTATTACAGCTGCATCTTTTCCTATTTTATCGGATCTGTAAGTAAACAATCAAATTAAATTTAATTTTTAATTGAATCCCATATATTCTTTTTACTAATTTATATCCTTTTCTCTTTACTAGATCCTTTATTGGAAGTGGAGGTGATCAACAGGTAAACATTATGGTTGAAGCACCAGTACTCTATCTAACATCATACATTTCCGACAAGACGGTAGTTGGTTATATCAATCCGACTATTTCCCATCCAGAGGTAGTCAAAGGATTAAAATATGGTGGAGGGTCAAACTATGCCATCTCACCAAGCGATTTAAGTTTATACACTAATTTAGAGGGCATGTAAGTAAAAAGCAAGCAAGCATAAAACAAATATTTATTTTAAAAAGAAAACTTTACTAACCATTTCATCATTATAATAGGCAAATTGTTTATAGTGGACTAACTACATTCCCAGTTACACCTTATCCTAAAGTACTTGATTTGTAAGTTTGTAATGAATGGTTCATAATTTATTTTCATTTGATTTTAATAGTTTTTTTTTTTTACTCTTCCTTCCTTTTCTTTCTTTCTTTTTATAGTTATATTACCCACAGTAATTTACAATCTTTACCAAATGTACCTATCCCCTCAAATGCAAGAGAATTGTAAGTAGAAAAATATATTTATTTTGTAGGATATGTTTTAACTTTGCTTTTGTTTTAATTTCAAGCTCATTCATAAACAACCAGATGACTGGTAATCTTCCAACCAATTTATTGGATAATTCACCAACCAAGGTAAAGATTGTTGTATCACTAAATCCAGGTATTACTGGAACTATGGGACAAGAGTATTGCTACATTCAGGGTATTTTCCTTGACGGCACAGCTATTTCTTCGATTCCAGATTGTTACTGGTGCTATCCAAACGGCCGACAAATTATTTTCGGTACTGATCTTCCCGAACCCTCCACTCCGAATTGTACTGTCACCATTAATAGCTTGGATATAGTTTCAATCAATGGTGGCTATTCAATTGAAGGTGATAATATTGGTTGGGGTCGAGGTTTGCAACATTTCGTTAGTTTTGGTTCGTTACCGAATAAGCGTTTACTGTATGTAAAATTACACATGAGAGAGAGAGAGAGAGAGAGCAGAGCATATTTATCCCTACAGAAAGAATTAATTTTTTCTATTTTTTCATAATAGTTTTCAAGATTTTGGCTATACATCGAAACCTTTTAATTATAATTTAACACTTATATTGGCCGAAACTTTCACATTTAATGTTACAGAGGTCGGATTCCAATACTCAACGGTCAGTCTAAACAGTGATACTCTATTCATGTTTGAAGTGACCATTACTTTTCTCGCTTTCAATCCAAGTTTTCTTCCAACCTTTCATTTGGATAGTACACAACAAGAGTGTATTGTTTCAAAAGTAGACATTGACCAAAAAGTTATGAAATGTATTCTAGAGAACCCCCAACAAGGATCACCCGTTTTAATTATGGATAATGGTTTCTCAACAAATGAAGCCATAATATATCTTATACAAAGTATGTAGTAATTTTGAGCTAAAATCTAATTATTAATATTCATTAATATATATTTTTTTTTTTTTTTAGAACCTGTTATAACTTCTTATTCACTTGAACCTCCAACCTATCCACCTACCACCTTGAATTTATATGGATATTTTAGTACCTTGTCATTCCCAAATAATACACAGGTTTATGTCAATTACACAATTGATTTGGAGGGATTGAATCCATGTAATGTCACTTTAGTCAGTCCAACCCATATTTCATGCCTTTTCACTAAAGTTCCCAAACCTGGGCTCACAGACATGGCTCTTGTGACCGATAATGGTTCTTTCTTGTCATCAATCATGCCATTTTTCCCTGCTCCAATACCTACAGTAGACGACTGCAAAACTAAAACCAATAATTGTAATGGTCATGGTACATGTACCAATGGACAATGTCTATGTGATCAAGGTTGGACAGATTTTGATTGTAAAATTGAAACTAAAACTGGTATGTAAAAAAAAACTAAAACAGACAAGTATCATAGATTAATCTTTTTATTTTTATTTTTATCTTTTTTAGCACCAGGAGTTATAATTCAACCAAATTATACAGATCCAAATGTTAATTTTACAAGTGGAGATTATTCATTTTCATTTAGTATGGTTTCAATTCAAGAATTGGATTATCAAAATAATTTAGTGATGGAGTTGTTCACTGACAAGTGGAATGTAACATCAAAGGCCAATGAAGATTTAACAAGAATATCCTATATTCTAACGAGCCAAAAAAACAAATCGGTCTATGATCCACTCATTGTCAATTCGGTCATTGAATTTTCAAACAAATCAAGATCCGTAGAGTTTGGTGGAGAAACGATACAACTTGCTGAAGGAGCCATAAAGATTGCAGTCAATATCACCAATTGGCCATACCAAACACTCATGTCAACGCTTCGTGTGGTTTTTTCAACTGTTGTCAACAATAATCAGGCAATTATCGGGTGTGGCGATTCATACAACCCAATTGATACATTCCAACAATCGGCCGACAATGGTACCCTTCAATACCTCAGAGTCGTAAAAGACAATGTCCAATTTTTTGGTAGATTCCTAGACTACATCGTTTCCGATGGAAGAAAAACCTTTTCAAAGACTGAAATTATGAATATAACCAGTATTGGTGATCCAGCAGCCAACCAATCACTGGCTCTCATTGGCATTCACACGCCCACATGCCGATCCTGTCTCATCGACCCCGACTTTTCTGCCCTTCTAGTTGACCGTTCCAATTATGATCCAACTGGCGCTTGTTCAGAACCAACCAATAATAGTAATTGGAAGATTATTGTCGGTATTGTAGCAGGTGTAGTTGGTGCAGTAGCAATAGCAATTGGATCATGGATCTATGTTAAAAAGACTAGAAAGTCTAAAAAGTTTAATACAATGATGCAAAACAAATTACAAGCATTCTCTGAATCAAATAAATAAATCAAAATATATATTAAATTTTAATATTATTGATTGAATATATATTTACATTGGTAGTAGTAATTTTTTATTGTCATTCCTATTATCTATTTCTCTATCTTTCATTTTGTTTTTGAATATTAATTAATAGTGGATGAATTGTGTCTTCAACAAATTTCAGCAGTTGAGAATAACCTTGTTGTTTTTGATATGATAACATTTTACTATAGTTTTCATAAATATTGGGAAGCTTCTTGAGTGCTTTGGAGATGAGGGTAGTATTTAAGAGGACTGTTGCGATGACCAACACCCATTCATAGCATTCGGCATTTGTCAACTCTTGCAAGAGATAGTAAAGATCTTCCATCGAGGAATCGATACTGTCTTGAAGGAAAAAGGGATTGTTGGAATCAATGTTGGATGTTGAGGGAGCAATCATAAATTGATGTGATTTGAAGGAATAAATAGCCTCTGACGAGGTTGTAGTAGTACTGCTGATATCCAATTCGATTGTTTCTGTGGATATACTCTTAACAAGAGACGCATGGTTGGTATTGGAGAGGAGGTTGATGCCACTGAGACCACCAGCCACAGATCCCACCGAGACAAATGAACTCGATGAAGTGGTTCGGATGGTTTGATGATGGTGATGGTGGTGGTGAGGATCATTGGGAGAGTTGGTTACTTGGATTCTTGACTTTAGTGATTCAATCATTTCATCTCTCGATAAAGATTCATGCAATGGACTTGCAACACTGGGGTGATGATTTTCTGCACCTTCATCTCCATCATCTTTGATTGATTCAGTGGTGCTAGATGAAGATTCCTGATGATCTTGTTTTTCTCCTTTTGTTGTTGATTCTTTGTCGTTGTTGTCATTGTCGTTTGTTGGTTCAGTCGTCTGAACTGGTTGTTGATCCGACTCTTCATTGGGATTGGGAGAGTTAAATGCCAACAAGACAGATTGTGGTGAAAAGGGTTGGATTGGTTGGTAGGGCAATGTAATGTAAAACTGTACGTGTATAGAGTTGAGAGCCATATCCAAATCTTCTGTTGTTCTAAGAATGGTCGATTTCTTTTCCAAATGTAACCACGTTGAAATAGGTACACCAACCCTCTTTGAAAATAATAAAAAGTTTCGTAATAATTTACTCTTTAATAATTTCGAAGCATAGGTAGACAAAATACATTCCATTTGTTTTCTTTCTGCACTACCATCATATCTTGGTTTTCTAAAAGTTCTATTTTGATCATTCTTTTCTTCTTCCTCTTCTTCTTCTTCTCCTCCCTTTACTTTTTTATCCTTCTCTTCCATTTCATCTTCATCTTCATAATCCTCTTCTGGATCTAAAAATCGAACCAAATCACCAGCCAATTCCATATGATCAAAATCCAAAGCTATTTCAAGTAGATCGATTGCACATTTACGACTGTGTTCAACAGAGATGAGAGACAAGAGGATCTTTAGGTATGACGCTGCAATTTCAAACTTTCCGCTTGCAAAACATTTGGTGTAAAGTTGGACAGGGTCACCAACATAGAGAAAGAGCGTCTTCCAGAGGGATGCATCAATTTTTCTTGCACATCGCATGACAACCTCGGGAAACTGAGGGAATCTTCTGAGAAAATTGACAGCGTGTTGCATCTTTGACGCGGTGCTATTGTTGCCCTTGGCAAGCAGCTTGTGGTCACAATCTGACATGATTTCATGTAGCAACAACTCGAGAGAGTGGGTGAAATGGGGGATGGTAGAGAATTTGCTTGAGAGATTCCAAGCCATATCGGCTCCGCCTTTGGTCGTCAATAAATGTTTGAGGATAGAGTGAAGGAATGGGTGTGTCTTGATTCGCAGTTCATAGTTGGGGTATTGCGAGCACGAAGAATAAGAGATACCCTGCGCCAAACCAGCAATCACACCCAGCTCGGCGACACATCCTACAGGATACACCTCACTGTCAAAACGAAGAGAAGATGCTGGGGGAGGGGCATCTAGAGCATTGGTTGATGGTGCGCCAAAAGGGAACCAAACACCAATACCTTGGTTACCATAGACCCACAATGTCGTACCTCCGGCATCACCGAGTTGTGGCCAAATGTTTGACATCCAAAACGACTCTATACCCTCTCCCAGTGTAAATTGGGCACCATTGTCACCGTGGTTGAAATCGAGACGTCCCGAATAATGTAAAACAAGAATATGTGGGATGACAGAGTTGGACGATGGCAAAAGTGAAAGGGAGAGTGGTGGGGCTGGAACAGCCATTGACAGATGGTGAACGAGATGGATTGATAGGGTAATGTTGGGCGATCGCATGTTACTGCTTGTACCCTCTATATTCTCGGTCACCTTGTAGACATAGAGAGAGCTGTCGGTTGTCATCAATGCCAAATGTGAATCGTTGCAATCAATGAGCAGAGGTGCACCGGTTTTTGACGGCAAACTACCCTTAAAGAGTAACGAGCTGCTGTCAAGATGTTGCTTTGGGTAGAAAAGCAATTCATATTGTTGTGTCTGAGGATGAAGGTTGATGACTGCTATGGCATGTTTATACCATGCAAGTGAAATTGCTTCTATGGCTTGGTCTTGTTGTCGATCACCAAACATCTTCCATCGCTTGCTGAGCGAGTTGTACAATATAATTCCTCTACGTCCTGCTACTGCATACTGTGATCTGTCTCGACTGATTGCCAAATGTTTGATTGGCCAATTATCATTTAAATAGGCTGCTGGCAATTGTAAATGTTTCCATCTAATATCTCCCAATTCTTTTCCTTTATAATTTAAAAACATTAATCTATCTTCAGTTTGTAATATAATTCTTTCTGAATGATTCTAAAATAAATTAAATTCAAAATTAAAAAAAAATAAGTATAAACAAATAATAATAATAAATAAATAAATATTAATTAATTAACTGTACATACTAAATTTGGATTTGATGATGATGAAGATTTAACAAATGTTAATTGTAAAAATTCTCCTACTTCATTACCACTTGATAATAATATCATATGATATCCTTCTGTTCCCCAACTCTAGAGAAAAATTAATATATAATATTAATATTAAAGTATAATAACTTTTTCTTTTGTTTTAGTAGACAATACCAATGATAAAACACCTTCTTTACAAGGTTCAGAGAAACTATTTTCATGCATTTGTGGAATAGTACAAGTTAATTTACAACCATGAACGGACCAAAGACATAATCCCCTCTTTTTCCAACCAACAGCAAGACAATTATTATCTTCTGTCCATTTCATAACTGATATTGGTCCAATATCATCACTAGTTACATCTCTAAATTGAAATATTGAAAATGTTCTTAAATATTTACATTCCATTCCTTCATCTATTATACCATTTTGTTGTTGTTGTTGTTGTTGTTGTTGTTTTAATACAGTTGGACCTGGTAATTTATAAATTAATACATTTCCACTTTTTTTAAAATAGAATAAACAAAGTTAATAATTATTATTTGTTTAAATTGATTATTATATCTTTTTCATACTCTTTTAATCCTACTGCAGCCAATCTATGTTTATAATTAATTGTTACAGAAACAGAGTTTTCTCTTGCTAACCAATAACCACGTAACCGATCCTTTGATCTCTTTTTAAGAATGGCACTTGATCCATCTTCAAAAACCAAACCAAACATTGGTGCCAACGGAGAGTAAAATACAGATGTGACCACCAATGGTGACTTTGTTCCAACGAGTTGTTGTTGTTGTTGATCAGACAAGACACCACTTGAAAAGGGAACAACGTCAAGTGAAAACTGACTGATCAATTCACCAGTCCACGATGATTTAACCAGATAACCTTCTTTGGTAAAGATGTATATATACTCTACATTACCAGTGATGCATTGTGCCCCATGATGTGAAGGTTTAAAAGATGATGAAAACTTGATTGACACTTTTCTCTTGTCGTGACTGAGCTGTGATGAATGATGATCCTTTATAAACTTCATACCAAGTATATCTTGTGCTTCCTTTTCTAGTATATATACTAATATGAATCCTTCTGATGTCTATGTATTGATATATAAATATAAAGTGAACAAAATGTATGATTGGGTTTATTCTCTACCCTTCTTCTTTCTTCTTTCTTCTTCTTCTTCTCCTCTTCTACATACAATAATGGCAATAGAGGTAGAGTCAGGACACCAACAAAGTTTAGAATTATAACCAAACTTTTGTAAAGAATCTTCTGATCTCGAACACCAACCTAGTTGGACTCTGTGTTGATCAGCTGACCATATAGACAAACTAGAGTGTCCTATCATGGCCAACAGGCTACAATCTCCATTATGAGAGACATCGACAAACAATTCGCCGACGCCACTGTTGTACGTCTTTGGCCATCCAAAAGCAAAGTACATATTGATGATATAACTCGTCTGCTATTCTACTCTTAAGTTCTACCTAATATATATTTCTTCCACTTTTTACTTCTTCTCCTGATGGTATGTACGTATTTAAACTCTCCCCTACAAAGATAATTCTTTTTCCTCTTTAGTTTTCTATTGGTGTATATATAAATATAAATATCGATGTGCACTAGAATGGAATGAATGTTTGAAGTTTGATTTTTTTTCTGCTCCGACATTAAATTATTTGTTTTTAATTATTTTATTGTTGTCAATTTTTTCTTGCAAATACCAGCACCCGGAAGTTGATGATCTATAACCCTTGAGGGTATTGTTGGATGATTGGAGCCAAAACTAGTTGGCTGTTTTCTAGTGTTACAACAAAAAAATAAGAGAATTTGTTACTATATTTTGGTTGTCTTGAAAATGGTCTGGTCACCCAACCAATTAATTGATTGTTAGTAGGGTGGATTGTTTAACTAATGGATCAATGGATGAATGGATAATAAACAATTGCTTTGGACAACGGGTGATGGTGGATGGATAGTGGCTGGTGGATAGAGGATGGATAGTGGATGGTGGATGGATGGTGGATAGAGGATGAATGGATGTATGGTGGAAAGAGGATGGTGGATGGATAGAGGATGGTGGATAGAGGATGGTGGATAGAGGATGGCGGATAGAGGATGGTGGATGCATAGTGGATGGATGGTGGATAGTGGATGGATGGTGGATGGATGGCGGATGGATAGTGGATGGTGGACAGTGGATAGGGAGGATAGTGGATAGAGGATGGATAGAGGATGGTGGATGTATGGTGGATGGTGGATAGACGATGGATGGATGGACAATGGATGAATAGAGGGGGATAGTGGATGGTGGATGGTGGATAGAGGATAGAGGATGGTGGATGGTGGAATGAGATAGACATAAAAGTCATAGATTTAATTAAAATTTAAAAGATATTTAATTTTATTGGTTTCTTTGTATTAAACAATCATTATAATCAAAAACCCAACTATAGTCCGTTGCTGATGTCAATAAAATAATATTACGATATTCAAAGTTGGAGTGTTGTGATTCTATTTTAATTGATCCATCATTCCAATGAATTGAACCATGGACATGATGCATTCTCGATTTTCCACTTTATGTCCGACATAAAGTGGACGATGGTCAATTATGCAATGGTGGTTGAGATTGACAAAGACAGATGATGGCTGACGATAGTCTACCAAGGATAGTGGATGGATAGACAATAGATGAATGATATATAGATGGTAGATGGTGGATAGATGGCAGACAGAGGAGGACCACTCTCTACGATCCACCATCGATTATCTTTCATGTATCAACTATATAGTACATTGCTGATTCCTCTAAAATATATATTTAAAATAATATAAATTTATATTAATACTTTGTCTTTATGGAATTTATCTTGATCAATCCATTCCAATACTGACATATCATATTGCATCAACTAGTATATCTATCTCTATCGATAGATAATATACATATGAATGAATATATATTGATATGATGTACATCCTTATTAACAAGTGATGAATAATTATAAATACAAGAAAAATAAAATAATAAATGGTCTGATCAAAAAGTCAGAGATGGTGAAGTGGTGTGGTTGCTTTTTTATTTTATTTTTATTTTAAAAGTTTTAATTTGAATAAATTTAATTTACAAACCCATAAACCATCTTTGGATGCACACCTTTATAAAGAAACATATTGCTACAGTTGTAGTGTCATAAATATTTGTTACAAATAATAATTACAATTCTGATGAATTAATTTTAAATTTGTCAGAAAAATAATATTCATTTGGAGGGTATAAGAATAAATAAATAAATAAAAAATAAAAAAGAGAGGGAAAAAAGAGAGAAATAAAGAAAAGAAATAAATAGATAAATATAGTTTTGGTTGTTCCCATGGTTGTTTAGACCATGGGAACAGTCCAAAAAAAAAAAAAAGCCCCCCAATGCGAAGAAAATCGACTTACACGGGGGCGAACCTGGGAAACCCTCTGGGTGAAGTAATTTAATATCTTTTTGTAAAGGAAACCACTTGGGTAAAAGTAATCGAATATCTTTTTTGGGGTATAAAGCCTAGGGAAACGTGGAACATGGATGGACGATGATGGACTGGACATGGACGATGGACTGGACACGGACGACGGCAACGGAAAATGTATAAAAAGAAAAGAGTAGGAAGAGAGGGAAACCACTTGGGTAAAAGTAATTGAATATCTTTTTTTTAGAAAAGAAGAGGATTGTAATTGGTTGTTGTTATTGTTGTTGTAATTATTATTAATATTATTAGTTATTGTTGTTGGTTGTAATTATTATTGTTGTATTATTATTATTATTATTATTATTATTATTATTATTATTATGTAATATTATTATTATTATTAATATTATTAGTTATTGTATTATTAAGATGTTGTTATTACCAAAAGCGTTGAAGAGAATGATGATTATTGTACCTCTAAAAAGAAAAAGAGTCAGTAAAATTAATTTTAATTATCAACATTTGATACAGAGTTAATTATGTTGGTCTACGAATGGTGGTGATTGTTGCTTGGAAACTGGTACTCTTGATCACTGGATTTGGGACGGGCGACTGACTAGAGGATTGGTGATGAATGAATGATTGATTGGTGAATAAGGGGTGTGGATTGGAGTGATTGGTAAAGATTGTAATGTTATTATGATTATTCTTTGTTGTAATTGTAATGTTAATCTTTGTTGGTGAACAATGAGGGGGTTGCATGTACATTGAAGAGGTAAAAAAGGAGGAAGAGTTGGATTGTGACATATATAATATATTGTTATTGTTATTGTTATTATTATTAATATTATTATTAATATTTAAGTTGTTATTATAAAATGTATTCTTGTTATTATTATTTTTTATGTTATTATTTGTATTGTTTATATTATTATTGTTTGCTTGATTATTGTTTGTATTATTATTATTTGGATTATTATAGTTTGTTGGATTATTTTTTGTTTTTTGATTATTGTTTGTATTATTATTGTTTGTTGTGATTTTATGATTATTAATATTTGTTGTAAATGAAATGCTATAATTATTTGTTGGTGAACAATGAGGGCTTTGTATGTCTATGGAAGAGGGATAATTGTTGTTGTTATTATTATTGTTTTTGTTATTATTTTTGTTATTATTATTATTATTGTTATTATTATTATTGTGTGATGTTATAATTAATATTAATATTTTTTGTTGATTGTTGGTCGAAATGAATGTTTCAACATGGTTGAAGCATGAGAATGATGATGATGATGATGATGATGATGAGTTGGTGTTGGCATAGTTATTATTATTATTATTATTGTTGTTATTTGTATTTTTTAATTTAATGTGTTTAATATTGTTATTTGTTACTGAGTTGTTTTTTAATCTTGAAATGTTGGAGTGTCTTGATTTAAATGGGCTTGCGATTGAGCTTGTTGAATTGCTTATATTTGGTATATATGATGTGTTTGATGATGTGGATGAGTTGAAATGATTGGGTGAAATGGATGATGAATGAATTAATGAATAATTATTATTATTATTATTTGATTGATTACTATTAAGAATTGATTGGTTTTTAACATGGGCTAAGTAATATGTTAATGATTTTGTGCTGCTACTGTTGCTGTTCAATTGAACAAACTCCTCTTCCTCCTGATCTAAATTAATATTGTTGGTGGTTATTGAATGATTTGGTGATTGATAATGAAACAAAACATCACTAGAGTTTAATGGTAATTGAAAATGAGATTCAGACAAAACATTTAAATTAAAAGGAATTGACATTGTGGATGAATTAAAAGATAAATTATTGTTATTATTTGAAGATGGTGGAGTGATTTGTGAATATTGATTGTGAGTTGGTTTGTGAGTGTGTATTGTGGTGAGGAATGTATGATTGATTGGTGATGATGATTGTTGTTGTTGTATTGTTGTATGGTTTGAATGATTGGTTCCGAAACAGTTGAGAGAATACAAAATAAATTGTTGGCAACTTTGGTATCTAATAAAAATAATAACAGAGGAATCAATAAAATGCTTTAAATTGTCAGAACTTGTTACCGCGTTGTTTTGTAATCTTGAAACGTTGGAGTGTCTTGAAAATGGTCTTGTCATTGATATTGGACACATTGAGATTGTCGTTGTTGGATTGTTTAATGTGTCTATGTTAGAGGAATAATTGTTGTTATTATTATTTGTTGGTCTTGTGTTATTGTTGTTGTTATTTGTTTTTGTATTTTTGTTATTATTGTTGTTATTATTGTTGTTATTATTATTAATTTTTTTTGATTGGTTGTTGGTTGAGATGATTGTTTCAACATAGTTGAAGCATGAGAATGATGATGATGAGTTGGTGTTGCTATTAGTATTTTTTAATTTAATGTAGTTATTGTTATTAATGTTGGTTGAGATGATTGTTTCAACATGGTTGAAGCATGAGAATGATGATGATGATGAGTTGGTGTTGTTGTTGTTGTTGTTTGTATTATTTGTATTATTTAATGACTGTGAATTGAAGTGATTGGAAAAGATTGTAATATTATTACGATTATTATTGGAGGTTGGTGAACAACGAAGGGGTTGTCTGTATGTGGAAGAGGAATAATTGTTGTTGTTATTATTATTATTATTTGGTGATCTTGTGTTATTGTTGTTGTTATTTGTATTTTTGTTGCTATTATTGTTTTTATTGTTGTTATTATTATTATTATTATTGTTGTTGTTATAGTTGTTATAATTATTATTAATATTTTTTGTTTGTTTGTTGGTTGAGATGAATGTTTCAACATAGTTGAAGCATGAGAATGATGATGATGATGAGTTGTTGTTGGTGTTGTTGTTGTTGTTGTTTGTATTTTTTAATATAATGTTATTATTGTTTGTATTATTTAATGGCTGTGGATTGAAGTGATTGGAAAAGATTGTAATATTATTATTATTATTTGTTGGTGAACAATGAATGGGTTGTCTGTCTGTGGAAGAGGAATAATTGTCGTTGTTATTATTATTATTATTTGTTGTTGTGATGTTATTGCTATTATTATTATTTGTATTTGTATTTTTGTTATTGTTATTATTATTAGAAGATTGTCCAATGGTTTGAGGATTGTGGATCGATTGGAGATGAATGTGGAGAGTGGATGGATTGGTGAGGATTGTGAGATTGTTTGATTGGCAATGAGTTAAAATATTACTTGAATTAAAACATGGAATCGATAATTGATGGCCATAGAAGAATGAAATATTATTATTATTATTATTATTATTATTGATGGAAATGATTGGTTGATGATCGAAAAATGAGATTGAATTTGTTGTTTTGTTGCTGTTCGATTGAACATCTAAAAGAATGTGGTTGTCGGTTGTTGAGTGATTTAATGGTAATTGAAAATTAAAAGGAATTGACATGGATGAATTAAAAAATAAATAATTATTATTGTTGTCAGGAATGAATGGATGATTTGATTGACATTGAGTATCACTTGAATTATAAAATAAAATGGTTGATTGATGGAAAGAAATACTATTATTATTATTATGAATTGATTGATGTTCAACATGGTTGAACAATGAGATTGTGATTGTGTGGTTGTTGTTGTTGTTTAATTGAAATGATTCCTCATTCTGCTCCTCCTCTTCTGCTAAAAGAAAATGGTTGGTTGTTGAATGATTAAAGAGTAATGGTGATGATTGACAATTGGATGAAACATCATCACTTGAATTAAATGGAATGTACATGTATAATGAGTGAATAAGTGAGGTTGATTCATTGGTATTATTTTTGTTGTTATTATTATTATTATTTGAAGATGGTGGAGTGATTTGTGAATATTGATTGTGAGTTGATTTGTGAGTGTGTATTGTGGTGAGGATTGTATCATGATTGATTGGTGATGATGATGATGATGGCTGTTGTTGTATTGTTGTATGATTTGAATGATTGGTTCCGAAACAGTTGAGAGAATCAAAATAATTGTTGGCAACTTTGGTAACTATAAAAATAAAAGAAGAGGAATCAGTAGAATGCTTTAAATTGTCAGAGCTTGTTACCGCGTTGTTGTTGTTTTCTATTCTTGAGATGTTGCTGGAGTATCTTGAAAATGGGCTTGTATTTGATCTTGTTGAATTAATTGTATTTGATAATAAATATAATGTTGATGATGATGATGATGATGTGGAAGTGTTTGAAGAGTTAAAATAATCAGATGAAAATGGAATAGGTGAAATCAATGATGATGAATGAATTAATGAAAAATAGTTATTATTATTATTTGATTGATTACTAATTGGAATTGATTGATGTTTAACATTGTCTAAACATGTTAATGAATTTATGATGTTTATGCTGCTTTTGTTCAATTGAACAAACTCCTCCTCCTTGTCTAAAAGAATGAGGTTGTTGGTTGTTGAATGAGTTAAAAAATCACTAGATTTAAAACATGGAATCGATGATTGATGGTCATTGAAGAATGAAATATTATTATTATTATTATCTAAGGGAATTGATTGGTTGAAATATGAAAATGAGATTGCACTGTTTCTGTTCAACTGAACAGACTCCTCCTCCTCCTCTAAGATGAGATTTGATTGATGGTTAACATTGAAACAGGAGATTGAAATTGGACTGCTGTTGAAGTCCTCCTCCTCCTCCTCTAAAATAATATGGTTTTTGGTTGTTGAATGATTTGAGATAAACAAAACATGGCTTGAGTTAAAGTGAATATTGTGTGAAAACGATGGAAAACTACTAATTGGCAATGGATAGTTGATAAAAATTAATTGATGTTCGACATGGTTGAAACATGAGATTGTGTTGTTGCTGTTCAATTGAACATACTCTTCCTCCTCCTCTTTGTCGCCATAGAAAATAATATGGTTGTTGGTTGAGTGATTTAATGGTAACTGGAAATGGGATTGGGACAAATCATTAAAAGATAACTTATTATTATTTTTATTTTTGTTGGTATAGATAGGAATAAAAGTATGGTTTGATGGTAAATGACATTGAGAAACAATATGATTTGAATCAAATTGGGTTTGTGAAATAGATGAATCGATATCGTTATTATTATTGCTATTATTATTATTGTAGTTGGTGTTGTTTTTGTTGTTTTTGTTTTTGTTAAGAATGATTGGGTGTTCAAAATGATTAAAAGATGACAATGAAACGGATGATGGCTGCATCATCATAGACAAAGAAATATTTTTATTTTGGATGATATTTGATTGTTGTTCAACATGGTCGAACAATGAAAAAGATGATGACAATGAGTTGGTGTCGTTGACAAAGACATATTGGTTGTTGCAAGACATATTGGCAAAAACAGATGATATAACGATGCACAAAATAAAGATGATAATTAATGGGTTCATGATTGGATAATGAATTTAAAATAAATGATTTTAGTTTGTTGATAGGTAGTAGTAATGATTGTGTTGCTATAAGACTATAGATAGATGGGTAAGTAGAAAAGTAAAAAATAAGAGAAAGAGAAGTGGTTAATTAAAGTTTAAGAGTTTGAGTTGGATATAGTATAGAGAAGGTAAAAGAGAGGGAGAGAAAGAAAGAGAGAGAGATAATAGTAGGACACTATTATTATCTGTATATCATACGATTTTTGAAACAAGTTTCATAAAAGAAATAAAATGGATGATCAGTGATAATATATAGAGTATGAGAGAGAGAGAGCAGGTTGGTTAGGTTGGTTAGGGTATACCAAGAAATACTAGGTAATATTATTTAAATATTTTTAATATTAGGTAGTGTGTGGGTAGTGGGGGTTTATATATATCTGATGCTCATAATTAATTTTCATTGCTGGATGATGATGATGACTCTGTGGGTGGTGGGGGGTTTCATGTCTCACAGTCTGTCTGTCGTCTTAAACGAGTTTGACTAAAAAGGGAATGCAATTAACACACCCAATTAAATTTGATGTTCATTGGCTGTCTGCCGCACACTGACACACTGACACACAAACTCTAACGAGTGCTGCACTAAGCTGCAGCAGGATAGTGTGTGCTGTCATGATTGCTTGTTGATGCCAAAGAGAAGAAGTGATGATGCACTAGGTTATTGATGATTGATTCAATCATTCAATACTACTGCTACTACTACTACAATCTTTGAGAAAGAGATGTTCAATCAACAAGTAAACTCTAGAAAAAAAACATAAACAAACTATCTATTTTCAAAATCTAAATAAAATACAAAAATCTAATTAATATTAATTTATTATTATTATTAAAAATATATACACATATTGTAATATGTTATTAATAAATATATTATATATTATATATTATATATATAATGAATGACGCTCTCTCTCTCTTATTAATTAATAAAGATAAACAGATCTCTTTATATTTTCACGTCTCCAACCTGGAATCTTTTCCCACTCTTGTCTTGACATTTGGAAGATTTTAACAAATTCGTCGTCTGGTAAATAACACTCGAGTTTGGAACCATCGATACCTGCTGGAAGTGGGTCGGCCAACAACTCTTCATAGGTGTAGATCTCTTTGAGATAGTCTTTGAGTACGCTTTGAACTGGGATGGCTGCCTTTTCCAAGAAGGGTAATTTACTCTTTGGATACTTGCTGGCATTGATAATCCATGCTCTAAAGTAACTACGGAATTCGAGTGGTTCGTGGTAAGGCTCGACAATGACGATTGGCGTTTGTTCGGTATGTCCCAATTTAGATTGTTTACACAATGCAATGACACTCTCCATTGCACATTTCTTGGTTCTATGTGGTGCTCTTGTACCAAGCCACAAGTAGATAGTATGACGTGCATCGAGAATACCAACATTACCAATCTCTAAATCATCCTGATTGAATGGTCCCTCTTCCAATATCTCATTGATACCTGATGAGTTGGAACATACAAATAATCTAGCTGCTGCTGCATTGGCCAAGGAGTTGGTATCACGGTGGTATTGAGTAACTCCAACCTCTGCAGTTGACTTTAGACACGTCCAAAATGCATCACTCTCATTACCCTGCTCAACTACTATTAATTGATGATCAGAGTAGTCTTTGTCTTTGAACAACTGCTTTTGGATGATACTGGCAGCTGCATCCTTTTCAGTTTGCAGAGAGTTGGCACCATTCCACTGGTAGACGGTCTTTGTTGCTGGACTTGACACAATAAACACGTGTTGTGAGTTGAGTACACGGGCCGACGTGTCAACTTGGACAGCTCGAGAGTCAACAGCGTCGATACCACGCACCTCGTAGACTGCAGTGTCTGCACGATCAAACTGCGAGTACTTGCCAGTATGAACAAGCATCTTGCCACGGAATATATTTAAAAAGTTGCGACTCTCTTTGTTTTGGACGACACGGACTTGCACGCAGGCACCGCTGAGGCTCTCGTGTAACTCGACGGTTAAATAGGCCGATGTGCCCTTATCGTTGATTGTACTGTCACGGCCGAGGTAGTAGTAGATGACGTGTGCCTCTTTGTTGTTGACCATGTATGTGTAGAGCACAATATACGAGTCGCCGGCAAAGAACTGGCCATAGAGGCCGAGTGGATGCTCGATCTTTTCAAAGTCGTTGATTTTCCACACCTTGACGTGTCCGTTACCCTCGCACACCTGGTCGACGGCGTCGGTGAGCGTGCCGGTAAAGATCTTCTCGCGTCCGACATAGTCGACGGATGCTTGGAGACGGGCGACGAGTACCTCGGGCTTGTGCTCGGCCTTGGTCGTGGCAATGTGGCTCTTGGTCTCTTGCTTGGTCGTGCTGATAGGCAGCATGCCTGGATAGTTGGCAAACTTCTCCTTGAACAGGTTGTTCTCACCAAACTCGGTGAGACGTGTGACACGCACCCAGTCAGCGCGGTCCTTTTGCGCGAGCAGAGCAAGTGCTACCTTGGACCCCATTCTTCGCTGTGTGGCAGCCGACTCTTTACCGATCCAGACGTAGATCTCGGTTGGACAATCGACCACATACACATACTTGGTGTGCAACAACTCTTTGTTGGGGAGACGCCAGTCAGACCCCTCCCAGGCGAGACGTGCACGCAACGAGTTCTTCTTTGAGTCAATACCGATACGGTAAATGGCCATACGCACAGACTGGCTGTCCTGCTCCTCTGGAGTGACGGCGTTACGTGTCGCACCCGACATGACAAACTTGTCACGACCCCCAAGAATAAACCAAAAGTCGTCGCTGTCATCACGGCCCTCGTCCAGCTGGATCAAAGTTGACTTGCCACCACGCTCCTTTTGTCTGATACGGTTGGCCAAATCCAGTGCCTTGGCACGGTTAACACGCGAGCTCTTGGCACCTGCCCAAACGAAAATACGCGGGCCGGCATCCAAAACAAACGAATTGTTAGTGTTGAGTGACTCTGGCGACAACTTGGTCATGACGGCACGGATCTTTCTCTTGCCCTTGATTTGAATCAACATCTTTAACTTTCCATTCTTTAGTGCTGTCAAATCCCAATACTTGCTATCTAACCCATTATCCGTCTCTGAAGACAACAAGTTGCTAGCACTACTACTTGGTGATGAGAATGATCCTGCCAATGATTCATCTCTTTCAGACAATCCAAACATTTTGATGACATCGATTGATCGTTTACGGGCAGCTTCCAAACCTTCAAACCAACGTTGACAATCATCAAACTCTTCAGTGGGGGGTGTCAATGTTCTAAAGTTACATACGACCGCGCCAGCACTATCAAAGAGCGAGAATTCAGTTGGTGACAGTTTCTTGATCTGTGAAACTGACGATAGTTGGATACGCATCTCTGGGGTGGTTGCCATCTTGTTTTTAGAGATGAACAAGTCTTCTGCCAAAAGGCTCATATAGACATTACCCCACATTGAAAAGATACCATTCAACTTTCTTGAAATCATACCTTCCAACATTTCCTCTTCTTCTTCAACTTCTTCTTCACCACCTTGATTGTTTTCTCCGTCGTCATTTAATGGTTGATCAGCTCCATCTAATTGTTGTTGATCCTTTAGTGCACCAGGAGGAAGTGGTGGCATTCCAGATGAATTATTTAATGAACTTGGTCTTGAAGATGATGTAGAGCTGGAGGAGGTGGTTGGCTTACTCTCACCTGAACTCTTTAGATTTTGTCTGAGTACTGATATCCAAGATTTCATCTCATCTTTATTCTTTGCCAAAAGATGGATGATACGATTAGGTGTAGTCAACTGGAAACTAAAGCCTTGAATCTTGAATATATCTTTGGTCTTGTGTACAGACAATGCCTTTTCCAAATGAATCGTTTCAAGAGGGTCACCTGTTCTTGCCAATTGTTTGGTTTTGTAAGAGTACAGCATTCCTTCCGACACTATATACCATTTCTCAACATTTGAATTCCAAATTAATCCTGGTACCAATTCAAATAATGATCCTTCAATTATAATATCTCCCAATTTAATTATTATTGTTTGTCCTGACGTATTCGTCGTATTATTGGTTGATTGTTGTTGTTGTGGTGGTTGTGGTTGATTTGAATTTTGAACCAATTGAATTGATGCAGCTGATCCAAATGCTGGTAATGCTGAATTGGTTGATAAAAAGGTTGAACTTGAACTACTAGATGATGATGACTCGCTGGTTGGAGTAGTTGATGGAGGAGGTGCCATTCCACCAGACAATTTAAGTGATGTATACGATGGATTTCTTGCCAATAAACTATGTGATTTTCTACCAATTGTACCTGTTCCACTTGGAGTAGTGGCTGATGCTGGTAGATTGGGGACTGCAAATACTCCTGATCCTTGATCAGACTGACCCTTTGAAATGGATGCTGGGGATGGTACTGTTGGTGACTGATTGACAATATGGAAATCTGCCAAAGTTGGTGATAGGTCCTTGTTGACAGTATTGGATAGTTGTTGTTGTTGTTGAATCTTTTGTTGTTCTTGTTGTTGTAATTTTTGTTGTTCTTCTTCTTTTTTCATTTCTCGGTGTGCGTTGATTGATGCGATCCAAGCGTCACGGTGCTCGACCGATGAACACTCCATCTTGTACTCTTTGAGGTTATTATGAATGATGTTGAAACGTAGTGACCATTCATTGTTGCTGGGACTGTTGCTGCCGGTGGTTTCGTTGTCATAAATATCAACATACTTGATATTGGCAACTGAAAAGTCCCAGAGTGATTGAGCAGCCTCTTCATTTAAAAAACAGTATACACGATCCTTGATAATCTTGAGGTAGCGTGGATGGTATGTGTTGAACAACCATCCTTCAATCTCTTGCTTGATGTCACCTTCGGTCAGGAACCCACCCTCCCCAAGCACACCCTCCGAGGCGGCGGCAGTATTCCCACCAATCATAGTGCTGTCTTTGAGTGCACCAGCCAATTGGTCGAGCTTGTCCTTTTGCTTGTTCTTGCCACCTTCTTCTTCCGACACTTCATAGATTGATTTGAGCCCGTCAGGTTGCATGGACGATGTTTGCGGGACGACTTTGATCAAGTCACCGGATTTGTCGCGGTCGCTCCACCAGAGACCCACGTCGGTGGTTGGGTCGCCCGATGGAGCAGCCGGGAAGATGTCCTCTTGGAAGAGCTGGGACTTGCGCGGCACCATAAACGAGACCATCTCGACCGTGTTGTTGGTGAGTCGCAGGAACCGGTCAATCTCGCAGATGGTGACGTCGCACACCTGCTTGGGCAGCAGCGAGATGGCACTCTGTGTGTTGTTGCCAAACGTCGCCTTGCCGAGGAGATGCGCGTTGGTGCGGTCGAGTTCGTAGTAGTATATACCGTCTCCCTTGCCTCCCAAGTACAGGATATTGGTGCCAAAGTCATAGTAGGGTGTGAGCACACTCGAGTCGGTCGTCACGTTGACAATGTTGAGTGCCTGGCCCATCTGACGCGGGTCCCACAAAAACAGCTGGCGTTGCGCACTCTTGTTGGCGCCGACCGTGCACAGCATGTCGATGCCGCCGCTGTCGGCCCACGCCAACTTGAACCCTTGCGCACCCTCATGTGTCACAACCTCGCGCACAGGTAGACCCGAGTGACGCGGGTCGTACAACCGCATCTTTTTGTCACGCGACGATGTTGCAAACATGTTTCCGCCTGACCAAGTGTTCCACGCCAGCGAGAGGATATTGTCGGTGGCGCCAGTTGCCTTTTGCAGCACACTGGCCTCGCCCTTGCCAAGGTCCCACAAATCGACTGCAAACTCGGCCGACGCACTCACAAACAGACTGTCGACGGACGGGTGGAAATAGACACCCGTGATCCTCTTTGATTGACGCGGTAGTGTGATCAAAGGGTCCTGTATAAACGGCCGGCTTGCAATAACATCCTCGCCATCCTCGTCACCCAAACTCCACAATTTAATCGAACAGTCTCTGCTGCCAGTCGCCAACACTCGTTCGTTGAATGGACTGAATTCAAAGCATGTTATCGGGTCTGGATGTGCCTTTATATGAAACGCATTATCTGGTGCTTTTCCATATGAAGTTAATTTACTTATACATAAACATGATCCTCCTAAAATAAAATAAAAAATAAAAGGGAAAAAAAAATGAATGAGTTGCAATTCTCTTTTCTTTTTTTTTGATATATATATATATTTACCACCAATCATGGTTGGATATGCAAACAAGGATTTAGATGATTTGAGTAATTCCTCGGCACTACTATTGACCTTGAGATTTGTATAAAATAATTCCTTTTTACATGATTTATGGAATACATTTCTAACTTTGCTATCCCTTACGATGGATTTTTCCAAAGTTTTATATTCCATCTTTTTAAATATGAATTAAATATGAATAGTTGTTGTTATGGTTGGTTGATATTTTAACCAAAATAAATAGAAATAAAAATAATAATAAATAATTTAAATAATACTACAAGTTGTTGTTGTTGTTGTTGTTGTTGTTTTTGTTGATTGAATTTATAATTTTAATAATGAAATTAAAATCTAAATAAAAAAGAAATAAATATTAATATTGATATTATAAATTAATTGATTGATTGATTTTAAAGTATGTGTATGTGTTTTGATTGTGATATTTTAAAAGATTTACAATTTACAAATAATTTACAACGAAACGATTCAATCCAATCATCTGGTCACTACTGTGACGACCGACTGATAAATAATTAGGATTGATCAATATTTAAAAAAAAAAAGATAGCTTGTCTCCCTATCTATCTCTCTCTCTCTTTGTTTAAAAGTTTAATTTAAAATTAACAATCACACGAAATTGTAGATAGTTAGATTGATTGTTGGGTTGTTTGTTTGTCGCAATGAAAAAACAAGGGAGATCGAATGGATTATTTTAAAATAAAGCAACCGAGCTTAACTTAATTGAAACACACTACTACTCGACTACACTTTAGTATCTATCTTTACTTGCTACTACTACTAATACTACTTACAAACGTTAGTTGTTGAATGTTCCTTTTTACAAAGACACTTGTTATTGTTGTTGGAATGTTAATGTTATTGATATTGATCAAGTTATAGATTATTATTGTGGATATTGTTGTTGGTAAAGATAGTATTGGTATTGGTCAAATGATGGAGTGAGAGATAAGATAATATTAAACAACAACAACAAATACGCATTAATTAATTGTTGATGATTTGGTGTAAATTGACTTGCTATCTTTTGGTTGCTATATCCGTTGTTGTTGTTGTTGTTGTTGAGCAAACGATGAGGAGGAAGGAGAAAAAGGTGGGAGGGAGAAGAAAGGAAAGAGAGGTGGAATCAAATCAACACTAACTACAAAAAGTATCTCTAGATAGTAATATTTGGATTGCCTGTATACAGCAATAGCTGCGAGAGACCAATTCCCAAATTGCATTGTGTTTATTTTTGCTCTCTCTCTCTTGTATCCCCCCACTACACACACTGTTTAATGTGATTGATTTCCCTCCAATTCCCAATTCTATCATCAGCTCAATATTTATATTGATATTGATTGATCGATGGATGTGTTTAACACCAACACACGAAAATGGATAACATTATCATCACCATGAGATTCAATGAGACAAACCCCCTACCATCCCAATTACCACCAACACTCTGTACCACATACATACACACATTTCTCTCTTTTATGCCAAATTAGATATATATTATTCTTCGTCTGACAAGAGAGGTGATATCTCATCTCGATATTACCAGCCATATGTGTGTTATATACATTTGTGGATAGATATTTTGGTGAAATGTGGGTACTATCACCCGATTGTGTCTAATCTTCCTCCTATCTCTTGTGTTGCACAAACAATAAAGGTAGATAATTAAAGAAATAGACTAAATATAACACCGATACCCCCCCTCAGCTGGCCTGGGTAGTGTGACTATATAAATATCTACTGCTATTACTACCTATCTATCTCTTTCTTTCTCTTTTGATGGGTGTTCTTTTCTTATTACTATAATACTGACCATTTAATGTACTAATACAAAGAGTAAAGGAGAGGAATTATACAATGTTCCTTTGGCCTATGTGCTCTGTGTCTTCAAAAAAGAAGTGCTCTCTATAGACAGTATTCTATTTGTGGACCAGGATTTACCCTACTCTACTTGACTACGTACTACTGTTACTACTATTACTATTACTACTGTTACTATTACTACTGATACACTCTTTGTGAAAATAGGTAAATATATATATATAAAGAGAAACGAATAAAGAATGGAATGATTATAAGCCTAAATTTCTTTTCCTCTTTCTTGCTTGTCCCCCCTTTCCTTGGGATCTACCACCTGACAAAGGTAATCACGTGAAAAAATCAACAACATTTTGATCGATCCCGATCTCAACGAACTACCATGGTCAACAATGTCTTTCTGCCCAACCACCTCATCCTCATTCATATAATATAATATCTTTGTTGTATCACTGCTGTTCTTGAAAAGAAAAAGTCAGAGTAATAACAATGAACAGAGAGCTTTTCCGTCTATGTTTATGTTTTCTTCAACAGACAGTCTATGTTACCCACCCACTACGGTGTGGTGACTCATTTTGGGTGAAAAGTGAGTGGTGGGTGGTGTGGGTTAAGAGAGAGAGAGGGAAAAATAATATTATTATTAATAATAATAATAATTTTACAACAACACCTAATGTTTGCATAAAAAAAACAACTAGAAGACATCATTATTCAAACTCAATTCTTTCAATATCAAAAAAAATAAATATTTAAAAAATTAATTTTTATACTCTTGAAGGTTGAAGAAGAAAATTTAATATACTTTCCCCAGTCAGTTTAATTTTTTTTTTTTTCATCTTTATCTTTATAATCTAATTAATTAATTGTTTGTTTTATTATATATATATTATATTTTAACAAAATAATAACAGACAGACAGAAAGACAATTACAAGTCACACACACAAACACACATAGCATAGCATATCACAACACAGCAGCAACAACAATAACAACGTCATAATTATTTTTTCTCATTTATTTAAGTGTACACTTTTATTCTAAATTTTATAGTTTTATATTCATTTCTATTACTCTTTCTTTAAACCTTTTATAAACCTTTTATTTATACTTTATCTACCCAACACCTACCGACGATTAAAAATGACTCATACATCAAGCTTCAAGAATGATCACCCATTCGGTATGTATCATATGAATATGAATGAATAGCAATACAATAATACTACAACTACAACCACAACAACAACAATAACAACAATATATGATCAAATACAACAATACAAAACAAATAACAACAACAAGACAGTGATACAAGTATAAACACAATATATATATATACTAACCTCTTCATATTTATATACATATATTACAGAAAAGAGAAGAGAAGTAGCTGAAAGAATTAGAAGCAAATATACCGATAGAATCCCAGTCATTGTAGAAAAGGCACCAAGATCAGATGCTCCCGATATTGATAAGAAAAAGTAAAGTTATATATACAAAGAAAGACAATCATATATTAAAGTTTATAATGGTGATTATATTAACACTTTTTTTTTGTTGTTGTTTAAATTAGGTACTTGGTTCCAGCCGATATTACAGTAGGAAAGTTTGTTTATGAAATTAGAAAGCACATGCCAAAGATCAACGCTGAAAAGGCAATTTATTTGTTTGTTAATAATACTTTACCACCAACAGCCGCCTTTATTTCACAAATTTATGACCGTTACAAGGACGAAGATGGATTTTTGTACATTACTTACAGTGGTGAGAATACCTTTGGTGACTCTGACAACTAAATTAAAAAACAACTCAATGACCTCACAAGAGATTGGTGTTATCATAGTATAGTAAAAAGAAGTATAGTTTTTTTTTTTCTTTGATAAAACATAGGATACAACAGAATGAATAGAACAAAAAAAATATTATAAAAAACAACAAAAAAAATAACAACAACAACAATCATTCAATATATATAATCAATCAACCAACAAACCTAACAATATATAACAAAGGAAAAAAAAAATATAGAGCAATGTAAATAATTAGGCATGCTTTTGAAAAAAACAATATATAAACCCATTCTGTTGTATTCATAAATTACTACTACTATTTACTACCTTTTACATTTCATCATCTTTCAATAACCAACAACAATTAACCAATAATAATAATAATAATAATAATAACCAAACCTGTATATTTTCTTACCAAAACAATTATTTTTTAATAAAAAAACAACAACAATTATTAACCACAACAGATATGTATTTAAAGAGATAATAATATATTTAACATTGAGTTTTATTCGATTTAGGATACATTAGTTTTTTGAGATTTCTTTTTTCTTTTTAATATTTTCCAGGTTTCCTTTTCATAATCAATTTCAAAGATGACAGTTTCTGTAATTTCAGCACCTTTATCGACCTTTTGTTCGATGGATAGTGGTATCTGTTTGATGTTCCCCTCTGCTGGTGTTGGATTACTCTTGTCGGTTTTGAAGAAACGTTCAAGTATACTTCTATTCTCAAGAGTGAGATGCGTCGCCGTTTGGAAAATTTGATCTAAATTAACATTGGTTTGCGGTTGGATTGGTAGTGGTGGAGGAGGAGTCGTAGCAGAGGTGGTTGATAATTGTGATTGAATTGATGGTGATATTGGTTGTTGAAAAGTTTGTAATGATGTAAATGGTGGACTTGGATTTGGTGGTGGTGGTTGTTGTTGTATACTAGGTTGTTGGACTAGAAGAGGAGGAGGAAGAGATGGAAGAGTAGTAGGTGTCGTTAAAGAATTTACAATATTGTTGTTGTTGTTGTTGATTTGTTGAGAGTTTTCAATTTGTGATGTTGGTTGTAATATTTGTGGTTGTTGAACCATTGGTGGTCCAGTAACAGAAGCATTAGGAGTAAGAGGAGCTGCGACAACAGGTGTTGCAAGAGCTGGTGCAAGAACTGGAATTTGTAAAGAAGAAGATGAAGGATTTTGATTTGAAAGTTTCTGGAATATTTGTTGAGGTTGAGGTTGTGGTTGTTGAGGTTGTTCCACCATAGTTGTTTGTGGTATAGATCCATTTTGTTCGAGGGCATTCATCAGTGACGATAGTCCACTTAGATCTTCAGCTCCTTGTATTTGTGCTTGTTGTTGATAGATTACATTGGTAGGTCCAGAGGTAGAGGTTGTGGTGGTGTTGATGTTAGTGTTGGAGGTGTTGGTAGAATGAGGTGAAGAAAGAGTACTACTTGTATTTCCACCAAGTCCAGTAATAATATCATCAGGTATGATTGGAGTGGTAGAGTTTGATTCCGATGAACCACTTGTAGTAGTTGTAGAGGTAGCCTTGCTTGTTTTCTTTGACGTTTTTTGTTTCTTTAGTGTTTCAGCAACTGCTCCAGAGCTACCAACTGTAGTAGATTGGTCGTCTTCCTTTGTCTTTTTTCTCTTGTTTTCCTTTTTCGAGGCCTTTTCTTTTTCCTTTTCCTCCTTTTCCTTTTCCTTTTCTCGTTTCTTTTGTTCCTTTTTCTCCAACTTTTCTCTCTCCTTTTCCTCTTTCTTTTCCAGCTTTTCCCGTTCCTTTTGTTCCTTTTTCTCTAGCTTTTCTTTTTCCTTTTTCTCCTTTTTCGTTTCAGTCGACTCTACAATCTTTGTTTGTTTCTTTGGTCCTTTTCCTTTCATTGTAGGTGTTGCTGAAGCTTCAGTTGTACTTGTAGATGTTACCATTTCAATATCATCAAGTATACTTTGCTCAATATTTGGTGTTAAATTGGAATTTAAATTGGAATTTGAATTGGAATTGGTCAATTTATGTTGTTGTTGTTGCTGTTGTTGTTGGATAGATTGTTGAATTAATTGATCCATTTGAGTCATCTGCGGTTGTTGGTATTGTTGTTGAACAGGTGGTTGCTGTTGTTGTTGTTGAACAGGCGGTTGTTGATATTGTTGTTGAACAACAGGTGGTTGCTGAACAGGTGGTTGTTGATATTGTTGTTGAGCAGGTGGTTGTTGCTGTTGATATTGTTGATTGTATTGCTGTTGTTGTACAGGTGGTTGAACATATTGTTGTTGTTGTTGAGGAGGTTGAACATATTGTTGTTGTTGTTGAGGAGGTTGAACATATTGTTGTTGCTGTTGAGGAGGTTGAGATTGTTGTTGTTGTTGTTGTTGACCAGTTTGCTGTTGTTGTTGTTGTTGTTGTTGTTGATATTTTTCATTCAAATTTGTAGCAGAATTTGATTCTGTTAGAGGTCTCTTTTTCTTTGTATTGGTTTGAGTAATCTCACGAACTTGTTCTATGTTTAGGATCTGCATTCTACCCTTTTTCTGTATTCCACGTTTCTCTAATGAATTGTTGTTTAAACCACTGCTACTTGATTGTAGAGATTGCATCTGTGAAGGATTGTTATTATTATGTTGAGACGACGACGATGAAGATGAAGATGTATTGAATAATGTTGCTGCAGAGTTGTTTGGATTTCCCAATAAACTATTTGAAAGATCCAATTGTGAGGAATGATGTGTTCGAGGGATAAATATACTTGTTGATTTTCTAAGTGGTGATCCACCTACATTACCAGCCATATTATTATTGCTGTTGCTATTGTTGTTGTTGTTATTGTTGCCGCTCGATCCAAGTTTAAGTTTATCATTTCGTAGAGTTGGTGATTCATGTCCAATAAGTTGTGATGGTGTCATTGATGGAGTAGACGACGATGTAGCCGTCGACGTTGGCGACGTGTTACCAAATGAAGTGGATGAAGAAGATACTATAGGTGCATTGTTTCCACTGCCACCACCAATACTAGGTAATGTTGTACCTGTGCTTGCACCGCCGCCACCACCACTTGTCGGAACACCAGACTTTGATGCAGTAAGAGTTGGAGTAAATGATTTTTTTGAAAAGATGGGAAGTTCAGAGGTAGGTTTCTTTAATCTAAAGTGTTGACTGGTTCCCGTCGCAGTCTGTTGTTTCAATGATTCAATCGCTGTCGATGCCATACTTGGCAATACATTTGAATTCAAATACATATATTCCTTTGGATAGAATTTGGGTGACCCAGTTCTCTCTACTACAAAGTAGTACAAAACATTAAATAATATCAGTATACATTATATATCGATATGATGTAATAATAAATAATAATTAGTTATCCATACATTGTGAAGAAATCTTTTTGATAGAGTTGTTGAATGAATCCAAATCAATGTCTGTTGATATCTTGTCTTGTGCAATGGTAACTAGTATCTGACTGAGTGCTTTCACCCATTCATCATCATCTTCATCTGCTACTTGTATCAACATGTTGATTGTACCCTCAAGATCTCCAAACTGTTTCTTTCTCAAACTGAGAAATGAGAATAAGAGCTAAACCATCATAAATCAATTAAATGTTTGTCAGTACTGTTAAACATGTGACCTTTTCTCTATCTATCTCTATCTCTCTCTCTCTCTCTAAACATACCTTCATTCTAACAGCACTATCAATCTTTGTAAATTTTAATAGACAAAACTCTAATATATCCTTGGTAAGAAGGGGAGCAATCTTTTCAGAACTCCATGCATCCTCTAATTTAGATGCTAACCATCCTTCTATATCTCTATGTAGATCCATTCTATTCTATTCTATTCTACTCTACTCTACTCTATACTACTATCCGTCAAGTCTACCCTCCCTGCCCTATCTATTAGTCTAAATAACAACACTCTTGATGAGAGTTTTAGTATCTATCTATCTATGTATATAATACCTAATACTATTGATGATAATATATATAAATATATGAGCTGAGTTCTACTTTAGTATAGTCCTATTATGATGCTGATGAATGATAATATCGGAAGGGGTACCCGATTGACAGATGAAGTTGGTGATGATGATACAGTTCTTGGTTTCCCTCCCAGCTCTACAACAGCTAATTTTTTGAAAGGGGAAGATGATTTTTTGCAAACATTTGCTTTTGCAAACTCACCCCACCCACAATCATTCCCAATCACTAATGGTATACCACAGATACCTAACCGAAAATTACTACGACCACAGCAGGCAGTCTTTCATCAATCAGACGATTGAATCTTTAAATAGGCTCAACAGTAGTGTGTGCTGTTTTGTTTTACAATAATCTAAATACAATGGAATGGTAACCCAATCGATTGATTGATCAATGGCTTCTTGTTAGCTCTCCAACTGCTGATTAAGCAATAGCTATCTAAAAACTATCTATAAAACATGACATTCATTATTGTTATTATTATTAACATTAAAGGATAGAATAGAAGAATGACATTTAAATTAATATCTATCATTATATTTGTTGTGATTGTTGCAACCAATGGAATGAATAATGCAAAATACCACTTACAACTAGTCAATCAAATTAGATCAGAGGCTGGTAGAGCACCATTAAAATTGGATACTTGTATGTTGGCTAGTTCCAAACAACATTCAAATTGGATGGCTTCCAATCATGTAATGCAACATGGTGATGCAACTGATGTAATGAGACAAAATGGTGCTGCTAATATATCAGCTGCTGGAGAGTATGTATCTAATATTTTATTTATTTATTTATTTAATCATAATAATATTACTCTCTTTGGAAGAATAATCAATCCAATCAAGAAACTAAATTTTTTTTTTTGAAATTAAGGAATATTGCAGCAGGGTACAATAGTGATGATGAAGTAGTAGCTGGTTGGAGGGATAGTCCAGGTCACTATGCCAATATGATTAACCAAAAATTTGAATATTTTGGTATTGGTGTGGCCATGGATACCAACTATGTCTACTGGACGCAACATTTTAGTGGTGTTTCACCAACATACTCTTGTACTCCAAAAGTAGTAGGTACAACTACTGGTAGCGGCAGTACCAGTACCAGTAGTAGTACTGGCAGTAATAGTAGTAGTGATGGAATAGACCAATTCCCAAGTTCATCATTCAAAATGACAATCTCTTATTTTATCTACCTCTTTACCACTATTGTCATTCTTGTATTTTAATTCATTCACAATTGTATAATAAATAAATAAATAAATAAATAAATATTAGTATTATTAATAATAATAATAATCGAGAGTACAAATTAATACTTGTTTATTGTTTTTTTTTGAAAATTAAACCACGTAGACAAAGGGACCAACAACAATTTAAAACAATATCTTTTGACCATTGTTGGTTGGTGATCACACCAACTTGGTTTCACCAAACAAACAGAAACATGTTGTTCAATACTTTATTAATAATAACAACTCTAGCAAATGTACATTAAATCTATTTTATCTCTTTTTATGTCTTTAATCACAATCCTTTTTACAAGTTATGGTCCTGGTTTGGTCAATGGACAAGTAAGCTTTAACATTACATTACATTTACAACTTGTCAATGCAATCAGAGCTGAAAGGGGATTGGCATCACTATCAACACTCAGTTGTTTGAACCAAGCAGCACAATTCCAAGCAGATTATCAAAATTCGATAAGCCAAATGACTCATAACTCTCCCTTTGGAAACCTCAGACAAAGAATAGAGGCATTTGGAGTATCTGATATAAAAGGTATTTCCGAGTATGTATACATCTATAATATCTCTCTCTCTTCCAAATGTCCAATTGTTATATATAACAATTGATTGAACAACAACAAAATATTTAACGATAATTTATTTACTTGATTTTATTTTATTTTCTAAAAAGAAATGTTGCCTATAGCCAACTAAACGATACTACTGTTGTTAATGCATTCGAAAAGTCAACAAGCCACCTCAAAAATATCATTGGAAATTACACTAATATTGGTATTGGAATGAGCGTATCCCGCCGTACTGGTAGACCCTATTGGTACTTTATTTATTTATTTATTTTAATTGTTCTCCCTACCCTCATTTTTGAGAAAAACTAATACATTATTGATCAATCCCATTCCATTCTATTGTCCATTCTCTCGAACAATTATTAAAGGGCACAACAATTCATTAAAGGTGGAATATGTATATCATCAACTACTACTACTTCTGGATCTACTACAACAACTGCTACAAGTACGACTGCCACCTCTACTTCAACCTCTACGTCCTTGGCAACTGGGGGAGGAGAAAGTCCATCGACAGGTTCAAACATTATCATTCCATCAGCTCTCACAGCCTTGCTCTTTTCCATCACGATGACATTAGCAATCTTTTAGAAATAATGTCACCATCATTATTCTTGCTTCTTACTACTCTTTCTTTATTATTTGTTAATACAAGTTGAATATTTAAAAAGATTCATAAATATGGTGTTGGTTGATGATTTATTTTGTTGTGTTGATCGATTTGATGGCCATCAAATCACCGGCAGTTCACTGAATACGACGTGGACAAGGCCATATTGTTGAAAAACCAAGCCACATTTTGAAAGAATCTAGACGATTTTTTGAACAGACAGTATCTTCTATCGCTAGCAATCCACAGTTTCTTCTTCTTATTGGGTTGTTGACAACAGCCCCATATTTCGTCAATGGTTTAACGAACTGTGATTCTTAAGAACATTGTTCACCAAAACTGTTTAAATGGTTTATTAAATCTTTTAAATGGTTTGATTTAAATCCACTATGTATAAAGGAGTTCCAATCCTCCTTCAACCTCAAGTTAAGTTAGTTAACAACGGTTATTATTATTAATTAACTTATTTATTTATTTATTTACAAATAATTAAAAATGTACAACAAATTTATTTTATCATTAATTTCTTTGATCTCTGTATCAATTATTTTAGCCAGCTTCGGACCATCCTCTGTCAACGGACAAGGACAAGTAAGCTTTAACATTACATATCATTTACAACTTGTCAATGCTATCAGATCTGAAAATGGAAAGCCAGCACTTTCAACACTTAGTTGCATGAACGCTGCTGCACAAAACCAATCTGCCTATCAAGTCAGCATCGACACTATGACTCACAATTCAACATTGGGAGGTCTTTCTGCCAGAACTGCCGCTTTTGGAATGTCTCAAGGTACTGCTTGGGCAGAGTATGTTTATCCACAAATAGTTTAAATAGTAGACTTGTAATTAAATTAATTATTTATTAATTATTTTTATCTCTTTCTCTCTCTCTATCTTTTTTTCTAAATCTTTTTGATCAATAGGAATGTTGCTTATGGTTATTACTCTGATTTAGAAGTTGTCACTGGCTGGAAGAATTCACCGGGTCATTTTGCAAACATGATTGGTGATTATACCTACATTGGTGTTGGTATGGCTACTACCAAGTCAGGTTCACCATATTGGTATGTATTTTATTATAGAAAAAAAGGATTGTTTTCACACACGATATATAGATATATTTATATATGTGCCAAAACTAATAATTATCATTTTGTTTTGAAATATTTCTTTTTTTTTTTTCATTTTGGATAATTCCAGGACCCAACAATTCATCAAGAATGGAAAATGTACACCTGTATCAACTACTACTTCTGGATCTACTACCTCACCATCCACCAACTCTGCCACCACTTCTTCAAACTCTACTACTACTTCCACCACTAGTACTCCAACCACCTCTCAAACAACATCACAAACTACTTCTCAAACTACATCACAAACTACCTCTTCAACCTCTCAAACAACCTCACAAACAACATCAACTGGAAATGAAACTACCTCCAACACCTCTACTGGTGGTTCAACTGGAACTGAAACCACATCCAACACTTCAACTGGTAACTCAACCGGAACTGAGACCACTACAGATGGCTTGACAACTGGAGATGAAGGTACATCGACAGGTACCAACACTTTCATTCCATCAGTTCTCATTGCCTTGATCTTTTCCATCACATTGTCACTCTTTTAGAGATTCATAGGTTGCTCTATCCTCCCTCTTTTGTAACTTGTATTTTAACAAAAAAAACCCCCTTATTTATTTATTTATTTAATTTTAATAAACAATTCAATTCAATTGCAACAACCAGTTTGCAAAAATATGGTATACGCAACAACAACCCAAACAACCCACCACCTGTTCCTAATTATATGATTGAATAAAAGGATGATCTGTTTTTAGACTCATCAAACACTTTAGCGCAAAGCTTCTGTCTGTCGCGACAAACCTCTCCCCAGATATTTTTTTTTTGCTCTGGTTACTTTTAGTTTGCGCTATATCCGATGGCTTTAAAGGTGGCTTTCTCTGTGATCGAGTATTAAAAGTTTGGGCTTTGTTGTTTTGTTAAAGAGAGAGAGAAAGAGATAATAATAATATTATTATTACTAGAGCAAAGAGAATGTATAAAAGTATTTTAATTATTGTAACATTATTTGTAGTGGCATCTTATGCAGCCCCAGTATTTGACATTGACAATCATTTGGATCTTGTCAATCAAATTAGAGGAGAGGTCAGTAAAGAGCCTTTATCACTAATTGTTTGTATGACTGATGCCGCACAAGCACAATCAGAGTACCAAGCATCGGAAGAAACAATGACACATGACAGTCCAAAGGGAGGACTTTCAGATAGAATGGTAGCCTATGGTATGGTCAATGGTACTGGTTGGGCAGAGTATGTATACAACTTGTCATCGATCAATGACAGACATTATTATGTTACTATATATCATCCAAAGAAACTAATGATTGATTCTATCCATAATAATAATAATCTATATATATATATATCTCGATCAATAGGAATGTTGCAGCTGGTTATCAATCTGACACTGAAGTTGTCAATGGATGGAAGAATTCACCAGGTCACTACGCAAATATGATTGGAAACTATACATACATTGGTATTGGCATGAAGGTTTCTGATAAAGGTACACCATATTGGTATGTATACATTGAATGATATAAACTATATAGTTTTTTTGAATACTTATTAATTATAATTGTTTTGAATATATATATAGGACACAACAATTCATTCGTGCAGGAGCTTGTGAAGCTATTGGATCTGCCTCTAGCACCATGATCCCAGTCACTTTAATTGCTTTGGTCTCTTTGGTTTTAATGGTATTCTTGTAAATAAGGATCCTTACACACATACACTACCATGTCAACCAACCAACCAACCCATTAGGTTCACCTCACCAACAGCTACTAGTAGTAGCACTGCATTGGTTTAATATTATTTATTCATTATGTAACAATTGTACTTTATCCACCCCTACCTACCTACCTACTTATTAAATAAATATGCACTAGATGTATTTATCAATAATAATAATAAAAATAATAATAGTAAACAAATAATATATATATTTATATATTATATATAACACTATATATTAGAGTTATAAAAAAGATTAAAAGATTCGTTTCTTGTTTCCTTTTTCGTCCATATCACGGCGATTGAATTAATTTTTTTGAATTTTTTTGTTTTTTGATGTTCAAAGAGAGAGAAGAGAGTAGCACTCCCAACACTATCTATCTATCTTACCACACACGCTCTATATATATCATTATATATTATATATTATATTATATTCTCCTTTTATCAATATCTTATTTTAAAGAAGAGTGTTTTTTTAAAAGAGGAAGAAGAAGAAGAAAATGGTTACAAAGAAACCAACACATGGTAGCGGTAGCGGAGCAGGTGGATTGGCAATGAATAACAAACAGATGGCAGGTTTCTTGGCCGAGTTTGTAATGTCATTTGTCAATTGGAGTCTTTTCGTTGAATACATTTCGATCATTTGGTTCTATCCAATGGGATTCATGGGGTTCACTGGCATGGAAGCATTCCTCGTCATGATGTTTACACCATTGCTTCTCGGCATTGGACCCATTTCCCAATTGGTTGGCTATCTCAATCTCTATTTGCGTTTGATTGCTCAATTGATGGCATTTGCTGCTCTCTATCCAACCGACATTGACCCCAAGAACGTGGAAAAGCACGAGATTATTCTCTTTGAGAACCTCCACGTCACCAAGACAGTCTTTGTCGGTGCCGCTCTCGCCATTGACTGGCTCTGTCAATGCCGTACCTTTATTGGTGCCAACTCTATCAGCACTGCTCGTCGTGAGCGTACTGCCTATGCATACATGGTAGCCATCATCTTCCACGCTCTCATGCGTCTTCCACATCTCTCCATCAATCCATTTGTGACATGGCGTGAATACATCATCTTTGGTGTCTTCCTCGTCGTCGTTTCCTTTGCCATCTTGATGCGCGAAAAGTTGGCCGGAGACAGTGAGGAAAGTGCCCGTCGTCGTCCTACACTCGAAGACGGTCCATGTCCATGGACCACTGGTATCGGATTCGGTGGTGTCTTGTTTGGCTGTCAACTCTTACTCTCCACCTATGGTCTCATTCCACGTTGGGTCAATCTCGGCCCATTCCCAGCCGGTATCGTCATCATTGTCATGATGATGGCTGGTTTTGCCATTTCCAAAAAGACCTCGATCGTCACATCACGTAACTACTTTTTCTTTGCCATCTTTTGCGGTGCCGTCTTTGGCTGGTGCTCTGGATCGGTGCCAACCGTCATTGGTTTTGTCGGTCTCGTCTCTGGTGGTCTCGTCGGTGTCTATCTCATGTCACTCTGGGTCGTCACCCTTGAAAACGTTGCCAATACCAACAAAATCACCAAACTCTTTATCGCCACCTTTATCACTTACGTTGTCCTTTTATTCTGGGCTATTTACGTTTGTTTCATATGTAAGAGAGAGAGAGAGAGAGAGAGAAACTAAAAATAACAATCTATAGATACAAACCACTAAACTTTTATTTACTTTTATTTATTTTTTTAGAAATTCGTACCATGGTGGTTAGGATCAACATTATTAAGAGAAAGAAATCAAACCATGATTATTGCAGTTATTTTGTGTGCTGGTTTTGGTGCATTGAGAGAATCGATTAGACCAACCTCTCAAAAGAAGGAGTTGCGTAGTCCAACAATGGGCACTACCTCGTACCCCTCCAAGGAGTCATTCTACACCATTTTTGGTATGCTCATTCTTTTGGTTTTGTTCTCTGTCAACCGTTCTCTTTCACATCCCACCCAAGCTAGTGTCGCCGGTCACCACTACAAGCGCACTCTTACCACCACCACCGTCCAAAACGATCCACCCACCGAGATCAAGTCGATGATCTGGACCATTCACTTTGGCTACGACAACTATGGCAGAAACAGTTTCCCCAACATCACACAAGCTATCGCCAGCCACGGTGCCAACGTCATTGGTTTGCTCGAGTCTGATCTTTCACGTGTCATGACGGGCAACCGTGACTTGGTCGAGTATTTGGCCAGCGAACTTCACATGCACTCTGACTTTGGACCCGCCCCATCTGAAAACACTTGGGGTTGTGCCCTCTTGTCGATATTCCCCATCGAGCGTTCCAAGCACGTCATTCTCCCATCGCCAGAGGGTGAGTTGGCCTGTCTTATTGACGCCGTCATCAGAGTCGACGACACCGAAGTCAATGTCATTGTTACTCATTTTGGAAACACCGAAGACGTCATCGATCGTAAGCTCCAAGCTGCTGGTGCCGCCGAAATTGTAAAGACCAACAACATGCCAACCGTATTCCTTTCCTACATCACCGAAAAGACTGGTGGTGACAACTACAAGACTTTGATGGCATCGGGTCTCCAAGATACCACCAACGAACGTCGTTATTGTGAATATGTTTTCTATCGTGATTTGGAAATGACTCAATTCAAACGTTGGGGTTGTGGAGAAATCTCTGATACTGAAGGTCAATTAACTAATTTCAAGGTAAAGAAAAATTAAATAGAAAAGAAAACAACACAATAATTAAATAAATAAATAAATTATTGTTTTTCATTATTACAATTTAATATATCATTTTGGATGATCATTGTTGTAAATCTAGAAAATCCCAAGGATAAATCGAAAGAATATTTTACATTTATACTTTTATTTTACATAATTATCTATGGAGAAATTTGATTATGACCATGATTATGATTATGACCGTGATTATGGTTATGATGGTGACGATTATTTTTTGGACTTTTAGAGGAAGATGAAGATGAAGAAGAAGAGGAAGAACTTGATGAAGCTGTAGCTGAGGAAGAACGAGTACTTGATGAATCTGTATATTCAGATGTATCCTTCATACTGAATCGTCTGGTCACATCTTTGATGGCAGATAATGTACCTTTTTTGTAAGCATACAAAATATTAAAAGTTGGAAACAATTCAGTTACAACCATTCCAACAAATGTATAAATGATATTGTTTGGTTCAGCTCCAACCAATACCAACACAAATACGCAATGGAGAATGAATCCAATTGTACATGAGATGGTGATCATGGAGACCTTTTTCTGTTGGTGTGCTCGTTTCTGGTAGTCCAAAGCCACCTTTTTACGTTTCATCATACAGTAGATGGTACCACCGAGATAGGCAAATGCACCACCAATAATCAACGAAATAACTGCTTGTACCACTGCATAGACAATCGACACGATACGTTGTGGAGTGGTTTTGTTTGGTTCCATTGGAATACGACCTCCGCAGTCGTTAGAGTAAGGGTCTTGTGAAAAATGGAATACCAAGACAATACAGACAAATAAAAGATAGATAACTCCATTGGTTACTCCAACAATTAATCTAATCCTTTCAAAAATGCCTCGAGTGGTGATGGTCCTTACAAGCATGTACCAAATGACAATGATGATGGTAAAACAGGTAAAATAAATAAAGGTTGGTAATACTACCAATACATAATCACCAACTGCTCCAATAATAACTCCACCTGGTAACATAAAGAAATAAACTGATCTTGCTAAAAAATAAAAGAAAAAGAATAAAATATTAATATACAACCACAATATCAAGATTTAATTTCTAATTATACATACTTATCATGAAAATGGTCAAAGAAGCAATAAGAGCATGAACAAGTCGAAGTTCTTGATTGTTTTGGAAGAATTTGGATAAAGCAACTATTATTTGGAGTGAACCCCAAATAGCGTTGAAAAGAAAACATGTTGCCAATGTATAGAGCAAGGCTATTTCCAAACGATTAAAAAGTTCATTGGACAGGTTTTGGTAGTTTTCAATTCTTTGAATGAGGAAATAGGTTGCTTCATTTTCAAACTCTGTTTGTAAATGGAAACAATAATAATCGTTGTCTTGAAGAGTGTCTGTGATACCCAAAGAGCGAAGTGTTCCATTTGTTTCACAGGCAATATCAATAATTGGATAAGATACTGACGATTTGAAATGGTCCTCTAGGATAAAACAAATGTTGAGAGAGTTGACTCCGAGCAACCCTATTTTAATGCCATCGGTTAAAATGATCCCAACAGCAGCTCCGTTGTCATTGTAGACAGAGAACCCATCGTTTACCTTGTGCGATACAAACGAGGATGACAGTGTTGGTTGTCTTGACGATTTAAATAGTTGTTTGGAGAGTTGGGACACCACTACATTGGTGCATGCCTGTGGAACACTTTGATTGGAGAATTTGATCTCTCCAAATGAAAACTTAAAGATTGAATTTTCATTTGCACATGGGTTGGATTGACCTAGTACCAATGTACTGTTTGTAAAACATTGAGAACCACCCGGCCCACGACAAGAGCACACGATCGAGTATAGATTTTCACGGACACGTCCCAGCCTACACAATGAAGATGATCTGAGGAGATCAGAGATGTGGGTTTGATAGGCATCATCTAGAGCCGTCGCAAAGGCATTGTGGTCCAATAACTTCTTGATAGTTGTTGTTTTGATAAATGTTGGCGTGATTGATCGTGGTGCAACGGATATTCCTGGGGTCCATATGCCTGGTGTCCATTCAAACATGTTCTTCCAAGTACTGCCCTTCTTGTCGCAGCTAGTACAAACAGTTTCATTCATTTCGTTAAATCTATGGTTGTTGGGGAGGTTGAATTTTGAAGTGTCTACCAATTGGCAGCCTTTTCTCTCCAGACATTGTGTCTTGTTTGCCGATACCTCCCACCATGTGTAGCTACTACCACGAGCCTCACAATCTTGACGAGTGAATACCTGTGGGGTATCGTTGAAACATCCCATTGGAGAGTCTCTTTCTACCGTTGCGATGCATGTTGCACATGAATCAAATGACCTATTATGTTTATGCACACATTTACCTAACAATGGTGGATATTTAGATGTTGCTTTTCGAGTGAAAAAGAATTCGTCTGAGCATTGTCCACCTAAGTCTTCACACTCTTGTTGTGTCCAGCATTTTTTTGGAACGGTCAAATAGCCCCACGTAAAGTTGGCATAATTGCAAGTTTCTAATGAAGACGAGGGGATATAACAAATTGACATGGTTGAATTCCACAGCTGTAAACAATTATTTTCGGATGTAATGTTTGGATTAAAACAATATGGTCGAGATGGTTCGTATCCACAATGAGTTGAGCATGATCCTTGGGTGGAACTACAATCTTGTGGAGAAATACCGTTGATAAATTCACCATTTGCGAGTAAACAAACTTGGTCGGTGGATTGGTCAGAGCAGGTTACATTTGATCCAAAGTTGTGGCAGACAGAGGCATCGTTGAGACAGTATCCGCAAAACTCATCCTTTTGTCCTATGCATTCCAAACTACAGTTTTGATTAGTATCGGTACTACACGAACTGTCAGAACAAAAACCAATGGTATCGCATTTCTCTTGATTGTTTGCCGCTAATGAGAAGCTCCACATGGAATAGTATCCGTCAAAGCATATATCATGCTCTGTCTTGCACGAGATATCCAAGCACTTGGGAGATGGGTAGCAAGTGGATTTGGCTGCCTGAGAGGTATAGTCGTAGTACTTTCTATAATCGAGACCAGTGTTGGCCGCACAATCATCGCCGATAAAGTTTTCTTTTAACGCATCGATAAATGGAGCTTGGTCAATATCATGACTGATATTATATCTTGATTTGAGATAGTACTTTACTCTAACACCAATACGGTTGATCACGCACGCAAAGTATTGGTCGTCTTGGTCTCGAGGTGAAACCTCGCATATTTTCGAGTAGAGGTTGCACGTGGAAGTGTAGTTTGGATGACTACACATGGTATCGTTGCTACACAGTATTGGACGGTAAGCGTCAGATTGGCAATCACGCAACGCTGTATAAATCTTTAACTGGTACTCTGAGAAATCCGAGTAGGTCAAACTACACTCACTGTCGACAGTGGCAGTGGCATTGGCATAGTCTTTCAACACACTGGTTGTACAGGCTGGCGATGAGCAACGGTCTGGTAGATCCCTCACGGCCACAAACTGGGATACTGGGGTGAGCACGAGAGAAGGCGCACAACACTGTGCAATGGATTTGACGGCATTACAACATGGATCCTCGTTGTACAGTGGATCGGTATCATTCTTGAGACACACAGAGATGTTTGATTCGACTTGGACGACATTAGTTTCAATGAGACTGTTTGCAAGGCTGGTACACGCTACCCAAGGGTCTTTTGACGTCAAGATATCAATGGCGAAACGAAGGTTTGAAACCTCTTTGAAATTGGGAGAGCTAAACAGCTGGTCTCCCATCTCGCCAATCTCAGAGCTAATCTGGGTGAATTGGTCGTATTGGCAGGTGAGATTCTTGACCTGGAAAGGGACGTCGGCTGAAAATGACATGCCTTGGCTATCGACCAAATAACCAGAGAATCTCAACTTTGATTTAGATATGGTGTCAAAGTCCATGAATTGCTTGTCGTTCTTTTTGAGGATAAACGCAGCTTGGAAGGCTTTTGGTTTGGTTGGGTTTGGTGCAGAGTAGTTTATGTTTCGAAGAAAGTAAACATGTTGGTCGTCTCCGATCATCATCGTTGGGATGGGATAATAGGGGTTCAAAAGCAGTCTTGGGAAAACGGCATAGAATTTGCTGTCGGCTCTTTCATTATCATTCCAAACCTTTCCATCTGGCGATATCAACACCGATGTGGAACGGAGTAGAAATTTACCACCAAGAGGAGGACTATCAACTACTTTTCTTAAAATGGATTTGGCATGAGATGTAACTGTACAACGAAACTCTGACTCGAAGACGGTGAGAAAGGAAATATACAATATTTTAGCAGTTCCATTTTCATATGGTTCCATATAGATAGTTGTAAGATCATCAACTAAAATAAAATAAAACAAAATAAAAGGTAAGGTTAAAATGCATACATACAATGGTTTAGATGTGTGCTATACATACATTTAGATGAACTAGTCCAATTATATAAAGATGAATTTGGAAACTGGTGGGATTCACTAATAAATGAATTGATGTCTTGTTCAACTGTTGGACATCCAATTGATAGATTCATTGGACGGTCGACTACAAATGTATAATAATGGTATTCACCTGTTGCTCCTTCTCCAGAAACCAAATCTCCATCGTTTATACATTTATGAGTTGTTGCAATGTTTTGGCAAGGGGCACTTGATGGTTCAGTCTTGGGTACTTCTGAAGAGTATGCTTGAAATGTAAACGATATATTGTTTGTTGTATCCCTTGGAGTGATCCTTATAAAGTATGTGTTGTTTGTCCAACTAAATTTGCTTTTATCTGTATTATCAGTAGGGCAAATACCAATTTGAGACATCCCCTAATTAAATAAATGGTAAATAAATGGTAGTAAATATTAATATGTAATTATAATAATAAATTATGATTGATTATCTAAAATATCTTACCTCGGCATACCCTCTTCGACGATATATAAAATTTGGATCTACGGCACTGACAAGAAAATCCATTGGTCCATAAATTTGGGATAGATAGAGTCGCAGACCCTGACAACTAAATGCATCGGCCTTGAGACGTAAATTAATTGTTTTGTTGGATTCGAATGTGTATTCAGTGCTAGCATTGACGGTTTCCCAATTGTAACCTGGTTCACAATAGGAAGTGGTGCCAAAGTATTCTGGACAGGGAGGACACGATTGATCAAGTTTCTTGGGACACTCATTCTTATCAGTATAATCGCACGTGCAATCGATGCCTCCCTCGGGAACGACATTTGGACATGTGAAATTGGGACATATAACATCCATGTGATAATACAAGTCATTGTCAAACTCTAGATCAAAAAGTGCCACATCCCAATCAGTACCCAATAAATTTGAACTTTTAAATGATACCGTACTAGATGTAACATTTAATCCATCGACTTGGTGGTGGTGGTGGTTGACAACTATATTTAATAGAAAAGGTAAAATGAAAAGAAAACTAAACCTAAAAAAATAAAGTTTAGCTTTATACAAGGGAAACAATAATAGTAAATAATAATTAATGTTAATAAAATAATATTAATATTAAAAGAGATGATTTATCTTTTTTGTATATTTAATACATACCTGTGAATACCATGTGTTTATATAGATAGATAATGATAGTTGTAATTAATAATAATAATAATAATAATGTTGTTGGTGGTAATAATGATAACAATGGTTAAGTTCAATTCCCTAAACTGGTTAATTGGTTTTAAAGGATAGAGCGACCTTCGACACTTATTTTTGATCAAACCGAAAAGTGACAGCGAGGGCAATCCCAAAAAACCCATTCTCTCTCTTGAGATGTATATTGGTATAAAAGGATGACTTGACTGGTGTTATGTCTTGAATCCAATGGGGGTGGATGTGGGAATGGTGGTAATCATGATACTAGATCGAAGCTGAGGAGTCATAAAATAGAATAGAATAGAATCGCCGACCTCTTCCACTTGAATGATAGGGTAGGTGGGTACCACCCATGCATGTGTTGTGAATGGCTCGGTTTATGATAGCAATCATCCAACAACTAAGTTTACATTGTTGATGTTGTTGTTGTTGATGTTCTTTAAACTGAATTGATCGATTCAACTATGAATGAAAGAACATCATACATAATATAGTATAAAGGTGAGCACAAAAATGGTGAAGATCATTGTGCTCAAAGAAAAACCAATTTTATTTATTTTTTTTTCTTATGGCATTTATTATATTATTATTTTAATAAATATGCATATGGGTCGATTTGGATAATATACATAAAAAGGAGGGAAAAGGTTTAAAATATCGATTGGTCTATTATTATTATTATTATCTATTATTATTTATCTACTAAGACTTTTTGAAGAGATTGCACTCTTTGCAGATGAACTTGAGGCAGTAGAGGTAAATGTAGTGTCGGTCGGTGGAGAGGATGTATCTTTCATACTGAATCGTCTGGTTGCATCTCTGATACCAGACAATGTACCCTTTTTGTAGGAATAGAGGAGTGTGGCAATTGGGGCAATCTCTGTCACAATCAGACCGACAAATGTAAATACGACATTGTTTGGTTCAGCGCCGACCAATACCAACACAAATACGCAATGGAGAATGAAACCAATAGAACATGCCACAGTGATGGTCGACACCTTTTTCTGTTGATTGGTACGTTTCTTGTAGTCCAATGCAACCTTTTTACGTTTCATCATAAAGTAGATGGTACCTCCGAGATAGGCAAATGCACCACCAATAATCAACGATATGATGGCTTGTACCACTGCATAGACAATCGATACGATACGTTGTGGAGTGGTCTCGTTTGATTCCATTGGAATACGACCTCCACAATCACCATTGTTTTCAGTTGATCTTGTAAAATGGAATACCAAGACAATGATGACAAACAAGATGTAGAGTACACCGTTGATGGTACCAATCATCGTTCTGATACGTTGGAAAATACCGCGATTGGCAATCGTCTTTACAAGCATGTACCAAATAACAATGATGATGGTAAAACAGGTGAAATAGAGGAAGGTTGGTAATACGACGAGTACATAGTCGGCGACAGGAATCATGGCTGTTCCTTTGGCCAGTAAAAAGAAGTAGATGGTTCTGATAAGCATAAATACAGTGATCGAGGCAATGAGTGCGTGCACCAATCTTGGCTCCTCGGAATGGATAAAGTATTGGTAGCCAGTCACAGCAAGCTGCAGTACACCCCACGCACAATGGAATAGGAATATAGCGGCGAGTGTAAAGAGGAGAGCTGTAGCCTGCTTGTCAAACATTTGTTTGGGCAAATCTTGGTAGTCTTGGACACGAGACACTAGGAAATAGGTGGATGTGTCTGTATCGGGTGCGACCATGGCACAGTAATACACTACACTGGTCAACTCGTCAGTAGACACTGTTATATTGGCACCCAATACGACGAGTGACATTGGTTCATCGTCGACTTCACTTGTCTGATCAGACTGCTCCGACGATGCTCTAAAAGATCCAGCATTTAATGAATCGGCTGCAATATCAAATACGGGGTATGACGACGATCTACTAATATCTCCACTGAAACAAATGGTAAACGTATCGACACCAGGCGACTGCAACTTGATTCCATCGGTTAAAATGATACCAATGGCAGCTCCATTGTCATTGTAGATGGCAAAACTATCGGTTTTTTTGTAAGATACAAAGTTGGATGAGAGTGACTCTGTCTGAGGTGCTTTGAATAGTTGTTTGGAGAGTTGAGACACCACTACATTGGTGCATGCCTCTGGAATACTGCTCTTGTCAAATTGAATCTTTCCAAATGAAAATTTAAACTCGCTCTCTTCGTTTGCGCAAGGGTAGCTCTGACCGAGAATCAACGAGCTGCTTGTAAAACATTGTGAACCACCAGGTCCACTACACGAGCAGGCAATCGAGTTGAGGTTGTCTTCAACACGCTCCAGTCTACACAATGACGATGATCTGAGGAGATTCGAGATGTGAGTGTAGTAAACTTGGTCGAGCATATCTGAAAGGTCGTTGTGGTCGAGTAGCGTGTTGATTGATGCAGAATTGATGTATTGGGGTGCGATCCAGGTAGGTTTGACGGGGATACCTGGATACCATCTTCCAGATGTCCATTCAAACTTGTTTTGCCACGAGTGATACTTTTCACCGTTAGTGCAGTCTGTGCATTGTGATTCGTTCATTTCATTGTATCTAAAGTTGTTGGGCAGGTTGTATGGTGCAGAGTCAATGACTGAACACCCCATCTGTGCAAGACACTGGGTCTTGTTTGTAAGGGATGGCTCCCACCATTGGAACTCTTCTCCCATCTCTATACACTCTTGGTACGTGTATGCCATGGGTTCGACGGCGTAGCACCCGTTGGGCGAGTCTCTCTCGACTGATTCAAGACACGTTGGGATACCCCACTGACGGTAGTTTTTGTGGCCGCGGACGCACTTGCCAAACATCGATGGGTATTCTGGGGTGGCAACGGTCGAGAAAAAGTATTCATCTGAGCACTGTCCAGCACCTTCGCATTCCTCACGTGTAGTGCATTCGATTGGTTCAACGTAGCAATAAGATGGTGCACGACGAAGACCGCACTCTGATACGGGTAGACTCGAGCAATTCAACCATTCCGTCAACTCACCCGATACATTTGCATAGTCGATGCACTCTTGTTGGGAAAGGGATGGCATGGAGCAAATATTGTCGGTCGATATCCAAGTAGTATCGGCAAATGCCGAGCAGCTGCTCTGTGTAGTCATATTAAACAAGAAACATCCAGTGTAGATATCACCCTTGCATTCATACCCACATGGAACTGTACATGTTCCGCTCGTGTCACGGCACTCTTCGTCAGTTAGACCTGCCTCAAAACTACCGTCCTTGAGCGTGCACACAGAATCGACCAATGAGCAATCTGACTGAGATGTGGCGACTGTTGATCCAAAGTTGTAGCAATCTGTCATGTTGGCTTGACAATAACCACAAAAAGATGGTCGTGACGGACACTTTAAATGGCAATCTGGATCTAGAGACCAGTCGCATGAACCGTCATTACAATGCCCAATGTCTGCGCAGCTGTCTATTTGATCGGTGGTTGTAAATTCAAAACCATCATAGTATCCATCAAAACAAATGTCATGGATGGTTGGACAGGTTGTATCGAGACACTGTGTTGGTGGATAACACACTGTAAATGAATTTGCATAATTGTATTCAGTGTATGCTCTGTACTTGACACCAGTACTCGACGAACAATCTTGATGAACAAACTTTTCATACAATGTTGGAATAAATTCTGGATCTTCAATTGGCATTGTCAAATTATAACTAATTGCCAACATGAAAATAACTTTTGGTCCAACATTATTAACTACACACTAAATAAAGATTAATAAATTATATTAATATTATTATTATTATTTGTTTGTTTCGATTTGTGTTTTGACATACAGAAAAATATTCTTGATCTTGAATGATTGGTGGAATTTCACATTGTCTTGTAAAAGCGTTACACTTGTATTTTGAATTACTGCACATGGTATCATTGTCACATGGAATGGGAATATAGGTACCTTTGCAATGACGTTGAACTTTATAGAGATCCATTTGAAATTGAGAAAAACTAGAATAGGTCAATGCACACTCTGAATTAATTGTCATGGTTGCATTGAAATAGTCTTCTAAAACACTGGCTGTACAGTCGGGTGACGAACATTGATCAGAGACAAGACTGGATTGCACTCCGAGGTAGTTGGTTACTGGGACAGACACTGAACGGGGTAGACAACACTGAGTAAACGTGAGTTCAGGATAACAACACGGATCGGTAAAGTACTCTGTCTCACCCGGTGCATATGGACACGTTGTGCTAAACGACTCGACGGTTGTGGTGGACGTATCGAGCAAACTATTGGCCAATTTCGAACACCCAGTCCAAGAAGCATTCAACGACAATATATCAATGGCAAATCGAGTATTTGATACTGCTCTGAATCCATAAGTGGTGAATAGTTGGTCTTTTAGGACGGTGAGTTGACTTGTGATCTCTTCAAATTCATCATAGTTGCATGTAGAGTTGCCTGGTGTGAATGTAATGTCCACGTCCAATGGCGCACCTTGACTATCGACCAATGTACGAATGATCCTAAGTGTCGATGCTGCAATGGCTTCATAGTCCATGTACACTTGTGTATTCTTTCGAAGTATAAAGACTGTCTGTAGTGTTTTTGGTTTTGGATTATTCTCGACATTGTATTCGAGACCTTGGAAAAAGTTGACGTGTTGGTCGTCGTTTGAGAGCAATGGTGGTAATGGCCAGAATGGGTTCAATTGATACTTTGGATAGATGGCAAAAAAGGAGCTGGCTGAAGACCACAATATATTCTTCCACACGTAATCTGTCTGGTCCAATTCCATGGCTGCCGCCAATATATTGGTGCCTCCAAACACTGTATTATTTGTCAGTGCCCTTAAAATTGGTTTCGTAAACGATGTAATTGCACATCTAAAAGGTGTTATATAATTGGCATAAATACCAATATATAATATCATAGGACTACCATCTTCATTTGGATACATATCCAATGTTATAAAATCATCAACTAAATTTAAATAAATAAAATAATAATTAATAAGACCAATCTAAAAACATCTATCTCGATCTATCGTGTCTATCTATTAAGTTTAAACTTACAATAATTTGCAGCGCTCCAAGTATTATTTGATTCATATGGGAATGGGATAGTTTCAGAAAGATAAATATCCATATCTTGATCCATTGAAGGACAAGCAAATGAAAGAGTCATGGGACGGTCGACAGCATAGGTATAAAAGGCCATTTCAGCATCTTCCAAGTGCCCATAAAAGTATTGTCCATCGTTGAGACATGCGTGATCTGAAGACACGTTGACACATGGATTAGAGACTGGTACCTCATTGGGCACCTCTTCAGAATAGGCTATAAACGATAGTGTCATTGGTACATTGTCGTGTATTGGTATAAGTCTGATAGTATATGTATGATTGGTCCATGAAAGATAAACTCCTGGATAGTCATAATTATCACTTGGACAAATACCTACTTGCATGATCCCCTATTAAAAAGCAAAAAGAGAGAGAGAGAGAGATTAATTAAATGAAATATCTCTACTATTCTATTCTTTCTATTAATACATACATCAAAAGTAGTAACTCTAGGATGTTCCATTGAAGGATTGGGAGCAGTTTGAAATCTAACTGGATTAGTTTTGGGAACAAGGTAGAATCGAATACCTTGACACATGGAAGCATCTGCTTTAAGACGTAAATAGGTTCTATTGATAATTGTAAACTCGTATTCAATGTTGGTTTGAATCGTCTTCCACTCGTAACCAGGATTACAATATTCTACTTCGTCACCATCCTCGTCTACATAGATCGTGTCGCAAGGTGGACATGATGGGTCGTTTGACGGAGTCTTGGGACAGTTATTTGGATCGGTATAATCGCATGTGCAATCTATACCACCCTTTGGTACAACACCCTGACACGTATAATTTGGACAAACAACATCCATATGATGATACAAGTCTCTGTCTAAACCAATCTCCATCACTGCTATATCCATGTCAGTACCCAATATATTGACAGTCGAGTTTGTGATTGTATGTGATATTACTTGAGGTTGTCCATTTACTACTAGTACATTGTTGTTGTTGTTACTTGTTGATGATAATATATATAGAATAACTAAAACAAATAATAATGATAACCTTTTTTTATGATCTGTGCAGTAAAGTAAAAGAGTAGAGGTCAAATTATAAAATAAAAAAAAAAGTAAAACGAAGGTCAGTATCGATCGGAAATTAATTTAACAAAGTGTGAAGTTCACTTCACTTCGTTTCATTTTTGAAAGAATGCAAAGATATACATACACATAATACAATAATAAATTACTAGTTATATATAAATATAACCTTGATAAAAAAATACAATAAAATACTAATAATTAAAAGAGGAGGTTACAACAAAACAAAACAACCAACCAACCAGAGAGTAGTACGAATAATTCTTTAAATCTGTAAAATGGCTGTTGATGTGTTGTGGAGATAGACAGCAGAACAGACAAAAAAAAGAGAGCAACATCAAATAAAACAACAAAGAAAAGAATGAAAAAGAAAAAGAGGGCACCAACCTTATTATTATTCCGAGTATCGTTGAGTGGTGACCTTGTGGATACCGTGTGTGATAGTTCACGAGCTGATCACAAGCACCTTTGCTTATTATAGTGTGTATCTGTGAGGTGATTGTGGGCTCATCACAACATCGACCAACAACACAACAATTAATTTTAAGTTTTTCAACAAAGTTGTTGTCTATCGATGTTCCACGTTAACCGAATTCGAGCAGTTCATCCTTTTTGTACACGCAAAAGGGCGTCGCCCCCATCTACGTGCGACGACGTATCGATTCGATTTGTTTGATGGGGTTTTCAATTGCAACAAGTTGAGGACAAGATTATAATTGACCCGTCAAAATGCCCCATTGACCGATAAATATATTGGGCTGGCCTCGGTTGGTTGATTTAACTATTCATCGAGAACTCTCGAACTATCCTTATCGTTCGGTAATGAGAGGAGGAATTAAATTGATCATCACCATCAATTTGTTTGTTTGAAAGATCGATCAATTAATCAACAAACAGCTTGTAGTTTGACTTTTTGATGACTGTTGGTATGTTAATAGGTGTTGTCTTTTTAATTTATTTATTTATATTTTGATTGAATTGCTCTGGCAATGGTTTGAAGTTGAATATTTGTTGTACCTTCGTAGATTTGACCTACTTTACAATCTCTAAAGTAACGTTCAGCATCAAACTCTTTGGTGAAACCAACACCACCCATCATTGAGATACAGGCGCTGGCCACCTTTTCGGCAACACGCGAACAATGAAGTTTGGCCATACTGGCCTGGTGGACAAATGGAAGTCCAGCCTCTTGCATGCGTGCAGCATTGTATGTTAGCAGCTTGCCTGCCTCAATATCGACGGCCAAGTCGGCATAGGTGAACTGCATGCCCTGGAAGTCGGCCAATGGCTTACCAAACTGTGTACGTTGCATGATGTATGGCATGGTGCTGTCAAACGCACCTTGTGCCAAGCCAATCATCTGTGCGGCAATACCAATACGACCTTCGTTGAGTCCTTCAATGGCAAGCTTGTAGCCTTTACCCAAATGACCAAGAATGTTTTCCTTGGGCACCTTTACGTCTTGCAGGACAACCTCGCAGGTTGAGCTGCTACGAATACCGAGCTTGTCTTCCTTTTTGCCAATTGATACACCTGGAGTGTCGCGATCCACTAAAAAGGCAGTGATGCCCTTGTAGCCAACCGACGGGTCGACATTGGCCATAACGATGAATACACCGGCTTCTTGTGCGTTGGTGATCCACATCTTGGTACCATTGAGCACAAAGTAGTCTCCCTTGGCTTCGGCACGTGTCTTGAGTGCAAATGCATCGCTGCCACTACCGGCCTCTGACAGACAGAAACTGCCAACACTGTCGGCAGCCAGCTTGGTCAAATAGGTCTCCTTTTGCTTTTCAGTGCCATAACGGTTGATGCAGTTGTTGACCAATGTGTTTTGCACGTCGACAATGACCGACACACCCGGGTCGATCTTGGCCAACTCTTCAATGACAATGATCGAGCTCATAAAGTTGAGTGCAGTGCCACCATACTGCTCACCAATCTCGATACCCATCAAACCCTGTGCAAACAAATCTTTTAATAATCCTTGATCCAACTTTGCAGTCTCATCCATCTTTTTAGACAAAGGTTTGATTCTTTCATTTGCAAACTTTTGTACTGTATCACGTAACATTACTTCTTCTTCTGTAAATGTTGTAATTGGTGGTATTTTCTATTGAAAGAAAGGGAAGAAAGGAAGAAAGAAAGAGAGAGAGAGAGATATAGATATTAATATCATATGATCGACTATAATGATGATCATCATCATTTAAATACTAACCTCAAAGTTTGATGAAGAGTATGATCTAACAACACCAACGGTCGTCATCGATGACGATTGATTATTGATCAATTGAATATTTCTCTTTAAACATTGGTTGTATAATGATCTTGTAAATGTATTCATTTCCCTTGTCCTTTTCACCTATGTTGAATGTAGTTGTAACTTTAACAACAAAAATGAAATTTTAAATTAAAACATCCCGATGAACTTGAAGTTTGATGTGAAGGAAATTTCGGCGTTGGTGTAAATTTAATAAAATAAAATTAGAAGATAACCAATCAATTAGTGATCTTTATTTGATCACAAAGAAGTATGGAATTCACTTACCTGTATTAATTTGGTGGACTGACATTATTTAATTAATTGATTTCTTCTATAAAAAAAACAAAAAAGAGATAAAAAAAAGATACAGAAAAAAGTTGATTTACTCTAAAACAATTGAATAGTAATGTTGCCAATTTTCAAAATCAATGATCATTTTATATATATTTTTAAAATTAAACAGACTTGATTGTACAGTCCTTCCTTGAATTTAAAAATAAATATCCAAAGAATGTACATTCATTCACTGACAATGAATTTATTGTTTTTATTCTACTTTATTTTCATTCTTTCATGAAGACATGTATCTTTAAAAAAATTTTAATTATGATGGACCGATCATCATTGTGAATAAAATCATTTGCTTTGTTGATAATGGAAGACAGAGATAATAACAATAAAAATATTAATAACAATATAATTAATAATGATAGATTCAATGATATATTTTATAAAGTATTCAAATCAACTTATTTAATACAATGTATATTTAAACATGTACGTGGCAAGAGATTGATTTGTTTGGGTAGTGATGGTAATCTACCAGCTGATCCACTCCGAACATTTGCATATAAAGATATAAGAAGTGTACATTGGATGATTGAAAACTCATACTTTGGTCTACTCAAAGACAAACTGGCTCGTAGACAACCGACAAGTACCATCAATAGTATTGACATTGCATTGATGTGCAAAAAGGTAAAAGATTGTGACATTGATGCTTTCAATTATATATACTTTAAGATGCGTCATCTCTTTCTATGTCCGTCGGTTGTCAAGTCGGCAGCTCTAAATTATTGGACATCGTATCCACTGCAACTGATTCTATCGAGAACTCAACAAGACGGTGGCTATGCAACGTGGAACTTGATGACACTAGAGGATACCTTTTTGGTTGGGTCTGTACCGTGTGCGAGCCTTTTACTCGATCGACTGACTTGGATTCTGTCTGGTAACACCGACCCTCTGTACAAGCCTGTTCCGGGTAGCTCAAGCAAGCCGAGACTGGGGTTCTTGCGTCTACTCCACTATGCGCTGACAGTGCCACCACTGCACAGCGAACGCCAAGAGATGAGCAGTATGTTTATCAAATGGTTGCAGTGTGCACCCTCGTCTCCAGCAGAAATAGTGCCATTGCCACAACTACCATTTAAATTTGATAACTTGGTAGACAGCCATTTCTATCTAACACCCGAGTTGTTTGAAATGATATTCTCTTCTAAAGCATTGGCAGAGTTGACCGAGTGTCCTAGAGAGTATCTTCAATGGCTTGGTGATCTACCATTTGTATATTGGGATATCCAATCGCTCCACCGTCGAGACTGGTCGCTTCCAGATTCACTAGCTTCCATCAAAGAATTAAAAAAGCAAATTGAAAAGCAAAAGAAATGTATCAACTTTGTATCGCTCAACACAATCGATATGATCGATTATATTGAATCAAAATTCTTTGATCCAGACCTCAAAGAAAAGAGAATTAAAGAGTATTTTGTTCAAAAGGTTCCCCCTATGGACATGATTGACGAAAAGGAATACAAATGGGTGTATATGAGATGGATCATCGAGTCAAAGAGATTCAAGACTATTAGAGACAAGGATAGATGGGTAGAGAGTATGATACTCGCAACCTTGATTGAAGAGAAAGAGGAAGAACTAACTCTACTCTTGTCTGCTGCTATGCCCAATCATTATATAGACTGGCAGGCCATCTACTACCAAGACCGTGGAAATAAGGTTTGGAATGATATCATTCGACGTGCAATTAAAAATCATTATACAAATCCACATACTCCCTATCTACTGTGCCCAGACGAGACACCAGACGACAACGACGATACTCCACTAGAAAATTACCAACAAGTATCATCTTTTGTAGCTGTCAGACATGGGTATTTGGCATTCACCAAAAAACTATATCAAATTTATACTCCATCAGATGATGTTAGAGACATCAATAACCATGGATATGTCAATCAATTAGGATTATTAAATACTGCATCTGAACACAATCAAGTTGAATGTGCCAAATGGATCATCGAACAGATAAAGACTGATACATTTGCCGAGTCTGTCAAAGTGGAACATATACAGATTGCATTAGAGACGGCCATGTCTTGGGGACACTATGAAATAACGGATCTCATCCTATCACAGTTTCCCGACACTCTATTTACAACTAGCCTACTTGAAGTTGCTGCCACTTCGGGTAACATTGAATTCTTCAAGTCACTCCTTCACCGTGTTAAAACCAACTATCTATTTGTACCACTACAACGGACACTACTTAATGCAATGAGATCTGGATCAATGGAATTGGTTCTATATATTTTGCAACAACTCTTGAAATTGGATACATCATCATTGTCGTATTCCTATTTCACATTCATTCATACGACTGTCCGAAATGGTCACTTTGAAATCACAAAGATGCTACTCACGTCTCTCAAAAAATTTATGAACAAAGATTCAATCTCTACCATGTTGGCCGATATAATTAAACGCGACCGTATCGAAGTACTCGATTATCTTGTCCAAAACTATAAAATCACTTTAAACCACGATGACATTATTGCTATTCTTCAAAGTGGACACATCTCTTCGCTCCAATATTTGATAAGTGATAGAAAATCAAAACAATTTAAAGATATAAAAAAGAATATTGATAAATTTATCAATAGCTATCACCAAAATACTATAAGTTTCTTTGACAATAATATCCATTTATTTAAAATAAATAAATAAATAAATAAAATTGTATTATTATTATCTAATCCATTTTTATTAACTTAGTTAAAAGAAGGAGGAGGAAGAGGTGATAAATTAAGATTGGGAGTTGATTTCTTTTTACTTGTACTAGTGGTAGTCGATTTCTTTTTGCTTGCTGATTTCTTTTCAGTGACTGGTGGAGTTGGTTCTGCCTTTTTTGATTTTCTTTTTGATGGTTTTGGGGTGGTGGTAGTGGCAGCTGCAGCTGACTGATCATCACTCATACTCTCCACATTGATTGTAAAATTATCTGTTGCTTCTGTTGCAGGTGCACTGCTTTTCTTTGTTGATTTGGAAGGTGTCTTTTTCTTTTTCGTGGCGGGTTGTTCAACCTCGGCTGCAGCAGTCGATTCGCTCTCTGCCTCGGCTGCCAATGCACGTGCCTTTTTCTTTGACACCTTTTTAGTTGGTTGATCAGCAGCCGATGCAAGTGGTGTAGCAACTGTTGACGAAGAAGTAGAGTCGACCGATACCGACAAAGATTGTTTGGGTGTAGTAGGAGCTAAAGATACAGATGAAGAGGATATTGATAAATCTACAGTGGATGATGGTACAGTTGAAGAAGAAGAAGCAGTTGGATCAATTGGAGCACCAGTACCATAGATTTGGAATGGAGTTTGATCGGCAACATTATTATTTGCAGCAACAGCGACAGCGGTAGTCTGCTCTGTTGTAACTTGTTGTTGCTCGGGTTCATCTTCTTCCACCTCTAACAGTAATGCTTCCTCTGGAAGATTCATATCTTGAATCTCTTTTTCCAAAAATTCTTTTTGTTTTTTAAGTATCTCTAAATGATAACGTTTCTCGATAAAGTATCGTTGAAGGTCGAGTAGAATCATCATATCCTGTTTCAAATCATTGTATACACGTTTGGCAATCACATTAGAGTATGGTTGTCCAATATGCATGTCAAAGAGAGTTGCTTCAACACGATTCGACTGTCTCTGTCCAGCAGGCGATATCTTGTCATCTTGAGCCTGTAACGATGCCTCCATCGACTTTCTCTTTTTACTCTTCTTTATCGCTGAATCTCCTGTTTGACTCTTTTCTGCCAAATCTTGTTGACTATAACTTTTTAATGGTCCATTTGATATTGCTGTTGCTGCTAATTTCATAATTGATTTACTTTCCCTTTTAAAAACATAAAAAAGTAGATAGATTAATAAAATGAATAGATAATTACAACAATATTACATAAAGTATCTATCTGTACATACTTGCTATGTTTTAATAAATGTCTTTCAATATTAAAATATTTTTCAGATAGATCATTTTCTTCTTGTACTTGTTCTTTTGAAAGTTGAAATAATTGATCAGCTTGTAATTTTCTTTCAACTTCATAAACTATAGAAGAAAGAGAGAAAGGTTAGTATACATTTTAATTCTTGTTTAAACAATATTTAATTCTCACAATCATTTCTTACTCTTATTATAATTATAACCAGTTAATGGATTATGATATGGATCTTCTTCAGCTTTAGTTCTTAATTCTACTAGTTTTGATTGTATTTTGTAATAACGTTCTTTTAGATCTTCAACCGATCTTGGTACCAATCCATTATAACGATCATGAACAATAATAAATCTAGTATCATATTTTTGACATTGATCCAATAGTTTATCTGTATCTTCTTTTGTCCAATTTGGATCTCTTAAATAGAGATCATATTCCTCTTCAGTATATACCAATACTTCCATCTTTTTATTATATTTTGCATATTTATTCTCTAAAGAATAATTAATCAAACAAGTTTTAATTAAAAATGATTCAAATCAAATATGATCAATCATATGGATCCATAGATTCTACATACCATCAACTTTATCACTTGATTTAGCCCAATGATATAATACCAAATTATCTTTTCTTGAACTATTTCTAAAACCTCTCTTTTCAAAGTTTACTTTAATCTTTCTCTTTTCTTTGAATGCTTGTTGAGTGACTGGAGATGAGAATGATAATGTTTCACCTTCAAGTGCTCTAAATGTACTTTGTAATCTATCTATAATTGATTGTCCTCTTAATGGTTCTAAATAGGAATAAATCCGTAGGATATTAGAATATATACTATATATATAGGGTTAAAAGTATAGAATGTTGTGCATACCTTTATTAGGTGTTTTAACAACCTTCTTCTTCAAGATTGAATCAACAGCACTCCCAGTCGAAGGTGCTTCCTTGGTTGGTGTAACTCCAAGAATATCTTTAATGTCTGACATTATTATCTGTACTATACTACACTTTTGTAAGTCACTTATGAGTTTAATTAAACTTTTGTATCTATTGAATAGACGACCTTTCATTTTTTGAATTTTTTTTTTTTTGGAACAAAAGAGATGATCCTCAAAAAGAGTAAATTTCATGTGATCGATCAATCAACTCTTATTAATAATATATTAGTAGTTTGTTTGAAACAACAATTGTCGGACTCTTTAACATAGATAGTAGTAGTAGTACTTTGTTAAGTCATCAACTACAAAGCAGACAAAAACAACAAGAACACAGTACAACAATATAATGTTATCACTCAACAACGCATACAAGACACTTGTCAATCAATGGGTGTATAGATCATTCTCATCGGCTGTTGCCAAAGAGGTGACACCTATCACCAAGATATTGATTGCCAATAGAGGAGAGATTGCATGCAGAGTCATGAAGACTGCACAGAAGCGTGGTGTCAAGACTGTGGCCGTTTACAGTGAGGCCGACAAGAACTCGATGTTTGTGTCGATGGCCGACGAGGCCTATTTGATCGGCCCAGCTGCTGCCAAGGACTCGTACCTCCGTGGTGACAAGATCATCGAGGTGGCCAAAAAGTCGGGTGCTCAAGCCATCCACCCGGGCTACGGCTTCCTCTCAGAGAACGCCGAGTTTGCCGACTTGTGCGAACGCAACAATCTCGTCTTTATCGGTCCCCCATCGAGCGCCATTCGCGCAATGGGCAGCAAGAGTGCGTCCAAGGACATTATGATTGCCGCCAACGTGCCCACCATCCCGGGCTACCACGGTGAGGACCAAGCATTCGAGACACTCAAGAGCGAGGCCGCCAAGATTGGGTACCCCGTGCTCATCAAGGCCGTCCTCGGTGGCGGAGGCAAGGGTATGCGTATCGTCGAACGCGAGGAGGATCTCGCCGACGGCATTGACAGCTCCAAGAGAGAGTCGCAGGCTTCGTTTGGCGACAGCCGTGTGCTCGTTGAAAAGTACCTCGTACACCCACGTCATGTCGAGATTCAAGTATTCGCAGATGCCCACGGCAACTGTGTCCACTTGTTTGAACGTGATTGCTCGGTGCAACGTCGTCACCAAAAGATCATTGAAGAGGCACCAGCTCCCCATCTCTCAGAGGAGCTCCGTCAAAAGATGGGTAGTGCCGCTGTAGCTGCTGCCAAGGCTGTAGGCTATGTCGGTGCTGGTACCGTCGAGTTTATCCTCTCACAAGACGGCAGCTTCTTCTTTATGGAGATGAATACCCGTCTCCAAGTCGAGCATCCAATCACCGAGATGATCACCCGTCAAGATCTCGTCGAATGGCAACTCAAGGTGGCCGAGTCCCAAACACTCCCACTCGCCCAAAAAGACCTCGCCATCCACGGACACGCCTTTGAAGCCCGTATCTACGCCGAAAACCCCGACTCCGACTTTGTCCCAGGTACCGGCAAGCTCGTCCATCTCACCACCCCCCAACCATCCGACACCCTCCGTGTCGAAACTGGTGTGCGTCAAGGCGACGAAGTATCCGTCTACTATGACCCAATGATTGCTAAATTGGTCGTATGGGATACCAACAGAGATAAAGCTCTTAGATATCTTAGAAATTCATTGGATAAATATCATGTAAATATCAAAATGAAACAAAATATCAAAATATGAATGAAATATGCCTAACCTTTATTTTTAGATTGTAGGATTAAATACAAATATATCATTTTTAAAGAGACTTTCAAGTCATCCAGCATTTGTAGCAGGAGAAGTTGAAACTGGATTCATCCCAATGCACAAGGAGGCTTTGATGGCTCCACCCAAACCATACTCAAATGACACCCTTTGTTTGGTTGTCTTGTCGATTCTTTTGAATGAACAAAAGGCTGCACTTAAAAATACCGTCTCTGGCGTCGTCTCGCCATGGCAGTCGGCCACCGGCTTCCGTGTCAACAACAATGCTGTACGTAACATCAAGTTGGTGCACAAGGAGCAAAAGGTCAGCGTACCAGTCACCTACCAACACGATGGCACCTATTTGATGACATGTCCCGATGGCAAGTCACTCAAGGTTGGCGGTCGTTTCATTGGTGAAAATATCTCTGCACACATTGGCGAGCAGTTCTACCACGACATTAGTGTCGTCGCCCACAAGGACACCTTGACCATCTTTAACAATGACCAAGGCACCTATGAATTTTCGCAACCACTCGAGGTTGCTAGCAAGGGTGCTGATCTCGGCAGTGGCTCCCTTCTCTCGCCAATGCCAGGCAAGATCACAAAGATCATGGTCCAAGTTGGTGACTCTGTCAAAAAGGGCCAAGCCATCCTTTTGATGGAAGCCATGAAGATGGAACACACCATTCGTAGTCCAATCGATGGAAAGGTTGAATCTTTACCATTCAATGTAAATGAAATTGTTGAAGATAAAAAGGTACTTGCCGTCATTGTTTAAAAATAATAAAATCAAATCAAATTTCAAATCAAATTTCAAAATAAGAATATTCTTTTTTTGGATTGTAGATTAATAATTATTTATTTCTTTATTCCATTTGGTAGGGCAACTTATTAGTAAGTTGGTCAAATGGGGAAGGAGGGATGGGATGGGATGGATAGGGTTTTATAAAAGTTACATGTTGTTTTGTTGTTGTTGTTGTTGTTGTTGTTGTTTGTGGATGATGTATTGTATCGTGTTATTATTTTTGAGAATTAATCTTGTTTACAATTAATTTAAGGATATCGGTAATAGAAACAACCTTGATCAATTTAAGACTACTTTCACTATCAACAACAAATACACGATGATGACGTGACTCTACCAACTTTACAATTAAATCTTTCAATGTTTCATTTAATGTACAATATAATGGTTTGGTTTGGGTCTAAATAATAATAAATAATTAATTAATTAATAAACAATTGGTCATAATAAACATGTCTTGATTAAATTAAATTTGATTGATTACATACATTATCTTCATTATTTAATTGTCTAATTTGATTTAAAAATTGCATGATTGGGGATTCTAAAACTTTGGTGGAAGGGGTAGTGATGAAAAGCTTGAGGTCTTGACTACTGGTACCTCCAACCAAACGGCCATTCTCATCTACGATGGCAACACCACTTCTACGAGTGTTGTCCATTTGACGGAATACATCGATGGCACTAGTAGTAGTCTTGGCATGCAATACTGGTGCGTTACCAAGCTCGGTCAATTCAGCAAGAGTCTTGTTCAACTCTGGCAATAGATCGGTACCAATGTTATTATATATGAATTGAATGACCGTCGATTGTGATATAATATTGACCAATCTGTCGTCCTTGTCTACAATAGGTACTCTGTGTTGTCCATTTGCCAATATCTCTACAATCTTTAATAAATTATTTCCTGATTGTAATGAATGGAATGGATTTCTTCTTGACAAATCTAAACAACATAAACAAACAAACAAATTAATTATTTAATTAAATCATCCTAATCATATCATATATTCTGATTCTTATTGTATATTTTATATTTTTGTATATTTACAAGTAACAGTAACATCAGCATTATGTTTAAACATCTTTACACCAAAATTGACAACATCCAACAAAGTATTTGCTTGTACATTATTATCGTGAATAAAGAGAGAAAAGGAAACCAAGTCTCTAATGTCTAGAAATCCAGAGTATTTACCTGCAACATTATCAAATACTGGTGCTGATTGTATTTTATTATCCAATATCAACTGTTAAGTGTAGTGTATTAGTAACACTCTGTATATATGATCATCTAATGTCTATCTATCTCTTTTTTTTTGAATGTCATTCATACATTGAAACCTTGGATTGGGATAAGGGATGAATCTACAACTACAATCTTTCCCTTGGATGACTGAAATTGATCTACTAATGCACCTTGGAATTTCTTTGCTAATTCTGACATCTTTTATCTCTCTCTTTGTTTAATTATCTAAATATATTTATGTTATGTGATTAATGTCTATCTTCTCATGAATGTAATTACATTTTTAATCAATAGGGGGTCAAATTCAATCAAACAGAGAGTTTTTTTTTTTTTTTTGGCAGCGCAGTGGATGTTCACAGTGCTGTCACATGACCCATGATACGATGATGACGATTACATTGTATATATACAACAGATCCTGATCTGTCCCCCCCCCCCCCCAGGGGGTATGACCACAATCTACAAAATCGAACACTAACTTAAAAGATCACTCTTCAACTACAAATCTTGGAAAGTATGCAGTCTGATCATTACATTAAACAAAAAATAGATAGCATCTATCATTCATGAGTTTATAGATAGATAGATTATATTATTATTATTTGATTGAGTGTGTGCTATTGATTTTGATGATAGTTATATTAAAGGGTTGTACACTTTAATTTCCCTCCTTTTTTTGTTTTTTTCAAATGGACACCCTACAAAATTGGTCATTTCATATCAGATGATTCATCAATCGCCATGTAAAGAGATTAGATAGATAGAATAGAATGCAATATCAACAACAGATGAATATAAATACGAATAGAGATAGATCATCTCCACCTCTAACTTCATCAACAAGTAGCACTGGTAGCGGAGGAGGGCAACAGCAGCAACAACAACCAAACAATGGACATCCACCAAGAGAACTACAAAGTATAGTTATAAAGTTGATTCAATTGTTTGCACCACCAATGCAATCCAAAGAGAATACAATATCATACAAAGAGAGAATCAAAGCTATCTTGTTTGTATTTGTAGAGAGATTTCCACATTCTTCAAAGTCTCCAATCGATGATTTCTCATTATATGATCAAATTCAAAAGAAATGTATGTGTAGCGCCGACATATGAATAGACTATGAATATGACTATAACTATAGAATACAATATCTAATATTTAACTATTTGATGCTGGTTACAGTAATGAATGAAGGAAGAAAAGATAAATTATTAAAGTTTGGTGAATTGTATAGAGATATGTTACAATATTGTAAAAGAAATCATGTAATATTACAAATGTTATTGGATGATTCATTAATGAATTCAAATGTATCAAAACAGTCATCATCGGCATCAACCAATATGCAAGATCAAATTAAAAATCAACAAATCAAGATTACCAAATCAAATACACTACCAGAAATGATAAACGTATCATCACCAACTCCAAAAATAACAACAAACTATTTCATTAACAAAGAAATTGTTAAATCATCAAAACAACAACAACAACAACAACAACAATATAAATTAGATAATGTAAAATGTAAATTAATCAATTCAAATCAAAAATTGGAAACAAATAATTAATTAATTTAATTTAATTTAATTTATAGATCAAGAAGAAATACCAGAATCATCATTAATGGTAGATTTAATATTTGTATTACAAGGAATAGAAGGAAAATATATAAAGTTTTATCAAGATATTGATGCATTTTCTGTTGATCCATCTGTAAATGTTCCAAGATGTGTTAGAGATCTAGTCGGAAGAATATGTGAATTTGGTTGGATATTTAAACAAATCAGATTATTTTTAACAAGTCCCTTTTCTAAAAATGGTTTAACTAATCAAGTATGTGTTTAAACAAACAAAAAAAACAAATTGGAATATGTTTGGATACTTATATATATATATCGTTTAGAGTTTTTGTGCAGCAGTAAAAGATGAAATGACGGAATTTTATAGAACCATTGCATTGTTAGAGAGTGAGATATCAAGTAATACAAACAATGGACCAGATGAAAACCACATCGCAATGACATTAAAGGGAATGTTTGTTTGGATACAAGAACCATTACAGCGACTCAAGTTTTTGGCATCTTTGATTAGTGGTGTGGCAAGTCTAAAGGGTGGACAGACCATGTCGTATGTACACTGTTTTACAAGCCACGGAGACGCAAAGATTAGGAAAATGTTGGAGGATATAGTCGTGCGAGTTAGTCAGCCTATACTGGCAATGATCCAGCGATGGATATTCGAGGGTGAGATTAGCGATCCCTACGAAGAGTTTTTCATTGCCAAGTTTAGCTCGGTGCCACTAGAGAAAACGTGGCGTGAAAAGTATGCTCTTCGAACCACGATGATACCAGCTGCCATCCCACTACCAATGTGTCGTCGTATTTTGTTGCTTGGCAAATCAATCAACTTTATGAAGCACTGTTGCAAGGAGCCGTATTGGAGCGTGGATCGTCGTGCACTCAATCTATCGCTCTCGTCACTCGACACGATCAGTGACCTCGAGCTACAACTACCACGCGTCGTCGAAAAGACGGCCCAGCACAGCAGCAAGAGACTGCTGGATATCATGATTGGACGATTCAACTTTATCGAGCATGTGCAGGCACTCAAGCGATACATGTTGCTTGGACAAGGTGACTTTATCCAGTGTCTGATGGACACACTCGGCGAGGATCTTCTCAAGCCTGCGTCACAGCTATCGCGTCATCGTCTTGTCGGTATCCTCGAGAGTGCCGTCAGAAATTCAAATGCACAATTCGAGTCGGAAAACGTACTCAGACGACTCGATATATCACTGCTCGAGGAGAAACCCGGTTCGATTGGATGGGATATTTTTTCATTGGAATATCACATTGACATGCCAGTCTCTACCATCATCCAAAAACAAGACATTATCAAATACAAAAAGATATTCCATTTCCTATGGGGTGTCAAAAGAATAGAATATTCTCTCACTTCTATTTGGAGAAAAACTAGATCCTATAGTGATATTTTATCAAATCTAAAAGGTTTTACAAAAGATATTCAAAGGTAAACGAAATTAATAATATGTAACATTTTATTTAAATCAAATATTAATTTAAATTCTTTTTTTTATTGTTATTTTTTTTAGATCACATTTATTAACAAATGAAATGATTCATTTTATGACAAATTTCCATTATTATGTAATGTTTGAAGTAATAGAATGCTCATGGGAAAAATTATGTAAACAAGTCAATGAAGCTACAGACCTGGATCAATTGATTGAAGCACATTCAAAGTTCCTTTATGAAATTGGCACTAAAACTTTCCTAACCAATTCAGAAACCTGTTATGATAGTTTTAAAAAGGTTTTATCAATCATTACTAAATTTACAACTCTTCAAACTAATGTTTGTATTTTGGCTCATGCAATTAAAAAGGTAAATAGAAAGAATAGTCTGATCTCTTTCAACCATTCATTCATTAATTAATTTTATTTTTCTTTTTAGGAACAAATTTTAACAGATTCACATTATGTAAAGATAAATAGAGAATTGACAAATTATAAAACACAATTAAATTCAATTGCCAATGATTACAAACATTATTTCGATTTGTTTGAAAAGGAATTATCGAAATTAAAAATTCATCAAGATGTCAATCCAATTTCACTATTATACATGTTGGATTTTAATGAATATTATTCCAATACTAATCAAGATGATGAATGATAAATTTAATAAATCATTATATTAATATTATAGGCTAATAAAAAAAAATAGGATTTGTTTAGTTTACTTTCACAACATAATTTATATTGTTTCACTTGTTTTCTTTTATTTATTTACAAATGATAAGATGTAATATCAAGTGAATTTGATACTCTTCTAATTTGATAACTTGCAAAGATACCATTAATGTAGAGTACATGAAGTGTGATTGTAAATGGTATTGGTGAATTGGCAGGTGGTTGATTTTTAACCACCGAAAGTCCAGTAATAAAGGATGGACCTCCTGATGGAGCTGGAAGTACACACTCTGCCTCCAATACTGTAGACACCTTGTTGTCTGGCGTCTTATTCTTTTTAATCTTTAGCAATGCCACCTGCCTAGCCGGACCCTGTGATCCAACAATAATCAATGAAAGCTCTGGTACTACTTCGAGAAAAGCTAAACGATCGAGTTGGGTTTGAGCAACTGGAAAGGCTGTCGGCGTTGGATTGTTGGCAACCATTGCATCGTCGAGTGAAGAACTACTAAGAAATAGATTTTGAAAACATGAAAATACCAAATGACTAGGTTGAGATTGTCTATCGTGTTTGGTGTTGATTAAATTGAATGTAACTCCATCAAATGCTTTGTTTTGTCTTAATTCCTCCAATGCTCTTAATGTTTCTTCACTTAAAGTTAATTCTTCTTCTTCTTCTTCTTCTTCTTCCTCTTCTTCTTCTTCTTGTTGGTCTTGCTCTTCTTCTTGTTCTTCTTCATCTTCATTTTGATTAATATTTACATCACTACCAACATCATCACCATCAATTATTATCATACCATCTCCATCTTCATCTTCATCATCAAACATATATTCTTCGTCGTCATCATTATCTTGATCTTCTTCTTCTTCCACTTGTTCCATATTGTCATCGTCATAGTAATATTCTTCGTCATCATCATCATCTTCTTCTTCATCTTCATCCAAATCAATATAATCATCATACTCTAAAATTGCTCCATTATTTTCGTTATTATTATTATTATTATTATCGGTATCATTATTATTATTATTATTTTCATCAACAATTAAATTTTCTTGTTCAGCTTGATCAGCTTCCATTTCTTGTTCGTCTTCATCTTCCTCTTCATCGTCATTATTTGGAGGTAAAGGGACTGGTATTTCTTCATTTTCCATTTGATCGTTCATTACTTGTTCAACTTCAGCAATTTGTTCATCGTGCGTCATGCCAACCCAACCAAGATATTTTCTTTCCTTTTCGTGTAAACTGCTCTTGTGGATATGGTTGTGTTCCTCGGGTGTAGATTCTCTTAGATCTATCCACCTACACGCCCATCCCCACTGACTAAGCCTGAGCATCAACAGAGTTGATTGATTTTCGACATCCCATACACGAAGGAATTTGTCAATCGACACCGATACGATAAATCTACCGCACGGACTAAAATCCAGACAAGGTATATTGTGTTTGTGTCCTTGATAGGTTTTCCTATTGTAATGTGGATCTTCACTCCTAAGATCCCAACACACTATTTTAAAGTTATTAGAAGATACTGCTATCAATGGTTTAGTCGGACAGATAGCAATTCCCCACGTACTAGACCCTTCATTAAAAAAGCAAATAGGGTCACGATCCAAATCCCTTGTTACAATGATCCTTATAAATCCACCATCGTCAACTGTCACCACTACCTCCTCTCCATCCAATTTACCTATTCTAATTTGATTCACTGGAAACTATAAATATATACATATATATAACAGGGATATATATTGTTAATGACATATTCATATTCATATTCTTTCTTTCTTTCTTTCTTCATCTTTCTTTCATACAAGATTATTATTTAAATGAATTGATTTTAATCTTGTTTGAGGATTATCCAAATCAAAGACAGATATTGAATGTAATTCTGCAATAAATAGTAATCTATGTTGATTACTAACTGCCATTAAATTTAATTTCTATAAATGAATCAAAGTTGTAAGTTTAGTTGTCTATAGATATAGTTATCAAAGAAGATTGATATAATGTAGGGTATTGTAGTCTCTCTCTCTTACCCAATGAAGAATTTGAAGATTAGGTATTGAATTTCTTAATTGTATACATCCCATGTATCCATAGTCGATTTCATTCTTTCTATTTACAAGTTGAAGTTGGTTATTGATTGGAGGCGTTGAAAGATAATGAGAAGAGGATGTCAGAGAGGGACTTGAAGTCTTGCGAAATTGCCTTCGTTTGATTGATCTACCAACCCTCTCTTCTTCCAACCAATCTATATTTTGATCATCAACTATAACGCTATATTCCTCATGTTGTTGTTGTTGTTGTAATTCTCGTTCATGTTCTTGTTGAAGTTGTTGTAATTGTAATTGTTCATATTCACTGAATTGATGTGGATGTTGTTCTAATTCATCCATATCTTTGAATGAATAATGTTTGATGTGTTATTCACAGTTGTTTGTGTATTAATTGTTGTTTATGCACTATATCGGGCCGTATTTTGAATAGAGTGATACAATCTAGTTTGAGAATGAGGAGGGAATGCAAATTAAAAAATATTAAATTTAAAATTTTATGATGCAAGAACAAATCAACTTCAAAACAACCAAAGGATCCACCAATAATTATTGATAAACACATTCACTTTATATCAATCCTTTTCTTTATTCCATAACATTAATATTTTATCGTAGGATGACCCGTGGGTATTATCATCTATAGGTTCATTTAGCTCCTCTGTTGGTAATGATGTTCGACAAGTACGATAGTTGTAACTGAAGCTCTCATTGCCGTAAATAACATTGTCTCTCTGCTCAATTCAAGTTCATTTCAAGGACCTCTCTTTGGTATCCAGCTGTACTCCTTGTTTCTCTCTCTTTAAACCTGACTAGTTGGACTACAACCTTAGTTTAAAAAAATCAAATAATAAAAAGTTAAAAGATCTGCGTGATGATGATGTAAACAGACTACACTTGTCATTCACGATTGATTTGTTCTCTATACACATCATATATATATATATATAGAATAGATAGATATAGAGGAGAATGATAGCAAACAAGACTAGTTCTTCACTTTTAATTAGATCTTTGAGTAGAGGTGCTACTACATCGGTTGTATCATCAAATATCAAAAATAGTTTCAAATATTGTACCGTTACAACTCCAACGTCATCATCATCATCATCATTGTTTAACAACAATCAATTGGTTAGAAATACAAATCTATTCAGATCAATTAATCAACAACAACAACAAATCAATCAATATTCTACTGAATCAAATCAACAACAACAAGAAGAGAAAACAAAGAAATCATCATCATCATCATTCTTTAAGAAATCATTATATGTTCTTGCAATTACAACTGTATTGGGTGGAATTGTATTCTATACTTTGGATGAAACTGGAAAGGTTTGTATATTACATACAATATATAAAGAGATACATATCCTAAAACTCTCCTCTCTTTTCTCATTATAGTTAAAATATTTAAAAAGAATACCATTTAGAATTACATCTGGATTATGGGGAAAGATGGCATATACTGAATTACCAGAATGGGCAAGAGAACCAATTTACAAGACCTATTCACGTATGTTTGGTGTCATTCAAGACGAAGTTGAGAAACCATTCAAAGAGTACAAGTCGATGGGCGAATTTTTCTGTAGACACTTGAAAGACGGTGCTAGACCAATCGATCAGACCGCTGCTATGGTCAGCCCGGTAGACGGACGAATCATCTATTGCGGCAAGATTGACGAGCACTCTTTGGAGCAAGCCAAGGGTCTCACCTACTCGTTGGAGGAGTTTTTGGGTAGCAGCGAGTTTGCCAAGGTCAAGGGAAAAAAGAATCTCTATCACATTGGTATCTACTTATCACCAGGTGACTACCACGGTATTCACAGTCCTGCCGAATGGACCATTCAAGATCGTTACCATTTCCCAGGTTACCTATTCCCAGTGGCCAAGGTTGCAGTCGATAATATCAGAGGATTGTTTGCACTCAATGAACGTGTCGTTTTGACCGGGCAATGGAAACACGGTTACTTTTCACTGACACCGGTCGGTGCCTCCAACGTCGGCTCGATCGTCACCGAGTTTGACAAGGACTATCTCACCAACGACCCAAATGAGATGAAATACGAAAACAAGGAATTCTACTACAAATCCTACCACAAGTCGCCAGTCAAGCAACACCGCGGTGAAGAGTTGGCCTTTTTCAAGATGGGTTCCACCGTCATCATGGTCTTTGAATTGCCAGAAGGTAAATCTTATAATTTCGATGGTCTAACCCCAGGTCAACAAGTTAAACTTGGTCAAAAATTAGGTAATCTAAAATAAAGATCAAAGAAATAAATAAACAAAAAAAAAGTAATAATAATCAAAGAAAATTTGAATTTCTCAAAACATTCTTAACTTTTAGTAAACTCACCTCATACACATCATTCTTTTTATCATTCTTTTGATCAATAAACAAATAATAATAATAATAAAACAAATAAATAACAAACAACCATAACAACAAAAGAAAGAAAAAGATATATCTTTAAGGTTTACAAAAAAGTTGATGAAAGATTCTGTATTCTTTAGTGTATTTAGAAATCAATATTTAGTAAAGAACATATTCTCGAGTGTATCGATTGTCCTTCGGGACACTGATCCATCAGAAAAAGAAAATTGTATACACATTAGATCGTATAGTGATTGGAACAACGCAGATTTATTACTAGACTTTGGTCACGTTGGACTATTAATCGACAAGGTCAAGAGACTAGAACCAATTCATTTCTCGGAACGATCAATCTATCACATCTGTCAAACTGTAAAGTCATTTGATCACTTTCAACTACTCTACAACAAACTACGTCATCGATTTGTTGAACGTCTCATCATTCAATACGCTTGTCAAGGTGGCCAATTGGAGATTATCAAACTTTTAAGAAATCAAACTGAACCTCTAAAAGTATGTAAATTCTAATAATCATACTTGTAATGATGCATTAATCAATATTTGTGTATTTGTATTTGTATTAGTTATCAGATATAGGAGCATATCATGGAGCTGCAAGAGGAGGAAATATTAAAGTATTGGAATACTTGAAACAAGAAAGAGTTGAATTGTTATCAAGTGATATTCATGACAATACACCACAGGCATCAATCAACTCATTGATGGATTGTGCCAAACCATATTCAAAGACGGTCGATTGGATATTCAAGAATCTAGTTGAGAACCGTCCACCAGTTGGAAAGCAACTGCCAATCAGTGTCGATGAAAACCAAGGTAAACCATGGGGTGTAGAGGACTGCACCACTTGGAAGGAGAAACTTGATGTCATTCAACGATTCTTTAGACACTATATCAACGTTGATAAAAGGATATCATCTTTTTTAGACAATGCAAAAAAGAGACATTCGGAAGAGGATATCATCCGTGCTCTCACTGTCTATACCAAGCCAACCAGCCAAGATGTGCAAGAATACTATTACCGTTTGACATTTAATTATTTGACATTTGTTGGAAAGGCTTTGTTTAATAATAATGGTATCATTACTCAATTGGCAACCGATGAATTTAATCTATTGCAAAACAGTAATGACGTTGCACATGAAAAGAAAAGATTTAGATTGTTGGTTGCTTATTTGTTGGAGATTGAAAATGAAGTCATAGAAACCAATCCAGAATACAACATACCACCATCAAAAGTACCAGTGTATCCATTCTCACCAAGATATGTTTTATTGCACTTGGTTCAAGATATTGATTCGATCTATATTATCGATGAGATGTCTGCCACTCGTTCCCAACCAATCGACTCATACCAAAAGTGGAGAATGGTTAGTACAAGAGACGATCAACAAGGTTACAACTTTACCTTGGATTTCTATCAACAGTTGTACCAACTTTCAGAGGAACAAATGGAATCCAATGCATCTTTGATTGCCAAAATAATGGAACCACAGTCACTCGACATTCAACCAAAGTCACCAATGATGTTTAAATTGCTTTTGGAACAATACCCACAATTTAATTGGGCTGGCTGGTTCAAAGACTATGTCTACAAGTTACCATTTATGACGTTGGAAACCATGGGCGTTCTCATCGATCGCCAAGCCATTACACACAACAAAAACCTTGGGGCCATCCTATCTTATATTGCTTGCTACCAAAGACACGATATGTTGGACTATTTGTTTGAACGTATCCCCGTCTCTGAGATTGTCGGCTTTGCATGGGTATCTTTGTTTAAAGGGACGTGGAAGATGCTTGGTCAACTCAGAAAACGACTTCCCAACATCATCAGAGTGTCAGAGACTTGGCAACTAGGTAAAATAGGGTCGCTTGACTTTATCAACAGTGTCACTAGTCAACTGCCACTCAGCTATCACCTCCAAATCCTCAAGAATGCAATCCATCATCGTAAAAAGGAACTAGTCTTTGGATACCCACCAGACAAGCTCGACCTCTTGTCAAGATATGCGTCTGATCTCATGACCAATGTCAATGATCCAGAGATTTATGAATGGGTGAAAAAGATAGCCATGGAAAAGGGTGATGGCGTTTGGTTACCAGAGACAGCAATCATGAAAATATGTTCAAGTGGAGAAATAGAAGTACTAGAACATATCATTAAAAAGGATCCCGCTGTCATCAATCATCTCAAATCACTGAGACTGTCTACCTATCAAAACCATTCAGTCAGTCTCTTTTTATTTCTCTATAACATTGGCTACCAGTTCTCTGCCAAAACAGATTCCAATCATGTTTCAGCACTTGACCCAAATTCAAATTGGTTATCAAATATTCTATTGAAACCAAAGTTGATAGTATTGATAAATTACCATTTCAATATAATGATATTTCAACTTGGAAAAAATTAAATTAATTTTAATAAATTAATAAATAAATAAACAAATATAAAGCACTCTAAAAAAAAAAATTGTATTCATTTTTAAAAAAACATACACAGCTTACACTCCAACCAAGTTTTCTCGACTATAAATATAAGTATAGATCTATAGGTATAGGTCATTTCACCAAAAATCGTCGTCCCACAACTTGACTCAACTAGTACTCAATTCACTTATCGATGATCTTCTTTAATAAAGGTCTGATTTGGTTGTCGGTATCAAGACCTCGTTTGACATGAAGATCATACGTAATTTCTTTGGCTCCTCCCATGATACTTCCAACATTGAAGAACGTATTACTTTCGATGTTTTGTGCAATATTAAATCTAAAGATATGCTATAGTATTCTATTTAGGTAATCAGATCATTAGAATAAAGTTCGATATACTTTAAACCTAAAGTATAAAATCAACCACTTGCACATCAACAAAAATATTATGTATAGTAACATAGTATTCTTGTAGTAGAATTAGAATGCAATGACGAGTCTGCAAGGTAGAATTAAAAATGGAATTGGTCATGGAAGATTACTTTATCTAGTATGTAAACAACCATCAACAGTCTACTTATATTTTTAAATTTATACATCTAGATAAGTAAATATAGATCATTGTTACCTATTAGCTGCCAACAACCTATCAAGTACCCAAGAATGAACAGGGTAATGGTCTTGTTATAAAAAAATTGCTTTATTTTGTGTTGTTGTAAAGAAATTAATTAAACCAATTTTTTTTGTGCTTGATTCCATTACCCTTGTCGATTTGCTTTGCGCTACCATTAATAATAAAAGGGTAATAATTATTTAAATAAAAAGATGGAAGTCCATCAAAGCGATAATGAATCATCGAGTATATTTCAAAACCATAGTCAACAACAACAAGATCAACAATTACTAGTGTCTTCAACAACAGCAACAGCAGAAACAACAAATAATAATGAATCAAATAGTACAGAAGGATGTAGTAATACAGCAGATACAGCTACAACAAACAAGAATGAAAGATATAATACAATGTTATTAGAAACTATATATAGAGATAAATTATTACAATATCAACAAAAGTAGGTCAATGATGATGGTGATGAAAGATATTTTTATAAAAGAGAGTAAAACTAAACCTTTTGTCTCTCTTTCTCTCTTTTTAGGTTAAGAAAAGAATATGATAACTTGTTAAATGTACAAGTGGATACTATGAAAATAGATTATGAAAAGAGAATCATGACTCAAATAGATGAATTAAAGCTTTCTACAAACAAGAAAATGTTAGAAATTGTATTATTATTTAAACAAACCTTTGAAAATTATCAACAACAACAGGAAAAGAAAGTTGATTTGGATTTAAAACTTGTTGATAAACAACAACAAGAAAAGGAAGAAGAAGATGAAAAATTAAAATTGGATGATAAAGAAAAGATTATAAATGAATTAAAAATAGAGATTGATAAACAAAACAATCAATACAATCAACAATTACAATCAATCATGGAAATTATAAAAGACCTTACCGTTCAACAACAAGATACAACCATTAAATATCAATCTTTTCAAGAATTATTGGACCAATTTCCAAATGATAAATAATAATAATAAATAATATTTAGATTTGGAAACCCCGAGTTATAACAACGGGTGTGTATTTGTATAGAAAAGAAAATCGATATGAATTATTTATTTATATGTTTATAATTTTATTTGTTATTTGTTAAATTTTTCCTTTTATTATTATATTACATCTTTAATGTTTCATAAACCCGATAAACAAATTACTTATTTATATGCGCAATATTATGACCTTGATTGTCCCCCAAAAATAAACCATTGCCTATTTGATTCCATTTTTTTTGTTTAACTTGATTGTTGAACAATAACAGTTTCTTGTTGTGGAATATGTAATTGTTCTGAAATGTCAGTATTTGTTTTGATGATTGGATCGACGATGGTGGTATTTGAAACGATAAGGTCGGGGAAGATGTTGACAATGTCGTGAATTTCTTGAATGCAATAGTCGACAGATGGGCTTTCGGTGGTGCCACCGACCAAAACAGTGATCATACCAGCCTTTTTAGCACCCTCTAAATTATCTACAACGTCGTCGAAAAAGACACATCCGGCAGCATCGGTGGTGCCAGCCTTTTTCATAGCCATTTGATAAGAGACGGGATGTGGCTTGCTAAAGTCGCCAAGTTCCAAATACTCGATAGTGTCGTCGAAAAAGTTATCGACACCAAGCTCTTTGGTGACACGTTGACAATGTCCAAGATCGGCGTTACTGAAAATAATCTTTTTGATGGATGGGTTGATGCTGGCCAATACCTTGATCAAACGTTCGTCACGTCCAATATGTGCCTTGAGATTGAGTCCACCATGTACATAGTCCAAATAGTCGTTAATGTCGACTTGGTGGTCAATCATCAGACCCTTGAGTGTCAAACCATAGGTCTTGTAGTAGTGGTTACGAATCTTGTCAACCTCGTCGGCTGGCATCTTTAATATTTTCTCCATGTATTGTGTGATACGTGTGCTCACTTGTGTTGCCAATCCACATGATTTAGGATACAATGTCTGATCCAAATCAAACAATAATGTATGAATATTACGTGGTGCCATTTTATTTAATAATGATTTCATTATATTATTAAAAGAGTGAGTTTAGAGGGAAAGAGAGAGAGAGAGAGAAGGTATGTAATGTTGTGTGAAGGGGTATATATTGTAGTAGTATTATAAAAGCAGCTACTGTTTAGAGAATAATAATAAATAAGAAAAAAAATGAATATTTATATTAATCTATCTGTGCTGATGATGAGTTTAGTTTTGCTTTGCTTTGCTTTGCTTTGCTGCTGAAGTAATGATATATAAAGAAAGAAGAAATGAATGAATTTGAAATATGTGAATAATATTAAATTAATAAAGTAAATTATGATAATGAATGATGATTCTTTAAGTGCCCTTTTAAAAAAGCAGTAGTAAAAAATATAAAAAAAAGAAAAATAATTGAAAAATTGGTGTGTTTTCGACCATCCCATTGGACATCGGTTAAAATCATAGGTGGTGTTGTATCGTATAGTGAGTGACTTACTAAAATATCGCACCACCACAATAGTGTAGATGTACATCGTATACACGATTTATTTTCTTGTTATAAAATGTTTTTCTTACAACATTAAAATCCGATACGATTCGATTTAAGTTTGTTTAGAAAATTAAAAAGTGAGAAGTGGAGGTGATGGTTTCGCAAATAAAATGTTGGAAGTTCGTTTTGAATTTGAAAAATTTTACACCGTTGATGAGCGGGAACATCAATTTTGGCAGAAATTCTAAAATAAAAGGAGGTAGTTCAAAAAGCTCTTCAGCTTCATCTTATTATTATCATTCACACATACACAAGTACATTCATTCCCAAAAGAAGGTTTAAAGTATACCATACACATAAAAGAAGAAGAAGAAGAAAGAATGATGATCGATGACGATGAATTTCAATGGGACGGTTATGATCATTTGATGAGTACCAAACCATCAAATAGAAATGACCCAAAAGCAAGTATATTTGATTTAAACAACATGCGTGACTCTGTTCTCTTTGAAAAGGATAGATTTAGTTTTTGTTTATCTCCTCCAAAAGGTTTGTATCTTATCTTGTCGCGTTGGTTAACCAATCAGTTATGGATCATATGACTTACTTACTTATCCTTTTTTTTGACATACATCTATCATATAGAAAAGGGAGGTTCATCATTGACCACAAAAGCAAATACTTCTTCATCATCGTCATCAAAGGTTAGTCAACAACAACAACAACATATTCCATATGGAGTTCAACAACAACAACCAGTATTATCACACCAAGCAAAAGAAAATATTCCAAACAACTTGAATGTTAGAATCATCAGCACAAATACTAAACAACAACAACAACCAATAACATCACAACCAATCAAGATTAAACCATCTAGTGCTTCACCTCCATTGGTTTCTCAACAACAACAAAAACAAAATACCTCATCTTCATCAAGTCTAAGTAGAGGTAAGTTAGTTTTAGATAATATATATATTCCTTTTCCAAAAAATGTTAATTACTTATTTATTTATTTTGAATATTTTAGTACCATCATCACCAAATATTAAAACTCAACCATTTAATACAAAGACACCAACTGTTGGTATTGCAACAAACCATTCCTTGACATCATCGGTAGTACAAAAACAACCAACCACTGCCACCACCAGTAAGAAGGAACAACTTCAATCACTCACAGATGTCCAACTCGATCCAATGAGTACCATTAGACTTCCATCAAACCAACCAATGTCAAATAGACCACCAACACCAACCCAACAACAACCATCGAGAGCTGGATTATCAACTCGTCCAGGTACTCCAACACAAATTCCAGCCGTTCCTATTCTATCATCACAAAATTCGATCACTGTCATTCCATTATCCACTCGTCCAGCTACTCCAACCAAAGGTTTGACTTCTACCACCACTCCAACATCTGTCAACCTCCCACCACCATCTGCCGCCGTTACATCTGCTCTAACTGCTCAGCTGCCACTCGAACAAAATAACGGTATTAGTATTATCACTGAAGCCAAATTTGAATCACGTCTTAAAATTCTCGAAGCTGAAAATCGTCTTCTCAAATCACAAATGTCTGACAAGGATAAATCAATCGATCAACTCTCTACAAGAATTACAGAACTCGAATCACAAATGCATACATTTATGGATGAAGTAAAATTATTTTTAATTGGTAATATGGAAAATCAATAAGAAAGAAATAGAAATAGAAATAATAATAATGAATAATTAATAATTAATAAGGGATAAATCTTTAATTGGGATTTATACATTTAAATAAATAAATAAATAAATTATACAAAAAAGTAAAAAAAAAAAAAGGATAGTACTACTACTATTTCTTTTTACTCTTTGTTTTGTTTTATTATTAAAACATTTTAGTTTAATAAGAAATATGTTGTTGAGAACAATTGATTGATTGTTGATAATAACTTTCAGCAAAAACTTTAGATGCATGTATGGCATCTTCAAATTCACTGAGCCATAATAATTTATCCATATAGTTTTCAGCAGACAATGCATATTTGTAGGCTTGTTGATTATGACCTTCGACAAATATTAGATCGATACCATTCTTTACACGATTCTCAATATTTTGGATATTAAGAACAAAGATGAATGGTATTACTTTGAAGGTGTTCTTTTGAAAGGCCTTCTTTTTAAATAGGATGATGCAATCATCAAACAGATAGACTGTGCACTCTTTTGATGGTCCATTTTCTTTTTTTATCACCTTGAATCGTCCCTCTTTGATAAATGTCTTTTTAACAAGCAAAGATTCTGCTTCTTTACCAAAGATACCTCTCAATTCCGACATCTTTTCTTCATTTGCTATTTTTCCATTAATCTCTGATACAATTTTTTCCATCAATTTAGCAGCTCTTTCATAATTTCTATAGTGTTCATTTTCTTCTGGAACTGTTTTTTTTAATTCCTAAAAATAAAACAAAACAAATCCAGTTATTATTATTATTATTATATATTTATATTATTTCATTATAAATACATACTCTTAATAATAAAGGATATTTACATAATCTTTGAACAGGTTTTATCACATATGATGATAAATTTAAACTTCTAACAACAGGTATCGATTTTACTTGTTGTAATAAATAATTGATTTGAAGGTGACTTTCCCATGCAGATATTTGTTTATTACAAACATCTTGATTTGATAAATAGGTTATATATCTTTTTAATGAATTTGCCTAAATAAAATAAATAAATAAATTTAAGAAATCGATGATGTATTTTCTTTTCCTTTTTTTTCTTTTCCTTTTCCTATTTCTTACATGTCTAAAAAATACTTCTTCAACATTTGGATATTGATCACTAAAATCCATGATTGGTATAAATTCTACAAACATTTCATACATTTTTGAATTGATTACAAATAATTCTTCTACATTTGAAAATACAGCCATGATTTCTTGAAGTGAAACCAAATTTAAAGATGAACATTCATCAATTTCTTTGAGAGCACCCATATAATAATTGATCATAATAGCAAGATCATCCAAATAATCTGCTTCAGTTTCAATCATTTCTTTGATAACTTTGTTGGTTGGTGTGGAGGTATTGATAGTTGATAGTTTTGATCTTCTTCCTAATAAACCTTCTTGTGATTCATTGATGGCTATTATCTTTTCTATTATAATATCTTTTGGATCAATTTGATCCAATATCAATGTGGTAGTTTTCTTTGTTGTACCAAAAAATTTCTTTTTAATAGACTTTGTTTTTTCTGTTGGTAATGGTTGTTGAGATGGTTTATCTGCGGCGGCAACACCAATGGTTTCATCATCTTCAACAATATTTGAAGAACTACTACTACTACTGCTTGTAATAAAATTGATACTTTGTTTACTATTGTCTTCACTCAAAGAGTAACTACTTGCAGAATCATATGATTGGTCTTCTTCACCATCCTGGTCATCATTTGAACCTCCTTCACCACTTAGGTTCATCGATGCAGACTTTCGAGTCAAAAGGTGGTGTCTCATTGTTCTCCGTCTTGTATCACTTGGACTTTGAGTTTCTGGAGATACTCCAGATGGTGGTGAAATGGGTGGTGATGTTTGTGGTGGTGATGTAGTAGTAGTAGTATTGTTTGAAGAAGAAGAACTACTACTAATAGTAAATCTACGTGGTGGTACAACTGGATTATTGTTTGGTTTGGTTGTTGTTGATGTTGTTGGTATTGGTGGTTGAGGTCTACCAACAAGTGGTGGGGATTTATTGGTTGTTGTTGAAGTTGTTGGTATTGGAGGTTGAGGTCTATTAGTATTATTATTGTGAGATGGGTTTGGAATCAATGGATTTGTAGTTGATGGTGTTTTAAGTGACATTGTTCGTGGTTTAACTTGTGGTTTGGTGGGTGATGGTGGTGAACATGTGGTAGAGTATGGAGGTGTGGTTTGATGTTGAAATGAGTGAATGGGGAGATGTTGATGTTGGAGTAGAGGAGGATGATGATGTGGTAGATGGCGCCAAGTTGGGTGACAAGTTTGTAGGTGATGTGTTTCTAGCTGGAACCATTGGTTTGGTATGGTTCAAGAGAGGAGGTCTTTTGGAAATTGGAGGTTTATCTTCTCCTCGAGGTGATATTCTAGCTGGTGGCAGCGGTGGTCCCATATTGTTTGATCCACCAACATCGAGCATTGTATATGATGGAGAAGAAGAAGAAGAAGAAGAAGAAACCAGACCAAGATCCTTAAATGATGATACTGATGGAGGTGCAGTGGAAGGCATTGGAGGTGGTGTCGTACTCTCACTATGATGATTATGATGCAGATGATGATTATTTTCACCGCCAGTTTCTGTATTGTTCATCAACAATGATAGTTTAGTTGATGAAACTAGAGTTGGTGGGGTGATTGTAAACTCTTCATCTTGTTGATCCTTTTTCTTTTTGTTGAATATTAGGCTCATTCTCCCTTTTCTTTCTTTGTGAACAGGTGTAGTAGATGTCGATAGTATTGATTCATCACTACTACTACTTCCAATACTATTATCACTATTTGTAGGTGACAGGGGAGGATGCGAATGATGATTAGGAGGAACAGGAGGTGGACTTGGGAGCTTGAGTCTTCCATTTAACATCTTGATGGATGCATCCATCGATGCGGTATGATGAAGTTGTGGATGTGGATGTGGATGTGGCTGTTCTGGTTGTTGTTGGTGTTGGCTCATCATGATGGTAAAGATTATTATTATACCATTGAAAAAGGTGATTATATACAAGTAATAAGTTTTGTTTGAACTAAAACTACTTTAAAAGTTCAACAGAGTTGAGGGAGGTGAATGTGAATGTGCGTGTGTATGTATGCGAGCTTGCCAAACAATGAACCCGTCTATTAATAAAATTAATTGGATTGAAGAGGAGGGAGGTAGGGAGGGATCAGAGAGTGGGTGTGTATAGGTGGGTGGGGGATATGTTGGTACGATCAATCTAATTAGATTGATGTGAAGAAAGGGGGGTGAGGGTTGAGTAGGATGGTGATAGGGATGAATGACACAAAAGTAATAGTAAACAGATACAGATACAGATAATAATAATAATTATAAGGATCACATTCAACACAAACAATCAATCAATTATTTTTAGTTTGAAGGTGTTGGTGGTGGATTGTTGAGCAGGTGGAGGATTTTGATTAAATTCAATGAAAAAATGAATGGTGCTTTGTCCGAGTTTGTTAAACTAAACACTTTTTACCACCTTGTAACATTTAAATATTACATAAGTTTCATTGATTATTATGAGATAAGATAATAAATAATAATAATAATAAGATAATAATAATAATAATAATAATAATAATAATAATAATAATACTATTATTATTTAAAAGTTTATATTTAACAAAAGGTTGGGGTATTTTATTTTATATATTGGGGGTAATGATAATACATATATTATATTATTAATTTAAATTATGAACAATTTTTGAATCACAAAAAACTTTCGTAATCTTTCTTTTCTCTATCTTCAACTTCTTCTTCTTCTTTCACACTGACACTTCTTTAATTTTGAGTTGTTGATGTTATTTGTTTGTTGGGTGTTTAATAATCATCACAATCCTTACAAGTGTAAACACATTTACCGGCAACACACTTGTCATTGGTACAACGGAGACCATCATCACAGTTCATTTTGGCGTGTTGACAACGACCAGCGACGCAAGTGTCGATTGTGCATTCATCTCCATCTTGGCAATCACCATTTCCACTGCAGCAGAGACCGTTTGGTTTGTTTTGACACTTGCCATTGAAGCAGCTGTCATTTGTACATGGGTTCTTGTCGTCACAATTACAATCCTCTGTACAACAACCTGGGATAGGGGTGTTGGTACATCCGGTCGAGTTAGAACAGCTGTCATAGGTACAGGCGTTGTTGTCGTTACAAGACTTGGGTACGTGGGTACATCCCTTTCTGCCATCCCACTTGGAGGTGGTACACTTGTTTCCATCTTCACAACACTTTTCAAAGTCCTTGTCTGGAGTGTAGTCACATTGGCCGTCGAATGGGTTACAACGTCCAGAGGCACCGCAGGCGAGTGGGTTACAGTAGGATGGGGTGTAGGTACACTTGTTGTTGACACAACGATCAGTGGTACACTTGTTACCGTCAGAGCATTCATTGTCTCCCGAACAACAGCCAAAGATTGGGGTGCTGACACACTTGTTTCTTACACAACGATCATTGCTACACTTGTTTCCAGTCGAACATTGGTTGTCTCCAGAACAACAATTTTTGATTGGAGTAAAGACACACTTTCCATTTTGGCAAGAGTCAGAGGTACACGAGTTGTTGTCGTCACAATCACAATTTTCTGAACAACAACCTGGGATTGGAGTGTTGGTACATCCGGTCGAGTTGGAACAGCTGTCATAGGTACAGGCATTGTTGTCGTTACAAGAGATTGGCTTGGTTACACAACCATAGGTGTTGTCGCATGAACTGGTGACACACTTGTTTCCATTGGTGCTACAAGACTTGGGTGAGATGACACACTTGCCCTTGACGCAACGGTCGATGGTACAAGCAGACCCTCTGTTGCATTGAGAATCAGAACTACAGCACCCGGTAATGGGACGGTTGCTACACTTTCCACCGTAGCAGTTGTCTTCGGTACAGTCATTCTTGTCGTCACAATCACAATTTTCTGAACAACAACCTGGAATTGGGGTATAGGTACATCCGGTCGAGTTGGAGCAACTGTCAAAGGTGCATGGGTTTCTGTCGTCACATACTCTTGGCTTGTTGGAGCAACCCTTACACGAGTCAAAATCGTCAATGGTGCAGGCGTTGTTATCAGAGCAACAGTTATCAGAGGATTGGTCATAGTAGCACTTTCCGTCCTTTGGATTGCAGGTACCCTTGCCACCACACTTCATCGATGGACATGGGATAGTAGTGGTAGAGCATTTACCATTTACACATTTTGATACACCACATGGGTTATTTGAATTACATTCAGAGTCACAGGCACAACTTCCACCACATGCATGTCCACATCCAAATAATTCACCAAACAATTCTACTTGTTCAGTTTCAGCTATTGGAATAGAGGAAAAAAAAAAAAGAAAAAAAGGAATATGTTAAGTATACTTGTTTGTTTTTCTAAACTTTTTGTTTTTTTTTCTATTTCTTACCATAGGTTTTAATAAGTAAAGTACTTAATATTACAAGTACAAACAATAATGATAATTTCATTTTCTATATATTGGATAAAAAGAATAATTAATTAATGTTTGATGATATGGAAATGAAGAAATTCATATAGTATTTATAGTTGAGCAACTACCCAACCTGCCTACAACAGTAAAATTGACAATCAACGATCCCTACGGTACTGACCTTACCTGACACACTCACACCCAGACATACTAGTAGTGCCTGTAAGAAATAACAACAGCAGTATCAATGCTCGTTTTAGTGTAAACTCTATTTGGAATTTGATTGATCAAATTAATCTCTAGACAGGGTATCAAGAGTAGGTAGGTAGCCGACACTACCACTACCACTACCATACTCAACACACCCATTTCAAGTGATGTTTATTTGTGGAAGATGGGTAAACTATTGAATATAGACGACAACAACGACGATGATGATGATGTTTATGAAACTTTAAAAGGTTATGATGATGTGATTGGAAAAGAAGGAGAAAGGAGGTGGATGGAGGATGGGGGTGGTTGGAAATATAGGAAAAACATTCAGATAGGTTATATATATATTATGGTCAGATATCAACACTACAATAATAATATATTTTAAATCATGTCATACTGAACAAAGACAGACCGACAGACAGACAGAGACAGAGTTATCTATTGGATAATGTGTGACACATGTGTACTTGTCGGTTTGGTAAGAGTGTGGTAACAAAGATATGTGAGTGATTGACAAAAATGGCAAGAAATAAGGTTTCATCCCTTACATGGAATCAAGAGTATCAAAAAAACATAACCATATAATTACCAAATTCTGACGGCAATAGACAGATAATAATATTACCCATGATGTGCCATCCGGTTGATAGCACACTCTTTCTACTCACTCACACATACAAACACTACTCACACACATCGTGGATTGTATACCATGTTGTGTACGTTTGTAATCACTAATTTAAAAAGTTAATCGTAATGTTTTGAATCGTAGCAAGTGAGTGTGACCACACAAAATAATAATAAATCAATCATCAAAACACTGACCCCCCAAATCAATTACCCCACTATTTTTAATGTCCTACAAGATTGTAATAAATGGTTGATAATGAACTACCAACATCATCATCACCTAGGACAATTATGAACAAAAGATTTCAAATTCAACCAATCAGGATTGAATTGCGGGGGAAATCCAAATTTCCAATAGATGAAACTTACAATCCATATAAACATAAACACAATTGTGATTTAAATTTAAATCATCGTGTGATGGTTGGTTGGTTCAAATTCATTTAAATCGTAAGATCAACAATATCAATTTGGATTTAAAGTTTATTGTCCATCTCATCTTTTCATCTTGGTCGGGTGCAGTTTACTTTCAAAGTATTTATCCATTATAACCACCCTTTACTTGTTATTTTTTTAAATCGCAATTTCTTTTGTATCGTATATACCCTTACCAGTACTAGTTTGGTGGTGGAATAAATTAAAATTTTATTATTCTTTTTTTTTTTCCAGAATTCAACCATACATATTAATTTAAAACAACGGGTAACACTATTGTTGTTGTTGTTATTGTCATAATGATTTGGTCTGGTTGATCTTTATACTTTTTTTGAAATACATTTTTAGGATCTTTTTCTAGTGTGATGGTTATCTCTTTCTTTCTTGTCACTTCTTGTCCATATTTATCTATTAATTGTTATTATAATTGATTATTATTATTATTATTTTTCAGTAGAGGTAGATTGTCTCTTTGCCAATTCTTCTTTTCTTTGTTGGAAATGTGATTCACAAAGTTTAACAATGATCTATAAGATAAGATAAGATTATGGATTTGATTTCAATTAGTATCGACACTGACTGACTGATTAATCATCATGGTTCAGAGAATCTCGTCTCTCTTTATCATCTATCACTCCCTTTTCTATTTCTACATACACTTTCTTCTAATGGAATTGGAGCAATACAACGATCATGAACTGTAGTTTCACATTCTTGAATAAGTGAATCTATTGATGTTTGACTACCCAATTGGTCGGTAAGGTATAATTTAAGGAAACGAAGATCAACTTGAATTTGATGATAACCATTTGTACCAAATGTTTTTAGTCTAAGACACTCAATGTAGGTCTTTAACATGATCTTTACTGCACCAACCAAAATAGAGTTTGCATTGAAATCGACTGGGCTGAATACGTCGAATCTCTTATCAAACAATGTGTTTGATGCGCCACCAGCTGCAGATGAATTGTTGGCATTGTTGCCTGCATTTTTCTTGGATGGATCGGTACTGCCACTGTTGCTACCTGTTGAGTTGGTTCGAGTGTGAACACGGTGAAGAGTTGGTGTGGTCAGCAGGGATTGTGCAGTTGAAGGAAGTAATTTGGTAACTTCTGTTGATATTTTAAGTAATTCATCCAATACAAAATCGTTTACTTGACGGGCATCCTTTGGCTCTTTTAATACCAACCAATTGGCATTGGATTCCAATCCCTTTCTTAATAACTTTTCAACCTTTTCACTTCTCAATTTAGTAAATCCTGTCAATAAACTTTGAGCTGCATCTTTAATTCTTTTTGATAAATCTGGTGCATTAAACTAATAAAAGAGAGAGATATAATGTTTTAGTTAAATGATCTCTTTTTAATTTACTTTTCTTATTTTTTCTACGTACATTAAATACACCAATTTCTTGAGAAGAGATACCTTGTTTTACAACATTAAAAAAGTCATTCATAACTTGTACGACTATGGTAATACCTTTACTTTCAATGTATAAACATACACTAGCCAATACCAATAAGAATCTTGAACCAAATTGCTCCTTATTTTCAGTTTGATTGATAATGTCAAGATACTCTAAAAAGTGAATATTCAAATACAAAAAGAAATTTTGAAGTTTGACTTGAATCTTTGTAAAGATGGTTGCATAATGACTTGTAAGGAATGATGTTTGTGTTGGTAAAAAGAATGGCTAAAATAAATAAATAAATAAATAAAAATATTTAATATATATATTCATTTTTTCCTCTTATTTTTTTTTGTTACCTTTAAATTTGTAAATAATAATAATATTTCATTGACAATATCTTTGGCAGTTTTTTCAGACAATGATTGTAAAAAGTTTCCTTCTAAAGATTCTTCCTTTTTAGCATTGAGGGTTTCGTTCATTGCATGTATATGATTTTGAATAGTCTTTTGTAAATTATCAAAGTAATCTGTAATTTGATCATGAACTGTTGCATTTATAATATCTGTAATCGAGGTTGTATCTACCAATTGATCTTGTCTCTTTGAAACTTCTGAATACATTAATTCTAATCCCTTTATCTTTTGTTCTGGATTTTTATATAACTAAAAACGAAGAAGAAATAATGATTAGAAAAAAATTGATCATATTGTATAGACTCTCTCCTCTGTCTATTTTTAATATTTACAGTTAATTTAGATTTAGCAGTTGATAAATATCTATTGAATAAATCCTTTGAAAAGTCTTCCAATAGATTTAATGATCTCTTTCTTTCTTCCTTTGAAGCATGAGTACCATCGAAACGATTAACAAATAATGATTTATAAGATTCAATATTATAAGTATACTCTGTTAAAAATGCTTGATTTAATTCTCCAATCAATTGTACAACATCATCACTAAAATCAAAAAATTAATTTAATTAATAAATCATTCAATTTCCATCATTTCTTTTGACTTACAATTGTCTCTTATCAAATTGATATAATACAGCCAAAGTATGTTCTTTTCTTCCCTTTAAATAATGAGTTCTTACTGCATCTACAGGTTCCAATAATTCCATTAATAATTCAGCTGCTTCTCCAACTTCAACTTGTGGGCACTAAGAAAAATTAAATAAAGTATGAATCATATGATCTTTTTTTTTTTCTTATACTAATCACTTTTGATTTACATACATCAATGACAGCCAATTTTTCATACAACTTTGATTTCATTGAAGTGATGATTTCATCACACTCGGCTTGAATAGTTTGGAATGATGGAATATGATTATATTGTTTCAAAATACCATTATTACTATTATAATATTTAACTGCAAGATTATAAGCTTGCATTTCAACACAACTATTTAATTTTGATGGTAATGCTGTTAAATATTGTAACTAAATAAATAAATAGAAAACTAATATTAGTATTGCAATTGATTTCTTTTTCTTTTTTTCTTTTTTCTTTTTACCTTTTTTAATAATTTATGTAAACCACTTAATTGATCAATACGTTCACGTCTAGCAGACAATGTTGAATTAATCTTGTCAGAACAGGTGGTAATCAATTCCATATTCTTTGATAATAGTTGCATACCATCTTCCATATTCTCTACATTATTTTTCATCTTTTTGATAATATCTGTTGCATTGATAAACTTTGTATAGTTGTCATAGACCAATGTCTTCATGTCACCATCCAATGTTCTAATCTCGCTGACCAATTCGTTGTCCTTGGACACTAGTTGTGGTAGTGTCGATGTCTTGATGGTGTGTTCAAAGTACTGCTTTAGGTCAAAGCTGGGACTGTCAATGTTGAGTGGATCGGTCGACACGTTGGATACACTGTCACCCATACCAAGGTTATAGTAGTTTTGTAGGAGATTGAGGTTACGTGTTTTAGACTTTTGTCTCGAATGCTTTCCTCCTCCATCGAGTTGTTGCTGTGCATTGGAGAGTGGTGGGCTGTGATCACCGTGATTCGAGTCTGAATCGTTGACTGGATTATCGAGCAACTCGCTATGACTTAGATAGAATCGTTCCCAAAACTGTTTGAGTGCTTCTCTACTACGTGCACTTTCATAGTGACCAGCAATGAATCGTGCAAACTGTTGTGGATCTTCATTAAATTGTTTACAAAAGTCTACTTGACTACCTGTCCACTTGTCACTATAGAACTTTACCAACTTTTCATCTGTTAAACTTGTCATCTCCTAACTCTCCTCTTGTTGATATATATGTAAATAATGAGTAATAAGGATAAGATAGATAAGATAGAGAGATTCTCTTTAAAAAAGCTAAATTAAACAAACTTGCTTGCTTGGTGATGATGACAAAAAAAGACAAAAAAATCAAATTTTATTCTTTTCCCACTTTCACCTCTACTATCATTCGTTTTCTTGCAAAGATAGTAACATTCATCATACAATCAATCAATTGTAATAATACAAATAATCCAACATAGGATGGATCAGGTGATAGAGATATTACTATCAAACAAGTATAGGCAATGTAAACCTGTATTTCCAGCATCGGGAGTACCACGTGAATTCTCAACATCGTGGATACAATTCTTTCACGATTTGATGATGTTGTCGTCAGGTGTACGCGATGCCTATCTCATAGATTATCCCATCCCTGAATATAATAACCTAGTATCATTTTATAAAGTATTTAGAGTATGTATGTGTTAAAGTGCAAAGAGTCAGAGTTATGTGATGAGACTGACTGATCATTTTCTTTTTCTTTTTGTTGTTCAATTTAGACTAAAATGGGACAAATACTATCAGATGTAATAATATTATATGTAAATGAATATCAATACTTTTTAATTAATAAGAAACGACTAATTGCAAGATTACAAAGAGATGTAGAGACTGGATTCACAGACTACCAATTCATCAATGTTTCATCGAGATTGGAACAAGCTCAGTTGTGTCAGGCACCTTCTCATCACATTCTCTCACTTTCAAATATTGCCAAATCACTTGTTACCAAGATTTCATCGATGCGATCAGATGAATGTGCCATTAAATTAATGGGAGATTGTTGTACATTGGAACAAGTCAATCTACAAAATATCTATGCACCAATTGTTGCTGGATGGTTGTGCAACTATGCAATCATCTATTGTAACAGTGCTAATAACCAAGACACTTGTTGTTGTCCAGACAAGGATGGAGTGTACAGTGACAGAGATACATTTTGGCAAAAGAATTGTATCGCAATGAGTGATTTACTCAAAGTCCAAGTACAACTTGAATCACTTACTCCATCCTATTCACATCTTTCAACTCCACAACTTATCAATCTACCAAGACTTTATAGTTTTTCAATTCCTTTACATCTATTAAATAATGAAACAACGACTATGACGACAACAAAAGAACATTTTGAAAATTGGAAATCAAAACAAACCAAACAATGGTCAATTGATATGGTCAATCAAAAAATATGGAAATCCATCAATATTATTTCAACTCCAATTTCCAACCTTACAATTAATCTTTAACCTTGGAAATAAATAAATGATGGGTAAATGAAGAAGAAGAAGAAGATGATGAAGAGATTATTTATTTATAGCAAAATGTTATTAGTCGTCATTATTATTATTTATATTATCTACTTTGTATCCATTATTTTTTTTATCATTTATTAATAATATATGATAATTCTATACAAAAAGGATAAAAAATATTATTATTTGTTTGTCAAGGAGGAGGAGGAGAAAAAGTATATATTGTAATCGTTATTATTGTTTTTTTAAAATGGATGGATGGAATAGTCTATTATTATGTCTTATTAATATGAGATACAAGCCAATCCATACCTTGTTCCAAACCATCACCTGTTAACGCACAACATGCCTAAATAATAAGAGAGATTAATATCAAATGTCGAGTTATATCTGTATCTTTGTATCTTACTTGAATATGCCAATCATGATCTTTAATAGTATGTAATGATAATAAGTTTGTTAATTCAGTTGCAGACATGGCACCTTTAAGATCTTGTTTATTTGCAAACAATAGTATAATTGATTTCTTTAAATTCTATAATCCCAATAATGATGATGATTAATAATCTCTTTCTAGCTCGTCTTATGTATAGATAGATAGTACTATCTTATCGATCTTATCTATTTATATTTACCTCATGAGCCAACATTTTAAATAATTCTTCTTTGATTAAAGGTACTCTAGTACGATCAGTACTATCTATAACCAAAATGACAGCTTGAGTATTGATATAGTATTGATTCCACGTTGATCTGAGCAAGTCTTGACCACCCAAATCCCACATTAACAAACGTATGTTCCTATAGACAAACTCCTCGAGGTTTGACCCAACAGTAGGTGTCGTAGATACAACTTCATCGAGTAGTAACTTGTATAGGGTTGTTGTTTTTCCTGCTGCGTTTAAACCAACAATGATCACTTTATACTCTGCATTGTTAAACATTCTATTCCATATTCTAGCAAACACTGATAATGATGACCCCATTCTCTACTATTACTATACTCTATATATTTATTATACACTATTGCTGTTTTACTCGATTATTGTTGTTGTTTGTTATGTATTCTGTGTATCTGTGTATGTATCACTATATATATATAAATATATTTAAAATTGATGATTATGACTTCACAACCAACCACCTGACTTTGACCTAAAAAATATTTCAGCTCTGACTCAAATCGATCAACCAAGTCATCTCCAAAAATAATTTCAAGTCTTTTATTGCCTACTTGGTCGATAGACAGAAATATTTCAATATATTATTATTATTATTATTATTATTATTATTATTAAGAATTTATTTAAACGTGTGAGCATCAACTATATCTACCACCATTTGTTACCTCCAGAATAGTTATTATAACCACCATTTCCCCCTCCGTAGTTGGATCCATTGCCACCGCCAAAGTTATTTCTACCTCCGCCTCCACAGTATTCTGTTGAATGATTGATAGAGTCACTTTGACTAACATTTGAATGGACTAAACTATCTTGGAAATATGATTGGCTTTTGATTGATCCTTGAACGAGATTGGAAAGATTTTCTAAAAAAAAAAAAAATTTATTAATAATTATCATTATTACACAATTTGATGAATAAATAAAAAATTAGAAACGAACTAAATAACATTGTTTTTAAAAAAGTAAATAATTGCTCTAAGGTATTTGTATTTATGAAAAGGATAATTTTAATGTAATGAATAACAAACTCAGTTGGCAAATATTTATAGTTTCATTGTTGATAAAAAAAATCCAGCCAAAAATCCATATATTAATACCATCTTTGATGGTTATTGATTTGGATTACCAGTAAGGAGAAAAATAATAATAATCAAAAAAAAAAGGCAAGACCAATTCAAGTCAACTAGTTGATTAATTTGTGTGTGGAATAAAAAATTTATGGTTATTATTGCATTTTAATTTACTATTGTGTGACTGGATACGAGAGAAAAAAAGAGTTTTTGAATAATCTTTCCTTTTTGTTGTAGAAGAATGTAGGCTTTTTTTTATATATTGACAACAAAACAATTGTTGCCCGTATAGATAAAAAAAGAAAAAAAAAAAAGGAGAGTTGGATACGAATAGCCATCCATAATACCATTATTATTGATTTGAATCCATATCTTTGACATTTTGCCACCAACTACTGGCTGCTGCTACTATTGTGTGATACTATTATTTACAAAAACAAAAGTGAAGAAAAAAAAAAAAAGAGTTGTGTGTTGTTATTATTATTATTATTTGTTTGTTGTTTGTTATTTGTTATTTGTTATGTTTCCAAAGTGCCTTGAGAACCACCACCATCAATAAAAACCAATCACCATCATCATTATCATCATTTTTCTTACTCTTTTATCCCTATTATTATTATTATTTGTTATTTAGATGGGATTAAAGTTATTCTTTCATTATTACTATTTTTTTTTTGTTTAAATATAATTTTTCTTTTTTTTCTTTTTTTTATATGTGTATTGATCAATACCGGTTGAAATAAATACTGGTTGTGTGGTTGGTTATTATTATTATTATTATTACTATTATTATTTATTATTATTTTGTCATCTACGTTTTGGTTTTTTGAAAAATTATATCGTAGTAGATGATTGGTTTGTTGTTTGAGGTAGTTGTTGTTGTTGAGGAGTTGAAGAAAGATGAGATGATGATCTTTGCTTTGGTGAGGTGTTGTTAGTAGCCAAATTATTACTTTGAAGGGATGTAGATTGTTGTGGTTGCAATGAAGAGGAAACAGTGGCGGTGGTGGTTGTAGTACTGGTGGGAGTGGTGGAGGTGGCAGAGGCAGTAGATGGTGTTGCAGTGGGGGTGGTAGTAGTTGACGATGGAGAGGTAAGACTCTCACTAAACTCTATATCGTCGATCCATTTACCGATTTTTTCGACGGTCCAATACTTTGGTGCCCATGCAAAGTTCTCTTCTGACAACTCAGATTCTGTGTACCAAATACCATTTTTTAAAACTGAACCTGCTCCAAATGGTGCATTTGAATTTACCGTTGTTTGTTGTTGTGATTGTTGTTGTTGTTGTTGATGATGATTTGCGTTTCTATTCTCTACATTATTATTATTACATTGTTGTTGTTGTTGTTGTGGTTGTTGTGATGATTGTTGTTGAGTTCTTTGATTTGAATTATTTGATGTATGTAATACAGGTTTCGTAGTTTGATCGGTTGTTTGTTGTGGTTGTTGTCTAGTATTTGATGAGGGATGATTTACATGTTGATTATTGGGTTGTTGTTGTTGTTGTTGTTGTTGGATGACACTACCAGCCACTGCCAGAGATGACCCTCCAGGTTGGTTATTTGCCAAATTTAGTCCAGATCCTTGTGAATTTGATTTTGGTTGAGTTGAAGAAGTATTTCGTTTATGTGCGCCTCCCTGCTGATCGGTAGCACTGCTGTTGAGTTGTTGTTGCTGATCGGGGAGAGGAGGTTTATTCATTGTAATATTGCTACTACTCGACACTATATTTGATGTTAGATTTCCCGAAGAGGTGGTGGTGTTGGTGCCAGTCGGAGTGGCATCGTGGTTGAGCACGAGTGTATTGTTTGGATTGTTGCTTGTTGTGAGGTTGTTGGGTAGCGGCGGTGTTTCGATCTGCTGTTGTTGTTGTTGTTTGTTGTTGCTGCGCCTGCTGCTGTTGCTGCTGGAGCTTTAGGCTGCCTCTGTCGTAGCCATTGTTGTTGTTGTTTTGGTTGTTTCCTTGTCCCTTGGTCTTATTTTTGTTGTATGCTTTACCGCTACCGGACTCTTTTGTCTTGGAGGTTGAAATTCCACATCCCATTTTGAGAAAGTTTATAAATCTATCTATTGTTGTTTAGCGACTTGAGTTGCCTCTCTGCAAAGAGCCAACTATAACCAACAGCTATTATAAGAACCCGTTGTCCCTGTCTCTCTTTTTTCTTTTTTCTTTTTCTTTTTTTTTTTTTTGTTGTTTGTAACTCTCTCTTCTCTTTTGAAAAAAAACCGTACTTGTATAATATATATATATAAAAGTTGATGACGTAGTTGATTAACGACTACGGCCGGTATTGATTGATTGATGGATTGATATAAGATATATATAAATATAAATATATTATGTCAATCGAAGGTGCTCCTCCTGTATGTTGTGATTTTGATCTTTAAAAGGATGAAGGATATAGTTGATGGTTCTATCAAAGCTGACTAAAAATAATAATAATAATAATGATAGAGGAGAGAGAAATGGTTTAATACAAATGTTATATATCTTTATCTTTTTTTTTTCTAATTTAATGAAAAGATGTGTATAGTTGTTAAGCAATGTTGTGATTGATTGTTTCCACAACCAACAAAATTAAAATTTTAAAAAATTAATTTAATATTATTGAGGGTAATGTAGTAGTAGTTTTTGTGGTTGAATATATCAAGGTGGAGGAGGAGAAGGAGAGGAGTGTTGTTGAGCAGATAATCATGAGAATGTATGTATTATCATTAATAATGAATTGGCCAAAAAGTTAAGACTATCCAAGTCATTCAATGAATTGACAAACAACATCTACCTATCTATCTATCTCCCTTGTAAATATTATGAGATGGGTGGCATGCTCACTGTAGATGAGATGTACTTGTTGCAATGGTGACAGATGATGATGATTATGATGATACCTACAACAATGATAGAGCAACCTCTGCTTGTATTATTATTATTATTTAGTTGATGTTGTGAGAGTACTTGCTACTACTACTTCTCTACTCTATTTTTAGGGGATACAGTTAAAATACAGACAACTGTTTCTCTTTCTCTCTTTCTCTCTTTGTTTGTATTATTACTACTACGAAAATTAGTTTATTGCTTTCGAGGGATAAAAAATGAAATTGGTTGGTTGGGCTTCAAACTGTCACAACAACGCAAGCAAGACACTCAACCTGAACCAGTTTTTTTTATGATAAATTAATACTTTGGATCTTTCGATCACACCACCTCACTCTTGAATAGAGAGCAAAGTAAACTGATCGATTTGATTTGATTGTTGTCTTGATGGAAAACATTCAATATATATTGTTGGGGTGTAGGGATCAGATAAGATACTATATATATAGAAGGGGGTTAAATGTAATGTAATGTAATATATTATTAGTTTTATTTATTATTTATTAATTAATTATTATTTATTATTGTTTGTTGAAACTCTTTTTGATATCAGAGACGATTTTTCTTTGTTCTTCCATTTCTTGTTCCTTTTTGTTTAGTTCTAATTTTTTGAGACGGTTGGTGAGAGAGAGGGCAGAGGAGAGGACGGCACCAGTCTCTTTGTGTACGTAGGAGAATTGGATACCTTGTTCGACTGGTTGACGGACGACATGGTAACGTGCGTTGTTGGCCTTGTTGTCGCGAAGAGGGGTCAAGTCGTTTTCGACGTATTCAATGTATGCCATGGGTGCCTTGTCCGATTCGCGGACACCGCACTTGAGGACACGTGTATATCCACCATCACGTTCACCAAAACGTAGACGGAGTTGTTTGAAAAGCTTTGGCAACACTCTACGGTCAGTGACGATCGAGTAGGCCAATTTATGTGACATGGTGGTATTGCGCTTCGACAGTGTTATGATCTTGTCTGCAAATCGTGACAATGCTCTAGCCTTTGGTAAGGTGGTCTTGAGACGTTCGTGTTGAATCAACTGTGTCACCATGGTTCGCAACATCAACATACGATGTGTCGATGGTTTGCTCAATTTAGCATATCCCATTTGATGATACATTTTCTATCTATATATATTGTAATCTCCTTTTAAATGAGATTGATTCCACTACAGTTCAAAGTACTACTTGAACTGATCGATTGAGTTGACTTTAAAGTGAATGATTGATTGAACAAGTCTGAGATTGTCGCTTGTCGTCAATTAGTGTTGATGGTTGTATGTACAAGTAAATGCTATGCGTCTATGCTATCTATTATACTTGTTAGATTATAATAGACTGATAAATATATATGTATATACAAAGATAATATTGCACTCGTCTTGCTTGACCTAAAGTACTCTTCATTCAGATGATCAACTTTTTTTTTTTTTTTTTTTTCGTCTTTTTTTTTTAATTTCTTGCTGTCTCCTAGTACAAAACATAGATACACCATTCCTTTGGTAATATTTTCAATTAAACAACAACTAATAATGGAAGTCAATGAAAACAATAGTAATAATACGATGAGTCAACTCTTGGCAAGAAGCAGTAAAAGTAATTGGATAGTTGCAAGAGGATCAGATCAAGACAACTCAAATAGAAGGAAGTCCAGAGACTCTCCAAAATTACTTAGCATATTTATTAATCAAGCATTCAAACTTGTAAATGCGAATACCGCGACAATAGTGGCGAGTTCCTGTCCTCGTTGATCAGGTCAAATCTCATTCTCCCATTCGATGCAGAGTTGGGACAAGTCGGTGAATTATCCAAGTGCAGGATCTAGCCAAAGCATTGAAACATTAGTCAGGTCATGTAGACAAGTAATCGAACAAGATAGTAACGTACAAAGAAATTTGGATCATGTGTAAAAACTATATAGATACTTATTATTTATATAATTAGTTGAGAGGTATAATATTATAATATATAAATAATAATACTACCATTTAGATTGGATTGTAGTAGTGATAATATTTATATAATTTTAATATTTATATATAATAATTAAAATGAATTGCCAAGAACAATCTGTTGTAACATTATTTAATAAGAAATTAGCATAAACACCCCTTTCATTCATAATATTAATGTATAAATAACCCTTTGCAATCTAGTATGTACATAGTTTAAAGTAATACTAAAGTAAGAGATAGGTAATCAGTGTATTAATATCATTTAAATGTTTATTTATTAAGGCTATGCCAAAGAAATGTAATTATCTTAGTTGAAAAATATTAATATTAATGGAAAGGTAGAGAGATAAACAATCAAATTTTCAAGTTATTAATTTTTTCCTGCTTGCGGCAATTAATATTAACATTGGAACAAGACCTTTTTCAAAGGGATGTTGATTATTAGTATGGGTGACCCATCATAAATCGCCGAGTCACTTATTATTAGATTTATTGTCTATTTAGACAATAAATCTTTACAACAATATCTTTCAAAAATATCTCTCAAAGTGGGTTTTTTTGTGATTTAAAAAAAATATAAATTGGCCTCACATTTTTTCCATACTCATTTTCAACAACAATTTTAATAATGGAAGTTAATAACAATAACAATAATAACAATATTAGTCAAAGACTTTTGGACGAAACAGTTAACGTACTTGAATGGTTGCAAGAAAATCAGATCAAGACATCACCAATCCAAAGTCTAGACTCTCCAAAATTACTCAACACATTCATCAATCATGCATTAATACTTGTAAATGGGCCTACCTCTGACATATTGAAGCAAGTTCCTGTCCTCTTCAATGAAGTCCAATCTCTCATTCGAGAACTCAATAAAGAGTTGAATGAAATTGATGAGTTATCTGGACAAGTAGAGGATCTAGCAAAAGAATTGGCCAAGTCAATTCAAGATTTCCAGCATCTAGCCCGAGTCATCCTACCAGAGATCAAAAGATTGACCAAATTCAACCTTACTTTTAAAGACATCCTTCAAAAGGATGGAGAAATTGATGGAAGCAAGAAAGTTTCTCTTTCCACATCTCTAAATTACCTTAAGTTTTTATCAGACAAGATTTCACAAAAAGCTATAGAGACAGCTGCTATTAGTGATGCAAATCTTGTTTGTGTAAAAGGAATAGAAAAGGAAGCAAAGTCTAAAAAACAAATATACAAGGAGAGACTAGAGTCTTTTTTAGCCACCTATCCCAAAATAGCTACCGCTCTTTGTGGATTGTCATCAGGTGGTGCAATTTTAGGATTTTGTTCGGGTGAAGTTGGCTTGTCCCTTTTGGCTCTTGTAAGTGCCAATCCGATTGCACTGGTCCTAATTTCTGCTGGACTGGGGGGTCTGGCGGTTGGGACTCTAGCATGGATGGTTCTCAACATGTACAACACCCAAAACCGAAAGGCTTTGGACAAAATCACTCGTGTTCTCGTCTCTATCGAAATGATCAAGAATATAAATGAAACTGTAAAGCAGACTTGTAGACAGGTAATTGAACTAGATAGTAGCATACAAAGCAATTTGGATGACATTTTACTATCCTTGGTGGATCAATACTATCGTAAACATAATCGAGAAGTTTTCGATGAACTTGATGAGAACACCAAAGCTCTCATCCAAAACCTTTCTAATATTGCTATTCTTCAAGTTTTGGATATTCTTCCTCAACAAAAATCTGTTGGAACAATCAAGAAACATGCCTTAATAACAACCTCTCATTAATACAGTTATTTATAAATAAAAAACCTAAACAAACCATTAGGCGAGGAGAGACAAACAATTTTCAAGTTATTATTTTTTTCCAGTATTTATTGATTGTTTTAATAATATTATTGTTGGTTTGGTTTGATTTTTGGGTCAAGGTTAATCTAATTTTTTACCCCAAAGTTTACGATTAGACAAGATGATGGTATTGTAGATCCAAATTGAAATTTGGAGTGAGAGAATTTCCTTTGTAATGTGTCCAGTGTATCGAATTGGGTTGTGGCTGGTTTGTGATGTATAGACAACCTTGCATCCTTCTACTTGCTTTTTGTCTAAAAAGTGTTGGATCGTGTCGATCAATGTTACAATGTAGGAACTGGTCTCGTCAGTGTCGATCAAACAATCACCGTCGTTCATTCCATACTTTCCAAAGACTGATGACAATTTGCATGATTCATAGACTACCGATTTGGCAGTGATACCAGTACCGATACGTGACACGATACCACGTGTTTCATAGGTCAATGTACGTAAAAATTCAACAACCAATGTTTTGTATTTCTCTTCAAACTGACGATCGACCGATCCCTCGTCTGTGAATTTTCCATTCTTTTTGTCGTCATCGTAGAATTGATTTTCCAATGGATACAGCGTCCAATTAAAATAACCAACCAAATCACCAGTCCAAGGACAATCGATAGTCTTTCCAATCCATTTTTCTGTTTCAAACTTTATCGATGCGTCATACGTGTCGATGAAACGGAATTTACCGACAATAGTATTACCATCGCTTTGATCTATAATATTTCCAACCAATATGGCACCTGGTGCATTAATAATATTTGGATTTCTCTCTGTCAATTCCAATTTTGACAATGTTAAACTTGTATTCATTTCTTCTACCAATCTCTTTTTCCACCATGAACTTGAACAAATAACTTTTTCCATTTTCCATCTTGATGATTCTGTAAAATCAGCACACTAAACAACACAAATTAATTAATATATATTATATATTTGAATCAATCCATTCATTCAATGAATACTTACTTGTTCAAATATTGAAATGATATATTTCTCTGGTTCAAATCCAATTCTTTTTTGTTCTTCTCTATCTAAATAAATATAAATCACATATAGAGTATTAATAACTTTAGTGTACACCGATTGATTGATTCAATATATTTATATATTTACATTTTGATTTAAAGAATTTGAAATAATCTATTTGTTCATCCTCGGTAGTTGGAAGTGGAATGTTGTTATATCCCCATTTATCCATTGAATATCCCATCCATATTCTATCTATTTTGTTTAATACTTTATTCCAATTACGACTAACCTTTTTAGATCTATCAGAATGAATGAATGTAGGTAGTTAGTATATTATTGTCCATTATCTACCATTCTATCTATTATCATCATCTTTACCTTTGATAATCTTTAAATGATAGTTGTTCAAAAATGATCATTAAAATGGAATGAGGTAGATTGATTGGATCTATAACCTTTTGTAATGATCTTGTTACCTGTTGTTGTTGTTGTTGTTGTGGCTTTGCAGGTGACTTTTCATTAACAATCTTCTTTGGTGTTGTTGATGATGATGCTGCAGATTCATTTGTAGAAGCTACATGTTGGTTATTATTATTATTGTTATTCTTTGATGGTGTTGATATTGTTGATGACTGTTTATGTTCGTCATTTGTTGTTGTAGTAGTTTTTGATTGTTGTCGTGAAGAAGATTTCAATCGATAGGTATATATACAGGTGATAATAAATAAAGAGACTGATGTGACAAGAGTAATGATTAGATTCCTTTGTCCTGTTGATTTTAGGAATAGTTGTTTGATAGCCTCCATCGTATGTGTTAGTACTACTACTACTACTATTGATCAATTCGTCGGTATATATATATATATATATAGTTTAGAGAGACAGATAGAGATGCTAATAGTAACAGTTACTGAATGTATCTGCTGCTGAAAACGATCAGTGAGTTTGCGCGGGAAATTTGACACCAAAAGAAAATTATCATTGCAGAATTATCTAAATACAATCATATATAATATATATATATATATACTACTAGTTAGATCATCCATGTGGTCTAACATACTTTTCTAGAGGGGTTGTAAATACCAAGGTTGTCAAATTTAATTGATAGAATAATAAACATTTTATTTATTTTCAAAATGGATCAAAGCTATGACCCAATTTAAAAATTTATAATAGTCAGATGAAAACATCAGATATTGTTCATTTATAATAAATAATACAAAGAATGAATAAAGAAGAAAAAGAAGAAGAAGAAGAAGTATCAATGTAATGGAAAAAAAGAGAAAACAAATCATATCTTATTTGGATGTTGAAACAAGCAGTACAAGCACCAGTAGTAGTAGTGACAATGACGTCGACATTAATGATGAGAATCAAAATATACAACAAAGTATTCAAGATAGAATAGAAAGAATCAAACGACTAAAGAATGAAATACAAGAGTTTGAATCACGTGATAAACTATATTATCAAGATCAACAACAACAAAAGAAACAAGATGACAATGATCAATTATCATTGATTATTATCAACGATGATGATGATGATGATAATATTGGTATTTTAAATCAAGTCATTAATGATATAAACAAAACTATTACCAAAATCAATGGATGGATTGAAAAAGCTTATGATTTGATCAACTATAATAATACAAAATATCTACAATCTCTTGGGAATCATGGTCTACCACAAACCACCAAATCACTAGAAATGTATCAAATGGACTGGCAATTGTATCCATCAAAATATAAATACCAAGTCGATCGTGAAAGGGAACTATCAATGTCATCTCAGAGGACTGACCCTATCATCGTAAAAAGTAAAGTAGTACCAACTAAAAAATATATTGAAAAGCATGGACTTCCTCCTCCTCCTCCTCCTCTAATCCTAACATCAAAAACAACAACCAATTCCAATGCAGAAAGAGAAAAGGAATTAAAGGAATTATTGAAAAAAACAACAACCAATTCCAATACAGAAAGAGAAAGGGAATTAAAGGAATTATTGAAAAAAAGAAATAATAAATAAATAAATAAATAAATATTATTCTATCCATCAATCCAATTATATTAAATAAATAAATAAATATTATTGTTTGTTTGTATTTTTAAACTATTGGTACATTTTGTTGTTGTTGTTGTTATTATTGTTCTTTCTTATTTCTTTAACATATTGGTAACAAATGGTTGATAACTAATAACACCATCACCAGCACCAACAGCTTGCTTTAACATTTCTTCAACTTGATCTTCATTCAATCTATCACCAAGATTTGTTAAAATATGTCTTAACTCGGATGCACCAATCATACCTTTACCATCCTTATCGAATACTTGGAATCTAAAGAATAGAACAAAGCAAAAAGGTTAGATCTTATTTCAAATGCCATCATCTTTCAATTGTCTTGTCACATGTGAACACCTACGCTTCAATAATTTCCTTTTCATCAAAATCATCGACTACCTTTCTTCCCAAATAGTTGAATAATCCATCGACTGTCATTGAACCTCCAGCTATTTAGTTTGGAGGAGGATATAATAATATAAACGTGTTAGATAATGGTCAGAGGTGTGTTATACATAACATAGCTTTTGTTTATGTGTATACATACAACCAAAATCTTTGATGATTTCATTGACTTCTGAAGTTGATGGATTTTGACCCAACCATCTAAGTACGTTTGCTAATTCAGCAGCTTCTAATCTACCATCTTTATTACTATCGTAAAGAGTGAATGCTTCTCTAAATTCTGCTTGTGCTTCTTCGTTTAATTTGGCTGCCTATAGTTCAATACGTGGTAAGTAAATATCCATCTCTTGATAGATCTATCTTCTCTCGATTCCTATATCAATCATACCATTTTCTAATCTATCTATCTTTATAATACAATATAATATGTACGTGTGTGTTTTAATCAATAAATATCATAATCATGACATGTGATGGGAACCAAAGGGAGAAAATTGAATCAAAGACACCAAAAAAAATATTTAAAAACAAAACATTCAAAGAAAGAGACATTCTAGTTAGTACACATCTTTACCATCATCGTTTTTCAGATAACTCACCACACGAAACGTTTCAATTTACACTTTCGATTCGATTCATTTCATTCTTGCATATCTATCTATCTATCTATCTTTATAACACACAACATAGAATGAGTTTAAAGATATATTGGGAAAGAATAACAAATAAACATTCGATAGCAGCAAAAGATGCGTTGAATGTATTGTTCTCAAAGATAGCTAAACCAGATATCATCGGTCGATTCGAGATTGTCAAGCTGTCATTGGGATCAAAGGCACCAGAGTTTCAAATCATATCGATATCTGATCCCGATCCAAACATTCTCGTACCAATGTCAAATAATAGTATAGAAGCAAGAGTCAAGTTTTCATATGATGGTGATGCATTCTTTCAACTAGAAGTTGAATTACTAGTCAATGCTCCTACACCAAAGTTTATAGTATTCCCTATATCTGTTAAAGTTTCAAGTCCTCATTTAAATGGTACATAACATAGATACATAGATAGAAATCATAATGCTTATGATTGAATCAACTTCACTAACACCTCGTCTCTTTCTCTGTTATGTTTTAGCAATCGCATCTGTAATATATGATGAAGATAATGTATGTTTTTGTTTAATACCAGAGGATGGAGATCCTTTAAAGGATTTGGAAGTGGAAGCTATGGTTGGTGATGCTGAACAACATGTTTTAATGGATTTGGATAAATTGATTTCATTTGTCAAAGAAGAACTACGTGAAATCATTCAACAATATTTGGTTTATCCAAATAGAATCACTGTTCCTATTAAAATGGATTAGGAACATAATATAGACATATAATAATAGATAATAGAATAATCATTGTACAAACAACAACCCTTTTTTTTCACATTCATAAATGATATTGTATATAATATCACCTTTTTTCGCTATATTTACATTTATATTTATATTTATATTTATATACAAACAAAAGTATAGATTGTATTAACAACTACAACTACAACTACAACTAATACTATAATATTTTATTATTATTATTAATATTATTTTTGTTCGAATTGATATCTAAAGAAATGGTATAATTCAAAAGCAGTGAAATAAGATTTCTGACCATTATCTCTATCTTCAACTTCAAAGACATCTTCACCATTCTTTTTAGATGCATTGTTGTTGACAAAGATTAGGTATGGGAAGCCGATGAGATTGGCTTCGTTGATACGTTTACCGATACTCATGTCCAATCTGTTCTCGAGAACGATTTGGTTACGCAAGAATGGGTCTCTGATGAGGAGGTCGTAGAGGTGCTCGGCTGATTCATAGCTGCCTCTGTTTCTTTGATCCGAAAAGGGGATGATAATGGCCTTGTAGGGTGCCACACACTTGGACCATACAATACCACGGTCGTCACGCTTACTTTCAATCATGGCAGCCAACAAACGAGATACACCAATACCATAACAACCCATTTCAATAGGTTGATTCTTTCCATTCTTGTCTTTCATATTGGCACCCAACTTGCTCGAATACTTGGTACCCAAGTAAAAGATGTGTCCCACTTCAATACCTTGTTGTAATTTAAGTTCTCCTCCATTTGAACAATTTGGTTGTGCACAATGATCACCTTCTTTTACAACTCTAAAACTACCATATTCAACAGAAGCATTATTTGATGTTGTATCTTCTTCCTTTTCCTCCTCCTTTTGTTGTTGTTGTTGTTGTTCCTTTTGATGTTGTTTTAATTGTAACAAAACATGATCATTATCTTTGATTGTAGAATCGATAAAATCAATATAGGTGTATGATGGGTCTTGTTGTTGAGCGGCTTGGTTGAATCTAAATGGTTCAAAACTATCGATATTATTAAAGTATGATTTGATTGAGAATGGGTTGATCGTGTCTATATCAGAGCACCAAATAGTAGCTATTGTAGTCGTCTTTTCCTTGGCACCTTTTACCATTTTGTCAGAGACTACCTTGATGGCAATCTTTTTGATCTTGTCGGCAGGTGAGAATTTGGTGGATGGTGATGGCTTGCTCGTGGCACGCTCAATGTTGCTCTGATAACCACAACATTCACACGACACTACAGTATCTTCTCCAGAGCCTGTGAGTACTTGGAATTCGTGTGACATTGATCCTCCAATGTTACCCGAATCAGCTTCAACACATGCATACTTTAGACCAACTCTGTCAAATACACGATGATAGGCACCTTTGATATCGTTGTACGTTGCGACAGCCTCTACTCTTGTCTGGTCAAACGAATACAAGTCTTTCATTAAAAACTCTCTTCCTCTGACCAACCCAAATCTAGGTCTAATCTCGTCACGATACTTGTTGCCAATCTGATAGAGACGTAGTGGGAAGTTGCTATTTGACAATCTTTCATTTGCAACCAAACTAGTAAATATCTCTTCGTGTGTTGGTGCCAAACAGTATTCCTCTTCCTTTCTATCCTTTACCTTGATCAACTCGGCACCAGTTGTCTCCCAACGACCAGTCTTTTCCCACAAATCCTTTGAAACCAACAAAGGCATTGTCAACTTTTGACCACCAACACCTTGCATCTCTTCATCAATAATCTTGATTAAATTCTCCATTGCTCTTTGTGCCAATGGTAATGTCATATACATTCCCAATGATGCCTAAACCAAAAATATATATACATTGTAAGTATAACAAACAACCAAGTTTATTGTTATTGTTATAGTTTGATACATACTCTTCTAATCATACCAGTCTTTTGCATAAGTAATTGACTTTGAGACATTTCTTTATCCATTGGTTGATCACGTACTACAGGGATAAACAACTTTGATCTTAGCAATCTATGAACAATCTTTTTAGCACCAGTTTTACCTTCCTCCTCAACAGGGAAAGGGTAATCGTTTCTTTGTTGTGGGGATTGACTTGTACTCGTAGTAGTAGATGTTGAATAAGAGCAGTAGTTTGTTAACACCATATTGATACCCTGCTGTTGTTGTTGCTTTACTACAACAGCACTAGAGTTTGCAATACCAGCTCTACTTGCAATAAATGATCTTATCATTTTATTGTATTGTCAATATATGTAAATATCTATATGTATATATCTATATATATTCAATCCCTAAAAGACTAATGATCAAGACTGACATTCTGATTATTCGTCGTCCTGACTCTTTTTTAAATCTTAATTTCTCATAGATAACAATTTCCCAATTTTAGAAAGGAAACAACTTACTTATCGTTCGTGTGAATGTAAATTACATAGATAGATAGATAGATTTATTAAATACATATATATATTTATTTATAATCAAAATAAACGATTGGAAACATTGAAGTATTAATCTTATTATTAGTATTATTATTATTAGTTTTAGTTTTGTTGGAAGGTGATTTTTTAAAAGGTTGTTGTTGATAGATTTTGTTTGTATTGGGACCATACTCTGATGACTCTGAATCTGAATTCTCACCATCTATATATTGTTGTGATGAAGATTGTGAAGATGAAGTGATAGAGTAGGGAGATACACCAATGATAGTATCATCAATTTCATCTTTAAAGTTTGGAATTCGAATTGGCGATGATGGTCTCTGTGATGGTGACTTGTAAAATTCAACTTCATCATCATTACTCAATGACGATGACGATGAATCACTGCTGTTACTATTGCTATCATCATCTTGATCAAATGGCTTTTCAATTATATCTGCTCCATCTTTTACTTCTTTGACTAATATCTCTTCTATCTTTTTCTTATTTTGGAACTGTTGATGATTATAAATTGGTGGTTTAGTTGATAAACTAGAAGGAGAAGGAGAAGGAGAGGAAGTAGAATGATGAATAATATTATTAAATATATTTGAAATGGATTGATCATCTTGTTGAATTTGTACCTTGTTTAAAGTTATTATATTATTAATTTGATTATTTTGATTATTTACTTGATGATAGTTGGGAGAAGATGAAATTGAAACTGGAGGTGGAGGTGATACGATACCCCATGAATTTGAATTGGGTGATTTAATTGGTGATTGTGCCAAATGAGAAGGAGGAGTACGTTCAATCTCTCTTCTTGGCGATGACAATCTCATCTCTTTTTGCTTCTCCAGTTCCTTTTGCATTTTCATCTTATCGTCTTGACTCTTTTTTAGATCCTCTTGTGGTGTTGGGCGATGCCTTTGTAACGGATCGTGTTGGTAATACTTGTGCTTTTCCAACTCGATACCCCTGTGCAAGTCGTTGGATGTCGTGGCAATGGTGAATCGACGACTGTCCTTGACCGGTGGATTCAAAATACTATCAAATATATTGTCAATGGAACTCTTGATATCTTCTTTTGATTTGGTTGCAGCAGTATCTGTTTGTAGTCTAGGTACCACAGACTTTCGATGGTTCATCATGTTTCCAGTACTGGTACTCACTGGTGACCCCACGGTACTCGTCAAAGAATATGGTTTGGGTGGTGACTGTTGTTGTTGTTGTTGTTGTTGTTGTTTAACAAATTGACCAGAGTTTGCAAGTGGTGCATCAATCAACATTGTCAAAGATTCCAACAATGAATTATCACCTGCATCCAATGAAGCAGAAGTGTTATTCTTTCCATTTCCAGTTCCCATTTCCAATGACAATAATTCAAATGAAAACTCTGTCTTGTTCTTTTGACTACCAAAATTATCATTGATGATGATTAATTCTTCTTCTTCTTTCTTCTTTTCAACTACCTCCTTTTTCTTTTCTTGTTCTTTTGGAATTTGAACGTTGAAATCCATTTCATTCATAAAATCAAAATTAGGTATGGTGTTTAAGATTTCAACTGTTTGTTTGAGTATGTTGTTATGACTATTCTCTTCTTCTTCCTCCACTTCATTGAATATAATATTATTATTACTTGATGATAATTGTGGCGTTGAAATGGGTGTAATAGAGTATGGTGAAGATATAAGTGATCGGAGTTGTTTGTCATCTTGTTGTTGTTGTTGTTGGACAATTTGTGAAAGCTTTAGTGGAGATGTTACTTTGGCTATAGAAACAACTGGCGTGGTGGTAGTAGTAGTAGTAGTAATGGTTGTTGGTTTAGGTGGTGATGATATTGATATTGGCTTGGGGATGGATATTGGTGTTGGCTGTTGTTGTTGTTGTTGTTGTTGTTGTTGTTGTTGTTGTTGTTGTTGTTGTTGTTGTTGTTGTTGTTGTTGTTGTTGTTGTTGTACAGAAATATTAGTTGGAGATGGTATGGTGACAACTGATTGTGAAGAAATATTTACAGATAAAGAGGTTGGAGTTGATATAGTTGGACGTATAGTTGATGAACTAGTATTGGTAGTTATTGGTGTTGGTATTTGTGGTGGAACTATACTGTTATTATTATTATTTTGATTATTAATTTGATTATTATTATTTTGATATGATTTTGGAAGTGGAGGAGGAGTAAATTGTTGAAAGTATGTAATGATGGATGGTTTACGTTCTCTTGGAGTAAGAGTGACAAAATCATTTAGATCATAACTATGTTCTGGTTCTTCTTCTTCATCCACTCCTTGATTTCCATTATTATCTTCATCTTCATCATCATCATCGTTATCTTGTAACTTGACATTAATGTTGTATTGTGATCCTCCACGAATCGACATTAATTTTTCATCTTCATCATCTGTCAGATTTGAATCAGAGTCATAAGAAGACGTATCGTCACTATCATGTTGGTTTTGGGGACTATTGATGACTGGTGGTGACGTAGTACTACTCTTCTTTGTCAATTTAATTTTACCTTTTTGAGTACCATTTGAAAAGAATTGATAATCATTCATAATATCAGAGAAACTTTCATTTGTATCCAAATCATCATCTTCTTCTTCTGTTTCTTCATTTTGTTCTATTTTTTGTTGTTCTTGTTGTTGTTGTTGATTTGCGTTATTATTATTATTATATTTGTTATTTTTATATTTGTTGTTTGAACCATTTAAATGAATTGTATCAATTCTTGATATATCTTCTGTTTTTAGATCAACATCTAAAATATCATTGTCCAAGTCATTGATAAATCTGTCAGTCAAGAGAGCACTACTTCTTCGACTATTAAATAATTCCTCCAACTCTTCTTCGTCGTCTTCAACTTCCTTTTCATCTTGTTTGACTTCTACTACTTCTTCTTCTTCTTCTTCTACTTCCACTTCTTCCTCGTCATCAGCTTGGTCATCGTCAAAGTCGTCATCTGGGAATCCATCCTCCACTTGAAGACTGAGACTCCAATGATTTTTCTGTCTGTGGTCTTGCTCTTGATTGCGTTTACGGAGGATAGTGTTGTAAAAGATGTCATTGTCACCTCCGATGAATACCTTGGTTGACTTTTGTTCTGGTGATTTTGGTACCCAGTTGGATAATGATGCAGGTTGATGTGCACCACCTCCACCACCGCCACCACCATATTGGCTCTCATCCAAATCAACAATCTCTTCATCATCGGATGAATCAAACCCATGTATTGCCATTGCAAGTATTCTAGCTTCCCTAAGTTGTAATTTTGGTTGTTGTTGTTGTTGGGAATGATTTAATGGTATTTGTGGTTGTTGATCAGTATGTGGTGGATCCATATACTGAGCTAAATCTTCATTTGTAAAATGGAGTTCACCTTGTTGTCCAATATAGGTACGTGCACGTCTAATGACATCCTCCTTTCCTTCACCCATTGACATGATTCCTTTAACATCTCTACGTACACCAAATGGGAATACTTCCTTGTCAGTGTATACAACACTCTCCTTTTTAGCGTGTCCACTGCTACTGTTGTTGCCGGCCTTTTTAGGACCACTTGATTTTCTTGAATCTGACTGACTATGATCTGATTTAAAACTACTAGAATCTCTGCTATTACTATTGAATGAGTTGTCATTCTGTTGTTGTTGTTGATAGATGATGTTGGCTGGTGATGGGTAGTAGTGTCTTGCACCACCTCCACTATTACTATTTCCACTATTACTTGATTTTCCACCACTATTTGTTGTGCTACTACTGCTGTCGATTGAACCACCTGGAGGTGTTGGAAAGGCTGCATTGAGGTCATGAAGTAATCCAATTGGGAGTGGTACAATAGATCCTTTACGCAATAGGTCAATATGAACTGGATCAATATAATCTTCTGATCCCTGTAAAATATAGTCGTTGATCTCTCCTCCCCCACCTTTAGGAGTTGGAGATAAACTATCTCGACGATCTCTATTTTGTATATGATTATTACCACTTGTATTTAATGGACTTGTTGATGTTGTATTTTGTTGCTGTTGTTGATTGGGACTACCATTATTACTGGCAGTACTTAATCTTTTCTTAAAAAATCCAACCATGATTGCTATTTTAAATAAATATATATATTGTATTAAATTATTATTATTCTGTCTTGTATTCTATTTTTGTTTTCGAAAATGGAAGAAGGAAGGAAGGAAGGGAAAGGATAAAAAATGAGTATTAATTTCTTTAAATGAGTTATGATAACTAGAATGGAATGGAATGTTGTGTGTTTTGTTTGTCTGTCTGTCTGTCTGTCTGTCTCGTTCTTTTGGGATATTTACCTACCTGTTAGAGAGGCAAGGTAGACCTTGATAAATGGGGGGATTGAAGGCGAGTAGGGGCAAGTACCAACCAAAAAGTTAAGGTGATGCGTGTTGTGTGTTTGTGTGGAAGGAATTAAACCAAATCGGAGATTCAATAATCCGTAAGGACACTCCCAAAGATATTTTCCAAAAAAGGATCAGTATTTGCGCAATTGCACTACGCTGTTGGAATCCCGAAGATATTTTTTTTAATTAAAATTGACTTATTCTCTCTCTGTATAATAATAATAGGTAACTATAATATTAATAAATAAGTTAACTCTATCTGTGTCTATGTCTATCTATCTTTCTTGTGTAATGAATATATGGAAGGGAGGTGCAAAGATCACTCCTGTGTTGTCACAACCAACTCTATCATGCAGCGCAGAATGTTTGTTGGATTTTGAATGGGGTATAACTATCAGCTGCCCCCTCTACATCCGTCTGTCCGTGTTCAACAACCATCAGACCTCCTTTCTTCGGTGTGTCCCTTTTTTGCGGGATAAAAGGGTTGATGCTATCTGTTGAGAGTGCGACGACCTTAATTACCGTGAATGAAGTTGAATTGATCGATTTATTGCCCGCCCCCTTTTTGATTACCCACCAACAATGGGTTGCTCGTTTGTTCATACCTTTACCGCGCAGTCGCCTTTACAAGAACGTTGATTTTGTTTGTTGTATAACCTACTAATAGACAGTTGATTTTGATTCACGGACTGACGGAATTATAATTCCGTGGAATTTAAAGTCCGTGATTTAATCAATTCTATTTATAATCTGTCTGGTTGTTTGATTGTTTTAATTGAATAAAATTATTTGTATATATCTAGATATCATCCGTCAATCCCAATCCAACCAATCCAATCTTATCAACCCGACTATTTCTGACTTTTATTCTAACTCTTTCTTCCTCTTTCTCTCTCTAGAGTTGGCTAAATAAATAAATAATAAATAAACAAAATGTATGTTGGTTAAAATTATATGATTGATTGATTGATTGATTGATTGATGATGATTATTGATCTTATAACACAAACCTAAAATAGTTAATAATAATAATTAACAGTTATATACACTCACCTCTACCTCTACTACTACACTATTAATTAATGCATGATGAGTAATATCAATTAAATATAAGAATATTAATTTTGGTTGACTGAGTAGCACTACTCACCCACCTCTACCTACCCTTCTTTGTTTTACATGTTCACACATCGACCGATACATACAATCAACACCCCCCGAAACTAAAATATCTTGGAGAGTTAGAGTGTGTAGTGATTGTGATTGTGAAGTTTATATGATTATTCTATCTATCAATCTATCTGTTTGTCAATATCTGTCTCTTTTTATTGTCCATCATCTATTTATAAATCTCTTGTTGTTGGACTGTCCTATATCATGTCCCTTTTCTCTCTCTCTCTCTCTCTCTCTCTCTTTTATATGTTCTCTCTACCTCTATCATGATGATGAACAAGCCAACATCTACAAATAAATATTTTAGTTAATTTGAGTCGATTCATCTGACATTACACGAGCGAGAAATTTCTAATCAATGCAAAGCATTCCAATCAGATATTTCACAATAATAATAATAATATAAATATATATATAAATGTACACTCGAACACTAATATCATCGATATCAAAAAGATATACCTCATGTACAACAACGACAACATCATCATTTCTAAATAGGGTTATCATACCTACCTATACCTCGAATCATTATTGTACATTTCAACCACAACAACAAAATTTAATATATCAACAACAACAACTTGAAGTAAAGCAACAACAAATACAACAACAACAACAACAACAACCAACAACAACAACAACAACGATAGAAGACGAGTTAATTACACAATGTATAGATGTTAAATGTGCAATTCATTTCAAAGTACCTTCAAAGCTGTCAGGTAAAGAGGGACATTGTCCACAATGTGGGTCCAAACAACCATTCAAGAAACATACAAGCAACTATAGAAGATTGCTGGCAAAGAAACATAAAGAATATTCTGAACAATTGGTTGAAATTACAAAGACATCAAATACGTTGGATGTAGATAAAAGTATGGATTAATTTAGATTAAAGTTGGTATTTTCTAACAATCTCTCCTACTACCCACTAGATGAACCATATGGACTTGGTGTATTATTAGTTGATTGTAGAAGTTTGGCTAATATTGGAAGTGTATTTAGAACGAGTGATGGTGCTGGATTTAATCATGTCTATCTTTGTGGAATCACTGGAACACCACCAAGAAATGAAATATTAAAGACATCATTGGGTGCTGAAGAGTTTGTTAATTGGTCATATTGTCATGAATCATTACATTGTATTAAAGAATTAAAAAGAAAAGGTGTAAAAGTATGTATAGATAGATAAGATATCTTTTTAATATTTATAAATATACATCGAAATCATTAATTAAAAAATCTTATAACTTTCAAGATAATAGCAATTGAACAATCAGATAAAAGTATACCATTATTGGAAAGTTTAGATTATCTTTATGAAAATACAAAGATCAACAACAACCAATCTGAACAACAACAACAACATTCACCTATATGTGTTGTATTTGGTAATGAAATAGTTGGATTGAGTGAAGAGATTATAAAGGAATGTGATTTTATTTGTGATCTACCAATGAAGGGACAGAAGAGAAGCTTAAATATTTCAGTTGCATTTGGCATTACTTCATATGTATTGTCAGAGAAATTCAAAAATATCATAGTTGATAATCATTTGGGTATAGAGAAAATAAATCCAAAGGATTTTTAAAGTTAAAGTAAAGTAAAGATTAATAATGGATGGATGGATGGTATATTCATTTATATGTTTATTTATTTATTTATTTATTTTTGTTCTCTTAAATATTGACATCTTTTCATACAAACTGGAAAGGATTTTGACCACCTACAAATCAAATGATAGATATGATTTAAGAAAGAAAGAAAATATTAATAGACCATTATTATTATTATTTTAAATTACATTTTTTTCAACATACCATGAATTACATAAATGATAAAGAGGTGAATCAATACTAAAGTATTCTTTACTATTACAAAAATCATTCCAATATGACTCTGAAAAACATGTTATTCTACATTCTCTATGAGGTATTACTGTTTGTCGAATATTTCGAGGAGGTCTTGTCCAATTGGCTGGAAGTTCATACAATTCCGATGATCTTACTACTCCAAGAAAGCAACAACTAATGATAACAATTAATAATATTAAATATTTACTACAACTATTCCTTTTCATTCTTCTTTCTGTTTTAATCAACTGATGGATGGCTGTGCAATTGTAAATATATCTATTCTCATAGCACACTCTAAAATAATGTTATAAACAATAACCCCACTCCCCAGGTGGTGGTATATACAATTGTTTTTAAGACTGACTTGACTATCAGTCAGTAGTCACTATAAATATTGTTCAAAAAATAAATTCCATTTATTTATTTATTTATTTATTTATTATAATTATAAGGTTTGTTTTGGAAAATTTGTTGTTGTTGTTGTAAAAATGATTAAAAAATAATTATATATTATTTTTGAAATTTGTACAATCTAATCGATATGGTTGTTTGGTTGTTTTGGTTGTTTGGTTATGATATTATTATTATTATTATTATTCCTTCCTTGAGAATAATATTATAAAATAATAATTATGGTTAACCAAGGTGATTAATATTAATATTGATCAACACCTTCTCCATCATTTCCAACAGTTCTATTTCTATTAAAGAATGATGATGATGAATTACCATTGTTATTTTGATTATTTTGGGTATTGGTTGATTTGTTGATAAATGGAGAAGTTTCATCGGCAGTTGAAGCAGCATTGATAGAGAACGCAGATGTTGGTGAAGAATCGGAATGGTTGTTAATGTCAGCGATAGAGAGTTGATTTCTTTCACGACGTTTTCTCATAATGTAGGTGACAGCCATTAGGATGAGTCCGATGGCTACGGCAATCGATGAATGCCATTTGGTGGTGGATGGAGTGGTGTAGATCAAGACACAGGCAACGACAATGGGCATACAGACAATGATCAATGAAGGTCTGTTTTTAAAGGCACGGTAGGGACGTGGGATATCTGGATTAAAGATGTACATCTTGATGTAGATGATGCATTCGAGAATGACGACGAGCGAGTACATGGTCATATCGAGTGAGAGAATCGAGTTGAATGGCAACATGACGAGAACACCTACGAAAAAGGCGGTCAATAGAATCGACACAAATGGGGTGCCACGACGTGGTAGCAACTTGGATAGTTGTTTGGGGAGGTATCCACGTACACTCATCGAGTAGAGGTTACGCGACACGGTACACAGGTTGCAATTAAACAACCCGAGTGATGATGCCATACCTCCAATCGACATGAATACACCCAACCACAACCCACCAATTTGCATTGCAATCGATGAGAATTGTCCGTCTTGCCAGTTGACCCAATCTTGACTGGCTTGGATACCGACCAACAGTGGTAAGAGATAGGTAACGATTGTGATGATCAGTACTGTGATGACACCCAATGGATAGTTTTTGGCTGGGTTCTTGACCTCTCCTGCCAACTGTCCGATAGCGTCAAAACCAGAGAACGACCATACAATGGTCGCAATCAGTGTACCAAGATCGACATCACGCCATGCACTGAATCCACCTTGTGCATTAAAGATGAATCCAAGGTTGACCTTGTCGATACCCATACCGACCATAATGACAAAAGGTGCCAATAAAATGACAGCCAACACGTTGGACACGATACCAACGTTTTCGGCACCCCAAAGATTACTTAACACTACGACGACAATGACTAAAAAGGCAAGGAACCAACTGCAGTTGCTGCAATTCTCGAGGTTTCCTCCCCAAGTGTCATTCTCATAACGTGTTCCATCAAATGCGTTGGATAGATACTGTACAAAGAGTACAGGATAGAGTGAAAGATCGACAGTATTGGCGACCCATGAAAAGAATCCTAGTAAAACAGACATTTCACCTCCAAATGCTTTCTCTGCCCATAAAGAGCATCCTCCATCCTCTCCAGATCCCAAATTACTCAATTCTGCAGTAATCATACCTAATGGTAAACTCCAAAAAAATGGTAATAAAAAGGTAAATAATAATACATATGCTGGTGGTGCTACTGCTACAGTTCCTTCAATCTAAAAAAAATAGAAAAAGAAAAAGAATTAGAATAGGAATATAAGAAAATGTTTGATTCTTCAAGGCAGGGAAAAGGAAGAAATAAACTTACACCATATGGACCTCCACTAACACAAAAATAAGCTATAGCCAACAATGATATAAATGAAAGTACTCTTGGTGGTTTACCATCTTGATAATTATAATTAGAATTATTATTATTATTATTTGTTATTGTTGATGATGGTGTTGGAAATGTATTATAGTTATAATATATGATTGTTTCATCATTATTAATAATTTGATTATGATTATTAATAATTGAATTGACCATAATAATTATTTAGTTTTTGGAATAATAAATAAATAAAGATGTTATTAGTCAATGATTCATTTTAAGTTTGATAATAATGAAATGAGGATAGTGAGATATATATTATAAATATTAATATATATATATATTAGAGGAGAGAGAGGTGGGATTATTAAAGATGATCTTTAACAGACTACTCTTTAAATGAATGAATTAAACAACCCCCACCTTTCTTCTCCCTCCAAATTTTATGTAAGAAAGAACCTGTGGTAGGTAGGATGTTGTAAAGGAGTGGTTGGTTGGTTGATTGAACATACCTTCACCATGACCGTGACCATGAGCACCACTTTGAATTAAAGGTGCTTTCTCTTCATCGTAATTCCGACCACCACCATAATCACCTATCATGTGACCACTCGATAGATGGTGCTCGTTATAGTTTGCACTACTCATCTTTGCTTTTGTTGCTGTTATTTGTGTTACTAACTACTTATTCTTCTTCTTCTTCTTCTCTACTTTTACTCTGACTATTATTCTTATCGGGGTGTGTAACCTTTTTTTTTAGTATTGACAACTCTATTCTCGTACTTTAAATTTATGTTGTTGTTTGTTCGGTGGTCATGAAGAGAGATAAGAAGATAAAATACAATAATAGAAAGAAAGAAAGCTGTGATGTATACAAAGAGTAGATAGAGATATCACTCCGAAAAACAAAAAGATAATAATAAGCAAAGATTTTTCTTTCCGATTTTTAAAAACTACTCGACACTCTCAGAGTCAGAGACGGATGACGTGTGTAAAGTTTACACTTTGTTTTTAGTTTTAGTTTCCCGTCCCTGGGGTTTCCCACCTCTTATGTTAAAATTATAAAAAATTTTTTTTAGTCAAAGTAAAGATTTGAACTGAACAACAAATAGATTGATATAAATATATATAGATTAACTTGGATCACAAGGAATTATGTGACTCATCGTCAGTGATGTCATTCATACATAGATTAAATTACAATTAGTTGTTGGAAAGGTGTTTATTCCAATGACTATGATATGATATGTGGATTACAATTCATTTGACCAATTTGGTTTTCTCTTTTCTTTAAATGCATCCATTCCTTCTTTACGATCTGGGTATTTAAAGGTTGATATAAACAACTTTCTCTCTAGATGTAGTCCTTCATTGAGTGAAGATTCGTAGGCATGGTCGACAGCTTCTTTGGCAAGTTTAGAAATTGGGTTGGAAAGTGATGCAATCTCGGTTGCCAATTTCAAAGCAGTCTCTAGAACCTTGTCTGTTGGTACTACTTGACTTGCAATACCACTAGCCAATGCTTCTTGTGCTGTAATCATTCTACCTGTTAATATCATTTCCTTTTAAATAAATTATATTAATATTAATATTATATGATTATTATATTTATGTATATATGTATATTACCATTGCTTTTGATTTACCAACAGCTCTTGTTAATCTTTGAGTACCACCAGCACCAGGAATAGTACCAATTTTAATCTCTGGTAATGCGAATCTAGCCTTTTCACCAGCGATGACTATATCACATAGAAGGGCAGTTTCACAACCTCCACCCAATGCCAATCCGGCAACTGCACCGATGACAGGTTTGGAGATGGTTGCAATCTGTCCAATCTTGTCTACGGCATTTCCATAGGGATACATTTTCTTGAAATCCATTTCACCAAGTTCCTTTAAATCAGCTCCACAACTAAATGATCGGTCGTCACCAGTTATGATAATACAATGAACATTCTTTTCGGTATCCAATTGTTTGAGAGCTGTCACCATTTCATTGGCCATCTTGAAACTAAATGTATTCATTTGCTTTGGTCTGTTGAATTGTAGAATTGCCACCTTGACATCATCCTTTATACTAACTTTAATCTCTTCAAATTTATCTAAAATATTAAACAAACATGTTAACTATCATTCTTTCTTTTCCCTCCCTCCTTCCTTTAACATACCATATGCGATGAATGGAGTATCAAGTGTAGTTTGATGGAAATTGGCAGATGTATTATTTGTTTGCAAGTGATCACAAAGTATTTGAATTCTATTGTTTGCTCTACTCATTATTATTTATCTATCTCTCTCTCTCTCTCTCTCTCTCTATACAATAAAAATGATGATGCTGGGTCATCACACATTAATTTAAATTAACAATAAAATTTTATCTACAGATATTTTCATGTGAAACTGGGAGCAACAACTTTCATCAGAAATAAAAATATTTTAAATTTTGAAATATTAAATATATTTTAGTTTGGTAGACTCCTAAATTAACTTCATATTTTTAAACTATCTTAAAATGAAGATAATGAAGTATGAATAAATAATTATGTGCAATTAATTTTTTTTTATTTGTTCCTCTTTTTTTTTTTTTTTTTTTTTCGATTTTTTTTTTCTGACCGAGGCACTTTGCTCATTTTTGAGGCTCACAAAACTATCATCTTCTTTATTACATAGTTTAAAACACACATACAGTAGAAATGGCCACCATTGAAGAAATCCCAGAAGACATCCAAGTCGAAGATGACGAACAAACCACCACCACCGGTGCCGGAAAGAAGTCCTCCAGAACCGAAAAGAAGAACCGTGCTGCCATCGAAAAGCTCGGTATGAAGTTGGTCCCAGATATCGTCAGAGCCACCCTCAAGCAATCAAAGGGTGTATGTATAGAATAGACAATAATAATAACAACAGCAGAAGCAGCATCAACAACGATACTATAGTAGCAGTCGAAATCAATCTATCTTTTTGTTTTGGTACTTCATCCCTCACCTCTTTTTGAAAATCAACTACTACATTTTAACGACTCGACAAAGCAATCTACAACAACATCAACATTGATAAATCACTAGAGATGATAAAGAAGAGATCAATAACAACAAAAAGATAGATAGATTTTGACTGCAATCATATGATAAGAGAGAAAATGATAGGATCAAATTTATTAATCATTTATTTATTTATTTGATTTTTTTAGCTCTTATGTGTTGTTGCTCAACCAGAAGTCTACAAGGCTATTGGATCCGACACCTTTGTAATCCTTGGTGAAACCACTTTCGAAGACCCAAATGCCAGCCGTGCTAGAAGTGCCGCCAAGAACATCGAAGAGGTTGCCCCAAAGACCACCTTCCCAGAGCCAAAGACCGTCGCCTCTACCTCCACCACCTCCACCACCACCGTTGCTGATGACGAAGAAGTCGATCTCCAAGGTTTAGATCCAAAGGACGTCGAAGTCGTCATGAAGGAATCTGGCGGTGCCTCAAAGGCCAAGGTCGTCGAAGCCCTCAAGAAGACCGGTGACATCGTTGCTGCCGTCCTCGAATTGACCCAATAAATTGTTTATTAATTAATTCATTTATTAATACCCCCCTATATACAGATATTAGTTTGCAAACTATAGTATTTTTATCCAGAGTAATTACTCTCCATATTTAGATCAACCTACTTTGTACATTGAGGTATCAATGACAACATGTATACATTACCATTTTACTTTTACGATCAAGACTACGTTTTTAATGTATATTTTAGACATACTAGATAATATCTAGTATCTATCTGCAACAGACAGACTTTTTCATTAGTCTTTATAACCATGTATCTTTACTGTAAATAAATAAATAAATATATATCGTAGCTCTCATAAAATTGTGTTGTGATAAATGTGTTGATAATTAATGACACATTTTAAAAAAAAAAGATAGGAGAAGTTCATTAATTAACTTGTTAAACAAATAATTATAGAAAGAGATAAAGAGAGAGTGAAAGGATAGTGTATATATCAAAGATAGATAGAAAAGACAAGACAATTGATCAATCATATCATGGATAAATATGTAAAGGTACAAAAACAAGATCCATCACCAGAACCAAATGAAATCAGATTGCCATATACCAACCAAATTACAAGTGCAATTGAACATGGATTGAATTTATTAAAGAATGACGATGTAGGTATATCATAACACTCTATAATAGAGTGTGAGTGTGATTGATGATTGATTTGATGCAAGCTAAAGATTTATATGATTGATTAAATTAACTTATGATCATATTTATAGATGACACAAGTATTTATTAAAGCAGTTGGTTCAAGTTCCATTTCAAGAGCTATTTTGGCAACAGAGATACTTAAATATCGTGTTGCTGGACTTCATCAGATAACAGAGATTGGAACTGTTGGTGTCATTACAGAATACCTTCCCAAGGAGGAAGGATTAGATAACGTACAAATAACAAAACAGACACCTTTTATTCGAATTACACTTTCCAAGACTCCACTAGATAGCTCTAATCCTGGCTATCAAGCACCCATACCCGATTCACAAGTACAACCACGTCCAGCAGATATCAATATTATTGGCGGTGGCGGTGGTGGCAGAGGAGGTGGTAGAGGTAGAGGTGGTTTTAGAGGTGGTAGAGGTCGTGGTAATAACAGAGGTGGAAGAGGAAGAGGTAGAGGTGGTTTTAGAGGTGGAAGAGGTGGTAACTTCAGAGGTGGTTTTAATCAAGAAGGTGGATCAAATACCAATAACAACAACTATACAAATGATCCAATAGAAGGTGGTGATCAACAACAACATCAACAACCACAACATCAACAACAACCTACATATCAACAACCACCACAACAACAACAACAACAACCATTTGGAGAACAAGGTGGTCAAGAATTCTTTGGTGGCATGAATGAATTAGGTGGTAGAGGTAGAGGAGGCCGAGGCGGATTCAGAGGAGGTAGAGGAAGAGGCCGAGGCGGATTTAGAGGTGGCAGAGGTGGAGGAGGTGAATTTAGAGGCGGATTTAGAGGTGGCAGAGGTGGAGGAGCTGGAGGTGACGGAAGTGACGGAGAATTCAGAGGCGGATTTAGAGGTGGTAGAGGTGGAGGAGGTGATGGAGAGTTTAGAGGTAGAGGAAGAGGAGGATTCAGAGGTGGAAGTCCATCATCTGATCCATCTACACCAACCATTTAAAAATAACCCTTATTATATACTCCCAACCAACCCAATCCAACCCAACCAACTTCCAACCAAATCCAAGTATAAATATCATATACTTACCAACCCACAACAACACCAACAAGCATATATATACTCCTCCAAAAATTAGATCCGCATTGCTAAAATAGATTCCCAACCACCCAAATCAATCAATATCAGTATCAACCAACCAATATCAGTATCAATCAAATCAATATCAATAAATATGTTTGTGTACACACCCTTCCCCTTTTGTAAATTAATTAATGATGGTCTATTATTGTTATTTTAAAGTTATTTTTAAAAATGTTCAACAATCGTGGGTATCGGGTCGGATCGGAATAACAGTTACGTAATAAGAGTAAAGTAAAGTAAAGTGCGATCAAGGACCCAATCCACCAATCCATCCATCGCATGTGTGGGTGGATCTCCTTCTTAATCTCGATTGTGTTTTGTAAAAAAATCCGCTATTCATTGCCTTGTTCTTTAAAAGAATGAGGTCTCTTCCTTTGAGCAAACAGATTATTTGAATTATAATTACATCAGGATATATAACTTTATTACCCATACTACATCTCAAGACTTCTTCTTTCTCCTCTCCTCTCACTTTCTTGTTCAATTTAGATTCTAAAAAAGATAATTATTTCTCAACAACCAATAACCGACAAAAAATTAAATTATTATTATATTAGCCAATCAAACAACACAACGAGACGCAACGTTCGGAAATTGATACAACACACAATCATCATCATCATCACAAACAAACAAAAAGTCAACCCATATATATTACCGATACACAGAGCCTTCTTCTTTATCTTCATCACCTCCTTCTTCTTTAACATCTCCTGCGACAAATACAATACAACCTTTTCCCTCATCATTTGACATAATCAACAATCGACATACAACTAATATTAGAATCTAGATAATAATAATAATAATAATAACGCACATCTGATAATAGTACATAATAATAACAACAACATAGATAGATATATAGATAGACACAGAGAAAGAAAGACAATGAGCACGCAAAAACCAGAGTAAGGTTACCCACATGATCTCATCTAATCTCATCAACCCATCAACAACCAACTTACGTGTACGCACATACACACACACACAAGACAACGACGACAACGAGGACAACGAGAGGAGGCGGACAATTGAATTGATCGTTGGTTTATAAATAGGACAGAAAGACAAACAGACAATAAGTGTGGATCCTATTATTAGTACTTTAGACCTCCTATATTGTCCGTCATTTCTTCTTCTCCTTCATTTCTTCCACTTTGTTTGTTGTGCTTGGATCTATTCACCTGATCAACCTATATATATAGGTTGGATCTTAACACCAAACAATAACAACAACAACAACCCTAACATATTCTATAGAATAACAGGCAAGCAGAAGACTGTTAGCTGGAGGAATGAAAGAGAGTTCACTCGACAAGACACCCACTTCACTACTATAGCATATGATATACACCAACGACGATATGTTGTGGTGAGTGAGTGGGGTGGTGGGATTGCAATCACCACAATGTGTTGTGTTGTATTTGTGTGATAAATGATTATTATTAGAATCAACCACACACCAACAACGAATCACACCATACACACAACACATTCTCTTTATATCATTGTTGTTAGTATCATCGATCAATTGTTCAACACACATAGACTGTGTGGGTGGTCGTTGCTGCATACAATGCAGAAGCGTGTCACTCTGTTCCAACCAACAATCAATCAGTTAAGCGGAAGAAAACAGTTAAAGACCTCTCCGAATATCAGTAATAGGAGGTAGAGAGAAAGGATAAGGATATAGCTTCTCTCTATCGCCAATGGCAAAGTAAGAAAGAAATTTGAGGGGGATGGAACAGTGTCAATGTCGACGATAGTTTAAGTAGTTTGTTTGTTTGTTTGTTTTGTTTTGTTGTAACACAATGTTAATATAAAATCAACAACGACGACGACAACATTATAATTGTTGCATATTATTTATAAAGATTGATTTTAATCTAATCTAATCAATTTCAATCAATTCAATCAATTCACAATCCGATTGCTTTCTTGCTTGCTTATTCTTATTGCTATTGCTATATATATGTTGTTATTATTGTGAACCTGTTTGTTTAGCAAGAGCAAAAAAAGAGAGAGAGAGAGAGTGTGTGTAGCCCTCTCCTCCAGCCCAACCTTAATTAATAACCAACAAACCAAACCAAACCACCAACACTCCAACAACGGTTAATATATATAACTCATTTATTTATTTATTCACACATTATTTATTTATTTAATCTAATCCCAATCGAATCATTCATTCATTCCAATCATTCCATACATTTAATAATTTATCTCAATTATTTATTAATTTATTAATCCCTCCCTGTTTAATTCCAAAATGAAAAAATCAATTTCCGCCATTTCCACATTATCTCCTCATGTTGCCTCTGCCACTACTCTTAGTCATATAAAATTAAAGTCATCGATCCATCAACGATTGATAGAATCTGGAGAAAAAGAAAGACTCAAAGCACATTTACGCCAAAAACTGATCGAATCTGGCTGGAAAGATGATATCAAAACATATTGCAAAGAATACATAAAGAAAAATGGAGAAAACTTGACTATAGAACAATTAATTCAACATGTAACACCAGAAGCAAAGAGTAAGAGAGAAAAAAAAACAAAAAAACAATATAGATAATTGATCCAACAAATACTAATCACTTTTTTATTTTATTTTTTAGATAAAGTACCAGGACCAGTTAAACAAGATTTAGTAAAGAGAATAAGAAAGTTTTTAGTTCCACAATCAACTCCAACTTCTCCTATACTACATCATTAATTACATTCAATTGACATTATTAGTCTCGACCACACCCACCCACATTCCACAAACCCTCCTCTTCCTATTCCTTTCATTCAATTTATTCACAACTTGAAATATAATTTCAATTTAACAAAATCATCGACTCGGTCGAAATGGAATTTCATCATGTCTCTGGAAACAACAAACAAAAAGATAACAAGGTATTCCCAGATACATACAACAACAACCACAACCAAACAACCAACCAACCAACCAACCAACCAAACAACAATAATTGTAAATTTATAAAATCTCCATAAAATAAAAATGAACAAGATGATGATGGGATTGTCCAACTACGATGATGAATAAATGGACAATCTCTAAATCATCTTATTCAATAATTAAAAAAATATATATAATTATAATTATTTGTTTATTAAGATTTATTTGACCAAGATGATAATTGACTGGCAAAGGGACATCCATGTTGAAGATGAAGAATTGAGATTTCTTTCTCTTGAAGTATCTTGTTTGGGAGTTGATCAAAGTGTTTGGACTTGTTTCAATCTGGTAAAGATGAAATAATGAAAAGATGAGGTGTTGCCCCGGATAATGAGCATATTCCCGTATCTAATCGCATTAATGTGAGGTGAGTTAGCTCATTGAGTAAACAATAACCCATCCAAAACGAGTGAGGTTGTACTTTGATTTCAATAGTCTTTCGAAAAACTATAAACAAAAGATAAAAAAAAAGGGGAACTTCATAACAGATACAGATACAGATACAGGTACGAGTATAGTAGAATAGTATTCGTATTAGTAGTAGTGGTAGTAGTAGTAGAAGATAATACAATATTGAAATGGCTGATCCTGCAACTAAAAGATCTGATGAACTCAGACAACAAGGTAACAGAGTAGGTATACTTACTAATGTTATAGTTCAAACGACTACGTACTAGACTATATATAATACAAAGGACTTTTAAAGTCTACCTATACTATACTATACTATAATACTAATTTGCTTTTTAATACTTTTTTGTAGAAATACACTGAAAAGGATTATAAAGCAGCTATAAAGTTTTATGAGGAAGCTCGAACATTGACACCAGCCGATGCAGCCATTCCTTCAAATCTAGCAGCTTCGTTTTACGAGTTGGGTATGTACGACAAGGCTTTGCTTTACAGTCAGAGAACCATTGACTTGTTGGAAAAGGCTGGAGAAGATCCAAAAAAGTTGAGAAGAAAGAACTTGATCCGTCTTGCAAGAATATACTATATGGTGTCGCCTCAAAAGAAGGATCTCAAGGGATTCGCTCGCGCAGCATTCAAACAAACAGATCTCGAACAAACCGACGACAATGAAGAGTTGGTCGCTATCCACAATCAAATTCAAGCTTTCATTAATGACGACAGTGTCCCCAAACACGAGAAAAAGGAGCGTGACGTCTTTACCAACTTGCCAAGACTACATTCAACCAAGACACCCAGTGTTAGAGAGTATTACACCTTTGGACATGACACTGCATCGAGTATTCTATTTCACTATGACGAGCGTATGGCCGACCGCGAGAATAAGGGTATCAGAATCAGTCAACACCCTAAATTATCATTCTTTTTTGGTGGCGTTGGAGATGCGCGTAACGTTATGATGTCTCTGTCTGACATTAACCGTCAAGTCACACAAGAAGGAGGTTCATCGATGGACATTAGCAGCATCAAAATCGACTTTGTTCTCAACGACGTCTTAAACACTAGTATTGCACGTTCCATCCTGGTCTTTATGATTTGCGAAGAGTTGGGTCAATACTCTTACGATGACTTGCAGAAAAAGAAAGAAGCAGCAAATCTCAGTGCACTCCTCTACTATATCTACCTCGGTGTTGTCATGCCAGAGACATTGTATCTTGATCTTGTCAAGCGTATAAAGTCATTTATCCAAATGGGTGACAATGGACAATTGCCATCGTGGATTGTAATCTCGCCGGCCACATGGAAGAGTGTACGTAAATCACTTGCATTTTGGATCAGTGACGATTTCCACGCTTCTACTAGATGGTTACTCAGAACGTTTGCACCAGAGATTGACAACTCGTTTTTGGACGGTCTCGACGACCAGGTCAGAAACGATCAGTACAAACTTGGCCAAAAGCTTGGCGAAGAGTACAAGAACCAACTTCCTATCCCCGTTCAATTGGAAAACTTCTTTATGAAGAGCTTCAAGATCCTTTACCCACCCGACCAATGTGATGCTGGCACTCTTCATCCAAAACTCAAGACATTGATGGAAGAACTCAAGAGCAAGAGCAAGGTCAACGACAAATCAGCCAAACAAATGATGGAGGATATTGCTGCCACTTGGAAGCCAAATTTGACTTGTATCGATCAAAAATGGAACATCAACAACACTAGCTCCAACTTGCACTTTGATCCAATCCTCGTTGCCGACAATTGTTTCAACGACGCTTGGATGACCAAGAGACTCAGGGAAAAGGCTACCGCCGCAAAGTCAAAGGTAGCAACTCCAACACTCTTTGAATTCTTTATCCAAGACTTTTATCAATGTGGTCAAGCTATTCATAGACTTGGCAAGTCTGGTCATCTCGTCATGGAGTTTGACGTCAATGAAATGCACGACACCCTCGCCATGATTAGCGACAAGAAACGTGAGGCTTCCAGTCTCCCCATCATGTTTGATCGTATTCATCTTAGTAATGTCACTGATCACACTGGTTACATTACTCCATTCACTGAAATTGCTCAACTACTCAAGCGTAAAGACTATAGTTATATCTGTTTTGCCATTCTTTTAAATGTCAGTTTCTGGAAGGATATGAATGAACTCGTCTACTCCTACACTGGTATTCAAAACATTGGTGATTTCCCAAAGTACTTGGGTTTCAAGAAACTCTATGGTGATCTCTTTACCGAATATACCTATTGGCAACCAGTAGATAGTCCAAAAGAACTGGCCACCAAAGAAGAAATTACTCAATGGATTTTTAATTTATTTGTTAATTTTGGTATTCCTGCTCCAATGAATCCAAGTACGAAACAAAAAAAAAATAGACAAAAAAGATTGTAGATTATTAACAATTGTTTATTTTATTGTTTAGGCCAAATTTGTATTATTAATTCACCAAATAATCTTAGTGCAATCTTTAAGGTATTAACTAGATTGAATGAAATTGGATATCCTATTCATTGGTTGACAAGTATTTTGGAGAGTTTGTTGTGTGGTGCCATCAATACAACGGCAACGATTCCAGGTCAAAGAGTCATCAAGTACATCAAACAATACATGAGAAAGTACAACATTTTGCCATGGCAATTAGAATTGTCAACATTGACTGGTCTTTGGACTGAACGTCATGGAATTAGAATCAACTCACCAACAGCCATCTACAAGGTACCATATCCAGGTCAAGTCCAACACTACAGAATTCCAATTCAAATGATCAATGAATTTATTCCATTCTCTGGTGGAAGTGTCATTGTCAGTACATTGGTCGCTGTCATTGAATATCCATCAATGCCAAGTGATCGCAAGATTCAACGTTTTGATCCAATGGATTTCGATAGTTCACCCTTTGACGACACCATTAGAAACTCTTTGGTTGAAATTAAACATGCCAATTGGTTACAAATCGTTTCCGTTTGCAGTTGGAATGATGTCACTCGTCAATTAGACTTTTGGATGAGTAAAGTTGAATTCCAAAAACTTACTCAACTCGGTTGTACCGTTGCCGTATTCCGTAATGATAGTTGGAGAGTCATTTCAAACTCTTCATCTTTAACAAATGCTACTGTCATCTCTGATAAATAATTGTTAACAATTATATAATTAAATAAATATAAATAAATATAAACAATGAACCTTTTGTTATTATTACAATCTATTTTCAATGAATGGACAAGACCATCCAACCCATTTGAATTATTTTTTTTTGAAACAAAGGTACTCCTTCATTTTTTCAATTCTTTTAGATCAAAGTTTAAGTTATAATTTTAAACATTTAAATATATATAGATAGTAATAATGTCATTCGGAGGAGGTGAAGCTTGCCCAGTGTGCGAAAAGAAGGTATATTTTGGTATGTTTGCAAAATATAAGGATCAGTCTAGATAGATGCGACTTACTAATCAACTTCATCTCATCAATCACATGAATCAACTTTTTAACAACAGCTGAAAAGGCATTAGGACCACAAGGAAAATCATATCACAAGTAAGAATAGTCATTCAAATATTGATCAATATTACAAGATAACAACAAAACAAAACAAAACAAAACAAAAGTACACAAGTTATTAATCATTTTCCTTCAAAATCAATCAATCAATCAATCAAAAATAACAACAATCTAAAGGGCATGTCTTGTTTGTACTGCATGTAAAAAATCTCTAGATAGTACCAACTTGTGTGAAAAGGATTCAAAGCCATATTGCAAGGCTTGTTATGGAAAGAACTTTGGTCCAAAGGGTGAGTAGTTGTAGGCCATTATCCACATAACAACATGTTGCTAATTTATGTATTTATTTTATTTTTAGGCTTTGGTTTTGCTGGTGGAGCTGCAATCATGCACACCAACTAAACAAGTTAGAATCATTGGTGTATCTAATTATTATTTATTTATTCTAAAATGTGTCATATATAATTACAACAACAACAACAACAACAACAACAATAAACTTCCCTATCTACTCGTTTGGGAATTGATTTTACTGTACAAAATTTATATATTTATTTATTATTATTATTTAATGGTGATGATTAGAAGCATGTTGATCCAATTGAATTGATGAATCAACCAGAGAATTTAAAACTTTAATTTTATCTTGTAAATCATCGACTATATCCTTTTTGCATTTTTCCTTTTCTTCCAATTGTTTAGAAACTTGTTCATTTTGTTTTAATAACTATATAGATAAATAAAATGGTAAGAATTGGAAATAATATAATATTGATATTTAATACAAACATCTTGATATATTTTTGATAATCTTTCTTTTTCTATTTTCTTTAAATCATTAACTTGAATAAATATTTGTTCTTCTGGATGATTCATTAATCCAATTGGTAAACTATACAATAAAAATAAATGATAATATATCAGTCAATGGATCCAAAAATAATATTATTATTATTATTATTATTTCTTACCATCTTGAACCATTTGGTAATATTGGTTGTTCACGTAATAATTGTTCTAGTTCTGATAGTCTTGGAGCTATTTGACGTTCTCTACAGATTTCAGCAAAATCCTTTTTAATATTATCAATCAACGACGAACAGACGTTGGTGTATACGATAGAGAGGTATTGTTGTTGTTGTTTCATTGTCTGTTGACCCAATTCTGGATAACATTCTATAAATCTTGCATATGTGAATTCTTTCAATGATCTCTCTACTACCAAATCGAAAAACATCTTTAATTTGTTCATTCTTACTCCATCTTCTTCTCCCATCAATATTTTCATTATTTCATCTTCTTTGTTGAATGTTATATTATGATGATCATCTTGCATTAAACTTGTATCTGCTGCTGTATTTGGTTGTTGTTGTTCATTCTTTAAAGAAGAACTATTGTTATTATTACTATTTATAAATATCGATGATTTATCCATTGTGTGTATGTATGTATCTTTGTTTTGCAACAATAAAAGTAAATGACTGTTGTTTGTTTATGATCTAATTTAAAAGTAGAGTTTGAACATGTTAAGCAATACATCAGTTTTATTTCCCTCCTTTTTTCATTTTTTTTGAACTCTACTGCTGCTTGTGTGAGATCAATCATATATTAAACTAATCGATCGAAATTGAGTATTAAACAGAGTTATATACAAACTATATGGCTAGTCGTTCACTAAACAGTCACAAAGATGACTTTCAACAACCATTCACATCATATCAAATAGAGTTCTTTGCCGAAGACGATATCATCACCATCATACCAAACTTTAGAATGGAAAAGATAGTCTTTTTATCTGGTACATATGGACCTTTTGAACCTGCTTTGCCAACAGATGTACCTCTTTGGTTGGCTATTAACCTAAAGAAGAAAAAGAAGTGTAAAATACAATATCCATATTGGTTATCTATTGGTATGTTTGAAATGAATAGATATATATGTTATATTGAATCTGAAGATATACTAAACTCTCTCTTTTGCCTCTTTAAAGATAATTTACAAGAGAAATATAATAATGAAAACAAATCAGAGATAAAGTTTCAAGAGATGCATCCACATTATATAGAAATATCGAATCTAGTATTGTCGACAGCACCCGATGATTGTGTAGAGAATGTAAATGCAATCAGAGGATTGATAGAAGATATTAGTAATAGAAGACAATCTAAATTTAGCGAAACTATGGTTAAAGCATTACAATCGGTCGATGTCAAGTCACTTAGTTCATTGTTGATACAAAATATTACACAAATTGAAATCAATCGAACAAGAGGTGTCATTTGTTCAGGTTTCAATCATCTTCAATCCATTTCAAAGGTTTATCGACATCAAGATGTACCATCTTCAAATAATAGATATTAACGCGATTGCAATAGATATAATAATATAATGTACAAATAACCAACTATTACTACTTTTTTTTTTTGGTGATTTATAAATAAATCAAAAAATATATATATGTAATGCTATTTCCTAGGACTACCAATCCCCAATTGTTCATAAGATTTGCTCATATATTGATTGTTTTGGGAGTCTTAAATATTAAGTTCTTTGTATGACATTCGAATATAGAAAATAAAAATAAAGATGAGTCTGATGGAGATGGATGTTTTAAAATGTAATATAATATTATTATAATGTAAACAAAATTATATTATATTAATACGAATCGGTAATGAATGATAAATATTTAAAAATGTGTGGAACTAGTAATAAACTATTCTATACCAGGATTTGCGGACTTTAAAATCACCTGATCAAACACAATCATATTTTTTTTTAAAGACATACCCCAATTGATCATCTTGTTTATAATCATATCCATCTGAATATAGATAGATAGATTATATATTATCACAACCCTCTTTTTCTCCTTCTTTTTATATTTGTAGTAGAGAGTAAATAATATATATATATAGATAGATAGATAACATCATTATGAATATGACAACAACATCACCATTACAGATATTCTTTAGAGTAAAGGATAGAGTAAAGAAAGGTGTCTTTACAGGAACAACATTGGATGATTTAAAGTTATTGTTTATGCAAAAGTTCCCAGAGTTTCCTGGAGGTGTTGATTGTCCTTTCTATACAATCGATAAACACAATGGAAAGGAATCACTTTTAGATGATGTATCAGTACTTCAACAATTTCAAGAAATACTTGTTAGACATGAAAATGGTAAGAGATAGATAGATAGAAAGAAAGAGAAAGATAGATAGATATGATCATTGATTTAAACATATATATACTTACTTAAATACTTAATCTATCTACTTTTAAAAGAGGAAGATACAAAGAAAAGATCACCAGGATATACAGGATTAGATAAAGAAAAGATAGTATTGGTAATGGTTGGATTACCAGCTCGTGGAAAGACATATGTTGCAAGAAAGATATGTAGAATGTTGAATTGGATGTTGGTACCTGCCAAGGTATTCAATGTCGGAGAATATAGAAGATTGCGTATTGGTGCTGGTCAACCACACGACTTTTTCGATCCTTCCAATCCAGAGGGTATCAAGGCAAGACTTCACATGGCAGTTGCTGCTCTAGACGATATGATCTCGTGGCTACACAATGGCGGAAGAGTTGGTATCTATGATGCCACCAATAGTACCAAAGAGAGAAGACAATTGGTCCTCTCTCGATGTACAAGAGAAAAGATGAATGTATTATTTGTAGAATCAATTTGTAATGATCAAGATGTAATAGAAGCAAATATAAAAGAAACAAAATTATTATCTCCAGAGTATGATATACAAAAGAATGAATGGATTATATAATTAATATTTATAACCTTTATTTTTCTTTTCTAGTTATCAAGGAGCAGATTCAGCAAAAGCAGTACAAGATTTTAGAGAAAGAATTAAACATTATAACAAGGTTTATGAAACGGTTGAAGGAAATGATTTACAATATATTAAATTATTTGATGTTGGTAAAAAGATTGAAGTCAATAACATCACTGGTTACATACCAAGTAGAATCGTATTCTTTTTGATGAATCTCCATATCCACAACCGTCCCATTTGGTTGACAAGACATGGTGAAAGTGAGTTTAATGCAACCAATAAGATCGGTGGTGACTCTGATTTGACAGAGCGTGGAGACAACTATGCACATCAACTTGCTGTCTGGATCTCAGACTGGTGTTCAAAGGTGCGTGCCGATGGATACAATGGAGAAGTGGTCGTTTGGACATCGAGTTTAAAACGTGCCATTAGAACCGCTCAATACATCTCTCAACCAAAGGTTGTAATGAGAGCTCTCGATGAAATCGATGCAGGTATCTGTGATGGTATGACCTATGAAGAAATTCAAGAAAAAATGCCAGATGAAAGAGCTGCAAGAGATTCTGATAAATTGGTAAGAGAGATTTAAAATATTAATTTATATATTTGTGGTGTATAATAATTATTAATTAAATATTATTTTTTTATTATTTATTTATAGCAATATCGATATCCAAGAGGTGAAAGTTATGAAGATGTTATTCAAAGATTGGAACCACTTTTATTGGAATTGGAAAGAACCAAATTACCTGTACTTATTGTCAGTCATCAAGCTACTCTTAGATGTCTATACTCTTATTTGACTGGACGTGTCAAAGAAGAATGTCCATTCTTAAATATCCCTCTTCACACTTTGATTCAACTTACTCCAAAAGCTTATGGTTGTGAAGAAAAAACATTTAAATTATGTAATTAAAAGAATAGAAAAATAAAAATAAAAGAAAAGAAAGAAAAATGGAAAGTTGGATCAATCTATCTTTCTTTTTGTTGTAATATTAATTAATAAATACAAATGGATTGGTGGTATTATTTTGATAGTTTAGTGATAATAGTACAAATAGTTTATTAAAGATATTTAACCATCAAGTTCTTCAATATTGGCAGCTTTGAGTTCATTGTTTTCATGTATTCCTTGCTTAAAAAGAACTTCTTGGATTATTTCAACAAACTTATCTCTGCCCCAAGCAAGAGACAACTGATAATTCTTACTTCTAGATGGCTTCCAAGTGAAGGATTTGATCTGTTTGGTATGATAGGTTCCATACTCGTCAACGGTCACTCTAACATTGGACAAGAACAACACCAACTTTTCACGAGCAAATGCAATATTAGTAGCGGTTTTTTGTGATTTCCAGTGAAGGAAAAACTCTGGGAAGAATGGCTCGCTGTGTTGTGGAATGGCAAAGAGAAAGGTTTCAATATCTGAAGATTTGAGACCACTCGATACCTTTTCACTAAATTGGATAGCTCTTTCCATTTTGAGATAGATTTCTTCACGACGGAGTTGGACTTGATTGTAGGTTGCTTCGACACAAAGCAATGGATCCTTGGTAGTGTCACTGAAAACACCGGCTAAAACACTGGCAGTGGCAACCTTGTTGGTACGATAGAGAACACCTTGGGTAATCATTGCACGCATCTTGTTGATGTGCAAGGTGTATCTAGTTTCTTGATCGATTGGAGTGGCAGTTGGGAAATACTGGTAAGCACATTCCATATAATTACCAATACTGACAACCTTGTTACTGTTGGATGCATAGACATTTTTAATATATTCAATCCATTCGCTTGGTGCAACACCATAGCGCTTATCAATCACATCGAATCCATTATAGTCGGTGATCGAAGTGGTAGAGTCTGGTGATGATGACTTGCGGTATGATCCATTCAAAATGCCTCTCCAAGCATAAACAAATTGCAAACACTTGAACAATGAATCAAGAGTTGGATAACCCTTGGTTTCAAACAAGTTGGACATTTTACTAATCGCGCTAAATGACTTGCCCTTTACATTCTTGAATGAATCATTCTTTTCTGGACGAGAAATTGGATCCAATGTAATATTAAAATATTCCTCTAAATCCTTTGATTCTGGTTCAAATAATTTAATATCTTTCTTTACTTCATATTCCTAAAAAATAAATTAATTAAATAAATTAAATTAATAAATACAAAATTGTATATATATATTTTCTTTTTCTTTTTTAACTTACAGATAAAGAATTAAAAAGTTGATCAATTGATTGTTCTTGATTTGTTGACTTATCGCCTTCAACAACATTAATAATAAATTGATCAATGATATTTTGTTCCTTGTCTCTAAAGTAACCAAAACAAGAACGACGAATAGCAGATTCGAGGACAGAATCCCAAAGCTTTGTCCAAACATTTGGATCATCGATGATTTCCTTTAATTCTTGGTCAGTGTGCACCAAGAGATAACCGAGAATGACAAAGATATTCTTTGGTTGTTCAGAGATGTGGTAGAGTGGCTTGGTGAGTAGAGCAGTCAATTGATTCTTCATGTGAGCAAAATACTTGAATTGAAGGGCAATCTCACGACAGGTACGGATCAATTGCAAGACGAGGAAGAGTTGTCTCTCACCCATATCTCTTGATACCATGGTTCCGAGAACCAAAAACAATGCGTTTAATTGGTCGTATTGGTAGGCCATTGGATCAAGAGTTACAAAATAGCCAAGAATGCTACGGAGTTGGCAGCTGGCAGTCTTCCAATGCAATGGATGCAAGTAGAGTGGCAACCAACTGTTGATTGGTTCACGACCACGACCACGAATAACACTGGATACATTGTCAACCTTGGCACTGCCATCAAAGCCACCAGTGGCCTTGTCCTGTCCCTTGGCAGCGATTTCCAAAGCGAGTGCATCTTCGATCGAAGACTTTCCAATAAAGGTGGTGGAGTAGTCGACGATACGCAATTGGGTTGGATCGTCAATAACTGCTTCTGGACGCTGTACAGCCAAACCAAAGCCCAAAACATCCTTTTCTTCAATCAATTCGCTCCAATTGCAGAGAGACAAGGTACAAGAAAAGAGTTGGAGACTGGCCTCCAAGAGTTCCTTTTCAACTGGATCTGAAATATCCTCCAACTCTTCCAAACCATCAACCTCTAATGCGGCAAGTCGTTGGGCGTCAGACATCATAGCCGATGCGTTTCTAGTGACCTTGGCAGTAGCACGTCTTTGACGACCAGCATTTCTAAACATGAATTGATAAGAAATATCAGCCATACGTGCAGCTGCAACAGCATTCCAATCAGACTTTAACCATTGATTGACAATCTCTGACAGCTTGGAAGAGAGGTTTTGACAGTTGGTCTTGAGATTGATGACTTCTTGACGTGCAACCTTGTCCTTTCCAATGACTGAAAAGATGGTAGTATTGTCAATTTCACGCAACTCTTTTTGAAAGGCAAGAATACGCTTTGAATAATCTAACTTGTTTTCTTGAGTTGGAGTATTTTTAGCATCATGTTTCTTGAGTACTTCCATCAATGTCTTGAGTGATGATTCAATACGAACTAATTGTAAAAGATAGACCATTGATTTGTTGTTGGCCTGTGTGGCAGATGGACGGGTTGGAATGATATGGTTGGTAGTTGCCAAAGATGTACCTACTCTAATATCCAATTCCAATGGTTCAGAGGTTGTTGTTCCGGTAGAGATTAAGATGGCTGGTGATTCAGATCCAATACAAATCGATGTATTAATTTCAGAGTCACCATTTGCATCCAATGCAACGGTAAAGGTGGCAGTATGACTACCAGAGTCTAAAAATGTGATATGGTCACCCTCTGCAAACGACACTTGTACCGATGCAGTGTCAGAGTTGGCCAATACCAATCCAAAGATAAAACGTAACTTGTCTTGGAGTGCGTGTGGACCATCGGATGGATCACAATACTGATACACACCCTCCTTGGTACCAAGCATTCTACGGATACCATCGAGATCGGTAAAACGAGAGTTTTCAGTGAACCCCATTGTATGAACAGTGATGGCAGCACAAGTAATCGATTTGATCAATGATTTCAAACTTGTAAAAGCAGCCTTTTGGTCACGAACAGTTGTATGACTGCCATCTGTCAAAAAGATGATGGAAGTATCAGTCTTTGGATCATAATACTTGTCGGAAAGGAAATCAGTTCCCTTTTTATAATATCCACGTAAAATATCTCCACATAAATTAAATGTAGCTGCAAAACATGTCTTTCCAGTTGGTCTTTCATTTTGAATTAATTCTTTATAATTATCTAGAGAAATGAAATATAAAATATTAGTTTCAATATATTTTATAATTAATTGTATTTATGTATATTTACCCTTTGTCCATTTCATTTGATAAGCAGTATTATTGAAAAAGATGATTTCCAGGATTACTTCTTGATGATGATTAAAAACAATTTGGAAAAGTGACAAGAGAGTGCTTTGGATTTGTGGCCATACGTAACGGATCGACGCACTCTTGTCGACCAATACAATCAACATTTGCTTTCTATCGCTAGTGTTGACAGGTACATGAATACTGGTACGAAGAATACCATCAAATGTTACTGAGTCATCGTATGTTGATGATGACGATGAAATATCAATTGATGATTGAGCATAAAATGTGTTATCCTCACCTGATGTTACTTCATTTTCAGTAGTAGTGGAAGTGGTGGTTGATGTAGTATCAACCTTATTGTTGTTGACTTGGTCATTGCCAAGTGATTCAGAGATTGGAGGTAAAATATCCATCTTTAATTGTTGTTTAATAATAATAGTGTCTTTGTTGTTATGCTAGGAGATATAGTAGTTGATGTTGTTGTTGTTGTTGATAATATAGATTCTCTTTTCTAATTCAAACATAGACTGTCTCTTGTGTGTAGGTGTATGTATATATAAATAATAATAGTAATAAGTAGTAGGTAGTAGTTATATAATTATCAATAATAGAATGTTATGTATAATTAATTAATTATTGAATGATTTGCTTTCACAAGAAGAAGAAGATGCTGCTGATGTGCATTATTAAAAGCACTCAATTCAATCTCTGTCTCTTTTAGACATTATTATTCTTCGATCTATCGCATATCAGTGACAATGCAAACAAGAAATAATTAAAAAAAAGATGAAATTTTAAAGATAGTAATCCACCATTTTAGGGCATCGACCCTTCATTCGAACACATCGATCTCTCTCTATTGTTTTGATTCTTTGTAAAATAAGAAGAGGAAAAACAATGGAACTTTTAAAATGTTTATTTATATAACTTTGAAATATATTATTATTTTTACTAGTGATAATAATATAGTAGGTTCAACTCATCATTCATGAACTGATTATTACTACCCAGTTTCTCCTCCTCATGATATTTTATTTTTTTTGATTTATTTATTATTTATCTTAATACCTGGAATGGAGAATTATTATTATTATTATTATTATCATTATTATTATTATTATTATTATTATTATTATTATTATTATAATTATTGTAATAAAATATCGCTTTCAAGAAAAGGTTGACAGACGAAAAAATCATATGGTTATAAAACATTCGTGATTGATCCATCAGCAAATTCAAACTAATATTACTTTAACAACAAATACTTACTTACTACTAATTAATAATAATATCTAGTATATTATTATTAATACTATTACTATTACTATCAACCCAACCACCAGTGAACAATGTTACAGATATTCCAAACATTATCAGGTCTAGCATTAGTGGCTGTATTAATGATTCTAGGTAAATATTGAAGACTAGTAGTCATATGATGTTATCCAAACAAACAAACAAACATTTAATCTAACTCACCTATTCAATCATCATTTACTACAGGATGGTTTGTAATGTGGAAGATGTACTTGTCTAAATATGAATTTGTTAGAGAATTGATGGGTTACAAAAAGGATGCACTTAAACCTAAACCAAAGAGCAGAAGAACTGGTCCTGTAAAATTAAACTTTGTATGGTAAACCAAGATAGTTCTTTGTGTTGTACAACAATATTAATTTAGTTACTAACTGTACATTTCTCTAATTCAAAAAAGGATGATGATTCAAAACAAGATTAATCACAAACAACAACAATAACAACAACAAATTCACAATATCATTATTACTACCCTATACGATTGGGTGATGATGATGATAATTAATTAATGTACATTAATGATGAAAAAAAACATATAATGATATAATAGACACAACAAGAAATAGAAATATACTACGAACGATACAAACCAACCAACCACTCAACCTTTAATATTAATAATATATTGTAAATACACAATCAGCATGCGAATACTATACTATAAAACACAGCCCTATATCAATACAAAATGATTTACTTGTCCATTGTACGAACAAGTAATAATCCATCCCCCTATCTTACATCCCATTTTAACAGAGATATATATATATATATCTCTGGAACAAATTTGTTATAAATTATTTCAAGTTTATTATTATTATATAGTTTTAAAAGAAGAGGTAATATTTGATGATGATGTTGTTGTATTTTATGATATTGTTGTTGTTGTTTAAATTCTTCATTTTCTTTAAGAAGATTTAGATTTAGCAACAACTTTACCCTTTTTAAATGAAGATTTACCTTCAGAGATGGAGGTAATATCCTTTTCGAAATCATCTCTGCCAACCTTTTTCTTTTTGATTTGGGCAGTCTTTTTAGCTTGCTTGGCGTCGAGTTTGAGCTTTTCTTGTGGAGTTGGACCAGCATAGATACCGGCACGGCGAAGGGCTTCGATACGCTTGGTCTCCTTGCCAGAGGCACGTTGGTTGTTTTGTTCGGAACGGAACTTTTTGGCAACCTCCTTTTTGGATGGTTGGCCTCCAGACCCTCCTTCAAAGGCGTCCTCTTGCTCGGCCATATCACGAGCCATTTCTTCACGATGCATAACACTACGACGTTTCTTACGAGACATACCTGCATATGGATCCTTGGGTGCCTTTTTGAGGAGAACACCCTTTCTGGCGGGTTTGCCACCTGCGACAGGCTTGCCGTCCTTGTCCATCGACACGATACCATTCTCAGTCTTCCATGCCTCACGTGACTCTTCACGCTCCTTTTTACTTTGGAACCATACACGCTCCATCGGTGCAGCTTCGGGGATGATACCGCCGTTGTCGGTGATGAGCTTCTTGTGGCCGAGGGCGTTGGCGACGATACGCTCAGCCTTCATGAGATCCTTTTCCGTCTTTTTAAAGTCGAGTTCACGCAACTCTTCACGAATAATGTCTTTGACGTCGTCGGTCATCTCGTCGATCTTGGCTCTCCAGAGTTTGATGGATTCTTGGGCGACGGTACGGCTCTTGGCCTTTGTCTTGGCACGCGACACGATATCCTTGAGGATCTTGCGGTCGGCTTCGGTGATGAACGAGCACGAACGACCGGCGAGACCGGCACGAGCGGTACGACCGACTCTGTGGATGTACTGTGCAAGACTACGTGGCATGTTGTAGTTGATGACGGTACGCACACCGAGCACATCGAGACCACGGGCAGCGATATCAGTGGCGAGCAAAAAGTCGACCTCTCCATTACGGAACGACTGCAATGCTTCGAATCTCTGCTCCTGGTTGAGATCACCGTGCAGCTCGCCGACTTTGAGACCCGAGAGACCGAGTAAGATGGCGATACGATGCACCTCCTTTTTCGAACGGAAAAAGACAATGCAGCCTCCACCGTTGAACACACGCGTGCACAGGGACAGGAGCATGGCGGTACGGTCGGCCAATTGACCTGGCTTGATCTTGATAAACTCTTGTTCGAGTGTGCTGGCGACCTGGAACAACGCGTCTACAGCGACACGCACCGGCTGGCTGAGCGACAGCTTGGCGAGCAACTTGACATCGTCGGACAGAGTGGCCGAGAAGAGCAGTGTCTGACGTCCGTCTGGACAACTCTCTACGACTCTGTTGAGTTCATCTTTGAAACCCATGTCCAAGAGACGATCGGCTTCATCAAGCACGAGAATCTCAATGTCTTCGAGACCGACGTCGTGAGCATTTAAAAGATGGTCAATCAAACGACCGGGCGTGGCGATAATGACATCTGGACGTTTTCTCAACTCGTGTTCCTGCACCTTGTTGGAGAGACCACCCACCACAAGACACGACTGCACGTTTGTGAATTGAGCCAACGATTCAAACACCGAGTGACATTGTAGTGCAAGTTCACGTGTTGGCAAAACAATCAACACACGACTGACACGATGTGTAGCGTCACGGTACAATAGACGCTCTAAAATAGGCAAGATAAAGGCGGCTGTCTTACCACTACCAGTGGTAGCACTAGCCAATATGTCCTTGCCGTTGAGAATGAGTGGGATTGCCTTGGCTTGGATAGGTGTTGGTTGAGTGTATCCAAGTTTGGCAACAGCCTTTTGAAGTGGACGTGATAAATGCAGTTCTTCAAATGTTGGTAAATCCATAACTACCTCTTTCTTCATTCTTTTGTTTGATTCTAATGTCTTTAATGTATCCAATGGTTCTACTTTAACTTTTGGAATTGATTTGTTGGTATTGTTATTTTTTGGTACTTTTTGTTCTTCCTCTTCTACTTCTTCAACTTCTTCAACTTCACTATCACTATCACTATCACTTTCATCTTGTTCCTTTTCTTCATTATCTTTAATATCTTCATCGTCTGATTCATTTTCTAATTCTTGGTCATCGCCATCTCCTTCAACCTTTACTTTTGTATCTTCACCTTTAAACTTTTTCAAATCTAATCTCTTTTTAATCTTATCTTCTAATGATGTTATATTTGGGTTCTATACAGTACATATCAATATTAACATGTTAATAACAACACCAACTATAATAATATCTAATATTCATCTTTTCTTTCATTAAACACATACAGATGGTTGAGTTCTCTTCATCTTTTCAATGGTTGGTGCAAAATCCCATGGTAATACTACTTGTGCTCCTTCTTCAAACTAGTTTATCAAAAATACATTAGTATTTGTATATTTGATTGATAGATACTACTATGCTATCTTATACTACATACATCAAACTCTTCATCCATATCATCTTCATTTTCAATTGTTGGTGTTGCGTTATTATTATTGTTATTATTTTTAGTAGTAGTAGTAGTTGATTCCTTTTGTTTCTTTGTCTTTTTCTTTTTCTTGTTTTCTATTTCTTCTACTTCATCTTCTTCGGCTTCACTTTCATCATCCTCGTCGATATCTACATTGGTGTCTATTTCTTCATCGTCGTCGTCGATGGTCATAACAAAGTCATCGACCTTTCTCTTGACTGATTTGTTTACTACCATCTTCTTTATATTTATATATATATCGCACAATAATAATAAACACAAACAATAATAATAATACTCTCTCTGAGGTAGTGTGCAACTTTCGTTCGTTTTTTGAAACGAGATTTTGTATTGCCGCCGAACTTCGAAATTAAATATTATTAATAATTTTTTATTACTAGTACTATTAACTTTAATGATAAACTTTCTGTTAACAGTAGTTAATGATGATAATAATGAATTTGTTGGTATTCTAGTTTCATTGGTTTGGTGTATTTGATCAAAGATTACAAAGTTTGTTAGGGTATCCCATTTTTTGAAAATCACCAATTGAATGAAGTTGCGAAAACTATGATCATTGACCTATTCATTAATATATTTATATCTAACTATCTATCTTCTTTTTTTTTTTTCATATACTTACTTACTTACTTACTTACTTACTTTAACAACAACAAACAAACTATATTGTTGTTCATAGAGAAAGAGAGAGAAAGATTAGTTGTTTTTTTTGTTTATACATATCATTTACTACCTATATATATATAAATAATGTATCTTTATAATCTTACATTACAAAAATCAACAGCAATCTTTCAATCAGTAAGTGGAAACTTCTCAGGATCGAAGGCAGTAGAAATAATCGTATCGAATGGACATGCATTAGAGTTGTTGAGACCCGATGACTCTGGTCGATTGGATCACGTGTTGTATAGTGAAGCATTTGGTGTCATTCGTTCAATAGCTCCTTTTAGATTGACTGGTGGTTCAAAAGACTATCTCATCGTTGGTAGTGACAGTGGTCGTGTTGTCATTCTCGAATACAATCCATCAAAGAATGTCTTTGAAAAGGTACATCAAGAAACATTTGGTAGATCAGGTTGTCGTCGTATCGTACCAGGTCAATATATTTCAACTGATCCAAAAGGAAGAGCTTTTATGATTGGTATGAAATTAATTATACACAAATATATTATATATCATACTAGTTAGTCAATACTTACTTACTTTTTACATTCTTTTTTAATAATTACTTTAGGAGCAATTGAAAAACAAAAGTTGGTATATATTTTAAATAGAGATTCACAAGCTAAACTATCGATTAGTTCACCTTTGGAAGCACATAAAGCACATACGATCGTATTCTCAATGTGTGGTGTAGATGTTGGCTTTGAGAATCCAATCTTTGCGACCATCTCGGTCGACTATTCGGAAGAGACAAATATCGAGGACGTTGAGGAGACTCACAACACAAAGGTATTAACATTCTATGAATTGGATTTGGGTCTCAATAATGTGGTTAGAAAGTGGAGTGAAGAGGTGGATAGAAGTGCGAATCTAGTCGTGTCGGTGCCAGGTGGCTCGGATGGCCCGGGTGGTGTGTTGGTGTGCGCACAAGGTCGTGTATACTACCGCAACATAGGACATGCCGACATATCAGTATCGATCCCACGTCGCAATGGAATGACTGAAGAAAAGTCACTCATGATCGTGTCGCATGCATCACACAAGCAGCGTGACATGTTCTTTTTCCTCGTTCAAAGCGAGTATGGAGATCTCTACAAGATTACATTGGATTATTCAGGAGAGATGGTGTCGGGTATGCAAATCGCCTATTTTGACACATTCCCAACAGCCAACTGTATTACAATGCTCAAGAATGGATTTTTGTTTGTGGCGTCAGAGTTTGGCGATCATGGACTCTACCTGTTCAAGTCGTTGGGTTTGGATGATGCACCGACGGCCTCTTCGGCCGGTAACACTGAGATGGTGTTTTTCGAGCCTGTCTTTGAGCCGCGCAACTTGGTGCTGACGGCAACCATCTCGTCGCTGTCACCAATCGTCGACTTTAAGGTGGCCGATCTTGCACAAGAGGGAACACCACAGATGTACGCGTTGTCGGGTGTTAGCGAGCGTGCCAACCTGCGCGTGTTGCGTCACGGACTGCCCATCACGCAGATGGTCGACTCGCAGTTGCCCGGCACGCCCGCAGGCATCTGGACGATTCCACAGAGCTTGACGACGATGCGTAACCCGCAGTACCAGGGTATCGGCACGGTTGAGAGCCCGGCCGACCGCTACATTGTCGTGTCGTTTGTCGGTAGCACGTTGGTGCTCGGTGTCGGCGAGACGGTCGAGGAGGTGCAAGATTCGGGCATCCTCTCCACCACCACCACCATCCTCATCCGGTCGATGGGTGCCAACCTCGACTCGATTGTACAGATATTCGCACAGGGCATCCGTCACATCAACGCCGAGCGTCGTGTCAGCGAGTGGCGCGCACCCGGAAGAAAGACCATCTCGATCGCCGCAGCCAACCAACAACAAGTCATCATCTGTATCGGTGGCAGCGAGATTATCTACTTTGAACTAGACCCCGCTGGAAACTTGACAGAGGTCTTTAAAAAGGACATGCGTAAGGACATTAATTGCATCGAGTTTGCACCGATCCCACGCGGTCGTACAATGTCTCGATTTGTAGCAATATCAGATTATGACGGACCTGTCCGTATACTCTCGTTGGAACGTGACAATATGCTCAACCAAGTGTCAATGGTAGACACTGATCGTCAACAAGTTGAGCAACTATGTGTCGCTGAACTCATGGTACATGAACCAGGTGTCGACCAACAAATTGTAAACACACAACGTCAGGGTACACTATTCCTCCACATTGGTCTAAAGAATGGTGTGCTAAAGAGAGCAGTCCTCGACGGGTTGACAGGTGAGATATCAGACATGCGTACACGTATCCTTGGACGTCGTCCCATCAAATTCTTTAGAGTCAAGATCAAGGGCAGTCCTGCCGTCCTTGCATTATCGACTCGTGTGTGGATGTGTTATTCCAACCTCGGTCGATATGAAATCACCCCTCTCTCTGTCGAGCCACTCGACCACGCCGCATCACTTTCCTCAGATCAATGTCCCGAAGGTATTGTCGCCACCAGCGAAAACAACCTCAAGATCTTTTCCATTGAAAAGTTGGGCGACCTCTTTAACCAAGTGCAAATCCCACTCTCTTGCACACCCAAGCGATTCGTCGTTCATCCCCAAACCAACTATATTGTCTCGATCGAGACTGAACACAATTTTAGCACTCAGTTTGAACCCGAACTCGCACAAGATCTCGAAATGCCACGTGCTGGAAAGGGCAAGTGGAAGTCGGTCATTCGTATTTTAGATCCAGTATCAAACCAAACATTGGATCTTGTATCTCTCACCAACAATGAAGCTGCATTCTCAATTGGAACGGTCATGTTCCAAGAAGGTGAGGTCATGTTGGCTGTAGGATGTGCCAAGGATGTTCAGTTGCAGCCACGTGGATTCTCGTCCGCATCTATCCATCTCTACCAGTTTGTCGAGAATGGACAAAAGCTGGCGTTGGTGCACACCACCGAGACGGATCTCATCCCCCACGCAGTCGGCTCGTTCCAAGGCAAGCTGATTGCCGGTGTTGGCAACGTACTACGTCTCTACGAGCTCGGAAAAAAGAAGTTGTTGAGAAAATGTGAGAATAGAAAGGTGCCAAACCAAATCACATCGATCCAATCGCAAGGTGACAGAATCGTAGTGTCTGACGTCCAAGAGTCGGTACACTTTTTCACATACCGTCGCTCCGAGAATGTATTGGTGTTGTTTGCCGACGACACCGCGCCACGTTTTGTTACGTCGTGTGTTATGCTCGATTTTGACACGGTTGCGATTGCCGACAAGTTTGGAACGATTGCAGTTGTACGTATGCCACCTAGCAGCGACACTGACATTGACATTGAAAATGAATTGGATATTGGAACGTTGACGACCAAGTCCAAGTTGGCACTTAACGGTGCAGCAAACAAACTCGAACTAGTCGCTTCTTTTTATGTTGGTGAGACTTGTTGCAATCTGACTCGTACCTCGTTAATGGTCGGTGGCAGTGAAGTCATTATCTACACCACACTCGGCGGCGCTATTGGTGCATTGATCCCATTCAGCTCTCGAGAGGAAGTTGATTTCTTTGCCCAACTGGAAATGCAAATGCGTCAAGAAAAGGAGTCATTGTGCGGGCGTGACCATCTCTCCTATCGTTCCTACTATTTCCCTGTTAAAAATGTCATCGATGGCGATCTTTGTGAACAATACTCTACCCTAGATGCCACCAAACAAAGATCAGTTGCTGAAGAGTTAATTCGAAATCCATCTGAAGTTTTAAAGAAATTAGAAGATATAAGATCACAAAAATTATTATAAATCAAAATAAATCAAATCAAAATCTAAACTAAAATAGTATTTATTTATTTATTTATTTATTTTTATTTATAATTATGCTTTTTATAGAAAACTAATTGTAATTCATAAACATTGTGAAATGGTAGAGATGGTTTCTTTATGGTACAATCAAATTGATCACCCAATCGATTCTTGAGGTTATCGGTAAGACTAACAAGATTAGGACAAGGTGCAGGTATCTTTTGTCGAAGTTTAAATTTGAATAGTGGTTTGCTTTCTCTGAGGTATTGGTCAAATGCAAGAGGATCATCCATAAATTTAGAAAATAGTGACCCTTCTTCGTAAGGTGCACCAAAACAAAGATTGGAGAGAGTCTTGCTTTGCATCAAGCAATCTGAAAAGGATTTGGGCACTTTGATTTGAAATGAAAAGAGTGTATCCAAACTCGATAGACATGGACTTTCTACAAGGATTCTACCGACACTATCCAACATTCCAGGATATGAAACGGTCAAACAGAGCGATGTCAACTTGCTCAGAGAATATGAACCCCCAAAAGAAATATTTACTTTGAGGATGTTCATGGAAACCGATTCGACATGATTGCATAATTCCAATTGTGCAGATGGTGGTAAAAAGTTGGCGTGGCATTTAAAATCCCAATGGCGAATCGATGGGTGAGACTTTATGGTTGAAACAAAGTCTGGATGTAAAAATGCAGTAGCATCTCGGAGGATACAAAGGCTAGAGTTTTGGAGCAACTCATTGTATGCTTTGAAACCATCTCCCGCAATCCATTCATGGCTGACACCAGACAAGTTTAACCTTTTCAACCGCTTGAATTTGGATAATAGCTGCATCAGACATCTGGGGATTTGTGGTATAATTAATCCCTCTAGGTTGTCTTGTAAAGGTCCATAGGACAGAACCGTTTGCATACACTGATCGGTTCCTCCAGGGATATCATAAAACACCAATTTCCGTAATGTATTGGCATGGGACTTGACCAACTCGACCAAATCCTTATCAATATTGACGCTAAGTACCAATGTACAAAGATGAGAAAAGTGTACCATATTATTATTATGTCCCATTGATGCACGTATGGTAAGTTGTTCGATACAATGCAACAAGTGACCATAGTCTTTTGTAAGCATATCCTTGACTTGTGCTTCCTTTTCCAGTGGATGATTAAATGTTATTCTTTTGATAATCGGTAATATATCGGTCACTTTCAATGGCTTCAACTTCTTCTCCTTCTCCTCCTCTTCCTCTTCCTCCTCCTCGTCCTCTCTTTCTTTGTTGTAATTGGTAATTGCATCCTTTAACAATAATAGTTTTGTAGTTTCACCATAGATGTTTGCATTTATACTATATTTAGATAAAGCACTTTTGATTATTTCGTGTCCATCTTTTTCATTAGACATAAAGCATATGTGTCTATTAAACCTAAACCATTTCACAAAGTTGAACCATCTCCAAGACACCCTTGATACACACATTGCAACCTCTTCCACTTGAAATTCACAACCTTCAATATATTTATCCAATATATCATCTTGAATATAATATGGTAATCTTGAAAATGACATTTGATATATTGGTAACTATCTTGAAGTGAAAGTTAAGAGTAAGAGTATCATCATTGTAATTGAGTAAAAAAAGGGTAAAAAAAAAATTAAAAAAAATTAAAAAAAAAGGTGATGTTCACTTTTTGATGATCATGAAAACTTTTATTAATTAAAATTATTAGTAGCAATAATTATTTGTTGTTATTTAATTGTATATATCAATCTCAATCAATCAACCTAAACGAATTATATATAGTGTTAAAAGAACACAACTTGTATAGATAAAAGACATAATAAATAATGGAAGCACCTGAATGGGTCGACAATGCAGTAGATTTAGGTGTATGTAGTAACAAGACAAAGACTATCTTTTATCTATCTATCTCTCTCTCTCTCTATATCTATACTTACTTATTACTTGCTTACCTTACTTAAATCTATATAGACTACAATTATGGCCGTTGAATTTGACGGTGGTGTTGTTATGGGAGCAGACAGTAGAACAACCACAGGTGCATATATCGCTAATAGAGTAACCAACAAGATTACTCCTATTCATGAAAAGATTTATTGTTGTAGATCAGGTTCTGCTGCCGATACTCAAGCAATCTCTGATTATGTTAGATACTATCTCGAAATGCATACGTATGTTTAGTTTAGATTCGGCTAACAGGTTATTAAGAAAGATGAAGATGAAATAGATCTATACTAATGATTTATTCTACTTTTATATATATATATTTAGACAAGAGTTGGATGATCAACCGGTAGTAAAGACAGCAGCTTCATTATTCCAATTACTTTGTTATAATAATAAGAACAACTTGATGGCAGGTATCATCGTTGCAGGTTGGGACAAGGACAAAGGAGGAAGCGTTTATAATATCTCTCTTGGTGGTTCAATGATCAAGCAACCATTTGCAATGAGTGGATCTGGTTCTACCTATCTCTATGGTCATTGCGATGCTCAATTTAAACCAGGAATGACCAAGGAAGAATGTGTAAAATTTGTTCAAAATGGTAAGAAATAGGATATATATTTATTTATATTTATCGTAAAAGTAAACTAATCAACACGGTTTGTTTTTATATTTAGCATTGGCATTGGCTATGTTCAGAGATGGTTCATCTGGTGGTGTTATTAGACTTTGTATTATTGACAAGGAAAATGTAGAAAGAAGAACTATTCCAGGCAACCAATTGCCAAGATTCTGGGAAGGCTAATTTGTTTTTATACATTATATTGTATTTAAATAATAATTTAATTCATTTTAAATTACACGATCCTCCTCTTCCTCCTCTTACGATCACTTTAAACCCCCAAACAAACAATAGAAACAACCAAAAAATAATAAATATAATAAAAAAAACCTACAACAAATACTGTTTTATATATATATATACATAATATACCTATTCTATTTATTTATTTATATTTACTATTTTATTTTATTTTAATCTTTTTTTTCTTTTCTTTTTTCTTTTAACTTCTTCTTCTTCTTCTTATTGATAAATCTTATTTAAAACAAAACCTTTGGTTGAGTGAATACAAAATACATAGTTTGAAGATACAATGTCATGGATCTTTGCCAATAATTCCTTGTCAGTGTCGGAATTGGTCTCCCAGAAACAGAAATAGGCACGGTTGACACTGGATTTGGCAAACACTTCAAAGAAGGGGATGAGAGGGAGCTGTTCGACTTGCTCTTTGGTGGAGCCACTACGAAGCGAGAGCTTGTCAAGCTTTTCGTTGACTTCGAGTAATTCACGTAGTTGATCGATGTGCTCGTTGGGGACACCGCCGACATAGGTGAGGTAGAGGTCACGGAGACTGGTGAACTCGGCATAGTTGTTGACGGCTCTGCCATTGGCAAAGGTAATGCTGAGGTGCTCATACTCTTTGTGCAAGACAACGTCGTGCTCGCCGACAACACTGAGGTTGATCGACTTGATGTTTGTCTTTTCGCCAAAGACTTGGGCGCTGATTGGAACGGTCTCAATGTGATAGGATGTGTAGATTGGCAACGAAGCAATCGAGTTGTTTCTGTACAAGAGGTTGAGGTATTCCTCACCCTTGAGAGATGGATCTTGGATGGCCAACGAGGTGACATTGGTCAAACTCTCTTCCATGGCATCCCATGGCAACTCGATGGTGACCGAGATACGGAAGTGGAGTGAACGCAAACTCTCTGGAATACTCTTGATCAATGGACGCAAGGTCTGGTGGGTACCTTCAAACGAGACGGTGAGGTTGCGCAAGGATGATGCCTGCTTGATGAATGGGTCGAGGTTGGACGAATAGGGTACGTCGAGGGAAACGATCGTGTCACGGACTGGTCCGAGTGCACGGATGACGTCTTGCACGCCGTCGGGTCTAAGAGACAACTCGACGGTACGAATGGGACGACAGGCAGGGTTGTTGATATTGTCGGCCTTGTACTTGGCAATAGCACCGATCATTTGGGCGATACCACCAGACACGTCCTTTTTAGAGAACTGTGCCAATGTGTGCGAACGTACAATAATCGATTCAACCTCGTCGAAAAAGTAGCCAGATGCAGTGACACCGTTGTACTTGATGGTGCCCGATGCAACGTGCTTGGAAAAGGCAGTGAGTTGATCACCCACCATATACTCCCATGCCGAGCTCAACGATGCACCAATGACGTTGTAGATGCTGTAGCTGACAATGTGCTCGCTCTTTTCCAACAACAACGTGTTGGGTGACTCGATCATACAGTAACGGTTGTTGGTGTGTGTCTTGTACTCTTCTGCTTTGTATCTGTATGGGTTGAATGGTTTGCTCTCACGTTGATTGTATTTGATTTTGCATTGATCAAACCAATGCCAGCTGACATGAGACAAAGCCATCGCTTGCTTTGTTGTATAAAGATCTGCTCCAATCCATTTCAAGTCCCAACAATAATGAATGATCTTGTTTTGTATAATATGTGGTAATTGATCCAACATTTTCTTATTAACTAAAGATTAGATATAAATATATAGAGAGAGAGAATGAAAATAGATAGATCTTAAACCTAAATATAAATAAACAAAATGTACAAAAAAGCGATGATGCTGATGAAATGAGTTGCAGAGAGCAGCATGATGTAAAGGCGTCGTCACTCTAGGTCATCAAAAATCAGATATTTTTCATAAAAATTTGATATTGAAAAAATAAGGGAAATAATCTTGTTTGGGCAAGTCTTGGTACTTTGGTAAAAATAATATAATAAATTTAGGTTGTTTAAAGTAACTAAATACTTGTGTTTGTTGTTGTTGTTTTACATTTCTTATTTACAAATAATTTATTAGTTTAGTTTTGTATCTTGTTACTTTTTAAATGACAGATAATCCAAATAATAATGCAAAGGAAATGATGGCTAGCGAAAAGTGAAAGGTACTGGTAGGTGAACTGGTAGACGATGGGTTTTGTTGGACCGATGATGGATCTTGTTGTTGGTTTGCTTGATTATTATTATTATTTTGCTTTTGTTGTTGATTGGACAATTGTGAAATGGGAGAAACTACTTTTTTAAAGGTATAATATTTTTGTCCATCCAATTGAACAAAACCAGATTGTTGTTGTTGTTGCGTAAAACTAGATTCACTTGATGGCAATGAAATGATTTGAATTGAATATTTACTATTATCATTGGCCAAATAGGATCCAACCATTAATAAATTTGAATAAAGTTGTCCTTGACTACCATGGTGATTCTTGATTTGATGATTGTTTTGAGTATTAATCGCTGGTTGTGGTTGTTGTTGTGGTGGTTGATAATAAACTGAACTATCAAAATTTAAATAATTGACAGATGATTTTTCATGTTCATGTACATTGAATTGATAGAATCTTGATGGAATAGAGATATAGGTCGATGAAACACCCTTTTTATCTTCTGGTAAATATCTAATCTTGGATAAAAGGGTAGCACCACCATGTACATCGAAATCAATAAAACTTGATGGCAAGTCATGGACACATTGTACGAATCGAAGATTTAATCGGTTTGGTGAAAAGTTTGATGTTGTTGGTTGTTGGTGTTGAGATGGTTGTTGTGGATTACTACTTGGTTGATCGGTATTAATATCAGATAAAATACTGACACTAACTCTTTCTTTTTCTTTCTTGTCGTCTACTTTTTGTTGTTGTTGTTGTTGTTGAGTCGATGATCCTTCTTCCATTCTTGTATTGTGATGTTCTACCTGAACACCACTCAATACAAGTGTATAGTCTGTATCGTTTTCCAAACGGTATATGGACTTGCCAACCAAATTCAAAGGTCTCTTGTCAGAGTGTTGAACCAACTCGATAGAGATTGGTCCTGTTGGAACGGTTATATAGTCGGTCAAAGATAAATAGGACAGTGCTTCAATCTTTTTACTTGAATTGAATATAACATCTACCAATAATGGACCATTATTGTTATTGTTGTTGTTACTGTCCTCTGATATAATAGTATTGATGATACGGATACGACATTGTGGTGGTTGAATGATGGCCAACGAGGAGGCATCTAAAGTGGATGATGGCGAAACTAGTATACTATTGATTAACTCGATTGAAGGTAGTATAGAGTAGGCATGTACTCCCACTACATTATTATTATTATTATTATTATATGTTGTTATACTACTAATGATTGCTATTATTAAAACGATTGAAATCATATAAACGTATCCTCTACTTGTTGTAAATAATGACGACATTGACGACGATGATGATATTTTCTTGTCATTCTTGTAACTATTACTATTATTATTATTATTGGTTATGATCGTCATATGAAAAAAAAAAGAGAGATAATTATAATATATTAATTAATTAATTAATATATTATTATTACTATATTGTTGTATATTATTTGAATGATCGTCGGCTAATTAAAAAAAGAGAGACACTATAAATAAATGAATAAATAATGTTAATTGTTTGTTAGATAATGAATGAGTTTTAATAATATTAATAATCAATAGCCAAATGGTAGCAGAGTTGTGTGTTTTAACCAAAGCCAATAATAATAATAATAATAATAATAGCAACAACTATCCTCGATATCTCCCTCTCTGTCTCTCTCGCTCCTCACCCTCTCTGTCTTTTTTTTTCTTTATATCTATCTATCTATCGTTCCACTCAATCTTTAATTCTAAATGCAATAGTTTAAAAAAATGAGGGAAAAGGCAAAGTGCACTTTAGATGATTCTATCGATAGACATATATATACAAATATAGTTATAAAAGTAGGAAGGAGAGAGTCTTGTGTGTGCGTGTGTTGGACAACAATACCTTTAATGCATAAAAGAACAAGTTAAGATAAAAGACTGAATCTATCTCTATCTATATATCTATCTATTTGTCTCTATCTATCTATCAGCTAGTTTGCTGCAAAAAGAAATAAATAAACAAATAAAGCTAGCTATTAATGGGTTTGGTTGTTGATGTTGTGATGGTTTGTTTTCCTGTGAGCGTGTGCGTTTAGTCAGAGTGTGTGGGTGTGTATGCAAAGAACAAGATGGTCGACCACAAAGAACAAACAGATAAAAAATTAAATTATGTTTGTTTGGATAAAGATATAATATAATATTAAAATACCAATATTACTACTACTACATACTACAACCATATTATTATTTTGTAGTATTTATCATTTATAACATTTGTTTCTTTCAATTATTATTGGTTGATGAGTTGACGATCGTCTGTCTCCAAAGTTATAAATATACAAATATGGTTTGGGGGTTTTAGTTCTTCTTGATGATTGGTTTGGGTTTGTGTGATTCGAGGTTTTGGTGATGTGGAAGGGTTATTGCTTGTTTGCTTGCTTTGCTGATCATCATCGATAGGGGGATGAGATGAACTTGATTGAAAACACACTTATAATGTCTCTTACAAAAATAGGGATGGGTTAGGAGAGGAGGAAGGGGATTGATCAATCTATCTATCTCTATCTTTCTCTATATTACTACAATGCGTGAATAAATAATAATAATAATAATGTTGTGATGTTGGATAATAATAATAATAATAATAACCTAGTGACTCAAATATCTATCCCCAATGAGTGCCATGGCTATTTAAAAATCTCTTGGTCGTTAGCGCTCACATCCTCAAGATTTTCGACAATTGTGGCGGTTTTTTTTTGGGGGTGTTCGTTCGCTGAGAGAAACCATCCTAGGTTAGGGCATCCTACCCCTTCGTATTAAACTAGACCACTCTCTCTGTTTCACAAGATTCGATTACATGAATAAAATAAATTAAATCAAAACAAACAATAAATATTGTTGGTTTTAAGTATTTCGGATTTTTAGAGTTTTACTTTGACCAATCCAAAAATCTACTATCCCCGTTTTTTTTTTGAAAAAAAAATAATTAAAAATAATATTATTATTTTTATCTTTGGAAATATTTTTGGATTCCAAAAAATATTATTATTATTATTTGGAATAAATTAATTTGAATTTAATATATTAATAATTATGTTCCTCTCCTCCAATTGTTTCCCTAATTTGATTGGATGGGAAATGGAGAGAAGAGAGAGAGCACAAGTTGAGACATCTTTCTTTTATTTGTTAAGTTATTTGTTTGTTTGTTGTGATTGGGAGTTTGTTGTTGTTGGTTGTTTATAATTGTACAAAAATTACTGGTTGGTTGGTTGTTTGGTTTTGAGTTGAAGGTAATGGAATGGAAATAAATAATAATAATAATAATCGTTATAAATATTTGGGTTGTAATTACAACTTGTGGTAGTGTTATGTGGTGGGTAGGGGAGGGGAGATTCAAAATAATTACACATTGTTGGTGGTTGAAGCACCTTGCGATGGTGAAGATGGTGATGATGTTGGTGGTTGTTGAGGATTACTATATCTCTTTGAAATGGCATCAGATTGACCTGCATCCTGGCTAAATGAATAGCCAGTGTAGCCGGCTGGATGGGAGTCTGATCCTTTGGGTTTCTTGTGTAGACGTTTTTCCTTGCGGGCGATTTCCTGAACGACGTGGTACGAGTGTGGACGGATGTCACGGGTGATATACTTCCACGAGAAGTCACGGAACAGACAGATGATGGGTACCATGATGAGTGTAAAGTAAAAGAGTGCCGACTGACCAGCACGATAGATGATGTCGTAGAGGTCAGATCCAACATCAAACGAGTTCATTTCCCAAAACTTGCCAAACACGAGAAGCCAGATAAAGTAGAGTACGATGGAACCCCAGGTGAACGCGTGGTTGAGCCATGTCCAGTAACGCACTTCGAGTGCCAGCTTGAGGTTGACTGTGATGACGATACAGCTGTAGGCGACTGTGCCGACGGTAAAGAGGTCGACTGAACGTCCGTCACCGTATGGGAGGCTGTGGCCGAAAATGACGGCTGGGAAGATATAGAGTACGAGCGAATGGAAGATGCCGTTGGCAACCCACCCCCAAAACACGCGCAGGTTAAAGTAGAGCTTTTTAGTACCCGTCTGGTACAGCTGCGAGTGCAGCGCGACCTGTTCCTCTGGCACGTCCTTGTCGAGGATACCGAGGATGATGACGGGGAACAACGTCCATGCGACATTGTAGGCGGTCAGAGTGAACCGTTCGTAGAATGTCTGACCGGACCACCCATTCATAATGGTGAACCAAAACTGCGTAATGTAGAGTGTAATGTTTTTGTAAAAGCTGTAGCAGATGAGCTTGGAGATACGACGGTACGAATAACGTCCATGCACAAGCAACAGACGCTGCAGGTAGCGGAACTGTGCAATGGCATAGTCGGACGACCGTGCAGCCTGCAAACCCTCCTCGCCCGAAATACCAACACCCACATGCGCAGCCTGGATCATGGAAACGTCATTGGCACCATCGCCAATGGCCAGCGTCACAGCGTCGAGGTTGGTACGCACCAGCAACACCATCTCAGCCTTTTGCAGAGGTGACACACGACAGCAAATGACCACGCGACACAGTTGAGCAAGTTGCAGGAGCAAGATACGTGATTGATCCTCTAGCGCAAACAACAGCGTGTTGCCGTCGATAATCAACGCCATATTGTCAATGTCCATGTCCGTGTCGGGGTTGTTGATCTCGTCGAGACGACGATTCAGCTCGATGGCCGTGTTTTCTCTGCTCTCTTCGTTGACGACGATCATCTCCATCTGCTGGGTCAACAGCTGTGCCGAGAAACCAATGTTGATGGCTGTCTCTTGCTTGTCGCCCGTCAACACCCAAATCTTGATGCCGGCTTGACGCAAGATACGGATGGTGTCGGGCACACCCTCTTGCAGCTTGTCTTCGATGGCAGTCGCGCCAAGCAGGTTGAGGTTCTTTTCAATGAGTTCGGCAACACGAGCTAGCTCATTGTCACGGTCGACAATCGAGTTGGACGCAGTGTAAAACTCTTTGTTCCACTGCTCGTAAAAGATGGGGTCAATCTCGCATTGTGCAATGCACAGTGTACGCAGACCCTCGGTCGCAAACTCTTGCAAATGGGTTATGGTAATATCACCGTACGTCTGGTTCTTGCCCAAACGCTCAAAGATGACCGTGTCGGCACCCTTGCAATACAGCATCAATCGTCCGTCGGGATGTCTGACAATAACCGACATACGTTTACGCGTCGAGTTGAATTCTAGTATATTCAACACTTCGTATGTCATTTCTTGGCCACGTACCGTCACTACCAACTGCTTGATGTTACGTGATGTAAACTCGAATCCAACCGACTTGGCCGCATTCACAAGTGCAGCCTCATCGGGTGATGATGCCTGGTACACAATACGACCCTCTTCAATCTCGGGAATGACAGTATGACAGACTGCAAGCACCGAGAAAAAGTCGCGAATCAGTGTAGCATGCTTGTCACTTACGTTGGGATGATCCTTGCTCAATCCAACCATTAGTTTTTGATCGTAAAAGCTTGGGCTCTGTACAAGACTTGGTCGCTCCTCGGGTGACTGTGGTTGCGAGAGATGCATATCATTTGTCGACATCTTTCCCTCTCTCAGCAATCTACCCATCGTTGCCTCTGTCATTCCACCTTGTCCATAAATCACTCCTGCAATTGTACATCTTTTGAATTCCATTTTATTTTGTGTTAATGTTCCAGTCTAAAAAATAAACAAAGAAATATTAATTAATATCATACTATCTTCTATCTATCTATCTATCTATTTGTTTGTTTGTTTGTTTGTTTTCATACCTTATCAGAGAAAACATATTCAACTTGACCCAATTCTTCATTTAAATTTGAAGTTCTAGCTAGGGCAGGAGTATCATTTTCCTTGTAATACATTTCTTGGTCATTGTTTATAAAATAGGCTTGGAAGACTTTAACAAATTCCATAGATACATAGAGTGAGATGGGAATTAGATTGTTGAATAAAATGAGGAAAGTGAGGAAGGAGAGTGCACCCTCTTCAACCGGTTCTCTGTTGAATGCCAAGTACCAGTTCTCGGGCACTGTGATGGTTTGCGATGGGTCGTTGGGATCGGGCATTTGCTTTGAATTTTGATTTTCGTTGGCCCAGAAACCATTGGCAATGGCACATGACGCACACAAAAGAATTTGGAGGAAAAAGATAATGATAATGAATTGATTGGTCATTTTCTCGACACCACTACGTTTCAGTGGCGTCGGACTAGAGTTTCGCACCAATCTCGAGTCTCGTCCAGTATACAATACCAAACCACACACCCATTTGGTGTTACGCAACATAGCACCTCTTAAAAGCAACTGACGGATTGATAATGGGTACCCTTTGCCATCGAGATAAAGAGACCCTACAAAATTATATAATCGATTGTTTGGATGTTCGCATTCAACATATCCATTTAATTGTCCAAGATTATCTACATTGTCTGATAAATATCCTGTCTCTTCTAAACTTTGTTTCATCTTTAAATTGGTTTCACTAAACAAAATTAAAAGTAAGTATTTTTGATCATTCTTTTCTTTTTGTTTCTTTTTTTTTTGTTTTGTTTCTTTTCTTACCCATCAAGATTTGCAGTTTCAATATAACAAATATTATTTGGTTCACTACTTGATATAACCAATAAATCAGAAGGGATATATTGTCGATTGGTAACCTTTACAATGTCGCCAACTTGGACATCCTTCCAAATCACCTCTGTAAATTGACCGTTTCTCAAAGCTTGAGTCTTGCTAAAGTTTACCTTGTCATCTTGTCTGTGACGATTGAAATCTTCCCATGCTTCTTTTAAAGCTGTGATTGCCAATACTACCAATAAAGGTCCCAATGTTGTAAATCTACCTGTTGGTGACACTCCTGGAATCAACTAAATGGACAAAATATTAATATCATATATCTATATCTATATAATATATATATTGTCTTTCTATCTCCTCCATTTACATACTTGTAATGCAGAAATGATCAAGAAATAAAAGTTTGCCAACCGACAAAACTGTTCGTATAGATTGAGTGGTAAAAAGGTGATGATTGAGTACTTGGCAGTCTTTACATAATTGCTCGTGTATTTATATGCTTTGTTTTGTTCTTGACTGTTTATATATATTTTTCTTGATTCACCTACAAAATTATCTCTATTTGTCTTTTGAATTATAAATATATATATATATAAGTATATTGATGATGATAGATTCCCTCCTTTAATCTGATTGATGATGATGATTGATACATACTAGCCATAAATACAATTTATCAAAGAAATCCAACTTTGGTGGAGGGACTTCAAACTCTCCACTATCGCGACTAGACAATGATTTCATATCTTGCATCTGTATTTCTGTTGGTTGTGTCTTTCCAGCTGTTTTGAAACTGTTGCTGAGGAATGGAGATGACGATGAATTTGATGATGTTGAATTCCTTCTATCTCTTCCTCCTCCTACTCCTCCAGGAGTGGTAGGACTACCTCCAGTTCCACTTTGAGCAAGTGATTGAATTTGCCTATTTGACATCTTTTTTTTTATACACTCTACTCTACTAGTCGAATCGATGAATTGGTATTACACTTGTACTGTTACTATATAATTGATTGTTATTGTATTGTATTTCCGATCCAACTCTTAAACTCTAAACAACAATCAAATCAAACTACTACCAACTAGCAGCAAGCAGCAGAGATCTCTAACTTTATATAATTTATATAATCTAAGGAATAATAATGATAATTAGTTGGGGATGGACTATAGTTCTCTTTTCTTAAATAAAAGTTTAGAAATGATGATGATGATGGTGATGATCTCTATCTCTTCTCTTCTCTTCTCCTCTCTCTCTCTCTTCTATCTATCTCTCTTTCTTTTTCAAAAAATGACTAATTTAAACAAATAAAAATGACTAATTTAAACAATAAAAGGGAAGGTAAGGTAGTAAGAGTTGTTGCAATCGGTGGTGATTGGTTTGATTTTGCTTCTTCTTTCTTTGCTCATCCAAACACAGTTTAAACACACTTTCAACATCACTTCTCCCTGTTGTTGTTGTTGTTGTTGTTGTGTTGATCAAACTAACTAACTAACTAACTAGTTTGACACTTTTATATAAATTCACCAACCCCAAACCATCACATGGTCATGATTGTATGTTGATGAAAGTTGGTGCGGTACCGCTGCTCTCTATCAAGTATGTGTGGCTGTGCCAAAACCTCCTCTTTCTAGTGGTGGGTTGGTGGGTGGTGGTGGGAGGGCGTGTGAGGATGGACGTGGTTGATATATACCAATAGTGTTTCCCTCTGTATATATATATATATGGGTGTGTTGGTAGTGGTGGTGGTTCTAATTATTATTATATTCTAGACAATCCCATCTATCCATCCATCCCCATCGTCGATGTTTCAAACAATCATTGATGAAGACAGTCAAGTAGGTCAATATCAGTGTGGTTAATGGAACGGATAGATTGATCTCTTTGTCATCTCTGTATTTTCCTTTTGGCCCAATGAATGAATGAATCTTGCTTGCTATTGATTTGATTTGTAATCTCGTAATATATACATACTTAAGAGTGGTTGGTTGGTCTTTTCGTTTTGTCCTTGTGTTAACCTTTTCTCTCTTTTTGATGATGTATAGATAGTATATACTATAGAGTATAGTGGTAGCGTGTGTCTGAGAGGGCAACGCTTGTGTTGTGATATTAATAGATAAGTATAGAATCAATGGGGATTGTAATAGAATGGAGAGTACGAAAAAAAACAAAGAGTTAATTTTCACAAAGCATACACAAAACGGTGGTGGTTGGAAAAGGAAGGTACACAGCGGTTGGATCGTCGTGCAAGCTAAAAAAAGATCTTTTCATGCAATGTTTTGAAGAGGAGATCTTTCGTTTGATCAAACATTATTTAAAAATAAATCAATAGATAGTTAAGTTAGAGATAGATACATGCAAAGACCCACGTAATTCAATTTTAAAATTGTAGTTTTAAATATTTCATATAGTTTATTTACAGAGGGAGTGAAGTGAAGTGAAGGATTGTTGATAATATTATATATTATATCAATGAAATCAATCATCTTCTAAATAATCCCTTTCTTCTTCTTCATATCTCAGATGAAAGTCAACTCTTCCAGTTTTTAAAACATAATACAATAATCTTATGCTTTCTGCTTTTTGTGCTATAGTATTATAGTATATAGGAAAAGACATTTAGGGTTAGTATTTATATTTATGTAGGGTCGTAATGATGTATTTTAAAGTATTTACCATAATGTTCAACCTTTTTATCAGTAAAAAAGGTTGATGGTTGCATATATCTATTTAAATCGATTCTAGGGAGCTTTTGCTTTAAAAACATGCCTGCTACAGCCCTCAATGATTTGGGTTTGCTACGCATGACAACGGATGCCTTGGAAAGATCCTCTAGATTATTGATATCCAAATTGTATTGTGTTTCAAATTTGGAGAAATCATGTTTGTTTCTAAATCCTACTTTTAATATTCTCTAGAGACATGATAAATTAGATAATGAATGAATTAGTTATTGTTGATAGATAATATTATTTAGTTTTCGGTTTAAACAATTATAACTTACAGGTGATGTTAATATCTGGTAAAGAATTAATGGAATGGTTTTAAGGGAATCTAAATTAAAAACTACACTTCCTTTAGGACCAGATAAAATGACAGCAAAGAAATTGGGTTCTTCAACATTTATACTTTTGTGACACCATTCAATATCAATTCCCTAAAAAGTAATCGTAATAGTAATATTAATATTAATATTAGTGTGAAAAAAGAATCATAGTGGTACATAATGTATAGTGGTACATACCAATACTGTTAAAGTATCGATTGAATCAAGTTTGTTTGGATGTTGACCATTAAAGAGTATATCGAAAATAGGTTGATTGGTACTCATAACAGAGTCGATAATTTCAACTTGTCTTGGTGCTGGTACCTCTGGCAATTGGTCAATTTCTTGTGCTGTGATGAGGTAGAGTGGATCCAATGATTTCTTGATCAAATTGGTTCTAATCTTATTCTTGCTTGAATTCCTCTCATTCCATTGACACATAAACTGACTAGCTTGGTATGCTTTAATAGCAGTCATAAAGTTTACTAAAATTATACTTGGTGTATCAGTTCTTTTTAAATAAATAATATTAGAATCTATTCATCTTTTTAAAAATAATCTAGATAATGATTCTATATATTTCTATCTTTTAAACATACTCTGATTTTTTAACTAAAATCTTTGATCCATTTAATATTTCTTTTGGTAAAATTCCTTCAATCAATTCAATTAAATACTATAGTGTAGAGGAGGAATGAAATAGTGAAATGATTAATACAAATATTGGTATAGTTTGATTGTTTTTTTGTTTGATATACTGTACATCACTTCTATGAGTTTCAAATCTAACACAATTTTGAGCTTCTTCACCAATCTTTGTTGGTAATATAAATTTAGTTTCAATGTAGTTTGGATGATAATGATATCCATTATGTAGATTTCCATTGTTATAGTACTGGTTTCCAAGACGATGATGTCCATTGATTTTTCTTTTGTTGTTTCCATTCATTTTGAATTTGACAGGTTGTCCATTTGATAAAAGATTATTGGGATTATTACCAATAATGGTACCTATTGGTGTTTCAAACAGAACATGATTGTTTGGAAAAATAGATGAACTATTTAATAAATTAATACTATTATTATTATTATTATTATTTTTTGTGTTGTTGTTGGTGTTGATAATATTTTCACCAATATTGTATGAATTGAATGCCCTTGAAGAAGATGAAATGGTATTATGTTGTAGTTGGGAATTAAAGTTATTGACCTTTGGGTAGGGTGATGAATATTTATTATTTACAGAGGTTCCACCCCCTGCACCGCCACCACCAGATCTAGTTTGAAATAAAAGATTGTCAGACCTATTATTTAAAAACAAGAAACTAGCAATGAAAAATGGATTGGGATTGGTTTGAGAGTATGATGTTGGCGGTCTCGTTAATTGATGTTGACAGAAAATATTTAGATTGGTAGCTTTAGATTGATTGAATACTTTTGGAAATGATTTTAAAATATTATTAAACATGTTGTTGAAAGATATTAAATTGATGGGATTGATTGATTGATTGATTAAGTATATTGTATTTTAGATTATTTGATCTATCATTTAATTGTTTTCTTATTATTATAAATATAAATTTCTTGGGTTATTATTACTCTAAATTAATTTATTTATTATTATGTTCGGTAATATAGTGTTTGTTGTTGATGTCGTTGCTGTTGATATAGAGGGCTTCTGACTTTATAACAACATAATAATGTGTAATTTGGAACTAGTCCTTGAAGAGGAGTCTTGTTGATAAATATTAAAAAATAGGAATAGTGGTTTTGAGGCAAATATTTAATTTTCTAAACCCTTATTCTCAAAATGTCTAGACAATTATAATAAAGGGTTTGCAAAGTTCACTTTACTGGTGAGTCTAGAAATGGTCGAGGTGTTGCTATTGAATTAAAATCGGCGGTTCATTCTGGGTTGGACATGACATTAAAAAGGTAAATAATATAATATATAAATTGTTTGGTCCATTCAACATTCGATATTATCACAAAGAGCCTGTCCCAAAATGAGTGATGTTTTGTCTAGATTTATTTTTCCTTTGAATATTTCCTTTTTCAGCTATTTTGTTGTTCCATTGTGAGAACGTCAAGTTCACAGGTCACCGTGACCAAGTTTTGACCCTTTGTTTTTTTTTCCCAATTATAGAAATACGAACCTCTCTTCTCTTGGACCAAATAAATAAAGAATAAAGTGTCCCTTTACCAAAATACAGAGACTCTTTATATTTGAGTAAATGAATAAATAAATAAATTTATAGGCTACAAGGGTAGGATTTTTTGAAATTTCAAAAGAGAGAGAAAAAAACAAAAAATAAATAAAACTTCATGAGATCCAAAAAAACGACTGATTTCAAAGACATTAAATTATTAGTAATATTGCGATAAACATACATAAATAATTAAATAAGATAGATTTAACTTTACTTGTACATAAACATAAACATAAACAGACACCATAACAACAGTATACATATCATTTATCATATATATTCTATATCTAAAAAATGTTTACACCAAACCATAAAAAAGAATCAACTGAAGCAGAAAAGGTTATGATGGATCTTGTCTTTCAATCTACGCAAGCTGCTGAATCATTTGTAATGGTATGTAATGAGGAAGAGGAAGAGGAAGATAGAAAGACGTACATACATATTAACAAACAAACATAATGTAGGAAAATTATTATAAATTTTTAGATAGTAATAGACAAGTGAGTATCAAACATGTTTGGTGATGGTTCAGTCCAACAACATAACGAACAATATCAACAATAACAACAAAGCATCATCGGACGATCAACAAAGCAGCATTGGCATCAAAAAGATAATCTATCTACTATACTATTATGTCTTGAGATAGAGCAGAGTAGAGTAGATAGATGGCTTTTTAATATTCTCTCAACCTTTGAATGATGACGAAAAGAAAAAAGAAAAAGAAAAGAATATTAATCAAACAACCCGACCTCTATATATGTGTGTTTGTTCATCACTACCTCCACTTCCTCCTCCCCCCTTCCATTCGATCTAGGTTTTAATTAAATTTTATCAAGAGAATTCTGTTAGCATATGGAATGGAACAGAATGTAAAGGAGTTGCAAACATTGAAAAGCTCTTGTCTGAGCTACCACAAACTGCACACACCATCGATACATACGACGCACAACCAATCTATAGCGTCGATAAGAAATTAACAAACATTTTAATAACCGTCAGTGGAAAAGTAGTCTACGCCGGAACTGCCAATCACGCATTCAACCAAACTTTAGTCCTCGCCAAAGACCCAACCACTCAAAACTTTTATCTAGCTCACGATTGTGTTAGATTAACTTCCTAAAACAAATAATAATAATAATAATATAATAATAATAATTACAAATCGACCAACTAATATTTAAAATGAAATCCACCTCTTTCCAACCAAACGCAACCCCAATCAATCCAACTCAACTCAAACCATTCCGAATTCAACTATTATATAAATAGTATTTAAACAAAACAAAACAAAACAAAACACTTATATCTTACGCTTAAAAAAAAAGATAATTAATTAATTTATAATAAAAAATGGATCTATGCGGATTTATTTACAAATTTGGTTATATATATATGTATTTATAGAAAGAGGTATATTATATTATATTATATTTATGGGTGGAATATACAAAATTAAAAATAATGTTTGTTTTTTGAGTCTATATATAGTAAACAAACAAAAACTATGGATTTATGCGCTTAATTATTATTATTGGATTAAACAATCTTTGGTTTTATCCTTTTCTTTTTTTTCTTTTGGTTTCTTATTATTATTTTTTTGTGGTTTTTGATTGATTTGATGTTGTAATTCTAAAGCAAGTTGATAATCATTTCTAAAAATTAAATAAATATTAATATAATTGTTTAATCAAATATCGATTTGTTTGAAACTTACTTTGTTTCAGTTGTAACTGATTGTTGACTTAGAAGATATCTAGCATATTCTTCATCTGTCATAAAATCTGGATTAATTGGAGGTGGAGCTTGATCTTCTTGGTGTTGTTGTTTTACGTTATTATTTATATTTTCATTATTATTTTGATTATTATTATTATTATTACTTTGACTTAAATCTTGATTATTTTTGTTATTTGATTGACTAAGAGCAGTTGATTTTTGTTGTTGTAGTTGTGGTGTCGGTGAAGAATAAACAGAAGCAGTAGTTTGAACGCTTGGATGTGGAAAGGTGGTAGGATTGGAAGTAAAGGTGGAATAGGGATCGAGCTTTTTATAGATTGAAAAGTCTGACAATAAAAAGTCAGAGTCACCATTGATTTGGCTCAACTTTTCCCAAACCACCGGTTCGTTGATAAAACCTTCATCAGAGACCAAGATATATATACCACTTTCATTTTTATATATAGTACTGAAATGGTTGTTTCTGAATAGGATAGCCAACGATTCGTCCTTGATTTGAGTATGTAACTCACATAGACCATGGTAGGATAATTGAGAGGATGTATCTTTTAGGAATTGTGCAATTCTAATGTCATTGGCCAAATCTTCTGTATTTGAAAATCCACTCGTATAACTATCCTCTTCCTCATCTTTAAATGATGGATAGAGATTATTGGTGTTGTTGGTGGTGTTGCTAGTAGAAGTTGTAGAGGTGGTAGAAGTTGTCATTGATGGTGAGGTTGATGGTATTCCCAATGGCATTGATCCGTCACCAACACTATCCATCTTTCTATTATTTACAATATTAATGGTTCCGTTACTTGAGTTTATTCCACCACCGCCACCATTCTCTTTGATATATAATTTATCGGTCAATTGGTTATAAGTCATTTGTCCAATCACTGATGTCAACTCTACATCTTGTGGATCAACCAACCATCCATGAACCAAATCAACATTTAATGCTTCAAAAATATTTGTATCACACGATGTATCAAAATCTCTAATTCTAAATAAAATAAATAAAACATTAATATAAATTATTATAGTCATTTACTTGCTTGTTACATACCCAGTAAATTTAATATCTAAAATCAAACCATTAATTAATGATGGTAATATATTAATAGCATGATTCATTTTAATTTCATGATCTATTTGCATTTCTTCATCTTCAAACTAAATATTTAATTAAATTGACATGTATTAATAAATGATAAATTAAATAAAAGAGATAGAAAGAAACATACATTTGGAGAAGATTCTAATAGATATGATCCAATTCTAGTAATCAATGTGTCATAAGTGACAGGTGCACCTTCTGGTACATTAATTTTACCATTGAGTGATAGCAAGTTTATGATGGCAATCAGAGGACATGGTCCATTCTCTCTCTGTGTAACTATACATTTTCTTTTACCCTTGAATTCAAATGATTTGACTGAAAAGAATTGTTGTTCCTTTACTACAACAGGTGCAGTAGTAGTAGTTGTAGATGTTGTACTTGTAGTAGTTTCATTTATTGACAACGAGTCCAAATTTCTTTTAATCTCTTCATGGTTTAAAGTACTGTTGTTGTTGTTGTTACTAGTTGTAGTTGTCGTAGTTGATGTTGTACTCGTACTAGTATCATCCTCCTTATCCAATGTAGTAGGAATAGATTCATTTGTTGCAGATACCAACAAGGCAGCCTTTGCCATTTCGGATGTTGTCATATGATTATCCGATATCATTTTCTGTTTTTATATTTATTTATTTATTTAAATTATTCTATAAAACTAACTTATTATTATTATTATTATTGTTATATGTATGTATGTTATATTTATATATATTAATTGTGAGATGATGGTTGTGTATATAACTAACCTAACAATACAATAATAAGAGTTGTCAAGTGTTCATTAAAAATTTAATATTAAAACTTTTGCCAACATTAATTTAATTTTTTTTCACAGAACAACCGCACTTGCTCACAACTCATAAGCTTGTTTGACAACCACCAACACACCCCACCACAGTACTCTTAAATTGGGTGTTTTTGGGTACACACTACTTGTTCTATCGGGCATTCAATGCAAATGTATACCCACTCGAATCATCATGATGATCGGGTATCCCTGATTCGAATCAGCAGATGCATGGTCTCTTCTTCCAAAGACGAATCATTTTATGTAAAAACCACTTCGTCGTCCGAACTTCATCAGAACCGCGTGTTCTTTTGCCGAGGTGCTCTTGCTTTTTTAACGAAGTGACCTGGAAATAGAGCATCATCAAACTGGACAATATAAATAATAGATACAAGTGAGAGAGAAACTATTTGGATCATCTTTCACTCCCAATAAACAAATACACTCTACTCTTTTCTATTTACATACACATATATAAAATATAAATATTTAAATATATAAACAAATGTCATTTAACGCAATCTCTCAAAGAGTATTGGCTAGATCCAAAAAAGCTGCTACCAACAATAATCAAAAGACCACTGCCACTTCTAATTCCAAATCTACCTCGCCATCTAAAAATGTTTCGTTAGCCACCAATGCTTCTACTGCCTCTTCCGCCACTGCCACCACCACTGCCCAAGCCACTACCGCAACTTCTGGTACTGGTATCAAACAAAGCAAAGCAATGATTAGAAAATTAAAATATGTCAATACAAGAAGAAATCTTAGAAAGATAAACCAAAAGAAATTGCCTGTAACATGTCTCTCTGGATTCCTTGGTTCTGGTAAAACAACCCTTTTAAATCATATCTTGACTAATCGTGAAGGTTTAAAAGTAGCTGTCATTGTTAATGATATGAGTGAAAGTATGTATAGTAGTAGAAATATATTTTTAATCATCAAAGAGAATAAATTAATTAACATACACTTTTTCTATCTCTTTCATATTCTTTCTTTTTTTTTCTCTTTTCTTTTCTAGTCAATATAGATGCAAGATTAATTAATAAGGATTTTTCCATTAGTAGAACCGAAAGTAAAGAAATGACAGTTGAAAAGATGGTAGAAATGCAAAATGGTTGTATTTGCTGTACGCTGAGAGAAGATCTTTTGGTGGAAGTGACCAAGCTGGCCAAGTCAAAGAAATTCGACTACTTGCTCATTGAAAGCTCTGGTATCAGTGAACCACTCCCCGTGGCCGAGACCTTTACCTTTGAAGGAGAGGAAGCCAAGACACTGAATGAAATGACCCGACTCGATACCATGGTGACGGTGGTCGACGCCAGCACATGGATGTCAGAGTTTAAGAGTGGAGACACCCTCGCCGACAAGAACATGGGTGCCACTGAAGAGGACGACCGAACCATTGTCGATCTACTCATCGACCAGGTTGAATTTGCCAACGTCATCATTCTCAACAAATGTGATCTCGTGGAGACCGCCCAACTCAACCATCTCGAAGGGTTGATTCGCCACATTAACCCAGACGCCAAGATCATTCGCTCGCAATTCTCCAAAGTGCCACTCAAGAGTATTCTCAATACCCGGTTGTTCAACTTTGAACATGCGTCCCAGAACCCAGGTTGGTTGCAAGAAGCAAGAGGTACACATGTCCCAGAGACGCTTGAATATGGTATTAGCAACTTTACCTACAAGGCACGTCGTCCATTCCATCCAGAGCGTGTTGAATCGGTCATTGAACGTGGTGTCACTATCTTCAAGTCAGTGCTCCGAAGCAAAGGGTTCATGTGGATCGCATCTACACCCGAGCTCATTGGTCTCTGGAACTTGGCCGGTATCTCGCTCACCCTCACCAACGCCGGCTACTGGCTCGCCGACCTCAAGAAACACGAGTACCCTCCCGCAGACATGGTCGCCACCATCAAAAAGAGTTGGGAGGAGCCCCACGGAGACCGTAGACAAGAGGTTGTCTTTATCGGAGTCGATCTCGACAAAGATCTCATTCAACAAGAACTTGACAAGTGTCTATTGACCGATGAAGAAATGAAATTAGGTAAGACTGAATGGGTAACTTGGAATGATCCAATTAAACTTGATGAAGTTGAAGAATTTGAAGATGGTGAAGAAGAAGAATATGAAGAAGAAGAAGAAGGTGAAGAAGGTGAAGAAGATGATGAAAGTGGTGAAGAAGATGATGAAGGTGATGGAGATGAAGAAATGCATGATGAATAAATTTGAATTAATTGTAAAAAAAATGTTTTTATTATTATTCCTTTTTTATGTTTGATCTTTGTCTTAAACTAGTTGATGATATTATTTGTTTGAACTACGAAATGCAATGAAAGTAAAGAATAGTAATAGTAGACTTTTAAATTTGTATCTTGCTATTACTCCTTCATTTGAACATTTATTGGTGAAAGAGGTAGAGACTATATTGAAAAGGAAATGCTTTAATCCGCCGACTACATCATCTCCACGACCTACCATCGCCGTCGAGGGTAATGGAGGTGTTCAATGCAATCATATGACATCTGAACATCTCTGGGCAATATCTAATCACTCTCGACTCACAGAATCAATACGTTCAAGATTAACTCCTGTCGATGGTGTAAAATGTTCAAACTTTAGTTATCTTGGTTCTGCTTTAAAAGATATTAATTGGTATGGGAATGAAACATATATATATATTTATATATATAAACATTTATGTATATATTATTGAAACTAACTAACTAGTTATAATTGTTTTTGTTAAACAGGAAAAATTACTTTAAATTACATAATCATACTACACCACCTGTATCAGTATCATCGACAAAGAGTACATTGTATCATACTGGTGCAGTTCAAGAAAGATTATTAGATCATTTTAAAAAGAATGTATTGATGATTAAAAGTTTTAAAGATATCAACTCTGACACCTCCTCGTCCTCGACACCAATCATAACAAATGAAGAACACTCACGAATCTATGTTAGAATGCATGATAATGTGATGCAGATTAGTGTTGATGCTTCGGGTGGTGAGGATATGCTCTACAAGAGAACACCAAACAAATATGTAACAGATGCACCGATTAGAGAGACATTGGCAGCTGCTCTACTTCACCTCATCGAATATAACCCAAAAGAGACTGTACTATGGGACCCCTTTGCAGGCAGTGGAACTTTTCTACACGAAGCATTGGGAATCACTCATCAAGGATTATGTTTGGAGAATAGACATTTTGCATTTATGAATTGGCCAATTCATAGATCAGAAAGATATTCAAATTATTTAACTAAATTAACAACAACAACAAATCAAGACAACAAAGACGATAGTAATAATACAAACAATAATAATAATAATATAGAAATAGATTTTCCAACAGTATCAACAAATACATTAAAGAAATCAAAAACATTTATAATTGGATCAGATATTGATCCAAAGGCAACATTGGCAAACAAACATAATTTAAATCAACTTGGGTATAGATATTCTTTATTGAATGAATATTCCTCTCCTTCATCCTCTTCACCATCTTCACCAATCATAGTAGAAACTGGAGATTTTTCAGAAATAATTAAAAAGATTAGAGATAATATATATGACAAGTCTTTAACAACCAAAAAGATAACCATTTTAACAAATCTACCATACGGTGGTAGAATCATGCAAAGTATGCCAAAACAACAACAAAAAGAGGCATCGCCATTTATCATTAGTAACAGTCTCAAGGAAACATTTAAATCATTTTCAAAAATGATTCAAGACAATGCAGACATTATCGAAAATGTCTATGTTTTAAATGGACATCCAAGTTTTAAAGATTTAACAAGTGATTTGGAATGGACATGTATTCAATCCTTTACAAATGGTGGTCTAAATGTTCAACTTTTAAAATTAAAAAAGTAAGAAAAGAATAAATAGCAGGCAGGCAAAAAAGGCAACGGTCAATTAATTTACAAATTTATTTATTGTTGTAATGGATTGAAACCAAAATACTTTGGTAAATAGTCTTGGAATCTTTGAGTTGAATACTCTAAACCTGGTTCAATACGGGGTTGCCAAAACTGACAATTGGAAAGGACAAAGCATTGTTTTGATCCATCGACAATAGCTATATCTCCATCTTGTTGGGGCATGACACCAATATACGTTCCTGTAAAATGTTTTGTTGGGTCATCATGAACAGTTTGGATAGAGTATTTAAACAATTCGTCTTGATCCAACTCCTTTTCAAATGATGAAAAAAAGAAAGGTTCCCATCCCAGTCCAGGTCTTTGGTATTCTGCAACATAGGTTCCATATTCACTTTCACACTTGTAAACTCTAAACTTGCAACCAGATTTATTGATTGAGTATTCCTCGTCGTCTTGACTATTCTGAAGCAAGAGAGGTTGTTGAGGTACAAATGCACCACCGGACAACTCTATGTAATATCTATTACCTAGGTGATTTAATCCAATTGAAACATGTGTTGGATTAGCCATTTGACCTAAAAGATTACATCTACCTCTGGAATAGAAAACATCCATTCCACTTTCCTTGAGCAAGTGATAAAAGACACCATGTAATTGATAACACATTCCACCTTTTCCTTCAACCAATATTCTCTCGATTAAATAATCTCTGTCCCATCTCTGCTCCTTTCCTTCTATTATATCAAAGTTGTTGAATGATACGTTCTTTGAATATGACTCCATCAAAAGAGTCAAGTCCTCAAATTTGATTTCATCCAACTCCTCCAATCCAATTCTTTTAAAAAATAACTTTTTAAATTCTTGAAAACTATATTCCTTTATTTCTATCATCTTGAATTATTATTTATAAATATATATATATATATATACACACAAAACTTTAAAACTTAAATGAATGAATATGATAGAATAGAATAGAATTATAAATCTATTTTCAAATTCAATTGGTTGGAGAATGAATTCAATTGCACATTGTGGTTGGCTGTTTGACTGTGTTTTCTACCCCTATAATTTAATGCCACCCACCACTAGTCATGAACCGTCATGTATATATATTTATATATATCTTTTCATTCATACATATATTACATAATATCATTGGATATTTATTTATTTAATTATTTTTGTTCTTTGGAAGGGAACCCCATATATTGAATGAGTAATGAATTAAATAGATCTGAATTGATTTCTATATTTTCTGTTCTTTGTTTGTCACCATTTTCATTTGTTACGACTAGTACCTTGTCTTTACCTGATAGAGTGGCTTGACCACCTTCTTTTTGTAGTTTACAAACCAAATAGTATGTATTGAATAGTAATCCCTTGTCCTCCAAGATATTGATTTGTGCTTGTTGTGATGCTATTACACCAGCATGTTCCTTTTTGAATGCATATCCAGTGTCCCAGTACAACTCGCCAGTCTCTTTATTCTTCTTTTTAATCTCTAGTACGTGTGTTCCATAGTCACTAGCCATCTCAAGGAATCTATAACTCCCACATCTAGAGGTGACACCGGTCTCTTCGTTTAAAAGGATTGGTTTAAATGCTAGAAACAATCCAAAACCAACATCGACAAGGTATTCTTTGGATTGGTGTGTGAGAACGGTGATCATGTGACCATTGGGTACTGCCCAAATATCAGTGTATGGGTCTTTGACAGTAGCTACACAGTGTATGACATCCAACCCACTCTCTTTGAGGAACTGAAAGAATAGAGTATTCAAGTTGTAACACAGTCCACCTTCACCATTCACCAACACCTTTGTAATGTTATTGTCACGTGTAATTGGTTTAAACGTTCTAGACACCATATCCAAGTTTTCAAAAGGTACTGCATTGGCAAACGACTCCATGATCGATGGTAAATTGTCAAATGTTATCGTCTCCAATTCCTCCATTCCTATTCTCTTGAATAACAAACTTTTAAATTGTTTGTATGTATATTGTTGATTTTGTTCAACATTTGTTGTTATGTTTGGTTCCATATTTTAAAATAGGTATATGTATATGTATGTGTAATAAATAAATAAAATAAATAAAGTAAATAGTACTCTTCTTTTTAAAGAATAAGAACAAGAAGAAGAATAGAGTGGTTTAAAAGTAAATTGATAAAATTAGAGTGATTTAAATCAATGTTGTTTTTAAGTGTGTGGGGGTGAGATATATTAATATAACTTTTGTGTTCTTCTTATTCTTCTCGAGTCGTCTTATTTATAGAAAGTGTCAGAGGGCTTGTGCAAAAAAGGATAAAAATTTAATTTAATTTATGTTCATTTGTTTTTCCCATTCTTGTGCGACTCGAGAACTATTGTTGTAAAGGTGACTGTTGTTGGTCGTCTCTTCCGAGTACATTGTTGTATTGTTGACGTCAGTTACAAGTCATTTATCAAAATTTTATCTCTATTTTGGGATATTGTGGTGATATAATTAATTATCTTTTTTTTTAATGGAGGTAATTTAATTCAATTATCTTTAGTGAAGAAATTGCTTCGCTCACCCATCAATCATCAACTAAACACATAGAATGTGTATGGGTATGGGATGATCGCTCTGCTCTAATGTATGGTAGGTAGGGTTAGCCCTTCACCTTTCCTTTTATGGAGTTCTTTGATCTTTTGTAGATCCTTTTACATTATAGTCGTTATGATGGTAGGCAATAAAGATACATTCTACAGAGATAGAAGAAAGAGGAGGAGCGCCCCGGAAATTCCATTACACCCCCCCCCCGTCTCCATTTAAGAGAGATTACAATTGCCTCTTAAGGGTCATGAGATATGGGGACAGGTTGGTCAGCGTGCCACGGCTATTTATATTTACGTTAAGGGGTTTCACGTGACTCTTTGTTCGTCGAATCTTTGGGGATCAAAAAAAACAAAAAGGTGAAGATTTATGACGAAGGTGAGGGCAGGGGCTCATCCCCTCTTGCCCCACCACCCTCAAATGCCAGAACGAACAAAGATATGTTTATGTGCATCCCCTCATTGAGAGGGGGGTATTTGTGTACAAAGCAATAAAGAGATTCACACAACAAAACCCAACCCCAACTATTAACATCATGGTAGCAGGATTTTTTGTTAATCGCACAGCAAGAAAGTAGTTAGTTTTTCTTTTTCTGGTTGTCAATGTTGTTGTTTAGAGATGGTTGGTGTTGTAACACTTTGTAAAATTGATCACTTTCCTCAACTACAAATATTATTCTTTTTTTTTATGTACAAATAGATAGATAAACGAGCGAGAAAAAACAAAGAGACAAGAATGATCAACAAACCAACAACCATCCTATTTTATTTATTAGTTGCTGTTTTGTTTAGTTCAACAACATTGGCTCAGGATGTAGTGACAGACCCCATTATTGATTTTGGTGCACGTTGTGAAGTGATTAACCCTGCTTCTCAATGTGTTCCCTATTTAAATTACACCAATGTATTTATTGGCAATGGTACCAACCAAACATACATTGAACAGATAACATCAGATGTATTATATCAATTATTGTTGGCGCCAACAGAGTGTCAGGTTCCTGCCATCTCTTTAACTTGTTTAGGTGTAAGTATTTAAACAAAAATATAAACCGCGCGGTTTGAAGATCAACAAACTAATCGACCAAAAAAAAAACAAAAAAAAAAAAATATCACTATCATAAATCTACGCGTAGGCCTAACCATTCATTGTATCATATCATATAGGCATATAGACAATGTAATTCAATTGAACATTCAACACCACAAATCAATATAGCATCACCTATTTGTTATTCTCAGTGTGGTAAGTTAAAACTCAGAATTCTTTTATGATACATGCCATATGTACTAACAAATCTAATCAATTTAGATAAAACATATCAAGGATGTCATGCATTCTTTGAAACATTTGGTATACCATTTTCATGTGATGGCACGACCAATGGAACAGTCGATTTCCCAGTCATAGGATTACAATATAATTTTAGTCAATATAACGCATCATCTGATGTTGTTATACCTTGTAATATAGAATCAACAACAAACGGTAAGTTTAAGGATTAAATTATTTAATTAAATGATTAATGATTATTTATATATTAATTTACTTTTATCTTTTAGCAAATATCACAGATTGTCCATTAGGATTACAATATGTACCAGAGGATAAAAGAGATGATAAATTAATTAATTTTATTTCAGAGGGATGTGCCATTCCATGTCCATTCAGAGCACTGTCAGACAAAGAGTATGATATTACACCACCGACCAAAGCAGTCATTCGATACTTGTCTTTGATAGCTTCAAGTATTCTATTGATCGTTTATGTGGTCGTTCCCAATGTTATTACACCAAGAATGGAGTGTATCATCTACTATTCTCTGGCAAGTATACTTTTCACAGCGTCTTCGTTTATCGAGTCGTCCGAAGACCATTTCGAGTGTGGTGATGGTCTCTATCGTTACAAGTACCAATCCGATGTATCATGTGGTATAAGTTATTTCCTTTTCCAATTTGGTGCTCTCAATATCATCTTTTGGTGGGGAATGATTGCTTATGATTTTTATGTTACAACTCAAATTAGTATGTAGTAAAAACATATCAAAGTATAGTATTCTTTTCTTTTTGGCTAACCTTCCTTTTTCCCTTCCTATTTTTTTTAGAGAGTATAGCAAATTTTTGGAGATTTAGAATTGGACTTTGGTCCACATCTGCTTTATTAGCAGCAATACCATTAATGGGTGGACAGGTGGGAGCTCAAATTTCAACGGGTAATTGTTGGATCTTGACCAATGACACTCAACTTTGGCAATATCTTACTTTTCTCGTACCTGTTTGGATCGTCTTGCTCGTCATTACATTCTTTATGATGGCTTCACTTTTAAAAGTTTACAAGTTTTATAAAGTTGTAAAAGATAAGAATTTATTATTTTTTAATGTATGTAAAGAAATCAAGAAGATGAATGAATGAACTTAAATTAATTAATTAAATATTATTTTTAGATTAAAATGATTTTAGTATTATTATATGTAGTATTGATATCAATTTTCTTGTTATTTTATATGGTTTATTTAAATGGTAGAAAACATATTTATTTGGATATTATATCAGATTATATCAAATGTATTGTCGCCAATAAGAATGACTTGACAAAATGTTCGGTGGTGTTTCCCGATTTCGAGGTTAGATATGTTTGTACGATTACGTTTGGATCGTTGGGTGTACTTGGATTTATATCATTGTTGGTGGATACTGGCAATAAACAACTGTTTGTCACATCGAGTAAGATTATCTATGTCATTAACAAGTTCTTGGCATTCAAGCAATCGTTGACCAATTCATCGACCACTTCATCGATATCAACTGGATCATCCAAGTCGCCGGCATCGGCCAGCAGTGCCAAAAACACCGCGCCATCTTCACCATCTTGGTTACAAGCTTCCAAACAAAACAAATTACAACAAAATAGACAATCAATGAATATCAACATCAGTAAAATATTAAATCAACAAAGAGTTAATTATATTTCAACAAGTGAATCAAATCAAAATATTCATCAAATTGAAATGGATCAATTAGACATTAATAATAATAACAACAACAACGCATCTGATGATCCAAATAATAATAATAATAACAATAACAATAATAACGAATTAGGCAACATTATTTTAAATAATAATGACGACAACAACAACAACAACAACAATACGGATAATAATAATAATAATAGTAATAATAATAATAGCGGTAATCATGAAATAATTAATAATAATAATAACGATAATACTAATAATAATAATAATAATAATAATAATAATAATATTAATGGTGACATTAATAATAATAATAATAGTAATATTGACAATTAATTATTGTTTATATGATATTTTTTTCAACAAATAAAATAGGAATCATTTTTGTAACACAAACAAGTGGAAAGTGAAAGGATTAATATATTAGTAGTATTATTTATTATTATTATTATTATTCAAGTTTAGATTGGATTAATACCACCAATCTTTCTTAATTGTTCATATACGATAAATGTTACAAGAGAATGAGGACCAATTCTCAACCAATTAGGGATGAATCCTTTGTAAAGACCCAATGGACCTTCAGCTTTAAAGGTCTTTGTGAAACAATCCAATGTTGAAGTGTAGAGAGTACCAACACCCCTAGAGTCAACCGGTTGGTTCATGATACGTGTTTTCACCAAATCAACTGGTGATGTGAATGTTGCAGCCACCAAACCAGCACCTATACTACTGATGGTATGAGCCAAAAAACCTTCCTTGGCATAGCCAGCATCGATGAGTGTATGTTTAATATGATCGTATGAAGATAGTTGTGAAGCAGTCAAGAGAGCAGCACGTTGTGTAGTTGGTACAGTTCCCTTGTATAGGCCACGCCAACCCTCCTCTCTGACAATCGATATGAATGCAGTCGATATTGAAGTGTATCGGTGTTGCCCAGACTTTGCTTGCATTCTAACTTTGATCAAATCCGATGGGTTGGCAATACAAGCACCAACACTACCAGAGATAGCACCACTAATGATCTTTGACAACAATGTAATGTTGCCAGTTTGTTGATCGACAAAGTTATTTTTGATCAAGTCATATCCACCCATTCTAATGGTACTATACGATGCCTCTCTCAGGAGAGATGGTGATAATCCTTTATATAGTGCTATGATTCCTTCATCTTTGATAATTTGGATGGTTCCTCTTGTAAATCCTTTGTAATGCATTGCAGCAGTTGCTTCACCACCTGCAGCAGCTGATGCTATATTTCCTTTTGCAATCAATTCACCTTGTAATTGTAATCTTGTTTTAATTACATCTATAGGATTTGTCTGTGTGTTATTATAAATATATTGTTGTAAATGTAAGTGTTATTGATCATTCATTCATTCATTCATTCATTCATTCATTCATTCATTCATTCCTTCCTTCCTCGACTACACTATATATAGATAGGTTTTACATACAACACAGGCAGCAGCCATACACGACAAACCACCATAAAGGAATCTATGTGACATTAACTCTTCCTTTGACATCTTTGTCTTTGTGCTGTTTATGGAAGTTTAAACTAATGATGTTGACGCATTGGTATAAATACTAGTATGAGTTGGAAGAAGGATTCTACGTTTACATTCAAAAAAAAATCACAATAAAGAAATTTTATATTAAAAAATAAATCTGTGAGAGGGTGGGTCTTTGAAGAGTAATCACCCATACATTGACTTTTTTCATCAGTCAGAGAGATAATTATATTACATACTTATAAATAAAAAGGGTAGATTATATTCACAATGAGATTAGAGTCAGTCTTTTATATTATCTGATGTACATTTAAATAGAGGTAATAATTCAACAACACCAGCAGCTTGTTTGTATTTTTAATCACATACAATTGGTTCAACAACAACAACAACATCGTCAGCAGCAACAATGTAATATTGGTCAACAGAGTAATAATTGTGTTTATGTATTGTTTGTATTTTTCAATCACACCAACCTTTTTTTTTCTCGATACCAATCTACTATCAATCAATCATATAGTAGCTCCTGTATCGATGACGGCTTTGAGGTGGCTGTTATACATCTCCACGTTGATGTACAACAGTTCTTTTCCTTTAATTAGATTATTTACTTGTATACCCGGATCCATTAGTGCCCTTGGGAGGGTAAATGGTCTCCAGGTCCTTGCGAAATTTGCAAGGGGTTATACTACACTCTTTCATTTGCTTCTCGCAGCCATAGCATTTCTTTTCTTTGTATAGTTTCACAATTACATATTTAGCTCTGTATTTGTCAGTTTCTTCGCACCTCATCACCCATATTGATAAAGTAGTTTTGTGAGAAATTGAAAGGATCCATTAAGAATTCATTGGAAACTATTTCTCCTCTGTTAATATTTCTACCATCCATATGTGTCCATTCCACTTCATAAATCGAATGATGAAAACGTTTTCACCTCAATACAACTTATTTTCAATATTTTGGAAACAATTCCCAATAATATCTTTATACACTACACATCTACCATTTGTGTTCCAATTTAACAGGTAATACTCAAATACATAGTTTTCATGCTGACAAATAGTGTTCGTGGGTCCAGCGATACCTTTCGCGGTGATAGCACCCTCTGCTTGGTGGCTTGAGCTGTAGGATATCGCTGGACCGCGTATCATCCAGAGCCGTTGTAAATATGCTCTCTATATAGCTCATTTCAAGGTAAGTAGATATATCTACAACTGATGCTATTTACAACCCAAATCACTTTTCAAATATTTATTGATCTAGATTTGATTTATATAAATATATTGTTGTTATTCTATTATAAAATGGCAACAATAGAGTAATAATTGGTTTATAGATGGAAGGAAAACCTAACACATGTTAAAGATGACTAATCATTTATATATTTATTGATTAATCATTTGAAGGAGGAGTATATTTACAGAAAAAGGTTGTTGTTGGTAATTTACCAATGGTAAAGGGTATGTGAAAAGTTATATAGATATCTATAAATTATTTTGATTGATTTTGAAGAGTATTATTTAACCAATCCAAACCTTCATATATACCATCACCTCTGGTGGCAACAGTTGATTGTATGTACCACTTTCTAGATCTGAGTTGTAGCAATCCCAGTTCTTCTGCTATTTGGGATACAGACATTGCATTGGGATGGTCCATTTTGTTGGCCATGACGAGTAGCACTGCATCTTGTAATTCTCTATCATTTATGGCATTCATCAATTCTTTTGCTTCCACTACTCTTTCTCTATCAGAAGCATCAACTACAAATATAACTGCTGCTGCTCCTGCATAATAATGTCTCCACTAAAATAATAATTAAAATTAGTACAAAAGAAGATGATTTATAATAATATAAACGACATACAAGTGTACCTCCAACATCCCAAACTGTAAAGTTGACATTTCTAAAATTAATAAATCAATTAATTAATTAATCAATATGAAACATTAAATCGATAGATCAAACAAACATACTTAAATTCAACAGTTTCCAAATTAAAACCAACTGTTGGAATGGTGGTTGTTGCAACTTCACCAAGTTTCAAACGATTTAATATAGTTGTTTTACCAGCTGATCTCAGACCAATCATCAAGATACGATAGTTTTTAGATTTTCCAAAGTTTGATAATAGTGAATAAATTAATCCCATGGGTTTTGATTTATGTTGTTGTTGTTTTAAATAAATGTAGAATAGATTGTAGTAGTGATCTTTGTTTTAATAAATGGTGTCACGTGTATTCACTTGGTGAAATGGGAAGATGGTTCAAATAATAGTAGATATCTAATGACTCGACTATAAATAATAGTGTAATGCAGTGAATATTAGTTGTTGAGTATTTGATAGTGATTGTTAATTCAAAGAATGTTGATGATTCATCGGTCGACCAATGCAATGTTTTCTAAAACTTGAGACTCAAAAATTAAAAAAATAATAATAATAATAATAATAATAATAATAATTATTATATTATATATTATATATGCTACTTGGATTTAAAGTAAGTAACTTTTACATTTACAACATTTATAATTTATTTTGTATGTTTTTAATCTCCTTTTTAGTCCATAATTAATTGTACATGAACCGAAGAAAATCAAAAAGAGATCTTTTTTGTTTCTTGATCATTAGACTAGGTGTTTTTGATTGGTCTTTACCAAAAACGAGAAAAGATTGTTGGTACTTTAGATCATTTTTGTTTTCTTTTGTTTGATGAATGATACCACCAAAGAATGGGTACCCACCTATCACCATGATTCTAGAGTGATTTCGTTCAAGTCTTCTAATACCAATCTGCCAGTTGTAATGTTTACTTTGGTTGGTGATAAATAATTGTTCTACTCTTGTTTGGTTGATAATTTCATCGAATCGTAGTTGAGGTAAAAGTCGTCGATCTCGAAGGAATTGTATAATAGTACATTTTAAAATTCGAATGGTTGGTGGCAGTATTTGGTGTATCGGGTTATTTTGTAGAGTTGGATCATCTTGTCCCAAAGAAATTGAAATTGAGTAGATTGGAAGTCCCTTGTTATTTCCAATAGCAGGGATTGGTTTCATGAACAGTTGGAGTTGGGTGAGGTTTGAAAGAATGGATGGGTTTGTGAACTCAATATTTTTGAGTGATAGTCGGTGGTACTCCACTAACCAAAGAATAGGTACCACCAGTTTCATTATCGAATATAAGATTTTCGACTGTAGGTGGTATAAAATCATCGGGTAGAGGTAGACCTTCCATACATATTATTTTTAGAGTTTTCAAACAAGAGAGAGGTGACAATGATACTTCTTTAAAGTCTTGTGCGTGAAACATCATTGATAAACTTGTCAACCCTAGTGGAAGGGTTTGGGCGAGATGGTAAGCATCAAAGTTGAGATACTTTAGATTGGGTGGGAGGATAAGTTTGGCCTGTGGTCCTGATGGGAAGGATGATCCCTGTTGAAAAAACCGGTTCCATCCACTCACCCATAACTTTAGACTCTGTAATGAGTAGAGATTACCAAGATTCAGTCTTTCATCTTCCAAGTTGAGATTAATAGACCGTACTCGAAGGTCAAGGTAAACAAGGTTTGTAAGCAATGAAAAGTAGTCTGAAGATGGTAGGCATTGAAGATCGATGGTCAGAGATGTTATACCAGAAAATTGACATTGAAGATATTGTGAATCTTTCAAAGATGTATAATCTCTATTTATAATGCACTTGCATTGAATGGCAAGTGATGTTTGTGAGGTGGTGGCGGTGTCACGTGACAGAAGAATCTGATGATCATCTCCAAGTTTGAAATTGCAACCATTGCATGGGAGTAGTTCCACACTCTTGGATTGGTCTGCTGTTACATCAGATGGTACCTTAAGCAATCTTTCAAATCTTTGAGTGACTACTTTATGATTTGTTGTTGATTTGAAATTATTGTATAACTTTTTACATGTTATGAGCAGACCTATCACATCTACATTATCATCGATTTGATGGATGATGTTTAAAAGTAATAAGTTGGGTAATGATGATGTGATGTAACAAATAGTTGTTGAATTATCTTGCATCGCATATTTATTTATTTCAAACGAAAGAAAGAAAATGGTTTGATTAAAATTCGACAAACAAATGACTTTTTGTTCTTTTCGATGTTATTTTCAGATTATTATTTATTTATCTTCTTCTTGGTATTCATAATAATAACAATAGAAGAAGAAAGGAGATAGTTATCATCATGTCATCATTTCTTTCAAAAAAGAGTTGGCATGTTTCAAAGATAAAGAATCAAGAGGTATGTAAATAAATACATGATATCATCAGGCTTGAAACTAACAAATAACTATGTTATTATATCTATCTATCTATCTATCTATCACAACAATAGAAACTATGGAAAGCAGAACAAAAAGATGAGGATGAAAGAAAGAAGATTGAAGAACTCAAAAAGGAGAGAATGGAAGAGGATCAAGTCTATGAACTTAGACAAATGCATTCCACAGCTATAGGTTCAAAGTAAGTTACACTACCTGACAATAATAGTCGACTAGTTGGTTTATTTATAAAAACTTTTAGTAGAATAGAATAGTAATATATGTATTGTAATGATGATTATAATGGCAAAGATTATTATTATTATTACTCGCTACTGTAAATTTTCTGTTGATATATTTGATTGGTACAACTGTTGTGATGTTAATAACCTCTCTAACACCTTTTATTGATATATTTTAGGAAAGCTGAAAGATTGGATTGGATGTATGATGGAGCATTTGGTCTAACTCAACAATTGATTGAAAAGAAAGGTGAATCTGAGTCATCAGCAACGAGTGATCTTCTTTTGGGAAAGAGAATTGAGGAGAATTCACAAGACAAGGAGATGAAACAATTGCAATTGGTTCCGGGTGCATTGTTTATGCCCTCGAGTAACAACACTGTAGCTCAACAACAAGATGCAAAGGCTCGTCTTAGAGAGGACCCAGAGGCAATCATCCAACGTAAACAACAAGAGGCACTCAAGAAAATCCTTCACAATCCAGTGGAAATGAAAAAGATCAACAAGGAAAAGGAAAAGGAAACTGAAAAGATCTTAAAGAAACTTAAAAAGAAAGAGAAAAAGGAGGAAAAGAAACAAAAAAAGGAAGAAAAGAAAAGAAAACGTGAAAATGGTGAAGACAATGATGTTGATGAAAAGGATTCCAAGGTGGCACAAGATAAACGTGAAAAAGATCATGATCATGTCAAACAAGATACATCCTCTTCTGAAAGAGATTTTAAAAAAGTAAAGGATGAACATGGAAATGGAAATGATGGTCGTAGTAATGGTAGAGACAATGGAAGAGACAATAGAGACGACAGAGATTATGATAGAAGAGACAATAGAGATAATGGAAGAGATCATAGAGACAATGGAAGGGATAATAGAGACAACAGAGACAACAGAGATTATGACAGAAGAGACAATGTAAGAGATAATAGAGATAACGGTAGAGACAATAGAGATAGTGGAAGAGACAATAGAGATTATGATAGAAGGGATCATAGAGACAATGGAAGAGATATTAGAGATAATGGAAGAGACAATAGAGATTATGATAGAAGAGACAGTAGAGACAATGGAAGAGATAACAGAGATAGCGGAAGAGACAATAGAGATAGTGGAAGAGACAATAGAGATTCTACAAGATACCAAGACAATGGTAGAAGAGATGAAAGAGACTATCGTGATAGACGTGATAACAGAGACTATGATAGAAGGGATAATAGAGATTTCGATAGACGTGATCGTAATGGTTACGAAAGAAGAGATCATCGAGACCATGACATCTCTAGAGATCGAAACTATGACAAAAGAGATTATGGAGACAGAAATAATCAAAATAATAATAATAATAATAATGTAAATAGTAAACCAAAAATGTCAGAAGAAGAAAAGCAAAAAAGATTAGAAGAAATGCAAAACAATGCATTGGACAGAGAAAGAGAAAGAAAGGAAAAGATTTCAAAACAACAAGAAGAAACGGCCAAAGAAAGTCATCAACCAAAATCTGTTGAAAACAGAGGAAAGACATTCTTTGATGACATTAACAAAACAGTCTATGGAAATACATCTATGGATGAAAGAATGAAAAGAAACAAATTTTACCTTGAAAAAAGTAATAATGAATAAATAGATATTAAAAAATATTTAAATACACAAGTTAATTTTAGTGGACAAGATTAAATGTGTTCAACATACAATTTATTAAAAAAGTTATAAAGTTATTATTATTATTATTATTTGGTTGGGGAAAATAATTATTATTATATTATTCTTTGTGTAATGCATAATTTTAAATTAAATGTGGTTTTGTTCTTAACGATGTTCTTTTTCTGACAATTCCATTCTCAATTCTTTGTATTTCTCTTTGAGGATTGCGAATCGGGAACGTTCAGCTTCAGCAATCTTTTTGACTTTGGCCAACTCTCTATCCTTTTGACAAGTTGATTTACATAATCTCTCGATTTCCTGTAACTTGAAATTGATAATCTCGGTTGGCGACCCAAAGAGAATGTTGGATCTGTCCGAAGTGGATGGACTCATAGAGATGGCAGCAGTTGTTTTTGGTGAACCTCTAGTATGGTTGTTGTGATGGAACTGACTAGTAAAATAAGAAGAGAGGTATTGAAAGGTTGGCGAAAGACTATTTCCAGCGCTGGTCAAATCTGACAATGAACTGATTGATCCTCTTCTATTTGCGCCACTTGGAATACATATAGACGATGAAACAAGATTTGAATTGATTCTATTACTCGATTCAATCATTGCATTTGGTGTAGTTATACTTGCTGTTGCTGTAGTATGATTATTATTATTATTCGAAATATTATTATTATTATTATTTACATTATGATGATGTCCTTGATGATAATGATGATTATTATTATTAAATAAAGGGCCATTATGATGATGGTGGTGATGATGCTGTTGTTGTTGATTTGAATGTAGTTCATTACTACTATGATTCAAACGTTTTTGATCATTAATTTGATGATATTTTGGTTGTTTAAGTTGTAAATTTTCATCACAGTATGGTGACAATGATAGATTTTGATATTCATTTAAATCTCCCATCTCTATGAATACAGAATCCAAATCAAATCCTCTTTTTGTTTTTGTTATTTCATCATAATTTAAATCTTTTAATAATTCTAAAATATAAGAAAGGAAATAATGTTAATAATTAAAATATTTTCAAAAATTGATTAACCATATAGTTTACATACTTTTAATTTCTTCTTTTAATTGATTTGCTTTAATTCTTTCTTTTTGAGCACGAAGAGCAACTTTGAGAATAGCATCTTCTTTTTCTCTTACTTCTTTTAATGATCTTAATTGTAATGATTCAACTTGACGACTTTCATCTTCCAACATTAGTTTTAATTCGCCAACCTTGTTGGAGAGATAGTTGGTGCGCATCATTTCATATTCAATAATGTCCTTGATACGTCTAATTTCTTCATCCTTTTTCTCGATCATTTTGCAAATATGGATCAATCCCTTTTTCTCTTCCGTGTGACATTTACCAAAACTAATATCGGCCAATGAATTTTTTCTTTCCAACTGTGATGCCTTGGGTGAAATGTTCAATGGCGAGGCTTTACTTGGTGATGTTGATATTGGTCGACCAGATAATCCAAATGATGATCCCAAACTACACGGTGATCCACTTGCCAATGATTCAACTGAAAATCTTTCATTTAATCTTTTTACATCAATCGCTGTATTTCCTCTTAATTGTGCGATTGATATTAATGATTTTTTTAATCCTAAAACAAATAAAATAAAACAAAAATAATTAATTAGATGAATCAAATACAACTATAGTATCATCTATATATATTTTACTTACTTGTAATTTGATCAGTATATTCCATTGATAATTTTTTTTGAGTTTCAGCCATCATTAGTAATCTACAAATATCTCTTTCCTTTTGTTCAACCTGTTTCTTTTTTGTATCCAATATGGAACTCCAATTTTCTTTTTCAGTTTGAACCAGTTGTACTAGTTCTTCGTACTTTTCGCGTAAAAAGTTGGCTTTGACCGATTGAGATGTGGTCCTTGATCGAACTCGTTCCAACTCTTCATCTTTGTTGTGGTACGAAGATACGAGGACGGATACTGACCCCTCACTCTTTTCACTTTCATGTTGTTGGTGTGGAGAATCCCAAAATGACATGGATGAAATGGGTGTACTCAAACTTCTACTGTGTCCAAGATGACTCTGATGACCAACGGATGAAGCAGTTGAAATGGAATGGTGATGTGGGTTTTGTGGTGATTGGCTTATATATGAATTCATTGGTGACTCTACTAAAAATGGTGATTGGAAAATAGTACCTTCTATAGCATTCAAAGCTGTTGATTTTTCAATAATATGTTGTTTTCTATCACCTCCACCACCACCACCTCCATTACTTGCAGATATAGGTGATGAAATAATTGAAGATGTTGTAGAAGATACTGATGATGTAGATGATCCCAATTGTGTTAGATTAGATATATTTTGATCATCATAAAAATCTTTTATATATCCTGCCAATTGTTCTTTATGATCTAAAAAATAAATAGAAAAAAAAAAAGAAAGGAAGGTTAAAATCATTTCCAGAATTAATAATTAATAATTAATATTTACCTTTAATAGAATTTAAATAGGCAATACAATCCAATTTATCCTTTTCAGCGACTCTGGTTAATCTTTCAATCTCTCGTTCTCTTGATTCGATTTGAGATGAGAGTACATTTTTAACATCTACTGCATCAGTCGTTTGAGGAGTAAATGAAGATGACGCCGAGTTATTTATCGAGGATGGTGAATTGTTACCAACATGGCTGGTTCCCGACGAATCAGCCGTCGTCGAGCTAGAAGGTCTAGATGTCGAAGGATATGATGCAGGGTTATTTGATGTCGATTTTAAGCCACTCATTACTTGTGACAATGATGATGATAACGCTGCCGAAACTGGAATTGGTTTTTTAATTTCTACTTGTTGATGATGATGATGATGTTGATGGTGATGATGTTTATGTTCATGTTGTTGTTCTAGTTGTTGTGGTTGTGGTTGAGGTTGTAATTGTAATGGTGGAAGTTGTTGTGATTGTTGTGGCGGTTGTTGTTGTTGTAGTGGTTGTTGTGGTTGTTCAAGTGGTGGTTTATGAGATGATATCTGTATCAACTCTGGTTCTTTAATTAATCGATCAACTGTAGTTACAGAATCACTACTTTTACCAAGATGTAGTGTATTATTGATGCAGGGTTGACTATTCCCTAAAACTGGTTGATTTTCTTTTTTTAAATTGTCGATTGCTTCATTACCATTGCTGTTATTGTCGTTGTTGGACGATGATGACGATGATGAAGATGAAGATGATGATGAAGATGTGGAAGATATTGAAGATGAAGATGACAATGGAGTTGAGATATTTGGTGGTAAAACAAAACCTTTTGTCACACTGTGATGTGAAGAGTTTAGATTTCCTAAAGCAAATGTTAAATCTGGACTACAAGATGTTGAATATTTTTGTGGCTGTGAATTATTATTATTATTATTATTAGTAGGAGATGGAGTATTGGTTTGATGATGATGATGATGATGATTCTTATGATTAGTTAAAATTGATGGTGAACTGGTTGGATCTTCCATAGTTTATATATACAAAATTGGTTGGTTCCAAAAAAAATGGTAATATATATATATATACAAATCTAATTATTATTATTATTATTATTATTATTATTATACAAAATGGTTATTATTGCTATTTTGAATGTTTGGTTTGGTTTGGTTTTGATGTTTTGGGGTTATATAAAGTTTTTCTCAAGTTGTTATATCCAAAAATCGAGTGGACTTGTAAAAAACTACTTTCTAAAAAAGGTTATAAATAAATATAAGGGTTTGTTTGTTGTTTGTTATAATATTATAGGTAGAGGTCCAACAATCTATCTATCTATCTATCTTACACATGATATATTCGATGGGAATGTGTCGTGTCGGTATTAAAAGGTTGATTTCATAAAAAAAAAACTGTATATGAATATCTGTCTGTCTGTCTGTATGTATGTCTGTTTGTCAGTTGGTATAATTGTTGTTGGATTCCTAAATAAATGGAAAGAAGAGGATGGATTGAACCAAGTTAGTTAATATCAAAGCTAATGGAACTGTTAACATGATTAATAACAATGCAAATAATTCACAATGGAATGGTTGGTTGGTTAGTTAGTGGGTTGGTGGATAGTGTAGTCGTGGATGGATTATTGATGAATGAAATGAACATATTAAAAATTGTACTATGACAATGAATGATGGATGTGATGGTTTGGTACTATGCAATGCTATTCTATGCTATGCTAATGTTATGTTGACCCAATCATTGTAATGGCGACATTGCCTCTTTTCTCCTACTTGTCTCCTGTCTGTTATTATTAATATTATTATTGGTTTTTACCAGACACAGCCTTCCTATTGCCTATTGAATCAGATCGTTGGTGGTTGACTTTAGGTCAAAAAGGAGAATAAAATTTATTTCCAAGGTGCGCGCCGCCCAACAACAATCCTCAAACCAAACCCTAAGCGAAAATGACAATGACAATGACTACTTTGTCTATTTTTGTTAAAATGTATTACAAAAATAATGTAATAATAATAATAATGTAGTTGTTGTTATTTATGTATGTTGATTCTTGGCGAGTTGTTCAATGCTGCTGCTGTTGTTGCTGGATTGTAGAATAATATCAAATAAAATGTGATATGCGTACAATAAAATATAATCCACCTTACCAATTAGAAAATTAATTTTTAGTAGTAGTAGTAGTAATTGTTGTAATAATAATAATAATAGTCGTAGTTGTTGTTGTAGTAGTAGGATTATTGCATACAAATAAAAATTATATTTATATTATATTTTCTCCTGTTTTTTTGGGTTGAATGAGCAAAGCGAAGAATAGAGAGACAAATATAATAATAAAAATTAGTAGTAGTAGTAGTAGTTGTGTTGTGTTGGTATATCTCTCTTCTGAAGGATAGAGGGGAAAAGGTGATAAAAGGGGATGGAAATTACACAATAACCAAAACCCTCACCCACACACGCACACCACTCATTCTCTCTCTGTTTGTTTGCAACACAAGCTTTTCCCCAGGACAAGACAGGGACTGACAGAGAGAGAGAGAGAGAGTGAGAGATGAACACACAATTAATTAGATCTATCCAAAACTGTGTGTTCATGTTAACCACCAATTGAATGAATGAATGAATGAATGAGAGTTGATGTTACAACAACCAGACCAGACCACATTTATTACTATTTTGATTCATTGTATTAAATAATAATAATAATAATAATAATAATAATAATAATAATACTATTATTGTGGTACCAGTATCTATATCTAATGTTGTTGTTGTTTGGGTGGGAGGCTAGACAAGATAATAATAATAATAATAATAATAATAATGATAATAATAACTACCTTTGTTGTATTGTGTATGTTTGATGATGAATTAATTCGTAAATGGTTTCTTTGTTTTGTTTTGTTTTGTTTTATTATTTGTGTGTTCTCGAGATTATTACAATGATAAAATAATGCAAAGAAGGTTCTGCGCTGCAAAGATTAATTTTTAAACAGGGAGGGAGAAGTGAAAGGAAAAAGAGGATCAGCAACAATTGGATTAAGATAAAAAAATAAAAAAAATAAAAGAATCTGCGAGATACCTTGGGCATATTGTATTGAACACCAAATAGGGAATCTCTGTTGTCAATGAATGAATGAGAAATACAATGAAAAAAGGGGTTTGAATTTGATGTACATCATTACTAAATTCAAATAATTAATCTTGAATTAGATTTACTTAATTACTATTTCAACATTTAAATATTTATATATATATATATATATATTGCCCAACAACAACTTTTTGTACTAAAAGAAAAAGTAAAAGTAATGAAGGTATTTTGTTTGTTTCCCTCCCCCAATGAAATACTATGATCCAGAGATTCCAATTTGAGAGGGGAATAAAAATAAACACAACACATTTTAGCCCTAAACTCATCATAGCTGACTCTGGAATCACAACAAAGATTAACCTTCCTGTCGTGTCTTGGTAAAAGTTTTGATTTTAAAAAAAAGGTTATATTGTTTGTTGTATGTGTATTAAATTAAATGATTATAATTTTGTTTGATATTATTCATTCATTACTATTATTCTATTGTTATTATTATTATTCGAAATATTATTATTATTATTTATATTTTTTGGGATTGTCTGTTTAATGGATAATCAGTGACGACAGCCTTGTTTCTTCTTTGTTCGATTTCTTCATGCTTTTCGAGGAACCGTTGTTTTTTGTAATGGTATTCTCTGTTTGTTGGATTTGGCTTTTCTTTTGATCCTCCTGCAAGCAAGTAGAATGGACATGTCAATGTAGCCAAAAGAATTGGAAGGAAGAATGGATTTCCATGTGGATACTAATATATTTATATATTAAAATATAGGATTAGATTTCAATCTTGATTTATAAATGACTATAAAATATTGTCAAAGATCTATATATATCTATCTCTATCTATCTATGATTTAATAGTTTTGAAACTTACAGTTTGACCAAATAAATAACCTCTTGCTTCTTCTTCTTCTTTACCAAATTCCTCTTCATGGTGGTGATCGTGATGATCATCATGATGACCATCATCATGGTGATCGTCCTTCTTGTGGTGATGATCTTCCTTGTGGTGACTATCCTTGTGATGATCATCATGATGACCACTCTTCTTTTCTCTTTCAATCTTGCTAATCAACTCTGCATACTCTTGCTTGACAACTTCGTAGGCATCGTGATCGATCTTTTGCTCCTTTCCAAAGAATCTTTCGAGTGACAATGGGCCCTCGGTGGTGATCTTTGATTCGACAGCAGCACCCTTTTGTCTTAATTTTTCCTCATATTTGGCTAAAAGTTCCTTCTCCACGTCATGATGACTCGATGGTGATGTGGAATATGATCTGCAACATGAAGTAGCAGTAGCCGATGGGATGGTCGTGGTGGATCTAATTACAGTTCTAGTGATGATTCTGTTGACGTTCATTTTAAGGTACTAGGTTGTTGTTTGTTGTTGTTTGTTATATATTACAAGTGATAGTGATACTCTTTCTTTCCTTCCTTTCTTTCTTTCTTCTTATTCTTTGATAGATATGTTGATTGTTTTTTGTTGCTATACAAAGAACTTGATTGATTGGTTGATAGATATGAGTTGAGTGTGTGTTGTTAAAGATGGTTGAACTGAGTGAATCTGACAAAAGATAAAAGATGATCAAACTTTGTTATTGTCTCGATCGATCGCTACTACTATGAATGATGATGATTTGCTATGAATGTCGTTCGATCGTAAGCTACTTTTGTTGTATTCTTTTGTTAATATAAAAGTTATACCTCTATCTATGCTTTCAGTGAGCGAAACAATGACCATTTAGCACACAGAAAAAAAAATTGAAAAAAATCATGAAAAAAGCTTTCGTTTTGAACTTCCTTTTGGGCTATGAAACATAGGTATTCATTCTGTGTTTATTCTATGTTTGATTAAACTGCGTGCGTAGTTATACATACATAATATACAAGGTATCACTACTGCATATACATTATCCAGTATATATACTTGTCGATTCATCAGGAATGAATTCCAAACAAGAGAATGATAACGAATTATCAAAGATGAATGGTTCAAGAAAGAAAGAATGATAGCGATGAATGGTTGTAACGTTTCAATGTTCTACAGTCTATCCAGATTGATTGATTGATTGATAGATAGATCATATATTCTCAAACTCAAAAATACACTTTTAAACCAAGGGTAGATTGATTGATGGCGTGGTTTATCACACACCACACAGAGAGAGAGAGAGAGAGAGAGACGGCCCCTTTCTTATCCAAATCTGCCACCTTTTGGTATACCCACTCACACCCAATCAATATACCTCTTCTTCTTGTTCACTTCATCACTTTAAACAACCAATATTTTAAAATTATCTTCTTCCTCGGAGAAGTTTATATTGGATCATTATTTATCATAATGCAACGACAACAACCCAACAACAACAACAACAATACCTTTAATATATTTATTTCTTTTTTTTTACATCACTTCTTCTTTTTCTTTGTATTTAAAAAAATATCTATCTATCTATATATTTATTTATTTATTTATTAAAAGATGGGTGGAGATATTGCTAGTAGTTGTGCAAGTGTTTTGTCTGGTGGAAGAATTGCATCATTGTATATTGTCAATTTAATAGGTAGCACAGTGTCGGCCATTTCATGTCTATTGACTATATTTACATTTGTGTATCGAGTCAAGAAAGGATTGGCATTATCCAACCCACCTTCCAACAGAGGACACTTGCATGTATACTTGGAATCAAAACAACCTCTATTGTCCAAGATTGACCGACCTGATAGTAACCGTCTATCATATGATTCATTTGATTCTTTCCCTGCTGCTGCCGAAGACTTGCAACACCAACAACAACAAGTTGAAGGGGAACAATCATGCTCATGTGCACCAACATCCACAGTCTCAGTGGATGATCATTATGGAAATGCTAATCAAGACACAACAACACCATCATCTCCAAGACCAAAGACAATTAATCGTCTCATTTTCTTTTTGACATTGTCTGATTTTATTGGATGCTCAAGTATTGTATTTACTCAAGTCTGTATGTTGGCCGACTTTCATTTCGCAACTACCATTCACTTTTGTATTGCTTTGCGATGCGTCATTCATTTTGGGTTTCTTTCTTCCTTTCTTTGGACTAATTGTATGTTTAAATTTAACGAGAAAATAATCAAAATATAAATATATTACATCTCCCATCTAATTAATTATTTATTAATTTAATTTAGGTATTGCATTTTATTTACTTCGAGAAGTATATGAATGGAAACCACAAAGATTTCCATTTTATATCTTTCATATTGTGTGTTGGGGTATCCCATTAATCTCTATTACCATCTTTGCATCTGGTCATTTTATTGTCAAAGCTGATCAAATTGGATGGTATGAAAAAACAATTAAACACACAAACAAACAAATCATATAATACTAACACTTATTCTTTTTTAGGTGTACAATAACACCAAAGTTTCAATTCTTTTTTTGGGTATTACCATTGGTTATATCAGTATTGTGGAACTTGTTATGTTATGTATTAATCTATAAAAAGTTTAATCAAATCCTATCATTTGGCGTGTTTGGATCGAAATCACATCAACTCAAGCGACATGTCTCTAAAAAGTTAACGCTCTATCTTGCAGCATTCCTTGTTTGTTGGCTACCCGATCTCATCAACCATACTATCTTTTATGTTGGAGCATGTCCTCCGTTTGTCATGTGGGTGTTGCAAGACCTCTTTTCACCACTGCAAGGTTTCCTCAACTTTGTAGTCTATGTCCTAACTTATCGTATCGTCACTGTACCTTGGAAAAGAAACACTAATGCTAATCGTCTTTCATGTTAACTTGAGAGCAAGCCAAGCAAACTAGTTTAAGAAACAAGAGCATGAATCACCTAGTGTGTTACTGCAAACAAAATAAAAAACAGAGTGTGATCATTGCTAGTCTCAGTGATCCACCAACCTTTTGTGATCACCGAAATCCAAGGAATTCACACCATTTTTGGGTTGTTTGGGTTTCTCTTGTGTTGCAGAGAAAGATTTTTACCGCGAATTCTTCCTGGGACCCTGTTTAAACGATGAGTTGGCGGAATCAATTGTTTTTTTCAAACATATTTACGAGCTACTGATTAAATTTTATTCATTGTTTAAACAATCATTCCCACACTATTCCCTTTACTTAAAAAGACAAGACACCATTGTCTTTGTCATTTAATCACACACTTACTTACACACACACACACACACACACACGTATACATTCTACGAGAACCCAAACTACAACATTCATCAAACACATTTTACATTTTACTTTTTTAAAAGAGAATAATCATATTCATATAACCTATAACATATAATAATAATAACATATAATAATGGAACCAATCGAAAATAATATTAATGAAGAGGATATAATAACGGTAGCACCTAGAACACAAAGAGTAAAGAGTGATTGTTTGTCGGATAGTGTTGAATTTACAACAACGGGGACTGATTTAAATCGATCTTATTCATCGCCACCTACTCCTACTACTTCTTCTTCTTCATCATCTTCATCTTCTTCATCATCATCATCGGCATTTACAATTTCAGAGGATGATAGTAATAGTAGTATAATGAGTTCAAGTAGTAATAGTAGTTTTACAGCAGCTGCATCGTCATCAATTAGTTCTAGTGCAACTGTCAACAACAACAACACGATCAAAAGTAGTAGTAATAGTATTAGTCCCATTAAATCAAGTTCAAACAACAATCTTGTACAACAACAACAACAACCACCAAAGAAAATTGAAGGAGAACTAGACAAACAAGGACACATATTCCCAACTTGGCGTACTCGTTGGTTTAGAATTGAAGAAGGACATTTACTATACTTTAAGAGCAAGAAAGAGTCTGATGATAATGGCGTACCAATAGATCGAGTACCATTACGCGGATCCCGGTGCTCCAAGAAACCATTCCACACTCGTTCAAAAACCATCTTTGAGTTGATGGTTCCTTCCTCCTCTAAAAAGGTGTTTTTGTTTGAAGCAAAAACGGCAAAAGAGGTTGATTTTTGGATAAACGAATTGGAAAAGGCTTGTCAATTGGCAAGATCGCCATCAATGAAAGCTTTACCTCCTTATCAACAATAATAATAATAATCCAACTCAATATAAATAATAATAATAATAATAATAATAGTAGCAATAGTCAAATCAAATCCAACTAATCCAAAAATTACTTCTTCTTTCATTTTAAAATATTCTCATTGGAGGATATTATTATATTTATCAACCATCCAATCAACCAAATAATAATAATAATAATAATAATTAATCAATTTCAATCAATTCATCAATCCCACCCAACCTGAACGAATCGAATTTCACTTGTACTAATCATCATAATAATAACAACCATAATAATAATACATAATAATATCGAACAAATTAAATACTTCCTCCATTGGAACTGTATTTAAATAACTACCCTTCCTTTTTTTCCTTTCCTTTTTGGAATCATCATACCCAACTCTCTTATCGATAAGAGATGATCATATCATATAATAATATAATAAATATTTAATTGTAAATTTCCCATACCACCTACCTAATTATTACAAGAGAGTTGATTCATTTAAATTGAAGACTTCTCCCAGGTTGAAGTTGTCGACATGATATCAACCAACATTTAAAGATGGCGATATAATTTTGTTGAGGGGTGATTTATTGATGTTGTGATCCCATTTACAACAATGATGAGTTTTTCTTTTTTTTTCCTCACGATGATATCTTTGATCACTCACCTGCTGGTTATTTTTAAACATAGAGTTATTTTTATCTTGTTAATTAGGAGAGAGAATTAGTTTTAGTTATCTATAATATTAACTATCTTTTAAACAAAGATAGATAAGAGAGACGGATAGAGAATGAGATTAAGACAAACAAAGATTCTTTTAAGAAAAAATCTAATTTTAATTGTAAGAATCAATCAATCGATCAACCAGAATCATCAAAGCAAGATTTATAAATTAATACATCTATCTTACCCCCAATACAAATATTATTATTTATTTATGACTATTCTAGAAAAGAAGTTATAGAGCAACATTTATTCAATTGATTGTACCATTTCTATTTGTCTTTTTCTTATGGATCCTTCAATTTGGTATCAAAGCAAATGAAAAGAATAGTGATGCTTTAAAAGTTTGTAAGTTAAACACATCAATCAAAAGAAGAAATACATATGTATTTGATAATAAGCCCTAATCCTGATTTATTATTATTATATTATTTAGATGATAATCCAATACCAGATCAAATTGGAAATATACCAAGATGTATTATAGGTCCAGATTTGGATTATTGTTATACAGTGGCATATACAACCAATACACCAGTTGGTGAGTTTGTAATCAATGAAATCAAACGTAAACAAAACATTCCAGATGATGAAATTAGAGTGTTTGCCACTTCAGATGATATGGATGTATTTATTGATGAGAATCATAATAGTACAACTGCTGCCATTTCATTTAATCTCACTTCAACCAATCAACTTCATTATTCTGTCATGTATAACAAATCAACTGTCTATAATGAAGCTAAAGAGATCCTAACTCAAACTTATATTCAATTGCCTTGGATTCATGCTATTGAAGTAAGAAGAAGTAAAATAATAGACAAATATAAATTTATTCCAAGTTCTAACAATAATAATTATTATTTCAATTTCTAGTTTGAATTAACAAAAAATATAACAAATAATAATAATTTAAAATTTAATGTTGATTTTATAGAATATGCACATCCAGAATTGGTGATTAGAGATGTTATTGGTGATATGGGACCTGTATTTTTCTTTGCAGCTTTAATGTTTAATGTGGTCATTCAACTTGGTCAAATTGTAAGAGAAAAGGAATTAAAGTTACGTGAAGGTATGAAAATGATGGGTCTCCATGACTCTGTCTATTGGTTCACATGGACTCTTACCAACATTGCCACCAATATTGTATCGGCCTGTATCTTGACTGCCAGTGGTTACATTTTCCAATTTGATTTCTTTAAAAGAAATGAATTCCCAACCTTTTTCTTTGTATTTATTCTCTTTGGTATATCAATGGTTCCATTTGTATTTTTCTTATCAACTATTATTAAACGTTCAGAAATTGCTAGTAAGTTGGAAATTACAAAACAAAAACAAAACAAAAAAGAAAATAACTTTACTAAACTCTTTTATTTATTTATTAGCATCAATTGGATTTGTAATATTTTTAGCAGGAATTGTAATTCAAGGATTTGCACCAACAGCATTCCAAGAGAATTTCTATGCAGCTGTTAGAGTTATATTATCACTTTTACCATTTGCTCTGTTGTCCAAGGGTATTGGAGATTTGTCTGCTGCGTCGGCAGGTAGTCAAGCCAATGGATTAAAGTGGTCCGAGAGATTTGACAATGAATTCTTTTCATTGCAAGATGTCTATAGTTGGTTCATCTTTGACTTTTTCTTTTATTTCCTCATTGCTCTCTATTTGGACAACGTACTAAAAGGATTATATGGCGTTGCCAAGGGTCCATTCTTCTTCCTCCAACCATCATATTGGAGTTCAAAACCACAAAAACCAAAACTAGAATCTGCCAGCAAATCCAAGAAAAGGGCTAAAAAGGGTATAGAGTTGGATGAAGCAGAAGACGAAGACGTTGTGACAGAGAGAGAAAATATCATCAATGGTAATCTCTCTGAACACGATTCGGCAGTAAAGATTACAAATCTCCGCAAGGTTTACAAAAAATCAACTTGTTGTGGAAAAACAAAAGAATTTGCAGCTGTCAAGGGTACTTATTTGTCGATTGCACAGGGTCAACTGTTTGTCCTTTTGGGACACAATGGAGCCGGCAAGACCACTACGTTCAACATGATGACAGGGTTATTCGGACCTTCTAGTGGAGATGCAACCGTGTTTGGACATTCGATTGTTACAGGAATGGATGAAATTAGAAAGACAATGGGTGTATGTCCACAACACGATATTCTATGGAACGAGTTGACTGGACGTGAACATCTTGAAATATTTGCATCGTTCAAGGGTATTCCAGACACGGAAATTCCCAAAGAGGTTGAAGAACGTCTAAAAGATGTTGAATTGACCAACGTGGCCAATTTACCAACCGGAAAATATTCTGGTGGTATGCGTCGTCGTCTCTCTACTGCTATTAGTCTTATCGGCAACCCAAAGATTGTATTCCTTGATGAATGTACTACCGGTATGGACGTATGTAGTAGACGTCAAGTTTGGAATCTCATAGAACGTGTAAAGAGAGGTCGTATCATCATTTTGACAACTCATTCAATGGAAGAAGCAGACATCCTAGGCGATAAAATAGGTATAATGTCCAAAGGTAAATTGGTATGTGTAGGAACATCACTTAGACTCAAGAGCAAGTTTGGAGCAGGTTATAAATTGGTTGCACTCTATGACGCCACCGTTGATGATGCAGCAACAAAAATTGCCAACTTTTTTGAAGTTCAATTATCTGTCAAACCATCTTTAATGCAAGTCGGCTCACTAGAGTTTAATGTTCCAAGATCACAACTCAACAATTTAATGGAGTTCTTTGACAAGGTTGAAGCTGCAAAGGCTGTCCTACCACTCACCGATATTCAAATTCGTATGTCAACTCTAGAAGAAGTTTTCCTTACTATAGCTGGTCATGATGAATAATTAGATCCTAATATTTATATTTATATATATTATATAAACCACTCACAACCATAATTAAATATTTTTTCCAAAAAATAATAATAATACTTTAATAAATGAAATATATATTTGTAATACTACAACTTTAATTTATTTCAACATAGGTCAATGAGAGGTCTGATCTTGTATAACCTCTGATTTCTAAAAAGTAACTGGAGGGTGGTTATGATCAACATCGACTGCAACAACAATTGGGCCTTTATTTAAATTTATTAACTTGGGATGGCATGGTAGCGACCCAGCATTCAGGGACGACGTCGGGACCAAGATCAAATTGATTTTATTTTTTTGGTTCAAAGGAACTCGCTCCTTCTCTCTTGCATTTTAAAATATAATTATTATATTTGAATCAAACAAATAGAATAGAATAGAGATATCAAACAATGATAGACGTATCATCATTCATCAAAGTGTTGATGAGAATATTTATATTTTTGTTTTTATTGATAAACACTTCTGTATTAGCAACAACTGTTGAGAATCATAATAACGATAATAATAATAATAATAATAATAACAACACTATTATAACAACATTCTATGTAACAAATATAAATATTAGTAGTAGTAATAATAATAGTAGTGTATTATGTGGTCAAAGCATTTTAACAGCATGTCCAGATATACAAAGTGCATTTGATGCATTCTACCAACAACAACCATCATTTCAACAACGATTGACAATCATTTTAACTGCACCACCAAATAATAACAATAATAATAGTACTACCAATAACTCTACAATAATATTTAATAGTGAAAGAAATAGTAATTTAATTATTAATCAAAGTATAGTTAACATTACAACAACAAACCAAGACTATGGATTGATTACAATCGATTTGTATAATATGACATCATGTTTTGCTCAAGTAGTATCTAGTGGTATAAACTTTTACATTAAAGGTGTATCATTTACAAATACACCTCGACTTGTCAATGAAGTGGTATCGTTCATCTTTAGTAGTAACACACTCGAAGATTTCTATTCAATCGCAATCACAGACTGTCACTTTTCCAACATCAACTAAATTAATTGAATTAGTAGATATGAACAACTGTACATTTGCAAATGTTGTGGCACAGGCATCAATCGTCTATGTACAGGGTGCAGGTTTCACTAATTTCTTCTCTGTTGATGTCGTCTATGGTAGTGGTAACAACATACTCTGGCTACACGACGTTGGTGTCGTAACCATTGAATCGAATACGTTTACTGAATTCAACAGTGTAGGTCATGTGGTAGACATGTATGGCAACGACAATATCACAGTGTCAAGTAGCTGGTTCTCTGAATTGGCCGGTACATCCGTTATCAATAACAATGCCGGTCAATATTACACGGGATTCACCAACATCACATCCTGCACCTTTTATTCGAATCAAGTCGAATCGTCGGTACTCTTATCGAATGGTGGTGCATCATTATTGATTGCAGACACCAAGTTTTCCATGAACTCTGCTGGTGGAAACGGCTCTGCCTTTTACCTCTCTGAAAACTTGGACACTGTCATTATGAATTCGACCTTTTACTCTGGTGATTCTCAAGGTTATGGTGGTGCAATCTATGCAATTGACAGTACAGTACGTCTTGACAATTGCAATATCGTCCAAAACCGTGCCGGGTATGGTGGAGCCATTTATCTAGTCAACTCGTCCTTATCGCTTACCAATACCGACGTTGGATTAAATATGGCAATTGATAATGTCGGTGGTGCAATCGCATGTAATAGCATGATATTCAGTCACGTAGAGTTGAACGATGGAAACACATTTTATGCCAACAAAAATTCACAATCCGTGCCAATCACTGGTACTGGATGCTACAACAATGGAAATCTATACATGTGTAGTGTCAATGGTACTTCATGTGGACCCAATACAACTGGTGGTGGTAGCGGTAGTTATCCCGATAATAATGACAACACTCCAAATAATCACCATACTGCATTGATTATTATATTTTCAGTTTTAGGTGGTGCCATTGGAATAGTTATCATTGTTACCATTATAATATATCGTCATCATCGTCATCATCATCATCATCATCATGATAGTCATCATCATAGTTATCAACATGAATATGCACCAATTTTACAGTAATATTAACCATAACCACAATAGATTTTCACCTCAATCAATGTCTGATAAAGGTTAGGTAATGTTCCTATCTATGAAGAAATAATAAAATATTAATAATTTAAAAGATTTATTTTTCTTTACAAATCAGAATTTCGTATTAAACTTTGATTCTCATCACAATTGTCATCGTCATCATAGTCATCGAAATAATCAGCTTCCTTTTCATTTCCTTCATGTTGATCTTCGTCGAGTTGAAATAATTGGTTGATACTATCATTTTGTCTTTTAAAATTGTTATGTTGGTCATTATTGTCATTAGAGGTTGGTGACATGGTAGAGGTGATTGTCCAACGATTATCCATGACATCCGATTTCCTTTTCTTGAAACATTTGGAAAATGGAATGGCAAGACAACACATTGAATCCGAGTAGATATCTTTTCTAGAGTAACAACATTTACAACAGAAACGAGCTTCTTTTGGTTTGGTCAAACAACAAAAAAGAAATATACCAGAGGTGACCAACGTGGCAATACCACCAGCCACTCCAATCGTCACCCAGTTGAATCTCATGTTACAAGAACCTCCAAAATAACCAGATTGACAGCTTCCACAGTCATCTCCATAGTACCCTGTTCCATCCAAACACTTGCATGTGCCATCGGGTTGACAATTTCCATTTCCAGAACAAGTTTCACTTGCAAGACAATAGATTGTACAGTTGGAAGCTGGAAAGTAGTTGTGTGCACATTGACAATTCTTTGTGGTACATGTCCAATTTGATTGACATAGCTCTGTACAAACACTATCACCAAGTCTCAACAACCCACTACCAGCTATAGTCGTATTGTCATCCAAATCCAATGTCCAAGTAGTTGCAACCACCAAACTATTTTCTCCAACTGCCAATTTACAACTTTTAATAAATAAACTACTACTATTATTGGTTGATTCATCACCATCCAATGGAGGAAATTCTAATGATTTTCTAGTTCCCTTTTGTGAAATTAATATTACTCCTTTTTCTTGTGTACAAAGATAAATACTATTATCAACTGCTACAACTTGATCTAATATCGTTAACTTTTTAAAAAGAATTATATAATTAGCATATTTCTAAATAATACTCTTTTTCTATCGATACATACAGGTTCATTATTAATTAACCAATTTGTTTCATTTGTTATTGTATTTATACTCATCAAGTATGTACCACCTTTTGGTTTTTGATTGGCCAATTGAAATGATGTTATAATGTATGGGTTGGTGATAGCTATGGTTGGACTTAATATACCTGATCGACAATCAACATTCTTTACAAGTTTTTGAGTGTAAAAGATGACCGATTGATCGTGTAAATACCTAGATTCAATATTGAAACTAGATCCATTACAAACTAGTTGAGTGACAGTCTCAAACACCTCTATCCTTGTTGGTCGATTGATAATATTATATGTAAATACTCTAATAACACCCGATGATGTTATCTGACCAAAGTATGGGTCTTGATTGGGATCTAACATTAAATAATAAGAGTCATTGTATGACAGTGCAACAGTAAATGGTTGATCAGTGTTGGATTGATTATATACAACTACTTGACCATACTGGTCGTACGTATAATCTATAAACACCAATGTATCATTTAATCCATCCATCAAAGTAGATTGTGACCTCGTAGATTGTAGAGTTGATCCATCTGACGAAGATGGGAATTCAATACTATTGATTAAATTGCCACTCGTCCTATCAAACATATATACATATTGATTACAATTAATGGTAACCAAACCATTTAATAATTGTGGGAATGAACATAATATATTTTGATTATTTGGTACAATAGTTATATTACTAATCCAATAAATAGTTCCATTCTTTGCACTAAATGAAAGAAAAGAAAAAGTATTAAATTAAATTGAATGAATGAATTAATTTAATAATTATTATTAATAATATGTTCATACTCAATAGAATATAATTGATTATTTAATTGATCTAACAAAAAGATTGTACCATCTTCATTATTATTACTACTCGTTTCATTATCATATAATAATGAGAATACTAATGATTGAAATGAATCATCATTATCTGAATTGTTATTATTATGATTGTTGTTATTTGTAGTTTGATTTATATTAATGTTTAATGATATACCAAAATATAATACAATGGTATTATAATTAAATCTCTTTAATTGAATTGATATAGTTGTACTGTTGTTATTGTTGTTATCTTGGTTATTATCATTTAAAGATAAGAATACAAATGATTGATCATCTAATACGATTGGATTATAAACTAAATGATATGGTTGTGGTTGATTACTTGTAGTGTCATGATGATTGTTAAATGTCCATTCCAAGTTATTTATGATTGGATCACTGCTTGAATAACTAGTATGATATTGATCATGATAGAATTGATAGTATTGTGCAAAAACAAATGGTGAACTGCTGCTTGCAACCAAAATAATAAATGTTAATAATAAACTTTGAATATTAATATTCATTCTCTTTTCTAGATTGATATAAAGATATGATTAGAATGCATAAAGATATAATAATAATAATAATAATAATAATAATAATAATAATAATAATAATATAATTATAATGAATGATCAAATGATTGTCTTTTTTTTTTATTATTATTTAATTAAAACTATAGAGATATCATAGATGAATGAAAGATTGATGTTTCAGTCTGGTAAAAACAACGTGTTTTGGTTTTGTCCAGAACCAGGACAAAAAAAATTTAAAACAATAAAACTACACCGAAAAAGAAGAACAAGGAGGTGACTATGCGACTGTAGTATCCCAGCTTGACCATCGTCGACGATGCTGAGCTTGGATGCACTTCACTTCCATCGATAATTGGATCGAGAGTTCCTGTAGTTGTGGTGGTCGTAGGTCTCATACTGGTGATTGGTGACATGGTAGTGGCGGTACGAGTAGTCGTAGTCGTAGTACTAACCAATGTGGTCTTAACATTGGTAGTGACTCCAGCTGAACTAGTTGGTGAGATGGTGGAAGTAGTCGTAGTAGTTGGTGATCCAGTGGTAGTGTCAACTGTTGTGGTGGCAGTTGTAGTAGTTGGTGATCCAGTAGTTGTATCAACAGCTGATGTGGTAGAGGTGGAACTGTTAACAGTTGAGATTGACGATGAATCGGTCGTTGTGGTGGTAGTAGTTAAATTGGTTATATTAATAAAACGGTCTTGACCAAGTCTCCAACCATTCACAATAATTTCCACAGTGTAAATCCCTGCTGGTACTACATTTGCTGGAAGATTACAAGAGATGGTGGTATGATTAGATTTAGCTTGATTGATTGGACATGGTAACCCTCCACCAATCATAACTGATGAGGCTGGAGTACTCGAAAATTCACCAACCAAGTATAAATTGCCACCAGCAGTCGTAATGTTTGAATGTGACCAAAGGATTGGATAGTCTAGGTAGAATGCCCAGTTTGACGTTGCAGAACCATAGGCATTTGTGACTGTTGGTTGGGACCCCGTTGGAACATTGGCAGTACCAACGATACAAATAATGTTGGTCGAGTTGATCGATTGCAAGACACAGTCATAGTTGGAAGCTCCTCCTCCAAGAGTGATGTTGTGTGTAATCGATGGTACGAATTCACCCTTGATGTCGACCAACAATTGGTTGAGTAGTTGTTTGTAGGTAGTCGAGGTGATTCTTGGTCCAGCATAAATGAGATTGATCGTTGCATTAATGGTCGAGCTAAAAACAAGTGTGACTTGTTTTGGTTTGGACCAAGGCACAAGATAATCAGCAGCAACATTTGGCTTGGAAATGAATAATCCATTTGTGCCAATAGTCTCACCCCAACCAAGTGAAGTTCCTCGAATTTCAATCGATGTAGTTGAACTTGTAATATAATAATCATATTGTGATAATCCAAATGCTTTAAAATAAAAAATAAAACAAAATAAATTAATAAATGTAAAATTAAATAAATTAATTATTATATTACAACTTACAAGTACAAATATGATTTTGATAGTTTGGTACAGAGGTACCGGTGAACCAACTTGAAACACCATTCTTCCAATAACATTTAAAACAATCGGCAACGTCGGTGAGATTGATATTGTTGGCAAAGTTGAGTGAACTCGATTGACAATAGTTGTTTGGTACGGTACCCGACAAACGATTGTTGGATGCTGTGAATTGTGGAAAGTAGTAGTCGGTTGGAAGCGAGCCAGTCATATCATTGTAACTATAGCCAAGACCATAGGTTGATGCTGGAAAGTAAGAGACGGGTGGAAAGGTGGTTTGACCAGACTTGCTTGACGTTTCAGAGTAGTAATAAGTGTTTGGTGGTAACACTGAAAAGGTTACATTTGACAATTGGAGTGAAATGGTACGGAGTAATGGAAAGGCAGCAAGACTGTTTGGTACAACAGTTTGATTACCTTGGACATGCAACAATGAGATATTCTTTGAACCGTTGAAATCAAAGGTTGCACCATTGTCGTAGGAGCAGTGAAGCAACGATTGAAGATTAGGAATATTAACATAGATTGTTGGTTTGGTTGATAATACTTGATTGTTTGAAAACAAAGACAATGTTTTCAAATTTGGGAATAGAATCGAATGAAAATTATACAATGTATTTGTTCTTGATAATATTACTTCACTAAATAATAAAATAAATGGTAAATATAATATAATCACATTTTAAAGATTGATATATAATATTTACAGTGAAACAAGTTTGGTGGATGGTGATGACAATGATACCCAATACTCTAATCCATGTTCAAACATTAATCTAAACAAAGAAGAAAAGGAATTATATAATTAGTTTATGAAATAATTGAATTTTAATTAATATTAATATTAATATTAATGGTTAATACATACAAATGAGTAATATTTGATTGAAATATAGAGGTTGGTAGGACAGTAAGACGATTACCAGATACTGATAATCTATTGAGGAGAGGCAAGTTGATTGGGAACCCAGTAGGAAACTCAGTGACAGATTGTTGGTATTGTACATTGAGTGTAGTGAGTTTTGAAAGATCACGAATGTAATTTAAAACATTGTAGGTTGTAATGTTTTCCTTTCTACTAATCGAGATTGATAAACATTCTGGTAGATAGAATCTACCATTAAGAGGTACACCAATTGGACTTGGTCTTTGATATCTAGTGCCATCAACAAGTGAGATTGTTTTAATGTGGTTTCCAGTCTCTGTAACGACACAAGTGACTCCACTTGCACTACCACTGCACATTCCCGTCTCTGTTACATTCCATGACAATTGATATTGTCTTGATATCCATTCCAATGTATCGACTATATAAACAAGATATAAAAGAGTTAGCACTAAGATCTAGATAGATAGATAGATATCTAAAAATAAACAAAAGAAAAAACACATACATTCTTCTACTGTAAATGAATAGACAGTCTTTGTCGATTGTGATAAAAGTAAGATGATTGTTGTAATTGTAAATAATATTAGGTGTTTATACATTATTATTATTATTAATAGTTGATTATTAATTAATTGATTGATTGATTGATTTGATGATTCTAAAACAACATGACAATCATTGTATTTATAGTCTATAGTTTAGTTTGTTGTGTCTCTATACTCTTATTAGAGTAATGAGAATATTCTCATTCTCGATAATCATTTCCTCTACATATCATTGATGTTTAATCTATCTATAACCAAACTAGTTATTTGTTGCGAATGTGATGAAATAAGTGCATGTGATGAATCACAGCACTTGTTCAACATGTTTTTGTTGACAAAGAAAAAGAATTTTTTGCCCATTTTCATTGAAGTTTAGTACAACTATTTTAGATTGTTGAAGTTTCATATTATTAATATTTTAAGGATGATTGGAATGTTGATCTTTGCACTAGTGATGATGATCACAGAGACAAAGATAAAGAATAGATTATTTATTTGAAATGAGCAATAAATATGGTGCTCTGTGAATATGAGGTTGATTGAATCTACGATAAAGTGATCAAAGGAGGGTTTTCAAATTAAACATAGAGACTATATTTTTTGTTGAATGCCATTTGACCTTTCTCATTTAGAATCCAGAGCTCTGGGAATCCTGGAGCAGCAACGAGTTGTTTGCTTAGGCCTTGTGTTCCCCACCAATTTGGAACGTATCCAAAGTATTGGGTAACTGGGATTGTAACACATTCGGAGCATATGCAAGTACTACATAAACTTGATTTTCTAAAAACAAAGTTTCCATTTGCCCACTCACCCTTGTATTTCATTGTCACTGGATATTCATAAGGACGACCATTATTGCACCTAAAACAACAACAACAATTAATAATTAAATCATCAAAATATTCCTGCTACTATATATTTTAGAGTACTTACGAAAGGTATAAAAAGGTTGGTGATTCTGGTATGACTACAAATGTAGTTTGAGTTAGTAATTCGGTAGCATCCATTGATCCGTTTGCGTAGAATCTAAAATTCATGGTGGAGGAGGTGAGAGGGTTAATCCATTCATTTGGCTCGTTGACATGATTGATTCCTCCTGTTTGTCGGTTGAATTGACCCCATTGGAGAGAGAGATCGGGTCTTTGGAGAACAAACCCCCAAGTACCTGCGTCCAACAATGGCATACGGAGATAACGAGTGCCTGATTGACTGGTTATGAGACACCAATACGATTTGGTTGAATCGGATGCCATTGTAGTGCAACCATTACCATCGTCACCATAGTAGAACATGTATGGTGATTGTTGTATGTCTGGAGCATCGCCAGCCCAAACATAGGAACCTGTTGGTGCTGTACGGGGGTTGTCAGTAAACAAAGCTATCCTGCCCTGTGCCGTCATGAAAAGGTAGTGTTGGCCGTTGGTGATAAACTCATTGGCCTTTAATGAATTCAATGCAGTGTTTTGGTTGTCGAGGTAGGAACCTGGGATAAGCATGTATGGGCTATTCGAGACAATAGCTGGACCAAATCTACCCCAAACCATCTTGCCAGCATCGTTGACAATCACAATACCCCAAGCTCTACCATAGGAGCCTGTCGGAAGAAGACCAAAGCTTGTACCACCTAGTCTCTGGGTATTTGCACACCAATGTTCAGTGGTATACGATTGATCATTAGCGAAACGATGGGTAACACCAAGACACAAATTACCGTCATCCCTAAGATAAAGAAAGGATCCAAACATTGGGTCTGAAGTTGAAGTTTGACCAACACTGTAGACACTTTCTCCTCCAAAGGTAACAACAAGACCAGCAGCATAATTGACATATAATGCAACTCGTTGACTCCCTTCTCCAAAGCTCCATGCGGTGCCGTAACCTAATTTATTGGCCATACCCTTGGTAATTGAAGCACCTGGCACAAGTGTAATTGAATCTGCACTGTTAATAGGGGATTCTATAGATCAAAAATAAATAAAAAAAAGATTAAATAATTGTACTCTTTTTTTTTTTTTTTTGAATAATAGTTTGGTAATTACGTGATAATGTACATCCTATTAAATAGATGAATAATATTAAAACTAAAAGAGGAGAGAAAAAAAATGATAAAGAGGAGAGAGAAAATGGAAAAAAATTAATAACAATAAATAATAATAATAATAATAATAATAATAAATAAATAATTACCAATTGATTTAATTTTCATTGTTTCTTTTAAGAGATAAATGAGAATGGAGACTATTGAGCTCCCAATAGTTACTTTTATAATCTATCATTGATTTGATTAAAAAATAAAAATAAAATATCCTTACATTGGTTGGTTGGTATACGTGTTCAAAAACACTGACGTCGGCTCTAAACAAAAATCAGGGGGAGGACCTGTTTTGTAAATCATATGATTATCTATAGATACACCAACCAAACAACATCAAATCAACCTGTGTTTTGGCCGCGAACGTGGGGACCATCATCGACAATGGTTCTATCTATCTATCTTTGGGCATAGGGAATCTATGAAATAAAAAGCGGGGATTATTTGAACCGAGAAAGGATTGGATATGATACTAAAAACCAATTCATAGTTTTTGTGCTAGTTGAGTTGTCACGACCAAACAAATCATCATATATGATATATTATATTATGACGACTCTTGATTAGATAGATATGTTATTAGTAATGTGCGTGTTGCTTTTGAAGTAGTGTTGAACATCTTTGTATTTACAGTTTTATGTCTCTTTGAGTAATGAGATTATTCTTCTCATTCTAGACAATCATCTAAAGGATGATCTGTATATATCATTATTGAATGTTATGATATATCTAAACCCAAACCACTTATTTGTTGTTGTGCGTATGATATAATGAAAAAATTAATAAAAATTAATAAACAAGCACCTCTCACTTTTTTTTTAATTTTTGCAAAGTATTATTTTTAATAATTCCCTCTTTTCCTTGGAGCAACTTAATCTTATCTCCTAAAATGTCTGCTTCCTCTTCCATTGACGAGTTGTCAAAATGATGATACGACCTCTCTTTACACGTTCTATGAGATTCCAAACTTGACGTCTACTACATACATCCATACCAGTTGTACATTCATCAAGGAATACAATCTTTGGGTTGCCAAAAAGAATAATACGTCGTCTACTCTCTACTGCATACTACAAGAGTATATATTCTCCGGTGGGTTAATTAGCCAAGTTGGTCAGTGAGTGTCTGGAATACCCTTGAAAGCGATGCAAATATTTCAAGATGTTCACGTCCAGTCCACCCGCTCGCCATAGAATATCATGTTGTGTATACAAAAAATATCAGTAGATCTAAACTCTTTGAAGTATCAAAGTGGTAATATCTTAAAAAAGGTTAGTCTTAAATTTATCTTCCCATTTTATAAATTCTGGGAGGATAAGATATGTTGATAGAAATGGTTGAACACTCAACAAAAATGCCCGATCATCATCTTAAGAGACAGGTAGTAAAATACGCACTGGGGGTTTGTGGGAGTGGTGGAGTTAATCTAGATTAAGTGTTGTCGATCGTGATTGCCAACACTCAAAATAACTCATTTCGGTTTTCAGCTGTTTTTTAAAAAAAAAACTGCCAAAATACAGGGGCGTTGGGAGGCAGACCGAGTGCATATTGCTTTGTCCAACCTTGAGAGTTCTCCGCGTCGTTTTTTTTGCAAAACCTTGAAAATGTTGTCCTTGGAAAGGACCCTGTCTCGTACTCATGGGTGCTCTGAGTTTTCAGATTTTTATTGTCTAAATTACAGCCTTTGGGTTACACCCAACTTATACTCACGGAAATAACACAACATTATTCTTTTCTTTCTATGGATGGTCCGATTCAGCCCTGTCGTAGTGGGGAGAGAGGGGGGAGGTTTAGAATTCTGGCTGGTAACCAGACAGAAACCCAACGCCATGTTTGTCCCTATTGTCCTATTGGTTCAATGTGGTCTATATTGATGTATTCCGTAAATCTAAGACCGCCCTCCCTCTCTCGAGCAAGTACAATCGCAATCAGATCTCTGATGCATCTTTTTTTGTTTGCATTATTTATTTTCTTTTTTTCCCTATGATTCTTCTTCCTCTTCTTGTTCAACTATCTTCATTCTAAGGTTTAGTTTTATTTTATTCTTCTTCTCTCCTCCTTACCTCCTTTTTCCTCTTTTTTTTTAATCTCTCACAACGGTTATTTTTGTAACATTAAAATCAATTTTGTATTATTATTATTATTATTAATTTATTTATTTATTTATTTCGTAAGTAAAATATTAATCTATAATATGTATTATACAAATGATTATCTCTAACTTTGATCTATTTTTTTCAATACTTTTAACAATAATAGGATCAAAAAAAAACAAAAGGAAACAGGAATTTTTTTTAGATAGTAATGGCATCATTATTTTCTAGAGTAGTTATCCTACTCGTCTTTGCTTGTGTTTTCACTCAAGGTACATACATACATACTTATATAATAATGATAATAATAATTCTATTTCCTACTCCTCAAAATCCAAAAAATATTGAAAACTAAAGTGTGGAGGAGGGAGGGAAAAGTTTGAAAAAAAAAAAACTTTGCAAAGATACTCATACTCATACTTTCTCTTCATTTCATTTATTACTTTTACTTTCAAATTAGCAACACATTTTAGATTTGGGTCTATTTCATGGGCACCATTATCACAAGACAATTATAATGTTATTAATGTAAAGTTGAATCTTGCATTTAGATCGGGTTATTGGAGCTCGAGTTCGATCAGGGTTGGTAATACCATTTCATCGGGTACTGGTACGATTACCAGTGGCAATGGAGGGTCTGTTGCAGTACCACTTGTCGTCAACACGATCAATACTGTCGATGGCTGGTTTACCGGTACCGCCGAATTCCAATACACCTACCCCAAGGGCAAGAACGCCACCTACACCATTGTCTACACTGGTAATGCTCGTATCTCGACGCTCTACAACAACGCCGACAAGAATTGGAGACTCACTTCAAGTGTCACTATCAACACATGGAAGCAAAACAGCTCACCAGTCACCAACACCTACCCAATCATTCCAGTGGTTACACCAGGCACCAACACATTCCAAATCGTCGCTACCGACGCTGAGAGCAGCACACTCACCTACTCGTTATCCGAACCATCCGAGTTTGGTGGAGGTTCCAAATGCCCCAATCTTACAGTGTCCAACTCTGGTCTAGTTACCTTTACCACTGGTATCAAGCCATCTCTCTTTAACACTCAAATCAAGATCTCTGACGGTACCGATTTCACCGTCACTGATTTCATTCTCCAATCCGACTATGGATCGATTAATGCCGAACCACCCTATTTCGCACCACCAACTCCCGATGACGGTGACGTCCTTTTCGTGCAACCAGGTACCAACATCTCATTGACCTATCTTGCCAAATCCAACACTAGCTCGCAAGTATTCATCAAGCCATCCAACGTCCCATACGGTGTCACTCAATACGCCCAAGCTGGTTTGAATCCAGGTACCATGAACAGTTGGTGGGTTCCAACTGCCAGTAATGTAGGTCGTTATGTCATTTCTCTAGGTCTCTCTGATAAAGAAGGTTTGAGTATGACTGGTCAAAGCTCCTTTGTTTTAGTTGTTGGTAAGTTTTTAAACAAACAAATTATATATATAATTAATCTATCTTTTATTAATTACCTTTTAATTTATTTTGTTTTTAGAATCACCATCATGTGGACATGGTAGACCATGTAATGGAGCAGATACATCATGTTGTGTTTGTGATGGAAATTGGGATAATTCAACCAAATGTTTTGAATGCAAAGAAGGATTCTATGGTCCAGATTGTATTCCAACTCCACCATGCAAGAATGGTACTGTCAATGGCGGTGTAGCCGGTGACGGTTCCTGTCAATGTTACTCTGGATACACTGGATCCGCTTGTGACACTCCAATCAGCAAGAGATGTGCCGCTAGCGACCCATCAGCAGTTGTTTCCACCGCCTCCAACGACAATAGTTTTGTCAACCCAACTCTCTCGTCGGTCTATGTCTCGACCACCTCCAAAACAGCCTTTAACGTCCCCATCAAGGTTACTGTACCAAGCCCACTCCCAGCACTCGATGTCTACGTCCTCTTGGATGTCGCCACCAGAACCTCAACCATTACCAGTGATTTCATCAACTATATCGACTCTTTTGTCAACTTGGTCGGTGGAAACGTCGAGAATGTTAGATTTGGTTACGGTAGATTCTCAGATGCCACCAATGGTGGATACAACTTCCAAGCTGTCAACACTATCGGTACTACGATCAATGATTTCATCAAGACTACCGCCTTTACCACCACTACCACCACATCGGGCAACTCAATGGTCGCTCTCTACAACGCTGCACTCAACTCGAATGGTTGGAGACAGGGTTCGTTCAGAGTGATCCTCGTCGTCACTGACAATGATGCCGTCGCACCAACCACTGCCAACAGCAACCTCTACATGAATGCATTGGCACAAAACTCGATCATGCCAGTTGTTCTCGGCACTGGTAGCTCATCGCTCACCAACTGGAACGCATTCTTTAGCGCTGCCGGCTTTGGTTACTCGCTTGCATCGGGTACTGGCTCTGCATGGGCATCCAACGCTGCCACACTCGCATCGGTCCGTTCATACTCCAAGATTGTCACCCGTGTCACCAACGATGCCGACGGTTTTGCCACCGCCAAGGTTGCCGACGTCACTACTGCTTCGCTCAACACCATCAATGTGCCCGTCGTCTTCCCAACGGCCGACCCATCCAACAATCCAACCGTCGAAGTCTCCTTTATCGGTTTTGGCAAGAGTTCAATGAACATTGTCTACAATCACGCCCCCGTTGCCATGTCGTCGATCATCAACATCAACGAAGACACCGTCGCCACCTTCTCGTTTGCATCGACCGTCTCTGACCCCGATTTCAACATCCTCACCATCTCTTTCAACTCGCTCCCAACCAAGGGAAGCATCAAGTACAATGGAGCCGCTGCCACCACCACCGGTGTCTACCCTTCAGCCGCCATCTTTACCTATACCCCAAATGCCAACTACTTTGGAGCTGACATGTTCTCCTACAGTGTCAATGACGGTTGTTTGGTGTCTGGATCAACCGGTTTGATCACTGTCAACCCTGTCAATGATCCACCAACTTGCAATGCCTATGGTATCACCTCGAATGGCGGTCAATCATCTGCTGCATTCACACTCACCGGTAGCGACATTGACAATGAGCCAAGTGAACTCTTTATCATCTACTCTTCACTCGCCAACATTGCATCGTACGGTACACTCAAGACTGTTGCCGGTGCTGCCGTTGTTGCAGGTACCAAGTATGTATACGGCACCCAATTCATCTTTACCCAAACCTTTAACGGTGCCGACACTGTCACCACCGTTCCATTTGTCATCCATGACGGTGAACTCCCATCCTCTTCATCGTGCAGTCTTACCATCAACATGAAGCACACCAACGTTGCTCCAGTACTCTCTGCTCCACTCTCGGTCACATCCAATGCAGGTTCTGAAATCATATTTGGTGTCACTGCCGAGGATTCAGACTCTACTACCATCCAATTCTCGGTTGTATCTGTCACTCCTGGCACTGGATACTTTTATCTCTGTGGAACCTCCACCAAGATCACCGCCGCTGTCAATGTTGGCACTCCAATCACCCTCGCCAACAACAAGGCATTGACTCAAGCAGTCTGCTACCACATCGATGGTGCTCAACCAAACGGTCTCAACGTTGCCAGCGTTGTATTTGGTTCGGCCGACAACCAAGGTCTCCCATCCAACACTGTCACTGTCCAAGTCAACGTTGCCGGTACTCGTAACAATGCCAAGCCAGTTGCCACCCCAGTCACTGTCCCAGCACTCTATGAAGACGGTCTCTCTGTCGCTATCGTCCTCAACGGTACCGATGCCGATACTTTGGATCAAGGTAACCTCCGTGCAGTCTACACTGCTCCATCCAAGGGTCAATTGATTGTTGCTGCCGGTGGTGCTGTTGCTGCTGCCGACGGAAAGGCTCCATACACTGTATACTACAAGCCAAATGCTCTCTTTTACGGTACTGACTCATTTACATTCTATGTCTATGATACTATGGGTGCTGTCTCTGATTCTGTCACTGTTACACTCACTGTCATCCATGTCAACCATCCACCAACTCTTCCATCTGCCACACTCTCATTCACTCAACTCTCACATCCACTCCAATCACTCACACCCAATGATGTAGATGTCGGAGATGTGTTGACATGTTATGTTGTCTCACTCCCAACTACTGGTCAAGTCACCGACTCTAGCAGTGTTGCTATTACCAGTGTTGCATCACCAGTTGTTCTCTCGACCAAGCAATTCAGTGCCAAGGAAACACCAGCCAACTCTATCGACCCATACACCACTACTTTCAAGGCCAAGTGTTGTGATCAAGTTGGTGCCTGTTCTCCAGACACTACCATGACCATTGTCTACAAGTATATTAACCAAGCTCCAGTTGCTCTCCAAACCAACGCATCATGTGATCAAGACTCATCAGTCACATTCAACTTTAACTATACCGATGACAAACCACTCCCAGCTACCATCAAGTTGGTCACCCTCCCAACCAACGGTGTCCTCCTCGTCAACAATGTCGTCGTCTCATCGACCGACACTATCCTCCCAACCGACAATGTAGTGTACCGTCCAAATGCAGGTAAATCCAACGATGATACTATTGGCTTTGCCGGTCCACTCGACACTATCTCATTCAGTGTCATTGACTCTGATTCGTTGTACTCTCAACAACCATCAACTGCCACATTCTATGTTGCTCCACGTAAACCACCCACCTACACTGGTCTCAACGAGCTCAACACCAATGAAGACACTACTTTGAACTTTATTGTTGAAGGTGCTCCACCAAGAGGTCAATCCAACTTTGATCTTGTTCTCGGTGACATTGAAGGACGTGGACAATTGTCATACTATGTTTGTGATGAACCAGAATGTCTCCGTATCGCCAAAAAGGGAGACACATTCCAACACGATACCAAGTATCCATTCATCTACACTCCATTGGCCAATGACAATGGAAATGCCATCTTTAACCTCTCCTTTACCCTCGTCTCTGAACAACAAGTATCATCAGACACTGTAAAGATTGTCATCAATGTACTCCCAGTCAACGATCCACCAACCATTGTATTGAATGACTTTACCATTGTCGGTGTCGAAGGTTCCAAAGCACCATTGACCAATGTCATCTCATTCCCAATGAACCAAAGTATCATCATGTCTTGGTCTGGTTATGATATCGACTCGCCAAACAACACTCTTGTCTGCACTGTCGCTTCACTCAAGGTAGCTGCCGGTTCATTCTACACTTACAATGCATCCAACTCTGAAAATGGATTTGTTGGAAGCAAGCTCGTAAGAGGTTCGTCACTCGGCACTTATGATGCCGTCACTAACCTATGGCACGCTGTCTTTGTCCCAACCGAGGGTCGTTATGGTAATGGTTTTGCTGGATTCTCTTTCAGTTTGGTCGATGACCAATTGTTGGCTTCACCACCATCGACCGTCACCATCAACGTTGAGTCGGTCAACCAAGCTCCATCCATCACACTCAAGCAAGCCTCCTTTACCGGAGTTGAACAAACCGATATTGTCATCACCGGTGTCACTTTTAGAGACCCAGACTCCAACATTAACAATGTCTCTCTTGTCATCTCGGTTGTCAACGCCAACCAAGAACTCGTCAAGGGATCGTCCATCTCATTCTTTGGTAATGTTGAAAAGGAATACTGTGTCAATGAAACCAACAAGATCACCTGTGTTGAAGACCAAGACACTTTGAATGCCTTGATCAAGACCATCACTGTCCACAACCCAACCACTGGAAACATCTTCCTCAACGTCTTTGTTGATGATCTCGGTTACAATGCACCAATCGCCAAACGTAACGTCAGTCATCTCACAGCCACTGAAAACGTTGCACTTCTCGTCTCATCCAAGCCAACCAGCAAGACTACCAACACCACAGTCTTGTCTGCTGCTATTGCCGGTGCCGTCGCAGGTGCTGCCATTCTAGTTGCCGGTGCCTGGAAGTTCCTCAAGAAGTCCGTCCCACCAACCAGTGCCTTCTTTGGTGACTCTCCATTCTCTGATGGTGCCATCTCATCCAATCCACTCTACCAAGAATCTGGTAATGCTGGTGTCAATCCATTCTATGAAGCTAGTTCTGCTTAAAATCAATAATATTTAGTTCAAACATTCAATTCATTTTTTCCCTCCTCATTTATAAGTAGTACTACTAATCAATAATAATAATATTAACCAAAACATAATTTATAAATCTATACCCATTTTTTATTTTAAATATCACAAAAAGGAACCCTCCTAACTATCTTTTTTTTTTTATTAAACTAATACTAATACTTTTTTAAAAAAACACAACAACAGATACAATCATCAAAAACAAGTGGAGCCCTTGATCAATTGTATGTATGCAACCCGAAAGAAATAATAATCTACTTTTAGTTTACCAAGCTAACACTTCCATTCCATTTTCTTTTATATAAATTTAGATAATTTGGATTCGCGAAGGGAGAACTGGTTCCCCCAAACACCACCTATACAAGCAAAAGATATAGGCACTTTTTCAGGGGACATTATGATAATGGCCTAATTTTCTCGAGTGATGATGAATTATAAATATCCATTAGTGTCTTTTCACTGTTTTAAGGGACCAATTTCAGACCCAAGAGCGTTTTGGGGATTTCACATCGAACGTTTGATAAAAAAAATATCGTGTTGGCGCCGATCGAGATAAAAGTGGGCGATCAAGAGACACAAAGAGGAATGAGGTTAACGCCACCAAAAGTGAGGGTGGGGCACTAATTCTGACTCTGAGCTTGTCATGAACTGTTCTCTCTCTCTCTCTTTCTTACTGTACCCCCAGAAACACGAATCAATCTACAGAAAAGTGAGTTTGGGCTTTCCCTCTTTTGAATTTATGGTGTCAGACCATCCTAGGAGCTCGGGGAGAGTTCGCAACCTCCACATTCATTGTCATTTATTTTCAAGCCCCCTCCTATCTCTATATCTATATATTATCTATTTATCTCTGTTTGTTGTTGTGTGGTCCCCCCTCTCTGTATTACCATCACTCTACTTGTATTATTAAATTTTTTCATACCCTCCAACACAACACAAATCCGACAACAAAGGAGCTCATACAAATAAATAAATAATGTCAATCATTGCAAGAGGATTGCTATTCCTCGTTTTTGCATGTGCATTCACTCAAGGTAATTAATATCAATAATATCACACCACCACACATTCATAAATCTATTTATAAATCACAGATCAACTTTATGATCGATACAACACTTCACCCACACTCAGTAGCATTCAGTGTTTTACTGCATACGATTGTTATTTGAAACAAAAATTACGATCACACCGAGAAAAAAACATCTTTTTTTTTTTTTGAACTCCGACTTTTGACCCGCGCATATACTTACTCATACATCTACTTTTTCTTTACTTTTAGGAACACATTTTAGATTTGGGTCTATTTCATGGGCACCAGTATCAGTTCAATCATATAATGTTATTAATGTAAAGTTGAATCTTGCATTTAGAGCTACGTTTTTCAGTAATCCATCGGCTGCAGTTGGAGTCATTCTCAACTCTAGTACTGGTACTATTACCGATGGTCTCTCTACTACTGCCAGAGCAGTCAATCTCCAGGTAAACACACTCAACTCTGTCGATGACTGGATCTCTGGTACCGCCGAATTCCAATTCACCTACCCAAAGGACAAGAATGCCACCTATACCATGGTGTACAGTGGTAGTGCTCGTATCTCTTCACTCTACAACAACGCCGACAAGAATTGGAGACTCACTTCAAGTGTCACCATCAACACATGGAATCAAAACAGTTCACCTGTTACCAACACCTATCCAATCATCTCTGTTGTTACACCAGGTACCAACACATTCCAAATCGTTGCCACTGACAAGGAGACAACCTCTGATGACCTCGTCTACTCTTTGGTTACCGCACCAGAAGAGTTTGGTGGTGGAGTAGTATGTCCAAATATTACAGTCTCTCCAAAGGGTCTAGTTACCTTTACCACTGGTATCAAGCCATCCCTCTTTACCACTCAAATCAAGATCTCTGACGGTACCGATTTCACCGTCACTGATTTCATTCTCCAATCGACTCTGTCTACCGTCAAACCACCCTATTTTACCGATGACACACCAGCCGATCAATCTGTCATCACCATCCAACCAGGACAAACCAAGTCATGGGTCTATGTTGGCAAGTCAAACACTAGCACAGAGGTTTTCATCAAGCCATCCAATGTCCCACTCGGTATCTCCCAATCCACCCAATCTGGCAAGAATCCAGGTACCATCACCAACTCTTGGACTCCAACCATCACAAACGTAGGTCGTTATGTCGTTTCTCTTGGTCTATCTGATAAAGAAGGTGTTAGTATGACTGGTCAAAGATCCTTTGTTATCATTGTTAGTATGTAATTAAAAAAGAAAAAGAAAAAGAAAAAAAAAAAAAAGAAAAAAAATATAAACTTAAACTTTTTTCTTTTTGTATTTTTTTAGCTGCACCAGTTTGTGGTAATGGAGCACCATGTGCTGGATACCAAAATAATACATGTTGTTTATGTAATTCAATTGGATGGTCTAATACTACTCAATGTTATGATTGCAAGGAAGGTTATTTTGGTGCCAATTGTTCGTTGGCTCCAACATGCAAGAATGGTACTGTCAATGATGGTGTAGGAGGTGATGGTTCGTGTCAATGTTACTCTGGTTGGACTGGAGATGCTTGTGATACACCAGTCAGCAAGCGTTGTTCAATCAGCGATGCCTCTGCCGTTATTTCAACTGCCAGTACCTCGGTTGGCTATGTCAACCCAACTTCCATGTCTGTCTATGTCTCGACCAGCTCGTCTGCTTTCAACGTTCCATTCTCACTCTCTATCCCCAACCCTGTCCCATCACTCGACGTATTCTTCCTCTTGGACGTTGCACCCAAGACCATCACCATCCAAAACGACTATCTCAACTTTATCGAGCCATTTATCAACACGATCAAGGGCAAGGTTGATAACGTCCGTTTTGGATACGGTACATTCTCTGATGCTGCCGCTGGATACAACTTCCAAGCCGTCGCAACCATCGGTACCGATATTATTGATCTCGTCAAAAACACTCAGTACATTTCGGCCACTACCTCGACGACCGGTAACTCTTTGCTCGCATTATACAACGCTGCTCAAAACTCGAATGGTTGGAGACAAGGTTCATTCAGAGTCATCATTGTTGTGACCGACTCGGACACTGCTGCACCCGTCAATACGGCTACCCGCGACCTCTACATCAACGCATTGGCCCAAGCCTCGGTCATGCCCGTCGTCCAAGGCACTGGCAGCGTTGCATTGACCAACTGGAACACGTTCTTTGCCGCCGCTGGGTTTGGGTTCACCTCGACCTCTGCCACGGGCTCTGCATGGGCTGCTTCTGCCGCCACACTCGCCTCGGCCACCTCGTTCTCCAAGATTGCCACCAAGGTCATCACGGATGCCGACAAGTTTGCCACTACTGCCGTCGCAGCCATCTCGACCACCTCGACCGTCTCTGCCTACTCGGTCAACGTGCCCGTCAAGTTCCCCACCGCCACCACTCCATCCAACAACCCAACTGTCCAGGTCTCCTTTATCGGCTTTGGCACATCCACCATGAACATTGTCTACAACCACGCACCCGTTGCCAACCCATCGACCGTCTCCACCTCGGAAGACACCTCTGTCAACTTTTCATTCGGCTCGTTAGTGTCTGACCCAGACTTTAACCTCATGACGATCCGTATCACCACGCTCCCCACCAAGGGTACCATCACAGTCAACGGCTCGACCACCATCACTACCACCACCGACACGAGCTCGCTCTCGACCTTTACCTACACGCCATCGGCCAACTACAATGGCGCTGACTCGTTTGCCTATTCAGTCAGCGACGGGTGTTTGAGTGTTGCTTCGACCGGTTCCATCTCGGTCACCCCCGTCAACGACCCTCCAACCTGTGTCTCTAGCTCTTTGACCGCCGTCCCATACACACCATCCACCTTTACACTCGGAGGTGCCGATGTCGACGGTGACACCATCACTGTCGTCTTTTCATCGCTCGCCACCATTGTCAACGTTGCCACCATCACAACCTCTACCGGAGCAGCTGTCGTCGTTGGAACCAAGTACCCAATCACCACCCAATTCCAATTCAACCAGACTGTCAATTTCGCCGCCAACGTACTCGTCTCTATCCCATTCACCATCAACGACGGTGTACTCCCATCATCCACCTGTAACCTTGCTGCCACCTTTACCCATTTGAATGTTGCTCCAGTCCTCTCGTCACCACTCTCGGTCACATCCAACCCAGGTAGCAACATCCAATTCAACATCACTGCCGAAGACTCTGACTCTACCACCATTCAATTTGCCATCTACAGCATGACCAAGGGAACCGGTTACTTTTACAACTGCGCCAACCCATCTGTCGAAATCACCATCGCTGGCAACATCCTAAATCCAGTCGCACTCGCCAACAACAAGGCAGTGTCCCAAGCCATCTGCTACCACATTGACGGTGCTCAAGCCAACGGTCTCAACATTGCAAGCATCAAGTTTATTGCTGCAGACAACCAAGCTCTCCCATCCAACATTGTCACTGTCCAAGTCAACGCTGCTGGTACCCGTACCAATGTCAAGCCAGTTGCCACCCCAGTCACTGTCCCAGCACTCAATGAAGATGGTCTCTCTGTCGCTATCGTCCTCAACGGTACCGACGCCGATACTTTGGATCAAGGTAACCTCCGTGCAGTCTACACTGCTCCATCCAAGGGTCAATTGATTGTTGCTGCCGGTGGTGCTGTTGCTGCTGCCGATGGAAAGGCTCCCTACACTGTATACTACAAGCCAAATGCTCTCTTTTACGGAACTGACTCATTTACATTCTATGTCTATGATACTATGGGTGCTGTCTCTGACTCTATCACTGTTACACTCACTGTCAACCATGTTAACCATCCACCAACTCTTCCATCTGCCACACTCTCATTCACTCAACTCTCACATCCACTCCAATCACTCACACCCAATGATGTAGATGTCGGAGATGTTTTGACATGTTATGTTGTCTCACTCCCAACTACTGGTCAAGTCACCGACTCTAGCAGTGTTGCTATTACCAGTGTTGCATCACCAGTTGTTCTCTCGACCAAGCAATTCAGTGCCAAGGAAACACCAGCCAACTCTATCAACCCATACACCACTACTTTCAAGGCCAAGTGTTGTGATCAAGTTGGTGCCTGTTCCTCAGACACTACCATGACCCTCGTCTACACATACATTAACCAAGCTCCAGTTGCCATCCAAACCAACAGCTCTTGTGACCAAGATACTAGTGTCACATTCAACTTTAACTATGCCGATGACAAACCACTCCCAGCTACCATCAAGTTGGTCACCCTCCCAACCAACGGTGTCCTCCTCGTCAACAATGTACCAGTCACCTCAACCTCTACTATCCTCCCAACCGACAATGTAGTGTACCGTCCAAATGCAGGTAAATCCAACGATGATACCATTGGTTTTGCCGGTCCCCTCGACTCTATTCTTTTCAATGTTATTGACTCTGACTTGTTGGCATCTCAACAACCATCAACTGCCACATTCTATGTTGCTCCACGTAAACCACCCACCTACACCGGTCTCAACGAGCTCAACACCAATGAAGACACTGTACTCAACTTTATCATTGAAGGTGCACCACCAAGAGGTCAAGAACAATTCGATCTTGTCTTGGTCAACCTTGAAGGACGTGGACAATTGTCATACTATGTTTGTAATGAAGAGGAGTGTCTCCGTGTTGCCAAGAATGGTGACAAGTTCCAATACAACACCAAGTACTCGTTCATCTACACTCCATTGGCCAACGACAATGGAAATGCCATCTTTAACGTATCATTCAACCTCGTCTCTCAACAAGGTATTGTATCCAACGTCTCTACCATCAACATCAATGTACTCCCAGTCAACGATCCACCCATCATTGTATTGAACGACTATATCATTGTCAATGTCCAAGCTCCAGCACCATTGACCCAAGTCATCTCATTCCCAATGAACCAAAGTATCATCATGTCTTGGTCTGGTTATGATATCGATTCGCCAAACAACACCCTCGTCTGTACCGTCAACTCGATCAAGGGTATTTCCGGTGACTTCCGTGCCTACAATGCATCCAATGCAGATAATGGCTTTGTCGGTGCCGAGATTGCAAAGGGTTCTTCACTTGGTACATACGACCCAGTCGACAAGTTGTGGCGTCTAGTTTACATTCCCAAACTCGGTGGGTTCGGTCGTGGATATGCTGGGTTCTCATTCAACCTCGTCGACGACAAGTCACTCATCTCTCTTCCATCGGCCATCACTATCGATGTTGAGTCGGTCAACGTAGCTCCCTACATTACACTCAATCAACCCAAGTTTGCCGGAGTTGAACAAACCGATATTGTCATCACTGGTGTCACTTTTAGAGACCCAGATTCCAAGATCAACAATGTCTCTCTTGTCATCTCGGTTGTTGATACTGCCCAACAACTCGTTGCTGGTGCATCCATCTCATTCTATGGCAACGTTGAAAAGGAATACTGTGTCAATGAAACCAACAAGATCACCTGTGTTGAAGACCAAGACACTTTGAATGCCTTGATCAAGACCATCACTGTCCACAACCCAGTCGTCGGTGTCATCTTCCTCAACGTCTTTGTCGATGATCTCGGTTACAATGCACCAATCGCCAAACGTAACGTCAGTCATCTCACAGCCACTGAAAACGTTGCACTTCTCGTCTCATCCAAACCAACCAGCGAGACTACCAACACCACAGTCTTGTCTGCCGCTATTGCCGGTGCCGTCGCAGGTGCTGCCATTCTAGTTGCCGGTGCCTGGAAGTTCCTCAAGAAGTCCGTCCCGCCAACCAGCGCCTTCTTTGGTGACTCTCCATTCTCTGATGGTGCCATCTCATCCAATCCACTCTACCAAGAATCTGGTAATGCTGGTGTCAATCCATTATATGAAACTAGTTCTGCTTAAAATCAATCAAAAATATTTAGTTCTTTAAATTTAATTCATCCAACCTCCAAATAATAATCAAAATAATCAAAATAATAATAATAGTTACAATCAACCAACCAACCATTCCACTCATTTAATAAACCATAATTAAATCAAATTTATTTATTTAAATCTCATTTTTGATTTAATTCATTATCTATAACTCAAATGTCTACCTGCAGCATTAGTAGTATTTATTGTAATAATATATAGTTATTATAATATGTCATTGGCTTTGCATCATATCTATAGATTCATTTCCCTAATTTTTTAATGTTTTCTTCCAAAAGTCAAATTTAATTATTTATTATTTATACTTTTCTTGGGTCATAGAGTTATTATTATATGTCTCAAACTAATACTTCTTTTCATTCAAATGAATTACGTGGTCGTCGATCACACCCATATGTTGCCATTCAAGCAGTGGGAAGTTGGAAATATATATCAGTTCAGGGAACAACACTTGCATGGGAATCAGGTGCCAAGATTGTCAAGTGTGATGCCACCAAGATTGATATATGTGAAAAGTTTCAAATGCATGAAACTGATAATATTCATGTTGCATTGGAAGACAGTAGAAGAAATTTTATTAGGGTCAAACCAAATGGATCAGAGGATGGATCTGGAAATATTCAAACTTGGGAAAGGTTAAAGTTAATCCCTGTGAATGGTCTTTACAATGCTATAAATGATTACTATATCCAAACATTTCATGGGAACTACTTGACTGAAGCTGGAGGTAATCTATCCCTAACACCACAACCAACTACAATTTTTAGAGTACTTGAATTGTAAAAAAAAAAATATTCAACTGTTTCCAACTTTCTTATTGTTGTGAATATTTAAAAAATAAATAGAGGATGGCATTTATAATACTATTTAATTCAAAATTTGGTTAAAAAGAAAAGACAGGAAAAAAAAAAAAAGAAAAAGAGGTGGTGAGGTGTATATTTTATAATTTAATATGAACACCTTATATTTATCCATTCAAAACTACTCTTCTATATTATGAGAACATATCTTTGATACCTTTAATTTCATTTTATGAATATATATATATTTAAAAATCATCGATCGAAAAATCACATCAAAAAAAAGTTGTAAAAAAAGTGGATATTTTCATTGTCATGCCCAGGATCAGATTCAAAGTATCTCTGAGAGTTGAGTGTGGTATTAGTCCCTATTATTTACTTCCTTCTCCCTATCTCCTCCTCTCTACAAATATTTTGCATCTTCTATCTTTACCAACTTACAACATCACACGTTCATTGTTATTTATTAATTGTTTGTTGTTGTGTGTACATGTGTGAAGAATCAGATTGACATCTTTCACTTACACCACCACGAGATCAACCGTCGCGACTAGTCACCAGCAATCAATCAATCAAGCTACATTACAGATAAGTCATAGAACCCACAACTAGCTACGACTCTACTACTAGTTATAATCTATCGACATTCATCACCTATATCGAGTAATATCAAAGTAGTAGTAGCTATCAGGTGTCAGTCGCTGTGTTGTTGATTAGATCAGTAGCAAGATGAACCATTACAGAGTGTCAGAAGGTCTAGAGGATCTATGCTACCTTGAACAGTTGAGCGAGACTGATGTATTAAACAACATACAACTTCGATTTCAAAAGGGGTCGATCTATACCAAGATTGGTGAGCAGATTATCAGTATCAATCCATTTACCTCATCTACTGCCTCATCTTCTTCCTCTTCTTCCACCACAACTGCCTCTTCATCCTCAACCAATATTTATTCAACGCAATCAAAACAATCATTTAGAAACAAGTACATGTATGAGTGTCCACCACACATCTATGCCCTGGCAGAAGACACTTACAAGAAATTATTATTGACCAAGGAAAATCAATGTGTAATCATAACTGGAGAAAGTGGTGCTGGTATGAAAACATCAATCAAACAAATAGATTGAATACATTGAATCATTAATAATTAATCAATTACATTTATTATTATTAGGTAAAACGGAAGCATCAAAAATATTTATGGACTATATATCATTTTGTAGTAGTAAAATTAATAACAATAATAACAACGATATTATGAAAAAGGTTATTGATTCAAATGTATTATTAGAAGCTTTTGGTAATGCCAAAACAATTAGAAATGTATTTATTAATCAATCAATATTATATTAACCATAACTCAATTGAGATTTGACTAATAATATTCTTCTTGCTCTATTTATTTAGGATAACTCATCAAGATTTGGTAAATTTATAAATTTACAATTTGATGTAAATGGAATACCAGTTGGAGCAAAGATTAATCAATATTTAATTGAAAAGTCACGTGTTAATACAAGAGCACATGGCGAAAGAAACTTTCACATCTTTTATCAATTTTTAACAAATCATAAATTGACTGAAAGGTATGGTCTGAGTGGAGACTCGTCAATCTACAAGTGTCTCAGTAATAGCGATTGTTTCAAAGTGGACACGATCAATGACAAGAAATTATTTGATAATTTACTCGATTCTATGAACGGATTGGGTTGGAACGATCATCAACAAGACGCTATTTGGAGAGTGATCGCTGCCATTTTGTTGATTGGTAACCTAGACTTTGAAAGTGACACTGAAAAGTCTACGGTCGACGCTGTCGTTGTCTCTACACCAGACGTGTTGAAACGCATATGTCTACTGTTGCAATGTAACCAAGACTCTCTTGAAAAGGCACTCATCTCGAGATCTTTGACTACTGGTGCTGGAAAACGTGCCAGTTCGATTCGTGTACTCTTGGATTACCATCAAGCATGCAATGCAAGAGACTCTTTGGCACGTGTATTATATGAAAGATTGTTTGGTCATATTTTGGATCGTCTAAACACCACCCTCAAGCCAAAGGACCGAGTGCATGTCGAATCAATGATTGGTATCCTCGATATCTATGGCTTTGAAGTGTTTCAAAACAACAGTTTCGAGCAATTCATCATCAACTATGCCAACGAAAAACTACAACAACTCTTTATCCACCTCGTCCTCCGTCAAGAACAGGAAGACTATGAAAAGGAAGGTATCAACTGGGTCAACATCAACTACTTTGACAATGCGCCCGTCATTGAGTTGATTGAAGGTCACCCAGTAGGTCTTTTCAAGCTACTAGAAGAGTCTTGTTTGGTTGGTCAGGCCACTCCAGAGACTCTGATGAACAAGTTTAATCAGTTCTTTGACAAACATCCATTCTATCAATCGTTTGAACAAACATTGGCCCTTTCACCATCGTCTCCTCAATCCTTTGAGACACCAGTTTGCCAATTCACTGTCAAACACTATGCAGGCAAAGTAACCTACGACTTGACACACTTTTTGGCAAAGAATCGTGATTCTCTTCATCATGATCTCTTGTTGGCAGTTGAAACATCGAAAAATGACATCATCCACTCGATCTACTCCATCTCTGAACAATTAAAGATTAGCAACAGCAAAAGAATGCCAATGACATCGGCTCAACAATTTAAAGTTGCCATCAATGAACTCATCAGTATCCTCCTAACTTGTCAACCACATTATATTAGATGTATAAAATCAAATGATCAAAAGAAATCAAATTATTTTGATCATGAAAGAGTTTTAGATCAAGTAAGTAAAAAAAAAAGAAAAAGAAAAAGAAATAAGATTATATTAATATTAAACTAAAACTAATTTCTTTTTATTTTCTAGATTCGATATTTAAATACAGTTGATACAGTTAAAGTTATTAAAGCTGGTTTTGCAAATAAATGGCATTATAATAGATTCTTTTCAAGATTTAGTATTACCTGTAATTCTACTTGGCCAATTTGGGATGTATGTAATAGAATAGAAAGAAAGAAAGAAAAAAACTATATTGTTTATTAATTTTAATTTGGTTTCTTTTTATATTTTAGAAATCAATTAAAGAAGGAGTAGAAGAAATTATTAAAAATTTAATTTCAAATGTAAATGAAAGAAATCAACAATGTGTATTTGGAAGAAAAAAACTATTTATCAAATCGGCCAAGACATTATTCTTGTTTGAAAAAATCAGAGAAGATAATTTACCAAAGGCTGTTGTGATCATTCAAAAGCTATGGAGAGGCCATCAGGCGCGAGTATGGTTCCAAGCAGAAAAGAGACGTCTACAAGAGGAAAAGGAAGAAATTCAAAGACAATTGGCTAGAAAGAGAGCCGTTCAGAGAATTCAATCTGTCTATCAACGATACAAGATTCGATCGTTTATCAAAAAACTTGGTCAATGGATTGAAGGACCCTATTACAACAAGGGTCGCCCAATGCCAGCCTTGTGGACATGTCGTCGTCCAATCGATGATATGATGCAAGTTATGCACATTACATGGTGGGCAAAGGTCAAGGTTTCAAAACTGACACTTGAACAACGTGCTCTTGTAAGACAAAAGATTCTTTGTTTGGACTTGTTTGGTGGAGGATATTTGAAAAAGAAACCTTGGGAACCAAAACGTAGATTTATGGCAGATTACATGTCCAATGATAGTAATCCCAAGAAACAACAATTTACAGAAGCCATTCAAAATCTTTTCCCAAAAGGAGAGGACAAGGAAATTCTCTTTGCCGACAATGTCATCAAGGTCAACAAGAGAGGAAAATCTCAACTACGTACCCTCATCATCACCGATCAACACATCTATAAATACGATCCAAAGAAATACAAAAAGAAAAAAGAAGGACTCAAAATTCACATGATTGTAGCTCTCAGCGCCAGCAACAAACGAGATACATTCATGTCAATCCACTTTAAACAACCAATTCGTGACCTCTTTATCGATTTGGGATGTGAAGGTGTTGAAAAGGTTAGTGAAGCAGCAACCATTCTAGTCCAACAAGTTTACAAGTTGACTCGAACCTCTATACCCCTCCTCCTAAGAGAACCAGTTACCTTTAACAACAGCCGTGACTCTAGACATGTTGGTCAAGATTGGGTTGTATCATTCTCACCTTATCCACGTGGAAAAGAATCTCAATTGTGTACATTTAACAAAGGTAAAGGAAATGCAGCAATTGTTTATTATCCTCCAGAATAAATAAATAAAAGGGAAAAAACTATTATATTTTTTAAAAAAAGGGATTGAAGAGGGAAATAATTTATTGATAATTACAATTAATATGTAAAATATTATTACTTGATTATTATTGATTTTAATGATTAATAAGGGCAGGTATAGAAAAAATATATATTTTTCTTTTTGTTCTTTTCTTTTTTAATTTTTTCTATTTTTAAAAGTCTTCATCGCTATCATCACGATAAGCAACAACATTTGATTGTCTCTTACGAATAAGAGAAACTACAAGACCAATTAAAAATGTACCAACAAATACCCAAGTTGCATAATAATAAACAATACCAAAGAAGCTTGTTCCCATTTGAATTCTTGAAGAGAGGACACCGATTTGAGTCATTTGACAGGCATTGGGTGGAGCATCCAAACTGCATGGAGAAACGGCTTGACTGGTAGCATTGAACCAAACTTGAGTACCAAACATACCATAACGAGGAGCCAATGTGAGAATTTGAACATTCATACAAAGATTGGCAAGCATTAAAAGAACGGTGGCCATTAAAAGACCTTGTGGTGCAGTTCTTCTTGGTAAAAATTCATACATCTTGATCCAAATAAATCTAATACCAATACGAACAATACCTGCCAAAGTTGAGAAATATACAAATGTAATTAATAATCCTAAAATTATAAAATCTAATGGGAAATACTAAAAAGAAAAAAGAAAAAAGGTTAATATTTTCTTTTTCTTATTCTATTATTCTTTTTTCTTTTTTTTTTTGTTTCCATACAGGAGCAAGAAGTGATAAAAGTAAATCAACTGGATTTTTTAATTTTGGATAAGTAGTAAGGAAACCACAAGATGAACCACAAACTGAACTTGTAAGTTTATCAATGATTGAAAGAACGATAGAAATTACTATAAGGAATGATACCAAAAGGAAAACAAAACCAAAGATAAAAGAGAATGGACGGAATATGACGAGAATCTTTTTAATTCCCTTTTCCGAACCATCCAAACGACTTGAACGACGTTGAAGGGCTCTTTCACGCGATTGAAGAAGTGAAAGATTAGCTTCGTCACGTGACGACATGTTCTTTCCAGATGCATTCTTTGAAGAGAGGAAGCCAACACGTTCTCTAGTCTTGGAGAGATCGCTATCGATTTGATCACGATCATCTGATACTCTTCTCTTTCCTTTGATCAGACCCATTGGCATTGCCGACAGACCATAGGCAGTGTATGAAATCCAAACGATAAATCCAAGTAATGTCAAACAAGCAATGGCAAACATTAAAGATGCCTCTGCTGCGTTTTGATTCATAATTTCATCTTGAATCCAATCTTTAACGTTTTGATTATCCACTGGTTTTGAAGATCCAGGACGAATGAATGCTCCAACAATCAGCAATACAACCATAAATACAATTAAAAAGGTTGTGTATTTACATCCCGCATATACTCTTTGACATGTTGTTAATCCTTCATCATACTCTTCAAAATAGAAATAAGCAAATGGTATCAATACCAATGCAAATCCTAAAATTAATGCGTATAATACTAAATAAAAAAGAAAATAGAAATAGAAATAGAAATAGAAAGAAAAGAAAAGAAATCGGTCAGAAAACTATGTTTACAATTGCGTTCGTCTTTGTCGTTTCCTTCTATTCTCTCTCTCTTACCATAATAAATAATTCTAATAGAATCATTTCTAAAATTGATATCACTTGTTGATAGTGTGACATTTCCTCCTTGATCAGACATTGTACTGACATTCAAGATATCTACTGGGATAATGAATAGACATAAAAGGGTGATGGTTAAACCGAGGACTGCAACCACGGTTGTTAACTTTTCTGCTTCATGCTTGTCAGAGTAGTATTTAACAATTAAATAGTTTAATGCTAATATTACAACTATACAAACACCAAAAGATGCATATCCAATTGCTATTGGTAACATATCTTCTAAATGACTATTAGTCGGTTATTACTATTACTACGATAAACTATATATATTTATTTAAACAAAGCTAAAGCTAAAGCTAAAGGGGTTAAGTTGAATGAGAGAGGGAAGGGTTGGTTTGTGTTGTTGTTGTTTTATCTTTTTAATCATACTAAAAAAAATATAATAGTGAGGGTGATGAATTTGGGTAATAAAATTAATTTTATTTATTTTAATTTAATTTAAATATTTTTAGATCCCCAGGTTTCGTTGTTGTTTTTGTCCGATCCTACCTTGAACAACCAACTTTTCTTTTCCTAATTATTATTATTTTTTTTTATTATTTTTTGTTATTATTATCAACAGTTGTTGAAGTAGTACCACTAGAGGTACTGCTACTAGGAGTAAGAGGTTTTGAAGTAAAACGATAGACACCAAAAGCAATGAGACCAGCAGTGATAGCTAGTCCCCAACTATAACCAGATGCTCTAAGAAAACCTCTATAGAACTCACCGACGTTGAGCTTTGGAAACTCTTTACCTGACTCTTCAATGTGTGTACGAGGTTTAAAGAAACTCTCTGATGTCTTTCCTTCATCGAGTCTGAAGCTGTTTGGGTCTCTAGATACATTCAACTTTTCATAGATCTTTTCTTTTGCTTTCTCTTGGTTCTTGTGATGTTCATCGATGAGGTGTTCTTTGGTCTCTTCAAGTTTACCAATATTCTCTACTACTTTTGTTTTTAATTCTTCTAATACCTTTTCTTTGGCTTTATTAGATTTATTATTATTATTATCATTGTTTTGGTTTACCATTATGAATTATTAGTTTGTTTATTTTATTTAATTATTATTTGTTTGTGTTTATTATTTGTATGTAACGTGTTTATATGATTTGTTTCTCTGTTTGTATTAGTTTAATATCTCTCTCCTCTCACACACAAACTCATTGATGAAGTTCACACAAACACCAAACAAACAATTAAAATAATTTAATTACCACAATTTAATTTTCGTTTTTGTAGTTTAACAATTATTAATTAATTGGACAAGAAATAATAATCAACAATATATTTTGTTTTTTTTATGTTCCATGTGACCTGCCATATAAAGAGAGATGTCTTCTATTGGGCATAATGATATTGAATGGGAATAGGTATCAATGGAATGTTCAAAGTATTATCGACTCTATTGAGTCCGTCTCAAAAAAATTGGATGGTTTTGTATAATTATTAATATCGAAATAAATGATAATGGATGGAATACATTGAACAAGGTTTAACATTTATACTTTTATATGGACCAGGCATATCTTGACTTGTCTATCAAGTATCGAAACCAATTATTGTTGATTTTTTATGTAGTTTTGTTCTCATCATTATTGCAAGGTATACCAACTTTATTGCAAAAGCAATCAACGTTATTTGTTTGATAAATGTTTTAATCCAGTCACAAAAGAATTTGTGAACCTTCCTCTTTTTGTAAACTGCCCATTACTTATTTTACTTTGGAGTGTTTTGTTATGATGACTCTTAAAATAACAACAATTCTATATATAAAACATCAAGATGTTCTATTTAAATAATACAGCTGCCACCCATGCAATGTATGTACATACAGATACAATAAGTTGACATTTTATCAAGCGACATAACAACAACTCTTGCCTTGGTATAATTATTATTATTTTTTGGGCAATGGGCACCCATTTAAATGCATGCACCAGATTTTAGACGTTCTCATGAAGCTGGTTGGTGAGTGTTTACCCTTCCTCTCAGAGAATTCATTCACACATGCTTATAAGTTGATTAAATAACTAGTACAAGTTAATTTTCAAGGCTTTAACAAAATATTATCTTTTTTTAAATAAAAGAATTTGCCACTTAAAAAAAACACAAAAATGGCGGTCTGTCCAAAGAACAAATCGAAAAGATGACTGCCAATGTCGCCAAGTACTGGGCCGACTACCAAGATCAAAAGAATTGTTCAGATTCCAAGGAAAATTTGGAATCCTATATAGAAACAGTGCTTGAAGCCATCAAGAATGAAAGAACATTTCAGAGAAAGACCAGACGATCAAAGATGGACGGTATCTTTCAAGAAACTATCGAATGGATCAACAACAACCAAAGCGCTACCAATCAAGAGTTTGTTGACAAGTTTAAGGATCTTGATCAACTCATCAGCCCAATCCTTCAACGAGCCAGTGAAAATACAAATGATATTGTTGAAGAAGAAGAAGTTGATATATAAATAAATAAAAAAATAACCTGTAGTTATAAGCAGATGTAAGATCTGCCTTTGGGTTCTAAACCAAGATGATGTGACAGAGAGGGGGAGCTGACAAGTAAAATGTACACTTACGATTTATTGTTGATTTTGTACCGATTGATATTGATCTTTGATAAATGACAATATTTTAAGCATTGTAGAATCATTAATTGTTGAAATGAATCCATAATGATTGATAATGTGGAGTGATCCAGTTTGTAGTTTGTAGCCAACGTGGAATAGATAAAGAAGCATTTCATACTTGTAAGGTACTATCATTATTTGATTGATAAATGATTTTTGGTCCAACTCGAAAAGAACTTGTTTGAGCTTGGGATCCCGTTGCATGAAATACTCTAATAATTGAACTTGACCACTTGACACGATCATCGATAGGGTCGTGGCTGGTAATGATTTTGTGTTATTATTATTATTATTATTATTATTATTATTATTATTATTATTATTATCTCCTCTTTGTCCTGCTGCTGCTAGCTCCAACTCGAATAATATTACATTGTCCCAACCCTGTTCGATAGCAACACTTGGTACCAAGGTGAGAGGATTCAAAGTGGCAATGAATCGAAGAAACTCTACGCTTCCATTGGCACATGCTGCCTTTTGTACAAGTCGACTCAATCCCAAATCTCGAGCTACGTACAGCTGATATAGTTGTTTGGACTGTGTACGGGCGACAAGACTTACGAATTTGTCCAAAGCAGGTCCTGGTCGTTGGAGGATCTGCCATAGCGATGCAAGAGTATTATACACTAGATCCTCTGTAAATGATGGCTCCTCTCGAACCATACGTATGACAGTGGCACAGAATCGATGACTCCAATACTTTTGCATAAAGTTTAATTCATGGTATTGGAATCTCTTTTCCTTTGTTTTGAAACGGGTGTCAAAAAAGTCAACATCTTCTCGTAGGAATGCCAACTCTAAATCGGATGGCGTCTTGGAGTCGAGAGACACTCGCCAATTATTCTCTGCAAGCTTCTCCTCGGAAAATTCCAATATCTCGGGCGTTCCAACCTTGAGATATTCGCGAATGATGGCGGGGAACCTGTACCCGTGATCATACAGCTTCTTTACAATGGCAAATGAATCGACGTCGGTTCGTTGCGTTGCAGAGAGTAGAGCAGCTTGCTTGCTGCCGTCATAACATGCAATCAACATGTCCAAATCTACCAATGCAATGTATTTAAACATGTGGTTGTGTAGTGGACGAAGCTCGCGTGATAGGTAGTCGACTACCTTTTCAACGTTGGCTTGACGGTCGACAAACTCTACCTCTACGCGTGCCAAATGGTTTGTAGTGTCGGTCGACAAGAATTTGTTGAGGTAATCGTGATCATCTTTTCGAGTAGGATGTCTTGCGATAAATGCATCCAACTCTATACTGGCTCGACGTATATTATCAAACAATCTATTACCATTCAATCGATTCTTGCGCACCTCGAACCCACTTTGAATCTTGAACCATTTCGAACATTCTAACTCTCTGACTGTGAAATAATCACCATGTAAATAATTGGTATCTATACATTCGACATTCATCTCGATCAGTACCTCCAACACCTCTTTCATGCCACTTTCGAGTGCTGCATGATATGCATTCTCTACCGATAATTCTATTGGGTCTCTCTGTCCGAGTAGCATCTTTACAATCTCGACATTGCCTCCTCGACAAGCACATGCTACAAGGTTGCCCGCCAAGAATGACGATCTCTTTAGTTGGTAGAGGTATTTGAATTGTTCTAGATCCGTCACCGTTTCACAGATCGACGCGATTGATCTCGCGTGAAAGGGTACGTAGATACCACGCTTGATCTTATCGATCAATAGTCCAACATGTCCATGCTCCAACATTTGCTGTGCAGTGTACCAATGTTCATAACGACATATTCGATCGATTGCAAATCGACTATCAACACCACCACCACCACCATCATCATCGCTGCTCGCAATCGATTTAAATATTCTATCTCTTAGATAAGAGTTTCGAAATACACATTGAAATAATGTTGATTGAAACTCTTTCTCCTCTTCTCTATTCCTTTTTGTTTGACACAATCAATTGATGATCATTCAATAAAAAGACTGAAGTCAGTAAGCTAAGTGGACCAAATCATTATTATATTACACATACATTTATTTGTTTAGTTTTTTAATTATTTAATTGAATTAAAATTTTCAAGGCACGATATTGTGGTTTCTTGTACTATCTTTTTTTTTTATTTATTTATAAAGTTGATATTGAAGAATGGTTGGTAATTGACTTGTGTGTTTGTTGATCTGTGATGACTGTTGACCTTCTTGATCTAGTTTACAAACAATTCGTCGAATAATTCATTTTCATTTCCTTCTTTGATAAGCACTACCGATGCAGATTCATCTCGATCTTGAGCATCCAAGTACTCTTTGGCATAGCGGAAAGATTTCTTCTTTTCATCGACCGAGCATTTCTTGCCATACCAGATATAGACCGACATGCCAGAATCCACAATAAAGACTTCGTTGGTGTCCAATATGCTTTTTGGGAAATCACCTTTTGCGACCTCTTCGAATATTAACTTTCCAGAGCTATCAGATACCTTGTAGAGGGCCTTGGTAGTGGCTTTGACTGATCCACCGCTAACAATCTTTTTGCCTGGGAATAGTTTGGCAAAAGATTTGGACTCGAATCCCTGTACCTCTCGGTATAGGACTGGTGTACCACCAAGGAAATCATCCAACTCTTGAGCCTTGTGGTGGGCAGTATCTTTCTCTTCCTTGGTGCTCAACTTGCCCAACCATATATAGATGTCAAATTTCTTTTGGTGCGTGTTCAATACGATGTAGGATTCGCCGTCCAAGAACGTTCCATGGTCTTCTTGTTTCACCTCGACCACATTCGACCCTTGGACCTTCCATACTTTTAATCCATCCTTTGATCCGGCACCACCCCAAAATGTGTGATGCTCAGATTGCAATTGCACCGTCTCCCAAATTTTTAATATTTTCATCTGCCATTATTTTATTATTTTGCCTTGTAATTCTTAACTTGAAGTTAAGTTTGAAAGAAAAGAACAGAAATGCAACTTATAAAGCTTAACTTTTGGAGGAAAAAAAAAAAAAACTGATGTGCTGGCATGTGTGCTAATTACAATTGTAAAATGCGCACAAGAACTGCTAGTATTACCTTTATCATTACAATTATTGGAGTTTGGTCGGGATTATACTCAACCACTGTCTCATGTGCTTTCTCTCATCGATTCAACATGTATAATCTCCCCTTTTCATGAAAGGTGACCCCTATAGCATGCACTCTCATCGTGCACCGTCAAAACCAGCGCAAAGAATGCTGAGAGAGAGATTTCATGGACAGTTTACAACATAAGAAGAGATATCTCCCAATCAAACACTTCTGAATTGCTATTAGAAGGTGGTGGTGGTGGTGGTGGAGGAGGAGGTTTGCTAAAGAAGAAGAAGATCGCAAGTCACCTATCCACCCCCCCCCCCCCCCCCCCCCTCCCAAATAATAGTATGTGTACGATGATAGTACCAAGATACAGATAATATATTACTTAATATGCATTACATTGTTCTATTGTCACACTTGTATTGCCAACATAGAAAGATTTTTAGGAGATAATCTTGGTTAACATGTACGTAGAGAGATATGATGTTTTTTGTGAAAATCATTAAATATTACCTAGCTTTGCCTTTTAATTTAATATTTAATATGGTCAAACTTTAACTTTTTTTTGCGAGGTAGTGTTTCTTGGAGTTTGACCATCGCCCACTTTAGCACTCTGAATTTTAATAATAATAATCCCTCTTACTTTTATCGTTTCACTTTTATGTTTTCACCATCATTTCAAAGTTTAATCATTAATAATTGTTTTTAAGAAATCTAGCTTGGGAAGAAAATTGTGAGATGACGATTGGCATAGATCCTGGAACAACCTATTCTTGTAATTATTTTCTCTTTTAGGTGTATGGATCGATGGTAGAGTATTGAGAGATTGTTGTTCCTTGGCAAAAACAGCCAAGGAAATAGAAACACACCATCATGTGTATCATTTAAAGATGATAAACTTTTGATTGGGGAGGCTGCCAAGAGTCAGGTGGTCGGCAACCCACAAAACACAGTGTACGATGTCAAGCGTCTCATTGGTCGAAAGTTTAGTGATCCAGTCGTGCAGTCTGATATATCAAGAATTGGCCATTCAAAGTTGAAAGGAAGGCGGCAGTGACAGACCAGTCATTCAAGTCGAGTACAAGGGTATACCATGTTTAAATAAAAAAATATTTATAAAATAATCAATGTATAATCAATGGCAATGCGCCATATCTATCGATCAATAAAAAAAAAAAACAGTATTTCCATCTATCCAAAGGTAGGGAGGTTTGATATTTGACAACTCACCATATCTATCAATCAATATTTAACTTGGGAACACTCATTTATCTCCAACAATGGGTCACCCCATCCTACTCACCACCATCGATATCATGACACACTTTAGATTGACACAGTACTTACCACCACCATTCCCACATCACCATCTATTAAATGCAACCCACCATCGTTGATGATGATCATAGCACAGATAGATCAACATTGTTGATATGAAATCAAACAAATCAAACAATGAATATATTGATCAGATGTGTTTTGTTTATTAAAAATGGGTTGGGTTAGTACGACATGTAGGCATGAATCATGATTCTTCAAACAGCAATCAGGAAAGTTTGTTGAACTAGCAATGCATGCAAACTAATTAACCCAACTACACACATGCACACACACTAGATTAATAGTTCTCTCTCATTCATATCAATATTAAACATGATGGTAATAATGGCAATCAACTAGTTATGATTCCAACCAACAAACAACCAAAAGTTAACCTTTTTATTTTTAAAAAAAGAATTTGGTGATGTAATAATTAAATTGGATCAATGTTAATTTAACTCTCTTACCTATTTATCCATCATCCATCTATTTTTAATCTTTTAACCAAATCCATCTATCCATTCACCATCCATTCGAAAATTTTCATTACCATTTTGTTGTTATCTATTAATCCATTGATCAATCCCAACAACAAATCAAATTATTATTCACTAAAAAAAAAAAAAAAATCTATATATCATGTTTGAATCAATCGCATAATCATATTACGATACAGTTTGATATTTTTGTTTAAATCTTTTGCTCATGGTAGCCAGTCTGTATGCATACAGTATGGAATTGGACAAACGCAATGCCAAAGAGAGGCCGAGAATTGTACGACCAATACACTGCATGTATGGCACCTATTGCAAGATCATGGGTGACGAACGCTATGTTGGTCGCTGTGTCAGAATATCATCAACTTTAAAAACACAACATTTTCAAGCCATCTGTTTTTTACCTCTTGTGTCAAAGATACGTTGGAAAAAAAGTGAAAAACTTGACCGTGTGATCAAGAGGGTCAACACAGCGAATAAAATTCGATGTGAGCGCGTGATCACCTCGATGAGAAACGTCATCTGATATCATACGCACTTTGACCAATTTAAAAATAAGGTGACCTTCTATTATCCCTTTGTACAAACTTAAAAATAGATTTAATCCATGATTATTTATAAACAAGGAGAGAAGTTTCTTTGTTATTCATCTATTGTTATTTTATTTGTTGTGTTCGAAGGATTCTTTTAACTGTTTTTAATTTTATATTTATACTATTATCTATCTATATATATAACAAGGTTTATATATTTTTTTTACTCTAGTATTTTTAAACATTTAAAAACTTATAAATAATCTTTTCATCAATTCAATTATATCCAAAATTGTTTATTTAATAACAACTCAATTAATCAAAATCTATATATATATTTATAAATAGATTTGTGGGTTATAAAAGTAGTTATCGTTAGTTGTGACATCTCTAGATTTTTGATCAGACATTTGCTTGGCTGAAAAAAAAAAAAAAAAAAAAAAGCAATGGACCACGACACCAACTCAATTGGCGTGAGTGATCAAGCAGCTGATGGTGATCATAGTGTTAATGCCAACAACAACAATAATAATAATGAATTACAAGCAGTAGATTTAATTAATAATGCAGATGATAATGTATCATTATGTCCATCAGATGTAAACATTATCAGTCAAAATGATAAGTTAAAACAACAACAACAACAAGCAGAGGAAGAAGGAGCAGACAAAAAGAAAAAGAAAAAAGGGTTCTTTGGAAAGAAGAAAAAGGATGGTAAAGAAGATGATAAACCAGCAGAGGAAAAGAAGCCAATGGTTAGTTTCTTTGAGTTGTTTAGATATGCTACTTTGACTGAAAAGATGTTAATGTTTTTCGGCTCTTTGGCTGCCTTGGCCAATGGTGTTGCTATGCCAGCTATCAGTTTGTAAGTATAAATATATAATATATATATATATATATATATATATATGCAGTATAAACATCTTATTATTATTATACTTTTCCATTTATTAATTTTTTTTGTTTTTTCCATCTCCTCTTTCCTTTCTTCTCATTTTATAGAGTTGCCGGTCAGATGGTTGATAGCTTCAGACCCGAGAACTTTAATGACCCCGACTACAAGCTAGGTTTGTTGTTTAACCCTTAATAAATACACCAACACATTGTCTTACTTACTTTTTATTACATTTATTCTCTAGGTGCCGAAGTCGCTAAAATAGCAGTGTACTTTGTATACATTGGTATTGGTACATTGGTATGTTCCTACATTGAAACATCCATGTGGATGATTGCCGGTGAACGCCAAGCAAAGACCGTTCGTCAAGAGTACCTCAAAGCCATCCTCAGACAAGACATTGGTTGGTTTGATGTAACCAAGTCATCGGAATTGGCGACTCGTATCTCAAGTGACACCCTTCTCTACCAAGAAGGTATCGGTGAAAAGGTTGGAAACTATATTCATCACAACTCTACTTTTCTTTGTGGTTTCATTATTGGTTTTACCAAGGGTTGGCAAGTAAGTAAAAAAATGTTACGAAAAAAAAAACAAAAAATATTGACGATATTCCTTTTTTTTTTTTTAGTTAACTTTGGTTATTTTATCAGTTACTCCATTATTGGCAATTGCTGGTGGATTTGTTGCAAAGGTTATTTCAGAGTTTGCAATTGAAGGACAAAGAGCATATGCAAAGGCTGGTAGTGTTGCTGAGGAAAAGTTGGGTGCCATTAGAACTGTGTCTATGTTTTCGGGAGAGGAAAAGGAAACCAATCGTTATGCTGAAAACTTGGAGGAAGCTTTAGCTATCGGTCATAAAAAGGGATATACTAATGGTGCTGGTATTGGTGCTGTATTGTTTGTTATCTTTGGTACTTATTCATTGGCATTCTGGTATGGTTCTAAATTGATCTTTGACGGTACCAACAATGCAATCACTGGTAATCCATGGACTGGTGGTGATGTATTGACTGTATTGTTCTCTGTCATTATCGGTGCTATGGCTTTAGGTCAAGCTGCTCCTTCAATGGCCGCCTTTGCCGCTGCTAGAGCTGCAGGCCATAGTATATTCTCAATCGTTGATCGTAAATCATTAATTGATCCACTATCCAAGGATGGTAAGAAACTCGAGACTGTTCAAGGTAACATCGAGTTCGAACACGTCCAGTTCTCGTATCCATCACGTCCAGATGTTCCCATCTTCCAAGATTTCACCCTATCGATCAAGGCCGGACAGACTGTTGCCCTAGTCGGTGACAGTGGTGGCGGCAAGTCATCAGCCGTATCTCTCTTGGAACGTTTCTACGATCCAACCGGCGGTCGTATTCTATTGGACGGTAGTGATCTCAAAGATATCAATGTCAAGTCACTTCGTGATAACATTGGTCTCGTCAGTCAAGAACCAGTGTTATTTGCTGTAAGTATCATTGAGAATATTAGATATGGACGTGAAGATGCTACAATGGATGAGATTATCGCCGCTACCAAGGCTGCCAACGCTCACGATTTTATCAGTAGTTTGCCGGAAGGCTATGATACATTGGTGGGAGAAAAGGGAGTTCAAATGTCTGGTGGTCAGAAACAACGTATTGCTATTGCCCGTGCTATGATTAAAGACCCAAAGATCCTATTACTCGTAAGTAGAAACAAAAGATTGACTCTAATATCATGATTGACACAATATCATTAACACATTGCACTTGATCTTTATATCTTAAAGGATGAAGCTACCTCTGCGTTGGATGCTGAATCAGAACATCTTGTACAAGCAGCCATCAATCGTCTCATTCAAGGTCGTACCAACATTATCATTGCTCACAGACTTACAACCGTTCAACATGCCGATGTCATCGCTGTCGTACGTGGTGGAGCTATTGTCGAACAAGGTAAACATGCCGAACTCTTGGCATTGAACGGTGTCTACACCTCACTCGTTCAAAGACAACAAGCTAGCTCTGAAGAGGACAAACTCAAGGCCAAAATCCTCCAAGAAAAGACTGGCAATGCCGATGACATGGGTCTCGCCAAAAAAATGCAAGAAACTGTCAAGGATCAAGAAGAAGAACCAGATATTCAAGAACTTCTCGCCAAGGAAAAGTTGGAACAAGAACAATTAAAGAAAAAGGAAATTGAAATGGTTAATCTCACTCCAGAGGAAAAAGAAGCAAGAGACAAGGCAGCAACCAAAAAGAAACAAAAAGAGATGCTCAAACAAAAGGTACCACTTCGTAGACTATTAAAAATGTCATCACCAGAAATCCATCTATTCATCATGGGTTGTATTGCAGCTCTCTGCACAGGTTCTGTCAATCCAATCTTTTCCATTCTCTTGGCTGAAATTTTAACAGTCTTCCAAAACCCAGATATGGATACTCTTAAAAAAGAAGCTGCTATGATGGCCATTTGGTTCTTGATCGTTGCCATAGGTAGTGGTATTGCTCATTTCGTTCAAATCGTTTGTTTTAATCATATTGGTATGTACATAGGCTCAATTGAAAGAAGAGAAAAAAAGAGAAATGAATCCTTTAAAAAATTAATATATTAACACTTTTGTTTTTTTTTTTTAATTTCTATCTTTATTTAGGTGAAAGACTTACATTCCGTTTACGTCATATCTCATTCCGTAGTATTATTCGTCAAGAAATTGGATGGTTTGATATGCCAGAGAATGCAACAGGTGTATTGACCACTAATCTTGCCAAGGATGCTACGCTTGTCCAGGGTCTCTCTTCAGACAGATTAGGTCTGTTACTACAAAACTTGATTACTGCTTTAGTAGGTCTCATCATTGCCTATGTGAGTGGTTGGAAGTTGGCTCTTGTAGTAACTGCCACTATCCCAGCCATCATCTTGGCAGGTAAGCTAGAGTTGGACTTTATGCAAGGTTTCTCTCAAAAGTCAAAGGACGCTTATGCAAATGCTGGCCAAGTAGCCAGTGAGGCCATCGGAGCCGTTCGAACAGTCGCATCATTCTCATCGGAAGAAAAGATATTCAAAAACTATGAAAAGAAACTAGCCGGTCCCATGTCGATGGGTTTCAAGAATGCTCAAGTCTCGGGTATTGCCATGGGATTCTCTCAATTTGTCATATTTGCCGTGTACGCACTATCCTATTGGTATGGTGGTCGACTAGTAGACAGCAATGAATGGCCAGCATCCGACTCTAAACTCGCAGACACATGTGCCGGTCCTTTTGGTGGACCAAATGATTTCTGGCCCTCCGAGTCAGTTTGCATCAATGCTATCAATGCAATTGAAGGTTTTGGTGTAATGATGAGAGTGTTCATGGCTATTGTCCTTTCCTCACAGGGTATTGGTCAGAGCTTTTCGTTCGCACCTGACATGGCCAAAGCCAAAACAGCCACGCTATCCATCTTTGCTCTCATTGATCGTGTCTCCAAGATTGACCCATTTATCAACAAGGGTACCACCGTCAACCCAACTGAAATTCGTGGAGACATTGAAATTAAAAACTTGCATTTCACCTACCCATCAAGACCCAACAAGAAGATTTTCAATGGATTGAACCTTGTCATTCCAGCTGGATCAAAGGTTGCTTTGGTCGGTTCATCAGGTGGTGGTAAATCCTCTATCATCTCGTTACTCGAACGTTTCTACGATCCAGCTCAAGGTGAAATTACCATCGATGGACAAGATATTCATGGTATGAATCTCAAATCACTCCGTTCGATCCTTGGTCTCGTCGGTCAAGAACCAACTCTATTCTCTGGAACTGTCTATGACAATATCGTCTATGGAAAACCCAACGCTACCATGGAAGAGGTTGAAACTGCAGCCAAGTCTGCCAATGCTCATGACTTTATCTCTGCACTTCCAAATGGCTACCAAACTCAACTTGGTGACAAGTACACTCAATTATCTGGTGGTCAGAAACAACGTGTCGCCATTGCCCGTGCTATCATTCGTCAACCCAAGATCCTATTACTCGTAAGTAGAAACAAAAGATTCTAGACTCTAATATCATGATTGACTCTAATATCATCAACACATTGCACTTTATCTATGTATCTTAAAGGATGAAGCTACATCTGCGCTCGATTCCAAGAGTGAAAAGGTTGTACAAGCAGCTCTTGATAACATTATGAAGGGCAAGACAGCGATTGTGGTTGCTCATCGTCTCTCTACGATTATTGACAGTGACATTATCGCCGTCATTCACAATGGTACCATCATTGAACAAGGTAATCACAGAGAATTAATGGACCTCAATGGTTTCTATAGCAGATTGGTTTCAAAACAAATTCAATAAATAATCAACATAAAATGGAAATCAAAAAGTTGAATATAAAAAAATATATATAATTTTATTTGATTTGATTTGATTACTTATATTATTATATTTAGAGAACAATTGGAATTATTGTTGATGGAGATGATGTTGGTAGAGTTGGTGTTGTCATGGTATTATCAATAACAGTAGGTACATTGTTGGTATTATTATTATTAATTTTGTGACATTTTGCGATGGACAATGAACCAAAGTTTGGACTACGAACAAAACTGAATCCATCAAAATAAGCTTGTTGGGAAGATGATAATACGGGCGAGGTAGAGAGTGATACTCTGCTTTGAAGATCGGTGATGTCAAAGTTGGTGATATCGTGGGCGTCGGCGACGGTTGGGATAAATGGTGGAGCAATCTCACGTCTCTCAAGCTTGTGCCATTCGAGTCCCTTGAAGAATCCGTGCTTCTTGATCTTCTGAATGGTCAGTCTCTTTTTAGGATCCTTTTGCAAGAGATTGGCAATCAAGTTTTGACCGTGTGGAGAAACAAATTTTGGAATCTTTGGTTTCTCCTTGAGGATCATGTCTTGAAGGGTGGCATTGTTCTTGTTGGTAAAGGGTGGATGACCGACCAACATGTCGTACATTAGAATACCAACACTCCAAATATCAACTGCTTTTCCATAGCCGTTGCGAGTGATTATTTCAGGTGCCATGTATTCCAACGTTCCACAAAACGACTTGCAAGGTGTCAGTTCATCTTCACCAATCTCTTCCTTGGCCAAACCAAAATCGGTCAAGACAATGTGTCCCTCGGAATCGAGCAGGATATTCTCGGGCTTGAGGTCACGGTGACAGATACCCAACTCGTGAAGATGCTCCAATCCAAGAATCAATTCGGCCAAATAGAATCTGGCCTGACTCTCCTTAAACATCAACTCCTTTTTCAAGTGATAGAATAATTGTCCACCATTTACAAAATCCATTACCAAATAAAGTTTCTGTGCATCTTGGAATGCATAATGAAGTTTAACAATAAATGGATGTTTAATTCTTTTTAATATATCTTTTTCAGAAATTGTATTTTGTACACTAAAAGGAAAAAAAAAAGAATTAATTAATATTTGTTTGTTTGTTTTGTGTTTGTGTTTGCTTGTCATACCTATTCTTTTTAATAATATGATTCTTTTTAAGAGTTTTTAAAGCATAAACTTTTTTGGAATCATTTTTAATGACTTGGTGTACTTTACCAAAGCCACCTTTTCCAACTAGATGGGTGACGGTAAAAGAGTTGAGATTGATGGTGGTGGAAAGATTGATGACTTGAACTGAGGGATGTGAGGAACTGAGAGCAACCAAATCTTCATTACTGGGTACTTTGGGGATACTAGTTGACTCGTCACCACTAGAGATACCATCAGACAACTCTTCAGCTGAACTAATAGTCTCGTAAAAGTCACTAATCTCCTCTTCGTGATGAAGGGGACTCTTGAGTGGTGAGGAACAGTGGTGTGTTAGAATGGGTTCAGACACTTCATCAAAGGTATGATTGAGGTTAGTCTCGATACTAAACCCCTTTTGCATTTGGGCTTGGTTGAGTTTGGCTGGTTGATCCATTTTCCAATGACCGGCTTTTCCTTTTGGTTTTCCTTTTCCTCCCGATTTGGGTGGTGGTGGAGCAAGGGTAGAGCCAGCATTAGCGTTGCGTTTAGGAGTCAACATGGGAGCAGTCTCTTTTCTAACGGTAATAGGAGACGATCTTTTAATTGGTGAGGCAGAACCATCATCAGCTGATGATGTCATGGTGTTGTTGTTGTTGTTGTTAAATGGAGTGGACCAGGCACCGATTGAAATGAATGGACTGGCACCACTATCCGCTTTGGATGGTGATGTATTGTTTTGTTTATCCCTTGCTGCGCCAGACATCATCATACTCATAAGTGATGATGATGATGAGTTGGTGGCTGGATTGGCAGGGATGGTGATAGTGGATCCAGACCCTCCTCCTCCATCTTGTGACGACGACGACATTATGTTGTTGAAGTTGTTGAAATGGTTGAGATTGTTGGTGGATCGTTGTTGGTAGGGTTGAGTAAAGGTGGTGGTGGAAGTGGTGGTGGAGATTGAATCGGCACCACCACCATTATTGTTGTGGATGGTGCCATTGTTGTTCTGCATTTTTGTTGTTGTAGTTGCTTAAAGGGAAATAAGATATATTTCCGCTGTTTTAAAGGGGTTGTGGAGTGTTAAAGGGTTGATACAATAGTAGAGGTAGTATTAACAATAAGTAATCGGCAATGTCGTCGTCGCGATGGAGGAGGAATGTGATTAGTTAGTTCTCTGCTGGTCAAGTTTTCAAGACTGCGGTTCTTGATGTTATTTAGAGTATTAATTGTGGAAAGATGAGACGGCTGGTGCCGTTGATGTAAGATATTGGTGGGGTTAAAGAAGATTAACGTTCTGTTGTGTTGTTCTGTTTGCTGTAGGTGGTCAAGTCGACTAATGATGTGACTTGATGTCTACAACTAATACAAAGTAATTTAAAGGGTAATGAAGGGAGGGGTGGGTATATAAATAAACTAAAGTAAATATCTTCTAAATATATTTGCTGTAGCTTTCTTTCTTTCTTGTTGTAATGTTTCTCTATCAATAAATATAAATATATAAAATTATTTATTTATTTATTTATTTATTTATTTATAACAAACGACTGTAAAAATGATAATATGTGTGTAAACAGATAAGATAGAATGAATGAAATTTAAAAAAAAGAGTATAGAACAGGAGAGTGGGTGTTGAGTTGGTGTGTTTTTGGGGTGAAACGTCTGTTGTCAAAAATAATTAAATAGCAAGTTCTCGTTTTCAGTGCAAAACGGTGGTTTGTTAGGTCACGTGAAGGGAGGCCAGTTCAGCAAACAACAAAAATAATCTCTTTTAATATCTTATCTAATATTTTTGATGATGGTGATAAATAAATAAATAAATTGTTCAACATATAAAGAGAGCGAGAGATAGGTTCAAGGGAGGGACTATAGAGTTAGATTATTTCATTCAAGATATCTCATAGAAGTAGTTTATTCTATTCTAGCCCGTCAATTTTTCATATTTAGGGCGTCTAAAACGACACGCGTCTTTTTCTAAAGAGAGGTCTTGTTGAGAATCTAAACGACCCCTGTTTGGCCTGGTCAGATGAAACTTCCAACCATGGATTTTGTTTTTTCTTTTTTTTTTTTTTTCAAAGACGTGTTGTGCTGTTTAAACAGTCCCCAGACCAATTGTGTTATATAATTATCTATCTACTCCTCCTTGCTCCATCTCCTTCTTCACTCAAATAACAGATACCGACTCTAGACTCGTGTATCATTCATTAGCATCAGTTAACTTAATCTTTTTGTTTTTGTTGCTCTCTTCTCTCTTTTTCTTTTGTATATTTCATTCAATCGCATTCACTCATTTGCAATAACTCGTTTCACGAATAACTAGATATAAAATATACATTTATATACTTTATATAGTTCATACATACAATACAATCAATACATAGAACATACATTACATACACATTTAGATAGATATATATAAATAATAATAATGAGTTCATCATCAGGATCAGACCATGGTCTATCACCTAATTGCGTAGATGGTAGAGTGGATACAGGTGATACTACATGGGTATTGCTCTCAACTATCTTAGTACTTGGTATGATGCCAGGTTTGGCCTTTTTCGAAGCAGGTCTTCTCAGAATGAAAAATACTCTTTCCATTATTACTCAGATCATTTCAGGTATCGTTGTACTCACTGTCATGTGGCAAGCTTTTGGTTATTCTCTTACTTTTGGTCCATCTCAGGTATGTATAGACAGACATATACAACAATCCAGATAGAACAACAACCTTTGACGAGTCGGTCCAGTCGTTCGTCTTTGTGTTTCTTTTTTTTTCTTTTTTTTAAAGATCTCAATACTCACTCTATATATTTATATTCTTATTCTTTTTATTCTTATTGTAGAAAGGAATTATTGGTAATTTAGATAATGCATTTTTAATTGGTGTATCATATACTGATTGTAATAGTCATGCACCAAACATTCCATCGGCTGCCTATGCCATGTTTATGATGATGTTTGCCAATATTACACCATTGTTGATGACTGGTGCCTACGCCGAACGTGTCAAATACCGTTCCTTTATCCTCCTCACCGTATTTTGGGAGATTATTGTTTTCTATCCAGTTGCTCATTGGATTTGGGGTGGTGGTTGGTTACAACGTATGGGTGTCCTCGATTTTGCTGGTGGTATCGTTATTCATACTTCTGCTGGTGTTGGTGCTCTCGTTGTTGCTTTATGTATGTAATAGAAATCAATATATTATTAAAAAAATAATAATACTAAAGTTAACTTTTTTTAATTTTTCAAGATTTAGGAAGAAGAAAAGGATTTGAAAAGTATGGAGGTGAATTCCCACCATCCAACATTCCATTGGCTTGTTTAGGAGCTGCTTTATTGTGGATGGGTTGGTTTGGTTTCAATGCCGGTTCGGCTTTGGCTGCTGGTAGTGTTGCTGCCTCGGCCGTTGCCTCTACTCAAATCGGAGGTTCATTCTCTGGTATTGTTTGGATTATTTTGTCGTGGCTCAAGGGTAAGCCATCGACCGTTGCCGTGATCAATGGTGTTATTGCCGGTCTCGCCGGTATCACTCCAGCCTCTGGTTTCATCAACAACCAATACTCGATTGGCTTGGGTGTCGTTCTCGGTCTCGCCAGTTACTTTTCCGTTTTCCTTCTCAAGCACAAGTTGCACATTGACGACGCACTCGATGTCAGCTCTGTTCACGGTCTCACCGGTATCATTGGAGCCATCGCCATTGGGTTCTGTGCCGAGGTCAAGATCAATCCAGCCGGTGCCGACGGTGTCTTTTACGGCAACGCCCATCTTTTGGGTGTCCAAGTCTTGGCTGTCGTCGTAGTCGGTGCCTGGGCTGCCATTGCCACACTCGCCATTTTAATTCTCATCGACAAGTTTGTCGGTCTCCGTATCGACGAATCCGAAGAAGAACACGGTTTGGATCTTGTCGAACACGGCGAATGGTCCTACGACATCATTCCACACGACAACTTGTACACTCAAATTAATAACGAACATCGTGATAATCACCATGGTCATCACGCTCACAAATTCTAAAGAAATCAAAAAACAAAAAAACAAAAAAAAGTAAAAAGAAAGAAAAGTATTAATACAAAACAAAACAAAACAAAACATAAATAAATAAAAATTGGAAAAAAAAACATATAATTATAAATAGGTTAATTATAATAATAATATAATATTATTATTCTATTTTTTTGCCCATCCATCCATGATTGATATCATTTCAAAATCAAATGGGAAATGATAATATCCCCTGCTCAACCCAAGCTTCAAAACAATCCATACCAACCAATGAATACCATGGCAATATGTGGTTATAAATTAATGTTTCTAAATACCATTGCTAAACATACCATTGTTTTTATTTTTTTATATTTAATATTTTTCAAGTACCATTTTTATTTCATCTTTTAGTGAGTTTTGTAGATTGACAATCAATTTTAAATGACATATATCATTTGTGAGGGTGCTATTTGATCTTCACAACAAACAACACCATATCATTGGGTATGAAAAATTAAATATAAATTATGATTATCACCCCTCTTATTCTACTCTAATTTTGATTGAATCAAGTTTATCAGTATCGCGGTAGTGATATATAGAACTGGTTGGATTGTTCAACATGTTCACAAATGATAAAGTATAAATAAGTTTTGAATCAAAAATTTAATTTGGTACCCAATTGCCAAATCATTTATCATTTAATTAATTTCTAAACTCAAACTCTAAAAAAACATGTCATTGGACCAAGTTAAAGACATTCAAGTATGAATTTAGTTCTAAACTAAATATTTTTCATCAATCATTATCTAATTTTAATTTCTTTTCTTTTAGATCTTATTTGAAAAATATGATAGAAACAAAGATAGAAAAATAACTTTTGCAGAAGTCTTCAAAAGTTTAAAGGAAGGAGGTTCAAAGGATCCATTCAAGATGGCTAACCAAATTTTTGCAGAACTTGATAAAAATGAGGATGGAGTTGTTGACATTAAAGAGGTGTCAAGTAAGTTCACCACAACATAAATACTTGATAATAATATCAAAATCAATCAAAATATTTAACCTCCTTTTTGTTTTCTTTTTTTTTTTTTTAAAATAGAACATACAAACTATGGAAATCAAGAATACTTGAGTATTATAAAAGATGATATGGCAAGATTCCTTAAATTCTTTGACAAAGATGGCGATCAGATGCTAAACTATCAAGAAGTTGTAGATGTCTACAGAAACAAAAAAGCAAAAAATCCAGGTAAATACTCTAATATTCTTCTTCTTTTGTTTTTGAATTAAACTAATATCACACCATTTCTCATCCTTTTTAAAGAATACCTTGCTGATAAGCTTTTCCTTTCGTTTGATAAGGATCAGAGGTAAATATAATATAAATTGGATATCCAAATTTTGTAGAGGGGTAACTAATTATTTCCTTTCTTTTTAAAACAATGTATAGCGGAGTTATTACACTCAAAGAAGTTAGACAATTCAATGTTGACAAATTAGGCCAAGCCAGTAAATAAATAATGGTTTGAGGTGGTTTTAAGAGACAAACAAAATATCTATTAAATAAACAAATAAAATAAAAAAAAAAGGTGATTTGATTACCAAATATTTCTATTTGTTTTGTTTGGTGTTTTATATGTATATGAGAGTATAGTATAGTATATTAGTTGCCGTTGTATGTAGGGGAGGGAGGGTGAGGGAAAAAAAACTTGTAAAATTATTATTATTATCCATTATTATTATTATTATTTTGTACATCTATTTTTTACAATTACTTATTATTATTATTATTATTCATTATTATTATATCAACTACAACAATTTGAAGAATGATTTGATTGACGACGATTATAATCAGACATTGAATCATTGATATTGCCTCGAGGATTGACACCCACTCCATTATGATGTTGTTGACTTCGTTGATTATGTAATAGGATGTGATGTTTGATGAGTAATCGTTTGGCAATCTCTAAAAACATAACATCTATTCCTTCGTTCATCTTGGCCGATGTTTCATAATATAATGCTTTGATATCGTCTGCATATGTTTTGGCAATATCTCTATCTACAACTCTTTCTTTATCTATTTTGTTTCCACAAACTATCATTACTAAATATATCAATAATAATAATAATATTATGGTTGTTAATCTAACTTGAATCCATCATCAAAATAAATAAATAAATAAATGATCAAATATTTCATACCAATATCTTCTTGTATATTAATTTTCAATTCTTGTACCCATTCTTTGATTTTATCAAATGATTTCTGTGACGAGACATCAAATACCAGTATAGCTACACTAGCCCCACGATAGTACATTGATGCCAATGATCTAAATCTTTCTTGTCCTGCAGTATCCCATATTTGAAATTTGATTCTATTACCATCGACATTTCTTTTTTTTTTTGATTAAAATTGATTTGATTTGATTAGATTAGATAATTGATTGATTGATAAATCAAATAGAGACATGATTGATTATAGAAGCTAATCTAGATTAGACCAAAGAAGAGTACATACACATTTTTAGTAAGAAATGATGCGCCCACCGTACTTAGAGGACGCATCGGGAATATACCTTCTGCATATCTAACTGAAATAGCTGTTTTTCCGACGTCTTTAAGGTAATGCAGACATTAAGAGAATGAGGATCGTCAAGTCAATGAATGCAGACAAAGAGAAAGAGTAATACGATGAATGAAGAGAGATTTGTAAATTAGATTGATCACACCTTGTTTTATGACTACCTCTACTTTTACTACAACTACTAATACATACCTGTGCTACCTAATAATACTATTTTACACTCAATATTGATTGATTCTCTCTCCATACAAAAATGTGTATCTGTTTTGTTTGTCTGTCTGTCTGTCTGTTTCTCTGTTTCACAACTAACTAACAAACTACTAAAAGTCATATGATGAGTGAGGGGGTGGGTTTTGGGTCAATGCCCATCCCAAAAATTCAACAAATTAAACAACACAATAACAGAATGTTTGAAAAGATCTTTTGTCTATAAACATTTTTTAATCATAAAAAAGGCAATCGCGATTCCCAATCGAATCTTTAAACAACAATGAGAAGTATAATTATATTAATAAAAGATTAATATTTAATATTTAATATTGTTAACAATGATGATTGACTACATCAAGACTATGACGATGGTTGACCCCGAAATGAATCTGAGAAATAAAAGAGGTATGGCCTGGTTGGATGGAATTTAATATTGTGTTCAAAGTATCAAACAACACACAAAACTACTTGTTTTAGGTTGTCTCGCAACAACAAGATAGGCAAAAGCTCTCAATTCATTTCAGCAAATTAGTGTAGTGGAGTGAGCGATGGTGTGAAACTTGTGGTGTTCTTCACTCTTTTTTAATTTCTTTTTTTTTTATTTTTTGTTTGAAAATTGGATTCTTATTTTAAAGAATGGAACCCTCCTTTTGTGACTATTAACTACATCCAACCCACTATAACTAAAGAGAAATTAGCATTTCATTCATTCACTCGTCATTCATTCACAATTGTAGTAGGTAGATAGATAAAATAGATAGATAGAAAGAAAGAGGAAATATATATAGAGAGAGAGAGAGAGAGAGAGAGAGATAACATAACAAATTAAAATTTGTGAACAAACAAATTCATTCATAGCACACACACCCACTCCCAACCCGAAATACTCTCAATACTCATTCACTTCCACCTCTTGCTCTCTCGCTCTCACTCTCTCAGGTGAAACTAAAATTTAATATTAATATAATTTCATTTTACCAATAATAATATATAATATATTATTTCATTTTATAATATTTAGTATATATAATCACGCACACACACCAAAAGAAAAGAAAAGAAAGGAATAATCTTGTAGATATATATATCATCAACAAACACAACAAATAATTTGAACAAATATATTTATATTTAGTAAAGAAGAAGAAGAAAAAGAAGAAAGAAGAACCTACATTAAGATGTATAATCCACCACCTCCACAACCACCAGCTGGTAAGAATAGTTATTATAGACAACCTAATTCTACCCCAAATGTAGGTGCCCCAGGAGCACCTACTGTACCTAACTTTGCCGTACCACCTCCTTCTACAGCTAAATATCCACCAGGACCACCACCAGCAGGCCAATATCCACCACCTCCACCACCCTCTGCACCTGGAGCCGGTCAATATCCTCCACCTCCACCACCAGGTGGCCAATTCACACAACCGGGTCAATACCCAACACCTGCACCAGGCCAATACGGTGCTCCGGGCGGTCAATTTGGCGGTGCTCCACCAGCAGGTATCTCTTTGGTCAAAGACCAAACCATCTCTCTCAGCAAGGAAGATCCATATCTCAGAAGAGTATTTGTTGGTTTGGGTTGGGATGTAAATCAAATTCAAGGTTATCCATTTGATCTCGACGCTGTCGTTTTCATGTTGTCACCAAGTGGAATGGTTAGAGCAAGTCAAGATTTCATTTTCTACAATAACAAAGTATCACGTGATGGATCCGTTTCTCATCAAGGTGATAATCTTACTGGGTATGGAAAAAAAACAAAAAAAAAAAAAGAAAAAAGAAAAAGGATAGTTGTTGATTAATTAATTTATATTTATTTATTTATTTATTTAGATATGGAGAAGGTGATGATGAAACTGTTACGATTGACCTTGGAAGAGTATCAACCGATGTTTGTAGATTAGTATTTGCCGTTTCGATTCATGACGCCGAACAAAGAAGACAAACCTTCCAACAAGTACCACGTGCTTTTATTAGAATTGCCAACCAAGAGACTGGCAGAAATATTTGTAGATTTGATTTATCCAATGAAGGTGGTAGTAATACTGCTCTCATTGCTGGTGAAGTGTACAGAGATGGACCAGAATGGAAATTTGCTGCCGTTGGAAAGAGTTTCCCAGGTGGTCTACGTTATCTATGTCAAATGTTTGGTGTCACTTTAGGTTAAACAATCACACAAACTATATTTTCCATTGAAACAATAACAACTAAACATATTAATAAATAATAAAAAAAAAAACAATTTGAAACTTAGAATTTATTTAGGATCTTGGAACATTTTCAAAATCTAGATCTTCTTGATCATCAAAACCATAATTACAGGTATCAAGAGCATAGTATTGAGTTGAACCTTGATAATTAAATCTTGCATATGGAGGGTAAACTACGACAAAGTTGAAATTGCTGAGGAATTGACCCTTGACTTGAACGTAACCGTATAATTTCCAAGAGTTGGGGTAGTAGATGGAACCTTGGCCAGTAAAAGTATTGTCAGCATTAAAAGTACAGTTGACTAGGTAGGTATATGATGGAGATTCTGAATCATGAGTTGAAAAAGTACCACCTGGACCAGATTTACCTGGAACTGTCATATTGGTATAGACTGGGGCATTACATGGTTGTACATTATTACTATGTCTAATCCAACTACCTTGATATAAATCTAATCAAAAAAAATAAAAAAAGAGTTTGGTTGGTATTAATATCAAGGATTGTTTGTTTTATATTTATATTTACAAATTTGTTGTCCTTGGGAAATGACAAATAAAACACTTAATACAACAAGGAGAATTAATTTATTCATTGTTTGTTATCTTGATACTTTGTGCTACTGAATGTGAATGAGACATCTGAATTGGACATCCGATCGGATGGTCTATTTATAAAAATTAAAAAAAAAAGATCAAGTTAAAAAAGATTTTGATTAAAAAAAATCTTTGGATTTGTTGATAGAAAACTACTAGTTTTGATGATCACGTGACAGAATAAAATCCCTATCGAATTTACCGATGCGTTCTCATTCTCGCTCTTCTGTCAATTCAATAATACACATTAATATGATCAAAGCTATTCCGCAACGACCAAGAACCAAATGGCCCATCATAGCGGCTTCTTTTTTAAGAGTATCCATCTCTGGGTTTTGGAAGACTATTAAAATTTCAGCCAAGAGAATGGAAAAGATTGGATTGACAGAACCTGTGCAGAGAGCTGCAATACAACCCATGATGAATAGATGGATTTCTGGTGATGACATCTTTAATAGTCTACGAAGTGGTACCTTTTGTTTGATGACATCTTGCATTTTTTGGCGAGTCCGATGTAGTATTAATTAAATCTACTGCTTGTAATTTAATGAATTCTATTATTGTTGTATAACTATATTATTATTATTATTATTATTATTATTATTATTATTATTATTATTATTATTATTATTATTATTATTATTATTATTATTTATAAATGTAAATTTCCTTTTCAAGATGGTTTCATCTTTTCGAAATGTCTATTGTTAGATATAAAGCAAATGCTATCATGTTGGTAGATACCATTCTTTTTGATATCACTCTCTAACAATTTAAAAGGATATAAATGACCATGACAACTGATAATGTATTGGAGTAACGATGTTTGGCTACCACCGTTTTTAATTCCAATGCTAAAAGCTCTGCGAATATCATCTTGTGATAATTGATAGCCACACTTTTGAACAAGATGGTCAATCACTTGATAACGACTATAGTTTATAGCACATCTAGCAATGTTTGACATTTCTTCTGGGGTGAATCGAATAGATACGAGGAAATACTTGACAATATCAAAGTGACCATATCGAATGGCATCGGGGATGAGGATGAATGGAAATGATAGTGGACACCATTTCAAGAGATCATTGATAATATATTGTACCAATTCAATTGATCCACTTTGTACTGCTGATACCAATGTTGGTTGCATTTGTTGGTCTGTATAATCTTTGTCAACAAATTTGGTAATAGCTCTAAAGAACTCGAGGTTTCCAGAGATGGCTACTACTCGAAGCAAACTGAATGAAAATATATAATCTTTTGGCACTTGTGACAGGATTAGATCAGTGATTTCAGAGTGTCCATAAAGCAATGCCACCTCTAATGCTGTCTGCATTGCCTTGACTTTGAGTGGCTTGTATTCAAATCGATCAGATTTAATCTTTTCGATCAACCACTTTGCAATTTTAAATTGGTTGTATTGAGCTGCCTTGGTGAGGAAATTGAGTTGTTTGATGTAGATATCCCGTCTAGCATCATCATTAAAAGATGGGTCATAGTCGAGGTATATCTTTTTAATAAAATGTAAATGACCACCTTGTATGGCACGATTGATTACTCTTTCCATTTGCCTATTATTTTGTTGATAGTATTCTTGGTTGTAATAATGATCGTTATTATCATTGTTGTCCAGTAGTAGTTCATCCGGACAAGTAACAAATTGTGTGGTTGGGTTGGCTTTTTTAATCTCTCTTTGGATGATGGGGTTGTAATCTCGGTAATAAATATACATCCAATTGACATTGTCTCGTACCTTTTGATCCGACAATAGTAGCAATAATTCGGGTTCTCGTTGTTCCACTACGGCAGCTTGTATCATACGTTGTACCCATTTGTTCTTCTCTCGAATATCCAGTATTCTACCAGACTCTACCATCCATCTAACATAAACCCATTTATATTCCTTTTCATCAGTGACCTTATCCACCATACACTCCATGATACCCTTTCTATATTGTCCACTATGGTTGGCCAGTTTTGATTCGATATATTCTATCATTTCAATGTTGCCGAGTGTTAGTGTTAGAGGTGACGAGGAGTTGGGTCCACGTTGTTGAATGAGCACTTGGATTTGTTTGAGTGCTTCAAAGAGTGACTGATGATGATAGTCGGGGAGTGGTGGTGGTACCTCATCATCATCATTAAATAAGTGACCGAACGGGACGGTGCCCAACCAACATAGATATTGGTGTGTGCACTTTACCAATTGTGCTTCACTCAAGTTGTTCTTTGTCGTAGATCGCCCCAATGAATCCTCAAACACTATTTTAAATACATCAAGTGGTAGATGGAAGTAATAGGATGACAAGTGCGCAATTTGAATAGGAAATCGTTGTAAGATGACGTTTGGAATGAACGGTAGATTGGGGGGTAGTTGTTGGATCCAACGACACATTATAGGGGCCATCTCTTGGAGATTACAAGGAGACTCTAGCCATATATGAACCAAATCGAGCAACCCCAAGTTACGCGCACTGAGTTTGTCCGAGTGTAAAAAGAGAGGATCTTGAAGTTGGCCAGACATGATCATCCCCAATCGATCGAGAAGAAAGCTAGTGCATGGGATTGATTGACCCGCCGCGCGTAATGTGCCACTGATATTCCACATTGCATAACCACCGTCTTGTTGTGTTCTCGATAGTATTAACTTGAGTGGGTGTGATGTTGATGGATTACTAGCAGCCGACAAAACGACAGTATAACAAAGAAATAAATGACTATATTTAAAGTAGATATAGTCAAATACATCAATGTCTTGTTCAGTCACCGTCTCACACAACAATGCAGCATCATTACTATCGAGTAATGTTGTCAAATGTCGATGTACCAACTTGTGTTTAAGTAGTCTTAGATATCCATTTCTAATCATCCAGTTGGCACTCTTTATATCTTTGTATCTATACATTCTCATTGGATCAGCAGGTAAACTACCATCACCCAAATATTCCAACCTATGTATTCTAACTTGTTTAAAGATACATTGTACCAAAACTTTACTTTTAAACACTTTTCTAAATACATCTTGTGAGAAGAATGTATTATCATTATCATTATTATTCATTCTATTATTATTATTACAATAGTTTTATTATTATTATTCTTTGCTTGTTCAAAACAATTTTGTTATGTGTTTTTTTTTTTTTTGAATGTAACCCAACTTTGGGTTTGTAGTATTACTATTCTTTTATTTATTTTGGTTAATCCCAACTTGAAATTCTCATTGTACCTTTTTCTTCAAGATTTTGGTACATTTTGAATGCCTTGTCTAACATGTGTGGCTCGTGACTCGAGAATGTTTTGAGTCCTTTGGTATGTGCGCGTTCGTAATAGTCTAGTAAAAGTGGTTTGTAGAGTGGATGACTACACTTTTCAATGATGGTTCTGGCACGGTCTCTTGGACACAAACCTCTAAGATCGGCAAGTCCTTGTTCAGTGACCACTACATCAATGTCATGTTCCGGGTGATCGATATGTGAACAAAATGGAACGATCGATGTGATACCATGTTCATCTGTTTTGGTTGGACGTGTCGACGGTGCGTGTACAATCGACAATTTAGAGTTACGTAAAAAGTCTCCACTGCCACCAACACCATTCAACATCTTTGAACCTTGTACACAGGTTGAATTGACATGTCCATAGATATCAAACTCGACAGGAGTATTCAATGCAATGACACCAAGTCGACGAACCAACTCTGCACCATTACTAATCGATTGATTACGTAGTACAAGTTTATCACGATAATTTGGCCAATTACTAAATAGTCGGTTGAATCCAGCCGGTGAGAATCTAAGTGATGTTGCTGATGCAAATTTTAGTTTTCCTAATGTATAACATCATCATCATCATCATTTGATTGAAAGGTTAGTAAACATATACTTCTATATATATATTTTAAATATATTTATATATATATAAATATACTCTATATTTATATTATTGTTTTTGTTTGTTTAGTTGTTTCATACCATTATCAAAAAAGTCAAGAAAGGTGTCTTGTAAAACTTCAGTCCAAACTGTAATATTTTCAAAAGGTGAACGTGAGATACCACCAATGACAGCGTTGGCAATCGACCCTATACCACTTTGAAGTGGAAGGAGACTGGGTGGAAGGCGACCTGCACCAACCTCTCTTTCCAAAAATCTGACAATGTGTTGAGCAATGGCATTGGATACTTCATCCTCTGGATCATTGTCAGTAGTTGCATCGGGTGCTTGCGATTCAACAATACCTATGATTTTATCTGGATTACATGGGAATGCATCCACACCTATTCTATCATCTACCCTTGACAATGGGAAAGGTTTGGTATGTGGTGGTAGAGGGATAGACACCATATCATGTAATCCTCTTAATGAAGGCAGAGATGTATTTAATTCTATAATTACTTTATCTGCCATTTGTAATATTTCTGGTAAAATACCAACACTTGCTCCTGGCTACAAAATAGAAATTTAATTAAGTATATATATTATTATTATTTAATATTTTGTTTAGGTTTCAATAATACATACAACAATATCACCATCTTCAGTAATTTCAGTAGCTTCAACAATAGCAATATCTAATTTTCTTTTGTTTCCTTCTTTGTTCATTGTATAGTATCCATATTGTAATTCATTGGCAAAGATTGATAAATGTTCATCAGAGAATCTAATCTTATCACTATTGATACCTTTTCTTAGGTTACGACCTACTTGATGTGGATAACGACGATCGATCATATCCAATCCAGCCCATCTATCCTCTGTTTCAGCACCAGTAGAAGCACCAACAAATAGATTGTATTTCATTTTACCCTGTAATTGATTCTTTTCAACATGATCTGCCAATGCAATTGGCATCATCTTTGGATATCCAGTTCCTGCAAATCCACTCCATCCTTTATAAATAAAAATAAATATAAATAGTTGATTATTGTATAATTTATATTTATTTCTACATACCAAGATACATTCCATTTTGGAAATGGTTAATTAGACTTTGGGGGTCACATATTTTGTTCAATAGAGATGGTCTTTTAATTCTATCTTTAATGACTGTATTTAATAGTGTATCGGCTACTTTTGATGATTTCATTTTGGTGTGCTACTTAGTTTAATTATTATTATTATTGATATCTTTTAAATGATTTGTTCTTCTTGTTTCTATATTTCTACAACTACTAGATATACACATAACAAACAAAGTTATTTATTTTTATCTGTCTGTATGATGATTGGTTAATAATAAATAATCAAACACACCAATGAGATGGATGTGTTGCTTTATACCACTCGCATTCTGTAAAACATGTATTTTCTCTCTCTCTCACACACACTGTTGTTACAATGACAACCAACAACAACAACAATAACAATCTAATCTATCTACTAGTTCCATTGCCTGAAAAGCAAGAATCTGCAAATGGGGGGTAGGCAGTTTAACTCCCCCGAATGATATCTAATCATCGTTGATCGTTATTAATGCATTCAACGACAATGAATAAATCGTATACAGTCAAAGAGTCTGAAAGACCTCTTCCTATTAACTATTAACGACTGATTGCACCCGCCCCATCTATTAATTGATCTGACCGTTAGTGAATGGATGGATTCCTTTGTTGAAAATATATATTAAAAATAAATAAAATAATTTTTTTTGCAAAAAAGGAAATTAAAAGTGTTATTTCTCACCATGTTTACAATGGACATTACTAAAAAAAGAAACAATAACTATAGAAACAAAATCAAAGAAATAGATAGATCTAACATAACGTTCACACACAACAGCAACTGATCAAGGTGATTGAACATCCTACATCATCTGCATCTGTCTGTCGTCTCTCTTGAGACATGTCATTTTATATTCAATCTTGTGATATAAAGTTACATTTACCAATATACGATGATAATGTATAGTACTATAATATTATATACACAGTGTGCTTGTAACTGACATGTTATGTTTTTATAATCATTAGGAACTTGGTAATCAATTAGAAACATGTTTTAGAAATTTGACTAGTAATCTTTATCTTTATTATTCTCATTTCGATAAGAGTAATGCTACTACTTCTACTACTGATCATCAGAGACTAGGTCAATTACCACATGATTTTATTGATAAACTAAGAGATTATGTACATAATCATCTTGTAAAGTTGTCTCAGACAAGGATCATTGGATTTATAAAGCATTTGTTATCAAATCTAGAGGACACTGTAATAGGTGTCTTTGCTCAGATATTTGATATCAATCAATACACAACTCTTTATCAAAAACAAAGATTGGATAGTGGTATAGTGTACACTGATAATGGAAATCGAGGAGGTAATACTTTATTGGATATACCTCAATTGGTTTATTGGTTCACTTTTAATACTTCCATTCTAGAACTTTTAAAATCAATTTCTTTACTAGATTTTAATGATAATGGTATGAAGAAGTGATGATAGTAATAATACATTGATATATAGATTTTAATATTGATACCTCTTTCTTTTACCTTTAGAATCTATCAAATCATTAAATACATATCTTTATCATTATATGACATCTTTATTATCATTAAATAATCAAATTATAAATTTAAAGTATGTGTAAATAACAATAGAATAGGTCTATAACAACGTACAACAATTATATTGATATTTTATATTTATAGAAAAAAGAAACATATTAAAAAGATAAATGGTGGTAGTAATAATAGAAAAGAAAATATTACAACTATTGAAGGATTTCATAGTTTTGTTAAATCATTGGATAGATTATGTGTAGTCGAGAATAATAGTAGTCAAGGACTTTCATTTTGGAGATTATTTACTGTTTGTTTAAATGAATCAAACATCATTAAACAATCACCACAAACTATATCAATTGAAGGTATGAAAAAAAAGAAAGAAATATAGATCATCCACAAAGATGATAAATAGTATTAATATATATTTTATTTATTTTAGAACAAAATATATTTATAATGAAGTGTTTTAAATATTTTACAATTAGAGAGGCAGAATCACCATCATCAATACAATCAATTGCAAATAGAAATGAATTGATTGTATCTAATAGATCCGATCAATTAACATCTAGCAATGATTCAAATACATCAACCAAAAACTATCATTGGTCAATACTATTTAAATTGGTTGAAAAATATATGGAATCAATACTCTCCAATTCAGATAGAGAAAAAGGATTACAAAAGTTAAAAGATGATTGGAACATGATAGACAGAGTAAAGAAACATTTGGCATTTATCGAAAACTATACATTCAAGTTGCTGTCTCTTTGGAATTGTCCATCATCACAACAAGAATTTTATTTGGACATTTTCAACTTTATATTTGATATTACCTATGTTGCTCCATTGGAAAAATCACTTCCTCTTCAACATATTTTGGAATATATCAATATTAATTATAATTATCATTTTAATGATACTAGTTTTAATAATAGTAGTTTTGATTTTATATTTTCAGAAAATAGTATGGAAATTGATGAACCAATAACAATCAATGATCAAAATATCAACAACAACAATAATAATCAAAATAATAATAATAATAATAATATTTTTGAAAAAAAAGATTATATATTTCAATGGATAAAAATATTATTAAAATATTTTGAAATCATTAAACCATCACAAGAACAAACAATTACATTATCATCATCAATACTTAATAGAATCAAGGAGGATTTAAAGGTTGAAAAAATATCTCAGTCTGCTCAACAATTGCTAATGAAAAAACCTGGTCATTTGTTGGATCACTATGTAAAACCATTAAAAGTCTTATCAGATGAAGGATTTCAATTATACTCTTGGACATTGACAACCATTTCAATTATCCTTTCCAAACCAAGTGGTTCGTCTTTTGAAGAGGAACGAAACTTGACCAAATCTTTTATCAAACTATGTTGTCTATTAAAGTTTGATAACCTTGGATTGGAAAAAAACAACATCAAACATATCATCAACTGTTTGGTATTTATCATTTCATTCAATTTAAAAGATAATCTTTATCATTATAATCATATGAATGAAAATGATAAAATTGTTAGACTAGTACGCAATTTTAAAGAAAGAGTTTGGGATCGACTTCGTTTAGTTGATAGTCTAAAATACAACAACTACATGGACAAGATTGAATTGACCGATTATATATTGGATAAATTTGCAACACTTGTCGAAAATCAAAAAAACAATTGTGTTTGTCCAGATCCTTGGTTTCCAATCAGAGTTGCCATCAACCAATTTATCTTGGGTGAACATTTTGTTGGACCACATTACAAAAACCTACCAAGGTTTACAAAATCAATTACCATGTCTGTATTGGAATATTTGAAATCGGATCAAAGAGCCAATCAAAACAACACAATTATGAAAAGAGTAACCGAATCAATCATATCATTGGCCAATCATATCATCCCAAAATGTCATGTCTACCTCAAAGGAAATCAAGATGATTCATCTCATTCAATAATGATGGATGCATTGGTAGACTGCTATCAAATTCTTTATACTCAATCTCATGGATTGGAATTTAAATTTGATTATCAACCATTTGATAATCACTGGGATGCAATGAAAAAGAATGAACTAAAACAACCAAACTATCTCATATTTAAAATTTCCTTACATTGTTTTAATAGAATGTTAAAGGTTGATAATCAATTTTTATCTGTATGTGTTAAATAGAAAAAACAAATAATAATAATATTAATATTAATTTTTATTTTGGTTTTTAGACAAAATTAAATAGTTGTATCAATTTATTTTTTTTAATTTTAGTTGATCCAATTTATGGAGATGAACATAGAGATTATATTAGTTCATTGATTGAAAATCAAATGATAAAGGATAGTCCTTTATTTAAAGGTATTACAAAAACACCGTCATCAATTTATAGAAACCAAACATTACAAGTATTCCTCAGGAATTTAAATCAACTACAACCAACAATACCCATTGAAAAAATTCTTAGATCATTTTTAGAATTTTTTAAATCTTGTTTAATCAATTCAAAAGGTTTGTAAACAACAATCAAACAATATTTATTTAATTCAATATTAATTTAAATCTATTTTCTTTTTCTTTTTAAGATAAAACATATCAAGATTTATCAAAATCAATAGAACTTATTATTTTTGAATGTTTTGACCATTTATTTTATCCTTTGGAACAAGGAAAAAGAAATTTAATGATTACAACTCTTTGTACAAGATGTTCACCTATTTTTAATGTTGGACAAGATAATATTGACAGGTTATTGGATCTCTTTGGTTCGAGAGCGATTGCGAGAAAGAATCAATCATCATTTGCAAATATGTTTTGTGGTATTGTTTTACACTCTTACAAGGATACCTCTCCTAGTTCACCAATTCAATTGTTTGCAAACCGATTGGTATCAAAACACTATCTTCGATACCTAGTGTTGAATACATGTATAAAGAGAATCTCTACTGAAAACTCCAAAGCTACATTCCTCTTTCTTGAACGACTATTCAAGCAACCAAATGACCGATACGATATCAAATTCTATACCCAGGATTTCTTTAGCGTCTCCAAACCCATCATTCAATTCCTTCATGATAATACTTGGTCAAGTATCACAAAAAGGGCAAGTACCGAATCAATGCCAAATGTATTTTCATTGTTAAATGCAGTTTTAAAGAGGATATCAAATCAAAATCAAATCTTGTCCCAAATAACTATAAAAAATATAACATATAATATACCAGTTGATCAAGGTAAGTAAAGTAAAGTAGTAATCAATACAATAGTTTTTACTTATTTGATACTTTTTTTTTTTTTCTAGAACATGTTTTATTTTTTAGACATTTTTTAAAACAATTGGTCAAAGTAATATGTCATTGGATGGAGAGATCAACAGGGTCACAATTTTCAGATCCCAATGTTTATAATAAGAAATTTTTGGCCATACTCGATTATTTACCCAATTTTAATGGTCCTTCTATTGAAATGCTAGAACCAATTGAAATCGATAAATCAACTCCACAAATTCACAATCCTCCCGCCTACCAAGACTACAAAAACATTTGGAAAAAATGTCTAAGGTTGACAAAGATTATTTATAATTACTATGGTTCTTTTGGAAGATTTTTAATATTGGATACATTTAACAATGGAGGGTTCCATTCAATTCAATCTTCCTTAAACCAAGATATGAAAGTTATAAAAATGGTATGTAACCTTGATATAGGTAATCAAAACAATTGTGATGTTACTGACAATTTCTTTTTAAAGGAGGAAATAAAAGGGTTTGGTCATCTGTTCAGTTTGATTGAGTAAATTTCAAATAAATCATGTATTCCGAATAAAATTTCAGGTTTCCATCTTGATCTATCACAAATATATAATTTGGTTATTTTTGAAAAAATCTATTTTTTTTATTTTTTTTTCTTTTCTACGGTCATCATTTCTACTCAACGACGGTCATTTTAGACCAAGATCTAATATCCATCATAACATTTACTCAGCTCTTTAGCCTGATTCTACAAAATAAATCATGTAGGCTACTACGATCACCAACTCTACCTAATAACCACCAACCCAACAACCTTCTGAAAATACTATATATCTCTCCTGTCCCGTTGAGAAAATGAAACAACTCACAAACGGTGACTGTTTATATTGTAAAGACAACTACATAGGCAACGACACGACCAACCAATTTTAGATCTTGGCTCCACACCTTTAATTATACAATATTTTGATTCATCTAGGTTCCAGTTAAAGCCAGAAGAGTTGTCCTCCTGAACCAGCACATCATATTCAATAAGGTGTTTCGTAACTTGTTTGATTATGAGGCGAATTGATTTCATTTGACACCTCATAAGCAAACAAGTTATAAAAACACCTATTCATTTCCTGAAACAGCAATCAATAGAGAGTAACTTGCCAATTGGTAAATATCTTTATTTAAATAAATAATCTGCAAAAAACATTATGTGTTCTAGTTTTTTTTTTTTACAAACACTCTTTTAGTTCAAGATCAACAATGAATATTCATCCCAACATTCAAGCTTTTTCGTGGATACTCGGAAAGTGGAAAGGCACTGGAAAGGGTAAATAGAGAGAGAGAGAAGAAAGACCTTGTTCTTTTTTACTGTTCTAATCAAACTTTTGTAAATGTAGGAATCTACCCAACTATTACTTCATTCAATTACACTGAGGAACTAGAATTTAGTACTGCTGGTAAACCATTCATTCATTATCAGTAAGTAATTGAATAACAATGATATTGATCATCATGTTTAGACTAATCTCTCTCTGTGAATAAAGACAAAAATCATGGAATGAAGCAGGACAACTGTTACATGTAGAGAATGGGTATCTTAGATTCCCACCAACTGGACGTATCGAATTGGTGAATGCACAACCAACTGGAGTCTCTGATATCTACGATGGTAGCTACAATTCTCAAGACAAATCAATCGAGTTGAAGCTAACCTCGATCAATAGAACTGCATCTGCCAAATCACCACATGTAACTGATGCAATCAGACGTTTCAAATTGACCAATGACAATCGTTTAGAGATCTCTTTTGACATGGCTACAACAAATACACCAACCATTCAAAGACATCTTGATAGTTTACTTGAAAAGATTTAAAAGGTGAAACAAATAAATAATAACAATCTATTTCTATCTTTTATATATATTAAATATTATATTTGTATATTAGTCCTATTGTTTTTATTTACACTTTAAAGAATTGAATCTTCTTCTTCTTTCTGTTCTTCTTCTTTTTTATCTACTTTGCCATTATTATTTTGATTCTTTTTTAATATATTTAATTGATTAATGGAATCATTTAAAATGGTGATATAATTTGTCAATTGAGTATTTAATTCTCCATCATTGTCTATGAGATCTACACCTTTGGTTTGAATCCATTTGTTTGTTTCAATGAATCTAAATGCCTCTTTAAACGTGTCATTGTGAAGTTGTAGTTGATCTAATTTCTTGAGGATCACTCTTTCTGGTTTGAGTTTAGATGATGACGACGATGATGAACTCTTGTCACTAATATCCACACTATCTATAATTTCTTGACTGTTTGCCAATGAAGAGATTGTCGGTGATCCTGATGTTGGCGAAGATGTACTTGAAGGATCGTTGATCAACTTTGAATTGTCTTTGAGTGGGTTGTCTTCCATGAGCATACCGCTGCTTTGTAAAGAAGATTGTTGTTTCAGTGATCCAACTATTTCCTTTACATATTGATACTCGTTATCAATGTCTCTTGTTAGATCGACATTCTGTAATATAAAGTCAAATATATCCTTTTTATTGTTGGTAGTACTTGATAGTAGTTCTCCACTACCAACTATATCACTATTATTATTACTATTATTATTATTTAAACTGTATATCAATTCATTCAAGTATGTTGATTGATCATTCTCTTCTAATCTTTCAATGTTCCTTATATCTTCTTTAATATGATCTAATGTTATCCTATATGCCATTAATATATGTTTAGAGATGATGATTCAATGATGATGAGGAAAAAAAAAAAAGTTCAGATGAATGGTGATTATTATTTCATTAATATATTAATTTTCTTTCTATTTATTATTATTGTTTCGAAGTTTTCAAATGTTTATCAAAGATTGCATGATATTCGTCTTTCTTGTCTTGTCTAGTCTTTTCACCAAAATTCAATTCCAATATTGAAAGTGTTACACCCTTGAGTTGGGTAACATCATTGTTGAATACCATTTCCAATTCCCAGACAAATTCAAAATATTCATCTTCCTTTCTGAGATCCATGTGTTGTTGTTTCTTTGTATGTGATACTATTACACTGTCATTCTTTTCGTCTCGACTAACCTTGATGTTCCATCCTCCGGCGTCCTTGAACATTAATTTTGGTGGACAAATACCAAGTCTCAATTCAATAACTGATGGTGCAATAATTGCTTGATTACATCCCTTTAATACTTGCAACTAAAATATAAAACAAGTTAATAAAAGGAATTTAGATATATATAAATATTTCCATTTTCTTATTTCTTTCAACTACATACAATGGGAGAAGATTCACCAAATTCTGCTATAAGGAATTGAACAAGATCATTTGGTCTTATTGATCCATCATCATTTCTTGGGACCAATTCAAAGTTGGTTTGGATTGATTCGTTGGTTTGTGCGTCATTGTTGTTAATATTGCTGAAAAGTTGTCTAAGGGCGAATAAAATATCGAGAACCGTCTTTTTAGGATTACCTCGGTTGGCAAGATCGACAGTTGGGTCTTGGTCTTGTGAAAAAATAGAAATACAAAATGCAAGTCTTGGGAGATCAGCACCTACTGGCAAAGTGGAAAAGCCTCTAACCCATACACGTTTGGTGTCTTCCTTGATGTCACGTGGTGGAAGGACGGGTTTGGAGATGGCTGCCGATGGTGGGAGTTGGATGGGTTGGGTGGCAGACAGAGGAAGGGAGGTTGGGGTGGATGGAGCTGTCAATGATTCGGTTCTACCACTGCTTGTTGGTAATGCAAGTGATGAATGGAATGATTGAAGGGATTCGGCAGAGGTTGAGATTGTGCTAAATGATGGAGTAGTGAGATGATCGTTGTTATTATTATTGTTATTGTTGGTTGGTAATGATGGAGAAGAATGTGATGAAATTAAAGGTGGTGGAACAAACTTTTTCTCTATAACTACTGGTGCAGGTGCAGGTGCAGGTGCAGTAACTACTGGCAAAGTTTCTGGTACCTTTTCCAATTCTTTCTTTTCTTCCTCTTCTTCTGATGATTCTTCCTCATCTTGATCATCTTCTTGATCTGATTTCTTTTCATCTTGTTTGTTATTTTTCTTTTCGTCATCATTATTTTCGTTATTCTTTTCGCCATTGATTTTTTCGTCTTCTTCCTTTTCTTCTTCATCTTGTTCGTCTTCATCATCTTCTTCTGTTTTATCGCTATTTGTACTATTACTATTGCTATTTGTTGAACTATTGGTTTCCTTGCTTGATCCCAAACCGTCACATGGTTCATCAACCTTGTTTGTTTCAACTGATACGACCACACTAACTGGCTCAGTTGTCAGAGTTGGAACAATCAAATGTTCTTGTTGTTTTTGTGCAGATCCAAGTTGGTTTTGTTCATCTTCATCTACAAATTGCTCTTTCTTTTCCTCTTTGATCTGTACAGGTTGAGCTTGAATGATAATTGGTTCTTCTTCTTTTTGCTCTTTAATATCTTCTTCTTTTTGTTGAACAATTTCAATCTTTACATTGGTTTCCTCAACAATGATTGGTTCTTCAACCTTGACTTGTTCAACTGTTGGCTCGACGATGACTGGTTCTTCAACCTTTGGTTCTTCGACGATGATTGGTTCTTCAACCTTTGGTTGTTCGATGATTGGTTCTTCAGCCTTGACTTGTTCGACTGTTGGCTCGAAAATTATTGGCTCTTCGACGACTGGTTCTTCAACTTTGACTTGTTCAACTGTTTGCTCTACGACAACTGGCTCTTCAAGCTTTGGTTGTTCGACGATTGGTTCTTCAACCTTGACTTGTTCAACTGTTGGCTCAACGATGACTGGTTCTTCAACCTTTGGTTGTTCGATGATTGGCTCTTCAACCTTGACTTGTTCGACTGTTGGCTCGACAATTATTGGCTCTTCAAGCTTTGGTTGTTCGACGATTGGTTCTTCAACCTTGACTTGTTCAACTGTTGGCTCAACGATGACTGGTTCTTCAACCTTTGGTTCTTCGACGATTGGTTCCTCAACCTTGACTTCAACTTTAACCTCCTCGACCTTTTGCTCGACGACGACGACGGGTTCTTCAACTTTTACCTCCTCAACCTTTGGTTGTTCTATTTTAACAGGTTCAACCTTTGGTGTGGTGGTTGGCTTTGTTGGGGTGGTAGATGTTGGTTTTGTAATTGAAGAAGCAGTGGATGGTCTTGTTGGAGTGGTGGCTGTTCTAGCCAATGGTGATGATTTGGAGGTTGTGGTAGTTGGTAATGAAGTCATTGATGACGTCTTTTTAGTGGTCAATAAGCTTCTCTTGTCTCTAGTTGTCATGGTAGAGGACAATGAGCTGCTAGTCGATGGTGATGGAGTTGGTGTTGTTGCAGGTTTGGAGATTGCTATAGAATGTCTCTTGGATGCAGTGGTAGTAGTAGTAGTAGAAGTGGTAGATGTAGTAGAGGTGGTTGATGTTCTACCACTCAAACTTGACGTGGTAGTAGTGGTCTTGGCGGCAGTAGAGGTGGTAGTAGGGGTAGATGATCTAGAAGTTGATGGAGATGGTGTAGATGTTCTAGAGGTGGATGGTGATGGAGTTGAAGTTCTCGATGTCGATCTAGTGATTGACGATGAACTAGTTCTCAATGGTGATGGGGAAATTGGTGAGGTGGACATAGTGGGAGAAGTAGTACGTGGGGAACTACTTCCACTACTACTGCTACTTGTACGTAATGGAGATGGTGACGTTGTTCTACTAGTTGATGGAGAAGCTGTTCTTGGAGAACTAGATAATCCACTCAAACTTGGTAATGGGGATCCTGGAGCAGCAGCAGTGGTAGTTGTACTCGTTACAGTACGCTTAGAATCTGGTGTCGTAGTAGTAGTCTTGTAGAGAGGTGATCGTGGTGTTGCAGGAGATGAAACTCTTGGTGACGACGACGAGGGTGATCTAGTGGGACTGGACTCTACCTCTTTCTTTTTCCAAAAGTCTAGCAATTCTTTCTTTTGTCCTGGCGATGTGGTGGTCGGAGGAGTCAATGGTGTTTTGGGTGACGATGGAAGTGATTTGGATGGAGTGAATGAACTGTGAGAGGTGGTTGTTCGATGCAAGTGTGGACTGGAAACAGTACGAGGTGTTGGCATGGTCGAACTACGTGCTTGTTGTGGACTACTCAACGACGCATATTTACTAAATGTCGATGACAATGTAGATGGAGACATGGTAGTTGATGTTCTAGATGAAGTTGTAGTAGTAGTTGGTGTAAGATTGACACTATTTCTATTCGACGAGGAAGTAGTTGGTGTCTTTGGAGTGGATGGAGTAGATGATACACCACCAAAGGTAGATCGAATAGGTGTCGATGGTTTAGGTGATGATGATGATGATGGTGAGCTTACTCTAGATGTTGTAGTTGATCCTGATTTACTTGGTGTTGATATTCTTGCAGTTGATGTAACAGAACTACTAGTTCTTGGTGACCCTGTGGTCGATGTTGTTGTAGTTGTAGTTCCATTCAATAATCTTGATTTAACACTTGGTGATGAAGAAGGTGTAGTTGAAGTAGTAGCAACATTTTTCTTTCTCGATAAAGAAGGTGATTGTGGTTTGACAACTACATTATCTTCCTTTTTAATTTGGTCAGATGATGTCTCTAATTTTAAAGTTGTCAATGATAAAGACAATGACTCTTCTTCTTCTTGTTGTTGTTGTTGCTGATCTAGGTCAGGTTTTAAAGGGGTAGATACAATATTAGGTGTTGTTTCATCGACCACCAATATAGTTGCATCGACCAAATCTTCAGCTGAAACCACAGAAGTCGTTGTATGATCTGTCAACAGTGCTGCTTGATTATCATCGTGTATTGATGACATTCTCTCTCTTATCTTTTAGAGGATAGCACTCTATCTATCTATCAATCAACCAATCTATCTATAATGAATATTAGGTATCAGTCTTTAGTCTATCGATCGTCGAATCTATATATAGATAGATAGATAGATATTTACAAGTACTTGTTAATGGTGCTTCTCTATACGTAGTAGTAGTAGCTAATACTGCTGATATTATCTGCTGCTTAAGAATAAGACCTATCGAATAATACAAAAGATTAATAAAATATCCTACAACTACTACTTGTTCTTTGATGATTTGAAAGGTAGGTTTGAATGGAATGAATGAAGGAATTAATCGGTTCAACAACAAGTCAACTAATCTATCTATCCTCTTGTTGACTATTATTATTATATTATAGTGTAGGTGATTGATGGATTTGATAAGAGTGTGGCTAGGTGGGGATGAATGAAAGAGGGTGTTGTGTGATTTTTGTTTTGGAGGGAAAATTTGTACTGCTTTGAATATTGTATGTATGTGATATATGATATTATACCTTTAATGATATTTATAAATACACACTATTTATTATATTTATCTAGAGATCCAACAATGCTATCGATAGCCAATCAATGAATGATCGAGGGAGGGATAGAGGAGGTATAGTGAGTAGTACTATTTTGAAAGATCTGGTTAAACGCAGTTTTTGTTTTTTTGTTTTTTTTTGTGGAGGTAACGGATCAATTTCAAGGACTTTACTCACCAACTCCCAAATCAATGTCATATGGAGAAATTACACCCTTCCTCCTCACTCACTTATAATATCACTCGTCTACTATCGATAGTTTGTTTGTTTGTTTGTTTGTTTGTTTGTTTGTTTGTTTGTTTGTTTGTTTGTTTGTTTGTTTGTTTGTTTGTTTGTTTGTTGGGAACTTTTAACCATTCTTCCCCATGCATTCACACAACACAACACTTTTGATCTTTTAAAGATTTTAAAAAGGTGGTGGATTTAAAGTGATCACTTTATATGGTTAAATGCATTCATTTATTCATTATGTGATGATGGTGATGGCCATTACATACAGACAGACTATTCTTTATTCTTTATTCCTCCCATCCATGGGACTGACTGATATTTTAAAATAATTCAGACGATCATATGATATTTCCAATCAATACTATTCCATTATTCTTTTTTAATTTTATTAAATTATATTTATCGTTGTACTATGCAATGTAAATGTACATTGTCATTCATCATTCACATAATATAATAATAATAATATTATATAAATACATACAATAGCAACAACTATTAGTTGTAGCATACAAGACAAGGAAGGGGATGATCAAACCTATAACTATAAAAAAAGAAAGAATCAAAATACTTTTAATAACTATTATTATTCTAAGTATATTTATCAGTTTGATTATATTCATACCCAATAATAATAGTAATGTTGGATTTAAAACGATAAATGGAAAACAATCACAAACAATAATTGGAAAGAAATTAAAATCAATTGACCATCATAATAATAATAATAATCATAAAAGTGAAAAAGAGATAAATGAAGAATTAATAGAAAGACAAAAGAATAGAATACCATCTGATGATTTTTTAAATGGAATACATCAACCATTTAATATTGTCCCCTTTTTCCATCGAGCTTATAAATATCAGAATAATAATATTAATAATAATAATAATAATAATAATAATAATCGACATGAACAATCAGATGATAAAACAACAACAACAACAACAACAAATACAATTTCAACAACGATGGTAACAATAGTTACACAGGCAACAGTTGATAGAATTGAAAGAGTAGTTGCAATGGCTAAAAAATGGAAAGGTCCAATTTCAACGGCGGTCTTTATCAAAAATCCAAAGGATATTCCACAGTTGAAAAAATTGTTAAGAAAACATTGGATATTGGCTGAATATGTAGATATACACTTGTTGTATGCCAATCACACTAGATATCCTGTCAATAACCTAAGGAACCTATCCATTAAATATGCACAATCAGATTATGTTTTATTGATGGATGCCGACTTTGTTCCACACCTTGGAATGAATGAATATGTTAGTGCTCAAATTGAAACTCTTCTCCAACAACAACAACAACAACAACAAAACAAACATCCACTATCATCACACGAACAACAACAACAAGAAGAGAAAATAGCATTTGTAGTACCATCATTTGCAAGTTCAGAAAATCCAAATCATTTACCAAATGATAAACAATCATTATTAAAAATGATTAAAGAAAATAAGGTTTATCCTACAAGTATGTAAAATAGAAAATTTAAATATAAACAAATACATAAATACATAAATATTCAAACTTACTTTACTTTTGTTTTTTTTTGTTTAGATTTAAATGTTTGTCCAAAATGTCATACACCAACCAATTATAGTAGATGGTATGAAACCGATGATTTATACCAAGTAGAGTATAGATGGATTTATGAGCCATACTTGATATTTAATCGATCGACTTGTTTAGCATTCGATGAGAGATTAAAAGGCTACGGGTTTGACAAAAACTCGCAAGTATTTACCATGGCTGCACAAGGATTTAAATTTATGGTGTTGCAAGCTTTTATCATTCACATTAACCATCCCGCCGCATCTTGGGAAGGTCCATCACTCGACGAACAACAATGGGATAGTCTTCGAATAGTATGTGATATCCTACCTCAAACTAGAATTGCCAATGGTCATGACATCAACACCAGACTATTCGACGAACCAATCCCCAATGAATGTTTATCAAATAATCATTGGTAGGTACCAATCACTGATGTTACAAACAATACAGAATAAATACTAGAGTATAAAAGACCAACCATAGCATAGCCCAACCATGCTAGCCTCGCATACTAGTAGCATGGTTGAATTTAAATTAATATCAATTTGAGCTTTGCCCAAAAAAATAATAACGAAAAAAAAAAAAAAAAAAAGATTCGCGTCGTTCGTTTTACATTGTCAATCGGCTTTTTATAAGAGGTTGTGTATTTTTCATTCATTGTTGTTGATTTATTCATTTATATATATTTATTATTAACATTATTAAAAGAAGATAAAAGAATGGTCGTCCCAACAACCTCAACAGTCAAGAAGTCAACTACTACCACTAAAAAGGTTGCTGCCACCAAGAAGGTTTCGATCCCAGTCATCGAAAAGCAACCAATCATCGAAGAAAATATAGAAGAGGAAGTTGTTGCTGCTCCAGTAGTCGCTAAACCAACTAAAAAGACTTCAACAAAGACTTCTGCAAAGACTGTTGCTGTTCCAGCTCCAGCTCCAGCTCCAGTTGTTGAAGAACCCAAAAAGACTACTACAGCTGTTGCAAAGAAGGCTGCTGCCACCAAGAAGGTTGCTGCTGCTCCAGTTACACCAGTCGTCGTAGAAGAGAAAAAGGTTGAAGTCGTCGCTGCACCAACCACAACTAAAAAGACAACAGTAGCACCAAAGAAACAAGTTGTCGAAAAGAAGAGAAAGGTAGATGATGTCGTAGAAGAAGAAAAGCCATTGGAAGGAGAAACACCAGCCTTTAATTTGTTATATAGTCAACATCATCACTCTATCAAAGCTCAAGTCATGTTACATAAAATCCCACATCAATACATCAACCTCGACATTACCTCTACTCGTTTTGTACTAGATACCAAAAACTATTCTAAAAAATATGTAATTAAGTAAGAAAAACAAACAAACAAACAAACACAACCATCCATCTATCCATCAAGTTATATTAATAATTAATTTCCATTTTTAAAAAGTGAACCATTCCCAATGGATTTGAAAGTAGATGAAACAAAGGCTGAAGCCAAATTCGAACAAGGTGTTTTAACTGTATTTATTCCAGTTGATGGTCCAAAACCAAAGGGATCACATATTGATAAAAAGACTAAATCTGTTTGTATTATCCAATCATCTATAATATATTATTATTATGATATACTAACTATTATTATTGTATTTAATTTAATATTATTTATAGAAAAGAGAAGAAGAAGCAGAAAAACCAAAGAGATTAAAATCTAAAAAGGCAGCCAAGCCAAACAAGGCAAAGGTACCAGTTGTTAGTCAAGCAAATGCTGACTCTTACCTCAAGCAAAGTGTAAAGAACTCATTGGAAAAGAAGGCCAACAAAAAGGCCAAGTTTGCATCTGAAGAATCGGCAAATGAAATTGCCAAGAACCTCTCTGCCAAACAAGAGCAGGTTGCCAACACCAAGATTGCCGCTGAAAAGAAAAAGATCCAAGACGCAAAGGACGAAGTAAAGGCAAAGGAAGACAAGAGAAAGGAAGCTATGGAAAAGAAACAACAATTAATGGCTGACCTCAAGAAAAAGGCAAAGGGTACCAGAAAGGAACAAGCTGCTCTTTCAACTCCAACAAAATCAACTTCAAATAAGAAAGTATCTTTTGAATAAATATTAATTTTAACCTCTAAATATATATATATATAAATATCGAAAAAAAACAAAACAAACTAAACAAATAATAATATAAATATAATATATTTATGTTTGCACCACTACTACTATTTTAGTTTTATATAAATAATATATTATTAATAATAATAATAATAATAATATGTATCTCTTTTCTCTCAAATATATTTGAATATTGAGAGGGATGGGAGATTGCTTTTAAATATTTATTTGGGTTATATATAATATTGTTGTGCGAGTTGGGTTATTTTGAATAATGATAAACTAAAAGTTGACCAGTTGTATCAGTGATAACCAAATATCTGTATTCGATATCCAATGAATGTGACAAGGATGATGAGGAGGAAGAGGAGGAGGAGTTGGTCGATATGGATGAAGTTGAATTGGTTGGTGAAATACTACTACTTATATTGATTCCATTACTATTATTAATATTATTATGATATGAAGAAAAAGGTAAAAAGGTTGCAGTAGTAACAGTTTTGTTTAGAGTTGTAAAATAATCACAACCCTCAACGGTAAGTTTTGACACTTTGGAAGACGATGAATGATGATGATCATTATCATACGAAGAATGAGCAAAGTTTTCCCAAACATAACAATTACCATCTTCACTACCAATGATGATACTTTGGTTATCGGGAGAGACGGTTGGTTTGATTTGGTAGTTTTCCAAAACCATACCTTTGTATTTACAGATTCTCTTGAAATCGCGTAGTGTGTATTGACGAATACACGAATCATTGGTGCTGATGAGTAGTGTGTCGTGGTCATGGTTAGAGTCACTCGAGGTGGCAATAGACAGCCCTGCAATCTTTGGACCCTTTCCCTTTTTAGCAGTGTGGTTCATACTGACATTGAATTTACCTAGTAGTTCAAAATCGGCAGGATTCAATATAAACACATTACCAAGATGTGTACCAACAATGAGGTGGTGTGGTGTAAACGATAATGTAATCGTCGTAATAAATTCTCCAATCTCCATTTGATCCATTGGTTCCGCTTCAACCAATGACCATTTTCTAATTATACCATCTAATGTTCCTGTATAGAATATATGTTGTTGTGACTAATCAAAGTAAAAAGTAAAAACAGAAATTAGATATATATAAATATTTTCAAAACAACTATCTATCTACTTTCTATTTCTATTACTTACAATGCCAAGACTTAATGAAACAACTATATCATTATGTTCGAAAGTTCTTAAACACTCGCCAGTTTCTATATTCCATAGACGAACGGTGGTATCGATTGAAGAGGTCAATAATCGATCGTTGGACAACCATTGTATATCTAAAATGTGACCTGTATGACCCTCTAATACTACTTTGGGTGCAGTTTTGAGTATCGATAGAGGTGGTGGATTTAATTCACCAATTTCTTGACTATTACTATTATTACTATTACCGGTTGATTGTGGTTTAGTGATTTCCCATACTCGAGCAATGGTATCTGATCCACCAGTAGCTAGTAATGTCCCATTTTTATTAAATGATGTAACCCATATAGATCCAGTATGTGCTTTTACTGATTGTATCATCTTGTATCCATTATTTAATTCTTTTTTCTTTTTTATCTAAAAATAAATAAATGAATTGATTGATTGATTAGTTGATTGAATTATTATTATGTAAATTTTGATTTCATACATTTGGAGTTGTTGAATGAAGATTCTTTAACCATCTCGAAACTCTATGTTTATCGTTGTTGTTGTTGTTTATGTTACAATTATTGGGAGGATTGGCAGTTGCTCCATTTTCCAAAGAGAGAGATGAAGATGGTGAAGGAATAAGGTCGTCCTTGTCGAGTGTACTCATTCGTTTGATGAGTTTCTTTAGTCTACTACCTTCTTGGTGATGTACAGATGAAGGTGGTGTCGTCGATGACTCGGTATCTGAAATGGTCGACGGCAATGAATCTAGACTACCACCATTAGTAGCACCAAATGGTGGTGTAGATGATGGTGTCATTGAGTTGGTTGGTGTACTATTATTACTTGATATCGTCGTTTGTTGTTGTTGATTATTGTTATCTTTAGTTTGACCAGTAAACAAATTATGTAATTCATCTTTTTTGTTTTTAATTAAATTTAAAACCTTTGAATTTCTTTTACTCTTGTTATTATCCTTATTATCCTTATCCTTACTATCTTTTAAAAGATTACCACTATTACCAAGAACACGTTCTTTAGGTGGTGATGAGGAAAGTGGAGATGGTTGAAGAGGTGGTGAATTTCCTCCAGATGATGATGTCGACGATGAAGTAGAAGATGAATTACTTTGTGTGATGGTAGGTGCGGTCGTAGTTGATGTTGGTGCTGGTCCATTTGCTCCATTTGGTGGATTAATACTTTGTTGTTGTTTTAAATTATTATTATTATTATTGTTGTTGTTGTTGTCGGTCGGAATAAGAGGAGCAGGAGATGGCAATGAAGCAGAATTATTTGTTAAACTATTATTATTATTATTATTATTATTATTATTATTATTATTATTATTATTATTATTATTATTATTTCCAGTTTTAATTGAACCATTACTAAGAGTCAATGAGATTGGACCTCGTGGTGACCCAGATCCAAGTAAATAAGAGTGGCCTATTGGGGGTGTCCAAGAGGGTGTATCGAGAGCATCATAAAACTCGTCGTCGTCGTCATAGTCGTCTCGAGAATACAGGCTGTTTGAACTATGAGTCTCTGTATTTTTGTAGAGTGATGGATGAAGATGTGATCTTGACCCACTACTCGTTAGTGTTGTTGAATTATTATTATTGTTATTGTTATTACCGCTACTACCACTAGTAGACATTGATGGGGGTGATGGTGATGATATAGTTATTAAGGTTGCCATTAATATTAATATTTATATATTGTTGTATAACTATATTATTATTATTATTATTATTATTATTATTATTATTATTATTATTATTATTATTATTATATGTATCTATTAAATAAATATTGTTGTTGTTTGTCGTTGTAAATAAATATGATCATTAAAATTTAATAAATAGTTTGGTTATTGTGATTGCTATTGTTTGTCCGATGAATGGATGGATGGATGGATGGACTGTGAGTAATAAGGTATATAATGTATCCTATTTCGTGTATAATATTATTTCTATTTTCGAGCTCTATGGTGTGTGTGTATGAATTTATAGCTATGGTGTGTGTGAGTGTGTGAGTGTATGATGAACTTATTTGTTGGAGTTGTAATTCTGTTATATTATCTCTTTCTTTCTTCTTGCTATATGTGTGAGTGATTGATTAATTAAAGGATATAGAATGATGAGATGCTATTGAAAGGAAGAAGAAGAAGGAAGAGGTGAGGTAGGTATTTCTTGATGGTGTCTGTTGATGACTATTATAGTTGTATTATTGTTGTATCTATGTCTAATTATATATTATTATATTTTTATTATAGAATAAGAGAAACATGATGTTAGTTTATACCTATTCAAACTAGTTTGCAATTATCATTACTAATGAAATGCGTGTACCGAGAGAGAGAGAAGAGAGACAGAAGAGATGGATGGGATGGGTTGGTTGGTTTGGTTGGTTGAATGATGAATGATGGAGAGATGGTGAACAACTAGAGCATCATGCATCGCAACAAAACACACAGGATACGCGCAACAATAAAAAGGGTTGTCTCTGGGGGTTTGTGAGCAATAAGATCAAGAAATCCGAGTTTGGGATACGACGCGTTGTTGATGAGACATGATGCAATGGATATCGCTGTAAAGGGGTGCATGTCGGTGTGGGATGCCCAAAAACAAAAAAAAAAAAGCTTAAAAAAACAACAATCACATAGTGAGAGTAGAGCTGGATGGATCGATGGATGGAAGGAAGAGTTTTCTTTTACATTTTAGACTTTTGAGTAGTGACGAATCGATGAATCAACATAGCACCCCTCTCTATAAAAGATGATGATGACAGATCGAATGAAATGGCGAACTATTGTGTTGATTTGAGTTATTTGTGTGTCTGTTTGGAAACTAAAAGACACAATACAATGATGGATAATGAATGAATGATGGATTGATTGATAGAATCAACTGACCTTTCTTGTTGTCATTGATGAATTAAATTTAATTATTTCTTTTTTTTGATTTTTAAAGGAATGAAAATGGAGTAATAATTTCAAAAGAAGAAAATAATATTCTATTACCAAAACTAAACTAATCTAACCCTAACCAACTTTTTGTTTAATATTTATATTAATTTAATTTCTTGAAACAAGAGAATTAAAAATATTATATATAAATATATAAAACTTGGAAGACGGATTAATACCCTTTTCCTTCATTCCCAAGTCCGACTGCTGCTGTACTAGTTTACTAACAACCCAGACCAGACAATCCATCATCTTTTTAATTGTATTTTCCCCTCATACTAATATAGATTGTGAGCTGAATTGTATTACAATACCAATACATCCAACTTATTAAATAAATATTATGAGTTTACAACCAACGACAACTAGTTGTTAACAAGATCTATCCATGGTTTTTATGAGATGATGGAAGAGTGGGGGTGATACAGAAATGGGGGGTTTAAACTTTGATAGTAATAATAATAATAATAAGGTAATGAATGATGATGACAATGACTCCCCCATTCATTACTATTGAAATTAATTTTTCGTCTCTGTTGGTTTGGGTGGTGAGAGGGTGGGTAACTTCACCATTCAGATGAGAGGATGTGGATGTAAACTATAGTCACCGAAAATTATTACTTTGACCAACCAAAAAACAATAATAAATGCATTATTGGAAAACTTGAAAAGATGATAGACTGAGAGAATGAACAATATGTACAAGAGATAATTGGTTGGTATCAAATTTCATTGACAACAAACTTTTGAATATCCAATATTTTCATTGTTATTATTATTATTGTTATTATTATTTCTATCGAGTCTCTCCATGAATTTAAACCTACCAATAATATTTCCTGTTTGCTGCTACTACTACTACTACTACTTTTTTATGATTAATATTATTGACTATATAGTAGTGGGGGTTTAATCATTATCTCTTTTCTTTTTTTTTTTCTAATATACGATTTTTATTATTATTATTGGTTGTCTATCTCAATTGGGAAAATATTTTAGAAAAAAAAAAAAAGGATAATTATTCCAAACCTACAATTTTGGATATACGTCAACTGTAAAAAAAGAGACTATGAATTACCAAAAAAGGAATTATAAAATCTTATTATTTTGAAAAACTAATTTTCCTGTCTACTACTCTTTTTCATTGTGCTCACGACAGTCATTCAATATTGTTATTATTATTATTATTATTATTATTTATAAAAAATGTTTCAATCTATTATCTTTTACAATTGTAAAGAAAAAAAAAATTGTAAAACTATAAAATGTACCAATATCTGAGTTGAGTTTCTATGAATGGTGATCTACAAAATAAATGTATACATTTATATTTTTTGATTACTACTACTTACATATTTGATTAATTTACTCTCAACAATAAACAATATTAATTCACCTTTGGACAACTTAATTATATATATTTATATTATTCATCTCGTCTCGTCTCTCTCGTCTCTCTCTTTTCAAATTTAATTTAATATTTTAATTTATAATTTAATTTTTTTTTTTTTTTTGGGTGGCATTGCGTTCTTGGTTTCTCGAGTGTAAAATTGCCGCTTTTAGCATAAGATTTTAGAATTTAATTAAAAACTTACAGACTGAGAGACACCATCCCATGCCATGATGACAAGTGTTCAGTAGACGAGAACGAGATAATTAATGATGCAAATGTCGATGGGTTATCAAACCAAACAACGAGACATACCATGAAAACGCATCCATCCACTCCTGTCCAAACACATCTTTAATATTTTGATGAATACAATTCGATGAAACTTTTGATGGATGTATATAATCTATCCATCTTTATCTACTACTCGTTTTTTCATTCCTTTACATCTAGGATTTATATTGTTTAAAAAAAATGTATTATTATTTATTTATTTGATTTGATTTAATTTAATTTTTTGGAATAGTTGCAACAGCATCAGCAATGGCATCAGCAAAATATGGTACAGATTTACTATTTAGACCGGCAACAGAGACTCTTCCACTGGCCAATAGATAGATATGGTATTTCTTTACAATGAATTCGACTTGAGCGGTTGACAAACCAGTGTAGGTAAACATACCGATTTGTTGGACAATGTGTCTCCAGTCACCTGGCACCTTGCGGGCAACGAGGGCGTCGTAGAGTTCTTGACGGACACGCATGATACGGCCAGACATGAGCTTGAGCTCGTCGACCCAGAGGGTGGTGAGCTTTGGGTCTTGGAGGACGGTGGCGACGATACGGGCACCGTGGGTTGGTGGTGAGGAGTACATGGCACGGATATCCATCTTGAGTTGCGAGAGCATCTTGGGGATGACAGCCTCACTCTTGGTGATGATGGTGAGGGCACCAGCACGCTCGCCGTACAAACCAAAGTTCTTGGAGAATGATTGGGCAGAGAACATCTCAAAGCCACGGTTGAAAAAGAGACGGGCCGAGTAGGCGTCTTTGTCAAGGTCGCCCGAGGCGTATCCTTGGTAGGCGCAGTCCATGAATGGGATGTGCTTCTTCTCGGCCATGACGTCGGCGATGGTGTTCCATTGCTCGACGGTTGGGTCGCAACCGGTTGGGTTGTGTGCGCAGAGATGCAAGACAAAGACCGAGCCAGATGGAGCGGCACGCATGTCACGGATCATACCGTCAAAGTCGAGTCCGTTCTTTTTGTTGTCATAGTAGGTGTATTCGGCCGATGGCACGCCCGACTCTTTGCAAATGTTGTGGTGGTTGGCCCAGGATGGACGCGAGATGTAGACGGTTGTGCCGGCGGGCAAGTATTTGCGGATAAAGATGACACCGATACGGAGGGCACCTGTGCCAGACAATGCTTGCACTGTGACCATTTGCTTCTCACGCTTGACAATGTCCTCGCCGTACAAGAGCTTGGCAGACACCTTGTTAAACTCTGGGATACCGTCGATGGGCAAGTACTCCTTGGTGGCACCCAACAAACGCTCCTCAGCCTCACGCACACACTTGAGTACGTATGGCTTTGCGTTTTCATCACGATATGCTCCAACAGAGATATCAACCTTGTTGGGTGATGGATCAGCCTTGTAGGCCATCGATACACCTAGAATTGGGTCGACTGGTGCTAATGGTACATTGGCAAATAATGTCTCAGTTGTTGAAACTGCTGCAGTGTTGTTAATCTCCATATCCAAAAATATTTGATTTTGAATTCTACTATTGACCTTGTCTATAACACTTGAATGATTAGTATATGATGACATTTTTGTTTTGTTTTGTTTATTATTGTTGTTAGAGTAGAAAGTTGAAGAGAGAGGAGACGTGATGTGACGTAACTGATAATTTGAAAGACAAAAAGAAAATTTAAAAAAAATGAAGATTGTCTGAATTGAATCGTTTAGATGGAAGCTAATAGAAGAAAGATAATATCCTGTATTCGAATGTATTAATGATAATGCTTTAGATGATTACTATTACTATTATTATTATTATTTTGTGGTCTCAAATATCTATCTATACTAGTACTATTGCTGCTGAATGTGTGTATGATTCTGACAGGTTGTGTAGGTAGGTAAGGTAAGGTAAGGTAGAGGTATTGAGTGAAAGAGTGTTTCGGATGTATGTATGTATCTAACAACAAGCAAGAGATAATAAATTATTCAAAAAAAAATATATTTGTGGGGGTGTTGTTTGTAAATGTAAATTCCGAATATGAGCTGCTTGTTGTTGTTGTTGTTGATATTATCCGAGAGAGGATAGAGGAGAGTGTTTGTTGTTCTTATTCTTCTTATAACTCACCTTTTATGTCTAAGATGATTCAATTTGAAATGACGATAGAGATATCCTTATTTTGAAATTGAACGTTTGGTTCAACAACTCGAAAATTATTTTCATTATCATTATTTTTTTGCAACCTAACTTACCCAGGCAATCATACAACCAATCGTCTCATCTTTTGAATCTGGTCAGTTCTTTGTTGTTCATCATTTCATTATGTGTACTATAGGTTAACTTCAAAGTATTTTCTACAACTTCAAATTGAAATTTACACTTCATTGACAAACCCAATTTTAGTGGGCTAGTCAGTATGATTGATTTTTTGATTGTTGTTCACAATAGATAGATAGATAGAATAGAAAATAGGATAGAGATAATAGATAGATAGATGGAAAGTTGTATAACTACAACAAATATGACAAATATAACTAGAAAAGTTAATATTAATGAAAAGGATAGAGATGGATTCCTCATACTCGAGAATGTAGTTGACAAGGTGTTGGTTAATAGTATTGCATCCAAGATACCATCACTCTTTAAAGGTGATTTTGAAACTGGAATCTTTCCTGGTAAGATACAATTCATTGTAGTTGTCGAGATAGGATAGAGGTTATTCATTTTGATTTATCTTATCTTTATAGATGAATGGCATTATAGACCAGGACTATCATTAGAGAATGTAACAAGAGAAATGGTGAATGCATGGAAGTGTGATCGATCAATAGCTAAATTAGTACTATGTGAAGAGTTGGGAAAGATTGCTGCAACGTTGATGGGTTGGAACGGTGCAAAAGTAGCACAAGACGATATATTTTGGAAACCATGTCAGGGGAAACCAATTGGGTTTCACCAAGACCTACCCTACATGTCATTCTTTAATCCATCGCAAGTTGCAACTGTATGGATTGCATTGGGTGATGTTAGTCGTGATAATGGAACACTGGAATATGCAAAGGGGTCACATCTTTGGACTATGCGGTCTGGTATGACTGACCAATTCCATGCACCTGATGACTATTTACATACTCTAAACGATGCTGCTAAACAATCTGGTATCGATCGATTTGATATCTGTCCAGTAGAGGTTGGTGCCGGTGGTCTTTCAATCCATCATGGAAAAACGTGGCATGGTTCTGCCACCAATCCATCAAGCTTTAAAGAACGTATGAGTATTGCTATTCACTATATCCCAAGTGACTGTGAATTCCTCCCTCACAACGTTGGCTATATCTATGGAAGATACAAGTCTGTTGGCTCAACTAAAATGGATGAATCATTCTTTCCAATAACCTATTCAAAAGATGGATATCGTTCATCGACCATTGATTATTTTATAACTAATCCAACAATAACCAAGGTCGATTAGTTAAGATTAATCTTTTTTTGTTGTAATATATTAAACTAAAATTGTAAATAATAATAATAATAATAATAAATGATTATATATATATCTTTTTTTTTTTCCTTCTAAAATAGATAGATCGAATAAGTTATATGAGATCCATTTTATTAACCAAATCACTGAAATCTACTGATTGTCTTTGTATATCAAATTCTGGTTTGGGTTGTTGTGGATTTCTAAGTTGTTTTTCTTTTTGTTTGGCATTTTGTTTATCTCTTCTGATTGATTCTCTCTCTAATGTTTTTCTTTGTTCAATCTTTTGGTTTTGTGCTGCTACACTGTTGGACAAATGTTCCTTTAATGTTGCAAATGGATTTGATTTAAATTCTGGATGTGAAACAACATTTTTATATTGATCTAATTCTTGTTTACTAAATACAAATAGGATTTGTTAATTCTGTACGGACAGATAGAATCTGTATCTCTACTACTACAACTACCACAACTATTACATACGATATTTTCTTTTTCTTTGTATTTGTTAATTTTACATTACTGGTAATAAAATTATCAGAATGAATACCATTTCTATGTCTTTCTGGAATTGATTCCATAAATTCATTTCTATTCATCGATAAACTACCAGCATCATCTTCTTGATCTTGTCTTGATTGTTTTTGATTATTATTATTATTATTATTGTCATTACTGTTAATAGTATTTGATTCCTTCTTTTTCATAAATGGTTGTAATTCTAGAAATATAAATAATAAGTAAACTTTGCTTACCATTCATCATTCATTCAATTATGTATGCACATACTGTTTAAAAAGTTTTCCTTCTTTTGTTTTTGTTTCTCTTTCTTTGATATTTGTTGTTTATGGAAATCGGTTTCGGCAGCATCTGCTTGATTGTCATATGCCAATTGAGTGGTTGGTAACTCTTGAAGTTGCTTAAAGTTATTCTTGAATTTAGATATATCTAATTGTACTGATGGTGCTGTAGTATTCAATGATACAAATGATGTCTTTTCTGCCTACATTATTCATTAATCAATCAATCAATAAAGTGGTTAGATTATCTATCTATATGTTATCAACTACCCGTTGACTCTAATCTATCATTCATTCATACCTTTCCAAAATCATCAGTCTTTTTGTGATGATGGCTAATATGTAACTTTCTATCGTGTGTAACCTTTGGCATTCTCTCTCTATATATATATACTCAGTCAAAGATCTACTATCTAATCTATCTATCTTTTAACAATACAACTATAGTAAAAAATAAACCCATCAAAAACGAACGAAAGTCGGCTCACTGAGACAGAAAAAGTAAAATTAATATTAAATTCAAAAATTAAATTAATATAAATATTAAATTTATTGGCAACCAATACAAACTTTTAGAATAATCAAAGGATATACCATCATTTTATATTACTCTTTTTTAAATATTTATTATACTTTATTTATCTTTTTAAGTATTAAATAAAAAGTTTGATGAGGCAAAAAATAATTTTTTCAAATTTTTTAAAATAAAAAAGGTGGTTTGAAGTGACAGTGCTCAATTCAACGTTTTCAAGTTTGAAGGTTGTAGTAGTTAGTAGGAGGTAGCTAGCTAGTAGTTAGTAGTAGTAACAAATAATAATAAATAAGAATGGAGAATACAACAACATTAGAAGGATTGGAGTCTGCTAGTGTAGAGAGTTTTTTCTTAGATTCAGATGCTCTATCACCAACAACAACAACAATTGTAGAAGATAAACAAGATACTAGTCTTCTTGTACAAGAGTCGGTTATTACTGCCACTACAGCTGTCGTACAAGAGGCAGAACAAGAATCTACTAAAATAAACTCTACAACTTCTCAAGCAGAGGAAGAGGAAGAGGAAGAAGAAGAGCATGTTGGTCATAGAAATAAAAAAGTTGATGTTGAAGATGAATCAGAGTTGAATGGTTCAATTGACAAATCAATTGATGCTGAAGATGACAACAACAAGGAGACTATAGTTGAGTCGTCAACTAGCACAACAACAACAACAACAACGACTGCAGTTGTTGAAAACACAACAGAAGAAGATATTTTTGGATCAGATAAAGAAGAGGAAGAAGATGAAGATAAGCCAAAGTTTACCAGACTTTCAAAGAGACGTGAAAAAAGAGTTGAAAAGGTTCAAGATAATGATGATGATTTGGATCTAGACGAAGAATCAGAAGAAGAAGATAATAACAAGAAAAAGAAAAAGAAAGACAAGGATGGTGACTATGTAGTAGAAAACCAATCAGAGGAAGAGGAAGAAGAGGAAAAGAATTCATCAGATGAAGACAAGAAAAAGAAGAAAAAGAAGAGTAAAAAGGAGAAAAAGGAAAAGAAATCATCATCATCTGACAAGAAGGAAAAGAAGAGAAAGCAAAGTCAAGACAAGGAACCTAAAAAGAAAAAGGAAAGATCGAGCAAAAAGAAAAAAGATGATAGTATGATGATCATTGACGATGAAGGCGATGACAACAATAACAACAACAGTAGCAATGCTAAAGAGTCTGATCCACTCCAAGAAGTATTGGATTCATTAAAGCATCGTCGTGCTACCAAGCTCGACATTGAAGACATTAAAAACATGTCGATGGAAATCATCGACAAAATGATCGATGCTGCTGAACGCGACACTGAAGCGAACCGCAAACGCCAACCCGCACTCAACAAGGTGGTTCTCTTGGCAGAGGTCGAGCGTATCCTCAGCAAGGTACAATTGTACGATTTCTTGTGCTACGATGCCAAGCCATCAATCTTTGTCGTCATTTCGCAGTGGCTTGACCCATTGCCAGACGGCTCGCAACCAAACCTCAAAATCAAAACAGCACTCTTGCGTATCCTCACCTTGCTGCCCGCCAACCGTGACGCTATCCGCGGTACGAGTATCGTTAGATTCATCCAGGCAGTGCAAAACAACGACAATGAATCGCCGTTGATTAGAAAGCTTGCCTATGATGCCATGCACAAGTGGTCTGCACCGGGTGACAGCTCGCGTGAAGACTCACGATACGACGAGGTCGAAGTTGACATGGACGCTGTCAAGAGAGCTGCTGCCGACGAAGGTCTCACCAAAAAATTCACCAAAGAAGACTACCTTCCCAAGCACATTAAGCATGCCGGTTTCATCCCCCGTTCCATGACCAACTATACCGTCCGTCCAAAAGGCCTCGATCCAAAGAGTAACATTGCCATCTCGTCTCCACTCCGTACCATAAATCGTATCGATCGTGAGATTGAAAAGAAACGTTTGAAACAACCAGCTCGAGGTAGTCCAAGAGCTCATAATGTTTCAATTGAAGGTAGAGGTTTAAATTTAATGTAAAAAAACAAACAATAAGAAAGTAATAGAATAAGAACATTGTTGTAAATAATAAAGAATAAATAAAGAATAAAAAATAATTTAATTTAATTCATTCCATTTATTATATTAAATAAATACATTTATTTCTTTTTTCTTTTTAATGTTTTAATGTTTTAATTTAATCAATTTTAATAATAATGAACTTGATAAAACTGAAAGCGAACTAAAGACCATGGAAGCAGCTGCAACCGCTGGATTTAAAGTTACACCAAAGATTAAAAAGAAACAACCTGCTGCCAATGGAACTGCAAGTACATTGTAGATGAGGGCCAATGTTAGATTAATTCGAATACGACGGAACACAATACGAGAGAGATGGATGGATTGATAGACATCACATAGTGAATTTTTAAGTAGGATGATAGATGATGACTCGATTGCAATATCGGTACCAGTGTCTGCAATAGAAACTCCTACATCTGCTTGTGAAAGAGCTGGTGAGTCATTGATACCATCTCCAACAAAACAAACTGTGTGCCCCATATCTTGTAGTTGTTTGACCTTGTCTGCTTTTTCCTTGGGTGCAACCTGTGAAAATATATTGCTTTCTGGAATACCAACTCGTGATGCAATGTATTTGGCAGTTCTACAATTATCACCAGTCACCATAAAGCATTTAATACCAATAGAGTGGAGCAGTTCAATAGCCCTTGCCGAATCTTGTCTAGGTAGATCCGATACCGAAACATATCCAACTAGTTTATCATCAACTACTACATAGACTACAGTAGCTCCATTCGACTCTAATTCTAGAATCTGTTTCGATAAATGATCGTCTTGTTGATTGATACCATTTTCATTAATATATGATAGATTACCAATCATAACTTTACAACCATCTACGATACATTCAAGTCCACGACCCGGAATTGCTTTAAAATCTTTTGCCATTTCTTTCAATTTGTTTGTTGGAAATATTATTTCTTCTGATCGACCATTATTATTACTATTACTATTACTTGTTGTTGGAGGAGTTAAATTATCTAATCTATATTGACAATATTGAACTATTGCTTTGGCAATTGGATGTTCACTTGATGTTTCAGCAATTGAGACTAGTTCCAAAAACTTTGAATCAGCCATTTCACTTTCCGATACTAATATTTTGTGGCTAGTAACCGCCATCTTTCCAGTAGTGATTGTACCAGTCTTGTCAAATAGGACGGCCGATGTTTTGTGAGCAGTTTCAAGTGCTTTTCCACCTTTGATGAGTATACCGTATTGCGCGCCGACACCAGTACCTACCATTACGGCGGTAGGGGTGGCAAGACCGAGTGCACAGGGACATGCAACGACAATGACTGAAATGGCCGATAAAAAGGCAAAGATGAATGGGCTGTTTCCCATTGTCCAAGACGCTGGGTATGAATGTGTGACACCTAGTGATATCCAAATGATAAATGTGATGATACCAAGAGAGATGATGAGAGGTACAAACACCTTGGATATAGAGTCGGCCAATGCTTGAATGGGTGCTTTGGATGTTTGTGCTTGTTGAACTAATGATATTATTTGAGATAGAGTAGACTCTGATCCAATCTTGTTGGCTTTAATATAGATGATTCCCTCTACATTGAGTGTACCACCAGTCACAAGATCGCCAGCACGTTTAGTAACTGGGATCGACTCGCCAGTGATCATTGCTTCGTCAATTGATGATGTACCGTATAGTACCCGTCCGTCAGTGGGAACTGACGCACCTGGGACAACCTTTAATACATCACCAAACTCGATTAGATTAGATGGAATAGTTTGTTCAGACATGACAGAGAATGTCTTTGCACTGTCATCCAGTGTAACCAATGTAGATTCTTTGGCTTGTAGATTCATGAGTTTGACAATGGCCGACGATGTATGACCTTTGGCAATATTCTCCAACCATCGACCAAGAATGATAAATGTGATGAGTGAAGCACTGGTTTCGAAAAAGTGCATACCTTCAAACTGCGGATTCAAGATACGCAGTACAATCGAGACAATACTGTAAATGTAGGCTGCACTTGATCCAACAGCCACCAACAGGTCCATGTTGCCATGCAGGTTCTTTACAGCGGCCCATGACGCACGGTAAAACGTGTACCCCGACACCAATTGCACTGGAGTGGCCAATGCAAACCCAATGAGTGACTCGCGTGTAAGAGAAAGTCGGGAATCCACCTCTTGCATGAAAAACATGACATGAGCAGGTACCAACACCATCGAGATGATAATCAACGGCAGAGTGAATACAATCGAGAATATAAACAGTCTCTTCCATTTGGCAATCTCTCTCTTTCTCATCAACGAGTCTTTGAGATTAGATGAATTGGGGTCTACCAGACACCCAACCAAATTTAAATCCCGTTTTAATAATTGTATAGTTGTTCTTGGACCAATAACAGTAGAATCCCCATGAATTTTAAATACCTTTTCATCTAGATCGGCTAATGATGGGTTGGAACCTCTATGTTCTACCAATGTGACACCAGTCACTCTAGTCAAGTATAAAGTAATCGATTCCAATTCATACGTTCCATCAATCTTTAAATAAAAAGTACCTGGGTTTTCCAACTCTAATACCTTTGTTTCAAATCCCAAGTCTTCCACTGCACCACAAATATTCTTTACATTTGTCAATGATTCTTGATAAATAACTTCTGCTCGTTCTGATAATAAATTGACTGAACATTCCAAAACTCCATCAGTAGATTTAATTCCATGTTCAACAATTCCAACACAACTCGCACATGTCATACCATAAATTCCAATTAATATTTTATTTCTTTCCTAAAAATATATAATAGAAAATAAATAAGTAAATATGTAAATAATATATAATATTATTATTATATCTTTCTTTGAACTTACAATATTTTTTGGACATTCTATTATTGTTGTTGTTGTTGTTGTTGGATTAATTTTTATATTGGATTTGGATTTGGATGATAGATTGATAGTTTTAATTTGAGTAATTGTATATTTTAAAGTTTTTAATAATTGTAATATTGGAATGATTGGATTATGTGATACCATTTCAATTTCGATTAATCTTTTATCCAAATCATATTTTGTTGATTCTATTTGTTCAATGGAATCAATACCATTTTTTAATCGATCCAAATTATTATTATTATTATCACCATCATCGATGTTTGATAGATTTGGAATTGTAATTTGATATTGATATTTTCCATCTTGCCAAATAGTATTTGAACATGATCCAGTGCATTTTTCTTCTTCTTCTTTTTCTGATTTACAACATGATTCCAAATCAACATTGACATCAATTCTGCTTGCACCAGTCAATCTACCAAATAATATATCATATGAACATTTTAAACAATTGCATTTACAATTATTATTATTCGTATTATTGTTGTTGGGTTCTATTGTTGGAACAATATTATTATTATTAGTATTAATATTTTCCATTTTTGTTTTGTTTATGTTGTTTTTAATTTAAATTTTAAAATTATTTAATTTAAATATTTAAATTAAGTTAAGAGTTGTCATTCTCTTTCATTCATTATTGTTATTATTAGTTTGAGAATAATATTTAGTTAAAAAGATGGATTGAAAAGAAAGAAAAGATTCATTAGACAGTGTATGAGTGTTTGGGTGGGGTGGGAGTGAGGTAAAGGGGGTGACAACGTAACATAAAAGGACAAGTGGGTATTCCACTTGCCAACCTTGGTGAAGATAGTTAATAATGTAGTGTGTTGTGTCTGTGTGAGTGGGTTATTTTCTCCTCATTTTTTTAAAGAGAGTAGTTATCACATCTAAAGAGAGATATATACTTTCTTATCAATATTTATATATTAATATTTATATACACATATATGACTATTGCATGAAAAAGGGGTGAGTGTTGTTGGGCGTCACAGTCCACACTATTACTTACTTTATTTGTGTGATATCATCTATATAAGGGGTTACGTACTACTACTTTCCACTACTTTGTGTAGTTGTCCATTTATAGATAGTTGTTCAACACTGACAGACAGATTGTAGTTGGTTGAACAATCGATTGATCCATCGATTACAGATTCATTCACTCTATCAACTGAGTAAAGAGAGTTAAATGATATAATTATATTGTGTGTAGTACTACACTGAAACAAAAAGAAATAATAATTTTATTCTAATTCTATTGATTTTCTCTTCAAAGCACAAAAACGATGAGAATTTGAAGTTTGTTTCGTTAATTTTACTTTTGGGTAGAGTATAGTTTATTTGTATCTAAAAGAATGGATAATAACAACAATAATGGTGGTACAACTCCTACTACTACTACAACTACAACTACAACTTCTACAACAACAACTAAAAGAGTAGCAAAGTTATGTGAATTATGTAAAGTACAGAGACCAGTTTTAAAGAGACCAAAGACAGGTCAGATGATCTGCAAGGAATGTTTCTATCAGATATTCGAAGATGAAATACATAATACTATCATATCGAATAACCTCTTTCAAAGAGGTGATCGTGTTGCAATAGGTGCATCGGGTGGAAAGGATTCAACCGTATTGGCAGAGATCATGACTACACTCAATAAAAGACATGACTATGGTTTAGATCTATTCCTATTATCAATCGATGAAGGTATTACTGGTTATAGAGATGATTCATTAGAAGTATGTAGATAAAGATAGAAACTAACTATTTGTAAACAAGCGATATAGAGAATCCAATATTAACTCTTGTTGATTATATTTAGACTGTTAAAAGAAATCAACAACAATATCAAATACCTTTAAAGATTCTATCGTACAAGGAATTGTATAATTGGACAATGGATGAGATTGTTGCAGAGATTGGATTAAAAAATAATTGTACCTTTTGTGGAGTATTTAGAAGACAGGCCCTTGATAGAGGTGCTGTTTTATTAGGTGCAAACAAGATTGTAACTGGTCATAATGCTGATGATATAGCTGAAACTGTACTTATGAATTGTAAGGAAAAAAAAAGATAAAAGATTGATTGATAACAATAACAATAATAATAATAATATATTAACTCATTTATTTATGTTTTTAGTGTTAAGAGGAGATATACCAAGATTACAAAGATGTATAAATATAGTAACTGGTAGTGAAGGAGCATTACCAAGATCAAAGCCATTCAAATATACCTATCAAAAGGAGATTGTAATGTATGCCTATTTCAAGAAATTGGATTATTTCACAACCGAGTGTATCTATGCACCCAATGCCTATCGTGGACATGCTCGTGACTTTTTAAAGGATCTCGAAGCAGTTCGTCCATCTATTATTATCGATATTATTCAATCGGCTGAAAACTTTCACTTTAGAGACGAGATCAAGATGCCAGTTCAACGAAACTGTAATCTATGTGGTTACATTTGTTCAAATGAAATCTGTATGGCATGCGACTTTTTAAAGAATCTAAACTCTGGTAAAGCAAAATATGCTTTAAATTCAAATTCTTTAAAGAATTATAACAAATCTTCAAATAACAATAATGATAATGGAACAACGATACCAGATACCACTCCAACCAATATATCTGCAATTGGATTTGATCATCCACTTCAACAACAACAACAACAACAACAACAATCCTCGTCAACTACATCAAACAGTTAGTCTAATAATAAATAATAATAATGACATGGATTTACAACACCAAGAGATAGTTTATTTATTTATTTATTAACCATGTTCTAACCTAATAGAGAAGGTTTAAAATAGATAAACAATGGATCATCATGATTAAACAGTTCATCTTGATACGGATCTTCAAGAACAAAACATTTGATCAATGATTTTGATTGTTTAAAATATCGATGGATACTATAAAACTCTGCCATTGTTTTATCTATTATTAAATATTGAATGGTGTCACTCTCTAGCAATGCATTGAATAAATCTGACGAAAATCTATTACCAGCAATATTCAATACTTGGATCGATTTGTTTTGTTTGAATGCTTGATTCAACTCTTTACATGGTTTTAAAAGATTACCACTGATATTGAGTGCTTTGATTGTTTTGTTGGTTTTTAATAATTGACAAAATGATGGAATGTATTCTTTGTTTAATGTACCATCGATCAACATTAACGTTGTAATGATTTTGTTTGGACACAAAGTTGAGAAAAACGATGGTGAAATGATTTTTGGATGATTTGAAAGTGCAAGAAATTCTACACTACTGTTTGTCTTCCAAATTGATGCAAATAATGATGATATACTTTTAATTGAAATTGATTTCTTTTCATCTTTATCATCATCATCTTCATCATTTTCATCATCTTCTGCTTCTTCTTCTTCTTCTCTTTCATATTTATCTTTTCCATGTGGATTTTCCAACCAAAGTCTTTTTAATGTTGAATTGTTGGTTAGAGCAGAACATAGTGTTTCCAAATCTTCAAATGTATCATAATTATCGAGATCTCTTGTACCATGATCTTCACACTTTTCACAATCGAATGGCTCTCTGTTATCATCATCATCTTTTGACATTTCATATTCCAAAGGACATGTGATTAAACCAACTTTGAGAGTTTGGGTTTTCGATGACTCTGTGAGTAAATCTTTTAGGGCAACCATCGTGACAAAATCATATTCAATGTTGATGTGTTGAGTTTGCTGGAGATGTTCGAACATGTCCGAGTGCCAGAAATGTACAACTCCACCATCATTCTGGCCATCGTCATACGCTATATTGACATAGGTTGGGATCAAGTCATCAAGCATTTGGTGACAATATTCGCTGGTTCCACGACAATCGAAATAATCCACGTTGTTTGAGTGCGATAGGACTACTTTGGGATCAAGTCCCTGAAAGTGGACATTGGTAGGCCATTTTGTATTGTAGCCAAGGTCGAAATAATCGGCAAGTTCGAAATTCAAGTTGACTTGAATACGTGGGAACGAATTGATGACTCTGATAATATCTCGAATACGATCTTCATTGGCTGCATCCATTGCAACGATATCCAGTGACTTTAGGTGTGGTAGTAATAGAGGTAATCTTTTAAAATCAAAATTGATTTTTGCCTCTTCTGCTCCATTCACCTTCCATTTAAGAGACTCTACGATAACGTTTGAAAAGTATGATTCTTGTAATGGACCATTTATCTTTAAACTTAGAGCCGTTTGTCTCGTTACTTTTAACCACCATTTAGATACTAATCCAATACTTGTTGACAGTTGATTCAATGTTATAAAGTTGTGTTTCTTTTTTGGTGTTTTGTTAAACATTAGATGAGTTGCTTGTTGTAGTGGTATACACTGAAATCCATTATAATGTTGACGGTCTTTAGCATCGTAACCTTGAATCAACTTTTCAATGATCACTGATTGAATGTATTTTGGTAGTTGTACTGAGCAATCATCATCTTGTTTTGTTGTTGTAAGTATTGTTGTTGTTTTGTTGGTCGTATCCATCTATATCTATCTATTATTAGTATTGTTTGTTAAAAAATTAACAATCAAAGTCAAAAAAAAAGGATGGAATTAAAAAGTTTATTTATTGTTTAATTGTTTTTGTAGTCAGAACAGAGGAAGAAAAAGAAAGGAGAGGAAAAAGAGTTTTTTTGGATGATTACTAGATTGCAACGGAAATCATCCAAAAATAACTCTTTTTCCTCTCCTTTTTGTTGTGACTTTGGATAACTTTGATCAAGATAAACAACGGCTGAGCACCTTGGAAACATGCCTATAGTTTAACACAACGTTCCTTTTGACTGAAGAAAATAATTATCTAAATTTGATTAAATTTATCGAGTAATGGTAAAGATGTGAAATCGATCTCTATTTCTACTAGAACGAGGTAATTCTATTCTGACTCACAAAACGTCATTTGATTCTTTTCTTTTGATTTTCATACTTGCTAGTTAGGTCAAAAAATTATTGAAAGTGCAATCACATAAGAATAATTTAAAAAAGGAACAAACTGATATGTAAAGAGATAAAGTTTCTAATTTATATCCTTTCTTTTGTCTTCCCTAGCTCTCATCCATTTTTTCTATTTCTTTTTCTTCACGATAACATCATTTGCTCCCCCATCATTCAATCAAAGGTAAGCAATCCAATGAATCACCGGTGTGCGAATTATTGATATTGAGATTGACAGTTGTCTCATTTTTGGTGAATCATTTTATCATGAACATCAACGCCATCACATCAATACATCACGTACAGGTTCCACCAGTTTTGGGGTGACCCCTTAACAACAATAAAAGGAAGAAGTAAAAAAAGGTAAACCATATGTCTATTGTACCTTAAATCTTATATGATCGATTTAGATTACAAAAAAAAAAAAGAGAGAGAGACACTTTTATTATTATTATACTATTGTTGAAATAATCCTACTTTTTGTACCATCACCCTTTAAACATTATTACTTTACTTATTATTATTATTATTATATTATTATTATATTATTATTATATTATTATTGAAAAAATGGATGGATGTCCTCTTAAACAGTAGTTGGTTTGTTTTTTAATCTTAACAATACTTCCTTCATTCTAGAGGTATCTTTTGGTGGGGCAACTGGCTTTTCCTTCTTGTTAGAGTCAGCATCCTTATCCTTTTTCTCAACGTGTGAGTGACTAGTTGGTTTGGCAGTCAAATCAATCATTGATACGACAACCTCCCATGAATCGTTCTTGCCATTGATAGACATGGACAAGTCGCTTTCCAATGTCTTGTTGTGATCTCTGTTGTTTTGACGAGCAGTTGTCTTTTTGGTTTCACGCTCTGCATAAAAGGTTTCCAATGATTTCTTGGCATCAGCAATCTTCTTTTGTCTCTTTTCCTCTGACACTCTTTGTTTCTCTTTTAATAACTTTTCATGCTTTTCAATATGTTCCCTGTTGTTAAAAAAAAAAGAATATGTTAATATATATAGTAATCATCTGTCTTCTTCTTCTTCTTCTTCTTCTCTAACTATCTATCTATTCTATGATCATACTTTAATAAAGCAGATGGTTCGTATTTCTTTGCATCGTTTGCGAAATGAATATTGTTGGATGATGGTGAGATTTCATCATCAAATGATCCACCATTGGTACCGTTGTTGTTGTTGCTGCTGCTTGTTGTTTGTGGTTGTGAAGCAGAAGTACTAGTCCAAGAGTCACCGTCAAAGACTTCAACGTTTTCTCCTTCTTCCGGGACATAGTCTCCTTCAATAATCTCTTCGGTTACTTCAACTGTATCTTCAAATGGGTCTGACATGATAAATGATTTCTCTTTCTTTTTTAATATTAATAATAAACTAAAACTACACTAAACTAAAACTATTATCCCTCTTTAATTTGTGTTCATTGAACAACAAGAATGCAAAAAAAATCAAATTTTATTTATTTTTTATTCAATTCTTATTGATGAGAGGTTTCAAGTGAAGATTATAGTTGTAATTCGTGTATTGTATCATATACAATCATATAATCATATATATTAGAAGAGAGAAAAGAGAAGAAGAAGAAAGATGAAGGTTATAATTGAAGGTTCAGAAAATATAGATTCATTACCTTATATTGATGCTCCATTGACTGAAGGTAATCAATCAAGACCAGTAAAGAGATATATGTATATATATCTATTCTCCTATTCCTTATTCTTACTCTTTCTTTGTCAATTTAGATGAATTAAATATGGTAACAAATATGGTACAAGAAGAGATGAAGAAATTTAATCCACCAAACTATCTTGAACAACTTGGAGAGTTGCGTACAGACATTGATCAGAGTAAATTTCAATTTGTTGGTGAGGAATTAAAGCGAGTAGAGTTGGGAGAGAAGATTAAACCATTGAATTTGACAAGATACAAAGTAGAAGCTCCACAAGCATCACAAAAGACAAGTAAAGAGGCATGGGAAGCATCGGTCGACAATGCAAAGGCACAATATCTACATCAAGAGACTCGTAGAACCAATCTACAACTATTACAACGTCATGGAGGACAATTGTGGGAATCGTATCTAGACAATGACATACAAAACATACAAGATCAACTGACATGTCGATTAAAAGAGACAAAAGAAGAGATTGAAAGAACAAATGTACAGAGAAAAATTGAACAAGATCAAATCAGATCAAGATTGGTTGGTAACCAACAGAAATGGTACGAGTTGGTATCTAAAAACAAAGAAATTGATTTTGCTTGTTTAGAATTGGAAAAGGAAATTGATCGTTTACAACAATTAAAATTAGATCAACAACAACAACAACAACAACAACAACAAAATAAAATAAATAATAATAATAATGGCGATGGTAATGATAATGACAGTAGGCAATAATCCTATCTAAAATTTTAAAAATACCCTAAAAAATATTTAAAAACAAACTTATTTGTTTGTTGTTGTTGTTGTTGTTTCCCAACTATTATTATTATTATTATTATTATTTATTTATTTATTATGCCTGGAGGATAATTATTGGATTGTAAAATTTTTCGACATGGTAATTCTTCAATGACTAGCTCACGTTCTTGATCTGTCATCATACCCCACCCCCCTATCTCTTGTTTATTACGACTGCAGCCTACGCAATAACCAGCTTTATCCATTTTACATATATCAACACATGGTGTCTTCATCCCCGATCTTTTATTAAAAACCATACAATGCAGTGTCGTTAATATCAATGTTGTTTATGTTTACATCATTATCATTATCATCATCATCATCATCATCATCATCATCATCATCACAGTAACTACAACATACTTGACACGAATATGAACTTTAGAGATATCTATTGTTTCATTTTTACTATTCTTTACCAAGATTGGAGGATTCTTCTCTTCTGTGCTGGTACTGGTACTACTACTACTACTATCACTCTCACTCATTACTTCAGTGTTATTCGATGTTGATGATGAAGATGAAGAGAACTGAGCGAGTCGTTTAATAATAGGTTGTTGTAGTTGACGAGGAGCCACAAGACAGTGGGTTTGGAGAATTCTGAGCAAGAAATATCTATTCATTAATTGCGAGCTTTTGCAAACAATAAACTGCGAAAAACAAAGAGCACTGGACTCCTACGATTTTTCCTATGTTTCAAAGTTTTAAAACAACACTATTATTAATTGTTATTTATTTATTATCATCTCATCAGCTGATTCATCTTACGCTGTTAATTGTCAATTCGTGACAATTCAAACATTATCGTTGCAGACTGTAGTCAGATCTCTCAATCACTATCAATAATAGAGTCTCTAATCAATGAACGTTTCACACATTATCAACAACAAATAACATCAATCAAACAAAAGGCAGGGTGAAACAAAAGAGAGTGAGAAAAGAAGAGAAGAGAAAAGTAGAAGAAAGATTACACTATATTTTATACATCATTCATTCATCAAACATTGTGCACTCCTTAAGGAAGAATAATATCTATATCTAACGTTCAATCCAACAACGATGGCATCGGCAATATTTTGGTTTATAGAAGTGTTGGCAATCATCCTTTATACCTTTTTGATGGTTCTATGTCTATTTTCATTTTGGAAATCTTATGCTAGAAAAGACTTTTCTGTTATATCAAAGGTATGTTAGATATAGATAAAGATAGATAGATAGATAGATAGATAGATAGATAGATAGATAGATAGATAGATGAAATAATAATATTAATATACATCTCTTAACCTTTATAGATATTTCATTTCTTTATATTTTGTTTTGTATCTGGTAGAATAGCATGGTACATATTAAGGTGGGCCACAGGGTCTGGTCCAATCACATTCTTTTTAAATAATACTTCATTTATATTTTACATTTCTGGATTGTTGATCATTTTGTTTTACTGGATCGAAATGTACTACCAAACCTATGTCTCGTCCACGCTATTCCTTCCCAAGATGAAGGTCTTTTTTATTTCCATTACCGTATTCCTTTATATCATAGAATTCCTACTAGTCATATTATTCTATACAGTCAACAAGTCTGAAAAAGAAGGTTCAGTTATCTATCTTTTAAATACTCTTTATGAAGGTAAAAAAAATAGTAATAATAATCAATCTAAATAATATAAATTATTAATATTTGATTATTATTATTTCATTTACAAAAGTTGTATTATCATTAGGAATTGGAATTTCATTTACCATTACGGTAATTCGTATTTATTTAAAGTATACATCTATTGATATAGATGTTTGTAGAAATCAAATTGTTCAACTTCGAAAGGTAATTAATTCAAAATATCAATCAATCAATAACTCTACCCTTTTATTAATCAATTATTTATTTTTTAGATGTTTATTTTATCATTAATATTTGGAGCATGTTTTGTATTAAGGAGTATAATGTTTTTATATAATCCAGTGACAAAGAAATTGATGAACGATGAAGTATTTATAACGTTGGGATACTTTATACCAGACATTGTACCAACACTTTTACAAGTATATATTATTCACACCAAGATGAAGAATGAAGAGGCAGACACCTCTTATATTAATTCATTGTACGAAAACGAAATGGAAGAGGAAGAAAGACCTCGTAGTGACTCATCGTCTGCTTCTGCTGTTTACAACAGTAGTATTTTATACAATTATACCGATGGAGATGACGATAATGAAAGTAATACTCCTCCAACTTCTTCACACAGTTCTTCTAGAAATTCTTTAGATCCCAATCAAACCCTTGTAAATGAATCCTCCTCTCTACTCTCAAACAGTAATAATTATTATGGTAAACTTTAATCCATAACTACTACCAGCGATGCCTGCTCTTTTCAGGGCCAGAATGACAAGATTGATGAAACTTCAACAACAGATGATCATTGAACTCGTCAGACTTTCGAAAAAAGAGCCAAGGATAATAATTATCTTCAAGCTCAAACCAATAAATCTATTTTATGGTAATCAACCGCCGATCAAATATTTATTTTCACAATCAAAAATATATTATATGTATTAATAGGAGGGGTTTATTATTATTTTGATTAATATTTTGATTAATTTGATAATTCACGACTTTTAATAGTATTTGAAAAAGAAGATTCCCAATCTCTTTGGGTCATGTGCCATGGCCCAGTGAAAACGCATAAAACAGTGGTATGTTGTGAATATTCGAGGTCGTGTAAAAGCTTTGGTGTAATGAGGAAGTATTGTGGCAGACCTGGACGGTTTGCAGTCTTTACAATTTGATCGAAAATCATTCTTTCATTCTTTGGATCCATACCTTGATTAATTTCATCCACCACTCTAAATGGACAACTAGTAAGATCTTGTAATGAAATTAAGAATAACATTGTTGAAACTGATCTTTCCTATAAATTTTAAAAAACAAACATTAATAATCTAGTAGTATTATTTTTGTTTTCTTTACTTACACCACCAGATTGTTGATGAGCATTTAATGCTTTTAATTGTTCTTCTTCTCTAAATTTAACTCTAATTTCAATAGCATATCTTTCAAAATCTTCTGGATCCTTTTCATCAAAAGCCAAAATGATTTCACCTTGGCAACCAATATTTTCAAAGTATTTGGTAAATCTTAGATTAATTTCCGTAATAAATTCGTTGACTGGTTCGAGCCATTCTCGTTTTGTCTTTTCCATGTTGGTTGTAATGTACGATAGTTTATCCTTTTGGTTGCCAATTCTATTACGATGCATTTCAATGTCTGCTTTTCTTTTTTCATATTCTTGGATGACTGTTGAATTGGTTTGACCAATTAATTCAATCTTTGAATAAGTTTCATGAATTAATCCTTCAATTTCATCAATATCATTTGGTAACTAAAAAATAGACAAACAAAATTAAAAAATATTAACAAAATAAAAATATTTTTTTCTTTTTTCTTTTCTACTTACATTTTCTAAAAGTATTTGAGTTTCTTCATCACGAAGTGAAGCCAATTTTTCAGCTTCTTCTTTTTTCTGTCTTGCAATTCTAGTAGCCTCTGTATGATCAGCAGTGACTGCGTCCAGTGTTCTTTTCAACTCTCTAAGTGAATTGGTGAGTTCTTCCAATTTTCTAAATTCTGTTTGTCTTCTAGATTCCAACTTTGATTTCTCTAGTGTAAAGGAATCAATATCTACAGAATGACGCGCTATATTAAAGATGATTGCATTGACTTCATTAAGACATTTAACCTTGGCGGTATGCAACTCTTTGATTTGCCTATTGATCTTTGCCTTTTCCTCTTCTGTATTTTCTTCTCTTTTAAGTTCTTCAATTTGTCTAGATGTATTTGTCATTCTTGAATATAATTTTTTTCTTTCATCAATTGCTTTACCGATTTGTGTCTAAATAAATAAATAAATTAAAAAAAGGGATCTTTTTTCTTTTTTCTTATTTCTTGCTTACTCTTTCTTCTTGTAATTTTTTAATGTCATTGTTGATTTCCTTATCTTTAGCATCCAATGATTGGTAAGTTTGAATAATTTTACTCAATTGTTCATCAATTTGGGCAACCTTTGCTTGCAAACCTCTGATTTTATCATCAATACCGACATCGGATGAAGATAAAACTTTACTTCCCTTTAGAGCTGAAATATTGATATTATTGACTGTTGAATCATATCTAGATTTGGTTCTAGCATATTTCTTTTCTGGTGTAAAATATAAATTTAAATGTGTATTTTGGAAAATTACTTCTTCAAATTGCATTGTTTTGTTTGTTCCACATGGCTAAATAAAAATTATTAAGTAAAAGTATCAATAGTTTTTCTTTTTTTTTTTTTTTTGTTTACACATACATAATTAACCATTGATGGAGTATTTTCTATAAGAGCATCTCTAACTTGAGTTGGACAATCAAATGTTTGATCTAAAAAGCATTCAAATCCATATTCTTTTAACTAAAATATTTTAAGGGGGGGGGGGGGGGGGGGGGGTATTAATATAAATTTCTTTTTTCTATTTTTTTTTTCTATTTCTTTCTTTATATTTACATCTTCTATACGAAAATCTCTTCTAAAATCAGGAGCTTTAGTTAAATAAATTGAAGTAATACCACTAAGATTATTTGAACGAGTATAATTATAGAGGGTATCTTTATCTTGAGAGGATTGACAAATAAAAGCAAGCAACATGAAACCTGGGATGGTATTTTCTAGAAACTTTGCATAGTGGTCACTGTGTGCACTGAGTTCTACACAAACAGGACCAAATACCTTGTGTTGGAATTGATTTGAATTACGTTGAATATATTCATAGGTCTTGTAACATTGAGGTGATATACGTTTGAGTGCCTCCAACTTTCTCTGTGTTACATTATTTAATTTGGCAATTTCTTGTTCAGTATCTGATTTTTCTCTTTGTAATGAATCTCTCTTTTGTCTACATGTATTCTTTTCAAATTGTATTGATCCCAATTTTTCATTTAATTCTTTAATTTCTACATTTTTTAATTGCTAAACATAAATCGAATCGTTTAGTATATTTATATTTAATATATTTTGATTTGTGTTTGTGATTTACCATTTTTTCTTTAACTTCTTCTTCAGAAGCTAATTGTTGTAAAGAAGCTTCAATACGTTGAAGTTCATTGGTACTCCTTTGAATTTCAGCCTTTCTTTCTTCAGCTCTCTTTTGAAGATTATCCAAATCAGTATTACTACGTTCAATGTTTTCCGACATTTTCTCTATTTTTGCATTGATTGGTTTCACTTTTGTTTCTTCTTGACGAGCGGTTGCAATTTTCTTTTCCAAGTTGTGTCCAATATTGTTGATTGAATCTAAAAGTGACTTTGCCATTTGTTCCAAAGGTGCCTTCTCTGTATCCAAACGTTTCATATCTGCTTCGACTTGTTGTTTTTTTATTCTCAAGTCATCGACAATCTTTCTCTTTGCTTCAAACTCGAGCCACGCCTTTTTTTTGTTGAGATCATCTACATTCTTGAGCAACCTGTTTCGCTCTTGAAATCTGACTACTTCCTTTTCAATCGAAGCATTCATCTTTATGAGATCGTCTAGAATGTTTTGTTGGCCTTGAAAGGTGTTGTTGAGGTTCTGCAGCTCCTTTTTAAACTCGATCAGCTTCATGTGGTTCTCGTACATGTCGAATAGACCGATCGCCTTTTCTGTCTCGACCAACAACTCGGTCTTTGACATTTGCGCAAAGCTGACGACTTTGTCCTGTGGCAAGAACTGACACAGGTTGTCAATTTGGATTTGAAACTTCATAACCTCGCGTTGCAGCTCTGTCGCAGACAACTTCTTGCCATTGAGTCTGAATGTGGTAGAGTTGTCGTCGTAAATGTCACGACGCACGATTGCGTTGGTGCCACCCTTGACAAACAACTCAATCTCGATGATTGCATGCTTTTCTCCATTCTTGATAAAGTCTTTGGCCTGTTTGGCACGGCCGAGCAAATGGGTGCCTCCACCCAACCCAAGTGCAAGCGCACACACTATACTACTCTTTCCCGATCCGTTGGGACCGATAATCACATTGAGTCGAGGTCCCGGAGTAAACTCAATCTCTGAGTAGGTCACAAAGTTGATGAGTTTGACTCTAACTATACTGCCTTCTACATAATCTTTAATGCTTGCTTTCTGTGATGCTGATTGTTGTGTTGATTGTGATTGTAGGTGTAGTTGTTGAGATGGTTGTGTTATATTATGTTGGTGTTGTGGTTGTTGAGTTTGAGTTGCCTTTACTTCTTCTTCATCTTCATCCTCTTCGATGACCCTTTTCCTTCCTCTCTCGCTCATTACTCTATATAGGTTGTGTATACTTTATATACACAATATATATAATATATATATATATATATAAATGTGCAATATATATATTTAAGTATCGTTACAAAAATACATATATAAATGATTGGTCGCCAAACCTAGTAAAAAAAAAAAGGAGGGAGAGCGACTCAAAAAAATTAAATTCAAAATCTGCAGACCGAAGATCACCTGCTTCTATCTAGCTAGTTCTTAGTAATATAGATATTAAGAAAAACTATTTTTATTTGTTTGTTTATTTTTTATATCTTTCACCCTCTTTGTTGGACGAATGTTAATTTTTTTTTTTTTTGGTTTTAAAAATATTTTTTTTTTTAGAGTAAATAATGTATGTTGGTTGATATTCACAAGTTTGTTTGTTTGTTTTAATTTGTGATGAGTTGAGTTTTATATTGATGAGTTGGTTTGGAACCATCCCACAATAGATGATAGTCATTTGGATTTTGTGTTGTGGTTCGTAACATGAGACGGGCATTGACTGATTGTGGAATGAGTGCGAGACAATGGAAACGGACGGTACCTTGAGTGACGGTGATGGTGAGGTTTGCCTTGTCTGGAATTCTAAAGATGGATTTGTTGGTGTCCGGGATGATAGAGTAGCCATCAGTGTTTACTGTAAACACAGCCTTGGTACCGTCGAGTGTCACTTCAACCGTTCCCTTGCCACCTGCTTTGAGTTTGAGTGCAAACTGTGGTGTCTCTTTACCAACGTATTGGACTGGTAGAGTTGCCGATTTACCCTCTGGAATCTGAGTGGCAATGAGACCTGGATAAGGACTATCACGAAGAGTTGATGCTCCACTTGGGAAGGTTGCATATTGCAGATCAATAACTGATGCTGGACCATCTGTAATTGGTACCTGTCCACTAAATCCAACTCCATATGGTTGGAACAATGGAGCAATGGCATTGACTTGACCACTGAATCCCGGAGTTGGACTAGTTCCAAATCCCATCAAATATTCAATCTTGTGATCATCAAATGATAAATCATAATTTGATACACGTGGATCCCCACCTCCAAAATAATCTCCTCCTAAATAAAGAGTATAAAAAATATATATAATTAGGACTCTTTTTAAAAAAATATATATTTTCTTTTCTTTTTTGTTTTTTTTTTTTTTTCATACCAATATTTAAATTCCAAGGTACTAATTCAGAACCAATGTTTACTTTGAGTAATGGATTAGCTTTACTGAACTCCTTTGTACCTTTGGCAGCACCACCACTTCCACCAAAGTGTACCTCTGATACATTGCCAGTGATTGGATCAACTACTCTTGGAATGATGGCATCAATACGAGACCAACAACGAATACTTAGGTTCTTTAATGCACCTTGATAACGATACAATCCATTGTTACCAATACGTGCCTCAATCTCCTCTTGTGTTGGATGATAATAAGCTTCCCAACCACTCCATCCAGACTTGGCATTGGGTGTAGTAACAACACCACAAATTCTTCCAACAAGATATCTAACTTTATCAAATGATCCTCCCTAAAAATTAAATTATATATATATTAATAAATAATTCTTTCTTTTTCTTTTTTTTTTTTGTTATTATTATTTTACTAACCTTTGGTAAATTTCTTGGATCCATTGTCCACCAATAATTAACAAAATCAAATACATTGATAATCATATTATTACGATATGAACTGATTGCATTATACTTGTTGACTTCTTTGTAAGTCTCACTTCCACCGACTGGTGCATCTGTAACCTTTTTAAGACCCATGTTGTAAGTGTCGATACAGTACTTGGTGTACTTGGTGACAGTGTCGTCGAATCTCTTCTCGATCGATTTGATTTGTTCGTCGGTATACTCCCAAGCCTTGGCATAGGTGAGGAAGTCACCTAAAAGAGCAATATGACCGTTTGCCATCAAGGCAAAAAAGACCAATTCAGTGATTTCATATCCCTTCTTTTGAGCTTGTGAGATGAGTGTCAAGTATTGACTGTCAAGAATCTCCCAAGAGGTACGAATGGTTTGAATGGTACTTGGGTTGGGATTGTCCATCCACAATTGGAAGTTGTCTTGATACTTTGAACTGACATTGGATAGACCAATAAAGAATTGACGCAGTGTCTCATCATCATACTTTTGTAGTTCCTCCTTGATGGCAGCCATGATAAAATCGGTAAATGCCTTACTCATCTTTTCAGCAGCCGATGATCCAGATGCAGCAGTCCAAATAATATCTACCAAACTACTTAAAATACCTCCAACATAGGGAATAAATGATATACCAGCAAGAATACTAAAAAAAGAAAAAAGAAAAAGAAAGAAAAGAAAATTGTTAATATCAATTGATATATATATATATATTAATATATGCTTTTAGCTCTTACCAATTCTTTAGGATTGCAATTGGGTCAACACCGTCTCCATTTAATAGTTTGACAAGTTCATCTTTGTTGCCTGATAGCAGTTTGTCAATAATATCGGCACCATTCTTCATCTTGGAGGCTACATTGTCAATGACATCCTTTGGAACTTCACCGGCACCTCTTGCAGCTGCCAACTTGCCAAGCTTCATCTTGGAGTCATGGACCAATTCATGCTTATCCTTTTCATGATGAGGAACGGGGTTTGGGTCATTATGAGTACGACCTTGCATTATTATTATTATTTAGTTGTTTGATGAATAATTATAATGAAATAAATATGATTATTGTTTTAGATTTGAATGATTAATGGTTGATGATTGATTGATGTTTGAATGAAAAAGTATCAGTTATCAATGATTACTATTTATATTTAAATCGTTTGGTCGATCATTTTGATTGATTCAGATTATTCAATCATTTCCTTTTGTACAAGAGAATGAGGAGTGGTGGGGTGGTTAGAAGAGATGAGGAGTGTTAAATGTGGTTACCACGACGCAACTGCTAAATCGACTATGACAACTTGTGCAAAAGCTATGAACAACCAACATCACCCACTAGTACATTTTTTGATGGGGGATTTTTTAAAAAATGATTTTTTTTGTGTGTATTCTATTTTTTCGTGTGGTGTGGCTCATGGTCATTGTTCACCTTTGGGATGAGCAGCAGATTTATCACCAAGTGTGGCAGAATGTCGAACAAAAGGGGTAGAGGTGATAAAAATGGTTGATTGATGCAGTTTACAAAAAGTGATATTAACAAAAAGAAATCTTTTACCACCCCCAAAAAATGGAGGTTGATGAATTAATGATTTTCAAACACTGAACTGCACAGTTTGTAGAATGGTGCACCACATGACAAACCGCAAAACAATAATGTGTGTTGGGGTATGTCCTAGATTCATAATTACCACATTATTATAAATTATATGTTTTATAAGTTTGTTTGGTGGTCACAGAGCACATATTTTAAACATTAAATATTTTTGGAAAACTAACTTTATCTTATTATCCATGAATGTGCATTTTCGAATCATTTTGAATAATAATAACTTGAACTAGAGACCAAAAAGGTAAGCAACCTATTTATATTTAAAAGGTTTAACAAATTTTAAAATTCAAACAATAGTTTAAAACTACTAAAAATAGGCTAAAATTTTTTTTTAAAGTAATTCTTTTCCGAAAAATAGGCTAAAATTAGGGTATATTTTTCGTGAAAGTTTTTTTGGGTCAAAAAAAACGCTTCTATGGCTCAGTAGGCAGAGCATGCGGCTGTTAACCGCAGGGTCGTTGGTTCGATCCCAACTAGGAGCGATTCTTATGCCTTCTTATGCCTTTTTTTGCCGTTTTTCCTGGTCTAGAATGAATTTTTCGATGATATTCTTGTTCTACTCACTATTATCTACATTTTCAGCCATGTTTCATTAAAATCCATCAAATCCTGATGACAAAAACCGATTCCCGATGAAAACCCAAAAAAAAAATCAACTACTACTAGTTAATATCGTATATGCAACTTACTGTGTCGCTTTATAATAATTCTTTTTTCCATCTTTTGCTTCCTTGTGCATCTTTCTAATGATGTTGATACAACTAAAATCTCTTGGTGACATAAAAACTGTACCATCTTTGTTGATCTTTTCTCCTTTGGGGTCGAGAGTTGTCTTGATACCTCTTCCATGTTTAGACATGCTCAAACTTCTTAGAACCTCTGCTTGTAGTACTTCGTCGCCATTTGTATGTCTTCTCAACAGGAATGACGTTTTATTTCTAATGCGTTGCACTTGTCTTAATGGGAATGTTGGTTTAACACGGTCGCCAATTAATCGTTGGTAGACTGTTGGAGGTGTTGTTGTTGTTGTTGTTGTTGCTGCTGCTGCTGCTGGTGATGCAGAGATTGTTGTTATTGGTACTAATGCTACTGATACTGATGCTGCTGCTGATGCAGTGATAGTTTACTCATGATTAATATGCTTAAAATAAAGATAAAAATATATCTATAATATTGATAATTCATTAAATAAAGATATTATCAATTTAATTAAATAATTAATTGTTTTATTGATTCTACACTTTTTTTTTTTTTTTTTTTTTTAAATTTTTTTTTCTCATGAGATAGTGCGATCTTTATGCGTGCCGTAGGTGACTGACCTGATACATTGCGAGGTTTGAACATTTGTTTCAAAACAACAACAGCAAATAGCCCCTCTCTCTCATTAATAAATGGATCCTATCAAAAAGAAGAAACAACAATAGAATCATACCCTGATTTGGTATCATACACCCCCCCTCTCCCTCCTCCTCTTCTCTTCCATTTTAGATCTTGGTTCATATAATGAGCCTAATCCGCACCCCCCATCCTCCTCCTTATCCGCCTCACTCATATAGTGAATCAACACGCCCATAATCTGACGGTTACATCAAAGAATGATCGTGCTTTGGTGATCATATCCAACCATGACTACCACCCCCCTATCCTCCTCCTTATCCCCCTCACTCATATTTTGAATCATAAATGATCGTGCTGCTGTGGCTCACCTAGGCATCATGAATGCCCCCATTAAACGGTGGTGATGACACAGTTCGGGTATTAAGAAACCACCATACGATTATGATATCATTGGGACACAACCCCATCTGTATATGTATCACCCTCACTTTTTGTTGGTAATCAACAAAGACAAGAAAACATTTGTTTAAAATAAAATATTATTCATCAAGCTCCAATGTTCTCTATTTAAAGTGTTCTTTTTTCTCATCACATCATTATTCATTTTATCTATCTTTTCTTCAATTCATTATCTTTCTGCTATATTGTATTACCTTTATATATTTTTTATATAGGAAGCTTCTAATTGAGGTTCACTATCGCACAGTGGTCATCATGAATGGCCCACTTCCATCCGCAACAGAGACAAGAACAACTCAATACCCTCTCGATCGTCTCATGGGTAAGAAGTGGAATAACGAACAAAACTTGTTTGTGACACATCTCGGCCAATATGCAAGATACTATCACTCTGTTAAGAGGTTAGTAGGCCAATTTTTTTTAATATTTGTATACGACTTTAATAACAGTAAGATATCATCAACCTTTTTTTTTTTTTGAACATGAATCATTCAGATAAGTTCATGAACTAATTGATCGATTTCATGTATTTTACCATTTTTAGTGTTTAGTTTGTCCCGACAAGAACTCGAAAAAGTAATACCAAAGTATTACGACATGAGTGTTCTTTCAAAGAACAAAACAAATGAATTATATGAAAAAATGGAAAATCGGTTGACTTTGCCGATTCGATGGGATTCTCTAATTGTGGAGGCCATCATCTCAAAGGTGATGGACATAGACACACGCAAAAGCAGTAATAGTCCAAGAGATTATGTATGTATAACAGTCTGTGACAGTTATGATGTGTAATAATAAATTAATTTTTATTTTATTCTTTGTTTACTCTTTACAGAATTCTGCACAAGATGTCCAAGCAAAAGAGAAAATCGTCAACAAAATGCTATCGAGAACATTTGCCAAACTCAAGGTAGACGAGATGGTTGCAAAATATCAAATCCTCCGATATGCACTCCTTGACCCAGATCTGAATCCAATTGGCTGTTGCCACTCTTATAAAACCGCCTTTGCCAACTCCATTTGCAATAGTTACTCGGCCGAGGTGGCCGAGACCTGCAAAAGGATGGTGGAGAGTGCTTTAGACCGTCAAGATGACCGAAACATATTCATTCCACCACGAGTCCAAGTTGGTGTCGGATCTTCTGGAGGATATACTTGCCAAAATAGATGATGGTGATATCGGTGAAGGGTACCAAGCTCTCAAACTAATATTTTCATCTCAACCATTAAAAGGTATGTCATTGATATTAACACCATCACAGGTTTTTTTTAAATATCTTCTTGCGTCGGTTCATGTAACTCGATCTCTCATTTTGTTTATCTTTTTCTCATACACGTCAAAAGGGGCAGTTTGCGGAGTGTCGATCAGATCTTTTTTTTTTTTTAATATTTTCATTTTTTTTTTCATCTCGAACAACTCACAGAAACCAAATTTAGAGAATGTATATTAAACTATTAAATAACATCGCACACTCAACACAACATTATCAATAGATAGAATACAGCGAGTATTGTTTATAGTTACACTTTTAGTGTAAGAACCCACACATCACTATCATTACTCCTCTTTTACACCATTTCTTTTTGATTATCTTTTGTTTTCATTGGTTTACCAATCAATGCACCACCCATCTCTTTCCTTTTAACTACTCATTGTTGGCCAAGTTCATCTTTACATATCATTGACCTCTTGTGTTCACTCATAAATTATATAATCCTTTTTGATCCAAATCAAGTACCAATCTACACTACCACTCTTTATCGCTCTGCATCCTTTTTGTTGTTCGTTTGATCCACTCTCCTATCCGACAAACTTTCTTTACCACTTAACTTTCCATCAGATACTGCAATCAATCACTACCATTGCTCCTCTTTTACCCTTTCTTGTTTTGATTATATTTGTTTTTATTATCGAGATGCACCACCCATCTAACCACTCGCCTCATTGTTGGTCCCAGTCTATTTCATTCTCTTCCTAATTGTGCACCAACCAAACACATCGCCCAACTTTTATCATTTGTTTTGTTTGGTCAATGATAAGTGTAATCATCAACACCTTTTTCAAATACCATGCATGGTCTGTTCACCAAGCTATACACTACTTGGCCATCTCTTATTTTTTATTTGCTCTTTGTTCAAAATAACCACACCCTTTTGTTTGTTAGTTTGATTCACGGTAACTTTCTTTATCACTTATCTTTCCATCAGATCGATAATGCAAAACATCACAATCATTGCTTTTACACCATTTCTTTTTTGTTTTCATTATCCAATCAACGCATCCCTATCTCTTTTGCCTGCTCTCTCTATGCAGTGACAGACCTGTCAAACCTTTTTTTTTTAATTTTAAACCTCTCTAACATTTATTACATTTATCATTATAGATCATAATTTGGAATGTGAAAAGAAAAGGTTAAAATTAAAAGAGGAAAGAGAGGCCAAGCAAAATCAAGAGCCAGCCATTCCCAAGGAAAAAAAAAAGAAGAAACAGTTTTTGGGTGACAAAAGGCCTGAAAACTTTGATGAAATCAATTTTGATGGATCTGTTTATTCAATATCAAATTTGGCCACAGATTTAGAGATTGATAGCAAAAATGTAAAGAAATTAAAGGTTGAAGAACATATATCTGGTGATTATTTACAATCTGAACTCTCATCAAATTTGGAAGCGTTGATCCAATCATCAACATCAATAAGTGCCTGGAGTGGGTTAAATACCCTCCAATTGAATAGATTGAAAATGCTAAATTTGGAAAATATAATTAATCCGTAACTATTATTATTATTATTTCTTTTGTTATTTTTTATTATTATTATCATTAAATTAACTAATCAAATGCTTTTTTTGTAATCTTATTTTTTTTTCTATAGAGAGGACAATTCAATCGATTTTTCAAAGTTGACAAAAGATCAATATCCATCTTTAATGGATTTTTGTGAATCAAATGGATACAAGTTTCCAAAAGGATATGACCCTACAGGATTGAAATCCCTCATGACGTCCGATTTGGAGACGATAAAAACTACTCCTTTCGCATTGAATAGCTTTGCACCACAAGCAAAGTATGTATAAAACAATTGACCAATATCTTTTTTTTTATATTTTTAAAACTAATCCTCTTTTTTATCTATAGATTCAACAGTACTTTTATCCCATTCTCGATAGAGTTGTTTGTCAGTATAATCGTCAACTCTGGAATAGATATGTCCCTTGGTTTGACCGACAAACACAAAATATTAAGGTATATTTCAAAAATATTACCTAATTTGGAAAAAGAAATTGGTCATCCATTGGAAAGTGGCTATCCATTGGATAGATTTAAGTTTTTCGACAAGGAAATTGAGATCCTCAAAGCTTCGCACTTGGCTTCTTTTCCTTCATCGTCAGATGTAACAATATCACCATCCTCTTCGTCTGATGTAACAACATCACCATCCTCTTTGTCTGATGTAACAATATCACCATCCTCTTCGTCTGATACAACAACATCACCATCCTCTTCGTCTGATACAACTACATCTCCATCCTCATCATCAAAAAAAAAAAGAGGTAGAACTCGTAGTGAGATTGTGGATATAAAGTTAGAAAAATTCCCTGATTTTAAAGATTTTAAATTGGAGGATCTTAATCGACAATTGGAACTTAGAGATATCGAATCCCCAAACATTGATACACAAGTCCAAGAAGAGGAAAATATTAAAAGATTGAAATTGGTTTTATGGCAAGACATGGTAAAACGCTTGCAAATAGATTTTAAAGAAGACTTTGACTACAGCAAATCCAGTCAAGTTAGCATTTTAAAATGGTTATCTTTACCTACTAGCACTATTAAAATCGAATATGATTGGTACTGCTGTTCATTGCCAACACTGAAAGCAACTCTCAAGAAACTATTCAATGACAGCCCAAAGGTGAAGAGAAATGGGCCAAGGAAATGGATGCCAAAGTCTCTTGCTTCAACAAAAAAATCGTTTCTTTTTCGTTACTATACGATTGGATTTGTTGGAAAATCAGTCCTCTGCGATTATTTGCAATCACCTTATGTAAAAGACAACCCATTCGATTTCAACGGGTCAACAAAAACAATTCACCCCAACTTTAATGATTACGAAAGAGACAATATTGGTTACATTTATAACCAAAAAATGTCGGTCCTAATCAATCAAAGGGCGATGATGGTGACAACCAACGTTCCCAGCCATATCTGGTTCCAAACAAAAAGTAAATGTCATTGTTTTAAAGCATTATTATCTTTTACGACCCATTCATTTTACTAATATTTAATTTTAATCTTTATATAGGTGCAAATGAAAAAGTAGTTTCTGATGTGCAAATATCCATGAATTGCCGTCTCTTGCCATACCATTTGAAAAAGAGACAAAAACTAGAAGAATCTTTTCCAGAGCAAAGTTTGGTCTCTCAAAAAAACGGTCAAGATGGCACACCCATGGATGATTCCGATGATGATGATGATGAATCATGGAAATGTAAACAAGTAGAAGAAATGGAAAAGAACCATTCATATTCATACAACCATCCCCACTATGCTTGTTTTGTGGCAAAACAAGTTGGGTTGAAACCAAACATTCCCAAAGTCAAGGATAGAGATATTATCTGTGCCAATTGTTTGTCATCCCACTCACTTAAAGATTTGCCTATGGTGTGCGAACAATGTGATGCGACCATTCCTATTCTATCGGAACATGAAAAAAGATTGGATTTATGTGGTGACCTGATGGATCTGTACTCGGTTGATATTCAACTAAAAAGGAATGCATTTGAAAAAATGCCACCCTTTGATTCAAAGGATGATCAATTCCCTCCACCAGTACCATTAATTGCCGAAATCAATCATCGACTCGTCAAATTTGACCAACCTGAGTCACCCCACGTGGAGATTTTTCTACACGAGGCTCTCAACACCACCTCGATAGCACTCAACAGTAACAGGTCAGGAATTGCACCCTCCATGCGGAACCTATTCAATCTTATTAAAACTACATCCGATCCCTCGATGCAATTTAGAATTCGTGATGCATATCCCTTTGTCCACGACTCGTCTACTGGCGGATTTGAAAATGAAATCAAACATGAAATCATGGTGAAGGAATTAATGAACCATTTTTCAATGACAACGTCCAAGCTCATTATTGTTTGTGGACAATTCCCTTGCAAGGCAGCCAAAGAGGCTTTTAATGCCAATCCTTTGGATTACGAAATGGTTGACTATAGTCAAGAATCTTATCACACCATTTTAGATAAAGCCAAAGGCACAACCGAGGACAAAGAGGTGGATGTAAGTAGGATAGTTCCTAAAAGGCTCATTGCTATCGCTCCGCATCCATCAGTCATGTTTGCGTTGCACATAACAGCAGCCTATATTTTGATTGCTCATGATATCTACAAAATGGCTCCAAAGGTATCTCAATTTGACCCAGTTCAAACATTTAAATCGAATTCCCCCTCGTCTGCCTCGTCCTCCTTCTCCTCCACGTCCTTATCATCCACGTCATCTTCATCATCTGCCTCGTCATCTTCATCATCTGCCTCGTCTTCCTCGTCTGCCTTGTCCCCGTCCTCCTCGTCCTCCTCCACGTCCTTATCATCCACGTCATCCTCATCATCTGCCTCGTCTTCCTCGTCGTCCTTATCATCCACCTCCTCTTCATCATCCTCCCCTTCGTCCTCCAATCAAAATACCACCAAACGCCCAAATCTAAGTAACAAAACAAAAGATTTTCCTAAACTTAAACAATGGACGTTGGAACATCTAGTTGAAGAGGCCACATCCCGTAAAATCGACGTAGAGAATATCAAAGAAGATCGTCTTCAAGTGGAATGTGTTTTGTTGAAATCGGTCCTTGGGGTTCAAATATGGTCAGAACAAAAAATTGAACAGTTTGATCTAGAGAAATCAAACTCGAAAAAAGATATACTGACCTATGCGAGAGAAAAAAATATCCCTTTGACAGACTATTGGTTCTTCATGACGTTGGAAACCCTCAAAAAAGCCGTGCAAAGGTGTCTCGCTTCCACCTCGTCCCCATCTCCGTCCTCCTACTTGCCCACCCCTTCCTCACCCTTGACCGATATCTCACTCCCCTCTTCCCCATCCTTGACCGATGCCCCACCCACTTCATCCTCATCCGATACCTCAACTCCACCCTCTTCCACCGATACCTCATCCTTGACCGATACCTCAACCACCTCATCCGATACCTCAACTCCACCCTCTTCCACCGATACCTCATCCTTGACCTATACCTCACTCCCCTCACACTCATTCTCCTACTCCTCCTACTCTAAACCTTTTGTAAAAAATGAAAAGTGCGTTTACAAAGATGAAGAGAAACATATAAGAGCAAAGAGAGATTTTTATCACTCTGGAATGTGTAGAAGGCGCCGAAGCAAATGGAAAGTTATGAGGGAAAACAACCGTGGCAATTATCTTTATATCGGAATTGATCCTGGAAGGTCAAAATGCACGATTGTAGACTCTATGAATCGTGCTCGAGTGGTTTCAGTGGCATCTTATTACAACCTCATGGGCACTGACCGTCTTCTGGCAAGACAACAAAACTACAAAAAGAACCCGGTCCTGTCCAAATTTGAAAGTGGATTGCCAACCTATAATACCTTTGGTAAGTGTTATTTTAAATATTCATTGTCTATACCACCTATATATTATAATATTAATATTTATAAACTAACTTTTTTTTTAATTCCTAGATACTTTATTCAATGTAGAATCTGTATTGAGACGAATAGAGTATGAAAGAATTACCCATAGGGATCAATGTCGTCTTTATTCCCATGTAGTGACGTCCTATACGTTTCAGACCATGGACAAGAACAGGAACATTGACAAGAAGCGCGCCCAATATGCCTATGCAAAGAGCTTTGTACCACCAACAACAATCCCGAAAAATAGAATAGTGATTTGTATGTTTTTTTTATTTCTTCAAACCATTTATTATTATTTGTTATTAATCTTCTTTCTTTTTATAGATATTGGAGGGTCTGATTTTTTCCGTGGATCCCGAGGTGGTGGTAGAACTGGTTGTACATCAAAGACACTACTCAGACTGTTTTTGAATATGGGTTACAAGGCACGTCTTGTCAATGAATTTAATACCTCCAAAGTATGTGTGTTTTAATAATTGAATTTTTAGATCAACCCTCGAAATGGCCATTCATTAATATTTTTTTTTCCAAGATTCATAATGCATGTGCCTCCAAAATTCATTCTACCAACAACAACAAGTTCCTAGAAAAAGCTAAACACCAAAAGGTTAAAAATGTGTTGCCAGAATCTTTTGAAAAGACCCATGTTGTTGGTGCACCCATATCCTCCACGTTTTCAGACAATGGTGTTCGTTGGCAAGGAAAGGATTCCAAGTTATGTGATGGTTGCAAATTGACTGATTACAATTGTCAATGCTCCAAGGCTCAATTGGCGGACAAAGAGAATGATTCAACTCTGAAAGTGTCTCAATTGGCAGATGATATGAATGAAACTCTAAAAGTATTCATATCACTTGAAAATACTTCACCCTCTCCAACTATGCTATTGGAATCCCTTTTCTCTTTAAGCAAAAAGACTGTCAAGGAGTTGATAGAGTTTTGCAATCTAAACTCTATCAAATACTATCAACAAGAAGAGCCAACCAAAGGGAAAAACAAAAGAGGTTCTCACAAGGATAGTAAGGGTGGTGCTACCAACAGCAAAAAGGACCAACTTATCAACGCTATCATCAAGTTTAATTTTGAAAAACAAAAAAGGGATGCTAGCAAAAATAAGAAAAAGAGGTCAAAATCGTCATCAACTACTAATGATCGTTGTAAGGACCAAGATCAAAGCAATAGTCAAAAGGATGGGAACAAGTCTACAAGCAACTCTGTTTCGACCCACGATTATGGTTTTGGTAAGTCTCTTTGTGATAGTCAGATCAAAGATCTCTGGAAGTCAAAGAACCCAAATGCGACAGAAATGCCATTTAAAACTAAATGGCAATGGCTATATTGTCCAGTTTGTGATCATTTCTTCAACAGAGACTCGAGCGCTGCAAAGAATATTCTCTTATTGGGAATCTTACACCAAACCGCAGATTACAGGCCATGGATTTATCGTCCTTTACCTGCCGATATCGTGCATATTGGGAGGGTAGACACGACCTAGTTAACCTTAACAGGGCCTTCCTGCATAAATATGAAAGTCCCCCCCCCAGCTGTAAGTTATTAGATAGAAAATATAATGTTGATCTCAATTTACTGATTTTCCCCTTTTTTTCTGTACTTTGTCTTTTTTTTTTACTTTGTCTGTTTTTTTTTTCTTTCCTCAATTCAAAATAAAAGTTCAAATCCAGTTATCTTGCTCGAGCAACTTTATTGTTCTTTTTTTCTTGTCAACCTCGATAGTGATTTTTTCGATGATATTCTTGCTCTACTCACTATTTTCTACTTTTCATTAATGTTTATTAAAATTGTTTAAATCCAAAGAAACAAAAAAAAATGGTCGTGGAATATTTTTGGAATATTTATTAATTAGTATTTATTTTATTCATGGATTTGTTTAAAATATGAGTATTAAATAAAATATTTGAATTGATAGTATTTAATGATGAAGTTCCCTAAAATTAAAAAAACAAAGAAAAAATAAAGTTCATTAATTAAATGTTCATTATTGAATTAAAAGATAACAACTTACCAATATGATAAACTCTGTTGTTTCTACTGATAAACTTGATTCATTGAATAAAAGAGAAGAATTACCAGAAATCAATAATTTACCATTAGTAATTGATACAATACTTGGTATTAAAAATGACATTTCATTTTGTTCCTTTTTTTAAAAAAAACAAATTAAACATTAAATAATTAATATCAATACTTTTTAAATATATTAAATATTGTTGTATGCATACGGTAAAGTAAATGGTAGATTCAAAAAAGGTGAGTTTACAATTTGTGTATGAACACGAGATGCAATTACTAATAGAATAATTTGACCATGTATGTGAATTGATGGTATCAACCAAGTTTAGTAGACCACCATTGAATATTAGAGCAGAACCTATTCCATTAAAATCCAATGTGTTTCTAGCACCCGAAAGAGTACTATTATACAAGTACAAGGGGTTAGTACCTTGTACTTTTGTGTCATAAGAGGTAAAAGCTGATCCAGAAAAGTATAAAGGAAAGTCAATAATCATAGATGATTGGGTTGGAAATAGACCTCCACCATTGACAAACTCTGATGGATCCTATTAAAAAAATAAATAACGTAATATAAATTAATCAATAAATTAATAAATAAATAAATAAAAAAGGTTGATTGATACAAACATCCCAAGTATGAATAAAATGGATTGTGCTATGTCCACTGGCTGACATTGTGGCGTTATCGAATTTGCTAGAGTGAGAAAAACGTTGTTTCTATAACTACCACTTTGGATCCGGATCTAAAATTACCTCTTTTCAACAAACCAGATTCTCTGACTACAGTATATTCGAATTTGTTGTTGAAATTGAAATTACCGATAAGTATGATGATGATGGTGGTGGTGATGTTGATGGTGGTGATGTTGGCATTTTATGTATACATACTAATTTTAAAGGTACCATAGCAATTAAAATTTTGATAGTTTATTCTTGCTTTCCCAACGATGAAAAAACTCCTTGATCGATGGTCATGTTGTATCCAGATGACCAGGGTGCATCTGATCTTCCGTTCCAGTAGAGAAAAATTGCTGCATTTGCAATCGTGATATTCGATTTGAACGCAAGCCATGGAAGCATCACGCCTGCACCTTCTCGCACCTCGAGTGATGCAAAGGTAATGTTGACTGTTCTTCGACAAACACGCCTTCACCACTAACAAGCACATTATCTGAACTTGTCGGGACACATGGTGGCGACCAATGTTGGGGATAAGCCACTCATCACGAACTCTACCCATATTCCATACCTTTTCACCATTTGCTGCCATTTTGTTTGTCAAACAACAAAACACAATCAAGTAGCAAAGAGTTGTAAAGATTAAAGGTTGTCTATTATTCATATTTGTGGTGATTAAAGATTGGATGTGAAAGTATTAATAACACTGATAATAATAGTAATAATAATAATACAGACGGGTGAAGTGATCTTCATACAAAGATCTTCTAGGGCGGTTGACCACACACAATATATCCATTCTATTGTCCAATGATCGGTGTCCCTTCCCAAAATAAAACCGGCAAACAAAAAACATATTCAAGAAAAAGAAATTGACTATCAGCATTGATACATTATCAAATTTCCTAGAGTAAGTTACAAATAGCTTCCATTACCTTGACACCTAGGACAGGTCTTAAATTACCTCTGATCCACACATTAAATCCTTTGGCCAAAAGAAGAGAAGCTTAATAATAATGGTTGAAATTGATAAAGGAAGATTAGTACGAGGTGTAAAAAGAACTATAATGGGATTCACATACAAGAATAAAGAGTACCATAGCAATTAAAATTTTGATCGTCTATGATTACATTGTTGAGTGACAGCATACTTGTTTGATCAATGGTTGGCATTTAAAAGTTGTATAGATAATTGAGGGTGGTCTCACTTATCAAAATCAAAAAATAATAATTATTTGTTCTGTTTAAAAAAATCTGATCATCTGTCCTCCTCGAAAGAGATCGATCTCTTTTCATTATTCAATGTAGTATCTATCTTTCAATTTTAAATATTTAAATACATATCAGTCAGCACGAATGATGATGCGATATATCAGTATAAATTCGTTGTCATTTCATTCTTCTTTGACCCATTTCATTAATAGAAAACTCCCTAAAATAAGTTTGAGGTCGGAGAAAGAAAGCAAAATATCTATTTTTATCCTGGTTTAGAGCCTTTAAAAGTTTTCGCTTACATTCGGTGTCTTTGGCGAGCTTTGCAAATTTGTCTCAAGATTAGAGTACGATTGTCTCCTCATATTACCAAAAAAAAATCATTTTTCGTAAAATTTTATTAATATCACAGATAGAATGTCGCATCGACCTTTATCTCTTTTTTGTTTATTTGTGTTTTATTGTTGTTTTTTGACTACTACTATTACTATTGTAAATAGTCAAAAGACATGGAATGCAGGTATTTCAAGTAACGAATGGAGTGTTGCTAGCAATTGGTTGCCAACAGGTATTCCGACAAGCGCTGACAATGTTGTTGTTAGTGGTACAAATGTGTTGGTTAGAGAATGGTCTCTAACAGCTCCTATTGCATTCTCATCACTCGAGGTGGGAAACCAAGCCACACCAAACAATGCAATCGTAACTCTTGCAACGCTCTCTTACAATTCAACGCTCAACATTCGATCAAAGGCAGCACTTGGTGTGACATGGGCTGATGCCAATCAAGTATCTCCCTGGTCATATCCGTACAGTATAACTATCGATCAAGGAGGTCAGATGCAACTAAACAATGCAAGAGTATTTACAAATCTCTATGTCTATGGTTTAGTTTATGCTAGTATGTAACAATGTAGGAAGAGAGAGAGAGAGAGTGTGTGTGTGTACTTTTTTTCAATAATACTAATCTATTTATATTTTCTATAGTGGGAGATTTCTATAATGTATTATCGTATGGTATTTTTAGAGCGGGATCACAAATGCATCTTTTGGAAGACTCTACCTTTTACACCATCTCTAGTAGATTCAATGCTGCCTCAATGGTTTTACCTAATAATGGTCAAGTTTATTTTGTGAAATCAACCGAAGTTTGTATCAGATTTTAAAAAGACATATATATATTTAATTAATTAATGTTTATTTTATTTATTTATTTTAATTTTAGGATGCAACAGCAACTTCATCATTTAGTAATGGTGGAGGTCTTTATCAAACTGCATCTTATGTTGGTATTGCGAATATTTTGACGTTTTCTGGCTCCACTTTTTACTCTGAAAATAGTGTTGTAGAAAGTATTAATGTTTTGTATATGGACAACAACGCTACTCTATCGGGAAGGGGAAATCTCTTTGATTTTTATGGAGCCGATTCTGGTCTATATTTCTCTGTTGGTCAAATTGCAATATTTGATAGTAACATTTACCACAACTCTTCATTGTATTTTATTAGAAATTGCTCTACATGTTTCTATCAAAATTCTAATATCACTTTTACCAATACTACCCTAACATATGTCGTAAGTCAGAAAATATATATATATATATATATAAATATATTTATTTTATTAATTAATTTATTATTTTATTTATTTTTTTTATTTTATTTTTTTTTAGGAACAAAATAAAATCTTTTATACATCTAGTAATGTATCAATCAATGGTGGTAGGTTGATGTTTGGTGGAAACACTAACCTTTATTTTAATCAAACAAGTCTATCAGTAAAACAATCAGAGTTTTTTTCCCTTTTAGTAAGTAAACAAGGTTTAAAGATTTATTGATTTATTTATTTATTTTAATTTTTTTTTTTTTTTTGATTTAGGAAACTTCATCATTAAATGCTATGTATTCAGATTTCAAACTCAATACTCGTTTGTTAATGTTGAATCAATCTAAATTGTACACATTAAATTCAACATTTTATGTTTATAATCATATACTTTTGGACAATGCAACTCTGTTGTGGCTTGACAACTCTACAGCTTTTGTTGAGGGCTCTATTTTGTCCCACAAGAATACCAATATTAAGTTTCACAATTCTCAGGTCTCAATTAATGGAGATCTAGATATTGTAGGATCAATGGACTTTTATCAAGGATCGATTGATATCAAAGGGTCAATGAATATTACTTGTCCTGCTGGTATTAGTGTTGGTTTAATTGATAGTATCTCTATCACTGTCAAAGGTTTTGCAACAATCGACTGCCTTACCGGGTATTCATTTGTCGATATTTTTGTTGGTGGTGAATTGGAATTATCTGGTCGTGCAATGATGATATATTCAAATATTATTTCTTCAAATTTAACAAAAGTAAAAAAAAAAAAAAAGAAAAGAAAAGAAAAAATATATTAATACCTTTTATTTATATTTATTTTTAGATTGGAACTATCCTTGGAACATATTCAAATATTACAGTTCTTGATGGTGATTTGGTTGTAATGCCAAACAGCTTTATTTATTTTGAAAAGAGTACTATTACACTCAATTCTGGTAGATTCTTGTCTGACCCTAGTTCAAGAGTATCTCTCATCAATTCAAAGGTTATCAACAACAATGGTCTCATGCTCATTGACTCAGAGTTGATCTTTGGTCAATCTTATCTACTCAACTTGGCAGACCTTGTAATCACATCCAACATTGTCAAAAACAGTACAGTAAATGCCACTCAAACCTTTGACAACCAAGGAATGATGAATGTAACTAGCAATATTGCCATTCAAATTGATTTTGCCAATTCTGGTAATCTCTCTATTGGAAATTCATCCAACACCAACAATCTCCAAGTTGATGGTAATTTTAATACATCATCTGAAACTGCCAATGTTGGTTTGGTTGTCAAGAGTGCAACAGACTTTTCATCTTTAAATGTCTCTCAAACAGCAACCCTTGCTGGAGAGTTGACAATCAGAGTTGTGAAAAACTTGACAAGAGAAAATGTCACCATTCCAGTCATGACATATGACAATGTTCAAGGTTCACATTCAAAGATTAATATCATCACATATGATCCAGAAACTGGGGAGGAAGACTCTTCACCAGCCTGTTCAATTTCATCCAATCAAGGTGAAAAGGGTCTCAACGTATTGATATCCAATTGCAAAGAAGAATCATTGGTTTCAAAACTTGGTGCTGGTGCTATTGCTGGTATCGTCATTGGTTGTGCTGCCGCTGTTGTCTTGAGCTTTACACTCTATCACTTTAGAGAAAGAATCAGACTCAATATCAAATTGTTCAAAGTCGGAAAAGAAACTAAAATGAATAATATCAATCAATAAAAATAACTATATTTGAGAGCTAGAGACAATTAGTACCAGGTATGTGTCGTTTCGGGATTTTGCAACAATGAATTTCCTAGCTCAACTCGAAAACAAACTCGGGAACCAATGAACAAATTTTTTTTTTCTGAACTAAATTATTGATCAACTCAAAAACCATCGTTGAGTTTCGGTGACTTTAGCCTAACGATTATTTTTGATCTCACACATCTCACTTTATATATTATTTATCTCAAGTAGAAAATGACTATTCAACGACCTTTACTCTCTTTATCTCACTTGTTAATTATATGTTTAACATTTGTTTTAGTTGATCTAGCAAATAGTCAAAAGATATGGAATGCAGGAGTTACTAGTACTGCATGGAATGGTTCAAGCAATTGGTTACCAACAGGTGTCCCAACAATGACAGACAATGTTGTTGTTAGTGGTACAAATGTGATTGTAAGAGAATTGTCAACTGCTGACCTTGAAATTTCGTTCTCATCGCTCCAGGTGGGAAACCAAGTCACACCAAACAATGCAACAGTCGTTCTTTCAACGCTCCCTGAAAATTCAATCATTAACTTTCGATCAAAGGCAGTTCTCATAGTTAGCTGGCCCAGCATATTGTCTCCCTGGTCTTATGGAGACACTATGACCATCGATCAAGGAGGTCAGATGGATGTCTTCCATGCAAGACTAGATTTTATCAATTTCAATTGCTACGGTATCATAAATGTTGGTATGTATACAATTGATATTTCTAATAGTCATCATTATATTGATATTCATTTTTTTAAAATATTACCCTTACTATATAGTTGGAATGTTAGATGTATTGAAGAGAGCTTATTTTGGACCAGGGGCCAAAGCAATAATTAGAAAAGACGCTGGCCTTTTCACCTCATATCTCAATTTCAATGCTGCCAATATGGAAGTTTATCTTGGTAAGGTTTATTTTACCAAATCTGCAGGTGTATGTATCCAATTTTTTTCTATTCATGAATTTGACTTTAAATTCCGAACCTACAAATCGATTAACTATTTAAAAATTTATTATAATAGGATTTAATTTCACAGTTTGAAAACGGAGCTCTTCTTTTTTCAATGTTTTCGTCTGAGTTTATTGAATCTTCTTTGTACTTTTCTAGATCCTCTTTTGACACGAATTATTCAAATTTAACCAGTGACGGTCTTTTGCTTATGGAGAATAGTACTCTTTCGGGACACCAAAACTCTTTTGTCGTTTCTGGAGTCAACTCTGGCTTGGCGTTGTTTGGTGGCAAAATTTCATTGTCCTCTAGTAACATTGTCCACAACTCTTCCCAGTATTTAGTTTCAAATTGTTCCAATTGTGCCTATACAAATTCAAATACCACCTTTATTAACTCAAAGGTCTTCTATTCAGTAAGTGTTTTTTATCAATTAAAATTTGTTTTTTTTTTCAAAAAACTTTATTAATGTATCTATTTAAAAAGGATCAAAATGATATATCTTATTTATCATCTAGTAATTTAACAATTACTTCTGGTGACGTGGCTATAAGTGGAAATACGACCCTTCACTTTAATGAATCAAGTTTATCTGTAAAAGATACTACTTCTTTTTCCCTACAAGTATGTATACAAATAGTTATACACATCAAACAAAGTATTTATTCCATTTTTTTTTTTAGGAAACTTCATCATTGAATGCTTTCTATTCAGATTTTAATATCTATACGTATTTTCTCTTGATGGATACATCAAGACTCTACACTTTTAATTCAACATTTTATGTTTATAGCCATATACTTGTGGACAATTCAACAAGAATGTGGATTGAAAGTTCTACAGTTTTTGTAGATGGTTCTATTTTGTCCAAAGAGCAGACTGAAATTGGGTTTATCAATTCACAAGTTTCTATCAATGGAAATATTATGATTGTAGGATCAATGAACTTTACCCAAGGATTGATGGATATTAAGGGTGTACTGCAAATTGTCTGTCCTGATGGTGTTAGTGTTGGTACAATTGATAGTATCATTATCAATGTTGGAGGCTATGCATCAATCAACTGTCTCACCTCTTATACCAATGTCACTATTTTTGTTGGCGGTGAAATGGAATTAACTGGTGGTGCTTTAATATCCGACTCTAATATTATTTCTTCAAATAGAACAAAGGTAAAAAATAACAAAAGAAAAAAGAAAAAAGAAAATACCAACAGTCTCTTTTTTATATTTAGGTTGGATCAATCTTTGGTGTCCGTTCAAATATTACAGTTCTCGCTGGTGATTTAGTTGTATTGCCAAACAGCTTAATCTATCTTGAAAACAGCACAAACTCTGGTAAATTCTTGTCTGATCCTAGTACAAAAATTTTCCTCACCAACTCTAGAATTATCAACAATGGTCTCATGCTCATCGATTCGGAGTTGAGCTTTGACCAATCGAATTTGATCAACATGGCAGACCTTGTAATCACATCCAACATTGTCAAAAACGGTACAGTAAATGTCACTCAAACCTTTGATAATCAAGGAATGATGAATGTCACAAATAATATTGCCATTCAAATTGATTTTGCCAATTCTGGTAATCTCTCTATTGGAAATTCATCCAACACCAACAATCTCCAAGTTGATGGTAACTTTAATACATCATCTGTAACTGCCAATGTTGGTTTGGTTGTCAAGAGTGCAACAGACTTTTCATCTTTAAATGTCTCTCAAACAGCAACCCTTGCTGGAGAGTTGACAATCAGAGTTGTGAAAAACTTGACAAGAGAAAATGTCACCATTCCAGTCATGACATATGACAATGTTCAAGGTTCACATTCAAAGATTAATATCATCACATATGATCCAGAAACTGGTGAAGAAGACTCTTCACCAGCCTGTTCAATCTCATCGAACCAAGGTGAAAAGGGTATAAATGTTTTGATATCCAATTGCAAAGAAGAATCATTGGTTTCAAAACTTGGTGCTGGTGCTATTGCTGGTATCGTCATTGGTTGTGCTGCCGCTGTTGTCTTGAGCTTTACACTCTATCACTTTAGAGAAAGAATCAGACTCAATATCAAATTGTTAAAAACTGACAAAGAAAGTTTCAAAATGAATAATATCAATCAATAAATTCAAAAACTTTTTGGAAGTAAATATTCTGAACAACTAGTAGAAAATAGAAATTTTTTTTTGATATGTTTATTATGTTTTGCTTGGCATTAATCAATTTTAATGAAACATGGCTGAAAATGTAGATAATAGTGAGTAGAACAAGAATATCATCGAAAAATTCATTCTAGACCAGGAAAAACGGCAAAAAAAGGCATAAGAAGGCATAAGAAGGCATAAGAATCGCTCCTAGTTGGGATCGAACCAACGACCCTGCGGTTAACAGCCGCATGCTCTGCCTACTGAGCCATAGAAGCGTTTTTTTTGACTCAAAAAAACTTTCACGAAAAATATACCCTAATAGCCCCTATATTAACAGAACCTCTAATTAAACTAAAAACAAATAAACCATAATTACTCTATTGTCCGACGACTAGAGTCCAGATTTATTAAAAAAGCACCTATTATACGATTGATATTGTTGAGTTGGCATTCATCGACGTATTCACATACTTGTTGTTTGGATACTCAACCTTAGGAGCGATCATACTTCTAAAAGCATGGCACCACCACCTCAAAACCATCTATCACTCGACGATATCACCTGATGAAAACAAAGACAAGACGGTCATTGCAAGATTCAAAGGTATAATCTACGTCAAACACGCCAAACTGGTAAATCAAACCACCACAGCCATCGCCAACAGCCCTACTGACGACATAATCAAGACCCAAACACAAGCCAGACAATCCTTCGCCAGGTTCGCAAGAACATGGGGGAAACTCGCCACACCCCCCCCTCTCCCAAATATCACCACCAACTATTAGCCAACAAGCGATACATCAACAATAATCTAGTAATAATGCAATAACAATATAATAATATAATAATAATAATAATAATATAATAATATAATAATAATAATAATAATAATAATAATAATAATAATAATAATAATAATAATAATAATATAAGAAATAATATCACCCAACATCGGGGCTACAAGCCCCTATACTAACAGAACCTCTAACTATTTTAATTAAAATTAAAACAAATAAACCATAATTACTCTATTGTCCGACGACTCGAGTCCAGATTTATTAAAAAAAAAAAAAACCTAGTTTTTTGCTCTTTTTGCAATATAGATTCTTTATTTCTCTCTTTTACCTATTAATAGAATGTCCAACAATATTTTATCCAGTCCCTTCATTTGTTACAATGGTAAATTCACTCTTTTTCAAAATACTCAACTAATAATTTGGAATGGATTATAATCGAAACTATGCCAAATTGTTTTTTTTTTTTTCAAATATATATTTTATTACAAGTTTGTGTGTGTTTAATTTAAATGATTATTATTTAATTTAATGTCTTGAACTATCATCCAAAGCGATGAAACCATCCTTTTCACCGTAATAATGATCCTCGTCATGAGAAAACATCCAACCATTTATGTGAACAATGACAAATGGCAAGAGAGAGATGCAAGGGACGATGATGTAGAGCAACCAGAAATAGGGCACGGTGAAGAGTTCAAAGATGATGTACTGTGCCTCTGGTTCGATCCAATAGACGACACTGTAGATAATGACAAAGACGATCGAGGCAATGACAGAAATGGCGGTTGCCCAAATATTGTTACGTGTCCAATAGCGAGTGACAAAAGAGATTTGAAGATTTACAGTGAGAATGAGGTAGAGATAGGCGGCCGTACCAAACGACCAGAGGCCGAGTGTTTTGCCTCCTTCGATGGTTGCCGATTGGAGTGCGAAAAAGGTGACGAAAAAGATAATGGCCGACTGCCACATACCGACAAACACCCACCAAAAGAATTGGCGTGTCGAAAAGGGCTTGTTGGATTGACTGATGCGATACTTGTAGGCCTTGGAGATGAGCTCCTCGTCTGAGGCGTCCTGGTCAAACGTGCCGAGCATGAGTACTGGCAGCGAGGTAAAGAGGGCGTTGTAGAGGGTAAAGAGAAAGTCAAAATAGATCATCTGGCCGGAAAAGGCAGAGAAAAAGCCAAACCAAAACTGTGAAATAGAGAGGGCAATGTTTTTGGCAAACGAGTAGAGGATCAGCTTAGTCATACGCTTGTACGATCGATGTCCATGTACAAATAGGAGACGACGTAACATTTGGAATTGTGCAATGGCAAAGTCGGATGCGAGGACAGCTTGCATACCTTCACGACCACTAATACCAACACCGACATGTGCCTTTTGGATCATAGGTACATCGTTGGCACCATCACCAATAGACATGGTAATGGCACCGTCTCCAAACAAAAATGATCTCTCTGACACGAGCTTGACAACTTTGGCCTTTTGAGAGGGTGAGCAACGACAGCAAACGACCGATTCGCAACTCTTGGCAACTTGTAAAAAGTGATATCTCAGATCCTTGTCAAGTGCCAATTGTAATGTACTACCATCAATGACGAGAGCGATGGGGATTTGTTTTTCGGTGGTTCTGTTAAGGATGGATGGTGCATCGGATGGTTCTAGCTTTAACTTTCTTGCCAAACGTTGTATCCAATCAGGACCCCATTTACGTGAATCGTTGAATGAAACTAATCTCTTTTGATGAACTAGATCGAGTAGACGTTTCATAAGTCCTTCCTTGGACGATTCATTAAGAATGATCAACTCCATACCAATTGACAAGACTGACGACGATGTAGCAATGGAAATGGCTGTTTCTTGTTTATCACCAGTCAATACCCACACCTTGATTCCAGCCTCACGAAGAGACTGAATAGTTTCTGGTACATTATCTTGAAGACGATCTTCAATACCAGTGGCACCTAATAAAACCAAGTTCTTTTCAATGAGTTCGGCAGCTTGATCAATTTTTTCGGCACGTTTTGACAATGATACAGCAGCCTCGTCATACTTTTTACTCCATGCAATGTAGTGGTCAGTGTCGAGTATAGACATGGCCATACAGAGTGTTCGAAGTCCGCATGTGGCAAATTGGCTGAGATGTGCTTCGGTCACTGCATGCATGTCGAATGGCATGGGTGATGCACGGTCGGATCGTTCCAAAATGACATTGTCGGCACCCTTGGTGTAGAGACGGATCTGTCCGCTCTCGGTCCTGACAATGACAGACATTCTCTTTCTGTAACTGTTAAATTCGAGTGTGTTGAGCAATTCGTAACGCTCTTCCTTGCCATAGTAGCTGATTGTGATAATGTTGTCTTCGCGCGATTTTAGGATGACGCCAAAACGAGCAGCTGCAATGGTCAATGCTTCTTCATCTGGTGATGACGCTTGATACTTGGGGATGGCCTTGGTGGGAACATAATCGAGATCGGCACCAGACTCTTTATGGTTCTTTTCAATGACCACAGTATTGCAAATGGCCAAACAAATTAAAAATTCTTTTAAATAGATAGAGATGGGGTCACTTCCAGCATCCATATTGTCGTGGATCACCAACCCATTGTCCTCGCCGTCTGGTGTAACGCCCGTCGATTGGAGGTCCTTTAGAATATGAGTGGAAATATCGTTTGGTCCATAAATCTTTCCACCAATAGTGCAACGATTGAAAACCATCTCGTTACAAGTGAGTGTACCAGTCTTGTCGGAAAAGAGGTATTGGATCTGACCCAATTCTTCATTGATGTTGGTGTTACGGGCTTGTGCAGGTGTATCGCTGGTCGCATCATACATTTCCAAATCACTGTCGATAAAGTGGGCGTTTGACACACGAATGACTTCCATCGAGACATACATGGACAGTGGAATGAGGGTGTTGTAGAGAATGACATAGCTGACATAGATAAAATCATTCTCTGTGTTTGTGTTTCCAATGTACCATGGTTTGGCCTCCTTGTCGTCTTCCAAATGCCAACGGTTGTGACCGATTGAACAAGTGATACAAATAAGGGTCTGGAGTAAAAAGAGCATCAACAGCTTGTTGTTGACCGACCGTTCGACGCTGCTTCTCTTTTGACTACTCTTTGTCGAATTCATTTCAACCTTGGTGTCTACACCTGTATACGTGACAATACCAATGACCCATTCAGTGTTTCTCAACTTGGTACCTCGCAGTAAAAATTGTTCGATTGAAACGGGCACATAGTTGGTTGCTCCACTAATCGTAGAGTGTAAAAGATTATTGGTACTTGGTTCAGGTGCACCCTTTAAAATGGTCAATACACCTTCAAATCCATAAATATCATTATTTGGTCCTTCATAATCAACCTTGCAACTAAATTTATCCAAATCTTCTGCATTCTTTATCCATCCACATTTTTGTATATTTGTTTTTAATTTTAAATTGGTTTCTCCATCTAAATTTGCTGTCTCTAAATAAGTTCTACCATCATTTCTACAAAAAAAAATATAAAATAAATAAATGTTAAATAAATATTATTATTATCTTTTTTTTTTGTTTCTATTTTTTTTGTTTTACCTTGAAGTACTAAGACAAATAATATCGGCAGGTAATAATTCACCATCTTTTACAAGGATGATATCACCAACTCTAATATCTTTCCAAGAAGCAGATTCAAAATCACCACGAGTTGGATGAGATGGTTGAGAGGATAAAAGAGAGACATCGTCACGATCTGAAAATGGCTGAGGTGGACGATAGATACGAGCAAGACGATTGTTGATTTCCTTGTCTTGACGATGACGTTTAATGTCTTCAACCAACTCTTTGAAACAACTGACAGAGATGACCACCAAAAGTGGTGTGACACTGGATATGGGACCGACGGGAGAAAATGAAAACATACAGAGAATGACGATACAGAGCGTGTAGAGATTGGCCAGTCTTGAGAATTGATAAAAGATGACTTTTGGGAAAAAGGTAATCACATTGTATTTAGAGGTGATCACCTCGTTTGATGCAAATGGTTTGACGTGTGAATTGAAATCCAATGAAATGGCAGACAATGGGTGACCCTGTGTACTACCCGAGAATTGAAAGAGTTGTAAGAATCTTGTTTTAATCGACTCGTACCATGATATGCCAACAGAGTAACTTGCCATCGTAGCCTTTGCCTTTTCAACATCCGACCCGTAATATAATATGGCTCTGTTTGCTTTTTTCGATTTTTCTTCGCTGCTACTACTGCCACCGCCGCCGTTGGTAGTTTGAGGGGCATCTTCATCGTCTTGACCCTCAAAACTACCGACCATGTTGGCAGCCAACAACACCAATCCACTATGTGACTTTTCAGAGAGTGTGTGCAACGACACAAACATCTTTAATCCCAATACAATGCCTCCAGTGATATTCAACGTACAAAGCAATGCCACAAAAAGTACATAACTCCAAAATGCCACTTGTGCTTCATTAAACGGTCTTTGATTTTGATGATGTGCATAAGTAAACGTTATAATTAAATCCATTACAGTTGTTCCAAAACATCCAATTGTATATAACAATATTAAATATTTCTTTAATCTTTTTACTCCATATGATCCAAGTATTAAAAATAATGCTAAATCAAAATAAAACAATTAATATTATGATTATTATGATTTGATTATTATTATTAATATTATTCTTTTTTGTTTACATACCTTGAATAAAAATTAATAACATTACATAATATCTTTCTAAAATAAAGATTGGGAGGGCACGGATTAGATTACCGACAGTTTGAATAATGATGATATAGGTTAACCATTTACGACCATCTTTGAGTGCAACTGCAGCACGTTTCTTTTTGATGACGGCACCATGTGAAGCTCCCAATATCGATAGATAGGTATCGGGTATTTGTGACGAATGAGGTGGATGTATATAGGTTGATGTTGGTGGTTGATTCTTTAGATTGGGTGAGTTTAATGGAACAGATGTCAATACTGTCGATGATGACAATGATGAAATATGAGCCGACGGCGGTAATTGTTGTTGTAAATTATAATTATCTGTACTATTATGTAATCGATTTCTTAAACCATTTGTAATATGACTATGATGACTATTATTATTATGTTGATTATTCTTTGTTAAAGTTGGTAATGGATCGTCTCCATATTCAGTCTCTTGAGGGTTTTCATAACCAACACCAACTAGTAATGGATTACTACTAGACATTTGAGAACGTTGATTTGATAACATTGCAGGTGACTCGAATAGTTTTGGTGAATGACTATGATATTGAATACTACCAGTTGTTGTCGTCGTCGTCGTAGTACTTGTTGTACTATCAGATGATGATGAAGATGGAGATGATATGGTTGTATTATTTGATGTATTATCATTGTTGGTTGTTATTACTGCACCTACACCTCCAGTACTATCTAATAGATAGGAGCCTTCATGAGCTCCTTTAAAATTTGACATAGATAAATAGATATATGTCTTTCTTATATACTAGTATATACGCAATAAATAAATAAATAAATAAATAAATATATATATATATATGTTTGTTGTAATATGAATTATTCTATAATAATGACTTGGATCACCCCACAGCCTTTTTTTTTTGTTATTAATGATTATCACAACCTCGAGATTAAATGAATCGATATGAATAATATGAGTTTCTCTCTATATCTGTGTGTGTAAACTATTTATATCTCTATCTCTCTTTCTTCTCTCTCTCTTTTTTTTGTGTGAAAGATCTTTAGTACTTTCTTTTTTAAAAGATGTTTCTCTCCCCCCAATGTACACAAGTTTTTCCCTCTCTTGGTGAAAATATAATTAAAAAAAAAGCAAAAATTCGGTTGTACAGGTCTCGACTGAAACTCGGAGTAGAGTATAAAGCTGAAGATCTGTTAAGGTAGTTAACTATAGACTGGACGAAAGTCATTGTCATACATATCATCTGACCTATATACATTGTCGCAATTATCGTCATTCCACTATTAACATCATACATGATGAAAAGTGATAATGGATTGAAACAAAACAAACAAAAAAGGCCAAACCTTTGGTGGTCACTCCTCTCGATTCATTCAACCATCCAAAAAAAAAAAAAGAAAAAGGTCATATGTCTGTAGGGTTGTATTTACATGGTCAAATTCCCAGACACTTGAGAGAGCTGGATTACAAACGTTGGTTATTGTTGTTGTTGATATTTATTTATCTAATGCATTTTTGACATTAAACCAAGATAGAATCCTCCACCAAATCCAACTAAATGATAATAATAATATTAGAAAGATAATTAATATCACATGTATTTGTAAATATATATATTTATATATTTATATTCTTTGTTTTTTTGTTGTTATTAATTAATTAATTAATTAATTACATACGTTTAAATGGAAGATTTTGAGTTAATAAATTAATAAAACTTCTAAGGTATTGTTTTCTCTTTTCCTTTGAAAACTTTGGAGATACATCTTTGGTGACACGTCCCCAATCGACGGTAAGGTATCCATAGTAGGAGAGGGTTTGAGTGAAAATGAAAAGGAATCCAACTACAAACAATACTATTTTACCTAGTCTTTTGGTGGCATAGCCAGCTGCATAACCTACAAATGTACCCAAACTAGTTACACCTGCAAGATTGGTAATTGTATTATTTCTCTTTGATTCTTGTGCGGCCATTAATTCTAATTCCTCTTTGCTTCTAGTCAGATTATGATGATGATGTTTTCTCTCTTCCTCACACAAGATACTTCCACCACCAACTAACAATGATGATAGAGCTGTTGTAGTAAATATCAATTTACTACTATTACTACTACTATTGAAATTAAAGAATCTTTTTTGATTACTACCATTATTACTATGATTATGATTATTATTATTATTATTGTTTTGATAAGAACTAGATTCGAGTAATGTTGAAGCAGTAGTAGTTTGTATTGGTTTGAAATTAATACCACTACATTTCAATAATGTTGGTGATGATGATGATATGAATCTAAAAGCTTTCATCTTTACTGATGTTATACAAATAATAATCTGTTAATTTAACAATATCTGTGAACTTCAATGTTTGCAGCAAATCATTAGCAACACCCAAATTGAATTTGTGTGATTTTTTGTAATTTATTTGCTGTTTAATTTTGAATATAAATAGAATGGAAAATCTTTAAGTGTCAATTCAATAGGTTTACCATTTGATTGATTTACAGACCAAATTGTATTATCTATGTTTTTGGTTCCTTCTTCTTCTTCTTCTTCTTTTTCATCATCATCTTTATCAAAGAATTTGTATTTCTTTTTTTCTTTTTTCTTTTTTTCTTTTTCTTCTCCTTTTTCTTTTCATCTTTTTCATCATCATCATCTTCACTATCTGATAATATCAAACTATTACTATTATTATGATGATTGTTATTATCTAATTTTTTGAATTGAATATGATTAAAATTTAAATAGTCATCGATATTATTAATATTTAACCATCTTTTCATTGTAAAATAATAAATAAATGATTCTATTAATCTATTATTATTACTATTCTGTTGCTGATTATTATCTTGTTGTTTAATAGTAGAGATAGTTGTAGTTTGTATAAATTCATTCAATGTTGATTCAATTTTTAATTTTGTATCTAAATATTCTAAAAATAACAAATTATTAATATATTATATATTATAATCTTCCTCTTTCTTTCTTTACTTATATTTACTTACCATCATTATTAAATAAATTATTAATTAATATATTAATATTATTTTGTATTAAACTATTAAATAATAATAATTGATTGAATGATGATTGTGGTTGTGGTTTTGGTTGAATTTTTAAATCCATTGATGTATCTTTGATAAATTCAATGATTTCATCTTGATTCAATAGAGATAGTGTCATTGATGAAAACCCAATATGATCAAATAAATGATCTAGAATATCATTGATTGTTTCCAACAACGATGATTCACCTTGACCTTCTCGTTCGACTCTATTTGTATCCAATAATAAATCATAAAGTAGATTTACAAAATGATTATAATCTATTGATAGAAAACTACCATCGCCACCACCATCTTTAATAATTCTCTTGTAAATATAGTCACGCCAAAAGATGCCTATTTTGGGTTCACGATCTTGATAGTCGATAAAGTTATTGATAGTGGCCACCACATCTAGATTTAATAGTTGTTCTCGGTGTTGAGCTGCAATGATGGGGGTGACGGGACGAGCACCACTCCATTTCAAGAGATCCCATACATTATCTCTTTCACAAAAGATGAATCTCTCCAATGCCAATGCACCGTGTAGATTCTTTCCATCGTAGTGAAAGTGTTGAAAGTATAGTTTAATGCGATTGGGATGCTTGTAGAAAAAGTTTTGAAACCATCTAGCTGCATCGCTACTAAATATGTATCGATCCAATACTTTTGATATCTCTTTTGATTCATTTTCACATGTATCCAATAATACTTGTTTAATAAATTTAATATATAATGATAAATGATTGCGATCATCATCATCAACACGTTTATCATTTGATCCACCAACCAAGCTATTTAATTTTCTAAAGAATAACATCTTTAACTTTTTAGTCACCAACCTTTTCTCTTTATCATCAATCGTACTAGGAGAGGTACTATGATCAAGATAACAGTATCTACTAATCATTGTTTGTGACAATACAAGATTATATTGTGATTGATTCATAGTCACATGATCCAAAAGTAAAGATTCAATCTTTTCAACCAATTTTAATCTTTCTAATTGTACAATATCATTATTATCATTATTATTATTGTTGTTGTTGATGTTGTTGATTAACGGTGTAATATACAAATATATATCTTCATTGTTATTCATTTCATTATTATGAAAAAAAATGGCTAACCAAAGATCTTCACCCAAAAGAGGAACCCTCAAAAAAAAAAAATAAGAAAAATAAATAAAAAAAAAGATTAATAATGCTTTTTATTAAAAGATTAACAATACTAGTAGTATTGAAAACGGTAGTAAGAATGATTATATATATATATATATCATATTTCTGGAACTAAATTCAAATATTATTATAATATTTTGTTTATTTATTGAACTTGGAAATAATATTATTAATATTTAATTTTTTGATCATAAATATTTGCATCTCTCAAATTTGAATAAAAGAGAGATGTACGAATGCCAATTAATTAATTTCCCACCCCGCGTACCCAATTGAATCATCATCCGGTCTTCCACCCAACAACACAACAGTTTCATTTCCTTCCATCTTTGGTTTAATTTTGTATTAAACAAATCCATCCCTCTTTCTTTTTCCAACCACAATAAAATTTAATTTTAATTTATATTTATTGATACCTAGCTATTATATATGATATTAGTATTATTACTACCTACCTACCATTGTGTGTGTGTGTGTGTTTGCGCCCCTATTGTCAGATTTAACTAAAAAAAACATTGTCCATGTGTGATGATGATGATGCTGATGAGGAAGAGGAGTATTCCTCGTGTGATTCAAAGTAAGGGGTGCGTATACATACATAACCCTAACCCTAACCCCCTCCCTCTCTCTTTCCAAAAAATAAATAATGGTATTTTTTGATGTGATGGTCGGTGGTTGTTTGTTTGTTGTGTATGTAGGTGGTGATGACGGTTTGTATGAATGGTTAATCTAAACTAATACTATCATCATCATCATCACATAATCTTGTTTATTATTATCACTATCACTATCATTATTATTATTATTATTATTATTGTTTATTATTCAAATAATAATAACTAAATTCAAATTTATTTGTCTCTCCCTCCTCTTCTTTCAACCTCCTTCAAAAACAACTCTTTCTTTTTTATTTGATGAGTATTCTCGAGTAAAAGAGGATTTGTTTCATCACATCAAACAAAAATTATCATCGGAATCGCTCAAGTAGTGTTTTTTGGATGAAATATTATTTGGCCAATCACAAGGAGATCAGATTTTTGCAACACAACAATCCAGCAAATAAAGCACAAATCTAATTATAGCAATAACGAGGATCCCTCCAACAATTCAGATTCGTTGTTGAAAACTCTTGTAGTCATTCGCAAACCAACCCAACAACAGCAGTGGCATCAACACTACAAAAAACAAACATCGACATTTTCAAAAGGATTGTTGTAGCATCATTCAAGTTGTGAGTGCAGCTAGAGTTGAATCTATCTCTTCTCTGTACTTCAATCCTCCTCCACAAGTGATTTTATTCTTCAATTAGCTCATTATCTTATAATCTCATCAGAGTGGCCCTTCGTCGTGTGGCACTCTTCTTAAATCTCCATTAATATTGTTTTAGTAGGTTGTTTCAGAGAGAGTTTTAGTTTATGTTAACACATTAACAAATAATAATAATAATAATAGTAATAATAATAATAAATATAGATAGAATAGATATAGATAGAATAGATAGAATAGATAGATACAAATGGGACTGTTAGGATTAATCTTTAAAAAGAAAAAAGATCCATCATCTGCTCATGGCGAAGAAAAGGAAAACAAAGAGATTCAAGAACAAGAAAATGAAGGTTTAGTTAGTTCAGATACTTCAATCGCGATCGCTCCCAAAAAGGTAAAAAAAAAACATACATATCCCAAAATATATATATATATATAGATAGTTTTGACTCATCATCTTTCCTCTTTTCTTTACCTTTTCTTTTAGTCAAAGAGTTCAAAAAAACAATCACCACCTCCATCCAATACAACATCAAATACAAGTGATAATCAAACAAGTGGTGGTAGAAAAGATGCAGGTGAAGTGGCCAACAACAATCAACATCCAGAAGATGATGAACCAATGCCAACGATCATTATGATTAGCAATAGTAAAGGATTGCAAAAGTCAGATAGAAAGTGGTTGTCACAGATTAATCTAAGCGAAGAGGTGATCAATACGAATTTCCCAACCATTGTACATATTATGAATTTCCTAAGGAAAAAGGATTCCATCTATTATAAATATATCGAGCAGCCAGAACAATTGGCTCAAATCAAGGAATCACTAAAAGACCAAATGCCATCTGTCATTGTATCAAATACTGCTGCTGGGGGTCAACACTCTTCTGCTAATAGTTCAGATGAAGAATCTGAATCAAAAGGTCATCATAAACATCATCATGGACGTCATCATCATCATCACCATCACCATCATCGTAAATCACAAGATAATAATAATAACGGTCATTCACCAACTAATACAAAACAAGAAGATCAACAACAAACAACAAATAATAATAATATTATTAATTTGGATGTTCCAATTATTCATATAACATCGGCAGCTGCTACCAATGAATCAGCAACATCATCATCAACTATACCAACAACAATAACAACAACATCACATAATAATTCTATAAATCATGTAATAATATCAAATCCAACAACCCATTCTGGTAAATCCATATCATACATTATGGAAGCTAGAAAGAGAAGAATAGACCAGGCACGTATATTTTTAGAGCCCGGTGTGTTTGCAAAATTCCCCGACGAGATTGAGACGGCCAGTCACAAACTATTGGTCGAGGGAAATCCAAAGGAACAATACAAGAATCTCGATTTTGAGGCACGTGGTGGCTTTGGTAGTGTGTTTGCCGCCAAGAACAAGAACCCTCACTCGCAATACGACCGTGCTATGGTTGCCCTAAAGAAAATGCCTCATCGTACACCCAAACAAAAGAGAATGAATCTTGCCGAGATTGGGTTTATGAAGTTTTGCAAACACCCCAATATTGTCACCTTTTTGTCGTCCTACCAAAAGAATGAAGAGGTGTGGATGATTATGGAGTTTATGGAGGGTGGAACACTGCGCGAAGCCATTTCCAACTTTATATTCTGTGAGAGTCGTATTGCCTATGTGGCCAAAGAGATACTCAAAGGCATCCAATACATGCACAGCCACAGTCTGTGTCACCGTGACCTCAAAAGTTCCAACATTATGATCTCTATGAAGGGAGAAATCAAGCTCATCGACTTTGGCTTGGCTATCGACTTTTCCATCGAACGTGAAGACATTCACATGTGTGGATCCCCCTTTTGGATGCCTCCCGAGCAAATCCAAGGTCAACCGCATTCATTCTCGGCCGATATTTGGAGTTTTGGTGTTTGTATAGTCGAGATGATCAATAGAAAGGTGCCTCACCACAACTCTCGTCTCAAGGCTATGATCTCTGTCGTCACCGATGGCATCAAGTTTACAAAGGCCGAGCATCCAGATTGGTCCGATGAAATACTAGACTTTTTAGACAAGTGTCTCCAAGTAGACCCAACCAAACGATCAACAGCCCAACAATTACTTGAACATCCATTCCTTTTAAAATGTTGTACTCTAAAGGAAATTAAAGAAATTCTACCTGCTCTTTTCATGTCTAATACTTTATCAAAACAAGGTTTATTTTAACTAAGAAAAGAAAGAAAGAAAATAAATAAACACAAATTGTATATAATACTAAAAAGTTAAGTCTTTCCAAACAACCACTCTCCCTATTCTTGGTTGCTTACCACATTTGTTCTTTTGATTATATTTTTTTTTAATTTTGATTTTGAATTGTTGTTGTATAACATTGCTTCTTCTTTGTAGTTTTAATTATTTTTTTCAAGGGTTAGAGTAGAAATATCAACCAACATAATTCAAAAGTATAAATCAAAATATGATACAAGGTAAAATATTCCATTCTTCCACTACAAACCTTTTTCTTTCATTTTTATTTTTCTTCGCAGTGTATTGACAAAGTGAAAACAGGTGGCTCCAACAATCGCTGGCTATTTGCAAGATTGATGATACTTTTGGTTATAAATAAATATGTATATTTATTATTATTATATTAAAATTATAATTGGAAAGTTTTAATTTATTTTGATACTACATTACTATTATTAAATGACGACGGTGATGATGATGATGATGATGATGACGATGATTCTTATTTGTATATTGTTTGCCTTTTGTTGTTGTTGTTGTTGTTGTTGTTATTCTTGTTGTTCTTATTGTTGGGTGGTTTTAAAAAAAATCTGTTTGGGTATTTTAATCTTGAATCAAAAGTTTTGGACTAGAGTTGTTATTATTACTATTTTGAGTTGGTGGTGGTGAATCATTATTTAATTCATCAATCATAAAGATTTGACTTTGAGATAAAAGTGCATTCAAATGTTCCATCTTTTTGTTTTCATCTTCAAATCCAATTGATTCGGCAACTAAAATGGAGGAAAAATAATTAATAAATTTATCCAACTTTTGTTAAAATCTCTTTTTTTTCTTTTCTTTTCTTACATTCAGAACCAAGATTAATTGGAGATAAATCTTGTGATAATATATTTGATAAACTAAAATTGTCGATATTTGGAAGGATTGAACCTAATTTTGAAACAGACATTGAATGATATTGCTTAAAAGTATCCAATAATAAACATGGTAAAAACTTTGTCCACACTTCATATCCTTTAAGGAATGTTGGTAAATATTGTGATGATGATTGTGAATCTGAACTTAATCTTATATAATTCAACATTAATAATATTATTCCTTTATATTCTAAAAAAAAAAAAAAGAAAAATAAGAGAAAGAATATTAATATCAAAAATTAAATAATCGTCAATCAATTTCTTTTTTTTTCATTTTTTTTCTTTTTCTTACCATTATTTTGAGTTTCAGAATAACATTGAATAAACTTTTTTAAATGATGAGTACAAAAATATTTAATAGAAGTTGAATGATTTTGTAAAAACAATTCAACTATTAAACCATAAAATTTTGAATGATAAATATTACTAAAAAAAAGAAAAAAGAAAGGTTAATTATACTTATTTTACACTTTCATTTTCTATTTTTTTGACTTACTTAAATTGGAAAAACCAATCAACAAGATGAGTCCATAATTCAGGTGAGATATAAGCTTGAGAAGTTATTTTTTTCTTTAAACCTCTTTGTTTGATCATGTCGATCAAAAGTGTAAGAGCTTCGACTCTAAAAGAGGTGAGAGTTTTTTTGAAATTGGGATCCACTGCCATGTCTAATAAAAGTTTACACACGGAATTCATATGGATTGTACTAAAATATTGAAGCCAAAGAGTGGTTCCACCCGATGAAAAGATGGAATCCTTTTCAGCCTGAAAAGTGTTGTTGTTGGAATGCTCGATGCTTCTATTGATCATGGTGTTTATGATGCGGAGTGCCATATAACGATGTTCAAAACTATAACCAGATGATTTTTTACCTCCTTCATTGGCCAACACCTTGTTTAAATGTTCACCAAAATCTTTACTTTGGAAAAAACAAAATCCTACCCCAATATCGGGTCCATAAATATTCATCTCCTCAATACATCTAATCATAAAATCTGTACTACCTTCTAATACTATATAATTTGAATCAATATCTATTTTTACTAAAAAAAAGGAAAGATAATATAAATAAATTAATATTTCTTTTTTCTTCTTTTTTCTTCTTTTTTCCTTTTTCTTTTCTATATTTACAAGTTGAATGAATAAAATAATTTGAAACATTTTGATAAAATTTTGATTTGAGTAAACCTTTTTGAATCTTTTTAGTATCCATTGGATTAGTTGTTTGGTACTCGTTTACACTTCTCGAGGCACGTTTTGAAATGACAATGAGAAGATCTTGGATTGGTTGGAAATGCATATTTTCAATGAGCACTTGGAAATAGGTTTTTTGAGCGGGAGGATAAATCTCGGATAAAACCTCTATCGTGTAAAAGGTGTATTGTGAAAAGAGACATTGAATCACCTTGCAAAAATGATATATATTTCCTTTGGTCTCAAAGTTTGTAGTCTCTACACTTGTCTCTATTTTGCTTTGAATAATATGTTTACATTTAAATATTCCAAACAATGTATTTACTACAAATAAATAAAAAATATATAAGTACAATATTTTATATTGCACAACATATCTAAATATGTATTAAACATACCAATAAGAGGTAACTTTTCCTTTGCCAATGAAATAAATGGAGGAGTTGGATGAACAAACAAATCCATTACTTTATAGGATCGAACAATCTCTGGTGGAATGTTTGGATCAATTGCCAATGTTAGACTTGATCGATTGTTGTTTGCTCCATTTTGAAATAATGTACCAAGACTACCAGTTGAAGTTGTAGATGTAGATGTTGTACTAGTAGAAGTAGAAGCAGAAGTAGAAGTAGAAGTAGTAGTAGTCATTGGAGTTGTATTATTTGGCATACTTCCAGTACTACCTCCAAGTGGTGATTTACCATTACTACTGCTACCACTACCATTACTACTATTACTAAATACACTATTACTACTTGTACTAAGAGCACCAGTACTACTACTCTTTGAACTATCTTCTCTCTTTATATGAGGAGGAAAGTTTTGTGTAATGAAATGTATCAGAATCTGTATGGCTCCATCTTTTAATAGGAAATCTTTGATACTCGAGTTGACAGTTGGTAAATCACTATCAAGGAATCTTATTATATATGAATAATATGATTGATCCTGAGAGTTACTTGACATCTCTCTCTTTTCTCTTTAAATGATATTGCCTCTACTCTACTCTACTATATCTATCTATCTATCTATATATATGTCTTGTCTTCTATCTATCTATCTATCTATCTGATATATATACAAATAAATCTTTTTTTTTCTCTTCTCTGTCTTTTCTGAGATGTATATATTAATTTGATAATGGGTAATACTACTGGCCCAATTAAAAAGGATAAAAATAGGTTTTAATAATGGAGAGTTTTTTTTTAATTTGTTTTTTTTTTTTAATTTGTTTTTTTTTTTGTTTAATTTGTTTTTTTTTTGCATGATCCTTCCGATGTGATCACCATCTAGCTAGAAATGACTCTGTTTGTAACCTCTCTCTCTTTTGTTTCGCTTAAAGTTTGTTTAATTTAAAAGATGCACTTTTTTAATAAATACAGGGTTTACCCTTATTGCTTCCAATTACAGAATCGTGTCTGTAGTAGGTAAGGAAAGGAAGGGAGGTAAGGTGAAGGATAGAAGAAGAATATAGGGGGCACGTATGTGATTAGAGAGAGAGAGGATTGATTGATTAATGTTGTGTGTGTGTGTGTGATTCAACTAGCTAGCAGTGTAGTTGGGTGGTTCAAAAAAAGACAGTCCTCCCAATTAAATAAGCTTGTGATGGATGATTGTGTTGTTAAAGAGATAGGGTGAAAATTATTGAATCGATCGATCAAATCGAATTTGGAATTGTAAACAACCATGTAAACCCTTTGATTTATTAATTTATCTTCATTTATAATATATTATTAAATCTATCAATCTATCTATCTATCTTTCTATTTGTTAATTAATAATCATATATTTATTTAACAGTTAATAATAAATAAAACTTTAGTTGATTAATGTGGGGATGATCTTGATAATCGATTTTAAACCACGGCGTCGATGTCATTGAAAGACAACGATGATGGATTAAAAAAAAACCGTCACCTCAGTTTGTGGGTGCTGCCCTTTGTGATTTCAAAAGTCACTCCCCCTTTTCACCTAATCGGCGCTAGTGATCGCATCAATTGAGCCTTTGCACCACCATTTTCCACATCCTTGCCTTTGTATTAATTTTTCAAAGCGCGTGATGGTCGACCAAAGTACCCCCCTCTTACCACACAGTTTGGTATGTCGATGAGCCACCACAATTGTCGACAATGATGTGTGAGAGGGCGCCCAATGACAGCCTTGAAAGAATGCTTTTCGCCAAAAACGGTGAAAATCTTGCGGATTTTTCAAGTGAAAAACTCAACAAGGCCAGATCCAAGCAACCTCAGCGAAAGGCTTGTCCCCAGCCAACAAACACTTTTCGACTTTTTGCAAGCCCCAGCCATCACCACAAGCTAGCTTTGGCGGAGGATATTGATTTTTCATAGTCGATCGAAATTTTTGAAAGAAATGATCAACCAAACAATGTTTGCTCATGATCGTGTGCCTCTTTGGTTCGTAAGTCATTGTATTGTATCAAACCTTCCACATCCGCATCATCTATTGTCTTTTTGTTTTTTTTTTCATTCTATTGCATTCTATTGTTGTTGTTGTTGTTGTTGTATACACATATAAATATATAAATAATCCAAAACGAGAGAGAAAAGAGAGAAACAAGAGCCACACACAACATACTTAGAAGAATTTGTAAGTGCCAACCAAGTTTATATTGTTATAGACAAGACAGAAAAAAAACGACACTTTACACAAAAAATATACTATCTCAACCAGGGTTCAATGTTGAAAAAAAAAGTTAAAGTAAAAGTTGGTGGGATTCAGATAGGAGGATAAATGAGACCCTTTTAAAAATAAGATGGGTTGCATATAAAAAAAGAGGAGAAGAGGGGAGAAGGGTCGGACAACACCTTATCATTTTTCATCATCCACACCGAATAAAAAATGAAGGAAAGGAAAAGAGATCGAAATCTATACAAGATTAAAATCTTTCTATTTATGACAGCAACAACCTAAACGGTAACATCCATGCGCAAAATTTCGCTAGCGATTCTACAAACGTTGAATGGACAAAAATCCAATAATGCCCAACCCATAGATGGCAGAAGGGGTGACCAAAGCCCAACAGCATGTTGCTGCAACGATTTGTTGTTGGAATCACACACGCGTTCACTCGAATAAATAAATTATTTTTAATTTTTTTTTCAACATTGATGGCGCCCCTCCTCGACCTTTGATGCCCTCTTCCACCTCCTCCTTGTTGAACAAACATAACATCCACACAAACAACACTTCATCCATCATCATCATCACCGTCAACCAACAACACAACAGAGAGTTTCAGTGGGTATCCTTACACGTAAGTACCCATATAATTAGTCAAGACATCTATGCATGTCCCTCTTTTTAGCCAATAGGATAAAAAAGATAACTATAATTATACAAAACAAAACGTGGCATGTGTTGGAATATCAACGTGATGTGTGATATTCTTTTTTCTGCTTGCTTACTTATGCTTGCTGCTCTTGGCTTCTTGGCTTGCATGGTTCGCTGATCGCGCGCATTGGGTTTCAAAGCGATGGTCCATCCCTTCCATACCCTATATTTTATTTATTTATTTAAAATGTTTTGAGAAATTTAGAAATTTTCTTTAATTCCTCTAACTTTTTCTTTTCCTTTTCTCCTATACACATATATTATTATTACAACACATTTATATTTTAGGAACCCAACAAAGACCACCTGGCTTTACGAGATCTTGACCCTTCCTTCCTTCCTTCTTCTTCTTTTCTAGAACCCAAGACCTTTGACCCCTTTTTTATTTATTGCCACACTCTGACTCGTCCACCTCATCACATACACTCATCACATACAGATTATTATATTATTTCTTTGTAAATATCTTTTATGTCTAACGAAAAAGATCTTTATTCTTCACAATACAAAAGTAGTACTAGCCTCCTCTTTTGACATACACACACACCCTTTACTACTACTTTCAATCATAAGATCCATTTTTGAATGTCAATTTACTCTTACATACCAACAAAACCAACTCATCATCATCATCATCACCTCCACTCCCATCCATTCATCCAACCAAATAATATAAATAATATTATATAATATAGGCTTTCATCTTTTTCCCCTTTTTCTATTTTATTCTTTTATATATTTATATATATATCTATCTCTCAAATTCTCTCATATATATTATTTATTAAATTAACTTTCTCCCAAATATATTCCTTTATATTTAATTTTAATTTAATTTCTCTTTCTCTTTTTTTTTTTTTTTTTTTTTTTTTGTTTTTTTAATATATATTTATTTATTTAATTTATTTATTCCTAAATGGACATGAGTGATAATCAATCATCGACTACATCAAATAACAACAATAATAATAATAATAATAATGTATGTAAAAAATATTTATATTATTTTTAAATATTTCATTCCCCTTTTTAACCTTTTTATTTATTTTTAGGAAAAACAACAACTGGAATCATCAATAGAACATTTACCATCATTTTCAGAAATAAAAAATGGATATTCTTCGACTTTGACTGCGGTAAGCAGTAGTGGTAATAATAATAATAATAATACATTGAATCCAACACCACCACCAATAGGCACTATCCATCATCATACAACCAGTTTTACACCCTCAATGTCCAATCGGCAACATTTGGAACCATATTCAAACGAGCCATTTTACCCTGGTGCGCATCACCAGCATCATCATCATCTTCATTCAACTCTACCTGTATTTGAAAATCATTTACCACCTCCACCATTTCATAGTGGTGGCCCTCCTCCTCCTCCTCCTTCCCATCATCACCATCATCAATCTTCATCCTCCTCCTCTTCCTCATCCTCTTCATCCAATACCAATACTTCGACCACCACATCATACCCTTATAATACATCACACTTGTCTTCTCCTCCTTCAATGCCACAAATTTCTTCTTCACATTCCCAAGATTTGGCATCTCATCCACCGCCCCATTCGAGTCATCTTTTGCACCTCCAACACCCACATTCTCATCACGCTTTGAATCATCATCATCATTATGCTAACCGTCTAGCTCACCTTGAATCCCCTCCTCCTCCGACTGGTGGCCAACCCCCACCACCATCGTTGCCCAGTTTCCCATCGAATGTTACCACTCCATCATTCACTCCTACTCTTCCACCACCCTATTCGTCCCACGGTGGAGGTGGTGGCAGTGGAAGTAACAGTTCATTTTTTACTTCACCACCTCAACCTATTGACATTGGAGATACTTATAGTAATAATAATAATAATAATACGACATCTAACAACAGTAGTGGTACAACGATTGAATATCCATATCATTCATCCAGTTCCTCATCTACCGGTTCACAATCACACCATATTTTTTCAACTCATGGTCCACCACAACAAAGCCAACATTCCTCATTGCCCATACCACCATCCATTCATACACTCAATCCCTACTCTGCGGGAATTTATACAATAGGTGGTGGTTCAGGCGGGGAAAGAGGAGGAGGACCAATCATACCTGGAGGCGGTGGATTTTCATCATCGATGCGACCCAACGCGAGCGTGAATCTACGATCAAATCCACCATCCCCACCAATCAATAGGACAATAGGAGGAGGAGGAGGAAAACATGACATGGATGGTAGTTCCAATTCATATTCTACTGTTAGACCATCATATAATCCAAGCCTAACATCAAGTAGTAGTAGTCTAAGGTCATTGTTTAATGTAGATAATAATAATCAAAATAATCAAAATAGAGATATTAATAATAATAATAGAGATTTTGATGAAGGTAGTGAATCAAGTGTTGATAATCTACATCATCACCATCATCATTCAAGTAGTGGAGGAGGACCATATGAAGATAGAAATTTATCTTCTCCTCCTCCAATAACAACATCAACGACATCGACAACAAACACAAATCTTCCACCATCATCATCATCATCATCATCATCTTATAAACAACGTAATCCAAATACTAATAATAATAATAATAACAAATCATCAAACTATCATCCATATAATAAGAATAATGATCCAAATAATAATAATAATCCGAATAATAAGAAATATGGTGGTGGTAATAATGATAAAGATAGAGATAATAAGAGAGGTAGATGGAGACCATCACCACAAGAAAAAGAAGTATTGGAAGCATTGTGGAATGTAAATCAGTATCCAGATAGGACAGAGAAATACCAAGTTGTAGAAAAGTTAAAACAGTGTGTCACCATTGACCAGGTATCGAGATGGTTCAAACACAAACGCGAGAATCTTGCCCAAAAGGGTGAGTTTGTTTACAAGGCCATTGCAAGCAAGAAATTCACACCCGAGGAGGTGTCCACGTTGGACAGCGCCTTTAAAACCACGCCCTATCCAACCCAAGAAAATATCCAAGCCATTGCCAAGCAACTTGGTGTCGATCCACACAAAATCAAGAATTGGTTCAAAAGTAAACGTTGTCGGATGGCTTCAAGAGGTCAATTTGAATTTAAACCAAAATCTTCTCTACAACAACAACACTATCTTCAAAAACATATGGAACAACAACAACAAAGTCAACAAAGTCAACAACAACAACAACAACAACTATTACCTACTAATACTACAAGTTCAACATCTACTACTACTACTACTACTGATAATAATCCATATTTAATATCTGGGTCTTCTTCTTCCTCTTCCTCTTCATCTTTATCTTTACCTTCATTTAATCAACAACAACAACAACAACAAATGAATTATAAACAACAACTACAACAACAATATTATGATGAAGATGAAGAAGATGACTTGGATGATGATGATGACGACGAAGAAGAAGAATAAATGAGAAAAAAAAAAAAAAAGAAAACGAAACGATTCAACCAAAGACCGGTAAAAAAAAATAAAATAAAATAATTTAAAAAAAAAAAACAAAATTTGCACCAACCTTTGCTATCTTTTGAGTACTTGCTTGACAAGGTTATTTTCGTAAAAGTAGTACAGAAAAAGAGAGAGAAAGAAAGAAAGAAAAGATTGGTCCCGAGTACTATATTTAAATCTCTCTTTTTTTTCGATTAAACAAGAAAGGAAAAGAACAAACATTATTATAACAACAAAATAAATAAATTCAAGAGAGAGATATTTATACAACACCTTTTTTTTTTTACTACTACTAAAAAAAACAAAGGATAGAACAAATAATCTATATCTAGTTTTGTAAGTTTTCAACAATACACAACAAAGAATATTACAAACATCTCTCTCTTTATTTTTTAAATTAAAAAAAAAGAGGACAAAAAAAAAAAAACATTCTTGAAGAGAAAGAAAAGAAAAGAAACTGAGTGAAAAAAAGAATGGCTCTCTATTGTTTTAATTTTTTTATATTCTTACACGTGTATATATATATTAACCTTTTTTTTCACTCCTTTTAAAACATATATATATATATAAATAGAGGCAAACAACAACAATAATAATCATATTTATATTTCATTATACTAGTTTTGTTTAGAGTATAAACATTTTTATTTTTATTTTAAAAAATGATAGAGAATAATAGAATTAAAATGGATCCTACAACTACGACGACAGCAACAACAACAACTACTACACAAACCATCTCACCTCCTCTATCACCTTCACCTTGTTTCTTGTTGGGATCACCTGCACCTCCATTTGCGCCAATGATACCTTCGCCACCAACTTTGTACTTGTCTTCACCAAATAATAGTCACCATCATCATCACCATCACCATCATCATAATAACAATCATAATAATATCGATAATGACAATAGTAGCAGTAGTAGTGGTAATAGTTTGTCGTCATCGCCCACCTCTTTGGGTGCGGCAGGCAATGACCATCATCACATGTTGACGAGTAGCACTTCGTTGCATCCACCTCCGTCACTATCCTCTTCACTACACCAACAAGAGTTACCCACCAACCAACTCTTACACATTCCACTCACCTCTTCACTTTCATCTGTGCCCTTGCCACCCTCGACCCCCGTTTCATTATCCTCCTCGAGTACTATCAATATCAACCATTTATCACTATCAAAACAAAATGAAAATGAAGAAACATCTCCTCAAGATTCTTCACCTCAACAACAACCAGAGGACCAAGACAACCAAGAGGATGATGAACAAGAAAAAATCCAACAAGATGTAGTAGAAGAACAAAGATCTAGATTATTACAACAACAACAACAACAACAACAACACCAACAACAAACAAGATTCCTTCAACCACCTGCAGTAGCAATAAGAAATAATAATAATATTATTAATAATATTAATAATAATAATAATAATAATAATACAATTGTAAAAAAAGATAAATTAATTTTCAAGGTTTATAAAAAGAAAGAACAACAAGAAAAACAACAACAACAACAACAACAAGAACAAGAAAAACAAAAACAACAACAACAACAACAAAATAATCAACAAAAAACTATTACTTCTTCTTCTTCTTCTACAACTTCTACTACAACAACTTTTAAAAGAACACAAAGTGATGCAGAATTGGATCAAGAATATAATAATTTAAAGAGAAAACAAAAAACACAACAAACCAAAGATTCATTACTTAATCAATTAAGAAATAGAGAGGTACAAGGAGCCAAGCCTGGTACAACTGCTCTTGCGACTAGAAAGTTTTATCTCAATGTTGTTCCCGACAAGACTGTCTACAATATTGAAATACCTCTTTGTATCATTAAAAAGTTTACTAGCGATGGAGAAAAGTTACTTTGTTTCTCCAAGGATCTCAAAGAGATTCAATTGTATCGATTTTTAGGCTACTCTCCTTCCTATCCAGTCAATGCCAATGCCGAACAAAAAAAGCATGTCGATAGGAACTTTTCTACCTATTTTAAATTAATTTATTCAAGTGTCATACCTCCTTTTAATGAATATCTTTGTAAAGATTTTTCTCTTACTACTACTTGTGGAAAATATGTAAGAAAAAACAAAAAAACAAAAAAGAAACAAAAGAAAAGAAAAGAATATATATTTATTTTATTTCCTTTTTTAGTTTATATTATCATCATATGGACAATCAATTAATAATTCAATTATAACAGAACCAGATAAATTAATTTATCAATCTGCAAGTGATTCAATTGGACTACCAAATCCAGAGGATATTTCTTTTTATTTGGTTAGAATTTCAGATGGTGTTGTTTGTGATCGTAGAACATTTAAAAAGGATGTTATACATTTGGCACACCACAGTGGCGTCTATTTATACCAAGACTACTTTATCGTTTTATCACTTCAGTACCAAACCGTTCACATGTTTCAAATCAACGGTTCAAAATTTGTAAATATTCATTCCATCGGTCCTCATTGTAATCAAGATGATAAATTGGCAATGCAACTTCAAGAGGAACTTGAAAAACCATATGAAATATTAAAAGAAAAAGAAAAATTAAATTCAATCAACAGTACTATTTCACCAATGTTATTTAATCCAAAAGAATTTCAAGAAAAAGAAAAATCATCTACTAGTATATCAACAACCACCATACCAACAACCACAACTAATACTACAACTACCAATACCACTACAACTACCAATACTACCAATACCAATACTACTACCAATACCACTACCGCTTCTTCTACAACTACATCTATACCAAATGGATTTATAATTGGTATAAAACAAAGATTTTTATCATATTTATACAAGAGATCATTATTATCTGATGATCCAAAAAGATCATTATCAATGTATTATTCTCTTTTCCCACAATATAGTAGTTTGGTCATGTGGAAGATGCAATCATTGGATGCATCACATCTTTTAATCAAATTTGGACCAATCGATGGATTGTTGGGTCGAATCACCGACTATTGCAATCAAATATGCTTTTTTGTAGTCTACAATGTTCACACTACCGAAGTGATTGGCGTCTATGAAAATAGCAACAAAGAGTTTGCCCGTACCTTTGAACAGTTTTGCGAACATTTCCGTGCCTGTTCTTGTCCCAGTGGCCTCATCAAGTTTAGATCCACCTGTTCCAACAATATCTTTGTCCGTGAACACTTGATGAAGCAAAAGTTGGCCGTGGTCAATGCACGCTATGGAGGCGAGACACAGGCCGTCAAGCGTATCCTATCGGCTTTGCCATTTTCACCACAATCTTGGAACGAATCACCCTATTTTGATAAATACCTATTTAGCTATGACGAAAAGATCATCTCGTCGACTGAACGTCCCAAACCACTCGTCGAATGCCCCATCAAGTTTTATTCACGTCTCTCGGGTGAAGTCAAGTTTAAACTAAACACTGGCTCGCAAGACAAGACTGATCGTTCAAAGAAATACGCTACCTATATATTCCATCCCTACTGTCCATTTATCATATCTCTTCAACATTCAAACTCGAACTTTTCAAGTCAAATTGTTGCCAATTTTCATTTTAAATCGGATCAAATCATTGATGAATCAAATAATAATAATAATAATAATAATATTAATATTTCACAACAACAACAACAACAACAACAACAACAACAATAATTTAAAGATTAATAATAATAATAATAATAATAAGTAATATACAAAAATATAGTAATAAATTATTTTTATTATTGTCTCGTCGTTTTTTTCCCCTCCTCCCCCTAAAAATAATCGAGATCTTGAAAAGATGTTTTTTTTCTTTTTGATCATGTGATTCATCAAACAACAGATACTTGATCTATCTAACAAATAATAGTACTAATTTATTAATGCAAGGTATTATTGATATTGACCCAAAATTCATTCCTTTTTATAACCCAACGACGATACGAGGAGCTAGTCAAGTTCCAAAGGAAGTTATTGATAATGTAGCCTCCAAGATGCAAAATGGTGCAAAGATTGTTGATAAACTGTTATCAGGAAACAAAAAGGAACTAATCAAACTATTAAATGGAGATGATGCTGACCCTATTGCAATCTTAAAGAATTGGTATAAAGAATCAACTAGATCGTTTATTATATTATATTTTAATTGTTTACAATTTTCTTTTTCTTTTTTTTTTAGTATTCTTGTAGGTGTATCATTTATTCCCTATGTTGGAGGTATTGTTAGTAGTTTGGTTGATATTATTTGGACTGCTGCATCTGGATCATCGGCTGCTGAAAAGATGAGTAAGGCATTTACAAACTTTATCATGGCCACCATCAAGGAGGAACTACAAAAGTATGATGATGAGACACTGCGTCAATTCTTTATTGGTCTATCCAATGTCAGTTCAAAGTATCAAGACAACTTTCAATTGTGGATGGACAATCCAATAAATCAAAGTACCATTCAAACGATTCGTACCTCTTGGGAGATTCTTGACAGCCAATACTTGACACTCATCCCACAAGCTCAAAAGAAGGGATATGAAATCACAGAGTTGGTCTTTTTTTTATTAATGGCAAACGGTCATATTACTCTTTTAGGTGACTTTCTCATCTATGCCAAGGCTTGGGGGTATACCGACGAACAAATCAAATCGATCGAGGAGAGATTGGATGATACTGTCACCAAGTACACCCAACACTGTGTCGATACTTACAACATTGGTCTTCAAAAGGTTACAGATGCACCAGTTGGTGATATTACAATTAATGACTTTATAGAAGTCAACAAGTATAACGCAATCAGTTCATATCGTAATAATATGATTATCAATGTATTTGATTTTGTTAATTATTGGTGGACTATGAACACAAGAAATTTACCAAAGGTAAATAATAAGAATAACAAAAAAAAAAAAGAATTATTTATTAATATATTTATTTAATATTTAGGGAGGATCATTTGATAGGGTTAGATATCTTGTTGGAAGAATTTGTGGTGTTGTTACTACACCCAATGCCAAGTCTGGATGGAGTGGTTGGGAAGCTTATTATCATCCAACACAAGAGGAGATTGAGGCACGTATTAGTAAACAAGGATTGTATCGTTATCAAGGTGCATTAAAGAACCTAAGTATTCGTTGTTGGTCTCGTATTGATGCCATCATTCCAAGAGTAGTTGATCCAATCACTGGCAATGTATCAGAGGTACACTTTGGTGGAAGTGGTGGTGCCGTCAAGAATACAAAAGATTTTAGTAAATCTGATCCATTACTCAAAGTAAACATTGGCTCTTCTTCAGCTCCATGGAATATTAAACTTGGTAAGTCTATATACAACAACAACAACAACAACAAAAGATTAGAATAGTATTTATTTATTATTTATTTATTATTTTAAAAAAAGGTGGAGATTTTTTTGGAGATGTAGATTTCAAAGTAAGATATCTACGCAATTATGATTTATCATTTGATGATCACAAAATTGAATATTTAATGGGATTTGGAATTATTAAAACTTCAGGATTCAGTGATCAAGTCAATGCTATTGCTCCATTGTTCCAACCATATGGAGTTGGATTTAGTGGTCAAGTACCAATTACAGATGGTCCAGCATCAGTTATTGATCTGCAATATGCAACCTTTCCAGATGGAGCATCAACTCTTCGTGATAGTCCTTATCCAGGTCTCATTGCCACTCAGATTCCAGAGGGTAAATCGGCAACTCTACCAGTCCAATACGTTGGTAAAGAGACTGGTCGGTTTATGATTAAGCTCAAAGCTGGTGGAACGGGAACAGTTCAAGTAACACTCGACGGTACCAAGGCTGTGTTTAATGTAACTGATGACTACTCTATCATATCGGATAGTAACAAATCCATCTTTAGTATTCCAGACAAGGCAAACCTCACCATCACTGTCACCCAGGGTACAGTCCGTTTCCATTGTCTTGCTCTCATTCCGCAATCTGCCAGAGTCTCAACCAAAAATCCAAATGACTATCATCTCTTTTGGGATGGTTCCAAACCAACTCATCAATATAAAACTCAACTCATCACAAATTAAAACTATAGTAAATGATAGCAAGGGAATTCATACCATTTCAATAAAATTATTCCCCTGTCTAATAAAAAATGATAAAAAACCTAGAGTAAGAATTTAAATTAACCATCAACCCTTTTGGTTAAAGATAACCACAACCATTTATTTAGACAGGGGAATAATTTTCCACTATACTCCTTTTTCTCCTCAATTGTATCCATCACAATCAATCTCTTTTGTTTATTTGTTTATCTAGTTTGGTCGTTATCCATGTCACCTCTATTAAAATATTCCATGCCTTACCAGATTTAATTGGCTTGAGAGATGATAAATAGATAGTGTTTGCTTTGAGGGAAGTTGAGAAGTTTCAGGGTCAATCATTGATTGAATGTGGAAATTGGTGAGACTCTGTTTTGTAATAGTTATCACAAGCAAAAGGTTCAGTCAAAAGCTAATCATAGACAGGAATCCTCAAAGCCAAAGAAAAACATAGATGATCTGGTCTACACTCCAAAAGAAAATGTGACCACCTATACTTATATTGTTTCTATTTCAATGATTGTATCTTGTTTGAAGAGATTACTATGGAGACTATTTATCTGGTATCAATCAAGATAGATTAGAAAAAATAAGATATAATCATTGCAATAGACAACAAGAATAAAGATCTAATCATTCAACAACTGAAAGATTCTATATTGTATGGATATAATGGTAGCCACGAGTGTGGAGATTCACCCCACGCAAAAAACTATCAAGCTGATCAATGATGGTTTTTAACCTATGAGGATTTGACCAAAATCGATGAAACTTGCTTATAATGGTAGCCACGAGTGTGGAGATTCAGGAAATGTTAAAAATAATGTCCCAGCTCGCCACCCCATGCAAAAAAGGAGGGTGTTGGTCGATGATGGCTTTTTACCTATGATGATTTGACCAAAATCGATGAAACTTGCATATAATGGTAGCCACGAGTGTGGAGATTCAGGAAATGTTAAAAATAATGTCCCAGCTCTCCACCCCATGCAAAAAAGGAGAAAAATGCGCCCGATGGGGGGCTCGAACCCCCGACCACGAGGTTAAAAGCCTCGCGCTCTACCGACTGAGCTAACCGGGCAAAATGATCGGTTGTTCCGAATAAGAATTTTGCGCTATTTATACTCGACTCTCAAAAATTTTTAGGGAAATGATCATTTCCCTAAAAACCTTGATAACAATTGGGCTCTACCGACTGAGCTAACCGGGCAAAATGATCGGTTGTTCCGAATAAGAACTTTGCGCTATTATAGCTGTGGTTGCAAGCCAATTTACCCATCGAGAGGTCAGCTGACATTAGAATGTAGACGCCAAAAGGAACTACTACTCTGACTCATCGTCAACACTGATGTCAGAGATAAATTAGCTTTACTCAAAACATATGGGTTATCACAATTGAACTATTTTACGTACCTTGAAACACCCAGTCACGAGGCAATCACAATATTGGAAAAGGTTATTGGCTTGATTGGTCCAACATGTTCAGTCAAGACAGGGGTGTATGACCCAGCCAAGGTAACCAAGAGAACCATGTCCAAGAAACATTCCATCAAGGTGGTCTCAACCTCTGGGACCTCAACGCTAGATTCCGTGCCCAAAAGGCATGGACGTTTGAGAGGTTCCTTCACGAGGTCGAGAACGATAGAGTCGCAAAGGTTCATTTGCCCAATGACCAACTCAACCAAGACAAACCAAATGATTTTGTTCGTCGTATGGTTGGGTTTGCCTCTCTCACGACGTCAGCAGAGAGGCTATTCCAAGCCAGCAATAGAACCAGGCAAAAGAGGAAGTAACCTCTCAAGCAACTGTACCTCCAACCTTTGACCATAGCCAACGAAAAATGGAATGTGACCGTTGTCTCTTTTCGAGGTAGCGTTCCATCTGTATCGCGTGGCAAGGACGAATCTTCCAAGCATCTGTTCTTCCAATGCAAAGAGACCACGCTACCAGCAAAGATACTGAAAGAGGTTACTGCTCCCAACAACATCACACCACCAGTTTGGGAGATCACCCTCCAACAAACTCCAATCACTATCAACTTGATTGCTGCTACACTCGAACGAATATGGTTCAGACGTAACGATCTATGTCACCAAAGAGATGAACCATCTACGAACAATATCTGTGATCTAGACTTAATCATGTATCACGTGACATTAAAGTTAACTGGGACAAGTCTTGATTAGAAATGTGCAATCGTTGGCAGATGAAAAAGAAATACATACAGTAGCGTGAGAAAGAATGTTAGATATGAGTAATGCATGGCATCTTGCAAGTCTTCAAAACAGTAACATAACTGATCAATCATCAAGATTGAAAATAAATACAAGCACTGATTAAACTATCGATATCTTCTCATCGAGGCCTATCTATGAGTTGTTCCTCTCTAATTTCTTTATACATCTATAATAATAATAATAATAATAATAATAATAATAATAATAATAATAATAATAATAATAATAATAATAATAATAATATTTTAAAGCAACATTTAATAATAACCAACAATCAATTTTTTTTTTAGAAAAAGAAAAAGGAATAAAACAATTTATTTATGAAAATGCAACAACCATTAATTTAACAACTTTAAATATATTGAAGCATCATTGAAATTTATTTATGATGTTTAATTCCAAAATACAAATAAAAATGTTGGTCCATTGTGCAGTACAATGACTACATTGAGCTGTAATCTTTTAATTGTACCATTGACATTGCCCCATCACCTACACCGGATGTTCCAAAATGAGCATTCAAGTGAATGTCTTTGATGTCTTTGGCAATGGTTCGTTTTGCACTTGATAAGCTACTACTTTTTAAATATACATGGGTTCATAGGGTCAATGAAATCAAAGTGCACCTCTTTTTCTACATCCTTTACTTTAAATTTCTTTAATTCATGTTGAGTAATTCTAGGAGGATTGCTACCCTCATCAATCGCCATATTTCGATAAGTAATTTGATGTTTGGATGACTTTAAAGGGAAAACATCTATCATTTTTGATGTTTCAATATGTAGATTTGTATAATTAAAGTCTCCATCATAGTTTTAGGTTCACCCCATGCTCCCTCTTTTGAATCAATTCGCATTGCTCATAGTAGTTTTAAATATTTACCCCTCCCACATCCACACGTTTCTCCGCAATCAGAGGAGTGTGGTGAGTGGGGGGTAAACCTAGGTTACCTTTTTGAGTCATACGATAGTTTCTCTCTGCTGACATTTGACAGTATATATAAAACTATATAAAACTATACACTTTTATTTAAAAATATAAAGGAATATATGATTTTAAATCTGATTTATTCATTCTTTTCAATTTAAATGCAATTGATTGATTGTAATATATATCAATTTAGATTAAATCTAGTCTATTTTATTTTATTTTATTCATTCTTTGTTTAATCTTTTCAAATAGATTGAGGATAAGAGAAATAGTTTGTTGGATCATAGGCAGCCTTGATTTGAACAAGACGATCATAATTTTCGGCATAGTAAGCGTCTTGCCAGTTCTCCAACTCGGCGTCTGGGTAGTTTTGGTAGACTTCACCCGAGGAGAATGGTTCCATCTTTTTGGTGGCCTTGTTGATCCATTGGTGGTAGGTATCTTCCATCTCGGATGTGACATAGGATGCCAACCAGACAGCGTTCCATGGGTAGGTTCTGTGGACATAGGCGGTAAAGTTTCTTTCTTGGTTCAACATTTGACCACCTTGCCAGTAGAGATTCAAACGAGCAGTGTTGTAGTTGAAAGTTGTGATGGGCGATGACTCCATGACAGTCTTGATACGCTTGATCGACTTTTTAGAGAGTTCAGTCAAGAAGGAACCCTTGGTGAAACTTCTTCTAAACTTGGGGTCAGTTCCAGTACGAACGGTATCATAGTAGGATTGGGTAGTGGTAAAGAACGATACGGGAGTGACACCGTCAAAGTTACGGAATTGACCACAGTATTGTTCGGCGTCTAATGGATCGCCATTAGAGAAACAGCTGAGGTTGATGATTGGGTCGGTTTGGTTGCCGGCCTTGTTACCAGAGACAAAGGCGGTAAAGTAGAGGTTGATAATATCTGGCATGGATTCGGCAAACGATGATACCTTGGCGAGGACGGTTTCAAAGTCGGACCAGTTGTAAGTGATCCAGGCAGAGTAGTACTTGGGACGAAGAGAGTGAGCTCTATAAGTCATACGGGTAACAATACCAAAACCACCGTGACCAGCACCACGAAGAGCCCAGAATAAATCTGGGTTTTGTGAATAAGAGGCAGTGACAACGGTACGGTTGGCAAGGACAACTTCGAGTTCCAAAATATTATCCAAATTCATACCATAGACAGTTGACAAATCATTGGCTCCACCACCAAGTGACAAACCTCCAATACCAACTGATGGACAACTTCCACCTGGTGTACCAACTTGATAATTATTAATTGTATAATTATAAAATTCTACCCATTTTAATCCTAAAAAGTTAAAAATAAAATAGAAAAAGAAAAAAGAGTAAATATAAATTTAAACATTTTTTTTTTTGTTTCTTTTTGTTTTCTTTTTACCTGGTTGAGCAGTAATAGTCATTTGATTTATATCTACGCTGATATTTTTCATTAAAGATACATCGATAACAATACGGTCGTCCAAGACTCCAAACATTTCAGCGCTGTGACCACCTGAACGGACAGAAACTTGGAGCTGTGGTACTGTTGCGGTTTCACTACCAGTTTGAGCAAAATCTAGAGCCAATAATACATCATTGGTCGATGTACATTGAAGAATATATCTAGGAATTCTATTATATCTATAATTATATCTAGAATAAAAAAAAAAAAAAAAAAAAGCCCAAGTTAGAACTCAATGTTCACACACAAAGTCCTTTGATTTTGTTTTTGTTTGTTTACATACCCGAATCTAGCATCGTTAAAAGCAGAACCTGTAGATTGTTGTAAAATTTTACCCTGGAATTGTTGTTGTAATTGAACAAAGGTCAAAGCAGAGACCATACTCAATGTAACCAAAGCTACAAAGAGAGAAGCTATAATTTTCATCATTATATGTATATATATGTGTACAGTATAGAATGAATGATTTGATTCTTCTCTCTGTTTTGTACACTTGTTTTTATATCACTCGATTAAACATTAGAAGAAAAAAAAAACTATAATTAAATAAATTGTTATTGTTGATGTGTTTTAGTGCAAGAGAAGTTTTATGATAAAAAAGGAACCCTCGAGTTGTCTTGTTTGCCCTCCCAAACCACCTCAGCACAAAAAAACCTTTAACAAATTTAAAACGACTAAAGGCCGCGACACGATGAGTGCCTTTCGAACAGACGATTTAGTGCATGGAAGGGGGTCAAAGGTTAGGTAACTTTGGTATGGTAATAAAACTCGTTTAACCAATTTAAAAAATCTCCCAAACATCAGGTGCCAGCAAGGCTTGTTCCATCGCCAACTCGCCTACAAAGTTACCAAGTCCCTTTTTTGTAAATCTATGATGATGGCATCATCACATCAATCTTTGCATATTTAAATATATATATATAATATGTCATTTTTGAAATTTTATTGAGATATATGTAAGTTCTCTTGGATATATGTTTGTTGTTGATTATTATCATTATTATAATTATTATGTTCTTTTTTAGGTTGATCAAATTAATTGTACATTTTTTTTCTTTCTTTCTAATCATCTGAATAATCATCCTCAAATTCTTCATCTTCTTCATTTTCATCAATTGCTAATGATCTAAATATATTGAAAAAAAGAATTAATATAAATAATAATAAATATTAATTGTCGCATATATTTACCTTGGAGTTGTAAAATTATTATTATTATTATTATTATTATTAAATGTTTGTTGATTTTGTTGTTGTCTTTGTTGTTGTTTTGGTTGAGGAAATTTTTGATGATGATTTTTAAAAGGATGATGATATTGTAAACGTTGTTTATAAAGTGTTCTTTTATCATGTTGATTTGGTAGTTTTGAAGTTTCTATATAGATTCTTGTTCCATTAAAAGCTGCATTTCTTTTAATTTCATTCAAGTGATTTTGGAGATGAAGGTATTGTAAATGTTGTAGACCATCATGTGAATTGTAATAGGTTGTACCCTTGAGGGGATCATCCAACCGTTTTGGTTTGATTTCGTCACGTGGAACGGTATCGATTAAAAAGTCAAATGTCTCATTGTGAGCGACTGCATGGACAATATCTGATCGTTGAAGAGTGCGACGTTTGCCAAGATCGGTATGGACCCAAGAACGGGCAGTCAACTCTAGAATAAATATTTCACATGCCTTTGCAAACAAATAGGGTGTCTCGGAACTGATCATCTTGACCGAAGAATCAGATTTGATTATTTTCTTGATACGTGCCAGTGGAAGTGGATTGGTTTTAATATTAATGACGGTTGCATTTTGTATATCTTCATTGGCCGTCTTCCAAACACTCTTTAATGCATTGTCCAAACTAAAGTCGTATTGTCTTTTGTGATTGATCAAGTGTGCTTGTTGCATTGCTGTATTTCCATCGACTCGAGGTGAATTGGGAACTTGTAGTAGAGAAGTCTGTCCTCCTCCAGAGATGGGAGGTAATCTTGGAGAGTTGGTAGGTGAAGAAAAAGTACTTGGGAAATATACAGATGGAGGTGTGATGGGTGGTGTAGAGAGTGGTGACATTTGAGGACTATATTGTTGATGATTGTGCGGTGTAACATGCGGTGACATTGGCATGGGTGTCAGTGGTGGTGTCTCTCCACTTCCTGTCAACATTGACAGCGACGACGATGATGACGATGGTTCACCATTATTAATTCGTTGCATTGGGTACATCACAGTTCCATATGATTGTTGTGGAGGATAAGGAGAGTTGGGTGGATAAGGAGAGTTTGGTGGATAGGGAGAGTTGGGTGGATATGGTGAATGAGGTGTATGGGGAGAGGTGGGTGTAAGTGGCGGTGATCTAGTGTTGGGTGGGGGTGCTCTATTGGATAGATTTAATAAAGGTTGTACATGTACATTCCTCCTGGTATGAATCGGAAGATTTTGATAATTATGGTTAGTATCGGAAGTGATGGGATTGTTTGATATATGATAAATAATTTGTTGGTTTGGTTGTTGTTGTTGTTGTGATGTCAAAGTAGGTGTTGGTGGTCCAGAATGATACAATGAAAAGTTGGGTGGTGTGGAATATTGTTGTTGTTGTTGTTGTTGAGGGGATGGTGGTGGTTGTTGTGATGTATAAGGATGAAGAGTATTGGGATGTGGCGGCGGCGGATACATATTCATTGATGATTGATCGCTACCAACATAATAATATCCAGATCCATCTTGACTACTATGTAAAATTTTTGGGGTGAGTGGTGGTGATAGTTGTTGTTGTTGTTGTTGTTGAGGTTGTTGAAAAGATTGTTGTCTCATCTTTGGTTTGTTAATATATTCCAAATTTTGAAGATGTTGTTGTGATCTTGATTCAACGGGTTGGTGTTGATGATGTTGTTGATGATGTTGTATATTTGGTGGAGGGAAATAAAATGATGTTGATGAAGATGGTGAAAGGTAAGATGTAGAAGATGGCAAGGCCATCCGTTGGTAATAAGAGGTTGTTGCAGTAGATGTTGAAGTCATGCTGGTTGTTGGATAATATGTGGATGGTGTTGATGGAGTTTGTGGTGTTTGTGGTGGTGTTGAATACATTAAATGTTGTTGGTGTTGATATATAGATGGAGTTGAAGGAGGTTGTTCCTCACTTCTTGGTGTATATGTATCATCCATCATTTCATCACCACCACCACCTCTTGGTGTCATTATTGAAGAATACATGTTGGTGTTGTTGTTGTTTTGATTATATTCAACTTGCATATTATATGATGATGATGATGGATGATCCATTGACATTTCTTGTTGAACTATTGGTGGTTCAACTCGTTCTTCATCATCCAATTGTTCTTCATCCTCTTCTTCCTCTTCCTCTTCTTCATCGCCATCCTCTTCTCCATCATTTTCTTCTTCCTCCTCTTGTTGTGGTTGTTGTTGATTTTGAATTTCTGGTTGATATGAAAGTTGGAAGAAATTTTGATCGGTGGTTGGTTGTTGACCAATAATTGGATTTGATTCGTGGCTGTATATTTGAATCAAATCTCCATCTGGTTCAGAGTCTTCTTCAGCAGCTTCCAGTTTAACTGGATAATAAGGGGAACGATCATATGGATCAGACATTTTTTTTTTCCAAAAAAAAAAATATCAATATATGAAAAAAAAACTATTATTATATGTGTATTGTATTGTATATATATGTATAAATAAATAAATAAATAAATAAATAAATATTATTATTATTATTATTATTATTATTGGTTATATGTTTTTGTTTGTGTTTTATATTATATTATATTATATATTATATATATATATTTTGGTTTAAACGATATGATATTATCTATATATTAATCATATTTTAACTACAAAAGAGATTGAAATTGATAAAACTCTTGTTGTCTATATAAATATCTATATATAAAGATTCAAAAGTTAATATATATAAAATCTATAAATAAATTTGTGTGATTGATGGTTTGAGTGTAAATCAAAGAAAAAAAAAAAAAAAAAAAAAGCCTCTAGACAGAAAATTAAATATATATATGGAGTATATGATATGGATAGATATGTATCTTTCACTGAAATGATTAAAGTAATTAAAGGGGACACAATGATTATTACTATTTATACAACCTACAACTACTATTCTTTCTTTCTTTATGATAAATGTAAAGGAGAAAGAGATAAACACATGATGATAAAAAATAATAAATAGTAGTAAGGTAGGTAGAGGTAGGTAGGTAGGTTATGACTGGGGGGGATAGGTAGGTAGGTAGAGTAGAGTAGTTTTTTTGTAATCGAGTAACAGGCGAGCAGGAGAAGGGAGAACGACGATAACATAAATGAAATAGTATTATGAATGCTCGCGTCTAAATTAAATAATAATGCCAGTAAGGCAGAGTGGCAATCAGATCCACCACTGCAAATATGAGATGGATGTCTTTTCCCCTTTGCTTCCACACACAATTCGCGAAAGGAATCGATAAATGTGCTTTACTGATTTAGGAATAAGATGGGTATGGTAAAGTAGAAAAAAAGCAAACAAATGAGGGGTGGTGAAGGGGTAGGTCGAGCACAGAAAAGTAGGCTCGTTTCTACTATAGTAGTAATAAACGTAAAAGGTGAGTGCTCTGATCGCGGTTGCTAATGGCCGCGTCTGCGGTTTAGTCTTTTGCAGCTGATTGTCTGCATAGATGCTTCATTAGAGGGCGGGAAAATTTAAAAACTTGCCTAAATGAGCTTTCAAGCGCGTATGTCATAGGTCAGCAAGTTAGTAAGAAGTAGAGTAGTTAGAGTAGGTTGAGGAGGGAGGGGTGATTACTGATCAGATGCGATGTGATGGTTGGTAGATAGGAAGGTGTGGTATTATTCAAGCAAAGCACGCATAATAATATTATTGATTGTGCTTCTAGAAAACTAAAGCTTTGTGTGTAGAGGTATCCTTTCTTTTCTTTTTTCTTTTTTCTTTTTTTTTTTTTTTTTTTTGATGATTTTAATGTGTGGGTTGTTGGTTCTGTAGTTTTCTTTTTTGACCATACTTGTGCTATACGCGGTTTAAATTTTTAGTTTTAGTAAATCAGAGAGAAGAGAAATTCTAATTACTTTTATCTATCAATCTATCTGTCTGTGTCTGTCTGTTTGTCTGTTTGTCTGTTGTCTGTCTGTCTGTCTGTTATCATAAATTTTGTTGTTGTCGTAGAAAAAGTAAAGAGAAAGAAAGAGGAGACAGAGATAAATAAATAAATATAAAGAAGAAGAACTAATAATAATAATACTTTAAATCATTTAAGAAAAGAAAGAAAAGAATAGAGGTTTAAGGTTTTACAACCGAATCTTTGAGAAGAATCGGTGGCTGACTGATTTACAATCATTCATTCTTTTCTTTTCCTTTTGTTATGTTGTGATGTTCATTCCTGAATACTAGAATTCTATTGGTCATCAAACAAAGATATTTCGGTGACCAATGAAAATATGCGTTTAAGAGATATTTGCGCGGAGGTGGAGAGAAAAGGGTTTTGGTCTCTAAACTAGTTTTGTGTGTTGCACATGGCTGACGGTTTGGATCTTTGTTTCACTTGAACAACAACAAACATTAAATCTCAAACAAGGATGCAGCGTTTGGCATGGGCTGCCTTAAATATCGTCTTTGGCTTTCTTCGATCATCATTATGATTCGGTTGGATGAAAAGGTGTGCCCGCTACCCATTCTCCCCCCTTTGTCTCTCGGTCGACCGTTTCATTGCAACTTTCACAAAATCTAACTTGTTGAGCCACTTGTCCTTTTTGTGTTGTTTGTATTTATCTAACGAAACAAGATCAACCTACTAGTGATCTCTTTCAAGGAGGAGACAGAGTAGATCGCGATACAACCAACTAATCCGTTTGTCTTTTTGTTGTTGTTTTACGATCATCTTCACATGCGCCACTCCTCCTCTTCTCCTTTCGCAATTATATCTAACTTGGGTGATTGGATTAAAAGACTTCCTCTTCTCAAATTTGAGATCTTTTCTATGGTCTTTTACCAAACTCCTCATCTCTAAGAAATTAACAGCATCTCTCAGAATCAGCTCTCCCATTCTTCACAGGTCCATTCATTAAAAATTCCTTGGGTATTCGCACTTTATGAAAAGTGTTTTTCATACACACAAACATGTTTAAATGAGATACATCTGTAGTATATATTAATGCGTGCACTGCTGTAGAGCTTAATTAATGCTGTTCATATCATCAATATAGAAATGACAAGTAATAATAATAATAGAATATTTTTTATACTTTTTAGAAATATAGTAATTAGAAAAGTAATATTTGATGGAATTAAAACAAATGATAGAAATGTATACAACAGGTCGTTGTCTGCTCAAAGTTTAAAGAATAGACGATATCATATGATTAAATCGGCCGATTGGATTGTGCGCAATGGCTACTTTTCATTATTGCGTGAAAAGATTCGGATGGATGACCATCTCATCTACTCACCAGAGTTTGGAAGGCTGCTATCAAGCAATCTGTTTGACTTGGTACTCTTTCAATGGATCTATGAAAGGAAGCCACACTTGTTTGCTGTGACTCGGTCGTCATCGTCTGGTTCGACAGCACCACTGCTCGAGTGTGCTTGTGAGAGTGGGAACATAGCGGTTGTAAGATTCTATGTTGAAAAGGTTGGATGGAGACCCACCACATCATCATGTATAGAAAAGGCAATTGACAAGGACCACTACGAGGTTGTACGATACCTGGTGGATCGGTGCAATCAAATCATCGACCCTACTCTGATTGCTCGTAGTGTAAGATTATCAGCTGCCAAAACCATCCGATTCTTTGTTGAAAGAAGTTTACCTTCAATACTACGTGACAACAATTCAATCAATCAATATGAATACTTGTTTCTTTTAAATATTGATTATCCCGCATTTCAAAAAGTCTACAACAACAATAACAACAATAACAACAACAATTCTTCCTCATCTCCATTTAACTGGAAGGCTCCAGCACGTTTAGCCAACTATCATCAATACCTAAGATTATTGGCAGATTATAATCATTTTAAATATTATCCAAATACTTTGGATCATTTTAGAATCATTGATCATATTGAAACATTTTTAAATCCAAAGACAAAGTTTCATCTTTTAATTCAAAAGTCAAAGGAGGAGCAGGAGGAAGAGCAGCAAAAGGAACAAGTTACTCAATCATCATCATCATTACAAAGAGTGGATTATCAATACTTTATTAAATGGTTAATTAATAGTAACATTAGTATCATATACAACTCAAATGCATTTGAAGTTATAATGAAAGGTGCAATAGTGACGAAAGATTTGGAGTTGGTAGAAATGTTAAAAACAAAGAAATTGTATAGGTCATCTGTCGATTACCAAGATTTCTCATTTGAACATGAATCGTTAGAGGTGACAAGATACTTGGTAAATAATAGTATTGGTAGTGCGCCAACACTTGCTTGTATCTATAATCTAGTGACAAACAAGTATGTTCAATCGTTACGTCCCTTTTTGGCAAAGGTACATGTAAGGTATGCAGTTGGATTGATTGCACATTTGCTAACGAGAACGACGTACAAGGAGATACTATTGTTTGCAGCCAAGGAAGAGTGTGGTGTCATCTTTGAACTGTTAATGGAAATGCCCGAATCAAAGCACCTAAAGACTCTTACTCACCATGCCTCTGTTGAAAGCCTCGTTTCATCGTATCGTGTCGATATGAATTCTGTAGTTCCAAGACTCCTCCAACTCATCATCGATCATCGAAACGACCAACTTTTTGCTCGTCTCATCACAAAATATGCCAAACCAAAGATCCCTCAACTTACCATCTTGGTATCACGTGCATTCATTGCCGGTGACATGGCGACATTTGAATTGCTGCAGACAAAGTATTTTGGCGTAGAAAGTACCAAGACATTGGCTCAATTGGACAGCGACCTAACCAGTTATCTTGGCCAACTGGGTGATATTCAAGTATGTGATCATCTTCTTATTCATAAACCCAGACAGAAAAAGGATGTCCTACAATCGGCCGTAGCAGCCGGCCAAGAAAAATTGGTCAATCATCTAGTTCGTACAATGTTGACGGAAATCAAGGCACTTACACAAGCTGCTATCCTTGCCGCGAGTATAGGTCACCTTCCAATCCTCAAAATATTGGTTGAATTAAATTTAATACCCCGTGTTAGTATCCAATCTATCCTAGAGTCTTCCATAGCACTCAATCGTCTAGATATCTTTCAATATCTAATTGTAGACCGTCATTTTAAATTGGAACAATCAATGTTTGAAACTGGTCATCCAAACTATGATATTCTTTTAAAATTATTGAAACAACAACAATTATTAGATCCTCAACAACTACAATTACAACAACATCAACAACAACAACAACAAAAGAAATAGGTAATATATTAAATATTGTAATTTTAATTTTTAAAATGTGTAATTTAATAAATGTATAAATTAATTTGTAAATATTAATTGAGAGGGACTTGGAATAGAGTGGAAAGAGTTGAATTGGAGTTTACCAGATGATTGATCGATAGTAAAGTGAACAAGATTATCACTTCTTTGATTGAGTACATAGAGATGGTGTCCGGTTGGATCGACTGTGAGTGCTCTGGGAGTGTCTCCGTGGGTCCATTGATTCTCGACAAATTCGAGTTTGGCATTATCCAAGACACGGAAAACAGAGATAGAGTTGTGAAGACGGTTGGCACAATAGATGTATTTCTCACCTTTACCAAATACAATACCAGATGTAAAATTGGTACCCTTGTAATAGGTTGGGAGCGTAGAGATGGAGTCTTGTTCGGTGAGATCACCAGTCTCCTTATTGACGGTATAATGAGTGATCAATGAAGCTTCTTCAAGAATAGTGTACATATTGGTGTTGCTTTGATCAATGATGAAATGTCTCGGACCGGATCCTTTAAATTGCGAAGAGACAGTCTTGACATGTTCAAACTTGCCATCTTGTTGATTGTACTTCCACACAAACATACCATCCAAACCAACGTCGGCAGAGTATGCATAGTTTCCACTTTTATCACACGAGATCATGTGAGCGTGAGCAACACCCTCATGTCCGCTGTGAGCAAACGATCCCTCTGGTGCAGTCTCTGGGTGAGCAGGTCCAGCTGGAATACCCTCGTGTTTGTTCAAACTGACGAGTTTGTTACATACTCCACTGACAGAGTCCAATCCAAACGAAGCAATGTTACCAGACCAATAGTTTGCAACAAAAAGGTGTTTCTCGTCATTTGAAAGTTCCAAATGGCATGGAGCAGCTCCTTGTGTGCTAATTGGTTCACCAATCTGTTCCAAAGTACCATCATTTTCATTTTGTTTGTAAGAGTATACCCATCCATGTTCTCCTTGTGGTGAATCACCCAACTCTGAACCGACATAGATGTACTTTGAATCCTTTGTAGCTACCAATTGAGCACCATTAACAACCTTTGCTGCTACTCTTTTGTTTGACAAGCTACCTGTCTTTTCATCGAAATCAAATACATATACTCCTTCACCATTTGGTGAATATGTACCAATATATACTCTTGTCATAACTTAATAATGAATAATGAATGAATAATGAAGATTAAAGAAGAAGAAGAAAATAAATATCTAATATCGTGTTACCATTGCATTGATGATCTGTCACGACAAAAAAAAACGACAAAATAATGATTTGATGAAATTAATTTTTCTTTTTCCAATATATTATTGAATTTATTCATGTTCATCATCATCATCAAAATAAACTACGTTGTTGTTGGTAACATGATAACGTGCTACCCTGGGAGGAGGTGGAGGTTGTAAGCGAATGATGGGAGGTGGTGGTTGTGGATGTGGAGGCATTTGAATGGGAGGAGGAGGTCGGACTGGCGGAGGTGGAAATGGTTGGTAGTTAGGTCCCATACCTGCACCTCCGACACCTCCAAGAGGAATTCCTCTTTGTTGTCTCATGTGTTGTTCAATTTGTTGTTGGATTGCAAGTGGTACTTGAGCTCCATAATAAAAGTTGTTTTGTGGTGGTGGTGGTGGTCGTTGCGGTTGTAAAAGCGGTGGTGGGAAGAGTTGTTGGTTTGGTTGAGCAGCAGCTGCTGCTGGATTGGGAATAACAAATTGAGGTATATTGGCCATTGGTTGTAGTTGTTGTTGTGGAAGTTGTGGAAGTTGTTGCATTTGTTGCAGTTGTTGTTGTTGTTGTTTATCCTTTTTTGTTATCCTTTTTGTTGTAGTCTTGGGCTCTGTTTTTTTCTTCTTTTCTCGTTTCTGTCTAACTGGTAGTTTTGGCTGGAATTGTAATGGTTGTGGGAATATAACTTGTTGTTGTGGTGGCATTTGTTGTTGTAATTGTTGTAATTGTTGTAATTGTTGTAATTGTTGAATCCGCTGCTGTTGCATTTGTTGTTGCTGTAAATGTTGTACATGAACATCTTTTCCACAAACACATGGATACAACTCACCACATGCATAACAAAATCTAACTCCACACCTACAAACTATATGTTCACACTAAGTGAAAATAATAATAATAATAATATTGATTAATATTAATCTTTCTTATTATTATTAAATTTTTTTTTTAATGTACAAACCCCAATTGTTTTTTCAATAAATCTACCACATTTTGGACACTTTTTAAAGTTTTGTCTTGTAACAAATTGATCAAACAAATCATCGGCTTGACCATTTTCTTTTCTCCATTGTTGATATTGTTCACAAGTTGAATTGATGTGATAGTCGGCCTTGCATTTGAAACAATATCGCTTGTTGCATTTCAAACATAGGAAATCGGTTGAATCTCCAGGCTCCCAAAAGAATACATATCCACATCCAGCAGTCGGACAAAAGGAGTATTGATCAGGTTCCACCTCGATGGCCCTTTCAAATGAATATTCTGTGAATTGTGTAATTAAATCTTCGTCTAAAAGATATTCTAAATCTTCTACTGTTAAATCTATTTTACATCCAAAATAGGGACACTTTAAAAAATAGAGTTAATAAAAGATTTTAAAATGTTTTATATATATATATAGTACATACTTTAATTGGATATTCCCTATCTTTAATTTTCCCAACACAATAAGTTTGAATACAAGTTCTACAAAGTGAATGACCACATTTCTTTACACAATGAGTATCATTAACTTCAACATCCATCAAACAAATGACACATTCAATCTCTTCTGAATGCTTTCTCTTTTCACCTCTTTTTGAATCCTCTTGGTCATCCTCTGGGTATCCAAAATCATTATCATTATCATCCCCAGCAGCATCACGATCGTTGTCCTCTGCTGGGAATTCCTTTAAAAAGTCTAGTTGTTCTTCATCAACTTCTGTTGAATTACTTGTTACAATATCTCTTTCTTGCTTATTATTCGTTGGTGGTGATGTATTTCCATTGCCATTGCCATTTGCATTTCCAGTACCATGACCATTATCATTTCCATTTTGATTTGTATTTGTAGTACTAGTTGTAGTTGTAGTGGTTGTAGTTGAAGATGCTTCATTTGTTGGACCATCCAAATCTATTATATGGTTTGAATGATCATTATCATATATATCGTCACTATCATCAATACATATAGCATCTTGTTGTTGAGCATTAATTCTTTGTTGTTGTCTCTTTGACTCTAATACCATTTTAAATGTATCTAAAACAAAAAGATGACAAGAATAAGTATTGTGTGTGCATCCAAAGGGGTTACACAGTTAGACCATCATCATCATCATCAATTTCTCTCTCTTTACAATAGAAAATTATAAAAGATAGATTGAATAGATGGTACAGATATAAAAAGTGTAAAGTCTACTTGTATATGTTTACATACCAAAGCCATCCAAGAACTTGTTCAACTGTTCATCTTGGTTATAATTATCTTCTACATATTGTTGTAGTTCTTCAATGAGGTTGATGACACCATTATACTCCTTGAGCTCAAGACTTATAGAATGAGGAGATGTCATTATCTCTTAATTATTATATATATCAAGTTTTCGTCGTCTTTCGTTGTAAATATATGTATATATATTGTTTGTTTTATCTTTCTATTTAATTATTATGTTGTATCATTCTTCTTTCTTTTCCTCTCTTCTTATTCTCTTTATAACATATAAATATATAGATACTAGCAAGCACTAGTTAAAATAACTATGTATCTAATCCAAATTTGTATTTTCACTTTTGAACTTGAAAGTTGGTTGTGCTCTTCTCTCTTCTTGGAAGCCAATCCAAATAATCCCAACCCAATGAATGCATTGGTTATTGGATATATGTATATTTGGTTGCTATAGTCGTTGTTGTTTTTGTACAAAGGTATTTATATATAATTTATTATTGTGTGTCTTAAGATTCTTCAGTAGCACCTTCAACTTGATCTAAATAGGGATTATCTATTTCTTCACAACCCTCCATTGGACAAACCATCATTACACTACTTCCTCTGCAAACTACTAATCCTAAATATCTCTTTTCATTGGTAACATTGAGTGGATCTTGTGGATCTAAAATCATCATAACCAATTGTAATGTAATTGCAAAGTTAGAATCGTCGTCGAGTTAATTATTCTTCGTTTTGTTGTTGTTGTTGTTGTTGTTGTTCATTTACCTCTAATATATTCTTCACATTGATCGAGTGTAATATTAACAAGTGGGTCGTATCCTTTGAGAATACCTTGTACTTCTCTACCTCCTGTAAACTTGACTGATATACCCTTACCAAGGAACTTTTGAAGATCTAAAATCGATTCTTTCTTTGGTGCTGTCGACTAGATGGTTATTTATAGCGATGTTAATACTGATATCATATATGTTCATTCATCTCTCTCTATTGTTTACTACTACTATCTATCTCATACCATTCTAAAGAAAGTTGTGTATATATATTATAATTAGATTAACCAACAAAAAAATGACAAATTGACGATCTTTCAAAACTGATTAGTTGGGCTTGGATTGCAATGAAACAAGTCTTAATATTAATATTAAATATTTTCGGTCGTCTCATTAATTTGTAAAGTATATAAAAGTAGTAGATTGGACTACGATCTCATGATCTAAATATTATTCATCTTAGAAAATGTAACACAAGTATTATTTACTGATCATAGTCGACATTGTTGATGATGGTAATGACCTCATAGCAGTGACGGTGTGTATGTACATTGTTACAAAAAATTATTGTTAATAAAGCACCCCCCTCTCCCTCTCTCTGTGAACGCTCACACTACTTTTCTCACGCTTGTTCGATCCGAGCTCCTCCTCCCTTTTTTGTGTAAAATTAATTGTTTTTTTCATTACCATTATTATTATTACAAAAAGATAGCTAGATAGATAGATAAAAAGTAGGAGGGAAAACACAACATAGTTGAGATAGATAGATAGAACTTAGAGTAATAATAAATATAAATATGATATCAACACCAGAAGTATCATTAGATATAGGGGCTATACAGAGTGCAGATGCAGCAAATCAACAGTTGAATGCAGTTGCATTGACCGATGCGACGGCATCGATTACAGCAAGAGGAGGATACAAACCATCGAATCCACCAAAGATGATTATCATGTTTGACGGTGTGTGCAATGTATGCGATACCTTTGTACATTTTGTCTATCCTCGTGATGTAAACAAGAAGTTTTCATTCCAAGCTCTACAGACCACCAAAGGAAGAGAAATACAAAACTACTATGGTGTCCCAACTGATCTATCAACAGTCATTCTCATCGACGAAGAAACTGCAACCTATACTTCAAAATCAACTGCTGTATTACGTATCATGTATCATTTACAAGTAAGAGTCATCAAAAGGAATGAAATATATTATATATTCATACATATTAATAATAATCCCTATACCTATTCCCTATCCCTATCTCTATTCAATTCAACAGTCACCATATTCATATCTATATCAATTCCACTATCTTCCAGCATTCTTTCGTGATTTTTGTTATTCAACCTTTGCAAGATACAGATATTTATTGATGGGTAAAAAGGATACTTGTATGTTTAGTCCGGGTTTAAGAGATAGATTCATCGATTGGAGAAGTCCAATCATAGAAGAAGATACTGATGAAACTAAAGAAATGTAACGCAATAAACAAATAATAATAATAATAATAATAATAATAATAATAATAATAATAATAATAACAGTACAACCAAACCAAACCAAACCAACCAACAACAGGCAAAAAAGGAAAATAATATTACCAACTACCATTTTTAATAATAATATAATATTTACAACTACACCCACCACCACCACCACCACACAACAAATAAAACAGCAACTATAATATATTGTACAATTTTTTTTAAAACCTCTCATTGCATATACATGATGATTCGGTTGCGTAAGATGACAACGATGATATTTTATTACATTTGTGGTGGTATTCTTGCCAAGATGTAAAATATCCCCGATGTCATCCAATCAATTTTCAAAAAACATCCTAAAAGGGGGCTAGCTCAATTTCAATTTGTCAAATGAACCGAAAATGGCTAGCTTCTTTGTTAAGAAGCAGTTGATTCATTCATTCTTTTAATAATCATCATCATACACCGGTTCATCATTCTTTTTTCTTTTCATTTTATTTTATTTATAGACATACAGATAGATACAGATTAAAAGAAGAAGATATTGTAGATAGATAGATAAAGATGAAAATAATTTTAATATTGGTAGTATTACTTTTAACTATATTAACTATAGTAAAAGGATTGAATAATGGAGTTGCAATAACTCCTCCAATGGGTAAGATAGATAATTAATTTGCAGAGAAAAGAAACATATTAATATCCTTTAAATTTTGTAGGATGGAATACATGGAATCATTTTGGATGTGATACATCAGAGATTAATTCCCAACTAATCTATGAAACTGCAACTGCAATGGTTACTAGTGGTATGGCTGCTGTTGGATATGAATACATCAACCTTGATGATTGTTGGTTGGCAAAGGAAAGAGATGCCGATGGTAGATTACAAGCTGATCCAATTAGATTCCCACAAGGAATTGCTCCTCTGGCTGATTATGTACATTCATTAGGTCTTAAAATGGGAATTTATGAAGATGGTAAAATTTAAATTAAATTAAATATTTGAATGATTGGTCATTGACTTAATTTTCTTTCTTTTTGATTCTTTTAGTTGGAAATTTAACATGTGGAGGATACCCAGGATCAGAAAATTATTTTGAAATTGATATGAAGACATTTGCAGAATGGGGTATGGATTATGTAAAGATGGATGGTTGTTATTTCCCAGTTGACGATATGGAGGAGACCTATACACAACTGAGTGAGATACTCAATGCAACCGGTCGTCCAATGGTCTATAGTTGCAGTTGGCCAACCTATGCCTTTGTCAACAACCAAACCGTCAACTTTACCTACATTGGCGAGATTTGCAATCTCTGGAGAGAGTTTGATGACATTCGTGACAACTTTGATTCGTGGACTGGTATATTGGACCAAATGATGCAGTATAATCGTGCACCCTATGCTTCTCCGGGTCACTGGAACGACCCAGACATGTTGGAGATTGGCAACGGTGGACAGACCACTGCAGAGTACCAATCATTCTTTTCGCTGTGGTCTATCATTGCAGCACCTCTTATTGCCGGCAACGACATTAGAAACATGTCTGCCGATATCATCAACATCCTCACCAACGCCGATATTATTGCAGTCGACCAAGACGCACTCGGTATCCAAGGTCAGAGAGCTTACCAAAGCGGTACAAGCGAAGTGTGGACACGTCCACTCGTCGGTGGTGCCATTGCAGCCGTTCTCTTTAACCGTGGGGAGCAACCAGCAACCATCGAGCTCACATCTGACATTCTCCAAGTATCTTCAAACTCCCAATTCCTCATGAGAGATCTCTGGCAAAAGACTGCTCCCACACAAGTATTCCAAGGTTCATCTTCCTTCTCCAATATTGATGCACATGCTGTTATTATGTTGAAATTATCACCTATAACAGGTTCATTCGGATTTGTAAATAATAATGAGAATGATGAAGATGATGGTTGTTAATAGCCCAAAAACAAAAAACAACAAAAAAAAAGATATATTTAAAATTTAATTAACACTTTGAATAGAGGGTGTGTCAAGTCGATGGCAGTGCGTAGTGGGTGCTAGCGTCGTAAAAAAATAAAAAAAAAATGAATTTCCATTTTAGGAATTGTCGGTTGGCAGACTTTAGAGCACCAACCAAGCCACAGTAAGTTTATTATGAGTCAATAAAAGAGATAAAGTATAAGATAAATGAAGAGATAGAACATAGTATAGTTAGAACATATAGTATATAGTTATATATATAGATATATCATTGTATTTTGTGGCTCGTTAGTGCCAAATGCACAAGAAAGGATAAGGAATAAGAGTTCACAATATTGTCAAGTACTGAATCAACACCAAGTCTATTGCTGTTATAACATTCACGAGTTACTTGTACTTATTTGCTCCTCCAATCCACTCTTGATGCAGAGAGATACAGAGCTGTTCAAGTAAATTATCATTGTTTAAAGATATTGCCGCAGTTGCGTCTTTGTATGTTTAAATCTGCCACGATTATCGATCATAGCATTGGTCCATTTACACTCAACTACCTGACCTGTGTCTCTTATCGCACTAGCTAGTTGCATGTTACTATAGTATAGAACTACCTACCTTTTTTTTATCTTCTTTTTTGGTTTTATTTATAACTATTTATTGGTGAATGGATGAATGGATGGATGGATGGAATGAACGGAGTTATCCTTGTCGTTGTTGTTGATGTTGATGTACTATTGCCGATAGAAGCAGTTTGTTTTCTGGGAGATGTGCTATAAGATAGCATTCATCGTGAAAGTTAACTTTACATTGGCAACAAGTCTTGGTGGTTCTTGTTCTACGCTTTACATCAAGGACTTTGCAATACTGACAAGGATTTAGATCACCTTGAACCAATGCGTGGACTACAGTTTGAGGAGCAGCAGCAGAAGTGGGAGCATATTGGCCTCCATTTCCACTGGTTACGTATGTGGATTGTGTAGCCAATTCTTGTTCCAGTTGTTTAATCCTATCTCTTTGATCCTGGAATACTTTTGATGTAATTGGATTCAAGTGTTCCAATTGTTTTTGAATAGGCTCCTGCAAGCCAAGCTTATCTCTTACCACGTTTTGAGTGAAATCACAAAATCGGTATGTGCTATTGCCTTCAAGGGATTTGAAGATGCAATATGCATTCACCATTGCACGATCCAACTGCGCAAATATGTTAACATGTGTGTATTTGCTTTTTCGATGGGGATATGACCGACAATTTGATGATAGTTGTCCTGACAGATCGACTCCGTGGGTAGTTGCATTGTATTGAGTCTGCACATCGAGCTTTGTGAGTTTTCCTTCTTTTAATGTATATGGATTACAGGCATTTGATAAAAAATATGTTACTTTGCTGTCATTGATGGCGGTGGCACAAATGTCCTGGGGAATACCAGAGTCTTCTTTTGGAAATGCTATAGCAGCCAACTTTTTCTTGTTGTCCTTTTGTACCATGCGTCCTAAACCATCTTTGAAAAGGTACGTTGGTCTAATGGACCTTACAGTCATTACATAATGAATCTTATTGTTGGGATTGTTATCGTCGTTGTTGGAATTGATGTTTTGACTAAAGTTTGATAATACAGTGGCAACTTGTAATGATGTGTAATAGTTATCCATTGCAAACAAATAGTGACTCAATGGTCTATCATCTGTAGCTACTTTTTGTCTGACCCACTCTGCAAATTCGATTGGGATTTTAAGAGGACTATTTGGTGGAAAAGAACTAACCACAGATGGATCTAAATAAGACAATAATAATGATTAGACATATGATGATAATGATGATATTTGTAAATTGTTATAAAACAACATACCTATTGTTACAGATTTTGTTGTAGATTCATCACTACCTCTGTAAAGCCATTGGGTCAATATAAAACCATTTGAGTCAGATAAAACGAAATACTTTAATCCAAATTTGTGTGGTTTATCTGGTTCATACTGCTTGAACCTTACCAAGCCTTTATAAGGGGCCATATATTCATCGATTGATAAACGTAATGATGGGATATAGTGGTTGTTTGAATTTTTTTCAATCATTTGAATGACGGAATCTTCGTCATAGTGAAGGAATTTGAGGATGGACTTAAATCTTTTTCTTGACATTAATGGGCGGATAACAGATGGAGGATGGAAAGGGCTCTTTCTATTCCAATGGTCTTCCGCCCGTGGGAGTTTGACAAGACCCATAAAAAAGGCAATATAAAAGAAATTCTCCAATTGTTTATAGGTAAACAACTTGGTGTTGTCAACCAACTGTATTTCCTCTTGTTCTAACTGTTCTTGAATAAAGCTAAGCCTATCTTGTGGAGATAATCCTTGTGGCATTGTTGATAGAAACCCACGCTTCCAAGTCTCAAAATCAACCATTCTTCCAACAATTTGATTGGTACTCAGTTTCTACTGCATTGGTTTGATTTGAGGTAGATGTGGTAGATGTTGTCGATGATGATGATGATGATGATGATGATGATGATGATGATGATGATGATGTGGTCGATGTTTGCGAGTGGGAGGGTGTGAACAAACGAAGCAGACTGGATCCAAAGCTTGAAGAGGAAGTGGTGGCGGTGGTGGGAGTTGTTGATGAAGATGTATTAGAAAGAATAGGATGTTGGAATTGTTCGTTATCTTCATCAATTATTGTAACTGGCTGGCTCTTTCTTTGATTTTTCTTTTGTTTCTTTTTTCTCCTTGGTGTATCAGCCTCTTTTTCTTCATCATTATCATCATCTTCTTCTTCATTGTATCTTCTTCTAGAAGTTGAATATGTAGTTGTTGTTGTTGATGATGATGATGGAGGCGGCTGTGATTCCTTTGACTTATTCGTGAGAAAAAGTCTTATTTGTTGGTAATGTTGCTTGATGTATTTATAATCCCTTGCATATTTGCTTCGATGGATGAGATACAAATTCGATTCCTCGAGTATGTGGTTGATGACTGATTCGTCGATTATCAAGCTTATTACTTGACTAGGAGTTAATGGTTGATCGATGTTTTTGCTACGTGCTGATGCATTGCTGCTATCCATTTCATAGGTTATTCGATTCGACAATTCTTCTGAGTTTGTATTATTTAAAATAGTCCATTTCTCTTTGAATAGATCCCCTATAAATGTGATAATTGTTCTAATTTGTTAGCAAGTTGTTGGTGAATCATCTATCTATCTATTTATATACATACGACATGGGCATTTACATTGAGAAGTACAACCATTATTATATAACTTGCATTTGCAAGCAGTACAATTCCCCTTGTTAGCGCATTTACATTCAAAAATGGTTGTGTCTTGAACAAAATAGTAAGACTTGGATGCACGTTTGTCCAAGTCCGTTAGGTTATTGAATAATGGGATACGACCGACACTTTCTGGTTGTTTTTTCTTCTTGTTATTCAACTTGTGGACATAAATCAATCTTGTTTGAAGAAATCTATTGAACTTCTGGTGGATTTCCAACTCTTCAGGTGATTCAATGGCTTCAATAGATTCTTTTGCTTCAAACTTCTTGAATAACTCCATGTGGGCATCGAAAGTCTCTTTGAACCATTCAAATTCCTCTTGTAAATCATCTTCTTTGTAGTTGGTACGTGGTTTTAGTGGTGGTTGTTGTTGTTGTTGTGAATACTCTACTTCTTTTTCTGGTACAGGTGTATGTGATCTTTGATATTCTGGTTCAACAAATGCATCATCTTCTAGATCTTCATCGTCAAGTATAGCATTACCATCAAGTAAAGGATTATCATCAAGTAGATGATTGTCATCAAGTTGATTATTATCATCATACTCGGCTTCGATCCCTCCTTTGTATATGCTTCGAAACAATGCTACACCTTTCTTCAAACTTTCAAACATAGTTGTTGCTGCTGCTGATGCTGCTGATGCTGTTGATGATTTATCTGTAAATACTCGTATTTTTGCAATAAAGAAACATATAATAGATAAATAATGTTGAGCGTACACATATTATATGAAGATATGTTAAAATATAAATAGATAAAAAAAATTAAAATATTATGTTATTTCTACCCGCTACTATAGATCGCTGAGCTATTACCAAATGCGGAATTGTTTTTTATTTTTTTTTGACTTTGATCTGAAACTGATTTTGGCATTCAAAGTGTTAAAAAATTTCAAACCCCATTATTTGAGCCTTTATTTCAAAATGAGGAGAAAAAATTGAAAATTTTTACAAAAGAGATTTGAAAAAAAAAAAAGAGAGTTAGTATGACTCAAAAAATGAAATAAATATAATCATACCTTTGAGAGCCCAAATTGTGTTGATGCCTCGGTTTTTACCCTGGCAATTAATTTGTCTTTCCATATCTTGACGGACGGTGACCATTTTTCCAAACTTTAAAAATACCAAGTAGCAGCATATTACGTGCTGCATTAACATCCCGGTTGAAACTTTTTCCACAACCAGTGCACAAAACACGTTTCCAGGACACAGCCATTCTGTGCTTGTTGTGTAGGGACTTACTTGCTTTTCTAATCTCTGGACCATATTTATTCTGTCCGTGTCGATAGTCGAACTTTTTTGTTGATGACGAAGACGATTGGGTCGAGGCAACTTTTTGAGAGTCCTGACGCGATTCAGTCTCCGAACCGGCAACATCTGACGGTGTCACCTTCCTTGTTCGACATTGACCTGCCACATTCAAAAGATTGTGTGATTGGAGTTTCTTGTCCAAATCATCGATGGATTTGAGGAACCCCAACGACTCTTTGTATTCTTTTGAATGGGTGTCTTGCTTGACGAGTGCTAAACGATGCCGGTGGTCACTGCATCGAAGGAAACTATTACCTTTAGCAGCGGATTGACATGCTTCGCTGATAGGTGAGCACTGTTGGACATTGGTCGGTTGGCCTCCATCCTTTTCTTTACCAAGCTTGAGATGGCATTTCTCCAGATGAAAACCATCCTTTGGATCCTCATGAGGTTCGTTGAGGTCATGATGGATCAAGTTTTCCTCCTCTTGGTGGAAAAAACAATCAAAATGTTGCTAAAAAGTTTAAAGAGAATTAATAAATTTAATTAAATGTTTAAATAAAATGATAATTTTAATTAAGAAACTTACTCTTGACGTGTTGTATTCATTAATATAGACAACGGAATATTGTTTGGACTTTAACTTGTTGGCAACAGTCTTGGCTGCAAATGTTGTTACCTTGCCACGAGTGTTGTGTCCAAATTTGGCATTTCCAAAAACTATTTTAAAAAAAAAAGGAAAAGGAAAAAAGGAAAAAAAAAATACATATTAATATATATACACTTTTTAATACATTAATATTCTTTTTGAAAATGATTTATAAATACATACATATGATTGTATTGTCTTGAATGTACTGATTCCTTTCAGAATCGTTCATACTTGAATACTTGGTTGGGAAATGATCTTTAAAGAGATCAAGAATGTAGTTGTCAAATTGTTGGTAAAACTCTTTGTTCAACTTTTGCTTTTTGAAAGCAAAGTTCCTCTTCCAAGATAGTACGATTGGATCATTGATGGCTTCGAAATAGATATCGAAATAATCACAATACTTTTCATAATAGTCCAGCCTAGATTGGAATGTTTGAGGGTTAAGGACATTGACTATATATAAATATATAAATAAAAAAATAATGAATTAATAATTATTTAATAATTAAAATAAAACAAACAAATATTATAAAATGTATACATACACTTGAGAGATGGTAAACAGGATTCAAAACTTTTGATGGCCTTTCCCATATGACAAGAGATTTTCTCTAAAAGAAACTTGGTGTTTCTTTTAACCATAAGAGTATCCATTCTCATGTCCAGAACCTTGTCATCGTGATTGTTAACGACAGTAATTGAGCACGTGTTGGGATCGATACCAATGGCAATGACATCCTTCAAAGACTTTCCAGCAAATTCTTTCTCCATTGCAACTTGCTTGTTGTACAGCTTGTTGGGTTTGTTCCCAGGCTTGTACTTGATTGTTCTAAAAGTCACGGTGGCTGATGCACCATTGGTGGTGACAGACACCTTCTTGTCGAATGTTACTGTGACATATGGTAAAGATGATGAAGATGAAGAAGTAGATGGTGTAGTGGTAGTTGAGGTATTTTCATACTTTACTCCTTTGTTTACTATCTCTTGAAACATTTCTTCTTTCGAAAAAGTTATTGTGCCTTTTGCAAGAAGTGCTCGATTTTTATCATGAGATCCTTTTTTAAAACCATGCAATTTGTTGTGTTGTTCAATTGCATTCTTTGCCTTTTCTCCAGTTTGCAAAGTAGCAGCTACCCTTGCCACATCTTCATTACCTTTATATTTCATTAATGCCTAAAGAAAGAAAATTAGTAATTGAAATAATAATTTGTGAATGTAATAAATATTGAAATACTTACGCTTGCAAATCTATTGTCATTGTTTGTTTTCCTCCTTTCCTCATCCTTTTGTTTTTCAACATCAGTGGGAGGGGTGGCCGGAAGATACACCCTCTTGGTGTTTGTGAAAAGCCTTGGATCGTATTTGTACAAGCCTGGGAAGAGAGTGGCGATGGCATAGCTTGGGTTACCCTCGTGATCTTTTTCGACATTGGCCTTTTTTAAACCCAAACATTTCAAAAGGTTATTAGCATGTTCTCTTGTAAACATGAATTGGATATCAAATCTATTAAAATGAATAAATAATAGGAATAATAATAAAAGTTAATACATTGATTTATAATTAATAGATACATAAATATATAAATATATTTAACCTACCCAAGAGATGGTATAATGGATGAAATATTGATGAGCCCGGGAATAAACACGGTTGGTGTTCGGGTATCGCTAATCTGTTGGAGATCAGCATTTCTTTTTTCTGCCTCTATTGTGATCTTCTTCAGTTCATCCAACTCGCGGATTCGAATGCTGTCATGTTTCATTCTTTGATTGAATTTACCTTTTGGGTTGCGTGGTGAAGATGTGTTGGGTGATGAAGATGGTGAGTTTGTCAAATCATCAACTGTCAAAGATGTATTTGGGGACTTTTGCAACTTGATAGAAGCTTCTCTTCTTTCCTTTATGATAGCTTCCCTTCTTTTGTGAGCATCTTCCTTTTTCTTTTTGATAATATTTTTTCTTCTGCTCACCCGATTGTCATATTTTGCTTCCTTTTTCTTCTTCTTGTCATCTGATAAGTTGTTATACTCATCAATAACTTGTTGGTTATAACCTATAAATAAATAAATAAATAAAAAAGATTGAAAATAAATTAATATATGAATATTATATTAAATAGGTTTGTTTTTTTTTTTGCTTACCACCAAGGATTTCTATGGTTTTGTAGACACCATCTGATAGATCATATGTGACAACACGGTCTGCTTTCTTTTCTTCATCTTCTTCTTCTTCACCTTCTTCATCTTCTTCACCTTCTTCATCTTCTTCACCTTCTTCTTGAACTGGTTGTTGGTCTTTCTCAGCTCTTTTTAATCTCGTATTAGAAAAATTATAAATAGTATCACGAACCAACTTTTTAACCTTTTTAATTTCTTCTTGGTTCTTTCCAAGATCCTTTATCTTCCTATCCTTGTAGGTGTTTAACAACTGTTTTAAATGGTTATCTAGAATAAGAAGAAAAAGAAAAAGAAAAAAGAATTAATAATAGGGAAAATATAAATGATCATAAAACTATATTTATATATTTATATGACATACAAGTTGAAACCATGATATTATTTTTAATGTTGATCACGATCACATTAACCCAGTTTTTTGAGTTGTTACAACGGAACTGTCTCAACTTTTGAAGCATTTGAAGCATTTTGGGTCTCTTTTGCATCTCTTTTTCCAAAAATGGAGCAACATGTTTCATGAAAAAGCATCTACAAAGAAATAAATTAAAATAAATTAAATTAAATTAAATTAGTCACCAATTTAGACACTACTAACCACCTCTACTATGGTAATTAAAATAAATTAAAATCTTACAATGAGTAAATTGAATCATTGGATAGATCCTCCACGGTGTCAATACGAGGTACCGGATGTTTACCCATTGCTGAAAAAATAGCGTCTCCTCCAAGAGCAAAGTATCTTATCATCCATTCAATCGACGTTCTGTCAAATCTAAAAGTGGTGAGATTTTCTTTTAGTTGATCTAAAGAAAAAAAAAAGAGTTAGTTTTTGATTGATTCATTATCTTTTTTTTTCTTTTTCTTTTTCTTGACTTACTTTCATTAAGCTTGCATTGAGTTTGAAAAAACTTAACAACAAATGGAACAGGTGTTCCATTTGACTCAAAGCACTTGTTGTTGGTGGCTATTAGATTGAGAAAAGTTGTGGTTTGATTTCCAATAAAATTGGCCAACTTTCTAATGCTCTGAATTAGTTCGTCGTTTGTTGGTACTGGTGATATTGTTGTTGTTGTTGTTGTTGTTGTTGTTGATTGGTCATCTGTAGTGTCCATATTGTTGGACGTTGTTGACGATGACGATGACGATGATGATGATGATGATGATGATGATGATTGGTCATCTGTAATGTCCATAGATTTGAACGTCCAATATGATGATGATGAAGAGTTTGATTTCTTTTTCTTCTTCTTTTTCTTTTGAGTTTCGTTACTCACAATTGTTGAATACTTCATTACGTATGAAGTGTATGATAATTGAGAGTCTGGTAACGATTCACCCTCTTTGAAGATGATTGATGGTCGATTGGCGTTTGAAGCCTTGTTCTTTCCAGCAGGCTTCCCAGCCTTTGACGTTGGAGCCTTGTTCTTTCCAGCAGGCTTTGACTTTGGTTTGGAAACCGGTGGGTCAACTGAGGAGGAGGAGGAGGAGGAGGAGGAGGAGGAGGAGGAGGAGGAGGAGGAGGAGGTTGTAGTTGTAGAGATGGTTTGATCATCATCATCAGGATCCATTGGAGTGGTAGATGTAAAAGTGGTCGAGTCGTCCTTTTTGACTCTTTTTACTGGTTTCTTCTTCTCCTTTGGTTTTGGTGGTGGTGGTGGTTGATCGAATTCTATTTTTTTCCTCTTGGGAGGCTTCTTTTTGTTGGATGGTGTTTTTTCAGGTTGATCGGGTTGTGTTGTGTTATCTTCGGGGTCGTAAAGACCCTCGAAGATGTTATTCTTATTACTATTATTATTATTATTATTATTATTATTATTATTATTATTATTATTATTATTATTATTATTATTATTATTATTATTATTATTATTATTATTACAACCTAATTTCTCTCGAGGGATGAACAATTTTAAATTTGTAGAGGTGGTATTATTATTATTATTATTATTATTATTATTATTATTATTATTATTATTATTATTATTATTATTATTATTATTATTATTATTATTATTATTATTATTATTATTATTATTATTATTGTTGGTAGTTGTTGAAGATTCAATCTGCATTGAATCTTGATTATTATTACTACTCATTCGTTAAACTTTAAGATAATAGATAGATAGAGATAGATAGAAGATAGATAGAAGATAGAAGATAGATAGATAGATAGATAGATAGATAGATAGATAGATAGATAGATAGATAGATAGATAGATAGATAGATAGATAGATAGATAGATAGATAGATAGATAGATATATAGATATACCTTAAAATTTTTTTGATAACTTTAAATAGAATCGGAAGGGAGTGTGATTGAAAAAAATTAAAATTATTTAGATCAATTGCTCGAATCTTTTGCGAGCCACGTGTGCAATGGTTCACCGAACTTGTGCATGGTGATAAATCAAGCAAATTGATTTTAATTGTTTCGGGGTTTCGGGTCATGTGGAAGATGCCTTCGTTTGGTACTAAATAAGTAAGAAAGCGATACTTGCGACAACATGTGCTATTAATAAGTAACTACTTATTAATAGCACATGTAATACTATTATTTTTTTTATTTATTTTTTTTATACTATCTATATTCAATAGCAACACTTGTTAAATATAATGAAATAAATTAAAAAGATTTAATAATATTAAATAGTCATATCACGAGTGATTCACTACATGAAATATTATACATGAGTGTTTTGTTTCAAAGAGTTTTTGAAATATTTTTTTCTCAAAGTCAGCAAGATTCAAGCACTACAAAAGGTCGAAGGGACCAGAATTGATGGTCGTCTGAGATGTAAAATAAATTTTAAAAAAGTTCACCTTTTTTTTTTGTCCAAACCGACAAGACAACGATATCTTTGTCTATTCTATACTTCTCTATTCTATCTTTATTTTATTTATTCTATTCAATAGTAAACAAGAAAATGTAGCATACAAGGTATAATATAAAAAGATAGTTTATTGATGTAGTTGTATATTCTCGAAAGTTTTGTTCAAATAGCTCTAAACCAGACGAAGATAACAGCAGCGTGAATATTGGTGGATGGTCAAGATAATAAAGTTTGAAAATTAATTTTTTTTTAAAAAAGAAAAGCACTACAACATTCTCCTTGGCAAGACAAATACAATGGTCATAATTATATATATAAATAAAAATTTAAAAAATAATGAAAGAAAGGATTACTCCTTTTTTTCATACTAAAAAAATCGGTACCTCGACGCCGAGGGTTCCTAGTGGACTCGTACCCTTTTTCGAACTTTTTTTTTTTTTTATTTGACCCCCTCGACCTCGACCCAACCAATCGAGAATTCTAAAAAAAGCAAAATCGGTACCCTCGACCTTTTGCAGTGAGATATATGTCTATCTCTATCATTACAATCAATTTAATTTAATTAAATTGATATTAAAAGATATTTAATGAATTATCAATATTATAGATATATTTTTATCTTCATTTTAAACATATTCATCATGAGTTCAGCAGCCCAAACTATCACTGCATCTCCAGCAGCAGTAGCAACAACAACAACAATCACAACACCACCAACAGGAGCAGTCTTTCAACCATTCATTGGCAATCGCGTTAAACCAACATACCCATTAAGACAAGTCCAACGCATTAGAAAACAAATATAATCCACGTTAAATAGACATACAGGTGGCGACCAAGAACTACAATCAGAGGTTCTAAGAAGTTTCAGCATATCTAAACATGGAAGAGGTATCAAGATGTTGCTCGATCCCAAAGGAGAAAAGATCTACAACGATGGTACAGTTTTTATGGCTACAAGAGATTATAGTTGTCTCAACATCATTAGAAAGATGCACAAGGAAGCAAAAGATGGGAAAAAGAATCATTTTACAAAAACACAGTAAGTTGCATATATTATTATATTTAAAACTTCTAGTTCATTTATACTAATTCCTTTCTTTAAAAGAATATTATCATCGGTATCACCTTTTCATACTGCTTCACAACTAAGAGATTTTGGTTTCAAATTTGCAAATGGTGCATTCACAAACGCCAACAAACATGCAAAACAATATGGACCTGGTAGAAACATTAGAGCAGAGGAGTATACACAATTCTGCCAGGCTCTGGGACGATCTGATATCAATAAAACAGATGCCAACAAAAAGAAAATAATGGAGGATATTAAAGAATTTTATGCTCAAACAACGATTACAGAACCTTCTTCAAAATGTAGCACAAAGAACCAAAAGGATGCCAACAATAAGACAGTAAGAGTATCGACACCAATAAGAAAGCTACTGTGCCCATCAATTGCACAGGCATATGCTTATTATGTTGAATTTATTGCGAAAAAGTACAAAGACTGTTCAGACAATGATGAAAAGACACCAATCCATCGCAGTACATTTTACAAGTTTGTACCATCTGATGTCAAAATCTTCAACAACAGAACTGATACTTGTCCATATTGCCATCTATATGACGTGCTCAAGGCAAAAGCAGAAAAGACCACGCTCACAGAAAAGGAAGATACAGATTTTAAAACTTGTAAAATTCACAAGGAATTTGTTGAAAAGAGAAAAAAGGATTTCGAGAAAAAAAAGGAATCATTGACAAAGGATCAAGTCATTGTATTGATGGACTTTAAAGAGAATATTGCACTTGGAATGGGACCAGAAGAACTCAGTCAAAATTTCTATGGAAAACCACAAAGAAGCATTCTGGGGATGGTTATTTACCATAGAGATCCAGCGACAAATGAAGTGGTTAAAGAGCATTTTGATGTTTTTTCAGATGTTTTAAATCATTGTTCGTCATATGTGATTCATAGTATCAAGCTATTCTTTTCCACATCAGAGTTGTTCAAAGCTAGACACTTTTCACAAATCTTCTTTTGGAGTGATGGAGCAAAACATTTCAAGTCTGCCGAGATATTATCGTTTTGTATTGACCTTAAAAAGTCACCATCACAAAGCCTCAATAGAGTGGAATGGCAGTTTTCTGCACAATATCATGGAAAGAGTGATGTTGACAGACACTTTGCAGATCTCTCAAACATCACAGCTCAACAATCAAAATGTTATGATATTTATACTGGCAAAGATTTTATCAAAGGTGGTGACAGATGTTACAGTTAGAAATAACCTTTACAAGTGTTCACAAGGAAGAAAAAAAGATTGTGTACAATTAGAGATCAAAGAGTTTTCTTTGGATTCATTAAAACACTATGATACCTATAAAAATATTGCAGGTTTCTCTGATTATAATGAATTTGTTTTTACCAACAAAAGTGTAGGTTTTAACCTCCTATCATATCCTACCTATAGAAACCATTTTTAACTTGATCATTATTTATTTTAGATGTACATGGGCACTCATGAAGTTAATTATGAACTTGATCCCATTAGATTTACATATAAATTTTTGTCTCAAAAGGTAAAAGTAGGCCAAGAAATCGATATCAAGCGTGGTTTCAAAGAGGTTGGAGTAGAAGAAGCTCAAGTTGTAAAACTCAAACAAAGAATGGTGAATGCTACCAAGATAAAGTTAAATATCCAATCATCTTCCTCGTCATCATCTACATCATCAACAGAACAATATGATGAAAAGACTAGAATTTCAGAACTTAAATCGTTAAATGTAAAACAATTAAAAGTGATTAACAAAGAATGGACTTTTCGTTCAAAGGCTTTGAAAGGAGAAATAATTGATACTATCATCAAATATGAAAAAGAAGCAATCGCAGAAAAAATGGCATTAGCAAGAGCGGAAAAGATTAATCAAGAGAAAAGAGATAATTTAATTTATTTCCAACAACAACATGAAGAAAAGAAAGATAACAAAAGAAAAAACACAGAAGAACAATCAACAAACAATAATATTATAATACAAGAAGAAGAAGAAGAAGAAGAAGAAGAAAGAGTATTCAAAAAAAGAAAAACTCACAATAATGCCATTGTTGATGATGATGAAGAAGAAAAAGAAGAAGAAGCAGCAGAAGCAAATAGTATTAAACAAGCTATAGAAGAAAAAAGAAGAAAGTTTAATGCTATGTTTGTCGATCAAGAAGAGGCAATCCAAACAAGACATCATCCCAAAAAAGATAACGAACAAGATGTAATCATGGGAGATATTGGTGGTGATGATGATGATGATGATATGGAGGACATACCATGCACCGAATTTAAAGATGTTTGCGGCACAACCCCTATTCTTGAATCCATCCAAGAAGAAACTGAAGAACGTAAAAAACTAAAATTGGAGAAAAAGATTTTATCTATTGTTAAGACCTTTGAACAACAAATTCGTGAAGGAAAGAACAACATCACAATCGACAAACCTGCTTCGAAACCACAAGAACAAGGACAATGGAATCTCAAAATATTCTCAATGGACGCTCTCTTTTCTATCGAAAATTTCAAAAATACCATTGACAAGATCATCCAACTTTTGGCCAACTACTTCAAGGGGTATTCACTTGACCAAGGCTTTAATATCTCTCTCGTCCCTATTCTCTAAGCCTCCCAAATTGTTTTATTTTTAATACCAATCGTCAACTAAAAATTTTAATCAATGTCAACCCTTTAAAGTTTTAAATTTGTAGTATGATAACTCGGCCACTCCCTCCTCTTCATCTCCTCCTGGCCTACATCTCTTTATCCTCCTCTGCCTCCTCTTCCACAACCAATGAAAAGAGAAAGAGTTACTCATACACACACACAGTTGACAGATGACATGTTGTAGATATTTAATGGGATTCTCAAAGTTGGGGAACAAATCAAGTATAGTTTGAGTGTTGGGGGGAATTGATCGATTATGAAGCAATGCTTGGAGTGCGGGTTTGTTTCGGTAGGTATATTCATAAGTTTCCAAACAATGCCATTTGTTTACCGCGCGAGGGCAAAGTTGATTGGTCGTCAATTTCTTCTTTCATAAAGATTGTATGTGTTTTCTTTCTTGATGATGGGTTTATTATTTTAAATCTATAACAAGTCTGTATATATTGGTATTAAAATTAAACAAAAAAGTTCATCCACCACCACCACCGCCACTGCCACCGCCACTACCAGAGAGGTCGCCAAGTTTCAATCAATCTCGTATAAATTTTCATAATTTATATCAAGTTTGACCGCTCTTGTGGCCCACCAAAACATCCACCATTACAAAAGTCAACATATGGTTTCAAAATGATTTGAATGTGTATTGAATATATTTTTGTTATTTAATACCTATTTCAATTATCGAGCCAATGCCAAATTTGAAATGATAGGTATGTCAATTACTACAAGTTAAATATTTTATAGTTAATAGGATATACTCACCAATTCATTCTTTAAAGATAGTTTGTGGTTGTAATATTAGTTCAACTATATTTATCTAAAGGTTACAGTGAACCTTTTCAAACCTATTTATATATGGAACTCCAAATGACCAGCCAATTATTATACGTTGATTTCAATGATCTATAGTGGTCCAATATATATACATATTTTTTGATAGTAGCGCGCTGTACAGGTATGGAATCTAATTTTATTTTTATTTCTTCCAACTTTACACATTTTTAACTTTTTTTGCCAATTATAGATATGATATCGATATAGTAAATATTCACCTCACCTACTACTAGTAGGTGTATTGTAACATTGCTCACAAGACTATAGATGCCAAAATTCATCCAGTTGTATTTAAAGAGATAGGTTCTATGATTACTTTGAACTTCAAGGTTGAACATTACGAGTCAAATGAATATAGATCCTATCAGAGATCTGATCATTTGATTTCAACATATAATGATTTAATCTTTATTCAAGGATCCTTTGACAAAGAACCAAAATCTTTTATAAATATATAATATAAATTAAAGTAAGACTATACACTACTATGAAATATTATACATCACTAACCATTATTCTATTGTTTAAAGACAATAGAAATAAACCTCTTTTTTATAATTATAGATTACACTTGTGGTTATATTATTATTATTATTTAAAAAGACACTACAACTCCTTTTGGTTGGTGGGAGGATGTTCTAGTGTCTGCCAAATGGTCACGCTTCGGTGTGGGAAACTTATGAATTCTACCCTCTATCCCTCTTCCCCTCCCCCCCCCCCCTCTATATATATACAATTCTCCCCTATTTTAAATCATTTCAGAATTGGGAGCTGCAAGTACATTGTTCATTTGACTCAAAAGGACTACTCTACGGCATAGCCAACGGAGTTCAACTTGTCATTTGGTTCACAATGGGCATTTGCTTGCAGCTCCAGGCTTGGGTCTGGATACTAATATTTTATTTATTATCTATATATTGTTGGTGTTTTTTTTTAGAATGAGAAACATTGTGAGATTGAGACAAGAGTAATGGTAGCTCTATTGATTCTACTCATATTTCTTTTCCTCTTTTTATTTATCCCTTACAGCTTTATAGTTCAATATTTAATCAAACAATACATCCATATATGGTACCTATCCATAAATGATAAAGTTTAAGTATCATGTAGACTTCAACATAGTAGTAGTATATACTACAACCACCACTCAATTACTAATACATATTTTTAACATAGGTCATCCTTACTATTTTTCTATAGAACCGATTGATCTTCTTCTTAATCAACCGCTGATCTATTAAAGTTATGTATATATTCATAACATAAATTAATTTCAAAACTAACAATTCCAATCTATCAGATATCTGTTTAATGAGACTAGTCAACAAATCGGTTCATACTATAGCTGATAGTCTTGTATTATAGCAACAAAGGTGGTTGTTTGGTCATCAACTCTACCCACCTGAATTAGAATACAAAGTTAAGTAAATTCATCACAATACAACTATCAAACCCTCAACTAATCATATTCATGCCATATTATACTTTAAATATAGAATCAATTGATTAGAGACGAGTTGGTCCATTTTTAAAAACTGTAAAGATATGTATCTTGTAAAATTACTGTCATAAATACTGTTTACTAATTATTATTTATTATCTTTTAGAATGGATGGTTTTGATAGACCGAATGCGAAATTGTCCATGACCACTAGCCTTGATGGGTTTTAAAAGAGCTAATTACAATAATACTAGTATGTACCAAATAAATAACCATGATATCGATATAGATTAAGCTACCATTACTCTTGAGCATTCACAATTGTTTTGAGATTGACCATTCCAAATATACTAACCATCTTGTCTAGCGTTGCTGGATGTGGCATGCATTGAACACTGCCGACACCAGTGCATATAATGTTGAAGATTCAAGGCGCCTACACCTCTTGCGTTGGCGCTTGTCTTTTTATTTGATTAATCGTGATCCGATCCATGTAGCACGTAGTTTTATATGGTTGCATGTTTACTATATGAGATAGGCTTTGAAGAATAGCATTTTTTTTATTTGAATAATCTTTGAAACGACGATCCAATATCACCAATAGATACAACTTTTTGTGCTCTTTCTGTTTATATCATTTGTTTTTCCAAACAATGCTTTCTAGACCTCATCTTAGCCCATGGCTAATGGCGACTTTACGGAAAGTACTTTTTAGAAGGGTGAACCTCTCGCAAATTTTTTTGTCAACCATTTGATAGATAATGAAAAGATCTATCGATTGGTAAAAGAATAATTAAAAATAAAGAAGACCATAGAGAGAAATAAGTTTTACAAATAAATAGATTCTGAGGCGGTACTCCCAACCAAAAATTTTCAAAACCCCCAAAGAAAATAAATGCTCAAATGAACCAAAAATTTTAAAATATAGAGTGAGGTGGGTTATTGTTTAGTTTATTTAGTTGTGTGTAGTATTAGTTATATTTATCAATTATGAGTAATAATAATAATAATCACAATCCATTTCTATTACATAAAAGAATATGCGAAAATAATAGAGATGAAGTAGTAGAACTATTAAAGATTCCCTTTTATCGAGAGAATATTGATTTAAGAGATGCTCATGGTTATCCTCCTTCACATTATGCTGCTCATGTAAATATACAGATTTGAACATATCATCTGTTACTAGATAGATACTAATACCTCAATTACTTATTCTCTCAGTTTGGTTATGTCGAATTATTAGCAATACTAATTGAAAATGGAGCAGACCCAACAAGAAAGAGTACAATGGGATGGTCACTTGTTCAAGAGGGAATAGGTAGAAGAGACAGAGAAGTTATTTCATACCTATTACAACATACTAAAAAGAAGATACACGATGAATTTAAAAAGAGAAAACCACAATTGTTAAAAGCTCTCTCTGAAATACCTGATTTTGAAATGGGTACGACATATATATATTTAAAAAAGATGTACATTAAAAACATTTATATTAACTTTCATTTTATTTCTTTAGAAATTCATTGGGAATTTAAAAGTTGGGTACCATTGGTTAGTAGATTTTGTCCATTTGATACCTATAAAATATATAAAAAAGGATCATCTTTTCGTGTAAATACAACGATTGTAGGAGTAGAAGGTATTACTTTTAAAAGAGGTCAATTATCTTTTATGTTTATTGGTGATAAAAGTATGATAAAAAAAAAGAGAGAAAGAGAGCAAACAACAATTATTGGCAATTAATAATTTACCTTTTTTATTTTACTTTAGAGAGATTGGTAACAGTTGATTTTGGCAAAAAAGAATACGCAGAAGTATCATTATTAAATGTAGATGAAAACAATGTAGATGATGAGGTGGATTTATTAATGAATAGTAAAAGTATTACAAGAGTAAAATTACTACAAGACGATATCAAATTTGAAGCCGCCAAGTCTTGGTTTGGTTATGAAAAGTTTGAAAAGATTGGAGGCGATCAAGAATGGAATTGTCAATTGTTTAATGTATCAAATGTAGATTTGAAAATAATCTCTAGAAAGAATTCAAAGGACAAGGGAGCAAACGATAAAAACAACAAAAAACATAAAGAGATTGAGGATGTAGGCGGAGGAGGAGTAGAAACTTCAACCACCAATACTGGCATCTCAGAGACTGGTCGTAGCGATTTAAATTCTCCAGAAAAAAACTCAGAGACAATGAAAGAATATATTGCTAGAAATCACGACCTAGCAATGAAACAAAAGGCTAGAGAAAGTACAATGCGTAACAAAGTCAATGCAAAAGATTATTTTGAAGTCCCAGACTCGTTTGACATTAACGTACCAATTACAGATAAATCTAAATTCAAATCATTGGGTTTATTATGTGATGGTGAATCTGTAAATGTTAAACATAAAAATTTTCAAGTAATTATCAAACATTAAGAAATTGATCACAACAATTCAACGTAATTTCGATCATTAACATATATCTTTTCTTTTATTATGTTATTTTTTAGGGATGTGTTTGGATTTCAAATGAATTCCCAAGAAAGATTACAGATTTATTACCAATTTTTGAAGTATTGACACCAACCAACAAATTATTTAGTCGATTGTCTGAATTTATTTCTCTAAAATTCCCAATGGAAGGGTTCCCAGTTAAATTGGACTTTCCTGTTGTACCAACTATTACAGCCACTGTAACATTTAACAACTATATCGAAAAAGAAATAGATCCACAACATTTTGAAATTCCGGTTGATTTTATCAAAAAGAAAGATTTATTTTCAAACAATAATTAGAAAGTAGAATAATCATTCAAATCTTTCCACATACGCCAAATCAACCTTTTTTGTATTTATTAATTTTGTTAAAATATTTGATAATAAAAATTAATTTTGTTTTATTATTATTTTAATTTATCATTTCTTTGTAAAAGAGTACCATTGATTTCGTTTGAAATTAATAAAGCGAGACCTTGGAATTCGAGCAACGAGTTTGTAGAGTATTCTTCAAAATTTAATCTTGTAATATTCAATAATAGGGATTTGATATCCATATTGCTACTGTTGGCTTGTGCAACTCTGTTTTGAATGACCATCATCTCATCATCTGGTGAAGCGGGTGCAGTTTTTGAGGAACCTGGTGGAGTTGAAGTTGATAAAGAGCTCTTTACAGGTGGTAGGTCTATATCAATTTCTGGAATAGTTGTATCATGATCATCATTTTTAATTGGTGATGTCGATGTAACAATTGATGGTCGACCACCATCCATCTTCTTTCTTTTCGTTACTTTTTGATCATTTTGTACATTTGGTTTTTGATTCTTTACAAAATTATCTAGACAAATATTAAATTGTTAGAGAATAAAATTATTATTATTATTATATATTTTTTTGTTTTTAACATACTAGTAATTGGAAGATTTGATTTATCTTGAAAAGTACAAGTATCTAAACTTTCCAAAGTAGCATTAATATCTGGTTTTTGTTGTTGATTGTGATTAAAATCACTAGATGAGAGTGGTATTTTAATGTCGACTTTTTCCTTTAATCCATTTAAAATAGAATGAAGAGTAGGAGTATAGTTCAATTTATAATTTGGACTTTGTCCAAATGTTTGGTTCCAAAAACTTAATGTTGAATCCATAATTGATTGTTGTCGAGATTGAAAGGCATTAACAAGTAGATCGTTGAATTTGGCCAGTAGGTCATCATTGTAACCTTCGTTTTTTACAATAGTTGTGGCAGAGTTTAGAATATCGCTCCACAGTTTGTTGAATGCATTCTTTACCAATGCGATCGATGATTTTGCCTCTTTACTAATATCTTTTGGAGGTGACTTCATGTACAGGTTGAATGATGGATTAAATATTTCCAACAAACCAAATAATTGTTTGGATTGTCCATTTACTTTTTTCTCAAAGATTTGATTTAAAATGGTAATGATTGATTTCACATTACCTCCAATACTTTGATTCAATTCATAATTTACCCAATTTAATTCAATTAAAATGGTATTTAAAAATCTAAATGTATCACTATATCTATAGAGAGAGAGAGAGAGAGAGAGAAAGGTATATTAGAAAATGATAAAAAGAGTCGAGTTATTATCTGTTTGTCTACACTGACTTTGTAAAAATATCATCAGATGATTTGTTTTTTGTTGTAGTTGTTGAATTAAAATCCATCAATTGTAAAACGGAAACTATTGTATCTAAACAAAAGTCTAGATTTAATTGCCATCTAGTAGTAGAGATATTTTCAATGATTTGATCCAAACAAACAATTAAAGATGTTTTGATTGAAAATACTCTATAAAATGATTCAAATAGATTCTTCCAACATTTCTTTAAATCTAGTATTGTTTCACTTGAAACTTTTAAAGAATCCAACATTTTAAATGGATATACCAATACCATTCTCAATGATGTTAAACTTTTTTGATTTATCATATGTGATGACATGAATTGACTCTTTTCAAAACTATTAAATATTATCGTTGCTAAAGAAAAAATAAAAAAGAATTAATAAATGAAACATATATATTATTTTTTTTTGTTTTACCATTTAAAATCCAAAATTGTAAAATGAAATCAATTGAATCAATTTGATTATTTTCTTCAATATTAATAATATCCAAAGCAGATACAATTTTTAAAAGTAAATCTGGGGAATTTGAACATGAAAACTGTATAGAATCATTTAAAATAGTTTTGATTGTAGTTTTTAATTCTTTATCCTTTACATTTATACCAATATCTAATAAATTTGACATTATAAAATCTAAATAAAGAAAGAATTAATATATTATTTAATTTAATTTTCTTTTTTTATATGTTTTGCATACCAAAAGGAGTAAGTTGTTTTTGTTTTGATTTTTGTGAATAATCAATGGAAAATAAAATAGATCTTGGAATTGATCTAATTAAAAATTGTAATACAGTTTGTAAATATTGAATATTTAAACTATTTTGACATTGTTCTTCCATGATGATTCTATTTGCAATTCCTTCAAATGTTTTTAAAATGTTTTGAATTAATTGTTGAATGTTGCCATTGTCTGAGGATTCCTTGTTACATATTTCTGATACTCGATCCAAAAGTCCTTGCCAAATCTCAATCAATACATCTTTGGTCTTTTCAAGTGATGTCAATAAAACCTTTTGTAAAAGTCCAAAATTTTGATTAATCCATTGACTTGAAATAAATGAATCTTGAAATGGTTCAATAGCAATTTGATATGATTTAAATATAGTTTCCCTCATTTTTGATTCTTTTAATAATATTATTGCTAAAAAATAAAAATAAATAAATCAATAAATAAATAAATATTCATAGTAGTCGATCATTTTGTATTTCTTTCATACATAATAAATTTAAACAATCCAAACCAAAATCATTATCTTCAATTAAAAATGTTATAATTGGTGAAGCTACAATATGAAATGTCTATAGAAATAATATTGGGTTAATAAATAGTATTATTATTATTATTACTTTTAAGTCTACTTACATTTGGTAAATCACCACCAAGAGCATTTAATAAATATAACCAAGTGATAAAACAATTTAATTTAACATTTGAATTTGTTTCTCTTTTTAAACCAAGGGATAGAGGAGTTGCAATTAAATTTAATCTTTTTGGAATGACCAATGATTTTTGTCTAAGAGCATCAATTAAATATCTCCAAGATATAAATGTTTGACATCTCAATTCTGGATTTTCCAAACATACAAACCATTTCTAAAAAAAAAAAAAATAGAGAAATAATAATTAGTATTAATATTTTTGTATAGTTTTATTGTTTTACATACTTCAGGTAATTTTAAAATTTTGTTTATAATACTATTACTAAATAATTCTTCACCAAGAAAATAGATAAAATAACCCCAGATCGTTGCACAATGAAGTTCATTTTTATCATTTAAACTTGTCAACTTGCTAATAAATACATCTATTTCTTGTATGAGTCCTTGTGTCAACTCTTTGTATACTTCTGGTGCAAACAACTCGTGTGGTGGAGCAGGCAATATCAATCGCTTGATCATCTCTTCTGACAGTTTGCCAACATCGCCAGAGGTGCTAGAGTTGGCCAACATCTTGTCAAAGAGCAATGGAATCCATTTATGAGCCATGGGAAGGAATATTTGTGGGTTTTGAGCATAGATGTGAGTGAATGACAATAAAACCTCTCGCTCAATGGTTGGTGATCCAAATGGTACAGTCTCTAGTATATTACAATAGGTCTTTGCCAACTTTGTACTAATTGGACCATTTGGAAATGCTTGTGACGTTAAACACCAAACTGCAAAATTACATATATTCTTATTCTTGGTAGTTGATATTGTATTCTCTAATAATATTGATATATCTTTTATTTGATTTTCTTAAAATAATATAGAAATTTAGTCTTCCTTCTTCTTATTTGGTATATTAATATATATATATATTTATATTATTTTTAGTTACCTAATAAATGACCAACAATAAATTTACTATAAATAAAGTAACCTAGACAACGTAAAGAACTGATTGCTAGATTATCACTACTTGGTTGATTGTTGTTTGATGATGATATGTAGTATTGGTAGATCTTGATATAAGTCGTAATGGTTTGAGGTGTCAACTTGAACGATTGTGATATGGTATCATTCTCTACGTGTTCCTTTAATAAACCAAGTAATTGGTTGAATGCATCTCTTGCTTCTTTACCTGTTGAACCTCCTCTAACACTAGTCTCTAGTGTCTTGAGGATTGTATCCATATTCTATCTCTTCTCTTTGTTACTTTAATCTAACAATGACAACCTTTGCAAGATGCAGTGCTAAAAGACAAATGCCATCCTCTTCCACGAAATTTTGGCGCCAAACAATACAAACTTTTCAAGATCATCACATTCATCAAATATTAAAACACACATATACCATACTACCTACCTAACATACATATATACATACATTTATATAATACATATATAATATCTTTATCTTCATTATGATATGATATCAGTCGGAGAAGATATTTTTTTGTCGGGGATTTGTTTGGTTGGTTGCCAACAACGATCATTGTATAATGACTACAAGAATACCCTCACCTCACATCACTTTTAAACAAATACAAAGAAGAAGAAGATGGTGATGAAAAGGATACCTATTCTTTTGTTAATATTAACAACTGTGGTGATGGTAGTTCATTGTCAATCGATATCAACTAGTAGTACGACTATAGTTTATCCAGATGATCAGAATCTATATTATACTGGACGTGTTGATAAACAAGACTCAAATGTCTACGTTTTTGATTGGTCATTTGTAACAATCAACTTTATTGTTACTGGTACTTTATCTATTAAAGCTTCCTTTTCTACTTCTGTAAGTTACAACACAATTGAATCAATTGATGCAATTTTTATTAACTCTTCCTCTTCTTCTTCTTTTGTTTTGGTTTAGAATACTGTTAATCCAAATTTATTCAATGTTGTTGTAAATGATCAACTTTTGGATATACCAATCACTATCAATTCAACAAATATCCAAGTGATCACATTACTCGATGATTTAGATCCACAATCCTCTTACAATGTTTCAATATCCAAGAGAACTGAAGCTGCTATGGGAATAGTAAGCTTTTATGGCCTAGAAGTCGATTCAACTGCTCAATTTACTCCTTTACAACCTTCTTCTAGAAAGATTGAATTTATTGGTGACAGGTAAGAATGAATGAAAGAAAGAAAGACTTACTTTAACTAATATCAGCTGATACTTTGTACTTTTTTTTTTTAGTATAACATGTGGATATGGTATATTGGGTCTTGGACCATGCAGTTTTACTCCAGAGACTGAGGATAGTTATGTAACGTATGAAGGTTTAATTTCTAGGGCATTGGGAGCAGAGTTGTATGTTGAGAGTTGGTCAGGTAAAGGGATGGTTAGAAATGTTGGTGACAAGAATACAACGTCTCAATATCCATTCCCATACTATTACAATTTCACAGTTGCAAATAATGCATCTACTATTTGGACGTACGAGGGATTCCAACCAGATGCAGTGGTAATCAATCTTGGAACCAATGATTATTCTACGCAACCAGCACCACCCCAATCCATCTTTACCCAAGGATACCTTGCATTTATCCAACTTTTAAAATCAAAATACACAAACAATCCAACATTCTTTTTGGCATGTGGACCTATGATAAGTAATCCTTGTTGTCAATATGTAAAGGATATAGCCACACAAACAGGATCTACTTTTATCAATCTCCAAGGTCTCCTTACACCAGAAAGTACTGGTTGTGCAGGACACCCAAATCAACTTGGTCACACCTATATGGCTAAAGTTGCATTCCCAATCATTCAACAAACAATGGATTGGTAATAATAATAAATAATTAATACTAAATAATAATAATAAATAATAATAATAAACAAAAATTATGATTAATTTATTTGAATCCAAATAAACTGTAAGAGAGAGAGAGATACTAATCTCGGTGACCATGATGTTCTCTTTCCACCAAGAACAACTTTTTAATTAAACCAAATAATACTAATAATATACTTGTACCTGTTATGTGAAAGAAATACAATATTGTAAACTCAATAATAGTAATATATAATTATAATAGGTCATTCTATTTCATACCAAAGAAAACATATTTAAATAGCGCAAAGAATCCACCAGCTCGTAACAACATGATTGTGTTGGGTGATGGCATTGAATCGAGTGGATGTTTGGCATTGGTATAGGTACCCATATAATCGAGAATGATAAAGTAGTGTGTGATATTCTCTGCATAGTCTCCCAACATGTAGAGTAGTGGCACTGTATTGAGTATACTCGATGGCATTGTAAACGAAATGAGTGCACATGGTAGATAGGTCAATAAAAATGGAATAACAATGTCATAACCTTTTGTATAGAGACCTAGGTATGTCTCCTTTTCAGCATAGGTCATCTGAGACATTACCTTGTGTCCCTTTTCAGGACCATACCCAAAGAAACTATCCAATGCTGGGTTGCCACCCATACGTCCCACTACATTCTCTTGCAGCAATATAAATGTATATATTGTAACCAAGAATAAAACTATAAAGATAACTTTACTTTTAGTTAATCTTTCAATAGTTGATGATACTCTTTGTAAAGTCGACATTGCAATGAATATATATAAGTAAGACTAACTATCTTTGTTGATGATGATGATGATGATTATTATTATAATAATTATTCAAAATATAATAAAAAGGTGAAGAAGTAGAGGAAGAAGAAGAAGGTTTCTTTTTTATTTAAAATATGAATAATTTAGTAGTAGTAGTGGGGGTTCATTCATAACCATCACTAAAGTCATATTTTATGTGTTAAATTAAAATTATAGGTTGATGTACACAAACTTTTTTTTATTAATTAATTTTATGATTCAGCCTGACTGGTTGAACACCACTTCTAGACATCATCATTATATGTACATTTTTCTATTACTATTATCTTTAATTATTCTATCTCTTTTTTTTTTATTTGTAAAGATCTGTTACTTGTAAGTATTGAATCTCTTTTTTTTGTGTACCATCAACTATAAAATACATCTAGATGGCTGATTACAAAAAATACAAGACTTTGTATCATGGAAAATAGAAATCCTAAATCGGCCCCTTCAGAATCCAAAGATTGCCATCTTTTTTGAAATAGTTTCTTGCAAATAAAGTATCCCTTTGGTAATGTAATTAAAGGTAATAGAACCAACAATGAATCCAATTCAATGGCAATCACTGACAAAATAATACATGCCCTAAAAAAATGATAAGAAAAAATATTTTTAGTCTATATAGTTGAGGGAATAATTAAAATATATCGAGCTACGTACATGCAATAAAAAGCAACAAGTAAAAAGAAACTATTCTCTGGCCCTATAAAATTGGCCAATGTTTTGACACCAGACTCTCCATCGGTAATTGAATCACGACTATTATTAATGTGGACAACTGCAGTAAATAAAAGAGCTGATGGAATTGAATAGTAGCAAACAATCCAATCAAAGTAGAGTGCCTGAGTAACAAATGAAAGAGGAGTCATTCCCAAAATATATGAAAAAAAAATAGTAGCATCTCCAAGAGCATTATACTTGAACTTGAATGGATCAGAAGTATAATAAATGGCAAAAAAATAATATCCAATGGCCAATGGGAAAATATAGTTTCTTAAAAAGACTGTATCACGAATACCAAAAATGATACCAATCATTGAAAAGGCTGATACTAGAATGAAAAAACCAATGAGACCAATAATGTGATTGATTGTCAGTCCATAGTCAAACATGGTTCTGTCATGAGAATGGTCATGCTTGTCCACTTGTTTTATATAATCATTGAAACTGTTGAATAGATTACAAATGATTTGTAAAGTCATGGAGAAACCAGTGACAAAAAGGAATACCCATACATTGAAATGACCAGTTTCACGGTAAGCTATGGCTGGTCCTAAAATTGATGAAGACAATGATATACTTAGTGACCATGGTCGTACAGCCTTAAAGTATGAATACAATGTTGGTGATTTTGTGACTGTAACTTTAGACATAGTATCATCATTGGGGTTTGAATCCTTTGACTTTAATCTTGGGCGTGCAGTCAAAGACATTTGGGGAATAGTAGAAAATTAAAATATAAAGTTATATTGGTTTCATTCATTGATTCATTCTTTTTATAGAAGGATTCTAATTCAAGAATAAAAAAAGATTAAAAATATAAATATATATTTTCGTGGCGACAATATAAACATGGTGACTTCATAACTACAAAAGTTAATTTTATATTTAATAGATACAAAAATGTTCCCCAAAATGTTTGGGAAAAAGATTTAATTACATTTGTATAACAATGTGGGTGAAAAGAAAACTGGCTGGTCAACCTACTAGAGTAGATCTTGAAAGTTAACTGGGTCATCTTATGTTTAAATTTACAAATAAACAATGTGGATGATCTGACAACAACACTAACAATTAAAAAAGAGGTTGAATGTTTAAAACATTTATATTACCTATAAAAATAAATATATTAACTATTGACTTTATTATTATTATTGTCAGAGTAAAAGTGGTGAAGTGATTGAAATAGGTCTATTAAAACTTTTGGATCGTCCCTTTCTTCAATACAATAAAAATCTTTTGGGTCATATTCTTTTAATTGAATTATACTATTATTATTATTATTATTATTATTATTATTATTATTACCATTACTATTATTACTATTATTATTATTATTTTGATTATTTTGATTATGTATATGACTATTACCATTTGGTTGTTGTTGTTGTTGATTTTTAATTTTATAATAAGAACAATGTCTACCATTTAATTTATCACCATAGGGAGGAAACAATAGTTCCAAAACTGCACTATGGTTACTATGTGAAGTAAATTGATGAACAATACTCTTTGATGAAAGTGATGATTTTGTATTTTCCGATGTCATGATGGTTTGACCCGTATATTTTGCGTTTAATATATTATTACTTAGGCCATTTAAACTATTATTATTATTACTACCATTATTACTATGACCATTACTACTACTAGTACTATTATTATTTTTTCTATTTCCATTATTTATCCCATTTTGTTGTTGAGATTGATGTTGTTGTTGTAAAGGTTGAGGTTGTTGATTTTGATGTTGTTGTTGTAGAGGTTGAGGTTGTAATTGTGGTTCATCCAATAATTCATAATTATCTGAAGCAATTGATCCATAGAGAATCTTACTCAAGACTCTCATATCTGGATGACTGTGAAGGGGAATGGTCGACCCCTGAGGCATTGCAAATATGGCCAATGTAAACCTACGATCTTCAAATAGTGGAAAGTAAGAGACAGGATAGCCAAACGAAGACCGATACAACTGTTGGTTGATTCGAGACATCAACGATTTACTAAGAGGCAAGTCTCTCTCCCCTAGACATAAATCTTCAATGTTGACCTCGCTAAATGCATTCTTTAGTTCTTGAATGAGTTCTGGTGATGGATTGAATGGAACAGCAGCAGCAGTAGCAGCTGAAGTAGTGCCAGTAGCAGTGTTGTTGAGTGATATATCTAATGTTGAAATAGGTGATATGGCAGCAGCCGACGGCGTCCAGACTGGCAGTTTCTTTGCCACATTAATTAAAGTCTTGAGTTTGGTTGATATCATTTTCTCATCTATTAGATCGTAGGCAACCGATGTCCCTTCTTCTTCTCCTCCTTCTTCCTCTTCCTCGATAACCTGTTGCTGAAGTTGTTGTTCGACTGCTGCTGTTGATGTTGTTGTTAATTGATCTTGTTCCTCTTCAACGACTACGACAACTTGGTCTCCTTCTTCTCTTTGCGAAACGACGACCTCCCTGTTGTTGTTGTTGTTGCTGTTGTTATTATTATTTTTAATGAGCGTTATTCTTGAAACTTTGAAAAAAGAGTAGGCAGTATTCGATCTCTATATCGATACTCTACTCGACAACACACAGTGGTTGGGTTGGTTGTAGGTTGCTGTTATTACTAAAAAAAAAAGGAGAAGAAGAAGATAAAGATGATGCGATTCTCTCTCACTCTCTCTTTCTCCTATCTCTCTCTCTCTAATCTTTTGCTTTCTTTTCTTTTCTCTTTCCTTCCTTTCTTTTAATATAATAATAACCCTTTTACTTGTTACTAGGCATTAGAAGATGAAAGTTGTATGTATACTACTACTATCAGGTGATTCTACTAAGGGGGATATAGAATGAATGCACGAACGAATCTTGAATGAATTGTTTGTGTTGTTGTTTGTATAATAATAATAACAATACTATTATATTATTATTATTATTATTATTACTCTATGTTATGCTATCTGATATATATCTCCTTAAGTTGTTGGTTGTTTGTTGTTTGTTGTTTTAATAATGCAAACTCAATTTGGTGAAAGAATGAAGAGTCAAGTCTCACTGAAAACAAAAAAAAAAAAAGATTTATTTTGTATTCGCACGCAGATTTAACAGATCAAGGGAGATGATGATTGTTATTTTGAATCATAGAAAAGAAGAACAAACAAAGATAGATATCAAGATAGGTCTCGTTCCCTCATCCACAAGTTCAAAAAAAAGAAAAGAGAAAAAAAAAAATAGAAAAAGAACAAGAAGATATATCGCATGTTATCTACCTATCGATTATTGATTGAATACTGGTATGAACGTGCACATACCCATCCTAAGAAAGAAGAAAAGTGCTTCTCTATGTGGAAGAGGTGGTGATGGGCAGTTTGATCATTGTGACGGATGATGATGATGATGAGGGGTAACGAACTGCACGCGTACGTACGTATTATTACACGCCGACATTTAATATTTATTTGAAAGAAAGAGAGAGAAAGAGATAGATTTATTTTATTTAATCATTCAATTTCGTTTCGTTCAAATTAAATCACATCATCATTAAGATTGTTGACGATGTTGGAATTGTTGGGCAAAAGCGTACCAACTAAAGTCATCTTCAATGGGCTGTTGCTCGGTGGTTTCGATGTTGTTGACGACATTTTTTGGTGTTGGGGAGGGCTTTGCTTTGTTGTCTTCGACGTCTTCTGCACTGAATAGTGTACCGATATCTTGGAAGGTGTAATGACAAACCGAAGTGAAATAGGGTGCGTTTTTGGCAATAAGTTTGGTTGGATCAGACGAGGAAGAGTGTATCAGGTTCAGTAGGTTGTTGAATGATCGAGTGCCAAATGGCATGTTTAGCATCTTGCAAATATGTGCAACCAAGGCACTACCACGACACGACAATTGGGAGATACCTTGGAATACATCGTCCACGGCCGATGGCTTCAAATACATCAACAAACCTTCCATAATCCAAAACGTTGGTTTATTGGCATCAAACCCAAGTTCCAAAAGATTATCGATCCACTTTTTAGTGCTCAAGTCAATACCAATGTACTTGATAGTCGATTGACTAATTGGTTCGATTACTTTGGATGCATGATCTACTTCATTCTTTTTCAATTCAATTACTTTGGGCATATCCAATTCATAGACTGTTACAGATGCTGCTAGCTTCATTCTATGTGCACGCATATCCATACCAGCTCCAAAAACCACAATTTGTTCAATGTCTCCGTTGATGACATGGTTGGTGATGAGAGAATCGATTAGTTTGGTTCGTCTCAATACAGTTTGAATGCCAAATGCAGCAACCACCTCTTTCCAAAGTATCAGTTGTTCTTGAAACGATAGATGTGATAGGTCTTGTTTAACAGGTGGGACAGTTTGGTGCTCGACAAAGTTTTCCAATGTTCTTGTTGAACCTTCACAATCCAAGATGATAAACGAGTATGGGTCATAGTAGGCCAAGTTTTCATGAACCGTTGAATCATCCAACTTGGGAGTATAGTATCTCTTGACAATTTCATCTTGTATCATGGAATGGTCATTTCTTTCCAATGCTTTACGAATAAACTTGTTGGTTGCTACAGCTCTTGCTGCACACACCAATATTGCTGTTGCAGACACCTCTATTTTAGGATTTTCCATTTTTGGTATATCTTCTTCTTTTGATTCCATTCTAGAATTCTTCTTTAATTATTTAATTTTAGTTTGTATATAATAAATATTAAAATGAATTTGTATATGTAGTTGTGTTTTTACTGGCAAACTTGAAGAAACCTCAATAGAGAGAGAGAGAGAAGAGATAAATATATTTTTAATATAAACGCAAATAAAAACGTTTCCAGTATTCGATACACTATTGATGAGATAACCGAGTTTCAAACCCCAAAATATAATAGAGATAATAATAGTATTGGGATACCTGTGTATATACATTTGTTTATTATTTGTTTTACCCCCATCTCTCCTCAAAAAAGGTAATATTTATTTGTTTTCTCCACGTGTGATTTTCATTAAAATCGATATTTCTGTTGTATGCGATAAAGATATTGTCGTTAAACAATGTGTACCAATTAAATAGGAATCTTTTATGACCCGAAATAGAAGGAAGAGAACAGTGATAAATATTTATCATCATGATATCTTCTTTATCTTTATCTTTTTCTTTTGTATTTTTGTATTTGTACAGACTTTTTAAATATTTATTTATGTTCTTTTGATTAATTTTCAATTGGATTAACAACCCATTTTTGATCAAGAGATTGATTATTAAAATTACCTTCACCATCTGCCCAGAAAGCAATTCCTTGACAGAATTCGATTTGTTTGGATCCGTCAATAACAGTATCGATACCAGCGATATTATGATCCAAATGCATGGCGATAAGGTTACCATTACCCTTGCCAAAGAATTTGGTGTATGGTTCTTGATTGTCACCTGTAATGGAAGAAGCAGAGTCGAATGGGATCCATCCAACACCGTCGGCATAAAACTCTCCAACAACGTGAACGTTTTGACCTTCTTTTGGTGTATTTGCCCAACGACCAAACAACAATCTGCTTGGAATACCGTGCATTCTTAAAATGGCACCAAAGAGAATAGAGAAACCACCGCAATCAGTGAAGCGGTAGCCAATAGTCTCGGACGCCTTTCTAGTGCCTTTGACATCTTTAGCAAAGACATAGGAAAAGTGTATCTTGATAAAGAGGAATACACGGTACGCATAGCATAGTGCAGACTCGACTGAACCGTCCGACATGAGCATTGGATGTAATTGGTTAGAGTGTACCCATTGACCAAACCCTGTGTCGTTAAAGTTCATGAGTGTGGTTGGTTTGAGATGGTATGCACGTTGCTCGCCAGACAGTGGGATAGTCATGGGTACAAAGTCACCTGGTCCAGCTTGCTTGAGTGCAATGCTGTACAATTGAGCTTCAATCTCGTATTTGATTTGGACTTGGTGTGGAGCACCGCGTGCCAAACATCTAAACATGTAGTGACCGTTGGTACCCTGGATCATGTCTCCGCCACTCAGCAACTTGGTGCCAGTCACATCATACACCTTGAGTGATGCACCTGTAATGTTTTGTGTTTGCAAAGGTGAGGGTGGAGCGGGTGCGACGATACTCCATCTCGTGACTTTTAGGTTGGGTAGCTTCAAGTCGACTGTCAAGCAAGCTTTCACCTTTTTAGTTGGTTTTTGTTCAATTACATAGTTACCAGTACCAAACATTTCACGGTGTTTGGTAAAGTTGGCTAATAATTGTAATGCCGAGCTACCTGGTGCCGACAATACAGCTGATTGACCAAGTTGATTAGATGCACCTTTTGCAGGTGCAGCAGCAGCAGCAGGTTTCTTTACTGCAGCAGCAGCGGCAGAAACAGTCGATTCACTCTTTACAGCTTCGAATTGACCCCATTCACCACGACCTGCATTACCAATCATATCACCCTTTGGATCGACTCCGACGTGTGGACCGACATTCCCCGTACGATTCTTTTGGTTTCTAAACGAGTCAGACATCATGCATAACCGACCACTTGGCAACCAAACAAACTCTAATCTAGCAGTACTCTCTGTATCGGCATCACAAATCGATTCCAACTGTGCACTAATACCCAAATATTGATCATCTCCATTCTTTAAAGTATAAATCGATCCACCAACATTGGTAACTATCCATTCTGATGTTTTATTTGCACTACCATTACTTGCCACTAATAATAGGAAGTAAAATAAAAGTATTTATTAATAAGATTGATCTAAATATATGTATCATGATGATGACGATAATTACATTGACCATTAATAACTGCTAGATATCCCTTTTTTGATTTTAATCTAATACTTAATCCATTGCTAATTTCAAATGGTGCTGACATGTCTTTACTACTTCTTTATCTTATTATCTCTCCTCTCTCTCTCTTTCTCTCTCTCTATCTCTTTAACAAATACAAAAAAGTATGAATGAATCATCATCAGAGTACTCTAGCCGTATTTATTGATTCTTGTGAATTAAAGCAAAGATATTAATTCTTTTCTACTTTTTTGTTTTTTTAACATTCCCTAAATTGGGGGACAACCACGGATTCCGAGCTTTGGTTCTCGCCCGATGATTCAATTAGATAATCTAATTATCCCTGGGGAACAGACGATTGATCAAACTACTATAGTTGTCTTTTTCCTACTCTTACTTTTTTATTGAAAGAGTAAATTGACTAGTTTCAAGAGGTGTGTCTTGAGATACTTGGCCAATAAACATTTGATCGATATCTTGATAGTTGTAGGTTTTGATTGGTTGAAATGATTTAGCATATTTCATAATTAAACTTTCAGGATCTGTTGTACTATATTTAAATTCATTCTTGTTGATTATATTATTATTATTATTATTTTGATTATTATCTTGATTATGATTATTTATATCTGTATTATCTAATCTTTCTTCAACTTTTGGATGAAGTGTATGTAATAATAATTGTGAATGAGGGGATGATAAATCAGAAATGGTTGAGAGTAGTTGATGAACTTGTTGTTCTGTAAAATACATGACTAGTCCTTCGGCTAGCCAAAAGGTTGGAATGGATCGATTGAATCCATTGGACTCTAGGAGTGATGTCCAATGTTTAGAATCTAATAGATCAGCTGCCAACAAGGTGTTGGTCGATTGACTAATAGGTTTTGTAATATAGTGAGATGTTACCTGATCGAGTATAAGTCGTTTGTAAGCAATGACTTGTTCCAAATCTATTTCAAATACCTTTGTATCACTATCAAATGGTAATCTTAAATGTCTCGTATCTAATCCACTGGCCAATACCACAACTTGTTTAATCTTTTCATTATTATTATTTTGATTATTTTGATTATTTTGATTATTATTGACTACATTATCCAACACCAATTGATCAATTAGTTTAGTTCTCTTTGCACCACGTAGCATTGCATTGGTACTCATCAAATGTCTCCATGAATGTAGAGGGTTATAGTTTGTTACTGTTTCTCTTATTGACTCGTTTAGGCTTTTGTTGTTGTCTTCTTCTTCTTCTTCAGCAGTTGCAACTGTTAACAGATTATTGATCAACAATTCAACCGATTGTGGATGAGTTGAGAAAAAGTATGCGTATGGATCATACACTGTTACATTCTTGTCGAGGAATGAATCATCTAAATCATCTACATAGAAATGATCAACAAAGTAGTTTGACAATACTTGTTGTTGTTGTTGTTGTTTGTGATGATCAGCATCATCATCATCATCATCAACGCGTGATTGACGAATAAACTTGTTTGTTGATATAGCTCTTGTAGCAGCTACATATATTGAAGTTCGTGCTACTCCTTTGATTACACTATTAATAATAGTGTTGTTGTTGTTGTTGTTGTAATCACCCATTAATATTAAAATATATATGTAAACAAATTAATTTAAGAAGCTTAAGAAGGCTATTCTTTTTTCACGATAAACAATTTTTGAAGTTTGTCTCGCCTCCAATCCCGGAGTGATTCGGCGAGAGGTTTCATTTATTCTTCCTTACAAAGAACGAAAGAAAGAAAATGATGTATTCAAATTCTAAACAATCATATCCCTTTTTATTTGTAGTACTATTGGCAGCATGCTGTTTGGTGAGTACTACCTACCTAGTTATAGACCTATATCGCTTTGAAAAGATAAAGTAGTATTAATACAAACCACTTTGATCTATCTATCTATCTATCTATCTATCTATCTATCTATCTATCTATCTATCTATTCAGAGTATCTATAATGTGGTGTCGGCAGCACTACCACCAAGCAATCTAGTCATGTATACGATTGACCAACAAACATTCACTACCTTTAATATGACGGTTATCAACATTACAAGTGGAGTCGTCAACTCTACCACGCTACCTATTTTGCAGAATAATATGTGGTTTGGTAGATTCTTGGGTGTTGATAATAATGATAATGTATGTATTTATAATATAAATATATCTATCGAGAAAAGTCTTGCTAATATTTAATATTGACTGGTTGGTTGGCTGGTTGGGTTGGTCCTCTCAATCTTTAGTTAATTATTCTAATTGGGAATAATAAAGGTGCGAATGCGTTGGCAACCATTTCACAATCAGGAAAGTTATTAAATGATCCAGTGTATGTTGGTCCCATTTCGGACAATTCTCCATGGTTCTTCCCTACCTCTTACCAATATGACAGTAATCGTAATGCTGTCTATCTTGTAGTAGGCAGTGGTCCTCAATTATATGTCTATGACTTTGCCAATTCATCCACTGATGATATCCAACTCACAATACCCGATCAACAATCAACGACCTCCCCCACTGGTTGTTTTGATGGTGTAGATAACTACTACTTTATGCAAGCCGACAACACGTTTAGCCAATTTTTATTGTCTAGTTACTCTTTTTCCGATCAAAAGCAACACGATACGTTGAATGTCACTGGTATTGCACCCAACTCTTTAACCTATCTTTTCAGCGCCAACAAACAAGTCTATGTACTAGGTTACAATTTATCGCAGACTACCGACATGTCATTGTACCTTTTAGATACCGATCAAGCCACTGCCACTCTATCATACAGTGACCAAAATACCGGACTTGCTATCGGTCTTTCAAGCTATGTTTGGTTTAGTGACAACTACTTTGTCTATCTCTCCATGTCATCATCATCATCGACCAACCAATACTATTTGACCACCGTCGACCTCAACACCAACCAAGTTATTTCACATTCCCAAGTTCAAGGGACATTTAATACCAATCCCAATATTTCAGGTGTCTATTAATAAATAATAAAAACAAACTACCAATGTAGCTACTATTAATATGATTATATTAATATTGGGATATTTGTTACTTATTTCCCAAACAAATATCAATCAAAAAGTATCAAGAAACTGGAATCGGACCATAGTCGTCGTCGTTATTCAAGATATTTCATTTTAGAGAAAGAGAGAATTGTAAGTATCTGACATCATGAAACGAAACGCATATAAATGATCATAAGAGGTGATCAAGTTTATAATATTCTTCTTCTTATCAAATAACGAAAATGTATTCAAAACTCTTATTTGTACTAGTAGCATGTTTGGTGAGTACTCCTTAAGAAATAAATATCGACTTTGAAAGATAAAGTATTAACTACTTGTCAATTTAGGGTATCTACAATGTATGGGCAGCACCACCAAGCAATCTATACATGTACACGGTTAACCAAGCACGCACTACATTTAATATGACTGTTGTAGACCTTAAAACGGGAGCCATCGGCTCGACCATCTTACCTATTTTCCAAACCGGTACATCATTTAAAAGATTTTTGGGTGTTGATGACAATGATAATGTATGTATATATCAATCACAATCGATTCTAGCTTTGCGCACCTACTAATCCTCCTATTCTATCTATCTATAGTTTCTCATTTTAGTACAAAGTGTTGGTCTTGGAGTGGCTACGATTACACCATCTGGAAAATTAGTTACCGCACCAGTGTATGCCGGTCCCATTTTTGCTAGTTATACATGGTACTATACCTCTTACCAGTATGACAGTAATCGTGATTCTGTATACCTTGTAGTCAGTGGACCTCGGTTGTTTGAATATGAGTTTAACAGTTCATCCACCGATACTGTCCCACTCGCAATGCCAAACCAGATCAACACTCCCAATGGTTGTTTCGATGGTGTAGATAATTACTACTTTATGCAAATCGCTGATAACACGTATAGCCAATTCTTCTTTTCACACTATTCACTCAAAGACCAAGAACAACACGGTGTCACCAACGTGACTGGTATTGCACCCGACTCTTACACCTACCTTTTCTGTGCCAACAAAGAGGTTTATGTCGTAGCCTACAATATCGACAAGACTTCCGACATGTCATTGTACCTTTTAGATACCGATGACTCTTCGGCCACTCTGTCATACAACCAAGACACTGGTCTCCCAAACTCACTCAACCTTTGGTTCATTGACAACTACTTTGTATTCCTCTCTGAAAATGACAACAACGAATACTATTTGACCACCGTCGACCTCAACACCAACACAGTAGTCTCAAAGACCCAAGTACAAGGAACCTTTGCTCTTCGTCCAGATGCCTCTGGTGTTTATTAATTTTTTTAAAAGTAATAAACAAACAAATAAAGACACATGATATCATCACATGATACTGAAAGCGGAAGATCTTGATTATGATCTTGTCTTGGAGGAATCAGATTTTTGCAAACCCCCAAAGGCCATGGGATCAAGATATTTTTTGGTATTTGACGTCATCCTTCCACACGGGTTGTTTAGAATCATCAGATCATGATACTATCGTCTATTTAAAGGAAGTTTGAAATTGAACAAACAAAATTATTTTTATTATTATCTGTACACAAACAAAAATGAATATTAAATTATCTTTCTTTATCATTTTACAATTACTTGTAAGTACAATGACACATTTATTTTAAAAAGATAAAGTTATATATTGATCTCCATACTATTATCCATCTCATCTAATTATTCAGAGTATCTACTATGTAACAGCTGCACCACCAAGTAATATCTACTCTTATACGGTTGACTCTACCGACACCAACTTTGTAATGACAGTTGTCAACATTGCAACGGGAGCAGTCAATTCTACGACACTACCTATTTTCCAAAATGGTATGTGGTTTGATAGATTCTTGGGTGTTGATGATAATGATAATGTATGTATTTATAAATATAAATATTTATAATCTTTTTTTTTTTTTGTAAATGTATTTATTATTGTTTTTTTTTCTCTCCTTCTTGTATTAGTTTCTCATTTTAGTAGAGAATAAAAAAGGTGCACTTGGAGTGGCCACGATTTCACCAGCTGGAGAATTATTAAATGCTCCAGTGTATGCAGGTCCAATTGCGACAAGTTATCAATGGTACTATACCTCTTACCAGTATGATAGCGGTCGTGACGCAGTCTACTTTGTAGTGAGTGGCCTTCGAATCTTTGTCTATGATTTAGCCAATTCATCCACCGATATTGTTCAACTATCTGGCATGCAAGATAGATTCCATAACACCCCAAATGGTTGTTTTGATGGTGTAGACAGCTATTATGTCTTGGATATCACGGATGACAACTTTAGCAAATTCCAACTATCTCGTTACTCATTTGCCGATCAAAAACAACACGATACGTTAAACGTGACTGGTATTGCACCCAACTCTGATACCTATCTTTTCTGCGCCAACAAACAAGTCTATGCTCTTGCCTATAATATCATCGACACTACCTCTTTGTCATTGTACCTTTTAGATACCGATCAAGCCTCTGCCACTCTATCATACCAAGTCCAAGATACCGGTATCCAAAACTCACTCAACCTCTGGTTCAGTGACAATTACTTTGTCTTGCCAATCCTTTCGTCTGACAACCATTACTATTTGACCACCGTAGACCTTAACACCAACCAAGTTGTTTCAAAGACCGAGGTCAAAGGTCCATTTACCTCCAATCCAGATATATCAGGAGTCTATTAAATAATAAATAATAGTAAATTTCACAATCACAATTGAAGAAGACAAAACTTTATCTTTAGAATATTATTAATCTTGGAAACCATGGTCTTTAATTGGGAATATAGATATTTTTGACTCTGCAAACAAGGACAAGATATTTTTTTGTCGACCATACTTTTCCCAAGATTCGGCCGAATCTCTCGAAAATTAAATTGTCATATGGATACAAACTAATCACCAAATTCTCAACAGGGAATTGATTCAATTCATTTATCTTTTAAAAGAAAACAAAAATGAATTTTAAACTTTGTTTCTTTTTATGTGTTCTAGCATCTTGCTGTGTAGGTTATATTCTAATTATAAAATATTCATTTATTTATTAATCTATCTCTACAGAATATATTTAGATATGTTTCAGCAACACCACCAAGCAATCTATACATCTTTTCATTTGCAGCTCATTATTCCATAGATATGACTGTGATTAATATTGGATCAGGTGAGGTGAACTCAACCAACATCCCAATCAAGAATAAACACCCACAAATTCTAGGCTTGGAGAGATTTTTAGGTGTTGATGCTAATGATAATGTATGTATCAATCAATATAAATTTTATGGATTGCTTAATTTAACTCTTTTTTTTTTAAAAGTTTCTAATTTTGGTTGATAGTCCAACCAATGCTTATGGAATCATTACCATTTCACAATCTGGACAAATATTAGACGGACCTGAATTTGTTGGTCCTATTAGAGAAAGTATCGAATGGATTGATTCCTCTTTGCAATATGACACTGCTCGTGACTCTGTCTATTATGTTGTAACTGGTCCTAAATTGTTTGTCTATGATTTTGCCAAAAAATCTACCAATGTTATCAAAATTGATATGGAAGACCGATTTTCTATTCCATCAGGATGCTTTGATGGAGTAGGCACCTACTATATCTTTGAAAACTCTGATTATTACCACAAAGTATTTGAAATGACTTCGTATTCGGTTTCAGACAACCAACAATCCGAGAATGCCAATGTCACTGGTATTTCACCAAGTTCAAATACCTACCTTTTCTGTGCCAACAAACAAGTTTATACGCTCGCCTTTGATGTGAACCAACGTTCAAATATGACATTGTATCTTTTAGATACCGATAATTTCACTGCCTCTATATCATACAATCAAGACATTGGTCTCCCAAACTCACTCAACCTTTGGTTTATTGACAATTACTTTGTATTCCTCTCTGACAATGACAACAACCAATTCCATTTGACCACCGTCGACCTCAACACTAACCAAGTTGTTTCACAGTCCCAAGTTCAAGGTACATTTAATCTCTATTCACAAGCTTCTGGTGTCTTTTAAATAAATAAATAAATAAAAGAATATTAAAAGTATAATTTAATTTAAATATTTTGAATTTATTATTTTAATAATTTTGGTATGAATTTGTGAGAGAATAATGTAATTGGTATGGTTGTACGATGATTATAGATAGATATGTTAAATAGCATTAAGTTTAATAAAAAGATCACCAGCCAATTTAGATGTTTTAGATTGTAATCCAACAAAGTTTAGAGTATTTTTAAGATAGGTCAATTCAGAGTGTGAGGTTGATGGTATCGATTTCTTTGCCATATTGTACAAATTATAAATAAGTGATGCTGATTTTGGATTTAATTCAGCAATATTAATGGTAGTATTAATCATATCAATACAAACATATACCATCTTTTTCTGTGTCTAAAAATAGAGGAGAGAAAGAGAGAGAGAGAGGTTAATATTAATATTTTTTTCTTTTAATTTTTTTTTTTTTTTTTTTAATGGTACATACTGAAGGATCAGGTTCATCCTTTAAGATATTAAGTTCAGATAATAAATCTTTAATTAAAAGACCATAGAATTCATTCAATTCACTTGTAAAATCTGGGTCACCAGCAAAGAGTTGATCGTTTGATTCGACATTGTTGATATGATAGGGAAGGTTTTGTTGAGCCCAAGTGGAACAAAGACTCATGATTTGAATGATGATACGTGATTTGCCAGTAGTAGCACGTTCCCATGGATAGTCTTTGACAACCTTGTAGAGTGCCTTGATGAGATAGAATGGACCATTCTCTGGATGTCCAGGAGCGACAACCAAGAGAGAAATGAAATTGGATAGGTATTGAACGGTCCAATCTTCAGTTGATTTGACTTGACCAAACTCCAAAATAGGTGGAATCTCTTGTACAAAGGTAATGGCAGCCTTGAGAAGCGAATCGGCTTGTGACATGGCTTGGTTTTGGAATGCAATACCCGAAGATTGCAAATAGAGTGTCATCTTTAAAAAGACATCGTCAATTGATGGAATGGTAATGAAACAATAGGCAATGCATGCACGGATAAATGATGATGTCTTGGATGTATGCTTTCCACGTACCAATGCCAATGTCTTTTGACAAATAGTATTAACTCCCAATACCAATCTAAACTTGACTTGATCAAAATTAATAAATGTTTGACGACAATCAACATAAAAGTTTAATTGTTTTTCAACATCTTTACCAAAGTCAAACTAAAAATATAAATAAAATAATATTAATAACTATAATCACATTGTTTTGTATATATATTTTGTTTTGTTTTGTTTGTTTTTTTTTACCTTATTAATACAATTAATAATAACTTGAGTAACTTGTCTAATTTCATCTTGGAAACTAAGAGTATTCAAAGAATCATGTAAAGCTTTACCATAGGTTAAAAAGGTATTAATTAAAACTGGATCTGAAATGGAACTTGTACTTGTTGATAAAGCTTCCAATGTACTTCTACTAATTTGTTTTTGTGATTCACCATTAAATAGATCCAATAATGGTAAAAAGTTGGCCAAACCAACCAAGACATTAAAATCTTGAATATGAGATAAAATCTTTAAAACAATCGATTGTAAATGTGATTGAATTCCTTCATATGCTTTATCTGGTAAAACATGTCTTAAAATATCCTTTAAGAATATATCTGCTTCCTTATTCTAAAAAATAAATAAATAAATAAATATAAAGATTTAATTAATATATTTCTTTTTTCTTTTTTTTTCTTTTTTTTTCTATTTTTCTTACACCACAATGAGTTAAAACATATTCAATAAAAACTTCGGCAACACTAATGTAGTCCTTTAGATTATCAAAATAAGAAACAACTTTCCAGACATCATTTAGAATGGCTAGGACTTGATTCTTTGGTGGATGACCAAGTACCAAATTAACACCAAAAGTAGAGTACAATTGGTATTTGGGATAGGAGATACTGTCAGCCTCCTTGATGAAATTGCTAAACATGGTCGAATTGGTACAGATGTATTCGGGTGGGAAGGAAGAGATGATGTGGTTGAGAAGGAGTGAGTTTTTACTCTCACGGAAGATGGCAAGCACCTCTTCGAGAATGTTTGGCTTGCCATTGTGTGCAAGACACTGTAGCAACCACTCGACCGATGGACTATACAATCCCAAATAGTCAGTCAATGAAATACGTTGAGTTGCAAGGATATCTTCGAGATATTTGCTCTTTTCATACGACTTTTGGGCATGGACAAAGTCTTTGAGACCGGTAATAATGTAGGTCTTGAATTCGGGTGCAAGGTCATGTGCTCTACGTGCTAAATAAGCACGGACATAGTTGGCAACCAAAGGATTACCAATACCTCTAATCATGGCATTGATACGTGAAATGACACTGGTTGGTTCAGTGTTGACATCGCCTTGGATGAATTCATAGCACTTTAGAATAGAAATCTCGGCATAGAGACGTGGCAACAACTCTCTAATCGATGCAATCTTGTAGAACCAATTACGACAAGTCTCTTTGGCTTGATCACTATATAATTTCTCGTTTCTCTTGGCTGGGTCTTTACCTTGACCGGCCTTTAAACGTGATTGAATACGATCATACACCAAATCTCCAAATTTATCCAACAATTCAGTTACAATTACAAATTTACTTGGATAAAATTTAATAATTGATATATCTGATAATAATTTTGCAGTCTAAACACAAAAAGAGAGAGAGAGAGATAGAGAAATAAGTAAAAGGTTTATAAATATTATAAATATATTGTTATGTTTCATACTTGAATTGAAATTTTTAAAGCTCTAACTCTATCTTCAGCTTTCCAAGCTTTAAGTAATTCAGAATACAATGTTTCCATATCCATAATGATATCACCTTGAGTTAATTGAGTTGGTTGTTTCTCTTCTTTATCTTGTTCCAATTCCTCAAGAATCTTATTTAATCTATTAATTGATATTTTAACTAAATATAGAAATAGATATATTAATTAGCAATTATTATATATAATATATATGTTTCATTATAACTTTATATTACCTTTACCACTCATTCCAGTATTTGACATGAAAGATAATTGAATTGGATTTAAATCATCGTTTGTGTATTGTTGAAGGATAGCAGGTTTCATTGTAGACCATGGAATATAACTTTCATCGTGATACATTTGTTTGGATGATGTGTGAGCAGTGTTGATACCACCCATCGATGCAATACTAGCTGCCAATGGATCTACAGTAGTGTTTCTTTGTTGTTGTTCAGTAGCTGCCTTTGACAATGGATCAACTGTATTATTTGATGTCAACAATGGATCATCATCGCTTCCCAAATAGGTTGATGTTGTAACTACAGGTGTTGTCTCTTTCTCCTTCTGTTGTGGTTTGACAGTCCAATTAGCACCAAGAGGATGCTTTTCAGTCTCTCTACCATTTAACTTTTTACTATCTTTATCATAATTTCTAGTTGCTAGAATACTAATATCACAAACCAAAATGTAATTAGCATATGACCAATCAATCAATCGCACTATACTCTAACTATACATACTATACAGGTTGTTGTTGTTGTTGTACTGGTGGTGAAGAAGTAGAAGATGCAGTAGCCTGCTTTTCTTCTGCCATCTCTTTCTATCTATCTAATCTAACTAATAATTAATATAAGTATCGCAGCTTCATTAAGCAGACAGACACCTCCTACTTTTGCAATAGAATTTTTTTTGTTGCAAAAATCTTCAAAAAGCCTGTGTGGGTGATCATTCCACAAACATTTCTTCTTTCTTAGTCGCGTTTGTTGTTATTACCCATTAGCTAGATTTGGTCAATGTGATAGAGTGTATGAATAGAAGAAAGAAAGGAGGATGATTAAATTCTTTTTACTATCAAACAAACAAGGACAAATTAGATTATCACATTACTATGACTTTATACCATTCGATCAACGTCCTGCAATGGAAGCAGAGATTGTTAGAAAGTGTATCTCTAGAAATGCAAGTCAATGCTCTTTTGTAGAATACAAAGACTATAAATTGGTGTATCGCAGATACTCATCACTCTACTTTATAGTTGGTGTTGATAGTTCAGAGAATGAATTATCAATCTTGGAACTAATACATAATTATGTAGAGATACTAGATGCTTCATTTGAACAAGTTTGTGAATTAGATGTAAGAAAAGGAATAGTATTCAAAGGAATAGTATTCAAATATGTAGTATTCAAATATGTAGTATTCAACTACTAATATCTCTTAATTCTCTCAATCTCTTTTTAGATTATGTTTCATCTAGAAAAAGCACATTTTATATTGGATGAAATGATTTCAAATGGTCATATATTGGAGATATCTAGATTTCATATATTAGAGTCTGTCAATTTAATGTCGATTGCTGATCAGAAATCTTGATCAACTCAAATCTCCCAATCGAAGTATTCCCAATCCGGAATAAGTATTCGTGGACAAAAAGTGGTTACTCTAAAGATACATGGTGTAGCAGTTGGAATCATTATTCCTCGCCTGGAATTGATGATAACAATTCTCTCTTAATGATACACTCCCTCTCTCTTTTGGACCACAAGAAAGAATTATTTGGATTGCACAATCATTAAACAGTTTAATAATGTCAGAGTAATAAATAAAGTAATGTAAATGATTTTCTTTAATTTTATATATGTACACTTTTTTATTTTGATGGGGAAAAGAGTTGATGAATGGCCTAAATCAGTAACAGTAAAGGTCATTGTTATTATTAATATTATTATTATTAACAAAATACTGATTTTATATTGTGAATGGTTGATAAGTTGAATGGATTATTATAAATGGTCTTTTGGCGATAGTCGTGGATATGATTATTTTGATTATTATTATTATTTCCATCTAAACTAGTATCACTACTATTATCATTAATATTGATTAAATTTTGAGTTGAAGGTGAACTTGAAATAGGTAGTGATGATTCGGTTTGTTGTTGTTTTAGTTTAAACATCTTTTTGGTATCTTCTCTTGTTGTTTCATTTAGTAATACCAATTTACTATGGTAATAAAGTAATGAGAGAACAGGAAGTGCCATCAAGAAACTAAAAATAATTAAAAAGATGTGAACTGGATGACTTGATACAACTTTCCAAAACTTTGATTCTGCTGTATGTTCATTTGAGGAATTATTATTATTATCGGTTGAATTATTATTATTATTATTGTCGGTTGAGTTATTATTATTATTATTATTATTGTTGTCTGGATATATAGTTGTATTTTTATAAATAATGTCTAGATGGTATATAGTTGTTATGAGTACAATTAAAATATTGAGTGCGACGCTGGCGATAAAGTAGAAAAAGTATTTGTAGTTGTTTTGACCGACACAATTGCCAACCCACGGACAATGGTGATCAAACCTGCTAATGCATGCATTACAAAGGCTGCAATGTGAAGATCTTGGTGGTCGATAAATTAAACATGTTTCTAAATTAAATTAATAATAATAATGAATTAGTAAATACTTCTACCTCTATCTATCTTAACTCTATCTATACATACCGCAATATTTGACAGTATAGGGAAAATCACCAATGAGAATGGTTTTGTCTGGAAAAGGTATGGATTGAGTTGATGTAGAAGGTGTGATTGATCCTGGTGGTGAGGCATGGGTAGCGTGATTGACATTACTAACGTCGACATCTTCCTCTACTCCATCTTCATAATCATCTTCTTCAACTGAAGCAGAAGATGATGATTGATCAGTACTGGTACCTTGTGGAACAACAACATTGATTGATAGAACTGCTGTTCCATGGTTATTATGAGAATCAGATGATTTCTTTTCATCATCATCATCATGTTCTTGGTGATCTATGATACTGTTTTTAGCTAGTCTTCCAGGGTCTGTAAATGATGTAGCCAACAAAGTTATGTAGTTGGATACTGAAAATAAGATAAATAAAATACATGCAATAATGCCTCCTGTTGACAAGTGAATAAAGTATGGCAACCTAAATTACATAAATATTAATATAAATGTATTAATAAATCAAACCACTACTACTATTACTCTAATACATACACATAAATAGAATATACAACAATCGGTATTCCGATAAAGCTGAATGTGATCAAAAGGAATAACTTGTGATACTTTCTTTGTAAAGGGGTGACTGCTGCCATCGCTCTCTAGACTCTAGTGTACACTTCCTCGCCAGGACTGTATGTTTTGCTTCTCTCCTTGCTTGCTTGCTTGCTTCTCTGCTGTACTCTATATATGCAATGACTAAATATTTGCAAACTAAATAACTTTTACAATGCAACAAACAAAATATAGGTTGGTATGAATGAATAAATAAATAAATAAATAATATATGCTATGCTATGCTATGCTATGCTGTGCTATGTGTATGTGTATGTGTCGAGAGTATAGGAGTGAATGAAAACTAAACTAAAGCTCTCTCTCTTTCTTTATTCATTATGTTGTGTGTGTGGGTGTGTATCTCGTCAGAAAACCTAAACTAAATATCCACCAACCAATGATGCTGCAGGTTGCAGGATGGATGCATTCCAATTCGCCAAAATCACAGGGTAGCTTTGCATCAACAATACGACGCAAGGGATGTTCCACAACAGTGACCCATCACATGTTCAAATCGAAAAATGCCGATGTACCAAAGTGTCAAGATTTTTTTCTGTTTATGGCCATTGACCATCAATCTCCCCTTGCATCTCTTTTTAACAAATGACTCTATCGATTTTAAATGTTATCGATTTCAAGCTCATCTTATGATTGCATCTTCATTGAATTGACTTTCTATAAAGATATTTCTATTTTTTTAGAACGAATACACCATACTAAATCCGATATCAAGGCTATAGGTCCTTCGAAGTACAATTGTACTTAGCAAAAGAGAGTGTAGAGTTATTATCAGACAAATTAGTAATAATGTAAGAAAAGAAAGTATACGGATGATGGATTTAAAAAATAGATTAAACCCATGTGTGTCATGTCTTTATAATACTACTTCATTTTCAAAAAATAAGTTAGAGTGACATTCACTTCTAAATATTTAGATTACATCTATACTTACTGAAGTAAAGATTGGATGGATAATTCAAATACAACAACTATCACTAGTAGTACTACTACTACTACTACTACTTCAAACAATGCACTACAAATCAATCTACAAAAGTTAATATTAGATTTCAATATAGAGAATAGTATATTCTTTTATGGTTCTGCAATGAGTAAAGAGACTGTACAATTGTCATTGGTGTCTTGGCGGTGGTTTAATTGGGTGTCAGAGTATTACAGTAATTCATTGACAAGTGCATTGGGATTCAATGTAAAGTTTGCAGGAGGTGATTCTGTACAACAAAAACTAGCTTCAAAGTACTGTCTCTTTAAACATATCAATCATTGGCGATTTGATATTACTGGTCTTAATTTATTAAAGGTCACCGATGATATGGTCCATCAAGCTTTAAAACAACAATTAGAACAAAAACAACAACATCAACAACAATTACAACAATCATCACCAAATAATAGTAACAATGGTAATAATAATAATAATAATATTGGTAAAGAAAAAAAAAAGGGATATTCTTTATTTAATTTTTTTAAATCTAAAAAGGATCAACCTACAACTACAACTATTACTTCTACTACTTCTACTACTTCTGCTACACCATTGGTTGAACCATTATTTGAAGATAATGTATTTCAAAAGTTTCATTCACCAAGACATTATAGTAAAGAAAGAATAGAATTTTATAAAGAGAGTTTTCCAAATGGAATCTCTACTCTTATCTATTACTATTCAGAGAGGGATTCTAAAATGGAGTTACAACAGGCAGAGGAATTGGCAGCTATCATTGAATTGTCTAAACAATCGTTGACTGCTTTTACCATTATACAAGATTCTATACCACACTATATTTCGACGACGATAGCTGCTTGTAGTAGTATAACGTCGTTGTCAGTTTCAGTACCTGCTCAACAATTACAAATGCCTTCGTTTATATCATTGGTAGAGACGGTTGCAAAGGGACCGATACATACAATGTCCTTTTACAGTAAACTTAGCTTTTCATTTGACCCGTCCAACCAACAACACCTGACCGACAATATAGTGACGGCATTGGAAAATACAGACTTGAAAAACAAATTAACAACTCTTTGGTTGGAATGTTTACCAACTCAACCTCTGGCAACTCTATTGGTACAATATGTCAATGTTAAAAAGTTTGTTCTTTTGCCACCAGCACTTGGTTCCTTGACCTATACACCATTGCTCGAACCATTCTTTCAAAACAGAAATCTTAAAGGTATAACAATACCATTGGATTTGGATCGATCTGTAGAGATTGATGAGAATATTGCTGCAAATCTTGCCAAACTATTCCCCAACCGTATTCAACTAAAGGATAATATCGAGTATTTTAGTATTAGTCTGTTTAAACCATGTGCTGGTATATTGGATGCAGTATTTTATCCCTTACCTACATCTATCCACAGTCTAAGACTATTATCGTATTCAAGACTACTTGTACCACTTGAAATAGATTGTCTGGCACCTCTAAAATCTAGTCTCCAAGAAGTATCTATTATGGTTCACATGGACAGTCTATTTAGATTCCTAGACTATTTTGATGGATGTACCCAGTTGACAAAAGTGTCGTTGGGGATCACCGAGTATTCTGGTAGAGAGACCAAATCACCCAGTAACTTTATATCGTATCTCATCGACACTTATGGTGCAAGATTGTCCCAATTAATCAACAAGACAACCATTACATCATTCAATCTATCTATACCGGTACCTTCTCCACATTATAGTGCCGATCCGTATGTACCAGGTTCGCCATTTGACAGCGCCAAGTCTGAAAAGCTGTTGTTTCTCTATCTCCAACAATCCATCTTTGCTCCCAAGACTCTCTCCTATTTCAAAGTATCCATCTCTGGCAACTTTCCAAAGATCTCGATTCCCTCTGACATCCAACAAAACATTCAATCCAATTATCATATCATAAGAGCTCCAAATTGTAGAGGTTATACCTATGATAAAACAAATGCTCTATCATTCTATTTGAAATGACCAACCAAATGTAAATAACCTACCTGTAAATAAAATTGTATATTGTATATTCATTCTTTTGTTCATTCGTTCGTTCATTCATTCCATTCTACCTCTATTAATTAAATTATGTATGTATCTTTTGATTCTCCATCATCAAAAGTATCTTTTCTTGAAAGAGTATAGAAAAAAGTGATGTGGCGAATTCTCGCAACTGCAAGCAAACCGGTGCAAAACTGTGTGAATTAATAAAAAAAAACAAAATTAAATAATATTATAGGGTCAACCTCTCTCTTTTTAAAAGGTCTCTATCAAACCTTTTTATTTAGAATTATACATATATATTTATTTAAAACAACAAGTAATATAAGAAAATGAACCCATATTATCCACCAGGCTATATTCCTCCACCAGGTGGTATGTATTGTATTTATTAACAACAGAGATCTAGCAAAAGAGAGAGAAAGAGATATAGAGAGTAGTCCTCTCTATGTAAAGACTTTAAGACTAATCGTTTTTTATTGATACTTGTACCACTTGTAATACATTATAGTCTATCCACAACAATATGGATATCCAACAGTTTCAGTAGTACAACCAACAGTTGGATATACTATTCCACCACCAGTAGTCTATCCACAATATAATGCATATCCACCAGCACCTGTTTACGGTATGGGTATGGGTGTACCACAACCAATGTACCCAACTGGTATGGGTCAATCACTTGCAACACCTACTACATATCCTGGTCAACCGGTCCCTATCGGTGTCAACTATAGTAATAGAAGTGCCTCTGGTCATAAATTCAAAGGCAATTTTAGAATCAAGAATGAAAGAAGACACTTTTTCCAATGAGAAGAAGATCATAATGATCAACATAACAAAACATAACATAATCCAATGAAAGAGAGTGTTTTATTGTATCTCTCTTTCTTATTTTTTAATATATAACTCAACTTCAACAAACACATACATAACAACAAACAAAAAAACACCATTGTAAAATAGTAATCATTTTTTTAAAAACTAACTAACAACAAACTAATAACTAAAGTTATAACTGGGGACAACAAACTACAAACACAACAACAAACACACAATTAATAACAATAAACTAAACTAAAATGTACATCTGTCGATCGATCGTAATCAAAAAGACAACAACACTCATTAGGCAGTTAACAATGCTTTGCTCTCTCTCTGTCTACTCAAATTAATTGCCTTTTCTTTTAAATTTATTAATTAGGAAATTTTTGATCAGATTTTTTTTTAAGGGTTGATCAAACAAACACATCACCAAACCCTTTACTTTATTACATCATCATTTAACAGCAGCAGTGTCTCCATCATCATCATCATTCCATCATTCCTTGTTTCTCGATATTGTGTTTTATCAAGCTTGCTTGCATGGTTTGGGGTGTGTTCAATTGAAGATATAAATAAACCGTTAATAATAATTGTTGTCACACTCCTTAAAATATCAATAGACCTTCATATATATGTAAATAATAACAATAGTAACAATCAAGTAGAGAATATAATCATTTATCAGTTAGTCAATATATAATCAATCAATCAATCAATCAATCAATCAATCTATCTATCTATCTATTTATACATTCTATATTTATATAAATATATATAATAGTAAATCATGAGTGAATCATCTCAATCACTTTCACTATTCCTCTTTGTTGGATTCTTTTCATTGTTTGTAATGATGAATGGATTGGATCAACTATCCAATAATACCAAAGAACAAGAAGAAGAGGAAGAAAAGGGACAACATCAACAACGATATAGAAATCATAATAATAATAATAATAATAGTCCAAGAAATAACAATCAACAACGTCAACAACAACAATCATCACCAAATAGAATCAATAATAATAATAATAATAACGCAAATCAATCAACATCATGGTTAACATACTTTAAATCATTCTTTAGTAGATCCCAACATAACTCTTCACAAACTAATAATAGTAATAATAATTCACAATCATCAACTTCACCTATAAATAATAATAATAATTTATTTGAATCAATGTTTGAATCAAGATATTCAAATTCATCATCTTCATCTTTATCATCGTCATCGTCGATATCAACATCTTCATCATCACTGTCGTCAGGTGAACTATTGCCATCGGGATCATATATGCAAAAGGTTGCAGAGTTGGAAGAGAGACTACAAAACGAAGCAAAGTGTAGAGACGTTGAACGTCAAGGTCGAATCATTGCCGAACAAAAACTATACAATGAAATGGCATCGAATCAATTGCTGTCAGAGAAATACGCAGAGATGGAAGAGATACAAAACAAGTTTTGGCAACTCTACTCTACCTCTAACAAAAAGGAAAAGATTCTTCAAAACAATTTGGAAACCATCAAAGAACAATTATTGGCATTGATGGATAATTTCCAAAACTCTATTTCAAATCAACTTTTGACAGCAGAAGAAGAGTCATCAAATAGTTTGTTTGTAGATGAATCACAACAAGAGAATCAACAACAACAACAACAACAACAACAACCAACCATGTCAGTCAATATCGATCGTTCATTTGTCGAACAATTTGAATCATTGGTACAACTAATGAAAAGCACTGAAAACAATGAATCCATTGTATTATTACAACAAAAACAAGAGGATTTATTTTTGTACATAACTAAACATAATTATATTAATCAATACAATCATAATAATAATAATAATAATAATAATAATAATAATAATAATAATAATAATAATAATAATAATAATAATAACGGTAATAATGATATGAATAATAATATAAATTCAAGTGATACGGAATCAAGTTCAAGTAGATCAAGTAGATCAAGTAGATCAAGTTTTAGTAACAATACCAATAATAGTAATAACCAAATGACAAGAATTTCATTTACAGATATTGTAGAATAAAAACAAACAAACAAAGATATATTTATATTTTATTTATTACCCAACCTATCATATCTCTCTCTTTCTCAAGTAAAGTATTGGGTTGTAATGATTCGATGAATTATAACCAGTTCTACATTGATTTGTGTCAGGTGAGAGGTAGGGAGGCGCCCTTTACAATTTTCACAAAAAAACTACTTTATAAAACCGCAGCTTGAGCTCATTCTCTTTGAAACATGTTTAATTAATTAAAACTATTTATATCTCTAGGAATAATATTAATAATAGTAATAATACTATTCTCTCTATAAAGATAGAGAAAGAAGAAAAGAGTATAGGAGATGGCATTTAGTGTAGAGGAAAAGACAATGTTGGTGGTTGGATGTATCACTGCATTCAGTGTATTGGTATTTGTAACACATTTGGTGGTTGTCTATCTATTGTCTAGAAAGAATGTTAGAGAACAGGCTGCAACACTAGAGATGAATGGCGACATTGCAATGAAGAAAAATAAGGACGATGTGGTGGAAGACGGAACGATAGACCAATTTATCGAATTTAAGAGTAGGAGAAATTATCGTTTGGTAATGGTATTGTCGACGATTGCATTGGTGTTGTTTGAATTGACGTTGCTGGTGTTGGTCATGTTTGATCATTTACATATAGCTGCTGGTATAGTTATTATGGTGGTGGTTGGTTGGGTACACTGGATCTCGATTATGACACCGTCGAGCAATAAGATGGTGGCACAGACTATTCATTTACGTGCGCCTGTAAGATGGTGGAAACGTACTTTGTTCAAGTTGCGCGAGAGAAAGAGATTCTATGTACCTGGATTCCTGGCTATTCTCGTGGCGGTGTTGGTACTATGTATTGTGTTGGAAGGTACGTGTGAGGAGAACCTGTCGCTGCGTGACACACGTATCATGCGACGATACATGACACCAACCTGTGAAAAGGGTGCGCCGTGTCTAGTGTACCTGACACTCAACGAGCAACCTCATAACAGCGTCATTGTCAACTACCATACGCCTGTCCTCCCATCCACCCCGTCAACCTGTCGCTATGACGAGGTGTCACGTGTCAACTCTACTACAATGTATGCAAATCAATCGACTGGTGATAGTTATAGTATGCCGTTAGAGGTCGAGCGTCATGTACATTGGGTGCATGTGACGGGACTGGAGCCCGACACGATATACTATTTTTCGTGTGGGTCGGATGACCATGGATGGAGCAGCGAGCGATCGTTCAAGACTGCTCCACTCGACCCAACCTCTTCATTTAGATTTGTGGTTGGAGGAGACGTTGATATCACCGACGAAGCAACCGGTATTGCGCGTGTGGCAGCTGCACAAGACCCGCTGTTTGCCATGATTGGCGGCGACCTTGCATACGACCGTGCACAGTATGCGTGCTACCGTGTGCTGGACAAATGGCTCGACAACTGGCAACGCATCATGATCACTCCATCTGGACAGTCCATTGCCATGGTCGCATCGATTGGCAACCACGAAGCGATCGGAGACTATGACGCATCGAAATCACGTGTTCCATTCTTTCTCCGATACTTTCCACAATTCCTCCAGTCCCAAGATCCAGGACCCGACAATGTCGACGATCGTCAACCATACAACGCTGTCACTATCGGTGGTACCAACGGTACCGTCATCTTTAACCTAGACAGTGGACACACCTCACATTCCATGTCAGGTCAAGCCGACTGGATGAAACAACGTCTCGATACTGACTTTATCAACTCACAACTCAGATTCTCAATCTACCACGTACCCATGTACCCAACCATTCGTACCTATGATAACCCCAAATCTTCAGATGTTAGATCGGCCTGGTTATCAATCTTTGATCAATACAGATTCAATATTGCATTTGAAAATCATGATCATGCTTATAAACGTACCCACCCTCTATACAATGATCAAGTTGTTACCAATTCTTCCATTTCAAATACTTCTACTGTATGTGTACACAACAAAAACAAATCAAAAACAACAAGACAGTTTTAAATCATTCTATAAATATTAATTTATTAACATTTATTTTTTTCTTTTTCTTTTTCTCTAAATTAAAAGACATACATGGGAGATGGAGCATGGGGAGTACATCTAAGATCTTTACCAAGTACCAGATGGTATCAACAAATTACTAAAAGTGTAAAGTAAGTAATAATAATAATAATATTTATTTCTAGAAAATAATTTAATATATATTTATATTGTTGTTGAAACTAAATATTAATATTAATATTAATATTATCAATTTTTAAGTTATATATTAAGAGTAGATATTGATCCAACAAACACTAGTAATCGTATTAGTTTTAGAGCACTTGATGAAAATTCAGAGATATTTGATCAAGGTATTCTTGCGTAAATGAATCTATCCAATCACTCTCTCTCCAACCCCTAACCTGGCTTTGTAATATTATATAAATTTAATCAAATCTAAATCTAAAATAATCTTTGGGCATTGTGAATTGTGTATCAATTAGTTGACAGACAAGTCAGTCTACTTTCTGATTATAATATATTCGTTGTTGCCCCTGGGAGATGATACATTGTAAATATCTTACTTTCGATGGGTTTCCCATATCCCAAAAAAAGATATTATTAAAATTATAGATATTTTTATTTGTTTCGTTTTACAATTAAAAGAAGAAGATCTTCAGTTGACGTCCGAACAAATGGTATTTATATCTCTCATTCTTTTAATCAAATAATTCAACAATGAAGTTATTCAAATCAACATTAATATTAATATTGTTAGTATCTGTATTGTCAGTATCTTTTGCAAAAAAGACCAATGCACCACCTACACCAACTACATGGGTAATTGTTGAAGCATTTAATGAAGGGGGATGCCCTGCATCATCGAGCATTGGTGGTTTGGTGATTGGATCAAATGTTGTTTGTTATAGACAACAAGTATTGTCATGCTCACCCACTGGCAACACTGTCACTATCTCTAATTTTGACACTGAAGATTGCTCTGGCAGTCCTTCCAACTCGACCACCTTTATAACTGATCAATGTGGTGCCACCGCCGTTTGGGGATTTACCAAGACCTACAGTTGCAGTTCGACCCTACCACCACAACCCGAGAGATCATTGATCATTTCAATCTTTGATGGATGTCAAACCGTACCACCACAACCTTCACAACTCACCCAATACCGTTGGATTCCAACCTACAAGTGTATGACATTGGAAAGATGTGGTATGCATTGTCCTGGTCTCGCTCCGTCCGGAGGGCCTACATCAAGTGCCAGCGGTAGTGCTTCTGGTAACTCGGGTAACCCTGCTGGTAGTACTGGTAGTACTAGTGCTAGTGCTAGCGCTGGTAGTGGGGGCTCAGGTTTAGGATGGAATAAACCTAGTCCAAGAGACAGCGGCAGCAGCAGTAGTAAAGATTCAACAAAAGGAGGCTCTTCATTCTTTTCAGAGCATTATACTACACCAGAACAAAAGATGGATCAATTTTGGGGTCTTGTAGATTCCATCATTGGTTTTGATAGTCCAGATCATAATGCTGATTTATTTGAACAACAACAACCATTTGAACAAGAACAATCATTTAGTGTCACTGGAAGTGGATTTTCTACTGGTAGTGGAGCACCCTTTGGTGGATATAATGTAGATGGTGCATTCTTTGGTTTGGTACTTTGTAATAGTACCAATTATATGGTAGGTAGCTATTTCAATGGGTTCCAAGAAACTGGATCCGGAGGATCTACACTTACCAGTGGAAAGTATTCATCGGGTGATCCATACTATACGTCAACTGGTGGTTCTCAAATGACTGCATTACCAGCCCCCGTCTATCCTACTAGTAGTACTGCCTCCTCACTTGCTACTAGTTCTAGTGCTACTAGTGGTAGTAATAGTGGTAGTAATAGTGGTGCCTCATCTTCAACCTCTGGTGATGCAGTTTCTTCATCCACTGCTCCTATCAATGGATGTGGAGTATTGTAAGTAGAGTACTAAAAACTAAATATTAAATTAAATTATAATTAATTAATTATTTCCATTTATTTCATATATATATTTATATTTACACACAGTCAAAATACAAAGAAATCAGCCAAGAATGATCAACAATGTATCCAAAATCAATTGTACTCGATTACTTGTGTTGCTCCCTATCATCAGTAAAGTAATTACACCAAATGAATTGATTACTTGTGCACAAGTAAAATAATGAAATAAATTTGAATATTCATACCATGCGTGCAGTTACAGTTGATCATGTATCTATTATACTACTATTTGATTGATTTCCCTCTTTTTTTTTTTTTTTTAATATTATCTAGCCTAGCTCCGTCTCTTTCTGTTTATTATAATTCCTTCCTGCTCTTAGAACTCCTGTACCCTCTGAAATTAAAGAATTGGCAGGTTCACTCGTCTTGTTCAAAAAAGTTGTAGTGTCGAATAAATTATGTCACCTCGCGACATGGATCGAAGCATGTCCATCACCACCGCACATCCCATCAACCAACCGATTAATGTCGCACAATGGTGTTTCGTTTGCAAAAAACACACCACCTGCTCGTTGGTTTGTGTGGTGAAAGCACCATTTTTTAAAAATTTTTGTCTTGATGGTGATGAGCTCATCTGTCGCCACCCATGATCATCAAATTAAAAAGGAAACTTTTTGAGTAATGTCTTGCCTAAGAATTAATTCTTCACCTTTATGCATCAGTACAACATCATCAATTGAAATGGTCTTTTTTTGTTGTTACCATTCTTCTTTTTTAGTTTTATTATTGTTGTTGTTTTAAGCTTTGACACCTCTTAGAACAAACAAACACTAATCTTAGTAACAGTCAGTGATCAACTACTTTGTTCTATCTTTCTAACAAATAAACACAAGTTTTAGTTTAGTTTATTATTATCATTATTATTATTTAATAGATTTCAATAGAGGTAGATTTCAATCAAAATCGATCGATTCCTTTGTTTTAAAGAATTAATTTTTAAAAAAAAGATAAAGATAATTATTTAATTTTAACCACAAAGTAAGTTTCACACCATCCATACACTACTTTCCTTTTTAAGAGGGTAACAATCAATTCCATCATCCATGTTGCGCAAACAAGCGAAAAACAAAAATCGCTTGATCAGATTTTTGTCAAGACAATTACACAATCCGTCTTTGCAGCAGCGACACACACCCCTTTGCCCTTCGTTTTCTGGGTTATTTGAATAACGACGCTACACCTTGCAATTGTGTTATATTCTTTTAATTTAACCTCTTAAACTAGCTAGCTAGCTAGAGCAAGGCAAACATAAATCATCATTACATATCTACCAACCAAAAGTTATTTAAAATTATATATGTAGGTGACTACACTCGTAGATAGTCGCGTCTTTTCATCAAAACTCGTGTCGTCGTCCTACATACACCCAAAACACAACAAAGTTTCCCTCCTTTTATACTTCAACTCTACTCTTTACAACACCAAACAGAATACAGTCAGTAAACAAAAAATATATATATATATATAGAATCAAGAAGAATAACAAACAAGACAAACAAGAAGAAGAAGAAGAAGAAGAGGTATTTGAATGAATGAATGATTTAGAGATGTATTTTAAAAAATGTCGATGGAAATGTGTAGTAGCGATAGCAACACAACAACAACAACAACACACATTTGTTAATCTTGATAAATGAGGGAAATGTGAACATACGAATCATTGTCAAGACATATACATTCATTCAACTTCTCTCTCTCTCGACTACTATGGTATTTAATCTATTCGTATGGTGGTGTTGTTGTTGTCGCAACAAATAACCCCCTAACCCTTTCTGCACCCACATATATAATACAACGACAATTGTGGGGGGGTGGTGACCTAGAAGTAGAAGATGAAGAAGAAGAACAATACACATTTCATTTATACACCTACCACCCAGTAAAAGAGTAGAAATAAGAGAGATAGAGAGAGAGAGGTAACAATATACCAATACCCCTATAACACCAGATTAACTACTACATCATTGTGTTTTTTTTTTTTAAAAAAGGAATTAGAAAAAGAGGGAGCATTGAAGAAGAGAGGAGGAGGAGGAGTAAGAAGACAAAGATAGAAATAATTTGTGTACATCCATATTGTTGTTGTTTTTATTCTTCTTTTTACTTCTTCTAGATATAAATTTTAAATTATATAATTATTTTTAAAACACTCCTCCAGAGTTAGAGTAGTAGAGTACATCACACATCAAATATAGAAATACTAGTTTCATATAATATATATGGTAATTAATTCAAATAATATATAAATAATAATAATAATAATAATATAATAACAATAGTCAGTCAGTCACAAGTCAGAAAGTGTAATAGTAATATTATTAGTATTGGAGACAAATAACGACGACGACAACCACAGCGACAACGATGTTCATAGTCATAGTTTATAGTTTATAATAATAGTTCATGTGTTAATAATTATAGTATATAGAGGTTGAAGTTATTTTGTAACCATATATCTCATCTCACCTCATTGTTGTATGGTTAGAAACGAATGCATCATCTTGGTGACATTCGAATTGTAGTTGAAACTCAGATCCACAATCATTCTTTGACAAATATGGTCAAAACTCAGAGTCATTTCGCGAAAAATATGACATGTCATGTTGACAACTGAGCAGTAATTTTGGCACCAGACGTTACATTTCCATCAAAAAACAATTTGTCCAACCACCGTTTGGTCCTTCCTTTTCTCTCTTGTTCTTACTACTTAAACAAAAAGACATATATATGAATATAATTTTTTTGAAAACAAATATATATTTATACTTTTGTGTATTAATAATAATAATAATAATAATATTGTACCATATTAAATAATAATAATAATAATGATTATAAAAATAGAATAATTTTGGATTTGTAATATTACCCATAGTAACATATAATAATAATATATTAGAACTAGTCAGTATCATTCATTCATTCCATTCATTCATCATATTGTCTACGATAATGTAGATATTTTTACTTTTTCATTGGACTGTTGTAGTCAAATCAACAATACACCAACACACAATGTGACAAACACACAATTTTATTTTAAATCTCTAACGGAAACAAACATATCACCCCATTTCATCATTACATCGCTTCTACACTCAATACTAGCCATAGCGATCATCTTTCATCATCATTTGATATCGTTTATTCTAGAATTTTGTTGTTATTGTTGTTATTATTATTATTCATTTGACAACTTTAGTTTAGTTATGAAAAAAAACACTAACATTGATTATTTTTTTTAATCAAATTATAGGATTTTAATATATCAATACTATAGTTGAAATTTATTTAGTTTTTTATATATTTAGCTAAATATCAACAACAACAACAACTCTTTAATAATAATAACAATTTAATATACCAAAACTATAACTTATATATATATCAACACCAAATACTTTAATCATTATAATTATTACTATAGTTTAGTTAATTTTTTATTTTAATATTTTCATGAACATAATTAAATATAATTGGTTTAAAGACTTTTATCAATAATATTTACATCAATAATAATAATAATAATAACTTAAAATAATGGGAGTTCCACAACCAATAGAATTACAAGCTCAAACTGGCAACTTTAAATATTTTACACTTAAAGAAGAGATCAATTTGGATGAAAGTACAGAACAACTTGTAAAGGATGTTCCACAACTTTCAGTATGGGGATGGTTTCCACCAGTTCAAAACTATCTCAACAAAAAGATTCAAAAAAATAGCAACAATAGTGACAAGATTGGATTGAAAAAGTTTGAAAATGGAGGTCTCGACAAGACATTGGGATTCCGTGCCACCACCTCTGACATATTGGAGACCAATAGCAACAGTAGTGTAAGTGATGACGACATCACTCTCGATGGCATCAACAAACCTGGTTACCAAATCGAATTTCCATATCAGGTTAGCGGCGGTGCTGAATTTGATAACGTTTCTAGTAGTACTCAAAAATATCAAAAATCAAACGATAACACAGTCTATCCTTATTCTCCTGTCTACTCTGACATTACCTTTTCAATACTCGTAGGAGTTGTCTGTATATTTTCTATAACCTTTTCATTTTTAGTTGGTCCATTGGTATGTAAAAAAAATCAAAAAAGAAAGAAAAAGAGTATTATTATTTTTCTAACATCTATCTCTCTCATCTTTCTTTAGCCAATTATATTTGCGTTTTTTGTTTCGATTTTAGTAGTAACTTCATATGTATCTCTTTGTCTAGCACCAAGTAATAGATGGTATTTATATTCAATAACTGCCTGTGCAATCGGGTTGGGATTATGTATCCCATCGTTTTTCAATGCCACAGGACAAGTTGTATTGGGTATCGACCTTCACTTGTGGGACACTGACTTGTTCAGAGGAGATAAGACACTCATGGGTTGGGTTTTCCCTCTCGGTCAATTGGGTTTGTTTGTCCAAGACAGCAGTTGGTTTGGTCCTTCTTCATTTATTGGACGTCTCTCGACCGAAATCTTCCAAATCTCCTACATCTCTTATTATATTTGGGGCTACTTTATGGAGATTTACATTTTATACAAGCTTTGGAGAGCTTCATTGTCTAGCGACTTGGAAGAACGTAAAACAATCTCCTTGTGGGATCAAAGATTAAAAATGTTTATTTGTTCTTGGATTAGTACCTATTTTGTTTGTTTCTCAATTAATTTAATGTTTCCTGCTGAAAGTCCAAGAGTATTTTTACAAGTAAGTAGAAAGAAACAAATAGAGAGAGTAAAAAGCTTAAATTTAATGATTTAGTTATATTAATATTTTATTTATTTATTTATTTGTTTCTAGGGATATTATGATACAAAATTAGTTGGATTTGGATTTGCAGGATGGATTAGAGGTTTGATTGATCAAGGAGCAACTGGAAGTTTTGGTAGCTTCCCAAGTGGTCATATTGCCACTTCATGGGCCGTAGCTTTTGCATCATATAAGATCATTCCAACCTATGGATACGTATCTGCTACTGCCGCCTTTTTAATTACCATTGCCACAATGTATCTCCGTTACCATTATTTTGTTGACTTTTTGTGTGCAGTTCCCGTTGCCTTTGTTTGTGTAATGTATGGTGGTTTCTATTCTCTTGCTGATATTAGAAACGGTATTTCCAATATCTACCATGGCATTAAAAACAAAATCTCCTCCAAATCTAAAAACGATGATATAATAAATACTCTTTAAATAAAAGAAACATTATTATTATTATTTATTAAAAAAATATATATACAAAGTATTATTATTATTTTGTTTGTTATAATTTTTTGTTTGTTTCTCGGTTTGTCAAAACGTTGCGCTTGTACTGGTTATTAATCGATGAAGGTCTCGACCCAATTTTTGTCGACATTGGTTCTACAAGTTTTAGGACGATCAGAGTTCGTTGTGAGCTTGAGGGCATGATACCACTCTGGGGGTTCAAATATCTAGATTTTTGTCATCATTGGTTGGCGACAACTGTTTTTTTTGTGAACAATGCGCCCAATCAGAGCCTTTCAAGTTCTTTCCACCATTCAATTCCACAGTTTCGTTTAAGAACCATAGCCCTTCTTCACTACAATAAAAGGGACAACCCAAACTTTGTAGTCATTTCATTTAGTTGTAGTAGTAGTTATACATACAGATAAAACAAGTCAGTAAATATATATATTTCAATCTTTGTATTATCATCATGTTTTTTTTAAAATCAATTACAATTGTCATACATACCAACTTTCTTTTCACTCGTCTCTCCATCTTTTGTTCATCTTTCAATCTATTCATCTAAAATCTTGTTGTTCTAGTAGTAGGTGTGGTAATCGTTCGTCGGTTGATTGGTTAAAAAAGGGGTAGCATTGTGTCTGACACTGACGAATAGATGATCTATACATGTTCAAACAAACAATGACTTTCTCATAATTATCAACTTGCTTGTTATTCTTTATCTTTACCACCCCCCGTTGTCGCTTTTCTTCTCCTCGTATTACTTGTTCCTTTATCTGTATTAGTAGTTTGATTCAAACTAACTAAAAAAAAAAGGGTTTGCATCATGGTGCAAACTAATGCACCAACAACAGATATTATTTGTCAAATCGCATACTCGACGTTGTGGTTGGACACGGTTCCGATAGTGGTTATTATTATTATCCTATCCTATCTTCAATCAATTTCAGGTCAATTTTAAAATTGACTATTATTATTTATTATAATCTTTAATTTGTCTCTTCTCCTCTCCTCTCCTCTCCTCTGCCTATAAATAATGATAAATCTCACTCTCTTGGAAATTATAATTATTTGTAAATAGAACAACATTTTAATTAAAATCAACAATAATATAAACACAAAACTTGTTTGTATTCTCTTTATTTATCCAAAATCCCCCTTAATTATTGGTATCGTACCGATTTTTTTATCACAACCACATTGTTTCAATTTCATAGTGATCATTGTAATATCACTCTTCACACCACCACCACACGCACACATACACACATACACACCATTCGAATCACAGACAGAAAACATCAATAGATTTGCAGCATCCCGCTTTGTGTGTCTCTTTTGAACATAACATATTATTATTTTTTTTTCTTTGTATTCCACAACAACAACTCCAAATAATAATAATAATATATCATTTTTATCATCTTTGTTGTCTTTGACCATTTTTAAAATAATATTCTATTTATATCCCTAACATTTAAATCATTCATTTTCTTGTTTCCTTTTATAGATAAAAAAAATGAAGAGACTATTTAATCTTTTCATTGGCATTAGTATTGCTCTATTTGCCATTGCATTTTATACCGAGGTTTCAGTTGCCTTGTCACCATTATCATTAAGAGACATTAGTGTTGGGGAATCTGACAAGCATATTCACTCTCACCACTATCTCAAAGAAGCCAAACCAACCGTTTTCAACCACAAGAGAACCGTCTCTATTAATCATCCAGAATATGCCAAAAATGTTCGCAAACCAGCCAACTCTGACAAATTCCTCAAGGAACGTGATTCCTTTGTTGATAGATTAATGTCAAAGATGTCAATCACTGAAAAGATTGGTCAAATGACTCAAGTAAATAGAATAGAAAAAAATAGAATCCAATCAGTCATCCATTTCTAACTCTTTTTCTTTTTCTTTTTTCTATTTCTTTCCAGTTGGATATTACTACATTGACAACCATTCCAGGCACAATTGATATTAATGCCACTACATTGGAATACATTTGTAAGACCTTTTATGTTGGTTCTTTCCTCAATTCTCCAGTATCTGGTGGTGTTGTTGGTAACGATATCTACACCATCAACAGTACTACTTGGATGAGCATGATTCAAACCATCCAAGAAGCTACCATTGCTGCCTCTCCAAACAAAATTCCAATGATTTATGGTTTAGATTCAATTCATGGTGCCAATTATATTCATGAAGCTACTCTTTTCCCACAAGTAAATATAGAAAAAAAAAGAAAAAAATAGAGAAATAGAATAATTTAATATTAATTCCTTTTTTTTTTAGGGAACAGGTATGGGAGCTACTTTTAATCCAGATATTGCTCATGCTGGTGGTGAAATTAGTGCCAAGGACACTTCATCAGTAGGTATTCCATGGATTTTTGCACCAGTTTTGGGTATTGGAGTGCAACCATTATGGCCACGTATCTATGAAACCTTTGGAGAAGATCCATTGGTTGCTGCTGTTATGGGTGCCGCCACTGTCGCCGGTTTACAAGGAGACAACAATCCATTTACCAGTTCGATCAAGCCACCCTCTGTCGTTGCCACTGCCAAGCATTTCTTTGGTTACTCTGATCCAGCCTCTGGCAAGGATCGTACTCCAGCTTGGATTCCAGAACGTATGTTGCGTCGTTACTTCCTCCCCTCTTTTGCCGCCGCCATTGGTGATGCCGGTGCCGGTACAGTCATGATCAACAGTGGTGAAGTCAATGGTATCCCAATGCACGCCGACAAAAAGTACTTGAACGACGTCCTCCGTAACGAACTCACCTTTGAAGGTGTTGCCGTCACTGATTGGGAAGATATCGAAAAGTTGGTCTATTTCCATCACGTCGCTGCCGATGAGCCAGAAGCCATCTTGATGGCACTCGACGCCGGTGTCGATATGTCTATGGTGCCATTGGACTACTCTTTCCCAATCATTCTCAAGCAACTCGTCGATGAAGGTCGTGTCGAGGAATCCCGTCTCGACGTCTCTGTTCGTCGTATCCTCAACCTCAAGTATGCCCTCGGTCTCTTTACCAACCCATACCCCAACCCACAAAACCCATACCTCGGCACCATCGGTTGCTTTGAAGATCGTCAAGTCGCCATGGATGCTGTCGGTGAGTCTGTCACCCTCCTCCAAAACAAAAACAACGTCCTCCCACTCGACCCATCCAAGATTAGCAATATCCTCCTCACCGGTCCATCTGTCGACTCGCTCCGTAACCAAAATGGTGGTTGGTCCATCCACTGGCAAGGTGCCGTCAACGACGCCGAAATCCCTTACGGTTCCACCATTTTGGACGGTGTCTTGAACTACTTTAACGGCTCGCAATCCTCTGTCACTTACCAACCAGGCACCCAAGTCGGTGTCTTGAACCAAACCATGATTGACCAAGCTGTCGCTGCCGCCGTCCACGCCGACGCTGTCATTATCGCACTCGGTGAATTGCCAGAAGCCGAAACACCAGGAGACATTAGCGACCTCGAGATTGACATTGCTCAATCGACCTTGTTGCAAGCTATCCGTGCCGCCACTACCGCACCCATCATCCTCGTCATCATCGAAGCCCGTCCACGTGTATTCGATCCACTCTTGATTGCCCAAATCGATGCTGTCCTCATGGCCTACCTTCCAGGCAGTGACGGTGGTCAACCCATCGCCGACATTATCTTTGGCAAGATCAACCCATCCGGTAGACTTCCACTCACCTATCCAGCCTTTACCGGCGACATTGGTGTTCCCTACTACCACAAGTACTCGGTGAACGGTGTCACTGCCCCACTCTTTGAGTTTGGAACCGGTCTCTCTTACACCAACTTTACCTACACTGACATTTGCTCCAACGCCACTGCCATCGGAGGTGCCAACTACACTGCCCAAATCGGAGACTATGTCTCCATCTCGATCAACGTCACCAACATTGGTCAAGTTGAAGGCAAGGACTCTGTCTTGCTCTATCTCTCCGACTTGTACGCCCAAGTCACCCCGGAAGTCAAGATGCTCCGTTCTTTTACAAAGGTCGACCTCGTTCCACAACAATCGGTTCAAGTCGAATTTGTCCTCCAACCATATGACTTTTCCTTTATCGGTATCGACAATACCGCCGTCATTGAATCTGGTCAATTTGTTATTGCTATTGGTGATCAACAAATTTGGTTAAATTTACTCTAAACCAAGTTCTTAAACAACATATTTCAGGTAATAGGGTATAAAGAGAAACCTATTTTTCAACAAACATTTTAAAACAAAATTATCTCTATATATTTAATTTTGATTATATATAAACATACATACATACATACATACATAAACCTTAAAAATAAAACCTAATAATAACAAACAAAAACAAATTTAGCATTCCCCTTTTTTTGTCTTTAGTTTGGGATCTCTCGCACCACTAAAAAAAAAAGACATATTTTTATTATAGTTTTTAAAAAAATCATTCACCTTTATGATTAAAATTAAAATGAATAAAGAGGGGGTACTATTTCTACGAACATTAGTTTACTTACACTTTACATTATTATCATCATTTCAAAGTTTATTGTTATTTATCAAAGATTAATATTTATATTTATTTATTTCAATTCTATCCGTACAAATTTTTATATATATAAATTTTATTTTTTTATTTATTTATTTTAAAAGAACAAGAGAAAGATGGCAAAATCAGCAGCCAAGAAAAAGACAACCAAGGAGAAGGAAATAGAATCAACTCCTCCAACTCCTCCAACTACTACTACAACAACAACAGAGGTACCAAAAAAGGCTGTTAAAAAGACACCAAAGGTAGCGGACACAAAAGGGGAAACAAACAAGACTCCCAAAAAAAGTAAGATCAAGTACACATCATTCTCTAGCTATATTCATAAAGTATTCAAACAGGTGGTGGCACCAGACAGAAAGAATGAAAAGAAGTATAGTATGTCATCAAAATCTATGGAGGTAATGAATTCATTTGTATTGGATACATTTGAAAGGTTGGCCACTGAAGCAGCCAGTCTGGTTAGAAAGACTAAAAGACAAACTTTAGCTTCTCGTGACATTCAAGTCGCAACACGTATTATCCTTTCTGGAGAATTGGCAAAACATGCAATTGTGCAGGGAATGGCTGCTGTCAATAAATTAAACTCTGATAAAAAACCAAGATCCTAAACTACTCCATCCAAATCCATCAAATCCGTCTTCAATCCATTCAATCCAATTATTAGATCAAAATAATATTATTATTACCTATCAACAAATTGTAAATAAATGAATAAATATATATATATTCACTATTGTATTTGATCTAATCAATCAATCAATTTAAATTAAAAAAAAAAAAAAAGAAACAAAAAATAAAATAATTATTTGTTGGTTTTGTTTGTTGTCTTTTAATTTTTATTTGTTTATTATTGACAGAGGTAATAATTTAATTTAATTTAATGGTATTGGTTATTGATATAAAAATTGTTATAATTATTATTATTAATTCATTTAATTGATTACTTTTTGTTTTGTTTAATTTTTTCCAATTCTTTTTGGGCGTCTGCTCGAACGTTTGATGTTGGTGGACTGGTGAGAGAGGCCTTTAAATCCTTGGATGCGCTTCTGTTGGTTAACTTGTCCTTGGACATGAGACTTGTAAAGAAATTGGCGAGAACTGCCTTTTCGGCACTTGGAGCTGCTCCAGTGGCAGCAGTCGATGGTGACGATGTCGACGACGATGATGTGCTAGTGGTACTCGAACGCAAATTGGGTGGCGATGATGTTTCAACCACCTTTGGTGTCTCTGGTGTATTGCCATCTGATCCTGCTCCAGCTGGATTACTTGATTTACTTTGCATTGGTGATTCTTGATCCAATGAATTCTTAATTTTGTTTAAAAATTCCTAAACAAAAAAAAAGATTAAAAAAAATTAATTAAATGTTTGTTCCATCCATCCTTTTTATCATTATGATTTCATCCATAGTTACTTGATCATCTTCTGCCAATACTGCTGATGCTTGATTCATTTCTCTTCTTTTTATAATACTTGGCTTTTTTACAACATTTTCATACAACTCTTCAACGTCACGACAAACTTTTTGATTGTCGAAATCGAGTGTGATCTTGGCAAGAGTGTCCCAACCAGATGGCACGAATATTTGGTCCTTTTCCAAAAGTTGTGTTCTACTCTTTAATTCAAATCCAAATAAAATATTTTCAATATATTCCAAAGCAACATCGCAATTAATCTCTTTTCTTGCTGATGTATAAATTAATCCTGCTCCATCTAAATAAATAGAAATAATCATTTAATTTAATTAATTTCTTTCCTTTCTTTCCTTTTCTCTTTCGCTTATTCTTTCTACTATCGATATTTACATTGTAAACATATTCTTCTAAGATATTGTTGAATATAATCGAATAAATCATCTTTGAAAGAAAAGTCCTTTTCCAACATGACAACTGAATCACTCTTGCAACAAACAACCAAAATTGGTACGCCAAGATTCTTTGTTAAAATATTTTCTCCCAATGGTGGTAATACCTATCAAAATGAATGAATGAATGAATCAATAGTTTAGGGTTATTAATTCTCTTATAGTCTTGATTATCAATATATATATATATAACATACACTTGTATCTTCAATGGTAGAGTTGATTTTTCTTTTCTTTTTCTTTTGAGCATTTGAAAGTAATGGATTATTATTATTGTTGTTGGTAGTATTAGCAGCAGCAGCGGTTAAAGATTGTGATGGTTCAACATAATCATGCCATTTAATCAAAAGTTTATCTTGGAGTGATCCAAAGAGACCTTTGTTGTTTGATGATGTGGCAATGGTTTTGATGTGTTCCTCCAAGATGTGTAACCATCGTTTGAGTGAATCGACAATATTCCATGGTTGTGAAAAGTCCAATGTAATGACAACCATAGAGTTGGCAATATTATCGCTATTTAGTGCAAATTTGAGAAGTTCATTGTGTTCAGTCTCACCTTCCAATGTCCAAAAGTTGGTTCGAGCAATAGGATCTTCGCTACTATCATCTTCAAATACATCTGTAAACGTATAACTCAATGCAATTCCTTTTGCTTTTTCTACATCCGATATTGGTTGAAACTTTGAAAGTAATGATGATGATCCTGAAGTTCTATCTCCTAATAATAAGTAATATTAATAAAAAGAAAAGTAAGTATCACAGGTGGTATAAGAATATCTATCTATCCTATCCTATCTATATATATATCTCACACATACCCATCATAACAACATTCTTTGTTTCAAAGTAGTTTGTCTTGTTGGCAGACTCTCGCAAGATATTGCCCCAAATATCTTCTTCTTCATCTTGTTGGTGTGACATGATTGATGATGATGATGATGATTACTATATATTGTTATCTTTCTACTTCTTCTCTTTAATCAATCACTTCACGAGTACAAAGAAAATTAATGTTTAATGTAATAAGATTGTGACTCTTCTTTCTCTCTTGCAACTTCAAACAAAAATTGATTTTTTTGAATAAAAAAGCGCACTTTGATAAACAGTTCAAGTAATACAGAGTATTGATGTGTTTGTTATCTCTACAGCATTCAAAGAGATAATAATAATCACCATTAGATATAGATATACAAAATAGTATTTCTACTTCTTTTAGAATATTTTCAATCCAATCAATACATTATTTGACTCAAATAGACTTGAAATTTTAGATTATCCAACCCTTACCCATTTGTTTGTTTGTTGGAGGTTTCACCGTCGTCGTGATCATCATCGCCACTCTTGGGTTGATAGGACGAGGATGTTAACTATAATAGTCAATTTATAATGATTGAACACTTTGGAAGTCGAGTAAAGTTCCCATAGATTGATTGATCGATGAATTCGGAAACCTTTCCATCTTTTAATCTAATCAAAACAAATTGATTTATAAATATACTCTGTTTGTATCTTGCCAACCTAGGAGGGTATATAAAATTAAAGCTTGACAGCCGATTACTCCCAAAAATTTAAACCCCCCATATTCCCCTCCCTCCCTGGTCTGAAAACATTAATTACTTTTTTTTACAACGACAGTAAAAGTTAAAGAAAGTCATAGTATTGTAAATTATATATATATATATTATTATTATTATTATTATTATCAAGTAATATTATTTATTGTCATTATCATATCAAGTATTAGTATTAGTATCAAGTATTAGTATTATAGTTAGTTATATATTCATGTCACAATGACCACGTCAACAATCGATGATATAGATATTGATACAGACGATACTTTTGGTAATGCGACTGCCACTGCTATCACCAACAATAGTAATGTACAAAAGGATAGTACTGTTAGTAAAGTAGACTCTACTGCTGCTGCTACTACTACTGCTACTACTAATGGTGAACAGTGTAATGGGAACCACAAGGATGATGAAACCACCATAACAACAACAACAACAATGGTCCAAAAAGAGGTTGTTACAACCACAAAATCATCAGCTTCCATTCAAATTGAACAAAACATTTGTAGTACTAGACAAACACTTCACAGTTATCATCCTATCGATGAAAGCATAGCAAATAACATTCATCTAAATATGCCAATGATGCCTTCAATGGAAGTAACTAAAGAACAACAACAACAACAACAACAACAACAACAACAACAACAACAACAACAACAAAAATCAAACATTGAAATAACAAGTACAACAACAAAGAAGAAAAACAAAGGCTCATCTACAAGTTTGAGTGCTCCAAACAGTCCAGTAAGAAAAGGATTATCACCAAATCTATTTGGAAGTAGTCCCAATCTATCTGAACTGTCATTACAACAATCATCTTCTCCCACGACTGATGAATCCTCAAAGTTACTCATTGAACAAAAAGAAAAGGAAAAGGAAACTAGTACCAGTTGGTTTGGTTCATTTAAGAATTCAATCTCTAGTTTTAATACAAAAGTTAAACAACTATTTATTTCTTCTGAAACGTATGTAAAGAGATATATATTTATATCACATACATAGATTGACATTATTTATTATATTATTATTCAAGGGAAGAAGCATTTGATCATATAAATGCATTATTTACAGAATTCTTTAAAGATGTTAAATACTCTAAAATGGATTTATTCATGGGTTTATTATTATTGGATAGTATGTAATTTAAATTAAATTAAGTCATTGATACAATGGATGATTATTTATTAATCTCCTTTTCATTTTCTTTCTTTTCCTTTTTTAGGTTATTATAAAAATGCACATGTTGTTAGTGATGAAAAAGTAGAGGATAAAGATTTCATTAGAACGGCAGCACATTATATGAAGTTTGCCAATGCAAGTTTTGGATCAAAATATGTATACTCTTATAAATATACAACTGGAGCAACTGGATTTATAAAGGGTGTTGCTGGTACTGATAGTCTCAACTTAAAGTCATTGTGTGATTATACAGGCGTTAAAAGAGAGGATATCATAAGTTATCGATTCACTAGCACCAACTTTGATCCCGGACACTATATTGCAATCGACCATAATCACGAATCGATTGTATTCTCTATTCGTGGTACATTCCATCCACGTGACGTACTCACTGATTTGGTTGCTACCAATGCACCGTTTTTAGATGGATTTGCTCATACTGGTATCTTGAGATCTGCTCAAAACAAGTTAAATGAGTTGGGATCTCTCATTGCAGAGACCTCTGAAAAACATCCAACCTATAAAGTCATTGTAGTTGGTCATAGTCTTGGTGGTGGTACTGCTTGTTTATTTACTTTACTTTTTAATGAAGGTAAAAAAACAACAAAGAATAAGACATGGATAATATTTATAACAAACAAGATATTAATATTCTATTCTATTTTATTTTATTTATTTAATTATTTTTTAGCATATCCAAAAGTACCAATACATTGTTATGCATTTGCACCACCATGTGTAACTTCATTAGAGATTGCATTGTCGAGAAAAGCCAAGGATTTGATTACAACGTTTATTCTCAACAATGATATTATTCCACGTCTTAGTTATCAGTCACTGGATCATTTGAAAGCACTCATTCACACCATGTTGGACAACAACACCAATTTCGTACAGAGATCATTCCATATATTGACGGCTGGCAATAATCTTGGCGACGAGCTGACCAACAAGATTGCCGGTTATCTAAAGGTGAGTCGAGAGGTTAAAGTAGACTATTCAAACCGTCCAACCATTTCCACCACCACCATGTTGCCACCAGGCTCCATCTACCGAATGTACAAACTATCGACGATGCACAAAGACTATATCATGGAACTATCCAACCCTTCATTGTTTAACGAGATTATCATCTCTGGAACAATCCTTTCCGATCATCTCCCAGACAACTATGAAATGGCATTCAATTCATGTATAAAAACTCTCAACGATATCACTCCAAACTCTGTCGTTGAAGTATTAAATGATTTTGTTCAAATTGATGATTATACAGATACTGTAGACACCAACAATAATAATAATAATAGTAATGACGCAACTACAACCACTATAACTACAACTACTACAAAGACTATAATAACTGAATCAAAGGATGAAGATGGTGCAAGTAAAGAGAATGAAATAGAAGGAGGAGAACAACAACAACAAGGGGAACAAGAAGACAAGAATAATAATCTTGTTGTAAGCAGAGAAACTGATATTGTTCAAGAGATTACAACAAGAGTTCTTTTTTAAAATAACCCAAATCCAAATCCAATTACGCTAAAGGAGTCTAGATTATGAATCCAACAAAGTATCACTATCCACTTAAATTATTAATTAATAAAACCAATAATGTACATCATCATTTAACTGATCCCCATGCAAGGTCCAAACATCATAAAGTGTGTTGTAGATCATCCATCTTGTTTTGGTTGTTTTCTATTTTTGTTTGTATTCTTGATATTTATTCGTTTGTTGTGTCGTGTTCTTTGTATATTTATAGAGTCTATCTATCGTCGTAGAAGTAGTTTGATTTAAACCTTTTTCAATAATAAATAAATACGAGAATCCAATTCCAAACCAGGTAAATATCTTGGATCACCTTGAAGTAACATTAATAATCCACCAAATGATGCAAAAATAGAACTATCAAGAACAAAAGGTTTAGTTATGATTAGTAAAAATGGGTATATATATACAGAGATATATTTATATAACTATCATATCTCCTCTCAGAATCGTTGTTGTTATCTACATACACTTTTGAAGAAACCTCCTTTTGATATTTAAAGATCTTTCCATACATGACATAATCGTATTTATCGGCCAAAGATGGTTTGTTGCTATCGAATGCTACTTGCTCCAATGAACCATCAAGACTGAGTGATGATGCTAGAACAAGTTTAAACTTTTCATGTCCCAATTGATATATATGAGTTGCGAGATCTAAATGAAGGTCCATTTCATAACTTTCACTTTGACAAACATATCTTGATACTGTATATTACAGTAGTAGAATAGAAATAGATGATATTAGTTTTAAATTGATCGTCTATCTATTTTATCACTATGATAGATCAGGTCTGTTATAACCCTAACTCCTCCTCGTCGTTCTCTTCGTACCTCTATCGAATTTCTTTCCATCAGGATCAATATCCTTTACTTCAAAGTTATCTTCGAATAATATATTTGACATCTTCTCTCCTCCTATCTAACAATAGCTCGCGCTTCTAACTACTAACTACTACTGATCACAACCAAATTGAGACAAAGACGATTGTTTGGCTATGAATGAATGAATTTTTTTTTATTTTTATTATTTTTTCTCACCAACACTCTGTGTCAGAGTGTAGATCATTAAACTATAAGGGGGGTGAGCAAAGAAAGAGAAAGGTGTGATCAGATCAAAGCAGTACAGCAATATAGATAGATAGGATGATCAAACAATTCATTGGAAAGAACATCACAAAGATAGTGTCAAGTAACACAACATCTGCTGTAGTTGCAGGCAAAAGATCATTCTGTACTTATTACGATACCAAAGACAATCAACTTCCTTATGATACCACTCCCATCAAGATTGAAAAGGATAACCAAAATCATGTTGGCAAATATTTAGATTTATGTATGTTTATATATATAGTAGCAGTTAGTAGCAATTAGCAGTAAAGATAGTAATAGTAGTGATAAATGAATGAGTGAATGAATCGTCAACTAACATTCATCTCTCTCTCTCTCTCTTTCAACAACATGATGTATCTATCTATCTATCTAACTCTGTACAGACAACAAACATAAGAATCAAGTACCATTTTATAATAAGGATAGTGCTTTTACCCCGGGTGTTTGGGGTTTATATCCAAGAGTATCAGATGGTTCTTTTGTAGCTCCATCTGCTTCACTCGTTGGTAATGTATACCTTGGTTATGGTGCTTCTATTTGGTATGGTGCTGTTCTTAAAGGTAATTGAAATCACTTATAGTTATACATATGTTGATATTAATATTTTATATATTTTCTATTTCTAGCCGATGTTAATATTATTTATATTGGTACCTATGCAAATATTCAAGATGGTACTGTTATTCGTGAAGCTACACGTCCACTTTCATTGGACCATGATGGTAGCACTGTCGTTGGTCACTATACCACTATTGGACACAACTGTATACTCGAGTCTTGCACTGTCGAAGAGAACTGTCTCATTGGTATGGGATCTATTCTCGAGTCTGGATCATATGTCGAAGCCAACTCTATTCTAGGCGCCAACTCTATTCTTCCAAAGGGTGCTAGAGTTTTAACCGGTGAGTTGTGGGCTGGCAGACCAGCCAAGTTTGTTAGAAAACTAACGGAAGAGGAAATCATCAACATTCACAACCAAGCCGCTCAATACTATGACTACTCTGAAACTCACAACCAAGACTTGGGTCTTCACAACCCATCTAGTGTACATCTTGATGCTGAATCTCAAGGTGTTGAAGTTGGATACAAAGGTGAATATTACTTTACCGAAGAAGAAGAAAAACAATTATTAGTAAAGAATTAAAAACAATAATAGGATAAATGATGAGATGATTATCATTTAACAAACACACAGTAATAATAATAATAATAATAATAATAATAATAATAATAATAATAATAATAATAATAATAACAACAATCATAATCGTAATTAATCATTGTCATAATAATATATAAAAGAAAATTTTTCAAACACACCTATCCTAACCTAAATTTACAGTTGTCTTCTTTGGATTGCATCTGAACCACAAGTCCATCGATCTAATAATAATAATAATAATTAGATAATTGCATGTATGTGATTAAAGGTGGGAACTTTAATTTTGCGTGATTAATCACGCATTCTTGTTGGATTGCGACGGTTGTCGACACAACGCATTCATTCGAGTTTTGTTTGCAACGAGATTTTTTGTCCTTTTAAATTATCTTTTATTTAATACACCAAAACCCAACCACATCATCAAAAGACGTTGTTTAAAGTATATTAGTAGTAGTAGTTAGTTTATTTATATATATATAAAGAGAGAGGGAAAGAAGAAGAAAAAGAAGAAGAGATGGCAAGTTTTGAAAATGTACCAGGACAATTACAACGTCTCAATAATATAACTCAACAAATCAGACTTAAAAAAGCAACCATTGGATCACCATCTGATAGTGTACAATTTAGAGATCAATTAAAAACTGTATGTTACACACTATGTTGTTGTTGTTGTTGTCGTTGATGATGATGACTAATATTGATTCTATCTATCTTGAATCTTTTATAGTCGATAGAAGAAGGTAATAATATAATTCAATCTATAAAGACATTTTTGAATAAACAATTTGATAGAAATGATAGAACAAGAGTCAACAAGATCAAGAATGACTTTAAACGTTTGTCGGATGAATTTGAATCAGAGGCTACACAAATCATCAATTTGGAGTTGAGAAATGCAATTGGATCGGGTGGTAGATCAAGAGACCTTTCGGTTGGTGCTAGAGATCGTGGATCGTTTTCCAGTCGTATCCAATACAACAGCGAAAGAGATAGAGAACTGAGTAGAGGTGGAAAGAATCAAGTAAGCGATGTACAATTGGCACAGATGCAAATCCATCTCACCGATGCACAAGAAGTAGACGATTTAATATTGCAAGAGTACAACACCGAAGTAAAGAAATTGGTAGAGGATCTCCAAATCGTTCAAGAGATTACCAAAGATATTCATGCACTGACCGTTGAACAAGGTGAAATGTTACAAGTCGCCAATATACAGACAGAGAATGCTGCCAACGAGGTAAAGAGTGGCGTGCAAGAACAAGAACAAGCATACGGTTACAAAAAGAGTTATCGAAAGAAAATTATCATCTTGATCATCCTACTTATCATTCTTGCTGCCATCATTGTTGCAATCACTGTACCTTTAGTTAAAAAATAAACAATCAAATAATATATATAAGTAAATTGTTTAAACCAAGATAGATATTTTTTTATCTCTCACGATTTTTCAGAGGTGGGATGTCCCATGTCTCTTTCTTTGCAATTGTGAAAATTAGAGAATCTCCGAACCAACAACGAATTGAGGAGGGAGGGAGGGAGGGGGTGTCGACACCAAACGAGTGGTGGTATCCAAGGTTGAATTGAAGAAGAATCAATTTCACGTGCCCAGGACCAAGCAATCTTGTGTAAGATATTAAAAAATCAGACGTTGAGGTGAGAATGGGTCGGTCGTTTCGGTAATCATTTTATTGCACAATATTATAACAAATAATTACAATTGTTAATTCAAGTTGTTCATTTATCTTTATATTTATTTATCTATCAATTTCATACACACTATAAAAGAGAAGAAAGAAATAGAACAAAAGAAGAAGTTAGGAAAATCGATTGTCTACAACCACAACTTAAAAGTAATTCAACTAACCACCACTACACAACAAACCACACAATCACAATGCTACTATTACTATTGGTATCAAAATCATTCGTTTTGTGGTGTGAAACGAACCAATTCAGATATTAGGGGTAATATCATCATAGAGTGATTGATTGACCCCGACCGATCTATATATCTTTAAAATCATCATCATTCAGATCACAAAACGATTGTAAAAAAAAAAAAAGAGTTAAAAGACAAAGATGATAAATCTTTTCTTAATCTGAATATGTTGTCAGTTACATCATTTCATAAATCAACATTGATTTTATATTTATTAATTAAAATTATATATTTTTTAAAAAGTAGAAATAAAAACAAGGATATAAAAAGAAGGATATATAAAGATCAATGGATGAAAATAATATAGAGGGAGGAGGAACTGGAGGAGCAGGAGGAGGATCCATTGAATATGGTGGTGGTGGTGGATCAGTGGATGATTATGGTGGTTCATCAGCCGATGACAATGGTTTGGCAGTATATAATGGAGGATCTGTAATATATCACGACGAACAAGAAAATGATACAATTGGAATATTGACAAAAAATAGAATTGATGATAATAATAATAATGATCCAGATGATATTAGTTTAGATGGAGCTGATTTAAATACTACGCCTTTACCTATAATTGATGAAAAATCAAATACGACTACTACTACGATGAAGATGAAAAAGAAACAGAGTATCCTAAGTAAAGAATTTTGGAAAAAGAATTACAAGAAAATACTTGTATTATTTTTAATCATTAATCTTGGATTCCCTTTATATTTATCTTATAATATGCCAACTTCATTGGTTAAAATTATTGGTATGTAAAAAATAATCATAAATCATAATTTTATGAAAATAATACTTTACTTTACTTACATAGTTTTTTATGTTTATTTTGATAGATAATTTTTATCAAATTGATGCACAACAATATGGCAATTTATATAGTGCATACGCATTACCTAACGTATGCCATCATTTATTTATATAAATATACATACATACATATATACTTAGAGCTATTTTATCTCTCGCCATCTAGATTTTAATGGTATTTTTAGGTGGTATTTTAGTTGATTTGTTTGGACCAAATAAATGTAGTATAGCATTTATGGGTTTAATGACCATTTCAACCATTCTAGCTGGTATTTCGACAATCACTCCTACTCCTTCATTTGGATTGATTGTATTTTCTAGAGTACTTTTGGGAATTGGTGGAGAATCTTGTTTGGTTTGCATCAGTGCCTTGTTGTCAACATGGTTCAAAAGTGATGAAATGCCATTTGTAATGGGTATCGAATCGACATGGGTACAATTTGCAAGTCTCCTAGCATTTGGAATGTTACCATCTTTATATGAAGCTACCAATTTCCCATTTACCGTTTGGTTTTGTTCACTAGTTACCATTCTTGGTTTGTTTTTAAATATTATATTCCTTGTATTTCAAAAAAGATTAGATTTTAGTATGTACACACAAAATTAAAACTACTATACATATATATAATTCTTCAAAAAATTCAAACAACTATTTATACATATTTTTTAAAAAATAGGAAATAAATATGGTGAATTAAAAGATGAAGATGAATTGGAATCAAAAGATAAAAATGGAAATAGAATTAGATGGAGCAAATATTCAACAAGTAGAAGATATTGAATTGTCAGAAGTAGATTTAATATCATCACAAGACAATGCATCTAATGATACAATTAATTCAACAACAAAACAATCATCAATTAGAAAAATATTTAGTGAATTGAAAAAGGCTCTTTCATTGGTTAGAATGATTACACTTAGAATGTGGTTATTATTTTTCATTACCTTTTTTGGGTATAGTGCATTCTATGGTTTCGATATTATAGTAATCGATATGATTGTTGAAAAGTATAAATACGGTGACACTAAAGCTGCCATGATGATGGCGATTGAAACGTTTTTCACTGGATCGATGGGTCCAGTATTTGGATTCTTTGTAAAAAAGTTTGAAAAGAGATTGACTGCACAGGCAGTTGGTATCACAGTCATGGGTATTGGATTGGCCATCATGACAATCACTACGACCACCCCTCTACCTTGGGTACTGATTACAGGTCTTGGATACGGTCTAATGAACAATAGTATCATGTCATCGGTACCAGTGGTAGTTGACGAACAGGTGGTTGGTACTGCCTACGGATTGATTGGTACTAGTTACAACCTTGGTATCATCCTCTACCCCATTCTACTAGGTGCCACTAGACAATCAACAGGCAACTATACATTAGCAATGTGGATACTAGTACTCAGTTCAGTTCTAGCTCTAGTATTTGTTGGCATATTAAAATACTTTGATAAAAAAGAATTAAATGTAAATAAAAGATTAGATTCGAAATAATCACATACACATAAATATCGTGATTCGAAATTAATTTTTCGATTAATATTGGGAGTTGGGTGGTTTTTTGGGGAACTAACTTTCGTTCACACGAAAGAGTGTGTAGTTGGTTGGTTGGTAGGTAGTAGTTTTCATATATAGATAGAGATAGATAGATAGATAGAGAGAGAAGAGATAAAGAGATGAGAGAGATTATATCAACTCAACCAAAGATTAAACCATTATTGGTTGATCTTAGAAAGGATTATGATTATCAAACATTAAAGAGATTCTATGATGAATTAATGTTACCAAATTTCCCAAAAGAAGATGGTATGATAGTTTAGATTAACTATATATTTATAATAACTAGTAATAATAATAATAATTTATTTCTCTTTTCTTTTTAGAATTAGAACCATTAGATAATTGGGTTGAAATGTTTCAAGAAGGATTATCATCAAACTTTGAAGAAGATTATGATTTTGATACATATTATGATTATGATGGTGGTGGTGCAGCAACTGAATCAGGTAGTACAACCAACTATACTAATAATAGTAATAATAGTCCAAAAACAAAAAGATATGAATCATCATCGTCATCATCATCATCTTCTTCCCCTTCGTCTGGAAATCAATCACCTTCATTCTCTGGTAGATACTCTACGATGGATGAAAATCACTTTTCATGTGATGTAGATTTTCATGTAGTATTGGCACTCTGTCCAAAAGAGTTAAAACAAGAGAATCAAAGTGATATTATGGGTGGAGTTGTATTTGAATTCTATCCATCAATCAATTGTGGATGTGTAACTTATTTATTGGTCAATTCAGAGTATCGTGGCCAAGGTTTGGCCGGTATGCTCCTCAAAGAGGCAACCGAAAGATTAATGGAAAATGGTAGACAAAGAGGTCATCTTGGTGGATGCAATGCAATCTTTTTAGAAACAAATTCCTCCGAAAAAGTTAATCCTGAAGATGATGTTATGGATCCTGCAAAGTAAATATCAAAACAAATATAAAAAAAAAATTATATATATTAATATTAATCTTTTCATTATTTATTTATTTAATTTTTAGGAGACATTCAATTTTTCATAAACTTGGTATTAGATTATTAGATTTTGATTATATTCAACCACCTTTATCAAATGATAGTAGTAAATGTAAAGATTTATTATTGACATGTTTGATTACACCAAATACACCAAAACAAACGTTGGGACGTGAAGAAAGATATTATCTACCATCATCGTTGCTAAAAAACTTTTTGATGGTGTTTTGGGACAGCTGTTGTAGCAGACTAGACTATTTCGATTGGCGAAACGATATAGACTATCAGAGAATGATGGATCAAATTAAAAGACGTGAGCGTATCCCACTGCTCGATCTTCCATGGGAGAGACCTTGGACACTACTCGATATACGTGATAGTCACGGTCACGAAGATTGTCAACAATTGGCCATTCGATTCTACAATGAAGTGTTGTTACCAAACTATGCCCAAAATGAAGAATTGGAACCTTTGGAAAGTTGGTTAAACATGTTGGAAAATAATGGTGCAATGGGTCAAACTTTAAGAGGTCAACAACAACAACAACAACATGGTGGTCACCTTCATCGAAATAATTTTCATCTTTTAGTAGCACTTAGATATCCAGAAGATGATATTAATCAACAACCATTGATATGTGGTGGATTGGTATTTGAGTATCACGGTGCCGTAAACTGTGGACTTTTGACCTATGTGTTGGTAGGTGGTGGTCCCAAACAAAGAGCAGAACGTATGGGACGTGCTCTCATTCAGAGAGCTGTCGATATTTTGGAACAAGATGCAGTTGAGAATGGTCACTTGGCTGGTTGCAATGCCATCTTTTTAGAGACTGCACAAGACCAACACAAGAGTGACATCATTTTTGAAGAAAATGCCGACAGCATAGTCGAAATATCTCACAAACACCAGTTCCTTGAAAAGATGGGATGGCAGCGTGTCGACTTTTCATACATTCAACCATCGCTCACCTACGACAAGAAGCCAGGTCGTAGTCTATCGTTGGCCATCCTTTCGACCGATCGAATTCGTAAGCCCTACCTTCCAAACTCTCTTTTATTGTCATTCTCCCAAAACTTTTGGAAGAGTGAATCGACACGCACTGGTTATTGGATCGACGACGACAATGACTATAAAAAGATGATTGACAGTTTGCAAAGAAGAAAGAGAATCCCTCTTGTACCACTCACACTACGTAGTCGTCCATTTGTCCTTGTGAATTTGGCAGCCGATTATCATGCCGATCTCTTGCAATCATTGTGGAGTGCACTTCCACAAAACCATGATATCGAAACATTGGAACAAATGCAAGGACTGTTGGCACCATCAAGCTATTTTGCACCAACCACTCTTATACAACAAAACAACAGTAATGGTACAAACACCCATTTGGTTTTAGCAATCAATTATCAAGACGGTTCAAAACCAACTATTATCGGAGCTGTAGTATTCGAATACTACCTACGAAGTAATTGCGGTATCATAAGTCACTTGTTTGTTAAAAAATCTTCTTCGTCCCTATCACTCAATGTAATGCATCTAAACGATGACGATGGAGCAGATGTAATTGTCAATGATACCTTAACAAGTGATAGTAGTAATGGTGGTATTTCAATGTATCGTGGTTGGGATATTGGAAAAGAATTATTAAATGAAGCCGTAGATATATTAAACAAAAATGCTAGATCTAGAACTCATATTTCAGGTCCAAATGCTATCTTTTTAGAAACTCCTCTCAATAATCAATTTAATCAAAATCAAAATAATCAAAATATTAATAATAATAATAATTCTTCTGTAAATAATTTAAATACATTATTTATTAGAAATCAAAATGAAAATTTAAATCATCAAACCAACAATAGTAGCAGTTTAATTCATAATAACAACAATAGTTCAACTCTAACCAATCAAATTGATTCATCATTAAATTATGACCAAAGTAAATATAGTCAACTATCATATAATTTGGCACTTCAACAAAATGGATGGTTAATGGTTGATATCGATTATTATCAACCTCCACGTGGAAAAGTTAGTAAAGTAGGACGACCTGCTATTCTCAGTGTATTTTACACCTCCCAATTACCAACACTTCCAAAGGACTCTTCTCCAATCCACTCTATCGTAAAAAACACAACCGAATTGATACACAACAATGCAAATCAAGGAATCAAATCAACATTACCAAAACCAAACTTTACCATTAGTAGTATCACATCTGATCAAGATAATCATCAATATACTAGATCACCATTAATTGTATCATCATTAAATAATGGATTATTAAATTTAAATAATAATAATAACAATAATAATGAACAACAACAGTCAGAGAAACCACAACCACCACAACAACAACCAAATGAAATATTACAATCACAATCCTATGTACCAAAAGATTTGATTCGATCATTTTTAAGTCAATATTGGGGAAATGTATACAGAAGATGTAGAAGTCTCTCTCCAAACGATAAGCAATTCCCACTTGTTATGCCAGATCCATCAAAGAGAAGAGCTCTCATTGTCGGTGATGAATATTATAACAAAATGGTCGAACAAATTAAACGAACCGATAAAATCCATCTTTTAGAAACTAATCCAAAACTTTAGAACCAAATTTAATAATAAATACATAAATAACCATAAAGTTTGTTTGTTTGTTTGATTTGAAAAAATAGAATTGTTCCTATAATAATAATATTATATATATTATTTATTTTGAACTGCCTCTGGTATTGAAGATGTAATGGTTGTTGTAGTTGGTTTTTCACCTTGTGTCTTATACCTAAATAAAAAGGAAAAGAAAAGAAATTAAAATGGAAGAACTTATCTTGAAAGGATTATTCCTTTGATATTGATGATACAAACCATCCCCAACGTCCAAGTTGAGTTGCTTGAGCAATAGAATTGGTAACATGACAAGCAAGTAACCAATAGTTTGGTGGTGAAATGGCAATAGACCATCTCGTAAATACCATACTATAACTTGCCAATGTAGTAGTCATGACTGGGTCAATTGTAGATGGATCATTTTTTAAGTTCATTATTGACTAGTAGTAGTAGTAACATAGTGTTAATATGATTTAAAAAGACTAAATATATATATAACTTACAGCAATTGGAATGGTCCAATTAGCAGCAGCACCAAGGAATCCAACGAATTTAGTCCACTTTTCTGTATAATCGATGAATGAGGAAAGAAAGATGTCAGTCTCTCGAGTAAGCTAAATTTAAATTAACATCATGTTTATATAAACATACCTGACATTGTTATTATTTATATATATGAGTTTGTTTGTTAGTAAATGCTAAAGAAGAAGTGAGCGTGTGAATAAAAGGGGATAAAGTAGAACTAGTAGGAGCGAGTGAGGGGAGGGGATAAGCGAATCTCAACGAATGATAATAATAAATAATAATAAATTATATCCTCTCTTTTATGTTTATAATGATATCTATTTAGTGAATGAGATGGTGCCTTTTGTTTACTGTTAAGGGTATGACAAAACTTGAAGTTTTGTTACTAAAAGAGTCTTTCGGTAGGGTTCGAAAAAACAAGATATAGAAATTAATTTAAATTCATGAAAATCGATGCGTTCTCCGCCATGCTGACGAGGGATCTTCGCCTATTCCCTCTTGTCTTGTAGAATAGTTCTTGTTCTGTTGAGCAGTTTGTTTCATACATTTGTTGGTAAGAGGTTTAAAGAAAAGAGATAGACTTGTACAAGTAGAGTAGTGAATAGATTATAATCAACTAAAAATACAATACAGATATTTTTACAGATTTATCTGTTCAAAAACAAGAAGAAGAAGAAACAACAATAACCGACGATAGTAGTACTGATATATATAACAAACTGACTGACTCTTTCAATTATTATTATTAAAGTAATCAATATACATATATACAAATAAACAATGGCATCAATTTTAAACAAGTTTGTTGGTAACCGTGTTGTATTTAGCAACAAGTTTGTACTTGGGTTATGTGAAAAGTTCCCAAAGCTCGCCTTTCTCAATGATGGTATGACGATGATATTTTAACCATGTGGTTTTATTTATATCACAAATGTATTAACCTTTTTCTTTTCTTACTATATTTTAGTTACCAATCTTGCACCAATTATGAAATGGTCATTATCAATTGTACCACTTTCACAAATGATTTCTGGAAACAAACCAGCTGATAAGATTGATCTTCAACAAACTGCTAGTTTATTCTCTACTGGCACTATTTGGACCTACTATGCCACTTTAATTCAACCGCAAAATGCTGGTACTCGTGCTTTGGCTGCTTGCAATGCTGCCATGGCCATTTGTCATGGTTCCAATTTATATAGAAGATATCAATTTGATAAAGAAAAGGAAAACCAACAACAACCATCATCCTAATCGACTACTATAGTAAATATACTCCCTTAACAACAACAACAAATTTACCGACGATCAACTTGCTTTAATAATAGATAATGATTAAAGTACCAAAAAAGTTTTAAAACACCAATCCACAACAATATATTTATTTATCATAGAATTAATAATAATAATAATAAAACCTTTCTTTTTTTTCCACAATTTATGTTGGTTTAATTAATTATAATTTAATTTAAATTTTTATTTAAGATTCCAATTTTTTTAAAGATTGGAGTTATAATAGAATTGATTGATTTTTGATTATAAGCAAGATAAGCCATTCCAACAATGGAGACAATAGGTAAAAGGACTCTAAAAGTTTTAAGAGCAAAGGAAATTGATTTGTTGATTGGTGGTGGGTTGTCGGCATAACGACTAGTGTCGACAGTCCAGATATTTTTGAGTGATGGGTCGATAGCTTGAGCGGCGAGGAGACCCGAGATGATACCATCTTCGTGGAAACCATAGCCATAGTATGCACCACAATAGTAGGTTCTACGTGTACCTTGAATGGTGGACAATCTTTCACGAGCAGCTTCCGAAGTGCCATTGTAGAGTGGGTGATCATATTGAATGACCTTGTGAACTAGATTACTGGCTGGTGGGAAGACTGGATTGAGGGTGACGTAGAGTGGGGTCTTTTCACGATCCAACCACGGTTGGATACGATTGATCCAATAGGTGACACAAACTTGCTTGTCTGTACTGGAATGGTCGTCGTAGATATAGTTCCAGCTAGACCAGGTATTTTTACGCTTGGGCATGAGACGTTCGTCCGAGTGAAGGTAGACGGTATGTGGAGTGTATACAAATTTCGACATAACATCCCTTTCATTTTCGGTGAGGTCTTGGACGAGTGGAAGGAGATCGGGTGGATGACAAGCCATGACAACATAGTCAAATGTTTCAGTGGCTGGAGTTGTACCCTCAGCGGTTGTATATACAATGTCTACAGAGTCGGTCTCTGGATGACGGATGATTTGGGTGGCTGGAGAAGAGAGGAGAACTCGACTGTTGTTGGCCTCTAAATACTCGCGGAGCTTGGCCATGTAGAGGTAACTGCCACCGAGTACAGTCTTCCATTGTGGACGTCCAAACATTTGAAACATACTATGATTGTTAAAGAAACGGACGAGTGTGAGGATGGGGAATTGATCAATCTCGGCAAACGAGGTAGACCACAAAGCAGACATGACTGGCACGAGATAGTAGTTTTTAAAGGCTTGAGAGTAACGATGCTTGCGTGTAAACTGTTCGATGGTCATATCGGCGTACAAGTGTGGCGTGTGGAGAATCATAGGTGCTTCCTTGTGGAATCTACCCATATCGATAATCATCATCCAAAACGATGGACTAAAATAATTCTTCCATTGTGAAAAGACTGTCGAAACAGTGTCACTACACCATTCAATCTCGGGACGACGAACTAGTTTGTTTGACGACGACGACGACGATGACGATGTCTTGGTTTGTGGACCATTGGCATCAGTATCGGGTGATAATTGTGGGTATGGGAATGGTCTTGCGTTGAGTGACAATGAAAATGATACATCAGAGTCTGCTGATTTGATACCCATCTCTTTAAAGAGTCTGACTAGATTGGGATACTTTTCATCGTTGAATACGAGGAACCCAGTATCTGCCTTTACTGTTACATCTCCAAATGTTGCATCGACTGTATTTGTATGACCTCCCAAATAATCACCCTTTTCAAACACTGTCACTTCATGTCCACCTTGTGTCAACAAGTATGCTGCTGACATTCCTGAAATACCTCCTCCTACAACTGCTACTTTTACCATGATGATGATGATATATTTATATTTATAAAAATATGTAAAAAGAAAAAGATAAAAATAGATAGATAGATAGATAAATCGATAAATTTTAATCGAGTTGTGAATAGAGAGAGAGAGAATAGAATGATGTCAAAGAAGAAATAGAAGAATAATTTCTTGTTGTTGATGTTATCTGTTCTGTTGTTGCTAATAATAATGAATGAATGATGATTTCTATTCCTGAACCAAATTCTGATCAGAATAGGAAAGTGGTGATGATCATAGAGTAATAGTGTCATGACTTGAGAGTTTGGCAGATCTCTGGCCGTGCATAGGTGGCACTCTGATGATATGATGCTCAATGAGGATTCGTTGAAAGATTTGATTTTTATCCGGCGAATAGTAAAGTTTGTGGGGCCGGCTGATATCGATTTGTGATCGAAGTCTTGGCATTGGTCAGATCCCTTCACCTAATGGCCTTGCAACGATGGCGCTTGCATTTTTATTGGGTGGAAAATAGAATCCTCTATCCTCGACGAACTGTTTTTGTTTGCTTGTTTGTTTGCGAAAGGGCTGAAGGGTTTTAACCGCTCAACAACTTGAGCCCTACACTGATGTTGTGAGAAGAAAAATAACCATCCGATGATGATACAAAAGGAGGAGGAGGTCGAGAACCACCGATTTTTTTTTAGGCTTGTTGGTGAAGTTACCCCCTCCACAAAACAAAAACACCAGAACTGATCAAAACTGGTCTATCAACCAACCTCAATCTTCTTATTCTATTATTATTATTGTATTATTATTATCTTTGTAACAACAAACCAACTCACCAATCATCCATCTACCATCTCTCTCTCTCTCTTTGCCTATTTGCCCCAAAGTTATTGCATCTCAACAAACAGTTTTGATTGTTGTATTATCTTTTAAATCCTTGTTGTCCTTCGTATCGACAATCTCGACAAGCGACGTAAGTGACCTATCTTGTTTGTCTCACCACCTCCTCACAACCTATCTTTGCAGCCACTGCACCCCTACACAACAGGTTTTATCGTCCTACTATTCAGCCCCTTATTTTATCAACTTCTCCTCCTCTGTCCAATCAACTTGTTTGATTGTTTTTGAGACTCTAGAGAGAAGTGAGGAAGGAGGAGAGGGTTGGCTAGCTTGTGACCCTCCGATTCTATTTTTTCATCTTCTTCTTGTTTTTTTTTTAGTTGTTATCTGTTTCGTCCTACTACGAGTTGTATGTTCTATCTATCTATCTATCTACCTCTATCTATCTATTTGTTTGAATTATTTCAAAAGTTTACAAACAATTTATTAACAAACAAACAATAATAATACAAAAAACTTTTAGTGACCCTCTTTTTAATCAAAAACACAGTATATAGAAAAAATAGCCCATCATAAAAAATGTTGAGTGTATTAGTTCCAACCCCGATAAGATCAGCATGTGCTTCATCGCTTGTATCATGGGGACATTCATTTGTCTTTAAAAATTTCCTACCAAAGATCAAGACTGGTTGTATTATCGTCGAGATCAATGATACCGATTATCCATCCTATTCTACCACTACCACCAAACCAATGGTATTTGGTGATATCAATAGTCCAGAATCAAACAAATCAAAAATGACCATTACAAACTTGTACAGATTTTTAACAAAACGTAAGAAAAAGATAAGAGAAGAGAAAGAAGAATATATATATCCAAGCAATATTCTAAAATACTAATATTAATTGATTTATTTCTTTCTTTTGTAGTTTTATTTGGAGGTGATATAGGATTCTCTGAAACTTATATTTTAGGCGACTTTGTAGTTGATAATTTAACAACTCTTATAAAATGTAAGTATTTAAATAACAAACAATACATACAATAACAAGTTTAATAATATTAATATTTTCTTTTTTTCTTTTTTCTATTTTTAATTTATTTTATTTAGTATTTATTGATAATAGAAATAATATGGATCAATTGGATAGTAAATGGGCAATATTTAAACATGGAGCAGATAGAATATTCCATATTCTTAATAACAATACTGTTGCCAAATCCAAGGAAAACATTAGAGCTCATTATGATCTTTCCAATGATATGTTTCAATTGTTCCTTGACCCAACGATGAGTTATTCGTGTGCTGTCTTTGATTCACCCGAACAAGACTTGGAAAGTGCCCAGATGAACAAGATCCGTAAATTGATTGACAAGGCTAATCTTAAACCACACCACCATCTCTTGGAGATTGGGTCGGGCTGGGGTGCCTTGGCCATCGAGGCTGTTCGTCGTACTGGATGTCGTGTCACTACCATCTCGTTGTCAATCGAGCAGGTCAATCTTGCCAAACTCAGAGTCAAGCAGGCTGGCCTAGAAGACAGAATAGACGTCGTGTTGATCGACTATCGTAACGTCGCCGGCCAGTTTGACCGTATCATTTCATGTGAGATGCTCGAAGCTGTCGGACACGAACACTATGACGAATACTTTGCATCGCTCGAAAAGCTTCTCAAGCCCGACGGTATTGTCGTGTTGCAGTACATCTCGTTTTGCGATCAACGTTATGAGACGTATCGCAAGAGTTGTGACTTTATCCAAAAATATATATTCCCAGGTGGATTGTGTCCATCCAACACGTCCCTCCTCGAATCCATGACACGTAGCTCTCAACTCATGTTGGAGCATCTCGAAAACTTTGGTCCCCACTATGCCATGACCCTCGCCCGTTGGCTCCAAACCTTTACCAACAACCGTGAAAAGATCCTCTCGACCACTGGATTTGACCAACAATTTATTCGAATGTTTACCTATTACTTTTGTTATTGCGAGGCTGCCTTTGCTACCCGTACCATCAACCTTATTCAAATGGTTCTATCTCGTCCATGTAATTTAAATTTACCAATTTTCAACAAAGATATTAATCAAAATACTACTACTACTATTGTATCTGATGACAGTGATCATGCAGATAATGCCAATTCTTCACAAGTAGCTGATCGTGCTTGTTAAATTAAACCAACTATCAACTAAAACTAAACAACAACAAAAAATCGACACCAATCCAATCTTTTCTGTACCATTACCCACAATCGATCCTATTAATTAATAATAATTTGTAACATTACCAAAAACCAACCAAATTTAAAATATAAATACCACTCTTCTAATTATAGAGTGATTAAAACTATTAATACTAAAATATAGATATATAGTTTTTGATGTATTGTTGTGAATTTAAAAAGATGATTGATACTAACTAATAGTATGATTGATTGATTGATATTCCTTGCTTAATGAATTAAATCAATAATAAATATTAAATGAGATAAAGATATACAAGTTACAATTTCTTGTGATGTAATATTGGATGTACTAATTAACTCTCCAAATTTAAGAGAGTTGTCTGAGAGATTCCACTTTAGTCCAGTGGTTGTAACTGATTGAGCAGGACCCGCCAAAGGAATGAGTGAGCAATGTACATCTTTTTTGATATTGATTGTATGTTTACAACCACTGTTGAGGAGGTAGGCAAAGTTTCCACTAGAGAATAAAACAAGGTTTCTATCTGTATGTTCAAACAAAACATTTAAATTGGCAAATTCATGTGATATATTACCTCCTAATCCTCCACTAATAAATATATTTGAAAACTAAAAAGGATGATGGATGATGTTAAAGATATATATATAATTGTAATATATATATTTATAATATGATTTAATTACATACTTTGAAAGAGTATTGTGATTCAATGCTATTTACAAGTTCCATTGTTTTTTGGAGATCAGTAGTATCTTGACTCTTGTCACTCATGACAATTGAACCTTTGGAAGTGTAATAATCTTTTACATGATTGTCAAGAGAATCCAAATCACCTTTAATAAAATCAGGTATCCATTTGTTTACCAATTCATCACCTCCTTTATCTTGAAAGTATCTATTTAATTGATTTGCTCCTCCATCTGCACATATTACCAATATTGCTAAAAAAAAAACAAAAATCACTTGTGAGTAAGACAAGATAAACTATAAACTCTTTTCTAATAAATGTTCATACACTTTGACCACAAGTATTCAAATGTATCTTGAGCAATATTAGAGTTACAAATAATCAAACAATTCTTTTCTTCTTCTAGTTGTTGTTGGTTGTTTGCTGCAGACATGACTATATTAAAGTGAGGTCTTGTAGGTGTATATGTATAGTTTTCTTTGGCTACATCAACTTCATTGGCAGCCGATGAAGATCTTGAAGCTTTCAACATTGGGCTCCAATTATTACAGTTCCATGTTCTAGAGTTCATCATTATTTCTATAAATTATATATTTAAATAAATATAAATAGTTCGGAATAGAGAAATTTGAAAAGTAATTTTAAAAACTTTCATTTACCCTTTTCGGGATATTATTATGAGCTATTTTTTAATTAATTTAATTTATTCTTGAATGAGTCACCACTCTCTCTCTCTCCTCATTTCATAGTTCACTTCTTTCTTTTTATTTGTTGATCGATGGACACTTTTATTATGTATTTATTTGGGAACATGAGATCTATTGGTTGATTGAGGTGAGGGTTGGAGAGTGATGTGTATAGTGGGTTTGCTTTTTTTGGTTGTGTGTTGGTTTGAGGGTTAACCATCAAACCATTAAAAAAATAAAAAGGAGGGAGTAGTCTACCACCACCTCCATAGAACACACCATATAATATATTGGTGACAGCAATAAATTAATTAGGATCAACACCAATCATTCAATTGGTCATTCTTTATCAAGTACTTTTATTGTGTTATTGCAATATTAAATTTAATCACATATATAAATATTAAAAGAGGGAGGAGATAGAGAGAATAGCAGAAAGACATGAGGAATTATTTTAAATATATATTATTAGTCTGTTTGACTATTTTTCTTGTTTTTTCATTGATTTCATTATCAAGGATAGTCGATACCAATGACAAAGAAGATTATAAACCAAGAAAAAATCAACGTCAAATCAATGTTCCTTTTAATTGGAATAATATTAGGCCAATATCATCACCATCATCATCATCATCATCCACTCCCATTCCCACCCCATCTGTAGTTTCCCTATCCAACAAAACTACCAAAATTCTAAGTACCAATACTCCATCTCCTACTCCAACGGTTGTTCCAACAACTAATTTTCCTACTCCAACTCCTACTATCCGACCAACAGTACCTGTTGCTACTCGTCCAGCGGTAGTTCCTACTCCTACTCCTACTCCTACTCCATCTCCTAATACTCGACGAGTGGTTGTTCCTACATCTAGTCAAACAACTGTTGCTCCAACTACAATTATTCATACTCCTACCAATTTCTCATATGATAATACCAAAAAAGTTTATGCAGCCAACAAAAGCAAGAATATGAAAAGAGCAGAAGAAATCAAAGGAGCAATGAAATATGCATGGGACAAGTACGTCGAATATTCTTGGGGAAAAGATGAACTTTTACCACTAACACAATCTGGTAAAAATTGGTTTCATATGGGTCTAACCATTATCGATTCAATCGACACTCTATATCTCATGGGATTACAAGAAGAATATACCAAGGCACGAAATTATATAGAACATGATTTGGATCATTTTATTGATAGCAATGATTCCATTTCAGTGTTTGAAGCAAATATTCGATTTTTAGGTGCCTATCTGTCAATGTATCACTTTACAAGTGATATATTATATCTTGACAAGGCATTGGAAATGGGTCAAATCCTTTTAAATGCTTTTCAAAATAATGATCCATTCCCACAATCTCAAATTTATGTTGCAAAGTAAATATAATATAAAAAGAAATATTGGTTATATTTTTAATAATAATTAATTTGTTTTATTTAGAAATTATTCAACAATATTTGGATGGACAGGAGGATGTTTAATTTTAGCAGATGTAGGAACATTATTTTTAGAATTTACAGAATTGTCAAGAGCTAGTAGTGATCCAAGATGGAAAGAAAAATCAGATAAAATGTTGGAACAATTTGAAAAGTTGAAATTAAAAACTAATGGTCATCTCATTCCACAATTTCTATCACCAAATGGTGAATCATTTTGTGGAAATACTGTATCGATGGGTGGTTTATCCGATTCATTTTATGAATATACTTTAAAAATGGCTCTTTACCATGACAAGAGAGACAATACCCACCACAGATATAAAAAGATGTACAATGATTTTGCTGAAATGATTGTAAAAGATTTATATAAAAAAACTAAAACTGGTATTTCTTATTTAACTATACTTCATGTAATGAAAAGAAAATAATCAAACAAATAATATTTATAAAATATTAATTAATTAATTATTATTTTTTTATTAATTTATTTAGGGAGATATACCATCAAATACATTTGAACATTTAGCATGTATGTCTGGTGGAATGTTGGCACTTGGAGCAGTATCAAATATTAGTGGAAACAAAACATTAAATGATCAGTATTTCAAGATTGCAGAAGAATTGACTCAAACTTGTGCAGAGTTGTATTTTAATTCAACGACTGGGTTGGGACCAGAAGTAGCATATTTTAATCCTGATATCGATCAAGCTTCCGATCATATATTATACCATAATTACTTTTCATCACCAGCTTATTTCTTACGTCCAGAAACCATTGAATCGTTGTTTTACATGTATCGATTTACAGGTGACACCAAATATCAGGAATGGGGTTGGAGAATGTTTGAAGCCATTGAAAAGTATTGTAAAACTGAAAATGGTTATGTTGGGTTTTTAAATGTCAACATGGGAGCTGGCGATAATCCAACCTATGAAAACCTTCAACAAAGCTTTTTCATGGCTGAAACCTTGAAATATCTCTATCTACTCTTTTCAGATTCCTCCCTAATCCCATTAGATAAATATGTATTTAATACTGAAGCTCATCCTTTTTCAATTCCAAATAAAAAATAAATGAAAATAAGAAAAGATAATATTTACTTTTTGTTTATATTAATTTAATTTATTATTTCTATTTATTTGATTTATATTATTATTTTTTTTTTACATTTCAATACCATTATCAAAATATTGGAAAACATCATAAAAGTAAGTAGAGAATGTTGAAATGGTAGAGAATGAATCGACGACGACCTTGGTCATGAATTTGGCAGCATAGGTTTCACTCTTGTTGGGACAGAAACGTTGACGTAGATGAAGGATAGTTTGTTCCTTGAAGCAAGGGAGCTTTGTATCGAGCATGAGCTCAACAAGGGTGATGATTGAATCCATATGTTGACGGGCGGCAAGGAAGGCACGGACACTTTGTTCCATGAACCATGTGAATTGTTCTGCATTTGGTTTTCCACCCATAATGTCAATCATTTCCTGATTCATCTTGAATGGCGATGCCTCAAAGGTGAGCAAATCACCACCTGGCGAGATATCAAAGATAAAACCAAAATCAATGTGTACAATGTGGCCCTCATCATCGACCAAAATGTTTGCGTTGTGTCTGTCTTTGATTTGGAGAATGTAGGATACGACAGAGTAGGCAGCCATTGATTTGATAAAGTTTCTACGTGCATTTTGGAAACCCAAACTATTCTTTTGACCATAACGAGAGATAAAATAGTCATAGAGTGAACCATTTACCTTTTTACCAATTTGATCACGAGACATGGTGTTGGGTACGAGCTCGATCATACCACAACCAGGTTTGGTAGCAATGACCTTGTATGGGAAGAGGTAGAGGTCAAGACCGACCGATTGGAAGATACGCTTAAAGAGATCAATCACTTGAAGTGCCAACATGTCTTGACGGATATCATCACCACTCTTGAAAATACAACCTTGGAGGTGTACTTCGTTTGATGGTGGGGTGGGGTCGTGAATGACACGTCTCGACAGTTTACGAATACGTGTCGATTCTCTGAGATGCATAATGTTGGTGTTGGACAGTTTGGGTGAGGTGGATTTGAGAATCGAGGGGATAATGGCCGTGGTGGACGATGTGATGGTTGCACCCATCAACGGCGAGTTGCTTGGCGATGGTGACTTTACCTCGAGATGTGATGGGTGACTGCTTGGAAGACGACGTTCCAACACCTTAAAGTTGACGAGAATAGGTACCTTGGCAGCAGACTGCAATGTCATGGCCGAATCAATATCAAGACCAATGACAATACTCTTTGGATTGGTTGGGAGGTAGAGAGGGTTGTTTGGATCTTCTCTTTGGTTGTTGGAGAGAATACGGAGTTCTTCGTGTAATTGTGTCTTTCTCTTGATGGGGTCTTTATGCTCGCGCAATAAACGTCCAGAGATGGCAGTAAACGACTCGAAATAGTCAAACTCTCGTTTGTAGTTGTCTCGTGCCTTGGCGTCCATTTCGCCAATAATGCGGTTCTTTAGACGCTTGGCAATGTCGTGGATGCCGGGATCATCAATCAACTTGTCAGTGTTGGGATCGGCTTCCGTGTAGGTTTGCACGTTCCAAATGATCTGGTGTGCCAACAACTCGGATGTCTTGCTTGCAGCGACCAAGTAGTTTTCAACAAGACCCGTACGGTCATAACGCAGTGCCTGCACCAACTGTGGAATGTAAAACATAATCGTTTCGGGTGGGAAGTTACGCAACACACGACATGCGTACTGAATCACCAATGGATGTGATCTAAAGCTCTTGGCAAGCAATGAAATGGCCATGGGTGGGGTGACAGTCTCCCAATACAAGAGGTACTTGAGTTCAGGTATGTTCCGAGCAACATTTTCCTCAGTAATGAGAAGTGGCAGTGCTTCCGGGATATTCAAGACTGCCTTTGTATTCTTGACAACCATTTCAGACAAGATACGACGAATCTTGGCAAGTTGGAAACGAGCACTAAAATGAACGGCCAATCTAGGGTCAATACGCCACGATGATACCAAGTATTCTCTCCAACTAGATTTCATGTTTTTGGGTAAATTGTCATAGGAGAATTTGAGTTGTTCTTGAATTTGGAGTGTTAAACGGTTGATTGGATTATTCCAAGCAGACATTCTCTCCAATTCATTGCCGACGAGGAGGAGGATAAGATTACGACGTTTTCTAAGTTCCTCAAGTTGAAGTTCATTCAATGGACGTTCTCCACTCTTACAAGTCTCTAAAAGTGTTTGACTCACTAAAATACCTTGTGCCGATGAAACTGTCATGGTTCCAATACCACTACCAATCACATCCAACTTGATTGTACCAGGTGTTGAACTACCAACTGAACTTGCAAGTGCAGCAGTTGATCCATTCATAGTATTTGATGATTGTTGTAGTTGTTGTTGTTGTAGTTGTTGTTGTTGTTGTTGATGTTGTTGTTGAGCAAGTCCAATACCAACAGCTCCACTTAATCCACTACCAACATGATTTGATCCATTTGATTGTGACGATGGTACGGCATTGGTTAGTGATGGAATGGCAGATCCAGAAACATTTGAAGAATTGGCCAATAGATTTAGACGATCTGAACTTGGACGACTATTACGAATGGTAGAATAACCATTGATAGATTGTGATGAATTAATCAAGGAACCAGTATTCTTGTCACGTGAAAAAGAGATGGTATGACGTTTTTCAATGGCATAGGAAAAGATTGGTTCTGTTTGGAGAGCCTTGCAGAAATCAATGAGCGTGTGAGTATCTGCTTGCAAGTCACCACTCGACTCGTTTTGTCCGTACCAGATTGGTGGTAGGTAGAACCAACTGAGTGCAGCCAAATAGACACGGTCACGCATTAATTTGACAAGTGTTTGGTCGCCGATATAGTCACCTTGGATGAATCGCATACACAACAAGAGAAGTTTGAATCTCGTACCAAGACTACGTGGTGAAACACTAAGCATATTCTGATCGGCAATTGCCTTTAGCAACATTGAAATGATAACATCAACTTGTTCCTTGCTAGAGTATTTTACAACATAGAAACGTTCCTCCAAGAAATTAATCATAATCTTGTGTGGTACATGATTATGTCTTTCTGGTAAATTACCAACATTCTTTTTTTGTTCTACTGGTGTTCCTCCCATCATTACATCTATATTTGGTTCGTTGGAATCTTTTTGCGTAGCAGATGGTTGTGATTGTGATTGTGATTGTGTTGGTTGTTGTTGTTGTTGAGAAATTGAAAATGGTGATGGATCACGTTCAGTATTTGTAAATAGACCAATACGTTGATTGACAGTCCAAGACCAAATATCAGAGATGGAAGTCATAATGAATTGAGTCAAATCTGGACGTTCGGCCAATAACCATTTCCAAGCAGTTACACCAACCTCCATTGAGTTGGGTGTAAAGATAAAAGCTGGAGCATAACAGACCATGTGAATCAATTTAACACTCTGACCAAAATAATGATTGATAAGGAATGCACATGATCGATACATGATTGAACTAAATGCCAAAGAATCGACAATCTTTCCACGACGGTGTTGTTGAATCAACTTTTCAAACTCTTCAATCAAACGTAAAAATGCCAATTCCTCGACAATCTCGCTCAACTTTTCGTCTTCTTGTTCGCCAGAGTTTTCGTTATAGTCGACCATCATCATATTGATCATACCATTGACCTCGCCAGAATAGAGGGATTTGAGTTGAAGTGTACTAATAAAGTTGGCAGCATTACTATTGTAACAAATTGGGTAGGCACTAGCCAATACATCTTGGTTGTTGGAATTGCCAGTGAATCTACTACCAATGGCAGATGCAGCAGCTGATGCAATGTTGCTGTGAGCTGGTTGAGGAGAGGTTCCAATAATTCCATTGACACCGTTTAATCCGTTGCCAATCGATGTGTTGTTGATGGAACCAATCTCTACAGCCAACGAGAAACCAATATGGTTACGTGAAAAGGTGCTGAATCGTTGCATGTACTCTTGCAACTGTTCTTGAATTTCGATGGGAGCGACTTGAGCACCATTCTTGAGCCATACATTACCAAGCTCTACCACTTCTTGGAGGAGACGGTGACGGGCAGGTGTCTCGTCGGGCAACTCGATGACATAGTCGACGGATGGTAGTTTGATTGAAATCATATCCATTGGCTTGACTTTGGCAGCTTGTCCAATAGCTTCAATCAGATCGAGTAGAGTTCCCAAACATTCACGATTCCAAAGGATTTGTGGGAAACGAGCGACCAATGAAGAGATGGATTCATCCGATGCCTTTCTAACTGGTTGGTAGGGGTAACAGAATTTGAGCAATAAAAAGCTGGCATGGTCAGAGAGAACACGTTCACAAGAAGCTGGTGACACACAGAGATAGGTAGTGACAAAGTCATTAAATACCTTGTCAACAATACCACGAATACAAGCATTGACATAAATACTTTCGATTGACTGATCTTGTAAATAGGCAAATACAACCTTGAAAGAATGAGACATTGAGAAACGCATAGTCTCTAGTGTATAGACAGAGTATACATAGGCAGCCTGAGCAAATGTAAGATTCTTGATGACATGTGCATGGTTTGGCAGTACCTCTAGCAGACGAGAACGTAACTCTACAAAGTATTCCTTGTCAAATCCTTGTTTGATAATACTATCAAGTTCCAGTTCCATCTCTAAATGCAAATGACTCTTGGTAGAGATGAGAGGTAAAAGATGTGATGCAATGACTTGTACACACTCTCTCCAATCACTTCTCCATGTACCAGGTGTAGAGAATCTAAACAATACACAATAAAACCAAATACTACGGAACAGTCTCATATTTGATACTTCTGTACTATTTAACAAAGCAGTAAAACTTGAACTATTCGAGTTATTGCCCGAGTTTGAGACATTACCACCGATAGGGACCTTGATTAATTCTGCAATAGTTGGTAAGAGGAAACCCATACCTTTGAGAACTGGTGATGCCAACTTTTGATTCAACTCTTCACGTTTTAACGTTTTACCAAGTTGTTGGAACAACTTTAGGACACGTTTACAAAGATCTTGACGAAGTTCTTGACTAGAGAGGTCTTTGGCAAGACGTTGGAGAGCGTTGGGGGTGATGTTTCGGATGAGTCCTTGATGAGGATCACGACAAATCTTTTTAAAGAGTTTGGTGATCAATACGACAATGTCTTTGGTGACGGATGCGTAACCGAGCAATGCAATCTCTGTCAGCTGTTCCAGCACTAGATTCTCGATAAAGGTTGGTGGATAAGTGACACGACTCATAAAGTTTGGTAGAATCATGTCAATGACGTGTTGATCGTTGAGCATACACGCAATTCTACCAAGACATGTGATAATGTTGGAGAGTGCGTCAAACTGTTGTTCAGCAGCTTGAGTAGAAATGACTGATGGTGATCGGTTGCGTCCATCAGGTCCTACATTATTGGCAGTAGTAGCCATCAAACTGATACTGTACTCGCTGTATTGAATGTGCATCGTGTTGATGAGTGAAGAAATGACAGTCTTGCAAATCTCGATACCATGTTCACGACGATGTTCGTTTTTAAGTATACGACATACACTATCGAAAACGGTCAATCGTACGTTGTTGTTGTTTTTTGGGATCCTAGAGTGTTGAATAAATTCCTTTAGCACTTCAATCACTCTAATCGACTTTTCAGAATAACGATCACACAAATCGACCAAACTCGTCAAAATGGTAGTATACAACAACTCGCTATGTGGACGATTCAAACTAACCAACACTTCACTATTATTTAGATTTTTTGTCTCTTGTACAAATCTAATTGTATAATCCATCACTTCTTTACCAATTGATGCATCTGATATTCCACATCTTACAATTACATTCTAAAAAGAAAAAAGAAATTTAAAATATTAATTTTAAAATGATTCTTTAAAAGTTTGGTTTCAATGTTTGACTTACAATAATTGAAATAAATGTTTCATTATCAGTTATAGTTGTAGTATAATGAAAAACTAGATTATATAATCTTCTATAAGTTTCACTTTCAACTTGATCTGTTGAAAGATGAGTTATTTGTTCAAATGATTTACAAATTAATAATAAACACTAAACAAAGAAAAAAAGAAATAAATATTAGTAAATAGAAGTATAAATAGATCATATCTCTTTTCTTCTGCTTTACCTTTTTCTGATTAAGTTTGTTACTATTATTAATATTATTATTAGTTGTACTATTGACACTTTTTTTAAGAGTTGAGGGTGAAGAGATTGGTATTTGAGTTGAAATGTTGGAGAGGATATTTTCAATGATACCAATGACACGAGACAATTCATCTTGTTGATAGTTGAAATGAGTTGGTTCACCTAGAGCCATGAGGGTACCATAGAGGATGGGTACATTATTTGATTGTACAATATGTGAAAAAAAGTCTATAAACGCAGGCATGATCATTCCACGAGCCGACGTTGGTTGATTGTCATCACTGTCGGCGACATGTGTCAATGCTGCCAATTGTCTAATCAAGTAAAATGTAAAGTTGGTGGCATGTACTATATCCGATGGTGCTGTGAAATCACTATACGTCAAGTATTTGATAAAGGCAATCAATATTAAAATTGCTTTTTCTCCAATCACTCCATTTGAACATTTATAAAGATGTGATAATGCAATTACACTTTCTTGTGATCTTATACTCTAAAGTAAAGTAGAAAGTAGAAATAAAGATAGATACTATTAATATCAACACATACATATGATTATCTTTTTCTTTTTCTTTTTCTTTTAAGACTTACAACCAAGGATGACATTAAAGTTGGATTATGATCAAGAATATGACAAAGATGTTCATCATTTGCTTCTACATTTAAATATCTACGATTGGGTAGGAGAGCTAGACAAGAGTTTATAATGACTTGTATACTATCCTCGGGTATTGGGTTGAGGAATGATATAGTCTCTGCTAGTTGTACCTTTGCTGATAACCGAAACAATTCTGGTACTGTTTCATTTAACTTGTTGAATTCTGTTGAACTCTTATAGTTTAATGAAATCATCTTTGTTTCCATTTTAGTTAAGTATATATATTTATATTACTCTCGAGAGAGAATAAAAGAAGAGATATAAAATCAAAAACCAAATTTTGAAAAATTTTATAATGATCATCACAAGAAAACAAGTTGGTTTCTTTTTTTTATTTTCAAAAGTAGAAATAAATAATTTACTTATTTATTTATATATATATATATATAGAAACAGAATATATTATGTCAACATTAGCAGATGAATTCTTAAATGATTTAAATGATATAGGAGATGAAAATTATAATAATGAATATGACGATGATGACGATAGAGACGACAACGAAGAAGATAATGACAGAGACGAAGAAGAATCATCGTCATTAACTAAAGATCAGCAACAACAACAACAAACAAAAAATCAAGAAGAAGAAGATGCTGATGATGTAGGTGAAAAAGATGATCTTATGCTTACAGATGATATATTGGAAAAGAAACAAAATCAATTAATATCCTCTATTAAAGATGCTCCTATAGAGTCTATTGCAACTTTAAAAAATTCAACTAGATTAAGTAATATTTTAAAAGTATGTAAAACAAAAAAGAAAAAAGAGAAATAGAAATAGATATATTAGAATCTCTTTTTATTAATTATCTTTTTTTCTTATCTTTGTAGAAAGTAGAACATCAACTTTGTCAAGCATTACCAGAAAAGGGAAAAAAGACAGTTCAAGGTGTGATTGAACATCAATTGATTGTTGATTGTAACAAGATTATTCAAGATATTCAACATGAAATCTATCTCATTCACAAATATGTTAAAGAAAAATATAGTACCAAATTTCCTTCACTAAGTAATACAATTCAAAATCCATTAGATTATATTCTTGTTGTAAAAAGAATTGGAAATCAAGATGTAAGAAGAAAGAAATGAAAAAAGAAATAGAAAAAGAAACTATACTTTTTATTAACTCTCTCTTCTTTTTATTTTAGGATTTAATAAATATAAATTTATCAGATTTATTACCAAAAGCAACTATAATGGTAGTAATAATGTCAAGTGGTACAGATAAAAGTTTATCAGATGGAGAATTGGAAAGAATTAATTCGGCGTGTGATATGGCAATTGAATTGGACAAGACAAAGAAAGTTATTTTGGGTTATCTCGAGAGTAGAATGGCATTTATTGCTCCGAATCTTTCGGTGTTGTTGGGTGGTAGTATTGCAGCTCGTCTTATTGGTATTGCTGGTAGTGTCTCTAATCTTGCTGTCATTCCAGCCGGTAATCTACAAACATTTGGTGCAGATACCAAAGCATTGGCTGGTTTCTCTGGTATGGGTAACCGTAAATTCCAAATGGGTTTCATCTCTCAATGTGATATTGTTAAATCGGCTCCTGTATATCTTCAAAAACAAGCTATTCGTGCAATAACTGGAAGAGTTTCAATTGCTGCCAGAGTTGATTCTTGTCAAGAATCAAATCATTGTAAGAAAATAGAAAAACAAAAAAATAGAAACAAAAAAAAAGATAGATTACAAAACTAATATAATATAATATATTTATTTTCTTTTTATTTATTTTTTTTGTTTAGATGGAGAATTAGGACAACAATATAAAGAAGAAATTGAAGCAAAGATTGAAAAATGGCAAGAACCACCACCAACCAAACAAATTAAAGCACTTCCAGCACCAGCCGAACATAAAAAGAACAAACGAGGTGGTAGAAAGGCAAGAGCCGTCAAGAAACGTTATGGAATGACCGATATGAGAAAAGCACAAAATAGAATGGCATTTGGTGAAGAGGAAAAGACTATTGGCGACAGTGGTATTGGTTTGGGTATGGTCGGTGAAGGTAGTGGTAAATTGAGAATGATGGCACAGGATCGTGGTATTTTGAAAAGAAAGAAAATTGAAGATGGTCATAAATCAAGACCTGGTGCTGGTGGTGGTGCAGGTGCCAAATCTGTTCGTCCCGGTGGTCTTACTACTGTTGGTGGTGCAGGTGGTGCTGTCACTTCGATTGCTGGATCATTTACAATGAGTGGTTTACAATCTGTCATGGTTACTCCTGCAACTGGATTACAAGTTGCTATTGGTAGTGGCGGCGGCAGTAGTGGTGATGCATCTGTTAAAAATAAATACTTTGGTGATGGTATAAAGAGAAAAATTGATCAACTCTAAAAAAGATAGAGAAATCTAATAATAAATTGACCAATCAATACATATCGATCAATCAATCAATGATGATGATTATTTTTAGAACGACTACTAGTTGGATGTGTTGGAGTTTTAAATGATAATGCTTCAACTGATGCTATTTGATTTGTATATTCACTATCCATAAAATTCATTACTCTTATTTTTCTTGAATATAATTCTTCCAATTTCATATTATCATTATTATTCATTTGTCTTGATTGAGTTTGAATTAATATTTCACCAATTAATGATGCAATTTGATGTTTACACTAAATAATATAATATATATTAGATAACAAGTAGTGTATTATATTATATATTGAATTACATACATAGATTGAATCTTGTTTTGATAGAACATTAAAACCAAAACTTGGACAACTACAATAATTTGCATCCAATAGACACATATACTTTGTTCCTTTTCTACCATCGACCACATAGATTGATCGATTCGATGGAAAAAAGATATATTTTGATATTGAATCATTATCTACTAGTTGTAATGATGAGAATACTGTCTTGTTAAATATTGAATAAAGACATATTAATGTATCGTCTGACACTAAATATTTAGAAGAAAAAAAAAAGTAAATAGATTAGACTAGACTAACATAATCTACTCTCAATGATATTAACCTAAAACACATACAAGGTCTATCTGCTTTTAATAAATCATCAACTATATCAATTAATTTAACATCCATCCTTTTGAGCTAGTATAACTTTAAGATAATATTATATGACTATACTTGACATTAATCGAACTATTATCTTTACCTATGAATCTAAATTTCGAGGAAATCTGAATAAAATTGTTTTGGGGTGTGAAGATGCAAGTTTGTTTGTTATTATTTTTATTAATTTTTTTGTTTATAGACAAAGGATGTGTGGAAGATCAGTATTAACATTAGAACCACAAGATATACAAGCTAGAACTAATACAACTAGAGTAATAGGTCAATACCAACAATCATATAATGTAACAATCGGTATGGTTCAACCGGTCATTGTGGCAAGTGCCAATCAACATGTTGTTCAAGCCATGACATGGGGAGGTGTAACGATTGGAACTCAAATGGGTCTAAGCAACATTAGATCAGACAACAAAAATGGTCTATTCAAATCAATGTTAAAGAAACAAAGATGTTTGGTGGTAGCTAATGGTTTCTATGAATGGAAACATCCAACTCATGGTAATTCAAAACCTCTACCTTATTATTTTCATATTCCAAATCAAGAAGAAAAGACAAAGACAACTTCTTCTTCTTTGTCATCATCAGATTCAATGATGATTAGTGAATCTGATAGATTTGGAGGTAATGAAAAGATTATAGATAAATCTAAAACAATCATGTTGATGGCTGGTGTATACCAAGTTACAAAGGATAATGGTGGTAATGACTCTTATAGATATTCTGTCATTACAACTGATGCTTCAAAAGAAGTGTCACCTGTACATCACAGAATGCCAGTTATCTTTAGAGATCAAGATGATATTAATAGATGGCTATCAGAAAGCACTACCGATGAAGAATCCTATGGTATGATGAAACAATTTATTGGTCTTTCCTCTCATAGAGTTCCAATGTTGGTCAATAGTATTAAAAATAATGGTCCAGAATTGATTGAAAATGAAAAGGATTATTATTCAAAACATGGTATAAATAGATTTTTTCAACCAATCCAAGATGTACAACAATCTCAACAAGATGTACAACAATCTCAACAACCTATAGAACAACAAAATAATGTGCAAATACAACCAACAATATTAGATGAAGAAGTTGAATTTGATTTTTTCGATGATACTCCTCCTCCTTCGTCTTCTTCTTCTTCCACCATTTCTCAACCATCTTTTGTAAATACACAAATATCCTCCTCCTCCTCATCCTCTTCATCCCAATCAAAACCAAGAGCCAATTCAAACACCACAACCAAAAAACCAACTGTATCAAAATCACCATCAAAGTCACCATCCAAATCAACTCTTCTTGCCAACAAGAAATCATTTACAAATCCACCCAAAGGTGGAGGTATTGAAAGGTTCTTTACTCCACAGTAGAGAGAGAAAGAGATAATAAATAAATATTTGTATCGCCGTTAGTTTCAGGAAAGTGAAGTTACTAATGCGAAAGCATTGGGGGTTCGAGTCCCACACATCACTTGTTCAAGTCCTTTGCTGCATGTTTGTTGCTACTCTTTTTGACACTTGCAAACCAAACCAAGTTGTGTCCACCTAAATGATAGACCTAGACATTGATATACATCTCTAAACATCTCTATCCTATCCATATCTACCTTTTCTGTTTCAACACATAACAAACTACTACTGCTACTTTAAAATCTTATATAAACAAATCCTTTTATTTATTTATTATTTATTTATTTATTAAAAAGAACCATAATGATTATTCTTATTTTGACTTGGATGATGATGATGATGATATTTGTGATGATTATGATGTCTCTTGTAGAGGACGTAGATAATGATTACTAAAATGGCAACACCAAGTACAACACCGATTGCAATACCTGCTTTTTGGCCACTGGTTAAACCACTCTTTGGTTTAGATGGTGCTACACATAAATCATCACCCATTCCTCCATTAATGGTACACTCTGCTCCACTTAGACAAGAAATAAATGGTACCACTGTTTCATTTTTAGTAAAAATATGAACAATATCTACATCTTTAATTGTAATGGTTGAACTATTTTGACATTGCTTAATAATAATAATAATAAATCAAAAAAATTGAATTAATATATAAATACCAAATCATACTAATCATTTTAAACTTTTTTTTTGACTTACAATTGAAGTAATAATATTTGAAACGGTAATATAATTTAGATTAATTGTTGAACTACCAGTAACATATAAGATACTACCATTTCGAGCAGCATTACCAATAAATTGTGAACCATTGAATGCACCAATATAGGAATTGGATGAATAGATAGCACCACCTTCTTGAGATGCGGAATTACCACTAAAATCACAACCAGAGATTGTAACGATAGAAGTTGAAAGAGCACTGACAACACCTCCTTGCACAGCAGAATTACTAATAAAACTACTATTATATAGACCAACTCGAGAGTTTGTTGCAACGATTTGACCATTATATGGAGCAGTGTTACTAGTGAAATTGGAATCCAAAACTTGAATGTCTGAATTGGTCAATGTAAATGCACTAGTATTGAGATTAGAAGTGACAGATGATTCAACAAAGACAACGTTTGTACTTTCAAAAGCACTGATCAAAGATCCATTACCAACGGCTTGATTATTTGTAAATACACATTCCGACAATATACTGCTGGCGAGTGAATTGAATATGAGAATGAGTGAACCTTTGGATGCAAGTGTATTATTGGTGAATTGGTTCTTTCCAAGGTAGATGTTGTTGACCAAGCTGGATTGAATGAGGAATTGTGCTTGGTTTTGATTAAATGTATTGTCGGTAATAGTAACAAATAAAATGTTACCAGTCATTTTAATCAAGGAGTTGGCCGTTGTAATATTGTAAAAGTTGGATTGTTGGAAAACAACTTGTGATTCGAATGGGAGGTTGTTTTGAGTACTGACCGATAGAATGGAACCGTCAAACGTGGTAATATTGGCAAATGTACATGACAAGAAACTGATGGATGACTTTGAATTGATGCTAGAGTAGACGATACCACCCGATAGATCACCAGTGACTGCTAGATTGACAAAGGTAACATTGATGACGGCCAGAATGGTTTGATCGGCAGAAGTGATGGGACCACCATTAACTGGCAATAGAATTTGTACAAAGTATGGTACAAAGACACCGGTCATATCAATGACGACCGATCCATTATTAGCGACAATATTGAGTGTTTGATTGTAAAGTTGAATGTTTGAATTGGCGTTACCAGTGTAAGTACCCTCTGACATGAATATGGTCAATTGATGGCCTCCACCAACCGTCACATTGTTGAAAGATGCGATAGCACTTGCAATATCTGGACATGTGTTATTTACATTACTATTATCTGCACCACAGTTGATACTAGTGTTGGTTGATTGCGAATTTACATAAAGTGTTGTTTGTGTGCCTGTTGTTATTGTTGCTTGTGCTGATAATGTAAAAAAACTAACCAACACAATGAAAACAAATAAAAATGTTTTTAAATATTTCATCTTTGTAAAAATAAATAAATAATCAAATAAATATTTGTTGTTGTGATTAAAAATGATGACGTTGTTTGTTACAACTTATAATAATGAACCGTTGTTACATTACATTATAAAGTTGTCGCTTTTATCTTTAATTTTTCTAAAGACAAGAAAAATCATCATAAAATTTTCTCAAAATATCTGAGTCGCGTGGGGCCACCCTTTGATCTTTGGAATGGAAGTGGGTTCCCCAATATTTTGTTTCTGAATAGATCAAGGTCCTGCTTTTTAAAGATAAGGTATTGACGTAGATGTTTGGACATATGCAATGTAATTACAATCAGTTAATATTGGTTGATTAACATATATGTTATGAGTAGTTTGGTTCCAACAACAAAATCAAATTATTTCCCTTGTTGGCGATTTCAAAAAAAAAAAAAAAAAAATTGATTTTTTTGGGTGTTGAGCTGAAGTTGTGTCACATGACCCGACCATCAAACAAAAGTAGTTTGTTGTGTGTTGACAGATAAGGGTAGATGTATATCAATGTCTAGGTCTATCATTTAGGTGGACACAACTTGGTTTGGTTTGCAAGTGTCAAAAAGAGTAGCAACAAACATGCAGCAAAGGACTTGAACAAGTGATGTGTGGGGGACTCGAACCCCCAATGCTTTCGCATTAGTAACTTCACTTTCCTGAAACTAACGACTCTACCAATTCGTCTAACACACCGATCGTTGAAACCAAAACTTTTTGGCGCTCCCGGAGCGTCACCCAACGACCCACCTCTCTCCCTTCCAATGCTCCCCCCTCCCCAGCCATACAAACACACACCAACACCTCTACATACAATACACATACAACTCTATTTGCAAGCTTGCGTAGATGTGTTGGAGCAGACAAAGCATTACGCGACGAAAAACCGAAAATTGTCAAAAAAAACAAAAATCTGGTGATGAGCGAGAACGAGTTTGTTGTTTACGCAATCGACAAATCCCTAGCAACTTTTGTATGACAACATGGTGAGCACAAGCTAATACAGGAAAAGAGAGAGTAGAATGGAGTTTGAAGAAACAATCCGATGCTTGATCTGATAGGTAGGTAGGGGGAGGTAACTAACTCTATCATCAAGCTAAATGATAAAAGAGAGAGAGAGAGAGAGAGAGAGAGGCAAGTAGTACGAAACAGTCGAGACAATAGACATGGTGCGGAGGTATAGTACACTACTGATGATATAAAGACACATAAGAGGAGAGAAAGAATAGAGAGAGAGGGAGAGAGAGAGAAATAAAGTATATATATTGTATGAGTTGATATACAACTGTTGTATCTATCTGTAATAATTATTTATAAATCGATTTTGAAAAATGAATTAAAAAAAAAGACTTCTTATGTCTCTCATCTTTTTTTTGAAACGACTGACAGGATTAGTTTGATAAACTATCACACAAACATTCATCAGAACAATACAAGGCAACATGTGCGCCCATTAAATATTAATAGACTCAATCAAAGGGAAAGAATAATACAACCAAACCCTCCTCAAAACATCAAATATAACTCAAACAAGTAAAAGAATGAAATGGTTGGTATTTTTTATATATCTTTTATTTGCCTTTTATTTATTCCTTGTCAATATTCATACTATTATTAATAGAAGATTTACTTTCACACCAAAATCTGGCTCTAAAATCGTTGCTACAAGTCATCAATGCATTCTCGACGGGAGAAGATGCAATTGCTCTAATAGATTGAATATGTCCTGGCAATGATTGCATAGCCTCTCCATTTCTTGAATTATAAATTGCCAAGTTTGAAGGTTGATTATCCAATGTTAATATTAATTCTTCGTTAAAATTAAACGTTGCTGTCATTTTATTTTTCTAACAGAAAAATAAATAAATAAATAAAGTATTAATAATTAATCCAATTCTCTCTTTTCTTTTTTTTCTATTTTTTCTATTTTTTCTATTTTTTCATACAATATTATTTGATAATTGAACACCAGTATTTATAGTATTAATTAAACGACCAGAAGAAATTTCCCAAAGTTTAACACAACTATCACGACCCGATGATAATAGGTATTTTTGATTACGAGAGATTTGTACCGACGTGACTTCCATACCATTGTGAGGAGTAGCCAAAGTATTGATAAGAGAAAAGTTTTGAGCGTCCCAAATCTTGATGGTACAATCTTTAGAGCACGATGCAAAGATGTTTCCATCGATCGAGTATCGCACCATATTGATTGGACCATGATGATGTTCGTTTACCTTGCGCGATGTAAACGATTGAAATGTATTGACATCGTAGAGACGGATCATATGATGATCAGTACCCGCCAAAATCATATCACCACACGGATGGAATTGTATGGTTCTAACACTATGAGAATCTGGTAGATATTTAAATGATCGTTTCAATGAGCTCTTGTAATCATAAAATCTAATTGTACAATCTTTTGATGCTGATGCCAGTATTGGTGCTGTTGGATGAAAATCTAAATCTGTTATTGGCTAAAGAAATATAAATAAGTAAAAACTATATATCTTTCTTATATTTTAGTTACCTTTGAATGATCATAAAAAGTTCTAAATACAGGTCTACTTGGAGCAAAGTCTTCACTTGTTTCATTTTTAGTTTGATTAAAGTTTCTCATTTTGTTGACGTCTAGTACTTTGATGCTTGCATCCGATGACCCAGTGGCCACATATTTACCATCACCACTAAACTTTGCACATCTACATGCATTCTTGTGTGTTGTTATAAATTTGGTTATAAATGTAGTCTGATTACCAAGAGGTGATGATGATTGTGGTGGTACATCTAAATCTAATCCTGTTAATATTGTATTATTATCCATTGATAATATTGATGATTCATCTAAAAAATAGAAAAAGATAATGTATTAATATGTGTATAGATTATAATCTATCTATCTATCTCTTTCTCTCTCTATCTCTTTCTTTTACCATCATTCCAAATATCTTGTTTCTGAGGACTAATTTGAAACAATGTAGAAAGTTTATTTGATGCTTCATTTGGTAGAGGACAAGGAATCATCATTGATTCACTCAACTTTGTTGCTTCATTTACATATCCATCAAATACTAATTGATTTAATATTAATGAATATAAATCTCTTTGTTCTTCTTTCATATTTGAATGGTAAAAGTATTAATGAAAAAAGTAGTAAACATGTTTTCGTGATGATCGACTCTCTCTTTGAATTTGTCTTTTTTTTTTTTTTTAATTTAATTTAATTTAGATACATAAATATCTATATGTATGTATTTATTTGTTATTTATTATTATAAGTTGAATTATGAATATATATATATATTTACAAAAAAGATATCTTTTTCTATTATTATTATTTCTTTAAGACACCAAACCAAATTCCTAAAAAGATACCGACTCCAACCAAAGTAATTAATAGACAAATTGCAAGACAAACTAGTTTCTTACGATAACTACTCTTGTAGACATGAGCCTTTTCCAAATCAATGACAGCATCTTCAACCTTTTGATCAGACACTTCTACATTATCATTGGCAATGACCAATTGTTCACCTTGTTCATTGACCATATCCGAAATATCAGTCATCACCTCTTTTAATACCAACATGTCTTCAACCAATTGTTTGGTTTCCTTGTTTCTCTCTTTAATAATTTCTTCATAAACTTCATCTTGACTAATTGATTGTCCTCCTAATCCCATTGTTTGATATTGTTGTTGTTGTTGTTGGTATTGTTGTTGTGGTTTTTGTGAAAAATTGGATTGATATCTATCATCATCCATATAATTATTATTATTATTATAATTATTATTATTATTATTATTATAGTTATTTTGTTGTTGTTGTTGTTGTTGTTGTTTAAAATTAGAATTATTAATACTTGGAGATTCGACCAACGAATTTCTAAATTGTTGGTCTTTGATGGGAGCATGTTGTTTTTCATGTTGAATAGATTGTTGTACGATATGATTAAATGAATTGGTAGAGTCTGTCAAACCCTTGACAAGCTTGTCCAATTGCATCTTTGGTACTTTAGACTTGGTCGATGGATTTCGTAATCCATCAGATACTCGTTTCAAGTTTTCTGATATATCCAACTTTCTAAGATGAACATTATGTCTAAATGAATCAGTATCTCTAACAGTTCCCTACAAAATAAATAAATGTACATTTATATAAGTTATCTCTATCTCTCTCTCTCTCTTTGTTGTGAATAACACATACATAATCACGTAATAATTTCTCTAATTGTGATATCTCTACATGTGTCTTTGTTAATAGATTAGTGATAGTTTGAATTTCATTATTATTATTATTATTGTTATTATTATTTAATAAAGGTTGTCTTTCTGTCATTATTAATCTATGTGTGTGTGTGTGTGTGTGTATATCACTCTCTAACTCCAATGTGATGATAAGAATAATAACTTGTTTAACTTTTAACTCTTCACAGACACAGACAGACTTTGATTAAAAAAATATCTTTTTTGAAATATTTTTGGCGTGGCGAAAATGTCTTAGAGGAACGAGAGAAATCACAAGTCATCAAGAACATGCAAATATTTAAATAAATATAAATAAAATAAATTATCTAACCAACCCCTAAACCATACACCTTTTAGGGTATTGATGAATGAAGATCATTCTTTTAACTTGTACTTTTTTAAAATTTTAAAAATAAATATTTTTTTCTAAATAATTTAAATCGTAATTTTTGGAAAAATCTGATTTGTTGGTTGCGAGTTCATTGTCTCTCTTTTTTTACAAATCAAATAAATATAAATATTTTTTATAGAAAGAGATAAAAAGACAACTTGTAATTTAGATTATTATAAATTTAACAAAGAAAAGTAATGAGCGATCCTCCAACAACGATAACAGAAACAGAGAATGAAGAAATAGAAATAGAAACAGAAACTACAACTACTACAACTACAACCGAACCATTCATTCCACAATGGAAAAAAACAGACAATTGGGAAGGTATGATCTTATATATATATCTATCTAACTATGTTTACTACTCTTCCCTTCCTTTTCCTTTTCTTTTACTTATCTTTTTTTTTTATTATTTTTTTTATTTTTATTTTTAGATATGTTTGATTTTATTGAAGGTGATATTTTTAGTGATTTTGGTAGAGGTGAAGAATTTTTAATTGATGGTGATTCATTATTACTATATCTTGTTGCAATTGAAAACGAGATTGAAAAGGATCATTTAAAGGGTCTTATTGGTAGAAAAAGAAATAATACCGAAAGAGACGAATCGATCTTTGCTGCAAAACACTCTCAACAAACTCTTCACTTGATTTTCAAGTTTGAGAAATTCTTGAATAGTCTTTTACAAAGAAAGGCAAAGTTTAGTATCATCTTTTTATCGAAAAATGATCGTTTCTATAAATCCTCTTCATTGGTATTGGTTAGAAGATTGATTATCAATTCCTATAAAGATAATATTAGTTTGCCATTTGGTTTTAAAGTTTTTGATCAAGAATGGTTTAGTCAAGAAATTGGTTCTTTTAATCCTTTATTCGATTATTTTAAATCAAAAACTGTAAGAAAGAAAAAAACAAAAAAGAAATAATTATATAACTTTATTAACATTTTTTTCTATTCTTTTTTATTTAGTTTTCATTTTTATTAGTTTTACCTCCAGTTGTAAACAATTTGAGATTAATTAATGATTTATTTAATATGAATGCAATCCAAGTATGTAGAACAAAAATAGTAACAAATTTGTCTCTCTTTTACTTATTTTATTTTTCTATTTTTTAGTTATTTACAAAAAAATCAACAGAATATTTTTCACATTTTGTTGATTTAATATCATCAGAATTTAGAGGATCAACAATGAATTCATATATTTATACTTTTAGAAAAAATATTATATTTTCACCACAATTACAATCAACTATTCAACAAGAAATTTGTCAAGTAAATTCCGTAACGTCGTCGGTTGGTAATCAAAAAAAATCAACCATCACCGAGTTGGAAAAGGAATTGGATACTATTGGACAATTAAATTATCGTAATCTTTTGACATTGTTATCAATTTTGGATCTTGGCAAAGTTGATATATCGTCATTTTTATTAAAATCATTATCAGTCTATTTGGTGATTATGAATAATTTACCACTTTCAAAGAGATCATTTGATAGTTTGGATTATGAACCAATTGAATTTATTCAATTGTTTCAAGATCTTTGTCGTCCAATGCTATGTTATTTGGGTAACAACAAAAAGGATCAGTTCACTTTTGATTTGGTAGATGTTAAACAATATTCATTTATTGCTCTCATTCTTTGTAATTCAACTGGTGGTTCTTGGTCAAATTTAATTGGTCAAGAATTATTTTTGGCTAGTAAATCAATTTTAGAAATTCTAAAAAAGTTTGGTCCATCATCTTGGTCAAGTATCAATTTTGTTGAACAAGGGGTAGAGGAGAAATTCATTTTTTCAACTCAACCAGAATATAATCAATATGAAAAAGTATTGACTAAAATTCAAACAAATAGTCATTTAAATGACAACAAGAATATGGATTTATACAAGGTTGATAATGAATTTATTTCTGCCATTGTGGGAGATTCACAAAAGGATTTGGTTTTCCAATCAACCATTCCACAAGAAATTCAAGATCGTCAAAATGCCCTTCCAGAATTTTACAACATCTCTCATCATCATAGTCTTAGATTACTCGAAAATCTACCAGATGCCTATCTTGAAACAATCAAGGAAAATCGTCAAGCAAACAAACCAATTTCAAAAAAATTTGCTGATAAAATGAAACATGGTGCTGCAAATAGTAAGAAAAAGAAAATACAAGAGAGAAAAAAAGAATATAATCTAATTTTTGTTTATTTTCTTTAGAATTTTTTAGAATAGCAGATAGTTTATATGATAGTAAAAAAAAAATTGTTATTACAGAATTGGATAAAGATGTAAAAGAGGTAGCAAAACAAAAACAAAGTCATCAAGTAAACAAACAACATGACAAGATGAAAAAGTTAAAGAAAAAGGATGAGGTAAAGGAAAGAGCCGACAAGAAACAACAAGAAAAGGCAAAAGCATTCTCAAAACAAATGAGAGCATCAACCGTTTTGGAAATTGTTGATAGTATTGATTTGTATATTGCCAATGAAATTGTTGAACACAATGAATTTTCATTGGACAAGGATACTATGGATCAACTATTCAAAGGAATGGAAAGAATCAACAAAAAGTATTCGAGTCAAGAAAAGGAAAAACTTAAACTCTATCAATTGTTACAAAAGATTCTTAGATTGTTGGATTCAAAACAAATCAAACCTGAAAAGGGTCAAGAAATCAATCTCTATCAATCATTGTATCATTTATCATTGCTACTCAATCTCTACGATCTCACTAATTATATAAATGATCGATTCTCTCTTAAAAACAAAGAGAAAAAAGAAAAACAACAATCATTTGAAAACTCTGCAATCGTTTATCAAATGACTCACTCCCATACTACTTTGGTTAGATCAATTGGACAAAGAAAGGATGAAAGAGTAAAAACTTTCATTCCAGATGCATGGCAAAGAGATCTTTTAGATGTGGTTGATAAACATGAATCTGCTCTTGTTGTTTGTCCAACAAGTAGTGGTAAAACATTTATTAGTTTTTATATCCTTGAAAAGGTATTAAGAGAATCAAATGATGGTATGGCAATCTATGTCAGTCCTACAAAGGCTTTGGTCACTCAAACTTATTGTGAAGTTATTGGTAGATTTGATAAATCTTATGATAATATTTGTGGTAAAGATTCTTCTGCTCAATATAGAATGGTAAGAGAGGAAAAGAAAAGAAAATAATAATATTTTAATGTTAATATTAATTTATTTTTCTTTTATTTTTTAGTGTGGAATATTTACAAGAGATTATAGAATTGATGAACAAAAATGTCAAATTTTAATTACAGTACCACAATGTTTAGAGCTGTTATTACTTTCAGTATCAAATTCAAATTATCTTTCAAAGATTAAATATATTATATTTGATGAAGTTCATCAAATTGCAAATGGTACAGAGGGTGCTATTTGGGAAAGTTTACTCTTGTTGAACCCTGGACCATTTGTAGCCTTGTCTGCAACTGTTGGAAATACAGGTGAATTTAAAGATTGGTTACAAGAAATTGATCCAAAGAGAAAAATTCATTTGGTTCAACATAGTAATAGATTTAATGATTTGAAACATTATCAATATGATCACGATAATCTACAGTTATTACCTCATCATCCATGTGAAACATTACGTATCAACAAATCAACAGAACAATTATTCTTATTGTCTGAAGAGGCCATTCAACTATATCAACACATCAAATCTAGTTTTAAACAACTTGACAATGAAATTGGTGAATTGGATCCAATCAAAGTATTCACCCGTGTCTCTAATAACAACAATGTTTATAATCTAAACAAACAAGATATTAAAGATTATCAAAGAGCTTTATTGGATTTGGTAGAGTCAAGATTAAAGAGTGATGAATTTTCAGCATTCATGTCTGAACATTATCCAGAAAAACATTTACGACACGATGATTGGAGAAGTAGAGTACCAGAAGTGATTATGGATTTGAAAAAAAGAGACATGTTGCCAGTTATCGTATTTTGTCTCTCTAGAAGAATTTGTGAAAAGCTTGCACTCGCTCTCGAGGAACATATTGACAAGATGCATTATGATCCAAAGAAACAACAAAAGATTGACTTGTTAGAGAAAAAGATTGAACAAGTTAAATTGGAAATCAAGACTGTCAACCCGACTCAAGACGATGATATCTTTCAAGATTTGGAAAAGTTGACATCGACTCTCTCCCTACTCGTCTCTAGAAAGCCAGAGTTTGGTACCATCTTGACAGATGATGTTCACGATCCAAAAGGAAAGATCAAGAAATTGGATTTGTTTGGTCCACTCATGGAAGGAATTGGAGTGCATCATGCCGGTCTACCAAAAGATTATTTGGAAAATGTCGAAGTCTTGTATAGAAGAAAGAAGATTTCAGTCATTTTTGCTACCGGTACGTTGGCACTTGGTATCAATATGCCATGCAGAACCGTTGTTGTCGCAGGTGATTCGCCATACCTCAACTCTCTTTCATTCCGTCAAATGGCTGGTCGTGCCGGTCGTAGAGGTTTTGAAGATAGAGGTAACGTCATCTTTTTGGGCATCTCTGATACACGTGCTCAAAAGTTGATCAACTCTAATCTTTCAGATATCGTTGGAAACAGTGTCCTCACACCATCCCTCTGCCTAAAGATTCTTTGTCGTTACAATTTCTTCCAACTCGAAAAGCAAACCGACCTCAACGAAAAGCACGTTCAAGAACTCATCTTTGCCACTCAAAAGGTGGTAGGCAAGAGTTTCTTTATGAAACGTTCTCCATTCCAAAATCCATTCATGTTTTTATTCAGTTTGGATTATCTCTTTAGACAAGGATACCTTTCTCAAAATGGTCAAGCTCTTGGTTATGCTTCCATCGCCACCCATCTCTCCTACCTCCAACCTTTCAACTTTGTCGTCTGTCGTCTCTTTAGAGATCAAGTATTTGGTGATTTCCTTGGTAAATCAAAATATGATGAAAGAGAAATCTTACATATTCTTTGTTATCTTTTTAATAGAAAAGAAATTCCAAATATTATTGGTAAGAAAAAAATAGAAATAGAAAAAAAAGAAAAAAAGAAAAAAGAAATATAATTTATTAATACTCTTTTCATTAATTTTTATAGATATTGATAAATGTCCATCAAAGATTACATTACCAAAATTACCAAATAATGTAATAACTTCAATCAATAAGAATAATCAAGAAGTGATTGATACATTTGTAGCCTATGTTGCTGGTTTACAGAAAAAACTACCACTTGTTTACATGCCAATTAGTAAATCGATGGATGAACAATTTACCAAGGAAGAGGAAAATACTATTGACCAATCCAATAGTCATACTACTTGGTTTAATACCATTGACAATTATATTGAAAAGAAACCACAACTAAAGAAATCAATTACATCACTTGCTGGTAGTTGTAATAATATTGTCGATACTACAACACTCCAACATTCAATGCCACCAGGAACCTTTTTCGATCAATCGGTTCTACCAATTTGCAACATTAACACCAAACAAGCAAATTCTTACTTGCTCGATTTGTACAAGCACAAGCAAGTCAACACTGTCATTGAATGCAACCATATCCCCAAGGGAGAGATCTTTGAGTTGACCAAAGACTTTGCCCTAACTCTCAAGGTTCTCTCTACTTCTCTACTTAGAATTGACAAGGATTCAAATGTTGCCAAATCTTTTGAAACATTAGCAAATAATTATTCTCGTTTGTTCAATCAACTTTTCTTAAATTAAAGAAATAAATCTAGTTGATAGAATTTAATTCAATAAAATAAATCTTGCAATATTTATAATATTTACCAATTAATATGTGATCGAACATTTTCGAAATAAAATAGTAGTTTATTGGTTCATTTTATAAGTATCCTAAACACACACAATAGTGATGGTTGTTATAATTTACAGCTGAAATAATGATGGAGAAAGGAAACTTGAATAGTTAGAGTAAAAACATTCTCTACAGGCATAATCTTTTAAGGATTTTGATTGTTGGAAATATCTGTGTTGATTATATTTAAAATAGGGCCTCTCCCAACTACCGTCAACCACCAAGTAGTGAACAGTGTCACTATGCAACAATGCGTCGAATAGATGGGAGGTACCAATCTTATCAAACGAGTTGCCTGATACATCGAGAACCTTGATTGACTTGTTTTGTTGGAATGCATACTGTAACTGGTCACACCACTCCAAATATTTGTCGGCGATTGAAAGTGTTTTGATGGTGGTCGAGATTGCAATCATCGTTGAGAATTCAGGTACGTATAGCGGATGAATGGTCTTTTGTGTCAGGACCAGGGTAGTGATGGTTCGGTTATATGAAAGACTGGCAAAAAACTGGGGCGATATAACGTGCGAAAAATAAGACATGCCAAGATACTCGATGGTTTTATTGGTCTCCCAAATAAGCTCGAACGGCATTTCAAAAGCTGGTATCGTCTGAATTGGATCCAATGGTGTGCCATGGTGGCTTTGATTATTGTAATCCTTGAGAAATAGTAGTTTTAGAGTTGTGTTGCATTCAATGGCTTCACAAACATAATCCCATTCTGTCATGCCTACATCTTCATCTTCTACATCTTCATCTTCATCTTCTTCATCTTCATCTTCTACTTCATCTTCATGATTTAAAAGATGGTGACTATAACTTTGAATAAAACCACCTTGACGATTTCTTGTTGGGATCAAAATTATTGAGGTTTCGAATGACTCCAAGTTTGAATTTGGTTGTGTGAGCAATTGATACAATTCTGGTAGTTCGAGATAATCATCGTCCATTGAGATGTGTTTGGTGTGTTCAAGTACACCAAACATTTTGCTGTATTGGAGGTGGTGACTTGCGTAGTCTTCGTCACGGAATAGATTGAGGTAACTTGGTTTGAGATTACCTAGCAACTCGAGTATCTCGGCGCTATGATATTTCATAGCTATAATCAACGAGACCACTGTACTATGATTTGGGACGAATCCATGCATATTGATCTTTATAGCTTTCTCGAGGGATCCGATTTCCAAGAGCATGGTAGTCTCCAATTGTCTTCCTGCTGCTGCTATTACTTCATTCATTATTTTGGAGATTGATTCTAGTCTTGTACCACTTGTTATAATATTGATAGTATCGAGCTGTGGCAATTGATCCAAGACTTGTTTGTAATCGAGCTGGTCTGTGCGATCATTATTACCATTATAATAATCACCATCATCAGCATCATCATCATTGTCAACTATTTCCAAGCAAGTGTTCCAATTTATCCTTTTAATATTGCATGCTTGGTGGATAGAGTACACGTTGACTAGTCGGATCAATCTATCCTTGTCGAACCTTCCCACAACATTGATCTCTGCTTTGATTTTTCTGATCACTTGAAACCACCATTTCGAGACCAATGCCAAGTCGATCATATCCGAATGTCTATTGTGTTGGCGAACAGGTAGCTCACCAGTGTATAGCAATTTGCATATATCACTGTATGATGCCACGTGATCACTGCTCGCGCTCCAACACTGTCCACCATAAAATGGAGCTCTTGAGTATTTCCAGTCGAGGAAGTCATATGGGGTTCGCAGAGTGCAAATGTGAGTGTAGCTGTAAATCACCAACTTGTTGATGATTGTAGCTTGTATATATAATGGTAAAAAGAATTGATCCATTTATAATGTTATCAGTTTTACAAGCTTTGCCCTTGTAAACGCACAACAAATTTCCGAGTGAACATTTTGTTTTTGATTGAGGATGGGATCTTGTCGGGTTGAAAAGTATCTCTGTAGCTAAGTTGCGTTTAAACTCTTCTCTGCTTGCTGATACCGATGCTGTGCCATTCGTGTAGTGGCTGACACACTTAAAGGTGATTGAATTTTTCGAAATAAAATAGAAAGAGATATTTGTTCAAATCGATTTATGTCCATCTTGCATTTGTTTTTCTTTTGGTTTTATCTTTTAGTTTAAAATACAATGAGTAAGTTATAAACATATATGATCCTACCTACCTCTGTTACTTAATCTTTCATCTCTAATTTAGATGCAGCAATTTCATTTTCATTACCCATACTTTTACAAAAAAAGATATTAGAGTTTATTTTAGAAAAAGATGTTGTTATCTATCAATCAAATATGAAAAGTGCATCAATCAATCTATCTCTAGTATCATGGAAATGGTTTGAATGGGTTAGTCAAGTGTATAGTGATTCATTGACAAACCTAGGGTTACAATCTTTTTTCAAAAGGTTCACCGCCGATCAAACAATGCAAAAGAGATTAGAATCAAAATATTGTCTTTTTAAAAGTATTAGTAATTGGAAAACTGATATTGATGGAGCCCATGTAATCAATATTAATAGTGAAATGAAATCAAATTTAAGAATAGAAATTGAAAAGCAAAAAGAAATAGAAATAGAAATAGAAAAAGAAAAGGAAAAACAGAAATCTTCTACTTCTTCTTCTTCTTTGACAAAGAAAAAAAAGACAACAAATATATTATCAAGTTTATTTAAAAAAGAAAAAAAACAACAACAACAAATAGAAGCATCTATCGATACCGTATTGTCAATACCAAGATATACATCAACTATGTATTTTAGATTGGAGAGAATGGAATTTTATAACAAATTTATGGCACATGGTTTAAAAAGATTGACATTTGGGTATAGGTCGTTGGGAACTGAACCATTTTCAATGGTTCCAAATTTACCAGAAACGGAATTGATGCGCATTATGGAATTGTCAAAATCAACACTTCAAAGTTTAAATATCAATCATCCACATATTCCAAAATGTATTCCTACGTGTTTGATTGATTGTACCAATATCACTGCATTGTCCATTTCCATCCCTCGAAAGAAAACAGAAACCGATCAATTCTTTATTCGAAGCATTGAATTGGTTGCTAGAGGTTTGGAAAGCTTGTCCATCTTTTTCCCTCTCAATGCACAAGACGTACAATTTCCAGAAAGTTTTATGATTGAAAACTATCAATACGCCAAAGACACGGTCGTCAAAGTACTCGACAATGACGCTCTCAAGAGTAATCTAAAGATTCTACACGTTGAATTTTTACCAAGTCTCGAACTTTCAAATGTATTGTCACAATACACATCACTCAAAGAATTAAAGTTTAATCGATCTCGACTATCAAGTATCAATCAACTAGGAGACATGCAACCATTTTTAAATGATTCCAAGGTATCTAGTATCAACATACCAATAGATTGTTCATTTGGCAAGTCCAAAGTACACTTAAACAATCATCTATGTGAATTGGTATTCCATTTATACGCTTATCCAAAGGATATATTTCAATATATATTTGACAGTGTCTTACCATCATCCATTTCCTCACTCTCTATTCACAGTTTCAACGATACCTCTGTACCAACTCCCAATCTAACTGTCTTTCAACCACTCTCGCACAGTCTACAAAAGGTTGATTTTCTATTAGACTATTCTCATTTAGTACCCATTCTAGAGTTGGTTCAAGCTTGTCCATTGATTCAACACATTGTCATCAATATTGGATATGTTCAATCCCGTTTTCATTCACACTATCAACATTGTCTAGCCGATCTTTTTACTCATGGGTTTCCACTACTCGTCAGAATATTCTCTTCGCCATTGAGAATGATTCGTCATTTTGATTTACAGCTTCGTACAGCCGATAAATCATCTGGACGAATTGAAAAGGTACATGGTGAAGAAGTACCTAATCAAATATTTGGCTTTCTCAAAGAAGTATTGTCACAAAATTGCAATCATGGCAACAATTTAGAGTTTATTCGTTTCTGTATCACTGGAAATGCTCCATTTAATCCTCGCTTCAAAGTACCATTGGTTTTCGAAAGAGAGGTCTCACCAAAATATCATATCACTGTAAGGGATGAATACTCTCCTCGTCTTTATGAATTTTCAACTTTATTTTCATTAAAATAAATCAGAGTTCTCTAAGTCTATCAATTTTATTTAAATAAAATTATTTAATTATTTATTTTATTTCTTTATTGATTGTTTCTTTGTTGTCTTTGTTGTTGCCTTTGTTGTTGTTGGTGTCTTTGATGGTTGTTGTGGTTGTTGTGGTTGTGGTTTACTTTCCTTTGATTGTTGTTTTAATTTAAATTGTTGAGTAGCAATGATTTTAACTTTTTCCAATCTCTTTAATTGTCTTGATAATTTTAATTCTTGTTCATAGTCTTTTAGCTCTGTGAAATATGAAGCAAATGAAACAGATGATTCGTCAAATTCTTGGACTTGTTTGGTAATGTCTGTCAAAAACGAAGACTTTGGATATTGACTGCTTGGAATGACAAAGACCTTTTGCTTTTCCAACATTTCCAACTTTTTACCCTTTGCCTTTAATTTTTCCTCTTCAAGTTTCTTGGCTCTAAGTTTTAATGGATGATCGGCTGGAATCTTGATTGGTGGATTAAAGCCTCCCTTGCTAGTATCATATAATTCGAAAATCTCTGGTGGGGTCTTTTCTCTTCCTACCAATTCTGATGCTCTTTCATTAAATGCTAATGTTCTTTTTGCTACTGGATCAATTGCTGGATGCCAATGTTTCTAAAATAGAAAATAAAAGAAAATAATTAATACTTTGGATTTACATTTAATTTTTTTTTTTAATTTCTTACATAAAAGAAAGAAAGTTCCCAAAGAGAAGTAGCAAATGGATTACAATGATCTGGATCTTCAATATCGAAATTATATTCACCACCAGTATAGGTACCATCGTTTTCAATGATACGTTGAACTTGTGGATAAATGACAAAGAGATGTTTGATGAATGAAATGATGGCAAGTGAGGCGTTGGGTGGAGTGGACAATGAGATGATGGCAACACGTTTGATAAAGGCAGCGACACGTTCCACTGCAGTTTGCTTACGTTCACCAAGCATCAATTGGAGTGCATTCAAAGCCAACACACATACATGTTGTTGACTGGGCAATGCGAGTTGACCCAACATGGAATAGACCTTGGAGAAATAGTCTTTGAGATCGACGTTTAAAGTGTGACCGTGCAACTTGACCGTCTTGAATGCAGTGATGGAGGCATTCAATGCGTTTGGTAGGGTGGTTACTTGATTCTCCATCAGAGTAGAGAGAGCTTGCAACATGTCACCCAAAAAGTCAACACTAATGTGATGAGAGAAACGAGCCAAACCTTCGAGTACCGATGTCATGGCCAGCGAGTGTGGAGCTCTCTTGATGATACGGAAATAGGTCAAAAAGACACTCTTGAGCATCTCGGTTTGAATGTATTTTTGTTCCTTGGACGAGTAGACGGCAGAGGCCTCTTCCATCTCTTGCTCCAATTTCTTTTCCTTTCTAAACTCTTTACGATCGTTGTGTGAAAGAAGCTTACGTTCCTTGTTGGACAACTTCTTCTTCTTGTCGAGCATCGATGCGTATTCTTCGGAGCTGGTGCCGTATGGATTCACCTTTTCAACGAGGTCATTGAATCGAAGCACCATAAAAGTACGGATGATACGTGGGTCAAACATATAGTTGGTGACCTTGGCAACATTGGAAATGTTTCTGATGACTTCGAGTGATGTCTCACCACCGGTAGTATCTTGTTTAAAGAGATCTCTAATGTGTGAAATACAGAGAGTCGACACCTCATTATCACGATACACAGAGAAACGTGTGACAATGGTGACAAGATTGGTACGGAAGTTGAAATGTGGGTGCGACACTAACAAGGTGGCGGCACATTTGATTACCTGCAACAAGAGACCACCATACTCTCTGATTGAAAACTCTCCCTTTCTGACAAAGGAGCTGAAAATCGTTGCACTCTTGACGGCAGCGCTGTGGGCTTGTTGTTGATTCAAACAAATGTCAATGGTATTTTCGATAAACACCAAGTAGGTTTGATAGAATTTCATCAACTTGGCTTCATATTGTTTGGCTTGTTGGATTTCCTTTGAATATTTAACCTTTTGCACTTTGCCATCAACTCTTTCCAACGTCGAATTTCCCTTGTCCACATGAATCTTGTAACCTGGAATAATATCCTTGAAAACTGCTCCCAACGACAATACACCCAATTTCTTTACTATTATATCTTGACTTAATATACAAATCGCAAAAATATCTTTAATAAACATAATCTGTAGAAAAATAATAAATCGGTTAGAACAATTTGTATAATATATATTATTATTATTATATTTGATATTTGGTATTTGATATTTGATATATATTTACATTTCTTTCTGGATCTTCTAAAATTCTTGATGCCAATTTTGATAAATTAGTTTTGGCAGTTTCAACTTCCATTTGATGCTTTAAAAATAAATCAGCTTCAGACATTGGTTTATCGTCTTGTGATCCATCACCACCTAAGACGTCATCTTGTTCTTGGTCTCTATCGATTACGTCGTCACCAAGATCTTGGTCCTCCTCTTCCATCAAATCTTCGTCAATCTTTTTCTGTTTTTGTTTGTTTTTCTTTTCCTCGCGCTTTTCATATTCCATTCTCTTTTTCTCCATGGCTTCTTGTTTGCGTTGTGTTTGTTCCAATTCTCTCTTTTCCTTTCGTGTCAAGATCTTTGATTGTTCAAACTTTTCAAATGGTAATTGTTCCTTTCTAACTTGTGGTGTCAATTGAATCTCTGTAATCTTCTTGACTGTACCATCTTGATTTTTAATTGGTAATCTATTTCTCTATCAAAAATATAAGGAAAAAGAAGTAAGTAATAAGTATTATTTTTTTAGAATATATATATTATAATCAATTATTAACTTGTGGTACATACAACCAATTCAAAATCAGTCCAATTTCTATGTTCTCTATTCTCAATGAATTTGTTTTCTACTTCCTCTTCATCCAACTCTTCACCATCTTCTTCTAAATCACCTTCGTCAGAGTAATCTGGATCTTCTTCTTCCTTTTCATCTTGTGAATCTTGTGAATCTTCATCTTCATCCTCTGAATCAGTCATTTGATCCTTATCAAACTTTCCTTTATCTATCTTTTTCAATTTCTTTGTTTCAAGTTGACTATAGGGTAGCAAAAAAATAGAGCAAAAGAGAGATTAATATTAACGATCTTTATATCGTTTAAAGTTTGTTGTGTATGTATGACAACATACATATTCTCTAAATCAGCAGATGAATGAAACCCAGAATTACTATTAAAGAACTCTAAATCTTCATCGGTAACTCTTTGTGGTTTGACCTTTGTAGAACCATTATCAAAGATTGCTTTGAATTCGTCCAATTCATCTTCCTTTGAAACGACGGCTGCAGCACTAGCTCTCTTTCTTTTGAGGTATGCTTCCTCTACTCCTGTCATCTTTTTCACCATCCTCTCTCTATCTCTACACCAACTAGTTATATATTACTACACAAACTAGTTTAACTTTTTGAAATATATATGTATATAACGCGAGTGTGATAGTTAGTAATTCAACAAAAAAAAAGATTGTAACACGAAATGACATTCGTTCGTTTTTTTTCTTTTTTTTCTTTTTTTCTATTTTTCGATTTTAACTAACCATCCATCCACTTAAAAGTGGAACATAATAATATAGTAATAATATTATTTTGTTGAGAATCTTAAGTTTATTTATTGTTAAATTATGTTTCAGAATATATAAATAGGTAAAAAATAAAAATATATGGAATCCTCTTTTATATAATATATTATGATATATTGATCTATATATATATATCGATCTATACTTATCTAGTGGGTAAGATTATACAAATAAGTAACAGTCCTGCCGATTCTAGGATAAACAGATATCTTTTTGGAAGGAATAACCAAATCAGGCAAATTTTCGGGAAGTACCTCATTCCACGCGCCCAAATTTTTTTTGTCTTGGTGGCGAACGGGCACAATGATTTGATGGTTTCTAATAATAAAATATCTCCCTCTCTGTTAAACCGTTCTTGGTGTTAGGCTCACTCTCATCAACCAACCCAAGCCTTATTATAATTTAGAGATCACTTTTAGATTGTTACAATTATTTTTATCCAATCATTGACAAAGAGAGAGAAAGAGAGATTAACCCTAGCTCGCACTCAAAACACCCTCTCCAAAATTTAAAAAGGTCAACAAACTAACCTAACCACCACTCTAAGATGAGTGATTATAATAACCACCAACAAGAATCATCATCACAACTCTTTAGTGAAGAGTATCATCAACAACAGTCCTCTCCTATCGATGATGAACCTACCAACAATAACAATAGTACAGTCGTTAAAGAAGAAGAAGAAGAGAGTAATTATAATACCAAAATAAACATCGACAAAGAAGAACAGACAATCCCTACTATAGAACCCACTCCTGCAGTTGTTGCTTCATCACCAGACGTCGTTCATCTTATCACTCCTCCTACTACTCAAGAAGAAGAAGAAAAAGTAGAACAAGTTGAAGTTGAAGAGGAGGAAGAAGAAGAGGAAGAATTAAAGGTTATCGGAACACCAACATCACAATCTCCACCATCGCCATCATCAACAGCTGCTGAAAGTGATTTCATTGAAATTAAAGATCTACCAAAGATTATTACAATAGAGAGGCAGCTATCCTCTGATACCTCTGATTCATCCGAGTCGTCGTCGTCTTCACCATCATCATCAATAATATCAAGTGACCAACAACAACAACAACAACAATTGGAAGAAAGTCGTGAGGAACAAATACAAGTACAAGATCCCTCTACTCTTACTACAAATATGGAAACAATATCATCGGTTAGACCACCAATTACATCAATATCAACAACCAATGAAGAATATACTAATGGTTATTATAAAAGTCACTCAATTGCAACGATGACATCATCGTTACCAATTCCAACACCAATCGTTAAATTAAATGTTGGTGGAGTTAAATATGCAACTACTAGAGATACACTACTCAACTCTAATAGTACATTCTTTATGGCGTTGCTGTGTGGATCGTGTGGCAATGCAATGGATGGGGATGGAAGTTATTTCATTGATCGTGATGGACCATTGTTTGAACCAATACTCAGTTTTATGCGTACTGGTGAGTTCTCTCCAACAGAATACAGTACATCGACACTATCTAAAATCTATCGTGAAGCTGATTTCTATGGTATCAAGATACTCTCTGAAATCCTATCACCACAATCACGTAATGGTAGTTCATTCCTCATATCTAGAATCGATTCAATCAATTGGTTATCAAACAAACAATCAAACAATTATGTAACTCATGTCATTACACGTGCCAATGTTTTAATTGTTGCTTATCGTGATTTATCAATTGAATGTTGGATGTATGTAAAAAAATAATAATATTAATAATATTAATAGAAATGGATAAATATTAAATAATCTACCTTTTATTTTTTATCTAGATATAAAGGATTAGTATTTGGATGGATGCATATATTTAAAGTTGAATCACCAAATGACATTGTATCATTAAAAATATCGGTAACCAAAAGTAAAACAAATACAGTTACCAAGGGTCATTTGGTAGTTTGTACAGATAAAAAGGTTATCATTCTTTATAAATTTGATATTGATCCATATGATTTAAAAGTTAATGTAAATATCACCCAACAAACAACAACAACAATAATAATAATAATTAATACTTAAATCATTTCATTTTTATTTATTTACTCTTTTGTCTAGTTGGTAGAAAATATTATAAAATTAAATCATGTTGCACATTATTCAAATTTCATGGTGAATGGACATTATTTAGCATTGATTTCAAGAAGTGGTCTAATTACAATGTTGGATTGTGAAAGTGAAAATGATCAATTAATATTAATGCAAATACCATTTACCATTACAAATGTTACAGATGTTGAATATGTTTTATTTATTGTAAGAAATATAAATATATAAATATTAATCAATAACTTGTTACTAACAAATATATATTATTTATTTAAATATATATATATATATATATATATATAGTCATGTGATAATGGTAAAATATATGAAATGAGACAAAATATGAAAGGAAATTGGGTTTGGGATATTGAAGAGGTATTTGAAATTAATAGTACTGAATTTTTGTATCCAAACTATGGTGGATTTTCAAGAAAGGCTTGGGAAATGTCAACTAGAAAGGATATGTTGAAAAGTAGTATATTAAAGGTGATTGAAACACCTTCAAACAATACAAATGGACACCAATCAACCTCATCATCTGAACAGAGTATGAGAGAGTTTTTAAAATCTAGTAGAGAATACATCAACAATCAAAACAATGAAATATTTATACAAAACCTGTACCAACAATACTATACCTATGCCAACTCACCTAAATACAATCATCCACATTCTGTATTCCCTCCACCTGCTCCTACCCCTACACCCACTGTTACGGCTGTTCCAGTCCAACAGTCAGTAATCGATATTGAAATAGAACAAGAAAAGAATAACAATTTGGATAGTATTGATAATAACGATTTATCGAATCATTTGGAGAATGCAGCTGTTTATGTGACGGCAACGTCTACTTCATCGGTTCAACAAATCAACTTTGACTCGAGAATTGCAATGGTGGCTGGAACATTGGATGGACACGTCCATTTAATGTTTAGAGGTACGAAATACCCTGATTTCCAACCGGCTGCCAAGTTTTGGATCGGTGGAAATGACCCGATTGTGCGTGTGTCGGTGAGTGGTGGTTATGAGGGTGTGTTTATATGTGCGCAGTCGTATTCGGGTATGGTCAAGACATGGCAGTACAAGTCGTCCAACGTGCCCTATCCATCGACGGTCAAATGTATATCAACACACCATCCACACAGATCGACCGTCAGCACCGTGTCATCTCCCATCTCACTCGTCGCACGTTTCAAAACATTCAACTCACTCTACTGTATCTCGCGACACTCCGATTCCCAACAAGGGGGTAGTAGAGGAGCCAACGGTGAGACTGGCGGAGACTCATCACCATCCAATGTCACTGGATCCAGTCCCATCATGCTCGGTCTAGGTGGTACATTACGCGGACCAAATAACCTAATGAATCTGAACAACAACAATGGAAACAATAACAACAATGGTAACAGTGGTGGAAATGTAAATGGAGGTATTAACCACAGTCTCATGAACACACTTACCAAGACCAGTATCAACGGATCGTCATCACCCAACATTCCAATGGGTGGTACCAATAATAATAGTAAGGGTGCCAACTCATCATACAACCAAATCTATATTACAGGTGGTGATGCCAATACTGGATACGAGTTACTCGTCTACCCACTCTCACATCGTCATGATGGTGATATTATCCCGTCTTCTGAATGGCTCGATAGCCACTTGCAAACGCCTATCCGTATCCCAATGGTTGATACCACTCCCATCACCAACATTACAGTCTCTACCTATGGTGGATCCGAACCATCCTACTCTGATGTAGTCTATCAAATCATCACCTTTCACGAATCCAATAATATCTATTCTTGGGATCTCAAAGATATCAATTCAAAGTTTAATGATAAAAATTAATGTAATTTGAATAAATCATACAAACTATAATTATACATTGTTTAAACAAAGATTAGATGGGAATGATCATTAAAAAGCCACCATCGTAAAGTTCCAAGGAAAATCAAATTGTGAGGGGTGTGTGTTGTTGGGGGTGACGGAGATGATGAAGAGAATCAATCTTCTGTCTTTTTTTTTGAAGTTGGCAACAATCACCATTTGTAAATTTTAGTAATAATACAGATAAGATAATAGATACCCATATATACACATAGAGATAGATTAGATAGAAGATCCAACAACTATAGTAAATGAATAATTAAAAATAGAATAGAATAGAAATAGAAATAGAAATGAAATACTTCAAATCAATAGTAGTGTTGACTATTATTGTTATCATATCATCATTGTTATGGTCAACACAAGTTGATGCTACATCTATAGATTTCGTTGACAATATTAGATCAATAGGTCTAGATGATAGTATATATGATCAACAAGGATTTAATAATGTTACAGTACCATTACCAGATGTAGGTGAATTGGCTTATGATTTATGCTATGTGCGTATATTGACCAATCTAACTGATCTCTATACTTTAAACTTGTCATCTGTATTTGGTGCTTGTTATAATTGTGCATTCCAACCTTTGGATATTGTATTTATAAAGTATGAATGAAATAACTAAACAACAACCCTTCTATTCTATTTATAAACTAACCTTTAATTTATACTTTTTTTTAAATTTCTCTCTATAGTGGAACAACACCATACTTTACACTTGCAACAACCTTTTCATATACATTTAATGCATCGGTGTACGATCTAATTGGTAGAATGGGTGAAACTATAACATTCTCGACAAGATTCCATGAACGTGGAATCTATGATTTATATATCAATTCAATTTATGTTACTTCAACAAAGTATGTACAAATGATGATGTATACATAAATATATATATACACATATATCATATGATTTATAATTAATTGTTATTTTTATTTTTATTTAGAGGATTAAGTTATAATATAAATATAGTTAAAGATCCAATTAATACATTTGTACCAATAGGAGTAATGTTTGGAATATTTATTGGAGCAGCGATTGCATGGCCAATCATTATACATTATTATAAGAAATCAAAGAGTGAATCATTGGAATTCCAACTACAGAATTTGGAATCGAACCAACCTAAAAAAGACAGATTAAAATCATTGGATGTATTCCGAGGATTGTCTATTACGATTATGATATTTGTAAACTATGGAGGTGGTGGTTACTGGTTCTTTAATCACTCGTATTGGAATGGTTTGACGGTGGCCGACTTGGTATTCCCATGGTTCATTTTTATCATGGGAATTGCCATGCCACTATCTTTTAATGCCATGGAGATTAGAGGTGTACCAAAGAGAACCATCTTTATAAAGTTGGTTCGTCGATCGGTCATTCTTTTCAGTTTGGGTTTGTTTATCAACAATGGAAACAATCTTGGTCACTGGCGTATACTCGGTGTATTGCAACGATTTGGTGTCAGTTACTTTGTGACTGGCTGTATCATGATGTTTGTACCATTGTATCGTCCAAATGGCGGCGGCGGCGGAAACAGTCATCATCAATACAACCGATTCGACGGTACTGGAAATGATAGAGAACGAGAACCATCAGAATCAGACCCATTATTCCAATCATCTTCAATTCAAGAAAAGTTCAAAGCACACTCTGCATCAATGTTGGCCGACTTTATTCCATTTTGGTTGCAGTGGTTATTTGCCCTATTGATTCTGGCCGTTTGGTTCCTTGTCACCTTTTTATTACCCGTGCCTGGATGTCCAACCGGCTATCTTGGTCCAGGTGGATTGGGTGACCAAGGTCAACATGTCAACTGCACAGGTGGTGCTGCCAAAATTGTCGATCTTCATATCTTTTCCAACAATCATATTTTCCAAACACCAACTTGTCAACCCATCTACAATACCGGTGCCTATGACCCAGAAGGAACACTTGGATACCTCACCTCTGTCTTTATGTGTTTCCTTGGAGTGCATGCTGGCCGTACCATTATGACTTACAAATCGAATCGTTCACGTCTTATTCGTTGGACCATTCTCTCTATTCTGTTGTGTGGTATTGCAGCAGGTCTATGTGGAGTATCACAAAATGGTGGTTGGATTCCAATCAACAAGAATCTCTGGACACCTTCATTTATCTTTTTATTGTCTGGTTTTGGATTCTTTGTGTTGGCAATCTTTTACGTAGTCGTCGATATCAAACGAATTTGGAATGGTGCTCCATTGGTCTATGTTGGTATGAACCCAATCACAATCTATTGTGGACATGAAATACTTGGTGGATATTTCCCATTCTCTTTTTATGCTTCCGTCCAAACTCATGCTCTCTACCTATTATCAAATTGTATTGGTGTTGGATGTTGGTTATTAATAGCTTATTTAATGTATAAAAATAGAGTTTTTATTAATATTTAAAAAAAAAAAAATCAAAAATAAATAAAAAGTATAAATAAATAAAAAGTATAAATAAATAATAATATGTATAAAAAAAAAACAAATACAGATAAATATTAATAATATCAATAATTTTTGTTATTATTATTACTTTTAAATTTTACAAATGTTTTTTTATTTATTTATTTTTAAAACCTTTTTTTTTTTGTTTTGGAAAAGGATTTGAAAAGTAATTCAGTGTTTAGAATTACTAGGGGGAATGGTTTGTTTGTTTGTTTGTTGTTTTTTGTATCTGGGGAATATTAAAATAAATTAGATTGATTTAAAATCTCTTATTTGATTCTACTCTTTTTAATTGTTGAGAGAACCAACTTGAGTTGGAATTAATACTGAACTTCTAGTTGGACGTCTGATAACGTCTACGATTGAACTTTCGGATCCAGTTTCATCGTCGCCAGAGGCAGCCTTGAAGGCGTTGACGACACGGATCTTTTGTTGGGTTTGTCTGACTAGTTGCCATCCACGACCGACTTCAACTGGCTTGGCAGTGGCTGGTTGTGGTGGGACGACAAGTGGCATGGACTCTGTGGTGGTATCTGGGCTATTTACAATGGGCGATGAAGAGACAGAATCCTTGTTGTTGGATGATGGCAAGACTGGGGTGCTTTCGATGGAACCTGGGTGCGACGAGTCGACGGGTGGGGTGTAGATGGTTTCAGAGATCTTTGGCTTCTCCTTGGCAAGGGCTGGTTCGGGGATATTGATCATTCTGAGGAGGAAACCAAGTGGAAGGGAAAGTGAACCAATGATGATACAACCGATCCATTCGTAGCCGAGTCCGACGGTCGAAGTGACCTTGTCACCAAACTGAACAAAGATGACTTGGACAATGACAGTGCCGATGAGCACCATGATAAAGATGGGGTTGTCGGTGATACCCTTGAATGGGTTCATGCGATTACCGAGGACACGGGCATTGATTTCATTAAAGAGTTGGCAGAATACGAATGTGTTGAAAATGATGGTGTAGTGTTGCACGCCATTCTTGACGACGGTCTCGCCGAGAATGTCACTGTAGATGTCGTGACCCTTGAACAAGAGCACAAAGAGGACGATGATTTGGAAGACTGATTGACCGATAATGTTACGCCACATGGAACGGGTGATGAGTGGGGCGTTCTTTCCATTGGGTGGACGGTCAAGGAGCTCGGGTGTGGGTGGTTCAGTGGCGAGGGCAAGTGCGGCCAAAGTATCCATAATCAAGTTGACCCAGAGCAATTGGACGGCAGTAAGAGGGGACTCACCATTACCGGCAATGGTACCGACAAAGGCGACGACGACAGCGACGACATTGACGGTCAATTGGAATTGAAGGAACTTGCAAATGGCATCGTAAATGTTACGACCCCAAATGACGGCACGGACAATAGAGGCAAAGTTATCGTCGAGCAAGACGACATCAGAGGCGGCAATAGCGACTTCAGTACCAGAGATACCCATCGAGAAACCGACGTTGGCCAATTTAAGGGCGGGACCATCGTTGGTACCATCACCAGTGACGGCGACGACCTCACCGAGATCTTTGAGACGACCGACGAGCAACTGTTTGTCGGTTGGCGATGAACGGGCGAGTACTTGGAGACGTGGGAGGATGGCGTCCATGTCGGCTTGCGAGAGCTCTCTAAACTTGGGACCTTCCATGCAGAGACCTCCCTCGGTGAGGATACCACAGTTACGGGCGATGTTTTGGGCAGTGATAATGTTATCACCAGTGACCATTCTGACAGTGATACCGGCACGTTGGCATTGCTTGACGGCTTCAGGTACTTCGGGACGGAGTGGATCCTTGATACCGACGACACCGATAAAGATGAGGTGGTCTTCAGGTGGCTCGTTAAAGTCGAGGGTGGTGGTTGCTTCAAAGTCGCGGTAGGCGAGACCGATGGTACGCAAGGCGTCGGTGGCAAACTTGGTGATACAGTCTTCAAAGTGGACGCGAGCCTCGTCGTTGAGTGGTTGGACTTGGCCATTCGAGTCAAAGTAACGGTCGCATTGACCGAGGATGATTTCAGAGGCACCCTTGCTGTAGAGACGGTAGGTGTTGGCATCTTGGTCGACCAAGACAGACATACGCTTACGGGCCGACGAGAAGGGGTAGAGTTGACGGATATTCAAACGCTTACGCACCTCTTGGTAGTCGGATCCGAGGACCTTGCCAAAGTTGAGCAATGCACACTCGGTCTTGCTGCCAATAAACTCCATCTTGCCCTTGGTGGACAGACCTTCGTAGGCATTCGAGTTGATGGCAATACCGTCGGCGAGGATGGGGATGACGTTGGCGGGCATGGTGGCCTTGAGGGCCTCGTTGACCTCGGCAAAGAGGCTGGCGACGTGGCCCGTGACGACAGTCATGACGTTTTGGGTCAGTGTACCGGTCTTGTCCGAGCAAATGTTGGTGGCGGAACCCATGGTCTCGCAACTTGCCAAATGACGCACCAAATTGTTCTCCTTGTACATCTTGAGCATACCGTAGGCAAGGGCCATGGTGACGGCAAGGGGGAGACCTTCGGGCACGGCAACGACGACGATGGTGATGGCACCAATGACCATCTGGGTGACATCCGATGCGGCATTGCTGCCAATGTCTTCCTTGTTGACCTTCTTTTCGATAAAGTATTTGGGGATGACGATGAGGAGTAAGAGGACGGCAGCCGACAGACCACACTTTCCAATGTTTTCGGCCAACTTTGACAACTTCTTTTGGAGTGGAGTGTCCTCGGATTCAACACGCAAACCCATCATGGTCTTACCGTTGAACGAATTGACACCGACGGCAGTGACCATCATCTTTCCAAAACCTTCCAATACCAGCGAACCAGAGATAAAGAATGGGTCCATGCCATCCTTGGTATGACCCTTTTTGATGGGGTCAGACTCACCAGTGATGGAGGACTCGTCGCAACGAAGGGCGTGACCGTCGACAAACACACCATCGGCACAGATAATGTCACCAGTGTCGAGACAGACAATGTCACCGACACGAACGTCGAAAATAGAGATTTGGCATTGTTCGCCCGATCTGATGGCCTTGACTTGCTTGTCCGAAGTCTTTTCGTTCAAGTCACGGAAACGTGCTTGATTACGATAGTCGTTACTAGATGTCACGGCGACCACAATGATAACGGCCACCAAAATGGCGACACCATCGATCCATCCAGTCTTTGGATCATGTGAAGTTGCTGGGATGGCTCCCAACACTGTCGATACAACAGCTGCAACAATCAAAAGAATTAAAATGTGATCTGATAATGCATCTAAAATCATACTCCAAATTGATTGATGTGGTGGTGGTGGTAATATATTCTTTGCATATCTAAAAATAAAATAGGAAATGGAAATGGAAAAAAGAAAAAAGGAAAAAGAAAAGGGAAATTAAATTAATTAAATGGATGGAAATGGATGGATGAAAAATGGATGTAATAATTACTTTTGAACTCTAGCAACTTCTGTAGAATTATTTTCATTGGGTAGACCACCTTTTATGTCACTTCTAAGTGATTTGGCCAAACCTTCGAGTCCGCCCAATTCGGAATATTGATCGAATCCCTTGGGAACATCGACCAATTTACCGAGTTCTTGTACGCTCACTGGAAACTCGTCTTCCAATGGAGCTAATGCTATACTTTCCAATTCTTCTCCCATTTTCTATGTCTATGTGTTGTTTTATATATATATGTGTGTGTGGTTGGGAATTAATTGTTGTTGTTGTTGTGATTCTGACTATTATGTCAAAGTCTCTTTTCTTGGCTTAGCTGCTTTTGATGCTGCTGCTGCTGCTGTGGTCTAAAATACTAAAACTATAGTGTTGATGATGATACTGATACTAAATTAAAAATTACTGTACTGTGATGGTAATAAAATTCGGCGCGTTAATATGAATGATGATTGATATTTTTAATATTGGTATATTATATGTGAATAGTGTGGTGGTGGAAACGATGTGGATAGGGGTAGCAAGCAGGTAGATGATAGGTAGGTAGGTAGGTAGGGTTAATTAATTTATGAGTGAATGAATGAATGAATGAAATATTTCTTATTTGTTGTTGTTGGATTGTTATATTTGATTGTGAAGATGGATAGGCTCTCTTCTCACCTCTGCGACTTTTAAATTAAAAGGTCGACTTCGATCATCAATAATCCACAATTGTGTGTGTGTTTATTTTTAAAATGATTATTATAATAAATAATAGACAATTGTGTTGTGTTTGGTGGGGTATCACAAAATATCGCTAGGTGAGAATAATAATAATAAAGGGGGATGAGACAGCAGGAGAGGAGAGGGAATGAATGGATGGATGGATAAATAATAAATATTTTACCAAATAATAAATATGATGATGAGAGGACACTCTTTTTGTTTTCAACTAAAGCCCATACACAGGATAATATATATATATATATATATATATAATTATCCCAGAGATTATTATTATTAAATTTATGGATAGATTGGGAAAAATACTATACTAGTACGGGTTTGTGAGACGAAGACACAAAGTTGGGATAAATAATAATAATATAAAGGTAAATATGTGTGGGGGGGTGGAACGACACGAAATGGTTTCGGTGGTTGGGTTGGCTACCAGGTGTCGCCGAGACAGCAGCCACGTTTAATTAAAAAACACGATAGAAATTAATTTAATCTAAATTCCACGCCAACCTATTTTATGAGATCCGCGAAAAACTAAAGTTTAAAAAAATATTTAAAAATAAAACTGTTGTTTTGAGGTGGTTGCGAGGTGTGGCCCTGTTGTTGGGCGCGACCCCCGACGAAAAAAGATTATTATTCATTTTTTAAAAGAATCAAAAGAGATTATTGTTGAATTATTTTAAAAGAAACATTTACTAGTTTGAATTGAAATTGAAGTAGTAGTTGTTTGTTGTTTTGTTGTTACTTCAAATAATATATTCCTGATGATGAAGAGGAAGGATTGTTGTTGTTGTTGTTTAAATAGAGAGTTAAGAATGAAAAAAGGGATGAGGCAAGAGATAGGATGGGATGGAGTCATCCAAGGGGTCCACCCAAATCAAAGAGTGTTATGTGTTGGATATGGGTTGTTTATGTGCGTAGACGACAAAAAGTGTTCGAGGGAGGGAGGGAGGGAATGGGTTTGAGATGAATGAATGAATCTTACCAAAAGATGTGGTGGGTTGTGAAGTTGGGTTCAACTTTTTTTATTTTTAGACACCTAGAGTAATACTACTACTGTTTCGATCTCTCTCTGTGATCTAATATATACAAACAAGTACTACTACTAATACTATAGACTAACAAATAATCAGACTATTGTACTTTGTCGGTTTGTGGTGGTCTGAAACTATTATAAATAATGGATTGAAACAAGAGAGCAAGGAAAGGTCTACCCTCTTGATCCAGATGCGACGAAAGAGACTCCAACCGCCTCCTAAAAAAAATTAATTAAAAAAAAGGATCATTTCATCGTGACACAAACTTGTGTGTTTGTCTACACAAAACAAAGTCATACCTCTTCAAACAGCCGTTTTGTCAAAACTCAAAAACTTTTGGTGGGCAAGACAACCCAAACCGAGGCATCCTTTGCTCTATCAGTTGGTTATGTGATTGATTTACGAAGGGTTGGTGTTTGTTGGTCGCCTCCCAGAGATGGCGATTGCCCCCCCTTGGTCACCGCCGTAGTGCCAATTAATATTGTTTTTGAGACGGGTTCTATAAATGAATAAATGAATCTGGCCCCAATGTCACCATCCATAGACTTGTTCTGAAAGTTAACATGATTGATGGATTCCGCCATCTTATAGTCTGGCCTGGTCGACTATGCCGTGTTTAAAAACACCGACACAAACATCCAACTAGATAGTTTGTGTCGTAGATCCACGATGTAGTGTCATCTAACACCAAAACACAACTAACAAGATGACAATTGTCGTCTCTACTCCGTTTCAATTAGTCCCAAGATATTTAGTATCGGGATCCCGACAACGAGAACCGCATTCTGACAGTGTCAGTGAACATCCTTGTGTAAATCACAATTATATGTCTCCTAGTAGACAGTTCTGTACAACATTATATATTATAATATAAACAGACTTTACTTTTCTTTTTCTTATTCTCTTTTGTAACCAAACATATACGATTATTATCCCGAAAACACACACACAAAGAGAGAAAGAAAAGGAATTAGAATATTAATATTAATCATTTATCCGAAAGTAAAGACTATAAAATACTCCATTTTAATCATTCAACAATATCTTTTCATTCCTTCTAATTCAGAGTATATATCTGTTCAAAAGAAAAAAGGTAGATATTTTTGGAATTGACCATTTTTTTTTTAAATCAGTGTCAGCGACATCTGACCGATTGAACATCGCACCCACTTGTACCTTTGTCGCGACGGTTCTTTCTTTCGTTTTTTTTTCGTTTCAGGCGTTTGGTTCTGTTTGTCCATGGTCTTATAAGGTTATATGACGACGTTGTCATTTGGTTGAGAAAATGAAAGGACGAGAGGAGGATGCACCGATTGACGGTCAGACCTTCCTTCATTGTTTCCCCCCAATTTTATTCAAATACTTCTTTTTTGCAACGACGTTTCCTCTTTCCATTGCTGCAGATCCCGTACCTTTCTTTTTGACAACATCACTTCTAAGATAGGGTGAAGAGATTGCTCCGTGGGCATTAACAGTCAATGAAGATGATTTTGATTGTTGCAAGAGATCGCCACCGATCGATGTCATACTTCCTTTGATGATTAAATTGATTTCTTGTATTTGTGATTCTTCAAGTTGTGTCGGTGTAATGACATACATGATCCGATTGGTCATATCTACCGATCTAACTATACCCAATCCAATACATTCAGTAATTGGAAAACATTGTTTTGTAAACATTGATGGGAAATCTGAATTAAGTCTAAACTATAAATAATTAAAACAAACAAATAAATTAATAAATAAATTAATTAAAATAATATTTTGACTTACATTAACATCATTATATTCAGATTTATCAATACATAAACCAACGATTGAACCATTTAAAGCATACATTGTTTGACTTGGAGATACTTGATTGGATTGTATGGCAACTTTAATTTGATTGAATTTGATTGCATATGGTTGACGATGTGAAATTGGTACGATGGTTGGATTCAAATTACTATGACTAATATTTCCAAAATAAGTGTCTAGTGCTATTGTTCTAAGTTGTGATGCCCTTAATATTCTATGTGTTCTACCACCTGCACTCTTATTACAACAATTTAATTTATATAATATTGGTCTTGATTGATATGATTGATTATGTTTGGTGTAAATATTTTCTTTTTCCATTTCCTTTTCTTGTTCTTCCTTTTCTTCTTCATCTTTATAGAAAATTTTATCAATTGTATCTTGAGTAACATTAAAACTATTATTTTGATCATCATCATTAAATTGTTGACCTTGTTGATCGAATTTTGGATGATAAATATTGACAATGTGAGTTGGTTCTAGATATTTAATGGTTTCTTCGAGTGTTGACAGACCCAAACCTGTAATCCAACCATGTGTATTAAATATAATTGGCATGTTGTATTCTTTCATTAGAATAAATGCCAAGTCTATCAATTGGTATAAAAGATGGAGATAGTACTCTGGGTTATGTCTTGGACTAACCTCTCCAAAGAAATAGGTTCTCACCGCCTTTTGAAGATGTGTAAATGATGGTCCTAAAAGTGGTCCATTTACAATATGTAATGAAACCAATCCACCTGGTGTAAATTCACATTGTCCTGCATCACCATCAATATAAATTATATTATTATATCTAGAAAAAAAAATTAAACAATAACAAATAAGTATGTTTTATAAATATTATTATTAATTATAATTATTAATGCATACTTTGATAACATTCTATTTACCAATATTCTATTAAATGTACTTTTACCAACACCTTTTGAACCACATGTTAATATAATTGGTAATGGTGATTGATTATTATTATTATTATTATTATTATTATTATTATTATTATTATTTTTGGTTGTATTATTTTTATTCATCATTGCCAATTTATATTGAATATTATGATTCATAATTTGATGATCAATAAATTGCATCCAATTTGGTGGAATGTTTAATGGTTGAACTGGTATTTTTGGTTGTATTATCTAATAATAATAAATATATTAGGAATAATGATAGATTGATCGATTGTTTGTTTGGGTTGTACTTACAGGTACGAAATCATTCATTTTTAATTCCTTATAAATAGTATTTGTTTCATGGAATGATCTTAGATTATATAAACTATATGAAAAGTGTGCCTCTGATGTTTGTTGTTCATCAAATAATGAGTTTTCATCATATATGTCGTTTGTTGTTGTATCCAATAAAGTTGGTGGTGATGACGATGAGGATACTACAGTTGAAATAGATGTTTGAATCAATACAATCGATTGAATATCAGATAATGAATTTTGATTATCTCCAAAGTATTGTTCAATTTTTGATATTATCAACTTTAGATTTGGTATATTCTTCTTTGTATTGGTAGTCTTGCTATTATTATTTAATCTTTGAATGAAATTGGTTGTATCGAATTGATTATTGCCATTATTATGATTAGACTGAATTGATAATGCCGATGAAGATAATGGTGAATAAACTTCATATAATGTGTCATCGTCTTTGATAGTATAACCATAAATATCAACTGATCCATATAAACATCCAACCAAACATTTACCATGAAAATAGAATATCTAAAGCAATGAAAAGATTAAAGATTAATAATCACTTCTTCAGTCTCATTCATTCAATTCATACCTTATTACTATCAAACATTAATATTCTAGTAGTATCATCAACTACTATGTATTGTATGCCATGAAGTAGTTTAGAGGTCGTACCAGTACTCGTAGTTGTAGTTGTCGTTTGTTGTAGTAGATCGTCATTGTTATTATTATTATTATTATCAGTCTTCACATGTACATTATTTCCTTTCTCTTCATCTCTAATTCTTTTCTTATTATTATCCATCGTATAGTGTCTTTTTGAAGAAAAGATAATAAAAGTATTCTTTTATTCCTCGTTTTCTCATTTTCATTCTCACTCGGTGTCGCTTCCTCCTGTCTCTCTGAATGAATTTAAATTTAGATTATTACTTCAAATCGAAGATAAATAGATATATAGAATGACAGATAATAATCAACTAACTTGTAATACAGAGGATGCAGGTGACAACTTGATACCTACACCAAAGAAGGCTGTTAAAAAGACTTGTGTCAGATGCAAGGAAAAGCCTTCAATCATCTTGTTTAGAACAGATCCAATGTGTTGGTAAAGTATCATCATCATCATTATTGTTGTTGTTAGTTTTTTGAAGGATGAAACTTGATTGGTTATTAATAATAATAATGTTGTATATTATACTTTATATACTTTATATACTTTATTTAGGGACTGCTATCATGAAATGATAATTAAAAAGTTTAAGTTGAATGTAACAAGATTTAGAGATAATAAAAAGGATGTAGAGAGATTGATGTTGGCTGTATCGGGAGGTGTGTCATCACGTGTAATGATGGATCTCGTGTCACACTTTATCGGTGGTAATGGTAGTAAGGGAACCAAGGCAAAGTTGTTCTTTAAGGTGTGTGTCGTTCACATCAACATCTCGTGTCTTGATCAAGTGTCGGGACGTGCCACCGAGCAAGACCACTTGGACCACGCACAAAGACAAGCAAACCTCGTTCGATCACTTGAAGAGGCTGCCCAACAATACGAATTCCCATTCTACAACATTCCATTGGAGAATATCTATGGATGCGATGAAAGCAACAAAAAAGAGAGACAACAAATGTTGATCGATTCATTCACACAATTTACTTCATCAACTTCAAAGGAAGATATATTAGAACATTTTAGAAACCAATTATTATTTGAAACTGCTCATTCTTTAGGGTATGTAAATAAGATAATAAGAAATATGAAATGGAAATAGGGAAATAGAAAATATTAATGTATTGATTATTGTTTCTATGTTTAGATTCAACAAGATATTATTTGGAACAAGTTCAAATAGATTGGCAACAAGATTATTATCATCAACGTCAAAGGGTAGAGGATACAATGTACCCAATGAAACGAATATGGTCGATCAACACAAAGACATTCGATTCATTCAACCAATGAGAGACTTTCTCTTAAAAGAGATTCACATCTATCACCGAAAGATGTCTTTTATCGATTACACAAATCACAATGTTTTATTATTTAATAATAATTCAAAGGGTTCAATTAATGCTTTATGTGAAAGTATGTAATTGGGAAAAAAAAAAAGGAGAAATACAAACATGCAAACAAACGAACAAACTAACTCATTATTTAATTATATTTAGAATTTATTAATCATTTACAAGATATTTCAAATCAAACTATTCATACATTACTTAGATCGGTTGATAAGTTAGTTTCACCAATTGACGAAAACTCTGTATCTTGTTCCATTTGTTGTGCCAATTTATCAGAACAAGAAATTAAACAACTAGAACAATATTCATTGGCATTAAAATCATCTTCATCATCGTCAACTACAACTTCAACAAGTTCTTGTAAATCAAGTTGCAATAATTGTTCAGCTTCATCATCTTGTTGTTCAACCAATAATAATAATAATAATAATAATAATAATAATAGTATTCAATTAACCAATAATATTCACAAACCAACATTATGTTATAGTTGTAATCAATTATTAAGAGATGTTAAACAACCACCTGTATTGACAGTCGTTCCATCTGATTCGACAACAACTCCTACGCCTCCAACTCTACCAATTTACGTCCAAAAGAATTCAACCGTTTTATTAAAATCATATCAATTACGAAATGAAATCAAGGATTTCTTATTAGATGATGATGAATAAACTTTAAATGACTATTAAATATATTTACATTGTACCATCGATCTTTGTTCCAAAAAAAAAAAACAAATTAATTAAATGAACTCGATGAGAGTCGAGTGTAGGGATTTTCATTGTTTAAAGCGATAGTGCATATTTTAGATAGATAGATAGATAGATAGAGAGATAACATTCAACAATGGATATAGGAAAGTTTGAAATTGTATGAGATAGATATATATATATACTGATGATGAATATGTATGACTTGCACCTGCTAATGATTCATTCTATATTTATAGAGAATACAAGAGTTTCAATCACATATAGAAACATTGAATACTACAAAGAAAGAGTATCGCAAGTTGATCAGTCAACTCAAGACATTACCAGATACATTGACTCAAAAGACAAAGGTTCCTCTTGGCAAATATGCATTCTTTGAAGGTGAAATGGTCGATACAAATGAAGTATTGATTCTACTTGGTGAGAACTACTTTGCTCAACGATCAGCAAAACAAACAATTGATATCATTCAAAGAAGAGAAAAGGGTATGATTGATATAGATAGAAGAAGAAGAAAAGAAGAAGAAAAGAAGAAGATGATATTGATGATTTGATCTTTCTTTTCATTATAGATATCAATGCAAATATAAAGAATCTAACAACTCAAATCGATGCATTAAGAGGTAAAATGGAAGTAGCTACTGATATATCAAAAGCACTTAGACAAAATCGTGATGATAATATTATAGAGATTAAAGAGGAATATGACTCTGATGAAGAAAAGAAGAAAGTAAAGTCTAAAAAGACGACATCGACAACATCGACAACAAATGTTGAACAAAAACAACCATTACCACCAATTAAAAGAGACAAGGAAGAAGAAGAAGAATTGAATGCAATGTTTTCAAGATTATTAGAATTGGAAAAGAAGGAAAAACAAGCTGAAGAACAAGGTTTTGATTTGGATGGTGAAAATGATGATGACGATGACGATGAAGAGGGAGAGGAAATAGTAGAATACTATGATGAAGATGGAAATAGAATTGATGTTGGTCCAGATGACGATGTTGAATACATTCAAGAAAAAGAAGATGAGTCTGATGGTGCTGAACAATACGACGACGATGATGGAGAGTATGGTGGTGGACGTAAATTTACAGATCACGGTGACAGATACCAAGATGATGAAGAATACCCAGATGGCGAAGACGACAATGAAGAAATAAATGAAGAAATTGAAAGAGAATTAAAAGAACAAAAAGATAATTCACAAGAGATATCAGAGATTTCAGATTACCTAAAAGAAAAAAGAGTTAAATATCAACATTTATTAGATCTAAAACATCATCAACAAGAAACTTCAACTACATCAACAACTCAAACAACAACTATACCAAAATCTATTTTAAAACAAAAGAAAGAAAAAAAACCAATTGATAGAAATAGTCCAATTGATGTAAGAAATACAAAACAAAACAAAACAAAACAAAACAAGACAAGACAAGACAAGACAAGACAAGATTAATTGATTGATTACTCCCAATATTAATATTAATTATTTCTATTTCTATTTAGTTTATTAAAAACAAACAAGTTAGTTTCCAAGATATTAAAAATGATGTTTCCAAACCAAATCCACCAACTCAAACAGTATTTGGTGAGATTGTTGAAAAGGATAGTGATCTATTTGAATTACCTCCAACAAACCAAAATACACAACATGTTGAAGAGACTGCTCCACAACCAAGAGTTAGTAAATTTAAATCTTCGCGTCAAGGAAAATAAACAAAACCTTAATAATATTATTTATATTATTAAAAATCAAAAAAACATAATACAAAGGGTGTTCATTCATTCACTTCTAAAACAATTTTAGTTTAAAGATATAGAGAAGAGTATAGAATAGAGAATCAAACATGTCAAGTTATACATTTATAGTTATAGGAAAGAATGATAATCCTTTATACGAATTAGAGTTTCCTAGTTCTTCACAAAAAGTAGTAGTATTGATTGATTGATGGTGTAGAATGATCATTCATCATCACTATGATAATTTAGAGTACAGTACTAACAAAGTTGTTTTTCTATATCTGTATACAGAAAGATCAATCATATATGCAACAATATATATTACATAGCTCATTAGATATAGTAGAAGAAGTAGTATGGAAATCAACAAATATGTATCTAAAAATAATAGATAAACATAACAAATACAATATATCATCATATGTAACATCAGGTCGTATGTAAATCAGTCACAGAGTGATATTATATAAGTAGTTGAAAACAAGGTAGAATTAACACTGCAGTGTATCATCATCATCATCATGTGATGTATACTATACTACAATATACTATACTACTATATATTTAGATATTAAATTTATGTTATTACACGAAAAGAAAGATGAAGAAGCAATCAAAAACTTTTTTGGTGAAGTTCATGATCTATACATAAAGGTATGATGATTAATGATACATATTCAACCAACCTTTGATTACTTATCTCTTTCTATAATAATAATAGATACTTTTAAATCCATTTTATACATATAATACACCAATTACTTCAACTGTTTTCGATGCAAGAGTAAGAAAATTGGGTGCAAAGTATTTCTTTTAATTTCACACTTGTATAATAATAATAACAAATAATAATAATATTAAAATAATAATGGTAACTCAATCAAAAAAAAGGATAGTGATAATATAAAATAATAATAAATCACTTTATCTGGAACCAATTGCGATCGATATATATCAAATCAAATTAAAAGGATATTGGAGATGACATAAATATATTTATTTTTGTTTGATTCAAAAAGACAAGACAGAGATGAAGAAGAAATACAATTACACAAAGCAAACAACAAATACAACTATGGAGTAACAACATTGGACAATTCAATCGATTTTGTAGACTGATTCCATTGACTGACACAAATCACACCCCCAAAAAATATATGGGGGGTAACACATGAACTAAAAACCGACCAACACAATGGTTGGTCTGCTATTGATTCGCATATCTACCTAAAAAGAATATCACCACCAACCACTATACCCCCTCCTCATATTCAATTCAAAAACACGTGGTGTTTGTGTAACTATCTATCTATCTGTACATACAACACAGTAATATATGCGCATATATATATGGTAATATTGATTAAAAAAACAACCATCCAACTATCCATTCATCCATATACATCTACTGCCCATCTAACGATACATCCATACCATAACCCAACCATCTCTATCTCTCTGGTTTATTGGATTGTAGATTAGACACGATTTTCTTTTGTATAATCTGGTTTTTTTACATCTACATTTGTTAATACACAACAAATACTGGCAATCGATTTACAAATACATTAATAATCTGTGATTGTTCTTCGTTGGTCGCATACTAATATATATAACTTCACAACAGGTGGACATTATTATTTTAATTATTTTATATTTCCTTTTTCCTCCTCTTCCTTCCTTCTCCCTTTGCATCTTGATCTATCTACTCTACCCATCTACAATCCTGATATTAATATTTATTTTTTTTAAATCCCCAATCCTTTTCACTGCCGCTATTGCTTGTCAATCACATCAACCAACAAACAAACAAACAAACAACCAACATAATAATAGCAATCAATCTGTAATTTGAAAAATTATTTATTATTTCCTAAATTATTCTTTTTCATCCCATTCCTTTAATAATAATAATCATAATAATATTATTCGCATTTGGAAATCAAAGATCCAAAAAATCAACATCAAATACAAAAAAAACAAAACAACAAACCACATTTCCTTAATTGCTCTTTCAATCCATTCTCTTTTTTTTCATTGTACAATTAATATCAATTACAATTATTATATATTATATATTATATATTTAATTTTATAAATCATGGAAACAATGACAAGTTATGATTTATTAAATCAATTTTCTCCACCTGGAAGATCATCGTCATCGTGTGGAAGTAAATCAGATAGCAAGAAATCACATAAAAAGGCAAAGAAGTGCCATACACCAACATCATCGTCATCTACTCCTCTCAACCACCCATTATCTCCACCACCTCTTCTCAACATCAATAGCCACCATCACCAAAACCTATCACAACAACGCGGCAAACACAACTATATCACTCAATTTGTAGAAATTGTCGAGCAAGAATGTATTAGCATCGAAAGTGTCACACTCAATAACCGTAATGCCAACGTGCACGTAGTCGTCAAGAATACATCGTTTTCACTCAAGATCCGCTCTTTGGACATGAATATTATCAATTTTGCCAACAGTCATGTCAAGGTCAATCTCTACTATGCCAACGATCCCATGAAAGAAGTCAGCTTTATCCATACACCACCCATCCAATACGTCGGTAGTAGCTGCAACAACGGTGAGATGTTTTCGATGGATGTCAAGATATCAATCTTGTCGTCGCAGCACCAAGGCAACCTCTTTTATCTCATGATGAATATCAACGACGCCAAGTCATCGTATCCACAACCACATATCTATTTGTCGCACCCAATACGTGTTGTTTCCAAGGTTGACCACATCAAAAAGGATGTCAACGGAGCCTGTGAAAAGAAACAAACCTTTATCGATATATTGACCGAGCGCTTGAACAAGATTGAGAGTCTCCAGGCATCGCAAGAGCATCTGGTCGGCCAGATGTACAAGCAGCGCGGGTTACCCGCCCCACCCGCCATCATCAGCAGTCTTCCACTGCACGACGACGACGACAACTCGGATGACAGCCCCTCTACACCACGTCCCAGCAACAAAAACATTGCCGAGAACTTCCTCGAAGCTTTCAACCGTGTCATCAAGGTGTACAAGGAAGAATGTGAAATACACCAAACTAAATCACTCAATGTCCAACCTATTGTAGATAGTCTTGATAATGATGAAAAGGCTATACTCTCAGACCTATTAGACTCCTTTACATTTGATGATCCAAATATTCATAAACAACAACAACTCAAACAACATCAATTACAACAACAACAACAACAACAACAATTATTAATTCAAGCATGTGAACAACAACACCAACACCAACAGACACCACAATCTTCACAATTAGGATCTACACAATTATCAGGAGCTGGATCTTCATCGACCATGTCCTCTTTCCATCTATCTTCGATCAATCACCACGACGATGATTGTACGTCTTCTGTACCAGGCACCTCTACACCATTTGGTCGTAAACACGCATCCGACCAATTATTATTCATCTCGCCAATGATGATGGGTGTCCAATCACCAATGCACCTCTCATCACCGCTCCTTGCGGATTTTAGCCATGTAGTTGGCGGTGGTTGCAACTCGACCATTCATTCACCTCTATCATTTAAACCTTTAAAATCACCAAAATTTCATAATATTATAGACGACAAGTGTAACACTAATAACAGTAATAGTAATAATAATAATAATAATACTCCTAATGATATAATTGATGAATTATAAATATTAAATAAATAAATACAAATAATAATAATTTAAAAATAATTTAATTTAATATTTCCAGGTTTGTTTGTTTTTGTTTTTGTTGTATTATTATTATTATTATTAAGTTAGTATTATTACTTTTTATTTACTATTATTTAATTTGATTATTTATTACAACATGATGAACCTTGTTTTCTCATTGATAATGATGGTCTGTATGAACCACCTCCTCCTTGTGAACCTTGATTCAAAGCTGCAGAGAATCTTTCATTGTCTCTTGGGGTTTTTTTTGGTGGATTTAATATTTTATCTTGTTCCTTTTTAATTTGTTGTTCCTTTTTTTCTTGTGATACCTCGTTTTGTTGCTCTTGTAATTTAAGTCTTGCCAATCTAACATTTTCATCAAATTCCTCTAATTTTTCCTTTGCTAAAAATAAAACAAATAGACCATGCAATAAATAATTAATTATTAATAATTTCAATGCGAAATGAAATGAAAGGACACTCGCTTTGCTTGAAATGTCAGATGATTTGATGTACATACCATATTCTTGTTCTTTTTTTGTAAATAGGTTTTGAAATGCTCTTTTTATAGTGTTTCTATAGTAGACTAGTAAGAGTGTAACTGCTAGAATCACCCATACCAACTCATGGTTTTGTTGTATATTATAAAAGAATACTCTTATATCTTGTTGTATAGTATCATATAATGATACTTCTCGACCTTGTTGTTGATCGAGATCATCTTGCATAAACCTATTCATTCTTCCTCCTCTACTCATTTTCTCTTAAAACTATGATTGTTAATATTATTACTATTAATATGACTGTGTTTGTTTGTTGAATAAAAGACAATGAGAGAGTACTTTTAATGTTTTTGTTGAAAAGTCAAAAGAGTGACTTTTGATTGAAAAAGGTGTGTTGTTCATTTCTTTCATTCATTGTAGTCTCAAGAGTGATAGTTATAGAAGAATTATATCATATATTAATAGTCGACTATTTCAATCACAACAACAACAACTACTACTACTACTATACTAGCATACAATAATATTGATGGACGATCATTTGAACAATTGTGATAATAATAATATAAAGAATAATAATGATACAATAATAATCGAACCACCTACGACTATTGCTGCTACCCTATTGAATGGAGGTAGCAATAGCAATAGTCCACCAAAACAAACATATGCACAACTATTAAACAAGAAGAGATGTATAGATGAACTATGGACACCAAATAATCAAGATACTACAAATGGCATAATCAATGATACCATTCATCAACAACATCCTCGTCAACCTCCTTTACGTCAAAATCTTGTTTGTTATGATTCCATTAGTGATGAAACTGTAATAGATACTACAACTACTACTGCTAGTACTACTGTTACACCAAGTATACAACAAAAACCAAATAATCATAATGGTCAAAAGAGATCAAACAACAACCACAACCAACAACAACAACAACAACAAAGAAACAAATCACAACAAAAAAACAAACAAAATACATATACATCGAATCAGATACCTGATACTAACAATAATGTTCATATGGAACAACAACCAAAAAAGAAACAAAAAAAGAAAAAGAATGTAACGATTAATCAATCAAGTCAAGTTGCATTGTATCAATGGGTGTTTAGTCCATTTCATAAATACCTCAAAATCAATAGAGTTCCAACATTGGACGAATTGTTTACGGAATTCTATCATCTTATCAATGTTGACCAATGTCAACTACTTGGGTCACAAATGACCGCCACCTATTACATGAAGAAACATGAAAAGGACGCACTTTCAACGCAACCATTACAACACTTTCACACTGTCGACGAAATAGAGAGGATCGATTTCTCACAGTCTCGAGAAAAGGTTGAAATCATCACAAGAAAGATATGTGGTTATCTTCAGCGAGAATCAAACATGGTATTGGTAGAACTCATAGTCATGTCAATCGGTCTATTAAAATCAATAGAATTATTAAAATTAACTTTAGATGTTCAAAATGTTGGTGGTGTAATGATTAAATATAAACCAAAGATAATATTAAACAACAACATCACCAATATCAACAACAATAGTAACAATTTAGAAAAAAAAGATAATAACAATAATAATAATAATGATAATTATGAAAATATAAAAGATTGTCAAATGCAAGAAAAAGAAAAAGAAGAAGAAGATGAAGATGAAGATGAAGATGAACAATTAGAAGAAGGTGAAGAAGTAGAAGAAAAAGTAAAAGTGGAAGAAGAAGAAAAAGAAATAATTAGAAAGAGAACATCAGGAGGAATATTTTTCCACCTTGTTTCAAGTATATTACCAGAGAGACGTAAAATATTCCTTGATTCTGTCGTTTTAAAATATAAAAAGACAAGATCAAAAGGACCAAACAATAGTAAATTCAATCGAATCACTGAATTTAAAGCTTTACCAACTGTAGACGATGTCATCAACCCAATCAATATTTCAAATGACCTGGATACTGATTTTGAAAGAGTATTAAATTTACTCTAAAAAAACAATCAATCAATAAATAATCAATAAATATTGATGATCTACGCGTAGGTCTGCTGCTCACCCCCCATTCTTTAAAACTCGAATATTATTTTAAAATAATAATTTTAATTATTATTTGATTTATTTATTTATTTTTAATTTGCCCGTAAAAAGTCAACAATTGAAGTTGTTGGAAAAACTGTTTGGTGTCATTTCTTTCATTTTTGCTGAAGAACATTAATCAATATTATTTATATATAAAATATATAATAAGATGTATCAATATATAATTAAACTCCCTTATTTAAAGAAGAAACAATTCAATAATAATAATAATATAAAAGATGATAAAGATAGTAGAAAAACAACAACAACAACAACCTCAAGTAGTTCAATAGTTATAGATTCAAATACATTGTTAAATCAAGTACAATTAAAACAAAGAATAGAATCATTGGTATCAATTCCTCTCAAATACCAAAGATTAAAAGGTAAAGGATTGAATACTTTAACAACAAATGACAATAACAACAACAACAACAATAATAACAACAATGATAATAGTAATAATATAATATGCTTGGATTTAATATTCTGTATTAATGGCGGTAAAGGAGGTTTCGGATCGTTGCTTAGAGGAAAGGCAAAGCAGATGGGACACAAAAAGACAACAAACTTTGACAGTTGTAGAGATTTGAGTGGTAGAAGAATCAGACATGTAAATAGTGAAAAGAGAATAAAGGAGTGGCAAGAGGGTGAGGAAGAACGCCAAGTGGCAATTGACAAGTTTAAAAAGAGTCTCAAGGGTGGTGTAACCACCAATGCAGATGATCATGAAAAGGAGTTTGATCATCAAAAGTTCCAAGAAGAGTCTAATCTCGTAGTACAGAGAACCAATGACTCTGTCATGATTGGTCTTCAAGAATTACAAAAGCAAAAGAAGATACTCGCTGAAAAGATGAGTTCAGTCGTCATTGTCGATGCTATTCCTACTACTACTACTGCTGCTGCTGGTGCTTCAGAGGAAGAAGAGACAACAACCACAACAACTACAACAACCACTACGACTACTGTCACTACAACCACCACTACAAAGACTTTAAAGAAACCTGTTGGTTTCTTCTTACCAGATTTCGATGATGATATGGAAGATGATGAAGATGATCAAGAAGAAGAAGAAGAAGAAGAAGAACAAGATGATCAAGAGGATAAAAAGAAACAACAAATTAAAAAGAAATAAACAAAACACACCTCTTATGTATATTTTTTAAATTAAACAACGCACCATCCCAAAAAAGGATTTAAAATCTGCAATCACTCATTGTTGTGACATTTATTTATATTTGTTTGATCAAGATGAATATTTATACAACAAGTAATCTATTTCAAAGATCATCAAGATTATTATTATCAAACAACTTTAAGTGTTTGATTAATCATCAATCACCACGACTATGTTCATTTAGTACTACCACGGCGAGCGCATCTACAAATGAACAACAAATCATAACAAAGATCTATGATAGAATCATTGGTAATAGATCATCGTCGATTCAAATCAAAGATAATGGAACTAAAAGTGGAAGAGGGTTATTTGCAATTACTGCCTTTAAAAAGGGTAGTCAAATCTTCCAAGAAGAACCATTTGTTTCTTATCCATCATTGGATGTTGATAAATCAACTGTATGTATTCACAGACAATGAATAGTAGTAGATTCGATTATCAATAAGTTAAATCGATTGATTATTTATTTTTATTTATTTATTTAATAGATTTGTAATCATTGTTTAAAACAATTAAATAATAACGGTAATAATAATAATGATAACAAATCAAAACAACAACAACAATGTACAAAATGTGGAGAGAGATATTGTTCAGAGAAATGTAGATCATCTGCAGAGGTACAACATCATTTAGCAAGTTGCCCTACCAGTTCAAATATAGATAACATTACTAGATATAGTCTAGTTGAAAAGAGACGATTCCCATTGTTGGCTGCTCGCATCCTATCGAGAATATTATTAGAGAATCACTTTGACAAAACGATGCACAATTGGGAAAATCTTCAAGTACTTTCATTTGCAAAGAAAGATGCTCCTCTGGAATGGAAAGATGATTATGATGTTTTTAAAAAATCATTATTAACAAGAGAAAGTAATCAAAAGAGTAAGTAAAAAAGTCTATTAAAAATATTTGTATTATCCATCATATTATAATATTAATATTTCTCTATTCCTATTTAGGATTTGATTTTAATTGGTTTGTTAGAATAATGCAAATATTATATTTAAATACACTTGGAATTGATGTTGGATCTACGAAACCATCGATTTCATCACCAACATCATCTATTGGTTTATTCTTTCTTTCATCATTTTTCAATCATAGTTGTGATCCCAACGTCTATATGGCATTCCCACACGATAAAACAGCAGTCATAACAGCACTACGCGATATCAAAAAAGGTGAAGAACTTTTCATCTCCTATGGAGACTCTGAAAAGGATATGTTTGATCGACAAACTCATCTCTTTGATAATTATGGATTCAATTGCGATTGTCCAAAATGTACCCAAGAATTATTATTGACCAAACAACAAAGAAATAAATAAAAATAAATAGGAAAAAAATGAAAAAGGATTATTTATAAAAATGGATATTTTGATTAATTATTAATTATATTATATTACTTTTGTTTTTTTGTTTCTATTTCTTTATACTGTCTATTTCCAAAAACCAAATAAACCTTTAGATTGTGCTTTCTTTCTATTTTCCAATGATGGGAATTCGCAAGAGTTAAAAGCCAAATCAAAGAACATTGGCTTGGTTGTAGTTGGTTGTAATTGTGGTGGATATTCAACCAATTTCTTTTCTTCCAAAAATGATGCATCATAATTTTCAATACCACTTAATAAATCCTTTGATTTTTCCTACAAGAAAATAAAATAATCATAGTTGGTATACTTTTTTCTTTTCTTTTTCTTTTTCTTTTTTTTTCTTTTTTCTTTTTCTTATTCTTACTGATGATTGAATTGTTAAAGAATTCATTTGATTCTTTAAATCTTCATTGGTTGATAATTGTTCCATAAAGGCATTGGCATGAATTTGAGATTTAACCTTGTTGACAAGATCTTCAAGATCTGTTGCTGATTTTACAATATCTTGACTCTTGGTGATCTTTTTGATTTGTTGAACGTTTGAGAGGATCTTTTCAATGGTTGCATTGGTTTCTGACCATTTCTTGGCGGCGAGGAGGTTGAGACCAATGAAATAGATACGATAGGATCTGAGGAGCAAGAGTTGGGCTTCATTGTCTTTTGATGCAACCAAAGAGGAAGCCGATGAAGAAGTGTCTGGACGATTGTCGACCATTGATGTAAAGATTTTGATTTGATCGCCATAGATACGGACCAAATCTTGAACGCCAACCTTTTTCTTTTTTCTAGAGATGGAGAGATCCTCTTGACTCTTTTCTCCATTCAAAAATCTAAAGAAAATCTTTGATAGAATTTGATTTCTTTCATATAAATATTTCATCTTGTGATAAACTACAAATGATAATAATGTCTTTTGATTCTCTAATTCAATTTCTGATTTTACTGATTTTGATTTTATATTCTTAAAAGTAAATAAACAATATTAATAAAAGGAATGTTTATGCTTTTCATATTTTTTAAATTACATACTTGTCTTTCAATATTAATAAAATCATTTTTAATAACACGTTCAATTTGGATTAATTGAGCAATCATCTTGTCAAAATAAGGATATCTTTTCAAATGATCTCCAGTGATCTTGTTAAATTCCTTTTCAATTGAATCATATGTAACCATTTGAGTTCTAACCTTTTCAGATACCTTGATTTGTTTTGATCTCCATGTAATAGTTTCCATTGGTAATGATGTTTCTTTGTTTTGAATATTTTTCTAGAAACAACAAAAAAAAAAAGGAATTAATAAATAATCTCTTTATCATTGTTCTTTTTCTATTTTCTATTTTCTCTTACAGATAATTTAGATTTAATATTTGAAATTAAATCATTTGTATTGATTGGATCTGGAATATTACCAGCATGACGAAGATTGTATTGACAGTATCTATCGATAGTTTGACTTTCTTCAATCTTTTTCTCATAGATTTGTTTGAGTGAAGAGTCACCAATCTCGATCAACAATTCAAAGATTGCCTTGGCAACAATATTTTCATCACGAGCTTGAACCCATTGTTGAATGTTGGTGTAACGAGCAGCCTTGATCGAGGCAGCATATGCTTGTGCTTCGGCGATAGTGTAGTCGTCGCAAGTGGCAACACAAAACTTCTCCAATTGCAAGGCATGTTTCTCAGCCTTGAGGAAACGACGTTCCATGTGATGATGCTTTCTTGGTGCATCCTCTTGTTCGTCTTGCTTCTTGAGATCCATAGCGTATGCCCAAGCACGTTCAGTCTTTAACAAAACAATCAACAAATAACGTGCATCAATCACATTCTTTGGGTCGTTGATCTTGTTTTGGTACACCTTTTTACCCAACGATGTCTTTAGTGCCTTTCTAACACGTAACAATCTACGTGTCAAATATTGACGATATCTTTGATAATCTTCAGTTCTAAGACCAAATTGTATCTGTGATGTTTGTGATATATTTATAACTAAAAAGAATAATAAGAATAGAAAGAACAGAATAGATAGATCAAAAGATTAGTTTCTATTTCAAATAGTAGTGTCACAACATCTCAAAACATAACAACATACTATCTAATTTGAGTTTTGGTGTTTCTGATCCTCCTTCCATTCTCTCCTTCTTTATCTCTTTGTAGAATATGATTGATCAACAAGTATTAAAATATAATTTTTGAAGATAATTAGAAGTGTGAAGTTAGAAAAAAAAAAATAAAAAAAATAATTATTCAAATTTCAAAAGGAGTCAAAGTCAACCAAAGATGGTTATTCATTCATTTTTTATTAGTTAGTTTATTAATAATCTTTGTGTTATTTTTTTTTTTTGTATAGAGATAAGATAGATAGAGAGAAATGGAAAATAATACTACTATTGTATCAGATGAAGAAGGAGAAGATAATCAACAACTACAAGACAATAATAATAATAATATAAATACTAGTACTATTACTACTGATGTGACAAGTACTACTACAACCAACAATGCATTATTAGAAGAACAACAATTATCGGGAGGAGAGAGTGAGAATGAAGTTGTATTTATAAAGAAGATGGGGAATGATCATACCGCGTCGTCGTTGAATGAGTCTACCGATGCCAATAAACATGATGATGATGATGATGATGAGGAGGATGAAGACGACGATGCCGATAGAAGCCACAAGCATAGTAGCAGTAAGTCTACTTCTTTGTCGTCGTCTGTTACCAACATTCCAGTTAATGATGGATCCTCCTCCTCTTTACTCGATATGACTCCCATTGTCAGCAACAACGGTGGCATCGGTACCGACGGAAAAGACCAAGTTGGCGGTGGTAGTGGTGGCGGTGGTAGTGACAATACAGGACTGTTGTTGAACAAGAGAAAGATGGACGATGAAATTAGTGGTGGAGTTAATGGCAGTACAGGTGTTGATGGAAGTGATGTCGAAACAGAAGCAGTAGCAGCAGCAGGCGGTGATGGTGGTGTCAGTGGGGGCAGCAGCGGTAGTGGTGTCGTAAACGGTGATGTAGGAGGTGGTGAAGGTGGATCAACAACAACAACAACAACAACAACTATTGCATTGACTACAACAGCAGCAACCCTTCAAGATAATTCTAACAATCGTTATAGTAATAATACCAATACAACTGTTGGCCAATATTCTACTACATCTCACTATGATTCTTCAGCTGACAACTATCACAACAAACGTTATAGAAGTTCAATAGTTTGTTATAAATGTGGAGGTATGTAAAAAAAACAAAAAAACTATAATAATTGATAAATTAATATTTATATTAACAAATCAATTTAATATATTTATATAGGTGAAGGACATCAACAAATAGCATGTACATCAAAGTATCCATCCACTGGTGGAGTATGTCATAGTTGTAGTGGAAGAGGTCATATTCAATATAATTGTCCATCTGCCAAATGTTATAGATGTGGACAAAATGGACATCAACAAAAGTATTGTACATATGGACCAAGTGGTATGTTTAAAAAGAAAAGAACAATTTAGGGAAAACAATATATTAATTTTATTTATTTTAGAGGGAGGAAAACCAAAGAATGTATTCCCATGTTATGCTTGTGGAAAGGAAGGTCATTTGGCTAAAGATTGTGATGTTTGTTTTACTTGTAAACAACCAGGTCATAAATCAAAAGATTGTGATGTTTGTCATACTTGTAAAGAAAGAGGTCATAGAGCAAAGGTAAATTATTATTATTATTGAAACAAAATATATATATATATAAATATATAGAACCTTATTTTTCTAATTGTTTATTTTATTTTTAATTTAGGAATGTCAACTATGTTTTGAATGTAGAAAGGTAGGACATAAATCATGGGAATGTCCAGAAAAGAAACAACATCAATATGGTAACAACAATTCATCAAGTGGATGGTATCAGCAATCGAGTCAGGGTAATATGGGAGGATCATCATACGGAGGCTACAACATGAGCATGGGTATGAATGGAATGGGTATGAACAGCATGGGTATGAACAATATGAACATGAATATGAACATGCAGGGTGGTAATCCAAACTATGGTTATGCAATGCAAGGTTATGGCTCTAGTAACCTAAATAATAATAATAATAATAACATGCAATCTTATAACAATGGATATGGACAAAATAATTATTACAATGGATATTAAATACTTAACTTTTTACAACAACAACAAATATAACAACAAAAACAAATAATTAAAAAGGGTATATATATCCCTTTTTTTTTCTACAATATTGATGTATGTCTAATAATAATAATAACCAAACTAGAATTCTGTTACTATATAACTTTAAAGATGAAAATAAACAATATAATAATAAATAAATTTTGGTCCAAAAAAAACAAAAAAAAAAAAAGAAAAACAATGTCGATACCGTCATCGTAAATGGTTTCTTGGGTTTTGAGGAAGACCACGTCCTATGCAATAATAATATTATTATTCGTATATCCAAATTTAGGAGTGTCAGTAGTCCTATGGTTCATCTGTCCCCCACCACCACATGCATCGAGAAGACAAGTTCTGACCACCTCTCGAACGAGAGAAGAGGACTTGGTAGCGGGCCACTGGGGCAACAGGTGGTTCAAATATTTTGTATAGAAAGGTTTTAGATGGATTGAGTGCTTAACTCAAAGTTACTTTACTTTGAGGGGGCGGTAATTCGATTAGACATTCATCAGAACATTACGATAACCGATTACGGTGTCTTTGCTTCCCAAGAAACCAAATTGACTCTCAACTATAGTTAGTCAATTCCATCAAATTGCCTACATAAATGGAAGGATGAATGTTCAATAGTGAGCTTCTTGGGAATTCAGGGTAGTCGATGATTGCACATCAGATTTAATGAATTGAATAAAACCATACTACCGCCACCTCTGTAAAGAGACAGAAACCCTAATCCCTTTTATTAAGATAATGGACCATCGGTGCGCGCGCAAACTCATCAACAGTTATCAAGTCTATGGAATATTCTGATGTTTTATTACGATCATTCCAATAAACTCTATGTTTTAAATTCAATCATATGTTTAAAACATATCTTTCGCCCACAAATCCAGGGGTCCTCTTCAAACCTACTATTTAAACATTTAAATCTTCTATTTTCATTATTATTTTTATTATTTCCTAACCATCATCCACATTCCGAACCCATACAATCCCAATTTATTTATTTATTATTCAATATTATTCTTGTAGTTATATATTCATATATATAATATAGTAATTTATTAGAATATTAGAATCATCTAGAATCGTATTCGATCGTAAAAAAAAAAGGTAGTTACAGCTCTTTAAAAGAATCATTGAAAAACTCATTTAATTTTGTGTAAGCCTATGACCAAAATTGGCGTCATTTGTTCATCACCACCACTTTGGCACAACAACGACGACGACGACGAAATGTGATACCAAAGTACTTTGAGTAGCCAACTAGGTTAGGTCAAAGTTACCCTTTTTTTGATTTGTACAACCCCCTCTCTCCTCCTTGGTTTTTGTATCGACATGTAGTGCACTCTCACTTCCTACTTATAATACCTTCCTTTTTTGATTAAATTAAATATTAAATACTAAATGAGTTGGACGGAAAGGAAGGGAGACGGAGCCCCTTTAAACATTATCCCCACCCCTCACCCAACACCAATAATATTATAATTATTACAAAACACACCACAACATTTATCCATTTATTTCTTTCTTTACTTAAAATTACCCCTACTCTACACTCTACTCTACTCTATCTATCTGAACTCATACCACCTTATTTTTATACCACAAACAAATATATTTAAAAATCCCCTTATTCTTGTTGTTGTTGTTGTTTGACGACATTTACACTCCCTACACCCTACCCACTCTTGTCTTCACACGCCAGCTTCGTCTCCTTATCTACTCTAACACTATCTTTTCCAAAAGTTTTCAAAAAAACACACACACTCAGAGTTAATTATTCACCACTCAGAACCACTATCTACTACTTTACTTTACTTTATTTCTTCATTACTTCAACCAGACAGAATTTTAACCATTTAAATTAGTATTTTCCCTCTCTTTCAACCCTTTAAGAATTTAGTAATATAGTATAGAGAATAACAAAGTGGTCATATCATATATAAAGTTTATAGATTTTTAGATTTAACCAGAATGATGTTTAAATCAGTGTTTATATTTCTTCTGCTTGCTCTTTGCTTGCATAATACATCATCTACAAATACTACAACAACACCAACACCAACTCGTAGACCAATTAAACCAAAGGCAACAGCACCCAAACCAGTTTTGAAATACAATCTACAAGGAAAGTTTAAAATAGTTCAATTTACTGATCTTCACTATGGCGAAGGTGAGGATGAAAATACTCAAACTTATGCAATTCAAGGTAAACTAAAATAACAATAATATTAGTTCTATTATTCAAAACCCTAACCTTTTTATATTTCTAGAATTAATTATGGAAAAAGAAAATCCAGATTTTTGTATGTTTTCAGGTGATATGATCAGTGGAAATTCAAACAATTTCGATAAAAATATTAGTTTATATTATTCCATGTGGGATATGTTTACTGAACCTTGTTCAAAAAGAGGAATTCCGTATGTATCATCAAAAACAATGAAAGAAAGGAAATATTCTAAAATTTTAAATTTGTATTTTTTAGATGGGCAATTGTATTTGGAAATCATGATGGATTTGGACCATGGTCAACATCAAGATTAATGGATCTTGAATTATCATATAATTTATCATTATCTCAACGGGGACCTGCAGACATTGATGGAATTTCCAATTTTGTTTTGGAAATCCAAGGTAGTAACTCTACACAACCATCGTCTCTGATGTACATGTTTGATAGTGATACTACAAACTGTCAAGGTGAAGGATGGTGGGGATGTATCCATGAGAATCAAGTAGCATGGTACAAGAATCAATCGAACCATTACAAACTTCCAGCCATTTCATTTGTACATATTCCACCATTTGAAGCCATTGAATTGTGGAATGATCATACTATATATGGCCAGTTTAGAGATACTGGAGTTTGTTGTTACTACACTGCCGATAGTGGGTTTGTATCTTCAATGCTCGAGCAAAAAGATATCAAAGGATTGTATTTTGGACATGATCACGGTTGTGACTATCACGGAGATTATTTTGGTATCGATATTGGTTACGGAAGAAAAACTGGGTATGGTAGTTACAACACTGAACTCCTTCACGGTGCCAGATTGATCCAACTCACCGAATCACCATACTCTATTGAAACTTGGATTAGAAATGTAAATGGTGATATTGAAGATCAACCAAAACATGAACCAAATCGTCAACAAGCTTTACCTTTAACTTGCTGTACTACTTTAGGTAAGAAAATTAAACAAAAAAAGGAAATTTAAAAATAATATTTTTACTTACTTTATTTATTTATTTATAGATAATAAGAATAATAGATTTTGGGGTATTTATTTAGGATGCTTTAGTGCCATTCTTTTTGTTGCATTTGTTATTCAATGGTCTGGAGTTACCAAATATATTTCATAAATAATATTAAAATTAATTTAGAAAAAGAGAGGGAAGAATATTTTTGATACAATAGCAGTGTGCCATTTATCTACTACTTTCTTCTTGTTAACGATATATCAAACCACTTGTCCTATACAATTAGTACTATCAAACAAGTTGTGTTACAAATTATAATTTGTAAATAAAATAATAAAAATCAATCATTTTAAATCATAATAATTTATTAAATATACTATAGTAATTCCAACTGGAAGGTTTACTTTTTAATTATTTTATTTAAATTAATTATCTTTTTTCTTTTTTCTTAAAGATAATGGGGTAAATCTAGGAGTTGCTTGTTGAGTAGTGATTTGATTGGAAGATTTAGTTGATTGTTCATCATCTTCTTCTTCAAATGGATCTTTGGTTGATTTTCTTTTCTTTAATTGTACATGATTATTATTCTTATTATTCTTATTATTATTATTATTATTATTATTATTATTATTATTACTTTTACTATTACTATGTACACCGTTTGTAAATGATTTGGTTGGAGTTTTCTTTGTTGGTGTAATTAATTTTCTTCTTGCACTATATGATTGATCTTCTTCCTCTTCTTCTTCCTCTTCATCTTCATCATCATCATCACTACTACTTGAACCTGAATCGTCACTATCCGAATCATCACTATCACTATTATTAAAACTTTCATCTTCTTCCTCGCCTGCAGATTCCTCTTCTACTTCTTGTTCCTGATCTTCTTCATCTTCCTCATCTTGGTATAAAATAATTTTCTTTCTTGTTCTTCTTCCATTGACTTGTAAAATATCCTCTTCTTCTTCTTCTTCTTCTTCCTTTTTCTTCTTTTCGTCATCCTCTCCTAAATCCATCATTTCCTTTTCACCTTCTTGTTCTTGTGGTTGACCGTCACCATCAACGACCACCAACTCTTTTGATTTTGGTTGTTGTTCATTTTGTTTCTCTTTATCTTCTTCTTGTCCTTGTTCCTCTCCTTCATCCTTTATAGAGGAAGAGGTCGAAGCTTGTGTAATTGTCGGTTGTTGTTGTTGTTGTTGTTGTTTCTTTGTAGGTGACAAGACATTCTCTTTTTTCTCTGATTTCAAAGAAGAAGAGGATGTAGAGGATGCAGAGGTACTAGTATTTAGAGTATCAGTTTCAATTGATAAAGATTTAATAAGAGATGATATAGAATCGGAAATGGTAATATATGGATCCTTTTCATGATTCTTGATAAGTATTGTCAGTTCCTTTTTGATCATTTCCGTGATACTCTCAGTGTCACGACGTAGTTGAAGAAACACGGTTCGTTTGTTGATATTCTTGTCTTTAGAGTATCGCTTGAGTGCCTCTGAGTTTTGGAGTCGATCCTTTGCTTCATTTCTCAAACGTTGCTGTACACCAGACGTCGACATTTCGTTTGATATGATTGACCTAATCTTGTCAAACGTGCCATTGTTTTTGAGAATGTTGAGGATCTGTGTCGACGTTTGTTGGTAGAAACCAAATTCCATCGTTCCAAGCGATCGCAATATATCGTCAAATGGATCAGTACTTCCACCACTACCACCACTTCCACCACGAGCTTGATGATGTGGTGGAAGTGATTTATAACCAGACATGTGTCCTCCTGGATGATGACCATGTCCTTGACCCTGACTATATCCATGACCATGGTTTGGATGCATACCATGCATGTCACGTCCACCACCTCCTCCACCACCACCACCTTCGAATCTATCACTTCCACCAGCACCTCTGAACCTAGTGTCGCGGTACCCTCCACCACCAGCCGCTCCAAAATCATAGGATGCAGCTCCACCACCACCACGGCCGTATGATCCTTTAGATGGTCCGCGTCCAGCTATATAATCATAGTCGTAGTCATAGTCATAGTCGTTATTACCATGGTTTGGTGGAGGAAGGTGATGCTTTGAGTGTCGATGTAATGTGGGATGTCCACCACCACCACCACCACCGCGATCTCCTACTGCAGCCGGGTATTGAGGAGGAGGAGGACGTACAATTCCACGATCTCTATTATATGGATCATCGACAGGTCTAAACTTTCCAAGCAATGATGATCTACTATCATTATCATATCTTCCAAAATGTCTAACTGGTAATGGTAATGGTATCTGTTGTTGTTGTTGTTGTTGTAATGGAGGTAAAGGTGAAGGAGGTACTTGTTGTTGTTGTTGAAGTGATGGTTGTTGTGGTTGTAATACGGGTGTACTCTCTATCTTGTCCCATTTAGATTCTTTATGTTGTGTCGATGATGATGAAGATATAGTTGTAGGTGTCAAAGGAGCATGAGAAGGTTGTTGTGAGTGTATCAAACCATAATTATCCGATACCAATGGTTGCACCAATGGAGTTGTAGATATAGATATGACTGATGGTGTTTGTTTATCCCATTTTGATTCTTTTGTTGTAGTTGTAGATGTTGTTGTAGATGTTGTCGTAGATGTCGTAGATGTTGATGAAATTAAACTATCACCTTGTGAAGAAGAAGAAGAAGAAGAAAAAGAAGAAGAAGTAGCAGTAGTATTTACACTACCACCATTCATTCTTTAACTATATAAATATATATATATGTATATGTATGTATGTATTAACAATATCTATCTATGATATGATCAATCAACCAATCAATAGTTTTTACTATAATATATATATCTTGGTTTGATGATGTGATGGTTGATCAAAGAAACAAATAATGTTATATTCAAATTTATGGTTTTACCGTTGCAAAAATTATGCCGCCGAAACTGATCAAAAACATATCATCATTTTAAAATTTTATCAATAATAATAATAATAATAATAATACCTCTTGGTTCTTATATATATCTTAAAAGATAGATAGATAGATAGATACATTGCAAACTATAGTTTCATGATAGGAGTTTTGTGTAGCAACATACTTTTAAATTAATTGATTTTTTATTTTTATTTTTTTTTTTGAAAGGGTAATCGATCTTTGTCCCGACCCACATCATCATCATCTTATTATTAATTTCAATGAGTTTTAATTAAATTTGTGTACAACAAAAAAGAAGTAGAAGAAGAAGAAGAAGAAGGGATGGAAGAACAATATGGTAAAACCAAGATATTATTTGATACATTTGTATGCGATCCTATACCTGTAAATAGATTTATATATCGGTCCTGGTTGGAAGGACTGACTGAAAAGGAGACAGCAGCAAGAAGAGACTCTATTGAAAAGTCTCTCATATCACCACTCAATCAAAGTATTAGCGGTGTCTCTACATCTGCACTATCATCACTTTTACCAAATACTTTTGTCAACAACAACAACAACAATGTATCATCAAATAACCTACAACAAACTAGTAGTAGCAATATTAATAACAACAACAACAACAACACATCAATGATCAATACAACTACAATGATCACAAATACAAATATGATACCAGGTAGTAGTAGTAACAGTAACAACAATAGTTTAAATAGTACATCTACCAATATTGCAACCACTGCAACGTGGCAACAACTACTCGAAGAGACAGAAGATCAATTTAGAAACTTTTCACTCTTGCGCAACGTGTTGGAGCATCCCAAGACACTATCTCCTCATTCAATGTTTCAAGTGGATCCAACGTCAAGAAGACTCTTGATAGAGGGTTACTATGACTTTGACGACACCTTTATCAGAGAACTGATTGGTAGGAAGCTTACAAGTGGTCAACGTCGTGATCTCGATGACACGAGCGAAAAGTTAAGGATCAGACTATCAACTTGTGAAAGACAATTTGACAATCTAAAGAGAATATCAAGATTGGTATTTGCAAATATCAAATCTTCCCCAATTGATTTAATAATCAATGAATTTTGTTTATCAAGAGATTTATCAAAGTATGTAAATATAATAGAGTAATAATAATAATGATGGTTATTAACTCTTATTCTTTTTCTTTTTTTCTTTTTCTTTAGAAAATATATAAAGATATTATTCCTTTGTTTTCATAGAATAGATATATCACATAAAAGAATACAACCTTTAAATACAGGAGATTTAATGAAATTGGCAGAGATTGTGATGAATAATTGGGGTGACCCGTTACGTAGTTATTCGATGGAATTGGAAATCAAACTAAAAGAAGATGTTAGAGATTTAAAGGTTTATCTTTCAAAGGATATTCCAGAAAGATATTTAAAGATGATCAAGGCTAAATACCAAAATCCATCCAGTAGTAGTGTTGGTCAATCACCAAAGATAAACTCTTCTCTAAATTTACCTTCACCACTTTTAATGAATCAACAACAACAACCTATGACGACGACGACTACTACAACATCAACATCAAATTTAGGACAATCAGTTCAACCAACACCATCAACTCAATCAAATAATACTAGTTTAAATAATAGTAATAGTTTTATCAATACTCCATCTTCAGTTTCATCTGCCATTCCACCATTACCAACATCTGCATTTTCACTTGCTCAACATGTACCAGCCATCGTAGGAGCTGATAAACTCAAAGCATTGGAAGGTAAATTCAAGTCGATACTCAAGGGATTGTTGGCTATTGGATCTAATCTCTCTGATAGCAAAGAGTTTAGAAATCTTTTTGAAGATATCATTGAAAAGATTGTAGACCCTCTTTTACGTATTGGTATGACCACAAATGAAGCCGATACCTTTTTCGTCTTTCTTCGTGAATCATTTTTACCAGACAACCTAGGTCTCACTCTTCGTCATAAAGATCGTTTGGTTCATAATTGGAAAAGTTTCCTTGAAGGTATGAGAGCTATTGTAATTTATTTATATGATAAATAAAAAAGAAATTAGGAAATAGTTTGTTTATTTAATTAAATTGTTGTTGTTGTTGATAATGGAATTGATATTGGGGTACATGAAATGACATGAATAATGGATTTTGACCTTGTCCATTAATATTATTATTCATTTCAAAAGAGGAAGAATTATTATTATTATTATTATTATCAAACAATAATTGATTGATTGGATCATTCATTGGAGAAGGTCCATATGTACCTGGACTATTATAGTTGATTGAGGGGGATGTTGAAAAACCATTTAAAAATGATGATGAATTGGTTGTTGGATGTGAATATGACATGTTATTTGCAACCATTGGAATTGAAGAAGAGGAAGAAGGCAAAGATGAAGAAGAAGATTGTACATTTCCTCTATGATTTCCTATTGATAGATTTGGTGAAGATTTTGATAAACTATTCAATTGGTTAAATACAGAATTAAAAGAATTTCTTTTTGGTGGATGTTGAACTTTTTTGGTTAAACTATTCTTTCTTGGTACTGTTTTAAATTGTTTAACATTATTAAAATTTAATGGTTGTTGTTGTTGTTGCTGTTGTTGTTTTTGTTGTTGTTCTTGTAATTGCATTTGTTGTTGTTGAAGATCATTTTGAATGAATTGATGAAACTTTAAAGATTGACATGGAAATAATGTTTCAAGAGTTGGTTCAACATATTTAGCTTGTTTGGAATTGGTTGGTTGAGCTGTTGTAGGGATAATTGTTGGTTGTAAAGATGATGATGGTTGATGAATATGATCATTTAAATTGGAAGTATTCTTTTGATTTGATTTATATCTAAATGTTGAAATGATTGGATTATTCTCATTTGGACTACTGTTTTGGTTGGTTGCAACTGAAGTGATAAATTGATTTAATTGATTTGGTGATGAAATATGAATAATAGTTGGTGAATTTATTGGTTCCATCTATATTTAAATGAATAAAAGAAAGATGAATAAATGGATATTTTAAGAAATGGTTTGGTGCAAGGTTTAACCAATTCTATTTTTAAATACAAAGAGTTAACATTCATTAACTGTTGTTTGTTGTTTTTTTTATTTAATTAAAAAACATTTTTAATGAAAAACAACAACAGTCAATATTGAAATATTTCTATCCATCTTCATCTCACACACACTCACAAGTTGATTGGTAAAAGATAGATAGATAGATAGATAGATTAGATTGATATTAATTTTTTTTTTTAACATTATTTTATTATATTATTATTATTATTATTATTATTATTATTTTACTTTAATTTTTGGTATCTGCATTTTCAACGACTGGCTTGACATCATTTTCTTCTTGTGGGGTGGCGGCGGCAGTAGTAGTGGTCGAGGTTGAGGTAGTAGCAGAGGCTTCTTCAGCTTCCTTCTTTTCCTTTTCAGCATCCAATTCTTTTCTACGTTCTTCCAACTTTTGTTTGGAGAGAGCAGAGAAGTGATCCTTTTTGATGACGACTTGAGCAATCAAATCATCGACTTGAGTGTACTTTTCTGGTGGAGTCAAAGAGAGCTTGTCAAAGCTGATGAAAATGTTCATTGGATGACGGATAGTGTCAGAGACTGGGGCGGCAGGCTTGGAATCCTTCTTTGGAGCGGCGACAGAAGCACTTCTACCTCCACTACGCTTGTTGTCCTTCTTGGCTTGCTTAGGTTGCAAAGCTTGGAAACCTTCTTCGACTTCGGTGGCGGCGGCAACTGGCTTTTCTTCGGTGGCAGCAGCGACAGGCTTTGGCTTGATGGTGTTGAGGTAGGCAACGAGACCGTCGCAAATGTACAATTCCTCTTCGTATGGGATCTTGGCCAACTCTCTTTGACGGGCCTTTTCTTCTTGGGCCTTGATGTAAGCGGCCTTTTCTTCGAGACGCTTCTTGCGCTCCTCTTGCTCCTTGACACGTCTCTCTTCAATGTGCACCTTGAAACGGGCCTTTTCAGCGTCGATGAATTTGCTCTTTTCTGCGATTTGGTTGGCCAATTCTTTGATTTGGGCAAAGATGCTGTTGTTTTCGTTAATGATCTTCTTTTGTTCGTCGTAGAGTGGATCTTCAGCTTGCTTTTTGGTTTCAGCAACCTTTTGCAATTTTTGGAATTCGCTACGCATCGCGTGAACCTTGCTCTTTTGGGCAGTGATTTGTTCGTCATGTGTGCCAAGTTGTTTTTGTTGTTCGGTGTGGTGTTGAATACGACGCTTGGATTGTTGCAACTCTGAGATTTCGTTCAAGAGGACACGTTGGGCTTGAATGCTCTTTTCATTTTCGATGCGCTTTTCAATCTCTGCAATGTTGCGTTCGATTTGCACAAAGGGGTCAAAGGTGGGGTTGTCCTTCTTGAGCTTGATGGGGAGGTCCTTGGCGATGTTGTTGAGGGATTCACGACGCTCCTTTTGTTCCTCGATCAATCTCTTTAAATGTTCGTCTTCGACTAGGAGGGTGCTCTTCATGGCCTTTCTTTCGGCGACGGCCTTGTCAAACTCTTGACGTGCTGGATCAATCTCCTTCTTGATGGTTGTATTTCTCTCCTTGTTGGATGCCATCTTGTTCAAACATTCTTGTCTCTTGGCTCTCAATGCCTTTTGCTCTTCAATAGCCTTTTCAATCGACAAGTTGATACCTTCTCCTACCTTGTCATTGGCAAATGTCTTTTTTGGTTTATCTCCATTTTCTCCACCAACATTCTTGTTGTTGTTATTGTTGTTGAAACTCTTCTTCTTGTCATCACCTGACTTGTTGTTGTTGTTGTTATCTCTCTTGTTGTTGTTGTTTTGTGGCTTTCTTTCCTTCTTTTCAACTGATGGTGAAGTAGTTGAAGTGGTTGAAGTGGCAGCTGGTGTGGCAACTATGGTCGACATGTCTTTTTTGATTATATTATATATATATAGATTGATCGAAGAGGGGGGGATATAATGATGATTTGTTTGTGCTTTTCTATTAGAAAGAATGATAATACAATGATATCAGATGAATAGTTTGAGTCAAGGAAGTTGGGGGTTTGTAATGTTAATATTTATATAAGTTTTTAAAAGAGCTTTGAAAAGATCGAGAATTGAGAATTCTCCTTGACCTTCTTCTTCATCATCATCATCAATCAGACATACCTTTTAATAATAATGATACTCTTATCTATTATAATATAAAAACAAAGTAAATATATATATACAAATCAAAGATATGAGCAAAAAAGGTGTGTTTTTTTTGATATCACGTGAGCAAAAGAGGGCATCTTCAAAGCTTGGTTCATGAAGTTTTAAAAAAAATTGACGTTTTTTTGACCCGTGCCAAGAAGTTCAGTTGGAAAAAAGATAATTATCTTTTTTTCACCCAATCGTTTCGCTTTTTTTTTTGTTGTCATTAATGTTGCAGTTGTTGTAACCATGAACCAAAATATCTATCTGACTCGTCCGATGGATCATCAGCACATTATTTTTTTTATACCAAAAGACTAGTCTTTATAAATATGTAATCTCTCTCTCTCTTTATCAAACAACAACCCTACTCGATTGTTTGTCGGATCAGATGATTTGATTTGAGAAAATATTTATTTTCTTCAATGTTTCTTGGTTCAAAAATAAGGGTATTGTAGGAAATGATAAGAGGTGTTGGAAACGGTCAATCAATCATCCTATTCCCATAATTGTATAATAGTAATTAAACAATAGTCGATATATCAACAGTATTGAAGCTATGTATAATTGAGGAAAAGGCCGACTGCTGGTTAAAATTACAGACTCCCGTAACAAAGAATTCAAATCCCAAATTCAATATCACCTCGAAGAAGATACCACTGTGGACCTAGTGGTTAAACTGGTCTCCACTCCAGAGATGGGTGGTTAAACTTGTCACGTAAAATCTACCTGTAGTCCTGATACCTTTCCTTTTTTTATTTTATTTTTTTGGAATAATAATATTTAAATATTATTTATTTATTTATTTATTGAATATCGTCAATTACAATATCTTGACTAAATCTAAGATTAGAAAGAATGGCATTGTCGACAACCATAATATTATTATTATTGCCACTAGTATTGATGTTGTTGGAAGTGTCAATAGTGTTGGCACCGTCATATTGATCACTGTCGTCACTATTTTGGTCGATATTATTATTGAGTGATTTAGTGTCATTGACTTGGTCACTACTACTATTACGTAATGGTTCAAAGTCGGACTTGTCGGTTGTTGGTACTGCAGACATTGACATGGACGAAGAGGATGATTGAATTTTTTGAAAGATTAGGAAAAGGATGAGACCGAATACAGTGACGATGAGAATGATGGTGTACATGACAATTGGACCGAAAGCTTGGTAGATTGAACCACCGAGAAGGGCACCTAGTCCCATACCCAGTCCAAGGTAGACTGCAAACATTAGACTTTGGCTGGTTGTCTCGAGACCCTTGGGAGCAAGGTCTGAACAGATCTTGTTGCCAGCTGACCAGATCGACGCAAAGATGATACCGTGAAGTAACTCGACTGGAAGGATGGCCCAGGCACTCGCCTTGACCGATAGTAAAAAGATGTATCCTACGACTCTGATAATGAGACAGACGTGCGACAAGATGATGAGGCGCTTGGTACCCCATTTCTCCAACAACTGTTTGCCAAAGAAAAAGAACACCAGTTCAAAAGTGACATTCATAATCGATGCGATACCAATCAACGACGACGGACCTTTAAAATCATTGACTATAACCAATCCAAGGAAATTGTTGTTCATTGACATGCCCAAAGACACAATCAGCGCATTCACCAAAAACATTAATAATTTAAAATTTGATAATAATATTTTAAGTGATTGGAAAAATGTTAATTGTTGAGTTGAATTTGATAGGGTTGATGGCGTTGGAGGGGTAGTTGGCGTTGATGATTTTGATTTCTTGTCATTGATTAAATTAATTTTCATATTATCTTTTTCTTTTTGAGAATTATTATTATTATTATTATTATTTGCGTCAACTTCTTCATAATCATCATTATTTGATAATACTTCTAATTCCAAATCTTCATTATCATCTTCATCTCCATCCAAATCTGAAAATACCTGTGATGATGATGATGACGATGACGATGATGTTGGTATTGCTATATGTTGTTGTTTATATGATGGTTGTTTTCTAAAATCAGTCCAAGAATATCTATCTCTTAACTCCAATATATTAAATGGGACAGGAGTATCATAGTAAAACACCAAAATCAATACCATATAGATCATCATTGCAACTGGATAGTTTATCCAATAAATCTTAAAATTATCCAAATGTTGTGCCAATATACCAATACTAGTTGCACTTACTGCAAATCCAACACTACCATACATTCTTTGTTTACCATATCTAAAAAATTAAAAGAATAATAAATTAATTGTTCGTTTCTCAAAAAAATAATTAAATATGTTCTTTCTTTCTTTCTTTCTTTCTTACAAATCTCTTGAGGGACCTAGAATCTTTAGAGTTGTAGAATCTAGGATTGGAATGAGTGGTGACCAAAATACGGCATTAAAGAGGACTATACAAAATACAATTGCATGGTTTTCGACAAAGTAGAGTAAGAATATGAGCAACGATGACATGATCGCCGATATGACGACTGCCTGTCGATGACATTTATATTTATCGCAGAATGCTGACCACACTAAGACATGACAATGGTATTAGTTTTCCCAAACAGGACCCTGTTTGTGTTTGTTTTTTTTTGTTTCTGCTTTATACATACTTGGTGAAGATACAAACGAAATGAATGGGGGAAAGGCCAAAGTAAGCCCTATTAAACTAGGTGTAAATTTAATGTGTGCCAATGCAATGGGAATGAATGGTCGATAGGTTCCAAAGCAAAAAAATAATAAAAAGTAATAGGCCTTTGGAATTACAGGTACCAAGTTATTATAACTTAAAACACCACTAGTATGTTGTTTATTGTTGTCATGATTATTATCAATTGATGTACTACTACTACTACTACTATTATTATCGGTTCCTAAAACTCGGTGTTTTAACCTTTCACAATGATATTCTACTATCATCGTTTTTTCTTATAAATAAATAAATAGAAAGAAATAGAAATATAGAAATATAAATATAAATATAAATATAAATAAATATTATATATCTGTTTAAAACAGTGCAAATGATCTCGTAGTTGTTGCAGATGAAACAATGAAACACAGTGCCTGCTTTTAAAAAACAATTGTGAGAGGGAAGGTTTTCGTTGGGGCAAATTAAATGTTTGGTTTTCGTGCCGAATATTCGATGAGTAATAATAATTTGTCGCGTCGCAAGATAGATCTAGAAGAGAACATTCCAATCAACAATTGATTGTTCTCTACTTCCCGAATAAATCATTGATTTAATATATATAGATAGATCTATATTTATTTATATTATTATATTAATTTATTTACCTTTAAATAAATCTAACATTATTTTTAATTGTTGATTTTAAAGCTTGAGTAATACCGATGGTCATGAAATTACCATTATTGTAGGCAGCTTCAAGTTGAGTGAATTGATATTGAGTTGATGGATTGTTTATGACCATGTTTGGGAATGCGGCCATTGAACCGATTAATTGTAACATTTGGAGGATACCATCGGTATCGATCTCACCTACATTGGTCGAAGCAACAGAGACCGATGGGTTGAACCCAGTCATTGTGGTGGCGACTGATACACTACCGTTGGAGAGTAGGGTTGGTTGGACATCGAGTGTGGCATCGACTGCAATCAATACGGTAAAGGCTGGTGTGGATGGTGCAACTACAAAAGTGGCCAAGAGCTCGAGTTGAGATACTACTATACCACTACCATTGACACTGCATGAAAAGGTCGATTGTTCAGATCCCGGGGTAGTAATATCGATAGAGATGGCAAGATTTGGGTAGGATTGGGTCATACCAGGAGCTGTCTCTGAAAAGAATGGATCAGAGGTGTTTAGGGTGACTGGAGAGTCTGCAGGTACCATCGATGGTACAATTAGACCTGGAAGAGAGGTTTCTAGGGCTGCATCAATCATAGACTCGAAAAAGAATGGGGTGAGCAATACTTGCCATTCAGTCGTATGGAAATCTTCAATGGCAGAAGCTGGTGGAGTAAAAGTAGGTGCTTGTGATGGATAGACTGGGTTGGCTCCACCGCCGGCGGCACTAACAGCAATACCACCGTTGACGGCAAATGTAACGGGTGGTAGATCATCACCAGCCGAACCTTCAACAATCTCACCCATACTAACTACACTGAAACTACTACCTTTGTACGAGAAATTGGGTAATGGTCTAAGTGGAGGGAATAGAGCGGCAATGGTTGATGCCTTGGCATTGAGTTGTTCGGTTATAGTTGTTTGGATGGATGGGATGAATTGGTCGGCCACAGCATCACGAATCTCTGATGTCTTGTCACAAACCTTGCTTTCACAAGATGCACTATATTCAATTGCATTACCAGGTGCACCAACTACAGTCGATACGTCACTAAATGATGGTGACGTAGAATCAAACATTAAATTAAATGCAGTTGTCAATGTAACATTTGGACTATTTGTTGTAACAATTTCTAAATATTCAAACAATTAAGTAAATAAGTATTATTATTGTTATAGATTATTTATATTATTATATATTATTATATATTTACATACCAATTTTACCATGTTCACAAATATTAACATCATCTGCCATATGCCATTTATAACAAGCTTCATAATCCATATGAATGGTAAAATCAACTTGTTTCCAACCAGCTTGATAACTACCGGCACCTGTTTGCAAGTAGAATGGTGTATTCATACCAACTGATTGTTGAATGTTTGAAATATCAACAGTGATATGACCGTCATCTACTTTAAATGATGGTACAGATTGTGCATTTAAATTATTTACAATCGTCTCTGTCATCTACACATAAATAAATATAATCAATTAATTATCAATACCTTGTATCTATCTATCACTTTATCTATATATTTGATACATACAGTATTAGCCAATGTAGAGGTATAATAAGTACTAAAAGTAAGGTATACACCAGCACTTGGGTAAACACCTTGTTGTGCATTAATAGTTGCAATTGTAGTTGTTGCAACCAACAATAAAGCAATTAAATAACCAACTATTCTCATTTCTATCTATCTACTTTATCTCTCTCTCTTTCTCTATATATTAATATACAATGAATGGGTGGATGAAAGTACGTCCGTCCTTTCGTTCACTGTTCCAAATTGAATGAATCTTACGAGGAGTCAAGATATTGAATATCTTCAGACCCATGGTTTTTCGGTCACACTTGTGGATACTTTTTATTCCAACCTTTCCTTGACCTATTTCTAAAGGTTATAAATTAATATTAATTTAATTTATTAATTTTAATTTATTTAAATTATACAAATGTAGCAGAATGAATAGTTGATTTTAAAGCTTGAGTAATACCGATGGTCATGAAATTATCATTACTGTAGGCAGGTTCAAGTTGAGTGAATTTGTATTGAGTTGATGGATTATTGACTATCATGTTTGGGAATGCGGCCATTGAACCTGCCAATTGTAACATTTGGAGGATACCATCGGTATCAACATCACCGACACTTGATGATACTAATTTGACAGCTGGGTTGAATCCCGACATGGTAGTGGTGACTGATACACTACCGTTGGAGAGTAGTTTGGGTTGGACGTCGAGGGTGGCATCGACAGTGGCCAATACTGAAAAGGCGGGTACTTGCTTGTTACCGGCAGTGTCTACTAAAAAGGCGACAAGTAGTTCAAAGTTTGAAACTGCAATACCGCTGCTATCAACCTTGCATGAAAAGGTCGATTGTTCGGAACCAGGTGCTGTGATTTGGAGAGTGATGGGAAGGTTTGGATAGGATTTGGTCATACCAGGAGCTGTCTCTGAAAAGAATGGATCAGAAGTGTCGAGGGTGACTGGAGACCCCTTTGGTACCATCGATGGTACAATGAGATAGGGTAGACCACTTGCAACGGCTGCATCAATCATTGACTCGAAAAAGAATGGGGTGAGCAATACTTGCCATTCAGTCGTATGGAAATCTTCAATGGCAGAGACTGGTGGAGTCAAAGTAGGTCTTTGAGTTGGGTATGCTGGGTTACCTCCACCATTCTTTACAGCAATACCACCATTAATAGCAAATGTAACAGCTGGTGTATTGTGTTCGACAGTACCGGCTTCGACAATCTCTCCAATACTATCTAAATAATATGTAAGGTCTTTGTACTTGAAGCCAGATAATGGTCTAAGTGGAGGAAAGAGTGCAACAATGGTCGATGCCTTGGCATTGAGTTGTTGGGTAATCGACTTTTCAATGGATGGGATGAATTGTGATGCAACTGCATTACGAATATCATGTGTCTTGTCACAAACCTTGCTTTCACAAGATGCACTATATTCAATTGCATTACCAGGTGCACTCATAATAGTTGATACATCACTAAATGTTGGTGATGTAGTATCAATATTTAAATTAAATGTTGTTGTCAATGTTACATTTGGATTATTTGTTGTAACAATTTCTAAATAGAAAACAAAATAAACAAATAAGTAAGTATTATATTATATAAATTATATTATTATTTCTTTCTTTGTATTTGTGTAATTACATACCAATTTTACCATGTTCACAAATATTGATATTTTGATCCATATGCCATTTATAACAAGCTTCATAATCGGTATGAATAGTAAAATCAACTTGTTTCCAACCAGCTTGATAACTACCAGCTCCTGTTTGCAAGTAGAATGGTGTATCCATAGCAACAGAGTGTTGAATATTCTTAATATCAACTGATACATGACCATCTGTTATTTTGAATGATGGAATACCTTGAGCATTTACATTCTTTACAATTGTCTCTGTCATCTAAAGGAGGGGGAAGAGGAGTATAAAAGTAAGAATAAATGTAATTAACTTGTTCTATAGTGCGTTACATACAGTATGAGCCAAAGTAGCAGTATAATAAGTACTAAAAGTCAAGTAAACACCAGCATCGGGGTAAACACCCTTTTGGGCATTGACAATAGCTACTGTTGTCGAAAGTACAACAGCAACAATAGCAATGAAATAAATAACTAATTTCATTCTTATCTATCTATCTATCTGTATTTGTATAAACAAACAAAAGTTAAGTTAACAACGAAAAAAGGCGACAGTAGCCATCTTTGTCGGGAGAAATCTAATTAAACGGGGTGTTCTTTTTTTGGTTTTCACTGGTTCGTGTACCAGGTTTTCGAGTTTAGGACTAGATCTAGTCCTTTTATTTTTTTTTAATTAATTATTATTTCTAGAATCAAAAAAGGTTTTGAATTAAATGCATGGGTATGTAAGTTCAATAAATATTTAATTAATTTATTGTTTATGGTGATTTATTTGTTGGTTGTGAGGATGTTGATGATGGTGATGTCGGTGACGATATTGCTGAAGATGACGTTGAGGAGGAAGATGAGGAGGATGAGGATGAGGATGATGAAGGTGGTGAATGATGAATTCTAGATTTTGATGAAGGTGAACCTATTTGCCAACCACTATTATTACCTCCTCCACTATAACTACTGGTCAATTGACTACGAACAATATTGGTGGGAGATGTAGATGGTGTTGAAGTGGTTGATGAAGATGTCGATTGGACACCAACACCATTTGATGGTGTATTATTACCACTATTACCATTGCCAAATGAACTACTGCTACTTCCAAATGTAAGACTGTTTGACAGTTCCGATTCATTCATAGATCGATGATGAGATGGCATTAAACCAACAGAATTTAAAAATGATGATGACATTGAAGGTGAATCAGACGAGGGTCGTTCCTTTTCCTTTTCCTTTTCAGTAATAATAGGTCCTCCTTTGGTCTTTGTAATTCCCATTGGTCTTGAATACCCTGATCCATTTCCAGATGTTAATAGTGCACCATTCCCAACGTTATTATTAATAATATGGTTTGGAGAAGATTGTGGAGGGGTTGAAATGGGAATGGATGAAGTTGAAGATGACAATGATGAAACTGTCGATGATGATAATGAGGATGATGAAGAGGATGAAGAGGATGAGGAAGAAGAATTTGATAATATAATACTACCACCGCTACCACTACCACCACTACTACCAAGACTATTAATACTACTACGTAAATTACCAATACTAGTATTTAGAATATTTGATTTCTTTAATTGTTGTTGTTGTTTTTGAACTCTTTCTATTGTACTTTTGTTGACTGGAATGTTTTGAGCTCCTGCTCCTCCTGCTCCACCTCCACCTCCACCACTATTTGGATTTAAAATAAATGATCCACCTTTTTTAAATACTTGGGGAATTGAGGAAGAGGAAGAGGAAGAGAGAGGGTTGGGAGTGGTGGTGGTGGGAGGTGTATTGTCTAGATCCCATAGTTTGATGGTGCTGTCCCAACTGGCCGATATGAACCGTGTGAGAGGTCCGTGTTTGGGAGAGGCAAGACATTTGATCCAGTCGGTGTGTCCACGCAGCACCTTTTGGCAGGCACCATTGTTGACGTTCCACACACGGATGGTCTGGTCGTTGGAGCTGGTGATGAGTGTCTCGTCTTCATAGAGTATAGAGAGAATCTCATCGCGGTGTCCTTTGAACGAGGTGGTTGAGAATCCCGAACGGACATCCCACGACTTGAGGAAGCCGTCGCCGCTGCCGCTGATCAACGTGCTCGTGGCCGGGTTGTACGCGAGGCAGTTGATGCCTCCGGCGTGTCCCGAGAAAGTCTTGACCACCTCACCCGACCCAATGTCCCACATCTTGACCATACAATCAAACCCGCCTGTAAACAGCGTCTTGGAGTTGGACGGATCAAACAGTGCCTTGGTGACCCAATCATTGTGCGCGTTGAGCACACGCATGCACTTTAGTGTGCGCAAGTCCCACACGCGAGCTGTCGCATCCGAGCTTGTCGACACTGCAATTTGAGCGTCGGCATTGAGTGCTATCGAAAGGATGTGTTGCATGTGTCCTGTAAACGCCTTGATGCGACGGTTCGTTCGCACGTCCCACAAATTGACCGTTGAGTCGTACGACCCCGTCAAGATGGTGTTTCGCTTCATCTCCAAGCACGTAATCTCGGCCGTATGTTCCTGCAGCGTCGACGCGCACTTCCATCCACTCGACCCATCATAATTCCAGATGCGCAGTGTCTTGTCTCGCGACCCACTAGCAAACACGTCATAGTCGCCCGTGCCCAGACACGTCACCGAGTCCTTGTGGTTATTAAGCTTTTGCAACAACTCTCCATCTTCATAGTTCCAAATAGAAATGAATCCACCGCTGTCTCCACTGATAATACACTTGGGTTTGGTATGAATGGCCAAACAAGACACTCCAAAATTACCCTTGAGTGTCGTCACTGTATGTCCATCCTTTTTATCAACTGTTCTATCTTGTGACACTGTACTTGTCGTCGTCGTCATATCCATTACACCCTTTTCCTTTAAATTCTCGTGACTTGCACGACCCAAAGTCTGACCACCACCCAATGAATTTTCATGTACCCTTTCCTTTTTCCTCTTATTTTCAATCAGTTTAGTATAGATTTGTTTAGCTCCATCCTTTTCAATCTCTATATTTCTTCTAACTGATCCTGTAAAATATTTAATATCAGATTTGTTCTAAACAAAAAAATATGATTAATATTATGATTGGATTTGATTTGATTTGATTACTTACAAAATGAGATGTATCATTAATATGATTATTATTATTATTTTGATTTGGTAGGTTACTTGATTCGATTGCATGAGCTTTAAAGATACGTTCGACTAGTTCTTCGAGTGTATCTACATGGTCGTCGTTGAGGGAGGTGAGGGATGCCATACGAGAGACGAACCGGGATGTTTCGACGGTGGATACTTTGAGACGGATCATTTGATAGGCAAATGAACTGAGGATGGAAAAGAGAACATTCTCTTCAGTCTCGACCAATTGTCTCTGTTTGTCGGCATTGTACAACTCCCAATCATCAAATAGATAGTCGTGGAATATAGGTGTCAACTTTTCCTTTCTCGACGATTGCACATTGTCAAAGAAACATGATTCCCAAAAATGTGTGTTTCGCCATAACCCAAGATTGAGGAAATGGTTGCATAGTGGCAGCTGAATATCCTGCTCTGATTTTAAAGCAGTCGCTGCGCCAACCAGGTTATTTCCAACCATCTGTCCACCACCTCCACCAGGAGATGTATTATGTGCAGTTGAATAATAGATATCGTTGATACGCGTCAACAAGAGTGACGCTGTTTTAAAGTCGGCTGCATGGTCACACTCGTTGAATATCTTTTTAATGATTTCAACCAGTAAAAAGAGACGCCAGTTGCCTAAAAAGAATAATACTTTTTTGTGTGATATTTCAATTGCTGACAATGCCTCGACAAAGTACTCTCTACTCTTGGCCAATGTAAATAGGTTGAGTAGTAGATTCTGTTGTTCCAAATCAACCGCTCCACCTTTATGAGACACAGTATGCTCGTCCTCGAATATCATCTCTGTATACTTTTGTATAAACTCTTTGAGTAGTTCTTGATCGCTGTTTAGCTTGATACTAGTCAATGGGTTTCCATTGCTCGGTGAGCTTGGAATAATGTTGTTGCTGCTAGGTGACTTTAACAATGACTCTTTTCGAAGTTGAACCGCCGATTGTTGGTGTTGTAGTTGAGGGTGGTGTGGTTTCTCTGGTGATACCACTGGTGTCTGTTGTTGCAAAGGAAGAGACGGTTTGAATGGTTTGGCACGAGTAATACTACAACTAACGGAAAAATGACCACGCGTAGAAAAGTTGGTTTCATTCAACTCTGGAATTCCATTTTGGTACGAGTATTCCAACAACTCTTCAGCACCGTCGCTACTGATTGGCGAGTCGTCTGCTCCTGGTGGTTGGATCACCTCCAAGTCGCCGAGATGACTCTGCGTGTCTGCCAGCGACTTGACAATAGTGTCGTAAAAGGTAGTCGTCGGATTCAAACTAACCTCTTGTTCGTGTAATTTACAAATATAATAGAAAAATGATCCACTCGATATATTCTGATCAAGGAATGATGTTACAGCTGATGTTTCCAAAACTGATGTTAAAAAGTTCTAAATTAATAAGAAATAAAAGGAATGGTTTAGAAAGTTGTTTTGAAACTACTACTACTACTACTAATTATAATATATTTTGGTACATACAACAACTTCAGTATTATTATGTTTGATTAAAAATGAAGCAGTATTAAATGAGGTGATTGGTTTTGGATACTTTCTCAAGAGGTATCGATACTCGTTGACATTGTGGAAAAAGGATAAAAAGAAGCTGAGGAAACAAGACCTTATCTTGGCATTAACATCCAATTGGTTTTCATATTGTTCTACAGATGACTCTAATAGTGATGATGATGATGATGGGAATGCCAAATGGACATTCCACATTTCAGGAAATAATATTTTAGATAATCTACTTTCAAGCAATTTAACTTCTTTTTCTGGTAGATTAGGTACTGCTATATTTGATGGAATATTTAATGTTGATTGATCAAGATTTACAACAATAATCTAGAATAATAATAATAAAAGTAAGTAAGTAACGCTGTTGATCAACATTATTATTATTATTACTTACATCAGTGAATTCAATATCTAAATTTTTGGTAGTATTGTGCATACCAACGATAAGAGGAGTAGGAGCTTGTAAAAAATCGATTAAAATATTTGGTAGAATGGGAATAAATACATGTGGCCATTGGAATGGATAGAGTAAATGAGCAATTGACTCGCACGCAGTAGTCAACAAGGTTTCATTTGATGAAAAGAATAATATCTTTCTTTCATGTAAAATTAATGAAAATATCTTTAATACATTTTGTATACCAATACAATTAAATATGAATTTAAATGATATCTAAAAAAAGGAAAAGGAAAAGTAAAAGTAAAAGTAAAGTATTTAGAAATCGTCGATTACATAATTAATAATTATTAAATATGTTTACATACATCAACATTTGGTAAACTTGGTCGGTTAGTTTGATGGTATTGGAATGATTCGGTAGTGGTGATTTGGTTAGTCGATTGATTTTGATTTTGATTATTATTATTATTATTATTTGGATTATTATTATTAATATGATGATGATTAAAAGTAGGTAAATTAAATATGAATTTGTATCCAGGAATTGGACGTGGTAGATCATGTATGATATTTGAAATGATTCGTTCGATTGGCAGACCAAGTTTCACACCGGGTCTGGTACAACGATACAAATACCTTAATATATTTCGAAGAATATCATAGCATGGGAATCTTGATAATAAATTTATAGATACAGGTTTATACAATGTTTTGATTGATGATTCCTAAAATATTACAACATCAATTATTTTTTGATTAATATTATATCCTGCCTGGAATTCCTTTTCCTTTCTTTTTTTAAACATACATTTCTATCCTTTGGAATTGGTATATAATATATTAATGAGCTGGCATAGAATCTTGCTCCATCAAACTCTGTCAAACAAAACATTGAAAGTGATGGATCGGTCATTGTCTCTCTCAACATTAATCCTTTTGGAAAACAAAACTAAAATAATAACAATGAATATTAATATTTCATTCTTTCTATCGATCTTTTTCTTTTCTTTTCTTTTCTATTCTATTGTGTTTCATACCATCCAATAATGAGAAGGAAGAGGAGCATTATCATGATTATGTAATGGGAACCTATCAAGTATTTCAGCTTGATATGGTCGGTCTGCATGATTTACAACAATCGATCGATTCAATCCACAAACGATAAAATAATCTATCAACCTTAGATATGATGACTCTGCTGTCGCTGCTCCTACTGGTGATGACAATGATGATGACGAAGTTGATGACACTGACGAAGTTGATGTTGTCGATGTTGTCGTAGCTGTTCTTTCCCTCATTGTATCTTCTACTACTTTTAATGGTTCACTACTATTATTATTATTATTATTATTATTATTATTATTTGTTAAATCTAAATCTAAATCATTAGGATATAGATGTTGAGTTGATTGAGGTGTAGTAGTAGTAGTAGATACAGGAGTAGTAGATACAGTTGTAGTTGTTTGATTTATATTGCTGTCGTTAGTACTACTACCACATAATTCTTCAGTTGTAGTAGAATTTTGAGTTTGATTGTTATTACTATTATTATTATTACTACTATTAATGTCACCGCAATTCAAACTACTAGAGCTGCTGCTGGTGGTGGTAGTGTTTATAGATTTCTCCATTATAGCTCTATTTTTATGAATTAAATCTGGGGGGTGTGAGGTATGATAGGATAGAGTAGGGGGGGGGGGTTAGGGTTAGGGTTGAGGGGACAATGAAAAAAGAGAGATAGAAACGATGGTTTGTGTGTTTAGAGATAGATTTAGCACTGTTGTATCTTTGCTATATTATTCTTATTCTTATTGTTATGTTTTGTTTATAAATCTAATTTTCTATCTGTCTCTATGAACCCTCTTTGGTGTAAACAAAGAATTGAATTGGCGATGGTGATGGATGAATGAATGCAGATGGCTAGGAAGGTTATGAGGTAGTGGTTTTCTAGGTTTGGGGTCATAAGGTCATCAATTCGTAGACCTCAAAGCCTGCAGAAACCTCAACTGTTTCATTATTTTTTGATTGTGACGACTTGCGAAAAAAAATATCAAAAAGTCGTGTTGCGGGGCAAATGGCTTGGAAAGTTCAAGATATGGCGATATCTTGATTGGTGTTGGAAGACACCTACACATAATCGGACATAATTGGTACAAATAAATGACACCACTTGTGTTGTGTGTTTGAGTTGATGATGATGATCATCACCATCCAATCCTTACATCATGATGTAATGGTTGAATGAATATTCATTGGACAAGTGCCAATAAGTAGTAGTAGTACCGACCAGGTCAGATCAATTAAAAAGATTGAAGGATGGATAATAATATTATTATTATATCTCAATATCTAAATTATAAATCTAATACTCATTCTCCCTCCTCCTTCCAAATATAGATATACTTATAATATTATTGGTATGCTTTGGGTGTAGATAGAAATGGAAGTTCCAACAAACAAACAAATATTATATTTTTTAATTTTTTTGAACAGAGAGATTGAAATTTATTACCTTATTCATTTTCATTATCATTTTTGAAGTATATATATATTTAGTAGTATAGTATAGTATAGTATCTTGTTTGTTTAAAGAGACAAGAGAGGAGATAGACAGATAGAAAGATAACAGAGAGTCAATCAATCAAGTTGTACTGTACCTGCCTTTTTTTTTTTTTACATACACATCATCATTATCATTTATCATTATATATCATCACATCACCGATTACGATTAATTATATAAATCAAAACACAGACATATAGTATTATCATTCATTCATTCATCATTACGATTATCATTATCATTGTACATCACACCCACAGACTCTTTCACAGAGCTCCTTGTTTGTCCTTCTTGTCACTTGTCTACCCACTACACTACTTGGCAATCAAAGTAAGTAGTGAGTTGTAGCGATAGACATTTGTAAATACCTTTTTCAAGCACTGGAGAGAATAAATAATAACAATAGCAGCAATACTAGTAGTAGTAGCAACAACAACAATAACAATAACAACAATCCCCCACCTTTAATATCATCAACGTTGATAGCTAGAGGAAGAGTACTAGAGGAGGAAGAAGAGGAAGAAGAAGATCAACAACAAGAAGAAGAAGAAGAAGAAGAAGAAGTAGAAGTAGAAGAGGGTGAAGACACCCATACTCATCAACTTCAACAAAGAGCTCAATCAAACAGACCATTCAAGAGAGTCAAAAGACAATACGATACTACAACTGAAAGTAGAATTAGTCAATTTAGTAACAATAATAATAACAAGATCACAAAAATGTTATCAAATAATAATAACAATAATAATAATAATAATAATAATAATAACAAACAGAATGGTGTACATTATCCAAACGGTGTAAATAGTAGTAATGGTGATATGGATATGACCCAAGATGGAAAGTTTAACAAGAATGAATTGGTGAGACTTGTCATTCAATCTTTAAATTGTTTAGGATACAAGTATGTTATATAATATAAGATAGATAGATATAAATATATTTATATCACTATTGATTGACTCAAACATAACATAACTAACAAACAACTTGATTCAATTTGAATTAGGAAATCAGCAGAATTTCTTGAAAAGGATAGTGGTATCTATTTACAATCACCAGAGGTTGTTCAATTTATTCAAAGTACAATGGAAGGTGATTGGACCAAAGTGGAATCTTATTTACCTTTTTTAAAAATTAAATCACAATCTGATTTGGATGTATGTCAAAAGAATTGAAAGATGATTGATTAATGGTACCTATGATATTGATTATTATTATTATTTTTTATAGAATGTAAAATCTTTAATATATAGCCAAAAGTTTTTGGAAAGTTTAGAAAACAAAAAGGTAAAGGAAGCATTGGATTGTCTACGAAATGAAATCACACCAATTAGTAAAGACACTAAAAAACTACAATTGTTGACAAGTTTAATCATGTGCAACGAAAGTTTGGAATTGAAAAAGAGAGCACAGTGGCCAGGTGCTGGTCCATTATCAAGAAATAATCTATTAAATGATATAAGAGAATATGTTAGTTCTGATGTAATGGTACCAGATAATAGATTGGAAGAATTATTATCACAATCGGTTCAACATCAAATCACCAAATGTATATATCATAACACTACACATCACCGTTTAAGTTTATTCGAAGATCATATTTGTCAAAGGTAAAAAAGAAAACAAAAAAAAAAAACAGACATATAAATAATAATAATTATTAATATTGTTTATTTATTTATTTATTTTAGGGATCAAATGCCATTAGAATGTAAATTTACTTTAAAGGATAGACATAGTGATGAAGTATGGTTTGTTAGATTTTCAAATAATGGTAAAAGATTGGCATCATGTTCCAAAGACAATTCAATTATTATATGGGATATGAATGAATACTATGACAAGGGAAGAGAACCAAAAATCATTCATACACTCACTGGACACACCAAAGAGGTTGGCTATTTGTCATGGTCACCCGACGACAAGAATATAGTTAGTGCAAGCAGCGATCACAATGTTAAACTTTGGAGTGTCGATTCTGGTGTCTGTGTAAAGACCTATGCAAAACATACAGATGTTGTGACCTCTGTGGCTTGGCACCCAGATGGTAAACGTTTTGTTTCAGGTGGAAATGATAAATTTATTTATTTATGGGTAAAAGAAAAAAAAAAGAAAAAAAGAAAAAAAAAAAGAATAATAATATTTATACTTTTTTTTGTTTATTTATTTTATTTTATAGAATGCAGCAACAGTTGAAACAGCTTCAATGGTTTCAACACCAGTTAGAAGTTGGCAATGTGCAAGAGTGAACGATTTGGGAATTCATAAGGATGGTAAACAATTGGTTGTTATCTGTCAAGAGAAAAAGATTAGATTATACGATATAGACAATGAAAAGACACCGGAAACTTCGATACCAGAGACTGAAGCAATCACATCGATGGAGTTGAGCAATGACAGCCGATTTGCACTTGTCAATACATCCAACCAAGAAATTCATCTTTGGGATCTCGAAAAGAGAACCATCATACAGAAATACAGGGGTATGCGTCAAGGCCGCTTTGTCATTCGATCGTGCTTTGGCGGTGCTGATCAGACATTTATTATTAGCGGTTCCGAAGATTCAAAGATCTACATTTGGAACAGACTCAACGGTACCCTACTCGAAACACTCTCTGGTCACTTTGGCACAGTCAACTCGGTTCATTGGTCTCCTACAGACCCCTATCTCTTTTGTAGTGCAAGTGATGATCAATCAATTAAAATTTGGACTAGAAATAATTTACAAGTAGGTGGCGGTGGATCTCAACCTCAACAACAAAATAATAATAATAATAATAATAATAATAATAATAATAATAATAACAAGTAAAGTAAAGTAAAATTCATTCATTGAAATAAATAAGTTATATCTAGATTTGTTTGTTTTTTTTAATATATTATAATATATTCCCTTCCTCATTTATCCTGGATATATCTCCAAAATAATATTATATAGTATATTTGGAATATTCAATATTAGTAACTGGGTATCCCAACTCTCAATGAGGTATGGTTATTATATTATACCAATACCAACCATGGTTTTACAATAATAATTAATCCAATTTGGAAGGGTTACCTTTTTTGGATGAATTTTTAAAAAGAGAAATTAATACATTTTTTTGTAGCATGACCCTCTCTTTGAAAGAGAGTGTGAGTTCACCAACAACCCACAAATCGAATTAAATATTTTTTGGGGAATGAACAACCAAATAGCTTTAAATGCTTTCACGCGATTCAATTTCATTATTAAATTTAGATTCTAAAAAATAATTATAATTCAAAAATGGTATTTATCTATTTATTTATTTATAGTACAAATTAGTAATATTTATAAATATTAATTCTTTTCTCTTTGATCAAACAATCTCTATCAATCTATTTTATATTAGACTCATTCATGTAAATGTGGTGACAACTGTAAGTGCGAAGGTGGTTGCAAGTGTGGAGACGCACATGAGACAAAGAAGACCTGTTCGCAAGGATGCCAATGCAAGCAATGTGATTGCTCCAAGAAGTCGGATTCTTGCAAGTGTGATACCAAGTGCTGTAAATAAGGGAGAGAGATTTATAACACCCTCCCCTGTTTAAAGATTGTCCTATATAATATATTCAAACCATTTCAAACAACAATCAAACAACATCAAAAAAAATAAACCAAGTTTATTTTAATATCCACTCAAACGTTATGAACCAAACAAATTTATTTTAAGAACAATTCAAATTATCAGCTCGATCTGATCATTGTTGTCAGTATTGAACAGAGAATACAGAAAAGAAAGAAATTATAACAGAAGATGTTTATTTACAGAACGATGATCGATGATATGGTGATATTAAAATATATTTAATCCATTCTTTTGTTAATATTAGGATCATCCCAATTCTTGTAGTGAGAATAATTTAGATTAATGTGGTGATCGTATAGTTGAATCAAATTTGATCTGGATGGAGCACCTCCACCATAGACATCGATATGAATCTTTCTCCACTTGCTTGTAATGACTGCCCAAAAGAGAGTTCTTCCAAGTAAATGAGGTGCAAATGTAATATGAGTTTGTTGACCTGGTCCAACATGAATAGGAGCACCGACATCATCTCCACTGACAAAGCCTACTTGCATTGGAAAGGCTGTATGATTTACAATAAACACTAGTTTTTTGTTATCATTTTTGATTTGATTGGTGATATCATTGTAAAGTGATAATGATTGTTTGGCTGTAGTCATTACATCTTGAGGATTTGGAATTGCAAATTTAGACATATTAAAAAGATAATTGTATTACAGTTGTAATAGTAAATAATAATAGAATGAATGATTAGAAAATGATCTTGTTGAGTCCTATTTATGTTAATGTGTTGCCCCGAGTTTTGGGAAATGGTTCAACGCTACACTTTTCATTGTCATCGTTTACCATTGCCTAAAAAGGTTTAGGCTGAATACTTTGGTTTTTAGGGAGGTTCCCAATCCTAATCCAATTTTGTCTCACGACAACTAAGATATCTGATTACATCCTGTTTAAAATCTAATGAACAATGATAAACACACACACACTGTCTCTTCTGTTTGATCAAAAAAAAATAAATACACACTCGCTCATCGATCAGATGATACTTATCATACTATTAAAATAATACATTCATAGTATTTTTGTTAACGATGAACAATAATAATAATAATAATTATTTAATTAAATTTATTTATTTAATATTCTTGTTGAATTTAATTATAGAGTGTAATTCATTTGATATTTGTAATATTAAAAAGGATAATAATAATAATAATAATAATAATAAGGTACAGTACTGGTCAAATGAATCAACATGGAGATTAAATAATATTGGTAGTGGTAGCAGTAAAGAGGGGATTGCATCCTATCCTAAAATGGGATCAAAGGTGAATATAACCATACCAATAGTATTGGATATTTCACCACCTCCATTGGATTTAATAGAGATTGTAAATGGAGGATCGTTGATTTGGGATGATAGCAGAGATGGTATAGAATTGGTGGTTGGATCCATTCTAATATATGACAATGGGTCTCTGATAATAGGCGCTGAAGAATGTAAATACCAACATAAAACAACGATCACCTTGACTGGCTATTCACAGTACACCGAAGAGAATAGAACTATCCACGGTCACTCATTTGGTCAAAAAGTAATTGCAGTGTCTACAGGTGGCACATTGGAACTCCACGGTCAAGAACCAACTCCAACTTGGACAAAACTTGCCAAAACCATAGATAGTTTACAATCATCCATGTTTAGAAAAACAACCACCCCCGCCGTCTCTCCAATCATCACATTGGCAACCAAAGTCAAAGGTTGGAAAGCTGGTGATAAAATAGTTTTGGCAAGTACTGATTATGATCAATATCAATCAGAAGAAATTGAATTGATTCAATGTGATTCTTGTCTTGAAAATCAGGTATGACAAATAATATTAAAAAAAAAAAAAGAATAGATATTAATTTCTATTTCTATTTCTATTTTTAAGGTAAAATTAAAAACTATACCAAAATATATGCATTGGGGAGATATATCAAATAAAGTTGATATGAGAGGAGAAGTTGGATTATTGACAAGAAACATTTTGATTAGAGGAAGATTGGAAGCAGATCGGTGCCAATCGACTGGTATGGTTTGTGCTTTTTTCCCAAATGATACGTTTGGTGGTCATATTATGATTGTTGGAGGTTTCACCAATGCTCATATCGAGGGTGTCCAACTAGTCAATATGGGTCAACCTCATATGATATCTAGATATCCAATCCATTTCCACCTTTGTTCAGATGTTGATAGTGTCGGTGGGTATGCTCGTCCTGCGTACATTCGAAACAGTGTCGTTCAACAAAGTTATAGTCGATGTTACGTCATTCACAATACACACGGTCTACTGGTTGAAAATAACATTGCCTTTGATACGGTAGGTCATTGTTACATGACATGTGACGGTATCGAATCGAGAAATATGATACGAAACAATCTTGGACTGCTCACCAAACCAGGACTACTCTTTCCAACCGACCGAAACTGTGAAATGTGTAATACTATCTCCCCCTATGACTTTAATGGTCAGCCAACCAATTGTGGAGGGTGTGATGGTGTATCGACCTTTTGGATATCAAACAGTAACAACTCGTTGGTTGGTAATGCTGCGGGTGGAAGTGACGCTGTTGGTTTTTGGTATGTCTTTCCAGACTATCCACTGGGAGTGTCGTACCAAGAGGGAGTGGACAAACAGATTAGACCTCCCTATATCCCCGTCACACTGTTTCAAGATAATACTGCACACTCTAACCGCGACGGAATGATGGTAGACAAGGGCATACAACTGGGTGAAGCTAGTGCGTCTGAACCATGGGGATACCAATCGTTTATCGAAGCACGGTATCGTCCACGCGTCAATTCTAGCGATCCTAACTCGATGCGCGCAACGTCCATCTTTACAGGATTGACATCATACAAGAACCGATGGCGTGGAGGATGGTCTAGGGGTGGTCAACTACTATTCCAACGATGTGCATTTGCCGATAATGCAATTGGATTCACATTAGCTAGTGAAGGGGACATGCCCGAAGACCCTGGATCAACAAGTACCATCAGAGACTCTGTTTTTGTCGGAGAGTCGGACAACGTGGGACAAGCATCATCGTGGATACCCGTTGGAAGAGGTCGAACCAATCCATTTGGTGAAGACTATAACATGCCAATCCGCGGCTACGAGGTATACGACGGCACCAACTTTATCATCAACTGCATGTTTATAAATTATCGACGAGACGATTCTGCCAGGAATCTCAGTGCCATTGCATGGTTTAGATTCAATGATTGGCAAGTCAGTAGCAAGAGCTATCTTGAACGTCTTCAATTTATCAATGTTACTCGACGATTCTACATGGAGCATTCAATGGTAGATGGCGACAAGACACAGACTATAATCGATAGTGATGGGTCGTCAACTGGAATACCCGGGTCTGTTGTCACGCGAAACATTCCATTCTACCAATCGGACCAATGTGCCCAACGAGATGATTGGAATGCCTATCTCTGCATTGAAACGACTAGACAACTCTATGTAACCAATTTAAGTCCATCCGAAACCATCTATAATGGCGTAGAGACAATGGTATCGCTTTGGAGAGATGATAACGATGATCCAGATCCAGATAGTGCTGTACTCTCATTATTTGGACTACCCAAACATAATCCAAGGATTGAATTCCTTTCATTGCTCTACAAAGGTTACAATTATACAATACACCATAATCATCCAATTCCACCACATCTATCGGTCAAAGCAATCAATTGGGAAGCTGGAGAATCCATGTTGATTGGTGTATGTCTTGGTCCAACCATCAATACCACGTCCATCCAACTAACTAAAATGATTGGAGACACACCACAATACATTTTGTCACCAATCAATTCAAAATCATTGTTGACCAATGACGAGCATCATTATTTCTATGACCATGATACTGGAATGGTATATTTCTATCTTGAACAAACCGAACAAAGACCAGGATACTATTATTGTCCACTTCAAGGATGTAGTCAAATTCAAATAGATTCAACTTATCTTGTACCATCAACTGCCATTTGTAATACTGAATTAAATAATAATTATTTATTAGTATTTGATGAAAAATTAAATAGAGTAAAGAAATAGAAAAGAAAGAAAAAGTAAAAGAAATAATTATAATTATAGATACATGTATATTTACCTTATTTTTTTTTTGTTATGTTAGAAATTTTCAGGATCATCATTTGGAGTTAGAATCATTGATGATAAAACCAAATCATTTAGAGGTAATAAGGTTGCATCATTTATACCAACAAGACAAGGTAATGTGATTAGGATAAAATGTGCAGATGAATATCCTTGTTGTATGGTACCAAATAGCTTCAAGTACCTGGAGATGTGGGTCAATGGTGGTCAACCAGGAACAACAACTAGTCACCATCTCTTGGTATCTGTCACTTCATTTGCAGGTCTAACAACCATACCCATCCCAATAGACCATTCAACCATTATCAATGGTCAATGGATTAGACTGAGAATTGATTTTAATCAATTAACTTTACCAATCACTAAAGTAGTCGACGACGACCACGATAAAGACCATAACTTTGAAAGATGTCCAATACGATCTATTCAACTATATGGTGATCCAAAGTACATCGATACAAATAATAATACTAATAATAGTAATGATAATTTAATCTACATTGATAGTATTAAATTAATATATGAATGAAAGTAAGGATGAAGTAGAAGTAGATGAAGCTACCAGTATGCGCGTAACAAAAATTAAAAAAAATAAATAAATAAATCATAAAAAAACCTTCCTCGTGATTAGGGACCTTCCCATTAAATTTTTTGTCGTTCTTTTCACTGCTTTGAGCTTTGTCGAGCCATCCATCATCACTACTCACCTCTTCGTTTCATAAGAGATATTCATACCTGTTCAGATAGAGATAGAGATATAGAGATATATAGAGTGTAGTAGTAGTAGTAGTAGGACTGTGTTGTGTTATAATGTTATATTTATTTGTTTGTTTTTAAAAAAGAAGAGATATTAATACAAAACAAAAAAAAGAGAAAGAATAATAATAATATTTAAAATTATGGTAACAATGATGAAATGGTTAAAAGTTGAACCATCAGCAAGTAATAAACAAGCATTACAAACTGCAGGACATACGTCGACGGTGATTGGTAATAAGATTTATGTGTTTGGTGGAACGATTACAACGTCGGCTGTCGATTGTTTGGCCAAGAACTCATTGTCAATCTATGACATTCCAAACAATACTTGGAGTACGATCGAGTATCCACCGGGCAAGGATCCCCACCAACCACCACACCCAAAGCCAAGATATGGACACACTGCAACCGAGATTGGCAACAAGATTTGGATCATTGGCGGTGTAGACCCGACCACCAAAGAGTACTTTAACGATGTGTGGGTGTACGACACCGAGGCCAACATCTGGACGGAAAAGCCTACACAGGGAAACATCCCATCGGCGCGGTACGCACACACTGCGACACTGGTACGTAGTATCAACTCGCCACACCCTTGCATCTATCTGTTTGGCGGGTGTGCTCTGGAAGAGAACAACAATGTAGTCTATCGCAACGACATTCATCGTCTCGACACGGACACGCTGTCTTGGAGTCAGGTATCGGTATCGGTGCAGAATGCTCCCACTCCACGTGCATTCCATTCGGCCAATTTGATTGGTCGCAAGCTCTATGTGTTTGGTGGCAAGTATGGCGACAGGTTTTACGAAGAGTTGCTCGTCTTTCACTTTGACTCGCACCAGTGGACGTCAGACACTGCCATTGGCAAGGGGAACCGAACCATGGCCTATCACTCGAGTGCAGTCATTGACAACCAACTCTACATCTTTGGTGGAATGGATGGCAAAGAGTGCAGCAATAGGTTGTGGGTACTGGATATCCAGTGCTTGCAATGGGAGGTGAAAGAACTGCCCGATGCTCCATCCGTGCGTCACAAACACACCTTGTCAGTCACAACCGATGCTTCTGGCACCACCTCGCTCATTGTTATTGGTGGTATGCGGTACAAAGAGATGTGTCAAGATGTCCACATGTTGACAGTTGCCAACAACAACAAGCAACGTCAACTCAGTCATTCTGCATCATCCATAAACAATACTATCATCTCTCATCATCATCCAACTGTTGTTCATCCAACAACTAATATAAATAGTATTCAACAACCAACGACTATGCAACAACAACAAGTACCATTATCACCAATTAATATTCGAAAATCGATAGAATCATCTCCACCAACTTCATCGATCTCATTGTCATCGCAATCACCTCCATTTTACATTGACGAAGATTCAAACAACTATGTCAAGTTTAAACACATGGAAGAAGACCATCTCAAACTGCGAGAGGATGTATCTCATTTGAGAAACTACCATAATCTTCTCAACAATGGTAGTGGTAACATTAAACCCTATCTCGACAATATCTCGAGCTATGCTGAATTGGCATCCATAAAGAATGACTTTATGGACAAGATTTCTCAACTTTTGGATCATGTTAGATATATTGATAGTCGTCAACATTTAATTGTTCAACAATTATCAATAAATCAAAATCAAAATCAAAATCAAAATAATCAAAATAATCAAAATAATCCAACTTCACCAAACCTTTATCCTACTAATTCAAGATATAATAATAATAATAATAATAATAATAGTAATATTAATCAACAACAACAACAAAATAATTATAAAAATCAAAATAATCAAAATAATCAAAATTATAAATATAATGGAAATATTAATGGAAATGGAATTAATATTAATCAAAATAATGTAATGACCAATATGAATGGAAATAATGGTAATATTACAATGAATAATAGTGGTGGTAAGATTCCAATTAGAAGAGTCAATTCTAGTGATTCTGTAATGGATCAACAACAACAACAACCATATATCGATGTAAATTATAATAACAAAGGAATATATAATACAAGAAATATAAATAATAATAATAATAATATAAATAATAATAATAATATAAATTTAAACAATATGAATAATAATATGAATAGTAATATAAATAATATGAATATGATCAACATGAATATTAACCCTCAACAACAACAACTACAACAACCTCAACAACAACCACCTCCACAACAAACAATGAAACTTCACAACACCAACTCTACATTTATTCCATCAAATAGTAATTTATTAAATAACCAACAATCCAACCTTGTCAATAATAATATTAGTTTAAATCATACTTTTACATATTCTCCATTTTAAACAAATACTGCTGGTCCGACAGTAGAAATAATAAATATTTGATTAAACTGTTTTGAATATAATAATTCCAGACTGACCGTAACGAGACGACTCACCGACCGACCCGTTGCTCAGGAGCCAGCATAAATGCTCACTAGTGAGGATCATAGACATACAATTTTATCTCATACTAGAATCGTGATCCTACTTCAAAGTTTGATTGTGTAAAAATCACCTGACAAGTGCCAACCGAAACTCATCATCCGACAGAGTACAAGAAAAACGAACGAGTAGTCTAGCACATCTTTCGTTTTTTTTCATCCCATACTTTGTTTACCACCCAACTTTAACATGACAAGCACTAATAATTTTTGGAAGTATTGTCACTGCCGTGTATGTCCTCCTTATTGGATCCTACGCTCGGAGCACCATACCAATGGTGTAATTTCATTAGTAGGAGTGACAGACTAATCTGCTTGGTTGATCACCTTCACCGGTCGATCCTGGGAGCTCGAAGGACCACAATATGAGTATACAAGACTAGAGCAATCTTATCAATGAAATATATTCGTGGCCCACCTCTTTCGAACATTTCCTTTTTATTTAAATTTAAACTTAAAGAATATAAAACAAACACAAATATATATATATAATATATAATACATCACATGATGGATGTATCGTATAAACAGTCATATTCGTACTGCTGCTAAATCTCTCTTTTGAATCGGTGGTGTGTGCAGTGCTTGTTTTAACACTCGTCAAACTCTCGACTCTGAGTTGATAAATTTCCACAATTAGTCTGTACAGATAAAATTTCGACTATCTATCAATCTGGGTATGGGTAATGTGGTTGGATGAGATGGATGAATGAATAGGTGACATGGGGAATGAATAAATCAAAGCAAGCTAAAATATAACCACAACACTCTCTCTCGTTTTAGTTGACTTTTAAAGATAGTTCAACTATTATTCTTCTTGTTTCTCTTTGTTCTTTGTTGTTGTGTCTGCATCATATGATATAATGTCATTGTGTATGTATCGTCGTTGTCGAGTGGTTGGTGCAGAGTAATATGAGGTGATCCGACCGACAAAAAGTTGTTCATTTACATCGAAAAGAATCGTTGACTATAGTAGAGTGTAACCGCACAAGCTGCAATAAAGACAAGTTTGTTTGTTTTTTTTTTTTTTTTTTCAAACCCAAACATTCATGAACAAGAGCAGAACATTAACAACACTAATAATAAAATACATTAATAACACTTGATAAAAAGTATAATAACAAATAGTAGTAATAATATAACAAAGGAGGCATATTTATTTATTAAAAAAGAAGAAAGAAGAAAAAGAAAAAGAATATAATTTAAATTATATTTGTTTGTAATAGTATATATATAAAAAAAGTAAAAGAAAAAGAAGAAAAGGTAAACTTTAGATTAGTTTAGTTTTTGTAGGTTAGTATTACACATTAATATATTGACTTGTGAGAGAGAGAGAAATCATAGGTTTATAGGTTTATTAATTAGTTGTTTTAGTAATATATAATATAAATATTTATTAATAGTAGTAATATATAATAATAATATAATAATGGATCCTCAACAATTAAGAGATCAAACTGCATTTTATCAAGATGTATGTGTAACAAGACAGACAGATAGACAGACAGATTATAGATCGATCACATGACTCATCATACTTATATCCTTATCATTAATAGTTAAATTCAGATAAATCAGGACCACCAGAAATTAGACCAGAAGAAATTACATTTGAAGAATTGATTGGTACTGGTTCTTTTGGTAAGGTGTACAAGGGAAGATGTAGACAAAAGGCTGTAGCTGTTAAATTGCTTCACAAGCAAAACTATGATGCTGCTACTTTGGCTGCATTTAGAAAGGAGGTTCACTTGATGAGTAAGATTTATCATCCAAATATTTGTCTTTTCATGGGTGCTTGTACCATTCCAGGCAAGTGCGTCATCGTAACAGAATTGGTTCCAAAAGGAAATCTTGAAACTCTTTTACATGATGAAAAGATTCAACTTCCATTATACCTTAGAATGAAAAGTATGTCTGAAACAACAAATCAAAAACAAACAATCAAACAATCAAACAAATAATTATCAATCATCAATCTAATTTGTTTTATTTCTTTTTTTTTTAGTGGCAAGAGATGCAGCTTTAGGTATTAATTGGTTACATGAATCAAACCCTGTATTTGTACACAGAGATGTAAAATCATCCAATTTACTTGTTGATGAAAATATGCAAGTTAAAAGTAAGTAAAACATAACTCATACAACCAACAATCAATATACTCTTATACTCACTCTTATTTACTTTTTTTTTTTAGTTTGCGATTTTGGTTTATCAGCATTAAAACAAAAACATAAAATGTTAAAAGATCAATCAAGTGCAAAGGGTACACCATTGTATATGGCACCAGAGGTGATGATGTTTAAAGAGTTTAATGAATCATCGGATGTCTATTCATTTGGTATTGTATTGTGGGAGATATTGACTAGAAAGGAGCCATTCTCGCACCATCGTGAACTCGAAAAGTTTAGAGAGGCCGTCTGTGTCAAGCACGAACGTCCACCCGTTCCACCCGAGTGTCTCGAGTCGCTTCGTCGTCTGATTGAGCGTTGTTGGGACAAGGACCCACTCCGTCGTCCCTCTTTTAAAGAGATTATCAGCGCACTCGACCACATCATTGTCGACGCTGCCATCTCTGATGTGCGTGGTCGCGAGTTTTGGAAAAAGAGCTTCCTCACTGAAAAGGAGGTTCCATGGGATGCCTTTATCGATGCACTCTGCGAATGGAACAAGGTGGCAAACCGAACCCAATGCGACAAAAACTCACTCGAATACCTCAACATCAAATGTCTCAAGGCCATCTTGGCCGATGTCCCCAAGTCTGAGGGAACCGGTGTTGAAAACGTTGTAAACATTGAAAAGTTTGGCAAGATTCTAGAGTTTTTCGGCCCCATGATGGCACCCGGAGAGGGCACCCCCATCATGGACTCGATCCGTGAAATCTTGGCACAAAAATGGTTCCATGGCGACTTGGACACTGTCGAGGCTGCATCGCGTCTCAATGGCAACCCGGTCGGTTCCTTTTTGATCCGTTTCTCTTCGACCAATCCAGGCAACTTTACCATTTCCCAGGTGGTCAGTGAACAAGGTCCCGTCAAGCATCAACGTGTCAGTCGTCAAAATGGACGTTTCATCTATCAAAACGTTCTCTACAACTCTCTTATAGAAATCGTCGCCAAGAGTGGCGGTGGTACAAATGGTGACATCAAATTAGATTCTAGTATGGGTGTTCCAAATTATAAATTCATGTCCCTATTTTGTAATGTTCATGGTAATGATCAATATTAAAACAAAAAAACATAAAAATAATTATTTATAAATCAAAAAATAATATAGTAACAATAAAAAATATATAAAAAAAAAAATGTTATATATAAAAGTTTATAATTAAATCAACAAATTGTGATTGACTTTCAAAATAATGCATAATTATTATTTAAATTCATATTGTTCTTCACAGAAGGATTTGATCTAGAGTATTGTTATGGTTTGCAGTTTAGTAATATCAACATTGAATGATGATACAAGAGTTTTGACATATATGGAATATATTCAAGTGATTGCCTTTTCAATCCTTTGTAGTGCTTTTGCTGGCAATCCTCTTTTTCTTGAACTAGAACATCTACAAGTGAAAAGGTCTCCAACATTTTTGGTTTAAACATGCCGATTTCAGTGCATATGAAACAACATCTTCTTAGATTCTGCAATTAAAGAATTGATGACGGAACAGCTACTATTACCAATATAATTATATTTAAAAATAATTATACGAACAAATGGGTTCAGCTGTAGTGTATTATTATATGCTTATAATTAATATATATTTTTAATTAAATAGGTTGATTGAATATGAGGTGAGGAGACCAATTTGGATTTATCACAACCCATTGCACCATAAGAATCTACATTTCTATCATGTAATCCTTTAATACATGCAACTTTCATTCATTGCATATCAACCACTTAGTAGTGCAACTCAATTGTTTATATGGTGCTCACATGTATGTTTCCAATCCATAATTAATTTAATACCCCGTTTAAATATTATATTAATAGGAAACAAAAGAAAAGAAATACTATCCCTCATATTTATTCAGTTGGAAGGAGAGGAGGTTGGTTGTTCATTCATGTTGTTCATTGTTGTTTTTGTTTAGTTTTTTATTTATTTAGTTAATTCAGGTGAGATCCCCAAACAAGACGACAACGAAGCAGTAAAAAAGAGGTCGTCGGACCGCCACTCCTTCTTTGCAAATTTTTCTTAAACGCACACAAATATCTTCTTCTTTCGATAAGGGCAAAAAGTCTAAAGAGAAGAAACGAAGTTTTCAATGATACCAGGTGATCTGATCGATTATTCTAACCCATTGATCATGCGACCGTTGTTTGGCTCGGGTTACGGATACGTATTACGAAGTGTACAAGAACAAAGATAGGATAGTTGGAAGAACAATATAATAATAAAATCTAATCTTTCTTTGTTTCTTTTTTATGTTTACTATAATCCACAAATTTCTGATTGAGATATCGCAACACCACACCACCATCAATGCCATCCATAGGTGTGTGGTGGAGGGAGGGGGTGGTGAGAATTAGTTGGGGCAAACACCACCCCTCACCTCCCCCTTTTTTTGAAGCTCCACTTGAGTCTCTTATGTAGTCGCACCATCACCACACCATGGTGCCCTTGGCACCCCGCACTATTAGTGCACGCCTTTCTTTGTTAGCCTTCTTTTAAAGTAAAGAAGTACTAGTACTTACTAATTGCCTTTATGGCTTGTGTGTTCTTTCCACCTTCAACACTAACTAACGTGCACGTATCTAACCTCCCTTCCCCTCACACCTCAGCCCACTCCCCTCAGCTGAGTGAATTTATTTTTATATATTTTTTTTTTTACCAACACACCTCCCCCAACAGTACACTTTAGAGCAGCGTTATTCCCAAACTCACTAACTTGTGAAACCAACAACAACAACAACAACAACAACAAACACATAATAATATTATTTCTTTCTTATTTATCTTCCTTCTCTCTCTCCTTTGTTTTTTTGTTTTTTGTTATTATTATCTTTATTTTATGATTACATTAGTTTTGTATCAGATTTACAATCTTTCAATCTATAGTCTTACAGAGTGTAGTCGCTTAAAAAGAAAGCAATAATAATAATAATATTAATAATAATAAGAGTTAGCTGCCCCTCTCGCACCATCACTATAATTCCCCATTGATATCACTACTTTTGCTCGCGCACTCTCTTTTCGCAGCAGCAGCAGCAGTACACACCGAGATACATACATATAGCACTATAATAATAAATCACAATCATTGATCGACCGTTTTTGCTTTTAAAATATCTATCTATCTATCCCAACCCATTCCCATTTAACAAACTAAACATAAACATAATCATAAATCATTTATAATTATCTTCTTGTTGCAACAAACAATATATAATATATTATTAAATATTTATTTATTTATTTATTTAAAAATACAACCTATCATTTTTGTTTTTAATATAATTATAAATATCTATATATTATCTCTACAATACAATACATTTAGTATTAATATTATACAATAACAGCAACAACAACAATGACATTAATAGACGAAGAGAAATTTCATTTGCAGGAGTACACTGAAAAAAAGAAGAGAAATTTAGAGGTTGATCTACCACTTTTAGCTTCTTCCTCCTCCTCTTCTACATCATCATCTTCTACTACAACAACTACTAGTACCTTTTCTAAATCACCAATACCACCAACAACAACAACAACAAATGGATTAGTATCAGCAATTGAAGAATTAAAATCGTTTACTTCTACTACCGCTACTACAACAACTACTGCTAGTACATCAGTGGTCGTACCAAATAATAGTATTCATAATACACAAGCATCTACTATTCCATACCATCCAACTGGTAATGAAGGATGTAGCAATAGAATACATAATATCAAGAATAGTCCGCACTATCACAATCACAATAGTATCGAGTCGCTTCCAACATCGGCCATTTACAACTACTTGCAAGGTCTCAGAAACAGCAGTAGTAGTTTGTCAGGTGAACAACATGCACAACAAGCTCAACAAATACAAATGCAACTCATGCAACAACAACAACAACAACAACCTCAAACAACAACAAAAGATTGTTCATCTTGTAGTAGCAGTAGTAGTAGTAGTAGTAGTCATCGAAAGGATTATAGTACCATTGATATCACATCAAGTGGTGTCGAATATAGTATAGATGATCATGATGACTCTGATCAAGATGATGATGGTGAACCATCCTCTTCATCTTCTCGTCCACATAGTCATCATAATCAATACTCAAATACTCCTGGTGCAATGTCGTCCTATCACCATCATCATCAACAACAACAGCAACAACAACAAATGGCATCTTCGTTGGCCAATCTGTCACATGCAATTGTCAACCAAATGGATAAACCAACTTGTCCCAATTGTCATGTGATTGCAACTCGTAGACATGATAAAAGAAGATGGTGGTGCAAGAACTGTGTCAAATCATTTACACCCTTTAGAAAGGGTAAAAAGTATAATGATCCAAACTCTTCCAATCCAAGTCTTGCTCCACAATGTGGTCGTTGTAGTACTCAAGCTACCAGAAAGCATGATAAAAGAAGATGGTGGTGTAAAAGTTGCAAGAAACCTTTTACTCCAAGTATGTATAAAACAAAACAAATATACAAACAAAAGATGATATGTATATCTCTAACTCTTTTTTTTATTTTTAGATCAATTTAGTGAAAATTCACAAGTTATTTATGTAGTTGGACCAAATGGTAGTAGAAATGGAGGTGATTGTTGTGGTAGTGATTGTGAACAATACGATTGTTGTTCAGATGAAAAGGTTCCTGGTCGACTAGACACTTTGTTGAATCATCCACAATCACCAATCATTCATAATGGATTAGGATCAAGTAATGGAATGGATTTACCACCTCCATCACAACAACCATCACAACCTTTGATAAACCTTTCATCAGAGATTTTCGAGAAAAAGAGAAAGTACAGTAATGACGATAACAGTAATAATAATGAGGGATTCAAAAAATTCAATAATTCTTTATCATCATCTTCTTCTTCTTCTTCAACATCAACCAATTCGCCTCCAACATCGTCGTCTTCGTCGGCTTCAACATCATCCAATATAATCATGTTGGCTCAACAATCTTCATCACCAACTTCAGCATCATCTTCACTATCATCATCACCACTTCCACAATCGCCAACTACCCCTCCCATTATTTCTGTACATACTCCTTTTCCCTCCTCTACTCTTCAAGCCTTGGCAACATCATGTACTATATCATCAAGATCCCCTCTTACACCTCCCATTTTAAAACTTACCAATAATTACGATATCCTAGATTCAAATAGTAATATTAATAATAATAATAATAATAATAATCCATCATCGTCATCTTCTTCAGATTATCTTAAAGATGTTGTTGGTTCAACTACATTAAAACCAATGTTACCTTCAGTTGAAATTATTTCCAATAATAATGGTAATCAACAGATTCTACCAGATATTAAACAAATCCATAGCGAGATCATTTTGGATAATGCCATGAAAACATTGGTCAGCATCAATGGAGAAGACCAATTACAATGTGTAGTCAATGGTTGGATGGATAAATCCCAATTCGGTCGCTATTTTCATTAAATCAGGTGACACCTCCAAGAAATAAAACAACAAAAAAAAGTACAACATGAATTTGTTGAATTTTTATCTTATCAAAATGATTTTTATCTTACCAAGTTGTAATTCCTTTATTTTTATTTTATTTATTGTTGATTCCAACATTTATACATATCAAGCATATCTTTGGTAATTGATGGAGATGATTCGAAAAAAGTAGATTCTATATCCAACTTGCTTATGGATGTTGATTGTCTTGCAATTGCTGCTAGACCAGCCTTTTTAATTAGACCGTTGAGGTCTGAACCTGAATAGTTTACGGTGTAATTTGCAACATTGACTAGTTGAACGTCGTCGCCCAGTTTAACAGACTTGCAAATGTTTTGAAGGATTTTTAGACGTTCTTGAGAGTCTGGAGGTCCAACATAGATACTTCTATCAAATCTACCGGGTCTAAGGAATGATTCGTCAATTGCTTGTGGTAGATTGGTAGCTGCCAATACCATGACTCGCTGGCCACCTGGGATTGCTGCCAACTCTCCAATACGATCCATTTCAATGAGTAACTGTGAAATGATGTTTTTACCGTGTGATCCAGACGAATCACGTTGTCCAAAGATTGCTTGAATTTCATCGATAAATACAATCGAGGGTGCAGCTTGCACGGCTCTCTTGAAAATATCGGCCAACATTTTCTCTGATTCTCCCACCTCTCCTTGCACAATCTCTGAAATATTGACCACTATAAACGATGCTCTGGCCTCGTATGCAACAGCCTTGGACAAGAGTGTTTTGCCAGTACCTGGTGGTCCATACAAAAGTATTCCTCTTGGTGTTTTAACACCCAATCTCTCCAACGCATCGTGATGTTTGTAATCCCAAACAACCATCTCCATCAAACTCTGTTTAACACTTTCCAAACCTCCAATATCATCCCAACTAACTTTTGGACTAGTTGGTGAAAACTTTGAAAATGTCATATCTACTTTAATCGTATTTATAATTTCATTATGAAAATCTTGTTTTTTAAATAAAACTAAAAAGAAAAAAAAAAAGAAAGTTAAAAAACCAATATATATATTAATATATTTTGTTATAAACTTACTTTTTTTTATATCTATATCTATATTATTATTATTGTTATTATTTTTTTGTTGTTCTTTTTTTAATCTATATAATGAATTAATTTGAGCTTCTCTACAAAGTAGTACTAAATCTCCACCAACAAATCCACTACAATTTTCATTAATTTCATCAATAACCAAATCATTTTCTTTTTTATAGTCTACACCAAAATCTTTCATATGATAATTAAATATTTCTTTTCTTTTTTCAATTGATGGTGGATCAATTTTAATTTGTTCCTAAACGTAAATAAATAATTAATATAAAGTTGATTAATTTAATTTAAAGATTTAAATTTCAATTTACATCAAATAAAGATCTAACAAGATTAGAAACATTTCTTAATTTACTTGTCATTGCAATGATAAAAGTATTTTGTGAATTATTCTTTTCCATTATATTCATCATCATTCCAGTTAGAGATTCTTCTTGACTCTTTGTATCATCATTTTCTAAATTTGGAAATATTTCATCAATATTTTCAATTACAACTAAAAATAGATTATAAAATATATGTTATTAATATTATTATTGATATTATACGTATTTATGTTTTTTATAGTTACATACAAACTGAATAAAGATGTTGTTTTGCTTGATTAAATTTTTGTTGAAATCCTTTTAAATAGGTATCATATTTTGTTAAATCAGACATTGTCAAATAAATGATTTGGTCAGGTAAAAGATACTCTTTTGAAATGCCATCTATCAATGTTTTCTTTCCACATCCTGTTGGACCATTGATCAATAGTGATCTAGGTGGTTCTAATCCATAGTATGCATATTCTCTTCTCTTATCCTCTTTGAATGTAATATCCAATAGTTTTCTAATTTTTAATCTTGATTCTTCATCATATGAATTAAATTTATCAACGCTTTCATTTGTCGTCAAAGATGAAGAAGGTTCAATAAATAGTTGTCGTTGATAAATTAATTTGGTTCTATTTGATAATATTCTCCAATCTTTGAATATTGTTGTAGTTGTTGTTGTTGATAAAGTATCATTATCATTTGTTATCTTTTGTTGATGATTTGTTAAACTATAATTAAATTGATAGGTTGTACCATTTCGAAGGAATAAATTTATAGTTGTTTCTCCTCGATTTATATGTAATGGTGTAGTTGATGATGCACCAGTCCATTGTTTGGGTGTTTCACTTAGTAGTGAATCGAAATCGACCGATAATAGTAGAGAAGATGTTGTATCGTTGGGGGTGGATGTATCGAGTGAAAGAACGCGAGGTGAGGATAGATAGAGTCGTGGAACTTGTTGTAGATGTTCAAGTGGATCGATTGCACATATACTAATGATAGAGTCAACATTCAAATTGAATCGTGTCAAGTGATCTCTTGTCATCCATATATTCTCTTGACCTAGTTGTACTCGGCTGCTTTTACCACTGTCGTCCATTGCAGAGATTGCTCGATCAATCAACTTTGGGTCTACAATCATATTACAAATTGCCAATACCTCTTCTTCCTTTTCCGATATCTTTTTGATTGCCAATAGAGATTGACCAAGCGACGCCGCTTGATGTTGCGACAGTTGAGAGAATAGGGTAGGTGTCATATACACATCTGCTTGCAGGTTATGAATGGTCGATCGAATCTTGAGTATCGATTGTTTCTCTCGTCCCATATCTACCAACAATGGTAAAAGATATTTAACTTTAACATTTATCCATTGCAAAGTCATTCTATATTAGAGAAAGAAATAAATAAAACATTTAAAATAGGATTGAGTAGTATTTTCAAAAGCGAGACTAATCATTAAAAAAAATTAATTTAATTAATTTTGACCAAATTTGGGGGAGGTCTGTCTTCCTTTCAAACTTTGAACATTTTACAACTAGTGTTTAATCTTGTTTATATATATTTATTTATATATATATATATTAATATAGCTTAGACTTTGATGCATAGAGCTAACACATGAGAAGATAATACTAAAGCTCGGCATGGTGAGTCCAATCAAGTTGTTGTCCAGCTGGCACTTGCTCACCTGTATCCAAAGTAGGTCAATTCACTTCTCAAATGTCTAAAGAGATACTAATCTAAACTATAGGTATGGTCAACATGTAGACATCGTATGTTTGGTAAAAAGTTAACTTGGTTCATCAATGTATAACAGTTTTTGTTGCATTGGTAAACCAAGTTAACTTTTTACCAACAATCTCGATCTAGCGCTTGCCTTTAAAGTATCATTTCAATTGTTGAGAAGAGTGTCCAGTTGTTCCGACACACCTTGCTGTAGTCCATTCCCATCTCATTCATCTCATGTTCAATAAATCAACAAGTAAATAAATATAACATATTATAGACATGTAAAGGGAATACCACAATGATTTAAACTTGAATTGATTCCCCCCCACACATCTAACCTACTTTATTAAATTTAAAACAAAGATTCTTTCACAAACACACAACCCAACAAACTATTTTTTTTTTAATTACCTGCACTTTATAAAACCAACGAATAATAATAATAATAATTAAAAAGAAGAACAGATTTAAACTAATAAGAAGAATCAACAGACAGATAGATATAGATATAGATAAGAGAGAGAGAGAGAGATAGACATTCAAAGAGACACATTTATATATAAATAGATTAATCTAGAACTCCACGCGAGCCTACGAGTGGGTGGGTGATATATTTGTGAACGCCTCATAGAAACAACAAACAAACAGCAAACAAACAAACAATCAATCAATACAATACTACTTTCATAGTATACTATATTATAGTAAGGTTTGTACACAACGCACTTCATATAGGAACCCTATACACCACCCCCGATACATTGTGAGGGAGGGAGGGAGGGAGGGATGAATTCATTAGCTTGGATACAACTCCCCAATTCAACCCTCTCTTCGCACCCGTCACACTCTACCATTGAATGAAATCACACATGGTGTATGAGATATATGACCATGCTGATGAATATAAATATATATATAACAGCAGCAGCAGCAGAAGTACAAAGCACACTTCGTATCAACAAAAACACACACATAAAACACAGCACAGAGATTGACTAGTCTGACTGTATGGTTAACCAGCAGAGTACATGGGGAGGGGGTATACTCGAAGGTAGGGTGGGATGTTATAAGGAGTTGAAAAGATTCACACACACCAAACCAATATCAACCTCAACTCCCTAGCTGGTCACAAATCACTCTTGATAGAGAAAGAGAGTGTTGCTTTGCTTGTTGTTGCTGTTCACTATCTATCTTTACTTTACTTATTAAATTAATCTTTGTTCTTCTCCTCCTCCTCTCCATCACATCCTCCGATATCACATTTAATTGCTCTCTCTCTCTCCTATTTTCTCACTCAACTACCAATAATCTATCTTTAACATCCACTTTTGTGCTCGTCTCAACGATCGTTGGTTACGTCTTTTCATCATCATCACAACATTCTTTTCACGAAATCCATTATATATCTCCGTCACATACTAATTATCCAACCTTTCATCCATCCATCCATCCATCTATTCAAGATATTAATAGTTTATCGATTGGATTGATTGATTGATTCACAGCAAGCAACACCCACCAGTAGTACAGTAGTGTACACCAACTAGATAGCCCACCTTTGTTGTTGTAGGTCAGTTGTCATCCACTACATCTACTACTGCTACTACTACTACTCTTCTCCTGCACTCTTACCCACCCCCCCCCCCCTCGCGCGCGACAATAACAACAACATAGCTACAGCAATAGCTAAAATGATGGAAGAGAATATAGATAATCAAAAAGTAGAAGAGGATAATAACAAAAGCAGCAGTAGTAACAACAACAACAACTATATTAATAATATAAATCATAGTAATATAAGTATAAGTAGCGGTGGTGGTACCATTACTACTACTCCTCCTCCTCCTACAACTACTACAGAAAGGATTATAATGAAAGAAGACGTATTTAGTATACTCGATTCAATCACTCGAAGTGACTTTTATTTCAATCCTATGGCCACTACGACAACTGCAGCAACAACAACAGCTAATGTGTCACCAGTGACGGTAGCATCAAATTATAGCGATACTCTATCTACTTCCTCTTCTTCATCTTCTGCTTCAATGCCTTCACTGGATCTATCACAACATCTTCATCTCCAACAACAGCAACAACAACTTAGTCGGAGTAATAGTAATCTGTCGGCTAGTAGCGGCAGTTCTGTTGTCAAATCAAAGAAACCAAACCTCCATGTAGTCATTTCGGCAAACAACAATAACAATTCTAATAGTCAACCACTCGTCCCGATTGTAGACGAAAGTCAGCTTCAAAACCAACAACAACAACAACAACAAGAACAACAACAACAACAACAAAAACTATTATTGGAAAAGGATAGTATTACAGATAAATATATTCAACAACAATCAGATAGTGGAGGATCTTCGTATGATAATAGTCCCAAGAGTTTCTCGACAGATGACACGAGTAATAGTCCAATCACCTCATCGCTGCTCAGTAGTTTGGGACAGACTACACCCACCTCACCATCGACACCAAACTCGTCAGTGTTGGGACCAGTCTTGTCGCCGTCTCTATTACAGACACCACATCAGAAAACAACCTCTCCAACATCCAACCACAACAAACATAACTTGGGATTGGTCGGACTTATCAACCACAAGAAATACGACGAAATGGTGCTCAAAGAGACCAGTTTCTTTTTGAGTACTGCCAGTATTGGTTCAAACAGATTAAGAAAAAGCGATAATAATGTCATCAAGGCATCAGATTTAAATCTTGGATTCACGACAACGACGATAGATTATAGTAATACGACGTCACCGGCATTATCTCCTTTTGGAAAACCACGTTCAATGACAACGGCTACACCCAAACAGGTGCCAGTTACACCAACAGGTTATTATGGCAATATCCCACCTCCTACAACACCCAATCGAAATGTTGAGAAACTATCTAAATTTTTTGGTACTAGCAAAGAATCATTTGTTGGTCAATCTAAAGAGGAACAATCATCCTCTTTGGCATCGAATATAAGTAGCAGTAGCAGTAGCGGTAGCAGTCTCAGCACAAATGGTGGATCGTCTTCATCACCGTCACTGCTTCAACATAGTGGTGGTGTGGGTATCATTGCCAATCAGCAACTACTCGTTACGCTAAGCGACAGTTCAAACAGCATATCACCCAACTCTACACCATCATCCTCTCCATCATCGTCACCTCCTGCATCACCCACTACGGCACCAACACCCATCTCACTAGTCGGGCTGAATCTGTCGTCACCCCATATTTCAACACCTGGATCCTCGTCTGCGGCTGCATCTGCAATCAACGGGTCATTACCATGGGTGTCGGGAGAATCACCTGCCAAGCGACTAAGCAGAGCACGTGCATCTACAACAGTTGGTTATTACTCTGATTCTGCTATGCTCACTCGGCAACCATCCAGTCATAATCTTGGTGCATTGTTAACATCACCTCTTTTATTGCCACCTGCAATGGGTGGTGGTGGTGGAAACGGTGGAGGAGCAAGTGCGAGTGACCGTAGTTTATCAGGACGTGATACACATAGTAAAAAATCAAAAATGTTGATTGCCAAACTACTCAAGGGTAATCCTCAACAACAACAGACTACAACTCTCAGTACTAGCTTGAATCTCAGTGGACTAGGACCTCCAATCAGTCTCCAGACACCTTCAAGAAACTCGTCCTCTTCAAAAGGTCGACCCAATAACCACCACATTGTACAATGTAATATGATTCTAGTGCCAAACGGAGAGACCCTCTCCATGGTACTAAAAGAGAGAAGTCTATACGAAGCATTTAGAGCATTTTGCGAAAAGGAGCATGCTCTCAACAATCTATTGTTTATCGAAGATGTAGAAGAATTCCAACAATCGACACCCAGCTCTGACGAGTCTGAGGAAATGGAAAGAATCTACCAAAAGTATTTGGCTCCAGATGCTCCCAACGAATTGTCATTTATCGATAAAAAGTTGTTATCCTCTATATTTACTCAACAAAATCAACAAAATCAATTACAATTCCAACAACATCTTCAACAACAACAAGCTCATCAACAAGCTCAGCAACAAGCCCAATTATTATTACAACAACAAGCTCAATTATTATTACAACAACAACAACCAATTGAAACATCACCACAATTGACTATACAAAGCTCAACCAATACAACTACCAATACAACGCCAACCTCATCACCAACTTCACCACCACCTCCTCCAACACCAACCACTTCACCTTCACCGAATCAAAATTTTGATCAATTGGTTCTTTTAACACCTACTAGTAGTAGCAGCAGCGGTGGTAGTAGCCAACAGAATAATAGTATATTATCACAGCAGGCACCAACCACTCCGGCTTCACCACCTCCAATGGTTTTACCACCACAACCAACACCACCACCTACAACACCAACGCCACCACCACAAATATTTAATAACCTCAATATAATTATAGCACCACCAACATCAAATAGAGTGATATTTGATAAAGTATTCAAAATTGTTAGAGATAACATTGTAAATGAACCATTTAAAAAGTTTTGTCTATTTGTTAATAATCAAAATAACCATCCAACCATCAACAACCCACCTCCAACACCTACCAGTCACAGCCACAACCATGCTCAGAATAGCAGTAATCTTATTCCATCGCCATCTTCTGCATCGGCTGCTCTTGCCGTTCCCATTACGAGCAATTCGTGGCATAGTGGCAATCTTTCACCATCCAACTCCAACACACCTTCACCATCATCCTCACCACCAACCGATCTCATCTTTCCTGTTGGTGTTAACCATCCTCCATTTTTCAATGTATCTCCTGCCTCTCCTCAACCATCACCAAGAACTGAGGCTGTCAATACAGGAGGAGGAGGAGGAGGAAATACCACTCCATTATCCCCACGTGGAGGAGATCGATCGCAACAACATCATCATAATCATACAGAAAAATCACCAATTCAAAACCTACCAACTCTTCCACTTTTGCAAGACCTTTCACGTCAAGAAAGAACCAATAGTAATGGAAGTGATGGAAGAACAACGGATAGACATCTCACCTCTCCTCCTCTTTCACCTAGAGTGTCTATGATTAGACCCCATTTCCTAAAGGACAGTGGAGGCATCATTAAAGAACGAGGTGGAATATCTCCTTCATCCAACCACCAAAATATATTTGACTTGCGACTCCAACTACAACAACAAGCCTATCAAGCTTCATCGGTAGCACCTACCACTGCCTATACACCAATTTTTGCCGACTCGTCAGAAACTGAAGATGAGCTTAGCGACGATGAAAGCACCGAAGAGTATGGTGTTGCATTTGGATTCAAACGTGGTCCATGCAATCAACCATGCGATTGTTTGGCCTACAAGCCAAAGGGTAGTAATGGTGGAGCATGTCAAAATTGTGGTCATTATCCAGCATCTCATAAAAACCTTGGCAAGGTACAACAAAAGTCACAACAACCTTTGGACAATGATGACTTGATTATGCAAAGTCCAGCGATGCTATCAACGGTTGATTCTCCTCTTCCCTCACCAAAACGAAACAAAATCGATACCTATACCTTTTTACAAAAATTAATTATCCAATCAAACAAAATACAACAACAACAGCAACAACAACAACAAAACAAAGATAACAAGGATAAAGAAAGGGAAAAAGAAAAAAAGGAAAAGGAAAAAGAATTGTTGGAACAACAACAAGAAGAAAAAGATAAAGATGAGAATGAAAATCTTGTACAAGAAAAGGAAGACGAACAAAATGGTCAATTGACTGATAATGAAATTGATCAAGTCAATGTTATTACAACACCAACAGCAACAACTACTCCTACATCAATCACAACAATAACTAAAACTAATATTAATAATAATAATAATAATAATAATAATAATAATAATAATAATAATAATGTAAATAATAATCCTTTAGCAACATCAATAGATATAGATACAGAAAGATTATTGATTAATTTCAATAATTGGGCAATTGATGGAGAAGAAGTTGTATATTTAAATAAGCTTGGAGAAGGTACATCTGCCAAAGTGTATAAAGCAATTTGGAGAAACCAAGAGGTTGCAGCCAAGATCCTCAAAAACGCACCAGAGAACCAAAAGTTGTTAGATTTCCTCAAGGAACTCGAGATTATGAGTTCGCTTCGTTCACCACACGTCGTCTACTTTTATGGTATGGTCATTCAACCCAAGATTTGCATGATCATGGAGTATTGTAGCAACCAATCTCTCTACCATCTTATGCACACTTCGATGGATTTTACTTGGGACTGGGTACTAAAGTTCTCAATTGAAATGGTCAAAGGTATCGTTTGCCTACACAATTGGAAACCTGCCATTGTTCATCGTGACCTTAAATCTCTCAATCTACTTGTCTCTGACAATTGGACCATCAAAGTAGCCGATTTTGGTCTTTCTCGTTTTGCAACTTCCAAAGCTCAATCAATCCGAAAGACTAGAGGTACTTATGCTTATTGTGCACCAGAAGTTTATTATGGTGATTATACAATGAAAGGTGATATTTTTTCTATTGGTATTATTATCGTAAGTCATAAAAAAAAGAAAAAGAAAAAGAAAAAGAAAAAGAATATTATTAAAATGTGTATTAATTTATTACTCTTTAAAGTGGGAATTAGTAGTTAGATGTATGAAAGGAAAATATGAAAGACCATTTTCAGAATTTAAACAAATTCAATATGATTTCCAAATTTTAATTCAAACATCAAAGTATAATATTAGACCTACAATCCCATCTAATTGTCCAGAATCAATTTCAAATTTAATTCATCAATGTTGGGAAAAAGAACCAGAGGTAAGAAGAAGAAGAAGAAGAGAGAAAATATTTACTTATTTTTTTGAATTTTATTTATTAATTTTATTTTTCCTTTTTTTTTTTTTTTTTTTTAGAAACGACCAACATCAACAGAGATTTTAGAAACTTTACAATCATTAAATAAGAGTTATGAGGGTGACAAGGATAATAGAAAGAAATGGGAAAGAGTTAGAGAGAAATTAAAGAAAACATAACAACATTAACTTTATTTATTTTAAAGAACAACAATCGATAAACTTTTTCCAAAAGGAAAAGTAAAAAAACAACTTTATAATAAACATAGGATTCTATGTTTATTATTAGTATTATTTATTACATTAAAATTAAAGGTTATGGTTTGTTTTATTTACAATTAGTTTTTTAGATTTTAAATAATTTCTTTTTACGAAATTGTTTTTGAATTAAATATATTGCGGTACTGATAACTACTGCAATGCAGAGTCCCATGATTGGATACCCTTGGTGTTGACTGTTTTGGAAATTTCTTGAATTGATAATCATTGTTGTGAGAGTAAGGGAGCATGCAAACCAAGTCTCGTATAACATTCTAGTGTTGGAGATGAATGGTTGAATTTTAATAATCAAGGCAATGTATACTAGCGATATGGCAAAGAGGATCAATGCATATTGAGATTCGTAAAATGGAAGGGTAGCTGACGACCATGTGAATAAAAAGGCGACACATTGTTTGGCGGCATCAAAGTATCGATGTGTCTTTTTAAAGTGAAGGAATAGTGGTCTGAGCATTATTCGTTTTCGGTAAAGCATGATTGGCAGTCCAAATGTGACAAAAATAATGATAAATACTGCCACAGTGACACTGGCGACATGTAAACTACCATAGCATTCAACCTCTTGATCGATGATGAGATATTTAGTGTCACCTACTGTTTTGCATGGAATGACAGTTGCCGAGAGATACGATAGTGGAGTGTAAAAAAGTAACAACAAACTATAGAATCTTTGTGGTAATTTGGCAGGACTATAAACAATACGTAATAATCTTCTTGTACGATTTAATATTGGTAAAATTAATGCCAAAAATATTGTACAAATAATTATTGATACACTTAATAAATATCTACATAGAAAAATAAATTAAAAAAATAATTAGATAAATCAATTAATTATAATTTTTTTTTTCAATTTTAAACTTACTTGGCAAGATAATTATTAAAGATTGAATTTGAAAATACACAAGAAGTTGGCCAAAAGTCTATTCTAAAATTGAAAATGGAGAAAAAGAAAAAGCTAATTTGACGCTCTCCTACGATGGCCAACAATTGAAGTGTAGTGATCATGGCAAAGATAATGGTTCTAGATGGAATGTTGATACGGGCAATGAAAATGGCCAATGCAAGATTGAATACAACATAGACAATGATGATAGCGACATTGTCGTGTGTGCATGGGTTGCAGACAATGAGAGATTTGGCTGTACCTTCTTGACATTGACCACAGAGAGGACCTTGGTGGTACTGTCTGCATCCACCAGTGATACAAACGGTTGGATCACACCTGTAAATATCGATTGGGATGTTTGAAATGGGAGTTTCAAACCAATAGCCTGGCAAAGGGGATATTTGGCCGGTTGGACAAGTGGTTTCGGGTGGACAAGTGTAGCATGTGACTCCATCGTATCCAATGGTTCCGACAGGGCAAAGAGTGCATATGCCATCCAAAATGTACTGTGTTTGGTTGAGGCATCCCACAATAGTGATATTGATAGTGGCCGAGACTACAGTTGCCAAGTCTGTGTCTAGTACCTCACCCTGCACCAAGTAAGTGTCACCAGGCTGACCATCAAGTGTGATGGAAAACTGAGTTTGACCCAAAAAGCCAATTGAATCTTTGGAAATGGTGGTAGGCGTGGTTGTATTTGTGGCGTTTGTGATGAGAAGACCAAACGAGAGATCGGGTCGATTGTTGACCGTCTGGTTGTACCGATCGACCATTTGAGTGGTGATGATGAATGGGATACCATGTTGAATAGTATTGTCTGAAATGTCGAATAAAATACCCATAATGTTGCTTGCCAAATTCTCGCCATAACTGGCTGAATTGGATTTGTAGATTGTGTTGTTGGAGATGGTGAGTATCGAGCTTTCCTCGTTGAATATACCTCCTCCACCACCCAATGCAAGGTTACCAGAAAAGTATGTCGACGTGTGGATGTGAATACTGGCATACTGGTCACTTGCCCAAATGGAACCTCCATCGTTAAAGGCAAACGTGTTTGTGAAATTACAATGTTCAAGGAAAATAAAACTTGTATCGGTTCCCGTAGAATGTGGTCTAAAGATGGAAATGGCACCACCATTGTACTGGTATGACGATAATCTAAGGTCTTGTGAATTTGTATAGTCTCCCAATTTAGCAATGGTCGATACAAAGACACAATTCTTGAGTGTCACCCATGGAGAATTTTTCAAAAATAATGATCCACCAGCAGTCGATGCACAACCATCAAATATTAAGTCCTCTCCCTCCAATCTAGATGTCTCTGCATAAATACAACCTCCTAAATGAGCTCCTCCAGATGTAAATGATGTATTTGAAATAAAAGCTGTAGTTTCATTTAAAAATATATCTCCTCCAATACCATAAATATTACTAAAAAAAAAAGAAAAAGAAAATATTATTAGTAAGAGAAATAATAATTTAATATTTTTAATATTTTTTTTTTTTTACCTATTATTAACAAAAATACAATTTGTAATATTGATATTTGAAAGTGAAGCTGAGAGAGTAGGTTTGTTGATACCAAGATTACCTGAAAAGAGACCATTTACAACTATAACATGACTGTTGTCTATTGTCATGTCTGAATAGGAACCATCATTGAGTGAGAAGAAGCTACCAAATTCAGCCGTTTCAATATAGACATTACTATTTTGTCCAATATCAATGATAGAGTCTGAAGCAGATGAATTGATAAACCTTGCACTGATTAGTGATCCAGTTGACCCATACAAACCGAGTGTAGGGGCTTGATTATTTGCAACAAATGTTGAATTTATGATTTTGAATTGACAGTGATTGAGTAGAATCGATGCAGCACTACTTGCAATATTCTCACTGACACGTGTATTAATAATCGTCAAAAAAGAGTCGGTGCAACGTATTACACTTGCACTTCTTCCATTATTTGAGACAAAATGTGAATTTATAATGGTCAATAGAGTACGATTGGAAACGTCCATGCCACCAATCACCGATCCAATGTTTTTGTAAAAGAGTGAACTTTCAAAGGTAACATTTGAATTTATGTACCGTCCAAGAGGTGCCCAACTGTTTGACAAGGATATCATTTGAGCGTTTGTAAAATAAATACGACTTTCTACCATCCAAATGGAACTATTCATGAGCGAGATGGACGATAAGCCAAAACGTAGATTCGACCAAGTACCACTAGACAATTGAATGTCAATGGCTGCGTCACTACCGAGAATATCTTGCATTGATATGTTGTTGAATTGTATTTTTGATGAAAAAATGTGAAAGGGATAGACACATGTTGTAATGTTGATGTCGTTGAGATTAGCATCCATGTTGGAGAGTGAGATGACTACCTGTTGCTCGAGCCCGCCTGAAAAGGTGAGACTCTGTCCCAACAACTCACCACCATCCAACGCCACATATTTACCAAAGTGGTTGTGCAAAAAGTACATGTTTGTGAGATTGTTGAACGAGCTAGAGCTCATCAAGAGATCGTATCCAGTGTTGTAGGTAAAGTTGACATTGGCCATCGTCAGTACCGCATTTTCCATAGAGAATAATGGGTATTGGTACCGAATCATATTCTGGTTGCCCTGATAGGAGCAGTTGGTGACAGTGACGGTACAGTAGCGAGACGAGAGAAACTGGGCAGAGTTGTTTTGAAACACGCCGTTGAGCAGAGTGACATCACTGTATGAACACTGCCCCAAAAAGTCGTATTGAGCATTGGTGAGTACCCAATTTTCGAGTTGTAGCACTGTTTTATCGGATATTGAAAAGAGTGGGTATTGCAGATTGGTGATGGCGACGTTTCGGATGATGACCGAAATGAAGCAACGATCGATAAAGAATAATGGGTAGGATGTGGGAAGAGGCGAGTCCATGGTCACATTGTCAATGATGACATTGTGAGACGTCCACAATTCAAAATTCATCGTGCTATTGATACCAAACACATTGGCAATGTTGGCATCACTACAATTCCTAAATTGAAACCGAATAGATTGCGAGTTTACAACGTTGACATTTCTGATTTGAAAGTTTGGACTTCCCGACACATCAAATCCAATCGTTCCAAAACTATTGAAAAATGTTGTGTTTTGTGCAATAAACTCTTGTGTTGTCACACTGACAAACAGCATTGAATCCATGTCTCCAGCCGTGTTGTTGATAAAGACAAAGCTGTCGACAAACTCGCCATACACCAATTCAACATTGTTAAAGTAGCTGTTTTGGAAGACACACCAACCTCCATAATACCGATTGTCACCATATTCATAGTTGATTTGTGCAACAGTCAGTACGGATCGAGGTAAATCGTAGCCATAAAAGCTGCTATTGTCGACCATCATATTACCACCATCCAAGCTAATCATTTGACAATTCGAAGTAACACTAGTAGTACCACTTGAAATGTTGAGTAGGAAGCGATTAAACTCAATCTCTCCCAACCTTACACAAAAAGCGGCTCGTGGCCCATAATCATAGGATAATGGTCTGTTGGGAATGGAAGTAACCGGTAAAATGATTGAAACGTCATTAAAAATAACTTTACTATTTTTTAAAACTGTTGCCAACTGACATTGGTATGCCGCGTCATCTACAGAGCCATTGGTCATTGTAAATCCACCGATTGTAATGACAGATGACATTAAAGGTAGTAATATTGGACATGTGTCTGGTCCCACTTGGTATGGATAGGGAGGTGGTTGAATAACAAATACAAAAGAGTATACACCTGTTATCAATGTATTATCACCAATGATTGATATATTTTTTCCACGTGAAAATATTGATTGACCCGATTCCAATTCATAATTGGTCAAAGCATCTACATAAATTGTCCTATCCTCTGCTATCCAATCAATTGCATGTTGTATAGTTGCAAATGGATATTCTATAGTTCCATTATTATTTAAATCATCTCCATTTATATTTGATACATAAATATTATAATCTAAAAAATATAAATTAAAATTAATAATTAATAATTGAATAATATTATTATTTGTTTTATATATATATATATATATATTTTACATACCAAGTAGAGTAGAGGGTTTTGTATAAATACTAATAAAATCAATTGCATAAATGATAGAGTCGGCACTTGAAGATAATAGAACGTTCCATTGAAATGTTATATTGTGTTTTTGACCATCTGCATATTTTGTAATGTCGAGTGATAGTAGAGAGTAGTCTGGTGTGCTTGTAATGTTGCAAGTTGTCGAATCAATCATGAATACATTGTTGTTAGAGTCTACCTTGACGAGGAATTGGTAGATTGTTGTTGGCGGGTTTCCTCCTTGGAGGATCTTGAATGCAAAATCGAGTGACAGCAGCGTATTGGGTTGTTGTCGTAGATCTGGTAGTGTCACTTGTTGACTTACATTGTATGATGTTCGTGGATAATACGATTCAAAGTCAAATAATAGCAAACGATAGCCTTCAAATGCATAGGCTGGTTTCTCTTGCATTTGAATCATTACATTTTGATCAAACCAATCATAGTCTGGTGATAATTCAAATCCCCAATTCTTTATAATCGTTTCTTGTTGTGGTTGTACCTCTAATAATTCAATATTACTAGAGTTTACATTGTTGTTGTTGTTAATATTATCTTCTATTATTATTATTGTTGTTGTTTCTGTTAAATGGTTGTTATTATTATTATTATTAATGTTACTAGTCGTCGTCGTCGTCGGTATTATATTGTTACAATAAGATATTGTAGGTGTAATTAAAAAGAATATAAATAAAATGTATATGTACAATGATGATGATAAAGATAAAGAAGATAAAGAAGATAAAGAAGATGAAAGAAATGAATAATTACCACCACTACATCTTTTCGTTTTAGTGGTTTCACTATCACACCTCCTGCTCCTCTTCTTCATTTTAGATTGTAGATGTATCTGGTTGTGAGTGTGTGTTGTGTTTAATCTATATATATATATATATCTGTTTAATGTGCGAATCCCTAATAATGAAGGGTTTCTGATGAGCTCATTGAACGCGGAAAATTCTTGAGAGCCCTGGAGTACTTTCTCTAAAAAACGCGTAAAAAAGAATACCATCACGAAAAAGTGTAGTTTTTAAAAAAGTTGCATTAAAATTATGATTTTTATTTAAAATAGATAGATAGTTTATAAACAGAAGAAGAGAACTAAAGGCAATTGTCCATTGTTTAGGGGTAAAAGGTGTACAGCTTAAATTCTCCAATACCAATGGACAATTGCATTTAGTATCAACCTGTTGTTGGCTGGTTCAAACAAAGAGGTCAAATTGACAAAAGGTCTTTAATCAATTCCCCTTTCTAAATATTTATAAAATTATTAATAATAAATATCAAATCTTTATTAATCCAATCTTTTTCTAGACCTAATCATGATAAAATTCTCACAATTGTTGAAAGAGCAACAACTGTATTGAGGATACAGTTTCGATGTTTAATGATTACTATTATGTTGAAAGAGTGTGATGTTTACTATTGCAAAGAATGAAGTATATTTTCAAGTTGAGCCATCTACAAAAAAACAGAAATTTAAATTAAATAGATGGGCAAAAAAATAGTAAATTTTTAATACTAACTTTTTGATGAGACTTGAATAAATAGTATTCATTTGAAACTTATAAATGAGACAAAGAAATGAATTGATGGTTATTATTGTATTATAAAAAAATATATTTCTATCCTATCCTATCTCTCTTTTATTATCATTATTTAAATTTTTATTTAATAAAAATGGAAATTGATCATACAAAACTAAAAGAAAGTTGTGTACATCAAATTACACAACTTTTCGTTCAAACATTGGAAAAGAATAGATTAAAATTTACAAACAACTTTTTCAATAATAATTATAATAACAGTGTAGCAGCACTAGGAGAACAAGTATACAATGATGCTAATCTCAACTATTTTCTACAACAACTAAAACTACAACTACGAAATACATCGATTGTTGCTTTGGATCAAGAAAAGACGTTTAGAGAATACAAGAAAAAGTTAGTGCTCCAAGGTGCGGACTATCACTTTTACGACGATGTCATTGACAGTGGTCAACTCTCTTACAATGACAAGAATCTTGATAGTGGTCCCATTCCTCTAATCTATCCAAACAACTGTATCATCACCAATAACAACGATCTTCAAAAATTAGCTGGTATTGACAGAACTCATCTTGTCCTAAATCCACGTGCTGCTTCAATCATTGAACAAATTCAAGGTCCTTTGGTTATTGTAAGTAGTTGGATTATAAAAGAGAAAAAGAAAGTTATGAATATTTGTATTTGTATTTGTATTTGTATTAATAACCTTTTATATGATTAGATATCAGTTATTGGACCATATAGAAGTGGAAAGAGTTATTTGTTGAATAGAATATTATCTAAAAAGGTTCCGAGAGGATTTGAACTTGGACATACGATGGAGAGTTGTACAATGGGTGTATGGATGTGGGGTATTCCTTTTAAACACTCTATCGTACGTCCAGATGGAAGAGAAGAAGAGGTGACTGTCATTCTTTTAGATACTGAAGGACTGGGTTCAACAAGTAAATCTACAACTGTTGAAAATGATAATCAAATCCTCTCACTATCAATGTTACTTTCTTCCAACATTGTCTACAACTCTACGTCGGTACCGACATATGCTGATTTTGATAAACTCTACTTTATCACCAAACTATCTCAATCGATTGTCGTTCGCAGAGGAGAGAACCAAAACTCTGACCAAGACAAGCAACACTTTGATCGATTCTTTCCAAATCATTTTAGTTGGGTGTTTAGAGATTGTCATCTCACTCCCTCCTTGGATGGAGGTATCACTGAATGTACTATGGAAAGATACATGGAAGAAAAGGTATTCCGTCCAGAAGACGTAACTGCAGATCTACTCGACCAAGAAAATGCTATTAATCGTAACCGTATTCGTCAATTCATTACAAATACATTCAAACGTTTCAATGCCTATACCATAACGGCACCAGGTCCTGAAGCTTTGCAATATAATATCGAAGATATTGAAAACCCATTCACATCACCTAAATTCCATACCGATGTTGCCAACTTTGTCAATTCAATCAAATCAAACCTTGAAATTAAAAAAGGTTTAAAAGAAGGTTCAAGAATGAATGGTTCTCGTACGTCTAAAAAGTTAACCAAAAAAAAAAGAAATAATCATTATAATTTATTAATTGTTATTTATTTTTCTTTTAAAAGAATTAATTGGACAACTTGGCATATATTTAGATGATATTAAAAATGGAAAATCTATAAATGTAGAATCAACATGGCATCAAACATTAAAACTTGGTTATGAATCAATTTTATTGGAAGCCGTTCAAGCATTTGAAAAGGAGATTAACAAACGTATTCCTTCATTACCAATCTCTCATCAAGAATTGATGGACCATTATCAACAATCAATCAAGATTTCCGATAAACTCTTTTCAAAGATTTTAGATTTGGATGCTGATTTACAATATTTTAAAAAATATTCTAAAAGATATCATGTATGTAAAAAAAATATATATTTTAAAATAGAATAAACTATACTTATTTATTAATATTTTTTTTTTTTTTTAGGATGAATGTGCAAAATTTAATAATTCAAATCAATTAATTGGAGGATTTTTATTATCTGTACAATTAAAAAACAATGAAGCATCGATTATTTATAATAGTAATGTTATTAGAATATTGGTAGAAACTATTATCAACCCGGTACTTGGTAATGTTGAAAGTCCAAATCATCAACAACTTGTAAGTGCACTACAATTGGTTGAAAAAGAGTATTTTGCCAAAGCAAAGGGTACAAAGATTGATGATATCTATAACAACTATCGTGTTGAAATTGATCAAAAGAGTCAAACTTTTCTATCCTATCTCAAACAAACCAATCAATTCAAAGATTCATTGGCCAATAGTGAGGCAGATCGTGAAGGCATGAGATTACAAAATAGTAAATTGATGCAACGTCAAAGAGATTTGGAGATTAACATCAAGACCAATCAAGAAGTATTCCAAACAAGACTCTCTCAAATGGAAGCATCAAAGAATGATTTACAACAGAGAATGAATCAAACAATCTTGACCAATGCCAACCAATACAATTCTCATATTCAACAACTTCAAGGTACCATCAATCATAATAACAATGTTGCTAATCAACAATATGCACAATACCAAAATCAAATTAATGGTCTTAATAATCAAATTGTTGATCTTCAAAATAGTCAATGCAGTGGTGGTGGTGGTGGAGGTTGTAATATTCTCTAAATAAATATTTATTATTATCTTTTTAATTGATTGGAGTATTTTGAACTTTTCTTAATTTTTGATTAAAATGTTTGGTTGCTGCCTTTTTTTTAATTAAAATAAAAGATCCAACTGCAACAGCAACCAAAGCGACTCCACCAACTACAACACCAACAATGATTCTCCAAGTAGTTGATTTTGAGTTTTGACAATCATCTTGGTTTTCATTACTCTTGTCAATTATTAATGGTGTAAAATCTGGATCTAATTGACATGATTGACATTGAGGTATATTGATTCCAATTAATACAATTGATTGATCATCTGAATTGTCAATTAGAGTCTGAGATATTAATTCTGTTTTTGAATAGGTCTTTCTACCATCTGATACAACAAAATCAATAAATCTACCATTAAATTGAATATTATCTTTTACCACTCTTAGGTATTGAATTGATTCTGATAATTTGTCCTTTGTAAAACTATTAATTGATTGTTTTTCACAATCAAACAAGATCGATTGATCATTATTAATGATTGATTTGAAAACAACTCGAAGTGTTGCAACATTTGATTGGTATGGCCAATATTTAATAGTAAATCCAACCTTGATTGCATTTGGTAAAAGAATTAATTGTGTACCACCAAATGTAATATTTCTCGTAATCAAAGAGAATGATATATCTGAAGATACCAAAAGAAATTGATACATTGAATTATTGCTGACAATATTATTTGTATCTAGTTGATAATTTGCAAATGTTGTAATATTATCACTATTGATTGAAACATTCCATATTTCACTAGACAATGACAATTCTTTAATTAATTGTCCATCATAATTAATTTCTTGAATTGAATAAATTTCAAAATCAAAATCTATACCATCAATATCAAAATTTACTGTTGGATTGGTTGTATTTGGTTTAATTGTTGTATTTGCAACTATAAATAAAAAATAAAAAGTAAAAGATATAAATAATTATAATTATTATTTTTTTTGTTTCTTTTTTTTTTCTATTTACATTTAGTTAGACAATTATCAATTTGATTATAATTTTCATTACATTGACAAATACCATTTTGGTCACATTGACCATGACCATAACAATTAAAAGTTTGTTCTTTGCAAAGATCTTGTGCAGATGTTCCATTATTATTATTGGCTGGTCCAAAATTTAATAAACTTGAAGACAAGAATTCCGATCCATTGACACTAACAAATAAAGTTGCTGGACCTGGAGGTGGAACTGATGAAAGAGTACATTGAATTAGGGTAATAAATGCATTATTTACAATACAATCGATGGAATCTGAAACTTTAACAATAACAGGTTCAAGTGAAATGGTAGCAGGTGATCCATAATTTCCATAAAGTTTTAAAATTCTTCCTTCAATTGTATAATTTACTGATGTTACTGTTGGATAATCTAAAAAAATAAAAAAAAATAAAAAATAAAAAGATAATAAGAAATGTTTTAGAAAGTAAGAAAACTATTTAATAACCTACAAGCTAAAGAAAAAAAAAAAGAATAAAATATTAATATTAATATTTATAAATTTTTATATATTTGTTTTTGTTTTTTTTTAATTTTACCAAAAATTGAAGTAAGAGTATGATCTAAATAATCATTTTTAATATTAAAATAGAAAAAGGGAGATAATGGAAGTAGAAGTGTATCTTTTGGAAAAGTACAAGTAATACTATCGGCAGTATGACCTATAACATTACAAGATATATTTTTCTGTGTGATTGTAATTGTATAGTTTAGATAGGTGTTTCTAAACAATCGAATGTATAGTTCAGGGTCACCAACTGTCTTTAGACGAACACCAACACTGTTTAAAATATATCCTGCCTCTACAAGTGTAAATGTGTAATTTTTTCCTGCAAATGGGATGGAAACGGGATAAGGTGGACCCGTTTTAAAGGTGGAAGTATATATAATCTGTTTGTTTGGTATAGCAGGTGAACCAATAGGATACCCCCATCCTAGATTGTTACCATGGACCGAATACACTCGATTTTTAGAGACAAGATTAAAACTATCAAATGTTACATTACAAACAAATCCTGGTGGCACTGTCAAGGGGAAATCAATATTTGGATTACCATCTCCAGCATAACAATAAAAACAATCTGGGATTGTACCAATCTGACCAACATTTTTAACCATTACAATTAAAAACTGACACCATTGTTGAGGAACATCTCCAATATAAAGATTTGGACTATTTAATAGACGTAAATGAAAATCTTTTTGGTTTGCAAAATTAACCAATGGAAAATTTGACATACTACAATTTCTAATTTCTCTATAGAAAAAAGATAGTAAAGATAGTTATTATTAGTTTAATATTAAATTATTATTATTTTGTTTTTGCGTATCATACAACACAGTCATTGAATTGGGTGGTATTAATTGGTTTGAAAATACTAATTTTACATTGTTTTGTATGACCAAAGAAGTTGTTGCTTGAGGAAATCTGCTAAATGGCAATTCACTTAATAATTCAGAATCAAACCTCCTAAAAATTAAAATTAAAAATAAATATATTATATTATTATTTTTCTTTTTTTTAACATACATTGTACGTAAATTTTTGTACTTTGATAAATCAACTGATGAAAAGTTAAAGTATCCTAAGAGTTGAATATCTTGGAGATTATCACAATTATCACCCAATATAAATTCCATTGGAGCTGAATCTTGTGCAGAAATTAAACTATATTAAAATAAAAAATTGTTATTGTTCATATTAATCTATCTTTTTCTTTCTTTTTTTTTTTTTATGTTTTAATTACAGGTTTGAAATATTTAAACTATTGATAATAACTTGAAGTTTACTAGCACTATTAATATTGAGATTCAAGCCTGTCAAGGATGGGAATGAATTGGTGCCAACATTGATAACAAATGGCGATAATGGTTGTATTTGTAGAATTAATGTTTTAATATTTGGTAGATGAATGGAGGGATCAATACCAATATAATTTAATCTACCCGAAATGGAGATTAAAGATGCAACACTATTATTGAAAAAGGTTGGAATTGACTTTAGATAGGCATTTGTAAATTGTCTAAAAAAAAATAAATAAAAAAATAAAATATATAAGAGAGAGAGAACATAAAAATGTATAGATATATATATAAAGTGATACTTGCATCTTTTGTAAATTTGGTAAATTGTTTGGAAAGTCTGATGGAACAATAGAAATGGATATATCTGATAAAATTCTTTTTTTGTTTACAAATAAATGATTATTATTATTATTAGTCTATCTTTTGATAATACGATTATTTTTTTTGATTTACTTACAAAATCTCAGAGAGTAAAGGTAAATTTTTTAAAAGTACAAGGGAATTTAAACTTGCATTTTGTGGACCTGTATCAGAATAGGATTGATAGTATTCTAATTTTGGGAAATCAAATTGTAAAAGATTGGGGTCTGGGTCTCCTGAAATTGTATTTCCTGTTATCATCTCTCTAAAAAAAAAGAGACACAAATAATCAAATTGTTAACAAAAATACTATGTATTTTAGTAGTAGTTTACTACTCTACTGCCTCTACTACTTACATTCTTTTAATATTTGTGATTCCTGTTGTTTGATCGGTTACGCATGTAACCATTGTAGAATAGGTACCATTGCAAATGCTTTGATCAAATGGAAGTTTTAGTTTGTATTGTTTGGTGACCCATTCAATTGATTTTACTAAAATGATGAGCGTGATTTAAAAAGTAGTTTGTCATTAATATATATATGCTACATCTACAACTGATCTAAAGTTTTACATACATTCTGAAACTGTTAAATCTGCTCTTGTTAAATTGATGTTATTGAATAGTAGTGATACAAATAGAAATAATAAAACAACACACATGTTATTATTGTGGTTATTGTTTTCTTTTGGTGGTCTTTTATGATTCATGTCAAGAATTTTGTTTTTACTATTTGAAAAACGATGATTTATCTCTATCTCTATTTCTATTTTTCTAAAGAATGTAATGGGCAAAGAACTAACCTCGGTATAGTTTGTGAACTTGATAAAATCATGATTTTCTTTTTTCAGTGAAATATCTCAAGTCGACGTCACAAAACACGTCGGTCAGATCCCCAACAATCGATGATTTTGCGTTTTAGTCTTTTTCGATAGGCCCTAAAAGAACTTGACAAATATTATTCTTTCACCAAAAATCTATCACTACTACGACCCTTTGTTGAATTTGATAGAAAAGAGTGATGGGTAAAAATTTAGAATAACATATATTTTTTAAAAAATTCCCGGTCAGGACCATTATAAACTTAACAAACTGAGCTAACAAGGCACTTGATGTTCCAAAACTAAAAAAAAGATAAGTATAGGATATAAAAAATACTAAATTTTAGTGTGAAAACCTTAAATATCCCCAAAAAAAAGCAACAGGGCTAAAATTTTCTTTTTTGGTTGCGAAACAAGAAATATCATCTGAGCACACAAGGCTGGGTGAGCCAAACAACAAAAAACATAAGTAAAAAAAAATAAAATAATCCAAATTTTAGTGGGGAAACCTTAAAAATCGTCAAAAAAAGCTTTTTTTTTTAAGCATCTCATTTCGTGGCATCCACCTGTAGGGTGGAGCACTACTCTTTCGATTGCGAAGTTTTATTGATTGAAGTCTTTGTTTGACCAGCAATGGGAACTGAGTTTCCAAAGAAGAAACAAGTCCAATCTGTTTTTTGGGGTGCCAAATGTCTGTTCTATTTCCATCCAAGCAAAAATGGCAAGTCTTGGTGGGAGCTATTAGTTCTATTTGTTCATCAATACGACGGGAAACTTCTTTACCTGTTGAATCGAGGGGGGCTGAACGGTTCTGTGAGTTACGATCCATAGTTCTTTTGTCAGATTAGGAGATGGAGGAAGGAGCGAGATATTTTTTTTTGTTATTTTTTTTATTTTTTTTCTTTTTGGTGATCTTTGATATAGGCAGTGCTTGTGCTCGCTCGCGCCCCTTATTTATAATAATGATAATGATATAAATAATTGAACAAGGGGGCACACTAGGGCAATTAGTTGTGGCTTTTAGTGAGTGTGAAAAGAAATAGTAATGTTGATAAAAGATAGTTGAAGATAGTTGATGATTGAGTGAAGTTCTATAGTACTCTATACGTAATTCTCTGTTTCTATCTCTTTCTCTCTATTACAGAAAAATTCCAAACTCGCTGAAATTTTCCATTGAAACAAAAAATTTTCCATTGAAACAAAAAATTTTCCATTGAAACATCCAAGCCTTGTTAGCTCAGTTGGTAGTAGCGTAAGACTGAAGATCTTAAGGTCGCTGGTTCGATCCCGGCACAAGGCAGCCCAAAAGGCATCTGTTTTGATCTTTTTTTTGCTGCCGCTGCCTCTTATCCAAGTTTTTTCATGATATTCTGGTAGTAGACACAATTCCCTACATTTTTATCCAATTTTTATCAATTTTCACCAAAACCACACCACTAAAACATGTTATAGAAAAAAACAATCACTGGAAAAAAGCATCCAGAACAAGGCATCATCCTTTGTTTTTTTTTGCATGTGGCTGCCTCTGATCCAAGTTTTTTTATGATATTCTGGTAGTAGACACAATTTTCTTTTTTTTTATTAGGGATATCCCTAATAAAATATTATAACTCACCAAACAATAAAAAAATAACAATGGTGAATGCAAAGAAAAAAAAACACAAGACTAGCTTTCGAAGGGTCAGAGCATTACATATTTTTTAAAGCCACTTGTTTGAAGATCTAAAAAAAAATGGAAAATATCGATACTCACGCCCTGCAAAGATTGGATTTTTTTTATTAAAAAAACAGATATTTTATTTTTTACTTCCGATCATGATCCTAAAAAAAGCAACAAGTTCACGTCATTGTAAAAACCAATACAAGAAAGAAAAAAGAGATAGATAAAAAGTATAAAAATTAGTACCTACTACTAGTATACTCATGTCCAAACAGATATCTATATTTATTGTTTTTATTTTATTTTTTATTTTTCATTCATCAGCTTTAATACCATCATCTGAATGTAAGTTTAATCTTAATCTAAAAATATATTGTTTGGTTGTTGAAGTAGATAGAGATAAATTTAACTTTTTATTGTTACCTATATATATAGTGGCATCAATTCAATTTTTAATTCAACAATATGGACAGATTCATTTACCACAAGATCAAAGTATATGTAATGGATCATTTACTGAATTTATTACTTGTCAATTAGATATAGGTACCGGAGAAGATCATTTTACATCTTTGTATGTCTTTTTACCTATCAATTATTTTTTAAAAAACTATAACATTTTTTTTTGTTTTTTATAGAAAAATGACAAAACCATTTTCACCGGATCTTGGATTCCCAGATTACAATATTTTAAAATTTGACTTTCCAAAATTAACTACCCTTGTTATCTATCAAACAGGAAATGTAAAGAATACAACATTAAACATTTTAGATAGATTAACTGATCTTCCTTTATTAGGTATGGTCTTGTAAGTAAACAAAAGTTTTGGAAAGTAAAAAATGATGATTTAATTTTAACAAGATTTTTTATTTATTTAAATAGTATTACAAAAGATTATTCAATTGATTCAATTCCAATTGGTTTTCCAAAGAATTTACCAAATCTAAAGATTTTGTAAGTAAAAAAAAAATAATATGTTATATTAAAGTATTGATTATTCATTTTGTTTGTTTTTAGCTCAATCATTGATTCAATTCAAAAGCTTAATTTCCAAGGATTTTTCAACAACTCCAATATAGAAGGACTCAGTCTAAGTGGAGTTAGATTTTCATCATTTGCACTCGATTCATCATATTATTTACCTAGATTAAAACAACTTGATTTACATATCATAGTGGATACTCCAATATCAATAGACATGCAGTCATCATCATTTCCATCTATTCAATCTTTGTAAGTGAAATGAAAAAAAAACAAAAAAAAAGATAATTGATCTATTAACATTTATAATTGTCTATAGATCAATTAAAACATTTGGTTCTAAAAGTAATATCAATTTAAATATGCAATCACTATGGGAATTGTATATAGATAATGATGTATCTCTATCAAGTTTGTCTCTTGGTAATTTAAAAAATTTAAACACTATTGATTTAAATGGTCAAACTACAATAGCAGGAAATATGACAAATTTACTTGGTTTAGATAAAGCGTAAATATAAAAGAAAAAAAAAGGATTCAATACAATTAAACTAAAAATCTTTTCTATTTTTTTTAGAACGATTAATATTAATTCTCTAACGACCTATCCATTCTCAATGTTTCCACCAAACTTGTCAACATTTATTATGAGAAATTCAAGTTGTTTATTAATACCAACCATTCCACTTCCACCTAGTCTTCTTTCATTGTCAGTAGTTTTAAATAATTAAATATTTTTTAGTTTATTAATTTTTTTCTTTTTTTCTTTAGTGAACTATCAAATAACCTTTTATTAGCTGGAAGTGTACCATTTTCAACTATATTTGGAGATTCAAGACCAAACTTTAAAGTTGATTTATCATTTAACCCAAATCTAAATGTTGGTATTGTTCCAAATAATTGGTGTGAATATGGAGGTGTAAATCTTCAAAACACAATGGTATCTTCAGTTCCAGATTGTTTTTTATGTTATTATGGAAATGGTGATCCAAATATCCTAGTACCAATTATTCCTCCACAAAATTTCGTTTGTAGTATGTAAAAAATCAATAGAATTGATCAAAGTTCTTTTCTAACTTTTTCTCTTTTCTAGATATTACATTTACAAGTTTAAATTTATTTTCATCAATGGGAAAATTTAATTTAATTGGTAATTTGATTGGGTTTGGGTATCCAAATGCACAGGCTCTTGTACCAAATAGAGCACTTGTATATAATGTACCAAACAATCAATATATTGTAGGACCACCAAGAGACTATAATATATCATTTTATTCAATGGGTGGTAAAAATGTAACCTTTTCAATGGTTGAAGTTTATTTTTCCGTTGCAAATGCTACCGTTGTAGGAAATGTAAATAGACAATTGGTATTGGAATTTTCTTATTTTAATTCATACCTACCACACTTTGTACAATTTAATCAAGGTACTGTAAATTGTACAAGTATAAATCAAAATGCAACACATCTTGTTTGTTCAATTCCAAACTCTTTGGTTTTAGAACCAACCTTTATGTATAATCTAAGAAATGAAATAATTCAATTCAATCTAGAGGCTACCTATGAACCAAAGGATAATCCACCAATAGTTACATCAACAGATTATTCAATGGAAACTCAAACTTTAGAATTGTATGGAACTTTTGGACCACTTTTCAACTTTCCTTTGATTATAAAAGTATCAAATTTAACTTGTCGAATTGTAACGTCATCGGTATCACTGATGAAATGTGAATTGGATACAGTTCCAAAACCTGGACCAGCAACATTATTTGTTAGTATTGGAGGTTTTGATTTTATATCTTCAAGTTTATTATATTTTCAACCAAATAGTGATAATAGTGGTTCAAGTACAACAACTACAACATCATCTACTACTGGAGGAAGTAAAGAAACACCTCAACAAATATGTTCAAGATTAACATATAATTGTTATGGACATGGACAATGCGATAATAATGGTATTTGTCAATGTAATGAAAATTATAATCAAATTGATAATTGTTTAACTAAATGTAAAGATAACAAAAAAAGAAACAAAATAGAAATATAAAACTTTTATTTACTTTTTTTTTTTTTAATTTTTTTATAGATATAAATACAACAATTAAACCAAATACAACCAATCCAACAGTATCATTTGATATTGATGGTATTGATTTTCAATTTGAAATTTATTCAATTCAAGAATTGGATTATGATGGTTCAATTTTACAAGAGTTGTTATTAACAAATCAAACATGGAATGTTTCAATCAATACTGATAATATTACAACTTTTGCAAATTATCAACTTTTCTTGGGCAATGATTCAATTTACGAAACACTTTTGGTATCTTCAGATTTATCATTCTCTTCGATAGGTCGAAATGTAATATTTGGTGATACAGAGTTGGTATTAGTACCAAATGCAATCAAGGTTGGATTTTCTATTTCAAATTGGCAATATCAATCAAATGTTGCAACACTTAGGGCCGTATTCAAATCTATAATCAATAATAATCAAACAATCTCTGTTGATTGTGATAACCAACAACAATCAATTGATAGTTTTACAAAGGATCAATTATCAGAATCAATTCAATACCTAAGGGTGGTAAAAGATAATATTCAATTTAATGGTCGGTTTATTGATTTTGTATTATCTGATGGTAGAAAGACCTATTCAAAAACAGAATTAATATCTCTTACACCAACTAATAATGATCAATCAATTGCATTAATTGGTATCAACTTGCCTCAATGTAAATCATGTCAATTGGATCCAGATTTTACACCATTAATAATTGAAAAGAATAATGATAATTGTTCATCACCATCAAAAACATGGAGAATCATTGTTGGTGTTGTAGTTGGTGGAGTTGCAGTGGCAGCAGTAGCAATTGGTACAATCATTTTAATTAAAAAGAAAGTTGCCAAAAAACATTATGAAAGTAAACTAAACAAATTAAATGTAAATTAAACAAATAAAAAAAAAAAAAAAAAACCTACTTGTAATATATTATAAATTTAAAAATACAAACATATCTATCTTGTTTATTCAGAGGAACTTTTATTTAATTTATGTAATTGATTGTTGTAATGTTTTTTTGATGCTTTCTTTTTAATTAAAATGATTGCACCAATTGCAACAGCAGCCAAACCAACACCACCAACTACAACACCAACAGCAATTTTCCAAGTGTTTGATGGTGATGAACAATCATTACTGTCATTTTCAATTAATAATGGTGTAAAATCTGGATCCAATTGACATGATTGACATTGAGGCAAGTTGATTCCAATCAATGCAATTGATTCATCTGAACTGCTGTCACTAGGTGTCATAGATATTAATTCTGTTTTAGAGTATGCCTTTTTACCATCTGATAATACAAAATCAATAAACCGACCATTAAATTGAATATTATCTTTGATAAATCTCAAGTATTGAATTGATTCTGATAATTCATCCTTTGTAAAGCTATCGATTGATTGTTTTTCACAATCAAATGTGATTGATTGATCATTGTTGAGGGTAGATTTAAATACTACTCGAAGTGTTGCAAGGTTTGATTGGTATGGCCAACGATTGATAGTAAATCCAATCTTGATTGCACCAGGTGCAAGAGCCAATTGAGTATCACCAAATGTAACATTTCTTTTCATAGAAGAGAATGAAATCTCTGAAGATACCAAAAGTGATTGATACATTGAGCTATTATTTCCCAATAATAATTGATAATCTACAAAAGTTGTAATATAATTGGTTGAAATGGAAACATTCCATGTTTGATTTGTTAATAACAACTCTTTCAATATTGAACCATCATAATCCAATTCTTGAATTGAATAAATTTCAAATTGAAAATCTATACCATCAATATCAAATGATACTGTTGGATTGGTTGCATTTGGTGTTATATTTGTATTTATATCTAAAAAAAATAAATAAATAAATAAAATAATAAATTAATAAATAATGTTATGTTATTTCTATTTCTTTTTTTTTTCTATTTACATTTTGTTAAACAATTATCAATTTGATTATAATTTTCATCACATTGGCAAATACCATTAATATCACAATAACCATGACCATAACAATTATATGTTAATCTTGAACATACTTGTTGATTTGTTTCTCCTCCATTTGTTGTTGTACTTGAACCAGTTGTTGAACCATTATTATTATTATTATTATTTGGGAAATATAATAAATTTGATGAGGTAAATTCTAAACCACCAATATTAACAAATAATGTTGCTGGTCCAGGTTGTGGAATTGAATCAAGATTACATTTAATAAGTGATGAACTGATTATATCAATTTTACAATTGATAGTATTGGATACAGTAACAATACTCAGTGGATTAATAGGTCCATAATTTCCATACAATGTCAATGTTCTATTTTCTATAGTATAATTTGCAGATGTTACTGTTGGATAATCTAAATAAATAAAAAAAAGTTAATATCTATCTATCTATATTTGTATCCAAAAAAAATAAAAAAAGAACCTACAATCTAAAAAAAAATATCTTTTGTTAATTATATATAAATATTATTTATGATTATATTACATACTAAAATTATTACTAAAATGATCTTGATAATATTGATTATAAACTTTAAATTTATAGGATGGAGAGATTCTAGTAGTATTTGGGAATAAACAGGTTAAACTACTTGGTGTTTGGTTGATGACAGTACAATTGGTATTCGAGTCTGTAAACAGTACACTATGATTGAGATATGAATTGAATGCACTAAATTGAACCTGTAATTTGTGAGTACCATTGGCACTGAGAAGAATACTTGAAAAGTAGGCATCAATGGCGGCTTCAACTATCGAAAATGTTACATTCTTTGCACCCAATGGATAAAACGTTATATTATAGTCTCTTGGAGGACCAGTAAAATATGTTTGGGTGAATCTAATTTGTTTGTTTGGAATAAATGGAAATGCTTTTGGATTACCATATCCATACCCAATATTATTACCTTTTACAATAAATACTCCAAAAATTGAATATAAATTATAACTATCAAATGTTATATCTACAAATATAAAAAAAGGTTAAAATAAATTAAATCAAATATATATATATATGTTTTTTGACATACCACAAATAAAACTAGAAGGAGGGGCAACAGGTACTTTAATTTTTGGATTATTATCACCATAGTAGCAATAGAAACAATCAGGAACCGATGATATAGTGGTATTTTCAAGATTGACTCTTGAATACTCACACCAACTATCTGGAATATCAATTTGCAAATTAGGATTGTTTGATAGATCCAATTCAAATACACCATTTATATTTTGAAATATTTCAATTGGGAATCTATTTATAAGATTATTGTTTTTCATATCACTAAAAATAAAAAATAAAAAAGGTAAATATTAAAACAAATATTTAATTGTTTTTTGTAACATACAATATTGTGAGCGATGAAGGAACTGGGATAGTTGGAAGAGAACTTGCAAAATTAGCATTATTCAATTTGAATGTTGTTAGAGCTGAAGGAAATGCTGTAAATGGGTAGGTTGTAAGTAAAGGTATATCTATTCCCCTAAAATAATAAATAATAGAATAGAAATAAAATATTTAGTACAAATGATTAATTAATATAAAATTAATATTTACATTTCAGATAAAGATAAGAATTCTTTAAAATCAGTACCAGGGAGAATAAATTGACCCATCAATTCTAGAGTCTTTAATCCAGTCAGGTTTCCAAGTACAAGGAGTGAAGGAGTGGACATGACACGGACGATATATCTAGATACGAATTAATAAAGAAAATTAGTTATTTTTATATATATAGTAATTTCCTTTTTTCAAGTACATACACTGTCTCGATGACCTTACTATTCACAATAAAGGTTGTATTATGTAATGATAAAAGAGTCATACTAATTAATTTTAAAACAATGGAAGAGAGGGTTATTATTTGTGATCAAGATACATTAAAATAGTAAAAGACATACAGATATTTTAGAGATGGGAATGACTTTTCTTGAATGTCAATAGTGATTGGAGGTAGCGAAGTGATTGATAATACAACAGCCTTTAAATTTGGTAGATTGAGTGTAGAGTCGATTGTAATGTTACCAAAAATAACACCATCCAAATCAATGGCAGATGCAATCGAGTTGTTAAAGAATGTTGGACTGTTAATTGAAAGGTATGGTGGACTGCTGATCAATCTAAAGAGAATAAAAGATAAATATTAATTAATATTCTCTTTCAAAACTCGACCAACTAGTAATTTACATACATTTTATCCAAAGCTGGCAAGTTGTTTGGAAAATTAAAAGGAATATTTTTAATCGAAGAGTCATTTGTCAATCTAAATAAAATATTATATTAATATTGATTGATACTTTGGTTAATCAATCAATCAATCAATCAATCTCTCCTTTTCTTTTTAATACATACTCTAATTTAGTTAAGGTTGGCATATTCCAAATACGATCCAAGATATTCAAGTCTGGGTTCTTTGTTCCATCAGCAATGATAGACAATGAAGCCAACTTTGGAAAATCTAATTGTTGTAGATTGGGATCGGGTTGTCCCATCAAGTCAGAATAAGATTGAGATATATGACTTGAAAAGGGTAACAATCAAAGAAAAAAAGGGTTAGTATAAAGATATAGTGATATAATAATATAATCCTTGGTTTGTACAAAACATAACATACATTTCAGTAATATGGTCTACACCAGGTGTAATAGGATCCTGTTGACATTTGACAGCACTGATATAAGATCCATTGCAAATGGTTTGATCAAGAGGTAACATACTTTGTCCATATTGCAATATCAAGAATTGAATTGATGCCACTATATATATAGGTAGGTAGTGAGATATAAACAAATAATTAGTATACAACCCAACAACTTAATGAAAAATATAAAATAATAATAATGAAATCTTACATTCAGAGGGTGATAGTAATGCAAATACTGTTGTACAAAATGCAACCAATAAAAAAAGTATAGATTGTATAATCTTTATCATGATCGTATTATTATTATTATTATATTTGTTTTTGTTTAGTAGTAAGCAAACAAGCAAGCAATTTACTACTAACTACTTGTTGTTGTTGACTCCATTTAGCTACCATCTTTTAATCACGTGATAGATACTTTCATTGATCTTAACCACTAGATAATACGGGGTTTATAAAAATGAAGGAAAGATCTTTGTTACCCTTCTAAAAAAAGATGGGGCCATCTTTGAAATTGAATGTAGTGTACACCCGTAAATATCGCCCTTTATTTTATTTAAATTGATTTAATTTTTGGGCCATATCTTTATGATATTTATGGCTTTTTACTTTCTTTTTAATTAATATTACAGTCGCTATTGTCAGGGCTACTAATCCAATACCTCCTGCTACCGTACCAACAATGATTTTCCATGTGTTTGATTGTGATGAACATTCATTATTATCATTATTCTTGTCAATTAATAATGGTGTAAAATCTGGATCTAATTGACATGATTGGCATTGAGGTAGATTGATTCCAATTAATACAATTGATTGTTCATCACCATTGGTATTGTCATTAGTTGGTGTTAGAGATATTAATTCTGTTTTTGAATATGTCTTTCTACCATCAGACAATACAAAATCAATAAACCGACCATTAAATTGAATATTATTTTTTACAACTCGAAGGTATTGAATTGATTCTGATAACTCTTCTTTTGTAAAACTATCAATTGATTGTTTTTCACAATCAAACAAGATTGATTGATCATTATTCATGATTGATTTGAATACAACTCGGAGTGTTGCAAGGTTTGATTGGTATGACCATCCATTGATTGTAAATCCAATCTTGATTGCATTTGGAGCAAGAACCAATTCAGTATCACCAAATGTAACATTTCGTTGAATTGATGAGAATGATATATCTGAAGATACCAAAAGTGATTGATACATTGAATCATTACCCAAGATAAGTTGATAGTTGGCAAGTGTTGTAATATTATCAGTATTGATTGAAACATTCCATGTTTGATTTGTTAATAACAACTCTTGTAAAATTGAACCATCATAATCCAATTCTTGAATTGAATAAATTTCAAATTGAAAATCAATACCATCAATATCAAATGATACTGTTGGATTGGTTGTATTTGGTTTAATTGTTGTATTTATATCTAAAAAATAAATCAAAAAAAAAAGTAAATAAAAGTTTTATATTTCTATTTTGTTTTTTTTTTATACTTTACATTTAGTTAAACAATTATCAATTTGATTATAATTTTCATCACATTGACAAATACCATTAGTATCACAATAACCATGACCATAACAATTATATGTTAATCTTGAACATTTTTGTTGAGGTGTTTCTCCTCCGTTTGTTGTAGTTGAACCAGTTGTTGAACCATTATTATTATTTGGTTGGAAATATAATAAATTTGAAGATGTAAATTCAAAACCTCCAACACTGACAAATAATGTTGCTGGTCCAGGTTGAGGTGTTGAAGCTAATTTACATTGTAAAGTTGTTTCATTAATCGATGTAGCATTACAATTAATAGTACCAGCTACAGTTACAATCAATGGTGTAAAATCTGGTGGACCATAATATCCATAAAATGTCAATGTTTGATTATCTGATAAATAATCTGCTGATGATACAATTGGATAGTCTAAAAATAAATATTAACATTAGTATCTTATCAATCTATTCCTTTCTCTCTTTATTTAATACATACAAACTAAATTTACAGTTGAAATGATTGAATGATATTGATTAGATATATTCAAAGATAGGTTTGGTGAAATTGGGGTGGTTTTTGGGAGTAAACATGTAAGAGAATTTGATGTTTGATTGAATACTGTACAAATAGTGTTGGACTTTGTAAATTGTACTAGGTGAGTGAGGAATGAATTAAAATAACTAAATTGGAGATACAAATGGCTATCACTGCCGCTCCTACCAATCGAGCTTTTTTCGAGAAACATACCAGCCTCGACCATTGTAAATGTTACATTTTTTGTACCCGAGGGGTAGAATGTTAAATTGTATGGTCGAGGGGGACCAACCACATACGAGTCCAAAGTATACTGAAGCAATCTATTTGGAACAATAGGTATTGCAATATTTGGGTATCCCCAACCAATATTTTTACCCTCTACAAAAAATACCTTCATAATTGATACCAAGTTATATCTAACAAATGTAATATCTAAATAAATAAATAGTAAATTTAAATTTAGTTAGCAAGTGAGTGAGAGAGGAGAATCATTTTGTTTTAATTAAATTTTTAATACATACTACAAGTAAAAGGTGGTTGAGGAGCAGCAGCAGTACCAATCTTGATTGAGGTATCACCATTACCATAATAACATTGAAAACATTCTGGAGCAGAGTTGACAATTGTATTTTCAACATTGACCATACCAAACTGACACCAATACTCTGGAATATCACCAACTACAAGATTTTGGTTGTTGTCAAGACCCAATTTAAATCCAGTTGGTGCATTCTGAAATACTGTATGTGGTAGGTTTCCAACTAAATCACTATTTGATAAGATACTAAAAGAAATATGAAAACAAGTTAGACATTAATATTATTAATTTTTTAATTATATTTTTTTGAAATACTTACAAGGTAGTAAGATTAGAGGGAATGGGAAGAGTTGGCAATTTAGTATTAAAGGATGCACCTGAAATTGTCAAAGCTTCCAATGCAGTTGGAAATGCAGTAAAAGGATACGAATTTAATGATGACATTGATAAATATCTATAGATATATAAATATATATTTGAATTAGAATAATAAGTTTAAAAACATTATATTATTCAAATACATACATATTTTTTAAATGTATACAATCTTTGAGATCACCAGTAAATGTTATTGAACCACTTAATTGGATATTTTCCAATGAAGAATTTAGATTTGGTCCTATAATCACATTAGATGATCCAAATGATCTATTGATACTCCTAATAATAATAATAATAATCACGAATAGATTAGTATACAAATGACTTTTAGTTTGTTTTTTGTTTTCTATCTAAAAAACATACAATCCTTTGATTTTAGAAGAATTGACAGTTATAACGCTAAGAAATCCTTCAATTTCTAATCCACTATAGTATTTAAAAATATATTAAATTAATATTGATTCAATAAGTTATTGAACAATTTATAAATGTACATACATAAATTCCAATAAAGGGAAGGAATTTGATTGAAAGTTTAGATTAATGGGTGGATTGGCTATTAAGGCCAAACCTTGAAGCTTGGTTAGTTTTGGTAAATAAAGAGATTCGTCGATTGTTACGCCACTAAAAATAACTTGATCAAATTTTAAGACCGATATATTAGAGTTGTTAAAAAATGTGTTACTATAAATTTCGTCTTGAATATCAGATATGGCAAATTCCGATAGCGCAGGTAAATTCTTTGGGAACAGAGAAGGAATAGATGATATTGTTTCATCTCCACCAATTCTAAAAAAACAATTAATTAATTAATAAGTCAACAAATGGTGTAGTCTAAAACTAATGAAACTTACAATATTGTTTTGAGTAGTGGAAGATCAGACAATAGATCCAAAATATTTATACTTGCATTCTGGACTCCATTGGTCGGTGAAATTAACAAAGAAGTTAACTTTGGTAGATCTAATCTTTGAAGACTTGCATCTAGATTTGACAAGCTTACATATGTTTGATTAAAATTCCTACAATTTGTTTTAGAAAAAAAAAAAAAAATTAATCAAAAAGAAGAATCTCTTTGAAAAGATAAAGATGAAAGATTCATTCTACATACACCGCAGAGATATGGTCTACTCCATTTGAATCGGTTGTACAAAAAACCCAACCAGAATATGTTTTATTACAAATGGATTGATCCATTTGAGGTAATTGACTCTGTCCATACTGTTGAATCAAAAATTGAAGTGATGCCACTAAAGCAAAGTATAGTAGTGAGATATAAGATAAATAAATAGGTAAATGATAAAATCTACCAATAATAATATATTATTTAATGAAATCTTACATTCTGATGATGGTAACAATGCCACTGAACCGATAATAACAAGAGATAGTATAATAAATACTCTTGTTAAAATAAATATAAATGGTTTCATTATTACTACTGTGTGCTAACTAACAACTAATAAACTACAATTATTATTATTATTATTAACTACCTGTGTGATAGAAATACAATAATGATGGTGGAATGTCGCGCAGAGGATGGATGTACGATGGAATAACAAAAAAGATCTTTGACCTACGGACTACCCTTACAGGTCGAGCCCGTCTACCGTTAAATATCCCATGCCGTAAATTGTGGCATGATTCCTTGATTTACGGCATGGGAATTCTACATAAAAAAATATCTTCTTGGTACCAGCCGATCCGTCACGGATGACGGATGGGCAATACGAGCCCTTCAACTTTCAAAAGATGAAAGAAGATATCTCGAAAATAGTACCTGCCAACTTCATTCTTTTCTTTACATGTTAAGACAATCAATTATCTCTCTGTAACACTCTGAGCTAGGGAAATGAGAGTGTTGAAGATTAATGTAATATGTAATGAGATTAATGCGTCTGAAATATCTTGTCTTGGTAAGGGTTGTTTAGTCTGGTAAATCAGATACATGTAATACAAGTGGTCATTCAACCAATGCAGCAACCATAACCACAGCTCCTCTGTTGTTGTAATTAAAAGACGCGAACAAGCGTTTAATCGTCATTGTGTATTTAAATATATCAAATTTTCTTTAAAGTCTATTATTATAAATAAGTTATAAGTGTCTTTTAACTTAACTTCACTTCCTTCTTCTTTATTGTTCTCTCTACATGATCATATACAATTATTCTAATAATGATTATCAAATTATTTATAACTCTACTGTCTCAATCACACAACTTTTTTTTTTTTAATTTTTTTAATTTTTTTTTGGAGGGGGTCCTCACAAAGTCAGGTTTTTGATGTTCATGATGATTTAGATTAACCTTATCAACAACAAAGAGAGTAGCGGTAGCGATAGAGAGAGATGTATAGAAATATTCTTATTTGTTTGGTCGTTGCCTTGTTTGCAATCGTAGCAGTGTCTGCTTCAAGTGCCACCGTCGGTGGTAAAAAGACTCTTGTATTGATTAACAATCAAAACATTAAGCAAACACACTCCAAGTTCTTTAAATATCTTGATGGTATGTTAGTTTGAAACTATACAATACAACTATACAATACTAATCATACTACTCTATACATTAATTATATCACTATTATTACAGGTAAAGGATACCAATTGGAATATAAGCGTGTCGATGACGAAACCATCAAATTACAGAAATATGGAGACTTTAACTATGACAATTTGATCATTCTTACAAACTCTAACTCTGATGGTATGTAGAAGAGAACCAAGCAGTTGATTTACAGACCAACAGATATTAACAACACATTATATATATACAGAATTATCTTTGACAGGTGGAGATTTGGTTGAATTTGTTGATAGTGGACGTAATGTATTCATTGCTACTACCAATCAAGTATCAGAATCAATTCGTGATGTTGCCTCTGAATGTGGTATTGAAATTCAAGATGACAACACTATTGTCTATGATCATTTCAACTTTGACAAGGTATGATATGATAGAGATAGATATATTATCATGACTTGTTGATTATTAATACATGTATAATTTCTTTAATCTATAGTCTGAATCAACTCACAACTTAATTGTTGCTGATCAATTCATCAAGGATTCACCAATCATTCTTCAAGGAGCTGACAAGAACCCAGTATTATTCAAGGGTATCGGTCATCAACTCCGTGACAATCCATTAAACTTTGCTGTTCTTTCAACAGCCTACACTGCATACTCTGGCAAGCTCAATGGACAATCCACCAAGCTCCAAGGAAAGATTGGTTTGGTATCTTCATTGCAAGCCCGTAACAATGCCAGATTCACCTATTCTGGTTCTTTGGATCTCCTCAGTAACAAGTTTTATGAAGCAAAGATTAATTCTGATTCGTATGTATAAAAAAGAAAAGAAAAGAGATTAAAGAAAGATATCATTTATTTATTTATTTATTTTACTTTTTTTTTTTTTAGACCATCTGGAAACCAACAATTTGTAGAAAATTTAATTTCATGGACTTTCCAAGATAGAGGTATTCTCCGTACATCTAACCGTGTTATTACCAAGGGTAACGAGACCAACCCATTCCAATACACCATCAAGGATGTCATTACCTACTCGATCAAGGTTGAAGAGTTTGTCAACGGTCAATGGGTTCCATACGTCGACACTTTGGAGTTCCAATTGATCATGTTGGATCCATACATTCGTACCTTTATCAAGGGTGACAAGGATGGTGTCTACACCCTCACCACCAAGCTCCCAGATCACTTTGGTGTCTACACCTTTGAAGCATCTGTTCACCGTCCAGGCTATGGTAACCTCGTCGACTTTACTCGTCACGGTATTGCCCCACTCCGTCACAACGCCTATGAAAGATTCGTACCAGCTGCCTATCCATACTATGCTGCTGCCTTTTCAATGATTGGTGGTGTCTTTGTATTGAGTATTGTATTCTTATTCCATCAAGATCCAAAGAGAATCCTCTAAAAAAAAAAAAACAACAAAGTTTAAATAATCAAATCGAATCAAATAATTTTATTTAAATAAACAAATAAATAACAAAAAAATATATAATAACAATAATAATAATATAATATAAATAATATAATATTTATGAAATTTGATTTATCTTTTTATTTATTTATTTGTTATTTATTATTTATTTATTATTTACAATTATTATTTCCCTTTCTGTGTGTTTAGTATTAATTAATATTTATATTGTTTAACCATTGATTATATATTTGATCTTTTTTAACATGATTATGGTTGCTGTTGTATCCATGTTGTTGATGCTGTTGTGGTTGAATATATTTTTCTGATTGTTGTTGTTCAGTCAATTTAGTATAATCGAAACCATTTTCAACAAGATGTTTAGTATTTTTTTTAGATTGAAGAGTCATTAATTGACCCATGAATAAAAGACTTGAACATTGAGTTGAATTATTTTCATCCAAAGTAAAATAAATCAATTCATAATTGTAACCGTCAACAACATCCTTGCAAATGTATTTTGATGGTTGTGATATTTCTATTCTTAGTACCAATGGATACTCATCCAAGAATTTAGAAACATTAAACTTTGGTAAAGAGAATCCAGTTGCCATGAGTTGATTGGTAGATTGATCAATCCATACTACAAACATGGGAAGTCCAGATAACCCATAAACACCAACATATAATTCTCTTGGGTCATCATTGGTTGTATGTTGTTTTTGTTGTTTTAGTTGATTTTGTTGAAGAGGTGATTGTTGTTCCAATAATAGAGTTTGATAAACTGGTAATAATATATCCATTGCAGCTTGTGTAAATACATCTGGTGTATTTAAATTCAACATTGCTGAAAAGAATAGACCTAGTTTATACTGCTTTGCCAATAGAATCTGTGATCGTACACCTACGTGAACACCATGTTTTCCTTTTAACCAAACTTGGTTGGTTTGATCATAGTACATTTCAAATGGTGTCCCGTAAGCAGACTCACCATCATTTACTAGATTAATAGCTGACAACGCTTCATTTATCGTTGAACTTGCTAATACTTTTGGTGTTGTATTATTTTTTAATACAACCATTTCTTTAACCTCCTTATTTTGTTGTTTTGATGATTTCTTTTCTTTTTTTTCTTTTTTTTCTTTTTTGTCTTTTTTTTCTTTGTCTTGGTCTTGGTATGTATTAATGATACCGAAATCATTATAATCATCAGTTGATAACCAAAAAGCAATGAATTTAGACATGTCACGAGTGGTTGCAAATAGTCCACCGGCAGGACCAGCCCATCCGATGGGAGGAGGTGGTGTCTCAATGTAGGAACCGTTAGGGAGTAGTGTGAGACCTATTGCCAATGTTGGAAGTGCTTGTTTGAATGAAAAGGTGCTATTGTGCATGTCGAGAGGTTCGAGAATATTCTTTTTCACGTAGGTATGGTATGGTTGCGATGCTGCTCGAGCTAGTGCATGTCCGAGCATTGATATACCGAGATTAGAGTAATGTGTCACCGAGTATTGTGGCAACACGAGGAACATCTTGGACAACATCGACAAGATCATTTCCTCGGTGCATTGACTTCCCAGTCCGGCACACGGCAACTCTCTTGGAAGACCAGACTGATGTGAAGACAACTCTCTCAATGTAATCTTTCGAGATTGTTTGTAAGGATCGAGAATTGAAAACTCTTTAATATAGTCGGTCACTGGATCATCCAATGATTGAATCAATCCTCTATCTCTCATTTGGAACATCATCAAATCAGTAAATACCTTTGTTACACTTGCTACTGCTATACTATAGAAATATAAAAACTATAAGTACCTTTATATTCTATATACTGTACTATATACTTACTGACTATCAATAGTAAGAGGAGGAGAAGTATCATTGAGTGGATTTTGAACTCCATAAGTCTTTGACCAAACCATTTCATCACGATATACAATACTTGCTACAAAGCTCTTAATTCCATTTGCACTCATCTGTTTCTGTATCATCTGATCTACCAACAAGTAAGCATTCTGTAGTCTAACATCACTCTGATCCAATTCGATTGGAATAGGGTAATCTGGGCATCTAATAGATTAGATTTGATTTAATTTGATTAGATTAGTAGGTGTCAACAGATTAATAAACATTGAACATACCCATGAATGATATCAAAGCCCAATAAAGCAGCAATGATTAAACAAACAATTAAGAGAGAAAGAGGTTTGGATACCATCTTTGTTTAGATTCTAAATCGTATGAATGCAATGATTGCTGATTTGCAGGTCATATGATGTGTGTTTTTTTCATTGTTGAAACATCCTATAATTTATCGATAGTAAATTAGTGTATTATGGTTGTTATACTTATCACACACATATGTCTCGTTGTTATATGCCCTTCATTAAATAGATGATATAGTTGGTGACGGTTTCCTTTTACTCTCTTGTTCAATTTGAGTATTATACTTTGGAAGTTCTATTTCTTTTGAAAAGCGAATTTGTTGGAAAAAGAGAGGGAAGAGAGAAATTAATGAAAGAAAGGTTTTGAATGATACACCACATTTAGCAAAGAAGCAAAACAATCAAAAGATAGATAGATAAATATACACTTATGTCTATGATAGATAGAGAGACAAATAGATAGATTGAAAGATAGATATTGTTATGAATCCATCGAGATTGGATATATATATTATAATATACTTACTACATATTGCTAGATAGCATAGACAACACAACAACGAGCATTCCAACAAGAAAGAAAACAACACAGACAACTAATAAACTAATAACAATAACAAAAAAGTGAAGCGAATCAGTCGATTCTTTGGGATATATTCATCACCACCGTCATCACAATCAACATCATCTGATATTATACCTCATCTAGAAAAAGAAGAGGAAGAAAACAATAGTGATATTAATACACAAACCAACTCACAACAAGACAAGAAAGTGGCAGTAGGAGGAAACGATAAGATGGTATATGATACCGACTCTGTAGATTCAGAACCAGATGATGACAAAGACGTAGTGTCTGTCGTTTCTTCCTCCTCATCATCGAGAAAAACAAATACACCAAAAAAGAAAGAAGATAAATCATCCTTCTTTACATTCTCGGATGGTGAAAAAGACAAGAGCTCTACGGTTATTGTAACACCTGAAAAGCCATTGGTCAAGAATGACATGTCTGCGAAATCAGTATACTCATTTTTCGATACCAAACCACCAATGCATTGCAATCTTAATGGAGGGAGCAGTCACAACCCCTCCTCCTCCTCCTCCTCATCCTCCTCCACCAAAGATTCTGCCATTCATATCAAAGTGCCAGATGTTGTCAAAGATCATCAGATGCAGCGGTCGTTGTCAGGAAACAAAAACTATAACTTTGAAAAGGCTCAATCAAAATATAACTCTATAATATTACCAAAAAAATCCAACAACTCTTCCTCCTCATCTTCATCCTCCTCCTCCTCCTCCTCTAAACAAACATCAATGGATTTGACAACTGAAGAAGAAGTAGAGGAAACAGAGGAATCGATTCAGCAATCTTTAACCTCAATGTTGGGAAACAATCGTAGTTTGATGACATCGACTGTTGACAAGATACCCTTTAGAAACTTTAAATTGTATTCAAATAGTGATGGAACAGCCTATTCAGGAGGTATATTTATACATGACCAACACACCTTTATCATGTTTGACGCTGGAAATGGCAATCTCAAAAACTTGGGCGTCTTTTGTCACAAACACATTGAATCTACACCGATTCGCATGGACGGTGTATTCCAATTTAAACTCAAGTATATTGTATTCTTGATGAATGGGGTTTACAATCTTGCAAAGGATGGATTCACACTGCGGTTTACATTGATCAACGGAGGTGATGGTGCAGAGGCTAAATTCAAACAAAGAGGTATTCGCATTCAACGTGTTCAAGCTATTGAAAAGTTGGGTGAAGCCTTTAACAACTCTCCTTGCTTTCCAAACCGATCCACATTTCGTCGCGACATGATTAGAAATCCATTGGGTTCCATAACCAAGAGTTATACACCTTCATATATCTCCTCCTCCTCCTCCTCCTCCTCCTCCTCCTCCTCCTCTTCATCTTCCAACAAAAACCACACAATTGATAGACGACGACATTAAAAAAATGGGAAAACTAGTAGAAGAAAAGATGTATCCGGAAACAGCACCAGCAACAACAAAGACTAGGAGTAACAAAGCAAGAGAGGTGATTGATAATTTAGACAATGACGAGTATGGTGTCTATGGTAGAGATAGAGGAGAGTATTCAAAACCAACCAAAGATGTTTACCCAGATGAAATTATGATGAAATATCCTTACGAAACGGATGAATCTCAAATTACAATCATCCGAAATGATATGGCTAGATTAAAAGATGGAGAATTTCTAAATGATTCAATTATTGAATTTTATATGAGGTAATAGAAATTAATCAATACAACAAAGTTATCAACTATAAACTAACGAACCTCTAAACTTTAAATAATTATGTAGATATATTAAAGATAGATATGTTGCCAAGGATTTAAAAACATTCTTTTTCAATTCATTCTTTTTTAAAAGATTGACAGACAAGAGAAATATTCAAGATGGTTACAATGAAGTTAAAAAATGGTCGAGAAATGAAGATCTATTTGATAAAGATTTTATTTTTATTCCTATTAATGAACAGTATGTAATTTAAAGACATATTGAACAAATGATAGTAGTTTATTAATAATTATTTATTTATAGTTTACATTGGAGTTTGGTAATTGTATGTTATCCAGGAAATGACCCTGAAAAATCAAAACCAGATTATCAACCACAACTTTTATATTTTGATTCATTATTTAAAAAATCTACACATGATAGTTATTCAAAAAAGTATGTACAAAAAATAATATTATTTATTTATTTATTTTTTATTTATTTATATTTATTGATTTACTATTTTATTTAATTTTGATATTTTAGGATTAGGGGATATTTAACACATGAATGGAAACATAGAAAACTAGGGAAACCATTAAAGGAAGGATCAGAGGATGTATTCCAAGAAAAGATATTTACAGAAGACAATCTACCATTTTTGGCACCACATGTTCCAAACCAATCAAATTATTATGATTGTGGTGTCTTTTTACTTCACTATATCGAATTGTTTTGTAAAGCACCAAAAAGAGGAGTATGTTAAACATATTAACATATATATATATATATATTGGTTGCTCACTACTAATTCGATAACTTTTTATTAGATACAAAGCGAAAATCCTGCATGGTTTAGAACAAACGAGATACCTAAAAAGAGAAAAATGTTGAAATCACTCATCTATAAATTGAGAAAGGAACAAAATCCAAACGCAGACTCTGAAGAGGAGGAAGACAAGTTTAGATTGGTCATTGTTACGAGGAATCCAATTCCTGAATCACAACCAGATACAAGTAGCCTTGAAATTCTATCAAGTCTAGAGTATCGAACGGCAATGAGTATTGCTCAATCAAATGGTCAAGATAAAATAGAAGAGGAAAAACAAGAAGATATAGAAGAGGCAGAAAAGGAAAAGAAGAAAAAGACAAGCGACAAGGAAGACGAGGAGGAGGACGACGACGTAAAGGTCAACAAAAAGAGAGTAACAAAAAAGGATGATGATCATTGTACAGAAGATGAAATTAGTTTTTCAGATAGAGATTCTCCAGATACGCCAACTAGTAACAACAACGAAATTATCACTCCTGCAACCAGACGAATAGTTGCAAAAAACACAGACAGTAGTAGTAGCGACAATGAAAATGAAAACCTTGTAAAAAAGTTTGAATCGAAATCAACTCGTGAATCAATGTCACCACCACCACCAACATCACAACCAAAAGAAAAGGAAAAGAAAGGAGATGGAATGGAAATTGATGATACACAGTCTAGTTTTGAATTTGAATTTAGCCCACCTCCAAAACCTCGACCATCTCCAGAACCACCAGTCAAACCCGCGGCTGGACTCAAATCAAAACAATCACCCAAACAAAAACCAGCGGAGCCATTTACAAAACCTCCAGCTCGATACCAATCTTCATCCTCTTCTGCTTCTTCTTGCTCTGAATCATCTGGAGATGATAATGAAAAGAAAAAGAAAAAGTCATCAACAACAACCAAAAGAAAGAAACCAGAGCCTAAAACAACTAAAAAGGCTGTATCACCACCCCCTTCATCAGAGTCAGAGCCTTCTTCTTCTTCATCAGAATCATCATCTGAATCAGAAGATGATAAAAAGAAAAAGAAAAAGAAAAAGAAACCAACAACCACAATTAGATCAAGTGGGAGTGTATCAAATAACAAGAAACAAGAAAAAGAAAAGGAAAAAGAAGTACCAAACAAGAAAAAGAAAACAGAAACAAAAATCAAAATCAAAAGTCAACTATAAAAAGAAATCAAAGGATGCTAATAGTGATGGTGATGAAGACTCTGATGGTGACATTAAAATTCGTGAAGACAAACCACCAACTCCACCAAATATTACCACCATTAGTGACGACGATGATGACAATAATAATGGAGCTCAGTTGACCAAACCAAAATCAAGAAATGGAAAACCAGTACCTCCACCATCAAAAAAGCTCACAAATATAGATTTGTCAGATATGGATGCTGAACTAGAGGAAGACTTTAAGAAAAAGAAATAATAATAATAATAATAATAACAATCAATCATTTCACTATTATACTTTATTCATTCAATTAGAATTAATTCATTTTAATTCCTAACTGTTTGATATATTATACCAAAACAATAAATAAAAAGTATATTTATTAATATTACAAGTTAATCTCTTGATTTATTTAGTGAACTGAGTCGATTTTCATAGGTTTGGGCTATAGATTTCTTTTTAATGAGAATAATAGAGCCGACAGCAATGGCAATCAAAGCGACTCCACCAACCACTACTCCGACAATGATTTTCCAAGTGTTTGATTGTGACTCTTTGCACCCACTGTCACCTCCCTTATCGATCAACAATGGCGTAAAGTCTGGATCTAATTGGCACGATGAACATTGAGGTAGGTTGATTCCAATCAATGCAATTGACTGATCATCTGAATTGTCAATTGGAGTAGATGATATTAATTCTGTTTTTGAATAGGTTACTCTACCATCCGATACAACAAAATCAATAAATCTTCCACTGAATTGGATATTATCTTTGACAACTCTTAGGTATTGAATTGATTCTGATAATTCGTCCTTTGTAAAACTATTAATTGATTGTTTTTCACAATCAAATGTGACTGATTGATCATTGTTGATGATTGATTTGAAGACAACTCGAAGTGTTGCAAGGTTTGAAGTGTATGACCAATTACCAATTGTAAAACCAACCTTGATTGAATTGGGTGCTAGGTCCAAATTACGATTACCAAATGGAATGGTTCTAGCAATCGATGAGAATGAAACTTGACTCTCTACAACCAAGCTACTAAACAATGAATTGTTGGCAACAATTTGAGTAGTGTTGAGAGTATAGTCGGCGGTAGTTGTAATATTATCTGATGAAACTGAAACATTCCATGGTTGGTTCAATAATAAAATCTCTTGCAATACTGACGAACTATCATAATCCAATTCTTGAATTGAATTAATTTCAAATTGAAAATCTATACCATCAATATCAAATGATACTGTTGGATTGGTTGCATTGGGTGTTATATTTGTATTTATATCTAAAATTAGATTAATAAATTAAATTAAATTAATGTGATTTCTATTTCTATTTCTTTATACCTCTTTTTTTTATACTTTACATTTTGTTAAACAATTATCAATTTGATTATAAGTTTCATCACATTGACATTGACCATTAATATCACATTGTCCATGACCATAACAATCAAAAGTTAATCTTGTACATTTTTCTTGAGGTGTTTCTCCATTATTTCCTCCAGTGGTAGTAGATGTGGTTCCAGTAGTTGTTGAACCTGTTGTAGTTGTACCATTATTACCACTATTTGAACTATTAAAATAGAGTAGAGTTGAAGACTTGAATTCCAAACCACCAAGAGAAATGTAAAGATTGGCAGGACCTGCAGGAGGTACCGATGCAAGTATACAAGTGATCCTTAAAGATGATGCACTTCCCGAACAATCAATAGTATCAGCCACAGTAATTGTAAGAGGTGGAGTAATAGGACTTCCATAAAATCCATACAATACTAATGTTCTACTACTTGCGGTATATGATACTGATGTTACCGTTGGATAATCTATAAATAAAAATAAATAAATAAATAAATAAATAAATTAATAAAAATAAGTTAATATTTTTCCTTTTCTCTTAAAAAATAGTTTCTATTTCTATTCCAACATACAAACTAAAATTAAGTAAAGAAAAAAAAAAGAATTAATATTATTATTTTAATTATTAATTTAAAAGAACGTAGCTTGTAACATACCAAATGTACTACGGAGAGTAGTGGCATCATATTCATTGGCGACTAGTACGGTATAGGAAGGTGATAGTTGGATCGATTTTGGAATTGTACAAGTAATGGTGCTGGCGGTTATGTTTTTCACGGTACAAGTAGCATTGTTACGATCGACAAGTGTCACATTGTGAGTCAAATAATTGTTAATGGTAAAAAGTTGAATGACAATCTCGTTGACATCACCACTGCTCTTGAGAACAACAGATGATCGTATAGCTAAAACACCAGCCTCTAAAACTGAAAATGTATAATTTTGTCCAACAAAAGTGATATTAAATGGCATTGGTGGCCCAACAACATTTCTGCCGATATCATAGACGATACGTTTGTTTGGAACACCCACACCACTAGCCTGAGGAATACCCCACCCCAAGAGTTCTCCCTCTACTGCAATGTATCCATAGTATGCAATTAAAAACATACTTTTAAATGTTACATCTTGAATTGGAAAAAAAAAAAAAAAATAGTTAGGATTTATATTCTTTTTGGATAGTGATTAGTGATTTACTTACTACACACAAGGTTAGGTGGAATTGTTAATGATAGTTGTATTTTTGGATTTGTTACATTATAGTAGCAATAAAAACAGTCTGGTGCACTTGCAATGTTGGTACCCAACAAATTGAGGGATACAAACTGACACCATTCCTCTGGAATAGCTATTGTTAGACCTGGGTTATATGCAAGATTCAAGTTGAATCCAGGCATCACATTTTCAAAAAGATAATTGGATACAATGCTACCTGTCAATTGACTCGATGATATTTCTCTTTTTTTAAAAAAAAAAGGTTAAATGATTGATTCTGTTTTTTTTTTTTGGGTTATTGTTATTTACATACAGGATGGTCAGATTTGATGGAATTTGTAATGATGGCATTACTTCAAAACTGGCATTTCGAATTAGAAGTTTACCCAGTGCCGGAGGAAAAGCTGTAAATGGGTATGTTGTCATTTGACCAACAGATGTCTCACTAGTAGTAATAATAAGTTAGTCTATCAATCCAAAGAGAGAGAGATAAATGATATATATAAAGTAATATATTACTTACATTGTAAATAGGTGTTGCAAATCTTTGAGATCTGAGTTACCAGAGAGCAGAATAGATCCTGTTAAAAAAAGTTGAATAAGATTACTATTATTACCAAATGTTAGGTTCAATCTCCCAACTTGAGAACGTCTTGCTATATCTCTATACAATCAAGAAGGATTGTGGTTAGTAGTGTGGTTGGTTATACATATTTGATTTAAAATATGTCATACACATTGTACAAAGCTGTACTGTCTAACCCCAAATCGATATCAAAGTCTGAAAAAATATCTAGTTCTCTATAGAGAGAGAAAGAAAGAAAAGAAGAGTTAGTCATTTTAACTAAATATTGCATACTCTGAAATCAATCCATGGATAGATTAATTAATATTAATATTACACTGAATATACCGATGGGAATGACTTTTCAACAATGTCAATTGATTGTGGTCCGATCGGGTCAACCAAAAAACTAATGAACCTTAAACGAGGCAAATAGAGTGACGAGTCAATATGTACGTTGGCCAAGCTCATACTTTGGAATTGAAGGGAAATGGCATTCGAGTTATTGAAAAAGGATGGGATTGAAAGATTGGGAATATTTCTAAGCACACTATAGTTGGGGAAGGAAATAAATTTAATGTCAATAACAAAAAAGAAAAGATCAACTTTTGATCCATTACAAAGACACGACATACATATCTGATAAACCAAACATATTTGTTGGGAAATCTGATGGTATTGGACTGATCGTCCCATCACCTGATATGCTATAGTGTGTAAAGGTGTAAAAAAAAGTAGATAAGTAATCAATCAATAGGGAATTAGGTACCATAATACTATTTAATAATATTTGTTCAACAACTTACACTAAAGAAGCGAGGGTTTTCAAATTACGTATTTTTGACAATATGTTGATACTTGTATTCTTGGTGGCACCAATATCAACCATTGATAGAGAGCGTAACAAAGGTAAGTCAAGTTCAATCGATGCATTTGGAAATGTAGATGATCCTGTAAAAGTGTCTTTTAAATGTCTATATTTGATGATGATCATTGTTTGTGTTAATAACATTGTATGTATTGATGACTATCAGATCGATCAGATATCTGATCATATAATACACATACATTTGTTGCAAATGATCCAACCCAGTGACTGAATCATGTTCACATACAACGTCAAGCTCACTACATATGCTTTGATCTTGTGGCAACTGACTCTGTCCATATTGTTGTATCAAAAATACTATTGATGCCACTAGTGTATATATGAATAGAGACAAACGAAATGAATTAGTGTTGTTATAGCCAAAAAAAGGGTACGGATAAAAATAAAATAAAAAAAAAATCTTGCTCTGAAGGAACATACATTCTGAATCTGGCAACAATGCATCTACATCTACACAACTATAAATAGCAATCAATAAAAAGATAAATAACTGTATTCTCTTCTTCATCTTGATCATATTCTACTTGTACAAAAATAATAAAAAATGAAGAAGAGAGGATAGTTTTCTTTTCTTTTTAAGATACCCAAAAAATGATGTAGATTCTTTTGGTTTAAAAAAAATATCTTTTTGAAGATATCAAACGTGATGATGTGTCGTCAAAAGAAAAAGATATTTTTGTTTGTTGTTTTAACCATTTTATTCAGGTCGAATAAATAAAGAATAAAGAAAGGTGCTATCGTTCATAGATATCTATATATATATAAAAGACATATGTGAATACTTTTGTTTCCAAATCAAATCTTTGAAGATCATTCAAGGTGGATTCTTGAATGTTTGTAGGTCTCGTAGTCTTGATTTTAAGTAGACACTTTACCTTTAGTAAAACCCAACCATTTCAGAAATGGGTTTGTTGTTGTTTATTCGGTTAAACACATACTAACTGTACATTCACTCATCTACTTGGGGTATTGATTTCTCAAAAAGAACAAGGAAAAAAGTTGAATGGTTTGTTGATTTCCGCAGCGATTCATCGAATTCAAGTGGGTGAAGCATTTTTGTGTGATGTCAGCGCTAAAACAAAAAAGCGATGGTGTCTGCATCGACCAACCCCCAATAGAGGTAGAGCTTAACTAGTTGGATATTAATAGTCAAAGTCCAAACTGTCCACTGTTCATTTATACAATTAACCAAACAAGATAAAGATAAAGATAAACCAACAAACGTAGATACAGATAATATATATATACATCATGGATTCAGATACACTAGAAAAATACGAAAAATTAAAAGATTTATTTGATTCGGGGTTCATCACTGAATACGAGTTCAACAATAGAAAGAAAGAGTTATTAGGTGATAATGAAATACCATCAAATTTAACTGGTAGTAATAATAATAATAGTAATAGTAATAGTAATAATGACAACAATTCATCTTACAACTACTACAGTAGCAGTAATAATAATGATGACTACAACAACAATAGTAGCAACTATAACAGCAATGACTACAATTCAATAAGTTATAATTATAATAGTACTAATAATGATGATAGTAATAGTTACAATAGCTATAATAACTACAACAGCAATAATAATGATGATAATAGTTACAACAACAATAGTTACAATAGTTACAATAATGATTACAATTCAACACCAACAACCACTACGTCATCATATGACTACAATAGTTATAATAATAATGATGATCAAGTAGTTGCCAATACCGACTATAATCACATTAGTAGTAGTAGTAACAATGATGATAATAATTACAATCAATATAATTATAGTTATAATCATAGTACTAGTGATGAACCAACAGTTGATTTTGTTACACATACAACCACTGTTACAACAACCACGACAACAACGGTTTCCTATGATGATGATGATAATAATTACAATTATAACCAATATCAGTCATCATCATCAGCAGTTCCAACTGACCAAGATGATGTTGTTGTTCCACCTAAACCACCTATCACCACTCCTGCAGCATCCAAAGTTGTAAAAGATAAATTAACTGGTAAATCAGAATCAATTGCAAAGATTCAATATCCACACAAAGTTAAAGATAATTATATGACCTATGACAAGAATGTATGTATCTTCAAAACACAATTATTGAAATGTATGTTTATTAATTTATTTTCCTTTTTATAGATTGATGGAGTTATTTTGTATTATAAATCAAGAGAATGTGCATATCAAACTGATATTATTCCATTGTCATCATTGACCAAGAAACCAATTAGTGATGTTATTCGTGAACAATTTGGATTAAACAATTATGATTTGAAAAAGATTATTTTAAAACATAGAACTCCTGGAGACGAATACCAAACCATGACAGACCGAACCGAACAGACAACACAAGACGTCGATTACATTACAACCAATGGACACTATCTAGTGGAACCAGCATCATTCACTCTACATCGTAATGCTGGCACCATGTTTGTCAAAGGTGAATACTTTAGTAAATACAACAACAGTTACACCATTCCACAAACTAGTTTCAAGATTGGGTCTCGTACCATTGCATTAGAGTATCCTGAAACTCCTTCTGGTGGTTGGAATGCTACTTATTTTAAAATTCAACCTGTAAGTTAAACGATAATTTAAACGTTAAATATTTAAATTAAAAAGAGAACTATATTAATATTTTGTTTATTTATTTATTAATTTTTAGCCAAGAAGAACATATAATACATCAATTCCAGGGTACAAAGCAGATAAATTTCAATCGGCAGGTCCGGAACACAACCTTTTAAACTTTTACAATTTAATGAGAAACAAACAAATATTCAAGAAGGGTCAAGAACACAGAGCTACACCACAAGAGTTGGGTTCCCAACCACACCATCTACACGTCAGTCGGTCGTTGGCTCAATGTATAGACAGCCAAAAATGTTTCGAGTGTGGACTGCCTTCATTAAACTCATTCTTTTGTTCAGTTCATTATGACAAGGATCTCATTGAAATGTATGAACAAGTAAAAGAATTGATACCAAAGATGACAGAAGCCGAACAACTAGAGATACAAGCTGCCAAGGAAGAAGAACAACTCGCCAAATCCCAAGATCCAACCAACATTAATAATAGGGAAAAGTTTACCTATGTTCCAGATGTTTCCATCCTAGAACAAGTCATTTTAAAGTCAAAATCACAATATTCTGATTTAGATTGTCTATACCCAAGTAATATTAAAAAAGAGTTTAAAGTCAAAGTTGATTTTTAAAAAAAACAAATAATTTAAAAATATTAACAAATATTAAAAATAATAATATAATAAACCAACAATATGTACAAATATATATATAATATAATAATATAACATATAAATTATCCAATTCTATAAGTATAGTATTTCCCACGTCTTTTTTTGATTGACGAAAATCCATGAAAAAAAATCGAAAAATTGAAGAGTATGAGTTCATTGATCATCAGAAGACACAACTTTACTTTCTAAATTAGTATTGCATATATCTACTACAACTGTAGTTATACTATATACTATATACCTCTTCCTCTCTCTCTCTCTCTATATATATAATATATATTCTCTAGTTTAGATATATATAAGTTTAAAAAGAAAGGAGAAAGGAATATAATATAGACAACAAATACGTAGAGAGATAGATAGAAATGTCAGATCAACCAATCTTTGATGAATTTGGTAATCTTATAGAAGATGTAGAGGATATAGAGAATATAGATGAACAGCAAGACTATGATGATGATGAGGAGGAGAGAGTAGCACGTGACGAACAACAGAATGGACATACTACTGCTGCTGATGGAGATGGTGATGAACCAATGGTACAAGAGGAGGAAGAAGATAGTCATGTAGAATTCAAGACAAGACAACCTGGAAATGCGATCGTGTTGCACGAGGATAAACAATACTATCCCGATGCATCAGAGGTGTATGGACAAGACGTCGAAGTGATGGTGCAAGACGAAGATACACAACCGATTAGCAAACCGGTGATCGACCCTGGATCGAAACGGTCGTTCTTGGTGGCAGACAAGGAGCTGCCCGACACATCGTTTAGCAAAGAGTTTTTGGTTGATATGATGGCACATCCACAGTTGATGCGTAACGTGTGTCTTGTCGGAAACTTGCATTCGGGCAAGTCAAAGTTTATGGATATGTTGGTCAACCAGACACACGAACGCAAGTGGACACACGCCAAGGCATCGCGATATACAGACACTAGAAACGACGAGCAAGAGCGTGGCATGTCGATCAAGTCGGCTCCCATGTCTCTGATTCTGCCCAATAGCAACGACAAGTCGTATTTGGTAAACGTGCTCGATACACCCGGCCACGTCAACTTTACCGACGAGGTGCTTGCGTCGCTGCGTCTGTGCGACGCTGCCATTGTGGTGGTTGACGCGCTAGAAGGTGTCATGATGCAGACTGAGCGTCTCATCAAATTGGCCGTGCAGGAGGGTCTTGCCATCGCGGTCGTCATCAACAAGGTCGATCGTCTCATCCTCGAGCTCAAGCTGCCACCCCAAGACGCTTACTTTAAGCTCAAGCACACCATAGACGAAATCAACTCGATCCTCGATCTCTGCTCGCACGGCCAGCCCACCAAGTTGCGCGTGTCGCCCGAGCTTGGCAACGTGCTCTTTGCCAGTGCCGAGATGGGCTGGTGCTTCTCGCTCTTCTCATTTGCCAAGATCTACCAACAGACGTTTGGCGGCTTTGCCCCCGCCGAGTTTGCCAAGCGTCTCTGGGGCGACCTCTACTTTCACCCCGACGTCCGCGGATTCCGTCGAAAACCTAGTCCCCAAGTCACCGATTCACAACGATCATTTGTACAATATATCCTTAATCCCCTTTATAAAAATTTATTCAACCGTTTTAGCTGAAGATAAATCAAAAGTAGAAGTATGTAAAACAACAAATCAAAAACAAAATAGATATATTCTAACTCTTTTTCTTTTCTTTTCTTTTCTTTTTGTAGAAAGTATTATTAGAATTGGGAATTAGATTATCAAGAGAAACATTAAATTTGGATGTTAAACCATTATTAAGAATAGTATTGTCATCATTTTTTGGAAAGGCTACAGGGTTTGTTGATATGGTGGTCGACTTGCCATCACCGTTGGACAATGCAGAGCAAAAGGCGTCGTTTGTATACACTGGTCCGTTGAATGGGACTTATGGAGAGGCGTTGAAAAAGTGTGATCCCAACGGCCCGTTGGTTGTATATGTGACAAAGCTGCTGACCAACGACGCAGGAACGGGATTCGACTGTTTGGGTCGTGTCCTCTCTGGCACTGTGCGTCGTTCGAGCGAGGTGCGTGTGTTGGGAGAGAGATACTCGATCGACACCAACGAGGAAGACCTCGTTCTAGAAGAACTCACCAAGGTGAGCATTGGCGAAGCAAGATATAAAATAGATGTCGATAGTATCCCTGCAGGCATGTGGTGTCTATTGGAAGGAATTGATAGTTCAATCATTAAAACTGCAACAATTGTAAATGAACGTGATCCAAAAATGACAAATTATACAAATGGAAATAGTAATGGTAATAGTAATGGAAACGGAGACTATCAGGATGATTATGGAAATGTTGCACATATTTGTAGACCACTTTCGTTTGCGACGAGTCCGTCAGTGTGCAAGGTGGCGATTGAGCCACTCAACCCATCAGAGTTGCCCAAGATGTTGGACGGTCTGCGCAAGATCAACAAGTCGTATCCGCAGGTGGTTACGCGTGCCGAAGAGTCGGGCGAACACATCATATTGGGCACGGGCGAGCTCTACCTCGACTGCGTGCTGCACGACCTGCGTGTCATGTACGCCGACATTGAGATCAAGGTGGACGACCCCGTCATCACGCTCAGCGAGACGGCCACCGAGACATCGAGCATCCCCTGCATGAGCGAGTCGCAGAACCATCGCAACCGTCTGACCATGGTGTGCGAGCCGCTCGAAAAGGGGCTGGCCGACGACATCGAGTCGGGCAAGGTCGACATTTCGTGGCCGCGCAAGCAGCGTACCGAGTTTTTCCAAAACAAATACGACTGGGACGTGCTGGCTGCCAACAATATCTGGGCGTTTGGTCCAGACGCCCACGGGCCCAACATCCTCATCAACGACACGATTGGCGGCGACGTGAATCGCTCTCATCTGACTGCTATATCCGAGTCGGTCGTGCGTGGCTTCCAGTGGGCCACCAAAGAGGGTCCGCTCGTCGACGAACCAATCCGTAACGTCAAGTTCAAGCTTGTCGGCGCACACATTGCCCCTGAAGCCATCCACCGCACAAGCGGCCACATCGTGCCGGCTGCGCGTTCGTCCACACACGCCAGCTTGCTCGTTGCTGCCCCGCGTCTGATGGAGCCCGTCTACATGGTCGAAATCATCTCGCCACCCGACTGTGTCTCCTCGATCGAGACTGTCTTCCACCGTCGTCGTGGTAACATCATCCACGACTTTCCCAAGCCCGGCACCCCACTCCATGTCACCAAGGGTCTCTTGCCCGTGCTCGACAGCTACGGCTTTGAGACGGATCTCCGTAGTCATACCCAGGGTCTGGCATTCTGTCTCTCGGTCTTTGACCACTACCAAATCGTGCCCGGCGATCCACTGGACAAGGATGTCCAGCTTTTACCACTCGAGCCAAGCCCCCAACAACACTTGGCACGTGAACTTTTAATCAAAACAAGAAGAAGAAAGGGTCTATCTGAAGACGTAAATCTTTCAAAACATTTCAACGATGAACAATTATTAAATTTAATGTCTCACATGTCAACAAATTAATAATACCTTTAATATAATATAATATAATCTCTCTTTTAAATAAATTATTAAAAAAGTAAAACAAACATATCATCAAAAAAAATAATTTAATATTTATTTTATTATTAATGGGTTGGGTACTTGGCAACGTGGCATCAATTCTCTTCCCTTTCAAAAAATTCATCAGAAGAGGAGAGAGAATACACGTAGACATGTTGACACAACATACATTACTTATTTGTCATCAACGACTGATACAATATACATAATATTATATAACAACAATAACAACTCTATGGAAGATTATAATCGTGGTGCATTAGAGTATGCGCTGCCATGGCCAATCATACAACGTATATTTATATTGGCATCACAATACAATAGTATATGTACATGTGTAATCAGTGATGCTTTGAAAGGGTGTATTTATACTAGATATCAAGCAATCTGGCAGAATAGAGATAAAAGTCAACAAAGTCAATATGAATTGCATACAGACATGTTGCTTCATAGAGATATGACACAACATGCTCTCACAAGAGACCAAATGTGTACTCTTCATCAATTCAATCTCGATCATGGTGGACGTGGACCAAACTATGTGCTCCAATCAGATCATCAAGTAACAAGAGAAAGTTATAGATGGGTACGTAGAATGGCACTGTTATCCAAACGTATATTTGCCTTTGTTTCAACAACACTTGTCACCGATGTTACGTTAGATCTGTCAGAGGATACTTGGAGACATATCAACAACTGTCATTGTGTCATTAAAAATCCAAAGACATTGACACTTGTATCTCCATCTCCATCTCCTACATCTCCTCCTCCTCCACCACCAGACACCCAACCCTTCTCTTTAACATCGTCATCATCTTCCACCTCTCAACATGATGAACACCTTTTTGACAATGTTGAAAAGATTCATATCAACGAATCACAATTTGTTAACAATGCTTCAACTATCAATACATTAATCAACAAAACACCTAAACTTGTATCGATCAGTTTTAATTGTGAAATTCCAAAGCCAACAGTGATAGATCTTTTCAAAGGACCACTGCAACACATTCGATCACTCAACTTTCAAAATGCTTATGTTGAAGATCCAGATAATCCTCGGTGGATATGCGGGGGTGGACGTAGAGCAGAACCATTCACGATTGGAAGTATGATTCAACCATCAATGTCATCGACACTCACAAAGATTCTACTTCCAGACCACTTTAATTGGAACACACTCTCCAACGAGGTCAAACAACATCTACAAGTTATCTCTCTCTTGTATTATAATTCGAAAGATACCAATGTCCATTTAAAAGTGCTAGATTTTCCCAACCTTCGACACGTCCACATCAAAAACGATGCCTATGGTCGAGCATTAGGGTCACTTATTCCAGGACAAGTAAAGAAAGTAACATGCCTTGAAAATCAATCGATCGGTGGTCTATCAATACTTTCCAATATCAAAACAATAAGAGTTCACAATAGAGACGAAATATCCAACATAGTCGGTCTTTGCAAAACACCAGCCAACAAGATTATAATATTCTCAAAAGTAGATATTTGTGAAAAGAATATTAAGGATTTCAATAATAGTGGATTTAATTATTTTGGAGCAACATTCAAAGCATCATCAAACACAAAGAAATTCGTATTTATTAAAAATGACAACAATCTACCTCTGTCAAATATTAAACAATTAGATCAACCATCAATTTCAACCATCCCTACATCCACTTCATCTCCTCCATCCTCTTCTTCATCCCCTTCTTCATCCTCATCTCCTTCATCCTCTTCTTCTTGTTCAAATCCAATTTTACCAACAATAATAATTCATAAAATAATTGAATGAACTTGAAACTTGAACAACCTTTGACATTGTGTTATGAAAAAAGATACATCCAGAAATGGTTAGACATTGGACGTGATATTCTTCAAGATGAACAAGAAATCGAAAGATTCTACACAATGAAGAATAATTGTCCAACTCATTTCTCACACACTCGACCATATAAACCATTGGCTCATGACTTGAAAAGCTCGAACCAATCTAAATTACAACTGACACTGATCAACAAGGATATATTTAATTATATTTCTCAAAATTGTTTCACTGTCATCAAACTCGAATGTTATCAATATGAAGGTACTGTTGAGAAACATGGTAACAATGCATACTGTGTTGCACTCAAACACTTTACAACAATAACAAGTGATTGTAGTCATGATAATGATATTCCCAAATCACTTCACAAGATTGACAAAGACAAACTTGAACAAATCACAAAAGTTGTATTTTATAATGGTGATTGTTTGCAAGATTTAATCAAACTATTACCCAATCTCACTTGTATTGACTTTTCTAAAAAAGAGATGGGTGGCTTCCGAGAATTAAGTCTAGAGAATCTGAGTAAACTCAAATCTCTCACCAAATTAGATCTTTCTGGCGTTAGTTTACAACGTGATGGTTCTAAACATTTGGCAGAAATCAAAAACCTACCACTCAAAAAACTATGTCTCCCAAGTTGGGATCCATCACTGTATAATGGGCTCCCAGCCAAATTAAAACGATCAATCACCAAGATAACTGCCGATCCCTATATGGATTTAAGTGTATTTCCAAATGTTAATCATATATTGATTACCGAAAGAGATACATCCCGGTGGAGATTACCACAAACCGTCACCAAAGTATCCTCAAAATATTTAGAAATTGGATTCCTCCCTCACAATCGACAAGTAACCAAATTCAAAACCTATTATATGTTTACCAATCAACAAAAAGTACATACATTCCTCAAGACACTCTCGGATCAGTGTCATCATGTTAAAACGGTGATCAGATATGGCAATTGCCCATTAAACATTCCAAATGATCTATTTGATTCATTTAACTATCGAATAGATTATAGTTGGTCATCAATGGAAGGCAACTCTCACCATTATGCATCTAGTCAATATTTACGACTTGAAAGAATCAATTATCAACCAATCATAATCGATAGTCATATAGATATTGAGCATCATGATAATGATATTGAATATCGTGATAATGAACAACAACAGCCCGACCATTAAAGCTTCAAAAAAACTAAAAAAAAATCTTGTTGTTTATTACAATAATTAAATCATTTAATAAATAAATAATATTTCCATAACCATTATCAAGTGCCACGCTGTATCAATATCAGCATCTGACATCACATAATAAACGAAAATGAAAAAAAAGGAAAATCACTCCTCTTTGAACTGTAGGTCAAATAACAAGATGGTCAACTCCTAGGAGCGGGATTGTTTGTTTGATCTCTTATATCAAACAAGGGTACAATGGGGGGGGGGGGGGGTACTCCCCTCTAAAATGAAGATAAATGATGAAATTTCAAAGTTGATATGGTCTGAAACTCGTGAGAATTTTGAAAACTCTGTCGACTTGTTCAATAGAACGGACGAAATCTAAAATATCTTTAAAAATCACTGATAAACTACTTCATTGGGTGACCTTTGGTTTGAAAATAGAATACTATAAATTGAACATCAACAACATGTTCATTTCAATCATTTGTTTCTAAAATCAATTACATCAAACCAAACAACAACAACAACAACAACAATTACCAAAAAAAATGTTTAAATTATTAATAGTTTTAATATTATCAATTACTACTCTTGGTATGAATCATGATCATAGAAAAAAATATCCAATTAAATATAATTTATTAATATCTCTTTTTATTTTTGTTTTTTTTTTTATAATTTTAGTAATTGGTCGATCATATTTAATTGATGGACCAACACCAGGACAATATTTATGGAGAACTTATTATGATTCTTGTAACTTTTATACCAATATTACATTGTCTATACAAGGAAATAAGTTTTTTACCTATAATACTGCCAATCCAAAGTTAAAGTATATTGTAAATGCTACCGTTAATAGTGATGGTGTTACTTTCCAAGGTTTTGGAACAGTTTATAGTACATCACCACCATATGGTCCAATTTCTGTAACTACTGTAAAGGGAGAAGTAACTAATCCATTCACAATCACTGCCGTCTACGCCAGTAACGAATATCATAATCAAACTATTGAAATTTATAGTCTTTTTGGATGTCCATTAATTTTAGATACCATTAATGATGATGATGATGATTATGAATCAAATGAACCAGTAGATAATGTTGGTCGTCCATTATTGTATTAAATGATAAATACAATATTATATTCAGAAAATTATAAAATAAAGAAAAAAAATATATTATATAATATAATATAATAATATATAATAAACTATTTACGTCTTAAAAGAATCAATTATCAACCAATCATAATCGATAGTCATAAAGATATTGATTATTTAAGTAAATAATTGAATTCAATAAATATTTCCTGCCTTTCATTCTTAGTATCTCTTTAAAGAATAAAATACAATAGTTTATAATTATTTATTTATTACTTATTTATTGTAATAAAGAATTCTTTTTTAATTTCTTTGCTATTCTACAAGCTTCACAGGTTTTTCGTAAAGGAATCCCATTTGATTCGAAAAAGGATTTCTCTGCTTCTGGTAAAGCAAAGTCATTACTACATACTTTACACTTGGTGATGTGAGGTGGCAATAAAGAAGAAGATTCAATTACAGGCTGGCTGTTGACCTTTTTTTTAGGGGATGCTCCTGTTTTCTTGGTATAGGGTTTTTTGGGAGGGACTGCAACAACTGGAGGTAGTGGAGTCGCTGTGGTAAAAACTGGTGGAGCTGGTGTGGCAGTAAGAATACCCTTCTTCTTGTTTTGGCGACATTCGACGCAGGTCTTTGTGAGGGGTATATTTTTATCATCATAGAATTTTTGGTCTTTTGGTGTCATGGTCCAATCTTTGCTACACATCTTACATGGACCCATGTGAACGCCGCCAGGTGCAAGAGGTTTGCCACCAGGTGTTTGTTGTTGTCGTTGTTGTTGTTGTACATGTTGTTTTGGAACACTTTGATTTTGAATTTGAAGTTGGAGTTGTAAGATTTGTTGTTCAAGTGCCAATACTGATGGAGAACCCTTGTTGTTGTTTTGGTTTTATGAAACCATTATTTGTTGTTGCATTAAAAGTTGCACTTGTTGTTGGAGTAATAACATTAGTGCTTCATTATTATTATTATTATTGTTAGAGGTGGTAGAGGCGGTAGAAGTTGTTGAAGTCTTCATATCATCATCACTTTCATCACTTGGATAATATTCATCATCTGAATCAATCTGATGATGTTGGTTGACGGTTTGAAGTTGTATGGTTTGGGAATCCTTGGCAAGTGAATCAGAGATCATCTTGATGGTACTAATCATTTTATCGGCAGTGTCTCTGGCATCGTGAGAGGTCAACATTTTAGATTCCATTTCCATCTGTTGGAAGCTCGTCGACAATATTGAATCCTTGACAAATCTTTTTCAAATCTTGGCATGCTTTCATCGGTCGATGTCTTGATGGCTACATCAACAAGCTTCTTGGAGTCGGCAATGTTTGTGATTTTGCTTTTAGACGAGGCTGCATCTTTGGTAGCCTTGTCATACTTGGCTTTCATACCAGCAATCTCTGTTTCAAGAGACTCGGTCACCTCTTGTACCTCCTTTTTTCCATGATAGTGTTCGGTATAACTACACCCGCTAGGACATACATGGCAATTGTCGCCAAGCATGGCTGCACAACTCCTGAAAGCATTGTGGTCAATTCTTGGAGACCGCAGTGTCGATGGCAAACATGGTCACAACGAGAGCACATGGTGTTATGGTATGAGACATCGACCAATACTTTTCTTGTGGTAGCAGTCTTTTTCATATAGTTTTGGAACTTTGTTGCATCGTTTGAATGAGCTCCACGTTGCTTTTGTGCATTTGCAATATCTTCTTGCAACTGTTGAATTCTTTGGAACTTCATTTTTGCTTCATGAAACTGTTTGTTTAATTCTAAAAGTAAAGAAATGGTAGAGGTTAATAAATATAAATATATATTTACAATAAATTATTTTAGTTTTGTTTTCTTTTTATACATACTTGAATCTCATTGATTTCATATCAGCAAAAGCTTGGGTTGCTACACCAGCCTTTTTTTGAATGTTACCTAGTAACTTTTCAACAGTGTGCATCGATTGATTAAACTCGGGCTTGAGAAACGTGGTTGCACCCTTTGTCCAGTTGGCAGGATCAGTAGAGAATGCAGAGTTCTCCATGTAAAAGATTGACTTGGTTTGAAGATTGCCAAGTGACTTTTGGTCAAAGTTGCGATTGTCTGCACGACACTTGGTGAATACAATGACGAGGTTCTGGAGGACAACGTCGGGAATGGAGCCTTGAAGACGAGTGACGGCGTTTCGAAGAGTCAACACATTTCTGCTGTCTTTGCCACTGATGATGATGATGGCACACAAAGATGGAGGATTTGAAACGGCATCGAGGATCTTTGTCATGTTGATTTCATCTTGCTGTCCACCTCTTGTATCGGATAGACCTGGTGAGTCGATAAACTCATAGTTTACACCTCCCTTTGAAAAGTAGTACTTTGAACATTCATCGGTCTGACTCGATGTCCTTTGCGTCCTAATCCCTCAGTTGATTTAAGATACTTTGTTTCGATTGATACTTTGATCTTATCAGGGAATGACCCATTCTTGAAATAGTTGGTCAATGTATTAATAAATGTTGATTTGCCTACATATATATATATAGATGAGATATAGATAAATATGTGTCAATAAAAATAAAAAGTAAAAGGAAACACACGCGCATACTCGTCACGCGCACTATAGATGTTCCAGCCCATGTTGACATTCTCGGGCTGTGTAAACTCGTTGCGATGCGTAAAGCAAAACAAACTCGTTGCGCCAAGACTTGGCTCCAACACATCCTCTTCATCTCCTTCATCCTCTTCTTCTTGTTCAAATCCAATTTTACCAACAATAATCATTCATAAAATAATTGGAATGACATGGAAACTGAGACACCTTTGCACATGTGTTTATGAAAAAGATACAATCAAGAAATGGTTAGACATTGGACGTGATATTCTTCAAGATGAACAAGAAATCGAAAGATTCTACACAATGAAGAATAATTGTCCAACTCATTTCTCACACACTCGACTCTATCAACCACTGACACATGACTTGAAAAGCTCGAACCAATCTAAATTACAACTGATACTGATCAACAAGGATATATTTAATTATATTTCTCAAAATTGTTTCACTGTCATCAAACTCGAATGTTGTGAATGGGATGATACATTTGAGAAACATGGTAACAATGCATATTGTGTTGCACTCAAACACTTTACAACAATAACAAGTGATTGTCGTCGTCACAATATTCCCAAATCACTTCACAACATCGGCAAAGACAAACTTGAACAAATCACAAAAGTTGTATTTTATAATGGTGATTGCTTGCAAGATTTAATCAAACTGCTACCCAATCTCACTTGTATTGAATTTTCTAAAAAAAAGATGGGTGCCTTCCGAGAATTAAGTCTAGAGAATCTGAGTAAACTCAAATCTCTCACCAAATTGGATCTTTCTGGTATTCGTTTACAACGTGATGTTGGTTTGGCAGAAATCAATAACCTACCACTCAAAAAACTATGTCTCCCAAGTTGGGGTTCATCATCACTGTATAATGGGCTCTCAAACAAATTAAAACGATCAATCACCAAGATAGCTGCCACTCCCTATATGGATTTAAGTGTATTTCTAAATCTTAAACATATATTGATTACTTCCGAAAGAGATACATCCCGGTGGAGATTACCACAAACCGTCACCAAAGTATCCTCAAAATATTTAGAAATTGGATTCCTCCCTCACAATCGACAAGTAACCAAATTCAAAACCTATGATATGTTTACCGATAAACAAAAAGTACATACATTCCTTAAGACACTCTCGGATCAGTGTCATCATGTTAAAACGGTGATCAGATATGGCGATTGCCCAATAAACATTCCAAATGATCTATTTGATTCATTTAATTATCGAATAGATCATAGTTGGTCATCAATGAAAGGCAACTCTCACCATTATGCATCTAGTCAATATTTACGACTTGGAAGAATCAATTATCAACCAATCATAATCGATAGTCATAGTAGTGATCCTAAAGTTTCAAAACTAAAAAATATTAAAGAAATAATTAATTAATAAAATCCATACCTTTTCGTTCGTACAACATGTCTTTTTCAAGTTATTGTTGGAATTGTACTCAATTATTATAATTACTTTATCAAAATTTAATATTATTTTTTAAATCACTCTTGTATGGATGGATGAAATTATAACATTCAAAGGTGTGGTTGTTGGATGTAAAAGTGTGGGAAAGAATACCCAGTCATTGATTCTTTAGCTGAAAAGAATATCAAATCTAGTTGAAGATCTTTGCATATTGATGATTCACCCCACTACAAACTACATTACAAACCTCTCGTCTTTGAGAAATTTCATATTCATCAATGTATGACTGTATAATGAATGTGATGATATCAGAGTTCTTTTGCGAAAATTCTTTTTAAGAACCTTTGCATTTTTAATGATATTTGGGAGTAGTTCATTATAAAAACTAAAATACTTTGTTATACTAGGATCATCATAGTAGTAGAGAGATTGAAAGTGTAATATCAGAAGAAACATATCATGATGTTCAACAAATATGTACAAGTAGTGATTGCTACTTTATTGGTTGCTGCTGTTGTAGCTATCAATGCTCAAAAGCCATTCTATTGTCAGGCTCCATTACCTGTATGTTAAACTATTAATCAATGATCATATGTTATATCATCATTTACTAACAACGATCATCTATCTATCTATCTATATCTATATATCTATTCATTCATTTAGAACCCTTCAGAAGATACTGATGGAATGACATTAAGAATGGTTCAAAGTATGTAGTATTTATTTGTTTCAATATTATATGATAAATGAAAGAACTAATTACCTCTATTATTTATTAGTTTTAACTAGACATGGTGATAGAACTCCATTATACAATCCACTTACCATTCAAATGAATGATTGGAATTGTTCGTTGTCGACATACATGTATCCATCACCAAACGATCAAGATGCTTCGATCAACTCACCATCGATACTTTTCCGTAAGGTCTATCTCCCCAACCGTGAATATTGGCCAGGTAATTGCTCAAACGGCCAATTGACTACTTTGGGATGGGAACAACATCAACAAGTAGGTACTGTATTTAGACAATTGTACGTCGAAAAGTATGGTCTCTTGTCACCAGACGGATTGGATTTGAGCGAAGTTTGGGTCCGTTCCACCGATGTACCACGTACTCTTCAATCGGCTCAATCTGAAATCAACGCTCTCTACCCACCCAACACCAACGGTGGTGTCAACCCAATCGATGTTCTCGACATCCACACCATGGACGACTATTATGAAAACATGTATTCTCCAAACGCACAACTCTGTCCAATCCTCAACAGCCTCGGAAACAATGCCACCAACTCCAAGCCATACCAAATCTTTGTCCAACAAACCGCTCAACTAAGACAACAAATCATGTCTGCTCTCAAGGTCAAGTCATTCCCAGGCTTTTACAACTTTATGGATCTCTTCTTTGCCACTCAATGTCACGACCTCCCCCTTCCAAACGGTATCACCGAAGAGATTGTCAATGCCACCTACCAAGCTGCCTTTTTCGAAGACTCTTATCCATTGTCTTTCCCAATGATCTCTCGTCTCGGTATGTCAACCTTCCTCGAAGAACTCTTGGACAATATTAGAAACTTTATCAATGGTGATATTTCTTACAAGTATATGTTATTCTCTGGTCATGATGATTCTGTTGGTCCATTTGTTGTAAGTCTAAAAAATATATATATATATATTTAAATTAATTATTAAATATTTATTTATTAATTTAATTTATTTCTTTATTTTCTAGAATCTATTTAATATTTATAGAGAATGGGCACCTTATGCATCACATGTTGAATTAGAATTGTGGCAAGATGATAGCAGTAGTGAATACTACCTCCAATTCAAGTTTAATGGTCAATCATACACTTTGGATGGTTGTCCAGGCGTCATGTGTCCAATTGACGATTTCTTCTCTATTGCCTACAACATTTTAGTTCCAGATTATTACGATGCTTGTAATCAAGGTGGAAGTTCATCTGATTCCTCTTCAGCTGATTTTTAAAAAAATCTAATTTAATTAACTTAATAAATTAATAACAACAACAACAATCTATATATTTTTTACTAAATTTATATAATCCTCCCATTAAATAAAAAGATCATGTGAGATGATCGTCGTGAATGATACCAACAATGGGGTCGGGGATATAAACGAAACCATTATTATAAAATCGGTATGTTCATTGTAGTTGATGAAAACCATCTCTCTCTCTCTCGTGTTGATTAGATGGATGGTTGACAATTCATGTAACTATTCAAACGAATTATCTTTAGTACCCACATTTTCAATAATAGGGGAAAGGTTGTCTGGTCGTTTGCAAAGAAGCAGCATCATCATCCCCTCCTATGAGTGTTCTCATTGGCAACATTTGATGGTGTCCAAAAGAGGCTCAAAGGTGAGCCACCTCCATCGATATTTTGGATGATGGGTTCCGAGAGTTTTGTCTTTGCTCGACCAACGTCGGAAATAATGACAAGATATTTTGGATTTTTCGAGGCACCTGGTAACAAACTCACAGCAAATGTATCTGTACGCTACAATCGATTTTTCTGGTCTGGAGAGTTTGGGACTATTTTCGAGTCGTTTACAGCCATCCTCTCTCACGAGCGGGATCTCCTATCAATCGCCAATAATGATTGTTTTTTTTTATTCCTCTTCTCCGCATATTTAGTATCAAACAATTAATTATTATTCGTAGCAGCAGCTGTTATTATTATTAATTGTAGGAGATAGATATTTTTTAAACAAACAGGCACAACAACAACAACGAAACAAATCGATTTTTCATTTTTGTTTTTTTTTTTCTTTTCCCAACAAGAACTCTGATCATAGAAAGTGAACGAGTACACGTCACCTCTCCCTGTGAAACAAACACCCTTTCCTTTGCATCATTCACAAACCGAAACTTCCCGTCAAAAATAAAAAATAGAAAACTAGAGCCAAACTTTCAAAGTTCCCAACAACACACAACACAACACAACAACAACAAAACAACAATCCCAAGATAATTATTTATCTTTTTTATCCTTCCCCCCCCCCTCAAATCACACAATCGCATTATTATTATCTAGCATCAAAAACAAGACAAGATTCATTTTTAGATACCAGTACCACATACACACACAATTCGAAACTTTAAACAATCATTCATCCACAAACACACATACATTATTATCTTATTCTCATTGTGTTTTTTTAAAAAGCTATTCTATTCTTATTCTATTTAGATATCTATCGCTATATCTAATCTATAATCATTATATATCAACCAATTTATGTTTAAAAGGAGAAGCACCAAGCTAAGCAGTATCAACATACCTCAATATGTCTTTGTTTGACTTGTCAAATAACAATAGTGGGCATGGCGGCGACCTCGACGACCAATCGCTCACCTGTCTTCTTCAATCAAACGTATCAACGCCATCCTCTGCAGCAACACCCTCTCCTCCACAGTATATCATCAACTATCAACAACAACAACAACAACAACAAAATCAATCACCCTCTTCATCATCTTCTTATCAGGACAATAACAACAACAACAGAGACTATGTAAATAATTTAAATCACAATGGTAATAGATATGTTGGAAATAATATCAGTGATCCCATATCGGCACTCCATGATATGCAACAGCAACAACAACAACAACAATTCATGCAAGGCAACAACAACAACAACAACAACAATCCCAACACGGATTTTTTCAATTCCTCTTCCCCAACAACAACACATATCCCTTCCACACAATATGGTGGTGGTCATCACCAGTATGAGCATATCAACAACAACAACAACACTGGTTCATCATCATCATCATCTTACTCTAATAATAATGGCGGTGGCATGATGGCCAACATTAGCAGCAGCAGTGATGGAGGTAGTGTTGGTGTTGGCAATGGTAATGGTGGCAACGGTGGCGGTGGAGACTATAGCTCGCCATTGAGCGAGTTTAGCGGCACATTGGGAGTATGTGGCAGTCCTCAGGACACTACCAACAACATGGTAGTGCCACACCTTCTCTCGGCATCAACCAACTCTACCACATCATCGACTGGTACAACCGTGTCAAATGCCACCGACACTTCCAACTATGTTACCAACTCTTCTCCATTCCCATCAGTTTACAATAACACTAGTAACAACAATACTGGTGGCAGCGGTACTATTATGGGTTCACCCATTCAAACTACTTCTACTTCTGTATTTCAGAGTTCAATTCCACAAACATCTCAACAACCACAACAAAGAATTAATGATCAACAATCCCAATCACAACAACAATCATCACCACCACAACCACAACAACCACTACCACCACAACAACAACAATCAACACTACCATTACTTGACCAACCAAATGTATTCCAACCAGCCCCACCACAACACACAGCGGGTAGAGTGTCATCGATTTTGGGATCATTTGCTAGTTATGGACCTTCGCCAGCACTGTTGAGTTCACAGTACCTTTTCCAATGCACACCTACCTATTATGCAGCCAAGAAGAATCAAAAGATTGGTATATTCCTCTACCACAAGAACGACCTCAACTTTCTTCACACTCAACACCCCCAACTCCGTCTAAAGTTGACGTCTGTCGCACCCTATTGGACACCGTCATCATTTACTCGGAAGGACAACAAAAAGAACATTGAAAGTATTGCTCCAACACAATTTGAACAGATTGAAGCCGTCATGAAAAAGGGTGAAGTCTTGTTTGGACCGGTTCGTATCCAAAAGACTGGTTACTACTTTTTAAAGTGTTATGTTGAATTACCTCCATTCCCATCGGAAGAGGAATTACCATTCAAAGATTTTTCATTCACATTCAAGATTTATTTTTATGGTAGTCCTTCTAAAAAGAAGAATGGTTCATCTTCATCATCATCAACATCATCAACTGAAAGAGGTGAATCATCAAATGGTAATGGTGATTCTGATAGTGATGATGAAGGAAGTTCCAACAACAATGATAACAACAATAATAACAATAACAATAATATTAGTTCAACTGGTTCAAAGGAAAGACCAACTTCAAGTATGTAAATCATTTATCACAATATAAATAGTATTTATTAATCCAATTTTTGTTTTTGTTTTATTTAGTATCAAATATTCATATTAGACCAAATGAGAATTTAATGAATTATATTTCACATCTTCAAGAGACTGGAGCAAGATGGAGAGATTTGGAGAATGTCTTTGATATCTATATCAAAAAGTATGAAAAGACACCAGAGATTTTATCAGAGCTATTCTTTGAACAAGGTATTGCCGCAACCTTTGTTGGTAATCTTCATGAAGCTCAACTTCAAATGGATAGAGGTTTGGATACATTTTATACTCCTGAAAATTTGTAAGAGAGACAACAAAAAACAAAGACAAAAAAAAAAAAAGAAATAATAATATCATTAACCATTTCTTTTTCTTTTCTCTTCTTTTTTAGATTTAAAATTAGTTATTTAAAATCAGTTATATTTAGAATTCAAAAAAATTATACAGCATCTAAATTACATCTTGATACATGTGACTTTTTATACAAGAAAATAGATTTGGGTAATCTTCATCAAGCTCAATATTATTTTAACAAAGCTGCTCATGATTATGGTATGACAAATTAATTTAAATTAAACAATAATTATTACATTTATTCCAAAGATATTAATATTAATATATTTCTGTTTATGTTTAGATTGTTTTGTTGCACAAAAAACCAAACAAAATAATTATATTATGGTTCGTGATCAAATCATTGAGAAATTCAAACAAGCAGCCGATTTCTATAAAAAGGATTATGAAAGTTCAGATCCAAACTCTACTACCAATGCTAGAAGTATCAATGGAACATACCGTGCCAATATTCGTATCACTCAAACTATTCTAGGTTCTTCCAATCTAACAGAGGCTGATTTAACCAGAGCTGAATCTTATCTTACAATGTATGTAATATTTTAAAATATATATATATATATTATTATTATTTTTAGAATATATATATTAATTAATAATATTTTAATTTTAGTATTCCAAATATTCAATCATATACATTTACTCAACGTACACAAGTTCATTTATTGTTTACATGGGCTGATTTGATGTTGTCAAAGTCGTATCAATTATTTAGATCCAATCACCAACAATCATTCCACATGTTGGCTCAATCACTAGAGTATATCAACAAGTCGGCCAACTATGCAAGCAAGTTGGGATTCAACAATGAGATTAGATACACCAACGATCGTTACCAAAAACTCTTTTCAGTTGCTCCAAAATCATTTATCAATGCTCTCACTGGTGCTAATCTCCTTGGCAATCAATCAATGATTACTTCTTCTAATCCTTCTGTACCAGCATCTGGAGCCCAATTACCTTCTACCTCTATCACCTCCACCACCTCTACTACTACCACAACAAATCAATCTCAGGCATCATCCAATCAAAATAATTTAATCACAACAAATAACAGTCAAAATAATCAAAACAACAATAATAATAATATTCAAATGACAAGAGGAAATATAGAATTTAATCAACACCAACAACAACAACAACAACAACAACAACAGCTACAGCTACAACAACAACATCAACAAGTATATACTAACAATAATAATAATAATAATAATATAAATATGAATATAAATAATAATAATAACAACAACATGCTAAATAATAACAAGATCATCATGACTAACAATACTAATAATAATAATGGTAATAGTGGAAATAATGGAAATATTATTGTGAATAACAACAGTGCCACCAATAATAATAATAATAATAATAATAATGACAACGGAAATATTGCTATACAGAACTCTTTAGTTGGATTGCTTACAGGTGCCATCCCATTCAACCAAACACTTTTGAATAATTTAATATTATTGCATAGTTTAAGTCAAACTTTAAATAATAGTGGTGGTGGTGGTGGCGGTGTTGGAGCTGGTACACAGCAACAAGCTGGAGGTGCTTTAAATCTATTATTAGGAGGATTATTAAATACACCACTATTGAATAATCCCCTTTTAAATAATTTAATGCAACTTTCAAACAATAATAATCAAGATAGTAATATCAATCTCTCAAATATCAATCTTTTGACTGCCAACAACAACAACAACAATCACCCATCCTCCACCACCACTTCATCCATTCTAAACTCATCACATTCACCAAGTTTTCATTTGACTGAAAATCAACAACACCAACAACAACATCAACAACACCAACAACAACAAGTACTTGTAAATAATAACAACACCAACAATAATCTTTTATTTTTAAATGGATTACAACAACAACAACAACAGCAACAGCAACAACAACAACAAACAATGATGAATATTCAATCCTACGCCAATCAAGCCAATCTTGACATCTTACAAGATTACCTTTGTTCTCAGTCACCTACACAATCCATCACCAAAAATGAAAATAACTATAAATAAATAACTTTTGAAACGATGGAAAGTAATACAAAAAATATTGGTGCATCCACAAGCCTGAAGGAGTATTCCAAATGTCAAATATTTATTAGAGAGAGCGTGATAATAAATATTAATAACATATTAATAATAATACAATGTATATATTAATAATAATAAATACATATTAATCTGATTTTTGTATTTTTGTTAACTAGATTTTGAAAAAAGATAGTTTTGTATGTTTTTTTTTTTTCTTCACTTTGAAATCTCAAGTTATTATACTATACTCGTTGATTGATGATCATCTCTTTCTCAAGATTGTGGTAGTAGTATTGAATGATTGAATACTACTACTACTACTACTACTACTACTCCTGCCACAATCATCATCAACAACCTAGTGCATCATCACTTCTTCTCTTTGGCATCAACAATCAATCAATCCTGCTGCAGCTTAGTGCAGCACTCGTTTGTGTGTGTGTGTCAGTGTGGCGGACAGCCAATGAACATCAAATTTAATTGGGTGTGTTGATTGCATTCACCTTTTTAGTCAAACTCGTTTAAGACGACAGACTGTGAGACATGCAACCCCCACCCACAAACTCATCATCATCATCCAGCAATGAAAATTAATTATGCGTATTAGATTTATAAACCCCCCACTACCCACACACTAACTAATATTAAAAATATTTAAATAATATTACCAAGAGTTTCTTGGTATACCCTAACCAACCTGCTCTCTCTCTCTCACTCTTTATTTATCCACTGATCATCCATTTTATTTCTTTTATGAAACTTGTTTCAAAAATCGTATGATATACAGATAATAATAATAGTGTCCTACTATTATCTCTCTCTCTCTTTTACCTCTCTATACTATATCCAACTCAAACTCTTCAAACTTTAATTAACCATTTCTCTTTCTCTTATTTTTTTTTTTTTTTTCTTTTCTACTTACCTTCCATCTATCTATAGTCTTACAGCAACACAATCATTACTACTACTACCTATCAACAATCAAAAAATCAAATCATTTATTTTACATTCATTATCCAATCATGAATCCATTAATTATCATCTTTATTTTGTGTATCCTTGTATCATCTGTTTTTGCCAATATGTCTTGCGACAACCAATATGTCTTTGTCAACGACACCAACTCATTGTCATCATCATCTTTCTCATTGTTCGACCATGTTGAACAACAATCAACTATCCTCCAAAATAAAAATATTTCTTTGAAAATGATAATGCAGCAATCATCCGTTTCATTGTCATCTTTTAATCATTTCGAACATCCAATCATTCTTAACAAAAACAAAAACAACAAAAACAACAACAACAATAATATCCATTCATCTATTTCACAAACCAATTTGATTCAAATCATATTGTTTCTCAATGTCATTTACCATCAAACCATACTTTTATTCCTGTCTATAACAACAAAAATAATAATAATTTATCTTTTAATTCATCAATTTCAATTCCTTTTGTTTTGTCCCAATCCCATTTACAGTTACCATTAAATCACTCAACCAACAACCATATTATTTTCTATGACGAGGAAGAGGAAGAGTATGTTCAATTGAACAGCAATACCAGCAACAACACAATCTCATGTTTCAACCATGTTGAACATCAATTAATTTCCATCAACTCTCCATTACCAATTAGCAGTTTTCCATCGTTTTCACACAATATTCACTTTAGCTCAAGCCATGTTTTGTATATCTCAAATCATTCAACAACCAAAAACCATATTATTTTAGAGGAGGAGGAGGACTTCAACAGCAGTCCAATTTCAATCTCGTGTTTCAATGTTAACCATCAATCAAATCTCATCTTAGAGGAGGAGGAGTCTGTTCAATTGAACAGCAGCAATACAATCTCATTTTCGAATTTCAACCAATCAATTCCCATTGATAATAATAATTATAATAATAATCAAAATAATAATAATATTTTATTCTTCAATGTCCATCAATCATCGATTCCATGTTTTAAATCTAGTGATATTTTAACTCATAATCAATCACCACAATTAATATTAAACCATTCAACAACCAACAACCACATTCTTTTAGACAAGGAGGAGGAGTTTGTTCATTTGAACAGCGGTCCAATTTCAATCTCATGTTTCAATGTTAACCATCAATCAAATCTCACCAATAATCATAGTTCATTTTCATTTCCCTTAGAGGAGGAAGAGGAGTCTGTTCAATTGAACAGCAGCAATACAATCTCGTTTTCATATTTCAACCAATCAATTCCCATTGATAATGATAATAATATTTTATTCTTCAATGACCATCAATCATCGATTCCATGTTTTAAATCTAGTGATATTTTAACTCATTCAACAACTGACAACCACATTCTTTTAGAGTTTGTTCAATTGAACAACAGCACACATTCATTAACATGTTTAGACCATGTTAAACATCAATCAATTCCAATTAATAATCAATCAAATAATAATAACTATTTTTCATTAATTCATTCATCATTATTATTGATTTCACCTATTCCATTTTCATCTGATTATTTTAACTCTTCAAACAAATCCACATCATCATCAACATTATATATATTATCAAATACAATCAATTCAACAAGATCAAAGACAATCCCATTTTCAAAATACTCCAGCAACATCTCAAGTATAGAAAACAACAACGCGGTAACAAGCTCTGACAATTTCAACCATTTTACTGATACCTCTTCTTTTATTTTTATAGATACCAAAGTTGCCAACAATTATTTTGATTCTCTCAACTGTTTCGGAACCAATCATTCAAATCATACAGCAATACAACAACAACAACAATCATCATCACCAATCAATCATGATGCCATCCTCACCACGGTCCACATTCACAATTCAACTCACAATCCACATTCACAAATGATTCCACCATCTTCAAATAATAATAATAATACCAATGTATCAGACTCACTTATTCACTCATTATACATGTACACTCCATTTAATTCAAGTGATGTTTCGACCAATTGTCGATCATCACCATTTCTCTTTAATCATTCAACAACCAACCATTTTCTTTTAGAGGACAAGTCGTTCCAATTGAACAACAACAACAACAACAACACAATCATCGATTCCATGTTTTAATTCAAGTAATATTTTAACTCATTGCCAATCAAACAATCTGACAATCCTCACCAATCCATCCACCCTCCACATTCATCTCCAATCGACCCACAATCCTCAAACCATTGAACAATCTTCAAATAATAATAATAATAATAACAAAAATACAAATAAAAACAACACAAGACCAACAATTAATAATAATAATATTAACAATAACATCACAACAACAAATAATAATAACAATAATAACAACAACAATTCCTCTTCCATAGACAAACAACCCCCTCATTGTTCACCAACCAATAATGATCGTAATAATATTGCCATCTTTGCCAATCACTTCAATCCACAGTCATTAAATAATACAAATAACAACAATAACAACAATAACAACAATAATAACAACAATAATTCATTGTCATCATCATTCTCATGCTTCAACCATGTTTCATTCATCTCAACCAGCAATCAAACAAAAAATATTAATAATAATAACAACAACAACAATAATAATAACAATAACAAAAATACAAAAACAAATAACAACATCAATAACACAAGAACAACAAAAAATAATAATAATATTACAATCTTTGCCGATCACTTCAACCCACAATCAATCACAAATCACTCAACAATTTGCAAACAATAATAATACAAACAACAATAATCCAAACAATAATCAAACAACAAAAAATAATCCAACAAACAATAATAATACAAACAACAATAACAATAATAATTCAAACAATACAAATAATAACTTAAAAAATAATAACAAGAATACATTTGATAATAACAACTTAAATAATAATAACAACAACAATAATAACAATATATTATATATGTCACAATCCAACTCTTCCTCCTCCTTTTTTACCTCTTCAATGTACATGCGACCCCTCATTGTTCACCAACAAATAATAATTACAAATCACTCCAATCCACAATCTTCATTCACCAATCAATCATTCATTCATCTAGTCAGTTGCCCCTCCCAAATCCAGTGATCAAGAGTACCAGTTTCCAAGCAACAATCACCACCATTCGTAGACCAACATAATTAACTCTGTATCAAATGTTGATAATTAATTATAAATTTACTGACTCTTTTTCTTTTTATTTTATAGGTACATTACTCTTTCAATCATTCTCTTCAACTCTTTTGGTAACATCTTAATAATAATACAACAATAACTAAAAATAAGAATAATAATAATAATAATAATTACAACCAACAAAAATAACTAATAATTGTAATATTAATAATAATTACAACAACAACCAATTACAATCCTCTTCTTTTCTAAAAAAAAAGATATTCAATTACTTTTACCCAAGTGGTTTCCCTCTCTTCCTACTCTTTTCTTTTTATACATTTTCCGTTGCCTCGTCCGTGTCCAGTCCATCATCATCCATCCATGTTCCACGTTTCCCTAGGCTTTTATACCCAAAAAAGATATTCAATTACTTTTACCCAAGTGGTTTCCTTTACAAAAAGATAATCAATTACTTTTACCCAGAGGGTTTCCCAGGTTCGCCCCCGTGTAAGTCGATTTTCTTCGCATTGGGGGCTTTTTTTTTTTTTTGGACTGTTCCCATGGTCTAAACAACCATGGGAACAACCAAAACTATATTTTTCTATTTCTTTCTTTCTCTCTTTTCTCTCTTTTTTATTTATTAATTAATTCTTTTACCCGCCAAATCAATATTATTTTTCTGACGAATTTAAAATTAATTAATTCATCATCAGAATTGTAATAATTATTTGTAACAACAAATATTTGTGACAATACAACTGTAGCAATATGTGTCTTTATAAAGGTGTGCATCCAAAGATGGTTTATGGGTTTGTAACTTTAATTTATTAAAATTAAAAACTTTAAAATAAAAATAAAATAAAAAAGCAACCACACACCACTTCACCAACTCTGACTTTTTGATCAGACCAGACCATTTATTTTATTTTTCTTGAATTTATAATTATATAATTAATTACTTGTTTCTCACATAATATCAATATTTATTCAAACATATATATATATACATTATCAACTATAGTATATGATAGAAAAGACCATGGTGATATGTAAATTAATGTTAAGACCTCTCTTTGTTTTAAGATTAATATATATTTCTTTTTAACTATTTTTCAATCATTGTTTAGCTCCATCCTCCACCAACCATTCATCGTGGTCATCCTCCACCTTCCACTATCCATTCATTGATAATCAATCGGGCATCGCCAGCAGCCATCATCCGTTGTCCATTGCCTCTCCAGTCATCATTGCCGATGATCAACTATCATCCACCGGTGGAAGACCAACGATGTAATATGCAATATCCGCCAATGAATGATTAAAAATTAGAATTGGAATCATCAAGATAGATTCTTTGACAAACAAAAAAAGGTAGTAATATTAATTTATAAATCATATAAATATTATTTTAAATATATATTTGTATTTTAGAGAGGACATCTGCAATGTACCAAAGTAATTTCATGATAGATTATGTGGGGTTTATGATCATTGTATAATACAATCAACCAATAAAATTATCTTTTAAATTAAAGTTTAATATAAAACTTCAATTCTGTTTAATATCTATTTTAATCTCATTTCTTTCTTGATAATATATTGTCCATCTATCCATCTATCTATCCTCTACCCACCATCCACCATCTACCATCTACCATCTATCCATCCATCATCCACCATCTACCATCCACCATCCACCATCCACCATCTACCATCTATCCATCCATCATCCACCATCCATCCACCATCCATCCACCATCCACCATCCATCCACCATCCATCCACCATCTACCATCCACCATCCACTCTCTATCCATCTACCATCCATCCATCCACCATCCATCCACCATCCATCCACCATCCACCATCCATCCACCATCCACCATCCATCCACCATCTACCATCCATCCATCCACCATCCATCCACCATCCATCCACCATCCACCATCCATCCACCATCCACCATCCACCATCCACTCTCTATCCATCTACCATCCATCCATCCACCATCCATCCACCATCCATCCACCATCTATCCATCCACCATCCATCCACCATCCACCATCCATCCTTCCACCATCCATCCTCCATCCATCCATCTATCTATCCATCCAACATCCATCCATCTACCATCCATCATCCACCATCCACCATCCATCCATCCCCCATCCATCATCCACCATCCACTCTCTATCCATCTACCATCTACCATCCACCAATCCACCATCCACCATCTACATCTATCCATCCATCATCCACCATCTACCATCTATCTATCCATCCACCATCCATCCACCATCCCCGGGCCATCCATTCACTATCCCCCATCCATCCATCCACCATCCATCCATCCACTATCCACCATCCACTATCCCCCATCCATCCACCATCCCCGGGCCATCCATTCACTATCCCCCATCCATCCATCCACCATCCATCTACCATCTATCCATCCACCATCCATCCTCCACCTTATCAACAATAAATTAAATCAATTAACCATTTTCCATTACAACAATTATTCCAACAACCAAAACAAAAATCGTGGATAAATCAATATCATATGGCCACTAAGACAATAATAATATAAAAAAAAAAAAAAAGATCAATCAGCCTATTGTAGTCAATATAGTTTCATCATAATGTAAAATCAGGTGAAACACGAAAATAGAATCATCATTATAATCCTCATAAAAGATTAATTATCAAATGCCAACAACATTGAAAAGCTATAAAACTAACGTCATAGTCGTTTTTATGGGAGATCTCAAGCCGAACGAAACTTTTTTCCTAAAATCAAAGAATTAAATTCAATTAAATAAATAAATATAATCATTACAAGAGTTAGAGTTTTGTCTCGATTCATTGGGCGAGTACCAACAAGATTACATGTATCGAGAAATCTAATTTTAAAATGATTTTTGACATCATCATCCCAAACCCTCACCAAGGTGTAAATGAAAGAAATTAAATTAATCAAATCAATTTAAATTACGCACAATCAGTCGCATACAGATAAATAGATAGATAGAAAAACAATAGATAGATAGATATACATCCTATAAGATAGATAGATGATATTAAAGTATTTCGAAAAGTTAATCATGGGTAATCAGTTGGCTAGTTTAAAAAAGGAGGAAGTTGAAACTCTCTTGTTATCAACTCATTGTACGTCTCTCTCCTATATAGTGTATGATTGATTGATTGATTGATTGTATATTCACTGTTCCTCTTCTTTGATATATTTATAGTTGAAAGTAAAGAATTAAAATCATTATATAAACAATTCAAGAAGGATTCACCAACAGGAATGATAAACAAGGAGGATTTCAAAGAGATTATAACACAGATGGGTATTGGAGATGCTTTCTTGCACGAATTACTATTTAATGTGTTTGACAAGAACAAAGATAATACTATCAACTTTCAAGAGTTTGTTTGTGGACTATCATCAATAACAAGAGGAACACCTGAAGAAAAAATAGAATGTATGAAATAGTAGTAGTAGTACTATTGATAGTATTGACAACAATTGTACTTAGACTGCTTCTCTTCTTTTTTAAATTATAGTTGCATTTTCATTATATGATTTAGATGGAAATGGATATATAACTAAAAAGGAAATGGAAACGATATTAGAGAGCATGTATAAATTGGTAGGACCGTTTGTTACTTGTAGTGGAAAGAGATATGATCCACATGATTTAATAGATGACTTTTTTGACAAGATGGATGAAAATGGTGATGGAAACATATCACTTGAAGAGTATAAAAGAGGTACTTTAAAGAATCCTGATATTATTCAAGGTTTAAGAATTATCAATTAAAATAGAAATATAAAAATAGAAATATTTATATTTATTTCTGTTACAACATTGTACAATATTTGTAAAAACAAAGAATATACTACACTAGGCTGTGTCTTGTTATTTTTTATTAGATTTATTTGTAATGGAAGAATCGGATTGATTTAAACCCATATCAGTCAATTTAGTTCGAATTTGGTCACATGATTCTAATAATTGTTGTTTGGTCGATATTGTACTTTGGGTGTCTGGTTTATCAATAGTCAGTGCAATCTTTCTAACATCATTTCTAAAAGTTTGGAGTAGATCATACAATTCTTTGAGTGTTGGTTCATCAGCATCACCACTTGTTTTAGTAGTAGTAGTAGTATTGATCGATGATTGAAGAGACGCTTCGAGTTGATGTTTCTTTTTCTGTTTCTCAGACATTGTATCTGTGAGACCAAAAATTGAAAACATTCTACGTATGTAGTCGTTTATGTTGGATAGTATGTCTTGGGGTACAGACGATACGAGTTGGTTGGGTGAGGCAAGTGTCAACGATACGAGATTCCCCATTGATCGAATAGCCTTTGCCGTATTAAAGTCTTGTGATAGTGCTTGGTGTACTTCATTCTTGGTGGTGTTGAATGCATCAATGTATTGCTTGGCATCTGTGAACTTTGATCTTTCCAAATTCATATCCAATGGTTCCTTTAATCGTTGCTCTACCAATCCAAACCAACCATAAAATTTATTTGGCAGTGAACTGTAATCATTGTTTGGGTTATAATCAATCTTGTCATAATATCTATTCATTAAACAAATCCATCTTAATGAATCTGCTGTATTTGTTTTTAAATATTCCTAAAAAAAAAAAAAAGAAATACAAATATTAATATTTTGATTTATGCTATATTATATTATGTCTAGACATACTCTAATGGTTATAAAGTTTTTTAAAGATTTTGACATTTTCAAACCTTGAATATTTAAATGACCAATATGAATGAAATAATTGATCCATTGATCGTATTCTCCAGTCTCTGTATTTGGGGTTGGTGAAAAGTTGGCTTCACATTGTGCAATTTCATTCTCGTGATGTGGAAACTTTAAATCAATTCCTCCTGCATGAATATCTAATTTATTACCAAATACTGATCTAAATTGAATTTGGTCAATATACTTTTTCTTTGTTTTAATAATTTAATATTTAAATTATTACATACTCTATCATACTTGAACATTCAATATGCCAACCTGGACGACCTTTACCAAAAGGTGATTCCCAACTAACAATAGTTCCTTTACCATCCTTGTCATAGTCATTACCATAGGTACCTTTCCAAAGTGCAAAATCTCTTGCATCACGTTTAGCATCTACATTGATCTTTAAAGTATCATCCGATATAATATTATCATTGTATACAAATTTACCATACCTATCACCCATTTGCTTGGTGTCAAATAGAATAGAGTTGGTGTTGTCTGATTGAACGTCATAGGCAAATCCATTCTCTTTGATCTTGCCAATAAAGTCAATGATATTATCTATATGTTCTGTAACTCTTGTGATGAGTAGTGGTGGTCGAACATGCAGTGAAGCCATATCATCAACAAACTCTTGCTCCTTTACACGTGCCAACTCTTGAAATGATACACCAGTCTCTTTTGACTTCTTTATAATCTTGTCATCGATATCGGTCATTCCCATTACATGTATTACATTATAATTAAAATAATCATTAATAATTCTTTGAATGATATCAATTGTTACATAAGTTCTAAAATATTAAATAAAGTCTAAAGTTAATGAGATGTAATCCTATATATATAAGTATTAATTTGATTCAATTGAAATTAATTACCTTGCATGACCAAGATGACTACTATCATAAACAGTTGGACCACATGAATACCATGATATATTTCTTCTTTCATCTTTTTGTTCATTATTGGTGTCTTGTTGTTGTTGTTGATGTTGTGGAAGGTTGTTTGATTCCAAGATCAAAGGAAATGGTTTACGATCACCTAGACGATTCAAACTATTACTTATATTGATACCAGTGTAGTGTCCTTGGGTTGGTTGTCTCCAAGTGCCATGTTGTTGTTGTTTATGTATTGTACAATTAGAATGGCTTCTTTTAGTGATGGACTGATCATGATGATGATGATGATAACCATCCAATAAAGATGTACAAGAAGGAATATTATTATGATGATGATGTAATAAACTCAAAGCAGTAGTATGCTTTGTTAGTTTATGTCCATGTCGTAGCATCATCATCTCATCCGTCTGATTATATTACACTTCAATTATGTATATATGTTTGGACTACGAACCTCCAAATTAAGGTTACCTCTCATTGTAACACAAAAAAATAAAAAAAAATGAAAAAAATGTGATGATCTCTCTCTCAGATGATTCAATCATTCTTTGTTCGTTTTTATTAGGCTTTTGTACTATACCAATTTTACTAGTTAGTAGATATTATTTATATTCCTCTTCTATCTCTATATCTAAATAGTAATCACAGCAAAGCAATAGTCGAGACACAAAAAAGAAGAAGAAATGTCTTTAATTAGTAGAGTCGTTGTTAGAGTATGTAGATTAGAGTAATAGTCTTTCGAATGCGATGATGAATGATTTGATGGTGATGACGATGATGACAACGATAAAGCAATGGAACATACAATACAAATGGATTATGGTCAAAATAGCGATAGCATTACATGATGATAGTAGAAGATATGGATACTATCATCATCATCATCATCATCATCATTCATATAGATATTTGCAAATCGATTACATGTAGCTAATATAATATAACTATAACTTGTAGGGATCACAATCATTGGTAAATAAGCCATCAGCTGCATCTGCTATTGGTTACCGTAGTTTCCATACCAGTGCACCAACTTGTAAGTTGACACAATCATGATGACAATGATGATGATGATCATTATCGACACATTTATAACTAACATACAAACTCACTCTTAATTACTATTACAGTCAATGCTAGATGGGACGATAAAGTATGTAGATAGATAACATCAACAATAATATATATGGATTGATTAATGGATATAGACAGACAAACAGACAAACAGAGATATATCTAACAATCATTTATCTTTATATTTTAGAAATCACAACCACCAACTTTAGCAAAGATTGTTGATGAAGCAGCCAATACATTCTTCCTTTCTGAAATCATGGTTGGTCTATATATTACAATGGGATACTTTTTCAGAAAGAAATGTACAATCAATTACCCATTTGAAAAGGGTCCACTTTCACCACGTTTCAGAGGTGAACATGCTCTTCGTCGTTATCCAACTGGTGAGGAACGTTGCATTGCCTGCAAGCTTTGTGAGGCCATTTGCCCAGCACAAGCTATCACTATCGAGGCTGAACCACGTCTCGATGGTTCGCGTAGAACCACCCGTTACGATATTGATATGACCAAATGCATTTACTGTGGTTTCTGTCAAGAAGCCTGTCCAGTAGATGCTATCGTCGAAGGTCCAAACTTTGAATTCACCACTGAATCAAGAATTGAACTATTGTACAATAAGGAGAAATTATTACAAAATGGTAAGACATCAACACAGACACAGATACATACAATTCCAAACCCTCAATTGGATTACTAATTATTTATTTATTTATTAATTTAGGTGATAGATGGGAAACTGAAATTGCTGCCAATATTGCTGCCGATTACCTTTACCGTTAAATATACCAAATATTCTTTTAATAATAATAATAATAATCCAATCCTGTTCTATCAATAATACAATAATCTTTAAATTAAATTAAAAATGCAATGATAAATATTAATAATAATAATATGGTTAGATTGAAATGTGAGTGTAATAGTTCTATTAATTCCATCATCATTAATTACTACACTGATTGGTTGAATGATTGATAAGCATTGAATTTTCAACAAAGAGACAAAAATGATCATGAAAAAAAAAAACGAACGATTCTCAAGCTTGTTAATATTACAATCATTCTTTTTGATTAAATTAACATTATTATAATATAGTAATAGTAATTACTATACCTCTCTATATATTTATAAAGAAATGCAAACAAATAGAGAATTTTTCAGAGCAACTAGAAGAGGCAAATTATTAAAGATTGTTAAAGAGGTTTATTTAAGAGAAGATATATGTTGCGGACACAAGGTGTGTACGAAATGTGAAGACACCAAGAGACAGTTATATACACCAGAGGAAAGAGCAAGATATGAAGATTCATTGTCACAACTGATCGGTGAGACCGTATTGGTACTCGACACCAACGTGGTGTTGCATCAGATCGATTTGTTGGAAGACCCATCACTCAAGAACGTCGTCATCCTCACCACCGTATTGGATGAAGTCAAGAACCAAAACTTTACAATCTACAATCGTATAAGAGAGGTTATCAAAGACAAGACTCGTTCTTTCTACGTATACTCTAATGAACATTCTAAATTTACTGCTATCACTCGTGATAGTGGTGAAACTCCAAATGATCGTAATGATAGAGGTAAATAAGAAATAGATAGATAGATAGAATAGAAAGAATACATGTATTTACTTACTTACTATTTGAATTATTTCTTTTATAGCAATTAGAGTAGCAACAGAATGGTATAAATCACATTTACATAAATTAAATATAAAGGTTGTATTGGTAACCAATGATAGAGACAATGCAACAAAGGCAAAGAAATTGGGTATGGATGTAAAGACGATTAAAGAGTTGGTGTTTGAAATGAGCGATCAGTTTCCATCGTTGGTTGATAAGTTGTCGTCGCCAGAGGATGCTGTTGATTCGGCTGACCCAAACAATGCATCGGCAGTATCAAGTAAAAAGGAGAGATTCAGCTTTGCAGAGCATCGTCCAACTGCAGTGTTGACAGAAGAGCTCAAACAAGGTAAAGTGTTTCAGGGTATTTTAAGAACCGATCAAACCAACTATACTCAGGCAACTGTACAATGCCACTCGATGAACGAGGGTAAAGGTGGAGAGATATTGATCAAAGGCATAGAGAATATGAATCGTGGTGTCGATGGCGATATTGTGGCCATTGAATTGTTGGATCGATCGCTTTGGACGAGTGCGTCGACCGTGATGTTGATGGACGGACAGGGTGTTGCCGAGGACGACGATTCAGTCGCTCAAGACGCGCTCATCAATGTGACACAGACTGCTCAACAACCATGCGGTCGCATTGTAGGTATCATCAAGAGAAATTGGAAGCCATACTGTGGAACGATCGATTTCAAGGGAGACATTACACGTGCGAGCGGTATTCAACAGCTGCTCTTCCTTCCTATGGATCGTCGTGTTCCTCGCATTCGTATTAGAAGTCGTCAGGTCGAGAATTTGGTGGGTCGTCGTATTGTCGTGGCCATTGATCAATGGGACCGTCACAGTCGCTACCCCACCGGCCATTTTGTCAAGGATCTCGGACAGGTTGGCGACAAGGAGACAGAGAGCCAGGTACTCTTGCTCCAGTATGATATCCCACACCATCCATTCAGCGAGGCAGTCATGAAGTGTCTGCCCGACCCAGCGTACATGGAGAACCTCACAGAGAGCGATATGATTGGAAGAAAGGATCTGCGTGGTGAAGTTGTCTTTTCGGTCGATCCACCAGGTTGCACAGATATCGATGACGCGTTGCACGTCAAGCGATTGGACGACGGCAACTTTGAGGTGGGTGTGCATATTGCCGACGTCAGCCACTTTGTGCGCGAGGGGTCTGCTATGGATTTGGAAGCAGCACATCGTAGCACTACCGTGTATTTGGTAGACAGACGTATAGACATGTTGCCCGGTTTATTGTCGGGTAACTTGTGCTCGCTCATGTCAAATGTTGACCGTTTCTCATTTTCGTGTATTTGGAAGATGTCGCCCGAGGGTGTCGTTCTCAATGTTGACTACACCAAGAGTATTATCCGCTCGGTCGCATCGCTCACGTACGAGCAGGCACAGATCAAGATTGACGACGCCACGCAACACGACGCCGTTGCCACCAACCTGCGCCACCTGCTGTCGCTCTCCAAGAAGCTCAAGCAGCAGCGTATCGAGATGGGTGCACTCGTGCTTGCGTCCCCACAGGTCAAGTTCAAGACCGAGGAGCTTGGCGGCGACCCCTCCGACGTCGAGCTGTACCAGATGCGTGAGACCAACTCGATGATCGAAGAGTTTATGTTGTTGGCCAATATTTGGGTTGGCAAAAAGATCCACCAACACTTCCCCGGCTGCGCTTTGCTGCGTCGCCATCCTACACCCAAGGCGTCCGCCTTTGACCTGCTCACCAAGCTGATTGAGCAGCGCGGTCTCGCGTTTGACACGTCCAGCAGCAAGGCCTTGGCCGAGTCACTCGACCGCTGCGATATTGGCGGCGACACCTACTTCAACACGCTCTGTCGTATCATGACGACGCGTTGCATGTCGCCCGCTCTCTACTTTAGCAGTGGCAGCCAGCCCTACGAAGAGTACCATCACTATGGTTTGGCCTGCGACATTTACACACATTTTACATCGCCTATTCGTCGTTACCCAGACGTCATTGTACATAGACTATTGGCTTCATCGATTGGTGTCTCGTCGGTGTCGCTCAACATGGAAAACAAAACCATTTCCAACATGTGTGACACTATGAACAAGCGTCATCGTATGGCTCAGTTTGCCGGCCGTGGTAGCACCACCCTGCACACACTCATCTTTTTCAAGAACCGCAAGACTGTCGAACAAGCCTATATTATCCGTGTCAAGGCCAACGCCTTTGTCGTGCTCGTCCCACGCTACGGCTTTGAAACAACCGTCTATGTTTCCGAGCCAAATGCCCCAACCACCTTCCAATACGACTGCAACAGCCAGACACTCAGCAACGGAACCCTCACCTTTAGAGTGTTTGACCAAGTCACTGTAGAGATTTACGTCGACGAGACCAAGGCCCACGACCAAAAACTCAAAACTGTCTGTGTCAATCCAAAGATTGATTTTGTCAATGCCCAAGACGACCCGGATAGTAGAATCAAAGAGGAGGAGGAAGAAGAACAAGAGGAGGAAAAGAAACAACAGAACGGGGAAAAGAGGGGCACCAAAAACAAAAGAGATGAAAATGTGGTTGCCCAACCCTCAAACAACGCAGCCCCCAAAAAACCATCCACTGAAAAGACGACCACAAAGAAACAACCATCAACAAAAAAGATCAAACAATAAACTTAGGAAAGAAACACTAAAGTGTAGATCTTTTTTGATCAAGACCCATTCCTCCCTTTTATATTCATCAATGAAAAGTTTACTTTGGATATTTTGCCTTGAACGAGGAACGAGACGGGCGAGTAGCATCTTCGAGGACCTGACGTTTGACTATTCGTTTAATTGAATAAGATTGACCGACTCAACCGAGCGAATTCAGAGCAAAGGAAAGATCCAAATTAGAATCTTCGTTTACTTTATATCTTTGATCGACGACCTCGTGATAGATCATTAAAAATCTTGACTAGGCGAGCACCATTTGGCACAACTCTCTCCTCCGGAGAATAATGATATCTCCGCCGCCCCCTCCATTGTTTCAAAGGGAATGCAAGAGTTTACTCGGGCAGCAAAGAATCTCGACTTGACGCTTTGCAATCGATTGATTGTTTGGGCGCGGCACCTTCACCAAAGACGACTGCGTGGCAATGGATGAAAAGGAAGGGGCTTTTGATCTGACAAGGGATAGGTCTTATCATCAAGATACCAAAGTGTAATAGCAAGTAAAGATGATGATTGATCAACCACCAACCCCTAATTATACCGGAATGTGTTGCTTTTAGCCAAGAGAAGATCCGTTTCCAAATTTGTCGGGCGAGTGATGGGTATTAAAATCGAATGGTTGATCATTTGCAATGAATGAATTTGATTTAAAAATATTACTCATGATGATACATAAACTTGGTTGACCGACCCTCATAGTTGATAATACTTGGGCTAGGATTGGTGCGAGCTGAAATAAACTGCGGGATTCATCATCTTCATCACCATCGATGAATGGGTTTTCTTGTTTGCATCATCAAAATGGATATTCGTATAGGTTTTGGAGAGACACTTGCATCGCTGTTCTCGTTGCAAAGATGAATGGAGATTGATGTTTTCATTGCAAAGCTATGTGTAGAGATAAATAAAGGGTGGTATCCCCCCCAAAAAATGTAAGGGTTCGCACATTTATAAATGCCCCATCAAATTTTTAAAACTATGCAAATAATTTGTTCAGGCCTTTTCAGTTGCTTTGTAACCTGGATAAACTTAATGGCAATCCAAAACCTATAAAAGACCAATCTTTGGGATCATTCATTCAATTCATTCAACTCGAACAAACAAACAATCAAGTAACCAAACAAATATTTATTATTCCAAATAATTATAATTAATTCCAAAATGTTTAAATACACTTTTTCCATTATTTTCCTTATCGCCATATTTTTTACTATCGCTCAATCACTAGCAACCACTCCAACTGGATTCACTACTTTAACAACGTTTGTATTATAATTTATAAAATTTTATTATAATTCTTTGTCTTTGTACTTATTCTTTTTTTCTTTTTTTCTTTTTTTTTTCCAATCCTTAGTCTTGCCCAAACCGAAGATGTTTTGTATGATAGTGATCCTGATACCCTTATTGTTTTCTATTTTATCACTCAAATTTGTGCAACTGGTCCAACATGGAAATCGGATCTTGGCACCTTGAAAACATTGTACCCAACTGTTAACTTTTATGAACTTTCTGTAGACTTGTATCCAGCTGTCACTGATCATATTGCAACAATGACCTATGGAGTAGTTCCATCTTTGAAGGGATTCAAATTTTGGAATGAAACTCAAGACTATCTCTTTTTAAGAGCAGGTCAGAATTTCAATTCTCTCAAGAATGATATTAATCTACACAAGTAAATTCAATCATACCCTTCCATTCCCTCCACTCATTCCATATTTCTACCTCTATACCCTAAACATGACTTCATGTTTATAATTTTCATCAACATAACAGCGGCACCAACATTTTTTTAATAATATATTACATTTTTTTAAAATGGTTGTATCGATATCGAGACACAACCACGCAATCAATCAACCCAATCCAAACCTCAATTAAAATAAATTAAACCATCACTTTTAAATACTTTTCTTGTTTCGGTTCATTCCTTTAAATCTCAATTGTGGAGCCTTGAGACCATCGAAAATGTGATTTTTAATTAACAAAAAATTAATTCATTCATTTTATCATGTGATCGGAGGTTGTGGAGTGAGCGCTTTTAAAGAAATTAAAGAGTCTGTTCAATTCAAGAAGAGACAAGCAATGCTTAGAAAATCAACAGACTTGATATTGAAAAGAAGAGGACTCTTTTCTTCTTCATCATCATTATCATATGTTAAATTAAACGAAAAGAACAAGAAGAATCAATATAGTTATGAAAATGGTTATCAATATTCATCATCTTCTTCATCTTCATCGACATCAACAAATAATAATAGATTAATATGGACGACAGTTGCTTCTCTATTCACTCTTGGTGTAACTATTCAAATTCAACTACAATCAGCGTTCATAAGAACTAACATTCATTCATTCAATCATTTTTAGTGTGCAGCTACAACCTCTACAATATTATTATTAGAAGATAATAACCCACATCATAATACAAAGGAATCTAGACTACCAATTGAATTTATTAGTTTATTGATTAGTAAATTTGGAGATAGAGTTGTATTTACCATTGATGATAGAGAAGCACATGGAAAGGATTTCAGTTACCATCCACCTGAAAACCCCGATGCTGTCATTTACCCAACATCACAAGAAGAGGTGCAATTGATTGCTCGATTGTGTGCAGACTATAACATCCCAATCATTCCATTTGGTTCAGGAACCAGTTTGGAAGGTCATATCCTTGCCACCAATGGTGGTGTTTGTGTCGATTTCAAATTGATGAAGTCGGTCATCAAGGTACGTCCCGAGGACATGGACGTTACCGTGCAACCAGGTATCAGTTACGACGAACTCAATGAACATCTTAAACCATTTGGTTTCTTTTTCCCAATGGACCCTGGACCCGGTGCATCAATTGGTGGTATGGTTGGCACCAGTTGCTCGGGTACACACGCAATGCGATACGGTACCATGAAGGAGAATGTAGTCTCTCTCAAGGTTGTCTTGCCCAATGGCAAGTTGGTCACCACCAAATCACGTGCTAAAAAGTCGTCAGCTGGTTACGATCTCACTCATCTATTCATTGGTGCCGAGGGCACACTCGGTATTGTCACCGAGGTCACTGTCAAGTTGCAACCCATCCCTCAAAAGGTGGCCGTTGCTCATGCCACCTTTGAAAATATTGGTGATGCCTGTAACTCGGTCATCAAGACAATGCAGTCGGGTGTCCAAATCGGACGTGCTGAATTACTTGACGACGTCATGATGAAGGCCGTCAACTTGAGCAGCTCTACCGACTATCCCGTCAAAAACACCCTTCTCTTTGAATTCTCTGGCTCACCACAACAGGTTCAAGACCAGATTGCACACGTCGAGGTCATTGCACGTGCAAACGGAGCCACTCAATTCTCGTTTGCCACTGAAGAAGAGGAAAAGGAGAAACTCTGGTTTGCCCGCAAGGTCGCCCTCTGGAGTGCACCATCGCTCAAGCCAGGCTCCGAGGTCATTATCACCGACGTCTGCGTCCCCATTTCACGTCTATCCGATATCATTGAAGAAACCAAAGCGGAACTTTTAACCACAAGCATCATCGCACCGCTCGTCAGTCATGCTGGCGATGGTAACTTTCATCTCTTTATCCTTTTCAATCCAAATGATCCATTTGAAGTAAAGGAAGCTAAACAAATTAGTGATAATCTTGTTGAACGTGCCATTGGTATGAATGGTACTTGTACTGGTGAACATGGTGTTGCTGTAAGTTAAAAAATATAATTTAAGTATTTATAAATATAAAAAAAAGTATTAACCTTTTTTTATATATCTATCTATATTATATATAGCTTGGTAAAAAGAAATATTTGGAAAAGGAATTAGGTAAAGAAGCAGTTGATTTAATGAAACTTATCAAGAAAACAATTGATCCAAAGAATTTAATGAATCCAGGAAAGGTTGTTGATGTTTAAACTGTAATAAACTATACTAGTTGATTTTTGGATAATATTTAACAAAAGGGGGGGTTTTTTGATTGGTTGGAGGGGATTTATTATTATTATTATAAATATGATTTGGTGGATGGGGAAACTGGAAAAAAAAAAAAGGTGGAAGGTAATAATTATAAAATCTATTATTGATCTATTATCTATCTCTCTCACTCACTCTCTTTTTTTTTTACTTTCGACACTTTGAGAATGAGAAACCACCACAAGCCATTACGACAATAAAGAATATAATAATCTAAAACAAAAACAGATTATTAGTTATTTCTATTTATCATCAAATATATTTGATTACTCTTTTGTTTTAAACTTACAGCAACTACCAAAGCAATGATTAACATTAATTTTACATTTTTCCACCACATGGCACATTTTAATTGTTTACTTTGTTTCTTAAATTTGAATGATTGTTGATTGAGTGATTCTGTACGATCGACCAATATTTCAATCTTTTCACCACGCTTTAAAAGTTGTGGAGCAATATCACTAACCAATATATTCTTTACTTCATCAACCTCTGCTTGAGTACGGCTCAACTTGTCGGCACCAGCATTATTTGAGTAATAGTCCATTAAATTTTCCAATGTTCGTGAGAAATCAGCATTCTACAAATATAATTAAAGGTTAGAGTAATATGATAGAATATGTATATATGTTTGGTCATCATACCATGCCATATGCAAGGGCAGTCTTTCCTTTATCTCCATATACTGATTTGAATCTATTCTTGACATCCTCTAAAAATGCAAATGGTATTCTTCTACCAAAGTCTTGATCTGCCATACATAAATAGGTCAATGAATCATTTACTAAATAATGGAAAATATATCTATAGGAAGAGGGAGAGGGAGATAGAGGGAGAGAGAGAAAATAAGTTAACACGCAACTACTAAAGTCTCAAAAGTACAATTCATTCATTTCAATTGACATACTTTTCATAGACATATGACATCTTTGTATCTGTATTTGGAGGAATCAAATCTAATATTCTTCTTGTGATGGTAGTAAAGTTACCAGTTGTATTTGTGAACTCGGCAAGTACCGAAGATCCTCTTGCAACTAATGAATAGATGAGGGGCATTTTTCTAAACTATCTCTCTAATCTATAAATGTATATATATTGTGTATGTATGTATGTAAGTTGTAAACTACAGCAGTTATCAATGATGTGATGAATGATGATGTATCTGCAGTTTCTCTCTCTTCAATTGCAATTCTTTGTAGGGGATGCAGAGAGTCACTAAATTAATTTTAAAAAGGCAAGGAAAAGTATTTGAATAAAATTATTTTCTTTTTTTTTTTTTCAAAACAAGGAGGATCTGTTGGGGGGTGGGCCATCCTCAAAACTTAAAAAGTAAGGAAATAAGTATTTAAAATGTATCTTATATACAGATATTGTGGTTTATTGTGGATTTGTTCAAAATATTAGGTTGATGATGGAATAGAAATTTAATCATTCCTTCGTATATCCTTTGGTTTTATTTAGTTTAGTTTGTTGTGTATTATATAATATTAAATATTATTTATAGATTAATCTTGGTGTAATTTGTTTGAATGAGGTGACAAGATACTAAGAACATAGAATAAAATGGGGATTATCATTTGTGCAAAGAATACTGATGTTACTGGGGCAATATATCCAAGTAGCGTAAGTGGAATATATGTCAGTGCAATAATTAAAACAATATGGAAAAATTGATACCATGTCTCTTTGAAATCCTATTATATAAATAAATTAATTAATTAATTAATTAATTAATATATATTAGTATAAATCCACATGAGAGAAATTAAATTAATTTAACTAGTACATACAGATTCATCGAAATCACCAAATGAAGAATCAGATGAAAACATAGAGGTTCGACCAAATAGTATTGGTAGTGATACTAGAATGACTACTGATAATATGATGGAAAGTAGTTTGAGTATATGGTTGAAGGTTGAATTACTAAATAGGACATTATTGGCATCATAGATGGTTTGGAACCATGTAAGAGCTTGCAATGAAACATAAAATGTTATAAATGAAACATCCATAATAGTTGCCTCTTCAACCACCATCATCAATGGAATTAATACCACCAATAATGTACAAATTATAGATAGGAAACTAAATAGATAAATAAATTATAATAAATGGTTAGAAGAATGAATGATCAAAGTTTCAAATCCTCTGTTTATCTTATCCTACCTTGATGAAACGATTGTTAATTTATCACTCTTGAATATTGATACAACGATAAACAATGAGAATAGGTAACAAAAGATGGATGCAATGATCATAAACACCTTGACAGGTACATCGTATGAAGAATCCAATGTTTTAAGTAGGAGAGTCTGTCTAGTTGCCAAAATGACATTGACCGATTGGAATGATTCGAGTATGATTAAAACAGGTGCCAACCAATCCAATATCACTGTATATATGTTGATTGATAGATCTGGTAGTACAAGATATCCAACACAACAAACTATATACAATAATATAATCTCTAATAATCCACTTAATTTATCCTAAAGATAGAGTAGGTATTAGTATCAATATATCTATCTTATTATTACTATTATTACTATAGATATGACATACCCATAATCTAGGCAAGAATAAAGTAATTAACAATAATATAAGTCTATAAGATAATAATAATAGTGAAAGCTTTGCAGTCAATTCAAAACTCCATAGTGAAGAGAGAACAAGACATCCTAAAGGTGCAATAAATGTAAAGAATAACTTTAATAAATATATTAGCATCTCTTTCTCTCCTAGCTATTCTTAATATGTGTATGTCACTGAAGAAACTAATAAATAATAAAAAGAAAGAGAGTTTAAAGAATGTACCCGCTCGTAGTCTCTCTCATGTTCCCTCGCTTTTTTTTAGATTGTTGAACTTCGAAGAGTAGTGAATACCCAACCCCCTAAAGAAAGAAAGATGGTACTTGTTTTTTTATTGTTCTTATTCTTTCGTTCACAGATAAGATATTGTAGTAGGAGGGATTTAATAGAATCGGAACCAACCAACATAAATGAATCTAAAATGTTCATAATTATGTCACTATTACTCGTCAGAGTCTGTCTGCAACTACAAAAATATCTTGGGATTCGCATATTCTATTAATTAATCGATTCATTATTAATGAACCGACGATTCAAATAGGTAGTAGACCAAAGTGAACGTTCATTATATCAGTATTTGTATTACATCTATCAACAACATACCTCAAAGTAAAGTAGTGAGAATAGATTAGTGCTACGAATAACAGACAGAACGAGGAGAGGAGTTACACCACCCAACCTCAAATAAGAATCATATATAAAGAACATGTTTACATCAGCACTTAAAAGTTCATGGGGTAGATACAAAGTACTACTTGAAACTGCACCATTTGCAACAAAGTGTCTTACAGCTGCTGGTAAATTAATTTTCGAATCTTTCGTCGTCTACGATTAATCTTAAACCATCTATCTATCTCTCTCTCTGTCTTTATAGGAATTGTAACATTGAGTGATACAGCATCACAATATCTAGAAAATAAAGGAACAGATAAGAAATGGGATCCAAAAAGAACATTTATGATGTCTACTATATCCATTCTAGTGATGTCTCCTCAAATATACCAGTAAGTCAACTATGACAATTAAATCACACTGGACAGTATCTTGACTAATCCCTCACCCATCTCTCTTGTAGTTGGTTAAAATTCCTTGATAAGAGATTCCCTTCGACAGGAATGATTTCAACCACTGGAAAAGTAGTTGTCGATCAATTATTATTTAGTCCATGGTTGATCAATTGTAACTTTGCCGCCGTTCAATTCTTCCGTAATGGTGGTAAATTCGATCTTGATCTACATAAAGAGAAATTGGAAAGAGATTTTTTTAGTACAGTTAAACAAGCTTGGTATGTTAGTTATACAATATAATCAATCAATCAATCAAATAGATCTAGATATTAATCCCATTGTGATATAATTTATAGGACTATTTGGCCAGTTGCAAATTTCATTATATTTTCTATTATTCCTTATAACTATAGAATGGGTGCTGGTAACCTTGTCACTGCATATTGGAGTGGTTATTTATCATCCATGTCAAACAAAACACAATCCCCACCATCATCAACTACGCCAACACAACAACAATCTACTATAACTACACCTAATAATATTACAACTACTACTACTACTACGACCACCGCTGCGACTGTAACACCAACTTCTCTTTAAATATATACTATATGTTTAGTTATTTATCTACAAAATATACAACTTATTGTATATTAATTAATTATTAATTATTTATGATCATCACTATTATTAATTGTTATCATTATCATTATTATGATTATGATTAAAGTGATGATGATGATCAGTATGACTATGTTCAAAAGTTTGCTTTTTCAATTCCTTTTCAACATCCTTTTTAAGTTCTTTGTAGATACGGAAACCATGCCAAATATTAATGACTGCATAGAGGATGGTGGTTGGAACGATCCATAGGATGTTTGGCATACCTGCTGCTACGACCAACGCAGTGCTGTAGATGATCGAAGTGGCCTCGACATTGAATACGTAGCGGTTGTACGATCTACTCGTAGAGATGACATTGTCGTTACAGTAGCGACGATAGGTGTGTACACCGGCCACGAGAACCGATGCAATGGCTGTGTTTCGAATGCCAGCAGCTACAGTCTGCCATGGTCTCTTTCGCAGTCTGACATAGGCATACAATCCACCGACCAAGCCATACGCCAACACACCACCTGCACCAACAGGACTCTCATACATCTCTTGTAGTCTGCCCAAGAACTGACTCTTTTCAACGAAAAAGTCATTGTTGAATGGGCCTTGTAGTTTAATCTGTGGGTATCGTCTCTTGAGCTCAATGATCTTTGATTTGGTGGCGTCGGGTATATCAACACCACTAAACATTGATAGTTGGAAGAGTAGTGATAATTGATACTCTAGATTCTTTAAATAGTCTCTTCCACTCTGTGTATTGGTATCTACCACCAAATCCTTTCCAGTTTGATTCATTCTTTCAACAATCATATCAAATACTCCTTTTCTATATAATAATTCTCTTCCTCCTAAAATACAAATCAATAAATATTCTTGTTCACAATATATGATATATATATTCTATTCATTTCTACATACTTTGATAAGTTGATATTTCATATAATAATTGAACACCTTGAATTGATAATCTATCTCTTTGGAGTAGATCAATGTATTTAACCAATTCACCAGTATTATTCCATAATCCAATGGGAGGTGACCACCAAACTGTACATTTTTGAATAATTGGATGATTAGTTTAAAGTGATTAAGATATAGTATAATACTATAATATTTATACATACAATAATTGAGTATACGAGATAGATAGGAAGGTTTATCTTTTTGATCATCTTGATCTGTTAGGTACAATACAGTTGAACCAAAACTAATACCAGAGATGGCAGCACCAATTAAAAATGCAATGTAATTGTTCCAATCTCTATTTGCTCCTGTTAATCTCCAATCTGCTTTTGTATAAACATTCTCTTTCCTTTGTTGTTGTTGTTGTTGTTGTTGTTGTTGTTGTTGTTGTTGTTCTTGTTGTTGATTATGATCAGTTGAATAGTATCTATAGTTTTTAAATGTGTTGTTGTTGTTGTTTATAGTAGAGGTAGTAGTATTAATTGTAGCAATATTACGATTATAACCAATAGCTCCAACCAATGCTGGATGGATAGATGATCTACAATATCCACTGATCAGTGAAGCAGTGGATGTTAATGAAGTGGAAGATGTTATGAATTTCTTTATCATTCCTTCTTTCCTTCTTCTTTGTTGTCAACGATCAATAATATATATATGAAATATGATGTAATGCAATGTAAGGTAAGGTTTCCCAGGTCAAACTAGTTTCTAGAAAAGGAAATGTACAATAATAGCTGATGATGATGAAGAGGATGAGGTGTCAAAACTAGTGAGCAATGAGGCTACACCAATGTCCGAGTATGGTAGAGATGAGGAAGAAGTAAGTAGGGTAGGTAGGGCAATGTAAAGAAGCTCTTTAAAATTAAATGAATATTTATTTTCTTTGGGGGTTTTGAAAATTTTTGGTTGGGAGTACCGCCTCAGAATCTATTTATTTGTAAAACTTATTTCTCTCTATGGTCTTCTTTATTTTTAATTATTCTTTTACCAATCGATAGATCTTTTCATTATCTATCAAATGGTTGACAAAAAAATTTGCGAGAGGTTCACCCTTCTAAAAAGTACTTTCCGTAAAGTCGCCATTAGCCATGGGCTAAGATGAGGTCTAGAAAGCATTGTTTGGAAAAACAAATGATATAAACAGAAAGAGCACAAAAAGTTGTATCTATTGGTGATATTGGATCGTCGTTTCAAAGATTATTCAAATAAAAAAAATGCTATTCTTCAAAGCCTATCTCATATAGTAAACATGCAACCATATAAAACTACGTGCTACATGGATCGGATCACGATTAATCAAATAAAAAGACAAGCGCCAACGCAAGAGGTGTAGGCGCCTTGAATCTTCAACATTATATGCACTGGTGTCGGCAGTGTTCAATGCATGCCACATCCAGCAACGCTAGACAAGATGGTTAGTATATTTGGAATGGATCAATAATCAAATAATTCAGAAGTGGTCAATCTCAAAACAATTGTGAACGCTCAAGAGTAATGGTAGCTTAATCTCATATATCGATATCATGGTTATTTATTTGGTACATACTAGTATTATTGTAATTGGCTCTTTTAAAACCCATCAAGGCTAGTGGTCATGGACAATTTCGCATTCGGTCTATCAAAACCATCCATTCTAAAAGATAATAAATAATAATTAGTAAACAGTATTTATGACAGTAATTTTACAAGATACATATCTTTACAGTTTTTAAAAATGGACCAACTCGTCTCTAATCAATTGATTCTATATTTAAAGTACCAATATATACAGACTTGTTATAGATTTAAAATAAAAAACCCATCATCAAGAAAGAAAACACATACAATCTTTATGAAAGAAGAAATTGACGACCAATCAACTTTGCCCTCACGCGGTAAACAAATGGCCTTGTTTGGAAACTTATGAATATACCTACCGAAACAAACCCGCACACTCCAAGCACGCCAAATGATCGATCAATTCCCCCAACACTCAAACTATACTTGTTTGGTTCCCCAACTTTGAGAATCCCATTTAAATATCTACAACATATCATCTAACAACTGTGTGTATGAAAAAATCTTTCTCTTTTCATTGCGGTTGTGGAAGAGGAGGATGAAAGAGATGTAGGCCTGGAGGAGATGAAGAGGAGGGAGGAAGGGGCCGAGTTATCATACAAATTTAAAACTATAATGGGTTGACATAGTTTTAAAATTAGTTGTGAATCATCACAGAGTGATTGTTGGTCTACGTCATGTCCTCTAAAGGCGTCATTCCCATTGTTGATTGACTGATTGATGATTGTTTAAAATATCTTGATGAATCTAATCGATCGATGGTTATTGTTGTTGGTGTCATGATGATGATGAATGAAAATTCTCCCTCCAAAATTAATTAATTCTCTTCATGACATGATAGTGCTGTGCTGTACTGTGTTCTCATATTTACTACTTGTATTGTACTGCGCGAGACCCATCCTAAAGTTAAATTCATTCATTCATTCGAGACAGACATCATCCATCAAATGACGATGATGATTGAGATTTAATTTAACTTGTTACCCTATACTACTTGTGTTGATGATCAATATTCACATCATCATCATCATCAACATCATCATCATCATGACTTTTATATCTCTAAGTATTGTATTGTAATTGTATTGTTCTTATTCTTATGACTCTGTGATGATCATGATGTTTGTTGGCGTTTGTGAATGCTCCATTTGCAAATTTGAACCCAAAATCTCTTAGTTGCTTACTAGTATGAAAAGGTGACACTGATGATAATATTCTTTTGAAGAAAGGAATTAGTATACATCAACAACTACTACTAGTTAATATCGTATATGCAACTTACTGTGTCGCTTTATAATAATTCTTTTTTCCATCTTTTGCTTCCTTGTGCATCTTTCTAATGATGTTGATACAACTAAAATCTCTTGGTGACATAAAAACTGTACCATCTTTGTTGATCTTTTCTCCTTTGGGGTCGAGAGTTGTCTTGATACCTCTTCCATGTTTAGACATGCTCAAACTTCTTAGAACCTCTGCTTGTAGTACTTCGTCGCCATTTGTATGTCTTCTCAACAGGAATGACGTTTTATTTCTAATGCGTTGCACTTGTCTTAATGGGAATGTTGGTTTAACACGGTCGCCAATTAATCGTTGGTAGACTGTTGGAGGTGTTGTTGTTGTTGTTGTTGTTGCTGCTGCTGCTGCTGGTGATGCAGAGATTGTTGTTATTGGTACTAATGCTACTGATACTGATGCTGCTGCTGATGCAGTGATAGTTTACTCATGATTAATATGCTTAAAATAAAGATAAAAATATATCTATAATATTGATAATTCATTAAATAAAGATATTATCAATTTAATTAAATAATTAATTGTTTGTTTATTGATTCTACACTTTTTTTTTTTTTTTTTTTTTAAATTTTTTTTTCTCATGAGATAGTGCGATCTTTATGCGTGCCGTAGGTGACTGACCTGATACATTGCGAGGTTTGAACATTTGTTTCAAAACAACAACAGCAAATAGCCCCTCTCTCTCATTAATAAATGGATCCTATCAAAAAGAAGAAACAACAATAGAATCATACCCTGATTTGGTATCATACACCCCCTCTCCCTCCTCCTCTTCTCTTCCATTTTAGATCTTGGTTCATATAATGAGCCTAATCCGCACCCCCCATCCTCCTCCTTATCCGCCTCACTCATATAGTGAATCAACACGCCCATAATCTGACGGTTACATCAAAGAATGATCGTGCTTTGGTGATCATATCCAACCATGACTACCACCCCCCTATCCTCCTCCTTATCCCCCTCACTCATATGTTGAATCATAAATGATCGTGCTGCTGTGGCTCACCTAGGCATCATGAATGCCCCCATTAAACGGTGGTGATGACACAGTTCGGGTATTAAGAAACCACCATACGATTATGATATCATTGGGACACAACCCCATCTGTATATGTATCACCCTCACTTTTTGTTGGTAATCAACAAAGACAAGAAAACATTTGTTTAAAATAAAATATTATTCATCAAGCTCCAATGTTCTCTATTTAAAGTGTTCTTTTTTCTCATCACATCATTATTCATTTTATCTATCTTTTCTTCAATTCATTATCTTTCTGCTATATTGTATTACCTTTATATATTTTTTATATAGGAAGCTTCTAATTGAGGTTCACTATCGCACAGTGGTCATCATGAATGGCCCACTTCCATCCGCAACAGAGACAAGAACAACTCAATACCCTCTCGATCGTCTCATGGGTAAGAAGTGGAATAACGAACAAAACTTGTTTGTGACACATCTCGGCCAATATGCAAGATACTATCACTCTGTTAAGAGGTTAGTAGGCCAATTTTTTTTAATATTTGTATACGACTTTAATAACAGTAAGATATCATCAACCTTTTTTTTTTTTTGAACATGAATCATTCAGATAAGTTCATGAACTAATTGATCGATTTCATGTATTTTACCATTTTTAGTGTTTAGTTTGTCCCGACAAGAACTCGAAAAAGTAATACCAAAGTATTACGACATGAGTGTTCTTTCAAAGAACAAAACAAATGAATTATATGAAAAAATGGAAAATCGGTTGACTTTGCCGATTCGATGGGATTCTCTAATTGTGGAGGCCATCATCTCAAAGGTGATGGACATAGACACACGCAAAAGCAGTAATAGTCCAAGAGATTATGTATGTATAACAGTCTGTGACAGTTATGATGTGTAATAATAAATTAATTTTTATTTTATTCTTTGTTTACTCTTTACAGAATTCTGCACAAGATGTCCAAGCAAAAGAGAAAATCGTCAACAAAATGCTATCGAGAACATTTGCCAAACTCAAGGTAGACGAGATGGTTGCAAAATATCAAATCCTCCGATATGCACTCCTTGACCCAGATCTGAATCCAATTGGCTGTTGCCACTCTTATAAAACCGCCTTTGCCAACTCCATTTGCAATAGTTACTCGGCCGAGGTGGCCGAGACCTGCAAAAGGATGGTGGAGAGTGCTTTAGACCGTCAAGATGACCGAAACATATTCATTCCACCACGAGTCCAAGTTGGTGTCGGATCTTCTGGAGGATATACTTGCCAAAATAGATGATGGTGATATCGGTGAAGGGTACCAAGCTCTCAAACTAATATTTTCATCTCAACCATTAAAAGGTATGTCATTGATATTAACACCATCACAGGTTTTTTTTAAATATCTTCTTGCGTCGGTTCATGTAACTCGATCTCTCATTTTGTTTATCTTTTTCTCATACACGTCAAAAGGGGCAGTTTGCGGAGTGTCGATCAGATCTTTTTTTTTTTTTAATATTTTCATTTTTTTTTTCATCTCAAACAACTCACAGAAACCAAATTTAGAGAATGTATATTAAACTATTAAATAACATCGCACACTCAACACAACATTATCAATAGATAGAATACAGCGAGTATTGTTTATAGTTACACTTTTAGTGTAAGAACCCACACATCACTATCATTACTCCTCTTTTACACCATTTCTTTTTGATTATCTTTTGTTTTCATTGGTTTACCAATCAATGCACCACCCATCTCTTTCCTTTTAACTACTCATTGTTGGCCAAGTTCATCTTTACATATCATTGACCTCTTGTGTTCACTCATAAATTATATAATCCTTTTTGATCCAAATCAAGTACCAATCTACACTACCACTCTTTATCGCTCTGCATCCTTTTTGTTGTTCGTTTGATCCACTCTCCTATCCGACAAACTTTCTTTACCACTTAACTTTCCATCAGATACTGCAATCAATCACTACCATTGCTCCTCTTTTACCCTTTCTTGTTTTGATTATATTTGTTTTTATTATCGAGATGCACCACCCATCTAACCACTCGCCTCATTGTTGGTCCCAGTCTATTTCATTCTCTTCCTAATTGTGCACCAACCAAACACATCGCCCAACTTTTATCATTTGTTTTGTTTGGTCAATGATAAGTGTAATCATCAACACCTTTTTCAAATACCATGCATGGTCTGTTCACCAAGCTATACACTACTTGGCCATCTCTTATTTTTTATTTGCTCTTTGTTCAAAATAACCACACCCTTTTGTTTGTTAGTTTGATTCACGGTAACTTTCTTTATCACTTATCTTTCCATCAGATCGATAATGCAAAACATCACAATCATTGCTTTTACACCATTTCTTTTTTGTTTTCATTATCCAATCAACGCATCCCTATCTCTTTTGCCTGCTCTCTCTATGCAGTGACAGACCTGTCAAACCTTTTTTTTTTAATTTTAAACCTCTCTAACATTTATTACATTTATCATTATAGATCATAATTTGGAATGTGAAAAGAAAAGGTTAAAATTAAAAGAGGAAAGAGAGGCCAAGCAAAATCAAGAGCCAGCCATTCCCAAGGAAAAAAAAAAGAAGAAACAGTTTTTGGGTGACAAAAGGCCTGAAAACTTTGATGAAATCAATTTTGATGGATCTGTTTATTCAATATCAAATTTGGCCACAGATTTAGAGATTGATAGCAAAAATGTAAAGAAATTAAAGGTTGAAGAACATATATCTGGTGATTATTTACAATCTGAACTCTCATCAAAGTTGGAAGCGTTGATCCAATCATCAACATCAATAAGTGCCTGGAGTGGGTTAAATACCCTCCAATTGAATAGATTGAAAATGCTAAATTTGGAAAATATAATTAATCCGTAACTATTATTATTATTATTTCTTTTGTTATTTTTTATTATTATTATCATTAAATTAACTAATCAAATGCTTTTTTTGTAATCTTATTTTTTTTTCTATAGAGAGGACAATTCAATCGATTTTTCAAAGTTGACAAAAGATCAATATCCATCTTTAATGGATTTTTGTGAATCAAATGGATACAAGTTTCCAAAAGGATATGACCCTACAGGATTGAAATCCCTCATGACGTCCGATTTGGAGACGATAAAAACTACTCCTTTCGCATTGAATAGCTTTGCACCACAAGCAAAGTATGTATAAAACAATTGACCAATATCTTTTTTTTTATATTTTTAAAACTAATCCTCTTTTTTATCTATAGATTCAACAGTACTTTTATCCCATTCTCGATAGAGTTGTTTGTCAGTATAATCGTCAACTCTGGAATAGATATGTCCCTTGGTTTGACCGACAAACACAAAATATTAAGGTATATTTCAAAAATATTACCTAATTTGGAAAAAGAAATTGGTCATCCATTGGAAAGTGGCTATCCATTGGATAGATTTAAGTTTTTCGACAAGGAAATTGAGATCCTCAAAGCTTCGCACTTGGCTTCTTTTCCTTCATCGTCAGATGTAACAATATCACCATCCTCTTCGTCTGATGTAACAACATCACCATCCTCTTTGTCTGATGTAACAATATCACCATCCTCTTCGTCTGATACAACAACATCACCATCCTCTTCGTCTGATACAACTACATCTCCATCCTCATCATCAAAAAAAAAAAGAGGTAGAACTCGTAGTGAGATTGTGGATATAAAGTTAGAAAAATTCCCTGATTTTAAAGATTTTAAATTGGAGGATCTTAATCGACAATTGGAACTTAGAGATATCGAATCCCCAAACATTGATACACAAGTCCAAGAAGAGGAAAATATTAAAAGATTGAAATTGGTTTTATGGCAAGACATGGTAAAACGCTTGCAAATAGATTTTAAAGAAGACTTTGACTACAGCAAATCCAGTCAAGTTAGCATTTTAAAATGGTTATCTTTACCTACTAGCACTATTAAAATCGAATATGATTGGTACTGCTGTTCATTGCCAACACTGAAAGCAACTCTCAAGAAACTATTCAATGACAGCCCAAAGGTGAAGAGAAATGGGCCAAGGAAATGGATGCCAAAGTCTCTTGTTTCAACAAAAAAATCGTTTCTTTTTCGTTACTATACGATTGGATTTGTTGGAAAATCAGTCCTCTGCGATTATTTGCAATCACCGTATGTAAAAGACAACCCATTCGATTTCAACGGGTCAACAAAAACAATTCACCCCAACTTTAATGATTACGAAAGAGACAATATTGGTTACATTTATAACCAAAAAATGTCGGTCCTAATCAATCAAAGGGCGATGATGGTGACAACCAACGTTCCCAGCCATATCTGGTTCCAAACAAAAAGTAAATGTCATTGTTTTAAAGCATTATTATCTTTTACGACCCATTCATTTTACTAATATTTAATTTTAATCTTTATATAGGTGCAAATGAAAAAGTAGTTTCTGATGTGCAAATATCCATGAATAGCCGTCTCTTGCCATACCATTTGAAAAAGAGACAAAAACTAGAAGAATCTTTTCCAGAGCAAAGTTTGGTCTCTCAAAAAAACGGTCAAGATGGCACACCCATGGATGATTCCGATGACGACGACGATGATGATGATGAATCATGGAAATGTAAACAAGTAGAAGAAATGGAAAAGAACCATTCATATTCATACAACCATCCCCACTATGCTTGTTTTGTGGCAAAACAAGTTGGGTTGAAACCAAACATTCCCAAAGTCAAGGATAGAGATATTATCTGTGCCAATTGTTTGTCATCCCACTCACTTAAAGATTTGCCTATGGTGTGCGAACAATGTGATGCGACCATTCCTATTCTATCGGAACATGAAAAAAGATTGGATTTATGTGGTGACCTGATGGATCTGTACTCGGTTGATATTCAACTAAAAAGGAATGCATTTGAAAAAATGCCACCCTTTGATTCAAAGGATGATCTATTCCCTCCACCAGTACCATTAATTGCCGAAATCAATCATCGACTCGTCAAATTTGACCAACCTGAATCACCCCATGTGGAGATTTTTCTACACGAGGCTCTCAACACCACCTCGATAGCACTCAACAGTAACAGGTCAGGAATTGCACCCTCCATGCGGAACCTATTCAATCTTATTAAAACTACATCCGATCCCTCGATGCAATTTAGAATTCGTGATGCATATCCCTTTGTCCACGACTCGTCTACTGGCGGATTTGAAAATGAAATCAAACATGAAATCATGGTGAAGGAATTAATGAAGCATTTTTCAATGACAACGTCCAAGCTCATTATTGTTTGTGGACAATTCCCTTGCAAGGCAGCCAAAGAGGCTTTTAATGCCAATCCTTTGGATTACGAAATGGTTGACTATAGTCAAGAATCTTATCACACCATTTTAGATAAAGCCAAAGGCACAACCGAGGACAAAGAGGTGGATGTAAGTAGGATAATTCCTAAAAGGCTCATTGCTATCGCCCCGCATCCATCAGTCATGTTTGCGTTGCACATAACAGCAGCCTATATTTTGATTGCTCATGATATCTACAAAATGGCTCCAAAGGTATCTCAATTTGACCCAGTTCAAACATTTAAATCGAATTCCCCCTCGTCTGCCTCGTCCTCCTTCTCCTCCACGTCCTTATCATCCACGTCATCTTCATCATCTGCCTCGTCATCTTCATCATCTGCCTCGTCTTCCTCGTCTGCCTTGTCCCCGTCCTCCTCGTCCTCCTCCACGTCCTTATCATCCACGTCATCCTCATCATCTGCCTCGTCTTCCTCGTCGTCCTTATCATCCACCTCCTCTTCATCATCCTCCCCTTCGTCCTCCAATCAAAATACCACCAAACGCCCAAATCTAAGTAACAAAACAAAAGATTTTCCTAAACTTAAACAATGGACGTTGGAACATCTAGTTGAAGAGGCCACATCCCGTAAAATCGACGTAGAGAATATCAAAGAAGATCGTCTTCAAGTGGAATGTGTTTTGTTGAAATCGGTCCTTGGGGTTCAAATATGGTCAGAACAAAAAATTGAACAGTTTGATCTAGAGAAATCAAACTCGAAAAAAGATATACTGACCTATGCGAGAGAAAAAAATATCCCTTTGACAGACTATTGGTTCTTCATGACGTTGGAAACCCTCAAAAAAGCCGTGCAAAGGTGTCTCGCTTCCACCTCGTCCCCATCTCCGTCCTCCTACTTGCCCACCCCTTCCTCACCCTTGACCGATACCTCAACCACCTCATCTCACTCCCCTCTTCCCCATCCTTGACCGATGCCCCACCCACTTCATCCTCATCCGATACCTCAACTCCACCCTCTTCCACCGATACCTCATCCTTGACCGATACCTCAACCACCTCATCCGATACCTCAACTCCACCCTCTTCCACCGATACCTCATCCTTGACCTATACCTCACTCCCCTCACACTCATTCTCCTACTCCTCCTACTCTAAACCTTTTGTAAAAAATGAAAAGTGCGTTTACAAAGATGAAGAGAAACATATAAGAGCAAAGAGAGATTTTTATCACTCTGGAATGTGTAGAAGGCGCCGAAGCAAATGGAAAGTTATGAGGGAAAACAACTGTGGCAATTATCTTTATATCGGAATTGATCCTGGAAGGTCAAAATGTACGATTGTAGACTCTATGAATCGTGCTCGAGTGGTTTCAGTGGCATCTTATTACAACCTCATGGGCACTGACCGTCTTCTGGCAAGACAACAAAACTACAAAAAGAACCCGGTCCTGTCCAAATTTGAAAGTGAATTGCCACCCTATAATACCTTTGGTAAGTGTTATTTTAAATATGCATTGTCTATACCACCTATATATTATAATATTAATATTTATAAACTAACTTTTTTTTTAATTCCTAGATACTTTATTCAATGTAGAATCTGTATTGAGACGAATAGAGTATGAAAGAATTACCCATAGGGATCAATGTCGTCTTTATTCCCATGTAGTGACGTCCTATACGTTTCAGACCATGGACAAGAACAGGAACATTGACAAGAAGCGCGCCCAATATGCCTATGCAAAGAGCTTTGTACCACCAACAACAATCCCGAAAAATAGAATAGTGATTTGTATGTTTTTTTTATTTCTTCAAACCATTTATTATTATTTGTTATTAATCTTCTTTCTTTTTATAGATATTGGAGGGTCTGATTTTTTCCATGGATCCCGAGGTGGTGGTAGAACTGGTTGTACATCAAAGACACTACTCAGACTGTTTTTGAATATGGGTTACAAGGCACGTCTTGTCAATGAATTTAATACCTCCAAAGTATGTGTGTTTTAATAATTGAATTTTTAGATCAACCCTCGAAATGGCCATTCATTAATATTTTTTTTTCCAAGATTCATAATGCATGTGCCTCCAAAATTCATTCTACCAACAACAACAAGTTCCTAGAAAAAGCTAAACACCAAAAGGTTAAAAATGTGTTGCCAGAATCTTTTGAAAAGACCCATGTTGTTGGTGCACCCATATCCTCCACGTTTTCAGACAATGGTGTTCGTTGGCAAGGAAAGGATTCCAAGTTATGTGATGGTTGCAAATTGACTGATTACAATTGTCAATGCTCCAAGGCTCAATTGGCGGACAAAGAGAATGATTCAACTCTGAAAGTGTCTCAATTGGCAGATGATATGAATGAAACTCTAAAAGTATTCATATCACTTGAAAATACTTCACCCTCTCCAACTATGCTATTGGAATCCCTTTTCTCTTTAAGCAAAAAGACTGTCAAGGAGTTGATAGAGTTTTGCAATCTAAACTCTATCAAATACTATCAACAAGAAGAGCCAACCAAAGGGAAAAACAAAAGAGGTTCTCACAAGGATAGTAAGGGTGGTGCTACCAACAGCAAAAAGGACCAACTTATCAACGCTATCATCAAGTTTAATTTTGAAAAACAAAAAAGGGATGCTAGCAAAAATAAGAAAAAGAGGTCAAAATCGTCATCAACTACTAATGATCGTTGTAAGGACCAAGATCAAAGCAATAGTCAAAAGGATGGGAACAAGTCTACAAGCAACTCTGTTTCGACCCACGATTATGGTTTTGGTAAGTCTCTTTGTGATAGTCAGATCAAAGATCTCTGGAAGTCAAAGAACCCAAATGCGACAGAAATGCCATTTAAAACTAAATGGCAATGGCTATATTGTCCAGTTTGTGATCATTTCTTCAACAGAGACTCGAGCGCTGCAAAGAATATTCTCTTATTGGGAATCTTACACCAAACCGCAGATTACAGGCCATGGATTTATCGTCCTTTACCTGCCGATATCGTGCATATTGGGAGGGTAGACACGACCTAGTTAACCTTAACAGGGCCTTCCTGCATAAATATGAAAGTCCCCCCCCCAGCTGTAAGTTATTAGATAGAAAATATAATGTTGATCTCAATTTACTGATTTTCCCCTTTTTTTCTGTACTTTGTCTTTTTTTTTTACTTTGTCTGTTTTTTTTTTCTTTCCTCAATTCAAAATAAAAGTTCAAATCGATGGTGTTGTTTGTTCAACCGAAAATGACTGACATATTTTTTGATGCATTGATCGTATGATCACAACACAAAGCAGCAACTTTGTATGCAGAAAAGGAGGAGGAGGGTATCACACACTCTCTCTATTTAATCGATTGGGGGCTCTCGGATGATGCCTTTGATCGATTGTTGATTAGAATTCAGCGAACTGGTTGAAGATCACAATATAATCTTATTGGGTGGTCTCCCTCTCTATGAGCTTCACCCTCTATTTTTATTGTTGATCAATAGAACCTTTATATCAAAGAGCTCTTCACAGCATGGTGATCTATTCTCTTCACTTTTCTATTCATTATTTTATTCACCTAAATTTATCGAGTTTTTTGTTCAAACTAAAAAAGGGGAAACTCTTTATATTCAATTTAATCAACTCTCATTTGATATTATTTCTATTTTATATTTTATATTTATATTTATATTTCTATTCTATTTCTATTTTATATTTTATATTTATATTTATATTTCTATTCTATTTCTATTTTATATTTTATATTTTATATTTATATTTCTATTTCTATTTCTATTTCTATTTATATTTCATCCTCTCATAACCTTTCAATAAACGAATAGAAATAATATAGTTTATAGATTTGTTTTAAATCTCATTTTATTGTGACAATGGACAGATCATCATCACCACCACCACCACCACCACCACCACCAATGACCACCACATCAGAACAACCTTTAAAAAAGCAGAGGTCCACCACCACCACCACCACCACCAACACCACCACTACCGCCACCACCTCTACCTTTACCATCGCCACCACCACCAGTACCTACACCGAGTTGCAACCAATGCAACTAGATTATACAACTCTCCCCTTACCTGCAACATCATTCATTGGATCCATATCCAAAATCGTCAATCCACCATCTCTCACACATGAACAGCTAATGACAACTTATTACAATGGAGAGGAGATTGATAAGGATTGTCTCAGAAAGACTTCGATGGTACTACCTGGTATCCAAGAGATATTTAGTAAAACGATGTTGGAACTCATCTGGCGAGTAGTTGATTACAACAACATTGCTTCCCACCATTTAACAGTAGAACTGAACAAAGTCATTTTACTTGACTGGGTCAAAATCAACAAGGGTATTTAAATTTAGAATATTAATATTAATAGCATAATTTATTTATATATTTAACCCCCCCCAATTTTTTTTCCAATTAATAGAACAAAAGAAATACACACTCAAAGAGAAATTGGATGCCTTTAATCAAAACAACTTTTTTACCCAGTCAGGAGGTAAAGTATACCAAATATAAATTTCAAAAAAAAGTTTGTTTATTAATTAATTATTCTTTATTATTTATTCTTTTTATCTCTAGTTAAAATTGAAAAAGATGAATGTGAGAAGCTATATGATGATTTGGAATCAATATGTAACTTGGAATCGTTTATGTTTGACTATAAGGTTATTTTATTAATGGTCAAATTGATCATTTTGGACAAAGAATTTTTTGCTCGATCTCAAGCGTGCATCAGTTCCATACATCTTAAAAAGTATCAAGAGATCACACACAAAGTAAAGGAACACTTGGACAACACCAAACCTTTCACCGGAGCCGAGCTCAAGGCGTTCATCAAACTCGGCCAAGAACGTTACCGACTTGAATATGCATTTGGAAAGAAAATCTCTACTCTCACGGCAAGGTAATATCCCTCAATTTATTTTTACCTCTCTTGTACTAGTTTTGAAATTAATATATTTCTATTTATAGATTCTTTCTCTTCTTTATTTTAATTCCAATTTGGGTAAAAGAAATCGACCAGACAACCAAGAAAACCATCCGAATTTATCGACTAAAAGCAGTTCCTCAGCTCGATAGAAATGATACGAATATTACTGGAAGTAGTAGTAGTAATGGTAGAACTATTAGTAACGACATCAACAACAATAATAATAATATAAATAGTAATGGTACTGATAGTAGTAATAGTGGTGGTAGTAATGATAGTACTTTTGGTCTTGATATCAACAACAACAATAATAATCAATATATTATTAACAATAATAATAATAATAATAATAATAATAATAATAATAATAATAATAGTAACAATTATTTTTTACCGGCAACTGACAAGGTCGAGAAAATTGCATGGGAGAATATAATTTTTAACGAGATGGCTCGATCGACAATGATCAATACAAGTATGTAGCAGCAAAAAAAGTTAATTAACTGATTGATAATATTTATTATTAATTCATTTTATTTTATTTGCTCTAGTCAATCATGCAGTTGTGATGGTCGATCAATTATGGAAAAGTGAGTTAGCGATTCATCAACTACCTACAAAGGATCTCGATGATGTTGATGAAATTGACCATCAAATATCTAAATTGACTCCTGATCAAAGGAAGGCAAGAGAAGATATCATGAAAAAGTATGGTGATTTACACATCAAATTAGAGGCTAAACAAAAGGTTGATGCTAGAGTTGCCAATATCGCCGATGAAGTCGCTTCTTTGATCAAATTTGGAGATTGTAAGTCAGACAGATATACTATTTTTTTCCATTTCGAAACGATCGACTAAACATTTTTTTTTTTCATTAGCTTTCCAAGAATTTTGTAAGAGAAAGGAATCGGATCGATTGGAAGCTGAAAGACTTGTACAAGAAAAAGAAACAGTAGATGAAAAGAAAAAGAGAGAAGAAAAGGAGGAGGAGGCGGCCAAAAAGGCAAAGGAGGCCGCTTCGAGGTTACAGAAGAAAAGAAAAAGAAACAAATCAAAAAAACTAGCGAGTGAAAAGAGAGAAAGGATCAGAGCAGGTATTGAAAAGAACATAAATGATATTATCGATTTTATCAACAAAAAACCAAAACCATCTGCCATTAAGCGATCAAAAAATCAATCCAAAACAAAGGCCAGTCGAAAAATGATTCAAGCAATGAATAATAGTTTTATTCATCAAAGAATCTCCAACTCTAACGTCGTTTCCCACTCCAACATCGTTTCCAACTCTAACATCGTTTCCAACTCTAACATCGTTTCCAACTCTAACATCGTTTCCAACTCTAACATCGTCTCCAACTCTAACATCGTTTCCAACTCTAACGTCGTTTCCAACTCTAACATCGTTTCCCACTCCAACATCGTCTCCAACTCTAACATCGTTTCCAACTCTAACATCGTTTCCAACTCTAACATCGTTTCCAACTCTAACGTCGTTTCCAACTCTAACGTCGTCTCCAACTCTAACATCGTTTCCAACTCCAACGTCGTTTCCAACTCTAACATCGTTTCCCACTCCAACATCGTTTCCAACTCTAACGTCGTCTCCAAAAGTGCCAAGCTCCAGAAGGAAAACAATAAAGCCTACAAGGAACAAATGCGGGAGTATAAAAAAGCAAAGGAAATAGAAAGGATCATATCCCTTCACCCATCGGAACGATCATCTTCATCGTCATCAATATCATCGACGCCGACTTCAGTAGTAGAGCCACCACCACCATCATTCCCATCAGCATCATCGTCGTCGACTTCAGGAGCAGAACCGTCACCACCATCTTCTTCGTCACCATCGCCATCAGTTTCATCGACTTCAGGAGCAGAACCGCCACCACCATCTTCTTCGACAGATCCAGAGGAGGAAGAGAAGAAGAAAAAGATTCCCGGTATGTCAAACCTTTCACCAATAGTACCCATAGCCAAGTAAGTTATGCATAAACAAAAAGAACAATCACATTTATCAAGATTACAAATTAATAATAATATATAATTTTTTTTTAATAGACTCGATGCACAAAAGCCATTTACATCAAATTTGCTCGAAGCTTTGCTTATTTACTATCACAAAGATTTAGGAATTAAAAAGGATTTTAATCCCTCTGAAGCATTGGGTTTGGTTGTGATGAATTTAAGGAAAACAACCAAACCTTTTTTCATCTTCATTGGACATTAACCCTTTTCGAAAAGATCAAATGGAGAAAGCTCTACAGTATAAAAAAGGGGTATTTATAATTTTGTCGATTCAATTATTATTTATAATTACAAATATTAAACAATTGCTTTATTTTTGTATTTTTTTAGATGAAAACCCCACCCCAAGAGGTAGCTCTACCAGCCCAAGCCGTAGCTCTACCAGCCCAAGAGGTAGCTCTACCTCTTGCGTCGACCTTGTTCAACCCTTTTATCAAAGGGCACAGGGCCGAATTGCTGCAACCTGGCCCATCACAAACAACAATATATTTTCCTGCACCGTCATTTGTAATGCTTGAAGCTCCATCACTGTTTGATGGCATGCCAACGGTCACTTGTCAATCGGTACCTCCACCATCTTTGGTTTATTCACCAGATTCAATGGTAACGTTGGATCATAAATTCGCTAGTATATCAGTGCCTACACTTACTCCACCATCACTTCCTCCTGTACCATCACTTCCACCTGAACCATCACTTCCACCTGTACCATCGCCTCCACCTGTACCATCACCTCCATCAAAGAAGAAGGTCAGCAAGCCATCTGCTGGCATGAAGAAAAAAGGTGGACCTCCACCTGTACCATCACCTCCATCAACACAGAAGGTCAGCAAGACCAACAAGTTCATGAAATTTGCAGGCAAGAAGAAACTAAAAGTTCCCGCTTGGTCAAGTTTTCATATGGATACACCTTCTGCCAGACGTCCGCACACTCTAGTGTCTGTTTCATTGGCATGGAACTCGCGTCATCCAAATAACCCGATAGACACTAGAAAGAATAGAATTTATATTATTAATCAGTTGAACGAACGAGGTGTGGTGCCACCACCACAAAAGCCGATCATTGCTCCAGCCGACCGATTTAAAGATATAGAGATAGGAAAGATTCGTGTGTTTTTCGACAAGCAAGCTTTCTTTACCACCGATGGAGCAAGCATCACCTTTACCTACAACACCATCAAGACACCAAATGATATCATTGATTATGGCAAAAAGATATTGATCGATGAAAAGGATCGAGTACCTTTTTCTCCAAAAACCATCTACGAAAGTATGAACTTTTTTTTTTATTAATCTATTATTTATTAGACGACCTATTTTATTAATGATTTTTCTTCAATTTAGATGATATCATCAACAAAATGAGAGATGAGAACATGGAGGATGTTATGGCCTTTGGTGTTGATCCTGGCCGAAGAGGTAACTATTGGACTTGCAACCAACTACCATATACCTTTGATCAAAGGGGTGATGTACGCAGCAGCAAGTTGGGATCCAAATTCCTCAACGAGCGAGAGAAGGCTTTGTTTGGTGACAAACTTTATCATTTCCAAAGTGATTTGCCTAGTCTAAAACGTATGTATAATCTAAATCATATAATCATTTACCAACACCCATTGTTTTTATTTATTTATTAATTCATTTTTTTTTTTTTTTAAATAGATGATGTCTTTGATCCTCAAACATTTACAGATAGACTAGAGTATTACAAGAACCCTCTCTACCTCGAATATATTGAAACAAAGACTGACCGTCTGCAACGGCTAAACTGGTACAAGAACCACTCTTTTAGAAAAAAGAGATTGAACCAATCTTATTTCAAAGAGGCCGAGGTCTACATGGAGGAATGTTGGAAGGCAAAGTATCCAGAAATGATACAAAATCGGTCTGCTGAGGGGAAGAAAAAGTTTATTAAAGAGAATAGTATAATATGTAAGCGTAGTTTATAATGAATGATACAGCTTAATCATTTATTTTATTAACAATGTGGTTTTGTCTTTTTAATATAGTTTTTGGAGCTGCCAAGTTTAGTCACAATAGTAGAGGAAGTCCAACCACCTTTAAGGCATCTACCGTGGCTGGTCACTACAAATCAGTAGACTACAATATTATTATGATTAACGAGTTTAACACCTCTCGAGTAAGATTAATATTTATTTGGTTGGTTTATTTATTTATTTTGTATTCACACTTTTTTTTTCTTTTTTTTCTTACATCTATAGCAACATTTCGACTGTTGGGCACGTTCCGAGAAGAACCATTTGGACAACTTTAACAAACATGTGCCTCATGTCAAAGGTGAACCATTTCAATTCAAAATGGGCGACCTTCGCAAAAGAGAATTGAACATGGACTACCTAGACCAACAAATCATGTGCAACGACAAGGATTGTCAATCGGCACATGACAATGGTCACACTCATTGCTGCCAACTCAAAAAAGGTAGTCTATTTTCATTGGACCATCTCCAATCACAAGCTGGATTGGACGAGTTTCTCCAAAGCAATGGTCTGTTGGATGAAAACAACAAAGGAAGGACCATTGATCCTAGTTACAGATCAGCCAACAACAATAATAATAATAATAATAATAATAATAATCGAGCCAACAACAAAAAGAGAAAAAAGAAGGATGTAAAGAATAATAATGATACACAACCTTTAAATAATGATGGTATGGAGATTCATGGTACCCACTCTCAAACAGTCCAATGTACTAGCACATCACCAAAATCTGACGATTATTTAAAGGATCAGGTATTATACAATCGCGACATCTCCAAAGCTACCATCGTGGATATGCCTGGTTGTCATGTATACGTACCTTGGAAGACGGCTTATTGTACCTGTTGTAAACGTTCATTCAACAGAGACAAAAATGCCTCACTCAACATCCTCCTTCTCGGTATCTTGTTGATCTGGAAAGATCTATACAGACCAACAAGATACAAAGGAATTGTATGTCGCACACCTTTGATCGCGAAAGATGATCATCAAAACGTGTATGTATAATTTAACATAAATAATTATGTTTATTATTTTTTTTATTAATTTTTTTTAATTTTTTGAAAATAGTTCACCGAATAGGACAACTTGATCTGTTAGACCAATATTGACGAAGCAACCATCGTAATTTGTACACAACTCTCAAAGAAGAATAAGGAAGATTTTATATTATAAATAAAAAATATATTTATTTGTTTTTGTTTGTTTATTAATTATAATGTTATATAATTTATTTATTGTTTTCATAATGTTATAATTCTAATTTTACATTTTTAATGTTACTTTTTTGTTTTTGATTGATTGGGAAAAATCTTCTTGTGGGTAAATATGGTTGTTATAATTATTGTTATTAATTGATTAATTGATTATTTGTTTGGTTTGTTGTTATTATTTTTGTTTTACAAATAAAGTAAAGATATCAGATGTGATTTCTCCGTTGAAAAATACATTGACCAAAGGATTATTGTAAAAAATACCAGGATGATCTTTTAAAAGTTGTTGAAGGTATTTACATAGTTCAACCTCTCTACTTTTAATGATTTCATCTGATGATAATAATTTCTTTGGTGGTAATCTATTATCTCTATGTTGTGCCTTTGTTATAATCTTTAAACTTTGTAACTAAATTAAATAAATAATAATAATAATAATTTAAATGTTAGTTTAAATAATAATTAAATCATTAATTTGATATATTGTATATTATTTACCTTTTGATCCAATAAAAAGAAATTTGTATATCTTCTATAAAGAGTCCATTGAGAATAATTGGTAGAAACATCTAATTGATATTCAACATGTTCACCTGATTTTAAGTGACCTACAATTTGAACCTTTAAATCCCATGATGCTCCAGATTTGGCAGAAGATTTCCAAAGTGGATTTGGATTAATAATAGATTTTGTGTTTGGATTGATTATTGATAATCTATGTGCCCATTGTTGTTGTGGTGGTGGTTGCATTTGTCCACTACTTGTCTTGATTTTTAATTCTACATTCTGATTATTATTATTCTGATTATTATTATTATTATGTTCTCTTGAAATTTGTTGTTGTTGTTGTGGTTGATCTGGTTGAACTGTTGTTGTTGCTATATTTGTAGTTGTAGTTGTTGAAATTAATTGTTGTTGTTGTTGTTGTTGTTGTTTTTGATAATTTAATTGATTTTGATGATGTTCTTGAATTTGTTTTGATATTTGTTGTTGGTATTGTTGTTGATTGATTCTTGGTGGTGATGGTGTTGTCAACAAGATAAACTCTTTGTCAATGACAGAGTTGGGACGTGATATTTCTACATTTTGTTGGAGAAGTGATTCAACAATGGAAATCTCCTCATCGTATGATGATGATGAGGAATAGGATATTGATTTGATTGGTCTTTTGGTGGTAGTGGATATTGATACAGAGGTGGATGTAGTAGTGGGTACAGAAGAGTTTGTTGTAGTTGATGGATGACCAACATAATTAAACCCAGAAGAATATAAACTTGAACTGGCAGAATTGGAAGAAGATGAAGCAGCATCGTCACCAGAAGAAGCAAGAGATGAAGATAAGGATGAGGTTGTTGTTGGATGATTATCCTCAGTTGGACTGGTACCAGTACGTGTATTACTACTATCGGTACTCATGGTCAGCTGAGATGCCAAATTCTCATTACTTTTGTATTGTACCACTTCGACAATCTCTGATATCGTCTCTTCATCATTCAAATGTCGATGTACAACTTCATTTGATCCATACTCATGTCCATGATAATATTTCTCCTCACTATCATCCTCATCTTCACTATCATCATCATCATCTTGGTCATCTTCACTATTGTCATTATATTCTTCATCGTCGGAAGTATTATAATCAGCTAAATTGACGGATCTTGAAATAGTGCGTTTAAGTTTTCTCGATGGTGATGCCAATCCACTGCTACCTGTCATTGCTGACCGTGTTGATGCCGATGTTGATGTTATTACATTATTGTTGTTGTTGTTGTTGTGGTTGTTGTTACTGTCATCAGTACTACCTGCACTATTACTACTCGAACTACTGAATCTATTACTATTAGTGCTGGTACGTGGTTTATGACTTAGGAACTTGTCAGACATGGGAGAGAATCCATTTAAATCTTCTTGGTAGGATAGTCTCATACCCGAGGACAAGAGTGCAATCACCTCGTCACGATCACCTTGACAGAACTCGATGCAATCCAATACAACGTCAACTTCGAGATGTGAAAATCGTTCAATGAGGAATGACGCATCTTCATCCCAATCACGTGGTGGTCGTGGTGTGATGGTTGGTGTTGGAATGCCTGCTTGAGCAGGTGCAGATTGGTTAAAGTTTCGGTGGTGAACTGGGTTGGGAGAATCCTGACTGAATCCAGCTGGCAGTTTCAAGAGCGGTAAAGAAATGGCTTGTTTAGGAATCTTACTATTTGAATACATTCCAAATAAATTTAACCACATTTGCCAATCTTGTGGATCATTTGCTTTAAATATTTTACTTATATACATATTATTTACATTATTATTATTATTATTACTATTATTATTATTTACATGGTCACCATCAAATGATGAAGATGGGTTGGTGGTACTATCATTTATATTTGGTGGTGTTGTTGATGATGTTGATATGGTTGAAGAATCAAGAAATGAATCTGATAATAATGATAATTTAAAACATAATGGTTCAACTGGATGAAGTTGGTCAACTATACACCCTAAAATAGACATGTATCCTTCCAATTGATTTGTAGTAGTAGTATTCTAAATTTAATTAAAAATAATCACAATTGTTAATAGTTATTTTTGTATATTATAGCTAAGTATACATACATCAACACTTGAGTAATATAGTAATGGACCATTTTGGAATATTTTCTTTTCAACAAAAGATCTTTCACTTTTAAAGATTTCTTCGATTTGAATACCTGTACTATTCTTTAATCGGTTGGTAGATGTTGTTAATGTTGGTGTAGTAGTAATAGTTGTTGTTGTTGTTGTTTTGGATGTAGTAGGAATTTCAAATAATAATACTCCAATGTAAACAAGTTTTTCAGTATCCATGATGGTGGTACAAGAAGAAGACTTGTTATGTGAATGTTGATGATGTTGTTGTTGTTGCAACATAAATAAATAAATAATGTTTGTTTGATTGATTGATTGATTGATTAATAAATAATATACAAATAGATATTAAATAAATGATGCATGAATCATGTGATATGTGATTGATTGATTGATTGGATGGATGGATAGATGGATTGTTATATATTAAAAGATTGATCGATTTCTCTCTCTCTTTGTTGATTGTGATTGTGTGCAATGAAGAATTGATTGATTGATTGATTGGCTGTGTGATATTTGCAAGGAAGGGTACTAATTTTTACTACGAATTTCGGATAATTTGGATTATATTAAAAAGGTTGTTAAAAATTGCAATGATTGTTGTTTTCTTTTCTTTTTTTTTTTGTATGTTATTTTTGTATCACTCTATCTATCTATCTGTATCTTTATCTGTATCAATCTATCTATCTATCAATCTAGTCACTTGTACAGTGATGGTGATGGTGATGATGATTTGGTTTGTTTCTTTTAAAATAATTATCAAAGATGTGCGAGAATGTAAAGAGGGACAGCCCCAATTTGTTCGATGTGTGGAGAAAGAGGAGAGTTAGCCAAGACGCGTGTGTCACCTCAATTTTCAAGGCTGGATTGGTAGCCCATTGTTGGGGTGGGGGGTAAGGAAAAAGACAAAACAAAAACTCGCGATGACCAAAAAATCAAGAACCTTAAAAATCCACAACAACAACCAAAAAAACAAATTAATTTGTTTTACGATCGAGCCCAGATCTCAAGTGTGATCAAATTTTCCTTAACAGGGAATCACAAAACAACAAAAAGCCAAGAGACAACAAGATAATTTGTTTTTAAAAGAGAACGATTGAGGGGAACATGTCTTCCTCATCACGCATAAGATACATCAAGCAAAGAGCAATGGCTGGGTTATAACGAGGTGTGTTTTCACCATCGCCTTTTCATTTGATCTTTGCTGGCCTTTTTCAAAGATCCTTTGTCAACAAAAACTCTACGACCAACGAAAATTTATCTCGAGGAATATCTCCTGGAGAAAAGCCACAAAGCATTGTCGGTATGGAGGTCAATGGGTTTTCATGATCGGTTTTTCGTTGAATAATGAATAATCTGTAATCTGCAAACGACAATCACACGAGCGCAGAGATTATTGTAGAATTCTGATTTATTTATTGTGGCTTTACTTCTCGCATTAACTGGGAGGACCAAGGACAATAGAAACATCCTGGAAGAAAAGCACCCCCGACTTGATCTAAATGTTCTTCGACATATTGAAGAGTACTGTCACAAACTCCGATGGACATATCGAAAAAGGTGATAGTATCAGGGTCAAGATGAAAAGAGTAGTATGGATTATAATCTTTTTGTGTCTTTTTGATTCTTCCCATTACATGGATTGGTTGTTCATTTCGGTTATCTTTTAATAGTTTTCTGGTATGTTCAATCTTTTCTACTTCTGATAATTTAAAAATAAAGTCATGTTTTGATCCATGTGTTCTAAATGCAAAGTAGGCATCCTAAAGAAAAAATAAAGAAAATATTAATATTATAATAATTATCAAAAAATAATAGAGGCATACTTCTGCTTGAATAAAAGATAATCCAAGAAATACGAGAATGGTTAAAATAATAATAATTATTTGTTTCATTTTTTATTTTATTAAATGATGTTTATGACAATGGATTGATGAATTTATAGGTTATATCCATGTTTGTTTGTGGTGTAAATATCCATCCTACACTTTCCTTATTTAATGGTCAAGTGGGCTGTGTGTTGATGGGAAAAGGGAGGAATGGTATGAATATTAATCTAAATTGGGATGATATCATTCTAATGCTACAACAGAATACACACTTGATTCATTCAACGGACATATAATCCATCATATGTATAAATTATATTCAAGTTGGAAATTTAAAACAATTAATTTAATTTTTAAAGAGACATTGTGAAGTTCATGCATGACCTTTTAAATGAGAATGGTGGTTTGATCAATCATTCAATTATTCAATCATTCAGATGAGAAGAGATGAATCTTCATATAAAGTCATTAGTAGTAGTATTATTGCTGTTGACGGTGGTTGCTATCGTCAGTGTATTATCATCACCAACAGCAAATGAAGAAAGAGCTGTACACTATGAGGAAAGACATGATCATGGCGACGAAGATAACATCGTAGAAGATAAAAGATTTCATCATCAAGATAGAAACAACAATAATAATAATGGTAATAACATAGATAGAGTAGAATAGATCTAGAGATAACAACAAATAATGATGATCAAATTGATTTAACGTACATTTCAATATATTATATTATAGGTGACAATGATCAAGAAAAAGAGGATCGTCTCTATTCGAAATGGTTAAATTCAGAGACTATAAGTCACTTTATTGGTATGACTACAACCAAGGAATTGATCATTGATATACCTGTCAACTTTATCTTTATTGGTTTTAGTGGAGAGGGTAATCTTGGTTTTGACCTCGCATCTGATACATTGACTGAATGGTTTGAACATTTGGAACATTCATTACCTCACATTATCGTCCCTTTTGGTGAGGATTACACTACAAATGAACGTTATGAAACTCCTAAAACTCATATTCAATATAGGTACAAAAAGAATAGAAAAGAAAAGAAAAGATGATCAATATTATTTGTATTTATTAATACTTTATACTTTATTTATTATTTTATTTTAGATTTAATATTCATGTGAGTAAAGTGAATCAACTTGTAAATACTTTAATTGAAGATGCAATCTATTGGAATATGAGACCAGAGGAGGCAGAGTATCAAGACCGATTCTATACTAATCCCAACCTTGTCACTTCACTCTTGTCGTCGTTGTCAATGCATCTTGGACTTGGTGAAAAGTCTTATACATTGTATATTTTAAATCCAAACAATCCATTACCAGAGTACGCACTCTATGGTTATCGAACGGGATTTGCAAATGAAGAGTTGGAGGAACTTTATCGAGCTGGTCAGACAGGTCCCAAGATTGTACACGATGTCTATGGTAACAATGGTTATCAATTTGCTTTTGAACGTATCGACAAGAACGAAGAACCAGGTGAGATTGTAAAGATCAACACTACATCGACAACTGGAACGACGACGGCTACGGGATCGAAAACATCAAGTATATGGTATAGAGATGTTGGTCTACAATCCAAAGAATGGGCTGAACAAATATCAAGTAAATTTAATCGATATAGAAACAAATCAGATAGTCTCTCTGCACCTCTGTACAACTTTGATTGTGAGGATCATGAATCTGACCAACAATGTAAAGAAAGATTAAGGAAAAAGACACCAATCAACAATGCCAAAGTATTACTTCAAGATGGTAGTCCAGAGGAAAAGTATTATGTAATCAATTCACAACAATATCATCTAAGTGAAAATTGTTTAGTAGATTCTTGGATTTCAGAAAAAAGGTAAAAAAACAAAAACAAAACAATAATATAATGTAATGTTTATTTATCTTTTCTTTTCATTTTAATTTTAGATTTACATTTATAGATTTAACAGCAGGACCATTTGAATGGGGACCAGCAATTGGTGGAACAGGATTAAAATCAAATATATCTTTACCAAAGATTCCAAAGATTAATTTGTCGACCGATTTTAAGAGACAACAAAAAGAACAATCGATCACACTCGAAGATGTGACACAAAAGATTGCATCAGAGTTGACTTTGATCGATACTCTACTCGAAATCAATTGTATGAATGGATTGCACGACGAACAAGATCCAAATACAATGACTGACGATCAAGAGTTTTCTTGTCAAAATCTACTCAAATCAAAATATGAATTAAATCAAATATTACAAGAAAAGAAAACTGATGATATCGATTCCTTATTAGATAAAATTGATGAAGTTGATTTCTTATTAGGAAATTATGTATGTAATATAAAAAAAAAAAAGAATTATTATAGTTGTAACTTACTTTCTTTTTATTTAGTATGAATACTTTGAAGATAATGAACAAAACAAATTCAAAGCACATCTTTCATCAGTTTTATCAGATAGTATTAGATATTTAATAGCTCAACCTCAACCTTTATTTTCAGTTAAATATTCAAATAGAGTTAATTTCCATGTTTTAATTATTAGTGATCATAAGGTATGAAGTAAAAGTAAAGTAAAATATTTAAATATTCATAAGTTTAACCAATTTTTTTCTTTTTTATTTTTTTTTTAGAATTATAATCCAAGAGATTCATTTAATTTTAATTATGATTTATTTAAAGAAGAGATTAGTAAATTAAAGACAACTTCACAAGAGTTTAGTTTTACAATTAGTACCATTTCAATGGAAGAAGAACCATCTTTGGCATTGGCATATCAAAGTTCACTTCGAACTGTACTTTTACCATCGATTACCGATGATGGTAAATTTGAAACTAAATTACATTATTATATTGATTCAAAGGAAATTAAATATCAATTAAATAGATTGGATCCTGATAAACATGGTAATTTTTCAAAAAAAAAAAACAAACAAACAAACAATATAATAATTAATTATTAATTTTCTTTTCTTTTATTTATGTATTTTTTTAGATTCAGAAGGAATAATGGAATCAAAACATATACCAATATTTATATTCTCATTGGATTCTAAACATCCAGTATTTATTGATAAGAATCTACAAGCAAAGACATTAAATAATATGGTGATCGGAGTACAAACCAATATTGTTGGTTATGAAAGCTCGACATTTTCATGTAATGGCAAAAAGACTAAACTCTATTTGAATAACCCATTGACACCCATCTTGGCTGCCACAGCTACTGCGTTGGGTGGACTTGTACCACAATACATATCATACAGTCAAGCTCAACAAACCACCATACAAAATTGGCAATGGGCAGTTGGAAACTCACCATTTTCAAAAACCTTTACCTATCCATTCTCTCACTTTTCACAATACCAAAAGGATTCTATTCATCGTAATTATATAATGTCTTCATTGGAACGTTCAATTACAAAAACAAATTATGCAATTTCATTATTAAATATTAAACCTTGTAAGATAATAGAAAATAGAAAATAGAAAATAGAAAATAATAATAATTATTGTACTAATAATATTCTATTCCTTTTAGCAATTAAAAGTTATTCATTATTTATTGAACAATATCCATATATTGAATTATTGGCACAATTTATGGAAATTAAAAATCAATGGAGAGAATCATTAAAATCAATCGAAGAATTTAATTATTCAAAAGGAATTAAATTTGCAATCGATGCTGAAAAGAATAGTCATTTGTTATTACAAAAAGTAGAATTAATTGAAACAAGTATTAATATATCAATGTGTAAACCAAAGGCTAGTATGTTTGATGTTTTTGGAACATCTTCATCGAGATCATTGTCATTGCCAGGGATTGTTTTCACACTTTGTTTGAATACCATCTTTATTATGATCTTGGTACTATTACATAAAAAGAAATCAAAACTCAAAATTAATTAATAAATATTTTTAAAGTTACTCTAAATAAATAAATAATGTAAAGAAAGAATGATGATGATGATAATATTTTATTTTAATTAGCAAGGGAGGGGGATTCCTTTGGTGAGCATGGACTGTGTTCAGAAGACTTTGGCGGCCGGCAAAGGACCCTGAAACTATGGGAGAGGAAGTGAGACAATGTGAGTGTGGGTACCCACATTCTCTTCCATAGTTACAAGGTCTTTGATTTAATAGTGAGAAATCAGAATCATCATTCTTTGATGGTGAAACTTGTGTGGAAATTGATTTCTCCTTTCCTTTTGATTTTTTTACAATCTTTTCCTTTTTAGGTGATTTTTATACTAAATAAAAGCAAAGAATGAAAAAGCAATAAATCAAATTGAAGAGTGATATATAACTGATGGTATAATATATAATATCTGTCTATCTGTCTATCTCTTGTTGTGAACATATAAAAAAATACCATACTGAGATTACTAATCATGATGAGAGATCTAATGTGTTGGTGATGCAAACACGACGAAAATCTAGAAGTAAACAGGTAGATGGTGGATGGTAGAACTAGTAGAGGAGTAGGTGTATTCGTGTCCTAAGAGGAAATGAAATATGAAATATATAACTAGTTAATCATTTTCGATCCAAGAATGCATTAATTATTGTTAAAATGATGATTTGATTTGATGACAATAAAAATAATGCTCGCCATTTGCTGCTTTGCATGTTATCAAATTTTCATGAACATCAAAAAAGGAAAATTAAATCAAATTAAATATTTATTGGTTTCCCCTTATTTCGTTGTCTCTCTCTGAAAATACAGTGGATTCTGTCCAATTTTAACCAGATATACTTTTTACATATATATATTTACCCAGGCAGTGAATCAATGAATATATTATAATTTACAACTATTATTCATTCAATTCCAATACTTATCATCACATCGAGACAACGACAGACAGAACACACTCTTCTTTTTTTTCAACCTATTATTATTATATTTACTTTACTCTCATTTTTGTAGTACTAAAAGAATAAGTACTTGTCTTGAAGAAGAGAATGAATAATAATAATAGTAGTAGTAATAATTCAGTATTATCATCATCTACATCATCGTTATCATCATCGATGAGTGGAGCTTCAAAGATGGAATCTGAAAAGGAATACGTAGATGAATTATTTAATCGATTGTTTGGTATTGATATCTCTACTACAGATCAGCAACAACAACAACAACAACAACAACAACAACAACAACTTAATACAAGTAATAATACAACAAAACATTTTAAAGATTTATCACCATTATCTGATATTATATCATTTCTAAAGAATCCATCTACATCCTCTTCGATCAAGATCAACATACTTGAAGAATTGTCTGCAATGCTCAGTCAATCATCACACAATTGTATTAAACTGTTGGTGTCTTCGGGTGATAGCCTGAGAACATCAACTTCATCGACAGGTAGCAGTGGTAGTAATAACAATGGAATATCGACATCATCATCTTCAATACCATTACAACGATCAACTACTATTTGCATACACAAGAATGTCATTTTATTGGATGAAATCATTCAACTCTTACCTAAACTAGACAACAAACAAGTATTAAGTGCATTGTCACTTGTTGATGTACTAGGTAGTCATCATATATCTGTATTACAACTTAAAATATTATTATCTTATTTGGATTTATCAAACCCAATTAATCTTTTATCAAATGTAATATATTAGAATTGATTGACTATTATTTTATAATTTATAATACTTACTTTTTTTCTATCTCTAGAATGGATTGATACCATTGGTTAAATGCTTAGATTCAATGGCATTAAATAAAGGTCCATCATCTATATTTAATTTTGAAGGTTTAGGTTCTGTAAGTAATAATCAAAAGTCTAAGAAATCTAAACATATAATATATTAATTAATACTTGTTCATTTAGGGATTAATTATTGATTCAATAGATAAATTACCAAATTTGGGATATTGTATTACAATGTGGATTAATATTAAAACCTATACGAATCAATTTAAAAATGGGGAACCTTATGAACCAAGAATCATATCGATGCTATCAGAGAATGGCAGTGGAGTGGAAGCATACTTTACAAACAATAGAGGACGTCTGACAATATGTGTCAACTCGAAATTTAAAACACAAGTACAACATGAATTCCCAACCAACAAATGGTTTCATCTTGTCATTCAACAAGCACCTTCTAAATGGATATTTAAACAAAGTTCTTTATTGTCAGTCTATATAGACGGTAAAATTATACACAGCGAAGAAATTAAATATCCTTCAACATCAAAAATTTTAAATAGATGTTCAATTGGTACAATTTATTCAAATATTAATAATTGGTAAATATATATATAAAAATATAACTATAATAATAATAATAATTACAAAGTATTAATCAATTTATTTGATTTATTTTAGTTTACAATGTCAAATTGGATCAATATCATTAATATCATCAAGTTTAACTGATAAACAAGTATTGAAATTATATAAAATTGGATCAAATACAACTTTATCACCTCAATATCAAAAGTATGTTATATTTGATTCATTTTATTGATATTCATTAACCAACTACTTTCTTTTTTTTTAGTAATGTTGCAATGAGTAGTAAATTTCCAAAATTAATATTTTCATATTCACCAAAATCATTCCATGGAGGGATATGTCACGATATTGGACACCAAAAGGATTCAGATACGGTGATCAATGCACATGCGACAGGCAATCTAACGATTTTATCAACTTTTTCACTCAAGGATTCAATGTATAGTTTGGGAGGACCTCAAACATTATTCTATCTACTCTATCAATTACTCGATCCTTCTCTTGGTAGTTCAATCAACACCAGTTCGAGTTACCCTACAATATCATCCATCTTGACACTCATTGCACATATCCTTACCAATCATACAATGATTCAAGATGAAATGGTAAAATGTAATGGCTTTCAAGTATTGGGTCTACTATTGGAAAAGATTATTAAATCAAACAAATCAATTGATATTGGTGAAGATTTAATCCTATCTTTAAATGAATTATTAAATTCTTGTTCAAAAAATGGTAAATAAGAAAAAAAAAAGAAAGAAAAGAAAAAAAAAGAATGATATATTAATATTTATTTATTATTTGTTTTTTTTAGAAATATTATTATTATCAATTTATAATAATATTATATTTAATTTTTATATTTGGATAAATACAAGTAAACAAATTCAAATATCACTTTTAAAATTAGCATTAGATAAAACTATAAATTATTCATTGGTAAGCAAAGGAAACATTTAAAATGATACAATGATATTAATCAGTTACTATATAGTATTTTAGAAAAAATATAACAGTTAGATTTTTATTAGATTCAATTAAATTCTTTTATACACAAAATGATAGAAGACCACCAAGCTCACCTGCAACACCACCAAAAATTGCAATATCATCCTCATCAAATGACTCGTTATCAAATAGTTTAAATAATCTCAGTGAATTATTCCTCAACCAATCTCTATCCCTTACACCATCACAACAACAACAACAACAACAATTACATCAATCTCATTTATCACCAAATGATATTAAAGAGATTCTATCTTATATGTTTACATTGATTGAAATGATAATAATTACCAATTCAAATGATAAAGATGAAGTATGTATAATATTTAATTAATAATTAATATAAATATCACCTATTTTTAATTAATTTATATTTATTAATTTTTAGATACCAGAAATACAAGATTTAATTGATTTTTTACAAGATTCATCATGTGATAATATAGTAATGATTGAAACATTGGGAATCATATTAAAATTTATGCATAGTGGTACAAAAGGATTTATGACAAGTTTTGAAAACTGTGGAGATTTAAAGTTATTCTTTGGTTTGTTGAAACGTGACAATGAATACATTCAAGTGTTGACCATCAAAATCATTGGAAAGTATATAAAGTCGGGTGGCAATGCAAATCGATCAAAGGCAAAACTTTCAGTTGAAGATGTCATGTCACTTGTCACTGAATCATTACTCGAAGTTGGACATATGACTGATCTAATCTATCGAGCACTGTCAGAGGTTTCAATTGACCGAATTGCACCTTCTCTTGCCGAAACACCAAACAGTCCACTATTGGATTTGATCGATGACTTTGAAAGACAAACCGATATTGTAAATATTCATGCCATCCTCTCGATTTGTACACTTACTGCTACTCGAGCATTACCATCGTTGCAACAAAAAATCCTCAATGAAATATTCCTATCACTCAAACATCTGCCCAACTTTAGAACAAAGATATTGGAACAAGAGAGATGGCAGAGTTGGTTCCTAAGAATATGGCCTGACCCTCCCTCTACACCCTCTTCACCGGCTTGGTCACCTCCCCTTTCATCTACCCCATTCCTTTTATCTTCATCAAACTCTTCAGCATTTCTTGAAAGTGTCAATAACATTAATAATGCAACCAATATTAGAGTATATCAATCTGGTATAAAGGAGATCCTTACCGGTATATTCAAAATACTACTCTATGAATGTGTATCTAAAAAGGATGGATGGAGAATTGTTGAAGAAACAATTGCATGGATTTATTTTGTTCTTCCCAATGGCACCCCTCTTGAAAGAAGAATATTCTATGAATCTTTAGTTAAACTTGAAATTGATATTAAACAACCACCATTGTATGTAAACCAGATAAAAAAAAATATTAATAATATAATTATTATTTACTTATTTAATTGTTTATTTTTATTTTTTTAGAAATTTATTAATTGTAAAGAATTATGTAAATTTAATATCAATTATCGAGGATTTTATATTTTCACAAACAATGAATATATTGACACATAGAAATACTCAATCACAATGGGAAGATTTTGGATTGGTTGCAAAGTTGTTGGATATATTTGATATTACTCAATCGATCAATCAGAGCTCTCCACTGATCACTTCGGCATCACAGACACAAGAGTTACCAATCATAGATGTTGGCGGAAACATTGGTGGAGGGGGAGGTGGAGGAGGTGATAGTAAAGATCCATCCAAACCAAAGTCATCAATTAATACAATACTTAGAATGGTCATGTGTGTGTTTCAAGAGGCCGAGAGTTGCTTCTTTGGTGATAAAAAGGAGGATGATGAACCCGACCTCGAGGAATTATCGACTGTCAAGACATGGGGTATGCCAGTGATCACCGAAGAGATGGACCAAATCATTGCCAAGAATTCAACACGTATTCAGATTATATTGGCCAGTGAAAAGGACCAAAAGGAACAGGTCAAGCATGTAATGTGGGTCATCTCCAACTTGATCAATATCATCAGACGTTATAGAAGTAGTAGTGCCAATGAGATATTGCAAAAGACACAGTCTGCGATGGTGTCGCTTCTCAAGACACTGCTCAAGACCTACGGCGACTTGGTCGACAACTATCTGCAACCACCTGCGTCTGGCCTGTCGGGTATCCTCTCGCCCAAGCCGACGACCAGTGCTGCAGCCTCTCCCAACATATTCCAGGTACACATGATCACCTCGTTGAATGAGAGTAATGCCGACGGCAACCATCCCGAGTTTCTAAAGTACTTTAGAGAACGACTGCTCTACAAGTTGCCGCTACTCGATCGTCTGCACGAAATCAAAGATCAACATGAAAATGCCAATCTCTTACCCGCTTTTGCCATGTCGCGCAAACACAAGATTGTCGAGGTGTTTAAACAACAACAAGCCAAAGAGAATGAATCGCTGGCATCAAAGTTGCAAAAGATTAATACCAAGTGTTTCTCCATCTCTCAGAAAAAAGAGATGAATGAGTTGCAACGAAGAACTGCCTTTGAAACACTCATCGTCGAGCACCGTAGAACAACTGAAAAGTTTTTCAATCGAGTGTTAAAGAGTCTTACAACTGATCGCACACCATTTGGATACAGAGAGACAGTACTCCCTAAAAAACTGTATAAACTACACAACCATCAGAATGACCTACGCCAATTCTTGGTCATGAAACGTGACTATAATGGATCGGATCACCAAGGTGCAGCGATTAGTTTGACAACAACCAACCACCAACAATTGTATCAACAACAACAACAACAACAAAAACAGGAAAAGGAAAAAGAAGAGATACTAAAGAAACTAATCACCAAACAGAAAAAGAAATTGGAAGAAGAATCTACACTTGAAGATGATGGTGGCGGACTAGTTGGATTTGAAATTGATAATCTTGGTGAAAATGAAACATCAATCATACTTGATCAAGCTCATGAACAAGATTGGTGTCTTGTTACTGATGGTCAATCAAGTAATACTACTACCACTACTTCTATAGGAGGAGGTAGTGGTTCAATGACGACTACTACAACTACAACTTCAACTACTCCAATACATAGCAATTGTACAATTAATAATATGAAGAATCATCCAGATAGCTATGTTGTCGGAGGTGTTGGAGGTGGTGGATTTAACAATTCAACACAATCAGTGGTTTACAATACAATTGGAGAATTGATCAAACCATTGATGATTGTTAGATGTCAAGTGATACTATTCCCTAATAGAACATTGGTATTCTCACCGGTTGGAATGAAACAAGAGGATGAGAGTATCCCAAGAAACCATCTACGTGATCAAGTATTTGATATTAGAAAATTGACTGGCATTCATTTTAGAAGATATCTCTTGCTTCCAACTGCACTGGAATTATTTTTCAATGATAAAACTCAATCGGTGTTTATCAACTTTCCATCGTCACAAGTGGTTGCGCAACTCATCAAAGCCATCACACCAATCATTGTCGATTCAGGTGTCCTATTTAAATCCTCTTCCAGTCATCCTTCTTTTCTATTTGACCGTGCGTCACCACAAGAAATGGTACTAAAGTATCTATCCCCAACACAACGATGGAAAAAGAGAGAAATTTCAAACTTTGAATATTTAATGACACTCAACACTATTGCCGGTAGATCCTATAATGATTTAAATCAATATCCTGTATTCCCTTGGATTTTATCAGATTATCAATCAGATGTAATTGATTTAAATGATCCAAGTATGAAATGAAAAAACAAACAAAGTATTATTATTTTAATCTACTAAGTTAACTTTTTATTTTATTTTATTTTTAAGGTATATATAGAGATTTATCAAAACCAATTGGAGCATTAAATTCAAATAGATTAGAATTATTTGTTGAAAGATATGCACAATGTCCAAAGGAGATACCTGCTTTTATGTATGGAACTCATTATTCGTCGAGTGGCAGTGTTATGTTCTTTTTGATGAGAAGTGAACCGTTTACATCACACTTTATCAAGTTACAGGGTGGACATTTTGATCATGCCGATCGTATGTTTGACAGTATGGCCGATTGCTGGCGCAATTGTCTCAACAGCTCATCCGATGTCAAAGAGTTGACACCCGAGTTTTTCTATAGCCCCGATTTCCTCGTCAACAACAATCAAGTGTATTTTGGAGTAAAGCAGAATGGAAAACCACTCGACGACGTGGTTTTACCGCCATGGGCACACGGACAGCCACACAACTTTATCGCCATGAACCGTATGGCGTTGGAGAGCGAGCATGTGTCTGCTTCGATACATCATTGGGTCGATTTGATATTTGGATACAAACAAAAGGGAAAAGAAGCGGTCAAGGCAAACAATGTGTTTTATCATTTGACGTACGAGGGAAGTGTGGATATTGGTGCAATGCAAGACACTATTTTGAGGGAGGCTACACGTGTACAAATCAACAATTTTGGTGTCACACCGAGTCAGATATTCCACCAACCACATCCACCTCGCGACCCTCCCAAACATCCACGTGACAAACGTATTATCCAACTCAGACGTCTCAAACCCCTTCAAATGGTTTCTGTGCCATTTGTCCCAATTAAATTGTTTTTGTTCCAAAATATCAACTCGTCATCATCGTCTGGTGCGACGGTCAATGTCATTGGCGCACGAAACAATGATCAAGCGGACCGAATCCTAATCATTGGCAGTAACAATGAAATACAGTATCTTCGATACGAATACGACAAGGAAAAAGAAAAGGAAAAGGAAAGAGAAAAAGAAAGACAAGAAAAGGAAAAGGAAAAACAAGACAAGTCGATGATTATGAATCAACAACAACAACAACAACAACAACTACAAAAACAACAAGGGTATTTGTCGGGTGCAAGTACTCCACAACAAAAGTCGTCGTCTACCTATGGGTCAGGTGCCAACACACCACAGTTGATGCATCAGATGACTTCGGGTACCAATACCCCGCCTCTTCCAATCCCACTATGCTCGGTTTCTCAATTAATGGGTCCCAGCCCATTGTACTTTACAGCTTCACTGCGCACGAGAATATGTCAGCCATTCTGCACGATCCCGTCGAACCAACGGGTGATACTGGCAGCTGGCAAGTTTGAATATACCCTTCACGTCATTTACAATGACAGCAAGATTGTAACTGGCAATATCTGTCACCAAGCACCCATCACAACCATTGTATATGACGAGTATATGCGAGGTGGAGGATGTGGTGTGGCAGGTGTAGCCAAAAAGGAAAAGATCATTGCAACGGGTTCATCAGACACTACCGTCATTCTCTGGGCATTCAATGAAGACGATTATTCAATCAGACCTATCCACACACTGCGAGGTCACGATTCAGCCATCACCTCTATCTCTATCGACCAAAATAATGATATTATCATTACCACTAGTAAAGATAATACAATCATTATTCATTCACTTTCAAAAGGTTTATTTATTCGTTCAATTAATCCAAATAATAATAATAATCAAAATAATAATAATAATCAAATTAATCAAAATAATTTATTATATTATAATAATGGTGATGGAACATTATATTATTATCAACAACAACAAAAAGAGAATATAATATTCAAGTATGCAATCAATGGACAATTAATTCAATCGATTCAAAGTGATATTCAACCGGTTATTGTCAAAATGTTGGTGGTTCGAGCCAATCCTTCAACACCATGCTATCTATTGACAGCGGGTGGATACCAAATCATTGTACGTGATTGTATCACCACTGAAATCATTCATATTTTCGATATTCGAAACTTGGCAGGATTCATCAATAGCAATGTCATTGTTGATTTTTGTCTTTGGAATGGTGAAAAGGAATCACTACAAGAGAATTTAAAAAATGATAATAATCAATTAAGTTTACTAGTACTCTTGGAAAGTTGTCAATTATTAATTTTTAATATTGATGAAAATGGTATCTTATTAAATGATTAAGAAAGATCGAACTAAATAATAATAAACCTTTTAAAAGAAAGAAATTACGATATTTTTAGAGTAGTAAGAATACCTTATAGAATTGGGTTTAAAATGACCCTTAAACCAGAGACAAAGCTTCCATGATAAGTTATAAAACTGTGATGGTCGAAACCGACCCTTCATTTCTTAAAGATATTTTGAAAAATCTTAAAAGACGAGAGTCTAGTTTAAAGATAATATTAATATTATTATTGATCTTTTCATTGGATGGATGACATCAGCAAGTACTTAATCATAGGCAAATTTAATCATTCTTATCATTTGTAATAATTATCATTATCTTTATTTGTTCAAAATATAAATTTATATCCTATTCTTTAAAGATGATGAAACTAGTACTATTATTTGTTGTGCTATCATTTGCATACATTGTGTCATCACAATCAGTGACTTATTTAGAGATGACACCATATGAAGGATCATGTAGTGGAGCTAATCAAGGTATTGGATATGCATTCATTGTAGGAGAATGTTTTGCCATTGCTGGTGATTTCTATCAAGTCGAGCTTACCAATGGTCATGACAATGCTACTCTTTACCGTTATTCTGACAGTGCATGCAAATCTGTTAGCAATTCAAAGGAATACCAAGTTGGAGAATGTTACGAAGCACCAGATTACGTTTGGAACAGTGGTGTTGTACCATCAAACTATGTCCACATTTCAATATCTGTCAATCCAACATCTATTCCACAATACGGTTTTAGATTAACAACCTATGCTCCAGGTGACACTAGATGTCAAGATAATCCTCAATTTTACTGGTATTCTCCTAATCACTCTGTTATCAAGTCTTATAATGAATCCGTTACATTCTATTGTCAAAATAATGAACCATATGAAAGTATGTAAAAACAAAACAAATCATATTATATATTCCAAATATATCATGATTACTTACTTTACTTTACACTCCTTTCTTCACTGCTATCTAGTATACTGTGACGGTGGTGAAATTGAAGGTTGTCAAACCACATATAACTCCATGTCTTGCCAATTTGACTTTACTCATTGGGGAACACATAATTACATTGAAGGTACATGTTGATCAAAAAATAAATAATAAATAATAAATAACATAATCACAAATCTAACCACTATTGCAAACGAAACAAACACACACTGATGATGAGATACACACAAACGACCATGGGTATCATTTTAAAATTATTTGTACTCTGAATAAATGAATCATAACTATTATTTGTCGTATTATTTAACAGAACTCGGGTTCCCTCGCGATTCCCGATTTGGTGATGCAAAGACGCGACAGCCTCCAAAAATAAATTAAAAAAAACACCTCGTCGAAAAGATCCCCGTTGTCTCTGACGAGAGGAGCTTTGAGGGTGGTCAGAGTTGAAGGGAACTGTTCGGTCTTATATATACACATTATTTATTTATTATTTATTATTTATTTATTTATTTATTTATTTATATGGAGTGATCACAAATACTTATGTATGTGATCTCACCACAAAAAGAAAAAGAAGAAAAAGAATGAAAGATGAAGGAGAAAAGAAAACGATCATGTTTGCAGAAACTGATCAAATCATAGAGAATAATCAAAATAATAATAGTAGTAATAGTGTTGGTAGTGGAACGGTTTCTGCTATACAACAACAACAACACAACTATCACAGTAATCATAATGGAATAGTATTAAATAGTAGTATAGAGTCTACACAATCATCTATAGATTATTTGCCAAAGAATGATGAGGTGGAAATACAAACATTGATGGGTCGAAGAAAACCATCGGAATTAGATTTAACAATGGGTTATGGTGATGAAGTCATAGAGATTTCCCAATCTATTGATGATGGAGATATGTACGACTATGACGACTATCATCAACCCGGCGGTGTTGGAATCACCCTCCAAAACATATACCATCCACATGATGCCAGGACCGAGAAAAAGGGAAAGAGTCATATTATAAATAGTCCATTATTGGAATCAATCAATTTAAATGGAAATACTCAAGATGACAGTGATGACGATAGTGACAGTGACAGTGACAATCAAGAAGAACAAACAGAATCATTAAATGAAATTAATATTAATATCAGTCAACAACAACAACAACATAGTAGTGGTAGTGGTAGTCAAAAGCAAAAGATGAAAAAGAAACCATATTATTTCATTGAACCTTATATTACATTACTTGTATCAAATAAGGCATACAGATTGCTATTCTTGTCATCGTTGATTTCACAACTTGGTGATTGGTTTAATGAATTGGCATGTTTGACGTTATTGGCAAAGTATGGTGCTAGTGGTATTATGGTTAGTGCCTTTTTGGTGCTGCGAGAATGTCCACCATTCTTTTTTAGTCCGATTACAGGTGTTGTCAGTGACACGTTTGATCGTCGAAAGATTATGATCATGGCCGATGTATTTAGATGTGTTTTGGTACTACTATTCCTTTTGGTTCGATCACAGGGCAGTCTGTGGTTATTGTATGTACTAGCATTTCTACAATTCACAATTGGTGCCTTTTTCATGCCTGCCAAGCAGGCTCTGTTACCAAGTCTCGTTAAAAAGGACCAACTCATCACCGCCAATGCCACCGAGCAGACATCCTACTCATCTATGATGTTGATCGGTGCTGCAATTGGTGGTCTCGTCTCTTACAAGTTTGGTACAACCGTCAATTACATCATTGACAGTATGACCTATATAGGATCACTCATTTGTGTTTTATTATTAGTAAGAGTAATGAATCAACAATCTCAATTAAATCAACAAAAAGAAGAAGAAACCGAAGAAGAAGAAGAAGAAGAGAGTGAAACGATGATTAGCGAATCAGAAGAATCTCAATTTGAATATTACATGAGTCAAACAGAAACTGAAGATGATAATATTCATAAACAAAGATTACATCAACAAAATCAACATCAACAACATTTACAACCAAATAATAATAATAATAATAATAATCCAGGTAATTCCAAAACAACAACAACAACAACAGCAATTGGTAGATATTTTTCAATGTATAAAGAAGGGATGATATTCTTGAGGAATCATCATTATATTTGGTTGATTACATTTTGCAAGGCTAGTGGTGCACTTGTATGGGCTGGTGCAGACACTGTTCTCATTCGATTTGGTCAAAAGGTATTTACGATGGGTGATGACGGCAGTCTGTCACTTGGAATCATTCTGGCTTGTGGTGGTCTAGGTATTGTCCTAGTACCATTTGTATTTGCTAGAATCATTCCCGATAAACCAATTTATCATAATAATATTTTAAAGTTTGGTTTTGTATGTATCACAAGCGTTAATTATTATTAAATTAATTATTAATTATTTTAATTTCTATTTCTAAATTTAGTTTATGAATTGTTTTGGAACATTGGCACTTGGATTCTCAGCATCAATATTTCCAGTATTTTTATTCTTTAATGTCATTAGATCAATGTCAACTTGTGTATTGTGGTTGTATTCATCATCGATCCTACAACAATTACTTCCAAACAAGGTAAGAGGAAGAGTATTTGCATTTGAATTTGGTATGCTCATTCTATGCAGTGTCTGTGCTAAAATGACAACTGGTTTGTTGCTTGACGAAGCACAAATGTCTCCACAAAATGTAACCTATGTATTTGGTCTGGTTGGTGTATTGGTCTTTATGGTTTGGATGACATTATTAAACAAATTCACTTTGGTTGAAAAGTCATAAACGATCGTTAAATAAATAATAATAATGATTAATGATGTGATGTGATCATCACAAACAAAAAACAAAACAACCAACCCATCATCATCATCATATATCGTCATTGTCAACTTTAAACTACAACACTACGTACAATAGAAAATAAAGAGAGACCAAGATCTTCATGTTGATTGATTGATTGATACACCAACACAAGCCCAATAGTATAACGCAGTTATCTTATCTAGACTAGTTAGATTTGCAACCTTTATCACCCCTCTATTATTAGTGTTATCTTTTAATCTCCCGCCTTTTCAGATTGACAGCAAAGCTAAAGAACTCTCGTTTTTCCACCTCGAATGATGAAGCTGCAAAGAGACAGAGACAGAGACTCTGATCAGGATCACAAGACATCCCTCTCTCCATGAATTTCAGATAATCCTTCAAAAAATTTAAAGGTCATGGTTAGCAGCAAGGATGCGGTTTTTTCCAAGTGAGTAGTTGGGGGGTTGGGGATGAGAGTTTAACAAAAACAAACACCAACAAACCTTCTTCTACCCACCAAACCCAAAGCAATAGTTTAATAGTGATCAACGAGAAACAATCAGTGTAGTAGTAGTAGCATTATTTATTATATCTATTCTTTCAATTTCTAGATCCATTCATTCACCTCCACCACACATCCCTATTCATTCTGTAATATTAGTATCATACCATATATATATATATATATAACATTTAACATTTGTAATATTAGTAAATAAGATTAAGATTTGTAATAATATATATAAGCAGCAACAATTAGATAATCTTTATATTTATATATATAATCTTCAAAAAAGAATGATTGAAACAATTGAAGACATTATAGATTTTCATAGTACCAATGAAAAGAGTAAATTGTTGGCAACTACCAAGACATTGGAGATTATATTGAATGCATTGGGTAAATGGAAATGTACAAACTCATCAATTGTATCAGTCTCTGCTGCAACAGGTGATGATTCATCAGCAGGTCAAACACCACCAATCTTATCAACTGATGATGCAGCTTCAACCAAATCATCATCGGAATCATCTTCAACCGATAGATTATCACCTTCTATTAGTAGAACAACCAACAACAACAACAGTGATTCAACAGTACCAATTCAACTTGCCAACATCCTTTGCGAGATTGTAAAGGAAAATACTGATTTAATTCTACCCATCCTGTCACAATTCTATGAAACGATCAGTTATCTCATTATCAATAATCCATCACCATCTGGAACACCTCCATCTTCTCCACCACGTGGTCCAAACGCCGACCCAACCGATGTCATCAATACAGCCATCTTTACCATGTTTGGTAACATTTGTTTCCTCTTTCCAAAGAATCAAAATCTCCTATCTCAATCGATCCCCCATGTATTGGATATTGCCAAAAAGAGTACACTCGTTCAATCAATAGTCTATTCTACCCTTGCATCTGAAGCTGTAAATCAACCAAACATTCTAACTCCTTTTATTAAACAATTAATTAATGTATGAAACAAAACAAAAAACAAACAAACAAACAAATAATAATATTATTTATTAATATCTTTTCTTTTTCTTTATTTAGCATGCAAGTTATTATCCAAATTATTTTTCAATTTTAGGAGGATTATGTCAATATGATAAAAAGGAATTTGAATCAAACATTGTATTATTGGTTGAGAGTTTTGAAAAGGTACCGGAAGCAAGAGCTAGTATCATGGAGATTATTGGTCACATGTCCAAGAATTCGGCATCAGTGTTGGCAATCATCCCTTATTTGGCCAGACTAAAGGTTGCACTGACTCTTGAATCGTTGGCTAGCCATATGGCTATCATCCTCAAATGTGTAGCATCGAGATATCCACATATTTTGGATTCACTCTTGTTGGATGATGTCATCGAATCGATCAATAAGTTCCCAGTAGCCAAATACTCGTTGATTGAAGTGGTTGGTATGTGTAGTGCCTCGCATACTAACCGTGCCTACCAGTACCTAGTCACCATGCTACAAAAGCAACAACGTCAATCTATCAGTAACGATTCTAATTCCATCGTTGCTATTCTCAAGGGTCTCAGATCTATCCAAAGAACTACACCAGACTTGCTCACCTCGGTAGAACCATTCCAAAGATTTGTTGCTCATCCTTCAGCAAGCGACAATGACCAAATATCAGAGTTTATCGTAACAATGGCACAAGAAATCATAGACAATATTCAAAACTATAACAATAGAGAGAATATGATCAGTCCACTTCCAAGTCTTGCCAATGGTAACAATGTCACCACTGGTATAGATGTCCGAGTCGGTCAATGTTTGGTTGAATTGGAAAAAGTTGATACAACTGCCACAATCAATGATAAATATCTATTGGAAACTTATTATTCTATCATTTTGGAAACATTATCATTCATTCCAATTCCAAGTCATTGTGATATTATTAAAAAAGAAATTAAATTATCAACACCAATCAAACAATCAACAACAACAACAACCACAACAACAGATGTAATAGTAGTAGAAGAAAAGACGAAGGAGGATGATACAGTTACCACTCAACCAGAAGAACCAATTAAAAAAGAAGAAGAGACGGAAAAGAAAGAGTTGGTAGAAGAAAATAAACCAAAAGAAGAAGAGGAAAAGAAAAAAGAAGAAGAAGAATCAACTACCACTCAACAACAACAACAAGATGTAGTCGAAAAAATTGTAACAATAACTATATATACATTATCATTTACATTTGGTCATGAAACAATTGAATTATTGGTTCAAGATGAAAATGAAATTCAAGTTTGGAAAAATATCAATCGTTTATTATCAATTGTCAATTTGAAACCATTCCTAAAGGTTGATCAACAAGATCAGCAACAACAACAACAACAAGGTGACTCCAAGTCAATTATATCATTTGTAACATTCAAAGATATCCAAGAGATTCACAAACAATTGGAATCATTGTTGGAAAAGACCTCACTCTCACCAAGATGTGCAGCTTCACCTGTTGGTGCATCGGCCAGAGTCAATCAATTGGCTCAAGATCCAGCAATCCCTCTAATTCGTATCAATAGTGTTAGAAACAACAACAATGGTGAGGACGACGATGACGATGATTTGGTACTTCCAACTCAAAATGGAACTCGTTTAAATGTCGGTCCATACGAACAACAACAACCTATTCTTTTACACCAAGGAAGATTATTTAAGAAATCAAAATACCTAAAGAGAGACGATGCCTATTGGTTTGAATTGTATCCAACCTTTTTAATTGGTAAAAAGGAAAAGACTGAAAAGGAAAAGGACAAGGAAAACAGAGACAACAACAAGGGTCACCCAACCCTTGGTACCTCTTCATCATCCAGTTCGTTGGCATCGGCAACCACCACCACGTCTACCACTCCACTACACGAAGAAGAGATCAAAATTGTCATCAAAGAGATTAGAGAGATTAAAATGGTTGAAGGTGAAAACAAAAAGATGGGTATATTCAAGAGTAAACCAAATCCACACAAGGAACAAAAGACATTTTGCATTACAACGGCAAAGCGAAAATTTTTATTCAAGGCAATTGGTTCAGAGGAAAAGGCAGTCTGGATCAACAAAATCAAACAACTTTACCAACAACTCGTTTATCGTCATCATCACAACAATGGAGAATTTAATTTTAATCAACTCGATCTAACCATTCCAGTAAATAACGTCACTGGAAAGGAAAAAGATCCAAACTCTCCCCAACAACAACAACAGCATCTTCAACCACAAAAGAGTCCAGTATTGGAATCAACAAATCCATCTATCGTAAAGTCAACCTCTGCTCCAACCAGTCCAGTGAGCAGTGAACCAACATCACCAAGAAAGAAAAAGAAATTAATGCGTAGATTTACTCAATACCTTCCAAAAATGAAGAATTAAAATAAAAATGAACAAAAAGAGTTGTAGTAATATATAATTCTTTTAAAATTATATCGAATTTAAACCTAAAGTATAAAGAATTATAAACATCCAAAGCAAATTTATAAATGATTAAATTTTTTTGTTTTTTTTTGCAAAGATACATAAAAGTAGAGAGTCAATGAACAAGATCATTATTTGATGACATCATTAGATTAAGAAAGAAATGTCATTTCAATTTCCTAGTTATTATAGTAGAGAACCATTCTTTACCATTCAACCGGTATTGAATACTAGAAAGAAACAATTAGAAATGTGGATCGATCTTGTATTGTCATATTGTAGATACAACAAAGTATATGAAATAGATATCAATGAATATATTAAAAAGGATCATAAATTGTTTTATAATGAAAAGATTAATAGTAAGAAGAAGAAGAAGAAGAAACAAGTAGTGATAGTTTATTGATCTCATTCTTTGTTTCTTTATTTAGGAAGATTATCAAATGAATCAACAAAAATTATATTTGAAGAGATGATAGAGATTGGTAATGGAGAATGGTTAGATAAAGACAAGAATAGAGTTATGGTTTGGTGGAGAAAGCCTGAAGAATGGGCAACATTGATTTATAAATGGGTTCTAGACAGTGGTCAAACCAATCAGGTTCTGACTCTATGGGAAATTCAAAAGGGTGACGACACCAAGAACCAAGAGTTTTACGATCTCGATACCAATGTACTAATTAAATCTTTAAAGGTATTGGAGAAACAATCAAAAGCACAAGTATTCCAAGGTACCGATAGTAATCTTGGTGTTAAATTCTTTTCAATCTAAGAAAGAAAGAAAGGAAAATAATAGTATAGTATCGACAAGACACACACAAATATAAAACACATCGATTGTAAATAGATTTGGCATAATATAATTTATTCGTTGTTGGTTATGATTAGTGTTTTATTCATTGGTTGCAGTGGTACCATTATCGTTATCATTATCACCACCTTCATCATAGAACGGTTGAAAAGCTTCACGAAATTGTTCAGTTTGTTTTGTTTCTTGTTCTTGGTCCAATATACATTTCTTCCAATTTAAACGTTCTGGTATCTCTAACAAATCGACAATTGCATGTCTACCAAATTGCATCTCAAATATTGGCATTACTTTATCTTGTTGTTGTTTAGTTTTTGTATCTTTATCTCCTTCTTCCTCTTCTCCTTCTCCTTCCTTTATCTCTTTTTCTTTTTCCTCTTGAGCCAATTTTTTAGCAGCCAATAATTTTTGATCCAATACTAGATAAATGATTGAATTGTCTGGTAAGATGACCATAAAGTAGTCTTGGTCATTTTGAACTGCAGTGAGAAATTCTTGTTGGTTTTTAGCGTGTTCAAAGGTGAATCCCTTTTCGGTAGCAAGTTTTTGGAATCCATCTATAATGTCTTGTTGTGATAGTTTGCTTGGTACAGGAACCACTTGCAAATGTCCGTGTGTAAAATCTTTATCGTTTACCTGTACCTTTACATTTCTTTCAAACACTATTGGTACAGTATCGCCGTTTTGTTTGTAATACTTTCGCAATGCATCGAGATACTTGTATGCATCCTTTCTTTCGTCGTCAGACAGTGATACAAATGATGGTTTGTGTTCGATATAAATGATCAATGTATGATCATTGACTATTCCTCCTTTTGGCATTGCCAAATAACATTCTGATCCAATATTTACAATTAAATGACTTTCAAGATTTTTTGATGATAAACAAAACCAACATTCTTTTGTTTCTAGAAAAATAAAATAAAAAGTAAAGCAAAATTAATAAATAAATAAATAAATCAATAAATATTATATATATTATTATTATTATTATCTGTTACATACCGTTTAGATGATTATGAGATCTTTTGTTTTTACCCTTTTGATAAGATTCACCACTATTATTATTATTATCACCATATCTTTGTCTTGATTCATCACCATCGGTTTTTTGTCTTTTAATTGTTGTTGTAGTTGTAAATGGAAATTCTGTAGCATCTTGGACATTTGTTTCTTTTGATGGTTGATAATTCATTGCAAACAAATACTTTTCATTCTTGTCATTGTAGACCGATGACAATGACAAGAATCTTGTCAATGACGACGACGATTCACCACTATTTGTATTTTTGTATGGTAATCTTTGGAAATAATGTAAATCCTTTGAAAAATGATAAGCTGGTGCCAAACCAACTACAATCTCTTTTATACTATCATATCCTTTTTGATATGGATTTTTCATTGAATTTACAATTGGACTAATAATAAATAATAATAATAATAATTAGTACAATTAAATAATTAATTGAATTTAGTTATTAATTCTACATACTCTGTTACACCATTTAAAATACCTCTTGGCCATTGATTTGATAATAGAATATCGATTGATTTGAATTTTGATTTATCTTGTATCAAAGTACTAATATCTTGTTTGGTAATTGCCAGAGGTTGATTCTCATCGTATGAATCTTTTACTGGGAATGTTGCATGTCCCGATAGATAGGCAATGGTGGCACCCTTGTATTCCAAAATACCTCTTCTACCAAGATAGAATAGATTATCACATATCTGACCACCATCCTCTACCGAAACACCATATTTCTCTAAATATTTGATTTCATTCATAGAGTTTATGATAAAGTATGTTGGTAAACTTAGTTTTCTATCCTTTAAAAAATCTTTAATATCAATTTCCTCTTGTTGTTGATGTTGTTGTTGTTGATGATGATGATGATGACCATGACCTTGAGTTTGTTGTTGAAACCTTTCAAAGAATGAACCAACACATAATAGTATATCAAATGGACCTGCCTTTGATTGATTCACTTTATCAACTCTATCAAAGATAGTTTTAAAGTTGCCTCCAATATCACCACATACTAATCTATAATAAATACATAATAAATGCAAGTCAGTACAACTGTTGTCCTGTTATTATATTATACATACACTTTTACACTCATTCTATCTATCTTGTATACATAAAAATAGAATGATCGATCTTTGTTGAACTACGAGTATATTTATTTCTGACCATTAATTACAAATTATGAAAAAAAAAATGAAAAAAATGAAATTGCCTTGAAACGAGTCTCACTGTCATTAAAAAGCGATTAGGTAATTATTACTTCATAAGTAGTAGTACAGATATATTGTTGTTTGAAAGAAAGAAAGAGTCATACACCTTTATAGAAACTAGTAGTACATATCAATAATATATTATATAGATAACAGTAGCAGTAGCAATGGTTGTAAAAATATTCGCCAATCTTTTGATTACCACAGGAACTGTCTTTGCTAGATCTTTAGCAATGGCCTATAAACAAGCTATAGCAAGTATGAATCGATCAATCACCATAGATTACATTAGGTTTGACTCATTCATTCATTCATTTATAGGAGCCGAATCAGGTGGTGCACAAACAGCTAGCGATTTACTTAAAGGTGGTAAAGTGAATGCCGTTATGTCTACAATGGAGGCAAAGAAGATATTAGGTTTAGAGTCAAAGACTGGTATAACAATAGAAGACGTTACAGAGGTAGGTGTCGATACAGCAATATATATGTATGCATAAAGAAAGGTTTTATTAATCTTTGTCAATTTGTTTAGAAATATGACGATTTATTAGAGACAAACAAACCAGAAGATGGTGGATCATTATACGTTCAAAAGAAAATTATGGGTGCAAAGATTTGTTTGGAAAATGAATTGAATAATGGAAAGGAAATATAATAATAACAATACTACACACTACTATTTATATAAATTGTATAATCGATCAAATTTTTTTTTGTTTAAAAGAAAACAATAACCAACAACAAACTGAAACAAACAATTGGAAGACAATACTGCGACGATGATATTCTATTATTTGTTTATTAATTAATTAAATGGATGGTGTGGTTGCATGATTTAAATGGTTTTCATGTTTAACGACATAAACTGGAATTGGTGCATGATGAACTAAATATTCACTTACAGATCCTAATATAATTCTAATGGCAAAAGAGAGAAAGAGAGGAGATATTAATATTAATGAAAATGATAATATTTTTTCATTAATCAAACACTTTACCGTTTAACAATACTAAGACCTCTTGATCCAACAATAACCATTTCAAAAGGTCCATTATCTTCTATGTATTTAATAATTTCTTCTCTAATATCACCACATAATATATCTTGTTTGACACTTGTAAACTATAGAACAAACAAATTGGAATGGTGAGAAACGCTACAAGATATATATATATTTCAACAATTGCAATTGTTCAACATACACCTTTAGTTTTACACATTTCACTATATCTATCTAATATTTGTTGTGATACTCTTTGTTGATTTATAAATTCCAATTCTGGTGGCACCAAATCTTCTGGTGTTGCTGTTTCCAAGTCAATGACTGTCACCAAATCGATTGTATCTCTATTTGGTTTTAATATTTTCAATGATTGTTCCAATGCATTGAATGATGAATCTGATCCATCAACTGCTACTACATACTTCATTCTATTCTCTTTCTTTTTTTATTTACTACTAATATATCTGTGATAAATACTGGTAGAAACTAAAAAAAAAAATAATTATTATTTTAAAAAAAAATTTCCATTCATTTTTCCCAACACACATTCTTTTCCATTTTTGGTAGAAACAACAACAACACACATTAATATTAATATTTTCTATATATATATCTCAAATGTAGAATAAAAAAGAGAGAGAGAAAATGGAATAGGATGTACTTAAAAAATAATATCCATGGATATTTAAATTTAATTAATATGTTTTTTTGGAATATCTATCTATCTATCTAACAAACCATTTATTTATTGTAGAAAGTCATGAAGAAGTTCAAAAAAATATCAATTCTCTATAAAGTGATGAAATTCTACAGATCAAGACAAAAAAGTTCAAAACATCATTAAAAAGTTTAATAAATAATAACTAAATATGTATTTCTATTATCATTCCTCAAAAGTACTATTATTATTATTATTATACTTTTATTTTTGTTGTTGTTGTTGTTTTAATTTTAATAATTGTTCCAACATTTTCTTGGCAATTGATTTATAAATGGTAGCTTGTTTTGATTCTGGTTGTGAAATGGTGATTGGTGTACCCTTGTCGGCACACTCTCTAATATCAATGTTGATTGGAACCTCTCCCAACAATTCCAACCCCAAATCTCTGGCTGTTTTAACAGCTCCCTCTTTACCAAATATATTACTACTATGATTACAATTTGGACATTCAAAATGACTCATATTTTCTACTACTCCAAGTATCTAAAAAAAAAGAAATAAATATAAATATTTATGAATTAAATAATACCTATACTATCTTTCTCTCTCTCTCTCTTTCTCTCTCTATCTATCTATACATACAGGAATATTAACCTTGTTAAACATTTTTACACCTCTAATGACATCAGCAAGTGCTACATCTTGTGGAGTAGATATAATGACAGCACCACTAAGAGGTACACGTTGACACATTGTGAGGATAGCGTCACCAGTACCTGGTGGTAGATCTACCACTAGTACATCCAAGTTGCCCCAAGCAGTACTACCCAACAACTTTTCGAGTGCACCCATGACCATTGGACCACGCCATATCATGGCATCATCCTCTTCCACTAGAAAACCCATCGACATGCATTTGATACCATAGTTTTGTAGAGGGATCATTCGCTTTGTTGTTTCTTCGATTGCTGGTTGTTGATTACGTAGATTCATCATGATGGGTAGCGAAGGACCGAAAACATCGGCATCCAAGATACCAACCGATATTCCTGGCATTGCATTGAGTGCAAGTGCAAGATTAACAGATAGTGTACTCTTGCCAACACCTCCCTTGGCAGATGAAACAGCTATAATATATTTAATGTTTGGTAGACTAATCTTTTGATTTGGATCCTTATTACCATGTCCAATAAAACTATATGATCGATGATGATGATGATGATGATGATGATTACTAATCTTATTATTACTATTTAAATAGGTTGTATTACTATTCTTATTATTAATAACATTCTTTGATTGATACGAGTAGGATGATGGGAGCTTTGATATCGATGATACTGATGATATTGATGATGTTAATCCAATCAAACTACTTTTAGTTATAGTATTTAACTTTAAGATATTTCTATAATTGATCATCTTTGTGTTTGTAAATGTGGTCAATAATGATCGTGGTCAGTTCATTAATTTACAAAACTTTTTTGATTAATACGAATCATTAATCCATTTAAATAATTAAACATTGCTTGCTTTTTTATATATATATATATATGTGGAAGAATAATAAATATTATTATTATCATTATCTTTTTTGTTTGGTTTATTATTTTTGTGTTAATATAAATATTATTTTGTTAGGTATTTCGATGAGAGATTGAAAAGTATGGTGATGAAGATAGTGAAGTGGAGAGATCAGCCTTTTCGACTTTGGATCGACTGAATGGATTAATATATTTGTAGATGTAGTCACGAACTTCCATACGACGAGGAATCGAAAAGACAATCAAGGCGTGTGCTATCCATATACCACCGGTACTATAATAAAATATACCTTCAAGCGGATAGTAATAGTTGTGTATAACAACCAATGTATCGGTCACTCCGAAAAATGTACTTCCAAGTACACAAAATGGTAATAACATTCTTGTTGGATTGGTTCCTGGGAATGTTGATGTTAATGCCAATGCTCTCCATCTTTAAAAGACAAATAATTAATTATAAAGTTAAAACTTGAATCATTCATTCATTCATTCAATCTTTGGTTATTACATACAAAATAGTAGCTTCAATTATACTATAAAGTACAATTAAAGAGAAATGAGGTGCATCCAATGATAGAATTTGTGGGATGGTAGAATCTGAACTTGTTTGAATATATGAATAACTTCCACCATTTGCATCGTTTACTTGATTATCTCCATCATCATCTGATGATTCTTCTGAAGATGATAAAGAGGAAGAGGTTGATGAAACTAAAGAATAGTAATCTTCATCATCATTATTGTTATTTGTTGTTGTTTCGGCTGCCAATGCCAATACTTGTTGATCGATTTTAAAATTACCCAACAATGTAGAGAATGCTGGTAAAAATTGATTATTATTATTATTATAAAAACTACTACTACTACTACTACTACTAATACCATTAATACCATTACTACCACTACTACTACTGCTGCTGTTGTTAAAAGAGATTTTTGAAGTTGGATTAAAAGTTGATTGAAAAGTTGGTGGTACAATAATGGGAGCGATGGTAGAGGAAAAGAATATCATGAGGACAAGAGTGGCGGCGTAGGCATAAAAGGGGATAGCATGGAACAATCGAATCTTGAGAGACTTTCCAATGCCAATGATGAATGCCATCGTATAAAAAAGACGCGATAAGAGGAGAAAGGAGAAGGAGAGGTAGTAGACAGCCTGCGACGACGGTACCTCGGATGTCGAGTCGTGTGAGGTGAGACTGAGATCTATGGAATATATACAATCGCTTATGATGTTTGAAACCAATGCCAGTGCGATAAAGATAGAGTATCGAATCGTTTTGCTATTGTTGATACCGTACAATGGGATGATGAGGAGCAACGGTACCAATGGGAGTGGTCGAGTCACCAAGAACAAGTAGAATGCCGATGGAGACTGATCGACAAACCTGTACTCTATATAATAGCACGTGACCAATATGAGAAAGACAACGACCAACAAGACGACGCTGGCCGCACGGTGAAATGTAAATGGTAGACTTGGTTTACTAACCTCTTCAGATGGGTTACGTAAAGGTGATAACCTAGACATTGCATGTTGACCACCTGCAACTAGGTAGTTTTTAAGTAACCTTTTACCATTGTCTCTTGTATTATTATTATTGTTATTATTGTTATTATTATTATTATTATTAGTTGTACCTCCACTACCACTTCCTCCAGTCTCTTCATCTCCACTATCATAGTAGCTATTTGTTGATAGATGTGATCGAACTAAATAGTCTTCACTATCTTCTCCACCAGTCGTATCAGAATGTATTACACTTGTAAACTTTAATGATCCATTCTGATTGCTATTGCTATTGTTATTGTTTAAACCATTAATACTATTATTTAGTACTGCTATTTGTTCAAAACTTGTATGTAGTTTGTTAGGTATTTGATCTGATGCTTGGTCTAGTTGTTGATGGGTTTGAGGAGTATTGGTTGTTGAAGTTGAAGAAGTAGAGGTAGTAGAATAAGAAGAAGATGGAGGATGTTGTAGTTGATGTAATAATGGTGTTTCATCATTTATCTCTCTTTGTTGTTGGTCCTTTGCATTATTATTATTACTATTAATCATTCTATTATTAAGTGATGATGATGATTATGAAAAGGATGATTAAAACTTAATTAAACTTCCTATTTCATTCATAACAAACAAACAAACATACAAACAAAAGATCAAACCAACAGACTCTAAAACTTGAGAATCATAGAAAAAAAAATGAAGTAATAGAAATTTCATTCTTGCCAGAAATATCTTTAGAAAAAGTATTAATATCCACACGAAGTGTCGTTCACAAGTTTATTTACATTTATATTATAATATTAATTAATTATTCTACCTGGTACATCTTTTATTACTAGAATACTAACATAATCACAATGATAGATGAAACAAAAAAGAATAAAAGTGATGTTATTCTTGATTGACTGTTTGCACTTGATGGTGTTGATGTTGATGATGTAGTTGGATCATAATTAAAATCAGTTATTCTATGGAACATGTTTGATATTGTGCAATTATTGTTAGTGGCGTTTTTGGACAAATTGGCATAACATTGCTCAAGATTCACTGGAAACATTTGGAATGGTGTGTCTCCTTCACTATAGGTATATGAAAGTGGCAATATTGTAGTATTGCATACTTTGAACAAAGTTGGACATATCATTCCACATGCATCTTCTAAATTTGGATAGTTTGAATACACTATTATTATTTATATTATTATTTGTATTAGTATTAGTTTATCGTCTTTTTAAATATTTTTGATAAAAAATGCTGATACAAACCTCTAAAAGTTGAAGAGCATAGATACATGGCAATATATTCAATGTATTTGGTGGTTGCCGTTTCAAGTAAAGATTTTGGCTCGGTTGGACCATTGTATAGGTTTGAATTATTTTGCGTAGAGTAAATGGCCGATCTAACAAAAGAGTCAATGTATACAGTGGAGTTGGTTTGTTTATAACATATAGTTCCAGATTGATCGATTGGTGTTGGATCTTCAACCAAACCATTCAAAAAACCACTTGATAATTTGAACCCTGGGATTTTAGCCAAGTGACTTAGGCTAAAATGACTTATTGTATCTCCCCATTCACAAAATTCAAACAGTTCATTACCACCAGTCACACAATCTAATGAGAGAGCTTGTGAATCAACAACCAAAAATCTAGAAACAATAATAATAATAAAATAATATAATAAATTTTGATAGTTAGTGATCTTGGTCATTTCTTTTTTTTTGAACAAACTTACATCAATAAGATTGAACCAATGATTAAATTTAAAATCTTATTATCCATATTTACTTGAAGAAGAAGTAGAAGAAGAAGAAGAAGAAGAAAGGTATAGTTTTGAAATGAAAAAAAGAAAAGAAAGAACAGTTCTTCGTTTTTGATCATTGTTGAGGTTGGAGTTGACTTCGTGGTCAAAAAGAATTTTTTTTTTTTTTTTTGGAAAGGAAACACTGCAATGCAATAGTTTTATTCCTATAAATCTTCAAATGGATTATGATTTGACCATCTTGAATAGCCTTTAGAGAATAAGTATTCTTTAACCTTTTCAAGAAGAGGTGGTTCATACATTTTATCATCTTCATTGGCCACAAAGATGTCATCCCGGTAAGCACCAAAGAAATAGTATGTTCTTCCACCATGTTCTATTGGAATTATATTGGTTTTAATATTATTACCGGCTATTTCATCGTTGGGATCTGTAGCAGCAGTAGTAGTAGTATTGTCTTTACTACCAACCAAGACACGTTTATCTACTACATAAAGAATGACAGACTGCCAAATTGAGAATTGTCCAGCTGGCAACTCCAAATTAAATTCTATTTCCTCTTTTTTACCAATTGTCTCTTCTGTATAATTATAAAGTGAATTAACTTCAAAAATACTCTCACAACTATCAAAATTAAAATAAAATATAAAATAATTAATAAATAAATAATTAATAAAATAAATATTATTTTTTAAATACCTTGTAATGCCCTTGTGAAGTTCATCTGGAGCACCAGTAGAAGGACCTCTCATTTTAGTTATTTTATGAGTTTGTTTGGCACCAGAGTTTACACTTTTAATATATTCATAATAAATGGCTATTGGTTTGGTTGGAAAGTTTGGTAACATCTTTCTAAAATTATAATCCTATAGGATTGATTGTAGGTTGGTTATTTGATAAGAAATTGGAGAGAGCATTTTGTTTTACATACCAATAAAATAAAAGGTTCAATTGGATTTCTAATTCGAAGTGCTTGATCAACTTGATAGTTTGTTTTTGCAACAAAAGTATTTACCAAACTATAAACTTCTTTTGGATTTAATGACATTCTTTGATAATATATTGAATAATTATTGCTAAACAATAAATAAATGAATAAATTGTTTGCTGATCAGTTTGGTTGGATACTGAGTAAAGTAAAGTGGTGTAAGGTTGCAATCTTTAAACCGTCTAAAACAATCCAACTTGTTAATGTTGGAAATATTTAATCTCCTTCCTCTGGCACCCCACCAATTGCAAGGTAGGTGTGATGTTCATGATCCACTTTCCAGTTTACAACTTTTTTTAAAATGTCAGTGAAGCGATCCATCCACACCTTTCATGAAAAGGTTTAAAAAATCCAATTATTATTATTATTATTTACTTGTTTTAAAATATTTAAAGTGATGGATAATACTATTAAAATAGATGAAACCTTTTCATTTACAGGAGTTGGTACTATATTTGATTATGCCAATTCACTAGTCACCACAAATGACTTTGGTATTGACCAAACATTAAAATTAAAGAATCCACCTGATCCTGTCATTTTACTTGTTTGTATAACTTGTCCAACCTATTTATTTATATTGTTTGTTAGTAACTTACCTCTAATCTATCTAATTTAGGACTTACCATTCCATGAGATTGAAGATGATCCTTATTATAATCTAGGATTCAAACCATTTGCAATCTATGCCAAATACTTGAAATCCGTTACAACTCTTACTAGACAAACATTTAAATTCCCAAAATACAGAGGATCAACAGTTGCTTTTGATAATGATAAAATTAAACATGTTGCAAGGTATGCATATGATAAAGATATTTGATGAATGATAATATTGACTAACCACTCTTATATTTAGGTATGAATCTAAATTTGATATTCAAACCAAATACAACTATACTGAAAGTACATTGACTAATCCAGCAGTATTGGAATGGGAGGCACAAGTTGACCCTGGAAAGTATACAGCATGGCAAACAGTCATGATATATGCTCTCAGAGGTGACCTTGGATTTGATGAAGACAAAAAGAAAGAGAAGAAGAAGAGTGATGAAAGAAAAGAAGAAAAGGAAGGTACTATTGGTGGTAGTCTATTACCTCCTGTCATCTATAAAGGAAACCACTCTTATCATCTATTTGCTGTTTATAGAGATGATTGTTATTTGTAACTATTCAACTATACTAAATACAACTACAACTAATGACTATTATTACTAACAAACTCTTCTCTTCTTCTCTTTAATATTATAAAATAGGATAAAGAATAAAGAACAAATCTATAAACCACCTGAATTTAATGTATTTGTTGAAAGCATCTTTGATCGAGGATTTACTCGTTGTATAGACCTCGATTTTAAACCATAGATGTCTAATTACGCGTGTAAATACTAAAGTAGTATAGAGTGTTGTTCTGGAGCAGTTGCACCAAAGTTCAAGAACAAAAAAAAAAAAATAAAAATCTTTTTAATTTAATTTAAAGGAGGAAGAACTTCTTCACAGACATTCATTGTTTAGTTTTAATTACTTATACACACATATAGATATAATAGAATGTCAAACGCATTAGAAAAGTTAAAGGAGTTTACTGTTGTTGTAAGTAGTTAATGAAGATACTACAGTGCATGATTATGATGAAAATCATGTAATATAATATGATCAGTGCTAACTCTCAAGATATCTTATCTCTCTCTCTCTCTCTCTCTTTCAAACACATAAATGATTATATTTATATTTATATTTATATTATACCTTATGATATGATATTAATTAGGTAGCAGATACAGCAGATTTCCAAGTATTGGAAAAGTATGGATCACAAGACAGTACAACCAACCCATCATTGGTATTGCAAGCAGCCAACATCCCAAAATACAAACCACTTATTGACGAGGCCGTTCAATATGCCAAGACACACGAACAAGACAAGAGCAAGCAATTGTCATTGGCCATTGACAAGATTTTCGTCAACTTTGGTATCGAGATTTTAAAGATTGTTCCAGGTCGTGTCAGTACCGAGGTAGACGCCCGTCTCTCATTCGACACTGATGCCAACATTAAAAAGGCCCGTGAATTGATTGCCTTGTACGAAGCAGCTGGCATCAAGCGTGACCGTGTCCTCATTAAGCTCGCCTCCACCTGGGAAGGTATTCAAGCCGCCAAGGTACTCGAAGAAGAGGGTATCCACTGTAACATGACCCTTTTATTCTCACTCATCCAAGCTGCTGCTTGTGCCGAGGCCAAGGTCACTTTGATCAGTCCATTTGTCGGTCGTATCACAGACTATTTCAAGGCCAAGGAAGGTAAGGACTTCCCAGCCAACGCTGACCCAGGTGTCTTGTCAGTTCGTTCCATCTACAACTACTACAAGACTCACGGTTACAAGACTGTCGTCATGGGTGCCTCTTTCCGTACCAAGGAGCAACCAATCAACCTTGCTGGTTGTGATCTCCTCACCCTCTCACCATCCATCCTCGAAGACCTCCAAAAATCCGATGCTTCCTTGGTCCAACTCATCCTCTCACCATCCATTGCCAAAACCACACCCAACGTTCAAGAAAAGATCTCCCCAGTCACTCAATCTAGATTCCTCTATGACCTCAGTTGCAATGAAATGGCCAACTTTAAGACCTCTGAAGGTATTAGAAAGTTTGCTGAAGATCTTGAAAAATTAGAAACCAAAATTAAAGAACTTTTAAACTAAGTTAGTATAGTTTTGAAATAAACAATAAATATAAATTATTTATAAACAAAAAGAGACATTATTTATTTAATTATTTAATTATTAATTTATTTATTTCTTGATTATTATTTATTTATTTAAAATGAATTAAATAAAATCTTTCATAAGTGTAACCTTTTTAACGGCCGTTGTAAATCCATCTTGATATTTATATCTAATAACATTAACAATTGTTTTTTCTTCTTGTTTACTTTTTTCATTTGGTGCTAAATAAATAAAATTGAGAAATAATTAATTAATTAATTATTAAATGATTGAAAGATCTATCTAAATATATTTATATTTATATTTATATTTATAGCTTACAAGAATTAATTTTTTTACCAAACATATCAATTTTTGGTAAAGCAATTGGTACTTTAAATTCATCAATTTTCTTTTTCTCTTGTTCTTTTCTCTTTTCTTCTTGTTTTTTGGTTACAGTCAATTTAAATTGAGCAAATGCAGTTTGAACAATTTGTTTTTGATTCCTTGACAAGTATATTCTATCATTGTTCTTTATCAAATCTTTTCCATTATAATATTGTGTTATTATATCAATTGGTCTAAAAATTAAAATTAATTAATTCATTAGTAAATGTATATTATAACTAGATTAATTATAGTCTTGCTTACGGATTTAATTGTAATGTATCAGTAGTTGTATCATGTTTATAGGTAATATTAAAATATTTCATGATTTGTATAAGATTATTGAGGACTGCCTTTTCTTTGAGATTATAGAGTTGTGGATTGACCAATCGAATGGGAATTGAGATAATATCGATAAATGGTGATACAAAATCCTTGACAAAGTTGGTTTTAGTGACTGAAGAAAACTTGTTGGCATCGGTTCCAATAAAAGAATCAATGGTGTGAAGTGTTTTCTCTTTTTTAAGAAAACATTGATAGTCTGCTTGTGGATATGCCACCTTTGGTGCCACTGTATTACACAATGAATGTACTGCCAATGGTGCCACTGATTGATATTTCTCATCATAAATAATATCTGAATAACTTAACCATTCTAAACATTCAATTGACTAAATTGAAAAAAATAAAAATAAATATATAGAATTGGTAAAACATTTAAATATTCATTTCACTTACCTTATCAATATTAAAATCATTTTTCATATTGGAAGGAAAGTTTTCATAAAGCGCACCAATTATTTTATCCAATTGAGTTGAAGATTGAAGTTCATCATCCAATTCTCTAAAATATTCTTGATCGATTTGAATCTTCTTATTGTTACTTGCACTCTTTAGATTCTTTCCAGTTGTAAAAAGGTTTTTAATAGTATCCAAGAATCCCTTTTCAATATCTTTTTGTCCAATTATAGTTCCTTTATCTTGTAATATATTAACTTGACTTGTTGTTTTAAATAACTTAAATAAATTAAAAAAAAAAAGAAATAATAATTATTATTCACATTCTTTTTCTTTTCCTTTTTCTTTTTTTTTCTTTTTCTTACATGTAAATGATTTAAACAAGATCTAATATCATAATTTGTTTTTTCAATCAGCATTAATAAAGTTTGATCATCTGTTTTTAAATTTTCTAATTCACAAATTTCCTTTAATCTTGCCAACAGTTTAGATTGCTTTGGTTTGGCAAAATTGAATATTAAAACCTCTTGACGAAGTTTACGAAGTGATTTTGCAAATTGATCATTACATATACAAATAATTGGTCTATTAATTTTTGGATAATGTTTTTTTTGTTGCTTTTTAGTTGTTGTTGTTGTTGACTTTGTATTAATATTCTTTTCTTCTTCTACTTCATCATCACTATTATCACTAATATTGTCATCATTCTCTTTGCCTTTAAAAGTTGATGGTGATTTTCTTGATCTTTTATCATTTGAAATTAATTTAAGGATCATTTCGATAGGACCATTCTCACGACCAGAGATACCATCAATTTCATCAATGATTAGACACTTTGGTTTCTTTGAACCAAAGACAGACTGTGTATCCAATGCACCCCAAAACAAACTGTCAAATTCCTCACCTGAACGATCGTCACTAGCATTGATCTCTTGAATATCGTATCCAGCCTGTTTGGCCAATATCTTTGCCAACGTTGTCTTTCCAATACCAGGTCCACCAGTCAATAAAATAACCTTTTGAGCAGGTCCATTTGATCCATCATCCAATGGTTGTTGAACAACAACATTACCAAATGATGAATTGTTATTTGAATAATTGTTTGTATAATTATTCTTTTGTATAAAATGTGGATTATTATTACCATTGTTGTTGAAACCATAAGTATTATTATTACCAGTTTTAGATTTATCTGGTACTTTTCGACGAAATACTAATTGATCCCATTGTTTTAACCAAAATAATATATCTTTGTTCATTTTCTTTTGGAAATATAAATAAACAATGAAAGGGTGTTGTGAGTCAATAAGGAAGAGGATAATTAATTAATTAATGTATACTTTAATTATACATACATCATCACTAATTAAATCATGGAATGAAGCAGGAGCATATTTATCAACCCATAATCTAGCTTGTTCATTTGAAACGTATCTTGTAATATTGGTTGGTTTCTTGACCGGTTTAAATGCCTAAGTAATAAGAAATAGAGAGAGTTTGATAAGTTCACTATACAATTCTATTTTGTTTGTTTGTTTGTTTGATTGGTTACCTTTTCTAATAATTCCTCTTCCAATTCTGCCAATGGTTTCTTTAATAATGATCCAATTTTCAATGACTTGAGATGATGATGTTGATCAGTTTCATCTTCATCTTTGAGATCGAGTATTATACTTATATTTTCACCAGTCTTCTTTTTAAGTGTAACCGTTGCAATGTTGTTTTGTTTTAAAAAGGTTTCTGTTGCAACTCCGTTGGGAACCTTCTTACTAGTTGTAGTTGAAGCAGTAGTAGTATCATCTGTCTTTTTCTGTTTCTTTTCTATATGCAATACATTCTTTTCTTGTTGTTTTTGTTTTTGTTGTACATCTTGATCTTGATCGTCGTGACCGTCATCACTATGACCATCATCATCATCATCATCATCTCTTACTAATCTCTTTACACCCAACATTCTTTGAACATAAAAGATAAGATATCTCTTTCTTTCTTTCCTCTTTTCTTTTGAATCTAATGTTCGTAGCTAAAGTGTACACTTGGGTTTCAAATTTTGGAGGGAAAATATTTTTTGGATGTATTTGTATTTTTTGATTTATTTACAAAATGTTATTTTTAATTATTGTCTATAAACCGTGTCAGAGATGATGATTGTATCTTTAATCTCAGATACATCATGAATACGAATAATGTCACATCCCCATCCAGCGGCAATACAACAACAGGCTGCGGTACCCCAAAGACGACGGGATGATTTGGGGTCGGGGATTTCAGTGGATGATTCGGCCTTTGCAATGGTTGCTCCGATGAACCCTTTACGAGACGGACCGATCAAGATGGGAAAGTTGAGACGAACCAGTTCTTTTCCACGCTTGAGAATTTCGATACTTTGGTCATAGGTCTTGGCAAAACCCAACCCTGGGTCGAGTATGATTTGCCATCTATACAATCCACTTGCAACGGCAGTGTTGACACGTTCCTTAAAGAATCGTTGGACAATATCTATAATATCCGGGTAATTAGAGTTGATTGTGTCTTCACTGGCACCACTTTGCTTGAGTAGGTATTGTGGGGTCGCCTGGTCATGGTTGAGTATGATGGGTACACCAAGTTCACGTGCAACCTTGATAATGTTGGGGTCGCGTAACCCACCCGTCACATCATTGATGATGTTGCAGCCTGCCTTTACAGCCTGACTAGCTACTTGTGAATGGTAGGTATCGATGGATAGTGGAAAGTCGGGATACCCCTTTCTGATCCTCTTGATCACCGGCAACACACGTTCCAACTCGACGGCAACTGTCAGTTGCTCTGCACCCGGGTATGTAGATTGTCCACCGATATCCACAATATGTGCACCTTCCTTGACAAGTTTTTCAAACTGTGTAAATGCAACCTCCTCATTTTGATTGTACTTTCCACCATCTGCAAAACTATCAGGTGTAATATTTAGAATACCCATAATATAAGTTCTCTTTCCCAATTCCCATGTACCATTCCCAACCTTTATAACCTTTTTAATCTTTGATCCATTATCATCAGTCTTTAAATTAATTTTCATTTGATTTGTTGTAATATATAATGTTGGATGAATGAAATCTGGGGCAATACTAAAGTAAATGAAAGGTAAATATATATACATATATAACTCTTTATTCTAAATATACATACTCTGATAAAGGTAATAAAACAAAATCTCTTTCATACATTAATTTATGAGGGATTTCCAATGTATCAGATTTAAGTACAATATCATTATAATAGATAATATCCAAATCAATTACTCTTGGTCCATTTCTAAATGTTTCAGCTCTTCCCATTTTCTTTTCAATCTCTTTTAATCTTGACAATAAATCATGTGGATTTAATTGTGTTGTAATCTAAAATCAAAATAGTTAATAATTAAATAAATAAATAAAATAAATGATTTAATCTCTCTTTCTTTTGATACTTACTTTACAACAACAATTAAAAAAAGAAGGTTGATCCAAGAAATAGGCAGGCGGAGCTTCATACATGAACGAGGTACTGACCAATTTAGAAAATGATTGAATAAGTTCCAATGCTTTGTTGATGTTTTGAAACTTGTCACCTAGATTGGATCCAATTGCAATGTAGGAGGTGTTGGGAGTTCCATTGGCATTACCTAGAGACGATGTGATGATGGTAGGGTTCTCGACAATAGGATTGTTTTTGAAAAAGTCAAGTGTACGACATATTTTGACGCCTGGCCATGCAGCCAATTTGATGGCGCCAGGCTTTTGCACTTGCACCTTTACCACTTCAACACCAAATCCAAGACAACAAGTACGTGCTACTCCAGTTGCCAATGCTTCCAATGTAAAATGTTGTGATGATTCAATATATGCTATAATTGACTAGTCACGAAGAAAGAAACGATTAGTCCAAACAAAATATTACTTGTATTGTATATTACTTTTTTGTACCTTTGAAAGTGTTGAATAATTAATTGTATGATGAACTAAATCGGATGACCCACATTCACTTAGATCTTTAAATATCTTAATAGTGAATAGAAGGTTTTGTTTAATATTTCTTTCAGAGGCATTGACACCAATGACAGCTTGAACATGTAGATCTTTTAATATGATAGTATCCATCATTGGAGGAGTAGGTGAATGCTGCTGCTGTTGCTTTTGTTGGTGCTGATGACGAGTATGCTGGGGGTGGGCCATCATTTTATCTTGTTGATTCCTTTCTTCGATCATGCTTGCTTGCTTACAAATTTAATTACAAAAGCGTAGATGTATGTATGTATGTGTATTCATAGTGTAACTATGAGGGGCAATTAATTAATAAATAAAGTGTCATGTTAACAACATTACAATAAAATGAGTCATTGGGAGAGAGAAGAATAAGAAGAGGAAGATCCCTGTGAAATTATGACACAGGGACAAAAACAGACATGACACCCAAATAAGGCACACAGAGTTCCCAATGACTTGTTTCGGAATTTGGTTTTTTTTAATATTATTTTTTTTTGTTGTTCCATTTGGGGTAACAAACATTATGTTACATAATAATTTATTATTAAAATTATCTATCTCTCTCTCTCCAATCATGATTGTTAAGAATAAATAATATTATAATACTAGTGGTAAATTTAGAACCAAACCTTTATTGTTTATAAATCTATTATTGTTTGATTAAATCTAATTGATTGGTAGAATGATAGATAGGTTTATAAATCTATCAATCTATCTATGGCAATATTGGAGTACAATGTGGTTTTGGACAACAAATAGGGTAATCAGCCCAAACTGTACCTGGCACTAGCACACATCCTGGACGCAACTTGAATTGGAGGCATTGGGAGATGGATCCATCATCATTTAATCGAGTGCAACGCGGGAATTGAATGTCTTGAGTTTGATAGACATCTTGATTGGCCAATACAGTGATGGAGCACATTGCCGTTATAATAGATAAACAAACAATGACAAGTATAAAATTAAAATTCATTTTTTTTATATACAATACTATAGAATGGAAAATATTATTTCTAATCTATTTATTTGTATGTTTAAATAGTTTTCTATTTTGCAACCAATCTAGATTCGATTGTCAAAATTACTGGTCAACAACATAAAATATAAAAAAAATAAGGATATTTAAGATATTTACATCTGAAAATATATTGGAGGCGGTTTGAAACTCTCTCACTCTCTCTCTGACAATAGTAACTACCAACTCGATATTGATTTATTCGAATTGAAAATCAATAATTTATGAAATCGATTAACTGTATAGTTAACTAGGAGATAATAAAAGTTGTTTGTAATTTATCAAATATAAACATAATTTTGTTGTAAAATCGATTCAAAAGAAATGACAGAGATGGTATAATTTCATAGACTTATAATAAATATCTTTTTACCTATCTATTTATTTTAAAATGATGCATTAGAGCTTTATATAAATCACCTTTTTTGGAATATCAACTATTGTTCATCTTATGAAGGAGGATGACATTCTATTGTTGGACAACATCCAGGGAACTCAGCGTCAGGATCATTTGAAGAAGATATAGAACAACTTGCATCCTCTATTTCTGGGCAAATTTGTATTTGTTTAATTTATTTAATTTGGTGGACATATACAGTATATCAATAGGAAATCAGCCTTTTTCATACCTTCCCTTAAATAACAAACTGGAGTGATATCGATTTTGGGAAAATAGGTATTTCTCCAAAAGAGGTAATATGATTTAGCTGTTTTAATAGAGCAAGAAGGTATATTATAGTGAGACACGATGCGACAAAAATAATCTTGTTCATTTAAGTTGGTTTCTACCAACATGCTGGTCATGAACATCACCAAAATAATCATTGATAGACAAACAATGGCAGCCATTGTACAAAAATTGGTACTTTTTATTTTTGATTTTTTTAATTATTTTGATATAATAATTATAATTATAATACTACCGAATCTGAATGAGTTTATGAAATTATTATTATTCTAGTAGTTTGGTGGGTGGGTGGTTGTTTACGTAACCTGACAAAGGCATAAAATATTAAAATGGAGTGGAGATGTAGTAGATTTGTTTACTACTAGTAACAAATTAATATCTGATAATATATTTATTCTGTTTATTATTGTAGTAGGAAATATTAAAATAACGTTTACAACGGTATGAAAACACTCAGACCGACAATCATACAGTTCCTGCAATATCAGTACTGGAGAAGGTCGTCACAAATAATAAATGAACAAAAATGAGCCCATAGTGTTTCATAATGAAAAGCAAGAAATCCTTTTCATTTATTCTTGGGTATCATGATCTAAACAATAAAAGATTTTATTTGGTTTTTTGGAATTGTGTTGGTTGAATATTTATTTTACTTATTCAGGGCAATAGACGCTTGGACAACATTCAGGATATTCAGCACCAGAAACACCTGGATTTAGAGAACATCCTGGTGGCAAACTATTATATTGAGTGCAACGAACAGGTATACGTTTGCCATTTTCATCCACCGTATCTTTATAGCAATATTCATCTTGGCTAATGTCACTGAGCACATCATTATAAGAATGATTGATAGACATAAAACATTAAATAATTGGTATTTTTCATTTTAAATATTATTAATTATATATATATAAGTTTAAAATTGATAGAGTTGAAGAGTGTCTAAATTATTATTTGTATTATTAATATTCTGAATTAATATTTTTAATGTTTTATATGTTTAAATAGTTTTCTCTATTGAAAACTACACAATATTGTCATAAACAAGGAGATATTTGAATGAGACATTAAACAATGACGCTGCTATGTTTGTATTGGTTGAAGGGAATTAACCATCAGAAACACCGATAAGTAAAAACATGCGCATGTTTATACGACGTCAACACATGCGCCTGTTTAAACGACGTCAACACATGCGTAAGTTTATACGACGTCGTATTGTATGCTCCAACCTATACTTGTGGAATACCTCTAAGGGGGGGGGGGGGAGATTTGTTTAATATTTTACATACACTCCTCCAATCATGTGGAAGATTAAAGTCGGCTGAATTGTTGATCGCGCATACTACCTCCTTTCATGAGACGACATAGCATTTGTAAAGCAACATGGTACTTGATGTATTAAATTGAAAATACCTGTCTTTTTAAAAACACAACAACATAAGAGTTAACCATAATAACAATATACTTATTTGAAAGGAAAGGTAAATCCAATTAGAGTGAACATCATCGTTAGGCTCAAAAGTCAGGTCTTGCAATTTTTTCAAAACAAATGCATTTCTTCATTTTGCTTCATTCAGAGATGATAATCTTTTAAAATTTACTATAGTCATAATATTATTATTAGTGGTAGTAGTAGTAGTAGTAGTAGCGGTAGTATTAATGATATGAATAACAGTAGTGATACGATAGCTATTCATACACTGTGGTTCGTTGCACAGCATCTCATAGAGAATGCAAACATTATCGGTGCTATTAGATGTCTATCATCACTACTACCAGACTCTAATGATTTGTTTACTAGTAACAACAACAATAGTAATCAAATACTCTTGTTGCAACAACAGCAACATTTGAAATCAACAACAACTGCTCCACCATCATTGGTGACTAAACCATCACTCAATCATTTGGAAGAATCGATAACAAGAATAAAGTTGGCTGAGCTACTGATAGAACATACTACCAACTTTCACGAGACGAGATATCATTTGGAAAAGGCTGCAATGGTACTTGATGAATCTAGTGTAGAATCAATCGAGTTGTTGTGCAAGATTTCATCCTATTTGATTGATTTGTTCTATCAAGCCAATGTTTTAAATCTATCAAAACAATGGATTAAAAAAGGTATCAAGTATTCTTTATTGTATGTTTAAATAATATAAAAGATAATTAAATAATAATTAATTTCTAATTATTTAATCTCTCTTTCTTTTATTTATTTAGATTACAACATAAAACATGGTATTATTATTTTATAAATAGAGAAGCAAATATATTTGTTAAAGAGAACCAACCATCGTTGGCATTTCAATCGATTGACAATGCAATCAAAGTACTACCTATTATGACCCAACAACCAAACATGGTAACATCTGGATTCACCAGCAATGATCAATACGATCCAATGACATTGCTGTACTTTAATGCCATTAAAATACATTTCTCACTATTGTATTGGGATTATTCACGAATCGATTCATCGTTACAAACTTCACTTGGTTTATTTAATGATATTAATTATCGTTTAATTCAATATAATAATAGTAAAAGGAATGGTAATAATAGTAACAATACAAATCAACAACAACAACAAAAAGAGATAGAATATTTATTTAAATCTATATTTCAACAAAATTCAACCAATCTATTTTCATCATTATCGAATCAAAGTTTAAATAGATATGATTTATTATTTAGAGATGCTATGATTTCAAAAGAAAAGGTAAATCTAAATAATATAAATATATATATATATATATATAATGATACTAAATTTATTTCTATTATTTTTTATTAGATGACAATATATTTTAATTTATTATATATATTATATTTAATGAGAATTGGAGAGTTTAAAGCAATGGAAGAAAAATTATTAAAACTAAGAGAGAGTATTGTACAACATTCAAATTGGATATCGATGGACACGAGACCACCAAATCCAATCTTTTCATTTACAGACGGCAGCCCTGATTTCGAGGGAAAATACCTCGATTGTCTATACTATTTATTCTTGTCAATCTACCTACGAACCGTTGGACAATACAAACAATCGATCAATGAGCTGTCAACTTGTCTATTTCTTTTAAATGGACAATTGGAAAGTTTGGTTGCATCTGCCGACCAACAGTCACAGTTGGACATTGGAAAAAAGAAATCATCATCGAAAAAGGGTGGAGCAACCAAAACAATCATTCACAACTCTACATCTATCAAATCAATCCTCAGAATGATATTTATATCCTATGAAAATATATTTTATTCACAAATATCAATCATGGATCTAGACTCTTCTTTGACAACAATCAAACAAATCCAATTATTAATTTCAAACTATCCAACACTCTATGTCGATATTGGTGAAAATACTCTCTATACTCTTTCAAGTATTTATTTACAATCAATATCTCAATATCAATTATCAAATGATTTTATTCATTTTGCTTTAACTGTATGTAAATTTTAAATTAAAAAGAAAAGATAAGATTATTGATATTAATATTTTTTTTTTTAGAAATCAAGTAGATTTGATACTCAAATATTATCGATTATTAGATTAGTAATTTCAACAATATTATTAAATAATTTTGAAAGGGTAATTATAAATGATGAGTGATTTATTTATTTATTGATTTATTTTTATTTATTTTTTAGGTCAGAACAAATTATAAAAGAATATTTGTTACCATTAGAAACACATCCTCAATTATTATTTAGAACTAGTTTTTTATTATTGGACGCAATAATATCTATACACAAATATAATACTAAAATGGATGGTAGTTTGAATAGGATCAAACAAGAATTGCAAGAATGTCTAAACACTCTAAACAAAAGTTTTAATAATAGTCAAATGATTATTAATGTACTTTGTACATTGGCATCTCTCTATCTTCCATTTAAAGATAGAGTTGCAAATATTGATGTCAGTGTACAAACTCTTTTAAATACATCTCTTTCACTTTGTACCATTTCCGAAGATTTATTATCTACCATTGGAACATTACAATTAAAATCAGCAATGTCAACAACAAACCAATATTTAGACAGCAACAACAATGGACAACCAATCGAAAATGTACAAGAAATATTTAATCAACTAAATTATTATAATCAAAAGAGATTTGATCTTTTACAAAGAAATCAACAATCTGCAATCGAATATTTTCAATCAATATATCCATCACAGCAAATGAATAAATAATAATAATATATTTTGTTATTTGTTTTTGTTGATTGAAAATTGAATACATTTTTATTATCTGTAAAAATGTTCTTTTTAAATGTTGTGTGATTGATTTGTCGACAATAGGTTGTAACTTTTGTTCTTTTGTTATTTCTTATTTTCTTGAAGGGAATTTGTTGTTGTTGTTGTTATTATCTTTTCCTTTGCCCTTGTCATTTCCAAAAATTCTGTCCATCGATGGGAAGCCACTGTTGAATGAAGTTTTCAATCTATCATTGTTGGTGTTTGGGCTTGGTGATAAAACACTTGAAGTGCTGCTGGTACTTGGACTAGAACCGGTAGTATTGGTGTTGGGAGAGGTAAAGCTACTGAATAAACTCTTTCCTCCGCCGCCACCACCGCCAGTTGTTCTCAAGTTGTTGTTTAGTGGTGGACTAGCATTTCCATTGCCATTGTAACCACCACTATTGTAAATATCGACACTATTGTTCAAAGCATTGCCTCTTTCCATATCATAGTCTTCTTCATCATCCATTTGATTTCGAAGCAATGAATATCTATTCTTGCCAGAGGTTTGAACCCAACTATTCTTTGTTTGTTGTTCAATCTCTGCCACCTTTCTCGAGTTGTTTCTCTTTCTTCTCTCGCTTTCAATGAGCACCTTTCCTTCATCGATGTTTTCGTGTGAGAATTCAGAGTCAAATTTAAATCGTTGCATGTTGAGACAGTTCATAATTCTCGAAAATACGTTGAATAGAGTTGCCAAACAAACAATGATAATGATCATTGGGAAATAAACATAAAAGTATTTTCCAAGGAATGGTGTATAATCCATATTACCCATTACCGCTGTGAATGTTGTCTTGTAATGAATAAATGTTGTAAAATTATAACAAAGTGGTGCTGCTAATCTACATAAATAACTAAAATAAAATTAAAATAATAATAAAATTAATAATGATACAACTTAAATTTGATTTCTTCTTTTCTACTTACGCGGCACTAAATATTATACTATTGGAATCAGAATGTTGATGAGGAATAAGACGATAATAATTGAAAATTCTAATTTTGAATAAAGTACTATAGGTGGTCAAGGCTTCGTAACCAAGAGGGAAGAATAAAATAAATTGAATACCAATGTTGTTTACATCGCTGTGCTTGACAATATTGGAGAGGATAGAGACATCGGTCGAAGTAATTGATACTGAAATCTCTGACCAAATAATAACGACAGACATGATAACAAACCAAATGGCCAAAATCCACATCATTGGTACTTCTAAATAATTGTACCAAGTCCATTCTAAATAATTTAATTGACTTGCAAATCTTCCTGTTCTTGGTTCTTTATAACTCCATGGTATAATCCTAAAAAATAAAATTAATAACAATTTAGTTTTTAAAAAACTTTTTTCTTCTTCTTCTTTTTTTTTCTTCTTTCATACTTGTCAACATTTCCATAACTATTCATAATATCTTCAATTTCAAATGCTTCATTGATACATTGTTCATAAAGGAATTCTGATCTACGATGATTTGTAACTGCAGCTTTTAATCTTTGATTTAATGAAACAAGTGCTGAATATGTAATTTCTCCTGTTCCTTCTCCATGAATAATTGAACTATATTCTGGTGGACACTATAAAAAAAAAAAAAAAAAAAATATTAATATTATTATTAATTCTACCTTTTTCCTCTTCTTCTCTATTTTTTTCTCCTTACTTGTTCTAAAATAGCTTCAACATGTTTTTCGTATGGATCATATTTCTTTGTTTTATCTTGAACCTTTTTAACTTGCTTCAAAGTAGCAAATAATTCATCACTTGTTTTTCTCTTTGTATCAACCAATGATGATACTTTAAATTGTAAATGACGTAATACTAAAACTCTATTTGAATGATTCCAAATGGTTCTTGGTGTTTCTACAAGCCTACAATTTTATAAAATTAATAAGTATTGATTATGCTTAATTAATCGATATATATCTCTTATCTTACCCATAACCCATTAAAACGATGACCAAGAATAAACCCCATGTATTTGCAGCAGCCATTGCATAGCCGACCATACTATTCCAATCCAATTGTTTAACTGCTAACAACCAAATCAAAATAATAAGACCAATGACTGCAAAAATCAAGTAAAGGTATACATTTTCTCGAATGGCACGTTGAATTCTTTCTGTCAATTTAAAGTCACCAGTCAATACAAATGATCCTAAAAATGGATAAACCAACCTAAATATTAAATTAAATGTAATGTTAAATGTATGTTCTTTTTTCATTCTTTCATTCTATGGCGCGTACCAAGTTAAAAAGAGAGTTCCAAAATAAAAGGTTTTGTAAAAGTAATATACAACAGCCTCATTGACATATGATAATGGTTCATTTTCACATAATGAGGAATCAGTTGGATTGGCTTGTATACATTCTCTATAATTTGTCTATAAATATTGTAAATGCAATGAGAACACATTAATATTTGTCTATAGACAATTGTAACCGCTCTATCAAACTTACACAAACAATATCAATTGGAACTAAAACAATAATACCAAAACACATAAACCAACCTATCCATGCCATTGCATAAACATATCTGTCAGGTAGTAATAGTAATAGTAGTGGTAGTAGTTATAAAGACAAATAGGTTAGAACCAAGGTTTACATCGAACTATTATGATAAATGACATACTTTGGAGTTGATTTAAATGAAATATATCGATGTAATACTTTAGTTGTACCAGCTGCTACTGCACATAGAATAAGAACAAATATTACAATCATCTCTCCTCTCTATCTATCTTGTCGTGTCTATCTTTTCTTCTTTCTTCTTCTTCTTTCTTGTTTTAGATACCGCGAATCAATTGATTCTCTTTTCAAGTACTTTGGTACTACCCTCTTTCTTTACTTTCTTTTCGTCTCGAATAATAATAATAATAATAATGCTGCAAGTAAATTATAAAAAAAATAAATTAAAAAGTTTCTTTGCAAGCAGAATTTTCCCCACCTCAGAAAACTAGAAAAAAAAAAAAAAGGAATTATCATAATGATGGGGTGAATCATATCATTGATAGAACAGATAGATAAGATTCGTCCGTTAATTAATTAAAAAGGGTAGAGACGGAGATGCATCTAATATATTTTTATATATATTTAGTAAAAAAGTATATAAGTTTATTATACAAGTAGAGAGGAGAGGAGAGGAGAGGAGGAGAGGAAAAATTATTTACATTACAAAGGGTAACAACAGTCCTATGTAATTGTACACATGTGTTATTATTATTATTATTATTAATATTAGTTTCGAGTATTCTTCTTTTGTTATTATTATTATTTATATATGATGATTTATATATGTATTATGTAAGTATGTATCTATCTATCTATCAATCAATGTCGGTGTCATTTAGAAGTATCGATCAACTTTGAAAGATGACTACCAATCACAGAAGAATGATGGTGGTGATGATGATGATGTAGAATATTACTGTTCATTATATTGTGATTGCTGACAGCAGATCCGTTGTTAACATTGATGTTTGATGATACCATCGGACTACAATGATTGGAAAATTGTTGTTGCTGTTGCTGCTGATGTATTTGTTGGTATTGTTGATGGTGAAGATGTTGTTGTTGCTGTTGTTGCTGTTGTTGTTCATGTTGGTCTAATTGAAGAAGGTTAAATAGAGATTGAATCGATGGTAACTTGACATGGATGGATCGTTCATCGTCACTTGACATGGTACCAGCTGACGCCGACGACGATTTATATGGCGGACAGGACGATGAAGAGGACAGGGATTCGTCGTTATGGTCATAGTCGGATGATTCATCGCTATAGTCTGACGACTGCGAAGAGAATGTGGCGGGACTATTGTAAAGTTCGCAGGCGGATGCGGGCATGAGGAAACTGGGACTGGTTCGAATAGCAGGACTAGAGTAGCCTGCTGGAGAGTCGGTAACCGATTGGTAGAGAAATTGGTTGGATTCAGAGTGGATGAGATCGGACGACGAGACCATGGTCAAAAGATAAGGAGAGCTGCATCTGGAACTTGGACTGCTGTTGCTGTTGCTGTTTCGGATGGCTCCATTACTACTCTCTTTGGGTGATATGTACTTGACTGCGAGTGGAGGTGAACTACATGCGCCACTGATACCGTTGGCCACTGATGTTATATATTTGGATTTTTGGACACGCAAAGAGGTGGAATTGTTTTTGGTGACGCGCATACACACCTTGCATGTAGAGTCGCACTCATGTTTCATCTTTCTTTCGTGTCTACAAAGACTGGCCTTGTGTTCATACGATGAGTATCTATTACAGTTTTGGTGACGACAAAGGTACTTTCCATTATTGGTTAATTTGTATGGTAATAACATTATTTTTGGATTATTAAATATTATTAAATATTTTTAATTATTATTATTTATATTTGATTAAAGATCTTATATATTTGTAAAGAAGAAGATAACTTTAAGTAAAGAAGATACTAATAACAATAATAATATTATTATTATTTTGTAGAATAGGATAAATAAATAATGATGATGAATGTATATATGTAGATCTCTGGTCGAGTCGGGGAATGAAATGACAAGGGTGGGTAGTGAAGTGGTGGTTGGAAATCAAAAAAATGGATGAATTGATCGATGGGATATGGGTTTACTATGGCTGAGCTGTATGTATGAATTAACTATTAATAGAAAGGTGAAATATTGTAGACAACAGATGTTTACTATATTTTTGAGATCGAAACTACCTAGACTGATGGGATGGATGGATTTTTTGTTGATGGATGGATGGATGGTTAATTAATTTAAACAAATGGAAACTCTCTTGTTAACAACAATAGTAAGATATAAATGTATAATGTATATTCACAACAATCCTAAAAAAAAAAACGTAAAAAAGAATTTTAATATATGCTGCTGACAATGGTTTTCAGTCATGACTGACCCTCCCCCAACTAGCTCTCTATATCGCTCTTCTTTTTCCAAGTACAACACGCTGAATTGATCATCAATCACACTTCAACAACATGTTTGTTGTCGCTGGTGGTGGTCAACTGAATTAATGGGATGGTGATCATATATACTCTTGTTGTTTTATGGTTGTTGATGCTAAAATTGAAACATCCAGTCTATCCTTCCTTTCCCTCTCCCTTCTTTATCTTTTCTCTTCACATATCGATCAATAATAGATAAGCAAAAAGCTAAACTTATGGCGATGGTGGTGATGGTGATGGTAACTGTGTGGTGTGTCTCTTACTTGGTGTTGTGTGCTTATCAATCGTGATGACTGATGTTTTGACTGCACGGTAACGAGTACTCACTTTGCAAAGACTATCAGTCACCTTTATCGCAAACGTTCTCTCATCTCTCCACCGCGCGGTTTGAAAAAGTACAAGTAGCATGTGCTATTGTTGTTGCCACGCCGGCGCTGGCGCTAGTGATTCGATCAATTCAATTGGGGTGTGGTGTGGTGCCGGGGTATCACTATATTTTGTATGGTGATTTCCTTTTTTGTCAAGATCACATATTCCCTCTTGAAGAGAGAGGGGTTTGGAAATGATGGTGTGTGTGTGGGTTCAGTGTTAGGTGGGGGTTAGATATATACCGCGATGAAAGGGGTGATATAATGAATGAATGAATATGAATAAGAATGCATGTTCGATCAATACCGATATTGAAAGTATCTAGATAGAAGAGGGACAAAGAGAGGGGAGGGTGATGACAATACTCTATAATCTTTTACGATTCCCTCTCTTGCTCACTCGTTCACCACTCTTCCTCTTCCTCCTCCTCCTCCTCCTCCTCCTCCTCCTCCTCCTCCTCCTCCTCGATCTCTATTATCATAATTAAAAAATGAACAAATAATATTATGTTGAATGTAACGACGAATAAATCGTTGAAACAAATGTTAATTTAAAAAGTTGGGAGGGTAATACATATTGTATGTATGGATGAAATATATCTCTTTCTTAATATCCTAAATAGCTTTCTTCCTCATTCAAACACCACACCCTTTGAATGGATCAGAATGAGTAAGGTAGGCTGTTCAGTCTAATAATGTGATAATGGTGAGATAAATGATTAATTATTGTATTTACCTTGTTTGTGTGTTTGTTGCTGAAATAATTGATTGCAATGAATGATTGAGCTGAGCTACTACTAAATAGTTGTCGGTGTATCATTATTCATGATGTTGTTGTTCACATGATGAAGAGTTATCCCACTCTCACTCTATGATCAGACCCAAAATGCAATCCGATTATTGAACAGCAAACTCAGCTTTTTTTAGAACCTAAAACAACAACATTAATGACCTGACCCGCCAAAAAAGTCAACTCCCAAATTTTGGGATACAAGTACCAACTATGTTGTTAAAAATAAACTCAATCCCACCCAAGCTTACATCATTTGTTGTTTTGATTGGCATTGTATCATCACCTATCATCAATATTAAAATTTAATCATTTTATTATTATATATTATTTTTAGCTAATAGATTATTATTATTTATTTATTTATTATTTGTTGTTAACATGATGGATGAGGATGATGATCATTACCAGTGTTACATTTAATAGCAGGACATGCATTATCATCTTTTATGCATTGACGGTGTCCATTGATATTGGCACAATGGTATCCGTGTGGACATCCAATATGACCACGACCATGGCCAAAGTCACATTCATGTGGTCGATGTGTTGTTATTCCTCATCCTGATCCACCTGTAATTGATGATGATGATGATATTGATGAGGATGATAATGAGGATGATGTTGTTGTTGATATCGATGATATCGAAGTGCCAAGAGTTGGATGGACTGTTGTATGTTGTGCAGTGGTTGTGACAATTCCAGTTGTCGACACCACGGCTGTTGTAGTAACTACTCCGGTGGTTGAGACTGGTGCCGTTGTAGTGACAACTCCGGTTGTCGAGACAATAGCAGTTGTTAGATCACCAGTTGTAGTGACCACTGCCGTTGTTGTTACTACGCCAGTGGTTGTCACTACTCCGGTGGTCGATACGACTCCGGTCGTAGTAACAACTCCAGTGGTCGAACAAATATCAACGTAAATGCAATTGCCATCATAACAACTATCATCAGTACATGAATCACCATCATCACAATTTACATCAACAGTAATAACACATCCTTGATCTTGAGTACATGTCTTTGGGAAACAAAAATCTTCTGTCAGACAGTTGGGTACAAATATACCTTTTGAAAGAGAGAGAAAGAAATGATTGTTGTTAATCATCTTGAATCACAACAATTATAATAATATGTAGAATACATACAAGTTGAATTGATAATAACAGCATCTAAACATACATCGGTTGATGAACAATCAGTGATAACTTCTCATTGTCCATTACAAGCATCGATCGTTGGATCATCACCATCGTCGCCTGTATGATTAATTAAAAGTTTTTAGAGGTTGACTCTTGTTATCAATCTTTGCTCATCATCATTATTATTTCTTTAACAAACATACATTTTACAGCAACGAATTCACAACCAACCAGTGGTGATATACAACTACCAATGATACACTGATCAATGTGAAGACACAAATTTTCGGTATAGCATTCAGCGTCGATTCCATAGGCAGTACATGGATTACCATCATCACCTATATTTATTATAAATTTAAAGATAATAGGTAGGATAATTAATATATGAAAAAAGTAATTACTTAGTATTAAAAATCAAGACGACTCGGCCCAATATCCCACCGAAACAATCTATCGAGTGACACAGGAACACCTCAAAACTTTCATTTCTGTGGACATTCTAGACAGCGGATATTCGAAATGCCATGTCAAGCTGTTTTCCAGGTGGCCACCTATTACAAAGGAAATTTGTGGATCTATGCCGATGGTAGGTTGGTAGGTGACAATCCACGGCCTTTGGATATCGTACAAACAGGTATACAAGGGTCGGGGGTACTCGATATGATACTATGGGTAGATGCACACACGAAGACACCTGTCCACCAAGTACTGATGCTTGCTTTTTCAGTATGTGCGATGACGTTTCAGATGCTTGTATCCTTTGGCCAATAGATTGTAAGTATCACGAAATCTTGTCGTTTCCATTACCACCTATAAAAGGTTTGACCAATCCTATTTCACCATAATCTTGTGTTTGCCAATAGGCATTCTGAAAGTCACCTTTTTTTTAAAAAGGATCCAAATGGTTAATAAATGAAATCAAAACAAAAAGAAAAGAATATTTCTTTTTCTTTTATATTTTTTGTTCATAGATCTACTATTTCTGCTTGGAGTTTGATCATAATATTCACTGAGCCCATCTGGAAATATTTCATCTCTTGCTATATATATATTTAATAATATATTTTTTGTGAAGAATGAATATTTTTTTTGTATAAGTTATCATTTTGATTGCAAAGAAAGATAAAGTTTTCACAATGAGATACTTACGTGTTGGAGTGAATATATCGGAACAATAACTACCCCCACAATGAGGAACAAAGATGATAAAACTCTTAATTCCCTTTTCATGATTGATTTAAAAAAAACTATTTTCAATTGTACTTTTATTTGCCTTTATATCATTAATCCTTCTTTCATCAAATGAAGGGGTCAATGGAAGTAGTAAGTTCGTTCTACCTTTTACCTATACTAAAGTACTCATCAAATATCTTAATGTCTAATTAATTTGATTTTAGTTTTAAGTGCTACTCAAACAGGAAAGACATTTGTTTTCACTTTTCATCCAGTTCTAATGTGGTACACTCAGGAACAATGGCCTATCCACCAACATTAGACCATACTGTACCCCAGGTGAAGGAAATGCAACCAACATGACATGCACTCTCCCATCAGTCCCAGGTATTTAAATCATTCATTCAAAATTTCATATACCTAAATATTAAATTTTTTTTTTTTTTTCAACTGTAGCTTGTAATAATGTCCGCTTTACTGGTTTTGTAGCTCCTGGGGTAGGGGTCGTAACCTTTTATTACCCATTTGATTGTACTGTTGTTGCATAAAAAAAAAAACATTCCATTGAATCTAAAAGAATAAATAAATAAATAAATTTATCTATTTTTTTCAATCAAATATTTAATTAATATGTATTTATTTTCATGTTGCAACATAGCATACTCACTCGCATCAGTTTCAGGTATAAACCAATCAAAAGATCCAAGTATAAATAAATCAATTTATCTTTTATCTTTCAATCAATTATTATTATTGATATATATATATATATATTTGTATTAAAAATTAAAAAGGTTTGTGTGCTATTGTTTGTTTATTTATTTCTTTTTATCGTCATCTTGTTGAATTTCAAGACCGGAGACCTTGCCCTTTCTTCCTTCCTTTTCATTCTTCTTTAACCATTGGACAATAGCTTCGGTACCTTTGATAACGATTGGATTTGGTGGAATGGTCAATGGATTGTGACCGACATCGAGTATGGTAAGTGTTCCCTCTAATTGACCTAATTCCCAAGGGAGCTCTGTAAGCATATTATGACTCAAATCGATCTTTGTTACATTCTTCCATCCACCCAATGTTTCTGGTAAATCTGCAATTTCATTTGATTTGAAATCAGCAAGCTTAAAAAAATAAAAATAGAGATGAGATTAGATTAATATGTTATTCTTGTTATTATTATTATTGTTTTGTTTTGTTTGTTTGTTTGTTTCTACATACTTGTAATTCTACAAGATCACCAATTGAAGCTGGAAGAGTTGTAAGTTTATTTGCAGAGAAATTGACCTTTGTCAATGCAACCAATTGACCAATTTCATTTGGAAGAGCTTGGAGTTGATTATTTGCACATTCCAATTCCTACAAAAAATAAATAAATAAATATTAATATTCCTTCTTCTTCTTCTTCTTTTATACTTTGTATTTGATTGTTTTTTACCTTTAGATTAGTTAAAGTACAAACTTCAGCAGGAAGAGCAACTAGACGATTACCAGACAATGATAGTTTCTTGAGGTTGACCAGACGACCGAGTTCTTGTGGGATATTGTCAATGAGCAATTGGTTTTGACGAAGATCGAGTGATTGGAGGTTGATGAGGTTACCAATTTCACGTGGGATGATTCTCATGTTGTTGCCAAAGAGATCGAGACGTTGGAGGTTGATGAGGGTACCAATGTCATATGGCACCTCCTTGAGTTGAGGGTTGTCACGCATATCCAACTCTTGCAACTCGCTGAGGAGACCGACACCCATGGGAAGATGTGAGATTTGGAGATTACGAATGGAGAGCTTCTTGAGTTGACGGAGATTGGCAAGTGATGGCACGTAGGAGAGAGGTGGGTTGACCTTGAGATCAAGCTCGGTAAGAGACACCATATGTGACAATTCCTCTGGAAGTTGTTGCAACTTGTTGGACGAGACGTTGAGGGTGGCGAGTTGACCGAGCAGACCGATTTGGTTGGGCAGTGTGATGAGCTGATTGTTGGAGACGTTGAGCTCGATGAGCTTGATCCAACCTGCAATCTCGGCGGGCAAGATCTTGAGCTGGTTCTTGGAGCAGATGAATGTCTGCAAGTTGAGCAACTTGCCATACTCCATTGGGAAGGATTGCAGTTGGTTGTCTGACAGATCCAAGTACTCGAGTTGCTCGCAACGTGCAATTTCAATGGGCAGCTCGTCCAATTGGTTGCCAGAGATATCGAGTTTGGTGAGGTTGGTCAACTCGCCAATCTTGGCGGGAAGAGGTGTGCAAAAGAGCTTGTTGTTGTTGAGGAACAGTTGACGTAGTGTCGTCAAGTTACCAATCTCGAGTGGGATCGATGTGATACGGTTCTTGCTGACATCGAGTACCTGCACGTTGGACAACTTGCCAATCTCTTCAGGAAGAGTTGTCAAGTCGTTCTCGGCCAACAACAACTCTTTGCACAAGAGTGCACCAATGGTTGGTGGCAACTTGTCAATCTCCATCTTTCGGAGATCTACAATCTCTCTCTTTCTATATTTCGATGATTTTAAATCACTTGATAAATTTCCTCCCATTCTTTAATTATATGTATGATACTATGTATGATATGTAAGGTTGATTGATTGTTTGTTTGTTTGTTGATAATAATACAAATACTTTTTAGTTGTTATTTTTAAAAAGTAATACTTAGAGTTAAGAGAACACCGCTTGCTATAATATGAAAAAGATATAAATAGACAAAGAAAGGGATTGAAGAAGAAGAGGATGAAGATGAGGAGGGAGGGAGGGAGGGAGGGAGATATAAATAGACAAGATAGATATTTAAAATAAATAATAAAAAGTTAGTATTATTATTATTAATTAATAAATGTTGTTGATGATGATGATGATGATGATGTTTGAGATACAATTTTGTATATATTTGTATAAAATTATAATTGATGTTTGGTTATTATTCGCTCGCTTGATTGATTGATGATAGATTATCAAAGAGTATGATTGATGAAGGGAAGAAGAGAGGAAGATGAGTGAGTGGTTGGGGGGTGTTGGTTTGGTTTGGGTTTGAAGAAGTAGTGTTCGATCAAGTGACTTGGTGAAGATTTATATATTTGTGTGTGTTGAGGAATGAAATATGATCTATATCTAGATAGTGATTAGGAGATTCTATTCTATTTACCGTTGAGATAATAAAAACTCAGAACTAATACTAAAACTATTGCTAGAACAGCTATAATGAGCAATGGACTCATGAACCTCCTATGATCTTAGTTTACTTGAGGAGGAGTGCAGAAATAGACCCAGGTTTTCTTTCAAGTCATCAATTTTTTGTTTTTTGTGGCGAAGTGGATATTTTTGGTTAAAGGAAAACAGACCATCTACCTAATGTGCCGATTACTGTACCAACCACAAATTAATCAAATAAATGAACATTTTAATTGGATAAATATTATTTGTATTCATATAAATATATATAGGTTTGAAATTCTCAAAAGGTCGACCAATATACATTGATTGATTGATTGATTGATTGATTGATTGAAACATATGTTTTTGATAATAGATGAATCTATTGCATACATAAAGATTGATGGACAGATAGATGACATCCAGCGACCTATGGTTGTAGCACCCCAAAAATTTGAATTCAAAAATCGGCGGGTGTCGTTTTAACGGTGTGAAAATTTTCCTCTCTGGTCGAATTAGAGTAAATTCTTCTTCACCAACTTTTCTATCACCCACTGCACTACTCTTGACTGCTATATATAAGTGAGAGAGAGAGAGAAAGAAGATAAACAAACTACTTTGTATATAATATATTCATTATTTACATATTTAAAAAGAGAAAAAGAGAGAGCGATCTAGATTAAAGGAATAGTTTGAACAATCAAATCAAATCAAATCAAATAAATATGTTTGGAACACGTAGTAATAATAGTAATGGTAGCAACCCATTTAGTGGTGGTGCAGCTGCTTCAAAGACTGGTGGATTAAAGGATATGTTGGCATTGTATTCTGCACCATCATCTGCTACTACCACTCCAACTACAACACCAAATACATCTACTTTTGTACCATCTTCATCATCAAAGCAACAAGATTCTGCTACTCCAATAATAGTAGAAGAAAACAAAGTAGTAGAACAGATTGTTACAACTGTAGCAGATGAAAATAAAACAGACATTACACCTGTTGTACAACAACAACAACCATCTGCTATTACTACACCTGTCAAATCAACATCATCAGTGTCAACATTGTCATCTGCTGGTGATCTATCAACTTCACCATTGACTCCACTCAATCAAAGAGTACTCAACTCTCCACCACAAAGTTCATCATCTGACGAATACGATGAAGAACATATGAAAGTATTATCAAGATCACCAAGTAGTCCTGTATGTATATACCATCGTTATTAATTAATTACTGATCGTCATCATCATTTTCTAACCTTTTTCGCCGTTTGGTCAATATAGAATTTTAAAAATCCAAAAAACAAGGTATTAAAACATAAAAGAGTTAGAAATATGGTTAATCAATTGCCAACTATTAAATCTATGGATGGTATGTAATAATATATTTTAATTTTAATATTCATTCACTAATTTTGTTTTGTTTTGATTTGTTTTGATTTGATTTGAAAGATGTTGTAAAACTTCAAGAAGAAATTACAGAGAATAGAGACAAGATTTCCAATCTTCAACAACAATTACAAGTTTCTCAAAAGGAAAAAGGAGATGTTGAGAGTGAAAAGTTGGAATTGTTGGAAAAGTTGAGATTGGTAGAGGAAAAGCAAAAAAATGCCGATCAAAAGGTAGAAGACAGTAAAGATAGATTGGAGGAGATGACCAAACAACTCAGTACTACCATTGAAAATATGAATCAAACATTTGAGGTTAGATTGGCATCAGTCACCACTGAAAAAGAACAATCTGAAAAATATAGTTTACAATCACAATCATTACTTCGTGATCAATTGTGTCAATTACATACTCAAAATGAAACTTCAAAGAAAATGGTAAAAACTATATAAATTAATTGGAAGTAAATAATAATAATTAATCAATTTATTTATTTATTTAAATTTTTAGGTTGAACAATTAGAAAATGAAAGAAAACAACAAATTGAAAAGATTCAAAAACATGAAGATAAAATCAAAGAATTAAATAGTGAAGTAGAATCTACAAAATCAAATCATATGGATACAGTTCAAGATTTGGAATCAACCAAAGAAGCCTTTGGAAATGTTAAAAAAGAGTATGGCAAAATTAAGGAGGAAACATAAGAAAATATATAGTCTCTCTCTCTCTCTAACTTATCCCTCTCCCTTATTTTAGTTTCTTTTATTCAACATGTTTGGCAATTAAACTTAATCTTGTAATGCTTGATATTCCAATTAGTATAAGTACACAAGATCTTTGGGACGAAGCAGAGTCACAACAAATTTCACCAAATAGATTTGTAGACTTTATCAATGAAAAGATTAAAGCTTCCATTCCTCCATCACTTCCACCATCACCAGTACTTACATCAACTACTTCAACCAACGCATCAAATAATAATAAGAAAGTTCAAAAGAAAAAGAAATAATCAAATATATTAATAATAATAATAATATTTATTTATTTATTTCCTCTTTATTTATATATATATATATATATATATACTATTTTTTTTTTGTTCATAATCATTACCCACCCCAAACCATCTATTATAATACAATTGGTTCCCTTATAATAAAGGCATACAATATATTATATATAAAAAAGAAACCTTTTATTAATTTATTTATTTTTCTTTTTTTGTGAATTGATTGGAGGAGAGGCAATCATTTCATCATCTTTAATAAATTTATTAAAGAGAACCAAAGTAGAGTTGACCTCTTTTTTATCGGTAGTGTATTGATAACCATAGAAAAGTTGATCAAATGAACGATCTTTAGGTGGGATGGAAAGATGGTCAAGTACCTTGACAGCAGATTGTGGGATAATAGATGACAAGAGTAAGGTAGATACTCTAATCGACTCGAAAATAATATACATTACATTATTCAATCGAACCAAATCACCTGCTTTTTTACCTGGTTTTGGTACCAATGTCCATGGAGCAATTTCAACAAAATATTTGTTAACTGTATATAAAAATTCTATAATATCTTCCAATCCTCCTTTAAAATCATATCTATCAAATTTATCTTCAATATGTCCTAAAAATATAAAAACAAAATAAATATAAATAGTTAATTTGATTTGATTGGGTTTTCTTCTATTTTTACCTTTTAAATTATTAATTGAATTAATTAAATCTTTATCAATTGGAAGGAGGTCATTATCAGATGGACGAGTTGGAAAAGTATTGGTTGGAAGGAGTGAACCAGATGAAGATCTGCTAACAAGGTTTCCATAGGTATCGGCAAGATCATTGTTGAGTTTGCTAATGACTTCTAGAGTCGAGAAATCACCGTCATTCTCCATACCTCCACAACGAAGTAAAAAGTAACGGATGGGATCAACACCAAATTGTTCGATGGTTTTGAACGGGTCGATGACATTACCCAATGATTTTGACATTTTGACACGCTCTACCGTCCAATGAGCATGAGCTACTACGCGAGAGGGGAGCTTGGCACCAATGGCAGAGAGGAATGCTACCCAATACACTGTATGAAATTTAATGATATCCTTGCCAATTAAATGCTCGACATTGTAGTTCCACACTGACAGGGGGTCAGTTTGATTTGGATATCCTGCCACGGTGAGGTAGTTGGTGAGTGCATCCAACCATACATAGATGGTTTGACTGTCGTCACCTGGTACGCGAATACCCCATTCGACACGACTCGATGGACGCGAAACTGACAAATCTCTCAATCCATCCAATGCATTGAGGACCTGTGATACGCGCGACGCTGGTGTGATGGGGTTGGGAGTGGCCACCAACCACTCTTTAATCTGCTCTTTGAATGCCGATAGTTTAAACATGTAGTTTTCCTCGACTGTGAATACGACCGGGTTACCCGACTCTTTCGACACTTTGATCGTCTCTTTGGTCTTTTCGTTGATGACCTTGTCTTCAATCTGTTCCTCTGTCAAGAATGCTTCGTCGCTTGTGCAATACCATCCCTCATATCTCCCCTTGTAAATGTGTCCCGACTTTATCAGTTGATCCCAAATACAATGTACACTCTTTTTGTGTCTATCTTGTGTAGTACGAATATAATCATTCATTTCAATATTTGCCAATTCAAATAATTGTTTAAACTAAATCGATCGAAAGAAAAGTAATGTTAACATATATATATCATCATATTTATCTTTATATTATATATCTGTGTTTACATACAGTTGAAGAGATAGAGTCACAGTATTGTAGAGTATTTTGATTATTCTTTTTAGCAGCTTCTTGTACCTTTGTTCCATGTTCATCGGTACCGGTCACCAGAAAGGTAGGGAACCCCTTTAACTTGTTCCAACGACATGCAGCATCGGCCAACAATGCAGTGTACAAATGTCCAATATGAGGTGATGCATTGACATAGAATATAGGTGTTGTAATGTATTTTGGTCCATTTACAGTCTTGTGACCACTAATACTACTTAGATTTCTTTTGAATTCATTGATTGTTTGATGTCTTGTTAATGTTGCAGCTGTTGTAGTCGTAGTAGTAGTAGCAGTATTTGTAGTACTTGTAGTACTTGTTGTAGTAGTACTATACCATTTCGTATTCGTATTATTGTTATAATTTGTGAATGAATACAATGACGACGATGATGATGATGAAGATAATGAACCAACACCACTTCCGATGCTGCTACCTCGTTGTATAAACTGTTTTGATAATCTACCAACTATCATCATTTCTTAAGAACTGCACTAGTTGATTAAAAAATGAATGAATGATGATGATGAATGAATGAATGATAAATAAATATTAATGTTCCCTTCAAAATTAATTCGGTCGTAATCATTATCTCGTTTTTGGGCAAGTAGCACCCTCCCAATATCGATCAATATTTTAAGTGATGTCCCTCCCTGGCACTATTATTAATAATAATAATAATACTACTATTTCACCAAACCATAAATAATATATATTATATAATACCATACCAACACCATGACATCATCGTCAGTATTTCTCTATATATTATTACGCGATTGTATTTAGATCTTATAAGTATACTTTTTTTTTCATATCTTGTTGTTGTACAATGGGGTGTAGATCCACATCGTACCGCCGACTTTCATCGGTGTTGTGTTGTGGTGTAGTGTTTGTTGGGGTGCCACGATCAAAGCCAGCCGTGTGGAATGATTAAAACCAAAAACAATTCAATATTAAAATAATCACGATGTGGTCGTTAACCGCCCCCTGCTGATTACCTTGGCCATTCTTCTTTTTCTTTTAAAATAACATTTTTATATTCTATTTATTATTTATTTATTTATATATCAAGCTAAGATATTCTATATATAACATATATATATTCGCATCAAAGTCAAAAACCGAGAGACGATTATTAGTTTAGAATACAACACCACCAAACAACATCACTCATCACACACTAGTATTCACCACCACCATACTAGTATTCAACCTCTTCCCTTTTGTACCACCCCTTCCCTTACTTCAAATTTTTTAAATCATCATCCAATAATCCTTCTGCTGTCATTTTTGTATCATAATACAACAACAACAACAACAACAACAGCAACAACATCAAATAATAATTAATTAAACACATAACATAAATTATAGAGTAGAGTATAGTTGAATAAACATCTATCACATCATCCTCCTCCTCCTCCTTGTACAATTTAAACAAACAACTGTAAAGATATCTTTCTTTATTTATTTATTTATTTATTTAAATCAACCATATTTCAATCAATTATAAATTATCAATCAATCATCTGATAAGAAAATGGGTAGTAAACTTGAAACAGCATTACGAGTGATCGTTATTTTTTGTGGAGTTGCATTGGCATGTCTAACGATTCCCTATTGGATATATATGAAGATTGCCATCGATCATGACTCTTATGTACCGATGGGTATTTACATTGCATCTGCCATCATCCTTTTGATTTTGGCATTTTTGGGTATATTTGGTGCTATCCGTAAGAGCAGAGGTCTCCTTTTATATGTATGTTTTGAAAAAGAAACTCAAAAGTGTAGATCCCATTTAAATACTTTCAAGAGTACTAACTAACCAACCAACCATTCCATTCCAATTCAATCTATTATTATTATTATTATTATTATAGTTTGCAGTAGTCATGATTATGATGTTTTTGTTTGGCATTGCTCAAATTATTGTCACGGCATTGGATGTTGCCGGTTGTGGAGATGATCCAAGCAGCAATTTTAGTTTCTTGTGTTCTGTCAATACTGTTGGTTATTATGTTCCAGTTGGTATTTTACTTTTCATCAATGTATGTTGTTGTGTTCTATAGTAGATAGAATCATCCAAATCAATCAAATCACAACTTCAAGGTCTCTAACATTTTACTTATTATTTCTAGATCTTTGGTGCAGTCATGGCTCTTTGGTTACGATACAAGTTGGTTCATGATACTGAAGGAAAATATTATTAATAATAATAATCCACTCAAACCAAAAATAATAATAAATAAAAATAATTAATAATTTAAATAATTAATGATTGATGGTGGATGGATGAAAAATAAGACATCCAACCAATGAGGCATTGAAGAAATCCGACCCACACACATGTGTCTGTTGTGTTTTTAAACGAAAAAAGAGAGATGGCCTTAATGCATCGGATTGACCCATCGATTATGATAAAACAGTCAGGCCAGGCTGGGGAATGAGAATGACCGAAATCTGATTGTGTTTGTTTGTTTGTGCGTGTGTGGGTGTTTGAAAGAGAGAGAGATGTTTGTAAATCAATCCATACTTGTTTCTTGAGTATATCTCACCTAACCCTCATCGTAATAACAGTAATAAGAGTGCAATCATTCCCACCAAAACACATTATTTTACAGTTACCCTAGAGTAGTTGTCGAATTCAAAACATTCAAGCTTATTTGTTGTTGTTGTAAGAGTATGTTGTAACTGTAACTTATTCTCATTACAATACGCTATCGTCTTGTTTCTTTCTGTTCCTCATTATACTTTCTTCTCTTGTCTTGAAAGTAGACAACCCACCACCCACACAGTTTCTTCATCTAAACACCATCTTCACACTATACCACCATCGTGTTTGATGATACATATATCTTGGCACCCGATCACCCTTCCCACACACTAATCCGACAATAAACATAAACATATTATTTTTATAATAATAATAATAAATAATAAATAATTAGTATTATTAAAGTGAAGTGATCCGATTAATTGATTTATTAATGGATTGATTGATTCATCATCATCACCAACAACAATAATAATAACAACAACAACAAGTCAGTTTTGGTCATCATTATTATTATTCTCAAAATAATATAATACAACAACAACAAACAACCCCATATATATATATTTCTGGAGATGGATTGTACATCTATTATCAATTCAACAACAACAACAACAACAATAATTAATGGAATAACAGCCATGGAAGTTGAAATTGATTTTAAAAGATTGACAAACTTGTTTAAAGGAATCATTCATCATCAATATTTAAAGAATTATTTGATTAAATCAATCAAGGAAATACATCAACATAAATTCAAAGATGAACAATGTACTGAATTGGCAAAGGTGCATACATGGACCGAAGTGTTGACATTACCAAACATTCTACTCAAGTACAGATACTATGATTTGTATCGAGATTGTACCAACCAATTACTTTTAATCGGGTCGACCAACAAACACCAAGTGTTTTGGGATCTTTTAGCAACATTGGATCCATCCACCACTTTTCCCAACTTTCTCAGACCATATATCGCCGAATACCTAGATCATCGAAAACTAACCATCAACGAATGGAAGAAACTATTTCAGTTTGTTTTACAAATGTCTCCATTCTACTTTCAAGATGCATTACAAATTGAAAGAAATAGAATGGAAAGAAAATTAAAAGAATCATCTTTGGCTGATGAAATGGATCTTGACATCGATGATGATGATGACAATCACAGATACCATGATTTTGGTTCAGATGATGATGATGATGATGATGATGAAGTAGAAGTAGAGGAAGAGGTAGATGAAGGTGAAGATGAAGATATAGAAAGAAAAAAAAGATAGATAAAGATGAAGATGAATCTATTCAATCATCTCAAGTTTCATTGGACGAAGATGCATTAATGGATATTAGAGATGATTTAAGATTGTTTGGTGAATTGGGTGACTTATTTTCAACTAATCGGTCAATGCAAATGGTTCAACAAACAGTGAAATCATTTAATTTCGGAAACTATGTTGGAGACTTGGAAAAGTTTGTATATTTGGAAAAGAGTGGTGTCATATTTTGCACGACCATGGCTATGGATAGAGCAGCGACGAGAGGTGATTTAGAGATGGTGAAATACCTACAGGCCAATCGAACAGAGGGGTGTAGTGATGAAGGGCTTGGTGGAGCCATTGAAAACGCTCATTTGGACGTTGTCCACTTTATACTCGAGAATCAGATGCTGAGAGGCCACGGATGCCACAACGACGCGTTTGTTCGGGCATCAGCACACGGCCATCTCAAAGTATTTGAGTACTTTCATCAACACTATCCACACGATCGAATGTGGCGCGCTGCCACCTACATGAACCAAGCTGCTCAACACGGCCATTTGTCGTTGCTCAAGTTCCTACATTTTCATAGAACCGACTTTTACAGCCTACGTTCCGAGATTGATTTGGACCAAACCATTGCCAATTGTCGTGGTGACCCCTCCAAACAAAAGAGTATCGAGCAGACGGCACTGTTTATAATGGAGCATCGACAGGACCAGCTCGCATCGCCGTCTATCCTCAGCACGGCACTCCAACGCGGATCGATGGTGTTGGTCGAGAGAATATGGGCGTGCAACAGACTTCGCGATCGCAAGAGCACCAACAGCTACCTATTGGATGCTGTAGCTGGACGCAATATCGATGCTGTCCGATTCATCCATGCCAACCATCCCTTTGCCTCGACTATGATCCGCGACAATGCACCAATGGTGCGAGCTGCTCGCAATGGTGATATCGAGATTCTCGCCTACCTCGCTCAACACCGAGCCCAAGGTTGTGTCTTGGATGCACTCGACGTTCAACATATCAAAAAGAATAAGCCACAAACCACCAAATTCTTCCTCGTCAATCCATCATCACTTTCAAAACCATCCTATCAATTACTTTTTGATAGTAGCAACGAAACTAATATATCAAACTAACTAACCACCAAAATCATTAATCAAATTTGTAAATAGAACTCTCAAACTTAATATTACTCATTGTATATATCATCCATCCATCCATCCCCCTAGGCACACATAACTTTATTAAATAAATAAATAAATCAATCAAATGAAATCAACTTTTTGTTCATAATAAGTAAACACATTAATGTTTCCAAAATAAACCTGGTTTATTTTAAGAAAATTCGTTGTATGCATATCCATGAAAAAGATTTGATTGCATTTCAGTTCCATGAGGTGGACAAGAATTAGGGGAAAGTGAATAATGTTTCTAGAATCGTCGATGGTTGCATTTCCAGATGATCGCGATTCAACAAACAAAAAGCCTACCGACTCCATGTATCCAATATTATAAGGTAAATCACCAATTATTTCATGTCTTGTGATCGACTTGCCAGTGGTCGAGTAGTGGATAATGAACAACAAATAAATAATAAGATATTTGGTTAGTTATTAAACCCATCTCCTTTGAAGGGGCAATATAATTACCTTTTTTTTTCAGACATATTTACTTCCATTGATTGGGAAGGAGAATGAAATTCATTATTCTTGCAATATTATTTGTGTGTACAATGATTGAAACGAAACGAGTGACATCATGATGCATGTGTCAGAGGGTTATAACCTTGTTTGTTTGAATTAATTTATTTTTTTTCGAGGAGGTGAGTTCATTCAAGCAAAAGTTTTATACGGTTCACTGAGTATGTTGACTTATTAAATTTTATAGAGAATACAGAAAAGTAGTAAAGGGGACATATAAATAAATTTATATGAACCCCAATAATAACATACTAGTTACAATGCAGAGAGGTATGAAATATTCTTGTCTTTGTCAGATTGATGATCGATCGTACTTACTGATGATTCATTTATCTCTATATACAAACTACTACTACTACTACTCCTACTACTACTGTAGCCGAGGCACAGGTACCACCAGCTCAAAAGAGTTATTATGAAGAGTTGTTTCAATTAGCAGATATCGATAGAGATCATGTGATTGGTCCAGGTGATGCATCATTCTTTAGAAAATCATCATTGGCTGATGAAACTTTAAAAGATGTATGTGATGGATGAACAACAACCAACAACAGATAGACGATATATATATATATATATATATATACTAATATACTACTACTAACTTTATAGATTTGGAATTTAGCAGATGTAAAGGATGGATATTTAGATTTGGAGGATTTTATAGTTGCTTTAAAGTTGATATCATTGACACAGTTGGGTGCACCAGTTACATTGGATAGTATAAAAGCAATGCCTGTTGTACCTCCACCTAAACTACTTGATGTTCCACCCATCAAATTCGATTGGATCGTTCCACAATCTGAAAAGAACAACTATGTTGAAATATTTAACAAGAATGATGATGATAGTGATGGTTATATTAGTGGTATGAAGAAAGAAAAAGAAAAGAAAAAGAAAATTAATTAAATTTATTTATTTATTTCTATTGATTTCTAGGTCAACAAGCAAGATCATTATTTAGTTCATCAGGATTACCAATGAAAATACTTGGACATATTTGGTACTTGTCTGATATGAATGCTGATCAAAGATTGGATTGTCAGGAATTTATTATTGCAACATTCCTCATTCGTTCAGTGTTGAAGGGATATGACTTGCCAAGCAAGCTACCAGATCAACTTATTCAATCGTCACACTATGTAAGTAGTGTCGGTGTACCTTCACCAAAGGTACCAGATTGGTTGATTCCACCCGCTGAAAGAATCATCAATGAAGATATCTTTAACAAAAATCAACAAAATGGTGCTATCTCTGGTATGTAAACAAAAAAAAGAAAAAAAAGAAAAGGGGAATATTATATTAACAATTATAATATTGCAGGCAAACAAGCAAAGGTAATATTTGAAAAATCAGGATTACCAGTACAAGATTTAAAGGTTATTTGGGATCTTTCAGATTACGATCAAGCTCAATGGTTGGATAAACAAAAGTTTGTCATTGCAATGTTTTTGATTAGCCAAAGAAAAAAGAAAAAAGAGTTCCCAACCTCTTTACCTCAAATTTTAATTGAATCTTCTAAATCTTCTTATTTACCAATCTCTCCACCTCCAATTGTAAGAAAAAGATCAGCTTTATGTATCCAAATAGTTATTAATAATTTATTTTCTTTTAGGTTGAACAATCAAATGATAACAAAACATCAAGTGGAAAATATAATATTGATTTGGCAGATATTGTTTCAAAGACTGAACCTGTTATGGGAGGTGGTATGCCATCACCAGTATCTCAACAACAACCTCAAGAGTTTATGAATAATAATAATAGTATTCTTCCAGTTGTTGATCAACAACCAAATCCATTACGTACATCTTTGACTATTCCACCTCCACCATCAGCTTCTACTCAACATCAACAACAACAATTTTATAATAATCAAGGTATGGTAGGATCAGGTTCAGGGTCAGTATCTAAACAATCACCCATTCAACAACACCACCAACAACAACAAATACATTCAATGTCAGCTCCAATTACACCACAACAACAACAAGTGTATATGCAATCACCAGCTCAAGTACAAGCCAAAGAGGCAATTGAGCGTGTAAAGCAAGCCACTTTGGAAAAGGAAAAGTCATTGGCCGATCTCAAACAACAATTTATTGAAGAGAGCAAGGCTACATTGGAACTTCAACAACAATTGGCTGCAGAGACACAGATATTGGAAGAAGTTTCTGCAGATATGCGTCAATGTGAAGACAACCTACAACTACAAAAGCAAGAGACCATGGCAGTCAAGGAAAAGATCTCATCGGTGCGAGTAGAGATCAAAATGAACAAGTCACAATTGGAGCAAGTAAAAAAGTTGTTGAGCGAAAAGACAGAACAGTTTGAAGAACAAAACGAATCACTCTCGTCACTTCAAAACGATTTGCAAGAGAAAAAAGCTGATCTCGAGAAATACAACCAAGAGGTTGAGAAATTGATTGCTCAAATCGAATCGATAAAGTCGTTAAAGTCAGATTCTAAAGGCGAGTTGAAACAAGTAAACAGTGCTTTGACTAGTGCCAAAGGACAAGTCTCCCAATTGACAGATGAATTTAAACAACTTAAAACACAAGCAAATATTCAATCACCTCCTCCTCAACAACATCATGTTGTTTCACCAACCAAACAACAACCAACATCACCCTTTGATGATAATGATAATGAAAATCCATTCTCATCAAAAGATAATAATGATGAATGGGGATCTTTTGAAACTGTATCTTTTAACAATAGTAACAATAATAATAATAATAATGTACAACAACAACAACAGCAACAACAACAACAACAAACAACAAATGTTGTTACATCACCAACAAATTTAACGTCACCAACATCAGTATTTTCTTCATCAAAGAATATGTTTGATACACCACCACAAACAAACAAGAATCCTCAAAGAACTGCAAGCAACAATCAGTTGACGGGATCATCGACCTCGTCATTTAAAGCAACTACCTTTGACAGCACCAGTAATCTCAAGGGATCAACTTCGTCCTATCAAAGCGCCATGTTTGACAATGTGTCTACATCTGGTCCGTTTGAGGAAAAGTTTAATAATAGTACGTTTGGAGGTGGTGATGAATTTGGTTCGTTTGGTGTGTCGAATGAACAACCATTCAATCCATCCATGGTTGCTACCAATGCCAGTGGCACCAACTCTTCTAGTTCATCTTCCAACAATATTGCAGCTGTTGCAGCCGTAGGCAAGAATCCATTCACATCAGCAGCTATTGATGACAATGCAAGCAATGGATCTGCATCCAACAAGGCAGAGATTGGGTCAACCGACTTTTCATTTACCACTGATACCTCTGTATCGAGTAGTACTACTGCCTTGTCTGCCGTCTCTGCAGCTCCCGTTACCATTGCTCAATCATCGCCAACCACTACATTGGCCAGTGCCATCTCCTCTTCATTGTCGGCCATTACATTTGAAAAGGACAAGGATAGTGGATTCGATACTTTTGACTCGTTTAGTGGTGCCAAGGATCCATTTGGATCATCCATCTTCCCAACCACCTTTTCATCTGCTACTTTCTTTGGCCAATTTACTACATCTTTAAATTCTCAAGATAATCAAAATCAACAACATCAACAACCACAAACAATAACATCACCACCATCTTTTGATGAACCTGCAAACAATCAAAAACCATTTGGTGATGATGATAATGATGGATTTAGTGATTTTAAACCAGACCAACAACCACAACCACAACCAATAACAGCAGCTGAACCAAATCCAAATGGTGGAGGTGGGTTCGATGGATTTGATGATTCATTTGATGATTGGAACCCAGGAGCACCATCTAAATTTAATACGACATTTAATAATTCACCATTTGGTGGAGGTGGTGAGAATGAACCAATAACATCTGAAAATCTATTTGGTCAACCATCAGCAGTACCAGTCAATAATGGAAACGGTAATGGTGAAAACAATGGCAACGAAAACGGTGGTGGCAACGGTACCACTCAACCATCATCCTTCTTCTTTGATGACAATGCCTTTACGGAAAAGTTTGATTCATCCTTTTAAAAAAAACTCAAGTTCAATCCATAGATAGATAGCTAGATAACCAACAAAGAGAATGATGATATATATGTACGATTTAAAATAAATAATTGGAATTAACAACATACTTTATTGCCGGGTTTAAATTTTAATATTTATTTAAACTATTATTAAATTAATGAAAAGAATATATATGTGAATTGAATTACAAAGTCGATGTACAATTAAATGATCTCATAAATTTTAAATTGGTTGAACCTATTCCTGGAGTACCAAACAATCTAACTGTATCACATTCTAAATAATAGTTGAAAAAATAATGAGTTTTAGTAAAAGCTGAGAGATGATGAATTAAATTGATATTTTAAAAGAATTCTTTCATACCTGGAACAAAATCTAAATGGCAGACCATTGGAGAAATACCATTTTGAGAGCAGTATGGTTTGATATCCAATTTTGATCCATTAAATTCAAGTTCACTCTTGAACCAAATCATATGTTGTGGTGAGAAATGAATATAAAGAGTCTTTTCATTTTGTTCAATCTTTGAGATTTCATATGATTGTACTATGCAGTTGTTGGATAAAAAGAAAATAAATAATAAAATAATTAAATTGATTTGGAAATATAATTTGTTCATTTTGAACTATTAAATAAATAAAAAATAAAACAAAAAGAATAGAAGTAAAATTAATATGAGAGAAAAAAAGAAAATTTATATTATTACTATTACTTACAAATGGTTGCCTAGAAAATTGATGCCTAAAAAGATAATATAATAATAAATATACAAATAAAAAAATATACAAAATTATTTGTTTGTTTGGTTTGCCTCTAAAAAAAATAATTGATCAATTTGAAGAGAAGGTGAACCTTCTTAAATAATCATCGCCCTAGCCTCCAGCCTTTAAAACAAATAAATAGAGAATAAATATCCTTACAAATTGGAATCGACAAAAAGAGGAGGATGATGGTTAATTTGTTGTTATGCCTCGGTGGCAATTTGGTTTGGTTTGGTTAATGGGTTGTATTTTAAGGGGCAACAACAATTAAATGTGGAGGAGAGTTAAAGTCATATGACTCGGCATCCCTTTAGGCCTACACCGACTCTTAGGGACTGCTAACAGACTGGAATGAGCCCTTAAATTTTCGTGTCGCGAGTATACTGCTGCGATCATTCATTTAAAACGAGCGACCCGAACGAGCGAATTGACGATCATCAACTCGAGCAAAGATTCCTTTTTCTGTTGACTTGCGGTTAACCATTAAAGAATCTATTTTTTTGTAAGTATAGATCTATATTTGTATTTGTATTTGTATTTCTGTAACAGATAAAATTCAAACTTAATATTGATCATAAAGTGGCTTGCTTTACACGCTCAATTGCCTCTTTGGCTTGTACTTGAGCTGGTGATTGCATATACACTTGTTGTTGTTGTGGTGTAATTGGAGCTGACATATTCTTTTGGTGTGTTTGTTGACCTGAAATTGGTTCATCGAATTGATTCAATCTTATTTCTTGTTTTCAAAATTATCGTTGCACCAAAGTATTACTAAAAGATGATTGTGATTATTGTGAAGAGATAATAGAATAGTTATTATTATCTATCTATATCTATATCTATATCTATAGTCATGTGGAAATATTTAAATAGTTTTAGAAGAAAAGATAGAGACGGAGAGGAGGTGGAGGTGATTCATCACAATCAGCTGAATCTACCCAATTGGATAGTAAAACATATCATTCATATACTACAATACAGTACATACAATGAATCGATAGATTATGTGGTTGGTGGAGGAGGACGAGGAGGGGGAGGAGCATTGTTGGACAGTCATCATGCAAGACTCAACCATTACTCCAACTACCTCTACTTGTCATTGGTCTGCAGTTACTGGTTCAAGAATATAGTACCGTCGTCGGTCAAGGTGCATCGTATCATTTGTTCAAACTACCAAAACCATAGTTACAAGTTGTTGGGTAAGAGTGTCTACACTAGATATCCAAAGTCTGCATTGACAAACTATGACCAATCATTACAAAGATTTATAAAGGACGTTCGACAAGACAACGAAAAAGAAGAAGATGAAGAAGAGAAGAATAAGAAGAAAAAGAGTCAAATTGAAGAACTAAAGGTATTTATACCTGGGTTTACAGAGGCATCACCTTGTTATATTATGGAAGCGTTGATGGACATGAATGCTAGTTTGGGGTCGGTCTGCGACACGTTAAAGAGACTGACATTGTACCATGTCTCGTGGAACGACAGCTGGATGAATCTGTCGCAGTGCAAGCAGTTGGAGAGACTGTGTTTGTATCCGACCGGACGATGGATACCACAACATAGCGAGGGTCTGGTACGTCTGCTGGAAAAGACACCGTCCATCAACGACTTGGCCATTAAAACGGCGGTTGGATTGTCGGTCGATATGAAGCTTGGCGTGTCGACACAGCTCGCCTACCAAAACATACGCAAGCTTACTTTGATTTGCAGTATGCATGGGATGACAAGGGGACTGTTGTCCAAAACATCATTCTCACATCTTGTCAATATAGAGTCGATCAAGATCAAGAGCAACACTACACTCATCCCACAACACCGTGATTACCATGTAGCTGGATTCTACCAAGCCCAATTATTCCAATTTATACCCAACAAGTTGTTATTGACTCGTTTACGTATCGATGACTTTCTCTATCCATTTCAACATATTCTTCAAGGTAGTGATGATAGAATAGTTGCTGTCGACTCATCAAATAACAACAACAACAACAGTGATGAGGTACAATCTACACTTCCACAATTTCCAAACTTAACTTCACTCTATATCAACAATCTACATCCGACTATTGATCATAAAGAACCACGTCTACATGTCAGTCAGATGTTTGAACAGATTCAAACGACGTTGAAACAACTCACCTTTCTAGCCATCAGATCGATTAAATTTATCGATCCACAGGATCTAGTCACTGCCATTGATTCACTACCCGTCCTCTCCCACTTTAAATTCTCCATCACTCCACTTCTAGACAGTACACCCAGTTCAATGAGTACATTCAACGATCGTATCCTCGCGTCACACTCTGTCTCCATCCCATTACTCGAGTATCTAGAGTCCAATCACACCATCAAACGGTTCTCATATAGTCTCGAGCAAGACATTGAACCATCCAGAATCACCGATGACAATGAAAGATCAACACCACTCATTGATTATCCCCAAGACCAACTAAATCAACTTGACCAAAAAATCATTCAAATTCAATGTAGTATTAAAAGTTTAGTTAAAAATAATGAATCTATTCAATATTTAAGTCTATCCTCCTCATCCTCATCCTCTTCATCATCCTCTACCAACAATAATACTAATAATAATAATAATACTAATAATAATGTACAATTTAATTTAACAAATCAAGAATTTATTGAATCACTAGTTAATTCAAACAATATTGGATTGAAATCAAAATTATCAATTTTAAAGATTGATAAATGTTTATCAACCTTTAAAGATTTCAACAGCAACATTGTTAATATTAATAATAGTGTACAAATAGTATCAAAGAAAAAAGTACACAAATTCAATGATGCATTTAAATTGGAAATGAATACAAGGATAAAAGAAAGTATTAATGAATTAAGAGATAGACAAATAACCTATTATAGAAAAGCAATTAAAGCTTATTAAATTAACAATAATAATATCCAATCCAACCAAACCACAATTTGTAATTAATTATATATATGTATCTTTATTTTATGTTTAGAATTTATCTATTTATCTATTTAATAAATAGTTTGTATTTTTTTTTTTAGGCAAGTGTATAATAATACTCTTGATTTAAATCAGGTACACCTCCTTCTTCATTTAATAATGGTTCTTTATCTTTTGGTTGATTAGAGGAGGAAGTAGTTGATGAAAAGGTTGGTCTTGGGGATCCACCAAAGAAAAAGCTTGGATCATGTGATGGCATGACAAAGAAACCAACATGCAATGAATTTATAAATTCAAATCCAAAAGAGACCAATTTAAACATCTTCCAAAAGTTACCTCCACCCCAAGTAAAAGCTGTTTCTACTACACTCGACCAACGTAATAATACTTAGTGGGAAACTAATATAAACGAAATCAAGGAATGGAGGTACTTGTAAAAGATCATTTGAATTCTTTTCTTCTCTAATTATATTTGAATCAAATGATGATGATAATTGTTTGTTTTTAATTCCTTTTCTAATTACTCTAATATAATAAATCAATTTAAATATTATTGATGTTGGCTAAAAAAAAAAAAAAAGGATAGTTAATAAGCATTATATTATATTCTATCTTTTTGATTATTGTGATTGTTTGATTTACCTTAAAAACACTACTACTAACTAAAAAGTATATAAATTTAGATGTAATTTTCTTTTGGAAAACCATTCTAAATAGAATTGAAGCCAACAATGATCCTACTATTGATATTATTAAACGAAATGATATAAATGATGCACCCATAGGTACATTATAACCAAGGTAGTGGGTAAATGATATGAGAGATTCTACGATCAACATTATATCCGATAATCCATTGGCCAAACCACCCATAGTAATAATGGTGAAAAGAAATCTCCATATCTTTGGAAACTTTCTTTCAATGGCATCGTAAATATATGCTATCCAACATGTTGGTATCATCACCAAATAGGAAACAACAGCAGGAATTATAAATGGTATATAAATAATTAAATAAACACAATCTGTAGTACTAGCCATAATAATAAGAATAATAATAATTATTTGTTAAAACATTAATAGTAAATCAATTGATGATCATCATTAAAATTGGTGGTGTCCCAAAGGTTAGGATAGTGCTAACTCTAGAGAGAGAGTAAGCTAATATCAAAAATAAATAACATATTTTTTATTACAATAAAATAGACAAAAAGAGAATGAATGAATGAATGTCATTGGTACTCACCAACCTTGTTATTATTTTAATTTTAAAAAGACACAATCAACAACAACAATAACAACAATAACAACAATTAATAAGAATATAATTAATAATAATCAACTTGGTTTACCAGATTATATTGTAAAGAAGATATTAAGGTGTTTACAACATTCTATTTCACCATGTTTACATGATTCATTAGAGGATAATGGTGGAGATATTGACTTGAGTCGTAATGCATACACTCTTTATGATGGTAGAATGAATGTACACTCTATATTACATTTGTCGTTGGTGTGTAGTTATTGGTTTAGAATCATCATACCATCGTCGATGGATAGATACACCTATGTCCTTCCATCAATAGCCGTTCAAGAACAAGACCACATCAAACTATTTGGAAAGAATGTCATTGCCAGATACAAAAGATCACCTCTACAACAATTTAATCAATCATTACAACAGTATCTAAGAAATAATAATATTGTCATTGATAGTGGTAACAACAGTGGAAACAAGGTAGAATCATTAAAGATATACATTTCACTTGAATACCGTCAGAGTATGGATACACCTCCACTTAGTATCAACTCTATCATGAATTATGATGCATCGGTGGCTGCGTTGTCTGTGAATCTACGTCGGTTGACATTGTATAATATCGAGTTTAACGATACGCTGTTAAACTTGTCAAAGTGCACCAGGTTGGAGAGACTGGTGATCTATCCAGTCGGAGTGTGGCGTGCAAACTATAGTGACATCTTGCTTGCACTATTAAAGCAGACACCAACACTGACAGACTTGGCTATTAAATGTAGATCGACTGAAATGACAGCACAATGCGATAAAGATACATCGGCATTGGGTCAGCTTCAAAAGTTTACATTTATAGGGTCGCCGACCGATCAGTTGAGAGGATTGATGACACCTTGTGCATTCAAGTCAATGTCCAACTTGGTTGATTTGAAACTAAAGTTTAATGGACTGATTGCAGTTAATTCAAGACTACGACCATCGGCAATGATACAGGCTATCCCATCACTTGCTAAAATGGAGCGTCTTCATTTGGAGAACTTTATCAGTCCGGCCGAGACAGATACAAATATAGAAGAGAGTGTGTCTTCTGCACAGGGATTCACGTATCTGCCATGGCATGCGTTGAGTAGTCTCACACACCTCTATATTGAGAGACTGCTTGGCACATATACTCGTCGCCAGGTCAACCATCTGCTTCATGATGTGCGCCATATCACGACGTTGCAGTCGCTTGCTATCAAGTCAATCGAGATGATTCACCCTCCAACACTCATCTCTACACTCGACGCACTTCCATACCTCACCTACTTTAAATACGCGACTACTCCAAGAATGGACTGTGAACAAGAATCTGGTACAATGATCATCCACTCATCCGACACTTCAATTAGTCTTGCTATCCTGCAGTACCTTGAAACCAACCAAACCATCCAACGATTCTCGTTTACCTTGGACAATGAATACGGTCCGTCAGTATACCCCATTAGGGCATTATTCAATCACTATCAAGACAATAGTACCAAGTCAGTTACACAAGAGTAACTATTACGTATCCGATGAAATAAGTCAACTAGAATGTAAAGTCAATGACCTACAAAATGGTCTAACCAATCTAATCAAAAACTCTGAATCTATGCAACGCATATCATTGTCTTCAAACATTGGTAGAATATCATCGGAAGATCTAGAAGTAGATAGACAAAAGCTTGGAACCAATTTAGAATTATTATCTCCTCAATTTTTAAATACCCTAGTTCATCTCATCGATTGCAATCTCTCCTCTGATTCAAAGGTTAATCCAAAATCAAAATTACAATTTATTAAAATTGATAAATGTTTAACTTTTAATCATAATCATCATGATGAAGATAAAGACAACAACAACAATATTAATAATAATAGTATTAAAAATAATCGTAAAAATGTAAATAGTTTTAATTTCAAGTATAACAATAATAATAATCAAAAGATCAAACTAGTACCAAAGAAAAAAGTACACAAATCCAACAACTTTTGGAAATGGGAGATGAAAAGAATAGTAAAAGAGGATGCTAATCAATTTAAAAGAATTGGTCCACATCATCAAGATGTTCAATTCATTGCCCAAGCTCAAATGTTATAAATTAAAAATCAAATAAAATAAATTTATTATTATTGCAAGAGACCAACAATTGTATTCCATTGTTATTATTTTTTAAATATCTCATTTGTGAAAGAAATATCTTTACAATGGATGATAGGTTTCTCTCTTTCTTTAAAGATTGAGTGATCTTTCTTACCTGACTCATTGTATACCAAATAATACAAAGAAGCTGTGGATGGTTCAAAAGATGACAAACAACAACAACAACAAGTCCCTTCAACCTATTCAAAACAATCAAATCAATGTACCTGATTACATTTTAAAATATATAATATCTTTATTGCAACAACCAACATCAACATGTTCTAACAACAATAATAACAATAACAAAAACAACTTGAATGATCATCTTTCTCTTACATCTCCACCTCAAACGATAGCAATTAAAAAGTTTAATCAATATGTTAATTATTTGTATTTGTCATTGGTTTGTTCATATTGGTTTAGATATATTATACCTGTATCGGTCAAGTCGTTTAGATATATCATCCCAAATACATCGGTATCGTATTTGGTGGGCAAAGTAGGCCCAAGATACCCAAAATCACCTTTAACATTATTCAATCAATCGTTGCAACTCTACACCAACAATCATAAAAATAATAATAACAACAAATATACAACCAACCAAGTTGAAAGATTAAAGGTATTTGTTGAATGTGAGGATATTAAATTACCAATGTCACTGGAACCAATATTACACCCATCTTCATCACTGGATGCTGTATCACATAGTCTGCGTCGTTTGACACTCTATAATGGTGGGATTGGTGAAAGTTTGGTATACTTGGAACGATGCAAACAATTACAAAGACTACACCTTCATCCATTTGGTAGATGGGATACACGAGAGATGAGATGTATACTCTATCTCTTGTCAAAGTTACCTTCCATCACAGAACTTGCAATCAAGTGTACTTCGATTGATCGTGTTGAAGCAACCTATGACAAACGACATATTGCATCACTTGGACACTTGAAAAAGTTTACCTATGTTGGATCACCGAGTGATATGATGGCTGGTGTCTTATCGGAAAGACATCTTGACCAATTGACAGACCTCACCGGTTTACATTGATTGATTGATTGATTGATTGATTGATTGATTGATTGATTGATTGATTGATTCTTAAATAATAAATAAAACATACATTTCCTTTGTCTTTACTTACTTCCCGATGGAAGTAGTAGTCTAGAAACCCTACAGGTTTGACACGACCAACGATCTACCAGAAGAGACAATGCATACAATTGGTAGTGTCAAACCTATAGAGTTGCAATCGTGTTTAAGATGTTCATTGGGGTTAGGGTAGGGTTAGGGGTTAGGGGTTAGGGTAGAGCAAGAACACCAGATTCTTTCTAATCTTTACGACATAAAAGAATAATTGGTAAGTATTTTATTTATTGCTTGGGGTATGACTCTCATGTTTATTTGAATTTTGAATTTTAATTTTCCGCGACAACTTTGATCCAACAGTTTTTTTTCTTCTTGAGTTTTTTTTTAGCTATACACTGTCTAATAATTTATTTACACGTAATTATCTTCTGATTTAGTTTTTTAGAATTGAAGAGATATTTATATTCTTTAATATTTAGTTTAAAACAAAAATTCATGCCATCACCTGTCAAGATCGTTTCTCGGACACCATCAACATCTACTTTTCGTTATACAGGACGAGAATGGTGGTTCCCAATGAAAGAAGGTTTCAACATATGGGTTTCTCCTCAATCTCCCTTAAAAAAAATGTTTGAATTCTCGCATTTCTCGTTCCAGGATATCGATGGCTTGATCCAACTAATCAAGAAAGTACCAAGCAGCAAACAAGTAGCTCTCATGAGTATCGGCTCACTACCATCTCAACCGAGTGCAGCTCTTTGTAGAGCATTATCTTCATTGGGTGCTGCAAAGATATCTATTGTTGGAACAAACAATCCAAATTATTGCTTGGTTGGGTACAAGGGTTTATCTCCAGGGATGGCCAGTGAAGCATTCGGTAACTCAACCATCAACGAAGTTTGGGCAGAGGGTGAAATGAGGTTTAGTGGAAAAACTTCATGGAAGATGATTATGGCTTCATTTAATTCAACAACTGGAGACCCAAACATTTATTTAGACTATTGTTTGGCAAATAGTGAAGGTGGGCTTCCAGGTCTTGCCAATGGAATTAATGTTCTAGTGTTCTATCAACTACAAAATCTATCAACTAGATACCCACCAAAAGTGTTCAACTTTCCAACTTCCAATCTCTACTCTAATTCCTCAGAATCTCTATCAAGATTCATCGATTCACTTGCCGACCATACTTTAATCATGGTGTTTGCTCAAGGACTCAATTTGGCAAAGACAAATTTGCAACAAAATGCCATCTCAAGCCTTAAGAAGATTGGGAGCAAATTCATTTCTCAATACTCTTCCAATCCCTCAAACGATTGTTGGTTTATGATCAAAAGAATAGGCTCTGATTCTATTTTCGCAGAAATGACCTTCAACCATAATTCACCATCAACATCTTCTTTTATCCAAATTGAAGAATTTGGCAATGGTGCCTATTCATATCAAGTTGCAGACGACATCAATATCTCTATTATGTCATCGAACCAAAGTAGCACACCAGTTGGAATGGAATCATTATTTTACATTTATGTTGGTGGTGTATCAATAACTCTGGAAGGTCCATTGGTCAATGGTTTTGTGATGTGTGCTATCAGTGAAATAGATGGACATATTTACTTTATCAAAAATTATAATATTGGCACTACTGATGGATCACGAGACATGGTTAATGACATTGTTGACAAAATCTCAGTTGGATCTTTAGTTGTTGTGTGTTCAGTGCTCAACTCTGCTGGACCAAACATCACAATGTCTTCGGATCTATTGACCGCTCTCGAAAGCATTGGATCAGAGTTTGCATATGATATCGTATCATCAAGCTCCTATGCTTTGATTGGAAGAAAAGGAGCTGCCGTTGGAACGGCAAACGAACTCATATCCAACACTGGACCAGTCACTCTTTTTTCAAACTTTGGAAAAATCACAAAGCCAATCAAACCATTCATCGAAATTGATAACCTATCGGTCAGTGTAAGTATCATTTGTTTTTTTTATCAGCATTCTATATTCCTATTTTACTAACCTTTTGTTTTGTAATAGGCTTTACCCGGTGGAGGATATGGATACTCTTCATTTATGATCAATAAGCAGATTGTCGATGGAACCAATATTTTTTCATCAGGACTCAACGTCTTGACAATCAACCAATTGAACGGCACTATTACAAGTGCTAAAAACTACGACACTACAACTGACTCGTTTAACTCTAACAAGTTCGTAGCCGATATCCAAGCTCTACCAACAGGGACCATAGTTGCTCTTTCGACAGTTGGACCAGCCGGGCAATACCTTGGAAATGGTGTTGATACTATTGTCAACTACCTTGGAGGTATGCTCATTAAATCATTTACATCACAGTCATATTGTATCATATCTACTGTAGGCCAACAACTTACCGGAGACAAAAGAGTCATCAGCGAGTGTATGTCTGAAAACAGTTATTTGCCAACCACATGCAATACTCGATTTCCCATTAAATCACTCTTTACCGGATCTGGATTTTCATTCTGTGTTACATCAATGGCCCAATCAAGCACTGCTTCTCGTATCATGGTAAATGGCCAATCTCAACTATCATCGCCTTCCAGTGGACTCAATGTCGTTACAGTTGACCATATAACAGGAGCCACACAAGAATATCATTTTGATACAGCCAATGATGATAAACAATGGGGACTTTTCCTGTTTTTCATTCAAGATCTCAAAATCGGTACTTTTGTACTCATATCGGTTCAACAATCGATTGGCAACCCTAGTCAAGAGTTCAAGGATATAATCAAAATATCCCTCTCGTTGATTGGTGCATCCAAGTTTGTGAAAGTGGGTCCATCAACATCATATTCAGTCATTGGTACAAAAGGGGCCACTCCTGGCTCGGCTTATGAATCATTCCATGAAAATGCCCAGGTTTGTGTGGCATCCTGGGAACCAAGAATTCAATCCTCATCCCTTTTAAAAGCACCACTTATTTATGGTCAAATCCCAGATGAACCATTAATGCTCAATGTTCCATTGCTCAGCAACTACCATCAGCTTGCAACTCCAATATCAAAACTTGCCCCGTCCAAACCCTTGGGGAACGTTTTTATGAACGAGCCAGCTTATTGGAAAACGAAACGTCCTTCCTCTGGAAACATCGTCAAGGCACTATTGATTGGTGTATCGTACAATGACAATCCAGCTGGTCCCATCAAAGGAGTAGACTTCTCTATCCAAGAACACTGCCGAGCCCTTGTCAATTGCGGATATGTAAAACAAGAAAACATACGTGTCCTGACCGAAAATACATCTCAAGTTTCACTCGATGGGACTTATGTTTGCCGTCCCACCACCATTTGCATCAAAGATCAAATCAACAACTGGCTAGTTAAGGATGTCGTAGAAGGTGATGTTATATACATAGTCTTTTCTGGTAGATCATTTGTCAACACGATCAATGGAGTTAGCACATATGGTCTGTGCACTTTGATTCAAGATCCACAAACTTACCAATATCGTACCGATTACTCCCTCACATCCAATGAACTCCAACAACTCTTTGTCAATATTCCTTGGGGCGTGACCATTACTTTTCTCCTCGATTGCTCCTATGCATTCGAAATGGTCAGACCAGGTATAATCTCTCCAGATTCCTTTGATAATTTTATGAATGGTCTATTCTCGGTTCAATCAGAAAAACAATTCAACACAACACAACTTACTTCAGGATTCCTTCCTTTGATAACCGGTATTCTCTTGGATGGTTTCAATCAAAATAGCTCACCAATGCTATATTCACAAATAATAGCCAAGGCATCAAACAATCCATTGTATCCGGCAACACCATATCTCTTCAAAGGAGAATCCCATGGATCAGACCTCGTTTTCTTGAGTCCATTCCCCCATAATGGACCTCATCCTGTGTACCGATTCAGTACCCCAGTTGGTGACCAACTCCAATATGCCTACACAACCTCACCAGCAATGGGTGCAAAGTGGAGTAAAAGAACACTGGCTTGGAAAATATTGCCCTCTTCAAGTCCAATTGCCGGGGTCCCCCTCTACCAATTCACAAAGCCACAAACTTGGAATGGTCAAAACGACGCCCCGTTGCTCTACTTTTTGTCAGTAAATCCAAATATTGGCGATGGTTGGACAAATACTGGGTCAATCGGAAAAGTATTCGCCTCCCCTCTCTCTAATGGGTTACCAATCCGACAATTCCGTTCTACATCTGCTGTTTATGCAAATATCACAATGTATGCTTTTGAAAGTACCACTCTTGTTGATCCAAACCAATCATGGATCGACAACGGGGTTGTCTTCTTCTCACCACAAGAGGTCGATGATCCACAAAGAGGAGCAATATTCTCACAGAGCGGAATGGTCTCGGTTCCTCACATCCCAGCATACAACTTTGGAACAAATGATTTCTCTATTTCTGTTTCCTTCAAAACAACAGCCTCTGGTTCTATTGTATGTTGCAAGGGAATAAATGGTGGAGTTGGAAGTGGAGGATGGACAATCGATCTCAAACAAGGCAGAATTGATTTTATCGTTCACGATGGAACTGTTGGTACATTCCTACAAACCCAAGCCCCTGGCGTGACCAATGGTCAATGGCACACACTAGCATGTGTTAGAAAATCTGGAGTTTTATTTATCTATTTGGATCAAAAACTGTTGTCGCAAATGAACACAACCACCCCTCTCAACGTTACCAACACAACAACTATGACATTTGGACAAAACCCACCAACCCCAAATCAGTTCAGTGGCGTGATGTCTAACATGGCAATTTGGAATGCTGCCATTGATCCTACACAACTCCAAAACTTGAATCAGAAAGATGTAAAATCCATTCCCAATTTGGTTGGATATTGGAACTTCCTTCAAGATAGTTTTGATACATCTTCAATGTCAAACAACGGGACCATCAATGCTTATGTTAACTTCACACCCCCAGTGGCCACCAATTGTATTCAAATTTTCCAAAATGGCCAAGTTTCAATTCCCTCGATCGCCGCTTACAATGTAGGGACAAATGACTTCTCTGTGACTTTTTTAATACAAGCCTCTTCAATAGGACCTCTGGTCAGCCGCAAACCCATGGCAGGAGGTGCTGGTAATGGAGGTTTTAGAATTACCCTTGGAGCAGGTGGAATTATCTCATTTGTTACCGATACTGGGTCCAACGAAAAAGTTCTTCAGTCAATCCAATCACCAGCTCTCAATGGAATTAATATGTCTGTCGCGTGTGTTCGCCAGAGCAATCAGATGATGATCTACTTTGACACAACACTTGTTGCCAGTGTTTCTGGTTCTGCTATGAATATTAACAACTCTGCCCCCCTGCAGTTTGGACAATGTTTGCAACTTGGGCCAAGTGCTCAATATCTTGGAAAGATATCGCGTGTTACTTTTTGGAATAAAGCGATTGATGTTGTTCTGATGGACAAGGCATACAAAGGAACCCTTTCGAATGAATTAGGATTAATTGGAAACTGGCTGCTGCAATCTGATGGATTGGATTCATCGCCGACAAAAAATAATAGTATGACAACATTGATCAACACTTCGTTTGCCAGTTCTAATTTAACGCTCCCAAGCGACACACCAACCCCAGCCAAGGAAGAACCAAACTCGGACTTGGAAGCCATGTTATCACGTCATAAAAAAGAGATCGAAGAGTATCTCGCATCAAAAAAATAAGGAATAATAATAATAATAATAATAATAATAATAATAATAATAATAATAAAATCAATAATTTTTATCAATTTAAAATATGATTGCTTATATCGAAGTAGGTAAAGAAGGCGATTTAATCGTATTATATTATATTAATATTCTCCATTGATATTCCTATTATTAATATTAATACTATTATTCTTAATTTAATTATTAAAGTTTTTTTTTAGGCCAACGAACATTGTTTCCGTGGAGCCTCCATACTCTTTGACAAATTTTGTTGAGTAGTAGCGCATCCTTGGTGTATCTGTTTTCTGATGCAAACATATCCATCTTGTAATATAAATGCTTGTGCAGGTTTTCTCTGAACCATATTGTGACACCAACTTGTTTCATTGTCCAATTAAAGTGGGAATCTGCAAGTGTTGCTTTTGTGCTACGATTGTTATTATTGTTTAACAATTTTTCGGATTGGCTGAATTCTATTACATATTACCTATTATTATGATTATTGCTATTTTTATCATTATTATATTTTGTTAATGATTATTATTATTTTTTTTAATTTTATGATGAACCTTTGTAATTATAAGATGATTATTTCTGTCCTGAAAGACCACAGTACGAGCTATACACGTTAAACATATAATTGATACGCCCGTTGGTATGTTTCTTGGTGTGTGTTGTCTCTACTGATTTGTACAAGGAAAGACTGTTGGTTCCTCCGTTAAGATATCTTATTTTGTTTGTAATGATTAATGGACGAGTATTCTTATATCTGTAATATCTTTCGACTTCCATTCTTGTGTCCTTCGTTTTGGTATCAATGTCTTAATCTCTGATTGCAAGAATGGCTTTATCTTACATCATCAATATACTAATAAATATAGATAGAGATCAGTATACTAATAAAGGTTAAATGATTAATTATACCTATCTCTCTACGTACATACGTATAATATTTAACTTGTTATGATTTACCAATTACAATTTCTTTAATATCAACAAGATTAGGATGTTTAAGCTTGTTACTTTAATCTCTCCAAACTGATGTAATTGGGAAACCTTGTGATTCTCTTTCAATAATCTATATCTTTTTCAATGCTACTCTTTCACCTGTTTCTTTACAATCTGCAGCATCTACATTCACAATCAATCAATATTATAATCAAAACAATGTCAGTCATTCATCATTCATCACTTACTTGATATCTATATCTATTATTATTTTCCTCTCTAATTAATTACATACAATACCAAAGGTACCTTCATTGATAGTCTTTATTTTCTTGTAGCCATGGTTGATATTCGGGAACTCTTTTGTTCATTTTGGTTCTGTTCATTCATATTTATATAGATAATTATCTGAGATGAATAAAGAAGTAGATAATCAGAATCAAAATAAACAAAAGATAAAGAGAAAAAAGAGGGTTGGAACTTCGTACCACCCAAAAATTTAATTAAATTTAATAAACATATATCCTTGCAAAAAATATCTTTGATATCATGCTTGTTCCTTTTATAGAAACCTTCATGAGCAAAGAGTTATACATTTAAATATTTTTCTCTAAATCTATTTGGTCATTACGTTCCAATGATAGTCCTGGGGTCATCATTTCAGGTATTTAAGAGTCGACCCTTGAGATTGAAACTATTGCCACAGTTCTTTTAGACATTCATATCTTTACAGTCAAAATGAAATTAATTATTTTAGCAACTCTCTTCTTAATATTATGCCTTGGTATCATTGTATGTATACGTTCTTATAAGATTATATTCATTAGTAATATCTCTAATCATTTAATATTCCGGATTCCTTCTTTTTTAGAATGGTCAATCATCACCAATGATGGTTTTCAATCAACAGCCAGACCAAAGCATTGAATACCTTGAAATTGATATTTATTCAGGTCAAGTTCTCAAGAACCAATCAATTGCCAACAATGATGGTGTTAAAATCCTCAAGTACATGCAAGCAGCAGATCCATTTGTTTCATTCTTTACCACCAATGGTACAAATTTTCAAATTTATACTTTTAATGTTAATGTATGTTTGATTTTTATTCATTCTAGAAAGAAGAAATTGTGATTATTAATCATATCATTTAATATTATTAATTTATATTTATAGACAAATGAATTTATCAACACCTTTAATTCAACAACCAACTTTTTAAATGAACCAACATTCTCTGATCAACCATTTGGATATTTCTGGAAACAAACCAGCACTGCTTATTTCCCAGGTTTGGCTGGAACTGGATTTGAAACCGTTGCTTTGTTTCCATACAGCTTTGACACTGATTATCCATTCAATTATGTATAGTTTTTTACTTTGAACCAAATGATTATTATCCTAATTTATATTAACCATTCTCTATTATCCATTCTATTTCTGTTAGGACACCAATTGCATTAGGACCAACACAATTAAATCGTACTGCACAATTCAACTCTGTTCCAACCTCTGCATTTGATGGTATTGATTACTTTTATGTCCACTTTTCGATTGGTGATATCACTGGAATTAGTGAGTTTTCTCTTTTGGGAAGTACCTCAAAGCAAGTGATCCTTTCTACTCCAGGTCGCCAAATCCAAGGTACCCAACAACTCTTTATGTTGTACGGTCAACTCTACCTTTGTGTCTTGGAGAATGGTGTGGGTGTTACAGTGTCTATCTTGAACCTAGACAATGGTGAGGTTGATATCATCTACAAGGATCTCAACCCAGAATATCAAAATACTTTCCAACCATTTGTACTCAACAAGATTAATGGTTCCATCTCTATCCTTGTTAAAACCAGTGACAACAAGATCCTCTCCACCTTTATCTTCTTTAACCAATCCACCAAGCAATTCACTATCGATAATGTTATTCCTGAAAAATCCAATATTATTATCCCAGGTTTCTAGAGTCATCTATCCATTCTGTTGATCATAAATAAATAAATAGCCAAACTAACTTTTAAAATGATGATCATTCATCAAAAATTAAAGTTCATACCAATATAAATAATGATACCTTTTTAAAATTAAATATTTGATCAAAATTGACTTAGTCGTAATTCCAAAATGAAGTGCCAATGGAAAAAATGATTAAAAAAAAAAAAAAAAAATCGAACCCAAAAGATGGTCATCTCACGCTAATAACCTTACTTCATAATTAAAATCTTTGTTTTAGGTAGATATTTATCGGAATCGTATTAATAATCAATTATTATCATGACGACGACGATTTGTAAGCCTGTTATAAAGATGACAGCTTGTTACTGTTGGTCATAACTATCATTCATAACATTGCAGCAATGTTGTACAACAACCACAACCACAACTACAACTACAACAACAAGTCACTCTTTTTTCTATTTTCGATCATAGTCGTGATCATCAGTAATAGAGACAATGCACTACTAGTATCAGGTCAAGTAAACTATACTTATACAGCATCACCGAGGGTAACATCAACAGGTTCGACAGCACTCTTTATCAATATGCGTGTATTCAGTCCTGCTGACTGTCCAATGAACCAATACCCAACGGGCTACCCTGAAAAGGTTGTGTCGTTCTTACCAGGTCAATGTTACAACTATCCCAACCATACAAGCGTTGCAATGTACATTGTAAACACTATCTTGTTCAGTTACAACGAGTATGCTAGTTGGAACTGTCTCAACCCCCTCGTCACTACCTTTCAATTCTCATACAACCCAGGTTTGTACTGTACCACCAACCCCAACCAACTTATCCCCAAGAACTATGTATTCAGCATAGGTCCCCCTCAACTACCCATCACCAATTCACCTCCCTTCCTCTACTATGAAACTATCCCTTCTACCTTTTCAAATGGTGATCCGTATGTACACATACACATTTATAATATATAGTATCATGATCATCCTTCCTTACTTTTACTTTTACTTTTAATTTATTTAGAACATGTGACTCTATTAACAATGATAATGGATCGTTTGGAGTATCGAAAAAGGTGGTATTACCAAACACATGTACATTTGGTGATACGGAATACACCAACCTGTTGTCGGGTGATGGTACGTTGTCTTCGATTCAATTGACATATAATGAGTAGTAGTGGGAACCCTACTACTTGGACACTTGCATGTCCTGTCCATACACCAGAGCCAGTCAAGATTTTAAGTGCGTTCAAAATGAATGCGACAGTCATCGTACCAGTCCCTATTACTCAACCCAGTGTCATTGTACTCGGGTACGATGCCATCCGAATCCAGTTTATCAACTTTTTATTCCCATATCAACAACTATCAAACCAATATGTAGCAGTTGTCATGGAAGACATCAACGGCATATCCTACAACACAAACTATGTGTACAAGCTCGGGCAAAATGTCACTATCACAGGACTCAGTGCCAACTTTACCGGACGTTGTCAAATCAGTGCTCATGGAACTGACCTTGTCAACGGGTTACTAGGCCCTCAAATAACAACCCCCCATTTTAATATTCCTGCTTGTATGTAATAATAATTATAATAATAATTAATTAATTTATTTATTTGCTAATTTTTTTTTTTCTATAGATCCAAAGATTGCAGCGATAAAGAGAAGTGTAACAACTACAATGATGAATTTATCGTATACGACAATTGGAGGATTCGATAATTTGAATGTTTATCAAATTGTTACATCGATTACACCGTCTGAGACAATCACACATTATCAATGCAACTATACGACAACATGTATTATTGATGGGTTTGCACCTGGTTCGATTGTCAGTCTCACGGTTGGGGTGACTAATTTCGGTAAGACCAATTTATTTGGTCCGTATCCCGTTGAACTGTTGCTGCCCATTACCAATCTAGTAATGTCCCGTCAAGCAGTGTCTGGAGGCATTTCATATCAATTCTCGGTTGTTGGAATGGGGTCTGGACCAACCACCTATTCACTCAACATACACAACGACCAACTACTCAACACAACCACATACACCGCCTTGCCACTCACTAATATCATAACTGTTAAACTATACCAACCTGGTAACTACACAATTATCGGGTTTGCCAATAACGATGGAACTAGATTAGAAGTAGGTCCAATCAATATTTATTATCAAGGAGGTAAATATAAATAACAACTAAACAATTTAATTTAATTCATTATTTAATTAATTCTTTTTTTATTTTAGATATAAAGATTGATAAAGTAAATTTTGATAAAGTTGGTATTGACGTTTTTAGTGGGTCAATTTATGCAAGCAATATTAATAATGTATCAAATAGTAGAGTCGTGTTACAACCTCTTAACGAATGGATATCTCTCAACTTTTCGATTGGACCTTTGCAACCAGCCACTCGATATAATTTGACGGTACAGATTTTCGAAGACTTTCGTGTCTCTAACATCTTGCCATTCAGTTTTGTCACATATCCACGAGTCTCTTTGTTGTCACCAAAAGCAACTCAACGTAAAGATGAGTATGGTACCGCCACTTTACAAATCGAAGCCTTTTCAGAGGGTGGTATTCCAAACTCGTCATTATACCTTTTCACCATCACAGAATTCCCTTTTACATCGACCGTGCCACCACAAGCCAACACGGTCCTCGGATATAATATTACTTATCCAAGTGGTCCATACCAGGTTCAAGTCATGGTTCAAAATGACGTTTCAGTTGACAATCGAGTATATTCTTTTACTCTTTATAATTGTATTGTATCCTTCAATCATTTTTTAAAATAATATTTTATTAATTCATTTTCTATTTAATAATTAATTAATTAGTTCCATCAATTGATTTGGTAAATGTTAGTAGGGATTATGAAACCATTGGATTGAAATGGAATAGTAGTGGTGGAATGCCTGGTAACATACAATATTCAGTAACATTATTTTATCCTTATCAAGGAGGAGGAATAAGTGGTGGTGTAGAATGGTGTAGTGGTCCTAATATTACAGAGTGTCTTGTGACTGGTTTGACATCAAATACTCTTTACGGGTTCAATATTACAATGTATTCTACTCAATTTGATCCATTCACTTTGACATTATTTAATTCAACTTTAACATGTTTGTATTATTTACAAAAATATAATTAATCACATGACATTTATTGACTCTTTTTTTTTATTTGTTTTATTTTTAGATCCAAATAATTTAACTTGTATTGATAAGAATGGAGTTAATAATACAGTTGATTGTAATGGATTTGGTCAGTGTATAAATGGTACATGTTTATGTGATAAAAATAGAATTGGTATTTATTGTCAAAATCAAACGACCGATCAAGGTGGGAATGGTGGTAATGGAACTAATGTCGATCCAAACCCATCAAACCCAGAGGTGATAATCAACAACAAAAACATATTTTATGAATTTGTAATCTCTCAAATCAAAGAGGTTGATATTGACGACAACATTGTAAAGATATTGGATTTGACAACACTCAACTGGACAATGACAAATTCAACATCAATCTACAACACTTCATTTATTCAAAGTAATTGGATTTACATGACCTCGAATAATAGTTATTTCAATTCAGTCAATATCACCTTTTTACAATTTAAATCAACAACAGACAGCCAATCACAATCAAAGATACCATTGACATTTGCAGGTCAATTATTTTATCTTGATGTTGGGTCGATGAAATATACGATTGATATTGAAGGTTGGAATTTTGATGGTAGATTAAATACTCTTGAATTAATAACCAATATTACACAACCACAACTAAATGATGGATGTGGAGAATTGGATATTGATTTTAATAATAACATTGTCACCAATTCAACAGAATTTACATCAGTCTATGTTGGAGACGATCAGTTTGTCGTTGGTAAATTAATCAATCGTGCATTATTGGATGATATACCCAGAAAGATATCATATAAAGTACAACTATCAACTGATAATAATAATAATAATAATGATAAACCAAAACAAATACTCAGTATCATTACACTCATTCCCAACTTTAACAACAAAGCAACTCTCGACCCACAATTTGACCTTTTAATCAATTCAGACCCAGAGGGCGACTGCTCGTCCAAATCGAACACGTGGAAGATTATTGTAGGCGTTGTTATTGGTGGTGTGGTTGCAATTGCAATTGCATCAACTTCTATCATATTATACAAAAAGAAATCAGCTGCAAAGGTTTATAACGCTAAATTAAAAAGAATATCAGATCAACAATTATAGTAATAATAATAATTGTTTATCTGTGCGGGTGGCTCAGGTGAGTCGCGCAAAGATATTTTTCAAAAATAAAAATCATAGATATTTGTATGCGATCTGTATATATGTGCCCAACAATGCCTTCTATTAGTTCAGTTCGGTTCGGTTCATATCCAATTTTGATCCATTAAATTCAAGTTCACTCTTGAACCAAATCATATGTTGTGGTGAGAAATGAATATAAAGAGTCTTTTCAATTTGTTCAATCTTTGAGATTTCATATGATTGTACTATGCAGTTGTTGGATAAAAAGAAAATAAATAATAAAATAATTAAATTGATTTGGAAATATAATTTGTTCATTTTGAACTATGAAATAAATAAAAAATAAAACAAAAAGAATAGAAGTAAAATTAATATGAGACAAAGATAATTGATGACTTTCTATTACTTACAAATGGTCGCCTGGAAAATATTTATGCCTAAAAGATTAAAAAATATACAAATATTATTTGTTTGTTTGGTTTGCCTCTAAAAATAATGAAGAGAAGGGTTAACCTTCTTAAATAATCATCCCCCTAGCCTCCAACCTTTAAAACAAATAAATAGAGAATAAATATCCTTACAAATTGTAATCGACAAAAAGAGGAGGATGATGGTTAGTTTGTTGCAATTATGCCTCGGTGGCAATTTGGTTTGGTTTGGTTAATGGGTTGTATTTTAAGGGGCAACAACAATTAAATGTGGAGAGGGTTAAAGTCATATGACTCGGCATCCCTTTAGGCCTACACCGACTCTTAGGGACTGTTAGCAGACTGGAATGAGCCCTTAAATTTTCGTGTCGCGAGTATACTGCAGCAGCGATCATTCATTTAAAACGAGCGACCCGAACGAGCGAATTGACGATCATCATCAACTCGAGCAAAGATTCCTTTTTCTATTGACTTGCGGTTAACCATTAAAGAATCTATTCTTTTGTATAGATCTATATTTGTATTTGTATTTGTATTTCTGTAACAGATAAAATTCAAACTTAATATTGATGCTGACCTGAAATTGGTTCATCGAATTTATTCAAGAGCAACACTACACTCATCCCACAACACCGTGATTACCATGTAGCTGGATTCTACCAAGCCCAATTATTCCAATTTATACCCAACAAGTTGTTATTGACTCGTTTACGTATCGATGACTTTCTCTATCCATTTCAACATATTCTTCAAGGTAGTGATGATAGAATAGTTGCTGTCGACTCATCAAATAACAACAACAGTGATGAGGTACAATCTACACTTCCACAATTTCCAAACTTAACTTCACTCTATATCAACAATCTACATCCGACTATTGATCATAAAGAACCACGTCTACATGTCAGTCAGATGTTTGAACAGATTCAAACGACGTTGAAACAACTCACCTTTCTAGCCATCAGATCGATTAAATTTATCGATCCACAGGATCTAGTCACTGCCATTGATTCACTACCCGTCCTCTCCCACTTTAAATTCTCCATCACTCCACTTCTAGACAGTACACCCAGTTCAATGAGTACATTCAACGATCGTATCCTCGCGTCACACTCTGTCTCCATCCCATTACTCGAGTATCTAGAGTCCAACCACACCATCAAACGGTTCTCATATAGTCTCGAGCAAGACATTGAACCATCCAGAATCACCGATGACAATGAAAGAACAACACCACTCATTGATTATCCCCAAGACCAACTAAATCAACTTGACCAAAAAATCATTCAAATTCAATGTAGTATTAAAAGTTTAGTTAAAAATAATGAATCTATTCAATATTTAAGTCTATCCTCCTCATCCTCATCCTCTTCATCATCTCTACCAACAATAATACTAATAATAATAATAATACTAATAATAATGTACAATTTAATTTAACAAATCAAGAATTTATTGAATCACTAGTTAATTCAAACAATATTGGATTGAAATCAAAATTATCAATTTTAAAGATTGATAAATGTTTATCAACCTTTAAAGATTTCAACAACAACAACAACATTAATAATATTAATAATAATAGTGTACAAATAGTATCAAAGAAAAAAGTACACAAATTCAATGATGCATTTAAATTGGAAATGAATACAAGGATAAAAGAAAGTATTAATGAATTAAGAGATAGACAAATAACCTATTATAGAAAAGCAATTAAAGCTTATTAAATTATCAATAATAATATCCAATCCAACCAAACCACAATTTATAATTATAAATATATGTATATATATTTATCTTTATTTTATGTTTATTTATCTATTTAAATAGTTTGTATTTTTTTTTTTAGGCAAGTGTATAATAATACTCTTGATTTAAATCAGGTACACCTCCTCCTTCTTCATTTAATAATGGTTCTTTATCTTTTGGTTGATTAGAGGAGGAAGTTGATGAAAAGGTTGGTCTTGGGGATCCACCAAAGAAAAAGCTTGGATCATGTGATGGCATGACAAAGAAACCAACATGCAATGAATTTATAAATTCAAATCCAAAAGAGACCAATTTAAACATCTTCCAAAAGTTACCTCCACCCCAAGTAAAGCTGTTTCTACTACACTCGACCAACGTAATAATACTTAGTGGGAAACTAATATAAACGAAATCAAGGAATGGAGGTACTTGTAAAAGATCATTTGAATTCTTTTCTTCTCTAATTATATTTGAATCAAATGATGATGATAATTGTTTGTTTTTAATTCCTTGTCTAATTACTCTAATATAATAAATCAATTTAAATATTATTGATGTTGGCTAAAAAAAAAAAAAAAGGATAGTTAATAAGCATTATATTATTCTATCTTATTTTTTGAATATTGTGATTGATTTACCTTAAAAACAGTACTACTAACCAAAAAGTAAATAAATTTAGATGTAATTTTCTTTTGGAAAACCATTCTAAATAGAATTGAAGCCAACAATGATCCTACTATTGATATTATTAAACGAAATGATATAAATGATGCACCCATTGGTACATTATAACGAAGGTAGTGGATAAATGAAATGAGAGATTCTACGATCAACATTATATCCGATAATCCATTGGCCAAACCACCCATAGTAATAATGGTGAAAAGAAATCTCCATATCTTTGGAAACTTTCTTTCAATGGCATCGTAAATATATGCTATCCAACATGTTGGTATCATCACCAAATCAGGTATTATAAATGGTATATAAATAATTAAATAAACACAATCTGTAGTACTAGCCATAATAATAAGAATAATAATAATTATTTGTTAAAACATTAATAGTAAATCAATTGATGATCATCATTAAAATTGATGGTGTCCCAAAGGTTAGGATAGTGCTAACTCTAGAGAGAGAGTAAGCTACCATCAAAAATAAACATATTTTTTATTACAATAAAATAGACAAAAAGAGAATGAATGAATGAATGTCATTGGTACTCACCAACCTTGTTATTATTCAATTTTATTTAAATAATTTTAATTTTATTTACGACTGGATGTTGTCTGTAAAAAGCAGGTACCATGATTCTCATTCTTGATCGACTTGTGCTTCTCTCCAAAGATTTCTAATTTTCAAAGTTCCTGTGAGAGACAACTGTTTTTAAGTCACTGCGATACTTTATTATTAATATCTATGATGATTCATACATAGCAAAGATGGACACAACGAACATTTAAAACTGTTTGTACAATCATAAACAGATATAGATAGATAAAGAAAGAAAGAAATAATGTGGTTGTTTAACTCTTTTAAAAATACACAACCAACAACAACAATTAATAAGAATATAATTAATAATAATCAACTTGGTTTACCAGATTATATTGTAAAGAAGATACTAAGGTGTTTACAACATTCTATTGCACCATGTTTACATGACTCATTAGAGGATAATGGTGGAGATATTGACTTGAGTCGTAATGCATACACTCTTTATGATGGTAGAATGAATGTACACTCTATATTACATTTGTCGTTGGTGTGTAGTTATTGGTTTAGAATCATCATACCATCGTCGATGGATAGATACACCTATGTCCTTCCATCAATAGCCGTTCAAGAACAAGACCACATCAAACTATTTGGAAAGAATGTAATTGCCAGATACAAAAGATCACCTCTACAACAATTTAATCAATCGCTACAACAGTATCTAAGAAATAATAATATTGTCATTGATAGTGGTAACAACAGTGGAAACAAGGTAGAATCATTAAAGATATACATTTCACTTGAATACCGTCAGAGTATGGATACACCACCACTTAGTGTCAACTCTATCATGAATTATGATGCATCGGTGGCTGCGTTGTCTGTGAATCTACGTCGGTTGACATTGTATAATATCGAGTTTAACGATACGCTGTTAAACTTGTCAAAGTGCACGAGGTTGGAGAGACTGGTGATCTATCCAGTCGGAGTGTGGCGTGCAAACTATAGTGACATCTTGCTTGCACTATTAAAGCAGACACCAACACTGACAGACTTGGCTATTAAATGTAGATCGACCGAAATGACAGCACAATGCGATAAAGATACATCGGCATTGGGTCAGCTTCAAAAGTTTACATTTATAGGGTCGCCGACCGATCAGTTGAGAGGATTGATGACACCTTGTGCATTCAAGTCAATGTCCAACTTGGTTGATTTGAAACTAAAGTTTAATGGACTGATTGCATTTAATTCAAGACTACGACCATCGGCAATGATACAGGCTATCCCATCACTTGCTAAAATGGAGCGTCTTCATTTGGAGAACTTTATCAGTCCGGCCGAGACAGATACAAATATAGAAGAGAGTGTGTCTTCTGCACAGGGATTCACGTATCTGCCATGGCATGCGTTGAGTAGTCTCACACACCTCTATATTGAGAGACTGCTTGGCACATATACTCGTCGCCAGGTCAACCATCTGCTACATGATGTGCGCCATATCACGACGTTGCAGTCGCTTGCCATCAAGTCAATCGAGATGATTCACCCTCCAACACTCATCTCTACACTCGATGCACTTCCATACCTCACCTACTTTAAATACGCGACTACTCCAAGAATGGACTGTGAACAAGAATCTGGTACAATGATCGTCCACTCATCCGACACTTCAATTAGTCTTGCTATCCTGCAGTACCTTGAAACCAACCAAACCATCCAACGATTCTCGTTTACATTGGACAATGAATACGGTCCGTCAGTATACCCCTTTAGGGCATTATTCAATCACTATCAAGACAATAGTACCAGTCAGTTACACAAGAGTAACTATTACATTTCCGATGAATTTACTCAACTAGAATGTAAAGTCAAAGACCTACAAAATGGTCTAACCAATCTAATCAAAAACTCTGAATCTATGCAACGCATATCATTGTCTTCAAACATTGGTAGAATATCATCGGAAGATCTAGAAGTAGATAGACAAAAGCTTGGAACCAATTTAGAATTATTATCTCCTCAATTTTTGAATACCCTAGTTCGTCTCATCGATTGCAATCTCTCCTCTGATTCAAAGGTTAATCCAAGATCAAAATTACAATTTATTAAAATTGATAAATGTTTAACTTTTAATCATAATCATGATGATGATGAAGATAAAGACAACAACAACAATATTAATAATAATAATAATATTAAAAATAATCGTAAAAATGTAAATAGTTTTAATTTCAAGTATAACAATAATAATAATCAAAAGATCAAACTAGTACCAAAGAAAAAAGTACACAAATCCAACAACTTTTGGAAATGGGAGATGAAAAGAATAGTAAAAGAGGATGCTAATCAATTTAAAAGAATTGGTCCACATCATCAAGATGTTCAATTCATTGCCCAAGCTCAAATGTTATAAATTAAAAATCAAATAAAATTATTAATAGTGTGAAAGTAATATCTTTACAATGGATGATAGGCTTCTCTCTTTCTTTAAAGATTGAGTAATCTCTTAGTTAATTCATTGTATATATCAAATAATACAAATGAAGAAGAAGCTGTGGGTCAAAAGATGACAAACAACAACAACATCAACAAGTCCATTCAACCTATTCAAAACAATCAAGTCAATGTACCTGATTACATTTTAAAATATATAATATCTTTATTACAACAACCATCAACAACATGTTCTAACAACAACAACAACAACAACTCGAGTGAACATCTTGTGTCTCTTACTCCTCCTCCTCTTAAAAAGTTTAATCAATATGTTAATTATTTGTATTTGTCATTGGTTTGTTCATATTGGTTTAGATATATTATACCTGTATCGGTCAAGTCGTTTAGATATATCATCCCAAATACATCGGTATCGTATTTGGTGGGCAAAGTAGGCCTGAGATACCCAAAATCACCTTTAACATTATTCAATCAATCGTTGCAACTCTACACAAACAATCATAAAAATAATAATAATAATAACAAATATACAAGCAATCAAATTGAAAGATTAAAGGTATTTGTTGAATGTGAGGATATTAAATTACCAATGTCACTGGAACCAATATTACACCCATCCTCATCACTGGATGCTGTATCACATAGTCTGCGTCGTTTGACACTCTATAATGGTAGGATTGGTGAAAGTTTGGTATACTTGGAACGATGCAACAATTACAAAGACTAACCTTCATCCATTTGGTAGATGGGATACACGAGAGATGAGATGTATACTCTATCTCTGTCAAAGTTACCTTTCATCACAGACCTTGCAATCAAGTGTACTTCGATTGATCGTGTTGAAGCAACCTATGACAAACGACATATTGCATCACTTGGACACTTGAAAAAGTTTACCTATGTTGGATCACCGAGTGATATGATGGCCGGTGTCTTATCGGAAAGACATCTTGACCAATTGACAGACCTCACCATCAAGATTAATAGAGGTGTCTACCCAGTCTCTAATCAATGGTCATTGGTTCTAGCCAACAAAGAACAATTAAAGACACTCCGTCTATGTCATTGGGTTGTACTTGATCAAGAGAGAGATGCACTCAAATTAACTAAATCGTCACTATCTACACTCACCTCACTCCATATCAACAGTCTCTTTCCGGGATACACCCAATCAAGTGTCAATCACCTTTTATCAAATATTCAAATGTTAAAGTCTCTATCTTTTCTTGCTATTAAATCAATTAGATATATAGACTCTGACAACCTCATCACCACCATTGATTCATTGTCACCACAACTATCACATTTTAAATTTGAAACTACACCATTATTCGATCAAGAAGGAGATCAAAGAATAGGTACGATAAATGACAACTCGTTAAGATCAGTATCTATCCAACTATTTAAATATCTAGAATCCAATAATAATAATAATAATCATAAAATCAAAAGATTCACATTTACATTGGAAAAGGATGTGATAGAAGAAATACGCCCATCTCAACTACAACTAGAACAACAAAATCAAAAATATGAAATTACATTTCAAGCGATCTGTCAATCTATATCATTATTGATTATAAACTCACAATCGATAAGAGAATTGACAATCAATTCAAAATATCCAAATGCTAATTTTAAAGATAGTCAATCAATTAGAGACCTATTATCATCATCATCACCATCGTTTGTCAATGATCCACCCAAACAACAATTATCTATTATTAAATTTGATAAATCAATTATGGTATCGCTACATCAAACTACTGGTTTGAATATGCAAGTATCTGTAGTTCCAATTAACAAAATACCATCAGATGATGATTGGAAATTAAAAATACAAGGATCAATCAAGGTCTATGCTCCCTATTCAAAATAGTATGTTTAGTTTCAAATCCAACTGTTGGACCATTTTAAATAAAAGAAATAAAAAGAAGAAAGAAATAGAAAATTAATTGTTCTATGGTTTAATTTACATTGATTGATTGATTGATTGATTGATTGATTGATTGATTGATTGATTGATTGATTGATTGATTGATTCTTAAATAATAAATAAAACATACATTTCCTTTGTCTTTACTTACTGCCCGATGGAAGTAGTAGTCTAGAAACCCTACAGGTTTGACACGACCAACGATCTACCAAAAGAGACAATGTATACAATTGATAGTGTCAAACCTATAGAGTTGCAATCGTGTTTAAGATGTTCATTGGTGTTAGGGTTAGGGGTTAGGGTAGAGCAAGAACACCAGATTCTTGCTCTCATCGTAGCTGTCAATTACATTTAACAAAAAATTTAAAGGTGGTCTAATCTTTACTACATGAAGAATAATTGGTAAGTATTTTATTTATGAACCACCCACAACTCTTCTTTTCTTTTTTGCTTTTTGCTTTTGTTATATTGTAGTGGTATTTACACTTTAGTAACATTTTCATGGTTTTGAGGCTCCAATACGTTCTTCAACTTTATATCAATAAAGTTATTTATTACATGTGAATACTGTACTATATATATATTATTGGGATGATTAATGAAGATCAGACTCTGAAGGTTCGAGGGAGGATCGCATGAAATTCAAACTTTAATAATTTTTATAGATAATAATTACCCAATTTCGCAAAGCTTTATTATTATTATACTAGTAGTGGGAGTTAATACTTATATAATTTATCATTATAATGATGTTATTTAATCAACTTTTAAACAAAAAAGATACAAATCATCATAGTCATCATATTCAAAACAATCAAACATGTCTACCAAATTTGATATTAAAGAATATCCTAGAACTACTTCAATACTCGTCATCATGTAACTTGACAACACCAACAACAACAACAACAACATCATCTAGATCAGCATCTGATGAGATAAAGGATAACCGATCGTATATACATATATTCAATGAAAGATCAAACTATCTAATGATAGGGATGGTGTGTTCTTATTGGTTTAAACAAATCATTCCAACATCTATCAGATCGATTAGATATCGTGTACCTATTTGCACCGATCAAGATACATCAGCTATGACATTATTTGGAAAAAAGTTTATCACTAAATACAAAAGATCACCTTTACAACTATACCTTCAATCATTACAATCACATTTTAATATTACAACTAATCAAAATAATGATAATCAAAATAATAATGATCATCAAAATAACTGTAATAATAATATATTTAATAATCTTGAATCTGTAAAGATATATATTCCAACACATCGTAATACAAATATTAAAGTTGAACAATATTTAAATAGTTTGGATGCTATTATGGATATAAAGTCATCGTTGGGGTCAATGATGAATATCGGTCGTCTCACTCTATACAATGTAGATTTAAATGAGATGATTTGGAATCTATCACATTGTCATCGTCTAGAAAGATTGGTCATCTATCCAATGGGTACTAGATGGACTGCACAACATAATCATATCCTCATGACTCTACTCTTGAAAACACCATCCATCCAAGATTTGGCCATTAAATCGTTAAACATTGAATTTGGTACTCCATTGGTTGGTGATTGTTCTGGGTTGATGAACATTGTAAAGTTTACATATGTTGGAAGGACACATCTCTCAGAGTCTGGTCTCGTATCGAAAAAGACATTTTCACAACTTGGTAACTTGGAGCATCTCAAAATCAAGTTAAACACATCACCTCAAAATGGGTATCCGTCGTGGTTGGAAGTACTACCATCAAAGTCGAAATTAAAGAGTCTTTACTTGAGTCATTTCCTCAACCCCGAAACCACAAGTCTAGAGGGATTCACAAATCTTACCAGGTTATACATTGACAGAGACGGATCGCCAGGAGGAGGAGGAGAATCATTAGCATCAACACCGCAACGGGTGTTTGATCAAATTGCAAGTTTGAAGAAACTGACATACCTTGCCATCAAGTCGATTTTTTTTAAAGTCGATTATCAAACTCTGATAAGTGTCATCGATTCATTGCCACTGTTGAATCACCTAAAGTTCTCCGTGTTGGTGCCAAATTCGATTTTTTTTAGTCCAAACAACCCGGAACTCCTCATGAAATACCTCGAAACCAACCATACCATCAAACGATTCTCGTACTCTTTGGAAGCTGAAGATTCAGTCAGCAGACAGCATCCCTCCATGGTAGAGTACCACGACAACGTCGACAATGGAATAGAACACTTACTTGACTATACCAAAAGCAATGCGAAGCTAATCGAAAGGGCAATTGCTAAATCGCAACAGTGCTTGCTTTCTTTGATTCAAAATTCTGAAACATTGGAAACTATATCATTTTCATCATTGGTTGATTCATTGGAAAAGAAGAATAATACTATTAATGATAGAATTGTAACAAAAGAATTCATGTCCAAGGTTTTGAATGCAAAAAAGAATCCAAAGTCTTGTTTATCATTAATTAAAGTCGATAGTTGCCTCTCTATCATTGACAATGATGATCATAACAAAAACAATCAAGTCATTTCTATTTGTCCAAAGAAGAGAATTCACCATCTCAACGACCAATATAGATGGGAGATGGAAAAGACATTAAAACAAAATATTAATCATTTTAAAAAACACATGGAACTGGAACTTATAGAACAGATGTTACAAGAAATCTCTCTATCTGCAGTAGAAATGGTTTAGACTAAACTAAACATTAAAGATAGATAATTTCTTTCTTTTTTTGTGTTGTTGTTGTTAATGTACATTATATTTTATTGCCCCAAAAAAAAGGCAAGCCTCTTTTTTTTTACATATTTTAAAATTACAAACTTATAAAGTTTAAGCTGCTACAGTACAATTAAATGATCTAATAAAATTCAAGTTTGTAGTTCCAATTGCTACAGTACCTCTTAATTTAATTGTATCACATTCTTTTGTAAAAAATAAAAATAAAAAAACAAATATTTAGTAAATTATTATTTACAAAATGTTTAAAGTATTCATTGTATTAATATTAATTTTAAATGTACATACGAGGGATAGCGGGGAGATTACAAATCATAGGTGAAGCTCCTTGTGAACAAAATGGTTGAATATCAGTTGACATTCCTTGGTATTGAATTTGATTTTGCATCCAGATCATTGAAGTTGGTTCAAAAGTGATAGACTGGGTCTTACCATTTTGAGTGACTTTTGATACTATTAAAAGAAAAAGAAAATATTATTTTAATGAATATTATATTATTATCATTGGTTATATAACATACTTTCATATGAATGAACAACAGTGGAAATTAAAATAAATATTAATACAATGAATACTTTAAACATTTTTAAAAGATAAATATACGAAATGAATTGTTAAATGATTGATATTTCCAATAGAATATGGAAGAAGTTTGAAGTTTTTTTTCTTTCTTGAAACTTATATTTATACTATTCCTAAAACAGTTAGTTTTGATGTTACTGATGGACTAAACCCTTTGAATAAAAAAAGGTTCTTTTCCAATTCTATGTGCAATATTGTTGAACCGTGTCCACCCATCGTTTCTATTCAAGAAACGTGGCAAAATTAACCATAAGGAGGTAACATTGGATGGATGATCTTCATCTACCACACCTATGTACACCAAGGGATGAATAGATGTTTGATCGACCCTTCTTGTCATTTGGGAATCGACTGATATGAGACCTTAATCTCGGGAATATAAATGTACATACTTGTTATATCACACTGTGGTAGTGTGTGATCATCATCAACCTACATACTGTCTACTTTTTGAATGCACAGTGTAAAGTACTGTGAACCCAATCCACTTCCTTTCCATAAGACCGCTAGGATGTTGTTGAAAGTGTGGTGTAACACTGCAGTGCGCAAAAGTGTTGGTATTTGGCACACCACTTGAAAAGGAGTCTCGACCAATACCACAGTTATTGCAATAAAACAATGGTGGTGATGATACCACCAAGTATGGTTGTTTTTGTGTAGACTTTTTTTTTTTTTTATTCATTATTAATCTTGTCACAGGAGATTAACCATAACAAGTAGTTATGTCTAGAGAACTGTTGTGCAATTAAATTGGAAATTCATCGAGAGATTAATAACTGCAAATCCATTGGTACCGCGAAGACGAATCGTGTCACATGCTTGAATTGAGAAAAGAGAGATTAGAACAAAATGGAATCAACATTGTCATCTTTTAAAACAACAAACAATAGTTGGTTGGATATTTACCTGGCATAATGGGGAGGTTACACACCATTGGAGAGACACCGCTTTGTGAGCAAAATGGCATGATATCTGTTGTCATCCCAGCGAATTTAATTTGATTGTCAAACCAGATCATGTAATCTGGAACAAATGAAATGGTTAAAGTTCTATTACTTTGAACTACTTAAGTTACTAAATTTGATAGAGAGACATAGGAGAGAGGGTGTTATTTAATTAATTAATATTAATTGATTTAATTTACATACTTCCTGCATTTGCAATATTCAATCGACTGGAAATTAAAAGAAAACAAAAAATAAAGAATAGAGTAGTTGTTGTGGATGATGATGATGATGTTAGATACTTGAACATAATTATTCTATGTTGAAGAAATAAATAAATAAATAAAAAAATTCTATTAAATGCAGGTATATTGTTGGTGTTGTTGTTGATGTTGCCAAATCAAAACATCTGTTTGATTAATAAACTTTAAACATTCATTCATTCATTCATTCATTCATTTCGATAGACATTTTGTTTTATGGTTGTGCAGGTAGGGAAATTTAAAACCACTGGTGATTATACATTTTTTTAAACGGATTATATGGGTACCAAGTGACATTTAATACACAATTGATGATGTTACTAGATGTAGATCCAACACAATAGTCTATTGCTGTTATTGTGGAACCATAGAATGAAAATGATTTTTTACATCCAAAACAACACTGTTTCTTGTTGATGTATCTGACAACATTGACTTTTAAAATATTGATGGTGTTCTTTTGTGGTGTTGCTCATTGTTGTTGTTAAAACACTGTATTAAAAGAGGATATGAATTTAAAATCAAATACATAACCCAACTTGTGTGTATGAGTGACTGTTGATTAAAGAACAGATCTTGTTCTACAATATTGCTATTTTTTCAATATTGTTATAAAATATAGTTATAACCATCATTTATTTTATTATTATTATTATTATTATTCTTTATTTGTTATTCCTTAATTGTTATTTAATTTTGAGTAAGGGAAAAGATAAAATAAAGTCCTCCATCATCTGAAATAATATTGGTATCATATTCATACCCTGGTTGAGTTGGGTAGAGAGTGAAATTGGGGATGGACATTTCGGATCTGCCATTGACGAGATAGTACTGGGTACCGAGAGCGACACCTTTGGCTTTTGTTGTTAAAGTGAGGCGACTCGAGTAGCTAAAGGTGACTTGGGAATTGCAAATAATGGGTACATAAGAAGTAGATGTGGCAAGTGAAGTCAAGTTCAAATTAACGGCGGAATTGGCGTTGACTGTCAAAGTGCTGGCAATGTAGAGGGTACCGTCGGTCATGTTCATCTGGGCACCTGTGCCGAGGACGAGTGAGGCTAGATGGTTGTTGGATCCCGAGACAATGAGTTGGGAGTTATTGGCGAGTGAGAGGGAAGCGCTAGAGAATTTAGAGCCGCCAGTCAAGACAACTTGTGATGATTGCGAGGCAGAGACGCTACCACCGTTGACATAGGTGTAGTTGAAGAGGGCATTGGCACCGTTAAAGAAAAGCGAAGACTTGGAGTCCATTGTAATTTGTGAGGTGGTCAGGTTGAGTGTGGCAGAGGGGAACACTACAATGTTGACCATCTCAACGTCGACGATGAGCAGCGAGCTGTTGCCATTCACTTCTATGGTGATGGGGGCACTGATTGTGGGTGCGGTGAAGAGCTTGGCAATGCTGACGTTGGTGAACACGAAACGGCTCCAATAGTTGTTATCATTGTCAATCTCGAGCGAGGTGATGTTACCGTTGCCAAACGCGACCGAAGCGTTGAAGATGAGTGTTTCTCCGAGCAACGACACATTGGCAAATGTGGTAAAGTTGCCAGTCTGCGCGTAGACCTGTGTGTTGGCAGTGCCCTCGAGATAGGCAATATAAGAGTTGGACACGTACGAACCCATTTTAAGAGTACCACCCAAGGTGAGGGAGACATTGGTATTGACGTTGATCTCGCCAACAGTGATGTCACTGCCAACGATTGAAAAGTTGCCTGTACGTCCGACCATGCGATTAGCCGTCAAGTAAGTACGACCAGTCACGATCAAAGTGTCGTTGAAATAGATCAACTCGGCGACGACATCGGTTCTCGAGATGATAGTGCTGCCGAGGAATTCAAATTGACCACCATAGTAGTTGGAGCCTGTTGGGTAACCCGTTAGATACCCCTCGATCAGAGCAGAGCCAAAGGCGACAAAAGTAGCATTTCCGTGGAGTGAAATGGCAGAGGCATAGCCGAGTGTGGTGTTTCCAACCACGACAAAGTAGCCACCAATCCCAACAAACACACCTCCACCATTGGCAATCGAGGCATTTTCATTGATGTTAAAGATGACGTTTTCATCGACTTGAATCCACGAAGCGGTGAGATTGAGTGAATCTAGCTTGAGAGCTACACTCAGCACGAGTGTGACATTGTTGTTACGGCCAGAGGTAATGTTGAGGTTGAGCAAACTAAAAGGAGACCCGTTTGAAGTGTAGATGTATTGGTTGCCGTGGTAATACGAGGTTGAAAAGTCGATTGTTGCATTTTGGTTGTATTGAGGAGCACTTCCACCAATCCAATTACTATCTTGAAAGAAATCACATCCTTCTGAACAATCTTGTGCTTTAAATTGAACTGATGAATATACTGAGCTACTAGAAACAATTGAAACAATAAATAATAAACAAATAATTAATGTTGAAAATGATAACGATGACATCATTTTTTGAGATAAATAAATAACTAAACTTTAACTATTTAGATAAATAAATCATGTGAGAATGATGATGACGATGATGTGGTTTTAAAAGGTTCGTTTTCATTGTTGAATAATAAAAAGAAAAATATGAAACAAAAAGATCTACAGATATTGGATTCGAGCCCAAGAGTTTTTTGGCATCCAAAGTTTTAAACAGATATTTTCCAAAGATCACTTCAGATATGATGTGGAAAAAAGTCTCAAAAGGACGAAAGTCATATGAGGTACCTTGGTTTTCACAGACAGACAACAGAAGACTATTATTGGTTTTAATCTCTCTAAATCCATTTTTTTTTTATTTGGTTTTTAGATTATTATTATTAATATTGATAATAGATGAATGTACCCAGACATTGAGTTGTGTGAATAGTTGTGTGAATTATATAGGATTAAAAGAGGAGTTGATTGGGTGAGGAAACAGAATTAAGCAATAACAGTACAGTTGAATGGGTAAGAGAAAGAAACTGTTCCAATACCAATGGCCGACATACCATAGAGACGAATGGAATCACAAGCTATAAAGATAAATATTAATAATTATGAAAATTAAATTATTAGTAAAGTTTTAAATAAAAAGGGTAATAATAATTTGAAAGTAAATACCTGGCATGGTTGGGAGATTACAAATCATTGGTGGGTTTCCATTTTGAGTACAGTATGGAGCAATGTTGGTGATAACACCTTTGTTTCTCAATTGTTGAGCGGTCCACATCATGTTGTTTGGATTAAAATTGATAACAAGAGTTTTGTTGGTTTGAGTAACACCTAAAACTAAAAAACGAATTGGAAAAAATTTGATTTGAAATTAAATATTAATATTTTTGGATATACATTTTTTAAATAAATTATAGTACATACTACCACCATGAACTCCATTTGATGAAAGAAGGATTGATGATACAAAAACAAGTAAAAGAACTGATGATAAAAGCTTAAACATTTTTTTAATTTGTAGTTTTGAGTGTGAAAATTAATTAGTGATAAATTAAATACTTATTTGATTTGATTTGATTTGATTTGATGGTATGTAGAGTCTTGAATGCAACCTATTTATATTATTTGATTTTAGCTTGATACCAATGTCGTCGATGCCGTGAACTGAAAGCGTGGGCGAACCCCCCTCCCCCACCAATTTGGGTTCGATGATTTTCAATAAATGAATGTCGTTTTATGTGACAATGTCTACCGAGAAAGATCACTAAAATAGTGTCGCACCTATATATTTGTGTTTATTTCTTACTATCTTGAAGAAAATATTTATACGAGGGAGAATCCAATTCGAACGGTAGAATATAATGATCGACAAATTCTCTTTCCCACCACTGATCCGATGTTTTCCATTTAGTGAATTGGTATTTAAATTTGTTGGCCTTGATATATTTTGGTGGATTGTCTAATGGAAACGGTGAATAATCTATCAAACTAAGTACCTCTGGTGATCCTTCTAATAGTTTAGCCATAAAATGAACAATCCATCCTTGTGTTCTTGGATCACTAATACCTGCAAACCACATCTAAAAAAATTAAATTAATAATTAATAAATGATTTTTAAATGATCATTGATTATTATTATTATTATTTTTTTTTACATACTTGCCAATCTAATCTTGGATTATGACCAGGGAAAACCAATGGTGGAGCACGAGATAGATTACCAGGTTTATAGTAAAATTCATACTCGTACCATTGAATACCATCATAGCTACCTTCGATAGAGAGTTCAAAACGCTCAGTAGTCACATGAGAAAAGAGTCCATAGGTGCCAGTGATGTGGTAAAAATCAAGGGCACTGTGGACACGCTGGATGATGGTGGGAACGCTTTGGCGTTGGAGGTATCGTGTCGATGCGTACAGAGTCGACATGCCAACGAGAATGAAAATAAAGGGAATCAAGAGATTCTTGGAGTTGATGTTGGACAGTGTGAATCGAATATCGGTTTTGTTTCGTTTCTCGCGATCTTGACGAGCACTTGTTGTCTTGTTGTACTCGAGCATTCGGATATATTGGTAAAAGGGTGATGGGAGAATGACAGAACATGCACTGAGAATAAAAGAGTCGTCCAAAAGCATCAACAACAGTGCAATCGTGAGATAGTTGAAAAAGTTGTAGTTTCCTGTTAAAATGATACAGATTTGCAATAATATATTGATCAAACATGCTGTAATCTTGAATACTCTTGGTGCAAAAAAGAATGGTGTAACAAGTATTTCAATTACCAATGTCATCATTGTTTCAAATTGATGATAATAATTTGGGAATTGATGAACATAATAACTCTAAACAAAAAAAGAAATAGAAAAATAGAAATAAATATTAGTACAAGTTTTTTGATTAATTAATTTGTGTTTTCATACAATTATATTTGGAATACATTGAGTTTCATAATGAAATGACATTGCTTTAAATGATGACCAAATGGGAGTGAGTTTAATAATACCACTACCAAAAATCAATCTAAAAACCAACCATTTTAATAAATATCTGATTGGAGTTGAAGGTTTATCATCATATTTAAATGTAAATGGTGATAAGAATATAGCTAAAAATGATGTTTCCAATAATAATTGATCCCACTAGAAAAAGAAAAAGAAAAAGAAAATAAATGATTTAATTAATTAATTGATTGATATTGATATCCATGAATGATCTATTTATATTTATATAACATACTTGATAGGAATAAAATATTTGACCAACATCTACAATACAATAATAAAGGAACCACATAAAGCCAATATAGGTAGCAATGGGTGTTGTAAAAAGAGATAGAGAAGAAAATACTAAACCCAAGACGCACATTAGATACAAAGTATTATTTACACTAATCCCAAAACCATTGGTTGGATGAGTCAATAGAATCCAAATTGAATTGATTTCATTGGTCGATGATGGCGATGCTGACGCCATTAAATTCTTTTGTTGTCTCTCTAATAATGTGTTTACTGGTAATATACCATCTTCACCAATTAATCCTTTAACTTGAAGACTTTTAAAACAAAATAAATAAACATAGTTAATAAATTGTATATTTATGATAATATTATATGTTTCACATACTAGGAAGAGAAAAAAGCAACAAAGAAAACAATGGATAGAATCTTTAAAAAGAACCAAGTTGATAGATAATATGATTGACGTCTTGCTTTTTCTCGTATTCTATCTTTTCTCTTTTTCAACGAGAGTAGATCGGCAATGTGTTCTGCAGCAGCCGATCCTATTCCACTACTCGATTGTTGTTGATAATGTTTTAATTGTGCTTCATCGTAATCTGACCAAGATGAATCTTCACTACTTTGCGTTGATTTATATTTTGAGTAATGGTTGATTGATGATGATGATATTCCTCCTCCTCTTCTCTGATGTACAGTATTCTCTTTTGACATGATGATATTTTGATGATCTTAACTGTTCTCTATTCTATCTATCTATCTATCTATTAATCTAATCCTTATCCTCTGTCTCCTCTTCTTTATAAAGAAGAAAAAGAAAGGAAATGAATGATGGTATTAAGTATAAAGTATATAAAATAGAATTAGATAATAAGCAAGCTATAAAAAAACAACATCAAGATTTCTTGCGAACATGACAAAGACCACGATCAGAACTCAAGGTTCACCTTTGCAAAAAAAAAAAAAAAAAAAAAAAAGAAAATTACTAAATATCTTTCTTTATTTATTTATTTATTTATTTATTTATTCTCTTCATGTTATGAAAAATAATAAATAGATGGGGGTAGGAAACTATTGGGCCCTCCTCCATCACCTTTCCATTCGTTCGTGTAGAAATAATCTTTTAATGATTTTGATTTGAGGAAATAGTCTAATTGGTTGATTGGACATTGCCGGTAATCTTGGTCAACGACCAAGTATTGTACTGTATCACTTTGCAATAATGCGTTGTATAGATTGGTAGCATACTTTCCAAACATGTTACCAGATACATCCAACACCTTGATTGACTTGTTTTGTTGGAATGCATGTTCCAACTCTTCACACCACTCCAAATCATTGTCACTTTTTAATGGTTTTAGAGTTTGCTATCATCTTGGAGAATGATGGTACGTATTTGGGATGCATCGTCTTTTGTGTCAATACCATAGTGGTGATGGTTTGGTTGAGAGAAATCTCATCAAAGAATTGTGATGAGATGATATGAGAGAGATACGACAGACCAAGATATTCAATGGTAGCATTGTTTTCCCAAAGTGATCTAAAAGGTATTTCGAAAATTGGTATTGTCAGAATAGGACAGTCGATTGCACTAAAGATTTGACAACGATAATAATCTTTGAGCAAGAGTCTTTTGAGAGTGGTGTTGTCTTGTAACCCGTCGCACAAAATAGCCCATTCCTCTCCATCAAACGTTTCAACTTGTTCATCATCAGGATGGTAGGTTTCAATGGTATCGTAGATTAAAGCACCACCATCCTCCTCGCTTGGAATGATTAAAACTGAAACTTCGAGTGATTCCAATTTTGAATCTTCCAGTGTCACCAAATCATACAATTCCATCAAATCGACATAGTCATCGTTCAATGTGATGTGCTTGGTGCGTTGTTGTCGACTAAACATATCTTTGTATTGGCAGTGTACTTGAATTAGTTGGCCACTTTGAAATAAACAGACATAGCTTGGTTTGAGGTGATCGAGGTTGTCGGGATAATTAGTCTCATCGAAAATCGAGTCTCTTATATGTACGACCATTGTACTATGATTTGGAGTGAACCCATGCATTTCGGTAAAGTCTTTTTCTGCAAGCTCCAACAACATCGTCGACTTTAAGTTTGGTACCAATACGAGTATTTGGTTGATTGTCTTTGATACATATTCTAACCATATACCACCTCTTGTTTTAATATTGATAGTATCTAGGTGTGGTAATAGATCAATGATCTCTTTGCAAATTGATGGAGTGATCTCGTCGACAACATACGTGTAATCCTTAACATCATCATCATAATTTACCAACAAACAACTCCAATGTATCTTTTGAATATTACAAAGTTGATAGATAGAGTGTTGTTGTTGCTGAATGAATGGTATAAAGATATCCTTTGTAAACCTTCCGATGATAGTCAATTCTGTTCTTGTTCCTCTGACCACTTGAAACCACCATTTCGATACCAATGCCAAGTTGATCAATTGATTATGACCACGGTGTTGATAGTGAGGTAGTTCTCCTGTATACAACAATTTACATATCTCACTATTTGATCTAATCGGTGTGTTTGATAATATATTATTACGTCTTGGTCGATCATAATATGGAGCACGTTCAGGTTCTTCACAAGAATCTGATATAGTTCGACTACATATATGATCATTTGTGTAGTTGATCAATTTGTTAATGATTATTGATTGTACATATAATGGTAAAAATGAAGAAGAAGATAAAGTATTCATTATTATCGAATAAAAAAAATTTAGTAGTAGTTGAAGAACCCTAAATGTTTTTAAAAATATATATATATATTTGGTTTATTAAATTCTTTTTATTTATTTTCACCAATGAAAGAACCCATCTTACAATAATCACCTGGTTGAACGTTAAATTGGAAATCCTTTGATTCAAAAATTAAAACGACGGTGCTGCCTAGATGGAATTGACCGATTTCTTGTCCACGTGATTGGGGAATGTCCTCGGCATAGTCGCTGTCATAAGAATGGCTGCCTACACCATTCCATGAGAAATATTCCAAGTTTTTGCATCTAAAGTCTCTAGTGATCTGATTGGTCTGAGTGACATGATCGAAATTAAGAGAGATTGATCCTACATTGTATGCTCCAACCGCTGTCAATGAATAGAATCCTTGTTCCCAATCACCAGACAATACAATTCTTTCATTCAATGCAAATAAACTTGGAATTAATTTTAAAAATGGTTTATTCACTGGGAATAATGTACCTAAAAAAAGAAAGAAAATTAATTAAATATTAGTATTTATATATAAATATATATATATTGATTTGTTTTGTTGGTTTTATGCTTACCTGGGAAATGAGATCTTTTTTTAATTACCCAATCTTCAGAAGAATGAATACGATGATAATCACCTGGACTGAGATATAATATACAATGATATAATTTACTATTTGGATTTTTTAATAGAGTGAATGGATCGCAACCCAAGAAATGGTTGAGAGAATATGTTACACCTTTGATTTGTTCGACTGTATCGCTGACCACCTCGCCACACGCCAATACACGTCCGTCTACAGGACTGATCATCCCCGATTCACAGATGGGACGACAACCATCTTTGATGGGACGTGAGAAAAACTCGGCCAACGATGGGTAGCTTTCGAGTGGTGCAGGTATTTCATCCATATTGCATCTAAACAATTTGGCCCATGCTCCATAAATCGGACGTCTCAAAACAACCGGTAAACGACGACGATTAAGTAATCCCCACATATATGACATTGTTACTCCTAATAAATCCCATCTAACTATTTGTGGTGGTTTTGATATTGGTACTATAAAAAAAGGAATAGAATATATTTATTAATAACTTGATTGTGATTATGATTATGATTGATTTTATGGTTTACCTTTTTTTAAAACCTTTTTAGAAAAGTTATGTGATGATTTAAATAAAGATTTGGGAATAACTTTTAATAATTTAAGAGGGTTTCTAAAATAAGATGATGATGATGATGAAGTAGTTGATGCTGATGGTGTAGCTACTGTTGTTGGTGTAACTTTTCTAGTCATTCTTTATATATATGTATGTATGTTATAATATGTAATGTATGTATTTAAATGTATATCTAAGTTTTTACGGGTGATCGTCGTCGGAGACAAGCAGGTGTAATTAAATAAATAAATAGTAGGAGGTAGGTAGGATCAAACAAACGATGTTGATGATCTTATAAGAATTGAAAGTAAAGTAAAGTAATACTTTTTTTGTAAAAGCAGGAATAGAAAGGAAAGGAGAGGAGAGGGAGGGACACAAATAATTGAATCAATAAATAATTATAAAAATTAAAATAGGAGTTAGATTTTTCCCAAACGTAAGATTTTTTGATTTAAAACGTTGGTTTGGTTTTTGTCGCTCGAGTCCTGGTTCTCAACCAACTCCACTTCGGCGTTGACTTTTTTCATTTCCGTCAGCGCAGTCGCTTCAATTGTCCTAATCAAGTAATCACTATTTATTTTTAAAAATTGAGTACTTATACAACATCAATAGTATAAGTATAAGTTTATGTTAATGTAGTGTGTTGTTAAAATGTTTAAACAAATACATCACACCCCACTACATCAAACAAAAAAAAAAAGGGGCGGTTAAAAAATCGGCTTTAGCATTATTATTATTGAACGGAGAAATCGAATCGTTCGTAGCATTTCTCAGAGTCATCATCGGGATTTAAAATCCCTTTGCAAACACTGCCCAGTGTTTCTCGAAAAAATCTAGACCACATGCGCTCTGACTCTAAATTGAAATGATCACCTGGATAACATGAATTCAATGTGAATGTGAATATTTCATTTAAATTATTGTTGAATCAAAAGAGAAAAGAGATAATAATCATCAAACAACATGTATAAATCAATCATATTAGTATTCACTGCTACAATCATTGGGCTGTCAATTGCAGTTGGTATGTTGTATAAAGTTTTATTTTTGATCAACAATATCATGAGAAGAGTTTGTCATCTAACATCTATCTATCATCACACTACAAGATAATGGACTAGGATTGGTACCACAAATGGGATGGAACAGTTGGAATCACTTCCATTGTGATATTAATGAAACTGTAATTATGGAGTCTGCATTGGCAATGGTAACATCGGGATTAAAGGATGCTGGTTACCGTTATGTAAACATTGATGATTGTTGGGCTGTTGGTAGAGATGATAATGGTGTCATTCAAGCTGACCCAATAGCATTCCCAAATGGAATTAAATATATTGCAGACTATGTTCATTCTTTAGGTTTATTGATTGGTATTTATACTGATGCTGGTAGTATGTATTTTAAAATAGTAAAATAATAATAATAATAGGATGTATGATCAACTATCTAATTATCTTTTATTATTATTATAGTTTTAACATGTCAAAAAAGACCTGGATCTTATGGATACGAACAAATTGATGCTCAAAGTATGTATATATATATTAATTATTCAGAAATACTCTACATAAAAAATACTAATTGATTTAATTTTAATTAAAGCATACGCTAGCTGGGGAATTGATTACTTAAAGATGGATTGGTGTAATACTTATCTTGAAAACCCACAAGAACGTTATACTATCATGTCTAAAGCTTTAAATGCAACTGGTAGACCAATTTTCTTTAGTTTGTATGTATCATTTCAAATTGGTTAATTTTAATTTAAATATTAATATTATTGTTTTGTTTTTATTTTAGATGTAATTGGGGAATTTCAGAACCATGGATGTGGGCAATGGATATAGGTAATTCATGGAGAACTACCGGTGATATTGCTGATACATGGACTTCGATGACTGTTATTTTAGATCTTCAAGTACCTATTACTTCATTCTCTGGAGTTGGTGGTTGGAATGATCCTGATATGTTGGAGGTTGGTAATGGTGGTATGACCACCACTGAATACATTTCACACTTTTCATTGTGGTCTTTGTTATCGGCACCATTGATTGCAGGTAATGATATTAGATCGATTGACAATACAACATTCTCAATCTTGACTGCTATGGAAGTGATTGCTGTCAATCAAGATACACTCGGTCGTCAAGGTTCGTTGATCAAGTCGATCAATGGTAAAGACCAACAAATCTGGGCTAAACCACTCGCCGATGGATCAAAAGCTGTCATTCTTTTAAATCGTAATGATAATGAAAGTGCAACTATCCAATTGCAATGGGGTGATATTTGGGAATCCCCATCTACCAGTCTCATCGTTAGAGACTTGTGGGCTCAACAAGATATTGATACTTTCACAGGTTCATATACCGCCACAAATATTCCTCCACATGGCTGTGTAATGTTAAGAGTATATTAAATATCAAAAAATAAATAAACAAAAAACAAATAAATATTAATTGTAAAGTTAATTAAAAAAAAATGAAAAAAACGAACGAAAGAAAAAAGATTACAAAGTTTGAGTAGATTCAGTTGTTTGTTGTAGAATTGTAAATAAATATAAAGAGATAGAGAGATAGAATGAAGTTGGCAACTAAAAAGAATAGTGTACAGACTAAACAACAAATACCACCAACAAAAAAGATAGATAACAAACGAAAACAAATAGAGGAAGAGGAGGAAGTAGAAGTAGAAGAATTTGAAGATGAAGAAGAAGATATAGATCAAGATGATATAGAAGAAGAAGATGAAGATGATATAGAGGAAGATGATGGTGTAGAGGAAGGGGATGGAGAAGAGGGAGATGAAGACAATACAGAGGAAATGGAAAGAGTGACAGGTATGAAGAAACAAAATAAAGTTAGTTATGTACTCAAACAAATGACAACGGAAAAGATGGTTGAAGTACAAAAGAAGAATGAAAACAAGGGTATTGTCTATGTATCAACTATCCCAGCTGGTATGACTGCCAATAAATTAAAACAATTATTAATGAAAGAAGGAATGGTTTCTAGAATGCATTTAGTTAAAGGTAAATACAAATACAAATATAAATAAATATATATTTAAACAAAAAAACGAATCAAAAGATCATATTTATATTATTAACACTATTTTATCTATGATTTAGCCGACGTTGAAAGAAAACATAGAAGAAATAATATGTTTAAAGAAGGATGGATTGAATTTAATGACAAGAGAAGAGCAAGACATATTGCAACGGTTTTAAATAATTGTCCGATGGGAGGTAAAAACAGAGACAAACATAGAGACTGTCTTTGGAATCTTAGATATCTACCAAAGTTTAAATGGCATCATCTTATGGACAGACTAGTACAAAAGAAATTGGAACGTGATCAACGTCTCTTGCATGATATGGCTGCCATGAGAAAAGAGAATGCCAAGTTCCTCGAACAGGTACAATACTCTAAATACGCAATGCCCAAGTTGGAAAAGAAGGTTGCCAAGTCTGGTGAAGACAAAGTACTTCGTACATTCAAACAACGTAAAACTCATGAATTACAAAATTCTGTTCATGATGATTAATAATAGTAATAATAATAATAATATTAATATTAATAATAAATTAAATTATTTAATTAAACCAACTCAACTTAAACTCAAGTTCATACGATCATTCATTCATTGTTAAAAGAGAGACATGTCAGTCGCTGCGATTGGTTTGAGAAATCAACTTCCACACATTTTCTCAAGTTTGTCTGCAAGTGGTACTTATCATTTCTTTTCAAAGCCCACTGATCACGATTATTATTATTAGATATAAAGATAAATATACATATACCTTTATACTTATACATATATATATACATACACAATGAACGACAATGACTTCCCAGCATTAGGAGCACCAATCAAAAGAAAACCTGCTGCTGTTCAACAACAACCAGCTTATAAACCAGCTGCTACTACTTCAGCTGCTGCTGCAGTGGTTCAGCAACAACAACCGGCACCATCAAAAGTACAATATCAACCTTCTACTGCTCCAGGTGGAGTTGTAAAACCTACAACTACCTATCATATAGCTGATATAGGTGCTAATCTAGCAGATAAACAATTTGATAGAGATTTTGATCAATTGTTACAACGTGCATCTGGTAAAGGTGTTAATACGATTGTGATGACTGGTACATCGATACCGTCTAGTCGAAAGGCAATCGAATTGATTGAAGCAAAGCAAGAGGTGTTTAAGAGATTTGGTGTGACTGTGTATTCGACGTATGGTGTACATCCACACTCGGCGGAGCGTGCACCAGCCAACACATGTCAAGAGATTAGAGAGATGGCCAAGAAATACCCACACATTGTAAAGGCGGTTGGAGAGTGTGGACTTGACTTTAACCGTAACTTTAGTAGTCATCAATCACAGATGGATATGTTTGAGCGCCAGATAGAGGTGGCCGTCGAGTTGGGACTACCCCTCTTTCTCCACGAACGTGACGCCCACAAAGAGTTTGTCCAAGTGACCAACAAGTTTGTCAGCGCTGGCAAGATGCCCAAGGCGGTAGTGCACTGCTTTACAGGCATTGAAAAAGAGGCAGACGTCTACCTTAAAATGGGCTTTTACTTTGGATTCACTGGCGTCATCACACAAGACAAGCGTGGAGAGACATTACGCAAGATACTCTCCTCTCGCAAGATCCCACTCAACCGTATCATGATAGAGACCGACTGTCCCTACATGACCCCCCACAACCTGCCAGCTGCCGACAAACTAAAAAAAGGAGGTGACCGTCATATCCGTAACGAACCTTCCTATCTCCCATGCGTCCTCTCTACTCTAGCTCAATGTTATGGTATCTCAGAGGAAGAAGCTGCCAATCAAACTCTTGCAACAACAAAGGAATTTTTTAATCTAAATTAAGAAAAGCAAATTAAATTAAATACTACGTATTGTATTGTATTATATTACATTTGTAATATTTATATATGTATATATAGTTGGTATTTATAATATTAAATTAATTATAATATTATAGATACTATTTGTTTGTTTTATTTTTTTTTTTTTTTTTGGAAAACATTGGGTTGATGATATACCAAATGACTGTGAAAGTGATTGGAGTGATTAATCAGTAATAGTACAATTGAATGGGTAGTTCATAGATACTGTACCAATACCAATACCACTCATACCAGCAATACGAATAGTGTCACATGCTAAACAAATAATTAAAAAAGAATTAAGAGTTTATACTTTTGGAAAAAGTTATTAATAATATTTATAACTTACATGGAACAGCTGGAAGAGAACAAATCATTGGAGAAACACCATCTTGAGTGCAATATGGCATCATATTGGTAGCCAATCCTTTGAGTTTAAGTTGTTGGGCGGTCCAAACCATATTGTTTGGAGTAAAGTCAATGACCAATGTTTTGTTTGTTTGATTAATTCCAATAACTAAAAAAAGAAAAAATATATATTAATAAATCTCTTAAATAATCTAAGGGTATTTTAATAGTTTATACATACTACCAGCATCAACAGCAGAATTGGAAACAAAGAGGATGGATGAAATAAAAATAATGAAAAGTGCAGAGGTGATGATCTTGAACATTTTAGTTGGATTTAATTTTAAAAGAGTATAAATGGAAATTAATTAATTATTATTTGATTAGATTAGATTTGTTTGAAGATGATTGTTTGAAGATGATTTGATTGATATTAATTGGATTACAATTGGACAATATTTATATGACTTTTAAAAGGGCGATTCCAAATAGTTCGACCAAAGTTGGTTCAACTAAAAACGGTAGGCAGGTAGGTAAGGTACCAATGAGCACTTTACAATCTCCGAGCCATAGATGGTAATACAATACAAGAGACACTATCCATTTGATTGATTGATTAATTGATTGATTAATTGATTGATTGTTCAGTGAGTCCTAAAACGGTAAATGGTACATACCCTTTTTCAAACTTAGGTCAAATACAATACAACAACAATCCAATGAGCCATATTATCGGTTTGTGTTGTAAACTACATCTCTCAGTTTAGAAAGAGAAAGAGCAAGGTAGTTCAACAAGAGAGAGAAAGAGTAGACGACAGTGTCCGATCGCAAAGGATAGGATAGGATAGGGATAGTGATGATGCATGATCATCATCGGTAGATTTAAGTTCTTATCCTACCTTACCCTCGACCTTGTACATCACACCCAATGCGGTGATTCTGGTGTTGATGATGATGATGATGATGATGATCATACATAGTCTATCTGCCTATTGGGTAAAGGGTAAAGACAAGTACTTAGGTGAACATCTCCATTCCAATAATGATCACACCATGCTGACCTGTCTCTCCTTCGATCACCAAATCACTCAAACACACACAAAGTCTGGGGCAAATTAATTTTCGTTTTGTTTTTGGACCCCCATTTCACCACACCATAGTGTTAGTGTGTGAAAACAGTTCGTTCATTCAATCATCGACAAGAACAACACGTCTTCTATCTATTCAACATACAACAACAACAACAACAACAAGTACTTAATAAGATTTATATTTAGTGTAGTGCAGTAGATAGTAGTAGTAGAAGTAGATAGTAGACTATGGTTCAGTGGTGCAATGCGACTGCAGATGACCCTCCCTCATCCATACCAGGAGCCAATGTGATCTTTGGACACATCCTTTTGTTGCTTGGTATATTATCGGTTGTCATCTTTTCGCTGAGCTTTGTTACACTAGCATCACGTATGCTTCGAAAGCACAATGTCAAATCATCAAAGATATCACTTAGAACACGTGCTGAAGTCTATCTCACTGCCTCTGGTATTATACAATGGATTGTATGTACACATCAAATCAAACAATCGATCGTTTTATAAATAGGTAGTAGTTAGACTACAACATCAACTACACCTACAACCTTTTTGATTTTAATGGTTTAAACCATCAATCAATCAATCAATCGATTGATTGATTGATCCCATCTAGATCTCCCTTCTAACCCCATTTAAATCACTCCATAATATAATAGGAAGGAATTCAAACATTACTAAGTATATTCTCAGTGATTATATTTATCTATGGTACTTATTTACCACTTGATAAAAGACCACCACTATTCTATGCATGGCTTGAATTGTCGTTGACCGTCTTTTTCACGTTACACTGGATATTGGATTACTTTATTTGCAAGGATCGTCTCAAATACCTCTTTTCCTTTTTCTCATTGGTCGATCTTGTCACTGTCCTCCCAATCTATATCGATATAGCCAATGGTGGTCTATTTAGTGAATTGTCCACCTTTCAATTTCTTCGTGTACTCAGAACTGTTAGAGTATTAAGAGCAAATAGAGTTTTACATTATTTTGAAGGTAAGTGTGTCATAAGACTATAATATACTATACTATACTATATTCCAGTTCCAGTTTTACTCATTTCTATTTTATTTTCCTTTTCATTTTTTAGATATTACACAATATTTATTTAGAGTTGTGATTGCAATCTTTACATTTATTCTAATTGTAGCAGCATTTTATATGAATATTGATTGTAATCCAGTTACTCAGAAACCACTAGAGTTCCACTCGACCATTTATTTCTTGGTTGTCACTCTTACAACCGATGGGTATGGTGATATTCATCCAACCAATGCAGTTGGTATGATGACCATTACCTTTGCCATTTGTATTGGTGCCGTTTTAATTCCCTATCAAGTTTCAAAATTATTAGAGAAATTTAGTTCTTATTCTCGTATGTTGGAAAAAAAAACAAACAAACAAACAAACAAATAATATTAATGATTCTAATTAATTATTTTTGGTTTATTTTTTAATTTTCTTTAGCATATAAAAGAGATTTATCAAAAGAGAATTTACATGGACATATATTATTATGTGGAGAGATTAATTTTACATCATTACTTGAATTCTTGACAGAGTTTTATTTAGAGAAATATGGTCAACTTAAAAAGACAATAGTTATCCTAAATTCAAAACCACCTTCTGATCAATTGAAAATCTTACTCTTACATCCATTTTATAAAAATAGATTATATTATTTAGAAGGTCAACCAATGGTATGTAATGTCTATAGATAGATAAAAACAACTAATAACCCATACTTAATATCAACTTTTTTTTTAATTAATTTATGTTTAGTTGGAAAGTGATTTAAAAAGAGCAAGATTTGGATATTCATCATCTTGTTTTGTTTTCAGACCAATGTTTTGGCAAGAAGGTGATTCAAATGCCATTTTAACAGCACTTGCAATGAAAAATCTAAAGACTTTTGGTCCAAGAATATTTACTCAATTGGTTCAACATGAAAGCAAAGTATGTAGAAGAGGAAATGAATGATAAATTTTGAATATTTAATTGATTTATTTATTAATATTTAATTTTTTTACTTTTAGTATAAAATATCATCAAATGTTAAAAATGTAATGTGTATTGAAGATTTTAGAAATGGTATTTTGGTACAATCAACATTGTGTCCTGGATTTGGTACATTGGTTTGTAATTTATTTACAAGTCGTCAACCTGAAACAACGACCGAAGATGAAAAATGGGTCGATGAATATGTTAATGGTAGTGTCAATTCAATCTACAAGATACCAGTGCCACAGGCATTGGTTGGTGAAACGTTGGGATATGTCACTACCACCATGTATAGTGGTGCCAAGGCACTTGTGCTTGGTATCATTTTCGATGAACGTGAAACTACTATAGCTGGTGGTGTTGGTCTAGCTGCCAGTGTCAGTGGATTGAACCGATCGACAAATAGTACACCTGTTGGTGGCATACCAGGTTCACCAGGTCCAAAAATGAAAACAAGTGGGACTGGTTTGCCAACTGGTGGTGCCAAAACAGGTAAATCCTCACGGTTGGTACTTCATCCACCCTTTTCAACTGTGCTCACTGCGTCGATGCAGTTGATCATTATAGCACACAGTCCAACTGCACCGGTATTCAAACCAAATGTGCCATCGATTATTCGTCGTCTCGACGATAGTAGCGACGAAGCACAAAACTCGTTCCTAACCAACCTATATAACCGGTTATTTGCACCAGAAGAGGTGCGTCGCGGGTTCCAAGAACTCAACGAAACATCTGACAATCTCTTTTCCGACTCTGTTCACACCTTTTTCACATCGACCTATACATCTAGTCCCATTGAAATGGATACATTTAATAGTAGTACTGGAGTGGCTTCTACATCTTCTCCATCTCCTCCAACATCCCAACATCCAACTGATCCTAATAACAACAATAACAGTATCTTTATAAATGATCCAAATAATAATAATACGAATACGAATACGAATACGACGAATGAAATGATACCAAATATTAATGTACACCATGTACAAATCAAGGAATATGAAAAACCAAATCCATTGTTGGAGCTTTGCAAAACCGAGTTTAACAATGATTGGGAAGAGTTTTTGTGTACGGTTGTGGAAAGTGTCGACGCTAAAAAGACACATTTACAATCGATTGTGGACGAGTTGGAACCTATTGTCAGATCGATCGAGAAACATACCAAACTTGACAATGACGACCTCTACGAAGAGGAGGAAGAAAATAACAACTGGCGCGAACATATTATTATTTGTGGATCGATTAATAGAATTGACTTGTTTTTGCGTGGCCTGCGTCAAAAACATATTGCCGATCATATCAACCACTTTTACTTTATCAAGAATCATCAGCCAGATAATCGGTCTTCGCCACCTGCCATTGTCATTTTGCATCCAGAAGAGCCTGATATGAGCGAGTGGGATGATATGGATGACATTTTCTTTGTCAAGGGGTCACCCTTGGAACGCAAGGATCTCGAGTCGGTCAACATCCATCTGGCCAGCAAAATCATCATCTTGTCGGATCCCTACACTGTCCACCACAACTCTAGTCTCACCGAACAGACTTCAGTCCAACTCGACAGCGACACGATCATGGCCTACCTCGAAATCAACGAAATGCTAACAAACAAACGAAACAGCTCGTCCTTTTTGACGGTCGAGTTGGTACACGAGCCCAACATCCGGTTCATCTCGAGAAACACCAAGTCCATTGGCCCAACCAGCAAAAGTCGTCTCAAGCGTGAGAATGAAGAGATTGAAAAGCCAAAATACTATATTACAAGTGAGTTTGCATCGGGCAAGGTACTTACTCTCACCACACTCGACTCGCTGCTCTGTCAATCCAACCACCAAGAGTATCTCTTGGACGTGGCTCACGAGCTAGTCCTCGGTGTCAACGGTATCAAAAGGTACCATCAAAAGTTCTCAAATCTCATGGACTCTGATTCGGACAGCAGCGGTGAAGAGTATTATGGTGGTGCAACCACCGATGAAGAGGAAGAGGGTAGTCACCGTCTCTTGCACAAGACTAAAATGTACCGTAATCTATCTAGAGGTTCGATTGGCAACAATCTAGCATCACTCGGTGCCAGCACATCTGGTTTGATTGGAGGTAGTCCATCGGGACACGAACATAGTTCATGTCTTTTAAATCAAATCAAGGTGCCAGAATTGTTCCATGGAAGAACCTATGGTGAATTGTTTGAAGGTTTGATTCACAAAAATATCCTTTCTCTTGGATTGTACAGATGCAAGGAAATCACAGGTGCCCCCAATCCATACGTTTTTACCTGTCCTCCAGTATCTACCATTCTTCACGAAAACGATCTCGTCTACATTCTCTATCATCACAATCAGCTCGGTGTTTCAACCTCTGGATCCACCTCTGGTGAAGTATCTAGAACTCATAGTTTTACCAATCTTTCCAGTCCAAGTGTTTTACATAAATTTAAACAAAGAATGTAGTAGAAAAATGAAGAGAAACCAACGTTCGTCCATCCAAAATAATAATAAACAAAAAAAAAATGGATAATAAATAATTATCATCATTTTAAACTCTATAAAAGATAAAGATATTTGATGGTTTGTTTGTTTGGATTGGATCGAGTAGTAGAATTGGTGTTTATATATATATATCATTATTAAATAATACATTTTATATAACCCACCAAACTACTCTTAATGTTTATTATTATTGATTATAATAAATATAAATATAAATATATATGAACCTGTTAGATAGACAAATAACACTTTATAGATCGTTCTTATTCTTCCATTTCTTGTTGTTGTTGTTGTTGTTGTTGTGGTGGTTGAGTTGGCTTCCAAGAGAATGCAGATGATGAAAAGTTGATTGAAGAAGGAGCAAAAAAAGAGGTTGATGATCTATTAACCATGATTAATTCATCTTCATCTTCACTTTCCATATCATCTTGATTCCTACTACTACTGTTATTGAATTGTTTGCATTTAGTTGATTGCAAATTACGATTACTACTATCCAATGACGAGGTGATTTGTCGTGGAGGTGGTTTGAAATGTTGTGTAAATCTAATTTCATTACCATCATCCTCTTCTTCACTCGTATCATAGTCTTGAACTCCTCCTCTTTGGTTTTGATAACGACTGGCTCCACCATAATAATTCCTTGATAATTCATCCTCGTAATCATCATCATCATCGTCATAGTCATCATCCTCTTCTAGATCACTGCGTTTGTTAAATAAATATGCCATTGGATTATTCGATCGGATGTTGAGTATTGACTCGGTAGGTGAAAGTTGGTAGGATTGTCTTGTAGTTGTGTGGTTAAAAGAAGACGACTGTATAGGAGGCATTGAAATATTTTCTTGGTCATATTGGTCATATGTCCTTTCTCCTCTATGACTGTATTCTTGTTGGCCGTCGTCTTGATCATCATCATCATCATAAAATTCTATCAACTCTGGTTCATCTTCATCAAATATTTTTAATTGTTGAAATGTTAATTCAAATTGGAACTTGTTATTTCCACTACTATTCTGATGATGATGATGATGATGATGAACATTATTGTTTGTTGTATAGTTATTATTATTATTATTACTATTAATATTATTATTATTATTAATAATATTATTATTATTGCCATTTAATAATGAAGATATGGGAGGTGGATGGGATGGAGGTGAATATAAACATTGATTATTATGTGAAGAAGTAAATAGAGAAGCAAATGATGGCGTTAGGGAAGTAGGAGTAGGTGGGGGTGATGATAATGTCGGAGAGTTTGGAATCATTATATTCTTGTTGAAATAAATAGGTGATTTGGGAATAGATGTTGAAGATGATGATGATGGAGAAGTTCTTGGTGAATTGGTCCTTACATCCTAACAAAATAAAAAAAAAATAAGTTAGTAAGCAATTCTGCTTCATGTTGTTTATCGTGCCAACTTACATGTTTAAATAATTTAACATTATGATCAATTTGATCAATGTTGTTGTTATTGTTTACAATATTTAAAGGTGGTGTATGTCTGTAATGACTGTTATTATTATTATTATTATTATTATTATTATTATTATTATTATTATTATTAGTACTGTTGTATGGATTAGGTGAATTATTTACATGAGATGTTGTCGTTGATAAAGAAGGTATAGTAACACTTAGATGAACTTGATTATTATTACTACTACTACTATTGGTATTGTTGTTGTTGTTGTTGTTGTTGTTGTTGTTGTTGTTGTTGTTGTTGTTGTTGTTGTTACCAATAGATATTATTATTATTGCTATTGTTATTATTATTATTATTATTATTAGATGTTGAATCAAAGGTGAATTCACCATCTATAAAATCTCTTGATCTCTTTTTAAAACTATGATTACCATGCGCTTGATTAAATGAAATCAGCTGAGGAGATGAATAAATGCCATAGGATTGTTGTTGTTGTTGTTGTAGCTGTAATTGTTGACTATGAGACAAGGAAGAAGATCCTAATGATGGGGACGGACATTGCTGTGGTGGTGGTGGATAATAGTAGTGATCACTATTACCATAGGATGCTCTGCCACCACCGCCACCACCTTGTAGTTGAGGAGATGTCGGTGGTAAAGAGTCTGCTATGTATCTACTAGTTGTTGGTGATCTTATAAACTGGTTGTGGCCGCTACCGCTCGCGGCGGTATCATTACTATTATTATTATTATTGTTGTTGTTATTGCAGCTGCTACTATTGCTGTAGAGGTGGTTGTTGTTGTTGGCGGTGCTTACTTTGTGTGCTGCAATACTTTCATCTACGTTCCCTTGTTTGTGATGATAACTCATTTCACAATACAGATGATGAACGTTGTGTGAAGAGATATTCTTTATCATCGACGACCAAGGGTGTTAGGTAGTATTCAATGTACCGAGTGTCAAGAGAACGAACCAACCAACAACAACACCCAACCAACAACAAATGAATGAGAATGGTAGTTGTGTGATATTGTGAGTGATCGAGCAAAGGAGGATTGTTCAAGTTGAATTGATTGTAATACAAATGATAAGAATGGTTTCAAAAGAAGGTCTTTCTTCTTCCTATACCAAGATTATGTTATGTATGAAGATGATGATAATAATAATAATGTATAATAAACCTGATTGTGTGTTGTTCTTTTTAACCAATACCTATATGATACAATCAATAAATAAGAGCTCAGCTGAGAGCAAGTGTAAACTTTAAAGTGATGTTAACCAATGAATGAAAAAGTTGTTGCTGTTTGGTAATGTTGTTGTTGTTTGGTATTGTTGTTGTTTGATTGAATGAAATATCAGTGTCTCAATTATATAATTGTTGATGAATGTTGGGTTGTTATTATTATTATGAATATTGTTTCTTGTCTAATGGTGAGAGACTTATGACTGACTGAAATGGCTCTTCTTCTGTAAAGACTGTCACTCCATCTACTTTCTCAAAGTAAATTAAATGATATTATTATTATTGTGGTTGTTATGATTATTATTGTTGTTGTCTTATTATTATTATTATTATCTTTCCTGTCACACTTTTTAACACAAAAATAGTTTGGGTGGGGGTATTCATTTTTTAAAGTGCTCTTTTTTTGCAATTATTATTATTTATTTATTTATTTATTGGTAAATAGATAATTATCTTTCTTCTCCTTCTTTGATGAACCTCTCCCTCTCTCTGTATTAATCATAATAATAATAAACAACAGATTCTTCTTCTTTTTATTTTTTTTTTAAAATTAGGTTCAACCATCCAATATCGATGATTAAAAATAAGGGACACTTACCTTAACTACCAAATACTAGTTGTAGCTTTATACATACGCGATGACCAAGCCAATATTGGCGATAATTAAAGTAGAGCCTCCATTTATAGTTAAATAACCAGAATGATAGTTATAATAATCTTGATCATTAAAGTTATTCAACTATAAATGGAAGGTTACCAATATATTAATGCGTCAGTGTCCACCTCTAATCAATGCATAAAATCTTTGTTCGTTTGTTGTGTTGGACTTGGTTCCCAAAAGGAATGATTGCATTCTGGTAGCTATTGCTAGATTGTAAAACAGTTGATCATTGTTTTCTTTTTGACCATTCTGTCCTTTATAAAATAGATATCTTTGTTTCTCATGGTCATTAATATTTTAAATTTACCTCTATTCTTGTTGAACAAAGATTTTTATTGTATGCTCGGTTGGTTGTTGTTTGTTGTCGTTAATCATGATTATCCCATTTAGTTTGTTAATTGGACTTTGTGATTAAACACACTTCTTTCTGTGTCTTATGGTGAACTGTGCAAATAAGGATAGATTTATATCTATATATATAAACAAAATACACAAGAAGAAAAGAGGTTGCTGGTGTACGCTCACACCTAGTTTAAAAAAAATAATTTTGGTGGATAGTTTTTGTGATGAAGTTCAATGAGAGCATTTCTTGTAAAAATGTTGGTTCTATTACCAAATACAATACTACAAATAATATTTTATTATGTTGGACAAGATCTTGGCGAAAGTAGTAGTAGTAGGGTATCGGTGAAAGATGCTAAAAAGAAAGAATATATCCTATTCTACCGTAGACGCGAAAAGCTGGTCAAAGAGGTGATCTACACAACTCCAGCACTCAATCAACTGTGGTTGTATGATACGTGCAAGAGGTTTAGATCGCTTAGAACATCACTGCATCTAGGAGGGATTGAGTTTAGTCAAGTGACAGGCATACGTTGGTCGTTGTTGGACCGATATGATCGTGTCCAAGTAACCTATTATCACCTGTCTACATTGCTTGCAGCATTGAAAAGACTGAATGATGTGCACGGACAAAACCACCCAATCTACTTGCACACTATAGAAATACTCAACATTCATAATCCCAAATTTAAAGTACCGTCTCTGCCAAGCACCAGTATCACATCATTGACACTTGGTGGATGCCCGTTCACAGTGTTCCCATCACTTGACCATCTCGTGCACCTAAAGACGCTTGATATAAGATGTATCAAGTTGGAGTATCTTGGTCCCCTTCCACCAAATCTCGAGGTGTTTAGTTGTTGTGTAAAGTCATTTGCAATGGCCAATAACCCAGCTGAATATGCCGTCCTCCCAAGTGGTCTTGTCAAACTACAACTAAACGATTACAACGATGATATTGATCGTTTGCAACTAGACAAGTTGCAATCTCTAAAATACCTTGTCTTGCGTGGCGATCAAACATGTCTGCGATCAGACTGCCTAGGTTCGATAAAGGTTGTAGAGACATTGGTTTTGGGAGGTGAGATTACAACACTTGACACGTGCACCAAGCTACCCAATACACTGACACGGTTGGTTACTCAAAGTCCAGAGTTTAAAATGGACCTGTTGATACCGACCTTGCCAAAGATCTAAATGAATTGGTTCTCTTTACCGATTCATTGACCCCAACACTCGGAGGTCCACATCCCCTTCCAATCAACATTACGCAAATGTTTCTTTTCACTAGTGGTGTTGTCAATGCGTCTGTACTGCCTCGTAATCTAAAGAAACTCAATATCGATAGTGTCATCATGAATACTCCACTCTATATGGACGGTGTTTTACCAAACTCGATTGTTTCAATCAATCTCGGCAAATGTTGTTCACAAATACAATTTGGAAAGGATGGTACCGGTGTCAAGTTACCATCTTCACTATTGACACTAGATCTTGGAGCAGAATTCAATTGTCCAATCCCTCCACACACCTTACCAAAAGGATTAAAGAAATTGTATATGCAAGAATACAATTATCCACTTGACATGGACACACTTCCAGACTCTATTCAACATCTTCAATTCGGTAGAGGATACACACACAAAATTAGACATTGTCATTTACCACAATCTCTCACCTACTTGGAACTACCAGCTTCATTTGATCAACCATTAGAAGAAGGGTTATTCCCAGAAGGGCTAAAGACTCTTTATCTAGGGTATAAATTTAATCATCCAATCCATCCATCTCACTTTCCAACATCACTCAAAAAACTAGTCCTCTCCTTTATGTTTAATCAACCAATTCACAATAATGATAGTAAAGAATCATTGTTACCACCTGTAGAAATATTAGAGTTTGGAACAAATTTTGATCAACCTTTTGGTAGTTGCAAAGTAGATTCAAATGACAACAAAAACAACAAGGTTGTCATATCCTTTTTACCAAGGTCAATAAGATGGTTGTCAATTGGTAAATACAATCAACCAATTGAAAAGGGATATATTACAGATAATATAACAATTCTTCATGTCGATGACCCTTTTGCAAGATTTACCAATTCAATCTATTATCCATCCATTAAATATTGGTTACCAAATTCAACAATATTATATTTTAATAATAAAGTTCGACATGTACAAGTAATAAAGTAAAGTAAAGTAAAGTAAAGTAAAGTAAAGTAAAGTAAAGTAAAGTAAAGTAAAGTAAAGTAAAGTAAAGTAAAGTAAATTGTAATTATTTAGAGGATGTTGTTATTTCATTATTGAATAGAATAACAAAAAAGGTGTTTAATAAATAAGATTTAATAAATAATGTTCAAAAGTTATAACACATGACATGTCGAATTGTCAAGTTAATATAATTATAACCTTGGATAGTGAATGTTAATCGGGGAGGTATAACCTTGGACTTTGCAAATCTTTAAATTTTAACATAGGTGGCTGCAAAATACAACATGTAACAATTATCATTGGTTGCACTAAAAAAAAAGATAGATAGTCAGTATTAGAATAGAGTTGTAGTTGTCAATATTAGTTAATTTGATTATATAGCAAACATACTTGAGATAAATATGGCCTTCTTGACCCCAAGTTGAACCATATGAATTACGGATGATCCAATAGTCTTGTGGTTTGTTGTATCCAACTAGAACAACACCATGATTAACTGAAGCTCTTTGTTGTCTACATGAATAAATACCACTTCTATACGATTGGAATCCAGCATCTGCAAATAGTGGGACAATTAATGGACCACTCTTTAAGGCTTCGATAAAGTGTTCCTTGGAAGCTGATGTAGTGTCGTATTGACCAGTCCATCTGAATCTTGGTTCTGTAGTATTAGTACAGTTGGCCTGTTGCACAGCGGTATATGGAATATCATTTTCATAGGCAATACCAACTGGTTGCATCAATTGTAAAGCTGACATTGGCCATCCACCATTACACCCATTATTATAACAATTCAAAACATTTTGTTCTGATAAATCAATATCATTACCTGTTTTTATCTTGTAATATCTAAAATCGAAATGATAAATGAATAAATTAAAATTTTTAATCCAATGATTAAAAAGGGAATATGTATGTATGTATGTAGATATTTACATTTCAAGGTTTGATAATGCACTAAAGATATAACATGAACCACAGTTACGTTGGTTTTTAATACGGGTAGACATATTTCTCCAATCTGTTGATTGGCCCGACGGGTCTACTACAGGGGCACTAGTTGGCTTGGGTGGTGTCGTGGGAGCAGGAGTAGTCGTTGGAGTTGGCGTGTTGGTTGGAGTAGGAGTGGTAGTTGGAAGAGGGACACCTTCTGGATTATAAGGGAACAATCCTGGGAACCCACCTCTTGGGAAATAGTTACATGTAATATAGTGAGTATTTCCACATAATTTATGTACGCAAGCAAATGAAGTTGTAAGATTCCAAATTCCCTATAAAATAGATAATAATAGAATAGAAATATAAATAAATAAATAAATAAATAAATAAATAAATAAATAAATACTTTTGTTTTTTTTTTAGATTTATAGAAACATACAAAATTATGAACACTAATTTGACCCTTGGCACAAGTCTTTGTTGACCAGTTATAGTAAACACTGGTTTCACCAACTTGATTCAACATTGTGGTAATGTTTAAATTGGGGGCCATTTGAATACGGTATTCACCAACGACACCTAATTTTGATTTGGGTGAAAAGGACATGTCACACTTGTCCACATGGGCTTGGAGTTCTTCGGCCATGGTCACATTCCAAACTAGAGGATTGATAGCTCCATTTGGAGTGGGGGTTGGGGTTTGTTCTCCAAGACTTATGTTGATTGATGATGGCTGTTTGTTCATCTGGTGTCAACTCTGAAGATACCGGTAGTATCACCACTGCACAAATTACTAGTAAAATAATAGTGAGGATATTCATCCTATGTTAAAAAAAAAGAAATAAATAAATAAATAAATAAAGAAGAGAGCAATAGAGATAAAAAGAGAATAAAATTTTAACTAGAGGTTGAATAAAAGGATAAAATAAAGAGTGATGCAACAGGATTCGTGTGATCGTCATCTGACAATCATTCATTCTCAAGCCCTGATCAAATCTAGACTTTCTCAAACGAGAATCATCGATTCATTCAAATAAACCTATGGTGAAGGAATTCCTGTCGAGCTAGATTGTTTGGGTTGGTACTGCCCAAATACCACCTGATACTTTGAATTGAAAAGAATCTTTGTCACCTGATTTAGAACGACGCCCCATTAGCAAGAACCCCCAAGACAAGGTCGACCTTTGCAAATTAATTGTTAATTAATTAACAACAACGGTTTGTCGAGATTCCATGGATGGGTGTTGGGATCAAAGAACAGATAGATATTTACCAAAGAATTTATGTAGATTTTTTTAAAATCGTTGTTGTTGGTCATAGAACATCTGCAAAGATAGAATAATATGATTAGTCACTCCTTTTCTCTATTATCTCTTACAACTTGTTACAATAGTATTACTTACGATCGTAATCGTATTGGTTGTGTCAGGACTATCAAATCTTTGCCTTTTGGTGAATGAGAATAAACAACTATCTTGTTCTGTTTATCCCTGAGAAGGAGATTGTTAGTTATCTATTCTATCCATTGAATTGATGTATTTGAACGAATCAATAAATACAAATATACTTTTTTTAAAAATTTGAACACCCAGAGAGCATCCAACAATCAACAATAAAGAAAACATGTTAAATTATTTAGGAGGTATTATTTCTAGTTGTTGTCATCAACCAAGTATGGTTTTAAATGATTGATGACATTAATAATTTATTAGAATAGAAATACATGTTTGGGTTTGAAATAAATAATAAATAAATAAATAAATAATAGGATAGGTTGGTGGGTTCTTAAATAATAAATAACTGTTGTTTTTTTGTCAAATAGATTATGATTGATCTAATATTTAAATTGTAACATAAGAACCAGCATACTTCATCATGTTACATCTATCATTGGCAGCACTAAGGTAAATGTATCCACCAACTGATCCCCATGAAGTACCTATATATTTTAAAAAAAGAGAATTAATTAATAATTATTTCAAAAGATTTATAAATGTATGTATGTTGTTTGTATGTATGTTTGTATATTTACCCCAAGAATTTTTAATGATCCAAGCATCCTTGGAAGCATCATAACCAGTGAGAACTACGGCATGATTGACACCAGTGTATTGTTCTGGACAAGAGTAAACACCAGATCCATAGGATTGGAATCCACCGTCGGCAAAGAGAGCGACTACGACTGGACCAGCCTTTAAGGCATCGAGGAAATGTTGTTTGGTGACACCAGCCATATTGGCTTGACTTGTCCATCTGAATCTTGGTTGGGTAGAGTTGGAACAGGTGGCTTGTTTGACGGCAGTGTATGGAAGAGTGTTTTCATACTCTACACCAACTGGTTGCATCAATTGGAAGACAGTCATTGGCCATCCACCATTACAACCATTGGAATAACAATTCAAAACATTTTGTTCTGATAAATCAATATCCAAACCAGTCTTTATCTTGTTTCTTGCTTCGGCGACGGCAAGAGCTCCGAAAATGTAACAACTGCCACAACCACCTTGATTTCTAACTGGGGTAGACTTGGATCTCCAATCGATTGAACCTGGGGCTGGAGCAGAGGTTGGAGCTGGAGTTGGAGTGGTAGTTGGCTTTGGTGTGGTGGTTGGAGTTGGAGTAGTAGTTGGCTTGGGTGTAGTGGTTGGAGTTGGAGTGTTGGTTGGAGTTGGAGTGGTAGTTGGAGCTGGGATCGATGATGGAGTGTATGGCCAGACACCAGAGAAACCACCTCTTGGGAAATAATCACACATAATATAATGTGATCCGTTACATTGTTTGTATCCACATGCAAATGATGTAGTAGTATTCCAAACAGCCTAAAAAAATAAAAATAAAAGAATAGAAACAAAATAAATAATAATTAATAAACATATATTTATAAATGTGATTATTTGTTTGTTTTTGTTGTTTGTTTTTGTTATTTTAGTTTCACATACATAATTGTGGAGACAACTACCAGGAGAACAAGCCTTGGTTGACCAGTTAAAGTAGCTACGAGTAGCATTTAAAAAGTTTAACATGCTTGGTACATTGAGAGATGGTGACATGGAGATACGGAACTCACCTACGATACCTTGAAGAGCCGATGGACTGAATCTACCGTCACACTTGTTCATGTGAGCTTGGAGAGTTGTAGCGATGGTAGTATTCCAAACCAATGGTTTGATGGTACCCTTGGCAGCTGGGGATGGGTTGGATCTCCAAGCATTGTGTTGGTTAAAGATGGTAGTTTGATCGGCCGACGACAATTGTGATGATACCATCACAACAGAGTACAATGCAAAAATTAAAAGTGAAATAAATAATGATTTCATTCTATAAATATAAATATATAAATATCTCCTAACGTTTTATAAATAAACAAATAGAGTTGTGTTGTTGAAATAAATAAATAATAGTTGTTGTTGAAGAGAAATATAAATAAAGAAGAGTGGATTGAAGAGAGAGAGAGAGGGGGAGATGGTTGATGGTTGATGATGGATTGATCGTTGGTTGATAGTTTGACTAATTTAAATTAAAAATCATTCATCGGGGTTGCTTTGAAGGGTTTGTGATGGTCGATTCTAATTATTATAACACCTATGATGATACCCGATAGAGTTGGTCAACTAGCAGTTGATGAGTAGCACCAAGCCACCTCCTACCTTGAATTGAAAGAATCTTCTAAATCAAGCGCAGCCCGTTCGAGCGTCGAGGCGAACAGACACTTAATTAATTAACTCTCTTCGAAGCCATCGAGTTTTAGCTTCAAATAATCGAGATCTAGACCGATATTTTATAAATTTTATAAAGTCTGCAAGACACTGTTGAGGGGTGAGAGGAGGGCTGGTTTTTTTTAAAACAATGGTGGGTTTGTCGTTTGGAATGTTGATGGCAAGCCATCGAAAAGAAGGGGTTGTTCTCCCCCTACCTCGAGATACTTTGCAGTTTTTAAAATAATTATCACAAAAAACCATCCATTCATCTGTCAAATTGACCCAACCAACAATAATTAAACCTGCAGAACAAGTCAAGTCATTTGAAGTGTTTATCTATCATCATCATCATCCACCCCATTGGTAACACATCATTCATTCGATCAATATAGATATCTATACTTCTCAACCAACTTCCTTTATTCTCTTTTTTTATTCATTCTTTTAATCATCTATCTCTCATCGTCATCCATCCATCCATCCATCGATATCTATTTAAAATATTAATTATTTATTTTAAATATCTTATTTCATTCCAACAAAAAACAATATATACAATACATACATAAATAATTTTAAGCTTTTAAAAACAGATAATATATACAAATAATAATAATATAAAATGATGATAAAATCAATTTTATTAACACTATGTGTTGTAATGATGATGTATGTATCATCGTCAACTGCTCAAGACCCATCGGATGCCCAACTCTTTGCTGCCTTTATCAATTGGGCTCAAAACTATAATGTTCAATACGATAGCAGTGAATTGCAAGCCAAGTTTGCTGCCTGGAAGGCCAACGCCCAATTCATTGCCAACTACAATGCCAACAACAATGTCGCTGATATGGCTATTGACAATTCTGCCCACCCCGCTGCTGCCCAAGAAGCTGTCCTCGGTGAACTCAATATTAATGCTGGTGAAGTTGTCACTTTTCCAAGTGAATCTGTTTCTCAAAGTAAGACCAAAAAAAGAAAACAAAAAAGAAATATTCAGAATAATTATTAATATTAACTATTTCCTTTTTAATTTTTTATAGTGAACTTTAATCAATTTAGTGATTTAACATTCCAAGAGTTTGAAATTCAATACACTGGAGGTGTACCAGATGCCAATGCTGTAATTCCAGGTGCTGTTGCTGCTGGAGCTGTTCTTTCTACCGGTGCTATTATTGGTATTGCTGTTGGTGGTGCTGCTGCCGTTGCTGGTGTAACTGGTGCTTCTGTTGCTATCATCAAAAAGAAGAGAGCCGCTAAAAAGACTGTAGTTGCCATGGAGGAAGTTGCTCCACAAAAATCATCTGCACCAAAGGTTGATATCTTCAAGTTTGAAAACCCACATCACTCTATCACTGCCAGAGCTGTTGCCATTACAAGTAATTCAAATTAAATATTGATAATAATAATAATACTTGAATTAAAAAAAAAAAACAAAACCAAAAAAAAAAAAACCTTATTTATTTATTTATTAATGTATTAATAATACACACAACACAACACAAACCAAACCCAAACCAATCTAATCTACACACCCAAACCCCAAATAAATTTAATATTACATCTCTATTAATTAATTTTGTAATGTAATAATTTATCATTCCATTAATATGTCTGTATCGCGTCTAATTTTTAATTCATTTTATTTACTTTGGCTACTTGCTGTCTTTTTGAATTTTGAAATAAAGAAACCAATTGTTTCATGATTGGTAGAAGGATCAAAACGTTGGACTAGAGGTGATAGATTCTCTGGGAGAATACCAGGGAGACCTGGATCACCAATATGACCTGTTTGTGGAACCAGCTGCATAAAACTACCATAATTGTCGAGTAGGTATTTAACATTTTCTTCATTTTCACAAGGGTTGATGGTGCAGGTAGAGTATACTAGTATACCACCAGGTGCCAACAACTTGACGGCCGCATCAATCAATACACGTTGCAAACAAGCTGAATTATCCAAATCAATTAATAATGTAGCCTCGTCGAAACGTGGACGTGTACCAAGTCCCGAACATGGACCGTCAAGTAAGATACGATCAAATGATTCTTCTTTAAATACTCCTTCGATGAGGAGTTTCTTTGAATCACCTGCACGAACTGTTACCAAACCATTCTCATCGAATCCATTGACACGACACAAATCGCTAACCATCTTTGCCTTTTTCTTGTTTTTGTCAATAGCTGTAATCTTGTCACCTAAACCATTATTCTTGACCAATGATGCTATCAATGTTGTCTTTCCACCTGGTGCAGCACACATATCCAATATATTAAATGATCTCTTTTCTCTTTGTGATGGAAGAAGATCCATTTGAAAGACTGTAAGGATAGATGGAAGATGTTGAAGGAATAATTTATCGGTTAATACACCATTCAATGGTGGACAATCCCATATTCTTTCAGTCATCTTGATACCAACACCTCCACGAGTACTATAATAATCCAAACGGTTCATCAATGACACTCCATTACCAACAAATACAGTTCTCTCTGCATAATATCCATCAATGATAAATCCTCTCTTTCCATCTTGACTCAAATCTACAAATACTGATACCATATCACCTTCTACTATATGTTTAAATGATCCAATGATTCCTGGCTAAAAATAAAATTAAATTAAATAAATAGAATGGTTGAGATTAGGTTGACAACTTACTGCAAAGATATCACTTCCTCTTAATACTGCTTCAGCACATAATACTCCTACTACCACCTCTATATTGATATTAATTGAAAGATATATTAATATTTTCAATATAAAACTAAACCTCTAGATTATTAGTTTCCTTACGTACGTTTATATTTTGGTTGTGGATTAAATGGACCATGATTCTTTAATAATATAGTTTGATTTGTTATAGATTGAATAGTTTCATTGGTATCTTCTTTGACAAGATTAGAGAATGGTATAATATTGTTATCTTGTAATTTGAATTGAATCGATTCAAAGTAGGGACGTAGTTGATTGAGTAGGTGTGGTCTGTCACATTTGGAAGTGTTGACACGTATAGTTGTAAAGGTTGGTGGACGTACTTGAGCCTTTCTAATGGCATTCATGTGATCCTTTCCATAGTATTTCTCTAAATGATCTAATACATTCTGATGTTTGTATGCCATGATTGCATTCGGATCTGATGCATGTACTAGATTCATCTTTGATGTATCTATAGTGACTGGTGTATTATTATTATTATCATCATGTTTCTTTCTTTTGTTATTATTATCACTACCAGTATTACTATTACTAGTTGTAGTTGTAGTTGTTATTGTTTGCTCCATTCTCGATCGGGACTAACACTAACAAAGTACGTAGTTAGAGCCGACCTCGTCTTTATTTTTTTTGTAAAACGAGAGAACCTTCGGACCAAAAATTTTTATTTTTTATTAATATATTAATTCCTAATCATCATCATAGGTTTGGGCGTAGGAGATGCCCAGGAAAGGAATCTAAAAGATAATAAAATAATGTGTGTTTGCATTCTCTCTCTCTCTCAATAATTTAATCTTATCGAGTGAACATTTTTACTCACCCCCAAATTCATTGGATACCCTGATTTTTATTCATAACCCGAAATAAAGGGGTGAATCAACTCATCTACCCAATCACCCACTCCATATATATATATATATAATTATAATCAATCTATTCATCTTGGGAGGAGGGTGGGGGTATGCATAGTAGTATTATATATTTAAAAAAAAAAAAAAAAAAAGAAGAAGAATCAACCAATCATTGGAATCAAGTCAACAACTGTATTTTTTCTCCCTTTGTCTCTCCTCTCGATTATATTTTTTGTTATTCTACAAAACCCTGTTGATCAATCATCAATCATCAGATTAGTATAAATTAATCATAAAAATCAATTAATTTTTATTAATATTAATAGTATTAGATTGTTATCTCCATCATACATATTATTTATTATTTTGTTATCAGTCATTTTTTATTTTTAATTTTCAAAATACTAAACTATAAAAGTATTGGTTTACCAAGATTCATTCTTACAGTCATTATTTTATTTGTATTTAAATATTTATTATTATTATTATTTGTTATTAAAAAAACAAGCATACTTTTAAAAAATGGGATCATCACCAAGTAAAGAAAACAAAGAAAAAGAGGGAAAATTATCTCCATCAACATCCAATACTTCAACTTCATCATCTGCATCTACATCCACATCTTCATCATCAACTCCACATAGTAATAGTACCGATGATATTATTAATCATCCCAATAATAATAACAAAACAAGTTATCCAGAACATGTGATCGATGCCTCAAAAGTAGGTGACGTCTATGTCATTGTATATGGAACCAACAAGTCTCCAGTAAAAGATAAAGATAAAGAAAACTTAATTTATACTGTTGTGATTGACGTAGCAGGTGAATCAACAGAAGTAGTACCAATGGGTTTGGAGATATTCCTTGGAAAGGAGAAAAAAGGCATACGTCTTTTTGAAGAAAGACTTTGTGAACTACGTCCCAAATATGTTTCACATCAATTGGTTGGAAAAATCGATAATCTTTATCATGCTGGACAACCACAAGAATGGGCAAAGGGTTTAAAAGGAGTCATCTCTGGAAAGTGGTTTCCTGTATTCCAACAAACCAAGGGACCATTATGGTCTCAATCTGCCAACAGCCAAAACTATGCAAAGTATCTCATCGACACACTCAAAGAGAATAATCCTCATTCTCTAACTTGGCCAAATCAATTAAAAACTCCAACCGATAACAATAGTCCACGTGTCTATATTCCTCAATACATTGATATTTTAGCTGCCAAATAAAAAATAATATAAAGTTTAATAATAATAATAGTTTCCTAAAATTAATAATAATAATTCTAATAATAATAATAATAATAATAATATTAAATAATAATTCTTTCACCATGTTGAACAACCATTTTCAAGAAATATTAACCTGTACTCCCAAATTAATAATTAATAAATAAACAAAAATATCATCAATTTGAATTTTAAACTTTTTGGCGCCATTATTTGTATCTTTCAAGTTCACAGTCATTCATGTAGCACAGATAAAAGTATTGTATAACAAAAGATAAAAGATGAAGAAATACAATGTATCATTTATAGATCAATATCCTTTAAATTGTTATAGATTGATAGAGGTATCAAATGATATATTAAACGATTTCAAAACAAATGAAAAGTATGTAGTATGATGATGAAGAACAGTCAATTTGCTTGGAGTAGTTCTAACATTCATTGTATTGTTGTATCAATTGATATATATAGATTGATTATTAAAGGAAATGGACCAAATGATGAAGCAGTACTTTGTACATCAACAAAGACCTATTCTATCAAATCAGCATTTACACCAAACTCTATGCTGTTGTCAATAAGGAAGAATAAGAGTTCCAGTAGTAACACTGCTACTACATCATCAATGGATGTCGATGATTCATCGTCTGCGTCGACAACAAATATATCAACACCAACAAAACAAGCTCCTCCATCATCATCATCATCATTATCGTCGATAGAAATACATTCACTTTTACAACAACAATATGAATTGACAGAGATTCCACCAAGACTATCATTATTGAAAACAACATTACTCAAGAGACCGGTAGAGAATGATGAATCAGAGATTGACGGATCAGACGATTCAATTGGTTACAGTCTATCTGAAATCATATCATCAACTCAAGCAAGTGAAGCTGAAATTAGACAATATATTCAAGATAAATTACATGTATTTTATATTAATCAAGGTATTGTACTTAATATCTCGTAATTATAAACATCATATGATGTTAATGTTAATATTTGTTGTTTAATTTTAGATCGAATTGCACTTTTATCGGAAACCTATCAACACTATTTGATTGATTTAATATTAACGGAAATTACTATAAATGGATGGTCACATTCTAAAGTACCTTTGAATGAATGTATACAAAAGATTGAAAACCAACCAAAACAATTATTGGAATATACATTTAGAATTTATGGTAGCATTGATAATAGTGTCAAAGATAAAGAGGAAAATGAAATATATTATAAATTGGATACAAATTTAATTTGTATAAATATTGCAAATCAATTATTCAAGGTAAGAAATCATCGATGATTGGTTATTATACTAATAATGGTATCTCGGTAGATATTAATTTATTTTATTTTTGTTTAGGAAAAACAAAATTGGACAAGAGATAAATTTATGGAACAATGGATTGATAAATTACCAGCAGAGATTAAACCATCGATTGATATGTTGAAAGGTATTGCAATTACACCAATCATTGGTAAACAAACAATGGTCAATTATTTAAATGTAGAGGATTTATCATTTGTTCCAAAGGATAGATTCGCTCATCTATTCAAACAAATGCCAAAATGGAAATTATCAGAAATTGATGTTTATATAAAGTATGTAAAATGCATCAAAGGAATAGATAGGTATTGAATCAAAACATTAATTAACTTTCTCTTATAATTATTATATTTTAGACCAATAGTACCACCAGAAAATACAATCGAACAATACTTGACTAAATTTACAAGAACAATGACAGTTGACAAGGAAAAAGTATACATGCCAAAGTTTTAAATTAAATTAAATTAAATTAAATTATTGATTATTTTAATAAATAGATCAACTATATGATTTTTCTTATGTGTGTTTATATACAACTGTTGGTATGGTACTTTTACTGTTACAGTTTTGTTTAGATTTGTGTTTTAATATTTAGTAGACATGAACATTTTGATGATTTGATCAGCTGCCAAACTAGGAGATATTTCACCTTGTTTAACTTGTTGTTCAAGAATTGGAATGACTTGATTCAAAGATTTACTAGAATGTAATCTAGTCATTAATTCATCTTCAATATATCTCCACATCCATGTTTGTTTTTGATTTGATCTTTTTTCTCCCAATTCTCCAGTTCCCTAAAACAAATAAAACAGAATATAAATTAATTAATGTCAAATCATATCTTTGTTGTTTGTCTTTACATACAATCATTAATGTTTGATATTCATTCATTGTATTCCAAACAGTATCAATATTTTCATTGGTCAAGGATGAACATGATAATACCTTTGGTCTCCAATTCTCTGATTTTGGACGTTGTACCTTGAATGCAGACATGTATTCTGCCACTGTAAATCTTGCACGTGGAAGTAACTCTCCATCTGCTTTGTTTACAACTACTAAATCTGACATTTCAACAATACCTTTTTTCAATCCCTAAATCAATATATATATTTGATTAACAATCGATAATAGATTCATATTCTATTCTATTCTATTCTATTCTAATCTATTACATACTTGTAATTCATCACCATTGGCAGGTGGAACCAATAACATAAATATATCAACCATTTCTTCGACTGATACTTCAGATTGACCAACACCAACAGTCTCTACAATGATGACATCATAACCTGCACCTTCACATAATACCATAGTATCTGATGTACTTTTAGTGATACCACCCAATGATCCACGTGAAGATGATGGACGTACATATGCATTTGGGTCTTTGGAAAGCTCCACCATTCTAGTCTTGTCACCAAGGATACTGCCACCTGTACGAACCGACGATGGATCAATAGCCAAGACAGCCACCTTTTTGTTTAGTTTGGTTGTTAAATATCTACCAAATGCTTCGATAAACGTTGATTTACCTGCACCTGGTGGTCCAGATATACCAATCCGGAATGATTTAGGTTTTCCATGCTTTCCCCTAGACTCTTCTTCTTTTTTGGCTATTTGCATCAATATTGAAATGATCAATCTTGCTTGTTGTTGATGATCTTCTTTTGATGATTCAACTAATAATAGAGAATGAATTAGATTAGTTTGAGTGAATGAGTGATAACCAACTATTCTAATATACTTACTCAATGTAATCAATCTTGCCAATTCAACTCTATGTGAATTGCTAATACCATCGATTAACTTTTTGTTTTGATCTGTTAGTTTCTCATACAAAACATTCTTGGAGTGATCAATGATACCGCCGTTGTTCAAGTCATTGATATGAGGTATCTTTTTCTTGATTGAAGTAGCACTTGTAAAAGTAGACGTTGATGAGTCTTGAGTTATCCCTTCTGATCCTACTGTCGATGAATAGTATTTAACATTACTACGAGTTGTTGTTGTTGTTGATGATGATGCTGATAACAGAGGTGATGATAATGATCGACCACTACTGAACACCGATCCAATATAAGATGTTGTGGTTCTATTCAATAAACTATGTTTTAACATCATTCTTCTTCATTTATAAAAGTAATGAACATCTGAAATGTGCACATTAATTGTGTTACCCATTTGAGCTTTTTTTTTTTTTAATTGGTTGGGAGGGGTCCCCCTCCAAGATGATTGATTTCTGATTTAATTTTAAACAAATTGGATAGATACTCAGTTTCGGGGCGGGGAACTGTTTAATTCGATTAGTTGGTTGATTGATGATGTGTTAAGACATGTCTTTTAGATTTTGATTGAATCATAATGGGGTATGAGTTATAGTAAAGGTGAAGGAGAATGGGTGGGACTATGATGATAAACAAAAGTATCAAAGTATCTGATGTTTAAACGGAAATATAGTTGAACTTGAAATGTGTTTACTTTGGGGTCTGGATACTTTGATTAAAAAAAGACCGATACAAACTGAGTGTTTGCAGGGTTTTCGCGAGAGCATTCCCGAATGAGGACAGCGGATATTTGTGTCTTTGAGATTTTATGTTATGTTTGCAACAACACAACAAAAAATGGGTCAGATATTTGCTGCATTTGTTGTTGTGTTGCTGTTCAGTGAAGAGAGGATGTATGAGACAACAAAGTCTTATTGTTCCACATCATCATTCATTATATCTTGTCCTCCTCCTCACAGATACAACAAAGATAGATAGATAGAAATAGATAAAAGAAAGAGATAAAAAGGAGAGATAAAAAAAAAAAGAGATTAAAAAAAAAAAAATTAGACACAGATAGGAGAGGGGAAAAATGAATATAATCAAAACAACAAAATGTGTTCCAATAGTGATAGAGTTGGGAATAGATGCAGCAGCTGATCAACAATCAGTATTGTTTGAACAAAAGTTTAGAGCTGCTCTGCAAAGACAAATAGAATCCAATGGTTCTCCACTTGCTCATATTCAAGGTGTAGATATTGAATTATCATTTACACTCGAACCATATAAAGCACGTGCTGCAACTCAGCTCCCCGTCGACGGAGCAGACACTCCTCCCCGTTACCCAGGTAAAGATGTCATCAACTTGGTTCCAAGACAAAACAAATGTCAACAATACTCTCCAAATGAAGTATGTACAAACTCTAATCTTCCCCTCTCATACCTCGTCAATCACAATCAAACCAATCCTAACTTATATTATTTATTTATTTATTTAGTCTGTAGTAGCTGTTTTTTATGATGGAGTTGGAACTCAAGATGTAATTGAACAAAAAAAAGATTTCTTGACTACATTTCTTTTTGATGGATCTTTGGATGATCGATTTGATGTTGTGGCCCAAAGAGTACTTGGTCATTTCTCAAATAGTAATTTGTATAAAATAATATTGTCAAAATTCAATGCTGGTGATACTCAATTTATTGATAGAATATTTGGTTTAAATGATCTTCCCGAGGTATGTAAAATTGACAATACAATATATAATATTTATAATATTTATAATATTTATAATTTTGTATTTATTTTTTGTTTTATTTTGATTTTAAAAAAGGAATTTATACAACAAATTGATCAAGTTGGAAAGAGTATAGCAATGGATTTTTTAATTTCAAAAGATAAAATTCAAATATCAAAATATAATGGAGTATTAAATATTATGAATTGGTTGGATAATGTTAAAAATTCCTCTTCTTCTTCTTCGACAAGACCACATGTTCGATTGAATCTACAAGATGGTGGATTTGTATTGTTTCCAGAGATTCCATTAAAGTGTTGGCAAAATTTGATTGAATTGGATGTAGAGAATAACAAGATCAAAGAGATTAGTCCGGCCATCAAGAATATGAAACAACTCAAAGTACTCAATATCAAAAATAATTGTCTCGATAGTTTCCCCATTGAATTGTGTGAATGTCCCGAACTAAAGATCATCGAGTTCTCCAACAACCCATTGTTTTTCGTTCCCAAAGACTCGGATGCTTTCTATTCGACCAAGAACCTACTCAATTTCTACAGCAACACCAAAAAAGAACTCAAGACTGAGAAATGGCCATTCTTTAAATTAATGTTGTTTGGTGACGAGTCGTCTGGCAAGACTAGTCTATTGGAATGCATCAAGGGTGTGAAATCGGCTGAACCACCAGCACCAACCAAACTAGTGTCCATCAGCAAATACTACTCCAAGACCAACAAGTTTACCTTTTCAGCATGGGACTTTTCGGGCAACACAAAGTATCGGTCGGTACATCAACCACTCATCACTCCCAACGGTCTCTATATTATCACATTTGACGTCACACAAGACAATTGGAAGGACTCGGTAGAGTATTGGCTATCGCAAGTCAGCTCGGTCAACTTTAACCAATCGGATCGGTCACCATCTGTCTTTTTCGTCGGCACTCATACAGACACGGTCAAATCAGACCGATTAAAATCAATAGAAAATACATTCAAACAATCCCTTCTCCCAGGCAAGACAAGTATTGCCAGTTCACTCTTTTTCGTGTCTTCGAAAAAAGAAAAAGGTATTAGCGATCTCAAAAAATCCATCTATATGGAAGCTCAAAAGAGAGTCACCCTCGTCAATGGCAGCCATCTCTTGTTTGAAAGACAACTCAATCACTTTACATCGACATACTATGCCAACCAAGAAGATAGAAATGTCATCATTGTCCAGAAAATCGAACAAATGGCCCCCAAATCCTACGTTAAAAGCGCTCTCTCTGTCATCAACAATCTCAACGAAAGTGGTATTGTAGTCTATCGCCGTCCACATATATTTATCAATTGTGAATGGTTTATCAATGAATTGGATACAAAAGTTATACTTGAAAAAGATACCCTCGTAAATTATTACAAGGAATTATCACTAACTTATTTTAGAATATAACACATGTTAATAACTTCTTTGTTTAAATCCAACTCCTAAAAATTTATCTTTTCCCTACCTCCCTCCTCCTCATCCTTTTTTAAAAATAAAACTTTGTACAAAATTCTATTTCAACAAAAACTATTATTATTATTATTCTCCAACTGTAGATCAATCAAAAAGAACAAAAAATTATTTTATTTTGATGATACAAAAAAAATTGGTTGGATTTAAATTAGATATTATTATGTAAAGAGAAGTTATTATTATTGTTGTTCTTTAATGGTTCTTTCTTTTTATGGCCTTGAAAAATTCAGATAAATAGGTAATGTTGATAGACGTTCTGGATAAGGAAGGTCCATAAGATCCGACGGTCCAGTATAGCTGGAACACCAAGATGCTTTTCACCAAGTTCAAAAGAATTTTTCATGTTTGTATCCAGTGTATGAACAAAAAAACAAAAGTATTTAATACTAATCATTATTTTCATAAAGACACCTTCATTTTTCATTCACGATAGAGGGCAATAATATTAAAATACAACTATATTTCTGGAGATGGATACATCTGATATTATATTATATGATTATATTATTTTATTATTATGATACAAAAAAATTGGTTGAATGTAAATTATAAATTAGATATTATTATTATGTAAAGTGAAGTTATTATTATTGTTGTTTCTTTCTTTAAAGACCCTTTCTTTTTATGGCCTTGAAAAATTCAGATAAATAGGTAATGTTTGATAGACGTTCTGGATAAGGTAAATCCATAAGGTCCGAAGCGTCCATTATAGCTGGAACACCAAGATGCTTTTCAGCAAGTTCAAAAGAATTTTTCATGTTTTCGAATCTATTATCAGGAGAGCAAGCACCAAAGTCGATAGCCTTTGGTGCAAATTTGTGGAGTAGAGCACAATAAGCGAGTCCGTTTGTCCACGAAGTAGTGAAATTGGTTACTTCGACTCCCTTGTATCCAGTGGTAGACTGTTTCACCCATGTTAACAACATATCTAGTGCTTTTGTGCCATCGTTTTGAGGCGATGATCTGCCAACACTACCGGTGCTTGCCGTACGGTTGAGACCACTGGCAGCAGTCTTGAGGACGGCTGGTGGCGAGGCTGGTGGAGTGGTTGCTCCTGTCTTGGCAGTTGGCTTGAGGTTAAAGTGGTGGACTGGTGGTGGAGTGGTGGGTGCTGGGGAATTAAAGGATGGAGGTGGCTTGGCAGCCGATTTGAGCTTGACGGCGGATGGGTCAAACTTGGGCATCATCATACCTGGAAGTGCAACTGCACCCTTTGGTACATATGATTTGGGTTGGGCTGGCTTTTCCTCTTTTGGTGGATCGGCTCCGTCTGGACCACCATCATGATCAGCTTGGTTGGTGTCAGAGGATGGGGTAGTTTGTGGCTTGAGTTCCTTCAAATTGGGAATGTTGGCCTTTTCACGACTACCATCCTTTTTGAGAGCTCTTCTACTTGGTTTCTTTTTACCCTTGGCTTTGGTTCTACCAATTGTCAAATGAACTAGTTTACTATGATCCTCTGTAGTAGTATCAATGAGGGAGGAGGAAACTTCTTCGTTTGTCTTTGGAGTTGAGACCTTGGCAATTTGATCTTGTTTCTCTTTTTCTAAACGTTCCTTCTCGAGTGTTTCGAATCTTTCTTTTACCAAACGCTCCTTTTCCAATTTCTCCTTTTCGAGTTTCTCTTTTTCCAAACGTTCAGTTTCGAGTCTTTGCTTTTCCAAAAGTTCCTTTTCCAAACGCTCCTTCTCCAATTTCTCCTTTTCGAGTTTCTCTTTTTCCAAACGTTCAGTTTCGAGTCTTTCCTTTTCTAAACGTTCCTTTTCGAGTCTTTCTTTTTCGATTCTCTCCTTTTCCAAACGTTCTGTTTCGATACGTTCCTTTTCGAGTCTCTCCTTTTCCAAGCACTCCTTCTCCAATTTCTCTTTTTCTAAACGTTCATTCTCGATACGTTCCTTTTCAAGTCTCTCCTTTTCCAAACGTTCCTTTTCGATTCTTTCTTTTTCTAAACGTTCATTCTCGATACGTTCCTTTTCGATTCTCTCCTTTTCCAACTTCTCCTTTTCAAGTCTCTCTTTGTCCAAACGTTCAGTTTCGAGTCTTTGCTTTTCCAAAAGTTCCTTTTCGATTCTTTCTTTTTCGATACGTTCCTTTTCGATTCTCTCCTTTTCCAACTTCTCCTTTTCGAGTCTCTCTTTCTCCAAGCGTTCCTTTTCGAGTTTCTCCTTTTCCAAACGTTCATTCTCGATACGAATATTTTCAATTCTTTCCTTTTCGAGTCTCTCTTTTTCTTGCTTTAAAAGATTAAAAGAAATTATAAGTATTTTTTAATCATTCACACATCAAATCACTTTTAAATTACCTTTTCTTTTTCGAGTTTTTCTTTTTCCAAACGTTCCTTTTCCAAAAGTTCCTTCTCGATACGCTCCTTTTCAAGTCTTTCGTTTTCTTTTTGGAGTTTTTCCTTTTCCAAACGTTCAACTTCAACTCTTTGAGAGTGCTCCTTTTCTAAACGTTCCTTCTCGAGTCTTTCCTTTTCCAAACGTTCCTTTTCGAGTCTTTCATTTTCAATTCTCTCCTTTTCTAAACGTTCCTTTTCGAGTTTTTCTTTTTCCAAGCGCTCGGTTTCGATACGTTCATTTTCGATTCTCTCCTTTTCTAAACGCTCCTTGTTGAGTCTTTCATTTTCGATTCTCTCCTTTTCCAAACGTTCCTTGTTGAGTCTTTCATTTTCGATACGCTCCTTTTCCAAACGTTCCTTTTCAATTCTCTCCTTTTCCAAACGTTCCTTTTCGAGTCTTTCATTTTCAATTCTCTCCTTTTCCAAACGTTCTGTTTCGAGTCTTTGGTTTTCGATATGCTCCTTTTCCAAACGTTCCTTTTCAATTCTTTCCTTGTCCAAACGTTCCTTTTCGAGTCTTTCATTTTCGATATGCTCCTTTTCCAAACGCACCTTTTCCAATCTCTCATTTTCAATACGTTCCTTTTCAAGTCTTTCATTTTCGATTCTTTCATTCTCTAAACGTTCCTTTTCTAATCTCTCCTTTTCCAAACGCTCCTTTTCTAATCTTTCCTTCTCCAAACGTTCATTTTCCAATCTAATCTTTTCCAAACGTTCATTTTCAATTCTTTCATTCTCTAAACGTTCATTTTCTAATCTAATATTTTCTAAACGTTCTTTTTCATCCTACATATGATTATAATAATATAAATGAATTAATAAATATGATCCTACTAATACTACTACAATATTATTATAAATTTAACATACTTTTTCCTTTTGAATCTTTTCTCTTTCAATACGTTCTTGTTCTTCTTTTTCCTTTTGAACTTTCTTTTCAATGGCTTGTTGAGTATCAACTTTTGTAGAGATTTCTTGTTCCCATGATGCAAAGATATCGTCGTCGGCAAAAAGAGTATCTTGTTTCTTGACAAACTTTTGTTCAAGTGAAGCAATATCAACAATAACCTTTGGTTGTTCAGCAGCTACAGTAGTCTTTTTTGCAGATACCTTGAAAAGATCTTCAATATCTTGTGTTTTCTGTTGTTTCTCTACCTTTTTAGCTTCGGCAATGTGATCGATCGTTTCCTTTTCCTTTTTATCCTTTTTGAGAATATTGTCCAACGAAGAGGTAAATTCGTCGTCATCGGCAAAGAGATCGATGCTTGCAGCAGCTGGTTTCTTCTTTTGTTGAGCAGCGAGTGGAGCAACGGCTGGATTGGTTGGTTGTTGACTCGATGGTTTGGTGCCAAATAAAAAGTCAGTGGCCACATCTTGTTGTTGTTGCTTTTGTGCTGGTTTCTTGGCTTCAACACTACGTTCCAAACCAATTGTAATATCATCGGTAAACAATGAATCCATCTCTTTCTTTTTCTTGTCTTCAACTGTAATTTCTTTTTCTTGTTGGATTGGTTTGGCTGGTGACACTGGTTTTTGACCAATCTTGAATCCAACCCCCTCTGTCGATGCAGTCAATGGTGATACTGATGATGCTGGTGGTGTAGTTGTAGTTGTAGTAGCAACTGTAGCAATACTTAGTGCAGGGGCAGTAGTAGTTGTAGTAGATACTTGAGCTACTTCTTGTTGTTTGGGAGCTAGTGGTTTCTTAACTGCTCCACCTCTTTCCAAACCAATGGCAGCATTGTCATCAGCAAATATTGAATCATACTCTTTCTTTGTTGTTGTTGTTGTTGTCTTTTCTTGTTTGGCTGGTTTAGCAGCAGTTGTAGTTGTCTTTTCTTGAACAACAACAACTACAGTTGGCTCAGTAGATGACAAGAATGATTTGGCATCAAATGACTCTAATACATTGGTTTGTGAAGATTCACGAGATGGGAGTTGAGGTGGTGCAAACAAGTCGTCATCAACCTTGCTCTCTTCAAACAATGAAACTTGTGGTTGCACTGGTTGAGGTTTAGTTGTTCTCGATCTATTTCTACCAATAGCAGTTGTTGAACGTGTCACTCCTGTTGAAGGTTTGCTTAAAGGTGACGACACTCTTAGTGGATCGTCATTGCTCGATGATGATTCATCTAATGCCACCACTGAAGATGCTTTTGATGATGGATCAGGGAGATCAAATAAACTACTATTATCTGCAAACAAGTCTGGTTTGGCTTCTACTGGTACAACAGTCTCTGTAGTAGTAGTAGTAGTAACAGGTTCAGATTTGACAAACTCATCATCTGTGGAGGGAAGGGAAATTAATCTTTTAGTAATCTATAATTTACACAATATATATTAGGTTTAACCTACATCTATTATATTGAATGACAGTTCGTTTAGGATCTACTTTATGTTTGTTGAATCGTTTACCAAAAGAGACAAAGTTGTTTTCACCGTCACTGCCATCGCTAAGATCAAACAAACCCTTCTTTTCACTTCTAGGAGACTTGTTGTCATCACTACTATTACTTTCATCGTCACCAGGTTTTGATGAAACCAACTCCTTTTCAACGTTGGGGATACCCAATGTCAAATGATTGTCACTATCATCAAACAAATTATGATTTCTAGGATGTTTGTTATGATTAAAGTTTAGAGTTTCAACACTATTCCCTACTGGATGATGTTCATGTTGTTTAGTAGTAGAAGAAGAAGAAGAAGAAGAGACAGCTATATTTTGTGTTTGTTGTTGTTGTTGCTGTTGTTGTTGTTGTTGATCTACTGCTGGAGGATTGGCATTATCGGTCGTGTTAGCTGCTGGATCTCCAGATATCCATTTGAAGAAGTTGCTAAACATTTTCCCCTCTCTTGCCTCTCTCTCCTCTCTCTTATCTCTCTTATCTCTCTCTCTATCTATCTATCTCTTTAATCTAATCTATCTCTTCGTGTCTAATAATAATTAAAAGGTCAAAAATATCGTGATGAAAATGTAGAAGACAAGACACCCATGAAAATGAGTTTTGCTGGTTTTCTTTGGAAACTTCAAACCAAAAAGTGAACCGTGGTTTTCAACTCTTTCTTTTTATCTATTTATTTATTTATTCAACTACTACTACTTGGCAGTGAGGAAATCACTAGAGTAAAGAGGTTCTATAATTATATCTGTAAATAATTTAATCTTTTCTTGATTACCACCACTCTCAGTCTGGTCACCACGACAATCATATGAATGATTATTAGTTTTGTTGATTAAATAATGAATGGAACTCTTTTCTTTGGATAGAAAGGTGGCTATTTTAGTGACTAGATTGTCTATGGTCATTTCAGAATCAACATTTAGTCTACGACAAATATTGTGTCCTTTGATTTGGTCGTTGACAACCATGATTCTAGTGGTAGCTGGTAACTGGGAGTCTGGGTCTACTTGATACTCGACTTGTTTGTCTTTTAGAAGTTGTTTGGATTCTTCTATAGTATCGTCTAGTATTTGTGGTGGATAATTATTGGATGGATTGAATGGCAGTACAACACGTTTACACCTGTCTGTGAATTTAAAGTCAACTGTTCCAGTTGAAAATACCGAGTAGTTACCAGTATCAACATTAAACTCTGCAATTGTCGTTGTAATGATAGCAGGTGATAATACAAGATTAATGACTTTACTATAGTCACCTTTACCTGCACTGTGTGATATATCAGTCACCTTGGCAAATGATAATTCGTATTCGTGGAATCCAAAGGTACGTCTAGTTGCATCATAACCATAGTGTCTAACAACCACCTGGTTTATAATACTTGCTTCAGTACATATACCTTGAAATATTGGGCATATGAAACTTTCATTCACTGTTAAATACTATAATATAATATAATATAAATCAACATTATTAACTGATCAATCAATCAATCAATCAATCAATCAATCAAGTAATTAATATATATATACTAATACTTACAAATTGTGGTTCAGGTCTATGTAAATATTCTTCAGCTTCATATGATGTCAATAGTGATGATGATGAACCATTTCTATTTCTTCTACTTCTACTTCTAGAGAGTCCCGATAATGTTTGGATGGTATGTGAGTATGTCAATGCTCTACCTTTATCTTCAAACCCATATCCAGTATGGAATTGTTTCAGTGCTTCGTAGAGTTGATCTTCCTTTTTTTTGTCTCTTGCTCTGATCTGAGCGGGTGTGCTATTGCTTGATCGTGTAGCTGTCGCCTCCTTGTCTATTTGTTCTTGTTTCGTTATTGTCTCTATAAGCTTGTCTTTGGTATGATCGCTCCACCTTGGATTAACAGAGGAGTCATGATCATTTGCATTGCTTTGATTCTTCTTATCAATCGAGAAATAGGCCACAATACTCTTTGGTTTCTCCATCTATCTCTATCTATCTACTATACAATACTACTTGTTCATGAATGAGTACATGTTACAAACATATACTTCCATCAAGAGATATTATTATTTTCAAAGTAGTATAAATAATTTATAATATCGCAAAGCAGAAATTAATGAGTTTGGCCACCAAACTTAATTTTATACTTTTTATTTAACATCAATGATTGAATATAATATTATGTTGTTCATTATTTATATGTTAAATCATATAAGATATAACTTGTATCAAGAAACAACACAACGATGGTAGTAACCGAGTATGTATTCATTCAATCAAGTATAGTATACTCTACTGAATGTATTTTATTTATTTATTTATTTATTAACTTACCTTTTTATAATAGAATCATAAAGAGTTCAAAGTTGCTTATCACAACTAATTCACCTCACAGTGCATTGCAATTGAGACAGTTCACTGCGATGGTGCAAGGTTTAGACCCAACCAATTACCAAATCGATCGAAATGGTCTAACAATATTTCGAACTCCTTCATTGCAAGTGGATAAATCAACATCCTCTTCTTCTTCTTCTTCTTCTTCTTCTTCTTCTCCTCCTCCTTTATCATTTAATAGAATATTTCTATGGGAATTACCAAGATATTCAAGTTCAAAGATAATATTCTTTAAATCTACTATGGCAGTATTTATATTGGTGGATATGGGTGATAGAGAATCATTGGAGCGTGCTAAAACAGCTATTTCAGACTATGAGTCAATGTATGAAATAACAACAGAGTCGATACTCGTGGGAATCCAATCACAAAACAATGAACAAGCTGTATCTAAATATGACTTGGACCAATTAGCTCTTGAAAAGGATATGTTTCATGTAATGATAATCAATCTTTTATCACCAAATGAACCTGATAGAGTCAAAAAAGAATTCGATGGTATTGTAGAAAGACTACAATATGTTCCATTTTGGTCGAGAAATATAAGAGATATAGGTGGACAAAACTACTCATCTCTAGCAATTGACTTGAACCTAATAATCCCTAGATATGATAATAGCATGGTTACATTTGATCAAGATCTTGTTGACTATGATCATACCAACAACAATAATAATAATAATAATAATAATAATAATAATAATAATAATAATAATAATAATAATAATAGAAATATTACAAAAAGACTATGTTCAACTTTATTTTCAAGTATAGTATTTAAAAATATTTACTTGTCAAAAAAAATATTTGGTTTGGTCAGTAGTATACATACACAAGTTAACCCAACTGGTTCTACCTATCCACCTCGGAAAATAGATGAGATTGGGTTAACCAATATTGCAAAAAGAAGAAACTTTTATCTACTCGATAATCAATCAAGATCACTTAAACATATAGACCTATTTATTGATCATCGTACTGATTTTTGGGCAACATTCTTTAGTGTAAATACATCTTTGGATAGGATGATCAGGGTGCTTTCATGGTCACCAAAAGTTATATTCAATCGAAACTTTATGGTTACTGTGACGGATCTGTGTTGTGCAGGTGGTAGTTTGGAAATTGTGAAATGGTTGGCAAAACAGAATCATAGACCATCTATTAGAGGTCTCAAAAGTGCAATTGCATTTGGTCATTTAGATGTCTTTAAATTCATCTATTCTTCACTAATACCAAATGCCAACTCGAATAATACAACCTCACCCACCCTCAATTTAGAATTCCACATGGAAACGGTCAACAAACATTACAACAAAGAAGAGAAACTACAATTCCACCGATTTTCAAGTCGATTTGAAGTATCTCGTCTAAAAGATGGACCTAATCCTCTACTACCCATCTACACTATAACCTATCAAGACCAACAAGATTATATATACTTATCAACTATTTATAATCAACCCAATATCAAAACCTATCTTTTAGATCAACCAATCATTTCATCTTCAAATATTTTTACAAACTTTATTTCTTTTTTCAAAGGATTAAAAAAATAAAAGGAAAAATTCATGTATATATTATATTTTGGGGGATGGGTGATTTCCAGAGAGGTAAACTATCAATAGCTACTCGAATTTAATTTATTATTAATATCTACTAGTATTGGATAAGATGTGATTTGTAACGTTTAGGAGGATCTTCCTTTTCCATAATTTCTTCAAAACACATGACACAAATTCTAACAGCTTCTTTTAACCCAAACTTTTTCAATGCAATTTTATGTGTTGTACATTTTCCACAAAATACATTTCCACATGATCTACAATGATGCTAAAAAATGGTTAAATATTAATATTAATACTCTGATTTGATTTTGAATAACATATTATTTGTTTTTAAAACATACCATTCTATTAATTAAACTAAAATTTTCATCACATAGATTACAATTTTTTTGATTATTTTCATCCTTCCAAGATGGCATCCATAATATATTAATAATATTCGTTCCACTATTATTTAAACTATTATTATTACTATTTCTAATACTATTACCACTACTATTACTAATATTATTATTTGGAACTTGTTGTTGTTGTTGTTTTAAATTAATTTGTTGTTGAATTAATTGTTGAATAATTAAATGATCATTTTGAACTTTTGACCAAAGAGTGACTGGAATTTTAACCTCTAGTTTGATAGAGGGTACAGAGATGATGAAATAATGTTTGATGGTTGATAAATGACCACGGGTGGTTGGATAGACTTGATCATCTTCGACAAGTTGGGGAATAGATATTTGTATTCGAGTTGATAGTGTTTGACCATCACTAGACACCTTTTTAAGATCAAAGCTTTGTGAAAGCATCTTTGTTTTAACTAATTGTTGTTTGGTATATTGTCCTCCATAAAAATTTGATAAATTAAATTGTTGTTGTTGTTGTTGTTGTTGATGTTGAGAAGATGATGAACCATTTGATCCATTTGATCCATTTGATCCATTTGATCCATTTGATCCATTACTATTATTATTATTATTGTTGTTGGAATAAGTTGTTGAAAAGTTATTACTCAAATAATCAAGATAGAGTTGATGATTGTTATTACTACTACTATTGTTGTTTTGACCACTGAGTTGAATAGAGAGGGGTACACGAAGATCTATACGTTGTACCAAGTCAACGTAGAGTGTTGAGAGTGGATTGGAGGTTGGATTGCGAATTTCAACGGTTAGGACGGCTCGCTCACCAATAAAACAATTTTTGTGGCGTAGAGTAACTGCCATCTCGACTGGGCTGGCCTTGAACCCCCACAAGAACCGTGACACTCGTCCTACGGCGGGACTGTTGGCCAGTGTCAGATCCGAGTGGTTGTTTCCAATACCTCGGACAAAAAACTCGGTCGTACGGGCAATCGTATTCTCCTTCCACCCCGACCCCTTGCTATACTCTACCACGCACTTTGCAATGTAAAATATCGATAGAAACTCGATATAGTTGACCGACGGTGCCAAAAAACTTGGCAACTGTATTGAAAATGGAAAAGAATAGGTGCCTGCTTTAAGTTCCACAAAATGTGGTGAAGTTGATATTGATGGATTATTACCATCTTGTTGTTGATGATGATGTTGTTGTTGTTGCATTTGTTGGTAATGTAAAAAGAGTGAAAAGTTGATTGGCGATTGATTTGGTGATAGTGGAGGTGACTGTGGTAGAGGAGATAACACTCTTGGTGAAACCTTTAATATAACTGGTGATTTTTGTTGTTGTTGTTGTTGAGGAGGTGATGAAGAAGATGCAGAGTTACCATCACCATTTTCATTATTATTATTATTATTTATATCATTTATATCATTTGTATTTGCATTTGAACTTTCTCGAGAATCACCATGGTCCAACGATGATGATGAATTGTCGGTTGAGGGATAGACCTGATATGACTCTGAAAAGAATGGTAATGTGTAATGTTGATTGTTCTTGTCGGTGTGGTCGTGTAGATCACTGCCAAGAATGTGTGCATAGACCTTTTCAAAACCACCCAATTGTATTTGAATGTTGTGAAGATATTGTCGTTGATAGAATGATAGATGAACGGTTCCAGTCAGTAAACCACCATTGATAAAGTATGATTGTTCCAAATCCAAACTTACTGAACAACTATATTTGTTTATATACATATTATAAATATATTAATAATAATAATAATGATTATTATTATTGTTTGTTGTTGTTTAAATTAAAAACAATATATCATTAGTTTGAAAGTGATCAAATAACAGATACAACATTATAGAATAGGTTAGAAAAATGCCAATTAAATAATAAAGGAATATCATCGAAGGGGAAGGGAGGGGAAAAGGTATGGATGGATGGATGGGTTGAATATCCGGGACTGAATAATGGAAAACGAATTTCGAAAGAAATTAAGGTACAAAGAAGTATGATGATGATGTTGTGGTGGTTGTGGTGGTGATGTTAATAATAGGAAATGTAAATGTATAAAGAAAGAAACAATTATGATGATAAATGTTTAAAAGTACAATTAAATTATCATCAAAACAAGTAGAAGTTATAATGTTGCAACAAATACAAATGTAGAAAAAGAAGAAAGGGAGGAGGGTGAAGGGGAATATCAATATCCATGTCTGTTGATATTATAATAGTGAATGAAGTTATGATGGTGGCGCAGATTGGTTCACACCATCATCATCATCATAATCATCATCATCATCCACCTATCTCCTCTATCTACTCTTTTCTTTGAGCTCTTACTTGCAACTGATTCATTTCTATTCTTTTCTTTCTGTCACCCCCCCCCCCCCATACAACACACAATTGCACCATCTCTCCTTGCGATGAATTAATAATAGAATGACCAACCAAAAGTGTAAAAGGGGGTGACCAACCAATTGGTCATTCAAACTTGAGTGTGAGTGTGGGGGTGAGGAATCATAATGGTGATGATGATTCTTTAGCCAAGAGAGAGAGTGAGTCTTGATTCGTGAGGAGAGCGAGAGGTGATTGATTGAACAATATCATCGCAATTATATGAATGACAAACAACAGCAATAATAATAATAATAATAATAATAATAATAATAATAATAATAATAATAATAAAAGTGTTGTGATCACTTGATGTGATTGATTGATTGATGATTGCATACCTGTCATTTGAAGTGATTTGAAGAGGATAAGTTGATGAAGAGGATGTCAAAGGGGGTGGTACTGATGAAAGAGATGTTGTCAGTCCTGTAGTAGTGCTTCGACCCGCGTCAGGTGTTGTACTACCTGGAGGAGTACTACTCGTCTTTTGTATTGTATCTTGAGATGAGTTCACACCCAATCGATTAGGTGTTGTTGAACCACTAAACATGTTATGAATGTGTGGATGACGGGGGATTTGATATATATCTATCTATCTCTATCTATATCTGTATATCTCTATACAAGTTTGTTCTTCTTCTTCTTCTTGCTTCCACACAAACTAAACTAACTAATCTAAAAGATCTTTTCTTATTTTTATAAAATCCTGTTTTAAAATCTATTTATTATTAAACTAAACAATTGATAACAATAAGTAGTAGTAGTATTGTTTAACAATACAATAATAATAGTACTACTATTATTCATAATAATAATTATAAATTTATCCTTGCACCCCAAATATGTGTTTGGGTATCCATTCGAAAATCAACTTTTCGTGTACGTTTTCATCCTTTCCCCCCTTTGTTTAAATATTTGTTCGAGAGGGAGGCAATAATGTTTTTTAATATCGATTGCCCGGTTTTGGATTCCATCAAAAATACCATTCCAAACCGATGGAATTGCAGAATGATCAAAAAAGAATATAATATAAATAAAAGAAAAGTATTTGAGGAAACGCGGAAATTAAAAATGTAAATGGGTCATATAAATGGTTGGTGAGAATTCCGAACACATAAAGTACCCTGAGACCATGGAGGTGACCACTAATATCGATGACAGCTGTAGTACTTGTCATCATCCTCCTACTATCCTCTTTTGTTTGAACTTCAAATACAAGGTCAAAGAAAAAGATAATAAATGTGTCTGATTTCAAAAAAAAGGAAAACGTTGATTTATATTATTATTATTATTATTATTTTATACAGTTACAACATATTTGTTTATATGTATACATGGTTGGTTTAGTTGGTTGGTTTTGGTTTGGGTTCAAACTTATATGTGAATTTAAAAAAATATTATTATTATTATTGCCATAAACGCGGTTGGTGGAATGGGATAAATATAATTAATTAATTAATTAATTAATTATAATCTTTTCCATTATTACTATTTTTGTTGTTATTATTATACTTTTTTTTTTTTTGTTTTTAAATGTACATAAATAATTATCAAACTTTTTAATTAATTTAATTATCCTATATTAAGTTAAAATAATAAATGCATAATGATGAATATAAATGATGATGAACGATGATTGCTGCCTATTTTTGTTTGATTTCAACTTACACTCAAGTCATTGAGAGCCTTGTTAACCTTGCTCTTGACAGATCTCTTGCGAGTGGCACTGTGAGCCAAAACAGTCAACAATGCAACGAGTGTGGTATAGAACAAAGTCAATCCGCTAACCTTGTAGACCCAGTATACAGTAACTATAGTAAAATAGAAAGTAAAGTAAATAATCAATCAATCAATCAATCAATCAATCAATATTGGAACTAGTTGGTGGTTTATAAACAACATACTAAGAGTATAGACAACGAGTTGAATAGTCTTGGTAACGACGACTCCACCGACAGTGTAACTTCTTGGTTGTTGGACAAACAAGAAGAAACCGACACCAGCCAATACAACAACTGCAAACAATAATGAGTAATTGGTGAACCTTTATTATTATTGATCAATAATAAATAATAACATAATGGGTTGGGGTATAATGGTTAGTTTCCTCTTGTCAAGTTAAATCATATCATCACATTTCATATCATGTACATACAAAGTCAACAAAAGAACAACACCAACAATGATGGCATAGTTTCCACTGTAATAGTCTAGATTAGTTTCACATCTCTCCTTGACTTGAGCGTCTGGGATTGAGAATCTATCAAGTTCAGCAAAATCGCCCCATGGACGAACATTTAACTTCTTTGAGAATTGATCCATTTCTTTTCTTTGTAATGATATCTCTGTGTGTATATATATATATATTAATATGTAGTGTTGATGGATGTAGTATAGTATAGTTTACTATTACTATTAGTTTTTTGATTGTACAATAGGAAATGTTTTCTCAAAAAACCATGTTGTTCATGAAAATTATTTGAAAGAGAGAAAAGAACAAAAAAATAAAAAAATTAAATTTGTGGGTTTGGAAGAAGTGTCTTAAGTAGATCTTTTTGTAGTATATTTATTATGACTATGATTACTTTATTTATCTTGTTTGCACAACTTATTATATTAGTTGTATTTGTTCAAAATGGGAATGATTCCAAATCTCTATTATAATTAACATTATTTGTCTATTTATTTTTAAATTAATATATATATATATATATTATTTACTCTTCATCAGATTCTTGAACTGGAGTTGATGGTAAATCTTCATCCATTTCTTCATCGTCGTCAGCAGGAGCAAGAGATGGATTTAAAGAAAGAAGGTTATTGTTATTGTTGTTATTGGGGAATTGTAGAGTTTGGAGGTTTTGGAGATTAACTTTGATCTTTTTAATTGGGACAGCGGCTGCAGAGTTGGATTGAGCCTTTTTTCTTTTTTTGGACTGGATGTGGATTGTTTGGTTGTTCGATTTGCCATACACTGTCGCCAATGAGGTTGATCATTTGAATCAATCTCTTTTTGGACTTGTTCTTTTGCTTGAATGATTCGAGGAACTTGAGCCACAATGGTTCGAGACCGAGTGTGACAACCATACGCTTCTTGAATGTCTTGAGCATGGTCAAAAGGGCTGGGTATTGTGATTGGAGAATGTTGACGAGGATCATGTCTACGGCAGCCTCAAACATCTTGGCAATCTCTTCTGGATAACGTCTTTGGAGCACGTCAAAGAGTGATTCGAGACGTTCGCTCTTCCATTCCTGGTAGCAACGCTTGGCATACTTGTGGATGAGTGGGAGAACGGCGGGCAAGTGTTGAATCGAGTGTTGGTCAACTGCTTCATAGAGGCTTTCCAAAAGCATCATTTGGGTGTTTAATTCATCTTCTTCGGTGCTTGGGTGTGGGAAGATTTCAATGCATTGCTTGAACAAACCGTCCTTCATGAGCAACTCAATCTTGCTGTTGAGATTTTCTTCACGCTTCATGACAAAGACGACCAATTGTTCCTTGATCTCGGCCCATTCCTCTTCGGACGACAAGTTTCTAATACCGTCCCATCTGGCGGCGGTTGGGTCAACCTTGAAGGCAACGATGGTTTGGTCGCGGATCACTTCACCCAAATCTTCAAAGTTGGCGGCATTGATGATGAGTTGTGTGATGGTGAGGGTGTGTTGACAGATTTCGTCGTAGGTGTATGGTGGACGGAGAGCTTCGCTGGCAGCCAAAGTACGATCGATTTGGATTTGGATCTTGGCACGTAAAGTGTCGTCCTTTTGTTGGAGGTATTGTTGTTGGTGGACACGGTATTCCTTGGTCAACTCTTCCTTTCTCTCGATCAAGAGACGCTTCTCGTCGATGATTTCCTCTACTACACGACCTACTTGGATGACCAATGCATATTCCTTCTTGTCAAACAAGTCTTGTGCAAACTTCATAAGTGTCTCGAGTGAAGAGATGTACGACACGCACATCTTGGCCATTGCTTCGATTTCAGCAATAAGCTTACGACGTTGGGCTGGGACAGTGTGGAGTGACTCTTCGTCCATTGATGTGATCGATGCTTCAAAGGCAGACTTTTGGTTGGATACCGATGAAATGAGGATGTTGGCGACTTGTAGGGCAAACTTGTCGGCATCGGCGTGTTGGAAGTCTGGACGTGCCTCGTCAATCTTTTGCTTGGCAATCAACTGGCGTAATTGACGGTGCTTCTCGGTTGGAAGACGACGACGTTGCTTGTCGAGTGCTTCCTTGTCGTCACTGAGAACCTTTTTCTTTTCGGCGGTCGATTTGACATCGGATTGGAATGCACGGAACTTGTCAAGCTTGCTGAAAGCCAACTTGCCAACAGCACCCAAACTGGCCAACTCTTTTTTGGCGAGGAGTGTCTCCATGATGGTGATGAGGGTGTTTGGATTCTCGACATAGGTATCGATCAACTTGTGAACAAAGGCAATGTTTTCCTTGGATTGACGGATAGCTGGTTCGAGGAGTGCAGGAGTATCACCAAACTTGGAGTAGTTTTGTAGACGTGCTTGGTAGACATAGGTGATACCAAGAGTACACATGGTACTGTGGTAGGTGTGGGTAGTGAGATACTCTTCGAGGTAGGGGACTGATCCAGCGGTCTTGGTGACATGGTCACGGAGACCCTCGAGTTCACCGAGGTCTTCATCCGACATATCCTTTTTCATGCGGGTCAAGTCGACAAGCTCCTCTTCGAGAAGGGCGAGCATTACTTGATCTTGTTTGAGTTGGCTAGCCTTGGCAGCCAATTCTTCGAGCTTGGGGTGGAAGTACTTGGCAATATCGACAAAGATTGACTCGCGACGTGGGCCAAGTTGGGTGGCAAGGTTGACAATAAGCTTGGGGTTGTCTAAATTGGGCAAGCAGACGGCCAACGACTCGGTGATACGGTGGTTCAACAAATCACGCTCTTTGATGAGATCTTCCTCGGACACGTTGGCAGCGATGGCCTGATTAAACATCTTTTTCTTGCGGAGCTTCTCTTCGATAAAGTTGTGGCATTCAAGCAACGACTCCATCAATGCGAGCGAAGCTTGGTACTTGGTGTCCTCGTACTGACGCTCAACGTCGAGTCTGGCATAGTGTGGCCACACTGGCAACTCTTCCAATGCCTGTTCTTGCTCCTTCTTTTTGGCAAACAATTGTTGCTGCTTTTCTGGAGTGGCACGTGGGATGCTTTCAGTGGTGGTCCTGATACGCTTGAGTGCAGAGAGACGTTCGAGACGCATGTCTTCAATCTCGGCACAACGCTTGAACAACTGGTTGGTGATCTTGATGACGACCTTGTCCTCCTTGCTACCACGCATGTGTGTGGAGAATTTGACGAGGTAGGCTGGATCCTTGAACTTTTCGAGACACAAGTGCACAAGATTCTCAAACTGACGATCGATGAGCTCCTTTTTGGCGGCGTACTCGGCAATGCCGACTTGCGATTCGAGGCTGTTCTTGCTGTCCAACACACTGCTAATCATGACGATAGCAATGAGCAAGTGCAACTCATCGTATTGATAACGATCGAACAGGTTGGCAAAATAGGGCCATGCTGGGAGTGGATCGAGCTTGGCTCTAAAGGCATCGAGCTTTTCTTGTTGGATGGCTGACAACTTGGTACCTGCAAGACGAAGGGTCTCTTCTTGCTTTGAAATCTCGTCGTATTGGCTTTGGATTGGCAATCTAATCTCTCTTTGGTTTTCCAACTCACCAATATACATTTGACATCTCTCACCATATCTAAGAGCTGCTTCATTCTCCTTGTGTGATTGAATCAACTTGGCCAATTCATAAATGTGTTTTGGATCTCTCAATGTATCCAAAGTTTCATACAATTTCTCATTTACATCTCCAATTGAATTATTTACATTAACCTTTGATGCTTTTTTCATTTCTATCAAAATAAAAAGTAAATTAGTATTTGGTATTTTATATTTATATTATATCTTTTGTTTGTTTTATATTTACCAAGAATACATTTAACACGTAATTGTGCAATTCTAAGTGTGAAATCACCAATTTGAGCATCAGAGGCTTGGTAATGAGATGGAAGGAGTTTGAATACATCGAGTTGTTTTTGAAGTGCCTTTACTTCATCGGTCTTGGCAGTGGTACTACCATTGACACGTTCAATCGATTTAATGTCTACTTGAAGATCACGAATCTTCTTTTCAAGTTGCAATTTTTCCTTTCTTGATACTTCAGTTGCATCAAGTCTCATTCTTGCTCTTTCAGTTAATAAAATTACATGTTTAAATTGTTCCCTATGAAATTAAAGAATTTAAGTTAATATTCAATACTTTATCATTTAATATATATATTTTGTTTTTGTTTTAAACTTACTTGCTTAACAAGAATTGACCAATCTTTAAGATGAGTTCTGGATCATTGAGAACAGTTGGAATGTAGAATTCAATGATTTCCTTTAAAAGTTCACCATTTTGTAAGAGTTCAAGTTCTTGTAACTCTTGTTGGCTGAGTGCCTCCTTTTTGGCGATTTTGTCCTTGAAAAAGGCCAAAGTGGAAAAGAGGGATCCAGTGGCTCTCTCGGCAACGGCATATGGAAGTTGGTTGAGTTCGAGGTGTGATTGTACTTGATTCTTGGTGACAAGTGCTCTTTGAGCCAAGATGGCATCGGCAGCACGTTGACAAACCTTGATGCAAAGGATACCCATCTTGTTGTCATCCAAAATCTTGGCAATCTCCATAATACAATCTGGTAATTGAATAGGTGCCAATACCTTTTCTAAAACATCTTGGAACTTTTTGTACAATGCTTCTTCTTGTGCATCACCTTCTGATGTTGTTGGTGACCCATTCTTGTTGTTATTATCAACTTCCATTGAATCAGATGGCTTGGCAGCAGAAGCAGCAATATCTGCTACAACGGCAGAAGCATTTGATGGTGGAGCATTGTTAAATTTAACAATCTTGAGTTCCTTTTGATAGGATGTGTAGGCAGCTTGGAGTAAAAGGATCGATGCATCGGTGAGCTTTCTTTGGTATTGCACGAAATTGATACGAAGACGTTCGGGAAGACCAGCATACAGAGTACGATGGTATGCGATGTTATCCAGATTGGATCGTTCCTCGGCAGAGTATTTGTAGTATGGAATGGTTGTCTTGATTTCTGACTCGCGGGTCGATTCTTGTTTGATCGACTCCTCCAACTGTGTCTTTTTGGTGTTGATTTCATTGAGAATCTCGTGGATTCTTTCGCAAATACGAGTGACCAATTCGACGTTGTCAGTGTTTGATTTGGCAACCTCTAACAATCGATCTTCGTCATTTTTTGCTAACAAATAACCAATGATATCTTCTGACACCTGATTATCTCTTTCTATGTTTTGTGATGGTGGTGCCATCTCTTTTTAATGAATCCTTTAGAAATAAAAATAAATATATAAAACAAATAATATGATACAAATAAAAAAAGGATATGAGAGCGTTGTGAGGAGAATGAATGAATGAATGATGATATCTTGTTGTTGATGAAAGATGAAACTGCAAGATATTTAAAAGTTTAGTTGTTGGAGATGAAAGAGAAAATTGAGTTTTTATCGTCGATGGTGGCCAATGAAATAGACCCCTTCTTGGAACCTCCTCATTTTGAAGAATTTTTTTTTTTTCGCTATCACATGAAACATTCATTCAGAGTGAATACGCGCGTTCATACCGATAATAGATACCATATATCCTATTCAAGATCTTATACGAATTATCAAAGTTGAAAGACAGATACAACACCAATCGACTTGAACAAAACAAAATAACAGATAGAAGTAGAGGTAGTAGTGGAAGACACTAATACAACTTTGTTTGTTTTGGGTAAAAAAATTGATTGTTGAAAATCGCAAAGGAAAGCGAGCAAAACAAAAATATTTACAAATTAAACAAATTATTATTATTCGCATCAATTCTGACCGACAAAGACGATGAGAAACTGAGAATAACGACAGAGTAACTAGTTAGTTCATTAATTGTTGTTGTGTTATAACAAGATATTCGATTCGAAAGATTTATTCATTGCCAACACGCACACATATTATACGTACACCAACACATTTCCCTCTTTTTATTTTTAATTTTTTTCACAAAGACCCTTTCTTTTTCTTTCTTGCATTCTTTCATTATCTAGTTAGTCTTTTTCTTCTTTTCGAGAGAAAAGTATATATTTATATATTCTCATACATTATCATTCATTTATATATCAGTAAAGAAGAGAGTTATACAACATTATACATTATACATATATAAATAGATATATCAATATAAGAGATGGATCAAACCACTCTCAACAAATTATCAGAGAATGTTGAATTCCTACCGGTTCAATTTGAGAATATGTGGAATGATTACATGCAGGATGTCAAGGCAGCGAATCGTGGAGACAAGTCGACATTGTTGCGAGCATTGCTTGAGCAGTGCACACAGATCATAGCCAATGCATTGTCCAAAGAGGACATTGAAGCATTCTTTGACGACCTTCGAACCAAAGGTCTATTATATCACGGTGCCTGTGACACCACATGGAACTATGGAGACACTGCTTATAAATGTAAAACTTGTCAACTTGATCCTACTACTGCTCTATGTCTTGCTTGTTTTAGATCTGGTGATCATGTAGGTCATGATTGTATGTATCTCTCACAATATATCAAATAAAACCAATGACGGTTACACGAATAACTACTAACTAATCATTCATTCCAATTCATTTCATTTAATAATTACTATAGATTCATTACAGAGTGTAGGAGGTGGTTTTTGCGATTGTGGAGATCCAACTGCATTTAAACCTTCAGGGTATGTCTATATATATATAAAACAAACAAAGAATGTAGAATGTTTGAAATACAAATATTAATAATCTATCTTTTTTTTTTTCCAATTTTCTTTAGTTTCTGTCAAAAACATAAAGAACAAACAATAGATGTAACAAAATACCCAAATAGATTTATAATGTCACTTAGTTATGCGATACAATTTGTTTTGAAAAAGGTATGGTACTTTTTTGAAAGCAATAAAGAGGAAGAATACGATATATTTATGGATTGGTTGTTAAAGTTGGCACAACGTGGAGACGTTGTCAAGATCATTGTCATCAAATACATATCCAACACGGATATTGGCAACACTACACTTTTGCCAGCCTCGCCTTTCCTTCCTACATCACTCCTCACACAATTCTATCACCCCATCAACCACGCCCTCGTGTCACCACGTATCAAAGCCACCTTTGTCAATTTCTGTGTGTTTTTGCGTGGCTCTGTCGAGTTTATTCAGGCCATGATCGAAACGGTCGTACCTATCTACAAACAGTGTATCATCGAGGCCAAGAACCACATGATTCTTGCAAGCTATACCATCTTTTCCTCGTCGTCGGTCGAGAAGCTCCTCTTGCGATTGGGTGCCGTCAACGTTGTCATGGACACCATCAACACCTACTTTAAAAAATATTTGGCTAATCGTGCATCGTTTGTCAGGAAGCATGCACGTGTCATCCGTTTCAAGCAAGACGAGATCATCGATCTCCCCTCGTACAGCGCCTTCCTCCAACTCAATACTATCCCACGTCCACTCCACCGTCTTCGTACCGATATTGGATTTATCCTCGGTGACCCCATCATCTCGCGTTCGGTCGTGACTGACCTCCGTCTACTCGGTGAATGGTTCAAGATGATCTCATTGTCACAGGGTATGAACCCCAACGTCAAGTTCCGCTCCACCATGTCCGATGAGTGGGTGCCAGCCTTTGGCATTGACATTTCGCTCTCGTCTACACTTTTTTCAGTTCTCTCGGCGATCGAGTCGAGCCACGCTGGACTCAAATCCAACGACTACAAAAACCTTTTGGTCTTGTCATCACAGTATCTCGGCAAATGGTTGTTGGGTTGGATTTCATCGGCCAAGCAAGCACTTGTAGACAAGGAAGAGAAGCAAAAGCAAAAAGAGGAAAAGGAAAAGGGAGCCGACTCTGCTGCTGCTGCTGCTGTCGTATCGAGTACTGCATCCGCTACCAACTATACAGTGTCACAATTGATTAACCAGTCCATGTCGGGCGAGGGATTCACATTCCACTTGATTTTGCATAGAGTGGTTGCTGCATTGTTGCTCAACAGTCTGCAATTCTTTGACGACTCGAATAGCGGTGGTCTCAAGGCGCTGTTTGGCGGTATCATTGGCGAGCGCTCGCCCGTGTCGATGGACGATTACGCACGTTGTGCGATTGCCCACCCCGTCAAGTTGTTTGCGTCGATGGGTGAAATCAAGGCTGGTATGTGGAGAAGTTATGGCCGTGAAGAGGACATGAACCTCCAAACCGTCATGTACAAAAGTTTATACTATCAACGATTCTTTGATCTCGACATTCTCCTCATTCAAATTGGTTCAGCTCTCATTGGAAACAAATCATTTATGGAACAAGTTTATCATACCTATGCTTTAGAAGATTGGTTTAAACTTGAACCTTCAAATAATAATAGTACTGTAGTTGCTACTGCTACTGCTCCAGCCACTTCTACTACTTCTACTTCTACTACTACAAACATTAATAATACACCACCAAAAGCACCAAATACAAATCTTAGACAAAGTTCAAGTGGTACTAAAAATACACCAATTGTAGTAGATGATGAAGTAGCCAAGGAAAAGGAAAAAGAAAAGAAAAAGGAAGAGAAACGTGCCAGAAAACTTGAAGATGATCTCCAAAAGAAAAAGATTTTGGCCGAAGATTTCATTCAATTCATTGTGATGATTTCGACCAACAAGACATTGGCCGGTATGACTGACGAACAAATTATCCGCAAGGAGCTTATTCACCGTCTCTGTTTGGGCGATTGCACACATTCGCAAGTGACCAGAAACATCCAACGTCGTTTTGTCAACCATCCCAAGTTTGAAGAGATTCTCTTGGAGGTTGCTGTCTTTCAAAACCCACAAAAGACTGAGCAGGGCAAGTTCCAGCTCAAAGAAGCTTGTTGGGCAGAGTTTGACCCCTACTTTGCACACTACAATACACAAGACCTGCAGTCGGCCGAAGAGAGATACACCGAGTTTAACAACAAGACCAAATCCAACATTGCACGTGGCACATTCATCAACTACAAGCCACGCAATTGTTTTGAGCATATTGACCAATTACTCTGCTCCAAGCTCGTCCATCAAGTTCTCTTTACCGTGTTGCAGAACCAATTGGTCGGTAACGGTCAAAAGGTCACTGAAACACTCTTTACACACGCTCTCAATGCTTTCGAGTTGTGTATCAATCAATCTATTTGGAACAACCTTCAAAACAAGGGTAAATCGACTGTCGTTGCTGGAACACCAGTGTCAACATCGTCACAGGCTAGTTTTGAGACCAAAGCACTCGATATTGAGTATCCAAGCGAAGACAATATCTTTATCAATGCCAACCATGAAGTGCCAACCAGCGAGGGCAAGAAGTTGTCATTGATGATTGTGTTGGTCAAGCTTAGTGCCAATACTTCCATGTCCAACGAGCACAAGCAACAGATTCAAAACATTCTCAACTTGTTGATTGATAATGACGCGACGTGCAAGGTGACTGTCGAGTCGTACTATGCTGCCATCAAGGCCAAGAAGGCTTCACAGGTGCAATCGACCCCTCTCAAAAAGGAGGATCCAGAAGAAGAGCGTAAGCGTATGGCACGTGCCCGCCAAGCTGCTATTCTCGCACAGATGAAGTCTCAGCAGAATAACTTTAAGTTTGACGACGATGAAGACGAGTATGACGAAGACGAGGATCAAGCTGCCATCAAGGCCGCTGAAAAGGCCAAGCAAGAGGCCAACCAGTTGATCGTCGACGGCAAGCTGTCAACCCACACCTGCGCACTATGTCGTGAGGCTGGCAGTCTCAAGCGTCCCATGGGACGTGTCGCCTTTATCCAACCGTCTTCGGTGCTCATGTTGTCCAAGTTGACACCCGAAGAGCGCAAGCAGCGTATGACTGACGCCATCCTCAAGGAGATGGGTGAGAAGCCAAGCGCACAACAAGCTGCACGCGGGTCGCCCGCATCGGCCGGTGGTCGCCAGACACCCCACAATGCACTCAACGAGCTGCTCGGAAACAACGATGACGACGATATGGACCCGTTGAACGACATTGACATGGGTTCGGAAGCCGACGACGACTCGGACGACGAGGTCACCAAGGCCATGTCCTTCCTCAACAAGATCTCCAACTTTGGAGAGTACTTTGATGATGGTGGTATGTTCCCCGACGGACACCACCACGGGTTCCAAGAGGAAGAGGATGATGAAGAAATGGAAATGGATCCATACGGAGAAGGTGAAGATGACGGAGAAGACGAGGATTCAGACGATGATGGATCCGACGACGATGATGAAGACGACGATGAAGATACTGGTTCGTCGTCTTCTTCTTCCTCTGCCGACGATAATCACATGCATGACCAGATTGTCATTGACGATGAGGACGGACAGGAATTCCCACGTGGACGTGTTAATGCCAACCAAGAGATTATCGATATCGATCACGAAGACTATTATTCGTCCATGTCAGAGGATGAAGGATTCTATGACGACGATGACGACGATGATGACGAAGCCATCTATGACTTTAACGATGGAGGTGATAGAGCTGGAGCAAACAACCTCCACGAACATGGTGATCATCATCACCACCACCACAATAGAAACCCAGGACAAGCAGCCATCCAGAATATGTTTAGAAATATTTTGTTTGGCGGTCCCCACCCACCACTCAACGACGAAGATGAACAAGCTCTTTTTATGGACGACTATGGAGAGGATGAAGAGGAATTCCTTCACAAGGAAAAGGGTGACCCAGTCACTGGCAACCCATGGTCACAAAAGTTTAGCAGACAAGAGTTGTTTAGAAACACAGAGCAAACTGTCAACTTGCACATGTCCTTCTGTGGTCATCAGATTCATGAAGACTGCTTCAACGACTATTCATGGAACTCTTTCAAGAATCAAGATGATGAGGAGCAGTTGATCGACACACAAAAGGGAGAGTTCCTCTGCGTACTCTGCCGTCGTATTGGTAACGCCATTGTCCCCATCATTCCCGACTCTGGTTATGCTGGCGAGTCACCATCCCAGCCACAAAGTGGATTGGGTCCCCTCCCATACGACCAGTACAAAGACTTTATCAAGGGAATGGAAGAAAAGTTGACCATCCCCATTGACAAGTTTGAGTACCCCGAGTCACTCAAACCCGTCCGCGAAGCTATCAACCAATTCGCATCCAGAGTATACTCTGTCCGTCACAACACCACCTTTTTCAACGCTGAATCCAATGAAAAGGTGACTCCACTCATTGCATCGTCGATTGCTTCGACCATTGGCAATACAGAGTTGGCCGGCCGTCTCAAAGAGGCTGAAAATGCCAGTACCACCGACTACCACTTGTTTGGTATGAGCGAGTCGAATCGTGTCGACATTCGTTCACTCTTTAGAGCATCCGTCTCGCATATTATTGCACATCCACCATTTGTACACGAAGGCAAGATGTTATGGAACTCGTTCTCTGGTGATCTTGCAGTACCACTCCCCAAGATACCTGAAAACTACAAGGATCTGTCAGAAGACGACAAGAACAAGTTTGACAAGCAATACGACGAAGCACTCCAAGAAAACTTCCCACCCTTCCTCACATTGGACCTCTTCCACACATTTGTCCAACTCTATCTGCGCACATCGTCCAAGGACAGCTACGTCAAGGCCACCAACCGTTTCTACACCATCTTGCGTGTCTGCTTTGACGCTTATCTTGCCCAATCCATTTTCCATCAACTCGATGTTCTCAATAGCAACCCATCGTCTGTTGAAAAGGATCAATTCACTCAAGGAGTCAATCAACTCATAACCACTCCCAATGACAACCAACAAACCATTTCCAATATGCCCAAGGAGCACTCCTCGGCCATCAAGTCACACGCTGTAGTATTTTTACGTAAATGTGCAATCTTTTTGTTTGCATGCCTCAATATCAACCCACCAACGCTCCCAAGCCACGTTTCACCATCCTCGCTCAATCAAAACCTAGACATTGAAGTGGAATATCTTTTGCATTACCTCAAGCTTGGTTTCAACGACACTCTTTCGTTTGAACAACAATTGATCCAGGTCGTCAACACCCTCATCACCCACTCTGACACTTCAGTGCCACTCGTCTCTGCATGGTCACAACAAATCCTCTCATCCTATGCAGTCTTTGTCTCTGAAGAGCCTGAAAAGGTAGAGGACAGAGACAAGACGTTGGCTTTGATCCCTTCTCCAGCCGTTCCCAAACCTTCCTTGCTCATAGATCTTCCCAAGATATACAATACTCTTTCTCAACAATATTCAACTGTCCCTTGTCTTCGTTGCAAGACCATTTCAAGTTCCCAAGCCATCTGTTTACTTTGTGGTACACTTTGTTGTCTTGGTTCTTGTTGTAAACGTGTTTTAGATCAAAAGAATGAATGTGTTTTGGTAAGAAAGAAATCAAAAGAATAATAATCAAAACAGAAAAAAAGAAAAAGAAAAATAATAATAATATTCTAATCAATTCCTTTTTATTTATTTATTTATTTTTAGCATGCAGAACAATGTAATGCAGGAACATGTATGTTCTTGGTTCTTAAATCTAGTTCAACTTTATTAATTCATCAACCACGTAGAACTTATTGGATCTCTCCATACTTGGATGATCACGGAGAAGAGGATATCAATCTTAGAAGAGGCAAAACTTTATATTTGAATACTAATAGATACACTCAACTTAATACACTCCTTTTGAATCATCAAATCGATCAAGACAGTAAAATAGCAGAAATGACAACTAGAGAATAATAATAATAATCACACAAGAATTTATAATAATAAACACTACAACTATCTATCTATATATATCCAATTAATTAAAATCAATATTATTTATATACATTTACTATACTTTTAATTATTTAATTAGACATAAAAAAATACTATTGATTGGACAAGAGCAAATATAAAAGAATATTCAGCACCTTCAGAATTCAAAGATTTCCATTACTTTTCAAAATTTCTTACAAATGATATAAGCTTTTGGAATAGTGATTAAAGGTAGTAAAACCATAAATGAATCCATTTCAATTGAAATTAAAGGTAATATTAAAAATGCCCTACAAAAAATTAAAAGAGAAAATAATATATAAAATTGTGAGTATACATATCTTTTTTGAAATGATATTATACTTTTGATTTGATTGGTGAAATAATTACGTGCAATAATAAATTAAGAGTAAATAGAAACAATTTTGAGGTCCAATAAAATTAGCTATGGTTCTAACACCAGCTTGTACATCAGTGATTGCATCACGACTATTATTAATATGCATAACCGCTGTATTGATAATGGTAGTTGGAAGAGCATAGTAGATGGCAATCCAATCAAAATATCCAGCTTGGACAATAAATGAAAGTCCAACTAATACAGGACCATATGAAATGAAAATAGTCACATCGCCAAGTGCTGAATACTCTAATTTCAAAGGACTCGATGTATAGGAAGTGGCAAGTAAAAAGGCAACCATGCTAATGGGAAAAATTAGATTTCGAATTAGTACTAGATCACCTACACAACACATGGCACCAATCATTGATAGCACCGATTCAACTATGGAAATGCCAATGAGACGGATCATATGATCTACTCGTAACCCATAGCAGTAGAAAAAAAAGATATTTATATTAATGATTGACAAATAGAAAAAGGAGAAAATATTAAATTTATTATATTATTGATTTAAAAAGAATACAAAGGATTGTACAAGAGCAAACATAAATCCAAAACTTGCACCTTCTGAATCCAAAGATTTCCATCTCTTATCAAATAATTTCTTGCAAATGTCATAGGCTTTTGGAAGTGTGATCAAAGGCAAAATCATCATTAATGAATTCTTTTCAATTGCAATCAATGATAATACCAAACACGCCCTAAATAATAAATGGAAAAAAAATCATTATTAATGGGTTACCTGATGAGTTAATTTTTTTTAAATTTAAAGATAAATACACTGAATAATAAATTAAGAGTAGATAGAAACTATTTTGAGGTCCAATAAAATTGGCGATGGTTCTTACACCAGCTTGTGCATCAGTGATTGAATCACGACTATTATTAATATGTACAACGGCTGTAAAAACAAGGGTCGATGGAAGTGAGTAGTAGATGGCATCCCAATCAAAATATCTTGCTTGAATTATAAATGAAAGGACACATAAAACAGGACCATATGAAACGAAAATGGTGGCGTCTCCAAGTGCACTATACTTTAATTTCAAAGGATTCGATGTATAATAGGTGGCAAGTAAAAAGGCAACAATACTATATGGTATAATTAATTCTTTGATTAGGATTGGATCACCTACAGAAAACATTATAACAATCAATGATAGCATTGAAACTACAATGGAAATACCATTGAGACCGACAATATGTTGAACGGTTAGGCCATAGTCAAACATGGTCCTGTCGTGAGAATGTTCATCTTTGTCTACCTCGTTTACAAAGTCATTGTAACTATTGAATAGATTACACAGGATTTGTAATGATACTGATAGAAGGGTTGTAAAGACAAGAGATGTTAAATTGAATTTCCCAGAATGATGATAAGCGATGGCAGCTCCTAAAATTGCAGATGAAGTGGCAGCCTTTAGTGACCATGGTCTAAAAGCCTTTAGGTATGATTTCAAATTTGGTTGTATTATAGACGGTTTTTGTGTCTCTAATATTTTGTTGACACTAGCATTTTCCTGTTGTTCCCCCAACAAATTATGTATTTTGGTGGTAGAAGCACTACGTAGTTTTGTAATAGTTGACATGGTGTGGATGGCAAGATAATTGAATTTATGGTGATTGGAATATAGAATAAATAGAACAAAATTAAAACTTGACTTAAATATTGTCATTCAATTAATTTAAATCAAATTAAAACAGCCAACTTGGAGACACACGTATTAATACATAAATGTGTCACTTTTAACAATCTACGTATGATAGAAACCAAACGGAAAAGTGTGGTGAAATTTTTTCGATTCACGCAATTGGTGGTTGGTGGTAAGCATTGCATGTGTGTTATACTAATTTAAAGTAATATAGTTGTACAAGAGGGTAAAATAGATAGAGATACCTTAGGTGACAAAGGGAGAGAGAGAGAGAGAGAGGAGATAGAGAGGAATACAAAAGGAGAGATCAAAATACTTTTTTCTTATTTTTAAAAAAGATACAATTACACTGCTGTTTGTTGTTCCCCACACACATATACACACAATATACAATGCATAGTTGTAATAATATTATAACAATTGTACTATTTTCATTGGTATCATTACTTTTATATCATCATCATGGTGTATTGGTCAATGCGATTCCTTGCACTCACCCGGTCTATTGTACTGGTCAATTATTAGAGACTGTTCAATTGGCACAGGTGTTTAACGACTCCAAGACATTTGTAGATATGCCACTTCGACAATCACCAGAGTTGGTCTTGTCGAGTTTCCAACAACTCTTGGCCAACACGTCCAATGAGGGTGGACCCAACAAACAACAGCTGACTGACTTTATCAACACGTATTTCTACCCAGCGGGGTATGAAGTACAGGCTGCCACGCCGGTCGATTGGATTCCACACCCACGCTTTTTGTCGCATATCAAGGACCCACAACTCAAGATGTTTGGCGAGGCCGTCCACAAGATGTGGAACGATCTCTACCGTGTCTTTAATCACACTGGTTTGTGTCAAGACTGTTACACATCGGTTCAAGTCGAGAACCCATTCATTATTGCTGGTTCGAGATTCAGAGAGTTTTACTATTGGGATTCATATTGGATGGTCATCGGACTACTCGTATCAGAGATGACTGCCACCGTACGTGGTATGATTGCCAACGATCTTGCACTCATCCAACTCTATGGATTCGTTCCCAACGGTGGCCGTATCTATTATAGTGATCGTTCACAACCACCCCTTCTCACGCAAATGGTCGAGCGTTATTTCGATGCTACCAACGATGTATCCATCTTGGAACAAGGTCTCCCCACACTCGACGCCGAATACCAATTTTGGATGACTCAACGATCAGTCAATGTCAAGGGATTCAAACTCAACCTATACAATGCAACCACCCCTTCACCACGTCCCGAATCATTCTATGAGGATTATACTATGGCTCAATCACTTCCAGTTGGTGCAGACCAAACCTTTTTCTATTCATCGATTGCAAGTGCCGCCGAATCTGGTATGGATTTCTCTACGAGATGGATGAAACCTGGTTCGATGGACTTGGAAACCATTGAAACCATTGAAATTGTACCAGTAGATCTCAACTCTATATTATATCGCAACGAGCTTACACTTGCCCGTTTTCATCTTGCTCTTGGCAATTCACCTATGCACGCATATTACAAAAATCAAGCTTCACAAAGAGCCAAGGCTATCAACAGTGTCTTTTGGGATCCAGTCAATCTTCAATGGTTTGATTATCATCTAGACACTAACCAACTTCAAACCGAGTACTATATCACCAATTTCCATCCACTTTGGGCCAAAGTATATCAAGAAGACCCTATCACATTCAATTCTACAGTACTATCGAATATACTAAACAAGGCAAGACCCATTTTCATGAATTTTGTTGGTGGCGTACCAACATCATTGATCAACTCTGGTCAACAATGGGACTTCCCCAATGCATGGGCACCTTTGGAGTATTTCCTCGTCGAAGGTCTACTAGCTACAGAATTGGTAGATGGTAAAATGATGGCATTTGATATGGTTGAAAGATGGATCACTACAAACTATTGTGGATGGCAAGAGACTTTACAATCAAATGGCGGTGTATTATTTGAAAAATATAATGTTACCGATATTGGTCTACCAGGTGGAGGTGGCGAATACGCAGTTCAAACTGGTTTTGGTTGGTCTAATGGTTTTGCTCTCAATTTACTATCAAAATATGGAAATACTATTACATTACGTAGTTGTTAATATTACAATCAACTTTTTAAAATTACACAAAATATATAAACAATTTATCTATTTATTATGCCATAATTTTGGCTGGCAAACAAAGAATTAACTAATTTGGGATTATTTCAATATGAATATAATTTATTAATAAGATTACTAGTATAATAGTTTAAACATTAAATAAGATAGGGGAGGGGGAGCTTTTTGAATGGATCAGGATCTTAAATTAAATTTTAATCGGCGCCATTACCATTTGATTGAAAACATGGGTGGATGAGTGATATGGTAAGAAAGAAAGAAAGAAAGGTGTATGGTGAATGGCAATTTTATCAAAAAGTGAGGTTTGCTTGTTTGTTTGATTGATTGATTTTATATTTTTAAAAAAGTAAATAAATAGCACCCCTTACATGACAAAACAATTGCAACAGTTTCTTTGAACTTTGTTTGAAATGAGTGGAGCCTTTTCGTTAGAGTTTGTACGTGATGATGGTTGAGTGGTTGTTGTTGCAGTTGCAGATTGCACTTTAGGTGAAGAGGTGGTAGTTGTAGAAATGGTTGGGTTGATATTAGTTGTTGGTTGTTCTTTGGATTTTGGTTTGGGTGAAACTGGTGGTTGTTCGACAACCTTGACTGGTTCTTGTACCTTGACTGGTTCTTCGATCTTGACTGGTTCTTGAACTTTGACTGGTTCTGGAATTGGTTCTTCAACTACTGCAATTGGTTCTGGAACCTTGGTTGGTTCTTCAACTGGTGTTGGTTCCTCAACAACGGCAACTGGTTCTGGAACCTTGGTTGGTTCTTCAACAACGGTAACTGGGGTTGATTCCTCAACAACAGCAACTGGTTCTTCAACCTTGGTTGGTTCTTCAACAACGACTACTGGAGTTGGGTCCTCAACCTTGGTTGGTTCCTCAATAACGGTAACTGGTTCTTCAACCTTGGTTGGTTCTTCAACTGGGGTTGGTTCTTCGACCACGGTAACTGGTTCTTCAACTGGGGTTGGTTCTTCAACAACAGCAACTGGTGTTGGTTCTTCGACAACAGTAACTGGTTCTTCAACCTTGGTTGGTTCTTCAACAGAAACTGGAGTTGGTTCCACAATAGCAACTGGTTCTTGTTCTTGTTCTTCTTCTTCTTGTTGAGTAGAACTAATAGCAATAGAAGTGGTTTGAGTTTGTTGTTCTTCTTGAACCTTGATATCTGTTTGTTTTTCTTGTTCTTCATCTTGTTCATCTTGACTTGACTCTGAATCATCATCATCATCGAGTTTAATTTCATCTTGAACTTGTGTTGGTTCTTGTTCAACTACTTGAGTAAGTTGAATGGTTGGTTGAACGACACCTTCTTGTTCGACAAGACTGCTAACTTCATCATCTTCAGAGTTGTATTCCTCTACGTGAACTGGAGGTTGTACGTGTTCGTCGCTATCGTCACTAAGACGATCGTCAGAGTCATCTTCCTCTTCGTTTTGGTATATCTGATTTTGATTGTAGATTTGTTGAGCACGTTGTCGGTAGATAGCGTCTTCATCCTCTTCGTCCTCTTCTCCATAGTCATATTCATCTTCATCATCATCTTCGTCGTAATCTTCCTCATCGTCGTCGTCATCTTCTCCATCATAATATTCATTGTCATACATGTCATCATCATCTTCCTCTTCGTCGTCTGATGGCTTTTCATATCTATGAATTGATTTTTGGTTGGCAAAGGAAACATTCTTTTTGGTCTTGTTTGGTGAGTCTGTGGTCGACGACGAGTAGAATGCCGAGCTGATTGGAGAAGCAATTTGGTGTTGATTTGAAAACTCTTGTTGTTCCTCGTCATCCTCTTGTTCATCTTCTCCACTTTCTTGTACCTTGTCATATCCATCATCTTCTTCATCTGATCCTTCTTGTTGTTCTTGTTGTTCTTCTTCATGTTGATGTTCATCCTTTCCATTGCTATTTGAAAGGTTGAATTGGTCAACTGAACTTTCATAGTTTGATCCTTCCTCTTGATTTTCATTTTCCTTTTCCTCTTCTTCTTCTTCTTCTTCTTCTTCTGGATGAACTGCACCATCTAAAGAGCCTGATCTACCACGAGTAGAAATAATCTTTTTGGCATCAGCAATCAAACCCTTGGTGGGTGATTCGGGGATGGGTGGTTGAGTGACAGAGTTAAAGTTTTGAATGGGGACGCTGTTGAAGCTACGAAGTGGAGGGTAGGCAATGGAACTGGGACGGACGACACCATACAAGTTGGTACGCATCGTCTTGATGGTGAGTGAGATGTGTTTAAAGGATGGACGATCAACAGGCTCGCCCTTGATACAGTTGAGCATCAATTGGGTAAATGGAGTTGGACAATCGTTTGGAACTTGTGCCAAAAGCATCTCGAGGTTAATTGAAAAGTCACCATTACGCATACTTGGTGTTGGCTTGTTACGTGTGATCAATTCAAACAAAATTAAACCAAATGAAAATACATCGCACATTTCATCATAATCTTCTCCAAGAATCATTTCTGGTGCCTAAATAATAGATAAATAAATAAATATAAGTATATTGTTTGTATATTCTACATGTGTCTCTCTATATATATAGATCTCTATCTACATACCATCCAATTGTCAGTTCCACAAATAGTCATTGATTTATTATTTTCATCATCTACAATTCTAGCAAAACCAAAATCACATACTTTTACTTTCCAATTTGGATCAATCTAAAAAAGAAAAGGAAAAAGAATAAGTATTATTAATATATTAATGAATAATAGGGTTGAATATTTGTTGTGTGTGTGTGTGTGTTATGTTGTATAGTTACAAGCAAATTTGAAGATTTCAAATCACGATGAACAATTGATTTACTGTGAAGATAGGACATGGCCAAAGTAACGTCATATGCAATATTTAATCTTAAAATCCATGGGATTTCAACTGCTCTATTCTTTAAATACCATTGTAAATCGCCACCTAAAATAAATAATAATAAACATATTAATATGCGTTGCGATACATATTTTTGTGTTTGTTTGTTTTGTTTTTTTGATATATACCAACAACAAGTTCAGTAACTAAAAACAAGTCACCTTGATGAGCAGCAATACCAATGAATTGAATAACGTTGGGATGAGAGAATAACTTGATAGTTTCAATCTCTCTGTTGAGGAATTTTTCGAGATCCTTTCTGTTGGGATCATCAGGTGCAATGTGTACACGTTTGATGGCAACAGGTGCACCCAAATATTCTCCACGATAGACTTTACCAAATCCTCCACTTCCAATTTCTCTTCCAATCTCCAAATCATCGAAATCAATGGTCCATGCCTTATTATCTATTGATGGAACAGAGGTATCAACTTCTGGACCATTCATTGTTTTGTATATCTATCTATCTATTATTACACTTTTAGGTGGTGGTGGTTTTAATTTGATTGATTGATATATGTCACTTGTACAAAAGATAAGGAATTAATCTAATATAATGATAATAATACTACTACTACAAATGTTACAACACCCTATACAAAATAAATAAATAATACAATAACTATAGATAAAAGAGTAGTAGGTAGGTCAGTACAACTAAATAAACTATATCATAGTAAAAGTAATCTCGAGGGTGAGAGGATGAGGAGAGGATGAGGAGGAATAGTAAAAGGGAGGTGGAAAAAAAATTAAAAAAAGAAAATATCGCAACGAATATTATCCCATTCATCATCGCCGTCAAATCATAATGCATGTCAGCTGTCAATCGATATATCATTACATTCTTCTCTCTCTCTTTTACAAAGTATATCTATTTCTATTTATATCTAACATGTTGATTGAGATTATCATCATATTATCACAGCCAACTGTCACTATCTTCTTTTTAATTTGGGTATGCTATTCTGCTTGCTTGTTTTTAGCAATGTGATACCAATTGGCAATGGTCACGTCACCATCATTGCTTGTTGCTGCTGTATATATTGATGTATATGTAATGGTGGTATGTGTATATTTGCTTGTTTGTTTGTTTGCTTACCTACCCTCTCTTTTTTTCTAATATCTAAAAAAATGTTGGTAAAATGATGGATGGTTGACTTTGATATGAGGGGATGATTTTTTTGAGCGTGATAGTTGGATGAAAAAATTCAAAAAAAAATAAAAAAATCAATTACTTTTTTTTAAACCAAAGTAACGGTTATTCTTTGAAAGTCGAAGGGACAATGGTCATCATTGTATATGCCCTTTCGGTTCGCTATCACCATAAGATCTTAATAATAATAACAATGCAACAAAAATGAAATGAAATGAAAACAGATATCACCCATTTATAGATTTGATTTGATTGATGTTGACTACTACTCTTGGCTCTGCTCTGCTTTGCTTTGATGTGTTTATTATTTGATTTGATTTAATTTGTCTATAAACCAATCCAATATGATCTACCTGATGGATTGTGAATTGGGGTGACATTGGATGAAGAGATGGAAGACCATTCATACCATACTTTGGAGCGATTAGAGTTTCTCCAAAAGTGAACGGTGATTGGGTGTTTAGAAGAGACACTCATTGGCTCTTTAATGGGAAAGTAGATGGGGAACCAACTAAACATACCCGTTGAGAAATTGGCTGGATTAATGCTAATGTGAACATCGTCAAAGAGACAACAATCGAAAAAGCCAATGAATCCGTGGAGAGTGGCATCGTCTACACCAATATTAAAGGTGAGACTGTCGAATCGGGTGTTGTCGACCACCGACATGACATTGACGCTGTCGGGATGACTGGCATTCTTGAATGCGTCACGAAGAGATTCATTGGGATGTGAAAAGGTAAAGAGAGGTTGAGACTCGGCCAATTGGTAAAAGTTGTGTGGTTTGACAACATAGGGTGTCTCGAAACTCTTGAGAGTGTTGTAATTGGCAACTTCATTGTATAGTCGAGACGATGACATTGGTGCAACATAGGATGTATACCATGCTGGAATACTAACACCATCCTCTGCCATAAATCGTTGAGCACCATCCAAACACTCTGGACTCAATTCATTGTCTCCAAATGAACCCAATAATTCACTAACCATAATATCTGCCTTTACATCAGTTCTCCAATATCTCATATCACTATCTATAATCGTTACTCTATCTTTCCATTCTTGATTTAATTGTAATTTTCCTTTTAATCTAAAAAATAAATTAAATCATTCAATCAATATTCCATTTCTTTTTCATTTCATTTCTTTTTGCTTACGTTATGATGGCATTTGGATTCTTTTCAACTGCATATACAGTGATTGGACGATTTACATCTTTTGAAGCAGAAATGGCAGCTTGAACAAGTGGACCACGACCAGCACCCACTACCATAACTGTAGTGTGCATAGTCTCGTTATCTCCAGTACGTTTGACAAGTGCTTTACCAATGGCACGTTGATATTCCTTGTATTTGATTGGATCCTTTTCAAATATTTCGTATGTTTGTGACTCGAGATTATCCATCAACGGTTGTAAAGGTGCCTGTAAATAATCGAGGTATGGTTGTTCAAGACACTCTTGATCAGACATTGGGCTCTGATTACTATGAAGGAATTGAATATATTGATGATACAATTTAATATCCATTTTAGTAGTAGGAGTAGTAGTAGTAGTCGTAGTATCTTTTGTTGTTGTTGTTGTTGTTGTTGTTGTCGAATCTCTACTAATTATAAATTGTATGTTATGCTAATTTAGGTAAAATATATGATTAGTAAGTAATAATTCTCTTGTTAATTTGATTTGACATATATATATACCTTGAATATTTGTTTAAGGAATTTTTGATGATCTTTTGAGAGTGTTGGGAAACCAGCCTTGTTGATTTCAAATACAGATGTTGGAATGATAAAACATTTGACTGGTTCACCCAACCATTGTTCAAGTGTTTGTTGATTGGGTAGTGTCTTTGTCATCTCTAATGCAAGGAATAGTGATGGATGATGATTACAAAGCATTCTAAAGTTATTCCACCATTTCCATGTATTGATTAATAATGGTTCTTTGTTAGAATTCTCGTCATCTTTATCACTTGTGAGATTAAGTGGCATTCTCATCCACATCTTCATATTCATCAATGACAATAATGATTGATTGATTACTTGTGCATAGTTTGGTGATTGTTCTCGTTTGGGTGGAGGTATTAATAATGCAGGTACTGCAACATGAGCCGACCATGATATCTCATTTTTCATAATCTATATATATATATTGATATATATTAGTATGTTACAGTTACCTTTAGATACAGATATATATATATATATATTATACATACAGCAGTTGATCTTAATCTTGTTTGTTTATCGTTTGAATCAACGTCAATCCATTCAGATACTTTTGGGACAATGACACTCTTCCATTGCGAAGAGTCAAGTAAAAGATCGCTACGTAAAAGAGGGTCTATTGTAGATGTAGGTGCAGGTGATTGTTGCACAGCCCAATCATCTCCCTCTGGTTTGGTTGAGATGGGCACAGACAAGAAATCAAAGCCGAGATTGTAGGTCATCCCAACCTCTTCGACCAAATCACCAATGTCTGCATAGTCTAAACCACAACTGAATCCGTGACACTGTGAGTTATTGTTATTGTTTGTCATATCAATTATTACTATACTAATATTTAAAAAGTAAACAATATATATAAATATCCCAATATCAATCAATGAACATGATTTCTGAGCATGAAAAGAAAATTTAGTTTTTTTTCTGACGATCAAACTATAAAGTACCAAATCGGGTGCAGTGGTCTACTGTCAATGTTTAAATAACTCAATAGAACCGTACTATTAAATGTTTCAATAGTAGTAGAATAATATTATGCAAGAGTTTATTGATATTTTTAATAATGGTGATTATTAAATTATTAAAATAACACAAGAATAATAAAATCGATATAGGATCGTATTACATTTTAGAAGTTTTGGTTTGGTTTGGTTGTAGAGTGATTTTATCTGATCACTCTGTGGTAGTGGTGGATGTTGTGGTATTGGATACCTCTGCTATAATTGATGATGTTGAATCTGGAAAGATTGCATCAATATCCATTTTGCTAATGTCCCCAGGAATGAAATTATCCATGTCAGTCTCATTGGTAATATCACTATTGAAAATGGAGGTTTGTTGTTGTTGTTGTTTCACTTCTTGTTGTTGTTGCTGTTGAGAGGCGGTAACATCAATAACGACAGTAGTAGTGGTGGTGGCAGTGGTGGTAGTTGGTGTTGACACATTAAATTTCAAAAGACCATCAATAGTTGGTGGTAGTGGTGACATTTCAATATCAAAATCATTGTCGTCTTCGAGTACACTTGATGGATTGTACTCTTCATCTTCCTTTTTACCACTCTTATCACCTTTCTTTTGCTTTCTTTCATATACAGTTTTGTTTTGGAAGTAGGATTCCAAAAGCTTTTCAATTTTTCTTGGAGTGTCATTGTCAATCTTGTAGGATCCATGATCTTTTTCAACAGCCAACAATGTGAATTTGTTTGCCAAATATTTAAAGTCGTCCTTGTTGGAAATCTTTTTGTCCTTGTAATATTTGTTCATCTTTGTAATCACAACCTTTGATATCTCCTTTGTAAACATCTTTTTCCTCTTTTCATCGTGTTCCTTTTGTTTTGCCGATGAACGGTGTTTATGTGAACGTGATTTCTCTTTTCGTTTTTCCAAAGGTGATCCATCTTGTTGTTGAATGGTAGATGTGGTCGTTGTCGTCGTCGTCGAGGTAGAAGCAGTATTAGTTGATGGCTAAAAATAAGTAAAAAGGTGTAAATAATACAACTCTGTCACATGTCATTTCATTATTGTTTTATACTTACGATTAATGATCCCCATTCTGTATTTACACTATTAAAATAATCCAATGCTGATGTTGTGGTTGATGATGTTGCCGCAGTAGCAGCTGATGCAGTTGTAGATGTTGATGATGATGATGATGATGAGGATGGGACAGCGGTTGGTAAAGAAGGTGGTGGTGGTGATGATGGATGGGTACTATTATTATTACTATTATTACTATTATTATTACTATTATGAGATCCATTTTGAGAGTGTCGAGGTGAATAATTACTATTATTATCATAAGGGTGATGACCACCGTTGCTATGATAGGGGTCAACGGGTGGATGACCATTGTTGTTGGTGTATGGATCATATGGAGCCGAATTATGGTATGGATCATATGCTCCCTGAGGTTGATATATTCTTGGAGGTGGAGGTGGAAAGTATGGTTCTATAATTTCAATCTGCTTGCTCAATATCTTTTCTCCAAATTTACTCTTGGTCGACGGTGAACTGACACTTGTCGAACGATAAGACTTGAAGAAGTTTTCAGAACTTGGAATGATCTCTCGTCTATTGATATTTTTGATCTTTTCCTCTTCCTCTTCCTCTTCATATTCGTCTGGTTTAATAATATCCTCATCTGATGCAAATGGATCATCATCCATTATTTGTTTTTCAGATGATCTATTATTATTCTTATTACCATTATTATTATTGACTATATCTCTATTATCTCTATTATCTCTATTTTCTCTATTATCTCTATTATCTCTATTATCTCTTTCTCTTTCTCTCTCCCTTTCTCTATTATCTCTATCTCTATCTCTTTCTCTATCTTTATCTTTTTCTTTTTCCTTTCTTTCTCTTTCTTCTCTTTCCATTCTTTCACGTTCACGTTCTCTTTCTTTTTCCTCTCTTTCCATGTCTTCGAGTTCAAGTAACTTTTCCCTTTCCTTCTCAGCACGGATACGTTCCTTTTCAGTCTCTCCTCCACTATCATCTTCACTTTCAACGACTTGTTTTCTCTTCTTTTTGTGATGATGTTTCTTGTGTTTCTTTTCCTTTTCCTCTTCCTCTTCTTCTGCCTCTTCTACCACTTGTTGTTCCTCTTCATTATCACTTGTAGCAGCGGCATGTTTAGAGGAGGATGACGACTTTCCTTTTCTCTTTTTATGTTTGTGTTTCTTTTCCTTTTCTTTTTCCTCTTCTTCCTCTTCTTGGTCACTCTCTTCTTGTTGTTGTTGTTTTTTGCTCTTCTTTTGTTTGCTTGAATGATGTTTCTTTTTGTGATGTTTCTTTTCAGTCTCCTCTTCAACAACATCTTCCTCTTCTTGTTCCTCTTCCTTTTCCCTTTCCTTTTCCTTGCGGGAGTCTTTCTTGTGATGACGACTGCTCTTTGACTTTGACCCTTTCTCCTCTGCAGCCGCTGCTGCAGCTGCTGCTGCTAGTTCCTTCTTTTCATTCTCTGCCTCGCTACAACAACAATAATAACAAAGGATGTACAAGTTAGTTAAATGTAAATGTAAATGTCCTTCAGGAGGACCAACCAATATCGTCACATGTGACACACTTACAACTTATCCTTTATCTTCTTTTTGAGGTGAGACATTGCGATGATGTTTGTTCAACTATCTATCTATATCTATATCTATCTATCTACCCTATGACACAGTGTCGATTCTATAATAATAATAATACTAATACTACTATCACACTAGTTGTAACTTCAATATCATCTGATACGACCAATTTGGGTATCTCGGTCTTTGTTTGTTTGTTTTTTTTTTTTTTTTTTTTTTAATACCTGATTTTTTTGTCAAGATACAAAAGCAGAGCTCAAAAGCCTATTCAATTTTTAGTCAAACGACGACAAACAACGTGTTGGTGATATTGGCGGTGGCCGATTTCTTGAACCGAGACATTAATAAAAAGCTTCGATTACTTTTAATTTCGTCATATCACATCATGGTTTGAACGTTCAATAGAACAACTTTATTCCTATTAATTTAATTAAAATCGAAATTTCCCCCCAATAAACACACACAACAACACAACAGCACTGCAGTGACTGACAACAACACTACAACAAAAGCAAACACACATGCTTTTTTAATAATCATTCATCATTCATCATATACGTACTTTTAATTATCTCTATCTATTTCTATTTAATTCAATATTTTATCTAAAACTATCTGTCTTTCTTTTAAAGCAGCATTACACAACAATCTTCAAATCCACATACACCCAACAACACAGACAGCACAACAACAACAACAACAACACTCATAAATCAATTCAAATCATTTTTATCACCTCTTTCTTGTACATATAAAACCAACATTAAATATACTTATATAATAATAATACTACTTATCAATTAAAAATGATGTTAAATAATCTTTTAAAATCATCTACGAATCAACTTGTTAAATGTTCAAGATTAATCAATACTACTACTACAACAACAGTTGTTAGTAGATCATATTCCTCAGCAATAACATCATCATTCCTCTTTTCAAATAGTAATAATCAACAATTCAGTATTGACAATAGAACATTCATTCATGTGAACAAAAAGACCAATGATATAAAGAGGTAAGTTAACTTTCTCTCGCTCTCTCTCTCACAAACAACAGTTGAACACTCTCTATTCTATTCTTTGTTATTAATTAAACCATCTCATTTCCCCAATTTATTCATTTCTCCATTTCGGGATTATCCTGGGAACATCAAACTTCTGCCCCCAAAAAATTTGGTGATCTGATTCCTTCCTTTTATTTTTTAAATTTAATATCTATGCTATCTATCTATTTAGATTCGGACCATTCCCAGACTTTGTAAAGATTGTAGAGGTTGGTCCTCGCGATGGACTACAAAATGAAAAGCAAATAGTATCGACACATGATAAAATAGAGTTGATCAATCGATTGGCAAACACGGGTTTGTCGGTGGTTGAGAGTACTTCTTTTGTGTCGCCAAAGTGGGTGCCTCAGATGGCCGACTGCAAAGAGGTGATGGCGGGAATCATTGCTGTGCCAGGTGTGTCATATCCATCATTGACACCCAATTTACAGGGGTTCCAAGCCGCCCTAAAGGCCGGTGCCAAAGAGGTGTCTGTGTTTGCAGCTGCCTCCGAGACATTCTCCAAGAGAAACATCAATGCTACTATTGACGAGAGTTTGGCACGTTACAAGGATGTGTGTCAACAAGCCAAGGACAATGGTATTAGAGTACGTGGATATGTGTCGACGGTACTGGGGTGTCCCTACGAAGGACGTATATCGCTCGACAAGGTGGTCGAAGTGTCCAAGCGACTACACGACTATGGGTGCTACGAAATTTCATTGGGTGATACTATTGGCATTGGTACACCGGGTGCCACTTTTAAAATGTTGTCTGCCGTGTCACAGGAAATCCCCATGTCGGCCATTGCTGTCCACTTTCACGATACCTACGGACAAGCACTCGCTAATATCCTCACAGCACTACAGTTTGGTGTCAATGTAGTTGATAGTTCGGTTGGAGGTTTGGGCGGATGTCCATATGCCAAGGGTGCCAGTGGCAACGTTGCCACCGAGGATGTCCTCTACATGATGAAGGATTTGGGTATCGAGACCAATGTAGATCTCGAGAAAATATTAGATATCAGTTGTTGGGTGTCCACCATTTTACACAAGACTCCATCATCCAAGGTGTCACTGGCATTATCTCACAAGAGTGAAAAGCCAGTTGCCTTCCAATCGGCCATTGCCCATGACCAAAATCACAACCCATCACACGCCACTTCATCCACTACTACTACTCATACTTTAACATCTGAAGAATGTTTATCACCAAAATCAAAGAATAATAATAATAATAATAATAATACCACTTCACAATCCATCAAACATTGTATATAAAAAAAAAAACAAAAGATAGATTAACACTAACTACAAATACAACTATATATTCATATCATATTTTAAAAATATATATAAAATAAATTATATATATCTATCCTCCTTTTTCTCATTTTTTTAGGCAAACTCATTATCTTTCTCGATATCTATCATTTGATATTGTTGTTTTAAAATATTACAATTATTTATTTCCTGGTTGTGTTTTGTATTTGTTTGTTGTTTTTTTTATATATATTTCATTTCCTTTTGTTATTATTATTATTATTAATTTTAACCAAAATCAAATTTAAATCTTTTGATAATCCAATTTAGTTTCCAATTTCTTTGTGTCGCTAACCTTTCTAACAGCCTTTAAAAAGTCTTCTTCAATGACAAAATCTCTTTCGGCTCTAATAGCAAACATACCAGCCTCTGTACAAACATTACGAAGATCAGCAGCATTGAATCCATCTGCCAATTTAGCTACTGCATCATAATCTATAGAATATTAAATTGTTAATTAGTTTCTTTCTTTGTTTTGTTTTTGTTTTAATTTTGTTTTTTTTACATACCAACATCACCATGTTTAGTAATAGAGGAAGCATGAATTTTAAGAACATCAACACGACCAGCTTCATTTGGAAGTGGGATTTCAATCTTTCTATCGAGACGACCTGGACGGAGGAGAGCAGGGTCCAAGACATCTGGTCTGTTGGTGGCCATGATGATCTTTACCTTTTGGAGGGTATCGAAACCGTCCATTTGGTTGAGTAGTTCCATGAGGGTTCTTTGGATTTCACGATCGGCAGAGGTACCTTCAGAGAAACGTCTGCCTCCGATGGCATCGATTTCGTCCATAAAGATGACACATGGCTGATGATCACGAGCATAGCCAAACATCTCACGAATGACACGAGCACTCTCACCAATATATTTGTCGACAATGGCAGACGACACAACCTTGAGGAAGTTGGCTTCGATGTTGCTAGCAATGGCTCTGGCCAAAAGGGTCTTGCCAGTGCCTGGTGGGCCGTACAACAAGACACCTTTGGGTGGCTTGATACCGACACGAACAAACAATTCGGGTACCAAAAGTGGCAATTCAATGACTTCACGCAACTCTCTAATCTGTGAGTTCAAACCACCAATCTCTGTGTAACTGATGCTACCTGGATTCTCTGTGGTCATATTAAAAATGATTGGGTCGACTTCTCTTGGGAGGATCTTTAAAATGGTCAATGTTGTCAAATCCAATGTAACTCTGGCTCCTGGTACTAATAAATGTGCCTTGTCTTGATAATTTGAACATCTTACTACATATCTTGGTCCATTACATGCTTTAACAATATCTAAAAAAAAAAAAATTAGAAATAGAGAAAAAGAGAAATAGAAACAAGGAGGTTAAAAACAAATAGTGAAAGTATATTACAATCATCTATCACCTATCATCATCATCATCATTATTATCATCAATCATTCTTAATATCAATCTATTATATAAATAATATATATACTTTGATGATAATGATATGATGATGATGATTGCTAACTTCTCTCTCTCTTATTCTCTTGATTTTCTCCTCTTTTCTATCAACATACATCTTTCTTCATCTAATGATCTTAAAACTTCACCAATTATTTCACCAATATATTGAGTAGCTTTGAGATGATCTTCAGTCTTTGCATAATCCTTCTTTAATTTCTTTATGAGTTCGTGTGTCTTTGCGAGACGTAGCTCAGCATTTCTATGTTCAATCAAACGATCTCTATATTCTTGTAAAGATGAATCCTTCTTTGTATCTTCGTCTGACATTTTCTATCTATCTCTATATCTCTATCTATTTAACAAATATGTGTGTGTAATGTAATATATATATAAAATGCAATAATAATAAAAAATTAATATAAAAAAGGTGATGAGCGTTGATCTTCACAACCCCAATTTTCAAAAAAATATTAAAAAAAAAAATTTGAGGTTCCGAATCCACGTCTTGGTTATTATGTAAATGATTATTATGTATATATTTATTTTAATTAATTATTGTTTTGGTTGTTGTTGTTTGACAGCTTCAGCTGATTTTATATATGACAAATAGGCTTGAGTGATAAATTGATCATCATTTAATAGTTTTTTGAGTGTATCTTTGAATTGGTCTTTGGTAATGATTGGTGGTGTCACTGGAGACGTTGTTGATGGTATGTTGGCAGGTGTAACAGTCGATGAGCTAGCGACAGTCGAGTTATTATTATTTGTGGCGTTATTATTATTAGTTTGAGTATTTGGGATTCCTGAATTTCCATTGGTATGATGTTGTTGTTGTTGTGATTGTTGTTGTTGTTGTTGTTGTAATTGTTGTTCTTCACGTTTTTTATTTTGTATCGATACAGAGTTCATAAGCTTAGCTAAAATATTATCCGGTTGTAATTGTTGTGGAATCGGTTGTTGTTGTTGTTGAAGATTTGATGATAGAGGTGGAGATGAAGTTTGTGGAGGTGGTGAAAGTGGTTGTGCCTGTTGTTGTTGTTGTTGTTGTTGCAACTGTTGTTGTTGTTGTAATTGTTGTTGTTGTTGTTGTTGAATTAATTGTTGTTGTTGGAACATATTAATTAATTGTTGTGGTTGTACTAATTGTGGTTGTGGTTGTTGTTGTTGTTGTTGTTGAGGTGGAGGAGTACTCATACCAGGACTTCCAACAAGTGCAGCTACTGGCAACATCATGCCTGGAGGTGGAGCCATTTGTTGTTGTTGTTGTTGCTGTTGTTGTTGAGCTACAAGTTGTTGAGGAGGAGGTTGTAGTATCTGTGAGACAGATGGTGAAGGAGGGGGAGGGACGCCACCAGACGATGCAAGTGCTTGTTTTTGTCGTTGGATCTCTTTGAGTTGTTGGAATATCTTTTCCTGATCCGACGACTCGTAGAACCAGATACCATTGATACCCTGATCATTCTTGTAGATCAAATAAGGGCCCTGACACTTGATCAGCAGCTTCTCATTGACCTCCTCGACAAGATTCTTGGTCGACAATCGATTCATGACGATCAACTTTTCAAAAGGTTCATCTAAACGTCTGACAATAAACAACGATCCTTCAACCTCTCTTCGATGCTATATATTATATATAACAATCATGTAACATAATGTATGTTGTAAGTATAATCTTATATTATCTATCTAATCTATCTATTATACTAGTGGTTGACATACCCATTGTTGAGTTTGAACATCAAACCTATACACGGCTACATGAGTCGATGTTCCCAATACATCTACAATCTTATTATCTAAACGTTGCAAAGCAGACAGATTTAACTGTTGCTGTGACGTAGCTTCTCTGTTCATACTAGTATCTCTTTCTTGTTCTATATATACAAAAATAAATAAATAAATAAATTTATTAAAAAAAGGTTGAAGTCATGAGTGTTTTCAAAAATTGTTTGAAAAAAATGGAAATTGAATGTTCAACTGTAGTTGATCAGAAGAATAATAATTATTTATTTGTTCATATATTTATATACCCTTCAATCCTAACAAAAAGGTAATATTATAATCAAGGATTGATGGTAATATATTATAAATTGATATATTTTCGTTTTCCAGATTCTGACATATGTTTCGCGAGAATCAGATATTTTCTCAAATGTAATCATTCCATTATCCTAGTCTTTAGAACCATCTTGAGTTTTTACCTTTCGTAATGAATCAGGTGGTTCTCTGTCTCGGTCGTCCAAAAACAAAGATATTTATACTACTTTGTCGTCTACATCCAATTCATAATTACATACATATTTATAACAACAAATATTTTATATTATTATTACTAGTTATTTAAAATGGGAGATATTTCAGAAAAGTTAATTGCACAAGCTCATGACATGTTCCTCAATGTTGATGAACCTTTGGCAGTCCTGTACCAAGAGTTGCGTTATATTAGATCACAAGACAAAACGAGTGATGAAGGATACAGCATCGATCAACAAGAAGCTCTTGAAATTCACAGTGATGAATATTTCCAAGACATGAATCGTTTTGGCCTTCTTTTAGTATTCTACAGACTAAGAATTGTAAGATAGATAGATAGAAATAATATATGATTAAAACGCTAATATATATTTTTTTTTTGAAAACTTATATAGTTACATTTTAATGAAGTTGACAAGACCGTTAAAATCGTCCATAACCTAGGGTCACACTATAAACCAGGTTTTTCTTTGGCTGAAATCACAAACTTTAATACTGTTGTACAACAAATCATCAGAGAAAGACAAAAAAGATTAATGCAAGCTGTCATTCTCCAATAAATAAATTGAGTTAGAATACTTTAAATTATCTATGGGTTGTGCGTCCAGAGGAGGTGGAAAACTTGATACCATTGAGACCACCCTCTTCAACACAGTGTTGTTCAAGAGATCATTTCGGAGAATTTATTTTACCTTTTGATACGGCGTATTACTACTATTTCTCTTTGGTCTTTAAGTTTTAGCAAACAATTGAGTTAAATACCACATACCATCTGATCCTTGGTATACTCCAATCGTACAGATATTATAGTCGGCCAATAAATTCTCTCGATGTCCTTTGGAATTGATCCAACCCTCGACTGCCACTTCGGCAACAGTGGCATCGCAATTATTCATTGCAACATTTTCACCACTTTTAATGTGACGGAATGGAAACCTTTTTATTCTCTCTTGAAATCCTCCATGTCCAAATGGAACCTTTTTATCTGACATATCTATATAATAAAAGGTTTTGTTGGTTAACGATATTTAGTGGTTTTGTATAGATATACAAATTTTTACATACTTTTACAATGTTCAACAGCAATACCAAAAATACCTTGATGCCATTGACACGGGGGTCTATTATTCTTGGCTCTAAATGCATTACTGAGTTCCAATGCTTTCCTACCAATTGACTCTGGATTTCTAAATGTATTATTGATAGTATTAACTTTTCCACGTCTATTATCTGCAGAATTATGATCGGTTGATGCAAAATGCATCTTGTTTTCCTCTTCTTGTTTCGATAGGCTTTCAACATCTGCCATTGTATACATCTTTTTAGTTGATAATCTAGATTTAAAAAAAAATATTAGAAATCATTGATGGTACTATAATCCATGTGTTGTTACTTTTAAAAACATACTTATCATTTCTATAAGATTGATGTTTCTTTACTCTTAATAAAGATAATTGATTACGCATGTCTCTGTATTGATCCAAATCATATCCTTTACCATTTTGTTTACCATTATTGGTTGTAGAAGTTGTAGAGGTAGTAGAGGTAGATGATGAGCCATAACCATCATAGTCATCATCGTCGTCGTCATCGATTTCAATTGGTGAATTGTTGTTATTTGTTATATTCATGTTATTGTTGTTGGTATTATATTTCTCCTTTTTTACGTTCATTGTCGTATTGTTATCATTCTCGTTCTTTACATTATTGTCGGTGTAATTATTATTGTAGTTGTTGTATTTGGTTGGTTCATATATTTGAATACCATCACTCCTCATACACTCTTCTGATATTCTATTGATACGATTTTGATGTACGTCTGCCAAGAACACTCTTGTTCGATTCTTATCAAAAGGTAAGATGGCCTTTGCCTTTTGAGAAGAAGAAGAAGGTGTCTTTCGTACCACATTGTTAGCAACACCATTTCTCAAAGAAGATGAAGAAGTTGTCGAGTTGCTTGTTGCCAATGGTTTCTTCACTTGTTGTTGTTCTTGTTTAACTTCATGTTTGATGTTGTAGTTGTTAAAAGATGATGATGTTTGATTGTTGTAGTTGTTATCATCTTCTTGATCATCGTCATCGAGATTGATTATATCCTTATTCATCCCATTACCCTTATGCAATATATAATATTATTATTATTTATTGTTCTATGATATACAAAGTTATAACTTTGTAAAATAATATAAGTCAGCTAATTCTAGGAAATTATAAACTCGGCTTGGTTGTTTCATTTTTATTATATTACTTTATTAAATTTTATTTGGTATATCTTTATTTATTCATTTCATATTCTGATGATCAATATCAATGTCTGTGTGTTTGTATAACTCCTCCTCTGTTATTGATTCAATGAGTAGATATCCACCACCTCAACAACAATCGTCGTCAAGGAGAACAACATCATCTAACCAAAATAACAATAATAACGGTGGTGCAGGACAACAAAGTAGCAGAACAACTAGTAGTACAACTGGTGGTAATAGCTCCTATCACCCTTATAATGGTGGAAATACAACAACTGGTCATACAAGTAGTAGCAGACGATCGTCTAGAGATGGTCGACCATCATCTTCATCGAGCAGACATTCAAACAAAGAAGTAGATCCCCTCCAAGCCCATTTGGCATCGATGTTAGGTTTAAAGAGTACAAAGAAACCAACACTAAAGGTTGGTGGTGAATTGGTATCATTGGTAAGTAGTAGTTGTACAACTATCAGATGACAGACAACTGAGATTGATTTGTTAAATTGTATCATATGACTGACTTGTTTGTTTATTTTGTTTAAAGGATATGTCACCATCAAAAGATAAAGGATTATTTCAATCTGGTAAATCATCAAACTCAACCTACATGTTAAAGAATAATCTATTGAATGGAAAGATACCAACACCTTCAAAATATGGAGAACCAAGAGGAAGAAGAACAACAATAACAACACATGACGTTGACGAAGCATCATACAGTAATAGTCCTTATCAACAAAGTGGAGGTGGTGGCGGTCGAGGTGGATATCATAATCAATATCGAAACATGTTAAAGAAACCGTCTCAGGATGAAGAAGAGATTGAATCTTTGACACCATCACCTCATCCACAAGTAAAACTATCGTTTTATTCAAAAGGAGAACCAAGGAATGAAAATACATCAGCTGTCGACTCTAGTTTTGATAACTTTGATGACAATGATAATGGGAATGGTGGCGGTAATCAAAGCAAAGCAAATGAAAATGATTATTTCAACTTGGAACGTAAAAAATATTTAGATATGGAAATGGAAGCGGAAAGAGATCGTGAAGTTGAAAGAGTAAGAGATAGGGAATTGGAAAGAGAATTTAGTTTTAATGTAGATACAATTGTATATAATAATCACAATAATCAAAATAATCAGAATAATAATAATCAAAACATTAATAATACATATACTCCATACAACCCAAACAAATATAATATTTATGATCACCAAACAACAAACTCTGTAAATAACCCAAACAATATAACAATTATACCCAATACCAATATTAATACAAAACTTCAACAATTACCAAATAATAATAATAACAATAATCAAAAGTTTAAAGCAGTTCCAGTAAGTTTAAATCTAAAACGCCCAGCCAAAACCAACAACAATAATACAAACACCAATAATAATAGTAAACAAGATAATAATAATACAATCAACACTAACAACAACAACAACACCACTACTACAACAACAACAAATAATACAAATAATAATATTAATAATATTAATAATGGTATCAATGATGATGAAAATACAACAACAGAAATCGATGAACTATTTTCATTTCCATTTGATGATTCAAGTAATTATGGAGTGGCTACAACAACGATTAATCCGACACAACCGACTGAAAACTCTAGTACAAATGGAGGAGGAGGTGGTGATAATAATAGTAATGGATGTGATTTTTACCTAGATACACCTTGTACATTTAGAAATTATGGTATTATGAATAGTAGTAATCATCATTTAACAAATTCATCATCTCCTCCCAATTCTTCATATCTATCATCAACTGCGAGCATCCCCCAAAAATTACGACAATCTACAGCATCATCATCTTCATCTTCATCCTATTCATCACCAACATTAAAGTCAACCAATAATAATAATAATAATTCTAGAGCCAATTCATATATAAGCCAATATTTTCCAATCGAAGAAAATTCACCAGTCTTTATTCCCAATACCTACCAAGATCCACATCTAACCAACGATTATGAGTCACAATTTTTTGTTTTAGAAACACAAATTAAACAAACTCAACAACCTCAACAACAACAACATGTAATAGAAGAAGCAGAACAAGAAGAAGAAGAATCACCAATTAAATCAACTACCACAAATTACCAAACAGTGGAACAAGATGAGGAAGAAGGTGACCAACAAAATTATCCATCACCAACTCCACCACCAAGTTGTGGTCAATAATACATACACCTTTAACAAATTAACCAACTGTTGGTTGATCAATATACATATTTGATTTTTCAAATCAATAGATCTTTTAATTTACTTATTTATTTAGTTTTCTTTTGAGACTTTTTTAAACGATAATGTTTAAATTCTTGAAAGACACCAGCAATAATTGGAAAACAAACTGGAACAAAGAGAGGAGTGTAGACGGCATATTTGTGTTCGTCTGGGAAATACAATTGAGACAACATATTCTCGTCAAAGAATGCTTCTTCAGCGGCATTGAAAGCAACCTTGGAGGCAGCCAAAGCAGCATAAAAGTCACCTTTTGCAAATGCAGTGTGTGTAGCATTGATACGTTCGATTGCCAAATCAACCTTTTCTTTAATATTGTCCAACACCAACATGTTTGGCAAACTATCAAGTAGTGATGATAGACTTGTCAATGTATCAATAGTAACATTGACATTATCAGCCAATGATCTTAGAATTAGTTTGTTTAATTGATTCTTTGTAATGGTTGATTTGTTGTTATTGTTTTGTTGTTGTGATTGTTCCTTTTTTCTTGAAATACCAAATAAATCTTGTAATTGATATCTAAATGTCAATATTGCTTCTTGTAATTCATTTGTTAAATCTGTTGTTGTTGATGATGATCCAGTAACTGTTGAAGTAGCATCAGCAGCAGATTGATGATTTACATTATGTATGACTACACCACCATATTGTGGGATTGAAAATGCATTACTCTTTGAAGATGATGGTGAACCTGGTTTACCAATGTACAAAGGTGATTGACTTGGAGGTGGAATGTATACAATAAAATTAAGTGTTGGTTGATTGGTTGATGTTGAGTCTAGTTGCCATTCATTAGGGTTGATGTATTCAGACAATGACCCAGATGGAATATAATAAGAGTTACTCTCCTTGTCGTAGATTGGTGATTTCAATAGAGTTGCATAATGTGAAACCTTTGATTGAATGGTAAAGTTTGCAATCACTGATATTTGATCAACAAATTGTTTCAAGTTTGCTACAATAACAACAACAAAAGTCAATCAACGTTAGTTACAATACATAGCAGTATATTATTTATATAGTTACCATTATAAAGTTCTTGAAATTGCCATTTAGGAATGATTGATGATGGATCAGCATTCAATAGAGTAAAAGATAAACAATATTCAGTTGCAGTCTTTACGACATTATCATGATTTGGTTGATGATATCTATTAATCAAATCTATAAATGATGGCCATTGTCCAACTATACTATTATTATTATTATTATTACTATTACTATTATTTGTTACTTTAAGTTGTTGTAGTTCTTGTCTATATTGATTGTATTTAAGTATTGGTTCAAATTCAACAGGTGATCTATAGGTTGTGGTCGTATACCACCAAACTGGTAAACCAAGAAGGAATGATACTACAAATACAGCTACAATAGTCACTCTTTTGCTCACTGCCATCTTCTGTCTGTATGTATTTGTATTTGTATATAAATAATACTTTTAAAACAATGAACATCAAAAGCATGTTGTGTGCACACTCTTAAAAACTTAATTAACTTTAACTTTAAATTTACAATATTTTAAAATATATCTGTCGTTTTATTATTATTATTATTAATGATTACAAGTATGAGAATGTTCATGTTTATGTTCATTGTTATGTGTATCTTTATTGGATCTATCAGGAGTACCCTTTGCATCCTCTTCTTCATTCAATTCATATTGTAAATCTTCTAATTTTTCATTGATCATTGATGTTATTTGGTTTAGGGTAGTTTGACATTCTTGTAATTGTTGGTTACAACCTTGGATATGTTCTTTAAAGCATCCGTCATTCTCCATCTTTATAATATTTCCATCTTCATCGATACGAGTCATCGAATCATTTGCATGTACTTCTGTCTTTAATATTTGATATTTTGATGTCTAAAGAGATAATGAAGATAGTAGTTGTTCAGTTGTTGGTATTCAATCAAGATTAAATCATAATTATAAAAACATACAAGTATAAACTTAACCTTTTCATAATCTCTCAATTCGTTTATGATGGTTGACCATTTAGGTTTGATTGGTTGGAGAGCAGCTTCGATCATGATGAGTTCCTTTGACACCTTTGAAATCAGTGACGACACTGTTTGACATAGTTTAGTGTACTCTTCTTCATTTTGAGTGTCCAAGTATACACGAAACCCTTGGTTCCATTTAGTATAGATAGCAGCTCTCTGTCCTTGTGTATTGAAAAAGATTGACAGTATATCACTCGGTGTAGATATATTCAACATGTTCTTTAACTCTTCTTCTAATCCTGCTGCATCTTTTATTTGTTCTTTTTGTAGAATATTGGTATCTCCTGTTGTACTCATCTTTTATATGTATCTATACTATCTATCTATCTTTTATAAATTAAATATGAAAGAATCATATTTTCGATCATCATCATCCCAATGTAGTAATTTTTAATCTTTGTTTCATTTCAAGTGAATGCGTAATTATTAATTAATTATTTAATTGTTAATATATATTCTATGTTTTATTATTCTATTCACCTCTATAGATTACAAAGTTCTTTTCAGTTTCTTCAATCTTTACTTCAAATAGTAGGTTACCAAGCTTCTTGTGTAATGCACCCCATATCCAAACGGCTACGTTCTCTGTGGTGGTGACGATACCTTTGAGAGGTTCGAGATCCTCCAATGTTCTGTGATCGAGTATATCCAACACCTCGGTGGCAATGATACTCTTTAACTCGGTGATATTGATAAACATGCCAGTCTTTGGGTCGACGGCACCCTTGACAGACACCTCCAACACATAGTTGTGTCCATGTTGGTTGATACACTTTCCATATATTTGTTTGTTCTCTTCAAGTGTCAATTCATGTGAATATAATCTATGACTGAAATATAGTAGTGTATGATGATCATACATGTTAATATCCGATATCGGATGTAATCAATCAGATCAGATCATCTGATCACCGTGTAGGTATGTACAGGTAGATAGGTAGATAGATTACCTTGATGAAAATGTTTCTCTTCTGGTTAAGATTACTGATGGCGCCATTATCTTTCTTCTTCTTCTTATTTATAACTATTTATATATATTATATATTTATCAATAATGAATGATTTGATTATTTGTCTTTCTTAAAAGGCAACTTTAATTTAGGACAATCACAAAAACACCAACAACAAATTCTTTCATCAACTTTTTTCTCCTTCTGTTGCTTCGATTAGAACCTACAGGAACTTTCTTTTACCAAGGATTATTATTATTATTACTATCAATATTCCATTCTTTAATTCCAAACATACATTTTTCTCACTCTCTCTCTCTTTTCTCTCTTTTAATATTACATATTATATTACAATATTTCGATGTATCATGGATGGGAAGTTCTCTCTTTTGCCATAAATGATGATTGGATTGGTCTAAATTAGATCAATTGGATTAAAAGACCATAATTAAACACACCACACATTTAACTTTAGATCACATCCATCGATGATGACTCGAAGACAGTGAATCATTGTTACCAAAATTTCAATGAAAGATAGTGAGTCATTGTTGTTGAGTTTTTTTTAATAAGCAGAACCATTCTGCAAAGTATGACATTCGATTCGTCTATTCATCATATTTGCATTATCTCTGTTTAATTAATAATAATAGGAATAGGAATAAGATTAAGAGTCTTTTCTTTACTTCACCTCATACAATTTAAATGGCAATAATCAGTAATAACAACAATAATACATCAACCACTGATACTACTAGTAGCAGTAATGATACGTCATCTATCATAGTTGGTCAAGAGGTATCACCTGAACAACAATCGGATCATAATAATAATAATAATAATTGTCAACTACCAGATGCTTCCACTAAATGGACTATTCTTCCAACATCTAATAGTCCAACACCTAGATTTGGTAAGATAAACTATTGAATGTTGTTTCTCTATCTATATCATATCCTAATCCCCCCTACCCTTTCCTTCTTTTATAGACAACTCATTAACACATTATGAAGGATATTTATATATGTTTGGTGGTAATAATGAAGATGTTAATACCAATTTAACACAATTCCTAAGATTGGATCTATCAACCAACTCTTGGCATGCATTACAATGCAACATGAAAAGAAGAATACTTCATACTGCCGTCATACACAATCGTTCAATGTATGTCTATGGTGGAGGTGTTTACGAAGATGAAAGAACTTCGTTCTTTGGTCCATCTAGTAAAGTATTTAAAACAATCAATGAATTACTTTGTTATGAATTTGGTATGTCACAAACAAACAAACAAATATTGTTATATTTGAATAATAATAATTAATAATTAATATTTAATATTTTAGAAACACAAAATTGGAATAGAATTGAAACAAATGAAGGTCCAACAGTTGATGGTCATTGTGCTGTTGTAATTGGAGATAATATGTATATTATTGGTGGGTCGCAGAGCAAGGTGTCTGGTAAGTCAATCCAAACCATCTTGTCTAATCAATTGTCAGTGTATAATATTCCAACACAAGAATGGACACACCATTCATCACCGTTGTTTGGTAGATTGTGTAGTGCCATTCATTATAGTCGAAATGATAAAGACTATATTTACGTATTTGGAGGATACGATTCACACACTCCAAACAATGATCTATGGCAGTACGATGTACAATTGGGTACTTGGAAAGTAGTGTCTTCAACACTATCAACTGCACCACCACGTTATGCACACTCTGCCAATCTATTTGAAGATAAAATGTACGTCTATGGAGGGTACTCTAAGAAAGGGTATTTACGTGACCTTCACACATACGATTTTACAAAGGAAGAGTGGAAGTTGATACCAACAGGTGACACCCCACCAAAACGTAGAAGACATCAGTCGGTGGTAGTAGATACCGATGGAAGACCACGTATACTCTTGTATGGAGGATCATACATCTCATGTCTCTACAATGATCTTTGGGAGTACGTGTTCCCCTCCAAAGTACACATCCCATGTGATCAATTAGTTCCCGATTTCCTCACACTATTTAATAATGCCGAAGAATATTTCAGCGATATTGCATTTGTCGTCGAAGGCAAGCGTATCCCAGCCCACAGAAACATTCTATCAGTTCGTTCAAATTATTTTAAATCATTATTTACAAATGGTTTAAAAGAAAGTTTTGGTAAGATATAGACATAGACATAGACAGAGACAAGACATAGATAGATAGATAGATATACAAACATTTATACTTATTAATTTATTTATTATTTATTTATAGAAAAAGATATTATAATTAAAGATGAAAAATATGATGATTTCATAGCATTGATTAGATTTATTTATACCGGTGATGAAGGATATGTAAATTTAGAGAATTGTATGGGATTGTTACATTTATCAGATTGTTATTTAATCTCTCGACTAAAGATTGTTTGTGAAGCCAAGGCTACCGAGGGCATTGCCATTGACACTGTAGTCACTCTGTTTAAACAAGCAGATTTCTACAAACTCACCAAACTACGTCAAATCTGTATTGCATTTATTGCAAAGAATCACAAGGAATGTTTGGCAACTGGTATGCTTACTACTTTAGAATCATCTGTATTATTAGAAATTATGTATTGTTTAGATCCATCATTAAATACAAATAAATAAATAAATAATCAAATAAATATTTAATTATTTATTTTCATGTACATCAATCAAAATTGCAATTTTCGTAACCCCCCAATGATTCATGATTATTATTATTTCATACCACCACTGACTGATAATGATAGTGTGCATGATTGAATTTGGTAATAGATTTTGATCATATGAAACTAACTATATTTCTTTTCATCCATTCCATTGTTGATAGTTATTTAATAATTATTATTTTGAAAGCATCCATTCATTAATTTAATTATTACTTTAATTTGTTTTTGAAAATTGTCATGAGGATGTTCAAACCATCAAATCACATTTCCATCATTTTATTGTTGTATGCGACATTATCAATAGTAGTAGCATTGGATCAACATGGACTAGCGAATCAAGATAGAGAATTTCCTCAAGAACGGTTGAATGTACATTTGATAATGCATAGTCATGATGATGCTGGTTGGTTAAAGACATTTGAAGAATATTATCAAGACCAAGTAAAGAGTATACTATCAAGTATTGTTAAAGCACTATCAATAGATCCTAAAAGAAGATTTAATTGGTCTGAAATGTATGTGTGAATCATAGATCAATCAATACTTTATTAGTATTACTTAATTAATTTGTATTTGTAGAATATTTTTAGAAAGATGGTGGAGAGAACAAGGAGATGATATGAAACAAACATTTAAACATTTGGTACAAACAAAACAAATTGCATTTACAAATGGAGGTTGGGTACAATATGATGAAGCGTGTACAACCACTGAATCAGTGATTGAACATTTTACAGAGGGTCATCGATTCATTGTCGAGAACTTTGGAGCTGAATACCTTCCAAAGTCGGGCTGGCAGATAGATCCATTTGGACATGCTACCAAGACTGCTGCTGTCATGTCGGCTATGGGGTATGAAAACATTGTATTGGATCGTGTCAGTACAACCATCAAAGATCAAATGAATAGAGACAAATCGACAGAGTTTGTATGGCGTGGTAGTAGATCTCGTGGCAAGAATAGTGATATGTTTGCACATGTATTGGATACATTTTATACATCACCTGCTGGTATAGGGACAGGTGAATACCCAACCTTGATCAACCATCTTCCTCAAGATTGGGCTAACTCTATTTTTGAAACTGCAGTCTATCGTTCCAGTCATTATCTCACTCCACACCTATTAATGACTATTGGTGGTGATTTTGCATTCAACAATTCAGTAGAATTCTTTCAAGTTTTTGATCAAACTCTTGGTAACTAACTATACATAGATTATGAATTGATGATTTATTAAACTAATGTGTCATATCTTTCTTTTTTATTTAGCAATGTTAAATTCTAAAACTCTTATAGTTGCATTCAAGTATAGTACTGTGGATGATTACTTTGCAGCTGCCAAGAATTGGTTAGCTAGAAATAAAACTCCATTGCTCATCAGATACAATGAAGATTTCTTTCCACTACTCGAACAAAATGATGCATGGACAGGCTACTATACAACCAAACCTGCCTTGAAAAGAAAGAGTAGACTTGTAGATGGAAACAAAAGAATGGCAGACACTTTGGATATTTTAAATTTTAACCCAATTAATTATAATTCAAAATTAAGAGATGCTCAAAGAGTATGAAACATCAAAGTATCATTTCACAAAAGTATAAATATTTATTTTATTTTTTATTTAATTTTTAGAATTGTTCAATTTTATTACATCATGATGCAATTACAGGTACAAGTAGAGTAAAAGTAATTGAAGATTATTCAATTAGATTGGATAATGCAAATACAATTATTGAACAGGTATCGGTAGATTCAATTAAAAAGTATTATCATTTAGATGATCAAATGAAACTTGTAAATGGTGATTCTCCATTTATATCAGATTTTAGGGATTCAAAAACCCTTTTATTCTTTAATCCATTGGGATGGGATCGAGTGGAACCAGTAACCATTCAATTAAATTACATTGCATATACTTCTCAACCTGGAATGTGTGCCTATTCAATGCAATGTTGGGATTACAAGAGCAATTCATTCCTTTCAACTCCAGTTGATTGCACATTGCGAGCCAATGTAGACACGAATGTTCAGTACCTACAATTTGACTTTTTAATTTCAATTCCAGCATTATCATTTAACCATTGTATTCTTTCAAAAGATTCTAAACAATCCTCTAAAACTTTAATTCAACAAAATATTAATAATGGTAAATAACAATTTTACAATTTTACAATTATATTTATTAATATTATCTTTTCATTTGTATTTATTTTAGGTTATATAGTTGATAATAATAAATTATCAATTACAATATCAAATATTTCAAATCTAATGGAATCTATTTATGATAAGAGTTTAAATACACAATTTAGTCTAAGACATACAGTATGTGAAGTTTATTTAATTTGATTTATTTATATTTTTTACTTATTATTTAATTTTTAGATGGTTAGTTATAATAGTGGATTTGGAGGTTCGTATGTTTTAAAACTTCGAGGAATCAAGGAATATCAACTTTATCAACCATCTGGTTTTTGGAGTGGTGAGGTTATGAAGGAATTTAAATCAACTGATAGAGCCAACCTGCAAGAGGTATCTTTAAAGATTTATCAAACCAATAATAATGACAATGGTAGATTGGAAAGGTTCTTTGATTTTATTTACAATATTCAAGGTATCGATAAATATGAAATATTTTCACAATTTGAAACATACCTATTGTCAACAAACATTGTATCCGATAGTGGATATGAATTTCAATTTAGACGACCATGTTTAAATCGTACTTTGGAATCTTGTTTCTATCCTTCAGTTCATGCATCTTATATTGTTGATAGTAAAACTGGTATTTCATTTGTTGTAAGTTAGATTGATATAATCTATAAATATATATAAATATATACTAATAATTTTTTCTTAAAAAGTGTTTAAATGATAGATCAAGAGGTGTGGCAAGTCCATCAAGTGGAACTGTATTACATCATTTACATAGAAGTATGGTGTACGATGATAATAAGGGATTGGGACAACCAGGAAAAGACAATTCAAGAGTGACGATTAAAAACAGATGCTTTGTTGACAATATTGCAAATATGCAAAATTACATTTGGAAGGAATCAATCATGTTTAAGCATTCCATTCAAATATTTGAATTACAACAACAAACTGCATCAACTTCAAATTTCGATCTTCTTCATACAAACTATTCTCCATTTTTATCAAGTATGTTTTTTTGTTTTAAAAGAGATATAAATATATTAACATTTTATGTATTACTATTTATTTTATAGAATCATTGCCACAAGATATTCATATATTATCTGTTAAATATTCAGATGGTGGAATATTATTAAGATTGATGAATATTCGAGACCTACCAACATCAACATCAATCATTCTTCAGCTTGGGGATTATTTCAAATTTTCTACTGATACAATCATAATTCTACCTTTGAATGGGATTCCATCAGTGTCTAAAAGAATGATTCCATGTTTTGATGATGGGTTAAAATGTTATGATGACTCTCATATTGTCGATACTCAAGATGATACTAGTAAAACAACCACCACCGTTGAAATTCATCCCATGGAAATTAAAACTATTTTATTTCCTTCCAAATAGCCTAAAGGAGGACAATACTATCAGAGGCATTCTGGAAGTGATTGGAGCTAAATACCAATAAATCAGATATTACTTGCAATAAATATATTATGTAAATTATTTATTAATTTATTTCTTAAACCAAAGTTTGAAATCGTTATCATTTGAAACAGAAGCCAACTCGTAGGCAAAGGTATCGGTTGGATCAGATTGAGTAAATTCAACTGGGAAAATCAAAATCTCTTTAAGGTATGGTTGGTGGTTGACCATGGCGGTACGGATTTGCTCGTCGGCAGTGTTGTAGAGCATTTGGACGGCGTCACTTGGGAGGAGGTCACTCTTTTTACGCAAACGTTGGATACGGTTGATAACTTCACGAACCAAACCCTTTTCGACGAGGTTTTGATCGATGGTCAACTCGAGGATGGTGAGAACATCGTCGTCACCAGATGGCTCAAACAAGCTCAAGTCACCATTGTACTTGCGGATAATCTTGAGATCTTCGGTGGTGAGGACGTGCTCGCCAATGTTCAACTCTCCCTTCTTTTGGAAGGCACGGAGATCGTCGACCGAGAGGTTAGCAATTTGCTTGGTAACGTCAGACAAGGCGGTCTTGAGACGTTGACCAAGACGCTTACGGTCAGGTTCGGCCACAATGTTGACAAGCGAGTCGTCCGAGGTGAGGACGAGACGTTGGATGTTAAGCTCTTCGATGACGTACGACTCGAGCTCCTTGAGATCCTGCAAGTATTGTGGGTTGTCAGAGATGACGGTGAAATCCTTAAGCGGGTACTTGAGTGGCTTGGTCTTTCTTTCACGACTGGTTCTACCGTGTTCAATGACAGTTTGCATACGGGTGACGGCTTCTTCAATACGCACGTTAAAGGCGGCTTGGATGGGCTCTGGGTACAAGACAAAGTGGACGGAATCCTCGCGTTGTCCATCTGGCAAGACACGACGCAAGTTTTGGTACATATACTCGGTAAAGAATGGAGTAAATGGACCCATGGCAACGCAAACCTTTAACAACACCTCAAAGAGAATGTTGAGTGAGGTCTTGGCATCGTCTTCACCGTTGGCACCCTTGAAACGACGACGGTTGAGACGGACGTACCAGTTGGTAAGCTCGTTGATGAACAAGGTGAGACGTGGAACGACCGTGTAGAGACGGTAGGCAGCCATCTCCTCACGTACAAACTTGATGAGTGATTGGCACGAGGCGAGCACCCAACGATCCATAATGTTGGTGGATGCAAGGGCAACCTCGAGGGTTGGCACAAACTTGGAGCCGGTGGCAGCTTCGTGACGATGTGCGTTTTGTACCATGAAACGGTAGGCGTTGAACCATGGCAAGAAGACGTCCTTGAGCATATCCTTGACACCATTCTCTTGGAACTTGAGTGTCTCGGCACGTACGACGGGCGAAGAGATGAGGTAGAGACGGAGAGCGTCCGAACCAAACTTGTCAATGACAGTGACTGGATCGGGATAGTTTTTGAGACGTTTGCTCATCTTTTTGCCGTCCGAAGCAAGTACCAAACCATTGACAATGAGGTTTTGGAAGGGTGGCTTGTCAAACAAGGCAGTTGAGAGAACGAGCAAGGTGTAGAACCAACCACGGGTTTGATCGATACCTTCGGCGATAAAGTGTGCTGGGAAGATCTTTTCGAAACGGTCCTTGTTCTCAAAGGGGTAGTGTTGTTGGGCGTATGGCATACTGCCAGACTCGAACCAACAATCAAACACCTCTTCGATACGACGGAGTGGAGCACCACCCTTTTTCGATGGGATGGTGATATGGTCAATCGATTCACGATGGAGATCGGTGACACGGACGCCAGAGAGCTCAAACAACTCTTCAATTGAACCAATGACAACCATCTCTTGACCATCCTCGCTGATCCAAATTGGGATTGGGGTACCCCAATAACGGTTACGCGAGACTGCCCAGTCGCTGGCGTTCTTGAGCCAGTTGGCAAAACGCTTCTCCTTGACAAAATCGGGAACCCAGTGAGTATCCTCGTTGTTTTTGAGCAAACGGTCACGCATCTGCTCGACACGGACAAACCACGAGCCGACGGCACGGTAGATGAGTGGGGTGTCTGAACGCCAGCAGAATGGGTAGGAATGGACGATATTGCTTTGGTGGACGAGTCTGTCCATTGCTTTGATTGCCTTGATGACTTCCTTGTCAGTCTCGCCAGCTGGATCCTTGACACGCTTGCCTGCAAAGGCAGTGACGTCGCTGGTGTAGCATCCGTTCACGTCGACGGCATTCAAAGATGGACGCTTGAAATCCTCACGCTTGATGATACCAGCTTGCATGCAGACGTTGAAATCCTCCTCACCATAGGCAGGGGCGGCGTGGACAACACCAGTACCGCTGTCTTCGGTGACATAGTCGCCTGGGACAACCTTGAAGGCACCAGTCTTGACGTCGTCGGCAAAGAATGGGAAGAGTGGGGTGTAGGACTTGCCAACGAGCTCGGCACCCTTGACAGTGGCGAGCAACTTGAATTCCTTGGACGTGTTCTTGGTGTCCTTGTAGATGATGGCGAGACGCTTTTGGGCGAGCACGTAGATCTTGTTGGTCTTGGTGTCTTGCACACGTACATAGTCCATCTTGGGGTTGACAACCAATGCAAGATTACATGGGAGTGTCCAAGGCGTAGTCGTCCATGCCAAGAAGCTAGCACCCTCGGCATCGTCGGTGATGGGGAAGGCGACGACGACAGCGGGGTCGCTGACGTCCTTGTACGAGCTAGAAGCTTCGAAATTAGAGAGTGGAGTGGTACATGGGATCGAGTATGGCATGACCTTGAAACCTTGGTACACCATGTCCTTGTCGGCCAACTGCTTGAATACCCACCACACGGACTCCATAAAGCTGAGATCCATGGTACGGTAGGTGTTCTTCATGTCGATCCAACGACCCAAACGCTTGACGATTGCCTCCCACTCGGTACTGTAACGCATCACAATACCACGACATGCGGCATTGTATGCTGGGATACCCATCTTGAGGACATCGTCCTTGGTACGCACGCCCAACTCCTTGTCAATTTCAAATTCGATTGGCAAACCATGACAATCCCATCCAAAACGACGCTCGACATGATGTCCAGTTTGGTGTGCGTATCTCGTTACTGTATCTTTAATGGTACCGGCCAAAATGTGACCGTAATGTGGAAGACCAGTGGCAAATGGAGGTCCGTCATAGAATGAATATTCTGGACGTCCCTCTGACATCTTTAAAGATGTTTCAAATGCATTAATCTCATCCCAATATTTTAATACCTTTTTCTCTTCTTCTGCAAATGAAATGTTTTGTGGTACTAGAAAATAAAATTGGGAAATCAAAGTTAGCAATGAGCAAAAGAGAGAGAGTAAGTTTAATATTTCACTTACCAGACTCCATTTTTCAGCTGTTATATAATATGATATGTATGGTATGTGAAAAGTGGTGTAAGATTAAAAGGATTGAATGATAGATATTAGAAGTAGTTTTTAATTAAAAACTATTTTACTTGTTGTTATATATGTACACTCTTCTTTTGAAAGAGTTTTTGAATCAAATGATGATGATTATAGTGCGTAGAAAATGAATGTTGTAGTAGGTGCAAAGATAGTATGTTGGTAAAAGACAACTATCTTGGTTTTAATATTAAAAGAATAAACTAATGATATTACTACACTCTTATTTGTATATTTATATATATCGTATAGGGATAATCTTCTTCGTTTTAGTGAACAAACTGAGAATTGCAACAAAAAAAAAAAAAAAAACAAACGTCCAAGAAACGAACTTCAGCACAAGCTACCACTATCATTCTGTTTGCTTGCTTGAAATATCATATACTTTAGAAAGATAGATAAATATATTGCATACTTATACCACAGATACAAAGAATAGAATACAAACATGTTACGATTCAATCGATTGATTAAAAGTGGATCATTACAATCAATAAAGATGACATTGACACCATCATCATCATCAATGTCATCAACACTATCATCATATAATAACAAACAACATTATAGTTATAGTTATAGTACATCAACAACACCTACAAATGATCCAAAGGGACACAAAAAGACTAGAGATCAAATGGTAGAAGAAAGAAATCAAGCTATGGATATTGTGGGTAACAAGACGATTGACGATGTTGAAAAGGAGTTGGGTCAAAGCGAAAAGAAGCTGCACGATACAAAGGGTCAACGTCAAAGATTAGAGGAAAAGAAAGCAAAGACTAAAAAGGATATACTTACAGTACTGGGATTGGCAGCTTTGGCATCATTGGTTTTCATTCGTGACTATATCAAGAGAAAAGATCAAAAGAAACAATTTGATGAGGAATGGGAGAACCTAAGAGTACTCATCAACGAAAGAGATGCCCTAACATTGAAAAAGAAAGAGATCATTGCTCTCATTACATCACATCTCTTGAAACAAAATCCATCACTCTCTGCTGAAGAGTTGAACCAATCTGTAGATAACACCATAACTAAAATTTTAACAAATCAAGAAGATATTAAATCCATAAATCAATCTATATCAAACGAAAATAATAATAACAATAATAATAATAGTAATAATAATAATTCACAATCATCTACAAATGAAAAGAGTATGTTTAGGTTAGGATACCAATGGAGTTCAAACCATTTCCTTTTAATTTAATTTTACTAACCTATCCATCAAATCTTTTTAGGAGTATATTCTGGTAGAATTTAAATGAATGATAATAATAATACTTTTCAAAAGAATAGTAGTCAGAAAGAAAGGAATTAATGCGATCAATAAATGATTGATCATGTTTGGTGAATGATGATTACTTTTTAAGAGTTTCCCCAAAACATTGTGGTTATAGTTCCCCATTCCCACCTTCCAACCATCCATCATGGACTGATTGTTTTTTACTATAATTTAGAGTTGATCCCACCCATTGATGTTCAATATCTTCGATGGCTATTGATCGTGACCAACACATTAAACCACACCATTATTGTAATGACGGGATCAGATGTGTAGGTCATATCTTGGCTTTCCGCATCGCAAACTACATGTTGTCTCTTGGTAAGGTTGTGCAAAAAACTCTTTGAGAGGTCGGATATTTGATGATCCATTACCAGTTGAATCGCTCATCAAACAAGCTGCCGTCAGATGGATAGATACGATGACGTTGATTTTTTTCAAAAAATCGAGCTACACCTCCCAGATTCTATGTTTTTTACCACCACGGCAAATTGCGATGGGCTCACGTTGCATAATAATCTATGCTACCAAACCCATTTATCTTAACTGTAGTTACGAGGTACGATCATCCCACTTTTTCATCACCATCCATCCTCCAAAGGATTCAATGATCTTCTTATAGTCCCTCCTCTTTGTCTTCACAACAAACAATTCAATTGTAATTCTATTTATTTATTTATTTATTTATTCACTGTACCCTTCTATAACTTTAATTATTATCTTTATCTTAAAAAGTAAAGACTAATTATTAATCATGATGGGTTCAACGTCATCTCGACGACAATACATCCCCTATTTATTTATATTATTTATTATCTCTTTCAATGTACTATTAGCCCGTTCCCAATCAACTAAATTGGGTGAGGTCACCGTAGGTTCAAACCTTTTAATCACATCAACTAATGTTGAAGTATGTATCAATAATAATAATAATAATAATAATAATAATAATATCTTACCCTAACCCCTAACCCCTAAACTACAATACGATGATGGTGGTGGTGGTGTGGGGGGCAATGAAATGATCAAGTCAAAACACTTATCTAATTCTATTTATTTATTTATTTATTATTTTTTCGTCATCATATGCATCTCTCTCTCTAGACCAACTATAAATTTGTTGTAGATTCTAGTATTACTACACCAAAGATTTCCATTGCAATTAGTCGTGGATCAGTCTCTACTCTTAATGATATCATCAATCAAATCAGTAGCTCCAATGTGGTCATTGGTGAGGTAAGAATATTCACAAATACAAATAGAGATAGATATACAAGTAATGATATTAATTTATTATTTCTTCTATTATTATTTTCTTCTATATTGATAGCCAACACCAATTACATCAGCTGTTGCAACTACTACTGATGGTGGTGCTACTACTCAAGGAGGTAGTACAACATCTAATGTCATTTCATCATCCAATAGAGTTTCTGTCACTTTGATGACAATGATTGGATGTTTGTTTGGAGGTGTATTTTTAACCAACAACCAACGTAGTGGTCCAAAGACATTTATTGCAATGATTGTTATTGGTGTTACCTTGTCCAGTGTAGTAAATGCCATTGTATTGGACCAAATCACCGTTGAAGCTACCATCACAATCCCACCAGGGTTTAGATTCGATTCACTCGAAATCAGAGCTGGAAAGGGTTCAGTTTCAATGAATGGAGTTCAAGCCACTTCTCTAAAGGTTGATGCCTGTACTGGTGGATTAGATTTCCCAGTTTCGTTTGGTAGTTTGAATACTCAAACATTTAATGTTTGTACAAAGTCTGCAGTTACAGCAACCGATGTTCAATTATTGGGAACTCCATCGACCATCAATTTGACAAGCAAGTCTGACAAGGTTAATATTGACTTTTTGCTCAGTTATAATGGTCAAGCCAAGGTTGATACCAATCAAGCAATCGACTCGACCATTGTCGGTTCACAGTCGTGTACGTTGACAAGTAGTACTGCTAGTGGCCGTACTGTCAAGCAAGGCACATGCGGTAGTGGGTCGACCACGAACCAATTGAACGTCGTTGCCGAGACTGGTGCCACTGTCGAGGTGTTTAACGCCGAGGCATGTCCAACTGCCGCCGATTGGCGTGATCCAAGACCATCGGCAGCCGGTCCCGTCTCGCCATCCATCATGACCACCATCCCAGTCATCAACAATGTCTTTTCCGGCTCGACCAATCAATGGAAGGTGTTGGCCGACTACAATAACGCCTATGAAGTGACCAACCCGTCGGCTGGCACAACCTCGAACGGTGTCGATGTGTCGGGCTCGCTCAAGATCAGTTTGGGCGGTCCCACCTCGTACTGGATCGTCTCAGAGACATACACCAATTTCTTGCGTGCCAATCAGCCCGTCCAATTCAGCTACAGCTACTTGTTTGCACAAGCAAACACCGCCTCCTTGTATGCTAGCAGTGCATCGATCTGCGCGTTTGTCGGACTCGAGCAAGAGTTTGTCGACGACCCCGACCACTGGCTCCCAACCGACCCCAGCCAATACACGTCGGTTGTCTGCTTCCCCTTCCCAACCACCAACATTGCCGGCAGCCACACTGCCTGGACTGTCAACACTGCCTCGTTTACACCAACCCAAGATCTATCGTCGGTTCGTTTCGCCCTCAACATGACCTACGCCCGTCCATGGGGTACCATTCCGGTCGCCTTTTTCAAGTCTTTGACCTACACCATTCCCCAACGTGCTGTCGCCGCCGTCAGCCCGCTCTCGAGCGACTCTGAGTTGGTCAAGCTTCGCAAACCATCCACTACCCTCACTCCACAGTCCAGCTCGTCTTGTCCACACCTCCAAACCGGTCTCTTGCACTGGCACAACCCCGCCACTTGGGGAGGATCCGTTCCCAACCCATCCAGCGTCATTACCCTCCCTGCCAACTCCAAGGTGCTCATCTCGAGCTGTTCGCTCCAGGCCGGCACCATCTACCAAAAGATCATCGTGCCAGCCACCTCTGAGCTCATCTTTTCCGACGCCAACATCACCATGCATCTCCAAGACATGTACGTCCAAGGTAAGCTTTGGATCGGTAGCTCGTCGTGTCGTTCCAATGGCAACATCGAGTTGATCTTCCACGGTGCCTACACCACCGCCGACACCATCGCCCAATACATGGGTAGCAAGGGTATCGCCGCAGCCGTCGGTGGGTACCTCTCGATCCAGGGCAAGCAGTACAAGAACACATGGACCAGACTGTCGGTCACTGCCTACCCATACGACCGTCTCCTCTATCTCCAAGATGCCGTCAACTGGGAGGTTGGCCAAAAGATCGTCGTGACAACCTCGCGATTCGAAGATGAATGGTACCCTGAAAACGAGGTACTCACCATCCAAGCCGTCTCTGCCAATGGCAAGACCGTCCAGACTGTCGAGCCCGTCCAATTCTACCATTATGCAGGTCAAGAGTATCAAGCCGAGGTAGGTCTCTTGTCGCGTCGTATCATACTCCGTGGTGACGCCGCCAGCTCTGAACCAAAGAAGTTTGGTGGTCATGTCCTCACAATGGGCAACAGTCAGTTTGCAGGTATCGAACTCATCAACATGGGTCAGCGTAATATGCGTGCTCGTTACCCACTCCATTTCCATCTTGCCGGCACCGTCAGCAACAGCTATGTCTCGGACTGCTCTGTACACGACACCTACTACCGTTGTGTCACTATCCACGGCACCCACAACCTCACAGTCACCGAGAACGTTGCCTACGACGCCACCGGTCACTGCTACTACATTGAAGACGGTATCGAAGAGAACAACACTGTCTCGTACAACTTGGCTGCCTACGTCCACACCATCTTTGCATCGGCCGGCGGAAACACCCAACAAGGTCAATGGTTCAACGAGCAACCCGAGCTCACCCAACCCGCCGACACCGCCGCCGCAGGCTACTACATCACCAACGCCTACAACCGTATCTATGGTAACGCTGCCAGCGGTGGTTGGGCATCCTACTCATTCCCCAATCTTCCCAACTCGATCGGTCAATTCAAGTCGGTCGTGTTTAGTCCCATGCTCAGACCAACACTCGAGTTTGACGGCAACACTGCTCACTCTGCCGGTTACATGTTTATGTTTGGCAGTTGCGTCTACTGCGGTGGTGTCTTGCAGTACTTGGCCAACGGCAGTCTCACCTACCAGTCGGGTCGTCCCGCCGACTCGAGAGACACAGTCTTTTCAAATGGAACCGAAGCTTGGATGCAATACACCAATCTCAAGGCCTACCAATGCTCTGACGGTGTCGGACATTGGGGTGAGCGTATCGAAGTGATCAACTATGAGTCGCACGACAATCTCCGTTCCGGAACCGTGTTTGGTAGCTCATGGCTCAGCAGCGCTATCATCAACGGTCGTTCTGGCAATGTTGCACGTTCCATCAACTCCAAGCAAGGATTCCAATTCTACGACACGTGGACCAGAACCATCTTGACCAACATCAACTTTAGAAACTTTATTGCATTGGCCAAGCAACCATCGAATCCACAAGATGACAACCGTGTGCTCGTCTCCATGACACACAGCGACATTTACAAGCCCCAAGGTATCAGTGCCACCCGAAACATCACCTTTACCAACACTCTTGTCAAGCAACGTATGGGACACAACGTCACCAACACTGGTAGCTCACGTTACTACAACTTTGTCGATTGGGATGGCTCCTTTACCGGCCGTAACGTCCCATCTATTGTCGGCTCGCATCTCAACTGGTGGCAATACGACAACACCTGCACACTCTCGCCAGAGTGGGGTATCTACCACTGTGTCAAGGGATCAACTGCCCGTGAAGTCGGTAACCTCGATCTCTTGATCCCAGGCATCATCAACGACGTCGAAGAAGATCCAAACACCGTCGTCGGTATGTCCAATCTCTTTGGTCCAGGCATTCCAACCACTGGCACCCGTCGTCAAAGCCCAATCACCAACAATGTTGGTATCACTGGTGTCACTGGCATGGGTTGGTATCTCTACGTGAACAGTGGTGCACCAACTCAATTCCAACTGTCCACACGTCTTGTCCCATACGGACGTTACATTGTTGTTGCCATGAGATATCCAGCCAACACTCAATTCTCAATTGACCAATGGTACCAATGGAGAACACCACAAGCTGGCCCCAAGTTCAATGCCACCTCTACCTTTACCGAACTTTTGAATGGAAATGGTGCTGCCTACTATTTCGATCAAACTCATTTGTACTTAAAGGTTGTCAATCCAAGACTCGATAATGGTGATGATGAAGCTTATACTCGTGGTGGTGCCAGTGTCTACACCATCTATACTGGATTCTTTTATCGTGTCACTGCTACTTGTACTTCATGTAACATGCAAGTATCTGATGATATGCCAACTAAATGGACTTAATCAAACAAACAAACAAACAAACAAAAAACAACAACTATTTGTTTTTCCAATGTAATACCATACATATAATAAATTATTTATTTATTTATTTTATCACACAATAATAAATATTAAATGAGTCATTATTATTATTACTTTATTATTATTTCCATATTTTATTTATTTAATTAAATAAGAAATCAATAGCAAGTGATTTTAATAAATTAATTTTGGTTGTCTTTTGGAAATTGGTTCTAATATCTGGATGATTAAATTCATTTAGAATTGGTGATGATATAAGTTGATTCAATAAAGTTAATTTCTTTGTATCTTTTAATCTATTATAATGGTCTAAATAAAAAATAAAAACAAAGAAATTAATATTATAAAAATGTAAAAAACTTTCTTTCTTTCTTTAACATACTAATTAATAATTCTAAAATTGGTATTTCAAAAATATATTGAAAGTATAGAGAGTCTAGAGTATTTAAATGATCTTGAATGATTTTGAAACAAGTAGAAAAGGTTTGATTTTGTAATTGTGTGGCAGTGGTTGGTAGTAATATTTGATTGACAGCAACTGCTTGCATTGGGTATCCAAGTTGTATCAGACAATTGGAAAGTTTAAATACAATTCTTGACATGTCTGTTAGTTGGTCAATGGCTTTACGAGTATTGGTAAAAAATGATGATTGCAATGCAAATGCCATCAAATACGATCTTAGACTCTCCAAATATTTGTTTTTTTCATAATACAATTCACCCAATATATAGTGTGACTTGAAAGATACCTTTTCTACTGCTCTATTGAGTCGAAGAGCAGTATTTAATATTATTTCTCTGACAACTGCATCCAATTGATCAATATTTGTTGATACGTGGTGTTGAAATATTGAACTGGTGAGTTGTTGTGATGATTGTTGTTGAGATACTAGTAATGTTAATTCTCCATAGTGTTCCAAATACAACTCTTCAACTCCTCCTCCTCCTCTTGGATCTTTGAGTTGTTGTGATGATTTTGATAGGATTGAAAGTATTCCAATTAAAATTGATAAGAGTGATTCCAATAATGATTCATTGTTTATATGATTTAATAATCCTATCGAAGTTGGATTGATAAATGATAAGGTTGAATTTTCTTCGACTAAACTTGATACTGGATCCAATACCCAATGTTTTGAACATCCACTTTCATTCAATGGCATTAATAATTTAATAAATAAAAGTATATTTCCATTTTTTGATTTATAATTGATTTTTTATCAACATCTAAAAAATAAAAGAAAAAAAGGTAAATAAAAGGAAATGATTTTTTTTTTTTGATTTACACATACCCATAGAATCTTTTGATGATGATGAAAATAAATGAATTGAAATTAAATTTAATGATATTGAGGAGAGTAATTTTGAAAGTTGTAAAAGAGTATTGGTTAATCTTGCAATGGTTGGTGAAGGGTAACTATTTGGTGGTTGTTTTGATAGAATGTCAGAACATGTAGAAACTGCATTCCATCTATTATTATTAATCAATGTTGATATGATGGTGATGACCATTTCATAGGTTGGTGTATATTTGTTGATTGTATTTTTTAAAGCGTTGATTACTTGTTGATTTTCTTTTTCTTCATCGATTCCTCCTACGTTCTTGTAAAATTCATTCATTGATTGAATCAATTCAAAATAACATTTTTCTTCCAATGTTACTTTGTGTTTAACATTGATTGAAGAATCTTGTTTTTTGATAATTTGTCTAACACTTTTTTCTAAAAGTAATTGATCAATGATTGTTTTATCCGTCTGTTGAGTTAACTCTTTAATTAATTGACCAGTTTTTATAGTATCATCTTGATTTAATATTTCTCCATAAATTTCAAATTTTGACAATTTAATTTCATCATTGTCATCATCCATTTTTTCATCTAAATCATCCTTTTCAATAATATCTATTTCTGTATATAATTTTGGTACTGTAAATGAATCAATAAATGAATGTTAGATATAAAGATAAATTTGATTTTTTGATTTTTTTCAAAATAGTTACAAATTCTTTTAAAATAAATCCAATATTGATCATTATTTAAAATATAACCAATTCTATTTAAATGAAATGTTAATCTCTCCAAATGCGTTGATTGATTGTTGTTTTGTTTCTCCTCTGATATGAATTTATGTACAGTATTAAATAAAAATTCAAAACTCTTTTCATTAAATTGATTAATTATATCATAATTGAAATTAAATGAATCTAAACATATAGTAATTAAATATGTTGTTAGAAATATATTTCTATTCTATTCTATTACTAATTTTTTTTTGACATACTTTGATAAATAATAGATTTAATTAAATTTAAAATAAAGATATTGATTCGATTGTTTTGATGAATGATTTGATGTCTTTCTAGATTTGTTCTAAATTGCCAATTTAGAGTAGAATCTATAATATCAATGTATAGATACTCTAATATTTTATCTTGTTGATTATTTACAATGGCCAATTCTATCTTTTCCAATGTTGATTCTTCTTCCTCCTCATCGTCGTCTTTTTGTCTTTTTTCTACAATTATTTTATCACTTGAATCAATTTTCATCATTCCATCGTCTTCTTGATCCATCATTGATTTACATGCTATTAAAAATGATTTTGCTCTTTCTTTACTATTAAATCTAAAATTAAAATTAAAATTAATTAATTAATATCTTTCTTTTTTTCTTTTGTCTCTTCTTCTTCTTCTTTCTCTTTTCATACTCTCCATATTTTAAAGATTGATTAAAATAATCTTTTGCAATTGAATATTCTTGTTTATAGAAATAGTATTCACCTAGCTCTAATGTAATTTCGGCGATTGCAGGTTGAAGGTCTTTGTTATTTCTGTATTTATCGATCCAATCGATAAGAAAGTCGAGACAATCTTTGGTGATTTGTTCAAGAACAAGTATTTCAGGTTCTTTTTGTAAAATGTCAATTGGTGAATCTCTTTCTCTTTCCTTGGTCGATTGTATACTAATGTATTGGGGTGGAGTAGGAGGAGGTGATGATGGCGGTGTTGAAGATGCGCTATTGCTAGGACTGCTGTTTGACCCTATACCAATCAACCCCAAAGTTTGTTGCAATGAAAGACTGGGAGTGTTGGAGGGAATAAGAGGTGATGCAGTACCACCCAATACCATTGTTTTAGAGAATAGTGCATGTGAAGAGTTGATCAAGTATTTTAACGGATCACCTTTAATGATACCTCTGATAATCCATCTTTTCAGATAAGTGTGAAATACGCTATCATTGGGTTGACTCGATTCCAATTCCTCAACTAGCAGTCTTTGATGTTTAAAGGCTTGAATGATTTTACCAATATCACTCAACGATAAATTAGCCTCTGTAATAACAATGATCACCAAATTAACCAACATCTTTAATCTATGTGTTGTTATAGTTGATAGATTGGTTGTTGTCGTTGTTGGAGTTGAATTTGCAGACAGAGTAGTAGATGTTGTTGTAGCTGTAGCAGTAGGAGGTGGAGGAGAAGAAATGTTGGCAGCAGCACCTCCCTTGTAACCCTTTTCATATTGTTTCATTAAAGTCTTTACAATCGATGCTTCATTTGGATGATTTGTAGTATTGTTCTTTAATTCTTTTAACTTTAATTGAATTGAGTTGATTATTAGTATCATTAAGAGAGAGAGAGACATAGAAGATATATATATGTACATACATGATCTTTCAACTTTAAAGGGTCTAAAAGATAATCTAACCAACGATCAGTATAATCCTCACCAATTGCCAATGCAATCGGTGATAATATGGTCGGCATACGATCACCCTTCATTTCTTTATTCTATCTTCTCTGTCTATCTATCTACTCCTCTTGTTTCAATATGTATGTGTATAATTCGACAGTTTGTAGAGTAATCAAAAAAAAAGATTTAGTGTTTGGGTAATTTGGTGAAGTTAGCTAAAACCAAAAGTCATATTCTTTATAATGTTTGGAGGTTCATTAGTAAATAACTAGTGATAGGATGTATGAAGTGGGGTTGGGAGGGTGGAAATCGAAGTTTGCCCTTCCCTATGATCATCATATTGACATCGACATTCATTCATTGTGATTGCAATATATATAAAATCAAGTTTTTAAAAGAAGCATACAAGCAAGAATTATTTATATTAATAATAATATTAAAAATAATAGAGTAGATTTGAATGGATAGACGATTCGATTGTTTACATCTTGGATGTAATCAATATTTTACTACAAACTCTTCACTCAAGAGACATGAGAATAACAAACATAAAGAAAAGTGTAAAGATCGATGCCAAGCATGCAAGGCTAGAAAAAAGAAGATATTAAAAGATATAGAGAGAGATAAACTCAAAAAGAAGTGTATACATGATGTTTGTAATAATAGGTTATTATCTGGTAACAGAGCGAGACATGAAGCCAAATCACACTTTGAAAAATGTTCCATAAACAAATGTGATATATGTTTTGACCATAAATTAGAAAAAGAGAAATTAAACGATGAAATCATATCAAGTTATTATTTATCTCGTTTGCCCACTAGTATCGAGCCTCTTGGTTTACAACTATTAGAAAATTAATAATATTAAATAAATAATAAATCAAAAATACTTTTAATATTCAAACAACAAAGAAAAATTGACTTTTAAGGAAAACTTCCATCTTTTAAAGAAAGACAACAACACCCCCTCTTTAAAAAGATAGAGAGATTTTTCAAGATCAAGACTGAATGTGATTGGGGTGACATCATACAAAAGTCACTTCACCAATTTAATTATTTATTTATTAACCAACCGTTAACCATCGTAAAAAGAACCATGGTTCAAGGAAGGTATTGATCTCATCATCATAATACCCATTCAAAGTATACAAATTAATTTAAATTAATTAATGTGTTGGTCAATCGATCAGATCAATTGTTTCAACTTTGTTAAATCTTTTGACAATCCTACTTTATCGATCACCCTTTACATCTTGAGGATGTAAAAGTCACCTCCGACAAATAGCTATATTGAATAAACGAATACGACTATTAGATTAATTGGAGCTTCATCTTTTAAAAGAATATTAATTATTCTTTTGATGGTGTTGGTGTTGACAACATGGTTATAGTCGAAACTATCCACCTATCGTCAACTATTGAATCCAAAGTCTCTAGATTTAAATTAACAAAGTAAGTAAGTATAAAATTGATACTTTTTAAACATTCAATTATCAATTGTAAATCAATAACAAACCAAATCAAATATTCACAAATATTAATTAAAATATTAATATAAATATATATATAAATAAAATGTCAATCTTTGGTATGATGATATTATAATAGATAATTAATAATGATTTATTTAAATAAATAATTAACCTTATTCTCTATTATTATTATATTTAATATTTATAGCATCATTAGAGAAATTATCTCTAAGTAGTTCAATCAAAAAAATGAATCAACAAATAAACAATGATATTACTAAAATGCAAAATCAATGTTTAGATAACCAAAATTGTAGTCATAATGAACTATCACAATTTAAATGGAAATTGGTTAAATTTAGATCATTTTAAACAAACAATCAAATAATAATAATAATAGAAACACCAAATTGTATTTTTAAAAAATAGGCCGACTTTTTACAAATAATATTACCAAAGATTATAATAATAAATTATTAATCCGATATATTATCCATATTTTATATATAATTTAATTTTAATATTGATTTTGATTTTGATTTAATTTAGTTTAATAACCACCATCTCCACCCATAAAATCTCTTTTAGAACCTTGTTGTTTTTGTTGTTGTTGTTTAAGTTTTGGACAATTAATGAGACGATGACCACGACCATCACAATAGTCACATGATAATGATTGATCTTCTTCTTCTGCAACACCACCAGTCATGAGATAGGAAGAAGAGTCATCTTGAATTTCGAGTAGTACTTGTGGAACCTTTTGTTTCGACTCGATTAACAAATGTTTGAGATCCAACAATACAGATTCACTTTGATTTTTGTTGATAAAGGTTGTTGCGACACCAGTCTTTCCACATCTACCAGTTCTACCAATACGATGAATATAATTTTCAATTTCCTTTGGCATATCGAAATTAATGACATGTTGAATGTCTGGGAAATCCAAACCCTTACTAGCCACATCGGTAGCCACCAACACATCTTTTTTACCATCTTTAAATGCTTTAATCGCTGTATCACGTTCCTCTTGTGATTTGTCTCCATGTACTGCAACAGCTTCAACTTGTTTTAATAATAAATATTCATGAATATCATCTACATCCTTTTTATTCTCACAAAATATTAATACCTAAAATGTATAGTAAATTAAAAAATACAAATATTAATATTAATATACTTTTTATATTTCTTTCTTTCTTTTCTTTTCTTTTCTTTTCTATTCTTACAGGAGGAGCAGTTTTTTGTAAACATTCTAATAAATAAACAATTTTAGATTCTTGTTTTACATATTCCACTTCTTGAATGACATCGAGATTGGCAGCACCTGCACGTCCGACATTGACTTCGACGGGACGTACCAAGGCACTACGAGCAAAAGTTTGAATTTTCTTGGGCATGGTGGCAGAGAAGAGTAGTGTTTGTCTCTGTCCTTGGAAATAGTCCATGACCGTACGGATATCGTCTTCGAATCCAAGATCAATGAGACGATCGGCTTCATCAAGCCCCAAATATTTACAATAGGCTAGACTGACACGACGCTTGTTGAGGAGGTCGATCAGACGTCCGGGCGTAGCGACAATCATGTGAATACCACGTTTAAAGAGATGCTCTTGCTCGCCCATATCGATACCACCAATTGCCAACAATGTACGCAACTCGAATCCACGCTCCTTTTTTATGGCGTCTGATAGTGCGTTGACCAAATCGTATGTCTGTCGAGCAAGTTCACGTGATGGACAGATGATCAGTCCAAAGGGACCTTCACCCGCCTCGATAGGCAGTCTCTTTTCAGCGTCCATTGCCAACAACACCATTGGCAGTGCAAATACAAGTGTCTTGCCACTCCCAGTAAATGCAATACCAATCATATCACGTCCACTCAATGCTACGGGTAGACCTTGAATTTGAATGGGTGTAGGTTTCTTGATACCCTTTGCTTCCTTGAGATACCGGATGATTTCACGTGGCAACTTCATCTCTGCAAACGATGTGAGTGGTGGTGGCACTTCCTCACCTGCAACGTGTATATGTAGTGCTTGTCTAAGATCTCCGTGTGTACTCTCACCACGATCCAATACGTAGCGAGGTGGTCGCCAATCAGTCTTGATCGAATCTTTGTACACCACATCTTTGGCACGGTCTTTAACCGATACCAATGGTACAAATGACTTTATACTCTTTAAAATCTCTTCCTCTTCTCTTTTAATTCTTTCTTCCTCTTCGTTGAATCCCTTTCCTTCTTTTTGCATTTGTTCTTGTTGTTTGAGTATTTCTAATTTCTGTTCAATCAAACTCTTATACTTGTTCTTGTCACCTTCTGATGACTCTTGTCCATCCTTCTTTTCATCTGATATATCTTTCTTTATCTTGCTACTATCATGATGATCTGATTGTGGAAGAGACGACTTTATCGTTTCACTATATTGTTTGAGTTTCTTTGCTTTTCTTTCTTTTAATGGTACCCATTTCTCTACTTGATCATCATCGTCATGATGATTATTATTATCTTCATTATTATGATTATAATCTCTTTTACTATCCATTATATCTATTTATATATATCTTTCACTCTAAATTAAAAAAAGAATGAATGAGTTCTGCAGAAATCTACTTTGTTTTTTGACTCTTTGATTTATTTTCAGCAATAGAATTAATTTATTTATTATTTATTATTAATTTATTTTCTTGAATAGTTTAAATTGACAGTTGCTGAATGTTTATCAGTTGTAAATTTAGATTGAGCATAATCAAGTTTGAAATTGGTGTTTATAGTTGATAGGTCAAGGATTGGTGTAGTTTTGTTGTTTTGATAGATGAATTGCTGGACATGGTCTGTTTGGGAGAGTTGCTCGAGGTATACACCGAGTGCATAACTACCAGTACATTTAAATGTTGTAACAGAGGTATTGGTTTTGATGTATGGATCTGTTGAGCTGATGTTGTGAGCTTTGACCTTTTTGATGGTTGGTGGGAGTCTGAGAATGGCGGGACAGGCAGAGTTGTGGTTACTGCGGTATCTCACACTTGTCAAGTTGGGGAAATACGCGATGATTCGTGTTTCTTGTGGCTTGAGTAAAATGCATCGGACCGATTTCATAACATCATCGGTCAGCTCGACGTAGCCAGATGCTGCATGAATAGGAAAGTAGAGTTTGATGAGTGGCTTGTCTTTTAACAGTTTGGCAAGATAAGCATAGTCACAGTGACCAGTCATATGACTCAAGTCAAGTTTGTTGAGTAAATTGAATTGTTGAAGATCGAGTGTTTTTGGAAATGATGATGTCCCAGGCAACACCAATGAACAAATGTTGGGATATCCAGTAGCAAAAGAAGAGATGGCTCCCATTGTTCCCAATGATCGTATTTTTGTGATACCATCTTTCTCCTCTTGATCATCATATCTAATCTCTCCAAATGGATGTACATTATTTGGATTTAAAGTAATGGTATTGATCTTTTTTAAAAGACAATAGTCACCTGTTCGATTTCCAAGTGTATCCCTTCTATCAGGTACATTTACCATTAAAATATTATTAAAATGGTTTGATTGAATATGTTTGAATAAATCTTTTGAAATGAGTGATAATTGTAATCTTGATCGATTGACTTGTCGTCCATTTAATCCAAGTGGAGAATAGGTTGTTTTTGTTGAAAAATGAACAGCACATTGATTCTTGATTGCAAAGAATGATTCAATCAATGCTTCATCATTCAATATTTCCATTCCTTTTTCATTCCATTGATTCAATATATTTATATCATAAATACATGTACAACGATCCCTTAAATCCCAAACCATTGATATAATCTGTCGAATAATATTATTTGGTAATTGTTTACTATTATCACCAACTTTCATTTCCACTTCAACTTTATCATTATTATTATTATTAATATTATTAATTACTGTTGTTGTTGTTGTAGAAGAGGATAAAGTATTATTATCATTATTATTATTATTAATATTATTAATATTATTAATTAATTTTTTAAATTGTAATTTTTTTAAAGAATCTGGAGTTGTAAATATTGATCCAGTGTATTGGTAACCCATTGATTTAAATCTATTGACTTGGAGATGATTGATATCATTGGCAGAATCAATGATGATTTTGGTAAGACTTGTTTGATTAAACTTTAATAGTTTTAAATCCTCGACATTGAAATAATAGGCAATGTTTCTATTGATTAGACTGTCTTGTACTTTTCTATTCTTGATGGCTCTGAATCTGACTGTACGGACGTGAGGGTTACGAACGAGTGGCGATACATTTGGTAGAGGCAAGTTAAACGAGAGCTTCTTGACACTTTCAGGGACGACTAGATCATCCCAATTTGGATGCATATTGACCAAGTAGGAGATATAGACGTGTTTGAGTTTGGGAAAGTCTTGTTGTTGAATCTCTTTATAATCAATATCCACGGTATTTGGGTATACAATAAGCTTGGGATGCATTGATATGGTTTGGAGGTTTTGTTTAAGTTCCGATTGCATACTATTCCAATCAAAGTAGACTGGCAACAGAATCTTGGTGAGTTTAGTGGTTGACGGGAGTGATCTAATTTGTGCAATTTCATCAGACAGCGAGCCAGTGTTGAGTAGGTTGATAGAGGTGAGGTTGTCAAACGTGGTAAAGAGTGCTTTAACCATATACTTGCTGGGTTTGGTGTCAGTGTACGGCACAATACTTTTGAGCTTGGGCATTGCTACACCCAACTTTCTAATGTGCTCTACCTTTTCAAGCAAGTGTGATCCTTTAATATACACCTTTTCAACGCCGACAAACATCTCCTTTGACGAAAAGGTATTGTCAACAAAGAACTTGGGTGTCGACCCAGATGGGACAGGCATGACAGTCAGAGTAGTAGCCTTTTTAATGATACAATGTTCGTCTTTGATATGACTCCACATTTCATCGGTTGGTTCTATTGCAATGTTGGTGAATAGATGAGTGGACACGTACGAGAACAGTCTCTTGGAGACCAATCCCAAAGACCGTGTCCAACGTTTACTGTCGTCCATAAAAGTCGAATGACTGAATCTACGGTACTCGTCGAAATTGAATGATGGCTGGCACCCCATACCAACGGTGAACTTGTGTAGTGGACAAAGATCATCTTGCTTGATTTCATGTTTCTTGATAAAAGGGTTCATTTGGATATACCCAAACACAGTTTGATCTTGTATGTTGTCGGCAGAGTCAGAGTCACCTAGCATAGATGCTTGGAATGAAGTATCGGTTACTACACCTCTACTACTATTCAAGTCGAATTCAAAGCGAGTTCGGTTGGCCACCGCATCAGAGTACGCCTTTGAATTGACACAAGTACACTTTGCAATACATTTAGTTTCACAAGCCTCCTTTAGTATTCTAGCAATGATGATCCATGGCAAAGCATACTCTAACGCACCTTGATTGTAGTCGGTTAGAGTATTACTCTCGATTTGTTGTTGATGTTCTTCTCTTTGCTTTTCATGTTTGAGTATCTTTTTGATCATCAATGTCTTTGTCTCTTTGTTGGTGACTGCTATATCATTCTTTACACACAAGTCATAGATATCATTTTTATACAGTTGATTCAACTCTTCTTTTGTGTATTCACTAATATCTTTGTGTTCATCTGATTCGTTTATTCTCTTCATTCTTGTGTGTATGCAAAAAAAAAAACAAAATAATGAAACAAAAAATCTCCCTAAGCCCAACAAACAAACAATAGCCATATTTCTTCGACTTGATCAGATGACCTCAAAATATCTGATGTTTGTCCCAAAAAAACGTCGGTTTTGTAAAAATCGTAGAAATAAGAAACAGTACTTGGAAACCATGACCCGGGATCTATAGACAGTTTAGAGATATTTGTTACACATGTCGCGCGACTAGTTACACCTCATTTATTATTGATTATTTTTTTTGGTTGTAATATTTCTTCTTGAAAATAATAAGGTAATTTTTTGATCGACATTTCCAATGATTTTAGATCTCGAGTGGATTAGTTGAAAATTGGTAGTTGACATGTCTATTAGAGGCATCGTACTGTTGGATTGATAAATAAATGTTTTGAGGAGTGAAAGACTAATCTTTTGAAAGTTCATTTAGGAAAAGAAGGATATTGTATCCATCCTTGTGATAATATTTAAAAGTGTCAAGACAAGTGTTGAGTTTGACAAGTTGTCTTGCACTTTCAAAGTTGGAGCATGTTATCTTTTTGACTCTGTCTGGAAACTTGAATTCTTCTTTATACTCTGCAGAGTACTCTGGATGAAGGTGAAGTTGAGTGACATTTGGAAAATGATCGAGAATATTAGATTGTTTGGGGTCGATTAAAATGCATCGTAGTGATTGTTTGACATCATCTGAAAGTTCGAGGTATGAACTTGTCATACTCTGGTGGTAGTAGAGTTTGGTGATTGGTTTACCTTTTAGTACCTTGGCAAGTTGATTCTGTTCCATGGTTGTGCGACCTGTTCGAACACTACGTATATCCAGTTTGGTTAAATGTGCGAGTCTACCAACTATGGCAGTGGGTGGGTAGTTGAGAGCATCTCTGAGGAGGAGAGAGGTGAGGTTGGAAAAGGAAATGAGTGATTGAAGTGAACCGTGGCTGACATCGAAACAATTGATCTTGGTGATTGCCAATCTCTCCTCTTTGGTAAACAATGTGACTGGCTTCATAATGAGCTGAAGAGATGGATCGAATGTTATTCTTTAACATGCAAGTATCAGCTGGTTTTTGGGTATACACTTCTTGACCAACTCGAGATATAAATATATTATTAAAGTGATTTAATTTAATATAATTGAATAAATCCTTTGAAATGAGTGATAGTTGTAATCTTGATCGATTGACATGTATCCCATTCAATCCAAGTGGAGGGTATGGTGTTGTGGTTGAAAAATGAACTGACATTGATTCTTGATTGCATGGAATGATTCAATAAATGATTCATCAATCCTAATCATCAATTGATTTCTCTCTAATACATTTGTATCATAAATACAAGTACAACGATCTCTTAAACTCCAAACCATAGATATAATATTATAAATAATATAATTTGGTAATTTTCTATTTGTACTATTACTATTATCGATATTATTATTATTATTACAACTACTACTACTACTATTACAATTATTATTATTATTATTATTATTATTATTATTATTATTATTATTATTATTATTATTATTATTATTATTATTATTATTACAACTATTATTATTATTATTAATTTCTAAGATTGATTTTTTAAAAGATAATTTTTGAAAGGTTCTAAATGTTGATCAACCCCCCCCTTACTTAATTATTCAAAGTAACCATACTTTAAAAAAGTAATTTCGACTGATCAAATCATTTAAAAAGTAGTCACCTATTCGAGCTCCAATTCTATTTGATTGGCGCCGAAAATATGTGACCGTTATAAATAAAATGTTCACTGTTGTAAATAACAGTGTGTGGCTTGGGCGTTGGATAGCTGGCGCTCTCAAAAAAGTTTACAAGCATTCGCCCTTGCAGGGCTCATTATATTAAATAAGTTAAAATAGTTAATGCTGATGTTTTTATTCCTGAAAGATAGACATACAAAGTTGAAATATAACATGGATTGGATGATAAACGAGAATGCTTTAGTGAGAGTGGTTCTAGCAATTACAATAGACAAAACATTGATTATCAATGTTGTATGTAATAGGTTGAATGTTACTGTCATCATAGAATGTTGGTATATTAATATAAATTGTTGTTATCGTTCAAAGTTGAGCTGAATCTATAGGACCTCTATCTATAATAGAAGACTACCCTCTTAGTACTAATCTTTGTTCACAAAAGACAAAGAATCTGTCTTGTTGTTTTGACAAGAGAATGAAAAAAAAAAAAAAAAAAAACAAGTGGTGTCAGAGTGTTTCAAACAAAGAATTTCAATACCAACAACAACAACAACAACATTAAAAGGAGAACCCATGTTTTCTATTATCTTACGACATCTCTTTTAATCATAACATGTATAATGCTTTGTCAATAACAGAAATTGCATCACAAAGCGATTTCAAACGATGGTCAGCAAAACAAGTAAAAGAATGGGCTACAAAAGAAGTTCAAGTAAGAGAAGAATATGCCCAGATGCTTCTTGATAATGATGTAGATGGAGAGAGTATAGCAGTGTTTACAGAGGCTGATTTTGGTAAATGTGGCATAGTCGTAGCACCTGCAAAGAAGCTCTATCTGGCTGCTCAACAACTTTTAATTAAACAACAACAGCAGCAACAACAATCGCTATCGCATCAACACAGCAGCAGTAGAGGTAAGTAATGATAGTTATACATCTATCTTCTATTTCACACATACGTCATCTTGTTCACACATGATTGTCATTCGTCAGCAGACTCCCTCACCACTACCACCGACCGCCCACCATTATGGTTTGTTGCTCTCATTTGGTCACTCGGGTGTGTTGTGGTTCAAGTCATCTGTTAATCACACCATCAACCCTAATATTAAAGTCTTGTCTTATCATCACTCACCCATTAGACATTTTCTAATGATTTTTATTTATATAAAATAAAACCACACATTTTATTTATTTTTTGTTTAATAATTATTTCTTGGAGTTTGATGATAAAAGCACTCAATACTACTGCAGCAGCAGTGTCACTATTTATTCTTTTTGATACATATTTTACCAATAATTATCAAGTTACTTGTTATTCTTTTTTGCCATTTATTCATTTTCTATAATCTTCAACATCTTGTTCATATTAGTCCCATCCCTTGTACATTTCAGAGTTATATTCTTTATTATACATTTTTATATTATTCCCTTAGCACACCTTATCATATCTATATTTTATTATTTTTTAATTAATACTTTTTTCAACATTTCTTTCACATTATAGTTATCGATTGTTATCTCTACAGTTTCTAATTATAATTCTCTTCCCAACCAGAAATGTCTGACCCAAACACTGGTAAGGATATTTATTAGAAGATAAACATATGTTATTATTTACCTTTGGTTGACTGACATTTTTTGTCCCAAAAGAAACTTTAGCTAGTGATACCTTACAGCAAAGACTAGACAAAAGTATGATATATTCTTTAATATATATCACTAAATTATTTACAGCAACTTACTAATATCCACTCCAGTCAAATCATTTACCCTAGTTACCAAACTCAAAGAAAGTGATATTACTGATATACTCCAATCGGAAACAATTGGTGTTTCCTCAGATCATGCAAGTGAAATGGCAGAGTCTCTCTGGAATGATGGGTTCTACACCAAGATCCGCTTACTTGATGCTCTCGAATCCCCCGCCACAAATTATCCACATTTAGTCAAAGGTGCCATAGGAGACCTTAGACGCTTACTCTCAGAAACCCCACCATCTACCCAACAACCTCAAGGTAAACTACATCATTTATTTTGTTTTGTTTGTTCATGTTTACATATCATTGACCTCTTGTGTTCATTCATATATTTCTAATCCTTTGATCCAAACCAAATACCATGGTCCATTCACCACTCTTTATCACTCGACAACCCTTTTATTTTTATCACCCATCTCTTCTCCATCTTATCTACTACTTTTGTCAATCATACCTAATTGGTGCATCAACCAATCACTATCATTCAAATCTTAGTCGTTTTGTTTTGTTTGCTCGTTCTCATATTACAGGCCTTCACTTGCCTCATTGTTGTTGGTCAATCCATCTCCAACTATTCCAAATATTATATCAACCAATCACCATTAATATCACTGGACACTCAAAACCTCTACCTACCTATCCAGTTAACTACACTTCCTTTATCCATCAGATAATTAAAAATCACTATCATTGCCCCTTTAAACCATTACTTGTTGATTATTTTTTGTTTTATTATCTCATCAGTGCACTACCCATCTCTTTTAACCAAACACAATCATTCAACATCTTGTCATTTTGTTTGTTCATCTTTCATGTCATTGACCTCTTGTGTTCATTCATATTTATAATCCTTTGGTCCAAATCAAATACCATTGTCCATTCACCAAGCTACACCACTCTTTATCACTCTACATCCTTTTATTTTTAAGACCCATCTCTTTTTCCTTTTAGTCACTACTTTTGTCAAACATACCTAATTGCTACATCAACCGATCACTATCATTCAAATCTAGTCATTTTGTTTTGCTTTGTTTGTTCTCATATTACAGGCCCTTTACTTGCCTCATTTTTGTTGGTCAATCCATCTCCAACCATTTCCTAAAATTATATCAACCAATCACCATTAATATCGCTGGCTATATTCACTAAAACCCCTCCACCTTTTTG